GCCCTAAGCCCTAAGCCCTAAGCCCTAAGCCCTAAGCCCTAAGCCATAACCTTAGCGACATCGCCACGAACTACGACGAGAACAATCCTATCACGATCAGGTCAATATGACGGAAGAGAAATAGAGGAAGACAATAGCATCCTGTTTATTGCACAGCACAGCATGTGGCGAGAAGCCTGGGTCAAGAAAGAGTTATGCTAATGGCTAGGTCTTGCCTGAGTCTGAATGAGCATCGACAGGTGAGAGATCTACCTGCTCGGCTGGACTGGCATGAGAACGATAGCACTTCATGTGCCACCTGATTCATTGCCAGAACAAAAAGAGAACAACAAGGATGTGTTTCTGGCCGGGTTTAACAATAAAGCAGAACAGTCGCAACGTCCCGAGCTGGAGACGACGAAAGCTAAGACAATCAGTGGAAGAGTATAAGATCGAGACATATAACGAGATCGCAGTGTCACCATGACTCGTGGCTGTTGGTAATGAGTACAGACTTGAGATGTTGTCTCTGTAGCCTTCATAAGCAGGCTGTCGGAAGAAGCTACGAAGACAAAAGATCAGAATCAGGTTCCAATTGATACAACTTTTCCTGAACGACCCTTCGCATGTGCCTCTGCCTCCTCTTCTTCCTAACTGATCGATCTGCTCTTGCTTTTCATCTAGCGCCTCGTGCCAGGACCACTGCACGATGGATGCCACTAAATTGGCGCAACTGCGCCTAACACGAACTGTCCATATGCTGTTGACACAAACCTTTGGATCAGCACCATAATTGTTGTCATTTGAGCACTGTGTGGGATTCTCAGATGTCCTCATGCTTCTTGTGATTTCAGAAGTCGTCTATGGTTATGACTACGCCACACATGGTACTGGAGTGCTTCTTTACTACTCGCCTGGGTTGATTAGGGTTTAAATAACGCGGGACATCTCGCTGTAGCGTTGTGGACATATTGTCTGTTCAATCTTCATCGCCGTGTTAAAAGCCGGCTGCTGCGCCAGGAAGAAAGGTCATTTTCTGGTCGCAGTGGCTATAGACTGCGGTTGTCACAGTTTCGCAGGTGAATGTGTTGCGCTGGATGCGTCGCGTATGACGAACGCATGATGACGAAAGACTACTTATCGGAAGATCAGACCATCCGTACCAAGCATCAGTAAGCATTTTAGCGTGCTCTATCCGACCTCGGTCACCGCTTGAGTCACAGACGTTTGCATTCCAGGAAAAAAGGCTCTGTTGAATATTTCCCTCATGTCAGAATCACGGGAACTGCGCCACTCTTTTGCAAGGCCGCGCAGGACAATACGTTTCTGCGGGGCAAACATGATGTATCTTCCATCCCACCACACGTCATACGAACCTTAAGACGCGTCGCTATTTCTCCATAAAGACTATTACTACACGGCACGACTGCCTCCTGTCAACCAAGCGCCTGTTTGTTCTACTCTACCTCACTCGAAGACCGCAAAGTCGAAGATGTCTGGCCTCTCCGATGTTGGCGTGCAGCAGCATGGTGACAAACATGAGATCCCAACACATCTACACGTTCACAAGTACGAAAACGACAGCAATCCATAATCCCTGCTGACCAGTTCTCAGAACAGGAGCATGGCTACCTGCAGACCACCGAACCCACAAAGCATGGCTAGGCCATCAGATCGAGCAAGCACAAAAGAACAAAAAGCCACTAATTCCAGTCTTGCAAGAGTTCAAGGAGTTCATTGAGTCGGACCCTCGTGTCTACATGTATTTCACCGCCATGTTCGACGAGGTTCCCTACAAGCATGTTTACAGAAGAGATCCGACTGGACACAAACAGATTCGCGACTACAATCATATGCTGGAAGTTCTCAATCACGTCTTTGGCTCGGCTCCAGTCTGGACTGACGCAGCACAGCAAGTTGGTATGGTTGGTGTGCCAATGTGTGCAATCCTCGACTATCCCATGTCTACTCCCTCCGGTCATGCCGCCTTCCTCGATCCTGAAGTCAACAAAGTGTTGAAGAGAGTGCTCAATGAATGGGGCAAGTTTCTATTGGCTTCTGAATCTGCGGGTGTGTTGCATGAAAGTAAGACTGGCTGGTTGGGCGAGCATGGCAAGAATGATATGATGTCGGTTGCAAATGCCCCATACAAGACTGAGCACAAATTCGACGACTTCTTCGTCTGCGACACATCACAGAAGCATTACGGATACAAGTCTTGGGATGACTTCTTCACGAGGCAATTCAAGCCAGAAGTCAGACCATTGGCTAGTCCAGATGATGACAATGTCATTGCCAATGCGTGTGAGAGCAAGACCTTTGCTGTGCAGCATGATACCAAGATAAGAGACAAGTTCTGGATCAAAGGTCAGCCATACAGCATTCGTGACATGCTTGCAAATGACTCTCTGTCCGATCAGTTTGCTGGTGGCACTGTCTATCAAGCTTTTCTGTCTGCACTTTCTTACCACAGATGGCATGCACCAGTCAGTGGCACGATCAAGAAGGCGTATGTAGTTGATGGTACATACTTCAGTGAACCACTCTTCGAAGGTCTAGGCGATCCAAACACGAAAGAAATTGATGCACATGGCATTTCTTCTGGACAAGGCTATCTAAGTCACCTTGCCACAAGAGCTGTCATCTTCATCGAGGCCGACAATGCTGCAATTGGTCTCATGGCATTCATTGGTATTGGCATGGACGAGGTATCTACATGCGAGATTACAGTCAAGGAAGGTCAGCATGTCAAGAAGGGGGACCAAACTGGCATGTTTCATTTTGGAGGATCGACTCATTGCTTGATCTTCAGGCCTGGTGTTAGGGTTGAAGGATTTCCTAAGCCTGGGCAGGACGCAAACGTGCCAGTCCGAAGTCAACTTGCTGTTGTGAAGTCATAGTTTTACCCAATTACTGTTTTTGGCGTACATGTATCCATGAATGCTGTGCGCCTCTAAATAATGATTGATCTGTATACGGATGATGATGCTATCTATCTAATTTGGATATCTATCGCGCCTTGAATTGGTTAAGGTCCTTCATATAAAGTATGTATGAAGTACCAGAGAAGGCTGAACGCTGAACACTGAACGGTCAGCCTGTAGCTCGATCATCCTCTTGTTCTTTCGTAATCACTTCTTCTTTGCCGCCTCATCAGTCTCTGGTATACAGCATTCTGGTGGTGTGTCTCATAGATGTCTCACTTGCTTTTGCACCCTTGACAGACTGCGAAAGGCTTCATTCCACAGATATCAGCACAAACAGCAAGCCCTTACTCAATTACGAGTGCAAGATTTGACGATTCGTGACACCTACCGCTACTGCGAGTTTCTGTCCCACTGCTCCAATAACTAGTCGAACTCATAGTGCAAAGATCAGACTCGTCGACTCTGTTGCCATCCCAGAATTCCACACAGCGCATCTAAGATCGAATCGTTGCCTTCTTTATCTCCACAATCGAACTGCGCCTGCTTGACAACTCGTACACCGACTTCGGGGATGATAAGCTAGGCGCAGGCTCAATATCTCCCAAGGTCGACAAGGAATCACTACTTTCCAACCAAGTTCAGCTGACATCTTTCCTGTGTGCTCAACCTATTCCTTAGTGTTCGCCGCTAGAATCCCAGAACGATGAGTCTTCTCGACGTCGAAACAATGTTGAAATGGTGGACTTGTAGCCTGCTTTGTACCATAGGCTGTCTCTGTCGCGATACTCGAACATTCATCTGAAAGTTTTTGCGATGAGTGAGAGGGCGTGACTCTCTCTTAGCAAGCCGTGAACTCAGTCTGGTTGCTTCTACAACCATCTTGAACGGCTGTAACAATCTGCTTAAGGCGACTTCTGCTGTACATTGTTTGCCGTCTGGAGAGCAGTGCCCTTATTCAGCCATTTGACCTTCGTTATCACCACCATCCTCGCATCGTGATGCATTTGCGTTGCACGCATCGCTCCATCTGCTTTAGTCAACATACTCCGAAGAGGATTTGGAGGGGACGGCGCAAAACAGATAGTCAAGCACTGTACATGATTGAAGCATTTAACAACTCTGGAGAAGCATGATATACATTTCAATCAAAGCGACGCGTTAGGAAAATACTAACGCTTGACTTGTTTCGAGGTTCATTGTCCCTGAATGCGGAAAACTGCACGATCGACGCTCTGGATTTTGAGTATCTGTACCATTGCCTGTGCTTATCCAAAGGCTTTTGCTCCTGGGTACCGATACATGTTGATGTCGGGATTGGTGGATATGCTGGCCTGATACTGAAGACGCTTTTCCGGAAGCTGGGAAAAGTTCATGTCTTCAGCTTCCCGTGCCCTGAAGCAAGGTAGAAAAGGGTTCGCGTTCTTCGAATCGATGAGCTTAGCTTCAGCTGTAAAGGTGAGCATAACAGAGTTCCTGTTTACATTTGTTTTCACTCGTCATTTTCGAGAGGTCTGCGGCTTTGAGCCTGGGAAGTGATCATGTATATTGAGTCCCGGAGTCAGAAGGTGGCATCTGGCAGGCCTGCCTTTCGCGATCATGTTGTCCCTACCAGGCAAGAACCTTACGTAGCTAGATTTGCGCAAACAGACCAGCTTGTTCTCTTTCTTCAGCTGCCTAGTGGTTGTGAACAGAAGTTTAGAGCCGTTGAGTACCTCCTCCTTGTCGTCTAACCAGCAATTTAGCTCAAATACAGGAGCTCGACTTTGTCACATTCGACAGATCATGATGCTCCAGATAATCTGGACAATTTTTACGATCGGCACAACGGACCATCTCTCCTTCGTACCATTCAACGTCTTCATCGTGTATCCTGTTCCTGAAAAGGGTCGATTTCGCAAGAGTCCTTACCGATCACAATGTGTACTCAGTCGATACCTTGCACCTCATATAACCATCTTTTCCTGTGAATGGTGGGCTACTACCGGCGAGATCGCATGAACACAAAAATTCCTCAGGTGATGTCTGTTCCTCGTGGACACTATCATCCAACTGACTTTTGTCCCAGGTGGTAGTTGTCTCCGATCCGTGACACCTTTGAGTCATACATGATTCTTCTTGCCCTGGAGTCACAAATGACTCTTAAGTTCAGAAGAAGCAAGGTTGATCGTACTGTGTAAAGAAGAGAAGTTCAAGAGACTCACATCAGCTCAAAGACATAGTCACGCGGTCGGGTATATTGCCCTGGCGACACACAGCACGATTGTAGTTAGCTCATGCACAGATAATAATACACATATCCCGTCCACCAGCCTTCTCTGTCACGTATACCTGTAAATACCAAATCCACACCAAAGCTCGACCACAATTCAGTATCTTCGATCACCCTAGATACTGACATGTACGCGCTCAGCTGATCCGACAAGTACCAGAATTCAGACCGACGTATTAACGTCGTGGTTATACGGTATAGGTTTCGACCTAATCGGCAAGTCCACGTTCGTCAGTAATCGGATGCAGGTAGTGAGGTGTTCTATATGTCTGTATGGTTCTCTGCAAAGCACGAGCAGCTCACACTCATGTCGTGGGCGTCATTAGCCTCATGATTGTCGAGTTCGTCGAAATTGTCGCATGGAAAGCCTGGTAACTGATTGCGGATCGTTTCATCAAGGTGGGGAATAATTGCTTAGTGGTTCGGGCATCCAACTGTCCACGTGTCAGTTTACCAGGATCCTTACCATTTCCTTCAGGCTACTCCCGCAACGCAGCTGGATCTGCAAAGGTTCAGATGGAGCGGCAAGTAGATACTATAATGGTCACAAAGTAGCATTGGCTGCCCCTTAATGCCCGCTCATTGCGCTTGCCAACTTTTACTCTGATGGCGTGGTGATTCTTTCTGTCACATCTTCCAGTCCCCCATTACCGACAACATTCGTGCTGCCGTGTAACATGCATGATTGAACACCGTAGGCAAGATATCCCACACCGTCGCCATAGGAGTCTTCACTCGCGAAAAAAAGAGCTCAAATTCTGGGTCGCCCCCAATCGAGTCTAATGGGGTCGACTACGATGAGGGCTCAATATCAGACAACGCTGATCAACTTCAGCGTCATCTTGCAAACAGACAGATCCAGCTCATTGAAATTGGAGGTTCTATCGGAACAGCGCTCTTCGTTAGCATAGGTACCGGACTCTATCGTGGAGGTCCTGCTAACCCGTTGCTCGCATTCACTATCCAAAGCTGCGTCCTCGCAATGGTCAATAACTGCATTGCAGAGATGAGCACTGCATATCCAGTCACTGGTGGCTTCATACGCCTGGCAGGTCATTGGGTAGATGATGCGCTTGGATTTATGGTTGGCTGGAACTTCTTGTGCGCAGCATCCAGGCTATGCTCTAAGACCATTGCAACTAACGCGTCTAGTTTCTATGAAGCTCTACTCATTCCATTTGAGATCTCTGCCTTCACACTCGTCTGCTCATTCTGGAGTCCTCGAGTTTCCGAGCCCGGACCCATCGCTGGCATCGTTCTTGGTTGTGTCATCTGCTATGCGTGAGCCATGTTCATCTCCTTCGCGTCAAGCTTCGAGACCATTCATATGAATATCAACGCTAATTCCTCGTGCAGTATGATAAATGTGCTTGCTGTCAAAGCGTATGACGAAGCCGAATTCTGGCTTTCTGGAGGCAAAGTCATCCTCATATTTTCCTGTTCTTCTTCACTTTCATCGCCATGGTTGGTGGTAATCCACGGGGCGACGCGTACGGCTTTCATAATTTCATGCATGGCGATGCCTTCCAGGTATATATTGGTACTGGCGATCTGGGACGTTTCCAAGGATTCCTGGCTGCTCTGACATCTGCTTTGTTCACTGTCGTGGGGCCTGAGTAGATCTCAATCGTCCCTGCTGAGACGATCCGCCCTAGGACCTGCATCAAAGCAGCGTTCAAAATGGTCTATCTACGATTTGGCATCTTCTTTATTGGTGGGGCCCTGGCGGTGGGCATCGTGTGCAACTCTCGAGACACAAGACTTGGAGAAGTCGTCTTAGGCGGGAACAGCGGCTCAGCTGCGGCGTCACCATACGTTATCGCTATGGAGAATCTCGGCATTGAAGTCTTCCCTCATATCGTCAACGCGTTAGTCATGCCACAATACCTCTACTTGAATGATGGCTAACTGAAAGACAGACTCATGCTGACATCAATATTTTCAGCTGGCAATACCTACACATATTGCGCAGTACGAAACCTATATGGCCTTTCACTCGAAGGACGAGCACAGCGATCCCTCAGAAAGTGCACCAAAAATGGCGTGCCGATTTACTGCTTCTTAGTGGTGATGATTTTCCCTATGCTCGCTTTTTTATCAGTTTCAAGCAATTCATCTGTTGCTGTCACCTGGTTCGCCAGTCTTGTAACCGCTGGAGGTACGTCTATATTCAAATTACCTTATTGTACCCTCAACATCACTAACGTACAAACTGTGTGGGACTGATCGACTACCTCGTCATGTGTATCATATACATCTTCTTCTATCGAGCGTGCAAAGCGCAAGGTCTAGATCGTAGTACGCTTCCTTATACTGGATGGCTTCAGCCCTACTGCGCCTATATTGCAGCTACCTGGTTGTTCGTTGTTACTTATATTTACGGGTACACCAGCTATATGCCGTGGTCACAGTCCAGTTTCTTCCCGAACTACACAATGCAACTCTTCATACCACCGTTGTACATTATGTGGAAGCTGGTGAGGAAAACAAAGGTGGTGAAACCACATGAAGCAGACCTTGTTTGGAAGAGACCGGGCATTGATGCATATGAGGAGACCTTCATTGACCCTCCCACAGGATTCTGGAAGGAGATGGGCCAACTTATTGGTATCGGACGGCGTAAAGGTGGTGGTGATCAGCGACGTAAGAGCAGTGCTGTCGCTTGATTGATGTCTATCGATTGTCGACTTGTTCATCAGCTGGTGGCAATTCTCTCACATATGTAGTACGAGACGCGATGCCTAATTCCTAACACTATATGATCTCTGCCTTGGGTTGGGCATGATCACAAGAATCGCACGAATAAGAGAGAGGACCACGACACCGATCATTCGGATCTGTCAGTCCATCACGAGTATACACTAGCTCACGGAATGTCCGGATTTCCATCTCGAGTCGGCTGCACATTCTGTATCGTGGTCAAGACATACACTGGCACCATGTTCAGCATGAGCAGTCATAATAAGCTTCGAGCCTGGCCACGCCTTATGCCTGTCTTATATTCTGGAGGACAGCCGACATCACAGCGGCTGTGAACAGTCGCGCACGTATACTCAGCCTGTCTCGAATCGCAAGTTCATGCTCACATGCAAGCAAAATGTGTGATCTTCTTTAACTCTTGCTACACTAGGATCTCTCATTCACTCATGTTGCGTTTATCGAGCATGTAGTAGTTCTCCAGCGAAGCATGATGCAGACTACGTTTCTCATCATCTTGTTGTGGGAAGTCGCACGGCTTTAATTATCCGACATACCATCATCTGCTATTTACAGCATTATTTGCCTAGAGCTGTACACGAAGTACGTATAATCCACTTCCAACAGAATCTTAGGATCGAAGGAATGAATTCTGTGAAATCACGATTCAACGACTTTTCCCAAGGTATCTTTCTCCTATATCTCCTCGATCTCCTCGTTTCTTCTATATCCTCATTCTGCCCATCATCTTGTCTGCTCGTTTTCTTTCCCCTAGTCCACGACTTGAACTGATTCGCCAATTGAAGACATTGCCACATACGCCAGGCTAACAGGCTACATGCTGTCACATATTCTCAAATCCTCTGTACCAAGCGCTACATAACATACATTATCAATCACATCATCTAGGCTGATGGTCATATGACCAAACTCAACGGTCACATACTCTAGGTTAATGATCACATGTTTCCTCACTATTCAAGTCAGTGGTCACATACTCTAAGCTATGAACCACTCAAACAAAGCCGATCGTCCCACTCACCCATGCGCACGCCTTGATTGTCGCTATGTGAGCTTGTCATATGTTCCGTGAACGAAGACTTCGATATTACTCGTTCACTCACTAATTTTGTAGTTGGTAAGTGTGACCAGACACATGAAGATTTGCAGTGAGGTCAGATTACCACTACCATAGTACAAGACATCCTCGAAAAAATTGTCTTGAATGTTTTCATAGCTGTTAGCAAGCATGCTTAGATGTTCTTCACGATGAGCAGGCAGTCTTGTGGGTGCGACATGGTACGCTGAAAAGGGGCTTTGAGAGTTGTCAAGAGTCTATATTCAGTAGCATTACTACACAGACTCACTTCTCGAACAACTGTAGTAGCCACTACTCAATCTCAATCCTCCTCAACCACTTGAGCTCAAATTTCTAACCATCCTTCGATTCCTATTCTACCTCGTGCCCTGCCAATGATAATCGGACCTTATCTGGCCGCCAAAACCTCCCATCCGCAACAACTCCTGCTTCACGGGCAGAAACACCATGAGGCATCTCCCCAGCATCCTCAAGCATATCCAAGCATACCCAAGCATACCCAAGCAAAAATCGAAACAATCTCTTGTCGAGATTCTGTTTGACATGCTTCACCCACTTGACTACAGCAACACTGTACATCCGCGTCATTTCCGAACATCTCACCTTCACAAGATCACTAGGTATGCTATCCTGTACATGACCACATATCAGCTCTAACTTCATTTTTTCTCTTCCTCTTAATTGCTAGAACATTCTAAATAGCTCCGATAGCGCGATCAGCATCTACTTACCTAACTTCACCAGGACCGCTTGCAGATTGGCATCCCACTTGTCTGTGCTGAATGTTAGTGTGAGAAACAGGACGAAAGATCTGTGACAGTGAGAGTAAGAGCAACCAAAGTAATAATTGAAAGACAAGCAAGTGGAAAGCAAGAGCAGCTAGAGGGTAGTCACAGAGTTGTCAGAGAGTTGTTAGAGAGTAGCGGGAGAGAAATCAGAGAAACGACTGAAAAGTAGATGACTAAGAGGCGAGAGTAGTTAAAAAAGTGGCCAAAGAATGAGCAAGCAAGGAGTAAGTTTAGACATAGGATAGTGTCAGTGCTTTTGCTCTAGGCAAGCGTTGAGAGCATATCGATCAATCGTCCTCGGCAATGATCGAATTAGAGACACTGTCCTGCTTGATGCGTAGGACAGTTCTGATATGATCAATCCCAAGCCCAACGTTCTTTCTGTTCGATAGCAATCTTGCCGTCTTGACAATGTTCTTGATCTCTCTTCCATTCAGTCTCATTCCAGCTAACTCGTCAAGATGGACAGCAGTGACAGTGCTCTTATGCTGAAGCTCGATATTTGGACGCACAAAGGTCTCCCAGATAGCTCTTCGGGAAGCCTGATCCAAGGCAGGATAGTTGATAGTCAAATGAATGCGCGACTGGAAAGCACTGTCGAACGATGAAACACGATTGGTAGTCAAGAACATCAGTCCCTTGAAGTACTCCAGCAGTCGGAGAAAGACACTCACAAGCTTATTGCGGTGGATGTCAGAAAGTGTTCTTTCTTCCAAGAAGACGTCACACTCGTCCAGTAGAAGAACGGCACCCCACTTGGCACAGATCTCAAGGACTTTCTCGAGGTTCTCTTCAACTTCAGCTGCATCACTTCCGAGCTCACCAGCACTCATAGCGTACAAAGGGCACCGCATCTGTTCACTGACTGCTTCTGCTGTCAAAGTCTTTCCAACTCCGGGTTCACCACTTAGGAGGGTGATGAAACCCTGACCTTTGCCAGCCATGATGTCATCAAAGTTGTCCTTGTGTGAAAGCTGACTTTCGGCAAAGGACAGGATCAGCTCCTTGTAGTCAAAGGGCAGGACAAGCTTCTCGAAGGCGTCGTGGCTCCACTGCACTTCGATAACGCGCGCAGCCTCGAAGGTTGCCCATTGCTTGGAGGTCAGGTTGTATCCAGTCACGAAAGGACTGCAGTAGCAGTACTCTTCCTCTTTCAGGGTAAGGCGACCAGGTTTGACCTCCTCTTGACGACCATAGTTCTCCTCTTCATCGTAGACATTCTGATAGTAATCATAATCATCGTCAGCCTTCTCCTTCTCCTTGATGTCGCTGTCTAACGGTCGCAACCGCGGCTTCTTATCGGGATCTTGTTCGTGGAAGAGCTTGGCGTCTATGACGACGCGACCATTCTCAATCTGATTTGGTTAGTAGCGAACAGTTACAAAGAGTGTCCACTTACATGACGCTTTCGTGGCTGTAACCAAGCACGGGGAATATGTGGAAGATACAGCCCCGAATACCCTGTGTAGTGCACTCCAATCAGCTTCTCAAAAGACCTTCCGCGCGCTGTGAGCTTGCGGCGGACGTCTTCAATCTTTGAGACGAATGAGGTAGGTATAGGATTCAGCTCTGCGATTTCGGTATGACCACCATACTGATCAATCTCCAGGCGATCTGTGCCATAACCAAGAAGGGAGCCATTGTAATCAATATATTCACAGTCAACAATGAACGTGGTTGAGCGCAAATTCTTTCGATACCAGCACCTTCGTGCCATATACAGCCGTTCTCCTGATTCTGTGTGCGCGTAGACTTCTGTGTCAGGTGGAAAGAGTGCCCATAAGTAGTCGTAAGAAATGACTCCCTGCTTGATCATGTCGTCCTTGGCTTCGAGGTGCGGTTTGATCTCAGGTGCAATGACTTTGTGCAAGAGCTCGATATGTTCCTTAGCCAACTCATCCTTGATATCTTCCAGCAACTCTTGAAACTTATCCCAGCGATAGTAGAACTCGTGGTATGGAGGTCGTAGGGTCAATCTCCTGATATTGGTGTAGACACCTCGATAGCCTTCGAAAACCTTTGTCAGAAAGTCACGGACATGGGGACTTTGTATCTTGACTGAGTGAAGGAGCACGTTTCCACCGTCTGCATCACGCTCGTGTCGAACAACAAGGGCATATTTTTTGTATTTCTCATCATCATCTTCAGGCAGGTCACCTTCCAGCTCTTCCCAATCATGATATCTTTCCTTCCGATAAAGCTCCTTTGCAGTCTTGTCCATACCAGGCTCGACTGTGGGCTCGACTACAGGCTCTTCGGCTGTTTCGTCGGATTTGCTGTCCACGACTTCCTTTTCTCCAACTACAGCAGAATCAGGTGTGTCGTCTGCAACTTCGTCGGTGGACGTCTTGCTCACATCCATTCTCATAGCCGTCACAGCATCGGTCAATCTCCGCATTTCAGTAGCTAGGTCGCATTGTGCAATCCTAAAGTCCTGGGCCTGGGGTATGTTCTCTGCTGCATCTGAGAAAGAGTCATGCTCGGCGGCTTCTTCGGCAGAATTCGACGGGTGTTTCATGTTGAGTGTGTGAAAGAGTGCAAAAGTCGTGCTGCAACGCTGTATGAGCTTGCAGCTCGACCAGACGAGGTGAAGTCGAGGGTATATATTCCCATGCCCACTTCCAGGCTGCAATACGCAGCGGTGAGAGCCATGCTAGCATAAGAGTCATGCATTGTTAGACCAGAACAAGGCTAGAGAGCACTTTGACCATTGGCTATTCAGTCGAAGCTTACTGTTACACGGACTGCTACGAGCTGAAAGACAACAGTGGGTTTGCAGGAACTTTCGTCGGCACGCGCAGCAGCATACATGCTCGTCGGACAACATGTGCTGCTGTATGTCGATTTTAAGCACTGATAGTCGGCAACCTTGTTTCATCGTTCTCTCCTGCTGCCTTCAAACTGAAGGGAGCCTGAAGGTTAACCAATTAGCTCCTGCCGCATCCTTTCAGCTGCGGAGGCTGAATTGCACTCACATGTGCATCCTGCTCACAAGCATTCATGTCCTCTGAGCTTGCGCTCGCCGCTTTTGACACCTTGACGACGCACAAGCTAGATCAACAAGGGTATACCCGACTATGTTTCGTCAAGACGTTTCGTGAAGAACGATATGGGTAGTAGTCAATGCTCATACATGACTGTGAATCTCTAGTTTTTGAAAGGTGTCCGCTAGCTAATGTGTACAGCAATAACATACTTTTGACTCTTGTCATGTACTCGTTGTGATCGGAGCTGCTACAACCTCCATCATCTTCTTTACTGGCACTGTCGTCACATCCTGTGTCACTGTGCCAGCTTCTTCATTCGACATGAAAGTCAGCATGTCTAGTAACCGACAAGAGTACGCCCATTCGTTGTCATACCAAGCGATGATTTTGAAGAATCGATCGTTAAGCTGCTTCGAAGCTTTCACATCGATCACCGCGCTCGAGCTGTGACCCAAAAAATCGGAACTAACCAGCTCTTCCTGCTCAACACTCAGTACGCCTGCAAGATCTGATCGAGCAGCTTCAGTGAAAGCATCCATGATTTCGGTAAGTGACGTCGCCTTCTCCGTTGCTACTGTGAGGTCAACCATCGACACGTTGGTAGTAGGTACTCTGACTGATATGCCAGTCACCTTCCCCTCGAGTTCAGGTAATACTGCACTGATTGCTGCTGCTGCTCCTGTCGATGTTGGAATGATGTTGCCCATAATTGACCGACCAGCACGACGATCCTTCTTGCTATATCCATCTAGCACATGTTGGGATTGAGTGGATGCATGGACAGTGGTCATCAATGCTTGTGACACACCAAAGCTGTCGTTCAGCACTTTCATGATTGGTGCCAAGCAATTTGTGGTACAGCTTGCGTTCGAGTATACAACTGACGAAGTGCGATCAGAGTATCGCGATGTGTTGACTTTGTACACGAAAGTCGGCGCATCGGGTGATGGTGCCGATATCAGGACCTTCTTGGCTCCGCCGTGATTGACATGTGCAGACGCAAGTGTTGTACTTCTAAACTTGCCTGTACACTCTGCGACATACTCAACTCCCAGTGCACTCCATTCGATTTTCTCGATGTTGCGTTGAGAGATCAAAGCAATTTCACGGCCGTTAATTGACAGGTTGCCGCTTTGGGTTTCTTCTATTGTGATGGGTTCATGGACTATTCGAGACAAAGGTCCGTGTGTCGAGTCGTGGGTGAAGAGCAAGATCAAGTCTTCTATCGAAGCGCAAGTGTGGTTGATAGCTACCACCTCGACGTCCTCCCGAAGTAGCGAAGCCCGAAGCACCATTCGACCTTGATGCTGTCAGAAGTGGTTGATAGAAGGATAGCACAACTCACCTATTCTGCCGAATCCATTGATGCCGATACGACAAGGGCGTACAACGAGACCCGGCATGTTGCGGATGGAGTGACGCGAAAGGCGTTTAGATAGAACTGTATTGCGCGGTATTGAACCGGGTTTATTTGGGGCATACACCACTGGGATCTTTACTTGGAAGGCTGGAGTGTGGGTGAATAAACGTGCAATGTCAGCTGTCTAAACAACTTGACAAGTACCTTCTTTTTGTACCACTTCCTTCATTCCCATATCGGGACATCTCGGTCCTGCGTCCACAGCTACACGATCTCTATGATACAATACTCACACAGCCTCAACCTCGATGAGTGCTGCTAGCACGCAAGTTGTGGATGTAAATCGGGTCTGGTCGGAGTTCCAATAAGCCTTTCTGAAGAGTGCTGGCAGATGATTTCGCACAGATAATAGCCGCCGGTAGCGCATGGTCTGAACTGCGTAGCGGCTAAGCTCGATTGATCACCGTGAGGCTACCAGGCATTCACGAGAAAGGCTAGCTCAAGATGTGGACCGACGGCAGCATCCGATGACTTCGCACATGAGTACAATGACAACAAGAACATCTCGTTCATGCAGTGGAGCTAAAGGTTGCCTGGAGCCATGCTATACTTTCTGGGAAACTCCTCGTGTAAGCACTCGAACAAAGTTGCACCAGTTGGCACGAAGAACGTGTATCGACAATAGCCCTTTCAGCTACGCATATCTTGCAGTGTGCCCAAGCCTACCATCAACCTTCAAACCTAGGTTCCAACTGGACGGATCAGGTGATACTACTAGTGCTGTGTAGCACAGCTGAGTGTTTAATTTGGGTGTTTCCAGCCATCTTAATCCCATATGTCAACCAGTCAATCATCGACGAACCCTCATCATGGCCTGGGTTGCGCTGCTTAGTAGTTGCCTGCTCTATATCTGTTAGTGTCTTCTAGAAATTCTAGAAAGAGCAGAGGGCCACATCTTCGAAACGAGTTACTTGGTCTTTGTTCTTATCGAGCCAAGAACACATCCCTGCTCATCGGTCGACCTGCCCCAACCCAACGCAATAGCCCAAGTAGCCTATGACGTCGGACCTCAAGCTGTGCGACAAACAAGAAGTTTCAACATGTTTGTGGTTTCAGCCTAAGCTGGCATCAGAACATCTTTCACCCGAATTACAGGCCGACTGTAGAATCCATGATGGAAGCCATAAAATCCATGATACCTGGAGCTGGAGAAGGCGATGCTGCTGGCGTTGGAGATATCTCCAATCCTGATCAAATGAGTCGCGAAGACATGGTAAAGACAATCGAAAACCTCCAGAAGGCTCAAAAGGCTCAGTCAGTGGCAAATGACCTTAAATCCAAAGCTATGGCCATGACCAACTCCAAAGAACGTGAAAGGATGATTACTGAAGCATTTGACAAAGAGGTCGAAGCTCATGGCCATAGCAAGATGGCTAAACGACTGCAAAGTGGTACATGGCAAGGTCTCGGGTTCGGAGGTGGCATCGGCGCCGCTACCGGCATTGGGACTGGTGCCGTGCTCGGCACTGTGCTAGGAGCAGTTACGGCTGTGCCAACGACATTGTTGGGCGGTGCCATTGGAACAGGGGTAGGTGCTATTCGCGGTCCTTTCATCAAACTTGGTGGAAAGGAACAAAAGTTCGAGGATGCAGATCCTGAGAAAGTCGTTGATGCCATGCAGGAAGAGAGCAACAGCCAGTCTCGACAGCAACCGAATGGTGGCACAGACAAAGATGCTACCGGCAAGAACAACAGTGGAGCGGAGCAGAAGCAGCGAAAGAAGCCAAAGAAGCTAGAGATCAGGTCTCAACCAAAGATTCCTTCAGAATGCCAGAGCAATACTACAGGCCAGAACGTCGAGGCTGGAGTTGCCGACGAGTCAAAGCCGAAGAGGAAACCAAAGAAACTTGAGATCAGATCGGAAAGGAATGCCAAATCTTGAATTGTCAATGCCTGATCTATCTGCGACGGTCTCCGTCTAGAGGACCAGAAGCATGGATACTAACCACGTCCGACACAGAGACATGCTGTGTCAGAAGAGGCTAACGACGCTTCTGCAACCACGACAAAACCAGCTGCACATTGAACGAGAATGAAGCACCCGCTCGCTTCGACTAGCAGCCATCGCAGCGAATGTTCACATCGCTATACAATGTAATGCACTAAGTCGGCACTAGTGTATCTTCGAAGCACCAGGTTGTCTGTAAGCTCTAGAAACGCCAAGACATATGCCATCAGCTCTTGTGTGCCGTCAACGAGCAGCACGGTATTGGCGTCGAATGCGCGAAAAAGCTGCGTCGTACTCACCGTCTGCTCAGCAAATGATCAATGACTCCGATCCTGTTTTGACTCGATGAAACACGTTGCTGTTTGCGTCTTAGGTCAGCGTATTGTCCGGTCAGCAAGTCTGCTTGCCACACTCAAATTCAATGGCCATTGACGACAACACTTGCGCCATCAACAAGTTTGCTATCGACTTTGCTGTTGGCTTTGCCATTCACTCTTCCCGCGAATTCTTTCCTGTAAACATCCTCCATCTCTCTCCTCACTGCGACTGCTTGTGACTCGACACTCCATTCGACATCTTGCCAGCTCAATCCCTGGTCCTTTCTCACAGCTCTTTTCAAAATTAGGCCATGTGCCAGACCAATAGGAAGACCCTCAATCTCGAGGGAGTTCTCGGCTGACATGATTTTGCCATACACCATAAATCCCCCCTCGCCATCTAACTTTTCGCCAACCATGAGATCTCTCTTAGCTGTCGCAACTGTGTCAGCAGCAAATGTCTTACATTGACCTGTAGGCTCTCCTCTACACATGATGGTAGCTACAGAGATACCAAGCTCAAGTCCAATGAGATGATACGGCTTGAATTGTGCAGCAAAGCGCCCAGATTTGTCAGTCTTCATGCCATATTGTGCAAAACAGTCTCTTTGGTAGGGACCAGGTGCTGTATCTCGAGTCAGTACAAAAGCAGTATTGCAAAGAAGTACATACCTTCGATAACCACATAAACGCCCCATCTTAAATCATTATGTACCCAGCGACCATCTGTTTCGAGACAGGAAACGACCTCTACTGTGCCATACGATTCCATCTGACCACCTTCGGACTTTGGTTTCAGTACTTGAGGCAGATCGTGTGTACCGCAAGGTGGAAATTTGAGACCATTTGGTGGCCTTAAACCACAACCATTGGCAACTGCAGACATCTCCAAAGCAGATTTTGTTCCATCGAGGAAGGAGTTGAACATTTGCTTGTTGAAATCACCCGAGGCTAATTGCTCATCTGTGAATCCATAGTGAGACCATACGGTATCTGGAGTTGAATAGTGATATTCTGGCAAATGTTTTGTTCCTTTGCCAGCGCAGACGACATTGAAGCCAGCGGCTCGTGCCCAATCAACCATTTCTGCAATCAACGCTGGCTGATCACCATAAGCCATTGAATAGATTATACCTGCCTCTTGAGCTTTTCTAGCAAGGAGAGGACCAGCTAACACATCTGCTTCGACATTGACCATAACAATATGCTTTTTGTGCTCGCAGCAAAGAAGCACATGTCGTACTCCTGCAGCAGGGCTGCCTGTAACTTCAAGAATCACGTCAATGCCAGGTTGTGCAATAAGTTCTGCCGAGTCAGTAGTTATTGCGGTCTTGCCAGCTTCTAGACCTTCACGAAGTGAAAGGCTGACATCGTATTTGTCCTCAGGAAAGCCTGTGCGCTTCAACGAAGCCAGAGCACGTTCTCGTGACAAGTCTGCAATTGCCGCTAGTCTGACGCCTTTGGTGAGATGCGCTTGTGATATGCTTCTAGCAAGTCAGTCTGACCTTCAAGTTCTGGAGGAAACAAGTGCACACTTACTACATGGAACCAAACTTGCCTGCACCAATGATCCCGACTTGAATAGGCTTGCCAGAGGCCTCCAGCTGAGCCAATTTTGTTGAGAGGCTCGTCATATTGGTCTCTCAAGCGTTGAATTGTCAAGCTCAAGATTGCACACAATCAACGAATGGTTCATCCGACACAGAAATCGAAGCCCGGCGCTCACCCCAAATATGAAAAAGCCACAGCCTCGGACAGCGGGGAAGCCTGCCGAATGCCAAGTGTATTTACCGATATCCCGTCATGTTGCCCGTGGCTCAAGGTGTGGAGGTTATTCCTCTGCTAGGCACTTTCTCTGTCTGATTGCTTCCTTGCAGTCGCGTCCCTGTTCCCCGATACCTGGATATGGGCTAGTGCACGAGAGTGGTTGGGCGACTATCGCTTTTCCCACTAGCGCCGCCGTGTACCATTTTTTCGAGACTCACACCAGTTCTCCTCCAAAAGATATAAAGCATTCCCCAGACTTCCCCACGTTCACCAGGTCAGCGACTCATCCCTGCGCCAGAGAGTCACCATGAAGTTCTACAGCAGAAAGACCGAGTCGGCAGTCGTCGCCTCTACTCAAGAAGACATGCTCAGCATCGTTTCAGCATGGTCTCCTGAGGAGCGTGCTGATCGAGAGAAAAAGTTTGTGAGGAGGATCGATAGACGCCTGCTTCCTATTCTGGTACGAAGCTTCCACTGCTTGCGGATGACTTGACTGACTTCTGGGCAGATTCTCATGTATATCATGAACTATATCGATCGAAATGCTCTCCCACAAGCACGTATACAAGGTCTCGAGGCTGATATTGGTCTGAAAGGGGTAGAGTACAACGTTGCGCTATCGGTACTATTTGTCGGCTATGTGAGCATGCAGATTCCCAGCAACATGATCCTAGGTATAGTTAGACCAAGCTGGTATCTCGCCACCTGCATGGTCGTTTGGGGAATTGTGAGTGGCTGTAGCGGCGCTGTCCAAGGCTTCGGTGGTCTGGTAGCTGCACGATTCTTTCTCGGCATTACTGAGTGAGTCTCAATCCCAGTCAGAACGTGAACAAGACTGAAAAATCCTATAGGGCTCCCTTTTTTGTAGGAGTAGCCTTCCTCTTCTCGGGTTGGTACACTAGGAAAGAGCTCGGCACACGACTGGGCATCTTCTTTTGCGGCGCCATGCTTTCAGGGGCCTTTGGCGGTCTGTTTGCAGCTGGTATTGCTGCAGCTTTTCGCAACAACAGAATTGAAAGCTGGCGGTGGCTGTTCATCATTGAAGGTGTTGCTACCGTGGTATTCGCTGTTGCCACTGGTTTCATCATTCCTGATTGGCCAGCCACAACGAAATGGCTCAGCGAGGAAGAAAGAGCACTTGGCGTCGTGCGCCTCGTGGAAGACGCCGGTGATGAAGAGGAAGACATTAGTACAAATGCAGCTTTCAAGATGGCAGTGACCGACTATCGTGTTTGGCTCTGCATTCTTGGTCAAGTACGTCAACGCATATCCACTTCTTGGTCGTATGCTTACAAGATCCAGGTCTGCGTTCAGGCTGTTGCCAGCTTGACCAACTTTCTCCCAACTCTGGTTCGGAACTTCGGCTTCTCTACGATACACACACTTTTGCTTACTGCACCACCTTACGTTTTGACTGCAGCGATATGCGTCTTGAATACCTGGAATTCTGACCGCACTTCGAATCGATCGCTGCATATCGTTGTTCCTACTCTTGCCACTGTTGCTGGCATTATCATCACGCTCGCCACCACGCACATTGGTGCACGATATTTTGCACTCTTTCTCATGCTGCCAGGCACGTATGCCTGCTTCCAAGTATCAAATGCCTGGATGGCAAGCATTGCAGCCAGACCACGCAAGAAGCGTGCAATTGCTTTGGCTATGAACAACTCCTTCGGTAACACCGCCTTAACATGGACGCCGTATCTCTATCCAAGAAGCGATGGGCCACGGTATGTCAAAGCTTGGTCGGTGAACCTTGGTCTCTCGGCAATACTTTTGATCTCCACCATTGCGCTGAGTCTGTTGTTGAGAAGAGATAATCGCAAGGCTGATGCTGCAGCTGTACAGACTTTTAGCACTGAAACTAAGCGTTCAGACGGCCTCAAGAGCGACGACATGCATGAAGTCGTGGAGTCCGAGTTTGGTAATGAGACTGTTGGTCGTGAGTTGAGAGGGAGAAATACTGGTGCTACAGCAAGATTCCAGGTTTAGCTGCTTACAGTCCTCCCAGAAGCTTACAAAGTATTCGCAATATGTGCGTCTAATAAAGTGATTTCGAAGACTTGACCCTAGCCTAAGAATGGAGATCATCAATCACGCTGTCCAATACACCCATATATTACAGGATAGATGACAAAGTGGAATTAACACTTCTTGCTTACAAAGTTGTGATTTTCAGCATTGTTCTGGTAGACCTTCGTTCTTGCCTTCAACCAGCCACTATCTATACTTAATCATACGTCGGCACTCTGAATGGTGAGGTGGACAGTGTCTCATTAACACTTGGATACTAGTAGTTGCGTCGTGCCGAAAAGGTTGTCATCCGGCAATTTTATTTTATGCCAAGTCGGCAAGTTGCATTTGAACAGCATCATGCGCATGCGAAAGCCGATTTGCCGCTTTTCGTTCTTGTTCCTGCCTGTAACCAATGCTATTCTCAGTCATAGTTGCAAGCGAATGTTAGCTGGACAAGGGATGTGATCGAGGCAAAGCTGACATGATCAACAACCATGGACGAGAATACAGGCGCGAGTGATGGAATGGACATACAACCGTGGTCTAACGCGACAGTGCATTCGCCTAAGCACAAGAATAATAGTGGCAGAAAACCTCGTGCATGTATGCAATACGATGAGTTATGGAACGATGATCTAACATCCTCTTATCAGGCCATGGTTGTAAGAGGCTGAAGGTCAGGTGCGAGATACTGCCAGGACATCGACATTGTGTTCGCTGTTCGAGGAAGGCACTGGAGTGCAGATTCGTCGACGTTGCTGTGAACGATCATCAAGATGAATCCTTCACCACATTAGAGGAACATGGGTGAGATTACTTGATCGTCGGAACTAGAGTTTGCATAGACTGATGAACTCGAGACGCAAGCTTGACGTAATTCGAGATGAGATCCAGTCGCTTCGAGCAACTTTTGACGCTGTCCTATCAAAGAAAGCTGCCGCCGCGGATGATCTTGGATCGCTTACTACAGGGCAGACACCTCATTCGATGATGGGCAGAAGTGACTCAACACCACAAATAGGGACCTTTACACAGAGCCCCTTCGAGGGAAGCTTATCGAAGGATGATCACGGCATGGCAATGACGCGAGAACCGTCTCCGGAAAACATTGATGGGCATCAACGCCCTGACACTGCTGTGCAAGTGACTGAGCCTATGGGTAGTCTGTACGAAGTTACTAGACTCAGAAACATTCGGAGTAATCAAGCCAGAGTATCGCGTCCTGGTCTAGAGTCCTCAGGCCAAGTAGAGGATTTCATTGCCAGAGGGGTACGTTGACAATATAATATGGTCTACTTAACTGACCAGGAGCAGATCATAGACGAGGCAGAAGCCGAAGAGCTATACAACACGTAGGTTGCGAATGCTTCGCGCTACCACATCATGCTAATCATGATAGCTTTCACAACTCACTGAATCACTATTTATGGGTTGGCATCGAGCAAATACATACTAGCTTGACATCAGTTCGGCGTTCCTCACAACTCTTGACAGCAACTATCCTCACAGTCACAGCTCTTCATATCCCAACGAGCACTAAGACTTTCGACAACTGTTATCGTGAGTTTCTGTCTTTGATTTCTTCTTCCATGTTCTCTCGCTACCACTCGATCGATGATGTGCGGGCGTTGTGCATTGCAGCATTCTGGCTGTCTGATGTATCTTGGAAACTCTCGGGTCACGCTATTCGTGTAGCCACCGAGCTTGATGTCCATAATGCTTTCTTCAAAGCGCTGGAAGGTGATCGAGAAGCCTTTCTGCGAGCTAGATTGTGGTATATGCTATACGTTTGTGATCACCATTTCAGCATCGCCTATGGACGACCACCGATGATCAGCGAGAGTCTGCAAATACGAGAACACGAACAGTTCCTGAAGCTGCCATTTGCAGATGCTCTGGATTATCGCATTCTCTCTCAAGTGGCGCTATTTCAGATCATGACGCGTATACACGACACATTTGCTGAAATGCGCTTGCCCCAGCACGACAATGCTCGCGCTGTGCTTTCATCACAACACTTCCCATGTATGCGACACTTTAACTTGGAGATTGACCAGTGGCGAGTCAAATGGCAATCCCTCCAGCGCCATAATACCTTCATCGGCACATTTCCACCAAAAGGCATCATTCTGTACAGCTACTTCGCCAAACTCCAGCTCAACTCATTCGCAATCCGTGGTATCAGCACCAGCCAAGAAGACATGGCTACTGAGCGAAAGGAGTTTGTGGATACTGCAATTTCTGCTGCAATGTCAGTCCTTACCTTCGTGCTGCAGGAAGCCGATATGCGCCGCGCCCTAGTGGGAACGCCACTATATGTCCATACTATGATCGCTTTCGCGTCAGTCTTCTTGTTGAATGTGGCGACCATCAAGTCGCAAGGCGCTCCGCTAGGTCGTCACTTTAACATCGATGCCCAGTTGACGTGGCACAACGTGGAAGCTATGGTCAAACTGCTTCGGAGTATGATTGTAAGCGATCGTCACCTGATCCAACATGTTGCGGCAGGTTTGGATACGATGTTGCAGAAGGCGAAAAGTGTCGCCAGTGGTATGCCTGTTTCTCGAGGCCTTTCGGAAGAGAACAGCATCGCTCCACGGCAATACGACCACTCGCAAGCTGATCAGTCGAGGCAGAAGTCACGACAGCAGGAATTTTGGAATGACAACAGGAACGATATCTCGCGTTCCTCGTTTGTGGATCCAGGCATTGCTGGTTCAAGCATGGAGATGGGAGATAGCTTCGTCGACGATGATCATATGATGTTCATGAACGAGACCATGTTGTACGATGCGTTTGGTACCGACACAACAAATGAAGTGTATAATCTCTTGAGCAATCAGTTCTCCTGCTGAGTGGCAAGGTAAATCGAAATGCATCAACCCGTTCAAGAAATGGACTGATGTGAAAAGGCAAAGGAGCGTTGCTATACGTCGGACTAGCCGCATCCACTGGTGCAGTTGATGTTGCGTGCACCGGGTGCGATTGGATTTTCCGATATATATCCATCAAGCCTGGTCGTCCTGTGGCGGAGACGCGCGATAATTCGAGCTGTCGCATACAGGATCGAGAGTCAAGATTTACCGATTCTCCAAGTTTCCTACCTTGTTTCACCAGATCCCTCGTTTCTTTCCTCTGATGCTTCCCAGCGAAACGACATACTTGCAAATGAGTTCTTCTGCCCACTAAGTCGTCCCGTTCGCCAGTGTTCTTCTGATATGAGGCGCGTGAGAAGTTCTTACGGATGATCTCTATTTCGCCATCCTCGATTTGTATCGAAGTCGCCTCATATATATTCAGCAACGATAACTCATTGTGGAATCTTGTACGTGACGTAAGTAGCTGCCTGAGAATCGGAACTTGAGGCCTGACTCGGAAATGCTTGTCATGAACGGAGGTCGGAGATTGCTTTCTGGCTGTGTTTTGTTGTGCAATCATTCGATTCAGCCGCAAAGATTCAAGCCCAAATCCTACGATCGATGCATTGAGCACCTCACTCTTCAAACAATTGAATGACTATTCGCGTTCTGCAGAAGTCCTTCAATGTGCTCACGTTGAGGAGTCAGACCTGTGTCAGGTAACCAAGGTTTTGACGAGCACGTTTTGACGATCACTTATGGAGCCAAATGTCGGCTCACGATTCGTCCTACCAAAGAGAAAGGCGCACAGGCATGACTGTAACACCAATGTTTGGACTGTCTTGCATGGCAGCCAGAACATGATACACAAAGTTGGCTATTCGTAGAGCGTGTCGTGCACTCCTGTCCTTTAAAGGTTCAACACGGCCTGTTCATTCGCTCTTGCCGTTCGGTTGATCGCCAAAGGAACGGAACAACAGTGGAATGTTTCAAAATCTGTTGGCGCTAGCCACACGAGCCAATGCAGGTACAGTTCTTTGGGCTCCAAGTGGCTCTGAGCAAAAGCTTAATTCAAAAACTCAGCTGATATCCAGACGCCGTTTTCCATCTTGAATTCCTTTATTGTTCTTCCTCATCCATCCTCGTGCTTTGTGTTTCTTTCCACAACCATTACGACATTCTTTTGACACCTCTGATTACCGTCCTTCGACCTTTTCTAATTCGATACACTCGTTCACGATGAAATCTTCAATTGCAGCTCTTATCGGAGGTGCCTCTACTGCCCTTGCAGCCGTCAGGGGGTTCAACTATGCCGCTCAGGAGCAGACTCGTTCTGCCTTTGAGGCCTCATTCAGGACGGCCGCAGCACTAGAAGGAACCGAAGATTATACTAGTGCAAGATTGTACACTATGATTCAAGAGGGTACTACAAATACCCCTATCGAGGCTATTCCAGCTGCAATCGATACCCAAACCACCCTCCTTCTGGGATTGTGGACATCTTCACCCCAAAGCACTTTCGATAACGAAATCGTCGCACTCAAATCTGCAATCTCTCAGTACGGCTCTGCCTTCGCCGATTTGGTTGTTGGTATCTCGGTTGGTAGCGAGGATCTTTACCGAATCTCAGCGACTGGCATTGCCAATGATCCTTTGGGTGTAGGACAAACACCAGACGTCCTCGTCAATTACATCGGTCAAGTCCGAAAGGCTATCGAGGGAACGTCCTTGAGCGGCAAGCCTATCGGTCATGTCGACACCTGGAACGCTTTCCTCAACAGTTCGAATTCAGCAGTCATCGCTGCCTGCGACTTCCTCGGTCTCGACGAATACCCCTATTTCCAAACCACCGACCCAAACAGCATCGAGAACGGAAAAGAGCTCTTTTTCGAGGCATATGACAAGGTGCAAGCTGTTGCTCCAGGCAAACAAATTTGGGTCACTGAGGCTGGATGGCCAACGGTTGGTGCAAAGTCTGGTGATGCTGTTGCCAGCATTGAAAACGCTGAGATCTTTTGGCAAGATGTTGCTTGCGAGCTAGAGGATCGAAACATTGACTTTTGGTGGTACATCCTCGAAGATACTGGTGCCAATCCTTCTTTCGGTGTCAGCCAGGGTGGCAAGCCGCTCTACAACCTTGCCTGCAATGCTACTTCCAGCAGCAATTCTACTTCAAGCCATTCAACCACCGGCGGCAACTCGACCAGCACTGGTTCAAGCACCAATTCCACCTCATCCGGCTACCACAACGGTACTGCCTCCACTTCAAGCACCACACGGGCTACTGGAACTGGCATCTCCGCCTCTTCTTCTGCATCTGCTACCTCTGGCTCAGGTTCTGGATCTGGTAGCTCAGGCTCGTCCGCCACTCGTTCTGGCAGTGCTTCATCTCCTAGCGTCTCCAGCTACATCAGTGGTGCCGGAAAGGTTGAGGGAACAATCTTCAGTCTTATCGTCGCTGCCATCATGGCTGCACTGGCTTTGTAAAAGTTTTGCTTCAAGTTGTGTGTCCTTGGGATGTTATCGGTTTTGGGAAATATTATGTTGCGATAGACAAAATCAGCTAGATTTGGCAATACTTGCGATGTACATCTAACGAAACATATCAAATCTGCTCATTCTTTGCTTCTCACCCTGTCTTTGCCTCTGCACGCGACTCTAGTGGATCAACTCGTGGAACCAAAACGACTAACTTTGTGGAATGAGCTCAGCTTGCCTAGCCAGGAGGATGCACTCATCAAGAGACTCATTACACCCCTTAGAGGTACCTCGATTTTGACCCTTGCCGCTCGCCTCATCAAAGCCATAGTGATTGTTCACATCACTCAGACACGATCGAAGCGTCGCTTTTGAGAACATAACATCGGTCTTATTTGTCCCCTCACAGCCTCTCAACTGTTCCTATCTTCCCAAGCTATTCTGCAGCGGTCGCTAGAACAAAGACGGCTATGGTCGAGTATGACGCCCTTAATTCGAATACAATTCCTGCAAGCCGCAATCCATACTCAGAAGTTTGCCTCAACCTGATTAGTTTAGATTATTGATGTGTGGCTTGAGCAGATATGGCAGCAGGCAGGACGACATCCTCTCTTTTTCTCAAGAGCTGCGACGTTGCCAACAGTATGTCTCCACTAACATTCTAGCTCTCGTGCAAGACCTTAGGAATCCGCTCCCACTGCTGAAACGTCAGCACTCCGCTTATTGTTAGATCAGTCTCGGGGCAATGACTCTAGAACAAAAAAACATAGAGGCTGGGAGTCGTGGTGAACCAATATCGAGCCAATAATGAATAGGCAACAAGCGTCACTGCTAGCTCGCATCACGAGTAAATAGCCTCGATAATCACTGGATGAGAGGTATACTCATTGTTCACCAAAACTACTCAATGAGTCTACCAAAAGAAAAGACGGTGTGCAAAGACGCTCCAACCACGACAGCTCGGCAGAACAGATGGTTCAAATTGATTAGTATCCTATAGGTAGGCAAGAGGTTGATGTGCAGATCAGAAAGATGTTCTAATCTTTCCATGTTTCTTGAATAGGGTCGCTAGTATATTCTTCTCCAGTCAAGCTACTGTTCTGCTTAGTCTGTATGCTTTAAACCGCTCGAATTAGTTCCGAGTCGGTTCCTTTGCTTGTCAACAGCAACTCCCTTACTGTTAATCTCCAGGAAGGCGTACATGTCAGTCGAGCGGCGGAGCGATGTCAAAATTTTTGTCATGGCCAGATGCGGCGCTGTACACCGACTTGCTTTTCAGATGTGGGCACGACTCACCAAGACAGACACGTGTAATCTTAGGGCTAACAATGGCTCACCTCGGTTTGGTTGATGGTATCCTCGTGGTGGTAGACGAACAGGTATACTGAAGCGCATCGAATAACTATTCAGTCAATCTTACCACAACCTGATCACACCAGAACATCAGTACGACTGTAGTTTGAGGTCATATTAAGGCTCCTCATCGCGTAAGAATCATTACACTTTCCATGCTAACTCTCATTCGTTGTTACTAGCACAACGCAATGATCTATCTCTATTCTTACCGAGGTGATATTACGATATTTAAACGACTGACATTTGCATAGTCCCTACAACGTGGACTGGCTATCAGGAGACGCCATAAAAGACCTAAACATCGGATTTCAAGTTACAATTACAGCTCGCGTAACTCGCAACTGCTCTAACAGACTATGATCTGCCACAGCAAGTCACGATCAAGGCTCTCCCTGCGTTCTCGTTTGCTGTTGCAGAGACTCTTTCAACCTCCGAGAATGGTGACGCCGATAAATAAGGCCAAGCGATCGCCGAGAGAAGCTGCAAGGAAAGCTAACGACCAGTCGCGGCAGAGAACCAGAAAGTACCACGACAGCAGACGTGAGGATGAAGAGCGACAGTCTCTGTACGGTATTGGTCCGAATCCAAGACATACATACAAAACTACCATAACCGTAACGAATTAACTCGACTATACGAAGAACAGATCATGTGATGGAGTCGTCTCTGTGCAGAAAGAATCTGACTGGTGAAGATGCAAGCCGTGTGCATAGCACAGGCACAGCCACATAGCATTTGAACAAAGATAGATTTCAATGAAATAATCAATATGCATACTAAAGAACACAAAAGCTCAAATACAAGCAACCTCGTCCGCGAACCACCTACTTGGATCTAAGGATCACTAATATACATTGGGTATCTTTTCATGAACGCCAAAATCAATGCCTGAACTTTTTCCGCGAATCCAGCCCATTATGAATCTATTCTCTATTTCCCAGTGATCCAGCTACTTACCAAACCATTTTCCCTTGTTTTGACTTCCAGCGTCGTCTATCGTGTCGTATCGTGTCGTGTCGTGTCGCGTCATATCGTGTCGTGTCGTGTCGATTGTACATTCAGCTCGGTGTCGTATACTTACCACCTGACAAGTTTCCTCTTGCGTATTGTCATGTCGTAGGGGCTCCCTAGCGACAAGCAACTCCAGCAAGACAAGGTACCTGCGCAAAATCCCTCACGTGCAGCCGTCTCCTGATGGCACCACTCAAGGGGACGCTCGAAGAGGCAAGCACGGTCGAGACGGTCGTCACAGACGTCGATGTCGTTGTTGTCGTTGTTAGTGTAGTCGTGCTGGCGATTGCATAGAGTAGTCCTGATGGGGTGTTGGTTGCTGTCGTGGTGGGTGATATAAATGTTGCCAATTGGTAGCTCTCGGTGCCGTTCAAAACTACGGAGCTGTTGCTGATTGCTGTGTTATTAGTTAGGTTAGTATTAGAGTAGGTCATATTGTTCAGCCCTGTCGTGTTGGCAAGGATAGTGGCAGAGGGAACCGCAATTACCGTGCTCGTAGCGTTGGTGTCTGGTAGTGTGATGGTCAACGTGAGTGCCGGCACAGTAGCTTGGAATACCGCTTGTGGTAGGGTGATAGTCATGGGGGCCGAGCTCATGGACGTTGTCGTAGAAGCTAACGTAGCTGGAGACGAGGTGGTAGAGGAGATGGTAGTAGACGATGATGTGGTGGTAAGAGTAGCCACCGAGGCTGACAAAGGCAAAGAGGCGACTGCTGCTGCTGCTAAGCCCACAGTAGAGGTAGTACCAGCAACTGTGGCGCTGAACGTGGTGCTTGATGTGCTTGCGAGAGTCGACGTCACAAAAGTCCGAGGCTGGACCGTAGTAGAAGTGGTAATATTGGCTGCAAGCCTGATCTCAGCGGTCGTGGTGGAGTCGAGTCCAGCCAGTAGTTGAGGTCCAGGAATAGTATAGTTGCTCAAAGCTTGATAGATGTCGATGAACAGCCCAGGGTCAGTCTGCCTGTACATCTGAGTTGCCTGCGTGCCACCTGATAAAGTATTGGTACCTGTACCAGTTACTTTGAGATTGATGCACTGAGGATAATTCTGAGCACGACCGAGAGTCTGGGCTTCTTGTAACGCGATGATCTCGTTTCGCAATACGTAGTTGCCTGGTGCGACCTGAGAGGGAATGGTGACCGTCCAGCTGTTGTTGTTCGCAAGCAGCTCGTTGACGGCCCATTGTCCAGGAGAGCTGCCACCTTGGATAAGGCCGACTTCGTCTATTTTGTTGAACAACAAATCGGTCTTGGCCACATTCGTGCATTCGCCATTGCAGTTCGCCAGGTAAGTGAGAATTGGCCCAAGATGAGCTGTTGGCCATGGAGTCCATTGTAAAGTGACAGTATCGCCAGCTTCTACTGTCACGTATGTCTGACCGGGAGTCGCGCCAAGGTGACAGATGATGTCAGGCGAGGTATAATCGCTAACATAGCCATTATCGATGTTCAATGGGTCTGACCAGCCTGCTACCTGTGGGGTCGATTGTTGCCACTGAAAGTTTGGTCGGTAGCCCTGGTAATATTGTCCCTCTGCCACTATGCCCTGAACATAACCGTGTGCTGCTGCTGGTGATATCGTGGTGAGAGAGATTGCCAGGGCTCTCATGAGCGAGAAGTTCTTGTTAGTCATCTTGGTCGATCAGAAATAGACTTACGGCTATTTCAGTTGGTGGACAAGAGGGGATGGGTAGAAGGGTAGCTTATCACTCGGCGCGAGATGGATGTTTGTGTTTGTGTAACGGGCCCAAGGCTATTCAAGCTAAGGTGAGGGATTAGCTTAGAGTAGATGCTTAGAGTCCCGGATACAAGAGGTAGGAGATGGTAGGAGAACGACCTATGTTCCTAGGGGTAGGTTCTGTGTTATTTGAACATCTTATGAAGCCGTCGTCGTAACGTCTTGTGGATCTCATTTGCAGTCGCGACGAGCAGTCACAATGAGAGTGTTGCCCATAGCAACGATATAAGGAAAAGAAGCAGCAAAACTCTATGCAAAGTGGACCTCGGTCACGGATCCCGCTTGATCAACCTGTTGATACGAAGTGAAATTGGAACTTCGTTGTTTGACCGAAAAAAGGTAGGCAGAGTTCGTGATACTGATTGAGGTCCAAGAGCTTGAGTGGAGACGTAATCCTCCGAGCCGAGCGATTTGTGGCGCGAGATGAACATTTTAGGTGGATTCGCAGGCTGTCGCTAAGCGAACCAATGACTAGTGAGTTGGTGGCGCAGCATGGACACGGATGGCTTTTCGCCTCCACACAAAACTCAAAAGTTGTGGTAATGGGAATCCTGGACCGAGCGGAACGGCCACTGTCAATCATGGAAATCCTGGGCCGCTGGCTGCTATCCTAGTTCGATACTGCTGTACTCATTTAATGTCCGAAACGCTGTAGGGTCTGGGCCTGCGTTGGGCACGAAACTACTACTCGCCACAGCTTCCGAATCATTGTGAACTTATTGCTAGACACCTTGCACTATCATACTCATTGAAAACCTTAACTTCTCACCTGGTCGAGCAGGCGACGATTTTGTTTGTAGTACTAGGCGTGCTGCTTCGACCAGCATTCACGTGCCTCGCTGTGACGTCACTATGGCCCTGATCGGCGCTCCCAGCAATTTTTTGGTGCTCTTGTAGAATTTATGTTCTTCTGATACTAGTGGCAACTACCGCAGAACATGAAGATCGTACGGCGTCTCTTGTATTCGTATCTGTATATGGCAGTGCCTGAGCCGAAGCAGCTTGATCGCTAGACAATTTGAAGTGGAACGAGGAAAGACAACCCACAGATCATGCTCTCCATGCGTGCATACCGTGTCGAGGTTCACCGTCGTTATAGCGACGACAATATCCTGAGATCTATAGACTGATCCAACGTCACTCCTTACATGCCTGCGCAGGTTCTGCATTTGTCAAACCTGGGCTATCTGGTTCTTACGCGCAGGAAGTGTTATCCCGGTCCTGAACAACTAGCACAAATCTACCTTCTCTTTTTCGCCATTGCTACCAGAAAAGGCCATGTTTGCATTCGACTAGATCCACGACAATACAAATGACAGCTCACCTACCAGAGCTAAATCTCCTTGCATGATTCTACCTATTAGAGCTATTTCTTATTTGCAGATGGGCTATCTGAGCTGACTAGCCGAATTGTTGCCTTGGGCACAGTAAAAACGACCTGCACTGCTTGTTCAACTGAAACTTTCGCCGTGTCCGATACACCCTCGTCACCTTGTTCACCTCCATATGTCAAGGACGACGTTCTTCTCGATTCCACAGGTCGGCTAGAGACCCTAACCTTTCGTGCTTTCCTATCACGTTGGGAGTCGACGCCAGAACTTATCGCTCTTCTAGCACTTTCCGACCAGTTTATCTGAGTTGCGTCCTTGCCTGAATGATGATGATCGCTTGGTCTCAGTCCATCGCCTCCTGCTTCAACGTTGATATCGATCGTGCTTGATAATCTCTTTGCGACACGATTCAAGATGGTCGATGTTTCTTGCCGTTGTGCTTGCATTCCGTCTGCATCGCAGCGTTCTTGCGGAGTACTTCTTTTTCTGCGCGAGCGCGGTGCTTGAGGTCCTGGAGCAGCTCGAGTCAGTTTCGCAAGAGGCTTTGGTTTTCGTAGTTCATGAACCAGCCTAGCGTTGGAGGACCCGATCTCATGATTGTGACATGGCACTGCGGTATCTCGTACTTCGGGGCATGATAAAGTCAAAGCCTTGCCAGAAGCCAGCTTCTTATCTGCCAAGCTCTGATAGCATCGTGTGGAAGAAGCACCTTCTTGCTGGCGAGGACTTCCGTTTGCTTCCCGCATCCACAATTCAACATATCTGGATCCTGGTCGAGACATGACGGAGAGAGGTGCACTATAGGGACGCCTTTTTGTGTATAGATTCTCCCAGGTTCGACGCGGATGCTTTCGCCGACGAGCCGACACAACACATATCAAACCGATTGCACTGATAATGAGGAGTGTCACGACACCAATTATTGTTGCTGCTACCATTTGTGAACGCGAGATGGGACTTGGCGAGCTCTTGGCGGCGTTGACATCTGAGTAGCTGGAGGCCGATGGGCTCAAATTCACGTTGTCGACTGCTATCGTTGACAAGCTTGCTTGATTATTTCCAGTGGGCGTACCGGATGCCCAATCTATTGTCGGTAGTTCTGTTTGTTCAGGAGCAGACGACGACGTCAACGCATCGTATTTCCTGAGTGCGGGTTTCTGATTAGGTGAAAGTCGATTCATTTCTGAACCAGAATCTTGGTCCAGGCTGGTACAGTGGTATGTCAGCTCCTCGCTATGTGTAGTTGCGATCAATGTCACCTATGTTGTTGCATACTGCGTCAGAATGCGTTCCCGAATTTCCCCTCGCAAGACCAAGAAGCCAGATGTTACCTCCAACAAGCAGAATAATAATAAAGTTACGAAGAGCACTACTATGTCAGTGAGTCAACACATCTCGCCGATCATACAGTCGGAAACAGTTTCGCTCTCTTGAGGCGCACAGCCTGTAAGCAACTACTGCTCAGTGGAGCTGATAACGATGTTGGATAGGCGACCGATACTCTACCTGCATGGCTCATACCCAAAGTACAAGATTGGGGCGTTGTCGTCTAGGCAAACATCCCGAACAATGTCCCAGATCTGGGGTGACATATCGTTCTACTGCCGCCAATTGGTACCGCTGAAACCATAGTCCATAGCAATATTGAAGACATTGTGCAGTGGCGTGGTTCGACCCGCAGCAGTACATCTCGATGGCATCGCAAGCTTCGAAACTAGTGACGAAAGATCCGAATCGGCTATCTATCCGGTTTAAACTTCAAGACAAGGAGCGCACGCAAACTGCTCCTTCAGCGTGTGGTGCGTTGAGATGGTGTGATAGAAATGGCTTTCACAACCAGAGGTTGCCTATCTGCCCAGCATCCGTAAGATCGACGTTGAAGCCCCACAATTGACTCGCTAATGCGGCCAAATTGCGACTCCTTCACTAGTCTCGACGGTCATCAGCGAAGGAAGTTTTGTCGAATAGCAGAGAAACGATGAAGATATTACGGAGGCTCTTGACACAGCAGCACATTCTATATGACGTGTCTTCTAATCGGCTATTCACTCCGAGGCAACGTTGAAGCACTTCGCAGGTAAGCACGTACATCTAAATGGGATCCATCAATACGTAGATGGCAGATTGCGCAGGTGTGTTTCCGCAACAGCTATCTAGATTCCAAGTGGTTCAGATATGCTTGACAACTTGCCTCTCTCCTCTCAAGCGAACACGTTCATGCACAATGAAATTAGGAAGGGGGAAAATTCTTTTCTTGAGGTCGAGGAAGGTCCTCTTAGAAAGGTCAAAAATAGAAATGCATTCTGACGAGCCTAGCAGTTTCATATTGGATTTGGTTGACGATGGGCACGCATTCTCGATTCGTGCCGCGCCACATTCGTAATTCACGGCGAATTGCGTATTCCCGACACCTTGCCGGGTACTCCCTTGCGGACGCCTGCATTTTGTGCCCAGAGACGAAATTCTGGGTCACGTATCACTCCCCACAGTGGCTCAAACATGCGAACCTACATTAGCCTTCCGCCGTACTAAGATTTGGATGATCGCAATGTCCGAGTCGTTTCGACCTCTGGAAAGAGACAGAAATGCTGGCGTTCAATACCATATTTGACGGCGACATAGCTACGTCCAAGGGATGATGTATCGAGGGCCGCATGCAGCTTTGTTCGATCGAATTGTCGAATGAAGTTGTGTCCTTGTAAGACTGCTGATGCGAAAGTTCCAGATACGTCAGTATTGAAGATGTAGGGCGTGCGAGTAAAGTACTCATGATTGTGGTTCACGAGATAGTTGTAACGCAACCTGCCTTCGCTACCTTCTCTCACTCTCTGCAACAGATTGTGTTGGAAACAGGATTAAATCGACTCCTGGACAGTTCAACCAGCAGTCAAAATCCTCGGTCCTTGGGCGCCGCGGAATGTCCATGAATTCCATGTGGAGCCTCTAGTGACCGTGATCAACGTTGTCACAGCTACTGTGGCTGTGTTTGTGAGCGACATCAGGTCCACAGCTATCGTGCTGGGTTGTGCTAGCAGAGCAGCAGGCGGCGTTGTTGATGAGGTCTGTGTCGTGGTAGAAGCAATCGTTGACAACGAACTTGATGATGGAGTTGATATCGAGGCCGACGTCGACGTTAATGTTGAGATTGAGCTCGACATTATGAGTGGAGGAGATATTACTGTACTATTCGTAGTGGTGGACGCGGAAGGTGCGAACTGGGTTGTGCTAAAGTTTAGGGATGTCGGGAAGACGTCGGTATTTGATGTTGCTGTTGAGGTGATAGCGACGGATGCTGCGTTTGCCGTAGTGCTGCCAGCTGCACACAATGGATGTGCTGCCATGTTCTCGTTACTCGTGACTGGGTTGCAACCAGGAAGAGCAGCAAGTCTGCCAGTAATCTGTTCATTGACCACACTTGGAGCTTGAGGGCAAGTCCTTGCAAAATCGACATCCGAGCTTGCAAGCAGAGCAGGGCAAGCTGAGATGACCCCATTATTGTCTGTATACAGACAGTTCTCTACTGCATCTTCGAGGACTTGTTGATTCCAGCCATTCATGAAGTCTGCATGAAAGCCGAATCCCGTTGCATCACCATTTGATAGCACAAATCTGCCGTTTGGTTCTTGCGCTATTTCGTTGACCCAGTAAAGCACCCTATCAATTGATGAGCTCAAATTTAGAAGATTTTAAGATAGATATACTGACTCTAAGAACAGTAAGGGCAGAGGAACAGGATGTGTCGGCGGGCACTCGCCATAGTTTATTCCCGATGTGTGAGCGATATGTCGACTGTATTCGAGAAACAAGTTTTGTCCGTCCCAGCAAGAGGGGAAGTTGATCTGCGCTCGGAGCCCGTTCACACAATTCGTTGGTCCGATGTAATGGGTTTCTGGAATGTCGTTAGCTTCGTTGATACAGCGGAAACTTACCTGATCTGCCACAGGCCGAACGTTGTTGTAAGTCAACGTGAGGTCGTCGTAATGTCGCAAGTTGGAATTGCCCGCTACCATTCGGAAACCAGGAGGAAAAGCTCTCGTATTAGAGACATCACCACCCACCCCTAACTATGTTAACTCAAGCTTCACGTCAGCGTGGCGCGACCACATACCAACATAGTAGACAGTCGTTCCCTCATTGCGCACATCTTGGAAAGTACCATCTGCATACTGATAGTATAGTTTTGGGGTCCAATAAGCAGACTTATCTTCCTGCACCTCGCAGGTAGAGCAGTTCGAACTCTGTAAGCTCTCTCCTGTAGAAGCAGCATTGACATCTTCCTCATTAGTCTGTATCTGCAGATAGCTGGATCAGGGAAACACACTTATACCTCCAGCGAATTTGTGTGTGTGGTTCGAGATTCTCCCAAAGTCAAGTACAGGGTCGACTCTCGACTCCTGAGAGACACTGCATGGCATGCGCCAGTAGGCTGAAGCATAGTCTGAATGGATGATAAAAGCTATGAGTGTGGAGAGTGTAAGCATTGTGTAGGTTTGTGACACGGTGAGTATAGCGACAAGAGAAAATGCTGTAAAGAATGAACCAGATATCGAACGTCGTGTGACTAGATATCAGCTTGTAGCAACGACTGGTAGTTGCCTCAGCAACATGAGAGGCGATAGTGCGGGCCACGAACATGGTGAGGATATCTTAGTGGAAAAACGTCGACCAATAAGCAAGGCACGAGGTGATGTAGCTTCTTTGCACTCTACCAAGACTAACTTGGCTGGCACAATCCTTACCGCCATAGTCAGCGACTTCGCACGACCAAGTAGTGATATGATAAGAAACATAAGGGATAACTCAGTCATGGTACGAGATAGACAATTGTGCACCTTATCGCCGATGGATAGTGTACATGGTTTGACTCTTACAGGTAGCCTGTCCCAGGAGAGAAGTAACGTCGATCTGTTCACCCTTGCGTCAGAAATAAGTAGACGACGAGACTGGCTCTCTGGCTACGAATCTGGGCATGCCTTACACAGCACTGAGTGCGGTACCAGAGACATACGTTCCAGCGCCACGCCGAGTGTTTCGTCCCCTCGCTGGACCAACCATCTGGGGACTTCCGACCAAGAGCGAGTACTGACGGTAGATGGGTACCGAGACACGGAATGGTCCGCCGATGACCACTGCCTCAGTCGTAGTAGCGACCACACGATGGGGAGCTTGAAATATAAACTTTCGTGGCGCTGATATGCCACACCTAATATCTAGAACGAGCGACTCCTCGAGCCAAGACATAAAATATTTGACATCAATCGTGCGCTAAGCGGTTCTTATTCAAGAATTTGTCGATGCTGAATGTGCACGGATGATTTCCGGACGGTTCCTAATCTTCTATGGTACACTAAACCAGTTGAGGATGCGAGCTCACTCATCCCTGTTGTTATGAGGTGGACGTGAGCAAGGAAAAAGATGCTACTAATATGGGCGTGAGTCGAGTGTGCTAGCCCTCGTCGATCGTGGAAGATGCCCTAAGCCATGAATTAGAGCGGTCGCATGAATTGGATGTGCTGCGAACCTAGCCTGGTAAACAACATCGCAATCAAAATTAGCTTTTAGCTCGTTTATTGGAGATCGAACTGTTGGCCAATCGGAGCGTTCGTCAGGGTGCTTACAAGGCCAAAGTTCGGAAATTATCACGACCGACAACACACGTCCCGTTCCTCATCCAGACAATAAACGCTGATTCCAGACATTCGAATTATGGCACTGCTCTTTGTCGGAAGTAACTCAAGACAACAATGGCAATCTATTGTGACAAATGCGTGGTGGCTTACTGGCAGAGACCGAGAGTCTACATTGAAGGAGATCATCGCACCATGAAAGCGAAAGCAAAAGTTGTCATTCGATAAGCAAAGCCTTCCCGAATCGCGAAAAACGCGCGACGAGTGAATATACTTGTTTCATATTTGCAGGCTAGCTCATGATTACGCGTCACGAACTGTCAATGTCCTCCATGCAGCAGCCTGACTGTGGCTTAAGTATACGCGCGAAGAGCTACTCATCTCTCCAGTAGCGATAAGCGAATGGGCTGTCGATGCCAAGTATGACATTCTCGGGCTGCCATTGCGCAATATGAATACCGATGGATCAGTCGGAGGATTTCCCTCCGCAACAGATGGTCCAGACACACGACAGGGAGGCCAATGTAAGTAGCGAATACTTCTGACGCCGCGAAGGTTTGTGTGAGAACCACGGCTGCAATCATTGCTTGAGTCCATACCAAAACCAATTGCTGGCAAGATCTTTTTAGCAAGAATGATGACACAGCTCGTTGCTCATCTTGAAAACATTAATGAAATCAGCACTCCACTTGTCCCCTTTCGCTTGAGTGGAGCAGGCGCCACACTATCTCGCCCCACCAACCTCGCTACTGCATGAGCCGAAGCACGAACGCAACATCGCAAGCTAACCTTGCAGCTCGACTCAATAAGCGAAAGATGGCGCTCACTAAGAACGAGCAATAGGTGTTTGACCTAAAATTCCTTCTTGTGGATGAATCCAGCTGGTTGCCGTCAGCCCCAATATGTCAAGAAATATTCTAATACTTGCAGCTTTTGTCCTGTTAAACTCTAGCATGTGCATGGCCTTCAGCCAACTGCTCATGGCTTGAACTCACTTTACCGCCCGGTCTCAAAGCGCTCTTCGCTGATCTGCTAAGGTTCTCTTATGTTGCCTAGTGAACATCCTAAGTAATACAATGTTTGAGTCGCGTTATGGCGGAAACGCCCTAAAGTCTCCGGTTCGCAGCATGGGTGACGACCTGCATTTTAATGTTCCGAAAGATCAGTGGATCTCATCTTGCAGCGTCGGATCAGACCTCACCTGTTACCATGGCATCTGCCTTCAGAGATGCTTGCAGCCAGCACAGCCTGTGACTGGTAAATTGACAATGAACCTCGTGCGCTTATACAGGCGCCTTGAGCTCTTCAAGCTCTACAAAAGGTTATGCTCTATCTTCTGTGGCTTCTCTCTGTGTGTAACTAGAATCGTCAACGTCTTACTAAGCATTGAAGATGCATCTCATATTCTTACTGTTCACTCTCACAGTGGCAGCACAATATAACCTTGTCGACGACTATAACCCGACCAACTTCGCCAGCAAATTCAACTTCTTCACTGGTAATGACCCCACCAATGGCTATGTCAACTACATTTCCTACGACACCGCACGATCCTCCGGATTGTACAGTGTCTCAGATAACCAGGTCTACGTGGGAGTCGATTCCAGCAACAAAGCAACAGGCCGTGGACGCAACAGTATTCGCCTGGAAAGCATCAACTCCTACAAGTATGGGCTGATCATCCTTGATCTCGCGCATATGCCAGGTTCTGTTTGTGGAAGCTGGCCCGCCTTCTGGACCCTTGGAGTTGGTGAGACTTGGCCGTATGCAGGAGAGATAGACATCATCGAAGGAGTCAACAGCCAACGGAGCAACTCTATGGCTATACATACAGACGCAGGCTGCAGCATATCGAATGATGGGAACATGGCTGCGCAAGTGGTCACCACCAACTGCGATGTCAACGCTCCCAACCAGGCAAACAATCAAGGCTGCGCGGTCTCGTACGCCAACACAGGCTCCTACGGTGATGGATTCAATGCACAAGGAGGAGGAGTCTATGCAACAGAAATAACTTCAGCTGGGGTTTCGATCTGGTTCTTTGCTCGAGGTGCCATTCCAGCTGATGTCTCTTCCGGCTCTCCCAATCCAGCCCTATGGGGCTTACCTACTGGCAGATTTGCAGGTCCATGCGACTGGAACGACAAGATCGCGGCACAACAGATAATTTTCGATGTTACGTTCTGCGGCGATTGGGCAGGTAACGTTTTCAGCACTGATCCTGTCTGTAGCCCAAAGGCAAACACGTGTCAAGATTATGTTCAGAACAATCCGAGTGCCTTCAAGGAGTCGTATTGGTCAGTCAATAGTCTTAGAGTCTTTCAGCAGGGCGCACCCGGCGTCGCTCCTAGTTCAAGCAGGACCTCCCCAAGCATAACGACCACAAACTTTGCAAGTACTCCTTCCCCTATAATGACCACACTGACCACTGTGACACAGGTATCTCTCAGTACGACAACTACGTTCCCCATCGCGTCTCTCTCTCCAAACACATATACTCCGATCGCCGCGTCACAAACAGGCACAACCCCAATAACCCCGACAACAACGACTGAATTCTTGGCCAGTACTAACCCAACCACAGCTAACACAGTCGCCGCCTCTCCAGCTTCTGCATCAGCGTCTCAAAGCCGCTGGAGTAGTTGGCAAGGTGGATGGAACTCAGCCGCAGGTCAACGTCCTTGGAACAACTTTGCAGGTCAAGGTCAGCGCGGAGGTTGAAGGGAAAGCCTGGGAGTATTCCAAAACCAAATAACGACTTTCTGTCAACTCCACCGACAGACCTTGATCTCTTTTGAGACAGAGCTTCACGGCTGCTCTTTAGAGGCACTGGGAGACGCAAACGAGGTATTCGGATTCCCGAAGCCACGTCTGATCAGATATAGGCAACGCCTTGCTCGTCTGCGTTGTGACAATACACTCCACGACTCGAAAGCGATGAGATTGGACCAGATATCTATCGTATGAGGCTTCGGCAGCAGTGCGTTCTAGCCATCTGGCTGACGCTAGCAAGCCTCGAGAGGGTGAGATGAGGTTGTCCGTGTAAAACGGACAGCCATCAATAGAGCCCAGATCAACGGGACTGGCGAAGCTGCAAACTAGACAGCTTCAAGGAAGCGCAGAGGGTGCTTGGAAAGCCAACATCAAAATTAGGTACCCTAAACAAAATGCGAGGTGGATCTCATAGATTAGATGAAATGTTCTCATCAAGAATAAAATTGATTACTGCTATGCACTTTCTCTCCATACACTTTCTGAACGTACTGATTTTGTGGAAAGCGGCCGCGAGCAGTGGTATGTGACGTCAACGTGGTCACAGCCTGAGACTTGAGTTGTAAGCTTCAGTCGTCCTGGTTTCATACCAGGTATATCTGTGTCAAAAACTCTTATGGCTAGTTTGACATTTGTCGTCATTTGTGCTAAGCAGGAGCTGAAAGATAAGAGAGGCACCAACCAGTCTAGCAGCCACACTAGATTCTGCCTGGCATCGACTGATTGGTCACGATCGTCAACAGCTGAATGACTGGAAAGCCGATCACATGAATATTGGTTAAATAGTTCACATTATGAAATAGATTCTGGAAACATGGGAAGGAGGCAGTAATATTTACAGTGTACATAACACCATCCTGCGCATCTACTGCTCGTCTATATTGACATCTACAGTTACGTCGACGACTGTTTCCTCGGGAACAGTCGCCGCATCGAGCGTCAATGCCCACACTCTGCCTACAGTCGCATCTCCATTGAATGAACTCTCTTGCGCTGCAACTCCGTAGACACCGGCGCAATACCAAGTTGGATCAGCTTCAGCAGTTTCGTAGAATTGTACAATAGTCGCGCCGGCAGCGTAAGAATCTCTGACACACGCCTCGAGGGACGTCTCTAGAGTCCATCCTCCATGGTTGCTATCGTCGCCTGGAGGGTTCTGGAAGCTGAAGACTGCGGCCGGCGTGTACCAGTTCATAGTGCCAGCCAACGACATATGACATGCATCATAGAACTCGTTAAAGGTAGTGCCGTCGACGAGTGTCACCGATCCTACCAGTTCCGATGGTGTACAGACGTCTGCTGACTCAGATAGCGCGAAGCCCCATACTTTATTGACTAGGAGGTCGGGATAGAAGCTGCTAGGTTCCGCCGGTAGGTCGTTTACTCCAATACAATACCAGTAATCATTTATGTCGACGTAGAATTCGAACATCGTTGCTCCTTGAGCGATCGATTGGTCCGCACAGTTTTGAATAGCAGCATCCATCGACCAACCTAAGTGGTTGTCGTCAGGGATCCAATTGAGTGACACTACTCGATTCAGGTTGACCAATCCACCATCTGTGTTGCCTTCCAAGGACGAACTGCAGCTAGTATAGAAATTTGCCAACACCGAGCCGCTTTCCGAGACTACATCACCATAGGCTGTGTTGCCACATTGATTGTCCCGCATAAAGCCCCAAGACCCAACTACGTCTGCGTCTGGCTGGAAAAAAGAACTATCAGGATTTGTCTGGGCTATGCCGTGGCAAAACCAGTCACCATTAGATTTGGTATAGAAGACAAACGTGGCAGCATTCTCGTTGGCAGCATGGAATGCGCAGCGGCGGACTGCAACCTCAAAGGAGTCTCCAAAATGATCTGGTCCAGGCCATGGCATTGAAAATAGCTCGTTACCACGTGCGACGGATTCACCACAGCCAGTATAGAAGTTTTTGAATTCTTTTGTGCTGTCGTATAGTGATGTCGTGTCACCAAAGGGTATAGCAGTGCAGCTCGGTGTAGAAGTTGTTGTCGTTGTCGTTGTCGTGGTTTCATCTACCGTGCTCGTGGCCGTGGTGGTAGTCGTAACTTCGTCTGTGGAGCTCGTGGTACCAGCTTCACCCGTTGAAGTAGTGGTAGTGAGGATGACATCTTCCATCGAGGTCGTGGTGATTGATGTCGCCTGTGCAGGAATATCTACCGTTGTGGTGTCAATCGTCGTAGTCGTCGTAGAGCTCGAATCAACAGGCGTAGCACTATCGTCGAAGACCATTGTCAAAGTCACAATCTGGCCATCTGCAGGAATTGAAGTGTCGTCAAAAGCTAGATACAGTGCACCATCTAGCACGTAAAATGCCGTGTAAGTACCAATCGACAGTGTACCACTGTTGGTTACAGTTGTCTGAACAGGATAGCTTGGTTTCTCAGTGAGTGTGGTCAGGATCGTAGTGCTTGGACCTTGGCCACTAAATCCATACCAGTGAATGACACCTGCTGCGTCGATGGAGATCAAATTTCCATCTTCGTCCGTGGACAGAATCGCGGCTGCATCAATGGAATCAACCACTATACTTCCACCGTAGACTGCATCGAATGCAAGATAGGATGTGTCTCGCTTTGACTTCTTCGACGATGCAGTTTCGATTGCAATATAGAATGTCACGCTTGGCTGAGTCAAAGCAGAAGTAGTGCTTGTCGGGACAAATTCGGTGATAGTGGTTGCCGTCGAAGTGATGATCTCCGAAGTGCTCATCTCAGGGGTGCCACTCAGTCCAGAAGTGCTGGTTGCTTCGGGAGTAGTGACAGCTTCTGAAGTGGTAGTAGTTGTCGGCAGGAAAACATCTGATGCAGTGCTTGTAGGCAGGAAATCACTGCTGGTAGTAGTGAAGAAGTCATTCGACGTTGTCGTGATGTCTAATGTGCTAGTAGTCGAGCTGGTAGTGGCGGCCGGGTTATCTAAAGCACACGCAGTATCTGAGAACAAACCTGAGACCATCACGTCATCTGGTCCGCAAATACTGTAACCAAGGCTGCCATGAATCCAACCTGCAATTGTTTCAACATCTCTGCTAAGTGTAATGAGATTGCTGTCCTGGACCACGAATGAAAGAGCGCCGTGATCAATTGCCAACTCGTGGGCCTGTATTTCGCAGCTGGCTTCTGAATCAGCACAAACTTGAGAGTCAACCACAATCTCCGCTATTACGCTTGCGCAATAGGTTAGCTCTTGAGTGCAGCTGGGCGTAGTGACAGTGGATGATGGAGATGTAGTCGTCGTCTCCGGATTACTTGTGGTGGTTGTGGTAGCATCACTGGTGCTCGTTATTGAGTCGCTTGTACTCGTTGCTGGATCGCTAGTGGTCGAGAAGGTCTCGCTAGTTGTAGTTATCGAGGATGTCGTGATAGTGGTGTCGATTAATGTGTTACCAGTAACTGGATCACGAGCCAAGTTGCCTGAGATTTTGAGTGCAGTATTCCATGAAGTGGCTTCAATCGGAACCCATGTAATCACAGATGTGAAGCCCCAGCAATACATCACGCCACTATCATCCGGACCCAGCTCAACCATGTTACATTCTGAACTGTCATCGCACATATCGATGCACTGCGACATTGTAACATCTGTGCCAAGAATGAACGAAGTTCCGGGACCATCTCCAGCGCCTAGCCTGACAGTGTCACATTTGACTTGCCAGCTGTCACCATTCAGATCGACCATTAAGGTCTCTTCACAAACTGCTGTAGGAGTTGCAATCGCAGATGTAGTTGTGCTTTCTGACAATGTGGTCATGCTCGTGGTCGAGGTCGTGGCGATGGTAGTACTTGCCGTGGTAGTCGCGGCTGATGCAAGTCTGTTAGGAAGATACCAACCATAAGCGTCAGCAATATTAGCATAGGGTTGGAATTCTGCAGGATCGTTGGTGGCATCCTGGTACGTCAAGCATGCCCAACGGTTGTTTCGAGTGTCAGTCTCGAACTGGAATACTGGTGACCCGTCGTAGTCAGCAGTGTTCAAGCAGTCTAGCAGAGCATCGTCATATGTGTAATCAGTTAGCTGGTATACATAGAGGCTGTTGATGACCCGATCGGAGCGCCAATCCATGGAAAGACCGCAACCAGATGAGAAAAAATTAACCCACGTATTGCCGTTGGAATCAGCCAGAGTATCACCGACTGAAGCTGAAGTGGCTACACAAGCGGCAGTGGTGCTTGTGCTTGTGGTACTCAGGGTTGTACTGGTCTGAAGGATAGAACTCACGTTGCTGGTAGAAGCAAAATCAGAGGTTAGCGGAGTTGTCTCCTCGACTGTCGTGGTTAAGCTGCTTTCTGTCGTCGAAGTCAAAGTGCTGGTAGTGGTATCTAGAGATGTAGACGAAGTGGGCTCTGAGACAGTCTCGGTAGTTGTGGCGGATGTCGTGGTTGTTGTGCTTGAGCTGCCGTCAGAGCTACTGAATAAAGCCATTGCATTCATAGTAAGGACAGTGCTGTCCTCCACGAAGATATCACTGCTAGTACCGGTGTTCTTCCAGAAGCCGCAGTTCCACGAAAAGTCTGTCGACTGATAATATGTCCATACCGTGGCACCACTCTCCTCAGCAGTCTGAACACACTGTCTGAGAAACGTAGTGGGATCGTCTGTGGGGCTGGGAACCAAGGTCATCCTCCGATAATCATCGCCTAGAGTAGGTGGAATTGAGGCATGACAGCTGTAGAAGAATTGAGTGTACTCGGAACCATTTGGTGCAGTTTGGTCTTCAAGCGGCAAAATGGAACAATTCGGCCCGTCAGTCTCCTCTGTACCAGTTGCAGTCGTGGTTGTGGTAGAAGCTAAGGACATCATAGCCTCGGATGTGCTGACTTCGGTTGTGCTAGCCCCCGAATTTGTAGAGTCTGTCGAAGACTCCGTTACTGTCGAACCAAAAGGCGTCGTGGTGCTGGTGCCAATGAAGATTGTAGTACTAATAATAGTAGTAGTCTCACTGGTGGCTTCGGTCGTGGTTATCGTCGAAGTTGAATCGATCGTTGTCGTCATCTCAGTAGTGGTCATATCAACTTCAGAAGCAGTTGATGTGGTAGTGGCAATCGTAGTCGAATCTGTGCTAGTAGTGCTTAAAGTAGATGTTTGAGGTGACGGGGTCACAGTAGCAGCAGCTTCTGTGTTGTAGGAGTCTGGTGCAGTGTCTGGTACTGGTGTGACTGGAGCACAACTATCGTCGGTCGCTGTGCCCACGTTCACGGACATGACATTTCCAGATCCAACACAGAAACCTGCTCCTGGCAAGACAAGTGCGCCACCAGACACAGACCAGATAATCGTTGTTGGCATATCGGAAACTGAAGAGTAGATCATGAGGGCAGATGTGCCAGAGCCACCACCAAAACCGACTACCAGGCCAGTGCCGAAGATCATAAGTACACCATCAGACGTAAGCACGAAAGCCACCGCATCTGCTGGCGAGCTCACTAGCACAAGCTGTCCGTTAATGAACCCAACAACCACGATAGCTCGCTTGTGCTTGCTACCAGCGACTTCGACTTGGATCGAGAACGGCTGACCAGCTGTGGGAATCGAGGTATCTGCGCTGAGTGTTGTGGAGGAGCTAGAAGTCGTGATTGCCATTGTCATAGTGGTCATGCTTGTGGTTGATGCAGTGATATCGACGGTTTCCTGGTTGGTTGTCGTCGCAATAGATGTTGTCGCGACCTCGTCGCTTATAGTGCTGGTAGAAGAGCTTAAAGCATCAAATTCCTGGCTGCTAGTCGTTATCATGGATGTTGTCGTCGCATCAACGTTTTCAACACTGGTCGAAGAAGTAGTGGCGGCTTCGTCGATGCCGGTCGAAGTCACAGAATTTGAAGTGGTGGTAGCATCCTGTAGCGGGCTTGCTGGGCAATAATCTGGTTCGCTCTTTGCGCAAGTATTTCCAGAAAATCCTGCAGCGGTGTCACAGGTAATGTAGTTACCACAAGTGAAACCCTCACCCCATATATCGCAATCAGCTGCGGTATTGCAGGCACTACAGTAAGCAATTGAGTTGCAACTCTGATCACTTCCAGACCCACCAACAGGCAGAACACAAAATCTACAGGTCGAAGTGCAACCCTCATTACTCGATGCATCGCATGCCGATGACGTTGGAGGTTCTGAAGTTGTTGAAGTGGCACTCGACGTTGTAGTGGTAGTAGTAGTGATGACCTCCTCGGGCGTCGCTGTCGTCGTCGTTGTTAACGATGACGCTGTCTCACTAGTCGTCAGGGAGGTAATAATGTCCGAAGTAATAGAGCTATCTACAGTTGCTGTTGTAGAAGAATCTTGGCTTGCGGTTGTGACTGCGGCGATGCTCGTGCTCGTGGTCGTAGAAGTATCTACAGTTGCAGATGACGATGTAGCAACACCTCCATCAGAGCTTGTCGTCGACGATGCAGGGTTTTCCACCGATCTAGTCGTGCTAGATGTCATAACTTCTTCAACAGAACTTGTGGTCAAGGACGACGAAGCTGTTCCAAGAATTGTAGTGATCGTGCTAGTGACACCTAGCTCGGTGGATGTTGTAGATCCCGAAGACAAAGCTGTCGTCGAGGACGTAGTTTCGGTGATCTGCCCTGAGGTTGTAGTGATTGGATCATTCGACGAAGCACTTGTACTAATGCCAGCTTGTTCAGTGCTCACAGTAGTTGAAGAGGACGATACCGCTCCGCTCCTCCCCTGAGAAGTTGTGGGCATTCCTACAGGCTGCTCGGTGCTTGTGGACACTGTCGTGCTGGAAGATACCATGTCCGAAGTCGTGGTGGTCACCGCTTGGCCAGGTGTACCAGCTGTTGTGGATGTGGTAGTTGTGCTCGAGCTAGGCGCACAGCTATCTGTAGTGGGAACAAGGCTGAAGACTATCCCGTCACAGGTAGTCGAGCCGAAAGCAGCGTAGATGGCCCCATCAGATCGCATACAAAGGTTGACACCATCATGCCTAAGTGCTCCGTCAATGACTGACCAGCCGCTAGTCAGAGCTGTGTTGCTTTCAGATACAATCTCGAACAATTGCAGACCAGCAGGTTGCAATGAGCCGAGGGTAGACCCTGTGTCGTAGAGCTGTATGGCGCCCTCGCTAGAAAGAGTCATTTTTCGGGCTTGGGTACAATCGGAGACCAAGACACCTGCCTCATCCTCAATGGTCAGGTATCTTATATCTCTTCGTCGAAGTTTCGAACCACCAATATTAGCGGCACACACGAACGGGGTTCCGCGTTGAAAGGGACTTGAAATCCCAGACGAAGTTGTCGTTGAAGACGTGGAAGTAGAGCTTCCGATGCTGCCAGACACCGTTGTAGTTAGGGATGTAATCGGCGTAATTTCCTGAAGACCTGAGCTTGTAGCAGTTGTAACAGTTGATGTGCTCGAAGTACTCTGTTGCAAGCTGGAGCTAGTAGTTGTTGAAGCGCTCTGAAGGCCCGAGCTTGTTGCAGTCGAAGTGCTCGAAGTGCCTTGCTGAGAGGTGGAAATCGAAGTGATGTCTCCAACAGACAATGTCGTGGTACCAACTTGCGAACCGTTGGTTGTAGTATCAAGCTGAGTAGTGGAATGAGTAGTACCGAATCGAGAGCTAGTAGTGGTATCATCTTGCTGGGAAGTCGAGCTCGTAGTCCTGACCGAGGATGCAGAAGTCGTAGTGCCAGGCGCATGGTCAGATGTGGAGACAGAGGTTGTAGAGATTGCCTCAATTGAAGAAGTTACAGACCATGTGGTGGGAGTCGAAGTTGTATCAGCAGAAGTCAAGGTCGTGGTTGTATTCCAAAACATGGATGTTCTTGACCAAGAACCAGGTGTCGAGGTCGTTGAGCGTGAAGTGGAAGAAAGCGAGCCCTGGCCAACCCATCCATGCCAGCCTTGTTCACCAGAACTCTCCACAGGCGAGGTAGGGTAAACAGTTCCAATACTGACTGAGGTAGTAGTATCGCAGGGGCAAGTGAAAACAAATCGAGTGAGGGTCTCTGTGGTGACTACATCACGGACAACAGGCGTGTGAGCCAATGAATGAGCGGACGCCGCGAGGGCCAGCGCTGTTGTGAAGCGCAGTAAACCCATGACGGCAATTTATAAACGAAAGAATGAGAACAGGAAGGTGAATCAATACATGCTCATAGCGGGCGATGGAAGGACGCGCAGAGAAGGAAACATCGAGCACTTACGATGGCCATGATGACCTACTTACCTTGTCGCGAAGCCTATGTTCAAGAAGTGCCGCATTGGAGCATTTCGTTGCATACAAGCTCCACGCCATATTCAAGCGATCAAGTGATCAGCTTCTGTATGGCGACTTCGGGAGTCCCGTTACCAAGCCGTTGAAGGATGTGTAGTGTCAGCCCACGTGGAAAGATGCTTTATGTCAAAAAGGAGTTCGTTGGTGCGAAAGCACAAATGCGGCTTGTGAGGCTGAAATGGCGTTGGCCAGATTGACCCTGAGTACTCGGCCAGGACAAGCCAGTAAATGGCCGTCTTGAGATCCAAGGTATTGAAACTCCAGGGTAATTTCGTGTCGGTAAAGTACAAGCTAGTGCACACAGAACTAAAGTCGCTAAACTGCTAACGGATGAGGCCCCTGGAGCTATTGAACCACGAGAGATGACACAGCAGATTGTCTCCAAGTTTGCGAGACGAAGAGGACATCAGCCATACCGGAATGTAATATATGCACAGATCATTCGGACACACGTGGTTCATTCTTCGATTTTCAGTCGCTCGAGCTGTGAATGTTCCAAAAGCTCAGGAGTCAGTTCGACCGGTAGCGCCGTAATACTCGTCACTGGCATGAGACTGCTGAATGCCTCGAATTACATGTCTATCTCGACCGTAAGACAGGGCCAAGTACACGTTGGAGTACCAAGTCGCTTCGCAAAACGACCGTGATCCGATGCGGATCTGAGATGCACTGGATCGGCCAGTCGCGGCTCTTTCGACAGTGCTGGCAAGACTTGTCCATTGAGATAGTGACACTCGATTTGTATGAGTCGAAGGAAATGGTGGCTGACTATTTTCTGCAAGTTGAGGTCTGGATCAAGAGACTCAAGGAATCCAACTGAACATGTTGTGAATTCTGATGGCTCCGACTTCCTATAGCAGGCGGCTACGCGGTATTCAAAAAGATTCGCCGATCTGCTATATGGGGCTCGCATACAGCAGACCGGCGAACTATTACGGACTCCACGTGGCGGCCACATTGCTGTTCAAACTATAACAGGCGAGGACACCATGCAATTCCTTGGTAAGCTGTGCAACAATATGACGATTAACGACCCCAGATTGAGGGGAAAACCCGATCTGAGGCGCGAACGGAAGAAGCATCAGTCGTTCCGACCAATCAACAACTCAATCATCTCCTTCCAAGGACTACCATCAAGAAGGATACGCAATTTGTATGCAAGATTTTCGTGGGGGTAGTCGAAGGGAGCTTTATCTGCGAAGCAATCCCGCTTTGTACTGAACTTTTGTCAATCAAAAGCACTCATCGCAATATGGCTGCAGATATCAGTATACCGACAACTCAGAAAGCGGCTCTTGTACACGAGCTAGGCGGTCCTGTCAACATCATCCCAGACTATCCTGTCCTGAAACCTGGTAAAGATGAGGTACTAGCTCAAATTTTGTATACTGGTGTCTGTCAATCAGATCTTCACACTGCTCGAGGTACGGCTCCAGGTGCAGATGGCAAGCCGATCCTGAACGTCAAATTACCACACGTGGGAGGACATGAAGGTGTTGGCCGAATAGTCAGTCTTGGTCCGTCTTCCGCCTCAGTACCCGAAGTCAAGGTTGGCGATCTGGTTGGAATTCGGTTTCTTGCACGAGTCTGCCACGAATGCGAATTCTGTACATCCCAGCGAGAGCAGCACTGTGTTAATGCCACTAATCATCTCCATCATGAGGATGGAAGCTTTCAGGAGTACTGTGTTTTGGACAGGAACTATTTGACGCCTTTATCGCCAGACATTGATCCTGTAGTCGTTGGTCCAGTACTATGTGCAGGCGTTACAGCATACAAAGTATGTCATTTGCCCGGCTGCCATCATTTTGCTAATACTGTCGACTGCAGGCTGTGAAGAATGCTGGTCTTTCGCCTGGTCAGTGGCTGGTGGTGGTAGGAGCTGGAGGTGGGCTGGGTCACTTTGCCAGTAGGTATGCAACAAGCACACTGACGATTTGGCTAATTTGATATAGTACAATATGGCAAGGTTGTAGGAGCGAACGTGATCGGTATTGACACTGGTCAAGTAAAGAAAGACTTTGTCGAATCACTTGGAGGTCGCTTTTTGGATTTTGCCAAGTCGCCGAACGTCGTCGAAGAGATCAAGACAATCACCAATGGCGGTGCACACGGCGCAGTTGTGTGCAGTGGCAGCGGTAGAGCATTTACTGGTGCTGTTGACATGCTCAGGATTGGTGGCACTTTGTCTTGTATCGGTATACCACCTGGTGATATTCACCTGACTACGCCGCTCGCAACGATCATCATTCGAGGTCTGAAAGTTGTTGGTAATCTAGTCGGCTCTATGGAGGAGACACTCGAAGCCGTCGAGTTAGTCAGGCAAGGGAAGGTCAAGCCTCATATTGAGGTGCGCGAATTTGATGAGTTACCGCATATCTATGAGATGCTCGAGAAGGGCGACGTTCTGGGACGTGTCGTGCTCAAGGTGGCAACATGAGATTCGAAGAAGGGGGCGAAAACCATGTGTTTCGACTTTTGCAGAAGAAGGAGCATTATCAGGCCGCCTCAATTATTTGTATAGCAGGGATAAAATCTTCGCTTAGCAAAGAAGACGACTCGGCAGATACCTTTTACACCTCGACGATTCAATTGATGTACGACTGACGAAGAATCATGATAAGTAACCCATCTTAAATTTATCACGACTATTTCTGGGGTGGAGCGTAATATTGTAGCAGATCACAGCACGTTCCTCGCTGAGTCGTGGGGTGAATAGATACATAGATGGTAGGGTAGTGCAAATCTGATAGACGCTACATATCAAGTCGACCGAGTCTGGAGGTACCACCCCCAGATTTTGATGTCTCAAGATTCCGAAACGCGAGGACTCTGCACTATTTGCTAAAGTGTCCGAATTTAGACACTGATGTGGTCCTGCGTCTGTGTCTGCAAAAGTGACGGACCTCAATTTTAAGTTAATGACATCGACTGGATCGATCCGCTCTGTTCCTCAGGAAAGTGGGTACAGTCCAAGGCTTGTTTGCAGTTCCGGTGGCGACTGTACGTGGCCCTCTACTTCGGCCTTTGAGCGTCAGGGGCCTATTTCTGTATGAAAGCCGCATTCCATGCTGACCTGACAGCCGGAATCTTCTCCCAAAGGCATATCCCTGTTACTCGTTGTAACTTCTCTCATGCTGAACTTGAGCTCCAAAACCTCGCCTGCAGTCTTGTACATGTTGACCGGTCTCCAGCCGTCAGGTGTGCCGCTGAACATTTTTGACTGTTGCGACAACAAACTTAAGTCATGTTTAGTCTTATCCTGAATAGAATACTGTTTCGAGGCAGCCTGAGAGAAAGCATGCAATTGCTGAGATAAACATGTGCTATCGGACCAACGTTTGGTGGCTCCATGGCTTGCTACAGTGTGGTTAGTCAACATTGAAGGCTTTGAACTGTCAAGCACGACGATAGTGAGCATGGTCCTCGTGTTGCTGGGGGTGTAGTTCAAGACCCGGGTCTTTGGCATTAGTCCAACGCGTAAGACAGCCTAGCTTGGCTCAGCTCAGCTCAGCTCAGATCTTGTATTCTCTCATTCATGAATCATATGTCCCATCCTTCCAATTTTTGTCTCCAGATACCTTGTCAGTTCCTCACCCTGCACACCTCTCTCGCCCTTTGTCTTCCAAGCAACAGGCACCATGGCGACTCTCTCCACAACCCTGACCTCTCTTCCCGGGCCTTCTACTGCCCTGACTTTATCTGGGTTATTGGTAAGCAATCGAATTCCTCTCGCTTGCGGCCTTTTCTCCTGGTCTGTGTCTGTCCCTAGTCCTAAATCTTGCAATATTGCCGTCGCGAGACCATATGTGCGCGCATCTGCCGGATGACGAAGGAGGAGGTTTGCCTCGACCGTATCATTTCCTAGATCTTGTAGGTTGTAGGCTTTGAGTTTTGACGCAAGACCAATGCCGCGTCCTTCTTGACGGAGATAGACGATGACACCACCAATCGTGGATGGGTCGGGGTTGAGTAGAGAGGATGTGGACATGAGACGAGCGGCTTCATCGAGTTGTTCACCACAATCGCAGCGAGCGGACCAGGCAGTCTCGCCTGTGTAACATTCGGAATGGATGCGGACGAGCGGGGGTTTGAGGATGGGAGGGGTTGTAGGTGGCGCTGAGGCTGGATTACCTGGTGGTATTGCTGGAGGTTGAGGACGTGAGGATATTGATTCGGCGTTTTGTTCATCCTGTGATTGGGTTGAGGCAGCTGTTCCTGACAATGGAGGTGTGGATGCACCATCTGAGTGTGTGGGAGAAGTGGTAGACGTAGAAGCACTCATATAGTCTACAGCCTCTCCTTCTGGTACGCTGACGTTCTTGAGACTGCTGCCACTCCTTTTCCGGCGCTTCGTCCCAGCGTCTGGTCTGAGAACTTTTCGTCGTAAATCGTTCTCGTCTTCGCGTCTGCTGCTTGTGCGACCAGGTCGTAAACGTCCGACGTATGCGCCTCGAATCATGCGGTCCATCTCGGTCTCGCCCGTCTTTTCGGCATCCAAACTGCGACTCCGGATGTTGTTTCCAAATACAATGGCTAAATGTTCTTTGTTGTCGCTATCATTCTGGTACAGATGCAGGAACATTTCTGCGCCTGAAGTGGTGGGGATACGCGCGCGAACGAGACATTCTACCACCGGCAGATGTTGCACGAGGCGTGGTTGCTTGGTCACAGAATCGTCAAGGGAAGTGTCCACTGGAATTGACTCTGGCTCGTGAGTACGATAATGAGGTCGGCCGGATGGTGTGCTAGGGATCGATGGAGTGAGAGGAGGTGTATATGCTGGAGAAATGAGATTGTGAGGGACACCAGGAGTTCCTGGTTGAGAGCTGTTCTCGAGGTCCGACCAGCCAGTGAGGTATTGTGCAGATGGTCGTGCCAGAGGTGCTATGACTGGTGAAGCGTGAGAGGGCAGAGGAGAAGAAGTCATGGCGACGGTTGGACTGTGGTCCGTGCGGTGTTGTGGTTGCTCTATACTGTAAGTCGCATGTCTAGCTATGTATAAAATTGGGAATAGATTGGCAATATTGCAAGGGTCTTTGGTGAGTATACAGTTTACGACTGAAGCTCTTGGTCGACGGGAGAATCAAAACCTCGGTCTCGGTCAGCCATGCACGATTGCGGAATTTGAGCCTCGATGAGGTCAATTTTGCTTGTCCCACCTGGGCCGAGAGGGGTTTCTGCTGCAGGGTCATTTTCACAAAGCTGACCTGAACTGCTCCGTACCTGTAACATCCGGTGTATGTTTACCAGATGTGAAATGAACGACATACCAAGTCACGTTTTAGGAGTTGCGCCTTCCAACAGTACAATTTCTGCCACTTCAATTTCTCTGCGCTTGGTTGCGCCGCAGTGCAGTGAGATCATCGCCTAAATTACACGCACTGGCAGGAGCAAACCGAAATCAAACATCAGATGTGCGGAAGGCGCTCCCAAGTGATGCTTCTTCTTTTGAGATTGCTGGGACGAAACCTGCTCGCTTGTTATGCTTACGATCTTTGCTCCAACCCTGGTGTTTTACTAATCAACATAGTCGCAGCTTTACCTTGATATATAGTATCCCGTATCCATCATGTCAGACCAGCAACGCAAACATCTCCTCGCCTCTGCCGAGTCTTTCTGCAACGACATCGCCTCTCAAGCCGACCTCGAGACTATCCTCTCCCACTTTTCTACTAGCTATACGCCCGTGGCTCTCGAACATGGCCACAAACAGCCCGCACCTTTTCTCGGCCGGCCTTTCTTGGGGATCGATGGAATTAAAGAATATTTTGGTCTGTTTGGGGAATGTCTCAAGTACGACAACATGGGTTTCAAGAACTACATCGTCGACACGAGCGAAGATCGTGTGAGTGTGAAAGGACATGCGATATTCACTTGGCAGTCAACTGGTCAGAGCTGGAACGAGATCTTTACCTACCAGCTAGCCTTTGATACACAAGGCAAGGTCATCAGTTATCATATATGGGCTGACTCTGGAGCTGCTTATCTGGCTAGCAAGGGGCTGCTGGATGAAGACGATCTGGAAAGTGTTGCTGTTACAGCCGAGACTCGGCCTGCTTAGGAACAGGAAGAGCCTCGCAATGCTTCTGAAGAGGCTCGCACTCTCTATCGCCATGGCACTCTGGATCACACTTCAGAGGAGACACTATTCAAGGATGGCAAACGACTCTTTGGCTCACTTCGGCCAGAGAAGAAGTCTCGAAGACATCTGAAGAGCACTCACTTGGAGAGCAGCCAGTTGAAGAGTGACGGGTCGATCGGTCATAGGCTCAAAAGCATGTTCTATACAGACGGGACGACTACAGCAGTCGGAAGACGAACTGGCAAAAGCAAGAAGTCAAAGTGTCACATGGACTACGAGCCAGAGATGCCAAGGTAGAGAGTGAACCTTTCTGGCAGGGAAGATAGTTGCGTTGACTCTCTTGCCAAATTTACAGACCACTGCAATATCTAAGATCTTGTGCTACAATTTCACAATCAATGCTTCAAGCCTTAAGTGCATATCATCCTCTCTGTCATCGAGGCCAACACTATGCCGTAGCAGTTGCATGATCAGTAAACCCGAACTCCTGTCGCCATCTTTCACGACGGAACCCCTGTTTCATCAGGAACACCTCAGCATGTCCAAAGCAATCTGTCCGCCTCGAATTGCAGTACCGAACGCCTGATTCGCCTCTGGAGTAAGTCTTATCATCAATTCCTCACTCACCTATCGCATCCGAGTATCCAAGACAAATCTCCTCTCCACTCCCTTCTCCGTGTCATCCTCCTCCCCTTCGAACCTCAATGTGTACTCGCCCCCTTTCAACCCTCTCACCACCTTCGCCCGGTAGAAAGTATCCGTGTCCGGATACCTCGCATACACTGTCGCTCCTGGCGCAAACGTCACTCCCTTGGCATCACTTCCCAATGAACTCGAGCTCGGTATCGGATATAGATCTTTCGCTGTGGCTCGGTGAACACTCTGTTTCCCCGAAGGATCAGGTTCGGGGTCTTGCACGTCGTAGATTATAGGCCGTCGATCGGAGTGGACTTTTTTGATGATGCACTGAATCCCAACGCCCACATCGTCGGCCACGGATTTGGAGTATTTGTAGAAGACTTCAGTGCCGATTTTGAGGTCGTTATTCTTCTCCGCCAGGACTCCACGATGAAGAGGCTGGTCACTGCTGTCTGTGGTTGATGATGACGTGGATGTGTCTTTAGGAGCGTCACGGGTACTGCTGAGTGCTTCTTTTGCTGTGGAGGATGTGGTCGTGGGTCGACCTGGTCCTGATGATGGTGTTGAGCCTCGAGGGCCGTAGCCTGACTGTTTGCGTTTCAAGACGTCGACTCGGATATTTGATGTGCTTGCTGTGGTTTCTGCTGGGCTCACACCTCCACTTCCGTCTACTGAGACATCTGACTCGATGATAGGTCTATGTTGCTGTTGCTGTTGCTGTTTCTCTTGTTGATGCTGCTGCTGTTGCTGCTTGGTCCTTGAGGCCTTCCCTCCTCCAGCCCCTCTACTTATCAAGACTGGCTCATCATTTCCCCTCATTGTCGCCAAGATCGCAATCTTGCTCGCTATATCCTCTTCCTCGTGTACCTTCCTCTCCGCCTCTGCATTTCGTAGTTTCTTCCTATACAACTCATCCAGCTTACGGTGTTGGTCTGGTGTCGCGGATGGGGACGAGTTCCGCATCTCCTCCTCCAGGACAAGAATCTCCTGACCAAGACGAGCCGAGGCATCGTTAAGTTCCTTGGCTTTGCGAATGGATTCGAGCACGTTGTTCAGGATCTCTAACTCAAAGTCGTGTTGGTTATCCTTGGTATTGTCTCGACCGGCCCGACGGCCAGCCGTACGCCCAGACATGATGCTTCCGGGACTGGTAGGTGGTGAGCGTAAGGGGATGTCTCCCCGTACTCGACCCAGGGAGTGAGGCAGAGTGACGAGTGGTTCTCACAGTGAACCTCGATTATAGTCGCCAATGTTGCCAATCCCAGTCCGAGAATGAGATATCGTCTTGAGAGTCTGCTCTGACAATTGTGTCTCTGGGTTTGCTTCTTGCTGTCTACCGGGGGTTCGATACCAGTCTTCGTCTTGCGAAATTGTCTATTTTATTCAGGACTTACGGCGGTTCTTGTTGCTATTTTTCGGCTACCTTGCGCACGCTCGGATTCTATCATTGACTGGTAAGAATGTGTTGCTAATGCGTTGGAGACCTTCGAACGTATCCAATGGACTTCACTTAACTGTCACGTTCTTCGAGTGAGTACAAAGCGGGACTTGAGATTCAGTTCAGTGGTTTAGTGGAGGCACTAAACTCCTATGGTACGGACCGAATTCTCAATTGGGGGAGCTAAGCCTGCAGAAGTGGCCTCGCATCAAACACTGGATATCACGGCATACCGGTCATAAGATTCGAGAACGTGGGGAAGGGTCTGCGAGTGGTGAATCTCGATAGGAAAAAGTGTCCCAATGCATGTCGAGGCTTTCACACTGTCGAGTCAAGGAAGAACAAAAACTAGTATCCCTAATTTAGCCAGATATTGACCTGGTAAAAACTTCTTCCAATCTCAACAATTCAAATCCAACCCTTCACAAGTTCACATTATCGAGATGCAAGTACCACTATTTCGATTACAATGTGGGTGCAACAGCTATGAATGGGGCAAGAAAGGCAATACGTCCGCTGCCGCCAAATATGCTGCTGCAACTCCTCGAGATGACTTCTCGATTCAAGACGACAAGCCATATGCTGAGGTACTTATTCTGCTTGCCAAAGTCCTCCATCCTGACTAACATTACCTAGCTCTGGATGGGCACTCACCCATCACTACCATCCAAGGACTTGGAGACTGGCAGATCTTTGCTCGACATGGTCTCTGACAACCAGGCGCTGATGGGTAGTGATGTCAACAAGAAGTATCAGGACAAGCTACCATTCTTGTTCAAGGTCCTCTCGATCGCCAAGGCCCTCTCAATCCAAGCACATCCCAACAAGAAGCTCGCTGAGAAGCTGCACGCCAAAGACTCAAAGAATTACCCAGACGACAACCACAAACCAGAAATGACAATCGCTATCACTCCATTCGAGGGTCTTTGTGGTTTCCGACCACTTCGAGAAATCGCTCATTTCCTGGATACTATTCCACCTCTACGAGCCCTGGTTGGGAAGGAGAATGCCGAAGACTTGAAGAAAGTCGCCAATGACTCCCACATCGAGAGCTCAAAGGCGAAAGCCGCCCTGCGAAAATCCTTCACTGCTCTCATGAAGCAGCCAAAAGACACAGTCGCCAATATGTCCAAGGAACTGGTCACGATGGCCGAAAAAGGTCAGATCCAACCTGGACCATCAGTAAACACTCTTGAAGAACTCAATGAACTAGTTCAAAGATGCAACGGCCAGTTCCCAGCGGACATTGGGCTCTTCGTCCTCTTTTTTCTCAACTTCGTCAAGCTGGAACCCGGCCAGGCCATGTACCTCAAGGCTGATGATATCCACGCCTACATTTCTGGAGATATCATCGAGTGTATGGCAAGTAGTGACAACGTCATTCGAGCTGGATTCACACCGAAGTTTCAAGACGTCGATACACTTACCGATATCTTGACCTATGACCACGATCCTCCTGAGCAACAACTTTTGAAGCCTGTCGACTACCCGTACGTCACTCTCAACAGCACCGCCTACAGCAGTGACAGCTCAAGTCTACTATATGATCCACCTATTGAAGAGTTCAGTGTTGTCCGTACTGCACTGAAGAAGTCTGGGGCAAAGGCCACCTTCGAAGGTCTAGCAGGTCCGAGCATTGTCATTGCTACAAGTGGCAGTGGCAAGATTTCTGTCGGACCGAAAGTCGAGGATCTGAAGGAAGGCTATGTATATTTTGTTGGTGCCACTGCCGAATTAGTCATTGAGAGTGATGGTGACGAGCTGGTCACTTTCCGTGCTTTCTGTGAGATTGACGAGAAGGCGCATCAAGCAAATGGTAAGCATTGACTGGCAAAGAGCAGAATGTGATGGTCAGACATTGATATACCATGCCTCTGGTCGCGCTGCACTTGGAGAGGTAGTGTTGGGCACACCGGTATTGCAATAGAGTCTCTTGGAAAGTCTCTGTTGGGCTTTCGTGCTTGTACTGCGCATGGATATGTGTCCTCCTGATGAGCAGCATCCGCTCTGTCTTCTTCACATGCGCTTGGGTATGAGCTGAATCGTCGTTACTAGTCGCATTGAACGCGTGTGTCGACCTTCAGGATGGTAGTAGCCGCATCAAAGTTTGTCCTCTGGCTTTCCACGGCAACTATTTCAAATTTTGCCCTCCACGCCCTCCACGACTCGTTTGTGTGGAGTCATCTAGCGCGTTTTCAGTTCGTGCCTTCCGACTTGATATTCAAGTTGTGGTCTTCATCCTCTTGTGCTCAACAAATTGCTTCCTGTTTAACACATAGTCATCACACTCAATGAGTACCGCAGGATCTCCGAAACTGCCTGGAAAATATGGCGTCGATTGTCATAGAAGATATTCACCCTGAAGACATAGCCCTTTACGAAGCGCTGGCATTGACACAACAAGCACATTCCTTGCTAAACATTGTACGTGGTGCGCCATCCAATATCATAGGTCCACTCCGTGAAGCATGCAGCACTCCTCAGCAGATACAACCACAAGAAATTGCTTACAAAATTAGCAAGGGCGCACAAAAAGGTCGACACGACATTCAGGAATTGAAACAGAGATTAAATGATGATCGAATCAAGCCGCTTCTGAAAGAAGCCAGCAATGCAGAACTTGTACAGGGTTATGACACATGGACCAGTGATTACCTAAGCCTGGCGAAGAAATTAATAGCCAACAAGACTGCACAATCTCAAACTCGAGACATTCCTTTCGACACCACGAATGAAGCAACGACAATCCTGGACAATTTCGCAAATTCTGAGCACGAGCTCACATTGAAACTCACTACTGACGAGTACAATAACAACTTTCCATTGACTGCCAAAATCGGCTATCTCAAACTCGTCATCGATCGTGGCGATAATGCATATTCCGTGCAGTCTGCACATCCACCTAATGGACGTGTACCATCCTTATCGCAACAAGTCGCTGAAGTCGTGTCCAAACCTCCCACTTCGAAAAGACTAAGTGAATTGTTGGTATGTGCCATGCGCACCATGCGAATGGTTTGAGCTTACGATTTCGTCTAGGAAATGCTCGAAGCATATCACGATATTGACTATCACAGATGCGAAAGCTGTCATAGTATGATTGGCACTGACTTCAGCTATCCTCTCATTCGCAAGGCCGTACCAAAACCTGAGGAAGATACAGATACTTCTGGTCAAAAGTGGCTGGCATATCACAAAGCGTGTATGCGCTGAGTCGGATGAGTTGTGTTGTTACTGGTCATAACTATACTTCCAGCTTTGTTGCGATTTGTGTGAAAATCTCGTCATCTTTGGTTTCTGAACTCATCAATGAGTAGGCTCCGAAACTGATCACATTGCTGCGGAAGCCTCTTAATACGAGGGTTCGCCTCAATACGGGTCAGCGTCTTGGCTGGAAACGTGGGGACCACAGTGAAACCGGCCCTGGTCAGCTCAGCAAGAGAATCAAAGATAGCCTGGATGAACAGAGGGATATGAACTCGGCTGGACTATTCCTGGAAAGCGCTCTTTGCTATTGCGTTCTTGAGTCGTGACCTCGAGCCTTGGAAACACCATGTAGTAGCACGACTCCGGAAAGTGGATATTGACGCATCGGCATGACTCAGGCACAAACTCGTGTTCGGCACTTGGCTTACTCATTTACCGAAACCCGCGATCGCGCAGCACATGCGGCTTTCTTTCTGTCCTATCATTTGCTCGACCTTGCAGAACTGAGAACGTCTGTTGGAACTACCGACGAAGTAAAATTCACCACATGATGTATTTGAAACAGTATCTGAAACAGATGATGGCGGCATCAAGGCAATGGGCGGATGAGACATCCTCAAGTGCCCCGCACGACCACTTATTGCAACGAAGAATTCATATACTTTGACTGTTGCGACCATCCGCTCCTCGCACAGGAGTTACTATTAGGATCTGAGCATTAAGCCAATAGCAGGCCAGATCTGTCACGGACGATAATTTACCAGTAAATGTTAGGATAATACTGTCAGGTAACATAATATCTAGCTCCTGCGGGGCAAACGTTTTGTGTTCACATTTGAACCACAGCATGCCTCTACCAATAGGCGTCTATCGCGCTGACCAGGTGGGTTCTCTTCTACGTCCCAAAGACATCCTTTCAGCTCGGGCAGAGCTTCCAGTAAACAGCCAAGATACTTCTTCCCTCCGACCAATTGAAGACAAGCATATCAGCGATGTCGTCCGGAAACAACTACAGGCTGGCCTTCGCTCAGTGACTGACGGCGAATTCCGTCGCGCCTTCTTTCATCTCGACTTTCTTCGTAACCTCGAAGGTGTCACTGTTGAGGGCGGTCTTGCCAGCACGAACACATCCAAGGAAGGATTCATCCCACCACGACTCGTGATCACCGGAAAAGTCAAGCACGTCAAGCCGATTCAGCTCGATGACTTCTTGTTCTTGGAGGAGCAGATCGCCAACGCAAGAAAGGAGGGCCTCATCTCAGATGGTGAGAAAGTCACCACCAAGGTCGCCATACCTTCCCCGACGATGTGTCACTTCCGTGGTAGTCGCGAAACCATCTCGAGCGAGGCATACCCAGGCGACGATCTGACACCCTTCTTCAGCGACCTTGCGAAGGCGTACCAGGTGGAGATCAAGACCTTGTACGATGCTGGATGTCGCTTCCTGCAGCTCGATGATACGAACCTAGCGTATTTGTGTGACCCTGAAATGCGTGCAAAGGCTGGCGAAAGACACGGAGTGACGGCAGAGCAGATCACAGAGCAGTATGCAAGCCTGATCAACGCTGCTATCTCTGAAAGACCCAAGGACATGGTGATTGGGATTCATCTTTGTCGCGGTAACCACCGCAGTCAGTGGTTCGCGCAGGGTGGCTACGAGCCTGTGGCGCAAGTCCTATTCGAAAAGCTCAATGTCGATGTGTATTTCCTTGAATACGACGATGCTCGATCGGGCGATTTCGCACCTCTAAGGTTCTTGCCTGAGGAAAAGGTTGTCGTGCTTGGTGTGATGAGCAGTAAGAAAGCGGATCTAGATGATAAACAGACGATTACGAAGAGGTTGAAGGAAGCGGCGAGTCATGTTCGTGGCGGTCTGGATCAGCTGTGTCTGAGTCATCAATGTGGCTTTAGTAGTACGATGGAGGGCAATGAGTTGAGCGAGGAACAGCAGTGGGAGAAGGTGAAGCTGGAGGTGGAACTTGCGAAGCATGTTTGGGGACAGGATATCTCAAACTGAGCAGCACGTAGTAAGCAAGCAAGTCGAAGAATTGTGTCGTGAACTGGCGCAAAACAAGGATTGTGACTGCCGGACCTACAGCTCGTCTCACTCCCACGTTACACCCTTAGAGTCGGTCCTATAGTAGTACTTCGATCTCGGGCAAAACCCACGACATCGTCGAAATGTTTAAGTGTTTTGAGATGGTCCGTCGAGGACATAGAGGCTGTGAGCACTCAATCGTACGCCAAGTTCAGCTGAGTCAATGTCCCGCCATCTCGAGTCCTCATATTTCCCTCGTACACTAATCGGAAAGGCGCTGACGTCATCGCGTTGACTATCTCTTTTGCGAAATGTGACCTGAAGATTATCAACACCCAAACGCCAGTCTTGCCCGTCGAGAGTCTCGCCCCACATCTTCACCACGTTCACACCTCGACGCCAGCCAGAGGCTAGCCTTGCTATACTCGAGACATACTGTGTCTGTGTACTGTTCCTCAAGGCTATCCTGCCAGACACGTAGCGCGTCTTCGGTGACACGACTAGAAAAGCGGTCGGATCTTCTCGTGTCTGTGCTGAATTGAACCCTAAAAGCCTTCTGTTGTTCATTATCGTCGCCGCCGGATGCACGCTGGAAGTTTTAGCAGTCCTCTCATACATCAGCTTTCTCTGGTTTGGAGGTCCAAATGGGCCGGTCTGGAGGCTCATCATACTATCGAAATGGGCAGCCACATCTGTTGCTGAGACACAAGGCTTGACTTCGTGGTGGACTTTGTGCTTATGCCAAGTAATTCCTCCCGCCGGGATAGACGACTAGTAATGCGTTTGCCCAGCGGCCTCACAAGTTCTAGAAGGAATGACTCAGAGCACCTGATCTTCGTGCGGCACGATGGAGTAGGAGTGAGAGAGGGAAAGCGAAGAGAGATTGCGAAGATGGTAGGTAGTCTAGTTCCTTCCTCTTCAGCGACTCCCACTATCTGGAACGAGAAGTCTGGACGTGAGAATCTGGGCGCTTGTAGACATGACCTTGCAGCTAATTCTCATTAGCCACAGGCAGATAGAGGATGCGCAAAGCAGAGGACCCAGGAGAGGACATGTAGTTGAGCTCGATGGTGCTAGTGGTCGTCAAGTAAGATCTGGCTGACGAGTGTTAGTGGTCGTCAAGTAAGATCTGGCTGACGAGTGTTACCCTACGAGGATTTGAGGCTGTCGATCAGCCTTACATACTAACTTTTGTACTGCTAGCGTCTATGTGATATTTAGCGTGGTACTGGTGTTTACCCGTAGCCTACGATAATAAAGCAGCCAGCTTGCCCGCCTTGTGGGGACAAGCTGGCCACGTCTGAAAAACTAGTTATCGCATTTCGAATTAGAATTTGTGTGCAACGATAACACTAACACCGAGCGAAGTCACATCCTGCATGACTTCAAACCATACCCCAGACACAACAAACAGTGGAAACAGTTCAAGCGGCAACGTGGTTCGGAGTGACGCAGCTATCTCTACGTCGAGAAGGCGCAAATATGTCTCGACTGCATGCCAATCGTGTAGAAAAGCTAAAATAAAAGTAAGCAATGCAGTGCTATAGAACAGGCAATACAGCCTAACTATAGTAGTGCGACGGAGCGAACCCCTGCCAGAGATGCATTCACAGGGCCGTCGAATGCATTAGAGACGAGTTCAAAGATGGCCGACGTGTCCGCAAGCGTGACTTCGAAGAATTACACGCAAGAGCCAACGCCCTGGACACATTGGTCGAATCCATTCAAAGTTCTGACGATGAATCCATACGAGAATTGGTTCGACTGATCCGAGGAGAAGGGTCTATAAAGGACATTACTCAATACGCTCGAGGCATCTTAACACGCAACAAAGAGATTCGCAGCAGGTCCCATCCTCGCATCAGGCACTCGGTTATGAGTATCGCATCTTTGATCGACGAACCTCCTTTCCAGGTTCCCGCACAACCTTGGACCAATGTCACGACTGATGACAACGCCGTCTCTCATCTCATATCCGCATACTTCACCTGGCAATATCACCAATATCCCTCGGTGGTTCCTGACATCCTCGTGAGGGAAATGAATGCACAAGATACATCTAGCCAATTGTGCTCTTCCCTCTTGGTCAACACTATACTGTTCAATGCATGCGTAAGTTGACTGTTCGCAATCAAGCCGAATGTAACAAATCTAAATAGATGTACACCGACCACGTATGCGCCTTTGCCAATCCAGGTGATCCATCCACCAGAGGCCTCCATTACCTGGAAGAGGCGATGAGGTTGTGGAATCTCGAGGAAGGAAGTGTTTCCTTAACGACTCATCAGGCCTTGCCCTCGATGATGGCCGGGTGAGTCTGCTCTAAAGGAACCCCGTCCGTTAAGCTAAGCATATCAGTCTTGTTGTTATCGCGAGAGATCGCGCTGGCTTACTGTATACCAGTCGATTATCCGCTCTGACGACAGAGCTGATTATGAAGGTCAAAGCAAGTAAGAGGCAGGGCAAAACCGAGTTCACTTCAGACGATTTTCAACGCTCATACCGCTCATCTATATGGGCGTCTTACAACATCCGGATGTGAGGATGCCCGTTGATTATAGCGTAGAATAACTAACATATACAGGGAGCTCGCTTTAGCTTATCGAAGATCTTCGGAACTTCAAAAACCTCAGGTGAAGCGTCCGTTTGTAGATAACGAATTACAGTACCAGACGGTATGGAGACCATATCCCGACTTGGGTCCTGAAGCCCCCTTATGCCAGTTCGTGATTAACGACGCAAGATTCGATCTCTCCGAGATCACAGCCGAGCTAGTACCGTTGTCACTCAGTGGAGATCCTCAAGATAGCCCTTCGCCTGGCCATATCATCTTGGACAAAGCGGAAAAGCAGGTCCGCTTGGGTGAGGTTGAGGCAAGGTTGCTGACGTGGCAGCGATCTTTACCACCGGGCACAAGGATTGAAGACGCATTAGGGGCATATGCAACTAGTCCTTTGGTGGATCTTCAGTAAGTATGTCGTCTCCAGCCAGGCAAGGTGCTTACATATTACAGTCTAGCCTACTATTCCCGCTACATTAACATCCAAAGCATTCTCCTTCATGATACGGACATTCATGATGCGAAGAAGCCAGGAGTTGAGGAGAAGCTGATACAGTCTTGTAAAACCGTTGCCGATTTGTGTATGACTTGCTTCGCACCGGTTCATGTGCAAACAGCAGCCCTGGCCGCCTATAGCCTGATGGATCTTCTAACCAGAGCTGAAGTCCGCGATAGCTTCCATGTCATGATTGTAGCACTGAGTGGCTCGTCGCGCCGATGGCCTCTAGTTCGGGGGATTCTGAAAGTTCTTTGGCATACATTACAGGAACGGAAGCTTGACGCATGCTTAGCTGAAGCAACAGTGACTCTTTTGAAGCTTAGTGCAGTCGACAATTGGGGGCTACAAGATCATCGTCTATTCGAAGGTTCAGCATATCCGAACATAAGTGTCGCGAATGAAAAGGGACTTGAGTTCGCGGAGATGAGCGATCTACTACATCAATATTCGCTCCTTAACACAGATGATGACACTGAGGTATCGATCAAGTAGGACTAAAGGTAGGGTAGGGGCTAGGGTGATTCAACGTATGGAGAGTGTCGTTGTTGGTTTCCTCATAAGACCAGAGTATTTTCATGGTATTATTGTCGCAAGAGGGTTGTGTTATCGTTGCTTTATTCGGTTCGTACCATCCCTCCCAAGACCCGGAACGCGTCTGGCAGGTCGAGTTTTGAGCAACTCCTGCAATTTCTAGTTGGTACAGACTCGCTGCCCTTCAGCAGATATCGGATGCACTACTTGTTCTTACCTCAAGTTGAGACTAATTCTGTAGAAAATTCCCGCTGATGGAGCTGGTGAGTATCAATCTGGTACTGAGCTTTATATCCTGTTCTATATGGCTCTAGACTGCATACGATATCGTGAAAGCTAGCATCCAGTGTGAATATGAGATGGCTTGTCGAAAATCTGTACGAAGGCGCACGTGCTAGATTTGCATCTAATTCTCTGTACGATACCGAAATCATAGCACGACTAGGGACATGCTATCGAACAACATTCTATGTGCGGCAGTCCATACAGCTCGACCGTAGCCCTCGTTGACCGTTGTTGACGATAAAGCTTCCTTTGCTGCTTCCTAAGCACACCGTACGGAGGATACGCTTCACGCGGACTGGCATACACTTCTAGACTGTGCCTGCCGAATGGAGTTATCAAAAGTCCTGCTCCAGACTTTGCAACAACATGAGCGGTATAAATAGCTTGAGCGTCCCAGGCTTTGCAAACGATGATCATATTCTACATGACAACAATGGTACAAGTGCTCTTGTTCTCAAGATTTTCGAGCCTCTCCAACAGGCTCGAATGTAGATTCCTTTGCCTAGGCAAAATACGATGCACGAACATTGGATATGTTTCGATAGAGCGAAACAGACTCCGCCCAGCCTCAGTGCCAAGATTTTGACGAACTCTTGGCTCAAATAGCAGAGATTCTAGGCTGGCCTCTTCCGGCAGTCACCTAATTGACTGCACTCATTGAGCTGTTTTGTCTCGGAGCCAAGTGCACTGCGATGACCCGTACGAATAACAAAGATTTCAACATTGGGCAGGGAGCAACCAAGGTCTTCGATGCCATAGGCACCTAAGACGTAAGAAGATTTGCAGGAGTTGCTTCGCACCTTGACCTTCACCCAATTCCTATCTATGATCTTCGAGTCTCCTTCGGTCGTCTGAATAAGTGATTCAGGCTCAGAAGTCATGTATTCTACAAGCACAAACTACTCTTCCAGCCTGGATTTGAATCTACACATTACCTTCTTCTCTGTGACAGTGTTGGGGGATGTTCATGCAATTCGCGTGCCGACAGGAATGAACGAGTTGTCCCCTGTGCAACGGTCGCTGTGATCCAGCATGTCCACAAGACCGCCGACCGAATCATTTCCTCCCCATCTCCTTTTCCAATTTCTCTTGCTTCTCCTGCATTGCCAGCATGGACGATCGCGTCATGCCAGTATTGAGTCTTCATCGTGTACTTTACATCGCCTTCTGGCCCATCTCCAAGACAATGACGGTACACTGGGTCTTCGCATGGAAGAGCAAGTGTCGTGCTCAGCCATTTCGCACGTTTCTAGAGGACGAATAGCGGCTGACCCTTACCCTCTACCTGTACATTTCTGCAAGGCTGGTACCCGATGATTGCAGGACCTTCAATCGAGTTGCAACAAGACATCAACCCTGGAACTACTCAAGACTCTTCGACTTTTGTTCAAGGCATCCATACTGTTTGACTTGAGCTTGCCTGCTACTTCAACTTGATTCAATTGCCGGGTGTTCACAATGTGGCCTTTAGCGGTGGTCTGATTCATCGAGATAGTCTGCGAGCTCGTACACGTCCCATTCCCGCGTCCTCACCACTAGACCTTCTCCATCGCTTTAAAAGGACATGCAGTGTCGTTTCAGCTCCAGTATGTCCCTTTCCCATGTCTATACTCGTCTTCCATAGCCGAACGATGGACCAGGACAATAGTGATGTCGTTTCCTAAGGGAGCCTGTAAACGCGACTAAGACTACAGCGCACTGAACTGAAACCATTCAATGACTTGCTAGATCTATGAGTGTGCAACTGCTCAGTGACAGACATGCTGAGACCCGGAACCGAGCGAGGTCGGCTCCTTCTTGCAAAGAGCAGTACGAATCTGACAAGAATCGCATTGTTCGACAAGGCAATGACTGGCCGGGTAGCCGACACAAGAACCATGCGAGGTGTTTCAAGTACTCTTGCGTGAAAGCGTAAATAGTGTCGCTGGTGGGAACGGAGTAGGGATCGTTGATATCGATGGAGGACGGGTAGCTGCATCCTCGGGAATTGTTGTTGTACGAGCTTGTAGTGTTGGAACATCGTGGAGGATACTGTGAACAGGACGGGTGTGTCAATGTGCTACCGTAGCGAGGATGGCTCGATTCAAGAGGAACGCTAGTGTAATAGTTCTCATCCACAGGCCTGCGCAGTGGCATGGATAAAGGACGTGAAGCTGCTCACCTCGATCCATGTCCACCTGCAGTCACCGTCGCATTCGTCCTTGGCGCCGTCGGGAAATTCCTCGAGCTCAAAAAGGCACCCTTGAGGGCTCTGATCTCTTGCTTGAATTTGGTTGCTTCCTGCTCTTTCTTATCCGACTTCTTTGCATCGCCATTTGCGCTCGAGTAGGTGCTGTAATAGTTGTTTGTAAGCATACTATAGCTCGACTCCATAGTATCTAGTTTTCCTTGGAAGTCCTCAAGGGTCTTCTGCAGGTATTTCTCATTATTACTTGAGTGTTCCATAGAGTCAACCAGACTACGGATAGCATACGCCAGGCCCGAGAGTCGCTGTGACTGCGCTATAGTAGAATCAAGGGTGGGGCGAGATAATTCGACTTCAGAGGATGAGCGAGAGAGACCTGGAGTGGTCTGAGTTGCAATGTCGCGGTGAAAGAGCTCGGTTGGGTCAGAGTCAAGAGATTCGACATCGTCGTCTTCGCGATCCTGGAGCTTCTTGACAGCAGAGGTTGCTATGTAGGGGACATGAGAGACCAAGCCTTCGAGTTTGTCGTTGAATTTCTCAAGATCGTCTAGGGTTGTGCTTGCAAAGTCATGTCGGGCTTCGGTCAAGGTCTGTAGCATTGGCTCGATGATGTACTTGCTTGCTGCCCAGGTCAATGCTGAGACGCCAGCGATAGCATATCCAGCATGAACAAGGCGTTCAACAGTGACAAGAGGTGGTGGTTTCTGAGGCTTCACCAGAAATTCAGGATATGTTATTATAGGTGGGACGTCTCTCTTAGGCTCGCTAATTGTGGTGGAGGTTGTGGTGGAGTTGACAATGGACCTGGATGCTAGAGTAGGGGTTTCCTGAACATCTCGCTTGCCTTGCGTAGTGTCGTGGACAGTTTTGAGCTCACTTGCCCAGTCCTGTTCTTCTGAGAGTAGCTGATCGATCGCGTCAGCTGACAGACCCTTCTCTTTCAAGAACTCGACTTTGTCCTCGCGAGAAGCGTCTCGTATCTCATCTTCTTTGAGGAAGTGTCGCGCAACATCGAGTAGCTCTGGCGACGGTTTCTCGTCCTGGGTTGTGCTATCTGCGGCTTGTTGTGGTGCATCAGAGTGACTCGCTGCTTGTTGCCACGCAGGTATTGTCGCCTTTTTCGCATCAGACATTGTGAAAGTTGTCAGATATTGGCGAGCCTAAGTCATTGCGTAGGAACATATACTGCAAACATACTCAGCGCAAGACGTGAATAAGTGGTCGAACATCATCGTAAAAGTGCATGCAGCGTGGAATTACAAACCTCGGTCAACAAGGCTAACTTACTTGAAGAACGCTAACTAACGCGAAACTGTGGCACTCTCCAGCCACATGTGGCGTATAAATCGCGTTGTCGACGACCTTCTGTGCGCTTCAAGTCAACAAAGGTGCCCTTGTCATATCTTTGGGCGACAGCGAGCCCGCAGCATCAACAACAAAAACACGCGGCTCATCAAGTCGGCTTCATTCAAGCAATAGAGATCGGAAATTAAGGCATCAAAGTGAAAATTGTTAAAAAGAAAAGCCAGATATGGCGGAAAGAAGTCGACGAGTAAGGAGGCAGATTAGCGATGTGACAGAAGGCTCACCTGAAGTTTCGGATGCAGAAAGCGAGGATTTCGACCCGAGGAAGACAGATGCCGCCAGAAGGGGAGGAGGAAGACCAGAGTAAGTACCGGTCTCTTATCAGTGAGCCAACTTGAAGTGATGGAGTGAAAACCTGTGATCCGGTAGAACATGTTTTTACTGTGATATTTTGTGACATTGCAAACGAGGAGAATGTGCGCGTGGATCTCGATGCCTGTGAGAATCCCTGAAGACCAGAAATTGGGAACCACTGGGACAAAATCTCGAAAGGCAGGCACACCAGTCACACTTTCCACGACTGCTCCATGTAAACCTGCTTGCCTCTACCCACGTCTCCCTTCATCGATCTTTCACGCTGGCGTTCCTCACTCTCAAATATCGTCAAACTAACAAATCCTCCAGACCACAAATAAGTCCAAACACTTCGCGAGCAAAACGAGGAATCAGTGCCCAAACCACAACTCCGCAAACGTCGATCACAAACAGCAATGGCTCTCCGGATTCACGGCAGTCCATTAAACTCACCATGAAAGTTGCACCCAGTAAGTTGCGTGAGGTCATGCGTGCAAACGAGGTCGATTCGTTGCGAGACACGCTCGGAGGTGGCCAGGTCCTCAGCGGACCACGGAGTAGTCGAAGTGCTCGAACTGTATCAGCTACTGCCACTAGTCAACCACGGACGCCCACTGGAAGGACAGCGGCTAGTAAGTCCAAGTATGCTGAGTTGCAGGAGAGTGACGAGGAAGACGACGTGGGAGAAGAGGATACGACCATGAACGATTTTGATGAGATCGGTGCTGAAGCCGAAGGTGATACTGACGACCAAGAAGACGATGAGGAGGAGGAGGAGGAAGACGACGACGGCGACGTGGATATGGATGACGGTCCTGCCCCAGCCCCTGCCCCTCTACCTCACCCAACCAAGAAGAACACAAATTTACCCCGGCCACCAAAGATCACCCTCAAAACTCCTGCCAAGAAAGGAACTGCAACCACCAAACAAGCCCTCAAGCCATCGGTCATTGTCACGCCGACGGATGTCGGTCCGGTCCGGTCTGTAGAAGACCAGGAGATAGCTGAGGATGAAGATGATGATAGAGAGGATCTTGAAGACTCTGAGATGCCAGAAGACGAGGAAGTCGAAGAAGAGCTTGACAATACCAACGTCACTGGTGAAGATCTGGACGACGCAACCAATCTCGACATTGATGACGACGACGACGATCTTTCAGACAGCCTATCTGACGACGAGTCTGGTACTCACGATCCTGCCAAACTGACAGCTCGTCAAAGACGTCATGGTGAACAAGAATTGATGAGTCTCGATATGGCTCCTCAGCAGAGGAAGTTCTTCACCGACGCAGAAAAAGCAATGAAGAAAGACGAACACGCGAGAAAACGTAAAGAGTTGACGAAGCGAAAGACGCAGGAAGAAAAGACTGCTGCTCTGAACAGACTGGTGAGTTCATACAGCCTGCAATACACTCACGGATCAAGTACTAATCTGTGTCACCCAGCTTAAACCCCAAGTTTCCAAATCTCGCGGCGCAGCTCCAAAAGCCGAGACTCTGGCCGCTCAAATGGCCGCTGCTGGAGTCGGTCTCGGTGCTGGAGAAGAAGACACTCTCCCTGAGCAGAAAGCTGACCCGCTGTATACGCGATGGGTAAGTAACAAGGACGGAGTGCGGCTTGGAGTTCCTGAGGAATGGCTTGGAAAGAAGGTAGGAACTTATTTCGGTCCGCCTCTGCCAGCTGGGAGGATGGTCATGGAAGTCGAATAGGACAGGCATTGAGATAGGTGTTGAAGTACGGAGCGATAGATTCTAAGACAAGCAATGGCGTTGAATGCAAGAATTGGGTCTACAGATAGATGGGGTGGCCGGTCCTGTATGCATGTACGCGAAGGCTTGGGGCAAGAATATGGACTCAATTCTTAGCACACCTACGTATCTTTACCTGGTAAAAATGGGGTTAAGTCAATCTTTCGTGGATAGTCGAGATGGATTACGTGAATCGGCAGGGGCAGTTTTCGAGGATCCAGAGCTTCCAATGCACTTCGGCGCCATGCCGCGTCGTAGTTGTTGGAATTGTAGAGCCACGAGCACGCATTCACCTCCATCATAGAAAAAATTTGCAACTTTTGGCTTTGACCTTGATCTATGACCACGTTGCGAGAGAGGAGTCAGAAGTTTAGAACAAGCACGTTACGGTGTATTGTCCTCTATACCACTCTATGAGTCTATACTCTATCGAGACCAGTGGTTTTGCACGACATTGAGAATGATGGTCAGCAGGCCTTCTTGCTCAATTAGACAGCACCAGCGGTTTCGCTATCAGAAACTTGGCCTGTTTCGGGCATGGCAGCATCTACATCTGCAGCAGTCGTTGTGTCACGCTCGCCTGCCTCTGCTTTCAGAAGTGACTCTGATACACCAGCCTTGACCTTCTTCACCTCGTCATGCTTAGCATTGGTGCAACTCAAATCTCCATAGACTTTGCCCCCCAATGGTGTTTTCTAGGAAGCAGACCGGTCGAGGTTTGGGGTTCATGCTGGCGCCTGCAAGAAATATATTAGCTCGTTCCACTCGACATCAAGAACTTCCACTCACATGTGCACTTCCCACTTATGACAGCGACTTACAATAACAAATCTCATCACACTCTGCAATCGCCTGTCTGCGTTTCACGTTTCCCCACTTATCACAATAATAGCCTGAATTGTTCTGGCAAAGATCTGCGAGGCGTCGAGAGCCGTAGCAGTTCAAAGCGTAGTCGTTAATGGCGGGAGAATTGGGAGCGATGAGTTTGGTGGTGATGAGGGTTGTGGTGGGACGCATTGGAGGAACAGGAGGAGGCGGCCTGGGATTGGTGACTTGGTGACGAGGAACGATGGGTAGTGTGCTCGAACTAGAAGTTAATTTGATTATGGTCTGGATGGGAAGACTTATGATAGGGTCATCTAATAGCGGAGTAAAGCTTAACGAGACGAGGGAGGAAGAGACTATCTTGGTGTCTGCTTGCGTTGGTAGGGTGATTATTGGATCGTCTTCCGGGGCAGTAAACGTTAGAGATGTAAGGCGGATCGAGGTTGATTTGATTGGCCCTTCTGTGGGAAGGGTGATCATGGGATCATCTTCTGGTACACTGAATGTCAGTGGAGTGAGGGATATGGAAGTGCGATCTGTGGTCGACGTTGAATTGCAGCTGGTAATGGCCGTTGTTGGCACTGTAGGCAAGGTAAAAACAGGCTCTGTCATCGAGGTAGTGTCTGTCGTCGAAGCTGAGACAACAAATGAACGTCGACTCAGGTTCACCATATCCAGACTCGTATCTGTGACTGTCACGGGCGCAGGACTCGCCTCCACCACTTCAACCACCTGCTCTCCTTTCACCTTGACTTTGCCACTACCAGCGCCCTTCACAACGTTGCAATCCAATGCTCCATTGAAGTTCAAGAAACATTGTGGAAATGGTTTAGGATTCATGTTCACACAGCTACAGAACTGGTGACAGATCTGGTCATACTTCGACCACTTCAGAGAGCCCCATTTATCGCAGTAATACCCATTGTCTTCTTGACAGGATTGAGTTATACCTGGCGAGGCGTAGCAGTTGATAGCAAAGTTGTTCACTGCAGGAGCAAGAGTTCGCGTGATCGTGGTCTTTGCTTGGCCCGGCTTGGGTGGCGGGTCCATGTTGCCTTGCCGTGGGAGGAGGGCAGGAAGGGTGATTAGGGGTGAAGGAGAGGCAGTGCGGCTGCTGAAGGGATCGAAAGTGTCTGAGGGTGGAAGGAAAGAAGTCAATGGTACAGCATCGTCGGAAAATGGTGATAGCAGATCGGAAAGTGACACTGCCGTCGGAGCAAGGTAAGGTTGAGCTGCACTGGTTGTCTTTGAGTTGCCGGTTATGAGGCTTCCCAGGAGCTCAGAAAGGCCGGAGTGTTGAGTTGTATAGTCTGTAGCAAAGATATCTCCTTCAAGCTCGACCTTGTTCTTCGTGACCTCAGTATCACTCTTTTTAATCATGTCTGAGGACATGTCCTTGATCGCAAGCTTGATTGTCCGAAAAGTAGTAGGTCCTGTCTCAACAGCAAGGTTGGAGGGAGACGGAGGGCTCTCGGCATCGGGAGGGACATCAGAAGGAGGAGTGTAAGTGCTGAAGCCCGCGGCGGTAAGGGAAAGGGCGATGAAAGTAATTTTGGCCTTGTGCTTGAATGGAGACATCGTGCAATAGTATTTTCCGATTCGAGTGTATGAATTACCGACTGAATCTGTGAGGGTCAATCTTGTCGAGGACGATCGCAGATTTTTGGTTCAGAAACTTGAGATCCTTGGAGAAACGAAAGTTGAGGATGGGCAGCTGCAAGGAACTTGAAGGCAAGTGCGAAAATTACACATAGCAAAATGTAGCGACTTTCACGTGAATTGTCGGTAGCAAACAGCTTCAACGATATTTCGACGTCAAAGTGAGGGTACTGTGGAGACTGGATTTCGAATAGAAGAAGTGTTGTCGGCGTGGTTCTGTAGCTTGCATCTCGATAACCAACATTATCACTCACCTAGTGTGATGTATAGGCAGTACATAATGGTGAATATCCGATCAACCAATACTCGCCCTAGTGAAGATAGTGGATTGTCGTTCGAGTAAAGGCTGTTGACCTTACACTTTCATCCATTACAGTCGAGGTACCTTTTCAGCACCCTGATCAATCAAAACAAGGCTAGAGCAGAGTCTTCCAACAACTTCGGCCCAGTGGCTGCAATTAGTTCAGCTGCTATTCCTTTGATAGTGTTCGGTTCATCAATCTTCCAGTCTTCCCAGCCACGAATGTCTTCGAGCTCAACCAAAGAAGTCCTGACGAGTAGTCCCATGTGACCTAAATTAGGTTCAAGCTTTTTCATTTCCTTCTTCGTCAGAATACCAGGCATGTTGTAGTCAAACAACGAGCCCTGTGGAATATCAGTATCATCAATGTCGGAAATGTCTGAGTCGACCTCATAGGCCGAATCCCCCTTGCTGCTGCTTTCCTTTTTATGAGGCTGATATGACTTGTGTTGTTCAGGGCTCGCGTCCTGCACTAGAAGGCGAATTGCATCTACACTTGTTGCTGTTTTTTGGTCTGCAGAAACGGAAACATATTTCCTGATGTCTAATTTCTGTCTGAACTCATTGTCGAGCGAGTGCCACTCGAGACTTTCAGGATCCAGAAGGAAGCTTGGCTCGAACCTGCCTTTGTATCTCATCTTCGGAATTGTGTGAATGTAGTAGCCCATATAGTAATACTGATAACCTTTCTCCAAAGTGAAAGCAATCTCGTGTAGAGCGCTGATTTTGCCCCAATCCCAACCTTGGTAGTCCGGGTCGTAGAAAAGATAAACAGAGCTCACGGCATGTGGCATCAGATCAAGAACACCCACCGCAACGAGCTTTCCATCCAGTCGGTAACATTGATGGTACGATCCCAGCTTCATAGTCTTACCTTTGATCTTCAAAGTCTGTCTGTTCAATCCGTTGCATAGAAATCTCTGGAAGCTGGCTTCCGTCCACCTCGATTCAGGATCTTTATGGATTTTGGTCTGGTACCTGAGCATGACTTCGTGCTTCTCTTGTGTGCAGCTGTCGCCCTCCAGCGTTACCTCGAACTTATGGGCTGGCTCGATCGACTTTCCGGTTCTCTTTCCTTCCGGTCGTGGTAGACGACTGTATTCGGTTCTATGTGCTGCTTCAGTAACATCGAATTTGTCTCTCTTCTGTCGCTTCGCATCTCTAGATTGTGGACACAGCATAGCCGCTTTTCGTTTGTACTCTGGACCGAGCACGAAGTCGTTGAGCTTGTTGATTGCCGAACGCTGTTCCTTCTTAGCCTTGAAGTCGGCGCCTTTCAGCCTGATGGTATAATGTGGGCAACACGATCGTGAGAGATCCGGCTTGTAGTATGTTGTGCCAGATCTTCTCCATCCTCTGTCCATAAGTTCCTGATAGTGATCGATCCTCATGTTATCGCATGACATGTAGTATGAGCTATTACCATTGTCGGTCTTGCAGTAGCCACACTGCTTGCTCCTTTGATAGCCTGTTTAGACATAATTAGCTCAGCCTAAGATCTGTAATGGTTGGTCTGTCAAGTACCAGAGGCAGATCGGAGACTTTCAGACGTGACACAGCAGGAATGGAATTGTGTTCAGTTGCCAATCCGGACCAGATCGTGGTTCTCCCCAAGTCCAGCATGACGATGTGGAAAGACTTTAATGCGCACGTACAACAAGTGACGGGTAAAAGTAAATCGTCTTGAATAATCTGGATTCCGCTTACCTAGTGGCTTAAGAATAGAAATTCCTGTGGCCATCTGACTAGTGCACCTCGCCTTCACGAGCCAAGAGCTATGCAAGAGAAACGATGTGATTCTCAGAAGGAGTCAAATTCGAATATGGCTTGACTGGGACGTTGATACGGTACAGTCCCGCAGGATGATTGGTTTGGTACAGAAGCAGCTTTTGACAGTTGAAAAAGACTAAGCGAGTTGCCAGAAGCCAAAGCGGGCTGATTGTTGGAAAATCAATGGATTCGCAAACGACAAGTAAGAGTCGTGTGCCTGATGTCGTGTGAGAAGGAGGCCGAAAGTTGTGCGGCAAGTTCTGCTCGGATAGAGCACGTGGGCAGATGAACGGTGTCTGTAAATTGGAGCTACTGTAGAAAAGCAGCACAACAGGACTACTGGTATGGCATCAGCTCCCGCATCGCATACAGCCGTGGTGGAGCGGATGGGCAACTCTGATGGGCAAACCCAACGCATCTAGTACATAACAATCGTGGATAATTATGTGCTGGCAGTAGGGCAAAGGGATTAGAATCGCTTGAAGAAGGGATGAGTTGTGGATGAAAAGAGACGGGTGCTGGGCGCTGTAAGGCAGATTCAGAAAAACAGTAATAGGTAGCATTGCCTTGTATGAGAACCACATTGTTCATGCGAAGGATACACAACATTCAGAATTAGCCCAGAGATACACAATGGACATTACTGGGAATAAGCGAAAGGCCAAAAGGCAGGTGCGAATAAAGGAGAGCACGCAAAATGTGGAAGGGACGACCGAGCAGGTGGTTTCCGGTGATTGTCCAGTCCGCAGTCTCCAGTTGCGAGTTGAGCTACCTTAATTTTCTTACCGCTTTCGCGCACCTTCTTGGTGTTTTTTCTCAACCCACCAGCAAGACATACAAGAAGCATGTCTCCCTCTTTCTCGTGCTTCTGCTTCGGCCTTTGTCCCAGCAAGTCTTCACCGTTCCTCCAGTCCCGGCCTCGGGTCCGAAGGCACTTTCTTCACATTTGCTTCAAGCAGAACCACCAACAAACGCCGTCACCATGAATTTCCACTGATTGTGTTGCCTTCTTTTCAAAGCCACCTTGTCGCCGCCCGCATCAGTCACCTACAGCTCTAGTCTTGTCGTATTGTCTTGCAGCAAATTAGATATCTCTAGCTTGACCAGAACTTTTATCCCACCACTCTGTTGTCCTTCTACAAGCGTACAATTTCTCTCGACATTGACCACGGCGACGACAACAAGATGGCAGGTCAATCAATGACTTCTCGTACTGGCACAGGCAATCAACGTTTGTCCTCCTTGTATTGAGATTGGGTTTGCAGACTCTTCTAACCATGTCTCAGGCTATGGATCAAAAGGCGAACGACTGGTAGCAGGCGTTGTACCCTTGTCCAGCGACAAAACCAAAGTCCTCCTCATACAATCGTCGAGCCGCACAAGCTGGGTCTTGCCCAAAGGAGGTTGGGAGCTCGATGAGGACACAGCGTCTGCAGCAGCGCAAAGAGAAGCTTGGGAAGAAGGTGGCATCATCTGCAAGATCGACAAAGATCTAGGGATGATTCCCGATATCAGACCTACAAATGCTGTCACCAAAAATGCACCAAAAGCTAGTTACCAATTCTTCGAGGCTACAGTCACAGAAGAGAAGGTTAACTGGCCAGAGAAGCACAAGCGCTCGAGAGCTTGGTACACTTTCTCGCAAGCTGCTCAATTACTGGCACAACGACCCGAGTTACTGGAAGCTCTCAAAAGAAGTTCTATGAAGCGGTAGACTGGTCAGTATCCTTGAGCACTACTCAGCTCACAAGTATGGGGGTCGGCTGTTGATCAACCAAATCCTTTTCACGAGGCAGGATAGACACGTTTACAGAATGGCCCAAGAGGCCATAACAGCTATGCATACCGCGAACACAGCGCAATACACTCTACGAGGCGCAGGCGATGCATTATCATGCAGCCTACGTCCTTCCCAATTCACCTTGCATGTTGTTCTTGTGACATGCTTCGAGACGTGCCACAACGCGTAGGATGTATTCACGAATAGCAATATAGTCTCCACACGCGTGTAGGTACGAGCGCTCAATGATTTTCAATGCTGTTCCACTGTTGTACAGCTTGCATACGCGGGTCAGGTTTTGTGTAACACAGGAGTGCACGAAACGTCGGATATGTGTGCAAGGAGTCGTCTGATAGCCGTAATGCAGACGTCAACATGAGACCAATGATCCTGTATTCGGTGAAATATGAGCACAGTCAATTGAGCACTGCCATGACTATGTCCCTCGACCGGAGGATGTGATAGCCTGGAAGTATGGAGAAAGAAAGCAGTGCAAGTTGTAGAGTCTGCGCAGGACTAGACAGAGGAGCATGAAGGCAGAACCAGCTCAGGGAGACTGTGCAAGTATTGAGCATGGCTTCTTTCAGGATCGGAGCGTCTCGAATGCGGCCTGATACTCATATATACACTCCTGTTACCACCTGCTCATGTTGCTGCTCTTCCGGCGTGCAAAGTAATCTAATGCTCCAAATCGACGGGAAAATTGCCAGCTTCTCTCTGGTCGTTCCATCGCATGACCCACGAGTTCGGGCATAGTGATCGGTAGGCGAGGTAGAACTGTTTGTCGTCCGAATCAGCACGCTAGTCCTTGATGATGTCCATATCTGACACAAACATACCTGTCTGCAAGGCTTGAAATCCTCTCCTTTTGCAATCACGCACTTGTGGTAGTCGACGTAGTTCTGCCAGCAGTGCTTTGTCCTGTTTTCACCTATCAATATTGCTGAACGCCACGGATTCAACACATGGTAACGTACTGGTTCTGGTTAGGGAATCTAGCGTCGTAGCCAGCTGTCGCAATGTCAAATTCTTATCCTATGCATCTGGACCCACGCTTCTGACTGACCTGTGACAAACTTGAAGGGCTTGGTGACATTGCCTCCAAGATCCTCTGGATCAGGCATCTCGATATCAGGCATTTTAGTTGAGAGTCTGGCTATCTATCGTAAGTCCTTAGGAGGGCGGCTCGTGCCTGTAGCTTGTCGATGTTGTAGATTCGGCGGAGAGTTCGTGGCGCGACTACTAGAGCTCAAACATCGAAGTCATGAGAGAGAAGGCCCGCCAAGCTCCCAGGACAAGCGCAGTCGAGCTTAAACTCACGTGATAACCACCAAAACAGATCGGAGGCAGGAAGGAAGCAGGAGCATTTCCGAAGCTCGCTTCTGCCAGTGACGTTTCGCGCGGCTGCTGTTGTTGCAACTTCCTCACTACAATAACCACATCTTCAGCTTACGAGCTCTGATATATACCACCCTCCACTCCGATAGCCACAATGAACTCTGCTATGCGAATTCCTGCTTTAAGGGCAGCTGCTGCTCTGCGTGCCCCAGCTATGCGCGCTCCAATCGTCCGATCTACGCAGTCCACAATACTGCAGCATGCGAAGATCTTTGGAGCACAGAAGTGGTTTGCGAGGACATTCTCGACTACTATGGTTGCGAGGAGGGAGAAGGTAAGCAGACGCCGAATGTTAGACAGGAAAGACGACCAAAGCTAACACTTTAAAAGGAGGACGACCAAAGCGGTATGCACTCATGCACTTAAGCTCGAAAATGAGCATGGACAAGGAGAAGCAGTAGCTAATTCATCACAGCGCATACCATCACCCAACGGATCCGTCAACTGAAGCGCATGCCACCTGAGTTGATCCCTCTCTTCGTCGTTATCTTGTACGTATACCAAACAATAGAGATGGTGTAGGAGAACGTAAAGAGCAAGCTGACAACATCATAGTTTCGCCCTTGGAGCTGCCATGTTTGCTATCGTAAGGAAGTTGTTCACCGACAAGACTCTGCGACTCACTAAGAGCAAGCCAGCAAGACCTGAGCCAAGCCACCCTTAGTCTCAGGACGAGGCAGACTGAGACGGAACATTTCTTGACTGTGCAGGATCTACGCAAATAGACACAAAATTGCTGTACAATCACAAGGGGCGAACTCTTGCCTGAATTCAATACCGAACTATGGACCAATAGGTGCAATGCTGACATCTGGGACTTTGATTGCCTGCCTTCTGTTCTCACTTGTGTGCGCATGATCTCTTGACACAACATTTCGGACCACTGCGCTACCTCTTCACGATGCTGCCTCTTGTACTAATCTGATTCCAATCGCTGGGGAATCCTAATCTACGCAGATTCTTGCCTCGCAAGTACGTTTCTACAACCCTCCATGAAATCTGACCATCAGAACAACTCTCCACTTTCGTACCTATATTTCAACCACTCCTACACTTCGAGCCTGCTAAGCTTAGCGAGCGTCTTCTCCAGTCGAGTTATCCGAAGTCATGCAGCAAAGATGAAACTCCTTCACTGCTGGTCCCAGGACAAGTCAGCTAATTATTTTGCAGTTGCCATTCTACTTTCCAATTGAATTGGACAGCGCACCAGAAGCAAGAGGCACCCTCCAAGATTGCTCACTACTCAAGCCACTCTTAGCTTCTGACTGAACGCTGATGTTTCCTGCCTAGCCACGGAACAAAGCCTTTCTGCAGCAATAGCGGGCAGTCACCAATGACGAGAATATGCTTGCGTATCTCTGAGAGACCCAAGATTCCTGTACGTCAGCCCACGTTCGACTAAACGGAAGCTCGGTCGTTTGTGTTACTGCTTGACTTTCACACGACTAAATGCCATACTTGCTTGGAACTGAGAACACAGTTCTATCTGATCGAAGCGTCGAGCCTGCTTTATATGAAGCCGGAATTCGCAATCGACTTACGGCTGAGTGACGTCGCAATCATTCGGTATCTTCCATGTTCGGCCATTCCGAATGCCACGTCACGCCTACAGTTGTCACGGTCAAGCATAGTTTCAGCCTTCTAAAAGCATCCGAACCCAAGACCTAATGCGACATGAGAAGTTGCATACCAGAATCAATCCGTTTGCTCATCTGCAACGCCATTTGCCTAGCCTTCGCTAGGATCGGATGGTGAAAGCGGCCTGACAATTTCTCACACCTGATGTCCGATTCTTATCTGTGCTCAAACATCTATCCGTTGGTCGCAGTACTTTTTGTTAGATCAATGGCATTCCTCCAGCCAAATGTATTTGCAGAAACTTCTCCATGGACCCAGAATGAACACCTTCACCATGCTTCTTGCCAAACCTTCAGATTGACCGCAAAACTTCAACAGTGCCACTTCAGCAAGTCCTTCAGTCAAAGCAATGAGGCTGCGTTTCCGGGACGGTGAGCAACCTGTTGGAATTTCGTGACTCACTAATACTCGACGGGATCTGTGCTTGACTTGTCATGTTTGCTGCTGCCGCTCATATTCCATCGACGCGAACAGCAGGTTTTCTGGCTGCACTCGAGGGTATCAAATCGACAGTGTGGTCGCCGATCGCCTTGTCAGACATTCGAATTACCCTGCTTCCGTCCGAACTCACGACGCTTGATCACAGCCTTCCGATTGCTCAAAGAACCACTTGACGCTAAGAGCGCCATGGCAGGGTCGACGTCCGACAACAATGACGACTCGTGTGTCGTAGCGCAACCAGATTGATATGACTCTATTACGAAAGAGCTTGGAGGTGCCAGAAGAGAGTTCAACAGACATCGTCACTCGTTTCGAGGACTATGTCGAAGTCTATCAACCATATACAGGTCTGATCAGACTGGCAGTGACAGGCACGAACGTTGAGCTTCTGCTCCGTCTTGCTGAAACTAGATGTTCGCCATGACCAGTCAAGCTTCAGCCAGCATAAATCCACAACCAATTCGTGGTCAATGTCCAGGGCGGCGGATCATGACAGGTTGTCTTCGCATAAGCCCTGCCAAACCTCTGTCCCAAAGCCACTTTCCAAGCAAATCGAATGTACGATCCCCCTTTTGGTTTCCTCTTTTCGAAAGTAACCATGTTCGACGCATCGCACAAATGTTTATAGATATATATGCACTTGTTCACTGAGCGCAGTCGAATTCGATGACAAGCCACCGGTCCAAGTGCACGGTTTCCTGGTCGCCTGCGTCTATGGAAGCAGCACCTACGTCGGTACACATTCACTCCCTACTGATAACCGAAGGTCGGCGGTGCGCTTACACAGTGTTGACCATACATGCAGCCGAACCAGAAGTTCAGATGCGAGAAAAAGAGATTATCCGTTCACCTCGCTTTCGCTGTCACGCGATGTTCGTTCAAGACAGCAAAGATGTTGCACCACTCCTTCACGTATACGAAATTCCGCAAGAGCACGACTCCATGGTCAGCAAATTGTGCTGTTCAATGGGACAAATCCATAATTGATGAAGGTCTCGGTCAAGTCTATGCGATACTCGCTTGTCCAATCAGACATAAACATATCAATCGGACCAACATCGCCTGCCAAACAGAACGGGTTCAGAATTTCTCTATTCGGGAGCCACGATCACATCAGCATGCTGCAACAAGTCTACGACGTAAAATATGGAACTATCTGGTGGGCACAATTGTGGTCGACCTCGTCACTCTCATCAAAATGTCCATGATGTGTACGGTCATCGTTAACGTGTTCACTATGCGTTTGATCGTGGCTGAACACCTTTGTGTGGTGATCCATGAGATGTCTGATGTGCTCGGCTTACCCAGATTGGTTCACGTATGATCAGAGCTTGTTTTCAGTCAGCCAACAGAATTGATACTGGTGAACACCCTGAATGGACCTTACACATTCTAGTGCGCAGCTACAAGTCGATCTCAGGTGCTGTCAGCACACGCAACAATGTAGTAGTACGGAGATTCGCTACACCACATCGATATTGGACAGCGCTGTCGGACGGATGTTTTTCAGAAATTTGTCGACCACGTATTCGTACTTCTGACAACATAGGCTCGTGGCCCAGCACCCAGGAATTCAGGTTTCAATACCCTAAAGTACACTGTATCGTCAGCAGAGAGCTCAAAAGATAGTTTGTTGATACATGCCCTGGATGAGGCGCCTGAGATCGATAGCGTCGCTCCTCCAGTGAGACTGTTCTGTTTAATGGACCTGAAAATCATCTATCAGACAAGATGCACCAGCAGAATCAGTTTTATGCTAGCAGGCACTATTGATACCCTATCATATTATCAAACTGCCGCTATTACCTTAGCCGGGCGTGCGAAGTTGGCAAAATTTATGGCGCCATCCGCAAGTTGTATTCAACTCATAGTTTGCTCTCAATGTTGTCGTCGAATATGAGAATATTCTTCAGACTACGTCAGAAGGCGGAGATGGAAAATTTGTAAGAGAAAGAGAGAGTGCAGCAAGCGCTTGCCCATCGAGTCACAGCACGCCGTCCAGGTTGAAGGAGCTCGAATCCGGTCAAGACCGTCTGTAATAGCTGATGGAGACATGCCAAGATAGCAGGCCACAATGTAGACGACATGGAAGGTAGCTCGGAAGATCAAGAATGCTATCACCAAGGCTGTGTCAAGTATCATCTCATCAGCTTTGACCCGTATGCTTCCCTCTCCACAGTCCTGCTGTGGATAAGATGAATGCTGAAGAGGTGAGTGAACATTAAGGATTTGCCTTCAACAACAGCCACGCAAGATCATGGCTAACGCTCATGCTTACTGATTCGGCATATCAGTACACCTCACTGCCAGACTGTACCTCGAGGCACCTATAAGTGCTGAAATAACCTCCGATGTACCTGGACGACAAGCTATCAACTCGATCGCATTGACTACCAACAGTCGCACAGCGTTTGAATTGCTCACAAGGAAAGATTTGTCTCACGTCAAAAAGCCTGTTAGATCTTTCGCAGGACATGTCATCAACCCGAGAGCTGCCGTCTGAGACCGTGGCAAGGGGTGGTCTTGTCGCTTTTGCGCTGAGATATGGAAAAACTCACACGCCATTGGTAAACATCATTCCAGATGATCAAGCAACCAGATTGTCATCTTGCGATCTCATCAAGCGCGTGAATTTGCGCCTGCAAGCCATGACGAAGTGGTTGTACCAGCAAACTATAAACATGAACAGCTGTATTTCATCAAGCTCAGCTTTCCTTTTTGCTCTTCGATATCCAGCACATGTCGGACAGATCCGAATTAGTGGCGTTCACAAACTAGCCTTACGAGACACGGCTCTATATCACGATCCAAAAGAAGAATCAGCATATGCGTCGCGTCTTCTTTGGTCCCTCTTCGCGAAATAGGTGAACCACGTCTCAGGGAACAGCTGAACAAGCAAGCCATGGTGTGTTAGCTACTAATTCATGTATGATCAATCCGGAAGCATTACGAATGCACGACTGAACACATACCTGCTCGTCCACGGCTGTGCAGGCTTCTATCAAGATTGCGTCCCCGGATTCTGTAACATGTTGCAACATATCCAACACTTATTAACCCGTTCCCAGCCTCTGCAAGCATCGATTCACATGCCGAGTACGCAAGCAACGACCCGGCTGCTGCTTACTTGCATATGTGTCTATTCGACCGAACCGTTATCACAATATTGCACTGTCTCCTAACGGAAACCAATGAGGCAGTGCCACTGCATATCACCTCGTTGTTGGTACTGAACATGCAACACGCTGCAAGCCGTGTCACTAAGCATTAACCCTGACCCGCATAGGGGTATATAGCTTCCTCTTCCCGTCCGGATTCTTCTCCCCACACTTTTCAATCGTGAGAAACAAGATCAAGTTCACCAACCAGCTCGCACGACTTTGGAACTTCCACACGGATCTTCGATACTCGCTCATAACAGATCAACCCTGTAGTCTGGCTGCGATGGCAGACTCAGCTTACTCGACTAATGTCTCTTCTCCTGACACGCCGAAAGTGGTAACTATTCGCTCTGCAACCACTGACCAAGACATGCTGAACAGCCATATTGAGACCATGACCATGAAAGAGCGGCAGAACCTTACCACTGGATCAAAAGTTGTGGTTACCATCTACGACCAAGAAACCCGAACCCAACACCAGTCGCAGCCAATCCCACTGAAGGTCCTCAAAGCGGCCTTCAATGCCGTTGACAGCCACCTCAAAACCCTTGAGGCACAGGGTAAAGACCTAAGCAAGTTGGACAACGTTATCGTTGAAGTTCCTTGTCACAAGAGCTTCTTTGCCATTATGGCCTACCTGAAGTTTAGCATCATCGATGCGAAGGGCGCACTTAGTGACATGAGAGCCTTGCCGAACGACGAGATGTCACTCATAGGATACATGCACATCGGAGAGGTCGCTGTGGCCCTTGGTTTTCGCCATGTATTGGATCAAATGAAAGAGAAGATTCTACGTACATTCTATCGAGGCCCAGGCCATAGATACCGCCTCCCAATCCAGGCTGTCCGAGCACTTGCTGGAAACAACCATTATAGTCAGTTCAGCAACATGGTTAGAGATAAACTGGTGTCCTCAGCTGCTCAGGCATGTCTGGAACATGACTTGATCAACAAACACGGGGTGGAAGATATCATGGAGGAACTACCACGATTCGGAGATCGAGTGTACGCCGAACACGAGCGATTGTGCTAGACAGAGGCAACAGACTGGCAGTACCGTGATAGCCAGCAGGGGAGTGATGGACAAAGTGGCACACAAATGAATGGTTTCCGACTTTGAGTTTGGTTTTGTTTTCAGTTGCATCAGGCGGCAATGAAAGCTGCTTTTGAGATCACAGGAGGAGAGGTGCGCAGCATCTTGGACAGCGAGGACTCTGCGTCGTGTCAGACGACCACACTTGAGATAAAGGAAGAAGATATCCTTTTACACAATCAGATTCCAGGCACATATGTTGTCCATTTGCCCTCTTTTCATTGTCCAAGCTGATAATGCTTTATTTATCATACCACAATGACTGTACAGTGTGCCCGAAGCTAAACCCAACACCGCTCCAATTGCATCGAGTCGTAGCGGTGTCAATGGCATTATACGAACATGCGTCAAACCTTCGCGAGTGCAGAATTTCTGGCTGGAGTCGAGGTGCAACATCACATAATGTCTTAACGCCAAAGTAAAGGACTCCGATCAGGACATGCTAACAAGCTACTGATATGTCATAAGTTAGTCAAAGACCATGATAGACGTGGAGATGCTGAGCACAAAAATCCAGCATATCATCTGGATTCTAATCGATAAAGCCTCGTAACCTCAACCAGCTTCGTTAAGTTCGATAAATTATTTCGAGCCTCTATCGCTAAGATCGTCATTTCGAGATAGGCTAAGCTTCTGAATGACCTCAACAGCTTTGAGTAGAGCGCACACGAGCTGTGCGTGCCTTGCGTATTCTAGAAGCTGCAAGTATATTCTTTGTTCGGCCTGGCGACGACCAACGAAATCGTCATGTATCGACTGATAGTTTCAAAACAATCTTCTAAAGACCTGGTAATGAGATGACTATGGGGGTGCGAGCTCTTGCGAATGCTATGTCTAAATCAAGTCAACCACAGCAGGCGAGTACTCCTATTTCTTGGTACTCATTCGACTATCTTTCTTGTCATCCCGATGTGCCCAGCGGCTTAAGATGAGGATTGGAAACATCACTTTTGTGCTCTCATCTCGACTGTAGTCTCCATCTACATTTTCTCTCACTTTGTTACTGCTTCCTATGTGAGTACATGTGCTTCGTGGCAGTTATTAGTGGATTGTTCCCTCGTGGAACAGTCCACGACTTCTTCGTTGCGTGGAGGGGACCAAACAGTACTGTAGTAGCTGAGCTTACGTTAGTGAGCCTGGCAAATAACTGGAACTCATGTGTAGGCAAGCATTTTCTCCTAAAGCTCGAAGTATTATTGAACACTCTCTTTGCCGAACAGAGACTAGTCTTTGTCTGAGTGCACAGACGACAACGATTGGAATCACGTACATGAAGTTTGGTATAATAATGAACGACGATGGTAGAGTGATGCCAAGAGGTCAGGAGCCAGATAGTCATACAAGAGCCCCTGGATTATTGCACCAACCCACACCACCAACCGACCAACCAGGCTTACATGTTCATTGTACACACAACCCCTCCTAGTATCGCATCGAACCACAACCTCACTCTGCAAACACTGCACTCTTCTTCCTTGATCATCGTCTTCCTCTATCTCCACACCACGCGTCTCGAAGATCAACCATAAACTTGTCCATAGATCATCTCGAACGCCTTCCGCTCGCGTCCCCACCAATTCGACGCATTCTCATAATCTGCTATCCCTCCAGTCCACTTCTCAAGCTTGAATAGAACCTCCGCAGGATTTCTTACCTATTCTGCCTGCTCGTTGAACCAGGTCTTCAACATCTTGTTCCTAATTATTTGTCGCTTAGCCCACCCTTCGTCGTCCTTGCGCATTCCCAGTTCTCCTACTCTTCTTGTGCCTACTGTCGCATAGCCCATTGGTGCCTTCTCAACGACCTCCTTGAACTCTTCTATCTCCCCGGATCTTGCCATGATGATGGTCCGACCTGATTCTCTTGCTGCCTTGTAGGCGCGGTGAATCTGTAGTGATTTCACGTGTTCGGCGGGATCAGAGCCTGGTGCGTGGTTTGCGCATAACCATGTCGTCAGCTTGCGTTTGATCTCAGCCCAGGCGTAATTGTAGCCTAAACTCAGAGAATACATCTCGGTGATAGATAGAGCTGACTGGGTAATGTGGCTGTACTGTGTACGTGTTGGTTCAAGGGCACTCCAAATAGAAAGTTGTTCGTCTCGAGTAGGGGCTTCAAGGTCGCGAGGATCTCTATCGCGGTGACACTGATAGGGTGTGAAGGTCGACTTGGGACCTGAACGCTCGCAAATTGTTGATGGTAGATCGTTCATCACAGTTGCACAAGTTGAATTTGTGAGTGAAGGTCTCGTCGGCATAGTTTGAGGCGAGGACGATGATGCTAGTGGGGATGAGAACCGAAGTTCATCACCTCTGTCAGATTGGACTTTGATGGGTGTGATTGGTGAAATTGGTTCATCAGCATGACAAGAAAGCGTTTGAAAGCCTCCCTTTTGAAGGCGTGAACTATTGAAATGAGCAAAGACTGATCGGTGCATTTCTATATTGGTCTTGTTCATACTTTGCCAATTTGGATATGCCATTCTCGCTTCCTGTTCAATCCGTCGTGCTTGCTGCGCGTCCAGAAAAACACGACTCCGTGGTATGTTTGATATTCGTAATAGGGAAGAGTTTCGTGTTCGAAATTGTGTTGATTGTTGACTTCAATCGAATCCGAAATTATCTTGGTTTGCACTTCTTTCGGGTAAACGAGGTGAAAGTAAACTTCAAGTGACACCTAGACCTACGTCCTTTTCACTACTGACGAGCTATGGTGTGCGAAGTACTTGCGTAATATATGCTGTGTCGGACCATGATAGAAAAACAGCATGAATTGCTATCTTGAAAAACCCAGTTGATTGTGCTCAAGCTGAAATGACTGTCGTCTTACTAAATTCAGCATACTGGATGTTATCTCCTCAGAATTTCTGGTTTGTTCTTGAGTAATGTTTGCTCATATGCCAACAGCTTCTAGTCCTTTGATTGTTCGCCTGAACCTGGTAATGAAGCAGGGGTATGCTGTTGTTCTTAGGGGTACGTCGACTTGTCATAGTATTCCTCTATCTTCTTGTCGTCTTACACACTCATGTCCATATTCAACCATCAATGTGGGCAAACCAACGACACCTGCCGGATAATTGCTGCATGACTGGTGGGACGAAGTAGTGAGCGCGTTTCCATTTTTTTCTGTCTGGCAAACATTTTAGCTTCTCACGTTTTTGTACCATACGGTGCTCGAAGGCGGTTGTTCGTAAAGGTGCGAACTTCGTTGGTATGAGGCGATACTAGAGCCATATCCTTGGGGTGTTGAACGTCGTGTCAGAGTTACCCTGCTTTTCCATCAGTCGTCAAGGACTCATAAATCTGCTAGCAAGACAACAGTAACATGTCGTATGCTTTGCCAGAATGTCGCTTTTTCATCACATGAAAAGACGTTCGTGAGGTCAAAGGTGTAGGGCAATGGAGAGTTGCATGAAGGAGGTCTTTCGTATTTTCACAGCTCACTGTCCGAGCCTCTGTATTTGTTGATAGCTACAACGTAAGTTTAGTCATGGCAGATCTTGCAGAACGTCACGGTCACAGCACAGCTCTCCCGTAGGATGAGCTGACAAAACACAGTAAGTATTGATGGAAGTTCTGCCATTTGCAGAACTTTCTGAACAGTCAAGATTTATTCTTAAACACATATTTAGGGAGTGCTGGTCACATAGTGGAGCAATTGATATAGCTCCTCCGACAAAGTGTGGGGACAGAGCATTCGGCAGGGCCACCCATCACCAGTTCAGTATTGCCAATGAGTATCTTGATGTACATCTGAAGGAGGATGAAAAAGGATAGAACAAAATTCTTCACAGCTTGATTAGTCGTCCTGCCGCAAAGATGGCAACAGAGAGATTATAGAATTTGCTGTGTCTTAGTCAGTGATAAGCAAGTCTGATTCACTGTTTTGAGGTCGTTGCGGATCATGAAAGTGAGGACATAAGTCGTTGCATATAACTGTACGACCTGATTAGCTGCCTCGATATCCAGGCAGTAATCGTACTCGTAATGACGTTGGTGCTCAGCGAAGCACAACGCCGACACTGTGGCCGAGTCCTTCTCTACCATATTCCAATACTGCAACCTTTTATTGGGCTGTTCATGTCTCATGTTGGTAGATAGACTCGTCAGGTGTATCAGAAACTGTGCGCGCCGAAAACTCGTCCGACCATGACCGAGCGAAACCTCGTGTGCAGCCGCACAGCGCGCCATTCAACCACTTTGGGAAACCGAGCGAAGATCGTTTGCTTAAATTAGAAAGCTAAGCCGTAATGCTCATCAAGGTAGAAACGCATGGTTTGATCGCGAGGACAGATACATAAGGCTCGGTATCCTCACGAACTTCCTCGATCTTTCGAGTGATCATTCTTTATCATTCTCCATAATACGAATTGCAACGCCAGGACAACAGTTCACATCCAGCAATGGCAGAAGCAAAGCAGGACGACAATTCTGCAGCAGAAGTTATCATTCCGACATTCGGCGAGACAACTCAGACTCTACACGTGAAGTTCAAGGACTGGAAACTCTCAACCGCACATCTCTATCCAACCGATGCTTCAGGCACGTCGTCAACACCTGAACCCCTCTATATAGTGGAATCTCATCTTCGCAAGCCAAATCTCCGGATGTTCACAAATGTCGAAAATGGTAGTGCTGTACTCAGCAGCGACAGGGCACCATTTGCAAATGTGATTTTCCATTCCTTCAGCAGCACAACGGACATCGACTTGAATGGTACAAACATAGGTCTAAAGGCCAAATCACGCTGGAAAGGCAATGAATGGTTATTCGACTCAATCTCTTTCGCAAAGACATTGGCATGGAAGACGCAAATATCGTGGACTAAGCAGTCTTGGGTCTGCATGGATGAGCGTGCCTTGCCACTTGCGCGGGTTACAGTAAATGGTTTTGCCTGGAAAGATATCGGCAAGTTCGAGATTCTGAATCCCGAGAGTCTGACGCAAGCTATGGTCGAGGAACTAATCGTCACGGGGATGACTATGGCGTTCTGGACGATCATGACCAACAGGAATGCTAGCACGGCCAGTTCTAGTGCTGCTAGTGCCAGTGCTGCTAGCGCGGCGGCTTCTGTCTAGCAGTGTGCCTGGATTGATATAATTCTGTGAGGCACACAACAGATCCAAGTCCACATTAGCAAGCGGCTTGTGCTGTGATTTCCCGTCATAACTGCGAGAGAGGCCGGGTAATACACTTGGTCTTGACATTATAGGCTCGTCGTGGTCTTCCTCTCTGCACTATGCTAACAATGAATGGTTCTTGTGCTTAGTGCCCAGCTGTGAGACGTTACAAGGGAGAGTCCAAAAGACGAAGTACGAAACTGAAAGGCAGAAGTTGTGATGACGAGCTTGATAACGACCACTACTTCGAAGGGACCGAAGGCTGAAACCACAAGCGAGAACATGTCTTAGCTCCGAGGCTGAAACGTGCCAAAGCTCAAGGTTGGATGTGCTAAGCGCCGCAGTGCAGCAATATCTTCCTCCCGTTCTGAAAAGCGTGTTTTCATGCTGCTGTCGGGCTTACTTGCTGAGACGAGAAGTGTCTCTTGCACATAGTCACGTCGCGACATTCAGATGCACGAGGTCATATCAAACTCTGTGTCATGATATGGAACCAATGGCTGGGCACATTGACACGTGCGACGAACCGCCTTGTCTTGACTCTGCGACAACGCTGAAAGGATTGTGGTTATTTGGATGCGGTCTTCTGCTCCATGTGACTTATGCCCTGCTCAACCTGGTGATCAGATCGGCATGTGCTCGCCTTGTCCACTGGGTCAAAGAACCACGAAGTAAGCAAGACGCGACGTTCCTAAGTCATGAGGGTGTCGACTTTACCAACCTGGACTACCTAAACTCGGCACGACAGATGATTGTCGTTCAGGACTTCAACCCTTACGCGAATAGGACAAGGAATCAAATGCAGCAAATCGGCAAGGCAGGAATCAATTTTGAGCGACTTCACGAAGCGCTTCTGGTCAGCGACAACCCCAGTGTACTCCAGAACTCATCGGCTGCGGTCCAAGCACTGACGATCGAGATGAGCCAGGATGAACTCGCAGCAACTTACACCAAATTCCAAAAGCTTCGGCGCGGTTATAGCTTCGGTGACACTGTACCCAGTGACAATTCTCAAGCTCACTTAGGAGATACGTTTGTGGTCTATCGTGCTGCAGCACCACGAAACTTCATGCCGGTCGCCGCTTTGTCTGGAATATTGGGCGGCATCGCAGGCGGTATCGTTGCGGTTGTGGGCAATCGTTTTGTGAGCTCTGGTGACAAAGACGACAGGACCACCTCAAATGCGAGCACTATGAAGAACTAACGAAGTACTCAGGATGAGTCTCAGCTGAACAGCATGGCGTCCATCAAGCGTGATGCGACACGAGGGAAGTGTGAGTCAGCTGAGAAATCGACTGAACCTGCCGATACACAAGACCAGTTCCGCTTTTGGATCTGGCTAGCTCGAAGGCGATCCAGTGCGTTGGATCCAGCGGCAAACTCGAGCCCACCCGTCCCTGCATTCCAATACGATATCTCCCACGCATTTAGGCATGCTTACTTGTCCGACCAGTGCAACAGCGTGGCGTGGAGAGCTTGGTCATGCATGAAATGGGCTGGAAGTACAAGCTTTGACGTGCTCGTCAGCCTGTTGACAGACACAAGCTCCACTCAATCATATGGTTACAATGATGTTGAATTTTTTCTTCGACCTACCCCTACGCCATGCCCGGAAACGACCAGAACAACTTCGTCCGCATCATCTAAGCCTGCACCAATACCGACCAGAACTTCGACCGCAAAAGCAAGCTCTACATCGACCTCGACCCGACCAATGCCTACTTCAGCCTGATGTGGGTACGGGAATGCTGGTCAATAAACATGCGCAGGGTCATTAGCTTGACTCAGTCCAGCTCCCTTGCCAGTTTGATACTTTGGATAGCTTGTTTGAGGTTTACGGTCAGGGTACTGCCAGTAGAAAAGTCATGTCGGCAGCGTCGGCCGACCCTCTGAACGACGAGAAGTACAACATGCATTCGTACTTCGAGCTCCAAGCATGTCAAACCGTGTTCGACAAGGTCTCGCCCAGTGCCATATATGCGACCAACTCGTTGCTGCTTATGTTCGTGTACTGCACCACGAGCTGACCAATCATATCTAGCGCCGACTGTTGTGCCAGATCCTCGACGCCGGCTTCTGGAAGTATGCCTTCATGCATCTTGCTTGAAGCACTAGCAGCATTAGAAAGTCCTAGTGCGTTGCGATGCTCGCTTAGTTTCCCAATACCCTCGAAGGCGGCAGTGTTCAGATCAATATCGTGGTCGTTTCGAAGTCTGTCTGTGCGGGCTGAGGTCATTTGTGCATTCATATCAAGAGTATTGAGGTCAAATCTCTATTGAAGCGAAACTTGAGCTGACGTTCCTGGTTGAGGTTTCGTCGCCTTGTGTGGTTTAAGCGAGGTACTGCTTGAAGTGTCAACTAAGTTCCCAATTGAAGGATTTCGAAAGCCGATATGTCCTGCGAGCAAGCGTTCGAAATCTGTAAAGGAGTTATCGATGTACACGATAAATGCATTGGGGTGATCTAGCAGCTGATCGCACGATTTGTACATCAGCTTGTCGACAAAACGAGTACAAAGAAAGTGTCAACGTGACGATTCACACTGTTGCGGAAACCCTCTCGGATCAACGATGGACGTAGACCATCCGGCAAATTTGGCACTTCTCTTCGTCACACGACTGAAAGATACTGTGTAGCTCTCGGAAGCTGTGCACCCTTGCTCCCAGATGCAGAAGGTGCTGCGGCACTCGCGTGCTTTCTTCAAAGAACGAGGACGCGACTGGACGCGATCCGGGGAACGATCTTGGTTCGACTACCGAAAGCAGAAGGTGCATTTCTCGAACAGGATATTTGCATCTGGTTGGATTGGCACGACTAAGGACGACGATCGCCGATCTTGTGCAAGGGTGCGTATACTGCTAGGACTGGTTCTGTCATTGAGTATGAACGATTGAGGATAGGATACCACGAATTCGTATATAACTATATGCTGCCTTTCAAGCTTTTCGTACGATTTGCATAGTGTACTGGTCGTTCTTGCGCCGTTAACGCCGTCCTTGATCTTGATTGAACCCCGTACAACAATCCTCCATATTGCTTTTGTTTGTGAGATTACGACTTCTTGCACGGTACTCGACCAATCAGTCAGCTGGAGCACTGCTTGCTTCTCGCGGAAGAATTTTTCTGCTGCCGCTCGTGCTCATCTCTGGCTTCTGACCATATCCATACATCAAACTCATACCTTCACATGGCGCCCTTCCTTCTCGATGATCTTCACCAAACCCTTATATGTCTCACTCCACTCTTCCTTGTCTTCCTTTCCGCTCCCCTTCTCCTCAGCTCCTTTCTTCTTGTTTACGGGCACATCTCTCCCTACCATGACTACACTTGTTGGCCTCTTAGTTTGTCCCGCCATGCCCAACTCCGCTCTGCTGGTGACATAGATATATGGAATATTGTGATCTTCACACAAGACTGGGATGTGTGAGATGACGTCCATGGGTGAGATGTCTGCTGCTAGGACAACAATGCCTACTGGCAAAGAGGCGCTGGCTTCAGAAACGGATTTACGTAGAGCCTTGACGACTTCTTTGACGCCGCGTTTGAGGGTTCGTTGAGCGGCGGCTGTAGCACATGAAAGTGGTTAGCGATGTTCTCCACAACACTAGTAGGCGGTAACAAAGAATAGGGAGACATACCTTTCTTGACCCCCTTGAACACCTTCTTGCCAACCTTCTCGTCCGCCAACGGATTCGCAAACGGCACAAGCGCACCAATTGGCCTCACCGCACCCTTCTCATCAATCTGCATCGTCTCATCCTCATTTTCACTCACAACCTCTCCATCTTTTCCTACATTGCCGTTCACTAGCACTTCCCTCTTCCCATCGCCCTTAACCTCCACGACAGCACCATCCGCCTTCTCCAGCTCATTCAACATCTTCTCCGCGATCTCTGCCTTTTTCTTATCCTTGCTCTTCTTCTCTTTCTTGGATGATTTCTCTTTAGAGATTCCGGCCGGTTCTACGAGAGTAGAGGTGGATTCTGACTTTGCGGCCTTACGAGCGGCGCGGCGCTCTTCTTTGCTGAGCGAGGAGTCTTTGGCCATTGTTGTGATGAAGAGAGAGGTGTGAGGTTTGGGACGGTAAATGAGTAGTGCTGATCTCACTACAGTGTGTAGAATACGTCAATTGCTCTGTCTGTATGTTTTCTCCCTCTTCTTTCGCGATTTTAAGATACGGTTCAGTCGTAGTCTTCGAGGTTTAAGATATTTAGCTGTGTTTGGTGTTTTCGCGATAGTTTCTGGGCACACTCGTCCGTTCCCAGCTTCGCTCTCTTCGATGTCTGCCTGGTCGTTGTATGCACACTCTACCTCTCGCGTCGAGATAGGTCAAGGTAACTCAGATCCGTGTCTCGCGCTAGGCCGTCCAGCGCAGGTGTCCGCGGTTCCGAGCAGGAAATTCTGTAATTTCCAATGCTCGTGAATGTTTCTTGATATCAATATGTCCACTCCCACGAGCGCAAAGCTGAACCTTTCGATCAGTGCTTCGTCCTTCGCACCTTCCAACTCCAAATTTCTTATCGAGAAAAATCGTGTGGAGCTTCAGTAGATGACTAAGGCATCAGATATTCAGGCTTGCCTTTTTGTGGAGTAGTGCAATTCCAGCTTCAAGCGATAAGGCACGAAGGCAGCAACGAACACACGAATATGGTGAGACGTCGTTCATTGAACATTGTTTCTACGTAGGGTATGTTGTGCTGTACTGTCCTGTGCCAGCTTTTCTAACCTGTTCTAACTATCGTAATTTGGCAAGACTCGCCAGGCGTGTTATGCTGCTAAGCGCTATCACGTTACTTTTTGTGTGTGCCTGCCCTTATGCCTGTGTATCCTAGGGTAATAGCCCCAATGGTCCTGCTGCACGACTTTCCTCCTTTTTGATTACACCTTCTCGTTCGATGTGCCCCTAACTTCGTTCATGCCAGTACCCGCAGAAGCCTGTTCCTGTCCCTGCATCGGCTGCTCTTGCGTTTGAAATTGCTGTAACTGCTCAAATTGCGCTTTCTGCCGCGCTTGCATCGGACCTGTCATTTGCTGTGGCATTTCTTCCACTAGAGCAGAGGACATAGGGCGTAACTCAACGACCTTCATAGAACTACCGCCGTTGGTGGAGATTGTGGTGACAATTCGCCCACTTCCTCTATCACTACCATTCGCACTTCCCACACTCTGGGTACGAGGTTGACCCAACAGCGGTGGGGGTGAAAGATCTGACATGTTAGTATTCGTTTCGCCTTCGACTGGCGTCATTCTCTCTAAGAAACTGCCACTCGGCACAGCAGAAGGCATTGATCTCGCGGGAATGCCAAATCCTGCTTCAGGTGTTGCGTTCGTACTCATATAGTTGCCTGCGATGGCTGGCACGGCCTGGTCATGATGGCTGTGAGCAATCTCAGACCCATACGTGTTGCCCGAACCGACAGGAGCTGACCCGGGCACAGAGCCAGACAACTGACCCGGTACCGGTGGGACCGGTGTCCTACTGCCACTCCTCTCATGTCCCCTGTTCTCCTCTGGTAGCGGCACCAACAAGTCGTCGCGACTTCTGTCAAACGAACGTCCTCGAGGTGAGAGATGCTCGTGGGCAAAAGCGGTCAAGCTACTCCTACTGCCTGCATCACTTGCACCTGCTGCAAATCCCCTTGGTGGCGGTGGAGGACTTTTTGCTCTTTCTCTGTCGTCCCTGTTCTGCTGAATCTTAGCCTTCATTCTTCCGAAAAAGCCCTTTCGCTCTGGATCAGTTGGTGGTGCAACGACATTGTTAAGTATCTCACCGGATGCACGGCTCGAGACGTTCATCGTAGATGGATAGCCAGCACTATTGGACCCATCAAAGTTGGTTGTCTGTGTGGCTTGTGAGTCGCCAGTAAATGATTTACGTGGCTTGTGCGAGTGTGCGTTTGAGCCAAGGGAGCTATTACTGCCTCTAGCACCAGGGTTCTGCCCTATACCCATACCCATGATTGGTGGTGGAGGTGCTAAGGGCGACATGTTGTCTTGTGGTCCTTGTCGAGAAAGACGCCACTTGTTGTTCTTGTTTCGCCGGTTTTCCTCGCGATTAGCTGGATCATCCAGAGCGTCGAGGTCTGAGGGATCTGTCACAGATCCCCTAGAATAGAGCGACCCTTGTGGTGATCCTGGTGGCATGAGTGTAGAGCTTGGAACACGTGCTTCGCGAGTTGTTGGAGACGTAGGGGAAGTCGTGTTCAAAGCTTCAGGTTGTTTGCTGTTGTCAGGTGTGATTGTGTTGTTCGGCATTGCTGGAAATTGGTCAGCCGGATCTGCTCGGTCGTGCATAAATTGATTCGGTGTCATCATTGGGGTATGGAAGGTTCCTTCGTCTGCAGTAAGTGACGCTTGGGAACTCTGCGCACTTTCATTGACACTTCCAGGTATTCTACGCTTCTGGAGTTTCCTTGGTTGTCGAGCATTCGGGTCTCTAAGAGAATCCGAAGGTCCAAAGATTGGTGAGATAGACAAGAGGTTCTTGTACTTTCCGTCTCGATTCGGTTTTCCATTGATTGGAGTTACGGGGTTGAAGTCTTGCGCTTGTCGAAGATCCTGACCAGCCATCGTGGAGGCAGCTGGCTCTGCAATCTGATTGTTTATCGTCCTTATGGGCTGTGATGGCAGACGAATGTCGGTGCCTGGCACTCGGTCGGGAGTATTCTGATCGCGTTCGTCAGAAGGTGATCCGGGTATCGTTGGTGGCAGAATAGTGGTAGGAGTGTCTGGAGTTCTGGCCTCTGACATTCTCTGAAATCGATGTCCAGCTTGCATTGCAGGCGATTTATTGGAGGGAACAGTGTTGCTCCTCGCCAAACCACTAGTACTGCCGGTGCTCCCAAGAGCGGCAGGAGATCCAGGTGTTGCAGGGCTCGATACGTTAGGACTGGCGCGATCTCGTGAGTTACGTGACGACAAGGATGCATTGCGACGTATACCCGTTGCTCTGCGCAAGCTATCTGCTCCTGCGCTTGCAGTCGAAGCAGACCGACCAAGACCCACGGCTGGCTTAGGAGTTTTGATAGATGGCGGACCGCTCTTAACTTCGTCCTTTGTCTTCTCGTCCATAGCTGTGCCAGACATGCCAATCAAGAAATTGTCTTGGTTCTCGATCAGAAAGATCAGTACCTCCTGGCTGAGCCGGTATTCGTTAGGTGCCATATCGTGACTTGGGTGGGAAATGATACCAGGCTGAAAGATGGCCGCCAGATTCTGAGCAGTCATCCTGTTCAGATCCGACTTGGAGTCAAAGACGGCCAAGAGATCCAGGATATACAGCAGTAATTGTCGATTCAGGGGTGGGAGCTCTCTCAGTAATTGCTGGTATGCAGCGACAGCTTTTGCATGCTCTTCACGTTCCATTGTCTGACCTCGTGTTTCAATCCCAGCTTTTGCTTGATAGGCGCGAAGAGGGTTTCTAAATCGTTCGTAGAAACTAAGAGGGACGATAGGTTCGGGCAATTGGTTGAGGTATCGACGGAGAATATTGGCAGCATCGTGGACGGTGTAACCTGTCCAATCGAGGCCTTTACCATATCGTTCGGGTGAATTGAAGACGATTTGAAGATCCTTGATCCGTTTTGCAGAGCCGCTTAATCGGAAGATACCTTCGACGTCAGTTGCTGTGCCGAGTGTTAGCACAGCGACAAATCGTAGTGAGCTTACTGACCTTTTTCCTTCAAGAAGACACCACATTTGGCAACTACTATCGGCACGTAACCATAGATGAAGCTCTCGCCTTGTTCGTTAGACAGGGAGATTGCGACGTTGGCATAACGAATGCTCTCAGAGAGTGGAATGCCAAATATGCCTCGATCAGCAGGACCTGTATGTGTCAGAATTGGCCTTCTTCCTTACGAGGTTGACTGACCTTGATCCTCTGATTTGTCCTTTTTTCGACCAAATTTGGTCCACCATGATTTCAACTGCTCTTTAGATGGTGGTGACACAGCTTGCTGTATGTTATTGGAAACCGGAGCACCTCTGTGAGAAGGCTGTGATATGGGTTGGGCGCTCGCCATAGCACCCGGGGTGCCTGATGGCATGTATTGGTCGTCGTGCGCAGGCTGATAGCGAGTGTGACAGTACGATAATTCGAGGTTTTTCGGGGAGAGGTCTAGAGATTCGAAGGGACGCTATCGCGATCGTCGTCGCAATCACTGTTGTGGTTGATCCGCGCAAGCGTTGATAGCCGTAGTAGCAACGATGAGTGGAAATACGGTCAAGCTGTTCCGATTTCGCCCATTCGATGTTATTCGACTCGCTAAAGATTGATGCTGTATTTTGGGACAAGGACTAGATTGAGAAGGCTGCGTATTGCCAGGTTTACGGTCCCAAGGTCAATAGGGAGGTTGTGAGTCGTGTCGCTGATTGTCGCCTGGAACGAGAACAAGCTCTTCCCTCAAAATCGAGCGCTAGTTGTCGCGCAAGATCTGCTACCAAGAGAAGAGAGCGGCGATGAAAGAGTAAAGGTAGCTGAGTCGCCGACCAGGAAGGCTGGTGGTTGTGGTCTGCTACCAGGGCGCTGTTAACAAGAACCTTGTGGGCCTCGTTGAAAGTTACTGGCGCTGACAATACCCGCTAAGGTTGCACTTTAAACGCCAAACCCGATTGAATTTCAGCCCCCAGACCAAGTTTGGTCAACAAACCGAGAAGCATGTTTGAACGAGCCGATCAACAAGAAAGACTAAATATGATGTCCTGATTGTAGACTTGTAAAGTGGTGATAAGTATCGCTTCTTATGCTGGTTTCGACCGCTCGTTTGAAGCCAATTTATTCAGTAATGCTGGTCTTGGCATGTAAGGCACCCGATGGCTGACTGACAAGGACAGATCCGGGAAGGATGAGCAGAGGGCCAAAGGTACAGTTCATACGCAACTCGTCTACGGTTACCCCAATATCTGTGAGATACGCTGTGCTTGGTCTGCTGCAGATCCCAGATCAACGGCTTCTATTTTTATTTACTGTTTAGCGTATTCCAAGACCAGCTTGCCAAAGTCGATCCGAATCATGGACAAGATCGTCATGCAATTGAGCAAGTCTGCTGAAACGGACACTGATTCTTCGAGGCACAATTCGTTGTAAAGAACACTCGCTTCAAGGTCGAGAGTAAAGTCTACCAACCAGAATATGGAAATCTATGCATGTCTCAATGCTGAAACACTCATGCGTCGTCGCCACCATCACCTTTAGCAAAGATATCCTCTTCACTTGTGCTATCGCGATATGGCTGTGGACTTGGCCCCTCGTCAAAATATGCCACATCATCGTCTTCATCGCGCGCCAATATCCCAGCTGCAGCCTGCGCCTCTGGATCGTCCGTGAATTCTGGTGGAGGGGCACCTGTTCGCCTCGTGGAATCGCGAACGCGTTCTTGTTCTTCTGCTTCTAGTTCTCGTGCCCTTTGCATGGTCTTGCGATAAATGAACCATCCCACAGAGGCGCCAAGAAGACCGAAGAAGATGATGCTGGCCCAATTGAGGGCCTTGTCTCCGAGGGTCATCTCGTCCTTGTTTTTGGCAATCTTGGCGAGTCTGCTGCCAATGAAGACGTGGATGAGGAGCTTGGGACTGATGCAGGCAGTAGCTAATGCGTAGGCAGATGGTTCAACTGTGGGAAAAGTCGACATGGCTCCATTGCTGAGAGAATATGGCAATGGACATAACCTGATCATGCACAACAGCTTCAACCCATCCTCCTTCAGTGTCAACGTCAGCGCCGCAAAACGTTTGTCGTTAGCAACCATACGCTCGACATATTTCCTGAGCAATGTTCTTGACACGATGAACGAGCAGAAAGAGCCCGCAACAGTGGCAGTAGCGTAAATCAACCATCCTTCACCAACACCATAGACGAAACCCGCCATAGTCCCGCATGTCGAGTATCCGATTAACGGCGGAAAAGCAGTAAGAAACGTGAGTGCCCACAGAATTGTCCACCCGCCTGTGGTATGTTTCCACTTCTCCGCGAAAGGCTCAAGAAAGCCAAATATCCTCTCATTGAAGATCAAGAAGATCACGAACCCGACATTGATCACTACCAGACCTGCGATGACCAGAATGCGCTGTAGAGGTGACATTCGACGATAGGTCGCCATCACCCTTCTTTGGATCTTCTCAGCATTGTTGATTATTTCGTCTCTGATCTCAGCACCTCTGCTCAGACCATATGGAGAGGTGTTGCTTCGTGAGTAACCCGATGTAGAGCGGTTGTAGGAAGGGCTCAGAAGATTTGGTGTCGAGGTCTGAGGAGAGCGAGGAAGCGCTATAGGCGACATGATGGGTGACTCCCGAGAATGCTTGAGCTCAGGAAAAGTGTACGAGGGGATATCGATCCGCAATGTCATTAACCAGGCATGGTTGTAGAAATGTCAATAGAGCAATGAGGGTAAATTGCAGCAAGTAGAATTCCTGGCGCAGTCCCAGAGAATAGACTTTCCGGGCCTAACAGTCACGGGCATGGGGTGCCATGCTGGAGAGGAACCCCAAGCCAGCTCCAGACGGGATGACGTTGCGAGGAGATCTGATCTCACCCTGGTTCGCTTACTGCCGCCCGACCATGTCTGCTCTTGCCTGCTCCTCCAGGACACAAGGACAGCAGCAACATAGACGATAGAGCTAGAAGGAGCGACTTTAATGCACAGGTACTGACGACCACCACATATGCTCATTTGGGGAGGATAAAGGAGTGAAGAAGACTTCATTTCGTGACCCCACGCACTCGAAGCAGTCAACCGGCGTGTCACTCATCGCGTTTGATGCCAGGACTGCGCTCCAACGACCAAAGAGTCGGCTCTCGCTTCCTCTACTACACGAACAAATCCTGCTCCATACATTAGTCGCGCCTGAAATAGAGTGAAGACTAGCTGAGTCGACCCGAGACTGTGACCGCATCTTCATCAAGGGTCTTCTCTTTCTCCTCCTTCTCTCATGCATCTGTTCAATCATTGGCATAGATCACGATTACGCTTCACGGCATAACGACCAGGAATAGCTCTTGTCCACAATGATAACGGCAGAGCAGTACCAACTATGTAAGGGAATCCTCGACAACAAAGACCTTGAAGAGGAAGACAAAGTCGAGCAATTGGAGGAACTCCTTCGCAAGGAGTCTAAACTAAGTGGCACGTCGCTTGAGAACGCTGTGCTAGATGCTCTCTGGCGATACAGGAATGCTGCTAGAGGCGAGGATGACCCTACACCACGACATACCATCATTCGAAAGTCTTCTCCAGCACCGTGGCAGATCAATCGTGCACCCACTCCGCTAGGCTCGCCTCCATCCTCTTCCAGTCCAGCTTTGTCGTCCGCCTTTCCATCACGCCCGTCTTTTAACCGCCAACGATCAGCTGCCTCCCCGTTCGCCTCTCCTAGACCTTCTCCACGTCTGGCTCTAGCCCAACCAATTCCGCACAGTCCATCTCTCAACACTTATGAATTTTCCGATACGGGCCCCTTGCCAGACATTTACGGAGACTTTGGCAGTGATACGGTGGACTGGCTAGTTGCAGACGAAACTGCAAGCAATACATCCTCAACCGGTACTGCATCATTGAGCGCTGCGGCTCCTGAATGGGTTCCACAACCCGACATGAGCCCTTACGATATGTTGCGATCCGTGCTCGGCGGACAACTGTCTGATGATTACATCGAGACTGCTCTTGTAGAACACTCCTACGACCTCGCCACCACCATTGCGGCTCTTCTTGGATCCGATAAGCCTGGAACCAAGGATGTCACTGATAATATTGATGGCAACATCTTGGTCGGGAAATCAATTACTGCCCAAGCCCGACCAGGAACTCCCGGCTCTTCCAAGAGTCCTATTGTGTGCAAGTATTGGCTTGCTTCTGGATCGTGCTTACGAGCCGACTGTCGCTTCGCTCACGATACAAGTGGCTATCTCTGCAAATACTGGATGTCAGGTCAATGTTTAGCTGGTGACAAATGTCAGTTCTCTCACGACCCTTCCGTATTGATGACCCACTTAAACCTCAATGAGCAACTAGCGAGTCCGGGACCTACCTTTCAACTACAAGATAGTAATGACCAATTTCCTGCTCTGGGAAACATTCCTCGCGGGCCAAGTGGCAATTCGTCCTTCAATCCTTCTGTTTCCGGCTTCTCACCATCGTCACGAGGTGTCTTCTCAGGTATTGGGCCAGGATCTCGACCTCATTCTCGACCGAATTCAAGACATCAGAACAGACCAAACACACCCTCCTCACTTTCCATGGACGATCCAGACGCCTTTCCGACACTGGGCTCAATTGCGGCAAAACGTGGCACTAAGCATCATGGTCACAGGTCTAGACACGGCCATGGGTCCAACGAAAAAGACACACCAGCTTCGTTGGCAGATCTCATCAAGATGTCCCCATCTCCTGCTCCTGCTCAGCTGCGAAAATCTGACCCCGTTCGTAGGGTTAAAGCTTCCAGTGGAGCAGATACTGTTGCTGCACGCCGTATCCCAGAGCCACAACACATCCCCTGGTTAGAAACAGGCTCCAAAGCTAATCAGCAATACTTGAAATATCGCGCAGACGCGATCAAGCATGGCAGTATACGAAATAAATTCCTACAGAGGTGAGTCCTTCTATCTATGTCGCTCCTTACCACACACTGATTCGTCTTTTCCAGCGCTGCACAAGCATGGAACCGCAATGACGCCCGTGCTGCTAAAGCTCTCTCGTTGCGCGGCCAAGCCGAGAATGAAGAAATGCGCAAAGCTCATCGCGCTGCCGCCGAAGCTCTTTACCAAGAACGAAATAACCACTTGCACTCATCCGATCCCTCTTCAGTTCACGATCAAGAACTTTACATTGATCTCCATGGCCTGCACCCGGAAGAAGCAATAGAATACCTCGAAGACATCCTCTCTACGCACGAAAAGCGTGGACGTAGAATTATCTACGCAATTACTGGCACCGGACACCATAGCAAAAACGGGAAGGATAAAGTAGGCAAAGGTGTTAGAGGCTGGTTGAATGAGTGGGGGTACACTTTCAGAGAATTTAGTGTGCCTGGCGAACGAGGTGGCTATATTGGGGGAGTATTGGGAATTGATATAACGAGTCATGGTCCGAGGAGGCAGATGCAGGGACTAGATGAGGAGGATCGAGGGGCACTAAATACCATGGCGACTACGACTTCGACTGGAGGGAGTACTAAGATACAACTGCTGAAGAAGGAAGAATTGATAGCGTGACATGGTCCTGAAACAAATCAAGCGAGTTCAAGCTCATTATATCGCAGGCTGTCAGTGATCGCTCAAATTGATGCGTTCTCTGTGGAACTCGTGCCGATTTATTCTCGACGAAATCTGGAGAATATAGTAGTGCTGCCTCGACCTTTGCGAGAGTCAGTGATACAGGCGGTGTAATGCTAGCCTCCCGAAAGTGGTGTAGTCTCGGCTAACTTTCTTTGAGTTATCGCATCTTCCTCGTCAGTCACACGGCATCTCATCGTTCTTTCCAAATGCTTTCATGAATTGTTGTAGTGCCTCTTCACAATTTACCATCTCACACTCCTTGCCAGCTGGAGAATCATTCATTCCTCCTAGTGCATCAACCTTTTCCATAGGTAGAAGCGAGACGCCAAGCTGGTTGAGGCGGCAGTCAAGGATGCATCCACAGACTGATAAGCATGCCTCTTCCCGTACGCAGTGCTTCGGTCCGCACTACGAATCAGGATGCCAAACCCACGACTACCTCAACGAGGTCGCGACAATCAGCTAGTCAAGCAAGCAAGCTACGTATACCTAAACCGGAGACTAAGTTCTCAAGCGCAAATTCGACGTTGTCAGAAGACACGTCAGCGGCATTAATCTGCAAGTCACCTGAGGATAAGATGCACAGTCAATCCTCCTCGAGAATACCGAGTCCTTTCAAGGCGACTCCTGGAGCCCAGTCGACGCAGGTACGCCCTTCAGATACGAGCCAGCAGAGGCCCACACAGTTGAAAGGGCATGCTCGTCAGCGGAGTACTATTTTGCCATTTGTTAGTGCCCGACCAGCTACTGGCCATTCTCGATCTATCTCCGCCGTGACCGTCAACACGTCTGCCACGCCAAACAACGAGAGACCACAAATCCAGATCAGGGGTATAAATGACCGCAAACCTACATCTAGCTTGGCTTCTTCGAGGTCTAATTTGAGCATGTTACAGCGGATGGTATCCATTGACAACACTGCTCACGCGACACCAAATCAGCGTGCCGCCGGTCCTCTCACTCAAGTTGAGCTCTTGCAGAATGAGCTACTGCAACTATCTGTCGTCCACGATAAGTCGTCTAGAAGCCTGCATTTATACCAGCGTAGCATCAGGTCATTCCTTGACAAGAAACAGGCGAAGCTTGTGTTACTGCACACACAGCTGCTTGAAAAGAGCCGAGCGTTCAGCGTTGCTCACAATCTATCAGCTCTTGATAAGTGGCTTTCGATGCAAGGTAGTTCACAGCAAGCCTCTCAGTCCATCCAGGACCTCAGCGTTGCTCTACGAAACACACTGCACCTGAAAGGGATATTTGATGATGAAGATGGTCTTGTCGAAGCCTTTGAAGGCTGGCTGAGTGAAGCTAGGGTAGACGATCGCAAAGGGGACGGTTACGCCAGCATTCATGTCGACTTCGAGAGATCGATAGCTCCTGCTCTCCGGCGTTTCGAACAGCAGATTACCTCCTTGACGAGTGTCCTGTCTTCTCTACCGCTCGCGGAACGGGGATCTAGCTTGGCATGTGTCATACAGGATCATCTATTATTGGCCAAAAGCATGATCTTGCAGTGTCAGGTTATGCTTGAAATTGGTGAAACAATTGTCACAAACCATCGACGGTGGCTCGACAATGAGATCGAGGCTGCATTGCACGATCTTCACTCCGAGAGTCGACACGATAACCCCGATACATATGTGTCACCACTTTGGGAGATCTAATTGCGCCACCTGGAAGACAGACTTGTCTAGACACAATCGAAACCTTGGCGCGAGTATACGTGAGCCACAGCCTAAGTGTACGGCTCCAGTCAGATGCTATCGCATCAGCTCTGTCGAAGCCGGGCTTCAGACTTCCGCACGTATCAATGGTGTTTGATTACAAATATAGAAAGCAGGGCCGAGAATGCAAGGACAAGAGCAGAATCATTGGCTTTACACATCTACGGCTTTTGATGCAAACAACTCGTGTGACTAGGACATACCTTGTCCAGTAGAGCAAGACTTGTGGCAAAAGACGCGGAATGTTCGTGTTACTGAACGATGTGATTTATCTACTATGTCGAGCGAACAGGCTGCCCATAGCCTCAGAGTTCAGTGGTACACGTGTAGTTATCGAGTGAACACATCTACCTGCAATACCAGCTGCAAAACAAGCTCTTCTCACGCCAAAGACTTCTCCTCTTTCAACTTGTTCAATGGTGGCAGAATACCCTCTGCTTCAAGTTCTCTAAACGCATCCTCAAATGCGTCCCAGGTATCTGTTGAGACACAAGTTAGAAACATCGTCCAAAGACACACGTATACTACGGCGTGGAACAAACACTCAAGAATGGAGATTGACTCACCTTCATACCCGTTCCACCCCATCTTCCTCGCCTTACTCATACTGACTACATTACTATAGTCCCTGCCTAATACAAACGTCAAGAATCCCCACGTCGCCTTCTCCCAAGCCTTCTGCTCCAATCCATATTTATCCCTCAATGTCTCCCACGCCTTAATTACACGCTCATCCTTCGCCCACTTCTCGGTGTCGATCTGGCTGTACAACGAGCTCGGCTTCTCTGCAAGCTCTGGCATACCGAAGCCGATTCCTGGAACGTCACTTGTAGCTTGTACGGCGACGGGTGGTGGAGAGTGCAGCTCCGTCCTCGATGAAGCAGAAAATCCCCACCATGGCCTTTCTCCGTCACTTCCTCCAGGGAACATGCTGTTGGGAACTTTACATCCAAACCTGGCACAGACTCTTGGCCACAAATTCATCCAGCTCTCCGTGTCGCCGTTGACCACGTTGAACATCTGATCCGCTGCGTTGGGCGCCCTTGCTGCCCAAAGACAGAACTTTGCGTGTAACTTCGCACTGGTCCAGGTATTGAACGCCAAATAACACTCCTTACTTCCAGGGAACGGCAATTCAGAGTTTGGGTGCGCGAGTTTACCGACACTAGCATACAGACCGAGCGCCGTACACTCATTCATGAAATTATGTCTGGCAAACCCCAAAACGTCCTGCGGAAAGGTCGTTACATAGCTATACCCGTTCTTGACCGCATGAGAAGTCAAAATATCCTGCTGGGTGTAGTAAAAGTTCTCAGGCCAAGAGAACTTATCGCCAGGACGCAAACCAGGAGAGACATTAAAGTCGTCTTCGTGCATGGGCTGTTTCGGCATGCCGAGATGGACGCCATACTGCTTCAATCCACACGTCAAAACAATCCGCTTGACGGACTTGATCGCACCAGTAAGTTCTAGCGCTTCCAGGAAATTCTTCAGCATCCCGCCGTTTATCTTGGCGGCTTCTGCTTCGTCTGGATTGGCGAGGTACGCGCAAAAAAAGACGATAATCTCGTCGCCCTGGACGGAGCTCAGGTCCTTCGACATATCGGAGGCAGAGGATTGAAGATCTAAATGAGCATGGGTAACTTTGGAGTTCTGGGCCGTGGATGGCTGCGAGCGTGAGAGGGTGTAGATCTGTTTGTAGTGGTTGTCTTTGAGGAGGGCGTCGACGATGGCAGAGCCGGTGAGGCCGGTGGCGCCAGTGACTACTGCTGTTGTCATTGTGGTTTTTGACTGTGCGAGAAGGGGTAAGGAACGTATCAATAATCGCGAAATTCTATGAGTTAGTCTTGCTGAATGGAAGTGAAGTCAGAATATCAGGAGTATCTGGCGATGTTCCTGAATGGTTAGTCGAGTCTATCAAGATGGTTTGAACAGGTTCGGCACATTCTCTTCTGGAAAAGTGCTTTGCCGATGAACTCAAAGATGACATTTCGCTGCTTTGCCCAAGATCCGGCATCTCAAGCATGACGTTGAGATTTATTTGCCAACTAATGATGTCTGTAGGTATCGAGAAATACGTGTGAGTGAAATTGGAGAGCAGAATCACGGGAGGTGGAAATGATATTCTTGAAAAAGTATGTAATTGGTCGAGCTGGAGAAAGAGGTGGTTTGTTACATCATGGCTATTTTCTGCCAATACTTGCGGCAAAAGGTGTTGTTACGTCGGGCGGATCAACCAGTGCCAGTCTTCTTTCGAATCGCTTCTCGTAGACGCTGATTGGGCTTGCTTCCACAATCGCTGTCAATATTGACTCTGCGAAGCATGGCCTTTCGAAGCCGAAACTTCAAGCTGGAACATCAACCAGACAGTGATCAGATGCTGATCAGATGATAATTCGTGTTACAAGGCTTGATGTCACACTCATCACCATGATGATTCTCCGCAGTGGTTCGTGCCTGTGAAGAGTGGCAGCTTACCATCAATGCGACCCTTGACAAAGACTATTAGACTTTGCAGCATTCCCCAGTCAGTCCGTCCTGTGTCTGCGGACCGCTGGCCAATATGGCTCCCTCTGACAAACGGTCAGAATTATGGTCCCAAGCTCTTGAGTCGTCGAACCTTTCGAGTGCAAAGCGATTGGCGGATGCAACAGCAAGGCAGAGGCTGCTCTGCCTGCTTGGTATTTGTACTACTTCATCTCTTTCGAAACCTGCTTCATCCTCCTAGCCTGCGCCTCCGACCCTGAGATCCACCTTCAGCTCGTTGAGCCAATACCTCCCTCAACAAAGGATCGTCTCGGTCTCGTTCGATGTGGTGGACTCGTACGTGTCTTTGAAGATTATCAGGTCGTGGATATTTGTGCTGTTGATCGGGACAAAAAGGGCAAACATAACCGGGCGATTGATGTACAAGTCCGTGCCTGCGGACGTATTAGAAGGAGTGAATTTGCATCGCTTGAGTTTACGTACCTAATCATTTCATTCTTTCGTTTGAAACCTTGACCGCCAGGACCTCGAGGGCATCCTTCTACGGGACAAAAGTGTGGCCTTTGGTTTGAGTGTACGTTTTGGTGACTGTGGAGCAGATACTGTGTCTGGAAAGGAGCTGCAGTACAACCCGGGTATGTACAGACATGGCCCGTTCCGTCGAAGATGTACTGTGACTGACCGTCCATTGGATCAACACTATCAGTCCTGCCTCTTCCAGAATCCGAATCAGGTATACTGTCATGGTCAGAACCTGGATACTGAGACGTTGCCGAACTCGATGGAGGTGGTGAGGGTCTCGTTGCTGGAGTCGAGAATGTGTTCGAACTGTATCCTGACCCGTGCTCAGAAACACCTGAGTTGCTACTGTTTTGGCTGTTGTGACTGTGTGTGCGCCAGGCTTCTGGGTTCGATGACAGCTTCGGAGGTGAAAGGGACGGCATTGATGCTGCTTGAAAAAACAGTCCCGGCGAGAGGCCATAGTGAGAAGAGTGCTGATTTGGAGACAGTCTCGCCAGGACAGTTGGAGTATCAGAGAATGGAGTACCATTCGAGTCTGTGGCAGATGTCAATGCTGCCTCCAATGAAGGTAGGGTCTGTCTGCAATCATGTGGTGTAGCAGAAGAGGGAGAGTCATGTCGATGTAACTTCGGTAATGTCTGCGGGGTGTATCTGTTGGAAGCATCGATAGTGAAGGGAGCAAGCGCAGGCGATGGAGAGATCGAATTGTGGTATTGTCTATTTGGTAGGTGAGATGAAGTGTCGATCTGTAACGAAGATATGGTAGGTCTCGACGGAGGTCTAGCATCAAAATTGTGTTTGGGAGGAGATGGGGCTATTTTGAGGTGAGACACAGTGAGGTTATTCGTTGCATCATCACTGGTCAAGCTCGATATACTGATGTTGGACCGCTGCTTTGGCTGTCGCTCGTATAAGTGAACATCACTCCGATTGGCAGTCACGTTGGAAGGAATGATCTGACTATGGATGGCTAGAGTGCTTTGTCGAGGGGTTAAAGCATCATTGAGTTTCTCCGAAGCATGCCTCGAGGCAGTCAATGCTTGTTGTGCAAGCCATTGATCTGACAAACTCGAGCCACCTTGATCGACTTTCGAATGAAACATGGAATTATGGTCATCGAACACGTCTGGAGTTTTGTCCCCAAAAGGTGAGTCTGGACAGTCAAGGAACAGATTGGCACCAGCTCGATCTGCTTGATCAGAAGGGTATTCAGGACCTAATCCGATGGTTAGAGGATTGTCGGACAGAGACGGTTGTGGTCGACCCTTCGGTGTTTGTCGATGTATTAGTTGGCCGTCCTTGGGTGTAGCGTAAGCAATTTCGTAATCTTCAGGAATATCCACAAGAGGTGGTGGTGTGTCAAGTATGTCGAAGTTGGGTGTAGAACGTTGCAAGGTGGGTGACTTCAACGACCTCTGTAATTCAAGATAGTCCCCCAAGGTGGTATAGCCCGCGATAATGAACGACATTAGAGAGACATCACCGATCCATGATAGAGATACCCGAAGAAGCTGCGTATGGATCGTGTCCCACAGAAACTATGGACGGCAGAGCCGCACGGAATCCGATACGATGGCCCAAACTTTCGAAGGGGTGACAGCAGATGCGGCTAGAAAGGGATGTCAGCAGATGAAAGAGGCTTCGAAGAAAGTCTCAATAGAGCCAGAAGAACGGATGGGTGGGGAGACCATCGCAACTGCAAGGGAAGTTCCGTGCACAGAACCACTAGGAGGAGAAGGTGCGTACGCTAATTCAACACGTGCCTGATCAGAAATGGGAGGTAACCAGACAAGGCAGGTCCATCTCGATCCATATCCACGTTCACATGCACGGCCACCTGTCTAGACCTTCGATCCAGCTAGACCAACACATGGAAATGTGGAACCATCGAATGTATTGGACAGGCGTTAATGGCTCTTGAACTATACTTCCAGCTGATACATAATAAAGTATGATTACAGCAAGGGAGAATCTTAATCAGAGCTCAAAACATACCACATAGATCGCGGGGACTTGGTAGGCACGATTGGGCCTTTTGTGTAGAATAGTTTTCGACTGCCTGATTGGTTTTGCAGGCTAATGCTTGAGGATGACTCAATCCAAAGGCTGTCGATTATGTCGCGACATGTTCATCACAGTTGTACGTTGTCTTACATCGAGAAACGAGCACGAGAAAGCTGTAGGAGCAGAAGATGAATGTGCTGCAATCTTGAAAGGCATGAAGGGCTGAAAATAGCCTGGTTCATGTAATGTCTCGTCAAGAGCGCTTGAGCAGGATTTAGGACTGCGCCAGCGGTTGCAGGCCAAGATGTTCAGAGGCCAGTCCTGGTCGCAAGCACAGGCAAGCGAGAACAACGGACGAAGAGTCCGAAATTTGGGCTGTACACACTGCATACCAACCACGCTAAAAGCACGCGGTTTGTGCTACTACCCGTATATTTTTGCCCCACCATCACTGCTCTTCCGCAAGCCTGGCGATCATGAGAGCTTAAACAAGCAGTCCCTACGAGCTTGTGGTTGTGAATGACCAAGCCGAACAGGAGTAGTTTTTCCAGTATTTGGCATACTCCCCACTTACAGGAGTTTCATCTCAGCCGATCCTTGTTTATGGCTTGCACTTGAGCTCAGCGACCCACCACGGTCTAGACCAATATCGTCTGTGGATCGCACGATGCATCAGGCACGGTGAGTCTAGAACAGCCTACACGTTGCTGATACAACATTGTGCGATCTGAACGTTGGCATATATCGAGAGCTCGAGCTCGAAACAAAGCTCTGCAGACTCAAGCTGCTCCCCACAAAGATCGGCAAAGATGTGCAGAAATAGCAAGAGTTCAAAGAGACCATTGATGATTGTGGATTGGTCGGAGAGCTCAGTGAAGCTATCGCCGATCATTGCCATGAAGATCGAGACTTGCGGCTCTGCAACGGATCCATTCCGAAGGACGACTTTGAGTTCATTGGACCGAACCTTTAGTAAGCCGCAAATTAGCCAGGCTTTGAGTCTAGGCCTTGAACCAGGCTTTATTTCTTCGTTTCTTCGATGCACGAGCCGTGCAGCAAGCCAAACCTCGAAATACCGACATCCCGATCTGACGGGCGAAGCACTGTAGGTGGTGAAGTGTGAGTGATGCAGGTAGCAATCTGAGAGGACGAGAGGTTGGTGAGCGATTGATGGGAGATGAAGGAGAAACTGCACATTTATTCACGTGAGACAACTGAGTATTCACAGATCACGTTCCGTTGCTTCCGGTCGTATATTCTGGACTCCTGCATATCAGATTCCTTGAGGTGCCGTGCAGTCACTACCAGTCGTTCAGCGGATGAACCAATAAGAGGCAATGCTGTAAGTCGTGAGATATTCTGTTTGTGGTAAGAAACACGTACATAGTCTACCATTATCGCATCTGCTCACAACCAACAACACCATTGTACCAGATCGCACTACTCGATCAACTCGTCTTTACTACAGCTTTGCCAAAGTTTTCACCCCTCAACATGCCAACAAAACCCTTATCAGCTTCGCTGATATCATACTCATGAACCTTAGCAGTAAACGAACCATCCTTCAACCACTGCTTGACATTCTTCTGATGATCTGCCGAATGCTTGGGTCCAAGGTCCGGATCTTCGTTTACTAAGAAACCTCTCATAGTCAATTGCTTTCCGACGATCAGCATCAACTTCTTGTGACCATGTCTCTCATCGTCGGACTTGGCGTTATATTCTGCAACCATACCACAAGCTATGATGCGGCCAAAGGTGTTCATGCTTTCGATCGCAGCATCGAGGTGATCAGACCCGACATTCTCGAAATAGATATCGATCCCTTTAGGCGCCAGACGTTTTAGGGCGTCGGCGGGTTTCTCCTTCTTGTAGTTGAAGCCTGAATCGAAGCCGAGTTCGCTGATGATGTACTTGAGTTTCTCGTCACTGCCGACTGAGCCAATAACCTTTAGACCCTCGTGCTTTGCCAATTGTCCCACCACCTGGCCGACTGCGCCAGCTGCACTAGAGACGAAGATCGTTTCGCCTTTCTTAGGTTTGCCAATCTCGTAGAAGCCGGAATAGCCAGTCAAACCAGGCATGCCTAGTGCACCAACATAGTGGCGAATGTCAAGAGATTTGTCGTTTGGATCTGCATCAATCTTCTTGGCGCTCTTTACAACCTCTGACGAGATCTGAGCATAGCGTTGAATGGGTAGGTTCGCGACGATGATATCTCCTTCCTTGAAGTCGGCACTCGAGGACTTCAGCACCTTCGCGATACCCGAGTTACGCAATGCGTTACCAGTCTCGAGTGGCGGGAAATATGAAGGAATTTTAGGATCTCTCAACAAGCCTCGCAAGTACGGATCGAGACTGCTGTAGAGAACTTGCACGAGAAGACCTCCTTCAGGTGCCTCAGATGGTGAATCGATGTCTTCAACGACAATATCTTGGCCAGGGACCGGTTCGCCTTGTGGTACTTGCTTGTAGATTAATGCTGGATTTGAGCCTGCCATGCTGTCGATACGTGCGAAATTGTCCATGTTTTTGCTCTGGATATTCATGGCTTCGTAAGTGTGCTGGATGCTTGCTGATTATATGTACGGGATTCGGAAATACGTCTGTCTACGTCTGTGGATTTTTAGTGAGTATGACGAAGGCAAGTGATAGGGCATCGCGGAATGGAAAGTTTCGCCGTTATGCTGGGAGTGTGCATTGCGACATCGCAGAGCCGCACTATCCTCAGTCTGTATCTTTGCGGCTTGTGATGGACGACATCAGGTGCTCTACAGGCTTGTGTCCAAAAATTGTGAAGACGCTGCTGACAAAAACAGAGAAAACGCCCCTACCCAGTTCGGGCAGAGAGCTGCGTCTGACGTCAGCACCAAGATTTCGGCTTGGCAGGCACGACTCAGGTGGAAGATTGTACACATACCGAACCACGCTTCTACCTAAGCATAGGCATGTCCCGGTCAGCAAAAGTGTCGAGTTGTCAGAGCGAATTTGTGGGCGTGCCCCCAACGCTTTTGCTGGCCGGTACGTGCCAAGGTTGATCAAGTCGGACAGGAAAATGAATCTACCACCATGCGAGTTCAAACAGCTTGGGCAACCATGGCATATTGCTTGTGCAGCTCTCGTTTCGTATTCAATGCGTTGATCCTGGATTGAGGACAAACTGGACACACTTAGGACCACTTAAATTCTAGCTTAAGAAGCGATGAGCTTCATATGCATATACACCATGCCTTGAACCGTTGTTGGGTATAAGAGAGGTAGACGAGATATGGGCCTCAGCACCTGCTAGCCAATTGGCGCAATGTCCTACAGCTGCCGACCAGGAACCGCACAAGATGTCTAATTCATGCAACGTTCCCGGAACATCGACAGTCGTCCCTCTTTCCAAAAGCAAAGAGGTTGCAATCAATCAGCCGTGAGCTTCCTTATTCAGATGACGCATCATGTTCGTTGAATCATCAGTCGTAATGAGCAGAGCACCAACATGGCGTTGTGGATTTAGTCCTGTCACATATTCATCTTCTGCTCCTGTCGCTCGATCCACGTTACCATCGTCAGCTCGACGGCCTTGATGGCCCCAGGTTTTCAGCACAATTGAAGCCAGGGTCATGACCCGTGAATGAATTCAGGAGTTGAATTCCCTGCCTGACAGGGTAGGCATATACAAGCACGTGCTATCTGACGCTATTCATTCAGAATCGAATTTATGCTCGGTAAGGACGGCCCTCTGCGATGGAGACTTGCTGCACGATTGGCGGTATGGAACAACAATGACCCTGAGATATCTTCGCGTGAGTCTCGCACCGGCCGAGCCTCAAACAAGGCATCCTCCATGCTGGCGGTTGTGGCAGGGGTTGACAATGGTGAAGACATTGGATATCCACCATTCCAACTGTTCCTATTCCTATGTCGAATGCTTGCTCGTGGACGAAATGGAGAACACGAACTGCTCACGTGACTGGGTTCTTGTGCTGCTTGTTCAGGCTGAAATCGAACATGAGCCACGGGCCTTCTGGCACGAGCACCGTCCTCCTGTTCGCGCTCCTCTGCCAGACTGGATCGCGTCTGGCTCACCCCTGACGGCTGAGCTGAGCTAATACTCTTCAGTGGACTTGGAGCTCGTACGAACACAGGCATAATCGGCATACTGTGTCTACGATCCGACCGTTTCGTCTCCGATAAGGTAAACACCTCCTTTGGATTCGCCTTTTGGCGAACACGATCTCTCTGCCTGCGATTCTGAAACCATATTTGAAGTTCTTTCTCCGACAAGCGCATTTCGGTCTCATAAAGAAGAATCATCCGCTGATCTTTATCAGGATTGTGGTTCTTCTGGTAGAATAACTCGAGGAGGGCCGCATCGCGAGGACATGTTCGCTTCCTGGTTCGCGCAGCACTGTTGCGGCGCGACGATGATTGACTATCCGGCGCATTGTATGTCGCTGCCGTTTGAGGGCTGAGCGGTTGAGACTCGTGAATGATAAGGTCTTCAATTCGCATCACGTCTCGCGACTCGCGACGTGGTCCGTGCTGAATTTGCGCGCTCGGTGGAGCGAAATTCTGGTATCCATACATTATCGGTTGAGGTTGAGCCATCATTACGCGAAGTCGCTATTTATCCGAGACAGCCAGATCCTACACAGATTGTATTGTGTGCAACCGCAGCTTGCACCTTCCATTGCTGATGATGCCGAATCCGCTAACGAAGAATATGACTCGCATGTAGACATGGTCACGGTGAGATTCGTGAGCTTTCAACGTAATAAAGTTCAAAGAGGTCCTGCTGGTAAAGATAGTGAAAGATCGCGTATCAAAGGCAATTTGAGCAGACAAGCTATTCATGCCAAGCCTGCAGTAGAGCTTGTGCTGAGTTGTACGCGTTGACTCTACTCGAGTAACCTGTGTAAGAAAGTGCCGACCTCACTCGTTCTTGCCTTCAAGCTTCCTACTCCTTTGAGCCATCTCTGCTGCCCTCATGTTCAACACTGCAGCAGATCTCGTCTGTAGTTTGTACTGCTCACTATGTTCTAGTTGACGAAGTCTCGATTAACCCCTTGATTACGGCTTTGTGCTATGAATGCTCATTGAGCAGCTGATGGATTGTTCTGTATGCCAGCTTGCATTGAGCGATGTAACTCGATGTGACCCGCTCAGCCTGGAAACGTCAAATTTTTCAGTGAGGAAACGCAATAGTCTGTATACTGTACCTACAATCGGTCACGTTGTATAGGCATAGACTTTCAGGACTCATAGCTGGATCGCGTCTTATCACATACTACCTCGCCTACTGCCAGAGAAGTTCCTGGAAGAAGATGAGCTGCGCCAGCAGTCCCAGCAAATCTCGTTGTCGAACCAGAGGATGGTCCTCGAGTGAGGCTGAACGAATCGTACCAGACAGAACTCGAAGTTGTAGATTGTGTTCGCATTGGTCCAGCCTTTTTCATGCGTCTTCCTCTTCCTCTTTCTACAGCCCGCCTTCGAGCGATTAAAAATGTCTACCACACCTTTAGTGGAGGTATACAAAAAGTATGCGCTTGCACCACTGTCGAAAGAGATCCGAGTCCTAGACATATGCTCCAAAGCCCTTGATGCAGCTGACTCATCTGACACGATCGTGGGCACCTTACGGGTGGTGAATGTCGAGACCAATCCTGACTTTACGGCCCTTTTATATGTCTGGGATACATATGCGGTTCAGCCACATACTATTTGGTGTGACAATGCATCTTTCGAGGTTACCAGCAATTGTTATTCAGCGCTGTGGCACTTACGAAAAAGGCTGGGCCAGTTCACAATATGGATTGATTCTATCTTTATAAATCAGAGAGATCTCGATGAGAAGTCATGTCAGATTCCCCTTAAAACATTCTACCTGCACTTGACGCTACGAGCTCTTGCGACAAGCTCTTTTTGAACTCTAGGCGATGAAGACAACCATGCAAGTACAACGGACATCTCCAAGTTATCAGCGGTATGTGCGGCAAGAGTCGGTATTGTGTCTACTTTTCTAAACGTCGTGTTGTGGATGCTGGATTCTCGAGATGTGAATGATGAATTCTGATACCACGCGGGGAGGAGGCAACGTCCTATCAGTCGATAACGCTGCGCCTTTGCGATCTCGCATTTCGATATACTTTAGCGACCTTATTGTTGTCCTTTTGTCCTCACCTCGAGGTTTGGCAACGCTTGCAATATAGAGTTTAACCAGGACAAATGTGCAGCTACTAATTAGTACAAGTACTACCTCGGAAACGACGCTAGTCCGCAAACATCAAAGTGTGAGAGCGGTCGAAAGCGTGCTCCATGTCCTTATTGGTCGTCAATCGTACTGGCTCAGCTCAAGTGGTATCTACTAAAACACCACAGGCTACTATGACTGTGAGACTGATCTTAAACCTGACGAAGTTCTGAGGATTGGGTCTAAACTCTACGTAGGCGTGTGGAAGTTTTGAGGCCAACAGAGATGAACTTCTGGTGCTTTGACTGAAGCATGAAATCCATTAACGTGGACAAAACAATGGTATTTCCCATCAGACAAATGTGCCGTAATTGTCTTCAGAGCAGCATTACAAACGATTGGGCCCTCAAGATGAGTAAAGTCGTGGCACGGCCTGTTCAGGAGCCAGCTGAGGACCGAAATACTAATTGCTCAAGAGCGTCGGCGGTTTCGTAAAGGGTATAAGTACCTGCGTCGGAATTGGTAATACATTCAGATGTGAATTCATCTCAACCATAGAAACCAGGCCCGGCAGCACGACAGCTTTGCACAGAAGATCACAAAATTCGACCACAGCAAAAGTCGTCATGTTCTCGAAGACCATCATCCTCGCTCTTTTTGCCGGCGTCGCACTCGCTGTACCAGTCGAGAACGAGTCGCCATACCCTAATGCTCTCACAGCTAGAGACGCCAGCGTTAGATGCTCAAGTCAGAACGGAGGATTTGGCCGGTCTGCAGATCTCAACACGTGTCTAGACCAGATCATCACAAACCGTAAGTGACACTACGAATTACTGATGTGCAAAGACTCTAACACAAGTCTAGCACAATGGAGTGATTCCTTCGAATGTGGCGGTAGAACCTGGTTCTTGGGCGGAGCAAACTGGAATTCTGCGGCTGATTGTGTTGGCGGGTGTATCCCTTGCCTTCGTGGCAGTGCAGCTGTGGGTTTGCAGGGTGGAAAATGTGATCAGAGCGCTGGCGTGTCCGCTCGTTGCTGGTTGGGATATGGTGCTACTGTCTGGTAGTCATGATTGTCATCTTTTGTGACCAGTTAGGTGGATGGTGAATGATCAACAGTATGATTGAGTATGAGAGCCCGCTGTGCAGGTTCGCGTTGTGTCGGTGTTGCTCAGAAGTAAGGGAGATCGAAATTTAGAGTATCGTGAAGAGTTATGCAGGTGTGATCAGCTACATATAGCTTTATCAGCAGTATCGTCAGCCTGTTTTCGTTTTTGATCCGTTATTGTGCACTACTCACCATAGCCCTACAGAGTACCTTTTTTCCTACACAATCCAACCTTCTTCAGACTTCAATCACATGCTCAACTAGTTCAGAGAAGTAAGCTGCTGCTTGCTATGATGAACGCGGTTTTTACATATGTCGAGTCATTTATTCTCGACTCATTTCACGGCTGAAGTCGACTCATCTTGGCGTTAGAGCTTTTTCGATCCCGGGCGCCCGTGGTCTGCAACGGAAGGACCACCACGTCCTCGTGGTCACTTAACCTTCTCGTTGACATGTCTCGCAACGAATTGGGCAGTAGCATTCATGCATCACCGGGCTCGCTTGAAAGGCACGAAGTTCGTGTGTTTCCAGTAACGACGTGATGTCGCCTCACGTCGATGATCTACGTAATGATTGAGTTTTGAGTTCACATTGACACCTTTTCACAGAACTGCTTGCTATGATCGCAACATCTGGCAAGTTATATAGGTATCTGGCTCAAAGTCCACGACTCTGACCAGTAACACAGCTTTCCAACCACGATTAAGACTACTACAGCCATCATGTCCACATCCACGAAAGGCGCTCTCGTCGTGATCGGCTCGGGTCCTGGCATTGGCCGAACGACAGCTGCACATTTCGCTTCTCAAGGGTTCCAGCACATCTTCCTACTGTCTCGCAACGAATCGCGCTTAGCAGAAGATGCCAAGGCAGTTTCTGCGGCCTCGTCCGCGGCGAAAGTAGAGACATTACAAATCGACGTGGCAGGTGACGAGGCGAGCCTCAAGAAGGTGTTCTCAGAGATTGACAGTAAGCTGAAGGCCACGGGAGTACCGTTGGAGGTTGTGCTCTACAACGCGGCCAGGGTCGGGCCGAGTAAGATTCTGGAATGGGAGGTGAAGCAGTTGGAAGAGGATTTGAAGGTAAGCCATGTTTATCTTGCTTTCGATCAGACTGCCCGAACGCTAGCTGTTCACTAAGTGCTTCAATGCGGTATTGAGAACACCCGGTATGCACCAAAATGTTAAGTTAACGATCTCTCTCTAGATCACCACAGTCTCACTCTACATAACCTTTCAATGGGCGATTCCGCACCTTGTCGAAACATCGAAATCTGACTCTCACAATCCCGCCTTCTTCGTCACATCTGGGGACCTCTTTCGTGCTCCTTTTCCTTTCCTATTCAGTTTGTCGGCTGGTAAAGCTGCTCAGCACAACCTTGTTTCGAGCTTTCACAAGGCCTACAGCTCGCAGATGCATATTGCGGCAGTTCCGATAGCTGGAACCGTTTCAGATGACGCAAAGGTAACGACAGCGCAAGCAGTCGCTGAGCAATTCTGGAAGTTGTATAGTCAGGAGAAGGGTAAGGAGGGTGAGATGAGCGTCGAGATGAGGGATCCGGATTATGAGAGTGGCGTTGAAGAATTGAGAAAGATGGTGCAGGGTTCCTGAGGCATGCCACGATGGAATTGCAGCACTGACCAAGTTGTGAAGGCTTCGATCATTTCAGCTTTAGGTAGATCCACTCTGCAATCTCGGAAAGTGTCTAGCGACAAATCGAAACTTTGACTCGCCTCAATGGCCACGTCTACAGCCTTTTCTGGTTTGCAGCATGGTCGGCGAGCGTTCTGTTTACGGTATGATGTGTATGTCTTCACAGAAACTTTCTGACCCTTTGTTTGCGGCACGATATTGAGGCAATGTCCACTCGACATTCTCCATAGTTGTTGCAATTACTGTTACTAGCACCGGACGGTTTCCAGACAGGTGTGACACTGCATCGACCCTGCAGGCAGTCGCGTTCATTAAGCGAATACATCCATGAAACGTCGACCCTTTTACGCGACTCGAGGCACCATGGCAGCTCCCTGTCGAACGAATGAGGTCCAAGTAATTATCGGTTTACCATCAGAAGACGACACCATCTCCTTGTGGTGGCTATGCCACATTTTAGTGGCGAGTATCGAGCGTCGATGCTGCTGTCAGGCGATGTTGATTGTGCAACAGGGTGAAGCCAAGCAATGTTGGGGGAGCACGTTGCGAGTCTTGATGTCGACAAGGACGACCAAAGGTGAAGGGTCAAGAGGACTGGCAGGGGTCAACAGCGATCGAGGCCAGCAATGTGCTTGTCCAAACTGTTGAACCATCATGGGAATAGAATTCTTGCATGAGGACAATGGCAAGTCCTGCAATCACTCCTCCAGTCCTAGTCTTGAATTACCAGCTCTGCGAAAAGCCCACTTCGAGAACAAGGCTCTTCGTCAAGAGATTAGATCATCGACGGGTAAAGCAGACTGCACAACCTAGGATCGATCAACCACGTCAGCGCTGATCAAATTGCAATGTCTTCTGGCTTTCAAAGATGAGTGTACGTGGCATGAGGGTCTCTGAATCGAGTCCCGGCTGCAGCGAATACATTACAATGTCCTTAGTGTTCGCCGCGACTGAGGACTGTCGACATTCTGTTTACAGGAGAAGACCGGCGTTGTGCGGAAAGAGCAGATGGAAGGAGCTAACAAGTAGCCTCCGAGAAAGAGCCTCTGGTCTTAAGATACAGCCACAGCTAGCACCGAGTACTGCACAGTCGCTCCGAGCTTCAGCTCAAGCGCTTTGATCAGAGTTATACGGAAGCCGAAACTGATAAGTTTAGCAAACTGGCCGGGTTAGCAGTAAAGGAATGCTTAAAGAAAGTCGATCAAAGAGAAAGTGGAAGCAAGACAGAAAAGACGAAGAGCACTCAAGGACGCATTGAATACCCGGTATTCGTAGCGAAAATTTCCTGTCCTTGATCATGCCTTTGTTCTTCGACAAGGACATCTAGCACGGCATGGCAGAGCACCCGCGTGTCTTCGCCTTCGGTGATCGGGAGTCCTTCACTAGAAGTGTTGCTTACCTTCACCACTTGCACCCGGATTTCGATATACTAGCTGGTCCAATATGTCACCTTCAAAGTCTCCACTTGACTACTTTCGACGAAATCCGCTTTTCTCGACGATCTTCTAGCTATCGATCGACAACCCAACTCATTGCAGATCGAAAACAACTACTACGAAATTGTGCCGTGATTGACAAACCTATCGAGAGAAACGAAGGAAGATGGGTTTGCCTAACTTCGTCTTCGCACCGGATTCGCAACCATCGCTTGTCAATGATCCGACTTTTCAGGCCCTCTGCGCTCTCTGTCTCACCAACAATGCAAACAATGATTATCAGCTCTGGCACAACATCCTGATGTACCAGCACTATCCGGACCCCAAGGATTTCCTGCAAATTCCCTACTTCTCGGAACGAATCGCTGGCTCAGAGCCAGGCACTAGGTTCAACTACAACCAGATACGAAAAAACCTAGTGGCGGTACAAAACGATATTGTGGGTGGCAGAGAGACCGTGGTGCGGATGTTTGCGATATGCAACGAGCTCGTGAATGCGCATGTACAATATGTTCAGGCGACAGCAAACGTCGAAGTATTCGAGATGTACGGCCACATGATCAATCACTTCTACAACATCAACACCGATTCAGAGCTTGGAAATCTCATCGTATCACATAGTCCACCGCACAATTTTCAAGATGCAAGATGTCCGGCATACGCAGCAATGAGTGAGTGGATCACTAGTAGTTTGAGGCATTGGCAAGGACTCGCAAGAATGACCAGCGAGGAGGTGGTACAGCTCAAGGACAAGAAACAGACGAAATGGTTCCTTGCGAAGTTGGAAATGACCATGCAATCAAGATCCAAGAAAATGCTGGAACAAGGAGCAGCTCGGACATGGCATACACCTCAAGCAGCACCCAACAGCGAGGAAGCAAACGTTTCACCTTCTTCTTCTTCTTCTTCTTCTCCTCCTCGTCAGGACCAACCTCGAAACCGCCGTGAACTGATCGCCCGCCACAATCGACTAGTTAAACAAGCCCGCCTCATCAGTTCCCACCGTCTCAAGACTCGCAACCTCGACAGCATCCACCAGCTCGGCGACACCACCCGGATCGAGCTCTCTGACAGCGTTATTCAAGCCATTTCAAACCTTCAGCATAAATGGGCGGCCGAGATCTTACCACAGGATGATGGGGCAGAATCGGAGGAGGAGTATACAGAGAGGAAGTGGATGGAGGAAGCAATGAAGGAGAAGGGGTTGGTGGGAAATGCGAGCGAGCAGATTTGTGACGGGATCTCGTTGCCGCACGGGTTCGTGGATTGGAATGCTGTGCAGGCTGTTCATGCGACGTAAGTGTACCTGATATTGCAGTGTTGCATCACAATACTGGTGGGGATCTCAGGGCGGCAGGGCAATCTGTGAGAGGTACCAAATGCCCGAGGATGTGTAGACTGCTGCGGGCACGATGGAAACACAGCGAAGTGGTGTAAAGGACATGGCATCTACACATTACGCAAACAGTCCAATAAATACCCAGATCAAAGCTAGCCTAATCGGAGGTGCATAGATCACTCTAGTGGTAGTTAGCAATTGCAGAATAGGACGTCCAAATTATACATGATTAAGGAAATCATAGAGCACAAGGACACAGCAGATGATGGTGAGCCTTAACTTTGTATTCTGTGACACTGAAAAGTTCGAATATCTAGACGTGATTGCTTCGCGTCTCAATCACCAGTATCCACCATACCCCTCGTGGCTTTGGCAACATGTCTGCCAGTGTGCTCATCTAACCTGCTACTAAAACTTTTATAGCAGCAACGAGCTTGTGTTTGGTCCTTGTTGCGTGAACACCACGCTCGAAACGAGCTTCATGCCCCGAACACGGTCAACCAGCCAGGCTTGGCCTCTGGCCTTCTCTTCTTGACCAGGAGAATAGTACAAAGGTATGCAAAACACGCAAGTACTCTGACCTTCTACTTTCTGATTTGTCTCTGGTAGAAAGCCAATTCTTCACCCTCCAGAATGTAACCATCACATCGTCCACTCTGGCCAGGTCTCGAAGCAATGACAGCATACAATCGTCCAGCCTCAAACTGTCGCTCAAGCGCGGTTTCGACCTTACCCATCTTCTTCAGTCGCTCCTCGTGCTTCTTCTCCACGCTCTTGCTGATCTTCTTCTCCTCAGTCTCGGTACCCTTTGCCTGTCGTCGTCGACCTAGCGTGGCACCATAGTGAGCCTCATACCAAGTCCTAAATGGTGCCGCATCAATCTGCACAACAGCCGATCTCGTCAAGGTATTCGTTCGGACCAACTCGTTGTTGGAAGGGTGGAAAGCAACGACAATGACACGGGTCTTGCGGGAGATACCCTCGCTGCCCCAGCTGAAATTGCCGGCTTCGAGTCGAAGGCCTCGGAACTTGCGGTTGCCGCCTCGAGTTCGGACGAGATGGATGCGCTTGGGACCGATTCGAGTGTTGGCCGGCTGTCGACCTTTCTCGAAGGCTCTGCAGAGGAGTGGTTAATTCTTCTGCAGGGTTATCGAAAGATATGGCAATTGGTATTTACCTCTTCTTTCTGTAGTATGCGCGTTTAGCACCAGAGGCACTTCGCTTGTGTCGAGAATCTCGTGAGATACCCATGATTGCGGTTCCGAAGGGTGCTGTAGGAGAGAGTTGAGGTCAGTTTTTGCAATCTTTTGTGTAGGTGCAGGACTTTGCGACGTGCGCAGTCGTTGATTCGTAAATATGTCCCAGCACGTCGACAAAGCCCCTCCTGTACCTTTACATACCTGAACAGTTTTCAGTCCTTCAGTCGTGCAGCTATTGGTAAAGAATATCGGTAATTAGAAGTGCGGATTCTTGCAGTCAGACAATGTCGACGTGAAATTCGCAGTTTCGGCATGGAAAGTGGTGCCAAGCCCTTCGCACATTTCGGGCGCCAAGATTTTAGCGTGGTTTTCTTGTTCCTTCCCAAAGTCGCAAACTTCCTGCGACGACGAATAGTCACAGCTTCAACCACAAATTCCACCAAGACAAACTCGCGTTGTGCACGATCTCCCGAAGAGCGCCTGAGACTCGTGACAATGTAAGCGCTGCCAGTGAACCCAACGTTGTGCAGGAATGCTAATCTGGTAATACAGGCTTATCCCAAAGGCTGACCGCAAGAAGATCCACGAGTACCTCTTCCGAGAAGGTGTACTCGTGGCCAAGAAGGACTACAACCTTCCCAAGCACCAGGATCTCGATGTCAAGAACCTCTTCGTAGGCAGATGCGTTCATATGAGATCGTTCATTCACTGATTCTCCTCCACAGGTCGTCAAGGCCTGCCAATCCTTAACCTCTCGAGGCTACCTCAAGACCCAATTCTCCTGGCAATACTACTACTATACCCTCACACCCGAGGGCCTCGACTACCTTCGAGAATGGCTCCATCTCCCAGCTGAAATCGTCCCAGCAACCCATATCAAGCAGCAGCGAAACCCAACCCACGTCCCACGAGGCATGATGGGTGGAGACGACCGAGGTCCACGAGGCCGAGGCGGTCCACGAAGAGATCGAGAGGAAGGTGGTTACCGACGACGAGATGCTGGTGAAGGTGGAAAGGAGGGTGATGCTCCAGGTGGATACCAACCACAATTCCGTGGTGGATTTGGAAGAGGCCGAGGACGAGGTGGTGATGCTCCTGCTGCATCTTAGGATGGTGCTGGTGGAGAGCAGCAGAGTGCTCCGACTCAATTGGTTACGGATGAGAATGGCATGCAGTGGTAGATGGGCAACTTCGAGGCAACCTCGACCATGAGTCCTGGTGTGGTCAGCCGAGGAGGCTAGACACGAAGTTTACTCAAGATGATGTCTGCTGAGATGCACATATATCAAACCACGGACGAGCCTGTTCCAGGGATCAGACAGACGAATCTGCGGCGACTGGCCATAACAATCATGTTCATACGCAGCAGTATACGCACGGCACTGCCGACGAATGCCAACACGTTCTGACCACTTCGGGATTCTCTACTTCGGTAGCCTACTACGTACTTCGTCTCTTTATTCTAGCTTCTTCATGAATCTTTTGTCCAGAAGTCTCTAACCAGCGATTTAGTATCTCTAGTGAAGAGATTAGATGCAATAATCCTCAATTCTTCCTACATACCCAAATGTTCTTACAGGTTCCGATTCGTTCTCCTCGCAGGCAATATACGATATATCTTCGTTGTAGCTCTGTTCTCTTCCTTGTCCTTGTTCGAGATATGGAAACTTTTTTTCTGACACTTAGGAGCTAGGAACTAGGAACCAGGAACTAGAACTAGAGAGTCCTCTGCCAGGCTGGGTCACCGACGTCCTTGTCCGTGATATCTCTGTCATGGTTTCAATTGCTGTTGCTGGTACTGCGCCTGTGCCTCACGCTATGCTTTTCCATCTCCTCCACCATCGCCAACATATCTTGTACCAGTTCCGCGTCAAGATCTCCTTTCCACCTCCCTAGCATGCCCGTAACCCTAGCAATATCCCCTTGAACATCTACGCCCTTTTGCATCCCACTTTCCAGCTCTGCCTTGTGCTCGAACCAATTGATGAGAAGCTCTTTGTCCTGAATCGTCGTTCGTATCTCGTCAATGAACTCTTGGAAAAGTTGCTCAAGTTCAGGACAACCACGCAGCTTGAAGTCGTCGTCGTACAGTTCGCGAAGGGAGAGCAAGTGTTCCAGGTGCTCGTCAAGAGATGCCCAAGAAAGATACTTGTAGGCAGGAAGGTCACTCGAGATGTTCCTAATGAAGTGGGATTCTGCTTCGTAGACAAGTTCATAGACTAGGTCCCGAATTGAAACAATGGCTCGGGCAAGATCATCGCCCGCTCCAGATAGATCAAGAGAAAGGGCCTTCTCGAGCGGGAATGTGCTGTGTTGAAAGGCAACCTTCTCTACTTGATTGAGATAGTCCTCTACCGCATTGCTAGTGGTCTGAAACAGAGACGTAAGATCGTTGGCGCGAGTGTCTTGAATCCTCGATGGCTGTCCGAGTGCTGTGGTAGGTACAAATCGAGACGCTACAAATTTTTCCTTTGTGCGGTGATGCAGCAATGATCTGACCTGAGAAATCCTTTTGTGAATAACAGCGATCACCCACGTGATCCAATACTTAGGAAGTAGCTGTTCGTTTTTCAGCTCCTTCATGCTTCGCTGAATTTTCCGTATGTGCTTATTAATAGCCTCTTGCTCAACTGGTAGGTTGATGGGAGCACCACTTTCGCCTGGTACACCTGGGGCGGCTCGAAGCGACTGGGTTGACGCGGCGTCTCGATTTTCCTTACCACCAGTACCGCGACCATCCAGCTGTGACTCTTGTTTTCCACCAACTTGCTTTTGTGGTGTCCTGACGGACTTGTGCCGACTGAGCTTGTCAATAAGACCATGCCTTGTTTCCACACCAGTCAGATCAATGCCTTGTTGTTCACAGGCTTCCCTTATTTTTGCCAAATTGAAAGCGTCCCAATGGGTTGTGGGTCTATTCCAGATTTTGAACGTGTCGCTGAATTCATGGTCCAAGCACAAAATGGACGAACCATCTGTCTTATCGCTGTCCTCTACCAAGACTGGCTCCTCGTTATTAGATGCGGAACTAGTATTCGTGTTGAGCTTGAAGCCTTTTCGTGACTCCTCCTTCATTTTGTCAGCGTCCATTGGAAGTTTCAGATCTTTCGATAACGTCCCCTCTTTCTGTTCTTGCATTGTCTCTCTGTGAGAAACTTTTATCGGTACCTTCATTTCGTGTCCTTTTGTGGTCGTGGGCTCGTCGGTGATCGTCACGTTTGTAGTTTCGGCTATATGCTTGGTCAGAATATCATTCAGTTGCGGATGTGTCAAATCCACGTAGTCACTATCTTTCAGGACATTGAGCTTGCCGCTGTGTACATAAGGAAGGTAATGCCCTTTAGTCAACGGGGTACGCACCTCCTGATCTCCAATGCTACCCGTTCCGGGCAATTTCACAGCAGACATGATTTTTTTCATGACTGCATGCTCGGCACTGTCGAAATCCCCTCGTTCATACCTCATCTTATCAAATTTCAGTACCGAGTGAATGATAACGTCAGTGCCAGCAGCACAATCTTCCTGCTCAGCCCACTCCTCGGGATGGTGGCTGATTCCATCTTTACAAGGCACGAACACCATTGCTGTTGAACATTGTTTGGACGTATTGACCGAGTCGTGTCCAGCGCCCGAAATCATTCGCTGAATGTTCGAATCTCCAGTGATATCCTTCGCACTCTCCTCTACTATGCTAACTGCGACTTCATCGAAATGAGCTGCGGGACTGCTGAATATTTCAGTAATATCGTATTGCAACGTTGTGGCAGTCCTTCGGCCTCGTTGTGCAAGATATTGTTCGTTCCAGAAGTCACGACGAATTTCTGCTATTAGTTGATCGAGGCCAGCATCTGTTTCGTGTCTGATATCTAATGAGAAACTGACTTGACTTGGAACCGTGTTGATACTTCCTGGCTCAGCGTTGATAATGCCAACACTAGCAAGCCCGTTATGTTTAGTCGCTGTATTGTGTACCTGAGCAATAATTTTGGCAGCCGACAGAAGAGGGTCAATTCTGTATTGAAATGGTGTGGTTCCGGTGTGGCATGCCCGTCCAGTAAGCTTGACATTGAACCATTTGTAAGCTTGGACACCGTTCACCGCCGCGATTTGTTGTCCTGAGGTGATCAGTCGTGGCCCTTGCTCAATATGGAGCTCGAAGTGTCCCGCCATAGGAATACCTCCTTGATTCAGGGGCGCAGGATTAGCGCCCAAATATTGAATATTGTTCAATTCCTCCACAAGTGTCTTCTTCTCTTGTTGACCAGGGAGAACGTTCACTTCTTTGAGGTGTGATACTTCTTCTTGACTTATAGTACCACTCCACACACCACTCCCCATCATACTCACAGGAAACCTGGCTCCTTCCTCGTTAGTCCAGTTGACTACTCCGACTGGTCCTTCGGTCTCAATCCAGTTGTCGTTCAGAACTCTGAGCATTTCAATCCCAGCACAGACTCCCAGAACTCCGTCAAACCTGCCTCCCGTTGGCTGACTATCCAAATGCGAGCCCACGAACGTGGCAGGAACATTATTGTTGAGTCCGGGGCGGATGGCGAAGACATTGCCGATACTATCTATTTCGACTGTGCAGCCAAGGGATCGAGCAGTTTTTGCGAACCAGTCACGAGCTTGTTTGTCATGCTCTGTCAGTGTCAAACGTGAAAGGCCGGTCTGGTGCGGATGGTTGCCATAGCGCTCTCCTATGCCATATTTCGCGGTCGAATGAATATCGTGCCAGAGACGATCAGAGCTCGCTCGGAGAGAGGAGTAATGAGATGAGGTCAATTCTGTACTGCGGAGTCGAGAGTTCGCAGTCACGGAGAACGGGCGACATAACAGGAACACTCGCTGTGGCCTTGAACAGCGATCGAGGCCTCGCGTCGGAAGTGACGAACGGCAAGTCCTCGGCTTGCACAATGAGGTAGTTGGAACTTTGAGCCTTGACATTTTGCTTCCTAGGGTGTTGATGTTCAAAGAGTTTGGCTACAGAAGTAAGGTCGTACTTGCCGATCGCGTACCACTGACCCCTCATCACACAAGCATACGAAGAAGGGTCTAGTCTTACTATGTTCTTGTCGAGCTCGAAGGCCACGTTCTCAGCGAGGCGGTCATCTAGAGAAAACTATTGAGCAGTACGATAGTGTAGTCAAGACCGGTTCGATGTGATTCTCGATGTGCTGATGGTTACTGGCCACATTACAGGTTCTGATCCCAAGTAAATGCTGAGGTTCCGCAGAAGCAAGAAGTCATAAAGCACGTTTAAAAGATTGAACTCTATACAGAGATTCAAAACATTCAGACACTTACGTCGCGGAGGTCTTCCAACCGATATATGTTGATGGTTCTTCGATCCGTATTGTCGTAACTGCCTCAATACGGCAGACTTTAAAAGAACGCGAAGCTTGTGGTAGGGCGGAGCAGAAACTCCTTCCACAACATCTCTAAATGAGGGCGGAAATCCGAACCTTTTCGACATTACAATCGATGTAGAGTTACCGAGCACACGAGCACGGCAGAATCACTGTAAGAAGAGAAAAGAAATCTGAAGGAAGGCAATCCCCTGCACCTGAATAGAAGGTTGTAGTAGTATGAGTATTACAAGACAATAGTCCACACTAGAGACTTTCCTTGTTATGAATCCATCATGTCGTCGTTTCTCATGACCAATTCTCATCATCACAGGATCCGACTCATTAACAGTTCGAGTCGTACTCTCATGCAATCTCTGGTGCCTCGTCCGACTCAGAAAGATCTTCATCGCCAGACACCTCCTCGTTCTCCTTGGCTCTCTTGTCCATGAGTGCTTGCAATTCAGCATCGTCATGTTCAGTCACAGCCTTTGGTGCCATCTTTATAACACATCCACCACCGACACTCTTGATTGTGGCATCGATATCTTTGATGGCCTGTTCGAGTAGTCTTATTCCTTCCGCCTTGTTCAAGCACTGGCTGGTCAATACATAGTGTGGTGGTGAAACGAGTTTGACCTTGACTTGCGTGTCCGGCGTATTGTTCTGTTCTGCTTTCCTTAAAGCATCCTTGACCGCATCGATCCCATCATACCTGAAGCAAGTGACCTCGACATCGGCTCGAACTTTTGTAGGGTGGGGAGTCAACTTCTTGCTGATATACGATACGAATTCGTCCTTCACAACATCGTTTGGGAACTCCACTTCGTTCCACACTTCTGGGTTCGTGATCGACAGCTTAAAGGCGTCGTTGGCATGACCATACTTCTTGTTGAGCGGCCAGCCAATCTGCTCATAGAGTTGAACAATCGGGGTCTTTGTCTTCTCTGCCACATGTCGCATAATCGAGTGAACAGATTTTCCTTTGTTGTATCTTTCTTCGCACCGGATAATGTCTTCTGCTGATACTCTTCGTTTCGACAGGTCAATGTAGCCCTTTTCCTTGTCCACTCTTAGTACGACCACAACTTCGTTGCGACCTATTCGGATGAGTTTTTGTATCGATCTGATACGTCTTCGGGAGAGTTCTGAAAGGAGGATCATGCCATCGATGTTGTCGTACTCGAGTAATTTTACATATGCGCCCATCTCTTCAATGGATTTGACATTGACCATAACAAAAGACTCAATTTCGGGGTACTTCTCTTCGTAGAAGCGGCAGTCCTTGAAGGAACCTGGATCGGAAGACATCTTGGAGGTAGTCTGAACTCTTCTGTCGTTTCTGGCAGTTCGTGAGAATGTAGACAGTGAAGGGTCAATTATGTGTCAACATTAATTTCATGCGAGTCAGGCCGAAAAACGAGTTTACGTGACAATTGGTAATGCCTGTTTGTTCAGGCATGCAAGTGTAGTCACGATTTCCGAACTAGCAAGTGTCCCGAGAGATGCCTGAGTAACTTTCCTTGCCCACAACCATGGTCGAGACCTGCTCGTGGTTAAGTCTTCGGACACGTCGTACTCTCTTTCTTGTCAAGCTTACAATTTACACTTTCTTTACCTGACAGGATGATCTTGAGTTGCGATATTTTGCTTGCTGTAATCAGTCACAAAAAGTCGATGCCTTGAGAACCACCTGTATTTGTGCCGATGAAGGTCAATCTTGGCGCCCAGCTTATCGCATCTATCATGCAGAACTGCTCCTTGCGCCTGCTTAGATGGCCAAGCGACCACATCTGATTACGAGCTTGATCGTCCAGATGCTGTGTCGTATTCTTACTCGCGCGACATCCAGCACATCGTGTAAGGTGATGATCACCTGCGCTGTCCTCACAGACAGAAACACCCTGGTCGCAGATTACGCCATTTTTATTCCGTCATAAAACTCCAACTGTACACCATCCTCCTACCAATGAGATGGGCGATCTTGATTGGGATGGCGCGATATGGGCCTCTTGCCAAAGTGGCTCGCTGACTACATAATGTAGTGGCACGTATTGATATCTTCTGTGATCTCTGCGATTGATGAGCTTCTTTGTTCATGCGACATTGAAACAAGATGAAAAAATCGGATTGTTCAAGGGGAGGACCAATCTACGTCTATGATGCACACCAGCAAGGCTACACTGCAAATCATGGCGTTCTACATCCTTCTTCAGACTCGGCAGCCATTGATCCTGACTCCGGTGTCAAGCGTGGCTTGTCGACTCGACATTTGTCCATGATGGCGCTGGCCGGAATCATCGGCCCTGGTCTGCTAGTCGGTGCTGGTGGTGCTCTTGCAAACGGAGGACCTGCTTCTCTCCTTATCGGCTTCGGTGTCATCGGTATAATCGCTTTCAGTCTGATGCAGTCGCTCGGCGAGATGACAACCTTGTATCCTTCTGGTGGTGCCTTTACTGGTCTGGCTGATCGTTTCGTCGATAAAGCTTTTGGTGTGGCTGTCGGATGGAATTATTTCATCATCTGGGTAGCCGTCCTTGCCAATGAATACAATGTCATCTGCAGTGTGCTCACGTACTGGACTGATAGGGTGCCCTTGTGGGGTTGGTTCCTGATATTCTGGTTTGTCTTTCTCGGCTTCCAGATGCTTGGCGTGACGGCTTTTGGAGAAGCAGAATTTTGGCTGGCTATTCTGAAACTAGCGGAACTGACTGCATGCTTTATCTTTGCGATTATACACGCTGCTGGTGGAATGATCAGGCAAGATGAACCTCTAGGTTTTCGGTATTGGCATGATCCGGGGCCGTCGTCAACCACACTCCCTGGCTTTCGTGGTATAGCGACAGTCTTTGTTTTCTGCTCGACATTCTATGCTGGTGTTGAGTCTATCGCTGTGGCAGCAACGGAGACGAAGAACCCCGCGAGAGCTGTATCGCTCGCAACGCGCCAAGTACTATGGCGCATCATCTTCGTTTACATGGGTAAGCAGCTAACATATCACTAGATGCTATCATTTGACTGATTCACATTGAAAGGCAGTGCCCTCTGTTTCGGTTCGACTTGCCCTATCAATGCCGAGGGTCTTGCCAGTGATGCATCTCGAGCTTTACGTTCCCCAATGACTATCGCCATCCAGAGTGCAGACTGGCAAGGTGGTGTCAATCTGATCGATGCCTTCATCTTGGTCACCGACGTTTCCCGGGCAAGACAGGCACCCACGGTATTCCAGTCTACGCCATAATCTTCACTAACCTCTTCGGCGCCCTATCCATGATGAACATCTCGACGAGTGCAGGCAAAGCCTACAGCTACATAGTCAATCTGTCCGATGTCTCGACACTCCTCGTCTGGGGCGCCATTTCCTTCACACACATTCGCTTTCGCTCTGCATGGGCATATCAAAGGCGGTCTGTTCACGAACTTCCGTTCAAGTCGCTGTGGTATTCATGGAATGCCTATTTCGGTCTCTTTGCCAACGTCTTCCTCGCTTTCGTGCAGGGTTGGACGACGTTGAGCCCTTTTAATGCAGGCAACTTTGTGGATGCGTATGTCCTTCTGCCGTTATTCCCCATTGTCTACTTTGGCTACAAGTGGTGGAATGGTACGAAATATTGGCGGCTAGAAGAGATCGATCTAAACCACGGTCGGAGACGGGATCTCGATGCTGCGAAGAAGAGTGTGGACGATGACCTAGCCTACGGAAGGTTGAAGAAGAAGCAAACTATCTGGCGAAAGCTTGCGCGGAACTTCTAGACTTGCCTCTTCCGTTCACAGGCTAGCCAGAAATATTGAGTCCCAAGCATTACGACTGATTTGCTCGTCAAGAGTATCGCTTTGGAAAAGGAATGGAGCGGTATTGTGTTAGACAATAAGGACCTGCGCGTCAATGAGCGAGCGCTTCGCCATACCTACTCTGTCCGACCACCAACACTCCGGCAAAGAGAGGTTCACAAGATTACCCGCGAATACCTCCTCCGCCATTTACCAGCATACGCAGCTCCTCGCCTGACCACTTGCCTAGAATCATCGCGTTCTCTCGTTGCTCGTCGCGAACAGACTGGTATCTTGCATGGTTGAGGAGCGAATATAAGCCGACTCGTAGCCTGCCAAAAAATACTGAGTATTATGTTTGAGCTCTCTGAGCCGCGGGTTTCAATTTGGCAAAACCGCGTCGGCTGAAGACCAGGAGTGACTAAATGTATGATCCTATCTATACTTGGACGACAGCTGATTATCGCTTCGGACATGACTGATTTGGCGATCGTAGGTCTTGGTGCAATCTTTTATCTTCACCCAACACGACGAGCAGGGTGGTCTGCATCGTTTTCGCCGCAAAAGCGACATGTCATATGATTGAGACACACGTGTCACTGACATAACAGCGCACACCCGAGTGCGCAAGCAGATCCGTTTATGCTAAGAATCACCTTCGTGGCGGTGATCATGAGTAATGCTTGACCTATGCAGCAACATGGGGACACTGATCCTTCGACCATACCTTCATTCCCGCAGCCCATAGTGTTCAGGCGTCGTTCGTGGCTAGCCGGCTCTGCCCACTGCTGTCCTGGCATACGCAGCGCTTTGTAGAGGTCACCTCATCGGATCTGAACAAAGAAAAAATGCTATGATTGCGCGGTGAAAATAGCGATGGTCCAGGGCCTGTTTCCGTCCCACAGCCTTTGTCACAATCTGTGACGGAACATCCACTTTCGTAGACAAAGGTTGTCACAATGGCTGAATCAGCTCCTAGCATAATACCCAGCAGTAAGCAGTTCTGAGGTTATTCTGTGTCCTCTTTTCCACAACTTCACGTTGGTTGAATACATCTGATAGATAAGATAGAGACTGGATACTGTGATTGAATCACTAAATCTACATCGTCGTCATGAAAAGCATCACAGCTTTTACAGCGTTGGTGGCTGCAGTCAATGCGCATATGTTTCTCAGAGAACCCCTGGCTGCAACACCAGCGCCAGACTCCAGTCCAATAGCCTCGAGTGGAGCAGATTATCCTTGTCGAGGAGTTTCGGATGTCAGCGCTGGGCCTCCAAACAGTCCAGTACCAATCGGTGGCACTTTTCAGTTGAAACTTCGCGGCAGTGCTACCCATGGAGGTGGTTCTTGCCAGGTCAGTCTGGCCAAGGGGTGGAAGAACATCAACAAAGACACCAAATTCAAAGTCATCCATTCGATACAGGGAGGTTGTCCTGCGTCCGATCCACTCAACGACAACATCAGTACAGACGGGGTAAAAGGTCCAAAGAATCTGGTTGGCGTTCACGAGTATGGCGTTACAGTCCCGGACCATCCAGACCTACCACCAGGAGAGTACACCATGGCGTGGACCTGGCACAATAGGATTGGCAACCGAGAGATGTACATGAACTGCGCGCAATTCACGATTGCAGCAGGCGGTAGTGCTGCTGGTGGTAGTGCTGCTGGTGGTAGTGCCGCCGGTGGCAATGCAACAATCGTAGAATCATCGAGTGGCGCGACTGGCAAACGTGCATCACAAAATCCTCTACCTGATCTCTTCAAGGCCAACATCGGGAATGGTTGCAGTGTCGACCATGGTGGAGATGTTGAGTATCCATGGCCAGGTGATTCACTAGAGATAGGGCCAAAAGCCAAGCTCATTGATCCAGCTGGTGGTGCAGCTTGTGGTTCAACCATTCCTGCAGCATCGAGTCCAACCAAGACACCAGTTGTTTGTAGCACAGGTTACGACGTCTTGAACGATGCCACGGTTGGTGGTGGATCAGGTACCGCTGCCACGTCTGCAGCAGGTGCTGCGGGCGCCGGTGTTGCAGCTGGGTCTGTTGCCACATCCGCTGCTATTGGCCTGGCGACCCAAGCAGCCTCGAGCGCCTCAGCTGTTGCATCTGCTATTCCCACAGTGGCTAATGGCTCTGTCCCATTACCAGGTAAAGCGGCTTCGGGAGCTGGTGCATGTACAGCAGGATGGTGGTCTTGTGCAGAGGATAGTGGCTCATTCCAGCGATGTGTCCATGGAGCTTGGTCAGTCGATACACCGATGGCTGCGGGCACCAAATGTGTTCCGGGCGTTAGTGCAGAGCTTGCCTATGCCTAAGCAGCGATAGTATTATAATCTTCGGATTTACCAAGAAGGATGCTAGATTTACTCAACGAATGTTTGATTTTGCTTTCAGCGAAGGATGGAGCGTGGATGCGAGCTTTTGTAACGTGGGCGAGCTATGCTCTCGAAGCATGTGTTGACGGTCTGGAAGATTTCTATGCAGTGCTTGCGAATTGTGTTGCCTCACACATATTTGTGTGTTCCCGAAAGCGTTTGCAGAGAATCATCAGATAGTGGGCAGGAATTCAAACCAGCTGAAAGAGACCTCGTCAAAGTAACTAGCATACCAATTAGATCAAAGTGAAGGCACTGATAATCAAACAGTGTACGTCTCGAAGTGCAGTCGGGATAAGATACAGCGTCCACCGGGTCAGATATTCACGTCCATCACTCACGGCTATTCTCGAAGTCTCGGGAAAATGGCATAGAACACGACCGAGACGTTAGTAGTGCAGCGTTCTCACAACAAATGCAACACTATTAGTATGCACGGGCTTGCGTTGATAGCTAATAAGGCGCTGCAATTTGCGCAATGCGAGGAAGGTTTAGCAGGCGCGATGATACTCGAGTAGCTGTTGGGACAGGTACAGCGGAAGCTTGGTGTACCTGCCGCTATCAATGATGCTTAAATGATGGTTGCTGAGAATGCTTGTGTCTAATCCTCGCAGTTCTATTGGTGGCTGACGTTCAGGCGGGGCAGAGGTTCTGTTACCGAAAAGTTTGGGTCATTTCTCTGATCGACGTCAAGGGCGCATGATTCCGCTCGATGCTGCCTTCCGCTGCCATTGATTTTCAGTGAGACATGGAGCTGCGGTAACACGAGGGACTTACAGTGACAAACCATGTCATCGCCTCCGAGAATTCCAAGTCCGTCGAGGACACCACCACTATCGCCTCGTGCAAAATCCCACTCGAAACAGCCGTCGGTTCAAAATGTGCCAGCGACACCGAGTAGACTCCGCGAGGCAGTGGCCATGTCGCCAGAAGATGATCACATACCAGCAGAATCGAATGGTCAGAGCTCAAGGACCAGCGGTGCTCCTTCCATACTCGACCCGAGCACGAGCGATGCCACAACCGCAGATGCGACCTTCTCAACTCGAAAAGACAGTCGTAATGCACAAGGCTTCGTACAGGAACCAGCATCTATGGATGAAAACGAGCGTACACGACTGCTGCAGAGTTATCACGACCCACGTATATGTGGCCTCAAGGACTGCAACCATGGCACATTCTCTCCACGAGCACCCTCAATACGCAGCTACACCAATTCGAGCATGAACGACTACGGCTTCGGTGGAGCACGCCCGTATTACCACACAAGAGACACAAGTCGCAGCCTGTTGGGAGGTTCAGTCGTCGATAGTCTGGCCGGGACTAAGAATTCGAGCACTACTGCATGGCTGGCGTCAAAGCATGGCATTAAGAGTCAAGGGTGGATGTATTTAAGATACTACTTCCCATTTCTCAAGTGGATCACACAATACAGGATGTCTTGGCTTCAAGGAGACCTGATAGCTGCATTGACCATGGCCTCGTTCTACATCCCAATGTCACTCTCATACGCATCCAACCTGGCACATATCCCTCCAGTCAATGGCCTGTATGCATTCGTCTTCAATCCCATCGTGTATGCCTTCCTTGGCACTTGTCCGCAGATGGTGGTTGGACCCGAAGCCGCGGGCTCTCTCCTTGTTGGTCAGGTTGTTCGCTCCTGGATCGAATCGGGCAGGTCTGATGACGACAACAACGTCCTGAATGCCCAAATCGCAGGTGTGGTTACCAGTATAGCAGGAGCTGTCATTCTGCTCGCAGGTTTGACCAGACTCGGCTTCCTCGACAGTGTGCTTAGTCGACCATTTTTGCGTGGTTTCGTCAGCGCCATCGGTTTTGTCATCCTTATCGATCAAGCTCTTCCTGAACTCGGCCTGAGGGCGCACAAGGTCTCACACGCCAGCAGCTGGGAGAAACTCGTATTCATCGTCAAAAAGGCTCACAAAGCACATAAGCTGACAGCTGCCGTGTCATTCGGAAGCTTCGCTATTATCATGGTCTTCAGGGAGGCCAAGCGAAGATTACAGCCGAGATACCCGTCAGTAGCATACTTTCCAGACCGCTTTCTTGTTGTCGTAGGCTCGGCAATTCTGGCCTGTCAGTGTGGATGGGACAAGCAGGGCTTAGAACTACTTGGCGACGTCAAGGCAGGTGGAGGATCAGGTATTCCATTCCACTGGCCAATCCGCAACTCTCATGTGAAGCACATTGATACTGCACTTGGGACATCTGTACTGATCGCGCTTCTCGGCTTCTTCGAGTCTTCAGTAGCTGCCAAGAGTCTGGGCGAGGGCACATCTGGGCTGAAGGGTATGACTTTGAGCGCAAATCGTGAGATGATAGCTCTTGGCACAGCAAACGTGCTTGGAGGATGTTTCATGGCACTCCCGGCTTTTGGAGGTTATGGACGCAGCAAGGTCAATGCGGCTACAGGAGGAACCACTCCCATGGGCAGCATTCTGCTGAGCTTGATTTCGCTGTTCTGCGTCTGTTTTCTCCTACCCTACTTCTACTGGATTCCGAAGGGTGTTCTGTCAGCCATGGTTTCGGTCGTTGCGTACTCTTTGATCGAAGAGGCACCTCACGACATAAAGTTCTTCTTCAAAATTCGGGGTTGGGGAGAACTTGCCCTCATGTCGATCATTTTCCTAGCCACCATTTTTTACTCTTTCTCAGTCGGCATTGCGCTAGGCATCTCGCTGTCTTTACTTGCAGTTGTCAAGCACGCAGCGAAACCTCGGATCCAGATTTTGGGCAGGATCGAGGGTCAACCCAATCGCTTCGAAAACGCAGAACATTACCCCGAAACCATTGAACATGTCGAAGGCTGTCTCATCGTCAAGATTCCGGAACCATTGACGTTTGCCAACACTGGCGACCTACGCACTCGCCTGCGTCGCCTTGAGCACTACGGCACTAACCTCGCTCATCCTTCCTTACCACAAGTACGACACGAAGACAACAACAAAAACATTATATTCGATGTTCACGGCGTCACTAGTATAGACGGGTCAGGTACACAGGTTCTAGCCGAGATTGTAAAGTCGTACGTCGACAAAGGCACACGTGTAATCTTCTGTAGGTTGCAAAGAAGGAAAGGTAAAGTTTACCAACGATTCGAAGACAGCGGAATAGTGGAGATGTGTGGTGGGTGGCAGCATTTCGTGTCGAGTGTAGACGAAGCATTGAAAATGGCAGAGGTGGAGGACTTGACGGGATATCTTGAGGAAAGAACGAGGCAGCAGAGGTAAATAGACAGTAAATGTATTCTTATTCCCCAACAGGAAAGCACAACAAGTGACAATATCCATAATGCGCGACGCGTGCCTTCTCCCCTATCCTTCACTTCTTATTTCCGCCGACTTTGACAAACCATTATAATTAAAGATGCAAAATGAACACTGTCCGCTTGTGTTTCCTAGCCAGCGCTGCCATCTGGTGCGCTTCGACTGCCTCGACAACCAGCCCTGGAGTACTTTCTCTGATCGTCAGCGATCTACCTGGATACCACCTTCCTCTCTATCGACGTGGTGGCCGCCACAGTGTGCATCAGCCTTTTAACATTACCAATATCTATGCACAACGAGAACACGCCGAGGGGAGGTACGCCAGAGTATCGACAGAAGCTGATGGAAATACGATCGAGCGCCACTGGCGAAACGGTAAAGACGGGGTGGATGAACATCTGCTCAGTGGTGCTGGCGCAGCTGGTACTTGGTCAGTCGACGTTGAAAGTCAGACATAATGCTAATTTTCTAATCAGGTATACGACAATACAGGTGGGGAAACCGCCACAAACACTAGAGGTGGATATCGATATGCTCAACCCTGACTTCTATTTGATCATGACGACAAGTGGGCGAGGGTCAAAATACAATACCTTTGGCAATGAGGGTCATGGTAAGCCTCTTACCATTGTGCTTATTCTCCACTAACTTTCAGCTCCCTCCAACAACTACGTTCATCCTATATGTCGTACACCAACAGATGTCTTCCACCTACGATCGTCCGCAAGCTCCCCCATTCGCCTCACCGTGCCGGTCTGTCAACCCGGTAAGTACTCTTCCCACACTCTTGCAAGTAGTGGAACCATCCTCGGCCTAGCACCACCGAGCTCTTCACGCCCTCTGTCGCGACTCTCAAAGACCAAAACTCTCCTCGAGCAGCTTCAAGACGAAAACCTTATTGATCACAATATCGTGTCGATTGCCCTCTTCGACAGCACGACCGGTGTGCTCTCCTTAGGAGGCACAATCGCTGCCCTTGTAGAAGAGGTTAGGATTCGAACTGAAAAGGAATTGACATACCTTGACCGTTTGGACATCCCCGAAGAAAGAGCTAAGATGGAAGCAGAGATAGCTGGGTATATGTTTTTCGCCATGCCGCCAGGAAGCACACACAAAGACCATTTCAAATGGGTTGACACTAGCAATATGGTGGCAGGATGGCATCAGGCTCTCATGACTGGGATATGGGTAAACGGTGTCAAAGTCCTTAAAAACCAGCCTGTACTATTTGATATCAATTGTCCCTTCATCATAGCTCCTGCAGACGCTGCACAGACTTTCTACGAGGCCACTCCTGGCAGTAGATTGCTGAGCAGCTTGATAGGGGACGCCGAGCAGCAAAAGCAAGCTCAAGGGTTCCAGGTGGTTCCGTGCTTGAATGAAGTCAAGATCGAATTCGAGCTTGCAGGTTGGCGCTTTCCATTTGGTCGAGGAGAAGCAAGAGAGGATGCATTGTTCGGACCAGTAGGTGGCAGGTTCAGTTTAGGTCAGGTTCACATTGAAAGTGGCACAAACAGTAGTGACGAAGCGGTAGAGACGGGATACTGCGTTGGGATCGTGATTGGCAGCACCATGGGAATCAGGCAGGACTGGTCACAAAGTGCGATGCGCAATGTCTGGGTTCTCGGCGAGCCCTTCTTTCGGGATACCGGAGTAGTTTTTGACATGGGAGACAAGAAGGGGAAGGGTGCAAGAATTGGAGTCCGTGTATTCTGAGACTGCTCAACATGGGTATCCCGTCTTGCAAACTGTCTTGTAGTCAGAGGGTACATAGTGGATGGTAATCAACTGAGGCAGAGCAAGAACTGGCAAGATTGGTGTTCGGAGACTTTGCAGGTTTAAGTGGGACGCTTTTTCACGAAGTCCGGCAACTTTCACTCGAAACACAACTGCTTCACCATTTGGCGAGCCTTTGTACATCCTCTCTATTATCCGCCTGTGATTATCATAGTCCGAAGCTTGGCACACCTGATTTGCTGCATGCTTACCGTTTCAGTATTCTCCTGTCGTGTACTGACTACGAAGGACATTCGCTCCTGTAACACGAATCAGCAGCAACATGGCTGTATCTCGAATCACACTGGGAGGAGGCATCATCGAATTGTGGTCTTTCCACCATCTTATCCGTTAATCTCATTTCAGAAGCGAGAGAAGTACCAGCATGTTGAACAAGACATGCAGGTCGCTTTCAATGTTGCGATGGACTTAGAGTTCAGGCTGGCTGAACACTAAGCAAAGAGCGCAAGTTGGAGCCCAGGGATGCTCACATCGAGACTTACAGCACCTGTTAGCCGGTGCTACGAGCTGTTTACGTTTTGGACAAAAGCGACCTACTCGGCAGTATCCGAGATAACGGGGCATTATACTAGATGATGTTCTTGGCAGAAATTGCTGTATTAGCAGCTAGGTAACTTAAGCTATGTGCCAAATGACTGTCTATTAGCTTTCGAAGATGTCTATCCTCAATCTCGCTGTGCAGCTCGAACAGAAGTTCCGGTCTTCTTGTACCATCATATCGATAGTGTTGTCCTCCTTCAAGCTCTAAGCTCGCAGAAACAGCTCATTAACAATTTGAGACGACTGCAACAGGTCAGCTCGTCGGCTGGGAATGTAGATTGAACCTAAACCATTCCTGAGACACAGCTCATACTGCTCGTGGTTTTGGTCCTGGTTTGTACTGACAGGCGCCGTTGATGGCATGGAAGCTTTTGCAGACGACGGATCTCATTTTCGCCTCCTCGTTAGGATGCGGAAACTGCATGTCTGAGTTCGAATAGAACCAACCATCGATACCTTCATCGGCATGATCGATAAAGCCAATAGGCCAGCCATCGCCATGCTCACCCTCCCAGGGTTTACAGTACGAAGCGCCTGTAATCTTCCAGCTGCTGCCTCGATCACCTAACTTGTTGTAATCTGGCACCTTGAGGACCTTGCCGTATTCAATAGCGACAGTTGCGCTTTCTCCCTGAAAGTTAGGCTGTGCGAAGAAGATGATGTCACCAGGTGGACAAGGTATTGCAGCGGATACAGCTACGGCGCTAGTCATAAGTGGGAGGAGAATGGTTTTCAGTTTCATATTGGACTTGTGATCGTCGTCTCGATCCTTCTTTCGGTACGTTTGTGAGAAATTTTGGTGCGTAGCAGGTTAGAATAAGTATGGTAGGTTGAATTTGTTCTAGGAAGATTGTAGGAAAATATCTCTCTCTTTGGAATATGGAACGAGATGGTGAGGACAACCCAAATCGGAAGTTTAAGTAGTTGATCTTCGTTTGGACCTCATGCCTCGTCAGCAGTCCATTGACTGCGCCAGTTCCTGAGCGGCATTGCTCTCTCAAGCAACGATAGGCATATCATGACAAACTAGTGCGCGAACAGCTGCTGTTGCTTGTTAGTGAAGCCTTCTACTGACACGTCAGCACGACTACGAGTGTCCGCTCGAAACGTTGACTCAGAACATCAACACATCATACAGATAGGCTGGTACACAATTTTGTGGCTCAAATTACCCGGAAGCACTGAGAGGGATGGCTTAGGAGGCGCTGTTGCTCTCTGCGGATCACTGGTCAAGCCACGCATGTCCTGTTAGTTGGCTTTGAGGTCACTACGAAAAACGGGCGTGTCTCACTATCAAACGCTCAGCACATCAGTGCACGGCTAGGACACTTTCAAAGCGCTACGCCGATATCACCGATATTGAAAGAACCTTGGAAGGTGGGTTTTCTCCAGGCATTTCGGAGAATGGTATGCTCTAGGACTTGGTGAGCAGTCCGGTATGGACTCCTGAATTGTGACAGCGGTAGTCGAAACTCATTTACAGCTTTCATGGACATCAAGAATTGATGTGAGAATATCGCAGCCTTGTCTTGGTCTATTCTTGTGTGGGGGTGGTGCCATTGATGTCACCAGTAAGCAATACTCGCCTGGACCATGAGACATGGAGCATACACTGTCACTACGCAGGTCGGTGATGGACAACACAGATCACCGCAAGAGACTCAAAGAATCTCGTACTGACGATATCCAACACGAAGATATCCTTAGCAAGAAAGGTTTGTTATATTGAAAGCATGATGGCAAACTATGTACAGGACAGATGTCTGCTCAAATGTCAATAGTCAGCTCACCCGAGTTGCAATATCGCTGTTCAGCTCAATGTTCGACCATGGACCTCAACATCAGCTCATCAATACTACGATGGCTTCAGTCCAAGCTAGCAACCCCGCTGAGAAAGCTCACTAATACCCTTATACACTACCTCCAGAATGAGACATCTGCTTTCCCAATTATGGGACAGAGCAGCATTAGTGTCTCACGTGGGGTCCGAATCATCCTGATGGTGAAGTAGGCACTGGTAACGAGGACGACGCCGAAGACATGACCCCAGAAGGTGGGACCCAGGACGAGGAGTACTGGCACGCGCCATTGATAGCATGAAAGTTCTTGCACTTGAACGACTTCGCTCTCGTACCTTCACTGCCATGTGGGAAATGCATGTTGGAATTGCCGTAGTAATAACCATCAAAATTGTCACCATGTGACAAAAAGCGGATAGCTGGACCAGTACCATCCTCTGTCTCGAAGAGCTGGCATAAGGAGGCACCGTTAACTTTCCAGCTGCTATCCTGGCCACCGGTGATGTCAGGAGACTTGATCTTCTGTGCCTGCTCCCAGACTATGGTGTGCGAAGTACCTCGTCCTTGAAATCCAGCTTTCTCGTAAAAGATGACCTCGCCCCCCGGACAAGCTATTGGTGGGGCTTGTGCTAATGGCATACCTGGTGGCACTATTGGTGGCTCTATCTGGGAAGGATATGTCGGAGGTGCTGAGCTGGCTTGTGCTGGCGTTGTCAGGTAGCTGGCCACCGAAGCCGCCGATGCAACTGAAAGTGATCCTGCTGGCGACGTTGCAATCGACACTGCTGTCGATGCTGCTGTCGGCGCTGCTGAAGTAGCCAATGCAGATGATGATGGTGCAATTGACGACGAGGGGACTACTTGTGGCAAGGCAGTCGCCAAAGCCAAAACGCCTACCAGAAAGAGGATGGTCTTTCGAACCATGATCGCTTATAGTTTTGCGACGTATGTGTGGTTGTTGAGGTTTTGAGAGGCAGGATTTGAGTCCAATCTATTTGAGTCTTAGTAGTCCTAAAGATCGATTCTGGAGTTGACTTTGCCGGGTAATATGTTATTTGATATGGGATGAGACGACGGAAACTAGAAGGACGAGCTGGGTCTACATAGTTGTCCTTGCGTTTGAAACTGGACTCACCGTTTTCAGTGTCATTACACTGCCAACGCTTTGGGAAAGGAGTCGCAGCATTGTGCGAAGACATTCCAGAATGCTATCATCTGCTGAGCCACGGCTCAAGACTTGTGACAAGAACATAGGTGATTCAGGCAGGACTACCGCTCAGTCATTGGGTCTGCTCATCAGTACGAACGACACCATCAATTGGCTCCTGGTTTCCAGAACGGAGTAGAGATATGGACCTTGAGTCATTCCGAACAGCATTTATGACGCTCTAATGTTTGTCCTTATCTGCTGCTGGAAAATCTGGCAGGGAAGTGAACGCTTGAAAGTTCTTAGTTGCCTCAAGATCCGTGCAGCGATCAGCCTTGAGCCGATCGTGTAACAAAGACTTCTGTAATGGATATATCTATGAATCAGGATCAGTCAAAAAGATGATTGTTGAGAAGTACTTCTTCCACGGAAACGGTGAAGATCCTGCCGAGTTGACCTGAGAGTCGTAGATTATTGACAAGACGCTGTAAAGCAAGGCAATGTTTTGCAATTGGATCGTAGATCATAGCTATGTACGTATACGATGGAGACAGCTAGATATTCGTGATATTCAGGTTATCTCTATATCTCGTTGCTGTCGATTCCTCGACTAGCAGCTCCACGGCTCACGTGCCAGTCTATGGACACCATGATCTTTATTTCTGATTTCTGCAAGTCTCCAAGCTCAGTCGTTGTTGGAGGTGTGAGACATGTACCACTACCGTTGGAGCGAAGCATCTGACATGCTGAAGATAATTGTTGGAAAGGTTCCGAAGACCCTGCTCATGGCTCAATCACGCAGGCACCATCGCCATTGTAAAAGCATAGGCATTTAAAGACCCTCGTTATCGGACTTTGATAGCTTACAGGATGTTTCATCTCCGTGCTCTGGTAGAACCAACCTGGATTTCCTGGTGCGTCATCTTGGGGATGCCCGTCGTATGTTGTAAACCAGCCATCACATTTCTCGCTAGCAAAGAGCTCAATATGATAGAAGTCAAAAAGGAGTGTCTTCGGCTGCAGTCTCGACTCGACGCCAATTTTCTTTAGATACAACGACTGAAGCAGTCATCTTGCTCCGAAAATCGCCACTGCAGTCACCGAAAGAGTACTCGACTATTGAATACTCCAGACTTTCCTGAAGTATCTTTACTGAGCCACAACTTACCATCTCATAACAAATCAAGTATGAATGGCGGTCTGAACACTCAGTGAACTGTTTTCAGCTTCGTTGACTGATTACAGAGCTACTTATGAATTGGGTACTGGCGAAATATGCCATGCTCCAGTAGACTCAGTTGCAACGAAGTAGGATGGCTCACGCCAAGGGTGGACGGTACATTGATCACTGTGCAGAAGCAGCGAACATTCCAGATTACCCATGACCATCGACGTCCAATATCCTCTTCCGTCACAAGTCACCGTGATCTTTCAAATCGAGTGAGATGCAGATTGATGATCGCAGCCAATTGCACCTTCTCAACCTACACTTAAGGAACAATGGTCATCTGCGGGCTGAACTAAACAGCCCAACCCACAGGCACCTTCATCACACCATCATCTTCAACCCCAGTCTCTTTGAGCACTCCACCGTCATTACCCTGCATCACACCCGCAATTGCATCAGGATTTGCCTCATCCCAGTTACAGCCCGGATTCGAGTGTCTGAAAAGATCGCATCGATGATAGGACTTGAAGACTGTGCTGCCGTATTTCAGGTGTGCGATGTGGTTGTACCAATACTCGCTGTGAAAACCGCTGTTCTTGCCATTGCAGACGTCAGATTCCCAGAGCATGCAGTCTGCGTCGCCTTCGACGACCTAGGAGGGAGGTGTGGGTCAGCGAGAGCACACAAGACAGGAAAAGACGAGGAAAGAAACATACCTTGAAACTGCTACCCTCATCGCCCATTCTATCATAGTATGGAATTGGCTTGCACTTTCCCCATTCGATGGGCTCTTCGGCACTAGTTGAGAGATACTTTGTCAGCGACAGAAGACTTTATACGTGCACATCCGAGGTCTTGTTGGCCATGCATTGCCACATTGCCGCAACCTGAGATGGTCATGGACCGGGAAAAGCACAACGTACCAGAATCCTTCGTAATGATCGTTCTCGCAGAATCGAATCTGACCCGGGACGCATGGGCAAGGTACTTCGTCTAAGCAGGGGGTAGCGTGAACGAGTACTTTTTGTGCCACGAGCACGAAAGAGGTAAGGAGGACGATGTGGATGTTGAGATACATGGTACCTATCTGGGTTTCTCGGGAGAAAAGTGTCTGAGGCTGCAGACTAGTTGACGACCAGAGAAGAAACGATCGAGGATCCCTGTCTTGTATGTCTTGATCGAGTCAAACATCGAAATACTGGAGGAAACTGTTGAGCGAAAAACAAGGAGAGAAGAAAGGGAGGGCATCCTTAAATACCCTATATTATCAGCGGATGATGAGTTCTCGCCTTGTTGGTGATATGGACCGCCGCCTATCGTGTAAACAAAATGAGACAAAATCCCATACCGTCTTCCTGTTGACAAACTTTTGGAGATGTTCTATATCACCAGCGAGGATAAGAATGCAGCCAACGAAGTGCTCAAACCCATCAGGAAGAGTTCTACGTCAATTCAGAATTTGGCACCAGTTCTGTCAACACATTCAATCGCTGTAAGTTTTGGAGAGCTCGTGGTAACACAGTGATTGACAGATGGAGACTTTGACATGCCTCTATCGCTTCTCAATATCTTCACTGGCTGCAAACTTTGTTGAACACTTTGAGAAGAAAAAAGGAAGGAAGGAGCATGATCCTTCTGTTCAGTAGAGGACTGGTTATCAATTTGATGGGAAATTTGAACTGATGGTAATTAGCCTTTCGAATTTGAACGTTCCACGTTGCTGCACACTGAGCAAGATTGCGATACTGTAGCTCACGTACAACTCTCAAGCCATGACTTTTCCAACTATCCCGTACGTATCATCATGTTCAAATATACATAGCTTCGTTCGTGAAATCGTGAATTACTCGAGTTATACAGCTGACTTACGATCACGTAAAATCGACCGTATTTGTGCTCGCACCTCCTCTCCCTTCCCTAGCTATTCTCGCCTGCGCTCTTTCCGCTCTTCTCCTCCTTCGATTGTTCGCATACTCACTCGGCCCACTGGTTTCTGTACCTGGACTAGTGACACTCACACTTCCAGCAGGTCCTGCGAGATGACTCGTTGAAGCTGGTATAGGTGGTGGCATGGGAACTGCATAAGTGGCTCCCGTTTGCGGGTCGATGGCTTGTGTACCTGGCGGAGGAGGAGTTGGATATTCCGATGGTACGATATGTGCAGTGGATGGACGTAGTGTCGAAAGTGAATGGTCATGATCTAGAGCAGCCTGCTGGGCAGCTTCTATCTGCTCATTTCGGCGCCATCTGTCATCTGGCCCTAGGCCTTCACCACCACTGCTACTGAGGCTGGAGTTTCGTCTTCGGCGAGAGGCGCGCCTCTCTTGGCGACGTGCTGCTCGTTGTGCTGCTGCCTCTTCTTCAGTAAGTCGTCTTAGTGTTACTTTCCGTCCGTTGTCTTGTGTCTTAACATGTATGCTGACAGGTGGTGATTCTAGCGAGTCAGTGTGGACATCCTCTTGTCTTCTTCGTCTCGGATCTAATGTAGCAGCTGCTAATGTGGCACCTCCCGCGACTGCTGCTGTTTCTGCACCAGGATGATGACGATGCCGTTGACGTCCAGAGGCTGTGGTGTAAAGCTCACTACCGGAAGATGCGATGTCAGTACCATGGGGTGGCGGCACAGGTGGAAGGTCGGACACCATAGCGGACGGCGGGCCAGGCGGTGCAATGGGAGGGTCTGCACCGACAGGTCGTATCCTGCTTCGATCTGACAATGCACTTGCTGCAGCAGCACCAGCAGTACCGGTGATAGGCACACCTGAGCTCATACCACTCATGCCAGGTCGTTGCACAGAGCCTTCGATCAAGCTGGATACATCTGATGCTGTCTGACTTGCGAGCCTATTGTGTCTTGGTCTACGAGGAGGTGTAGTACCATCCCCAGCGTATTTGTGTTTTGAGTTCATGCGTGCAACCTTCTCCTCTTCAATACGTTGATGTCTTAGATCATCTGCGCGTTCTTCCTCCTTCTTTTGACGTCTTCCCTTGAAAAGCTGTCTCACAGCATACATTGCGCCTCCAGCGGCAACAGCCTGCTTGAATGTTTGATGCCGACCTTGACGTGACGGCGAACTTGACATGTAGTCATAGTACGAGTATTCATCTGACGGTCGGCCAGAGCCTGGAGTCATAGGAGGCTGCGCTAATGGGTGAGCTGGTCTTGCGCCACTCACTGCTGCCATGCCTGTCAGTCCCCCACCTGGTGGGGTTACTGGTCGTGGAGGCCGTCCCTCCTCCAGACGTGAAATTGAATCGGACATGATCGAGGTATGACCACCAAGTGGCGGTCGATAGGGTTCGATCTCTGATTCGTCGTCTCTCCCAGCTTTGCGCCGACCGAACAAGGACTTTGCAGCTGCTAGGCCTCCTCCAATCGCACCTACCTGGAGTATGCGCTGTCCAAATCCTGCTCGATTTTGAGGTCTGCCTGGCTTCTCGTTCAGGTAAGAGGAAGAGGAAGATCTGCTTGTGTAAGTCAAATCACTCTCCGAATATCGTCTTTTAGGTTTCGAGCGACGGTTGAATAATGCGGCAAGACCAGCTCCTGCAGCTCCAGCAGTAGCCAGCTTTCCAAAGCCAGTATGCTTGCTGGGACGTTGTTGAGTGATAACCTCTTCGCTGTAGTGACTGCGGCCTGGTGCAATCTGAGCTTTTCTCTTCTCGTGGCGCCATTGTAAGATAAAGTACAGTAGCACCAGTAGGAAGACCCAGAAAGCATATAGAATAAACAGAAATAAAGGAGAACCGTACAAAGTCAGGCCCAGCGCGACCTGTACAATGCCCAAAAGTGCAATAGCTCTTCCCAACCAATGATGTAACATTGCTTTTAATGGCACATAGATCTTCCTAGGTCGTCCTCTGTCGATTCTGCGCAGGACAACTCCAAAGATGAACTGCACCCAGAGCAGGACGTAGATAGCGACACCAATGCCATGATGTGGGTTTGTCAGGCTTCTCTGGCGCCCAACCTGGAACCATCCTAGAATCAACACAGCTGTTGCTAGAAACAGTGCTAGAATCTGTAGCCATACATGTAACTGGGCACCTCGACGAGGGTTCGCTCGGTAGATATTGAAGCGCATGAAGAAGATTGCGGCGGGGATCACAAGGAGGAACGTTATGGCTGCGAGAATGCCATGCGCTTTGACTAGGCCGTGGTAACCTTCCATGGTCAAGAAACGATTTCCCATCCCTATTGCATCGGAGTCAGTTCTGATTGTTCTACAGTTGTCGCCTCTTCTCACCATTATATCTCATCGTCGCAAAGTTGAAACCAACCAGATTGGCAAGGAGAAAGCTGTCTCTTCCCGCATCCCATGTTCCATCGCCAACGTGCATGGTGTCTGAATTGTAGGTACTGCTGCCCGGAGGCGCCAGTTGGCGAGGTTCAAGTGCCATGGTAGGCAGTCCTGGAGGCTGACCTCCTACTATTCCTACTGTGACACCATGCGACGTCGCTTTGAGTATCCGATCGACTTTATCTCAGAGCCAGGAAGTCCGACCGTCGCACGTGGTTCTTGACGCTTGGATCACGGACTCGAATTCGATTTGGTTGTTTACAATGCGGGGATGATCGGCGGTTTCGTTGTTCTGGATGAGACCACAGCTAAACAGATGTGACTTAATCTGCATAAAGCGGCGGTATCAATACTCTTAGACAAGGCCTGCGGAACTGGCGAATACAGTCAATGAATCGATGACAATGTCTTTCAGTTGTGAAGCTGCGGAAGTGGGACTGCCTGCCATACTTCAAGTCCTAATCCTCGTCGGATTCGTTAGTGTCTGGATCGTTGCTGCCACGACAACACAGGAAAGAGCTCCACTTCTGGGCCGACATCGTGCCCGCCCACCAATTGGGTCGCTCCTTCCGCGGAGGACGTTTTCTACATTTCGAGCTAGTGTCAAGTCGATCGAGTTGCCGGATTGAAGTTGTTCGCTGTGGGTTTGTACGGTCAGGTTGTCGATCAACCACTACCAAGAACCACCAATAGTCGTGCTTGCCGACTGTGGTTTGTGTTTGCTGCTCCCACACCCTACGGAAAATTTGATCCATCTATATCATGGGTGAAGGGTTCGCACGGTTCGTTCATATATTGTCGAGGTAAATGTCTCTGTCCTAGTCTTCTCACCTGCCTTACTGACTTATATATCAGCTTGCTAGGATGGACATAGTAAGCTGATTTAAAATGGGATCTACACTTCCTGGCTAAAAAGTTTTCAGCGTCCTGTGCTGGTCCGCCTCCTTCTACCCTCAACCAATACTCAATTACCGGCGCAAATCTACACATGGACTGACCGTTGACTTCCCTGCGCTGAATGTGCTGGGATTCGTGTCTTATACCATATCAACTTCATGCTTTCTCTACTCGCCCACGATCCGCCAGCAATATGCTTTGCGCCATCCTGATGCCCCACAGCCAACAGTGCGCTTCAATGACTTTGCATTCGCAGCGCACGCACTGGTTCTTGTGATTTTGACTTACTCGCAGCTCTGGGGAAGGATCTGGGGCTTCGACACACCTAGAAATCAGAAGATGAATCTTATAACGAGAGCGCTCATTCTCGGCAGTGTAGCAGTCGTTTTTCTTGCTGTGCTGATGGCTTGGAAGAACACGACCACTGGCACACCGAACGAGGATAACGATTTGTGGACTTGGCTTGATGTGGTAGGCTCACCACTAGTCCAGATATATCTTTCCCACTAACCACTTGTAAGGTCTACATTTTCGGACACATTAAACTCGTCGCGACGTTCCTAAAATACCTGCCGCAAGCACATCACAACTACGTCCACAAGTCTACGCGCGGTTGGTCCATCCATCAAGTTCTCCTTGATTTCGCTGGCGGATTTTTGTCTTTAGGCCAGCTCTTTATCGATGCCAGCTTTCAAGGTGATTGGAGTGGTATTCTGGGAAATCCGGCCAAACTTGGGCTGAGTTGTTTCAGCGTCGGTTTTGATGTGATATTCATCCTACAGCATTTTGTGTTGTACAGGAGAACGAAGGAAAAGGCCGATGATGAATCTAGCGAGGAGAATGCAAGGCAACCACTGTTGGAGGACGATAGACCGTGATTCGATTGTACCAAAGGTCGAGCCTATCGTCTTCCCAATCCAATTGGTGTATATAACATTTTTCCTTCTTTCATTTTTCGCAGATCCTTTCCCGCTGTCTCTTTCTCCTCTCGCGATTTGTTTCCCGCATAGACATCATGCCCACACAACCTAATCCAGTCTTAGTTCTGCGGCACGGCTTCCTACTAACCCGAAGACGTAACTTGACTTTCTCCATCCGGTAAACCGTTCACGATGTTCATGGACCAAGGAGAGCTCAGGCAGTGTCACAGGACTCATTGGATAGGCGCTCATTGGATGTGACTTAAGCTAGCAAAACGTGGCGGACTTGAGACCAGGCTTAAGTCTTCTCAGTGTACCAAAGTACCGTACTAACTCACATTCTACTCACGCAATCAGCTAGCTTCTGAATTGCCCGTTCATGCAATAGGTACACAGTATATAGTTAGCTCTTCGATGCATATATATAGTCCTCTATCCAACCAAGCGCCACGCTAAGAATACCTTCAAACATGCTTCCTACCAAGTGTAGAGGTATATTGTATCAAATCAGATAGACAAAGAGCGATACTGACTCTTCTGCCATACCTTTAATTTCCAGTCTCCAAACAGCCTTGTCATCATGGTCTGCTTCTATTTTTACTGGCGGCCCTTCCGACCAAAGCCTTCGTCTCTTCCGTCAAATTTAGCCCGTCCTGATTGTGGCATAAGGCTGGTGGTGTTTGCGTTGTCGGTGGGCGTGGGTGATTTGCCTCGTCTGAAATAATTAGATGTCCTCTTTCGTGATTTCCTTCTCCGTAGGTTGAAGATCCTGCCAGCAACCGTCAGCTGATCGGTTGACAACCTACGCTGCAAAACTGTGCTCCAACGTCTGGACTGATAAACATATGGAGTTTCCAACAGGTCATTCGTGTCAAATTTTGCCTCGATGTTTTCCGCTTCCACTCTGCTCAAGGATTTGGCGATATTTGTTGCGACACGATCGTGGTTCGGCTTTGGGATAGAACACGATACGTCTACCCTGTTTGGCCTGGTAGGCACGTTAATAGTAAGACTGGTGTGTCGTTGTGATTTCCAGGAAGGATAACGTGGCGAGAACTGAGTAGAAGACGGGCCAATTACATGACCCTCACCAAAAAATTTTTCATTGTTAATTGGTCCGTTTGCAACCATTTCCGGCTTCTAGCCTGCTCGTCTCCTCACATCCTCCATCTCTTCGAGCATGACATCGTTGAAATCGTTCGAGTTATCAAGGTACAGGTGATGCCCTGCTTTTCGGACAATGACGACCCTGGAACTCCCTCGATCAGCACGCTTTTCCTCTTCTGTTGCGGTCGACAATGCTTGACGTCTGGCTTCATTCATGGATTTAACCGCGGCATGACCACCCTTGACGTCCATCCAGTCGTTCTCGCCATACATCAAGACGACAGGAAGACCGTTCTCTTTTTGACTATGTATTGGTGGGTTTGCTGTGGTTCTGCCAACAGCACTGTCAGAATTTGGTTGCTGTATGGATGAGGTCGAGGAGACCTTTGACGCTACAGACGCCGCTATGGCAGGAGAGACAGGTAAAGTCTGACGTCCTAGTCCTCCGACTCGACGAATGAGTGGTGATCGAGCGAATGCTCCTGGTGCAAGGATGTATGCTAGCGCATATTCGCCAGAACCTCGAAGTCGGAAGAGACTGTAAGAATAGTCATGCAGGGCTACTGCCTCCTCGGAAGGTAGGTGGGAGAATCGTCGCGATGTCCATCCACTGACTAGACGGGGACCGAGAGGGCCTGACCAGCGAACGAGAGAGAAGGGTGAAACGTTGGCATCCCAGAGATAAGTCAGCCACTTCGGCAGGGGCTTTCGAGGAGGTGGTTGGGCACTGGATTTGGTCTTTTTGTCATTTTCAGCTTTCGACCTAGCATTCAGAAAATTGTTGTTGTCCCCTTGTGTAGTCTCTGTCTGCTGATCCTGAGTAAATTCATTGGCCAGGCCAGATTCTTGTGGTTCAGGCATATCTGCTCTGACTGCATACGGATCCTCTGGTATGCCAACTGGTGATACCAGAATAAGCTTGTTTAAACGACCAGGATATTTCAGAGCATAGCATACAGACATATAGCCTCCCATGCTGTGCCCGACCAAGGTCATCTTGTCAATATTTCTCTTCTTGCGCCACTCCTCTAGAGAATCGATGAACCAATCTTCTGCCTCAATGATCTGTTCCTCGCGAGTTTTGGCACGTATCTTGAAGGGCGGCCTGGACGATCGACCCATGCCCAACATATCCAAAGCATACAACTTCCAGCCATGAGGGCGCGATAGTGCTTCGAAGTTCTTGTAGAAGAAACCTAAACCTGCACCATAGCCGTGAAGGATGACCATTGTCTGATCGGTCTGCTCTCCCGTCCGCTCGACCGAGAATTCATTCAGAGCGCGATCTTTGCCGGACAATTGAACCATTTTCGAGCGCCAGGTTCGAGGGCCGTAAGGATCGGTCATGGAATTCGTGGTAATTGGCCTGGCCAAGTCTTCGGAAGCTTCGCTTACGTTCATTGTACTCGGATTCTGGGATGGAGGCTCGGAAGCAGTCTGAGTATGTGTAGGAGGTGATTGTAGGTAGGGAATGTGCGAGAGCACTCTATGTTCGGCTTCAGCTGCTGGAGGGGCTGACCACCATTGGCTGAAGCCTTCCTTGTAGCTGAGGGGAAATGCTCCAGCGAAACGAGATTGGCTCTTGCTCTTGTCTGCTTCTTTGCTTCGTCGCGAGGCCAGTGGCGATTGTTGGCTTCGGCCGGCGACCTCACTGTCGCTTTCTGCCATGGCTGGTTGGCGTAGTGCCCGCAGTCGTGAAGGAGGTGGAGATTACGGTTCGAGTACGCCTTGAGGATATGCGACAGTTGTCTGAGGTCGCAATCTAGCGGATACTGACCTGGTCAGAGAAGAAGTGGTCTTGACCAGTCGTTTCAGAGCGATGGTGGCTAGGGTCATTCAGAGCAATGTAGCGAGAAAAGAGAAGCGCAAGTGTGGAGGTGATAAGACATGAGCAAAACTGATTTTGACACAACCTCGATCGAGAATGAAGTCTCTAAATCTATGGTACAGGTTAGGAAACAATGCGAAGGCTGCAGAATCAATGTCCCTGTCCTGTTGAGAACGTCTCGGTGAGAAGAGATCCCGAAAAGATCCTGGATGCGTCACTACACGGTGGCGGGTCAACTTTCCAGTATGGTAAGCCTAAACTCCGGCCGGCAACCTCGGCTATCTCCGTTGTCCAAGGGCCTGGCTCAGGTACCATCTACCGACCTAATTATTCCTTCCTTCTCACGCTTCGCAGTTTCTCTCTTGTGTGACCTTCTCCTAAGGACAAGCCACCTACGCTAACGATGTCGATCATGCATGAACTAGCAAGGAACGATAGGAACACGAACAAAGCACCAGTCTCGCTAGATTGTTCGGCCTGTGCCACGTCTGGACTCTTTGTTCAACCACTACAAGACTCACGCTAGCTGACTGTTCAAGCTAGACATGGAAGTAATGCTTCTGCAGGCATATTGTCACGTCCACAGTCGATAAAGTCGAGAGATTCAAGCCAAGGTGGGACACTCAAGATTTGTCGGAGTCATGCAGCTGTTTCCCTAACCAATCAACCACACCTTCGTCCGCCGGAATGACCAACAGGCGAGGATGAACAGGAAACGCGATCACATCAAAGGATGTGGAAGCAGTTGAAGCAAGCTGTAGCAAGGCCACTACGAGTTGAGTGATACTCACAGAGATTGAAAACGAACGATTCGTTGATTTTTTAATGAAGAAACACGCTATGACTTCGTCGCTGCTATTTCATGCATGAGAGCAGAGACTCTATGCGGGCCAGACGTGAACTTACCATTGTCCATCAATAAGTGGACAAGACTAAGTGGTTGTTCGTCAACGAAGAGAGTGTCATTCATCACGTGAGAAAAATCGTGTTGCCTTCTGGACAAAAAGTGAAGTTACTACACGTTTGATGCGTTGAGCCGCATGGCTCACTTCCCCGAAACCTTGACTCCTCGAGCTCGAACAAGCAAAGTGTTCGAGCCACTCTATTCAAATAGACACAGAACAACTTTTCGAATATGTCTCTACCAGAGAAAATGTATGGACCGAAATCAGGTGTATTTGATCCTTGCGACTTCCTCTTCTGGGTACTGGGACGATCCTCGAAGTTTGAGCTGATTGACTCTAACAAAGAAGACTATCATCCTCAAGAACCTTTCCCTTTTGGACATCAACGAGTACAGAGTGGCATACTACGAACACAAAGCTCGTCAAATCTTTCTCCTATTGCACACACTGATCGCAAATCTGATATACCTAACGACAAGGAGGAATTTTCTGCACACAGAGATGGTCCACATCGGCCCACGTCGGAAGATGACGACGCTAAGATGATCAATGCCGCGATCATAGAATTTGCTGTGGGTCTAATGGACGCAGCAAACACTTTAGCCATCTATAAGCGTCGGTCCTCGAGGAAAGCCGTGGCCTTCAGGCGAACCAAACGAGTCCTTGAGAACATAACACTTGCAGACTGTTTGACTTCGATGGCCGACCCACAAAGCATCTTCGAGAGACTAACACAGAAGGTTCCGCGGACAGCTCGAGTTTTCAGGTTTATGGACAGAATGAACATCGAGGCATTGAAACGACTTAGAAGCCAGTCAGCCAGAACCCTAGTCACTCGACGGCGGATGCCCTCGCGACAAAAGAAAGTTCAAGGTCGTAAGACTTTTGCGGCGGTCCAAAGACTAGAAGCATGCCGTAAAAATCTCTCCAGATCTGCCAAGCGTCACGTTGCTGAGATGACTGATTGTCCTCAACCATCAGAAGAGTATGATAAGGAGCCAACCCGTTCTAGCTCACCAGACGATTCTGATGATGAGTTTTTCGATTGCAGCACTACTCTGACTGATGAGCACAATCAAGTGTCACTGCATGTGCTACAGGAGAAGGTCAATTTACAGAAGAACATGCTGCAGCTGTCTATCACGATTATCAGAAATCAAGACGAATTGATTACTCTGCTCGACGGGAAAGTCGACTTGAAACAAAGACGAGTCGATCTACAACAGAGCACAATAAAAGTGCTACAGAGTTCTCTCACCAATCAAGATGTCAGCCTTCCTATTTCGTCGCAAAGAGCTGCGAAAGAGGCAAAGGTGGAGCTGTTGGAGCGGCCGCAACAAACGGTTTTTCAGAGAACTGCGACTACGGCACAAGACTCTCTAGAGGCTAAAAACGACTCAGACAGTTAAAAGAGCTAGAGGAGCTTTCAGCTCTGATAGACGAACAAAGCGAGCTGCTAGAAAATCTTCGACTGGCCGCCGCAGCGAATACAGAAGAACTGTACGAAACTACGGGACTTGGAAAAAAGCAAGACGGGGTCTCCGAACTGCAGGAGCCTGCGGATCGTGCAGAAGACTTCCAAGATCTTCACGCCCTTGCTCATGCGCACATTGAGCTACGTCAGGATCTTCAAGAGTCAGATGCGAGGATCTTGCATCGCCAGAAGGAGATGATTGCCTCGATTCAAAGACTGCTTAACGAGTAGTGCTGATTGACTAAGTCAATAGTGCGGTAAGTATTAGCAAAGTACACATACATTCGAGATATCAGGAATTTTCTATGTTTGCTTGATTTTTCCCATCGATTGAAATCACTGGAACGTCGATCGTATGACTCATTCTATGCCTATCACTTCCAAAACCTCTATCTATGTTAAGTCTCTAAAATTGAGTGAGACGATTGTCACAGTTCCGTCAAGATACTATCGACTTTTTTCTGCGGTAGGCAGCCGAAGAGCTCCAAGTCTGTGGACATGAGTCACCGCTGGCCGCGCCAGAAATCCATGTTCCAGCGGCAATGGTTCGAGTCCAACTGTCTTAGCGGTTATACCACGATGTTGCTATGTTTTTCCAACTTGAGTCATTTCCATCACATTTCCAGTCAAAGATAGAGACTGAGGAGGCTGGTGCACCCAGCAGATTTTCCGACATCGAACGATCAACACTCTATCATTAGACTTACTGCTGCATATGATACAGGTAAAGTGGTCGATTCTTTACTATCCTCCATCGACATTACTAAGAGCGTACTTGTGTATTTTAAACGCGCCACCAATAGCAGCGGTATCTGTGTGATAGTAGCCACACACTACAGACGGCTCTGAAAGACATAGACAAGTGTCAAGTCAAATTTCAAAGTCGCCGGTAAGCACCTCCAATGGGCGAACAATTGTGCCAGAAAACTCCTATAACATTGTTGGGGGTGCGCTGTGGCAGTTTTGATACAATTCAAGTGCCAGCTGGACCTTTTGACCTTGACGCCTGAAATACTAGCCTTGAGCTTGAGCTTCTATTCGCAAACACATAGTCATACCTATGGTTGTCATCTTCGATGTTTTCCCGGAACCATTTTCATTGACCCGAGTTCTGCGGCATGAATTGCATCCACTATTTGTCTGCTCTTCCACTCAATCATCTCACCATTGATCGTCGAAGGTTCTGAGCTTGAAAAACTGACGTTCAGGCTTCTCGTGTTTGTTTGGAACTCCAGCTGTTCTTGCGATACGTAAGGATCGCCCATATTTGTTCATGATCTCTCGGGAGTGAAAAGACCACCACTAGCACATACTATCAGCCTTGGTGGAGATTCGGTCTCCGATATCACTCACCTGCCAACTGCAATCTTGTCCACCAAATGCCTCAATGAGAGCTTTACCGCCGGGATGCTTTCCCTTGAATTCTGTACAGTCCATAACGATGTTGTCAACCACGATCCCTGGATATGATCAGTCTGTATGGATTCAACCCAAGTGCTAGAGCTGGACGAACAAAGTTTTCTTTCTGCTTGACCGTCCCTCACAGAAACGTCGTCAGCAGACACGAAGGGCAGCTTAGAGTCTGGAACTCGTGGCTGCATTGCATGTTCAACTTTATCAACGACTTCGATATGCTCGACTGCGGTTTTGTTAACGGTGGCCGTCTGTGAACATGACAATGAGGCTACTGCTGGAGTGTGTTTAGCTGAGATCTCGCGCTCGGTTTCATCCCTATGGCTTGACAAAACGACAGATGATTTGGCATTAGATACTGCACCCCTTCTATGATGTTGAGGAAACGATCTTTGTAATGAGATCTTGCCCATCTTAGAAGGAACACCACTTTCAGATCAGCATCCAAACAGCTCAAAGTCTTAGTACACAATACGCGTGTACTGGGACGTTCCCCTAATCGCCTCTACGGGTAAATTTGCTGGTATAGCATGGTAGCTGAAAGGTTCTGCGTTGGCTGAAGCGGGTACGGAAAAAACGGCTCATTCTACTGGCATTGCGCGGGGATTCAACGATGATCAGCTTGGAGTCGACTCCGGAAGGAAGAACCCTCCAATTCCGCCAATCACTCTCACGCGATTATTCCGCCCTCCGCACCCCATGGGGTAGCTTTCTCGCCGAGATCGTACATACCTGTACTTATTGCCTCTGTAGCTTTCACGATCACAAGGTTTAAGCCTACCTCGTTTGCTGGTAGGTGCAACCGGAAGAAACCATCATGGCTCCGAGTGTATTGGATGCGACTGGACATATGCTGAATGGGTTCGGCGACCACAAGATTGATACCATGAATCCACACGACTTGGTGTACTTCGACAAAAGATTAACACCAAAGAAGTACGAGATCAAGGGCACCAAACCAGACTCCAAGATATTGTTTAGCGATGTGAACATAATTGATAGCACTGGGGCTGATCCGTTTCGTGGCGATGTCTACATCGAGGGTGAGCTCGTCAGTAAAGCCATGGAGCTGAAGAATCTAACGGAAGCCAGGCGAGCGCATCAAGGCTGTCGGCGAAATATCAAACAAACAGTCTCTATTGACAGATCCAAAAGTAAGAAAAATTGAAGGACGAGGACGTACCTTGATGAGCGGTCTTGGTGATGCTCACGTACACTTTTCTTGGAATGAAGGAGATCTAGGTAAACTCGGAGAGCTTGGTGTCGAGGAGCACACTCTTGTCTCAGCAAGATCAGCACAAACTTATCTTGATAGCGGTTACACTATGGCGTTTGGTGCTGCCTCGGCCAAAGAACGCCTTGATGTGGTCATTCGAGATGCAATCAACGATGGCAAACTGCCAGGCCCTCGATACCTTGCTAATGGCAAGGAAATGGCAGTTCCTGACGGTGAACTCGTCCCAGGCATCACTGCGTTTGCATCTGGCCCACTGGAAATGCGCGAGACGATTAGACATCATGTCAAGCTCGGTGTGGACACGATTAAGTTGAGCATGTCCGGTGAACAGATTACAGAGACCAGAGACGCCCAAGACTGCTACTACTCACACGAAGAGACTGCAGCTTGTGTCGATGAAGCTCATCGTCTAGGAGTACGTTTGTGTGCTCATGCTCGAGCTCGAGACAGCGTCAAACAGTGTATTCAACACGGTGTTGACATTATCTATCACGCTTCATGGATCGACGAAGAAGGAATGCAGATGCTCGACGAAAACAAGACTAAGCACATAGTCGCTCCGGGCATCAACTGGCTCATCGCCACGATATATGAGGCGAGCGCTTTTGGATATGCTCAGTCGAAGGCAGAGGAAGTTGGATACAAGAAAGAGCTTGATGCGGCCATCAAGGGGCTCAAGGAAATGCACCGAAGGTGAGTAGCAAACATATTTGCGCTCAATCTCTACTTACACGATTAGGGGCATCACCGTCCTACCTGGAGGTGACTATGGCTTTGCATGGACACCGCATGGAACATACGCTCGGGATCTGGAGCACTTCGTGAAACTCCTTGATTTTACGCCCATGGAGACGCTAGTTGCGTCGACTGCAGGTGTAGCGAAACTGTTCATGCGCGAAGACGAGCTTGGTAAGATCAAGCCAGGTTACTATGCTGATTGCATACTTGTGGATGGAGACCCTATCAAGGACATCACTGTGCTTCAAGTAAGTCCTTGCTGTGCTTTTTGAACTCTTTGGTTGACGTTTTTAGGATCACGACAAACTCAACGTCATCATGATCAACGGCCGAATTCACAAAGCAAACTACAAGGAATTCATTCAAGTTGAAGTGCCCAAGGCAGACCTTGTACCAGAAGTCCAATCATTGACGAATTACGTAGCATATGCTCTGGATGATGGCACTCACAGGACCAGGATAGGCCATCTTGATATCAAAGCTGGCACCATCACGCCCCTCTCATTTCCTAGTGGCACTCCTTTTGAGAACCTCTACCAAGCAATCGAGGTAGGCTCGGACCAGATAGTGCCTGGTGACGATCCTTTCCCGTTGACTGACGATATCAATATTCTTCCTCCCATCTCTGGCAGGGACATACTTGCAGTGGGTAAGAACTACGCCGAACATGCGGAAGAATTCCATGCTTCGGGATATGATAGTAGCGACAAAGTCTCCATACCTTCCCACCCTGTGATTTTCACGAAGCGAGCAACTTCGATTATCGCGAATGAGGAAGAGATTCTGCTTCACGAGGGTTTCACCGAAACACTGGACTACGAAGGTGAGATTGGTGTGATCATCGGGAAAAGCGGGTTCCAAATTTCAGAGGCAGAAGCTTCACAGTACATTTGGGGATACACGATCATCAACGTAAGTATTTTTCCTCCTCGAGAACGCTATGAGTCGGCTCGTGCTGCTGTGATATTTCAACGAATGAGAGAAACTGACTTTTACAGGATGTGACAGCACGAGAGAAGCAAAGAGATCACAAGCAGTTTTTTATCGGTAAATCTGCAGACTCTTATTGCCCCATGGGTCCGATAGCGGTGCCAGCGCACGCTCTACCTGAAATTCTGACAGTCACAACTAAAGTTAACGGAGAGAAGAGACAGGAGTCCACGATCGATAAGCTGATTTTTTCTATACCCAAACTCATCGAGACCCTATCACAATCGCAAACACTAAGACCCGGCGATGTTATCGCCACTGGCACGCCTATGGGAGTCGGATTTGGTCTCAAACCTCCAACGTTCCTCAAACCAGGAGACATGGTTGAGATCTCTGTAACAGGACTAGGTACGTTGCGCAATAAAGTCTCGGAGGCCAAAGCTTCGAATTACGTTGCGGAAAGAGTAAAGAACGAGACTAGCGTACCTGTCAACAACCTATCAATCACATCTGGAGGACTTGGTCTCACGACACTACCACAAAGTGGCAAGAGACTTGACGTGCAGAGGATAGGATCCGGGCTAAAACTGCTGGTTTTCATGCATGGACTTGGTGGCAATAAATCCTTCTTCAGTCCTCTACTAGCTCAGCTAGGCCTCAACGATCCAGAACACAAGCAGTGCACGAGTCTGCTTTACGACTTCGAAGGTCATGGCCTATCACCTACAAGCGCGCGCAGCACGATCACAGTCTCAAGCTTAGCAGATGACCTATACGAGCTTCTCAAGCTGGAAGCTCTAGCATTACCAACCAACAACCAAGTCACGCTCATCGCACACTCGATGGCATGTCTCGTCGCCGAACTCTTCGCATCAAGACATCCAGACCTAGCTCACCAACTCATCCTGATCGGTCCTCCACCATGTCCACTACCTCAAGCTGGCTACGAAGCAAGCACTCAACGTGCTGCCAAAGTACGAGCAGAAGGGATGCGCAATGTTGCGGTCGCAGTATCCACAGCTGGCACATCCGCAAAGACCAGAAAAGAACGACCTGTAGCGTTCACAGCGGTGCAAATGAGTCTCATGAGTCAGGATCCCGAAGGCTACGCGAAGGGTTGCACCGCGCTTGCAAGTGCGAGAGACTCAACAATTGACCTGACGACGCTGGGCAGCGAGGTTCTTATCATTGCAGGTGAGGAGGACAAGGTCAGTCCGAAGTCGTGGGCGGAGAAACTCAACAATATGTTGGCAAAGAGTCGGCTCGAGATTTTGCCCGATGTTGGCCATTGGCATTGTTTCGAGGATGTTGAAGGAGTTGCGAACGCGATCCGAGGTGTTCTATTATAAGCACAGAACCAAAAAATATCTAGCAAGACTGAATACAACGTGAGAATTTGCTGGCGGTAGTACTGTGGCATCAACAACTTCGACAGCTTACCAGTGAACCAGAAATCCTGAACGACATAACCACCCTGATGTGGTCGAGATTTCGCGAAGATCTTGTAGTAGTCCCCACATGCACGCAAAACACAGCGCGTCGAGGAGTTCACCATTTCCTGGCACGAAAGCGTGGTCACTAAACATGCCAAATTCAATAGGTTCGGCAGATGAGTGGGATGGCGGAAGTGTCCTATACTAGGAGTAGTCGTGATGCAGGTTTCTCAGGTCGACCTAGCTGATCACTAGGGTGGAACATGGCAGCACGTCGACGAGCGCAAGTTTGAGTGCCCTGAAAGTATTGACAGGGCTTCCTCGTGAGCAGATGATGTGGTGTTGCTGCAGCCGAGTGCTGTGAAGTCCAAGTAGTCTTTGTCGAGATAACGTCAACCCGGAGGTAGCACGTGATCTGATTCATTTTAAGCCGTACACCAGTAGGGGACACGATTCATTCGAGTTGCCTGAGGCATCAGCCCCAGTTCAAAGAGCTCGATTGGTCCGACATCTCTTCTTTCGAGATTTGATGCCTCAAGCAACTTCAATGCATTGTGTCCCTTACTGGTGGTACTAGACCCAGTATCGTAGTCAGATTCATGCAACCTAATAAATATTGGAGAATACAGCTAGAAATGTATGACCAGAGACAGAGCGATACATGACCTGAAACAAGTAACGTAGTACACGTGAGTCTACTTGCTTGATTGCACGTCATTTCATTAATGCTCGAAAATAAATGCTAAGGATAGAATAACCTCCTAAGACTTTGAGCAAGAGCCACTACGGTTCTGCTGAATCAGTAACAGGAGCGAGCAACGTAAACCAGCAAAGCAACGCCGTGTCTATGAATGCATGTAAGACTCGATAAAGTGTAGGTCGAAGGAGTCCGAGGGCAATTTTTTGCACGTGCGAACCGATAGTGTAACTCCGGAATATAACACTTCGTCGTGTTCGATATCTTACCGTGGCCTCTTCTGTGTAACATCATATCTGCTGGTCACAGCTCGAGTGTAGTTATTGTTCGTGGTTTCCAAACGCACGTCGATAATTTTCTTCGACGACTGAAAAGTGGCAATTTCCAGATCCAGCTGAACTGGTCCGATATTGGGCGCTTAACACAGGACTACGGATCTGCCGTTATGGCGTGAGCTTGAAATGACGACACATGCCCACAATGACCGGTGCCTGGGTAGGTTCAAGCTCAATCCCAGAAGCTGGAAGTGGTCCTCATCTTGTGGTCTTCTAATCTGGATTCGAGAGGCTTTATTAAGGTACTTGGCTCTGGTGCGTCAAATCCTGTCGTACTTGCAAGCAGCTACACCGTACTCCGCCACACCACACAACATATGACTCTGGTTCGTCGGTTTCATTCGTCATGTGATTCGTCTCTGTTCTGTTTCTCCATCAAAAGGCCCCGCACAACCTTCACATCGACAGGCTTCCGTAAATAGAGATCAAACCCAGAGTTTTCGACCTCGTCTTGTGCTTTTCCACTGGCCAGTCCTGTGATAGCAGCAATATAACTCTTTTCTTTCTTAGTTTTCAGGTTTTGTTCCCGCTCGTATCTCCTGATCTCGCGGGTAGCCTGGAAGCCATCCATAACAGGCATTGAAAGGTCCATGAGGATCAGTGCGATCTTTCTACCTGCCCTGTGCAGTGTTATGTATTTGTCTAAGGCTTCTTTACCGTTAGCGGCAGTCTCGTATTCAGTGTCGGTAAGCTTGAGACGTTTCACACAAGCCACCAGAATACGAAGGTTTATATCGTTATCGTCAACGAGCAGTATAACATTCTTTTTCGATGGTATAGCTAGATTTTCAGTAGTTGTATCTTTCTGGGTAACGTGGGGGGTCGAAGAAACTTCAGTATTAGCTGCGGCACTTGAGCTTCTTGACAGAGCCGAAGATGGACGGCGATCTGACTCAGTAGAATCGTATGTGACAGATTGAGCTTGGTCTTCTGGCAGCTTCGACGGAGGGAGCGTTTGTCTAGAGCTTGACCGATTCGAGTTTGATGCCAAGGGTTCTGTTACTAGATGTCGTAGTAGACTTGCGAGTCTGCCAGGCCCGATCGGTGGTAAAGCAGACACAAATCTAGCATTCTGGACTTTGTCTTCAAGGCCTCTTCCATCAATACCGACTACCAATAGGTTCTTGCCAGCATGATCGTATTTGCTCAGGTTATTCTCCAGCGTACGCTCCTCCACCACGCAAATATCACAATCACTCTCGTCAGTCTGCTGCAATTCAAACCATTCAGTCAAGAGGCTAGCGAACGACGTTCGGACCGATAGCAACGCCTTCGCGCGAGGATCTAGGATTCCAGTCGGTTGCTCGTCTATGGGCGGCAAGTCATTGAAGCCTGCGAACGCAAACGTTCGACCTCGCACAAGTTGCACAGTCTCTGCTCTAAGAGCTTCGGAAGCCGTATACGACGTCGATTCGGAATCGTTCTCGGTAGCTGTAAGAGGTATAGAAACTATGATTTCAGTGCCAATTCCAACTTCGCTGTTAACCTCCATGGTTCCCTTGAGTGACGACACGATTTGATGTACCATGCTGAGTCCGAGGCCAGTGCCCTGGGAGAGGTTGTTTTCTTGGGCAAAGGGTGTGTACAACCGATGTCGTAGATAAGATTCAGAGATACCTTGTCCCGTATCGGTGATTTTGAGATCAGCATAAAACTTTCCGGGCTTGCGAGGCCTTTCACTCACGCTGAAAGCAATATCAATATGACCCGCTTGAGTATACTTCAACGAATTTCCGACAAGGTTCATTATAATGCGTCTCCACGCGCCAACTTCGGTATCGAAGAGCCACGTTTTACTAGGCTCGATGTGCAAGATTGTCGGAACGGTCAGCTTTAACGTGTTGCCTTGAACACCGGAAGGAGAGGGCATGCCTGATGGAGACCACCGTTTAGGCTGTAGCATCTGATTGCTACCGGCGCCCATGCTCGCAGTCGTGTCTTCGACGATCGACAATAGATTAACTTCTGTAACAAGACTATGTGTCTCTGGTTTTGTGCCTCTATTGCCCGTCCTGGCTTTTGTGTCGTCTCGTTTGACTTTACTTTTTGTGAAACGATTGATCTTTGCATGATCCAATAGATGGTCCATGACATCTAGCAGGCTACGTCCACAACTGTCAATCATAGTGATGAACTCTTTTTGCTTTGGATAAATTTCGGCTTCGGAGAGGAGTTGTGTACAGGCTAGGATGCCATGCAACGGCGATCGGAGTTCGTGGCTGATGGAGGAGATAAAGTCCGACTTTGCCTTGTCGACCGCTAGTGCTTCGAGTCGCATGACTTCACACATAATACTGTTGGCAAAGCCTGAAACATAGACCAGCTCATGTGGTTGAAGTGCTCGGTGAGCGTCACAGGTAAAACCAAGAAAGGCGGCATATGTCTGCTGTTGCTCATTGTCGTAGAGTGGACAGAAGACGAGACTTCGTGCGGCGGGGAACATTTCAAAGAGTGTACTTGACGCCTTGCTGCTTCTAGATTTGAGTTTCGACTTTGTGTTTCGTGGCCTGTTGTCGGGTTCGTCACCAGAAGAGACACATCCATACTGATCAAAGTGGAAGATGTGACCCTCGGGATACTTTGTGGAGAGTACAGATAAAAGCTCCGCAGTGATGGTAAGGTAGGGTATGGTGGTAGCGGTGCCTGCAAGGCTAGAATTGGTGCGAGTGGCGAAGCCAAGACGATGACACAAGACACCACTAGATTGTGAGGACGAGCTCCTGGATCCTTGCGGACTACCATCAGACAGCTCGTCAGTCTGAGTCTCTGACTCGCTTGGGGTAGTGGATTCGTGTTTGGTACCCTTTACTCTTTTCGGCATGATGCCTCTAGCTTTACCACTCCTAAACCTTTCGTTCTGTGGTACTTCCAGGAAGCATGTTGCGTCTAGATCCATGCCTTCGCGCAGCAGATTGCTCGCTCGGGAGAAGGTCTGTCGTATTTTGAGAGTGGCTGACGTGGCTGCTTCGGCACGGTCACGGGAAGGCTGTTCATCCATAGGATCAAAGCCAACCTCGACATCGGCATCGGTTCGGTGAGGGAACAACGACTCAGTCGGCGCGAGTGGGTCGACTGAGCTCATCGGTGTAGTGGCGGAATTTCGAGTACCGCTTCGGTGTTGAAGCGTGTACAGAGGATTGGAAGATTTGACAGTGCCTGAGGTGGCTCTCGAGGAAATGGCAGGAACGGTGGGAGAGGCTGGCCCCTGTTCGGTGGAGTCACTGAGTTGCAGGGATTTCAGCGACGGCTCTGTTGGCACAATGCTCGGAATGTTGTCTCTTTCGTTGGATTCCATGGACCAATCAGACATGCTTTCTTGACCACGAATGAAGTGAGACAGGCCCTCGAGCAAGCGTTCTGCACGTCTGTGATCTTCTCTTATCCTAGAAGAACCAAGGTGACTCACGACGACATTTGCGACCTCTTGCAGTTTCTTGATGTCTTTCGGGGTTGTGGGACGTGTTTTAGGGTCAACGACGCAGATGGAACCTATCACAAAGCCGGTTGGAGAGAGCAGCGGAACTTCGAGATAGTATCGCAGGAGAGGAGGAAGGGCAGCCAGAACAGGAGAGTTCTTTGTCACGCCCTCCTGAAGGAGATCTTCAATGAGGACATGGCTTCTCTGTGCCACATTGTTGGGTTCGGTAAACTCGATCTTCTCCGTGCCCGTAAAGGCAGCTATGGTTCGTGGACAGACTCCAGCGTCGAGAGGAAGAGGAGCGACACCAACGACCAGTTGATCGTCGACATCGTGGTCATCGGAGTCGAAGAGAGAGATGGAAGAGGTAGCTTCAGCTATGATGTACTGGTACCTGTCGTCGATCATCGAGATGTATGAGCGTTGACATTTAAGCTTGAGGGCAGCGAGCTGGGCGAAAGAGGTGAGGGCGCCGTCCGTGGACAGGCAAGGGGTTGATATGCCTGCTGCCGCCGATCGGGACACATGGTCGCGAGAGAAAACAGTGCCATCGCTGTTGTCTTGTCGCTGTGGCAGAGCGCAGTAATACCTTGACAGATTACGAACACGCAGTCGTTCCTGGATGCTCTGAGACGTGGCAGCAGCCGCCATTCAGACGGGTGGCAGCAGAGGGCTGGAACACGCTATCGATCACGCCACAGACGAGGAAGACGACAGGATGCGATTTCCGAGCCCATGGCCTCGGAACGTGAACGCAGCCTCAACAACAGAGGAAGAGTGGCAAATGCCGAGAAAGTACTTGTGCAGAAGATAGGTGTGGCCCGCTCGGACAATCGAGAATCTGGCTCTCGAGATGGAGTTCAAAGCTCCATGCAGGGAACGATTCACGCCACCAATCAAATACCGATTTAAGTAAAGTGATTGTCCAAAAGCCTAGTCACGTGGGCTCACAGATCGAATCTAGATTTTCTCTGTACCTTTTTAGTAGCCGGCATGCATACGACAATGCTCAGTCCAGCTGCGGATATCTGTTTCTCTCGTATTGGTGTCGAGAAAGCTACAACGTCGGCTACACTTGTCCGCACTGCTAGCCCCTTGGAGATTAGCACCATCGATGGGCCCAAACCTAGTACGTTATTCACCAAATTTTCCTGTGGACACAATCTGTAGATAACCTTGACACAAGGAAGCAGACCGAGCTTGGCCGGTTGATTCAGACGCTCCTCGGCAATCGTGCTTGAAAGCTCGCATTGAGTGTCTCAGGCCGACGGCTTGTTTCACTCAAGGTGTAGCACGTCGCGTCTTACGAATGAATGAGTCAGTAGTTGTCCCAGTGTCCTCAGACGACTGGGCTGCTCTCTTGCCAGACACAGATCATGCACGTCTCTTTAGGTCGACTAACTGGAGTGCGACAGACCTGGGCCCTCTGAGCATATGGCCTTTCGAGCTGCGTCTATACACGATCCAAGCCTTTGGCGACGTGAATCCTGTGAATATTTGGTGGTACTGCCGCCTCACATCGTTCTTCCTGTACACATGTTGACTTATTGGAAGGGGTCCCGGCTTGACGGCTATCTACAATGATGCCTACGTTCCCTTCACGGGGGACAGGCACCCAGCATCTCTGGGTGCCAACTTCAACAACATCTTCGCCGAGGTTGCCCATCTCATCCAGCCACTATTCGATCAGGCTCGTGCGACCAGGAAAGCCACTATCTTGGCCGAGATGCCCTTGACCCTCAGACGAACTCTTGTCAACGAAGAGACCTGGTTCGATGCAACCTTGGTGCCCGTTGTATCGCACGATGGTCTAGTAGCCGGTATCTACAACACTGCCCACGAAAAGACACGTCAGAAACTAACTGACCGTCGGTCGCATATGTTGAACCAGATCTCAACGCCATCCACCCACTTTACGAGTACGACCGTCTACACACATATTGCTGACTGCCTTGCGACCAACAATCACGACATTCCCTTCGCCTTGCTCTATGCTGTCCAGACCGAGTCCGCCGATGGCAACCATGAATTGGAGTTACGTGCTTCAGTTGGTCTGTCACTGACACATCCCACCAAAGTAGATGACGGCGATGCTATGCTGCCCTTTCTTCGGTCTGTCGAGCAGAAACCTATGACCGCATCCTTTTACGATGACTTTGGTGGCATCGACTGGGGAAGTGTGGAGTGGAGAGGACATCAGGAGCCGCCCCAAGTCTTCAGTGTAATTCCAATCACGGGCGCTGAGAGGCCTCATGGATATATTGTTGTTGGTAGCAATCCTCATCGGCCCATTGACGACGACTATACCAATTTCGTCTCCGACTTACAGAGGCACATCACCACGGCCATCGTCGCCAGCATCAGCGTCGAGGAATCATTAATACGAAATGCCCGCTTGGAAGCTCAACTCGCCGAACGTGAGCGTCAAGTGAGGTACATGGCTCAGCATGCCGACATATGCATGATGCAACTTGGTCCAAACGGCACTCTTGCATGGGCAAATGAGCGCTACCATACCGTGGTGAGCCCAGGAAAGGAGAACATGCCCAAGGAAACTTTTATCCCTTCAGATCAGATCTTTGACGGCGACGTAATACCAGCCAAAGAAGCTTGGCAGCAAGTGCTAAGCGGCGAAAAAGTCAATGCCAAAGAACTTAGATTGCAACGCAAGTATGTCCCACCCGTCGGCGCTGCCGTGCATTCTACCATCCTTTTATCAGCTTTTCCATACATGGAGTACAACGAAGTCAAGTCTGTCATGGCTTGTATGACTGATGTCAGCCAACTAAAATGGGCGGAGAGCTGGCAGGCCCAACTGGCCGAGGACGCCAAAGAAGCGAAAAGACAGCAATCAGAATTTACAGATTCTATATCACATGAAATACGCAACCCTCTCTCGGCCATACTCCAGCTTGCGGATGATATCTCGCGATGTTGCGATGCTCCGTTGCCAACAATGAAAGACTGCATGGATCGTCTGGCCGAGACGGTCGAAGCAGCACAAACTATCGTCATTTGCGCGAAACACCAGAAGCGCATAGTGGATGACGTCTTAACCCTCTCGAGACTGGACATGGGTTCAATTACACTCAAACCGACATCTTCGCGTCCACAAGATCTTGTTCAGGAGACTCTGCGTATTTTCGAAGCTGAAGCCAAGGCCAATTCAATCTTCTTGAATTCAACACAAGAACCGTCCCTAGCAAAGTACATTGCTCATCAGCAAGTCATGTGTGATTGGTTACGAGTCAGTCAAGTGCTCATAAACTTGATCTCCAACGCCATGAAATTTACAAAGCAGGAGGATCGTCGGGTCGTACATGTGACCTATGGAGCTGCATTACTAGATCCACAAAGGGCCTTTCCCAATCAAGTTTCGTGGGCATCACATCGCACGCCAACACATGAGGATAAGATAACCGGAAAGCAGTGGGGAGACGGCACACGAGTTTTCCTCACTTTTTCTGTTGAGGATACAGGACCAGGCATGACAGCAAAGGAGATGACCAGGATTTTCAAACGGTTTCAGCAGGCTTCCGCAAAAACGTCCATTCAGTACGGAGGGTCCGGTCTCGGCCTCTTCATCTCTCACGATCTCATCAAGAAACAGGGTGGACAGATAGGCGCCATCTCAACACCAGGTAAAGGAAGCGCATTCGTCTTCTATGTCATAGGACGCCTCACGACAGGGCCTTCACTATCACCAGCAGCAGCACAGGTATCAGGATCAACACAACATCTATCCAACGGCATCAACTCCCTGAACGCCTCTGCCATCAAAAGTCCTGAAGCCATCTCTACACCTTCGCCCACGACCCAACCCGCCAAGCCGAAACTCAAGACGAGGACAACCCAACCACCACCACAATCAAACCTCCACCTTCTCCTCGTCGAAGACAATCAAATCAACCAACAGATTCTCCGACGTCAACTGCAAAAAGCCGGCTGTACAGTCCACGTCGCCAACCACGGCCTCGAAGCCCTCGCCGTCTTACGTACCTCCTCACTCTGGCGTCCCAACTCCTCTACCTCCAATAGCAGCGCACCTCCCACCTCCTCCCTTCCACACATCGACGCCATCCTCATGGACTGGGAAATGCCCATCATGGACGGTCTAACATGCACATCCGAGATTCGGCGGCTCGAAGCAGAAGGGATGTTCATTGTGCATCCAGAAGTCATCGCCGTGACCGCGAATGCGAGGCCGGAACAAGTCAGAACCGCGACGGAGGCAGGTGTAGACTGGTTGGTGCCGAAGCCGTTTACAGTGGCGCAAATACTCGAGGTCGTGAATACGAGGCTGAAAGCGCGGAAGGAGGGAAAGCAGCAAGCGGAAGGAGAGGGAGCAACAGATAAAGTATAGAAACTTCGACATCTTTTCGTGCATACGCGAATCATTTCACGTCTTACGATACATGCCAAGGATTCATAAAGCAGGTACGTCCCGGGACGTGGCAGACTGTTTTGCGACAGCACAGCACGGCGTGACTTAGTCTAATGATAGGTATCGAACCTGCTACTAGTATAGATCAAAGACAATGCTTAGACACGCGTACTCTATCATCTGAACCAAGCCGTACCCAGCTTCTAACGTGCTTACGAGTTGATCTGGCTGGCGGAACCCTCCTAAACTTGCGCTTCTAGTCTTCTGTCTCAACCGAAACCGAAACAAAGACTAACGAAGCACAGGCGACGCGAGAAGCACTTGCTAAACTGTATGAGCAACCGTACCCTGGACATATTTCATAGCACGATTTATGTTCTCCGTGGCTTTCGTATCGAACACTTCAACATCGCATCTCCTTCTACTTGCTCGCAAATGTTATGAAGCGATTGTCGAGAGAAGAAGAATATATTGTTGGATGTAATCAATAGATACAAGACTACAACTATCTCATCCATTCCAGCTCATAACTCATTATTCTTGAATTGATAATCTCAAAACGGGGGGGGTATCTAAAACGTTCAAAAATATCCAAACATCATCAAAATATCTGCAAGAAAACAGAAAGATAATGTACAATTTAGCCTCAACCGGTTTCTGCCAAAGGAAACGTATATCTGACATATTTGGGAGCGGCGTCACGTTACTCCCTGCGATATGCCGATGGTGGGTATTGATAAGGACCACCACCAGCATGACCTGTACTATTTGCTGCTGCATAGGCCTGCTGGCGGTATGTGTCGTCGAAGTAGGGTCGGCCGTCTGCACCGGCATTGCTAGCGAGTCGAGGTCGTGGGACTCTGACAGGTTCGTGATCGCGACCTCGACTTCGTTCGCGGTCAGTGACGATCTTCCTAGGGTCCATGCGAGGATCGTAAGTAGATTGTCGAGTAACGTACTCGTATCTCTCTGGTGCTGTTGGTTGGTAAGTAGACGAGTTGCTAAGATCAGGGGCGGTGGCACGTGGTTGTTGTGCTTCAAACCCACTCTTGTTCAGTGAAGGGGAGCGCTTAGGATGATATCGTGTACTTCCTTCGTTGACGTATGTGCTATTGCTTCGGCTGCGTCTAATGGGATGTGGTTGGGCGTAAGCACTGTTACTTCTTGATCTTTGCAACGGAACGCCATCATAGGTTTCGGGTACTGGTTGAACAGTACGAGATCTGGTTAGGTCGTATCCATCCTGGACTGGTGGTTGTGGCTTGCCAGGCTTTTGTTGGTGAACGGCGACTGGAGGAGCCATACGAGGCTTCGAAGAGTTGTTGACACTCTTACGTCGACTAAGACCATTTGTGCCTGGCAAGTCAACTTGTGTCATCTTCTCGTCACCAGAGCCGATGTCGTAGCTCTTCCCCACCCCAGGTTGCACAGCGTATGGCTTCCTTTCCCTTTCAACAAGTGATGGCTGAGGTGTAGGCACATCAGATCCTTCGTCTTCAATCGAGGTCACTGATTGTGCTTTACCGGTCCGTGCGTCAGTCGGCGGCATTGTCCTAGATGTGATCGAGTCTGCGTTGGACGCGAAAGACGTTCGATTGCTAGCAGGTATATGAGTTGACAATAAGTTGGACTCATCTTCGGCATCTTCCACTGTAGGCGCTGGTGGTGCTTCACTCCGTCGAGGACTCAGTGGAGGTTCTGATGGTGCTATTGTGCTATATCGGTGATTATCGACTTGCACTTTGCAATGAGTTGCCATTAGTTCGACCAGCTTAGCAGCTGTAGCCTCGTCACCACTAGCTGGAAGCGATTTTCGCGAAATGGCTGCAGGAAACCGTTGACCTCTCTCCTCAGGATGGTTGATTGCCATAGTGCGTAGAATCTTGGTCAGACGTTCGAATTCGTGGTCGGGGTGAGCTCGGATGAGAAGAGCCATCCATGTGGCGAAACCAACAGGTGTCATACCGGGTATATCAGGTCTGGCATCCGGTGCGGGTTGAATGAGGTGGTGTTGTACACTGACACTCGGATCCCTCAACAGTCTCGAGATCGAGGAAGTTTTGTCGTCGAATACCAACTTCCATGGATATAATTCCGGCCTCTCTTCTAGTCGATTCCTCTCGTAAAAGTTCTGAAGTTTGTCAGGTGTAACTACCAGGCTGTACTTCGGTTCGTACTCTTCGATCAGGTAATTGGCAATTCCACGAAGGAAGCAAGTAAGACGCTCAGTTTCGTTCCCCTGCTCGTCGAATAACTGACCCCAGTGTTTTTCGAGGACAGTGACATCTGGGTTGCTTGCCTCTCTTCTCGGTGGTTCCAGTCGAGTCGACATCGCATCTGAATCGCTCAAGATGGCTTCATCGTTGCTGACGCGGCTGAAGGGCGACACGTCTCTCCGGCGACCAGTTTTGTAACCGTGTATATTCAGTCCTGACGTTCCAGACATCGTCGTTGCCGGATATGCATCAACCAATTGGTCGTCTGCACGATCTGGCGACGGCGGTGTGTAGACTGCTCGGCGATCCATTGGTGGTGAACTTTGGAAAGACGAAGCGCTATCTGCCTGTTCCATAGCAGGCGCCAAAGGAGGCTGGACAGGCTGTGTTAATGGTGACGCGGTAACTGCATGCGCCTGAAGCTCTTTAATTACGCTTTGCGTGATGAGTTGTATCAGGTCTGGAGACATGCTACTATCCGTCTGATGAAAGGCTGAGGCAACGGCATTCTTTATAGGCTGACGTGGAGGATTGTAGGACGATGACGGTAGTGTCATTCCCGAAGAGCCATTTGGATTGTTGTATTGTCGAGGTTGCGTGTCTGTGTAAGCAGGACTAGATATTGACGAGACAATGCCATTTCTCGATGTTCCAGGGTCCTGCACGTGTAGCGACAGACGGTCACCACGTCTGTTCGACCCATCAGGTGGAGGGAAACTATGAGTCTCGTCAGAGGACATGACTAAGTTCCTCGTCTAGATTTGAGCGCGACCGCTTGACACATAAGAGTCTGACCTGCTTCAATGGTGGTTTCTGAAATTCCCTGCGCGACAGCGACTTGTGAATGCACAAACGTAAGTCGCAGTATTGACTAGCAGAGGGTGTGACGACGAGATGTATCTGAGTGCACCAAGGTCTTATGAGTGAGTGCCGTATTGCGATTTGTCGCGCAAGCGTAACATTCTTCTGCTCTGCCTACTATGCAGGGCAACGACAATAGGCGAGTAGAGGCTTCTGTCTATGCAGACTCGTCGACTAACTGACCGCGTTTGAAGAATGCACGAATGACGGGCAGTCCCTGGAGTTGTGAAGCCGAGTCCTCAAACGTTATCCCGGCTGAACTGTCAATAATTAGAGTGGAGTGAGAGACGGCTTGATTCGTCGCATGCCAACCGGGCAGAAACGTTGTGAAAGAGGCAGAGCTATTCGGCTTCTCTGGAAATGTTACATGGGAATCATGCGAAGTTTCAAGATGGCCGACAGTTCCAAAGTTGATGTTTCCAGCTTGCCTCGCCTGCAATTATGAGTCGTTGTTGATTATAACGATAACTGCGATCGAAGCCTATACACAAAGTGTATGACGACGAATGTACAGATCGTCAATTGAAGACAGTTGTACCTCACACTTCCCGGTGGTTGGTCGCGACAATGGAGGATTGGAAAGAGAATGGGAAACGACGCTGTGGCATAGCATTACGTCGATATTGAAAGACCAAAGCTTGACTGAAGCCGCTAGATTCGGCAGCCACCTGTCACATCGCTGCAATCTGGCACTGGCTGATAAGTCGGAGATCCACCAAGTCCTTTCCACAACTCGCTAGGACAAGAAGGGTAGATCAGTAAGAAAGTGGCAGTTGAAGGTCACTCCACCTAGCCTGAAAGACAGAGTGTGAACCGCAAAACCACAGACGATCTTGTTCATGAAGTGTTACTCAAGATAACCAACTTCACTGTTCCGCGATCAGGATCTTGTGGTGCGCTGTTCTCGTCTACCGTTGAGCTGTGCGACAATATGTAGTGTGCAGACGCGAAGACGGACACTCTTGTTGTGGCTTTGCTGGACGAAGCCGTTTGAAGAAACTGGGTTTCTTGCGAGCCAGGGCAAGGTTCCGGGACAGCGCAACGTCATAAAATTAGCCGCAGCCGCTACGTATGAGCTTTCCAAAACGCCGACGTTGTGAATTGTGTTGATCACAAGACCTCGGGCCTGACTTTTGCAGACGACTGTGTCGCGTTCACTATTAGCATTTCTCTCCTTTCAAGTCGTGCTGTAAATTTAGTTAAGCCTTTCTTCGACGGTGGCAAGTATTTGCACTGTGCATATGCATCGACGTGGTATGATCACCACGAATCTAGCAATCGAGAGCAACAAATTCCGAAGCAGAAGCATTACAAGTGGCGGGCGATAGTCCCGGGTTGGGCTATAATGCTGTGCAGGACAAAGATAACGATACGAAAGATCGAGCCAGTGTCGTAGCCAACCACTACCCATACAAAATGAGATCACGACCAGCATTGACCCAGCAGCGCCCAGCATAGAGAGGCTGTTCGTTGCATACCAAATCCCGCCAAGTATTGCTCCTCAGACTGCGGCAGCCGACAACAATGCTATGCAAGTCATCAGGCGGGAATTGTCATTCTGATACAACTAGCAGCCTGACTCGCCGTGTCTCATAGAACTTTCCCTGTTTACTGACGATCGTGAATTCGATCTCGTTGCGTTCATCGAAGAAGTATACTAGGTACGACTATCAGTCCTCCCGTGTTCGAGACTTCTCGTGAGGTGAGCTGGACTAAATATTGCTTTTCAGTACTGAGCTTGGGGTTGCCTTCATCTTTGTTGGCGAAATGAGAGCAATAGGACTTTGCTCCTCGAACTATTGCCCCGACTCATTGGGACACTCTCGACTTCCAGGCTCGGTTGTTTCGAACCCCTGAAATAGTGGATGTTGCTCCGAAGAGGTCGACATGAACTCCTTTTTTGCTGCGTCAACGACCACCAGATTCGCGAATATACGACATGTTTCGAGGCCTTCAGTATGGATCATCCGAATCTTCGTCATCTCTATCGCTCACCTCCAGTTCAAGGTTTTCCTCATCTTCCCTCGCCCTTCTGTTCTCTCGCTCCAGCGATGCCAACGCTTTTTCCTCTACAGTCGGGCGTTCGGCTTTGGACTTGGCAAAACGTTGACTATCTCGGGAACCGGCGCTCGAGTAGTTTCGCATACGGTCATCAACTCGAAAGTTGTCCCAGCCGGAATTTGTCGTCTGTCTTGTGCCTCGAGAAAAGGTCTCTGACATGGCAGATCCATTCAAACTGATTTCGTCGTTGTTGCCATCGTTCCAGTCCCAGCTTCCTGGATTGGTATCGGTCTCGTATCGCTCTGATCGTGCTTGTGAAAGCCGAGAGGCCTCAAGTCTACTGGGTACAGTGGAGGCGGAATATGTGTTGGTGGTAGCGAGGCCGAGTTCCTAGTGAATAGAATGAGTACGTACTTCACGTTGCAATGGCTTCTTACCTTTCGCTTCAAGTCTTGCATGATCTCAACCTCTTGGACTTCTTTGTCGTGATCTGCTTCACGGTCCTGCTTCTCCTGTGAGCATTCCCAGCAGTGCTTTCGACATTATTAGCACGTTGGCAATTTCGTCAAGATGGTGGACATACAGCATCATCTGGTTTTTTGCGTTGTGCTTTGGAGAAGAAATCTAGTGCTTTGACCTTGTTGCACATGACGCATTTCATCTCGTCCCTACTCCGGGGACTGCATGCCATGCACATTGGCAGCTTGATTGGAGCCTTTGGGTTTCGTCGATTAGCGGCCTGTGATGCTTTGAACTTGTCCATCGCCGTGCTCGAGAAGCGCACTTCCAAAAGCTTTTTGTTGCAGCTGACGCATTGGTATCTGCGACCGCAATTAGAAGAGTTCACGCTCATTAGCTGGATGCATACTTATTCTGGAGTTTGTCCGACATTTCGAGGGACAATGGAAGTAAACAGAGCGTGGCTCTTGCTGAAGACGAGGATTAGACCGATATCTCACTCGACTAGTGGGTTGAGAGTGTCCTAGATATTTTGTGGTTATGGTTTTGTGTTGCGAAGATTGTCACTGTGCTAGATGGTCGTAGTCAATGTTACAACTGTCAATTTTATTCGGCGGTACTCATTTAGCGGAGATACGAAATTTGATAACTTGCATCAAGCAGAACATTGGTTGGAATTGTGAGAAAAGAGTGATGTTTGCAGAGACATGTGGATTCTTTCCAATGCTTTGTGCAGAGGTCTATACCGACATTGCGATTGTTGTACGCTCAAGTGAAGGCAAGCATGATTGTCTTTTGAAGTGGGCAGTCGCGTGCGGGGTGGCAGTCGCGTCGTCGCTGCCTCTTACAACCACGATAAGCAACACTTCACTTGAAACACATCTACACATTTATCTCAGATCATACCATACTGGCGCCGTTGTTGCGTCTACAAGAAAGCTCAATGTGAAAGTCTCGTCGTGACAACATTTTGGACAGACTGTGACGCACATCGAGCACAAAGGTTATGAAATGGCCCTGCTTTGATCCCAACACTGGGATATAGACAGCTGGTGACCCTGTACTGTGGCCTTGGGAGTGTAAGGGCTTGATCTATCACAATCAATATTGGACTAATGGTTGGGCCATGTTTTTCGAGCTCAGAACTGCTAGGTATGATTTACGTCGCGATGGTCTGCTAGGCATGAAAACTCATTCTTTGTTGCTGTAGCATATTGCTTCTGGTCCTTCATTCACTCAAGATAGCACATAATCTCACATGTGCGATGATGACCTATGTGTCTTCCTTGTGTAGGGGCCAGTGAAACACGTTCGACGAAACAATTAAGCCAGCCGAACCAACCATTTGTTTCTCAGAGATTAGATCGTCAGAGCCTAAAGAGCAAATTTGGCAAAACGGAGGCTAGGAGACGAGCCACATGTCCGCCCGCAGGTGCATTGATAGCCAAAAGCTTAAAATCATCTGGCGAAAGGAAGTCGGAATGGTGACAATTAGTTCTATAGACATAAATGACACCTGGACTTCTCAAGATTGCTCAATGTCGCGAGTTGCGCTCTCTGGAATTAAATGTGCAAGTAGATAGCCAGAGAAAGGTTGAAGACACAGCAATATTTCCCACGAAGAATGCTGCACCTAGACCGAGCATCTCGCCCGCTGCAACGTGGCAAGCTACTGCATCGCTGCACAATTCCAACTACTGCGGTACAGCTGCAGCGGATCGTATTGTTTTTTAGCCGACCTCGATCTCCTTTGCGCTGCTGCGAATGAGGGACCGTCGAAGCGATCCTTAGCCTTCAACACAACACCAGACGTCCAAAAGTACTTGTATTGTAGTGGTAGGTGCTCTATTATACGCTCACATCATGCATCTTCGTCACAGTTCCGTATTTGATAGGCACGGACTTCAAGTCAGAGTCGTCCCGTGACGTTGCGATCCATGCAGCTAAAATAACAAAGTTACAAAGACCCACGTCATTGAATCTCAGCTTCAGCTTCAGGATGGATAGCTTTTATTTGGGTCGCGACTTCTGCAAAACACTTGACGTGCATATTGCGGTGTAGTCACCGTCCTTTTACAGATGGATGCGCACGAAAACAACCAGGTTCAAAGTCGTGTGCCAATACGAAATATATGCTTGTAGAGTACTACGATACTCTGCACGAGCGTAAGCTTTCGGACATTTCTATCCCTTGTTGCCAACTTTGAACCTGTTCCGAACACGTACGGCCAGATCTTGCACTCTGATGGCTTGCATGTCGTATCTCCTGATCCCTGCCTCATGCATACATACTCTCTGCCGTGAGCCTTGATCATCATTCTATCCGACAAATATGTTCATGTCATTGTGGACCAAAGGGTCGCTCCCAGAAGGGTCTTTGTTGCTCAGGATAAGTCAGTCGCGGGGCCGTGGCTCAAAGGCGAGCATCTCAGGGGCCTGTGCCAGCTCCTTGTGCACGATTGAGAAGAGTCAAATTGGCAAAAGAAGCTTGGCAGCCACGATATGAAAGCTGTTGCGTTAGCTGTTGATACAGTCTACGCTAGATACTTTCTTGGTGCCAGGAACAAGTTTAACGCAGAGCTCGAAGCCGGGGAAAGGATGATCGGATCACTAGCTTTGAGGCCGGGTGAGAAGCCGCCACAAAATAGTTCAGTAATGCTCCAAGCTCAACAGGTCCCAATCGTTCCTGCTTTTGCTGCAATTAGGCGTTCTTCTAGCCTTGGGTTTCATGCAACTAAGCGGCCCCAGGAACATGGCGGCTGCACCACTCAAATTTCGCTCATCGAGACTCGCACTCCACACCACTTGTCTCATTGGTACCAAGTCTTTCCTGGTGCTCCGTGCTTACTTCGCGCGCAAGACGTGGTTGATTCAGCCATCTCCCCGTTGACTGGCGGTGTTTCTGACCTCCATGACACCGTTGCTGCTATGGCCATCTGAGGCACTTCTAACAGGCTTTTGACCGACAAGCCGATACACAACTAAGGTAAACACGGGTTCCGTATACTGGCGAATCTCAGCACAGCGACAACGCACTGTCTCGTAAAACAACAGCACCACCCTTAGTCGCTCTTTCAATACAGACCTCAATGTTGCAGCATCGACAAGCGCGTCCTTACACCATCAAATCGTCACGTTGATCACTGGACGAACCTCGCTGTATACGAAGGACAATTTCCTTACCCTGTCCAAGGTTACTCCTTGTCTTATTGAGCGCGCGACGGGCCTCATATCCGTGTTGCATTGCTTCTCGCTTTTTGCAAGCGTCACCTCACGACGACGACCCTTTCCTTCGAACACGGGCTCGCTTTACCGATAATTCGCTCTTTCGTCGTCCACTATCGATCATCTTACTTTAGCTCGTCACCGTGCTAACACGCCCGAGCGAAAGGAGAGAGTGCCACATCCACTTTCCGGTCCTGACCCCTGCGGATCCGCCAACGTCAATCGACCTGGTGCCCATCCGCTAGAAGACTACTCCGTACCTCACCTGCTTCCACCAGGCCTAGCTCCTCGCATCTTCCCTCACTACTACGGGCTCGAATTTCGACGTCGATCTTACCTCCCTTACCATTTACCTCACCGTTCTCACCTCACCACGTTCGTTACTACTGTAACACCTTGAAACTCCTCGATCATCTACATCGATACCCGAGACCTGCGACCACTTGACAGGACAAGTGACTATCTGAGACAACGACCGACCAGCAAAGCACCAGACTTTGACGACAAGAATGACAAGGTTATAGGAGCTTTGTAGCCGCATACTGATCGGTTCCCCTCGGATCAGCCAAAGTCAGTCTGACGTTGCGTTGAGAATTGTAGCATTCATCACAGCCACTGCACAACATGACTGTCATACAGGATTACAGTCAAAGGTCATCGTCGCATGTGAACATGGCGCTCGAGGACAGGTTCGAAGTCCTGAGGGATATTGGCGATGGAAGTTTTGGAAGTGTAGCACTGGCGCGTGTCAAGGGGAATGGATCAAACATTGCACGACGTGGGACCATGGTGAGCTCTCCGGAGGCTCGCTGCAACCACACCAGCTAACACACGACAGATTGCAATCAAAACCATGAAGAAGACCTTCGAATCTCTAGCTCCCTGCCTTGAACTGCGCGAGGTCATCTTCCTCAAGACACTTCCGACCCATCCTCACCTCGTCGGAGCCCTCGATATCTTTCTCGACCCCTACAGCAAGAAGTTACATATTTGCATGGAGTATATGGACGGCAATTTGTATCAGTTAATGAAGGCAAGAGATCATAAATGCATGGACATACGAAGCGTGAAGAGCATACTATACCAGATCCTGTCTGGCCTCGATCATATCCACGCCCACAACTTTTTTCACCGAGACATCAAGCCAGAGAACATTCTCGTCTCCTCCTCCGCACCAGCCGATTCATCGTCTTCCTTCAGCCGATACTCTTCACTTGTAACGCCACCATCCACACCTCCTGCATATTCGATCAAGATCGCCGACTTTGGTCTTGCCCGAGAGACCCAATCAAGGTTGCCATACACTACATATGTTTCCACAAGATGGTACAGGGCTCCGGAAGTCCTATTACGAGCTGGCGAGTACTCTGCGCCAGTGGACATGTGGGCTATCGGTGCCATGGCTGTCGAAATCGCTACTCTCAAACCGTTGTTCCCTGGCGGTAATGAAGTTGATCAAGTGTGGAGAGTGTGTGAGATCATGGGCAGTCCTGGAAACTGGTATACGAAAAATGGAAGCAAGGTTGGAGGTGGTGAGTGGCGAGATGGCACACGTCTAGCCCAAAAGCTCGGCTTCTCTTTCCCCAAGGTAAGCTATCTCGTTTTGTGCAGCAATACCAAAGACTAACTTTACCCCAGATGGCACCTCATGCCATGGATACTATCCTCCAGCCTCCCCAATGGCCAGCATCCTTTGCCTCATTCGTTACTTGGTGTCTGATGTGGGATCCGAGGAACAGACCAACATCTTTACAGGCCATGGAGCACGAGTTCTTTACTGACGCTGTCGACCCACTCAGACCGAAGAGCTCGTCACGTCTTCTTGGCCGGAAACATTCAGACCTCAGCTTCAGGTCGAAAGAGGCTGAGCCTGTGCTTACGTCGAAACCATCTTGGTTCAGACGGTCGCTGGTTGCTCGGGAAAGTGCACCTGCTGTGCCCTTACATAAGCCAGCTCCCTCAACACATACAGAAGTCACAAATGGAAAGCAAAGGCCGCCTGCCAATAAAAGGGCTACGTGGCAAGGTACGCCAGCATCAGGTGCTCCTATGCCTATTCTACCCTCAATCAAGCCGATTTCCCCTATTCCGAACACTGTCAACGCTCAAGCAGAACAATCTGCGTCACAAAAGGCGGAGAGAAAAGTGTCAGTGTCATCAGAGGAAAGGAAGAAAATTGGTCGACAGTTATCTGTTAACTCTCATGGCAACCACTACCCTGATGTGCACAGGGCAGAAGCAGAGAAGGCACTCAATGGTCAAAGTGGCCTGGTATCACCACCGTCTGGGCAGAAAGAGAGCTTCTTTTCACATCTACGCAAGAGAGCTAGAAGATTTTCCGGTCGTCATGGCCTTGCATCCCCGAATGGTGACGATATCGAAGCGCAGGCAGCCACAGCACCTTGGTCTAACAGATCGTCAATGGTTGTTGACAAAATAATACCCGAAGCACATACAGACTTCTTTGACCTCGACAAGGCTCTTCAGAGCGTGCGATACAGTCTGGAAAAGGCTGAGGAACAACGGTTACTACCACAAGCACCTGCAGTTCAAAAACCAGGTCAAGGCACACTCAAGCGAACTCACTCCCTGCAAAGGTCACGATCACAAAAGCTGGCTGACGAGCTTGTCTCCGCGAATCAGGCTACTGGCCGTCCAAGACGAACGTTACATCTTTCGGGCAATCCAGTGCAGCAGTACGATATCCCAGCCGAAGAAGACGAGTTACTTGATGAAGTGTTGGTAAGCGCTCGTCGTGCTGCAAGACGACTTAATCTTGACTCATCACCACAGAAGCCGGTCCACCGTGCTGCTTACAACATGCCGAGTGATCCTGCTCTCCATAATGCGTATATGACGCCATCGCACTCTGCTAATCGAGACGGAGTCCAGTTTGGCTATTCGTCTCAGACGCCTTCTCAACCTATGAACATCGTCCAACAAAAACATGAGGAACTGGCCCCGTCGCATTGGCCAACACCTCCTTACGAAGAGCCAGATCCTTCCTGGGCTGCTCGCACCGCAGCACAGATTTTCTCCTTGAATTCAGCATCGGCATATAGATAATACCTCACTTTCGCTTTACGGCCATTTCATTGGAACACATACACAGCAAAAAGTTCATTGGACAAAACTCTTCGCATCATCATAACATAGACCTCCATCACATCAATGATATCCATGTACGAAAAAGCTAAAGGGCGAGCATGTTCTCAACATTACGGAGGCGTTTTACATTCTGAAGTGATACGAGTACTTCGAAGCTCGAAGACTTGCACTCGTCTGGCCGGTTCGAGGTTTCTGTAATAGGTATTACGCTCGTTTTTCGGTTTACGATACTCACTTTTCCATTGCGTTTGCTTCACAATATTGGGAGTAGTGGCGGATGCTGGATTTCAGACTATATTGCATGTGTTTTGCCTGATGGTCAAGACTGGGAGATAAATTCTCCTCTGAAACTGCATCTCGCTGTGGGTAGGAAGAGGGACACTTGTACAGACACAGAATACAGGATATAGACAGCATGTACCGGTATAGGGCAGGAAATTTAAGGACTGTAAGCATGGGAGCATAGGAGCAGTGTACAGCAAGATATCGAATTCGAACTATACTATGCAGTAACTAGTCCTTTGCCTATGTATTCATTAGTATTTTGAACCTGCTATCTTTGTCAAGTCACGTCATACACACGTTTGAGGGTGTCATGCTCTTAGGGACGTCGTCTCCAAGGTAACACCACTCAGTCGATCTCGCGAGCAGACAATATGGTAGTGTAGGCTACATAGTACTTAAAGTGTGTCATAGCGGTTGTTATCATACCAATAGCCAGAAGGAGGAAAGATTTACAGAATATTCCTTTCCCATGATTTGTGTCGATAAAGGATACTTTTTTGTTAAGTCGATACGACCGATTAGTGATGCTGCCAGGAGCTTAAATCGGTCGTGATGCTTTGGGAGTGGGTTGGTTTGCATAATGATGGGGATATGGTATGCTCTGCCGGGTCCAAGAGTTGGTGTGTCATTGTGTGAGTGTGGTGTACATATTGTTAGGTTGACGTTCTGGCGTAATGCGATGAGACAATTGATGATGTTGCTATTTGTCGGAACCGGGCACCCTTTGAAACTTGGAGGGCGTGATCTTCGAGTAGTTTGACCACTTTCTCTCGTCTACTGACCTGTTCGTGTCCAGCAAGACAGACTACCTCATGTGTCTTTTCACCTTCTGAACCCTCATACTCGTACTGCGCCGAATTTTCATACTTTTTTGCACAGCTTCACGATATTCCTCCTGTGCTATCTGTAGAGCGGGACCGAAGTCGATGTTCCCTATCTCCAGTAGCAGTCCCACCACTAATGTCCTTCTTGTCGACCTCGATGCTTCCATGCTGTATCAAGTAGCTTGATACACCTTCTCTCCCGCTACTCGCCGCGTAGGATAGTGGCATTTGACCATTTTTGTCTCTCGAGTTTGGGTGCACGTCATTTCGGTAGGCAAGCAGCTGTACTATCTCATCGTGTTCATTCTCCCTGCCAGTGCTAATGGTGTTCGCCTCGCCGCCATCTATCGCTGGAGTCGTGAGACGACAAGCCTGACCACAAAGATTCGTGGCCACCACTATGAGTACACGACCTACCAAAGCTTCTTCGAGAAGAACACATCCTGGCTTTTGGTGGCTGTCAATTATGTCACCGTTGTGCTCACCGCTATGCAAAGTCGGACTAGCGACGGAACAATTTCGAGATGACGAAAGATTCAATCGGGCTTCGTATGGGTTTCACTGTCTTTGCGATCGTTGCGCCCCTAAGCGTACTGTTCTTGATCTGCCTTGTGCTTTAGTACTTATGCTGTTCAATTTGTCCTATGCTCTCGAGAGCCGCAAAAGAGCCAAAAGTTCTTAGTACCTCTTCATGTTGTGATACGGCAATGGCAGAGAAGAGTGCCGGGCAAAGTAGCCGATATGTCGCTAGATATCTAATCACTTGATGGTTAGGAGAAGGAGGTGGACCCTAAGAGAGGATCGTATGGGTCGAGGCACAATGGCCGTCGGGACCGTGTTGACTCCGTGCCAGACTCTCAGGCGCAAGATATGTCTGCACCATTCTTTCTGCTTTCGACAATTCGACCTTGAGTGCCCAGAAGTTTGTTCTCACACGGGAAGCTTTTGTGCCGTGAGGTTTATTCAAAGTTGCGAACAAATTATGCACTGCTTGAAGTGCGTTTCCGTCCTTGCCAGACTGACGTGGATCTGCTCCAGCTTCAAGTGCGATCATGAACTTTTGCACTCTGTTACCGATGCGCCACTCTTCGTCGCATGCTAATATTGAATTGAGTAGTGGTTCACCCTCCAAGCGATCTTCGGTCTTCTCACCGTGACTGAGGAGAAACCGTAGTGCCGACGCCAAGATATCATTTTGCTGGCTTCGATCATCGAAGGCTACCCAGTGTTGCAGAAATGTTGTACCGAGTCGTTTGTGCTCCTCCGTTCTGCAATCGTCAGCATGACAGAGCAGTCTCGCACTAGCATGCGAAGAGATAATCATATTGAAGAAAGACTCTTCAACATTTTTCCCGAGTCGAAAGAACAAACACTTGTGTGATCCTCCGAAGAGAGCTCCAGACGATAATAGTCGCTGTAGAAGTGGAAAATAATTCCGATCAGAACTATTGTAAAGTTATTTCTTCCAGACCTGATCGAAGGTTGCCTGAATTCTTAACTCGTTTCCAGTTCGCCGTTCATCAAAAAGGTCGTTGTGCAGAAGAACTTGGGGCATGCCATGGCTGATTGAGACAACGCCATCCCAACCAATACGATCCACATATCCATGCAACTGCATCTCTAAAGAGTAGGCGCATCGATTCTCGTATGGGAACAAATGAGTCTGCGTCTTTCGACGCTTAGCATCGATGTAGCTTCGATGATAGCAGATAGCTTGGTGGAACTGCATCAGATTGGTCTCCATCATGGCGCCAAGCCTGCGCAACACCACAGTATCCAAGAAAGCGAGATTCCGGGCTTCTGAAAGTAAATTCTGCACACTCAATAGTAGCAAGGGTGTCCAAGGTGACCAGCAGCTCAGGAGATCCAGGAGATCGTCTGCTAAGTCGTCGACGCTTTCGTCATTGCTGTAAGTCGCTAAATGGCACATCCTTGTGGCAAAGCTTTGGACAGACAACATGTCACCGTCGTTATCTTTGTTGTTATTGTTATCAAACCTATTGAACAAGGCATGTTCCATTTCGTCAAGGTATATATTGACCCAGAGATTGCTAGGTTCAGGTGTCGCCAGAAACGTAGGCACCTGGTCCTCCAGCCAAGGGTTCTCGGTGAGGTAAGACTTCAGGGTTTCGTGTGTTAGTGAGGCCACACAAACCTCGCCTCTTCGTATGACGAGTTGTTCCTTTTCAATGGCCACGAAAGGGATCAGGTCTAGATTGACCTCGTTGTGGTCTTGCTTAAGGTCGTCGATTAGTGTTTCATCACCGGCGCTCAAATCAACGAAGTCGCCCAGAATGCTGAAAATCCTGTTCTCCAGCTCACTCTCGTCGTCAAGATTGATAGGCAGTATCTGAAACTCTTCCGTTGTGACCTGCCGCCGTGAAAAAGCGTCGACTGCGATATAGAGCTCGCGCACTGGAATTTGCTGAGCATTTGAACACATCAATAGGTACAGAATGATTGCTGCCTCTTGCATCATGGTCTGTGGGATCTGGTCCAGCACACGCTGGTACATTTCTTCAACTTCTTTTGGCATCTGATCGAGCTGTGCTTCAAGTGCAGCAATAGACTTGCCACGTAGTAGGTCTTGCAGTAGCTCATCCACTGCCAGGCGAGCCCACAGAAAGACACCTTGTGCCTCTCCCCTGATCTTTTCGCTCAGAGCCTTGGGTAGGCCTGTGCGTGCTCCGAGCCTATTACTTTGAAATTGTGCCTGGGTGTACAACCTGATGCTCTCGTCGTTGTAGTCCTGTACAGATAGACTGGCATACTTCGAAAAACTGTTGATGAAGATATCATAAGGTCGACTAGCGAGACAGATTTTGAAACCGGCTCTATCCTCGAGCTTGTGAATCGTCTCTACAAGACCTGCACCAGACCCTTCAAACTCATCCATACCATCGATAAATGCACAGATCCTACAGGAAGCTTTGTCGGTGAGCTCGCAAATATAGTCAAGACATGATGGCAAGTCGAGACTTAGAAGCCCGCCAGGCGATAGCTGATCGCCAATAAAGTCCGAGCACTGCTTAAGCAGCTGGTATAGCATGCTCCTCAACATGCCTTCTAGGCTGTTCCCGATGGCAGCACCCGCACGAAAGTCGAAGAAGAAGTGCACCACAGCCCATTGATCGCCTGTCTGTTGTAGGAGCTGCTTAGTCTTTCGGCTATCTGCAACGTGCTTCATTAATGTCGATTTACCAGATCCTGCACGTCCAGTGATCCAGAAGAAGCTCTCATCACCACAGAGCCAAACTGAAAACTCAGTGCGATACACCCATTGGACGTACTCGGGTGAAGTAGCTCCCGCGTCGATCTGTGCCTTTCTTGTATTCATGCTGTCGAAGTATAGCGCTCGCAGTGTGGCATTCCAATTCACATCGCCACCAGGACGCAGCCGGTTATTGCCGGAGGAGGCTACATTACCCAATATGGGGCAAGCATTTCCGTAGACATATATGTCGCCGTAGCTGTTGGATTTGTCGTCTGACCGTCGTATGGTTGATTCTTGATAGGACGACATCGCAAGTCTTTCAATAATGTTAACTCAACATTGGTAAGATAATTTCGCGACGACAGGCACCTGTAAAGATGGAGTTGCAAGATAGATCGTCGACAAGATGGAACCTCTCTTACGAACAGATCCCGAAAAAACTGGATACCGGAGGACGACGACTATAGAATGGTCGAGCCTGCTCTTTCTGGAGCTTGCTCCAGAGATATCCAGATTCGAGCCATGGTCGTGAGCACAGTCTGCAGAGACCCGCCCCCGCTAAAAACAGACCATGGCTTCGCATTGAGGTCGAGGTTGAGGCTGTATCGGAAGCAATGTCTGTAAAGAAGAAGAATTGGCGAGAACTTCCTTCTGCCATACCTTCATGTAGGACGATGGCTAAGCTGTCGTCGAAGCGCCTAAATCTGTAATGTTCGATGGCCGGAAGCAGTCGTCATAGAAATGTACTACCAGCTGTCCTACTTCCTTATCATCCAGTACCGCTTTCGTCGTTTACAGTGGTCACTGCAGCACGCGATAGATGTACTGACATTCAGCAGTGACCGAACCACTGCTGTGGATGGTTCTCTGGTAGACGTAGCCTTGTAGAAGTGAAGGACGCAAGTTAATGGTGCCTCAACACGGTACCTCTTCCGGCGTGAAGGAGTGGTGCGTTCCATGGGAAGGTAAGTCGATCCGGCCTGTTTCCAACCTAATCGTGCCTCTGCTTGACGTCAAGGGTCAACTTCGCAACAGAGATTTGATAATTATGTCTCTTATATCACACAAGATGCCATCGAAACACTTCATGATAATCACGACCTGCACGACATTTGGGAAGCTAACTAACGTGAGCATGGCGTCAATTTGGTACGCGTTGGAAGGTGGATGTGGTGGCATGAAGAAGTGGTGGAAACACCAGTCCACCTTCCGTCGTGATTGCACCTGCGTCATCTCCGTAACAACCATTACAGATAACAGCTGTGTCAAAGTACTAATCACAGATTTTCTAAGATAGGTCAAGTATGTCTAACAACAGCAGTAACAAGACCTCAGAAGGTTGGAACAAAGCAGCCGAAGTGTACAGCAACGTCTTTTCCAGAGTCACGAATGCTATCGCTCGAGATTTCATTGATCTAACGCATAAGATCAAGCCTATCGACGAACCCGACAGCTACGTTCTCGACAATGGTGCCGGAACAGGGGCCGTCACGATCAATCTTGCAACACGCCTCACCAGTACTCCAGTCTTAGCCACCGACATCTCCGATTCGATGATGTCCAAGATTCGTGATCAGAACTTGCCAAATGTGCAAATACGTGTAGTCGACGCCCTCAGATTGGATAAGACTCTTCAGGATGATACACGACGAAGTGAAAAAGGCGGCTTCAGTCATGCGTTTGCTATGTTTGTGCTACAATTCGTGCCTAACGATGCTACAGACACATTCATCAACCAGATGATATCGGTTGTGCAATCTGGTGGCACAGTGGGGCTAGGTATCTGGGGTGACAAGATTGACAACATAGACTTGGTCAATCAAGTATTTCTGGAGATTGACCCGAACTACAAAGTCAGAAGTGTATGGACAGCAGACGAATTTCCACGTACGGAGCCTGAGATCAAGCGGAAAGTGGAAAGCATGGGATTGAAGAACGTGCAGACTATCGATCGACATGATACTGCTGGATTCGAGACAACGGAACAACTGGCTGTCTACATGTTTGAAGGTAAGAATCCTGCTGTTGAGAAGCTCTACGACTATTGGCGAGAGGCACACCCTGAAATAGGAATCGATTTGGTAAGAGAGAAGTTCACTGAGACTGTTGGTAAAGAGCTGGAGAAGGACAAAGACTTTCTGAGAAAGATTGGATTGCAGTCGATATCTGTGGTTGGTGTGAAGCCTTGAGGGCGCGGGCACATAGATTGTCCAACGATTCTTCACGTCCTTAATACCCATCTTTCATTGTGCTCCTCCAGCTACTTGATAAGGTCGTCGATTGCATGACTCTATGTTAGCGGAACCTCTAAGACCGAATGTGCTTAATATCAGATACGAATTAGCAGGAGATTGAGGGTTGAAAAAGGTCCAAACCATTTTCCTGGCTGTTGGGCCGATAAAAGCCGTCTTGACACCACAAGATACAATCTGAGCGGCAACAGTAGATTGACGAGCTAGCACGGCGAAAAGCGGCCTCGCGGTTTGCTCGGTTTGTTCATCGACAGTGACCTTTCCAGGAGCGATACAGCAGCAGTACATCCCGTCGTATCGTCAACACTACAACCATCATCCTCTGCCCTATCTCCTGTAGCATATTCCCTGACCTCTTCCACCATGGATTGCGCAGCGAAACAGCGAGCCTCGACTCGTGTCATCCAAGCTTTTCTGCGTCCTCACACCACCGCGACCATCAGACACAGACCAAGCTCTTTCTCGATACACCAGCACCATCAGCGCATACGCCATGCCTCCTCAACATCCGACCCGTCGAAGCCCATCGTTCTCGAAAAGCCAGATAAATTCCGCCCACCATCACATGCAGCACGTCGCAATGCGCGCTCAACGACAGGCATGTATGGCACAGGAGCAGCTTACAACCAAGGCATGACGGTAAAGGAGCGGGAGCAGAGTCAGAGGAAGCAGTATCCGCATATGTTTCCTGCAGAGGGAACGAGGATGCATTGGTTCTTGACGAACAAGAACATTCATCTGTTGATTAGCATGGTGAGCGCCAATAAGACTTTCGTATCTACAAGGAAATACAGTACTGACACTTTCGTCCTACAGGGCGTACTGATCACCCTCGCAATCACAACCATGATCTCAACCTGGTCACAAACCTCACCCTACGCCCATCTCATTCCACCAATCAACATGCTCATCTGGCATCCCTGGAAATACTTCTCCGACCTCTACAGCGTCTGGCACCTTCATCACGAATATGAGACGCAAAAAGTCTGGGAACGTCGTCAGCAGGGTACTCTCGACGCACAGAAACGCAGACTCTACCGTCGCGCACACGGAATGGAGGATCTCGACGCGGATGAGGGGGAAGGTGTAGATGTACGAGGATTAGTCGAGTGGGATGATGGTTTGACGAATCCAGAAAGAGCACGAGGTGGTATCAGGCACGAGATAGTGATTGGGCAGAGGATGCAGGAATTGGGACAGAGGCCGAATGAGACGTTGCCGGAATTGCAGGAGAGGCTGAGGAGGGAGCAGATGGCGGCGAGGGAGGCGAAAGAGGAGAAGAAGAGGAGGAAGGCGGAGGAAGATGAGAGGGCGGAAGAAGAGCGATTGATCAGGATCAGGGCGAGGAGGCTGGACGATGAGGAGAGGCCGAGACGAAAGGTGTGGTTTGGAATCTGGGGCTGAAGAGCTATACATCGTATTGACAGGAAGAAGAGAAAAGATCGTGCTATAACAGAATTCAAGGTACAAGCTGATTTTTGAATCTGCGCAAGCTGCCACCCATGTCTTTCGCCAATGACGTCCCACCCAGGATTCGACGTGTACTTACTGATCAAGCCTCGAATCGCAGCACAATCTTTGACAACCCTGCAAATACCTCGATCAACATCGGAACATGTCCAGCAGAAGACTCTCGCACTGATAGTCCTCAAAACCAAACTCAGTCCCAGGACGCAGAAGACATTCCCTCAACCCACTTAAAGCAGCAGTAAAAAGAGGACTCTCACTGGACTTGTTGAACACGTCGGTCGGGCTGTTGCTCGTTTACAAAACCGTAATTTCAATTGAGTCATCAGATCCAGCAGCCATTGGGAGTGGTGTGATTTCAGTGTAGGTACATAGTGCTGAACCAACACCATAAGCCAGCAGAAACTGCATGAACGGCAAAGCCTCCTTGTGAATATAGTCACGTCGTTGCGAAACTTCTGGGCGGTACCACGTGGGGGAAGCAAGATCTGAATCGGAAGTCAGTCCTAGGATATCGCCATGGTCGACAAAGGGTTTCTGTTGGGACATTTGACAGAAGTGCACGTCAGCGCAAGCTGTTCATTCATCTTAACTGATTGAGAGGCAGTAAGTCTGTGCGCAGTCCTTTGAGGTATCAGAACGGGAGTGGTAGACAAAGATCTGTCATAGCTATCAGATATTGTCCCGTTGAGGTGCAAAACCGGTATGAAAAGCTTTGTTCATCAGGTCAAGACGCGCAATACGCGAGTTATCTGTTTTGGCATGAGGTTATTTGACCTCTTTTGTATGACCTAGCTAAGCAGACCTCGGAGGGTTCTGCTCTTCCGATTCAACATTGACCATATCGCTGGTCTCGGTGAGGATCGTCGTGAGTGCTTCTGTTAGCTTGCATCGTGATGTCTAGATAGTTGCATCAGGCCAAAGTCGTGGACAAGGCTGGGCACCCCATTTCAGTCACACCCGCGTCTCCGGCATATTGGGGTCAATTTCCCTCTGAGCTCATCAGCCCAATCTGCGTCTGTGAAGGCTAGACTGTCTTCATGCGACAAACATACTGTATCGCGTTGACTACAGTAGTTGCACGAAACCTTTTCGTGCACATGTGAAAGTAACAACGTTGTACTCGTAGTAAGCTTCGGCTGCCAACTGTGGGTGATACAGTAAAAGCAGTTAGTCTCTTCGGCCGAAAAGTGAGTGGAGATACAGCTCTCGAATAAGCTTTCCGGTAAAATGACCTCATGCGGTAAGAAAGACGCTCGGTGAAAAGAAGCCGATGCAAAACTTTCGACGGTTCTCGACTTGGTCCGCCTCCCTGTCCCCGACATCTGCTTCGCATCCAGCCAATAGAAGACATTGAATCTGGGCAGATTTCTGACAGCTCAAGGTGGCGCCAAGAAACGTGCCGTGGATGGCTCATACACGCCAAGTGGGTGCAGAGAGTGTCGATTCGACATATGATTAGTCGTGCTGCAAACGAAGCTTCTGCCGTGGAAGGCTTCACAGGCACGAGCTTTTGCTGAAGAAGTCTTGCGAAAAGCTAAGATTCATGTGCATCACTACAGTCTTTCGTGATACCAAGCATGATAGTCAAGTTGTGCGTTCTCATCGTGGCACCTCGACCCTATGGCTTTTCAGCCAAAGAGCATGAGCAAGACACCTTCACTGCTCTCCTACCTCACCGTAACATCGAGTCGTCATGTCCGGTAGGCGACCTTCAGCTTGAGCCCCATCCTAGTAGTTCATAGGAAAGCTTCTTCCCCGCAGTTTTGGTTGCATTTCACTGATCAGCTAAGCTAAATTGCCAGCTGGAGTGATGTCTCATACGAAATTATGCATGAACACCAGCCGCCAAGCAGACTATTTTGTCACGAGAAGACCTCATTGGGTCTGTTCGTGGTCATTCGCATCACAAATTTGTGTCCTAGGAACCATGGGGTGAGATAGCTGGGGCTTTCACCTCAATCTCCAGTCTGTGCTTAGCTCGGTGTTTGCTGCGGGTCAAGGCCTCCACGACAGGGCTAGCTGTACAACCTATATATTCCCTGCTTCGTCACAGGCTTTGCGCAACCTTACTCGTGTACTTGTCTACATTGCGAGTCTATCACTCGATTTACCATGGCTTCCAAGGATTTGGGCGAAAGGCAAGACATTACTTGCCACCAACTTGACCAGAAGCGCTGACAGCATCACAGTCCGCCTCGACGAGAGTCCCTCTTGTTCAACGACGAAGGTAGGCTTTCCTCTCCTCATGAGCTGTCAGACATCTGATTGTCAATACAGAAAAGCGCAGGAAGAGCATTGCTGGCTTGACGAACAACACAACTGGAGAGTACGTTGTATCGAAAGAGACTGGAATGAAGCTAAAAAGTATAGAATTCGCAACCCGTTGATCGGTATACCCCGAGATGCTCTCTTTGCAGACGTTGATCAGTTCGCGACCACCTACGGTCTCCAAGACATTCAGCCACTGTTGAGGAAGGGAGCACTGGCTGCGCAAAATCCTTTCGCTATCGATACGATACCCGATCTCAGTGACGAGGATAGGCAAACATTGCACGAAGAAATCACAAACAGATGGCGTCAACCGAAGATCCTTTACATTACCATCATCCTCAACTCCATTGCTGCTGCAATTCAAGGATGGGACCAGACAGGTTCCAACGGCGCCAATTTGTCGTTTCCTCAAGATTTCGGTATCGATGAAGGTCCAGAGGGTCCATGTGCGATAACTGGTACCTGTGAGCGCAATCAGTGGTTGGTCGGCGCTATCAACTCTATGCCATACTTCGCCATCTTCCTCTTGTGTGTACAGATCTGCTTTTGCGGGTATTGAATGAGCTGACAAGTTCTCAGTGCTGCTTGGATTTCTGATCCCCTCAATCATCTGCTCGGTCGACGACACACCATCTTCATCGCCGCAGTCTTCTCTCTTCTTGCACCCATCGGTATGGCTGTTACCCAGAACTGGCAGCAGCTTATGGCTGTGCGTGTCCTTCTCGGCATCGGTATGGGCCTCAAGGAAGTTACAGTACCTGTCTTCTCTGCCGAAGTGGCTCCAACCATGATTCGTGGTGGTCTTGTCATGTCATGGCAAGTCTGGACCGCGTTCGGTATCCTCCTCGGAACTTCAGCCAACTTGGCTGTGAAAGACACAGGCGCGATAGCCTGGAGGTTGCAGCTTGGCTCAGCCTTTATTCCAGCCGTGCCCCTTGTGCTTGGAATTTACTTTGTGCCCGAGTCACCTAGGTTTGTGCATGTCCTGTTATGATGAGGCCTTCTAACGTGGTTCAGATGGCTTATCTCTAAGAAGAGGTACGGCAAAGCGTATAAGTCGCTCTTGCGATTGAGAAACACGCCACTCTTGGCGGCACGAGAACTCTACTATATCTACGCTCAAACACACCAAGAAGCACTCCTCATTGCTCAATCAGGCGTCTCGACCAACGACAACTTTTTCACACGTGTAGTCGAATTGTTCACTATCCCTCGTATCAGGCGAGCAACGCAGGCTTCGGGTGTTGTCATGATTGGTCAACAGATGTGTGGCAGTAAGTGTGGTGAATTTCTGGTATTGGGTCTTTACTAATAGATTTAGTCAACATTATCGCTTTTTACTCGTCCACTATCTTCGCCAATGCAGGTGCCACAGTCACGGGTGCACTTCTAGCAAGTTGGGGATTTGGTATTATTAACTTTATCTTTGCTTGGCCTGCAGTGTGGACGATTGACACATTTGGCCGACGTGCTTTGCTGCTATTCACCTTCCCAAACATGTGCTGGACTCTATTAGCGGCTGGTCTATGCTTCTATATTCCGGAATCGAGCACAGCACACCTTGCTCTGATCGCGCTGTTCATTTACTTGTTCGATGCCTTCTATTCGCCTGGTGAGGGTCCTGTGCCTTTTACATATTCCGCCGAGGTATTCCCTCTCTCTCACCGTGAGGTTGGTATGTCTTGGGCTGTGTGCACCAACAACTTCTGGGCGACAGTGGTTTCTCTTACCTTCCCGCGACAGCTTCGAGCCTTTGGATCCACCGGGGCCTTCGGGTTTTACGCAGCCTTGAACGCGATTGCCTTTGTGATGATCTTCTTGTTCATGCCCGAGACCAAGCAACGCTCACTCGAAGGTAAGTCATGTATCTAACAGTTTGCGCGTGAGGAGTACTAACACCTCCTAGAACTCGACTATGTGTTTGGCGTTCCAACACGGACACATATGAAGTACCAAGTCGGTACAGTGCTCCCTTACTGGCTCAAGACAACCGTTCTCCGCCAAAAGGGCCACCCATCTCCTCAACTATACAAATTCGATACCGATGCCGGTGTCACTGATGTCAGAGATGATGTCCCTGCCTACACTAAGGCTTAAAGCAACCAGACTTCAAGTTGCGGGTACTTCGTGGCCGAGCGGTGGCGCATCGCATGCGTCACGATACAGCACGAAGTACCGAAGCGGGTAGCCTACTTTTTGAATATGTTATCTCACGTTGAAGGAGCCGCTGTGTATCAGTCCGTGAGCAGAGAAAGGCACAACAGTGCTAAGCATTTCGATAAAAGTACTCCATCTGTGGAGGTCTGCCTCGATCAATCATCATACTCTGCCGCTATTAACGAATTTTCACTAAGACTCAAACACTCAAGTATGTATGTATGTAGCTACCAGACTTCAATGTGACCATAATGGGTTACAATTCGTCTTCATTTTGTCACACTTGGTGGCAAGGAGTGAACGGTTTCAAGATTCAGTGCCTGCTACACAACGTCTAGGAAGTGTCAAAAACTGCCTACTAAGATGGACGTCACAGCCATTGAAATTGCTGCCACAGCCGATGTCTCGACCACGATGGATCTCTTCCACTTTCGTAATGCCCTGATCTGTCTTGCTCGATGGGGTTGTCACGTAACTGAATGAGAAGACTGTGCGACACACATAATGTTCAACTAGAACGAAAAAGACCCATCCCATCAAGAGCAATCGTTCACGCACGTCGTGGTCCAGCAACATCCAACTCTTCCAACCCTTGCATAGGATCTTCTCCCTCCTCACCACCATTCCTGTCATCCTGCCCTACCACTGCTCCGTCAACATCGCCTTGCCCACCACCATACTTGTTCAAATAACCTTCCTGCTCCCAGATCGCAATCGTACTTCCCAACCCTGGTTGTCCTTGATCCCGCTTCACATCCGGTTTCGCCATAGCGACCTTGATCACTCGTCCGTACAACTCACTCTGATCCATGTTGTTGATTGCTTCCTTGGCATCGTTTGCGTCTTCGAATTCGACGTAACCGAAGCCACGGTGAAGGTCTGTTGAGCTTGGCGCTTCGGGTTTGGGGAGAGTGACATCGAGGATTTCACCGAAGGGGATGAACACTTCTGATAATGTCGACGTGGTTACGTGGGTTGGGTCCAGGTTGGCGACGAAAATTGTGCTGTTTGGACGGCGAGGTTCGTCGTCCATTACCTGCATGTGGTGTTTAAAGAACTCTGTTGATGATTGCGATTTTATTCACATTCAGTCAAGTTCCGAAGATCTGGTCGCTGTGCACATCTGTCCTAGTTTTCCATGGTCTTGATTTTCAACTAGGTTCTCTCGACTTTTCACTCAAGTTCGATGTCGTTATCCGCCTATGCTACATTTTCTGCACTTGAACACGGAAACTGGTGATAAAAATTCGTCTTATGTGAAGTTTGCCAGCACTTTCAGGCATCTCGGCCGACATTCCCGTATATGTTCGAATACGGAGTGCTGGGGAGACCCCTGGCCCCTTTGTGGTTGCCCGATGACGCTCGAGCCCACATGGTCCTGGATAGATTGTGGAAAGGACAGATGAGCTGCACCTTTCGAATTGACCAAGTAAAGGTAGAGGGAGTCGCGTTCAACAATTCAATCCGTTCCTTTCTGATGTTGAGCCTCTATTGATTTGAGCCTCACTCTTCTGTGCCATCCCACAATCAGCATAGTTTGGCGACGTCTCGGCAGGGCACACCATGGTCAAATTGCGAGAGATTCAGCGTACAGCAGCCTTCGCCTGGTCGCCAGTCTCGACATGGATTGCGACTGGTACCAAATCCGGCGCTGTCGATGTTGACTTCAGCAATGAGACCTGCATAGAGTTGTGGGACCTGTCCCTCGATCAACCCGGTAGCAGTCAGGAACTGCAGCCAAAGGCATCTGTGACCACAGAAACAGGGTGAGGATAGCCCTGGTTCTTCCAAGGAAGAACCGCCATTGCTGACATTGAATGTGCAGTTTCCACGATCTCGCTTGGACCCCACCCACTGCAGCCCACCCCAAGGGCATAATAGCCGGCGCACTTGATGATGGCACACTGATATTGTGGGATGCGGAAAAGCTAGAGACTGACTCTGCAAATGCATCAATTTACAGGAAGAAGGTACACAGTGGCGCTATCAAGACACTACAATACAACCCTCATCCAAAATTCTCGAATTTTCTGGCTACTGGAGGTGCTAAAGGTGAACTCTTCATCCACGATCTTAATGACCTCGAAAGTGAGCCGATAAGGTTGGGGAGTACGGCAGCAAGAGCTGATGATATTGATTGCTTGGACTGGAACAAGAAAGTGCCCAATATTCTTGTGACTGGCAGCAGTGGTGGGTTTGTCACAGTTTGGGATCTCAAGACAAAGAAAGAGAGCTTGACGCTCAACAACTTTGGCAGAAAAGCCGTCAGCGCAATTGCTTGGGATCCAGAGAAGCCTACACGTCTGATTACTGCTGTTCCGTCAGAGCAAGAGCCGGTCATACTAGTCTGGGACCTTCGCAACTCGAATGCGCCTGAGAAGGTGCTTAAAGGCCACGACGATGGTGTTCTCTCACTATCGTGGTGTCCTCAGGACAATGAGTTACTGCTCTCATGCGGCAAAGACAACAGAACCATACTTTGGAACCCACAGACTGGGCAGGCATATGGTGATTACCCAGTAGTCACAAACTGGACTTTCCAGACAAGATGGTGTCCGAAGAACCCATCCATCTTCGCTACAGCCTCGTTCGACGGCAGACTATCCATTCAAACCCTGCAGAATACCAACCCATCTGCAGCACAGCAAGAGCAAAATCACGCTGGAAACGACGAAGACTTCTTCTCGAAAGCGCAGACACAACCTCAAGTAAGCACATTTCGATTCTTTGTTCTGATGCTGATGCTGACATTTCCAGACTTCTTCGTTCTCACTGCTCAGAGCTCCAAAATGGCTCGAACGGCCTGCTTCTGTATCCTTCGGCTTCGGTGGTCGTGTCATTTCAGTACGCATTGCGGAGGCAGGCAAGCGAACTTCAAAAGTCTCAATCACAAAGTTCGAGGTCGACTCCGAAGTCGGCGCAGCCACCAATACGTTCGAGGAAGCACTACAGTCTGGAAATCTAGATGATTTGTGTGATTCAAGAGCTGCGGAGAGTAAATCGGACGAAGAAAAAGCCGACTGGCAGGTCATGAAAACACTACTTTCGAAGCAGCCCAGGAAAGAGCTTGTCAAATACCTTGGTTTCGACGAGTCAGCTGAAGCTCAGGCTGCAGATCGATTATCGAAACTAGGCCTCGAAGATAAGTCCGCCAATGGTGAAGACCAGAAGTCACAGGTCAATGGGTCCAGCGGACCATCAAAGGCACACAGGAGATTCGATTCGGTCTTCGCTACTGATGCCGATGGCGACTTCTTGTCTCAGCTGGCTGCGACGAAGGGTACCACTACGAACAATCCATTCCAAATTTTCAACGGCTCGGAAAGTGAGGCCGATAGGCGTATCACCAAGCTCGTTATGCTCGGTAAGTTCGACAAAGCCCTTGATATCTGCCTGGCTGAGGAGCGTATGTCCGACGCATTCATGCTAGCAATCTGTGGTGGTGAAGCATGTATCAAGAGAGCACAAGAGGCATATTTCGCCAAACAAGGCAGTGGTCCAAACTATCTCAGACTGTTGGCTTCTGTGGTTGGTAAGAACTTATGGGACACCGTGCACAATGCCGACTTGGAGAATTGGCAAGGAGTTATGGCCACATTATGCACTTTTGCCGATGAGAAAGAGTTTCCAGATCTGTGTGAGGCACTAGGCGACCGTCTGGAAGGACAAGCCGCTCGCAAGGATGCCGCTTTTTGCTATCTGGCTGGATCTAAGCTCGAGAAAGTCATCTCCATCTGGATTTCCGATCTGAAGCAGCATGAAGAAGAAGGAGCAGCAAACGCTGCAGAGAGCTCAGCTTTCTCAGTCCATGCCAAGGCGTTGCAAGACCTCATCGAAAAGGTTACTATCTTCAGGCGAGTGGTTGACTTCCAGGACACCGAGCTACAGAAGACAAGTGACTGGAAACTCGAGGCACTTTACAACAAGTATCTAGAATACGCGGACATTGTTGCTGCTCACGGCCAGCTCGATGCTGCGGCTAAATACCTTTCTCTCTTGCCAGTACAATATCCAGAAGCGGATATCGCGAGAGGCAGAATACAGCAAGCGACGAAGAAAGCAGTTGTGCCTACAGCAAGGCAGCCTGCCTCCGCCACAACCGCAACACCGAAGAAACCGTTGCCAGGTGTTAGTGCTTTACCTATGAACAACTTCTCCCCAACAGGTGCACCTGTTCCTACACCATTTCAACAGCAACCACCAACGCAAGCCACGCCATCTTACAATCCACCCGGACAATCCTCATACGCTCAACCGGGACAGTCCTCGTTCACACCTTCCAACCCTTACCAGCCGATGGCACCACCTAGTAATCCATATGCACCTCAAAGAGCTCAAACTGGGTATCAGCCGACACAGCCGATGCGCGCAAACCTGCCGCCTCCACCGCAGCAGTTCGGTATGCATGCTCCTCCGTCACAATTTGGTGCTCCACCACGAAACATTACCAGTTCGCCTTCAGTGCCACCACCATCTCAAGCTAAAGACATGAAGGCCTGGAATGATTTGCCGGATGATTTTGCCAAAGCTCCTACACCAAGAAGGAACACACCTTCTGTGCCTCCTCAATTAGCACAACCTCAAAATCATTTTTTCAATAGCGCCTCTCCTCCAGGTTCTTCTGGTACACCGTTTGGTCAGAGGCCAACCAAGGCTGTACCTCCACCACCAAAAGCAGGAGAGCTGCCCCAGAGAGTACAATCTCCTCAGGTATCCGGCGCGCAAATACAGCGACCTAGCTCAACGGCGCAAAATGCTTATGCCCCTCTACAACAACAGCAATCAGCCAGCTCCCTGCCTATGCCAATGCAGCCTCCTGTTGCACGAGGTGCATCGCCATTTACCGCACCTCCTTCTGGTGCACCACCGCCAAACAGATATGCCCCTGCACCAGGATCACAACCAATGTCCCAGGGCCCACCGGCTCAACGCATAATATCACCTCCACCACAGGCCAGTCAATTCCAAGGCCCATCACCTGCCTCAAATCCTTACGCTCCAGGTCAAGCACAAAACCGAAACGTTTCCAACCCGTACGCTCCCACACCCCCACCTCAGCAGCAGAACTTTGGCCAGCCCCCACCAGCTCAGTCGCGACCTCCTGTTGGACCTCCTCCAAGCGGTCCGCCTAGGCAGCAAGAATTACCTCGACCAGGCACTTCTGGCTCGGCGTCCGGAAATCCACCAGCTGTGCTGCAACAAGCTAAGAAGTATCGTGAGTACCTCGCTCTTGAATCTAAATTTTGTGTTTACTAACCTCTCTCCAGCCAAGGGCGACCGCTCCCACATACCTGCTGACGCTCAGCCCATCTTCCACATCCTGTCTGCAGAGTTCTCGCGTATAGAAGCCCGAGCACCAGCACAATACGCACCACAAGTCAAAGATACTGGCAAACGTTTGCAAATCCTCTTTGATCATCTCAACAATGAAGACCTACTCAAACCCGATACGGTTGCACAAATGGTTGAGTTGGCACGATGTGTTGAATCCAAGGACTGGGATCGAGCGGCACAGCTGCAACTTGATATCCAGGTCAACAAGGTTGATGAGAGTGGACAATGGATGGTGGGAGTTAAGAGGCTGATCGGAATGGGAAGAGCTACGAACGGCTAGATGATACATAGATCAAATGCAGTATGGAACGAATGAAGATTGCTAGTTAGCGTGTGAGCTACGATGCAGTGCGTCCTCAGTCCACAGGTGACCCCGCTCGTATCGCTCTGATCGATCAAAAAACAAACCTGATACCTACTATGAAACATGTCCTCTGGGCTACCACCTTACACGGCGATTCATTAGTGATTTAGAAAGAATCAAACTCTCTAAGTATTATCATGAAACGAACCACTGGCGATCGTTTCAGTGGTTGTTCGCAGCAAACAAGACCAGCAGGATCGCTGGAACATCTGGTGACAGGCTCACTACTAACGTGAGTAAGTACTTGTACTTTGGTGAGCGGGTCGAGCACTATTGGCTGAGATTATTCGCTCTACTAGGACTCCACCATCATGGGGGCCGACTTGGCGGACTCATCTCGTGCAATTCAAGACAACTCATTGCCTTCAGTGAAAAATCACAGCATACGACCACCTAAGCCTAACAGATATTGGCACGAATATCTGGTCGACCCATAGCCAGGATACAGAGAGCCCTTGTTGCACAGTACCAGGTTGAGCCACAATTCACGTACGCACATCACAGCCATAGCCGCACAGTGTGGATGAAGACCACTTTACCAAAAATAGAGCTAGAACACTTTTCGGCCCTTCCACGAGCAGGCTTGGCAGGAGACAACGACGCGTGCCTGCTCGCTCAAAGGTCCCGATGTGCTTGATCAGACAATGGACTTGATGCGCGACAATCCTTTCGCGAGTATGGGCCATTCAGAGTACAGCATGCAAGACGCCTTTGACCAGGCTCGTCACGCGAAGCAATACGTCCGTGTCTCGGTGATGCGAGAGACCATGAATATATTGGCTATATAGCACTTAGTGAAGACGACATGTATAGTATGGTCGATTTTCTAGTCGATCTCCCTAATTTGTCTCGGTAGAATGACAATACGATCTTAGTGTTTCTTTCTAGTCGCTACTCACCCAGTATCACTGTCGAACTAAGCTTGGCGGTGTTTATAGAAAAACAGAATAGTTACAGAGACGATATCCAGGTGTATATCTCGAAGAACCTCAAAGAAGGCGTCAATCAAGTAGTTGCTGAGCTTCGGCAGCGAGTCTTAGCTGGTTCCCAGGGCGTACTCCCCTGAATGGTCTGATGAATGACAGGTCTCGTAAAGTGCGATCAACTTTCTTCTTTCGAGAAAAGTCACTGCACGCTAACCCATTCCAGACACCCACAGCCTCGCAACGTTGCGATATTCTACGACGCGGCTGACGATCGGCATTCATCACGATCCCCCGTTTTCTGACGTAGACATACCAAATTGAGCTGGCTCCAAGATTGTTGAGAACGTCTAGTATGGATAAGATGAGCATTGCACGATATGCATTTCTTCGGTCTAAAGAAAAAGCTCCCGTAGGCCTGATACATCGTTGTTTTTGACCTCTTCCAAGTCTTCTAAGTACACAATGCAATCGCAACAAACGGAACCATTCACCAGTCGTGTAAGTCGCCGATACTCAAGTCAGGCATGTGAATTATGTCGGCAGCGAAGACAAAAGGTTAGTGCTTTAGACGTCAAGCAGATATATATTCACTTCATGGCAGTGCGATGGTCGTTTACCATGTGCTACTTGTTCGAGGCTTTCGTTACAATGCAAATATAGCAACAAGGACAATCGCAGACGACAAAACAGGATAAGCGACGAAAATGTGAAAATCCTCCTGGAAAAGCAGGAGGTGCTTGATAATTTATGGTCGGCAATATTAAATGGCAACGAATTACCTCTCATAGAAAAAATACGAGCAGGATCATCAATGTTAGATATCGCTTCTGATCTAAAGGGTGAGGAGTCCAATGAAGGCAATTCCGAGCAGTCGGTAATTCACTACCCATCCAATTTGGAAACGATTCTTGAAGGTGAGAGCCGCCAAGATTGGCATCCTGCATTACAAGTACCTGCGTCCTCTGTTCAAACGAATGTATGTCATATTTCAAAGTGCATAGCATCGATCTAACTTCTGTTGACACAAGGATCTGGTTTTTACACTCCAACTACACGACAGCTCAAAGTGGGACTCGACAACAGTTCAGCCGCACAATGACTTTCAGAGCAATGTAAAGAAAGCAACCACAAGGCAAATTTATCGAACTTCAAGGACTTTTGGCAATTTCCCATTCAGTTCTTCCATTTACGCCAACCACTTCCCCGAGAGAACGCAAATGGCTCAATTCCAATTGTTTCGCAGACCCGAATGGCAGATAATGCCTCATACCGAAGTCGATAACTCACCGCTCGGTAAAGTCTACACTGAATTTTTCAAGGCATATAGCACAGATGTGTCACTCTGGTCCACTCGTCCAAGTCAGGGTCTTGTAAAAGCTACTCGATATTTTCGGGAGGCACAACTCCTTGACATATATGATGCGGATCACTGGTCATGTGAACTCCACAGGAGTTTTGGAGATGATTTCACGAACACAGTAAAATTAGCTGGTTTGTATATGGGAGCGATGTATATGCGTTGGCTACTGAATCCTTGCGCCGAAACATATCAAAATCTTCCAGTCATGATGCGACCTACACTTCGTCAACGACTCGTGTTACATAAATCCGCAGTCGATCTAGTTCCGATGACGTGTATCCGAGAAGTACTCATCGGAGGGATGAGAGATTTCTTAGGTCCATTAGTCAGAGCTGGCTTCCATGTCAATTGGCCTTTGAGTATCAACGAGGCACTGATAGCAATTGGCGATACGACTGATGAATGTTCTGATATCTACATTTCACCTCAATTCGCGGCTCATGTTAGCAACCCTAAGAACTGGGTGATCGGACGATCAGTTCTACAAGATTTCCCTGAGATTGAAAAAAGTGAAATCACAATAAGCGACGACCCTCACATTGGTACGTATGACAAATGGCTATAACCTTATGGAGCTGTCCGAGGTGGTAGACTCGATGAGCATATCTGGTACTCTGTCGATTTAGACGGCCACGATCGGTGGTGCAGCAAGTGGTATATACGTTGACAGCGTTAAATTTGAGGAATCTGGCATCAACTTTCATTTGCAAGTCGAGATAATGAACCAGATACACGACGTGACGGGATACAGCTTGTTCAATAACATAAATGATGTTGCACCTTCTGATTTTATTGCGGTATGGTGATAATTTCATTAGCGGCCGGGAAGAAGGAGGTGAGCTCAATGCTGTGACATCTATGAAGGTGAGCGAGGAGTCCAAAACCTTCGAGATCAAGGCCTCGCGAGAGACTTCGGTGAGCTTGACAGGTCAGTCACCGTTTGACTGCCATCTTTTTTATGCTGATATGACTTGGCGACAAAGGGCAGTGTCAAAAGCGCTTTCCAGACGATCAAAAATGATATCAGCAAAAGTACAGAGACAACGGTCGCTGTCGACTGGTTTGGAGGGGGCGCCATCATTGACTCCGGAGAGGCTTGGAAAATCGCGTCAACTCAGAAGGCTGCCGCAGCGTTCCTAGATCTTGTGGCTATGTGCCCTCAGCGAATATCGCAATCTCTACCAAGTATGCTCAGCTCGAAAGCCTTCAGCGCATAAAATCAAATTACATTTCGCTTGACTACAAGAATATGGAGATGTACACAGGATTTTTACTTGATCATTATATGGACTACAAGCTACTGTGGAAGCAATAGACCCAACTATATATAAAGAGAAAGAATATCAAGAGCCATAAGAAGAATAGGCGTATCTTTATTTCGCCGCGCTGCATAGGATATCTGGATAATCCCGAGCACAGGGTGTTAAGACGCAGACGTATGCACCGCTGGCTTTAAAGGGGTGTGAAGCGTTCATGCAGAACAGCGCAATAGAACTGTGTTCAGTCTTCGCAATCTCGCAATGTGCGCTGCCGGAAGACACCGAAATATAATTCTTGTGACGGGACAGATCGTGTCAAGTCATTGACCAAATATGCCGTGCTTTGTAGTCGTCACCTTGAGCCATGTTTGTAAGCGGTGTCACCTTTTAGCTCGACTAGCTGTGACTTATCCTCAACTTTGTCCAAAGATTCTGCGACGTTCGTCTCGAACTTCCGAATTGATCTATATCCATGCGATCTCAACAGTGCTGGTAGGTAACCAATCACCAACAGTGCATGCAGAAACAATAAAGCCAAAGCCAGATAGTGAGCCGTGCTGTCGGCACTGTAGGCGTATCCGGAAACGTACACGTTCCCGCGTAAAGGGGTGAAGCAACTTGTATTGAAGCCATCTGGGAACGGTTCAGTAAGTCGTCTGTGGCCCAAGTAGTCGATAGAATCCTCGCCCTCAGTTTGCTTCCTAATTTCTGAAACGTGTTCCTGTTTCGTGGTTGATCCGAGCCGTTGCGTGTTGCGAGTGTGCTCAGCCATACCAGACTGTGACATCTCACGTACCAGACAGCGAGCGAGTATACACTCCACTCTGTTGGGAATGACGTCCAAGCGCACCGCAGATCCTGTCGTGTCGTCTCTAGCAAGGTTCAGCATGTCTAGAGACAAGCAGGGGGCCAGAGTGTCGAGCCAACCTGGATCCATACGTACAGGCCGTGACGCCTCCATCTGACTTGACGCCCGCAGACCACGAAAGTACCGTTCACTGTGCTCTCGCTCCAAGAAAGAGGTTGGTTCATGGGTTTGCTCTGTTGCGGGTCCAAGATTTTGAATCAACGTTCCCTGACTCCAGCTGGCCTTTACAGAGCATGTAAGTGTATGTAGTCTTACAGGCTCTTCTCCTTCATGCAGTCCACGCTGGAATGTGACGATTGCAGCGGCGCTGAGAAGCTTCTTCATTGCGGCTTCGGGCAACGTTGCCCACTGTATTGGCAGACCCACTGTATTCCTAGGGTCAACTTCGATGTCAAGATGTCGATTGGTCGAGCCACGCGAAACCTCGAAAGGAGACACTGTAGGAAACTTTTCAGTGAATCAGTAGGAAGATTATGCCATCGTTAGAAAACGAGAACTCACTAGTAAATTGACACTGCCATTCCTCGGTAAAGGTTGATGTACTGTGTTGCAAAGCACTTTGACTACAGGATTCCAGGTGTGCATTGTGGTATATGCCGTACTCAGAAATCCATGGTTGAGTCTTGTCAATGGTTGATCTTTCCCACTATCTGTGGCAGTCGTGTCCGTCCGATACCATTGGGTAACTAAGTTTTGAGCCTGGAGAATACTTACAGCATGTGCAGCAACAGCCCAAGTCGCAGAGTTGCCTTGTACTTTGAACGCGTCCTCATCTCCCTTGTGTCTGATAGTCAAGCAGTTGCTTGAGAGGTTCAAGTCATGGCTAAGACTCTCACCAAGCAAGGGTTGTCCGTACCAGACGAGGTCAGGCATGCTCGAGATCGTGGAATGCCCTAATCCTGTGTATAGTGGTAAATAGTCGTTGTCCTTCGCATGCTCACTGCCCAGAATGTCCGGCCAGAGAGTATGATCAGCCGCCAAAAGCCAAATATCTTTGCCGCCGACAAGCCATCGATCATGCTTGCTAGGTATGGCCAAAAGCGAAAGTGCAGGGCTTATTGCGACCGCAACTATAAGCATGGCGATGATATCGAGGGCGAGTGATGCCGGATGCCACGGAAACCACCGGCTGCCATTGGGTCCTCGGGACAACCTGGGAAGTATCGACCATCTCTTGGATTGACCGGAAAAGATGTAGTTCAACTCCTCCAGTTCAGAAGATACTCGCATTCTATGTGATGCTCCAAATCGAGGAGGTTGTCTCGAGCCGTGAATGCCGACTATATCCATGATTGATGCACAGAAAATCAACTGCTAAAAGGTAGATTAGTGACAGCAGGGAACATCCAGGTCAACATACCACAAACGTCGAAGCCATTGTAATACGTGTTGACAGAAGTTTTTCTTTGTAACTCTCGAGCAGATAGCCAGTTAGGTTCACCCAGGTAAGCAAAGCTGTCGCTATCAGGGGCAAGATATGTAGACCTATATGTAGTGTAGTCGCACACACATCCAATGAAACAGCTCCACGACACTGATTAAAAAGACCTTGAAGATGCTGACAAGTATACCTAAATCCTCGAAGTGTAAGATCGAAGACCGGTGGAGGCAGGCTACCTGGATTCCTACCATATACGACCTGGCTAAAGATAGCTCTCCAATTAGAATCGTGGGGATTGGGTCCTTGAGCCAATGCTTGGAGTTCATTGCGCTTCTCGCCCATCGTATTGCTACTTCCGAACGACTCGTTTCCATGCTCCAACTGTAGGCGCTCGAAATTTTCTCGAGTGTGTTCGAGGATGAAGAGCTTGTCGGCCGCGTTTCGCGTTGCTGCATGGTCGGCTCCTAGAAGGTCAGTATATCCTTGCACAATTCCCTTCAGGCCAAGCTCGAGCCCGATAAGTGTGTCTTTTGCAGAAGCCGGAAGGTCTTCGAGGCTCTGCTTTCCATCATGTAGAACACTAAGTACTTGACCAAGTCTCTCAAAAGTATGAAATCGTGTTCCACGAGGTGCGGTGCTGAAAACTTCCGCGAAAATCAGGTATAGTCCCAAGCCACAGCTTTCGTTTAAATACTCTAGCTCGAAAGTCTTCATGATATTGAGTTGTTGCAGGTTGTGACGTACCGTGAATTCGAGCCATGCCTGTTTGACAGATATAGCTGTCAAGATTCGAGTAACGGAATCGGAAGGATGACCGTCTTGTGAAGGTTCTGTAGAAAGCTGCAGGATCAAGGTCTCGTACACCTTAGCAAGGGCAGCATAGTGCTGGTGGCGCCGGTCGGATGTGGATTTTTCCCACTGCTTGTTCACATTGGAGCAGATCGCAAAGACACGCCCCGCTTCCCAGAAGTAACCATGCTTGAGCAGTCCATCTATATGATTGCTCGCTTCTTCACCAAATATATCAAGATTGGTTGCAGTTGTCTTGGCGTAAATATGTAGCTCGGCTATGTGTAGCTGTGGTTGATGAGTCAGTGACGTTATGTTGGGAGCGATTTCCTTACAGCGACGAACGAAATGTAATCTAATGTAGACATCGACATGCTTTCATATGCTAGATATCGTAACCTGTGGCCGAGTGTTGCCGATCTTGTATCATACACATCCTCGTACATACTTATGAGCTTCTGCTCATGCGTTGATTGAAATTTGATGTCTCTCATAGCTAGTTCGCTGAGGACCCGTCTAAGACCATTGTAGTCGTGCTGCTCGCGAAAGAAACCCAGACCCTCTGCTGCGACAGGAAACCAAGACAAATGAGGCCAAAGCACCTGGTTAACAAACTCGCTGGCTTCGTCATAGATACCCAGACGTGTTAGTAACATGAAGTCTTCGAGTTCGGCAGCGATATCCTCCTTAAGATTGAGTTCGGATCCATGCGTGCAACCGTTTCTAGATTGGGAGCTGTGTTCAGCCATAGTCCAAAGCGTTTGAAGTGGCGTCAGCCATCAGTGGTAGGACCACGACTACTGGATATGACGCGAGGATCTATGTTCTTAGCTCCTGGCTGCTGTGGTAGATAACAGAAGACTTGCATCAACGTAAAGCGCCTGCGCGATATTCATCAGAAAGTTAAAACTATGAGTGAATCAGGCTGAGAAGAGTTTTGGTAGGTGTCAGGGAGGCCAGTCTTCCGCGTCTGGTTAGTTGGTGAGGAGTGGAGTAAGATGCTCGCCAGATCAAGCTGCGAGACACGGATTTTGGCGGGCTCTCAGTGCTCTTTCTGTCCTGCCGGCCTGCAACAAAAAGACATGTATTATAGACAGGAAACTCCAAGCCCAGATATCTGATAGGCGCTCTCATACCGCGGCGAAAGATTTCATGCTTGCAATCCTGCTGTGATGTAACATCTAAGCATTTACTGATCGCTGTCTTGGTGTCAGAAGGATTAGCCTGAGTTTGGCTTTTTGCTGAGGTTATATTACATACATAAGCCACCATGGCTCATGTATTCTCAAGACACACAGCGTCGTATGTCAATTCACAAACCCGACCTGCAGTGAGCGAAGCTTGTGCTACTCAAGAACTCAGGCACATCGATCTGAGGATTCCTAGTCTCAACTTGGCCTGTGGATGTGATTGCACTGGTTCCTGGATTGGATGCTGGCTTGATCTTAGGCGGCTGCGATATGGAAATTACGGGAATGCTGAAACCGCGCTCATGCATTTCAGTATTGAAGCTACGCAACCTTCGAATATTGAAGTCGTTAGGTTTCAGGTTAGTCTTACCTTCTCGGCATTGAACAGTCAGCGACACGATTGGAAACTGCCAACAACGACGACACGAACGACTGCAAACACAGCACCTCAGCAAAGAGCAGTATGGCTGCTTGAGAAGCCATCTCCATCGCAGCCGATCAGTCCAGACCACCTGAGTGGACGATTGTGGTCGTTCCGCAGCTTTCGATCCACAAGTTGTACTGGTGGCGAGGCCAACACTGCTCACTGGGAATGGAAAGCAACTAAAGATGGTTTGAGCATCTCCGAATGTGGCGACCTGTATTGTGGCGTTGTGTTGCAATACCATGGTCATCCGGCTGTGATCAAGTACCGAATTGAAGGATCAGCATCCGGAAAAGTAGGATGTCAGAGTCTGCTTGCGTGGTATAGGCGTCCCTACTTATTCGACAGCGACGATGGCTGCATGAAGACTGCGCCGTGGTTGTTATCATTACCGCCTTGCTCTGCGAGTTTGACACACAATGAAATCCAAGATTTCGACCGAGAAGTACTCGAACGACATTCTCCTGGCACGAACCTTAGAACTGGAGATACGAGGCTTACTTACAAACAGCCAGAGTTATTGGGAGGTACGATACCGTCGAGTCCAATTCTTGCTCGTCGCCGCACGTATGGTCGAGCATCCATAGGAGGAATGGCGACAGTCATAATGGGGGACGTCACTCTTACTCGCGATTCTGCAGAGCGTAAGCCTTGTCGACATATAAAACAAGATCGCTCAATCATCACAACACGGGATCTTTTGGCAACAGTGCGATCTGCTTTGCGAGTTTTTCTCCACCCCGGCACAGGGTTTGTGCTTTCAATCAAGTTCGGTTTCGATTATCTTCGCCCTTGGTTTACGTCGGATTCGGTAACTACGATGGATTCAACAGATCCGAAATCACTGAGTGCGTGGCCTGTATACCAGTTTTTGACATCTTCATCTTCCATAGCGATCCTTTTAGCAGTCGTTTGCACTTTTGTTCTAGCTTGGCGTCCGCTGAAGTATACCTATGGCAAGATACTAGATCTACGGATGAGTTTGAGAAGTGATCGCGACTTCGCTAAATAGCCGGCGAAGAGGGTGGACGACCTCGCCGATAAATATGGATGCCCAAAGTTGTGGATATGTGGGGCTTCCTTTCTCTTGTTTTTTTGTGTCACACTAGCCACATATCGTCGTGGTCGAGCAGAGACAGAATGAGCAACATGTTGCGGGAGAAGTCTACGATTGAGCAGCGTTCGACGACGTGGACTGACAAGCTATCGTGGAAGGACGCAGCTCCGTACACATGTCTGGAGCAATGGCTTTTGAGATTCAGCTATCAGGTTACATTTCCACAACTACTGTTCGTTCCAACGTCGTTTGTAAATACGGGATGGACACCACTACACCTGCAAAGAAACTTGTCCCGCAATCAAAAAGCTCTACAGTTAGTATCATCGGCAAACAGCTTCTCAATTCGACCCAGGGTTCACAAAAGGTTTCTGATACTGTTCATCACCAAATTTCCTACAACACTGATAATGCTGATCATGGCAATACGGTATTGTAGATGCACCCGATCTGCCTTCGACGTGGAAGGCGTCGGAGTGCTTGAAGATGTTGTTGAACCATTGATGCTAGCACTGTACGAGACGTTGACAGGATTCTCGGTAAATGCAGACAGAAAGACAGTGTCGCTCGAGCCTTCTTCGATATTGAAGGAAAATGTTTGGGGTCCGCCCACGTAGCGATCACTGAGGAGTGTCAGTAAGGGCTAGAACGCTGCTTCACATCTTGAAGCGTAAGTAGTACTCACCTGCTATACACATATCCATCACCACCTAAGATCGCGGCATATTCGACCTGGCCGTCGAAATTGACACTGAACTTGTAGGTGCCAGTATCAACATCTCCGACGACAACTTCCACATAGTGCGACGAGTCCTCGTCGTCGGATAGGTCAAGCAGCTCGTTGTTACTGGCGGACATGGCGAACACTCCATCGTCAAGGGAGGGTGTAGTGGCATTGGACGTTGCTAGAACATCCCGCTTCACTTTGAGCGCATTCGAACAGTTTTCGACCTCGATCTTCACAACCTGTTCTTGGGGCGGATCGTTCAAAAGATCACACACTTGCACGAATCTGCTTATCAAGTTTCCTTGTCTTCTGTTCTGGCTGAAGGGTATACAAACTGCTGTGCAAAGCTCTCCTCCTTCCAGAAAAGTGGCTACAACCTCAATCAGCAAAATCCACATCGTAAATCTACGCCATGCTGTGTAGGCTCACCTGGAGGATATTCGTCGCACGAAAAACACCATCTGCCTTGTGGACATAGTGTAAGGTCTTTGTTCAGAACTTTTCCGTATTGTCAGCGAATCTGTGTTCTCAAACCTGTTCTCGGGGAGATGTACCTCTGCAATAATTTCCAGGACTACAGTTGCATTCACGAGCCCGCGTACCTCGTTCACCTCCAGCATAGGTGAGATAATCTGTGCCACTAACGAAGTCAATACTACCTGGGAAAGGTCCTTTCGGATTAGGCAGCGTTTGTCTCTGCAGGATTCCTTTTCAAGACGGTATTAGCATCAGCCAGATGATACGAAGACAAATATTGGGTCGTACCTTGACACATGCTTTGGACCAACTCGTTAGTTTCATCCGGTATATATGGAATGCGCAACACAGGTACAACGTCGCCGTTGGGGTCGCATGCTGTTTCGCAACCCTCTGGAAAGCTTGTCCTCTGCCTTTTGTCTAGCCCAGTTTGTCGTAAGGGGGAATTGACTGAACGACGTTGTGCGTTACAATTTCCAGGGTCGGAAGTGGTGCTTGATGATGATGTCGTCGTGGTAGAGAGCTTCGGGGTTGTTATCCGTGGCGTAGTTGTACTGACTCGAGGCGTTGTTATGCTATTTGGAAGCTTCGAAGTAGTAGTTTGTGAGCTAGTGGTCATAGTTGATGTTCGACCCGACGAAGTACTTGATTGAGTGGTTGGAAGCTTCGAGGTAGTGACTTGTGAACTGCTGGTCGTAGTGGATGTTCGACTTGATGATATGCTTGATCGAGTAGTAGAAGTCGTCGCTCGAGCAGAACAGTATCCATCAGCTCCGCATACATTCAATGATCCACAGCATTGTTTGCCACAACATGTCTTTGACTTATCACATGTTCCACCAGGACAGCACTGCTCGCTTTCGGGATTAGTGCAAGCAGTAGCACCACCAAGTGTACAACAGGTCTCCGCCTTGCCACAAGTCCAGACTTTGTCATTTCCCTGACAGCACTGTGAGGTTTCAGGTGCGTAGCAGTATTGGGATCGACCACATCTCAACTTCCCGGATGGGCAGCAGAAGTTACCTAGACAATCATAGCCCAGTGGACAGACAGAACCATCGCCGCAACATTTCTCGGACTGTGGTTCATAACAACGTGAGGCTCCGCAGGGCACATATCCAGCATTACAGCACATGCTACTGAAGCAAACATCCCCCGCTGGGCAGCACTTGCCTGCTAGATTGGGGCACGGTACTTTAGCACAGATTAGCATAGACCTTTCCAGACAAGGCTGAACATGCCATAACCAGCATTGACACATTGCCCACCCTGCCGCTTAAACAAGGCGGTATAGCCAAAGCCTAGATCTGCATTGAGAAGTCCGGTACCGATATTCCCTTGAGCTTCAATCACTGGGGATGTACGATTGCCGAGAGGCTCATTGCCAGTGAATGCGACGGCTGAAATTGCTGCTAGAAGAATGAAGACCGCCGGCGACCGCATTTCAACCTTGAAATCCAGATGTTTAAGCGCAGACGGCGAGAGACACTCTACCCAATGCGAGGCAGCTGAGCATACTTTGTACCTCCCCCTGCGGTCAGGTTATGCCGCTACAGCACATTACTCCGCACTGCTCTGGCGACGGCAGACTGTAGTGCTAATCTCCCTTGAGCGCTTGAGCCGCGTGATGCTTGACACTCTCAAGGGTTTCCCACAAAGACAACCAAGGTAGTTCAGGGGCTTGACCCATGACCAAGGTCAACTTCAGAAAGGTTAACCCTGCTTAGCTATGCCAAGAAGTGATGCCTAGACCCTTGAAATTGAATCGAGGTCTCGCTAAAGCCAGCCACAAGGCAGAAACGTCGGTACGCCTGCCATTCTAGGCTTAAATGCTTCCAGGGTGACAAGGAGGTCTTTTGACACTATCCAATGTCGCAACGTTGATCAGCCGTGCGAATGATCGTCTGGTTCAGCGCGCCTCCAGGAAAGAAAGACATACAATGAAAGCGATAGGGAACATGAGCTTCATTCCTGCCAGCGTCGATCGTCTATCATCAGTATTGTCGTGACAAGAGTCAATCGGGGAGAACCGGATTGGTGATTGCTCCCATATACACATCACGACTGAAATCTACATTACCTTACTTGCAGGTACATGGAATCAGTTTTGATGGATTGTGTAGAGGTAAAATGTATCTGTTGCAATTGCTGTCTGGCATCGGAGCCATATGACGATGAGCAGACGTGCTATTCGGCCGGCGGCTCGATATTGTACCGGTCATGCGACTGCGGAGACTTTCTGAAACTTGACGTGCCTGACTTCTCGGCCCCTAATGCAATTCGACGCAACGCAATGTCGCGTCCGAAGTCACAGTCTCAGAGGTGAAACTGGAGAACCTGATCACAGCTTAGCAAAGCTTTGAGTACGGAATTACAGATCATTGAGCCACGCTCGACTCTCGGAAACCCCAAGATAGAAAGTTATGATTATAAGTATGTTTGAGTTCGCCCTCGACACAAATAATAGTAAAGAGCATCGGCATCGGCAAGCAATTCACAGTCTAGAAGGACATACGACTCAGAGCCTTAGAAGAAACCCTCATAAACAAGCACACTGAGGCGCAAAAGATCAACGATATGTCTATCAACAAGATCGCACTTGTTGGAGCCACTGGAAATCTCGGACCAGCAATTCTGAAAGCTTTACTTGGCAATGGATACGAGGTCACAGTCTTATCGCGAGAGGGGAGCACCTCAACTGACTCTTTGACGAGTCATCCAAGACAGAAGATTACCAAGGTTAATTTCGAAGATGTCGACGGTATCAGTGCGGCGTTGGAAGGCGTCGAAGGTGTTGTTTCCAACGTGGCCAGCAGCGCCCTCTTGTCGCAGAAGAAGATTATCGATGCTGCCATCAAAGCTGGTGTTCGCCGTTTCTTGCCTAGCGATTTTGGTTCAGATCTAGGTATCGAGGTCAACAAGTCCGTGCCTTTTAACGCCCCAAAAGTCGAGGTAGCCAATTACCTCGAGGAGAAGTCGAAGACTCATTCAGAATTCAGCTACACTCGAGTCTACTGCGGTCCATTCTTTGACTGGTGTTTGATGGTGGGCCTCTTCGCGAACCTCAAAACCCATGAGGCGACACTATGGGACGGCGGAGAGACCAAAGTCTCTACCACGACTCTCGCTTCAGTCGGCAAGGCTGTCGTGGGCGTATTCGAGAACCTTGAAGCAACCAAGAACAAGGAGGTCCGCATTGCGGATGTGACTATCACACAGAAAGAGATCCTTGAGATTGCGAAGGGGCTCGATGGCAAGGACTGGAAGACTACGACGGGCAGTACAGCTGAAGCATACAAGGCTAGCTTGGAGGAACTTCAGAAACCCCAGCCAAACATGCAACTCGTCATCTTTAATCAGCTGTACCGCATCATTTTTGGAGCCGAGCATGCACCCGATATGGAAGGAAAGCTGGACAACGACGTCCTTAGACTACAAAGAATGACCCAGGAACAGGTCAAGGAAGTCGTGAAGGCTTGTATGGGATGAAATGCGATTATCCATAACCACGAGACCTGATAATACAGTATGAATAGAGAATGCAAGATCTTCAAACTTACCTACAGAATTGTTTTATTCTGACCAATCGAGCTACTGTAGACCGCATCCTCGACGACCAAAAACTTCGTCTCGCGTGCCTTCCCATCACAAAAAGACGCGTTTTGCATCAGCAGCGCGGTGGGTCCACCTTTGGCTGTCCCGGTGCTAGGACATTCCGACCTCTTGGCAGGCCCAGGTGGGGCAGATTGCACACGACCCGTCGGCGCTTCGTGCCTTCCCATGACTGATTTAGGTTCTTTCGATATCTTTCGCTTGCGGCGCACTTCGCGTGTTGGTGGTCAATCAGTGAACACTCTTATAGATGTTGTAATCCCTGTGTTTCGATCGGGGCGTGATCATGAGTGATTTCTTCACTCTCATATTCGAAACTCCACTATTGGCTTCGAATTTGTGGTCGCCGTTCGCAGAATTCTTTAGTAGCTACAGGCAACCCGTACTATGGCTACACGAACTGCGAACATAGAAAGGCAAGGCACTTGATTCCCTGGCTCCGATAGCCACTGTCACAGGCTATTCGTGCGTTTCCATGAGCGGATATTCAAGATCATAGAAGTCTGCCATGAACGTTGCAAAACGATCTGTCAGAAAATCGCTCGACGGAACAAACGTTGACTTTAGCCAAAACAGTGCAGAAGTTTTCGCATGACTTTGCAGGATGGAAACAGCATCAACGTTGTAATGGGTTGCAGGGATCTCATCTCTTGGCTCTCCACTCAATGGTCTCAAAGTCAAGACTCGTGTTGCCCTGCCCTTGGACGCCTAACTTAACCTTTGCATAATCGAGACAGGCTCCGTCAAACTTCTTCCAAAGATTCTTGCAGCCACCTTAAAACAAAATTGGTGATGAGGGTCTTCGTTCTTGCCAGCGTCAAGTCCCGCTAGGATGTCTAACCTTTCTGGATTTCGATTTACAAAGAGTGTGACTCGACGATAATTAGCATGGCTTCCCCGAAGCAAGCATATGTCGTTGTCGCCGATCAGGAGCACGAGCTGGAACACAGATCTACTCACGAGACACAATCACCCCGGCTTGCTCATTTCAAATCGATCTTTCCACAACATCGTGACCATTGGGAACCCTTCTCACTGCGGCCAACAGGCTTACTTCTATTCGTGACAGCCCTCCTATGTATTTTGGCAGCGCTAGTGACAATCTGGTCCTATGCCAGAGGACATCACGGGCTGAATCTCGTCACGACGAACCACTATACCTGGACATATGGTCCCACTGCCATCTTCATCCTTGCTATCAGCTATTGGCGGCTTGTGGATTACCATTCTAAAGCCTTGATACCTTGGGCTGAACTTGCAAGCGGTCCAACAAATGCAGATCGTAGTGTCCTGCTCGACTATGTTTCTCCACTACTGGTGGCGTCACTGTTCTCAGCAACAAGGAAGGGACATCTCGCAGTCTGCATGACCATAATCGGCTTCTTGCTCTTGAAAGTAGTCACTATCGCGTCAACTGGTCTCTTTTTCCCTGCGATTGTCACTGTCGGCCCGATCGAGCAATATGTGTTGCAGACCTCCCAATTCGACCTAGTCACGAATTTCTCAGACTACTCAGATCCGGGAGCATCTCCATTCTATCAGGCGTATGCCGTGATGCAATTGGGCTTGCCATTGCCATTAGGGTTGACAAGAGAGTTGTTGTACGAAACTCACAAGCCAGAGAAGGACAAAGTCAATGCAAATGCGACATACTTAGTGCCAGGCCGTGCCTTTTCCCCTCAGGTGAATTGTCAAGCGGTCAGTGTCAACCCCTTAATAGATTGGGATAGTTTCGGCAGCACGGTCGAACAGGAGGCAGAGCTTCAGGTGCAAAATACTTCCAGATGGATGTGCCCTCCAAGGACAGGTTCAGCTTCCGATGAACTGAACCTGCACTTTACTGATGTGGCCAGTCGCCTGGCTCCAGCGAGACAGATTGTGAGCTCTTTTGGTGCGCTAGGGTGCACGAGTGACGACATGAGCAACGATAGTGGCACTGCACCATATCTTGTTGCGTTATCCGATATACGGTACAAACAAACCTTTAATGTCTCGACCACGGGGATAGCTGTTGGAGATATGATAGATCCTGTATCGTGGGAGTTCGCTATACCCAAGATAACGGGCATGCTATGCACCATTGATTACGAGATGTTGGACGTCAGTATCCTCTACAATATGTCACTAGTTGGTAACCCGGTGCAAAGTGTCGATGTGCTGCGCCCGTCAGTCCCCCCGAAGTTAGCCAACCTGCCAAATACTTATTTCTCACGGAAACTAGCATATGCCGCACCAACTTCTTCGGGTGGTGCCAGGGACATGTTCGGCCTTTTCACACAGTTCGAAGATGTTGAACAACCGCCACATACCGTCCTGACCATGATCGCGAATCGACTGGGCGTGGATTTTGAATATCTGCTGGATCATCCTCATGAGTTTGAGGTTGCAGCACAATACGTAATGAATAGCATGCTTCTGCAAATTGCCAAGGAGGCCATTCTCATCAGCGACTCGAACTCTACGTTCCAACCACAGCAAGTTCTGGGTCAGGAGCGCCATAGTGAAGAAAGGCTTATTGTTCAGACTATACCGTTACTCATCAACGTAGCAGGCATCACCATCCTGATACTAATCACAGGCGCCATCCTCGTGGTACGTCCCAGGTCTTCGACATCTGACAACCCCGAGACTCTCACCTCCAAAGTTGATGTAGTTAAGGCTAGCGGCAAACTGAATGAGATGCTTGAACAGCTGGCAGACGTGTCAGAAACGTCCTCCAGACCTTTGTTACGACGTACTTTGTACCAGAGTGACGTTGCAAATACCAGTATCATTGTCTATTCCTCACCGAACAACCTCAATTCCAATGGACTCAATCACGTTAGGCCTACTCGCACGAGTAGCGGCTACACATCACTAACACTCTCAAAGGCCTATATCGTAGTGACTTTGCTGTCAGCCACTGTTGCAATTGCTGCGCTGGAGATCTTGCAGCATTATTCAGACACAGGCGTTCCCGGGCTCGCCGGGATACATACTAATGATTCTTTCGTCATTTCTGTCTACTCCAGGTTCTTACCAGCCTTGATTGCTCTTTTGATAGCGACGATGTTCAATTGCCTTGATTTCAATACAGCAATGCTGGCACCCTACAACCACCTTGCTTCGAACGCAGGGTCGTATGAGGAATTCAAAACGCCAATCTTAGCTCATATCGCGCCACTGGCAATTATGACTGCTTTGCGACGACGATACTGGGCAGCGTCTTTGACAGGAATAGGTGCGCTCGTCGGCAGTGTTCTGACCATCGTTGTCTCCGGTCTTTACACGGTAGAGCTTATTCCAACCACGTCTGAAGTATCAATCACCCAGCTTGGTTCGTGGAACTTGTCCTATGTCCAAGGCTTCCAAACCGACAACGCCGCCACGGCTGTATCGAGTCTGATTGAGAGCGTCACCCTAGCATACCCACAATTCACGCACGACGGTCTCGCTTTTCCAACATTGAGTGATATCACAGGATCGGATGGGATTGTTACTGTTGACGTCCCCGCGCTAAGGGCTGAACTGGTTTGCGAAGAATTGCCCTGGGAAACGTCTAATGCCTCGATCGTTTGGCAGTACTACAAATCCACTGGTTACACAGCGATTAACTTCAACGTTACGGTCCCACTGCCAGATTCTTGCCATTATGGCTCATGCTTTGGCAATGAATCGACCATTCAACCCTACCTTACTGCCACAACACCGGCGGAGACCACGAATACGAGCTATTATGCTCAAGCCATCGATCTTCACACAGGACCATGGCGTGCCAACGAAGAGGATTGCTATATCTTCTTTGAACCTAGTGGCAATGTGAATGCTGATCAACCAATCAACCAGCCAGGATGTCCCAGCATGTTACTTGCTTATGGGTATTTCGATGGCAACGACCATTCAAAATCAACGTGGACAAGCATGTTATGCGAGCAGAGAGTGCAACAGGTGGATACTTCACTTACGTTAACACTGCCAGATAAGGAAATCCCATTGAGTTCACCGCCACTTCCCATCGAGTCGACAGCTATCTACCTCGAAAATGGAGATAATGGCGAACAGACTTTCGGCTGGTGGCTGTCTCCAAGCATGGAGTATTCCTATGTTGTCTTCAACGAGTCAGCGATAGATCCAATACTTCTTGAGGGAGAGACTTCAGTCTCGAACGACAGTCCCGATTTCTCCAATTTCTTCCGTGGCGCCTTCTTCGGCAGAACGCCACTGGCGCTCGAAACACTGCAGAGGAATGACACGGCTTCCAAAGCTCTGATTTTTGACCACGTTCAGATGTTTTACAGGCGATACATGGCACAATACATTTCAGCTAATATGCGTGTCCTGGGAGACACTACTGACGCGCAATCACGAAGGCGCGACGATCGTATCGTCAATTCATCCTCGATCACAGGTTCTTTCACACCAAATATAGGTGTTCCACGGCTTGTGCAGCATCGCACACCCAAAACGGTCATACAAGTCATGCTAGCTTTTATGCTTGTAAGCGCGATCTTGGCCCTACGGCTGGGCAGATTTCATGGTCTGGTGTTGTGGAACCCATGCACGATTGCCGGCGTGATGGTTCTTTTTGCTGGGAGCAAAATGTGTCAACATGGTGAAGCTATTGCCAGCATGGAATCCAAAATGGCGCCCGAGCGATCAGACAAGGTCTATCGCGATATAGATGATCAAGGCATTGACGTCTCACCACGCGAAATACACGAAACGCTGGTTGTCCCAGATCGATATTCGACAAGGCTTGGAGACGCTACTGGGCCGCCAACAACGTCCATCGAAAAAGCTGAAGCATGTTTACAGGATCGTCTAGTCCCAGCTATGAGTTCAGGCCATAACTGGAAGGACAAGAGTGCTAGGTTTCGTCTTGGCTGGTGGCGAGATGGTGTCATCATAGGTTCGAAAAGGAACGCTGACGCCGAAAGTGAGGTCGGAAAATGGAGGTACGGAATTGATATAGTTTCGCATACTGACGAACACGACAAAAGGTAATATCACGCGCAAGCAATGCGACTTGCAGGCAGTGGGAAGAAGGTGATAAGGGAACTGTGACAGTTGGTTTTACCTGGACCATCGGCTGTCCGATGACCTCTTGATGATGTACGGGTGAAGGTGGTAGAGCTGTAGTGAGGGCGCGGTAGTCGTTACTTGTAGTGGCAGCCTCGATGGCCAGTCCGTATATGCCGGCGGTGAGAGCAAAGTGCAAGAGGACAAAGACTGCTGTTTGAACCATGTTGTGTCCTTGATTCATCGAGTCTCTGAGAAGTCACTGAGAGTGCAACCGACTCGTATGCTTTCTCAGAATTCACGATCGACGACCAACTCTTCTAAGTTGAAATCCTTAAGCTTGCTTCTACGTATGCTATGATATATACGACAGGACACCAACCCGGCAGCTGAAAACTAGCTTGCTGCAGCAGCACAACTCGACTGTGGCTCGTCGAGAGCTAAGTTCAGCTCATGCACGCGCGCAGCGATGCGTAATCGGCGTGAAGTTGCTGTAGACCGCCCTGATCGTGTTGTAGGGCTAGTGACAACTGTATCGTGGGCTGGCTGATTCGATACAGGGGGCCGACTCAGGTAATTCCAAGTCAATTTCGCAGGACTTGAATCAAACAAATTTGCACTTGTCCATTATCATACTACCCCGTTGTTCATGGTAGGGAGCTCCGGGATATGTCCCATGCAATGACTATAGCTTCACGAATGGGACCCACCCTCTTACACCTTCATAAGCGTTGGTCTCGCTAAATCATGGGTGAAGTCTTACGCAAGCGCGTGGCAAGACACGATCCACTTTGAATAAAGAATACCCGTACTTGAATTCGTGACCACAGATGTGCATGTTCACAATTGCTATGCAGTTCCTACAATCCTTCACGATAGTTAGAATGGATCAGTTTCTGCACCAAATCTGGTGGATACTCGTGTCTTCATATTGTACAATACACAAACGCCGGACATGCATGCATACGACATGACACGTAGCAGGGTATACACAACACGCTACTCACAACAGACCTCAAATCCCAAACGCTTGCTCGCTCATCGCTTTTTGAAACATGAAATTGGATCAATAGGTCGCCTTTGTGAGACCTTGCCTTGCTTTCATTGCCTCGATTCTCGCTTTCAATTGACTCGTCACTTCAGCGGCTCGCTTCCAACTCTCGCCCTCACCATTAGCTCCTGTACGATCCGAAGCAGGTCTCTGCGGGCTTCTCCCAGCAGAAGTCGTGTTCAGAGGCGGTGAGATCTTCCGCCTCATGGCTGCCTGTGCGAGAGCATCGCCTGTATTCGTATTTTCTTTTTCGCCATGGTCATCCGCAGAGGAGAGGCCAGATAAGTTCGATTGTGATCGTGGGAGGGCTTGAGGTCTATTCGAGCCATTCGAGGTGGTACTACCCGGTCGTTGGAAAGCGGCGCTGTCAGGACGACTGGAGTTGTTGCCATTTAGTCGCGGTGAAGAGACCGTGTATCGTGGATTTTCATCGTAGACGTCTGTGTTGTTGTATGAGTCGTCATAATGTGGCTGTGATCGTCCACGCATCATCTCATCTCGATCTCGGCCAATACTCTGCCGACCTAGACGGCTTACTTCGCGCTTGTAGCGTTCACTGTCCTTCCGTATAGACTCGACCTCACTTCGGAGAATATCGCATTCTCCTCTCGCGCGGACAAGTTGTGTCTCTTTCGCTTTGATCTGGAGAACGTCACGGGTGTGGTCTTCAATCAACTGAGCGTTCTGATTTTGCAATTCAGATATTTGATTTGAAAGCTTGTTGTTTTGGGCTCTAAGGGTCTGCTCCAGCGATAAAAGGCGCTCTCTTTCAAGGCGGAGATCTTCGAGTTCAGCTCTTTCGGCGACACTTATGCCATTATCTCTTGGTGCTGGGGGTGGAGAGGCCGGCATGACTGATGGCTTGGCGAGAGATCGTGCAGTCAGCCCTCTACCAGCACCTAGCTTGGAAGGTGATGGCTGCGGTGGTTCGTCCTCATCGACTATACTTGCTGGAGAAATGACCCGTCGTGGTGATGATACGCCAGATACTGCAGTCTTTTTTAAACCTCCTAGCTTCAAGTTGGAAGGCTGCGCCAGGCCAGGCTTTGCTGGCGCTGCAGTTTTCGGAGGCGCCTTTGCTGTCGGCTTGGGCTGTAACGGAGCAGGATCGTCTAAGGGAGGAGCAGCAGCAGCTTTCTTCAATGGAGCCTTTTTGGCACCTGGTGCAGCTTTCTTGCCACCGGCAGCAGCCTTCGGGGCAGCTATCGGTTTTGGTTTCTCCTTTGCCCTCACTTCAGCTGTATCGAAGTACTCTTTTATCTTCGTTTTCCTTATCTCATCAAGTCCATCCAGATGTGGTCCCATAGCCCGCTCTCCGATAATTTTCATAAGAGTGCCCATTATCTCAGCACCACCAGCTCTCATTTGTTCGGTCGATTCGGTAAGCAGTTTAGTGCCAGCCTCAGCTATTTGCTTCTGCTCCTCCTTGGACGGTACATCGCGGGTCGTGCGAAGACATCTGACAAGGAATTTGATTGTCTCACCTTTCACATTTGGATTCTTGTTGGTAAGCATAGCCAGAATTTCGGGCAGGTTGTCGGACAAGGAAGTGGCGAGGAAAACAGCATCCATGGCAGCACCCAAAGCATCCGCGACAGATTGCTTCTTCTCTTTCAAACGCTCCATCATAGGAGTCATAATTTGACTTCGATATCTAGAAAAGCCTTTCCTCAAACCCAGAGCTAGTTTCTCCACACAATTCGCAGCGACGGTAACGACAGCAATGTTTGCATCTTTCATGCTCTTTGCGAACGCGCGGACGATATCATCATAAGGACCTTCTTTCAGACGTGGAGTATCTAGGATCTTGAGCAACTCATCCAGGGCATCTTTCCGGTCTTTCCACTTGGAAGAGGCTATGTTGTCATTGAAAGAATCAGGTATCTTGCTAGCGGCATCGACAGGTTCGGCTAGATCGAAAGCATCGATGTCGGCAGGCTCCTCCTCGACCTCTGCTTCCGCGGGTATAGCTTCCCCATCCGCAGTATCATCGGTGGTAGCATGATGAGCAGTGGCCATCTGAGCTTGTTGAACTCTCGTAAACCTTTCTTGTTTCGGCGAAGACTCCTCCTTGACTTTTTCAAACAGCTTTTCAAGGTCTTGTTGCTGCACAGGTTTCAGGTCGGACCAAAACATGGGTTTCATAGCCTCTTTCAACCATCTATACAGCTCTACAGTCAAACTTTGACCCTCAGCTCTCACATTCTTGTCTGCGTGACCATATATTTTCGGCAAGACTTTCAAGACAGCTTTAGGATCGACGATTTTGACACCAAAGTTGTGGTATATCTGCGTCAAAGCATTGAGTGTTGCAGCAATAACTTTGGGTTGCTTGTTCGACAGGGCAGGCAGGAGTTCCTCGATGACCGATTCGGGCTTGTCGGCTTCGACGTAGAGAAGGAGAGCCTCAAAGGCGTTGGCTTTCGCGACAGGCCTGGTGGAGGTCAAGCCCTTCTCATAGATGGGCTGAACGGCATGTGATCGTGAACGTTGAGCACCTCTTACGCTTCCATATTTCAAATAGGCACATAACGCAGCTAGACCATCCTGCTGAGCCGCCACATTGCTGTCGCCTGCAGCACCCTTCCATAGACTCGAGTCGGAATTGAAAGGTTCGAATACTGGATCGTTCTCATCGGGGCTCACCTCGAAAGCCTTCGCAGCAGCCTCATATGCCTCCTTCCTCACCTTCCAATTCTTGTGCTGGAAACGGTCTGGAAAAGGTAGCTGCGAATAGTCCTCCTCCTCCGCCATGATGGAATCGTGGGAAAAGATGCGCTTGGCAATGACCCGGAGAGAGCTTCTCTTATGGCTCGAGGTGGACCGCTAAGAATCGACTGATAACCTGCGTAGATGCATTAGTCATGTCATTCCTTTCGAAGCGAACAGTAACATGATTCTCCTTTCCGAACAGAACGTATTCGCGATGTATGAAACCTCCATTGGTCGCACTTACTGGAATGAATGTTATTGTTTTGGTGTAACGCTCCTGCCAACCATGTGTCGCGGAACTTACTCAGTCTTGATGATTGTGAAGTATTACTTGATAGTGCACTACAGACGTTCGAGTAGAAAAATTTATGGTTCGGGTCAATCTAGTCTCGACATACTGCAAAAGTTCAAATCTCGTTGTGGTTGATGGTCGATGATGCATAACAAAAGCGCGGCTTGGGCGTCACTGGTGTCACTGGGGGCAACGCGCTTGCCAAACGGCTGCCCCACAACTCTGCTTGGACGCTAAAAAAGCTTCGGCTTAGGCGAGTTTGGACTGCAGCAACATGGGCTGAAATCAATCACTGCGACATATATTGTGAGTCCTACAAAGAGGCAACAAGAGACACATTGCACAGTAACAAGACATATCCTCGCTTGTGTAGACCCAGCACAATATATACACGTCCATGGTCCAGCGACTTTTGCGCCTTTTTCCTTTCACCTCATTCTCAGTGCGCTCGTTACCATTGCCCACTGACATCACTATTGCTCTTTGACACTGCAAGGCTGGCTCGACTTGCACAGGACTCGCCGAGGACGGCTGCCAGAACGACGACTGAATATTCGCACGACTCCAGACCCAGCACTGCGCATGAAAGAAACATAGGGACTCCTGGGCCGGAGGCCAATCCGGCCAGAATGAGTCAACTGCTCACCTCGCGCCAGGCCGAGGAACTACATAAGTCTATGGTTGCATATCTGCTGAGTATAGGCATGGCTGAAACTGCTGCAGCCCTGCGGCAGGAAGCCAGGCTGACCGATGCTGAAGGCTTTGACGATGCTACCGCGAAGAAGTACGAGACGTTGCTAGAGAAGAAATGGACGTCCGTTGTGCGCTTGCAGAAGAAGATCATGGACCTGGAGGCCAAAAACCATGCTTTGCAGCAGGAGTTGGATAACGCTACACCTCTGTCTTCGAATCGCAAGATCGACCCACAAACATGGCTGCCACGAAGTCCACCCAAACAAACATTAGCAGGCCACAAACAGCCTGTGACCAGTGTCGCTTTTCATCCAGTCTTCAGCGATCTAGCCTCCGCTTCAGAAGATGGAACTATACGGATATGGGACTACGAGCTAGGTGAATGCTTGCGCACCTTAAAAGGACACACCAGGGCCGTGCTGGATCTTGACTTTGGTGGTCCAAGAGGTGGCACACTCTTAGCTTCATGCTCATCTGATCTGACCATCCGACTTTGGGACCCTAGTGACGAATACAAGAACATCCGCACCTTGCCCGGCCATGATCACAGTGTCTCTTCTATCAGGTTTATCCCTTCTGGAGCAGCCGGCGCTCCTTCTTCTGGTAATCTTCTGGTCTCCGCCAGCAGAGACCAAACCCTGCGTATTTGGGACGTGACGACCGGGTATTGCCTCAAGACTTTCCGAGGACACACCGAATGGGTTCGGGCAGTAACACCCTCGCTCGATGGCCGATGGCTCCTCTCTGCCGGAAACGATCGCGTGCCACGTCTCTGGGATACCAATACCGGAGAAGTAAAAATCACTTTTGAAGGCCACGAGCAGTTCCTCGAAGCTGTCGCATTCGCCCCTCCCTCATCGTACAGATACCTATCCGACCTCGCTGGCTACAAAAAGCCACCACCGCCACAATCTCATGGCGAATTCCTCGCCACTGCCGGCAGAGATCGTGTTATTAAGATCTGGGACAACAGAGGCACCTGTCATAAAACGCTCGTCGGTCACGATAACTGGATCAAAGCTATTCTTTTCCACCCTGGTGGTCGATACTTGCTTTCCGTCTCGGAGGACAAGGCAATCAGATGTTGGGATCTGAGCCAGGAGGGGAAATGTGTCAAGGTAATAAGCGATGTGCATGAACATTTCATCACGGATATCAGGTGGGCGCCGGACATGAACACGCAGGTCAATGGAAGTGCGAACGAGACCAATGGGAGTTCGATACCTGGCCAGCAGGACGATAAAGGTGGTGGAGCCGCGACTACCAGGATTAGATGCGTAATTGCCACGGCCAGTGTAGATTTAAACGTGAGGGTGTTTGCTGGCTGAGCGGTGTAGTTCCACTGCAGAAGAATATCTAATAGAAGAAAGAGGAAGCAACCTCCAGGAGGCACGAAATGAGCAACAGAAACCATGTGCTGACTGCGCTTGTGTCGTACCAAACATACCATCAGAGAAGTACTGGGCACATCGTCACAATATTGACGTGATGAATAGAAGCCCACCTCATTCTTCTGTTTTCGGAAAGCAGAGATACCAACGACGTTCGCAGGAGCCGCTCTTGTTTGTAGCGGCAAGTAAGCGGTTGGAAGAAGTTACCGTCACAGCCAAGATCAGTGAAAACTGCATCGTGCTCGCCCTCGCTTGCGGCCTAGGGTGAGGCCACTCTGGCTCACCACCAGCTCGTCCTCTTGGGGGCCAGCCTCACCGTCGCTCACCGTGCTGTGCCCACCTCAGGCTGCAGCAGCTTCTATTTAACCTGCGAGCCGAGCATAGAGATAGCTCAACAATGCGAAGACACGCAACCTAGTTGCCGATCTTGTGAGGAGTTCTGATATGGACCCTCGTTGAAGTTGAGCATCGTGACAAGCACTCTTGAAGCCATGTCGGTCTGCGGCATTTCTCGTTTACCTGCATAGTCAGCCGGGCCATGCGTGCAGCTCACCAAGCCATGACTTCTAACGATATATCGCTTGGTCAGCTCCACTTCCTATCCTGTCGCCATGGAGCGACACAAGACAATGCTGACAGGGTCCTGCAAGGTCAAAGCGAATGCAAGATAGATGCGAGTATACACCCGATTAAACCCTAATACTGACTGACTGACTCGTGCGTGTCTTCACCAAGCAGCAGTCATTTTAGCGACAGAAGAGAGTGGGGACCAAACACAGTGGCGGATACAGAAAGCTCGTCTACATTACTACTTCGAGCAGTTTTAGCGGGCAATCAATTCATGAAAACGCCAATTTCGAGGACTCCGCAAGACACCGTTGTTACCCTCGAGCTTCGTCGACCTGACGTCTGGTGCTACTATCGATTCATCACCAGGATGCTCTGTCCGTAAAGCGGTTGAGATACTCACAAGGGAACGGTGGGCAGTCCAAAAGTGATGTGGCTCCAGTCACTGAAACTCCTAAGTGATAGAGGCTTGGTTAACACCTGATCCAGACGGCTATCTAGAGCCGGCCCTGGAAGAACGTTTATAATGGCAGCTTATGGACCAGGACCACTGTATCTATAAAATACCACTGCATTCGCCTGTTCGAAGTTGCCCGTTCAGCATACTATCAGGAGATTGAATTAAAAATGGCAGTCCTGGCCCTCTTCCCAATTTGCATTGTGCTTGCTGGATTCGCTCTGATTGTACATCACAGTGCGGTCTATCTCTGGGATGCGAAACGACTTCGCAAGTATCCTACCTTGAATCCTCTCTGCGGTGTCACCAATCTGGGGTACATCCTCCAGCTTTGGCGGTCAGACAAGTTTCGAACTAGATCAATTACTCAAGCTCATCGCGAGAACAGTGTGATCCGAATTGGCCCGAGTGCCTTGTCCTTCTCAGATGTTGGCGCAATACAAGATATCTATGGACACAGCACGACATGTCTAAAGGGCGACATGTACTCTACACCGGCCGGCCCTCACCGCAACATCCTTGACTCCGTGGACAAGCAAGAGCATAGCCAGAAGAGGAAGCGATTGTCGGCTGCGTTCGCGACCAAGCATCTCGAAGAGTGGGAACATAAGATTGTCGACAAATGTAATCGTTTGATTGCCCGGTTCGATCAGCACTGTACATCTAGTATGAACGCGAAGAGAGGAGTGAAAGAAGACACAATCGATCTCCGAAAATGGTTCAATCTGTTTACTGTTGAAGCCATTGCCGATATTGCCCTCAGCGAGCATCTCGGCCTCCTTGAAGCTGGTACCGATACAGTCGTGGTGTCGGACCAGACAGGAAATCGTCGTTGTATACAGTTCATCCAAAGCGTCCACGGGGTTGGCCGGATGGCGGCGCCCATCGTGTGGTCAAGAAACGGCTATGCAACCTTCAAGCAAGTGGCCACGCTCCTCTCGACATCCTACGCGAATGAGGTGAGAAACAATTCGAACTACGATGACATCGTCCGCTACATGACGCTGCGCCGGCTGCAAAGACACAACTCAGGAGAAAAAATTGACGATCTCTTCACGTGTCTCGTTCAAGACAAACAAGGCACAGCAACTGGCCTTCTCGTAGGAGAAATTGCCGCAGAAGTAAGCGTTTTTAGTAAGTCTTTGTCATTGTCTGACACTTCGTAGCGACTGGTTCTGACAAGCTACTAGTAAATGCAGGCTCTGACACAACGGCCATTGCCCTCACACATGTTCTCTACTATCTCCTCAAGAATCCAGATAGACTGCGCCGACTCCGCGAGGAGATCGACAACTGCATTGAAAGTGACACAGTAATTCCAGCATATGCAGATGTCAAAACCCTCCCTTACCTGAAAGCTTGTCTGGACGAGTCACTTCGCCTATCACCGCCAGTATCCTTCGGACTCGAACGTAAAACTCCCCCGGAAGGTGCTTCTATCAACGGAGAATGGGTGGCAGGAGATGTTATGGTGTCCGTGCCCGCATACGTAGCACACCGAGATTCTTCGATCTTCCCCGACCCTGAGGAATACATTCCTGAAAGGTGGCTCACAGAAGAATCTAAAACTGTCCAGAAATACTTTATCCCGTTCAGTACCGGAGCTCGAGGGTGCATTGGACGGAACATTTCCTATATTGAGCAACATGTTCTACTTGCGGCTCTGGTAAAGCGGTATGAATTTGCCCTACCATACATGGAATGGGAGTTGCGGTGGGAGGAGCGCTTTAACCTTTGGCCGTCAGCAATGCCACTGAGAGTGTGGCGTAGGACGAGACAAACCTAGAGTAATCCACTTGTATGGAAGGCCGTCCGCTGGCGGTTGATTGTTATAGTTGCATTGTATGACAGCAGCAAGTACCAGGTTAATGAGAGCACTTAATCGACCTCACAAGTGGTTGGATTTTATGGATCAGTTTGTCTAACTCGACGTTCTGTGAAAAGACTTCAACAGCTGCACTTTGCTTTCTGTATGAAATCCTGTTTGAATACGGATTTGCTCGAGTCGCTGTACTGCTTCTTCTCTTCTTTTCAGATCATGAATGTGCTTAGCGGCATGGAACATTGGTTGTACCAATGTCACAAGGACACTCTCCGGCGAGTCAGAAAGAGCGATGTCAATGATTTGCTGGGCGTGGTTTTGTATTTGCTCGCTGAAGTTCCGTGGGTGCTTGAGTGCAGCCTTTGTCGAGGGCGGTGCGTGCAGAGCCAGAAACAATTTGGACACGTGATAAAAACACATTGCGCTGGCAAATGCGGGTCTTGCGAACCAGAATCGCCGTGATTCATGATGACCGTACTCAATCCCATTTAGAGCACAAGGAACCCTATCCAACCAACCTTCGAGATCCGAGTGTAACCCGAGCCACTCTTTCACCCATTTCCTACCACGTCCGTTGTCACTGGACCCAAAGATAAAATCAATAACTTCACAGCATACTCTGAGCACATCGTTGCAGAGCACATCTGCATCACTGATTCGGGTGTTGGAATCGTCTGGTCTTGGCCACAATGCCGGTTTGAGCATTACGGGGCGTTCTTGGTTCATTGCCTCGCCAACTTCATGCCTTGCGTAGATCCAGAATGATGCCATCATTAACCGGTTCTTGGAGTTATAGGCACGAAGTGCCTCAACGAGCGATTTTGCGCCTCTAAAGTGCTGATGGTAGTTATCATGATTCGGAGACTTGAGCAGCTCATAGCTGCTTAGGAGGATCGACGCAACCATAGTCTGTTGTGGATTCATGGCAGGATCCGCGAGTTCCAGTCTTAGTAAGCTCAAGCTGTTGCCGTAGTATTTCTCTGCTACAGATGTCCAAGTTTGAGCACAAGAAATGAGACTTAACTGTCGAGCCGCAAGAGCGCATGTTGAGTACAGGAGCAACGGAGATGAAGCTACCAAAGTGAGAAGACCATGTTGATACGACAACGAGGAATCAAAAACGTCCATCCACACCCCTATCCCTTGTTGGTACGTTCGTAGCAAGAAGGCCGCTTCACGATCGATCAACGTGAGTTGAGGTTTTCCTTTCTCACCTGCACCTTCTACTGGCTTACGACGATCAATGTTGAATTCTTTTGTTGCGTCGAACAAGATTTGATCAAGAACTGGCATGGATAACGAGGATAATGGCGAGGAAAGGACGTCGCGTGTTGGCGGGCTGAGTCGCCAGCTTGCGGAGGTTGTAGAGGACACTAACGGTGGGTTTTCAACCTCGGAATGGGCAACTGGTAGGAGCGACCGAGACTGACCGGAATCTATGACCTTCAGCTGAATATCCTTGCAAAGGCAGGCGGTACCATGCATGACGCTACAACATACCTTCAGATCCTGGTTCAGCAAGGTCATCGCCAAGCTTGTCGGGCCTTGGGCACAGCACAAAGCAGTGTATCACCTCAGGCTGTCGGCATTGCAAACGGGCTTTACGACAAAGGCCACAGATGGGTTTGCCTTCATCGCATTTCGTATGGCGAGATCTACATGTGAGACTTATCAAAGCTGCTGTCATTCAGTGAAATTTGACCATGACACTAAGATCGTACCAGCCTATTTCAAATCAGCACGACGAGACCACAGATCTTATGTCGCAGCCGATACAGCCTTTGACGTACCTGTCTTGCTTCTGGGGACACTGGATCTTGGCATCGAGTTGAACGTGTTAAAGACGAGTTTGAACAATAAGGAGGATCCCAGATCATCCCACTGTCCGGCCTCGAAGTGATATTCGTTGCGTCTTGCAGTGTCGCACTATAGATTCCCGGACAGAGCTTTCGCTGTATTCACAAGCTTTTGATGAACAGTGGTACGCTTCTGTCTCTTATGCTTGTACTTCCAAATTATCTAAGTAAACGTGCGGAGACAGCTACAGTTAAATCTACTCGCAGCACGTCTAATGACATAACAGTCGCATAGGACAAATCACGTGGGAGTTTGCACAAGCCCTCCAGACAAGCAGCTTTGGTGGAGGAAGTGGCTCCAAAGTCTGGTCAATCAAAAAGATGCCAACCAACTCATAGAAGCAACGAACAGAATTCGCCCATTCTTTTGGGTCCTTGTTAGTGGATCGAGTTATTATGTCCTTGGTAGCATATAATCTCATCTAAGCTCGTCTACAACTATTTCGTTGGACGCCACACGCTTAGCGGTATAGACACAGGCCTCAAACCTGACCGTTCCTCCGATATCAATCCCAAGTTACGATGTGATAGAACGAAAGTGTGATGTCTTGGCATGGTTGTCAGCACCAAATGCTGCTCGACGCACAGGAGGTTCTTTTTGATACTGACTGAACATCTCTGCCAAGTTTACTACATTGAATAGCAGGTGTCAGTGCTCATGAAATTGACGGGCATCGTCGGTCACAAAACTTGGAATTTTACGGAGCTTTTCCTTGTCTGCGGTGGACCAGTGATCCGTAAGCGAGACCACGAAGAACGACTCAAAGATTCCATGAAAGTTGTCTTGACACTCAAGCTGGACGAGGGCATCCATATCACACTCGCCATCGCTGATGACGAGTAGATTTGAGCGTGCAGCGCTGCTGGTCGTACCCACGACGTTTCGGTGCTTGATCCACAGAGCCACGTGCCCAGCACACAAGCGATTGCCTCCCATGTCACCCGCGAATGCACATACGACGTGACAAAACGGAAAGAGTAGGTTCACTTGTATGGCAGCGAGCAAATCTTTGCCAAAGTTCGGAGTGCTCATATTGACAGCATGTCGTTGCAATTCAGGGCATGCCTCATTGTTGTTCGTGGTGGTGCGTGGTGCTGCATATGTGCAGTCGGCGATCAGCACAGGGTGGGGATGATCCTCAGTTGAGTGGTCAAGTATCAGGTTGGCGACACCGTGCGCCGAGCGTCGAGTGGTGTTATTCTGAGGATAGAGCTTGGACAGCGTCATGGTCTTTGCGTAACCTGACGAAGAAGATTAGCAGTGGCTGTTGCTCTTCAGGGTGTGGTAAGCCCTTCGCGATCGTATGAAGACATCTCAAATACTTAATTGTCCATTGGTAGAGCTTTCATCAAGGTTCAGCCACGCCGTATGGCCACAGCGTCGCATCCTTTACCTATCGTGTACTTTGTGTATGGGTTGGCGATGATATCACAAATCTTTAATAGGTAAATATCCGAGTACACTTTCGTTGCCATATTCGTTTCGGGGAAAAATCTGATCCGCGACATCGTGGCTTTATTCGTCGATCAAAGCACCAGTAAACTCACAGGAGATGCCGTCATAAGATGAAATCATATCGGTATTCGCGCAGAAGGGACATTCAGTGTCCCTACCTTCACGATCGATAGTGCCAAGCTAGCATACAAAGTTGGGCTACGGTATTCCAAAAAGCCTGTAGTGCAACTCAACAGACAGGCTGGTCAGGTACTGTACGCTTCCATGAGCATATCACCCGCTATGTGTTGATTGACACGTCTTCATACAATGATTACATCTTTTACAAACGTGTCAGATAGAATGCTGGAGAAATCGGGCGATCGACTCATTCGTATCACTTTATGTGGTATCCTTCGCAGCCTGGCCTATCAGATGCTGTGCTCCAATTCGCTGGGCACGGTTGCCTAACCTGAACCTCCCTTGAGTCATGCACTTTCAGCCTTACACCACTTCATATATCACGAAGTGGACAACGTTCTTGCAAACATATCTCACAACGAAAAGATAGGTCACTCGGCTCTCTGTCTAGATATAAGTGCACTTTTGGTCATGATTGAGTACGAGACTACTCCACATATCATAACACTTCAAACAGATTGCCGAACAATATGCACATGAGGAAGCGCCTGCCAGGTATGTGTTGACTCAAGGTGACGCCTTTTCGCGTCGAGAGTTTTACTATCTGACGTTTTGACAAACGATCTTGCTGCGCTACTTTTCCTCTCCATCTTACAATTCCTTGTTAAGACTACCTGTTAAGCCACCCATTTGGCAGCAACGAAAGTATTCCGCTCTGAAGGAGCTTGCCTCATCGAAGATAGATGCCCTGTCATCATGGCACAAGCTAATCTTGATCTGGACTTTGTGACGCTCAGCACCGTCGATATCGACCTGGTTGGCAAACTGCTGGATAGATGTCGAGAAATTCACAACGATGACACTGCTGGTACCAACAGCGAAAATACCGAAGCCGATTCAATGTCATACAACGGACCACTTCCAGAAGAAAACCTATCCGTGGTCTATGAATGTCCATGCACTGAGTCTTCCACCGTCAGAGATGACTTCTTCGTCCTCGTTTGTGAGTGCTTAAGATGTCTTGAGTGCCTTGCAACAGAGATAGATGTTGGCCTCAAGAAGAAAGCTTGGCCACCCAAATGTCAAGAATGCAAAACCAACATTGACCTCAATCATGTCCGACCTTACATACCGAAGGTATTGGTACAGACCTGGCTTCGAGTTCGTGAAGAGTATGATGATCCTTCCCCAGTATATTGCGCAACACCAGATTGCAAGCAATACCTCAATAAGTCAACATATTCGACGGACAACAAATGGGCCGCATGCTCCACGTGCAACTCGAAAACATGCACAACTTGCAACAGCCTCAAATCATGGCACACTGACCAAGGCAAATGTCCAGACAGCATCGAGCCTGAGTCTCGAGAGGAAATGCGACGAAGAGGTTTCAAGCCTTGTCCTTGGTGCAAACAAATGATCGAGCGAGACTACGGTTGTGATCACATGCATTGTGATCAATGTGGAAAAAACTTCTGCTACAACTGTGGGCGCAAGAAAGGTCGCAGCGAATTACCATGCAACTGCAGAGGCGAACACGAATGGGTCGACGAAGCGATGGAAGAGATGAACCCTGAAGCACAACAAGATATCCTGGACCGTATACAAAATGGCATGAATCTACCTCAGAGGTTCCATGATCTCAGAGACATAGAGTTGCTGCCTGAGGGTCGATTCAGAGGTATGGGACGCAGAGTTGGTGAGGAAGGTGACGAGCCCGCTCCTGCTGAAAACATCATGGACGATCTTCATGAAGAACCAGAACCAGCTGCTCGCGCCGGTGCACGTCGTCATATTGTTCAACAAGGCTTCAACCACTGGCAAGCCATGCAGAACTTTGGCGAAAATGAAAGACTCTTCTATGGCGGAAACTTCATGGGCGCTGGTCTTCGATTAGGTGAAGAAAATGAAGAAAGACTTGAAGGACAAGATGCAATGGTTCCCGAACCCGACATCGCAGAGTGGGTTGCGCCTGACGCCGACTGGGGTCAGGAGGTTTCTCTTCAGATGGATCACTACAACTTCTATGGTCGTGGTCGGCGACTAGACAATGCAGAAGAGAATCCGCAGATGGTCGATAACAACAACGTTGAAGATGAGGATGATCACCGCGATACAGACATGAACGGCTGGGACAATGCTGACGAAGAATATGACGGTTACAACTGGACGCCAGGGTACGCCTTTGGAGTCAGATATGGAGGAGGTCGCCCGCTAGGTGACGGACCAGTGATTGACCGTACCCACAACGACGCCGATGCTTCAAACAACATGGACGTTTCGCCCGATGTCCTGCCGCACGTCCGGCAGCAACCACTCCCATATAGAGACTACGGCCAATCAGGAAGGCCCATCTACCTATTCCCTGGTCAAGGTCGCACATTGGGTAAGACTGTGGCAGAGGTCGATGTCGATAACGATGCTGGCCCCTCAGCTGCGCCGGAAGTGCCTCCACCACAGGACAATGGCTTCAACCACTTCCGTGCTCGAGAGTATGGTACGAACGGTCGTGGTGGGCAATTCGAATATCGCCACTTCCGTGGTGGAGGACAAAGACTTGGTGATTGATTCGAGGTGGAATTTGGGTAGAAGATACTAGACAAGATGAAGCACGAAACGAAAGAGTAGTACTGGATCTGGTTTGTATGTGCTGCGCTCATTATAATAAGTCTACCATTAGCGAGGATAGTTCTGTCGCATCTCAGTTGTTGTGTGCCTCATCTGAAATACAATCAAACTCACTTGAGACGTTCTTCTGAATTCCAGCTGCACACGACCAAGGTCGGCGCATATGTTCTGATCTCCGTCGTCTAGGCCAATACAACGAGTAAATTGTGTCTCAACTGTTAGTCTTCGTTATAATTCACAAGACCAAGCCTCTCGAATGCACCCTGTCCTGTCTCCTTGACCACTAATGGCTCCATACTTCTGCGCTCACTCACTGCCTGCTCAAAGGCGGTATTAAAGTCATCTCTCCCCCGCTCACTCACCGATACCGAACGTCCAACAGTCCAGGCCCCCTCCTTCTCCCTCAAACCCTCGCTCCTCTCCCCCTCGCCGTGAAGACTCTATACATCCCTTCCCTCTTCTTCTCTCTATCGTTCTCCATCCTTCCACTCGCCAATCTCCGTGCATAAAACTCCTCCGCCTTCCCCTCCTTCGCAATCAAAAACATCTGCCTCCCACTCGGCATCTCATCCCACCACTCCTTGACACAGTCGATGAGCCATTCACCCAGACCGCGGCGCTGGTATTCTGGTAAGATGTAGACGTCGGTTAGATAGGCCATTGTGACGTAGTCGGTGCAGATGCGGGCGAGACCGATCATGCCTGGAGTGCTGCTACTGGAAGAATCTGGTGCTGGAGTAGTGGTAGCGGTATCAGCAGGCTCGACAGTAGTAGCTGAATACAGACTGAAACAGACACTATGCTGTACCATGACTTTCAGCTCTTCGTCCGAGAGTTTCTGTGCCCAGGGCAATTGGTCTGTGTCGAAGGCAGCGTTGATCGCTTGTAGGTCTATGAGGGATGGGTCAGTGCTGATGAGGAAGCCGTCGCGGTGCCAGGAGTGAGATTTGGTTGTTGAGAGGGACATCGTGAAGAACTTCCACGTATCCAGCCACAACCCGGTACTCTCGGAGGCTCGTGTTCTGGTTGTGCAATAGTGTGGCTGCCTCTCTCAACTGCACTCCGTGTCAGAATACTGTACTACCCGATAACTATCCCAAGGATGATTGACACACTCCTTCTTCCAGATTGTCGCGTTCGACTTATATATTCGCTTTCCAGTCTGGTCATTTGCTATTTAGTGAAGTGAAGATGTCATGCTACAGACTAGGATGTCATAAGGATGTCGTGAGGATGTCATAGCTCGTCGTCTTCACGCCGTTTATTCGCGCTGGCGTCAAGCTCGACAGGGTGAAAGTCCGAGACCGTCATCGGGGGCTTGTGGAGAAAAGTCAGCTGGCGCCCTTTCGACTTGCTAAGGACGATGCCTGGACAGCAGATAGTCGATCGCTTCAGAGTCACCACCGAACAGAGGTGTCGAAGATATTCATGCCTGAGGCATACAAAGATTACTACCAACAATGTTGCTCGTGATCACATGGACATGACACGCACGACCGTGGTTGAGAACTTGAGAACGAGCAGTCAAAGATTTAGACACATAACTCTAGATGACGTCTATGATACTTCATACACGAAGCAATCATCACAAATCCAACTTCTCTACAAACCACTCCCCAAGCACATCCACAATCTCGTCCACCGTCGGCTCCACTGGACTCTTCTTCGACCTTTCTGGCCCGAAATATGACTTGAACAGTTTCTTCAGATCGGTGTTGTTCAGCTGCATGTGCTCGCCGTGAACTTCCAAGAACTTCAGCGATCCCTTTTCGTCCAACTGCCTCAATCCAATCCAATCCTCCTTGTAGATTGGTCGATCTTGTAACTTCGTCACCGTCCTGTTCGATTCGGTCTCGTTGACGCTTGCAAACCAACCACTCTCCTTGGGAATTACCGCCTGATCATCCTCGAAAACGATCATCACAAAGTTCTCCAGCTTGCTCAAGTTCTCTTTATATGTGCTATTCTTGGTTTTCCGCTCGTTGTTGATATCAGCTAGGAAATGGCTGTGTTCGAGGTAGTTGTCGAAATCGTTCTTGTCGCGATAGTACTGAGCTGGGATCAAGTGTGTCTGCACGTAGTCTGACCACACAGTGCTGCTCTTCAGAAGGGCATTTGCGGCATGGCATATGAAGTCTGTAGCACTCTTGCATCTTTCAAACTGAGTAATGCCGTTGTGTTGGGAACCAAAAGTGACGAAATTGCGTACTTTCGGCTCGTTGCAGCGCTCAATGTAGCCACGGAGGAACTGTCCTCCTTGGGAGAAACCCATCGCGTCTACAGCTGGTGCAGTGGAGAGGATCGGGTCCGAGGCTAGAGTCTTGCAGACAAGATCGATCTGTGTATTAAGATCGCCGAAGAAGGAGGCTGAACGATCATCTGCATTGCCATTGGCAGATATGATGTGCACATATGTGCCTGGATGAACGTGGTCTATCAGATCAGCGACCTCGCTCAACCCATCGGCATTCGACGCATCTCCAAGTCCATGCCATATGATCACAGGTATAGGATCTTCATCGTCGTCATCAGCCACATGCGATGACTGATGAGAGGTATGCTGAAAGAGTAGTTGTGGCGCATCTTGTGTCTGGAGGAGAGCTTGGAAGTCGACGGTTGGTGGTGGCAGAGCAATGGCTGCAGCTGATGCCGCTAGCAGAAGCGTAGTCGCGATCATCTTGATGAAACTACGCAGCAACTATAACATACCAACAGAATAGATGGAGAGGTTAAGTGTACAGTATATATGGCAGCGGCGAGGACGATGCGCCTGCAGTCAGGCAACTCAATTAATTACCCCAGATTTCGGCTCATCATTCAGCGAATGACGTCGTCGAATAAATTTGTTAAACAATGAAATATGCTGGAGGAAGGCACGATCAGTAACGGATGGGACACCCTTGCACGTTAAGCAAAAACCGGTCACACGGTTCGAGCAGACATTAAGAAGAATTTGGACAACAATCAGATACTGGTATTGAATGTGATGTGAAGCTTTGAACTTGCAGGCAAATCTGCTGGCTTGCAGTGAAGCTTTGACAAGCAAGATCACCTAGAAGAGAACGACAGCCATCTATATCGAGCTCATACAGCATCCAGTTCAATCATCGTCGTGTATTGTAATTCCATTCTGCGCCTCCTCGACCGTCCCAGCTGCCGTGTCGTCTTTGTTTGATTCATCGCGCTTAGGTATCTGCAACGGCTTCTTGACAGCACCGCCCTTCGTACTCGCCTCAACATCGCCATCCTCCACTCTATAGTCGTTGTCCTTCTTATCCCCTTTATTCTTCCTCCTACTCCTCTGCGCTCTCTTCTTCGCAGTCTTCTCCTCATCCCTGCGCCTCTTCTCCTCCTGCTCCCTCACCCACTTATCATCCTCAACCTCTTTCTCCGCCTCCTCATCCATAGCCCTCAGCCTCTCGTTCTCCCTCCTTCGACTCGCCTTGTATACATGGAACTCGCCCGATCCTGCACCTGCAGAACTTCCCTGGACATTTGTAACGATCTCAGGTGGAGGCGCGAGTTTAGATTTGGTTTCTGATGAGAGGAGCGGGATATCGACGGGACGTTCAGGGTCCCACATGAGGTTGTCGATCTCATTAGCTTGAGCCGCGACTGGTGTAGAGTTGGCTTTTAGACGTTTGATGGGTCGCCGAGAGTGTTTGTCTGCTGAGGTTGGGATTGCTTCTGGTATCGGTTCAGACATGATAGATCAGAGTCTGTTGAGCCTTTTGACGTGTTGTATCCCGTGTGTAAAATGTCCTTGCCGTACGTCCTCCATAATCGTTAAGAAATGTGAAGCGCAGAAAGTTGTGTCGGCAAAGTTAACCTGGGAAATTGTTGCTGCCTTACAGCCTTTTAGCCTTGAACCTCGAGATCAAATAGAGAGTGGCAGGAGCAATTTCAGAGAACAGATGGAACATCATACTCGACGACTGGAGGGCTATCATACGAGACAGACAATGCGTATAGCTATTCTGACGTCATGCTAACCAATCTACTCTTGTGCTGAAGACTTCCTCATGCGCAGTAGAATCCTCCTCTTGGCGATATCTCGCGAGCCATCCGGACCTCAGAATCCACGACTGTGGAGAACTGCCAGCTTGTCGATAGTCTCTCGTCCTGTACATGACAGCCCCATATTTCTTTCTAACATCTCCTTCGAAGTCGTTGTCCAGCATGCCCTCTAATTGTACCGCTTCATCGCGTTGAAGCCCTCGTTCGCCTGAAAATCGGCCTCTTTGTTGTACGTTCTCGGAAACCACCAGAACAACACATTAGCTTTCTTTCTACTTTCTACTTCCTCAATCGCCGACTCGAGCTTCTTCCATAATTCTTGATTCGCAACGGGCGTGTTGCCGGCAGTCATCCATCCCATAATCTTCCATCGTCGAATATGTTTCGTGGTGCAGTCAAACACATATCTTGAGTCTGTCCTGATGACAAACCTGCTAATCGTGTAGCCTGCTTCTGTGTTTGCTTTGATGCTCATGGCAGTTTGTACTCCGAGAATTGCTGCCTCCAACTCGGCCTTCTGATTGGTCGCACTCACCTGCAATATCGCATATGCTTTGTTCAACGAATTGTTCCTACCTGTATAGACCCCAGCTGCGGAGAAAACCATGTTTTTTGCTCTTCCATTGTTCGGGCAGGCGCCATCAACAGCTATGACGACGCAGACTGAATAGTAATCGCATGTCGTGCAGCCCTTTTCTCTCGAACAGACAAGATTGACGAAACCGTTCCGGTTGTTTTCGATTGGATCTTAGAGTCTGTTCGCTATATGTCCAGGCTCGGCAGGTGAGGAAACTTGTTTGGTGTAGTCGAAGACATCAAGATTGATGCTGGGCTCGTCGTGTGGCTGTGGGGAGCTCATCATGCTCAGAGTTGTGCTACAATATACAGGCTCGGCATAACCAGTAGCATTGACGTAACGTGCCTGCATACTGTAACATAGTGAATTAATGTAAGGGTACTCCATGGCATATACGGCGGCTTGACTTTAACAAGCTTGAAGTTGACCAGATAGATGGCTCGTCGAACGCAGAGATCGAGACCACGATAGCTTCTCGAAAGACTGAAATCGGGGTAGCGATGTGGATGAGCGTGCTAATCACCTCGTTCTACAATTGGGAGGTTTATACTTTCTGTCACCAAGTAATTTGTGTAGGTATAACTGGACCAGACTTACTTTCAGGGAAGGATTGTGGATATGAATTGGAGCGGGCAGGTATGTTGTGGTAAGAAGAAATTCACACTTCGTAAGGTGACAAGGAGACACCTTGTGGCCAGAACCTGTTGAAGGGGAAGTTGCGGCCCACGCTATCTCGGAGACAAATTCCGAAGGCAGGTAGTCCTGCCAGAGTCTAACTCGGCGTTGCCAGCGCGTTAGGATCGTGGAGCCTCTTGACTTCTCACTCTCCTGCCGCTCTGATAAGATCTGTCTTCTGAGATCATTCTTTGCCATCTCACTTTGACACAACGTCTGCCATGTGATTCCCTAGGGCCTCTCTCAAGACCTTCAGGTGCACAGGCTTAGGCAGGTAGTCGTCAAACCCTGAATTCTCAATTTCATGCTGTGCTTCTGCGCTGGCCAATCCAGTGACTGCGATGACTACGCTCTTTCTATTCTCTGGCATGCCTCTAGCTTGTTCGAATAATCTTATCTCTTTGGTCGCGGTAATGCCGTCCATGACTGGCATCGAGATATCCATAAGGACGACTCGTACACACGTTCCTGCATTGGTCGCCGTCTTGTAGGCGTTGAGTGCCTCCAAGCCATTCACAGCTGTGAGAACTTGTATCCCGTGAGCTTCGTATTTTAGTCGTGATATGGCTGTGAGAAGAATCCTCAGGTTGATGCTGTTATCGTCAACAAGCAGAATCGCCTCCTTCGGTGTTGTAACGTGGTTGGTGGCGGCTGGATCAGCTGGCTCCTGATGTCTCGTTGTGCCGTTGGTCTCGACCGGACTTGCTGACATTGCACTATTCATTGGAGGCTTGTTCACTGTTTTCGTGTCTAGATCTACTGGTGCAACTGAAATCGGCGTTGACAATACTTTGTCCGCTTGAGCACGTCCCACCACAAGGTTCACGCCTTTCTGTTCACGTTGTGCTAGCAGAGCCTTTATGATGTGCGTCATGCGTATAGGCCCAATTGGTGGCGAAACATATGCAAAGATTGCGTTGCGTATCTCAATATTCGCCCCAGTCCTCTTGTTCATGCGCACAACGAGCAAGACATTGTTGACTGCGTCAAATAAATCTAGCTCGCGCTCCAGATAAGTTTCTTCAATGACTATTATATCCGCATTGGTAGTCGATGCAGTTGCGCCCAACCATCGTTCCAGGAACAGTGCCAGTGACCTCTTCATGGCTATCAAAGCATCTGTTCTCGTGTCGGGAGCACCATCGGACTGCTTCATGTGTGCTGTTGTTCCGTTGAAGCCGACATATCTGACATTCAACCCTTTCAATAGAGATTTACTACTGTCCATCCCAAATTGGTCATCTGGGACAGTATGACACGGCTCGAGCGGAATAGCGATGGTAACCTCGGTCCCGACCCCTACCTCACTATTGATTGTAATCTGACCACTAAGCGCTGACACTATCTGCCTCACAAGACTCAAGCCGAGTCCGACACCAACAGATAAGTTATTCTCTTGTGCGAATGGCGTGTACAATTTGTGTTTGAGATACTCTGCCGAAATTCCCTGGCCGGTATCGGAGACTTTCAGCATAACTATCTGCTTCTTGACCGTCGTAGACGCATCTTGAATAGATAGCCTGACCTCGATATGACCTTGCTGGGTGTACTTCAACGAATTGCCCACAAGATTCATGATGATGCGGCGCCAAGATCCTGGCTCTGAGCTGAAACTCCAATTCTCGTGAGGCGGGATATTCAGGATGATTGGCACAACAGGGTAGTTACTGGACGATGTTGCATGATTGTTAAATTTGTTCTGTTGCCATGAATTAAGACTACTACCTGCTTCCATACTTGACGCAGTCTCTTCAACAACATTAATCAAGTTCAGGTCAGTGACTAAAGTATGATCGGAATTAGCTCTCTTTGCCAAAGTCATTCGCGACTTGGGGTCCGGCTGCTTGGTGAAGTGGTTTATTTTTGCATAGTCAAGAAGATGGTTCATGATATCAAGTAAGGTGCGAGCACAGACGTCGATCGTCTCTAGGAACTCGCCTTGCTTGGGTAGCGTCTGATCCTCGAGGAGGAGTTGACTAGAGGCTATGATCCCATGCAGTGGAGACCGAAGCTCGTGGCTTATACTCGATATGAAGTCGCTTTTAGCTTTGTTCGTCGCCTCTGATCTCAGCCGCAAAATTTCGCACATAATACTGTTCGTGAAGCCAGAAACATAGGTGAGCTCGCTCTTCTGAAGACCTCTGGCCGCATTCGTGGTATAGCCAAAGTAAGCGGCGATCACTTGCTGATTGTCATTGTCGTACATGGGAAAAAACATCAAGCTCCTAGCAGTAGGAAAGTATTGGAGGAGCTTCGACGATAGTTTCTTAGGTCTTGATACAGCCTCAGTACCACTTTCAATTTTCTGCTCGTCGCTTTCAGAGGACACACTTCCAGTCGAGTCAAAGTGAAAAATACGGCCCTTAGGATATTTCGAACAGAGGCGACGAACGAGATCGACTGGTAGGGTCCGATATGTATTGGTCGTCGGAGTCCCTACTAAGCTAGAATTCGATCGTGTCGAAAATCCGAGCGGTTCGCACAGCATTTCCATATTAGCGTCGTTTGCTGGATCTTGCGATTTGCTTGTCTTTCGAGATGAATTCTCAGTATCTGACTCATAAGACGACTCACAAGAGCTTGGAGGTCGTACATTCTGGTCAGTTCCGTTCTGTCGTGACTGCCAAATGTCTTCACGAAACTTAATCGTAGTATATCGCTTGTCTTTTGGTATTTCTAAGAAGCAGCAGGCACATAAGTCTATACTTTCACGGATCAGATTTGAAGCTCTGGAAAAGGTATGTTTGATATCTGAAGAGATTGAATTGGGAGCTGCGGGATTGTTTGAAGACCTCATCTCGACGGAGTTTTTGCTCGACACAGCATCGGTGTAATCTTTTGTGTTTTCGGTTGTGTCGACGTCTGTGGTACGAGACTGAGGACGTGGCGCTGCAACAGATAGCTCATAATTTACCGTCATAGGACCCTTTGAGGTCACAGGGTCTGGCAGTGAAGCAGTCGGGTCAAGTTCCAGATTTTTAATAGAAGCGGAGCGCGCTGACTCCACTCCGTCGTTACTGAGACTTTCCGTCGAGTTTTGTGATGGTCGTACGTCCTGCCTAGAGGTCTCGCTTTCTTCCACCCCGTGCTCACTCCGATCTTTGAAGCTGTCTTTGCCCTTGATGAAATGGCCAAGTCCCGCAAGTAGACGTTCCGCACGGCGATGGTCTTCCCTCATTCTCGTCAGTTCAAGATGACGCATTATTAGCTTCGACATGTCCTGCAATACCCTCACATCGCGTGCGTTGGCACTTCGTACACTTGGGTCCATCACGCAGATAGAACCGATGACGTAGCCACCTTCCGACTTTAGCGGTACCTCCATGTAAAAGCGCAATATTGGTGGCAGAGCTTGGATTGCTGGCAACGATGAGGTGTTATCCTCGGCCAGCAGGTCTGGAATGCAGATATAATCATCGTGTACCTCAGTATCTGCTCCAAACACGAAGTCACATTTTCCTGTGAAGACGCCAATGGTCGTTGTACATATGCCAAATGTCAGTGGTATCGATTGAGCACCAAGAATAATGCCATCGTCGCCCTCAAAGTCATCCTTGTCAAATGGTGACACTGTCCTTGTTGCCTCAGCAACAACATGCTGGGCTGATTCACCAATAAGGCTAATAAAGGATCTCTGGCAATTGGTCCGGACAGCAGCAAGTTGCGCAATAGCCGTCAGACTAGGGTCTTGGGACAACGCAGGAGAGTATGGTTGAAAGTCGGCAAGGTCGTAAGGTCTTACTGTCCCGTCAATATCACGACGTGGGTCAAAATCTGCTGGTGGTAAAGACGCTGTCGTGGAGTAATATTGAGCTAGTTCGCGTAGGCGCAGTCGTGCTTGAAGGGATCTTGCCGAACTAGATCCAGCCATTGCAATTCTGATCGCGACGATCAAACCCCAAAGCAGAGTACATGGATTAATCGCGCTGACGGTACCGGTGCCGTATGAGTACAGCCATTGCGCAGATGATCATCAGGCACGACGCGAGAAAATGGTAAGAATGGCAAATTGACAGAAAATTCCACGTCAGAGGTTGGCACCCCGTATTAGTGGATCGCTCAGTCCTTTCGTGATTGGTACCCAGTCTGCTTCAGGGAAGCGAAACCAGACTTCGAAAGCGCCGGGTCGAAACTTCTCGACACGTGGTTTCTCGCTAATCTCATGCAATCTCTGAGCCGAGAATTCTCGACTTTTTGCTACCAGCGTTGTACTTGTGTGCTTCTTGACAAAATTGACGAACATTAATCCTGGAGAAAGCCGATTGATGTGTTCTGAAGCAGAGCATGGCTGGCCAGACATCTTTGAAATGATAACAAACACCTTACGACTCTCCTTTAGAAACGAAGCCTATGCTATCTATTCCGAGTAATCCTGAGAACAATGTCGGCGCATTCCGCACCCAGATATTCAGCAGCGGTGCTGCAATCTCTGGACACCAACTGTATCGTTCTGCCGTACTTATCAACCTGTAGCGTAAGCCTTGAGGAATATCTATTGAGTCACAAACAGTCATCCGGCACGGGAGGCAGACTCTCGCGACTTGCTCGTCAAATGATTACAACGGTGCCTGGACGAACTGCATCCAGCCTGTCTGGCTACCAAGTCAGCTCGTGAGCAGCGTGCACGAAGCCATGTCGGTGTTGTATGCTCACGTCGAGGAAGAAACATGTCTAGGTGCTCTCTGGAAGGCGGCTGACTTGCGTGAGCACCGGGTAGATTTGACATGCATGTCCACCATTCCAGGACATTGCACCTACACATCGAGACGCCTTTCTCGTCATTCACCCGAGATCATGTCTGCAGGTGTAATGTCAGTCTTCTCGTTCATTTCACACTCCTCAACTCTGTCAACCCGACCACCAAAACCAAATCGCCCATTGTCGAGCGCACTAACCTGGTAAGCTCTTAGAGCGCTACTCTCCACTCATTATACCCTGATGTAAGCTCAATCTTAGTGGTGTAGTTGTTAGGAACGAGAAGTGCATGAACACCGGCATTTTGACAACAAATTTAGCACTGGAAAGTTGTATGCTTGCCCACTGCTGATATCAGTATTACCATCTGAGAAGCAGACACAACCCTTGAGTTTCCGACAAATACTAGCTTTCCACTTAGTGGCTGTCTCGTCGAAGTACGAGGCGAATTGGATCCTAGTCCGGAATATTGGTTCGTTTTGCGATAACCAGGTACTCTTGTCCTCTTTGGTTAGCGACTTTGACATTCTGACTATCACTTATACTTACAGTATACACTAAAAATCTCATTCTAGCGCATCAATGCGAGATAACCGTGGTAGTTGCTGAATTTGCGAATTGAACCCTATGCCAGGTACTCCCTGTACGAGAATATGCATCGCGCCAAACTGTGGCACTGAAAAAGCTGAGAGATACTATTTGTGAGCCTCTAGAGTCGATAAGACCTGTTTTCCTGAGCTCACGCATATCGACAGCTTCAGTTTAAAGGAACAATCTTCACTCGAAAATTCGTGCGATCTTGCACTTCACAATTGACAGTCCAGGTCGACTACGCCCTTGCCTTCTTATTCACCTCGCTGCCAAACCTCGAAAGTCTAGTACTACCTAAAACGTGAATGATCTCTCTGTTTATTCACTTGAAGAGTAGATCCTGCGCAACCCTTCTACAGAAGTGCGAGACCTTTGCGATGAAGCCGAAATCGAGCCGTGGGCGGAGAGAGAGCGATAATTGCCTGCTCTCGTGATGGTTTAGGTGCGTCACATCACGTATCGGCCACAAGCAGTGGTAGGCTCGAAGACAGAATCACTATGCTGAGCTAGTACACAAGGAATACACAATGAACCTTGTCACTGCTATTCGTACTGTGCGGTGTTCCCTCACGTGCTTCTGAGTAAAAGCAGATCTTGTCGTTGTCTTGATCACGACGAAGACCGCACGAGTCAGTGGCAGTACTGGACGACCAGGTTCAAACCCAACCCCACTGTCGCGTGTGTCGAAAAAGTTCCAGTGATGTCATGCAAGCTCCAAAAATGCCTGCGATGATGTGACGGTAGAAGCGTGCAGCACGACTCAGCTTGAACAATACATATTCTACCATCTTTGCATCTTTCTGTTCTCGAAAACGGACATTCTGACACATCAACAATATCTCAAGGACCGCAGCAAACATGTCCGACAAGACCTATCACGTCACAAGCGAAGACCTCCGCAAAGCTGAGGCTCAAGAAGCAAAGTTTCACGGTGGTCAGACCCCCAAGGACTCTGATGTCTCTGCTATGAAGGTATACATCTCGTACTTCTGCCTTGATCCATGCTAATCTGTCCTCTCTAGCAACTTCTCTCCGAGCAAGAATCCAAATCCGACCAAATCGACCGTGTAAAAGCAGGTCTACCCCTCCCAGACGACCCACCAGTTGCTGCGGACTTGCAATCCGCTGATGGACGAACGGTGAACGTGGGTTCCGGCGAGGTCAATGTCAAACTGGGCACGGGTGGAAGCGCATTGAGAGAGCCAGCGACTGCAGAGTCGAGCGCCAGAGTCGATGGAAAGGTTTACGATAAGAACACTGAGCCTTAAGCGAGGTACCACGATACGTTGGGCGAATTTGCAACCGTGGCAACGATGCTTGCCTGAACTAAACCAAAAAGAAAGGATAGGCTATACTATGATGCTTGTGGGCTGATAGAATGGTATATACATGTGGATCTGAACAGCTTCAGAACTCAATACACTATTTACATCCTGCCTAGTTATTTTCTTTCGGATCATGTTCGTTTCTCCCCTACTGCGCTGAGTGCTGTCCGTCGCAAACAAGGCTAGATCTGAGCTCCTCGCGTGCACTTGGGACACGAGAAAAGTAGCTGTTGTTCCTGTAGCCTTTATCTGTCAGTTCTGGGTGTGCGTTGAAATGCCTTGCGACGTCGAAGTCTTTGTGTCTTAGCTTCAAGCACACGTCGTCATGTCAGCCGTCGATGGTCTTCAGCACTTTTGTGCGACAACATCGATTGTCTCCTTCAGCAACCTCTTGTCACGTTTGGTTATGTCTCCTTCTTTTGCGGTTTACAGGCTCAGAAAGCGTGGCTTTGACGCACTTCTCTATTCCATTTTCATCGTGTCTTCGTCCTTAGGCACAAGCCCTCGCAAGCTCAAGTCGTACACCACTCCTTCCACATTCCTGATACTGTATTTGATCCCGTCACTCCTCTTTCTCAGTGCGTCGTTCTTTAGATTCAGTAGCTGGAACCCAGCATATACGTCCTTGATGAATTTGCTAATCTGTAGAGGCCGCGCATGGTCACCCAACGTGACAGAATTTGTGGCAAGTCTTGCAAGCTCTTCAATCGTGCTGCAGAGGGCGAGAAGGTAGTCTTCGATCGTAATGTGGAAAGTGTCCGCGTCTTTTACGTTCACTGGAACTGTCGGACTAGTCAGTAATAACTCATTACGTGAAGAGAATTGCAAACTCGCCTCGAAAGTACTCCCCAACCTCTTCGATCGACTTCAGCTTGCCACTACTCAGCCAGTGCCAGAGCTGGAAGCTACTGACGACATTCTGAATCTCCCTCTGCCAAACGAAGTTGTACTTGTAGAACGGAAATTTACTTGCGGCCTCTGCTAGCGAGGATACTGAATTTCGCTGCTCTTCCAAAGCTTTCATACATGGATCTAGGACCTCTGTCCCCACAGACTGCGATGGGACATTATGTATTCTTGAGAGGATGGATTGTGTGGTGCGACCTTGTTTAGAGAGTTTGTCGACTATCTCCTTCAGCTCGTCGCGAACAGTGCTCTCTTCATCGATCTTGGATTGGAGTGTAGTGAAGATGGAAGTGTCTATCAGCGATTGGCCTGCGTAGGGAGCACCATTGGTAGTCATAGTATATGTTGGAAGGTAGGCACTTGGAGTGTTGGATCGGCAGTTGCTCAAGCTGGGTAAGGCAACGTCAAGATTCCACGTCGAAGTCGTGGTTTATTCGACTTGTGAAAAGCAGGAAGGTACGCGTCAGTGCAGTAAATTCCATCGTGGAAGGTGTAAACCAATACATCAACCATTATCGTCACCATACTGATTGATTTTCTGACGCACACATGAGCGAGAGATACAACGCTGTCTGTCAAGGCAAATTCGTGGTCACTCGGCTACAGTGTCCCCTTACTGCTATCATGCATGCAGCTGCAGCTGGCCACGTTTCTCTCGAACTGCCGCCACCGGTATCCTATCCAAGACCTCTACGATCGCAGTCTTCTTCTTCTTCATACTCCCGCTCAAGGCAGTGATTATGATGAAAAGAGCTTTGCTGCAGAAGGCGGTAGTGTAAGGCCAACGCAACAGTGACTTGTTCCATTTGCAAGCACAGAGGGAACTCGTCGACTTGCAAAAATAAGTATAATCAAATAGATTCGTTCCGTAGAACGATCCCAGAGATTAAACTGAGAAGAACAGATACTACACTTGATCTAAGCCAAAAGGCTTTACTTCGTTAGCAAGACACTTCACCGGTCAGGGGTGGTTTGGACATACCAAAGAGAGCTAAAGGAAAAGAGAAGGAAGCGAAGAAGAAAGGCAGTGAGAAGAATATGTACCGTCTGCTGCTGCCAAGCTGTATGAATTTTGCAGGGAGCTAAGACATGTGACAGGGCCGAGTGGGGGCGAAATGTGCTCAGTATTGACATGTCACTGCTATTAGTTGAGTGGATCACCGTGTCGACTTGGGGACAAGAGAGGCGAAGTGAAGCTCTGCTGAGCTATTGAGACTGCTTGACGGCACAACAAGATCACAGGCAAGATCAAGATGAGAGCTCTGAACTCCTCTAGGAGGGTCCGGAAATGTCTTCTCGGGATCTGAAACGAGCAAATGTCCATCGTTTCCACTCTGACATTTGCTGGCTGACTTCAGCAGTTCTATCTGTCTTGGATGAGGTGAATAACACCCCATCCGCATAGAGAGCAATGGTAATACGCAAGAGTACTAACACTCTCTGCGTGAAGGCTCATGTCGATAACACAGCTTGCACAACTGATAACACTATCTGTTGCAGTGTTCTAAATCGTTGTTCTAGCGAAGGCTGAGTATCTCATCTGGAAGGCGGCTGGCGTATCGCGATTATACCTTGGCAGTAAAATCGCGTCTAGCAGGCAATGCTCAACAAGATGAGAGCATTCTGTACACCGAACCAGAGGGTCTTCCACAAACTATCATGTCGACCACGTTTGGCTCATAAGAGATACAGCGATCGCGAATCGGAGATGCCAAGCTCTTCCAAGGCCAACACCCATTCACGGCCCTATCCAAGTGATATCTTATTCAGAGTCTTTGATATTGTGTTGCGAGCAGTACCGTACTGCATCAGCGCTTTAATGTCAACACTGTAGCCAACGTCACGCTGCGAAATATCGGCATTCATTGTAAAGCTACTCTGCGCTTTCCTTCTGCCTCATCATCGGTGAGCAACTTGACTGTGATATGTTTACCACTAACCACACTAAGCTGCTCTGCCGTTTCCGTAGCAATCAACTCTTCTGCAGCAAGAGAGATCTCCTTGTCAGAAAATTCTGATGGTGATTCAAGTACCGAAACTGCAAACTTTGCAATATCGCCAACGTGTATGATCGTCCTGCAGAGTCGTCTTCGCGAACTCATCACAACGAAAAGTGTACTTGTCGTTTCACTGGGTGAATGCTGAGCCGTATGGCGAGTGAAAGCAGCGCCGCATAACATTTATGGTTGCTTCGGAAGAGGGTGGTGAGGCAATAACGTCTGTTCCAGCTCGTTCGCATTTCATCTTGCAGTATCGACAAAAAACAGACGGAATGGACTTCCCAATCGACCAACAAAGAATCTGGGATGAAGGCTTACGGAACATTCTCCTTCTGTCTGGTGTGGTAGCATGTTGTTAATGTTGCCTGTTGGCCCTCGTGATGACCTGGGTCCTGCTATCAAACCTTTTCCCGACCATATTTCCTTGTCCGAATTTTCCTGGTCAGATCAAGGATACACAAGTCTCTCGTATGTTGGCGAGCAATGGACACCCTCTTCGTCCTGAGCAGGAAGAGTGCAGCATATGTTACGATTCCCTGACGGCTACTGAGAACACTCTGACCCATAGTATCTGCTCTCACAGCTTTCATCGGGGTTGTCTGAAATTGTGGACAGCACGGCTATACCCAAGACCACCAAGATGTCCGCTTTGTAACAGCACATTCGACACTGTCCTTCCTGTCCCTTTACAACCTCCACAGCAGGGTGAAGCAGAGCGACTGCAAGCATTCCATGTCAGAGATCATCATGTTCTGATGCGGTCACATACACAACCACGCCGTCGTGGGGAGGAGTTTGGTGTTGGTCCACGAGCGATGCCGAACCATGGTTATGATCTCAGACCACGACGTGCCCCGATCTTCAACATACGATAATTCGCTGGGCTCGACCAGCATCAGGAAATCTAGACTTCAACTAGAAGTGCTGCGAAGATACCTTGAGGGGTGCTGTTGGACAGCAAGAAGTGGATAAGCAATACGTCGGTTAGTGTACAATGCTAGCGAGTGTTTGTTTGTAAACCGAAAGGTGAAAAGATTAGTGATATATCACTCGAAAATGTCACACTGAACGATTCATCACCTTCTTGTCCCTTCTCCTGAATCGCATGGCATATTTCTTTCCAGAGCTGTGATTGTTTCACGACCACTGAAAATTAATGGTCTCACCACAAGAAAGCACAATTTCTTCGCACCAGATACCAATTTTCAAACCAGCGCGCGATCATCGGTAACTCCGTCGACATGGCTCACTTCCTGAAATACAGTCTGCTTTTTGTAGCCTCCTACCCTGCAATTTCCAGAATCTTGCCTTTACTCAACGTGGACGATTGGGTGTTGGGCGACAACGCCTCTTTCTATGTCTCACTTATCTTCGTCGCCTATATCTGGCACTTCGTATGTCGATATCCATACTATCGCAATCAGGTCCTGCGATTGGTTAATTTTGTAACAACGATTCCACGTCGCCACTATACAATTGGCCTCGAAGAGTCGAAAGGCATACCGTATCGAACGGAAGAAAATATGTGTATCATATGTTACGAGACGATCACTGCGACGCATCTCACTCTAACGCACCGAAGCTGTCGACACAGTTTCCATTCGCTTTGTCTCAAGAAATGGATATTACGGATCGGAAGCCCAGGCTTCAACTGTATCATCTGTGGAGAGAACATCATGATCTCGCATGCGGAGATGACTAACCTCAAGAGATCTGTCAAATACGATGAGATGCTCCAAAAACTGCGGCATGTGCAACGTTCTTTGGACAGAGAATTAACCAAGGTGGAGCAGGTATTGAAGATCTCAGGAGACATACAAGGAGTTGAGCGATCAAGAGTATTATCGAAGAAGCTGGAGCAAAGGCTTGAGAAGATCAGAGCACGGACAGTCGGGTTGTCTCATTTGGTGGATGATTTGAGGCGTCTTCAAGAGGATAATGCCATTGGGTTGGGATGAGTGTTCGTGGAAGCGACAGACACTGCTCGAATCGTCACATGCTCAGTTCATACGGGGCGATCTGATTGCATATAGACGATGTGTTTGACAAACTTAGCAACAGCTCTATTGAGAACAAGTATTCGAAGTAATATTCTTCCAATCTGCAAAGTTGGAAACCCCTTATAAGGCTGCCCTCGTGCAGACCAAATAAAGACATAAATAATGTCAGCTCTTGGCTGACCCATGTCGTCGTGCCTACCTGGGTTTCACGCGCAACGCGTCTCGTTCTTTCTACTCAATCTGATGAATCCACAACAACCGAGCGTCTCCTGGTTTTGAGCATACATGTCCATATCTCAAGTGAAGGCGCCAAAGCATGAGTCGCCATCGAGCTTAATAGCTAACGGAAACATCGAGCTTTGCACTGTCTCCAATATGTGCCACTTTCGTGCAGGGCTTATGGATCTAAGCATCAGAACTTCAAAAGAGCTTATGTTAGCATAAAGAAATGCGCTAACATCTACATCGAAGAGTCTGGTGGACTCTCAGTATATATTGACAAGTGCTTGAGGATAGATAAGCACACTACTCGCAGATGCAAGCTGATGTCTGTGTTTGAGGGACGACAAAATGCTGCCGAAAGTAGCAATCTGGCTTCGTGGAACGAGCGAACAGCAGGCGTAAGTCTATCTAATGGTATGTGTGGACAGTTTTCTGCCTGGATACCAGTCTCTATCTGAGTTGTGTGACGGAGCACCGAGCAGTATCTTCGACCCATTAAAATGTTCTCAATGTGTCGAGTCATAATAGGCACTTGCCACTTGCAGTCAATAGCCAACAACAACGAGACTGCTATCACTTGCTCTGATTACATTCACTATCTGTCACTGGCTAGCCGGTCTCTTCCGAACTATATAGTAGAGATGTCACTAAGAGATATCACGAGGTTAAGTGGTGTCTTGTCACTCCTCTACGAACAAAAACGATCAGTACCGTTTAGATCTCAAGCTCGAATCCTGTCATCCTCCGTTCAGCATCTCGCAAGATCTGTCAGCTCGAAAGTTAGACAGTACCCGGTCAATCCTTCAATATAAGTCTACGCGGTTCACAGAATCCACGACTGCTCGTCACGTCCAAGATGAACGCTTTTCCGAACGCTTTTCCGTCCGAGATAATTCTTAGGCTTCTCCAGATCACATACGCAGAAGATAACAAGACTTTTACACAATTCTTGCGAGTATGTCGTGGATGGTATGAGCTCGGCAATTCCATTCAGTGGAAGGACATATATATCGACCAGAACCGGCTCACCCAGCTCCTCGATGCCCTCTTGGTGATGCAACCTTCAAATTTCGATTGCGTGCGATCGATTACTGCTGTAGGAGATGGAGTGGGTCGGGAAGAAACATGCAGACTGTATTCGCTGTTGTTTGCACAGTGCCACAAATTTGCGAACCTTGACACAATGGCATTGGACCTCGACATATATCCTAGTCGGAACAGTGGTGCCCGTCTCAGCTATCAATTAGCCACGTATCTGGGCAGTGTGCCCAGCACTGTCAAAAACCTATCGCTCTGCAGCCTGTATATAGGGTGTGACAACAATATCGATGGTTGTGCCCATCTCTGTTCATATCTTCGTGGATCACTACTTCACCTGGAAAGATTGCGTCTAGAGGATACACCATTGTGCACTGACATGATCGACCTTGCATCTGCTTGTGAAAGCCTCCGAGAGATTGTGATCATCAACAATGAGGAGCACTTTGCCATAACCGGCCATATCTCTGACTTTCTTAGCATGGGACCTATGCAGACATTCATCGGTACGGCCCGCAACGCGATCATCCGGCAACGATTGTTCCAGCTGTCGAAGTTCCTTATCTGTGGCAGGAAAAACTCGCCTTGGGAAGCCGTTGAACTAACATTGGGTTATCATTGGAGCATCGATCTTCTGCACAACAAAACTACTGTATGGCCACACATCAACTGTGTACCACCAAAAGTCTGGGACAAAGCGGACGGCACACAAGCATATTGGATGCGCTATCAGGAGGCGCCAGGCTCGAAGATTCTTGACATTGCCGACCTATCCTCGAATGACGGCATCACACGTCTGATCGATGGTTCATCATGGTCAAAATCATCGAACACAGGCATTGAGCTCCCCAGTCATCAGGTCAAGTCACTAGACGATCATGAGTGGTTGCGCGATGATATCAGTATTATGCTGGAGAGGTCTGAACAGCTCAAAGCTTATTCGCCAGGTCACTGCCACGACCTTTGGTTCTGGGAGAAATGTCTCGGTCGTCGCCTCATCGACGTACAGTTTCTCGATGGAACAACTCTCCCTGATTGTCCGAAACGTGAGCAGCCACCTGCAGAGAAAGAACTTGTCGAGATGATGGCCAGAACAAGCCAGTTTGGCGATGGTATGAGTGAGGCTGTTTAGTAGCGGATTTGGCTGTCTGAGTTGCCAGTGCTGCAAGTAATGCTTTGCAGCGACGAGGAAGAGGATGAGGTTTATGCAACCAAATATGACTGGATAACACATCGGTAAAATGTCTTGTTTGGAGGGAGGTGATCGTACTTCTCTCTGTCAAAGACAAGAGTTTGCTGCATCGAGCGAGGAGCACTTTGTGAGCAGAGCAAACTCTAGACCGTTGGCAGAGGTTCGCTCACAACCGCACAGTTCAACAAGACAAACAAGGCGGCGACGATGATTAGAATTGTAGAGGAGGCGCATAAGAGAGTGTGTTATCAGTACAACCCTGAGATGCAAGATTTAGTTCTCTTCCTTTGTTTCTTGTACTTTCGCCTCATGCTATTGAACATCCTTGAATAGCGCTAGGCGCAAGAGTGGATCTCGATAAATGCAAATTCTCGATAAGTTCCGTGGAAGCGTCGTAGAGGTTTAGCGAGTCCATGATCGAGAAGCCAGCAGATCTCACATAGTAGCGAGCGACACTACATATATGACATCGAGTGAGGGTCATTGCGCTTGGCGACTTTCTTTGCAGCAACATCGCCTCTATCTACCGTCAACAATACTGGACGAAGAGAACGAGAGGATGCGTCAGTTAAACTTTGTACATGTGGTTTCAATGCATAACCATTGTATCCTCTAGCTCGTTCATGCCTTCGACATGCTCAGATGCATTCATGCTTCGCGTTGTGCGTCTTGCTATTAGGTATGGTCCACCTCTCAGACCTAAGGCAGTCGAGCTTGTTGCCAACACTGCTCAGCTCTACCTTCGAAACCCAATTCTCGCTGGTCAATTGCACTCTAGCAATTAATGTCTTCATACAAACCCGAGTATCTAATTGAACCACCATCTAAAACCCACACATCGTCCGTCACAACCCGGCGCAATATAATTGAATAGCGCGAGCGTAAGGTCAATATTAGTCCCAGGACATCCTTCCTTAGGGCACTTATCTGCCACACGTGCAATAGCCCTCACTCCACTCGTGGGGTTCTCAATTGTGACATACTGGTTGCAGAGTGGGTTAGCATTCGGATTTGCCGGGTTACCGAAGACAGCCTCGGGAAGAGAGACGGCAAACTGAGTGTTTGTGTTGACGTCGAAGCCGCAGGCTCCAGTACCACCTTCATAGTGCGTGATTTCGCCAACGCAGGCAGCACCTTCACCGCGGCATGCACCGAGGTCTTGACGTCTCTGACGGTCTTGGCGCTTACCTAGAGGGCTGATGGTCTCGCCACCGTCGAACCACCACTCCCAGCCTGAGCAGCGACCGTCGCAGTCAGCAGCAATGGTGTTGAAGAGAGCTCTGGTGAGATCGATGCTAGAACCTGTGCAGCCCATGCACTTGTCACCAACGTGAGCTCGTGCGGTAGCGCCCGTGATCGGGTTACGAATAGTGACGCTTCGACCACAATATGGGTTGCCGTTACTTTGAGTGCCCATGAGACCATGTGGTAGAGCAATTTGCATGTCTGTATAGGTGTTGACGTTCCAACCGCAAGCCCCAAGATCACCGTCCCCGTATGTCACATCGCCGGCACACGGGACGTTAGGGTCTTCACATGCACCTGCACCGCCAGTACTGCCAGTTGCTGGAGCAGCGACGGGAGCAGAGCTTGGAATTACAGCTGTAACGGTAGGCTGAGCAGGAGCAACGACTGGCGCAGCTGTAGCAGCGGCGACACCTGGAGTGCCAGAATATGCGTGCAGAGCCCAGTTGGGATCAGTGGCCCAGGCAGCATCGGTGGTCGTTGGTACTGCTCGCTTACTTTTCTTCCTCGTCTTCTTTTCTTCGGCATCGCGTGCAGACGCACTGGCTCGATATTCAGGATCCGAAAACTTGGACTGGAAGCTTTGCATGACGGCAGGATCAATGCTCACAAGCTGGGGAAGGCCAGGTCTCTTTCTATCTTCGGGTTCGGCTGAAGGGGCAGCGAAAGCCACGGTAGTAAATGCCACAAAGGCTACGGTTGAAAAGGTGTGAACACGCATTTTGCAATTGGTCCTCAGAAAGAGATAGTTATTATGCAGGAAGATATGGTAGGGTGAGGTCGGGGACGTGTCTGTATTAGTACTTGATAGTCTGACATTGTGCGAAGCAGGTCCTCACAAACAAAGGAGATTGGTAGTGGTACTGAACAGGTCCTCGAATGACCTCACAATGAGTTTCAGGCACGAGAAAGCTTTCACGATCACTTGGATGTGAGCCTTGTTTCAAGGACTTCGATGTCTTGCTCATCATTCATGTCAACATCACATCAAGACCTGAGGTCGTCTTGAACTAGCCCCTGAAAGCGCCGTCACGTGATCCAAATCCCTGAATGTCGATCGAGTGAAGCCATTTTCATTGTGACGTCGCTGTCCACTTTGCATCTTTGTTCATGCCTTCTGTGACACCGAGTGCAGTAAACACAAAGCTGCTTCTGTGCTATCAATACCAGCTAATTCACAAATTCTTGGTAGGTCGTCATTGATAAAACCTTGTGGCAGTATCTCAAACGTAGCCACTGACCACTCAAACAATAGCCTTACCAGTTTGTATACCAAGTTCTTCTCTTCCTCATCGTCATTTGCTAGTACTTGCACCATAGCTGGGGATGTTGCAATGATTGCTTCCAAGAATATTTCTCGTGCTGGAATATCTGTAGCGTCAAACATGCATTCCAAATTGTCGACAGCATGCTCAAGTGAGCCAATAACAACAAGTCTGACATCCTTGCTGTATCGATCAGATCCCGTGAGTGTTGGCACAAGCACGTCACGAATGAACACTGCACGTTTGTTGGCGATCATGGTAGCAGACTGCTGAGCTGGGCGTGCTAGCAAGACTTCTTTGAGCTCATGTGCAAGTCCTTGGAGCCTGTCATGCTTGAGCGCATACTTGACTTCAGTATTTAGTAATTCTCGTGCTTCTTCCGTGAAATCGCGATTGGAATTTTTCTCGTGGTCGAGTAATCTTCCCAAGCTTTTCTTCCGAACTTGTGGGAAGGTGGCCGGATTGAAGTACCATTGATCGATCTTGAAATCTTTTCTTGGATACGCTTCAAATTGTTCGAGAGCAGTATGTATGAGGATCGTGTAGACATCTTGCTCTCCAGGATCTTCACTCAATGCGATCCAGTTCACTTTCATAGTCGAGAACATCTCTCTCAGCATCCTCACTGAATCACCATCGTCAAGACCTCCCATTAGCCACTCTGCCTCTGAGCTGTGTTCGTGAATATGTAGATAGTGTATGACATGGGTGACGGCAGCGTGCCGAATTTCTGAGATGGCTTCGAACACGTCCTGCTCCAGAACGGGGCTGTCAGGAGCATAGAACTTCGACGTCAAAGTATGCATAGCAAGTGAGTCCCTTTCATGTCGAAAGATGCTTGCTGTCAGCAGGCTTATCGACAGATCATGCTTGGGTTCCAGTAATACGTGTAGCCAATGCGTTAATACAGGAGATCGTAACTCCATCAGGTATGAGCTCGGATCCTGCTCAAGGAGCAAGTGGTAAAAGTATGTTTTCATAATCTGAAGATGAGGTTGCGATATGAACATATCGAAACTGTACGAGGACGTCGGCTCGAAAAACTCATCCCACGATTTCTCGTGTCTGCCAACAGTCGAGCTAGCGACTGCAAAGTACGCTTTGACCATGGCGTGATATGTTTTTGTGTCAAGCAATGAGTCGATCGAGGTAACAGTGGCGAGAGCTTGCCGGACACCTGACAGCAGAGGCAGCGAATTTGATGTTCTCGAGGAAAGCAGCTTTTGCCCAGCGTAGACGATGCACACCTCCAGGAGTACACATATTATAGTCGTATCCATGTCGGGAGTTTTGGAAAAGGTGTTCAACACCGCCGAATAGCGCTCGAAGTTGAACAGCAAGTCGATTTCCATAACTGAGACCGCATCATTAGCTGCTCGAGTGAGATTGCTGACTGTCAGGGTCAGCATGCTTGTGACTTGCTGTCGATTATGCTCAATGGCTTTTCGTATGACTTCTTCAGAAATCCAGTGCACAGAGTTAAGAGCCTCGTTACGCGCGTCATCTTCAGCGGAGCTCCATCGCTCCAATAGCTGTTCAAACATTGTGTACAGCCACGATCCCAAGCCTTGCACAACTGGAGGATGCGAGTGGTGAGCATCATAAATAGTTCGCCACGCTTGAAGAGCGATTAGGCAGATTTCATGATGTGCGTGGGAGAAGTTGACCTTCATCTCTAGGAGTCGTGGCAGAGGTGCCCAGGTAGGTGTCAAGCTGAGGAGGCAGGTGTGCAAATCAAAAACGTTGCGAGCAACCAAGATGTCGTATTCGAGCACATCGTGAGTCTTATCTCCAACTTGACCTTGCGCGCCGATTGAGGCACGGTTAGGAATGAGACGATGAACAAAAGATTTGAGCTCGCGCATTTCCCTGTCAGAATCTGCGTCTTGCAGTGCCATTGGCAGGTACGACTTAAGGACTTGCAGAAAAACGTAGAAATGGCCTTGAGTGCTGTTGTTGGCAAGGCAGATACCAATCTTTGAACCTTGAAACCACGCAGGCTGATGCTTCGCGAACTCCTGCTCGAGGATCGCTCGGACACTAGGATCAGTCTTACCGATTAGTACTTCGAGCGCCTGAGTATCTGGTGCTGCAGAAGCAAGAAGACTTTGTTGCAGCTGGGGCTTGTGGACTGGCTTTTGTTTTCTCATTTTTCTTGGTCGCGCTTCCGTGGTAGATGCCATTCCTGAGGCAGGCCTAGAAGCTCCGTCTTTTGGTAGAGGCTGTGGCGCTGTCTGACCAGATGTAGGGAATGCTGCTGAAACCACTAGACTTCGGGGATGCCTGGGACGAGCATCTAGCAGAGGTGATTCAGCTTGAGCATCTCGGACCACACTAAATAAGTGCTCAAATTGTCCTTGGCCAGACCTATTCGATAGGGGAAGCAATGAACGCAGTCGTGTCAATCGAAGCTGGTGTTCTTCAAGTCGTCCACACTGTATGGTTAAAGCGTTAGCAGGCAATTGCGCAACGTCTTTGGCCTGCTGAGGTCTTGCACCCGGGTTCGATTCAATACGATGTGGTTCTTCTGGCGAGACAACAGTCGTCTGAAAATTGCGTTGTGCCGTTCGGTTGTCGAGAAGGCTGTTTGTGCGTGTCTTCAGCTTCTGTAAGACAGCATCGGGGTTCGCATCATCAGACAGATGCACACTCTTATGACTGGCTCTTGTGCCTCGCAAATGAGGCTTCTCTTTTGCCCGTCTAGCTGCAACGCGCAGAAAGTGAGGTCTTCGCTGAGTCGTGGAGGCCTGCAAATCTGGTGCATCTAAAACATGAACAAGATCGTGTGTTGTAATTGTGTGACGTCTTTTGTGTGGCTGGTGTGACCGTGGTCGACTCTCGAGCCTGCCTCTGGACATGGACATGCCATCTGTTGATAGGTAGCGCCTGTGCTTGATTATGCCGGGGTGATGTGGATTGACCTTACGTTTTCGGCTTGCAGTGTTGATCCTTTCGCGGACAGGTAACATGGGATCGATGGCATCGTCGTCGAAAACTTCTGTTGCCTCTCCATCCCAAGCTGCTGGAGTCATCACAGCAGACCGAGCACTAGACCTTGGTGCGAAGTGTTTGAGCGGACTTTTCACCATTTCCTCTGAACTTTCTTCAGACAGCAAATCCTCGTCGGGATTGCGCTCAACCTGAGTGGTGCGGAGTGGGGTTGGTCGTGTTTTATGCTGTGCTACACCGGCTCTGTCATCTTTTCTCAAGGACTTTTGCACCATCTCTCTCTTCTCAGCGACAACTTCTTGTCGCGCTCGAGCAATGTTCCACCAGGAGGCAGGCAGAACACCTTTGACTTTCTTTTGCATTATTCGTACTGTCTTCGAATTGTCTGCGTCTGTGTCAGAGCTGTTTGACTCCGCGGACTCACTCATTTGTCTAGCTTGGTCGTTTTCGGGGCTTGATTGTGTGTCGTCTTCAACTACCCACCGATTACGTCGCGGTGCCGAGGACAAGAGCGGCGTTGGGAGGACATCTTGACTGGATATATGCACCGATTTCTCAGGCAGGAGAAGAGGATCTGTGGAATCGACGCTCATAGACCTCGGGGGCGAAGGCAAGCTGTCACACTGAATTTGCGCTGAATAACGTGGCCGCGATGGCTTGTTTCTGCGACTTTCTTCGCCGGACGAGGGCAGGTCATAGGCATTCTCAGAATTCTCCAGTACAAGTCTATCGGGTTTGTGTACCTTCGATGTTCGGCAAGTCGTGCGAGAATTTTTGTGATACGTCTTCTGCATCAAGAGATCAAGGTCAGGTAGGTCCTCTGTTTCAAGAGCAGCATCAGCGTTGTTGAGATCGGTCGGAGAGCTAGGTATTATCAAGTCGGTTGGTCCCTTGTTTAAGTTCCCCGGCGCGTACGCAATCGAAGCTTCCGGCTCCATAGACTCTTGCTGCTGACTGTCATCTTCGAAAGAGGAAGCCTGTGTTTCGTCGGCTTGGATGCTTCGCGAGAGAGATGGAGGATTGGCAATCCTCACTGGTTTGATACCACGTTCATTACATTGCTTCAAGTATCTAGCCCATTCCAATGAGTAAGGGTTGATTTGGTTTGCTTTTCGTGTACGGAAGTTTCTCTGGGGAACCTGGTGTAAATCTCCTCGTCGAATCGAGCTCGTAGGGTTCGGAACGAGCTGATCGTAAGGTTGTGACAGTACAGCGACGGCGGTCGGTGTCGTGAAAGGTACCGCTTCTATCAATTTCTGTGATGAACTTGGCGAGTCAGGCGGCGTAGAGAGAGGACTCTCATCTAGCTCTGTCACTGGAGATTGCGGTCGAGGTGATTGTGTCGAGAATGCGAGAACATCTCTGACGAGAGAAAGGCCTTCTAATATGGACTTTTCGAGCTTTTCCGCAGTCGAAGCGACGTCGTTCTGTGAAGTCAACTGCTGAGATCCTGCCAGTCTGACTACAGCTTGCCCAGTGTTTTGAGATGTGCTTGGCGGACAATCAGCTCGATCGGTAGAGCACTGATATTGCACTGTGTGATTATTCTCTGACTTCTTTGGGACATTCTCAGACGATACGCTGTTGACGGCGTTAGTTTCGACTGTGGTAATCGTGCTAATTCGCTTTTGTGATAGTTGCAGCAGGCCATCGTGCTGATGAACAATCGTATTTTTGTTATAAGCGTCTTCATCTTCGTCCTCCGAGTCAGAAACATAACCTTTGATTTTCCATGATGCCATCTGCAAATCTGCCCATTTCACTCGCAAGTCAATGGCTTTGACGAGAACGTATCTCTCTACCTAGCACAGTGTAAGAGAGCATCCTAGGCAGGCACGATCAGAGTGGATCAGGTGTGAACGCGTACGTGTTAGACGCGTTCGAACAGAACGCGCTAAGGATCGGAGATAATTCCTCCAAGCTGTTAATGCCGAAGTTCATGACCGCCGCATTTGCTTTCAATTCAAACATCATCACTCTTTCGCATCAATCTCACACAATGTCGAGCCGTCTCCTTTCTCCACTCGCAGCGACGCTCGTCGGTGTGGGTGCGGGTATGTATTTCTCGCAAAGCTACATGCATGGCTGATTCTTAAGCAGGTCTTTATATCTGGGTGCCGTACTGGCAGGAGAGGCTCCGGAATGATCAGCTTGAAAAGGACTCTCAGTTGCCCCCCAACATGGTCGAGATCCCAGTTCAGGAAGCCGGCTCGCCTGAACAACGCCTGCAATACAGGCCGAAAAACACTGGTGAAGGATGAAGTGTTGCAGTGGCGACCGGAATGACAGCAAACAATATCCTCCGCACCAATAATTACATCTCTGTTGGCTCGAATTTTGCGGCTAAGAGACGAGGAAACTTTGTCCTCGTCGCAGCGACATACAGGAATCACACTTCGAAACGAACAATGAAAGAGAAATTCTAGCGAACCATATGACCTGAAATCTTTCGTGCAGTTGCGAATTCCCGAGACACATCGACTACGATACGTGGACTTCTGAACTTGTCTGCTACGAACCAGCACGTTTGTAGAAGCAGATCTAAGCAAGAGCTGGTTGGTCTTCAATTACACGATATGACCTTCGGCAGTGATTGCAGGGACGATGTGATATTGACGGTATCATATGTGGATATAAGGACTCTGTCTTCCATTGAGATTATGGCTTTTGAGTCGAGGTTAAGTTACCGCTGGACGTTCAAGCACCAGTTCTCACAGATTACCATACCCGCCGAGGAAGGTGGTAACAGATTGGTTTTTAATACTGCTCCAGGATAAAGCATGGTCTAGCAGCTGAATTGGTGATCAACTTCATCACATCGGTAATACAGTCTTGTGGTTGTGTGATAAATGTGCTTGGATTGAACAGATACTACTTTTTCTTCGTTCATGAATTCTCGACGTCCATGCTCCAGCATATGGACTGAATAGGAAATTGACCAAGCGAAAAGACTATTGACACAAGACGCACATCTATACAAGGATTCATATGTTAACACTGTACGTTAGCACGTAAGTAGGAGGCTATGTTCATCGAGACCAAACATTCAAGCCGTCCTTCAAAGTACGCGGTCTCTTGTCCCACTACGTACTCTTCGCAATTGACTTCATATCACGGGCACGTGTAACAGCAGAACCAGCAATGCCTCAATGTCTTACAATACATAAAGCGGACTGTTCGACCTCCGCTCTGCCCATCAACATCCATTCACGAGCGACCACATCCTTACATGTTCCATCGCCATTCAAGCTACTGTTCATACTGTCATCGAGCGACTCGGACTATGAACCCTCTGGGATTTAAGTCGGCATTCATATTGCTGACCTCATGTCTTGCAACCGCTTTTGCAATATCTGGTATGGATCAAACACTTTACACGCCATCAATTTCTGTCAATACCTCAAGTGCTCGTCTCTTGGAAGAGCACTCCACTCTGTCTCCGACGAAACTCGCGCGAGAGCAAAACCAATGCGGCATTGGCTACATTGATTGCGGTCCATATTGTTGCGCCGCAGGATCGACTTGCACCGTCGATATCAATGCCAACTTTGCCTGTTGTCCACGAGATGACTTCTGTACAGGTACACCACTTCCACCGAGCGTCGGTCCAACTGTGACGATATTTCTACCCAACAGTGCAGCTGGCAGAGTTAGACCGCTCTCGATCTTGACCTGCTGGTCTACTCTATACAATGCAATCTCTGCACAGCTCTCACCACAAACCCCATACGCTGAATCAGTAGCGGCCATGCATGCTAGCCTGACAGCCGCGGAAGCTGCAGAGTCTGCCAACGCTGCTCTGGAGATATCGCCTTTGGTTAAGGAAGGTAACTGGAAGTCCATGCTTGCTGCCCAACAAGACTGCCCAGCTGGAGGCTATCTGGTAAAGGAGTGGCAGATGTGCTGCATCAACGACACGAGCCCTCACACTTATGGAGCCATGGTGCGCGGGTGCTGTCCTGCTTCACTTCAAGCATTGGACAAGAAAGAGCTCGAAGAGAAATGTCCTCGAGAAGCTGGAGAGTCGTATCTTGAGCCTTTGAGATATGGTGTAACCTCGCAAGCGTCACGGCTTTCCTTACCTGCTGCGGACTTTTTCAAGTCCCTGTTCGCAACAAGAGACAAGCTCAATGTGAAGGAATCGACAATTCACGTCAGGTGGCAGGATTCAAACGTGCCACTCTCGCCCATCACACTCAAAGTAAGGAAACCATTCACATGTAACCGATTGTCCACTGAGGCCTCAGTCGAAAAGCGCCACGAAAATGCCCCATCTAGCGTGAACGAAGCAGACGGGGTGGACATTACTGCTGCTTAACCTGGCAGGGAGAGTCGCAGCCTTCCTACCTGCTGGGGCCCAAGTGGTGCGGGCTGTGAGACTTCTGGAGCAAGTTCATTCCGTAATCCATTTAGTGTGTTTGGTTGGATATACGACTGTTGAGCATTTAGTATGATTATTACAATACGTAATTCTACGTCAGTGTGACTCCACTATCACTTCACAAAAACAGACATCCTTCACCTTCACCAAGTCCGTCGACACTGCGGGAGGTTGCAGCTATTAAAGCGTGGCCGTAACATTTTTCTTGTATCACTCACGTCGATCGCAACATCTCTCGAGCCTGGGAAAACTCACCAGTTCACTCCTTCTGACTTTCTCTACCACTATCTCAAGGTCTTTCTGTCCCTTTCAACTGCTGAAGACACAACTCTAGCATCGTGGGTCGACGTTCCGACCAAACAACCCCACTGCCAGAATGGCGAAACCTTCAGTCAAGCTCTATCTTGCTTGCATCCTCTTCTACTTATCCTCCTTCATTCACGCTACAGTCCTTCCAGAAAGCACTGTTCCTACCTCCTTGCCTGATAACTCTATCGATATTGACATCGACGACCCCTCCCTTCGCTACGTCAATCGAGATATTGAGACTCTGTTTGGAACCAACACCTATGCCATGTCCTGCTTCGAAGACTTGGAAAAGACAAGAAAATGCCAAGCTTCCGACTACCAATACTTCTGCAACAGTGCTGGAAAGCTTGTAAGAAATGGAGCATTCGGCAACATCTTCTGCGATGATCATTGTTGGTGCATCAATCTGACACCAAAGAGCCTTTGCACTTTCGACCTAGCTGGATTTTCGTACTGTGCTCGGGACCTGGTGAACTATATCGGTGCAGGTTATCGGTCTGTCTTCAGCAAGAGAGCTACCACAATCTCTCCTTCGTCTCAAGAGCATACCGACCTCGACATGGCTGACTCGTCTTTCCACCAGGTCGACCGACGTGACGATCCTCCTGGCTGCAACGCCAATGACAAGTTTACAGTCAGATTATATGCTGCCGACGATTGGTACGATGTCTTTGTGCCAGAAGCTGGAAAATTACACAACCTTGGTGTGGAGCCAGCCGACCTCATGTGTAAGGGTACTGATCCCGGCAGATCGAGCAGAGACTTTGGTGGATGTATCTCCTGCTTCGCTCATCATTACTATGGGCTTGCCGTTGTAAGTGATGGAAGATGTGGGATTACATATACGACGCCTGAGAAGTCTGAATACTTTTGGCTCACTAAAGCTGATGGCATAATCGATCTTGGTGGTAACGCCTTTTCGATCGTCTGCTTTGACTACAAGCCGACCATGAGGCGAAATATTGATCAGGTGAGCGCATCGACGATCACTTCTTCAGACACTCCACGTGATTGCTCTGACGAATCAGGAACGAGACGTCTGGTAAGATTCTACGGACCAGAGAGATCTGATGATTTGTTCGTGCCGGAAACGAGAAAGGCTTTCTCCCTGGGAGGAGATAACCCAGACCTTATGTGTGCCAGCGACAGCTCCAACACGTATTCTGCCTTTGGAGTTCTTGACCAGGGTAGTTGCCTGCTGACTGTTGGTCGTCCTGGCGATAGTCAATCATACTGGGCAGACAAGAGTGATGGGCGAATCGATACCAATGGTGCACCACCATTTTCTGTTGCCTGCTACGACTTTGAGAACCCTGAGAAGAGTTATGCTTCATCTCTCGACCTTCGAGATGAATCCCTTTCAGCCTTGACTTCGAGTCAGCACGCGCCTAACGACGCGAAAGGTTGTGATGTGGGACAGCACAACACCTTTCCAGTACGGCTGATCACGAATGAACACAACGGCGACAAGGATGTGTATGAGACTCTGGTATTCCCTGATGGTCAGATTCACTGGATGCACGATCCCTTCCCAGACCTTTATTGTCGGGATCGATACACTCATGAATGCTCCCACTGCGACGACCTTCCGCAACTTCATGGTCAGGTTGTTCGGATCTCGGCCGTGGTTATGGATGTGATCGAAGGTCTTGGTCACTGCACCATACGATTCACGGAGCAGCGGGAGGGACTTGGCCGAATGTTTGGAGGGGATATCTGGCCCAATAATTGGTTCAACCTGGAAGTTCCGGGCTTTCCTGCCTTCATCATCTGCTACTATCATCCGGACACGCCTGACCCTGGTGATGGTCTTTCTGGCGAAGCAATCTCTGGCATTGGCGATACAGAACCAGCCGCCGCACTTGCATTCCCCACCGTCAAGCCTCGAGCCGAAGACGGCACCACCGACCTCATACTGCGTGACGCCGCCTCCAGCTGTGAATTAACCTTGTCGCCAACTGAAATCGACTTTCCAGTCTACTTCAATGCTCCTGGCGGAAGTATCAGATACCTGGTATATGTGCCGTCAAGCACAGTGAAACATACCTACGAACTTGGCGGAGATAGTCCACAGCTTCAGTGTCTTGACATCACCACCAACAAGTGCGGCAAATGCGACTTCTTAACAAGCGGAGTCCAGGTTGCCACTGTTCCTGGTGAAGGTCACTGCGATATCGAGTTTTCCGGTGATCCAGATGTCCGCCTCGATATCAAACTCGTCTCCGTCATTCCCGAGTTCCACGACTATCCCATTGGGTTCACAGCATATCCCAAGACCATCACTTGCTATCACAACTGTGATTCGAGCGGCTATGGTCCTCAGCAGGGCACTCCCTGTGATCCACCGCTTAATCCACCGCGCGCACTTGCGGCTCGAGATGTCGACCTCCTCGATCCTCGTGCCGAAGCCGTCAGTCAAAACATGGCTGTGCCGGAGGGTTGCATGCCTCTTGGAGGTTTCAATGGAATGTCGCTACGTGGTAGTGCAGCTGGATACTACATCATGTACATTCCTGATGAAGGTCTACCTCATACAGTTGGCAAAGATGCTGAAATGTCCTGTCTCGAGCTCAACGTGCGCACCCGCTTAGGTGGCGAATGTGTCGCATGTGATGGAGAGTATAGTGCTGTGTCGCTGAGCAGTGGAAAAGGCATACTGCACCTCGCGAAAGGTGGCGATTTCAAGATCATCCAAGGTGAAGGATGGAAACAGCTACCTCAGACTTCTGCCATCAACGCCATCACCTGCTATCCCAATGCAGATAGCGTTGAGTGGCCGCCAGCCATGGCTGCAGCAGTGGATGAACCAGTACCCGCTACCAAGCAGCTTGACGCTCGTTCCATGACCACCACTGTCACGTTCACAGAGTGGCTCGGTCCTACCACCACTGCCGTCCGTACTTGGACAGATACTTACGGTGACCCGCTAACAACCACGATTTCCCGCACCTACACCCTAGGTGGCAAACCATCCGTCTACAGCACAGATCGTGAGGTCTGGACGCCTCTTCTCGAACCACACCCAGTCAAGCGTACCATTGAGCAGGCTGGTGTGACAACGAAAGTATTCACCGACACCAATACCTTTACTGTTGACGCAATACCTACAACCAATACTGCCACGTGGAGCGTCATTCAAGGCAACACCGTCGTGTACACCGATATTTTGACATTGCATAGCAACGATAAGGCATCTGTCACTGAGACAGTCACAGGCTCCACGACTCTCGCGTGCTATGTTGGAGGAAATGTTCCAGGTTGTGAGAGCTTGATAACTGGTACGACCACATTCGATACTCGTCCCACTGACAGTTCGACCCTTGACGCTGTTGCGGGAACGAACGATGATCATGCCGAGGGAGCTCAAGATGCTACTGATGCTGGAAATGGACTGCATCAGAATGGCGCCAATGGTGTTATTGCAGGCTTCGGTTTGATCGTCGCATGTTTGACGATTATGGTTTGGCTTTGAGGTCGTGGTTACTCACACACCAGGGGCCCTCTTCTAATGTCCAATGCTCATGTCAAGTGATAGACATATGATTAGTTTTGTGATTCAAGATGACAATTGACGATGAACATTTTACATAGAAATGCTACGGACCTCGTCTGAGCATTTAGCCATGACACTGATTTACGGGCAAGTCGATAGAGCTAGAGAACCGATAGATTAAAGGTTAGAACAAGACTTCCACCGTGTTACTCGGCCTTCCGCATTGTTATCTCATTGCCGTAACCACATCGATACTCTTTCGTTGCATTTGACTTTGCTAATGATGCTGAATTTATTCGATACGTGTGTCTGTCTTGCCTGAGGCATCACTTGGACTTAGGCGTGCAGCGTGCTTAGGCTCCAAGCTCGGCACGTCCATGAATTTCGCCGAACAAGAGTGACCGAGGTGCTGCAACTTTAGTGCCGTCACTAAGCACATATGCGGATTTCGTGGTATAGGTTGACCTGCTCTTCACGACCAGCGATCAGGTCAAGTTCCTACTCGACTACCTCCGTCACTATGCTACCTATAGCGAGGAACAGCGCACTCTGTGCTATAAGACAACAGCACAGGATATCATCCCTCCAACGTCTCGCCTCAACCCTCGCCATCCTCGAACAGCGCGAAGGTGGGCTCAACTCAGGTTCTCTAGGAGCAATAACAGCAGGTCAGAAGCTCGGAGGAACAATCCATGGCTTCATTGCTGGCAAGAGCGTCAAGAGCATTGCCGAAGAGGTCGCAAAGGCCAATGGACTGGAAAAAGTGATCATGGTCGAGAACGAAGCATACGAGCGCATGTTACCTGAGAATTATGCGACGTTACTGGTTGAAAATATTAAAAAGGGAGGATATACGCATGTGGTTGTTGGACATAGCTCTTTTGGAAAGAGTGTGTTGCCACGGGTTGCGGCGTTGTTGGACGTCCAGCAATTGACAGATGTTATGAAGATTGAGAGTGAGGACAGTAAGTTCTACTCCAGGCTTCGAATCCAGACATGAAAAGCTGACCTTCTACCAGCCTTCGTCCGACCTATCTACGCTGGCAATGCTATCCTCACAGTTCAATCCACCGACCCCATCAAATGCTTCACTATTCGGCAAACCGCCTTTCCACCCACAGCGCTCGAGTCTGGCTCCGCCACCATCGAAGAAGGCGTCGATCCCAAAGCCGAAACGCAAACAGAATGGATATCAGAAGAACTAGCCAAGTCTGACAGACCTGAGCTCGCGACCGCAGAGAAAGTCGTCTCGGGCGGACGAGGTCTGAAATCGAAAGAGGAATTTGACAAGCTCATCCCACCACTAGCTGACGCACTAGGCGCTGCAATCGGTGCTTCAAGAGCAGCTGTAGACAGTGGCTTTGCAGACAACAGTTTACAAGTTGGACAAACGGGAAAGAACGTGGCGCCTCAGTTGTATCTGTGTGCGGGTATCAGTGGTGCGATCCAGCATCTGGCAGGAATGAAGGACAGCAAGGTCATCGCGTGTATCAACAAAGATGCGGACGCGCCAATATTTCAGGTCGCAGATGTCGGATTAGTGGGAGATCTGTTTGATAAGGTGCCTGAGTTGACGGAGAAGCTGAAGAAATAGTTAACAATATTGTGATACCACATTTGCGCTTAGCATGGTCTTTTCTATACGCTCTTTTATACTCTGTGGTACTTCATCATGTCGAGCGTCATGGGAGCTCTTTTCTGAATTTGCTCGCTCATGCTCGGCCATTACAGCATGAAACTTTCCAACGCATTATAGCGAAGCGTAAAGCCAAGCAGCTCGGTCGTAACTATTTTTACTACTCTGTGAGTCACACACTGCATCTCAGTCTCTACACTTACGACCGAGCACAGGTCTTATTAGCATGTTTCGACCAATGATAATACTCTTCGAACGAGCTTGACGAAACGTGGATATTCGCTGACTCACAATCTTTCTACGTGGGTTCTCAGCGCAGGAGCGAATACGCCTTTACTGTGCCAAGTCAGAGTACGCCCTTGCCAATGAGATAGCTGGATTATCCGTACACTTCTCCACCCTGCGTTTTCTCGACTCGTTGCTACCTGGTTTCTAGCACTTCTCGACCTCGAGATATGTGTCCTGTGGCATCCTGGCGGAAAATTGAAGGATCCCACCTGTCACAGTTAGATGCGTGCCATTGGATATCAACAAGGCATCACCGTTTTCCTATGATGACTTATCACCGAGCTGCACCCATTGATCGTGACTGGACGTGGTCGCTCCACGTTCAATTACCTTTCCTGATCTGATACTGTTACAATACGCTCCGACGAATCATCAAGGCCCCATCTACGCACCATGGTTGGACTATTTGTTTTTTAGGCTAGTCTCACTTACATATCTCCGACGTGCAGCGCGCTGCCTCGAGGAGTCATAGGTCGCTTACTGGATAGGGCGTATCGGTATCAGTCAATGCTGGTTGAGCTATCATGATTACGACCGAAGTGAGCGTGGGCTCCTTCGTGTGGTGAAGGAGAAGGTGATTCTGTGAACATATAAGTAAGTCGCTCCTGCCTCGACCAAGTGAACTGTCTTGCCCGTATCAAGAGAATCGTTCAAGCACAGTTCCAGGACGGAAAGCACGACATTACAGACCAGTACACAAGCTCCGCCCAGCTCACTTGCACATCTGCCAATAACACTACTACAACCACCACCAATACCAAGCAAGACCAGATTCAACACCACCCTCCTATTCAAGTTCCATATACAAGACCACGTTGCCATCTAACACAATTCGAAATATGCATCACTCGAGCATGTCTCCTAAATCCTCGTCTCAGACCGAAACAGCCTCAATCAAATCTACCTCTACAACAGCTACAATCACAAGTCTGAAAGCTCTTCTGCACAACAACCCCAACAACCACCACACCCACCACAACAACACCCACAACCACAACAACAACAACAACAACAAGTCATCGAAGACTAAGCCCTCAGAAGCGAAGTCGACACCTGAGCAGTCAGCCAGGGAGAATGAGATCAGGAACGAGGCGAGGGCTGCTTATTTCTCGATGCGGTGAGAAGGTCAATTCCGATTGTTGTCAGTCTAAATGTAGGAGCTGCAAAAATAGGGAGGGGCCATTGACATTACAGATTTCATAATTTGATCGACGGTCAATTCTGAGGCATGCTTTATTGAAGTATGAGTTGGTGATGCCTGCATCATGGCGTATACATTCTAGATCCGAGCCACACATTGTGCTTCATTTTTTTTGAACTTTTGATCTCCCCTCCTTAGGGGTTTGCCGAAGCAGCGGTAAAGAGGAGGAAATCGCCTCTTGTATGCACTTCAGCAGCAGCAGCAGCAGCATCATAGACAACTTTTGTTAAACTGGAGAGCCTCTGTAGTCATGAATCAGAATGTATTCGTTAATCGGTATACGCATTCATTCACTTCTTCCTCTATGCAGTCGATTCATGTGCTCTCTACTTTTTTCACGGGCCCAGAAATCCGTTCGTTATCCTCGACTTCCTCGTATGTTAGGCGGGGCTGTGTGGCAAGATCCATCACTTGTCACCGTAACACAAGCGGTCTCGATCTGAGGTGGGCTCTGATATTTGTTCAGTTTCATTTTGCCACATCTGCTGAAGCGGTCTGTTTGCGAGTAGACCCTAGACTGGGACCCTTTCGAGCGCATCGTCCTATTGCTCGTCGTCTGCTCTACTGCTCCCTATGTACGTGGTAGCCTGGTCATGGCTCTACGTGTGGTTCGTGCTGGTGCCTCCCGTCATCACCTCCCGTCCTCTACAGACGATCGTTTTGTGTCAATATCGACCAGAAGGTGGCAAGCTCATATTCAAGTGAAATTGGTCGAATGGGAGAAGGAGCGGGGAAGGCTTATATTCAAAAGCTAAGTAGAGTATCTGGAACATCAAAATGCATGGATATTGCGTGCTGTTTATACCTTGACCTTGACCTTCCACCCCACCAGACTGACTCGGGAAGCAAGGAAAAAGCCCGTACCAATGGAGCAAGCAATACCCGCAAAGATCTTGGCGTACAAGAAACTACCATGATCCCTCTCAACGAGCGCGCCCCCTATAGGAGTTCCCGTTAGGGCTGCTATCGAGGAGATTCCAAAAACAGCCCCCGTTCTGGTTCCGATGTCCCTGATGGGAGATATTTGAGCAATCAGAGCTGGTGTCAAGCCGATGGCTGCACCAGAAGCGAAGCCGAATAGAGGTGCATATGCGATGAAGATTGCGTTTGTATCTGCTGGAATCCACATGGCGAAGATGAGAATTGTGGTTAGGAGGGCGAACAGAAACATGGTGTTGAACCTGCCAATTTTATCACCGATGATGCCAGGTAGTGTTCGACCAAAGATAGAGCCGGCGTTGAGGATGCTGACAAGATATTCCGACAGAGTCAGGGACATACCATGTCGGACTGCATCAGCAACGATGAAAGCGAATGGCAAGAACATGCCATAGTAGAAGATGAACAATGCGATTGCGACCAGGGCGAAAGGCACTTCTCTCAGTGGTCGAACGAAAGCCATAAGCTCGAATTTGCGCTTGGCCGGTGTTACTCGCGACCTGACTGTAAGATTTGCAAAGATACCCAGACCAAGAACGAGAAATGCACACGTCCGCATCGCCCATGGAAACCCAACTCGAGGGATCATCCTGCTGACCACGATAGGAAAGATGACACCTCCCAGAGAAGATCCAGCTGCTGTGAGACCCATTGCCATTCCTCTCTTCTGCAAGAACCATGTCATCACGCAAGTCATGCTAGGACCGAAGAGCATAGAGGCTCCGATAGCGCTGCAGATGGACTGACTGAGAAAGAACTGGTAGTATTCTGTGCTGAGGGAAGTCATCATGAGTCCAAATGCATGCAGAAAAGTACCACAAGCGAGTAGTGATCGAGGACCAAAGTTATCGAACCAGAGACCGACCCAAGGTGACATGAAGAGCATGAAAAATACTTCTGTTGACACAATCCAGCCGACAGTACTAGGACTGTAATCGCTGAGAGGACCACTTTGATAGTAATTCTGGAAGACACCGACGGCGTTGATCCAGCCCCAAGAACAGAACATACATGCTGATGCACCTGCTACGCAGAGCCATGCTGGTGCACCTCCATCGGGAAACTGTGATGGATGCATCGGGTTGACAGGTTGTTGCGATTCTGGTTGCTCCTTTTCAGAAACATCTTTGGCTTGTTCTTCATCACTGATGGGCTGCTTGAAGATCGTATCGGTATGTGGAACATCGCTGTGATCTCTCGACTTCTCTTTGAGTACCTCGTGCAGGCTTTCTGTAGATGAGGAAGAATGTGAGCTGGGCATCTTCTAGGTGACGGTCCGTGGGGAATAAAGCCAAGAACTCGAGGGCGAAGCTTTTGCTAAGACTTGCGAGTGCGCCAAAAGCCTAAATATGGACAATAGGCTAGGCTGGGTGATAAGTCAGGAGAATGGCGAGGACAGCGGCGAAGTAAATATCATTTATCCAACAATTGCAAAGACAGCAGGGTTCACGTCGCGCTTGCGTCCCTCGTACATTCCTGCATGAGTCTTCGTTACAAGCTCGGCTTTACGAATTCGCGAGATTCAGGCTTGATACAGCAGACCCACCGGATGGGTCCTGTTCAAAGCATGCCAGCGAGCTGTGAACACTCTTGATTGGAACAGGTCGTTCGAACTTTTGTCCGGGCTTAAAAACTCCCGGAGGTCGGTTTCTTTCGATGCCGCAAATTTGATTGGGTCAAGCTGGAAAGCACATATGTGATTGTTTAAGACCTGAGCATAGCAAGTAAAGACTTCATGAGCCGCTCCACTTCATTCATATAGAATCTAGATAGACAGATCATTATATGGTTTGTGCAGGCAGAAACCAGTGTCGATTCTTATCCCCATGGCTGTTGCCGAAGATGAGAGTTTACGAAGCCATTAGCCTCATCCACCCGATCAACCACTGACTATACAGAACCTGCCAGCTTGTCTCTCAAAGCAACCTTTCCTGTACACCAAAGCTAGGAGCTGATCTCGCACCAAATAAGAAGTGCCTACCTTCACTGGACGCCAAACTATGGACCGCTGAAAAGTTGTCCGGTAGGATTGAACCTCCTTTCTTCTAAAAGTGGGGAACTCGGCCGAGGATCCTCATATCGCACAACGAATTCATCGTAAGACCCATCTACTCAGGACTATAGTTGCAGATCGTCCGACGAAATGGAATCGATCTGACTCACTCACGGACGAAATCAAGAACATTATCTACAAATCGGGCAAGTAAACGTGGTTGCTACCAGCCGCGTCGGACATGATTGTGTCTTTACGGGACCGAGACGAGTTTTTGTCGAGCGAACCTGACCCCTTTCCCCGAGACACTCACTTGGTACTTGCAGGATCGTGCACAATGTCTGACTAATCATCTCTCTACCACGCGAGCTTGAGATGTGTCTAGATAGGCAACCATAAATCTCGGTGATACGTAACATCTTATCGTGAACATATACTCATGTTTGCAGATGGTCTTTGTCTCTCATGCATAGCCGTGGGACTTCTCTAGATGTTCTTACGACACAGTTCGTTGCTCGTGAAATCAGATTCTCTATGCCATGAAGATAGATAGTTCCTATTTGAGGAGCTACTGCATCATGCAGTCGTCTAAAGAGTTATCCAACTAAGAGTTGAGGTATCTCGCAACAGCACCCCTCAACCTCCTACCACCCTCACCAGCAACACTGATCAGATTCTCCAAATCATCACCAGCGTTAATCCCCATCTTTCTGACAAAATCTTTCGCAACACTTTCTAGATCGTCACTTCCTGCCTCGGGTATATCATCTTCAGGTCGACCAAAGTATGCGTTCGAAGATATCGAGGTTGCACCCTCAAAACCCTGTAGACGTGTCTTGGCCTCACTTTGTGCAGAAGGATCAAAGGCGTTGCGACCGAAGAACTCGTCTGAGGAAATGCCCTTCTGTGTACCAAATTTTTGGCGAGCGTAGAGTTCGTCGTCATCTTCTTGCGCAGCTGGTTTGGCAGTACCGACAGATCCAAAGCCCAATTTCTTGGGTGCGGCAGCGGCAGGAGCTGCAGATCTCCCTACCATGCCAAATCCCAGTCTTGCCTGTCCCATACCTAACCTTTCGACCTCGCTAGGGCTTCGTTGGTGTTGCTGCTTTGCGGTGGCGGTAGGAGTCGTTGGCTTGGGAGACTTGATGTCTGTGCTTGCAGTGACGGTAGTTGTCTTGTTTTTCTTGTCTTCAAAAGCCTTCTCGGCTTCAGGATCGTAGCCCAGCTTTTCTATCCTATCTGCCTCTGCCTTTGCAGCTTTCTCGGCTGCCTCAAAGTCAATCTCTTCTCCCACCACCTTCTTCGCGCCTAATTTCGTAGTCTTCTTTGCACCTAGAATATTCTTTCGTGTCGCGGCAGCGCCAGGCGCCATACCAGGCTTGCGTATAGATGTGGCAGAATTAGCTCGGATGGCGGCGGGTGCAGGTAGAGACTTCTCTGCAGCATCTTCCGCAGCCGCTGTCGCATTCAGTGGTGACTTCGGCCTTCCAGCCGCGCCATTTGGGTTACCTGCAGACAGGAAGGGCGAGGCTGTACGAGAAATTACCGGAGGAGTGCCGACTCGGGAAGGAGGATTACTAGGCCTCTTGATAGCTGGCTTGTCCCATGAAGAGAAGAAATCGTCGTCTGCGTTGTCTGTTGCGGGCGTCGAGGTACCATCGCCAGGAGTACTTGAAACATCGTCTGTTATAACCACTTCTTCAGGATACCTGCACAATAGTCAGCTTTACGCTCTCCTTCTACCTAAAGAAACCACCCACTCTTCCGCATCTCTGGCAGCCCTGCGTTTCAGCTCGTCTTTGTATTTGTTGGCCGCATTCGAAGTATACTTGACTTTCGCATCCTTGCTTGCCAGCGCCGCACTACCGCCATTCGACTGAAAGAACTTGGTGGCAGAGTCGTTTCCTCCTACTTTCATGGTCCGTAATTGAGCCCATTGCCAGACATCTAGGTTTGTGGATCGAACGAAGGAGATGTGTACACCAAGATTACGATGGTTTGAGGAGCAGTCTAGACACAGGTATACCCCAAATGGTACCGACGACCATGTTGGGTTCTTCTGACCACAGTCAAAGCATATCTAAGTGGTATGTTAGGGAGTGGACAGACACAGGGCTGGGGTTGTCAATACCTTGTTGGCGGGCTTGCTTTTTAGTTTCTCAAAGACTTTCTGCGACTGTAATTTTGTCGCACTCATCTTGTGTGCCGCGCTGCGCAACGGACAAGAGCACAGTATGCAAGATGGGTGCGCAGATCGGAGGTAAAGACAGATTTCTTTTGTTTAGCACATGGTCGAGAACAAGGACAATGATGCAGGAGCCCACTACACCTCTTTCGCTCCACCGTTGTAGGGGTGAGTGTTGCCGCCTCCCCTTTTCGAAGCCGGAGCCTCGTTCAGCCTTGTTGACCGTCGTTCATGGGAAATGCCTCTATAAGTGGATGCTTGTAACCCGTATGTAGAGGTCAAACCTTTTCCACTCCTATGTTAGTATCACTCACTTCTATCGATACGAGATTGCGAGAACAACATCAGAGGTCACGATGATAGGAAAGTTAATGGATACCCCAAGATAAATCCAAGAGTTACGATCAAGAAAAGATGAAAACTGCATAACGAGAGTCGATTGTGGGTATATCAGTATATCATGCAGTCCAAATACATCATCTCAATTTGCCTGCTTTCATACATGACACCAGATCATGCCTCGTAATCGCTTCGATACATAAAGTCTCGCCCTTCTACAGTACCGTAACTAATATTACCATACCAAATCCGCACAACGTATGATTTTACTAAACGACCTCCGAGAAATATCGTTTGCTGCTTCTGCCGCTAGGACTTCTGGGGTCGATTGGAATCTCGTGATGCACAACATGTGGTCTGAAAACAGCATCAACAGGTGGTTGCCACTCGTCTATGCTAAGAGGAAAGTACTCGTACAGACCACCCGCTGTGTCACTCGCGTTCGATACTTGTGAATAGTTGTGGACAAGCTGTGGTCGAGATACATGGTCGTGGCCATATCTACGACCTGCACTTATCGATGTTGGCATTGGAGCTGATTGCGACATTGGTGCGCTAGTCACGCCCATTGTCATCGAAGACTGACTCGATTGCATTCGTGGCCGTTGTTTCGCAGGTGGTTCGCCCGCTCCTATGGGCACAGGAGGATATGATGTATTGGCATAGGTTGCAGAACGAGGTTTGTTCGTTAAATTCGGAGATGGATTCGAGGTTGGAGGCCGTGAGGACGTACGGCTAGATTGAGGTTGCGGATATGGTGATCCGCCACCTTCATCGTCACTTTGAAAGTGCAAACTCACAGGCGCACTGTTCTCTTGTCCCATGTTCGGGGAGAAGGCAAAGTTGAATGGCGTATGAGATACATCTGGACTCGGTGCGCCAGTAAATGCTATTGGTACAGGTGGGTTCATGGACATCGTATATGGAGGAGATGGCTCGGGTATTTGAAACGGTGAGATAGACTGTTGCCAGCCGTTAAGATCTACTTCTGGCTTGGATAGGTCGTTGTGGTCGAAGATGGGATGAGATCTAGGTGCTCCTGTTGCTACTGGTGGAGAAGCCTGTTTGGGCACAGTATTGGAGCTGTCACCCGACCTCGATAGGCTTGGTACGTGTTTTCTCGATGTTGAACTGCTACTGATTGGAACGTCTTTCCGTGCTGCAAAATTCCGTGGACTTCGACCTCGCACTATTACCGCGCCTGACCTCGATTCAGCGATCGAAAGCTTCTCCCCCGTTGAGACTGTTGCCATGACTTTCAAATGAACTGTAAAATGTTGCTGCAACTCTTTCCTTCGTCCATTGTTTGCGGTGGCTATTCTAAACTGTAGCCGTTTCCACTGTATCGGGATTGAGTCAAAGTCTGAATCCATGTCTGCAGTGCTCAGCTTGTCCAGCGCAATAGTCGGTGGCTCTTTCTCTGATTTCTCGTCTGCTTTGGTACTTTCCGTGCTATTTGGTGTCTTCCATGGTACGGAGATGATCTTAACTGGATTGCCCTCTACTGACTCTGTCGCCGAGACCACAAGTTCTAGTTCGAAAATAGGTAATCTTCGTCCGTCTTCCGCGAAAACGTATCTTAGATTCTTCGGTAATGTGACGTTACCAGTTATTTGAAAGAGATTGCGACGATAGCACGTCAGCTCGGGTGGAGGTGGTGCGGTGTCCATGCTCGTTGGCCATTGCGACTCGGCAAGGAAAAACATGCCGTGCAATTGTGCTTGTATGTTGATGTAGCATTGTTGAAAGGACTCGTTGAATAGGCGATATGGAAAAGTCGGCATGGAGAAGGATAGATACTTGCTGTCTCGATCCATTGGCGGGCTATTTCCATTATCTGGAAGCTGATCAAACGAGGGTATGTTGTCCTGATTGTACGTGTCATCAAAGCTGGACGACATCCTCTTCAGCATAGCCTGGTGAGCCAATCCCCCACCGTGGCTGTAGGACATCTCATCACCACTATCACACGTTAACCCCAAACTCCTGGATTCTCACATTGAGACGAAGACTAACCTGACGTATGTTTCTGAATCAAAATTCGAGTATTGGTCGAGTGTGTCCATGTGTGAAGTCACGCTCATATAGTCTAGGTGCAAATTGTGGTTCCCAAATGGTAGCGGACTCGGAAGAAAGTTTACAGCATCATAATTGTCCATCGTGGCTGCTGTTCGAGTCGAAGTTGACTGAATATGGTTTGCGCACTGGATCTGAGAAACACCTGGATACCATGGAGTTCAGGCCAACCACTTTGATCGATTGGAACCGTCTCGCGATGGCGGAAGCCAAACTCGGATTCACGTGGTACAGCTCTCAAGCCTGACAAGAGTTGTGAGAGACGACCAGCGAGTGCTCGATTGGATTAATGAACTGCGGCGATCTGGAAGATGTTGGCCAGGTGCAAATTGAATATAGGTCTAATTGAGTCCAGATGCTGCGCCCGTGATCTGCGCTTAACGTGTATTAATGGATCTGATCCAGTGTGGGTTGTTGGCGGACCCGCCTACGTGACCGGTTGCGACGTCGATGAGCTCGAAGTGGATGTTGTGAATAGTGTGGCACAAAGACGAAATATCGAAGGACTAATAGAGTAGAAGAGCTTGAAGATTGTACCTGAAAAGTTGGAATCATAGCATGGGACGGGGCAAATGGATAGTGGTGGCTCAAGTGGGCATGTGCAGAAGCTTACCCAGCGAGCTTCTTTCTTCTCTGCAGGCTTCTAGAAGACATGGGGAAGATTCGGTGCCAGGCCTGCGCCTAACAGGCTTGCTCGGTCAAAGAGAGTTCGTAGTGGTGGACGCTGTGGGCGTCTGCCTCGATGCTGTAGCGAATCAAGGGAACCCCGAGTCTGAGAAGAGAGACGGTGCGATGGTTGGTTGAAACTGACGCCTGCAAGGCCAACTCAAAGGACCCTTGTAATCACGCTAACTCAAACCGTGGCCAACCTAACGCAGTGCTTGAACTCGACCAAAAAGCGCTCTGCCGTTCGCCATCGTCTTATCAAGCGCAAGAGGCAAACCAGCCGACCTTGCACTCGACGGGGAATCGTCAAAAGAGGCAAAAGCAATTCGTCAGCCACGCACTGGTGGTCGCGAGTCGCGAGGATAATCTTTCGGTGGTCGCGCTTGCTTGAGCACGTCAAGTAGCGCATCCGGTCCCAAGCACGCCTGCTGATCATCCATTCCATGCTGGTCCTTCTGCAGCAAAGATGGAGATGTCGTTCAACCTTGCAAGTCTGCGGCATGACACAAGTGGCCCGATTTTAATCATCCTTCCATCAATAGAAAACACCTAAACCTCATCAAGGCAACACACGAGCTATCCGAGGACTTCTAACACTTCTGTTTGGTCAGCGCATGCAATTTCCAAATAGCAAGACATTCTACCCCACAACAAATCACTGACCGTAGATCAGGATGGCACTACCTATACTCGTATTGCTTTCGGGTTCGTGACAGATCATCTACTCAGCTCGCTTTGTTTGTGCAGGACACCACACTCGGCAGCCATACCGGGAGTGATTTGCAGAGTGCTACTTCTTCACAGTCTACAAATAGATGGAATTACCCTACTACCTAGCAGTACTATCGAGGGTGGCTGCACGTTCCATGTCATTCGTAGATCCACAGCATTCGATTCATGGCTGGTAGGTGAGTATGCCAATGTCTGCTCTCGATATTCCGTTTATTGCCGACCACCTCCCCGTCAAGGTCAATACTGCGGAACACAAACTCTGATCGACCTTCCTCTTTACCCGATCGAGAGTTGATAGGCTCGTGCCACTAGCGTGCTCCTTCGTACACCCAAAAACCGTGCCGAGCACGCGGTGAGTGTCAGCCACGTTCAGGCACATGGATATCGGTGATTGAAAAGTCGAAGATTAACACCGCCAATCAGATTGACAATTTTCACCGTCGAGATCGTCTTCATAGCGGCACATGAGAGACCTTGAAAACACGGCACAATTCGGTGTAGGACCAGCTTGAAATAGTGCTTAGATCAAAAGAGTATTTGGCGTGCTTCGACCATATGCCGACAGTCCGTAACTTCTGCAAATGCTAGACTGTAAAGAGTAAGCGGGTTCATCAAACAACTCTACACTTGCTAGGTCTCGGATAACTCTGTCACCGCTCTTAGCGCTTCTGTGAGATCTTCTTTTCGGCTTCCATGCGTCATTTTCGATACACTAACCAAACATGTCTTGGTCACAACGCAATCGACACGGTGGTATGACCTTGGCGCTGTTGGTCAATGCATACTGACGGCGTGTTGCAGCATGCTGATGCCAGCGCACGACAGGACTGAATGTGATCCCAGTTGCAGATGCTGCAGCCCGCATCACGTCGCTTCTTTGAGATGAAATCACAATCGCAACGTCTCCATTCAACGACTTATGGCGTAGGCGATGTGTGCCGAAGTAATTGAATCTGGAATCCAGCTGCCTGATATTTGCTTGGTGTGCTGCAGCCACTGCTTTCAGAAAGAATAGGGGCCAGAAGTGAGGTAGACTTCTAAGTAGGTGGTGGTGAGAGCTACTGTAACTCCCTGTTGCTAGCCTAGCCTCCTGCATCCTTGTTACAGCCTCCTTGCTCTAGCTACTAATGTAGGCAAGCATATCCGAAGAGCGCAATCAAGTGGCTCGTCGCGTAACTGATTTCCCTGAGGTACGAGCCTGTAATGATTGCGCGGACTAATTCCATCCTCGATCTTGTCGATCCTATTTTAGGCAAATATTATGAGTCTGGTCTCGTGGAACAGACGTGCGCGGGCAAAGATCCATAACCCATATACATGACTGGCTTTGCTGACGACTAATTATCAGTCATAGCACATCGTTTAGAAAAGGTACATTTCCCTTCAGCAAGACAATCACGTCTTCTCGAACGTATCCCAGTCCTCGGCTAAGTTTTGTATGGTCTCGAATGTATTGAGCACGGTGAACCCCATACGTTGGAGTCCAGGCAATGCGGAAGGGTCATCGACCTTGCGAATTGTTAGTGTGAGGCTGACAAGTATGTGACGAACTTACATAGTCTAGTAGAAGCGAACTGATGCCCTGCTTCTTCAACTGGCGAACACCAAGCAACATCAGACCTTGTAACAACGACGCCTTGTCCTCCACATTCGTACTCACGACTGTCGAGCCAACTCCTCCTGCAAGACTGTCAGCGTTTCGCATACAGGGCACAAAAGGAGCCAACTTCGATTGCTGTCTATATAATAGTACAGTTGCGATAATGCTTCCGTCAGATGCGTTTTTGCCTCGCACAACTGCACAGCCTTCCTTATTGCTTAGCGCGATTTCGTACAGTACTTGTAGGTCCGTACCAGCGTTTAGCTTGACGTGCTCCATAATGCTGTCGGTGTATTCGGTTCCATGTACCAAATCGTACTTAATTTCGCGCATAGCCAGACTCTTGCCCAGGCCATCAGGTGCTTCCCAGTGCGACAGATCTGGAATACCCAGCCGCAGCACCGTCTTTGTCTGGTATGGTGTCCAACCTAGCTTAGAAAACCATTGAGACAATTTACGATGCTCCTCTGGATCGTCACTTGGCAAGCCAGGAAATAGATTCGGCAGTCTTGTGCCAAGCTCCAGCAGATGAAGTCCTGGCTTTTGCAGCAATGCTCTGATGGCACGATGGTGCAAAGAATGGCCAACTGATTGATGACGTCGACTTGGATGAACCACTATCGCACCGATCGAGCCCACGCTATCGTGGTGGGAGTAGTATGTTGCGCAAAACCCGATCAATTCTTTCGTCGAGCTATTTCGGACAACAAAGTGCGCCTCGTCGATAACATCACTGGAAAGCAGGAATGAAGCGGCCGTAGCGACCCTAAGTAGGCTTGATCCTGGTGGTGCGGCTGCCGCAGAGGTCAACAAGAGAGCGTCTAAGGCAGCTCTATCGCGATCATCGCGATAGTGCTCAACAAGCCACTGCTGACGTGCTTGACTATGTTTGCGTGTTTTGTGGTTCGTACTATTCCTAGTCTTTGTGTCTGCTGATCTCGATTCGTCATGTAGAACTTTGACAAGGGTTTGTAATGCAGTATCAGTAAAATCGAATGTACATATGTAGGTACCTATAGACATGTCAGAAGCGAAGTCGAAGGGTGAGCTGACAGCAGCCACAACACATGGTTTCTCGTTAGATCGACCAGGAAGGTCCTTATGAATTCGACAGAGCATTGCAATATGCTTTGCAAAGGCAGCCTGATACTTGTTCCTGCCTGCATCGGCTGTAATAACCACAACAGCACTGGCACGTTCTAGCAAGGCCTCATGCTGTGGTCGGACACCGTTGGCTGTGTATGAAGCGTGCAGAACTTTACCCTCGCGGTAAATGGCTAGTGCTTGACCAAGCTTCTGGAAGACTTTTTCTCCAGCCATCAGCGTGCCGTCCGTCACCTGTGTTGTTCTGAAAGAGACTGGCCCTTCCAGAATTTCCTCGGTAGATTGCTTGAACGCAGCAGAACCTGGCAGTGGCTTCACCAAAGGCGTGAGAAGCAGGAGTTCGTCTTCAGGACGCATCACGTTTGCAAGTGGCAGATACTTCTTTTGGTCTCGTACAACTCGGACGGTGTTGGTGTATGCCGTTGACGAAAGGCTGCTGTTGGTGTAGCGAAGGCGGTCGAGATTGTCCAGACCTGGCGGCGAAAAGGCCTTCTCCCACGATGTATATTTGTCTTTCAGGCTCAGCACCCGTTCCACAGACTCTTGTACCCGGTCTTTCTCGATCATGCCATTTTCGAGTCCTGCAGTCAATCCGTTGATTGCTTCTTCTTGGACAGACATTGACCGGCATGTGAGAATGATGTCGCAACCTGCTTTGAAAGCCATGACCGTACCACCACTAATACCAATGTTACGGCTCAAGGCTTCCATCTCTAAGCATTCTGACACGACTATACCTCCGAACTTCATCTCCGTCCGCAATAGATCTCGACAAATCTGGTCTGATAAGCAAGCATGCATGACGTTGATGTGGTCAGAGGACATTGCGACGCCTCCAACCATGATAGCGTCGATACCGCCAGCAATGGCGTGTCGAAAGGGTACCAAAGCGTTCTGTGACAAGTTCTCAAGAGAATCCGTGATTGTGGGTACGTCAGTAGGTGCACCTAAGAACTCGAGGTTGCCGTAAGAAGGAAAATGCTTCCCGCAGGTAGCTACACCGCCCTCCTGTAGGCCCTTGATGGCTTCATAGCCAAACGCTGAGACTATCGCAGGATCATCTCCATAAGACCTCACACCTAATGGCTGATTGCGAGCATTGGTGAGGACATCCAAGACTGGACCAAGCACCCAGTTGATCCCACAAGAGGTCAATTCTTCTGCTGTGGCTCTGGCGATCCGTCTGGCAAGCTGCTTATCGCCTGTAGTCGCCACAGCCATGGCGCTGGGAAACTGACGCATGTAAGCTCCATGATAAAGAGTATTGACACCTCCATTTTCTTGGTCGATAGCTATCAGTAACGGTACTGGATGGCCTGAGTCTCGGGCAAGAGACTGCAAATCCAGGATCAATCGAGTGGCCTGTGGCACAGCTGCAACAAAAGTCAGAACAGCACATGGAAGGAAGAGAATATAAACATAAAAATATGCTTGGTCAATGAGGGTCGCGACTGCCTCCCTATACGAAATCGATGAAACTTCAGGTTGTTCCTTCGTAATCGACGTTCAGAACGACTGCTGCCGCCTGCACAAATAGTGTGTATAGTTGGAAGGACATTCCGCCACAGGCGTCTTGACAACCTATTGAATTGATCATGCTTCTTGCATAGTGTGTTTGCTTTGTGCTTCAGGGAAGACGACGTCGACTTCCATCACAAACCCTCATTGACCAGAGTTGGGAGGGTAAGAGAGGATCACAGCACATTCAAAGTTTTTAGCAGTTAGCAGGATCGAGCCTACGTGGTAGGTACATATAAGTGTCCTAATCTGATCATTTATTGCCGTTCCATCAAAGCCCATCATAAACAGCTGGCCAAGCTGCCTGCGACACCATTAGTGACAACACATTAAGCGCACATTCTGCAGCACCGAGCAGATGTGAATGAAGTGAAATTGTTGGTGGTAACATATTACACGTCGGGTTTGAGGATATCGCCATACAAGAATCGCTCACCTGGCTTCATCCCACACTGGCGGGATTGCATAGCCGCTTTCCGTCATGGGGTTAACGACATAGACTTGCGAGCACGAGGCTCTTCATAGATGGTCAATGCTCTGCAAAGAAGTGGCTACCAATGCCCTGATTGGATCCTAGAAGACCCGCCTGGCACGTGTGGGACGTCAGCAAGCAACAGAATCCACACAAAGGAAAAGCTTGTAAAAGGTTCAAGGTGAGGGTAACATTGAGGAGTTGACAGAAGGACAGACAGAAAAGAGGGTTGCATTGCGGCAGACTTGCCATTTGGACTTGAGCTTGCCTGTTACGAGTTCCGTACATGGTCAAAAGATTGTTATACACTTCACTTCAAGCGAAAGACAATGCGTATGTGGTCTTCACCAAATGCGTCATTACAAGATACCGTTCGAGACACTTACATTCCGACTTACCTTCCTCCAGTTCCAGCATGCAACCTTTGCTCTCCAACCTTATCAAACGTGAATCCTCAAGACAGCGCAACGTCCAATCATTTTCACAGAGTGCCGCAGACGTCCGATGCCACTCACTTCAATGGACAGTTCCATTGCTATCTCGATAGTATGATGATACGTATCGTTTACTTTGGGATGGTTGATGTCACCTAAAGATTCGTGAGGCATCGTGTATCATGATATGAGAGATGACCATCTTTCGTAGCTCTGGATGTCCATCCTATCTTGACATGCTAACCACCAGAGACTCGACCCTTAGTACTTACTGTTCACACTAGGGAACTGACACAGTCGAGACTCGAAGCTCAGTGGCCCAGGATGAAGCTCATTATCCGTGACGATGCAGAGAGCGCTTCCGAGTATGTAGCGCGGTATATAATCAGTAAGTCAGCTCTAATAGAACTGGGGCCTATGGTGAACTGCTGCTGACACCATACAGAACGTATCAATGACTTTGCACCTACACCCGAGCGTCTCTTTATCTTAGGTCTTCCCACCGGCAGTAGTCCAGAAAAGATCTACAAATACCTCGTCGAAGCATACAAGAATGACGACATCTCGTTCGCAAACGTGGTCACCTTCAACATGGACGAGTACGTTGATCTGGCAGAAGACCACCCAGAATCCTACCACAGTTTCATGTACAAGCACTTCTTCGCACATGTCAACGTGAAACCTGAAAATGTACATCTACTCAACGGAAACGCACCCGACCTACTGGTTGAGTGCGCCGAGTACGAGCGCAAGATCAGAGAAGCAGGCGGTATCGAGCTCTTCCTCGGCGGAATAGGTCCAGACGGCCACATAGCCTTCAATGAGCCTGGATCCTCCCTGCGATCACGAACGCGAGTCGCTACCCTAGCAGAAGACACGATCCGCGCAAACTCTCGCTTCTTCGACAACGATATCTCGCAGGTGCCGAGACAAGCGCTCAGTGTAGGCGTGGGCACGGTCATGGACGCACGCGAGGTCGTCCTAATCGTTACGGGACATAACAAAGCTGTGGCACTGCAAAAGGTGGTCGAGGGTTCCGTGTCTCAGATGTGGACCGCGAGTTGTCTGCAGATGCACGAAAATGCCGTAATTGCATGTGACGACGCGGCTACGGATGAGATGCTGGTCAAGAATGTGAGATACTTCAAGAGCATTGAGAGAGTCGAGGTGGAGCAGATTGAAAGGAAAGGAAGAGCTACTGTTGCTGCGATAAGTGAAGATTCGCGATCGAATCAGTGGCGTGGTGCGTTGAAGAAGCTGCAGGTTGATACCAACGGCGCGAACAAGAAGACACATAAAGCTGAAAATGGTGAGTTGACGCCAGATAGTATGCATGGCAGGCTTGTGGACTCGGCCATTGCTATGGACGATATCGAGAAGATGGAAGATGGAATGAAGCTCACGAACATGGGTTCTAGAGTCAACACCATTGAGATGTAACTTGTTCTTTGATTTTGAGCATAGCGCGGTAATTATAGGTGGTTTCAATTTCTCTCGTAGTACAATAACAGTTTTCCTACTCTGGTCCTACATCCTGTTTCGTGTCAAAATATAGAATACCAACTTGATATCTGCTATCCTATAGCTTTGATGGTAAAACCTTAGTAAACACAGTCGGCACCTCCCCACCCATCTCAACAAGCGTGCTCTTGTTCCTCACCCACGCCTCCAATCCCTTCCGACCATTCTCAACACCAACACCGCTCTGTTTCCACCCTCCAACAGCCATCTCAGCCGGACTCTCTCCCCACGTATTGATCCATGTGATACCTGCTTCAAGCTGGCTGATCACTTGATGGCACTGGTTGATGTCTTTGCCGAAAACACCTGCAGCGAGGCCGAGAGGTGTATCGTTGGCGCGTTTCACTGCTTCTTCGACGGTATCGTAGTAGAGAATTGCCATGACAGGGCCGAAGATCTCTTCTTTGACGATGCGCATGGAGTCCGTGCAGTCAGCGAAGACTGTTGGTCTGACCCAGAGGCCTTTCCTGGTCTTCTCTGGGAGACGGCTTGTCAATACCTCAGTATCGAGGCCACCATACAGTAACCCTGCCTTGTCGACTTCGATGCCATGCTTGATGTATCCGACTACCTTCTCGTAGTGAGGCTTGCTGACAAGGGGTCCAAAATTCGTGTTTTCGTCATACAAATCGCCGGCTCGGATGTAGCTCATCTTTTCCACCAACCTCTTCTCAAATTGTGACTTGATAGATCTTGGTACGAACACCCTTGTGCCATTGGTGCAGACTTGGCCAGTACTAAAGAAGTTGGCCATCATCGCTCCATCCACGGCATTCTCGATATCTGCGTCGGGAAGCACAATGACCGGGCTCTTTCCACCAAGCTCCATAGTAACGTATTTCATCTCGCCTGCCGCAGCACCAGCTACTTTCCGCCCTGTACTGACTTGTCCAGTAAAGCTGACTTTCGCGACATCTGGATGCTTCGTCAAATAAGCACCTACATCACCTCCACCATACACAACATTGAATACGCCATCGGGCACACCAGCCTCCTTGTATATCTTGGCAAGCTCTTCTGCATGTAAGCTTGTGAACTCGCTTGGCTTGTAGACCATGCAGTTTCCTGCTGCCAAACACGGCGATGACTTCCAAAGCGCAATCTGAATGGGATAGTTCCATGCTCCGATGCCGACACATACTCCTAAAGGTGCTTTCGTTGTGTATACCCAAGCTGTTGATCTGAGCGGAAACGACTCACCGTTCAACCCTCCTGAAGCGACCAGGTTGGCGTAATATTCTAGTACATCAGCACCTGTCGGGATATCGATCTGAGACGTCTCCGAGTACGGCTTTCCTGTTGACCGTGTCTCAATTACTGCAAGTTCGTGTGTACGTGATCTGAGTATGGCAGCGGCTTTCAGAAGGATTCTTGACCGCTCAATCGCGGGCGTAGATGACCAGGTTGGAAAAGCTTTGACTCCAGCTTGTATAACATCATCAAGATCCGTCTCTGAAGATGTGTGTATAGTGGCTATAGGTTCCAGCGTCGATGGGTCTATAGCTTGATGAGATTTGGAGCCGTGTGATGACCGAGGTGCTCCATTGATAAAGGTATGGCGATCCATGGAAGGTGGCATGCTTTGTTTCCCTTCAGATTAAGATCAAGACGTCTCGATGTGTATTGAATTTGCGGCAATCCCAATGTATGCTTGATGAACAGATTGTGATTGTGACCTTGCTATCAAACACCAGATGAGATTTTCAAAGCCTGTGATTCAATGCTGGATCCACGTTATTTTATTCAGTTTGAACGAACTGCAGTTACGCAGCCACGTGCGAGTGTCAAGTACTTTCCCAAGTTGTAATATTTCCTTCCCACTTCAGACGTCGATTAGCTGCTCACTGTGCATCAAGACTTTGCTACAGACTAGATCTGTTACAGGCGTACTGTCCTGGCAATTGCTGTGAAATGCTACCAGATTACGTAACTTTGAGCGGAGTTTTCCAGGGTCGTTCCTGCCGCTCTTACGCGGCTTATCGCTGCAGGAAGGCGGATCATGGACTTTTGACGACGCGATCTTCAACCAATCTTTTCACCGTTATCTGAGTGTCCAGTCTGAACTTTTTTTTCCTCAATCGAATTCACTACCTTGCTATCTAATCATTGTTTGATGTGCTACGACAATTTCGTTTTTCATAATGCCAGCCACTTGGATGAACACATTTTGCAAGTTTCAACATGCCCTGGAAACACCTGAAACTCACAGCAATTCTTGGTCAATGCGGCAGAGCTAGACCAGATGTTGTATGTGAAAGCTCGTGACCGAAAATCAATAAATTCCAACGCGCTTGACCTGACGAGGAAGTGAAAACCATGTGGATCCATATCTACTTTTGAGACTTCAGGATCTGACTTCCTACTTTCGCTTCGTCGGATCAGCTCTTGAATTCTCAACTTTGTATTTCTTTCCATCCCTCTGTGGTCTGTTACAAGTACCCAAATATCGAGTCTTCACTCAACAATAGAGAATCTGCTGCGAAGTTGAATTGTGGTCGTCTGTCTTCACACCGCCATAGATCCCAAGCAACAATAGCTATGGCGACCACCAATCAACTATCTGCTTCCGACTGCGACAGCTATGACTACGTGATTGTCGGTGGCGGCACTGCCGGTATGCGGCGTTCGAGCCCAAAGCACCTCTGATTTGTACTAACGTGATCAGGCTGTGTAATCGCTTCGCGGCTAGCTGAATATCTACCTCACAAGAAGACCCTACTAATCGAAGCTGGGCCTAGCGACTTTATGGATGACAGAGTCCTTGATCTTAAGAAATGGCTCAACTTACTCGGTGGTGAGCTCGACTATGATTACGGAACCACTGAGCAGCCCATGGGCAATTCCCATATTCGACATTCTCGAGCGAAAGTTCTTGGCGGATGTTCTTCCCACAACACCTTGATCTCATTCAGGCCCTTCAAGTTCGACATGGATATCTGGCAGTCAATGGGCGCTAAAGGCTGGACCTTCGAGACAATGACTCGAGTATTGAACAATCTTAGAAATACAGTCCAGCCTGTCCACAGTCGGCATAGAAATCAGTTGTGCAAGGACTGGGTTCAGTCGTGTTCCCAGGCTATGAATATTCCGGTCCTTCACGATTTCAACAAGGAAATCACGACTCAGGGTGCCTTGAAGCAGGGTGTAGGATTCTTCTCCGTCAGCTACAATCCAGACAATGGGTATAGATCTAGCGCGTCAGTGGCTTACATTCACCCCATACTTCGAGGTGAGGAGCAGAGATCCAACTTGACTGTTTTGACAAATGCGTGGGTTGGTAAGATCAACCTGTCAGCAGACAAGAAGTCCGTGAAAGGTGTAAGTGTCAAATTGCACGATGGTAACGAGAGGACAATCACTCCAAAGGTCGAGACAATCCTTTGCGCTGGCGCCGTCGACACACCACGACTTATGCTTCTGTCTGGACTTGGTCCTCGAGAACAGCTTTCCTCACTGGGTATCTCCTGTCAAGCTGATCTTAAAGGTGTTGGTGAGAACCTGCTCGATCATCCAGAAACGATCATCATCTGGGAACTTAACAAGCCAGTACCAGCCAACCAGACAACTATGGACTCCGATGCCGGTATCTTCTTACGCCGCGAACCAGCCGATGCAGCATCGCAATCCACTCCCAACAATAATCCTTTCAACCCTCAACAGCTCGCCGATGGAGAGATTGCAGATGTCATGATGCACTGTTACCAGATTCCGTTCACTCTCAATACTACAAGACTAGGTTACGACGAGATCGTCGATGCATTCTGCATGACACCAAATATTCCTCGACCACGATCAAAGGGCAAACTCTACCTGACCTCTGCTGATCCAAACGTCAAACCAGCACTTGATTTCCGCTACTTCACGGATCCACAAGGCTACGATGCTGCCACCTTCGTCTTCGGCATGAAGGCAGCACGAAAGATCGCTCAGCAGGAACCATTTAAATCATGGCTGAAGCGAGAGGTTGCCCCAGGTGCAAACGTCAATACAGACGAAGAGCTCAGCGAGTATGCCAGACGAGTTGCGCACACAGTATATCACCCTGCTGGAACCACAAAGATGGGTGACGTGACGAAGGATGAGTATGCAGTGGTCGATCCACAACTCAAGGTCCGTGGTCTCGAGGGGTTGAGAATTGCTGATGCAGGTGTTTTCCCTGCCATGCCGACCATCAACCCTATGCTGACTGTTCTTGGCATTGGCGAGAGAGCTGCCGAGCTGATCGCAGAGGAAGCTGGATGGAAGAGACCAGATGTCCCAATCAGGCCTTCGTTGTAAGAAGTCTTTGTCAATCGTTACTATGTTGATATTTCAATATGTACCACATATACTTGCAAAGGAGGCAGGAGTTGTAGCGAAAATTCAGCTGATCATTCATGTATCGCGACGAGATCCCTACATAAAGCACCGCCAAACTCCATTCATAATCGGTCATGAATCAATACGTTCTTCCGCAACACAGTCTCCGTGTCTTTTCCACCTGCCTATATCATTGTGTCTTTCTGAATTGTTCAAGCCGTTCATTTGAGTTTGTCGTCGCCAGTACAAAACACAATCTTTGCCTTTGCTGACCAAACAAACCATGTCGTGTTTTCTATTCTGGCCACAAACCAGGATAGACACGATACTTGTCCAGGATACCCATAGTTCTCTTCCAGTGCTCTCTTCCCGATCGTGGCGTGATAGACATAACCGCTCTGCAGATGCCTGTCCTGTTTACTGAACCCCAGCATGTTCCTCCAAGAAGCACAGATGGCTACTCAGCCACAACACACCATGTCCAAACGCAGTAAACTCCAAATGCTGCAGCCTCAAAGCAGTCCAGCCGCTGCCAAAGCCAAAACGCCGTCGACCGACAAACACCCAGGCCCCACGGAATACCCTCACCTCCCCAACAACACCACCACCATCACCACTACTCCCTCACCTTTCGAAACCCACTTCCACACCAGCGAAACATACCTCTCCCACTTCAACACCAAAAGCAGAACTGATCCCTTCTCCACCTTCACACCATACAATCACTCCCTCCACCCTCACCGTCCAGCATACAACGTCCAAGCAATTGGAAACTGGAAACTCGATCTCAAACAGACGGGTGGAGTTGGATTGGTGGAGGGCGAGTATATGGCTCAGATGGCGCATTTACGGGGGTCGGGTGTGTTGGCGGAGATAAGGGAGGAGCTAGAAGAATTGAGACCGGAGAGGCAGAGTGGGGGATTTGTCAAGACTTCGAGGAGAGGAGGTATTGGGAGGATGTATGGTGTGAATGCCTTCCATCGGATCGAGGTGGAGCAGGAGGAGGAGGAGGGCGATGGATATTGTCGCTAGTGGAGTGAGAGTTGATCCAGGAAGTGGAGATGAGGTGTTGGCTGGCTATTAAGGCCATGTAAGACCTTTCGGAACTTGGTTTTCCAGCACATGATGTCGTGCCACAGCTGCTGAACTGCTCGAGCAAGAAAGTCGCTCTCAGATGATGTCAGCAAGAACTCGTACTGTGTGGTGTAGCTGGAGAGTTCGCTCAGTTATTTCCCAGGCACTGCTCAACCTCCCGGACGTGGGAAGCGTCGCGAGGTCTTAAGGGTATTGAACCGAGCTGTTTCAACAATTCGGCTCTTTCTACCGCCTCAGTACAATTCGCTAGCCGTTTCTGACATCTCAAAACATCAGGATAATCTGCACCACGTGATTTCTCGTAATCGCTCGCTGCACGTCTGCAGGCAAAGCATCAGTAAAGTCTCCCTTCATGTAGAGCGTGCATGCGAGATACCAGACGCTGCGCACAGTGTCGATCGCTGATCAAATGCCGCAAACTCATATTTCACGTAAGTCGATCGAATTTCCACAGTTCGGAGGCAAAAATGTTCTTCTAGCGCTTCTGCTTCAAAGATGCAGGACTGAGGTAGCAGCGGATCTGTGACTATCAAAACGATCGCCTTGAATTATGACAGAATCATGTGCTGCCACTGATCCGTAGATTCTGCGTGAATCGACGTTGGTATTCGGTGCTGGCAGGATGCCTGCGCTAGCCCAGAAGCTAGACAAAGCAACGAGAATGAGTCCCAGCCGCATTGAAGCCTCACTCGCGAATTCGAAACCGAACAGTGTGAGCTCGGTGCAGAATCCAAAACACACAACCGCGATGATTGCATGCCAAAATAAAATATGAGGAATCGACGGCTGAAAGGAGCAGACAAGACCCCATGCGGCGCTTCGGTCGTTGTCGTCCAACATCCATGCACTTCGTTTTTTCGGTAATCTCGGCGTAATCGAAGCCGCGTATCCAGTTTTGTCGCATTCATGCCAGCCGATTGCTTGTGAGATGCATGATTCGGGGCAAACGTGCAACAGGCACATGAATTCGGATTCGTGAACAGGAGGTCGGAAGTCACAAAGTGGACGCATGAGGTCTGGGAGATACTCGTAGTCTAGGTTGTCTTCTGGTATTCGTTCACTGGTTTCCTCACTGTGCACCTTCCCATTGTCGTACTTAATCAATTTCGTGAAGGCAAATGTTTTTAAGTGATAAACGGAAAACCAATATCGGTAAAATCCACGGAGCTGCCGGTAAGCTGTGACCATGGAACCTACGACGTCGCCGTCGTTCATCTGATAATTGAACTCAAGCTGTTTGACCGATAGCGAGTGCTTTTTGCGTCCTTGTGTAGCGAAAACCAATCGTAAGGCCGTCATCTCATGTTCCCTTTGCTCACACTTTAGCAAATCGTTAGCTTTTTCTGTATTGGTCGTGTTGGGATCGCCCCTGTGGTGGGTGATTGATTTCGTAGTGCTGTCCGAGGTTCTCGAGAAGTCTTGCTTGTTCCCATTGCTGCGGTTAGTTGTGAAGATAGCATGATCACCCGATGACTGACTTGACGCTGGGTTTAAAAATACTAACGGGAACATCAGAACCCCGAGAGACCTGAGGGCCCAGGTGCTCGGCTGCCACCACGAGCTGCTTGAAGACATCAACAAGCTCGTCCTAAGTCCTCTGTGGCGCATCTGATTTTGCAAACATGCATGGTCTGTACTGGGTGAGGAACATCTAATCTCAAGCAATCGTTTCAGTCTTCGCCCATCTTCGGCAGGCACGTCTTGATGGTATCTTCGGCCACAATGCTGCGATCGTCAGTGGGACATTGCAAGAACACAGGCGCACGAAGCGACGACAAGGACTTACGCATATCCACGAAATTCGAATGTCACTTGGATGAAGTGGAGTCTTGGGTAGTGGCAGCGGCCACCAGCCCCATTCAATTTCTGAATGCCGTGATACGAAATTGGCGCATCGCTCATACCAGTTCGCTTGATCAGTAGTTTTAAAAGAAACACTGTCTTTTGAAAACGTCATTAGAACGCGGCCCAATGTACAGAATTGAGGACGAAGTGTGTGGAAGTTGGCCCGATCCACGAGTGAATGAAATGGCTGCCCTTTAAGCAGGAAATACTCCATTTTGCCGACAAGGTCGTCGTCCCGAATGATTTCTGACACTGCATCATGTAATGAAGATTCCTGATCCTCAGCCCCTTCTCCCGCTGTGTGATCATTCGGATTTCCGTGTCGCTTCTCGTTGGTAGACTGGGCTTGTTCATTATCAAGCTGAGAATCATACTCGATGTTACCGAAACCCGCATTCTTCATCAGCCATAAGTTTAAGTCCTCCCTGGACATGGATGTCTTTTCCCTCGTCGCATTCTCGTCTTCGTCGTCCACGTAGAGTGGTGTCTGATTTCTGATATGACGGACGATATTTGTTGCTATTCGCTCACGGTAGAAACGACTTCTAAACAAAGTCGAAGCTGCGTGTTCAAGCCTTGTTATCGCCGCTTGCCGTAGATCGAGGAAATAGTACTTCAGAAGTTCCGTAATGTCCTCGCGCAAAGACGAGTCAAGTAAACTCGAGTCCTGAAAGTCCAGAAACATAAGTCGACACGACTCAGCGAACAATTCATCTTCGCATAGAAGCTGTAGCAACAAAACTTCGGCTTTCCGAACCGCCGGTGAAAAGGGAAGACCGAGACGAGATTGTATGTCATCCTGACTTCTAATGACCCGCTGAATGCTACGAACAGATGTTTCTCGGTCTGACATTGCACTTTCTTCATCATCTGCCATTTCCACATTGGCATGGACGATGGAATCTGTCGCAAATGACATCGCCTTTATCGTGCCGGCAGGCTCGGCGCTGTTGTAGCCCGAGTCAGAAAATATATCGTAGTTGCTCACCCGTTCTTCAAAAGCATTCCTTGCCGTATCGGTTATGCCCTCGTTGTCTGAACGCTCTACGGAATCTGTGAGCTGAAGCCATTTCTGGGTTGAATATTGAACCAATCGATGCATAGTGAACAGATTGTCGCTCGCACCACTGTTGATCAAACTATAAGCTTTTAAAATGGAGATATCGTCCTCAAAGGTGGACTGGAAGCTGTCTTGATTGCCTGGCGGCTTCCACGAGCTGTGAATGCCTATGGAGTATCGGCCTACTAGCAGGTCTTCGGGAATGGTCTGACGATCGAAGAGGCTCATAAGGGCCAGGAGCCTTGCCGCAGATGGCTGGGCGGTCTGGATATGTTGGAATGAGATGTGCCAAGTGGTTAGTATGGATTTAGAAGACTTCTCATCTCGCCGTGCGCCTCGAATACCTTGTACGGCCAGCAGCCTATCACGATAAGTATCAGTCGATCTAAGCTTTTGTAGGTAGCTAGCGACGTCCATACGTGGAGCACGTTGAAGAATATACGCTGCTGATTGAGAAACAGCTAGCGGTATGCAGTCCAACTCTCGCACCAAGCATATATGATCATCTTCGATTGTGCCGTTCTTATCGTGTCCCAGCTTCTTTGAGAGAAGACTGGCAGCCTCTTCAACTGTCATTGACGTCAATTCGAGGATGTCCTGGGAATAGTCAACAAGACCCTCTGCAATACGGCGGTTACGGGAGGTGATAAGAATCGACCCATTAGGTGATACTGGAAGATAGGTTGACAACGATCGGTTTGTCGAGCCGGCTTGGGCTGACAATGAAGAGATTGCTATCTGGGTATCAGTTCTAGGGGCTGACAGACCAAATATAACATCCGAATCGTCAGCGTTGTCTAGCACCATGGTCCAACGACCGTTGTGCTCGTTTGAGAGCCACCGCTGAACCATGCTCAGAATGTCGGCCTGGGGATTGTCCCACCCCGTCAGCTGGAGGGTGGCAGCGATGTCCTTGTATCCTTCTTGAAAACGCTCCGCACTGCTGGCGTGGACCCAGAATATCCACATGTTAGGATCGGCGTCTCGACATCGGTAGGCATGTTCGATGGCGATCTGTGTTTTTCTTGCCTGCAGTTCAGTACATTACTCGGACTCGACAAAGAGACCTACCCAACTCCTCCCAGTCCGACTATAGCGACGCGCGCAGCTGGGTGAGACCAGCGTTCTGCAATGTCTTTGAGAATGTTGCGCTCGACGAAATCGCGAACGTCACGACGGAAAGGTATGACGATGGTAGGGCGTAGTAAGAACTGCGAACCTGCGCAAAGCATATGGTGTCAGTGAACTTGTCGGCGACCTGAATTAGATACTCAAGCAGGGTCGGACGTAGTTCGAACGTCTGGCTTCTCTTCCCTGTCTCGATCATCCCCTATGAAATCCGCAGTGTCGTTTACCTTGCGCAGTATGATTGGCGTAATATTGGGGGTAGACATTCACATCCCCGAGATGAGCTGTCGCCTGCTCAGTGAGATAGACATCAGAGTATCGATAGCCAGTTGCTCCATTGGCGCTGGGACGACGTGTGGCTGCTCTGGAGGTCGTGGTGATATCTTGTGCCGACTCGTGTGTCATAATTGCACAAAGCTCTTGCACACGGTGTTCTCCCAACCTGATCTCTCCGACACCATGTCAACTTGAGTCAAGTGTGATAGCACGATAAGGGAAGCTGTCGGAGCTATCACTTGCATGTAAGATGAAGGACGAGATGCAGGCTGTTGACAAGAAAGCTACCACATCAGCACAGCATGCAAGGCAGCGGGTCATAATCATTGGCACCAGGCTGACTACGATGCTCAAGGAGGGCATCGAAGTGCGGCTTTAAATGCGAGACTGCTAGCAAAGGCCCACGCAGCATCATGGCGAAAGTGGCAGATACAATGACAACTCATTCGTTACTAGTCGTAGCCAAGGAAGAGGATAGCAAGGAGCGATGAGCGATGAGCGCTTTGCGACCGGGGCTGATCTCAATAACGCGGCCGCACGTGGACGACCGATGTATCAGATGTCCTCTAAAAATGCCGCCGCTAGGAGTAGCTTAGCGGTCATACTAGCATTCAACGGAAAGTTTTCTGCATAACCTTCACAAGCCTGCAGCTACAGATATAAGCATCGTTCACTTTAACCTTCGTTGCGACATGGACTTGCAGCAGACAGCTTTAAAAGTCTTTCGGTCGTGTTTCGCTGATAGGCTTCCCACAGTTCGCTGGAAGAAGTGCTTGTCTCAGTTCTAAATGGGCTTCCCACGGCGGCGCATCTGGAAGCTAGTATGGTCGGCGGTACTGTTTGACAGCTCAAGATCATGCTCATCGTTCAATTCTTCAACAACGGCATAATGCCTTCCATACTGACAGCTGCCTCTTGTCCTGGGAAATGTTAACTTCACCAGCTGCCTGAAACAGCCTGGTCAGACGTGTCGATCGTGCGGATCGTGATGTCAATCATCACCTCTTCAGGCCTCTGATGAGCAGTCTCGCGCAGCACAATAAGCTTCATGAGCATCCCATTTGCAGTGTCGATGTTGCTCCTCGTAGATACACTGAGTATCATCAGACTTGCACGGATATACAGGCCCAGGAATATACAACATGGTAAAAGTCTTCTAGCACCCTCGTCCTCACTGCTTGTACAACTTCGTGCTAGATATGCGGCCAATCAATCGCAGGCTCTGGCTAGCTAGCTTTATTGCCTTGACCACAGCGCAGATCACCAACGTCTCTAGCAGCAAAGCCACGGTCGACTACGCTCAATACGTCAACCCTCTGATAGGTTCAGAAGGGCCTATACCCGGTCAGGCATTTGGAGGAGGCGACATCTTTGTTGGTGCTGCTGTACCCTTTGGAGTGGTGAAGCTCGGTATCGATACTTACGAGACCAACCTGAGCTTAGCCACAATCAATGGAGGCTATACACCTCAAGGTCTTGTCACTGGTGTGTCCATGATGCACGAAAGCGGCACTGGAGGGCCTCCGAAATACGGGATTGTGCATCAGATGCCTCTTACCACAATTCAGTCTCCTGTGAATATTCTGGACAATACAACCTACTGGCAAAGGCGCGTCACTGAGACTGCACGTGTTGGATACTACAGCACGAGTCTTGAGAACGGCATCACTATCTCGTTGTCAGCTGCTCGTCACAGTGGCATCATCCAGTACAGCTTCCCACCCGGCGAGGCACATGTTTTGGTCGATGTCTCTCACTACCTTCCTGCTCTCGGCTTCGGTCAATATACCTCACAAACATTTCTTGGCGGTCAAATCGAGCTGCAACAAGGTGGCAAGCAGTATACAGGTTATGGTCAATACGGAGGAGGCTTTGGCGAATGTGCACCCATGCGTGTTTACTTTTGCGGTGAATTTGAACATGTGCCTAATCAGGCTCAGACCTGGACAGCCAGAAACACAGATCCGTACCAGCGACAGCATGTATTCTCCAACGAGCCCTACGGAATGCCTATTTTCGGAAACACGACTCAAGAATCTGGCTTTCTTCTCGATCGGGTAGGAGCAGTTTTTAGCTGGGCTAACTCATCTTCGGCCACAACTGTGACCTCCAAGGTTGGAATATCCTTTATCTCGGCAGAGAAAGCATGCATGTTCAAGGATTCCGAGATTTCATCGTGGAATGTCAATGATACTGTTCAGGCTACCGTGGATGAATGGAATCAGAATGTCTTCAGCAAGATCCAAGTACCAACCGATTCGTCACACAACGAGACCAACCTCATTCTGTTATACTCGAGCTTGTACTTCATGCACCTCATGCCATCGGACCGCACTGGTGAAAATCCACTGTGGGTATCCAGTGAGCCATCTTTCGATGACATTTACACTGCTTGGGACATCTTCAGATGCACGGTCACCCTATACCAATTACTACAACCAGACTATTATGAAGGCATGATACGTTCCCTGATTGATATATGGAGGCACGAAGGCTACATGCCTGATGGCCGAAGCGGCAACTACAACGGCTTGACGCAAGGAGGTTCAAATGCAGATAACATTCTAGCTGATGCCTATGTCCGAGGTGTGAGAGGTGGTATCGACTGGGGCGCAGGATGGCTCGCGATGGTAAAAGATGCTGAAGTCGTGCCATACAACACTTTCAGCCCGCTCGACATGACTGGCAGCGTCAAAGAAGGACGTGGTGCGCTCTATGACTGGATTCCACTCGGCTTTTTATCTCAAAATCGCAGTGCTCGCTCCCTGTCAAGGAGTGTCGAGTATGCTGCTAACGATTTTGCCCTCTACCAGGTTGCGCTTGGTGAGGCACCAGACCAAGCTCAAAAATACCTGAATCGCTCAGCTCAATGGCAGAACAATTGGTCGCATAATGTTACCAGCGTCAACACTACTCCTATATTCACTGGCTTTCTCGCACCTCGTCTATCAGACGGCACATTCAATCTCTCGGGATACAATCCAGCACTTTGCGGGGAGTGTGAATGGGATTCAATTTCGTACGAAGGCACTCCATTTGAATACTCGTTCGCAGTGCCACATGACCTTGACACATTGATCGACTTCATGGGTGGCGCTGCTGGTTTTGAGCAGCGCCTCGACTACATCTTTCAGCCAAATACATCTCAGCAAAACCTAGGGGCCAATGGAGCCGGCATCACCACGATCATGAACATCGGCAACGAACCTGATTTTGCGACACCATACCTCTACAACTACCTTGGTAAACAACATAAGTCGGTTCAGCGCTCTCGAGCTATGGCGAATCAGTACTTTCACAATGCCAATTATGGTGTACCAGGAAACAGCGACGCAGGAGCCCTGAATAGCTGGCTCGTCTGGCAAATGCTCGGCTTGTATCCTATCGTTACGCAGCCGATATTCTTGCTTGAAAGTCCCTGGTTCAACGACATCAACATGACCATTAACAATAACGCAACATTACGCATAACCGCACACAATCTTGACAACGCGAACAGTTATTATGTACAGTCAGTGCAATTCAACGGACAGCCATGGACGCAGAACTGGTTCAAGCATAGCGATATTATGATGAATGGGGGTACTATTGAGTTTTTTATGGGCTCGAATCAGACACAATGGGAGACTGGACCAGTACCACCAAGTCCTGGGCACGCTGGAATACCAAACCCAATAGGCGCCTATAGCATGGCTGAAACGATTGGGTTGAAGAGGCTGAAGAAAAGAGATCTCGTATTTTGAGTGAACACCGCGTGTACTCTGTGTTGAATAGATCTCTCCTAGCCTCTGATGAACACTTTTAGTGAATGAGCTTGAGCATAAGAAACTTCAATAAGCATTTCGAGCTTCCTGCCAATTTTCGAGTAACGCAGCTGCAGTGTCGCGGTAATGGACATCGTTTACTTGGATGAAAAGGTCGCAAATGTCTCGTTGGAAAGCGACAACGAGCAGGTCCCTGCTCAACGGTACCATTACGTGGTCGAAGCACGCTTTGCGGATTTGAGATGGATCTAGAAGCGGCTGGCGCGCACTAACAACCACTACTTCAGCGTTTTCCCCTTTTCGATAGAGCTTAACAGGGATAGACTTCAGCACAACTGTGCACGTCGCGGACAACTGTTTGACCTTCGATCAATCAATATGAAGCTCAAATATTCGCAAGCAGTTGTTGGCCTGACAGTCGACGCCATTCCACCGGCATCGAATTGTCGGTGCCTCTTGTCGCCTTGAGGTTTCAGTACATTAAGCACAACATCACAATGAAGGACATTGATGATACAGCTGTGACTACAGTTGAGCTACAGGATCTCCCTTCGAATGCCGAGAGACACGAGGAAACACACCTCATACAACCAGATATCGAGGCATGGCCCAAAGAACCTCTTCCCATAGAAGGAGACCGCATTTCTAGACTTGTCAACAAGCTTATCGATGCAGCTTTGTTGACTATTTCAGCTGCCCTAGTCATCAAAGCAGGTCTTGTTATCCTTGCTTGGCGACCGAATGTGCCCGTATATGTCCCAGGTACTCCTCCATTAGCCAGGACAGTTGCATTGGCAAATTTGTACAATCTCAATGCTCAATTGATTACTCTGTTCACTATCATATTCGTCACGACAATCTCGACCTTACTACGGAGATACGCATTGTGGAAGGCTCAAAAGGGCTCGTACATCTCTGAGCTCGAACAGCTTCAAGGCAGTATGTCGGTCACAAGCACACTGACACTCATCTGGTCTTTGAGGTCATGGTCGACCACGTCAGTCGGTCTTGTCGTTATTTGGACCTTTTACTACCTTGGCAGTCAGGCGAATAAAAGAGAACTGATGCCTGTAAATTCCGAGTCCTTCCACTCTATACCGCTCGGCTTCATGGGCCCGAATTACCCATCCTGGTTTGCCGGCTACACTGGACAATATCAGACAGGTACTGCTCTCAAGAGTGCCGATGTAGGCTTTGCATCAGCAGTACAGTTCTCTCAGGCCTTGGTTTCACGACCTGGAATGGATATCAACGGCAATGCTTTGGTGCCAGACATCAATAGCATACTTCAAGCTCGTCCCGACGCCATATACGATTCAAGATTGCCCAAGTACTACGGATGGCTGAGTGTGGGCAATCAGACCGAAGCAAAGATGAACCAGCATTATGCATCCTACACAGGTCAATTTCCAGCCATCTACGCAACATCGTCTCGTAACATTGAAGACGCAACCCGGTGGCAGATGCTTGGCGACTACAATTACACCACTAGCTATTTCAACATCAACTGCAGCATTGCTACTTTCTCCACCTACGAAACCTTTGTCAATGGCACACTCGATAGCACCAGAATTAGTCTCAACATGACCCCAGCCTCTACCACAGCCCTCAAAGACATTCACGGCAACACGATACGATCTTTCGACTATTGGGTCAGATGGAGTACTTTAGATGGCGATTACCGCGTCTCGACCAACGGCAGTGCTCACTCAGTATGCAACATTAGCAGTACCCTGCTTGACGTGCGAGTCAACTGCCTCGCAACAGGCTGCACCCCTCTTGCGGTACGATACCACAATTGGTCATCAAAAGAGGTTGCCACAAACTACTCGACATTCTTCGACAACGACGAGTATGCAGGACTATTCCTCGATCGCTTCGTGTCACAAGACAGCGTCGTCGCTCAAGCAACGACCCTAAGCTACCTACAAAACTACAACACCGACTTAGCTTCCGACCTTCTCCTCAACGTAACGACCCAGAACCTCAACCCAGAACTAAGAACCCTGCTCAACACCTACTACACAGCCACACAACAAATCGTCAGTCCAACGGCCGCACTCCAACCCGTCATTTTCGACCCAATTAACGGCCTCGACCCTACCATGACCTGGACCAACACCACCCTCACAGGCGCCCAATTCTACCCGCACTACGCCCTCTCCTACCTCTGGCTCGCCCTCGACTTCGTCTCCAGCATAATCCTGTTCCTCGCGGCCGTAGCCTCCGTCTGGCTCCGACAAAAGATCCTAGTCCCTGATATCTTCGGCTACGTGTCCAGTCTGACGAGGGATAACGTCTATTTGCAGAATGTGCTGCCTGATAATGGGTCAGGGCTAACGGGGATAGAGCGGGCGAGGATTATGAAGAACGTGAAGGTGAAGATCGGAGATGTTAGTGGAGATGATAGCGATGTCGCGAGGATCGGGATGACGGTGGTGAGGGTGGGGGATAGTGATTTTGAGGCGTCGCCGGAAGTGACTACGGCGGGACCGTTGAGGGAGAATATGCAGATTGTGTGAGTTGGTGGAGTGATTTAGGAATTTGAGCTATGTAGTGAGAAATCGTTCTTCGTCCTTGCCAATTGCCACGAAAAGCTCCGTTCAGTTCTAAACGCCGCTGAAATAGCAAGCCAGCACCGACAAAAGAGACTGACTGCATCGAGACAATTGGCCAAGCCACGAATGCATCTTCATCGTATGAGCCTCTCCATTCGTTCGTAGTCCTTCCATCACCTTCACAAAGAGCTCTGGAGCTAGAACGACGTTCTTGACCGCTTGCAGAAGCGCTGTGGCGTGCGAATCTCCATGATCCTTCCAGGCTTGTCGAATAGGAGTCGAACTGACAGTTTGACGTTCCTGAGGAGTTGAACTAAATCACATCTCGCCAGCACCTCTTCTCTCCACGTGACAGACTTGAACACCCTGCATCACCTGTAAAGCATCTCCGTACATGCGGTCATACAGGAGATCTGGACTGCTAGATGTGTTACCCATGACAGTGTCAGTGGCTTTGCAGTGGACACAAATGTTGAGCATTGACAGTACCTTCGGTTGCTGCATCGCTGCCTAGTCTAAGCAGCTTGATTTCGTTCTTGATACGCTGACTCAGAGCTCTTTTCGTCGACGTCTAGAGGTCTCCAGGGGCAACAGTCGTCTAATTTTCGTAATACCACCGTTCCACCTAACTGAGTGGCAAAAACAGATGTCTTGCCTGCATCGCATACCACTGCGTCTTTGCGCTGGTCAGGACCATATCTTGGCATTGTGGCGATACCATCGGCATGGTCATCTCCCATCGAGTTCACAAACCTGAGCTCGAACCCGTCATTGACAGCGTCGTTCGCCAAGCGTTCTACTAACCGTGCAAGGGAGCTAGACTCGCCGCCTCCAAAATGACCAGAACCGATCGTTGGAATGTACTTGCCAGAGGCGTGCACTCCTCTCTTAACTCAGCAAGAGGTCGGCAAATTTGAGCTTGTAATTTATGGTTTCGTCTTCTGGAGGATGGATAAATGCAGCAATTACATTGAAGTCATTGCCATTTCTTGGATGGCGGCGTTCACTAAGGCCATATGACCCTGATGAGGCGGATTGAAGCTGCCTATATACAGAAGAATTCGATTGACTCGATCTGAGTAAAGGTATGGAGGTGTTTGAGAGGAAGAGTCTGCCTCAAGCATTTCAGGCGGGAACACTGACCCATTGTAATAGGGCAGCGCTGCACGTATATATGGCAATAAGGACTTCCTGGTCGCAATTTCGTGAAGCGTAAGACATGCAATACTGGGCGTTGCGGGCTATTCTGATTGCAAGTGGTATGGTAGGGAACTGGCAGATCCACTGCTGTAAGCTAGATACACACCTTTTGTTGCATACGCTTGTTTGCCAGTACCGTTTACCTCAGTATGCGTCTAAGAACTTGTGACTTACCAGTGACGCAGCATGTCATCCTGTCAATCTTGATCCTCCCGGAAGTGATTCTTGCTCATCGTACTAGGACACGCAGCCATCAAGGCTATATTTGTGGTCTCGAAGGACATCTCTTGCTCGTCCTCTCGAGCTTGCCGTTTGACATACCCATCCGCTCTTGTTCGGATTCTGCAACTTGGGTTGATTCAGCCAGACGACTTACAGGAAACCACTGGTCATCAAAAGTGCGGTTCTAGAGCAATCCGATGGTGAATTCGCGAGTCGACTTGTATCTAGACATGGTTGCTCAATGATCAGGAACGATTCGCAATATTGCACTCCGTGTCGGCTAGCAGCCGTCACCAGTGAAAGAAGCAGCTCTTCGTTTGAAGCCTGTGGTCAGTTATTGCTGACATGGCACTCGATCGTTCTGAGCACGTCACATCCAAAAAATATCAAACAGTTTCTTAGAAACGAGATCGCCTTGAACAATTGCACTGCTACTGCATGCAATATAGCAAGATTGCTCCTAGTCAAGGTCGGAATGATTGTGCTCGCCATACCTACTTCTTCAAGAGACCACTTCATGGCCATTGGACAGCAGTTGCAGATGGATAAATTAGTTACACTCCTTCACCAAAATGTTGTCTCATGAAGCCACAGCGTGATCTCGTAATCAACAACACACAAAACTCATCGGATGGCTTTTCTGCTGTGTCGGCAACCGGTGCCTTCGTCCACGTTCCCGCGAAGATGGCCATCTCCTTTATCTAGTGTAGAAATCAGAATACTACGAGCAGACGCAATTGAGGCTTACTGAGTTGAACAGCAGTCGAACACAGCATTGGGTTGTGCAGTGTCACTAACATCGAATCAAACGGCGTGGTAGTACAATAACTACTGCGCACAATGACCATCCCTCAAATGCGTTGCGCTTTGTTCCAACAACTTCATTATACAGGCCGCTGATCACCTCTTCCAATTAGAAGCATAACGCGACCCATTGACGATGGGATCTCCACTCAAGCACGGTATTCTCGAAGTCGAGCGCAAGTTCTCTAACCTGCGCGTCTACCCTCTTCTGCAAAATGGAGGAAAACCACAATTTCAAAGCCTGATACATGTCGGCCGCAACAAATTCACCGATACGTACTTCGATTCGAAAGATCAATTGTGTCGAGCAGGAATATGGATACGGAACAGGAGCGGGAAGTGGGAAGCGAAAATTCGACAGGCAGGTGACTACAACAGTTCCCAATTCAAAGAGTTGCAAGACGTGGAAGAGATTAGAAGTCATATCACTTCAGTCACGGGGCTATCACAATCACCTCCAGCCGACTTTGGTCTGTCCAAGATGGCTCAGATTACTACACATCGCGAAAGCTGGTTAGCGGACGATCGTTTTAAGATTGTGCTTGATTGTACAGACTTTGGTCATGTTGTTGGCGAAGTTGAGCTGGAATCGACTATGGCCACGAGGAATAATATCAACATAAAAGAGACCTGCAAAGAGATGGACTCTGAGATCTTGTCATTCATGCAGCGCTATTCGTGGGCCTTCGACACAAGCCCTCCTGTAGGTAAGTTGACCGCCTATTTTGCTCGACAGCAATTGCGAAATGCCTCATAACAGAGCAGCTGTCTTCGGAGCATGTGGTTCTTCCATTTGCAAGAACTTCAACACAAGATCGACGCGCTCCTGCCTTTCCAAGATCGACCTCTTTAGCAGCATGAAAGATATCCCTTGTGCTTGCAGGATTTCACAAAAGGTGTCATGAACTTCATACACCTCTTTCGAAGATTCCGGGACAACACGAACTAAATCTTCGGCGAACCACTCCATTACTGGCTCACAGAGAATGACCAGGCTTCTTGTCATTCGTTCTCGCAAAACCTTCCACGCATCTGAATCCAACAGAGCTCGACTCTTCTGTTCACTGCCATACTTCATCGCAAACACTACTGGATCAATTCCGAATCGGTCCGACAAAATGAGATCCGCTTTCGTCCTTGCCTCGTTTTCTCTCTCTAGTTGTGTTTCCAGGATTTGCTTCTGCAACTTCATAGCATTCTCTTCGCCTGCTCGAATTTGTTCGGGTTTGACTCCTGATGATAAGACGAGTTCTCGAGCTACTTCAGAGATGATAGCAACACGTCTTTCGGGCTCGTGCTCTTGAAAATGCTTGGCCAAGTCTCCTGTCAAGGTCGTCTTTCCAGTTGCAGAGACACCAATGAGATAGACTGATGTGACATTCCTAAACAGTGATAGCCTGCTCAGCACAGCGAATATCTCGGAATATGATACCTCAATTGGGCGAGTGGTGTCAATCTGGAAAGGTCAGTCTAGTTTATTCTTACAGTGTTGAGCTTACCTTGATCAGCTTCTCCTGAGCTTCGTAGTGCCGCACAATCTCTGGGTTGTTCGTGCAGAACTCAGCATGTCGTCTTTCAAAGACCTCTGCAGTGTCCATCCGGCCGAGCACTTGCCGCTCCAGTACTCGTTGTTTTGCAAGTTCTTCTGGACAGTCCATGAAGAAGACGTGGCTGGGAGTACCAAACTCCAGTACATTAGCTATATCACCGCTATGCATGTGTGTACTTACTTTACTATCGAAGAGTGCGATCTGATCAGCTCGTCGAGGAAACCCATCAAGGATAACAGCATGATAGCCTTTATTCTTGAAAGCTCGTAGGAGTCGCTCCATTATCTCTGCTAACTTCTCCACAGGTACCAGCTTCGTTTGTTGTACACAGTCTGCGATTGCTGTGTCTCCAGAATGAGTCTTGACATATCTTCGGAGCTCATCACCGACAGACAAGTGTGCCCAGCCCAACTCTGGCGCTACTTTGGAGCAGAGATTACCCTTGCCTGCTCCAGGACAACCTAGAAGCGATTAATGTTGGTAAGTCATGTTCAGTGTGAAGCTTACCGATCACGTAGACGAGATTCGGGATGGTGGCCATGCTCTTGTATCTGCACTTTGGGAAAGAATTGAGAAAGGATGAATACGGGCTTGAGGGCAAGGTTTTATATTATCTCTTCCAACAGTTTGTGTTCTAGCACAATCTTCAAGAGCAGGTTTGCCTAACTTTGGCACAAAGACAGACGTCTTGCACACACCTTCACACTTCATTGATCAGAATGATTGACAAGCAAATATCTTGGAAATCGTGTTCCAGCAAGCGTCCCGATGGCAGCATGCCTGTCGCATGCAGTTTATTAAGATGTGAGTGCTTGCGCGCTGCCACTCGCCACAAACAGATCATGCTTGCTACCTTACTCCCACGTCCATAAATGAACATCCTCACATCGGCTTCGTTGTCTTTTTGAACATATAGCAGGTTCCTAACCTCAGACAAGATGTTGTTAGCCTGGTTAGTGTTTACCGTAGTCGTTGCTTTTCTCATTCGAAAGACCTTCTCAACAAAAAAACGCCGTCCTGTCTCTGTCAACTATCACTTCTCTCGACAATGCAACAAATCATGCGGCTTCTGCTTCCACACTGCCTTAACATCCGACAAAGCAGGCCTCAACGATGCAAAGAAAGGTCTTCGTCTCCTCAAGGAAGCTGGCATGCGAAAGCTCAACTTTGCGGGCGGTGAGCTATTTCTGCATCCAAACTTCCTCGGGAGCCTCGTCGACTACTGCAAGGAAGAACTTCGATTGGAGTCTGTGTCGATCGTCACGAATGGCAGTCTTGTGCGGGAAGAGTGGTTGAAGAAGCACGCACGAAACATCGACATTCTAGCAGTGTCCTGCGACTCCTTCAACGAGCAGAGAAACATCGAAATTGGTCGTGGTGCTGGCGATCAAGTCACCTTACTGTATAAGATCGCGGAATGGTGTCAAAATCTGGGCATCATGTTCAAACTCAACACGGTTGTCTGCCGCTTGAATATGTACGAGGACATGAACGAACACATTACTCGATTGCAGCCTTTTCGATGGAAGTGCTTCCAGGTACTTATGGTCGCTGGCGAGAACGATTCAGACAAGACACTGAGAGATGTGCGGAAGTTTATGATCTCCGACGAGGAATACGAGACTTTCTGCCAGAGACACAATCATCAATCTTCCTTTGTGGCTGAGCCAAACAATTTGATGGCAAAGTCCTACCTGATCTTGGACGAATACATGCGCTTTCTGGATCGTGATGGTAGGCAGCCTTCTTCCCCTGTTCTGGAGGTAGGTGTCGAAAACGCTGTCTAGTGTCTACTGGGACGAAGAGAGCTTTGAAGAGCGGGGAGGATATTATGAGTGGACACGAGAAGAAACGCAGACTGGTGGATGTGCTGATGAAAGCATGAAATGGTGATATGGACGCGTAGGCCAATATGTAACATATCGCGTGCAGGTTGTGGATGGATTTCTGGGATACTGATAGAAGAAAGTGGTACCGAATGCGTGGACCAGGAAGAGCGTCTCAAACACGCTAGTCCATTCAGGTAACGTTGTCCGCAGCCCAGATGCGGAGCGAGATCCGGGGAAGGTGCGTCACCACGTTGACACTTCCTTCCACAAAGCTACCATTTTTGCAATTGTCCCAGCTTCTCATTCTCCATTTTCAATAAATATCTTTTGTGGCTTGCCTCAAGCACTAGAATCAAGCACTACCAAGCAATGGGTACTGGCGCCTCGTCCAATGAATGCCTGTCTGTATCATCATGCTTGTTGAATGTGGAACTTTACTCGGCCCACGAGCGTTTTCTACCCCTCAAACGCTGGACGAACATCCATCCACTCTTCTGGAGTGCGACCCATGGCAAGTCACCACATCGACATCCTTGACGTTGGACAGTCAATTCGCTTGAAAGGTGCATATACTCCTGTCGATAGTACGATCCAAACAGAATGACATCCACTTGCCTCGGCGATGGTGATATGGCGCCGTGTACGTGGAATAACTGTGACAGCATACATAATATGTCTCTCCTCTTGTTCTTCTTAGAGCAGTCTTGTGTTTTCTGATTCCTACTAACCTTGAATTGTCCCAATTTTGTTCCCACAAGCATAACACTTCAATCTCACTCAACAATTACGATGGCAGCTACAAACGGACACGTTCCGATGACAAAGACAGAAAACGACTATGAAAACAATTCTTTGAGCCGTCAGGTCACAGTTCAATTGTCGTCGGAGCAATATGAGAGGCTCTTCTTTCAGCCTACAGCAGCCAAGGGTGATCTGTCGAAGCGTCTCGGTAATCCAACGTTGCTGGGCCTATTAGGTTTCCTGGTTCCATTCAGCTCGACTATGTTCTGTCTCTGCGGCTTCCAAGGAGCTAACACAACTTCACTCGTCTCTTTGACCGGTATCTGGTACTTCTATGGAGGTTAGCCAACGAACTCAGCTTCTCGCAAGCACCATGCTGACTCAGTGATTAGGCATGTGCATGGTTCTTGCTGGATTGGCAGAATTTATCTTGGGCAATACCTTCCCATTCGTCGTCTTCACGGTTTGTAAGTGCTCGTCTTGTCCGTCGTTGCTCTAGCAACTACTAACCACCTTCAAGACGGTGTGCACTGGGTGCAAGGCGCCTACACCCAAGACCCCTTTCATCCATTAGTTGTGGCGTATGGTGCTTCACCTGAGAACGCCCTCAATCTCGAGTACAACGCAGGCATCGGCCTCTACTACGTCGTCATGGTCCTCGTCTCTTTTGTGTTCTTCCTCGGCTCACTACGTACCAACGTCCCGTTCGTTATCATCTTCGGCTGCCTCCTCTTCCTGTTTGGTCTTTTCGCCGCTGGACAATTCACGGTCGGCCAGAACCCCACGGCAGAGGGTCTTGCATATGCAGCCTATTTGTTCAAGATTGCAGGTGGATTTGGCATGGTTTGCGTCATTATGGGATGGTATCTGGCAATCATCACAGCATGTGCCAGCACAGGAGTGCCGTGCCCGCTGCCAGTGTTCGACCTTAGCACCAAGGTATTCAGAGGCTCCAAGGCTGCTGCCAATGAGCATGCGGGAAGTGTACGAGCATCGGACGTCGCAGCCTAAGAAGTGAATGGCTCAAAATTTTGGTAGATACTCTAGGATGTGTCAGGATAAAAGAACAGCACACCATCCATGATCACGACGATCTGCTACCATGCAATGGAGGATTACGTGTTATATTCAGTCACAATCTGGCTTTTCTCAACCCTTCACTCCCTCTTTCTTGTGTCAGCGCCTCACCCACCTCCTTCGCAACTCTTTTCCCACTTCTGATAGCCCCATCCATATACCCTTTCCACTCATAACTCGTCTCCGTCCCCGCAAAATACATATTTCCAACCCTCTGTCTCAACACTCCCTCATACCTGGTCATATCCCCTCCAGGCCCAAACACAGGCACCGGACATCCACCACTGAATTCATCCTTCACCCACTCATATTCCACGATCGTCAATGGTACTTCAATCTCTACACCCGCCTTATCGCAGAAAGGCCGGAAAACGCGCTCGATATGTCTCTGTACCTTCTCAAAGCGCTCAGTCCGTGCGAGGAGCGACATGTCACGACCGAACTTGCCGACGAGGAAACACGTTAGGGAGAATTGATTGCTTTTGTCGACTGAACTATCGCGTGTCACGGTGATGGGACCGGCGAAGGATTGGAGGAGGCCGCAGAGATTTGCGCGCCGCCACCATGGGGACGAGTAGAGAATGATGATTTTGTTGGTGTAGCCTTGGATTGTGGAGCGGGATAGGGCTTGTTTCGCAGGTGGGAGCGGAGGTGTGAAGGATATGGTCTTGTAGAGGGGCGTGGGGAGGGTGAGGATCAGTTTTCGACAGAGGTAGTGCTTTTGCTGGTTGGAGTTCATGGCTGTTGTGAAGACGTTGGTCATGACAGATGAACCGTTACTATTTGCCGACTGGTCGATCTCGCTCACTTTCTGGTTTAAATGCACGGTGCCTGGTCTCAGCCTCTGTAACAATCCCTTTGATAAGCTCTGAGTCCCATCCACGAATCTTAAATACTGCCCGCCATGCTTCGTATCCATGCGCATTTGTAATAACCCACCACCACTTTTGCAATAATTGAGAAAATGCAATGCTGAGACCTGTTCCGGTTCCAGGCCGAGCATAGCGCGCGTCCATACTGAAGCCGATGCTAACGCTGTTCTGCTTTCGCTATTCCTGATGATCCAATCCCTAAGGCTGAGTCGATCTAAAGTGACGGCTTCTGGCGTTGATCCATTAGCTGACTTGTGGATGTCGATAGTCTGGCATACATCTTCAAAAGCTTGCCGAATCCTCAACATCTCTGATAGGCCATCCGCTTCAGCTAGTGCATCGGCATCTGGCGCCTGGCCGTATGGAAATGTGGATAGACGACCACTGAGGTCTTCCTGAATCACATAGCCAGTTGTGTTTTGAACAACAAGTTCGAGACCAAGATCTTTGGCGAGAGCATAAACCTCAGATTGGTTGGTATCATTGATCCAGGCTGCGCCGACATCTACCACTCTATTAGTGCCGTCATTGCAGGGGTCGACTGACCAGGTCTTCCCGCCGACACGATTGCGTGCTTCGAGGACGACGACGGAGTGGCCAGCCTGTTCGAGTGAATTGGCGGCAGTGAGGCCAGAGAGACCTGCGCCAAGGACGATGACGTCGACGGATGTAACTGTAGTCATACTGCTGATCAGTCAATAAACTCGAGAGACCGACGACAAGAGCATGGAGTCATCGCTGAGCAAAAGCAGAATGGATGCAGAATCTTGTAATAAGGAGATAAGATGTCTTGGAATCTGTATGTGCGGGGAAGCCTGAACATGTTAAGTGCTTCGCGTACGATGCGAATTTACCGTCAAAATAGGATGAGAACGTTCGACGTCCCCGTGCTGGAAAGGGTACACAGAAGAATATAACAACACCAATTCAAAGATTCCTAGAAACACCCCTTGAGGCTTACCCGATTTGCGCTCTCTGCTCCTAGTAGGGTTGCCTTCCTGGGTCCGACTATGCTGGACTCAACATCTGGCTTGTCGACTGTAGATTTTGGTCTTCATAGCGCAGCTGATTCTGCGATTTCACTGTGTGCCGCCATTGCCCTTGTGCGCTGCCCGCTCATAATCTGTCCCGGTAATACTTTGCTGAGGAGTTTATACAAGATTGGGCAACCAAGCCTGCTTGACTTTGAATTCGATGGCATGATAATACAGGGCCAACGCTGGACGTGGACTGCCAGTTGCTGAGTATGGCTCTTCGAAGGTCGATTGCGTGTCTGTCTTTTGCTTGAACGTTTTTGAGACTACATCGAGAAATCCTCCTACATTTTGAGATGGAGTGACAAGGTACGACCAGCTGTGCAAGGCCACGGTAGTGTTCCAAAGTGCCAATTTTCCGTATCAGACCTAGATCTCAACGGTCCCAGTAGTTCGATCTGGATAGTGTGAAAGTGAGGGCTAGCTATTCTTGATGCTATATTCTGACAACGAGTAACTTGATAGATTCAATGACTGCCTAGCCCAAACTACCCCTTCTTTTCTGTGGGCCCCTGATTTGCGGCCATAACCGACCCAGATGGTAATTTATATCTGACTTGTGTTGAGATTTGTCTCGTTTCTGGTCCATACATTGCGTAAGAGCTTTCTCTAGATGTGCACATCCGGAAGTGTTGGAGGAGTTAGCTGATGATTGCCAGCAACCTGGGATGGAATATCAGCAACTGACGAAGGCTACGAGGTACGGAACATACTTAACATGGCCGTCATTGGACCTATACAAGGATTCGTCTCTTGCTTGTCAGGATGGCGTACTCGGAGTCGCGATACTGTTTGTAGGCGAACAGGCTGCACCGCCGTCGAGACACCTTTTGGAGGCATATAGATGGATAGGGTTCAGGTCGATGTGGTAGGTCGTGATCGCTACTCAAGCTCGGAGTAGAGGTTACGGTCTGCGCGTCTTGTGTGTGTATATGAAGATTCAAGATTGCCCTTGATACTCGACTTTCTACACAGACTAAGGCTTGCTGTGAGAAAAGATTGGAAGCACAGAGTAATACGAATTACTAGTACACGATGATCTGAATCACACCTTCTTCCTGTTCCTGCTCCTGCAAATTGTCCGAGAGCCTCGTCGGCCGGCTTAACCCCGGCAAATCAAGTCTCGATGTGGCAATTGCCTCATCAAATCGAGTAGATATGTGCCTCGTACCTTCCTTCTGATTTATGCTTGTTTCTCTGTTTCAAAGGCCTCACATTGATTTGTAGCAGGATGGCAAGATCTCAAACAGCAACAGCAGCAGTATGGACCTGCTCGTCGTGCCTTAGAGCTCAGGCTCGCCGGCGAGCACTTTTGGCTCAAAGAGCACAGTGGCGGACCTTCTCGGCTGCTACTAGCAAGTGTGAAGAGCAGAAGGAGAAGGATAGCAAAGATGAAAAGCAAGGAGCAATGTCTAGAAGGCTTGCAGACATGGCTGAGGAGACCATGGACACTGGTTCCAAGTCGGACAGGAAATTGATGTCCGATGCTGGTTTTTCTGAAGGACTAAAGAAGCAGCTGGAGGAGAGGATAGCACAGACTGCGTTCCAGGCACAGAATCAACAGGCTTTAAGCCAAGCTACCATGCCATCTTCTGCGGGCAAAGGTACGAGGGATCAAGCAGCAGCGAAAGCATGGACTGGCACGGAGACTTTGGAAGATGCTGCACTACGTATGCTTGATGATAGTCACAAACGACTCCGTATGCCTTCGAGGAAGCCGACCTTGGGTAGTGGTGTCAACTTAAAGCCGAGACCGAAACAGAAGCTTTCTGCAGCCGATCGATTAGCCAATGCACGAGACAAGACTTCAATATACACTATGCAGCAGGAGGGCATGAGTGAAGAAGAGCGTGAACGATTCAAGAAGGAGATGAAGGACAAGTTTCAGCCTGGTGCAAGGCCTATGCCAACCACTTTACAAGGTCTTAGCTCACTCGCGAACGAACGCATCGAAGACGCCATCGCAAGAGGTCAATTCAAGAACATTCCTCGTGGGAAAGGCGTGAATATAGAAAGAGATTACAATGCGAACAGCCCTTTCATACAGACGACAGAATACTTTATGAACAAGATGATCCAGAGGCAGGAAATCGTTCCGCCATGGATCGAGAAGCAGCAGGAGCTCATGAAGCTGGTCAACACGTTCAGATCGAGGCTGAGAAACGATTGGAGGAGGCACGCTGCAAGAACTATCTCTAGCAAAGGAGGCACACTAGACGAGCAGATACGAAGAGCCAAAGCATTTGCGCTAGCTGAAGAGAAGTACAACCCGAGACCTAGTACTAGAACAGAGACGATGAGTGCTATCGGTTCTGATGGTGTTTTGACAAGTATAACTGTCGAGGAAAAGATCGCCGCTGGAGTCGCTCCAGAGCCTGCACAAGATCCTGTCGAGATCACTATCACGGAAACAGCTCCATCACAAGATGCTCAAGGCAACCTTGTCGAAGGCGCATCAGAGAAACTGGCCGAGGATACTATCGTGGTCTCGCAGACGCCTGCCGATACCCAGCAACCTGCCCCATCAGAACCTGGTACGCCAATCGATGCACCTCAGGCCGCAGACAGAATCCTGCCAATGGCATATCCTTTTCGCGACGAGAACTGGGAACGAAACGAGAACTCTTACCATAAACTAGCTGTCGAAGAAATTAACAGCTTAGCCAGAAACTACAACCTTATGGCCCCGAAGATGGCACAGAAACCATATCATAATCTCCAGAGGGAACTCAATCGCTGCTATGCTGATGTTGCACCATTACTGGCGGATGAGATTCTGAATCGAAGTCGCAAGGGTCCTGTACGTGTTCAGGTGACAATGCACAAAGAAGGTAGTGTCATGGAACGATTTCAGGGTACAGGTCACATCGCTAAGATAAGAGATGAGCCTGAGGCTCGTGGTTATGGCTTCAAAGAGTTTTGGAAGGATTTGTTTGGGAAAGATGAAGGCAAAAAGAGACAGGTTGCATGAGGTATACTTATTAATGACTTTCTACAAATCAGTCTTCGTTCCCTACTAAACAAATCGCACATCCCGACCTTACGGCTAGGCTATTCCAATTCCCTGTCTCAGAAGGCTGCGATGCAGCTGATTTATCTACTGCCTACTGGCTTCTATCCAGGAGCGACCCGTAATTTCCGCAAAGAGAGCTACAATGTCACGACATTGGTGTTGAGTTACCCGAAATTTAACAACCGTGTGATTTGATGTCCTATGTTCGAGCCAGCACGGACAAATCTCCGACCTGGCAACAGGATACCATTCTGTTCTCGACATCGAGATGCTGCCTCTAGCCAGTATCGACCACCTAAAAGTCGACAACCACGCCAATGCGAACGCCGTTGATTACTTGCTGCAACTGTTGGAGAGGCTCACCTGCGGCCTCTTCGATACGCTATCACTACTCTCCACCCCTGCTCCCAGTCAGGCATCATCGAAATAACACAGCTGGGACTTCGTGCGGGATCTGCCCCGAAGTATGCTCGTCGGATCGGCAATACCTGAGCTCATGCCTCACGAGCAGTGGAGTAGGACGTCGCCACTCAGTCAAAACCATATGATAGCTACCCTTAGTCAGGCCAAGAAGAAGCAATAGACTTCTTGGTGGCAGGCTATAGTAGACGAGGACGTTCAGCGGTGGCCGCTGCTCACTGTACACTATGTAGCGAAGCTCGTCAGTACAGAGATCGAGGCTAAGTATCCTGGCAATGTGGACAATCCTGACGCCAGGACTATTGCCAACCACATGTCGAAGCAAAACAAGACGACTATGATTACGGTGGCTAACTGGAACCGCTACGAGATCACATTCGAGGGTGAACCTGGTGCCGCGAAAGAAGTTGTTGTGCAAATAGCTAAGCAAGTGCTTACAGCCAGCCCTGATTTCCTGTCCTTCGAGATATCGCCGTTCAGTCAGTACAGCCAGTTCGTACCCTGGATCTCGAATTGCACGACGGTAGCATCTCCAAAGGCCTCACTATCGCGGCAGATGAGCTCGACATACAATTCAGGACCACGTCTCGGAATACATACACTGGACCACACTATTGGTCCAAGACTGAATACACTATAGTACGCGCCGCTCTTCGTACTTTCGCAACCTCGACACTGTCATTCTTCAGAGGATCAGGACGTGGTGTGAACAACGTGATGTACCAGGTGTGGGACGCTGTACGAGCCAATATTCCAGTCAGCATTGATCAACTCGAGTACCAGCTGTTGAAGTTTTATCCAAAAAGCCAAGGATTGAAAGGCAAGTCGTCGGCGACCCCTTGGGTCATGCCCGAGCTGATCAACGGTTTCGAGAAACATATTCCCGCTGCCGGTCACAACATTTGTGATGAGCTTGACATCGATATTAACAAGAGATCAAATCCTTTCCTCCCAGCCGAGGACCAGGTCATCTTTCTCGTTGCTACTCAATACGTCCAGGGCATACATTATGGTCGATGGTCTCGAATTGCTATCGCCAGCAAAGTCGCGTGGCATCTGGCTGGCGCCACGCTGAATGCGTTCCGATTGCGTTCGGCCAACCTAGCCAAGTCGGCGGTATCGAACGTTCCCTAAAAAATCTGCAGGAGCACCTGAGACGCATACATCCCGACCTGGTCTATGCTGTCGCTGCAGCAGTTCCAGCTTTTGATCGTGGGACATGAGACACAAGCCTAGCTAAGGCGCAGTCGCTGTTGCGTCAATACAAGAAGCAATACAAGGACGAATACCTGGTGGCTATCTCAGAGACCGCTGCTGGAGAGGACACGGCAAAGAAGTCCAGCGTGGAGAAGAAGTCCAAGGCAAAGAAAGAGAAGGAGGGTGTAGCAAGCGTGGACGAGTATGATATCCGCAATGGCAACGACAGTGGCTCCTAGGTAACGAGGGATGCAAGTATGAGTTGGAGATTCATAGTGCTTGGAAAGGACAGCATGACCCTGTCGTGGTGTAGTGATAGTCAGAATCATTTGTTCCCTCAATGATAAATTGCCCTCGCAGAATAATTCTACACGCATTGCACAGCCTTCAATAACCCCTTCCAAGCTTCGATTGTACCTCAAAAAAGTTGAGCAGGGCTGCATAAGAGGGAGGACGCAGCGAAAACTTCATCATGAACATCCAGCTGCACTCGCCGCAGGAGAGACTATTGAAGCGTCGATAGCGCCTCCCGATCACAACCCATGGCGGATTCAGAGGCAGGTAAGTCGACGAGGCGTCAGCCCCACGTGACAGCTTGGTAGAAGTACTACAACTTCCAAGCAGCACATACTTATCTCCTTCACCAACCCGCTGAACCACGAAGTGTCGGTGACTAGTAGGCCCTTCTTTGTATACTAGGACTTTACTCGCTGCGTGTCCTTGCAACGAAGGACTTTCGCATGGAAGGCGACAAGCGAGGTGTTTTTGCAACTGCCTAGCCAGATAAGCTTGTGATGTGCAGTTGTGTCCTTCACACGAGAGCTCGAGGTTGATACGACTCACAAGCCCCTTGATCAGCATACCCTCCGCTGGTTCCGATCTCGATTTCAACTCGAGACATTCGAAGAGGCCCAATGCCAACTCAAATTTATCGTACACTGTGTTGTATCCCTTATCTGACAACAGCGTAGCGAACAGTTCTTCCGCCGAAGTCTTATAGTTGATATGAGCCTTCAAGCTGTCGGAGGATATGGAGATAGCAAGGAGTGCGAACACTCGATCACGAACATCAGTGCATTGCAAGCGACCATATCTGTTCAGCAGCTGCGGAAGCGAATTTAACATGTGATCACCAGCTTCGCCATTGCGATCGTATTTTGTGACGCAAACCCAATGGAAAGTCTTCTCCTTCCCGAAAATGTCATGAATCGTTTTATTGTTCCTGCGGTTCATGCCAAAGTCATCGTACGCAAAGTGCACAAATTCTTGCATAATTGCCAGAGGTAGAGTTTGGTTGGCGTGCATCAGGATTGATTGACTTGCGAGAAGTGCTTCGGGGACAATCCAGAGCCTCGACCAGTACTCGAGAGCGCAAAATTGCGAGAAGTGGTCTTTCAGCATCATAGTCGCAATCTTCTCGCTTTCCGTGCTTGGTGCCCACATAGTGTCGCGCAACCGTGCTATCGGAATGTATCCGGGATAAGCACGCAGCGGTTTCGTTTGAGTCGAAGAGCCCTGATCATCGCCGTCATTGAGAAAGTGGAAGAGCTTTGTCACATTCGAATCTGCACAGCCTAGCCATGTGATGACAGTGTGGGCTGAAGAATAGATACTAGGCATTGCTCTGACTTGCTGCGAGCGCTCTTCGTCGTTCGCTTGATCAATACAGACCGCATCGATCCAAATCGTCATGTCTGGCCACAAGATTCTTGCATGTGACAGAAATTCGAATAGGTTCCGGCGAATTTTGAAAGCACTGCCGTTTACCTCGATGGTGTAAGACGGATCGTCTGTGCCCCAGACATACGACAGAGCACGGTAAGATTGACTAGTTTCGACTATCGATAAAGAACATCGTATAGAGTCCTCCTTCGGAGAAGGGATCAATTGGAGAAGCCGAATCTGCCCTTTTCTGATAGGCAATGTTGTATATCTGAACTCTGTTGTGTGAGCATTATGCTGCCTCATATCGAACAGTTAACAGCTCGTCCACGTAACTCAATTGTTCCAACGATTGTAGCTCTTATCGTGCTCTGAAAGATTGAAAGGCTGTATCAAAATCTGCATGCTCGTCCTGGATCTCATGACAAGCAGCTCGAGGCCACTTGTATGTACCAAGGTCGCTGGACTCTGAGCTTGTGCGACACAGCGGCTGGCCATCAACCCCTTGGCCAGGTTCACAGGCCGATATGTGACTATTTCGGCGAGGGAGGCTGAGCACGCGCCTTGAGCGCGAATATATGGAGGCAGCCATAACAAGGTACTTCTGCATCGTCGTCTCTGTCGAGATGAAACGAGCTGTAACATGTTTAAATTGGTGATCTGCAGTGAAGCGGTTAATTTGGCCAGAGTAGTATGGCGCTTCGCGACGCGGCTAATCCGCAGAGATCTTGTTCCACGAAATACCAGCTGTGCAACGCATGCTGCAATCGCCACGTCAGGATTTTGTATCAACCTCCATAGGCAGCAGAACATGAAGATCGTGAAATCAGGTACTGAAGACAAGTGCCTAGTCATGAACATTTTCCGTCAGTCGTTAAGCATATAAGAATGTGTCGTGAACTGCTTAAGCGAGGACGAATGTTGGCCGCTGGCCACCATGAGTGGCGCTGCCGAATATCTCCATGCCTGACTTGATCTTGATCGACGCTATGCCTACCCGTCCCTGCCACTCAGCGGAGGTCCAATAGGTTCGAAAGCAAGTAAGAGCGAGCGGCACTGCTGACCACTCCAGTACGCCGCCATTAAGAAAAACGTATGGAAAACTTGAGCCACAATCACTCGGCAATCTATCATGGTCTTGTCTGCGATAGCCTGCCGGCTTTCATTCATCGAGTCGTCGCACTAGCATGGTGGGGGACACGAGCCATCTGGCCCTTTGGGGTCTGATTTAGGCCAAATTTGGGGAGTCCTTGCCCCTGCCCAGGTGCCAAGCATTAAACGGAACTTGAACCTATAGACCATCTCGTCATCGTTGCTTCGCATGCTCTTTGTGAAATCTTCTTTATATAAGCAGAGGAAGCAAGGCGCAGACGTGCAGCTTCCTGGATGGCTAAGAAAGCTAGCACCTTTTCCAAAGCGGCACGAGAGCAAGTCCCTGCTTATCCAGACCAGTAGAGTTCGAGGCAGTGGTATAACTTTGATTGGCGCTTTCGTGTTGCGCTTATCCACAGCCATTAGTGGCGCAGTGCCCAGCCGAATCTTACAAGACCTCAAACTTGATCTCCACGTTTGCCATCTTTGCAAAAGTGCCAGGACTTTGCTTGGATCCGCGTGTACACGCCTTGCAGGCATGACTCGACGCGACATGCTGGAATTCTAGGGCCGACATCATAAGAGCCTCATGACGGTCGCGACCGCTTTTGCTAGGACAACTTTCTGATCAATTTTGACCTTGCTGGAGGCACAAATGCCAGACGGGTTGGAGGGGCTGGAGCTGTGGTCAACCATCAAAAATGACAGATTCTGGAGCATTGGTGAGGAAGACCTTGTTCAACAAATATACGCTGCATTCAAGTTGGAGACAAACCGGCTTCGACATGCTTGTGCTATTGAACGTAGCACTCCACCAGTGTTGAATGGAAGCTTGCCGCGCACACCATCAGAGATATTGTTCGACAACGAAAATTACGACGAGGTCAACAGGACGTATGTTGGCATTCTTGCGTTGAGATGGATATGGAACAACGACTACGAAAGGTTTACTAAAGGACAGGTCGAGTCGCTGAAATTGACACGGAAGTCTTTTCAATGGCTTCGCAGCTATTTCAAGGATATATTGCGAACGCCGATGGATCTTCTCTCGATTGTGCTGGCGCTGGTCGTGAATGATCTAGGCAAAGACCCTTCCCTGGTCGACGACCATTACGGGCTCACAAAAAGGCCCTTGTACGGTAAGAATCACGATGTCGTTTTGCTTGAAGCCGCGCGAGAGGGAATGGTTCCGTCACTGAGATACCTTGACAAAGCCCACCACACGGATATCATGCTTGGTTTAGAGCTCGGTTCAGAACTTAATGCTGCCCAATTAGCACAGGCTGAAAACGTTCCCGTCAACCTAGAAGGCTTGCTAGCTATGGAAGGCCATGAGCGTGCATTCAACCTGAAATTTATCGAACAAATCCTGGACGTAGCTGGTGCTGCTGGTCACATCTATGCAGATGGAGTCAAAACCTTGATTGAACCAGTCTTTCAAGCCTTCAAAACGGTTCACGAGGTATCGCTATGCATAATACGAAAAGATTGCACATTGCGGGAAGGGTACGACCAAGTCCTTTCTAAAAGAGCCGCATTGCTGCACAGGGAGGGCTTCACGCTTTTATCAGTGGCTAATGAGGGTCAAAGAGCACTGCTGCGGCTGCTTACTATGGGTAGAGCAGCCACGTTGGCACAGGCGAAACTCTTCGAAGCCGCTTTCAACACCCTCGCGGACCCCTACAAGGATCTATTGATAAAGGGCCTCAATGTCGACGCAATCGATGACAACGAGACTGCTGTAATTCCATACTACATGCCGGCGATGATCGCGGAGACCATTCGAGGCACCCGAGGATCGGGGAAGGAGCAAGAAGCATTGATGGCATTGATGCGGTATCTATCAAGAACACTTGATTACGATGGCACAGAGATATCAGATTTGCAGACATCTCCTTCGCCTTTGCGGGAAAGTTCAGCTACATGGCCTCTACCACGTCTATCGCTGAAAGCCCCTACCAACACAGACTTTGAGCACAGACAACGCAGAGAAGGTCGCGTAATAGAGCGGAACATGAGCAGAGCACGAGAGACGATCAGTAGTCCGCAATTCAAGGAGAATCCAAGCGTCCTCGACAGTTTGCCCCCACCTGAGGGGCATCTTCTATCACGACGTCGGACGAGCTATTCGGGTTGAAGCATCTCGCTAAGCGATGAGGCAAGACTTACACAGGATCAAATCCTCTCGCGTAGAAGATACCCTGTTGTCTGCATGCATTTCTTCTGGACACAAGAGCTGATCTTGTCCATAGAGGTTGTCAGGACTTTGACCATGAGCTAAAGCTGCATACAAAACTCGAAGCTGCTGACTGCGTCGCCTTACATCTCTACGAGAAGATCTTCTTGGTGATGGACCAAAGATTCACGGCACATTCGTGCAGAAACCTTGTGGTTCTTGCATGGGTCAATACCTTCCTGCAAATGTCTAGCTTCTGGCTAGAGACGGCCTTAGCAAATCACGAAACACAGAGTGGTCACGGAAACAGACGTCTCGAAGCTCCATCTTCAAAAAGGCCGTGCATTGTGGTCACACATGCATGGATCATACCTTCCTCCTCTACTACCGGATACGAAGCAAACACGACCTGAGTTAAAAGTGTGGCTTTTGTGAACAGAAACTGATACCCATCATTATGGTCTGTTCCACAGCCTTCGGAACACCAGATCAATGGTCGTAATGAGAACAAGCAACCTCCCAGAACACAAGACCACAGTGTCCAGAACGTGACTCGAAATCCATGGAAGAAAGGGCAAGGCAAGCACACTCCACAGTTGTGCAGATCATTTGACAAGGAGAGCAAAAGAGGTCATGTGGAGCTGACTCGATCACCAATGAAACCGCGCTATCGAAATGAACGACCTTGAACTATTCACTAGCGCGACAAAAAGTCCTGACATATTTCACTCCAGCACGAAACTTCCTGCACCGCCGGGATGCAAAGGGAAGTGGTGCAGAACCAGGCGCTGACTTTGCAGAATACATCTGCGGCTTCTGGATCGAGGCAACACAGCAGAGTCAGCTCGGTGGTAAGACTTTGCCATTCCGGTGTGGGTTCTTTCAGCACGCGATGAAAACGCCGCTGCGGCTTGAACTATGATTGGTCGACGAGAGGCCGACCATGTACAGAAAAGTTAGCCTGGGACGTAGCACATTGACACTCAGCATGATGTAGCTGATTTGATATTGCGCTGTCTCTGCTGGACAGACGCACCGTCATAGGCATTAATATCAACAATTGACAGACGGAAAGCTGCATCAATAGGCGGACAATTCACACGCCAGCTTTTTAGAAGAAAGGCCATCATTCCTGCCTGAGGCAACAGACACTGAATAAAAGTAGTTGCGAGCCTGATATAATCCCAGCTACGTGTATTCTGTAGAAGGGCAACGCAGTGACGCAGTTGCATATGTCAAAGTCGAAATCCTGACAGCACCCTACTATTCCTCATCCCGTCCTATTGCACTACCAAACTACCATCGAACTACCATTACCATGACCAGTCTCGGGATTCTAACAACGAACGGAAAATTACCAGCTTACCTATCGCAGAAGATACATGCTTCCTGCTTTTGCTTCGTTCTCCAACATCTCACGCACACTCTAATTCACCCTCGTTCCACGTGTGATCAGTGCTAAGTCTTCTTCCACTGCATTGGTTCTGGCGCCTGTCCCCGCCCTCGCCCTTGTCCTTGTCCTTGTGCTTGTGTGTGGCCTTTTGTCTGTCCCTCTTCCTGTCCTTGACTTTGTGCCTGACCGCGTCCCTGATCTTGTGTCTGGCCTTGTGCTTGTGCTTGTGCTTGTGCTTGTGCTTGTCCCCTTCCTCGTCCCGCGCCTTCACTCTGACGCTGAGCCTGCGACCGTTGCTGCGCAAGTCCAGTCCCAACCCTCTCATTTGGTTGAAACCACTTCTGCACCGCTTTACTCACTCCACTCTCGCCCTCGACCTGATATCCCCACCTTTCCACGTGCTGAACTCCATCACGCGTTAAGTCAGTTGTATACGAGTATTCTGACCGCTGAACGATGTCGCCTGTTGCACTTACGCAGCCCGCAAGAGGAACGTGCTGAGCCACAGTTTTGACAATGGCACTGGGTTGTTGTACGGTGACAATCTTTTGCTGTGGTTGGGTTACATTTTTGTTCCACTTGCTGATGTGAGTGTTGTTGTTGGCATTCCTGCTGCTGTTATTCTCACTATTGTTGTTGATGTTGTTGTTCGGACGAGGTGGAGGTGGAAGTTCTTCCTCCGAAGCAGAATCGCCAGGGTTCTGGCGGGTCGGTGCGGCTTTAGGGTCACCAGGAGTGTAGCTTGGGTGAGCGGGTCGTTTTAGTGGGCGAGAAGTGGTTGAGGATGGGTTGTGCGACATTCTCCCTGATTTGTCGCTGCAGTGATGGTGTGAAGTAAGTTCTGCGTCGAGTGATCTTGTGTTGTAGACGTGGACAGGTAGCCAAAGGGGTTGATATATCTAGACTCACGAAGACTGCTTGTGTCCTTGCTTCGAGGAAGAAAAATGGTCCAGTGCCCACTAAAGACGTCCGTACCCGGTTGTATTTGTCGTGCCAGTCATCGAGACTACCTCTGCTGTTGTTGCACACCATACCCTCTGACAAATCCTATTTCAGCTGTCTGCCTTTGCCGGCGCTTTGCCGTGCCGAAATAACAAGAACAGATCCTGTCGCACCACCTTGTACCACTCTTCATGTACCATATACAGCGGCCGACTGCTCAGGCGGAGCTTAGAGCGCAGCTCCCTCGTTCCTATGTGTCGCTTCGAGTTCGAAGCAAACAAACTGTTATCGGCATCAAACCGGAAGCGAGCATGCATGATTCTTCAACCAGCCTGAATCACGAAGGCTTCCAAACTTCCAATGACCTCTTTCCCAACACTACCCAGAACATCTTTCACGACTCTCATGTAGGTCCCTCTCTTCACACCACCAACCTTCGGTCTCCAAACGCCAGGCACGATATCCCACTCATTTACCCCATCACTCCTTGCCACGCCCCTGAAGGTGTCTCTCGCACTTGTCTCCAGCATTCGTACAGCCAGGACCCTGACTTCATCCGAGCTCTCAGCTTGCAACCTCGTGATACTAACAGCAAAGACACCGTCGGCTACTGAAAGTTCCGTCCCACTGGGATCGAACAGAACATTGTCACCAGCAACCATAACTAAAAGGGTCACTGGTGGAACACCACCTGCCAAACTCCTGGTTTTGCCTGGTTTAGTGTAGAGGTGTACACTTGCCTCCCAATCGTCGTCAGCCAATGGATCCTCTTCCCCTTCGCTCTTCAACCTTGGGATGCGGGTATTACGTAGCGCAAGGTGGATGGCCATGCTGAGCAATGGCAGAGGGTACGAGCCAGCTGCTGAGCCTTCTGGTGGAGAGATTAGCACAACGTCGATGTGCAGGCGCCAGTGCCATCGGGAATTTATCACAAGCGTATCCTGTAGACTTCCCGAACCTGAGCTGACATTGTTACCTGTACTCGTGGTACTAGATGCAGGCGCAACCAGAACTTCCCTTAACATCTCTTCCAAGAAGACCAAGTTCGCGTCATCGTCTCGTAAGCCAGGTAACGTGAGACTGAGACTGACCCAGCTGCCTTTACTCATACCTCTCATTCTCCTGCTCTCTTTCTCGTCTCCTGTACCAGTCATATCCACATCCTTTCCGGACCTTTCACCAGCCATTGAGCTTGGCACACTCACAGTTCTCTCTACTTCGGCACGTACTCCCACGACAGCCTCCCGACCATCTGCGAACCCAACGTGGGCGCTGCCCATAGTGTTGGGGAGGACATCTGTTTCAGCGCTGAAAGGACGAAAGTCTGTTGCCAAACGAGCATCTGGTCGGATTGGAGGGTCTGAAGAGAGGGAGGAGTGAAGGTAAGCGAGTTCAGCAGGCGACAACAGATCTGTCGTGCTATTTGCAGGCATGCTCGGTACCACAGGCGGAATAAGGAACGTAGGTGGGTGGACTGAAAAGAGTGTTGTCCGCTGCTTAAGATGTGGTTAAGACAGCTCTTGAGTGGTGATTACTTGGTTGTTGAACAAGCTTCAGAGTGTATGACTTCGAACCGACATACGAACTACTGTAAGAAGGAGCGACTGAGTGGTATGGTAATCGAAGAACACAGATTTCATACTAGATTGTAGAGTGAAGGTGCGCTCGCTTGAATTGATGGCCTGAACATTTTGTTTGCGACTGCGTCATGCTTGGGAGTTGCCGTTGAGGCCTAAACTTCCAGGCATCACATTCAACCAGCTCTTCTCTCTGAGGCTATCTAGAAAGGAGCATCTTTATCCTCCGATATCACCTCCCTCTATTGACTCTCAATCTGGTCCTCCCTTTCTCTAAGCACGTTCAAAGGTTTCCAGTTCTCATCATCCCTAATATCGATCTCGCCTAGAATCAGAAAGTGACCTGTTTCAACCTCAAACTTCCATTCATATGCCACACCACGAAATCTCATGTTGCTAATCATGATCCTCCAGCTCTGACAAACCTTGACAAGAGCAGAGAAGGCTACGTCTCGGTTGTTCCATGCTGATGCATCCATGCGCCCAGCTTGATGGTAGACGTGGTAGAAGATGGCTTGCAGAATCTCGCTTGGGAGATCTTGAATATTTGCCATGCCACTATCATACAAGAGTGCTAAAGCCTGGTCAATTCTGCACGCAGTAAGGTCTCTTCAGTTGATACATACATTCGGGTGGTCAAAAGCCTAGCCACTGATAGATTTTCATATACGTATGTAGTCATGGTTGCTTGCATTCAATGACGGAATTGACGTAGAAATATTCACATGTAAGCTGGTTCAGTATTCAGTTCTCCTGAACCCTCTCTGTCAACTTCCTTTTACAAAACCCCTGGATGTATACGTGAACTTTAATGCTGTGTACGATTCAGACAATATCACCATATCGACAACATCGTACAGGATGAGTATATCGGGTAGACGTGTTTCCACGACGACGTAAACAAAACATAAAACACAGAATATGACTGATCCCAACCCCATCGCAAAAATCCAGAATCTTGATGCGTGTGTTCTTTGCATGAAACGCAAGATGGCAGCGAACAATAGCCCTCTAGCTGTCCACTTCCTGGCGTGATCATGCCAACATTTCAATACTCCTCAAATACCACAACTATGAACTCCCATGAGATTGCAAGCACGGTAGCGTCTGAGCGAGGATGCGACGCTTCCGGAGCTCTAAACTTGAAATGAAAATCCTCGCCATCGAATTTCCGCCAACAATCCATCCCGCTGTTACGCTTTTTGCCAAATTGTGTATCAAGAACAATCTGTTGCCATCGTCTACAAACTTTGTAGAGCTTCTCGTCAATGGCATACTGCTCAAGCTGAGGGGACCATGAACGTTCAAATGTTACATTGTCCTGTTTCTCGTCAACGTAGGTCTGCCCAAAGGTTTTTGAGAGAATGTCAGGCGGCAGGTGATGGATTGTGGCCATATTTGGCGAGCGTACTGCTTGTATCATGTTGGTGTCGATACTATCGGGGTACACTGTAGCTGTGGATTGACGTACTCACAATCTGGAGATGTGCCGATTTCCAAGATGTTGCTCATGACTGGAAGGTAGGGACGAAGTACAGTGGAAGATTTTCAACTATCAAGGCTCGAAAGCCCACTCAGTGCTTGCCTTGAGCAATCACTATTGTACTGTCAGGCCGACGTCAACGATATGATTGCGCATATGCGTCGACCACAAAGAGTGTAGAGCAAACCTCACTTGGTCAATCAAGCATGTCGAGCAGCTCAGTCTACTGCCACACGGCCCTGCACATCGCACAGCTGACTTGAATTTCGTGCTCTTGAGGACAATCCTTGATCCTGTAACACATCATAAAACCTCGGACACATATCATGTCTTTTGCTCTGAGAAGCAAGACGCTATATCCTCAAATCAGCACTTCAAGCTGAACTCGCTTTGTTCTTAAGGCGGCCCGAACCGACTGGTAGACGACCATGTCAAACAGTCATGGTCCGAAGTGGAAGACTCGAAGACGTAGGAGAAAAGACTTTTTCTGCTAATGGTCGAACATTCTGAGTGCCCATGGAGGTTGGCATAGCTACCACTTTTAGAGATAAAAGGACGTGAAGAAATTCTGCAGATGGTTCAGTGCTGAGCCATGGAAGCTGTGTACACCTGAGTCTAGATATAAATATGTCACATCGCAACTTGATTTGTCTTTGAGTGCTGTGCTGCTTAAAGAGCTACCATAAGTCAATGTGCATAGCAATTCGCGTTCGTAAGACCAGTACTTTAGTATGGTCTACGCAAATTGTAAGCTGTGTCAGGGCACCATTGAGGCCGCTTTCAGCAGTCCGAATGCTCGTTGACCGCAACGACGGTATCGTGGCAGCTTACTAACCGTAACAACCAAGAATCCGTGACAGTTGTTTATGGTGGAGTTAGTGTACACGTCGACGTCACTGGCACGGCACGCGTCTCCTTCCCAGTATCTACCAGTATGACGTCTCGCGATAGCGAACCTCTCCGGTCTCGACCACAGCTCTTCCTTCACACTTTTCAATCATCATCCAACCACACTACTCGATTATTGACAATACGCATATACAATGTCTTCACTCACAACAAACCAGACAAGAGTACGTTTGCCTCCACAGTGGTGCAGGAAGCAGCATAGCTAACCACGGTTGTCCAGCTCCTTTACATCGGTCTCGCAGCCGCTGCTGTCGGAGTCGTCGCCTACACAGTTTGGGGAACAGATGCCGCCAAATCCCTCCCATCTAGCACGTCCACGAGCAGCAAGGGTACAACTTCATCCGGCTACAAAGCTCCAAAGCCACAATCCGCTGCCTATACACCAAGCGGCGATGCCCAAACATGGTCTGTAGAGGACATGAAGAAGTTTTTGAGCTCTCGCAATATGGGAGTTGGCCACAACCCATCTAGGGAAGAGCTTCTCGCCATGGTTGAATCAAAGCTCCACGAGCCTACGAGCACAGGTTTCGATGATCCAACTGAATGGTCAGCGGAGGAGATGAGACAATGGCTCAAGGACAACAAGATGGACCCTGGCCCTCATGCCACGAGAATGGAGCTGTTGGCTATGGTGGAGAGCAAGATGCATGAGCCGAAATGAAGAGCACTAGTTATCTAAGTTAATTTCCAATTGAAACTGGGCGTCTTCTGGTACACAGGTTGGATGGAAAGTATTTGATCTTGCTCAAGGTCCCAAGTTGCTCATTCGGGTCAATTGCTACCTCGCTTTCCTCGAAATATTGACTCCGGATAGTCATTGGACGCTGTGGTAAGTATGCATGGCTAGCATCCAACCAGGCAGTTATCGCAATTACAAAATATTAAGATATTGGTTATTCTGCGATCAATCCTGAGCTCAGGATCCCTGATCTCCTTCTGATTCAACCTCGAGATACCTATTGTTACCCTGTATTCCTGCAACAAAGACATTGCTGGTATTGCTATCTCTCCTGCTTGGATGCCTCCAGTCAAGCTTCTCCTGAATGAGTGGTCTCCATAGCTTAAACATGTATCGTTCGCCGCCTATATTACTCGTTTCCACAAAATCGTAGCCAGAGCTCGTGTTCCTGAGGCGGTAGGTAGTATTCAAGGATTTCAACATGTGCGGACCAAAGAATTCGATATCTTCAAGGATGGTCTTCCAAGCGTTGCAGACTTTGATCAACCTGGTGAACTCTTCTTCTCTTGCTCTCCAGTGCAGGTTTGTGGAGCTGAGGAAGATTCGGTGGAAGACGATTTCGAGGACCTCGACAGGGGGATCTTAGATACGTCCCACACCACATTGTTCCTGCCAGGATTCGCTTGGTAAAGCTCTTGAGAGCTCTCGGGAATACTTACAGGTAGCTTAATGGAAGTGTGCTAGAAGATGAACGACTTTCGCGGGTATGGATAAGGTTGAGAGAAGAGAAGCATTGCAAATCAAGGCTCAAAGTACACAGTTTTGTTGAAGTCGGGCTTCAGAATACTTTCACTCTCAGATCAGCCCTCAAAACCTGACGTGTGATTTTCAAACCCACTCATCCAAATCCTCGTTCCTGCCTGTGAAGAGACAGTCACAACCCAAGACTCTCTAACTCCGAACTATCAGTACTTCTGACCATCGAATCATTACCGCTCTCTGCGTCGACGTGCGCAATGTCTTCTCTATTCTGATTCTCCCGAGCCCAACACCTCCCCCTCCTCATGAACAAGAAACACTGTGAACCATTCCTAGACTCCACAAGCCGATAACAGTAACCAGGACTCCAAGCAAACGGATCCTCAAACTCAACGTTTCCGATAACATTTCTCCAAGTATCGCACATATTGGCCAGCTGGGTGAATTGCCGGATCTTTTTCGTCGACGAGTGTGCTATAGATGTGTCTTCGTCGTAGATAAGGAAAAGCTGTCGAAAGATGTTCTCGAGGATCTCGTTTGGGAGGTCTTGAATCCTGGCCATGGCCTGCTGATTCCATTAGATGTATGATTTCGAGTCTGACCGTATCTATGGGTACGCACGGATTAGTCTTGTCTGTGCTTGAAAGGCAGTCAATTGTGGTTGTCAACAAACAGGATAGAGGTAAAGAAAAAGCAGTGGAAGTGAGATTTCCTCAATCCGAATACTCCATTGTGGGCAGACAAGCACGTCTGATAAGAATGCTTTCACTTTCAGCTCTTCAGCCAGGCTCGCAACTCAAAAAAAAAAAAAAAAAAAACGCAAGTCTAAGTTGACACCGATACCTTGCAAGCGCTATTTCAACTACTATTCCTCGCGCTCTCGCATCCGTCCCCATCTAGCCAATACCACATCGGGTCGCTCACCAAGTCGTCTCTTCGTCCTCCTCTGCTTCGTTTCTGAGAACATGGTACCGCTTCTTCGGCACATCATCGAAGTAGTAGTGGTCATTGTCTCTGTGGAATAGTCTGTAGCAAGAACCACGAAACGGGATATACCGAAGCTCGAATTCAATTTGCATAATGGTAGTCTTCCAGATTTCGCAGGTATTGACCAGGTCCTCAAACTGGCGGTCTTGTTCGACCCTCGGGCACATTGTCTGTGCAATCCAGAAAGGTACTTCTGGCGGCACTGGCTCCTCTTCGATCATGAGAAAGAGCTGAAGGAAGATGTTTTCGAGAAGCCCGAACGGTAGGTCTTTGATATGCGCCATGGTCGTATTCCTGGGTTTATTAGCTGGATGTTGGGTCAAGATGTCAGTATGAGGGGGGAACATACAAAAGGCTTGACCCAGCACTTAGACTTGGTCAATGTCCTGGGAACAAAGGTGCGATAATTGTCTCAATCTTTGGTGGAAGAGACAGGAGCACGACCGCAAAGGTGATTCGCGACAACGGGACGTTCATCTCCTGCGAAAAATGTTTGCACCAAGCCTTAGTGACATCCTCACTTCGTCCAAGTTTTCGCTCAGTAGTGTGATCACTTATCCTCAATACCAATTCCCTCTAGCCCACCTACCAATTTCGTTTTACCAGCCTTGGCTCCATACACCATCTCCATCAACTTACTCTTCTGCTTGTCCCTCACATCTTTGAGATAATCATACGTCCCTTCCAGACCGCGTATCTGCTGCTCGACCACACTAGCATTATCTATCGAGACTGAATCGTTCCGCCTAACAAGTGGGCTGACCAGCTTTCGTCTTAAAGTCTCAAGATTGACTTTCAGCGTCTGCAGTCGACCGTGGTGCTCCATAATCAGGTGTTTGTTGCTGACTGTCCTCGATCGCACACTCGATAATAATTGCTTGTTCTTCTCATACTTTCGGAGTGCAGCGGCATTGGCCCCAATCAATCGTGTCCAAAGTGAAGAGAGCATATCAGTTTCGAGTTGTTCTTGTGTGTCTGTTTCTCGGACCACTGTTCGTTGCAAGTTGAGAAACTGTCGATCGATAGTCTCGAAGAGTGCAAATAGTGCTGTGGAATGTGTTAGTTCACTATTGATAGCTTCTTCGAGTACGTTCAAAAACTCGTTGAAAGTTCTGGTCATCATCGATCTTGTTCTTTGTGGCGAGCTTGCACCGAAAATGTCAGTAAGCAGTTTGCCTATTGCTGTCGGTCCACCTGGTCCCTCGAGCAACCCACCACGATTTAGCAGGCCGTGCACACGATCAAAGATGACTCCAGATATTGCTGTTCCTCCGGGGCCATTCAAACCCGCCAGTTCCCTCTTCGCCCAATCCATAACTAGCAGAATACCATCGACATCTGAGTCAACGTCGGCGAAGAAACGTGTCAACTCCAGTCCTAATGTCTTGAGTGTGTCTGAAAGCTCATCCAAACTGCGCACAATCAATGGTGCTGATGTCATATTCGCAGCTCGTACTGACTCGCCAAGATCCCAGACTGCCACGCTTGTCTCTTGTAGCGCAATGATCTGGCCATATCCGTTCTCTGAATAGAAGATTAGTGGTTCGAATGACTTGGCCATGGTTGATAATTTGACTAAATCAGGTACCGGTGGTGGGACAGGAGGTACAAGAATGACCCTGATCATCGATAATGAGAGTAGTCCGATAAGAATAGAGAATATTGTCGAGGATTTTGTCTTTGTCGCCGAATCGATCTTGCTCTTGATGAAATTCATGAAAGGCACGAATGGCTCTCTATGTTGTACTTCGGCGCGCATAGCGAATCTGATGTAGTTATTCTCGTTATCCTTCTGTGGCTTCTTGTCGAATGCTCTCAGCATATCTTCTGGTGGTTCTTCTGGTTCTGGCGAACGTCCTTTGAGAGGTGAATCTGTGCCAGGTGGAAGAGGTATGTTCGCGGCTATTGTTACATCATTATCTTGCTCACATGCATCCTGGTATTCTGGACTTGTGTGCCTCGATCGAGAGGGACTCGTGGACGGTCTTAGGTGAGGCATTCTCGAATATGGGTCTTGTCTGAACCATGAACTTGCATTCGACAACCTAGCTTGTGCTCTGAAGCCTGGAGGACTCCATGGCGCATGGCTGGCCGAGCCTGCTTCTGAATCGTCTTGCTCCGACCTGAAGCCCGAGTGCTGCAAACCGTCAGACAAGTGTCAGCCTCTTGATCTCTCCTCTGCACTCCCGAGCTGTTCTTCCTTGAATGTTGAGATTGTCGGAGTAGCTTACCTGTGAAGGAATGCCAAACATAGGCGAACGTTTCTCTTGTGCCTCAAAGTCCTCTAGAGATGCAGCCAAGGAAGCATCGTCAGGAAAAGGCTCATCGTGGTGAGGCATCATTGCAGCCATTATGCATAAGATCCTGCTCAACTGCTGGTTTCAAGATGCGATTAGAGGCAAGAACATGAACAGAAATAGGAAAGTGGGGAGGCTGGTCTTGTAGACGTGGCCAACGTGCAGAAGAGGACTTGATCGGGCCTCGAGACGGCCACCTGTATCACGGACAACAGTTTTCGTGTATATGAGGCTCTACGACGAATGCACTGTCATTCGTAGTTCTGATTGAAGAACATCGAGGACACGTCTGGCTCAAGGAGTATGCAAAGGATGTCCCTCATTTGACGCGTACATCCATCCGTCTGTGCAGGAACAGGCTTCTCCAGCCCCTTCCGGTAGTGATGTCTCTCATCAGTAAGTTAGACCCACAGACGTGGTGAGTTGTGAGGACGAGTGGAAAAGATGAGGGCTGGGACAGCGAAGATGCCTGGATTTCTGCGCTAGGGCTTTAGCGTGTTCTTCCAAAGCCAACCATATATCAATTAAGTGCCAAGACTACCATGTCTGCTGCAAGGATCATCTGCTGGTATCTGCTGCAAGAACAGACGCGATTGTATGAGCAGAGACTGATGGGCGTGCAATGAGTTATAGCATGCATGACCAGACTGTACTAGAGATTACTGCAAAGCTGAAACAGATAAAACTGATCGGAGAAGAGGATGAGAATTATGATTGCGCTGACTTTCTTTTCTTCCGCCACCTATATCTGCGCCATCTTGCTGAACTTTATTTACACCCAACCCATGAACCAAAGGGTTCGCTCGCAAGAAATGCTCCAGAAAAGCATTCAAGTCATCAAATCCGTAGCATAGACGTCGAGGCAGTAGAGGAGTAGGAGTACAGGTGAGCAGATGAATGAGCAGATAGTGCTCTCCACGCTGCTTGAGATTTCTAGGATAGAAAGCGAACTCGTAAACAAGATCAGGTGGCTATCTATTTTGAGGTCTCCTCTCGTAGCCAACTGTGAATGTTAGTGACTGCGACAAGAAGTGAGGTGCTTTGACATACGTGATCAAGTCGTTCCTGTCCTTGCCTTTCTTTAGACCACCGAAAGCCATCTTGGTTCCGGGAATGTATTTCTTTGGATTCTCGAGGTATTCGAACTGATAAGGCTGTTAGACATATGTGGTCTCACGAAGTATCTCGAAACTTACGAGAGTGTCCTCCTTCCACTCAATGCCCTTCTGCTTGTTGGCATCTGTGTAGGAGAAGCCTTCTACCTGGCCAGTCTTTCGACCGAAAAGACCGTGTAGGTTAGGACCGATCTTGTTGCCTTCTGACTCGACAACTGAGTGGCACTGTGCGCATCTTGTCTTGAAGAGGTTGGCACCCTTCTTAGCATCACCTGGGAAATAGTCAGTTATTGTTCACCAATTGCTGCATCACAATAAATGTCAATTTGAGCTTCCATCTTTTCCACCACGTAGTCGCATCCTCTGAGTAGGTGTTACGTGGCTACTGAGCTTTCTCGGTGACCGCACTTGCGAGATATTGGTACAACCAATATCAAGTAAGGCGAGTCAGAGCACTCGCCAGGGAATGTGTTGCAGTCCAGCTCTTTGGTGTTCGTTCTAGCAAACAACCCCCACCACTATCCATACGTAGATCTGCGATTCTGATAGATAGGTGACAAGATGTGCCATTCGCGCCAATCCCGGCAGAAGCAATGAAGCAAACAAAGCGTCTTGGGCTGCGCTGCCATCTGCAATAACTTTCTGAAGGCATTTCGTAGGGGATGCGTTATGCGCGTGGTCGAGATGGGAGCTCAAGCTGAATGATATCAGAGATACATGGGTTGTACTTACCATCTGAAAAGGAGTCGTTCTTGCCCATTTTGAGTGTAGAGAATGTCAAAGATCAAGTGAATGACTCTGCGACGCTGAGGATGTAGCTACGAGGTTCGTGTGGTATGATGAATTAAGATGTTGGATGAATTGAATCAACAGATCGAGGCAAAGAAAGAAAAGTTGCTACAGGCACTCTATGACATCGGCAAACTTGACGCTGCAATCGTCGAGCTCCATCGAGCTTCTTCTTCCGGGTCCCTTCGACAACCAATCGTGTCGCTTCTTTTGTCAACGATACGATCTGTTACAGCCCGTTACCAACATGTTACGCAGTTCACACCAACACCATAACCTGGACAGATCGTGATCTCAAGTCGCTAGTTCACTGCGCATTCCGTCACAATGTCTGTGATTGCAACACACGATTGTGGTACATACTACCTCTAATCTACTGCAGACCTAAGGCACTATAACCGGCGATATTGTTGTTGTTGGTATCAAGCAATTCAGGGATTTCTATGTTTGTAATTTTGAATACAATCAGCCACACAAACGCCACATCATGTTGTGGCAAGGTTGCCTTTCGGAATGTTTCGGAGATTCCATCAATTTCAATATGCCTCACGTCCGCTCTTCCTTTATGACTTTCTGATTTGAAAACTGTTTCCTCCTTCTCGCCGTCGAACTCGTGTATTGAATTCTCCTTTATTTTCTATTGTGGCAAGGGCGACCGACGACTTACACACCTGGAAGCTCGAATATATTTCGTCACCATGCACGACCGTTTCGTTATGACGTAACTTAATCGGCTTGACTCACGTGGTTTACTGCAAGACGATCGAGCTTTGGTCTTGCTGTGTCAAGATCGTGGTGTTGGGCGGAGGTGTGGGCGGAAGTGTGGAATGGTACAACATTGATTTTGAGAACCTGGCGAGCCTTGTCCTCCTAGATGCGCGCAGTATGTGTGCCACTATTTCGACGTAAAACCACCGAGGAAAGCGATCTCACAGCTTTACTCCCTATTGTGAAAGAAACACTCTGAGAACTTTACACTTGTTTCAATTTGGTCCTCCCAAGTCCCACTGGCTCCGAACGTGCCTTCTTTGATCAATTGATTCACAGAAGGGTATAGGAGAAACAAGCAGTACCGTCACTCACTAGCGAGACTTGCCGGGCTGCTACATGGGCTGGAACGATGCTGTTTGTGACCTTGATTACTGACCTACTCTACGGCTTCAGGTTTTCAATGCACGCTCACAAAAGACTGAGTCTCGGTACGAGGACAAGCTAAAGAGCCAACGACATAGCAGCCCAAAAGTTCGCTGGCGGAAGCAGACAATCCTGCATGGTGAAAATTAGCGGGTATTACTGACTTCGCTTACACTCAAAATCAGCCAGGTCTGAGAATGGAAAGGAACTGCTATGTAAGATCGTTTCACAGGACTGATATCCAGAGTGAAAAGCCAGTGAACAAATACCGACGTGAAGAGCTTAGTGTCAAGTCATTCTCGTTTAAATTTGAAGTTGACTTCAAATCTGTCTTACGGGTACATTGATCACGGCAGATATATATCCAGATCACTGACTATCTCCATTGACGTCGTGGCAAGCATTGATTACGCACTTACTGTGACAGAGCCAGCTACTACGTTGTCAACCGACTCCGGCTGATCGACCCCATCGTCCTCGATCACCAAGATCGGCTCTACCTTATGAAAGGCCTGTCTGCCAGCGAGGTTCATTTCCAGTCTTGATCATATACTACTGTGAGCCTTTACACTCTGTACATAGACCCTTCCAGCTATGATACCTGCGACCGCTGATATCTCTAGGGATTCGGCGATGGCACGATTCTCCGACCTTCCACCTGAGGTTACCTCGAGCATCTTTTACCGCTTCAGAGACATTGTCGTCGAAGACAATATGGGCAAGAACTCCAATCTGGCACTTTCCGAAAGACGAAAAATCAATGCGGTCAGGGTCCAGTTGAACGTATTGTTGCAGGTCGGACAGACTTGGCGCGATGTTCTTCATAACATGAATTTCGAGGCTCGTTGCGTGTCGATGGCTCGACTCAATAGCTCCCTTCAGATCTGGTTCATGAACGGTCCGAAGAGGTCTCGCAAAATTTCGACGGTCGTGTGGATCGTCAGATATGACAAAAAGATTAAGAAGATGCAGATGACAAGACTCCCCGTAAGGGTCTGAGAAGGCATACAACTACACTTTAGAAACAGCACTTGGTGTGTCTGCCGATACAAACTAATCTATCTGTGGGAAGGATACGAGTAGGACGGTGTAAAGTGGCAAGCATATGCGCCGAATATGCGCATAGCTATCATTGGCAATGTGATGCATTTCGGCCTGCTCGCTGGTATAACATTACAAGACAAGCTCTGGCCACCTACCCTCATCGAGATTGTCCAGTTGTACCTCCCGAATCCTCCATACGACAGATTGATCTTTTGACTATTATCTTCTTTGGTATATAGCCTTCATTGCATCGTGTCATAGAATCCGTCGATCATCTCATGTCTCTTGACCGCATGTTCCCAGTCAGCATAATCCTTGCCGACCTCGCCTTTCGCAAAAGCCTCATATAGTCTTCCAATGTTCTGTCCCTGTTCAGGCAAGCTCGTCCACCTATCTCCAGGACCCTCGTCAATCTCATCCGTGACATCACTGACCTCTCCACCCTTCTCGAAGTCACATATCTTGATGCTCTCGGCACGTCCGATCTGTGGTCCAGCAGATTTGAACACCATCTGCAACTCAGCTTTCGTTCCGTAAATCTTCCACGTGCTTCCAGGCTGATCAGTAAACTTGTTGCCAGCTCTAAGATGAAAATTGAACATCGCAGGCGGCGACCGAGCCAGCCGTCCCATAAGCATCATCTGATCCGGCGTATTCTTTCCATACTCCTCCTCAGAATAAGTCCCGTCATCCCTCTTGACCTTCATCTTCTTCCGAAAATTGCCACTCAGCGTCGTCCAGCTCTCCAACTCCCCCATCGCACTCGTAATACTATCAATGATATGCCCACCATATATCGTCAATAGATTCCCACCGACTTTCCGATCAACAAAGTACGAATACCGCTCACTCGCCGCATTATCCTGCCACACGTTCGTCGTGCCCTGAAAACTCACGCTGTGAACCTCACCTAACCTCCCACTGTCAATGATCTTTTTCACCGTCACTACACTAGGCGCTACTCGCCCCTGCAACCCCACAATAGTCCTACATCCGTTCTGCTTCGCCAAATCCGCCATCTGCCTTGCCTCATCCTTATTCGCTCCTAGCGGCCACTCAACATACACAGCCTTTCCGGCTAGTAACGCCGGCTTCGCAATCTCAAAATGTGAATCTGCACGTGTTGATACTACGTACAGCTCAACGTTGGGGTCTTGAGCCATGGACTCATATGAGGCATGGGGCTTGGCATCCTTGAGACCGAAGTGGTCGATTGCGGCTTGAGATGTTTGCAGGCTGGAATTGCAGACTGCAACGATTTGGTAGTGTTGGCTGGATTTGAGGTATGGGTAGTGTGCTAGTGTCGCCCAGGCGGAGGGTTTGGTGGAGAGGCCTAGGATGCCGACTTTGATGGGTGCCATGGGTGAGGGTTGTGAGGGTGTGAGGTTGAGGATAGCTGTATTTTGAGATCACTGAGATGAGTTTTGTGTCTGAATGCTTGACAGCCTATATTTCCGAATTGTTGATTTTGGAAAGTCGCAACCACGTAGGATTCACGATCGTTTGTTCGACGATGGAAGTTGTGCGGAATTGAGGCCGTCAAGTTTATTATGGTGGAAGCGTCCAGATTTTTGTAGACTTCTGCAGGCTTTCTAATAAACCCGATTTCGACTTCCGTGTCAACACTCTTATTTCTAGTCTTGCAAATCGCAACCTTCAAGCTCATTCTACTTGGCTTACACGAGAAACATGGGATTTGTAAAACATGATACTTTGTGATACCTAATCCGGCGGACGAGAAGCTGACAGGGTCAGTCGGAATTAGTTGGAGACCAACGGTCATTCTTCCTTGACTGTGGAAGCACGTGCATTGGCAGCGGAAATCTCGAACACATTAATATGCTTGAGGACTACACTGACGAAGAGTCGAATCTGGGAAGCTCATACACACACGGAGTAGACCAGGGTACTCGTGCCAGAGCATTGCGAAACTCGTGCGGTCAAAGCTGTCTTACAAGTTCCTCGCACGCAGTCGGCTCTGGACATCGAGGTAGTAGAGTATTATTCCAGTAGATAGATACATTTTCTTGGCTGTGAAGACATCTTTGAGACACCAACCAGTCGCAGAAATACCAGGCGCTTGCTTGAGGAGTTGTCTATCAAGCTACCGTACAGCCGTACTGTGACAAACTCGACCTAGAGCAGGTATAACCAGGCCAAATAGCTTCCCAAGGCCCCTTGGCAGTCTCGTAGTTATACCACAGTGGTCGCGCGTTCCACTGGAACAAATCCTCCATGGCAGAAGCGACCTCAACCAGCTTTGCCTCACCGTACTGTCTGCCATAGACACAAAGTCCAAATGGCACCGAATAACCATCCATGCCGATCGGTACCTGCGCAATCGGGTAGCCTGCATACGCGGGCACAGATGCACAGGCATTTCCTTGGTTGCCATTTCGCCCATTCGGGACAAGGAGACCATCGAGCTCGACGACAGTTCCATTCTCTAGCACATAGGAATGTGCATTGTCAATAGCCTGGCGAGCTGTAAACCTACCCCATCCAAATGCTGCCCAGAAACTGGGGCCCAGAGTGCCGTTCGTGGCCACAGCGTTATCGTAGAAGCTTTGCCCAGTGACGTTGTTCCACCACCATGTGCCGTTGCCTAACGCTCCTGTGGTTGCATTGTTTGCATCGTTCCATGCTGCCATCTCCTCGATCGTACTCATACCATAGCGTTCGTCGCTTCCAGGGAAGGTCCAGTTGCGGAGCCATTCGGCATAACCGACTGACATCAAAGTGCTGAAGGCAATAAGATGGTTGCGCTCGGGTAGTGTGTCGTTTGGCATGCCTGTGCCGTACGGGTTGGTGACCAGGGCGAAGGGGTTGGTCTCCTAGAAACCATTAGTATACTACTGATATCAAAATTCTGGTTATCAGCTCTTACCGTGATATTGTATATCTCAGCGCCTGCTGCTTCTAGCTCGGCAATTCTGGCGTTAAACTGTTCCCTATTTCCAGGAGAGTTCACGTGCTGTGGGAATATGGTTAGTCAGCCACCTTTGGAAGACAACGACGGCGACTCACCCCATTGGCAGCCCAGTATGCTTTCCAAGGTAACCCTAACTTCACGCCCTTGAGGCTGCCTTTCTGGCTCACTGCAGAAGTGTAACCATCTGCAGGGTAACGTCCTGTTGCTTCGAAGGTCAAGTTGTCGTATTTATCAATACCTTTCATGATGTCAAGCATTATAGCCACATCCTTCATGCTTCGTGTCAGTGGCCCAGGTGTGTCGTGATAGTAACTGCCAGTGACGACGCCGTGGCGCGACATTAGTCCTGGAGTTGACTTAATTGTGTACAAGCCTAGCTGACACGATGGATGCACAAGAGATCTGGTAAAGTCGATCAGCACAAAGAGTAAAGCAAGTTTCCACATCATGGTGCACATACCCATGAGTTTCAGTTCCTAGTGCTACGGCGACCTGGTTACTGCGCACAGCGATCACAGAACCGCTGCTGCTACCAGCCGTGGACTGGGTAAGATTGAATGGATTCCTACCCTGTCCTGTCCTGCTTGAGTATCCACTGGCATATTGAGACAATGCACGATGATCAGCTGCCTCAGACATGGTGCTGTGCCCAAGCAGAACGCCACCAGCGGCGCGCATCTTGGTCACAACCGTAGCCTCAGATGCATATCGGCCACCCAGAAGCACGAGTGTGCCTTCACTAGTGTTGTGCTTGTCGTCAGTGTATATGTTGTCCTTGACCACAAACGGGATGCCGTGCATAGGACCTCTGGCGCCAGTTGTTGCTCTTTCCGTGTCCATCGCAGCAGCAATATCTAGAGCATCTGGGTTCACTTCACTGATGGAAGCAAGGTACCTAGTAGCGTATGATCAGCTTTAGGTGCAATACAACATGGTGAGAGTAACACCGTCTTACCTGTTGGTTTGTTCTATTCGTGCAAGATAGCATCTCACCAGTGCTTGGCTCGTAAGCTTGCCCTGGGACATCCATGCCTGTAACGAGTCTATCGTTGCATCTGTGATGTCGACGCCGTTACACAATGGCACTGTACTATTAGCTTCACGTGCCTGGCCTAATGAGGAAGACAATGAGGTGAGCCTTACATGGGAAGGGGTCATCTTGCGCTTGGACCAAAGCGAAGAGTGCATATGATGCTGCAGCAGTCCAGAACCGCATGATTGGTTTGATCTGACAAAGTACACGAATGCGAAAGCAAAGGGCACAATATCATCGAGGGCAAAGATGACCTGGATGATATATGGAATCGACACTTCTCCAGACGCGGAGCCGGCTCCTGGTCCCGAAGTATAGCGACAGTGAACAGCTTGTCCGCCATGATTGCGTGCATGAGCTGACAAAAATGATCAAATCTTGGGAAGTTCTCTCGGCGATGAATCTTCTTCCAGGCCTTGGCCACTTATCTGCGGAGCATGTATAGCTTTATCCTGTGTCTTGGAGCCGGCACGTTGGATTCTATGTTCAGGTTTCCGCGATAAGGAGACGACTATCTCCGTGTGGAAAACCGCGCAACATCTGCACTTGAAGCGCTTTGGAGTCATGACAAGACCTAGTCTGAAAAACGTTGCTCCCGAAAATGTGGTTGGGAGTTGTGGTGGAGATAGAGTACCAAGCGCCCGGGACCGATGACAATTGATACAGCGGACATCGCTCGTGTAATGCTTTCCCACGTCGTCTATGCCTCTATTCGCGAGGAGAAGCACAGTAGCTTCAGCAGTATGGCTGTGCTTGTGCGAAGACACGACATGGGACCTTGCTTATGAGGAGATACTGGTATGGATGCTAATGAAGAGATCAAAGTCTGCTTTATCTTGATAGTGTGGCCAGAACTGACGTGATACATAGCACTGGCATGCCAAGGTGGGAGCTACAAGTCCCACGAAAATTCGTGCCAAGCGAACATCCACATGTACCTAAAGCTTACATGCCACGTGGGCAACGATCGGATTTACTGAAGAGGAGCGAGATAAGGTAACGTTACATGTAAAAATGAGGCAATGCGTGATATGCTGGACTCTCATTCACGATTAACGTGATAGTAACAGTAAACTAGTTTCGCTCGAGCAACAAGGAGAGCACGTCCTCTCATTAGATAAGATCTCATTGGCAACTGGAGCACTTGTTCGCTAGTTCGGGGTGCTGTTATGCATGCTTCATGCTGACAAACTGGCACTACGGGCCTCAAGTTCGAAGTTGTTCACGTGCATGGCCTCAACGCAACATATATCCTGGTGTGCATGGATGTGCGCCCACAGAATAGACGTGCAATATGAATCTACAATCGACGCTGCCCGCCGTAAGCAATCCCTTAGATGGCGAACGACTTCCCATATACAGATCGGTCGGATTAATCATCATATGACCATTCCCGAAGATAGCGTTGGTCCCGTCGTGCGTGGTTAGAGCAATCGAAGCAGTGACGGAGCCGTTGGTCTTGGCAGTAGAATTGGTCAATGACAATAAAAGGTAAAGCCCGCAGTAAAAAAGACACCTCTGAACGGCGAAGAATTCATTGAAGCCAGTGCGGACAGTACTCAAAATTCAAGCTCAACATATACCCCAAGTGGCATGTTGTGCGCCCCCGAATTGTTCTGCAATCATATCTCAAGTCAACTTTGGTGGCGATTTCTTGGTCGGGGCCTTGGCCGTGTTAGATACAGGAAACATCGGTTGAGAACTTGTGCTTTTTGCTTTTTTGGTAGCAGAAGTAGTGGAAGTGGTGGTAGGAAACATTGGTTTCTTCGTTAACTTGGTTGCAGGAGTTGTGGACGCGCTACTATTAGTAGGAAACATGGGTTTCGTAGCCGTCGCTATAGATTTGGGTGCTTTTGATGGAGAGGCCACTTCCAACTTCGGTGTTCCAGTTTTTGCAGTAGTCGAGCTCGAGCCGCCAATGGCGCCCTTTTTCTTTACTGGAGTCCTCTTGGTTTGTGGTTGAGTTTTGGTGACTTCCAATTTATTGGGAGCAGGCTTGCTGGCCAGCCTAAGTGCCTTCGAAGACGGAGCTGCACTCCCGACAGCTGTGGATCCGGAGTTCATGGAATCGATTGCAGTAGCAGAAGTCGAAGAAGAAAGTGTTGGCAAGGTGAAGACTGAACCTGCTCGTCGAGTTGACTCCTCCTCTAGCTTAGTCCAAAATGTCGCCTTCTTTTTGAGATTCTCTTGCGTCAACTTCGTAGTCGGTCTTCTAGCCGATTGTCTGGCTGCAAGTTCTGTGTAGAAGCTTCCGACAGATTTCTTACCCGATACTGATCCCTTTGTCTTTGTCTCCGCATCCTCCAGATCAGCCCAGAAAGTGCCTTGATGCTTGTTTGTCATGCGTTTCCTTCTGTCCTCCTCCTCCTTCAGTGTCTTGAGGAAATTTTGCTTGTTCGTATCTGGTGCTAACGATTCCACGAGGAGTTTTTGAGGGTCCTGCAGCCACTTCTGAACGAGGTCTACTCGGTTGAGCATTCGTTGCGCTTCAGAGCTTTGTATCCATTTTGCCATTGACATTCCTGCATTTCCAAATGTCTGAGCTTGCTTGTCCTTGTCGAAGATCATGTCGAGGCTGAATGATTCAGGCATGGACGGCATCGAAACTGCGTTCTTGATTGTCTTGAGGTCTTCTGTACTTTCTTGCACGGCTCTCCCTGTTTCGGACTTGAAGAATTTCTGCGGAAGTGCCCCATAGAACACGTAGAGGACCATCGCGAGTATACCCATTGGTGCAAAGATTTGTAGAAACTCATACCAGTGGTTTGACCTAATTTCGACATTTAAATGACCAGCGCCTCTCTTGGTTTGTCCTTGAGCTGTCTTGGTCACACCTGTATCGGCAGGGAAATGACCATGTATGAGATAATTCTCGATTAGTAAGTCCTTCTCTCGCCATCTAGCAAGTAACCACAATTCAAATGCTTTTTCGTTGTTGTACGGAATATCTTTGATAGCAAAACGTCTCCAGTACATACTAACACTTTTAGGTGGACGACCCTCTAGATAACCAGACTTGAGTGTGAATATGTCTTGAGCATAAGCCCCACGAGGCACACCTTCATAAGCAATAGTACAATCGTAAACATATTCGACCGAGTCTTTTAGCTCTTGAATACAAAATCTGAGTCCTGTACTCCGTGGTAGCAAACAATGCCTCATGTCCTTCATGTTGTTCTTGGCTGCCCATTTGGCACTCTTTTCTCGAGTACTTCGTGCCAGGTTGGTGCCTTCGGGAAACAATAGCAGCCACATAGGTTCAGCAAGCTTATTTAATCTTCCCAGAGCCTGTGCCATGTGGCTGCGATCCTGCTCCCAGTTGCGCTTCAGGAAAATGAATTGGTTGAACTGCATGCCCCATCCCAAGATCGGAATTCGTTTCAGCGACTCCTTCAGTATGATGTACAACCTGCCATGCATGCCACTGCAATATGCCGTCCACCAAAGGTAGAGCCAATCCGTGTAGATTTGATGATTGGCAATAAGCACGAGCCGTTCAGGGAAGTCCAATAAAAGAGTGCCATCTGTCTGGCGTAGAAGCTGACCTCGTACGGATTTGTCCCCTGACACAATGACCTTTGTTGGAGAAAAGGCTTGGGTCAATGTCATCGTCAACAAGCCGAATGACTGCTTAGTAAATGCTATCCAGGCATTATACCAGTCTTGGTTGATCAGATACAGAGGCGTACCGAGAAACTGGGACAGGTTGATACATAACGCTCCTGACAGGAAGTAGCTTGATAGTGCGAGTGTCCTAGAGGCTAGGGATTGCTGTGATTTCTGTACTTGTGCATCGTCAGGTCTCGTTGCCGACGAGGCAAGCGACAGACCAGCGCCAGCATATCGGTCGCCGGGTGATGTGGTAGTCGACATGATACGATGCTGTGTCTGTACTTGTCAGTCAACCATCATGCTACACAGACGATGGGCCCAGTAAATGTTGTTCTGTTGATAGCCGTCGGATTTTGTGTTGCGTGGAGAAGTCGTCATCGACGGGAAGTTCATAGCTCGCAGACGTTAGTACAGGATCTCGATGTGTGGCACAACGACCAAGTTGATGATTGGCATAACCGCGGTGCAAGTGTGGCGGTCGATTAGCGCCAAGTGGCAGGTGCGGAGCTTCCTGCCGAGTAACACAACCATGTACAATCACACAAATAATGTGAATCTGAAAGGTTGCAGGAACCGAACATGCCTGCAAAGTGAGAGCCGAGACTGGCGGGAACCCGAATGTGGTAACACAAGCAAAGATCACGCGCGTCTTATGGCAAGAAAAACATGGCACAACCCTGGTTTCTCCACCTCCACAACAGGTGTGGCGGTGTCGCTGTTGAACAACCAGCGAAAATGACGTCCCAAGTTTCAGGATTCCTTGCCAATTTTCGAAGCAGAAAGATAACATTCCAAGGGGTTTGATGCGGCTATGCGTAGAATAAGTGACGATTTCGAGTCTCCACAGGCCCTGATCTCGTCAGTAGTTGGACTGTACATATACATGCACCACCACACTTGGCTGTCAGATTGTTAGCAGCTCAAACTTCCTTCAGCGTACTGACCTAGAATTTCCCAAATGCCTAACATCTCGTTTGACATATTCTTCGACCAGGATTTCATCAACGTTTCTGCGTCTCGAGGAAAGCACGCACCTAAAGCGAAGCCTGAGTGGAAGGTTCGAACAGCTCCAAAGCTACCACCGAAAGAGCAGCCAGCAGACCCTGCAGGCACCCCAAGGCCAACACCTCGCCCTCCCATCAACTCGACTCGACCACCTGCCAGGTTAGCTGGTAAGCAGGCCGAGCAGAAACTTCTTGAGGACAAGGCCGGAACATCCGATACCGCTAGCCAAGCAGGCGAGAAGGCGAAGAGGAAGCCTCCTAAGCTAGGACCCAAGAAGACTGACCAACCCAACGGAACAGGTATCCCAGCTCCTGACGGAGTGAAAGCTTCAGCATAAATATGGCTACCTCGTGGATACTTGGCAAGGTCTCGGATGCGTTGCAACCAACCATTCAGAGTACAGTGTCAACTGCAGGAAGTTTTGCAGGAGGCACTCTTAACACCGTCGGTAATGGTATCAATGGCGTTGGGTCGACGATCAACGGGACGATCAAGAGATATGGTGATGGTGTTCGTGATTATGGGAATGGTGTGATGGATTGGGCGAATGCTCCTGCAGCTCGAGGTCAGACAGCAAGCAATCCCCTTGGTTTGAGTGGTAGTAAGGCAGCAGGCAAGACATCTGTCACTAGCCCAAGCATCTACTCGGCTCCGGCAATGGCAAAGCAGTCAGCTTCAAAGACATTGACCACAACTGCCAAGTCGACGCAACCACAGAAGAAGATTGGAGGTGTACCAGCAAAGAAACAGGTTGCGGGAGCTGTATCCAAACCTGTCGGGGCTGTACCATCGGCAGCTAAGAAAGCGGTCAGTACTGTGCCAAGAGCAGTTACCAACAAGGTTCCGCAAAGTCCTCGACCAGGAGCATTCAAGTCCACTCAGACCGCAAACAAGCCTGCCCTGCCTTCCAATCCAGCGACTATGCAGAAGCCTGTGGGCGGACCAGTGAGGGCGAGCACAGCGAGTGTGACCAAGGCCAAGCCGCCTGCTGCCAAAAAGCCCAACTATACTGGTGCCGCCAACCCTCTTGGTCTGACATTTTGATCTGGTTATTGTAGTGGTCCGGTCGCGCACGGTGTGGTCGGAAATAGCTGTACGATTAGATAGTCTGAATAGCATCCAAATATATTCAATTGCAATCTACTCATCGTATGTGGCATTTCACACGTGGCGAAGCGAGTGAATCGAGCATTGGCGGGAGTCATACCTGTGTTGTACCGAAATCCCGAGGACAGGTTTCCTCGTCTTCACTGGCGATTTGAGTAGGTGTCTCGAGATGAAAGTACAATCATTGTGAATACGACGTGCGACGCCTCTGGAGGAGCTTGGAGCTGCCTGGCTTTGTGCCCGGAGAAAAGCAATTCCAGGCATCAGTCGCGTCATGATTGTGAGCTCCGGCAGCTCTACGATTACTCACAAACTTTCGCGCTCCAACGTGGTAATCGCAAGCAGCTTACTGAAGACTGCAACGATTTGTGTCGTGTTTCGTATTGACCAAGGGTGTATCATAGTGTGCTCGTTGACGTGTTCGCCCATTTCGTCTTTTCCAAGTCCCGAGGCCAAAGCTATTGACTATTACAGCAGAAATATCTCTCCTCGAGCATGGCAGATATTGCACCCTACCACATTAAAATACCTGACTCAGCCCTTAACGACCTGAAAGCACGACTTGCTCTGGCCAAATTCCCGGATGAACTCGATCAAGCAGGCTGGGATCTAGGTTCGCCCCTAGGCGACGTCAAGAGACTGGTAGCATACTGGAAGGACAAGTACGACTGGAGAAAAACAGAAGCTGAGCTGAACAAATATCCACAATACACCACCTTGATTCAGGTAAACAAGTTTGATCCTCTGAACATTCATTTCGTATACAAGAAGTCCGAAGTTGAAAACGCGATTCCATTACTGTTCATCCATGGCTGGCCTGGCACCTACCACGAGGGTTTAAAGATGTTCGACAGACTGATACAGGGCGATGGCATCGAGGATCCAGCTTTCGACGTCGTTCTCATCTCTCTGCCTAACTTCGGCTGGAGTGACGGAGTCAAGACAAGAGGCTTTGCTCTCGAACAGTATGCTGAATGTTGTAACAGACTAATGCTTAAGTTGGGATACGGGGAATATGTAACGCAAGGGGGCGATTGGGGTTTTTACATCGCCCGGTCTATGGCGCTTCTATTTCCTCAACATGTCAAGGCCACACACCTGAACTTCGACTTCGGTACCGCTCCGACTTGGTCCCAGTATCCTCTACTCAGCCTGCGACATGCTCTCATTCCATACACAGAACGAGAGAAGAGGGGCCTTGAACGCATGAAATGGTTCACTGAAGAGGGTTCGGGTTACAGACTAGAGCAGGGTACAAAACCGCAAACGCTAGGTTATGGTCTTTCTGATCCCGTTGCTATGCTAGCCTGGATCTACGAAAAGCTTCATGATTGGACGGACGATTATCCATTCACGGATGATGAAATTTGCGATTGGATGAGCCTTTATTGGTTTAGCACGGCTGGTCCTGCTGCCAGTGTCAGGATCTACTACGAAGCCACACACTTGTGGACAACTGCAGACCCGTCAGTAGAAAAGGTCACAAGAGAAAGGGTGGGCGAATGGATACCCCATGTCAAAATCGGGTACAGTCACCAGCCAGCAGAGCTCCGACCTGTACCAAAGACATGGGTGAAAAAGCTTGGGAATGTTGTTTTCGAAAGAGACTCAGATCGGGGTGGCCACTTCTTTGCCTTTGAAAGACCTGACCAGCTTGTGACCGATCTGAAAGACATGTTCAGGAAAGGGGGCGGTGCCTATGGTGTCGTGAGAGGGCGGAAGGGATATCAGGAGCGTCCAAAGCTATAGTCCTGTTTCCTAGCGAAGCTGGTGCATAGCGATAGCCGAGCTCAATGATACCAGATATAACCGGTAGTGAATGACCGGCTCCACGAATTGCTCTCGCCATGCGTGCAACGCGTGCTGAAGTCGTATACACAGAACTTTGATTCCACCTGCTTGATTGGTGCAGTGTTGTCTAGTGCCTGTACGAGAACAAGACTTCTTTGCCAATGTTGATTAAAGGTATCGGCAGATCACAGATGGACCTTAGGGCATTTGAGTAAGTACTAGATGGATGAGGCATGAGCTTCAGGCATCAACATTTTTCATACCTAAGTGGTCATTCAACTTTCGGACGTCGAGCTGTGATCGAAGCTGACCATGCAGCTGCGACGCTTGACGTGCTGCGCTTTTCGTGCTGAGATTAGCGAGATCACTGCGTTGATATGTATCTGAGCACTGATCCCTGCCTCCGGAATGGGTTTGATTGGCTGAGTCGTGGGTTGACCATGAATCGTGGTGCTACAGCATGATCTTGGAGACCGAATCTGCACGACAATCTAAAGCAACTGCTGTCATAGATTAGAGTTGGCCGTCTTAAATGGTTGAGTAATCCTGAACAGGTTGTCGACATGGACAGCTGCTTGGGAGAGACAAGTCTATGTAAGTGACTGAGTCCTCCAACATAATTCATCAGAAATGCAGCAGAACACGTGAGCTATGTCATCTACGACTCGTTCCAACAAGAGGCGCAAGACCGAAGAGCGACGTCCTCGTCTACGTTTACTTCCGCAAGTGGTAGATGAACTTGCTGCAAACCACCCCGATCAGACCTGGATCTCTATTCCCAAGACCAACGATCCTACATCCGGTTTCAACGACATCACGTATCAGCAGCTGAAGAACGCAGTAAACACTGCTACTACCTGGCTGAAAGGTTCTCTGCCAGCTGATCCCGACATCACCTTACCTTACCTGGGCCCTACCGATACTCGATACATCATTCTTACTGTTGCTGCTATCAAGCTTGGCCATAATCTCTTCTTGATCTCGCCACGAAACGATGATCAGACACAACTGCAGCTTCTAGAGGCCGCTGATTGTAAACGCATACTGTGTGCTTCGGCCGATGCAGACTATGCAGGTTCTCTGATCTCTCAAAGTGACCTCGCGTTGCAGCCTCACTCTCTGCTTGTTGTGCCTGACGAAGCAATACTGCTTCGTGCTCCACCCTCCGAAATCTCTTACCGACACTCATTCGAAGATCTACGTCATCATACCGCTCTCACCATACACACCTCAGGGAGCTCTGGACCTATACCCAAAATCGTCAGGCTGACTCACGGGTATCTTGCTCATGAAGACACCCTCGCTTACTTTCCACCACCCATACCATTGACATACGCCTTGTTCCAAAAGGTGCGATGCTTTCATGGTGTCCCACTGTATCATGCAGGCGGTGTGCTGTTCGGTCTCCTCAAAGGTCTATTTCAGCGGACAGTGTGGGTCCTGCCGCCTGCCGGAGCGCAGCTGACCCCTGAATTGATTGACGCTTGTCTACGACATGGTCAGTGCGACGCGTTGCAAACAGTGCCTACACTGCTCGAATCTATGGTGGCGGAATCTTGTTACCATGAGACGTTATCAGATCTCAAATGGCTGTGGTTCGGTGGCGGACCTCTCTCCGAGTCTGCTGGCGACAAGCTATTGACTATCAATATAAGTGCTGTGCATGGTTTCGGGTCGACTGAGATTGCCCTACTACCTTTGCTCTCAGTCAGTCCGGCTAGTTGGCAGTGTCATCATTTCCATGAAAGCGCTGGAGTCAGATTTGAGCCGGCGCAGGAGCCTGATGGTTTACATGAGCTTGTAATCGTCAAAAGATTGGCGGGAGATTCTCCCTTTCAACCGTGTTTCGAGCTCACTACTGCCTCAGACTCGGTCCGTACTGGCGATCTTTGGTCTCGCCATCCTCAAGATCCAGGACTGTAGAAGTATGAGGGTCGTGCAGACACTTTGACTGTACTCTCGACTGGTGAGAAGTACGACTTCCAAGCTGTCGAGGCTTAACTCCATGATAGTCCCCACATTTCTGCAGCTTTAGTCCTTGGCGGACAAGCGCGACCGATCCTCGTAGTCGAATCAGCAACACCTTCAGATGATATATGGGCGGAGATCCAACATGTAAACGAGCTTCTACCACACTATGCCAAGTTGGCCAAAACATGGACGCTGGTAGTTGCGAAAAATACTTTTGCGCGCACTGCCAAAGGTACGACACAGAGACAAGCCACAATCGAGATGTTGAAGCCACGACTCGAGCAAATTCGGCGAAGGAAGGAGCAGGCCTCAGAGGGGACTGCCGATGCTCCACTTTCCCTTGACCAACACGTTCGAGAAGTGATTGAGAAGAAATTAGGTGTAGTTGCTAACAGACATAAAAGCCTGTTCGCACAAGGATTAGACTCCATGACAGTTACGAGAGTTGTTCGTTCACTAAACAAGTGCCTGCGAAAGGACTATGTCACAGAGACCGCTGAAGTGCAGGCTCCGCAGATCAGTGCCAAGCATCTATCTCTATCGGCATGGAACGATCAATGACCTCTCTTCTCTACTTGAAGAACGCGTGACTCGTTTTAAGACGCAAGCAGCTAAACCTATCACGTGACAGGGCCATTCCAAGAGTGTTCGACGAAAAATGAGCAACAACCATCAGGCGATGAAAGCTACAGTTTCCAGGCCCAGGAAGAGCCGTAATGCAAGTATAGTCATCACGGGCACCACTGGCTCACTCGGAACGCACTTGCTCCATCAAATTCTGATTGAAGGCAAGTACGACCATATCATATGCTTGGACCGCTCCGACAGAGGGCGAACATCGTATCTGGAGGCATTCCCCGAGCATGACGCCAAGCTCGAAAACACCTCTTTCTTCAAAGTGTCTAGCCTCGATCTTCTGAATTGCAAGGAGATTCCAGCCTCAACACTGAAGACTTTGCAATCTTCGTGCCGTGCTATCATCCACAACGCCTGGCCTGTGCGCCTGGCCTGTGCGCCTGGCCTGTGCACCTGCATTTGCCGTTATCTGCTACAGATGCTCCATCACCAGACCAAAGGAGCAACGATTGGTCAACATCACTGTCATATGAGACTCATCTCCACAATCTCAAGGCTTTCCTTGAATTCGCTCAATCTTGTTCCCACAGCCCTCGCTTTGTTTACATTTCCTCACTTGCTGCTGTACTGAACGTCAATCCAATCCCAGAGGATTTTGTTGATGATGCAGAAGCACCTCACAACACAGACTACGGCAGATCCAAATGGCTTGCCGAGATGGTATTGAAAGACTTTGTGGCTGAGCACAAGGAGGCCAATTGTGGTGTGGTCCGCATAGGTCAGATTGCCGGTCCGGGAATAGAGCTTGGTGGAAGGAGAAAAGGTACAGGAACTTGGTGGAACCGAAACGAGGTCGTGCCCAGCATGATCAGGAGCTCAGCTGCTATCCAAGCGCTACCAGATAACCTCCTGGAGAAGGACAAGCTGAGGTGGGTCCCAGTTGATACCTGCGCTTGTGCGATCACGGATATAGTGCACCATGGCAAGAAGAATGACCAAGTAGTATTCAACATCACTAATATACACTCCGAGGATACCAGGTGGTCGGGCGACATCGTGAATCACCTACAGAAGAAGTTGCAGGTTGGAAAGAAGGACCCATGCAAGATCGTGTCGCTACAAGAGTGGTTAAGACTTGTCGACGAATATGGTGTTCGTGACGATAACCCAGCCATCAAAGTGTTTGACTTTTACGAGAGGCTATTGACTAGTGATCCTGAAGGTGGATTGGCAGGCGTCATTGAGACAGTGAAGACAATGGGTGTATGTGAAAGCTCGAGGAACTTAAGGCCAATAGAGTGGGAATTGTTGGAGAGGTGGATGAAGAGTTGGGGTTTGTGATCGGTTCAATGACATCTACCCTCCTTGTCATGCACAAGATACTGCGTTGGCGAGGTATCCTTGTTGTCATTCAAGGCAGGCAGCATATGTCGAGATATCTATCCTCTACTCGTGAAATGCACGTTGCTGTCAGCAAATCGTGGTCACAGAAGGAACAAGAACAAAGGCTTCGAGAAAATCATCTGCTACCACTGACTAAGTCAACAAAGCTACAAGCCCTGCCACCAATGTACAACTCCCCGTAATACTCAGAGCAGGATACATCGCACCTATCCTTCTAGCACCTCCTGATACCACGGGCGCTGTTCCGTTCTCACCCGCTCCACCTAAAATACTGGTATCACCCTCGACGATACTGTCCATGATTCCTCTCATCGCACTCGCCACAGTAGCATCTCCATCGATATCTAGCCCAATATTTGTCATCACAGCCCCTGCTCCACTGCTACTCGCATTCCCACTCGCAAGCACAAACGCATACCCGTAGTTGAACGTATTGGTCCCATCGTGAAAGAAGAGCTGTGGATTCGAAAGACGACTGAGCCAGCCGCCGGGTGTGTACGAATAAGTGTTTCGAGATGGGTAGGATGGGCTCAGGACGTAGGGTGTATGTAGGAAGGCAAAGTCCGCTGGCGTGAGTGTTGAGTATGGCGCTGGTAGAGTCGAGCCTGGGATTGAGCCGTTAATGTGTAGCTGAAGGTAGCGGAGGTAAGAATCCAGGGGACAGTGTGCTCGGCCTGCAGGGTCGTAGAAAGGTGGATTATCTCGGGTCGCGAGATCGTAACCCTCGAGAGGAAATGGTGTCTGCTCCGTGTCATTGAGCCGGTAGTGTGGCCAGGGACTATCGATCGAGGAGTTTGAGGTTTCTGGAAGAGGTCCAAGACCACACCCAGTCATACCTAAGGGAGTGAAGAGTCGTTCTTGAATGATTTCGGGATATGTCTTGTTCGTGCGTATTTCCATGATCAGTCCCGCTATCACGTAATTGAAGTTGTCATATAGGTAGATTGTGTTTGGTTGATACGTTGGTGGAATGGCAAGTTCGCGTCGTACAGCTTCGACGCGACGCTCGAAGGATGGCTGGTAAAGTGATTCGAGGAGGAAAGTTCGATTCGATTGCTGCGACGAGATAATACCAGAGTATTGAGCTGTGAGCATCTCGAGTGTGGTGTTGCTATGTTCTGGGTGCATGATGTCGCGGAGCTCTGGGAGTGCTTGTGCTAGTGTTGTGTTCCATGTCAGTAGACCCTCACCAATGTACGATGCTAGAATCGTTGCTGTCATTGACTTTGTAAGGGAGCCCAAGTGCCATGGGTCACTCGTCTCAACACGTGCTTCTGCTCCATATTTGCGAACGCCAGAGACCGCAATGGCAGTGGTCTCAGCCTCGAGTTGTGCTATACCTAGTGCTGGAAAGTTGTTGGCATTGCGTATCCTTTCGACAACCTGTGATGGTGTTTCTTGAGAAGAGCCACTATTACCGGTCACTTTGATGGCTCAATGCCATCATGAGGTATACTCACATCTGGAAAAGTGCCACTGCTAGCAAGAGTGCCACGCGCAGCGAAAACATAGCTTTGACGCTATATTTACCTTTGTCTCGCAATAGTTTGCCTATAAGAAGCTGAGACAGACCCTGACAGCAATGAACATTGGTTGTAATCGGTATGGCAGGTGAAGGCTGGACAACTGATCAAGGACATTAAATGGAAAAACTACACGTCTGAAACTACAGCAAGTTCATCTTATCCAGCACGACAAGAAACCATTAGGTAAGGTTGAATTCGAAAGAGAGACTTGGGTACGGATACGAACCCGTACAACACGCATGTTCGAGCCACGAGCAGTGGTTGGCTGCTAGTGTTTACAGCTGCCAACTTTGGAGTAGCTGATCAACTAGGTTGTATTAGCAAAAACGCCTCGAAATTTGCCTTGGCGATCTGCATGGACGAAGAGTTGGTCCACTAGAATCTTGAAGCTGATCTTATTGGCCAACGTCGAGGATAGGGAAGCTTGTCGAGTTTGAAGATGAGCGAGGCACTGGACCGTTGGGCGATGGTCTTCACAGTTTCGTTGGCTTCGTGGAGCAATCCCTCAGATGGAGCGAAGCACAGAACAACTGGAGTGTGATACAAACTTTGTCTTTCTGAATATCGTAAATGACCAGATAATATGATCATGTAAGGCTATGTCAAACCGAGGCTACCCGCGTATTCTGAAATCTTTCTTGTAGAATCGTAGAGAGGCACTGCAGCCACACCTCAATGCCAGCAACATCATATTCAAGGATGCATTCGCAACAACCTCTACCTCAAACCATCGACTTCTTCCCTCATCTCAAGCACTTCCGTTCTCGGATGGTAGTCGTCGTAGTTGTAGAGTCGTCGAGGGAGTTTTCTAAGACGCGGGAGGCAATTGAGGTCCAAATTGCGAGTCAACCCCAACCTTCTGAGCGTATCGATCTCGAAGAAAGCTGTTAAGGCATCTGGTCGCCCGAATCACGTACTAGTAAACCCAGGGGGACAAACGCTGACAAGGATGAAGGTGGCTATATTTGCCAGTATGACTGACTGGTTTCGTGGTGATTGGGTGTCTGTGCCGTGTCTAAGGAGTCGAGCATGAGCCAATGCGGCCCAAGTCGGAGATTTTGGGCTTGTCGCTACGGCACTATAGTGCACAAAATCGCGTGAAGGTTCAGGTTGAGGGGCGTAGGTTCTCGAATCGAGACAACCTTAGTCCGGCACAGAGTGGTAAAGTGTTTTCAGCGTCGGGGTTGGCAAAGACTTTGGGCAGTCTTGTTTGGCACTCGTTCATGGCCACTCTAGTCAACCTAGGGTTTGATTAGCGAGCAGGAGTTTGGCTAGGATTTCCATATGCAACGGCCGCTATCACGAGTCCTTCCACTCCGGTTGCTCTTCATCCCTTATGGAGAAAAACAGTGAACACGACAAATCGTGACGGTTCTCAATACCACGATTGAGCCACTGCTTAACCATGAGTTCGCCGGGTGAATAATATTGCTTTAGTGGAAGCCGAACCCGTCAGATCTGCTCGGTTCAGTCCGGCCCGGAGGGTATAGCCCACTACGGCCATCGGGCAAGTATTTTAGTTGGCTCCTAGAAGGGATCAGTCGCTTGATACAAGATGTGGCGTCGACTGAAGAAGTATTGCTGCATCTGTGCTATAGTCGAAGCAAAAGTAAAATGTTATGAAAGACGCGTCCTACGCGTCCGTGTCCCACAAATAGCCTTGAATGTCCCTGTGTCGAACCGTGATGTGATGCGTGATATGTGTTATGCTCTTCCGTACCAAGGCCCTTGCAGTTCCCCATTTTTCCGGCTTCCAAGCTCTTTCGGCGGGGTTCTCCAAGTGACCGAGGCGCGTTTCCAGCAATATCAGCTGGGACCAGTACTCGGATTGCAGCCACGCCTAGACATAGGTCTACAATTGAATGAACAGTCTTGCTGTTGCAAAGAACATATACACAATGAACAGAACATGTTCTCCCATAGTTCGCCACCTACAACGAGCTTCATGTCGTAGTTTCAGCACGACCCGACAACATTTGGCGGACCATGTCAGGATAGTGGAAGTGGGTGCGCGTGACGGTCTACAGAATGAAAAGAATGCCATCTCGCTCGAGGATAAGCTCGAGTTGATCAGGAGACTATCGAGCACAGGCGTCACACATATCGAAGCTGGTTCTTTCGTGCCTGCGAAATGGGTACCACAAATGGCCTCGACCAACGAGATCCTGTCCAATCTGATACAAAGTCCACCTCAGCAAAGGCAGGCAATAGCCTACAACTATCTCGTGCCTAATATTAGAGGCATGGAGAATCTGGTTAAAGTTCTCGAGCAGCATAATCATTCAAATCCTCCTCCTCCTGATCATCTCACACCTCCACCCTCGCCTATACTCACCCCAGAGCAGGAGCAAGGACAGGGCCCAATCACTTCGTCAGCTGATCCCAACGAAATGTCTTCAGCTTCGAGCCCTGTGGCTGGTGGAGCATCATCCTCTACCTCGTCGCACTCACCGAAAAACACGACCGAGATATCCCTCTTCGCAGCCGCTACGGAAGCTTTCTCGCAGAAAAACACCAACTGCTCCATAGCTGAGTCGCTCAGCCGTTCGCTACCGATCATTGAGCTCGCAAAGAAACACAATGTTCGTGTTCGAGGCTACATTTCTGTAGCTCTGGGTTGTCCATATGAAGGCCCAGACGTCGATCCTCACAAGGTCGCAGAGATGACGGCTTCCCTACTCGAGATGGGCTGTGACGAGGTCTCGGTGGCCGATACCACGGGCATGGGCACCATTCGGAAAACGCAGGAACTGCTCAAAACACTTAAAGATGCAGGCGTACTCATGGAAGACATTGCCTTACATTTTCATGACACATATGGACAAGCCTTGGTCAATACAGTCATTGGTCTTGAGGCTGGTGTGCGTGTATTTGACTCAAGTGTTGGCGGCTTGGGCGGATGTCCTTACAGCAAGGGTGCTACTGGTAATGTGGCTACAGAGGATTTGGTACACCTACTGCACAGCGTCGGCATGGAGACAGGCGTTGATTTGGAAAAAATGGCCTCGACTGCGGAATGGATTACCAAGGTTGTTGGCAGAGCTAATGAAGGTAGGGCGGGCAAGGCCTTGCTCGCCAGGCTCAGAGATCCTCCCACAACCGCAAGCACATGAGTTCATCATTAACGACAATTTCAATTTCCTAGGCCGAAAGACGGTATTTATATCTCCGGTTCCCAATGACTACGACAAAACTTCGTCCGTAACGATTGTTGGTGTTTCCGATCAACTGATGTCAGCTACAAGGTCACCGTGGTTGCTCATGGCTTGAGGTTCTTCTAAGACCTTCTGCCCAAATCGTTGAAGTATTGGGACAACTTTTAGCAGACCAAGTATGTAAAGGCATGTTGCTGCTTCGAGATTTCTTCGTCTTCCCAAACCTGTCTCGACATCTGGTTCTAAAAGAACATGAATCAGGTTGTCACTGATGACCCTGTGCCATGACCGACGCCGGACTTTACCATACTTGTCTAGTATGTCTGGGCTCGCTCTAGTGCTACTTGCTGGTCCACTTTAGCAGTCGCAATATCAACGCGTACTTCTCACGAACCTTGGAGGGAGAGAGTCACCCATTAGGGACGGTACTGTCGACTCACGAGTCGACTCTTGAGACAGTGAAACTGCGGCTGCAGAGAAGAATAGGTTGAAAGAGTGCAACTACTTCAGGAATCACGTTGTTACCACTTACCAATTTCGGAACGCTTTCGAGTGAAAAACATGGGGACATTTTTTGAGACTTGTTTCTATTATTGTACTCGCCAGCCAGCGAGGTTCTGATCCGACTACGGTGCCCTGAAGTAATGGCTCATAGGCTCGTAACGGTCGAGCAACACATCAGCTTCTTCTGGCACGATCTCGGCAAAGCAATACCCAGTGCCAGTCACGACATCGTTTCCTGGAGACAGTAGCTCCTCAAGAAAATCAGCTGTGCAAAGCTCCGTCGCTTCAGGACACAACGGGTAATTGCGCGTTAGCGCTATGTAGATCAGAGTCAGCCAGTGCTAGGCTGTCTGCTTACCGGAGCACAAGGCTCGACCATGAATATTTTTAATTGCGCTTACACCACCGTCTCGACTCAGAAGCCAGACGTCCATCTTGTGCTTTTGCTCCTCGTTGTCGCGTGAGAGAAGACCCTGGACGAAAGTGAGGAGTTTGAGACTTTGTGGTATGGCTTTCAACCACACGGCGAAGAACAGCGCTTCTTCTGCACGTTCGAGCAGTTCTTTGGACGGTGGCAGGTCTTCGTGACCATGTGCCGCGACTATGTATGCCTCGGCCTTGACAATGTATCGTAAAAACTGCGCTTTGGTTGGCAAATTTTCCATCTCGCGACCGAGATCTCGATCACGAAGATTGAGGCTCATTAAAAGTAATTTCACGACCATGACTTTATTGGCCCCCTTGGATCCCATGGCAAGTGCTGTCTGGGCTTGTATCATCTGGGTGTGCAGATAGCTTTGTAGTATCTGCGTGGGGACATCGTAGCCACCCCAACGATCGTCGGTAGCCATAATGGTATCCCAGGCGGCAGTGTTTGATAGACAGGCAAGCATCTCGTGATAATTACCACGCTTTTTAGCTTGGCTGAAGTATTCCAAGATAGGGCGGAGGTAGAGCGACCGCATCATTGTGTCGCCAGGATTGTCGTAGATTGGTCTCTGCAGACTTGAGGTAAGGCTTCCGGGTCCTATCAGTGGTGGGCAGCTTGTGAAATTTGGAAGATCCCGGCCCAGCAGACATCCTAACCTGACGAACTCCTCTTGCGTGGATCGCGCAGCAGGCTTGTGGACAAGCGTAAGATGCATCTTGTCGACGAAAGTAGCTTTGACGTCGATCCAAAAAGCGAGAATGCTAAGTGAGGTGAGACACACCAGATATCTGCGACTGACAGTCTCTTGCTTGTCATTCAACGCTGACGTGTACTCTAATTTGACGTGGATACATGGAGGATAAGGTGGTTCTTGGTCAGTCTGTAACAGCATCAGATACTGATTCTGTGTATAGGTGGTTCTCCACATATTTGCGTGCCGAGAGCTGGATCGAGGGTGTTTGATTTCGATTAAGCACCACGGCACACGCTCCTTGAGCTCGTAGTCAGTAGTCACTCTCATATGTCTGTTTACCAAGCGAAGGTCCCGGAAGAGTTCTCGGTAATTAGGCTCTTGGCCAAGTCTCGTCTTGTGGTTAAATCCGTCGTACAGAACTTGACCTGCGATCTGAGATAGAAGTTCTTCTGGTAGATTCATTAGGTTGGTTCGGCCCTGTGGTGCCATTGCTTGGTCCATAATCACCTCACTGACGAATTGCACTGACCAGCAGAGCCAACACGTTGTATTGTGCTAGAGTTGATTTTTGCAATACCTGATACTGCTTACAAGGAAGATTTGGATAGAGATGGCTTGGTTTGGTCTAATGATCGCTTTCTGTGCTTCTTCCCTGTGGTGTGTACTTTGAGTGTATGGATAATCCAGATTGGAAGTCTTGTACTTATGTAGAGCATGGGTTTTACGAAGTTGTTCCAGATAACCACCTATACTTTGTTCAAAGACGAAGAAAGGCGGCTTTGCTAGAACTTGTCTTCATATTCTCAGATGACAAACTCATTATGCATATTGCTTCCAAGTGCTTGCCTTGACCATGCCGTGGAATGGCAATTCTTTGCCTAAAACATCACACCGTCGTCGATACGAAACATGCTCTGCGCTTCTGCCAAGACACACCGTTTGGTTCTCGAGACGTCGATATTGTAGTGCTCTAGTCCGGTAGCACTTCTAAATGTGATGAATTGCTGTTAGTGGCTAGAACAAGTCAGAGTCCGATCGTGATTGACTGGAAATGAGACAAGTGGACGACACAAACATAGTGGTCACTTGACATTGACACTCCTGAAATCGTCTTCGAAATGTCGGCAAGCACAGAAGCTGCCACAAAAATGGGTACCAGAGGACAAGCTCATTTTGTCATGGTTCCAGAAGACTCTGGTCTGCGTACAAATACCAAAGGTAACCATGGTAGAGGCCAAACAAGGCTGCTATTGTTCATGTGGCGCAGGGTTTGCTCCTCAGACAGGTTCGTAGGATACGGGTGTAGACATATACAACCTCTTTTTAGTCTTTCTTTTTTCCCGGTGGTCTGCAGTCAGCTTGTCAAACTGACGATTTCCTGAATGCTGTTAACTCAATATCGCTTGCACAGATTCATTGCGAAATTCAGGTCTTCATCGCATATCGAGGTATCAGATGCAAGAATAGCTGAGGGCGCTGCGATGCAGAACACACGTCCAGTATTCGAGCTTCGACCGCGGTACGGTCAGTATTTACTACGACTGCAAGACAACCTTAGATAGTTGCTGAATAATCGAATTGCCCATGTTTGACAGTCCTTGCATTGGACACATTTGTGAGCCGACCTTTTGAATAGGTGAGCCGACTACTGCCGACCGTCACTCTCTGTCATAGAGGCAGATATAAGACCAAATCTCAACGCGCGTTCGTGCTTGAAGCTCTTGGCACGCGAGAGCTAGTACTTCCCCAGACTAGCGTTATCTCGTGTCATTTTCGCGACTGTGTAGATAATCCTGATGGCAGGTTCTCTGCCTCATTGATCAGCATGGAAATAGGTAGCAAAGCCATGTATCGGGACACGTTTGTTATGTGAGACGTCGTCAGAGCAAAGGAGGTTTTCGTAGAAACCTCGACTGTTGTCTTTCGTGTCGCCACGAGCTTCGCCGATTCGAGCCGGCGTGAAGCTTCGTCGACGAGGGCTTATACCAAGCTCGAGCTATGCGGTCTTCTCACGAAGCCTGATTGCTACGGAACCTCGTGTGTTTCAACGCTAAAGCTGGCGCTTCCACTCTTCGATTGTCGAGTTCTGACCCTCTATAGTATCTTGCGAAAGGGCTGCTCTCGAGATTGTCGAGTCGATTCCATGTACTGAGCTGCATCATTACTCCGCTGTCACCGCTACAGTGTCGCAGTGCTTGGTGTCGCCTTACTCGTTCTTGCAGGGTGGTGGTTTGGCAGGCGCTCGAAGAAGAACAAGGCTGCTGCTATTCCAGCTGAGATGTCCGGCAATGCTACGTACTATAACGGTAACCTCAACGGACGAGGTTTGTTACCAAGAGAATCCTATCATCAATTCGACACCAGTACCAGAGTATGCACCTGCCCCAGTCTATGAGGCAGGACATCAGGAGCCTTTTTCGGATAGGCATGAGATGGCGGGAAGTACAGCGTGGCAGCAGCCAGATACACAATACGGAAACTAACAGACACATTTGAAGAGGTACTGCCATAGGTCATAAAATTTAAATTACAGGGAAGGAAAGACACCTTCTTCAGGATTAGGATTTTTCGATAGTCTGATATCTGTTCGCGATTCTACACTGGTCGGTCTGCATTGCATGTGTTCAGGCATGTGTTTGTCCTTTCTGGCTACGACACGAGGCTGTCGGTAATTGGCAAGCAGCTCTGTCGCTCATGGATAGATGTGGCATTGACGTTCTGAGTAAGACCAAGTTCAGCACAGAAGAGAGTGAAGATGGATAAAAGTACAGGTTTCATCAAACACTTGCTGCCTGCAGTAATACTGGTCAAAACTGATGCGCTCATGTCTTCCATGACTAATACCAGGAGCGGTTTCGTTGCGTCGCCCAAGTGTCAGGATGACATATCTGCAGAAGTCCTCAAGAATGGACTGAACCCACACCAATTGAATATCATCACAAGATGACAAAATTATGCACATCCAGCTCCGAGTAGGCAATGCTCTCGCCAATGCACAGAGCAACCCTTATTTGTGCTTCATATTGAGGGCACATCGCTACAGCTGAGTTCGTGGCTGCACTAATCATCTTGACATCTTTGAACAGCCCCTTCGCTTCTCTCGCCTCCAAGGAAGCCATACACTTTTGCACCTGAGCTAGAATTTCGTTGTCTCCTTCGACCCATCCGTCACCGTCCTGAGTTCTTCGCAACAAATCTCTCCGGCCCAAACGTAATTTTCGGATGAGCCTGCCGAGCTTCTGCTCTTCTTTGGTACGTGTCCTCTCCTCTAGAATCTGCTGGCAATGGGGACATTTGATTTCTGTTAGGTTAGAATATAAATGGTATTCTTCAAGGCACCCTTTGTGAAAGCTGTATTCGCATTTGTAGTGTGTAAGGGACCGATCAGCAACGGAGAGCTTATCGTGGCAGATGATGCAGACCCCCTGGTCTTTTCTGAGCGGGCAACCACAAGTGACCCCCAAATCTTTGTACTGAGGATGAGCACGATATTCTGCTGATAAGGTTTCGTCTTCTGGTTGGGATCCAGGGTCGTGCGTGTTAATTGGTCGAGCTGGTTCTGCTTTAGGTGAAGTGTTGTTTGTGCTCTGGATGTATCTGGTCCAGAGACCCCAGAAGAGGAAGATGTTGCAATACCACAATCCTATGAACTGTGGGAGCAAATACGCGAATTCTCTGAATCGACCTGACTGCATATCGTCTCGATCGGCAAATAGCCATGTCCCGAAAAGACTAAGAAGACAGAGGGCGGTGAGCCAACTCAGCAACTCCTTGCTTCCATTGTAAGGTCCTTGGGGGAGACCGATACAGCCGAGTATGGCTGAGCATAGGAGGGCGCAGATGAGCAACGCGTCCCTTGCAGGGAGGAGACTAGGATAATCGTCTAGCATTCTTCGTGAGTGGATGCGATTGCTGGACAGTAGTGAGGTGGCGTTGGAGTGGTCGTATGACAGTGGTTAGATGGTGGTTAGATGGTGGTTGGATGATGGTTCGGTATCTTGTTTAATTTGGTTTTGTGAAGGGTTTCGGAAAGATCACAATGAGACACACTTTGGTACCATACTGAAAGTCTCTTCGAGTCTATTAACAAGCTGAGATTAATGGCCATGCGGTACAACATGCTGATCGATGATGCACAATAGAGACAATCAGCACAAAAGTCACAAAGTGAACACGAAGGACAAACGAGATTTATTGTGCATACTTCACAATCTTCATTTTCGACACGAAGTGAATCATACGATGTAAGGGTAGCTGACTTGCCCGTTCTCGTCAGGGCGGATGCATGCATGAAATGTGTCTTCAGCTCAGTTTTCCTCAGCAGGTTCTTGCAAGCTTTAGTGTACTGTGACAACCAGGCAAGCTGGTCGCGCGAGCTGCAATGTTTAGCATACTCGAGCAGGACAAGAAGTGGAGAGGAAGGGTAGATTGATGGTGTCGAGCCTCAGATTCGTTCTTCACAAGGGAACTTGGAAGCAAAGGCATCCGGAGAAAAAGTCCGGATGTCGAGCATGTTGACATGAGGTTGCTTGAATGCTGTTGAGACTCGGGTTGATCGCGTTCGTCGATACAGGAGAGACGAGCCTCGTAGAGGCCGCGGAAATTGACATGGTTCATTTCGACGAAGAAAGCACGTTTTACATGATCTCGTCAGCACCACTGTGAGGTCTTCTCAGAAAACTTTGACACAAAGATGCATACAACTAGTCGTGCTCGACAGTCGACGATAGTAGTTGTAGGTGGATGGTAGTTCAAGTGCAATAAATGTGTAGGCTACCGTAGTCGAACTACAATGCTGGCACAATGTTGCCGCCCTTTCTCGTAGGTAAACTGTGTAGGAGGGTAAGAAAATCCCCCCTGCGTCTGAACGTCTGAGGATGTTAACCCTTGCATCACAGAGGGAACATAGCCATCCTGCTGAGGGCATGGTCTCACAACCAATGGACATACTGTCCACGAGGCGCAATGAGTGATGAAAAGTACGACGAAGACGCGCGAGTGCTGGACTCGGTATCAGATCTTGAAAGCGACGGCGAGACTCTGATCCAGTCACCCGAAAGCGAAGACAAAGATACCCTCGAGGAGTATGATGAGGCAGAGCGACTATTGACTGAAGAAGGCGCGCTATCAAAGCAGAAGAAATGGAAGGACCAGAAGACGCGAAAAGAGACAAGGAGAGGCAGGAGAAGAGAACAGAGAAGGAGGTCGAGGTCAGGAGCACAAGCTGATGAGAGCAATTCCGTTTATGAAATGGAGGAAGGCTACAAAGACTCAAGCTCGAACAGTTCTACCGACTCTCTTGTCCTCAAGCAGAAAGCGGGGCTTAGTACGAATGCATACCCTGCCTCCTACCTACGTTGGGTACCGTTCCTGGTTGGGACAATCTTTCTGTTCGCGATCCTGGTTTATGGTGCATACCATGCTTCAACTCTATCGAAAGCGAAAGAAACAATCGTTTCGTCTATGAGCAATGGAACCCATGTTTTCGCTCCTACCACGATCCTTATCTCTCTAGACGGCTTCAGAGCAGACTTCCTGCAGCGAGGTTTGACCCCTTCTTTGAATGCATTCATTGCGTCCGGCGTCTCACCTCAGTACATGCTCCCATCTTTTCCGTCGGTCACCTTTCCGAATCACTACACATTGGTGACGGGCTTGTACCCCGAAAGCCATGGTGTGGTCGGCAATCAGTTTTGGGATCCTCATTTCGAGGAGGAGTTTGTGTATACCAACACCTCAATATCCATGCAACCAAAATGGTGGGAGAGCGCTGAGCCACTTTGGGAAACAGCTGAGAGACAAGGCATGAAAACTGCCATTCACATGTGGCCTGGTAGCGAGGCACATATTCATGGCATTGACCCGACTTATCTCGACCCATTCGATTTTGACGAAACTCTTCCAAACAAAGTTGCCCGTATCCTGGAGCGGCTAGATTTGGACACCAAAGATCGACCACAGCTCATTGCGGCATATGTTCCTGATGTTGACCGGGATGGTCATCGATATGGTCCTAACAGCACTGAGATCCGTGCTACAATCGCCAGCGCAGACAATATGCTCACTCTCCTTGTTGAAGGACTTCTGCGACGAAACTTGACGGAAATTGTGAATCTCGTCGTCGTATCTGATCACGGAATGGCTACAATGTCTGCTCACAGGATGGTGCAGCTCGACGACCTGATCGATATGAACCTTGTCGACCACCTGGATGGGTGGCCTCTACGTGGTTTACGCCTCAAAAATCCAGACCACGACGTTCCTGTCCTGTATAAGCAGTTATCTGATGCAGCTGAGAAGCATGGCACATTCGACGTCTACACCCGGGAGACAATGCCAGAGCGATACCATTTCTCACAGAATCCTCGCATTGCTCCTCTCTGGATTGTGCCAAAGACTGGTTGGCTGGTGATTGAGAAGGCAGACTTCAACATTGTAGATGCGATTGCAAACAATCAGGTATTCCATCCGATCGGTATACATGGCTTTGACCATGAACATCCATTGATGAGAGCCATTTTCATCGCCCGAGGACCAGCTTTCCCACATGCTCCAAACAGTCGAGTCTCAGTCTTTCAGAATATAGAGGTATACAATATTCTGTGTGATTCCTTAGGTGTCACGCCTCACGGTAATAATGGAACGCTTCGACTGCCGTTACAGACCGAAGGCTTGCATAGTGATTTCGCCGACACATCGAAGACGCCCAACGACGATCCTGCCGACATCGGACACGCAGATGCAGAAATAGAGGCTGGTACTGACGCAACCAGTCTGACAGATCCTACAGCCACAGTCGACAACGATCTACCCGCCGACAAAGAAGACAATGTGGCAGAAGAGGATGCCAAGAAGAATTGGTGGAAATATCTACACGATCAAATTGAGAAGGCGAAAGACTGGGCGAAACAAGTAATGGACTCGATCAAGGACAACAAAGCAAATGATAACGACCCGAAACCAGGATGAAGTTACATGCTCGGTTCTTACAGATCCCTTCAAGCTCGGTAAACGATGTCGTGCCGTTCTCGACGGAACGAACTCCTGCCCGATTTCGTGCAGCATCGGAGTTCTGCAACAGGCGCCTGTGCTGACACAGATACGACACGCGCCACGTGCTACGGCGAGCCCCAGATTATGCATCAGAAGCACAGTCATCGTGGAGATTCACAATGTTATATCTGGGGAAGTGCTGTACGATCCCGTCGTACGTATCTCGATGGAAAAGTTGACTTCCCTTCGCGACAGGAACAATTGCCATATCCAGCGTGGAAAAGGTAGTCGACTCACCGATATCAACTACCACAAACGTGCTACAGTAGAGAAGCTAGTCGTGCCCAACGAGCTGATGCGTTGCGTTAGTCAACCGTGCCTGATTGTGTAGATACTGGAAGCGGTTACTGAAACCGCGACACCAAATCGACTTGATTTTCACTGGACGATTGCAGCCACACCAAATCCAAGGCACAACTCCCTCAGATTTCAGGCCCTCCATGTGCCGCTTCTTGCGGTGTTGTATGAGCACACATCTCAACGCCATGATATGTTGTGGGGACATCACAGTGCATGAAGGTTACATTCGCTCGCATGCGGGATCTACGCGAGTGGCTTGACTTGGCACTAAAATCAGTCAGTCTTGGCTGTCTGCTCCGCAAGCCAAATTGCGACAAGCACTTCAAGCATTCTTGTTCTCTTGTTTTTGTCTCGCTTGCTCTCTATTCATGCAAATGACATTCGTAGACACCATTAGCACTTCGCCTTGCCAGTGTCGCACCCTCTATTTTGCGCCTTGTCCAACAAAGTCGGCAGAAGTACGCCTCGTGATCCGAAAGTGGACGCTGCTAGAACAAAACTCTGTTGATCCTGCTGTTCCGCTTTGTAAATACCACCTACGTCACACGTGTTTTTGCTTGAACTGATCAAGCATCTAAGCTCGATCTTCGATGTTCTTGTCTACAGGCCAAGAGTGTGCTTGATTTCGTGTAAGCACTCTTGTTCAACCGTGACAGTTGTAGAATGATCTTCTTCCTCGTACGAAGCCTCGAAGTTGACTATGTACTGAAAGATAGGAGCGCATGAGTGAGTGGAGTGGAAATACACGCTGTTTAGATAAGCTGCTTCGAGGTCTTTTCTGTCGATCCTGGGACTGCCTGAAGCACTCCTCAATCGTCATGAGTTGGAAAGTGCAACACAGCACAATGCTTGTCTGGGTAAGGGCAGCTCCAGCTCGTAGTGTTATTCTGCTCATAGCATCTTGCTATGATTGGTATTCTTTTTTTATTAGTCCTCAAACTATGCACTATGTGCTCATGTACGAGCGGAACTGCGCTTACACATATTCTCTGCACTAACCACGTCCACAATTCATTCTTGGCCATGTGGTATCAACAACCGATATATGTAAGTTGACGTGCCGTGCGGATTTAGACTTTCATGATCAACTTGTTATCTTGATTACATGTTGTGAATTTGACTCCGCGCTTCGGTTCTTCTTCTTCTCTTTCACTTCCGCACTTGATCACTCCCTCAAATCATTTTGTTTCCAGATTGTCGCTGGAACTCGTTTGCACAACATGGCGGACGTCACTGAGCGCGGAAGAGATTTCGCACCCGGCGCCGACAATGAGAAACGTCGTACCTCGTCATCCTCAAGAACAGAGACTGGTGGGGAAAATGTAGACAGGCATGAGCAGATCAAAGCGGAACGACTATCAAGCATGGGAGGAGAGAAGGTCGAACTCACTGAAGCCGACTGCTACGATGAACTGGGCTACTCTTTCCCAACCTGGAAGAAATGGACTATCCTCGGGATCATCTTCATGGTTCAAGTCTCGATGAATTTCAACACGTCCCTGTATTCAAACGCTCTACATGGTATCTCGGAGGAATTCCATGTCTCGCTACAGGCTGCACGACTTGGTGCTGCGCTATATCTCATCACATACGCTTTTGGCTGTGAGTTGTGGGCTCCTTGGTCTGAAGAGCTGGGTCGAAAATGGGTTCTGCAAGCCTCGCTGTTTCTCACGAATATCTGGCAGATCCCTGTTGCGTTGGCTCCCAATTTTGGTACCATTCTTGTCTGTAGATCTCTAGGTGGTCTGTCGACTGCTGGCGGTTCTGTCACTCTAGCCATGGTCGCAGATATGTGGGAGGCTGATAACCAGCAATATGCAGTGGCCTTCATCGTATTCTCGTCTGTTGGCGGCTCAATTCTGGGTCCTATCATAGGAGGTTTTGTCGAGCAGTACGCCATCTGGCAATGGAATATCTGGATTCAGCTAATCTTTGGTGTATTCGTCCAAGCCATCCACTTGTGGGTACCAGAAACACGATCCACAGTCATGATGGACAAGATCGCCAAGAGACGTCGCGAGAGTGGTCAACAACCCAATGTGTACGGTCCCAACGAGCTTCTGACATTCAAGGAACGATTTTCAGCAAAGGAGATCATGATCACCTGGATTCGACCTTTCCGCATGTTCGTGACAGAGCCAATTGTATTAACCTTGTCGCTGTTATCGGGGTTCTCTGATGCCCTTATTTTCATGTTCATCCAGTCGTTCGCGATTGTGTATGCTCAGTGGGATTTCCAGGCATACGCCATTGGACTGGCTTTTTGCGCGATTGGTGTGGGCTATCTCCTGGCCTGGTTGTCTTTCTTCCCAGCCATCAAGCGAAACATCCGACAACGAGAAGAGCGCCCAGATGACGAGCGTGTGCAGTATGAGGGTCGACTTTGGTGGCTACTTTACACCGCGCCTTGTTTGCCTATCGGTTTGATCATTTTTGCCTGGACTTGTACCGGTCCACCACTACACTGGATCGGATCGATGATCGCAGCTGCAATTGTGGGTGTCGCCAATTATGCAATTTACATGGCCACAATCGACTACATGATTTGCGCTTATGGACCATATTCTGCTTCGGCTACAGGTGGTAATGGATGGGCTCGAGATTTCCTTGCAGGTGTATTGACACTACCAGCTACGCCCTTTTTCAACAGTAAGTTTGAGCAAGCGCAACATATGACAGAATATGCTAACCTATTTTCCAGATATCGGCTCCAATCCTCTTGCTTACGCAACCACGATTCTTTTCGCCATTTCGGCTGTTCTTGTCCTGGCCGTCTATGTCATCTACTGGAAAGGACCAGTTCTTCGAGCACGATCGCCGTTCGCTCAACAACTTTCAGCCGCTCGACAAGATACCGATGGCAAACGTCTTTCATATGTCCCATCCGCTCCGGCACGACGAGCAAGTAGAGCTTTCTCGAGTGGTGGCGAGTCTGAAGCGGAAAAAAGACCAGGCTTTAGCAGAAATAGCAGTCAGGCACGTACAAATCAACAACGACGGGTTAGTGGGATGGGCGGATCGAGGAGAAGCAGTCTGCAGGAGGAGCGACGACGAAGTCGTGAGGCTGTCTAAGCGTTTCGTCTGAAGCCGTCTCATCAAGATTGATGATATTCGTGTCTTGAACCTTTCTTGTAATAATATAGCTTGGGACTCGATGTGAACATACAAGGAACAGGTTTGGGATGCTCGGGGGCGAATTAGATACCCATATTGATTGAGATGTCCCTACACAGCACTTAATGATGAATAGCTGACCCCGACGTCATGTCTACTTGCTGTCGATGTTAACATTAGTAATAGTGTCGATTTCCAATGCGTTCCTTCTTGGTCGGCAGAAACGCATGCCACTAGTGTTGCTTTCCGCGACCGTACTACGTAACTGTGCCGCAAACATACCCGTACATTTGTCGAGCCAGAAAGTAGTCGGCGCTTTGTCTAGGACACTTTGCAGATAGTCGCCCACCTGTCCTTCTACCACCAGTTTCAGTTTGAGTCTTGGCCGTGTATCTACTGAGAAGATCGATACTCAAGTTCGTTTTCGAGAAATTACATCAACTATTACACAACCATGGCCACAACAGAAGACTCCCTCGAAACATACACCCACCTCCCCCTCCACCTCGATCCTGCCACAAAAGTCCTCACAAGCACAAAATCCTCCGACTCGCAGGTGCAAGAAATCCTCAAGAACATCAACAATCTTCACACACAATTCAAGAGCATAGAGACACCAAACCATGCGCCTCCACCACCACTCCCTGTGAACCCAAAACGTAGTGCGCAACTACTCAAACTCCGCGAAAGCGCGAAGCAATCAGTTCAGAAGAATGATTTCGCAGGCGCGATCAGATTGATGGGTCTCGCTATACAAATGGCGAGCGACAGACCACCATGGGAGCCAGCAGGAATGGTCAGGGAGGAGTTGGCAGTCTGTTACATGGAGCGAGCAAACGTCCACGTCTTGAATAGAGATTGGGTCGAGGGCTGGAAGGATGCGGAGTGCAGTTCGGAGTGCAAGAGAGGACGACAGCAGACGCCTCAGGGTCAGACGATCCCGGGCAATCCTAGAGCGTTTGTGATAGGTGGGAAGTGTCTCGTTGAGATGGGACGGTGGCATGAGGCTGTGGAATGGTTGCAGAAGGGTATTGAAATTGAGGCAGATGAGGGACAAGATGGGAGGGAAATGCAGAAGTTGCTTACGGAGGCGAAAGAAGGACTGGAGAAGCAGAGTGCCCGTGCTTAGGAGGTCGGGACGACATCTGCTGTCAATGGTGGAAGACATGTTGCGAAGAACAAGAAGAAAAAGAGTAAGATTTAGGTGAAGTGTCTTGGCCAGAAGGTTCGTCCACGTTGCAGCGCAATAGGAAAAACCACTTTAATCATGTCAACAGAATTAACGAGGACACACGAAAGAGCAAAGACTGGAGACATCTGAATCGCTATGAATATGACACACGACATGAACCCCACCACTACTCAACGATCAGACCTGCAAGAATTTGACATGAACATTTTCAATCCAGCTCGAACCTGGATCACGAAGCCTCATATTCCACGGCTCAGCTGATACGACGCAGAAGATCAAACAATGTCCACAAGGTCACTGACTCAAAGCGATATGCCTTGAAGCAAAATTACTCTGTCATTACAACATTGACTGAGTCTCGAGGGGGTCCGTCGAGAGGAACAGTTTTGGTAAAAGAGTCTTCCGAGAGCATGCTGGCCACGTATGGCCTTATGACTACTGATGGATTGAGCACCTGCACATCCGGTCCCAGACCATAGCCACCATCGAAATACCTTGCGAGCGAACCTCCATAGCTCAAAGTCACGTTCGGAGACGTCATTTGGACTGTCGAGTCCGGGCTAGAAATCATCCTTGGATCGTGGACGGCACACTCTTCAACTCAGCGAGCACACGAATTACCCGAAAGCTATGCATGTGCAAAGGGAAGTGCTTGACGTGGTTGGTGTTTGAAGTGGACGAGTTTCATTGATTCTGATGAAGAGGACATCCGAGATAAAACGTCACAATTCGTGGACGAGGTTACAATACGACCACCTTACTGGAAGGATAGCAGACACACTGCACAGTAGTTAAGAGTCGTTGACGACAAAGTACCGGCGATCGACTGTGATACAAGGCAAACACCTCATCAGGATTCTGCATCCGTACTGTTCACGTACTGAATCACGAATACAAAACATGTCATACATGACTACTCAAGCTGTTCGATGCTGCTTTACCGTACCATCTTACACTCTGAGCTGCACGCAGGACTACATATCTTTGGCCGTCCGGTGGTACTCCCTGATGAGCTGTATACTGACATGCTCTCGTTATCCCCTCTCGACCCACAACATCTACAATAGCGGGCAAGAGTTACTTTCAAATAGCCGGTGATGGCATACGACTCCTGCTGCGAGAGTCCCCCGCCACGGCCTGAGCGATGTGGGCGGACCTTTATGCCAACTGAATGATGGTCCGTTACGACGATGCGAAGCACGGGCTCGCTGGCATCGGAGGTCCGGGCGCCCGCCTGGGCCGGGAAGATGGGAAGATGGTAAGATGGTGAGTGGTGAGGAAGCGAGAGAGTCGAAACCCTAGAGGAGTTTGTGGGTATCCTCGTTGTGATCTGGAATAGGCATCTTCGGGTTGTGAGTCGCTTGCCGTTTGTCATCTATTCCATCACACTGAGCTTGATGCTGCTCATGCATATCCTGCTACCCATCCGGGACTGCACCCTGTTAGCTCACCTTACAAGAACGAAAGCCAATCACGTTCCATGTCCACTCCTGCAGCGACGACAAGACAAACGAGTTGCTTAAGAGTTCACTACGTTTGATGTGCTTTTGCGCCTCAATCCTGGATGGCTGGTTCACCTCGCTCTTGTTCCACCGAGTCAGAAAAGTCATTGTGGCTCTACTGGCATAGAGAGACTGGCACCAAAGCTAATGACCATTTTCTATCTACCTTCCTTGGTTCAACGAAAGATGAGTGTGGGTCAATCGTCCGACGTCGTGTCAGCCGTGATACCTAAGCTTGCTACAAACACGTATAGAGCCTATGGTACAATGAACAATTGTTGTCGCTCATATTTGTCAACCCCTATCTGATTGCGACCAAAAGCATCAAACCACTATCGGCCCACGATTAGATCACCTTTGGCCACTGTCTGACTAGATTCGTCCGCACAAAACTCTACAAGTTGACGAAAAGTGCCAATATAGTCTATATAACAGAATAATTCAAACGGGACGGTGGCACAATACTTATTATGGTGATTCAGGATAATACCGAATCTTGCTAACGAAACAACTAAACAAGGAATCCCAATGGCATCCACAGCTTCAATGCCAAGACTTCTCGCATGCCAGAACGTAACAATATGGTATTGTCACTACCATGGACTGAAACTGGAGTAAGGTTGCCTTCGACAGAGACCACACAGTGTTGATTACAAGTGTTTACCGCTCAGAAGCACTGGAGCAGTGACGGAAGTGTCACTTAGGTACGTCGCAAGTGGAGACACTACTTGATACTTGATACTTGATCCTTGTTCTGCGTCTTTCCTTTCTCACAGGTCAGATATTCGCATCTTGAGACTCATACAATCATACTTCATCTCCGTCAATCTCTCACACTAGAACATTATGTCCCTCCCATATTATTATCAAATCATGTCACAAACGAACACAATTTACGAGACGCTCTCGGGCAACGATCTTCCGATTCTAGCACGTCCGCCCACATTGCCAACTCACAGTCAGGACCAAAGCAGATTTATGCAGCTTCCTGCTGAAGTTCGACTGAACATCTTGCGGATGGGACTAGTCAGTAGCGAAGGACTCGACGTTCGAAAACAGTACCTCATACCGTCAATGCCTGGGCCCAACGCAAATGCTAAGGATGGACTACCGCAAAGACGAACAAAGATCGTTGAGGGCTATGGCCTTGTTCCAGCACTACTCGTTCTCTGTCAATACCTTTTCAAGGAAGCGTATCCAGTTTTGTATCACGAAAATACTCTCGTGTTACATTTTCAGCTTACCGAAGGGCCATCTCCATGGTCTGGAGACATTTACTATTGCTATGTAAGAGCTCTCAATCCATCTTTGTTCCGGCCCTATGATGTCTTGGGAGGCGCTGGAGCATGGAGGATAGATCCCGACTCAGCTTCCGTCTTTTACCGGTTTCAACGATATCGCTTACATCTCAACCTCAACCCGTCAATATTGGAGTATCACTGTTTCAAAAACCTGATTCAGGTACTAGCACCATTCATTCTGCACAAGAAATCAGTACGAATGAAGGTCTCAACCAGCGGCAATGCCGTGAGTTCTGATACACGCAAGTGCTTCGTGTGGGAGCTCAAGCTCTTGCAACTCGTTCACTGCCAAAGTTTCCAGATGGAGATCGTGGGAGTCTCTGGAATGGAGTCGATAGTCTCAGACGTGGAAGAAGTGGAAGAAGTGGTTACAAGCAATCGAAGGGTGCAGGACTTGAGCAAGCTGAAGGCAAACGTGGCACTACAATTCAGTCTTATGGAAAAGGTCGCAACAGCCGATCCAGCACGCGCCACGCTCCTACAACGCTTGTACTCAATCGGCAGAGAGTTGGAGCCGGCTGTCAGGGACTTTGATGTCGCAGAATTTCTCAAACATAGATCCGATTTCCTCGATCTCTTCAATGAGATGCTGGCGCTTCTCAACCAGCAGATCTCTCAAGACGACGAGGATGTTTTGGGGCTAGAACCCATCTCTCACGACAGAGTGGTGGAAGAAATCGAATAAAAAGGGATAGCGAGGATTTGGACGCTGTGGTTGTCGCGAGGTCATAATAAGAGGTATATACAAGTGTTTTATTGTGGACGAGAGAAGTGAGGGAGGACGAGTTCATTTCATTGAGCGTCAAACGACGTTACGTTGATCACTGCTGCAAGAGTACGACAGACGAGAGGAAAGGTAGTTCGAGGTCAGAACCGAGTCTCAATCTCAATGGCACTATGGAGGATTGAAGATGGACAGTTGTGCTCTAAGGTGCGTCTGTCCGCGAGGGTGAGCAATGGCAAGGGGTATGAGGGTTTCCAGTCTGATGTGCGTTGCAAGCAGTTTTTTTTCTTTTGTTTCGTATTAACAACTGTCAATTCAGCAAGAAACGCGCAAAGGATTCATTCTGTAATCAGCTCGTTGATGATACAAGTTCGTAGGAAGGTCAGAAGCAAACTCGGGGCTCTGTGTAGCCTGTGCTTCGGTCAGACAAACAGGGGCGGAATTTTGACTATATTGCAGAGTTGCACCTTAATCATCCCCGTGCTGCGTCTTCTGCTTCAGTCTGATAGCTCTCAGCTTCGGACTCGGACGCAGATGCTTCATCACTGGTGCCCCCCTCGTCAGACTCCTCATCTGACTTTTCAGCATGAAGAAGATCAAAGCGTGCCATGTTCTCGTCCTCATTCGGATCAGGAACGCCAGCTGCTATCACGTTTCGTGAACTACCCCTATCCAATCTCTTCAGGACATCCAAAGCATTGTTGAGAGTTTTGAGTTTCTTCGTGTAAAGTGCCCGCTCATTTCGGATGTCCTCATTCTCGTCTGCAATATCCTGGACGACATCGTCACTGAGCTGAAAGATCTTGGAAGGCGGAAAGAGACCCTCCAACTGGCCCATCAAGGCTTGTTCGACTGCATAGATAGCAAAGTCGTCGACGAGGTTCTTGAGTGCAACCTGATATTTGTTAACACGTCCTCAATTACAATAGAGTCGCAACGTACCTCGTAGTAAGCCGTCATGGTCGTCAAGGCTTCCTTGCACGCAAAGGTAGTCATGTCTGGCTCGGTGGCGTTGATAAATGCATTCATCAAGGCTTTGGTGTTCACGTTCATCTTCGTGGTCATATAATCCTCGGACCGCGGATTGGTGCCGAACAACTCCTGGATCACCGCGGCAACATGGTCTTGCTGTTGCTCAGTACGAGCCTTCTGCAAGTTCTCCGTCAAATAGTGGTTGAAAGTAGTTGGCCGAGCACGGACGTGTTGATGAAGATCTTTTCACAACTTGATCGAAGTCAGTCTTAACACAGGAGAGCTCGGGATTGATGAGAAAGGATCCCATCACGCGTAGTCTGATCGGTTCTTACAGCGACAGCAAGCATCATCGAAGACTTGACCGTAAAGAATGTCTTTTCTGCAGCCTGCTTGACAATAGCCGCCCATGGTGAACTCTGCTCTTTGAACAGTTGTGTGACATTCTCTTCCTTCATAGCAGTAGCGAGCCCCAGATCTCGGTTGCGCTGTATCAATTCTCGAACATTTTTCCAGAATCCTTAAGCTCTATTCGGAGTGTATGGTTGCTGAATCTCTTTGTGCTGTCAAGACCCATGGCGACTCCAGCAGCCTCGAAAAATGCGCCAAGATCTTCGTAGACGTCAACGTCAAGGTCGCCGATGGCAAAGCCATCATGTAACTGTTGTTTCTCGTCGTCGCTACAGTTTGCGTCTGCAACGATGGAGACGGTCTGGCTAGCCTCGGAACTTCGACGTAGGATCAATTCGGTGGCAAAACGGGTGCAGAGAGCGTCTTTTGTAGGAAAGGCAAGGCCTGATAAAGCTTCTAGCACACTGGATTTACCGCTTGATTGATCTCCCTGTTCTCGATCAGCGGCATGTCCTTTTGAATGTTCAAAGCGCAGAAGCATTTGACCAGCGAGCGAGATCACGACTTACAACCACGACAATTTGCGGCAGATCAATGCATGTGCTGGTTCCCAATGATCTGAGGTTGTCGATCAAATTCAGGAGTGTCTCATGATCCTTCGATTGAATGTCCATGTTCCGCGGCTTGGTAGCCATATCTAGTTGCACAGAAGCGCTCATCTGCCTTTAGCGTGTTGCTTGAAGAGCAGTAAAGGAGACGTCAAAGAACAGAGTAATTGTCAATTGACATTCAACGTGTCACAGCAGTTTTTGTATCCATAATGTTGCTGTAATTTGTGGCCGACAAGAACAGCCTGGCGTCAGTGAACACTCCAGTTATGGAAGCCTTCACAACTGGCATGACAATTGAAGTGTCCATCTTAACGAAGGACTGAAAGGAAGCAGACAAGAAGGAAGGGAGTGTCGGACCTTGCACTTGATACTGAGTTGTCTTCACCAACACTGGTGTCCACCAAGAATGTCTGAAGTCATGTTCGGGAGTCTCATCAACAAAGAGTAGAGACCTTCAGGCTACTCAACGACATAGGACACCCGGCAAGCGGTAGAAGTAATCTCTTCCACCCTGTGTGCATACTAGTGTAAACCAGTACGAGCCATGGAATGTCGCTGAAAGTGTATCTGCCTGAGGCATCACAACCTCTGGTTACTACGCAAAAAATCAGCCAGATTCTACACTGTCACTTGTTCATCCCCGCAAGAGCCAACAACATCACCTCTGATATGTGCCATGGTTGATCTGCTCGGACTATACACTATGCACACCGGTCGCAGCACCTGCTCCCCAGATCTAGCTTGGTCCCACTACTAACAGACCATCATGGTCGAATTCTTAACTTCCTCCTACCCGGAAGATCTCCTTTCGCATTTCCAATTCCCTTGTCAGCCTCACCACTTGTACTTGTCATACCTGTTCTGCCCACATATTTCTCTTTAGATACTGCAGTGCTCCCGCCTTTTATGAGGCGAGGCAGTGCTGTAGAAGAAGGTGTTGTGGTTGGAATTGCTGTCCCAATACTAGTTGCTGCTGCAGCGCTCCGTCGTGTCTTTGGCATCGGCACGCGCGATTTTGCTGTTGCTGAAGTTGAGGAGGTAGTTGGATTTTTCGTCGCAGTGTTCGTGGTAGCACTAGCTGGCTCTTCTGCAGGAATTGCAAGTAGGTCCTGTTCCGACAACTTCGCAACAGCATTCGGTTCGGCTTCGACTGGATTTGTCCCTGCCCCGTCTTCGTTGTCAACCATGAGACGTCTGCTGCGCTTTGGTGCTGGAGTTCCATTGACTGAACCTACAAACCCTCTCCTGGTCTTGCGCACTTTCGTCTGCGAGGATACCGACTCTTCTTCGTCCTTGGTTTCTGATGTGAAAGTGGCTGTATTAGGCTCTAAATCTTGAGCCGTCGCGTCTATATTCTGGAGACCCGCTGTGTCGCCTTCTTCGGCAGGGCCACTCATCTTCAAGGTCAACTTCACGTACTTGCTAGGTGCCTCGTCTTTGTGACCAGTGCTTTCCTGACTGCTGTCTTCGATATCGTCTAGAACACCGGACGGAAACTGTTCAGCCTCTTGATACCTTTCGAGATTCTCGTCGTCCCATCTAAGAACTTTTCTTGGTCGTGTTGCACCTTCACCCGCGGTCATTGACGTCCTCTTCCTGTTTGCTTTGATCTCCTCGATAGCATCCTCAGCTCTTTCATGATTGCTTTCCAATGTCGAGCCTGCCTGAGTATTTGCTTCCTCGGTCTCCTCTGTCTTCAATTGCTCAAGTCGAGCACGCACATTAGCAGCTGTGCCTTTGTTCTTCTTGGTATTTGTTCTGGTTACCACAGACATGTTGGCGTTCGAGGGGGCCTTTTTAGCTTGAAAGATGAATTCATTGCCACTAGCACGCTTCAATCGTATTTGTGGTCGAGGGATATTGGTGACTACACGCTTGCTGCGTCGCAGTGGTGAAGTGGGTTCAGGCCCAGTCTCTTCAGGAGATGGTTCCAGTTCCGACGCATGATGCTCTTTGGCGGGAAGAGTCGTCTCTTGTAAATTATTTAGAGCTTCGGACGCGTCGATCAGACTTCTTATCATGTTTCCATCGGTTTCTGCCTTACGCGCAGCTTTGCCAGCTCTTATCCGTGACATGAAGTTGCGTAGGAAAGTCGCCTCATCATCCGAGATCCTTCTAGGAACTTTCTCTTGCCTGTCTAGAATATCCTGGACTCGGGCCTCTTCCGTCTGTTTGACGTGCTCAGGCAAAGGCTCCATTTGGAGCTCTTTCATCTTAGGAAGATCAAGCGCCTCAAGCTCGTCGATTGTGACATTCTCTGCAAGAATGGTTGGAGGCGAGCTTGATCTGTTCTCATCGAGCTCGTCCATTTCTCTGTCAGTTTCAGAACTTGGGCCGTCAACAATATTATTGTCCTGGCTTTTGGTGTGTACTTCATTCTCATTCTCAGCCGAGTAGGCAGGTAGATCCAGGTTAGGGATATCCTCAGGGCTGTGCTGGACGGTATCCAGGATCTCTTCGTTTGGAGCCTCAGCCATGGTATCTGGTGACTCTTGATAGTCACCGCCTCGTAGAGGAATCAGATCTAATTCGCTATTCGAAGTGGTGACAATCGGATTATTATCCTGAGTCTGCTGCCACTCATCACGTTCGTCAGTCACAGCAGGTTCAGCCTCTTCATCTTCTTGCTGCTCCAAGTTCTGAAGGAAAGGTATTTCTCTTTCGATCATATCCTCCTTGTCCCCCGCCGCAAAGTCGCGTCCTTGTCTCCGCCTCTCCGCATGACTATTCTCCTCATCTGCAAATTTCGCGCCTACTGCAATGCTCAAGTTCTCCTTATCTTCACTCGAATCCAGCTGGATTTTCAGCTTCTTCACAACTCGAGCGTAGTCCTGCTTTGTTTCCTGCTCGCGTCTGCTCATCACTCGGTTCGCGTCATGACTTATCTCACCAAGAGGAACGCGTTTCCAGATCTTCTGCTTGTCGTCTCGAGGTACGTATGGCGTTGCAGGTCTGCGCTCCCAGGCTCGTGGACGTTGTCTCTCGCGTTGAGGAGTGAAGCTCACTTTCGGCATGGTTTGAAAAGTAGACTTGCCTGGAGATGTGCGTGGTGATCGTAGAGGTGATCTGGAGGATTTTGATTGGGATTGGAGTTTCGATGGTGAGAGGCGTTGAGAGGGTGTGCGCCGCTTAGACGGTGACAGCACATGGTCGCGTAGTGGTGTTTGAACACGTGGTAAAATCGACGGTCTCGAGGAGAAGATCGACGGAGAGGCTAGAAGTGCCTTTTCCGAGTTGCTCTCTGTCATTCTGTTGGTTTCTTAGAGCAAGATCGCCTAATTGGTCGTTGAGCCTATTATATACATTGACGCGTCGTCGAATGTGGTGCCCTCCTTGAAATACCTCGACTTGTATAGTCAAGCACTTATCATACTCCTGCAGTGATATATGTGCGTGAACTGTATAGTAGTGCGCAAGGACAAAATGGTTGCTCAGCTCGAGCTTTTGTTTACAGAAGTGTTTAGGAAGAACTTAGGAATTTTAGCGCGTCAGCGGGACTACTAGTCGCGTTCGGCAAAGGGCACATGGTGGCCGTATCGAGAGCGACTACCACGATATCTTTCAGCCATTGACACGCTTGGTCTTGCACCACTACGCGTATCACGTACTTGAACTGAGTCTCGTTGCCAGATATTGATATCATCAGAGACAGTGTGGTGAGAGTGCTTACATTAGTCCAACCTTGAAAGCTATAAGCAGACATGATGTCAAATGAGTGCTTGTATTGACAGCTCAAAGAAGCAGCATCCAACATGCAGTCACAACAGATGTGAAGTGTTACCTCCCTCATCTATTGCAGTCATGCAACCGAGCAGAGATATTCATAACCAACCCTGCACTTCGTATTCAGATATACCTTGTCTTCTGTAGACGATAGCTAGAACTCAGGATCTTTGTCTAGACCCAAACCAGACCAGTCAGAGTCCGCCCTACTCAGCAGCATGTAGGCCAGGATGCTCGTCTTCATAGGCCTTTCTAGCGGTCGTCGCCGAAACAGTTCCAGAGTTTGGTATAAGGCTTGAAATTCGTAATGAGCATAGGACAGTTGAAACTCCTCTCGTGCCACGTATGACCCTACACCAAGTCAGTATCAATGAGGAAGGGTCAAGAGAGCCTGCAACATACCCATCTCAAAGTCGCGCTCGAACACGATCAGATGTGCACGAGCAAGCCGAGCCAAACTGCGCTTGTCGCCAAACATCAGATTAGCGCATATGCTGATCATGCCATCTAGTCCACCCTCATTGTCAAGAACCACATTGCTAGCTCCATCCGCGAAGCTAGGAGCCGCTTGTGCACTTGCTGAAGTGAGACCTGTGTCATAGGAACAGCAGACGACACCTCTGTCTGTGTATTTCATGGCTCGGTACATTGAGGCAACCGCTTCAGGGTGTGGCCACGTCCCAGAACTAATACCAATGTCTCCTGGAAAAGCTCGTAATCCCTTTAATGGTGTTCTTGCATCAAGCCAGACGAAATTTGAGGTTCTGAAGGGATCTCGCTTCATGGCCTCGAGCACAAAGTATGTCTTCGCATTCCAGCAGCCCCATGAATGTGGTTCCCCATGATAGGTGGTCCTTATGCTCTGGTCCAGTTCTGTTTGAGTTCGGTGGAAGCTCTCCTTCTTCTGCTTCAGATGTGGAAGATCCCATGGCGTTGTATAATGGTCATATATCACCACGTTGTTCCCACTCAATGCTCGAACCTCCTCGGCAAAGTCGTCGGGAGGCAAGAACAGGATCAGGTGCTGGCAAGCAGCAACCATCTTCCGGATACCATCGCGGTAGTCATCCACCGATCGCGGGATTTTCTCTTGGCCATGGGCACGTAGAAGTGGTCGATCTGCTGGTGGTGGGAAAAAGGCCGAGATGACGGTTGTAGTTGATGCGCCTACTGGGGGGATGGTAAAGCTGGGAATCTGTACGTACTTGTTGACTACCTTTATGGCTTCACTAATGCTCTTCTCATCGTTCCTTCGGTAAAGCCACATTTCCTCCGGGAGCGACAGTTTATCCTCAGAATCCACAAAACCTGTTGAAGGCATGTTGAACGCCATTCTGTTTCGGTGGATTTGTTAACATGATTCCCAGAATTCGGTCGGTATTTATGCTGGTAGAGACGCTTGCGTAGCTCTATCATAATTGACACGGTAAACCTGGCGACTGCGGATGATGGCAGATGTCGGTGGTGATACGAGTAGAACCAGGTTGCATCTTCTAATCGTGATACCAATATAAGTCTCAAGCATCGTACAAAGACATCTGCCTGATTTCTCCTGAAGTTAAGCATTCTGCTCAGTATTGAGGCTGTCGATGAGGCTGGGTATGCTTATGCTATCGCTATCCAGACTTCGCGTAGGTCTTGCATATCACCACTCTCCACTGGAATTCCCTCAGCCTTGCTGCAGGCGTAAATCAACGTTAGTAGCTCTAGTTCTGATCCATGTATTGGATGAGGCAAAGACATCATGTGCCTTTGTGTCGGCTATGCAGTAGCTGCATCGCAGAGTGTTATCGGACATGATGTAAGGCTGCACATTTCGTCAATACAACTACACGTTAGTAATCTTGAAGCACGTTCTTCAGATCGTGTCAGATTTGCTTCTGCTGTCGCTGCAAGCGAAAAGCTCTCGCTAATTCCACAATTCACGCTAGTTTCGTGTGATCTTATTGACCATAGGTCACATCTTTCCATATCTTGTTGTCTTCGCGTGTGCGACTTGGACTTCAAGGCATAAGAGATATGCTTGATTAGTCCCTTTGCGATTGTGATGAACGGACGTGTACGGTGATCATAACGTGTCTCGACTCGCTACTGCCTCTTTCTGAACCATGATCAGACAATTGACCGCTCTCAGGGAGCTCTGTAACGATAATACCGGCATGGTTCGTAGTTTCTAATTAACCACTTACCTTTTGCTATAAAATATGCACATATTCCATGCGTAGGCACGGCTAAGCTAGATCTTTCGATCTATACAAATTCAATCATCGTGCTACGGTGAAGATGCAAAACGACCTCCTTCATGGGCCCTCCATTTTAGAAAGATTGACGCGTTACGATGGCGTGTCTCTACACTATCCTAACATACACCCTATCGAGCCAAAATAACTCTAGAGTGCTCGCATGAAGACCAGCAACTATTACCATGATTGCCCTGGCTGTCGCTATCGACCTGCTGACTTGTGTAGCTGGAAATCGGGCTTCCAGGTCTTTTTCTGCATTCAAGAGAGCCAGCAAGTGTCCACTTCCTCCTGATCGGACGAAATTGCCTGTACTTCGTAACTTCAATGATTTACTCAAGGTCAGAAGAATAATGATGCAGAGGTGGAATCTTGAATGCTTTTGTCGGGCAGTCATTCTGCAGCCTGTTGTTTTGGTTTAGCTAAGAAGTGCGATGCATAAGGAGAGATTTGTGAACCAGAGAAGATATACCCGTAATCAAAGAGCGACTCAACAGTGCGTTGGGAGGTAACTTACTCACAGGTCTGGGACTCAACGTGGAATCTCGGATGCCTGCAGTGGTATGCACCAAGGTGCTTCAACCACTGCAGGCTCGCTGAAAATCTGTGCATCCACGCTTCACGCAAACAAGTCGCAAGACAATAGTACTTCAGATGATTGAAATCGTGTTCTCATTTCTAACTTTGACAATACTTTAACATCTCGTGACGCTAGGTCATTATTGCGTTTGTTACTTCGACAATAAGCTCATACATCCAGCGATAACTGGCAAGCTTGCATCTCCTTCTCTTTCAAGAGCTCCTTTGCTCCCATATTTTTAATCCACATCGGATCTCCGTGTTTTCATCCTTGATCCCTGGTTCCTGAAGTCATGAAAATGGTGTATTGTACAGAATGTGTCAAAAAGCGTAAGTCGTCAAGGCCTTCCTCCTCCTTTCCCTACCTTCCTTTTCGCCTTGAGATCTATGGTCGTGTCAAACGTGATCTCTGTGATCCAAGTGCCGCAGGCTAGCATCCTCCGGCGTTTCGTGTACTGCTTTTCTCCACATGGTTGATGAACGCCGACCTGCTATGCACAAATCATTTGCTAAGACATTAGGTTGAAGTGTATGTCTTTGGTGGTTTTTAGTGATGCCCAGCATAGGCATGATGGTGGGTCATCGGAATAGCTCGGTGGTGAAAGTCGACTGGATCGATCATTTCTCGTGGGTATCCTGATGGTGGCGCACTGACAGAAGCCATATGCATGCCTGGGTCTGTCGTGTATCCTGGATGATGTTGCCAATATTGAATGGGTGCCGATACTGGAGCTGCCATTACATTCTCGTACTGAACATGGCTATGTTGTACCATCTGGTGACCATAGCCATAACCAGGATGAGCAGAATGGCCTTGGGGAATATGAGGACTCAAATGCAATGATGGTGTAGCTGATGCTGGTAGTCTGCCTTGTGGCTCATACATTGGGAATGCGGCGACCTGAAGACTGCTGTGGTAGTCAGGAGCTGGTCGTGTGGCGTAAGGATACTCATGATGCTCAATCGGTCGGTACATCTTTGGCTGCGGAACCGATGCTGCTGTGCTGGCATAACTGGCAGAATATTTCGAGATTATCTTCTGGAGGGCGACCGATAGGATTCTCCATGGGAAAACCTTGACATCCTTCTCAATGTTTCGAGGTTTGGGGTTAGGAAAGCCCATGATGACCTTGAAAAACTCTTCGGTCTCCGGTTTGCCTTTCGACACAGTGTCCGGCTTGAATCCTTCCAGATTGCGTCGAATACGATTCTTTTCCTCGACGGTGAAGCGAGCCGCAACGATAGCCTCCAACAATGCGATAGTGTCGACGCTGGTGACATATGCCTCCTTCTTCTCGGCCCACCAGATGCAGCTGACTGATCTTGGGTTACTCTTCCATTCGTTCTGTGGCACAACCCTAAAGGATGCCGTGATGTCATTGCCTTTCTGTTGACGGTCAAAGACAACAATCTTGCGTCGCGCTTCAAGCTCTTCTTCGCTCCAGGTCTTGGCTACCTCGTCCAAATCACCATCTAGGTGAAGTCTTGCTTTGCTGTCTGGAGAGAAAAGCGTGTATGGATTGAAGTTCTGCGTGTGTCCAACAGTTGGTAAAGTATGAGGATAACCTGGAGGAGAGTGTTGAGAAATGGTTGACGTACGAACCAGTTTCGGGTTGTGGGCAGCTGATGCCACCTGTGGTCCGGGCGTCGCTGGTGCACGTGGGCTGTGTTCAGTGTTTGCAGTTGTGAATGATGGACTGACAGTAGGCGTGTATGGTGCAGTTGCAGCTACAGAAATCTGCGAGGCATTTGATGCGGAGTGCTGGTGACCATGCAGCCGAGGAGACACAGCGAGTTGATATGTCAAATGGGATCCTCCCAGAGTTGTGGGTGTGGGTACCAGAGAAGAGTATGGCGAAGGCTCACTCTTCAGATCAAAAAATTCTCCGCTCGGGTCTTGCAAAGCCATGCGTTTTGGCGCAGGTGCTTCAACTGGGAATGACTCAACCGAGGCCTTCCGCTTCTTGGTGGATACCATGTTGTATGGGATGCCATGAGTGCTAATTGGTGCTAGTGCTGGTGGTGGGACGGTCGAATAACCACCTAGACTAGGTCCAGCTAGGCTGACATGAGTGTAGGCATCGTTCTGGCCAGGAGAGTATCCATAGCCATCCTCATAATCGCTTCCGTACTCATTTGGTAAAGCAGCAAGATCATTCTGATTCGTCTCGGGCGAGGCATATGAGGACGACAGGTACTGAATAGCTGGCTGATATTCTGCCAAGTTGTCAGGAGGCATTCTCAGCGTAGGATCATACAATCTACCTGTACCAAAAAAGGATAGCTCCTTTCCGTGTCCGGACATTGCTTGAATAGCAAGGTAATCCTCGGTGGTACCAAAAGGATACACCTGATACTGTTCCGCGTCGTCCACAAGGTTGAAGCTGTCTTGATAGATCATGGAGTTGGCTTTGCAAAGACTTCGTCTCAGTCAGTGTCTGAAGGTGCTGAAACGTGGTATATAAGATTGAACTCACCCAAGGATATGTTGATGGTATTAATTTGCGTGTTGATGATCAGTGATCAAACAAAGCGAGCGACTGAAAGACTAAGCGAGTGTGGTGGATAATATCCAGTTTACGTTTCCAAAACAAGCGAGAGACGAGAGCTCTGAGCTACCGGTTTGAGGGAATCTTGGTGATGGTAGCGTATGTTTTTCCGGACATACAGACCTGAGCGCCAACTACTGAAGCGACTGGTGATGGGCCAAACTGCTGCAGAGTCAAGCTCTGACCAGAGATCACTCCAAATTGGGTGAAGAAGTTGGCGGGATCGTGCTCAGATACCAGGATTCAAATCGTTGGTAGATGGCTTATTGACAAGCCCTATGGAACGAGTCTCGGAGGTCGTTGACGCGACTATGGTGCTCTAATCTCTGCGAACAAAGAGCAGTTCGTGCTCGAGCAGGGAACTGCGTTCTTGATTAGCTCAGTTCCTCTAGAAAGTGGACACGGGCGAGTTCGGCAAGCAGAAACAAGGCTAGAAATATATGAAGGCAAAGTGGCAGAGTGGTCAGTGAGGATGAAGTATTGCGTCTAGCGCCATACTGTCCTGACCGCCATGCTAAGACAAACAACGAAAAGCTGCAAGCCCAGAGCAAGAGCAAGTCGTGCTCGTGTGCGATTTGCACGAAACATATCCTTCTTCTGGTTATGTGGACATGTTGCAAGAGATTTGTCGCAAGCAAGGAGGATGTGGAACATATGGGGTTTATGGAATTATGTTCGGCACAAATTGGGAAGCAGGAGCGACCAGGACCACGGATTTCTCTTACCTGTTAATCTCAGCAGATGCTCGAACGCACCCTTCAGTACGGCTTGAAATTATCTGTTACCCTTCTCGTCCCTTAATCCGAAGCGATGCCGATGATGTCGATTAGAGAATCGCAAGGCTCTCGGGTAGCTGCACAGACGAGGCGGTTTTGGAGTCTGCAAGGATGGTATCCGTCCACTCTCTTTATTAATCTTTACGTCTTGCGATAGATATGCGACTAGTTGATTACTGATGCAATGTTGTCGTAGAGCGAGCGTTAATTCGTAAAGCCTTCGTTATGATCCGCTGGTGGAATTGGTTTCGTGTGGCTCCAATCAGTCCGATGCTGAAACTTTTGAATCAAAGCGATTGATGATCCAAATCGTGTCGTCGAATATTGTCCCCGAAAGCGAATGTGCGTTGTCGTGAGCGAAAGTGTTGTTGCGAAATAGAACGAAGGACGCACTGCAAACAGTACCAAAGTTGAGGATGAGCGAACGTGTGGTAGAGAGGAAATCTGTGGAGAGAATAGAAGAGCCAGCCGGCCGGCAATGAGGGGACAGGCACTCGGCTATATTGGGCTGGCTTTCTCGTACGGCAAACTTTGGTGAAGTCTGCTCATCGAAACTCCAACGTCCGGAGCATGACTGCACAGAATGGAAAGGCTCATGGACAAGGATGATCAATGAGCCAACCAGAAGCACCGTGAGTAGCGTGAAAATTGTCTGCAGATTCCATGATAGTGTGGCAGTACGAAAGTGGGTATTCCAAGCTGTGGATATTCACTCGATCAGGCATACCCACACCAATGGCGAGCAGATGGAACAGGAAAGCCAACAGAACATCCAGGAGGACTGGGCTTTGCAGCTGAAGCCTATGCGCCTCTCTCGTGCACATCGTCGTCCCGTGTAGAGAGAATAGAAACGTTGACAGTACTTGCTAACAATGCATTGAATACTAGACAAATCTATGGTCGGGGTGAGTTCGTGTATGCGACAATACACGTCAGACGACACAGCGGCAGCTTTGCTACCATTTCAGTCGATCTCAATTACGCGCGTCTCATAACTTCCCATATCTTTCTCTGACGACTGGTTTGCATCACACGTCCATCGAAAGAGGACAGAAGGACCTCTGATCTCTGAACGATAAGTGGCATCATACTCAATCTTGAAGCAAATGATTCGCCTCCTGAGCTCAGCATCTGCAAAGGTCAGGAGTTGACCCATGCAGTTGTTTACAGGCATAATACGGACACCAGGACAAAAGCGTTTAAAAGCCTGGCAAAGAAAACATCCGTTCCGAAGAATGCAGGGCTCAAGGCGATATTTCCACGTTGCCGCCAACAAACAATACTTCATATGTGCAGGACTACACTTTCTTGCTCTTTTGAGCTCACGAAATTACCCTGCTGCTGGGTCCCAAAAGCATTTCCTTTTTTTCCATCACCAATCATGCAGTGGTGACATGCACGAAAAAAAAAAGTGCCGCTTGGTGCCGTGAAACTCGAGGGGAGTTTCGAATGAAGTCATGGGCTCCATCTGGCCACGTCGCTAGGAAGCGCCTCTTGCAGTGAAAACGCCCAAAAATAGACCTGGCTGTGCTCTACACTTGGGCCCAGAAAGGAAGCGTGCTGCAGAGCTTTGCCTAGAAGGGATGTTAGATGGAGTGGTAACCGCCGCGTGGGCTTGAAACGATTGGATCGGAACAGCATCTTGACCAGCGACTTGCTGACATCCTGCTCAACTCGTGATGGTCGGCGATCACAACAGCACAGCCTCTCGTTTGCTTGTGCTCTAGCGTGTTTCTCGAGGTCTGTCATGCATTCCTCGGTTCTTTTAGCAAAGAAACCTGACCCATGATAAGGTCACTGACATGGCTTTCGCTGCACGACCTGCTGTCCCGGTGCTTTCTTCCTGTGTCTGGACCGCTGAAGACGATGGCAAAACTGCTTCCCCATGATTTCCCATCCTGTATCTTTGTCTTCTCATGCCGATCACCTACGACCAACACGAATGTTTGTCGCAAGCGATAGCATTAGCATGATCGCACATGGTGTTGAGGTCCCTGCGTATATGCACAGTAAGACCCTGAAGATACAAAAATAAACACAGTATTGTAATAGTTGGAGCGAGAGACCTATTGTACGGTGAGCAGGCAGGAGAAAAGACCCAGTGCGGTTTGGCGCTCCCATCTAATGCTGCACATCCATGTTTGGATCCAATTATGCGCTGTTGTGTACCTGTGCTACCACAGCACAATGTCGCTCGCTACCATTAACACAGGCCGGCTCACCTTGGTCCCGGGACTGTTATCTCGATCATCGTCGACAGTGCATCATCGACTATGTTGTCGCTGGCCATCCTGTCGACTACCTGAAACAGGTACCGTGTCACGTCCTTAAACAGCACGAAGCTCTTCTCACAGCGACATCCTTGTCATATTCAACAAGAAGAGGCACCATCGCCGCCCACATTCTCCGCTTTCAAGGACAAAGTGGCTGCATCGCAGAGATTGTCGAAATCTTATCCAAGATGTCTTTTAGTGCATTCGAGTACTGCGCTCCACAAGCTTTGTTCTCGTGATCCTTGAACGTGTTCAAAGTGACAGTTGAAGTTTTCTGCTCGACGATGGATAACTCTCACGACCAGGATGGCTGGCCTTCCTGCAAGACGAAGATAGGAAGGTCCTCAAGAGTCCGTGGCTTTCGCCGACTATGTGTACGACCTCCTATACAAGAAGGGGTTGAGTCGAGATGAGGAACCTCCTTTTCAGTTGGGACCGCAATGCAGCCGAACAGCTTCGCTATCGAACAACAGTAATGAGGCTGGCAACTGTGCTTCCCAACAACTATAAGGATAGACGTAGCCGTAGCCCCCATCGAGGTCGTACAAATGCATGTCTTACTTTCTGGTCGAGGCAAGAATTTGAGTCTAACTTGCAGTCCTATCAGGTCTTCCACGAGCCATGCACTCCTGAAAATCACAGATGTGGTTACCCAGCACTGCAGAATTGTTGTATATACTTGATGTTGGTGAGAGTTGACTGAGCAGTTCCCGCTGCCTGGGCAATGGTGGTTGTTCAAAGTCCTACCCGTACCGCTTCGACATAATCGTTGGGCTGTATCAGGTCGGAGTAGACTACACAGTCCTGTAGACCCTCTGGATCTCAGCATTAATTCGATAATGTAATCGTTTTAGTGGAGAAACGTCATCCAAAACTTCTGTGCCAGGTCAATAAATTAGACATGGCCTAGCTTTCGAATACATGTAGCGGAATGTATTATGCTACGACGTATAAGCATGGAGAACATCTGAAACGTTTCCGTTTTCCATAGTCTATGCTATTGCGCAATGCTAGTGGAGTCGGCTTTACTAAAATGTGGAAGATACTAATATCAGAGACAGTACAAAGCTCTGTTCAGTATAGAAAAAAGGCAGAACTTTGTTCAAGATTGGTAGCTGCTGAACTCTCTGATTCTCGAGAGTGTAGCATCGTCTACCTTTGGTTATTAATTGCGGCTCAGCTCTATTTTCGCGTTTCCATCCTCTGACCCGTCAGTAGGCTTACAACTTACTTTTGCTGCTAGATACTTCAACAACTAGCTTGCCAAACTGCGAACCCTTCTTCATTTCCTCAAATAAGCCATTGATCTTTTCAAGATCCAGTCCCTGGGCGACGTTTGAAACAGCTGGCTTAGCTTTCGTCTTCTTAATGAAGTCTATCATATCGGTAAACTCTTTGCGAGAGCCCATAGTCGAACCTTTCACTTCGATGTTCTTTAATACCGCCTGCATCAAGAAGGGGGCTTTCGGGCCCGTAGTCATGCCGTAGATCGCAATAACACCTCCAGCCTATATGGATTAGTGAGTCTCTAGCAGCAAAATTGAGCAACTGACCTTCAATAGCCTGGCACTCTTTTCGACAATGTCCGCACCAGCGCCGTCAACGATAGCATCGAACTCTTTCTTCTCAGTAGTCAGCATACCGAGCAACTTCTTGTCCCAGCCTTCTTCCTTGTAGTTGACTCCACCTTTTGCTCCAAGCTGCTTTGCCTTGTTGATCTTCTCTTCGCTACCGCTTGTTACGAAAACGTTTGCTCCAGCAGCTCGAGCGAATTCTAGCGCCATAAGGGCTACACCTCCACCAATACCCGTCACAAGTACGTTCTTGCCTGGACCGATATTGTGTGCACCACATTTAACCATCACGGCGCGCCATGCAGTTAGACCTGTCAAGGGCACTGCGGCGGCCTCGACACTGCTCAGATGCTCAGGAGCTTCTTCGAGTTCTGTCTGTTTGACAACCATATACTCTTGTAGTGTGCCGTTTGGTATCGTCTTTGTGCCACCCAGTATTTTGTAGCCACCCTTCTCTTCAGGACCTTCCAGCGAGTCGCTCCAACCTTCACCTGGGTTGATGACTACTCTCTTGCCTTTCCAGCTCGAATCGGCTCCTTTGCCAACCTCGACGACCGTACCGCAGCCATCGGCAAGAAGGGGAACACCGAAGGCTGTGCCTGGGTAGAGGTGCTGTCGAATGAAGAGGTCCCTATGGTTCAGAGCTGCAGCATGTATCTGCACTAGTACCTCGCCATCCTTGGGTGAAGGCTTTGGCACCTCATCAAGTGACAGAGGGTAGTAGACCTTGCCGGGCTTGCCCTCTATCTGCGAGATGCTGACTGACTTGGGCATTGTGTGGGACACACGCTGAAGTTACTGACACAAGAATGAGTACACGGCACTTGAAGCTCTATGTAGAGATTCGAATCGCACGTTAAGACATTAGCATTTGTAAGGCATCTGAACCTAGTCGCTTGAACGTGAACAAGCATTGAATCATAGCTCTGCAATCTTTCCCCCGGATTTGCTGCCGAGGTTGAGGAAGAAGAGGTCGATCCTGCGAGTCTCGCAATTGATCACAAATCCAGTCCATCGTAAATCATATGCTTCCGCTATCTTCAACTGACGGACATTCTTTAACCAGCCACATGGTCGTCAGTTCTGCAGGCCTTCAAAAATCGTGTGATGACTGGTCCGCAAACCGTAATGTACTTGCCCAATTGAGCCTCGTCTTTTCATGCAGTAAGACAGAGGGACCTCTCTTGGCCAGCAAGCCAAGCTATCTGACCTGATCGAGAGACTACAAAGAGATACAATATGCGAAACTCTTCCCAAGTTCGCCTCTACGGTGCGCTTGCTGAGGTTTGCCCAGCAGAAAGTTGGCAACTTCGGTTCCCGAGCCCCACTGATGTACCGTATAGAGCAAAGCGGTCACGTTTTAGCCCCTGAGACCTGAGTAGCAGCAGCATGACTGATTCATGAAGTAAGCGAGAAAGATCTAAATATGGGAGTTGGTCGAGCAGAATTTCAGTGCTGCAGACAAAGTCTATTGCATCGATTATGTTCTCGTCAGTAGGATGAACGAGAAGAGCATTTATCTTCACGACCAAAATTTATACCATCGTTATTCATGAATAATTTAAAACTTTCATAATTGAAGTCTATAATCGAGCCCCCGACAGTGGAGGTCAGATCTGAAATTAAAATCGAGAAGCATCAAAATCCGTGTCCAGAATTGCGGGTGGTTGTGCTGCAGCGAACAGATTTCAGCCAGCCACATACAAGGCACCTACAGCAAAATCACACACAATGACTCTCGAATTTGGCCATGACATGAGATCACAGTTTCTTTTCGACACCAAATGGCGAAATTTGAATCATGGTAGTTACGGCACATACTCTATTCCTGTGAGGAATGCCAAACGAGGATATACAAAGCTCACAGAATCCTTTCCAGACAAGTTTTTGAGGTACCAGTACATCAACCTGCTTGACAATTCTCGAGAAAAGATTGCACAGCTTGTCAACGCACCAGCAGATGAATGTGTCTTCGTGGAAAATGCTACCACTGCTCTGAACACCGTTCTGCGAAACCTCGTCTACAAGGAGAAGGATGTGATCATTTATTTTGACACGATATATGGTGCCATCGAAAAGACACTTGCATCCGTTGTTGAGACAAACCCGCAACTCACTGTTCGAAAAGTAGGCCATGGACAGGAATATGCGTATCAGCTTCCCATGAGCCATCCAGAAATTGCCAGTGCATTTTCACAGACGATATCACGGCTACTATATGAAGGTTACAACGTCAAGGCAGCTGTTTTCGACACAGTAGTTTCGATACCTGGAGTCAGATTCCCTTTTGAGCGCCTGGTCCGTATGTGCAAAGAGTATGGAATTCTCAGTGTTGTGGACGGCGCGCACAGCGTTGGCATGATACCCTTGAATTTAAGCCAGCTAGATGCCGACTTCTTCACAAGCAATTGTCATAAGTGGCTGTATACACCACGTGGATGTGCATTGCTTCACGTCCCGAAACGTAACCAGCATCTCATCAGGACAACATTCCCTACATCACATGGTTACACACCACTCGAATCAGCCAATATAAGAGAAGTCCTGCCGGAGAGCGATAAATCTGCATTTATCAGGTTGTTTCAGTTGGCTGCGTCAGGCGACCGGACCGCATACTATTGTGTACCTGCTGCAATCAATTTTCGACATAACCTTTGCGGAGGAGAAGATGCAATATACAACTACATCCGCGAGAACGCTCAACGAGGTGCAGATATGATTGCGATGTTATTAGGCACGGAAGTCATGGACGATGCAGATCCAGGCATCGGTCTGAAAGCAATGGGATCGTACGAGGGTAGTGCAGGCCAGGAACAGGTTTCACGAAGATGGATCGGAGGACTTCGCGACTGTGCTCTTGCGAACGTCGTGTTACCTATCACAATTCTCGGAGCTGAGCGTAATGGTTCGGTCAGGCTTGGCCCAGGTGGTGCAGGAAGCGGTGGAGGACTTTCGCCGGGAAGGTCATCCAAGCGACAATCTTCACCATCACTTGGAGCGGGCTATTTCGCACCGCCCCAGTCAGCTAATGGCATCGAAGCTACGATGATTAAAATGGACGAAGCCTCCAAGGTTGTGAATTGGTTGCAGGAGACGCTAATTAGCGAGTACAACACTTTTGTCGCTGTGTACGAATATCATGGACAGTTGTATGTCAGGATCAGTGGGCAAATCTACCTGGAGCTCAAAGATTGGGAATGGCTAGGCGGTGTCTTGAAAGCACTGTGTGAACGTGTGGGTGCAGGAGAATTTCAAAGAGAGCACTCGAGCAGCAAGCCAGCATTGTCGAGAGGCGTTAGTGAACTGGACCTTGAGAAGCTAGGTCGCGAAGTGTCGCACATCAGCATATCAGGCAATGAGTCCAGTAAGGTAGTCGACATTACTGCCGGCGGTTGGCGGCGACCCAGTCAAGGTTGGTCATAGGCTGTTCGAAGCCGCATAACGAGAGCTAGCATAAAGAACTCCTCGGAAATGCTGATGTTACATAGCTATGGTCAGGTATATAAACACAGTATGCTTCATGAGGTGCTCGTCGTGTCTGATGAGGAGATCTGGGTGCGACATTGCATTTGAGGATGCTTTCCCGATGCCGACAACCCACCCGGAGCGGCAGACTTGCAGTTAACGGCATTTCAAGCTGAGCAAGTAGAAAATCTGAACACAAGTACGAGTCTCAATTATGCTTAAACCTGGTTTCCGTCGCGACATCCAATCACAAAACCTCTTCATGGTCACACGGACAAACCAGAGGACAAAACTCGAGGGAGTTGGGTCAGAAAGGTACTTGCCTGCCAAGAGGTCAAAGTCAATTACGCAGCCAAGCACAGTTTTTATGGTGTAATTTATTACCACATCCAAACCACCTGACACTCCTTAATTTCCTGTTCTTCTGGCACGTTCCTGAATATCGTTGCGAAATTGATTGCTCTGACGGGGATCTCTCTCATGATCAGCTGGCGAAGTTTCTTCCTCGCTAGACCATATCCGAAACTCTCCTGTGTTTCTGTTACCCCCAGATAACTGAGAAAATCTAAAAAATCCGGGGTAGTCTCCAGCACGAATCATCCGTTGGATTTCTCATCCAGCCACGATGATGCTCTTTCTACGCGATGACTGATGAAAAAATGAGACTCGCCCTTCGCGGCGAGGACAGTAGATTATGCTGACAACAGGAAACAAAGCCTCTTGATTTCATTCAGTGGCTACCGAATCTCTTTGTCACTTGTACTCCCTTCCCCTCCTGTCGCCTCTGTACATTGTTCGTTTGCTGTCTCTCCTTGAGTTTCTATTAGAGGATCAAACGTCGGTGCTCAGACTAATATAGCAGCATTCCAGACTCGAGACATAATGGCAGGCACAATCCTACATCGGATCCTGTCCAGGACCAAGATCGCTCCTGCCACTGTCCATATCGACACAGCAACGACCGATACAATTTCATCAGACATGCCTACTACACACGCCACCAAACCACAGATATCCTTTGAGACACCTGCAGATATTAGAAAGTCTTCATTAACAGATAACAAATCACCCTCTATGCATAATGCTAGAAAGCATTCCTACGCCTCGGTGCGAGAAGAGTCAGACCTTCCCCAATCGTTCCGCACACGCAAGCTTTCCTCAGAGTCGCAGATACCAGATGATTGTTTGCCACGGTGGCACCTGCAGACACTAGACAAAGAGGATGAGAACGAAGAGGCTATCTGCGATGATGCTAGCGACTTTACAAGGCCGTCGTACGACGGTGCAGATAGCTACACAGACGAGGAGGAAATTAGCAGCATAAGACCAAGGACAATAGAAGATCTCCCAGACGAGATACTGGATCAGATCTTCAGTGCTATACAGCTTGATGTGACGCAGCCCGTCAGCTATGGCTTACCACGATCCGACCTCTTCTCATGCTTGCTTGTTTCGAAAGCATTACATGCAGCTGCTCTTCGTATGCTATACAAGCATGTCCTCATCTACAGATCCAAGACCTTCCATAAAGTGGTTACAACCTTACAAGAAGATGCCGCACTGGGAAACCTGATCCAGACTCTGGATTTCTCACACTACTCGCACATGGGATATGGGCGCTCACGCGGACAGACAAGTGTCACACCATACCTGACGAAAGAGAATCTGAAGATTGTTCTAAGTCGAACAAGGAGACTGAGGGCCTTCCTCGTGCACGAGCACTTGGACACCGAGCTCGACGAGGGTGTGTTGTCTACACTTTTCTCAGTCCCGACCTTGCAAGCACTCGATTTCACAAGCTGTTCTGCAGACGTGTTCTTGAATGCTTTCACCAATTTGTGGGTGGATTCACCTTCTACGAGTTACACACATATTAGGAGATTGTGTTTGCACGAATGCGGAACTCTCAAGCCAGCAGTATTTGAGGCGATGTTGCCACGATTGGGTCGACTCACGCACTTGGACCTTGCTCACACACGAGTCAACGACAAGGCTCTGCTTGCAATTCCTTCGACAGCTCAGCTCACTCATCTCAATCTCGAGAGATGCACTCAGCTAACAGGCCAGGCTGTTGTGCAATTTTTGACTCAGCACCCTGCGGCGAAAGACACCATGGTTTGGCTGAGTCTGAATGCTGATGCCTCGCGATATCGGTTGCTGTCTGCAGAAGATGTTGCCACACTCCTCCCAGCGCTGCCCAAGACAATGCGCTCTCTCAACCTAGGTGGAGCACGAATCACCTCGCAACATGTGCCAGATCTTAGGATATTGGCAACTCATCTGGAAGAGCTAGGACTGAAAGGCGCAAATCTAAGTACTAGCGACGACATAACCCGAATTCTGTCGCTACCACCAAACAAGGACATCAAGTTGGAGCATCCAGAGCTTCGAAGTTCTCTACGATACATCGACCTCACCGACATCAGCTCTGTCAATCAAATGTCTCTATGTTATTCGCCTATGTCCATCAAAAACAATGCTTCCTTGCCTCTCGAAGTCATCGAGCTCGGTGCCACTGTCCTTACTGAGATCGCGCGGCGAAACAAGAATGTTAAGAACCCTGATTGGACTGTCAAAGAGTTAGGTCGTCGAGGCTGGTATGTTCGTTCCCCCGAATCGCTGCCTAAAGGCGTTGAGTCGGACGATGGATACCGCAGTTGGAAAATGGGTGCAAGATGGTGGGGTATGCGTAAGCTCCCAATGCATCAGACTGAAACTGGTGGCGTGTACGGCTATTTCATGTTCAAGAAAAACTAGCAATTAATTGGATATGGCCATGACGGAACCTTGCGGCATTTTTCTATTACAGGTTATGAATTGGGTGTTAATTGTGGATGGGCTGATGATAGCGTTAAGTCAAAGAGCTTTTGGACTCCAGCCGGTTTCTGGTTAGGTGAGGAAGCACGAATACAGCACAAACAATGGGTGAATCAGCTCGATAGAGTACAGCGTACTCGTTTACACGAAAAGTGTGAAAAGCGTCGTCGAGAACAACGACTTCGAGAACAGCAACAGCCTCCATAGTCATATCGTGTAATTCTAGCTCGTTTTCTCCCCCAAGCGCTCTTCAAGTCGTGTGTGTTTCTTCCATTTCATTTCAATTCATTGCTTTGCCTTCTCTCTTTCCTCACACAACACCTGAACAGTTCGATTGCCAAACCTCTTGCACCGCTGCTTATGAACCCGCCTGTTCACGTCCGACAAAGTGCTCTCTCAGTCTCTGGAATATCGTGTTCCTGTCGATCTTGGTCGGAGGCATCGGTCCATCGAAATCCCAATCAGCCGTGGCTGCATCAAACGCCATCCCTCGCAAAAGCCGGACTACCAGAAAGGCCTGAAAGTTTTCGTCGAACCCCTCATACCGTACCCTGCACAAGATCTTGATTTGCTTCACCCAGCGCTCAAAGTCTTCCAAGCTCTCTTTGCCGCGGAGCAGGCCAGGGTCTAAGGACATTTCTGTTCGCATGACGCCGAACAGGCCAAAGAGTCTATTGTTCGAGAATTCAATTGCTGACTTGAGAGATTTGTTGATTTCGACGAGTTGCTGTATGATTTCATCTGTGGGTGTTTGATCTGGAGGGACAGATTCGGGTTCTGGTGATGGTGTGCTGAAATCTAGAGCGCACCCTGACATGTTGGAGTTTCAATTGGATTGAGACAACATCGGATGAAACGAAGTAGGGACAGACGGATGGGTTTATATCTCCTGCCCTCTTATTAGCAAGTGGTTGCTTCGCACCACATTGGTTGTTTATTTGATCAAGCTGGAAGCGAGTGAAAACATCTTGAACGATTGTTCTTGTTGACTATAGCTTGCTTTGAGAGAAGACGATCCCACATAGTGTAGTCAAATGCCGGTGATGATATTGTCGTCCACCACATACATTTTTACCATTCATGGCGGATTATACCAGATTGTCCTCGTCAATATTTCGGACCCGGCTTAATGAACACAATATTGTACGATAACAGACTCTGCTGATTTGGACTCCATAGCTGCCCTCAATCCGCCTTTGCAGCCTAATTTCATTGCATGGCTTAAGGAAGCCCAGTCATACGGTACTGCTTGTTACTTCATTTTGATATGCCCATACATCCCCGCCAATCCAAGTTACATCAAGCCTGGCAACCTGTTCTGTAGCTCCTGTACGTGCGACATTCTCCTTTTGTGTTTGCGCATTCACCGATGTCTACCATATTGGATCTTCATCGAGCCGTTTCGGTCGTCTTCATTTCGTGGACTTGCTCATCTCGTTCAAAAACTCCTGCTTCAGAGCGTGTTCCACAATCTCATCGTCGTCCTTAATGGATTCAAGAACACTAACGATTTCTTTTTGGTACTGAATAAACAGCTCCCTTCTCGATAGGCTGAATCTTTGGACATCAAAGTCGTACATAGCATTGTCTAGGTTGGAGTAAAGGTTCAGGATTTCACCGACTGGTTGACCTCTGTTGAAATAGTAAACCTTGATTGCTTGAACGATAAGCCGCATGGTTTGCAACGGACGGTCGAGATCGATGACAGGCCGTTGACTGGTAACAACCTCTTCGACGGCCTTCACGGTAGCGTGTGATACCTGGAACTTGAAGTCACGGCACCGAAGGAGCTGAAACTGATTAATAGGTCTCTGCCACCGAAGAAATGAGGTATACGCATAGGCACTGAAATCACCACTGATCTGGACACATTTGTCGACCAAGCTAGGTGCTAGCTGACTGATGAGAGGTCTTAGCTTGTAAGCTCGGAAGTATTGAGGATGTTCGAGGAGACTCAGGTCGAAATGTTTGAAACGGTAGACAAACTCATCCTCGTTGGGGTTTGTTTCCCAGCCGTTGTTGCCTTGAAGGACAAGTCGTTCATCGGCTCGAGCGGGAATGGTGGCGCTTAGGACATAGCAATTGAGGCACTTGCTGTTCCTACAATTACCCGCACCTCTTGGCGGAGTATCGGTCTGAATCTGGAGTCCGAGTCTGTTCTTCGAATAGAGAATGTCGAGGCCTTCTCGGAGCATGCGTTGAGACGTAGCGAGAATTGCTGGTGTCAGATGGTAGCCACGAACATTCTTCAGTTGTGTCTTTGTCGTAAATCGACCTCTAGCATCACGCTTTTTACCTCTCGGCACTGTGAACTGCGCAGGATATTCGTCTCGCACGCCAAGAACATTGTCCGCAATCAGAAGCTCCCCCAGGATGATCTGCATTACTTCGGACGGCATCTGCAAGAGCAGACTCGACTCTCCATCAGTCTCTGGTAGTGACAGTTTGAAGAAGCGCAAGGCGCTCGTGTGGTTCTGTCCCTCTGCCATTTCGGTGGACTTTTAAGCTTCGAGTTGTCAAACTGATATTTCTCAAGAACCTTGGAGAGACTTGAGCTGTCAGTATCACGACAGGTATGTGTAGATCAACAGAACACGTTCAATGGAAGGCTGTGGTCTATCGAGCAGATGATGGTGAAGGAAAGAAAATGGAAACCAATCGGCCAGAGCATGGTCGTTTTGCAGTTCATGCGAGCCAGAAGCAGACTGAGTGACATCTTTCGCTTTTGTGCGCGTCCGTTCGACGCGTTTTCTTGACCAGAGTCATTGTACTAGGAAGTGATATGCCAACCGCCAAAGTGCTTGCAGCAAGTGCAAACCCATTCCCAGCAATATGGCTTCACGAGTCACACGTAGGATCATACCGCATCCTCAAGGTCATCCTCATAAACACTGAGAACGAAAGTCGGCTCGAAAAAAGAAAAGCAAAAATGAAGAATACCAGCAGAAAGGTGATGCGAAGATGTACTCAAACACGAACTATTACACTTCACAACCGAATCCTGTAAATCGTGCTAGCCTAAAACGTTCTAGCAGCTTGGCACCTTGGCAGCTGACCGCTTTCTTTCAGCTTCTTGTTCAGCTTCTCGTTCAGCTTCTCGTTCAGCTCATCCTCACCACATTGTGCTGACTATCCTTGATGGCAGTTGACTCGCAGACCTTCGAAGAATCGATACTCGAGTTCTGAATGATAGAGCTAAACTCCACTTGCACACATCCGCCGCTACGGAACGGTGCGAATCCAGCCACAGGCTCTGTGTTGCCATACGGTTCTGGTGCTCAAGTACGATGACAAGGTAATAGAAATTAATTTCACGCATTGTGCATCAGCATGCAGCTTGCGCTTCGCCTGGCTCCATTCCCCTCATTTGACAGATCTTGCACGTGTACGAAGTATCTCATTCACCACGTCTGTCATCGAAGGTGCCGAGAATGCTTATGGCTAACCTTCACGGCGTAAACACATTTATGGATTCGGCAAGGTCATGCCGTGCTTGGGAGTAGTTTCCTGAACCAATATGCTGATGAGCGGTCAGAGACCTGGAATGTTCATGGTAGCTCCTGTGCTGAAAATAGCTCGGAAAGTGCTCACACGACATGAGATTCGTTCGCTTCTGCTGCTATCGCTGCTATAAAGCCGCGGCCAAAGTCGTGTAGTTTAATATAGGAAAACAACGTGAAACTGATAGCGGAATTGTCCTCATTACTCTAAATCACAGAAACCTTAAACGATACTCCAAGAAAGCTTCGATATGGAAGGTCCTACAATCAGATGGATAAGCTCTGCTACTGGTGCAGACGGAGCTGAAGACAGAATGTGGAGGAACGCAAATATCGACATCACCAATCTGAACCAGGCACTGGAAATCCTAGGACAGGTCGATCAACCAGCGGAGGCAGGTGAAGCTCAACGGATAATGAATCTGTACAACAGGCAAAATGTTATACCCGATCCCGACGATCTGCAGTACTCCCTCCTACAGTATTGTACCGCCGTGTGCAATATTCCAGCAGGGGGTCTCATCACATTCCAGCGCAAGAAGACAGGCCATATGTCCACTGATGATGGCGAGACGCTGACGTGCTATCATGACCCGAAGACCGATAAATGGAACGTACTGGTATCCGGAGGTGAGATCGAGGACAAGCTGAATCAATTCACGAACGAAGATCGCGCGAACACGCGTTTCCGATTCATCATCAACTTCAATAACGTCGGATGGAAGCACGAGTACGCCACTCAAGGCTGGATGGAAGTAGCCGCGCATGAATTGTGCTGCCGTGAGTTTGTCATGATACCTAGGCTAGTACACCTTACTGACCTGTTTGTAGATGTCGTGCCGACTCTGATACTCATCGCCCGCTGGCGTGCCGGACAAAACGTGATCTGGTCCTCTATGAACGATCTGGACCACTACGACTTCATGTATCGTGGCTCTCGGCGATATCTCCTATGGCTATCACGTCTGGATGCCATGCAACCTAGCTTCCCTTACAGCCAACTTTGGTGGGATGCATCAATCCCTATCAACGGCGAGATTCTGAAGTACAATGGCAACAAGGTCTGGGCTGAGAAACGAGGAAATGATCAAGTTCTTGGTGTGCGCGACTTTCTCAGGGCCTGCGATCCGGACACGGATGCAAGATTGATGCTCAATCGTGCTCAAGGCATAAGAGACGTGCTGACACCTCAACCACCCGGCCTACATTGGACTCTTAAAAGTGGCGCGGACAGTAATTCGAGTACTGACCTACAGGTCGACAAGGCGCAAAGCAGAGATTTATTGAACAGTCTTCACAGCGAATTATCAAAGTTTGGAGTATTGGACATTAATGACAAACCAAGCGGCACGCATGCAGCGTTTTGGTGGTTTCCAAAACCAAACTAACTGGTGGTCACAGAACGACAATTGTGGGGAATGATCATATGTGAACGTAACGGGTTGTATCTAAAAGATAGCATGTATCATCAAATTGATGCGTCTTGTGGATAGTCACTACTAGCACGAATTGCAATCCCTATTCCTTTGAGGATCTTGAATGATTAGTTCAAGAACAACGATAAAGATCCTCTGGGACCGTCTGACGAATCGCTCGACGTCGATGGTCGGAAACAACGAGCCTGAAGATCCCTCCAACGTAGCTCCACCGTATGCCTTAACAATAAAATCGATTGACACACGCGCTTTGCCGGATCTGCTGAATGTTCTCTTTCTGGGACACAACTCGAGTTCTAGCGTGTTGCAATTGTACAGTATAGACACTCCATCGACGTAGAGCTGCTTACAAGTTGATAAGATCTCCGAAGTCAGACCGTAGCCATGAACATTTATCGGCCTGCTGTTTCCAATGAAACGATTTTTAGGCGTTCTTTTGTCTTTACGGGACATCATTGACATTTGAGCCAGGCCTCGCTTTGGTGCGTCGATCATATCTTTTGCAATCAGGAGCTCTTTCAGGATCATGACTCTAATCTCGGCTGGCAATAGGAGCAATCGGCTGGCACTTCGCTTAGACTCATTTGGCGCTGGTGATGGAACGAGGGGTCCTCTGAAAAGGCTTGAGCCCACGCTAGGCTTTTCGAATGAGTTTGCCATCGTAAGAAGACCAGGAAGCGAGAATTGAGTAGATACTGCATACAAGATGTAACGTTGGCTTGAAAAAGATAATGTTCTGAACGATATTCCTTTGGCTATCGCTCTCTAGGTGGTAGAGAGGAGAAGTAGGTTAGGGATTGGAAAATTGTCTCGAATCTTGGAAGGTTGTAAGTTGCAGTTTGTGGCGCAAGGCGTGTCGCATCGTTTGCGTTGCGCCGTTAGTAACATTCTGCTGCTACCGTGTAGCGCGAAGTGAACGTACTGCGTCGTTTGCAGAGACACTATCAGCAAGGATGTAGTGATAGTATTCCTGTTTCATTACTTCGTTACACAAGCTCGCTGGTCGGAACTTTCGGCAGAGGCGAACCTGACCTTGGTCACATACTGCCATCTCCATTTCGAATCAAGCCAGGAGACAAGTAGTGAGTAGAAAATTGCTGAGCACTATTTGTCGCGTACTAGTGGGCAGTGAGTCTTTCTTGCTGATCTGAAACGTCCTTGAATCGCATCTCTGGACTTTCTATTCGTCTAGCAGGTCTTCCGCGACGCCTTCTGATTATGATGACGATACTGAAATGGCTGAGACTCATTTGCGTTATAGTTTGACCAAGCCACTCACCAGAATAAGACGGTTAGACCTCCAATACCTGTCCCGAGACCAAGACCGAGCTTTTCGCCCAAGGTAAAACCTAGAACGCTTGTTACACGCTACCAACAAGGAAAGTCCCTCGTACTCACCAGCAATATGCGAGTCATCGCTTGTAACTGGAGATTCAGGAGCAGACGAATTTCGGCTCGTGGTTGTCGCAGACGGCTCACCAGCAGTAGATGGTCTGACATTTGTGGACGTCGCAGCAGAGAGGCCTGTGGTATACGTTGTAGAGTTTGTGCGAGTTGAATTTTGTGAGAACAAAGATTGGCTGTCCGCACTGATGAACGTTGCCTGGATACTTGAAATATCGATCGTAGTGTTAGCAGCATCAGAATAGGCGGTGGCTGCCATGGTCGTCATATAGGGCAATAAACTGATTGGATATAGCAAATTTTGAAAATCTCGTTGCGAAGAAGGCTGATATATGTAGAGTAGTCTGACTCGCAGCTCTTTCCGCAGAGGCACTAGGTGTGATGCATAGTCCAGGTGCATGGTCCGATTTAGCGTGTCCTTTCCGCAAGACAGGACCATGCACCTGGACTATGCACCACACCTGGTGTACTTGCGGAAAGAGCTGTTCAGACGCACCAATGACGAACTGGCAGACTTTGACCCAAGCCCTGGCCAATACCGCATCTGGAAGAGCGATATTGGCAAGCGAATCCAAAAAACCAGTCAGAATGCTAGCTTAGCGAACGACGGGAAGCCTTACCAGTGGCACAAGCTATTGACCACTCGCCAACAGCCTTGAAACCTCCATAAATAACCAAGTCCATTGGCGATGTCCTGCAGGGTCTTTACGATGTTTGGCATCGCCTATTCGGCTTGCTATCCCCAAATTTTGTAAAAGGTCGAAAAGCTCACGCCGAAGCGCACTCGTCGTGTATCAAATCGGAATGGGCGACAATACTTGTAAGCAGTTCACAGATTTCACCGCTTTCGAGGCATACGTAGGCAAACTGCGAGATGACTTCGGAAATCTTAACTCGACCAAGATGGGTGACTGCAAGACCGAAATATGCTCCACGCTATACAGTGTAGGGAATTCAGATGTATCGGGCATTGGTGTAGGTACAGTTTCCACACATTGGAGGCCCGCGACTGAGAACACCACACAGGTAATCGTAGGCTATTTTCTCGAGATCGGCATTGCTATCCTCTTAGGCTTGTCACTCTTGGTCTTTCAGCGGCTGGAAAAGCAGAGGATGGTAGCAGCCTCCCTACAAGTCACACAAGCTTTCGCAGATTCTGCTATCGCGCTGGCACTTTCGGTCGAGCTGGCATCGTCAATAATGCTGATTAAGAGGAATTTCGGTCTCGGAGCGGACAATTTCGGCGCCTTAACAGAACAGATTGTCGGAGTAGTTGCACTGCTGGTGATGTTGCCAATCTCGACCTTCTGCTGGCAGGATTTGAAGGACAAAAGATTCGAATTGAGGCTCTGTGTTATAGCGTTGACCTTCATCATGTTTTTAATCACATTCATTAGCAGGATGTTGAGCAGGTATTCACAGGGTCAAATTGATACTGGACCCGACCCTGTGCTAACACATGCCGAGATGGACCAGATTGAACTGCTCTGCATGGAAGGAGTACGCCAGCTGTCAACTGGTGAGGTGCTCTTCATGGAGTTCCTTTCGGTCGGAGGCTCTATATGGTTGGCCTGCATTATCATTGGAGCACTGATTAAAGCATGCTTCGGACCATCTCGCAACTATGGGTGGGCAGTTGCCCGAGCAGTTGTTGACTTCGTTGACAGCGACTCAAGAATGTTGGCGCTCAACCTGGTTGCTTCGTTCTCTTGGAGTATACCACTGTGTTGGGCGCTGCTCAGTCTCAGAGTCATACAAAGACAATTTGCTGAAGCTCTTGGTCGAACAGACGGTGGTCAAGAGTGGTCTTTTGGTCAGATTCTAGCAGTGGTGGTATTCGCACCAGTGTTGGTTGAGATCTGGTACCAATACTTACAACGCCACGATTTGGTAGAAGCTCTTGATGTGAACCGTGGCGGCTACTCGCAATGTATAGGACTCAAAGACAGTGTCAGAATCTCCGGGAGCTCAACTAGTGAGAATTCCTGAAATGTGCTCCTCAACCACGGCCTTGCTGTACATGTGGTATGGAGCCGCTCACGCAAGGTCTCCACTTCCTCACGTTACCAGCGTATCAAGGAAGATCGTGTGCAGAACTTGCTGCTCGAAATTTTCCAATCCGAAAGAACCACTATTGAACAGGTATAAATTGATGCAGAGACATTGTCGCGTTTTGGCCCATAGCTTGTAAGGATGCAACGACACAACGAAGACACTTCGCAGAACCTCCTTCTGATGTCTCCACTTTGTGCTTCCTTTGTTCGTGTTGATCCACTTCCTGGCGCTATCAGAGCATGACATTGAAATTCATTTCACCCTCACTTCAATTTCGACAAAGAGCAATCGCTCGTATTCGTAGGTCTGTTCGGGCCTGTGCTGCATTACTGAAGTATATCTCCCCAAACGTGCTTTTATGGGTCCTGAAATGCTAGATGTAAGCTCAAGGTTTGGGAGCTTGTCGTTGATGGGCACAGATCAATTCCTAGAATCAGGTCTTGCTTTTGCTCCTTGTTCTAACTGGGCTCTTTATTCTCGCGATCGTTCTCGACGTCGAGAACAGTCGAACGAGACGCACTTTGTTCTGGAGGTCCTTTGAACTTACCACAATTGTCAGCACTGGCATTAGCCATTACCAATCGAGCTTCAATATCACGCTTTTTGAAAGTGCGTAGCAGGCTCTCAAGAAGGCGATCCATCACCCATTCAGGTTCGTTTTGTTCACTGGTCATGGGACTGTCGGAATCAAGCCAGTCCCATTCCACAAGCCCGTGCATAGCTTCGTCTTCTTCCAACAATTTGCTCGTATCCAAGCGTGAGAACCGAATCAGCCGTGTAAACTCGACCCACATCTCATACGAGTACTGTTTCGAAGGACTATGCTTCATGTCGTTCGCCACTTGCTGCAAAGCGTAGGCAAGCTGTTCGGTCAGTCTTGACTCATTGAACTCTTCTCTCGCCAGCTCTTCGATGGTTCGTGGCAGGTGATTCTCTTCACCGCCATTTCCTGACTCAGCCTTGTTCCTCTTTCCATGTGAGCCGTGCTCGTGGCGCGTCTCAAGCTTGTGGCCTTCTTCGAGTGAAATGCCAACCACAGAAAGCCGTCTTTGGAAGTCCTCTCTTCTTTCAGTGAACCAGTCTACGCCCCAGCCACGACCTTTGCCAAGGAAAGCTAGACCCCCGTAATCAAGCACTTTTCTCTTGAAGCCACCAATAGCTGTATCGCCAAGATCTGAAACGAGAATTGTCATTATTGGCACAGCGATCAAAGCCCAGAACACAAAGAACGGCCGTCCAGCAGCGGAAAGCGGTGATTGATCGCCATATCCAATAGTAAGTAGAGATACGTAACAAAAGTATAAGGAAGTAAAGTAGGTCATGCCTTGTGTTTCATACTCAAGCTGCCAGAAGACGAGCGCGCCGATGCACCACAAAAGACCGAAGGCGACGATAGACATTGAAAGGGCATACCAGCTCTTGAAGCGCTTCGCAGCTGACTGGATAGAACGCATTTTCATAAACTTTGCTCTCTCTGAATGCATGAGCAAGACCTTTTGTCTACGAGACGGTATGAGAATCGACGTGCGCTGCCGTAGTGAGATCACTTTTTCAAGCGAGAAACCTAGAAGGCCACGTGAATCCTGGTTTTGCTTGAAGCTGGATTGTTCTGGCGCTGAACCGGGCTTTTCTTTTGGTAACATGTTGAAGTCGATCGTGCGTTGCCTGCTGTGGTCGAGGTTGATTTGTTCATCCATACCACCGAGGGTTTTTGGAGCATCGAGCGGGACTGACTTTGTCTCCTGAAGCGGCGTCGAAGGGCCACTTTGAACAGTCCCCGCTCGTTTCAGGGTTCTTACCCTTCTTGCCTCGATATGTTGCTTGACGACTTTCTCCTTGCTGATCTCTTGCGCAAACTTGTGAAGCGAATTAATAAGAAGACCTAGAGTTATGATACCAAACACAGTAAAAGGAAAGACAAGAGCACGTCCGGCTGTTGTTGAGCAATGGAAATCACCAAACCCTATTGTAAGTGTAGTGACGACACCAAAGTACAAAGCATCAGAGTAGTCCTATACAACAGTCAGCTCGCGATATTTGCTTCAGGGGATGGAGGACGTGACCCATGACTCAATTTTGGCAAACACCGCTGCACCTGCGGCCAACCAGAAATAGAAAATCATTGCTTGAAGAATCAAGTTCCTTTGTTCATCGTTGATATCGAAATGTTGTGGATAATGTCCTCGAAAATAGCCAAGCATGTTGATCATCAGAAGCATGGCATTACCCATGTAGAGACAGGCAGCAATGACGGCTGTCCAGAACCCTTGGCTATAAACCTGGCCTTCTGTCGCGGGGTCATACACGTATATCCCCACCAAGCATCCGGTAAGCATACCAGCAGCCAGATAGAAGAGCAGGATTGTGACGGGTAGGGCAACTATGTACCGTATTTTGCGGGTGAAGTTGCATAACAGGAATATATTGCCAATGAAGCCGCATGCTAAGGAGGTTCCATTGAGGTTCAAACACCATTGGGGATCCCGAATACCGACACTAAGGCTATATTTCGTGGCAGGATCGTCTGGTGTAGTCACATCGTTGCGCCAGTAGACAACTAAAGCAGCAATGCTGAGCATGTTCGCCATCGGAGCAAAAGCAGCAGCGAGCAGCGGTATGGCTGTACTTGCGAACCACCAATCGGTTGGGTCGTCGTCCTCTATGCCTCTCAGTTTGATTTTTCCGCCGAGCAAGGTCATCGTTCTCGACTTCGTCAGACGCTTGTCGTCTTCCTTCTCTTCTGCATCGTTCAGCACTTCCCGCCTCGCGGTCACAGAGTCGGGTTCAAAAAGCGTTTTCGAATCGGTCTTCCAACCATGGTTCTTCTCTTTATCGAGTTCGGTTATCATGCTCGAACCAGATACCGTGCCAGGAGTGAATTTTGCAGAGGAGTCGATGATTCGCATATCAATGGAAGACATATTGTATGGGCTACCACCATTCGCAGCGACCTGGTATGGATGGCGGTGTTCAATGGCTGCTAGCACAGCTGGAAGATTGGTTGCATCGCGTCGGTTGCGATAGACGATAGACTGCACAAGTGAGTAAAGACTGGCACTCAAAGCATGAGGTGCAGACAACGGCGCGACTGCAATCGCAATGTCATGGCTTAACACAAAAGAGCCATCAAGTCGATAAGTATTTCTCCGCGCTTCGTGGGCGGCAACAGGTGTTCGACCAGCTCTCGATCTGGACCGCAGCTCAAAACGAGATCTGTGCGGGAAAGGTGGTTCGAGAGAGCTCAGCCAGCAACCATTGCCGAGCACTGCAGAGGTCTAGCTCCGCAACCCATATATCTCTGGATCATACAGCCAATATCGAGACAATGTGATAATCATGATAAGAAGAGCTGACAATGTAGCTTCTCATGGTCGTTCTTCGAGTTCGTCAACCTCATTACGCATGCTTGGGTTGTCGACAAGCATTTCTTGGTACCACTCGATTCCAGTTAGGGAGAAGCTTCCAGGTGGGTCACGCTTAAGTAGTACCGAACCTCAGAGCAGAAATCTCCAATCATGCTGCACGATGGTCGATCTCGAAGCCTAGAACCTTTTCAGCATGAGGTTTGTTTCTTCATCCTGTAGGCATCTCAAGATGGGAATATTGTATGTGTAAAAGAGATGTTACTCTTCGGACGATTACTTGATCGATAATTACAGCAAGTGCTTCGAAATGTGGGGGACAACTGAAGCGAAGCTAGTCCTGACCAGGTCAAACGTGAATCACACTAGCTTCAAGTTCAAATCGATCAAACTCCTGTAAGTCACCAGTGAAGGTGCCTCGAATTTTTGAATCCTTCGATGTCAGCTCATTGAATACAAACGTCTTAAGGGCTTGTACAGGTGAAGCGATATGATGTTTGACGGACTGAGATCCTCCAAATCTGTTAAGCTCTGTGCTGTTTCTCCAGCAAACTGGTTTTTCCAATAACAAACTGCGCTTGCAACCAATGACTGAAGCATGAACATAAGTCAGCAGTCGACATAATGGCTCACTGCTAACTTTGAATCAATCGAGTCTCAGCATGCTCGATGCAACTACTAGAGACTCGTCACAGCTTGACGCTCAGCTGCAATACAGTCTGGACATTCGACGTGGAACATCTATGCATGCATCGTTCTTCACCAAAGACGACTTGCACAGATATCACGAACACTGTTAGCACTTTCACGGAATAGATGACGTTTTGGACACGATAACACAGGGTCGTACGGTCTTCAAAGAACGTTTCAGCTCGTCTAAGCTCAGGGTAAAATTACTTGCCACATGTGTCTGATCTCTGAGGCCCTACTCCCCGAATTTGATTCTTTACAAGAGCCCTGACGTGGGAAAACACATCGATCATCGCTGAACCTCTGATCCCATCTCCTAACAGATTCGAGCCATGAAGTTGCATTTCAGGCTGTCCTTTCACCTCAATGGAAATTCGACAGAGAGTGATGCAACCACACCAGCATTGACAATGAATAGTACCACATCGATCACTCCAGATGCTCTGTTGTCGACGAAAGTATGGGTAAGAAAAGCAGAAATGGCGGCAAGGTCCTGAGGCTGCATATCGCCCCATCGGTACCAATACCAGAAAGCTGATGCCTATGATTCAGTATTAATTCTAGACGCAGCTCCTCAAGATCGCGAATCGTCGATCTCCTGCCGCTCCAGTCATGCCGAACTGGGCAACTTGACGGTTTCAAGCATATAGGATCATGTTACCAGCACTCAGCACAACCACTTCCAGATGGTTCATCGTGTGACTTCGTGGACTTCAAAATATTCTGTACGACATTGAAAATGATATAGCGACACTGTTCATCGTGCTGAGATCTTTTGCGAGCTGGAGAATCACGTAACCATGTGGTATGCAACGTTTCAGCTCTGCTAAAGACTGACAAGCGGAGATCGTATTAATGCCAACCACGTGGAAAAGGAGAAACTTTAACGTAAACAAAAACTTCTCACCGGAAACACCCGAGATGTGCTCGGCTCCACGATCACATTTTTCGTCAGCAAAGTGTCTTCAATTTTCGCATCTATTCTGGGATGTCGACAGACAGTCGATTTCTGACAGAACGAAGTATTCTGCTATGTTGTTAGAATCAGAGACTCTGGCGAAATGGCTAGGCGATCTCTGATCCATGTACAAACACGAATATCTGACGACATCAGCTTGGCTGACATCGCGACTGCACGCTCTTTCATGTAACTGGGCGGTTATTCTCACCAGGGCTTGGGTATCGGTTTCGCTGAGCGTCTGCAGCGTTCTCCAAGCTACCATAGCCAGTCTTGGACGCAACTACTACAATATTGGCTGAAAGTCAGACCGTCATCGTGATCTGAGCAAACAGCTCGAATCGATGCACAAGACCAATCACTCTGCGGCATCGGAGCTCGATTACAGTTCGGATCAGATAATGATAAGATGAAAATATTGTCAACCATTGGCTGGCCAAGAACAAGATAAGATCGATAAAAATTCTGATTGTGGAGTCCTGGTCTTCCTGACGAGAAATGGTTCGCTGCCTCTTCCCAGCCCTGCATCTCAATGAACGGTACTAGTTCCTCATCTGTACTAGGATATTGCTTCGTCGAGCTCGTGTGGGTTTCGTTTCTCGGCGTCCACTGCTACAGGACGGTGTTGGAAATCTTTCCTTTGCGCTAATATGATCTAGGTAGTGGTCTGACGAACAAAACGTCCACCATAGCTCTGATCGGGTAGCTCTGCTACCGTCCATGCGCCATTTCCAGCGACCTAGGTGGGCTCGGCAAGCGCAAATTACATTCGCCAAAAACCCTTGACGCTGTTCTTGCGATTGTGCTGACTGAATAAGCTTCGGTCACAGCGAGGGAAAGATCCGCAGTTGCATTCGAGGACCAGACCTTGTTGCATATATGAACCAACTGACTTCTCCTTCTAAACCTTCGTTTTGATCTTATCAATCTACATCTATCGCTGATCAATAACACTCTTAATCTTGGTCAGTTGTCAGGCTTACAACTTGACCATGCGTTTCCAGATACCTGGCCTGACCTCGGCCGCGATGGCTACCAAGTCCGCAGGCTCTAACGAAAAGACAACATCGGACTCTGTTGGTAATCGCTCGAGCAACGATGTCGAGAACTTCGACGAGAAGCAGACACCCTACAACAATGCCGCATCTACTGTCGATGCTCATATGGCCTTTGATTCGTCGGACGACGATTCACTGAACAAGGTCGACACCGCTGCTCAGGCTGGTGTACAGAAGGTTCAGGCTATGACCCAGGTCTGGTCGAAACGTGAGATCATTCTTGCCTACGTTCTGTAAGTTGATCGAATGATCCTAACCATATCTCGGCACTGACAGTTTGACAGGATGTGGCTCATTCAATTCATCCTCGCCTTCGCTTCTGGTATCATTGGCACCTTGACACCATATGTGACCAGCTCCTTCCAAGAGCACTCTTTGACAGCTCTCACCAGCGTTGTTGCCAACCTCATCTCTGGTCTATGGAAGCTACCATATGCGAAGCTGATGGACATTTGGGGTAGACCACAAGCGTTGACACTAGGAGTTTCATCTATTACTCTTGGTATTATCATGATGGCTGGGTGCAACAATGTTGCAACATACTGCGCTGCTCAAGTCTTCTTCTGGCTTGGCTACAACAGTATCGGATTTTCCATCACAGTATTTATCGCTGATTCTTCCAAGCTCAAGAACCGAGGTCTCATGCTTGGTTTCATCTCCTCACCTTACCTGATCACGACCTGGGTGTACGGTTTGGCAGCCAACGACATCATCATGCCTGGCGGCATGGGCTTGCGTTGGGGGTTCGGCATCTTCGCCATTGTCGTTCCGCTTGTCTGCGCCCCCTGGGTGATCCTAATGTGGATAAAACAAATAAAGGCCATCAAGATGGGCCTCGTCCCTGCTCACTCAAGCACACGCACCTTCGGACAGTCATTCGTCTATTATGCCAGAGAGTTTGATGTGATCGGTCTCGGTCTCCTAGCCTTGGGTCTAGCTCTTTTCCTCCTATCCTTCAACCTCTACGCCCTGCAACCCAACCAATGGCGCGATCCTATGATCATATGCTTCATCATCTTCGGCGCCCTCCTCATCATCGCCTTCTGTGTCTGGGAAAAATTTGCACCGGTCACATTCGTACCATGGGAACTCCTGAAAAACCGAACCGTCATCTTCACATACACCATGGCCTTTGCACTGTACATTGGCTGGTACGTCTGGAACAGCTACTTCTTCAGTCTCCTCATCGTTCTCTTCAGCCAACCCATCCAGTACGCAACCTACATCAGCAACACCTACACCATGGGCAGCTGTGTCTGCTCCATTCTCTACGGTCTCGCCCTCCGCAAATTTGGTAAACTCAAGGTGTGGAGTATCAGCCTTGGTGCACCACTCACCATCCTCGGCACCGCCCTGATGATCTACTTCCGCAATCCCAGCCAAGGCATCGGCTACATCGTGATGTGCCAGGTCTTCATCGCCTTCGGCGGCGGTATCCTCGTCATCTCCGAGCAAACCACCCTGATGGCCGTCTCCCGCCAACAAGACTTCCCAGCCCTCCTCGCCGTCGAGTCCACAGTCATCTACGTCGGAAGCGCCATCGGCAGCACCATCGCCGGCGCCATCTGGACCGGTATCTTCCCTACTCAACTTCTTCAACGTCTCCCAGCCGACGCACAGGCGAGCTATGCATCCATCTTCGGAGATCTCACTGTTCAATCAGGTTATCCTGTTGGCACTCCAGCCAGAAACGCCATCAATGACAGCTATGCCTATACTCAGCGATTTATGCTCATCGCCGCAACCGCCATCTACTGCACCATGCTCGTGTCGATTGCGCTGTGGCAGAATGTTGATGTTAGGAAGCAGAAGCAGAGAACTGTTGGCTTGCTATGATTGGTTGATGGGCTTCGTCTCAGCTTGTATATCACACAAGCATAAACACGATCCAGTCATCGTCGCCATACAGCATGTACACTATTACTGCTACCACTAGCAAAAAAGCACAAGCATACAATATCTCGAGTTACTCAATAGACAGCTCGTATCATTAGATCCCAGACAAGAATGATAATTTCATCAATCATTACGATGGCTTCCATTTCCAATGAACAATCTCGTACCTGCAAAGAATGTGCATCAATAGCCTCCCAGTACTCTGCTCGAACGACTAACCTAACCCCCACGACTTCCACCCTTCCCTTATGTGATCGACACAAGCGCCAAATCCACAGTAACAGCACCCCCTGTCTACCATGACGCAAGTGGACTTGGCCATTCAATTGATCTTCCAGTAACTTGCTCATCTCATCTCGATCCCTCACCATACACAGCAATTCGCTTCGGTCGGCAAGAAAATCCAGCTTTCTCTACAAGCACAATTTGATCAGCCTACAAGCATGATCTTGTGGACGATATCGGAGCTCGTATTAGGATGCTGATCGCTATACGCTTACAGTACATATCCTGGCGGACTTGGTATTTGCGCCCGTTTGTGCACGTGGTGAGTCTAATGAGGTCAATCTGACCTTGAATGGTGTGGTCGTGGTCGTAGTCATAGTCATGGGATTAGTGGAGACTTCAACATAGCAGTGGCTGTTTCTTTGGCAGCATAGAGGTAATATCTTCACTGGTCGACATGATATAACCAATATGAAGATACTGAGCAATATGTGTTCGAAGTAACGATACTTTATGAGTTCAGTATCAATAGCTATTGTCATTGTGTCGTAAAGCCGTTCCTGTAAACTTACCCACCAGTCGAAACTACACACAACTCCTGCCTCTGATAGCAATCCTACAACAAGTTCTTGTAGCCATAGACTCCTCGAAAGCCCGTGCTGCTGGATACTCCATCGCCCTAGTTGACACCAACCTGCCGAGCCAATTCCCAACACCACCGCGATGTCCTTCTTCGCGATCTGTATCCTCAGAATCTACCATCAGTCTCCTAAACAATCTGATCATTTCGTGCATCACAGCGCGCCTGTCTCCTCTATCTTATAACATTCCTTCTCAGCCTCATCTCATAATCCAGTAGATCCTCCATCTAATCGAATCTACCAGCCGAAACCTTTCTGTCCTCCTCAATCATCTCCACTGCGTCCTCGATATCTCCGTTAGCAGCCACAGCGTACACATGCAGTCGATCTTTCAGGTTATCATCGTCGATACCAAATCCGCACATCTGTAGCTTCTCAACACAAATATCGAATTTGCTTTTCTTGAGAGATCGGCTGGAAGGCGACTTAGTGAATGAGTCAGCCTTAGAGAGAGGGTTTGAACGACTGAATTCGATCGATGGCGCGGAGTCGTAAAATTGTTCGAGGTTATTCAAAGGCTCAGGCGACCACGAACGAGGTGCGTTGGCACTTGACGCGCTTGACACAGCTGTTGCCGGTCTCAGGTCTGGCTGTAAATCACGACTGGCTTGAGCCGGAAAAGTCCATGTTGGATACGTTGTGAAGGGGACAGGTGATATGGGAGAATTATCTGCAGCAAGCCCGCTACGCGGGATTTGCTGTCTTTGATCAGCTGGCTTGAGCAAAGGCGCATATGGAGGAACAGGCACTGCCGGTATAGGAAGGACAGCAGGATATGCGGCCAGAGAGGGCGCTGGAATGCTTGTAGCTGCCGGACCAGTAAGCCAGTCAGGCGAAGCAGGTAACACTTGTGAAGCTGGGAGTGCGAACGGTGCTGATTCTGATTGTGGCCATTGAGGTTGCGCCCTAAAAGGTGCCTGCAAGCCAGGAGGATGTGCATATGGTCTGAAGTGAGGAACGCTGTGGTGATGTTTCACACCTCTCTGTGTGTCAAAGTCCCGGAAGCCATTAGTGTTCGAGCTTTCGGTCGATCTGTTTGGTGTTGCAGCAGGGCGATCAAGGTTGATTGGCCCACATCGAGCAGATCGTGCGAAGGATGGCATCGAGCGCTTCGGTGCAATTTTGTGATCCTGTTTGTTCTCTTCGGCACGAGTCAAACGTGCTGAAACCTGGTCGCTGAGGTGTCGAAATGGACTCGCAGATCTACGTTGCGATCGGAAAGAGACATAAGGCCGATGAGTGGTAGTGTCTGATGGCTCGTATGGGAAACCAGGGTCGAATGGTCCGTTTAGACGTGAGGCAGGATTGGAAGAAGCAGTAGTATTGGCACGGTGCAAGCCAGACTTCGATGGCGCAACTGGGTTATTTCGACAAGTCATTCGATTGAAAAAGGCACCTGAGGATTCTGCAGAAGTTGGAAGAATCGATTTGGAATCGTTCTTGACATCCGGCCATGCTCCTGGTAGAGGCTTGAGCACAGGCTCATTGCCTTCTTGCTTCTCCCAGCTATTCAATTGTGACCGTGGTTGAGGGCAGATATGTGGCATAGCAAACGACTTTGTGTATATGCTTGGTGTTCTTGCAGACTGATCAGGTTCGGTCTTGGGCGTATAGAATAGCCTCTCCTGTAAAGGGACATATGATCGAGGCTTGACGGCAGATTCAATGGCAGAACGAGCTCTACGGACAGAGCTCAGTGGAGGATACCGTGCAGTGAAATCAGAATCCTCACTCGAATCATCCAAGATGGAGGGATTGATCGGCTTCTTGCATGCCACTTTGTCTGGATTGTTGTTCTGGTAGGACATGTCGATATCTGCAATGCTATCCTCTTCTACCACAATAGGCCTTGACGGAGAAGAACCGAGTGCAGGAGATTCAATTACCTCGTCTTCGTCTTCTACAAACGCGAACTTGACTCGAGTAGCTGTCGTTTCGGTTTCGGTGTCTGTGCTTGAGGAGACCGAAGAATCGGATGGTGAAAGATCAGGTAGTGTTTCCTGGTGCACATCAGCAGCCTCATCACCTAGCTCCTCGGCAAGGTATTGTCCTTGTATGTCCTTATCTTCTTGTGCTTGTGTAATATCCTCCTGAGTTGAGGGCGTATCGACCTCGCGACTGAGCTCTTTGAAAGCCTCAATACCGAATGAACCGACTTCAGTCAGGATGTCCTTGACACCTGCAAGAATATCTTCAACAACGCTTGTATCAGTGTTTCGCGTCTTTTCAGCTGCTTTCTGGAACGTGGCGGCTGCCAAGGTCAGCACGCGAGCAAGACCACTTAAGTGCTCGCCGAGCCCTTCGAGTATGTTCACACGATCAGCTGAGCCTTCAGCAGACACCTCTTTGGCTTCTTGTGCAGGCTCTAGTAAACCCGCTCCATCTGAAGTGGACAGGTCGGTACTCATGTCTGAGCAAGTAGCAGATTCTTGTTTTCCTTTCTGGTTCTCACTAACTTTTTCTGGTATCGTCCATTCATCTTCAGGCTCTTCGATTGTGGTTGCGGTTACAGATGCTCCAGTTTGAACTTGACACATCTCCTGAAACGAAGGCTCTGCCATCTCTTCTCTCAGACGTGCATTGTAGGTATTGACAGGATCTCGGTACGACGATAGGCTCAGCTCGCTCGTCGATCTTGAACGCAATTCCTTGCTAGAATAAGCCTCATGGTCGCGCCATTGGAACAGACTACCATTCGAGTGCTTGATGTCAAAGATGTGTATCAGTTTGCCATTAATAGAATGACTTCTATAGTTTAGCACAGGCTCGTCGAGGCGTTGGCTCAATTCAAGACTGCTTCCGACTGTGATCAGTTCGCCATCGTCATCGTCGAGGTAGAGTAATTTGGCGTCAGGCTCCGATTTAATTGTGCTATCATACTGCCTTCGAGAAATCGAGATCAATCCTGGAGGGTTTTGAGGGCCAGCTAGGTCTCGAATGCCGAAGGTAGGCAGAGGAGGTGATTGGGAGCGTGTCGACATTGTGTTTGTCGACGCTTCAGTGTAGTGTAGCTGGAAGAGCAAGTTGCTTTGGTATGCTCAACTTCAAAGATTTGGTCTACCAGATCAAGATCAAATCCTCGACATCGACAACCAACGTACACCACAACAACAAACAATCTGCAATGAAGGAATAGTATGTCCGATAGCTGTCGAGTAAAGAGGAAGCAAGTCACAGAAGCAGGCAACAGCGATGTGGATCGACTGGTCACTTGCCCCGCACAAGAGCGGATTTAGCCTCGCTTTAAGTGCACGCTATAGCCTGGAAACTCCCAAACTGGAGCCCCTAACTGAGGTCCTTTCAGGCACCGAGGAACCATGATTACTTGCGACGATGACTTGATACTCATTGAAATGAAATGTACAGTACTAGCAATGAGTAGCTACCTAATATCGTTGAAAATTACAGTCGCGTACAAATAGACAGATCGCTCGAACGCATTCCCGAATCGTTACATCGTAAAAGTCGTAAGTGTGCAGTCGGACGAAGGCACACAAGCCTCACAAGTCGCACAATAATAGATCATCGCCTCAACGGTGAACTACTCCTCGTCGACATTGATACATCTTCAAAAGCCAGATCGAAATCATCAATGTCTGCCCATTTCCTGTTCCACGCCCTCACTTCCGACCCAATGGGGTTAGATTTCTGCACACCATCAATATCTGATGGCTCTTCGGATAACGATATGGGCTGGTTTTCCTTTCCAGCAGCTTGGCGCCGGGAACCACCATATCGCTTCTTTACGCCTTTTGCTGAGTTTGCCATTGCTAATGGTGTGTTTGATGCTTTGACTCGCATGGTTGTATCCTGTTTTGACCCCGACTTAGCTTGTAATCTTGCAGACAGTGGAAGTGGTGTGCGTAAACGCACCGGTGAAGGCGTTTGGGCAATCGTACTCTTTGCTTTCTTGTCCTTGGGTCTGGGTTTGGACTGATTTGCCAACCCTTTTGTGATTGCTTTCTTGGTACCTCGTTGAGGACGCTTGGTCTTCTTGCGAGCACTCGCAGGCATAAACGATGAGTGGTCTTCTTCGTCTACCTCGTCATCCGTGTTGTCTGTCGAGTCTGCAGGAATATCGAACTCAGCTCGGGGTGGCTGCTTCCGCCTTGGCGGCTGCTGATGCTTTTTCGATGGCATGAGATTTTGCAACTGCTGCGTGCTGAGAGCTACCGGCTTCTGTTTATCACTCCGGTGTGGTGGTCTAGTAGAGCCAGCCTCCTTGTCAGGTCCTTCATCTTCGTCACTGCTCTCAGGTGGTGCCATAATGTCGTCTTCTTGTCTCAATTGCACCACGGCATTGCTTAACTTTCGATTTTGCGACCTTGAAGGTGGAGGTATTTGATTCGAATCAGCTGATCTAGGTGAAGAGAAAGGTCTTTTATTAGTGGCTGTTTCTGGCTCTTCTGTGCCACGTTTGCGCTTCAGCGAAGTAGATTCCTTCGATGTGCTCGATGTTAGTGACCTGCGATTTTGGGCCGTTGGAGTCGATACCTCGTCCGGCAAAAATTGCGCCTCATCATCGCTGTTTATTATGCTTGATTCATTGTTTGCATCATTTTCTATGAGTTGTAGGATACTAGCCTGTCGCTTTCTTGGTTTGATTTTGCCCAGCACGGAGACTTCTGCTCTTGGCGTAGGATTTGAGGCAACAGTTATGGGTTTCTCCTGTATTCGTTTCTCTTTCTTTGAGCTCAGCTCGGGCGTAGTCCTGCTTCTCGTCTCTTGGGCACTCTTTTCTTTGTCTACTACGAGTGCTGCTGGCGGTGTCGCCGATACAACCGAGGTAGCTCTTGACGCACTTCTCGACCTTTGGCTCAAAATCTCTGTGGTGTTCTCGCGCATAGTCCTGTTCCTCTGTGCTCTGGTCGGATACCCGCCTGGCTTGTCGCCCTTAGCAACAGCTCCTGACGCGTAGATTTCTTGTCGCTTGCGATTGCGACTAGGTGTTCTAGTGGTGACTAATGCATCACTATCGTCGCTGTCCTGTGGCCTTTTACCAACCGGCTTGTCTGACAACTTCCTTTCCAGTACTTGTCGCGCCTGCGTTGATTCCGTGGTGATTATCTGCTTCTTCGGACTGAAGCTATTCTGCCGCCGCCTTCGGACAGGCGGTCGCGGCATATCGAGGTATTCGCAGCGAACGCGCGACGTTGGCGCATGTAAGTGAAGACTGGGAAGAGGTGGCAGCGGGCAAGCGAGTTGGGCGATCAGCTTCCTAGCTCAAAACGCGTGTGAGGAGTTTCATACGCGTAGCGTCGAAGATAATGATGACGCTGCTACTTTTTGTTCAGCTGTGGGAAACTTGCCGGGTTTGGCTCAATGTGGCATAGTCGATACTTCAGTTCACGTATCTCTAGTCCTTTCAAGAAGAGTCTTCTTACACTCAGTACAGACAAAGGACATAGTCAACAAGACCTCACGTTCCATCAGGTAGGACTCTTCAATACAGCATTCATACATCGTGATCATACATAAAGACAAACACTACAATGACCGGCGAAAGGTCACTGCTTTCGCTCGACTTCCAACCATCCTTCCTGTATACCAAATCCCTACCACGACCATCGTGAGACGGCAATGGCTCCTACAATTGTCTAGAGCCGATCCTAACCCGAATACCTAATTCCTGTCTACGAGTCCTCGAACCATATATGCTTCTCTATCGCCAAAGGAGTGTATGTGTAACCCAACCCATTTGTCCATTGCTCGCTCCCACAGGCGAAAGTGCGTTGGTAAAGACTGTATTTCTGTGCACAAGATGACATAACCCTCTTCATTTGATGATCGCGTCCGTGACACGCCTCCATAGCTTCAATCCTGGACGCTGTTCTTGCTCCTTGCTGCTTGTTACTCGTCTCACAAGCTTCTCTCTTGTAACAACTTTCCTCGCAGGATCTTGCCTCGTTGTCGTTTCAATACTTTCCTCCCTCACTTCATGCCTGGGATGATGTCGTCGCCTGTGCCTGTGACGACGATGTCCATCGGCGTCGGTGCCAGATTCCGAGCCATACTCGGTATTAGATCTGTGAAGAACAGGTGACTTGTTGCTCCGCGGAGGAGAAACTGGTACGCTTCGTGGTAGTTCCTGGGAGTCGTACCCGCCAGCTTTGAGCATGTTGATCCTGAGCAAAGGGCCGTTTGTGTCAGATTCACCAGTTGTCATGCGCTGCAGAAGTGCAGGTCGTTCACTACCGGAGCCATTGCTGGATATCATGGAATTGGTTCGTTGATGATGGTGTGTTTTCGTGCGCGGCGTGCGCTGCTCCTCGTCTTCTTTCTGCTTACGTTCGTGCTTCCTACGTTGTTGATCCTCGGCCTCTCTGCGCAGTTCTTCCTGCTTATTCTGCAGCGCAGTCTCATAAGCTTTCTTTACCTCATCGTCCCTGCGTCGAGCTTCGTGTTCTCTTCGACGCTTCTCGGCCTCGGCTGCTTCTTTGGCCTCCTGTCGTTCTCGACGGTGTCGTTGCTGCTCCCTATAGTCTTTAGAGCTACGTTTCCGATCACGCTCTTCTTTCGCCTTGTCTATCTGCCGTTTCAGCGCTGATGAAAAGGGCTTCGCTTCCTCCTTGTGCCGTTCGAGCAGATGTCGACCGTCCTTCGCACTGGATGAGCTATGGCTTTGAGGGGCTCGTTCCCATTGACTAGTCTCCTTCCTCTTGTGCTTGCGTCTCTGCAGCTCATGTGCTGCAACTGCTGCCGCTGCACCAGCTGCTGCTGCTTTCGCAAGGTTGGCTCGATGTTTCTCAGAGGAACTCTTTTTCGACGCCGTCTTATTAACTCCGCTTGAAACTTGCTCGGTTGGGGTGTCCTTCTTGAGTTCGGCGGACGACGCTCCAACGACCGTGGCGTCCTCGGGGGCCTGCTCCTCCATAGCTGCAGCCTCGACTGCCACATCGTCGGGATTATCGTCCTCGTTGGCGAGTGTCTCTGGCACTGTTTCTTCTGTTGCAGCTTCTGGGGTAGCTTCTGAGCCTACTGCCTCTTCTACTACTTCCTCCCCAGTTTTTGTTTCCTCTGTGCCCACTTCCTCTACCACCGAATCTTCTGCTATTGCTTCTTCTACCATCACCTCCTCCGCTGCTGTATCTCCTGCCGTAGTCGCTTCAACTACGATTTCTTCGGTTGCAGGCTGTTCTGGAACGCTTTCGTCTACCGCCGTCTCGTCAGTTTTCGTCTCCTCAGCTTCCACATCTTCGTTGTTGACATCTTTAGCTTCGTCCGCCACCTCATCAGGCTTGGTATCTTCATCGACAGTCTCTTCAGTCACTGCATCTTCATTGTTCTCGACAGGAAATCCTCCTGGTACATTCTCAGAACCGTCTTCGTTGGCAGCTACTTCGTCAACCTCTGAGGTTTCCTCGGTAGCTTCTTTGGCTTCAGCCTCGTCGATGTTGACTTTCGTATCAAGATTCTCGACAGTTTCATCGCCGGCTTTTTCTTCAGCCTCTGCACTGACTACTTCTGTTGCTGTAGAATCACTGGCTAATGGCTCTTCTGCTGTAGTTTCGACAGAAGGTGTTGCATCAGCCGCATTTGCAACTTCTTCTGACTCTTCAGTCTTGGTTTCTTCAGCTGTTGTCTCAAGTGACGCCTTCTCGACCGTTTCGGAAACAGCTTCTTCCTCTTCTATATCTTTCGACTGAACCTCAGGTATCACGTCTTCGTCGGCCTTTGACTCATCTATCTCTTTGTCTTCTGCAGCGACTTCATTCTCTTCAGCTATCGGCTCAGCTGCTCCCTCCTCTTCTTGGAACTTGCTGTCCTCGGATTTTGCAGTGCCTGTTTCCGGGGCTGGCTCTTTAACATTAGATTGAGCTTCAGCCACCTCGCCTCCTTCTTCAACTGGTTTAGGTTCGGCCTCGCCTTCTGCTCCATCTTCTAGCTTATCGTCTGCTTTAGTGTCAGTCTTGTCCTCTGCTCCATCCCCGGCTGACACTTCTTCACTTGCCACCTCTTCTCCGGATGCTTCTTCAGCGGCGCCTTCAGGTACATCTTCGGGTAGTGCTTCTTTCTGATCTGCATTTTCGCCGGAGATATCGTCATTGATCCCGGATTCGCCGGCGAGTGCTTCCTCGACTACTTCGCCAACAGATTCATCAGCAGGACTGTCGGCAGCTTCGTCCAAGTCTACTGCCTTGACCTCTGTATCCTCGACGTTTTCGTCATCTACCACGACGATATCAGGCTCATCACTTTCCTCTGGTTCGACGACATTTGTTGAGTCGTTAGCCTCTTCTGACTTTTCTAAATCTTCCACTGTCGCTGCTGCATTTTCTTCAGTGACACCAGGTGTTTCCGCTTCAGCTGTAGATTCTTCATTCAGTCCTTCCTCATCCTTGTCGTCTAACTCTAACACATCTTTTGTATCTGTCTCTTTATCTGCAGTGGGTGTGTCAAGTATAGCCTCGTCTTCATGCTTCTTGTTGTCGCCATCGTCGCCATCTTGAGGAGTAGGTGACGCCGCGCGAGATGGTGCGGGGCTTGCCTCGACGGGTAGATCTTCATTTTCCTCCAAGGAAGGTGCTTTGGAGGCTGCAATGGATCCGGCTGTCGACGGGACTGGCAACGCAACACGCGATGGGATATCGTTGACCTCATCCATTACAACTATCTCATCATCTAGAGACTCGGCCGCAGGTTCTGCCAAAGATGGTGCTGTCGAAGCAGCTCGCGATGTAGACAAGGGTTGTTCAGTCGACTCTACCTCGGGCATGCCTTCTGTTGGTGCTTCGTGGTCGTCAGCAGCTGTTTCCTGCTCTGCTGACTCTTCAGGTATCGGCTCCGGTTTCTCTATCGAAGGCGTAGGATCTTCATGTAGATCTGTTTCGCCGACTTCGCTCAAGTCAAGGATTGACCTGCTGTCGAGAGATACTCTCAATCGTCTCTCTAAAGACTTAGGTGATTGCAACATGCTGCCTGACATCGATAGTGCATCATCATCTTGTTCCTCCTCCACGGCTGGAACACTAGGAGCTACAGCGGCCTTTGAGGCTCCTGGCGATGTTGGCTCATTACTGCTGACATAGCCTGACTCGAACATTAGCCTATATCGCTGAAAGACCTCAGGTTTCATCCGACCTTCATCCGTTGTCCTCCTTTCCAAGGGGGTTGAGTTTGGTGTCTCAAGATCAACTGGTGCCTCAGTCTGAGGTCGTTTGTTAGTGAATCGATCACTAAACATGATAGGTTGGTCTGGAAAAATAGGGTTTCGTGTGTATGTGATGTTCTCTCGAGCATCACGCTCAAAGGTCTGGTATTTGAAAACTTGAGGCTCAGCATACTGAAACTTGTTGCCCTTTCGTCGAGGCATCTTGAGAATTGGTGTTCTCGGTGAAGTCGTCCGACCAAACGTAGGTCTTTGACTTCTTTTTATTTTTCTTGCCCATGAAGGGCTCGTCTAAGGACGGGAGCGGAATACAGTAGAAGCTGGAGGAAGTACGGGATCTAGCTGCCAACACTCCGCTGAGCGGAAAGTTATTTGATGTGAGGTTCCCTCCCGAGCAATATCAGCCAAAGAACATTTCGTAGGCTCGAACTTGGGTAACGTACTGACTTCCGACAGGCTTTGAAGAAAGTACTATGCCAAAGGGATAATGACCAAAGGCAAGAGTAATGTTTCCAGTCATGCGAAGTCTATGGGGTGCTGAGTATGGAGACTGGTCCAGAGTGGCTTTTAGCATTGTTCCTCCGATGCTTATCCCCTTACTGGTCGAGGTTGTATGGCCGTTGTACAGACATCATGAGTATCCTAGAACATGATGCGTGAGATCTCGAGCTCACGGATATCTCTGGAACTGACATGATTGCTTTTGGCAGAATGGCAGGGTGAAGACTTTCTGCAATTGGACCACGTCACAGCGTGTCAGGGTATAGTTCTTCCGAACGGTTGATTTTGCATATTGGCCTGTGCGATCACGTTGAAAGCATGAGTACTCATTGCAGCTTCGCGACTAGTCATTGGGCAGATAACCCTAGGTCGTTGCTGAGTGGTTGTCGGACGATCGCGTGCTGACAGCGTGCATAGCGACGAAAATTGCTGCCCAAATGATTGGACGCAACTCCGAATAGATGCGAGTCAAGAGGTTCACGAGAATAGAAGTACTTGTGAGTTGGTTCCAGGCTCAAACTCTAGCTGCATGGAAGCTCTTTCGTAGTTGGAGGTTGGACACAGAGGTTCTGTAGGAGCAATAGTTCGCAGGTGAGAGACGAATAATGCTTGTGTGGGTCTCCGAACGCTTCGGGCCATGCCACCAGTGGCAGGGGAGGTAGGAGCAATCAAGTGGTGCCTCATGGCCTAAATGATAAGCTTATTGGTCGCTTCATTATGGGTGCGGCAAGTCAGGGTAAATACAGAAACGAAACAGGACGATGTGATGTGACTGCACAAGCCACGCCATCATCGCTTTGTTCGACAAAGAGCAAAGGACGCATCACAGATGAGAGGGACGAGTATAGTGCAGGACGAGCGAGTCCGAGTCTGTCAAGTTTTTGTGCCCGAGAAGTGGCCGGCCTTGCCAATGCAGGTTCGCACGGCAGTCACGTCGCCTTCCTACCCGACAGCATCGTCCATGCTCTTTCTCCAGCGAGGCCCAAATCGCCGGATTGCCCACACCACAACAGCGGAGCTCAGAGTCCATAAACCAAGTATAGTGAATACCCAGCCATTGCCAATCGCGTTAATAAGAGGCGCCCCTGCTATTGCTCCCGCACAAGAAAATATGTTTCGACAAAAGTTGTTCACAGCCACACCTGAGCTGGAACGTTTGGGCATAAACTCGGTCAACATTGTGGTTGACATGGCAAAAATGAGCATGCTTCCAATCCCGTAGAAGAAATTCGCGATCATCTGCAAGAATACGTGTCAGCATAACAGAATCTACATCTCGGACACCACACAGTGTCGCATGTCCAGTGGGATGCTAACTGAAAGTGAAGACTTACAGGTACAATCCAAATGACACCATAATTCACTGTCCAGCCGTACCAAATCAGCGCTGCTGGGTAGATAAGGGCTCCTAGCCATGCATTCTCCCGCATCCTGTCTTCAGGGAGAAGCACCAATGGTTCGTTGTCCTTCTGCCGTTTTCGAGCTTCACGTGCCATAATTCGATCCATCCATTTTCCGCCGAAGAGTGAAGCGAGAATATAGCCAAGCGAATTCGGAATGTATAGCAGACCTAAGATTATTGTTGGAAACTCATAAGGCACTTTCTCAAATGAATACTGAATCGAGATGTTGAGTAAATACAAAGACCCAAAAGTGACTGACGAGTAGTATACGCAGAGCAAAACCAAAGGAAAGCGCAGATACGTAAGTACTGAGAGTGGATCGACAAATAGCATGCGCAACAACTTCGCATACTGTTTTGACTTCTGTTGAACAGATTGTCGAGTCGAACTTCGTGTCAGAGGTGGTCGGGAAGGATCATTAGTCTCGGTCGCAGCCTCAGCTACCACATCCTTTCGTGCTTGCAACGTTTCAGGTAAGGCGAAGAAGATCAGCAGTAATACCAGAACACCATAAATAGAGAGTGCCCATTGAGTTGCTCGCCACCCAAACTTCTCGCCGATAACACCACCGAGAATTGGTGCGAATCTGATAGATGTTAGTCACCAGACATCGATTTGAGGATGAGCAACTCACAAAGGCCCACATAGTGGACCAAGATAGAAATAACCCATCGCTCTGCCTCGTTCGAAACTTTCCCATACGTCAGCTATCGTACCAGCTCCGACAGCTTGGACACTGGCGGCAGCACCACCATTGAGCATCCTCATAATAACCAGCATGGTGATGTTTTTAGATATAGCGCTAAGCACGCCAAATACCGTGAACATAGCGAAAGAGGTTAGATACACTGATCGCCGTCCTAAAGTTTCGGAGAAGGAGGACCACCACAATGGAAAGATCGCCATGCTCAACATATACAAGGCGACCGATAGGTTAGTGATGGTCGGGCTCGAATGCAACTCATCAGCTACCTGGTTTAGTGCAGGCAATATGATTGCTGAACCAACAGGTGCCGCCGCTGCAGCGATGGCCACAACCACAGTAATCAGCCATTTTGTCGTGTTAGAGTAGTGCACAGGCTCAGTCACCTCGGGTATTATCGCGAATCGAGCAAAAAGACCACGTCTCTGAGAACGAGGAACTTTGACCAAGGGTTGCTTTGTGGTTTCTACCCTTTCCAGATCTCGCTCTTCGTGGTGCGAGTGTAGATCAGCCACTGTGGAGACGCACGAGTGAGCATCATCTTGTGTAATTGGCGAAGTCTTGTCGCTGTCGACTGCTTCATAATGTTTGAGCTTCTCGTCAGTATTGATGCCATCCGAGGTCATTAAAGATGAAGTTTTCTCTTCGGATCTTTCCGCCATTGAACTTCTCTCGTCACGAATTGTTACTGCTCATTCACAAATGAAGTGTTTCGACTTATCCAACACATGATTCGTGTATATCTCCCATGTTCAAGACACTGGTTCGCGAGCATCAAAGTGACGGTGTGACCGTATATTGAAGGAAAGCAAATCGGTGTACAACATACTCGAGTATTGCCAGCTGCCCCAACTGGCGCCAGTATGCCACGAAGGCTTGCACAGTACGGCTAGAGCACGCTCACACAACGGCGATGAGCGAACAAATGTACCGTGGTTTTCTCCTTCCCCACAATCGAATGCACTTTGATCTCTTCAGCCAATGGCACTTTGCAATGGTATCGTTCGATATGCCGTGTTTACCGTACACAAAGCCAAAAAGCTTGTGCTAGCCAGGGTAAAGCTGCATACTTTCGTGTCCGTCCGACACGCTTGCAGCTGGTAGCATCTTGCACAGACCGAGGTTTATATGAAGAAGGAAGTACGCTGCGGGTATTCGTGACTGATAACCACAGATGTTAGTGAGCCTTTGTGGTGCGATGAAATCATGGATTGATGCATTTTATGGTGGAGAAGCATGATGCCGGTCTACAATGCTAATTCATATAGAAGAAGGCAGCTTTATCCTTGGTAAAACGTGGCCAGAGCAGTACGGATCGAGTGAGGAATGCCATTTTTGTTCTGTATCTTGTCAAACTCTAGCAAGGCGGCGCAATCAAACAGTATCTTCACTCCTTTGCATCATTTGTCTGTTGAAAGGTGACTGGCTTTGAAATTCGTAGTAAAGAGCGCCATAGATAACAGTTTGTCCTTCGTCAGTAGTGGAGCGGATGAGTTTCCCAAAACAAAAGAGTTTATCATCATTCGTGACTGTGACCGACGATGAACTAAGGAAGTCGCGGTCATATAATTCAGATCAATCAAGACACTCGCCTAGCAGCTGTACCCAGGGCTTCGACGAGGCTTAATATAGTATATGTACTCAGCTTTACACCGTGCACGAACAACCAATCTCTCTGCCAAGTCACTTCGTGGACAACACGTGAATCAGTCAGTACGACTCAGAGACTATATATACACAACAAAATACCCAACCATCTACCTCTACACCCCGTACGACTCGAATATGGCAACCATGCCTTCAGCTACTCGCCAACCTCAAAGAGACTTACCACTTGATGAGTCCCGAGCCGTCATGAGAGGCAATTTTGGGGGAAAGTCTGGCAAGGAGTACCACGACGGGTGGGAGGCTATGTGGCAAGCAGGGAATTTCTTGCCATGGGATAGGATGGTTCCATCTCCTGCTTTGGCAGATACTCTCAACAACCACTCTCAGGTCATCGGAACTTCCATGCTTGTCCTTCCAGACGGAACCACAAGACGAAAGAGAGCTCTGGTGCCGGGATGTGGTAGAGGAGTGGACGTTATGCTGTTGCAAGCCTATGGCTATGACGTGGTTGGGTTGGAATACAGTGGGACGGCTGTCGAAGCTTGCAAAACGTATGCAAGGGAGACAGAGAATGAAGAACTCTACAAGGCCAGAGATGAAAAGGTAGGTAAGGGCAGTAAGATTTATGTCCAAGGTGACTTTTATGCCAACGATTGGTTGGAGAGAGCTGGCCTTGGTGAATATGGGAAGGAAGGTGTCTTCGAACTGATATATGATTATACCGTAAGTATCGTACCTCGTGCTCGATATCACTATTGTCTGACCAATGTCACAGTTCTTCTGCGCCATGCACCCTTCGATGAGACCAGCATGGGCCAAGCGAATGTCTACTTTGCTAGCATCCGATCCCCAAGCTAATTTGATATGCCTGGAGTTTCCGACGAACAAGCCTGCCGAGTCTGGCGGGCCTCCTTTCTCTTCACCACCAAAGGCATACATGGAACATCTAAGTCATCCTGGCGAGAATGTGCCATATAACGACAAAGGCGAGGTTCGAGTACAACCATTGGCAGAGTCTGGGCCTGGAGCCCTGGAACGAGTTGGCCATTGGCAGCCTGCTAACACACATCAGATTGGCAAGGATGCTGAGGGCAAAGTCAACGATAATATATCGGTCTGGAGGCATAGGTAGCGTCGTGAACGAGTCAACAACCACACAATTAGAGCCTACTCAACCTGCAGCTGCTTTGATTAATGCATTATAATGCTCGCCCAGACCGAAGCTGTGTTTGTAGTAAGCAAGCCAGATATCTTGTTTGGCCGAGTCATTCGATTTTATCTCTTCCACATGCCCGTCAGCTTGCAATACATGGATGTTTATGTCAAAAGCTTTGGCAATTGCTTGTAGCTCAAGATGACCACCCCACTCAGCAGTTGATTTGATCTTGTGGGTATAGCTGTCAATAGGCTCCTCCATAAACGGGGCAAAATCGTCGGGATGAGTACCGATGTATTCTGCTGCAGCAATCCTGACGTTTCTATAGTCCTTGCCGTTTAAAGATGGAATGGTATGTGCGCACGCAGAATACAAGCAATGCCCGTCAGGTCGTATAAGAGTTTCAGACAGCCCACGGTCGCTCATCTGTTGCCTCATAGCCGTCAGTTCTTGCTGCCTCTGATCTGGCATGCTTGCAGCTTCACGTTCTGCAGCTTGGATTTGTGCCTCTTGCTCAGCAGCCTTCCTTGCAAGACGGGCTTTCTGTCGATTTGGCTTCTTGGCTCTTGCATCGAGTGCTGCTTGTGCATTACCCGTCGCTCCTGCCGGTTGCTGCTCAACATTTGGGGAGTCAAGACGACCATTGTGGTCCGCCTTCTTCTCATCTTCGTCTTCGTTGTGCTGTGAAGTTTCATCATCTGGTGAAGTGGCTGGTATCAACGCCAAGAGTTCGGCCTGCTGCCGCTCTTTCAGTTCTTGCTCCAACCTCTCACACTCATCATTCACACCTTTTCGCGTCTTTTTGGTAGCGTTCTTCTTTTTCGACGTGATTTTACCTTGCAACTCCTTCAATTCTAGGCGATGACGCGCCCGAACCTCCTCCATCACGAATTTTGGACGGCTACCATTAATAAACAAACTTTAAAAAAAGGTTAATCACAGCGTCTGCTGTGCTGAATAACGGGACTTCGCCACTCCGTGTCTTCTTTTGAAATGTGACAGTGAGATTGTTCACTGCCCACAATCTTGAGATGGTAAGAATGTGGATTGATTGGTTGATCTACAAACCACAATTCAGCTCCGGTCAGCCTCGCGCGTTTGAGTGGTGGAGATGTTCGAGGTCAATGCCCCTCACTGGCCGTGAGCGCGCGTGGTCCCGTGTGGGCTCGGCGGGTAGCGCTTTGATTGCTGTTTGCATGAGAGAAGCTCATCTCGACAACTTGATAAGCACAGAGTAGAAGAGGTCGTCAAGTTTTGATCTTTGTTGGCGTTGCTCTACAAACGAAAAGTCGCTCGCTTGAACAAAGAGTGATAGCTGACGAAACCGCTCTAGCCCCTCACCATTGGCAGCGGTACAACCCTTGCATCTATCTGTTTGGCAGGCAGCACACTACGCTACCTACACCGCGAGTGTCAGCATTCAAAGTCTCAGAGTTTCAGCTGGTTCTATATTTGGATTCCGAATTGGCTATCGAGCCATATAGTCCTCACATTCTGATTCACATATCACCCCCGAAGTCTGAGTGCCTCGATCGCCCATAATGGCTGACCTATCCGGCCGCAAGGTCTTCAAAGTGTTCAACCAGGATTTTATTGTTGACGAGAAATACACTGTCACAAAAGAGTTGGGCCAGGGAGCATATGGCATAGTATGGTAGGTCAAGAAGAGTGCAAGAGTGGGGATCTCGCAACTGACTCGGTGCAGTTCAGCCACAAATGCTCAGACGGGCGAGGGTGTCGCGATTAAGAAGGTTACCAATGTCTTCAGCAAGAAGATCCTGGCTAAGCGCGCCCTGCGAGAGATCAAGCTGCTTCAACATTTCCGAGGTCACAGAAACATTACATGTCTGTATGATATGGATATTCCACGTCCAGACAATTTCAACGAGACCTATCTCTACGAGGAATTGATGGAATGCGATTTGGCAGCTATCATCCGTTCTGGTCAACCACTGACAGATGCACATTTCCAATCGTTCATCTACCAGATTCTTTGCGGCCTCAAATACATCCACTCTGCGAACGTCCTTCACCGAGACCTAAAACCTGGCAACTTATTGGTCAATGCTGACTGTGAGCTCAAGATTTGCGATTTTGGGCTAGCTCGAGGTTTCTCCCAGGATCCTGACGAGAATGCTGGCTACATGACAGAATATGTTGCTACGAGATGGTATCGTGCTCCTGAGATTATGCTCAGCTTTCAGAGTTATACCAAGGCTATTGATGTATGGTCAGTCGGTTGCATCCTCGCAGAACTGCTTGGTGGCCGTCCCTTCTTCAAAGGTCGAGATTACGTCGACCAACTTAATCAGATCCTGCACTACCTTGGGACACCAAACGAGGAAACTTTGTCCCGGATCGGATCTCCCCGAGCACAAGAATACGTTCGAAATCTTCCATACATGCCCAAGGTTCCTTTCACGAGGCTATTCCCTCAGGCCAACCCGGACGCACTTGATTTGTTGGACCGTATGTTAGCCTTTGACCCATCGTCGCGCATATCGGTCGAGGAGGCACTCGAACATAGGTATCTACACATCTGGCATGATGCCTCTGACGAGCCTGCATGTCCAACAACTTTCGACTTTGCATTCGAGGTTGTGGAGGACGTTGCTGAAATGCGTCGTATGATTCTCGACGAGGTCCGGAGATTTCGAAATGCCGTCAGGCACGCTCCACAATCTTCAGGCATGTTATCCTGATCCCTTTCCGTGACGTGACTAACAGAAAGTAGGCCCTGGTGGCATGAACGTTCCTATTCCGACGAATCCGGTGCAGTACAAGACAAACGATCCACGTCCTCAGGAGCCTGGCCAGCACCACGGCAACGATCTAGAATACGATCTGCAGAACGGAGCTGATATGATAATGAGAAGATAGAGGTATACCCTAAGTAAGCAATCTAGAAAAGCGCAATGACATTGGCTACATTTTCACGGCCTGAACGAAGTATAGGACGTGCTCGAATTTGCGTTCCCGCCAGCGATGAAGCACGGGTGGAACATGGACCATCTTATGTCACTAATCTGCTGTCTGATACCTATTTGTCGTGCTCTCTAGTGCTCAATGTGTTAAGCCCAAATATGTTCATGCAAGTGCCGAATCGTGCAAGTGCTAATGAGACTAGACTAGAACAATCTTGCCCAGTGGTACCTGCCAGAGAATTTATGGAATGTGAGCATGGTCCAATGTACTAGTTCCATCCATTAGTATACCTACTTATGCGCCACCATATCGCAGCGGTTTCAACCACAAATCCTGACTGTGTCGAGACAAAGTAGTCTTCTTCGAAATGGCAATTCATTGTGCTAAACTGATAGCAGCAGCCTGTCTTGGCTTCTGGGCTGCTAGTACAACCGCAGCACCTACTATCACATCAGTCCAGATAGAAGAGGAGTACCAGCCTCTGTGAGTTTCCTCTACCCTATCCTGTTTCACGACTAAACTTCCCAGTCCATTCTTCTTGAACGCTTACAATTCAAAGCGTCGGACTTTCGCGCCCAAATACCTCACCTCAAGCGGCTCAGTCCAACCCACCTATGAGACCGCGAGCTCATTCGTCCTAACAAGTTATGGTGGTCTGAGCACACTCTCCACCGAGGACTCTTTTGCGAACCTTTACCTTAGCACTGATAGCTCGACTATGAGCATGCTATGGTCGATGAGTCTGTCTTTGAACACGATCTATGCGGGATTTAGTTTTGAGGATACACAGCGTGGCCAAGTTCTGGTCTGGAAGGATGCGAGCTTTGATGGTGGTCAGGCAAAGTTTTGTCAAGGAGCAGGAATTCAGATCTGGTTCTATGGAAAGATGCCAGCGAATTGTGAACTGGTTGATCTCGTCGCGGTCCATCCTAGGTAGTCAAGTGAGGGTATCATACGAGGCTGAGCGTGTTTGAAGGGCTCTTCGTGTCCGAGGAGGTACAATTGATGGTGGTAGAGCCGCGTCACTGACGAGAACTCTTTCACTGGACTGGCAACGTGCAAAAGAGAATGCATGGGTATCCTTATAGTGACAATGATAACATCTTATGGCCACTAACTACCACCTTTCAATGTATTCTGTAGACATGAGCGACGCAGCAGGACGCTATTTCGTATAGACGACCTGCGAGCCGCCTGGACCCACTTTCGGCCCAAGCCAGCCACCCCTCGCCACTGACGCAAGCCCCGAAAGTTCAAAGAACTTCAAGTTTAGGGTTCATGCGGACTCGTTGAGACCAGTTTCCACAGACGAGGCGGAATTCTCCCAGCACTCTGCACCAGCCACTGCACGACGTATTCGTTGCCGTCACAATCCCCTGTACTGCGTTACACACTATTCCAGAGCAGCTTCATGACAGCAGACCATTCTACAACGGTGCTCGACTTCCACGACACGTTGCGCCCACCATGATGCGCAGTAGCAAGCCCATTGCGTCTATGCAGAAGACGTACGATGAATGCTACTTGATCTGCTCAACTGCCGTCTTCTTTGAGTCGCAGGTAAGAATGCTTTTCAAGCGAGTGCTCCATGGTACTGATCTCGACAGAACAATGAGACTGAAGCCTTACGGTCATGGCGAGAAGCGCTTGCTCATATCTACCAACACAATGCTACCCGAGCATCATCGGCATGGTATCCCAAAACCGGGACAGAACGCTCCCTTATGAATGCCTTGAATGAGATGGAAAACCAATGCAAGGAAAGGGTGGACTTGCTAACGGCACTAAAGGATAGCAGGACTGAAGCTGGACAATCAGAGCCTTCCAGCAACCTGAGCAGGGCCAGCCTGGTCGCTAACAACGGCTCAGCAACATGGCTCGGTGATGGTAGCATTCCTCCTGCACAGTTGTCACAAATCCCGTCGTCTTCCTCTTCGAGACCGCCTCTACCTATCCGCCGGAAAAGCAGCGGTAGTGTACTCGATCAGCCTGGTTTAGGTGTACCTCCGAACTTGCCTGTTCCTGTGACAAAGAAGGCGTCGAGGAGTCCAAGTCCTGACCAGAGAAGGCCCATGAGAACGACACTAAGACCTGAGAAGAAGGGTATGAGATACGCTAGGAATGCGGACCAGCCACGACCAAATACTTTGAAAGCCGCTGGGCTTGCTTGGGATTCACGCGCTCCAAGGTCGAGCTCTACCGCAAAGACTGACTACGATCCTACCATTGAGGCAAGGTTGAGTGCTCAGGCGGCCAGGAGAAGCCTCGATATGCCTAGGAACGAGTTGGATCCCAAGACAAGCAATGTTGTCTCTATGCCCGACCCAGCCGACTATGCTAGCCCTACTTACAATCTTGCTGCACAAGCTGGTCAAGCATCCTACGATCCACGACCATCTCCACATAGTCCAAGACGATCGTATATGAAATCTGCTCCAGACTTACGGCCACAACCCGAAAGTAGTTCTCCTCTGCCGCCAGCCACCAAGGACACTCCACCTCCTATACCGACACACAGGATAAAACCTGCTGAGATCAAGTACAGAAAGGAATTCTTCGGTACAACACAGTCTGTGCCGCAATCTCAAGCGGATGCAATACTCAGGAGAGCATATGCTCAACCAGATCCCAACTTGGTAGACCCGAAACCAACCGGCCTCGCAAGAAAGCCAGTCGGCTCTCCAGTAAACACCACATCAACTACTCGTCCACCGATACCAAAAGCGAGACAGCCATCAGCCGATGATATTCCAACATCATCCCGACGACCTCGATCCCAGGCAAGAGTCGACCGGTCACACGGCTCAGGTGCAATCACACCACCTTCGACCGATGACGATTCTTTGGAAGATGAATCCCAACAAGAACCCGAGAGGTCGGCCTTTGAGCTACGCGTTGAAGCCCTCCTGGCCAACCTGCCTAAAGGTGTGGATCCATTCGCTGCTAAGCAAATATTGAACGAGATAGTGGTACAAGGTGATGAAGTCCATTGGGAAGATGTTGCAGGCCTTAATGCAGCCAAAAAGGCCCTGAAAGAAGCAGTCGTCTATCCATTCCTGCGACCAGACCTATTCTCTGGCTTACGAGAACCTGCTCGTGGTATGCTGTTGTTCGGACCACCGGGAACAGGCAAGACCATGCTTGCTCGGGCTGTAGCAACAGAGAGCAAAAGTACTTTCTTTGCTATCACCGCCTCGACGCTGACAAGCAAATGGCATGGTGAAAGTGAAAAGCTAGTACGGGCTTTGTTCGCCTTAGCTAAAGCATTGGCTCCCAGTATCATCTTTGTCGACGAGATTGATTCGCTACTTAACAGCAGAGGAGGTGGCACCGAACATGAAGCCAGTAGAAGGAGCAAAACAGAATTCCTTATAGGATGGTCAGATTTACAGAGAGCTGCAGCAGGAAAGGACACATCAATTGGTGATGCGACTCGAGTGCTCGTCCTTGCAGCAACAAACTGTCCTTGGGATATTGACGAAGCGGCGCGTCGAAGGTTTGTGCGAAGACAATATATACCATTACCAGAATTGGAGACAAGGGAGGCACAGCTGCGAACTTTACTGAAGTCGCAGAAGCATTCTTTAAGTGAGAGGGATATTGTGACGCTAACAGCGCTTACAGACGGTATGTACCGACCTCGTCTGGTCCTCGAATTTCTACTGATAACTTACAGGCTACTCCGGATCCGACATAACAGCACTCTGTAAAGATGCTGCCATGCAGCCTCTCAGAAATCTCGGAGAAGCACTACTCACAACCCCCATTGACCAGATCAGACCTATTTCGTTAAGCGACTTTCGTTCGAGTTTGGCCAACATCCGGCCTAGCGTTGGTAAAAAGGGCTTGGAGCAATTTGAAGAGTGGGCCGCAGAGTATGGCGAACGTGGTGCTTAAAGAGATCATGATAGTCCGTGACTTGGCTCATATTTTGTGGTATGGATAGATCATGAGGAACGACGCATATTTTAATGTGTAGACGTGTTGCATAGCAGTTATTGGACAGATCAGCTTGGATGCATTGAACGGAGTACGGCTTATGCTGGCGGCCAACTTGGAGCGTTGACGAAACAGATTATTGGTGCAAGATCTGTATAGTATTCTCGAAGATGATCAAGAGTCCCGACACGCATCCTATTTGAGAATCTGTCCTATGTGACCTCCCTTCATCGTTCTTGCTGTATGACCTAATTCGTAATTCCGTGGTTCTTCATTTCGACTTCGTTTTAGGAGAGTTTGTTCATTCACGAACCTTATCTAAACATACCTATCTATATCGCATCATTACGACCTCTACAAACACCTACGAACGTCGAAGTCACTCTCTATGCCCATCCAACAACTATCTAACACTAGTATCGACCTAAAATGCCAGATCGTCGCTCACTGCCATCTACCTCCTCCTTCCTCCTCCATCTGCGCCGCATCCACAACCACAATGTTCGTACCTTCCTCACCCAGCCCCTGTCCGAAATCTCCGGCTCCCTAGGGGACCTAGGCACATTCCTTCCGCTCCTCATCGCCCTCGCCTCCTCACCCACTACACCCCATCAAATCAGTCTCTCGACAACTCTGGTTCTGACTGGTCTGTACAACATCGCAACAGGGATCCTTTTCGGCATCCCGCTGCCCGTCCAACCCATGAAAGCTGTCGCCGCGATAGCGATTGCGAAAGGTTTGACGAGAGGAGAAGTCACGGCCGCGGGGATTTTTGTTTCGATATGTATAGGAGTGCTAAGTGTGACGGGGTTGCTGGAAGTGGTGAATCGGTGGGTGCCTGTGCCGGTCGTCAAGGGGATTCAGGTCGGTGCTGGGTTGTCGCTTGTTGTTGCGGCGGGGACGAGGACGTTGGGGGAGTTGAATTGGTTAGAGCCCGATTGGGCCGATAATAGGATTTGGATGGTTGGCGGGTTCTTTGGGTTGTTGTGCTTGAATCTTGGTGGGAGGATTGGGAGGTTGCCCTTTGCTCTTCTTGTTACGGTGCTGGGTGTTGTGTTTGCGCTTGTGCTTACGGTGCAGAGTGGACATAGTCTACCTGGTTTCCGTCTATGGAAGCCTGAGACTATGGTACCTCATGCGCAGGACTGGAGAGTCGGTATCCTGGATGCAGGACTAGGACAGCTACCGCTCACAACACTAAACTCAGTCATCGCCGTCGTCGCCCTTGCAGGCGACCTACTCCCTGAAGTCCCCAGCCCAACCGTAACAGGTATCGGCCTCAGCGTCTCAGCAATGAATCTGATCGGCTGCTGGTTTGGGTGCATGCCAACCTGTCATGGTAGCGGCGGCTTAGCAGCTCAACATCGCTTCGGAGCACGGTCCGGAGCCAGCATTGTCTTCCTAGGCCTACTCAAACTACTGATCGGACTTGTATTTGGAAGCAGCTTGACGGGCTTACTTGACAGATTTCCCACAGCTCTACTAACGGTCATGGTCATTGCTGCTGGGCTGGAGCTAGTCAGTGTAGGCGAGAGTCTGAATAGCACATCGAGAGCAAGAGACTTGAAGCAAGAGGCAGGCAGAGGAAGTCGAGATATCACAGAGCTGGAGAGTAAACAGAGATGGATGACTATGATTATGACTGCAGGCTTGTTACTAGCGTTCAAGAACGATGCAGTCGGCTTTCTTGCTGGAATGTGCTGTCATTGGAGCTATCAAGTCGCTTCGTGGCTAGAACATCGTTCACAAGACAGCTCAGACCCTGAGCAAAGACCACTACTGCAGAATTGATAGCTCTCGCTGTCTACCAAGCTATAGAACCCGACTTGCTAGTAAACGTAGCAGTTGACCCTTGCCTCTCCGTTGCCAACCTCACAGCATCGGACACATCGAAAGTAGCACCCGCCTGACCATCCATCGAACTTCCAGACGTCTTAGTCGGACACGTAACATTCACCACTACATTCGGGTACTTCGCAGCATAGTGCAAAGCCAACCTATTCACCGCTGCCTTACTCGCACTGAAAGCGATTGACACGTCCTCCGTTCCTGAATTTCCTGCAGCGTTAGACATACTCGCAGACTCATCCCCCAAAAAGATAATCCTAGCACCTTTGCTATGCTCCAGTAACGACATCGCCCTCTCAGTCAGTAGCGCCGTCCCAATAACATTAACACCAAATACTCGCTGCCACAGCTCTCGCGACCCCGTGCCTTTATTTGCCGGTTCCTCACCCGTATAATTCCCAGCGTTAATCAGTATGTCGATTCGGCCAAAGTGCTGCTCGATCGCCTTAACCCCATGGTCGATGGACTGGTCGTCTGCTGTGTCGATCTGGATCGGGTTGACGTTTGACGGCGCACCCATTGAGGAGGCGGCTTGTTCGCCGGCGTGAGCTTCGTTGCAGCCGAGGAGGATCTGGTAATCTGAGCGGAGGGAGGTGAGGGTTTTTACTATTTCGTAGCCTGGGCCTGAGCATGGTGAGTTAGTTTGGATGTCTGAGTGTACGTTGGGATTTGTCAGTACCTGTGTGGCCTCCTACCACTAGGACAATGGTCTTGTTGGCTACTGCTATGCTCGAGCCAGCTCGTTGATATCCTGGCCTTGGCGCGGCCATGTTTGTGTTAGTAGTAGGTGTAGTCTTGAGTCTCTCGCCAGTACTGTGAGAACGGATTAACCTTCAGATTGGACTTTGCAACAGTTTGTTGACGAACTGGTCATAAGAAGAATCTATCGACCAGATGCCTCATGAACAAGTGTTTCATACACACCAGGTGTTCGAACGGTGGCTATCTATTTTTACTCTTTCCTGATTGCGTACGTCATAGTCGAATTGTACTTCACTGCCTACTCCATAAAGGCCTGGAAACCCTCACACGGCTTGCAATGTCGTTTCGCATATGGTAGCAGTGAACATCGAATTCTGATTGTGAAGAAAAGGCAAAAGGCTCAGCGAACGAACTCCGAGAAGGTGTACATTCGTGATGTATGAAACCTCATGAATTCGCAGCAATAGCGCACAGCATATGCTCATACGTGTTGGGTATCCTTTGAACGCTCAAAACACCTCCCATAGATCAAGATTATTGTGCTGTGCTAGCCAAAGCTGACTTGTCCAGATCATACCTTTTCCTAAATTCGCAAAACTATCTAATTATGATTACACTCGACTACCTTGTTTCTACCACCTTCGGACCATACTTCTCCCCATACTCCCTTGGTGATAATTATCTCGACTTGGAATATTGATCAAGCTCATTTCTGCCGCGAATGAGTCATCACGATGCGCCTGGTGCTGCTGATATCCTTGTTGAGGCCGTTGTGCTTCGATGTGGTTCTCGTAGCTGTAGTCGTTTCGGTCGTCGTATGTATTTTGTTTGTACGAGTTTTGTCTCTTGTCATAAGATTGTCTATGGACATCCTCAACTGTGGGAGCAGAGTAGTTGCCATGGTATGATTGTGGCGGTTGTTTGGTTGGTGTCGAGTCATATGGCTTATAGTCAATGACTTTGACACCGTTGTGGTGAGGGTTATACGAGCCCCTACGTGAGTTAGCGACTGGTACTTGATACTCAGACAAGGATGGCCTGGTCAAGTGAGCTGGGACCCGATTATCGTATGAAGGTTGTCGAGGTTGTAAAGGACTTTGCTGGTGCTCGGTTCCACCATCGTCAGGACGCTGTGGAGGATTTACCATGGCTGGGGAAGATACCGCAGCCGCAGAGGTGGAGACGTATGGCTGATTTGGTAGAGGTCGCACATGAGGAGGCTGAATCTTCTGATGTCGGTTTCGACCTCCAACGAGGCTGCTAGGAGTAGTGAGCGCTGAAGAAGGACTGTCTGGTTGCGACATCAGTCGCGGCAGTTCAGCTGGACTACTGTGAAGCGAAGGTGCAGTGCCTCCACGACTGCGAATGACTATAGGCGAAGGTCTCGCGCCGACTGGTCGATTCGAGTCGTTTTTGGATCGAATGTGAATAACATGCTCTGGTTTCCTCTGCTTCCTCTCAGGTTCAGGCGCCCATGTATCCGCAGGCAAATGATCAGATGGATCGATCTCGCGACCGTCATTACCAATTATTGGCCCAAGATCACGCAGCTTCTCGACTTCCCGCAATCTCTGGGCTTCCTTTGCCTGCTCAGGTGTTTCAAAAGCAGTGTTCTCGTTCGTGACAGGGCTCGACCCAGGGTTGAGAACATCGTAAGAATCGGGATTGAAGGGCACACCATTGAGCCGATGAGGTTTTGCACCAACAGCTTTGCGTGTAACAATGGGCCGCAATCCTGGACTTGGAGGAGCGTCTTCAACAGTAGGTTGATAGTCTTCTTCATAACCTGAGTGGTAACCCTGAGGTGTCATGTGCTGTGACTCTTCAGTAAGCTGCTGATCAAAACTCGAATGACGAACATCGTACGATTGCCGTCTACTGTGCGTGGTCGCTATGTGCCATGGCAGCTGGGTCTCCGAGCTCTGCGCCTGCTCAGTGTACGTGCTTCTCCGACCAGAATGGTGTGAGACTCCTTCCAGTGTAGCATGTGCTTGGCTTGGGGTCTGCATATACACTGTATGTCGTTGAGAAGGTGGTGTACAAACTTGGTTAGTGGTTTGTCTTGGGATTCCACAATCGTCTTCCAACGATTGTAACGGACTTCTATTGCTTAATGAGGAGCGCTTGGCGCCGATGCGGAGTGGTTCAGGAATATAAGCGGAAGGTGGACATTCGTCTCGTTGACGTCGTGGAGGGGTGTCTCTGTGCTTGGGAGGGAGTGGTGGAGGCGCATCTGCGTGCATAACTTGTAGGTGAAGTTCGTGCTGGCTCATCGACTGTTTGAGAGGGCTCTCGATGTATGATGGCGTTGCATAACTATTGCTCTCGGATTGTCGGTGGTGATGGTACTGAACAATCTGCCCATCTGAGTTGGTCGAAGTCGCCGTCGGTCGATGATCTGGCGTAATCTGTTGGACAGCAATAGGCTCTGAATGTGTATGAATTGATTGAGGTCTTTGGTGATGCCAAAGTTCCTGCTCATCAGGGTATTCTGGACCGTAACTCATATCTCTTGGTGCGTAGTGGTGACTTTGAGTTGAAAAGTCATTCGAAACAGTGCTATATGCACTGTAGGCATCAGGCGAGACGTCTGCAGAGTCTTGGGCAGAGGAGCTTTGTCGGATCTGCTGTGGTTCTGTATACGAAGGAGATTGACCTCGATAGTGACGCAGTGGCTCAGCTGCTTGATGTGAGGCTGTGGAAGGTGCGGGCTGATAGTGATGCAGATCTTGAGGTTGTTGATAGGACGAGTACCTCAGTGATTCGTCTTCAGCTGGTGGGAGGGGAGGAGCATGTGCTTGCTGGTGCCGCTCGTCTGTTGGGAGGCTTGGTGGAGGTTGGGCAATGGTGGTATCGGCATAAACAGATTGCGATTGAAGGGCTGCCGAGCCAGCAGGACTCGAGGGCAAAGGCCTCCGCTTTATCTCTCGGGGTCCCAAAGATCGTTGTGCGGGCAGAGAAGGCTCCGAGCTAACCTCATCGAGCATCGATAGTAGTCTCTCTCGCCTCCTTCTCTCTTGCGGCTGTTCTCTTGTGTCGTAGAATGTAAGCTCCACTCTGATATCGCCAGCATATTTGCCCTTGAAATTCAACTGGTGCCAAAGATCACTCTGTCCGCCTCCTAGCTTAATGACATCGTAGAGATCGATCCAAGCTTCACCGATAAGTTCCGTCTTCTTGTCGTCGTTAAATATGGAGCATTTCAGTTTGTAGTAATCTGGAGAGTCGTGGACATTGAAACGCAGCTCTTGATCCCTGCGTTACTGTTAGATCGTGAGCTTGAAGTTGCTTATTTCGAGTCTTACCATTTAGGAGTTTGTCCACCTCGCCGATCAGTACCTGTCTTCTTCGCTTCTTTTGCAAGTCTCATGGCACAGTAAGGATCTTGCTTGCCCATTGCTTTCCGGTTAGGCAGGTTCTTTGCTCGGTCGACCACAGCAACCAGTGTTCCAATTTCAGGCCCATCGAGAGTCATGTCTGAAAAGATGCCAGCCGCATGGCCGGCCTTCTGTTTCGACTTGAGGATGGCCATTGCTGAGATTGTATCCGTGATCGAGTTCGAAGGCTTCGACGTACTGCTTATAGTCGTGGGGTCGCAACGGTGAATTGATGAAAATCGGTGCGAAGCCTCAGTCTTTCACCATAATTACTCCGGCTATGTTGTTACATCAATTCGTAGGCAGGTCCATGCAGGAAGAGGAAAGCGTTAATCGACGTTGGGGTTCTTGTGACAGTGGTAGTACTGGTATGTGTACAGTTTCCAGCCTCTGGAATTTAAACCTTGTCACAGCACCGAAGAAGGCTGGGAAAGCGCACTCAAGAAATTTTAGGCAAACATCAAGTATAAGGCCTACGCTGCATGTCCAATAACTCGGTACTCATTTCACTGCTCTCAACAGCAACAGGCTTTGCTGGTAGCTGTGGACCATGGACTCGGTATTGTTTTGATGATGCAAGACACGAGATTGGCTTGTGCCAAGCTTTTCGACGTGTCGCGAGAGGCGCGGTTAGCTCGAACCTTGGAAGTTGCGACCTGCTCGTGAGGGTATCAGTCACGGTAACTTGCCGCATAGCTGCTAGCAGTCGGTATAGAAAAGGGTAAGTATGCTTCGTCGTTCTGAGCAAGGTAGGACAAGTTAGTCTTCCTTATGTAGCACACCTTGTGAGCTTTAGGGATTATACCTCGCCCTAGTCTTGCGTCCTACTTGCACAAAATGACGACTGGATCTACAGACCTGCAACATGTTGATGCTCACCTCAAGAGATTACTCGAATCGCGTCAGTTTCCGAAGACTATCTGTCCTTCAGAAGTCGCTAGAGCGCTCTCCCAGAAAGAACTTGCAGATAATGGTGTCGACTCATGGCGTGAACTCATGTCTGCCATCCGAGAGTATGTCTTCCTTCTGAGAGACAAGGGTGAAGTCGAGATTGTGCAAAGAGGAATCGTTTTACCCGCTAGCCAGACGTTGCATGACACGAGAGGTCCAATACGAGTCAGATCTGCCACCGTTACAGGTACGTAGAACCAACAAGACTATTATCGCACGGAAAACTGTTCTTCCGTTGGTTGCAAGAGAGATGATCCCACGAGGGTGTACTGCATGGGTGTGGCTGTCGGAACTCGGCTAAATATTGGCCTGCATCAATTCTGGATGGCAACATCCGTGTTATAGGCCATCCGGCCTAAAAACTATCACGATTGACCTACAATCCGAGATTGCAATGGATGCTGGTACAAGGTCTCTGGTCATGCTTGTCCTACTCGATGGCATCCACTGCTGTTTGTCTCCAAATGCTCATGAGTGCAATTGTGGTATTATAGGAAAGGTAAGAATGTCAGCGTTTGGGCAGCAACGATAGACTTGCAAGTGTTAACGCAAGATCAGCTCAACTTGAAGGCAATTAAGGTAGCTCCAATCGCAGATCTAGGAGGAAATGACAGTGCGCCGCTGAGATACGACGGTTTGTTTCCCTCGCGAGCATCGACGAGACGAAAATGTTGTCCTGCCAGTATGTGCCAGACAAGTATCTGCACTGTTTGCGGTGTTTATTGATGCATGGGAAACGGCGTCTGGTGCGAAACCTTCCACTACATTTGAGATGCTTATACAATGTTGACCAACACACGCCTGGGGTCGACCTGCGGATTTGTAGCATGGAGGGCTACTATCGTCTTGCAATGGATGTGTTATGATGGTAGTTGTATGGTAGGAATGCTGGATTGAAGGTCGATAGCTGTGGAAGAACATGAGACTGTGAAGCTTCTGGAGCAAAAGGGTCATTCTCATATAAGTTCTCTCACGTGATGTTGACTCAATCTTATCGATAAGAATTAAGAGCTAGCGCTGGGTTTTCTTTAGCGGCGCATCTCACAATTTGGTAGTGAATACTGACGGTCCGTTCATTGCATTCTCAGGTTCTCGCGCGGCCAAGGTGGTCCCCACGACAACATGGCAGCAGAAGTGCAGCCTGTAGCACAAGTCAAGCTAGCAGCTAGACCATCATCTCTATCACCAGAACAGATATACTGGCGCAGTTTTAAGACGCCAGTCAAGCACACTTCGCCTACCAAGCATGGCATTACACATATCTCCCAGCCCGCAAGCTCTGCTACCGCAAACCCCTCAGACTACTTCGTTGTCTCGACTGGCGCACGAGTTCAGCTTTATTCCATAAAGACACGAAAGCTCGTGAAGACGATAACACGATTCGACGATATCGCATATAGTGGAGAGCTCAGGCACGACAGTCGGGTTCTGGTTGCAGGAGATGAAACAGGCGCAATCCAGGCCTTCGATGTGAATTCAAGAGCGATCTTAAAAACGTGGAAAGAACAGAAACAGCCTGTGCACGTCACAAAATGGCATCCGAAAGAGACCACTTCGCTCATGAGTTGTTGCGATGACAGGACTGTGAGGTTATGGGATCTGCCTTCAGATAACTCAATCGTGACTCTCCGAGGACATACAGATTACGTGAGAAGTGGCTGCTTTCTGTCTGGCCAGAACAGCAATATCATTGTGTCAGGAAGTTATGATCAGACTGTAAAATTATGGGACTCGAGAACAGCGGGCAGTGCTGTGATGACATTTCAGCATGTTGGATCTGTTGAGGAAGTGCTGAGTATGCCATCCGGAACAACGATTGTGGCATCCGCCGAAAACCGAGTGGCCATCCTCGATATCGTCGCTGCAAAGCCTCTACACATGATCACGAATCATCAAAAGACAGTCACCTCGTTATGTATTGCCTCTCAAGGCTCACGATTAGTGACTGGAGGACTGGATGGCCACATGAAGGTTTTCGAAACAGTAGGCTGGAACGTGGTAGCAGGATCCAAATATGCTGCACCCATTCTGAGTCTTCAAGTTATCACTACTGGAACGTCCAGAGAAGACAAGCACATAGCTGTTGGGATGTCTGGTGGCAACTTGAGCATCAAGACAAGATTATCAGGCGAGCAGAAAGTAAGGGAACGAGAACGGCAAAAGGAAATGGAAGCACTATTAGCTGGTCGTATAGAGGAACACGATCGGAAGATAGCCAAGCTAGCCAAGAAAAGAGGCGCTGGCTGGGAACGAAGATTGCGAGGTCGAGACTTTAATGGTGAGGATGCTGACATTATCATCGAAGGTAATGTCAGGTCGCAAACAGACAAGAAAATGAAGGTATGGGATCGAGCGATGCATGCGCAGAAGTTTGCAGAGGCTCTAGATCATGCAATTGCAAGCAAGCAACGTCCTATAGTGCTTTCGATCTTGACCGAATTGCGATACAGAAGTGCACTACGAGCTGCACTAGAAAACAGAAACGAATCAACTTTACAGCCTATCCTGCACTGGGTGTGGGCGAACATATCCTCGACACAATATACGCAAATCTGTGTACAGGTTTCCATGACCATTATGGACCTGTATTCGCAGCACGTTGGCTCGAGCCAGACTATATCCAAGCTGGTTGACAAGTTATACAATCAGGTAAAGGAAGATGTAGTGCGCTCTCAGCAGGCCATTATGACCAAGGGCATGCTCGACCTATTACTACCAGATATAGCGGCATGAAAAGCTAAGTCTCGCGCCGATTTGAGTACTGGGATAGCTGCGTGGAGTCATGCGGAGTGAATAGAGTACACGATCCATATCAACAGAGTCCTACGGGAACTGCTAAGACAGGTTCCTAGAACAGATGGAGAAGCCAATTTGCTCTATCGACATGAACAGTTGAACATCTTAGGCCGAGCCTATATCGTATCCTCCTTTTGCGAGCTCCTGCTCCATCACCAATTTGAGATACATAAATCTGAGCCATCGAAGCAAGCATAGCATTTGATGAGCAAGTGTGGCAGCTTCCAGACAAATGCTCAATATCTCCAGCAGCCATCAGTGCCGTCAATGCCGAACTGAGAAAACCCTTCAAGACGACCCACCCGTTCATACAGAAAAGGAGAATGTGTCGAGGCAAGAACAGGTATCAACACGAGAGTGGCTGCATAATCTTGCGGTGGAAAATGTCTCGAGATTGGTACTATTTATACTCAGAAAAGTTCGCGATTTCCTCGACATGCACAAAAGTACAGGCACATTCCGTCGGCAATAGAGGATCTTCGCCCACGTGTTTCGACTCAATATGAAAACGGTCAACCACTACATCCTGCAAGATAGATATGTGGACTATGTGTTCCTCAAGAGGATCATAGAGAGACGAACAAACATCCACAAGAATGCAGAGTTCCCATACGTACAGGCCGTGCTACCCGTTGTAAAACAGGCTCAGCTTTAATTGGCTAAGCTCAACAGCCGAGGCATTTTGCATTAGCTATGGCAAGCGCGAAGACTCCACTTGCAAACGCATTTTGCTCGACAGACTTGACAAGGAAATCTACTTCATCATTCCACTTCATTCACGTTCATTCAACCCAACAGCATCGCTTCGAAGTTTGCCGCCACTTTCTTATTCAGACTCTGCATCTCAAGACTTACATGTGTTCTTTCTTTATCTATTTCTACCTATCTTCACGACACTCACTACGACAACATTAACACGGCGGGGTTGACGACTTCTTGCTTCAGAAGTGATTGACATTAACAGACTTTCTCAAAACTATTTTCGCAATATTGCAATCTAATATCGTCGAAGCGGCAGGAACACTCACTAAGAGCCTGCACCAAGTCACAAGCCATGAGTGAGAAATCAGAAGAGGCAGCGGTTGCCAATCCAGTACCCAAACAACATTCGCTATATCGTCTGGTCACAGATCAAGCCAGAATTGACGACGACGTCCTCAACTACAAGTACGATGGGTCTGGCACTACAGAAGACCCGTATGTCGTGACATGGATTCCTGACGACGCTGGCAACCCTATGAACTGGACAAAGAGTACGAAATGGACGATTGCCATGGTCGCTGCTATGGAGTGCTTTGCGACCGCCTTCAGTTCCAGTGCCTTTTCCGGCTGCATTCGAGAGCTTGTTGCGCACTTTAAAGTTTCCACAACTCTTCTAACGGCAGGTATAAGCTTGTTTGTGTTGGGATTCGCGTTGGGACCTCTTCTCTGGGCGCCATTGTCCGAGATCTACGGAAGACAAAAGATATTCTTCGTTACCTTCCTTGCCTTTACTGTTTTCGAGGCTGGTGCTGCTGCGGATGCCGGTGTGGCAACTCTTTTGGCTATGAGATTTCTTGCTGGCTCGTTTGGTTCGTCACCATTCACGAATGCTGGAGGCGTGATAGCAGACATTTTTCCAGCCAACGAGCGAGGCCTAGCTATGGGAATCTTTAGTCTTTGTCCATCGGCTGGACCAACCCTTGGACCTTTGGTTGGTGGATTTTTGGGTCAGAGTCGAGGCTGGCGATGGGTTATGGGCCTAATGACTATATTGGCTGGTGCTCTCTGGATTATCGGCTCCCTCCTTGTACCGGAGACCTATGCTCCCCTATTACTGCGAAAAAGAGCAGCTGAATTGTCAAAGCGCACTGGACAAGTCTACAAAACCAAGATTGACATTGAGAAGGGAGAAATCTCGGCCGGAAAAGTTCTCAGTATCGCGTTGGTGCGGCCGTGGCTTCTTCTTTTCGTGGAACCGATCGTATTGATCCTATCGATCTGGCTTGGCATTGTGTACGGCACACTATATCTCCTGTTTGGTGCTTTCCCAGTAGTCTTCCAGCTAGAAAGGGGCTGGTCCGAGGGTGTGGGCGGACTTGCTTTTCTTGGAGTCGCGCTCGGCATGGTTGCAGCAATTGCCATGGGAGGAGTGTGGCAGAAGCAATACAACGCAGCTGCAGCTAAGAATGGCGGGGTTGCACCGCCAGAAGCTCGGTTACCGCCGACTATCATTGGAGGGCTTGCCATTCCAATCGGTATGTTCTGGTTCGCATGGACAAGCTATCCATCGGTACATTTCATGGCCCCCATTGCAGCCGGCGTACCTTTCGGCTTCGGATTGACCCTTCTCTTCCTCGGAATATCGAATTATCTAATTGATTCGTATACAATTTTTGCTGCATCAGTACTAGCAGCAAACACAGTATTAAGGTCTCTGTTTGGTGCTGCTTTTCCCCTCTTCACAAGAGACATGTACAACAATCTGGGTACACAGTGGGCTTCGTCCGTGCCTGCCTTTCTGGCACTATCGATGGTACCCGTGCCAATTGTGCTATATAAGTACGGAGCCGTCATTAGGTCCAAATGTGTGTACGCTTCAGAAGCTGAACGAGCTATGAGCTCACTGAGGGCGAAAGCCGCTCAAGGTCCTTCCGTAAGCACAGTGACACGAGCATCTTTGGAAACCTTGAGCAGTGAAGAAACGAGTACGATAGCACCAACAGACGAGAAGAGTATCGTTGAGCCGATCAAAGCACCAGCAACCACTCGACAACACGTGGCAGGCGATGCAAGCGATCCTCAGAGATTGTTGCGGACAACAAGCAGAGCCGAAAGCCTAGGTGAGGCAGCAGCTTACGAGGCGAGTCCATACGATATTGATCGCGTCAACACCAATGCTTCAGTGGCGGGTGTGGATCTTAGGCGGATTAGAACGAATGCATCTCAGCGATAAACTAGGAAAGTGGCTTTGTTTGGAAACTTTTTCCGTCGCGTTCAAGCAATAGATTGTAGCATAGCATAGACTCATAGACTGTAACTACTAGACTAATGATTTCATGAGCCATATAGCACATGACCCATCTCGAACTCTGGTGTGGAAGGAAGCGATAACCTAAGCTTACAAGCACTTTTTATTGGTTGAAATGATCTCCGATAAGCCCACCAAGTGTGCCATTTGTGCAGCCTCTCCAAAGAGTGTGAACATTGTGGACTCTCCGCAGTGTAAAAGGCAACCTGCGACATCAACTGGGCACAACATCACATCTTGTAGCACTGTTGTTGCTCAGGCGAAGCTCATCCTATCTCGGTGTTTGTTCCAGCGCATTTGGTGTCCCTCACCTCGAGTCTAGGCCACCTGGAGGTATCGAGCTTCGCCTTCATACAGACCATACCACGCCCCCACGATCTACAACTACGGTTCGAGTGTCCATCGAGCAGCCCCCTTCGAAATCCGTAACGGCGTCTGGTCTCTAGATCCTAGGCTTTCTGCCCTCTCACAACCCAAGCAAGCCATTTTTGCGAGTACAAACAGTCTCAAGCATGGGACGAGGCTTCTCGCTCGTGCCTGGTGGGCGCGGGACCAACTACACTGGCATGCTCACGAGGAGTATAGTCTTCTCATCGGTTCTATTCATCTTCCTCGCTACAACAGGCATGACGATCGCAGCGATTATTGTGCCGAATTGGTTGATTTATGATAGTGTTGTGGTAAGTCACATGGGGATGAACGAGATGAAGGACCTATCAGGCATACGAAAAGAAATATACATATATATGTGTATATTCATACGCACCAAAAAAAGAAGCTAACGTATGTCTCTACAGGGCCACGGCAAACACACCTCCCACATCCACAAGCAACTCGGCCTGCACAAACAATGCTCCAACACTGCATCAATCTCTCCTTCCTCCTCTCACCACCACTCCTCCGAGAACGACATCCACTGCACCCCCTACCCCCGGTACAGCGACTGCCACGCCGAAGACCGCTACTTCTGCTCCATGTGGCGCAGCGTCGGCTTCCTAATGAGTTTTGCCGTCGTCCTCGAAGGCATGACAATCGCAGCGTTTGTGGTTTTGATACTGGGAGGGAAACAGAAGAGGGAGCAGGGATGGGGGTTTATGGCTACTATGGCGGCGCTGGCGGCGTTGGTGCAGGCTGTTGGGATGGGGATTGTGGTAAGTTCACATCACTTAGAAAGAAAGAGCGCTTGTAGTGGTGTGGGAAGACGTGCGGAAAGATGTAGGATAAGATGAGCTAATATTTGTGTCAATTACAGATATACCTCCGCGACAACGACGACAAATTCAGTGTACCTGGGTGGTATCTGGATAAGAGCTGGGAAATGTGTACAGCGAGCTGGACATTACAGGTTCTTGTGGCTATCGCGATCACATTAGCTGCGTTGTGTTTGCCTAGTGAAGGTGGTTATGAGCTCATTCCGGACAGTATACGACAAGAAGAGGAGCCTTGATGTGTTTAATGGAACAGTGTCCTACGTATTTATGCAAACTGTCACGTTGAAGCTCGGAGTCCAGTGGTGTTGAAGGGCGTTATGTTGTTCTTTACGTAAACCATATGGTGAAGATATCTGTCGTCGTCAAGGTCCATCTTCTGGCTATATATCGCTAGATCGCGAGCCATCCAGAAACAAGAAATACCACTATTACGTCTAAGGTCCGAAATTGCAGTAACATTTCAAATCTTTGTTCCTGGGAGCTGCCCTACTTGGCCAGCACACGATCTTGGGACTGCCATCACAACTTGATCCATCGTCAGACTTCTTCATCCGACCAGTCACACCCGTGAATATCGACTTTTGAAACCTCCGATCGTCTGCGCAAGCACATGCGTCGCCTGATTGACGTCCGCAGAACCTGGAGCCAGTGGCAACTTGACCGCATTTCGAGACTTCTTCGTATTAGGCGTCGTAGGCAGAGCAGGTAGATCACGATTCGGAGGCTTGTAATCTAGGCTGGGAGGAAAAAGCGGAATCGTGCCAGGTAATTCGGGCCGATGGCTGAGCAGACTTGGTATGTTCGGACCGTAGCTATAATTACGTGCTTTCGAGCTGGTGGTACAGAGTGGGTATAACGTGTCTTGTGGCTTGTCGTTTTCGTCTTCGTTCTGTTCGTCGATGTCTTCGTCTAGTCGTATTCGTGGTGGTAGAGCCTGTATACGAGTATTACGCGAAGCGGTAGGTCCAACCCACTGCCTTTCGTAATAGTCAAACATAGTTTCAGAGAGACTTTCTTCATCTTGTCTTGGCTCTGTGTATATACGGTGATTGGGATCAGCTGGGGGAAGCTGGATCGTTGAGGTGGCTCGTCCGTGAGCAGACTGGACTGTAAAATACTGCTCCTCATAGTCGTCATTCATCACTCGAGATGTGTTACTGAGGCTTCCAGCATGCGTTTGCTGTGCAACTCGGGACTGCTGATCAGCGAGAGAATGCTCAGGGTCAAGCACACGACAGTCCAATCGACTGGCGGCCCGAATTTTTTCTTTTCGAATTTCTGATTGTCGATCATCAGGCACTCTTAGAGCGCAATGAGGATAAGTGATTCCAGCTGAAGAGGACAGATGCTTGTGTATCGTTGCAGAAAGAGCGCTAGCTCGCATGCGATTTCCCGGCTCTCGGTCGAAGCATTGGATGGTGTTCTCCAAGATAGGTCCAATGGCTCGAAACAGCCCATTTCCCTCCTTTTTCATCTTCTTCTCTGAATCTTTGAGCAGCGTTTCCGCCCAACTAGCAACCTGTGACAAATTGGCGTGAAAACTGGCATCAGCAAGCCCTCCACCTCTGCCTGCTTGCGTGTTCTTCTTTGACCTGTGTTTTGCAAATGCGGATACTGTGCGACCACACATGACAGTGAAAATATCCATCGTCACAGCCGCGAGACCGAATATGTCTGCTGCCGTCTGATCCCGCGCAGAAGATTTCCAGGTTTGTACCATTGTGGTCTTGGTGTCCCCAGACAAATCGTATATTGGTTTCCTAGGAATTGCTGATTGTCTCCCAAGCTCCGACGAATTTGACGATCGTACGGATAAGTTATCCAGTCGTCTAGATAATGTCCGCCTGGGTCGATCCGCCAGATGGATCTCTTCGTTCCTCTGATTTAATCTGCTTTCAAAGTTTCTGATTTGTGCAGGCTGATCCGAGGATAAAGAATTGTAGGCAGTCAGCTTGAGCCTCGAATGATTGCCCCTGAATGCTGGGACGAACGCATACCCACTGTCTTCGCTTTGCATGCTATGACTTCTATCCGTAATTGATGGATCCTCGTGCCCACTCTCACGAGCAGACGATCCATGCGATCGAGGTGGTGGAAGCCGTCCAGCTGCTGATCTTCCTGAAGAAAAAGCCGATCCAGATCCAGCATTTTTGACCGTCAGGCCTCTTTTCCAGAACTCTGGTGCGGCATATTGATAGGACTCCAAATCGTCCCTCGATGTAGGGGTGCCAAGTAACCAGTCACCTTCAAATTGTCCAAGACTTATTTGATGGTACTCATCGATGCAAATTCGAGATGGTCGAACAGCTCCATGATAAGCGCCATGATGATGCAGCCAGGCAAGCGCGTTAGCAAGGCAATGTGGCCACGTAAGCAGGTGTTTTCGTCGCTCGTATTTGGGTAGTGCTTCAAAAGCTTTAGGTGTATCGCTCAGAAAGCTCTTCAAGACATGCTTTGTCACAGGAGCTAGAAGTACAAACATACGATCATGCTGAGTATATGATCCGAAGATAGATAGAACGTGTTCGTGACTGAGAGGCTTCGCACCTGCTATTTCAGACAGTAAATCGAGCTCTTTCTGTTTTCTCTTCAATGAGAATTCTCGGCGAACCAGGACCCTGTTGACTGGTGTAGGCAGTTGCACTGCCTCATGTTCACTCACAGTGCTAATCGATTTTTGCTCAATAGGTTGGATTGGCACAAACTCTACCTCAGCATAGCGAATGTGTTCTCCCTCACGTAAGACTCGCACCATGTACTTGAATTGTTGACGGAAGAACAACTGATCAAGAGCACGACCACCGTTGCGAGATAGCCTCAGAGAAGATACCTCATCTTCTGTAAAGGGAAGGAAATCATCATCGTAGTACTCGTCGATGAGTCGGAAGATCTGTTCAGGGACACCAAGATCAATCAATATCAGAAACAGTCGTTTTGTCTTTGAAACGATACGCTGAGCGTAAGTATATCTTAGCGAGTTGGCGCATTCGGGAACGACCTCTTGCGCAGCTTCTCCTAGATGTGAGTATGCAAATTGTATTGTAACCGTTGTTTCGATCCTTTCGTCTGTCCAAGTATCTTGTCCAGTCTTTAACGTCATAGTAGATGCGCTGCGGCCCTGTTGTGTGTGATGGAGGCGAAGACACACAGTGCCGACATTCTTACGGGCCCAATATCGACAACGATCTTCGACTGAGAGCACAGTTTACAGGCAAGGTCGTAATTTCAGCAGCAACACTATCAAGGCTGGGTACTGACTCAGCCGTGATACAGCGATAAGCCCGTTCACGACGGTGAGGCCTCACTTGATAGTCCCATGGACTGGTCTGGTCCAGTCTACGGGAATTTGTGGAGTAGTGACAATCCCAAAGCCATGGTGCCGTGGGTGATGCTCCGTACATGTGGCATCAGATGTGACACATTATGGCTCATATTCGACATGCCGGGTTCACAATTCTGTCCCGAGCTGCTGTCGGTCAAATGCGATCATTTACAAGTGCCAGTAGTGTGTGCACCTTTCCGGTAATCGATCATCCACATGCATCGCGCGTTTGCAATAATATGCAAGTTGACAGGATCTGACACACCCCATGCTCTTGGTGGCACACATTGTGTTCTGACAGGCGGGCACCGTTGCCAAGCGCACTCTTGGAACCGAAATCACAAGCTAGTGGTGACGCTGCACAGACCAGGGGTTTACTGATCACAGTTGCTATTTGCAATCATTATGAGTATCTGTTTGACCTAATCAGTCCGTAGTGTACTACAACAGTCCTACTGTGTAGAAACGGCGCATGGGTCCAGCACCTGTTCCTAGACCACGTCGCCTCTTTTGGTCGCAAGTGTTCCTCCGACGACGCGGATCGACGCCACGCGGTAAGTGTGCAGACAAGGTTCCGACTATATTTTGCATGGAGCTTTGTCCCGGAGCTTGGCTATGTTTTAGCAAACGTGAACCTTGTGTTCGGAGCAAAATTGATTGCACACTGGCTCGATTTTCTCTTATCTGTGGAGATCTACGGGGCCGGATGCAAGGTCGGCTGCGGATGGGAATCAGCTAGTGTTTAAATTTGTTCCTCGCCTCATCACGCTTTGCTTTTTGTCAATCACAGAGGAATCTTCGTCCTCTATTCGCTGCAATTCCGAGGACAACACGGTTAAGGCCAGAAGTAAGTCCAAGATCAACTTCAAACAGAAATGGCTTTCAGAGATAAGGGAGGACTTGCAGATATACTCCTTCTCAATAATGAGGAGTCTACCAAGACAGTAGTTGGTAGCGAAACACCTGCTTTTGTCATGTAAAGTAGTGTCTCTGCATGCACTGGCCTTCTGCCTGACTTTCTCTTTTTATTGCTACCATCGTCTTGGCTGTGTTGTATGTGCACATAGAATATTGGCGTAGCCTTGGCCAAAGTACGCTCCTTTTTGCTCGCTGAAACATACACAACAAGTGGCAGGATCTTGTCAACAGCCTTCTAGTCAGCTTGGACTTACATCCATCTCGGACTGGTAGTCAGCCATAGTCACCACAATCCTACGATTGACGACACTCAGTGAGCTGGCAAAGGACACCCGTACACTTCAGGATGTCTACCACTAGCCAGGTAGAATATGAGGCCGGAGACATTGCATGGATAATCACATCTACAGCTTTGGTCCTTCTCATGGTCCCAGGCGCAGGCCTCTTCTACGCAGGTCTGGGACGTCGAAAGTCAGCACTATCTCTGTTCTTCCTCCCCATCGCAGCAGCCTGCATCGTGTTTTTTCAGTGGTTCCTCTGGGGCTATTCATTGGCTTTCTCCCACAGTGCAAGTGCCTTCATTGGCGATTTTGCGAACGTCGGGTTTCGCAACGTTCTTGATCGACCGTCTGTGGCCTCTGCCAGAATTCCGGACCTTGTTTTCGCCGTCTACCAAGGTCAATTTGCGGCACTGACCGCAGCGCTGGCTATCGGAGCAGTTGCAGAGCGTGGGCGTCCAGCTCCAGCTCTGCTGTTCGTTTTCGTTTGGACTACGCTTGTGTACGATCCAATCGCATGCTGGACATGGAACCCAGCAGGTTGGGTTCTCAAGTTGGGAGGCCTTGACTTTGCGGGTGGCACACCGGTCCACATCGCTAGCGGGTCTGCGGCACTTGCGTATTCGTTCATGCTAGGCAAGCGACGTGGCCATGGCACATTCGAGTTGAACTTTCGACCACAAAATACAATTCTGGTTATCCTGGGCACCCTCTTTCTGTGGGTGGGGTGGTTTGGATTTAATGCTGGCAGTGCGTTGAGCGCTGGTATGAGATCTGCTATGGCTGCTGTGGTGACGAACTTGGCAGCCGCAGTTGGTGGTATAACGTGGTGTGCTATGGACTATCGACTCGAAGGAAAGTTCTCAGCAATTGGTCTCTGCTCTGGGGTTGTTGCTGGATTGGTGGTCATTACTCCTGGTTCTGGATATGTTCCACCTTGGTCAGCCCTCATCTATGGCGTCCTTGCTGGTGTCGTGTGTAATTATGCCACCAAAATCAAGTTGTGGATCGGAGTGGACGATGCGCTGGATATCTTTGCTATTCATGGCGTCGGCGGCTTACTTGGTGACCTTTTGACTGGGCTATTCGCAGCAGACTATATTGCAGCCCTAGGTGGCACCACGATCCCGGGTGGCTTTGTCAACCACCATTATGTGCAACTGGCGATCCAGCTCGCAGACGGAGTTACAGGAGGAGTGTACTCTTTCGTTGTTAGCTGTGCAATTCTGTTTGTAATCAGCTATATCCCGAGTATGCATCTTCGTGCGTCAGATGCAGACGAGGTTCTTGGGATGGACGAGATCGGTCATGGTGAATTCGCATACGATTACTGCGAAATCGACCGAGATGTTGCAAACAGTGTCGAAGAGACGATCGCGATGCGTCAGGATCGTATGAGATATTCGCAGAGTGAGGTGAGGTTTGATGCTGATGATATCAGCTTGCAACAGTATGCTGTACGACCAGGGACAAAAGAGTAGTTTTTGTGACTCATGTGTCCTGTGTATTGTTATTCTGTATGTAGATAGTATATTTTTGTATACATATGACCAGTAAGATCGAACAGACGAGCCCACGTCGATCTTCGTGTGGCTTAAAAATACTGGCAATGACCTCCCTGGCAGCAGGGCAGGTACTGGTGAGCATTCTGTTGCCTCAGGCAACCCTGCTGTCAACCACACTGAATGCTTCAGATCTTCTGCCCATTGATCTGCACTCGTGTACGCGGTCTTGCTGCAATAGTCCAGTGAGTGAGAAGCTCGTCTTACAGTGCCAAACCTTGCCTCACAGCTTGTTAGCTAGCTGTGAGTCGTGTCATGCCTTCAGAGAAGCGGGGTCTTTCTACAATCCAGCCATCATTGATCTCTCAAATCGTCCCGCTGGAGATACTTTCGGCTGCTATCACATCATGCCGAAAATCTTGAACTTTGAATTGGGACAAAGCCTTGCATCAAGTGCAACAACTTGAACCAAGAGCTGTCCATAAGTAGCTGCCAATCTGGCACTAGTGTGCAGCTGATAACAACGCGGAGAACCCCTGCACAAGGTTCTGAGCTCCCATAACATGCATGTCATTACGAGCATTGGACCACAGAAACACTGCGGACATGCTCGTAAATATGACTTTCGGTATTCGTACTCGTGAGGGGTCAAACGCGACTGATCTCCCCGCAAGATAACGACATGTAACATACAAGAAGTGCTAGGAAGTATTCCAAGTTACACCTGACACTTGCGACGATTCGCCGTCAATAGAAACCATCCAAGGAAAGTACACATAGCAGATATGCCAGGCAAGATCCGAACAGCTCTCAAGGTCGACCTCGACAAGCCTGCGAAGGACCAACCATATCTTCACGTATGAGTCCCATATCGTTCTCCGTATCATTCTTACTGACAGAACAAAGAACAGATGGCATCCTGATGGTATGTTGTTCTGCAACCCAGAAAACCATTACTTATACTACTAGTCCCTTTCTGTGGTACTATTAAAGATGGAGAGACTGTGAAGATCGAATGTCTGGACTGGACAGGCGGTCAGATCAAGAACGATGACAGTGCCGAGGACATCCTCAACGTTGATCTCACAAAGATTCACTACCTGTCAGGTCCATTCGAGATTGAAGGTGCAGAGCCTGGTGACGTCTTGTTAGTCGAGATTCAGGACGTGCAACCCTTTGAGGATCACCCTTGGGGATTCACTGGCATTTTCAACAAGGACAATGGTGGTGGGTTCTTGGACGAGATTTACCCTGAAGCGTGAGTGCATTCGCTCGGTGCTTCCAGTGCAGAGTTGACCGTGTCAGAGCGAAGGCCATCTGGGACTTTGAAGGAATCCATTGCACCTCTCGCCATATTCCTGGTGTAAAGTTTGCTGGTCTGATTCACCCTGGCATCCTGGGTTGTGCGCCGTCGGCTGAGATTCTGGCCGAGTGGAACAAGCGGGAACAGGAATTGATCTCGACCACATCCCTGACACGAGTCGTGGCGGAACCTCCTCAGCCAAAGAACGTTCACGCTGGTTCAGCATCAGATGACATCTCCGAAAAGGTCGGCAAGGAAGGCGCACGTACTATCCCTGGTCGTCCTGAACACGGCGGGAATTGCGATATTAAGAACCTCAGTCGAGGCAGCAAAGTCTACCTCCCAGTCCACGTCAAAGGTGCTAAATTCAGTGTTGGGGATTTGCATTTCAGCCAGGGCGATGGAGGTAAGTAGTCTCAGCAATCCCCATCCGCACATCTCTAAGCACGGTGATCGATGTCTAGAGCACGATTTCCAGGCTAACGTGTACAAAGAAATCAGTTTTTGCGGCGCGATCGAGATTGCCGGTGTTATTACCATTAACTTTAAGGTCATCAAGGTGAGTAACCACAGAAAAGCTGACCAACATTCGTCTAGGACTGGAACGCGATCTCAACAATGTGAATCTCCAGCTGACGTTGCAAATAGGACGGCCAGGCACAGCTCGGTATGGTCAATGGCAAGTCGCCCATTTACATCCCAGGACCAGTAGAGCCGCAGTTCGGTCCTGGAAGGACACTCTACTTCGAGGTAAGCAAGCAAAAATGGAGCGGTTGATATAGATCCAGTTGCTGACTAGGCGCGATAGGGCTTCTCGGTCGACGAACATGGTAAGCAGCACTACATGGACGCAACGGTAGCATATCGTCAGACCTGCCTGAGAATCATCGAGTATCTCAAGAGGTATGGGTACAGCGAATACCAGATCTATCTCCTGCTCAGTTGTGCACCTATTCAAGGCCATGTCGCTGGCATAGTTGATGTGAGATACTGGCTGAGATCTCCGAAACCTGGCTAATATGTTCAGATACCCAATGCATGCACAACGATCGGGCTTCCGGTCGACATCTTCGATTTTGATATCATGCCAGGAGCTCCTGTCAAGAAGCTGGATCTTGGCTCTTGCCCAATGGCATACAAGAAGTAGGGTTTTCAGATCAAGAAGTGAGTGGTATCTTGGGGGCTGCTCCTAGCAATCGAACGCAGAATTGTGTCAGCTGAGCTGTCCATACTCCTTCTCAAAATCTGCCAAATCCCAGAAATCAGACCAGACTGGTCCCCTGACTTTTCCTCTACTGTCAAACTTGACGCCTTCCCTTTTCAGCAACTCCACCTTCTCGTTCTGTTTTCCTGTCAGTTTCCCATCTCGTCCCCATTCGCCGAAGAAGCCTCCGATCGTGCCGTCACTCGCGAGTACTCTGTGGCAGGGCACGTCAGGTGCAAAAGGATTGTTTCGCATGCCGTTACCAACAGCACGAGCGACGGATTGGAGATGTTTGGCTAGAGCTGCGTAAGTGGTGTACTTTCCACACGGCACGGAGAGGAGAGAGATGTATAGACGACGGCGGAAAGGTGTCAGACTAGGGTGTTCGTGTATGCGTTTGAGAGTATTTCTGATTTGCTCAGGAGTTAATTGCGATGTGACATCGAGACTCTTTTCTAACTTTGAGCGCGGCTCTGTGCTGTCGTGTTGCTGCTTCTCCTCCTCATCGTGGTCGTCGTTGGCATCGTCGGCGGATGCAGCAGGTGAAGGCAATTGCTTCGAATCTACCTTCTCCAAAGACTCGAATTCTAGTGTGGCCTGTTTCTTCCCATCATCCAGCTTCGTCCTCTTCCCAGGTGATTGTGTCTGCGCACCACTGACTTCACTATGCGGCCGCTTCTTCTTTTTATCTTCTGTCTCTTTGTATTTGCCCTCATTTTTGCCTCGAGCCTGCAAACTCATCCTATCAAGCTCCATGAGGTCGACTTCTCCCCTCTGTATCTTCTCTCCCAGCGCAATAGCAGCTTTCAACTGTGGGCCATTCATGTTCTTCACAGCTGGCTTACTCAGCACCTTGTCCCATTGAACATCTTCTCCACTAGATCCAGCACCTTTGCCAATAACGTTGTCAAGTATGATACGAGCGAAACAGTGATCGAGCGTTACTGGCCATCTTTGCTGGCTTGGGTCTTTAGCGCGGGCTAGTTGGGGGAGAGTGGTCGCATAAAGAGTTTTCCAATCCTCGCGTAGATTTTCAAGGGTTTCATCTTGCATGCTAGACATGACTTTAGAAAGAAAGACGTAGTATGCAGTAGTGCAAGTGTGTAACATCCTCTACTCTACTCGTACTCTCGAAATTGCGGCGATGATGTCAGCCCTACACGACGCGTTGACGCGTCCACGCGTAAAGCGCTGATTTTGAGTCCGGCGAAGCTATTGTGAGGCAGTTTGCATCACAACATCAACGCGATGATTGTCTCATGATACTCGAGCGTGATATATAATCGACTGGCCAGGTGTGCATGAATTAAGTATAAAGAAGGTCTATGGAAAACCTGAATGATACTCCCAAACCCAGACACCAAAGCCTCGGGATACTGATAAATTTGTTCTAGGATGACAGTGATGCTCAAACCATACGACGTTTACCCATGTTACCTTAAACTCCTCCAAGACCAACACCAACCATAGTAGGTGCACCTCCTCCCGTGGCGAGAGGACGTGAAGGTGGACCGACAGGCGCATGGTGAAAGCTAGGAGATGAAAGAGCACGAAGCCTGTCCTTGAAGCTTTTTCGTCTGGGCTGCTTCTCGTCGGCATCATCTGTGCGAGCTCTTGGAATACTGTCCAGCGTTTCTCCAGTACTGTATTTTCTGGACAACTTGCTATTGGCTGATGAGCTCGCCCTACTGCGACTTTTCTTCTCTTCGAGCTTCATGTTCTTTTCATCGACCTTTTCGAGTGCCTTGTTGTGCTTCTTCTTGATCTTCTCAAGCTTTCTCTGATACTTTCCATCGATCCTCTGCTGTTGTTCCCGCCGTTCTCGGTTCCCACATTCATTTTGTTCAAGCCGATCGCAGTGAGCATAGTGCCAGGACGCTGCCTCTGCTCGCTTGGCTTCGTACTTCTTGTCAATGGCGGCTTGACCTTTTTCAGACAGAGATTCCTTCCTTGAGTGTTTGTGGAGTGGAGCTGGACAGCTGCTGCTACTGCTGGAAGATGTTGGTTGCTCTTGTGGTAGCTCCCGCGGTTGTTCTTGCGGTTGTTCTTGCGAATGCTCTTCGCTTTGTGGGTTCCTTGTGACGGAATGCTCATCGTTGTCCTCTCGATTAGCGGCTGGGTTTGGCTGGTGGACAGGAATGGCGTCGGCTTCGTGCCTTGCCAACGCTATCTGTCTTTGGTTGGCCATCATCATGTACGATGGACTGGTACCCATTATTGTCACAAGTATCGGCACTTGGTAGGTAAGATAGTAGTTCTAGCACGATGGAGGATATTGTTGAAGAACACAAGATGAAACGTTACACTTGAATCTCAATGGGGGTCGATGCTGGTGCATGAAAAGGAAGATAGACAATGCAAGCTGAGAAATGAACCTGTTCAGATTGCTCCTGCCATTATCGTCTTTGATATTGCGGCAGGAGCTACCAGGTGTAGAACCACTTCTGTAACAATGGTACTATCATGATAATGCAAGTTTTCTTCGCCTAGTCAGCCGGTGCTTCAAACATCATCTTTTGTGCACTGCAGCAGTATTGTCAATTTTTGCAGCATATAACGGTCATGGCGACTCCTAAGAAAAGAGCAGTAAGTGGAAATGGGCAGCGGGTTGGGAGGCACATCAACGTGGCTTCTTGCACCCTGTGCCTTTTATTCCGGAGGCAATTTTCTCGAACCATTGCGAGGCATGATACATGCCTGACGTGCCCAGCCAAAGCAGTATTTGGGTTATTGCTGGGATTGAGAATTATTAGACCGTCGTCGAGTACTGAGCTCGCGCATCTCGCACCTGTACTACCTTGCCGTACTACTGTATGCCATATACCATCATAGCGCAGCACGCAGCGAGACGCGTCAATCGACTTCAGTGCTCGACTACGTTCTGGTCATCTACTTCGTGCCTCTTTCCCGATTCAGCTACGATGTCGAAGCCATTGCCCAAACACGGTGCATAGCTTGTGTACATCCATGGTCTCAAGATATCGTGGATGACGCTCCCTCGAGTGAGGGGTGGTAGTCGAAAAGCATTACCACGTTCTGAACCTTCCAGAGCACACACTTCAGAGACACGGTCGACGTCTGCACTGCCCTCTGGTGGTAGTGTACTGCTTATTGAACCCTTACCGACTCTACTGATGACTTTGTTGTATGCAGGTGGATACTCTTATGCTGAATGTACAGCGTTGAGCTGTCCCAATAAGATTGTGTTAGCTTCGAAGTCATGGTCTACATACAAGACGAGAAGATTACTGCTTACACGAAGAGGATTTCTTGAAGTCTCGTCCAGTCCGAGAAGCACGTGGGCGCTGCACACCAAGTGTGAAGTGATGATATGTTTGTTTGCTTGACTTCGTCTGCATACAATGAGCGCTCACCAACGCGCCTGCAATGGCTATTTAGCATGGACTTACGCATGAGGACAAACTGGCTCTCGTACCACGTTTCGGTACGGCGTCTTACGCAACAATAGCTGGCGTCACCTTGTCGATATAGCAATGGTGATGAGAAGGGCTGTTGCTTGCATGGGCTGTGCTTAAAATAAATTTACTTACACAGGAGCCGGCAAAGCTGGACACAAATGACAGGTAGCAGTTACTCAAGTCGACCGAAAAAACAGTGAATCTACACAATCACCGCTATTCTTCATGTCTTCACCAGACCGTACGAACGTACCCGTGGAAATTTTATACCAGGACAACGAGATAAGAGCAATAATCTTCTCAAACCGATCCGGCAATACTGGCACAATTCGAGATACCAGTAAGCTAGCACAAGCAACGACCATACCATCAAACACCATGCTTCGAGGTCCGCCTTGCAACGACCCTTCGTGCTGTAAGCCACAGGAAATAAATCTGACAGCGAAGGACGAGAAGGAACAAGTACAACCCCCGTTATTGAGCACGGAGGTAGCTTTACTCATCTATCTAATTGCCATGGTTATTGCGGTAACTCTTTTCTGGTAGACCACGGACACGAATTCGGAGAATCAATGGATTAATCAGAGTAATTCTGTCGCTCTCAAAGATGTTTGACATCTGCTAACCTTTACAGATATTCGATCCAGCCAGCCTGAATACCACGAGATAGTCTTGTTCCTATACCTCGATACCATCATAGCAATTGACACCATAACGCCAGACATAGCACTTTCCTATCATCCTGAACAATTTGAGAAGTAATGATACAATGTTCTCAATCACAACGTAAACTCAAGCCTATTCCCAGCATAATCCCTCGCAAAGAATCTATTCGGAAAATCACCTTCCTTCCCCTGCCCACCATTGTCCGCTCCAGGCCTATCACACTGCATCGGAGCTCCTTCCTCCCCATCCTCATAAAGTTCCCACAACCGTCGTTGCAGAATATCCAGCTTCTCCTGCGACGGCACTTTGAAACAAGGATGTCGCGGTGATTCGCTTTGAGCCTTGAGTTGTGCTTGGCTGAAGTCGTGTTCTGATGTTACGTGTAATTGCTGACCACTATTGCCGATGTTGAACCACATCAGGTGAGCCTTCTTCGATTCTGGGACAGGTGTTGGCTCTAGGCCGAGGACGCCGTAGTAGAATGCTCGCGCTAGGTGGAGGGTGTGTGGCTGGACCAGGAAGTTCACGTGGTCCCAGCCGATGACGAGAGGTTCGCATTCAGAGTCGTTTTGGCTGATCACTGAGCTGTTCGAGCTGTTCACTGTTTCCGACATGTTGGCCTTGCTGATATGATAGGAATTGTGGGGGAACAGGTACGTAGTAGGACTACGTGTAATCGAAAGATTGACTGTGAATCAGGAAGAAAGATAATATGCTATAATGAGTGTTGTAAAGAAAATTTTCGTCTAGGTCGGCAGACACTTTTATGTTCAAACTGGCAGCTTCGCAAAACCGTCACAAGGACAAACGCCATAGCTCGAATCGTGCTTGCCAAGCTACTGTACCCTACGAGGCTGTTGTGTACCCTGTTCTTCTGGCTGACGTCGTTTCTACTCGAGTATAAGCCACTGGTGACCAAACATGCATCAACGCATTGACCAGGGAAATGATTGCGGGGAACCGCTTCCTCAATGGAAACGTTTTGTGCTCTTGGGAATCACTGACGCAAATTAGATTCTCGAGGCACCCAGTCGCGAGTAATGCGGCATTTTAAACAGGCGCATCAACTAGATTGCCGCCTGGACCAGCCCAAATCTGGATAAATCACCTCGTGTCGTGGCTCGTTCTACATACCCGGAGCTGGCAAAACCTTGTGCGAACGCGGTCAGAAAGTGCGAGATGCGCTCTTGTGAACACGAACTCAGACACATGACCTTATAGGTTTGTATGGACGGAAAGCCTTGAACAACCCACGTCAGTGGACAGGACAGTCGTGGGGTCATGCAAACACGTTGTGGAAAAGTACCAATCTCCCACACCAGTCACATTCAGAATCCCGCGGAACGTGGCTCCGAGACGAGCCACTAATGCAATGCATCGTCTCACCTGAACTGATCTGCGACCCACAGATACAGCTCCGCTGGGCTTTATCCCGGTTCCGCGTGGCTCGCTCAACTCAAGTAGCATTTCTCCGTAAACACCTTTCATTCAACTGAAGAGTGGCCGTGTCACTCACACAAAAGGCGAGGGACAGTTAAGTTGGTCGATATATGTATTCTGCACCAGATTCCGAAGTCGGTATACAAACAAGCCAGAGTGGGAGAGGACGTCGTATGGCGCTAATACAGGCAGACACATTCGAGGTCCTTTGATCAGATGTACTTCGAGGACAAAGTGGTGCACATACACCCCACATAAATCGTCATCAAGCATAATTCCGGCTTTCCCTCCCGGCAGTCTGTGCTAGCTCGACGTGGGGACGATGTTACTGTCGCACGCAACTTCAACCATTGTACAGGCGCATCAAAGCATTTCAGATCCAGGGAATATTCACATCCTGTCCAGCTGAGGACAAGCACTGATAATTACCAGCATGTTTAGCTGAGTGCTGCTGCCCAGATGTTCTTTTGCTGGACCTGCATCAGGTAGACCCGAGAATCTGTTAGTGTTACACAAACGTTCTCCGGCAGGTTGGCGGCTGCAAAGACTTGTAAGGAGAGCGACCCGCCAAGCACGGCTGGCAGGAAGCTTGCAGTAATATTGCCTAAAAAGCAGCAGAAGTCGAGAAACAGCTCTTCCCCATTTCGTCGAGCTTGCATGCCATGCGTGGAGGCACAGCTGGTGCTCGTCCTTGGCACAATAAGCAAAGGAGAAGAGCCTGCTTCGCTTGAGTATCAGGCAATCAGCCTGCCTTGCTACCTTCTCCTCTCCCACCAGCATCACTTGTAGGCACCACACTTGCTGGTCTTGAAACCCCTGCTTGGCTCTGCACGTCGGAACTCTTGCCCTTCTCCTTTCTTTTCTGTCTTCTGGGATTGACTGGTTTGTACGCCTCGTTAAAATTCATAACCACACCAAGGAATCTCAAATCCACATCGGGCTGGTGTGCAAGATCATATAGGAAAGCATTAATTCGTGTATGGTAATCGTTGCTTAGGTCACTCATGCGCTTCCTTAATCCAGTAAGTAAGGTTGAGTCATGTCCCGCATGCGAAGGAAGAAGCTGTGGCGAGCCTGTATCTTTGGCGAGTTCGTCACTCATAGCAGACCATCGATCACCCCTTGCACCAGCGACTACCGGAGTGGATGCCCGCGAAGTTCCTGCCGCAGTACGCTTCTCGGTGCGAGTAGCAGATTGCTGGCGCTTAGTGTATTCTGCAACACTGAAAGAGTAGAGGGATTCTACCACCTCCCGATAATTGAGCATACATTTCAGCATGTTGTGCAGTTGTACCAGAAAGCCATCTTCACGTTCAGCTGTGGAAGCGAGCAATCCTTTCTGCACAATGGTATTGATATATTTGGTGTGTGCCTCGATCAAATCATCCAATGTTGCATCAGACCTCGTGATTGTCTTTTGTAGCGTTGCCCAGGCTGATTCTACCACCTCGAAAAGAATATAATATTGTAATTGGTTGACAAAGTGTACCATTTCAGCTACAAGACAGCGGGCATTCTTCCAATCTCCCTGAAGTTTCTCGTCAATGTCTGAAAGTACACCACGTGCACCTGTCATGCATTTTCGCCATGTTGTGTTGAGGCTATACTCCACACGCTTCACGCGCAGCATGACGTTGAAGATCTTCAAGTACTGAGTATTTGCCCATTGTGTGATGACCACGTCACAAGGTGGACTGATCTTGTACTCTAGAGTGAAGCAGTCCCAGCCTGTATCGTTCCTGTTCAACTCGATCATCCTAGCATCGAGTCGGCGTACGACTTCGGGGTCGTCATATTGAGCATTACTATGACGAACGGCATGTTCGAGCTGAGCAGTTAGATTGTGACGGTACTGCGAGTGAGCAGGACGATCGAGATTTGGTGCCAATGACTCAACTAGCAAATCGATAAAGTCGCCTTGGCCGAGAAGAAGATATCTTTTCAATGCTTGCATATGAGTGAAGAGAAAGAACTTGTTGGACATAAGATGCGTAAGGCGGGCCATAGTGGTTTGATAGGCCGCATCAATTGACGCTGAGAGATTGACGTGCGACGTGCTTTCATAATCAAGCGATTTTGAGTTTGCCTGAGAGTAGTGGATGACCCAATCCGAGTCACCACAATTGTTCCTGATGAAATTGAGAGACTTGCCGATCAAAAAGACTTTTTTTGCGAAATCGTCTGACATGATCGATGGTACCAGTTCAGCTTCGAGTTTGTACTTGTCTTCCCACACAGACATGGCAACTCTTCGGGGGTCAACATCTGCTTTCAACATGGGATCAGCCTCAACGACGAAGAACTCGTTGAAGGGGTCAACCAACTCTCCATCGTAGATCCAGTGACGCAATATGTCGTAGAATGGTCTGGCAACATGTGCTAGCAAACGCTCAGCAAAACCTGCCACAAATGGATCACCATGAGATGCCAGTAGGCCGTGAATAAGAGATATGATTTGACCGCCCCTCTTCCGCTGAGAGTCTTCCACTATCAAAGCCATCAAACGTAGACCCATGGTCGCATCTCGGGTCCAGATTACACATCTCTTCAACGTCACTCCGGCAGCTCGAACACTTTTTTTGTCATCTTCGCCTTTCTCTATCGCAGTTAATGCTCTTCTGATCTCGCCCTCGAGAGTTGCAACCAAGCCAAGATACGAGCGCAATTCGCCGCTAATTGCGGCTCGTAAACTTTGGTTGACCAAACCACCGTCTTGTGCATCCACAAATACAGTCAATGTCTTGTATAGTAGGCAAGGTTCGGCTAGTGTATGCAGGAGGGAAATAATAGGTATAGGCAGGCTAGATGGCAGTTTGACAATGGTTGGAGACACGAACTGGTAACTCTTGGATGAGAGTCCCTGCATACTGAAGGGCAAGTCTCTAAGGAGATCAAGCTCGGAAGGTACAGCTGCGGTTTCTGCGATCTGCGGCTTCGGTGGGCTATTAGTCACATCGTGGCGAACCTCATGTGTGCTTGCTAGGCCAGCTTTCTTTGGAGATGTTACTGCTGCTCTCGGTTCGACTGAGGTTCTCCGGTCAGGGGGCTCCTCATGGTCACTGTCGGCTTTCTCGTAGTATCGAGGGTACCCTTGCTGAACCTTCTGTTTGCTCAATTTTTGTTGTTCAATTTCTGCTAGAGGACTACGCGGTCCATTTACAGGAAACTGGTTCTCGGACAGTGAGTGCAGTAAATACAGTATGCGCCATTTTTGGTTGAGAACGGGCATCGAAAGGAGTCTCGAATACAAATTACTGAATCTTGCAGCCTTTTCAGGAGACGCATTTTCCCTCAGTAACTTACGGCGGATAAGGTCCTGGGCAGAGTTAACCTCTGCAGGCACGTCTTCTTGCCCAGCATGGACTGAATCTCTAGCATTGTGAACGAGCTTATCTAGCCATCTCAATACGGTCGGATCGTTGATTGTCGCTGGATCAGCCGGCAATAGGCTGTCGAACAACTGCGAGAGGGCTGCATCGATGCGGCTCACCCTGTGTTGATCACCCATGACACTGGAGAGGGTTCTATCTGCGAACGTTTTCGCATTGCACAGACGGGCCACAAACTAGCAACTGGAGGACGTCTCGGAGTCACGAATACTTTCTTAGGACAAATTGAGTGAGAAGTGCGTCAGTCGGGCAGAAAGTAAACAACTCTCTCCCGGCTTCGTGCCAAAAACGCGGTTGCAACACGTCCCGCGTCAAAGCGGGCAAGCAGAGCCCTAGAGTATCGACCTGTTGGAAAAGTGAGACGAAGCTAGTCCTCTTTGGTCGCACTACAAAGCAACTTTCCTACACAGCAGTAGTCGAGTATTGTCGACTTTCAATGAAATTCCATTAATCTGTCCTTCTGAGTGACTACCACTATTGCGTCTGTTTCAGTCCAGGCCTCTAAGAACGGCGAAGTCGATATGCCACAATTTTGTGTTACGTAGTGCTGATAGTAGAGCCTCGGTGTCTGAAGTGAACATAGTCGCTCTCCGCGAACTAAACAAGGGCGATGGTATATGGATTAGATCGTGTCTCCTTGCGGTGAAGGAGACCTCGACAAAGCGAGACATCATCATAACTTTCACTAAGTTCTTTCTAAGAGGAGGCGCCGTTGGTATTTTGTTGTGCTTGGTAATGCATCCACTTCTTACTTTCGATCAAAGGGCTCATGTACTTTTTATACAGCTCGACTCGAATCTTTGCCGGATAGGAGCATATAGTACTCACTGACAGCGGCCATTTTCTCAGGGTGACCGTCCCTCCGTTCGACAAGATGAGCAAAGACACTGCTACAATGCGACAGTAACACGACTACACAGGTACCTCATAAAGGATTGCTATTGCAATTCAACTTCACTCAGTGCCTGTTTCACAAGGCGATCATGGCACTCGCAGCATACAGACACGTTCTACGGGCCATGCGCATAGCCTTTCGAGGTACGTATTGAGGACTCCAAGCACGATCCCGGACTAAGGAAGACAGGCGATCTCGACATGGTCCAGGCAGCACGACATCAAGCAAGACACGATTTCAGACGCGACATGTCCCTTGAACCTGCGTCAACAGCAGCTGTGAAAGCAATCGAGCACGCAGAGGGAGTTGCGCAGACGTTACGCGAGAACGTGGTACAGGGCCAGGCAGTATCAGGAGAGGAAGGCACATACAAATTGAACATACATGAGCATACGGAAAGAGGAGAGAACGATACTGTGAAGAATCCAAGGGGAAAAGGTGGAAAGGTCAAAGTCGATACTGGAAATTTTTGAACATTAGAAGGACTCCTTTTCATCGTACTATGCAACGATGTTGATGTCCTGAACGCCATGCTAGAGACAAGAAGAAGCGCTATCCTAACCCCAGCTCAGTCACCAGTCATACTTGCATATTGAGGTTGATCAGCAGCACCTGGTGGTGCTGCAACGACAAAGTTGTTGCTCTCCTCTTCGGCCTCGACTGCGCCTTGCGCTCCACCAGTCAAAGCTCTCTGCTGTCCCTTCTGGACAACACCAGCGGCTGTTTGGCGACCTTCCTTCGCCCATTCCAATCTCTGCTCTCGGTCTGTGCTATCCAGTGCCTTGGGCTTGCCCCAGCGGACACGCAGCGGACAACCCTGGACAACGGCCTTGCCTTGACACTGAGCTGCTGCAGCCTCGGCCGCGTCTCGAGTTGCAAAATTAATGAAGGCGCAGTGGGAACGATGAGAGCAGACTAGAGAGCGTAACTGGCCGAATTGTGAAAAGAAGGTTCGGATAGCGTGTTCGGGGAGGTCGTCCTCGACACCTGTAACAAAGAGGGAGATAACATTAGGATCTTGCGGTGGGAGCCAATCCTCAGGTTGTGGTGGACGAGCGCCAGCAACAGGACGAGTACGTCGTGGCGGTTGAGTGCCTGCGTTCGCAGCTTTCTTGGTATCTGAGGTTCGGACGGGACCTGGACCATACCCTATTCTCTTCTGTTCGGCGGGCTGTTTCTCGGCAGAATCATCGGCTGATTCAAGTTGCCTTTGTTTCTTGTAATATGGCTGACTATTTGCTAATCGTCGCAATAAATCTCGTGCCTTTTCGTCTGTCTTCTCATAGGCTTCGACGGCACCTCTGCCTTCCTCAATCTCCTTCTCGTGTTCTTGGGCATAGTATTCCCGGTTGATGTCGCTGTTTGGGCCCGGCGCAACCATTTTCAAAGCGGCGTCTCTGACACTCAAGGGTAGACCGAAAGACAAATCGAGCATACAGCACTGACAGCAATTCTTCAGGCGGGCACATGTTAGACATATATTTGTTCGTTTCGTACGGGCTGTGCGATCTGCCTTCCATCTGAAGACCGTGAAGGGTCGTGTACATATCTTGCATTCTGCGCCATAGTCCTCTTTGAGCATTTGAACGTATGGGTTGTCCGGCAAGCAGTTCTCACAGCTCGAGGGAAAGTCGGTGGTTTCCCACCCCGACCTGTTCAAGTCCTGCTTGATCTGAGCCGGCGGCATATTGCCAAAAGCGATTGTCTTGCAAATTTGCAAAGAGTATGAATTGAACAGATATGACGGTGTCCCGCAGAAGAATCGCTGGGTTGAAGATCTCTCGCCGCACTTCAAGGCTGACATATTAATGCCTGAGGCCAGAATTTCCTGCCTGAACAAACCAGTGGTCACCACCCGTAGTGGCTCGACCGCCGGGAAGTGCTTGCCCGAGATCAGCAAATGCGATGGGTTGTGATTGGCTAGACCTGATCTGCAAGGGACACCTGCAGGCCCGAGAGGAAGGACCCTGCAAATTTTTGGGGATTTGCTGGGAAGCGCAACTGCAGAAACACCACATGGGAAGTCGAGTTCCCGTAGCGGTCTGTTGTGTCCAGCACTTGATTCTGCCCACTACGTTTCTTGGTCTATATTTCTCAGTCTTGCTTTGTACATAGTACCTTAGTCTTCGTTTTCTCTGCATACTATCCCTCGCCAACATTCAACATGGCTCCTTCTGCAGTGACTCCCCAGCACATCCTGGAAAAAGAGGATAAAGAGAGAGATGCAGCATTCAACAAAGTTCTGCACGGAAAGTCTGCTACAGCACAAGGTGGCTTCATGGCCATGCGGAACAAGGATGCTAGAGCTCAGAAAGAGGCCGTCGACGAGTATTTCAAGCATTGGGACAACAAGCTTGCTTCAGCAGAGACCGAGGAAGTAAGAAAGGCACGTCGAGATGAATATGCTACTTTGACAAGGCAGTACGGAAATAGCCCAGTCTAATGAAATTGTGCAATATGCTGATCCTATCCTAGTTACTACAACCTAGCGACCGATCTCTACGAGTATGGCTGGGGCACGTCCTTCCACTTCTGCCGTTTCGCTCCTGGCGAAGGGTTTCGTCAAGCTATTGCACGTCACGAGCATTACCTTGCCCTGCAGATGGGCATAAAAGAGAACGCTACTGTCTTGGACGTTGGCTGTGGAGTTGGTGGTCCTGCGAGAGAAATGATCAAATTCACTGGTTGTAACGTGGTTGGTTTCAACAACAATGACTACCAGCTGGAGCGTGCTGCTAGGTATGCAGCTAAAGAAGGTCTTGGTGAGAAGTTCAAAGGTATCAAAGGCGACTTTATGCAGATGCCAGAAGAGTTTGCCGAGACCTTCGATGCAGTCTATGCTATCGAGGCTACTGTTCATGCTCCTCGATTACAGGGTGTCTACGAACAGATATACAAAGCCCTCAAGCCAGGTGGTGTCTTTGGCGTATATGAGTGGTTGATGACTGACAACTACGACAACGATAATGCTCGCCACCGAGAGATTCGACTTGGTATTGAGCAAGGAGATGGCATCTCAAATATGGTCAAGATCTCAGACGGCCTCGAGGCCATCAAAGGCGCTGGCTTTGAGTTGTTACACGCGGAAGATCTAGCAGATCGTCCAGATGCTGTTCCTTGGTACTATCCTCTGGCTGGCGAACTCAAGCACGTACGCAGCCTGGGTGATCTTTTTACCGTTGGCCGAATGACTTGGTTGGGTCGATCCGTCATACACAAGTGCGTTGGTTTCGGCGAAACTCTTGGCGTAATTCCCAAGGGTACTCAGAAGACAGCTGATAGTCTCGCCATGGCTGCTGACTCCTTAGTGGCAGGTGGTAAGGAGAAACTGTTTACACCAATGTACTTGATGGTCGCGAGGAAGCCTATGAATGCGAACTAGGAAGCGCATAGCTGGCCACATAATAACTTCGGAGACTTTGTGAGAGCTGGAATGTCGTCCACATGCTCTACACCAACTTACAAAAGATCTTTTCGATGGCGGAATCGACAAGATAAAATATCAGATCTGACCTCCATCGACTCTGGTGAAGCTATGTCTCTGAGAGATTTCAGTTCAGCCGACGGAACGACAGCACCAGAGGCATAAACTGCGAGCTGACATTGCTGGGCCAGACGAATGGTTGGTATTGTTATGTTCGCATATAATCATAAGGAGTTTTGCATGGAGGCACGAAAAGCTTATAGAAGAGGGAGTGAGCTTCCAGCGGGTATTATGTCTATGAAGTACCTGTATAGGAACCTAACATGGTTTGCAAGGTCTAATTACATATCTTATGAGCGTATTGGATACTGCGTGATGATTTGTTAGTACGTTCTCTTCGTTAAACACTGTCATTATACACTAATCTCATAATCAGATAGTGTTACCGATGCTAGCATACAGTAGCACCAGCAGAACACACAACGAGACATACGCTTGCGTCTCGCCCTTGGCCACTCTGAGGACGGTCGCCGCACTGGCCGCAGAGCTACTTGCAGCGCCTTGCGACGAGCTCGCAGTCGAACTCACCGACGCACTGCTAGTCCTGCTTCCACTAACAGTAGTCCTACTACTTGTCGCTGTGCCCCCACTGTTAGTACTCATCACACCTCCTGCAGCAGCACTAGGCGCCACCGTCCCACTCGTACTCAAACTGAAAGTCGCCTGCCTCGTCATCGCGCCAAAGCCCACACTCGTCGCGGAACCACCACCCTCTGTATTCAACGGTATGCCCGTGAACGTCTGGGCTACAGTCGCTTCTGAAGCTGTGCTTACAACGTCTGGGATACCTGCACTGCCCGAGATCTGTGTGACTTCGTCTCCGTCTTCAGAGGCCGTAGCGCGGAAGTTTGTCTGTGCTAAGGCGATTTGGTAGTTTTCCAGATCGTAGACGACGTAGGCGCTTCTAAGGAACGTGTCGCCGAATAAAAGGGGGTTTGCACCTGCTTTGTCGATGCCCATTTGGCAGAGGGGCGGGCCGTTTGGTGTTTGTGGGTCGACGTATGGTTCGCCTGTTCGTGAGTCGAAGAGGGTGAGGAGGAGTTCGGAGAGAGGGACTCGAATCTGTGCGCCGTTGGGGCCACCAAATGTGTAGATGAAGGTGTAGTTGTTTGCGGCTATGGTGCAGGGGACGATGTTGCCGATTGCAGGGTCGGTGGTTACGCCGAGGCCGGTGAAGATTTGCTCGACGATGTCATCGGGGAGATAGGTAAGGGTTGTGCCAGAGTCGAGGATGACTGGGAGAGGTGAGCTGGGTGAGAAGTCTATTTGGTTGTTACTGGTGGAAGAGCCGGTGTCGATGTTGAGACCGGTCCAGGCGACTGTGAAGCTGGTGCGGGAGCCGGAGTAGGTGTCTGGTTGGATGGGTAAGGAGACCAAGGACCCTTCGTACTTTTCGATGTCTAATCCACCGAAGAGGATGGTGCCAGTCGAGGCGGGGTCGTTGAGGTCGTCGAGCCAGAGGGCGTAGGAACGACTGTTGATGTGACCTTGGGCAATCATATTGTCGAGTACAGTTGGGTAGGTGAAAGGATCGTCTCTGTTTATGGTATTGGAGGATTCGTTTTCTGTGAAACCTATACCCATGATGCCAATATCTCGGTCGGCTGATTCGGCAAGAGCCATGGTGGCACCAGTAATATCTGTGCCTTCGATGTTGATTGTGTCGTTAAAATAGATTCCTTGTATAGCTGTACCGTCGACATAGCTGATATAGAAGTCCCCAAAGTCTGTGATATTTCGGAACGTGGACGAATTGGCGGCATCGTAAGAGCCGTAATAGCTGCAGAAAGGATAGCCCAAGGAGCAGACATCTGAGTCAGAGGCAGCAACCCAAAGGTCGGAAGAGCCAGTATCTAGCTGGAGACCAATTCCTTGACCTGGTGTGCCGATGGTAATATTGATCATGTACAAGATCTGAAAGTTTGTGATGTCGGCATTGATCGTATCATCTTGTCGTTTGTATATCACTGGGTATGATAATTCAGTCGAAGGAGCAGACTTGGTGGCTAGCCTCTTCTTGAACTTGAAACCGATCGTACCGGGGTCTGGAACTGCGAGCACAGAAGCAAACAATAAGCTTGTCACAAGGAAACGCATAACATAAGAGATATTGGGAGACATCCTGAGCTTGCTAAGAACCACAGCAATGAAACTCAACAACAAGGAAGGAGTGTATCAGGCTGAATAACAGCTATATAAGTACAACATGACAAGGTAAAACCAAGTACGAGGTTAGCTTTGCCACGAGGTACGCCATTGTAGTCACGATCGATCATCGTGCAGCGACTGGAGCTGGGTGTAGCCATAGTGGTCATTGATTAGCTAGCATCGTGGTAGTACAGCTTGGCAGGCGGGAGCTTTGGAGACTTCACTCCACAATTTGGATCGCGACTGGTCGTGTTGAAAGAGCTCGATTATGGCTTTGTTCGAGCTTTTTACTAACAAAATCGTGTTGGTGAGGAGCTCTGCAAAAGTACGTGTGGTCCGGGGCATGGCAGGAGAAGATTGTGACCCGAATACCTGCCAGAAGTGATCGTCTATGACGTAGACACGCCTAGAGAATTCAGTCTGTCAAGTTGGAGACACATATTAACCATAGCTGGATAGAGAATAATAAGGGAGCGATTTTGGACGCTTTGCAACCTTTCTGTAAGGTGCCTCTTGGTAGAGCCTTGTGATCAGTATGGCAGATCGTCAACCTGGATGCACACGCTTTGGTGCTGTCGTGAGCGTGAAAGGTGAGATACTCGAGTCACCGTTGAATGACGCTAAGCCCCTACGCGGAAGGACATGTTTATTGCTAGGCTGGTCTGCTTGTGCTGCTTCTGTGGTTTCGAATGCTAAATAAGTAATCGATGTCACAGCCGTTGTTCATTTACAAATTTGGATTCTGCCTAAACACAATCTTCTCGAGGATAGATTACCGCCAAAATGAACGGTGATCCTACGCAAGTGAATGTACTTTTCGTTTGCCTGGGAAACATATGTCTGCTACATAGATTTACCGATTGATTCAGTACTGATTGTAAACAGGTCGATCGCCCATGGCAGAAGGAGTGTTTCGGTCGCTAGCAAAGGGCAATGCGCGTATCGCAACGGTAGACTCGTGTGGCACCGGGGCTTACCACACCCTCGATCCTCCTGATTCTCGAACTACGCTCACATTGCAAAAGAACGGTATCAACGACTATCAGCATGGCGCTCGTCAGGTGACCAAGGAGGACTTCAACAACTTCGACTACATCTTCGCCATGGACGGATGGAATCTGCGAGATCTCCAGAAGATGCAGCGCGGGATCGAGAGGAGGGGTCAGAAGAGCAGAGCTCAAGTCATGTTGTTAGGCGAGTACGCTGGAAAGGCATCCGCAGAAGAAGTCGTCGATCCGTATTATGGAGAGGACAACGGTTTCAATGTAGTGTTTGAGCAGGTGAAGCGCTTCTCTACTAATTTCCTCAAATCGCTGGAGAAGGATTCCGGTCCAAACAGTTCTTGATATGGAGAAATTAGGAGACGGGGTTGTTCAAGGTTGCTCAACGATTGCTCAGCAGGAACAAAGCCCTGGATCTCAGGCACGAGACCTCAAAACAGCGATGACGTAGTAGGCTTCCCGCACTGCACAAATCCGGACCAACGTCAGCACCGCTTCCGGGCTGGTAGCGGGACAGTCAGCGAACAGGAGCAGTGCGGCTATCCAGGTGAAGACTCGTATACATGAAAGCAACATAAGGCCTACTTTGTCCTTGGCTAAGCGCAGCACATATGAATCGTGCATCGTTGCGGCATGTAAAATATTCCTTGAAAGTTCGATCCAGTATATTACCACTTAATTCTGGTTATCCTTCGATCTTAGTGAACAAGGCGCGCATACGTTCGCAGCTGAAAATCGGTTATAACGCCAGTCGTGCAAAGACAACACGGAGCTTCGTCCAACTCCAGAGTGGTCCAGGACACATTCAACAAGCATCTTGGAATCCTTGGCTAGTCCTGTGTATCCTCGCATCTGGTGCAGCGATAGGGATTGAGTACGTGACGACACGAGATTCGGAGGACAACCCCAAGATCGACGAGCAGGCTGACCAAGAAGAACCAATACCTCGATCGCAGCTCGACGACGAACTATCCTCGCTTTTCACCGCAATGGCATCACCACCTGGCACCTTGGGCAACCTGAGTGCGGAACAGGAACAAAGACTGAAAGAGTTCTGGGCTATAACGTTGAAGACATTTGGGATACGGGATCCTTCGGATATTGGCAGTGCAGGGTCAGCCAGACCCATCACACCAGCCGATGCTCCTGCTCCAGTAGAGTCGGAGTCGGCTAAGAAGAAAGAGAAGCATGGTTTGTTTCATCGAAAGCACAAGGACAATTCAAGTACTTCCAGCTCACCTGGGATTGGCTCCTCGAACGATCCAGAGGACAAATATGGTCAAACACGAGATTTACAAGCGATTCTAGCCGCTGCAAAGCCTGAAGACCTGCGTGCATCCTTTTGGTCGATGGTAAAGAACGACCACCCTGATACCCTCCTACTTCGATTTCTTCGTGCGCGGAAGTGGGACGTCCAACGTGCACTTGCCATGCTGGTATCAACCATGCATTGGCGCAGAACTGAGATGCACGTCGATGACGACGTCATGTTTTACGGCGAAGGCGGTGCGTTGAAAGACTCACAATCATCGGATCCAAATGTGAAGAGGGAAGGAGCAGATTTTCTGCAACAACTAAGGTTAGGAAAGAGCTTTTTACATGGAGTGGACAAGGAAGGCAGACCACTTTGTTTCGTTCGCGTACGACTACACAGAGGTGGTGAGCAAAGCGAAAGAGCAATGGAAAGGTATACAGTCTACGTGATAGAGACATGTAGATTGGCCTTGACACCACCTGTCGAAACTGCTGTGAGTATATCCCTCTACTGGTCCAGGCAATCGAACTAACTTTTACAGACTGTTATGTTTGATATGACTAACTTCACAATGGCCAACATGGACTATACACCAGTCAAGTTTATGATCAAATGTTTCGAAGCTAACTATCCAGAGTCCCTCGGTTGCATATTGATACACAAGGCCCCTTGGATTTTCCAGGGAGTCTGGAAGATTATTCGTGGTTGGCTGGATCCGGTGGTCGCAGCCAAAGTTCATTTCACAAACGGTCTGGACGATCTGAGTCAGTATGTACCCAAGTCACAAATAATCAAAGAGTTGGGCGGAACAGAAGATTGGGAGTACAAATACATCGAGCCCTTAGTCGATGAGAACGCGAGGATGCAGGATACTGCAAGCAAAGCTAGACTACAGCAGGAACGACAAGAAAGAGTGGTAGAGTACGAGAAGTTGACGTTTGACTGGATTCATGGACAGGAGACCAAGCCGCAAAGGAATCAGGTGGCCGAGAGTTTGAGAGTCAACTACTGGAACTTGGATCCTATCATAAGAGCTAGATCTTTGTATGATCGAACCGGCATGATTGGCCCGGATGGAAAGGTAAACTACTATCCTACGCAGACATTAAAGAAAGAGAATCTGGTGTTGGGCGGTAGCTCGAACGGCGTGCCGCCAAGCAAGGAGGCAAGTGCGGACGATGTAGATTGAGGCGAAGGATGGCTGAACTAGGCTCGTCGACAATAGAAAATCTGTACAATGCTAACCATTTCGAACTGTGTACATACGACCCAGGTCTACTGACTCTCTTCAGTATGCCACTATGGCCAGATTTGTCCCTTCTGCCTCGAATCAAACGGCTGATCCCAAGCAAAAGCTTTACGTAGGTAGTTGCCTACCCTACGAAAGCTCAAACTGTGCGTTGTTAGTCTCCAAGTCTTGTCATAAGTATGACTTCGGGGTTCACGTTATGATACAGTCATCTCGCAAGGTTGGATGCAACCATAAATGGTCACCAGCTCGAAAAGTAGGATCCCCCGAAATGAGCGGAAAATGGAGAACGAGTCATGGAATAACTTCATCCGAAGAAGCACGACTCGTACAGTATTTGCATATTGAACTTTACAGTTGTCTCTGCAGTGGCACGCCATCGCTTGCCTTCGTCAATTCTGTAGGAATATGCGACATCGACTCGCATCGCAGGTGAGTCTACCGAGTCCGCTGGCAACTCACAGTACACTAATAGGTGCAGATCCGGCAAAGCACAGATGTCTGCCTTTTCTGCGCCTTTCGAAGTTCGCGCGAGGCGAGTATCTTGCAACACAATGTCCTTTCACCACACAGAGCCTTTAGCTCTTCGTCGCTTAGACGTCGCCCGGGCGGTGCATCAGCGGCGCAAAGAAACTACGATGATGACGAAGAGGAGCTCTCGCCCATGCTAAGAGAGAACGCTGCTCCAGCGAGATGGCCAGCTTCGGATACTGCTCCCAGAGCCAGAACTTTACCACCAATACCGAGGCAAGATCCTCCCACCCACCGACACGATCAGGATAGGCCCCACGATAGGTTTCAGATAAGAAGGGTCAATCCCAGATTTAACCAAGACAACGGCCAACAAGCGCAGAGGGGTCGATATCAGAGAAGAGATGTTCCATACGATTCCAGTCACGAGGTAGTTGCAAACACTATAGGGGAGGTCGCTGGTACTATTCAGCGCCTTCGCAGGCCAGGCGAGACCATTGCATTCGCCGACGTTTCTGATACCATTACTGGCCGTATCGTTCAACTTGTCCTCTTGCGCGAATTTGCGAGAAGTGCAGAAAATGGCGCATACATTAAGGTATCTGGCCATTGGAGGCAATCGCGTACACGTCCTGACACTCAGGAGTTTGTTGTGCAAGAAATGTTAAAAGGAGATTCGAACCAGCAGCAGACTACAAGCAGTGTGGAGGCTAGGAGAGACACGGCAGGTCCTACAGATCATCGCATCAGTGGTCTCTACCGAAACCAAAAACGACTCCAGCTGGATCAGCAAGATGACGGAGATCAGCCGACTCCAACCAACATCACGTCTACCGAGGAGACGCCGCAGGTTTCTACTATGAACACCTCACGATCCTCACAACCTCCCCAGCCTCCTCAACCCTCAGAGCCTATGGAACCCCCTGAACCCTCACAATTTCAGCCTATGTTTTCGAATAACGACAGCCAGACCAGACACGATACACAGCCTGTAGAAACAAACAAGAGCATTAGGCGACTTGCTTCTGTGGTAGACACAGAGATATCCATGGAGAAGACGGACAGGCCAGAGCATACAAGCCGCTCGCCAACAAGACTTAGTGCTCGTTTCCAGGTAGACGAGGATGATGAGCTTCCTGTTCCTGCCGCAGTGTCTAGGCCTAGATATTCTGCTACAGCATCTCGAAATGTATCAGCACAATTTGATTTTGATGCCTTTGAAGCAGAGCAGGGGATGTTTGGAGAGAGCAGAAGACGGAAGAAGAAGAGACAACCCCCTACGATTCAAGCCCAGAAGCCGGCTGTGAGCATACCCGAGTTCATGACTGTTCAGCAGCTCGCACAAGCAATGAGGATCAAAGTTGACGATCTGCTTCAAAAGCTAGAAGATGAGGGCTTCGAGGGCGCCAGGTATGACCACATGCTCGATGCAGAGACTTCGGCCATGTTCGCCGACATATATGGCTTCGATCCTATTGCTGCAGAAGAAACGATGCAGGATCTGATACCACGTCCCCCACCCGAGGACATATCAATCCTCCCACCACGACCACCAATTGTCACTATCATGGGACATGTGGATCATGGAAAAACCACAATACTCGATTGGCTGCGCAAATCTTCTGTGGCAGCCGGCGAACATGGAGGCATAACTCAGCACATAGGAGCTTTCTCTGTTACCATGCCGGGATCTGAACGACAGATTACCTTCTTGGATACACCGGGCCACGAAGCATTCCTCGACATGAGAAGACGAGGTGCCAACGTCACTGATATAGTCGTGCTGGTGGTTGCTGCGGACGACAGTGTCAAGCCGCAGACTATAGAAGCTATCAAACACGCCCTGCAAGCTAGAGTCCAGCTGATTGTCGCTATAAACAAGGTCGACAAGCACGATGCTGATATCGAAAAGGTCAAACAAGATCTTGTTCAACACGACATTGTGGTCGAAGACTTTGGTGGTGACTATCAAGCTATTGCCGTTAGTGGCAAAACAGGTCAAGGAATGGATCAGCTTGAAGAGGCTATCATTACTTTGGCGGATGTACTTGATCTACGAGCAGAGCAAGACGGTCCAGCTGAAGGCCAGATCATTGAGGCCAAGGTCACTAACGCAGGACGTGTAGCCACGGTCTTGGTCAGACGAGGTGTACTTCGAGTAGGTGACTTCATTGTCGCAGGTCCTACCTGGGGTCGAGTTAGAACATTACGCAATGACACTGGTCAACTCGTGCAGGAGGCTCTGCCAGGAGATCCGGTTCAAGTCGATGGTTGGCGTGGCATTGACCCAACTGCTGGTCTAGAAGTTTTACAAGCCGAAAACGAACAGCAAGCCAAAGCTGTGGTCGAATTAAGACAGGAGCGAGCAGAGTCGATACAGTCGGCATCGGACGTGGTCGCTATCAACGCTGCTAAGGCGGCAGAAGCGGAGGCACGTGCAAAACTCCTTGCCTGGAAAGCCGAAGATAGGGCGAACAAGGTGCACCATAATGAAGGGTTCGTTGACATTATTGACACGTCCGGTAAGAAATACGTTCATTTCGTCGTCAAGGCAGATGTTGCCGGTAGTGTTGAAGCAATAGTTGCCGCGGTCAGTGCGATTGGCAACAACGAAATACAGGCCAATGTCATCCACAGTGGCACTGGACCAGTGACTGAGTCCGATATTCGTATGCTCGCAACGACTGGGGAGGTGGGGTACGCAATCTCTTTCAACCAGCTTGTTGACCCTGAGGTACATCAGCTTGCGGATGCAGCTGGCCTCCAAATTCTCGACCAGAACATCATCTATCGAGTCACTGATGCTGTCAAAGAGAAAGTCACTGAGGCAATGCCACCCTTGATCACACAGCGAATACTTGGTGAAGCCGAGGTTGGACAGATTTTCGTGGTCACAGTTAAGAAACAGAAGCTCAAGATTGCCGGTTGTAAGGTCACCAAGGGTACCATTAGTCGTGCCAATCAGGTACGCGTCTTCAGAAATGGTGACATTGTTTACACGGGTACCCTAGAATCGTTGAAAAATGTCAAGAAAGACGTCAATGAGATGCGCAATGGCACTGAATGTGGCGTGGCCTTCAAAGACTGGGAGGATGTCGAAGAAGGCGACCAAGTCCAGTGCTTCGAAGAAGTCCAGGAAAAGCGCACCCTGTATTAGATACCAATTTCAGAAGAGAGTTGCAGTGTACAAACAAATACGATCAAGACCGACAGAAAGCGCCCAGCAGATTTGCAGAGGTATCGAACTTGAGCTATGGCAGGAACGCGAAGCGCTAGGACTTGAAGCGCGTGTCGCGGAACGTTCCTCAGCCAATCAAGGCTCCATTCTCTTCGTCGGTGCGACACGACCACCTTCTTGGCTTTGAGGGCCTTCCTCACCTCAAACCCGTGCGACTTGCTTTCTTCTCTCTGAAACACCTGAACTCGTCTTTCAACACCAATACTCACGAACAGATAATTTGTCTCAACGTATCACCCAAGCGAAATGCCAGTGTTAACTTGCGTCCCATTCGTAGTCCGATGTCGTACCATGCACGACGAACTTAGCTAATATTGTACATATTCTCTGTCTGGCAATTTCTGTCCTGCTTACTATTGACCTTTTCTCACTGCAGTTCTGCGACAACCCATTTTCTTGCTTTCCAACAGTCATTCTTTTGTGTCTAATCACTCTTTCACCCGCACACTATTTGCGTGAGCAGGCTCACTCAGCATCACAACTAATCAGAAACGTTTATCAAATATCCATCTAATCCATAATTCACAAATTGAATAGGGACGAGAAGCTTAGTCTCGCACTCAGCAAGATGCGACTCTCAATAGCAGAGCTCTTCGTCTTCGCAACTTGTGTATCAGCTGGCCTGATACGCGAAACCAGAGGAGACAGCGTCTTGCGATATTCGAACGACGAGCACCGGAGATGGGTGGTTAACAGCCTCAGCATCGAAAGGCGCCAAGCAGGCTCGGCTGGATCGCAGAACACCACGATTCTACCTATACCAGCCTTTGGCCATACAGAGACGGCTAGCACGTCGCGAGTCACACAACCAAGCGTGGATACAATCTATTCCCAGACAACTGTGGTGACGACTGAAGATGTCACAGTACAAGTAGTTGCTTCTTCGGCTGCAAGCACTGCGAGCGCGACTCAAACATCGCCAAAAGGGAACACGGTAATTCCAATAAGCGCTGGAAGCTCGAGCACATCCACTTCAATCCCTCCATTGTTGCTACCGACATCAACCTCAAATAGCACGTTGGCGCCAAGCAGCATCACCATAATATTCGTTACTGCGTCAGCAACATTCAGCGGTCCGACTGGTGGCTACACCACAATCAGCAATGCAGATGCGATCCAGCAGAATCAGTCAAGTGCGACGGGTAGCTCGGACGCTGCATCCAGTGCAACGCCTGCAATTATTGTGCCTGGACTGGGATCGATACCTGTCTCCAAAGACACCTCCAGTCAAAGTCTCGTGGCGTCGACTCTTCATCAAACAGCCACAGGTTCAGCAACAATTTTGACCACAACTGAGTCAGTTGTTAACGGGTTGACCTCTATTCCTATTGTTACCTCAACACCAAGCACCGAGACTGCTTCTCAGAGCACGGATGCAAGCTCGGGTTTACTGTCCTCTGCAGTTTTCGAACCTCTGACTCCTGGCTCAACCTCTGTGCCAATTGACTCAGCGACCTCTTCCAGCTCCAAATCTGCAACAACTCAGAGCGCAGTCACAGGCTCCAGTATTCAGAATGGACTTTCTTCGATCGAAGTGTCTCCTTTTCCGCCTCTCGCATCTAGCACGTCTGCAAGTGTTGAGGCAAGCTCTTCAGATGCGACAGCAACGATAATTGTGCCTCCTAGCACAGGTAGCACAACATCTGAGGCGGCTGGTGTCCCTGGCTCCTCCGCATCCGATTCAGGCGTGATCACGATAACAGGCACAGCAGCGCCAACCACTGTGGCAGCAGCTCAGGCATCTGCTCAGGCATTATCGTCTGCTATGCGCGATGCGGCTTCCTCCTCGACTTCGGAATCAGAAAACCGGCAACCTAAAGAACCTCAATCTTCCAAGGCACAACTTACTGTCATTCCATTTACGCCTTCGGCCAGGCCCAGTCCAACTGCTTCGCTCACGCCAGCTCTTCCGGTAGAATCGTACTTTACTTCTGTATTCATATCCACTCTAGGTCAGCCGGGTCCAGGCGCCGGTCCAAGCTCAAGTTCAAATTCAAACTCAGAAAATATCGTCACACCGCCAGCATCTGTCCCGACGACTCTGCAGACCTCGACACGGACAAGACGCGTGTCAGAGACTGACTCCTCAACTGAGAGCAATGACTCCTCTCAAGGGGAATCACGAACGCGCACCCGCACGCGTTACAGAACACCCGCCGCAACCATGACACTGACCAGTACAGTCATGGTGACAGTCACCATCGAAGGGTCTGAAAAAATCACACAAAGCACCGAAAGACCCAGCCGTACCGCCGAAGCAGCGTCAGATACAGCTGCTGTACCATCAGATTTAGGTACTTTGGTGTCTTCTGCTTCTACAACTACTACGAGCACTAGTAGTGCCAAGACCGAGACTTCAATCTCAACTATGACAGTAGTCGAGACAAGTATAGTTACCGAGCGAATCGATCGACCTGTTATCGAGACGTCGATAGTCAGTGTGACGCAGGATGCGCAGACTGTGACGGCGACTGTCACCGAGAAGGTTACGCAGGCTTTACAGACTGTGACGGCGAGTGTGGTTTTGACTGCTGCGAGGCGGTGAGAAGGGAGATTTTGGGATCAGAACTTGCATTTGTATCTTGATTGCTTATCAGTTGAAATCGATACCCCTAGCTATTAGCTTAATGGTTTCTGTACTGAATTTGCATATCACGAAGTATTGTTTGCTCTGTATGTCCCTGCTTTCCCAACTACCAGTATCAATCCGTAACGTTTTATGCTGGCAATGCAGACGCGACAAACATTACAACTCAATGATAGACAGCCTCCATAGACTCTATACCATTGTAGATCGTACCACCTCATCCAATTTGTATGACAGGATGGACAAGACCACGGTTCGTAATTTTGTAAGAGCTATACGCGCTCAAAGCAAGCTCCTCCCAAGCACGAATAAGGTGTATACCAGTTTCGTCCTCACCACAGATGCTCTTTTCTCAACGAGCTAGACCTGTCGGGCTTTCGATCCGTGTACTCATACAAACCGATTAATCGCCCAGAGGATAAGCATGGAGGATTTGTCCGTAATAGAGCTCACTATCCTTCGCAGCCAAGAACACAAAGCTCGGTGCAATCTCACTCGGCTGTCCCACACGACCAAGCTGGCTCTGTTCACCAAAACCTTCCATCTCCTCCGCTGGCCGCGAAGCAGGTTGAAGTGGTGTGTGGACTGGACCCGGAGCCACAGCATTCACTCGAATACCTTTTGGTAGAAGGTTTTTTGCCAGCGAGCGGGTGAAAGCGACTATGGCACCCTTGCTGGATGCGTAATCAACCATACTCGAGGTACCTCGGAAAGCGACTGTAGATGTGGTGTTTATGATTGAAGAGCCCTTCTTCATATGAGGAACGGCGTATTTGGTGATGGCGAACATGGCGAGAATGTTGCTGCGGAAGACGGATTCGACCATGTCCAGGTCAATTTCCGCAAAGTCTTTGCATTGGGCTTGCTTGCCGGCGTTGTTGACGAGAACGTTGATCTGGCCGTATCTGAGAGGTTAGTAAGGGCTGTAATGATTTGACATAGTGTCGACTTACTTATCAACGTGTTGCTGGACTGCATTGCGGCAGGTTTCCTTGTCCATGAGATTACCATCAATGAGCAGGCACTGTTTTCCCTCCTTCTCAACCGATTTCTTAGTGTCTTCGGCGTCTTGCTGTTCGTCTGGTAGGTAGACTATAGTGATGTCTGCACCTTCTCTCGCGAAAAGGATGGCCACTGAACGACCGATACCAGAATCTCCACCTGTGATCAGAGCACTTTTACCCTTGAGCTTTCCTGCAGGAACATACTCCACGAACCCATCTGCACCTTCGAGTTTGGTAGATTCGCTGGTCGGCTTCATCTCTTGCTCAGATCCTGGTAGAGATTGTTGTTGGGCCTGCTTGACAGGCTCGAAATGGCCGTCTTGACCGCCGTGAGCTGACATGTTTGTGTTTTGTTGGGAGAGGAAGTAATGAGTTTAGTGAAAAGTTGAATGGATTGGCAGGACTGTTTGCTTCGAAATTCGATCTGTGTACAGGACGACTTTGTAAAAATACTCAGATTCCTAATCACCGTCATTACGCGGATAAATTTCCCGTCATGTACAGTTGCATCATGCCTGCGTGCACTAACAAGCTCACTTCATGCTTCAAGTTGTTCGAAGTGACTGCCAAGGTGATCGAAAACATCAATACCGAAAGTCCTCGACTGCTAAACATCGCGATGCTTCCGCAGATAAGGGTGCGTTTGGTCCGGGTTTGTGTCAAAGACTCTCAAATGTGAGCCAAACATGAGATAACAACCATCAATCGTGACACACTTTATTGTGTGTAGCAACTGTCAATGCCGACAAATGGTCCACTTCACTTATCCTCGATATCACTTGGCATGTCTATGTTCTTACGTTGGGGTTACAGTCATGAGGAAAGTGGTTGCACATATCGTTGACTCGGAAGAGACAATCGCGGCTCTAGATTTGCGGTGCGGAAGGTGCGAGACAGCTCACTGTCCCTGGTAAGCTACGACATGCGGGCTCTAAGCTCAAATCGCGAACTATTCGTGACGCTGATTATAGTCTCAGACTTACAATATAATCAATGCAAGACAAAGTCCTCACCCGTCGAAGTGCGAAGGTCTTTCTCGCCGTCCATGATGCCGTGAACATAACATTCTCCTAGGAACTCGAAATCGCCCTTGTCTCTCTGCCAGAACCGTTTCTTCTGCGTGTGGTTGATGTCGCGTCTCTCGCGTAAGACATATGGAACTTCAGCACCCCAGAAAATGCAAATGTGGTCATCTGCTTGGAGGTGACCAGGTCCAACGCCGACATATCCCTTCGCCGTCACGAAGATTCTTCTGTTGGAGAGTGCGCCGATCATTCCTGCTTTGTATTGGAATGACTTGGCCTTTTGCAATCTCTTGTTCTCGTCGGGAATATTTGTGAGGTTCTCTGGGTGTCTAAGAGCTTCAAAACCGGCTCTCGTGTTTGCGGTTGCGCGGATACACTTTCGACCTGTATCAGAGAACACCCCAGATTCGGTATCACAGATTGGAGTTCGCCACACAGCGTCGTCAATTTCCTTGGAAGAGCGGTACGCCGAGCAATTTCTACGCACGAAGTCTTCGATGGCTCCTAGGCAAGCAGAAAGTACCACTGGTTCTGTGTCAGGCTCAACGGTGAGATCAGTCTTGTTCCACGAATAGCCAGTGTTTGTGATGACATCAAACCTCGAGCCAGATATTACAAAATTTCCAGCTTGCATCTTGGTTCTCTGGTTATGCCTGCTTCCCGTTCGGAAGAGACTGTACTTCGACTGCCAGATATGATAGGAAAATCCTGTGGACCAGTCCGGCACCCAAGATGGGAGATTCTTTTGTGTCTTTGGGAACGAGCAGTGGGACAGGATTTGGAGATTTCTTTGGTTTATCATGAGTCCTGAAGCCACTTGTGTATAAATCTCGGCGCAACTCTTTGTGTAATCTGCCTTGATACCCACCTCACTCGCATCACTTACCATCCCAAGCAACGCCAGTATGTGGTCTCTAGCATCTGTTGCTCCCAATGAGCGTACTTCTTCCATTCGTTGCGAAAGGGGAGCAGGCTCTTGACTGTGGCCACGAATCGCTGCATTCATGATGCGGGGGTCACACTTGAGGATGGGTAGGAGAGGCATGATTCGGGCCCCAAGAGAACCTTGGAATACAGCATCAAGCAATGGTAATTCGAAAATCATTGTGAATCCTAGCAGCAGGAACGAGAATTGAACGTCGCTGTCTCCACATAAAAGGTATACATTCTTTGCCAGTACGACTTCTTGTACAACCCACACACGACACCACCACGGCCGGTTGAGTAGGGCAACGACAGAAGAGGTTGGAAAGGCAAGTCGTTTGTCTGCTGGATCGGAAGGAAGCACAGTCGTTACAAGGTCGTAGCGTTCCTGAAGACTAGGTCCGTCCGGCATATTCATACACCGTGACCCAAGAAAAGACAGCGCTTTGATCGCTAATGAGCTAGAACGAGCCTCTGGACCTAGCCAGCCAAGTACCAGTTGCGCGTTTCGATAGATACTGCCCATTTCTTGGACTTGGCTACTCTTCTCCAAGCTGTCGCTCTGGTTGATACAGATAGCATCGATCCAAATAGGAAGGGCATAGCCTTTTTGCGAGAGTTGTTTCAATGCACTGTGCAAATTCGTGGTCACGTTGAATATTCTCCCGTCAAGTATGATGGGAAATGTCTGTGACGCAACACCCCAAACGTAAGATAGTGCAAAATAGAAGGGGCTAGAGTCGAGAGAAATTTCTTGGAGACTTCCACACACGATGGGTTCGTGTCCGTCTGGGGGGGTAAGGAATGGCTGAAGTGTCAAGATACGGATTTCGCGATTATATGCATTGAGAGGCTTGTAAACGTACGCATCGCGAATCGAAAGGCTTTTCGTTTCAAGATGGTGGTCGCCCGGAGTATAGGATTGAAACATGCGTCTTGCTTCAATCCATGTAGGATCGTCCTCAAGATGAGACTTGTGCTCTAATTGCTGCCAATCCATCTTGACGTATCAGTTTAGTATAGAGTTGTTAGTTAGCACTCGTGGTTTAGTGTCAGCAAGTGACAGCGACTGTTCCAGGCATCCACGACGAAGAAGTCGCTTGTGCTGTATGAAAGCTTACGCGTAGGGGTCTGCAAAAGCGACCGCTCATTGTCCCTTTTTACTCTTACTGGTAACGTTAGCGACTTCATGGGCACTCACTTGGCCGCTTCACTACATATGTCGTTGAAAATTGCAGCTTGAGCGCTCTACGACGGTTTGAGTTCCATGGGTACTAGATGACTCATCGTGATCAGAATTGGGTGAGGTTGTAGTTTAGGTGTAGATCACCATCTCACTTTCGCCCGGACCACACGTGACACAGTAGTAGTATACTCGAAAGTAGCTTCCGGCTCCTCGCCATAATGTTTATCTAAAAAGCTAATCAAGTTGTGGTTGCAGAGCACAGTGGTATCGATCACAATCACGATGACGCGCAAAAGTCACATACTCGAACGGCATCGCCGAACCAGCTGACGGTATTACACGTAGAGTGTTTTTGGTACTGTTAGCTCTTGTACTGTATATCCACCCTTCTCAGTGACTTCTGGGCAAGCATCGGGTAGTCGATTAAGTTCATTAGAGTAGACACACTTTGTGAAAGCCTGAGCTGAAGGAGGAGGAGACTCTGGTTGTTTTACTAAATTCTCTAGACGTTTCAGTGTAGAGCTCAGCTGATGTGGACGTGAACGTGAACGCGAACGCGCTGGTGCTAGAGAAAGCGCGAAAGAAAGCTTGCCAAGAATAGAGATTTTTGAAGCTTACAAGATTAGCCGAATGTGGCTTTTCAGCTGTCACTCGAACCTTGCGGCACTGCTGTGTGTTATCTTTTTCTCAACGGGCATGCGCTGGCGTCAAAGACGATCACTTGTGTGTATCTCTGAATCGATGTAGCAACCAGGTATCTAGCAAGGCATGATATATGTCAAACGTAGACAGTACTAAGAGAGATGGTCAAAGGTTGTCCTATATTTACTATGGAACTCTATAGAAGAATATGAATGACAGTGAGCGAGTACTTCCTTGAATCTTTCCTATCACGAAAGTACGTACAACATGTGTGCGAATACCCGAAACCCTGCTGACGCATCTGCTATGAAATCCCGTCATCGGTGATTGTCTCGATCTTGACGAGTCGATAGCACACTCGGCCCCACGAACCCGACAAGAACCAAAAAGTGCACGTGGTCAAAACCACCTGCGCCTTCCATAATTAGTTATGCCAAAGTCTATCGTCGATTTTGCCGTGAAGTCCTCAATGGGAATAGCTCCTTTTTTGTCCCTCGTGATGCCGTAGAACGTACCGTCTAGCCCTATACCGTCACAGTCGTGCTGCTGGTCGAATGTTACCCAAAAGAAAAAAGTGTGAGTCCAGCTCATCAGTGTCATGAACCATAAGTCTGGGGAGAAGAGAAAATTGAAGGATTGGGTTCGTCTTTGCTTGTCTGAGGAGCAATACGTCATCTTTGTCTCCGGATCCAGGCAAGCATGCGCTCGAGGGAAGGATCTTCATCAAGCCAATAGCTCTTGCGGCGGTCAGCAGCTCTGAGATCGTTGACCACGGATTCATCGCTGATGTTGTTGAGTTCCTGTAAAGCACCTTGTCAGTACTTTGGTTTACATAAAGTTGTGGATCCGACGATCAGTGCCTCTCTGGGACGTTCGCAGATCAGCTAGCCACACACGTGGCGGGGACGATGCCGATCACTTCGACTTCAATGATATACATACCTGTTGTAGACGTTGGTCAATTGCCTGTAATGCTTGTGCTTTCTTATTAACAGGCCAGCTACCATCCATAGCCTCCTTTCGCAGTCGCACCCATCTCATGCCAGCTGCCGCGCGAAGGTAAATTTTATGTGCTTGAAACCGTCGTGTAGAAGCATCAAGGATGATTCTGTCACAATTAGATATTGGTCTTTAACTTACAACTTACTTACCGTTGGAGAGTTGCCTTTTGAACTTCGGTGTCTGCCACTCTGCCAGGCTCAATCCCCAAGTTTCCAGGGTTGTAATGAGTGGCCAGTATCGCTTGTGCTTCGGCATTGCATTGACGCAGGACAGTGTAACCGCCAAGATAGTACGCTGACTGATCTGGAGGGCTCGCTTCTGCTCTAGTCACCAGCGATGTGATGTGGGTCTGAAGTGTTCGAAAGTCGTTCATCACTTCCAGCACCCGAAGAGCGCGAGCCTCGTTCTCTGATCCACGATTAGCCAAATTCGTGGTCTTGGAAGAACGTTTAGACATACTGCCGTCGGACATCGTGCAAGCTGCCTTAGAAGACAAGGTGAAAGACAAGTGCCGTGTGGTAGATGATGATTGGTTGTCGAGCCCTGGTGGACAGGCAACGGATAAGGAGTCTGAGGTTTCTTGGTCGGTTGTTGTCGCTTGATTCTCTGCCCCGGCGTGCAAACGTATGGGTATAGAATCTTGTTCGTGGAGATGTGCTGTCTCAGTCCGACCAGAAGATAGTTCCGAGGCGGTAGAACTGAGCTTCTGCTTCTTCCTTGGATGTTGTTCAGCTGGTTGAGAGCTCAGGGCAATCAAACCCAATGTAGAGACTTCTTCACAGTGGTTTATATCTCTCTTCTCAACTTGCAAGTTCTGCGGCGACATTACTATAGTGCTTGTAAACTAGATGTTATGTGGCTGCCGTTACTGCTGGCCAGTCAGCCTCACGAAATCAACATCTCATGGTCGCGCACTGGTGCGGCCCGTGGCTTTTGCACAACAAGATAGTACGGTCCAGCTTGAGAGAATCATGACATGGGATATGTGCAAGTAGTGAGGTCGAAGCCTGCTGAACAAAAGTCCTGTGGATACCAGATCTGGATATGATGTCGAGCAGGCTAAGAGGCTAGCAGCGAAAACTATACCAGAGTGCGGCAGGGCTGAAGGTATCGCGATAGAGCTTAAAAGAAACGACGACATCATTGGCGGCAATAGAAAGAGGTTCACTAGACATTCAGACAGCCACATGGTTGGTGGGCCGTGTATGTGGAGAAGCGCATAGATCAGAGATGTAGAGAGGTCCTCAAAGATGGCGATGGATAGTGTTGTTGTGCGCTGAACAATGCAGCGATAGTAGACACGAGGTCTTGTGTGTCTTGCGTGGGTTGTGGGCAAGTGCAAGCGCGATTTGTTCATGGTACCTGGAGCTGTAGGAGGAAATGGTAAATAAGCTTTGACGCTTGCCCTGGAAACTCCACCGAGCTTGTACGGAAACGAACGAGCTGATTCGAAGTACACTTGCACCATCGCTCCTCTGTCACTGCACTTTCAGCTGAACAGAAAAACGCTTTCCCAGACTTGCACCATGCAGCCGAGCCTCCAGGACCCATCTTCAAGCTCCGATTCTGCCGCGAGAGATCCATCGCCGTTGACGACAATCTTGGTGCCCAGCCTTCGGAGCACGAATGCTGTTTTTCAGTTGTGGCTTGCCGTTGAGCTTCGCTTTCATGTCGCACGATTCTTCGTCTTGGTGCTACGAGGATACTGCTAGATTTCGGATGCGGCAATGTCGTTTTTCTTTGAGCGGCTGAGCTGATAACCGCCGCAAGTCATAAACGATAGCAGGGAGGAACTTACCATGTTCCTGCATGAGGCTGTCGATAAAACATCCAGCCCCCAAAGGATCTGCAAAGATGCTATTGGTCTGTTGAAGTGTTCCCGAAAGAGTTGCCGCTGCACAACGGGCGGGTGTTTGAGCCTGCTAATATTAAGCCACCGTCAACATAACCCCTGCTCAGCGCAACGTGCTTGTGCGAGTGAAGCTCGATTTCTGTGTGAAGCTAGAGCATAGATTCATCAATCTCTTTCAGCGATAGCTTGAAGCCGTTCTTCGACTTCGTCCTCTGTCAGTGTACGAAAAGCGGAACTTGTTTCATCAGAGCCTTCAGCTCGTGGCCCACCAACAATACCGATCTCCAATTCGTTCTTCTTGAAGTCGACGCTGAGTACAGTGCTAAGCGTGGTAATTCCAAGCTCGACAATCTCCTCCCAGTCACCCGGGGCACATTCCTTGTTCTTGAGTTTTTTCTCCAAGTGATTCAGAGCTTCTTGTTGTTTTGGTCCTGAAGCAGTTGCTTTGTAGCCAACATAGTATCCAGCAGGATCGCATTTGTATAATTGAGGACCAAGTTCGTCGTCCACAGAGATCAAGGTCGTGGCAACACCGAGAGGCCTCATGTAAGCCTACAGCACGTTAGCGGGATCAACACGACGTTTTATAGGAGACGTACACGTTGAGTATAGACTTGATTGATGTTGGCAAGGCGTTTCGCCAGTACATCACATGGCATTTCATAGCCATACTTGTATTTGAACTCAGCTGCCTCTCCTCGAGCACGATCAACAGAAGCTCTGGCATCGGCAATGGAGCCCGTCATTACGCAGCCTACTGAGGGTGAGATCTTGAAGACATGGGACACAGAGGATGGGTCAATGAGTTTGTCCTGTTAGGAAATTAGCACAGACATCCCAAGTAATGTGCAAATGTAACTCACAGGGACTTTCTTTTGTGACAGAACGACAGCACACTTTTTCCCTCTTACTCCCACTGAAGTTATGTTCGCAGCTGTAATGGCTTTGAATGCATACTCTGTTCAGGTTGTCAGTGATCACTTGTAGGATTGTGCTTCGCATAGTCGAGTATGCGTCTGCCATGGTGTATGTCTCAACAGCGGCGTATAGATCGATTGAAGGAGGACGTACCAACTTGATATAGGCGCCCCTGATCTGAGAAGATGGTGATGTGACGGTCGTATCCTGCGCTGCCTATATAAAGCTGTCAGCTCGGCCAGTCCGAAACTTGTCGATTCTTGCGAGGCACGAACCAGACATGTTGGCCCTCTAAGACTGCGCTTGTGGGTAGTGTTGTTCGTGTAGCGAGTTGTTTTGTATAGGACTGGTTCGAAGAACACGAGATGGATCCAGAGTTTGGCTTCAGCAGAAGTACTTGAATGCTGGTTCAGTGGTTTCTCTACCATTGACGACAGCGCAGCCGGGCACGCGTCAGTTAGCGACCGCCTAGAGAGCCTAATATGCAGGCAAGGACTTCGCCACAGCAGCCACAATGTGGCTGTCGTCTTCCAATTGGTCAGACATAGCGTATGATTTTCGTTTTCAGCTCGCCAAAGCCACTCTTAATACAAATTTGTAGGGAATCTTACCTTTCACGCATATATTGGCCTCACAAAGGTTAGTCTCTATGGATCTCATGGAGATATAGTCACAAGATCATGTCGCATGTACCAGCATGGAAGCGATTGGGCCTGAAGCTCAAGTATGCAAAGGAGGAGCCCAACCATGATCTTTCACAACACAAACAATCAAACAGAGCTGAGCCACTCGTAGATGGGAATGTTGCTGAGCGACCAAGCAAGCGTCAACGTATATCTCAAGATGGTCAGCACGCTACAGAGAGGCTGAATGGTCACCAAGAGAGCCCGGCAAAGACTTCTGGAGACTCCGCACCAATAGCCCCGGTTAATGGTGCTCAGGGGAAAAGGCCATCGCGAAAGTCTGTCTCTTTCGCAGACGACACGAAGGCTGAAGATGGTGATTCACGGATTACGATCGATTTCCCTGAGAATCTGCCTGGCTCAGCTACCACACAGTCCGCTAAACGAAAGCTTGGAGATACAGACAGTACATTCGATACAGAGAACCTGAGACCTGTATCTATAGCTACAACACCCAAGAAGAAGAAGAAGAACAAGGACCGCGTTAAATCGAGGGGAGATTCGGAGGCTCGAAACTCAGTGCCTAAAGGCAAGAAGGCTCTGGCACTCGACTATCTCTCCTGTCATAAGACAAACCGGCGTGACTGGAAGTTTAACAAGAATCGTGATGTGTGGGTGCTCAGCCATGCTCTAAGCACTGTAGACATTCCATCTTCACACACAGTTGCATTAGCAGGATATGTGGCTGGCCTGCCCAGCAATGCCGCGGCACGGCAACGTCTCGTTGAGCAATGCAGGAATTCTATGAAAGAGGAAACTGAAGTCATGGATGATACATCAGACCGAATGGCGCTGCTCAACCTCGTCGAAGAACCAAATAGTAACGACGTTAATCAAGACGGTCTCTTCGAACGATATCCTCGCGCCCAGATTCTACTGTGGGCTCTCAAGGAAGATACAAATGTCACCAGAAAGGAAGCGGCTCCTACATTTGCAACATCCACTGTACCATTACCACGCGTGAGGAAGAACAAAACGAGGACGGCCGTTGCCAGTGTGTCGAGTAGTGAAAGCGACTCAGAAAGTGATTCGTCGGACAACTCGCAGCATTCTAGCTCTCGTAATAAAGTTCATCAAGTTGTCCCTAATCGCAAGGCGGCGGTTGAAGAAACTTCTTCGTCAGGGAGTTCTAGTACGGATGGCGACGATGATACATCGAGCAATGCAGATAGTAGCAGTAGTAACGATAGTGAATGAAACAAAATTCTCGATGCGAATAGGACTTTATTGAGATTGGGTCATACTTCGATTTAGAGATCAGAGCATTGCCCAAGTAACAAGGCAGAAAGTATCCATGAGCACGTTATCGACCACTATAGCCTACTAAGAAACCATAACGTCGAACAAGCCTGAACCTTTGTAGCCGGACGGTGTCTAGTTGTTCTGCTTTGACACAGCCCCTCAATCTAGCCTTTGACCATGCCGCAACCACTCTCTATCACTTTTCGCAATCACGATTTGCTCTCGTCAAAGACGTAGGTCAGGTGGCATCGACCGCAGTATTGTCTGTTGTGCATAGCAGCCATGAAAACACCAGCACCACAGTCGGAGTGTGGGCACTCACGTCTCAGGCGCTCGATCTTGCCATCACCATCAACCTTGTAGTACTTGAGAACAGCCAACTTGGTCTTCTTTCTCTTGTGCTTGATCTTCTTTGGGGTGGTGTAAACCTTCTTCTTTCGCTTCTTAGCGCCACCTCGAAGTCGTAGGACCAAGTGAAGTGTCGACTCTTTCTGGATGTTGTAGTCGGAAAGAGTTCTGCCATCCTCCAACTGCTTGCCGGCGAAGATCAGTCGCTGTTGGTCAGGTGGAATGCCCTCCTTGTCTACAGATTTGTTAGTGTCCAGGTTTGGAATCGTGCGACGAAGATGCTGACCTTGAATCTTGGACTTGACATTGTCGATGGTATCTGAGGACTCAACCTCAAGGGTGATTGTCTTGCCCGTGAGGGTCTTGACGAAGATCTGCATAATGAAGATCTGATAGATGTTAGATGATTCAGGTCTGCGCACAGCGAAAACCACGTACCTCGACAAAATGTCTTCCTCAACCTTCGATATGGACCTGTTCAACAGAGGACGGACGACAAATCAATGTGCCTTTTCGTGACTTACAAATCTTGGCGCGGAGCCTGCTTTCCCGCGAAAGCGGCAGGTGCACTCCACTTTGCTGGATGACGCAACTCAGCCGAGAGTCTCCACGGTCGTGGTTGCCGTCACAACGCACGCTGTTGACGAAACGTAGTTTGAGATCGCTTCATAGTCTCTTTCTTCCTGCACCACCCTAAATCTTCTATCTCCACCTTCATCCTCTACAGGCCTTGGGCACAGACACCTGAAACATTTCTACTTGCTCTTCAAAAAGAACTTTAGCACAGGACAAGCACCTCTAGCAGGAACAGTCCGAGAAAGACCTCCCCTTCAACTACCTCACCCGAAACACTTTCGAGAAGAAAAAAACAACACACTACTGCTGCTACTGAGAGGAGGAGGAAGAAACAAAACGCTGCCCGGTTAAGGGCGGTTGCGCTGCGCGAGGTACGTGAGAGCAGCTCGACGACCAGGACAAGATAATGCCTGGGACGAAGACTTCTACAGGAGGAGCGACGAGGTCATTGGAACCATCACTAACATTTTTGCAGTCTCGAACCACGAAGGAATACGGCCAACCTTCAGACTACTAACCTTTCGAACTCATCTCGTCAATGATGATGTCCAACCCATCTTCATCTCTTCAGAATCGACAAAAGCTACACCAACGACAGAATTCAACTCCTGTAGCTTTCGAAGCCATGAAGGTGCAAATGCCTCCCACTCATATGCAACGACAGAGTCTTCACCAACGAGGACAGTCATATGACATAAGTCGAACGCCAATTCGTCGACATCGACACACTGGGAGTGCCGTAAGTATGCATACTAACATAGGACCCATCCAAGGACAACAGATTTTGCGAGAAGCGCAGCAGCAGAGATTAGCCAGACCGGGTCAGCCATCGATCCAACCACGAATAGACACCTCAGTAGCGCAGCAGTGTGGTATGTTTCCCCAATCCTCTTCGCATATACCTTATGATATGATGATGAACATGCCATCACCGAATGGTATGGTGCACTATTCACATGTACAGAACATGAACATGCCGACATCGGCAAACTCTCGAACCTCATATATGTTCGACGAAAATACACAGCATTACTTTCAGCCTATGCACCACATGCAAGACATCCAGCAGATGGTGCCACCCCATGACAGGCGGTTATCACAACCTGATCTAAGAATCCAGACAGGCATGAGACCATATACACCTACACATCAAATACAGACTGGTGAGTTTGGCGTCCTTCAAGTAATATTTTCTTAACCATATCTAGCTCATTTCCCTTTGACACCAGCACAAACACCGTTAAACCATCCTTCACGGCAAGTGAAATCATTACAGACATCTCCACGAGCATTGCAGCAAGACGAGACGATAGTATCTCCTCGACCGGTCTCCATGCAGAAATCACGATCGTTACAAGGCATCGCCGAGCATGATGCTATGAACTCCTTCACCAACGACTTTGGCGCTCCATTATTGCCTGCCTCAGAAACAACAACAATAGCCCAAGAGCCAATGAAACGTAAAGCCGCTCATTCGAAGAACGCTCCAACCAGTAGCATGAATTTTCCATCAACACCTCTCTTTGGGGAATCCGCTCAAGACACCACTGACCTTCAGAACATTGATCAATCAGCTTACCAACTGAGCCAACTACCATCCTCACCGAATAGACCTGCACTTTCACCTCGCCGCATCTCAATATCCGACCTTCACTTGGATCCGGGTATCAGTGCTTCCAGTATAGAGACGAATATAAGTATCGACGACATTGCACAATTTATAGTCCAGCCTGATCCAAACATAAACAGCTGGAGATGCACTTTTGATGGTTGCAACAAAGACTTCGGTCGCAAGGAGAATATCAAATCACATGTTCAGACTCATTTAGGTGATCGTCAATTTAAGTGCAATCATTGCGGCAAATGCTTCGTTAGAGGGCATGACCTGAAGCGCCATTCGAAGATTCACACAGGTACAAAAGCTTACGCTTGTCTTTGCGGAAATGCCTTTGCGCGACATGACGCTCTGACACGACATCGACAACGAGGCATGTGTATCGGCGCTTTTGAAGGAATTGTTCGGAAGGAGGTTAAACGAGGCAGACCAAAGAAACACCGACCAGAGATGGAAGACCGCCTTGACAAAGCATCGCGAACGCGATCAAAGCAGCAGCAGGGCTCTAGTGGACCTGCTGATACCTACCACTCCTCGGCCTCCAGCTGCTCCATGTCGAGCTGGGGTTCACCACCTGCGGAGAGCATGGACAACCTAAGCATTCGTGACGGTCCACAGTCTCCCAGCATCACCTACGATGGTGCGATGAATCTATTCGGGCTGGACCCACAAAGCATGGATACCATATCTCACGGTCCGACAAACTCTGCGCATCAGGGCCCGATGCTTGGAGATATGTTCTCCTATACTCCTCCTGCAAGCCCTGGATACTCCACTGGCAACAAGCCAACTCCCTCCTTTCGCGAGCTTACTCCTGCTGAGATGCTGTCTTTTGAAGAGCACTGTGGTTCGGCTGCAACAGCATTACAGCCCATGGCTGACCAGGTGTTGAACCACCCAGTTCTCGTGGGCAGAGAGGTCACTACTATGCCGCGAGCCGACACATACGACCTCCCCTTATATTCAGCAGCGCATGAGCCCGCAGTGCTGACCACGCAGTCAGCTTCGCTTCCAGCTCTGTCCCATTCCTCTTCTCCTCCACCCCAGGAGCCAGGCTCGACGTTTGCCTACGATTTTCCTGACGATATGCATCCACTACGAATGAGCACCATGTCCAATATGTCCTTTGGCCTTAGCAATCTCAACAAGACTCATGACTCGAATACCAATACCCATACTCATGCCGATGCTGATGATGCCCAACGCAACGAGTTTGACAGTTTCCTGGATTTCAACGACGACTCACAGCTGGGCTTGGGCATGAACCTCAACCTAGACGCTAACGATGCATTCTTTGCATCATTGTAGGGCATTCGCTAGGATGATTTCCTGGCTTGAGAGGAGCGCTATGTAACATCGGATTTGAATAGGACAATCTTCAAAACAGGTCAGGTGGGTTGAGCTTTTGGCGTAGTGGAAGTTGGATATGTATCAGCACATAAATAAAAGCGGAGGTATAGACATTTGGATGGGACATGACATGAACGAATATGAAAGAACCTGGCACGCGGCGTTTAAATGCAGTATTCACTTATAGTCTCACGACTGGGGGCATACTGTGAGTCGGGATGTGTTCTTTTTAGCGATAGGGACAGGTATACACCTTGTAGGATTAACGTGTATTTCTGTACGGCTTTAAGGCTGTCGATATAGCTCTGATATCGACGACAATCAGATAGCTCTCCAATACCTTGTTCTCTCTCTATGCTTTGGTTGTCCAGCATCACGTTTCTGTTCGTTCGCAGTCAAATACAAAGTTCGCGAGATTTCGCCGTGCTCAAAGTCATATCACACAGCAATCGTCTGGACCAGGGGACAGTAACGCAAAGCACGTCGAACGGGTGAAGGTGAGTTGACTGAATATCAAGCACAGGGCTAGACTGTAGTAGGGATCTTTACTGGGTGGATGATCACTTCCCGAAAAGGGGTTGGAAGTGAGGCATGTAAAGTGTGTGGGAAAATCGGACAGTTAATCCAAGGGACGAAAGACTAGTCGAAATGGTGTGGGATGACGGTAAAGTGACTGTTTCGTGATTAGAGTTTCTGGTTAGGGAGAACCGCGATGCTACTGTTTTGTATCCAGGTGTGTCAGCCTGCTTGAGTTGCTTGCCTGGTCGCTGTTGAAGGGTAGTGAAAGTGGACTAGAACTGGTGCCTTAGCTCCACGCCAACAGCTTATTGCAATGCGAGACTGAAGAGGAAGAAGGCAAATGGGAGACAGGACCATGTTCTGGACTCTTTCAGCAATTTGCAGGTCGCCCAACGGACTATACTGGAAAGCAATGTTTTGTTGATGCGACCAGCTTCCCGAAAACAGTCATGAGCAGACTCATAAAAGAGGCGTGTGTGAATTTAATGGTTGCAGGATCCTCGTGAAGGTGCGAGGTGAGTTTGAAATATTTTTGTTATGAGAGCCACTGATGGACTGTACCCTGTCTTTGGGGTGCACAGCTTTCCATTACCACTGGATTGTGTACTTCCGAGAGTGCTTTCGTACCAGCTTCGTCAGGTCAATCAGGAAGATGCGCTCCAATAGACGTTCACTGACTTGCCAAGCATACGTAATGATGCGTGACGTGCAACCATGCTTGTGAGTCCTATGGAAGTGAAGCTGCACGACTTTGATGTGGTTTATCGTAGCATTAGGTTTATGGTACGAGCGAGCTCGGCGAGGGGTGGTTTGATCAGGGAGGTCAAACAGCGCAAAGCTACTGCGACACGCTTGTTCGAGTTGATGCGCTCAAGGCCCGAGTGTGAGGCGGCTATCAAAGGTCACGTTGTGGAGTATGCCAGTGTCATCTCGACACGAAAGTCGACGTGGCGGTGGCCAAACCACTCAACCGGAAAGCTCAATTGACACGACAGCTCTTGTGCAGCAATTCAAGATCCCGTGATTGTTCGAATGTGGAAACGGTACTAGTAGCTGATTCGAAGTCTGCTCGCGCGTTCAGCTTCTTCGCGAGGTGCTCGCGGTACTCATGCTGCTCAGAAACTGGCTGTAACGAAACAATGGATACGAACAGCTTCGTGAAGACCAGACTGGGACATTGGTTTTCGGATCCTGTATGCTCGTACGCCTCATGCTCGCTTGTCAGAAATATGTCGGTGAACGATCGTGCCAAAGGATCTGGTCTGTTAGCAGTACCTTTGTTGTGTTAGTTCATTTGTTGCGAAGTATGAAACGTGTAAGGTTCAAGGATCAGCAACGACCTTGCCTGAGAGTTCCGTCTTTCTGTAATATCAGCTCTTGCATCGGCTTCAATATTCAAGTAGTTGTGAGCATCTCTCTACACTGAGAGGATTTGCCGAGTTTGTGTCGATCCCGCCTCGCTTCTAAGGATCAGCAGTCCAGTTTACGTGATGCAAGAACAAAAATTATGGTTGTTTTGTTCATCTCCAGCACGCGGGAGTGTCATACATGCCAGTCGATATTGTGGCTCTGCTGGTGAAGGTCGTCGATAGAACGTGTAACGCCTGCTTTTGTTCTATAGAGGCAGTACAAGCCACGTTCCTGGACTCGATAACTTTATCACGTCTGAGAGCAACACGATACTCCATCCGAAGCAATGCTCAAGAATGCTCAAGAATATATGACCCTAGACGTGGTCGAATATACATCCGTTTAATATGTAGTGATAATGAACCCATGCATTTTTTTGCCTACCAGGTGGCAGATGCCAAGCGCGACAGGCTAAATTAGGTCCTTGTTGCAAAGGGCTGTGGAGGGTTGCGAGACATCTTCTCTGTTGTGTGCTCAATTTCGTCCTCAGCAGTATTAGATCTATTGAGTGTTCTGTCTGCCATTACTGTAACATGGGTTTGAAGGAGGTAAGAACATCTCTAATCGTCAGTCATGTGTTATGCACAATGACATACTTTTTTCGTCCACTTTCAGAACGAGACAATGTATACGCCTTGCCTTACCAAAGAAAAGAAACATATCTTAGGCAGTGGGTGGTTGGATGAAAGTGAGGCGGAAGTGCAAGGTCTCGACTCTCGGGTGTTTATTGGACCTAAACTAGACACGCTTTATTTAAGGCAGCGAATCAGACGAAAAGCAGGCTGAGAATGGGTAGATCTCAACCCTAAAAACTTTGAATTAGACACTGATACCACGGCGATAGTAGCATGATGCATCCGATGGGCGTCGCACCAGGAGTTGGACCATCGTCACGAGATGAGTATATAGAAGTCTAGTGTTTGCGCTCACCGACAGTGATGGCGTCTGCTCTGTACTGCTGTCTTCAACTGCCCGACATTGACCAGATCTGACCAAGTCCGACATGACAAACACTTCCATTCCCGTGCAGGAGTATTTCTTACCCGGATACGAACTTTCTAGACAGATTGTTCTGCGGCAAATACAATACTTCCTGGGCCCATCAGCAACAGTACGGCCATATTCCTTTCAGGTACAACTCAAAGTATGACAAAGCTTCGACATGTTCTGACAATTCTCGAAGGGTCGAGAAGGATATCTGATATGTGGCTCACCATTGACAAAGGCATGATTCCTAGGACAAGCCTCTGGACATAAGCTCATCTGCAGTCAGGAACAAATAGAAGACCTGAAACGACAGTCGAAAGAGTACGAGCGCCAACAGACGATCCGCATGAAGACAAAACGAAGTGGCAGTGATTCTGAAGAACTGGATCCCGACATACACAGCATAGTGGTGGTACCAGGGAGACGTGCCCAACAACATTATCGGAGGCCGATGTATCACGACGCCAGGTGACGAGAGAGCTTGAACTGGATTTATCTATGCTGCGTACAATGTAGCCTCTTCTCCGAAGCGGCAAACCCTCTACTTAGATCGTCATCGGTGGTCTGCTCGACTTGCGACTGGTCCTGGTAAGTCGCTCTGGAAGCACAACAATGTTGCGCAAAACTTGCTTGTCGAGCGACGAACCCGACTCAGGCTGTACTGGCTTTCCTCGTGACTGAAAGAGATGGGTTTTATGGTAAAAGCAGGTCGGAACAAAAGTGTTGGGATGTAAGAGTCCGAAAAGGAGCTGTACTGTTGTGTTGAATGGAAATCAATATGCTGGCAATTCGTTCATGAGCCACGGTATGTGGTATACGTCCATGGTCCGACTAGGCATGGAACATGATAATGTCGTTCGCCCTTCTTGACGTAGAATTTGATCTCAACTTCAGGCCAGAAGCTCTCGATGCCTCTTTCTTCGTACCATGGGCCGATTTCAAAGATAATGCTCCAAGGTATTCTTTCGCCATCCTTGAAGAGGTCGAGTGCAGCTGCAAGTGTGGTGTCTCCTGAGGGCGTCCACTCTTTTACTCTACCATCCTCATTTGTGACGGCATGAAATTGCAATCCTTGCTGTAGAGACGACGACCCGGGATTGAGCAGCCTTAGATGAGTTTTCAGGTTAGAGGCCGGTGTGCCAGAAACAGTGTTAAGAACGTGACAAGTGATGGGTGAAGACATTGTTGCCAATACTAGTATGTAGACGTAACCTTTTTGTGCTGTTATGAAAGAACGACAAGAATATAGAGCAGTTATACTTGCGTTGTCCTTCTTATGTCGCGGGCAGTGACTCTTATCAGGACACAGATGAAGCTTGATTGTGTTCGTGAGCACGTCTGGCCTATAGCAGCTCGGCGCTCTCCGATCGTGGCACTGTTCTTGACAACAATTGACTGCTGGAGATTACACTGATATTGTTGCTGATGCTTCAGCACAACTCGGTTTTCAAACGTGCATTACCGTCGTGTTCCAGCAATCCTGATAGCTATGTTCCTCGAACCTGAATTGGTTGTCGTGAATTCGAGTTCGAGCTTGTTGCATAGTTGGCCATCATGGTCAGCCAGAGTAGATTTTGGTGGAAACCCGTAATTTTTAAGCATCTGCTTCTTTTGCGATTCGTCCTTTCTATAAGCCACTAAACAATTGTTGATTTGTGACGGTGCAAGCGCTTTGAGGGTTCTCACATTTCTTTTTGTGTTAGGTGTTTACTCAATTATAGCAAAATTTCCTATGGCGCAAGGACAAATCAAAAAAGCGGCTGTGCCTGCGAAGTCACAATCTCGAACAAATGCTGGAGTAACGAAGAAAGGCCTGGGCGTGCAAAAATCCAAGAAATCCAACCTGATTAAAGCTGCGAAGATCAACAAGAAGTTCACATCGGGTCTAACAGCGCAAACGGAACGAATGCTGGGTGAGCGAGCAGGTCATCTCGAGATGATCGGACAGGGCAGAAAGAAGAATTCTGAGGCTGCGGGCACGCATGGCAAGAAAGGCGGAGAGAAGCGCACGAACAAGAAGACCTGAGCCATTGTCGGCTCTCACAAACAACTACTCGGCTCTTGCACAGGATACTATGCAACGTGAGATAATTGGTCCTAGCCGTGCTATCGACCAAGGAAGCACAAATGTCTGCTCGTCCCAGGAAGTGTAGGAGACAAGCATGATAGAAACTTTTCGTTCGAGCAAAGACTCAGTCCCTGCTTTTTATACGCTTTGTCTTCGTCAGAGGGAATACTGGGTAAAATAGGGTTCAGCATGCAGACGAACAGGATGTACGGGCACAGAGGCAGTTTTTAAGACGTTTTCTCTACCAACATCCTGACGAGACTGGCAACAAACTCTTTATCAACTGGCATGTATCAGATTGGGAGTTGTCAAACATGGCTCCGCGTCACGACCAACGAAATGCAGCAATACATGCCTACATCAGCTCAGGACAACGCGATCGCTTTCCGGTATCGATACAGTCTATTAGTACGCAAGAATGGCATGGTTCGTTGCTACAAGGATTTGTACAATTGTACTAGTATGGATATATCACCTCGGACGAGTTACGACTGAGCTACGGTAGACCCGAGATACAAGCATGGCAGTTGGGCTAAAATCTTGCGAATGTGGTTTCTAAACGTCAGCAATTACATGCACATTATGCTTGAAGACTCTTGCATCTCTTTTGCCCGCCACCACATGCCACGCCTTGCTTTTTTGTGCCCTCGAAGCTGCACCACCCTTGCAAGACGTTACCATTTATTCAGCAAACCACAATACGCAAGCAAATACAAAGTACGCTTCATACACTCACACCAGGGACACTCGAACAACGCTGTGCGGCAGGCTTCTCGCTACAGGATGACCACTAACGGTGTCTCCAACTCTGATCCAAACCTACACGTCTACAAAGGAAACCGAGATATACTAGCAAAGCCTAGTTGGGCACACAAGCACGACGGGCGGCCAAGAAGTCGAAACCTTCTGCCATATTTACTAGACCCTTCAGCACATCCAGACCGTGTCCTTCGTGTCTCGAAAGACAGCGTTGTCATCGCAGATTTGTTTCCCAAAGCTCAAGTGCATCTGCTTGTACTACCTAAATGGCAACCGCATCGAGACTTACATCCACATGACGCTTTCGAAGACCCTGACTTCTTAGCAATGATGAAGGTCGAAGTTAAGGAAGGCCTTGGGCTAGCGACTTCCCAACTCCAGTTAAAGATGCAGGAAGCTCTTCTCGACTCTGGCATGAGCGTTCAGCATATCGAGGCGTTGCTGGGTAAGCGCGATTTTTCCAAGGACTTTCAAATTGGCATTCATGCACATCCTTCACAACATGAACTACACGTTCACATCATCTCACGCGACATGGTTTCTACACACGATTATCATGCGCGGCATTATCAAGCCTTCAATACCCCTTTCTTTGTTCAATTCAAGCTCTATCCCCTTCCACCGGACGATATTCGTAGACAAGTCGACTATCAGAACGCGAATCTGATGAAGGACAATTTAGCGTGCTGGCGATGTGGAAAAGACCGTGGGACTAATTGGACGCGTATGCGAGCACATTTGCTAGAAGAATGGGGAGCGTGGATACGTGAGGGTAGCGAAGGTGTATGATACATTTTGGTCAAATTGGCATTGCTTTGCAACGTGCATCGTCTCATGTTTGGAGTTGCATGCAATGTCCTGTGTATTGTGGGAGACATAGAGGTCAAGGGACTTCTTCATGGTGTTTGAGGTCCATAGACAGTCCAGTGTAGCACATTGAATACCCAGTGTTGTGACTCTCGGTAACTATTGATTTCCCAAACTATACGGCTGATCATCTCTGCAAGCTTGTCCCATCGCTCTTGCAATGTGTCGTGAGCGGGTCCATCACATTTCGTAATGACGTTCTCCTTCAGGAGCAACAACCATGCTCTGATGTCATTCTGCAAGGTACCACAATAGACATAAGTTTTCGAGGCACCATATTAAAGCAGACAGCCCACCTTGTCGTGTGCACCATTACAGACTTGACTCAAAACAAACATTGCAACTACTTCACCACACAACTCCACCAAATAAAAAACAGCAAACATGTCAGACGACAGAAAAGAAGAGCTCCTCGACATCGCCGCCAAGGCCGAGCAAGACCTCAACAGCGACCGACTTAAATTCGGCCGTCAAGAAGGCACAGGTTTCGGTGGCAAGGACACAAAAGGTGGCTCTACATCAAGTATGTCCCCTCCATCCCTTATCTCCATTGCCCATACTAACTTTCTTCCTCAGCCGACGAATCCGGCATCGACCAATCCGTAACAAACAAATTCCCCGGCAGCACCGCCGAATACGGCTCGCACACCTCCGGCGCCGGCAACAACAGAGACATCCCACCCTCTGAGGGCGGCGACATCCAAAAAGGAACCGGGAGAATGACAAAAGCTGGTGATTTCGATCAGGGCGAGGCTGGTGAGGGGCCCGAGGATATTGCGCTGAGGAAGCAGGAGGAGTTGGGTGGTGATGATAGTGTCAGAGGGAATGTTAAGAATCCGAGTACGGGGAGGGCTGCGGGGAATTTGGGTGTGCAGTAGATAAAGATAATAGTGGTACGGCTGTTGAGGCAGTTTGTGGCTGCTTACTCGGCAAGAAGAGGATCGAAAAAGAACCAAGAGACTTTTCCGAACCAACAAAGATGTTTTTAGATCCATGCTAAACTGTGGCGAATGATATCTATAAGATGCAACCACTTTTACTATGCAGTCCAAACACGCCAGGTGCTCTAAATGTCAATATCAATCCCCAAGTCCAACCCTTGCAAGACCTGATCATCTCTTTTTCCCTTCTTGATGACCGGCAAGCCCTTCTTCATCTCACCACCGGTCCTCATGGACAAAGGCGTTCCACTTCTCGGTGTGCCATTACTCAAGCCAGACATCAGGGGTGTGCCAGCCCTGCTGCCAGCTCCATTGACAGGCGTTCCCGCCCTCGATATGTCACTCCCACTGCCAAAAAGATCGTCATCTAGAGCCTTGGGCTTAGGCGGTACCAGTCTGTCCTTATCAACCTGGTTCACCTCGACCTTTTTGTAGGCGCGTCTCTTCAACATTGCTGCTTTCTGAATGTTTTCACTTGTTAATCGCTGATTGCGCCTGTTCAGTTCTGCCAGGCGATCGGCTTCGTTGTTTGCTTTTTGTTGCTGAACTTGACTGGGTTGCAGGGTTGTGCCCAGGGCTAGTTTCAAGGGTACGAGGTTCAGTAGTTGGTCTTCGAGGTCGCGGATTTGTTCGTCGTCACCTGCATCTTCTGCGGCCTGGATCTTTTGCTTTAGTGCCTTGCGTTCAGTGGTGCGATTGACTGTGTCCAGTAGGGATTGTTGCTGTTTGAGTTTCTGTGAGATTTCGACGTCTGAGAAGCGGTGGGTGATTAGTTTGCCGATTCGTTCCAGTTTAGCATTGACCTGACCTCGTGTGGGCATGTTGCAGTCCTCGTTGGCCATTGTCAGTCTGTATCTCCTCCATTCGTCGTCTGTGAAACGACTGTTTGAGCACTCTAGGAAAGACCAGGGTTTCGTTGCTTTCCCATGAGCGGCGATGATGTACTTGTTCGTGAGAAAAGCCTTGTGGTTTGGACCTTCGATGGCATACGGACGGCCTTCTTGGAATCCCTTGATGCTGCAGATGCGGTACTCGTTTTGTCCTGGATTGCGGCCAGGGCCGAGGCAAACGCGAGCGAAGCAGTTTGTGATCGCGTCCTCAAAGCCGGGAGTATAGCAGACTTGCGCAAAGTTTTCGCGGCCAATCCGGATACGCTGAATGTCTTGTAGCTCTGCGGGTGGATCGTCCTTCGGAGGAGTAGGACTTTGTTTCTGGCGCTTCCGGCTGCCATAATTGTAGTCAATGTCGCTATCGCCCTCGGCGTCTGCGTCACTATAGTCATCACGTGGGTGATCTCGTCGTGGCGAAGCCTTTCCACTCCTGCGACGCTCTTCTAGAGCAGCCTTATCTTCACGTTGCTTCCTGTAGGCGGCAAGTGCATCTTTACTTCCGCCAGTTTTAGTACGTTGTCGAGAGCTTTTGCGTTGTTCGTCTAGATCTGCATTACTTGCTTTGCGCTTCTTGGCCGACTTCTTAGCTTCCTCCTTCTCTCGAGACAGAAGCATGCGACGCAGCTGTGCATTCTGCTCATGGTGCTCAAGTTGTTCAGTTCTTTCTGCAAGTATGGCTTCTCTTTCTATTTCCGGCTTTGCCTCGATTTCAGCCTTCTCCGCGGCACTGTGGTATAGCCTTTCGTAGGCGAACATGGCCTTCTCTTCAGGTTCAAAATCGGCCTCAGCCTCCGATTCGGACATAGCTGCAGATTGTTCGGATACCGACATACTTGAAGACAGTCAGAGTTGGTCTAGCACGTCCAACAGCAGTACTTACTCTTCTTCCTCGTCGTCGGAGTAATTTCTTCGTTTGCGGCCTTTTCTCGATCCTCGCGCAGCTGAATTTCGTGTAGGAGGAGGTGGAGAACTCTCTTTTGCAGGTGATGAAGACCTCCTTTGTGGGGAAGAAGCAATGCTTCCCTCGCCTTCAGAGTCATCACCTGCCAGAGCAAGCAGCTCTGCATCTAGGTCGGCCATTGTGTGTGAGAGTCAGGTGATGAGATGAAAGTAACAAGACAACAAGGCCACAATGACGCGCAAACGGGACTGTCTAGTGAAATGATTTCTGCTGGCAAAGTGACGCAGAAGTGGAAGGTAAAGCAGTACTCAGATGCTGATGCGTATGTGGTTCAGTCGAGTGTTAACAGAAGACGCCGAACAAAGACTGCGCCACAGATTCCGCGTAGGTGAAAGGTAGCCCAGTAGAGAAAAACGAACACAATGCGAATATGCCGGAAGAACGTGTGATTAAGTAGTCGTCTAATAGAGGACCTGCAACGTGTTCTAGTGTTGGCTACGCTTCCGGGACGGTCGTCTCGAAAATTTCTTGACTCAGGCGGCTAGCCACATCTACTAAACATGACTCGATCGACGTAATCGATGGTCATGTCGAGTTCTCGCCATCGTTGTGTTGTTGTTACCGTGTGTAAGGCAGGATGTATAGACTCCCTTTTAGAAGTCGCGCATGCTGCAACTCCATCAGCAATGTAGTCGCGAAACAAACTGGCTCGCAAGCAGCCAGAAGATTATCCTTACCACGAATCAGATATGCATCGACGAATGTACCAAATGATGGTGAAGCTGCATTAGAAACACCGAAACCAGCGACGAGAGTTCTTACCGAAGAACAGCGGAAGTTCTTGGAACGTGCTCTCAGAGTCAACCAAGCAGGCGAGCTGGCAGCAACTTTGATATACACAGCCCAAACGCCCCCAGTTGTGAAAGCTCATCCGCATCTACATCCGTTGATGAAGCACATGTACGACCAGGAAGCGGGTCACTTCAAAACTTTCAACGGTCTGCTGGCGAAGCATCGCATTCGACCAACTGCCTTGTATCCGGTATGGCAGGCCGCTGCAACTGTGCTGGGTTGGACGACTGGCATGATGGGTAAAGAAGCTGCCATGGCATGCACCGAAGCTGTAGAGACTGAAATCGGTAATCACTACAATAGTCAGGTCAGGGAACTGTTCAAATGGATGAGCGATCTCAAAGAAAGAGGAGAAGAACTAGATCCAGAGTTGGCAGAACTTATTCAAGATGTAAAGAGGATCCGAGATGAAGAGCTAGAACACCTAGACCATGCTGTCGAGCATGATGCAAAGGAAGCCCAACCATACGAACCTTTGACCAAGGTCATTCAGTATGGCTGCAAAGGTGCAATATGGCTCAGTGAGAGGGTGTGAGCTCTCAGTCCATTGACCGGTGCAGGACGATATTATGCTATCGACACTATGCAGCTTTGGGATCGTTGTGTTCCGCAGCTGCTGCCTCTGTTCTCATCCGACAATACATCATAAGGATACAGGTCTGGCTGGTGACAAAATGCAGCCTTTCTCTCATAAGAACATATTATGGTCTGAACCATGAGCCACACTTCCAACAAACTTAATTCAGGACGCCTTAATCTTCTTTGTGCTCGCTATGCTGCTTCTCGGGGGACTGCTCGAGGCCGTCGTCGACAAGGACATCAGTCTCGTCTGTATCCCCTTTCTCTTGGTCGGACCAATCCCACCGTTCTATCGTCGGTTCACTGAGCGAATCCGTCGTTTCGAACAGATAATTTTGGTCCATCTCTCCCCACGGCTCAAGAACTGGCTTCGGTCCTTCGCTTTTGCACGTCTGGCACTCTTCGGCAAGCTCGTCTTGGAGATCTCGCTGCTTCTTGCATCTGATCGTTATCTCCCACGACTGGCCCCACATTCTCTGGCACGGAAACTTTTTATGCTCATAGTGACCTTCTTTGTCACAGCGGACCGACTTGGTGAAAACGTTGCGGCACATCTTGGCCGAGGATAGTGTTGGTGTATTTTCGAGTTGCAGGCTAGGAAGTGACGCAGACCATTCGGGACGAGAAAGCAGCATCTGTGACTTTGAAGCGGTTGTGGTGTAATACTAGCAGCGTTTCAGGTGCGCGGTTCGGGATAGCAAGAACAAACGGGGCTCTCGAGAATGGTTGTGGTACAGAGGTTTCAGCACAGTAAGAAAATCCTATGCGACAAGTTGAATCTAATGAAAGCAAGTGGATATCGACTCCAATCGTGTTCGTTCACGTTCGAAGTGACAAGAAAAATATACAGCAGATCAGAAAAAGTGCATTCGTCGAGGATGGTCAAGTATCACTTATCGGCATTTGACGAGCTCTTGCCCGAATCTTATCCACCTCAGATTGATTGCTCGTTCTTTCTTTCTAGTTCTCGCGCGCAACGATTACAACCAGTCCGGCATGACCACTTCTGGGCAACCAAATTAAATCTGCAACCAGGCATCCGAGGGCATTCACCAGAAATTGTCTTCTACAATCAACCTTCCTCACGAGTCATGGACGAGCCACTTACACTTCTCACGCTTGCTCGTGAGATTCGCTTCATGATTTACGAAAACCTGATCAATTGCACTGGTGTGATTGGTATCTATTCACAATATGACGTGGCTAAAGAAGTCGATGAGCAGACGATTGCATTGCTTCACGTCTGCCGATTGATGCGCATCGAAGTCCAAGAATTTTTCTACAAACATCAAGCCTTCTCGTTCCGTAGTCCGATTGCCATGAACAAGTTTCTGGACAAGATCGGACCGTACCATGCGAGCATTCTCTCAGATGTCCAGATCGGACCCAATATGAGCAGAAGAAGACCAGACAAGTTTGCCGTTGAGTTCGTTGACGTATTGCATGCCCGTATGCAGAATGTCCAACAACTGACGATTACGGAACCTTGGTATGGCTTCTATGAGCCCACACTAACAGGACTCCGGGCTGATGAGAAGGTTCTCGCTATACTATGCGCATCAGAGAAGTTGGCAAAAGGCAAGATTTATTTGATGGACTCCGGGTCTGCCTACTACACGGAGCTCTGCTTTGTGCCCAAAGACGTTACCTACCCATCTAAAGTCGACACACTTATTCGTCAAGAAGTCATAGCACAACCATCTGGGCCGCCCGTCCTTCATGATGTGTACAAAACTACTACCTGGACGGAAATTCCGATTCCTGATCAGGCAACGCTGAAGAAGTTCAGCGACGGGAAAGCGAGTCTGGAGCTCCTTGTCACCAAATTCATTGGCCCTGCAACGGCTGAGAATCGCGCATCAACCACATGAGAGGAGCGGCTTGCACTCCTACGTGGTGGTCGCTTCTGCAGATCACTACATACTCGCATGCTCAGCAACTCAGCATTATCGACAGTTTCTGAGTTCAGCGACGTTACATAGTGGAAAAGGGCACTTGGCAGCATCTTTCTATCTTAGAAAGCGTCCGGATACGTTGGTGTAGGGGTGTTGATCAGAGTGGTCACTCATTCGGGAGGGACGTGGTTTAGCAAGTGTTTGTATTGAAGGAACGGTTATCTTGATATTTCGGAAAGCTTTGAGAATTTATGGGCAGTCAGGTTTGAGGTCGTGCTTCTGTGAGATATCTTGACAACATGCTCATTGGTATCAAAATTTGAGACTAGGATGGTGAATTTGCTCTGCTTACTGTACAATGATCTTACATTCTAATTTGAAAGAGTTGAGTCTATACCGTGGTTTACAGTTGCTTCCAGCATTCGTCATTAACTTCTTTTTAGTCACACCTCCCATCCCCGTATCCATCCTTCCATCGCTCCTTCCAAAAATTACAATCAAACTCTTTCTTGCCTAGTTTCTTATTAACATCGTTATGCGCCTTACACATCCATCGCCCAAACCCATCTTGTGTCTTTAATGCTTCCGTAGGATCATTCTCAGGCCTTGCTATCCATGTCCGGAAATCTTCAGCGCAATGCCAGCACGGATACAACTGACTGAACATTTCTATGAAAGTAGAGGTCTTTGCTTGATGCGCGGGCGTTGGCTTTGGAGGGTATGTAGCTGTCAATGCGTGTAATAACGTCCAAGATGCGCGACCTAGTTCTTCAACATCTGGCGGGCAGCCATCTTCTAAAGTCGTTGGTGGGGATTGAGATGCATTTAATGGAGGTAACGAGGGTGTGGTCGGTTCTTGCGCATGAGGCTGGATTTGTGCAGACGAGGTATTCGGTATGGCTGAGGAGGATTTCTTAGCGAATGAAGAGGACATCATGGATTTCCATGCTGCTGAGGATGTGCATGTCCGGCAGCTGCGATGGTCTCATTAGTGATTGCTGTTGCTCAGTCCTGAAAGTCTTGTTACATACGGTTTCCCATCCTTGTCTAACACGATGCCGCCGGGAAGTGTAGTTGTTCCTGCGCTACCTGCGCCTATACCGATAGATGACTGCTTCTTGTCTTCGCTCGAGGTATTTGCATCCTCCAACAGGCCCGGCATCTTCATCACTATCGGGCGACTATCTCTTCACTACTACTAGTAGACCACTACACCCCGTTCGCATTTGCAGAATCAACATTGCCAAGCGGCGAGCTTACATATTTGGATTCTCGGACGAACTAGTCCGCCGCCAGCCGAGCAAGATCGACGTGCAAAAGTACGCGGGGAAGGCGCGTGCTCACGTTTCCACTTCCGCTGTTCGACGCGCTGTACTGAGTTGAGAGCTTGCTAAAGCTGGAGGGTGCAACTGCTTGCACTGTATGAAGCATAGCAGCCTCGATACTCAAGTCCTGAAGCTATTTATCAGGTCTTTGGAAGCAGATATATCAAGAAGGGTGACATTGCACAAGCCCAAGCATGCCAACAGACAAGGAAATCGAGACTAGTCTTCGCGATGCCGTTCGTGCATGGTACAAGAATCCCACCGATGACCCACCAACAGTCAACATCATAAGGGGAGCAGCACGCGACGAGCTCGAATTAGACGAAGATTTCTTCAAGGATGACAAATGGAAGTCGCGGAGCAAGAATATCGTTCAAGATCAGTTTGAGCAGAGTAGTGCTCAGCAAGACGAGCAGAAACAAGAACAAAAGGCGGAAGGAAAGGAACAGAAGCAGGTTCTAAAGAGAAGCTCAGAATCCGCAGACATTAGGCCGAGGAAGAAGAGCAGGTTGTCAAGTATACAGCAGGAGGACGAAGAAGAAGAGTCTACTGCTTTGAGTGAGCCACCAGAAAGTGACGAGGAGCTAAGTGAGGAAGAGGATGTAAAACCAAAGAAGAAGACCCAAAAGAAAAGCTCGATATCTTCCGCTAAAGTTTCGAAACCAAAGCCACCGAAGCAGACACAGGCTAGGGCTAAGAAGAAACAGGCCTCACCTGAATCTTCTGATGCTTTGTCGCCAGCTGAGGATCCTGAAAAGGAGGTACAACCTCGAAAGAAGGCCACTAACGACGACACGTCCAGCGAGCTCTCCTCTGTGATCGACGAGCCAGCTGCGCCTAAACGAAAATCGAAGGCGAAGAACGGTGAAGGTAAAGCAGCGGCCAAGTCTACCAAACCCTCCAAATCGAAGTCTACTGCTGAACCCGACCCTAATGCCGAAGAGATCAAGCGTCTTCAGGGCTGGCTTGTCAAGTGCGGTGTCCGCAAAGTTTGGGGCAAAGAGCTCAAGCCTTACGAAACTCCCAAGGCTAAGATTTCACACTTGAAAGAGATGCTGTCAGATGTCGGTATGACTGGCAGATTTTCTAATGAAAAAGCTGCACAGATTAAAGAGGCAAGGGAGTTGGCAGCGGACATCGAGGCCGTGCAGGAAGGCAACGAGAGATGGGGCAAGGCAAGCGATGATGAGGATGACGCTACTGATGATCGGCCGAAGAGGCGGGTGGTGAGAGGTGCCCAGAATTATGCCTTCTTGAGCTCGGATGGTGAGGAGACTGATTGATCATCTTCGATCTCAAGGACAATGCCGTGGTTGGTGTCGTATCTGATCGATCTGCCGACTTTGCAAACCCCAAAAGTTGTGCGGTGTAATTACGGTTCAGCAACCGTTGTTACCTCATCTGATAGCAATTGACGTGGGTGACGTGCTCATCCTTTGAGCAACCAAGCTGAAAATGGCCACGGAAGATATAAAAAGTACCAGATTGTAGAACTACAGAGCCTCATCAGCGGTTGTGTCAATAATAACGATCACAATGTCGAGCTTACAGCATTTCGAGAATACTCGTTTTCTTCTGCTTCCGTTCGAGCTTCAACGAATAGTCGGCGGAGGTTTGGTAGAGCCATCCTTTTGTGCGGTCTGGTAGTGCTTCTTAAAGCATAAGAGATTGTGTAACTTGTAAACTCAGACGAATGTAGTCTATCAGTGCCACGTTGACGGCCTTGATTGTAATCAGAGCATATGCCTGTCGTGGTGCTCCTTTGAGGCCTGGAGGTCTCAAGAACGGCGGAAGACGACCTGGTCTTGGCAGGACGAGATGCCGCAAATCTCCATCGCGCTCACCTTCCACCCTTGCGCGTCCCTCCGTTCCTTGTCCTACTAGTACGACTGACTAGTAGTTTGTGCACGTTCGTACATTACGAGTAATACCAGGCTAGTATATCGACATCATGCCATACTACCAGGGCTGGCTAATAGTTGGTAGCTCTCAGTGCGGTTTCTATGTGAACGTTGGATCCAGCCTCACCTTCTGACATCGATGGGAGCATTATTCCCTCAGAAGCATCAGTAAGCATAATCGCTTCTGCATCATTTCCCACCAAACGTTTCATGTTGACGCACCATCTTGGCACGCCGTTCAGATCGCTCGTTTTCTCAAATACATATCTCACGTTGCCTGTATGCCTCCACTCGCTCCTCTGGCTCACCCCGTGCGCGATATTGTCTTCGAATCCGTTCCCGGCGTTCGATCGTAATAAGTTTCCACCACATATATACGTCATCGTGTTTCCAAAAGTATCCGGTATCCGTGGCAAAATAGGGTTTTTGGCCATCCTTACCATCACTACAGCCAACATTCCTCCCGTCAAAGCCAGTATTGCCAAACTCGCAAATGTACAAGCCTCATAACTTCCAGCCGTCTGCGTCGTTCCAAATGGGACCCCGGCTACCGTAATCAGCAGGACATCGTTCAGTACCGCGGTAATTGCCAGGGAGCCAGTAAACCAGTCCCAGCGATTTCGCCGCATGCTAGAGACAAGAGCGCTCCATGGTGAAGCGGCAACTCCGCGTAAAACACTCCGGGTAGCCGTCTGTGGACGGCGTGCCATCTGGTACCATACCTCCGCGATACATGCGTGAGATTCGACCCGCTTGACACCAAGGCTAACGAGAACTGCGAGACCGGAGAGGACGATGCGTGGGCCAAACGTAGCGCTGTTCATGAAGGCATTGAACGATGATGACGATTGGCCAATGAGACGGTGGGTAAGAATCAAAACGAAGAGAACGACTGCTGAAATGAGGAAGAGGCAAGGTGCGAAGTTATCAAATTGGCGTTTCGATAGTAATGAGGATGGCCTACGCGACGTAACTGATAGTGAAGCAGGATTGCGGATAGGATGATATCCTGCTGCAGGGTTGGTTGGGATCTGGCTAGTGTCTGGAGTTGTCCTGCCATAGATGCCAAACTTGCTTTGACCAGAGGGAAGCTGGCAATAACCGAGTCGATATGTTGTCCCGTTGAGGGCTCGACAAATATCTTTTTCGGAAGCTGCTGGATCCATACACCACAGGCAGTCTAGGAAGGCTTACTCTGAGCCACGAATTATGTTCGTCACCGATAATATCGATGATGGATCCTGTAAGATTTGATTATGCTTGTCACGGTAGTGATTCATCGTTGTGATGATGCAGATCGTGGCTGCGATTACCGTTGACAGTGCCATGACTACACCAGCCACTCCATGTTTGATTTTCAAGCCCGGATTACAAGGCTGAGCTGGACCAAGATCGCTTGAACATGTGTCTGTAGGCACAACCACGAAAGTTTCGGAGGTTATTGTCACCAGCAAGGCGAAAGCAATGTAGACTGCTGTTGTGAGTCGAAGAACAAGTGATCCGCCTTTTAGTTGCAGCGAACCGAGAAAGAGTTGCTCGGCTGTAACACCCTTCCTGGAGTTCAAAGCATAGAACGGCTCCATTGCTTTCATACGCCCGTGTGTAACATCCCAGCACGACTGCAAGACCACTGTAACGATCTTGGGGAAGAACACAACGAGAAAATACTTCGCTGCGGTGAAGTCAGCATCGAGCAGGAGTTGTGCCCCAGAGATAGGTGCCAAACTACACCCATCACATGCATCTGGATCGTCTTCTTGAGAGTCAGAACGATTGGAATATATGCTGACTCCGAGCAATCCAAGACCTTCCGAGCATTACTAGGACATGAGAGACCAAGACAGCATTCCTCAAGGAGCGTGCTTGATACTTCCTGGTCCTACCATCAAGTTGGTGGGAGCCAAACTGATGTACAGTGCTGGCCATATCGTTGAGCTTGGGGGAGGCCATACAGCCAGATGGGTAATACAGTCGCTAGTCTTAGTGATATTCTATAGCATTAGACGTTGCTGGCTGCATGTGCTTCCTATGTCTACTGCAGTGAGTGAGCAGCGGCCGTGTTTGAACATCAACACCATGCATGTAAGCAGTGCTTAGCAAATGAAACAATACTATCACGTTGGACAACTAAAAGATTGTACCTCGAGTAGTAAGACTGGAAGAGATCGCAGTGTGGCAGTATAGTACTGCAGCTTCGGTACGGTTAACTTTTGGACCCGTGAGTGCACGTGCTTTTCTTGGTGAGATGTACAAAGGACGCTGTACTCCCTCTGAACAACCACGTCCTTCTACAAACAGCGGTGCCTGACAGAGGACTGTACTTGGATTGACGAGCCTAGACTCATCCCGCGAATATGATCTCAACCCACTGACCTTCTCGTGAAACATTTAAATACATTTCCGAGCCTGGAACTACACCCACAACCATGGCTCTGAATCGCATGAGGACTACGGTCCAGAGCGCCATTGCGCCTCCTCGCAAAGGAGAAACATTCGAGTTGAGAGCAGGTCTAGTGTAGGACGTGTCCAATATACAGCTCACTCACAATACTGACGAGTGGTGTCAGATCGCAATATGCCTACGAAAGAAAAGAAGCGATCCAAAAGACTATCATGGCCATGACCCTGGGGAAGGATGTATCTCAGCTATTTCCTGACGTCCTCAAGAATATCGCGACCAGCGATCTGGACCAGAAGAAGCTGGTTTATCTTTACCTGATGTACGCTCTGAAGAAGTAATGGTGGGGAGGCTTATGCTGATGCTCGTAGGAACTATGCCAAATCACATCCAGATCTGTGTATTCTCGCCGTCAACACGTTCGTACAAGACTCAGAAGACCCGAATCCTCTTATACGTGCCCTAGCAATACGGACGATGGGCTGCATCCGAGTAGACAAGATGATAGACTATATGGAGGAGCCACTACGGAAAACCCTTGCAGACGAGTCGCCTTACGTTCGAAAAACGGCAGCCATATGTGTTGCGAAACTGTTTGATCTCAATCCCTCGATGTGTCTGGAAAATGGGTTTCTGGAAAGGTTACAGGAATTGATTGGAGATCCGAACCCTATGGTCGTTGCAAACTCCGTACAGGCGCTGGCGGAAATCAACGAGTCGGCTCCAGAAACGAATGCTCTCCAGATCACTTCGAACACCCTGAAGAAAATGCTCATGGCTCTGAACGAGTGTACGGAGTGGGGCCGAGTCACAATTTTAACGGTACTGGCCGACTACAAGAACACAGATGTGAAGGAGGCCGAGCACATATGCGAAAGAGTCGTCCCACAATTCCAGCATGTCAACTCCAGTGTGGTGCTTGCGGCAGTAAAGACAGTGTTCCTACACATGAGATATATTGGTCCAGAACTGTCGAAGTCATACCTGAAGAAAATGGCACCACCACTGGTCACACTGGTCTCGTCCGCCCCTGAAGTACAGTATGTGGCGTTGAGAAACATTGATCTGCTCCTTCAGAAACAACCTGAGATCCTAAGCAAAGAGCTGAGGGTCTTCTTTTGCAAATACAATGATCCACCATACGTCAAGTTTCAGAAGCTCGAGATCATGGTACGGATTGCCAATGAGTCCAATGTCGATCAGCTACTGGCAGAACTGAAAGAGTATGCGCTTGAGGTCGACATGGATTTCGTTAGAAGAGGTGTAAGAGCGATAGGGCAGGTCGCTATCAAGATCGAGAGTGCGAGCGAACGTTGCGTCAACGCTTTACTTGACCTGATTAATACCAAGGTCAATTATGTGGTTCAGGAAGTCATCGTGGTTATCAAGGACATCTTCCGGAAATATCCTGGCTATGAAGGAATAATACCAACACTATGCAAGTGCATAGATGACCTCGACGAGCCGAATGCCCGAGCATCACTGATCTGGATCGTGGGAGAATATGCCGACAAAATAAGTAACGCTGGCAATATCCTGGCAGGTTTTGTGGATGGTTTTGCCGAGGAGTTCTCGCAAACGCAACTACAGATATTGACCGCTGTGGTTAAATTGTTCCTGAAAAAGCCCCAAGCAGCACAAGGTCTAGTGCAGAAAGTGCTGCAGGCGGCAACAGCAGATTGCGACAACCCAGATATCAGAGACAGAGCCTTTGTCTATTGGCGACTGCTCTCAAACACAACAGATCAGAACGCACCGAAAAACATTATCCTATCAGAGAAACCTCCAATCACCACAACCATAAAATCACTACCTCCGGCATTACTTGAAAGGCTGCTGGGAGAGCTATCGACACTAGCTTCCGTATACCACAAGCCACCAGAGCAGTTCGTTGGTCAAGGACGTTATGGTGCCGAAGCACTTCAACAAGCAGCCATTGACGAACAGATACAGAATGCGAAGGAGGCTCCAATCGCGGCTGCAGCCGTTGCTGCTGCTGCTCAAGGCAAGCCAGCCGCTCCTCAAGCTAATGCCGAAAATTTGCTGGACATTGATTTTGACGGTGCAGCACCTGCCTCTTCAACGGAGAAGCCACCAAACGGCATGACTGGCCTCGAAGGATTGGCAGGCACACCTCAGAGAGTGGCATCACCAGCTGTAGGCGCACCCGCTCCTCCTCAGAATAACATGGATGATCTTATGGGTGTATTCGGCGGCAATACAAACGGTAACACTGTTGCAAGTTCTTCAGGCTTTGGAGGCATGTCAGACAGTGATATTATGAATGGCTTTGCAGGCATGGATCTCAGTGCTAATCATCAACCACCACCACCTCAGCAGCAGTTGAATGGTGGGAAGAAAACGAATGAAGATTTGCTCTCGCTATTTTAAGGCGAGTAGCGTTTCCCAAACAATCTGAAGCATCCAAATGTCTGTCTTATTGCACTCGCTCTGAAAATTGGTAGGCGCAACTTCAACTTACCCTGATCGTGCCTCCCTTGCACGTGACTCGAGCTTCTTACCCACCTGCCAATACTCTGGCAGACCATGCCAACCGCGCACTGACCTTCAGGTTCTGCTTTACCTTCGTATGCCAACTTGTTTCGAGTTCTTGCTTTTTCGACGCGTGCTCGAGACGAGGCTGTACAAGCCATTATCTGGACTGTCGATAACAATTACCTATGATACTTGAACGACAACGAGTCCTGCTGATGAGTCTTCTTGAAGCCACTGATCGACCAACGAACCACATCGCCTATGCACATCATTCATAAAGACCCTACTTGCCTACTGGGTTGGATATGGACATGGTCAAAGGGCGCTACAACGAAGGAAAAGACAGGACTCTCGTCCCAAAGCCACACGTGGAGGGTTAATTGACAGGACGAGGAAGAGCAGGACAGCGTCTGCTCTTCACACGTCGTTTCAAGAGGAATGGCCAGGCTAGGTACAGCTCACCAGGACCGGGCAGGTGGCGTTCGAGTCAACAGCCCTGGTGGTGTGAGACTCTGATCATTGATCGTCTGCTATCGTCCTGCTTTGCCTTCACTTCGTTATCAAGTGAAGACCTCGGCTCCTGCTTAGGTACATATACCGCCTCCAAAACCTAGTCTAAGTCATCCTTCATCAACTCTTTGTGTCATCCAGTTTACGACTTCAAGCAAGCACATTCTTCGTTCGTCCACAATAACATGGAGCAGACACCCGAGAGTCCGTGTTGCACAAAGAACCAAGTTATGTTGCACGACGCGACACTAGCGGAGGCTCAGAAGAAGTACGCTTTATCTGCTATGCTCAACTAGTGCTTACAAATTGCAGGCTCTTACGAGAACCGAGATACACTGATCTCACTGTAATTTGTCGGGACAGAGTGTGGAAATGTTCAAAGTCGATACTTTGCCATAGATGTGAATTCTTCAGTGCAGCATGTAATGGTCCTTTCCAGGTATGCTATCCTCTTCGTGTATCTTGCAGCACTTTACAAATGACGAAGAGCAACTACTAATATAAGCAGGAAGCTGCCAACAACACCATCGACCTACCCGAGGATGAACCTGACGCGGTCGACGTTATGCTTGTCTTTTTGTATACTCTACAGAAACCTAACTTTGATGACAAGGTTCTTTACCCAGAAAGAATGAGCACTGCAGCGAAGGTTCATCAAATTGCAGACAAATACAACATCGTTGTGCTCCGCGAAGTCGCCAAAGACTACATGCTCGATCGAATTCGCAGCGAGCTATGTAGCTGGTACTCAATGCCTATGGCCGCTCAAAATGATTGGGTTCCTTGGATAAGAATTCTATGGATGTGGGAAGGCACAGACTACAGCGAAATACAAGAAACACTTGTCGATGCACTAGTCAAGACATCCCGAGCTATTGTCGACCATCCTCACTTTCAAGTACTTTTACAACAGTATCAAGCCTTTAACCTAGCCTTCATCAAAGCATTGACTAGTGTCACTCAGGAGCCATGCTCGCGCGTCTTACGAACCTCGCCGAAGAGAATAAGAGGAAGATGAAGTGGTCACGAAAGAATCTGTTCATGCGTGGAATATCTTGCTGTACTGATACTTGTAAAGTAAGAGAGCTACGGTGGGAAGTGGGGGAACAGCAAGACCATTGACAGCAGATTAGGAGTGAATGTCAAGATACAATGTCGAAGACGATAATACCAGTGTACGTGGGAGTCTTTATAACATGGAGAGATAGTTAGCTAGAATTAGTGCACAGCATATATTTGAGCTAGGAAGAAGAGCATTGGAATATGGCAGAACAATGTTGTACAAGACACCATCATATTCTTTGCTAGCTGCACAGTCAGCATGCATTTCTCGTGACTCCTTGAACCACTGCACGTGATTTTTCAAGCCTGATCTACGTATAGATGGTATCGTGTACACATATCACGCTCTTGAATGGCAGATTGGACTGACCGACTTGGTGTGCTCGAGTATTCATTCTCAAGGTTCTACTCCTTAATGCCGTTCATAGAATTGCTCACAGGTGGACACTCGCAAGTTTCTCTGGTCTAGCATTATGCAGCGCGGAATCAACGGAAAGGCAGGAATGGTTGAACAAGATTACATGGTCTCAAAGAAGGCTGTTTGTGACAAGAGATTGAGCTAGCTCAAGCCTCGCGATTGATCGATTCGTTTCTGCAATTATGCTTGTACAGTTGATTAAGGGAATAGGGGTTGACTTACTTTGAAGACTTTTTCCCTGACACCTTGGCCTGCCTTTTAGGTCTTACAGCTCTCAAGAGGTACTGGGTTTTTGTGACTAGTGCGTGTTGGGTGTTAGGAAGTTTTGTTAGCAGTTAATCTCACAAATTTGGTGGTGGCTCACTGACCTACTCCTTGCCTTTGCCCTTCTCTCCGACCTTGACCCTCTTGCGCTTAGGCAGAGGCTCTCCAGGAACAAGATCTCCGCTTCGGTTGTGAACCCGGCCGATAGTCTCTCGCTCGCCGCGGTCCTTCTCTGCCTGTCGCTTCTCAGTCTGAGCTCGCCAGGTGCCATCACCGGACGCTTTGGCTCGGCCGGTCTCTGTGGCTCGTAGACCCCGGAAATCCTTGTACTCATCTGTCGCGTCGGGGACGCAGCAGATGGCGGCAGGGAATACGACCTCGCTCTTTCCTGCGGCATTGAGAGCTTCAATGGTACGCTGCCTGACCACGCATTCTGTGCAGAGGCCATTTGGCAGGCGTACACAGGTCCACTTCTTGTCTTGGCAAGGGAAGCAGGACTTCTGTCGCTCTGGACGCTTGTGTGGATTGTCAGGTTTCTTGTTGTTGGCAGTGGTTGGCGCAGGTCGGAGTGGTATGGAGGTCGGGGCTACAGAAACCGGTTGGAAGGCGTCAGCCCAGTTGGTTACTTCATAGTCATACACCAGGTCGACGGATCCTGTTTCGTTAGCTGAATTCACGCCTCGATAGAGTCGCGCTTCTAAGTCTGGCTGGCCAGTCTGTTGCTGCAAAGCATGTGAGGATTGGCCATAACTCACCTGGTTTTGCCCATTTTGCTGCAGGTAGAGGCTTTCGTAATGCATGGATTGGGGGCTTCGGACTTCACGGGTGGCAGGCAAGGACATTAGACTGTTGTTGCGACTCTCGTCCTCATCGAAAGTGTTTTCCAGCAAAGCGAGCAACTCAGTAGCATTGTACGCCTCTTGCTCTTCGGTTTGTTGTGCCGAGTCTTGAAGCAGCTCAGTATAACGGTTTAGCCAGACGTCGTTAGTCTCACCGTTTAGGTCGGGTGTCTCGCTCAAGATTATTGAATCGAGAGGTGCGTTGAAATCGTATGCCAGAGCAGGCTCCAGCGTCTCATGCTCTATGATGGAATGTACTTCGGCATCGACTTGCATAGGCGGGTCGCTTGGTGATTGAGTGCTTTGCATACTGGCGAGTGCAAGTCGAAGGTTGTTTTCGTCTTGGTCCATACTGTTGTGTGTGTACTGTTAGTTTTGCAACACTAATTCTGTCCTATGCTACTCTGAAAGTGAGGAAGGACGAATCGAATATATCTGTATGTTTGGCATGCGGTCCTGCCATACTCTGCCAGTACGTTATCCGAAAGTTGACTTCATTTCCATACCTGTCGGTCTCAGGCTTTGTCGTCTATAACAACGGTCTTGGTTTTTCGTACACAACGACATTGTGGGAGGGGCACTTTTACAATACTGAGATTGTACTCCATTGTGCCCGACCTTGAGTGAGGTCGGAATCACGAGCAGATAGGGCAGGAGCAAGGGAACGCTGCCCTCCCCTGTACTCGTGTTGAGAGATAGGGTTTAGAGACGAGCAATGGCAAAAGAAAAATTACCAAACCACAGAAGCAAATGTTGTGCCGTCAGCCCATTCGAACATAAGAAGAAGTGCTCTATTGTCATCGACCTGGTCGTGTTTTGAAGACTTGCCGTCAAGGTGGAGAGCAGGAGGCAGCTAGACGCGTAGAGGCGCGATGGGCATGCAGAGAAGCGTGAGCGCATGCAAGCTGATCCTTGAATGAAAGCCCAGACCGCACTCGTGGCCAAGACATGATCTATGAACCGCGAGATGAGTGCCGTTATGATTGACAGGACGTTATCTCTATTGTAATGGGACTTGGCCTAGCAGAAGTCTCAGTGGCAGACAGAGAATGGTAGGATGAATGGACTGGACGATCTGGGTATATAGCAACTAGCTCTGTGACAGCGGAAGGCATAGGTTCTGGGATTAGCTGCATCGAGGCCATTCACGTGTTGAGTTGAGCTCGATGAGAAGAATATTGCAAGGGCACAAGTGTTGATACCACTGTAGCAGTGAAGTCCACGTGTTCACGTGGTGTTTTACATGCCTCTCAGCAGGGAGGCTCAGGGAGCCTCTCAACGCATATTCACCGTCGGCAGAATCGTCTACCGTAACAATTGGTGGCGAGGCGCTTATTCGCGGAACGCTTTCGAGAATACTACGTGCAGTGCATCATATGCTCGTTCTTACGACCTTTCTGACTGGTGCTGACTAGACCTTAGTATTGGGAAATCTAGTGCAGGCATATTGTCTTCCCTACAGGCTTCCCGTGCATTTTATATTCCTCCAACTCCGATTGCTCACTAGGAGTAGTACCAGCCTGAGTGATTGAGAAAATCAGTGTAATTGTTCAATCTTTCTGGGTCGTTGGAAGAAGAGGAAAGGATAAGACGAGAACCTGATAAGCAAGCAAAATGGCGGACGCTGCGCCAGCACCATCCCCTCGTCCCTACAACCATGGCATCCGGGCCACCATTACCGAACAGATCGGAAACACACCCTTGGTTCGCCTGAATAAGATTCCACAGTCTCTGGGTATGGAGTGTACTGTACTGGCAAAATGTGAGTACTTCAATGCTGGTGGTAGTGTCAAGGATCGGATCGCTTTAAGGATGATTGAAGAGGCAGAGAAGAGTGGAAGGATAAAGCCGGGAGATACACTCATTGAGCCAACAAGTGGAAACACTGGCATCGGTTTGGCTCTGGTCGCAGCAGTCAAAGGTTACAAGACAATCATTACTTTGCCTGAGAAGATGTCAGCCGAGAAAGTGTCTGTTCTGAAGGCCTTGAACGCAACAATCATACGAACACCTACACAAGCAGCATTCGACAGTCCCGAGTCGCATATCGGTGTTGCAAAGAAGTTGCAGAAAGAGGTCCCAAATGCTCATATTCTAGATCAATATGGGAATCTCGACAATCCCTTGGCCCATGAGCTTGGCACTGCTGAGGAGATATGGTCACAATCAGAAGGCACTGTTACTGCAGTCATTGCAGGTGCCGGCACAGGTGGCACGATTACTGGTCTTGCACGTGGTTTGCAGAAGCACAAAAAGGATATCAAAGTTATCGCAGCTGATCCTCAGGGTTCCATCCTTGCTCTTCCATCGATGCTGAACGACGACCACATGAATACTGCTTACAAGGTCGAAGGTATTGGCTACGATTTCATTCCAGATGTTCTTGACCAGAAAATTGTCGATAAATGGTATAAGACTGACGATCGAGACTCCTTCCATTTTGCTCGACGTCTAATCGCGGAAGAGGGTCTTTTGGTTGGTGGTTCGTCTGGCTCGGCCATTGCAGCCCTGGTTAAAGCAGCCAGAGACCCTGATATTCACTTTACCAAAGACGATGTTGTCGTAGTAATCTTACCTGACAGTATTCGTTCTTACCTCTCCAAGTTCATTGATGACGACTGGCTCGTTGCAAACGATCTTCTACCTCCAACACCACCTCCTGAACCAAGCTCACCCACTACAGAGAAGAAACAGAAAGCAGATGATCCATTCAAAGGTGCAACTGTACGGTCTCTACGCCTCAAGCCCATACAATCCATTCCCAGCGATCAGCCCTGCAGCTCGGCCATAGAGATCATGCGTGAGAAGGGCTACGACCAGCTACCTGTCCTTGGCCCTTCACCTTCCAAACGTCTTGTCGGCCTGGTTACGCTTGGCAACCTTCTCTCTCGTATCAGTCACGGTCGTGCAACAGGAAAATCCTCAGTACACGATGTCATGTTCGATTTTACCAAAATTGATGAGGTCATCACAAACCCGCAGGACGTTGAAAACATGGGTCTCGAGGCAGGTATCACCAACAGTGTGGCTGAGGAAAGTCATGGCATGACCGAGCAGAAAGATGAATCTCGAAAGAACAAAAAGAATCAAGGAAGACGTTTCGTGGAGATCACTATGGATACACCTCTAGTGGCCTTGAATCGCTTCTTTCAATGGCAAAGTGCGGCAATCGTGACGGAACGTGACGGCGACAAGAAGGATGGACCGCTGAAACCAGTCGCCGTCGTTACCAAGGTCGACTTGTTGACATGGATGTTGAAGGAGGATAGATGAACATCCACTTACTGAATGCAACCTTGAAAACATCAATCACTACTCTCAAAAGCTCGAGATACGAGATACCACAACGATGCGTTACACGAGCCACGTCGTTAGCATAGTGCACAACAGTCCAGTTATCCATAACACCATACCAGCACGAACAGCGATCTTATCGTCAGGCACCTGCGGATCGCAAACCCAGCAGTACCAAGGATCAGTTGCGTGATCAGCATTTCTGGTCAGAACGGCATGACGGCGAGTCGGTGCAAGTTCACCTGGCGGCACACACAGTCTTTGAGGGCGGATCGAGTATAGCTCTGCAAATACATCTAGTAGACGCGTCAGCGTGTTAGGAAAACAAACAAATTTCAAGGAGCACCAACATGGTCACGGAGGGCATCATGCTGACAAGGAGGAAGAAGTTGACAATGAGGACGAAACGCAGCAATTCACCGCACCGAAGTGGGACGCAGAATGGAGGGAGCATTGAGGAAGCAGAAGGCCAAGAAGTGAAAGGGTTAACGAAAAGGACAGAATGCAAGTTAGCATCATGTTCGCCGTGGCCATGAAGTTCTGGACGCAGCTTTTACTAGACCAGCTGCTTGAATGCATACTGGTGGTATGCTGAAGTTCTAATAAATTCAACGAATGAGCTGAGCGACATGATAGAATAGGGCTGGCAAACGTTTACTTTGATTGCCTATAAATAGCATTTGACTTGTCATCGCAAGCACGGTTATATTGCTATGTACAATTGATGAGCGACAAATAATGTCCGAGCATATTTATTTCCGAAACAAAGAATGGTATGCCTATAGATAACTTTAATGTTATTCTCGAAGCTTCAGCCAGGCATCACTATAGTGCTTGCATGGTCTTGGCGAAATTGAGCACTGACCTCATGAGCTCTAATGCTTGCCTCTGCTTCACATTGCAGGTGCGACATGTCTGTAGACGAAGAAGACGATGACACTAACCTGAATCTTTTCAGGGACTGCCTGTTCTCGACTATCTTGGAGAAATCAAATCCGCGTCAGCAGAAGCAGAAGAAGACACGAGTAAGGACTTCTGCTGGGTCGAACTCTAGCATCGAAAGCTCGAAAGATGTTACCACTACAACCGATCCTGCTCAGCTCGTGGACTTTTCAGATTACCTAGCGAGCGAGATCTTCCCAAGTCTACCGAGAGACTTGCAAAGGATCTCACATCGAGCCCTCCAAGAAAATGCCGCCTTGTCTGAGAAGTGGTCTTTGCCCCTTTCTCTGAGCACGTATGAGGAAATCATTGAGCTTGTACCCCCATCTGTCAACGATAGTCTCGAGGCATATGAGCTGGTCAAACCACCTCAAACTGACTTACAGTCGTTCTTGTCACCTGCAATCGTGGCTTATCTGACAGCGGCCGCAGCTGCTCCGCCAAAATGGGCCGAGACGAAAGTGACAGCATGTGAGATATGTGATCGTGACTGGGTACCTATGACTTATCACCATCTCATTCCGAAAGCTGTGCATGCAAAGGTACAGAAACGTGGCTGGCATGAAGAGTCACAATTGAACAGTGTGGCTTGGCTTTGCCGAGCATGTCACACTTTTGTGCATCGCATGGCGTCTAACGAAGAGCTTGCGAAAGAGTGGTTCACTGTCGAGAGAATCTGTGAAAGGGACGATGTACAAAAATGGGCAAACTGGGTGCGGAAAGTGCGATGGAAGAAGAATTGACCTGGAAGGCACTATGCCGTGCTGGCGACGTCTTCATTGTGGTTCTGAATTCTGGAAAAGATATGGAAGTACTTCCTACTTCCACGACATCCGGCCATCCTTGTTGATGCGACAGCAGAACTTTGTCACTGACTAGCTATGTTTTCAACAACATCACGCAGGCTATTCTCCAGCTATATTTATTTATTAACCTTTTCACTTATCCGACCTTGTCACGATGATCCAAACGCTCCATGGCTTAGAGTGACGAACAACGGCTTTTTTCCTATTGTTTCTACAACACATACAGCAGATTCGATCTTGGGATTTCACTGCCGCGACAAACAAAGGCGCACATCATCAACTCTTTCTTCTTGATGTTGTTGCTTTTTCGGGAACACACCACAGAGTTTCCCTGGTACTGTTACAAATTTGACGACCAACTCGAGTGCGACAGCTTGCCACATCTGCTCATAATCAGGATCTCGTCACAATGCCTCCAACTCTAGCCAGTATCAGAGAGGCTAGCTCTCGTGGAAGGAAGCGGCAAAATGCAGACACGAATGGTGAACAGCCACGGAGGGGAAATTCAAGTCAAAGAGGTAACTCAAGAGGACGCGCCAGTGGGGGCAGGGGAAGAAGTAGAGCACGTGGTGGCGGACGTGGACGAGGCCGTGGAAACAGTAACCACCACAACAATGTCGATTTTCGACCAACGAAGAGACCTAGACTCGAAGTGGACGATGAGGAGTTCTCGGAAGACGATTCGCCATTATGGAATCACGCAGATGAGAGGGACAACCACGGAGGCCCATCACATTCCGTCGACGAGATGTTCCAGGTATCACAACGACACGTCCAGGAAGACGACGTCTTGGAGCAGTGGTACAAAGATCCCTTCGAGCGATTCGAACCTGAAGGACCGGCTTACGACCAGTTGCGACAGCAGAATATCTATAGAGGTCTCCGAAGTCAAGGTTATCAGGTGAGAAAAGCAAAAGACCTCACTGATTGGATAATGAAGTGCAACGGCCAGTACACAAGATATAAGGACGAAGAAGAGCGTAAGGACGAAAGACTAGCCCAGCTCAAGATGTCCAGTTCGACAACAACGAAGCAGGGCCGGACGCCATCACTTACAGCTTCGGTCCACGAACCAGTAGCTGATACTCACATGTCGGAAGAAGAGAACTTTTCTGAAAATGAAGCCGAAGACAGAGACATGGTTGAAGATGATTATATCTCTTCTTTGCTCAAGGAAGCCGAACATATTCCGCAACTGTTTGCAAGGGACGAGTCCACGGAGCAGAATGCGGATGCGGAACAGAGAGACGACTGGACTGCCGAAGTTGTATCCGACTGGAAGAGTCTGTCATACGCACAACGAATTCAGGTTCTCAAGCACAGATTGAGAATTTTTGACATGGTCTATGGCACGCATGGACTGAAAGACAGGGCAGAGATCTATGACATCAACTACTCGTCCTGCCAAACAGTACTTCCAAGGAGCGAATTTAAGCGATTGAAAACCACAGATCTTTACTACGAAACTAACAAGGAACACCAATATCGCCGCTACAGGACCCAGGGTCACCGCCTGTCGCAGGAAATAACCCTTGCACCAGGATCACTTGCTCTTGAGAACCACCTCATCACCCTTGAAGCGCTAGAGGCAGACGGTAGTGATCGAGAGGATCATGATGATGAGAGTAACGATGATAATCACAACGATGAACGCCTCGACGGAGCTCTTGCCGATGAGGCTGAGGAGGAGGATAAAGGGTTCGAGGATGTCGACTTCGATGAAGATTCGGAAGAAGAAATCGACGGTTATCAGCAACTCAACTCTCGTAAGGATCGCGACGATCCGATCGACGAGCCCAAGGAGCTGGTCACATTGGAGCACGATCAGACCACTCCACATGATGTGAGCGTGCTCACGGAAGACCCTACATTTGGTCTATCCGGTGTTGGCATCACCACAACCAGCCAAAAAGGCATCCAAGTGTATGACAGTCAACTCGCTAACTGCAGACGCTGCATACTGATCCTGGAGGCTGAGCTTACACGAAGAAAACGTCAAGCACGTCAGCTTAGTCAAGGCTACGAGCTCGAGGAAGAGCCGGAGCAGATTGCTAGTAGCTTCACTGCGCTTGAGCCAAACGAATTACTCCAGCAACTTGAATATTACAGAGACCAGGTCGCCACCATCAACAAGCTGGAGGGTGACATCATCCGCAGCAAGCTGGAGGAGAACCACTTCGCGTGGGAGCTGCCTCATACTGTCAGGGATAAGATGATGCATCAATGGCCAGACCTGCGAGTGTACGTCGAGATACCAAGGGACTCTAGAGCTGATGCTGAACGCCCATCAGAATCAAGAAAAAGAAAGGAATCTGTCATAAACAGCGAAGCTCGTCCTCGTCTAGAAACACGTCCGCAAAAGAAGAGAGCCAGAGACGACTCGGAGGTCTATGGGGACACGAGACAACAACGCCCTGCGTCCAAAAAGCAGAAGATAACCAATATACGACAACTGGCAGATCGCGAGCAGCATTTGCCTGCAGAGCTTTCAGCGGGAGATGACCAGGATACGGTTGACCTTGGAAGCAACCATGATACGCAGGGAGCTAGACGGAAGAAAGCGAAAAGGCTCAGACAGCCACGAAAGTTCAAAGTTCTTCGGCAAGATGATGATCAAGATACTACGGAGAGCTCTCCTACCACAGTGAAAGGCAGGAGCAAGAAGAACAAGCTGAAGGCGAGGGTCTTCACGGAGGCAGAGGCTGCTATGCAGCAAGCCATGATGGGCGAGAGGGATCCCGATGCAGGGCTAGGGGATTACAGAAAGGATGAGCAGGGGCTATGGGTTAAAGACGCATGAAGATATCATGTGAGCCGATGATTATCATATAGAGCTTTGGAAATGACTTGGCATGAGAACTGTGCAAATACTTGGAGAATGACCAACTGTAGAAATCAGAATAATCAGACAGCCGGGAAACGATCCTCTGGAGACATGAAGATCAACTCTTCTCAGGACAATTGCTGCTTCACCTCTCTTTCCAGTCAAAACGTGCTAAGAGTAGAAGGAGAGTGCATTTCTTTTAGTTCAATTTTGTGAGATAATAGTCGCTCAATAGTGCTGCGGTGTCGTCATTTCGCACCTACTGTAGGTTTTCAGACCATCTGACAAATCTCCCCACAGTTTTGAAGCGCAAATAGTGGTGAATGCAATGCTTGCTGGCTATTGTCTTCGTATTTGAACGTGGTAAAAGTTGTCTACGACTATTCGGACTCCCAGCACGAGCAATATGACCAACAAGACAATACTGGCGTTCGATCTCTACGGAACGCTGCTTTCGACACATTCAATCGCAACGACGCTCGCGAAACACTATGGACAAGACATGGCTGAGTCAATAGCCACATTGTGGCGTCGGTATCAGATTGAATACACTTTCAGGCTGAACTCGATGAGTAAGCAGTAACGTCGCAAAGTGGTTTGCTGAATCTGCTAAATCGTACGGTAGAACAATATCAGGACTTTGAGGAAGTAACCAGAAAGTCTCTTCTGCATACTCTGGCCGAATATCGTCTCAGCATGGAGATAAATGATATTGAGGAGGTAATGCAGGCGTACGACAGCCTATCAACCTTCAAAGATGTAGTGCCGGCATTGGAAGAGCTTCGAAACCTGGACAATGTTGAATGTGTCGTGTTCTCGAATGGCACCAAAAAGATGATCACTAATTCTGTTAACGGATCGTCGCAGTTATCAGATTGTAGCAATGTCTTTTCTCAACTCGTGTCTATTGACCATATCCGAAGCTTTAAGCCCGCGCCTGAGGTATACAAATATCTTGCCCACTGTGTTCGCATGGCAGGCCGGGAATCAGAGGTCTGGTTGGTATCAGGAAACCCATTCGATGTGGTCGGCGCTAGATCGGTTGGTCTCAACGCAGCTTGGGTTGACAGGAGTTCTCAAGGATGGCAAGATCGCCTAGGGCCTGAGCCGACTAAGATCATACACGGTCTAGGTGAGCTAGTGGATATGTTCAAACAATGACCATGGATGCACGAGCGTACTCTGATTCCGAGTCTCGTTGCTAGCGATTGGCGTTATTGGCTGTATTGTCAAGGACGACTCTCTTAATGTGCTTCAAACAGGCTCATCTTCATATCTCTCATTCGGTTGAATTGTTGCGCCTTGTGTCAACGTCCTTTCTTTTTCCAATTTGGCAGCCCATAGACCACTACCAGCAGCTGAGGTGAGAAGAAAGAGCATGCTCAGGCCGGGCACGAGCTGCAATGACAGGTGAACAGCGCCGAACCAGGTGTATTTAAGCTTTCTCTTGCTAACTTCCTTCTTCTGCTCCTTCTTGGACAACCCCTGAAGCTTGTAAAGACGATAGTGAGCCAGGCTTCCAGCGTAGAAGCCGTTGACAATTAGGAAGAAGAGGATGCCGACTATCGGAATGAAACTCAATGGAAGGGTAACGACGAAGAGAGCAATCTGGCGAAAGCTGAAAGGAGAATAGACGCTGGAGATGGTAGGCTTTCCCAGAGACTTGACAGAATTCGGAGCTGTTTCATCCAACAGTCTTCCTCGACTGACCAGCTCTTGACAGCCTTGATCTACCAACACTGCGTCAAATGTATCTACCAGGGTTTCGTCGACAAAGAAAGCTTCAAACAGCAAGGCAATCACCGCTGAGCCAGCACCGAGAATGAGGAAAGCTCCGTTTATCCAGGCTGTAGGGCCATGCCAGATAGCCAAGAAGGCGACGATTGGGAGGTATGCGAAGGTGAAGAGGATGCCATAAATGACGAACGACAACAAAGTAACGGGTATCAGTCGACTCCTGAACAGAGGGTAATAACGAGTATGTCCTAGAAAGTAGAAGATGCCCTAAAGCTGTCTCAGTCTACGAACGTTCTGCTGCCTGTGTATGCACTGACCTTGATCGGGTAGAGCCACGATGCACCGCCGACGAGCTTGACGGGATTCAGAGACGGCATTGCTTAAACAGACACAGAAGAGCGCTATTGTCAGTGCATCACAAAGGAAATCTGTACAAGAGGACGAAAGCTGGTTTACAAGGACTGCTCCCAAAATCGAGTTGCCTGCGAGTCTCGCGCCTGCCATGTGGACGCACGTCATGCTGTGGGCCAAATTGGGACTGGTTGCAAATGTGGAGATCGCGACGAAGTCTTGAAATCTTACTGCCACACCTCGCGGTCGTGCTTTCTTTTCTACCAAAACTGACCTCCCCCGTATTCACTCTGATCCGTCCATTATCAATGATGGTTAAGAGGGGAAATCGGGGGACAGATTGACTTACAGTCCAACTTACCTCGATTCCTTCAACCAGAAATATGGAGGCTTCGTAAATTTTCAGGACTAACAACGAATTTGCAACTACCCTCGATGTACGGTATCAAAGTCGAAGCATAATTTGGTCAAAGTATCGGGGCCTGATATTGCCTGTATGCCCACGTAAACCAATATGCATGGTCATTGGGAGATCTTGCTTCTGCGCAAACGATGAGCTGAAAACCAAAGATCAGCTATACTATTCAAATTGTACCATCCGTTCTCAGGCATCCAAAGTGTAGACTGAAACGCTGTATGCAAATTCCGGAAATCACTATATGGCCACTTTCTTTGACTTATGTAGCCTTGAAGATTGTACCTATCATTCACAAATGCTCATAGCTCAGCCCAAAGATTCGTATGAATTACTGATCTGCGCTCCTGCCGCACTTTTAGTGAACCTCTACGCGAAGTCACGCGAAGTCACGCGACGGCACGTCATCTGACCTCGACCACAGCTTTTCTCTTCACAACTTCGCGTCTCAGGTAAAACTCCGGACCGCAATTCCACCGACAGCCATAATCAAAGGCCAGCAGTGACCTAACAATGGCTGATTCCGGCAGTGGTCCTGTTCCTTCGGTCTATCCAGACTTTGAGGGACCATATCGCTACGAGGATGCGCCGCCAGTGGCAGCACCGCCTCCAGCCCAACAAATTGCTTACCAAGAGCAAGGTCAACCAGCCACACCACTGACGCCCGCGACACCAACCACTACAACCAAATCAAAAGGTAATGGAGAGGTCAAGCCCCGTCTTAGAAAGGCCTGCGATAGTTGTAGTGTGAGGAAAGTCAAGTGCGATGAAAGTGGTCCACCATGCAAGTCATGTGCAAGGTCAGTTCATCTAGCAGCGAGCTCAACTCAACACTAACCATGACAGTCTCGATATCCCATGCACGTTCAACAGACCAAGCCGACGAAGAGGCCCTCCGAATAGACATGCAGAGGCTGTTAAGCGCCAAAGACTGCTTGACGATGGTAGCTATAATTCGGTCGAAGTTGCATCGCCTACAGCCGAAGCAGCTTATGGTCTGGCTGCGCTCTCTGCACCCATGTCAACACAACTTTCAGCCGAGACGATCTGTGACATTGCTACGTTGAACGTGCTCATTGATGACTACTTCACCTACATCCACCCTCTGATACCTATTCCGCACGAACCCACCTTTCGAGAACAGTTTGCCAGACGTGAGGATCAGACGAACAAGAGCTTCCTAGCATTGGTTGCTGGGATGATCGAGTGCTTGGTAACCTCTTTCCCCCGAAGAGTCAAGCAGGTCTTCGTGACACCTGAGGCGAGGGCCATGTTCCCCAATGCTAGCGTCCTTATTGGACGCTGTCATTTTGTCTTCTCGGAAGCACGAGGCAAAGGCTTCCTTGACCGAGAGGACCTCAACCTCTACGATGCATGTGGAAGCTATCTAGCTGGCTTGTCTCTCGCTTACATGTACGACCTACGCAGATGGCGTCTTTACTGCAGTGAATGTGTCATAATCTTGCGGACACTCAACTACCAGAAAGCAGATGATCATACCCTGCAGCAGACTCCGGGTGAGCACATCGACTATGTCGAACAACAGAGTGGTCGCAGGCTGTTCTGGCTATGTTTTGTTGGTTCCATGACCGTGCGACAACTCGGCAGCTCAGACTCTGACGTGATCATGCCTCATGCACACTCTGACGCTCTGCCGCCATTACCAGTTGAGGTTGACGACAAGTACATTGTTCCAAATGCTATCCTCGGCCAACCACAAGGTGAAATTTCGAGACTTGTGGGGTTCAACTACAACATCAAGATCTATAGAGCATTCCATGCCATTACCGCCATCGAAATGGCTGTCGGCGCCAATAGATTGTTTGACTGGGAACGTCAACGCGCAGCCATTCGAAACGCTCTTCGAAATGTAAAGGCCATCACAAGAGATGTCCCATCAGAACTGCGACTCGAGCAACGACCTGATCTTGGCGAATGGCCACCCCGTCAACCTCAATCAGATCTTGCTCAATACACCCACCTACTCAATGGGCGGCGCGATCCTACTGCTGACCAGCTTGGCCTTCTCCCAGCTAGCGACCCACGGCGGACCATGTCATACCCTCGACGGACTGTGCAGTTCGAGGTCCAGAAGGCGAACATTTACGGCTCCCAGCTTGCGACACGGTCTTATCTCGTGGAACGATACTGGAACCTATATGAGATCTACCAGCAACAAAAAGTCAGCACGGCTTCGCCTCAGACGACTTACAAGGTAGAGGAACCACAAAACCCACAAGTTTCTCCTACTGTGGCCTTTTTAGCTACAGGCTTCGAGTCTCGCTTCCAACCACCACGAACGGATCACACCCCGAGCGAGTCCGCGGCAACTGACGATGGCGAAACTCAAATGGCTCTAGAACGGGAAGATATTGTCAGAGATATGGCACGCTTGCTCAAGGCTGTCAACCAAGTCAACATGGAACCAAATGGTCATTCATTTGTAAGTCACCCAGCTCTGCCCCGAGCATATCAAACTTTGCTAACCATTTGATTTGCAGTGCGACAAAATACGCCAGGTTGCCTCTACTCTTCTATATCAAGATCGTAGCCCCGTCAGCAGCATGAACCTCGATGCTGGTGAGGTTCAAGAGTACCTGAGAGGCTTTATTGACATCCTCTCCAAGCTCGAGCGTATCGGAACTTCACTCATGCACGGCGGCGAGCCTGCGCAGAGTGGCAATCAGTACATGCAAGGGCAACCGATGCCTCAAGGCCAAATTCAGCTGGCGGGTATTCAAGCATATGCTGGCAAAACACAAGAAGAGATTGAGGAAGAGGAGCTGGTACAGTGGGCGAGTTTGAAAGAACACCAGGAGCGTTTCGTGATGAAGCATGAGGGTTACTTGGCGCTATAGTGAGGCATTATCCTTTACTTTGGAATATGCCCGCCCATGTATGATACTCGAAGCCCACTTTAAGAAGCATGTAACATTTGAATAAACGGACTTTGACACGACCTGAAAATGACAGGCATTTGCGCAAGCTGTCCAGGAGTGAGATATAGGTTGATGTCTGTATGCATACCTTGTGAGCAATGATGTTCATAATACTATGGTTTGATATCTCTGATCGTGCTTGTTCTGCCATCAATACGAACGTCTGTTGGATTTTTAAACATCGGTCCTGCATCTTTGAGGTGACTTTGCCGTATGGCCTCGTGAACATCAGACGTAATAACGGCCGTATTCATTATTACTCGATGCTGACCACTCCTGAAATGTGATGCCTCAGGCTCAGTCTGCGAAATTATTTTCTGTATCAATATCTTGCACTTTATCATTCACCTTTCGTTTCACCTCACAAGGGTTTGCTAAACAGTTAAAAACCTATTAACAATGTCGACCACCTCAAAGGTCGTGCCCTCTCCCGAGGGTTTCAAAGCCTCAGACGACAGCAACCCAAACTTCCGCTCCGTGTCATCCTTGAGCAATGGAGTGATGCGAACCATCGAGCCTGTTGGCCCTGCCTTCATGGCCTTTGCACGCCGCAAGCGCCTAGGTCGTACCTTCTCTGAAGACGAACGCATTCAGCAACAATCCAAGGCCAAGAAGGTCGAGGAGGACGACGATGGCGAGATCAGCGAGCCTGAAGATCCTCTGATGCTCGCTCGCGACCCCAAGGACTGGCGAGGTCAGGACCACTATGCTGTCCTCGGTTTATCGAAGTACAGATGGCGGGCCACAGACGACCAGATCAAACGAGCCCACCGAAAGAAGGTGCTCAAGCACCATCCTGACAAGAAAGCGGCTGCTGGCGAGGATGATGCCGATGGCTTCTTCAAGTGTATCCAGAAAGCCCACGAGACCCTCACCGACCCGGCCCGACGCAGGCAATTTGACAGTGTAGATGAGGCTGCGGACGTGCTGCCTCCCAGCAAGAAAGACATTCAAAAACCAGGTGCATTCTACAAGAAATGGCGTCCTGTGTTCGAGAGTGAGGGCAGGTTCAGCAACAAGCAGCCAGTTCCCAAACTCGGCGACGACAACAGCACGAAAGAGGATGTCGAACGATTCTACGACTTCTTCTACAACTTTGACAGCTGGAGAAGCTTCGAGTACCTCGATGAGGACGTTCCAGACGACAACGCCGACCGTGACCACAAGCGACACATCGAGCGAAAGAACAATAACGCGCGCCGAAAGAGAAAGACCGAAGATACCGCGCGCCTCAGGAAACTAGTCGACGATGCACTAGGCTACGACGAGCGAATCGCTCGATTCAGGAAGCAGGAAAAGGCCAACAAGAACAAGAAGCGGGATGCTCAGGAAGCAGCAGCCAAAGCCGAAGCTGAAGCCAAGGCCAAAGCCAAGGAAGAGGAAGAAAAGCGAAAGGCCGAGGAAGATGCTAAAGCCAAAGTTGACAAGGAGCAAGGCAAGAAAGCAAAGGAAGCCGCTAAGAACGCTGCAAAGAAGAACAAGCGTGCCGTTCGTAGCAGCGTCAAGGACGTCAACTACTTTACTGCTGGTGAACCTTCTCCATCGGACATTGATAATTGCTTGAACGATGTTGACAAGGTCATTGCTAGCATTGACGTCGATGAACTTGCTGCGCTGGTGTCTCAGCTCGAAGTCGCCGGTAAGGATGGTGGTGCGGTAAAGAAGGTCTTTTCTGACAAGACGAGTGAGATGGTGGGGGCTGGGAAGCTCAAGGATTCTGAGCTGAAATACTTCAAGTGAGTGGGAGTCTTTGACAGGTACCGCACGTTTTCCAGGTATTCTAGGCTATCGTGATTACGATGATGGTTGGGATAGATAATCAATCAATGACTTCATTGTGAGCCGTTGAAATGGATTTTTGCGTTCCTCTGCAGCGTTATTGTCCTCCCATGCATCGTAATGGGTGTTTCACAACCACTGTGTTTCGATAGGTATTGATAGGACAGAATTTAGACGGTATTATCGCGTATGACCTAGGAAGATCGAGTAAGTCACCTCGAACAAGGTCAAATTCCTGGTCAGCCCTCGTTAGACTAATCAAGTGTTTGTTGTCACGGAGATAGCGAGATTGCAAGCATTCTGATGCGATGTTTGGTGCCGTTGGTTGAAGTTATGTAAGAGACCTTACGTCACACCAGCAAAATAGCGAAATGACTCGGATCACTTGAGAAGGGTGTCCACTAAAAGCAGATGTTGTTTAGGAGAAGAAACCATTGAGGATCAGGGGATGGCAAGCATGACACAGTCTCACGATCGCGGAACCGCTGCCTTGGGTCCTGTAGCTTAGTTGGGTGAAAAGTAGGTGGTTCAAGTCGAAAATCTTGACGACATTGTGGTTAGCAGCTCGGTTGTCATAGGATATGGGCAGATACTCGGGGATAGTATGCATTCCTGGTGATATGGTCGAGGAAAAGGTTCAGTAGAGAGCTTCGAACACGGAGTCTTGCGTTGTTGTATGCATAGAGACGATAGTAGGAAAGGCTCGATGCGGCCCCTAAGTGCTTATCAGATTTAGTAGGTTCGAGCTGATAGTGCCACAATATTTCATGTGCAGCAGCACAGGGTTTCTCTGCATATCAAATATTATTGACTCTGCCTGGCGAGCCTGCAGAGTGCTTCGCCAGAAAAACATCCGCCAGATAAACTCGCCAATCTTGTGCTTGGGTACAGCTTCTCTCGATCGCATGGTTGAGCAAGAAAAGGTTGAAAGAACTTTGTTCCTGTCACTGGTATATAGTACATCCCTGGCGTCACGATAACGCCCAAATCTCGTGCGAAATGTACATGGAGAGGATATTTCTAGCTGAAAATGTAGACCTTACACCGATCGCGCCAGAGAAAAGTGGTCTAGTGAGCATCGGGTTGTGCGCAAATGTAAGTTGTTGCTTGTTCGACTAGCAGGAGTCAGATCACGTTGCTTTTCGAGCCGGTCTTGATCATTCACGTACCACTGTGGATGGCGTCTGCCTCCTTGTCTGGAATTTCAATGCTGAACTCTTCTTCAATAGCCATTACCACTTCGACGGTATCAAGGGAGTCTAATCCGAGGTCATTCGCAAAATGTGCCTGGCCAGAAATCTGGACAGAAGTCAGTGGAAAAGACGCTACTGCAGTCGTCTTACGCAAGATCGTACCTTCGTTGGATCCTCGACCTGCTCATATGTTAATGTCTGGACGAGCAGCACTGTTCCTCCTCGTGACGTACCTTGTCAAAGTTCTTCAGCAGATCCATAATTCGTCCTTGCACCTCTTCCCTCGACAGGCCAGCCGGAGCAGAATAAAATCTTATGCTCGGGATGAGCAATGATGGTGTTGTCTGAGAGTTTCTGAGTAATGATGCAGCAATCTGGGGTCTAACGAGGTTGATTTGTTGTGTGAATTGCGGACGTGCGGCAACGCGAAGCGCTCGGGCGGCAGCTGCTCGGAACATGGCTGTTGTAGTGGACGAAGAGAAAGGTTGGGATGATGTGACAATTGCAATGGGAGGAGGTATACAGAAGTGGTAGGAGATACCAAGTACAATCCGTGAGCTGTGGCTCGAAAGTGCAAGCTTCGTTTCGAGGCTCCACAATCGCGATTGACCAGTAGAAGTGGAAATTTTGGCGATTTGCAAGCGGCTCCTTCTCTCCACGACGTCAAAGTGCAAGACATTCGATTGCTTATACATACGCCACAACCTCTCACTTCTCTCACCTTTCAGTGTATACAATGGCCTCGTCGCTCGTGCCAGCTTCGCGACTACTCGCACGACCAACAGTAGCCGCTGCGCTGCTGCGACAAGCTCAGCCATGGCAACAATCTCAGATCCTCCGCGCCACTTCACAGTTTCATACTTCTGCACAGCGAAATGCCCTACCAGCTGGCCCGCCACCAGCAAATTACAGACTGCCGAAGCCAAAACGCTTTGACGAGGGCGAGAGTTCGTTGAACAAGGCCAGCAAATATTTCCTGCTCATGGAGATGTTCCGAGGCATGTATGTTGTGCTGGAACAGTTCTTCAGACCACCGTAAGTCTCGAGAAATGCTAGTGACATACCTTTTTGTTGACCTTCGGCGCAGATACACAATTTACTATCCTTTCGAGAAGGGCCCAATATCACCAAGATTCCGTGGCGAACATGCTTTGCGAAGATATCCTTCTGGCGAAGAACGATGCATCGCTTGCAAGCTTTGCGAAGCTGTCTGTCCAGCATCAGCCATCACTATTGAAGCAGAAGAACGAGAAGACGGCGCAAGAAGAACAACCAGATACGATATTGATATGACAAAGTGCATTTACTGTGGTCTATGCCAGGAGAGCTGTCCGGTAGATGCCATTGTTGAAACTCCAAATGGTGAATATGCTACCGAAACAAGAGAAGAGCTTCTGTACAACAAGGAGAAGCTGCTGGCAAACGGTGACAAGTGGGAACCAGAAATCGCCGCCTGCTCTAGAGCCGATGCTCCTTATAGGTAATTTCAACTGAGCTCGGAAGAGACTCTGTGGCACGACTGTATATATTTCTTTACGTATGTGACAGTTCATTTTGCAAGCGTTTAGCATAACCAGAGTAATCAGAAGGCTCTTGGCATTTCACTTCACTACGTCTGCCTGGTGGGTCTTCCTCATCTTTCCTGACTGTGCGCACGTCTTCGTGGCCTTCAGCAGAGAAACAACGTTACTCCTGCACAAATACTTCCTACATCGATGCTTTCGAAGTTGTGACTGTATCGCAGCCTAGCTCATCGCTCTCATCGTCAACTCCGCCCTGTGATCGTTAGCCCATCATGTTCGAACACCGATAGAGAGAAGACTTACACCGCGAATGTGCCAGCCGATACAGGCATAGCTCTGACAAGTGTTGGTACAATACCTCTCCAGAACCCTCTCATTCCTCCAGTCGCCCATGTCTGTGCAAACGCATCTCTCATCGTCTTATATCTTTGTTCCGTTCCGAATCCGTCAGTCTGCATCTTCGACTTAATTACGTCGAACGGATATGAGGAGATCCAGAGCATTTCACCTGCAAGACCTCCGTACAGGGCAATCTTTGGCGTTGATATTTCCGACCTGGAAATATTGTTTCGTGCGGCGTCTGCGTTCATCAGGTACTCGAATGTCAGAAACCAGACACCGTAGGCTTGTGCTTCTCTCAGGAACGTGACGGCTGTGCCACGGTAGAGGCCTTTCAGGAGACCCCCGTGTGCAGATAGCTTCTGTACACAGTCTAGAGGTCCATTGTATAGCTTTCCTGGCCCATGTGGCTGTGCTTGTAATCTAATCCTTACGTGCTCGATTGGACTCGATAGAACTGTATTAGTGATACCAGCGAACGCGCCGGCTGCATAATATTGTGAGTAGGACAGTCCTGGCTTTCCATGTGACTTCAAATTTCGCTCTTCAAATGCTCGACGAGCATAATGAAACCCTCCGAATTGTACAGACACGCACGCGCCTATACCGATCAAAGGAGTAAGTGTGCCCTTGTAAAAAGCTAGTGGTCCTTCATTGCGGAAGATCGAAGTGGCGCATGAGAGAGCTGACGGATAGGTATTTGTTGTCTGAAGCCGTACTTTGACGATGTCTTTGTGGTTGTCATCGTGTTAGATTGTGTTCGTGTATAGTGGTAGGGCTTCTACCGGACGAACTTACCAAATGGTTGACCTGTGTAAGAACCATCAGCATAACTCCTGTCAATGACTACCCTCGCTCTTCTTCCTGCCTAGGCAAATTGTCTCCGTGGTGCACAACGTTGTGTACCTCTAGCACATGCAGCATAGAAGGTCAACGTGCCAAGCTCATGCCGGGCAGCTCTTTCTCACACATCTTGATCCTTCCACTTACCCAAAAGTACCTGCGCGATACCACCTGCCGCACCTGAGCCAAGATCCTTTCCCGTCTGTTTCCAGCTCGAATTCTGGTCCTCCAAAGTCCTGATATCTACGTCCGCCATATCTCCGTTGTCCCCACACTTGCTGAAGTTGATGTTGTCTTAGCTTCACCACTTCATGCCTGGGTAGCTTGTGGCACCGAAGGTGAGATTAAAAACGACGACAGAGATCGTAGATAGCAAAGGTCATATCACTGTGTCCAAGACAGCGCTGTCCCCAAATTTGTACTGTGAGGTGAAATTTCTTGTGAGTAAAAGAATTGAATTGCGTGATTGGCTGCTTGCCGAGCGCGACTTTCCAACAGCGGAGAATGCTCATGCAAGTAATTGCCGGTTGCATAATATCGAACGAGTTGGCTGCGGCATGTTGAATTCTCACCGATGTTATGGTACAATATGCACAACTTACACCTGGAACACGTCTTGTCGACAGTCGTCAAGCACTAGATTACTGATCATCAAGGGCACCAAGCCGTCCAACACTAGCTCCGCCATTCCAGGACTCCGTACATGGGTGTGCCTAACGATCACGATCGAGGGCGACGAATCTATAAGTGAGCTTTGAGTTCCTACATATGACCTGTTGACCTGAAGCTTGGATGGCTTCTATTCCGAAAGACACAAAGCGTCGGAGAATACGAGGGGCGGAAAGTGCCTGGCCTACTTCAACTAATTCACTTCCTGGCCACGTGGCAACCATGGGTCATATGTTCACATTTTCGAGAGACTGATCCAGGTTCGACTGATGTCTCTGCTCGTTGTTCGTTCAGGATTTTGGTCCAGTTCAAAATGTTACACTACATCATTCCGGAATTCCACAGCCAAGAGAGTTCAACCGCGATCTCATCCTTTCTCTTGCCTTGTCTCAAAAAGGAGATTCTGATGAGTGAGTATTCTCTTTATATTCTGAGTCGTCTCATGCGGTTGTGATATTGCTAGATAGCGCTATGACTTGGAAAGCTCGAGGTGTGGCATTTGGACAAGAAGATGGCAATATTAAAGTGAGGCGGAGGGCTACTTTCCTGCTCTTCTCAAAACGCTATGCAACATATTTACACGACAATCCAGTCACACAATACGAATAGCATGTAGCACTTTGTCGAATACCCAGTCCATTCTCAATTAGGAAAGCACGAAACCAAGTCCTGATGAAAAGATTCCTTCGATTTATCACCTCTCAGCTTGGCCGCCTGTCCTTCGTTGGTGGACGGAAGGGCTCTCATGTTAAACCAATCACGTCCCCATTGAGAAAGACGGCCGTTCTGGTAGATGCCCGCACGCCAATATACCTAGGTTCTTTTATTGAGCAGGTCCCGCCAGTCTCGCATGGCTGTTCGAACCTCACTGACCCGGACGTTGCGGCTTCGCACATGCCCTCAAACAATAACGTCCTCAAACCGGAGTCCTCCTTAGACGGCTATGCTATACCTTCCACCTCCAGCCGTACCGACACTACGTCGTCAGGAACCACTTCCAGAAAGTCAACTAGTTCCTCAGCTTCAACCATAAGCATCGCCAGTAGCCACACCTACGTAAATGATGGTTTTGCGTACTGTGCCGAAGTCGCCATCTGGGATCGAGATCACCAGATTGCAGCACCACATGTTCTTCAATATCTAGCTGACCACAAGCAGCTGGATATCCAACAGTACGCGGAGACTGAGAAAGAGTATCGTAACGGCGTATACCTGGACGATGCGGTATCGACAGTGACGTTGCTGTGGATCAATGCAGACGTGGCAAGGAGGATCGCAGGAATCGAGCAGATGTGCGACTATGTTTTTAGGGACAAGAGCCTCTGCCTCGAAGCAATCACGCCAGCAACATGGTGTCGTCCAGCAGTACTAGGAGATTCAGTACAGAAGACGATACTTGCTGACCAATGGAAACGAGCAACAAGCTTAGAATGCACGAACGGTAAGTCCACAACCAGCCTGCTGAAAATAACTGACGTCGTGTAGAGCTATGGACCGAGGAGCTTGCCAACAAGGTTCTTTGCAACAGAACCCTAGGAAGAAGAGGGACAGCGCTCAACCTTCTGGACTTTGCCTATTTGGGGCTATATCCAAATGACGATGAGCAGACGCAAAGATTGACTAAAGAGCAACAAGGCAACAAAGCCGGAAAAGAAGATGATGTAGCAAGTATGGTCGAAGCAATATTCGGAGCTGTGTACCAAGACTCTGGTAGCGACTGGAGACCAGTGTTCAAAGTCATGCTCAACCTGGGCATCCACCTCACAAGTCCTGAATCCACACATGCTGGGGTTCGAGCCACGATCAATCAGAGATTGCTGCAGGAGCACCTCGAGCTTGCAGGTTGTGGAGCTGGTGGCATATCTTGAGGTTGTTGGTAACGCGCATGTGGCAATCGAAAAAAGGCGTCTTGATATTCCGGTAAACGGGCATTCGTCAGCGTGGTAATCCGTCGGTTCAAAGCACACAGTAAGGACTCTTATCTCTCAAGACAAGCCAAATACAATGCCAAGTTTTGGATATAAGGCAGCCCATTCCTTGCAAGTTGCATTGCTCTTCCTCGCTGTCCACGTTCTTATTCTGGCTCGAGGCTAAAATTAACCTTAGGCCCAGTCGTGTGCAATTTCGTTCTTCTTTCCTTCTCCGACAGGCGATCTCGGTATGGTCCGCGTGTGGCCCAAGACAAGTCATCGAGTGAGGATGTTGAGCTTGAGAGAACGCACATTAATGGTGTGACAGGCCACGTCGCACAACATTGTAGCGATTGCCTTGCCTTTCGTCACACTATACCCCTGCTGAAAAGTTCCTCTCTATCCTCCAGACCTTGCACAAGCATGGGATCGTCCTGAGCACTTGGGGGAAGCTCATATGGGTCAACATACTCATCCATCGGAATAGAAGCAACTCCAGGCTTGAGGTATAATAGCAGACGATATGCACTGTTTCCATTCAGGTAATACCGGTGTAGTTTCTTGCTCCTCAAAAAGCCCAGGCTTTCGTAGAGCTTCATAGCAGCCACATTCGTCTCTTCTGTTTCCAACGCAATCTCATCTGCGTCTTTTGCGATCATGAGATCAATACCCTTGCTGACTAGTGTCCTGGCCAGGCCTTTCCCCCGATACCCTTCTTGCGTTGCCAGCATAGCGATATACCCTCTTAGCGGACCACATCGGTGCTTCTCAAGTTTGCATATCACCACTGCCACAAGATCACGATCAGGCGTACTGGTATCGATAGCAAAGAAACATAATTCTGGCCATTGGTAAAGAAAATAGCGGTAAACGTAGATGCTGTATGGCTCTGACAGATCCTTTGCGATCAACGCTCGCATCTGAGGTAGGTATTTGGGCTCAAGTGATATGTCATATTGGATATAGGCAATATCTGGAGGGCTCGTCTGAATCAGCTTGCCGATTTCCGAGGCGGGCAGATTCGTTGGCGTAGGAGTAAGAGGTCGCCGTTCCTCATCATTCATAGCGTGTCTGACAAGGCGACCATTTGAGGTCTAAGGTCGTGTTGACCAGCTTGCAATACTGGTCGACTCGTCTCGAAGATTGAACGGCACATGCAAATGTCTGCTTTTATGAGACTTTGCAGCTCGCCAATGCAGTCCCCGAAATCGTGCCTGAAGATCTTCGGCTCAGGGCAGCTTCCGGGCCTCCGTTCGCTTAGACCAACCTGCATCCGAACGGTTCCTGCCATGACGACATGGAGCATGTGAACGCGACTGGCGGACGAAGAAATTCGGAAAATTAATACGATTCAAAGAGTCGCACGACCAAAGTCTCATGGTTCCTTGAACATCTTTGGGCTGTAAAAGGCCCAGAGACGTACCTATGCCATCAACACTATGGCAGAGCTTCGTCGTCGTCTGGGACGGATGTTCGAGGACGCTCCTTCCCCATCCATCAGTCGCGAGTCGACACCTGACCCTGACCACGGGGACGAAGTCAAACTCATTTCCAAGGCAAAGCTCGAGAAGCTAGAAGAGATCACAAAGACGAAGGGAAGCAAGAAGAGGTATACATTATGGTTCTTCCTCGGAGGTCTCCTGGGCCTTTTCATCGCCTTGTACCTCGCTCAGCAGCAAGAGGTTATCAAACTCGAAGGCCTGCTAGATGTCAACCTGGACAGTTTGATGGATATCATTCCAGCAGGGATCGTGAAAGATGTCAAGGACTTGAGTAAAGCCGAACGAGATGCGGTCAACTACGACTCCTTCTCTGTTGGCTTGTATCTTCAGGCTCAAGGCGTCAAGGCGCACCACCCAGTCATTATGATACCTGGCGTCATCTCCACAGGCCTTGAATCATGGTCAACCACGGAAGAAGCAAGAGGATATTTCAGAAAGCGGTTATGGGGCTCGTGGTCCATGATGAGAGCATTAGTGCTCGATCAGGCTCAGTGGAAGAAGCACATTATGCTGGACAAGAAGACAGGCTTAGACCCTCCAGGAGTGAAACTGCGCGCTGTTCAAGGCTTTGATGCAGCTGACTTCTTTATCACAGGTTACTGGATCTGGAACAAGATCCTTGAGAATCTGGCTACCATCGGCTATGACCCTACCAATGCCTTCACTGCCGCCTACGATTGGCGTCTGACTTACATGAACCTCGAAGTAAGAGACCAGTACTTTACAAGGCTCAAGAGCTATATCGAGGTTGCAAAGAAAACCTCTGGCAAAAAGTCTGTCTTAATTTCACATTCCATGGGCGGCCAAGTGCTCTTCTACTTCATGAAGTGGGCTGAACACAAGGACTATGGTGGCGGTGGGCCAAACTGGGTTGAAGACAATATTGACTCCTGGATCAATGTCTCTGGTTGTATGCTTGGTGCTGTCAAGGATATCCCCGCCGTGTTGTCTGGAGAGATGAAAGACACAGCCCAACTGAATGCCTTTGCTGTATATGGTCTCGAGAAGTTTCTTTCCAAAGAAGACCGAGCAGAGATCTTCCGCGCTATGCCTGGCTTGTCCTCAATGCTTCCTAAAGGAGGTGAGGCTGTATGGGGTAACGCTACATGGGCTCCGGACGACCTCTACGCTAATAACTTTACCTATGGCCCCTTTATCTCCTTTAAGCCTCCACAAAATACTACTCTGACTCCTCATAAAAACCTTACCATGACGGAGAGTCTTGACTACCTTCTCGACACTAGCGAAGACTGGTACAGCGATATGATACGAAGCTCCTTCTCGCATGGTGTCGCTCACACTACTGCCGAAGTTGAGGCAAACGAAGACAAACCTACTACCTGGCTAAATCCTCTAGAGGCCAGGCTTCCACTTGCCCCCAGTCTCAAGATCTATTGCTTCTATGGTTTTGGTAAACCTACCGAGCGAGCATATTTCTACAAGGAAACAAATCGCATCACTCATCCTCTCAAAAATCGCAGAACAAATATATCAATCGATACATCTTTCATAACTGGACCACCTCCTTTCGGGACACCCGAAGTAGACCACGGTGTCATATTTGGCGAAGGCGACGGCACAGTCAACCTCTTGTCGACAGGATACATGTGCTCCAAAGGCTGGCGAAACATCACTAGGTACAATCCAGGTGGCGTCAAAATTACTACTTACGAAATGCCCCATGAACCAGACAGGTTCAGTCCACGAGGTGGTCCAAACACTGGTGACCACGTTGATATTCTTGGTCGCAGTAGTCTCAATGATCTGATCTTGAGAGTTGCTGGAGGTAAAGGACCAGATATTCAAGACAACTACCAAAGCAGAATATGGGAGGTCGCCGAACGCGTGAAGATCTACAACGACGAGCCATAGGTAGGTTGGTCAAAAGTTCTGGCATGGCTTCGCAAGCGTGTTTGACTCAGGTTGGCGTTGGGGCTCGACGAAGCGTTGTATTAATACACTAGATTTTCTTGAGGGACTACCGGCAAGATATAGGTCGTAGTCCGCATGGGATACCCTGTTAGACTATCGAAAGGCTGGGCATGGTGTTGTATAACGATGATCTTGTTTAGCATATGTTTGACACCTCGACCGACCACTGGAATAGGTGCATGCCTGGTGGCAGTGGAGACTCGAGGAATGCACATTCGGTGATGTGATTCACTTCATAACTACAATGGCATTCTGTGTATAGGCTAGGTTGATAGGGCATTTGCATATAGGTTGCGGAAGGCAGTCGTAGAACCTCTTCAAGTCCCCTAATACTGGCAGCATTCATGCCTGCTGTGGCAGTCACAGCCACAGGTCCGCATCCTCAGTACCGAGTTGTTTCAACCAAACACTACGCGAATGTATAGTCTACCCACTCTGGTCACCACTTTGAACCACGACGATGTCGACTATAGTATAGATAGAGTAGCTGTGGTCGTGTTGCCGATGTCTAGCTATGGGGGCAGTTTTCCGCCACCGACGCACTAGTCTCCTATGCTTCTACTCATGATCTCTTGCCTCCTCGGAACATTTCCTTCCTCTCGACTTGAACGATGTGAGTTGAATAACGGAAGCATGTGGCATATGCTCGGATTTCTGCTCGGCCTCTTGGTTCTGTGCTGTCCAACCACAGCAAATGCAGAACAGACAGTACTAGACTCAGCGCAAAGTCCCCAGCCTTATAGGATAGCCATCATTGGGGCAGGCGCCGCTGGATCATCGACAGCATACCATATACGGAAGTTCGCTCAACATGATGTGCCCATCAACATCACAATTTTCGAAGCAGAGAACCACATCGGTGGACGAACCACCACCATCAATGCCCTGAATGACCCCAGATACCCAGTCGAACTAGGAGCATCGATATTCGTCGAGATCAATCAGATTCTCTACAATGCCACCCGTGAGTTCGGGTTGTCAGCCACCAGCAGAGAAGATGAAGGCACTGGTTCAGCCTACGATCTTGGTGTCTGGGATGGCACAAATTTCGTCTTTACTCTATCGAACGGTGACGAAAGGTCAGGACTCAAGGGAACGCTCGACGGATGGTGGAACATGGCAAAGATTATCTGGAGATATGGGTTGAGCGCTGTTCGGCTGCAAAGTATACGTAACAGTGTCATTGGCCGATTTCTGCGAATGTACGATGATGCTTTTCCTTTCCAGGACCTTGGAGAGGTGTTGCGAGAAGTTGATCTTCTCCCAGTCACAGGGGAGACAGGTCCGGAACTTCTGAAGGCGGCAGGAGTGGGTGAGAGGTTCTCCCGCGAGGTGATTCAGGCTAGTTCTCGAGTCAATTATGCTCAGAATCTGGCGGACTTTCATGGTCTTGAGACGATGGTGTGTATGTCTACAGAAGGCGGAATGAGCGTAGAAGGTGGGAATTGGCGAATCTTCGATAGGATGGTCAAGGAAGCAGAAGCAGGTATTCATTTAGGTGCAAAAGTACATCGTGTCGAGACACTTCCTAATGGGAAATCCACAATATCATACAACAAATCCAACACACACCAAGTCGACGAAAGCGGATTCGACGTCGTCGTCCTAGCAGCACCATACAACTCCTCATGGCTGACCCTCTCACCATCTCCGTCCTGGAAACCTGGCAAAGTCGATTACGTCTCCCTCCACGTAACACTCTTCACTAGTCCCTTCCGCCCTGATCCCGCCTTCTTCGGCCTCAAGTCTGACCAAGACCACCTCGTCCCAGACACCATACTCACCACTCTCCCACTAGACACAGACCCAGACTCCCTCGGCCGAGGCGTCCATGGCGTCGGCCCCACCACGTTCTGGTCCCTCAGTACCCTAAGAACAATCAATCCCACAACAGACACGTATATTCCTCCCTCTGTATTATCTGGGCACATCCCAGCAGAGAACCTCATCTCATCAACCAACAACAATCTTACATCTCCAATATGGCCTCGTCGCGCTCCCAATGACAAGCAATATATCTACAAGATCTTCTCTCCCGCCCCCGTCACAGCCGAATACCTCATCGATCTCTTCGGGTGGTGTACTCACCCTTCTCTGCCGAAATCACTCAGGCGGGATGACTGCACAACCACCACCACCACCAACCACCACAACACGTCAAAACACCACTCAATCAGCACCATTCCCCACGCCCTCCTCCCCTGGCACCACGAAAAGCAATGGAATAGTTACCCTTACATGACCCCAAGGACCGACTTTGAATGTTTCGATATCTATTCCTGTAAGGATTATCCGGCACCCAATGTAACTGACGGCGGGCATGACAAAGCAGCAGCAACAGCATGGAAAGGGAAACTGTACTATACGTCGCCGATGGAGGCATTCATTAGTGCGATGGAGGCGAGTGCGTTGAGTGGAAGGAATGTAGCAAGGTTGATTGTGGATAGGTTGGAGGGAAGGAATTGAGAGAAGTGCGGAGATAGAGCAGGGGATATAGATAGGCTCGAGATCAATCGTATAGTGCTAGCCAGTGTTCATGAGGTTCAGGAAAGGACGACTTGCTCGAGAGAGGACACGACTAGTAGACCAGTTTGGCATACTGCCACCATCCGGCATTGTATTGCGATATCAAGGTAAAGAGTTCCATCGTGTCGTCCTACTCTACGCCTATCATGCAAATCGTGAAAGCTCGAATTCCAAGCCAGCTCGTCCTTTTCTCGCAAGAACACCGTCCTTCTCACCTACTCAGGTAGCTCGTTATTCGTGTTCCTGCTTGTTCCTGCTTGTTCGCCGCACTCTTTGTCTTCCAGGCCGTTCTCGTAAGTGCTTCCGATGTCTTCTTGATTGGGCTAATGAAGAAGTTTGCAGAGGTGGTCGACTCCTTGTTTTTAGAAGAACTGTCATCCATACTGTGTGTATCACGCTTGTCTTCGACCGCCTAGGTCGCGGTAGTGCTCTGCTGCAGCGGATCTCCATGTCCCTCATACTCCTGTTGTCTCATAGTGCTCTCGACGGGACCTAGTAGTCGCTTGAAGCCGTCTCTACCTAATCTGGCGACCTTACAATCTGACTGAGCGATAACGGAGGCAGCACGTGGTCGATCGTTCAGCAGAGCTAATTCGCCGAAGTAGTCACCTCGCTTGTACTCCTTCACCGGGTGGTCAACCCCTTGTTTGAAAGCTTGTGCATTACCAGACTCGAGCATGTAGAAGTTGGTTCCTGGTTCTCCTTCGGTGATGATGTTTTGGCCAGCAGCGAACTTGACAGTTTCTAGAGCATCGGCGATCTTGGCTCGCTCGTATTGTTTCAGGCCAGCTAATAGCGGTACATCCTCCAAAAAGCCTTCGTACATTTTTCTTCGCTCCGAGGCATTGGTCATCAGAATCTTTCGGAACGTTATACGGTCTAGTTGCCATAACATGCTCTTGCCGGTCGATACAACAGTGGCAGCACGAGGAGCATTGTACATAAGGGCGAGTTCTCCAAAGCCTGTATTCGGATTAGCATTACTCTATAGCAAGGGCACAAGCTGAAGTTTGGACGAACTTACTGCCTCCAGAACCAACAGTGGCTACTTTCTTGCCGACGTCCGCACCAGCAGGCGCACCATCGCCATGTATATATACGTCGAATTCGCCAGACTCGATAACGTAGAAATAGTCACCTTCATCACCCTGGTTAATAACCCGAATGTTGGCTGCAGGAATAGCTTTCTCGCCTAGTGCACCTAGGACGAGACTGAAGGATTCTTCGTCAAGATGGGTAAACAAGAAATTGCTAGAGACGGCAGCCCTTAGTCTCTCTAGCTGATCTGGTGTTTTCTGGTGGTGAGGTGGTCGCCAGTTACCCGAGTCTGCATCTGGTTGCATGGCTTCTGCCGAGACAGAAGTTCGTCGACCGGCTCCTGGAAAGTTTGCTGGGGTATGTTGTGCAGCTTCAGCATCGTCTGTTGCTCCATGCCCACCCATCCAATTGCCAAACAGGCTGCCTGCAGTTGTAGTTGAACCTGCTGAGAAGGGCGACGAGCCCGAGAAGGGTGAAGCATTGGAGCGATAGTTGGGTTGTGTAGGGGAGCCAAAGGTATCACGTTCTTCCTCCTCTTCCTCAATAGCATTAGGGTTTCGAGGTCGATCGAAGGGCCCCGCAGTGTCGGCCATGTTTGAGCACGAAGCTGGGTGGTGGGAAGCTCTCTCGGATTCTAGTTTACGATTGAAGTAGTTGGCGCAGTGCTGGACGACGTCCTTGGGTTTGTTTAGTGAGAGATCTTGCAGCAAAGCATCAACCTCTTGCTGATATGAGGGTTCCAGCGACGGCATGATGTCTCTAGCAACGGTGTGGGGATGGGTAGAATTGCCTAAGCTGGAGACAGGTTTGACCAAACCTTCCAGCAACCTGTTCGTTTCAAGCAAGCAAGACTGTGACTGGCTCGCCTGTCGTGGAGGAAGAAGGATGGACCTCTAAAGGTGGGGCAAGCGCGATCTGCCAAATGGATGCTTTCGAACTGCTGTTTTGTTCCGAGAATCCTTGCTTGGTTCGAAGCAAGCTGCTCAGTTCCAAGGATAAAGTGAGCTTGTAGCAACGTTGTTCGCTTTTGAGGTTCAAGAAACAACTTGACAGCCACGCAGCAATACTGTGCGCGTTAATACTATCAGCGACGACAGATTATTTGGTGCATACCTTTGTATGTAAGGATAGTACAGATGGGGACAACGGGCTTCGACCGTGCCCGAAACTTGAGACTTTGCGCCGCAGTGTGGAGCTCGTATGACGTACGCAAGAATCCACGAAAACAAACACCACTTACCTGCAACACTTGCATGTGAAACGTTAAATACTGCCAGTGAGCCGGACAAAAGCACTACTTGGCTATGAGTAGAGTGACTTTGAGAATCTTAAAGGCAATGATGCTTGCTACCAGTATATGAAGATGAAGCTGCAGGCTCACTAAGAGGCTAGACCTTGACAAGTAGGCCTAAGCTCTGTTCTTTTTGCGATCAAGCGGGGTTGGACAGCATGATTGGCTGCTAACGCCCCTTGTGCATGTGTAGCCTGGAACTCCTTGCCGTATTGCTGCTCACCGCTAACCACTCTAAGCATGCCCTTCCTGCCTCCGGTTCGAAAGCACTTCTAGAAGCTCTGTCTATTTCTTCCAGAAGCTCGCTTCAAAAGACCTTGTACAACATGATCAAGCCCCCAAGAGGCGTCGAATTATTGGTACAGGAAGATTAATTACATACGCTACCGTACATGACCAACGTGAACAACTGAGGGTATAATCCACCACTGACAACAGCAAGGTATCACAGAAACAATCCAAGCACACACTGAAATAAAGCTGCAAAGACCACGCAATCTGGCTCGTGCTAAACCTTCGAGCGCATCGCCTAATCCTCCTTCGCATATTCTAATCGAATATCTTCTTGAAGATTTGGCTGAGCCGATTTCGCTTCTTCTTCTTGTCTCCTGCTGTGCTGGATTCTGGTGTTCCTCTAGCTGGCGTGCTTGCAGCCGAACTGGTAGGCGCTACCGTCGTCTTCTTTGGGGTTTCTGGAGTCGAGCTCTTTGCTTCAACGGGCTTGCTCACTGCTTGGCTGCTTGAAGGTGTTGTCGCAGTAGTGCTAGTTAGGGGCGTTGCGGATGACTTTGACTCAGTGGTGCTGGCTACTGGCGCTGCTGTCTCTGCCATCTTTTCAGCCGCCCTCTCTGTCGGCTTCTCGCTCGAGCTCAAAGTCGGCTGTTGAGTAGACTCTGGTTCGATTGTGGTGATGTTGTGCGCTTTGGTCTCTCCTTCGACGATTGGTCCGCCGCTCGAAAGTATTGGCGCGGTTGTGCTAGCTAACGGCGCTGTAGTCTCTGTTGACCCTACAAGCGGCTGAGCATCTGTTGTGATGGCGTTGTACACCTTAGTATCTCCCTCAATCGTAGTTGCGGCATCAGTAGCTTCGTTTTGTGCCATCATCCTGACTGCAGGCTCGTCTTGCAAGGCGTCTTCTTCATCTTGCAACGTCGGGTCTTCTGTGCCATCGGATAGAGCTGCTGCTGCCGATGGCGATACTCCGGGCGCAAATCCTGCCTTACGAGGTGGAGCATACTCGGTCGCTGTGGCTTCTGAGGTCTCGACCGGTGCCTTGGGTCTAACGACAGGTGGCGCACCATCTATCGTAGGATCCTCAGTTCCGTCCGAGAGAGCTGCACCCGCAACAGGCGATACGCCAGGATGAGAACTTGCAGCTCCAATACCGGACGTGGGTGGAAGTGTGGGATCAGGAGCAGTTGTCGTTGAATCGGCAGGAGAGACTTCGCTAGTGATGTTCGGTTTTTGACTGTCAGCGATTCTTGGTGGTTCAATATCTCGGTCGTTGTGTCGAGCAGAAAGAGTTGCTGCACTAGCCGCCGCGGCTCCACCTACAACAGCACCCCCAGCAATGGCTCCAGCAGTACCTCCTCTGTCTTGATTGCCTGTATCAGTATCTGGCACAGGTTCGTTGGCGGTCCTGCCATCAGTTAGGGATGCGACAGTTGCTGCCGCTGTGTCCTGGCTATGACCTGGGGCTGGTTCGCCGGTACTGTCGACGACAGGAACCTTCTCTTGTAGTTCCCTCTCAACTGCAGACTTTTCAGCAACAGCTGATGTTTCTGTGGCGGCTTCTGGTGAGACATGTGCTTTGGTAATCGAATCCTCTACAGTCTCTGGTACAGCCGTGGCGAGTCGATAGCTACTGAAACCTGTTCCTGATGACGTGGTAGGGGCTGGTTCACCGGTAGAGGTGGCGAGAGGAACCTTCTCTTGTAGCTCTCTTTCAACTGCGGACTTCTCAGCAACGGCTGACGATTCTGTTGCCGCCTCGGGAGAGGTGTGAGATCTAGTGAAAGACTCTTCGACAGTCTCTGGGACAGCTGCAGCGAACTTGTAACTACCAGGCCCTGATGTTGATGTGGGTTCTGGAGCCGATGTCGAGGTTGCTGCTGAGATTGTAGGGGCTGGTTCTCCAGTCGCATTGACAACGGGGACTTTAGCTTGTAGCTCACGCTCAAAGGCAGACTTTTCAGCAACGACTGAGGGCTCGGTAGCAGCCTCGGGCGAAGCGTGAGCCTTTGCAATTGATTCCCCAACTGGCTCCGGCACAGCAGTGGCAAGTCCGTAGAAGCTTGTTTGCATCCTGGCTGCTGAAGCAGGCGCACCAGTGGCTTGAGTTTTGGGAATTGTCGATAGGAGTTCTTGCTCAACGGCAGATTTTTCAGCAATCAGCTCAGGAGATGCCGGGTCATCAACGATAACACCTTGTCGTTTCTGTTCTAATGGGACCTGCGAGGCTAGGGCAGCAGTCGTTGTCCCTGGCCCAGAAGAGTTCGTAAAAGGGGGCGCACTTGTGCTTTGTGTCGATGCTGGATCATCCACAACTTGTGCCTCTCTTCGTGGCTCGAGCGGAGCTCGAGATGCTAGATCGGCTGTGGTGGTACCAGGTCCAGATGAAGAGACAAAAGGAGTAGCAGCACTCTGTTTGAGGGCTTCTGGTGCCTCTGGGTCAGGCGAGTCTACGACCTGAGCTTCGCGTCTGGGTTCGAGCGGGACTTTCGATGCCAAGTCGGCGGTGGTGGTGCCTGGCCCAGCTGAATTCATGAAAGGACCAGTATCCATAGTATCGCTTTTGTCAGGGTTCATGGGAAGCGAGGACTCGGGAATAATGTTCTTATCATCAGGCTTGGGACGTGAGAAAGCGCCACCAATAGCCGCGCCAATACCAGCAACGGCCGCTCCTGCAGCACCAAAGGCGCCGGCCTTTTCGTAATCTTCTTTCGAAGTTGTCACGGAGGATTGGGTATTCGAGTGTCCTGTGGCTGGGAGAGGATTGATGCTGACTTGTTGCTCGCTTTGTGTATCTGAACCAACTCTATCGTAGTCCTCTTTCGATGTGGTGACTGAGCTCTGGATATCTTTGTGTCCTGTTGCTGGTAGTGGATTTACACTGACTTGCTCATCGTTAGGTTCATCCGCGCCAACTTTGTCGTAGTCCTCTTTTGAAGTGGTGGCAGAGCTATCAAGACCCTTGGTACCTGGTTCAAGGACGGGTTGTGTAGACATTGTGCTGTCAACGGTGCCTTCACCACCCGCATTGTCATAGTATTCTTTCAAGGTAGTAACTGAGCTCTGTGTGTTGCTGTGACCAGTCGCAGGGATAGGAGCCACACTGAAGCTGCTAGACTCGTATGCGGGAGTTTGTGGGAATGCGCCGGGGATATCGTCCTTTATCTCCTCGAATTCGTGGTCTTCGTCCTTGGATGCAGCAGCACCATCGTTCTGTGAGATGGCACGAGTGACGGGTCGATTAGGATCGGCTGTAACGTGGGGTATCCAACGAGCCAGATTCGCCCGCGACTGTTCAGCTGTAAGTAGAGGAGCACCTTCACCACCAACAGAGACTGTGGGAGCTTCTGTGAGAGCGCCTTGCCCACTATTGCTACCAGGAGGCGCATTGGATATTCCAAGAACTCTATGACCACTGCCACGAGGCGCGTTCTGAGCTTGCGCTACGGACCCTGAGGTAGCTGCACCTCCGGAGGAAGGTTGTGATTTCTTTTTGATTTGGTCTGGTAGCAGGACATTGTTGACATTGTAGTGACCATCATCTTCCTTGGGAGCCTGTTCGTCCACGATCCATTGATCATCTACCACGAACTTGTAATAGATCTTCTCGTCGGCTGAAGGCAGCTCAACCTCCCTCTCGAAAACATCACCAACCTTATTGAGCTTCTCCGTCTTTCCCCAGTCATCGAAGGTACCAGTGACGTAGACATGGTCAGCCGGGTAAGGCCTAGCACTCTGTCAGTTACACGAATCGAAGGACAGGAGCTTCTCCCATGCTATATCGGATAGTGGAGCTAAGTACATACCATCGAAAGAGAAAGGTGCCCATGCCGTTGAGTTGTAGAAGTTTGAGCTGCGCGTGTTCAGAGAATACTTATGCCTGATATAAGGCCCTCTTCCAAGTGCTAGGCGCCTGGTGATGGAGCAGCAACGAACAGACACAGATAGGACAATATGTACAAAGCACCGTAGTAGAAGCTGCGCGAAATAGATCAAAGAGTGACCGCAGAGGTGAAAGAGAGAGAATCGCAGGCGACAGTATTACTGTAGAGCTGCGCGAGCATCAGATGATGTGCAGAAAAGAGATGGCGGGAGACCGAGATGGAAATGAGACGATGAGACGATGGATCGCTGGTGGGACCAGCTGCTTTGGGAGCGCGACTAGAGCTCCTTTCTAATTACACGCGCTGCGTAAAGCTACCAGCGTCATCAATACCCCGAATCCGAGTCTGTGACTAAAGTGGCTGCACCCAAGCAGATTTCTTTAGAGTTTGAACTGAAGAGCTGACAATAAAGCTTGTCGACCAATTTCTTTGATGGGGGTGAGTATTGAGGTCAGTCTACTTACAAAGGATCTCTACATCTGCTGTGATGAAATGTTGTGTCGTGCATGTTGCTAAATTCTCACAAACCAGAGAACTGAGACCAAGGACAGGTATTGCAGAGTTTTAGGAATCCTTCACTCATTGCAAAAGAGCTTTGGCAAGATCGGGTTGGAGCTCAACGAGCCGTCGCCTCTTGAAAGCGAATGATTGTACCCTACGCTGCACACAATACTCGCAGCTGAGTGAGAAGCAGTTCGGGCTATACAAGCTTCTTCTACACGATACAGTACACACTGGTGTGTGCCTTGGCTAACAAACTTTCCAACTAACCATTAGTCGAACCAAATAACCTCATCTAGATCGTGGCGCCTGGATATCGTCACCATATCTCATACTGATAATCTGACACCCAGGTTGGCTTTACCATGCGTCTTGTTAAGCGCAACATCAATAGTGATGGCTCGGGCGCAGTCACACTATGCCCGGAAGAACCAGAAGACATGTGGCACGCCTACAATCTTGTGCTCATAGGTGATTTCTTGACTGCATCGGCTGTCCGCCGAGTCACGAACGAGTCTTCAACGACAGGTTCAACATCGTCCCAGAGAGTACATACAAATCTCAGCATCAAAGTAAAGTCTTTGGACTTTGATCCACAAGCTGGTCAGCTGCATGTTTCTGGACAAATCGCTCGGGAGAACAAGTATGCCAAAATTGGTCAGCATCATACATTGGACCTTGAGCTGAATAGAAACTTTACGATTGATAAAGTGGTCGAAGGCAAAGATGGAGGAGCAGGCTGGGATAGTGTTGCTCAAGCACAATTGATGGAAGCCGTCGACCCCAACAAAAGCACAGAGGCAGTCGCAGTTGTCATGCAAGAAGGCCTTGGCAATATTTGTTTCTTAACCTCACATCAAACCATCCTGAGGCAGAGAGTCGAAGCCAGCGTGCCGAGGAAACGAACGGGTGCTGGCCGAAGCGCAGACCACGACAAGGGACTACAGAAGTTCTATAGCACAGTCCTGGATACTTTACTGCGACAACTTGAGGTGCTTCTCGAGAATAAGGATAGCTCCGCGTCATTTCCTATCCTCCTAGCAAGTCCAGGTTTCGTTGCACAGGGCTTCCTCAAGTATATCAATGAAATTGCCGCCAACAGAGGAGAAAAGTTTTTACAGGATTTGGTTAAGCGGAAGGCATTCATAGTCGTCCACAGCAGTTCAGGCCATTTACATAGTCTCAATGAAGTCCTGAATAGCCCCGAAGTGCGAGCTCGCCTACAAAACACACAGTACGCTCGCGAGACGGCGGTTATGGATGACTTCTTTGCACTCTTGCGAAAAGACGATGGGAGGGCTTGGTATGGCCCAAGAGAAGTAGAGCAAGCTGTTGATAAAGGCGCTGTTGGCCGAGGAGGTGGTGTGCTCCTGGTCAACAACGATTTGTTTCGAAGTCAGGACGTCGTGACTCGGAGAAGGTGGGTAACGCTGGTTGATCGAGTCAGAGATGTGGAAGGAGGAGAGGTACGGATACTCAGTAGCGATCACGAGAGTGGAAAGAGGCTGGAAGGCTTAGGAGGAATTGCAGCTATCTTGACCTTCCCCATCGAGGAAATGGACGATGTGGAAGGTAGTGAGGACGAACAAGCAAAGGATGATACCTAGCGTGTGCATTGCGTCAAACAAATCGTAGATATTGAGCCTTGGACCTGTTCTAAAGGGTAACCACAAATTTATTCTGTTCGATCATCCTATTGCTTAGGAGATGGCTGTATAGCTGGACCCTTTTGTTAACACTGCTTTTGAGGAATTGCATCTCACCCCGCAAGAACATGCCATCCTAGATTTATTACTAAATATCTCAAGTGCTGAGCGCAAAGTATTAGTACATATCCAAGAACCGCAACCGAGCCACAGGAGAGAGAAACGTCATTTAGCGGCAGACTGCTCCACCGTACTTCCACTCCGGACGTTGACAACCACTTCTTACGCAAATATAAACACTCTTGCGACTAGCTACCCTGTCGACCTACCAAGGTTCCAGCATGCGCAAAAGAAAGCGGCCCTACGGTGAATATGTCGACGAAGAGACTGGACAAGTTACTGTAGTCCAAACTACCAAACAAGCAAAGCGCGCTCATCAAAAGTCTGGAAAATGGTACAAAGAGCCGACCGAGGCCGAAATCCTGGCATGGGATCGTGAGGAGGAACAGCAAAAGAAAGCGAACAAAGCTCTACAGCGTGAGCAGAACAAGAAAACTAATGCTGTGAAAAGAGCAGAGAAGCTGGCCAAGGAGCAGCATCTGAAGAGGGACCTATTCGAAGCGGGAAAGATCACATTTACTCAAACCCTTGCGAAGAAGGATGAGGATCAGCTAAACCTACACTCTTGGTTTGGTGGCCGTCCCAAACAGACAAAGCCGAAGTCGAACCAAACACAACGCCCATGTCTTAGCGACGAAAACAGAAACAAGACTATAGTGAAGGACAAAGCGCGCACTTCAACCAAGTACGACGAACGCGGTTTGTCCGAGCTTGCGAAAGTTGAAAGTTTGTCACAAGAGTCAAGTGAGGATGATGACAACAACTCAGATGCAGGGTCTTATCTCAACGAGGAAACGAATCGTCTGTCAACCGAAGATTTCTCAAATCCCAGAATCTGCAATACGGATCTGCTACAGCCAGGACCGCGACCAGATCAGATACAGAATACGAATTTAAGTCCTCGCGAACACTTTGAGGTTGCAGAGGACAGTGACGCTGGTATAGATGTTCTAGACGACGAAGCCAACCAGGCTCCTCAGCTTCTAGTACCAATATTTAAGGTTCCTGCTCTGCCTACTCAAAACAAACGACCTCCTCTCTCGCCGATGACAAAATCCGATGTCAACGTCAGAACCAGTCAAACAAAAAGAGTCAGTAGTTTCGAGGACAAGCTAGCCAAGGCTAACGCCTACCCTCCTTCCACACAACAGGTCAGGGACATCCTCTCCAGAATTTGTACTCAGGATCTTGCGGACGACCTCGACGACGATGTTTCTGGGGATAAAGAGAATGAGCAGCCTGTGACTGTGGCATCACCGGGTTCCGACTCTCCTACTAAGTCGTCCACGAAGTCTCTTCATAAGTTGTCTCACAAATCCGTCGTGGTCTCCAGCCCTGCTACGGCACAGAACAATACACTTAAAGAAACATATGAGTCATCCGACCACGACAACATCTTCGCCGAGATGAACATATCAGACGACACTGCTAGCAAGGACTCCGACGACGAAGACTTTGACGACTGTGGCCTCGACGACGCAACTTTACTGTCCGTCCCAACAACCCAGCTCGTGCGTGCAGCAAAGGCAAATACCGATAGCTTTCCGACGTCCGTTCCTCCTGCAGTCGAGCCACCGACAGCCTTCCCGCCACCCAAGCCTGCCAAGCAACCTATCAAGAAAAGCGATAGTTTCGCGGTCGACGATCTTGAGGAGGACGACCTGCAGGAAGCTCTCGATCAGTGGGAGTATAGTCAGACACACAGGCCTTCTCCGCTCCCGTCGAGAAGAGGTAGACCGAACCTTAGGTCATGACTGAGCTAGACCATACCAAAACGCAGCCTGAGGGAAACGTCAGTGGCTCTTGCTCCATGCAGGGCGTGGACGTTCTTTCGAACACTACAACTTGCGGCTCGTTCTAAACGAGCATATCTCACCATTACACCCTGAACCGGGTTTTGTATAGCGATGGAGCAGGGGCATGGGAGGTTTGGATTGACTCAAGGCGGTGCTCACGACGAGCACAGGCGCATATGGATTACGATTTGATGATTAAAACTTTGCATGAGATACCCGGATTGGATCATCAGGCACAGGCGATAACACTTGTATAGTGCCTTTTTTGGTTGATTGTATGTATACCATTGGATAAAGTAGCACTTGAATAGTACTTGAGAATCTGGATACATGCTTGAATGAGAACTCTTAGGATTCGATGTATGAATTATTTCTCCATTCTCTGTGATTCCTGAAACTTTCATTCGTGTCAGTGGTATGTTTGTCGACACTGCTTGCATCTCATAGTGGTGGAGGTAGTATGCTTTGAAGCATGGTCCACTGGCACAGCTAATTGTTTGGACAACCCGTTACTCTTTGAAAGCTAGACATACCAGCCCAAAGTCGAAGAAGAACGATGACAATGCCAGCATTCAGTGAGACCTAACCACTCCACGTGGCCTGTAGCTGTGAGTGCAAAAGTTCGCCTATCGAGGAGTATGTCCCACGCCGATGCATAAATACACGGTACAGACGAGTCTCCTACTCATCATCCTCATCATCACCATCTTCCTCGACAGCAGTCAAAGCAATACGATCCAAATCTCGCTGACCAGCCTGCGTGATTCGTCGACCGCCCTTTCCACTGCCACCCTCCTCATCATCCTCGATCTTCTCAACGATACCAATCTTCTCCAGAGCCTGCAGGACCTTTCGGTCAACGGATCGAGAGGCATCGCAGTGGTGCATTGGCTTGCTGCCTCGGTTCTTGGTGCTACCGTGAACCTTGGCGAGACGGCCGACACCGACGGATTTTCTCAGGTAGACATGGCGAGCGACGGCAGCGGCTCTGACGTAGAACCAGTCTTGTGATTGTGGGGGGAGTTCGTTGCTGTGCGAGGTCTTTACGGTGTCGACCCAACCTGTTGAGATTGATGTTAGTTTTTTGCTCTTCGTAGGCAATTTTCGAGGGGTTGTCAAGCAGTAACGGGCAACGACCAGGCACACATATAGTATGCTGGTGTTGTCTGTTCTTTCTCGACCCCATATCTGCTTCTCTTGTATGCTCGGGTGACTGACCTGGAATTTGTAGCTTGCCCTGTCTCTTCAAGAAGTCGGCATAAGCATTGATGAATTTTTGAGCCTTTTGTGGTCACCAAAGTCAGCCTGCTATTCGACAGCAGTGTACCTCACGAGCATTCTTTTCTGGTATTTGGGACATCCTCCTCTTTTTCATATGTTTGCCAAAGTGCGCTCGAGGTTATGCGTGGTTGGGAACTCACATCGACGTCTCGGACTGTGACACCACCCATGTTTGCGGTTGTTGCGACTGTTTCGTCGGAAGAATGCGCAGGATTATTGTGAGTGTGGTGGAGGGATCGTGTGAATCGGTATAGCGACAGTAACTTTGTAAATTGCAGATTTCGAAAATCAATCGCAGCAACTGCTTAGCGTGCCAAGATTGTGTATACCTTGCAGCCTCATTGTTGCGCTAGGTCCCCTCTCCTTCTTCAAACATCCTTGCTACACATCCACAAGGTCGATAGCATTGCTCAATGCTTATTGGTGGTTGTCACTTCGGTTCAATGCCAGAAAGCTGGATCTAAGAAGTAGCAGTTGAGCGAAGACTTCTGTTGGGAAGAGGTTGCACAAGAACAAATACGCACGGGATATTGACGTTGTCAAGCTGACCACCACCTCATCATTACTTGTCGGGATTTTCTGCTACACAAACACCTCTTTCAATTACAATTATGTCAGTGTCTGGATCACAATCGGTGCCTCGTCAGCACTGATACTGAAGTCTCTCCTTGCGATCTTTGGCGCATGCAGACCCTCGCAAAATTCCTTCAACCCCCATCCCCATGTATCGAACATCTTCTGTAAATAGTCTCCGTACTTCTTCTTCACCTGCTTGGCGGCATGTCCTTTTTGGCACTCCCAGTTTCTGTATATGCACGATTCAGGCCCGGTCGGTTCGATCTCATGAACGCGCTCAGCTTGAAGCAGGTATTTCGGCATTTTCGAGCCACTAAAAATGGCCGAGAGGTTCAATATGGATGCGCCTTCAGCATCAGCGGCCCACACTATTCTGTAATGTCCCATGCGGTCAAGAGTATGTGTCTTCGACCTTGTAAGCGCTGTGGTACCTGCCTCATTGACTGGGTCATCAGGCCTAGATATCTCAATGACTACCATTTTGGTTTCCGTAAACTCAGAGGGCGACATCGGCTTCATTCTGACATGGAACGTCATCTTCGTACCAATTTGTAGTCGTACAGAAGGCTCGCCGTACATCTTCATCAGAGATTGGTAAGCTCGCGAAGCCGCTGCAGACGAGTCCCTCTGCTTCAACTTTGAGTCCCTGCGAGAATGATTGGGAGATGGATACGCAATGCTAGCTCGATGGCTGTCAGAGTTTTCAACTCTATTGACTATTGCTGGTGGCTCTTGTCCGCTAGCAATGGAAGACCTCCTGATTTCTTGCGACTCTTGGAACAGCTGGGCGCCTGACTTCTTTTGCTGACCACTTCCTGTGCTTACAGTGCTGCCCCTCTTGTCAAATGGTGATAGATTCGTGAACACCTCCCCAACGCTTTGTGACCGTTGAGGCTGCTGCTCGGCTGATCCTGCACTCATCTGACTTGATATACTATTGAGCCGGAACCGGGGAGGGGGCTGGTCGTCAGGACTCCGTGGTCGTCGCGTACCATTGCCTCCTCCATCCGTCAAGTCGCTGTAGAAACTACCATTAATGCTCGTGTTTCTGACCAATTCCTGAATTTCAGCAGCAGTAACATGATCATCCTCTGGCGGCTGGTGGTCAATGGTGACCTTAGGCACAAACCTATTCCAGTCACGCCATGTATCCGTGTTTCGCAAAGACCGGAAAACTAGCGCAGCGGGCGCGTCTATATTGACTGTACTATGGATGATAAGTACTGCCTCCGATGCCAGGATATTTGGCGTGTTGAATTGCGCCGTATGTCCGTTCATCGTATGACCCAATAGACCCAATAATTAGCTGTCTCTCTGAGATTTCCGTTCTCCCCTTGAGCTCTGTGCCTGGACCTGGGGTCTCGATATCTCTTCTGCTAATACTGATCACAGCTGGAGGTCAATTAGACGGAACATGCTCAGCACGTAGCAATGCAATCGCGAATTGACTGTCACAAACGGAAAACCCGAGCCACTTGAGCACCTTTGGTAGTATATGTACAGACACTTAACAGCTTACAGTGTCCTAAAGACTTTCCTGTTGTTCGACGTTCCAATCAGTCAGAAGTGCGTGATGAGTCAACTGTATTCCGTGAGTTACAGATAGCCATCAACTGGGGTCATGGCGGGCAAGTGTGAAAGTAGAAAACTCATATAGCAAGCTAGCAGCTATACTCGTGACCATGACGGCGTGGCACTTCATTAGCTGGTAAGGAACGGCGAGACTTTACAATATGGTTCGTTTAAAATCGAAGGCTGAAGCGAGGGAAGGCGGGGTCGATCTGCAGGACTGATGATTGTTGGCGTCAGAAACAAGACGCTAGAGGTTGTATATTGCATGTGAGTATTGGTATACCATGTCACATTCACGAAGAGGTATATTACAAGCATTTTCTTGTATACGAAACTGCTAAGACCTTGGATCTCATATCTTGTGGCAGCTGTAAAGCGTGCAAAAGGTTTTCTTACAAGTCGTCTTCGCTGCTTGTGCAAGCGCTTCCTTGATGCTGGTCAAACGACTCACGAGGTTTTAAGTCCTGGTTAGCTAACACGAGTATTGCAACTCCAAATTCACGAGCTTCCGTGGATAAGCTTGAAACCGCAAACGCCATAACTCTTTGCTACCACTTACGGGTATGATCCCTCGGGGGGATGGTGAACTGCTGCAGCTTCCTTCAAATTTTTCATGGCCAAACATAGTATGAGACGACAAGGAGTAACAAATCTTGGACCTCTGTCTTACTCGACGTAGATTGTGTAAGTCGGCGAGGAATTTCAACCGTGACATCAGCATTAGCGAGCCTGGCATACCAGAAATAACTATCTCTGATCGACCCTAGTTTGATGGAGGCCCAAGGAAGGGGTTGTCCAGTTGGAAAGTCTTTGATGCAAATATTCGGATCATAGTAAAGAATCGAGTCTGGTGAAAACGCTCAAGCATGCGGCCACAACCTGAGAATGATTAATGAACATACACAAATGCCTGAATAGAAAGCATACCTCGAGCTGTAATTCTCTTTCCTTGTTCTTCTCAACCTCTTCCGCTACAGCTTGCGACAGGTTGGCTCCAATTCCTTGCGAACCGGTCTGTCTCTTAGCAAATGGATATTGACTATACTCGGCAAGAAGTTCGTCCACATGTGCAAATGCTCTTTCTCTGGATTCGTGCCCCAAAGTCACAAGCGCGTTCTCTAGGACGTTGGCTGCATAGCTGGCGCACACCATCGCGATGGTCCTCAGGTATCGGAAGTCGAGCTCTGCAGGCAAGAATTGAGAGGGCGGTAACACGACTGTTCTATTTGTGCAGATGTTCTTCACTCGTTTTCTTATTTCGTCTTTGGCAGCGGAATCGACGACCGGATGTGTTGCCATGTCGAAGAGCAGGAAGTTCCGTTTCTCGGTTCGTAATACACCCTTGTCGACTAGACCTTTTGCCAGCCTTTCTCTCACTTGTTTCAATTGATAGCCGATCTTCATCAAATTCCACGTCTCACCTAGAATCTGTTAGGCCAAGTGTCAAATCATTTCGCAATGGCAGCTCACCACTCATAAGATCTATCCACGAGCTCACACTCATCTTTTCGCTAGATTTCATCATTTTGAGGGCTTCGTCTAGAAGGACTTCGCCAGTTTGACCTTCGTCAATGACTTCTATTACACGGTCTGCAAGTTGAAACCTCCTTCTTGAGGAGTCTTTCTGCATGCTGATCTTGCCTCTGAAGGCCAACTCTATTACTATACATCCACGCAGCGCGTACGAGATATTATCGTTCCAGAAGGAAAGATATCCTTGCTTGTCTTTCAACCCCAGCAGTAGCACTTCCTCCATTAGGGTGAGTTTTGGTTGTTTACTGCGTTCTGCGCTCTCACTCATATCTCGGGGGTCATAGGCAACGATATGGCCATTGTCACTGACTTCACGACCAGTTTCGGGCGTCCGATCGAAGGTATTCTCTTTAGGCGCTGGCGACGTGACTCGTGAGGCAGGACTATCGTCGTTGTTTTCAGCCGTTACGCCAGCTCCCCTTCGTCTTGTCAACCCTCCCTGAGACATGTCTGCTGAAGTCCAAGGCCTTAAGAAGCGGGCTTGCGCCCTGCAAGAAAAAGGCTTGCTACGAGATGTACAAGGCAGGCTGCGCTTCGTTTAGGGTGTAGATGTCGCAGCACACTGGTGCTCTTAGATATGCAAGGCGATCGGTCAGTAAGGTTCGATGCAGATTTTCCTAGCCTTGTTATTCGGAACACCGTTCCAGCAGTAAGAGTTTATTTGGCTTTGAGTGATCATTCGACTGTGTACATAACGCAATGTCGTGAACAATAAATCAAAGTTCTTAGGCCAAGCCTAAGGCTGCGGCGCTCAGGCAACTTGAAGATAAGCTTGAGTTTCATTCACCTGGGCACGTGCAACCGTGATCTTTTGCTGATATTCTTCACACGTCAACTTTAGTACTCCAAAGTCTGAAGAGATGGTACTGTTGAACGTACATACACGTGAGCTCGGACGGTGTGACCTGGAGGCTCGATATTATACTGTACACCTCTGTAGATCATTCCGTTAACATCTAGATCAAATATCCCTAGTCACTACGCTCAATTCAGCACAACCAGAATCATGTTCAACAAGCCGAATCGGCATAGCAGAAAGATCTGGTCACTCTGGACGCCTAATACTTAAGTAGAATCTTTCAAGGACGTACCATCTCACGTCGCCAACCCATTGAATCGAGAGCTCCACCAGGATGTACATTACGCGGCAGTCACGAGGCTTTGTCGAGCATTATCAACATCACATTAGTTGCATCGCCAGACCTCTGCTCAGAAGTTGCAGGAATGTGCGATCCCTTCTCGAATCCTGGTCGGTTAGGGACTCGAGATGACCCCAGATAAAAGTACGGACCATCAGAGCCCGCATCTCGTCGCCAGCTCAGGGGTTACATGCCTTTCGACCGTGGAGAAATATGGACCACACTCAGTCGCTCAGATCAAGGTGACAGCTCGGCATCCTGTCTTTGTCATAGCCACAGCTGTAGCGTGACAAGTGCTTCATGGATGAAGCTGGCTACCTGATCCACCAGAAAGAATATGCAGGAGCAGAAGTCGTCGAAAATGGGGAGGCCACAGTGCTAAAACAGCTGACCAAGCAATCACTTTATCGAGTCTGTCAGCCTCAAATCAACGTGATCCTTGGGAAATGCCTATGTGCTTTTCCTCAACATTTTCAAAGTTCAAGAAGAGGAGTAGTCCCATATTGTCCCATAGAACTTGGCAAAGTTCTCTCAAGCACGCCTGGGGCCATTAGGCGAGCGGTTCGAGGTTGCAGTGTCTTGGGAGCTCGGAACGGTGAGGGTCTGCTCTCGCTTGATACCATTAGGGTACGAGTATGTATTTCTCACAATAGTAATGTGGATCATTTGACACGTGTTAGGGACACGGGACATCCCAGTCTGGGGCGCCTAGTTCTCGAGCGGTCTTTGAGAGGCACGTTCAGATCACACATGTTACAAGCATACCGTATCTCGATGAGAGCGAAGCACTAGAAATGCGGCAGCAGTTTACCATGTATTCGCCACGTGTTAATACGCGATGACAATCCTCGGTTGATGCGGTGAACCGGCATTGCTCTGAGTGGTTGGCGCCCAGCAATCCAGTTCAGCACAAATCAAAATCAATGACACTGGTTTGTGTGAGCACCTGCAACAAACTCCGCACGTATTGGACGTTACGAGCTCACTGGTTGAACTCACGATGACAACCCCGGACGAAAGAAATTTTCGCATCGAATGTCCCCGGATTCGCCCTGTGGGTATCGTCCCGCGAAAATCGTGATCGTGGAGGCGAAGGAGTGTCACACCAGGCAGAAAAGCACATCAGTAAGACAACCCTTTGAGCGATCAACTTCCGAAGTGGAATGACGGACTTCATTCCTACCGGAACCATCTTGTTCGCTAGATCTAGCATTTACCTACCTATTCGGCAACTTGAAACTTAGGTGGCATAAGAAAGACTATACCGTGGTACTTCTGCTGATTTGACAAATGCTCACGCCAAAAATCCGAACTTTCTCAAATCAGTCAAAGTCCAGTCTTGGCAGCTTGGCAGCATCTGTAAGCACCTCATCACTCCACTGAGCTCCTTCCAGAAATTCCATCAGGCACAAACAGAGAAGTGCGGCACACTTAAGGTGACTGTGTGTTCTGCTTGCATCCGTCAGCCCGAAGCTAGATACGCCATTCAGTCGGAAAAGTGGCCTTGTCTTGCAGTCAAGATTCCTTGGCGAGATTGACAAAATGCAGTCGAGACTTCTGCCAAGCAATGTGGCTGATTTACCAGAAACTTTCCACCTCTCATTTCCCCAGATACTCCATGCTTATGGAGTAGTTCGCTTGGGCAGACTGGGGGATATTGCTACTTCGAGCTTAGCCCGCAGATAACGGCGGCAACCAAACTACACGCCCGAAACTCTTCTGCACGTGTACCGCGCATGGCTGCTATCAAATCAAGACGAAGTGACGTCCGGCAATTGCTGCGAACGAGACGGACTTGTTGGACTATAATTTGCCGTCCATCTCACTTCTTTCGTCAGTATTTCGACTCTTACTATCTCATTCTGTTCTCTCGCTGCGTTCTTGACACTAGCACTTCACCATGGCTCATCACCGAGATTCCAGTTCGGACGACAACGAGAAGAATGGAGAGTCCTTTGCTGAGCGAAAGGCCTCCGTCGTTAGCGCCATTGAGAGTCTACATGAACTGCCTGATCCAGATGCAGGCAAGTCGGCTGAAGAGCGCAAGAAGATTGATAGGGCCTTGATGTGGAAGGTTGACCGGTAAGTCGTCCTGCATGCATGATACCACGTCGAATATCGTTAATGTCTGATGCAGCTGGCTCATCCCCTGGCTCTGTCTGCTCTACCTTCTATCCTTTTTGGATCGAACAAACATAGGAAATGCGCGTCTTGCTGGTATGGAGGCAGACTTGGGAATGACTGGACACGACTACAATAATTGTGAGCATTCCATCCATGCATTTCCGAGCGTGCTGTCGGATCTACATCGGTGAAGCACAACAGACTAACAAAATTTAGCTCTTACTATCTTCTTCGTCTCCTATGCTTTGGCAGAACCAGTAACAAATGTCTTGCTCAAACGACTTACTCCCCGTGTGTTTTTCACGGGAATCATTTTGGCCTGGGGCCTTTGCATGACACTCATGGGTCTGGTCACCAATTACGCTGGTCTATTGGCCTGGTAAGTTCCGGAAACTACTTTCATCGGAACGTGTTTTTAATAAATTCAGCCGTTGGTTCTTGGGTCTTGCAGAAGCTGGTCTGTTCCCTGGTGTCAACGTGAGTATTCTTGTCAATAATCAATACGAGTGTCGGCTGATTCGGTATATAGTACTACCTCAGCTGCTGGTACAAGCGGTCAGAGTTGGGCATTCGAGCAGCTACTTTCTTCTCCGCAGCCGCTCTGGCAGGCTCCTTCGGTGGACTTTTGGCAGCTGCTATCGCCCTGATGGATGGCATTGGCGGCAGAAATGGATGGGTAAGTGCGGAAATATATTTTCCATACTCGTGCTAAACTCTATCAGGCGTGGATTTTCATCATCGAAGGTCTTGCTACCATGTTTGTCGGCTGTTTCTGCTGGTGGATGACGTTCAACTGGCCCGACACTGCTGGTTTCCTTACCCCTGACGAGCGAATCCGAGTCCGACGACGACTTGCTGAAGACAAGCAATCGTCAACAGGCGAAGAATATGACAAGCGACACATTATTGCCGCCCTGAAGGACTGGAAGTGCTGGGGCTATGCCGTGAGTGACGAAGGAGAGAAAAGTCGTGAACCTTGCTAATTGTTCAAGTTCATCTACATGGGTACATTGTGCCCTCTATACTCCTTCTCCTTGTTCCTTCCAACCATCATCGCCGGTATGGGTTACAGAGGGTAAGTACATCTGTCCCCTGGCCAACGTATTGGTCGAACCATCGCTCTGTGTGCTTGAGACTAATTCATCATCTAGCACACAAGCACAACTCCTCTCAGTCCCCCCATACGCAGTCGCTGCAGCATTGACCATCTTCGTCGGCTTTGTGGCTGATCGTACAAAGTGCCGAGGATACTGTAATATGGCAACAGTCCTGATTGGCATAACCGGATTTTCCATGTTGCTAGGAAGTCAAAACGTGAAGATACAATACGCCGGCACTTTCTTGGGCGCGGCTGGCATTTATCCTGCCATACCTAATTCTCTGACCTGGTGCTCGAACAATATCGAAGGTGTTTACAAACGTGGTGTCATCATCGGCATTGTTGTAGGATGGGGTAACCTGAACGGTGTGGTAAGTACCGACACATCGATGTTTCTATCATGAATCTGTTTGCTGACAATGACCAGGTGAGCTCCAATATTTATCTTCGCCACGAGAGACCCAGATACTGGACTGGTCACGGCACAGTCCTTGCATACCAGATTTTCTGCCTTCTCGGAGGCACTATCTTCATGCACCTTATGTTGCGACGAGAGAACAGACTGCGACGCTCTGGAAAGCGAGACAACATGCACCAGGGTATGACAGCCGAGCAAATTTGGGTTGCTGGCGACAAGCGACCAGACTTCATGTACACCTTGTAAATGGTCGTGTCGTGGTCGATGTTGATGGATGCTCTCGTATTCAGACTTTCTCTAGTCATATAGAAGTACGCCATAAACCAAGCATCATCTGTAACAAATATGCATTAGCTTCGGCAGTTAAGATTCTAGTGTTAAATTTTGGAAACTATATATTGACTTTGTAGTTGTCAGCCAGTGACGATGTCCTCACCACGAGTCACCGCCGTCCACGTGTTCCGCTCTGATGGACTACCAGTATGAGTGTACTGTGCCGTGGCTTGAACGATACCGCCTCCCGCTCAGTCTTATCGTACAGTCCAATTCGGGTGCTGGTTTGAGGTGAAGTATCTTTGAAGGTTGCAGAGCTACTCACATTTTGCAATGTCGCAAAGCCATATTGTCCTCACTGTCAACTTGTTCGTTTGACGCAGATGCCAGTGCTTAAATAGGTTACGCCTTTCTGTTGAACTTGATAACATCGAACTATTCTCAATTGACTCGGATACTGACAGGACACCTAGACCATGCGATGACTAGTAACAGTTACGTTCTCACTTTCCTCGGCGACCTCATGCTGGGACGACTGATCGACCAGCTCCTTCCCCAGCATGTCGACGAGCCAGAAGAAGCCAGACACGCAGCACAGATCAAGCGCACCTATCCACACCTTCGTGAGTACAACGTTAGTACACCTTGGGGCAATACACTGGACTTTCTCAAGAAGTCCGACTTGGTACTTGGTAACCTCGAAACAGCCATTACGACTCATCCACGCCAATGGCCTGACAAAGTCTTCAACTATCGTATGCATCCTCAGAACGTGCAGAGCCTCAAAGTTGCGGGAGTCGATTATGTCAGTCTAGCTAATAACCATACGCTCGATTTTAGCAAAGAGGGTCTCTTCGACACTGTGGGAGTTCTCGGACATGCTCGGATTGCTTATGCAGGAGCTGGCCGTACTGTGGAGGACGCTCAGAGGCCAGCAGTACTGAAGCTCAAGCCTAAGGCAGATACAGCTGGAGCGCAGCACGAAATCCACCTGTACTCCTTCTCAGACCATCCAGATGACTGGTCGTCGATCCCTGAGTTCAACTTGATTCGATACGACGGCTATCATCGGGCGATGCTGAAGAACGTCCTGGGAAAGTCGTCTACCAAACCTGCGGTGAAGATTGTGTCAATGCATTGGGGTCCCAACTACGCATGGCATCCTGACGCTGATATTAAATCGCTGGCTCACTTCCTGATCAACGAATGTGAGGTAGATATCATCCATGGTCACTCATCACATCATGTGCAAGGTGTCGAGGTTCTCAATGGCAAGCTCATAATCTATGGATGCGGCGACTTTATCGATGACTATGCTGTGAAGGCTGCCTATCGAAATGATCTGAGTGCTGCTTGGAACGTGGTTGTTAACGAGTCGCCAGATGGCAAGCTTGAATTGCAGAAGCTTGAGATCTTCCCAAACAGAATCAAAGCGTTTCAGGCTGGGTTGCTTTCAGTTGAGGATGCAGACCATGACTTCGTGTGTGGAAAGATCAGGACGTTGAGTGCTGACATGGGCACAATCGTCGAATCTCAATTAGGCAGCGAGGGACAGCTTGTGGTCAAGATCGTCTGAGCCGAAGCAGATTGAGTTGGTTTGGAACGTAAGTAATGCAAATTGAAAAGGCTCGCCTGCTTAACGAATACCTATCGCGATCGCAAGTGCTTGCTAGAACGCTCAAAATCAGATTCACAAAAGCACGCGATCTCAACATGTGGTCTCCTCGCTACCAAGTCCTCGCAATCACGATTTCGAGTTAGACTTTGCAATCTCCTTCGAGCACCACTCCCTAACCGCATCCTTCGGCCATCCCTCCCCTTGCAATGTGACGCACTGCAACCCACTCCCAAAATATGTTCTACACCAAGTATCAGGGACCTCCGATCCAAGTATCTTCAAGCACTCCTTGATCTCTTCCGGAGCAATAGGCACACGTCCACTATCCCGAATTTCCTGCACCAGCTGCTCTAAACTGAAGCTGACTTTCATGCTTGGAGCACGAGTTCCACTGACTAGCCCATCCATATCTGATCGGAAGAGCGTGTTCAGTTTTTGAGATTGCTTCAGACGCAGGACGTCCAGTACATCTGGAATGCGGTGTAGGGCACGTCTTCGAGAGAGTTCGGCACTGGTGGGCGTGGCAGAAGAGCTGTTTGCAAGCTGTTTAGCTTTGAGACGGTCGAAGAGACCTAAGGTACGAGATTTGAGCTTGTCCTCATATGAAGTGGGTTTCGTAGACTCCAATGGCTCATTTATATTGAGCTTTGTAAAATCTGGTTCTGTTGTTGCTGTGGCCGTGCTTGGTTTCGCGGGTACTGCTTTCTCAGTCTCTGAGAGGATATAATCTCGAGTCGAGGAGATCTTCTCTTGTCTCATTTGAGTTTGCGAGCCGATCTGGCATTTCAGAATTGGGAAGTGTAGAAGCGTTTCGTGTACGAAAGCATAGGTTACTGGATCAATTTGTGCCCTCTGGTGTAGTTTCTGGATCGATTTTTCGTACTTAGCGTGCATGCCAGCGTCAATGGAAGTACTTTGAGCATTTTGCCATGCATACTCGATCCTGGTCTGCTGATTTGCTCCAATACCAGTCGTGATAAGTTTGAAAGGGCCTCTACTAAACGTAACCTCCTGTGTCGCAGTCGTTGATGTGCACTCCCATATGGCAAGCATGCGTTGTATATCTTGCAAAGTCACAGCTTTCCGTTTCCATAGCCTAGTCATCGAGGGCATCAGCGTAAGAACGGGTACCGCGTCTCTTGAGCCATTGTGAGCAAAATGCACGGTCAGAGCCTGAACGAAAACTTTGTGTAAAGCGACAAGCTCTTGCAAAGTCTCTGGTAAACACTCGGGTTCAGGCGATGATATTGGCGGAGTGAGCAGAGTTGTGGTCGGTCGTGCCTTCTTCAGTGGTTCCTGCGCCCGGGTCGCGCCTTCCTCATTTACGAGGTCAGACTCATCGCGCCGTCTCTTTTTCGATGATGATAGCTCTTGCTTGGGTAGCTGCAACTGCGGTTTTGATTTTGCTTGAATGCACTCTTCGATCGCATCAATCTTTTGCTTGCTGACTTCTGCTTGAATATTCAATTTGCTGGATTTTGTCACGCGGAAAGCGCAGCTGTCTGGTCGCGCCTGCCGTTTTGAGATTCTGCTTCGAACGGAAGGAGCCATGGTGCGGATACTAGGAGGAAGTTGCGATTATGAAATTGTCATGGAACCAAGTGCAAGAAACACGAGGAATGGAACAGCACGATGATAGCGTGCCAAAAGGTCTGTACTGGCAGTCACTGGACTCAAGGTCGAGGTTCACACCACGGCGCGAAAGCGCGAAAACACGCGTCAAAGCAAGCACCCAAACGCGTTCCACGCGACGTCGCGATTAGACTAACCCGAACTAAGTTAAATTACTACACCTCGTATCTGACTCGGAGTCCAGGAAACGCCGCGCTAACTAGGAATGAGTGCCAAGACCAACTCGCTAAAGGTATATTGGCTGCCCATTCCCCTTCCATGCATCTTCATCCACTGACTTGTTGTCGTCGTCATCGTCGTCACCTTTGTCAGGAATGACTAGAGAGTCCCCTATGATATGAGGCTCTGCCTTCAAGTCCTCTTTCTCCTTGCTTTCGTCGTCGTTCGAACGTTCTGCTTCTTTACCCTTCACATTCAAGCGACGGTCAACTCTTACATGAGCCGTGATTTCCGCCTTTTCAGAAATGCCTTTTATCTCACCAACACCTTCGCGACTCTGTTGTATGTCATCCACATCTAGTTCGTCTTCAGTCTGAAGCACGTGTTTGCGATCGCTCCAGTATTCAAGACCCTGTATCTCTTGATTGGCAGCTTCTGCAGCTTTAAGGAGGTTGTCTATCCGTCGCTTCTCCTCATCGCCCTCCGGACGATCTTCGGCGTCGTGTTGTTCTCGATGCTGCTGCGCTGATTCTGCCTGGTCTTTTAGGTATTGCAGGATCTGTCGTTTCGAGTTTTGGAAGACCAGACTTGACATGATTTCAGGTATCTTCTCTGAGAGGTACAATATCTCTTCGCCCGCCGTGGAGACGAACTGCTTCAGTGCGTCAACCTTTTCTCGATCGATTGTAGACAACTTGATGGCTTTCATCAATGACGGAACGTCTTTCATCTCTTCCGTCTTTGCTACCTCTTGGTCCGAAGTACCATGACTGGCAAAGCTCACTGGTCGCGCAAGACGTGCTTCTGGATTTGTGGAATCACCAACAGGACTGCGCTCTCTTGGTCTCGAATGTATCGTAAAATAGTCAGCATTCAGGTGATGGCCACCTTCTAGAGATGCATCCCCTTCCTTTCGCGCTGCCTTGTCTGACCTCTTGACACGTTTTCTCAGCCATCGCCGCCTCCGCACGAATGAATGGAACCAGGGATGCGTGCCATGCCAAGAAAAGTTCTTGCCAAACATGAAGGAGTACTGCCAGCCTTCCTCATCGACATCTGCACTCATGTCCACGTACCACGTCTTCCATGCCCACATCCAGCTGGGGTCTGGGACCTGCGCGTTTGTAATATTTACAGGCGAATTCTTGAAATCTCTGGTAACCCAAGCGGCAGGATCGAAGTTGAGCAGAGATGAGTGTGAATATAGTGGTATGCCACAAAAGAATGACCCTCGTTGATTCTCATACAGTATATCAACCTGTTGGTCTGGTTTCTCGGATCGCTTTGGAATGGTCATGGGTTGATTCGGTTTAGCCTGATCAGCCACGTCAGAAGTGCTTGGTTGTGCTCCAAAATCAACAGTTTGTGACTCTTCATTCTCGGGGTGTACTTCCGTAACAGCTGCTTGTGTTTTGTTTGTCTTCCCCGCCGTGGCTGCTCCTGCATCTGCCTCCCTGCTGGCATTACTATCATCGACATCATTACCAAATTTGTCCCTGCGCCAGCTAGCATATTTTCGCCTCGACAACTGCTCTTTTACTGAGGTCCTCGTGGGGTTTCGTGCCAACCTTCTCCAGCTCTCGCCCGGTTCTAGTGCTGCGCCATCATCCACGTCTGCTCCTGTGCTATCAAGCAGCCTGATCTGCCCATCATACTGACTCGCTTGGAGGTCGGAGGTATTGGTACGACTGATTTGAGCTGACATACCACTTGCATCGGTAGGAGGACACCACCTGTGAGCACAAAGAGTCGAGGCTCGTTCTGTCTCAGGCGATAAACAACCAGGGACCAGAGATTATGGTCAACGTTGCAATGTGTTTAGTAAGAGTCTCTCTCGTCGAGGGAACGACCGCTTTTGTTCAGTTATGCTCTATGGAAAAAGTTCATTAGTTCAATAAGGCGATGCTGGTGTTTCAGTCGTGCTGTTGCATTATAGATAGAAGCTGCTCCTGTGTTCATGAATATTCTTCACAAACGTGGTTCGCAACACGGCTTCCCGAGTTGTTGGTAGCCTTGGACAATACCATGTGGACAAAATGCTGGCGTGAACAGCACTCAGCTAGGCGGTAACTGGAGTTCCAAGCATCGAATTGGGGCTGGACGAGCTTAAAGTGTCGCCTGCAAGCAATTGCAGCGGGCCAAAAACGCCTCCTCAGCCTAGGCTGGTCTCCCATGCTGCATGACGTCAATCTCTTCTTTGGTGCTGGCGGCAGCGTCATTCAGCTGCCATGGTTTGTGGCCGCAGAAGGAGCTTGCAAAAGCTCTACATTTCTATTACTATTATCCACGTTCATCTTTTCAAAGTTGTGTTGATTACTAGAACTTCAAGATTGAGCAATTTGGATCTAACCGCAATCCTTTTGAAAAACATTATCAAAAGAATCTGACCAATTATCTCATCATGTCCCGTCGAGGTCTTGCGGTCTTGGGTCTGGCAGCTGCTGGGTACGTCGAAGAGGACAAAAGCAACATCGTTGCACATTTAACTAACAAATTTTTCGCAGAGGCGCTGGATACTATCTCTATAGTGCTGGTGGCGACCCAAAGGCAGCCGAGAAGCACTTTGAAGGCAAGTACTGCACACCTTGACACAAGCTCAGTACTGACTTTTCCGTATAGCCGATGCCCACAAAGCTTCTGCAAAGATTAGAGGCGAGCTACCTGGTAGAGGGAAGGAAGTAGAGAAGAGGGGAGAAGCATATCTGAATCAAGCTGAGAGTCAAGTCAACCAAGCTGTGAGCTGTATGAGTCTTGAACAACAAGTGGATTTGCTGACTTATCTAGGCCGCTGATACCCGAAGAAAGTTGGAGCAAGGCAAGGCGGAGGCCGAAAAGCAATGGCAACAGGGCAAGGCGGACGTTGAGAAGAAATACGCGGAAGGCAAGAAGGAAGCAGGTGACCTGTTACACCGTACCGAACGCGAGATCAACAAAGGCATCGACACCTTCGACAAGACCGTGGAAAAGAAAGCCGCCGAGGCGAAGAGCGGTCTCTCAAGCTGGTTCGGTGGCAAGTAACTATACATGTTGTCCCCACGTTTGGAGTTTGAATGAAGGAGCACGTAAGGAAAGCTGAGTTACAATGTACAATTGACCCGTTCACTCGACTCTGCGAATTGTCTTCGCCTCGGGTAAAGAGATTACGTTGCATACGGAATCAAGCAGTTGCATCATACCTGAAATTGATACCCAAGCCAAACAAATGTACTGCAGTACTAACCTCGGAGATGCAGGTACTCATGCTCTTCCAGACTATATGACAGGCGATGTCCAAGGTACATGTTCTTACTTAGTATGTCCCACGGGATGGATCGATTTCCTGAGGTCTGACATTAGAAAGCATGGCTGGTACTAAATCTTCTGAGCTCAAAGGTCGAGCTGCTCCGTGCGTTGTTGTAGTCGTGTCTTGCTATGGCTTCGCATTAAGACCTACTGGTGTTTGAGCTGATGAGATTTGTCGATAGCAGTTTACTGTGTACACGATAATTGGCGGCTTGCTACACATGACGGGAACATCTTCGGTTCAGGCCACCATTCCATCATGGTCTTCGAAGCTCCACTACGAATGGGCTATCGCTTCCTATACCATGGTACCAGTGGCTAACACACGAGATGACGATAAAGACAGTACCAAGCAACGCCCTTTTGCGAATATACCAAATTGAGGAAGTTCAATAAAGTTGTGGTCACCTCGAACCAATGACTAGTACGGCTTCGTAGAATTTAGTCCCATTCTACTCGAACAACAGAGGTTTGTGTGATAGCTCCTCAATACTGCTTTCTTTGCTTCCTGGGCCGCGTTGCGAACATGGTTCTATTCACGGAGGACAAGGAGCATAATGAGCTAGCAGAGCATGACGATAAACAGCCAGAAACCAATAATACCGAGAAAGAACTCAGCGTTCACTCAACGTTTCCAGACGAAAAGACGGTCAGATTCAATAGTCACGAAAAGGCGCTTGTCACTGAACCGGAAGCAGAAGCTGGCACAATATCGTCCCTACCGCCTTATCAGTCGGCTGATTCCTCCACGACGGGTCAATCAAGCTCAGGTATGAGGTCGACTGGACTCATACCAGCAGAAAGTTCCCCTAACATTAAGCCTGATCTGGATCCTATCACGCGGAACATGTCACAAGCAAACGACGGCAAGGAGGTTTACGTCGCGGGCAGCTCAACTGCACACTCGCCCCCGGTATCGGCGAGACGACAAGCCTCCAAATCGTACAGAGAGTACAGCTTCTACAATGCCAACGCCATGACACACCTCATCATCTGCGATCCTGACCAGCTGGTCCTGTACTTTGCGGAAGTTTCCCTGTTTGCCAAAAGTATGCCTGATGTGTGCTTGAGGGATATCCTCGGAGGTGGGTTTGACGACCTAGCACGGAAGGGATCGAGCCTAGGATTGAAAGAAGCTGCAGCTGCACCCATAGTGGGCGTTGCGGACTCCATGCCTTCTTCAAAGCATATCAAGCTTGGTTTGGGGGATCCTGGCCAGCCGGAGAGCCAGGCCTGGATAGTGATGCGAAACGTCCATGAAGATCTCAAAGCGGGCTCTGAGAAGTATGATATGATTGTTAGCAGACCAAGTCAGCAGGACTTCAGTTATTCATGGATTCGAGGTGCGGTCAAAGACAATGAACCCGGTCTTGACAAGAGCTCGAAAGAACAGTTCAGACTATTGTCTGGCGACGAGGTGGTAGCATCGTTTAGGAACGCAGCATTGACGAGCATCAGAAAGCGAGGCATATTGCGAGTTTACGATGCACCAGGCATGGAAGAAATTCTTCTCCTTATCTTCCTAAGTTGCGCAGCACTTTGCGAGCGGCAACGGAGGCGAAAGGTCAAGAAGAGCCTGCTTTTTGGTTTGTGATTGACGAATATGTCAGGAGAAAGAGGTGGTTAGGTGCAGGAAGCGAATATACCCTGATAGAACTTTCTTAGGGTTTAGAAAACCCTAATAATCGTCGTGGTTAGGTTGATGGTTTGCGGTGCTGCACCAATATCATGTCTGATAACGTCATGGCCAGTACACACCCATCCTATGCTGCAGATTCTTGAGCCAAGTGTTGCTCGATAATCCTTTCATACTTGTCGACCTTCAAGGCACCAGCAGACCATACTAGCACGGCTTGCACGACTGGTAGATCTGGTACGGCGCTTTTGCTTCTAGAAGCTTTGCTCTTCTGCAGTTCATGATCGGATGGTGCCTGAACGTAACCGATGATATTGATCCAGCTTCCTGACTGAAAGCACTCTGGCTTAGCTGTTCCTATGACTATATTCATATCAATTTGAGCTGTGAATGACCTCGGTCGAGAAGACTTTATTTGATATCTGTGCTCAACTGTCACGTAGGCTGTAGAGTCCTCATAGTCTAAAACACATCCCAGGAAGCGGACCTTGGACATGGGTGGCTGTTCTTGTAGCTGGCACAAGAAGATCATTTTGGAAGCCACCGGGCCATTTGATGAGCTCTCAGCCATTATGATATGAGACTTTGATCGGCATGGAATCGACTAAGCCAACGCAGTACATTGCTCATGTCGTAAACTGTACAAGGTGGTTGTCAGTCGTGGGTACATTATCTTCATCAGGAAGGATGGAAAGATGGAAAGATGGAATGTATATTCGCGAGTGACCTCATCACGTGTTTCAACAAGTGCTTGTGTCTACAGCCCGGCTGACGATGTCATACCAACATCTCTATCAAGTATCGACCAAATTACCTATTCGCGTTCCGTACTGTTACTCTCGGGCAATCTTTTCTGGCATCTGCCTTCGCGAACAAATAAAATATAGGCGTCCTCCAGACAGATCCCGTGTTTGCAACCAGGGTTATTCTGCCGTGTGTCAACATCAACTCTTGCCATCCCACCGAAGCACACGATAGAGCGCAGCCTGCTGGATAACTCACCCAACTCAGTGCAGTTGCTCTGACCAAAACTGTACGAGTTGAGATACTTCCTGGAGCGCTGTGAAACCTGAAATTCAGCCCGCCTGCAGCGCTACTGAGGGGTGTACCCTGGCACACGCTGCCGCCTCGACAGTCCTCCTTCAATCTTTCGAAACACTGAAGTCAACATGTGGGGATGGTTCGGTGGCCAGGCGGCTCAGAAGAGACGAGATGCGCCAAAAAAGGCCATCCTCGGGCTACGAGAACAATTGGATATGCTTCAGAAGAGAGAAAGGCATTTAGAGTCGCAAATGGCGGAAGCAGATGCCACAGCGAGGAAGAACATAAGCACGAATAAAACAGGTAAGAGCGCTTGATTGACTGGCACCACCACGGAGAAATAGGACCTGCATATTGACTGCACTATCTCATAGCCGCCAAAGCCGCACTCAAACGCAAAAAGCTACACGAAAAGACCCTCGAGCAGACCTCGGCCCAAATCGCACAGATCGAACAGCAAATCTACAGTATAGAAGCCGCCAACATCAATCAGGAAACACTAAATGCTATGAGAAATGCTGGGAAGGCAATGAAGGAGATTCATGGGGGCATGACGATCGATCAGGTAGATAAAACCATGGATGAATTGAGGGAGCAGCAACAACTAGGAGAGGAGATCGCAAACGCCATAACGAGCGCACCGATTGGAGAGCCGATCGACGAAGGCGAGCTGGAAGACGAGCTTGAAGGACTGGAGCAGGAGATGCTCGACGAGCGAATGGTGAAGACCGGCACGTTGCCAGTTGGGGGAGAGCTGGAGAGGGCGCCGGCTGTTCCTAGTGGGACTGGTAAGTTAGATGGGATAAATCGTGGAACTTACACTAACTACAGTTCAGTTGCGAACAAGAAGGTACAAGAGGACGACGAGGAGGAAGAACTACGAAAGTTACAGGCGGAGATGGCTATGTAAGCCTCTGCAAGAGACATTTGGATCGAAGAGCAGGAATGAATTTTCCACTTCACTTGAACTACCCACGATCGAGACGACATGTGACTACTGTCGAAGTAAAAATGTCTATCCCATATGCAGGCGGTAAAGCAGGCAGCACTGTGAGTACATCTACGATTTGGTGGACGTGTTATGTGTGGCAAGGACGGGAAGGCATTCTAAGAGCATAGCACGGGCGTTCCACGAAGACGATAGTAGGTCAGGAAACTAGACAGACGTATCATTCGAGATCTCGTTGGCCACTTGCGGCCCAAGAAAGAACATTGAATTGATCTCATGTAGAGACAAAGTTCTAAGATGACCTATGAGTACAATGCACGAACAGAATCGGGAACGTACCTGCCATAGACGAGTAGCACAAAGACATAAGGCGTTCTTAGGGTCTTCGTCGATGTATGAGAATTTATATGGTTAGTAAGGGCAAAGGTGAATAGAGGGACTTCTCATGATCAATTTCCAGTACAGCTCAGGACTTGAACGTATGACTCTTGCCAGGCAGTTCCTTGCCCAGTCTGTTTCGTCTGGCGCCTGTACTAGTATCGAGTGCTTTGGCGAATGGATTAAGTGGCTTTGGTTTCGTGTTGGTGCTCAATGGCTCCGGCTGAGGGGCGGGGTGCAACATGCTCTGTGCATTAGCATAGTCGAAGGGCTGAAAGTCGGTGGGTTGAGATGCTTCTGCCTCTTTACGAGCCTGCTTGAAGGCTTTCCTGGCTTCTCTGCTGCTCATCACCTTGCCTTCGTCTGTGACAGCAAATTGTCCTGAGTTGTCGGCAGGTATAGTAGTGATCTGATCCTCCTCTGTTTCAAGCTCGTTCGCGGATCGCTTCCTATTTCGATCTCGAAGAGTGAAAGGAACGTCGATGTCAGGTTCCTGAACCACTCGAACGCCGGCCTCGGTCTGAGGTAATTCGGTAGCGTCAGGTATCTCGCCTGCTGTGGCTGGCATGGCGGCGTTCGAAGCCGGATTCGTGTTGACGAGATAATGCAATGGCATCACAGCACGGAGAGCCTGGTTCACGGCCTTAGAGTCAAGAGCTGTCAGTACTGTTGATGGTGACGTGCCACCCCACAAGAAAGAAGAGTCGATCCGACCAGTCAACGCTTCATTACTAACATCAGGGCCAACAGCCTCGCGAAGCTCGCCATTTCGCAAAAGCTTCTGCATGGTAGCAGCCACGCTTTGCTGAACCTCCTGTGGCTTAGCTTTCGGGTTTGTATGCTTGAATTGTCTGTAGGTGGAAAGCTTGTCAGCGTTTCTTTCGATGACTTCGTCGATGCTGGGCCCTTCTAAACCCTCTCGCTTTCCGCGCCTGATGGCATCGATGATTTCGTCACAGTGCCTCTCCACATATGGCGATGCTCGACCAAGTTCTCTGTTGCCAAAAAGTTGCGCCCTGGTTTCTGGCTTGACCCATGCACAGTTGAACAGATAATTGTTGGATATGATGCTCACAGCTCCTTCATCGAGCTCCCTAGCCTTCTGGTCGCGCCATTCGTGGAGTGATCTAAGTATGCCAAACTGTGCCTTGTCCAGCTTCTTCGTGTCCCGAACTAGTAACAATTTCATCCAGCCATCGGAACCAAGGCCATTGTCACGATCGTAAACATGACGCTCATATACCTGAAGACATTCTTTCTTTGAGTGCTCTAGGACATAGTCGACAAGGTTGTTGTCTGGAGTGGACGCTTGAACAAGCTCGTTCCGCATATTGTCGTAGATATAGAGAAGGTAATGAGTATCAGCTCGAGCGTAGTCAAGAAGTTCTTGAGGCAGTGGTCGCACTCGCCAGTCGGCCAATTGATACTGTTTCTGAGCTTCAAAGTGGGCAAACTTGCGAAGAAGAGCAGCAAGACTCCTTTGAGGATAGTTGAGAGCAGAGGCGGCATGATATGTATCAAACAAGCCAACAACATACAAACCTAGATCACGTTGAAGCCAGATCATATCTGACGTTGAGCCGTGAAAGACCTTAAGAATCGTAGGGTTTGTGAAGACGGTATTCAGGACCTGAAGATTCTCGCGCCATGGTTGAAGAGTATCAACAACCCAGTCTTTTGATCGAGTGCTAATTTGCATAAGAGACACAAGGCCCACATATGAGTTCTTATCGTTATGCTCGAGGTCGATGGCGATTTCTTTTGCAGCACTCAATTCTTGGAGCATTGCTTGCACACCCGCTTCCGTATCTACCCAGGTAGGCTGACTATTCTCAGGAGGCTCAAATTCAATGGGTTCTGCCTCTTCATAAAGTTGTGCAGGATATTTGTACTGCTGAATTTCCGGCGTGTAGGGGTTGTGGTATCCAGTATCTTCTGAACCAAGACTTGCGGCTAGATCGATGATCGAATTGGGCTTGGATTTCAGCAAGGGCTTCCATGGACCAGCCTCGTAGTTGTCAACCTTTCTTTGAAATCTCGCTTGTGGTTTCGGGGTACTACTGTAGGGTGAAGGACGATAGGCAGGCATTCGAGGACCTGGGTGTGGCGTTTCAGGCGTAGCTGGTTGAGGAGGAGTCATAGAATGAGTGATACCGCCATTGAAGTCATCCAAGTTAGCATCGACCTTCTCCAGAAGGTCATCGATCACATCGACAATCCCCTTCCAGTGATCATCCACTCCATCATAATCCTGAATAGTTGGCGGCTTAATGTTACTTTCTTTCGTAGCAGCCTTTAATAGTTTATTCGTGAGACGTAGGAAGTTCGCATTCTGAGAGTCCAGCGAGCGGGATACCTTGTCGCTCAAGGAACGATGGAAGCTCAGGTCATTATTGGCAACTGCTGAAGCGTTTCTAGTTACGCTCAATAACGTCGAGGTAATTTGTTCCTGATAAGCTTTGAAATCGGCCGTTATCTGAACAGCCATCGTCATTCAGGGTTCTTGTGCAGTACTGACAAACCTACAACACATCAAAGGTGCGCACGACTTGTGGTGGTAGCTGGACAAAGTAGGCGTTGCAGGTTATTAACCAATTCTGATCACAATTTTTGTCCAGAATTGCGGCCTTACGCGCCAGACTAGCGCCAGATCTCGGACAATCTACGGGCAAACTGCGCGAAGCCTCGCTCAAGATAATCAACGCGAGGCTGTCCGTACATGTCAATACGAAGTTGCACTACGTCCGAGTTCTTGGTTGTGCCTTGACATCGAGAATTTCTGGCAAGATAGATTGGGTTGGGGCATTGGTGTGATGTCGTCTTCGCTAGCACCGGAATGTAATGAAGTCAAGGAGTGAGCAACCCCCTTGTGATATAGGCCGAGAACTTGGTTAATAAAATTGGTCATAGGAGATACGATGCCTGCTTCTTGAAATGGTTTTCTGAAAGTATGTTATGTGCTGATTGTCCAAGATGATTGACTAAAGCTTGCAGAGTACCTTCGTGGTACCTCTTCCAATGATGAGTGTGCAGATCTCTTCAAAAAGTACAATACGTGTCTTACGGTGAGTGGCGCCCTGGCATTCTCTAATAAAGGAACATTGGACTGATTGTTCGTGCCATGCTAGAAAGTTCTGAAAGAGAAAGGCATTGACCAAATGATCGAAGAAGCTCGAGAAGCGACCACTCCGGATACAGACGCAGAGCATCTGAGACGTTGAGATAAAGGCTTGACTATGTCCTGACCACAAGAGGGAGCTCACTGCCCTCAGCCGAAGACACTCCGGCAATGCTGAGGGCTCGCAGTCCTGCCGGACAGCATGCCGTTGGCCCCATCGCGTTCACGCAAAGACAACAGCACATCTTCGGTAGACTTCGTAGGCAGCACCTCTGGTAATCAGCTTGCTCCTAGGTCACCGAGAGACGATCAAATCACTCCTCAACACCCACTTTTCTCCACTCGCCACTTCTTTACCCTCGTGAAATAGACACTCGGGGAAATGTCTGTGGAACAGCGCGCTACCTGCCTGAGGATCTACAAGGATAGGATCTGGCTGTCTGTCCTTCTTTGAAGCAGGCTCAGGGTAGAAAGCAGTCGCACCACCTTCACATGCTGTCAAATAGATGAGCAAAGTCCAAGTGGTCGCCGCGGATACACCTGTAGGACCGACTACCTTGTTACTCTCGTCATAGTGTTTGTCAAAGTACTGACCAGGTCTATATCGATAGACTCGAATATTGGGATTTAAGCCGAGCACTTCGCCGCCCCAAATATTCTGATCCTCATATCCTGTCACCAGTTCTTTGATCGCAGTATCCTCCCATAATCGTTGTGCGAAGAGAGGATCTGAAATTTGGTACCTATCGTTGACTCGTGTTGCTTCACCACGTTTAGGTTTTCCTGGTGTTGTTGTGAGTGGTAGCGTAGACAAGAAAGACACGTATGCATTGCAGAGATTAGATGTGAAGAGCTTCGGGACGACCAGTATCTGGTCCTTCAAGGTTTCTTCAAAGACAAGACTCGAGGCAGGGAGGACTGGTTTTAGGACTGGCCAGTTTACGGAGGAACAAGAAGATGCGGGAGCTGCCACATCAGTCGACTTGGACTTTGTTTTTGGTTTCTGCTTCGGCGGCATGCCTCGTCAGAGTCACAAGTGTTGTTGGCCTAGAAGAACATGAGCACAATCTTCACGTGGTTCACATGCAGTTCATTGTAAATTCGACTCATTGTTGGAGAATGTGGTTAGATTAAAAAGTCTGATTTGCTGCAAGTCGTGTTTAGCGTAGCCATGGACCCGTGGGACCTGGACGTGCAAGGTTTCAACTCCGATGAATTCGAAGACCACCCGCAAACTCAGACTCTTTACCTGCGACAAACCTGCGCGTCACTGCGTCTAATCCAAATGTCTGTCCACGGGTTCGCAAGCAATACTACCTCGATACCAGCAGGCTTCACAGCATTGGAGTGGACCTATCATGTCGGCGAGCGTGGCTTCGCTGGCAGTTGGCCTGCTAGACCGACATTATTCTGCTCCGTCGATGTCCCCAGAATTGAACGTTACTAGTTCGCCAGATGTTGTAGAAGATGATCACGTTCAAGAAACCAGCGGTATACAAACACGCGATGCAGATGCAGACGAACCATACAATACGAAACAGAACTCAGCGGGACAGCAGTCACAAACCGACTTGGATCGTCGACATACTATCGGGGGACTATTGGCAGCATTAGCAACGAACGCGATTTCGAAGCCTCTGGTCTCGGGTCCTCGACGCTCAGCAACACCGCCAGAAGATTCACCAATTTCGCAAACATCGGAGATGCACCTGCCAGACACCCAGGAACAGAAGGAAGGTGCGCTTGCCGAATCAAACACCGCGCGCTTGCCTTCACAGGACCCAAACGACCAGGCTGCATTTCAGTTACTTCCACCAGATCCTACACTTCTTATGCCTACCCAAGACCAGTTCGATGCCCTCAACTTTACTCAAGATGAATTAGCTTTGCCGTTTCCTGCCTTTGATATGTCCTTAGATCATTTCCCTCAAGATATCATGCAGGATCCTCTTCCAATCAATGTCAAACGCCAGATTGACGCATATGCCAGACTAGAATTTGCTGATGGTACTTTCTACCTGAACACTTTTCAATGCGAGCTGGGTCGAGATCAACATGCGTTCAGGGATGCTTTGACAAGAGAACAGGAAGCGAAAGAGGCGGCTGAGCTCGAGAAGGACCAGCCGAAGAGTTCTAGTGGAAAACTATCACAGCGCTCCCATGTTCTGAAAACAGCTGAAAGCCAGGTTCAAGGCAGTGTTGTCAGCGAGGCTGGCGGCTTTGCTGGTGTTGATGAGAAACCTATCGAAGGCTATGGAGACAAAAGAAATGGCCAGTCCGCCAAGCATAACTCCTCACAGGCTTCAGAGTCTGATATTGTGAGGCCTGACGAGGTACTTCACAACCCGTCTTTGGCGCCTTACGACTACCACAGGGATGTCGTCTATCAACCGACCCAATTCGTTGCTGTACCTGAGGACGAGATTGTAGAAGATGAGCGACCTGCTCCTGTCACTGCCGAGCATTTACCAGATCCAAGTAGCTGTCCACTAATTCCCATTCACACTACTGTTGCTTCTAGTCAGACCGAAGTCCAAAACCTCCGAGCTATCTCGAGACGTCATGTGAGGATCTTTTGGAATTGGCAATATTCGGCTTTCTACATGGAGGTTCTTGGTCGAAACGGCGCCTTTTTCCAGGACCAGCACATGAAGTTTGGGGAGTCGGTTCGCCTGCACAGCGGCGCCAAAATCCAGATCTCAGCTGTTGAGTTTGTGTTTCGATTGCCAGATACTGTTAATGACCTTCCAGGCGACGGTGAAGACAGTAGTGCTGCCAGCGAGGATGCCCTCGAAGAAACTCCGGGCAGAACTGCTACCTCTGCCGAGAACGGTCAGCCAGTCAAGCTGAAACTGAAACTGCATCGAGAATCGAGTGGCACTCAACTTGCTGGTGGAAATGCTGAATTGAAAAGGAGAGGACCAGGACGTCCACCCAAGAACGGTATCATGTCTCAAAGGGAGATGAAAGAGCGGGAAAAGGCTGAGAAAGAAGCCAAAGCCCGTGCTCTACACGGAATACCATCTCCCCCGGCACTGGAACGCAAGCCATCCAAATCTCAGATGCCAAAACCTGATCCGCCACTTGAAGTGCAAAAGGTTGAGAAGAGAAAGTACACGAAACGAAAGAGGGAGGATGGTGAAGAGGAGGAAGTGTTGCCTTCTATTGAACACCAGGAGGAGACACCTGCTACGGAGACCATCCTTCCACCACCTCCACAACCAATCGCCAAAAGGGCGCGTACGAAGTCCTATTCGCCAGATTACAAGCCGTTTGACCAGTGCACTCCCGAAGATCTGGCTCGTCCTCCACACAACTACGCCGTCCTGCTCTATATGGTGCTATCAGAGACTGGAGAAATTACCCTCCGACAGATTTACAAACAGATGCAAGCAAGATGGCCTTTCTTCAAGTACATGGTGGACTCGGATGGATGGACCAGTAGCGTGAGACATAATCTCAATCAAGAAGTTGGCAAACTGTTCGAACGTGGTCGAAAAGAAGGCAAGGGTTTCACCTGGCTACCAAAGCCGAACGCTATGGAAGAATACCAAGCACAAAAGAACAAGCGATCCAATGCTCCTCCAGTACCTAAACCTCGACCACCACCACAGAGACCAAGTATACCACCTAGCCAGGGACAACAGCTGACATGGCAGAATAGTGGCCCGTCACCTCAGCAAAATCGTCCAGTCAATGGTGCTGCGCAGCAAGGCCCCTGGCCAGCAACTCGTCCAGGTCCTAACGGTACCACGCCCAACATAAATGGAGGGCCACAGCCAGTCGGTCCAACTCAGACCAGAGACATGAATTATATTCCACCAGTACACCTCCTGCCACAGCACTTTGGCCAGCCTGCACCTCGATTCATGCCCGTCACTTTCGAGGGCTTAGCGGTCATACATCGATTTGAGCAATCTATGTTTCAAAATCTCAGGCAGGATACCGAAACACAGACCAAATGGCGAGCCATCTTCGGTTCTGCCAAGGCTCAGGCTCTACACGGTGCTCCGGGTTCACAACTCCCGGGCGGTGAGACGCAAGAAGAAGCAACCATCCTGAGGCATATTAGAGACTTTGTGGACAGATATAGGAATCCGGCTTTCCAGGGATTCAATATTGCACGCACAGCTTCGCCCATGGTCACTGGTGCCTCGGCTCCTGCAACAAATACAAGTGTGGAGCCGACAGCAGCCACTCTTCCACAGCAGAACACGCCCGCTCCACAGCCTGTTCAACCGACCACCAACAGCGAAGTTTCTCCACCTGCTCAAGCACCTCCAGCTCCACCTGTGGAAGCCTCCTCAGTTGCGAACCCGGCTTCGGGTCCGACTGCCATACAGCAAGCCGAGGAACCTACTACGGCTTTAACCTCTACATCTACTGCAGAGGCCGCAAGTACGCACAGTCATCCGCTACCAGCCACTGTCGTTACGGCAGTCACGACAGTCACACCTAGCACGACAGTGCCAGATACCACCGCGCCTCCTACTGCACCTGCTATCTCACGTCCTGAGCCGGTGGACGTTGCTCCTGCTGAGCATAGGTCTACTGCTGCGGACTCACGACTTCAAGAAGCGATCACAGCCGCAATCATTAACGAATCGCCTAGCAATCAAAACCTCGATGTTACTGTCTCGGACAATGTCGCCGTGCCAGTCACCAAAGAGCAAGCAGATCCACATACCAACGCGCCTCCGAATGCGTCGATTCCAGCAAAGACGGACCACGTAGCCCACGAGACAACAGATACAACAGCTGTTACAAACAAAATTGGTCAACCGATCGAAGATGAGCTTAAGCCAGCAGACTAGAGGTTGCTGCAAGAACGGAGGGAAATACATGGGAGTATGCAAAGCAGTAGGTGCTAAGAGTAGGTAAGGACGTACGAAGCATGCGTACGAGAAACGAGGATTTCTGTATCAGGCGGCAGATTACTCAATGTATGCTCTGCAGGCATTTCCTATCTTTAGGCTGACAGTTGATACTCCGGGCAACCCTCTCGATCACAACGAGCTGTGCACAAAAGGAAGAAGTTTAAGATGATAAGGCATAGCCTATAATACTGGCATCAAGTAATGTGCTTACGAATAAAGACAGCGTTATGACAAGCAGATCGCCACGAGACTTGTACGATGACAGCCATGTGAAAAACCTTGTGTTCGATCTAACAGGTCGATATCTAAATTTTGTGGCTATGGCAGTCGAGCAGGGTGGCACCTGCAGTGTATCTGCATTCACACCTGACTATACGTGTCTTTTAGATGCTTGCCCTCCACCAACATTGCACTGAAACTTCGCGTGACCTATCACTCGTTCTGGCGTTGCCCATGTAGATAACTCTGTGCTTTGCTGATATACAGTCTAGACATGCTCGATCCTTCGCCGAGCTGTTCATGCCACAGGACAACAGAGACACAAACGACTTGACTACATTATGACTTTGAAGTCGATCCAACAAAGGCCAAAACCGTCACTAAGCGAGCAGAGACATGAGCAGCTTTTACGGAGAAGACAAGCTTTTGTCCTGCTGGGCTTACTCCTACTCAGCTCTTTGTGCTGGTTGTTGCTCCTGGATGACTTATGGATACCTTTGCTTACCTACCTCTCAGAACGACCATGGGAACGCAAAGATGGCAGACATATGGGAAGTGACGAGGAGAAGGGCGCATGGCCGACGTACGCACGGGAAGGCCGTGAGTATGAACATGAAACACCGAGGCGGTATGATAGAACGGTTGGAGAGGAAGTGAGAAGCACTCAACCATCCAGCACGGTCAAAGCCTTGCATCACTCATGAACTTCTCAGCGGTAGTATCCACATCACACAGACAAACATTACCAGGTCAGCACATAACATCTACATATTCGACATGTTCACAAGTTTATCAAATTTAGGCAATATTGGCCGGAAGGAGGATTACAAGGTACACTCATCTGGCGAGAGAGCACACCATACGAAGTAGAGACATGCTTGTGAGAGGACGAAGCGATATCAGCTCTCAGACCGCGAAAAACATGCCCAGACTGAGACCCGATTCCCTCGATGTCTCGAGTTCAGATCCCGGATCTCACTGACGCTACAGTATGATGGAGCACGTCAACTTCGATCCGCCTCTCATAAACCTGGTATAGACAAGGATCTGCCACACCTGAATCTTGACACAAAAGAAACTCGGTGTTCGCATGTGATGTACTACCAAGAGCGAATCGTGTTCTGAGATAGCCTGGCGTAGCTGTCAGATTTATCACTCATGTTCCGGAATGAGATCCCTGCTTCTCATATTCGCCCGTTACTGGAAAACCCTCGTTGCGGCACGAGTAGTGGTCATGTGGACAAATTTCGTGCAGCCGGTGTACTCGGTACCAGCGACTTGAGCTACAGAAATGCAAACCTATCATCTATTCAAGGTATCGGGTCGACCCGGACCTTAACCATGCTTGCATGGGGTGTTTCTGATGGGAAAGGACCCAACAGTGAACGATATCGGTCAGAAGTTCATTAGATTGAGTTAAGGATCGATGTCACCTGAATCCTGCCTACCACAGACGCCGCCCTGCACACGCAGGACAAGGGTCCCGGTCTTGCTATGGTCTCGGCGGGGTGAACAGTCCGGATCTGTTGACCAAGTGCTTCAGATACATCAAATTGTCAGCTGATCCTCAGAGGCACGAATTACGAGCTCTGATGGCAGTCTGCATAGCATCTGGCGACGGAGGCACCTCGCAGTCCTGTAGCAGGTCATCCTGACTCAATATTCGGTCATGTTGGCTTTCCCCGAATCAATTGTTCCGGACCCCATTTCGGTCGCTGCACAATATGATCTGTTTCCAATGGTAAATCCTTCCATATTATTCTGGTAGGAGTAATGTCGTAATTTATCGTCTCGTTGATCGGCATCTCATCCACGTATGTCGACCCAGGTCACTGACTTTTGACCGTCTTCAAGCCTTGAAGTAGCCTGGCAGCGTTCTGTATAACACTGTACACAATATCGAAAGTATATTCGACATGTTCCTTGGCAGCGCTCCAAGTCGATATATCACTGTCCTTTGCTTCGGAACCAGCAAATCTATGAGTTGAGAATATAGGTGGACAGACGCCATAACACCGGAATGGTGGGTTGATCGCACCTCGACACATATCGTTCATTGCTGTGTCGAACGGTCGATTGCTGCCTGCGAGAGCAAGACCTGCTAGGACTTTTTGCGCACCTTTGAGCGTCACCCCGTAGCCAAACGTGCACATTCCTTTGTGTAGTTCGAAAGCTAGTCGGGTGGTGTTGCTGATGACTTCTGGAGGGACATGCTGTTGATACCAGCTCGAGTGCCGTTCATCGATCGGGGGTACAGTTGGATCATTTCCTAGTATGACGATGTTCTCCTCGTCATTGTGTGGTGCGGCACGACAATGTCCTAGCCATAGCATATCCCAGCCATCACCGTAAGGACTCTTGTTGGTGGTTTTGTCGACCAGGTCCTCCTGCAGACTTCTGAAAGCCTGTGCAACTGCCTCGACTTGGTCCTTGATATGATACTCCCAGTCTTGATCATCTTCGAGGATTAGTGCGGTTGAAATGTGTTGCTCTATCATCTTCTGCATCACATTGAAATGAGCTCGCTGTGAGCCGATGAGAGCTCGTGTCCCACTGTTGTTCACATCCTTCTGATACCAATTCTTGTGAATACCTTTTGTGGGTATATCGTTGAAGGAGACTGCGTCAGACCATTCAATGTCGATATCTGTCAAGCTAGATGCGAGAACTAAAGTATCACGACGATCCTTCCGACCAGGAAACCCAATGGCGAAGACTTTGCCAAATCCAAGTGTTCGATTCCTTGCATTTTCGGAATGAGTGTTCGTCAACCATGACGAGCTCGCTGGACGGACATTGGGTATGAAGTCACTTAACAAGCATGCAAGTCCAGAGCCCGGGCCTGGTGCCAAATTACGCCTCGTATGCCTCCTTGCTTGACATGACACAGCTCCGGAGATGCATCATCTCTGAATGCTCAAGAGATCTTGGTCCTCATACAGGAAGAAGTCTGAGGTTGTTCGAAGCTCACAATTCTTACAGTATGAGCAACACAATGATGCCGCTATCATCTCGTGTCCATTAACGACTCGGTATGTCTGGTTAGGGCTTTTATTTGACTGAAATCGAATGTTCACTATCTGTATCTTAGCACACGAAAAGTCTGCAGCATGTTCGTGTCGAATTATCGTAGAGCCGCAGCAGTGTCGGCTCTCTTAATATCTGTTGTACTTCTAGCACAAATATAGTCCGGCTCATTCATACCGTTTCGGCCTTACTTCGATGACATTCAAGCTCTTTCACATGATCCCAACCCTGACACGGAAGGCGCATCATCAGCAGCAGATGCTCAGCCTTCATCGGCAGAAAAGCTAGGCTACATGACATGGCTAGGCAAGACTGGAGATGGAAGCGACAAGGAAGACATCTATTTCATCGCGACACGGATCCTCGTATACCAGATCCTACACAACCCCAGCACGAGATCACCTCACGGGCTTCCCATCATAGTAATGACGACGCCTGACGTTACCGCCGAGAACAGAAAACGGTTAGAAGACGATGGCGCAACCGTGATCCCCATCGAATTCATCACAGAATGACTCGACTGGCTGAAACCACGGAGACCTACCTGGGCTCACATCATGAGCAAATTACGTGCATGGGAATTAACCGACTACTCTCGATTACTCATGCTAGACGGTGATATGCTCCTCCGCCGTCCCATCGACAACGTCTTCGACGAGCTCAACGCAACCATCATCGATAGCCGTTCCATCCCTGAAAAGGAGGTGAAGCACGACGAGAATCCAATTCCAGCAAAGTACCTGCTTGCTGGCGGACCAGAAGTCAGAGGCACCCTGCATCATTTCCCACCTTCTCGCGAGAACGGCGACTTCATACATCCAACTGGATGTAATCTCGGCTTCGTCATGCTAGCACCATCACGAGAGATGTTCGAGTATTACATGTCAATTCTCAAGATCGAGGGTCGCTTCAACAGTGCTACCATGGAGCAGAGTCTGCTCAACTACGCACATCGACCGGAAGGTGCTATGCCTTGGCAGGATTTACCTTTTACTTACAATACGCGAACTCTAATAGAGGAAGATGTTGTCGGTAATGTCGCGAGTATACATGAAAAGTGGTGGACGGATTCTAAGAATTATCCGCCTTTACGCAAGTGGTATAGGTCGAAGAAGGAGGAGATGGAGAAGTTCTATATAGCTCGGGATGCAGCCAATACGTAGGCAGTCGACGAATACTATACCTGAATTCAGAGTTTTGTCGCAATAGTCGAAACCTATGTGTCTGATCGCATATCCAATAGCAAGAAGCACCACGCCTTATATGTAGACAGCACTAGGCCTACGACTGCTTATATAGCTTGTTCAAAAAAAGACCAATTGGCAGTTTTGAAGACACTACCAACGACTCTCTGCCTCATCGACAACAACGTTGCTATCAACCTCAGGAGCCAGAATCTCTTCCGTGATCTCCACACCATTAGCTCTCGCCAACGCAATCATCTCATCAATCTTTACTTTAAGTTCCTTCATCGCTACCTCCAAGTCCATCGGAAAGAACCGCCTACTAGCATCTCCCAGCCGTACACTCAAACTATAATCTTCAATTAAATGATCCTGCTTCGCAAGACGCTTATACCGCTGATAGCGCCTCAATATTGTCCGACTCTGCAAAGGAAGATCAAGAATTTCCCCATCACCAGTCGACATACTCACAACCTCTTGCGTGACTTCAGGCACAACACCCTCAAATTCAAGACTGCGACATCGAATAAGCTCAAAGAGCATCAAGAACGAACGAGCGATCAATTTCCGTGCATTTAGTGCGGACACTAGGTCCTTGGGGTATACCACCTTGACATCCTTACCAACGAACAAGGGACGTAAAATCCGCAGATTCATCTCCAGACAGTCAAGGAGGACCCAGCGCGTACTGGCGTGTTCGACATCGAGCATCTCCACGTATGTATCGAATTGGACACGCGAGAACCTAGAGATGGTCGTCATAAAATCACTTTCGACCAGTCTCTTGGCTGTGCGGTCTTGCGTAGTAACCGTAGCGTGCTGCTTGTCGTGCTCATCGTGCAGACGATAGTCCAACGGCTGTTCTGCAGGTACCTTCCAGAGTTCATACCATGCCAGACTCATGCCGATACCGTAGCTGTTCTCGCTGTAGAGGATGTTTATGCCTGATTACCTGTCAGTCCCGACATTACAAAAAAAAGCAAAGGTATGCATTGACCTTCATGGTACGTCGTTTGACATGCTCGCAGGATGGCCACCGAGGGATCCGCCTCGCCCTTGGAGCGGATTGGCTGGGGGATAACGAGGAGTTCACGTAGGATGAGGATCCGTAGCTCGGGTGGTAGACGTAGAAGAAGACTCTGTTGTTGCTCTGAAGTGGGATGGGTAAAGCCAGTTAGCTGTCGGGATATTGATGGATCCATTATTCATTCCGTTACAGATACGTTTAGAAGAATCGAAAATGCCTCCTTGAGAGCGAAACGATGCATCCATAGAAAGCCAGTGGGGAGTAGCTGGCGGAAGAGTAAGGACAATGTCAAGGCGAAGGCATCACGTGGCGCATCTATATGGCCTGCAGTACTTCCGCCTTCCCTTTAGAACTAAATGGCAGGCACCAGGGCAAGCAGCACTAAGTGCATCGCAATAGAAGCTCTACACCGCTGAACAACGTCAGCGCTGTCAAGAACCAGGTTCGTCCTCAACCCCGGGCAACGAATCACCAGTAGACTCGCAGTAGCATAGTCTTCGAAAAGGAAGTATTGCACTGCTCTTTCCAAGGAGTCTTATGGTGTAAGAGCTGAAATATGATATCCTGTGCTGCCCATAGCTCGAAATCCATTGTTCCTAGGGTTCACTCTTTCACAGCAGCTAATTCGTAGCAGTGCACTTATTGAACGTATTGCTAGCATTGAGCCACTGAAGATAAATGGTCTCATATTCGTGAGGTGTTACATATTTACTTCTAGATCATCCCACCCACTCTTTTTGTCACCAACGCCACCAGCTCAAGTGAGCTCCGTGTATTGACCTTGGTCCTCACATAGTTGGGAACAACAGTCCATAGATCATCGATAGCTCATACCAAGATGCGAAGCAGATATCGTCCAGGAGCAAGTGGCACGTGGCCAAGGTTACACCAACTCAACTCTAAATACAGCATCCTCTTTCCCTTCCTGATGATGGCTCAGTGTGCCCTTCGAAACGCCCATCCATATCCTCTATAATCAACCCACGCTCAGTTGACTTGACAAAATGCAGCGGACCATCCAACACCGTACGTAATGCTATCGGAAGAACTCCTGTGAGTTCATAGATCGTGAGAGAGATTTGAGGTAGAGGTAGTGATCGGGTCCAGAATAAATATACAGTCGCCCATTGGGACCTTGGGGATTGTTAAGGAAGGGCGAGTGTTGTGGCCAGACGAGGAAGACTTTCAGGAAAGCATGGTTGTTTAGAAAACAGTTTCGCAATCAGCCTTGACGATCATTAAAGCCGACCTCTTTCAATGTTGTTGCCTTTACTCAGCGCGCTAGGCTACTGAAGTCATCGAGCCTCGATCGGGATTTCGAACCTGTCCATGGTGTTAGTTGACTGAAAATTCAATTGCAGAAGAATTCATACCTGTAATATCCTTCTTGAGAAATCTCTCTCATCCGCGATACTACCTATACTCTCTCTTCGATAGGATGATGCCATGCTAGGGTCTAATCTTGCATCAGATTTTTGATCTGACGCTCTTGAACCGACGAAGCTGTTGACGGCTGCTTGCGCCTTGTGCTCCTCTTCTAATTGCCTTCTTCTCCTGTGTCTGAGAAAGAAGAGGACACCAGCAGCTATCGCTGCGATCGCAACGACGCCAACCACTACACCAACGGCAATCCCAACCTTGTTGGGACCTTCGTCATCGCTGGGCAACTGTGTCGATGAGGGTCGGGATGATTGTGTGACGACTATTGTCTCAGCAGCATGTGTGGCTGAAGTTGGAGCTTGTGAGCTGCTGGCAGAGGAGCTTGTGATGTTGGAGGCAGTGGGAGCATAACCTATCCCACTCAAGTATACGGTCCAGGATTGTAGTCCACCGCAGAACTTGGCGTCGAAGCCGTTGCAAGGTGTATTGCAGGTATCATTGTTGGGGAGCTTATTTGCATCCGATGGTATTTCGTCACCACAAAAACACGTCGAGCCGCTGACAATGGCCATGACTGGGTGGTTTCCTGCTACACATGCCGTCTGACACAGACCATCAGTCTGATATGTATCTGTGTTGTCTTTTAGGAGGTAAGGTGATACGTTAGAGTAGCACCCTAGCGTTGTTATGGCGGAGTATCCAGTGGCAGTCGCTGTCGCCTGTGCAGAACTCTTGCCAACAAGCAGGCTCAGGGCTGCAAGCTGTACAGCAGGATACAATATCGACGTCTTCATGATTAGTGATTGCTTGTGCTCGGAGGAATAAGATCGTGAAATTTTGATGTTGTGCAAGCCCGAAATGAATTAGAGCTGATTGGAGTAATCAATCATGAACAGGTCGCCCTCCGGACATACGGTCAAATTGACCAAGACCGTAAAGAGAAAGGATGCCGACAAAGCGTGCAGGCGGTGTTATTGATTGTCAATCCAAATTAGATGATGTCTGTTCTGTTTGTTCGTCGGTCAAGCGACCCTTTGTCTGAAAGTCTCCCGTGGAGCTGCTTCTGGCCAGCAGAAGAGAGTCTAGAAACTCGAAGTTGGTAGTACCTAGTTTAAAGAGTCGTATGGGATGTTGTGCAACCAGGACCAAACTGCTCACTATTCTCTTGCTTCAAAAAGGATGGATTGTTTTCAGAAAGCTCGGGAGGATCGATGCAGGGAGCGTAGGTGTAAGGATTGTAAATTCCAGCAAGAAGTGTTTCGAACAATGAGTGTAAGCCAAAAGAGGACAACGACAGTAAACGAAAGACGAGAAGTGGTCGATACAAATTGGTGCTGGAGACGCGCAAGAAGGAGGTTTCTGATCGGTATGGAGTTGGAAGGGAGAAGCAAGCAGCCTGCAAGTTGGGCGAGCCACAGGAACACGCCGAACAATGCAACTTCTTGGCACTAGCTCTCGACGGTTTCTTACGCATGCACTGGGCGACTATCTCTACCACAAGGGTCAAGAGACCATCGCCTGCTGTCAGTGGCTTCGGCGTCTTCCACAAGCAGCGATTGAAGGATGAGTCGAGCTAAAGGAGAGAGGAAGGCTGTTGTTCAACTTACAAGCCATCAGTCGTCCACTTACGGAAATTGCAATGGAGTAAAAAGCAGAGCTCAGCTTGGTTCCACCAATCATGGACCTCGCTTCTGCTTATAAACTGCATAGCGTTGCTGTTCCTGAAAAAAGCCAGGTGAAACTTTACATTCCAATTGGGCTGCGATTACGACGTTCTCTGCACTGCTTTGTTCGTCATGTGCGCACGAAACGCGCCTGCCACAAGCACTATAGAGCAGTGTTGCAATCAGCAATTCCTTTTGCTCTATTAGAGAACCAGCATCCCGCCCCGGCGTAAATGAGACTCAAATGCGTTAAGAGGAAGTTCGAAATGTTGTTCGCTAATCAACAGTTGTGAGACCCCAGTTGAACACTCCCTTGCGCTAGAATTATGTACCTGCGTCAGCATCCACCTTTGTGCTTTTGGTTTGCTTCATCGGTTGCAATAGCGTGGGATAGCGCACGCCTATAGTCAACAGACACTTCACCAGGTCGTTCTAAACGTCGCTTGGCTTTGATGGTGCAGCCTTCGCGGATTTCATCTTCATGCATTTTACAGTCCATGTGAAACCTGTGTGCTGCTGCGCCTGATGCTTCTTTGCGCCAATGCCGAGCCGACACCAACTCTTGAAACAGATGACGGCCTCAACTTGGCAAACAATTTTAATATTCATAAATCGGCTTTTTCCAACTTCTAGGGCTGCTATCAGCCCTGATCTTTCCAGGTCTGCATTGTCACCGTTGGAAAGTGTAGAGTACTGCCTGATCTCCCGAGTTTTGCCGCTGGAGCCAACCAGCATATGTCACTAGAAGCCGGACAGCAATCTGCCTGCCTCTCGAACTATCTACGCAGATCGACAATCTCGAAATCCATATCCGAAATTTCCATCACGTGTCCTGGCTTCATGGCATCTGTGTATATGTTATCAACATCGTGAGGATGGAAGATGCCAGGTTTGTCACATTTCAGAATGGCCATTTTACCTGGCGGATCGGTAAGTCGATAGGCGCCCCACTCGCCGCCACGACTTGTATCGCCCTTGCTCGGTGCACAAACAATGGCTATACTTTCGGCCAGCATCATCTGGTAGCCCGAATGTGTATGTAAGTCCCTACTGCTCATAAAACATGTCTGTGTTGGATGTGTGTGTATCCACCCGAGTACCATCAGGTCATGTTGATCAACGTAGTCAAATAGCTCAGACTCGTCCGTCATCTCGCAAGTGTCAGAAGTCGCAGTCTGCTTCGGTATTATCAGGGTGCCAACAAACAGGGCATTGGCTCGTAATGTGCCAGCCAAGAAGCCACAAGTCTCAACATTTTTGAGCGTGTTTTGATAGGCGAGTCGCAAAAAGGTCGTACGTAGGGTCGAAGGTAAGAAGATTGTCCTTAAAGCTGTACCGTTTTCCAGGTAGGCTCCAGGTGCAAACGTATAACTCGACCCCGTTGCTGTCTTTTTGCTAGGCACTGGTGCTGCGGGTGCCTTCTCTGGTCTTGATGGCAGGACCGAGGCCCTGACATTGCTCTCGATCCTGGATTTTGGAGGAAGGATAGGTGGCTGTGCCAGTTCAGAAGTATACCGAGAGTATGACGGGATAAGTTCCAGCACTTGTCTTTGAGCTTGCTGCGGTTTCTGCGGTTTCTGCGACGGTATTGTAGGGTAGCTATAGCCAACATTATTTGCTATGTATGCTTGCCTCTGCTGTTTGTAGTCATCCGATGGTTGATCCGTTTCTGATTCGAACCGTTTTCGGACTGCCTCCATCTGAGCTGCAAGATCATCGCGGTCTTTGGGCATAGAGGAGCCAGTTGGATAGACACGCCTGCTTGGGCCTCTTTTCGAGAATTCCAATCCTGCAAGGCGAGCAGCCAAGTCTGTGTTATCATGTCCGCTCAACCTTCCATGGCTACTCTGACCAGCAGGTTCGTGGCCGCTTGGAGATGGCTGTCCTTGATCAACTCTTCTTCGTGCAGCATCCTCTTCTCGGTGTCGAGCTTTGGACTGGTTTGCTTGAACGTATTCCTCGTACCTGCGGTTGATTATTGGCTTGAGCGATTCGAGCGCTTTCAAGTTCTTCTTGACCTCATCCTGAGCTGCTTGCATAAGAGGATCGTTGGGTTTAACTTGAGGATGAGTTGACAAGTTGGAGAGGAACAGATGGGCGTGTCGGAAGAGGAGGAAATATGCCATCTCGTCATCTCCTTCGCGCAGGTATACATGCGCCTGGCATGAGCATCAGAGACTTGGTTCCAAGAACACGACTGATCTACGTACCTGTTTAATCATGTTGCTTGCCGTGTTGAGCCAGTATTTAAGTGGTACGAGCGCATTGAACTCGTAATTCGAGGCATCCTGCACCAGCTGTGCAACGTTCTTGGGAATGCCTTTTCCATGGTGAACTGAGCCTATCGTCAAAGCCATGATGAGTCGCCAGTCAGAGATACGATTGCAGAGAAAATGGCAGGGATGTCATGTCATTTTTAGGCTCACTGGAGGGGCAACCTATATACTCGACGTCCACAAGGGTTGTCGCGTGTATCGCAGTCTTTTGTCACGTTTGTAGTGCAGGGACACAGCCTCAGAGTGATATTCGGCCATGTTGTTGTAAGTCGTCTCACTGTGGCAGGCGCCAGGAATTTCGAAGGTGGAAAGCGTGACAAAAGCTCGCCGCGCAGCGTGCGTCATTGAGGATGGGGAAAATGCCTGGACGAGCCGTGTTTAGCTGAAGCACATGTTCGCAACACCAGATGCACGATATTGATATCAAGAGGCACCGCGTGGTCGTTTTTTGCTCTTGGAAAGGGTCAAAGAATACATATGTTTCGTTTTAGGTGATAATGATGCACGAAATGGAATCGTATGGTTACTGATCAACGGGTAATTTTCGCCAACGCATTCTCTTGAATTACACTGCAACGGCTTTCGTCAACACAACTCGAACAGCTCAACTACAAAAACTTTCACCTTATTTCCCAAGGTATATTCGCCTCATTGCCAAACGCCAAGTGCTTTTGGTCAGCATGCAACACAGACTTGCAAAAACTCCATACGGACTATGCTTGCTGCATAGTCTTCAAATCATCAGCAACCTTGAATGGTGCCTCAGTCTTCGATCTAATCTCGTCGACCGTGACACCTTCTGCAACCTCGATCAAAGTGAGTCCGTCGGTGAAGTCGACGTCAAAAACAGCCTACAGCATAGTCAGTATGAACAAGGACCGTAGACGTTCGGAGCGTGTTACTTACCAATTCTGTAATTATCCTGCTCACACATTTCTGTCCAGTTAATGGGAACTCGCACTGCTTCAAGATCTTTGGGTTGCCCTTCTTGTCCGTGTGCTCTAGTAGGGCGACCACTTTCGTGGCTGCTGGGTTGGACACGAGATCCATAGCACCGCCGAAACCCTTGACCTTGCCCGGCAACATCCAGTTGGCGAGATCTCCTCGAGCGCTGACTTGCATAGCGCCCAACATGGTCAGATTGATTCTGCCACTTCTGATCATGCCAAAAGATTCTTCTGATCCAAAGGTAGAAGCGCCCGGGTTCAACGTGACAGTCTCCTTGCCAGCGTTGATGAGGTCGGCATCTTCCTCCCCTTTCTTGGGGTAAGGCCCCAAACCAAGAATGCCGTTCTCACTTTGTAGAATCACGTCGACACTCGCGTCAACGTAAGAGGGAGCCAACATAGGCATGCCAATACCCAGATTGGCATACATGCCATTCTTGAACTCCAGCGCAGCTCGCTTGACAATTTGTTCTCGCTTGCCAGAGCCTCCGAGGCTATCTTTGACATCTGCGCCCTCCTCTTTTCTGTTTGTATATTTCTCGATCTTCTTCTCTGCAGTAGACTGTATGACTTTCTTCACGTAGATGCCTGGAAGGTGAACAGCAACTGGGTCTATCTCTCCAACCTCGACAATATGTTCGGCCTCGACGATGGTCATCTTGGCATTTCGTCCCATTGCGCCCTGCAGTCAAGTTAGCTAAATCCCTAACGCGTCGTAAGTGGTCACTACTAACGTTGAAGTTGTTCGCTGCCAATCGAAACTGGCAGTTACCCAGCTTGTCAGCTTTGTAAGCTTTAACAAAAGCAACATCGCCTGGGATTGCCTCTTCCATAACATATTGTCTACCATTGAAGGTCTTCACGTCTCTCGGCTTGCCAAAATGCTTTATCGTTCCATCTGCGTTATGCTGCAGTGGTAGCTCACCAGTTTGCACGACCGTTCCAACAGCAGCTGGTGTGTAGAAAGCCGGTATACCCTTTCCACCAGATGCACATCGCTCCGCTAACGTGCCCTGCGGTGTAAGCTCCATCTCAATCTGACCGGTAAGATATTGCTTTTCCAGAACTTTGTTTTCCCCCACATAGCTAGCAATCATTTTCTTGATTTGTCTGCTGTCCAGCAGCTTGCCTAGTCCTTGTCCTGGTATACCAGCATTGTTGGAAACGACTGTCAAGCCTGTAATTGATGGTGTAGCTGCAACCTGATCGATGAGTGTGTTCGGTACACCGCAAAGACCGAAACCACCACATAACAGTACGCTGTCACTTTTTATGTCTTTGATAGCCTCTTCCGGGGAGGCTACAATCTTGTTGACCTCACTGCGCCGATGCGAGGAGGAGAAGTGTCGAGCCAAGAGAATCTCTTGTATGCGTGGGTTTCGTGGTGTGTGTCGAACCGTACGCAGATACCTCGTTGTCCGCGCCGTCAACCTCGTTGAGGACTCGAGTAAAGACATATTAATTTCGGTCTCTAATGTTTTAGTGAGTAAGCACGCTTCAGCTAGTTATGTCACAGCGCCTGTAAGCATGCAATGCTGTGCTGTGATCCTAAGCCCTCCTGTGTAGCTAGCGACAGCCACGAAATTTGAGCTGGTCGAGGTTAAATACCGTCAGCACTATGCGCGTGCGAGCAGTGGGCAGTGAGCAATATGCAGAGCTCCAAAGGTATACAGTGCACGGCGAAGTAAGAAGGAGAACATGAAGGAGCACGAGTATGTATTGAAGCCAGCAAGCGGACTACCTACCGCCAGAAAGAGCTTCGTGGTGCCGGCAAAGAAGCACGGAGTGAAACCGCTCCAACAAGCTCAATGGCGGAACTGTTCAATCGCGGATGCTGGTCCAATTGCCCCGGACTTTGGCAGGACAATTTTCTGGACTCGGATAATCCCTCGGAACAAGTCGGCTGGACTCGGATGCTGCACCTTAGTTAGAAACCATCGTACTGCAGTGTAAGTTCGAGCAAAAGTTGATAGAATATCGGATCTGCTAGCAGACATGCTCGTGAGTGGGTTCAGAACGACGGTGACCACTTGGGATCTATTATATAACCAAAACTACGTATCAACCAGATCGTTGGGTATCTTCCGCTATAAACTTTTCAATGCTCGAAAGACATGAATTGCAAAGTAGCAATATATAATAGTGATACAGTCGTGATCATTACGCATCTTCCATTCCATCGTCACTCCCTTCAACACGTCTTGAGCTGTATTCAGATCGAGTCGATGGACCAGCAATTCCATCGCGAATAGAAGTAGTAGATTGGCTGGCGCCAACAGTTGCAGCAAGACTACCAGCGATGGCTCGTGGCCTGTACCCAGGCTGGGTAAGCATATAGACTCGTTCTTGCTCAGCAATCTGTTCAGGGTTGGCCTGTCGTGCGATAGCAAGCATATCAATCTCTGAAGAGTCGTCATCGTCGTCTTCATCTTCTGCCTGCTCTCCTCCCGAGCTATGCGAGAATTTCTGCAAAAAGGCAGGAGGAGCAGGATACTCTTCATCGACTTGAGGCGCGCTGCTAGTATCAGAGCTGTCACCATCATCTGAGAGCTCGTCTTCGTCGGTTCCACCCGTGTGGGATGACGAACTCGAAGTGAAGAAAACATAGCTAGGAGGTGGTAACTTCGGTGGAAGCAGATCAAGTTTTTGACAGCCAGAGATAGTGGTATGAAATTTACTTGGCAGTCTCCGTCTCGAAAAAGGCAGTGTCTGAAACACAGCACCTGGTCCAGTTGATGGAAGAACTGTTCTAATGACTTTGACGTCAAGTGCAAAATTGTCCTCGGGCGTAGTTCCACCTAAGCCACATGCCTGCATCTCCATCGGAACTGTCTCTGCTTCGCCAGCTTCGAGGATAGGCTCAAGGACCGGCAGCTTAGGAAGAGACTTGTCGAATCTCTCTCTATCTGCTGTAGACAATAGATCCGCGTCGAAAGGCTTGGGCGCGAAGTGAGTCGTGAAATAGGTGGCATCATGATATCGTAGAGGTGACTCGCAAAGGTGTGCAGGTACTGGTTCACCCAGGGTCTCGCCTATAATTACTGGCCGAGGAGTGAGCATATTTGACGGCTCTTTGTCCGAGCTGAAGTCACTGCAGAAATATGGGTTGTTGAAGAAGGTGATCGGCCCCTCCTCCTTGGTTTGTTGGTTCAAATTCGAGGCACTGAGTGCATGTACAAGCCCGCTGGAGTCTCCTGAGTGACTGTCGAACGATTCATCCGACCCAACATCGTCGTGTTCTACCTGCATATTACCTCTGAATCGAATAGGTTTGTAGTCAAAAGCGGAGCTAGTCTTGAGTGGTTTGGAAAGGTCGGACGAGGTCGGCGGGTTGGACAGGGCAGAGGTTGTAAGGTTTTGTCCATGGGAGCCACTACTGGTGTGCAGCCCACTCGCTTTGTCTTCTGAAGGAGTGTGTGATGTGATGGCAGCATTTGAAGTGCTATTGCTGGTCTTTGACCGACTGCTACCATCTCCTCCAGTGCCGGCGTCCTCGGTCACTTCTTGTGAATGAAGCTCGGCGTTCTCGATCTCCTTCTCGTCTTCTGCACTGAATTTTGTACCCTCAGAGCCACCAATCCAACGTATCTTGTGACCGTCTTTACTGACCTCGAACCGGTTGCTTAGCTTCTGGATGGCCTTCCGAACCTGGTCGGGTGTGACGTTGAGTGTATGTAGTTGAGCCAGACCGGAGAGCAAGTTTAAAAATATCCACGAACTATGCTCGTCATCTACAATACCAGGTCTGGATGATGACAATCCAAGGTGCCGGATATAAGAAAGATTGTCAGCTGCGACCTGAGCTCGGTTGATGTCGAGATCCAAGGGTCGAGTTGGTCGTTGTTCCGGAGGGTCAACTCGCTTTGCAGCGTCCTCCTTGAGAGATTTATTCGCTCCCCCTGATTCGACATCATCCACTGCGTCGAGACTGGTTGGTGGATCAGCAGGCATGACATGAGCTTCACGACTACCCTCAGCCTTGCGTTTCCTGTTATTTCCTAAGTCTTGCAGTCTATCCGCACGTGCAGCTGAGTGTGAGATCTCTTGCTGTTGTATAGGCTGGTCATGATTTCCAGGGCCAGCAGTCCGACCTGTAAACAATTGTTCAAGACGTCGTACAATAATCGCTTGTTTTGCGCGTTCGCTCATCATAGGGTTGCGCCTAGGAAGTAGAGTATCGGGTATATCTTGCAGGTAAGTCTTCACAGCTTTGTTCTTGGATGACCTTTGCAGAGTGTTTAGCTTGGGGTCGTTCGATCCATCTTTGCCGGAGACAGAGTTCGAACCATAGCCTGAATCAGTCCGGAGAATCCTGGCTGGTGCTCCTTGTCCACTGTCTGGGGCAGATGAAGGAGTTTGAGAAGTAGAACCAGACTTTGGCCCAGCGGAGCCGTGCAGACTCGTAGCAAAATTCTTGAGTAGGTATTCCAACTCCTTCCTCTTTGCTGCGGGCAGACCATGCATTCGAACTTCAAAGAGTTTGTCCTGTTGTTGGGAGGCCACACTGGAAGCGGGACGACTCGACTTCTGCGAACGCAGCATATGCTTGAGCCGCTTGTTCTCTACTGTCAAGTCATCGATGACTCCTCTTAAATCCTCGTTCTCGCTGTCCATTTGAGAAGGCCTACCTCCGAAGATGCGATCGCAATCTGAGGCGACGAAATTGGTAGGGACATAGTCCGCACGACTATCCATATAAAATGGAGGTTCATCTGCGAAAGGAATCAGCAACGGCAATGACAGTAACAGGATAAGAAGGACACAACGCACCATCGACTTCGGGTGATCCGTACTGTGCTGGCATAGCTTTGTGAGCTGCATTGTCGAACCATTTGGATGCACTTCGATCTGAGGAACCGGATTCGCCAGATTCCTGGTTGGTTAGGACCCTAACCGAACGAGGGACCTCATCGCCGATTGTCTGCGGATTCTGCCTGCATGTTTCGGGTTCAGGAGTATGGCTCAATTTCTGTCTCTTCCTACGATCCTGCGTCCCAGTATCTATCACTGCATTTCTGGGCGGAGTTCTTCTCGGATGCGGCATATTCATGTTCTCGTGGTGCTTTCTGAGTTGCGCTCAGGCGATATCGTTAGGTACAAAATCGTCTATACTCATGCTTTGAGCACATTCAAAGTTGGCATGAAATAAATCCACAATAACGAGGCAATTCGTGATTAAAAGGTCTGCAACGATCGTGTTCGCGTTTGATCCGATCTCAGGTCAAATTTGTCGGTTGTATTGTGTGAATGTGAGTCGAAGCAAGAGGTCTCTTGCGGACATGGGGAGGTGTCGAAGGATACGAGTAGCAACATGGTGAGTGTTGCCATCCTGCCTGATGGATTCCAGACATCGAGTATCACGACGTCCATCGTAAACTTGGTGTACCAGATCGAAGTGGACGGAGTTGTTGGCAAAGAGCCAGTCAGTGTCGTCCGATCACCAGAACAACATGACAAGGCTTGCGACGTCTGCCCCGATCGAGAGCCTGAAGCATGGCTTTATCCGCATCTAGACTTTTCGCGTGGTGTGGCAGCCAATGATGCGCTGTTTCACATTCAGAAAATCGGCAGATCAGAGCAGGTTTCGCTCCACATGATGGCTGCCAGCGATGATCGTCGAGACGCATGTTGAATCGGTCCTGCAGTGGTTCCTTAAATCTATTTACAAGTTGTGGAAATCGGTCACATCGACGATCCGCGTCATTCTATCTTTGTCAGACCGGAATTACCAACGCATATGTTCTCCGTTCGAATTTCTTGCTTTCTGATCTCGAACTAATTCGTGATTGCCTTTGAGGCTGTAAATATTGTATATCCAGATATCGTCATTGCTATTGTACTCGAGTTCTTGATGAGCACCTGTCATGAAGTCTGGTATGAAGGTCCAGAGAAAATCTTGATAATGCTCATCTCTTAGAACCATTCCCCACAGACCGGCTGTTGCTTCCTCGAGATTTGAAATTATAGTCTGCTTTCTCGCCTCAGGGGTCTCAACACACCATCTAGACCCATGCGAGCCAAGCAGTTTCGATTGATGTCCGCTACGGTCCTGCAGCCGCACAAGGCCATGCATCTTCTGAAATCCTCGTACAAAACCTCTAGCATCCGCTCAACCCCTGCCTGACCACCATAAGCCAAAGCCCACAAGACTGGTCTTCCAACATAAACACATTTGGCGCCCAGTGCAACTGCAATAAATATGTCCGAGCCTTTCCTAACCCCACCATCCATATGAACTTCAATCTTACCCTCAGCGGCAGCGGCACATTCCTCGAGTACGTCGATAGTCGCAGGAACACCATCCAACTGCCTTCCACCATGATTTGAAACGATAACACCATCAGCATTCGACTCGATTGCGGCCCTAACATCCTCCCCACAAATTACACCCTTCACAAAAATCTTCATCTTGGTCCTCTCCTTCAACCACTTGATCTCCGTCGTCCAAGCCGCAGAGTCGTCATTCATCTTCGCAAACCCATCATCATGCGTACTCTCCCTGATCTGCCTACTCGTCCTCTCCATGTTAGGGAAACCAATACCTTCAGGCGTGCGGAAATCATTTCGCCACTCGTTGTACCGCACTCCAAGCACAGGACTATCTCCTGTCAGGAAAATAGCTGTACACCCTGCTTTTTCAGCACGTTTCACAATCCTCTCCTGTAGTGCTCGGTCACGCATAGGGTAAAGCTGCATCGCATACGCACTTCCTACCACTTCTCCCATTCCCCCAGAATCCAACGTCTCTACCACCCCTTTCCCAGCATCTATAACCTCCTCAACAGCATAACTCGCAAAACTGCTCACCCCCATATTCACACCCCACCTCCCCGCCGCCCTAGCCGTAGCCAACTCTCCATCCTCATGCGCCATACCCTGAATTCCCGCTGGCGCACACCCAACAGGAAACCTGACCTTCCTCCCCAGCGCCGTAGTAGAAGTATCCAACCCCCGCACATTCACCAGTACCCTCGACCGTAGATGATATTTTGTGAACGCATCGGAGTTTGCGGCGATGGTGCGCTGATCCGTCGAGCCGCTGTTGTAGAACTCACGAACTAGTGATGGGAGTTTACGGTCTGCTGCTTCTTTGAGGTCGGAAATGCTCAGGATGGGTTCTTTGGTGGGTTCAGGGAGGGGTGCACCGCCTGACATTGTGATGGAGTGTGATAGTTTGTTGTCTGTTTGAGATCAGGATTGGACTGTGCCGTTGTGTCTACGTATGCACATGGTGTGCTTGTGGTTGAATTCAAGTTGTGTCCTTCCAGGACAGCTGACGTGGGGAACACATCTCGCTCAAGTCCGTGGTCGTCTTGCAATGTTCCTGCATATAAGAGCTGATCATTCCTTGGCACGAAGGTTGTCTGTGGCATACCAGCGCTCCTTTTCAACATCGAGACACGATGAGATCTCGTAGATGTACGCAGTGAAGAACGCCAAGGCTTAGAAGAGTTGCCAAGGTGTAGTCAAATTGAAAGGCTCACAACAGCAGCAACACTGTGTGTACGAGAATACTTCAAGGATCAATTTTGAATCTTCATATTACTATTAGGTGTTCCTTCCATTCCACCCTCTACGACACCAAGACCCATTGCAGGTCTCAAGCTTTCACGCTCGCATACAGTGCTGATGGTCGTGAATACCATCATGAGTATGCGGCCAAGCCGTCAGTCATTTCTCTCTTTTGCAGCGAATGGAAGTACAACCTTCGGTAGCTATACACGAGCTTGTCTTGACGACAACCCGAAGTTGTTATACAAGCGAATGGCAGGTCTATCATTTGTAGACCGTAGTGCCCCCGCGGACCTCAAGTCGGCACAACCCCACGGGGCCACTCCCGTTCTGTAAATATACAGTTCTTCAATACATCCTTCTATCCCTATCCATCTATCAACAACGAACGTGTAGGAATGAGGCAAAAACACGCTCCTCAATGAGGCGTTTTTGCATGCAATGAACAATACCCAAGAGCAGAACCCTCATACTCTTTGTGTCCCTCTCAAAATTATCTTAGTCGAAGTGAATGGGAGAAAATTTTTCGTCCCAGCAGATTATTACAAAAATGTGCGCTGATGTTTACTGATGTCGCTCAGATCGTCGTCATGCTCCAGGTCATGCAATCGTGAAGAAGTTGAATATTTAGCTCTATATCGAGCTAAACACATCTCAAAATGCTTGTTATGCCCCAGGCGTTCCAGTCATATCACCTTGAGGTTGTATAGACATCGGCCCAGACGTGTCGCTCCTCATCGACTGGGCTTAGAGAGCCCGACGAAACAGAAGAAGAAGAGCCGACTGTCCATTCGTCGCTGTCTGGATGTGAGCCATGAACTATACCGTAGCCATGTTCGGTTGTTGGAGCATCCCCACACTCAATATAGTCGTAATCCCAGCGGAACTTCTTGTCCGGCTGGATTCTAGGGAGAAAGCGAGCTTTCGTGAAGTAAAAAATGACAGCAGCCAACAGACTTCCTGCCACTAGATCCACGGCATAATGGTGAGAAAGGTACATCGTAGACCACCAGAGCCATAGGACGTAGGTTGCGAAAAGGGGTGTGAGTTTCGGGAAACAGTGGCTCATGAAAAGAGCCTCGAGAGTTGAATCTGCAGCATGCAGCGAGGGAAGTGCTCCAAATACCATCGGTGAAGCGGTAAATCCAGAGGTGTAGAGATCAATGCCCAAGAGAGCATCAATTCGGGCTAAGCCAGCAGGAGAACCCTTCATAGAATAGTTTGCGGGTGCTAGTCCGTACATATTCTCATACCATGGTGGGGAACAGGGGAATAGTACTTGAGTCGTCACACCGATTATGTTCATCCAACCGAAAGCATAACCGAAATATCGGATAGTGGTAGGAGGAGCGAACAAGAACATTATGCCGGAGCAGACGAAAGGCGCACCGAAGTGTCCGAGGCCGTACGGGAACCATGCCAAAAGATCCAATGCCGTGCTTTTGTGTGCGGAAAGGATGTTACTGAGATTGGCGCCGTAAAGGATATTCTCGAGAGCAGGTAGGACTTTGACCCAGATCGAAGGACGCCATTCGCTCGGAATAAATCTGTGGTATGTCAGTCAAATTTCGAGACAGAATAAACATCGGGCTCGGTGCAAACTGACCTGCAAGCATAGAACCATATTAGATATGCCGCTATCGGCATGAAGGGAAGGAAGAACTGTCGTGTAATAGGAAGTAACAGGGATATGAGTAGCAGTGTTGCAACTGCTGTTTTTACTATTGGTCCTGGAGACTCCATAATGCTTAGACAGAAGATGCCCAGTATGGCTATTAACAGCCATTGCCCGTCGTGTACAGACCACCGATGTGCTTGCAGTGCTCTTAACGTATCGGCTGGAGAGAAGGAAGTCTGAAGCGCAGCCAGAGAGCTGGCTGGAGATTGTCTATTTCGAAGTTTACTGCGCAGTCTGCGCCGTAACCTGTGGGGGACAAGAAGCTGTAAGGATTTCCATGGTATTTTGACGGTTGTCTTGGTAGACGCATGTGGTGACTGCATTGCACCCGCAGGTGCTAGTTGTCGCGATCAAAGCCAACGCAAGATTGAGTCCCTGGAACAAGTTTGTGCCGTGGTCAAACTCGTCAAACGTTCTGTTTTAGGAAGCGCCGGAAATGCTTGGAGAAGAAACTGGATGTTGGTGAAAAGTGCAAAGGAAAGCTGAGGTGGAAGAGAGCTTAACAGGCAATCCGAGGGCGAAAATAATGCTGTCGAAGGAGAGATGTTGGCGGCGAAAAGGTGATCACAATGGTAGAGGCGTGAAAAGAGACGGAAGAGCTGGACTGGAACGAACATGACCGGCTGCCGACAAGTTGAACTTGAAGCACAAGCCTGCGCAGTCGCTTCTGATGATGACCAAATCAATTCTGGGGCCTGAACATCCGCTTCTGCCGCTAACTCCCAGGCAATCCTGCCCTCTGACTCGCTCCCCTCTGCGCCCAGTCAATGCAGCTTGATGTCACATGCAGTGGCTTATTCATGCACTAAAGAGAAATTATTTTCTTATGTCGCATCTATAATGAATCTTTTTCGGTGCCATATGAGATGTTCTCTATTGTTCAAAAGTTGGCTGTTGGTTTCGAGCCGTTCCAGTCACAAACAGAAGCAGAATCGGCTGTTTGCACAGGTCCGTGAGACAAGAGCACGCGAGCGTAAGAAACGAGACGCTAACGCAGCGGGCTACTTCTTGTCCCTCCACTTGGTCCGAACGGCAATCTTACGGGCTTCCCTCCAATCTTCCTTGACCTTGCGCTTCGCGCGTATTCGAGGTTATTGAAATTTGCTGCAGGTGAAATTTTTCGACAAAGTGTTGTCCCTGAGAGATGGGCACGTGTCTAGTACTTGTACATGAATTTTCTGCAAGATCAGGACGACAGCTATGCGATCTGATCGTTGCTTGCAATATCAGTATACCAGAACGCTTGAATTCTATAGCTGATCGCTAATCATGTTGAACCCGGAGAGCTTCGGAAGGCTTCGATGTTCATTCCGGTGGCTTCAATTCTTGCGACTTGAAACACTATTACCATAACTTGTGCTAATAATATGTCGAGTACGATATTTCTATTTTGATGAGAAGCGACTGATGCTGTACACATGGAAACTTTGCAAGGATTTTTGGACGTGACTTCAGGTCAATACAGATTTCAAGTTGTGTCGTCAGAAAGTTGTGCAAGAGCACATCGCTGATGCTTTGACCTGAACACAACTACAAATCACACCCCTTCGGCTGGCAGGTTCCAAAACCAGCACTGAGTGAACACGGCCGAGTATGAGCTCATCGTGGAAGATGTGAGCTGCCGTATGATAGTCTCTTTACTGTCTTCACACCTCGAATCGCTCGTATGATAATACAAAAGATGTACCAGGTGTCAGCACCACTACTGTAGTTTGCTTGAGTGTGCCACCTCGTTCTTATTGATGCATAGGATGGGATCCTAATTTCAGCAAATATTCTGACCTGTTAACAATGCTGCGCTCTGTTGCTGCTATCGATTTAGTCCAAGATTCGGCCTAAGCAAATGTGGAAGGAATCGAGCGTTGCAACGATCAAGAAAAGACCAGCACATCCGGAGCAATTGCAAAAACTTCTCGATTATTTCGAATACGTCTTGACACCTCGATTGCATACTGCAGGGAGGTTTAGATATGGTGGTATATTCCAGTGGTCCTTTCCACATCTCTTCGTTTCTTCATAAGTTCGTATCGACTAAGATAACAACAATGTCGTCTATGAACCGCTATGTCTTTGAGAATCTGCAAAAGTCAATGCCTGAATGTCAATCCGGTCGTGGTACTTACGCTCTTCGCTTGTCTGTGCGTGGTGAGGCCACTGGCGAGCCATGCATATTGCTCGAGGCGTTGTTCCATGTTTTCACTAGAACACTACTTGCAGTTAGACACTGTAGTCACTGTATGGTGAAGGTTCGTGATGTACCTCTGTGTACTGTCTCCTATTTGTTCAGCTGACACCTCCTTGACACCGACCTTGAGGCCGTCCTTGCTTAGCGAAACGTTCTTCTTCTCCATCTTCTTACTTGTCTTGTCCGCGACATCGACAGCGATTTGATAGGCAAGGAAGCCGACCACTGCAACCACAGCAAGTAGAATGACAGTAACGATTAGAGGGACAAGTGCACCGAAAGTCGACTTTGATTTAGCCATTTTGCTTCTGTTTCCTGGCCTGGTACGATAATTCGGGAACTGTGAAGGCGCAGGACTGATAGTAGAAACTGTATGTATTTTCTTTATGGTCCAAAATATCGAGCTGAATGCAAAGGATAAACCTACAGTGTACGACACGACAGACGCAGGTCAACCGCACTTGTGACAAAGTCCTGACATAAGAACCACATAGATCGCACCTGTAGCACTCGATCTTCATGCAATGCTGTCTCTGACATTCTACGAGTAGCACGCGTACAACACTCCGTTAGAGCGCCATGGCAAGCTGAAACTAACCGATAACTCGGACATGTGCTTCTCGCGTATATCGATCACGTGGACCCTGCACCTTCCAGTTGTTGCGGAAGCTACAGTACGTTCCACACTGAAAACGATTGAAGGCTCGAGCCTCAGCCAGCGCCAGAAGTATGCGTCAACAGCACGAATGACGCTCTACATATGTCAACTTGCTTCGGGCGATATGCTTCGAGGTCACTCAAGGTCCTGAAACCGCTCTTCCTATTGTCGGTAGCCGCCTCTGTTCCGTCTCCCGAACCTCTCTTCTATTTCTGCTACTGGAGATTGCCCAGGCTAGCATTCACACGTCCTTACCACACCGAACGCGAGCCTGAGCAAGACTCAAAGCCGAATCGTCAAGTTCCTGAAGCTATAGCAGCGCCTGAAGAAATCAAAGCTCAAGATGCCGCCTACCAGCCATGCCACGACGAGTTGCATGCATCGACAAGCAGAGACACGACCAAATCTCACAGCCTGTTGTGGACAGAAACACTGCCATTCGTAACCGGCTCATATTCCCCTTCAGCTGCTGAGTCAGGTGGCATAGTGAGAAGAGTGCTCCAGCCGAAAGTAAACCAGCCGCCAGAAGACGACTTGCAACCACCGAAGCTGAAGCGCATTGTTAATGGCGACTTGACCTTTGAACATTTGTGTCGTCTAACTTCAGCAAGTCCTCCTCCTAGTACCAATACTACCGTTCTATCGTTGCCAACGGTCACCCTACGTAAGCTTGTTGGGCATCTAGAACCTAATGCCTGGGTTCATCATGCTAGCAGTGGCTGTGCTGTTAAGATGACAACATGCTCGGACGACTCGAGCATGACAGTGGAGTTAGCAGGAAGTGAAAGAGCTAGGCAGATTACTGAGCAATTCCTGAGAGAAGGTGCTGATTATACTGAACCTCAAGAGAATTCAACATGGTCAGATAGAGCCGTGGTATTTCCACCCTACAACGATGTCAGAAACTTTCCTCGTCCGCCTCTCTGGACTCTACAGTCTTTCCAGCAGTACGTCAGCGCCCTTGTTCGCCTACGCCCTCGCCGCAGCGCGATGCGTTTCATTCACACAGACGTTGATGCTCACTCTCGACTCGTTGGCCGGATTATATTTGACGCCTTTAGCGATCCAGGGTCGGCCCCTTTTGCATCTACCTATGCTCTACGCCTTGCTGTCAAATTCTGCAAGCACCATAAACATTTGAACAAAATCGTGAAACAACTCTGGGCTCAGTCAATGAATCTAGGCTTGCAACCTGATCTTTGCTGCTACAATGAAATGCTCGAAACTTCTATGAAGGTAAAAGCCATGAAGACGTTCAAAGCAGTGTTAGTTCAAATGGAAGCTCGAGGTATCCAGCCTGATGCTCGCACTTGGAGCCTGGTACTCCGTGGCTCATGTCGTCCTGGCAATCATGAACAGGTCTTGGAAATCATAAAGAACAAGACCCGCCTTAGCACGTCGGCTGAGAAATCGCTGGTAGCTTGTGCCATCATCGACACTGAATTTCAAGCATATCTTAACCTGCCCGATGGTCTGCTCGCTTTCCGCCAGTATTTAGACGCCTACTTAGGCAGTGACTGGATCACACCCCGGCTCGTTGCGCGCATGCTCAGAATCTCCCGCTTTCAGCAAGCACATGCTTCAGTTGCATCAGATCTTCTTGGCTGGATAAATGAACAAGGCAGGTTGCAGTCTCTCGTCGATAGAACTTGTCTTGTTGAACTCATCCGCCTAGCTGTAGAAGCAGGTAATTTGAATGATGCACTCACGATACTCAAGTTGCAAATTGTGCAAAACGAACCAGATCTTGGACAGCACGTTATCGAGTCTCTATTTTGTCTCGGTTGGCGACTCCGCCGTCCTAACCTTTGTCGTCTGCTGTGGTTTCAGGCTGCAACGTCGGGAAGGATCACCTTTGTCATGCAGAATGCAGTCAGATACAGTTTGGTAACAAATGCTCACAGTGATAAAAATCCCGAAGTCAAAGACTGGTTGTGCCGAGCAGGCAAGATCATTGTTGGCACAAATCTTGACTCTGATAATTTTGAGAAGATTTTTCCTTCCCTGTTTGAAGACTCAAACATTGTTTCGTTGTTTCGGCCACTATCGGAATGGCAAAGCACCAAGAGTACGAGCAGACATGAGCAACACCAACTTGCCCAGGTACTGGTAGAACGCGATGTCAATGCATGGCGATTTTTCCGTCGGATACCTGGATCGATGTTCCTGGAATTACTTGATCAAGCTGTCGCCCTGGACGAGCAATGGCAAGCCGAAGGCGTGATGCACACATCAGCACTAGAAGACTTGATAAACGAGTCTTTACAAATCAACCTGGTCAAGCGAAGACAGCCTTTGAGAGCTGCAGACCTTTCTCCTCATCTAGCAGTAGAACCGAAATGGTTCATCGCAAATGGCTACCGGCTCAATTACGACTCTCTGCAAGTTTCAGCCGGTCCGGTAGAAGAAGGCATGGACCCTGAGTGGTCTGATTCCACTCAGTTTGTTCCGGAGGTCGACGAGTATGCTCTGGAGACTGATGATGCGCGGCTGGGTGCGCGGACTAAAATTAATAGTCGACGCTTTGATGTCCTCGAAATGCAGGAGCCGGAGCCGGAGGCTGAACCAGAAGAGGTGTTCCAGGCATTTGCCTGATCAGAATTTATGTATAGACACAATTGAATTCCACTTGCTCTTCACATTCGGTAGTGCATGCAGTCTTCATACTATGACAGTAGTTCGACAAATTTCTTGTGTCCGAGCAGTAGCATTTTCTCGTCTTCGTGGCTGCGTAGCAAAGGACAAGATCATTGTGTTTGTGAGTGCGATTGGTTTGTTGCGCTCTCTGTCTCGTTACTTGCTCGCACTGTATGCTCTGGAGTAGCAGATCAGCCGCAAAATCTAACTCGGTATAAAAATGCCTTGCTTCAAGAAACCCGAGGATGCAGCTACGATCACACCTCGACGTGACGTGATTATCGACATGCTTCCAGCACTCTACAACAGATCTATCTGTACGCCCCACGTACCGCGATGGCGAGCTCGACGGCCTTGCTCATTAAAAAAAAATAAAAAATTAAAGAACTGGTTCAAAAATTTTGTTCTGCATACGCACATGTATGTTCAAGTCATTTCCATACTCGACACCTTTTTATACCTGTGATATCTGTTTCGCATCAACGTCTTCAAATCCAGCCAGTTTGGTCTATAACTCTGCTGGGCTGTCCTTCTCGCAAACATAAGAGTTCCAATTAGTAGCCCGACAACGACACATACCATGAACAGCGCCAGTACCCATCTTGATGAATGGGCTTCTGCCCCAACCTCGACGATAGCCGAGTGCATCAAGAATCCACCATTATGATCCAAAGCCGCGACTCGATAGTGCTGAAACTCTTCAATGCCTGTCAGCGTGAAACTATCTTCGAACCCACTCTTGTCCTTGATGTCCACGGTCTGCCATTCTGAGTTGGGGGCACCGTTCTTTCTTGCTACGAGTTGCCACGCGCCTACTTCCGTGGCCCCGTTCCAACTGACATAGATTTTACCCCCTAGCCATTTTGCACTTGGGGGAGATTCTGGTCTACCGACCCAGTCGAACGTCTTGATGGCGCGATATGTCTTGACGCGTTCCCACCAGAATAAGATGCTGGGCGTTATGTGTGTTTCGCAGAGGAGCTTTCCGTCGGTTGTGAACTCAGAGTATGCGGCACTTGAACCCCAGCCGACTAGGACTTTGTCGTCTGGCAGGATCTGCAGCGAGCCTTGGGATGCTGAGAGAGCTTTACCGCTGGATGTGTATGAGTGTAAAAGCCGGGCGGTTCGGGCCTCAGGATCAATCTGAATGATTAGACCGAGGCTGTGGTCTGCATCGTTCATAATAGGCCCAGCACTGCCGTTGTCGAAGAGGCTAAGGATGCCTTGCTCTTCATCGACCCAACGGGCGTCGTGTTGCCATTTAAAGGAGGTTGCTTTTCCATCGGAGAGGTCGTGGAAATCGTTGTAGTCACCGCCGAGAGTCCAGAGGATCTCACCGAGGGGATCGAGGTAGGTGAGTGAATGATAATGCCTCGAGGAGATGAGGTAGTTCCCAGCAGCATCCTTCTGGATGCTGTTGATGTGGAAGAAGTCGTACGGATTTGCGGCTTTATATCCACCAAAAGGATTAATATAAAGTGATTCAGCAGGATCAAAGTGGTCTGATGCACGCCATTCAAAGAGTAGCTCACCAGTCGCAATGTCGACCTCTTGAAACAACGAGTCGACGATCCAGCCGTCCTTTGGTCTTCCCATAGCAGAGATATCAAACTGCGTTATGTTGTAGACCGTAAGCAGTGCTGTTCCTCGATCTGTTATGACAAAATCGTGCAAGTCGCCCGTTCGAGGCGCGTGCTCAGATGAGGCAGCCTTGACAACGTGAACGAGGTCGTAAGACGAGTTGAGCATGTGGTAGCTGCCCATTCCGATGCCGCCAACCTTATGCCCTGCCCAGAAGGTAAGGTAGTTTTCACCCTGATACTGCTGAACCTTCAAGTTCATCACGACCCCATTCCCAGAAGCTGTCCAAACCAAGTCACCTCTAGAATCGAGAATCATTGGACCCATATTAGGCACAGCATCCCCAAATGGGCTGACGAGGACGTAGCCATGATCGCAGGACTCATCCCATGCAACGACATTGACATCAGGCGATTCACCATTGAATGTGACATAACTTCTTGAAGGATATGCGCCATATACTGCCAGGTCATAAAGCGATGGCACCAAAGCGGGTATGATGAATCCAAAGAGTGGTAGTACCACTCGATGGAAAATGAGTAAAGTTGCTCCCGTAGCCAGTAGAACCAGTATGGTACCAGCGATTGCTCTTCGGCTAGGACAAACGCATATCATGGTGATCAATTATATCGCGACCGTTATGGCATATTGCTGATTTGCAAGCATGGCTCTGGTCGTCCCTTCAACTCGTACCCATCTTTTCAGCATAGACCGACAACACTATCAAATCTTTCACACACTAGCCACAACAACGATATCGCCATATGCTCGCAACCCTGAGCACAAGGGCCTGTAGGCGAAAACGACATTCTTGGGGAACCATTCTGTCTTTGGCGACAGCGTGTCACGGCTAATCACTAACATAACGAACAAGCCTCTGATTCGAGAGACAGAGCTCCATTGCTAGGGGAGCTAATCTCGCGGAAAGTCTGATTCGATGTATCGCATGCCAAGGTCTCCAACATGAGGGTGTTGAGGCAGTGCAAGCGGAACCAAGCACGTTCTCGTTTCCTTGGCACCTCCCATTCACTTTCCTTATTCGCGATCCTGTCCGGGAGAATGTCAACTATCGTAGATCTGCGAACACGAGCCTGGAGCACAGAGATCATCCGACATCTTTAAGGCAAGATGCTCGACGGTGTGAATGTTCTTTAAGGCATAGTTCTGACCTACAGTCTCGTACCGACGTCCCGTCACGGAAAACCACGTTCATCAGGAGGTGTTGTCCGATAGTACGTGCAGTAGCATGGGACTAATGACCTTGACAATCGAGCATCCCAGCTTCGCGAGTCATGTTTATCAACAATGCCGATAGAATACAGTACTTGCAGACTTGCCTAACTTTTGACGTGAAAACTTGGTCTTTAGCAGCAAGAACTGGATGATCAAGGTCGGCAGCAGCGGCACAGAATCTCTTCTTGGCTCCACCCCAGAACTTCCATATTTTTTCGTCACGTGCTCGCTTGTTGAGGTATTGTACAGGTGTTTACCTCGAACAAGTTAATAGATTGCAGTATCCAACATGAAGATATGCCAGCGCATTCAGCGCAGAGCTCAATGTTTCTTCAGGCAATATTCGTGTCACACTGTTGCAATAGTAGAAAGCCCAGACATTTTTCGTGCCACTTTTTAGTTTTTGTCGAAAGTATCCTGTCTAAGCTCGTTACAATCATTTCGCACGCTGCAAGCTTGTTCCAATTCAGAACATCCTCGCTATTCGTGGGCTCTTTATTGAGCACCCAGTTCATCAGTCAACGCAAAATCCAGTTCAGCTTCCGACGATGTAGGAAACGCTCAAGAACGATGAACCAAGCAAGGTCACATAGTGTATCCCGGATTGGGATTGACAGATGTAGCAGCAACAAATATCTCGCAACTCTAATGAGCTGAAAAAGTCACGACCGTAGCTTTGTGTAGTCCGCGACCAGGCGACGAGTCGGTCACGGGGTTTGCTGTGAGTTGTGTAGAAGTGGTCAATCTGTCTGAAATCCTATAAGGCGAGTCAGCGACAAAGAACGACTACCTCACCTAATCGTCGATCGTTCAATCGCTCAAGTAGCTCGTTTTCACTGATTTCAAAATAGGTACACATCTCATCGAACGAATGCGTGCCGTCAAGAAATGACACAAGCGGTAATCGGATACGTCTTTTCGTGCTTTTGCTTGTCGACGTGCTTGTGGCTGAACTGAAATTGTGCATCTCGGATGCTGTATGCGTCTGATGGCTCTTATTTCCAGCTTCTGAGAAGTTTGTTTGCACAGCATATCGATGGACGCGGTATAGAAACCCTTTGATGATGCCGAAAGTCACGAAGCGCCGAATATCTATATTCGCAAGCATATTGCTGTTTTGCAGAAACCACTCGCGTACGGTCAAGCCCTGTCGTAAGCATGCGTATAGTTGAACAATCGAGACACCATCAGCAACATCACCTCGTGCCGTGAGGGGCCAGAAGTCATTGTCAGTGATTGCTGTATTTGTGGCGGCTATACTACTAGCCTTGAAGGAACCTGTAACATCTGTTCCTGTGGTCAAGTTCTCAAGTCGTGCAGGTTCAAAGGCAGTGTTGACATATCTTGCGCACTCGGCTTGCATTTCCAAGTCTGTCGCAATCATGCCGGTGAACTCTGCAGTTGGGGCATAGATAGCATTGAAGCTGAATATATCCAGTAGAAGCACGCAGCCATAGTATAACAGATGTCTGACACACTTTCTGGTTAGGCCAAGGTCGGCATCAGCCAGTATCGCAATTTTCTTGACACTATTGACTCCATTGATAAACGGAATGATTCTTTGCATGGTGAGGTCCCAGTTGTGGTCCATCAGACTTTCGATACGAACTGCGAAGAGTGGTACGTGCCATGCTTTGACGGGAGCTGGATTGGGCAGGGTAGGAAACAGTTTGACGTTCAAGGTATTGACGTCGTCGATAGGTATCATGCATTCAGCATAGTTGTTCAGATCCTCCATCAGAGTTTCGCACAGACTGTATACCTTCCCAGTGCCTGGCTCGGAAGGATCGTCAGAAAGGAATCGCGTCTGTTCTTCCAGGCTGCGCATGAGATGAGCGAGCTTGACAATGACGGATCTGTAGCTTGGCACATCGATCACGTCTGGCTGAGAGAGGACAAAAGCGAAGTTGAAAATGAACTGGTTTCGTGCATATGTTTGACTTTCGATACACACGGGATGAGAGACTATCACACATTGCGATCCTTCTGCCTTTAGTGGAGGCGGTATCAGTGATAGTAGATTCCCGCATAAGGACTGACGTGGTATGAGAAATCGAGATATGGTTGAGAAAGATAGAAGTGCATCCGGCTCAGTTTCTGGAGTGGTGGATACTAGGCCTTCGGGAATTTGGTGAACAATCTTGGGACCTTTTGTACTGATCAGATAGCTCTATACAACAGAAACTAACCAAGTCGTACCTGCTTGAGGGTCGAATCGTGCGTAGATAATCCCAGCTATTGACATCTTGTCAACACAGGGCAGTTGTCATTATCGGGATTCCGCGATGAGAAATGTACTGTTGACGACCGTCAGTAGGAGGTCAAAGAACAACATCGCTCCTTCACAGATTCTTAGTGCTCATATGGAGTATGAGCCGTGCTGAATCACAGCGTCTGTAAACATGTTCTTCAAGAATTTCAAATCAGACAGACCCTACCTTGTGGCCTACAGTCGGTGTAATTTCGGCCTCGTCCTCGGTACGATCTCGATGTTCTTGCGAAATGAGTACCGAACATTATATATACGTCGCAGTCAAAATATGCTTCGAAATTTTGCACACACGCATTGATGGCCGAGTGGTCTAAGGCGGCAGATTTAAGTTTATCATTCCTGATACAAATCTCTGCTGGGAGTGATCCCGCGTGAGTTCAAACCTCACTCAATGCAACAACTCTTTTTACAATTTCTTTTTGGCTGATGTCCTGTGCTTGCGCCCCAAGAATGCTCATCTTACACCACTGATGTAATTGAACGAAGGAGTCCTGCTACTATAGCCTGATTGATTACGGCTCTACAACAAGTGGTTCAGAGGGATATAATTGTCTCGAACTTCTTGATCTACACTAAGTACTCGTGACGTACAACTACCATCCTTGTTTAAGATATGCAGATTCTCTGGGCATAACACTCTTGCAACACAGATGACAATACCTCATTTCCTTTTGTACCAATCACCTCTGATATCTTGCCAACTGGTCCATTATATTCTGTACACTTTGTTGACCAGGCCCGCCTTGTTGTTGATGAGGCTGTGGATAGAGGTTTTGACCGTAGTACTGTGGTGGTGGCGGCGGTGGCTGACCATAGGGCGTGAACGGCTGACTAGCTGAGTGTGCGGACTGTGGTGTGGGAGGCGCACCAGCACCGCCTTTGAGATTAGCCAGCAGCTCATGAAGGTTTGGTGGTTGACTAGTCGCACTTTGAGGAGTTGGATAAGGCGGTGGTCGGTAGGGCTGTGGCGGATAGGTGTAGTGCTGCGGAGCTGGATGTTGTTGCGGCAGAGGATATGGTGGTTGTGGTGCCCAGGGTGTGTTTGGTGAGCTGTGTTGGTACGGACTTTGAGGTGGTATTAGAGCTGGTGGAAAAGGTGGGCGTGGCTGCGTCATTACACGTTCTCGTTGTCGTGCTTGGATCACAACGTCGGCAGCGACTGAAACATCTAAGTCCACGTACTCGTTGAAGGTAATGTTCGATGTGCCAGCGCTGCGATCGAAAACTTGCAACGGAACTTTGCTCCTCGTTTGATGGCTCGACCCAACTTTCACAACAGCTTGAACTCCTTCCATGATCTGTCGCTTGATTACAGCAGCCAACGGGGTTCTAGTATTTAGCCAGGTTGAAGCTGCAGTTAGGCCCTTCCGTCTGAAGCTGTCTTCAATCCAGTTGACAAACGCCTGATTCACGCCAGCATCCAATACGATAATTTGCACGTCGGGGACATATCTTGGATCACGCCGTGGATATGGTAGGCTAGCCTCGTCATCATAGGCAGCTGGCTGAGGGGTGTTGTAGGTGCCATTGCTCAAAGGTGATCTGCGATCGTCGCGACTGTTTCTTCTGTACCCACGTGGAGACGGACTTCGATTTCTGTAGACCTCTCTTCGTCTGCCGGGATCGTCACGAAAATCGCTGTAAGGCCTTCGTTGTGGGGACCTCGAACGTCTTCGACTCTGGTTTTGGTTCTGACTCTTGTTGTTCTGCTGACCCGCATTCTTGGTGTTCTTCTGAGGCTTCGACACTTCCAAATGCACCTTGCGTCCACGTAGCTCAACGCCCTGTTCGGCATCGAGAGCAGCTTTGCAGCTCTGAGCATCGTGGTACTGCACAAATCCGTATGCTTGTTTGATAGAAATTTGTGCCAGTTTACCATGCCTGTGAAATTTGTGGAATAAATCTCTTTTTGTCACCTTCTCGCTAGGAAGATTCCCGACAAAGAGTCTACTACCCATCGGAAAGCGGTCCCAAATGCCTTCGGTGACATAGTGCCTCTCATCCTCGAGGAATTGATCATAGATAGCCTGTGTCTTGGGCGACCAGGGTCGATCTGCAGGATCGATCGGAGACAGAACCGCGGGCTGTGTGTTTTGTGGATGGTATTGCATATCTAATGCACTCGGTTGCTGGACAGGAACATCGATGTCGAACAAATGCCCAGGAGTAGGGAGAACAGAGCCATTCCCAGGCTGATGGATGCTAGAATTGACTAGATTAGCATCGGTCGAAAAGCCATTAGCTTGGGCCTGTTCATAAGTGCTCTCATTCGCAGCAGAAAAGGGCTGCTGGGCTTGCGTGACATCAACAGAGACAGACGTGGCAGCTTGATCTTCCAAAGGAGGTGGCTTAGGAGGTAGACCAGGGAATGAAGGTAAGGAGCTCGGATGAACATCAGGAGCAATGGCATCGGTGACGGGTGCAGTGATTGTGTCTGAGGACGGGGCAGTAGAAGCTGACTGTGCAATTGTGTCAAGCAGGGACTGGTAATCTACACCCGTGTCTGGCTTCGTCTCGCCCGATTCAGCAGGCGCAGCCTTATTCTCTTCGCTCAGGTGGTCCATCTCTTTCTCGAGACCTGCCTCTAGAGTACCACCATTTGGTACGTATTCTGTGTTTGTATTGTCATACTCGGTGGTAAGGGCCGGATGCGTCTGAGTGGAATAGGCTGGTTGTGCATCATTGAGTTGCTGTTGTTGCATACCATCAGTCGCATTCGCATTCGGCGTTACTTGTCCATTGGGAAATGAAGATCCAGGATGATTAGTATATTGGATGGACACATTGTACGATGGGTTTGTGGGCACAGGGTGAGTGGGAGTAGAATGGATTTGGTTTGCAACCGCACTGTCGGCATTACGAAGGAAATCGTGAAAGGGATCAGTTGCATTTCTGTCGGTAGAGCTCTTGTAGGCAGGGTTCTCTAGAGTGTCGCCATAATGGGCGAAGTTCTGGTCGGCAGGGATGTTGTATGTCGCAAGGTCATTAGAGGAAGGGTCCATCTGGTTGAGGAGGACAGGTATCTTAGCAGGCTCTGGCAGATGAACAGGCCGTGGACTTTCGGGTGTTTGGGTCCTCGCAAAGCGTTGCTGCTCGACGGGCGGCCCGTCACTACTCATGATACCGAACGTCTTGCTGCTTGGACTTCATTGGTCATATGGGCCATGCAGAGAATGACAGTTGAGACAGCAAGTAAAGTAGAGCAAGCTGGCGCAGAAGTGACGACACAAGGCCTGCGGGATGCTAGAGAGTAAGAGTGAAGAGTCAACACCGAGAAATGGTTGAGATGAATTGTTACACTTGATGATGACACGCGAAGAGGGGAGTATGAGCTAGGTCGACAGCGATGGTGCGGAAGCAGAAGATTTTGCACCTTCTCGACCATGCTCACGCTCAACATGTGTGCAGCAAGCAGCGTAATTGATAAATCGATTGGGGCAGCGCGGCTGACTTGCCGATTCGCGACGGTACCGACCTTCAGCCAGTGGACGGCTCTCTTCCTAACTTTCCCACTGCAGCCTCCTCATGCTATCGTGTGTATGCTGGCATCTCCGAATGCAGTTGCGACCCAACTGGCGTAGCTGCCTCACAAGCTGGACACCTCTCGGAAGCTACTCAGGTGCTCGGCAGAGCTCCCGATGGCTGTCTTCAACGTCGCCATGGCAGTCTGAGCCGGATTATGAGGCTGCTAGGAGATGGCATGCACAAATGAACGGCAAGCCCATGTTCAATGAAATTGGCGAAGTCTCTTATGCACGTGCCAGTGGTCCAGGTGGTCAGAATGTGAACAAGTAGGAAGGCAACCTCTGCTCAGCCATAATCTCGGCACTAATGGTAGTAGAGTTAACTCCAAGGCTCAACTACGTGTCTCACTAGACCAGCTCCTCCCTCTACTGCCTTCCGTCCTACACGATGGCATCCGTAAATCGCCTCATTATGCTGCCAGAACGAACTCTTTACTCATACAATCCGATGAGAGTCGGAAGCAGCTAGCCAACAAGGAGACTTGCTATAGTAAGCTTCAGTCGCTGGTCGAGGAGGTATACCAAAAGAGCGTACCAGGCGAGACGTCAGCTGAACAGCACGAGCACGTCAAGAAACTCCAGAAAGCCGACAATGAGAACCGTCTGAAAAAGAAAAAGATCCATTCCAGCAAAAAGGCTGCACGTAAAGGTGGTGGAGATGACTGATGGCCAGGTGGATGTGAAAAGGACAAACTGTGTGCAGACCGATTGCTTGAAGCATTGTCTGAACCACCCTTTGAAGATCAGATCGTGCACATGGAATTGCAGTATGCCTATAGAGGACGATGCTCAACGAGGGCAAGAGAGAGTTCAGGAATTGGCCACTATTTACGTGGGCGAAGAAGGCAAATCGTTCGAGCTGTTCTGTGAGAGACACAGAGCAAAGCAGCTACTACAAAGACCATCACATCTTCAACAATGAGCAACTATTGCATTGCCCAAAGAACAGTATGATTCGAGTATGGAGAGTGCTCTGTTTACAGCAGGTCAATCATACTGTGACTGCCTCCAACCACACCGGCTTCGTTTGTGACTTCAAAGGAGCCAGGATAGCCGCCCAATCGACACACTGTATCTGGAAGGAGAGTGGATCAGCCTGGTCGATTGTTAGGGACGATGTTTGATGTTGAGACGGTCATCAATGCATGGCCGCACATGTACTTGAAGACGAGATATAACTTCACACAGTTGTTGGCTGACCATTGTGTAGGGAGTGCTTAGGCTTTGTTGAAAAAGTACTTCGAGTAAGATGTCGGGAATTATGCAGGAGAGCATCCCTCGCCTATATGGTACCCCAACCTGTGCGATCAACACTAGGCAGGAAACCTGCATCGTAGGTATGACTTTGAAATGCTTTCGGCGAAGTAAGCAATCGTTGAGCGCCTCGCTCCCCTATCGAAAACACCAGATACACCAAGCTATGTAGACAATCTAGAGCAACATTAAATACCAGCTCGAGCTGCTTCTCCCGCACCTCCCTCAGATACCTGCGCAGTGTTGATGTCAGCCTTCAATCTCGTCCCCTTACTTTTACTGCTACTCTCCCCAACTCCCATACGCCTCGCCACATACCTCTGAGCAACAGTGCCAGCAGCAAGACTTAATGTCTCCTCCATCCACTCACTGATCCATTCTCGAGGATCAACTCCACCACCATCGATGATCTCGCGTATACTCTCAGGTAGAGCACCCTCGACATCACCAGGTGCATCGAGCCAATCCACCCACTGCAGAGGCACGGACTGACTGACAGCGCTGAACGCTATACCATGGATAGGGTCGTGGAGGTAGACCGCGAAGAAGAATTCGTCACCCGAGTCTCTTTCGGCTTCGGTGTCAGCATTGGACGCGCCTGAGCCTGCAAACAAATCTGCCGATATCGGTTGAGTTATAGCTTGAATAGCCAGGAAGATCGAGCTGTCTCTTGTGGGATTACTCTCGCTCAACGTCTCAGTAGCTTTCTTCGCAGCTTCCTCAAGACCACCTTTCGAGGCGAAGAAGTCTGCTGCGTAGCCCTCTGCACTCGCTCTCACGAGTTTGGTGCCCTCTGCAAGACCTCTGACAGCATTTGTGCTTCTTGGACCTTGCATCCTCCACCAGGGTCCATCGGACCATGCGCCGCTCATACTCGTGATACCCATTCTGCTGCCAAGTTCTCGACTCGACCTCTTGGGACCAGCTTCTTCACCTCGTTGCACTACCATTAGATCACCACCTTCGACCTGAGCCATGACTCTCTCAAAGACCCGGTAGACAGTGGGGTCTAGACTTGGGTAGCCTCGCAGATCGTGCGTGATGTGTACAGCCAAGCGCTCGTGCGAACTGATCGGCGGCGCAATGGTCTGTAATATGTTCTGAAAAGTTGGCATAGCTATGCTGCGAAGGTTTCCAATTGTGTCTGAGGACACACCAAGACCCTTGAGAAGGCCAGTAGGGTTTCCGCGCAACTGCTCAGTGAAAGTCTTCGCATCTACATGTATACCACGTTGTTCAGCTTGGTGTTGTGCCTGGACCTGTAAATTCTTCACCTGTGCTTGTGCCTGAGTGACTGCCGAGGAGGCAATACTGCTAAACCAGCCACCCCATCCTCCTCCTCCTCCGCTAGCTTGTTGAGCTGGTACCGGAGCCGGCTGTTCCTCAGCCGGACTGTCGTCTGCCGTCGTCGTGGCAGGTGTAAATGCATTTCCACTCGATCTCGCACTATCGCCTGACTTTCTATCACTACCAGTAGCTTTATCTTCACTCAATCGAGAACTCGCGGTATTCGGCGTGGTAGCTCGTTTCGGAGACTGATTTCCTGGTTGCCGCGAGTTGGGTTTCAAGGAAGGAGTTCCAGGTCGAGATGAGGGTCTCTGCGCCAAGTTTCCAAGTTCGGCAAGCAGATCTTGCTCTACTTGTGATGTACTTCCATGTCCTGACTTTGGCGCTCTCGATGCGATCGGTCTTGTCTGTCGTGGCTTTTGGTGACCTTCTGTCGATAGGTCATCGAGCTGCGCAAGGAGGTCGTCGGGGTTGGTGTTCTTGGATGTCATGAGGACGTTGATGCGGGTTTGCTACTCGGCCGAGGTGGAGAATATGCGAGAAGTTCGAATCTCTCATTTAAGTAGATCTCGCAGTGGACATTGACTAGGTTGTGGTCGTACAAGCCGGATGCTGGGAAATGCTGCAGGTTAAAGTCGACCAGGGTTCCGTGTTGACGCTTACACGAAACCGCGTCAACGGTGGAGTAGTCTTCGTGGCACGTCATGATCGACGACTATGATTTGAATCACTATGAGATACGACTTGGTCACTAAACTATTCTATACAATTGCAGTAATAGACTTGCAGACGACCTTGGCCAAATCTGAGATTAGTCTCTCATAAGAGGGAGCGCCAACCAGATTGTGTCATAGGATTCTGTATAGTGCAACGGCAACTATTAGTACGACTAATCAAACCTTATATGGGAGACTCGGCATGCTCATAGAGATGGATAAACTGCTTCGACGGATCCCGTCTGCTTCAAATCTCTACTTCTAATCGCACAAAAATTCCATCATCCTCGATATGGCATGAGCTGTGCATGCGCCACGTTCAAATCCTGGTAGCTGCTCTTCAGACAGGCTAAGATACAGACCACAACGCCTCATGTATGCATAGATATACGCGAAATGCTCGCTGAACCAATTTCAATAATGCAGGTTTCCGACGAAACCAAAGATCAGTTTCTTATCTCATCTGTTCCTCCTTGGGCTCACGAGATTTGAATTGTACAATGGTGGTGTGGGTAGATCTTTGTGTGGAGGTGGAGGTAGAGGTCCTGAAGGTGGTGGATATCGAGAGGGTAAGCCAGAACTAAAAGGGCCAGCTAACCTCGAACCACTGGAGTTGTTGCTGCTGGAAGTTCGTGGTGGAAACATCGGCCTTCTAGGCTCGATAGCGGAGGCTGGCTCAGGTATGTTGTTATTACTGAAGCTGCGAATTGCGCGTCCCGTACTCTCATGTGGATCATCGGTTTCCAACGAAAGATGTTGCAAAGACAATGGTGGTGGAGGAGATCGCTCTGCGAACCCTGTTGGTATCTTTAATGCAGACATACCTGCTGACAATGGGTTTCTTTGAGGAGGTGATTGTGGATGCATGACCGTTATTTCTCCACCTAATGGACTGGCTATTTTCCTTGCTGTGGTTGGGGTAGCACTTGACATTGATGTCATAGGCGTGTCGATAGTACTTGTCGTTGGCATAGACGATGTAGACGGGTTTGAACCGCTATACCATGTGTGATCGGACGTGCTGCCATCGCTGTTCAAAGATTTGGGTGCAGGGGGTGCTAGATATGATTTGCGATTATGGCGGTCCATTAGCGAGACTGCCCATTCTTGTAGATCGACTGGTGTGCGTTTCGCAGCTTGCACGAAGTGGTCGTGATCGTAAAGTTGGCGCGGAGAAGGACGTTCGTCAGGGTTCTTTAGAAGGCACTTGGCCACGAATTCGTCGAGGATAGCTGGGAAAGCCTCACTCTTTGGCAGTTTCGGAGCCGGTTCGTGTACAATCTGCTGCAGGAGGTCAAGAATACCCATAGGACCGGAGCTGGCTCGATCACCTGCCGCAGAGTCCGTGGCATCGAAAGGAAATCGACCGATTGCTAGCTCCATCACGGTCAAGCCCACACTCCAGACATCGGACCTGACCGTGTATGCACCTCCTTGTATCCGTTCGGGTGCCATGTAAGTTGAAGTTCCGACAAAAGTATCAGCAACCGAATTCACTGTCTCAGTAGCTACACCAAAATCACAAAGCTTGATCATTCCCCTAGAATTGACCAACACATTTGAAGGCTTGATGTCGCGGTGCATGATTCGATGTGCTTCGTACAAGTAGACAAGACCTCCCAGGATCGATTCGGTCAGCTTGCCTAGGACGTCGACCCGTACAGGACCAAAGTCTTTCGATATGCGATCCAGGGAGCTATTGCAGCGTGTGAGTAGATTAACCATGTACACGAAGCTCTGACTTACCCGCAGTCCATGTACTCCATACACAACACGATGTCTCTTGCTTCGTTTTGAAAAGCACCATAATATCTAATGACATATGGCGAGTTACATTCATGGCCAACCTGGAGTTCGCGCACGATTTGTTTCCGAACGTTCTCCTTAGCGTCGACTCGAATTACCTTGCCCTGGTTAGCTATACTCACCTGAGTTCTGGGGAGGCATTGTTTACCTTTCTTGCCATAATCACCTTGGTGGTGGCATGCATGACCTTACTGACAGTACCACCATTGCCTGCGCCCAGCTCTTTCAGCACAACCAAATCTTCACTTCTCAGATCCAATTTGAATTCTAGGCCAATCTCTAGGGTATCAGCTCTGTTGGCATCGGCATTCCCTATAGCACCCGGTATCTGTGAATCGCCCTCAGACGGATTTGCTTGCTTCGGTGGTGGTGCATTGAGAGCCAAACCCTTGACGTTCTTCCTCTTCAGAGTTCGTGCCTTGAAAGGATCGGACATCGTACTGGTTGCAGGTATACAGTGGTCGGGACTGAAGGAGTGTCTGTATGTTGGTGTGCAGCCTGCCCAGAAATTCGGGAAGGGACAACCAGGTATATCAAGAATGGCACTAAATTATTATAATAGTCGTAAATGCGATCAGAAGCAAGTAGCGTCTCAAGCAGGCGGCTATAGGTCGCCGCTGCCCGAATAGTGAGCAGAAGCGCTTACAACGATTCGAGATTGGCGACGCTCTTCAGACCAAAGAGACTATTGGTGCAAGGTTACACGTAGCCGCACAAGATCTATTCGCGGACATATGCGAACGCCACTCTCTCAACTGGAATGGAATCGCATTCAATTTGTGCTTTGGTTAGGATTAAGAATGAGGATTCCAGGTACGGAACGTGATGGAGGTGGGTGATAGGTGATCGACGACAAACTGTGGCACTACTTTGAGCTAACTAATGACCGCCTCGCCCATTCTGCAAGGAAAGGGATTAGGCAATGTGACTGTTCCAGTGGACTATCCGAAATGCCTGGAATCTGTAAGAGATACGGTCTATTCGAGGTTTTTGTCTACCAAGAGAAGATTGTTGCGACAGCAAGAGTGTCAGTTTGGTTCCTTCAAGAACCACCATCTGCCAAGGGAAGGCACGATCCATGCCAGGGACTGCGGCAAGTGCGTGCACCTGTGAGGGCAAACGTGACACTCATGCCGGTGTTTAAACGACAGCCTTGTTGAGACTTTCAGCCTTATTGCGGCGAACCGTAACCTGAAGTTGTACTCAAGGGCAGCGTGTTTCTCGAACTTGCGCTTGTGCTTGCTTCGTCCGACCTCTAATTATCGACACCTTGTTACTTCTGCCTGTTCTTAATATTCGTTTCACACGCCAGTCTGGCGGTCTTGGTTGACGTCTACTCGTCGCTTTATCTGCGCTTGAAGTTCTGAGCACTAAGCCTGATATTCAACGACTACACACGGCTTGAATTAGCCAGCATGAGCCACAACTTTTTCGACGATACGGCCGAAGTCGGCGACGAGGAAGACGAGGAGTCACTAGACGAGGAGACTGGTAACTCCAGACCAAAATACAATGGCACGAACGGCATTGAGGACTCTTCAGAAGAGGAAGACGACGACGATGAGGAGGAAGCACGCAGAGTCGCAGAAGGCTTCATCGCCGACGAAGATGAGGAGGACGATGATGCTCGAAGAGAGCGTCGACGTGAGAGGAAGAAGAAACGAAGACGCGAGGAACGTGAGGAAGAGGGCCTCGACGAGGAAGATCTAGAACTTATTGGTATCAAATCTCAGCGGGAGGATGCCGAACCTAAATTCAAACGCCTGAAGCGTGGACCTCGAGAGGGTCGAGAAGACCGCGCGCCCGGCATCAATGACATCTTTGGTGCCTCCGACGAGGAGGATGAAACCATCGATCGACGAGCAGAACGTTTCGACCGCAGGGCCGCTCATGATGAGTTCGACGACTTTATTGAAGAAGACGTCTTTTCCGACGAGGAGCAGCAGAAGCAGCGAGAAGATGAGGAAGTTGCACGCCCTAGACGACGAGGCATTGCCGACCTTAGTATGGCGGCAGATGCCGGCCTAGACGAGCAGGCCATGGAGGATTTCCGGGAAGCTTTCGGCGACGGCACGGATTACGACTTTGCTCTTGAGGCCGAAGACATCGCTGAGGAAGAAGAGCACCAGAAAGAAAGGCACCTAAATCTAAAGGACGTATTCGAGCCGTCACAGTTAGCCGAGAAACTGCTTACGGAAGAAGACAACACAATCAGACTCACTGATGAGCCAGAGCGCCATCAACTTGCGAGAAAACCTTACAAGCACATTGACCTTTCCGAACAAGAGTTCAGGGAAGAGGCTGGCTGGATAGCGAATCGACTACGTGCGAAAAAGAACATACAGTCTGATCTGCAGGAACCTTTCCGCAAAGCTGTTGCTCAAGTCCTTGAGTTCTTGGTCCACGACGAATACGAGGTTCCCTTCATCTTTCAAAACCGCAAAGACCACTTGATCCATGCTGTGCGAAGACAGGTCGGCCGAAACGATGATGGTACTCCGCGCTATGAGATGGATGCTAACAAGCTTCTAAATCAGAACGATTTATGGGCCATCTTCGACCACGATCTCAAATTCCGTGCTTTCATCGAGAAGCGCCAGCAACTCACCAAAACCTATAACGATATAAAGAGTACGAGCGTGGACTTCTCAGATCCAATTTTCGACAGCATGCTTCTACAAGCGTCCAATCTTGAAGAATTGCAAGATTTGCAGGACTATATCTTCTTCCAGTACTCGGCTCGCATCAAGGACGTGACTGCCACAGCAAGCAATGGAGAAACCAATGGTTCAACTACAATGCAGAAGAAAGCAAACGCAAGCACTATCTACGAGGAAATTCGTACAAGCAAGGTCTACCATGTTGTTAGAGCTTTCGGCATAACTGCTGATGCCCTTGCCAAAAATGCCCTTCAAGAAGGACCGAAGACTTACACTGAGGATCCATCAGAGACGCCAGAGAATCTGGTAGACTCATGCGTGGACGAGACGTTCTCTACGGGTGCTCGAGCTATGAAAGCGGCTCGAAGCATGTTTGCAGAAGAGTTAGTCACATCGCCGAGGATGCGTCGATTTATGCGAAGAAGTATTTACATGGATGCTGCAATAGACTGCTTCCGTACAGAGAAAGGTCTTCGACGAATTTCAGAAGATCACCCATACTATGAATTCAAATATCTCCGAAATCAAGACCTTCGAGCTATTGCTTCGAGGCCAGACATGTTCTTGAAGATGCTCAAGGCAGAAGAGGAAGGGCTCGTAGATGTCAAAGTTCGTCTACGTGATCCTGAAAGGTTGCGCAAAGATTTGCACAAACAGATTGTGTCTGATGCGTATTCTACACTTGCAGAAGCATGGAACGAGGAACGTCGGACTGCCGTCTCCGCAGCTTTTGACAAGCTGGTTTTGATTATGAGTCGGAACGTCAAGGAGAATCTCAAGAACGAATGCGAGGACAGTATCGCTTTAGATTGTCGAGAAGAGTTCTCCCGCAAGCTCGATCAGTCCCCGTACCAACCCCGAGGAATGAAGAAAGGCACCGTGCCTCGAGTATTAGCACTTTCACTTGGTGGTGGTACCTCTGGCAGAGATCCGGTCAATTGGGCATATGTAAGCGACGATGGTAGAGTTCTGGAAAATGGGAAGTTTACTGAACTTGCACCCGGAAACGCTGAAAGAGGTCTACCGGATGGTAAAGACGTGACAGCATTTGTCGAGGTCGTTAGGAGGCGTGAGCCCGAGGTCATTGGTATTTCAGGCTGGTCGCCCGAAGCTCGAAGACTAGTTGCAAACATTGAGGAGATCGTGAAAAATCATGACTTAAGAGGAGCCGCATTTGACGACGACGATCGCGAACGTTCCGATCCGCTTGAAGTTATCACAGTCAACGACGAGGTAGCACGGTTCTACAAATCGAGTAAGAAAGCTCGTGAACAGCACCCTGGTTTACCTGAGCTCACCCTCTACTGCGTGGCTCTCGCCAAATACCTACAGGACCCCCTCAAAGAGTACGCAGCTCTTGGAAGCGATCTTGTCTCTATTAACTTTGTGCCTGCTCAGAACCTATTACCACCAGAAAAACTCACGAAAGCCTTCGAGACCTCGTTAGTCGATTATGTGAACATGGTGGGCGTGGACATTGATGAAGCTGCAGCCGATACTGCCACTGCGAACTTGCTGGTCTTCGTTGCTGGTCTTGGTCCCCGAAAAGCCGCGCATCTTCTCAAGGCATACAATGTGCACAGTAGAGAATTCAATACTCGTGAGGCTCTGCTGGGAGCGGAGCATGCTCCACTAACGCCGAAGGTTTGGGTCAACGCAGTGAGCACACTGTTTCTCCGTTTCGACACTAGCGATGAGGACGCGGAGTTCCTGGACAGCACACGAATACATCCTGAAGACTACGATATCGCACGAAAGATGGCAGCTGATGCACTGGAACTAGACGAAGAAGATATCGAAGCGGAGACCAGAGAGGGTGGTCGCGGAGCCATTGTCAAGAAACTCATCAAGGACGACGCGGCGGATCGTGTCAACGATCTTGTACTTGACGAGTACGCTGATCAGCTCGAGAAGGACTACAATGCTAAGAAGAGGTCAACATTAGAGAATATTCGTGCTGAACTCAATGACCCGTACGAAGAGATTCGAAGTCCGTTCTTGGTCAAGCTCAGTGAAAGTGAGATCTTCACGATGTTTACTCATGAGACGCGAGACTCGCTTCAGAAAGGCATGAATGTGCCTATGCTAATCAAACGTGTCACCGAGGCATCAGTGGAGGGCAAACTAGACTGTGGTATCGACGCATTTGCTATGGAGGGCGAAACGACAGACCCTGGTGTCAATCCTAGAAACGTCTATGCATCTTACCAAACCGTTCAGGCACATATAATTTCCATCGATCGTAAAGGATTTATGGCTGTGGTCAGTCTTAGAGAGGAGAAGACGAAGAAACCCTTCCGTCGGCTCGACACAAGTGACTATGGTCATGACCAGTGGGATGACAGGCAAGAAGCCAACGACAGAAAACTTTTAGAAACCAAGACCGACGCGCAAGGTCGAGCAGTCCGTGTTGTGAAGCATCCACTCTTCAAGCAGATGGGCTCTAGAGCGGCTGAGGAGTACCTCGGTAGCATGAATCGTGGTGATTTGATCATTCGGCCCTCATCGAAAGGACATGACCACCTTGCCGTGACTTGGAAGGTTGCAGATGGTGTCTTTCAGCACATTGACGTTCTCGAACTGGACAAGGAGAATGAGTTCACTCTCGGCAAGACCCTTCGAGTAGGTGGCAAGTTCAACTACTCGGATCTCGATGAATTGATCGTGCTGCACATAAAGGCGATGGCTAAGAAAGTGGACGAAATGATGGCTCATGAAAAGTTCCAGGACAAGAGCAAAGCTGCGATGGGTAAGTACTCACATCATGTTCTCGATGCAATTTGCTAACAGATCTCCAGATGAATGGCTCACAACATATTCGAATGCCAATCCTAAACGGTCCATGTATCAATTCTGTATCAATCGTGAAAGACCCGGAAATTTCCACTTGTGTTTCAAGGCAGGACAAAAGGCGAAGCTGATGGACTGGCAGGTCAAGATCATTCCTCAGGGCTTCCAGCTCATGAATCAGCCATATCCGGACATGAGGAGTTTGTGCAATGGGTTCAAATTGATCTTCGGTAACATGCAGAATGCCGCCATGATGGGGGCTGCTAGGTAAAGCAATCCTGAATCTCTTGGAGCGATATAGATTTAGTTCAGGGCGAGATGCCGTGAGTAGAGGCAGCTCCCTCTCTCATTGAGGTGCAGCGTGTACTAAAAAGTTCTTCACCTCAATCGAAACGACGGGTCGTAGTACGACATAGTATTGCTTGCTGTGGAATTCATCGCGGAGTCAGTCAAATACCTCTATGCTTACCTCATCCTGGTTCACCATCAGCACCTCATTCTATCTCCCCCCACTTGCTTGCTGCCACGACCTGAGCCGGACCAGGCCGCGTATAGGCATGTGCTTGTTTGTTCCCCCTACTGTGCCACCAAATCGATTGTGCATTCCACTTCACATCTCAGAGGTGTGGTTGTCCTTCTCCCTCATACCCACTACATGATCACGTTCTACACTCACTCCTCGTTCTCACACCACGTATAATGTCCTCTCCCCACCCATTAATCAAAACACAAGCCTCTACACCCAAAATTGGCACCATAGCTTCACCAGCCTCAGCCACAGTCCTCAATTCCACCGAGCCCTCCAGAAACACCACAAGCTCAACATACCCCGACGCCTCACTCTTCACCTTCATCCCCGAGCTCTACCTCGCCATCTCCCGCCTCAACGAACTCCGTAATCCACTGCCGTCCGTAGTCACAAACGGTATCAATGGTGCAGACAACACAGGCGCAGACGCAGTGTTAACACACATCGCATCACGAGAGTCCGCGCACAGTAGCAGCTCAGGGACGCGGTTTATATCTGACCCGAACTCGGCTAGTATTGAGATAAGGGATCTACCTAGTAACGTCTACAACATTAAAAAGGGCATTACGGCGGCGAAGGAGGTTGCTCGAGGTTTACCGGATATAGAGAGGAGTGTGGAGGAGCAAGAGGAGGAGATGAAGGAGTTGGGGAGGGTTGTTGGTGGGTTAAGGAGACGGCTTGGGGAGCTGGGAGCAATTGCTGAGCGGTCGAGGACAGGGAATGAGGATGTGGTTATGACTGTGGATGAAGGAGCTGGCTGAGAGGAGACATTAGCGAGAGTTGGAATACGCATCAGAAAGACAAACGAGCGATAGCTCAGCATATGGGTTGTTGCGCATCAACGGTCGACCGCATCATACACGATCTATTGACGAGAGCGAATACGAGGCGTGAAGAGTAGGGAGCCTCAGTCAGTATCACTGTACGCATCCGGTCCGTGGAAGATCAGGTGGTCCCGTACAGCTGGCACAAAGAAGATTGCGTGGTGGGGGGAGGTGAAGTTCTACGACACTAGACCATGAGATCGTGCAACCAACTCTCTCATATTTCCCATGATCAGGGTAAGATTACATGTGGTCAAAAGTAAGAGCTCCCTGCGAAGACTGGCAGTACAGAGATCTGGATAAGGATATCGTCATGGTAAACCGAGTCACACAGGAACGTTAGACCAACGATGACATTTCAGACACTTGAAGGACAGCAAGCAGACTATACAAACTGCAACGTTCACAAGCAGGTAGTGCCTTCACCGTGTTAATTCTGCACCACCAGGGCCGAGAAACAAAACGTAACTCAACAAAAAAGAAGAAAAATGCAAAACAATCAACAGCGAGGATTCGCTGGTTGTCTCCAACCCAACTACTAACTCGTCGGCGCCTGGCTTAAGTACGGGTGATCGAACGGGAACCCCTGTTTTCCAAACCCTATGGTCGATTGCGAAGGATAAGTTAGATGGTAAAATATATGTCTCGTTCGTGAAGCGGTGGTGTATATGAAGAGTGTTCGGGGATAGTTTGGGTCAAACTTCTATGGCACGACGACAGGGTCAGTATAGTCTAGAGCGAATGCGGACATCCGAAGAGTGGATGATTTTGTTTTGAGCTACTACTAGCAGGCTGCTGCTTGTGTTAATGCTACAATTTATTCCCTCCCATATACATTCCTTCTCCATTGTTTTGAACAAGAACTTCGAACACCTTCGCTGTACCCTAGAAATACACATTGTGAAGTGGCTGAAATTTTCGAGGTAAATCGTGATTAATACTCGTCCTCGTCTTTATGCTCTGGCCGTGACTGCTGGCCTTTCTGCCAGACAGATTGCCATGAGTGGTTCGCGTGATCGTACTGGTCGACACCTGGCATCGACCCGCCCATTAACACCATTCTATCATGACGCATGCCCTCGAGGACTCCCTTGATGCCGCCGTTCCGTAACCGTTCGAGCACGATTTTCATGCCTTCGGCGCTGTTCACGGCAGCGGTATGTGTCCTTTTAACACCTACAAGCTCGATTGTTCGCTGGATACCAGCGGTGGACCATGATGCGAACCAGCTTTGCTTCGGTTGCTCCTCTTCAACCTCTTGAGGTGCGGCGTCAGATGGTTGTGCGGCCATGCGTCTCTTCCTGATGTTTTCCCCCAACTTGGAAACGAAGGTAACGGTAGTCTCACAGCTCGTGCCTGGTAGCTTTTGCAAGCTGAAACGTGAATTGTCCCGATATAGTTGTTTCTCGACGACGGACAGAACGCCTGTCCATTCCATGTTTCTGGACTCAGTCTCCATCCAGCCTTCCTTGATATCAATTATACTCTTCTCCAAGATATAGGTCTGTGAGGTGCCATCTGGTCCGCTCATTGTCTGCGGGAGGAACTTAAGTATCCCTGCTGGAACTTTACTCTTTTTCAGATGCAGACGAACTGTGTGTAGTCTGTGCGTAGACGGATCGACATGCTGAGAGAGGACGTCCGTAGAGAGTACGTGAGGAGCTTTTGGATTAGGATAGCGGAGGAAGTAGGCGAGGGACACTGTAGGAAATGAGTAACCAGTGTAGTCTGCCGATGATTGATATATCTTCATGGTTAGTTCAGAGAAAGGCTTCAATGTCTTGCTGTCATGAAAGGATCTCAAGTTCTTGTGAGTCCTTCATGCACAATTTGTGCTGACTTGATCAAGAGACGCGCTCAGACTTCGTGGTTGGGTACGTAATGGTTGTGTGACGAATAGTAGGGGTGAGAACTTTCAGTGGCAAGCTGCGGAACCAGTTTGCGCTAGCCTGGACAGCTTCGGTGCTCGTATGTTGTTCAGAGAGGCTCGAAAAGCTCGTCTGCGTGAATTGAACGTCGTTTGGACGCTGGCTTGATAGGGTGGTGGGAGAAGATGAGGTCGTGTGCTTAACACCTCGAGGAAAGCCTGATCCTTCTAGAATTGGAACCTTGAAGCTTCACGTCACTAACTCCGCAATTTGAGAGATTTAAAATACGTTGCTGCTCAAAGCTACGAATCGCCGACAGTCAGCGGCATAGGTTTGCTCCAAATGGTTCCTCCTTTTGTCGATCGTTTTCCAGGGTAGGAAGCAAACAACCCAAACTCCCCTCCAGAACCTGACCACAATTTCAAGAACGAGCATTACAATAATAGGTTAGCGAGCGCTTGATTTTTAGAGTCGTGAGAGAAAGGGAGGAATCAACCGACTCGCCGTCCTAAGGAAACGGCTTTGTATTTTCATTGCTCCAGTTGACACAACCTTTCCAGCGGCGTTTCTGACTCACCGTATTCGTCCGAAACACGACTCACAAGGCTTCGATACAAATTTATTAAGACGCACTTCTACGAGGGACCAAGACAAACTATACACAACAGGCCAACTCGTGGACTCACGTTTTTCAACCTGCAGAGCCATAGCGCCATCAACATGGCTGCAAACATCGTGCCAGACGAGCCAGGCCAACCACCCAAACTGACCCAAGATACTCTTGCTAATGGCGCACCAAAGAAAATTGCAGCAGACCAGGTGGTAAACCCATTCGAGGTATCGGGGGGAGTGGACGAGGCAGGCAAAGCCTTGGCAATTGACTTTGACAAGATCGTCCGAGACTTTGGTGCCACTCCAATGTCTCCTGAGATCCTGCAGAGATTCGAGAGAGTAACAGGAAAGACACCTCACAGACTAATGCGAAGAGGCATGGTTTCATCGCATAGAGACCTGGACAAGATGTTGGACAGGTACGAGAAAGGGGAGCCGTTTTACTTGTATACTGGCCGAGGTCCTTCTTCTGACTCAATGCATGTGGGACATGCCATGCCGTTCGAACTAACTCGCTTCCTGCAAGAAGCATTTGACTGTCCACTGGTGATAATGTTGACTGACGACGAGAAATTCATGCATAGTGAAAAGATCACAATTGAAGATGCGAAGAGATATTCTCTCGAGAACTCAAAAGACATTATTGCCATGGGCTTCGACCCGAAGAAAACCTTCATCTTCTCGGATTTCGAATTCGTATCGGGCGCTTTTTACGAGAACATCTGCATGATAGCCAAACACATCACCATTAATCAGATCAAGGGCACATTCGGTTTTGACGACTCGACCAATATTGGCAAATTCCACTTCCCAGCGACACAATCCGCGACCGCATATGCCACCTCTTTTCCTCACATATTCGGTCCGGACAAGCTGAAGACCCGCAACATACCCTGCCTCATTCCATGCGCCATCGACCAAGATCCGTACTTCAGACAGTGCCGAGACCGAGCCGAGAAGATGAAACACAAGAAACCAGCTCTACTCCACATGATCTTTCTTCCAGCGCTGCAAGGTCCAGGCTCGAAGATGTCGGCTTCAGTGAATACCTCTGCTATATTCTTGTCCGATAAGCCGAACGAGATCAAAAACAAAGTTAACAAGTACGCTTTCTCTGGCGGTCAAGATACAGCCGAGAAGCAGAGAGAACTTGGTGGACGCACAGAAGTGGACGTGCCTTATCAGTATTTGACATTCTTCCTGGAAGACGATACAGAGCTCGAACGCATAAAACAAGACTACGAGTCGGGCAAGATGATGACGGGTGAAATCAAAGCCATATGCATAAAATACCTGCAAGAGTTTGTTGCGAAATTCCAGGAACGAAGAAAGCAGGTGAGTGATGAAGTGAGAGCTGACTTCTTTGCGAGAAAGCCGCTGTTGTTCCAGGGCAAGACGGCAGAAGAGGTGATGAATGAACTTGAAGAGAGGAAGAAGCTTGAAAAGGCGATGAAGAAGGCGCAGATAAGTGGTGACAAGACTGCCAATGCTGCTGCTTAGAATCTCAAAAGTTCATAGAGAACGAAGCAATGAAGAGACTGCCAGGTCCCGGACAAGAAAGCGTGCAATCGTACTGGTGTGATTTGCTTGCATTTGACCAAACGCTTTTCTCGTCCCAGACGTGGCTGCTTTTGACCGCCACTGTTTCAAATGGTAGATGCATGCCAGCAGATAGCTCGCCTCGAAACTTTCCGAGCGACAAGCTAAATCACTTTTGCATGCTCTGAGTGAGGGGACAAGGTTGGCACACGTCGACCTAGCGTAGATGCCAGTTCCTGGCCATGGTAAGTTTAGTGCTGCAACTCACGTACTTGTGCTGAGTATTTGAGTCGCTCTGAAGCTGCTCGTCAGCCATGAGTTCTCAGGAAACACTTCACGTCACCCCAGTGTACACAGTAGTTGTAGTATATACACGTGACGTGAAAGGTGAGCGAGAACTCCTATACAAATAGCCTCGAAGCACCGTAGCGGACAGTGCAAAGTTAGGCCATATCTCATTCAGACATCCTCGTGTGTATGCTGCAGACAGAACAGACGCGAACCACGTCCGGGACGAAATACTGAGGGGATGGGGCCTGTGATCCTTGCTTGCAAATCCGACAAAACTATTTCGTCCAGGGGCATGGCGAGCATACGTCGCTTGGCTCGACCGCTCCTTGCTTTGAGCTTCGTCCTTGGCTATTTGCAGATACTGGGGAAACCTTGCTTGCTGGCTTGTGATTCGGAATATGTATGCATAGAGTCAGCTCTCTCAACATGGTCAAGCAATATGCGAGCAACGCGTGGTTGCGAAAAGATCCGAGCCCCAGATTTAGCTAGGGTCGATTACGACGAGATTCGACGTTGACTCAGCGGATGGTTCGTGACCAGGAGACTGCACCGTCTTGTCAACTCGAGGATGTGGAATGACTGTTTAGCAGTATCTTCATTCCGTAGACGAACGAAGGGTTGAGGCATACCGCCAACTTTCGATGCAGTGTCTCTGCAGGAGAAGAACGTTGAAGTCGGGATGACAGGGCCATCTAGAACAAGGCCAAGGACTGACCTCACGCCAGACGATCAACGTGCCGCTCGAGTGACACATGGCTGTGATGCATGGCCAGAGAAAACACAAGAACGTCTATTGGGTTGACAGCTGTACAGTAATATGCAGGGATACGTGCTCGGAGGATTCTCTCCGATCTGTCAGGTCGAACCGATCGTGGCTGACGCAACCTTTTTCGCTATTCCAGGAACGATGATGCACGACACGGAAGTGGCTCTACCTAAATCTACCACAAACTCACATTTCCGGCCTGGCGGTTCGACTTTTGATTGCATTTTCGATAGTTTGCTTTGCGAATGAATTGTATCAGATTGGTTCATTCAGTAGGTAGTTTGTTGATTGACTCATTTCTTGAGCGTTGTGTTCGCTTGATCAGCCTCTGCTTTTCCACGTTCTTCACGGAAACACACACGCGGCATTTGATCCAGTGTGCTCCGCTCGTGCATGGACCAAGGAATTACTGTACAGGATAAATAATGGAGTAGGTGATATAAGCCCACATGCTCGCAGGGTGATCTCCCTAGCGTTCGGTCGAGGTCTGGAGACTGCTGAGCGCTTGGTTGTTGTGACTGTCTTTCAAGTAAGGTCCGACTTGGCCTTCACAGAGGCTCGACGGGCACATGGATATGCAAGAACATCTCGTAAGGTAATACAGAGCGCGTTAGGCCTGCCACGCGTACGAGACGGACATAGTGACGTTAAGACTTTGACTTCCAAGACATAGATACGATACAACATGCTTTCACGACTCCATGTCGGAGGCTCGGAATACAATGACAGTGCCTCAACTGAATTCATATGCAGTAGGACAGAAACGTTATAGATCTATTTTGGTACTGCGAGCAAATGCCACTGCAGGCATGTCCGGAACTCCTGCCATGCCAACAAGTCGAACACGGAATGTCGTGAAGATTGCGACGAACCGCTATTACTGTACTTCGCTTGATCGGAAAAGAGAAGGCAAACTGTAAACTTCAAAGAAATTTTGAATAGTGCAACTCATTAGAGATATTGTTGCCCATAGTAGTCTGTACTCCATATGACCTTGCTAGATCATGTCCAACCTGGCAGTATGTGCCTCACTCAAAACAGTATTTCCCTATTTTTGAACCGTAGAATATGAAACTCCCTAACACCTTTGCGTCGTTCATGGAACCAAATTCGTTAATAAAGTATCAAGGTTATAGGCACTCGTCCTCCTCCTGCTCAGCATCTTGGATCTGGGAGCTTCTATAAGCTTCCTGTAGTCTTTGTGCATGAGCATCTGATCGAGGCGTGAAATCAATGTCAATGGGCTCCATGATAGGAATGACATTTGGTGTTGACAGCAGCTCTTGCAAGTTGAGTTTCGTCTTCTGACCAGTCTTTGGATCAGTTGGAGGAGAGATGTTGAAAGCGTACATGATAGCAGCACATACGACAAGCATTTGAATGGCGGCATAATCTTGGCCAATGCATGTCCGCCTGCCCCAACCGAAAACTGAATGGTTTTGTAGCTTGGGGAACTCCGTAAGAGGCTCCTTGTAAGCTGGAGAATCAGGATCCAGGTACCGAGATGGGTTGAAAGTCTCAGCATCTTTGTAGTATTCATTAGATCGGCACATAGACCAATCGCAGGCCAAGACATTGGAGTTCTTGCTGAGATGGTAGCCGTTGTACTCCATATCTTCCTCGAGTCTGTGAGGAATTCCGGTCGGTACTGGAGATGCCCACCTGACTGACTCGAGGATGGTGGCTCGGAGTGTTGGGAGCTTTGGGCTGTCGTCATAGTCTGCCATGCGACCATGAAGAACCTCGTCAAGCTCTTTCTGAACAGCCTCCTGCCACTCGGGGTGCTGAGCCATAACGACGATCCATCTTTGAAGGGGAGCAATCAAAGTAAGGATGGAGACAGTTGCCATCATTGCGATGCCGTGTAGAGCTTCATGCTCGCTGAGGCCAGTCTTCTCACGTTGATCGAAGTAGTACTTGGCATAGGAAGCTCTGAGCGTGCCGTTCTCGTACGCCGCCTTTGCTTTATCGTATGAGCCATACCAGACACGGTCCTCGATATCGACCCGCATGCTCTCGTTGTGCTTATCACTGTTGATCCAGGATGGGAGATGTCGTAGGAAGGTCAAGACGTTGGTAATCTGACCACCTGGGGAGAGGTTTTGCATGAAGTTATGGGCTGAGCGGGAGATAGCTGCTCGAGGTGCTGGAGTACCGAATGCCATTCGACAAGATAGACGTCCGCATACCTGGTCGACAAGCATGAAAGGTGAATCCGATTTGGTTAGAAGTTGATGTGCAAACCGCGTAGCCTCTGGCAGCATTCTTCCATGATAGTTCGCTTGATGAGTATAGTTGTTGATGAGTACGCCGAACCTTCGTTGCCTTGTCAAGTGGTCTGCGCGATCACAGTTAGTCCTTGCTTCACTAGAAATGTACCTTGCTTACCGTTATTGCCGAGGAAAGGAAGGTATTTGCCAGAATCCTTGGAACCTTTGACCAAGGCAAGGGCTGGGCGATCGGAAACAGTCTTTGCCTTTTTGGCGAGGATTTCTTTAGCGATAGCAGGGTCGGATATGATGATGAGGTTCTGTCCAAAGAGTTTGACTTCATACAATTTGCCGAACTTCTCGGACCAAGCCTTGAAGGTTGTGTAGATGTTGGAGGCTTCTACAGCCCAGACAGGACCTGCCCATGGAAGACCTAGGCGTGGTTAGCCGATTTTGTATATATGCTCCATGTGCACTAGACCCACCTCCTGGTGTGGGAAGTGCCTTTCCCAGTGTACGTCCTCTGAAGAAAAGCCTGCTCGTGAAAGCGAGGACAACGAATGCTATAGAGAACAGTTGAATGCCGTGGAATACTGGGACCGCTGGAAGGTCCATGAGACCGACAAATTGTGAAGACATGCTCGGCAGATGAGGTTGTTGAATGGAAGACAGATTTAGAGAGCGAATGTCTTGAGGAGAGGTTGCTTTAATAATAAGGCTCGTCGGCTAGCATCAGGAGAAGGGAATTATAATGCATACTGCCTCAGGCCTTTGACCCACTGCTGCTTGTTCCCCAATCACCTCAGCCGAGACAGCATGTCATTCCCGCCTGGCGCCTCCAAAGATACCAGACCATGTTCGACCCTGCACGTGGTGGCCCAATTTTACGCCACGGCAGCGGTCGATAGCACAACGAAAGGAGACAGCTCTTCGAACTTGCCTATAGCGTTCGTGTTCTGCAGATGTGTAAATTAGCAGCTGAGCCGCCAGGTCTTTTTTTCGACCGCCTCAAGTCGAGACTTTTCATCAGTCCAAACATGGCATGTGGAGATGGCGTGAAGTAAAAGTCCCGATGCCCCTTAGTGGCATTCGTTCTGCCGGACAATCTACTAGCACAGGCGACATCCTTGTGTAGCAGATGTTTGCTGTTATCATGGATGACGTTGCCTATCAAAGTAGCAGCAGCAAAGTCTGTCAACTCCGGAAGATGTTGCAGGTCGATAGTCCATTGATTTTCTAGGAAGGCGAATCGGGCCTGTACGTGCTGTTGTGTTACTGTGTCGTGGAGCAAACCCGGACTTCTTGGCAATGCTCTTCCATGAAACTTCGTGGAGCTCGATTAGAAGCCAGCAGATTGGGTGATGAACACAAGAGTAATCGAAAGCAAGCATACTGCGAAGCCAGGAGCAGGGCGGCAAGTCTAGACGAGCATGAGATTATGCCATGGAGGTCGTACACAAGCTTTCCACTGTGACACTTCTGGTAGCTGCAAAGGGGTGTTTCTGTCCAGACGTGAACGTGCGCCATGATAGGGGATCGTGACCCGAAAGCGGGTTTGCAGATCTGGGGATGAGGTCAAGACAAAGCGGACTCGAGCTTGGCAGTCGTATCGACACAAGACCCGCTGCGGACCCGCAACGACTCCATGTGTGTCCGGTAGTGTCCTCCCACCAAGGTAGCGGCATCGATAGTCGTGATAATTAATTTACTGTCGCAACTCAAAAGGAGCACATTGAAAAAGGCCGATGCACAATCTCTGCCGTTGCGTTGCTTGTGAACGACATCGAGGTTCTTAAGCTCCAGCTCTACGTCCATGATGTTCAGAGCCAAGGGTCTGTCATTGTTCTTGATCGTTGAAGCGAAGATCCTGTACAATCAGTATGGAAGGGCGTCTAGAGCAGATTGCACGGGCCTGGCTGACTCGCCAAACCTTCTGAAAGCATGCATGGAACACCTTGCCATATCCCTCTTAGGGAGCAATCAGCGTCTATCAGATAGTCATATTGATTGGGCTGAGCTGTACTTTCTCAGCTTCTAGAACAAAAAATGCACTACTCTCAGTGAGTCAAGACTGACAATACAGCCTAGCGGAAGAATAGATTCAGCCCACCGAAGAAGCACACATGGTCTCAGCTTTGTCTAATCTTCGATATTCCCAAACCCGCTGGGAAATCTGAACCGGTCAGTGACTCGGTTGAGATGCCCTGCAACTTTCGGCGTCACGTTAGAACACCAACATGCATGCAATCTGCCTGACCATCACAGTCAGCAGCTATATCTACTAACGTAGCTCAAAAGATGAGCAGAAGTTTACCAGCTGTGCATCATGCTGGGCTTCGATCGTTCTTTGAAGAGAAGAGATATGTAGGGTATTCTGCGCCGTCAATGATCGAGCAGTCACGTTGCTGCTGAGAACATTTGAACACAACAAAGACTTCCGAGGCAACGATCTCCTCCAACCAAGACCCTGCCAATCATTGCTTAATAAACACTTCAGACCAAAAGCCTTCCTTCCACAATCGCAATACCTCGAATCCAACCTCTATCGCGATGAGGACGATGATTGTCCATTCCAGGAAAAGGCCGTGCTTTTCGGAGAGGCGCTCTCTGAGAACGGTAGCGATTTCTCCAGCATAATCCATCTTCTCGTTGAGAATTTTGATTCTGATTCCGACGTCGAGAGCTTTGCCGACTTGGTCGTAGTAATTTTCTAGGTTCAGTTCATGCCTGCTATCCCAGAACAGATCAGGCAAAGAATCAGTCAATTCAGAATACAAGTTCAGCTGTGCACGTAGCAACAAAAGCTCGCCAGTCTTACGCAAGATGAAACGACGGCTAATGGCGAAGGGTAAGCGACGGCCAGACGACAACAGCTGGGGTATCTGCGAAGTTGAGGCAAGGTAGGTCGAGAGATTGGTTTCAAGGACAGCAAGTTTTGTAGACCTGGCAAAGCCCGAACTGAAAGCGACCTTGGTCAACACAGTGTCCACGGTCTGAAGCTGATAGATGGAGTTGTCTCCTTGCTCTCCTGACGATTCAGTCAATAACCGTGAGGGTGGTACTACTTTGGTCCCTAGTATGATAGTCTCCCCTTTGATGGTACTGTGCTCCCTACTCGCATCTTCTAGGTAGTCCAGGTCCTCAGTCTCTATCGGTTCTTTGTGCGGCTGGTCGGTGGCTGGCAGCAGAGTCCGTGTTGCAAAGTAGGAAGTGAAACCTTCGGGCAGAGCCCAGGTGACGATCGTCCCTGAAGGAAAGACAAAGACATCACCGACCTCGGAAGCAGATAGATCTTGTGCGGATGGATTCGTGGATCGATATATAGACGATATAGGTATTTGCACATGGACCACCTGAGGGTAGAGGCCAGTACTAAGGGGGTCAGGCTCGTAGCCTTTCGAGCGTAGGATATCGACTACCTTCGCGAGATCGAATCTTTCAGCGACGGCATAAGCTGTAACCAAGCGGGGACTGGTTTGTGCATCAGAGGTTCGGTGCGACCTTGCCAGTCCAAGATTGGCATCCTTTGATCTCTGTGCCTCAACTGCGACTCTTCGTAGCGAGGTCTTAGCGGCAGCAGCACCCCCTAGTTTGCGCTTGCGACTTTGTAGGGCATCGGCAGTTTCGTCTGCTCTGATTGCTGGTTTCTCGTCCCTATGACTGGCCAAGGTAGCATTAGAAGAGAAAAAGTCCCGTCGCCTGGGCCGCTGGAAGATGGGGGACGCATGTAGTGGGCGCAGTCCAGGCTGTTTGGATAGATCGAGCACGCCCGGCCGAGAGAATGTACAACTGTGACTACTCGCCAATAACGATGATGGCCGTAGAGTTGAAGGAGGCATTACTCGCTGTCTATGCAGCGGCATGGGTGTCACAAAAGCCTGAGATACAGGTGAATGGAGTTGCAGCTTCTCCAATTCATTCGGCTCGCTTCAGACCTAAACTAGCAGCGATGAGTTGATGCTTGGCAACGTCATTCGCGCTTGAGGGCCGTGATTAATGCCCGTCTCGTGGTTCAGTCATGCCCGGAGGAGCTAATCACTACTAGTAGTATGGACCAACGACTGCTCTTGCACTCACCAACATGCTTCAATAACAATAGCTCGTGCGACAATGGCGGTGGGGGAGGGTTCATCTGAGCCTGATGAGGAACAGCCCCATAGCCCACGGCAAGTCGAACCGAAGGAGATTGAAGACTCTCGTCCTGCTACTCCCAAGAGTGCAAGTGGCCCAGACCATGACCGAGTTCACGCTGAGGACCAGGAAGAGGAAGATGGCGAAGATGATGAAGACGACGGGGAAGAAGAGGAGGAAGAGCCCAGGCTGAAATATGCTCCGTTGACCAAGAATCTGAGCAACGTCTACAGGAACGGCGATTCCACCAGCTCGTTCATAGTTGCTGGCGACAAACTGGTCCTAGGCACACACGATGGCAAGATCCACGTCTACACAATGCCTATGATGCAAAATGTCAAGAGCTATCGCGCACATACGGCCAGTGTGTCCTCAGTCTCCATATCACCCTTTCCTCTTCCTCTACCTCTTCCTCCGAGACTCGATGCTAGTCAGCGTTCAGCTACTGACTCGCCTGGTCCTCGTCCTGCGCCGTCGGCCTCTCCAGCTGCGAAAAATAGCCCGCGACAGGCTACCGTTTGGAGAACTGCCTCCAACGACATTTATATCGCGACCTCTTCCATTGACGGTCATGTCTGTGTGCAATCCTTAGTCGATCCTCAAGAAGTGCAGCTGAGGGATTTTGGGCGTCCTGTACAAGCGGTTGCAGTGTCTCCCGAGTTCAAATCGGACAAAAGTTATCTCTCTGGTGGTCAGGCAGGAAACCTGATCCTTACTAGCGGACAGGCTGTGAAGAGCGCAAAAGCTACCACACTCGGCACTGCCGCTGTTGCTTCTGGCTGGTTAGGGTCTATTGGTTTAGGTTCGAACACTGGCTCCGACAGAATTCTGCACAGTGGTGAAGGCATCATAAGCACGATCAAGTGGTCTTTATCTGGCAAGTACGTCTTATGGGTAAATGAGCAGGGCATCAAGATCGCACGATCACACTTAAAGATCGACAGTTCAGAGACAGGTCAGGAGTGGAAACGCATATCTCATGTGAGTCGACCTAATAGACCTGGCTGGGAGGAAATAGCTGCAGCACAGCGAGCTCGCGCTGAGTGGGTCGACCGATCCAGTCTCGATTCTGATGACGACCCGGCTCTACGCAGGCCCTCTTCAAATGGTGGCATTAAGGCTTCGGACAAGACTGGCGTGGAAGAAGTTGTTGTCGGCTGGGGCGACATGACCTGGATAATAAGGGTGACTCCTGGTGACGGAGGGTCGATGACCAAGGACGCCGCTCCTGCTGGCCGTGCCGAGGTCATCTCTGTCATACGGTTCGACGATTGTACCGTGGCCGGTGTGTCCCTATATACGCCGACCTTACTCCTGATTCTGGCCTACTTGGAGAAAAAGTCCGCCGATACACGAACAGCCAACGACAGTACGCCTAGAAGTCGTTCTAAGAGACATTCTGCTTTAAAACCTGAGTTGAGACTTATAGATATTAATTCAAAAGAAGAAATCGAGACAGATGCCCTCCCCATCAGCAGGTTCGAGAGCCTAGCGTCTTCCGACTATCACTTAGGCGTACTCTACCCTGTCAAAATCCCAGCTCAGCTAGCTCAGAAGGGTTACCTTGGTCAGATGGGAAGTGGTATGGCCGTTGTGGGCTCGGGCTTGGTAACTGGTACAGAAGTCGTGGCTCAGGGTATGTGGGACGCCACAATGTACGGTCCAAGAATGCTTGGTGCGAACAGGTTGTTCAGCCAATCCGATGGTGCAAGTATTCGCAGTGGCAGAATCGGAACAGACAAGTCTCCTATGCCACCCAACAAATCTAGCAATTATCTAACAGGCTGGATCCCTGGCCTTGGGTCAAGTATTTTTGGAAACGAAAATGAAGAACTAAAGGCTGTTGCAACAACACAAGGGATGAAGATCTTCCTCATGAGCCCTTTTGACTGCAACGTTGCTGTGAGGCGGACATTGTCGGACAGAATACATTGGCTGGAACAGCAAAAACACTACCAACGAGCATGGGAATTGCTGGACCAACACCCAGAAGCTGCAAGCTCAACGAGCCAAACATCGGAAGCGTCAAGCCCCCCGACTCCTTCCAAGGCAAGTTCTATCGGGCAGTCAACAGCCGACAGTGTAGCAAGTCCGTCGAAGGCGATGAAACCTACATTAGCAGATTTCTTTGCCGATTCAGCTTCCGTGGTAGATTCGCCACAGCCAGAGAAAAGGGCCAAATACTCAATAGCCGAGAAAGAAAAGAGGCGGTTGGGTGAATTATGGTTGCAGCAATTAACCAAAGCCAACAAATGGGTTGAGGCGGCAGAGGTGGCTAGTAAAGTGCTTAACACCACGTCCCGTTGGGAACACTGGGCTTGGGTGTTCGTAAAGAACGATCAGATCAACGAGATATCACCTTACATCCCAGCCATGGAACTCACGCCACCACTCTCACCGTCGATCTACGAAGTGATTCTTGGCCATTATGTTGTCAAAGATCGCAAAAGGTTTCAGGAGCTCATTGACCTCTGGCCTTCAGACTTGTTTGAAATAAGCTGCGTTACCACAGCAATACAGGAACAGTTACCTCAAGTTGCGAAAGAGTCCGACGACTGGCGAAGACTTACTGAATGTCTAGCCAAACTCTACTTGGCTGACGGCCATTACAAGGAGGCACTACGCTGTTACATACGACTGCAAGATGCTGACACAGCTATGTCACTGGTCAAAGATCACCATCTAGTGGAAGCAGTTGTGGATGACATTCCTGGCTTCGTTCTGTTAAGAGTGTCTTCACAGCACTTCAAATCAGCGTCAACCGAGGAGCTGGAAGCATTATGCTCGGAGCCCATAAAGCTGTTGGTAGGTGAAGCAAGTAAAGGAATTGTCGATCCTGAGGACGTAATTCAACAGCTTAACAGGCCTGAATTGAGACCATTCCTCTTTTTCTACTTCAAGCATCTATGGCAGGGAACTAGCGGTTCATCATCACATCTGTCACGCCAACGGCATCGATTTTCTACAGTAAAGCTTGCAGCAGACGAAGGGAAGCTTCTGGTTGATCAATATCCGGACTTAGCGGTGGAATTGTTTGCCCAATACGACAGAAATCTGCTAATAGATTTTCTTCAGACTTCTACTCTGTACGACTTCTCTTCAGCCTTGAAGCTGTGCGAAAAGAAAAGATACATTGAAGAAGAAGTTTACCTGCTCAGCAAAACAGGCAGTCTGAAAAAAGCTCTGTCGTTGATCATCGACCAACTTCAGGACGTACCCAAGGCTATTGACTTTGCCAAAGAACAAGGAGATAAAGGTCTCTGGGATGATTTGCTCGATTACTCGATGTCACGGCCGCGCTTCATCTCGGGCTTGTTAGCAGGGGTAGGCACAGCGATTGACCCTATCACTCTTGTGAAGCGCATACCATCTGGCATCGAGATCGAAGGCTTGAAAGATGGCCTGAAGAAGATGTTACGAGAATACGACTTGCAGGATAGTATATCGTCTGGAGCAGCAAAAATCTTGAGCAGTGAAGTGGCTGTGAACATGGAAATCTTACGCCGCGGTCGACGACGAGGCATTAAGTTTGAGGTACCAGTAACGCCACGGAAAGTCATTAAGGATGATTCGCAGTCAGAAGACCCAAACGCCACCGGACTTCCTGGACCAACAGAGCCCAAACCTGGACACTGTGCTACCTGCGAACGTGCCTTTGTAGGCGACGAAGCCGAAATGCTCATTGGATTTGCTTGTGGACATGTCTATCACGTCTCATGCCTGTTCAAAGACGACATAAGGGCACCGATTGCGTCGATAGGCGACAGAGAGGATGAAGACGATGATGAGAGGTACGGCTACAACAGGAGTATAGCAACCAAGGTCACGAACGCAAGACTGCTAAGAGATAGGATAAGTCTACTCGGTGGATGCAAGGCATGTAGAGCCAGAAAGGCCCACATTGCAGACGTGGTACAATAGCATGACAGGAAAGGTTGAAACGACACAAGGTCAGAACGCCTTGTACGGAAGAATTCATATTTTTAGAAAGATACCCCTTGACAAGGAAACCATTCCGATAGCGAACAGAATTAAAATCTGTGAATCTTTCTATAGTGTGGTGTTTCACGTATTGACGAGTCGTGCATGAATTATCGGCAATCGGTCACATCGACGCTCTGGGTATCTGCACAAGTACTCCATCATAATACTCACAGTGCCACACATGCGATATTGCACTTTTTATTCTGCTAAACATGCATACGTATTCGATTCGGACAGATGATGATTGGCATTTCAAGGTTTGCGCGATATTTGTCACTTGAATGTGGCAGAAAGGTTGAAAGGAATTAGTTGGCGAGATAACATGAATCTGTATTACGACCAAGAGCCTCGCAAAGAACAATGGAAGCCACGTGTACCAATAGTCTATATAAATCATATGAGCTGTGCCAAGGCTGATAGCATGCAGTTGGTATTGCCATAAGCTTGAAAACCTTACGCCGCGAAGTTTGAAAGTGCTTTTGCGACCACCGTGATTGTGGTCTGGAGGAATGATGCAATGCACAAGATGAGTGATAAAGTACTGCAGGCCACAACGCACATAACAGAGAGGATCGGTGGGAGTGCCTCTTCAGCCACACCTCTACCTTGAGGGCGGTCGCTTTGAAATAGGATATAAACCAACGATGCTCTCAGTCCTCCTGCTGAGGTGATGAGAAAGTCATGCTGTAGATGAACAATCAGCTTCTATTAGCTATCGAGCAGCGATACCAAGCCGAAGCTCGACGTAGTAGTCAATTCAAACTCGATGCAATATGCTATCCATGACCCCACCATGACGAAATAGTTGAGGAAGCCGACCTCGCCTGCGGGGCTAGTCAAGTATAGCTTATCGGATACTATCAGTGGCAAATTGTATATACACCTCGATGGACCATGTATGAGTAACAGGAACACGACTGTTGTGCCACGACAAAACTTGCACGTGACCGCGAGAATACGGAATACTGTGGCAAGGGTCTGACCTCAGAGAACAGTACTCGAGTATGGCTGCCATCAAATTTACGAGAAAAATGGAATTGCAAGAGAAAAGTTAGAGCCCTTTGCTACTCGGATAATGCCCTAGGTTTGCAAGGCACACACATTGATTGGTCCAAACTTTCTCAAACAGACTCGGCGGACCGCGGTTGCGTCATAGCGACTTCCTCATCCAAGCAGTTTCTTGTGGAATGTGATCAATGCAAAAGTGAAAGCCGATGGAAATTGTCCAGCGGTCTGCACCTCGAAGGTCGGTGTTCATCTCGAACGAGCAGATACGGTTTCGTCCATCCACTAGGATCCACCTGCAGGGTGCAGTGCAAATCATGTCTTCTCCATCGATGTTGTTTCCAAGACTTTCTCACAGATCGTGATTCGACATATATAGCAGAGGCTTGCCACTTTGCCTCTTTTCACGTAGCATATATTTTGCCATTGTCTCTGAATGTACACAAATTCGTCAGTGTTCCATTTCACGTTCGAGTAATACAATCAACACGACTTTTAATATGGCACCATCAGCAGACACCTCCTTCAGTGGCCATGTACGAACTCAGTTCACTGCTTACGAGGAGGATAGACAGGCCACCTCCAAAGATACTCTATACTGCACCAGCAATGGTGTTCCAATGCCTCACCCATACGAGGCACAGAGAGTAGGCGAGAACGGTCCTCTCCTACTGCAGGACTTCCATCTAGTTGACCTGCTCTCCCATTTCGACCGAGAACGAATCCCAGAACGTGTCGTCCATGCCAAGGGCTCCGGAGCTCACGGTTTCTTCGAATGTACAGACCCAATGCCAGACATTTGTCTGGCAGACGTCTTCGCAACGAAGGGAAAGAAATGCCCTATCACAGTACGATTCTCCACCGTGGGTGGCGAGTCGGGTTCCCACGATTGCGCACGAGACCCACGAGGCTTTTCGGTCAAGTTCAGAACAGAAGAAGGCAACTGGGATATGGTGGCCAACAACACACCAGTGTTCTTCCTGCGAGATCCTGCCAAGTTCCCACACTTCATTCACACCCAGAAGAGAGATCCTTCAACGCATCTGACGCATGCTGATGACTCGACTATGTTCTGGGACTACCTTTGCAACAACCCAGAATCAGTCCATCAAGTCATGATTCTTATGGGTGATCGAGGTATTCCAGATGGTTACCGGTTTATGCACGGCTACGCTGGCCACACCCTCAAGCTCGTAAACAAGGACGGCGACTGGGTTTATGCCCAGATGCACATGAAGTCAATGCAGGGCACAAAGTTCATCACTCAGGAAGACTCTGCCAGTAAATCTGCCGACTACTCGCAGAAGGATCTCTACGAAGCCATTCAGAGGGGCGAGTACCCCAAGTGGACTGTCGAGTTTCAGACCATGACACCTAAGCAGGCTGAAGAGGTATGGGAGAAGCAAAAGATTAACATCTTCGACCTTACACACGTCTGGCCACAAGGTCAGTTTCCAAGAAGGAAGGTTGGCGAGTTCACCTTGAACGAGAACGCTATCAATTACTTCGCAGAGATTGAGCAAGTCGCTTTCAACCCAGCCCATATGCCACCTGGTATTGAGCCATCGGCTGACCCAGTCCTCCAATCTCGACTCTTCTCATACCCAGACACACACAGACACAGAATCGGTGTCAACTACCAGCAGCTCCCAGTCAACGCCCCACGAGGTGGCTATAGATTTGGCAACTTCCAGAGGGATGGCCAGATGGCCTTCTTCAACCAGGGTGCACGACCAAATTACTTGAGCTCGATCGATCCTATCCAATTTAGAACCAGAAGCACCGACCTTGACAAGGTTCACGGTCACTTCCAGGGCGAGTGCATCAGCTTCTTGTCGGAGATCCGACCAGAAGATTTCAATGCGCCGCGCGCGCTGTGGCAGAAGGTCTGGGATGAGCCAGCTCGCGAGCGATTCATCAATAACGTCGCAGGAAAGATGGAGGTATGCAAGGAGAAGGAGTTCCTCAAGCGACAGATCGCTATCTTCAGAGAGGTTGATAACGATATTGCAGAGCGACTGGAGAAGGCTACTGGCATCAAGGGTTACGACGGAATCGCTAACCTCAGATTCAACGGCACGCACAATGGTTTCGCAAAGGATGCTTCGCATCGAGCCGCCAATGGTGTCAAGTTGACTCAAGGCAAGGTCATCTCGGACAATAATGGTGCGCCAGCAAAGGGAACGCACAAAGGCCTCAACAACTAGAAACAGAATGAGCTGTTGTTACGTCCTATGAGGAGTCCAGAGCTGTCTAATGATATCCATAGTTTGCTGTTCCTTCTTGACGAGGGAAGCTTAGTTGCAAGCATTCACTAAATCTGAATTATCTTGCATCAATACCTATTGGAATTCGTGCGCGTGTTGAGCACTCCATGTAACAAATTGTATGTCAAACTTCCTTTCAACTAATTGGCGGCCTGGCACGGTCGCGTTCACGGAGGTTGTAATGCCTTACAGGTCCTCAATGATTTCCGTGTGCTGGTATCGATCACGTCGAGTGACCATTTAAATTCATTCTGAATTGTTCTGATTTCCATGTGCACATGCACAAGCAAGTTGATGTAGGCCCATTTACGTACTGACATATAGCACACTTTCAATGCTTTCGGATCTTGTCGAGGTCTCATCTGTCTTTGGTTTTCATGCTCTGTGACTCTCTCTACTCAAAGTCCATGACTTTCACCCTGCGAAAGTGTTGCTACTAATTGCGAATGAAAATGGCGACACCGACGCGACCGCCTGCAGTCTCGACTCCCAGACCTCTGACTTCCACACCTCATCGGCCTACAGCCTCTCCCCGAACCAACTTGGGCGCATTCGCAAACAAAACCATAGCAGGAAAATCGCCAGCAGTGAAAACCCCAGCCTCAACTCACAACCATGCACATCGTAGCAGTATCTCATCACATCCCACTTCGACTGCTCTTGCTTCATCTGCCTTGCAGGAGGATATCCTCAATATGAACACTCCATCTGCGCTCTTAGCTTCAATGGGAACCATCGGCTTGACCCCTCTTCCCGTCACGCAAGACGGATTGGGGATTGTCCCAGGATCTACTGCATTGTCGACGTTACAAGATGGGCATACTAGCAGGAATCCAGAAAGAGAACGATACGAACGTCTGAAAACCGTTGCCGAGCTATTGAAACGGAAGACTGCTGGAAGAGGCATAAGCAGGGAACACATTCAACGATTGGCTAAGATCCACGGCTTTGATGAGGGTCTGGATGAGAACAGTCTTACGATTGCTGGTCAGAAATTTGTCGAGCTTGAGATCAATTTTGATGCCGTTGAGCAAAACAAAGTCGATAAAGTCTCCTTGAAACTCAACGGGACTGATCAGGATGAGGGCATTTACCAAGATGGCGCCTCTCAAGTTTTGTCTGTGAATCTAAAACCTCAACTTGATTCAAAGGTACCTTGGCACGATCTTGTGGACTTCTCAGCCAACTTGGGTTATCTAAGTCGCCTCGAGCATGCCGATACCAGCGGCAACTGCTTTCAAGTCATAGATAACCTATACGACGTCTTTCAGCGTATCTGGATCGAGGAGAAGAAGCGTATGAAATGGAGACATGACTGTCATCATTTCTGTCAGAGCAATGTAGGCGAACCTCAAAAGGATGTACGCGGACGGCTGGGTTTAAACACAGTCTACTGGTCGAGAGGTCGCAGGTTCTTTTCATGCCAAGAACTAGATACAGATGAGCATGTGGACAGCGATACCTGGAAAGCCACTTTTGCTGTTGAATCTGGTTCTCCTTCCATCCCTGCAATTCAGCAATGGCTAGCCGATGATGTTCTGACCAATACTGCCCGAGCAGAAGATATCTTTCAAGAATCCACAATAGATAAACCTTCCTGGCAAGACCCCAATCTGCCTACCCAGCCCAAAACTGCACAATCCAAAGATGCCATGGACGTTGACCAGCCCAAAGCAGAGGTACAAGAAGAGCTTAACATGCATTTCACGTGTCAACTCGAGCCTGAGATCTTTCTACCTTTGCAGCAAGCCCAAGCACTAAATGAGCGCTCGTACCTAATCGACCTGCACCAGAATCTGCTAGTCACTGTCCAACAGCTGGTCCTCGGCCACACAACCACTCCCACCGACAAAAGGTGGCTAAGGACGCAACACACCTTCAGCAAGAGTGGAGAGCACAAGGAGCAAAAATACTCGTACATGCTCTATGCCGCGAACCAAGCATGGCTTCACCCCGTCAGCAAATTAAAGTTTGCTCATCCACAACAATATGCTGAGGCCCTCCCTATCCTCCGCCAGTATGCCCTTGTCAACACGCTTCTACAATCGATCAAGCCTGAACCCTCCGCACAAACATCAGAACAATCACCCTCCGACTCAACCACAACCACCACACACAAAACAACCCCTGCCCGCGGCAAAATCACCAAACGGTCCAACAAACCAGCCCTCAACGCACAAATAGACGCCCTTCTCGGCCACAACCTCACAGACTCCCAGCAACAACAATCCCCCCTCCCAATCGACCTCCGCATCGACCCTCTCTCGACCTCAGCCAAACCCTCCGCTTCCTCCTCCTGCTGCCGCCTCCAAATCAGCCTCCCCCTCTCAAGCCGAGTCCTCTCCCGCACCACAGGCCAACGCCTCAAAGCAAAAGCATTCCTAGCCATTCAGATCGACATCTTACTTAACGGCGTCGTGGAAGTCGTCAGTCTTGATGGGATCGAGCTGGAGAAGGAACAGGGTGAAGATTTGAAGAAGAGACTTGTGCGGGTGGTGAGGGCGAGTGAGGATGTTGGGACGGTTGTGGCGTGGACGGTGAGGGAGCTTGAGGGGGTTTGTTCTTCTTAGTGGGGAGGACTTGGGGGTGTTGATGATGTTGATGAAGGAGGAGGAGAAGGGAGGGTTGGTGGTGGTGATTCAGGGATTCATGATCAGGAGCATACGATGGAGGATGATGATGATGATGACAAGGACTCGCTGTTTGATTGGGTTGATGAGGCTATTGATATGCATTTTGGGCGCTGAAGACTGCCTGGTTCGATCAGGGAAGGAAGAGTTGTCAAAGGGCATGTTTAATACGCTGCAGACAGCTAGTAATTTCGTCAAGCAGGCAGACCGTTGGTGCTGAGATGGAAATCATATTGCTGCCACGTAGTCCAAGACATCCTTCCGGTGCGGCGGAGACACAAGACCGCATCTTGTTAGGACTGCTTGACTAATAAGCAAGACCTAATTCAAAGTAAAGGAGAAACTTTCATACAATTTGTGCTATCACAACTAAGCTACTTTAGTCTCCCCCAAGGATCACTCGCTCTCTTCAACCCAAAACCCTGACGTACATGATCTATACAGTCATACAGAAACATATGCACAAAAGGCCTTTCATACCAGATCGCATTGTACGTAGCATATAGCGAAAGCTGACCCTGCCAAATATGCAGATAGCATGTATAGTTTGGTTGTAGCTCATCGGTCGCGACCCACAGGTCGACAATCTTGATAGCGCCGTATTGAGGAGAGAGGATCGTGTCCAGCACACCGTGACTTGAGAAGGTAGCTGTTTCGACTGGTCTGAGGAATAAATCTGGTTGTGATGGTAAGCTTCCATCAGCTGGGAGTTCTGGTGTTGCAGCTACGGCGTAGATTGGGACCAGCGATGTATGGTTACTGTCTGTATCGACCGAGTGGTAGAAGTCTCCGATGCGGTGGATGTTGCTGAGGAAGTCTGCGGTTGCTGATTTGTCTCGGTTGGGACAATCCTCTGTATGTGCCTGTTGACACCTTCTGCTGCAGGCGGGTGGCACTGTGAAGTTAATGGAAAAGCCTCTACCTGAAGTCGAGGTTAGGACTGATACGGGGTCTGGCTGTCGTGGTTGTGGCGTGATGCCGTAGGCAGGAGGTGGGATGATCGTGCAGTCCTTACGGTGGTCGGTGATACTGGTAACTATGTAACAAACCTTTTTCTCCTCTTTTGTTCGACGTTGATAAGTGGACATGGCCGTGGCAACCGCTGCGTGGAAGGTATGTCTTATGGAAACTTTGAAACGTTCACAAGCTTCTATGATCTCTTTCGTCTCTTGATCTGATAGTGTGACACATATTCGTTGAGACCCCCCCAGTTCGTAAGGCAGTCCCGTCTTATCCCAGCGGAGCTTAGCAACCTCAATACCCGAATCTCTGTGAAGAGTGACGCGAGGCATTTCTTTAGTCTTTATGGTCCCAAGGTTAGTTACGGCTGTTGTTACATGCTCTACCGTTGTGGGAGGTAGGCCAGCAGCTATACGGAGTGGTGGGCTGAGATTCACCCATTCACCGCCGAACTTCGGGGAAGGAAATGAATGTTGTTGAGCCAACGCTTGTGATGCATGCTGAAACAGTTCGGAAAGTAGCTGGAACGTGCCTGCGCTATCTATAGTGTCGGGAGGAGCACGGAAGACAATATTGCGGCGAATTTCGTGCAGGTCGGGACGGCGCGTACATCTGACGATATATAGGGTCGGGAGCTTAGGTGATGGGACCTCGGAGCTGCACCACTCTTGTCCTAGAAGATCAGTACTGACCGTTTGAACAGTATCTTTCAGCCATGCTTCGTGATCCTCTTCCGACATTATCGTATTGTAATTCTTCCTTAGCAACTTGGTCGCCGGATTTTGGTCTACCCACGTGGCGATATTTGGATGTTGAAAACGCAACCTCGACCATGCCTTCCGCAAGGCTACCTCGACCTGCTGTTGCATGTCCATGGTTGTACTCTCTGCTGGTACACCAACACGGATGAAGACGAAACCTGTAACGCGAGCCGGTTGGTGGCCACTTTCAGCATATGGCTGTGCTTTAGCATAATAATACCGCTCAACTTCATCGATAGGACGCCAATAATGGCCACCTTGTGTCGGCTTCCACTCGAAGTCGATAATGGCCATTGAGACTGGTGATGCTTTGGACTATGGTTTGAACGGCCGTCGATATCTGCTTGAATGTCTGGTGGTTGACTTGAGGGTTGGCGGAAGTCGAACAAAATGCAATCGGTCATTGTGCAGAGAGATTGCATTCGATGCTTTGTCCTTTTGGCTTGTTGTTTGAGCTGTGTCATACCGCGTTTGCAGAAGCGAACGCGTATCGAACAAAGGCATCAATATTTCCAGTCCATGTACAATTTCGAGGATAGGGCAATGCGTTATCTGTATGTTAATTGATATTGTTTGCAGCACGAGGGCAGTCGCGCTGGGAAGCAGGAAAACATACATGGCAATTGCGATGGTATAACTTCCACTCACCAATACAGCCGCGCCTTAGACGTAATATGCGCCAATCGACCCCTTCTAATCTGACGACGTCCATGCCGAGTTGATATTCAACGTTTGCAATACTGATCATACTTCTGGACGCGTAGGCAGTGGCATCTCATGCTTCCTTTGTTTGACATCGTTTGCTAGAACTCGAACTCCTCTGCCGACTGGATAACTCCGTCGATCTGTCTGTTCGTCTTCTCGTGATTCTGCTTGCGAGTTTCCAGGTCTGTCTTCATCAGTTGGAGCAGCTTGGGCAGCTTAGGTAGAAACAGAAGTGAACACTAGTACAAATAAAAGGAACTAAAAGACCAGACGAGCTGCACATTCTGGCTTGTCAAAGGTCCTTCGCTGGTGGGGACTTCACTTGTCCTATCGATCAAGGCGATACTGTTGTGCCTGTTGTGAAGAGGATACCTTTTTGTTGCTGGCAGAGCTCACTTGACCAGCGGCGGACAACTGACAATTGAGACCGCAAACCCAATGAGACTGTTTCACATCTCAAAAAGTGACATTTTCAGTAGTTCCGACAAGTATCACGTCTCATCACGAGCGTGACAGGGCAAAGAAGAAAGAGTAACGGAACAGACATGCTACTTTACCACCGAACATTGTGTCTGGGAATAAAAATGCCGAGGTGGATTGCAGTCACTGCTGGACACTTTGTGGAGTGAATTCGAGTGATTGCTTGCAGGCAATAGCATTCTGCAGTTTTTTAAAAATTCGAGAGGGCTGGCGCCTGCATGTGTAAAGCAGGGTGTATATTTATCCTGCTGTAATGTTCGCAATACTTTAGGACAGTAGACGTGAAGCAAAACATTTCAATATTCAAGCTGTTGAAGTGGTGTTTGGAGTACGTCATCTTGATCCATCTTGGGTCGTCGTCGAGGTTAATATGCGATCGCAACCAAACAGCTATAGGACGCAGGAGGATGCCATGATCAACATGCTTTTTGTTCTACTGATCAATGGAGCAGCAATGATGTATATTGGTGAAGACATTATATATTCACGATATCGTGTATGCAGGATGATACCTTCACTGATAAAGGTGACGCACCTGTACATCGGAACCAAAGGCAGACGTGCCTATCAAGGATCGATGTCGTGCATCCATGCCCACCCTCCCATGATAAATCGACAATTCACCCGCAACGCCTATCTGTGAAGACACCATGTAACAACATCCAGTGCCTCCCCTGTGCGCATGATCATAAAGGTCGTTTCCATGCCTATGTGGACTCACTCGTATGCTGTACAGAATCGCAAGCCAATGTCTTTTATATATACCCACACCACAACCGAGGAGCGAAACAGAAAATACGGAAGATCAAATGTCAATTGGTCGAGTTAAACTGGGGCTCCGCCGCTGAGAGTGCCGACAGAGGCTCTGTTTCTGGTAGAACGGGGTCATATAATGTGGGAAGCACCGCTTGAGCAACATCTCCAAAGCTGGGAGACTGCGGCGACGGATAAGGGAGAACTTTCGTTCCAGGGTTAACAGGACCAGCTGCGGCGTAGGGCGATGGTACCTAACCAGCGCGCTGTGGCATACCAGGTTGCATGCCACCGTTAGGCATCGCCATACCGTAAGGGTTCATCTGCTGATGAGCAAAAGCAGCGTTGGGATCCTGCATGCCAGCCAGGAACTGACCAATGCCCTGAGCATGTCCGACAGGACAGTCTTTGTGTTGAATGAGTAGGTTTCGAAGATTCCTGATCTCGTCATGAAGTGTGGCAACTTGGGTGTTGAGAGAATCATTCTCGGCAGAGTACATTTCCACCTTGGCCTGGAGGTTAGCCAGCCATTGCTTCTTCCGCTGACGACATTTGAGTGCAGCGACCCTGTTCCGAGTTAGAAGCGGTTCTGACAACCTGTAAACGCTTTTGACATACCTGTTTCGTTCTAAAAAGTTACGACGCTTTTCTTCGTCAGTCATCTTCTTGCCGTTCTTGGTGCCATTCTTGAGCTCTTCTTGCATCTCCTCGTCCATGCTCTCGTCGTCATCTGGGTCGACATCAGGATCGAGAGCTGGATCTACGGCCACCGAGCCAATACTGGTCTTCTGTCGCTTATTGCTGCCTTTTTGTACAGCCTCAGACTTCCGTCTTCCATTAGCAGGTGGTACTTTAGCACCCTTCTTGCCACGGGTATTTGGCTTGCTGTCCTCGTCGTCAGGACTGCCGATATCTTCAGCTGAGGCATTCGACGTTCTCTGTGGAACTTGACTCCTCGTCTGTATATTCTGTTGATTGTTGTTGGGAGCAAACTGGTTGGCCTGGCCGCCCTTAGCTAGCATGAAAAGACCATTAGCAGCATCTGTGGCGTCGTGTTGAGCATCCATATTGCCGTTCTGGCCTGGCTGTTCTTGTGGATTTGATGTATTGGGGAACTTGTTACGTGCAGCTGCGTTCATAGCAGTGCGATGAAAGTCTAGTGTACCAGGAGTAGCACCTCCACTCTGTAATGAGTTGAAGATGGCTTGTGAGTTGGGACTCGGGGCCGGGAACATGGAACCCCCTCCACCTGGGGTCAAACCTGTCCTCAACGACGACTCGTTGGGCGTAGGGAAGCCACGTGAAATGTTTCCAAAGTAGTCGCCACCACCAGCAGGACCTTCCAGCATAGCAGGGCTCAGTGGCCCAGCTCTTAGACCCTGGTTCCAGTTGTATCCGGTTGCGTTGTTCGCGCCAGTTATAGCGGGAGACTCGAGGGCGGCGACAGGAGGCAGTAGGGTCTTTCCCGGTGTCTCTGTCGATGGCGCGCCGAAGGATTGTTCGAACGGGTTGAATTCGTTGTTGTTACCATGTACGGCCGAGAAGTAGTCGGGCGTCTGAGCTGTTGTGGCAGGTGCTGGTTTAGGAGGAGGAGCTAGAGGTTCAGATACTTGTGTTGGCTTCGAGTCTTCTGCGGTCGGGGCTGGAGCGTCTTTGGCACGAATTAGTCAACGAGGTTCTACGGTACAACTATGGCTGTGGCGTACCTGGCGCAGGTTGCTTGTGTTGTACAGGGGAACTTTTTCTGGAGGTGCCTGAATGGTTCGTGTCAGCGGCCCGCAGCGATGGCATCGGTACAACAAGCGACGGCGACAATGACGTTGGTAGTCGACAGTGACTGCCTCAAGTCGGTCTGATCCACGTGTAGATGATGTAGATGGAATGGGATGATGAAATGTGATGTCACCTCGCGCCAAACCAAGGGGGTGGTAAAAGACGGGGGACGAGGAAGGAGAGCATGGAAGCCCTGGGGGATGCCTACGTACCGGAGGAAGGCATATTTTCCTGCTTAACAGGCTTGGACTCAGCCATGTTGTCTTGCAACGTAGGTGCTAAGACAGCAACGGACATTGCAGTATGGTACAAAGCGCGGGTGTGGTGCGCCTTCAGATGTGTGCACAGAACGAAAGCAGAAAAAGTGACGTAGAAAGAGAGAAGTGACGTACGATGGGCGAAGAGGCTGGCAGTCTTAATAAAGCAGATTTGCGGGCGTGCAGCGAGGCCGGCAGAACTCGCACGCGGTTGTGGAAGCCCCAAGAGGCGAATCGTCCCCACCAGGTGGGTCCCGCAGCTATGACGGAGCTCATCGACTGGATCAAGCCCAATCTCGCATTCCAACCTTCACACCAAGTGACTGCGATCGGAGATTGTTTAAAGTTATCCATGTTCGTCGTCTTCACTGGCGAACAAACGGTACTCATATGAGCTATTCGATGTGTTGGTGAATGTCAGAAGTAGCCTCAGGCACAAGTAGTGATCACTACCCTCCTTCTCATGCAAAACAGAGATGGAATCATGCAATCTACACAGTCGCTGACAAATGCGATTGCCATCGCCTTCGAGGGTAGCCCGGATGCTGGATTGGAGCAATACTTACTTGCTGTCGCAACCAATCGAAACGGGTTAAGAACCGGAATCCGAAGACTTATTCGAAGAGTTTTACCAGTATCATTGGTCTTTGCTGCTTTTTAGTTCACAGAGCCAATCAACAAGTACATAGCAGGACTCGAGAGCAAGTGAAGATGTCTGTTTGTCGCACCGGAATCACAAGCGGGAGGCTTCATGACGTTATCTCGACTACAATCTGCCATTTTGGCGATATCGTTTTGCATCCTTTTGTCGCATGGGAAACTATACAACGAGTAGTATCGTGTCACAATGGTGTCACCCCCAGATAGCGTCTATACATTGAAGCCGACATGACCATCGAATTTATGCCACTATGGACATGCAGTGCTGATACAAAAATGAGGAAACAGAAGATGCACTTTTTTTCGAAATTGAAAACCGTGACGCAATCACATCTGCAAAACGATTTAGCGTGAGCACTCAAGCGCTAAATAGAATCACTAGTACACGTCCAACTCCACCACACCTTTTGAACTCAGTACTTGATGCGATAACAATATCTTTCGGGTGCAGGTTGCTGGTGGAATCAATGCTCACATGTTACTTAACGGCTTTGTACTTCGACACTTCTGGACAGGCATATCACTACTCGTAATTGCGCTCGAGTGCAGCACAGAACAACTCAGTAGCATGCGCGGTACTGTGCTTTCCCCGGTGATATGTATGCACACAAGTCTCTCTGAATGCGCGTCTCTTCGCTGTAAGGTACTTGGAGCAGCACAGCCTGGACTCTTGCGATCGTGCAAGCTTCAGATATGTCACTTCGTGCATTGAAGCTACTCACCTCGTGCGGAAGACAAGTGATGATGTATAAAACGTCGCAACACATCTCCAGCCATTGACGTTGGCTGCGGGTTGAGAAGGTGGGAAACACCAGCATTGTAAAATGTTCTTGAACGCTATTTCAGTGATGCTCGCCTATCAGTAAAAGTGCACCAGCAATAGTCGTGGAGCGTTTGGGGACACTAAGTTGGTTCATTGAGGCTGCCAAAATTTTCGGACTTGTATAATTGACTGAAGCTGTAATAAATGCCTGGGTAACTCGTTATAGAGTCAAGCCTTGTAACATATATGACAAGTTTGCTTCGTGCAGCGCTAAGAAGTCGTCCAACACCTCGACACTGTGCGTCGAGTTTGTCGTATGAAACCATGAAGCAGCCTTTCCCATTTCCCAGTTAAGGTTACATTCTACTTACCGCTTGCCTGGCCCAGAACGCCTTGACAATGCTTGCTGTGACATGCTCGAAGATAGTGTACATCTATTTGTAGAAGCTGTGAAAGTTAGCAAACGGTACAGTGTAGTTCCAAGGATCTGGCAGGGACTGGTAGCGTAGGAGTCCAACATGGGGTACACTTACTCAAACTTGTCCTTTTCCTGTGCGCCCTTCACTTGAGCGGAATATGCTTCTTCCAAGTCGGCCTGGATGATGTTGTATCTGTTCTTTCGGACTGCTCTTAAACCGGCCTCCTGCATGATTGCGGCAATGATGGCTCCAGAAAGAGGATCGTTCCGAACAATCAATGAATCCAGGTCAACCTCTGGCGATAAAGACATCTTGCTTGCAATGGTGGAAAAGATCAATCGTCGTTCTCGGCGATCTCGCAGGTTGGGAAACTCGATCTTTCGATCAAGACGACCTGGACGTAACAAAGCAGGATCTAACGTGTCTGCTCGATTGGTCGCCATTATGACCTTGACGTTACTCGTTTGATCGAAGCCGTCCATCTGATTCAGTAGCTCCAGCAGGATACGTTGTACCTCCCTATCAGCACCGGTCTGAGCGTCAAAACGCTTGGTGGCGATGGCGTCGATCTCGTCAATAAAGATGATTGACGGTGAGTTCTCTCGAGCCATGCGAAAGACGTCTCTGACCATTCGAGGACCCTCGCCCAGGTATTTCTGTACGAACTCCGAGCCAACGACTCTGATAAATGAGGCGGTTGTGCTATTTGCAACAGCCTTGACCAACATAGTCTTTCCAGTACCTGGTGGACCATAGAGCAGTACACCGCGAGGAGGGTCTATGCCGATCTGTTTGTAGAGATCGAACTGTGTCAATGGTAATTCGACAGCCTCTCTTATCTCTTGTTTCTGCATGTCCAATCCACCAACGTCGGCATATGTGACATCCGGCTTTTCATCAGCCCCCAACATAGCAATAGACGAGTCTGCTTCTGGTGGCAGGATATCTACGAGAGAGTTCGAATGTCGGTGGAGGGCGACGGAGGACGAGGGTTTCAACTTTTCTCGATCGAGGGTAGATAGAATCCGAACCACATAGTTTGAGCCTGTCGACGACTGTACGATACCAGTGTTTTGGTCGATGGCTTCCATGAATTGTCCAATGACTAAAGGCACACTTTGTATTCGCTTGATTTCTTCCTGTGCTCTGACCAATTCCCGTTTTAGCGATCGCTGCTCGTCTTTGATGTACTCTTCCTGCAAATTGATGTACTCGAGATGTCGTTGTAATCGTTTCAAGGTTGCATATTCGTCGTTGTTGTCCCTGTCACCACCTTCGAGTGAGGCAATGTCTGGTATTGAGTCTGCTGCCACAACCTTCCTGTGAGGCGCAAGCGTATTGACTGGATTCTCGACTGCTGCGTCAGCCATGGTGCCTTAAATGTCGAAGGTTTACAATTGGGTCAAGACGTAGAGGTTGGTGTTTCCAATAAGTACGGAGAATGGCAAAGTGGTCGGTTGCAAGTAGTTGTCTGCGTCTGAACTATTGACGGTATGCACGAGGCCACCTCAGGCAATCAAGAACGCGACATTCCATGCAAGGCTGAATCTCCCCATAGAGCTAGGCCGTATTAGGCGTAGAATCGGAATTCGTGGCTGCTGCCAGGAGTCCTGGTTGTGTCGTTCCTGCCACTGCATCAAGCCAGCTTACCAAAACCGTGTTCTGAGCCTGTACTCTCTTGGTGTCTTCAGTCAGACTTGGGACAAATGAAAACCACATTGTACCATATAGCGAGTCTCGGACTACCCCTGTAGAGAAGGCCAGGACAAGCCTCCTACGCTCAAAGGTCCTTGGCCACTTTTACTATATTGCAATCTACAGCAAGGATTCTGCCTTCAACCTTCAAAGCAAAGAGTCCTTGTCATTGCCCAGGCACACCCGACTTAACCATGCTCTTTCGCGTGATCGATTCCAGAGAGTTCAGAAGCGAGTGGCGAGCTGATCAAGTGGACCTATCTCTGCATGAGCCACTAGTGTCACGGCGCTCTTCGCAGTTCAGAGCTGTAATTTCTTACCACAGCGGTGTGCCAAGTTGAAAGTGAGTCGAATCGATGGACCAGACAAGGACAGGCCAGATCAAAAAGGGCCATGAACACAAAGCTACCTCATAATATTCGGTAAATAACATTTGCATTCTACATGTCGAAGCAGGTAGGATGAGTACGACGTATCAATCATCCGTCAGACAGGGGTCCTCCAGCGAGAAACGGCGTTACCGTATGATACCGCACCCACGCTGTAGCATTTCGACCGCCAGATCTTCGAATGCTTTCAAACTCTCTATACGTGGCTTTCCATACTCTCCAAGCACTCCTGTCTTTTTGTCTGCTTGAATAAAGTCCTGCGTAAGTGCTGAGGTAGTAAGACAACGACTCTTGAGGTTCCTGCTTTCTAGCTGTAACAGTAACGCACGATGATTGGCGATTGGTCGTAAATAGCACGGGAAAAAGAGGAGATCTTTACCACTGCCTTTCCCCCTTACAACGGCTGCTGCCTGTCACCCTCTTCCTGCCAGCCAGACAACGCCGAATCTTACAGATTGCTTTTTGAACGAGACCTGGGCTCTTTTGTGAACCTACCCGAATCTCTCCACTTTTGCTTGTCCTGTCTACTTCATCCACCACATCCGTACGTTACTGTGCCACGTTCGTACCATCCTGGTCTGAGCTTGGGCATTTTTTACGGTACTACGTGTAGCATCGCTTGCATCGATATAGTTCCTGTCTAGGACTAATAACTATCCACATCTACGATTCAAGCCGGTAAGCAAGCTAGAAGACGAACCCTTACTGTATTTCGGTCACATATTCCGAGGCCCTAGTACACCTCGCAATCTGAACTGTGCTTGGTGGGGTCATCGTTTCTCATCTTGAAATGCTCACCAGGCACCGCACATGGCGGAGGGCCAGAGAACTCAAAACCCAGACCGAAACCCACCACTAGCGCCATCGCTGTCGTGCTTTTCGGCAAGCACAAGCATCTGGCGGCGCGTTCATTGCGTCGACTGCAGATTTCGTGTTTACCAATGTTTTGTGCTTGCTTGTATCGAGTTGAGAATTTGGGCTGATGATCTTGGGGCTAGACAGGTGGGCTTCCAACCTTGAGGCGCTGAAGGCCGGCGCGCTAAGCCGAAACAATCCAGGATCATTCTCATCAGTCCTCGCAAGTTGTCGAACACACTGCAATCATCGGTTCGCATATCGAAAACGCTCTGACACGTCCATCCCATCCGCTAAAACTTGTACACGCCTGGTAAGCATTCCTGCCTGATCCATTTCTTGGTCTTTTTGAACGCCCTTGTCCATCACATGCATCGTTCCTCCCCAATCACACCATCTCCTTGCAGCCGACGCGTCTCACCAAGCCGAACCATCGCAACACACATCGGCTGCTCCGCCCAAACTGTTACCGCGACCCTCTGAATCTACTTGTATACTCCTGCCTCGATCACTGCTACCATGTCGCCGATGGATGTTGATGACGACGGTGGTTTCGCGTGAGCGCATGCTAACCATGATGTCTGGCAGCAGTAGATGGATCACTATACCAGCGCGCCCAGCTGAATATGAACCATTGGTCCAACGACTCATATTCCACACTGAACGGTCATGCTACACTCAGCTCGATACCAAACTCTCCAATGTCCTTCCCTCAACCAGCCCAGACCATCAATCCGGCCCACTTCCAGAACCAATCCTTCCTCAATGGCGCTGCCCGAACCGCGTCGCCAGCCTTCCATCAGCAGTCTATGTATCAGACAAATCAGGTGATCCCTTCGAAGAGATCAAGAGAAGATAGCTTAGGGACATCTCCTCGACCATCGCACAATGGTCTGCCTGCGCCGGCTTCGCGTTCACACACTCCCGGAGGTCCCTTTCCCGGCTTCCATCCTCAATCAAATGGCGCGCCGTCCTTCACGAGTGCGCCCACGGCATTTCAACATCTTCAGACTGCTAATAACGCTACACCGTCCCCAACAATGCAACAGATAGGGTTCCCGCAAAATGCCACCGCGCAGAGGATGTCCACGGCATCACCGAGTCCTTTCTCGCCTCAACACAACATGTCAGGGGCTTCACCCGGCACTTCTGATCGTGCAAGTAGGGTCGCAACGCCTCACGACGTGCCTCCAAATTTCATGCAGAATCCAAGCTCACATCCTGGTCTTAATCCGCAACAATTTGGCCAGAATATGATGAGCCAGGTAGGCATGAATCAGATGAACCTTGGTCAGATTCCGCAGATGCAGGCATATCAACAACAATTGCAGAGACTGGCAGCACAAAATGTTACAAATGGCATGTCACCGGCCCACACAAATGGCTCTATGATGCAGCAGAACGGTACATCGCAGTCAAGGATGTCTAGCACGCCTCAAGACTTCTTCCGTGGCCTACAACAGTTCTCGGCGGCGAAAGGCAGACCCATTGACCTGAGGCCTCATATCTGCGGAAGGCAGATAGACGCTTTACGCGTGTATCAAATCATCATGAAAGGCGGTGGCTCGAGTCGAATCACCAAGCTAGGACAATGGCTACAGGTAGCGCAGTCGATGCAAATGTTTCCTCCACAACAGATCCAGCCAGCGGCGGTGGAACTTCAACAATACTGGCTCAGCAATGTTGGTGCATATGAACAAATGTGGATACAACAGAGACAACGCCAAGCCCAGATGCAGTCTCCGACGCGTGACGGACCGCCTCAGAATACTATGAACAACCATCAGAGAGCGCCCTCAGATCTGATGCCAAGGCAGCTTAATGGTCCTACTTCTCATACCAATGGTCTCGTGTCGATAAAGGATCCAAATGACTCTACCTCTGCACACCAACGCCAGAGTCTGTCGCGGCAACCTGAACAGTTGCAGCTCGATGAGGTACAGGACGACCTCCATTTAGAGCCGACACCGAAACGTCCTTCGCCTGCGGCTACCATAGAACCAGAACCAGAATCGACAATGCCTATGCGAAAGCCAATAGAGGATCCATTCGTGCCGGAAATTCTGCAACCAAGTCGGCATCACGGTCCTATTGACCTAGAAGAAACTTTCATGCTTGGTCAGGAACTAGTCCAGCTGAAGCCCACGGTACCATCGTTACGTGAACTGGGCGTTATAGACATTCACGCCCTAATTATGGCCATCAAGTCTGGGATACATGCCGAAACGAGAAACGCTCTGGACACACTAATTACTTTGTCTAGTGAACCCTCTCTACAAATACAATTGAAGGAATGCGACGACCTCATCGATACACTGGTCGACTGTGCTCAAGTAGAACTCGATTTCCTGAACGAGTATTCTACCGAAGTTTCCGAAGAAATCTCCTTGCAATCGTACGAAGAGCTCGTGCGATCATCGCACGTGGATACCAAAACTATACAGTCAATACCTGAATTCGGAAGTCTGGAATACGACCTCGATCGAGCAGTTGATCGTTTAATATGTGTAACAACCCTGATCCGGAATTTCTCCTTTTATGAGCCAAATTTTGTGGTACTAGGAGAGCCAACCGTGCTTCAACTTGCGACACGAGTCATACAATATATCGGAACCAAAGATATGCCCTTGCGCAGTCCACGCAATACCCTCGATTTCATGAAAGACATAATCATATACTTGAGCAATCTCTCGCAGTCTCTGGTGATACCAACGAAACAAGACGCGTTATGCCTGCTACACTTTCTGCTATCATTCGCGCCAAACCCGCCACCAGTATCATCGAATAACGAAAGAATCGCGTTTACTCCATATACACCAGCTATCCATAAATACCTTCCGCCAGCAGTTGATAGCATAGCCAAACTCCTGGCACGTGACGAGCCCAACCGGGTATATTTCAGGGCAATTTTTCATGCTGATGCTCGAGCGGCAGTACCTTACGAATTACTCACTCGCACGTTCGGCCTCGTAGTGGCACCAATACCGCATACCACAGCTCATCTACGGGCACAAGTCGAGGCTAGGAGGGCCTTCCTCCTTCAAGGTCTACTTGCAGCTGAAATTATTGCAAGTCTAGCTCCAGGTTCAGAGATTCCACTTGCACGATCCTGGCTACAATCTGAGGATTGCTGGGCAGGTAACGCGCTCAAAATGGCCAGTGCGCTGTCAGCCTTGTCGTCAAGTAATAGTCGACACCGAGACAATAGGAACTTGGCGCAGCAACGAGGCGGTATCGTCGTCGATGAGGATCCGATGGCGCATGGATCAATCGTTAACCGTGCGATGGCAACATTGAGGACACTTGCAAATAAGAGCCGGACCACGGATGAGGATGGCAACACAAGTGTGCGAGGCGTGCCTACCACTGCAATCATGAAAAGAGAAAACCTGCTTGGTGCAATGGTTCAGAAAGACATTGATCCGGCAATGCTGAGGTTGTTTTGTCAATATGCGGGAATTGAAGACTAGCGAGTATCAATGCCACATTACTGATATCAAAAATGAACAAGGCGGCTAAAGATGCGACGTCCTCAACGTACTATACAGGCACCACTTCCAAGACAGGGTGTGAGGACATCTAAGCCCAAAAACAACGTCCCTCTTTGAGCGTTAACAGCAACTACGATGATGATTCTTGTGATCAAGCTACTTTGGATGCAAGCGAATTCCTTTATTGGATAGCATTGTACATGCGTCTCTTTGAGAACGAGAAACCATCTCCAGAACGGAGCTACATATTATGTATTGAATATCCGTGCCTGTGTATATGTGCCACTACATCTATCTATAGACTTGACGCTTATGAAATGTATTGCGAAATGCAAGAAAAGATGTCGTTTTTGCTTTTGTGATTGGTCTCGCATCTGAAGGAAAATCCAATGTCTAAAGAACTTGTCTCGCTTATCCGCCTAGTCGTGTACGCCAGAAACAATCGCATTCGTAGCACTAGAAAGCCACCTTCACTTCTATGCACCAGCCTCAACACCATCAACATAATCTTTTAAACTCTTGTACCCAGGCAACCCAGCCTTCAGCGGATCCTCAACACAATCCGGCTTCGTAATACCATTACCAAAATGCTGCTCCGGTCTCTTGCCATCCAGCTTCTCAGCCTTGACGAGCACAGCAATAGCGCTGCCGACTCGGACAGTGAACTGTCTGTGCCCTACCGCTCGTAGAATTGCGTTGATCATGCCGCCGTGCGCGGTGATGCTGATGTAGTCCGTTTCTTCAGGCGGTATGGATGAGAGGATGTCGTCGAGGACGAGGGCGGCACGATGGGTGTGTGCTGTGTCTGTTTCGCGGTAAATGGGGTCCCAGAGCTCGTCTTGTTCTGTAAAGTTACTCTCGATTGTGTATTGAGGGAAAGTGTCTGCGATGACTGACCGGGGACTTCGTCGGTCGCAGGTATGTATCCCGTTTGTTTCTCGTAGGTATTCTTTGACCGTTGGCTTCCAGTCTTGAACAACACCGGTCTCAGCTAGGGGTCGGAATGTGATTTCTAACGTTTTGCAAGCGCGGTTCATTGGGCTTACAAACCAGGTATGTGGTAGAGGCATGCCTTGCTTGGAGAGTTGGAAGATCCAGAACTTGCTCTGTTCTTGCGCCTGCCGCTGGCCGAGCTTGGATAGATGTGCGTCTGACCAGGATATGGTTGAGGCTGGGTCAGGATCGCCGTCCAGTTCGGCCCAGTGACAGTCCCATGCTGCTGGGCCGTAGTATGACTCGGCGAGGTTGTGGTAGCCTTGACCGTGACGTGCAAGATATAGGATGTGGTAGGATGCATTTGCATCGGCTTGCGTATTTAACGTCTTGAGATGGTGGTCGAAGCGCTGCCAGTCTGTGGGCTTTCCGACATGGTGGTCACCGAAATGGAGGAGGGGGAGAGACGAATCGGATTCGTAGCTTTGAGATATGAGGCCGAAGTTTGTGGTTGTTGGGTCAAAGGTTGCAGGATCAGTGGAAGGAAGAGAAGGTAGGAAGTATGAGCCGGGAGCTGTGAAGGAGTAGTGCGTGTTCACGCGACTGGACGCAGTATATTTCTCCTCGGATACAGGAAGCTGACTCGGGTTCTGAGCAGTAGAGTTCATCTCATTCATCGTAATGAGGAGGGCAACGAGTATAGTGAGGTACAGCAGGATAGGTATGACAGTATGGGTATGCAGCCATGGCCACTTCTCCCTCTGCTCTAGCAGCATCTCACGGTATCATAAGATACCGTCACAATTACACTCATCGTAAAGTTTGAGTTGGTGAACAGATCAGTATAAGGAATTGTCCACGCGGATGTCGTGTGTACGCACAGACGATCTGTTTGTTTGAAAGATTGCAGCAGAGCTACTGCGTCATTGCCCGCATCATGCTCGGGCAGGAATTACTCTTAGTCAATACCTATACAAAGCATTCTATGGGTATCTATGTGGTACGGCCACATCAGTTGCGCATGCCATACCTTTCGACTAGAGCAAGGTCACTCCAAGACCTTACTCAGGGTCTGTATCTCAAAGTCCCTCACACTAGACCACAAGCCAGCAGGCGCGAGATCAGGCTCTCCTTCATCCACAAACCCTCTGCGCAGCCAGTATTGTGGATTGTCACTGTCCACCAATGCAGAAGACCAGAGCTTGATCTGCAAACTACCACGAGGATCCCCAGCAGCTTTCAATTCGTTGTGTCGACGAGTCAACTTATCTAACAACGCATCGAGACTTTGTACCATGAGACCCTGCCGGCGATAACGGGGATAATTGACGCAAGCGCAAGCAGATACTTCCCAGTCCCATGTCCCCGACTTGTGCTCCTGTTGAGCTAGCTCCTGCTGCGATAATCTTGCAAGGTCAATGTCGTTGACAGAGGATGCCCCGTTACCTTCGCGAGCCAACTGTCGAGCTTTGGCGAATAGCACTGTCTTCTTCCCACCCCAAGGCTTCAGGCTTGCGACGGCTACAACCTGCCCATATTTGCTAGGATAGTAAACGTTGGCCTTCTCTATCCTATGCACCATCTCTGGGACTTCATTCAAGTCATTGTCTGTACAAACAGCTATTGAACCACTTTCTCCCAACTCGTGCACAAGCTGATCCTCGCATGTTATACGTCTTTCTTTGTAGAGCGCTTGGTAGTGATATGAACCGTCGAGCTCCGGATGACCATGTATGCTGTATGCATCATTGATCAAATCATTGATGTTGTGCAGAAGGGTCTTGTTGGCTGGATCAAGCAGCTGGTGAGGCTGCAAGACCTGGATGTTGAGTTTCATCCAGGACTTCGAGCTGATCGCAAGGTGGTGCAGCGAAGGCTGCGGGAAACCACTTTCTGAACGATGGTATTATACCCGTTGCTAGCTTTCAGCTTCGTCGAGAAATTTGTAAGTACGCATTTTGTAGGTGAATCATGATTCGTTGAACGATGTATCGATCGGAGAAGGCCGTTCCCAAAGTTACAAGGGAGCTCTGCCGAAAGTTGGTTGGTGACAGGAGATGGTCATGGTGGTGTACAGTGTTACAGATCACCAGGTGGAAACGGTTTTCGGCCATATATAATTGCACTGTCCTCGATGTCAGCAGGTCGAAGTAAGATTCGAGAGTAGACTTACGTGTGCCAGTAGTAGCATCCTTTCTTTCGTGTAAATTCGCGACTCGCCTCTTCAATTATCTTCTTCGTTTCCTCAAGCGACATTCCAAGACCTCTACTGAATGGCAATAGCGTCAAGCTCTCCATACCTTCCAGCATAGCAACTAGTTGATACGATCCAGCTCTTTTCAAGACTGGATCTGCTGGCCAAGTGCCGATTGGTGTCTTGAAAGGCTGGTAAACCACGTCCACGAAACCAACCTCGCGCATCAGTGCTGCGACCGCCTCAAAGTCGATGTCTACACTGCTCCCCAAGTTGCGTACACCTTGATTCAAGAGAGTTGTCCACTTCTGAATTGGATTTTCTGGAGTAATCTGGATATGATCACTACGAATGATAGCTGTAGCTTCCAGACATTCGAAGTAGCCATCAGGTGCACAATGCTTAAAGGCTTGCTCGAAATATTTTCGATAGTCCTTGATCGCACCAACAAGCATCAATTTGGAGTAGATGAGATCGAAGTGATTCTCAGGCCACGTCCAATCATCCTCAACGTCGTCGATTTCGAACTTTACATTAGATGGCGCCCAATCTGGTTGAATCGGGCTCAAGTCGATGCCGTGGATTGAGGCCTCAGGATATTCTTCTCCCATTGCAATAGCCCAGACACCCGTGCCGGTGCCACAATCTAGAACACGTACTGGGGATTGGAGTGGTGCGTGAAAGAGTTTTGAACCGGATGCCAAAAACATGCAATGGTGTTGTAGGTCCATGCGAAATTGCTCAGGCTCATCGTTCGGCATAAAGTAGTCGTTCTCACCTTGCTTGTACGCATGATAACGGCGTCCATGTTCATATCTGTAATCGTAGATAGACGAGTGCACGGATTCTGTGATAACGGACACATTCTCAAAGTTGCTAGCGTATCCTGAGTCTTCCGTTTCATACTATAGGTAAGTATTAGTCCTGCAATCGTTGGTCCTGAAAGGACTCGCTCACTCCGTCAGCTATCGGCGCCAGACCTGCCATCGTATCGGGTGAGTGTCAGATGTCGGCGCTGTTAATGAATGAGATGTCCAAAATGCGGCGAGTTCCAAATATTAGCAGCTTGTATAAACACGAACAGCTGATATGTTGTGAAGGATGCAAGCCACACTACGAAAGTACGTACTTTCAAGCACTGCAATATATACGGCATTTCACGTCCTGCCGGCGGAAAGCAGCAAGCTAGCAAAGCTGTTGGATTGATAAGAGGATCTAGAAGGTTTCGCCCGCCTGCATGGCATGCACGTGCCACGTGGCAGTGGGCAGTAGCGAATGGACTAGTCGAAGCCATCACCAAAAGCATCGAATCAGAACTGCAGACTTTCATCGTCACAGCGAATTGAACACGGCACGGTATACAAATAGCCATCGCTAGCAGGGTCCAACTATGCAACCTGCTCGAAAAACTTTCGGAATACTACTGTAACTCGCGCACGCTCCCATCGAAAATGCATCCGCTCTGGTACATTTACTAGACGCCGATATCCCAGTGCACTCAGATGCTTCCTTTTAACGGAGCGTGCTTGTGGTCTTCAGATTGTAAGCGAGGGTCTCAACCCTACACACGACTAATTGTACCCTGGCTTTTCCACCAATGTATACACTTCCAATGTTTACTACCCTGGAGTGCAAGTATATCGCTCATTATTCATCAGGCTGTGATTGTAATCCGGGCGACAGACGCTGAGAGTGAAGACATACAAATGGTTACGGCTGAACTTGATTCTGCATGAGGACGAACATGGTCGCGTTACGAACAAAAGTGCTATACGGTGAATCTTGCACGTGATGTTAGGACTCTTTCTACAATAGTAACGCGAGCGCCGCGTGCCTGTTTGTTTCGCATTCTTGCCTGAAACAACAACTTACTGCCAGCAAGACACTTGATCATCAATCTTTATTAATGACCATCATCATGTCAAGTGCCTCTCACCGTATGTACATGTGCAGTCATCATCACATTCAGAACCTGCTATTGCATGTGACCAAATAACAGTCCCTTCAAGCTCGATATTCAATAAGACATGCCAAAGGCGAAGCAGAAGTGGGTGCCTGCCCGCAGCGTTGATCCCAATTTCATTATTCCTTCCAAAACGAGCAAAGCTCTAGTCATCAAAGATGGCTTGGGCAATGCTCAACGTTATCCGCTTGCATTTTCAGATAATATACGTGGTGACCTGCTTCCAAAGTCTGTCAACACTCATATATTGAGCAAAGGTACTACAAAACAAGCTGAACAGCCCAATACGATTGATAACAACCATCTTCTTGGATTCGTGAACCCTAATCTCGAAATTTCTGGTACCTTCCCAACATTGACCGAGGCCAAAGGCATCCAGAATGCCTCCCAGTCAACCGTGGCAATCTCTGGTGTCAAGCCCGTGCCCGAAAGCATTCAGATGCTTTCCAATGGACAAGAAGCAGAATCTTTGAAAGACCTAATGCGAAACACTGCTAGTGTCACTATTAATGATGAACCGAGTGCTAAACCGATCCCACCACCAGGCCATAGATCACGTCTGGATATCTATGCTCACAAGTATGTACCCTACTGGCTGAAGGTAAGGTGACAGTTCTCTACCCACGTTGCAGTCATCTAATCTCGTGTACAGGCTATCAACGAGTCATTCGCCACTACTGTACATGCGCCTCAAATCAGACGTATAGACTTCGATATCTATCATAGTTCATTCGCTGGAACACGATTCCAGCGACACCTTCCAGCAGTAGAGCTCCCACCGCCATCAAGTATCCTCGGCTTGCAAGTCAATGCCATCTCGATAGAGACTTACGGGACGTATTGGCATGAACGCCTAACCAATGAAGCATCTGCACAAGCTGCACAAAATGATACCTTCGCCTTGTTCAATATTGATCTAGTGCTAGTAAATGCAGCGGACAACTTGTATCGATTTAAAATGCCTGGACTTCGAGAAGGTGCGCCCAGGATCGACTTGGGTGATATCCTCTGGATTCGTCCCTTCATTCTACCTCGGATGGCTACTATCGCTCAAGAAGCTCAGCTCTGGAGTCAGGAACGCAACGGTATCGCACCTGCATTTATCGGCATCGAGCATCATGCCGTCGTCTGGTCGCTAATCCGCAGAGACGAGTTTGTGCTTGTACGAATAGGGAAAGAACTTCCTCGAGGCACCAAATGCAACATTGTTATTCCGCTTCAAATTCACAAAAATGCTCCAGCTTGGCGTGCAGTCCAGCAGATTGGTTTCCACATTGTCGACGAGAATCAGCCATGGACATCGTCAATGCTGTTTCCGACTTTCGGCGTGCAACAAAAGACCCTAGCAAAGGGAGCATTCGATCTTGACTGGTATGATGAGCAACTCAACTTCGAGCAACAGAGAGCAGTACAGGCTGTAGTCGATGCTAAATATGGTATTCTGCCTTACCTGATCTCGGGTCCGCCAGGAACGGGAAAAACCAAGACAATGGTGGAGATTGCACTACAACTTATCTCAGCCTCGAATAAAATCAAGCCCCACCTGCTCGTATGTGCACCGTCCGATGCTGCAGCAGATACACTCCTGGTACGTCTTTCGGCTCAACTATCTCAAGCACAGCTCTTTCGACTGAACAATTGGACGCGGCTCACCTCCGAGGTTCCTGGAGAGGTCAGACCGTACTGCTGTCTTGATGAAAATCAGCTTCATGCATTACCGGACTTTGAGACTATGATGTCGTTCGAGGTCGTGGTCACGACATGCAGAGATGCTAACATGCTTATCACGGCGGGACTCACCAACAAAGACCTGGCACATCTTGTGACTCGCACCGTGCTTGCCATCTGCCCCGATGCAATTGATACATCGAAGCTGTTGCACTGGACCGCTTTGATAATCGACGAGGCAGCACAAGCAACTGAGCCAGAAGTTCTCATTCCAGTTGCTGTTGTGGCACCTCTACATACCGATTCGAAGTCGAGTAACTCGTCCTTCTCGCCACAAATAGTCATGGCTGGTGACGAGCACCAGCTTGGACCACGATTGACCAGCACAGCACTTGCGGAGTCAGCGGGCAAGTACGACACAGCTGGCCTCGAGATATCCTTATTTCAACGAATTTTTGCTCGGCCACTCTATGCTGATCATCCATTGTCTCGGTCATACGGCCTGCGTCCCTTGACAAGAAATATGCTACCCATGATCCGTCCACCGTTCGCTAATCTTATCAGGAACTATCGATCACATCCCGCTATACTTACTACCTCATCTGCGCTTTTCTACTCGGATACTCTGATTCCAGAGCGTCCCGAAACCTCTCCAATCATGCTATCCTGGCCTCGTTGGCCCAAGAAATCCAAGAATGTCTGGCCAGTCATGTTCTACAGCCACTCAGGACCCGACAATGTCGAGTCAATCCTCGAAGGCGATGGCACTGGTTCAGGAAGTTTACTAAACCACTCCGAAGCCCGTATTACAGTCGAATTGGTCTTAGACCTCCTTGACCACATAAATAATAAAGACACACCCACCAATCGAGGCGACTACTTGAAGGCCGAGGACATCATCGTCCTCTCACCTTTCCGTGCACAAGTCAACCTTCTCCGTCAAATGTTCCGATCAAGTGGCTACTACGATATCCGTATCGGTCCACTCGAAGCTTTCCAAGGCCTCGAAAGTCGAGTTGTCGTCGTATGCACGACCCGCACACGTCTCGGTCAACATCCACATCCTCCAGCTAAGTTCGTGAATGAAGACAAATCACGCAATTTGGGCATGATAGATGAGCCGAAGCGGTTTAACGTGGCTATGACGAGAGCACAGGAGGCACTGATCGTGATCGGAAATGCCGAGGTCCTAAGTGTCACGCGTGACAGGTGCTGGCTTAGCTTCTTACGGTTCTGTACCAGGAACAACCTCTGTGCAGGTGGGAAAGCGGAGTGGTTCGGAAAGAATACTAGCAGAGAGAGGGTTGATACGAGTATGGGCAGATTGGAGAGAGCCATGAGATATGCAGAGAGTCTGCAGGGGGAAACGAATGGGGAAAGGCATGACGTGCACAGCCTCGCAGACACTGACACCCTGGACGACAACATACAGCCAGACTCCTTCAAGTTCAAACTTCAAGGCACAATGATAGATCTAGACCAACAGATGTGGGAGATGCAGATTGGAGAAGAGGACGAAGAGATAATTCGACAGGAAGAAGAGGCCGACGACGATCGGTATGTGTTCAATGGGCACTTCGATGGCCCTGACCTAGATGGTGACGACAGCGAAGAAGGAACTCGGTCAGGAACACATGTCGAGTGATTTGAAGTGTTTGACCCACGAGTTTCATAGACTGGAAGGTTTATATGTTGGCGCTTATATATCAAGACCGGAAGCGCACTGATCATGCGTGGCAGGATCTTTGATCGAGTTGTTAGGTTTGGAGCTGGGTATAGAAATCATGTTTTATTGGACGATATCCCACAGTACCGCAACCTGATAGACTGAACTTTGATCAAGGTAGAGCTCATCATCGTTGTCACGTGTCAGCTCCAAGTTCCATCCCATCGCTCCACCACCTTTTATCACAATCTTATTGCCTGGCTGAAGCTGTCCTAACCTCGATGCTGAGTCTGGGTCTAGATGAGACGAAGGTCCAGAAGTGCTGTTGATCAGCATCCTCAGCCCTGGTTTATCTGGACTGCCACTGCTTACACTTCCAGCTGGGATAGTGCTGACAAGCGCGAAATCACTTTCAGGACTTTGCAGTAATACTTCGGTAACGATTTCCTGCTCCGCGACGTTATGTTGATGGCCCGTTTCCAGGTCATGGCGTGCAGACTTAGGGAGTGGTTTGTAAGGACTTCCGATTGCTTGAGCAGCAACATCTAGCACCCATCCTCTTACTGTTTCTGCATGTCCACCGTGGATGTAGTCCGTGCCACCGCGTCTTCTGGAGGGCGAGAATGCGTCCGGTAATGTATAGTCTATCGATGGATGTGGACCACGAACATGCGGTCGGGGTGACGCTGTAGAGGATAGAAGACGAGACTGAAACGATGGAAGTGGTAGATCGTGTGTTCCTGATTGATGCAGTTGAGCAGATGCGGCATCGAATCGGCTTGGAGGAGCTCTGGAAGGATAGAAGCGAGATGAGCGGTGTTTGGGTGTTTCGAAGTCTTTCACAGGAGAAATATCAGAGGAGGTCGGTGAACTTGGCACTTCGAAATCGATATCGTGTTCTGGCGTCTGAACTGTTTGATCTGGTTCGTCGAGCTCATTAGGTAGACCTTGATCATCTGCCGCAAGAGGTGTTCCTGACGACGAGTTTATGAGATCTGTGTCAGTCTCGTCGAAAGCCCTATTCACATGGGATGTCTTACGACGTTTCGCGGTTGTTCGCAATGCCGCGTCATCAGATAATGCAGAAAAATTTTTATTACGACCTTGTCTTGACCCCTCGACATGCAAGTGATCATCTTCATCACTGCTAGGATGAATGATGTCTCCCGCCTTCCTATGCTGTGACGTTTGAGTCCATTGACTCCGGGGAGCTAGATCGTGGCTCAAGTCAATGTCTGCATCCTCAAGATCCTCAGCCTCGATCTCATCCTCTGCGGCACTACGAGCAGCGTTGGAGAACGGTGTCCGTGGAAAAGGCGAACTGGATGGTTGGGATGGACGAACGAAACGATTTGACGGATTTGGCGGTACGGATGAGCTCGGTGTGCTGCTTGGAGGTGGTACAAATCTTCTGGGTCCTGGTGTCTGACATCACGAGTTAGTGGCAGTAAGCTTACCATGGCTCACAGCCAGGTCGCAAAGCATTACATGAAGAGGCATGTCGGTCGTGATTAGATCAGCATGCAAAGGAAGCAAGCACGATCGCAATACGGCTTCGATGGACTTTCTCTATCCTCGTGAAGCGAAAAGGATAGCCTGCATGGCCGTGTCGCTTCCCAAAATTCTATAGTGAGGTCAAAGACGATCTATTCTATGACCATAATTAATCTTCTGAACGAACGGAGTGAAGATCGCAATGAAGACGTAATGGTCACATTTCGTGTTACATTCGTGACTGCATGATATGTCCCAATCCCTGCCGTACAAATCTCGCTTCACTACGATACGCTGTGCCATAAATAGACGACTTCGGCTAATGGAATGACAGTACCACGAGTACATTCATCAATTTACATCGTGCTGTTATCTCTCTGGTAAGATGCAAGGTACCTTCCGGCAATAGAGGTAGATTTTTAAAAGTAAATAGAAGATAGACAGCTGTACAACAACCAAGGACGTACATGAGTCACCAGGCGTAGGCTGCATATCACTTCTCGACCCATCAGACTCGCTCTTCTGCAACTGTAAGCTCTGACAATGGGTCGAACGAAGCCATCGCTCGGTGTTCCGCCAGCAGCTTACCGCAAAGACGCACGAGCAAAAAGAGCGAGACAGACGTCCAACAAGGACATACCAGCACTATTACAGGCCTATCCTCGAGCAAAAAAAGGCGTTGAATCTTCAGAACTCATCGTGAATCCACCTCCGGTTGATAGTACTAACCAGAAGGTATCACTCAAGCACGAGAACGACGCACAAGCAGATCCAAGCACGATAGACGGTTCCGAAGCTCCTACCACACCTGCCGTGAAGGTAAATGTATGTGTCGCAGACACTTTCCAAGCAGCAGCAGACTTCGCTCAAGCCAGCCAATCTCCAAGCTTGAAGAGAGGCAAGCTTGCCGTTCTGAACATGGCCTCACCCCTACGAGCAGGCGGCGGCTTCCTCAACGGCGCAACTGCCCAAGAAGAAACTCTATGCATGCGAAGCACCCTATATCCCTCGCTGCGAGATGAGTTTTACCGTCTGCCCGAGGTAGGCGGCATATGGACCCCCGACGTCCTCGTCTTTCGTTCTCACCATGAAGGTGCGCCGGACCTACCGAAGAACGATCGATTCTTCGTGAACGTGATATCCTCCGCTATGCTGCGCTTTCCGGACCTCGAAGAGGACGATGAAGGTGAGAAGTGCTATGCAGAGCCAGAGGATCGTAAAATTGCCGAGCAGAAGATTAGAGCAGTCATGAGGATTGCGAAAAGCAAGGGCGCGAAGAGGCTCGTGTTGTCAGCGTGGGGATGTGGAGCTTTCAAGAACCCTGTTGGTGAGACTGCGAGGATCTGGAAGAAAGTGCTTCTTGGTGGGAAATCTTCAGGCAAGGCGTCGGCCGTTGAGGAATGGGGTGACATGGATATTGTATTCGCCATCAAAGAGCGAGCCATGGCTGATACTTTCGCACGTAATTTTGGCGTAGACCTGGTTGTGCCAATGGATGATGGTCCTGACGGCGATCAAGCTGGCAAGAGTGGTGATCATGACGAAGACGGTGCAACTGAGCTGCAGGCTAAAATCGGTGAGTTGGAGGCTCAGATAGCCTCTGCTCGGGATCCAGGCTTGAAGAATCGTTTGACAACGATCGTGACCAAGCTAAGAAACGACGAAGATGGTCGGTAAGAAAGTCGGAATAGCTGGAAAGTAAACGTCAATCATTCATCCATCAGAAGATGCTAAAAGTATGTCCAAGAATTCTGAGCGAGCTTTGTCGCCATCACATCGCGCCTTCGACTTCCAAGATCGGCCTGCTGGTAATTGAGACGTCATCAAACAGCACGTCCCGAAGAGCTGTAGTGCTCGCCGAGCAATCAACCTGCAACACAAGTTCGCCTGTCGCGCTGTCTGTAAGAAAGGTCTGGCTTCTAGAGTCCAACCAGAACCTGAAGCTTCCAGCTCGAACTCGTCGATAATATCACCCGCATACAGTACGTTGACGGTGCATGAAGTGGTATCATTGGGGTCGCTTGTTCCGGCGTAGTTGTGACTGTAGATGATGGTGTTTTCAGTTCCAAAGGTCAATGGGAACATTGCCAATCGTTTGACTAACGCTGTAAAGCTGACCTGGGTCAGCGAAGGCGGCAACAAAATTTGACCCAGCAGGTGTGCTATAAGTACTGCCACGTGGACACACGGCAGCGGCATTGAAACGATTGACGATGCTTTGCCCAGTTGTGACGAGGCTGATAGCGCCCGTATCAAGACAAAGTGATGCTTCCGCGTTTAGATCCAAACCCAAAGCATTAACGCAGATGGGCACGTCTAACAGCAGGGCAAGCCCATTCTGAGCCTCGAGAGCAATGCAGGCGTCTGGCAAGGTTTCGACAGCCTCCGCCGGCACGGCGCTGTCAGCTGAGAACCGGACATTGATGTCACTTAATATCCAGCCGCCAGCTGTAATCCCGCCTGTTCTTATTTCGGTGTCGACGAGGTCCTCGAAGCCGCCTTTGAGAAGTCCAGGAGTCTGTAGTAGTGACATGTTAGTTCTCCTGTTCGGAAGCAGACGAGACAGTACACTTACTGGGTCAGCCGGAAAATCGCAGCTTTCATTGTAGAAGAGCGTGGCACAAGCCTGGGTTGAATCCAAGTCTAGAACCAGGAGCGCAGGAAGACTCAACAAAGTACACGCGCCTGTATCTTGATCGAACTGGATAGCAGTACAAAGGACGTCAGCGTCGCAAAGCGAGTTGCATTGAGCTAAGGTCCTGCCAGCAGAGACGTTGATAACACCTGAACCGTTTGAACAGCCAGTGGCACCACTAGTGGGCGAAGCTGGACTAGTGGTTGTACTGCTGCTCGTAGTTGTGGAAGTCGTCGTTTGTATAGTGGTCGAGGTTGATGTAGTGGAACAAATACTGGTCGTGGTGGTGGTTGTGTCTGGCGTATTTAACGTGGTTGTAGTAAGGGTGGCACTTGACGTTGGCTCAACTGCTGCAGAGATCAAACTCGCATTGAGGCAAAGCACGATATCTGATCCCAGCGTTGCTTCTGTGATACTATCTGGTGACAGGCACTCTGAAGCTTCGGAGTTGATCTGAACAATAGGTCGGAGTGCTGACAAGCACACGGCTACGCCATTCTCAAGTTCAGTTCCAGCGCTCTGATCTAAATCTTGGCATGCTCTAGGTAGAAATGCAATTCTTATCGGGAGTTGCGGTATTATAGTTGTTGCTATGGTTGTGGAAAAGAGGCTTGTTGTGGTATCACGTCTGACTTTCCTCGTCACCCCTTTGTGACACCATCTCGTAAGCAGGTCCGGCTCCAACCACATTACCATTCGCCTGAGTCGTCTGCTTCGCGGCCTTGGTGCCCGGAATAGGTAAAGTAGGAAAGGATATCGGTTGCATCTCTCGATATCGACATGCCCAAACTCCTAGGGAGATCATCAGAGCTGAACTTGCTAATTGTAATAGCCACCACAACGGATTTAGCGGTATCGCTCTGGTGTACAGAGATGTGATTATCAAATGTAAGACATGTATCGTAGAAGCGAAATCGGGCACGAGCTTGGATCGTGCGATTAGAATGAGGAGTGGTATTACACTGGGATTGTTGTTCAGTATCTGTCTGTATCTCGGTGACTCTACCTAGTACATACGTGATGAAGCTGACCAGCAGCCATACAATAGCGACGAGCCAGCCCAATGTAGTATCTCGCCTGATGTTGTGCCAGTCGAAGACCAATCCGGTTGAGAATGTCTCACCAAAAACTAAGACTGTGAACAGTAGGAGGACAAATGCAATGGCATAATATGCAGCCTGCAGGATCAAGATAGATCGCAGGATCTTCAAGGGAGGGAGTTCGGAAAGGGCACCAGCACGAGGCGGTCTGCGTCGCCTCGGCGGCATTTGTTATTTGGTGGTGAAGAAGATACTGGGATTGTATCTATGTGTGAAGACGGTTTCGTCGAAAGTGATGTCTGCGTATGAAGGTGCGAAATACGCGTTCAGGCAACGTCCTTGAGTGGTAGGGGCCCCCGATGACGATCTCCCATGGCTCAAAGATGCTTAATCTTAGCGCCCGAAACTTTGTTCACAAGTGTCGAATGTACCCATGTGGAGCGATCGACTGCCTGGAGAAGCTGCAGACGACTCGAAATCCTGACATCAACAGCTTCTGTCCGCAAGCATACTCATCACCTGTCGCAATCGCTATCATTGACTAGTCTCCTCACTAAGCACACCTCTATATACTCCAGACAAAATGGCATACGGCTTGCCCGACTGGTTAACAGGCTCTTCGACGCCAGCACAAAATAACCCAGCGACACAAAAGTCCCGCGATGGTGGTCGAGTGGCGCCAGATCGAAACTCCAGAGAATTGTGCTACGAAAGCAGAGACATTTTCTTCGAGTGTTTAGACAAACACGATATCCTCGATGCGATAAGAGAAGATGAAAAGTCTAGGAAGTTATGTCCAAGCGAGGTGGCGGACTATGAAAGGGATTGTGCAAGAAGCTGGGTATGTTCATCTCTTGAAGTTCAATTGGAGAGAATTGTTGAGGCGAATTGACTGACACGACACAGATAAAATACTTCAAGGAGAAGCGTATACAAGATTGGAAACGAGACCAGACCATCAAACAAATACAGAAAGAAGATGCTGAGGCTGCGCGCAAGGCGAAGGAGGGAAGAAGATCGTTCTTCTCATCGTAACAGCAACTCCGGATAGCCATGGGAAACGAAACACGTATAAAAAGAAGTTTGTGGAACAAAACGACAGACCTGCTGCATCAAAGAGTTCGACAAGTAGGCACAACGGTTCGCAACTCGATTGCAAAGCTTCAACGTCGAGTTCGAAGTCTTTGATGTGGGACTAGTAGTTGTACCGATCCTTGAGTCCTCATCCCCGTGATAAGAGTGATAACGGCGGACCACTACCGATTCAAAGGCCCCATCACACTGCCAACCATGACTGCAGCCTCCCTCTCCCAGTTGCCAACCACTTCTTCCTTTCCACCTCCGACGTGTCCATCCATCAGCGCAGACGGCATCTTCGACCCTCTCAATACGCATTCACGTAGTTCGGTCCTGACCACTTCCTTGTTACTCTTCAATGTCCGTGCCGACACGCCACCTCGATTCATTATCTCTTGCACTTTCGTCGTCAACGAACTCGCCAAAGACCGCCAGAAATACGATGCTAGCGCGGGTGTGTCCAGCGAACTTAGCAGCGAATCAAGCAGGGTCGCTGTCCGAGTTTGTTCGCCTACAGCGTCGTCCTCGTCTACTAGTTCGAGCTCATCAAGCCCATCGTACAGATCGGATTCATCGTCCATCTCTTTACTCTGCGCCTTCCTTGTCTTTCCGCTAGTCTTTTCCTGCAAAGCTAGATGTTCCGGTGGACCGATACTCTCGAGCAATACCGATAATGCGATGACATTCTGACATCGTGCGCTTACCTCTAGTAATGCTTTGTCCAGAAGCGGAAGTTGTGCCAACCCTTTGCTGATGCCTCCCACGCTGCTCGTGACACTACTTTGTAAATATCCTTGCAGTGCTCGTAGCAGATATTCGGCTTCAAACTCTTCCCTCTTCATTTTCCTACCCCCCTCTAGTCTTGGTGCAGGACTCAAGAGATAGAGCACATGTACGGCGGATGTGAACCTCGCCCGGGCTTCCTCCGCTTCCTTGTATGTCGACGCAACTGGTCCTAAAGCACTCGTTGGCATTGAGGTGGATATTAGACTTGATGCACTGAACTCTCGAACAACCCTCCTCGCCCAGTCCAGCAACCTAGCTTCACCGTCTTCGAATACGCGACCTCGGACTTGTCGAACCATGTTGATCTTGCCAAGCTCGGGCGAATCAGTACTCGGTCTGCTCATAAAGTCCTTGAACTCGAGCAGCGTATTACTGGCCCTCACAAGCTCTTTGTGCTGCTCCTTGCCCGTTCCGAGCCCGCCCTCTGTGACAATCGACTCAAATTGCCGTGCAAGATTGACAATTTTCTGTACATTCTTCGTGAGCTTGACCAGTACCAGACTTCTTTCAGCACCTATCCGTGCCTTTTCAGCACGTTCATACTTGCCGAGCACCTCTGTCCTCAATCGTTCAAAATCTGATACCAGCCTGCTTCGTTCTTCCTCGACACGTTCCAGAATACGTTGAGCTGTGGCATTCTGTGTTTGTGTGTACTCTATTATGTCAAGTGCAGACCGTGAAGTGAGCGCATGAATACTGGTGTCAATCTCCTGAAGGTCGAAAAGAGTCTTCTGCAGTGGAGTGGTGAGATCTACTAGAGAGTCTGGTCCAGTAGTAGGTTGGCCTGTGGCGCTCGATGTGTTGACGGATTTGACGAGGTTATTGGCATACGTGTACGGGTTGAACGAAGGATCGGTCAGCTTCTCGATCGAAATATACGTAGAGAGCGTGGAAGGTAACGTGGCGGTCATGTCTGGTTCTTGTTGTGTTTATGGCTGATTGTCATGCACCGTTAGTAGCGTCCATGTGAGGCGTGACCTCTTGGCGAGGCGTTTCGAATAAAAAGCTCCTTTCATTCACCTCAACGTTATATGTCTCAGCCCCAAGAAACACTGCACGGAGCAAACCGCCCTGACCAATGCATTGATTCGTCGCCAATACGATACAACGGTTTCTGAATTTCGTGTCGAAGCCTATAAGAATGGATCGACACACTTGTCAGTTAACGTGCCGACGTTGATGTTGGTGTGACAAAGTCATGGCAAGCGGGTCGAATGTTGAACCTTTCAGAAAGATGAAAGTTTCAGTGTCCAGTGGTAAGCACGTTGTTAAATGTTTGGACTGCATAAGACATGTCAAGTTGTAGCTTCCTTGTTCGGAGGCAGTAAGTGCACTCTTTCCTAGGCTGAGTATTTCAATTTTTGACCTCGAAACAATGCATGATCAACCATTCACACATCATCGTCTCAGACACCGAGTGAAAGGGGAGCGAACGACCTGGCGACACTTTCAGTCCTTGGACACCACTCCGAAACGGCATCTACATCGACCAAACGCTAAATTAGTGTGAAGGGTTCGAACATCGATACGGATATCTTGGCACACTGGCATTAATTAAGTCTTCGTCATGGTCATTTTGTCTCAAGCTACTTCTATAATTCTCTTTCCAGCACAGTCGCAGACTACAGTCGTTTACTTCTTGCCTTGATTCTTTTCATTTGTTAGATCACCACAGACGATCACCCACATTCATTTATCTTTCCTACTATCGAAGCCGTCAGGATGATCAGGTTCCGGCATGGAACACCGTCTCTCATCCTACTGATTGTACTGGGACTGCTGCTGGAATTTGCAGTCGCTCGACGCCAGAAAAGCCGAGCCGCTAATACGATTGAGCCGTTGCCACTTGCACTCTCTGGCTGGACAGTCCCTCGTGAAGGTGCTGAGACTTGCAACGACAATAACCAATGTGAGCTGCCTTGTGGACATTGTGTCACACAAACTGACAAAAGCCACAGGCACCAACACTCTTCCCGGTCCACCAATTTCAAGCAATCTTGAGTACTTAGCAATAGGTCGAGGCACAATCACCTATAGTTGTGCTGGTCGTTCTGGTACACAACAACCACTCTATGTCACACAAAATGCCTTTCTATATGATGCCAGCCCTCTAATACCTCAATTCTCCTCCGAAGAACAATTTCACAGCTATGTTCCTCGATTTCTGGACTACGACTACACTTCAATTGACAACTCAAGCCTCATGTGTATCGGCGATCTTCAAAGGAAAGAAGGATTGACTATCTTCGACATCTACATGGTCGATGCCTTCTCAGTGAAGGTCAAAGAGGTAGTGTATTCGCCGGATAACATCCAGTTTGACCTGCAATGGGCACATTCCAGAGACGACGACGACGAAGAATGGGACATATACAGGGTTGAAACAGCTGGAGGTGGTCCACCATACAATTGCGGCGATCAGATCATCAGTGACGAAATACCTGTCGAATATGCAGCAGAATACTGGTTCTACCACAAAAGCACTGCGTTCCAAGAAGCCACCTTGAGGATTTCATGACGCATCTAGTCACAAGAATTGAAGCCCAACGGGGCAGGTCGATCGCAAGAATTTAATGTAACGATAAGGATCGAAAGATGGGCTTACTCTCCTGAGGAGTGGAAGATGGGCAAAATGTGACCTTGAATCTTCCTGAAGAGATCGAAACTAGTAGAAGACGCATAATCTCAGATATGTGGAGAAACTATCTTTACAACCTGCTTAACTTCGAGAGATAGTGCTAACATTCCGTAATGCTAGCTGGATAGTGCTGCCCTCGTGACGAGAATCTGGACGTTCGCCTTCTTCGGACCCAGCTCGTCGAACCCAGTCATGGCCAAATAGCTATTTCTCTTCTAATAATCAACCGGCTCGTGTCTACTTCGATGGGACTGCCATGAAGGTACACGCATGTGTGTCCATGCACGGCCTCGCGTATTGCGGAGTGCCGATCTGCGGGGTATGGAGTACTTCCTCGAACGCGCTTCATTTGCGCAGCACGAACTCTCCGCGAATGTTACCCTGACCACCTCGACTTCACCACTCCTCGACCTTTTGGAGACATGAACGACTGATGGTTTTGCAGCACTGTATTTGTAGTACGTGATACAGAGAGTTCGTTCTTGCCGGACAGTCTCCCCCTCACCAAGAACCATATCAATGTAGTCGTTCTTGCGATGGCTTCACTTCAGCACAACCAAAGGGCGAGTTACTTCGAGCAGATCTAGCTAATACATCAAAGTCGTCTCCTGTGTAACGTACAGACTAGCTGACTCGACCAGGGCGAGCCGAGGTGAGCTAAAAACGTCTTGGGTTTGAATCAAGGGGAAAAGCATTATTCGTATTAGCACATCGACTTATTCACCCCAAACCCGCAAAATACATTGATATCTCCCCAGAAAACGCCTCTCACCTGACCAGTCAGTCACCATGTCCCACCACCGCTCAGCCCCAATCTGCCCCGGCGTCGCCTTCATCACAGGCGGTGCCCGCGGTCTAGGTCTCGCAATAGCCCAATCCTTCGCCAAAGAGGGTGCTCGTGGCATCGTGCTCTTCGACATCCAGCCCGACGATATCATGAACGCAGCAAAAGCCACCATTGAGCAATACATGGTCGAGGGTGGGAAGTGCCTCACTTTTCGAGGAGACGTGACTGTAGAAGAAGACCTCGAAGCAGCCGTGGCACAGACTGTCGACGAATTCGGACGCCTGGACTATGCGGCGAACTTTGCTGGTGTGGTTGGACCACTAGCAGCGACGTGGGACGTTAATACCAAGGAGTTTAAGAAGGTCATTGACATCAACTGTACTGAAGTGTGGTTGAGCATGAAGGTGCAGCTGAAGCATATGCTTAAGCAGGACAGTATAGACGGGATTGAGCAGGGTAGAGTCGAGCAACGAGGAGCGATCGTGAATTGTGCAAGTGTGAATAGCATTCAAGGTGGTGCAGGGACGACGGGATACACGGCGGCCAAGCACGCTGTCTTGGGAATGACCAAGTCGGCTGCTCTGGAAGCGAGAGGTCAGGGCGTGCGCGTCAATTGTGTTAGTCCTGGGTTTCTCCTGACGAAGTTGTTGGAACCTGCCTTCGTGCCAGCTGAAGGTCAGACAACGGCGCTGTTAACGGGAGACGCGTGGAAGCAGTATGAGGATCGGCAAGGACGGAAAGCGAGCTTTGAGGAAGTTGGAGATGTGGTTGCATTATTGTGCAATCCAAGAATGAGTTTGGTGGTTGGCCATAACCTTGTCATTGACGGTGGATTCACGATAAATGAGAATCCTGCCTGATCTGGTGGCAAGGAGTGAGCGATAGTCGTGACGCGGATGTCAGAAGTCCCTCTCAGGAGCAGTCGACCTCTTCATGAGCAGTTCACTAAGCCGCAGAACCATCTGTGACCATTAGTATTGAATTAAGCGATGGTCTCTCCCACACTTGACAAGTGATACATCAGCAAAATGTTTTTTCGTTGCTAATTCTGCTGTGGCGCGGGTATAGACCTACAAGCCACATTCCATAGTTCTGAAAGCAGACTAATATTGGGTAGCACTTGCTGCAATCCATCACCGCAGTCTGACGCCGTGCCAGCCCTAGCTCTCTGACATCGGGTCATTTGTCACCCTACACGTCCGTTTTCAGAATGTTGGTAGTGTATGCGTAGCTCGATCGTAATGGATAGAAGCTCGAGCAAACTGAGATGCAGAGACAAACCACAGAACTCCATGATAAATGCTTTAGCAGAGGAAAGTCCAACACCATGTCCATGCTTTTGTGAACGCCTAGAGAGCCGCCCTTTGATATACACATCCGACCCATCTACAGTGTCGTGAATACCGAACCGTCCTGTGAGACATTACCAGCTCACTCTTTACAGACCCGTGGTGTTGCTGGTTGTAGTTCGAGGCACTTCTCGGGGACTTGCTATTTCCTCCGACCAGCTGTAAATGCTGCCCTGTCTTCCACGTCTTCAAGGTCAATTTTGCCCTGGGCGGCCTCTTCTGCGCGGCGGGTTCTTTGTCGCTTCTGGCGGATGATAACAAAAAGGACTGCAAAGACGACGAAGAATAGACTAAAGGAAAATTAGTATGCGTTGCCCGTAGGTGTCCTAAGAAGAGCACATGGGAAAGGTGATGATTGCTTACACAACGCTTATTAATACTGGTATGCCCGTCTTTTCCCATGTACTTGTTGGCATCTCCTCGCAGCCATCAGCAGTGCATTCGGCCCGCTTCAACAGGCTCGAAAGGGCCAGTAGTGATGATGTGTCCATGGTTTTGGTTGATGATCGAGTTCGTTCGTTTCTTCGTTCTTTAAGACAGCTTGATAAACGAGTGTTTGATTTGTATTGATGGTCAGGCCAGCGAAGTATAGGAAGTGCTGAGCAGGCGATGGGGAGCGCCTGCGGTACCGTTCCCTGGACTTATGCGCGTCTGAGCCTTTTGCTTCAGGTGTACCGGAATGAGGTCGACCTGCGTGCTATATTGCGTGGTCTTCTTGGAAAGGTGTCAGGTACGTATGCTTCAAGTATTAAAACCACCAGATCCACCCAACGTTCCCGATTTAATCGACTGCGGCGGAAGTAGAGACAAATTGAACGATTATACAGCGACCGGAGTAGAGTTCGAAGAGTGGAAACAAAGGAGTGACGACAACAATGTCCGGTTCTAGGATAGCGATGCCAACTTTTCCAAGAGAGCGTAGAAGTTCAACGTCTGCTACAATTCGGTCGTCAACACATCGTCGATGGTTCTTGATCTGTACACTAATGGGAGAGACGCCAGGAACAAGCAAGCAACGACGATGTGTATTGAGATTTGATACACATTGACCCTAAGTCTGCCGCACCTGTGCGTGAGCTCAAACTGTTTTGCAGTTTCTCTAGCCAATCCAAGTGCCTCTCGCAGAATTAAGCAGTCCCGGACTGGATGTCCCCGTAATTCGGGGGTTGCCCTGGCGAAATTGGTAGGGCTCTAAGCATTAATTTGGGGATGGTGCGATGCAAGGACGACCAATCACTTGCTGCACCTCCCTTCGCTGCTTCCGGTTTCATCTCCTACGTTGACGATCGTCGCTGCCAGCATTGCAGCGCGATTGATTCGAACGAGATTGAAGAACGTTTCACGTCTCGAAGAACATTGACCTCGAGGTTGTTTCTGTTGTCCCGTGTGGTATACCGTGCAAAGTCAGTAGCAATCTTTCTGGCCATGGCTTTCATTCGCCGTTACCGCAATTCAGACGAGGAAGCAGTTGTTCAAGTCGTTAGTGACCTTCATAGATCGACTGTTCTCCTTATATACATGCTAAGAGAACTTGACACCAGTTTCGAGAGACAGCAGCACCTGACCTTCGTGCCTCATCTGATCCTGCCGTTTTGCACATTGGCTCCTTTTTGTGGTGCCGAAACTACCTCTATCTGACTACAGATTGGTGCTTCGTGCTCGACGATGGCTCCGGCAAAGCTGTTGGCTATGTGATATGCGCTCCGGACACACCTGACTTCGTGAAGAGATACAGAAGTCAGTTCTGGCCAGTGATTGCCAAACATGGTATCAGTAAGTCTTGAAGCAATTGTGGGGATGGTATACCTTAGGACTCTAGAGAAAGACCTAACAAGTATCTCGCGAAAAGCGCACATCAAGGATCACGTCTCGATATCTGGGAACGTTGATCTAGCGACTGAGTTCAGAAACCTGGTTTTCAACCCACAGCATATGCTACAAAGTGATTATCCACATCTAGTCCAGGAGTATCCTGCTCACCTGCACATCGACATTCTGCCAAGCCATCAATCACACGGCTGGGGTGAGAGGATGATCGATCGGTTATTGCAAGAGTTGGAAGCTGCTAATATTCCTGGCGTTCATCTAGGTATGGTGGCCGACAATCGACGTGCTGGCAGATTCTACGACAGGGTTGGCTTCGAGAAGTTCAGCGAAATGAACGATGGGGAACCAGGCAGGAAAGAGAATAGCATCTATCGTGTGAAGAAAACATGATCCCCCTTGCAGGAATTTAATGAGAACAATAGACGAACAATTCTTTTGGTGAATATTCCATGGCTGAAATGACAAGAGGGCTTATCAAAGCTCTTCATCTCAGCTACGATATGTCCCTATATGATGAATGACAAGTTACTATCTCTTGCTTTCTCAAATACCCACGTCTATCGCATGATTTCATTCCAGATCAATGCCTTGAGCTCTTCTTTGCTTAACTGCTCCTTGTTGCGGTCAAAGTCGAAGAACTCCTCCGGTATGGGTTCGGCCGTCGGTTCATCTTCAGGGTCGTGATATGGCTCGAGATAGGGGTGTTTCAACGCGTCTTCCACCGTGATACGCTTGACAGGATTGAAAGCCAACAGCTTCTCTAACAAATCGAGGGCAAGGTCAGAGTGCTTGGGGAACAAAACCTTGAGGGGGATCTTCTTCTTGAAAGGTAAGCTTCGGATGTATTCTCTAGCACGCCTGGACTTGATGCCGTAGTAGTCCTCCATGGTTGGCGTGCCCAGAACGTCCAGGATGAGTGTCAACTGGTGGTGATAGTCCTTGCCTGGAAATAAAGGCTTGCCGCTCAGCATTTCTGCAAGAATGCAGCCAACACTCCAGACGTCGATTGCTTTGGTGTACTCTTTGAAGGTAAGCATGATTTCAGGAGCACGATACCATCTTGTTGCGACGTATTCTGTCATAAACCCAGAATTGTCGTCGGTGGCAGCGGCAGACCTAGCGAGACCAAAATCGCAGACTTTGAGGTCGCAGTTGGCATTCAATAGCAAATTGCTCGGCTTCAGATCTCTGTGTAAAACATTGGCAGAGTGCATGGCCTTCAGTGCTCGTAGTGTCTGATAGATGAAATACTGACAGTGATCGTCGGAGAGTTCTTGTGTTCGGATGACCCTGTGCATATCCGTTTCCATAAGCTCTTGAATGAGGTAGACCTCGTTGAACGTCTCGTAGTTTCGAGGTTTCTGGATATCTAGGATACTGATGATATTCTCGTGGTTGAAGTGACGCAGCAGCTTCATCTCTCGCAAGGTTCGCAGGCAGAACATGCTGTGGTCGAACGGAGTGATCTTCTTTATCGCGACTTTTTGGCCAGATGGCTTGTGTAGGGCGGAACTGGGGATGTGTTAACAGGCTATACTGGGGTTTGAGAGGACCATATTTACCAGACAACGCCATAAGCACCCTCTCCGATCACGTCTTGTATATCGTACTGGTCACTGACGTTGAAAGATATTTTTCGAGATCCTCCTGAACCTGCCTGGTTCGACATTGTGAAAGGTATGTGCTGATCAGCTAGAGCACCAATGTATGAGCTCGAACGGTTCTGCTGTTGAAAATGTGGTCCGAAGTTGGGTTTGTTTCGTGAAGGAAATGTATCAAGACTTCCAACTTCTTCTAGCCTTTGTTCGAAGAGCCTTCCAAGAACGTCCCAGCAACACTTAATACGCACTATCGAACGCCCTTCAACACGTATAATCTCAAGGCTCAAGCCGAAAGAGATCGAAGTGATACCTTCTCTTCACTTGTAAACCGGTGACTAGAATGCAAAACAGTGAAGGTAGGATGCTGAGATATCCTATATGTTCGCGGCGTATTGATGTCTTGGTGGGGTGCAGAACGTTCCTCTAATGGCCTGTGCAACGAGATTGTGCTGCTTCTGGACTTCGTCCTCAAGCCTGCACTTTGTACGACCACAGAAAGCTATGAAAGAGGATCGGAACACCGCCAGGCAATGCAGCTATCTGGCTCTCCAGGAAAGAACGTGCAAGTGATCAAAATGCGACCATGTACTTGCTAGTGAGCACCAACCGCTGATCAGCACTGTCGACAATGCTGGCTTGCACTCTCTGATTGGGCAGCCATTGTGACCAAGCCAAAAGCGGGAACTTCCTCCCCGCGGTTCAGGGACCAATTTGAAAGGTTGCCTTCCGTCTCACATGGGCGCTAAATTCCTAACCGTGTTTGAGCTCACCTCTTTTCGAACCTTAAAATTATGTATTTAGAATCATGCCTCGCTGGTGACTCGTTCAGATGTGTGCTAAGGGAAGAGCCTAATGTTTGGTACCACACTGATGCTATTTCTGGACCATGCCTACGAATCTTTGCATTTCTTCCGAAGAACTACAGTGCCGTTGAGCATCACCAGCGGTTCAAGACCAACTTCAGCTACAAGTGCTACGGAGCGCCATACGAGCTTGCTATCACGGCAATGTGGTATTGCTACTGCCTCGTTCGTGGTCTATAGGCTTGATTTTTGAAGGGACTCAAACAGCCTCCAGCCATGCGTGGGGATGATGTCATACTGCTCCATACTCCAAGTTGCTCAGGCAGGAGCTACTCGAGTATACAAGGTTGTTGGAGTTCTTGATTCTGCTATCTCGACAACAACGCTCACTTTCCATACGACGGCATATACTGCAGTCTAGGTTACAATGTTCAGACTCTGGAATGTTTCAAACGCAAAATACGATCCTGAGTCGTTTGTTATCGTAGATCAACCTAACAGCCAGTGCCGTGACAAAATACCTGAAGTGTTCGAGCTTCCGAAGCTCTGTGGACTCGACCTATTCGAAACTTCTGTTGACGAGCTGCAGCATTACCTTTCTATTGGAAGTTTTGATTCGGTGGCATACACTCAATTTTGCCTCGAGAACATCAGGAAGGTAAGCCAATTGACATCGTACAAGTACGTGCGGTCTAAGGCAACTCTTTCCAGGCCAACCCATATCTCGAATGCGTAATTGAGACCAACCCGGACGCCCTTGAGATTGCAAGGACTCTCGATCAAGAGCGGAAGGATGGCCAAATTCGTGGTCCGCTCCACGGCATACCTGTGCTCATCAAAGATGTAAGCTCGCCTGGTGCCAATACTGAGCTCGTCTGAAGCTCTTACGTATACTAAGCTCTATACGCTCAGAATATAGCTACTAAAGACAAGATGCAAACGACAGCTGGATCTTATGCACTTTTGGGATGCAAAGTCCCCAAAGATGCTCACATAGTTCATCTGCTGCGCAAAGCAGGCGCCATACCCATTGGCAAATCCAACCTTGATGAGTGGGCAGGTATGAGATCTCATAGCTACTCTTGTGGCTATTCGGGTGAGTCGGCCCATGACCATCGAAGTTCGGCAATGGACGTCTAACGTGTTCAGCTCGTGGCGGTCAATGCAGAAACTCATACATCTTAACACGATCTCCAAACGGAAGCTCTTCAGGTTCTGCTGTCGCAGTTTCTGCGAATCTTGTGCCTCTGGCTTTTGGCACCGAAACAGATTGCAGCATTATATCTCCGGCTGCGGTGAACGGCGTCGTGGCTATTAAGCCCACTATAGGTCTGACGTCTAGAGGTGGCGTGGTCCCCATATCTGAGACTCAGGATTCTGTCGGCTCATTTGGCCGAAGTGTTAAGGATTGCGCTCGTGCAATGGACGTCATCGTCGGGTCTGATCCTGACGACAGGTTCAGCACAATGCCGGATCGAAGAGAGGTGCTCAGCTATTCTGAATGCGTTACAGACCACAAATCGCTGCGAGGTGCAAAATTTGGCCTTCCGATGAAGAGATTTTGGCACGTAGCTCCGCAACCACAGAGAAGAGTAATTGAAAGAGTGTTAGACTTGCTGCAACGATATGGGGCGAGTATTGTGGAAGTGGATATGCCATGTGCTGAAGAAAGACTGCCAGAAGATGGTGAATGGGACTGGTGAGCGCATATGAAGTGGGTCTTTTGCATATACTGACAGCTCTTTAGGGAACGATATGGTGAGAGCAATCCTGAAATCTCCGAAATAACAGTATCAGCCGTCCAAACCTACTACTTGATGAATCAATATCTTTCGAAGTTGACCAACACACCTATACGTACTCTCGAAGACGTTGCCAAGTACAACGACGAAAACCGTGGCTCTGAAGGGGGCCATCCCTACGATATACCCGCGTTTCCCGATGGACAACCACTCTTCCGCCAATGTGTCGAGACCAAAGGTATCAAAACGTCTGTATACCATGCCGCACTGCGCCACATTACCAAGCAATGTCGTGAAAATGGCATTGATGCAGCATTGAATTATCGCAGTCCAGCTACAAGTGCAGAGGTGCAGCTTGATGCACTTCTGTTTTGCGATGTGAAAAGAGGTGGCATCCAGATAGCAGCCCAGGCTGGTTATCCAGTAATGACTATCCCTGCAGGTCTCGATCCGGACGGTATGCCAGTGTCGCTCGTGCTGCTCCATTCCAAATGGCAAGACGACAAGCTCATCAAGTGGGCGAGCGCTATAGAGGATATGCTTGTTCACCAACAAGAACAACGTGCAAGACTTTACGGAAAGAGTTCAATTCCTAGAAACAGGAGACTAGGGAGAATACCTCCAACGTATATGCAATATCTACGAAAGAATATACCGGTGGAGAAGAGCTACCACTACAAGGGGTCGAAGAATGAGACAGATGAACCATGGCCAGATCGGCGAGCTGATCCCGATCCTGGTAGAAACCATGACGAGGACGAGCTTGACAACAAGGAGGTGCCACGATACCTGGTGTAACGAGAAGCATTCGATAGTCCTCTTAGCATCAAGAACTGCACCGCTGCTCACTTTCTCAATTCACGCAAATTCATCAAATCGTGCTAGAACTATGCCGGTGTACCCAGCAAGGAGCCTCGTTGAGAGGGTCAGTCAAGCTAACACAGCATAGTGCCAGTATGCGAAGAGACATACTTATATGTTCATAATAACTAAATACACACATCAACTCGCTTGTAGCACTCGTATCCGTAAAGTACTAAACAACGTTCTGCTACTCACAAGCTGCCAGACCTCCTGATGTACCCAATAATACCTCCCAAGCGCCAGCAGAACACGCCAAGTCCATAGCGCGTCTGCATTGAGACCAATCAGCATTCAGGTATTCCAATGAAGCGCGAAGACCCCTTTCTCACACTGTTGCAGCGCAGCGCTTGAAACCTCTCTGCTGCAGTCTGGGGAAAGAGGAAAAGAACTACGCGCGTCCAGACCTTGGTGGTGTGAAGGAGGGATACTAAGATATCAGAGGCGAGATGTCGTGCTGCTGTGAAAGTGATGTGCTGCTGCTTCCGTTGTTGAGTTCATCTTGACCTGTTGTTCTTTTGCATAACCAATTCATCGACTTGTATATTTCCATCTCGTCTTCAATAGCCATGGTGTCCCAAAAATCAAGCAGCTGGACGGCCCTATTCACATTCCTTACCTTTGCCGACTTCCTAATACTAACCCTGGCACAAGCCCCTACCTCAAATACAACCACAACCACCACCACCGCTGTCCCCTACTCTGCCTTCTTCGACTCAGAAGTCTATCCCGACGGCGCCGGCGTGGACTTAACCAAAGGCCTAAACAACCCCACCGTCGTCGCCGTCAACGTCCCAGAAGGCCCAGACCAACAAGACCTATTCTTCCACTTCTCAGCACCTGCAGAAAGACACTCATGGGTCGGCTTCGGGCTCGGTGACCGCATGGCCGGATCGCTTATGTTCATCATCTATCGATCTGAGAATAGTACGAGGAATGTCACGGTTTCTCCGAGGATTGGTTCGGGGCATAGTCCGCCGAAATTCACGGCGGATGTTGGCGTGAATGCCCTTGAGCTCAGTGGGGTTGATGAGAAGAATCGCTTTGTGGTGAATATGCAGTGTACGAATTGTCGACAGTGGGATGGAGGGAGTGTCAAGATCACGAATGGGACGAAGGTCGCTCAGCCCGTGTTTTATGCTCTGGGACCGGATGTTGAGCTAGAGTCAGATGACGAGAGTGCTGCGGTCAGACAGCATGAACGTGAGCCGGAAATGTTGGATCTCTTTCTTGTTCCTGGTGCAGCTGGTGTGCCGATCATTGAGGATGATCCATCAGAGCCTCGGAGAGTAAGCGGAGGAGCTGGTGGGACTCATGAGAGCCCTGGAAGCGGAGGCAAGAGTCCTATGGTATCGCTGGCTTTGCACGCCTTCTTCATGTGCTTTGCCTTCTCACTCATCTTCCCAGGTGGCTATATGCTGCTTCGGGTATTTGAGAAGGTATGGTTACACTGGATACCTCAGAGCATTGGTGTTTTGTGCGTTGTTGCAGGCTTTGGTGCAGGTATCAGGGCCACTGTGAGGGCTGAGCTAGTAAGTCTTTCTGATATCATCGCAGGAAGTATGTTGCTAACACGACCTGACAGAGCTTCGGTCATCCCCATCAGATCCTCGGATTTGTCGTTGTGTTCTTAGTCCTTGCAGCCTGGACGTTAGGTTTGGTGGGACACAGACTGTACATGAAGACGCAAACGCCTTCGCCATTGATAAAAGTGCATCGAGTTGTTGGCCCGCTAGCCATTCTGCTAGGTTTCGCCAATGCCTGTGTTGGTTTTGCCTGGGCAGGCATGACTAGGACGATTGTGGTGTATGCCATCTTCAACCTCCTTGTCGCCACGGTTGTCGGAAGCTTGGTGTTCTGGAAGAAGAGGCGAGCAGTAAGGAAGGCTGCAACGAACAGCCATGCTGCCTCCAACTTTCGGGAAGGTGCTCAGGCTAACTTCGAACATGGACCAGCTGTGTATGTTGGTGGCCCACCTCCAGGATACAATGGTCAGATGGACGTGCCGATGCACAGTATTCGTCCCAACAAGTAGACTGAGAATGTTGAGCTGCTTGCTGTTGTTCGTTGAAGTCATAGACTAGTTTGTGGTAGGGCTTTTCTCTTCGCTTCTTGTTGTCTCGATTCGGACTAGATGTGATTTGAATAAAGGCGTTGTTCTATAGCAATTCCAAGCCTGAGCTCACCACAAGGTGATTAATGAGTAATGATGACAAGGTACTTGCGAGGGATCAGTATGCGGTGTGAAAGTACATTTGATCTCATCCCGATAAATAGATACCTGAAGTCCATAGATCCCAGATAATCAATACGATTGTTAGGATCGAGTACGACGATATTAGATCTAGTGTGTTTGTCAGGCCAATATCATTCTACCACTGTACGCTTATGGCTAAGCTAAACTATCCGATATTCGAGCGAGTCATTAATCGAGTTGTAGCAAACCTCTAGTTTCTAGCAAGCCGATAAAAATTGTAGAGTCTCAGTAAGTTAAAGCTAGATAAGCTAGATATACTCGAGGGTACTAGGTCGAGAATGATTAGCGCTATTATACTTAAGGTGATATAGGATTAGCTACCGAATTAGACGATTAATTAGGGAACGTTCTACGAACTTATAGAGGGTAAACTATTTAGTGATATACTAATCCTGCCTATCGATGGCTTTACTAGAAGTCTGAAACACTCACATGCTGGGAATCCAGATTATGGTAAAAGGCCAGTAGCTTACCATTTAGACAGGCATTAGCATCAACCCAAGAAGGCACAACCCGTACAGCAGTCTCAAAAAAATTCTTAAGGTAATTATCCATGATGTGCTCGAAATGGAATCTATCTGACGTTAGTATCGGTTGTTTGTGTGTCGTTGAAGTGAGTTCTTAGGCGTGTAATGCCACCGTGGTAACTGTTGCCACTTGGCTCGAGGCCGGAGAAGGCGCTGCATCCGCTTCAAAGCCTCATCGTTTGCCCGAGCCACAGGAAGCACAATGGGTAATCGTTTGACCCATGTGGTTCATCCAGCGTCGTGCCGTGGACTGCGGCCGCCTACAATATTAGAAGACGTTAAGCGATAGAGATAGCACTTTCGTGCCAGTCGTATCCGAGTCGAATCATTGTGCTGTTTCTCTCATCTGCCCAAGGAGATTCAACCCCTCAGAATGCTATGCAGATATTCGATGTCTTTCTTGGCATAGTACATGATGCTGCATATATCTTCTCGGCGGCACTAGTTGTACACTTACAGTGATCAAAGGCCAGGACGAGTCTCTTTGCATGATTCTTTCAGCGCGTATTGTGGAAGAAAATGAATGTTACGAAATCATGGCGCAGCCACCAGGTGTCAGGCACAGTGACCGAACTGACGCAAACTAAGGCAGCCATGCTGTGGCACAGGAATACAAAGGAACGGCGTGTACCCGTGTTGTCAAATTTCTCCTGAACAATAGCACTTCCGTGCTTGAAATGATTGTTGCCGGTAACGCAAAATGCTTTGCCATATCCAATCCTATCCTCAGAGCTGCAAACATTGCTTGAGTCAGAAATTTGAGCCGCGATGGCTGTCGTGTGATCAAAATTGAGCCAAGCCTGAGGCTGCTAATGGATCTCGTCTTGAAGAGGTCAAAATAGCTAAGTTGCGAGCTAACCCACGCTTGGACACTCCATAGCGCTTCGGTTGTGCTCTTTGGAACTTCACTTGAGCTCGTATTGGTCTTAGAGGGGATGGATCGAACTCGGTAACGCCGCAGACAACACTTTGATCTTGATTGGTGTCGACCGGCGTGCGCCACCTCACCAGAATACAGAATCAGCGTCGTCGATATATCCAATCTCCCTAGCAATCCTGGTCGGTTCAAATTGTGCACCAGTGTGTGTTCGTCTGTTCGTTATCAGAAATCAGTTCTGCAATGTCCCATCGAATCGAGTGAGACAAAATAATGTACCCGCAATGGATCAGTAGTTATCGTCGATCAGTACTCTCCGCACGTCTGTGTTGCTCTTGACTCAACAGTGGCTGCAGATATGGAGAGCGCTACGAACGACAGCATTGCGGTCCAAGCTAGATGTAAATCAGCTTGAACAGTACAGTCAAAAACTGGAACGTTCGTTAGTTTGGCACCGTCATTACGCTAACGCCCGTGACATGGACCCTTCCTCATTCAGCTTAGCCTTTTGCCTAAGAGCCTGGAGCTAGGTCGAAAGAAGAAGTTTCGGTATTCGCGTGATATAAATATCCCTCAGCGTGTACTTAAATGTTCTACTAAACCTTCCTGTCACGATTTATTATATGACCGGGTCTACGGCCAGGCATACGACTGGACGTACAGCAGAACGTATACTAGAACACTAGGACTAGGCCCACGTTATAAGTAGCCTAAACTAAAATCAGCTATAAACTAAATTAAAATAGGACTAGCTTAAAATAGATTCTATATAAGAGAAGATAACGCGAGAGCTTTATTTATATTTAGTTTAATCTTCTACTCTTCTAATCTTAATAAGAGTATAAGAGCATAAGAGTAATATAATTATAAAATATATATACTACATATTTTACGACTATGCACACATCAGTCGGAACAGGCCACGTGCTACTAGGGTGCACTATAGATAGCTACGGCGCGGTGCGCATGCACATCACATGCGTACCGACGTCGCCACTGTACTTGGAATCCTTCCAAGTACTGAATCGTGTAGATCAGACATGTAACACTACTCAAGACTCGTTCCTACTGGCCGTTATCTGTTGTGGTCCTAATAATATAGGTTAGATATATCTAATATTTTTGTTACGACCGTGCGCAGAGACTGCGCCTGGCGGTGTAACAGCCTTATATGCCAAGCCTTCCAAACTATCACCAACATTGGTGATATTTTGGCGACCTGTTTAGGCGAATGCTAGGCTTGATTCTGACACCACTCTTTCGCTATTCTAGAAGAGAGAGATGCTCAAGCCTCGTAATGACACTCTTCAAGTCCTGTTCATGCCTAACTACAACTTCTTCCCCTCGAAGATTTTCAACCACCCAGCTCCTGCCGCTTTCCCCTTCACATTCCTGGTCCGGAACAATCTCGCTATTAAGAGCCCCTAGGGATCGTACACCTGACTGTTTGATCAATCATGACAAGGTTCTGCTCTGAGATTCTTGCTCGGCATCCTGATCTCCCGGCTGCTCTCCCCTCTGCCTTCGTTCATCTTCGACTTTCCTTCAGTCTATAACATCTTTCTTGCAGATTTGACAGGTACTCAAGAATAGCTTGTGTAGCCGTAGTATTAGCTGAGCATTGATTGCAAGTTATCCTTGCATCGAAAGACCTCGTGTGCATCTCCACTAGCACCGGACACAAAGCTGAGTATACGCTCAGTCGAAAGAGTTCACGCCTTTGATTTTCGTCATTGGGATATCCTGCCATTTTATATTTCGTATATCCCTTCTCAGCTGTAAGGTTTCGTCTTTGTCGATCTCAGCATATCTTGTGTCGTTCGGCCATTGAGACGCCACCGTCGTTGCTCCCGATAGCAACCTCGGAGCATTCTGGAGCACGCTGTAAACAATGTCCCACGTAAATTCTGGGTGCTTAGCAGCCACCTCATACGACATCAAATCAGAGTCGCGAGATTTGGACCCTGCAAATCGATGACTCGCAAATATCGGGGGATGGATACCGTAGCAATTGAAAGGAGCTAAATGCGCTTGCCGACACATTGCGCTCATCGCAACGTCGAATGGAGCGGCGTCAGCCATTAACGAGAGCGATGTGATAATCTTTTGAGCACCTTCGTAAGTAATTGCATAGGCATAGGTGCACATGCCCCCGTGTGCCCGGAAGACGGCACGTGTATCATTCGAGAAAAGTTCGGGGGGGATACGTCCCTGACGCCAGATACTGTGTCGGAATCCCACTGGTGGAACAGTGATATCGTTACTGAGAAAATGAACGTCCTGCGGCGCACTATTGGGACCAAGTCGACAGTGTCCTAGCCAGAGCGCGTGCCATGAATCACCGTACGGAGATCGGGGTCTAAGACCGGTCTCTTGCAATGCCCCAGCGGACTCGGCGAACGCGTCGAGCTGGTCCTTAAGAAACCAGTCCCAGTCTGTGTCGTCTTCCATGATCAATGCGGTTTGAATGCGTTCGTTGACTATGTGTCGAAGTAGATTGAGGTGAGCCCGCCATGCTGCGTGAGTGCTGTTCGGAAGCTCATTAAAATCCCACGTCTCTGCTATTGCTTTTTTGGGTATGTCTGCAAATCTGACACCGCCAGACCAGTCGACATCAAATTCTGAGAGCGAAGAGCCGATCGTGATCGCATCGCGCTTATCAACACGATTTTCGAAGCCAATCGCAAACACCTTTTGAAAGCCGAGCGTTCTGTTTCTGGTATCGTGGATTGCAACCCTAGGAGTTGCTGGTAGACTATCGGGTATGTGGAATAGAGCGGATCGTGCTGAGTAAGTAAGGTATAACAGGCATATCAGTAGGGCTGCACTGAAGAACAGATAGCTTCGAGACCGGGTTCCTCGGTAGGAGCCCATTGACGTTGCTTTGCGTGATTTGTGGTGTGCCGTGGACTGCTTCGGACCATACCACAGTACTAGAAAAGGGCTGGATCAAGTTCACGCCAGACATGGGCAGGAATTTGTCGTTCTGCCCTGAGTATCCTAGCACTGCTGAGGTTATGGTCGACCTATTCTAATAGTTTCATCTATATCTAATCCGTTTGATGGGCAAGTTTCCCGAGCGACTCAGCTAAAGTCAGTCACTGTGTCGTTGTGGACAACAGATGGTGGTGACTTGTGTTTGGACGATGTAGAGTTCGAACAGTGGCACCCAGGGTTGCAAATCTCAAGATCACAATCTCTCCTTGTTTTCTTTCGAATGGATAACTTCTCCTTCTGCCACGGACGCGAAAGCTTCTTGGTGTTCTGGAGTGGACGTGCAGCACGCAATAACTCCACTACCCGCTAAAATGCTCACCCGCTAAAATGCTCAAAAATGATCAATATTAGCCATTACTTAGTGTTTTTATATATAGCTATACAGCTGGATAATAGCTGCAGCCATATTGGGATTATAAATGATAATAAACTCTTTTTTATAATAAATAAACTTATTTATCTTAGTTTTAATAACTAGTATTTATATAATATATCGTTTTACTTATTTCTTACTAATATAGCTATCGTATCTATTAAGGCTTATAATAAAGAACGTAATTTCTTATAAATACTAACAACTAATTATCACGCAAGTTCCCAGGCCTAGGGTAAGTAGGTCTGATCACAGGCAGTGGGGTAGTATGTTGGCTGGTTAGTAACAAGAAGTGTGAACACGACAGGAAGGTACTTAGAAGGTACTAGTGGAATTAGTAAGGGAGATTAATTACGGAAAATCTATCTAAGTAGCTAGAGAGTGTGCTAGAATCTATATACTTATAAGTTATAATATCTTAATCAGTGTTGCTTACCTTAATCAGTATACTTAGTGCTGAGCACTACTAATCCGACTAATCATACTAAGTACGGTAACCTTTATAGTTTAGTCTCGCTAAACCTTCCTTTATATATAGTTAGTTTTAGGCCAGTCCTATTCCGATTCAGTCCCTAGCTGATTCTAATTTAGGCTACTTGTGACGTGGGCCCGGTCGTATATCCTAGTGCATACTTAGGTGTGCGCCTAGCCGTACGTCCAGTCGTATACCTAGCCGTAGACCCGGTCGCATAATAAGTCGTAACACTATCCCTTCTCTAGCTGCTTACTTCCACGTAAGTATAAGTAGAGGTGAGTACCCTGTTTCGCGTATATCGTCTTTCTCTTTCTTTCCTTATAGCTGACTATGCCTTAGAAACGTCGAGCTAAAAACGAACTTCCTCGTCCGAACAAACAGCAGTAACCTAAAGAGAGTTCTACCGTCCGTCGCAGAAACCTAGGAAACTTTATTCAGGTGTTTAGTGATATAATACCGAAGGTATATTCTAATTGTTACCGTCTCGGTCTGGAGTACAAGGTGTATATAAAGTCTGGTGTATATGGGAAATGTTATCTGTTAGGGAGTGGAATAACGTATGATATAAGGGTAACGTAAGAGGAGTGGTCTTAGTTAGTCGCCGAGCGGACAAGATTATTGAATAAAATAAAGGTGGCTCTGTGGGCGCAGAAGGATGCTGAGTAGGCTCGCTAAAAGGCAGCCGATCTAGAGTTCTCGCTGCGTGAGCAGCTACGAAAGGTAGAGGTTAAAGCCGAAGAGGCAATTACTATCAAGGAGGCGTAGATACAAGCTCTAGAGCGTTATAAGACGGAGCAGGCGAAGTTGGTTAAGCAAGAGGCTTAAAGGTCTTCGAATTTAGCGCTAGCTCCTTACACCTAGAGTATAGAAGGTGGTATATCGGACGACTTCTAGGAGCCGTCTAAGAGTACTCCGTGGGTATTAACTTAGTTAGTATAGGCGAATAGGTATTCTTAGTTATTATATATCTAATATTTTTCTATTACTATATTATTGTCACGACTTATCATGCGGCCGGGACTAGGGCCAGGCGTATGACTGGATGTGCAGAAGGAGCCAAGGCAAAGAGCTGAAACCGAGTTCCAAGGAGGGAAGGTTTAGCGAAAGCCTTAGATACACTCAGCCTAATCTTATACTCTTATAATCTTGTCACTTAGCACAAGAGCACAAGAGCACAAGAGCAAACAGGAATCATAAAGTATATATACGGCGTAGGTTAGACACAACTGACATTTTATAGTTACTCTGTAATCAATCTCCCTCACCAATTCCACTAGTACCTTCTAAGTACCTCTCCTGTCGTGTTTACACTTCTTATTACTAACCAGCCAACATACCACCCCACTGCCTGTGATCAGACCTACTTACCCTAGGCCTAGGAACTTACGTGATAATTATAGGGAGTTTTTACTAATTTTCTTTATCGCCAGAGTCGTTTTCCTCGTGGGGTAAGGTCGTTAAATAGTGGCTTTAGTTATCCTAGGGGTGCTATCTATTCTAAGTGATTTTTATACAGGTCGTTAAGGGTATCTTAACTTAAGTGTTACTCGGGTTCCTAAGTGTTTTCGGATTTATCGTACCCTATCCACTTAACTAGGTACTGTCGTTGCCCTTGCTTCTACCGGATTTAGCGGACGGTCTTTAGCTCGTAGACGTCCTCTTATAATTCGTTTAGAGGTTATAACGTCTCTAAAGGCGTCTCTGGGTGGGCAGGCTCTAGAAGTGTAATATGAAATACCGGATATATCTTTATATCTTTTAGGAGTTTTAGTCGGTAGGTAACTGGTCCGAGTTTCTTCTCGATCCTAAATAGTCTAAGTTTCTTAAAGTCCAGTTTGTCACTAGGTCGTTTTATCTTGATATTTTTTCAAGCTAGGTAAACGAGGTCCCCCTCTAAAAGGTTCGGTCCCTCGATCCTATATCGATTCGCAAAACGAGCTATTCGTTAGGCTATAAATTCAAGTTCAGTCTTAAGGTGTTCGTAGAATTCATTCATCTGTTCGAAGGTCAATCAGGTAAGGTGATTTAAATTATCCGATTTTAAGGCATTTCTAGAAAAGGTCGGGTAAAACCTATAATTAGTATAGAAAGGTGAGACTCCGGTAACTGCGGTGTTGTTATTAAAACAGAATTAGGCCAAAGGTAATAAGGAAACCTAATTATCCTATTAGTAGTTAATATAACATCGCAAGTATTATTTAAGAGTCTAGTTCGTCCTTTCGATTTATCTATCCGTTTTAGGGTGAAACGATGTTGAGAATTTATACTTAGTACTGAGTTATTTAGTAAGTTCTTTCTAGAATAGAGAGTTAAATGTAGGTCTACGATTAGAGATAATCGTCTAGGGTATACCGTAGTTAGCGAATACCGTTCGCAAGAAGGTGTAAGCTAGTTAAGGTGCGTTAGCAGCTTTAAGGTATGGTATAAAGTAGGAATACTTCGTTATTCGGTCGCAGATTACGAAGATACTGTTATAAGCTGTACCCGTAAGGGGATCTTCGGATTTAGGAAGCTTTACGATAAAGTCCTAAGTGATCGCTTACCAAGGTAGTTCGGAAATAGGTATAGGCTGTAGAAGGCCGTATGGTTTATACCGTAAGGGCCTGGCTTTCTGATAAACAGAATACTTCCCTATATGTTCTTCCACATCTTGTCTTATCCCTTTCCAGGAATAGTCTCGAGTAAGGAGTTCTAGACTCTTATTAACTCCGTTATATCTTATAAGGCTGTCTTTATGGTGTAACTAAAGCAATTTAGTTTTCTAGGAAGCGGTATATATAACTGGCTTACGTTCTGCCATTATTATCGTTTAGTTAAAGACTAGGGTGTTGCCTTCTAGTTTAAGCAAGGCATTAGTAGGTTTGGTTTTAGAGCCGTCCTCGTAGTTAGGTCGTCTACTAAGGGCGTTAGCTCGACTATTTTCTTTCCCTTTAACGTAGTGGATCCGGAAATTATAAGCGGATATGGTTTTAGACCATCGAATAAGTCTGCTATGAAGCTTCTTAGTGGTAGTCCAATACAGGAGATTCTTATAGTCGGTATAGACCTCTACTGTATGTTTAGGTCCTTCGTAGTAGATACGCTAATACCGTAAAGCTTCGACAATGGCCAAGAGTTCCTTATTATAGATTTCGTAGTTAAGCTTAGGTCCAGTAAGCTTTCTTAAGAAGTACACGACGGGTAACTACTTTCCGTCGTTATTTAGCTGTAGAATACAAGCCCCTATTATATAATCAGATGCATCGGTTTCAAGGTGTATAGGTTTTTCTAGGTCGAAAATCAGGAGTAGAGGTACAGAGGTGAATCGTTTTTTAAGCTTATAAAAGGCTTCTCGTGCGTTAGCACTAAGAGCAAATACTTACTTAGCTTCCTTCTTCGTAAGGTTAGATAGTGGCGTAGTGACGTAGAAGTATCCCTCGATAAACCGTCGGTAGAAGTTAGCAAATCCCAAAAAAGACTATATATCCTTAACGGATCTCGGTTCTGGCTATTCTAAGACGTTCTTAATTTTATTAGGGCTTATTCGAAGTCCTTAGTCAGAGACTATCTAACCCAAGAATTAAACTTCGTATTTATAGAATTCGTATTTCTCCAGCTTAACTAGTAGTTGCTTTTCCCTAAGTTTAGTAAGTACCCTACGAACGTATCCTATATATTCGTCGTAGGTTTTAGAGAATATTAGAACATCGTTAAGGTAAACGACGACGAATTCGTTAAGATACTCGTATAAGGTATCGTTAATCAGATTTTAGAAGGTTACGGGCGCGTTAGTAAGCCCGAAAGGCATAACTTAGTACTTGTAGGTACCGTAACGACACTTAAATATAGTTTTCCATTCGTGTCCTTCTTTAATTCGAACTCGGTAGTAGGCTTCTTAAATATCTAAAGCGGTAAATTACTTAGCGCCTTATAACCTATCCTGTATTTTATCGATTCGTAGTAAGGGGTATTTGTCTTTTATAGTTAAGTTATTAAGTTTTTAGTAGTCTATATATAACCGTTTCGAGCCATCCTTCTTTAGTACGAACAAGATAGGTGAGGTTATCGTAGGTTCTCTCTTCTAAGAACGTTCTACGATCTTCGCAGGCCGGATAAAATGTTTATATAGGTTCTTATCGATATAGTTCTTAAGTTTAAGCTCTTCTTCCCTCGTTAGAGAATAGAGGGGGCCTTCTTTAACAGGTTCTCTAGGGATTAAATTTATCTTATAGTCCTATAGTTTATACTCCGAGAGTGTATCTTTCCCGAGCTTTTCTTTAAAGACGTCCTTAAAGTCTACGTATTCTTTAGGACATACTACAGTCTCTACCGATACCAGAGTTCTGCCTTAAGGCCGTACCCAGATAGCCTTAGTAAAGCTAGTAGTGCTACTGCTCGGCGGTAACCCGAAATACCGACAGCGCGGAAATATAAGTTACTTCTTATCCTAATCTATTACAGGATTATACTTCTTAAGCCATGCTATACCTAGAACCAGATTATATTTTATAGGTATAACGTCCAGGGTGATCTGTTTAATATACTCGTCGATATCGAGACGAATATCGTGAAGCTCTTTAGTAATTCTTCCTTAATCGCTACTATTAAAGCCCGTTAGGTCATATAGCTCTTATTTGTTTCGCTGGTAGCTAATTAGCTGCTGAGATATACGTGGGTTGACGTGATTTCCCATCGCTCCGGAATCGATTAAGGTGCGTGCTGTGACTCCGCAGAGTTCTGTATTTAGCACCAGACATTAGCTATATAATACACTAGCTATAAAAGGTATTTTTAGACTCTTATAAGGCCTACGGAAGCGTCGTCTAGCGATTTTCCGGCCTACTCGTTTTTTGTCCAATAGAGGTGCGTACCGATACTAGAAGTGTAGGGGTATACGTTATACCTACACAGGTATTCCTTCTATCTGTCGTCTAGGTCTTTAGATTTAAAAGGCCTAGTTATATCCCGTGGGTCGTAATGTATAAGGTGTCGGTAGTGTCCTAGATCTCAGGTATAACCACATCGTGGGTATAGGTATAGGAAATTAGCGCTTACCTATCCTTCATAAACCCGGTTATCCACGGTTAGTACCTCGTCGGGGTATAGTTCGGGTTTAGGATTTTCGTCGTAACTTCCTTCTAGCTCGTCGTCCAGTTCGCAGGTTGGAAAGTTAATGTCACTTATTTAGAGTATAGGTATAATTTTATACTTAGCGGCGTTATTGTCGACCGTAAAGGTCCGCTACTAAAAATTGTTATCCTGGTAAGCATAAGGGTAGACTGCGTCTTAGTGTAGATATCTTCGTTCCTTACACATAACCAGCTTAGTGAACGTAGGAATTTCTTTCTTTTCTACCTCCGAGGCATACCATGTGTGTTAGTGTCGAGCCTTTTACTCGTAACTTATCTTAGTGTACCATCCACCGACGTAATAGTATGTTTTGACGTAGATAGAGTTAAGGGTATATCCTATAACTTCTATTTTTCTATCGTCCATAGTGATAACCTCTGCCTTAGGTCCGTCAGTACAGTAAAGTGCTCGGTTAATTAGCATCGGTGTCTGTAACCGTTATTTAACTTTATTTACTTTCTTAGACGGTCGCTTAGGGTAGTAGTAGTAGTCCTTATCGGCTTTATACGTAAGGTACTCGTCATAGTAACATCCCGACTAATGAAGGGTCGAATATTCCGGGTGGTCTAGGCTAGACACGGTGTCTGCCCAGGTTATAGATCTTTTAGGGTTCTCGGATTCAGCTATACCGAACTGTCTTGGTCTTACCTTCTAAAAGGGTTTCTTGCCTTTCTTAGTAAAGCAGTCGTTAGTAACGTGCCTAGGTTTCCTATAATAAAGACACAAGTTGTTCTTAATTCGTCGGTCTTTCTCGGATTAGGTTAGGGGTCCTTTAGTGTAGTTGCGTTTCTTATTAGCGGCATCGAGATCCATAGGCATTAGACCTCCGTAGAAGCGTAGTTTGGTGGTATTAGGGCGATTCTTAGCTCGAGCGATATTAACGTTGCTCTGTCGCGGTTGAGCTGTTTAAAACTCCTATAGTTTATTTTCAGCATCGATAGCTGCATTAATAAGCTCCGCTAGGGTATTAGGTCTCTCCTTACGGATATCTTACTGGATAGCCCGGGATAGTCCCTGCTTGAACATACTTATCACCGCCTTGTCTTCCTACTTAAGGATAGTTACTTATGCTCTGAACCGTATGGTATATTCGTGTATAGTTCTAGTTTATTATAGGCTAGTAATCCTTCGTTCCGCTTCCTTGACTTTATCTAGTTCTCTGAAGTTCTTACGGAGCTTTTCCTTCATGTTAATCCATTTCCCTATAACTTCCTTCGTGGTGTCCGAGCTACTGTTTCCGTTGTCTAAGTAGTCTTAAAGGTGAGGTAAAATCTAATTATAAGTAATCCCTTTTATATAGTAAGCTGTATAAAGGGTCTTCTTAGTATCGGTATTGTATTTAGCGGCGTCGATAGCGTACAGGGTGTCGAGACGGGTAAGAAATCCGTCAACTTTTATACGTTCCCCGTAGAAGCTATCCACTCCTCCTAGCTTAATAGATTCAGTATTTATAGTTAGTCTGGTATTGCTTAAAGCGCTTGACCTAGGGGTGTTAAGGCTTAAAGTACTAGTATTACTAAGTTAAAGTCGTAATAGGTCACCTACAACCTCACTAGGTATTAGTGACTTAGCTAAGTCCCGAGTAGACTTAGTTGTTATATCCTAAAGTCTTATTACTAGAGGCGGTAATTAATGTATCATATAAGTTCCTAGGCCTAGGGTAAGTAGGTCTGATCACAGGTAGTAGGGTGGTATGTTGGCTGGTTAGTAATAAGAAGTGTAAACACGATAGGAAGGTACTTAGAAGGTACTAGTGGAATTAGTAAGAGAGATTAATTACAGAAAATCTATCTAAGTAGCTAGAGAGTATACTAGAATCTATATACTTATAAGTTATAATATCTTAATCAGTGTTACTCACCTTAATCAGTGTACTTAATGCTAAGTACCACTGATCCGACTAATCACACTAAGTACGGTGACCTTTATAGTTTAGTCTCGCTAAACCTTCCTTTATATATAGTTAGTTTCAGGCTAGTCCTATTCCGATTCAGTCCCTGGCTGATTCTAATTTAGGCTACTTATAACGTGGGCCCGGTCGTGTGTCCTAGTGCATGCTTAGGTGTGCGCCCAGCCGTACGTCCAGTCGTATGCCTAGCCGTAGACCCGGTCGTATAATAAGTCGTGACACTAATAACCTACCCTATTAATTCTAACTTAAGGACTATCTAGGCTAGCCGTTTCTCCTATATATTAATAAGTTTCTATTAGGACTCTTAAGAGTCTATTATTATTATATTATCTCTAATTCTACTAGCGAGCGTACTATAGTTAAGGCTAAAGGTAATAGCTATCGCGTAAATTAACTTACATATACCTTTATTATATACTACGGTAGTAGTTATTATCGTTTACTTATCAACTATACCTATCATTACGTTGTATTATTAAATGCGATAAGAATAACAAAAAAAAGTTAGCGCAGGCAAAGGTGAGCATTTTAGCGGCTGAGCATTCTAGCGGGTAGTGGAGTTATCTCAGAAGCCTCGAAATATGTCGCACGTGTCGAGATGCCTAATGTGGCATTCACCCTTGTCGAAAACGGTCATTCAGCTCAGGGGACTAACCGCCACAACCAGGATCGTTCGCTCGTCCGGAACCTCCACTCGGCATGCGCTAACGCATGCGTCGCCCTGACGAGTGGAGAGCACGCCGGACTAAAGTTCCAAGAAGTGTCGGCGGAGGCGATGGTGGAATTCCACTGTCTTCAGCTCAAACTCTAGCAACACGCTAGTGCCCATAGCCGTTCAGGGGTGGCTTCCAGGTGAGAATGGATTTACACCAATAGATAACACTTCGCGTAGAGAATCGCCGTGTTTCACGATGGTGGTTGTCTTTGAAGGAGCGGCATGCCTGTCATATGGTCTTTAGGTAACAACTCGTCACCTCTCTTCGCTGTTCACGCCAGATCTCATACACCCAAATAGATGCTTGGCTGTGTCTGACCGCCATTTGCGAATATAACAGAGAAGGACCGAAGATGATACCTCGAGGCTTGTCCATTAAGTTCAGCATTGGTTTGCTCTGCTTCGTTGTGATACTTTGGGCATCATCGTGGTCTGGTGTGGCGAAGAAGTCCGAGAATTCGATAGCGAAATTCGCCTCGTCTGTTGGCTCGACATTCAGTTCCCCAAAGACGAATTTTGGTACCCCAGGCAGACCATATACCGACACAAAATTTGACGGAGCTGCAGATCTTGAAAACTTCCAGAAACCCGGAAGAATTGCGGCATTCATCCTTGCAGGTAGACGAGAGTTTGTCCCCTTACTCAATTGCTACCTTGAACGAAATCTTGTCCGCAATGGTGGCTGGCTCGATGAGGTGCTTTGGATCATAAGGACTGACCATGAAGACGATCGGGCCTTTGTCCGCGAACTGGTGGAGAGAACACCAGAATATATTAGTTTCGAGACACGCAGGGGGGACGATTCGCGGCACTATGATACCATCTACAAGCAATGTCGCAACGATACGATATACATCAAGATTGACGACGATGTGGTGTTCTGGGAGGACCATGCTATTCCTGCTATTGTAAAACGGCTTGTTGAAAACCCACAGTACTTGGGCATCAGTGCCAATGTCATGAACCAACCCGCCTTGAGCTGGGTTCATTACCATCTCGGCACAGCTCGACCGTTTGCTCCAGAAACCACACCGCCTGAGGGGTTCGTTGACCTGGATCAGCAATCACCTATGCCAATACGTGAGAGGATAGACTGGCGACCGTCCAGTCTGCCTCAATGGACTGGTCCCAAGAACTTCAGCTTTGGGTTCCACTTCACGGAACCAGCTCCATTCAAGCATCATCGTTGGCTTCCACTTCCGAAAGACTTCGAGATCGAAGACACCCCGATGGGAAAGTTGGGCGAGGGTCACAGCGTCGAGTATAGCGCCGGTGGTATTGGTTGGAAGTCCTGGACCATCGCAGCTCAAGAACACATGTCGTTTCTGACACACCTGGAGAATCAAGAATTATACCATTACAAATTTGACATCTGGCACTACCACTATGAAAGGATCAGCATCAATTTCTTCGCATTTCACGGCAGCTTAGTGCTGGACAATCCAATCGAAGGACAAGACGAAGAATTTTTGACAACTATTCTGGTCAAGCGCTTGAAGAGACCAGCAATTATGGATGGCACTGCTATGGCTGTTCACTTTGGTTTTGGCAGGCAATTCAATAGACATGGTAAGGTTGAAGGAAAGGCTTTGAACGATACCGATATAGTATTCAGATATCAGAGTTTTGCAGACGAATTCATCTGTGGTAAACCCATGGGCTCACCACGACCGTGAATACCCGCTCAGGTGTCCGAAGAGATATATCAATGACTATATAGCATGAACATGACCTGGCACATACCGACTGAATCTAGCGTTTGTGAAATCTTGGCAGAACGTATGGGAAATTGGCGCATTGGAATGCTAGGCAGACAATGCTATACGTACTACACAACAACATGTCCAGCATATTTGGTGCATTTAGTACCTTGCCTACTTCCAAGCACAGGGCAACAGTCTCTCGCTCACACGGGATAACCGTTTCTTCGATGAATTACTGCATTCCTGACTCGTCGTGTCAGCCTGTGTCGGCCACTCGCCCGTGTGTGTCCAATGTTCTACGGGTCGCCGACAACCTGAGTCGCTTTCCTCGCAAACGTGAGTGTCTCGGTAGTCAACAGCGTCGGGGACGTCTGTCGACGACGGGGGACTCTTCGTCACCGTGAAATACTCTTGCAATCGCTCTTCGTCACTAAGGAGTTTTCTCTTCCGTCCCGAGCGCGAAGGGGCCGGACTCGCGTGACAACGTAAATCCTGTTCTGTGGTGGACGGCTTCGCTTCAGGGTGCGACTCGCAGTGAGCATCTTCAATGACAGGTTCGGATGGCGGACGATCCTGCTGCAAACGTGTTAAGTGTCAACATTCGCTTCGTTCTGAAACCACTGACCTCGAGCTGCGCGAAGCTGCTCGTGGGGATCATCGACACTTCTCAGCTGTGTCCGATTCCAATTTCTAAACCCTCGCCATGGGAAATTAGCGTCGAGGTGAAGCTGTAGCAGCTTGAGGTACAGGTCGATTGCAATAAGTGCCTTAGATAACGAGTCTTGATAGATTCCGATGGTACCGAGAACGAAACCGCTGCAGGAGCAGACCATCCAGGGAATCGAAGCCGTGCCGAAAATCATGGCACACAAATGACGCTGCCTGTAATGCCGAAAGCGACCTAGCAAATGAGTAAGTACATACAGGGGCAGATCGTCTTCGTGAGTGCATTGATATGTCTGCAAAGGGTGGAGAACACCCTATGGTAGACTTACAGCTGTCGCCGAACCCGACACAAGGACTCTCAGCATACTACAAAGTCAGACTCTCCTTTACAGCAATAACTTTCTTCTGAGCACGCGAACACACTGACGGATACTCACAACAGACTTGGACCACTGTATATGGTCAACTTCGTGCCGAGCACTCTAGTAGGAATTTGCTCCTACCTGAAATTGCCCCATCCACCTGCATAACACAGTAAATGGTCAGCAAACTCTTCTTCTGCCCTCTCAAGCTCGTTCGGGATGCGACATGATACACAGAACACAGAAGCAACCAGTAGACTTACCAACCATCCTCAACAGACTTGAGGTCGCAGTGCCATAAGTGCCTTCCGAGTAAAGCTCATCGCGCTCGCGTCGCCCTGATGCCATAGCTTCGTGCTACGCGTCTTGGTTGATCTCAAAGCGCAAGTCGGTGTGTCACCAATATAGAGAAGAGTAGTACGTCAGCTTTCATAGCAGTTGTGCCATGAAGACAATCAGAGCTTGTGGACGAGGTCCTCCCAGCTACTGGGGTGAGGTAAACGTACCTCGAGCTACTATATTCGGCTTAGCGCCTCGATATACTCGTTGTAGTGGCAGTCATGACTGCTGAGCAGCCAGTACATTCACCTTGCAAGAGGAATCTTGCTGATAATTTCACACCTTGTTCTCATTCGTCTACGAAAAACCTAGCTATAGATATCCAGCCGCCAATATTGTCAATATACACTGGCGTTTTGTGTGACACCATTGCACCAGACGCAATACAACCCACACCCAAAAGGTCTTTGTTTATCTATCCTGTCCCTCTATCCTCGAAGCGAGTGTGATAACACAAATACGAAAAGTCGCGACTCAAGCAAAATAACTGGATCGCAACAAACCACTCAAATCTTCCACTTGCTCCGGCTTGAATGCTTTGACATCAATGTGCCATGTATCCTGTCTAGTCTTCTTGAAGTCTCCAATGATCGACTTCACGCTTGATCCCACTGCACCTGTATCGTTGCCTGCTTTCGTGCTCAGTGTGATCAGGACGTCGATTATCCACTCAGCTGGAGGTGAGCTATAAGGACTGGAATTAACAAGTGATCCGAGACCCAGAACTGCTGCATGACGTGTCAGGATCAGTCTTTGGTGTTCAGGAGTTGGTGTCTGTGAACCACTACCACGTGCTGAAGACTCGGCCGTCAACACAGCTGCTTTAGTCTTGGGTTTCTTCGGCAACGGGTTCTGTTCAAGCATCTTCGTGAAACGATCCTTCAAGTTGTGAATCATACGCTCACGAAGTGCCAAAGGAGAACATCTGATCATGCCCGAAAGAGTAGCTGCTGCTCCCGCTCGTACTTCGTGCTGACTATCTTCCAGCATCTTAGCAACACAATCAAAGAGTCTTTGCTTTGTGGCCTCAGAGAGCAGGAAAAGTCGTCTGAAAAAGATAATTTGCATGTTGATCATGACTCGAAGACGCTGATGCCAGTACGGCGACTTTTGGCCAATGCTTATCAAAGAATCGACCAATTTCTCGTCAGCACCGACCCGATGAGGAATGTTGGGTAAGTGTCGGAAGACGTGGTAAGCCAGTGACTGCAGTTCGGGATCCTCTTTCACATCCATCATGTGTAAGAAGGCTTCGGTGAATTGATCGGGGAAGTAATTGATCAGCTGTGTACACTCATAGGACGACAACATCGAGTCAAGCCAGAGCAAAACGGTCTTGCTTCCAGAAGTGTATGCTGAAGGCGTCTGCTGACCAGGTGTTCTCTCGTGTCGCCACTTTTCCAGACGCTCGAACGTTTCGTGCATCGTCTTGTTGAACTCCTCACTTGGTTCGTACGGCGCCTGGCCAAGAGATCCTGCTTTTTGTTGAGCTTGAATCAAATCAGAAACGTTCTCGAAAGATTCGTGGTATCGAGTGCGGTAAATCGCCGCAAGTGTTTGTGCCATGGCTTCACGAACGCCTTTATAAGGGTGATCGATATGAGAAACAAAATCTGCTTTGATTGGCCCATCAAGTTGGAAATGCCAGCCCGCATCCATAATAACCTGGTTGAGGAGGTAGATCTTCGAGCTCTCCTTGAAGGCCGCGTTCGAGTTCATATCAAGTCTGAAGCTCGAGAGCCACTCAACCAGTGGCCATGCTCTTCGAGGATCTCTTGCCTGCATAATCATGTGCAAGAATGTGGTCCAGTATCCAGAGTTTTCAGGGTTCAGTCCTTCAGAGAAAACCCTCTGTAGGATTGGAAAGGCAAACTCCCAGATCTTCGTTCGTCTCTGGATGGAGGTGTCCATGACTGCAGTGATGAGGCCAGCCAGTATCTCAGCTGTGGCACGGTGTGAGTGCTTGTCACTACCATCAGCAAAGACCTCGGTCGTCAACTGTGTAATATCTTCAAACGTGGCTGTGGCTAGTTCGTCCCTTATTATGAGCTCGAAGGCGTAGGTTAGCATCATAGCACTAGCCATTCGGAATTTGTCCGCTGACTGATCCCTAGGCTCCTGTTTGAGATACTCGAAGAACGTTTTGAACCACTCCTTGGTCAGGATCTTGCCAATGACCGCACGCTTTCTCCATTCTAGCTCATCGTACTCAATATCATTTTTGATGTTCGCTTTGTAGCCTGGCATTGACTTACCCCACACCAGCCAACCAGGATAATCATGGTCAATATACACGTCGGCTTCGGCTTGTGCGAATTTCTGCAAGTACGTTTCTGTGAATGCAGTATCGCCCTTTTCAACAGGAATCTTGACCCTTGCAGGAAATCGCTGATGGCTTTGTATGTAGTTCGCATAGTCGTGGTTACATACAGCACGAACGTCGGTCATAGTGAAGAGTGCAATAAGTCCTTGACTATGAATGCCACGCAAGCCAGGATGTGAGTCTATAGTGCCTCTGGTAATCAGGTCGATCATACTATCAGACGCGATGTGGTGGAATCTCATTCCAAGGCTCATCACAATGGTCGCCACTCTTGATGCCTTTTTCCAGTGAGATTTTCGAGCAAGGTCAATCAATTCCTCGGCTAGGTCGGCTTTGCGTTGCTCGATACTAGTTCTCTTTCGAAGTATGAACTTCTTCTTTCTCGATATGATATTCTCCACATCCTGCGTAGGTGTGAGTGGTTCAACAGCAACCTTGTCGACAATGGCCATCCTATCGACTGGCCTGCCGTAGTCCATGATCTGGTACAGACCTCCACTACATAACTTCTGTATGGAAGGTTTGTCGACCGACGTTGCTTCGATGAAGGTTCGAATGACATCCGGTGTGTACTTCCAGTGTCTGCCAACAGTCTTGGCCAAACTGCCAAAAAGGAGCGCAAACAAGCCACCCTTAATGCGTGGATGGTCATTTTCTCGGACAGCTTTTTGGAATGCTTTAAGCAATGGGGCTATCACAAAGAGCCGTGCTCCAAAGACCACCTTCAGTGCCGACTCGCCAGCACTCTGAGCATTTCTCCTCACCTCGGTATACAGTGATGTTGATGAGTCGATAAGATCCATCAGAAGCTGCTCGTCGAGATCCGATCTAGGTCGAGGAGCAGCATTGTGTCGCAGTCTTTGTGTGTGATAGACATTAGCTCTCCTAACAAGCACGGCTCTTGGATAGTCTTTGCGTATGCCACTGACTTTGTAGGGCTGTTCATCAGCATGCAAAAGTCTTGTGACTCGATCAAGAACATGAGCAGATCGCTCGATGCCAACATCCACGAACCATGACCTATAGGCAGTATAGAGTGGACCGAACAGAGACACATCGTCCTCTCCTTCTGCTGTCAAGAACTTGTGCACTTTGTGTAAAACGTGTCCGATCTGCTGTCGTGTCTTGTGAATGGTTTTGTATAACTCATCGTCTTGGGTCAATGGATAACCGACTGGGTACTGGAACGAGGGCTTGATCGACGTTTCGTCCGTGCCGTCAAGTGCTGCATCGTTTTCTTCAAGAGCAGGACCATCCTCGGGCACGTGGCCGTTGGCTTGGTTCATGGCAGTATCTGCATCCACGCCAGCAACTGTTGTAGTCAGACCTTCGTTGACACCATTCGCGTCGAACAGAACTGAAACGCCTGCCAACATCAATCTCAGAAGGACCAGGTTTCTTGAGACCTCATCCTGCCAGTCTTTGCCACTCCCGTCCCGCTTCACGCTCGCGGTGCCGTCGATGAGCCCCGTCAGTTGCTCCATGGCAGTCCGGGACTGATTTTCAAACAGCTCAATGGCAAATTGTAGCTCTTCTTTACTCGGCACGTGCCACTTTGGACGCACTGTTTGAGGAGGCTCTGAGAGACCCCATAGAGCTGCAGTCACACCATTCTGCAACTTGTCTTGTTCGTACAGAGCATAATCGGCCGTGAAGATGACACTCAAGTTGAGCAATAGATGGTGCACGAAGTTTGATATGTGCACGGTCGGCATACCTTTGCAATTTTTCTGCATGTAGACAGCTATGTTGTATAATTCCTGTTTGTGTTTCAAGACTGCATCGCCAACATGTACAACGCACATGCTGAGCATGCTGACATTCCACACTAGACCACGATCTCTGGGAAGAACGTCCGACGCAGCGCTTCTTGTAGAGCCGGCGCCATATTCGTCAATCTCAGTACGTATAGCTCCAATCAGCACAGGTACGAATTTGGCAAGTGCCTTTTCCGGGTTCACCTTGCATAGGCAATTGCAGATGAAAGCCATGGCGTCTCTTGCTTGATGGATGACGTGGTTGGCCACAAAGTCGACGATCTTGTTGAGCACCATGTCGTAGAGCTCTTCAGAGAGAGACGATAGCAAAGGCATGAAAGCCGCAGGCAGAGTGTTGACAATGTTCTCTTCTGGCGACCCAGTGCGAAGGCGTGTGACATCTGGCAAATTTTCGAGCAGAGTAAAGACTCGTCCTAGAAAGGATGTGACAAACTCGGCGAAGCCAGCCGTGGACGATGCGAGAATCATTTCTTCTTCTCTTTCGTCGAGTTCGGAATAGTTGAGCTGCACGTTCGCACCTTCGGTCTCCATCTTCTCCATCTCGCCTGTAATCCACTGCATAGCAAGCATGTTGCCTTCTACATCGTCCCGTCCTCTGGAAAGATCTTGAAAAGGTATGTTGTAGCACACGTTCTGGAAGAATGACAATGTGTAAAGAGTCTTTTCCAGATCATTGGCGTCGATACCAGGTAGGGCAAGACCGAGCAGAGCGGTGACATGACATCGGTAGCCTTTGGATCGGATGATAGTACGAGCTAAGACTTGCAGAGATCGGAGCGATGATACCGTCCGGTGTACTTCAACCAGACCCTGCATTGAAGGGTAGATGCGCTGTAGAGCACCAGGAAGTATCAGGTCAGGTTCGAGGTAAGCCAAGGCTTGGAGTGTAGACAAGGAATAGCTCATGGCAGTGCCACTTTTAGCATAGATACCCATGAAAATGACGTCTTTCAGGCACAGGACGAAGCGTCGTCGAATGGCAGGCGTCAGACGTCGTTCTGCAGGCACACCCATCTCCCCGTTCTGCTCCCTGTTCCAGCGCATGACAAAGAAGTCAGCCAGATAAAAGACCAATTGAGCCAATGTCCTGGTCCACGACCCTGAGTTGGAGGGATGGAAGAAAGTTTCGATAGCTTGAATCAAGCTTTCCAGAAGGGTGAGGATGGATGTTTCGCTCTCAAGAGATGCTGGTGATAGAGACATTACAATCCATCTGGCAACGTGATGTGAGACTGGATGCTTTCTCGAATCTCTTTCCAAGAGCATACCCATGCCTGCGGCGAGATCCACTAAAGGACTGTATGGCGAGGTTGACTGGCCGACAGGTATCTCGAGGAGGCGCAGAATGGCAGTGAATATGAGGGTGGACTGCTCAGCCGTGAAGACTCCAAATTCTCCAAAATCTACATGTGCAACTGGTAGGGACTCTCGAGCTATGCGGGAGAAGACATCGAGGAAAGATACATCGACGCTGCGGGATCTGTTCATTAGTGACCAGAGGTGAAAGTATGTGGGTAAGATTTTCGAGGTTGCTAGGTCCTGCCGCTCCTTGGGTGCTGGAGCTGTAGGTATCATGAGGTTCAGTAAACCGACAACGACGAATGCACTCTCAACAAACGACATTGTAAAATGTGGCAAGAACTCTTCAAGCATTGCTGGAACCTCCTCGGGGTCGAAGTATAGCTGGGCGAAGGAGCATAACTTGGTCAAGGTCTTCGGGTTCCTCTTAAGATTGGTAGTCTGTACCAAACCTGACTCTCCCGGCAACACGAACAGCTTCAGCTCGCGAAAAAGCGGCCGCCAGTCCAAGATGAGCTCTTTGCGAGGCTTTAGGTAATGTTTCTTTCTGGAACGACTCAGTATTGGATCTATGGTGCTAGGTCGTCTTGCCACTTACTTGGTCAACATCATAAACATACTTGCGAAGCGCTCAGCAACGCTGGGCTCAATGCCCGGGGCCAGGGCCAGCTCATAGTAGAGCTTGACTAGCTTTGTTCTTTGCTCTTTCGTTGGATCGAATTTCAAGGACAACCAGCTGCGCAGTTCTCGAGTCCAATGTACGGCTCCTGGAGTGAAGTCGCCAGCCTCGACGGCGATATACAGGTATTTCAATATCTCTGCAAAGTCATTCTGCCTTCTCTGATCTGTTTCTACCTCGTAAGGTAGGGTAGTGAAGTAAGGGTATGTTCGTGGGCGATTGCGATGTACTTGGGCCTCGGCTGAACCTACACCATTCTGCTCGAGGACGGTACCACCAGGAGATGTAGCCCTCGATACATCGTCTATTGCTGCTCCGGAGCCGTTGTGGTTTGTGTCTATGGAGAACCCCATGCGTCTAGAGCTATTCATAATCGAGTCGTTCTGGTCGTGGGTGTCATCAAGTGTGAGGGAGGCGTAAAGAAAGGATTGTCTTGGAGGTTGAGGAAAGACCTAGCAAGAGAAAGTTCTTGTCAACAGGCAAATGTTTGGTGGCGCGTTTTGCAACCTGTGTTCATTCCCTACTGGAGGTGCACTTTGGAACTTTGGAGAGCAGCTTAGCAAGCTCCTAGCAGCCTTGTGACAATTCGCGAAAGCAGATGCGTCAGAAATGGTGCCTAACCAGCAGATGCTTAAACTCTACTATCACTAGACATGTTCATGGATATTTAGGAATGGCAAAAAACACGACTTTGCACAGTCTAGTGAAGATAGATCTCGTGCGTAATCAATTAAGCTTGTGGTCGCGTGCAAAGGCAAGCACGACTCGAACACACCTGCACCTGCTACAAACTGGTGTCGGAGATGTCATAGGTATTATTCAGGCAACTATGCCGATAGACCGCCTAATCCTGCCTGATTGATTCGCTGCTCGATCCCTCGAGTAGCCGTGGTACTGTAGGCACTGTGACAGCCCGACACTAACACTGTTCATACACAAAGAACTCCTTCTGATCAAGCTGGTGGCAGAAAGCTCGCAAACAGTCCTGTCTGTATCGTTGCATACACTACACAGAAAGTGACAGCCACCTTTGCATATCCAGCTCTTTTGCAAATCTTCTGCGCCAGCCAAATACAAAGCCATGGATATCCTGATGACAAACGATTGATTATCTGCACATGGTAATGAGTGATGGCAAGAATGGCAAGCATGAATTGTGGTGCGGCAAGTCGGTCCAGTAGCAGATTAGGCATTCCTGGCTTGGCGTAGACCGTGCTTGACATGAAAGCGTCGATGCTCGAAAGCAGCATTACGGTAAGCACGGGTATTGCGAGCAGGAACAACGGCAGATTCGAGATTGTCCAATAACGCAGGAATCCGACGCCCCTAAAGCAATTAGCCATGATCCGTGAATTAAGGTACTGTCTTACCAGTAATGAGTCTGAACGAAGCTGTAGATCAACGGCAGCCGCTGCTGGCACCAAGGTCTTGCACTGCTGTTGTTCTCACAGTACTCCTTCCAGGCCAGATATTGAGGCAGTAACAGACCTGCTCCAATGCAACATCCTGCTATTATGGTCGATGTGAGCAGCGCTGAACGTCTGGCAGGTATTGAGCCTCGTCGCAAATCCATCAGCACTTTTCGAGTCAGAAAAAGAGCGTCGATCAGGAAAGGAAGGCCGGAAAGAACACCATTGCTTCGGATAACTGTCGCGCACCCGAATGTAAAGCCAGCGACGATTATCAGACAGAGCTGCACCAGCAGGCGGTGTTCCGAGAGGTCGTGATGAGCTATCGTGTAGAGCCAGAAGCCAAGCATATTCAGACAGGCGAAAAGACTTTCGGTATATGGCGCCGATAGAAAGACCCCCGCTGGTGAAATGATGTGTAGGCAGGCAGCAATGAATGGCAGTGGTTCAGATAACCTTGCCCTACCTTGAATACCCGTATTGAGCAGACTTGCAATCTTCCACAGGATTATTACAGCCGTGTAGTGAGCAATATGAGAAAGCAGTATACCAGCTGTAATGGTCGTATCGAGACTATGTCCTGAGGTGAAGCCCAGCAATGTAGAGAGACCTTTTCCAAAGGCCCATTCCTGCTCGAAGATATCACCGTGTCTAGCCTTTTCGACGAAATAGATTGCATCCCATCGAGTGAGCTTGCTTGTTGAAGGTAGGAGAAGCGTTGAGGTGTCATAACCATCGCCAGGCGCGCATCGTGCCAGAAGAAGGATCAGACTTTTCCATGTCACAAACGCGACAGCAAGGTATATGAAATCTCGCATGGACTGTAATTGTTGGCGAGCCGGTCGCCATGATGATCTCGACTCTTCGACAATATTGAAAGAAACATTTTTATTTCCGGGTCGATGAAGGTGTCCGATGTGTAGACGACAATGACCTCACTTAGTGCTCAGTATGGCACCATCTGGCGGCCACTTCCAATTCAGCATCTATATACACAACAGCATTCCACAACGAAGCTGTCAAATTGATAATGTTTGCCCATTCACTTTCTATGAAAAATCGGACTATGAAGGGTATATCTTGTATATGTGCTAAAATAGTCATCATGCCGCCTGAATGCCTCGCAGCGAGCTTCCACAGCCACCCTCTTGATGTGATGCATTTCATAGACACGACGTGATCACAAAATTAGTCGTATCGTCTCTCTGGTTTCTATTTTGTTTGACTCAGGCGTTCTTGCAGACGTGTAGACAGCACATTCGCAGACCGTATCTCTCCAGCGTGGTCGCTGTGTACTCGGAGGACATCGAATGGTCTACTCTTTCTGAAGCAACGCACTATTTCCCACGTTTCCGCCTGTTCAGAGTTCAACACTACGGCCATGATCGGCGATCTGAACCAGGATCTGTCGGCAAACTTCTTGTGCAATTTCCGCTGTTTGAACATCCACTGGCACTGCACGTGCTTGATTCGTGACACGCTGCTGTTGGCTGATGTTTGACTTCATACGTTCTGTTCTCGTAGATTCCTGCTCTCTTTCCACCTGGATTGATGTAGATATCCTCAAATATCGCCGCTAGTGTTTGTGTGGCTAGTTGGTGTCTCTCGATGAGCAGCACAGTTGTACTGGGTAACTGACAACGGCGTCGTTGCCCGGTAGTACTATTACCTGGGATATAGCCTGTGATGCTCAATTGTGTGCCCTTCGTGAATCGGTTGCCCAGCTTCTATGAGAATTTTCATTTCTCGTTTCAAGGTAGGCTTGCTCTGAACAAGAAAATGTTTATGGCTATATGTCTGGTCAGTAGCAGTCTTTACCCGATCACTACTTCTCACAGGAAACTCCCAATTATTGTCGCTGCCATCACCCATATTTCCAAGCTCGATCGAAGTGCTTGATGTCGAACCATAACACAACAAAACCACTCCAATACGCCCACAGACTTTGAGCGAGGAAACGTTCGACTCGAAGTGATGGCTATTGCTTGTCACAGAAAGGATACAACGTCGAGCAGTGCGCACTGTTAATAAAGGGTCATTGACATCAAGGCGAGGACATGGCTCCGTGCTGTCGACGTTGCCTGCGGAAGGCGGGTCACGTCTAATGTTTGTATCGGCAGTTGGGACTATGCTCAGCAAATTCGGAGGAAGGTGCAAATAAGAGAATCTGGTTGCATAATGCTACTGCGTGCAGAGTATGTACTCAGCTTGAGGAACTAACGGTAAAGCGAATGAGGCAGAACAAGCAAGTGCTATTGAAGGCAGCTCCGGACCTGCATAGCCCTGGAGAAGTGGTCAACACAGAAGCACCTTCGACCATGACTACATGCCGTCTGCCTCGAACACGACGACGTACAGATGCATCGATTGAGCCTGTCAGCACACACCGTTTACAGAGGATGCGCTGTCGGTCTCTACAGCTGGCCATGGCGAACCCTGAGCATGACGAAGTCTCACGAAGGGAAGCCTCAGGTACGCAGCGCGGAAACCTATCTACAATAGGAGCTACTCATCCAACAACTCTGCCCTCAAGTCGCTGAGGAGAACAGCATACTTGCATTGTTCTTGCGGTCATTCCCCAACCCGGCGCAAGCATTACCTCTCCAAGGAAAGAGCGAGCAATTCGCCTGGTGACCATGCCCTCTTGAGCCATGGTTTGAACTTCATTATCGTTGCTCCACCACAGCTATGTCTTCTGCTCTTTCTCTCCAAACGAAGTTTTCCTTCTTCTCTTTCCTCGCGGTCCGCTGCTTGTGTTAGTTGACTCTATTTTGTGATAGACTCTGTCTTGAAACAGGATATTGGATATCAACACTTCTAGCTGTGAGTATTCTCCCTCCATCTGCACTCTCATTCTTCCCTCTGGATTCCATCTCGTCGTCGCTGGCCTCAAAACTGCGGTGAAAGAATTTTCCTGCAGCAAAAATGACCAAAATCCTGCACAAACACATCACAACACGCACTGCAAGCACATCAAGCCTCATATTTGCATCTCCAGAGCATATTCTCGAGAGAATGCTAGCTCCCAATCAGTTTACTGTCCCTGTACCTCATCGCCACCTCACCCTCACTGAAGCTCACTCTGCACGCATATCCTCCAGGCTATTTCGCAACGCTAACTGCTTCCTAGATTCTCATACTGAGGTTAGTCAGATAACTTTTGTTACGCTGACGTTATAGTAGGTAGAGATGGCTCTATCGAAGAAGCTTGCTTCTTCATCTATGTTATCTGAGGTAAGTTTCATTCCAAGCGCACCTGCAACTCCAACATCTTTCTTCTGAACCTCAGATGATCGTTACTGACATGCAATCTCTAGGGCAGTCTTGCTGAAAGACGTCTGAGGCGGGAGGCTCGGTTTCGACCGTGGCTAACTGCCTCAGCGTCTGGAAGCACCAAGAAGGCTGCATCCTCCACGACTGCCCCTGCCTCCGGAAGCACCACGGCAAGACCCGCTGTGGCTGTAACTGAGAAGAGAGTGGTTGGTGTCGTGTCCGTTACACCTCCTCCTCCCTCGCTTGTGCAAGTGACAAAGGCTGCTAAGGCTTTTGCTGGCTACAATCGGGATGCTGCTTTCGCTTGCGGAAGCCGGCTCCCACGACTTGCCGCAAAACCTTGCACCTCTGTCTCGGCCCGGGCAGGTGAGACAGGAAGAAGGGAAGAAAAAGCCAGTGGTGTAACTGGTGAGGTCAAATCGCGCCCGTCTCCATATGTCCCTTCGAAGGAACAGGCATGTGAGAAACGGACTGTTGCTGCTCCTGCTGCGAAGCCCCATGGCTAGGTGCCTGGTGGTCTCCGCAGTAAGACTGCACAGTTACGCCGCACTGCGCCATCCAAGAAGGTGGAGCGGGTCGTGGTGATATCTCGGAGCTGTCTCAAAACAGCTTCTGTACCTCCTGGCGCAAGAAAGCAGGTCACCTGGAACGACGACCATAATGCGTTCTACAGCACCTACGGTCGCAGCGAGTACCCTTCTTCGGAAAGGCACCTCTCGCTGCGATGCTGTGGTGCAATGCAGTCGCATGAGGATTGGTGTCGGTCCATGGCGGCCTCAGTTCGGGAAGGCTATGCCGACCGGAAGGTGATTCACCCAAGTGCCAGGGGAGGTGTGTGTCAGCCGTGGCATGATCGTTGCGAGACGCCATGCGACGGTAGATCAGCTTGTGATAGGCCGATCGCTGATGAGCACAATCTTATCACACTCGTGAACGAGCAGTTTGACCGCGTTCATGGAGTCATATCAGGTCACAGCCTTTGATGAATGTGTGTGACCACACCAAAGGTTCCCCTCCCCCGTCACATTTTGACTCGAGACCAGCTGTGATGTGAGCTCCGGAAAGCAACTGATGTCATGGTAGAGGTGATTGGTCTATCAGTGGGTTTGGGCGAGTCGGAGCTCGAGGTTGAGAGGCCAATTCCTCAAGAGGCTGTTGCCGAGCATCCAAGAAGGCTTACACGCATGACTGAGGGGTCCCTCATTCTTCCTCTCCTTAACAGGGGAGTGTTTGAATGTGCTCAATCAACCTACTTGCTTTCTACAACACTTTGAGGTTGCCATCGTGCACCTCATTGTCAGATCAGATTCCGGCGACCTCTTGTTGTCGTTCTGCTTACTTCGGGCGTTTGATCGGCTTATTCCCTACCGGAATCAGACGTCCTTTGATCATTGATCAAGGCAGATACATTACTTTTTCATCAATTGTGCTTGCCTTGAGCAAGTCGTTGCGGAAGAAGTGTGATCGTCGTTGGCAATTCTGCTCTGTATAACGCCGCAGGGAAGTTAGGGACATGGGTCGGGGTGTAAGCCGCCTATAACGTCAGCTAGGCATGCCTAGAATATGTTCTTATTGGCACCTCAAGGCACTGCCACTCTTCAACAATAGTAGTACTGTATCTCATCGTCGTCTTGACATCACCCGCCTGCGCTCAATTGCAAGACTGCCACAAGAATACATAGGAACAGACAACAAATCCAAACCGTACTCATCACCTACACACAAACGACTGCTCATAGATCATTTAACTTCGCACATCTAGTTATCATTATAATCAAAATCGTAGTGATCAAACACTCTCCTTGAAAATCTCATGCTCCTCCCGTCCCATCCTGCCAACACACACCTTCGCACTCTCCAATATCCTCTCCGGAATACTCGCTCCGTCCTGCTTTTTGGCTCTCACAGTCTGAAATCCATACGTCGCCTCAATCTCAAACCCCTTGATCGCCCACCAAATTCCCAATATCTGATCCGGAGAAAGAGGAATCATGTTCGGAATACTCCACATGAATGTATAGCTTGTGTGTCCCTTGCCGTGTTTCACGGGACTTGCGATGTCGGGAGAATGTGCGTTGGGAATGGTGTGGATTGTATCTGCGTGGAAGAGGCTTGGGACTCGCGTGTGTGGTGGTGTTGTGTGGAGGGCCATGGAGCCTGGGAAGTGGCCTCCTGCGATTATGGCGGTGATTCCTGGGACGATGGTGTTGTGTTTTTCGTGGAGGAGGTGGATGTTGTTGTCGTTGTCACAGCGATTAAGCCAGGATTGGTCAGGTGCTGCGACGTATACGGGGATGTTGTTAAACGTAGCGCTCCAGTCCGCCCAGGTCGTGTAGAAGTGTGGATGGGAGATTATGATGGCGGAGAGACCACCGAAACTGTTGTTGATGTGCTCGACTGCTTGTTCTTCGAGGTAGGAGACGAGATCCCATAGGATGTTGCCGTGGGATGTACGGATGAGGAGTGCGCGTTGTCCGATGCCTATGTCTGCTGGTTGAATTCTGATTGAGATTATGTTCGGATCGACTTCGTCTTGCTCGAATTGAAGATGGTGGCCCTCGGAGCGAAGGTTGGCGAGAGTGGTGAATTTCTGTCCTCCTGGAGGCACGAATTGTCTGGGGTCGTCGCAGATACCACAGGAAGTTAGGCCTGAGCTCTCTGCGTATTGTGTTCCACAGGCTCGACAGATCAGTAAATCCTCAGATATGGTCAATTTACCTAGTTGGTTTGTGCCGGTGTGAATCAGCTGAGACATGATTTGTGCTTGATGTTGCTATTTCCTGTCGCTGACTTTGAGCTTTGCTATGTTAGTATGTGGTTATCAAACGGATATCGTTGTGACGGTTATGTGAGAGGTAGCGTAGACAAGTTAAGCACAATGCAGCACAACAGGATTGGCGAGATCACTTCATCTCGAATTGGAATCTTGAGCCATGGCTGCAAACATGATTTGGTTGTCGATATACCCGGTATACCATGGAGAAGAAGCGAAATAAACCAATTTCTAATGTTGATAGCCACTTTGAGGTAAAACTTTAGCTCCGTGTATTGTACTGTAGGCCATGCTGGAGTTTCGAGACGTCGGCGGTGCTTGTGAGACGGCCTTGATTATGCTGTTCAACCAAACATTTATAGGTTGAATATGCAGCCAGTGCTAAGGCCATTACTGAGTATATGTACTGAAGTGAACTACTATAATATGTAATATGAATAGAAAGCCTGTTCCGCCATAGAAGAATGTTTGTCCATAGCTCCTCACGTTTTGAAGCAGCTCGTGAAACCGTCCAAGCATAGGCCAACCGTCGATGGATCCTATCCAGCCAACCTGACCTCACCTCCTTCAGCTTCAGCTTCCCACTTTTGCCTGGCAACCAGTCTCTCAAGCTCAATGTTCAGGTTCAACACCCAAAGATTCCTTTCAGCACGAGATCTGCACTTGAACACTATGCCACGTCCAGGCACACCAAGCTGTTTGACCCTCTTCAGCTTAGCTCGCTGCTTGCCTAGGCTGCTCTCATTATTGGCAGTATTGGTGTCGTCAGTGGCATTTGAAGGGTTGTTCTCTCTGCCAAATATCGTGTTACCCGCAGTTCTGAACCAACCCTTCCGGGTGTTCATCCAGACCACGAAACAGCACATCACATCAACGTCTGTACTGGTCCAGCCGTCTTCAGTCCAGACTCTAGGCAACGAAGCCATAGTCCCAATGTGATTGGCATCGAATGTCCGGTTTTGGTAGAGCAAGTCATCGTCTACTATCAAGCCGCTGTAGATGTAACAGCCCCGCAGATCGATTGCCTCCTGCTTTTCTTGATGTATGTTCGGCACCTGCTTGCCGGACGATGTGCGTAGAGTTGATTGATATATCAGCATCTTGCCACCTGCCAACACTACACCACATCTTTGAAAAGTGCCATGCCGACGAGCTTTGCGGTAGAGAAGGCCAGACAGGGAGATTGTACGACAGTTCGAAATGGAGCAGATATTGTACAATTGTGGTGAAGCTTCGGAACGAGTGACCTCCCATTTGTGTCCGAATTGACCCAGTTCAGCTTCCACATCCTCGTCTATCTTAAGAGTGGTCAGATTTGTAGCTCTGACCTGTTTGAAGGTGTTCATGTCTGCTGTTTTGCGGATTTTCCAGTACTTGACTAACTGCTTAAGTCGTCGAATCCATTCATCACGCGTCCGGTTGTCGTAAGCCTGGAGACGGATCACAAGGCTATTATCAAGGATGAGTTCGAATATTCGGTTGTCGTCTATGTTCGAAGTGGCACCATCAGGAGTGACTGTATCTGGTACTGACTCATGAAAGTCGACGTCAGGGCCTGAATCGATTGTATCGTCTACTTCGTCGGTACCCCATCGCATCTGGCGAACCGTCCTGATACGAGTCATATTGATATAGCCATCAGAAGAGTCAAGGTTGGCATGATTCCGGCGAGCTTCTTCAAGAGCTTCTCTGTCATGACGTTGTACGCTATCTGGGATACCGGAAGCAAGCCATTCAACTTCTGTTTGTGAGGTGTTGAGAGGATATGGATCAATATCGAACATGATCGGTGTCTTTTCGACGATCTCTCGTGCTGAAGGTACATCAGCGCCACTTGTAGTCTGCAGCCTTGGTGGATGTGGTGGTGTCGCTTGGGCTGGACGACTGAATATTAGAAACTGATCATGAGTAGAGAAGTACAATCTTTTGAAGAAAGTCTTCCCAAGACGCTTGTGAATACCCTTCTGTGAGGTCATCCGTATCAAGAACCCCTCGATTGGTGCAGGCTCCTCGTGCTCCCTGCCATTATTGCCTGTGGCAGTTTGAGGATAATGTACTTTAGGTCGCAGTTCGAGCTCATAAGAATGCTGCATTGCCATAGAGCCGTACATCTTTTGTTCATTTACGCCATGTATCCATTCAAGCCGATCATACCTTTTCCATGCCAGCCCAGGTTTCGAGGTAGCTGACCACTTTTGGACAATGTCTGACCACTCGGGATTTTTGCGAAGCATATCTGTACACTGGTTGACGATCCTGCCGGCAATGGCTTGTTCTGCTTCCTCAGCCTTTGCCAGAGCTGTCTCTTCGTCTTGAGCGTCTCGAGCGTCTCGACCGGCTTTGACGAGGTCGTCGAAAGGCTTCTCGATCTGCAGTGTAACGTCCAAACCTGGGACCGAGACTTGCAAAGTGTCGGGCCGTTTCCAGCCAAGCGCGTCTCTGAGGAAAGTGTACCATTCGACAGAAGTAGCGGCCGACTCACATTTCATGACTGTGATCCTAGTGCCTTTTCTACAAGGATGCCATACAACCAAGGATTTGTCTAGAGAGGAGAACAGATTGACATGAGTCGATTTGCGGATGAGCTTGATCTCCCGCGTAGGCTTCTTCTTGCCTGAATTGTCATCGATTTCAGGAATGACCCGAGTCTTGTAGAATTGCAGGCGAAAGTCCTCTTCGTCGTCTCTTCGACTCTTTCTTGCCACCACCATGAATTCCCTCCACTTTTCTACTACTTTAGTCGCCATCCTCATGCTATCGTTCTCATCGTATTCAGCAGGCACCTGTTGTAAGGTCGTGTCGACTCTGACGAGCATTTTTTCCATTTTCACAATGATACCTTCCTGGAGGGTCTGTCTTCGTGCAATTCTGCGTCCGACCTTATTTTTCGCGTTGTCTGCTCTTTTGCCAACCCGTCTTCCTCTATCTGCCACGGCTTCACCAACCCTGAAACGCACTCCTGCTGATCGATCCTTCTGAAGGTGGTGCTCGTCGGATTTTTGAGTGACAGGACGCGGGTCGTGCTTGTCGAGCGCGTTTTTATCTTTTCTTGAAGGTGATGGCTCGTCTTCCGGCTTAGCAGGAGCGAGCAAAGCCGTCCTACTACCGGCTTCAATGCTGTCCTGCCGGGCAGTCAACCCATATTGGCGGAAGGAAGAACCGCCAGTGACTGAGGCAGATGTCCGTAGCGTGTCTGAGAAGTTGGCATCTGTGCTAGGTCGGGTTGCTAAATCTGATTCAGGTGGTATTTCTTGTATGTCTATGCCTGATTCACCTTCTCTTCTGACTTGCGGAGATGGCGCAGGTGTAACGAAGACATCTTCCTGCAACGAGCCAGCAGAGGCGCCATCAAGATTGTGCAAGGCAGGTGGTCTCGAAGGATCCAGTGGAGTTTCTGGCAATTGGGATTCTGTTTCCCCATCACTGAACGCGTTCTGGTCGAGAGTTGACACTGGCTCCATCTCGACTGTATCTTCCAGGCCATACTCGTCATCTTCCTGAGCAGAATCTATCCCATCGCCTCTTTCACTTCTTGAGTCCTCAACATCCTCCGGTTGTGGAAAGCTTATACTCAAACGTGCGGCTGCTGAGCGATCTAATCCAGTCCTGCTTCTTTGGTGATGTGCCTGACCCGCAGCAGCATGGAAAGTTGCAGCCTTGGAAGAATAAGAGTTCAGCTCGAGCCTCCTCTTATACCATGACTTGCGGTTGCTGCTCAGCCATCCTTCTGGTATTGGACCAATAAAGAAGCGGCGGGTCGTGAGGTGTAGATGCTCTGGGGTTGCATGCTTCAGCTTGTGAGCAGTATACGAGTTCGCATCAAGGCCAGAAATACCATGAGAGGAGGCGTTCGTTCCCACTGGAAATAGTGCTGCATCCATAGCTGCAGTCAGGAGCTGCCAATATCACGTAGAGCTCATATTGTGTCTAGCCGTCGATGACTCCTGTGTCTTGACATACTAGTATCGTCTGCTCGCCTAGCGTCCCACGGAATGAGTATTCTGTCGTTGTCCTGTACGTGGAAGTTTGGACAGGCAATTCAAAAGTGACTATCTTACTGCCTGCGCCATTGTTTCCACCTGCCGACTCGAGTTCTTTCGGCGATGACGTCTAGGCCTTCAAGGCACTTCGCTTGGGATTTTGGGTGTGAGAACAGAACGGCACTTGCCTATTGAAGCCTAGATGTTCGGGTAGAACCCACCCTTATGCACCTGCTGCAGCGTGGGGATGGCCCCTCACCGCATCGTGGTATCAACAAAGAAAGTGTCCTCACGTCTACCCTCGCGATACAACCACTATTTCAGTGCACACCACGGATCATATAGCCACAAGAAATCGACTTTCACAATGTCTCAGATACCCGCCGGCAAGACATGGTTCGAAACCTTGAAGAAGTCCTTCGCAGATGTCCCAGTCACAAACCAAGCCATTGAAACTTCATCCTTCCTCGAAGCCGCAGAAGCAACAACAACGCTATTCGGTACCATTTCCCCTCGACTCTGTGAAGCATTAAAGTCTAACCTGTACAGACATTCTGGGCTCGGTAGCCTTCACCCCTGTCAAGAACGATATGCTCGGAAACATCAAGAAAGTACGAGATAGACAATTAGCATCCCCTGGCACCTCCGAAGACCTCCAAAGCCTTTGCAAATCAGAAATAGCCACCAAGTCTCACAAAGCCACCGAAGGCCTACTCTGGCTTGTCAGAGGTCTTGACTTCACAGCCCAAGCACTGCGAAACGATCTCACAAACAATGCCGGTGTCAGCATAACAGAAGCAAAGCCTAAGAAAGAGTTAGCCGACAGCTTTCGAGACTCGTATAAGAACACACTTGCACCACATCATAGTTTCCTGATCAAGCCCTTGTTCAACGCGGCCATGAGTGCCACCCCATACAGGAAAGATCTCTATGCTAAGATGTTGGGTGAGGGAGCTTCAGCAGATCAGTTGTCCACCGAGTTTGAGAAGTGGCTGTCTGCGCTGGAGTCTCAAGTGTCTATTCTCAAGACGTTCCTGGCAAGCAAGGAGGCAAAGTGGTAGGGCTTCCCGCTGTTGCCGGAAGCGTACGTCCAGCTCTAGATTGGACAAGAGCTGTGCATGACGGTGGCCGATGAGCCGGAGAGACAATATTGGGAGATAGTATCAAAAAGCACATCCTAGAGGCCGCCACAAGTATGGGAGGAAGTGGTCTGCCACGCGTCGACAGGGAATTTTGGTGGCTTTCCTAATACTCTGATTCCCCACTGATGTCCTCTCCGAAAACACCATGTGAATCTGTGGATTCAATGCAAGCCATTAGAACCTAGGAGGTAGCGGAATATCGACACGTCCTCTGTATTGATATACACAAGTTCCAGGTAGGACTAGGTAGCAGTCTTGAAAAGGTCTTCGGGCAACTCTCCAGGATCACGTCTCTGCTTCATCGGTCTCGCCGCAAGAATCGCTTTCTGACCCAGTAAATGCTCAAGCTCACGAACGATGATACGCCCACGCTCCTTCGTCTCAGGATCAGGGTTTGTCCGACCAACAATCACAGCGTGCACGAAAAAGTCATACATTTGCGCACGATACTGCTCGTCCTTTGTGAATCTGTCCTCGATCTCTCGTTGGCGTTCCCGCACCCACCGAAGTGTCTTCTCCCCAAGATCACCCTCGAATGGCTTGAATTTCTCGGCATGGTTCGGATCAACAGCAGCGACTTCAACAGCTTGCTCATTGACTCTGTTTTGAGTCTTTGCAGGCCATGTAGCGTTCCATTTGTCCACGCCCTTGATGCCGAAAATATTCCACCAGGGTGACCACATAGCCACCACTCTACCTTTGATCAGTGGTCTAGCTATAGGTCCGAAATAGTTGGAGTCGACGCTCTTCTTGCGGTCATTGGCGTCACCTTCCACCCAGACATGGTTGTACGGAATGACAACAGGCTCTTCACCACCCGGGTATCCTTTCATAGGAACAATAGTATCCCCTGCAACCGCGACTATCCTCTTGACTGCCACCTTGTCAGGATCGTGAGGTGTATCGTAGACCACGATGTCACCACGTCCCCAGCGCGACGAAGCAGTTTTGCTTCCCTTCTGCGATAACTGTTGCTTCCTAACCTCGCGTATGGCGTTAGTGTCCCATCTCCTCACAAGTACCCACGTAGGACTGTAGGCTGCATCGCTGTCGGATTCGCAATCTGCATTGATGGTGGGCTTCATGCTCGGTCCAGTGACTCGTCGTGGCTCATACGGGAAATGAAGCAGAACAAACGCTGATATGGGCACTGTCATCGCAAATGCAGCGATCGAGTTGCGTAGGAAGGGCCGTTCGCGAAGCCATGCTGGCATAAATCGTCTGAACTGGTCCTGCTGGCGTGTATGGGATGTATCTTCGGGATTCGGCTGCGACTTAGACGCATTCTCGCCTTCTTTGCTAGACTGCTGTTTGGGTGATTGTTGTGAGCGCACTCTTTTTAGGAAGTTGGCTTTGGGTGGTTTGGGCGTCGAGAGCGAAGCATATTGTCTAATGTGGAAGGCCAGCAACCGTAGTCGAGCTTGTAGTAGAAGGCTCTCGGATGCGGGAGGCATTGATCAGATGTACACTGGGGATCAAGTGGATGTGGGTGCTACCGATGCATTGTGGTCGTAATGAGGTCAAGCCTGTTGGCTATAGATCGACCTGTGCACAGTGTCCAGTATACACAGAAGATAGTTTGGTATATCTCGATCGAAAACAAGGCTAATCCGTGGTACGAACCACAACGTCGATGCTGACTGCTCCAACTGTCGGATCTATTTCTCAGGCACCAAAGTTGAACTTGAGTGGTGCTTACTCGCTCAAATGAGGCAGCTTTTGTCTTGCCTCTAAGGCCATATGATCACTCTGTACAAGGGATACTGTCAAGAAGTACGACTTCAAATATGAGAACCCTACATCTCAACAGCGCCGGCAGTGGAGATGGAGCCTCTATAACGTCGATGCAACCGCCAAATCTGGCTCGCTTGCCAAATGAGCTACTGAACCAGATCTTCACTTTCCTGGATAGAGAGGCACCATCCTGTTTGAACTTATTACAGCATCCTGTCGCCTCATGGACAGTGTCTGACCACAGAAGCCTCAAGGCTATATCGGAAACTTGTCACAGCTTACGCTGTGCAGTTCTGCCTCGTCTATTCAGACATACAATCTTTGACCCTCTCCATCTAACCGCATTTCTCGAATTCGTCCACCAAGCTAATTTAATAGGGACCATCGAAACCGTTGTGGCGGTTTTACACGAGCCATGTTACAAGTACTACCACCCAGCTTGGTGGTGTCGACTGCACAATGAGATCCGTCCAAGTCGACTCACGATAGCGTGTGATCCACAAGTATACTCTCAGCTTGCTCAGATACCCATGGAAATGACCGATGCATGGGCTTTCAAAATGTCATATCAGCTTCTCGAACTATCACAGTCCGCAGCCGTCGCGCAAACAGACATTGACTATTTCGAAGATCATCCTCTGCCCAGTATCTTAGGCGCAAAGCCTTGGTCCAGCATGAGGGTAAACGAAGGCAGCAACCTCGCCGCATACACCAAGTACGAGTATTTCCTCAAGAAACCACCCTCTCTCATGTCGAACGTGCAAACATTCCTGAATGTCGTCCCCGCCAACGCAAACCCCGAGCTCATGCACAAAGCTTTCGGCGTCTCAGCTCCATGCATCACTTCCATTCACGACGTACTCAGCCAGCTGGAGGAATTTTCCTACGTCGCAATCTTCCCCTTCTATAACCACGTCGACCAGATTCTCAAATGTATCCGAAGAATGACCGCTCTCAAGAAACTCTTTGTAAAGCTCTGTCCTGAGCCTGAAAGCACTGTGCTCGACGATGAGATCAAAGCTGCAGAAGGTCATTTTGATATCAATGATCCTTGGAACGAGTAAGCAGTTTTCTATCTACTAAGCACAGTCTCCTGAGAATCTTTGCTTACTACCCTCATTTTAGAATGAGCGTCGCGTATACCCTCGTCGCTCATACGGTACGTTATCTTGGGATTGAGGGCAAACTCGAGTGTCTCATAGTAGACGACTTCAAAGTGGAGGCAGTCAGGGAGGCGATCGTGTCTACAGTCTCGGGTGTCCTGGTTGATCCTTGGCTTTACGACGAGCACGGTGGTTGGAATAAGGGGGTTGTTACTGTCACTGCAAATGGGGACACGTCAGGAACATTGTGAACTATCATAGACCTTGTAATCGATAAGCCTGCAACGGCGCGTCAAGCCGCTTGATCCAGTCTCTTCTCCCACGCCTTTCTGAGCACTTCCATATTATCCCATGCTGTCACACCCTGAGCTATAAACTCTTCGACGTCTGTTGATTTCGCCTCGATAGCACCAGGTTTTCTGCCTCTTCCGTTCGCGCCACCCCACCAAGTAGTGGCATAATCATGTCCTGAGCCGTTGACACCCCATTTATCCACTTCTGTAGGTCGGACTGTGGTTTTCCCACCTCGAGTAATTGCAGTTCCCCACTTGACGCGTCCTTGAGCAACGACTGGTTGCCCATCTTCCACTGATCTAGCGTTGGCGTTGACCTCTGCCTCTTGGATCTCGTCTTCTGAAGTCAAGACAAGCCAGGTAGCACCATGTGCCGCGGCGTAGGGCTCCACTGTGGACCAAGGACTGCCGATCCAACGAGCCAGATAGATGCTTAGCAAATATGCCTGGTGTATGATCCAGTATAGTGATATGACGGAAGTGACTACAATGCCTGGGTGGTAGACATGCATAGCAGGAGCTCCAAGATCCGCTCGTTGTGGTAGGGAAGAAGTGGCAGCGAGTGAGGACTTGGACGAGGTGAAGTCCTTGACAAACTGCTGGGTTGCAGGCTGGTTGTAAGTCAAGGACAGGATGTCTGTCAATCGCTTGCTATGTTCATATGGTGCATCTGTTTGTAAACCCTGCACGTCCGACTCCTGGAAATGATCTGCTTGTGGCTCGATCGACGACACCCAAATAATCTTAGAAGCATTAGCCGAATTTCCAGTTCGCAGCAGCGGCATCAGCCAATGAACAAGCATGTAGTGGCCGAACAGATTGGCACAAAAGAGCTCTCCAAGGGGAGGTACTGGTTCAGACAGCCGCTCTTGTGGCAGTTGCAGTTTCGTGACAGAACCGATTGTGCCCAGCTTGTATGCCGGCCATACTGTATTGTTCATCAAATCAGCAAGGACATGTGTTACTGCTTTGTACCAGTCCAAGCCCGTCCATCCTCCAATACCAGCATTGCAGATGACGGCGTCAATCCGTGCAAGGTCTGTGGAAGAGACCAGCTTGTGCGCAAGGTCTCTTACAGACACAAGGCTGGTAAGCTCGACGTTTTCTGGCTGAAATGTCACACGACTATGCTGCTGGATAGGGTGATGCTTGCGCAGGTGTGCTTGTAAGGTTCTCAAGGTTTCGGATCCTTTCCTTACACTTCTTGTAGTGTAGATGATATTCAGACTTTCAGCCTCGTCATTTCTGCTGAGGAAATCGTCGATCAGACGTAGGCAGATACCTAACCCAAGGCCACTAAATATTGTTAGCATAGAGAAAACTGAATGGTTGTGCTCGCGGAGGATTTACCCGTTTGCACCTGTGACAAGAACGTTGATTCTAGATTGTGACATCTCTGGAGCTCTAGGAGCTCGGCAAAGGTGCACTACATTTTCTCAAATTGGGATTGAAACAATGTAAATTCTAGTGTTTTCATGCACGCTGCTGTTGACCTTCCGTGTAAGGTCATTCGGTATCGACCAATTGTGAAATAGCCTGTTATCGATAACAAGTTCCACCTGCATTCGCGTTCAGTCGCGTCTCGCCCATCGATCCAGAGACAGAATGGCATACGGCTAGCTCTATTGTGTAAAATTCTGTGTCTGTGCACGTTTAAGAGCTATACTACAGGATTCGAAGACCAGAGACTGCGCAGATTACGGTTTAGATTAGTTCTCGAGCAGGACTACAAAATGCCGAACCCGGTGCTAGAGATAGACGACACGACCTCAGGAGCGAATAGCAATCTATACAGGTCTCTCAAAGCTATCAAGAATCGCTGAACCTAATGTTCCGGACTCCCTCTCAGAGACAATTCCCTCCTTAACACCATGGGTCCAGCTATTCACGCCCCAAGCATGTCGTCTGCGAGCAACACAGTCAGCCAAGTCGAGCCGCTTGGAGCACAAGTTACGTGACAAAGCCGCCCCAGTGTTGACAATGTGATTTTACCAATCACAACATACTTGGCGACTGATGCAATCTTCCACACTATCCGGATGCCAGCCAACAACCTCCCCCTCTCCATACCATCCACGCGCCGAGAAGGTCCATGGAATCGACAAGTTGAAACCGCTTCTTGGGAAAATCTCAAGCTCGTCCAGGAGGTCGGTCGCTTATTCCGGCAGCTTCTTCCTCATTTTTCTCTCGTGTATCTTGGACGTACCTATAGGATGTGTAGAACGAAACGGGAAGTTTACATCTTCGTTGCAGAATGAGAGCCTAGCCTTCTTTGCGGCCCTTCCTGGGCTTCAACGATATACTTGGACGTACTGTGAGGTTGTCATACCCCCGATGCCGATGTGCTAGAAGATGGTCGATACTCCCTGCACAACTTATAGCTTACGCATAAGGATCGTCATGCTCGCCACAGATTCTTGAAGTCAATTTGGTCTCAGCACTCAACCGTGGGGTTACCGCCTTCTTTTACTACGAGCACAGGTGGACTCTTATGTTTCTTAAGCCAAGCAGCCAGAGCCACGACTTGATCGAAGACTGTGAAGGTAATCGAACTGGACATCTGGGAAGTGGTGTTAGCAGGGCGTTTGTCCGTTACCAACCAGACGAGACACTTACCGTCAGACGTACGAGTCGAGGAGTCGTGGCCCTCCAGAAGACTTGTATGCCCTCAGTCTTGAGCATGGATAGCGCCAGCCTAGACATTCCCATGGATTTCTCTGTACCTAGACTTTGCATGCGGGTTTTGATGTTGTCGAAGGGCATCGAGGCATATCTATGGAAAGGGTCAGCGTGAACGAAGCGAATCAGATGATCCAGTATCGTAGCACTCACGTTGTAACGACACCACTTGCCGCTCCTGCCATCACAGTTGCACTTGCGCCAGTGATGCCCCAAGATGTTCGGATTTTCTCTTGTATCAGACCGAAGGTCGCAAACCTTACCGCACTATTGGTTCCCTGCTTACACAATACAGGTCCAAGTCCGCTCCAGAGTGCTCTGACCCCATCTGTTCTCACCACGTTCACTGCTGCTTGCACTAGAGTGGGGTTCTTCAACCCAGATTTGCTCTTGTCCGCAAGTGATCGACTGTGAATCATCCTAGTCTTCAGTGCTTCGCCCGGTGTGACCACCAGTACTGATTCAACGACACCCGCAGTCAGTCCAGCGAGTACTGTGCTTGCTCCAGGGTTGGCTGACCCAATCTTCGACTTCTGGAAAAAGGCTTGACTCTGTGTAAACGAAATGAATCTTATGCCGCCCTTGGCCGCATTGCTGAGCACCAGTGCTGAGCAGCCAGAATAGAGTCCTCGGATTCCCGAGCTTCTGATGGTGTCGCGAAGCACTTGCAGAGATGTCTTGGGCTCAGCACTAGCGACTGATCCTGTAAAGACTGCTGTTGAAGGAGCGCGCGGGAGCTGTCGATATGTCTTAACGAATTCAGCTGGATACTAAACAAAGTGTTAGCCACACAAGGTTTCATTGCTGGCAAGACAACGTTAAGACTGGTTCGTTAGTGAGAATGTAACGCCTGGACCCCCTGATCTGTCTCGGGATGCTGACTTACTGTACACAAAGTCTCCGTCGCGCCTGCAGCTGCCCCAGCAGTCACGCTGACAAGTACAGTATGGTTTCCTTTCGTCGTGGACATGATTGACTCTAGATGCTTTCTAATTTACCACAAAGACAAGCGATGAGATGATACTACAGAATGCTAGGTATGTTGTACCTTCTGAAGACACTCATGCTCACAGCTTTTGAGCGAGACATCTTATGAGATGCAATCGTCCATTTCCATTGAGAGCGGGCTCATGGCCTTCGGCCTACCTTGCTTGACAACAGTACATCAAAAACTCGGGCTCCGACGACATGCTTCTCGTGTTGCACTGCCACCGACAACAAAAACCAGTCTGAGTACTGATGCAATGATACGGATCTTACAGGGCAATCATCCACTACTTCATTACAGCCAGGCTGGCCTACACGGACAACGTCCGAGTTTCCAGTAATGAAATAGGTTCGTACCCGTAATCATTTACGAGACCATGAAAGATCGAGTCTCATAGAAGCCAGGTCACGATAAAGGAACAGGTAAGTAGGTAGGCTGTGCTACTAGTATAGAGCTATAGCCTACCTAGCCTCCACAGAAAAGGCTTGGCACGCATGCCAAGTCCCGTGCTAACTTTCTCCCTCGAACACCTTTGATCGTGGATACTTAGGTATAGCTTCTTTCTCACAGTACGACAGTCATACAGAAGCTTGCTATTGCTCATGATAAGTGCTACTAATTGCAAGAACACAGACGTGTGGTAGCAATAGCCAACGACAATCACGACCGGACCGAACAACCACGACTTACACAGCTCGGTCAACTCCCGAACATCCACTAATTACTGTAAGAAGTAGTGTAGCAACAACATCTATTCAAGACCCGTAATTTACAGCCTAGATGTCTTGATATTTGATATGTACGTGTTTGGCTTGCTTCGAGAGGAAGCCGTAGAATGGCTAGAGAGCGAGTTAACGAATGATATCACATCCCTTGACTGCAAAGCAAGGACAACGCCTGCTGTACTGTACTTCATTCCATATCGTCTTCGTAGCATTGGATGCAAACTCCCTCCCTGCTCTTGACACATGTTACTCGTTCCTCATTCACGACCATCACTAATCTTAGCGAAACTCGACCATCGGACACTGCATGCGGTCTTGCACGTTCAGTTCGAACTCGAAGATACCTTTTTCAGTAGCTGCGAATCTGTAATGATCATTAGCAATTTGAACAGGTACGCAACGATATATGTCATGACTTACAATTTCAAACCGTCTGGACTCCAGCCTATCCCTGCAGTGCCAGGACCTGCATCCCTGATTATATCTTCCAGACCTGGACCGTTGTTGTTGCTGGTACTGGTCGTGGCTAAGCGTGGATGGGCAAGTGTTGCGCCTGAACCACCAGCGAGATAGCGATGGCCAGCCGCGGGGGTCCAGTTACCGTTGCCGTCTGCACTACTTCTAGCGAGTATCAGACGAGCAATTCGTATGTCGTTATCTGGAATGCGCATCATTGGTGGTAGACTCAAGCTGTAGGCGGGGGATGTTGAGGTGGAGTTTGGGGTCGAGCTTGTGTTCGCCAGCTCCGATATACGCGGGATTGTGGCTCGAGTGCTGGTTGAGCTGGGGTCGGCTGCTGATGTGAGGCTGGACCGTAGACGGCGGGCCATGGCGGAGGCTGTGGGCGATAGACTGGAAAAGTTGTCGGAAGTGTGCGTACGTCGACTTTCTGGTATGGCACTGCTTCTGATGTTATCCGAACCTGAATTTGATGCTGCACCGGGTAAGGAGTGCGAGGACTGGTGGACTGAGTCAAATGATAGGTCACCACCCACAAGTGTTCTAGTCCTGGCTCGAGTGTGCTCGATGTTATTTTGCAATTGAGCAAGCTCAACGCGCGATTCAGCTCTACGGACTTCGTGTTCAAGATTTTGAATACGTTGTGCTCTCATTCGTCGATCGACACTCATACTTTGAATCCTGCGATTCAGCTCGCCTTGGTCAGTAGAAGTCGACACCGTTGGCAATGCTGAACTTAGTGCGGAAGAGGTTGATGACTCGGCTTGTGCATGAGCTTGCAATGTTCTCTGTCTCTGTAAGATGACGTCTCGTTCATCGATGAGCTGGTTGACCCTGCGCGACATGTTCCGAATTTCGGCCTCGAGCTCTTCTGATCGTCGTGCAGTGTGGTCACGTTCGCTGTGTAGTTGTGGCTGAAGCAATCTCTCCAGCGAAGGAGAGAGTTCGCCTTCATCAGATTGTTCTGCTTGCCTTTGCTGATTACGTACATCTAGCAGACGATCCCTAGCTTCCAACTCCGTCCTCAGCACGGCGGAGAGGCGTTGCTCATCCGTTAATTGTCTCTCAAGTCGATCAGCCAGCTGTCTCTCCTCAACAATGGCGTTCTCAATACGCTGAAGCACCGGATTGGCTGTGGCATTGCTGTCACGACGGGCCCTGTTAGTTGCCAGAGAAGCTTCAATTACGTGCCACGGATCAGAGGGTGGGATGTCATATGGTAAAGGTTGGCTGGAATCAGAGCCAGCTGTCGGCGTCAAGTCGTTCGTAGACATATATGGGCGTGAATCGAGTGTGGCAGCAGCATGATACGTGGACGCGGACGTTTGCCGAGGCTCGTAGGTATGATTTGACTGACGACCATCGTCTGAGATAGGCCCAGGTGATGCTGTCATTGCTAGTCGTACACCTTCGTCAACGACTAGATGTTGGGCTGTTTGAGGCTCGGAGAACACAACAGAAGACCTTCTCCGAGGCATGTGCGGACCGCTTGACCGGCTCGGAGACGGATTGAGCAGCTGCACGTCATATTCCCGGCGTGACGGAGGTCTTGAGGCAGACGGATGCACGCGTGGTTGCTCGGAGACATAATTAATGCTGAAGATGCCCCTAGAAGGTCCTGAGCCAGCAGTTGTGCTTTCCAGGGCGTAGGTGGGAGCGTCTAGCTCAGGCGGCATAACGACAGGCTGGTCGTAACTTGAACCATTGGCCCGAGGTCGACGAAATGACCGGGCACCAAGAGGAGGTTGACCTCTCAAGACTTGCATCCGTTGGTGATGTTGACGCTGTAGTCTTTCCTTTACATCCAGCGTTCTCCAGTCAGCAGGAAGGTTGTCCTTGAGGTGTACTTCTTTCGTCTTGTCCTTATGTAATTCGACATGTTGTCTTCTCAAGAAGCCTTGGCGTAAGTCTGCCAGCCCAATACGACCATGGTCTTCTGCCCAAGCCAGGATACCCCAGGCGGATGGTGAGAAGGCCATGGACCTTACACAGCCCCAGGGTGAATCTCGAGTGGATGTGAATGAGCACAAGATAGCGTGTTCGGCGGGGACGACCTCGTGGGCGATTGCGTTCATATCGAAGATGGTGATGACACCACCTTGTGAAGAGACAGCGCACAGACTGCCATCCTGGGAGAAAGCGACTGCGAAGCTGAAATCGTCTATGTGCAAGGTTCCCTTAGGCACGTCTGGGGTAGACAGGAGACGCCAACCATAGCTTGCGTAAGGCTTAGTCTCCGACGTCGGGTCAAGATCCGACTCGACCAGAATGCGCTTCCGGAAATAGACCTTGTTCTCGTCGCCAACAGCAGCCATAATCGTGGTATCTGGACATAGCACGGCATAGTTCATGGGTTGTGGGTAGTTGATAGTATTCAGAGTGGTTCTCTGAGTAAGAGAGTAGATAGTTACGGTCCGGTCGTTGTTGCTGATAAGCACGACGGTTTCCTCCTCGTAACCCTCCACGTCCGGCTTCAGGATCTGCACCGTCATAGAATTCACAATCTCTTTGCCCAGCATTTCCACCAACAGCTCGTGGCAGAAACCACCTGGCTGACCATCGTGCTCACCGATATAGACAAAGGCACAGTCTCCTCTTGTCTCTCCTCCGACACACACCCATCCATGAGCTGCGGCTAGACATCGAGCCTCGAAAGGAATGGTCACCAGGACAGAACGTTCGTTGGACTCGAGGTCGAGGATGTAGACATCGTAGCGGTTCACGTAGAAGATCTTGTCTTGGTAGACTGTGCTGATGAAGTTCCGGAGCTGAGGGTGGGAAACATCGATATCGACAGGGTAGTACCTGTGGTGGACGACGAGGGAAGTAGTAAGCTGTAGGCACAGAGGGTCGACCGTCATGACGGGATCGAGGCAATATTCGTCAACATTGGCTTGATTGGCATTGGATCTGCTGAGAGCGCCGCATCGGGCTACTGTAGTACTGTAGATTCAAGGCTTCACCCAGCTGTACATAAAAAGCTGCGACTTGAGTAAGAGATATACCTTAGGTGGTGGTAATATTGCTGCAGTTGGTCTGGCAGTAGTATTGCGCGACCAATCCAAAGGCCGTTTGCAACTTCTGCCGTGACAATTGCGACTCATTGTGAGGCGAGCCTTCCCATTGCATAACGTCATTTTCAGTTCACCTAGGTACGAATAGTGGTATGCATGACCAGCTACGGTTATGCTGACGAACCAGAGTAGATATACAGTGAAGCTCTCTCTCATTTCTAGTCTTCACCATGCTTGACGACAAACTTGTTGTCGCACAGTACTTTTTAGGAGCCAAAAGTAGCCTCAACTAGCTACCTAAGTGTCCTCGGACGTGCTTGATGAACTGACCTTTCCTAGGTGGAAGCTGATCTACCGGGACCATTTGCCGGGCTCAACCTCACTCCTCCACGTCTCCTATAGTGCCAGGACTGCCCAGCGCAAAGTTACTACACTTCTCTACGCCACTAGCGGTTACTCACTCGACTAGCCCTTCGCTGTACAGGTCCTGGGCTGACTGGTGGCACTCCGCCTCTGTCACTGGTAAAGCTACCTTCTCGTGCCCTAGTGGGCACAAATTCAGCCATCCCAAATCTGCACTCCCCAGTTCTCCTTAGGAACCCCCATATTGCGCCACGAAGGTCGTTGGTAACCTCCTTTTCTAACAGTGCTATAACAAGCGGATAGAATGTTTCCAGATGCTTGTTGTACGCGTCCATCTGGAAATTCGTATACCCTTCGATCACATCTATCACTACCGGCCGCCACGCTACGATATTACGTTGCTGAGTCTCATCGTCGAGCTGTGTAAAATTGCGAATGATGTCGGCACAGAGACTAAAGGTCGTTGTTAGCATGTCTCACCAAAACAGATATGTTGCGCACTTACGGGATCAGAGCTCCTTCCGTCTCAGCTCGAGCCATTCTCCTCTCTTCACCTTCATCGTGATACATCCGCATCAGAATGCCAACGTACGTGTTAGCCGATCCAGATTCCTGCTTAAGCAGATTTGGCGGCTGTCTCATGAATCCCTGTCGCCATAATGCCATCCTCAACTCCTTGTCTCCGTTAAACTTTTTGGCAAATTGATACGACTTTTTGAGCAGACTCATCAGCCGCAGCAGTTCCTTCGACGGTATCTGAGCATATACGCTATCGTTGCTGAACAACTCTGCCACTGTTTCGATCATTAATAGCTGCAGTACACAATTGGTAATTATCTTGTTGAAAAATCGCCGTCGCGCTGCAGTCACTACTGGCGCGGGTGTTTGCATGCCTGTTTGAGGCTTGTAATCCTCGAGTTCACCTTGTGTCGCTTCTGCTGCTGTCACATCTGGCGCGTTGCTATGATCGCCGTTCGTTATAGCTTGTTCTGGCATTGTCTGATCTAACGCCGTCGACGCAATGGACAAGCCATCACTTGTGTCTGTGACTGTCGGCCTGGCTTCAGACATCGTTGCCGCTGCTGAGAAGAGCTCGTACGCCGTAGTGCGGTTAAAGAGCTCTACAAATGCTCCCACCGTCCGTGCCCAGTGGTCGGGAGTAAATCTCCCCACGTTCTGCAAGATCAACTGCTGCAAGCAATTGCTGCCAATTCGAGCAATAGTATCGTTCTCTTGGCAGATGCACAAGCTCAGGAGTTCGAGGAATCGATCCAGCATGTGCTCCAACGACTCGAAGTAATGCGTAAAGAGTGAGATCATGTTGCGCAACGCCTGTATCATCGTCGTGGATAGCCACACCGACAATTCTTCGTGATTGGGTGCTTTGGACATTTCCGATTTAGATTGCAGAACAACGAAGATAGGGTATAACACCTGCCGCCATAATGTCTCCCAAAAGTCTTTGGGAAAGTCTCCTCCATATCTTGTCAGTGTTTCGAACAGATAGTTTAGCGATCGAGATCGCACTTCCAGGTCTTCGCCCGTCATCAGGACGTCTTGGTATGCCAAGAGAACTGGATACCAGAATTGTTCTTCCTCTGTTTGTGCACTTGGCTGCCTCACCCCGAACGTAATGCCGTCCACTGAAGACCCCGAAGCTTTCATATGCCTGCGCGATAAGGGACATTCAGGTGTCCTCAACATTTTTGGTACTGTTGACTTGAGTAACTCCATTGCCTGCAACGATTTCTTCTGAAATCTGAGATTCTTCGAAAACTCCTTAAGGCATTGGATAAGGTCGGGGAAAGATCCTTGGGTAATAACAACAGCAAACCTAGCGTTGTATATTTGCGTCGTATAGTCAAAGGCTATGTTAACAATCGCTTCGTATTGTTCTGCTGCCGCAACTGTGAAAACTCCGAACATTGTTTTCCACCCAGAACGAATATTGTCGCCACGAGCTTGAATCATCTGGATTAGACATCGTAGAACCATATCTTTGACTGTCACAGCTGGGTTGTTTGCCATAACGTACTCGAATGGCTTCAAGAAATCTTTTTGAAATTTGAAGCCCGGCAGTTCTTCGAGCTCCAGAAATCTCATTGATAGTTGTCTTAGAGAATCGAGCGCGAAGAACACAACGGCTGTGTTGTTGTGGCATCCAACCTGGTTGAAATGATCACCAAGCACATCCCAGATCCTAGACCATTCAATTCGTACCCTTGTCATGTTGTAGTAGCTTATTTCGACCAGCTTTTGTAAGCTGTACATCCGCGGCGAGTCAGAGTTGCCAGATGACTGAATCTCTTGCCAGCTGACATCGGTAAGCGCTTGTACAAAGTCGACGATGCCACTAGCAGACAGCTTGGCTGTGTTCGTGAATATCTGATCAACGCCTCGAACCATATCTGATGACTTCGTTTCGTCGGCGACCTCGGGTCTAAAACTGTTCGTGGACCGAGCCCCTGGTCTCTTGGACATCTGCATCGACCTTCTACCTCTACTTGTCTCCTTGAGGTTGGAAGGCGTTGGAATCGAAGCTCTTGTCATGTCGGGAAGCGCACCCTCATCAACTCCAGTCGACAAGAGCTGAAGCCGATCTAGCTGACTGACACATGTCAGGATCTCTCGCCATGCCCCTTTCAGCAAGTCGCCTTCGGTAGTAGCGACCTCGATAAGTATGCGGAGAGCTTGCAGATTCTTAGCCGTCATCTCTTTGATATTGCCAAGGTTGGTAAACTTCGCTAGCGTGGTCACGAATGCTGTTCTTGGTGTGTCGAGGTCGAAGCGACAGGTTATTCGAATCGCTAAGCGTAAGCCATCGAGACACTGTTGTATAAGTTCTGTGTTCTGAGCGTCTTGCATCTGACTCGAGAAAGCAGACAAGAACGACATCCACGACTCTGCGAACATGGGACCTACATACCGAGTGTTCGATGCGGGCACGAAACGTGACAGAGCCTCTCGGACGGCAGATTTCTTTTGCGCCCTGACTAGAGTCCTAAATAGTTGTTCTGTGCGAGTCGCCATCTTGTCTGCTTCGACTGTCTGGCGTTCTGCTTGCAAATCACGACCAAAATTGACGAGGGCTTGACCTGTACGAGAAGCTAATCCTGCTGCCGGTGCAGAAGTCTGTATGCCTAGGTCTTCGGCGTGCTCGCGCTCTGAACTCAACACAATCTCGTTGCTTGCGATCTCTTCGTAAATGCTTGTCAGATATTCCGGTGGTAGGTCTTGGCCATCGTTGATTCCCCTGTTGTTCTTAATGAAGTCTTCAGGTGTCATGCGTCTGCCTTTCATCTTGACACTATGTTGATCCGTATTGAGCATGATAACGGAGTATGCAAGGACGTATGCAGTATCCGCATTAGCAAAAGCATTGGGATTTCCAGTCAGGTACCTCTCTGCGAATTTGAGCATAAACCGATCAATCTTCTGAGCCTCACCAGGCAGTCGGAAACTTTGGAGAAACTGTCTAAGAGCGTCAACAAAACGCCGTTTGGTAAAGTCCATGGTATCCACGAATGCATGCATTACCGCCACATTGTAATCGTCACCTTCTCCCATGTACTCGCCTAACATTGCCTTATCTAAGCGCTCATTCGATATCAGGAATTGTGCAACATCCGAGGGTGTGGCACTACGGATGAAGCCATGATCAATAAGTGCTTTAACACCACGCTTGGGCTTGAAGTTGAACGTTCTGATCGCTTCGTTCAATGCTGTTTTACGCTTCCTGACTTTCTCGATCTCATTAGGGTCATCCTCCAATACTGGTGTAGAAGCGCCAGAATCAGAGAAGCCGCTTACGATCTGTGGTGAAGGTGGTATAGGGCCCGGATGATCCATTGAGTCACGAGCATCGTCTTTGGAGATATGGGATGCAGCATAACCAGATCCATTTGACGTATCAGTGGAAGACCAGCTGTCCAGCGAGCTGAGTATTTCTACAAGACTTCTCAGAGCCTGTTGCTTGAGGCCATACTCTGCAGGTATGACTGGCGGTGGCTGAGGTGCTGGTACAACATTGGCTGTGGCTAGACTAGGGAACAGATTGCCCTTGTTGTGCCACTCAGTGGCAGTGGCTTTGTTGTGCTGCTCTTGATAAAGATTTTGTTGCTGTGGGGTGACCGCGATCGGATTGCTGCAATACCGGGAGAGGTGTTCAATAATCTCTTGGTACATATTGTCCAGAGCTGTGCGGTCACAATCGTAATTCAAGTATATCTCTACTAGCGCTCTAGCGTCACGAGATAATCTTTCAAGCACATCCATAATCATCTGCTTCTGAAACATAGGAGCACTTCTTTTGTCGAGGACAGATAAATATACCTCTTTCCAGAAGACCTCAAGTTCCTTCTTCAAGGCTACTCTCAGCTCCTTCAGAGAGAGCCAGAAGATCTCGCAGCAGACCTCATAGATACGGGGTACAGAGCTGGCTGCATTCCTGGACAAACTGAGGCAAAGGTGCGGTTTCGCAATTTGTACAAACGGTACGTCCTCTCCCTCATTTCCTCCTTTTAAAGCTGAATAGGGAGAGGTGAAGACTGTCATGTAGTTGTTCAAGACGTGATGTATCAGATGCAATGAAAGCAGTTTAGAACGCATACTTTGAGCTCTTAAATCCTGCTGTTGGTCGTAGCTCAACTGTTTCTGACTCAGCTTGCATAAAGACCGGAACACTAGGAAGGCGTCTCTGAGGTAGATGTCGTCTTCGTCTTCAGTGCTCATATCCAGATCTTCTCGATCCTCCTGCAGACTGTTACGTGAAGTGGGCACCGAGTTGACTCTAGTGCCTTTTCGATCACGTCTGGCGCGTGTGACTGTGGTTGGAGCAGTATCTGCCAAAACAGACTCGTCCAAGGTTTTATTGGTCTCGAAATCCTGTAATGTCATCCTTTGCTCGGCTGGTGTTGCATTCGTTTCTATTGAAGGTGGCGAGGACGAAATAGGGACTTCTCTGTCCTCATCGTCACCGTTCAGGTCGGCTTCTCCAGCTGTGGAAGCTCGGCCAGACAAACTATCGGCAGATGTTGTGGCTGCATTCTTGGAGCGTAGATCTTTGAGATCCAAACGCACGCGTATCCTTTCGAAAACAGTGGCAACCATCTGCGTAAGCGAGCCCTGGGCGATTTGCTGGTTCTGACTAGACTTTGAGTAGATGAAAATGTTGTAGATCTGCCTCACAGCTTTCAGCAGACCAGCACCATGGACAACGATTTTATCATCCAAGACCGCAGCTAAGAGAGACTTGACTATTTGTTGCTGGATCTCGACGGCAGTGGCTTCATTTTCGAATGTGTCACAAATGGCTTCGATCGCCCGTTCTATGAGAGGAGGCGTGTCTGTAGGTACTGGAGGAGCTGATGCCGGAGTTGGGAAGGCGAAGTAGGAATAGCTGATTAATTTGCCGATGCAGTCTAAAGCAGTCACCTGAAGCTGGATGTTGTAGGACTTAGTAGCCATTTGTAGAGGTCGAAAGATGAGTTCAGGATTGATCTGTTGCTCGGTGTTCCTGATATTGGCCAAAGCAGCCTGGACAGCATCGCCAAAGTCCTTGCTCTTTCGTACCTCCTTTGATGCATTAATTTTCTCTAGGGCACTGACCACGAAGACGGTCGAGCTGACCGGCAGCGATCGAGTTGTAGCATGCGAATCCGATCTCCGACGTGCCACATTATCTGTAGGTCGTCTTGCCTGCACATCGACTTCACGAGGTGTATCCGGCTGATCGGTATCTGTCAACCTTTGCCCCGAGGTCTCCGAGTCCTCTGCGTCGTCTCTCGCCTCAGATGAGAGTCCATTATGTGGAAGACCCCCTGTTTCTCTGACGTCGTTTGGCTTCTGAATGTCCTCGACAGAGGACTTCGGAGAGGTCGCATCGGCATCGGAAACTGTTATTGTTGGTCCTCCATTAGAACCTTGAGGAGTAGATCCTACACTTTCCGCGCTTCCATTGTCTTCGCTCTTAACTCGTCGATCTTGCTGGCTTCCATTGAGGCTGGCACTAGGCTGATCTATCTGCAATTCAGCATCTGGTGCAGGGTGATCTCCAGACATTGATCCAGTATTGACCACATTCGACACAAAAGGGAGTGCTCACGTTCGACATTTATGAACACTTGACATATCGTTCTCCGGTCGACTTCACTCAAGGTTGGAACATGCGATAACTTGGCTGTAATATTCACCTACTACGCTCTCTCAGGACACCGTGCTGCCTCTTTGACCAGTCCGAGAGAGGCAGATCTGCTACGGTTGGTCTTAGTACTTGGTACGGAGGATCTTGCGGCCTTCAACATGCAAATTGCTCGGTAGGCGTCGAGAAAAATTGCCCTATTTTTCCCGGGTTCAGATGGATTCGAGCAGCAAGTATGCTCGCGATCAATGTGCTTTCTCGCCGAATGTTGCTGAAAATACTTTGGAGGCCGCCCAACGCGGAGCTCCATTTGGCTCCTTCCGCTCTTGACCAGAACTCAACAGCTTTGTAGTAACTATTTTGACCTTGCTGTTGCCAGCAGTATTGACCTCTATCAGTCACTCCTTTGGTCGATCCTGGTATCCTCCTGCGTTATATCTGTCTTGTGAAACTGCCAGCACCATGGCTTCCGTAATGGTGTCTCGTTGTCCAGCTCGCATACTCTCATACACCCCTGCCACCTGCAGGACGAGCCAGCAGTCACTACGTCGACTAAGACAGCAAGTTCGGTATGGCCAGGACCACGCGCATAGTGTTACAAACTGACAAACTTGGGAGGTTAACGCCTGCAGCCCTTTCTGTTCTCAGCCGCTTCTATGCCTCCAAATGTACGATAATGCTCCTCGAGCACCGCCTGAAATTATGCTAACGCTTGAGGCAGCTTTTCCTTCGCATACCGTCATCAGCATGCCGGCGCTGTCACCGACAATGCAGGCAGGTAATATAGGAGCATGGCAGAAAAATGTTGGCGATACACTGGCACCCGGTGATGTCTTAGTCGAGATCGAGACGGATAAAGCGCAGATGGATTTTGAGTTTCAGGAAGAGGGCACTCTTGCAAAGATTTTGAAGGAGACTGGCGAGAAGGACGTCGCTGTTGGAAGTGTACGTTGACGATTATTCAAGCCAAGTAGTGCCTATACTGATGTCTTACAGCCTATTGCGGTCATGGTCGAAGAGGGTGAAGACGTATCAGCCTTCGAGAACTTCACCATGGAGGATGCAGGCGGCGAAAAGTCTCCACCAAAGGAGGCTCCGAAAGAGGAAGCATCAGAAGCGACCGAGTCACCAGATTCGGGTTCGCCTACAGCACCACCAAAAGGTGGTGAAGAATCCAAGGAACCTGCGCCCGAAGCCCAGGAAGCTGACACGACCGGCGAAAAACTCGAGGCTGTCATCGATCGACAGCCAAATGTGACATACGGCGCGAAGCAACTTGCACTTGACAAGGGTGTGCCGCTCAAGGGGCTCAAGGGAACTGGCCCTGGTGGTCGAGTCACCGCTAAGGACGTTGAAGGTTACAAAGCTCCAGCAGGAGCACCGGCTACCGCGGCAGGCCCTGCCGCCTACGAGGACATTCCAGCTAGCTCCATGCGAAAGACCATCGCCTCAAGGTTGAGAGACTCGATGAACCAGAACCCTCACTTCTTTGTGTCTAGCAACCTCTCCGTGACTAAGCTGTTGAAGCTAAGACAAGCATTGAACACTTCTGCAGATGGCAAGTACAAGTTGTCAGTGAACGACTTCCTGATCAAGGCTTGTGCCGTAGCATGCAAGAAGGTTCCTGCTGCCAACTCCAGCTGGCGCGAGATAGATGGTCAGACCGTGATCCGAGAACACAAAACAGTCGATGTTAGCGTGGCAGTCGCTACGCCTGTCGGGCTTATGACTCCTATCGTCAAGTCGGTAGACAGCATCGGACTAGTAGCCATCTCAAGCGCAGTCAAGGATCTCGCAAAGAGAGCTCGCGACGGAAAGTTAAAGCCTGAGGAATATCAAGGTGGCACATTCACAATAAGCAACATGGGTCAGAACGACGCTATTGAAAGATTCACTGCCGTTATCAACCCTCCTCAAGCTGGAATATTAGCGGTCGGCACAGTTCGCAAGGTCGCAACTCCGGTCGAGACTGAGGAGGGCACCATTACCGAATGGGACGAACAGATCGTTGTTACGGCCAGCTTTGACCACAAGGTCGTAGATGGCGCTGTGGGTGCTGAATGGATCAAGGAGCTAAAGAAGGTGGTTGAAAATCCTCTGGAGATGATGCTATAATAGTTCTCAACAACCACGAGGGGAGCGGGAGATGGATTGAAGATAGAGCGGCTTTGTACAAAAGGACTTTACCTTCTGTGAAGCAAAAGTTGTGAGCCATGTGTTTTATTGGGGTGGTCGTACAGGCCATGAATATTCTTTGTGTCGAATTGGTCGGCAGGCACCAGAAGCATGGAGTGAACGGATCTTCCATATCAAGGAGAAACATAGCACTTTACTTTACATTGAACATCATTCCATATTGTGTATATCGTGCTGCCTATGGAGTGCTAAAGTATTCTGTATGAAGTGTATTTATTGCGGGCTGGAAAGGGACATCGAGGCTCCGAAATGTGGCGCATTCAGTCGGAACAAGGCTGCAGAGCCGGATGTGAAATGATCGCATGTATTTTTATTCCTGCCCCAACACTCAAATATATCCAAGGCGAGAGCCTGTTTTCCTATTCTACCCATCATCTACTCACGCGCTTTATTGTGTACACCCGATGGGCCTCGAGCCCCTGAGATGAGCTTTAATCCTCGCCCAAATTCACTCCTGGGCCCTACAGAAGAAGGACGATCGATAGACAATCGGCAGCATGGCGAAGCGCATCTCGATTCGCAATATGGAACCACAAAGGATAACACAAAACTGCACCAAATGGCGGAGATAACAGAGGAGGAAGATTTGGAGATGAAGAGACCTCCCTACCTACATGTCAGCGCACGAGCTTTGAAATTGAACCGAGATGAGACTGACGGATGTCTAGGCTATGCTTGCTGGCGGCATTGGTGGCACAAGCGGCGACATTCTTATGCACTCCCTGGATACTGTTAAGACCAGACAACAAGGCGACCCTCACTGGCCACCAAAATACCGCAGTCTGGGCGATGCATATCTCAAGATTTTCCGGCAGGAGGGCGTTAGGAGAGGACTGTATGGAGGCTTTACGGCGGCCATGTTGGGATCATTTCCAGGCACTGTCGTTTTCTTCGGATGCTACGAGTCCTGCAAAAGAGCTATGCTCGACCGTGGTATTAGTCCGTCGTTCACGTATTTGGCATCTGGTTTGTAACCTCGTACCTGCCCCTATTGCAACACTGCTAACCTACGCAGGCTTTCTTGCCGACTTCGTAGCCTCCGTCATCTACGTTCCTTCTGAAGTCCTCAAGACACGCCTCCAACTCCAGGGAAGGTACAAGAACCCATATTTCATTTCTGGTTATAACTATAGATCCACCTGGGACGCGGCGAGGACGATAGCACGAGTGGAAGGAGTGCCAGCCTTATATTCTGGTTACAAAGCTACCATTATCCGAGATTTGCCCTTCTCTGCCTTTCAATTCGCGTTGTACGAGCAGTTTAGAAGAGTTGCGGTGCAGTCTACTGGTTCGCATGACCTGGGGTTTGGCTGGGAGGTCACTACTGCAGTTTCTGCAGGTGGTATTGCAGGAGCAGTCACCTGTCCTCTGGACGTGGTAAAGACAAGAATTCAGACGCAGATAACGCCGGACAGCCACGAGCAGTCGAGTCAGCCCGCAAAGCTCGAAAAGGTTGTCAGCGTGGTAAAAGAACAAAAACGCCATATACATTCCGGACCCCGGACTGTACCAACAACTGTACCAACACTCGATACATCCTCAATATTGACAGGGCTCAAGATGATTTACAAAACGGAAGGGGTTGGTGGTTGGTTTCGAGGTGTTGGACCTCGAACCGTCTGGACGAGTGTACAAAGTGGGACGATGCTTGTCATGTACCAATATTTGTTGAAGCAGTTTGAGCGGATGTCTGAAAAGAAAGAATCTCCCAGCGTTATATGACATTATTTGCATTGAAGTGGTTGGTCAGTTTTGTTCAGTCATACCGCACGTGGCAGCTGTCTTGACGCCTGCCACTCTAGGGAGCAGGACCACTGTACATTTCCACTACCGGGTCAGGTAGTCCGATAGATTTGATAGATTTGATAGATGAAAAAAAGATCCTGTCCTATTAATGCGTAGACACAACGACAACTTCACGATTTTGCCGTTTCCTGTAGCCACGAACAGACCGGCCCTAAACGAAGATCACTGCAGGGTTTGCAATCTGGGAAACGTCAAAACAGGACAAGCTCAAGCGCACCAGCTCAGGGCCGAAGTCTTAGTGTCCTCTGGGGACGGCTCAGGGCCAATGCTAACAAATCTAGGATGTCCGCGAATCATACCCCTCTTGGCACCATCCCTTTTCTTGTAGAGCCGGGCAGATTTGTAGACGTCTCCAGATTATCAGGTCGACCTACTCGTCGTTCACAACGTCGGTTCCAGTTTCGTTTCTGTTTTGATAGGCACTTGCTGTCATCACCTCACTCGTTCCTTTTATTCTTCTTCACAAGAGCAAAGGTTCTGAAATACACGTAAGTTTGACCTTTCGACTGCGACTACCTCCTCAATGACTTCAACACATTGACGTGTTTGCGACACGGGCTAACGTGGAAGGTGCAACAGATAATTCTCCGTTTCCGGTCATTTTCGTCTTCAACCTACCGAATGTTTAACGCCATGGGTGAGCAACCATTTCGCACTTTCTATCGTCGTCTGTTGTGTTTTGTTTGCGCGCCCGAGATTCACTATCGACGACTGTGCAAAGTGTCCTCCTTAGCATGGCTGGCATCAAATCATTCGTGCTCGAACCCAACGATGTCATTGACCCCGGCACTGAAAGAGACAGCGAAGAGCCAGATGCTAATGAAATATCTGGTGTAGCGACCACACAATCTCCGCAGGCACGGAATTCTCCTGTACCTGTGCAGAATGGCAAACCTACATCTCCCTACGTCAAAGAAAGCAACCCAATGGGCTCTGGTGCACCACAGACAATCATCTCGAAAGATCCTAAAGCTGCTGCTCAAGCAGCCAGCGACATGAGGAACGTTGTCAGGCGCAAGTTGACTGGCTATGTTGGCTTTGCCAACTTGCCCAACCAATGGCACAGAAAGAGTGTGAGAAAAGGTTTCAGCTTCAATGTCATGGTTGTCGGTATGTCAGTCCCTGGGACTTTCTACTTGTGTGTTTATTGACAACGCTAGGTGAATCCGGACTAGGAAAATCAACCCTGATCAACACACTCTTCAACACATCCCTATATCCTCCACGCGAGCGAAAAGGCCCAAGCCTCGATATTATCCCCAAAACTGTGTCCATTCAGTCGATCAGTGCAGATATTGAAGAGAACGGCGTTCGGCTGCGACTGACAGTCGTCGATACACCTGGCTTCGGTGATTTTGTCAACAATGATGACTCTTGGAGACCTATCGTCGAGAACATCGAGCAGCGATTTGACGCGTATCTCGAGGCTGAGAACAAGGTGAACCGAATGAACATCATCGACAATCGTGTCCATGCCTGTGTCTATTTCATCGAGCCAACCGGCCACTCCTTGAAGCCATTGGACATCGAAGTCATGAGGAGGCTACATACGAAGGTCAACCTCATCCCGGTCATTGCCAAAGCCGATACCCTGACCGACGAGGAAGTCGCCATGTTCAAACAGAGAGTAAGATCTACCACCCCTTCGGTGATCGTTGTCTTACTAACGTGACCTAGATCTTGGCAGATATCCAACACCATTCCATTCAAATCTTCGAGGGCCCACGATACGAGCTTGACGACGAAGAGACCATTGCTGAGAACCAAGAGATCATGTCCAGAGTTCCTTTCGCCGTTGTGGGTGCCAACTACGAGGTCACCAACTCCGAGGGTCGAAAAGTTCGAGGCCGACGCTATCCGTGGGGTATCATCGAGGTAGACAACGAAGACCATTGTGACTTCGTCAAGCTTAGACAGATGCTTATTCGAACGCACATGGAAGAGTTGAAAGAACATACCAACAACCAGCTCTACGAAAACTACAGATCAGATAAGCTGATTCAAATGGGTGTCTCCCAGGATCCTAGTGTGTTCAAGGAGGTGAACCCAGCAGTAAAGCAAGAAGAAGAGCGCACACTCCATGAGCAGAAACTGGCTAAGATGGAAACCGAGATGAAGATGGTCTTCCAGCAGAAGGTGGCAGAAAAAGAGTCCAAGCTTCAACAAAGTGAAGAGGAACTCTTTGCTCGTCATCGTGAGATGAAGGATCAGCTAGAGCGTCAAAGAGCAGAACTGGAAGAAAAGAAGCAGCGAATCGAACAGGGTCGACCAATTGAGGAGAAGGGCAAGAGGAAGGGATTCTCGCTCCGATAGATGGCGAGCCACCACGATTGCTGCGAGTTCACAGGCTTGTGTCAACAAGTAATTTCAGCGATACGATGATGATGTCGATACTACGTTCCTCGAGACTTTGCTTCTCTGCGTTCGTTGTGACTCGGAAGCAGACAGGAGCTGCTCTACGAAAACATGATCGTGTATATTTGGATTGTGAATATGGTTGAGGTTGCGGACAAACGAGCGTTAAAGGGAAATCAAAGCGAGTGAGCGATTCGAGATGTACTACTCTCAAAATGTCAACAGTGTCGGTGTGTACATGTTCTTCAGGTTTATTCTTTAATAGGAGGGCATTCAGAGCAGTACCGTAAGTGGCTATGTAGGAGAATCAAAAGCTCAACGCTGTGGTGTGCTGCTTCTTGACTGGTCGTGTGCTCTCAAAAGTCAACTCTTGGTACCCGATTCATCAATATGGTCAGTGGGCCAGCGGGAAGATCACCATGTGCAATGTCACCAGTTTGTACAATATGAAGCGCTGTCTGGCTTGTTAGTGATTCAATCAGCTAGTAAAGGAATGAATTGACAGGTACTGGTGAAATATTGCTCACGAGCACTACGAGTAAGAATCCGCATGATGTTGCTTGTTGGCAGCTCAGGCCGAAACCCTGGTTTGGCATTACGCAAAAGCTTAAAGTCAGGGCAGTGACGTGGTGCGCACTTTCTGACCGCAAACACTCTTGACACTTTTCCTCACGAGCAACTGCCCACATATCTTGTACGTGTCGATAAGCTGCTATCTTTCTACTTCCTTCTCTAGCACCAACGCCTTCGACAGCCTCTCGACGTGTCATAGTAAAAGCGTCAAAGACCACACTGCAATCCTTTCAGCTTGCACACAAACTACCACGAAGATGCCACCAGCCCCACCAACAAATGCTCCTTTGGGCGAAAGACTGCAAAAACTCGCGACTACTCTACAATATAAGTTCACTCACACCTTTCTCTTGCGGAAATACTGACGAACTAGCACTCGCCTGGTTTGTGGGACATTTTACCCTCCTCCTCTGTGTTCTCCGATATGTTCTGTCCTATATCACTTTCAACTATGCCTCCAAGTGGGCAGCTTTTAGCTATCGAACAGCATTCGTGGCAGCAGTCGCAACGTACGGAATCGTAGTTTACAAGGCGTTCCGTGCTCGTGTGAAGCCAAATTCCCCTCCAGCTCAGACGGCTATGACTCTTCTGGGAGATGAAAATGTGCAATATCTTTGTGAGTACAAGGCTGATGTCGGAGAATTTAGCTAACGACTACAGTGATCTCGTTGGTATGGCTGTTGAGCAGGCAAATTCCACTTGCCCTGCTTCCTTTCAGTGTCTATTCCATCTTCCACGTGGCAACCTATACACGAACGAACCTAATTCCCACTTTCCAACCTCCAGCGGCGGCACCTGCAGGTCAATCACCTCAGACACAGAAGCCGCAAAGTGGACTGGCTGCAATGATCGGCAAGTTTGTCAAGGAATACTACGATGGCAGCATGATGCTGGTAGCATGGCTTGAGATTGCCCTGTGGGGACGTCTTTTCCTGTCTGCCTTGACTTTCAGCAAGGGAGCTTGGATGTTGTTGGGACTGTATACTGTCTTCTTGCGAGCACGATTCCACCAGAGCACTTTTGTCCAAGGTGCATTTGGTCAATTCTCTGCTCGTATCGATCAACAGCTGAACCAACAGAATATTCCTCCGGCGGCTAAGCAGGGTTGGGAGACTGTCAAAAACCTCAGTCGGCAGGCAGTCGAAGCGACCGATGTCAGGAAGTACATTGGTGGTGCGCCAGCTGCTCAAAAGAAGGCATCCTAAGCATGAGCCGGGTACCTTAAGCCTGAACCGGTGTTTTGAGTCCCAAAATCACGACTTACGACAATAAGAAGATGCGGTCCACTCCACTTCCACAACGACATCTGTGTGGCACAACATGATCGAAGCCCAGAGTGGAGGGATTAGCACAAAGTAAAATGGGATGCGAGTGGTGTACGGGAAATCATTGGAGATTCAGAGGTACGCTCGAGAACGTGATGGGAAGTCACTTCCTGTACGTTGGGAGCGCTGTGGACAGTCAGGCGCAATCGAAATGAGATGCGCCAAGTATCAGAATAAGAGTAACCTCGGGGGACATATAAAGAGGCTCTATAGCCTTTACGACAACAATCATTTTTATGCGACGTTCGTGACACTTGAGGTTCTCCTATGGAGAGTCGACTTTCTACAGTACAATCTCGCTACACAATAACAACGATACCATGAAGCAGATAGTCGAACAGCCTGAGCGTGAATACTAGATTACATTCTTCACTAACCCGATAGAGACTAACCACGCAATGACGTGGGTCAGATCCAGCCCGATCCGCGGCGACAATTGACTGCGCCTGTGAACGACTCCATTTCCTTCGTACTTGTGCTGTACTTGTATACTGTCTTGCATTCTATTGTCGCAATATCTCACTGTTCGACCATCGACACGACGTAGCAGTATGGGCGCATTACTATCACTGCCGTTGCTCGCACTACCGAGCGTAGCAACGTTATGGTCAGTGGCGGCATCATGCTGCGGCGCTGCAACCTGCACAGCACTATGCAATGCCTGCGGCAAGTTTCAGAGCAGGTAAGGAATTGAGTTGCTACGACCAGGATCATACTGACAAGATGGCAGTATGGCAACGCGTATAGCATATGCTTTCATCCTTCTCTTAAACTCCATATTCGCTTGGATCATGCTCACACCATGGGCGATTCGAAAGCTGGAGCACCTTACCCTGGACTACATGACTTTTCAGTGCGGCTCTCATGAATGCTACGGTTATATGGCTGTTCAAAGGATCAACTTTGCGCTCGGCCTGTTTCACTTCCTCCTATCGTTCACTCTTATCGGTGTACGAAACACAAAAGATGGACGTGCTGGATTACAAAATGGCTTCTGGGGACCAAAGCTCATTGCCTGGATCGCATTCATAATCATCAGCTTCTTCATTCCTGAAGAGTTCTTCATGTTTTATGGCAAATACATTGCATTTACTGGAGCAATGCTTTTTGTCTTGCTGGGACTGATACTCTTGGTCGATTTGGCTCATACTTGGGTCGAGCTATGTCTGGACAAAGCCGAGGACGAGACGAACTCGAATTCGTCTATATGGCGATGGGTTCTGGTTGGGTCGACCTTTTCCATGTACGTGGCAGCCTTCACCATGACTGTTGTCATGTACATATTCTTCTCCGGCAATACATGCGGCATGAACAACGCAGCAATCACGATCAACCTTGTTGCGCTATTGGCAATCGCCATAATAAGCATGCTACCTCATGTCCAAGACGAGAACCCGAGGGCTGGTATCGGGCAAGCAGCAATGGTTGCGGTCTACTGCACATATCTTACCTTCTCGGCCGTTTGTATGGAACCCGACGACAAACAATGCAACCCTCTCATTCGAGCACGAGGCGCTCGCACCACGACGATCGTCCTCGGAGCAGTCGTCACCTTACTCACTGTAGCATACACCACCACCCGTGCCGCAACCCAATCCTTCTTCGGTAACAAGAACGAAGGCCAAGTCTACCTACCCGAGGACGAGTACGGACCCTCAGCCAACCACGTCGTCATCTCCGAACAACCTCGCGCTCGCCGCCAGATGGCCCTCCAACAAGCTATCGCAGAAGGCTCCCTCCCCGCCTCAGCAACTTTAGACGACTCCGACGACGAAGAAGAGGAAACAGATTCCAAAGGTGGAAAGCACGTCAAGGATGACGAACGCCGGGCAACACAATACAACTACTCCCTCTTCCACGTCATTTTCTTCCTCGCTACATGTTGGGTAGCCACCCTCCTCACACAAAGCATGGATCCAAACAACGACTCTGATTTCACTCCTGTAGGCCGTACCTACGCCGCCAGCTGGATCAAGATCATCAGTGCTTGGGTTTGCTACCTGATATACACGTGGAGTTTACTCGCGCCGATAGTGCTGACGGGGCGCGATTTTAGCGGATAGTATCATCATGGTGGTTGTTGTGGCTGGATGGGGACTTTTAGGTGGTGGCTTGAGCGGAAATATTATTTTAGCGATGGGGATTCTTTTGATGACTGGTTGGCGAGCGAGTGAGGGTCGCTGCTATGGGTTGGCTTTATTCGTGCATTTGCAGGCGTACTATCAGTATAAGTAGATGTTATACTGGCACATGAAACTAACTGCCTTGCCTCGAAGTATCGGGGTTCTTCTACAATTGAGGTACAATACGTAGAGACTTCTGGTGACTTATGGCATATCGTTTCACAAGGGCTTCGCAACTACACGAGTGCTCAGAAACCTGGACGGCAAGATTATGAGAGGGCAGTGGCATGCTGCTTCTAATGTATTGGCATCTAAACGCGACTCGGAGTCATCGTTCTCGCTTTTCAACAGAGCCATGGAAGGCAATCTTCTGGCTCTTCCAGACTCTATAGCTTCTCACCACCTCTTCTCTTGTTTACCGCTTCTCTTAGCACACTAATAACATGCGCTGGATCTTTGGCACCGAAAACCGCACTGCCTGCCACTATCACGTTTGCCCCGGCCTCTGCAGCTTGATCGATTGTGCCTTCTGCCAGACCACCATCGACTTCGATATTTAGATTTGGATAATTCTTGCGTAGAGCCTGAACCTTTGGAAGCTGGTTTGCCATGAATTGCTGGCCACCGAAACCGGGTTCAACTGTCATTACTAGGACCATCTAGGACGGTTAGTAAAGCTTGTGCAATGACAAGTAAGTGTTGGATATAGGCTGGAGACATACATCAGGTCTTTCTTTCTCGTCCTCCGCTTCCAAAATCTCCCATAGTACGTCGACGCTTGTGCCAGGCTTTATTGCAATTCCTGCTTGCATCCCTAGCTCGTGGATGTAGCGAACGAGACTCTTTGGTGAGCATTTTTCCGAAGTGTCCTTGTCTGCTGGCTCTTTAGCTGCAACTGAGGTCATGGCGGCTTCGTAATGAAAGCAGTACATGTCCGCTCCTACGTCTCGGAAAGAGGATGCCCAGCGCATTGGCTACTAGGAGGGAAGGACTGGTTAGTCATAGTCCTGTAGGAAATAGGTTGTACTGGTTCCCTAATCTATCCATCTCTCTGATATTCTGCAAAAACCTGCGCTTCCTCTTACCTCTGCAATCATCATGTGGCAGTCAAAGGTACCCTTTCCGCCAGCCTCTGTTGGCTTGTCAACGTGCTTTCGCAGCTTGCCTATGACTGGAGCACCGAAAGTCATATTGGGCACGAAATGACCATCCATTACATCAAGGTGAAGCCAGTCACTCGACCAGTCCATCGCGTCGCGGCATGCTTTGCCTAGCTCAGCGAAATCTGCTGAAAGGACACTGGGATTGATGATGGCTGGCGGCGACATGGTACTCGGTCAAGGTCTTGCAATGTGCTTGGATTTCCTATTCAATGTCAAGATCTGGAGACAGGTAGATTTCTCAGCATATACAAAAACAGTATGTGAAGCGTGCATGGAAATAAAATGATGGGAAAAGTAGTATGACCTAATTGGAGGGGCACTCTCGCGGAAAGTGCGAGCCGGCTTTCTCGGACGAGATAACTCTATGTTATCTCAGTTCAAAATCTGCAGTGGCTCTGCGAATCTGGTTAGCATCGAAGGTCGTGCTTGCTTGTAGATGACGACGTTTCGAAGTGCCAGCAAAGCAAGCAGCAATTTGAAGCATGAGACGACCCGTCTAAGATGAGCTTGAGCCTGAAGTTTATTTGCTTGACGCGTTAATTGCTTGGGCACACGCGTTGGGGTATGAGGCAATTGACAACTCCCTTAATTCCTATTTGAACTATGCTTTGGTCTGAGCCTGGGTGCAATGAATTCTCGAAGACCAAATCTGCCTGATATACGCTCCGAAGGCGGTCACGTCCCGTGCCTGATGGCCACGCGAAGCAACTTGCTACTAAGAAGCCATAAGTATGGATTGGTCCGATGAAAAGTCGACGACAAGGAAATGGCTATACATGTATGTGGGTTGGAGGTCAACTATCTGAATGGGAAAGAGAAACGACACAAGACATACTTTGGATATGGAGCCGAGGACGACAACACGAGATCAGGTGCGGCGCTATAGTGAAAGGTGAGTGCCAGTGTAGTCCTTCACCCTGCATGAGTGACAAAATTCTGCACGTGCATTGTGTCTTATTCACAAGAGAAGGTGATTCTTTCAGCACGTGTCCGAGTGCCTTCCTGCGCAGCTTCCTTATTGTTTTTTTCACAATTCGATGTGGCCGAGCAATTACTTTGTACTGGCCACTTGATCGCACCATGCCTCAATTGAAGCAGATTTCCTGCTGTGTGCAGTGGTCTGATACAAATGCGTCGTTTCAAGAACATGGAGCTGTATACGGCGACGGTGTGGTCGAGTCTTTCATAATCGTGCCAAACAAACCACAGCGTTTCTGCTTACGGTTGACTTCGCGAGGCTATATCTATGAGGGACTTGCCATGATCATTTTCATCGACGGCCAATATCAGTGCAACCGTACCCGCGTCAATTTGCTGCCTCCAAAGAAAGACCGGCCTGCCAACAGAACTGAAGTCGACTTCTTGGTACGCCAGAAAGAGAAACCACAGGGAGATGGGGTTTACATGGGTCGTGAGTGGCGGTTTGACAACCACAACATTGGTGAGTCCTAGCTCAATTCCACGCGGGCTAATCACTGACGTATCGAGATAGTGGCGGAAGTGCCTGAAGGGTTCCAGGAAAGTCATTTCGACGATCTTGGCACCATTGAAGTGCTAGTCTTGCGATGTCGAGCAGTCAACAACGAGGAGAAGGACTACGAGGGTTCATCGTCAGGCGAAGACAGCGATGTATTTGGCGGTCATCCTGTCAGAGAGGAAGGCGACGAGATGAAACCGCCAGAAGACTCCAAAACCTCCACCACGGACGGAAAAAATGCGGTACCAGCACCAGTAGAAGACGAGCAGATAGGGGTCTTTGGTCTGGGTCTCTTTGACGGCGCAAACGACTATCATGAGCCTTACAACAGAGATGGTGGTCATGATGGACAAGATGAGGGTCAATGGGTGTGGCATCAACGTCAAGTGCCTCCTGAATTTCATGCACCTCAAAACCACCACTATCAACAAGCTCACCCGTTTCCCCTATCAGCTGCCGGCCCTCCTCCATGTTTTGCTCCAGTCTATGGCCATTATGATCACTCAAACACCTCCATACCAAGTGCAAAGCGTGTACATTGGGACTACGGCCCTCCAGGTCAGCCTATAGACCAGGCTAGTAGTGCTCAACGTCTGAGAGAGCCATCGATGTGGGATCGTCGACCCTCGGTGAGGCCGTCGTCGAGAGAGCGAATGCGCGCGACAGAAAGAAGACCTTCAAATAGCTCAAGACGTCCTACAGGCCCTCCATATCCCCCACAAAACGTCAATCCTAGCAACAGTCAGCAAAGTGGTCGACACTGGCAAGACGCACGTCTCCCTATTTATGAAGAACCTAATTCGAGGTATCGTGACGGTGCCAGACCGTCGTGGGACAACAACAACCGTAATTCGAGTTGGTATCAAGATGCAAATCGCCCTAGGTGGGGCTACGGGGGTGGCTCTTCTGGTCCACACGACAATCGTCCTGCATCTCCACGACATCAGAGAGAGCCCTGGCAGACTTCTGCTTCTTACCAACGAAGTCCACCTCCTGAACCCCTACCGACACTCAACCAGCCTGTACCTGCACCTCCACAATATCAATTTCAACATACATTGCCTGAATATACTATGCCGCACATTGCAGCCCACCAACCGAGCTATCCTTTGCATTCTGTCACCATGTCTGGCTCTACAGGCTATCCGTCGACGCTAGCTCCTCAGCCTCCGCAGCAGTGGCCAATGTATTATTCAGGACTACCAGCACTGTATACGCATCCTTACTATGCAATGCATGCAGCGTCACAAGTTCCAGGGGGTCCTCAGCTCGTGCCTCCTCCCCCACCTGTTATGGACGAGCATATCAGTCCCAAGAATACGACATTCAATGCTTTTCCCAATCAAGATTCACAAAACAACCCAGACGGTTGGGGCGATACCGGGAACGGTCAAGATACGAATAATGCAGGTGATAGCTGGAATCAGGACAACGGAGGCAACGACGATGGTTGGGGTAATGCTGATGATAATGGAAATCAGATCGACGATAATGGGCAGAACGATAATAATGCCAATTGGGACGGTAACAACAACGATCAACAAACTGACAACAACACTGGTGGTGACTGGGAAAATGGTGGCAATGATGACAATAATGGTGGCGACAGCTGGAATGACAATAGTGGTAATAATGGAAACGATAATACGGGTTGGGACAATCAGCCGACGAACAACAACAATGCTAACACTTCCTGGGACAATCAAGCAACAAATAATGGCGCATCTACTCCTCAGCAGGACTGGAACGACGGGAATCAGAACGGTGAACCAATTTCCTCCGAGGTACCTGAAGTTCCCAGCTTTCCGAAAGAGCTATATGGTCCTCACGGCCCTTACTATGCTTACAGAACGTTGCGACCTGACGACCCCAAACCTGATGCTGAAGAAGAGCCTAGATACGACGTTCCGAAGATGTTGGCAGCAGAAAGGAGATCGACGAAGCAAGTTCAACCAGGGCCAGGATATAGGTACTTCAAGAAGCGACTTGTTCCAGAATACATCGACTCATTCGACACACCATATGCTCGGTTTGTGTTCAAGTATCGGACAAAAGGTAGGCTGCTAAACCGCAGAAGGGAACGAGATGTGCTAACTTTGATGCAGAACAGCTAGTCGATGAGATTGGAATCGAGGTCGATGTCGAGCCCTCGGGCGACCAAGAAGTTCGAGACCTTCAAGATCTCGACAAGCAAGCACTGATCGAGATGCTTTTGCGAGCCAAAGGTGCCTTAGGAGGCAGGGTTCCGAGTCCCCCTCTTCCTCCATGTATGCCTGCAAGTGGCAGTGACACCAGCCTGCCAGTCGCTATCGATGCCCCGAAGTACAATTACCTTAAATATAGCCTTCCACCATTGCGACCGAGCAACTTTAAGCATAATAGTCCTTCTCCTGCTGGATCTGTGGCCGGAAGCAAAGGCAGTAATGAAAACAAAGAGAACGATACAGGAACACAGAACACCAACATCACTGGCGAGTGGCAAGCATCTAATAACGATAGCTGGAACGCTCCGCGATATAATCCTCGACAATCCCAGCAGGCTGGCCAGTCGAATTCAGCCCAGCCACGACAAGATTCCGCTACAGGATCTAGGGGATCCAAAGGTGGAACCTGGGACATACCAGATGATGTACCACCACTACCTCCTGCACCAGATACAGGTGGTCAGGACAGCTGGGCAAACAACGATGCAGGCAATGGAAATGTTTCAGCTGATGGAATGAAGTGGTAAATATATTCTACAAGCATACCAGGATGATATCTGGACGGGGTTTGTGGTTGCTGTATGCAGCTTGAAAGCAGCACTCAGTCAGAAATATGTCCGCTGGCAGTTGCAATTCTGCATATGATACCTAGTAGCAAAAAGCGATCAGTGACAGAAATGGTCAAAAAGGAGGTAGTGGGGCGAAGGTGTGGTCACTGAATCATGCAGATCTGCGGCCTCTAACTTTGGGTTCCGCCATGACATAAAAAAGTATCTTTGTGTCCATGCTCTTCCGTCGTCATCAGGCTATACACAAACTTCAGTAAAGACGAAAAATGCTGACTACTTGGATGTGTGATGTATCTGGTGCTCATTGCTGTACTTCGCGAATCTTGAGGCTTTCTTTCCACTGCTTTGCACTCCTACAGTCGGCTCTATACTAAGATCTTAGCTGAACGAGCATAGTACTTGTGAACCGAGCTCACATTTAGTGAGCAGATTTAGACAATATGACTACTCCAAGGTGCTTCATTGTGCGACACGGTGAGACGGAGTGGTCTCTCTCTGGCAAGCATACCGGCTCGACAGACATACCTCTGACAGCGAATGGCGAGAAACGAGTACGGGCAACGGGAAAAGCTCTGGTAGGTGACGATAGGCTCATAGTGCCTAAACAAATCAAGCACATGTGAGTCAACTACTACCTCAGCAAAAGCAATGACCATAGCTGAAACCTAGTTAACGAGGTTAATACTGACGAATCTACCAGCTACGTCTCACCAATGCACCGCGCCCAACGCACCCTCGAACTCCTCAATCTAGGCTGCACGCTCCCCTACTCGACCAGCAACAGCCAAAACCCCAACCCCCCTCCCCACATCAAAGCCATTGTAACCGTCACCCCTAAAATCCGCGAATGGGACTACGGCGACTACGAAGGCATCACCTCGTCCGAAATCCGCTCCCTCCGTGCCCAGCAATCCCTCCCAGGCACCTGGGACATCTGGACTGACGGCTGCCCAAATGGCGAATCCCCCTCCGATGTGATCAAGCGCGTCGACGAACTCATCCACGAGATTCGCGAGGAGCATCACAGGCCGTACATGGGTAGTAAAGAGCCGGATGCGGACGGGTGTACTGGGGATGTTGTGGTTGTTGCGCATGGGCATATATTACGGGCTTTTGCGATGAGGTGGGTGCGGCAAGATTTGAGTGCGACGGCACTGATTATGGAGGCTGGTGGGGTGGGGACGTTGAGTTATGAGCATAAGAGATTGGAGGAGCCGGCGATTTTGCTGGGGGGCGGGTTTGTGGTTGGGCCGGATGTTTTGAGTGAGGTTGATGAGGAGGAGAGGGAAGGGAAGTTGAAGTAGAGTAGAACATGTAGGTGTCTGATGGCAATAGGAGCAGAGGTGGACATGCTGGACGATGCGTATCAGGCATTTTTTCTATTGTTTTTGGGAGTGCTTCCGTCCGAAACAAACGAGACTTTGACACAAATGAATATATACACGTGATTTTCAGAGCACAAAGCTTCTCCAGAGCTCCGTGTTTGTAAAAGTGATCCTTGCGCAATTTTGTGCTAGGACTTTTGGAAGCTTGTAAGAGCGGTATGGTTGTCAGAACCGTACGGCATTTGTATCTATTCGTCGTCCTCTTCCTCCTCATCACCGTCTTGCTCAGCTGCAGCTCGTGCCTTGTTCTCTGCATCATCGGATTCCAATTGAGCTAGCTGCTGCTCTCGAAGTGCTCTCAGTCTATCGGCAGGGCCTAATGGCTTGCTGACCAAATCGGCAATTTGACCACGGCCGATCAGGGAGGCCACGATGGAGGTTCCGACGATGAAGGTAAGGACGAATCGGTAGATACCGTACCAGCCTGGAGCCCAGCCGGCACGGGAGGCTTGCGCATCGGTATAGTATAGGAAGGTGAAGGCGAGGAATTGAGTGATGAGGCCTACTTCAGCGGAAAGAAGAAGCGTTGGCCATGCCACAGCAGTTGCGACGACACCGATCATGTATCTTGGATATCCTTGCTCACCGCCATATTTAGCCCATTCGAGACCCCAGTGGATGGCACCAAGGAAAGAGATGATCTATTGTACCCGTTAGATCTGTGTTTCCAAGTCCAGGAATATGCTTACGCTAGCTCCATAGCCCAGCTGGAGAGGCTCGATAATGTGAAGCAGTTGCTCTGCAACAGCGCCGTCCAGTAGCATACCTTGTCCGTGGGTGGAAGCATACTGGATATCGAAGGAAAGGTAGACAGTAGCAAGCGAGGTTGCAAGGTAAGGAACCACGCCAGCCAGTCCCATGTACATGGCCTTTTGTGGAACATCTTTCAGCGAGAAGGTGTCGACGATTGTGGTCTGTGTCAATCAGTCCCCGACCTCGTCACAGTATATTTGTTTACTCACAAAATCACTTCGAATACTGGCGGTCATATCAACATCCCTGTCTGCATCGTCGACTCCGAGCTCACCCACTACAGGATGCGCAGAAGACGAGGTGGACACCAATTCAGGGTGAGCACCAACTTTTTGAGCTTGTATAGCCTTCTCTCCCTCGGTGTCTCGCTCGTAATTCATCTTGCTTCTATCGGAGGCATATCGAACGAGGGATTGTTGGAGTGGTTGTCGTGTAGTGAGTGCAAGTATCGATGAGGCCTTGACTGGTCTTGTGGACGTTCTGAAAGCGGCTTGCTGGACAAAGGTTGACAGTACGTTCCTCGTCGTGGGTGCTCTGAGCGATCTGGGCACTGCCCTTGAGACTGTTGTGCGGAACATGCTGGCGTGATTTAAATTTGTGCTGAGTAGGGCTTCGGAACGGGCGAGAAGCTCTACACCAGCTGCAGAGGAGACGCCAGGACACGATAGAAGGAGTGGAGAGTTGAGTTGTGCGTGGAACTAACCTCCAAGGTCTCGTTCTGCGGTCCTCGTGAAGTAATCGCGAGCGTCGTTGAAGCTGCAGTGGAGTCCTCCTTTAGTGTAGCCTCATGAACATGTCAGGCCATCTTCTTCGCCAAGCAGTATTTACTGCTTGGAGTCGATAGACGCAGAGCAAAGCCGGCAATATATTTGGACGACACCGAAACCTGCCAGCTCAAGCCTCGTGTGGCGCCTATCGAGGGCTGGTAAGCTACGTCACAAAGGCAATCACGAGGGCGCCCACCAGCACGAAACTTGAACACCATAGAGCCAACATCCACATCCTCTGGCTTTTGCGCGCCTCTTTCTGACATGATTTCCATTTTATCCTTTGGCAAGCGCGGCTGAGGTGTGTATATCTTTATCAGTTATACTTCTGGTTGTACTCGTGCAACACCCGTTCACCTATCATTCAATAGCTTGTTCCTTTCGCGTCACAGCCTTGACTCGACACTTCTGATCCCAATTTCCAGGCAGAAGCCACTTCTTGTCTACGACTACGCCACACTTGTCAGTCTCTACGTCTGCCAGCACTTCGACACGTGATACAGTGGTATTGTCGATTCTCGAAAACGTCTCCGACATCAACGTCGTCGATGGGACTCGTCCACTGCTAACCGTCCTCTTCACTTCCCTGACCAGGGTTACAGTCAATACCTGTCAAGATGTTAGAAGGTCTGGTATCAAACCTGCTCAATAGGTTCCTGGGCATGTATGTTAAGAACTTCGACCCAAAACAGCTCAATGTAGGAATCTGGTCTGGTGATGTCAAACTTCGCAACTTGCAGCTTCGTCGAGAGGCTCTTGATCAGTTACACCTACCCATCAACGTTGTTGAAGGCCGTCTAGGTGAACTCACCCTGTCTATCCCTTGGTCTAATCTTCGTGGTAAACCGGTGCGTGTCAATATCGAAGATGTCTTTCTTTTGGCGGCTCCGAAAATGGATGACAACTACGATCCTGACGAGGAGGAGAAGAGGGCTGTCGCCGTAAAACTAGAGAAGCTCGAAAGTGCCGAATTGCTCAAGGAGCGAAATAGTGAAGGCTTGAGCCAAGAAGAGCAGAAGAAGCAACAGAGCTTTACCTCCAGTCTCGTCACCGCAATCGTTGACAACTTGCAGGTCAGCGTAAAGAACATCCACGTACGGTATGAGGATGCAGTCGCTACCGAAGGTCATCCTTTTGCTGTAGGCTTGACTCTAAAAGAAGTAAGCGCTGTCAGTACCGATGAGAATTGGCAGCCCACCTTCATTCAATCAACTGCAAACACTACTCACAAGCTTGCAGTTCTTGACTCACTCGCTCTGTACTGGAACAGTGATGCCGAACTCCTTAGTAGTGGTAAAGGAGACGAACCTGGCAGTACACAAGTTGATGCGGAGGAGATGATCAAACGTTTCAAGGACGGCATTAACAACCCAAATAATCCACAATATCTCCTCAAGCCCATCAGTGGACGAGCTGGCCTGGAGATGGACAAGACTGGCAAGGCTGATAAAGCAAACATAAAAGCAAGACTGCTCTTTCAGGAGTTGGGCTTCATTATCGACGAGGACCAATATCGCGACGCGCTTATGCTTGTTGATCTCATGCACTACTTTATTCGTCATCAGGAATACAAAAAGGGTCAGCCGAAGCAGTCTCCGAAAGAAGCGCCTCGAGAGTGGCTGCAATTCGCTGGTACTGCCGTTCTTGACAAGATTCATGATCGCAATCGAAAGTGGTCCTGGGCATATTTCAAAGAACGAAGAGATATGCGTGGACGGTATATCGAGCTGTTTAAGAAGAAAAAGAAGGATCAGCAGTTCACCGAGCAAGAGAATAAGGAATACGACGACCTCGAATTCAAACTTTCTTACGAGGATTTGCGGTTCTGGCGATCATTAGCTCGCAATCAGTTACGCAAAGAAAACGTGGGAGTTAAGAAGCAGCCACAGAAGCAAACCTGGTCGCAGTGGGTATGGGGCCAGAAACCAGCACAGAAGGAGGAGCAACACGACGACGAAAGCAGTATGAGCGACGAACAACGAAAGGAGCTATATGCAGCCATTGATTGGGACGAAAAGAAAGCCATCGCGGAGAGTGTTGACGTGCCTCGTGAGACAATCAAAATGCAGGTCGAGTCGAGTCTTCGCACTGGCAGCTTTACCCTCAAGCGTGATCCTCATGGCAAAGCTAATGAAGTGCTCAAGCTCGTCTTTGATGACTTCCAGGCCAAAGCTTTACAACGACCTGATTCGATGTTAGCAGACCTTCAGCTTGGAGGCCTTCGCGTTTACGACGGCACGACAGAGGGCAGCCTTTTCCCTCAAATCGTGAAGGTCAAAGGCGTCCAGGAGCGATCGAAGGACGAGCCCGAGCCTGAGGACCATCCCGAATTAGATAAAGATGAATCTGAAAAGAATGGAGACGATGCAGCACGCAAACTGTTCCATCTCGTATTCGAGAACAACCCATTGGACGAAAGTGCCGACATGTCCATCATGCTCAAGCTCAAGAGTCTGGAATTTATTCATAACCCGAAGTTTGTGGTTGAGATTGCACGCTTTTTCAAGCCTCCCGAGCGTCAGATGGACTCTATTGGAGCTCTATTGGAAACAGCAGGAGCTTCCATCGAGGAGATTCGACAACAGACTCGAGCTGGCCTTGAGTTTGCCCTTGAAGAGCACAAGACTATCAACGCCAACATTGACCTTCAAGCTCCTATAATCATAGTCCCTGAGCAAATTACACAGGAAAGCACATTGTGCTTGATAGTTGACGCAGGTCATCTGAGTTTGCGAAGTGATCTTATCGATAAAACCACTTTAAAGGACATTCAGTCGAAGAGAAGAAACCAATACTCGGACGAAGACTTCCGACAGCTTGAAAACTTGATGTACGACAAGTTCAATCTCAAGTTGGATTCCACGCAAGTCCTGATCGGGCCTGGCATTGATGCAACAAGGGCTGAGCTGGATTCTCAAGATCACTCTAAGAACATGCACATTGTGGAACGTATCAACATGGAATTCCTGCTTGAAAATTCGATTATTCCCAAAGATCCAAATATCACTAAGCTCAGAATCACAGGTACACTACCTGTTCTACACGCTGCTGTGTCAGACAAAAAATACAAGAGTCTTATGAAATTGATCGATGTTGCTGTTCCGAAGTTCGACGCCGAAGATGAACCATCAGTTGAGTCTACTCAGCAAGTTGATCGTCCCACGACTATGGCAGATATGCGTGCTAAGAGGAAGTCTGTACAGCTTCTTGAGCGGCCGGTCGAGATAGCCATCGATCACGAGTCGGATACCGAAGAGTCTGAGCCCACAGCGCCGGTTGAGACCGATCAGCAAGACGGCGAAAAGCCTACCAACATACATCAGCGTAACTTCGAGCTCAAGTTTGTGGTTGAGAAGCTACAAGCATCGCTATCTAAGGCTAACGAGGATCCCTCAAAACCTGATCAACTCCTCGCAGAATTAGTCGCTGAGCGCTTTCAGTTTGATTTCTATCTTCGACCTTACGACATGGTGGCTGAGGTGGTGCTGCAGTCGCTCTATATCGACGATCATGTTGAGGAAGACCCCATTCCAGAATTCAAGCAGATCATATCCTCGAAAGGTTTCAAGTCTGATGAGGATGAGGACCTCTTCACGGTCAAGTTTATCAAAGTCAACCCTGAATCACCTGAATTTCGATCAACTTATGAAGGCATCGCAACAAATCTGGATGTCAATATTTCAACGATCAACGTCATAGTGACTAGGAAAACATTGCTCACACTGCTTGATTTTGTGTTGAGCACTTTCGCGGGTCCAACGGAGCCAGCACCTGAAGCTAAAATAGATCAAAAAGCCATCAATGGAAATGTTGGTCAGGGTCAGAGTTCATCTGATCAGTCGCAAGCAGCTGCTCAAGCTGACAAGATTCGCATCCGAGCACAATTAAGAGGCGTTGCCCTTGTTTTGAACAACGATGGAGTGCGACTTGCGACATTGGCACTCAACTCGGCAGACGTGGGACTACTGCTTGCGGGTGGAACTATGGATATCAAGGCTAAGCTGGGAAGTTTGTCACTCATTGACGATGTAAATCAAGGTGCTCCTGAGGACTCACCCTTGCGACGGCTGATTGCGATTGAAGGAGATGAACTGGCCGATTTCAAATACCAAACCTTTAACTCCGAGCAGAAGAATTATCCTGGCTATGATACGAGCATCTTCTTGCGATCAGACTCCATCAAAATTAATTTCATGGAGGAACCATTCCGAAAAATCATGGAGTTTGGTGTCAAGTTCGGCCAAATGCAAGCTATCTTCAATGCTGCTCGTCAAGCAGCAGCCAATCAAGCGACACAGGTGCAAGAAAATGCCTCAAAGATGCATTTCGATATTATTGTCAAGACACCTATCGTAGTGTTCCCTCGTGCCGTTCTTGCGGAACGACCCAGAGATCTCCTTACGGCGTACTTAGGTGAAATTTACGCGAGCAACAAGTTTGTTGGTATTCAAGGTCAAAAGAACGGACCAATGGTCAACAAGCTTTCAGCCGGAATTCGACAGATCCGGCTAACCTCTCAATTCTTCTATGACAACGGACAAGAAGAAACGCTAGAGATGATAGAGAAAGTAGATCTCGACTTCAAGATCCGCTATCTCGAACATCAACCTGGTCTTGAGCGACCAGATTTAGAAGTCGATGGCTCTATGTCACCAGTCAACCTACGCATCTCACAAACACAATTCAAATTCCTTATGGAACTATCGAAAAGCATTCCTGCCGCCTTTGCAACGGAAACTGAATCTGATGAAGAGGTTGCGGAGGAACTGCCTGACTCTGTGACCTCTTCTGCACAAGTGGTGCAGACGAATAACAACAAGGACGCGTCAAGTGAAGACTCGAAGCCTTCTCACCAAGCACCGGAACTTGGTACAAGCGAAGAGACTTGGACAAAACTTAACTTGGTGTTCAAAGCTCAGATGTTTGGACTCGAGCTGTTTCTCGCGCCAGAGAATGAACCAGTAAAGGATTTGAATGCCGTCAGTCTGTCGAAATTCGCTCTCAATGAGATGAATGTAAAGCTTCGTATGGTCAGCGACGGCGCCATGGAAGCTGAATTGCTTATTCAGTCATTCACGATTCGCGATAGCCGTCAGAAGGAGACGAACAAATTCCGAAAGATCATGTCGTTGATCAATAGCGACGTCCAGCAACAATTCATGGCCAGTGTATCGATGTCTGGCGGCGATGAGAAGCACATGATTGTGATGCTCACCATCGATAGTCCGCGCATTATCGTTGCGCTAGATTACTTGTTCGCTCTACAAGCATTTGCCAACACAGCTCTTGGAATGAACGACCCGAAGCCGATTGCTGAGCAGCCAATGCTCGAGGACGTCAACGGTGCTGATGCCAACACCGACGATGAAGTCGAGGCGAAACCTTCCAAGGAAGAAGAACAGTCGTCCTCTTCGATGACAATGTCTTTCCGTGTTAACATCGTGGATGCACAAGTCATAGTCATCGCAAACCCTGCTATCTCAAATACTGAGGCAATAGTACTCGGCACGAAGGAAATCATGGTGTCACAACAAAACGCCACGACTCTGCAAATCACGAAGGTTGGCATGTTCCTCTGTCGCATGGACAAGTTCGATTCTAGTCGCCTACGAGTCCTCGACGACTTCACCATTCAGATGTCGATGGACAATCGACCTCAAGGCAAGGATTCTTCCTTGACGTCTATCAGCATTGACATTGAGCCTCTCGTGCTTCGGCTCTCCTTGAGAGATATTCTGCTTGCGATGCAAATTGTCAATAAAGCCACTGCAAACCTTGCTCAGCAGCAACAGCAGCAGCAGATGCAAGACGACGACGAGCCCCAAAAATTGAAGGACGTGAAAGCTGCTTCTAGGCCGCCCTCGTCAAGACGAAAATCAGGTGCTGGCAGTACGACGAGGAGCCGCAGAAAGTCGATCGCACAAACTACCAGCAAGCCTGTCAGTCCACCCAAGCAATCGATAGTCATGAAGCGCGAAGAGCTTACAGCTCAAATCGAGGGTATTAGAGTGATCTTGATTGGCGACCTTCATGAGCTGCCTTTGCTAGACTTCAGTGTCAAGAAGTTCGATGTAAGTGTAAGAGATTGGACTGGATCAATGAGCGTCGACACTCAGCTGAACACTTTCATTAACGTCTACAATTTCTCGAAATCTGCTTGGGAGCCATTGATCGAGCCTTGGCAGTTGGGCTTCCACATGGCAAAACAGCAGGAGCCCGAACTGATGTCCGTGGAGCTCTATTCCCACAAGAATATGGAGCTCACAGTGACTTCAGCCACAATAGCTCTTGCCTCAAAATCTTTCGATTTCTTGACAACCGATGAAGATATCCTTTCGAAGCCGAGAGTGCAGGACGCTCCTTACAGAATTCGCAACTACACTGGGTTTGATCTTAGCATCTGGGCTGACGAGAAGAACGAAAACGCCTCTGCCGACAAACTCAGTGACGGCGAGGAGAAGCCGTGGCGATTCGAAGACGCAACATCCATGCGTGAAAACTTGACGCCTGAGGGCAATGCGGGTCTAGTAGGCATAAAGATTGAAGGAAGCGGATTTGACAGCATCAGTCGTATTCCTGTAATCCGTGAGGGGGAAGCGCTTTATAACCTCAAGCCACGAAAGGACAAGGTGCAGCATCGAGTACTAGTTGAGGTCAAACTTGGCCCTGACAATGTCAAATACATCACCTTCCGTTCACCCTTGTTGGTCGAGAACAAAACCCAAATTCCGATCGAGGTAGGTGTTTTCAGCCCGGAAGACGGCAATTTGCTCAAAATTGAGAAAGTCCCACCTGGAGAAGGAAGGCCTGCTCCGATCGGAGCCTGCTTTATTCACTCGCTGCTTGTACGGCCTGATCAAGGCTTTGGCTACAGTTGGTCAGATGAGAAGCTGTTCTGGAAGTCCCTCATTGAACGACCTACCAGGACTATCACCTGCCGTTCAGAAAGTAGAGATCAGTCACCGCCCTTCTTCTTCCAGATGAATGCTTTGTACAATAAGAAGGATCCGATGGTCAAGATATATCCTTATATGAGGATACAAATTTCCGCTCCTGTGGAAATCCAGAACCTGCTGCCATACGACTTCAAGTATCGTATTTACGACAAGAACACGAAGAAGGACTGGACAAATTTCCTCAGACGAGGCGGAGTCAGCCCTGTACATGTAGTCGAACTCTCGCATCTCTTATTGCTCAGCGTTGAACTAGAAGATACAGTCTTCAAGGCCAGTGACTTCGCCATAATCAACAGTCACACGCAAGAGGATTTTAGAAGGGAAAAGGAGATGCACCTCAAAGACTCGCAAGACGGGTCTCTGCGGCTGAAGCTGCACTACACCAACATCAAAGATAGTGGCGGTGCTTTCAAGGTCTCGATTTACAGTCCGTATGTCATCCTGAACAAAACTGGCCTCGAGATGCAAGTACAGAGCAAAGCTGGATGGAGTGGCTCCTCTTCTAAAGCTCCTGCTAGCCAGGGTGCAACAACGCACTCGGGCGAACGCCACAAGGCTCTTCCATACCTGTACTCCTATCCTGGCGATGATCAGAAAAATCGATCTATCCTCAAGATGGGCGAGTCGGCTTGGAGCAAACCTCAGTCCTTCGACGCTATTGGAAGCACATACGAGGTCGTGCTACCTGCCGCCAACAATAAGACTGAATTCCACGCTGGTGTCTCAGTTGCCGAAGGGGAGGGCAAGTACAATCTAACCAAAGTCGTCACTGTGGCACCTCGTTTCATTCTGAAGAACAAGATTGGCGAAGACTTAGAACTTCGAGAACCAGGATCATCCGACATCATACGCCTGAAAAACAATGACCTCCTGCCTGTCTACTTCATGACGCAAGGTCTGGAGAAGCAGCTATGTCTTTGCTTCCCAGGGGTGAACAACCAGTGGTCATCGCCGTTCAACATGTCAAATGTAGGTATGACACATGTGAAGCTGGCAAAACATGGCCAGAGACAGCGTCTTGTCAGAATCGAAACGATTCTTGAGAACGCAACCCTATTCCTTCACTTCAGTACGGAGACAAAGAATTGGCCATTCTCGATGCGAAATGAGAGCGATACAGAATTCCTGTTCTTCCAAGCGAATCCGAATGTTAGTGAAGATGGAGAGGAGGACAGAGGTAGTGGGTGGAAACCCATTCGGTACAAGCTGCCTCCTAGAAGCATCATGCCATACGCATGGGACTATCCCGCGTCGAAGAACAAAGAGCTGGTGCTTACTTGCAGAGGCAAAGAACGATATGTGAAATTGCAAGAAATTGGCAATCTTATCCCTATCAGATTGCCACCAGCAGAGGCAGGACTCCCTCCCAAAGCCATTGATGTCAACATCGTGGCTGATGGACCCACAAACACGCTTGTTCTCTCCAACTACAAAGCTGCGACATCCCTGTATCGCACAAAGACAGGGGCGTCGACAACGAGCTTAAACTCCGGCTTCGAGGTCAAGCAGATCGAATCAGAAGTCAACTTCAAAGCGGAGCTACGTTTTGCCGGAGTCGGTATCTCATTAGTGAACAGCAAGCTCAAGGAACTGCTCTACCTGACGTTCAGAGACATTGACTTCAAGTATGGCGATTCGAAGCTGTATCAGACTCTCAATCTGACGGTCAAATGGATACAGATGGACAACCAGCTCTACGGTGGCATTTTCCCGATTCTGCTCTATCCCAGTGTTGTGCCGAAGACTGGGAAAGAGATGGAGGCCCATCCGATCTTCCATTCCATGATCACGCGCGTCAAAGACGACTCGTATGGCGTTCTTTACATCAAGTACGCCACACTCCTGCTCCAACAAATCACTATTGAACTCGATGAAGATTTCATCTTCGCCTTGCTGGATTTCACGAAGGTCCCCGGTGCTTCTTGGTCTGAAGAGAAAGAGGGCAAGCTCTGCGACGAGAATCTAGACGTTCCGGAACCTACAAAGGAACAACAAGGCGAAGATATCTACTTTGAACTATTGCACCTACAGCCTATGCAACTCGACCTGTCATTCGTGCGAACTGAGCGTGTCAATGCCGAGGATACCATGAGCTCGAATCCCTTGATGTTTTTCGTGAACGTTATGACAATGTCCATCGGCAACGTCAACGATGCACCTATTCGACTCAATGCTCTCATGCTGGAGAATGCCCGCATGCCTATCGGAGCCCTTATGGCTAATGTTCAATCATTCTACACGCAAGAAGTCCTTAGGCAGATACACATCATTCTTGGGTCCGCAGATTTCCTGGGCAATCCAGTTGGTCTGTTCCAAAACATCTCTTCTGGCTTCGCCGATATCTTCTATGAACCATACCAGGGCCTTATTATGACGGATCGACCTCAAGAACTCGGATTGGGTATTGCCAAGGGTGCCAGCAGCTTTGTCAAGAAGTCCGTCTTTGGGTTCAGTGACAGTATGGCCAAATTCACGGGCTCGATATCTAAAGGACTTGCAGCAGCATCAATGGATAAAGAGTTCCAAGACTCGAGAAGAATGGCCAGAAGCAGAAACAGACCGAAACATGCTCTTTATGGTGTCACTTCGGGCGGCAACGCCTTCGCAGCAAGTATGGCTTCGGGAATTGGTGGATTAGCAAGACATCCCTTGGAGGGCGCAGAAAAAGAAGGCGCGCTTGGATTTGTGAAGGGTGTAGGTAAAGGTATGCTCGGACTTGCCACCAAACCTGCCATTGGCGCTTTCGACCTTGCTAGCAATCTTGCAGAAGGAGTACGCAACACCACTACTGTGTTCGATGCGGAAGGCCTCGATCGCGTACGGCTGACACGTTTTATCGGCATGGATGGTATTGTTCGACCTTATTCACAACGTGAAGCTCTTGGACAGTTCTGGCTAAAAACTTGCGATGACGGCAAATACTTTTACGAGGATTACATCGCTCATCTCGAACTCGAAGGCAAGGAGATGCTGGTGATAATCACCTATGAACGCATCCTGATGATCCGAGCACAAAAACTCAAGACTGTCTGGGAGGTCAAATTGACTGACGTTCAGACCATCTCCAAAGAACGTACAGGTATGAGTATAGGGTTGAAGGGTGGTGCTAATGGTCCATTCGTGCCTATCAAGGATGAAGGAGGTCGGAACTGGCTATACAAGCAAATCGCTATTGGTAAGTCCTAGAACTGTCCTGTGCTTGGGGATGACTAACCTTTGTTTAGCTGTCAATGCATTCAACGACAAATACAACGCGAAAGGTTGAGCTTGAGTCTCAAAATGTCTGTATGAGCATAGCGTGGGCGTTAGGTAAAGGTAGCAAGCACATATTTCGGTGATTCACTTTCAGAGAGCGACCAAGCCGGAAATAGTGCGTGGCATCCTAATGTTTATGATGATGTATGATATATGACTCCAGTCTACGTGGTATGTGGGGCGACGTTTTCTAAAGTGTAGGTGGGGTATTGTTGAGTGAAGATACCTTATTTCTTCCTGTCACTAATCGCACAGCCCTCACCTGACGGAACATGGACGCGCCTCTGTCAACACATCAACAAAAATGTCTCGGCTCACCTACCATCATGCTGTTATTTTCCAAATTGTTTCGCACGAGCTCCTGTTAAGTCACGTGTTGAGTTGACCCTGCCTCTTCTTCTCTGACACTCTCGGACGATCTTTTGGTCGCACTTTCTTTTGACCATCAGTTAGCTATTCACCTTGACCTGATGGTTTTTATTAAGTTTCCACAACAGTATCAGAATACAATGGCTCCTAAGAGAAGACGAAGCTCAATTGAACCAGGTAAGCGAAATGAAAGCTTCACTGGTAAGAAAGGACTGACTCATAATTGAACTTCAGCAGACAGTTTTTCACCTTCACTAGACAAGATCTCTCACACCAATCGTGCAGCTTCTGTTGCGTCCACTTCACGCAAAGCTGGTCCTTCCAAAAAGAAAAGTAAAATAGTACCTTCCAACTCCACGCCTGCGTCGACTCCTGTTACGTCTAGAAAAGCTAGAAAACTATCCACAACTCCCGCTGCTACCAAAGCTACAACAGAGGCCAAACAACGACCTTCACAGTCTCGTCCATTGCAGTTACCCAAAGAACCCGTTGTCGTTGAGGACAAACCCAGTACTGGTAAGCATTCTGCGACTCATTTTTGGTTGACACGATCTGATCTTCTACTCTAGAGAACCCAGATGAAGACGTTGACGATAGCGACAATGAGATCTTACCCCTTGCGCCTACACATCCTGACCTCCTTGAACCAAATCCATATCCCAACTTATGGCAAACGCCTAGTAAGCCTCCGATGTCTTCAGTGGTCTTGCGTTGTGCTAAAGGCTTCTAGTTCCTTCCAGAAAATCGGGAAAGCCAATGGCGCCAGAAACTATCCAGTCAGACGAGGACGAGGATAAGGATAAGGATGAGACTTCTGCTCCACCCATAATGCCACCTCGGTTGTCGCAAGGTTCTCTTATCAAATATATCGACACTCCTAACCCTCAACCAATAGCTGATCTCAGCAACAACCCTGCCGCTGCCCACTACAGACAGCAACGAGACGATCTGTTCGCGACCCTACAAGATGTGATCGATCCTTATGTTTACGCCACAGAGCTGCGACTAGAACAGCTTTCTCGAAACTATATGAGCTTGCTCGGCTCTGTACCAGAAGACTTGCAAAAGCTCTCCCAAAGACCACGGGTCACTGTAGCGCCCTTGCCTGAGTTTGTTCCTTCTCAGACTCCACATGGTGATGAGCCTATGGAGGAGGAATTGAGAAGGCTCACAGAACAGCGTGATCGCGCTGAAGGGTATGCTGAGGAAGTGAGTAAGTCGCTCGGGACTCAGGCCAAGATCGAGCGCTACCTTGTGCGACTGATCAAGGACCAATATGAGTACATCGAGCAAATCGCGGAGAAATTGAACATGCCAGTGCCCAAAGATATCGCTTTACCTGAACCTACCGAGGGTGCTCCGATCAAGAAGGGGAACCAATCTGCTGATAGTGGCTACGGTAGTGGAAAGATCAAGCAATCGCCAGAGATGCAGGTAATTGAGAACAATTCTTCACGACCTGGTTCGCCGCACCATGATGAAAACCAGCAGGAACTGCCACTTCCACCTGACAACCCGCCACAAGAACGAGAAACATACCTCAGCCATGGCACTCCGGTCGAGCTTGACCATACTTTATATACTTCGTCGCCCATTTATCAGGATCACAACGTCGCAGATCACTATAGTCATCAACGTGCCATGAATGATGGCTCAGTCCAGGCCTTCAAGTACAACCCATCCACATACATTACTACACCTGTCTTGCCCTTCAACAATATCAAGATGGGTGATATCAACCCAGGTTTGTTCAGCAACGGATCTATCTCCTCCCAGCACGATCATATCGGGAGCACAGCCAGCACTAGCAACTACGTTTCGAGTCCTGTCTCATACAATCAGCCTGAAATCGGCAACACAAGAGGGTTTCTCAATCGACCGTATGATGAGGTTGGTCTCGGTACCCCCCGATCAGCATTCTTCCCTCACCAGGCTGCGCCTTTTTTTCCTATCCACGAAGATGGCAACCAGAGTGGAGGCACCCAAGGATTACTAGCCATACACGATAAAGAGGTTGATGATCAGGAGGTGTTCGCACGCGATGGTATGATTGCGGCTGAGCTGGCGATGCCAGCACATGGGTACGGTTTCAACCACACGGGAAGTTTCTATGCCGATGAACATGCTGGCAATCAGTCTTTTCTGGGTTTTGAATAAAGAGAAAGTATTAAGTCGGGCTGTTTACAACAATTCAGCAGGGGCTTAGTCTATCATTGATGTCTTACACTTTTGGCTAAGAGCAGTCATTGTTGTATGATGGGATGATGGACAAAGAACATATGAAGAGTCCATGGATAAATCAGCTGTAAATAGTACAATCTCGAAGATCTTGTCTACGGATAATGAGCAAGGATTATGTGGACACGGTTATCAGGGAACGAGTTGGTTATGCACAATGTACAACGATACAAGCATTGAAGCGTCAAAACACGTGAGCCTCAGACAACTGCGTACAGCACAAGAAACACACCAGCAATACAAAACGCATTTGACAACGAGATGTTCTTATCATGTAGTCTCGCAGTCATAGTGGCTGTGCCCATGCGTCTAGAGCTGAAGCTTTCAGCTCGGCAGAGACTTGAGCATCGGAACGTGACTGCTTCACACAACAGGCAAGACAAGACAACTACTCTCCTCCCCCCTCCCACCAACGCCCACAAAATGCACACCCTCGTTCTCCGTCGCCGGCCCCTTCGCCCCTGGCAATCCCAGCGGCACCACCGGCCTCCCCGAAACCGTGAATCTCAAAATATCTCCCTTTTCCCAATACATCCCATACGCCCTCATCGGCACATCCAGCACCCTCTTCTCCCCCGCTTTCAGCATCGCACGTTCCGTAAACGAATAGCTCGGCTCGTACTCCGTCGATGTCTCATCTTTATCTAGCGCGTAGCTGGCGCGCAATCGCCCATCACTGCCCCAGTGGTAAAGGAGACCGAGTTTACTCATTCCGATTTGCCAGTCGTGCATGAATTTGAGGAGGGCGTATTGTGGACCAAACTTTGGGCGGAGGACGAGGGTACCTTGGCGATAGTGGGAAGGTGAAAATTTTTCGATCTGGATAAAGAGGTCGATTTCGTTGTGGGTGGGTGTGGTGGACATGATGAGGTGGGCGTGAGGGTATCCCGTTGTTTCAATTGGGTGAGGCAGGGTGTATTCGAAGATTAGGCTGTTGTTTCGGTTTGTGTTGTAGCTGAGTTCTGAATGTGAGAATGGTGGGGTGAGAGAGAGTGTCTTGTCGGGTTGGAGGTAGTATTTTGTGTATTTCGTTCTGGCGAGGGGGAAGTCGTGTTCTGCGCGCTCGATAGTGTCTTCTTGTAGGGTCATGCCGAAGTTGAGGATGCTTAGACGGACTTTTGGTGTGCTTTCCCAGTCTGTTCGTTGGCCTTTGAGGCACCAATCAAAGAATCTCTTCAGGTCCATCGTGTTTCTGTGCTCGTAGTAGTCTGGCCATTCTTGTATGTTGTGGACGCGCAGCCATTTCGGCACTGAGTCAGGCACCAGTCGCCATGCCTTCAAGGTACCATTTGTATGAAAAATGCTCGTCCAGCTCGCCACAGTATATACAGAAACATTGATCCTCTCAACGACCGCACGCTTGTCCTGCCAGTACTTGTCGTATGTAGAGCCACTTCCATCCCTGTTCGCTGCAGCCACGATGTCCTCGAGTCGACCTTGACCAGCAAATGCCGAAGTGATAATATCAATACCAGCAGTATCAGGTATACCTCCGGCACAGACTACATCCTTGTACATGTCCATCAGACCTTCCCAAGGTGCAATACCGGCTAGTCCTTCTGGTCTCAAACTAGCAATGTACCATTGAGCTGCAGCAAGGTAACTATTCCCACTCAAACCGACTTTCCCATTACACCACTTCTGTCGCGAAAGCCAAGTGACGAACTCTGCGCCATCTTTAGCTTCTTGATGACCGAGGAGATGGGCATCGCCTTCACTTGTGAATGTGCCTCGCGTATCGACATTGACGATGGCGTAGTCGTAAGAGCACCAAAAAGCAGGGTCCGGTCCTTCCCATTTCTGAAGTGAGGAGACGCTAGAAGGAGGAACACCGCAATGGAAAGGATAGTCAGATAGGATTTGTGTGCCGCCCTGCTTACCATAAGGAGACCTGTATGAAATTAGTGTCGCGAATGTAAAGTTGAGCAATATTTCGTACAACAATCACTCTCGTTGTATGGTCGCACTCTGAAGGGGTAAGCAAAAGCTACTCACCAAGCAACAACAGCAGGAACCCTTTGCTTATCACCGTATGTTCCGTCCAGATCCTCGAACCGAGCGGGCAGGAAAATATCACAGTACAAAGTAATGCCATCGGAGAGCTTCATGGGCACACTTTCGTGCATGATAACGTCTATCGGCAGGGCTTTATAGCCTGCTTTCACGACCTGGCCTGTCTTGTAGTGGGTCTTTCCCTGATGGAAGCCGGGAAAGCGTGCCTTCGAATCCGAGATTGATTTTGGTTTCTTCCATGTTCTCGTTCGTCTGGAACTTTCGGATAGGTTTTCCGATCGAGCCACGGAAGCTTGAAATTCGCGGTCGTTCATCTTGTTCAGATGCTTATCGGCTTTGGAGAGTACAGATCGCCTGAGGTTCTCTGATGCAAGGTAAGAGCAGCGAGATGGGATGAGGAATACACTTTGGATGTTCACGAAGTTCGCTGAAAAGTAGAAAGGGTTGGAAACTCATGGTTGCAGGAACCCGCACGGTCCTATGTTGGCATCCCTGGTTTTGGAGTCTACGGTACATTATGGCAGTATACCACCTTCCATCTGGACGAAGAAGCTATAAAACCATATGACTGAATGTAAAGTATAAAGGAGCGAGATAGACGCATTCAGTTTAGTTTCCGCAAAAAGAGCTCAAGTTGTGTCTGTGCTTCGCCGGAGACTGTTCGGATATTTCCGTTGTGTCCTCCCTAGGTAGGATCAAGCAACCCATCCACGAGTGGACTGAGCAGGCGAGGCATGCCTCCTCTTGCTTGATACCACATTGAGACCATCTGGAGAGGTATTTCATCCTGTGATCCATTATCATCACTGTCTTACGACCGGAAAGATCGACAGGGTAGTGCCATTTCAGTAGTCGTGTGTTTTTGTGCTTGACAAGAACTCAACCCTCCTCATTATAGTATGAGAGGATGTGATTCTGATGGCAGCAAGACAGGGCTTCTCGTGTAGCCAGAGCCTATTCTAGCTTCCCGGGACCTGTACTGGTGAAATCGTCGGACAAGTGTGGACGTCCTAGAAGCATCAGGACCAAGGATTCTTTGATGAGCATTGCTGAACTTGTCGGGTTCATGGTAATGCTATCTTGTTTCCCAAGCTGAACTGCACCTTGGTAGGTAGGCTAAGCACTCTCGGTCTTGCTGACTGCTTGCGAAGAAACCAGGCAATCATGTGAATAAATTCGTGGTTGAATGTCGGACACGTAGTCTGAAGTCCCGTGCTGTCATGCATGTCTCTTGTGTTAGCAAGGCTGATGCAGCTGCATTTTGAGCCCGAGCACGAGGTGGTGCAGCAGCACAGCCTGAAGTAAGGTGGCATGACAATCTATCTGGTCTTCCTGAAAAGGAGATTATAGTATGTGCTTCTGTTTTGCTTACCGCTCATTGAGCATGTTGCCAAACAAATTCGGTGCTCCTTGAGGCCGCACCTCTCCAATGCCAATGTTCAGCTAGCACAGGGATTAGCTTCGTAAATCGTCGACATGTTCGCCTAGCATGGTACATCTTCTTTGTTCTCACTCGCCAGAAGTGCATTGTCCTACGCGTAAGTCAACCTCAATCGGTCGTCTCACGATTCTCCCAGTAGTTCCAGGTAGGTACTTCGGCAGGATCCCATGTCACACCTCCAGGCTCTGTGTTTGGACTGTATCGACCTTGCCGCCTTTTCCTTTTGACGTATTTTCTTGCTTCATTCTCAAACTGTGACCAGTCTTCTGGTCCGAAGTAACTCTTCAATGGTCGTCGAGAATCCTCAGAGACTGCCGCCCATGCGGCTTTGACCCATGATAGGCAAGAAAAGCTGGTAGCATCGTGGTTTGTGGCATGAGGGGGAACGTGCGTTGGGTTCAGATGAGCACTCACAGAGGAAGCCAGAGTCCTAAAGAGAGCTACGACACGTCGTTCGTCAACGACTTTTGCAAGAGCAATGCGGGCAAGGAAGTTTCGGGCCAGGTAAGGGTTTTCACGAAGGTCAGTCTCCTCGTAGAAGAAATGGGTACCCTCAGAGTCTGAAGTGCCGTGCACGATGTGGAAGGCTGTACCAGCTTCAGATCGTAAAGGTGATTGAGAGCCAATAACAAGAGCCCAATGATATGAATCACAAGAAAGTTGTGAACCGTATGTTCCGCCCGCCGTTCCTCCTCTTGAGAACAATGCGAGGTAGAGTCTGGGCTTGTCTTTCTGGTACGAAAACGTCCGTCCGAACGACAAAACCTTCGAGGATCTGGACGAGTTGACGGATAGCTGGGAATGACTGGAAATGCTACGGTAGAAGGGTGGTCTCTGTGCTGGCTCTGTTAGTAAATTTGGTAATGACATGATTAGCTAGCAGCCAGGAAGGGAACATCGTTCAGTAAGCATGAGCTTGATCAACAATGCAAGAGCTTAGTGAGGAGTGGAAATGGCAGGTGCGAAGACGCGAGCGTGCTCGGCATCGCCAGGAAGCATCAACCAGGGTCTAGCTGAGAAGCTTCGAGCAGGTTGCAAGCCGCAAGCAAGATACTTTGCCGTTGTGCAATGCTTTCACTGGATGTGTTGTGGTGTAGCTTGCACCCGAGAGTCTCAAATAGCTCAACGCGTAACACGAGAAAAAAGACATCTGTAGACAGTTCCTCTGCAGAAAGGCTATTGTGAGCTTCAGAATAGTGATGCAGGGATCGCTTGCGATGTGGATAAATATCGGTATGTATCCACACTCAATGAGAGCGACCGCTCAGCTTAGCCAGTATAGTCGAAAGACTTCTCAAAAGCGGCTCCTCCACTGATATTTGGCATCACCGGTACCCTGGTCAAGCACAACTAGTTGTACCTCAAAAAAATTTGTTTAGATTCAGAAATTCGTACAGAGTGACTACTACTTGGTCTTGTGCATTTGACTTGCCTGTACATATGTGATGCCAAAACACCACTTTTCATACAACGATTCGGCCAACCTCGATAATACGCCTGTGAACGACTAGCCTCCACCCGTGCCGCCAACACTGGCACGGCCCCCAATTCATGTTGGCATGATAATTCCACCAGCACCCACAGCAACAGTGATCGGCTCCAAATTCGAAAAGGTTGCAAACATTTCAGGTGTAAAGTCAATTCCATCTGGATCAAATACTGCTGGCGCTTGAGGCAGGTGCGATGATACTGGCACGTCTGTTGTGGTTGGATTAAGCAGTACGTCCGGTTGACTTGACAACTCAAGGACTTCAGAAGCTTGAATACCTGCATCTGCCAGAGCTCGAAGGAGTAACTGCAAGGCCTGGCCTATCACAGGACTCGAAGCTTTGAGGCGATCTAGTGCTTGAACACAGAATCGCATCGAGTCCAAGGTATAGTCTTCTCGGACGGACGACGCTTGTATTTGTAGTAGGTAGATAGATGCGGCAGTGTAGACACTATATGCCAAGGACAGTACTACCCGACTGTATGTGAACGTGCGACAGTAGAGGTCGAATACGGCCACAATGGCAGAGGCTGAGCCGAGACATTCCTTGAAATGTGCTGGGTTCGGCATATCTCCTTCCGGTAATGATTCGGGCCGCTTGAAAAGCATCGGTCGATATAGGAGTATCTTGAACGTATGAAACAAGCAATTGAGCGTAACAATGTGACTTGGAGGTGCGTATTGAGGCAGGTCTTGCGCTTCAATCTTGAGAAAAGAAGGCAGGTCCTGCCACCACTGTCTCATGGCAAAGCCCTCACGAATCAGACAGTCGTCGATTTCCTGCTCGGTCTTTGAGTTCAGAGGATCGTACATATGCAGCAATATCTCGTTGAATATCGCTGAGAGCCGGCACATCTGTGTGAAGCATGAGATAGAATGTGCTTGAGTAGGGGGATACTGCTGTCCTTCAGGATACTGCACCCCATGGGGTAACCATAGCTCATCCTCCGCAGAGTCATCCATGATGACTTGTGGTGGCGAAACTGGACTGTGCGATAACGCTGGTGATCGTCCAAGATATAGACTGATGATTTTGTCCCAGAAATAGCACGACCAGAAGAGCCTACGTCTAATCTCAATGTCTTCATCCGACAATTGAAGATTGCCCGATCCATATCTTTGTACATCAACAGTGATACCCAATTCCTCCAACAAGTTGAATGCCATCCGACAGTACAATATGGCCGACGTTCTGTTGCCTGCACTGCATTCCTGTGCGCTCAAGATAAGCAGGGTCTGTATCGTGGGTATGCTACAATTGCCCGTGCTGATTTCTTCAAACAAACGCGTTCGAGCATGTCGCTTAAACAACGCTCCACCTTCATAAGGCTCAAGGAGATGTCGGATTTCAGGTTCGCGTTTGCACCATCTCACGGAATGTCCTAGCAATGCATTGAGGAGAGTGTGAGAGTAATAAGGTCCGATACTCTGCATATCTCGCGTGAAGGCAGGTCGATAGACGAAATTAAAAAGTGGTTGGATCCAGCACCAGTGAGTCGACAGGAGGAATTGAAATGGTTGAGGGGTTTCAGCAAGAACCTCCAGACTTCTCTGTTCCCAAGCATTCTGCACAAGTCTCTCCTTCGTAAGATGTAGTTCGTTGACTGGCAATATCGTGTTGGTCTCTTCGGGTCTTGTAGGCAGTTGGAAGAGACTTGTTGACCCATGAAAAGTGACTGCTCCTCTAGCATCAAACGCTAGCCCACGGAATGCCGCCGAACCTCCTTCTCCCGTATACGATGTAGGGGAGGTCACAGATACACTCGGAGAAAGGGCTGGGACTACCTGTGCTGAGACTTGAGCTTTGCGAAGAGCAGCTTCGAGCTCCTCAACACGTCTCTCAAGCTTGGTAGTGTATGACAATGTCGGTGACAATTTGTAGACGCATTCATCTCCTCGACCTGTACAACGGCCACATTGCGGCCTTTCACCACCACATTTGACCTGCAAGAGGGTATCAGCATGTTACAGCGCTTCAACAATTGTGCTTCAATCATGGCTAGGATCTAGCTGGTGACCAAGAGGCATGACCTCGAGTACGAAATACCTTTCTCTGCCGACATGGCTCGCACGAAAATGCGCTTTTCTTCTTTGCCTTCACTTCAGATACCTGTGCAGGGGCCATATGTCGTGTATGGCCAAGCGAATCATCAGTAAGGCGGAGGCCCACAGATTTGACGGATATTGTCCGAGCATCAACGTGCTACTTCCCAATGGCTTAAGAATGTGCTAAGCCTTGGCGATCATCGTTTGAGAATATTAACATTAACAAATCCTCGAAATGCGTATCTTGTAACCATCACACAGTACATAGTCCCATGCCTTACGAGCGAGAGACGAGAACACCGGGTGGACGGCGAGCTTGCAATCTCCTCTTTCGCCTTTCAGTGCCAAGTTTCGTGTAGCGCCTGAGGCAGCAATTTCGAGCATTCTCTTCAAGGAAAAGTTCGGTAAAAATAACGATTGGCGTAGTAACGTGACATTCGTATACAGTGACTATTTTTACACTACTGAGAGCTGTTCTTCTTCACTCTCGTCAGCATACGTCTTACTTTTGACAGCCCCTTTCTGATCGACCTGTTCGATTTACTAGACATTACACTCTGAGCATACTGCTTGTTTGTCCTGTCGAAGATAAGATCACCGTCATCTTCCGGAGCTGCTCCTACTCCAGCACTCTTCGGCCTTACCGACGCCTTCGCATTATCGAACGGGTCCTGCGAGAGGAAAGGCAGTGATGACGATTCAGCTATCGATGTTTGAGTCGCTATATTGTCGTCTTGTCGCTGAGTCTGTGCTTCCTTAAACTCGGAAAACGATGTGGGAAGTGGTGGTGTTCTGGGCGTTTCGAACGTCAGGTCCCTTGGTGGTAGTAGGCTGAGGTCTGTTATCGATGCTGCAGGCGATAAGGGACCTAATGAACTCTTGCGATTGGGATATGGCGGCCTTGCTACGCCATGCACGGGGCAAGGAGCCTTGGGTGTTCTCGGCTCCATGGGTGTCAATTCTTTCTCGAAGGAGAATCTTAAATCAAGTTCTGGGGACTCAGTTATGTCTCTTGATACGTGTTGAGATGATAGCTGTTCTGTTTTGGGTATGCTTGGGGTGAGAGGTACAGGAGCCTCGACTCGTGTAGCACTCAGTGCTGTAGGAAGCGCTATACTTGCATGTCTTGTATCTATTGTAAGGGGAGACGGCATGAACGAACTCTTTCGGCTGGATATCGGCCTGTTTCCGTGTACGGGACATGGTCGTTTGGGACTTGCTTGATTGAGACCAGGCAGTACTTGAGAGGCTATGTGTGACTTCGATACAGGCTGCACCGATTCTCGCAGTGGGGACGGCGGCGTTTTTCGATCGGGGTTGATCGTGGGAGGGAAGGCGACAAACGAACTGGCGCGACTTGAGACTGGCCTGTAGCCATGTACTGGACAAGGTCGCTTTAAACCATTCGCGTTACTGCTTCCAGAGCTACTTGTGCTGTAATGTTTCAAGGATTTCTCCATGCTAAAGCGCAAATCCAGCTCGGGCGACTTCCCAGGACGATGCATGAAGGAGGCCATCTCAGCACCAATGCTGGGCTCTTGATCAGCAGGCACAATCGCTGGCCCAGCAAGGAAATCCTGAAGATTAATATCTTGACTCGGTGTAGAGGGACCCCTGGAGGAGGCCATGGACGATGGCCGGGAGAACTCAGCTGTTGATAAGGTGAGCCTGCCATCTTCAGTCATGGCACGACGCATCGATATAGGGCGCGAGAAGTTCGAGATTATTGGCGAGCTGATAGGCATCTGATTCTCGTCTAGGTTGAAGTTGTTGAAGTTGTTGAAGTTGAGTGTTGGGTCGGCGCGAAAGGCTGCATAGGTCCCGCGCATTTTGTCAGAGGACTTATTACCTATGCGTACGAAGGTATTGAAGAGCAAATTGTGTCAAAGAAAGCCTTGTTGATCGTAGAGGACAAGATCGAAGCTGCGCACAAAATTGGCTGTTATTGAGAACACTGGGCTCGATACTGGGTCAACATCCTCAAGAAGAACAGCGCCAACGGAAGAGATGGACATCGAAGTAGGTCTGCACGTCTTTCCACTCACATCGGCGGCGCTTTCAGCAGAACTCCATAATGATCAAATCCACGTCAATTCGTCTGCATCACAAGCTTGATGTTGACTCGTAGCGCGAAGCAGTGATCGTACTCTTAGGGCGTGGTAAGACATTTCGATGTTCAAGTAACTCTTAGAGAGCCGAGGCGTCCTTAGCCTCTGGTTGAAGATCAAATCGTATCCACAAAGGTGATCCGAAAGAGTTCATGGCGATGACCTTGACGTGAGAAGTGCTCGAAGCGGAATGTGTATCACATCACAGTCAGGAGAAAGGACCACGTTTGCGTCTGAAAAGGAAAGGACTTGATTCGTCGATTTGACAAGCGTGCCGCCACAACTCCATCGGCTGAAATGAAACGCGCGACAGGGGAGATTAAGAGGCAACTCTTTGCAGGTTAATCCCCCTGCGTTATCCGCAGGCACGGAGGTCACTGGGGATGTACATCCTGCTAGGTGACTACATCTTTGAAAAGGACTTTAGTTTCGATCAGTTTTGCCATTTCAACGACCGTACTAACATCAATCATTGATCTATCATCTATATAGGGTATCCCGAAGTCATTCGTGGCTAGTAGTGTCCATCCCTGCAAAACATCATCCACGACTGCTTGCTTCGAAAGAGAATGTATGATCGACCAGACGCCATTTTTTCCTTCACAGCATGCTTTTCAAGATCTTCGACATAAGAAATGAGTAACTCCAGAACCCATGACGCTTTCGTAAGAACATAAAAGAAGTCGTTCCTCTAGTGTAGAGGTCGTGAACAGGGACAACAGTATAAACCATCTAGTCATCCTCATCCGAGAAGACTTCCTCGCCTCTCTTGCGCCTCGCCATACGCTCCTTCTTCTTCTTTCGCAGTTCCGATGAAGTCAGCTTCTTGGCCTTCTTGGTACCTTCAATCTTGTTACCCATGGCATCAAATTTGTCTTCCTCCTCATCACCGTCCTTAGGACCGAGACGAGGACCGGCACCCTGACCTTGCACCCAGTTGTGGCCGGAAGGTGTCATCTTGCCATCCATGACTGCCCAGACCTCGCTGGTCAGAGACTCAGTGAATTCGGCGTTGTGGGAGATGATGACGACACCACCTTCGAACTCCTTCAGAGCGTTGGAAAGAGCACCAAGCGAGTCTCTGTCGAGATAGTTGGTAGGCTCATCAAGGACGATCAAGTGAGGTCGCTGCCACGTGCAAGCGGCGAGAACGACCTTGACACGCTGACCACCTGACAGACCTCGCATACGAGAGTGGGAGATCAATTCAGCGTCAAGGCCGAAGTTGGCTCCGTGAGCTTCAATCTCCTTTCGAACAAGTGGTCGAAACTGGCCAGAGGCGAGAGCCTCCTTCTGATCAACTTCGGCAACCATCTTGGTGTGGGATGCCATGATCTCACTTCGAGGGATCCAGGCATTGTCGGCAGTCATCATAGGTGTCCACTTCTCGTTCTTCTGACCAACGTTCTCACCGAGAGCGAAGGAGCACTCGTACTCGTACGAGTTCTTGAACTTTCTTCGAGAGTGAATACCAATGACACGACGCTGAGAGCCTTCGATCTTATAGATCTTGTCCATGGCCTTCTCGTCGTCTTCTGTGACAATCTTGTTCGCTCGGTCCATTGTTTCTCGGTCCTCGCCAGTCTGGAAACGCCATTGGATGTACTCCGATGGAGTCTTGTCCAAGAAGTGATCAATGTGAGCAAAAGCGTGCTGTTTAATGTAGGCGATACGGATGTTCTCGTGCTGGTAAACCTCACCACCGGTTGGGATGAGCTCACCAGTCAGCACGTTCACAAGTGTGGACTTGCCTGCACCATTAGGTCCGATGACAGCGATACGAGAACCCAGCGAAACCTGGAAGGTAATGTCGGTCAACTGTGGCTTGGATGATCCTGGATACTGGAACGACATTTTGTTGACACGAACGATGGCCTTAGCCTTTGTCTTGACACCCTCAAGGAAACCAGGTTCAGGGAACTTGAAGCTGAGCTCTTGAGCACCCAACTCGAAGTATGATCGAGCAGCTGGGTTTCGCTTGGCGAACTCTGATAAGTTACCTCTGTAACGCTTGAGCTTGAAGCGCTCGTAGTGAATGACGTGCTGAATAACGTTGTTGAGGAACTTCGAGTCGTGCGAAATGATGATCGAGGTGCAAGGAGAGTTCTTTAGGTAATTCTCAAGCCAAGCAACATTTTTGACATCCAAGTGATTGGTAGGCTCGTCAAGAAGCAAAATATCGGGATTCTCAAAGACAGCACGAGCAAGAGCCAGCTTCATCTTCCAACCACCAGAGAGCGCAGTGATAGGCCCATCGAGCTGTTCCTTCAGGAAACCGAACTCGATAAGTTGTCTTTCAATCTCCTCACGGTTGATTTCTAGGTCGGCCTGTTTCAGCTTCATCTGGGTCCATTCCATGACAGTCAACTCGGTGTCAGCGGCATCCAGATCGTGCTCGACGAACACAGTCTTGACTTCGCTCTGTTTGGGGAAGCCCTCGACTTGTTCGTTGTTGATGGCACGCATAAGAGTGGTCTTGCCAGATCCATTGGGACCCAACAGACCGTAGCGTTGACCACGCTTTAGACGCAAGTGAGTCTGGTTCAGCAGAATCTTAGCGCCGTAGGCCAAGTTGAAAGTGCAGTTGCAAAGATCTACACCTTCCTCCTCGTCTGGCTCTGGTACTTCTTCTTCGACCAAGCCAGGAGTGGCCTTTTTGCGAAGCTGATCGCAAACAGATGGTGCGTCGGTCTCACCAACAAGAGGCTTGAGGTATTCGATAACATTAGTTGACCAGTCGGCAGCATCGTTCGCCTTCTCCTCGATCAATTGACCAGCGATGGCAGAGACATATGTAATGACTGTGTCTGCGGAAGCAATCTTGCCCTTGTGGTTCTGCTCGAGGATCGACTTGAGATGGGCAGCAACAGTGGAGATCTCGCTGGCGGTCGACTTCTCAGGGATCTTGTCATTTGGACCGACATTACCGACTCTGCGTAGGGTCTCGAGAGCTTGCTTTGTCTTCTCTCGAGCTTCGGGATCAGCGATTGTCTCCTCGTTCTTCTTCAGGGCTGGCATGAGTTTTGGCAAGAAGGCAGCGACAATGTTTGGGTCTTCGACGAGCTTGCACATGTTGTCGACAATGACAGCAGACTTGCGCTTGATGGCAGTCTCACGCTCTGGCAAACCTCGCTCAAGCAGAGGAACCATGATAGCCAGGGTAGGCTCGTGGACATCTGTGACGAAAGTGGTGGCACCAAGCAAATGGACAGTCTCAGGGACATTCTCTGGCTTGGCGATACACTTGATCAGTTCTGGGATGAACTTCTCGATATCCTTGTTCTCAATGAGCTTGCAAAGCTGCTCCATTGAGGCGTATGCCTTCTTCTTGACTTCTGGCTTTGTGTCCCACATGGCCGCAGAGATTGTAGGAAGCAGGGTAGCCACTTGACGAGTGAGCTGTGTTGGTGCAGAAGCAACCATGGACTCGATGCATTCCAAGGCAGTATACTTTTCTTGCCACTTCTGAGCAGTTTCTATCGACTTGCAGAGATGTGGAACTGTAGACTTGACGGCATTGGGATTTATGGCCTTTACGATAGCGAGTGACGCGGCCTGCGCGGCATTCTTGACTGGTGTCATCTTGTCGCCAATGGCAGCAAGAGTCAGAGGGAGGAGTTCGACGAGATATGGCTCGACAGCAGGAGAGACCGTGGAGTGCTCGGAGATCGATCGAATGCCGTCGAGGGCTCGCTCTCGGGCATTGGCATCTTTCTTGTTGGATAGCTGTTTCTTGAAAGTATCCAGCATACGTTGTGGAACAGCCTGCTCTTCTATTGGACCATTGAGTAGGTTCGCCACGTTTGTTCCTGCTGATTTGGCTTCATCAGCGGTCTTAGCAAGAGACAGGTTCTTAAGGAGTTCGTCTAGAAGAGCGATCGACTCCTTCGTCTCCTTGCTAGAGGTCGCAGGCACGGATGCCATGTCGGCAGCAGGCATGCTAGAGGATTGTTTAATCTATCGCCAGAGGGCAGAGGAGGGGTGTATGAAACTGGTTAAAAATCAAATATGGCAATATTTCCCTCTGCTCTAACAATGTGACAGAGCCAATGTAGATACTTGATGCACCCTCTTGTGGTTGTAGCGAAGGGATATCGACTCAAGTTGAGGAAAATGTGTGACAAGAAAGATTGAACTTGAGAAGTCGCAGTTTATCAAGGGAAATATTTTTTCAAGGTAGGCGCACTAATTGACGGTGGGGGCCTTGCGCATTCGCCAGCCAATCAAATATGCCGAAAGGGTAAAAGTCCCCAACAATATGTATCACTCTTGGTGTCGAGAATGAAAATGAAAATTGGAAGATTCGATGCAGATTCTTCCAAACTCTTTTGAGCCGGTAAACACGTTCAATGCGGGCTTCTCTGCAAATCTTTGCGAGCATAGTGTTTGTATAGAGCTTGCTGATATTTGTCACTATGAACGATTGCAGGGAGGACCAAGCACATTCCTCTTCATGGTCCTGCGCAATATCTAGATTCTGATACGGCCCCTAGCTGTTCACCGCTTCGCATGGCTGCACATTCCAATCCGCGTATATGCTCTGTAACATGAAACTATCGAGCAGCACTAACTCCAGTAAGTCAACCCATGCTTATCGTGCTCAATTTCTATATTCAAAACATTTCTATCTCTATTGAACTGCAACTTCAGTATTCTGTGTGGGAGTGGGGCTCCAGAGGTGCTATCGATAATCGAGATAAGGATAGAGTCTCTCGCCACGGGTTGGCAGTGACTCCCAGAGATACCTCCAATCCATCAGCGTGTTTTGGGAGACGTGTAGAGTGGTACTCTTTGGCTATTACTCTTCATACATTTTACCAGCTTACTCACCAGTCATATGTTCAGTTGTCTTCGTGCCCTCCAATGATTAAGGCTTGGAAAGAACATCTCATTAAGTATAAACTACAATTCTAGTGTGCTACATAACAAACTGCTGAACAACAGAGAAGACAGCGCTTGCATCTTCCTCATACTTACTCCTCCGAGACGACTACTTCCACCTATCTGAGTCACGACGATGGTGATGGTCGCGCCGTCTTTGATCGCCATATCCATCATCGCTGTCCTCGTAGTCGATGCTGCGCCGCCCTGGATCATATGAGTCGTACTGTTGTCCAGCCTCGCGCTTCTCTTTGTTCTTCTCATAGCGTCTCTCTAGCTTGTGGCCAGCGAACGCACCTGCAACGGCACCAATAGTCGAAGCCAGACCACCATGACCGAGTTCACGGCCTGCATATGCACCTACTGCTCCACCTATCAATGTTGCACCAATGTCTTTTCCCTTGCTGTGCTCTTTGTCGCCTTCACTGCCAAAGAATCCACGTTCTCCTTGCGACCTACGAGAAGATCTGCTTCTTCGGCGACTTTGACTTCGGCTCTTGCGCCTGTCCCGCTCTTCATATTCTGGACGCCTGTCATCATAATATCTGTCAGATGATCCACGAGGTGAAGGTCTATTGTCATGATATCTAGCTCTTTCATCGTCATAGCGAGCCATGGCCATATCGTGCTTGTAGCCATCGTCACGCGGTGGCTGATAGGAAGGGTAGTTGCTGTGGTCCTGTTGAGGGGTACCGTAGTACTGCCTGTTTGGCTCACGAGCATAATCGTTCCCGTAGTAGTTGCTCATATTTGTGTGGTCGAATGCAAAATCCACTTTGTATAATCTGGATACCCACCATCGTTTTCAATGCAAGGTGAACACGTAGGGCCTTGGGACCTCTATCTGAATTGTAATCATCGAGGATATACACTTACTAAGCACTGGTCGTCTCTTTGAAGAGCATGCGGCGTTTCCGGGATGACTTCACTCTGCATGACCAAAGACAGATCCGGGACTTTTGATGCCGACCGGTTCGTCAGCCAGCAATTCTGTTATTTGCCTCGTGTTCGCTCATTATCCGGCCCCAGGTTGCTGCAGCAATCGAGTGCCGAGCTCGTCTGTTTCCCGCCAGTGTGTATGATTGCCCTCTGTGCAAAGCCTGGTGAGACCTGTTTGGTGAGAGTATGCGACCTTTAAGCATACATATTTGTGCCTTGTCTCATCCTGACATACCAAGCTTGTTGTGATGGGATGCTTGTTCGACGATCCGTTGGACGTAGTCAACAACGACTGGCAGTGGCCTTTTACACCTCTACAAGTACTCTCAGAAGGAATGAGAATTACGCCTGGAGAGAACGCCGTCTCCTTATTCATCTCAAAACGAGAATTGGACTCTTCTTGGCTCTGATCTATCCACTTGTACAACCCTAACCTCTAGCACTTCAAATTCCTGCGGACATAGTTCGGCATTTGGAGCCCACAGATCTTTTGAGGCTTCAACCATGAGCTTGAGATCACACTAGTGACGCGAAGTTGTCAATAAGGAGAGCACGTCGCATGTTTTTGTCGACCTCGAGCCTTGCCGTTTGCCGCTCATGGCGGTATTTTGGGCTGTGTTTCAGGAACAATTGGCTCACGGATATCTGACCTATCTTTTTTTGATAAGCACATGGTGAACGTGCACGCGTTTGCAAAACTTTCATGCTACTTGCAGTACCTTGCAGTTCTCCCACGGATGGAGTTTCCACCGCTGCTGTCATGAGTCTTTGCTGTCGTGGGTCTGCTGTCCGAACATGGTCACCGATGTTGCGATTCACCTCCGGTGGGCAAGCCGAGACAGAAATGTGAGGCAGATATAAAGACTTCGTGCTTTGCACGTTGTCGCAGATGGTGGACTTGCTAAGACCATCCTTGTCTGACATATCAGACCAGCTCTGCATTACCCTTGAGCGAAGCACTCAAAGTCGCATCCCATCCAGACCGACACCATGGCCGAGCGCACGACTTCACGCAGACAGGAGCCTCTGGAGAGATTGAGCACACTCGACACCATACCCACAAGACGAACACTAGATCGATATGAATCACGTCCCACTCAAGATGCTGCTGAGGTCCTCGATCTACCCTACGGTACCCTGAATGACACTGCAGACATGACAGAATTCACAGAAGAGACAGCAGCAGGAATTATACCCAAACGAACCATATCACGTATAACAGGCAAAGAAGAGGAACATGAACTGGTCACATTCAAAATCGAAGATCCTGAGAACCCCAAGAACTGGTCCAAAGCTTACAAGTGGTACTGCACTATGGTTGTAGCACTTACATGCTTCGTTGTGGCCTTGGCTAGTTCCATCATCACAGCTGACCTGGAAGGACCAGCAGAAGAATTTCATGTCTCCCATGAAGTCACTCTCGTCACGATCACTGTCTTTGTCATAGGCTTCGGCGTCGGACCACTTGTGTTCGCCCCATGCTCAGAGCTATTTGGAAGGAAGCCTGTATATGTCATTACCTTGGGCCTGGCAGTCATCTTTATCATTCCTTGTGCTGTAGCACAAAACATCGGCACCCTCATCGTATGCCGCCTGATCGACGGTATCGCCTTTTCCGCACCGATGACACTGGTTGGCGGAACTTTGGCAGATCTCTGGAGGAACGAAGAGAGAGCTGTTCCTATGGCAGCTTTTAGTGCCGCACCTTTCATTGGGCCTGCTATTGGTAGATATCCACACCATCGTACTTCGGGCACAACTAACACCACTTAGGACCTCTGGTAGGTGGCTACCTCGCCAACGCCGGCGGTTGGCGTTGGCTATACTGGCTCCAGCTCATTCTAGCCGCTGTTTGTTGGCTGCTACTTCTATTAACCGTACCCGAAACATACGCACCCGCCTTGCTCAAAAAACGAGCACAAAAGCTCCGGAAGGAAACAGGCGTCCAATCATACGTGACCGAACAAGAACTCGACACAAGACCTTTCGCCGACAGATTGAGAATCTTCCTCATCAGGCCTCTGCAGCTCCTGTTCCTTGAGCCGATCGTCCTCTTCATCAGCCTGTACATGTCCGTACTGTATGGCCTACTGTACATGTTCTTCGTCGCCTATCCAGTCGTCTATCAAGCCGGCAAAGGCTGGGGACGTGGTTCTACAGGTCTAATGTTCATCCCTCTCGCGATCGGCGTCATCCTATCAGCCTTCTGCGCCCCCTTCGTCAACAAACACTATCTACGTCTTTGCGCTCGTGCGCCAAACGGAAAACCACCTGCCGAGGCACGACTCATTCCAATGATGTATTCCTGCTGGTTCATCCCCGTCGGCCTCTTCATCTTCGCCTGGACGTCTTACCCCTCCCTTTCCTACTGGGGTCCAATGATGGGCGGCTTTCCCGTTGGTTTCGGGTTCATCTTCCTATACAACAGCGCGAATAACTATCTCGTCGACACTTACCAACACCAAGCTGCGAGCGCTCTGGCTGCAAAGACATGTATTCGAAGCTTCTGGGGTGCGAGTACCGTGCTGTTCACTGAACAGATGTACAATACTCTAGGCTACCAGCGGGCTTCGTCACTGCTTGCATTTATTGCGTTAGCGTGTTGTCTCATTCCATATGTCTTCTACTTCAGGGGTGCTGCGATCAGGAAATACAGCAAGTTTGCCTTTTCTGACGACGACGAGACTACGGTACAGGGAGCTGAGAAGGTGTAGGAGAGGTTGATAGAAAGGCAAGATTGAAGAGAAGGAGTAACACTGTGTTGGAATGGTATCATAAAGATATGAGTTCGTTTGTGCGTCAGAATATTTGGATGGGATGGCGTGTAAAACAGGATGGCTCAGATCGCCAAGAGGAGCATGTGCTAGAATTTGATAACCGAGCAGTTCTCGAGACTTGATAATCAACAACGTGCAGAGGTTGATGGCAGAATGCTAATAGATCAGTTAGGTGTGACCTTGTGTGGATCTGGTGTGTGTGCTATCATGGCACAATAGAGAAGCACGATGGAGGGTGAAGCCACAAATTTATTTCTCTGTTACTGTTTTTGGCGGGGAATAATGCCTTACATGGCCGATAGATCATGTAAAAACAGTCCTTTGAGCAGCTAGTTGATTTAGGCTGATTTCTCGACATGGCTTGTGTCTTGGATTGAGAATCTGAACTTTACGCTGCCGTAGCTCGATCGACGCAGGCAGATACTTCTACGTGCGAACTGCCCGTCCTGTGCTCACCTCAGGCATCGGTGTCGACTGACTCCCACCTATAGCCATACTGTTTCCAATGTCCAACATCGCAAATTCTGTATCACTTGCTACCCACGGCTCATTCAGCAGGCCAAAGTCGTTCGAGTATGTGTTCCAGGTGTCCCAGATCCCCATCGTCGCATCATCGGCGGCCGACATGCCCTGAGTCAGCTTTGGAGTCGTTACCTTTTGCTCTGGTGCTAATGGTAATCTACGTGATTCAACTTCATTGACACGTATCCATTGCGCGGCAGGGTTAGTCAACCCATCGGCAGGGTCTCGATTGCGTTGTTGAGCGGCGCGGAAGGCGGCGTCGAAGCTTACTGATGCACCGAGGCGGTTCTTGATGAACAGGTTCGCGTTACCTGGAGTCGTGTTCCGAACTGCCTGCATAGCCATTTCGACAGTAATGCATGCTCGTGCCGCGTCTCGGTGGTCCGGAAAGGATTGGAAGACCTTGTGCGCCTCGGTTATACGAGTGATCGCGATCGATTGCTGGACTGGCGTTGCTGCTCCATATGCAATGAGAAACCACAGAAGAGACGATGCTGCTGACAACAAGGAGACGAAGTAATGCTTTGGGTAGAATGTGAGGATGCCACCCCAGTAATGATGACCTGCGATTTCTTGGTTGCTCATGCCAGTCGCTGTTGAGATAAGAGACGATGCTATATCGAAACACTTTAGAAGGATTGTGTCTCGGTAGAGTATTGCTTGGCCATCATTTGAAGATATGTCTTGAGTGAACGTCATATTGAGTATGAATAGTTTTATGCTTTGGTACTGGACTTCCAAAGCTGTTGACCAACTCCAGTTTTCCTGAGAGGACTCTTTCAAAGACTCTAGTTTCGCCTCGTAGTTCCGGGTCATTGAATAGTGTGAATGAACATCGCCCATGGCGTCAAGATGGGTCTGTGCTGAAGACAAGGTTTCGAGCATCGAGATCTGCAGTCGTTCTTCTGGGCTCAGTACGGTGACTGCAAGTTGCTGCGTTCGTCTCAGCGTTTTGGAGTACTGGAGGGAGCACAACGGGGACGGCAGGCCACAGGCCATACTCAGTCTGGAGTGGTCAATTTCAATCAACTTTATCAGTTGCACGAGCTCACCTAGTGCCTATTTGGAAGCAATACAGCCAAGTCATTGCTTGGTTCGAGGGTTCCAGTTCAAAAGGCGCAGTGTCTGAAGCACCTCGATGGTGGGAAGTGATATGATCCCGTTCAACAGGGTCATGGCAGTGCAACGAAGATGCGGCTTGAGTCGCCAGTCCGATATAATTCCAGCTCGGGTCGTAGGCATGTCTCAGCTTGGGGATAGGCCATAAGCATAGTAGTAACAGGGCATGCACTACTTCTAGCTTCTGAATAGCGATATGTAGCACCTCGCCAAGCAGAATCTCAACAACTCCGCAGATTTGTTCGTACAGACTATCATAGTTCTCGTGTCTTTCGGCAGCTGTTGCAAGAATTGTGCAAAATAACAAGGGAGACTTCTGAGCTAAAGAGTTTATCGATGTGACTTGAGGCAAGAAACGAGCATGCGGTTGATAGTACCTGCCGAAACTGAGGCTAATCAGTGTGAACGAAGCATCCTCATTGTGCCACTTACTGAACGAAGAGTCTCAACGTCCTACTCGCGCTCAATTTCACGCCGTGAAAGGTGTGATCAAGGACAATTTCGTTGTCCCGTAGCTCCACCCAGTTCTCTGATGTTGGCCTCTTCGTTGCAGGGCCATTCGAGCTAGTCGAAGAGACAGATGCGCCTCGCGAGTTGTGTAAGGATGGTGGACTCAAGCTGTCAGATATCAACTGTGAATGACCGTCCTCGACGGAGTTGCCATGACGTGTGGCTCTGAGAGTATGAAGCTCGTCCACTGCTTCCTGAGCGAGCCTGGACAGGTCAGTAGGGTTCACGCACGGGTTCTAGCCAGCAACCTGCTTTCTTGTAGGTATACGTTTGAAGTGTGGATCGAATCGGCACTTCAGGCTCTTAGCCACGCATCTCGTGCATGGATCTGGAGCCGTTTTGCGAGCATCGCACGCGAGCTTGAACTGTCGGCATACAACACACGACTTCGCTCGACCATTCGGTGGCTTAGCGGAAAGACTGCTCATAATTCTCTAAACATGCCTTGTAGACAGACAGGGCGAAGTTCGAGACCCAGTAGTGCAGCGAAGATGTCGTTGTAAAGGTCACTATAACGATGTGATCGTCAATAAACGTGGTCCGGCCGCTTCGCAAGCAAAGAGGCTGAGGCAGGCTTGTAGGGCCCCCCAGGTCTGGTCAGGAATGCTTTAATAAAAGCCGGGCCTAATTCTTTGCAGCCCAATAGGGTTGCACCTTCGCTTACGATAAGCGATAAGAACCAGGCACCTCTATTTCGTCCTCTGAGAAGTGTTGCTGCTCACTGATATGTGTAAGCACGACCTTTTCGACGAAGAACTCCTTGGCTGTGAAGCTAGTTATAGTGTTCCTGCTACTTCTTCAAGCAGCAAGCCATTAGAGTAAATGTCCAATATCGAAAAGTTGAGAAGAAGCCTCCCGGATCTCAATTCGGTAGTTGCGATAGTGTATGTTCGTGCTCAACCAAGCACCTCTCTTTTCATCTCATGCATAATACCCAGCTCTTCGACGACGTCGTCAGCACCTGTCAAAGCAACTTTCGCAGCCTCAACATGACGTTCAAGTCCCTGATTGAGGACGCGACTTGCTGTGTGTGAAGAGGATGCCCATGCTCGGAGCAATTGATCGACTTGTCTTTGCTTGTGATTGTACGTTGTGGTGTTGACACTGCCCTCGAGATCGTGTGCAGTATGAGCTGGAAGTAGGTGGCTTTCGTGGTTTAGCAGTCCGAGTAGCTGCGAGAGTCTGAAATCATGATTCTGAGTACATTCTTGAAAATGCATCGAGTGCATATTCAAAAGTTTCTCGAGAGAATAGTTTTGCAAATCCTCGTACTGCAATCCTGAAAGCGACGGTCTTGGAATGAAACCATGTCCACTGACAGAGCTCGCTGTCCTATGTCCGGGACCAGGTCGATCGTGTTTCATCGATTCACGTTGATGAGCCTGTGCCTCACCCGACGTCAATGGTTCAAGCGGCATTTTCAATGCTCTGACCACGCCTAACAGGCGCGCCCTTGAAGTGACATAGCTTTCATATTTGTCCTCGAGATCTTGCTGTAATAATTCTCGTGCTGGAGACATGCCGCTCAGTGCAGATACGTCCACATCAGGTGGCATATCTGGTGTCTGCTCGCACTTTGCAAGGCTATCTGCGATCCATGCCTGAAGCTCCGACCTCGTAACTTCAAGAGCTTGAAGCTTCGATATTGCTCCTGTACCACTTGGCGAAGAATCTCGTTGCTGCAACTGATACTGACCACGAATATTGTCCAGTAATGCTCTCTCATGCTTGAGACGTTGACGTGCTTTGATGAGAGCAAGCTCCAGATCTGAGGTCAGAGTCTTCGTGGTGTGAAGTAAACCATCGATCTCGGCATTAATTGCAGCATTTTCGAACGCTCGAGAGTCTGCATCAACACCATGTTGTCCTGCGTGCGAAGCTGCTGCCTCGTAGTCATCATGAAAATTCGTCAGGTCTGGGACAGCTCCAACTTGCTCGCTATATTTCGCCAAGATCTGGATGTTGTCGTTGTAATTGCTCGATCGAACAATCTCGAGATGAGACGCGAGCCTCTGTTGCCTAGAGACAGCAGTACGCAGGCGCGTTCCTCGAGGACGCTCATTTTCCTGTCCCAACAGTGTGCTCAGGCGTCTCGTTGCATCGTCATTGCGCTCGAGTGCTTCGCGATATAGCTCTTCCAGCCTGGACTGTTCGCTTGCTTCCATCTCGGATGATACTGCGAAGATTTACACTTGACATTGCGATCTACGACACGTGATGAAGTACGTGCCTTCCGGCGCACGTTCGTAGATTGTCAGAGAAGCAGGATAAGCGTAGTCTGGTGAAGATCTCGCGTCAATCTGTACTGTATTTGAGTTTGCGCTTTACTGATCGTGAACGAATGGCACGTTCCTCTTATCACTCACTAATCAATATTTACACATCAGCGCCAAGCAATTGAAATCACGCGGAGCAGCAGTGACACTATCACCTGCTCAGTCAAACACACACATACTTTCGACATCTGGTCTATTCACCATGTGCTCATAACCAGAACGAGCATAGATATACTTTACATACGAACCTGTCACCCACCTAGTGCTTGTTGAACCGGATGCAACGGAGAGATCCCGCCGTGCCTGCAATTCATGAGACAATAGTACAAAAGAATTTTTTATGCTGATCATATCTTATAGCACTTCCCCGACAATCTTCGCGGCTTCCTTGTAAGTTGCGAGGAGCTTCTCACATTTCTCCCTTTCTTTCTTGATACCGTCATCTTCATAGAGTAGTTCTCCGAAAAGATCTTCTTTGTATAGCTCACTGACCAGTCGATTCTGGACCTCGTCTCTGGAATGGTTGACGAGGAGATGCATGATAGCTTTTGGTACTTGATCTGCGATTGTTTCGCGCACGATATTGAAGTAAGAACTGATAAGTCGTCTGATCAGCTCTGTCTCTAGCGCTTCGCGCTCTGTCAAAGCAGGTTCTGCAGGGTGGTCGGGCTATGCAATGTTAGCTTCTGTCATACACTAAGACTGGTGTTCACTTACAAATGGATTTAGGTCGCCGCCATAGTCTGAGAGCGGATATTGGTCATCACCGCCAAACGTAGGCAATGGTGCGACTGCTGATCGTGGAGATCCAAGCATGCTGCTCGTGTCAGGTCGACGTATGCTTTGAGATATGCTCGGCTCGATGTGATGGCTAACATGACGAGGAGCCATGTTTGTTGCTTGTGGAAGAGGCCCCTGGCTTGGGCCTACACCATCTTTACCGAAGAAATAATTCAAGAACGAGTCTCGGGCTGACCCTGATTGGCTGAAAGATTGACCGTTCTCCCTGATACGACCAACAGCCGGCGACATGCTTCTGGTTGGTTTGGCGGCAGAGCTGCGGATCGGAACCGTCTGTGGCCTCTCTTCCTCAGGCGGATCGTCGTCATCTGGTGTTGCTGTACCGTTGACACCTAGCTGCTTCCTTCTTTGTGTATCCTTTCTTCTTCGTTCCTCGGCAAGTGCTAATTGTTTCTCCTTCTCGTTCTTGCTCTGTATGACTGAGGACATGGCGGCGGCAGCGCCAAGGAAGTTAGGATGATTTGTGTTGATATACGCTCTCTGGATGGCGATAAGGGACTCGACATATGACGAGGCAGGGCCCAAGCGTTCTCGTAGCAAATCCGACACCACTTCAATCAGTTTTCCTTGTAGTCGTGGAAAGCGAGACAACTCTTGCGAGCCGCAGGTGTGGCAGATTTTGATCAGCTCTTCATAAACCAACTCCACACATCTCTGACCAGGAATCTCCAGCAATTTGATTTGTGGCTTCACTAACAGGTCAAATGCGAGTTCCGGAACGAACAGACTCGGGCGCGGACCTGTCGAGTTTCGTATCGCAGTGCGGATGTCCTGTACAGAAAGATTGTGTGTAGGATCAATGGTCTCCAACGAGTTTCCAAACACGGAGTTGAAAATATAGTATATTCTTGCTCCTCCGCATAGTTCTTTAGTCGAGATTTCGGACGAGGTTCCGTCGATTGAGGATATGAAGGAGGTTGCGAATCTGGTCATAAGCTGTAATATTAGCGAACCTCGATGCTCCTTTCCGCTGAACTGTTTGCTCCCATAGCTCGCAAGCTCTTGCTGTGTTTGACCCATCAATGTATTAAGTCGGGCCTTAATGTCGGGCAGGCGGTCTCGAATATGTGCCATGAGTGTAGTGTTCAACGTCTTAGCCAGATATGGTGTTCCGCAACGAGTCGCGATATTTCTATAAGCCGGATGGTGCCTGAAGAAGTCGGCTTCAGCCTTCAGGGACTCGGACATGGGCTTGTGCGTCTGAATATCTTGCTGTGATCGATTGACCACACCTATGAAGCCCAACCTCAGAGGATAGACCCGACCCGACAGAATGTCGAGCGCATTTGTGCCATGGTCCATCAAATCGAGCTTTGTTAGGACACCAATGGTCCTTCTTCCTTGTGGATCAACATATCGAGCCAGTTTCAGAGCTTCCGAGTTGACGAGGTCGACATTGGCAGGAGATACGGCTAGGATGATACTGTTCGGTTTCGCAATGTACTCGCTGATCAAAGTGCGCGTTTGTTTTTCAATGTCGACAGGCTGGTCGCCGATAGGCACTTTTGTCAAGCCTGGCAGATCTACCAAGGTCAGATTGAGCACGTGAGGAGAGTAGATCTTCAAGTTGATGGGCTGTCTGTTGATTCCCTTGTTGTTGCCAGCGATTCTTGCCGTCTCGTTCTCGATTTCTGCCCGGACTTGGTTGAAGTCTCGGAATTTTCGACCTGGGATGTGATGGAATTCTGCCCATTCTGCATGCTCCGCAACACTAGCGGCTGTGTGTGGAATGGCGGCCTCGCCGTTCATGTACTCGTCCTCATCTTCGGGCGGGATATTGATAAGTTGTAATATTAAAGGTCGACGTGTAACAATGCCGCTTCCTCGAGGGAGAAAGTCTCTCCCAACGATATTTTCGAGCACAGAGGATTTACCGGAGGACTGCGATCCAACGACGACTATCTGAGGAAGGTCGAGGGAGTCATTGCCGATAGTGTTGAAGACAAGGTCCTGGAGCTTGTTAACGGTCTTTAGCAGGTCCTCTCCCAGAGTCGTCATGTTGGGAAGAGGCCTGGAAGGGAGGTATCGACGGCGATGAGCTCGTGAGAAGCAGGACGCGAGACCAATTCACGATGTATAATAGGCGATCAGACGGTAATTGTCGTACAAGTGCTTGCGACTTCAGATTCGCAAGCTTGGGATTGTTGAGTAAACTTGATTGAACGCGAAGATTTAGGTTCTTGGATGTTTTGGCCGCACCGGGAGCTAGGCTCGCACATGATGTCAAGGCTTGCACTCGTTCCTGATAGCCGCTACATTCGAGATCTGGGGGGAGCCAGTTGTGGTCATACCTCATCTCTTCGTTGTATCAAATCCATGAGCCAGCAGGATAAGTAGCACTCGACCTGTCTGTTTGAGAGACGCTCTTATACACGACTCATGAAACCTTGCCCGCTACGATGTATCGAGCGCTGATCAACTGGATCACATATAGCTTCGCATTAGCATATCCTAACGTCCTTCCAGAGCACCAACAGGAGCTTCTTGCACAGCAACCCGGAGCCTCAATCAACGACCACCTCCACTTCTCGTCAACCATTCGAGACGTCCTGCTACAACACCAGATCATCACTCAAGTCCTCGACGATTTTGAGCCTACCTACTATCTAGACATCGCCTACCATAAGGACCACGAACGAGTCCTCCTCGGTAATGACATTCCGGTCAAGGCCGTGGCCAAGCGTCCTACCTTCACTTTTCACCCTATTAGCGGACCTCCTTCGTATGGTGACCGACCCAGCGAGAACAACCTGACATTCACCCTCATCCTAACGGATCCTGACGCTCTCTCGTACGAGCACCCGGTCAAGAGCGAAATGTGTCACTGGATCATGACAAACTTGACTACTCCAATCGGTAGCACGGAAGTCGACTGGCCAGATTCAAGCAAGTCTTGGGATGACCTCTTAGACTCGGTGGCTCGAACGGAATCGATGGACCCAGCGCAACTCGAGAAAAAGGCAGGTGAGCTTGAGGCATACCAGCCACCAGGCCCGCCAAAGAAGACTGGTCCTCATCGCTATGTTTTTGTTCTGCTGGAAGGTGATGCATCAAACCTGCATGCTCCGAAAGAGAGACCTCACTGGGGCTATGGTAAGGAAAGACATGGTGTGAGAGACTGGGCGAAGGAGAATAACTTGACAGTCGTTGGAGCGAATTTTTTCCTGGCTCAACACAAGAAGCAGTAAATGTGGTGGCCCAATGTCATAGAGGTCTTTTGAAACTCTCAAGCTGGTATTTGCTGTATGTCCAGAGAACGTTGCGGACGATGAGGAATATTATATCAGTAGTACGAGATCTTGTACTCCGCATCAGTCCCTGGAAAAGCTCCAGCAGGCTTCTCAGCCTTGAATTGAGCGTCGTTCCTATCTTCATCCGAGCTGTCCTGTTCCATCGCATCGTAATCAGGTGGGGCTCTCATTTGCACCAACTCATCCTCGCTGAGCACCGGAGGCTTCCACTGCTCGTCACCAACAGGCATATTCATGCCACTAGGTAGCATAGCAAGTAACGGCTTGTATTCAGGTACCGTCTGAAAATGCACATTGTCATTCGATCTGACAAGCTTCTTTTCCAAATACTCCAGTATACGCGCTTCTTCCGCCTTCCCTGCATCTGAGCCCCATCGCGCACTTCCTTTTCCTATTCTTCTGTCTTCTTTTCTCTCGTTCCACGATGCTTTCAATTTGCTCAAGCTGCCTGTCTTGCTGCTACCTTCTTTGACACTGATTTCGAGACCTAGTTCGCTGAGGCCCGCGTATATCCAGGCGATGCCTTTTCCAATTTCGCCGCCAGTGTCGGCACTAATGGCTTGGAAGCGGCATGCGCGAGCTCGAGCTGTTCTCCTGAGGTTGTCGGTATACTCGATCAAGTCTTTCGATACACGTCTTTCGGCCTTTAGGATGGCACCAGCAGCTGTCGCGTGCTCTGAGGCACCTAGACAGAGCCGCGACAGTACTTGTGCACGTGTTTTTGGTATATCGGGCGCTTTGATCATCCATTCCCGATCCTGTTCGTTCCGAGATTGTGCAAGAACGGCAGGGTAAGGGTCGTCCTTGAAAGCGCCAAGAAGATTCAGCTCTGCTTGCGCAAGCCGATGTAGCGCAGATTGAACGGATATTGAGACATCAGCTGCCGCAGCAGGAAGTTCCGGTGGTCCGTCACCCGTATTCGCATGATGCACAAGAAAAGCATGTATGCTAGCCGCGGTTTTGACGTGTCGTATAGCTGTCTGTATCAGGCCAAGTCTCTGCTCGGTTGTAGGTGAGGACGACGCATATATACCAAGAAGTGCTTGTCGCGCGAAAAGGTTCTGTACTACCGCGTACGTCTGGTGGACGAAGAAGAACTCATAGTCGAGCCCCTGGCCTCGTACACGATCTGCTTCTCGACCTGGTATTGGTGTTGAGGACAACGTTGGGCGCCATTCGACCTCTACCTCTCTCGTCAAGGCTAGATCGACGTCTTCGTCGTTGACGATGGTGCCGCTGAGTGAGAGATTGAGGGTGCATATGTATTTCAAGTACGAGTCTAGTGCTAACAGCACATCGCTGAGATTGGCTGCTTGATCGCCACTGGCTAATCTCTTGTGCGCTTTGAGTGTGGACCTGAGCAGATTGCGCTGCGAACTGGCTGTCGAAGGCAACGATGGATGGGTTGAAGAGGTGAAGTTTTGTTGGAACGATAGTTGCGATGTTGTAGATAGAACGAAGGGAAAGGGCATCCTGCCGCAGAATTTTCGCTTTTCATTCAAGGAGCATCAACATTGTTGTTGGATCTGCGACTGCTTCTTCCTTCTTATCATCAAACCTTCACGACCTAAATTTAATATGTTCGTCTTTAATTCATTGATTTGCTTACGACTTTACACAGCCTTGATGAAGATGCATTCCTTTGCCAAGCACGATGGTCAATGGTCCACTGAGTCGAGGCCAGCCCCAAAGATGCCTTTTTGGACCGGTTAGTCTTGGAAGCAGGCTCGGCATATTCGAGACCGCACATTACGCAGGACAGATGCTTGTTCGAAGCCTGGGCAATATCTGTGGCGATGTAACAGCACAGACAGTACTGTTTGCTCGATCAAGCATACAACAAGATCATATGTAAACATAGGTCAGATCGCTGTGACCGCTGTGACCGCTGTGACAATTGCCTACTTCAACGGTGATCTGCGATATCCGTCTCAAAATGTCATAGGCATGTCTCGTCCAATCCCTGAGCTTTGTAGCACATAATTCTTACATAGCGCCAAACACGCAACACCGAACGCCATGCTCGCTAAATAACACGACCTTACGCTACCCTCGCGTCTTCAACCCCAACTTGCTCACCGAAATTTGGGGATGAAACGACCTTTCGATGCAGACCCAGGTGATCGAGGACCATCGGCATGGGGGTCTTGAATCTCCCATGGTACGGCCTCGGTGTTGACAATCATACTAGCTCTCAACCCTAGCCTATCTCTCGAGGTATCAGGTCTTTTCGCAATATCAGTCTCCACACGACCTATACGAGCTTGTTGGTATTGTCGAAGAGGCAAATCGGATTTTACATGAGACGTGTTATTGTCGTCCTTGATCTCGAAAGGTTGTGCTTCTCCAGCCAAGAACCCATCAATCGGGTTGATGCGACTCGAGCGTTTTACTCGATATACTATAGCTTTATCAGGTTCTGACGAATCATCACATGGAGTTGCTGGCGGTTCGCTCGTTGGTGTTGTGACTGGGGAAGAGCTATGCTCAGGGACAACCTCGACAAGATTACCATGATACCTTGATTGAACACTATCTGGCTGTGAATGTTGGCTTACTACTGTTGAGTGGACGCTTGCCCCCTTCAAACTCTGCGGCTGCTGTGGTACAGATAGTGTAGGACCGTGCTCCTGTTGATGATGAGGAAAGAACGAGGTAATTTCTGGCAGGCTTGATCCAGAAGGGGATCTCAAAGACTGCGCGTGCACGGATGGTGGAGGTCGAGTGCGCTTCTCGGTAGAGTCTGCTGATACACTGCTGCAGAAGGACTCTGGTCTCCCATAGCCATTAGAACCAACCTGACTTGTTGTATCTGAGCCAGACGTCGTCGTAGCTGGTTGCACGCGGCAGACGCCCGACGCGACATCGTCCTCGCTGGGAAACCGAACAGGTTGTGAAGAGAGTACTGAACTTCGTTGACTCGTCCGTCGTCGCTGTTTTTCCTCCTGCTCACGGAGTTTGACAGCTTCAGGCACTCCGTCCCACTTGCTGTTGACTTTGGGAACATGCTCGGGCATTTTCCTTGAGCTAACATGAGGCACCTTCTGAGGAGTGGCAGCACCGTGCTTGGCTTTCAGATCGGCCTCTACAGCAGCCAGTGCCATTATGGTAGGCTCCTTGACGAACAAGCCACCAAAGATCGAGTTCTTCTTCTTTGACATCGTACTAGAACTGGGTAAAACACTAGGTTTGTTCACTGATTCCCATGTCGAATTCGAGCGGGCTGCTGTGGTTTGTTTTGAGTCTTGCTGACGGAGTTGATCATCAAGGCGCTCTTCATGCTTCGCGGCCTCATCCTCGGAGAGTGGTTTGCGATAAGCCAGTTTTGGTACCCTAGCAGGTTGAAGGTTACTGCTTCTTCGGTTTGATGGTGTTGTCATTTTGGCGCTCGAGACAATGAATACTGACTCGACCAAGGTGCGTATTGTGGATGACTATCACGACGAGTGTGGTTCGGGACACCAGTGTGGCAAAAGGTACTCGCCACGCCTCCCAGCGTGTACCCAATATATTTAAGTTATGGCAAGTTACTTAGTAGAGACAGAATCTGGTGTTTGGGCATAAGAATGACATTATTGCATGCGAATCTTCGGGCAAGGGAGCAAAAGACATGCAACAGATTCTCGTCGTTTCAGAAAAGCAAGACGTCTTCCGTTAGGGGTTAGGCAATCAGCAATGATTAGGACGGCTGCAGATTATTAACTTGCGTGGACGAACTTGGTACTCGTATGCCAGTGAAGTGAATGAAGAAGGCAAGAACGAGTCGATTCGATGCGAAATGCATGCGTTGATTCAATTCTGTAAGAGCTCATTGATTGGGTGCAAGGAGATGTCCATGCTTCTGAGCCACCTTTGGCGCCCACCAAGAAAGTGTCCAGATTGTACCAAGAAGTCAGAATGGAGCTACTTGAAAGTTTGATGTCAAAAGCCTTTGGAGCCTCGCTTCCAGATGTTGAGCTTTGACAGGCCAAGTAGATGTGCTAAACCGAAAAGTGAAAGGTGCAACACAATATTAGTCTGCGCCTGCCACGTTCGACGTTCGACTTTGAACCATGTGGTAATGTCTCCGCATGAGCTGCAGAACTGCGTCAATCATTTGGGGATTGTCTTCAGCAGAGAGAAGCTATCATATATCGTCCTTACAGCTGCTCGCAATGCAAAGAGTCCTTTTGTGAGTTCGCGTCTTGTCCAGAACTTACTTTTGATCCTGCTTCTGCTGCTGATCAGGCCCAACGGGAGGTTTGTCGTGGATTCGTGCAAGAGTGTTGTGCTCGCAAACACAAAAGCTTGTACAGTACCGGAAGTACATACTAAACTTTGTACAAAGCAAGGATGTAGCCGTATGCTATTTCTACTGTCCGGTCACAAACAGAATACTTGTACAGGTCGCACAACAAGTGATTCATATGTTGTAGACTACGACCCTTTTCTTTTCTCAGCAGCCGTTCCACTGCATGCTGCTGAACAGGGTAACTATCTCGTCGTGAAACTGTAAACACTGTCGACGTTCGCGCGGACCACCAACATCCTCACGCAGCCTGACCACGATGATATGCTGGACGGAGAACCTCCTGAAGGCTGTGATTTCTTGTTCATGTGTCGATCCCGGATCAGTAGCACGCCTTCAAGACTGCCAAGTACACACTATTGACCGTTCGCGAGAATGGCACTAGTGTAGACTATTTATTGAAGACCGAGCTCCAACTCGATTCCTGTAGGGCTCAACGTCTTGAGAGTATGCAAGGAAGCTGTTGCGAAATGCATGTGTTTGGAGAGAATCTTGTTGTACTCGTGTTGCTCTCATGCAATATCCGAAGCATCGTCGATCTGCTAGGTAACCGGTCGTGCATTAGGTTTGCCACCGAAGAAGGCACGATGATTCGTGCTGGCTGGCTTACCTGAAGCGATTGGTGGAAGCTTTCGTTTCGATAGTCAGCCACGTTGCAGGTACGCCCCTCTTCGATAACGGCAATAATGCCAGTTGGACAGGGACACAACTGTCAAACGCCAAGTGTATTTATTATCGCACATTGTCAGACACACGACTCTGCTACGTGATCTCATGAAAGGTTTGCTACATAAGTTCGGGTGGCTGATCTCCACAATTCTAAGGACTTGTATTCCGATGAGCCGGTCATTTGTCCAGGACTGAATCAATTTTTTTGTACTGTAATTTGCGAATCTTTCAAACGACTGGGGTTACAACATCTTCGCTCGTGTATGATAGCCACGAGACTATCGACGCCTGCTCTACCTGCTCACGCTCAAGATGTCCTCGGAAGAAGCGGCGTCAAATCAGCAACCATCTAGGAGACTAAAGCTGGTCCTGAAGACATCGCCTCTTTCGACTCCAGTCGTCCAGCCTCAGCCAAACGACAGATTTGTTACACCAAAAGATGGATCTAGTAGTCCTCCAAGGCCGTCGTATTCTCCTGTCACTCCTACTTTATCCCACGAGAAGTTAGCAGCACCGGAGAAGGCCGAGGCACAATTCATTGATGAACCATCACCTTTGCCTCTTAACCTCGAAGACAATGCTGATGCTATAGCGTTAAAGGCGACCATATCTTTGTTGCAAATGCAACGTCAGCAGAGTCTGAAAGATATTCGTGATCTTGACAAAATCAAGGATGCTGCTGTGGAGAATCCTCGTGAATTTGCTAATGACCTTAGAGCAGGCAAGCTGAAGAAACCGCAAGCAAGTGAGATTGTCTTTGACGATGTTGAGTATGAAGACAGCGACGAAGACGAGCAAGCCGACAATAAAACCGATACAACTTCCAAGTTCGGCCGCTTGCCTAATCCACAAAATGTTGCTCGATGTCCTCCAATAGAATGGTCCAAATACCACATCCTTGGCAAACCACTTGACGATCTGCACGAGGCGCAAAAGAAGTATCCTGGTGCTACAGGGAATGAGATTGTAAACAAAAGTGCTCGCGAGCATGAGATTACCGCTCCTTATCGACCATTCAAGGACAAGCTTGACACCAAAAAAGGGACAGAAGGATATAGCACATGAGAGAGAGCCGATATACTGGATCTGACCTTGTGAACCCGGTTCGCGTTCGCAACATCATCTCCTATTCCTGATGTCGTCCGGACCGCACATCAGCTCAAGTCTCCATTATCACGTGTAGCATGCAACCCTGTTCGCAGCAACAACTTATCGTCCTTAATGACTATATGAATCCCTGCCACTTCACAATGAGAACCGTCGTGAGAGGTTTCCATCAGTATCAGTTCAAACTGGCCAAGCGTTTCTTGTTCTCCTTATGAGTTTGCTGGTCCTCTTGTGTCTGGAGATGCTTGTACACGCAACAAGTTGGGCAACGATACCCGGCCGTGATCATCTGGGTGAGAATCCTGGGCGTGATCTTCCGAGTCTCATGCACCAGATCTCCGCCACCCCAGCTGCCTTTCTCCGCAAAGCTAATCATATCACAGGTAACATTCCTGAGCTTGAATCTGAGACAGAAGTAACAAAGCTTGTACTTCTGCATTGGGGTCCAGTCCTGCAGTCGCTGTAAGATCGGAACAAGTTCTGACTTGGTTGGTTTCTTGGGTGGCATTTTGCGTGGCTTCTTCGAAGGTCCTTCTTCTTTAACAGGGGTCAATGCCTTTCGCTTCTTAGATGATGACTTGCTTGAAGTGGCCTCAATCGCCTTGGCCTGATGCTTGCTGGATTTGAGGTCCTCGAATGTTTCAGCATGGTGGATGCACGTGAGTGCGAGCATCAGTCTATCGGCCGGTTCATCAAGGCAAGACCAGATCTTGGACTGTATCTCAGCTGGAAGTCTTGCCAGAGGATTCTTCGCGTCCTTCCAGTTCTTGAACTCCTCCAACGGCTCTCGCTCTCGCTCCAGCTAAAGACGGTCAGCCATGTGACAACAAGCTCAAACCGCATTCCTCACAATGGACTTTGGAATCTCTCCGAGCTTTGCATTGACAGGTGAAGGATAGTAGTACTGTCTCATTGTGTGTACGGACGCCTCGATTTTCTTGAGTTTGTCGAGGATCTTCTTTTCAGCTTTGACTGCCTCTGCATCACTACTACCTGTTAGTGAAAGCTCTTCTTTAGTCGCAACAGAATTGTTCTCGATAGCAGACCTACTGCTTGAGATACGAGGCAGCAAATTCAACGGGCATATTGGCGAAGAGGTTAGGGAGGGCAACAGGATGATCGGTGTACCATCGCAAGCTGCGTTATCTAGTGCCCTGACTATAATACTTATGGGCCGAAGGCAACAACAATGTGCGTTTGCAAGTTGACATTATCCTCAGAATGCCACTTCTTATCAGAGCTTACTCAGTACAGGGCTCTTGGCTGAAGCTCGCATGAGGCACGGACCAAAGTATTATCGCATCGATGTGATACAGAGGGCCAAGAATGTGAAAAAGGGACTACTGAAAGGTTGAACTGAAATATTCAGACTCAAGAGGCTGTGTCCTGCGCTTACTGGAGGTCCGTGGCAGTCGTCGCCGCACCTGAACAAAAGGTTGGGTTTCTGCACACCACACCACTACATATACGCTTTACCACGGATATTGCACAAGCACAATCCTGGTATTCGCTGATTGCCCCTCACTATTTCTACATGCGACGAATTCTGCAAATTACAAGATACGACAATAACATATACGAACAGGACCAGCTCCCAATCACCTCGGCTAGAGAACAACAACATAAATACGACCTCTTCAGTGCGACCAAGAGTCCCTATCCAAGGCATGTGTGCTTCTGGTGTGTACTGTAGTTCTGGACATCTCTGAAATACGAGAGTTCCCCTGACTGCTGAGTGGCCGCTTATCGATATCGAAGTGAAATCGTGGAGGTCGATCTGATGATGTCATTGAGAGCACTGAGGGACAGGATCATGCCGCCCAAGAATTTCTTACCACCATCACACCTTGTACACTTCTTGAAAACAATCCGGCCCCGAGCAAGGCTTCTCAAAACAAACAGTTACTCTTAGTATTCAGCGCTGATAAACCAGACTCAAATTGTCTAGAAGTAAGCTCTACATATCTCCTTCCGAGCACAATCGCTAATGTAGCCAGGCAAATACCCCTCTTACACTACAACATGTCCGATCTCGACCCCCAAGCACCATCTCAGCCAAACCAGCAGACGGGTACGCAGGCAATTCTCTCATGAACGTTCTTGCCTGACGAAATTTCTGCCAGGACTTAATCAAGCCCAGAACGCAGCACAGAAAACACAAGAAGAGAAGGATGTTTCGAAAGACACATCGAGTCTAAATTCCAAACCAATTGATCACCGCGAGCAGCACGATGTACCTTCCCACCATGGCGACGATGCCATGCCGTCGTCCCTCGGTCGTGGTGACACAGGTTCCCTGAAGGAGAAGAAGCTCACAGAATCTGACAAGGAGAGAGACGGTGTAGATCCAAACCTCGAGGGCGAGCAGATGAGAATGCCTGGAGAGGGTGACGTCGCCGATGCTGTAAAGACCGGTGGTGGAGGTGGACACGCCGAAGAGCCCAGCTTGACTGACAACCTGGACGCCAAAGCTGATGAGCACGAGAAGGAGTTACATGCCAGAGGCCAGAGAACCGGCGCTGAGATCGAGGAAGAGGAGAAGGAAGATTGGACTGGCAAGAAAGCTGATATCGGAGAGGCTCTCGCAGGGAGGGGTAACAAGGTCGTTCTAGCACCAGAAGAGTAAGTTGAGGTGCTTGGAAAGATCGCCAGCTGCCTACCTCCCACATACCATACTTGGGAGCTTCAACTTCTCAAACAACACCCTCAACCCCTTCGTCCCACAGATACCATTATCTCGACATCCGAAATATGGAGTCAGCACGTTTACACCTCAGATACCCAACACGAATGCTGCTATACAAGAATCGTTACTGACTGGACAATTTGAAGGCACCAGAACACAGGAAGACAGATGCTGGAAAGACACGATGATCCTCTACACCAGGTTTGAATACTCGCAAGTGTGGCCTAGCAATAGAAAATCCCAATCGTTTCTTGCACTGTCTCCAAATTTCCTAATGATACCCGCATATTCAGGCACTATGGTGAGTAGATACTGCGCACTGACCACTTCCGATTGTGGGACGATCACAAAGAACTTGATTCACTACCCAACACCGCCATAACGCAAACATCCGAGATGCTAACAAAGATACCTTCGAGATCATTGTTCGAAGTACCGCAGCATTCAGCATGAGGACTCGGCTGCACTCGAGCTGCATCTGTACGGTGTCTGCCACGATGCGCATGCGGTACGATGGCGTTTCCAACTATGCTTTCTATCTTGTCTTCGTGCTTGCTCTATCGAAAGTGTACTGACTGTAGTGGATGCTACTCCTGAAACAGCGAGGAGAGAGACAAGAAGCTTTTGCAACAGCTCTATCCCTGACACATAGACTCATTCATTTCAACCAGCCTAGCCATCTCCCTCAATTTGCAGTTCACAATGTGCTACCACACAACCTATCTCTTCTCGCTATGCGGCCACACCTCCGTCTCTGAACGTCCCGTCAAACATGCCCCTCCCTGTCCAGACACAATGAGCAGATTCACAACAGCCGTCTCATCACCACAGGCCCAGAAAATTGTGGACAATCGTGGTTCAATGGTCACAAAGACAGTAACAAGAAACCAGCCCCAAGCGTCATCACCAACAGCACCACGCCTGAGCTACAGTAGCCTTAATAATCCTTTCCCACAAGAATTTGAGTTTGCGAAGCAGATACACGATTCAGTGCCTGCATCGCCAGCGACTCCGGTGGTTGGGAATGGTGAGCAGAAGGGTAGCATTGATTCGGGGTTTGATATCATCGACGCATATTCTAGTGGTGAGCGTTCAGGAACAGCCGGGGAAGTATCAAAAAAGAATTCGGCGTGTTCTCTTGTGCTTCGCCATCCGCTGCATACATTCATACTTCCCTTGTTGTGCAGTGCCTGCCAGACTCAGCGTCTGCAAAATATCGCACGGTTCGAAGCTTTGACGATCAAGGAGAGTATAGATCGCGATGTGCGAAAGGGTGATGGACTTGGTGGTGTCGTTGATGCGGAGAGGAAGAAGATTGCGAGGAGGAGTACGGGGAAGGGGAAATTGATCCCGCTGATATGTGTCGAGGAGGGACGGATAAGGAGGAGGGAGGTCAGGAAAAGTACTTTGAAGCAGATTGAGCTCAAGCTGGGGGGCGAGTTAGTGGTTGGCGAAGAACACAAGGAGGACCAAGTAACAAGCAATCCTGAGGAAGATGGTGAATCGACTTCCGGAATACAGAAGCCAGCGACCAAGACGGAGGCGATGACCGCAAGTTCGGGATCTGCGTCGAAGGGAAGCAAAGTGGCCGGTTCCCATGGTGTCGAACAAGACACTCACAGCACAAACGTCTCTATTACCCCTATTGTACCTGCTGCAACTCCAGCGCCGTCTTCAAGTTGGTCGTGGTGGGGAAGAAGTACTGTCGTAACCTCCGCTCCATCATTCTCAGCTGCAGCAAAGACAGTGCCAGCTGCACAGGGTTCAGGTCAGGCGCATAGGGGAACCACCACGAAAACTAATGCGTCCAAAGCAGCCAAAGCAGAGAGCGGACAGCCAAAATCAGCCTCAACAGTCCCGAGCGCGTCGCGGCCGATGTCACCAGGAATTGACTGGTCTGGTATGCAAGAACGGTGGAAAGGTATCAACAACAATGTCTCGAGAGATGTGTTCGGTCGTAACGCGAAAGGGATGAATCGGATCATGGGTTTCGAAGGAGCAAGGAGCGAAGAAGCTATAGGGACCATGGGAAAGTGGTTCGAGCCCTAAGCTCGCTCAATTGAGAGAAAGACTAGTAGATAGTATAGTTTCTTGGTTGGTGTATTTTGATCAGTACTGTCTCGAGCTGGTCAGGCATTCTCCAAGCCGTTCGTAGTAGCTGATATCACAACAGATATTGTCTCGATGAGTAAGATTTTGCGTTCTCGGTTGCTAGAATTCGTATTAATAATCAGCTTTACTGGGATCGAGTCACTTTGACCAATATAAGAAGGCCAAGGCTTAAGGCCTCCCTACTTCAGGATCGAGCGAAATGGAAACATGGTCCGTCAACAAGATCCGGGTTATTTTCCGCAGACAAGCATGTGACTCTGCGAACACAGCCTTCTGTCTAGGTGGATGAGATGAAGCTAGACAAATTGTGTATAAGAGTTAATCCAAGTGTGCAAACAACCCTCCTGAAGCGAAGGTGGGAAAATTGTTCTGTGAAACATTCGAAAGTCCATTGCGATAGCTTCGTCAGCATGTCGGACCAGCAACCTGGGAAACAACTGTTTATGTTAGCAAAGTGGGTGCTCAAACCAGAACACGTCGAGGAATGGCTGGAAACAGAATACGAAGCGTGGAAAGTCGTGCATAATCAGCCGGAGTGCATTTTCTTCGAAATCTTACGTGATCCGGAACGATCCAACGTATTTCGACTTCTCGAGTGTTGGACCAAGGACAAAGAGTGGTTCGACAATGTACAAATTAGGACACCGGCATACGACAAGCTGTGGAAGCTGATAGAAAGAGGTGTGACCGAGGAGCCGCCGAGCCTCGAATACTATGACCGGTTCGGAGACCAAGTCAATGGCAGTATCGTTCGGAGGCATTACCTGGAAGGCGGAAAGGTATTAGATTGAGAGCGAGGACGGGGCACTTCTTTCTTGAGAGGATGTTGGATTCACGGAGGGAGGTGATCGAAGACACAGAAGCTAGTCACAACATAGTAGAGCTGGTAAAGCCATAAAAGATGTGGACAATGATGAGATCGTGGACGCATGTTTTAGTTAAGTGCCTGCATTAGTACAATCTACCACCAACCGTAGACGAAAGTCCGCCGTAGAGCTGTCCAGCTTCGTCTGGCCCATATAGCTATGATGCGAACCTAGATTCACGAGAGACGACGTACTGGCTGCTAGCTACCCTCGAATTCGGTCGTGCTACCCCTACATCCTCCAGCTTTAGTATTCGCGGCGACTACGCACTCATTCTCATCCAGTACCTGCGTGGTGTTTGGTCATACAAAGTCAACGTCTCGAGCCCAATATGCCTACTCCAGAGTCCGAAGCCTTCCTCCGGAAGAAGCCCACTGTCCCACCTTCGTACGAGGGTGTGGATATGGGAGATTTTGAGGCTGTTGCCAATGTCAGAGATGCCATCATTCGAGAGCAGTGGGTACAGGTTATGATGGCACGGCTAGTAAGAGAAGAGATGGGCAAGTGCTATCACCGAGAAGGAGTCAATCACCTTGAAAAGTGTGGTAAATACAGAGGTAGGTTTCAGCTGGTTTGAGTAGGAGTGCTACTAGACCACTGACATTCTGGCAGAACGGTATTTACAGCTTCTAAAGACAGCCAAGGTCCATGGTTACAAGGGATACGAGCAGAATTATCTCCAGAGCACAACCGACAAAAACTACATCGAGACTGATTACCCAACAGTCACGCAAGCGAAAGGCGCCAAAGGATCGGACTTCAGATTGGGCAACACGATTGGCGCGAAGGGCGAAAGATTCTAAGCTGAAGCAGCATAGACAATATGAGTGGAAAGGCGAATTGGCGACCTACTGTACATATCGTTGCGACGAATTCACGAGCGCGATCTGGCATTGCAGGCACTGTTACAGCAAGTCCAAGCGTAAGCCGGAGCGTCTGTTCCGACGTGGAAAACGCGATTTGCAGTACGTATGCTACAGGTGTCCGCAAATCTAGAAGAGCCACAGTACATGCCTGTCACGATTTACCACGCTCAACCTTGCGTGTTCAATGCCACGAGGGAAGATATGCACTAGCCTGGCTTCTTACTGAGGGCTTCACTGAGCGAAGGTTTTTCAAAAGATTCCCGAGCTTCATGTAAATGTTCCTGGCGATGCTTGTTCGTTGTTGTTGTGAGATACGGCTAGCAGATATGGTGTAGCTGTAGGTCGTTATTCATCATTGTCTTGCTCGTATTCTGTATTTGAGGTGGAGACTCGATGCACAATAAAGCTCGCTTCGTCCGGTCGCATAATTTATTGCGAAATAATTTTGAACATTGTCTGCGCAAACGGTGCTTAACCTTGGACTCCCGCAGGTCGAGTTCCAGCAGGATGCCAATCAAGCGTAAAGCAGAGGACGTTCCAGCGAAAAGTTCTTCAAACAAAAAGCGCATTGTGAACGAGGGAAGAGCAGCGTTTCGGCAGAATTTATTCGAGCCTTCCACTGTCAAGCAATTTCGCCAGGAATATACCATTAGCGCACCTTACCCTCATGCTGTTGTGTCAGACTTGATCCAAGAGCAGCTACTACGGGATGTGCGTAGTGAAATTCAAGAAAACATTCACTTTACGTTGAAAGAGACTGATATCTACCGCATACATCAATCTGGCGACCTTGCCAATCTCTCCAACCTCGACCAGGACTCTCTCAAGCGTTTACCGAGCCTCGTTAAGCTAAGAGACGCTCTCTATAGTCCGGACTTCCGAGAATGGGTCTCGCAGGTCACTGGCGCAGGCAAGGTGTCTGGTCGTAAGACTGATATGGCAGTGAATGTTTATACGCCTGGTAGCTACTTACTCTGCCACGACGATGTCATAGGTAGCAGAAGAGTCAGCTACATATTATACCTCACAGATCCTGATGAGCCATGGCAGCCAGACTGGGGTGGTGGATTGAGACTATACCCTACAGAACTGAAAAAGAACAAGAAAGACGAAGACATAAAGGTACCACTTGCAGAATGGACTGAGAATATACCACCTGCCTTTTCACAGCTCAGCTTCTTCACCGTCTTACCGGGTGAGAGCTACCACGACGTCGAAGAAGTATATCACGGAGCAAATGCAGAAGAAGACAAGAACAGGATACGCATGGCTGTGAGTGGCTGGTTCCATATTCCACAAGAAGGCGAGGACGGCTATGAAAAGGGTGTCGAGGAAGCGCAGGCTCAGAAGTCGAGTTTGGCACAGTTACAAGGTGCGGCCGATGAGTTTGACGAGCCCCGTATCACATTCCGACACTTCGATGAGCCGAGAAGAGTTGTCAATGCGCAAGCAACAGGGACTGAAGAAGATCCAGGTGACACGGCTGACCAGGACGAGACCATACTAACAGAGCAAGATCTGACATTCTTGATTCAGTATATTGCACCTGGCTTCCTGGTTCCAGACAAGCTCGAAGAATTGTCAGAAGCTTTTGAAGCAACCTCCATGCTTCAGCTTGACGACTTCCTGGCTTCGAAGTTCACTGCTCTACTCAAACCCTACCTTGAGCGCGCCGAAAACTCGGATCCTGCAGGGTCAAAGAACCCAGACATCTCTCCATCGACCTGGCCACTTGCTCGTCCTCCACACAAGCACCGTTTCGCTTATCTGACGGAAGATACGCTCACAGCCACGGATGCTGACTCACCAGTTTCGAAACTCCTCCAGGATTTGTTGCATTCCCATGCTTTCAAGAAGTGGCTGGCACTCGCAACAGGGTTACGTCCGTCGAGTCTACTCAGACAGCATGCTCTTGCTCGTCGTTTTCGGGCTGGTCATGACTATGCACTCGCCAGCACATACACGGGCGAGCAGCCAAGACTCGAATTTACAATCAACATGACACCTACCACTGGATGGGACAGGACAGAGATCGACGAACCACCGACGAATGGCAAAGTCAATGGTGCTGCAACTGGGTCGTCGAAGAACAGCACGCACGACACAAGCCTAGTCGACCACGAGCCCCTCGAATGTGGCGGCGAGGAAGTCTATATGGCAGCGGACGACGATGCAGCTTCAACGCACTCGAAGGCTCTACCCAACGTGGGCAAGAAAGCCGTGCACGACCCGGCCGTATATCAGACTGGAGACGGAGGCGAAGATGACGGGATATTGTTCAGTAGTTCTCCAGCTTGGAATACTTTTAGTGTTGTATTGAGGGACAAAGCGACGATGAGGTTTGTGAAGTATGTATCCCAAGCAGCCAAGGGCGACAGATGGGATATCAAAGGTGAGATCGAGTTGGCGGAGGATGCTTTCGATGGTGAGGACAACGAAGATGCCCTGGGCGAGGTAGGAGAGGACGATGTTGAGGAAGAGATCGAATTTGATGACTATGATGGCGAAGGCGCGTCGGATGATAACGACGATGACGAAGAGTAGACTTACTATCTATTCACGATGTGAGTATCGCCATGACTGCGAATATGAATATGAATGAGAATGAAAGACCGCCTGCGGAATTACTTCGAGACGTGATGAAAGGGGGAGAGCAGTACTCACATGTCACCTCTCCTCAACTACAAAGGCATTACTGCGAAACCCTACCTCGTGCTGTCTAGCCTCCTATCCAGTTCCTGCTGCACACTCTGCTGTTGTGCCTCTTCATACCCAGGCGGTGCATCACTAGGCGTCTCGTCCCTCCGCTGCGCAGCCTCCTCTACCTCCCTCGATGTCCGCCGCACCTGTGCCTCCTGTCTCTGACTCGCCGCAGCCGCCACCATCGCACGGACTTGCTCCGCAGTAGCACTCACCGGCACCGCCATCTCGTCCGAATCCGAATACCGCTGCTGCTGCTGATCAGGCGCCCTCCTATCCTGCCCACTATCCTCGTATCTAGGCAACTCATCCAGATGCACATTCGCCATATCCACGTTCCTCGAAGCGTTAGATTCACGTGCATTGTCCACGACCTGCTGTAACCGCTCCTTGATCGCTTCGAATTTACTTTGAAAGTCCGGCGCTCCGCCCTCCTTGAACGTGAACTTTAGTTCGAGACCTGTGGCGGTGCCTGGTAATCCGCCTCCAGCGACGGGCTGCACGAGTGCTGTCCAGGCATTTGGGCCGAACCATGGCATAACGAGATGTGTGTCGTGTAGGTTGAGGAGCGGACAAGAGAAGGATTTAAGGCTACTGGCGACGTTGCATGATATTGCTGAGCCAGGTCGTGGGAGGTAGACTGTCCGCTGGTTGGTGAGGTATAAAGTGCCGTCAGATGATGTTATGGTGATGTGAGGCGCATGAGCTGGATATGTAGATTTTGGTGTTGTGAGAGAGAACGATGTGCGATCGGCGGATTTGAAGATTATGCGTTCATTGGGGAGGAGGATGAATTGGGATTTGTTTGGTGTTGTGGTGGTGGTGGTGCTGTTGGGTTCGGGCAGCATTACCCAGTTGAGAGACATGGTGGGTGGACTTTTGTGGTCAGGAGTTCTGGGCTGATCGTAGAGACTCTACTGGTTTTCAAATCTTGCCAGACGGTTGTAATACTGGCAAATAGTCCAATCCTGTCTGCCTGATTTTTGGCGGTACTTGATGAGATGTGTGGCGGTGGTTATGAGGCGTTTGCTGGAAGACTAGTGATGTTTCGTCCTTGGTCCGATGGTGGAATCAGAACAGACGGTGCAGTGACCCGTCATGTTACCGTCGACGTCAGATGCCTAAATGTGGACGTGAATGTAATTACCTGTATCGCGATGATTAAAGTTGCATTCATCAAGGGACGCTCTAGGCACTCAAGTGCGCCTTCCACGCTTATCGCCAGTGTGAGTGACGACGTTAATCACAGTACCTGGTATTCCAGTCGGCGACTGGAACTTGAAGTGAAACGTATGTCGTTTTCGCCGCTTGAAGCCAATGTCATTACAAACGCCAAGCGTCATATTCAACGTTACTGGGGCTATTCATTTTGGGAAGCAGCAACCGTATCGGCCAAACCATGCGCCGTGCTGACATGCCTTACCAGGATCTCTTTGCTATATGATGAGATGTGTCGCAATGATACAATCTCTTCGCACGACATGAAATCAGAGCCTGACCAAAGAAGATAATATAGCCTATAAGTCTGACCCCAATTCGGTCAGCAGAATCAGAGGCTTCACCATGAGGCTGAAGAAGTGAACCGATTGAATCTGATCGCCCCCAGCTACCCTACGATAGCCGAAATCCTTCAACATTCGAATGTATTGTCTGTCTTGTTCTTGATGACCGTCAACATTCCCACGTGGTGGATTTGCTAACTTCGAAAAGAGTTTACTGATCTAGCGACAGATCAGGTGTGAGCAAGGTGTGGGGGCCGTTTCGAGATCTCGAGAAATACAGTGGTGCCTAAACGCAAAGCTCAAAGCCAGCTATACTGCAAAGTGGCGAACCTATTGTATAGATGCCTGGTGATACTAGCATAGCAAGCAGCGTCGTCTTTACGAAAGTCACGTACGACAACTAACCAGAAACCCAGTAACTGATGTTTTACTACGTAGCCACTAACTAACAGCCATTGTTCGTGCGTTATAGATACGCGAGTGGATAGCGCTCAATGAGTGACTTGGACAACGAAGTCGAGGTTTCTACTCAGGCGCCTGTGACCAAAGATAGCGAAGACAATAGTGTGGCATGCCCGGGTACGAGCCATGGCACGTTGGTACAGCCACCGCTGATGACTGCCTGGCAGCGAGAGCTTGCTGCATCTCGGGTCGGCAGGCACAGCAGAGCTTCAAGCATCATTTCGACCCGCACGAGGCTGACTGTACAAAGCGACGACGCTCGCAGCGTGGAAATCGAGGCTGGTGGACAGACATTCCGAATCAGCCGTGACGGCTCAAGTGTCAGTAATACCACGGCGCCGCCTCCGTATCCTGGTCCACCACTTCCTGAGCTTGTCGAGGAAAGCGACGAAGATGAGCTGACGGAGCAAATCAGGCCCTCACTTGACACAGTCCGAGGAGGTGAAACTGGCGATGAGGTTATTGCGGAATCTGCCGAGAACGATCTACCACTCAAAACACATCAGTCAACCAATGACCACAGAGGGGACACCTCACCGTCTTCGTGTCGCAAACCTTCAGGTTTCGAATCACTGCACAGGTTAAAGTCCATGATTTCTGGGCGTTGGTATGGATCAGAACTGTCAGATTCGACCCTATTGACGACAAGCACGAATGACCTGATGCAGACAACAAGAACGAATTCAGCCAGCTCCAGCCGTGACAATGACTCGCTCGAGGATCAGGACGGGCTAGTCCTACCAATCTTGGACGCAGAGCGGCGGATGCAGGAAGCGTCGTTGAGTACAGCCCCCTCGTTGTCTGGGGTTGAAGATGAACCAGCAGCAGAAATTGGTCGGTATTACCACAACCTCATCCGCGACATGGACCGGGAACATAGGAAAAAGCTTCATGAGCGAGACGTGGAGTTAGCACAGTTTCGAGAATTGCTTAATAACCAAGATGTGGTATATCGCCAACAGCTGCGAGAACGAGACCACACTATCGAAAGCCTGAAGAGCCAAGTCTCGTCAGCCAATACGCACATGGAGGGGCTGTGGAAGAAGTATCTGGAAGTCGAGGAGGAGGTGGAGGCTAGACTAGAGAAGGCGAGAAATGAGGTAGAGGATGTATGGGAGAAAAGGTGGAAAGAATACGAGGCGCTCCTGAGAAGAAAGATGATAGGACTATGTGAAGAGCTTCCTCGCGGTAAGGCGATATCGAGCACTTCTGAGTCGTGTGCCATCGTGGAGCTGGAAGCACTAGATTATGTCCACTATGAGGAAGTCTATCAGCCTGAGCCCGCGTCTGATGCTCCTTCGTATCATTGAGAAGCCGAGATAGTCTGCCAAGCTGCGACGGCAGCCTGCAGGAGGCCTGCTCGTTTGTACAACAAGACTGTTTGTTCTTACAGCTTCGAATATATATATATAAAAGTCTGTTTCTAAGATGAATGAGTGATTGGACAGACGTGCGCGCGAATCCTCGTGTTATGGTTCGACTGCCACTTTAGGAAAGGCGGTGATCGGGGTAAACAGTTGATCGACACGAGCAGCAAGCCGTGCCAGCCACCTTTTGAAGCGACCGCCTCTAGCACCACCTCGACTGACGAACTCCTCCTGCATCTTGTTACATTACATGCGCATTATATTGTACACTTGTATTGCTGTCGCATAAGTTAGAACAACATCGCCAACATGTCTTCCGCAACATCCTACCTCAACAGCCTCTTGAAGACCGACTTGACCGATTTTGCTGAGACTTCGTCATTGTCCAAGTATGTCCCGCGGCTACTTTCCAGTCGCGTGCACAAGACGCGTCGGGATCTCCCAAGAAGTGATAGCTAACGTCTGTGCGCCGTAGCTATGCAGGACTTCGAAAAGCCGAGCTCGCCGAGAAGCTGGACGATCACCTCAGACGTAATGCTACAACATACTCGAAAGAGCCGTCGCTGAGCGAATACTACAAGAGACTCGGGTCGACATCGACAACACGATCGCCCGTCAAGAGAATAGCGGAGAAGGTATCTGATATTGTCAAATCTGACGACGACGATGGAGCTACATCTTCGCATGCGCCAGCGACTGCGCGCAAGCAAAGGAGAAGGACGCGCTTACCATCAGAAGACGGCAGGTGAGTCGCTCATGCTCTGCGACATCGCGACCTCTCCTAATGATTGGCAGTACCGACGCAGAAAACCCAGTGTCAGCACTGATCAAAACACCAGGCAAAGAAATAGCCCGTCGTGCCTCCATTTTAGCGGGCCAGATACCACTACCGCCATCTCCAGCAGTTGTTACAGATGCTATCGACCAGCAGACGAAACGAATAAGGACATCAATCTCTCATGCTTACGAAAGAGCTGGATTTGAAGACTACAGCGACTACGCAAGAGAACTTCTCAGCTCGACGGCGACGATCAATCTGCTGGCTATTCTGATTGAAGCCAATGGACTGCGATCACAAATCATGCCCAGCAAACCTATTGCTGAGATCGGACCCATTTCTGGCATTAAGGACACCTCGACCAGAGTCCTGGTTCCGGATTTGTTCCAGCTTTTGAACATGAGCTTTTGGGCACCTTTCTCTTTGTGGCTCCTCACCACACTGATTTTGCCTGCACTGACGTCGTACTTCGTTAACCTACCATTGAGACAATTGCCATCGCACAGTCCAGCAAGAAGAGCAAGTGTCAAGAGTAACCCACACGTTCAGTTCGACCCATTTATCTTCAACCTGGCCAAAGGACTGATCGTGTATCTGGTATACGCATCACATTTCCAACCGGTCGAAGTCTATAAGCATGCCACCATTGCAACAGTACATGCAAGTGTGCCGGGTGGTTACCAAGGCATGCTGATCAGCTCTGGGCTCGGTGCGGCTGTCAGTCTCTATGAGGCAGTCTTGAAAAGGTGAACCGGGCACGTAATGAATGTGGCTTGGCGAAGAGTCTAAGGGAGGACGGTTGATACCCCATGGTGCTAGTCTATGTGAACATGTTTGTATATTGATTTGGACGAGGAATTGAATTGGTATGAATTATGATAGTAAAGACGACATGATTAGAACACTCTCGGCACAGTGATCTATTGGCGAGGAACAGTGTCGGTATTGTTCGAACTACATGGTTGTTGGTGTTCTGTGCGTATGAAATTTGGTGGTATTTAGGTCGCATTAATGAACTTATCGTTGTTAGCATTAAGTCTATAATCTACCAATGTGCCGTGTATCTCCCGAGGCAATGCGTCGGTGTGAACGTTCGCGATACTCAGATTTTGAAAGTCGTGGCGTGAGGCAGGTGAGCATACTCGGATCGTTCAGGAGAGCGCGCCATTAATTGCAGCGATGACGTCGATGTCCCACAGTTTCACCGGCACACTCCAGAGTCTGTGCTGCAAGTGTAATGTTGCCAATCAAATGACCAGACTCAGTACAGCTTTCAGCTCACCTCGCCCCTCCGTTCACAGACAAGCACAAGGTTATGCATCAGAACTGGTTCCGCTTCCGCCAACGGTCCTGTACTCTACGCGTCCTCTGAGGAGTTAGTTGCGTGTTCATTGTTGATCTCAGTCAGCTGATGGAAGAGGGCAGTGGTGGACAGACCAGATCCACGACTAGCACTCTGTAGTATTGTTAATTTACACATTGAACTCCTACAAATTGTCATTGTTTGATCTACCTACTTACTCTGTATCTCAACTCCCATTTTACAGAACCCGAGGCATGCCTCCCGACCTGAATTCACTCTCACCATCAAGTTCGTCTCCCAGGTCCATGTCTATGCACAGTCACCATGGTGACAGCAATTCCTCACCTCGACCTTCCACGCATTCACTTGCCGCCGCGGCTACCATGAACGCTACAGAACGAAGATCTAGCACCAGCCGTGGTTCCCCACGTCTCGATCGAACCACGTCCGAACGAAGGCGCTCTCAGGTCGCCATGAACTTAAACCTAAATGACCCTACCATACCTGGCCCTGGAGAGCTTCCGAGTTCAGACAGAAGATCAAGCATTGGCCACATGTACTCGACCGCCAGTCCATCGAGTATGGGTGGGAGATCTATCTTAGCCACAGGCGATCCTAATCACCACCGACAACCAAGTCTAGGCGATATTCATAACGAGCTAGAGCAGGAGCAGGAAGCACAGGTCAATCGCATGCTGTCTATGATTAGGACTCAGCAGCAACAGTTGGACACAATACGGGCTCAGCAAGCTAGTAACCTTGCACCCACGCAGTCTGGTACTTCTACTGCGGTCGAAGACAGCACACCACAGTCCGAGCGTTCCTTCTCCTTCCCGTCTGTACATCCAGCTGTGGGAGCCATACCAAGACCAACCGGCCGTCTCTCGCGTGAGAACTCGAACCCTAACAGATCCCCCGCTCTCCGACCACTACCTAGCCAAGATCTGCACAACAGCGAGCCTTGGGCGTCGTCGCCGACCGATAGTATACGAAGGAGCAGTACAAGCAGACGCAACAGCCTCAGAGACGAGAATGCCTACTATCAAGCCGAATCTGCCAACTTACAGAGAGAAAATCAGATGCTAAGGATGAGAGTTCGAGAATTGGAGAAGCAGCTACAGGAAAAGCAACATAATACATTGGGCACACCTGCTATGCACAGCAACCTTGTCACTAGTCCACCTCTAGACGCTAGAGTCAAGGACTGAAGTATTGAAGTCTAGGACCATAGTTTGTGGTCGATGTACGAACACTTATCAATATGGATTGTCTTTTGACTGAAAATGATACCAGGAGGAGTAATAGGGCCGGTGTTTTGCTTTCTACTGAAGCTAGTGCTCGAGACGTGGAGGTTCTGCACGAGGTGCAACGGCAAGACATGGAGATACTCGTTCAATGGAGGTACAGGCTGGCACTTCCCATGTCGTCGATATCACCTTGAGGAATACATGATGCAAGTCTCAATCATTATGCAGCACAAGGTGACCATGACATCCCTTCTATCCCTCTCCTGCTTATCAATACTCTCCCACCGGTTCGCTTGTCAAATTCCACTGTTCATGTTATCCTTGAATCTGACAGCTCGTTTCCTATAGCTACTACTGACTGTTTGCACTAGTGATGGCTGTCACCGATTCACTAATTGTGCGGTCGCTTTACAACGCGGCGCAAAATTTCAGCCGACACATCACTCGAGTGTCAGTCTCAAGATTCCGCAGGTAGAAGAGCAATCCTTCTGTAACAAACTCGGAATTCCATAATATATCCTTGCGATTTGCCTCTTGGCTGCTAAATCAGCCCCTAGAACTTCAAATTCAACCATAATGGACGACACTGGAACAGAAATAGGAGAGATGGCTTGGATGAAGTTGGAAGAAGCGTCGGACGATCGCTCACAAGATTCGGACGACGAGGAAAACGGTGAAACATACAAGGATATCCTGACAAGATTGCAGATTCGTCCTGAATCACAAGAAGAATTCTTTGACATGAACATCTTGCCGTGGCGCAACAAACATTTGAAGGAACTTCGGCGTGGTGGTGCCACAAACATACGCAAGCTCTCTAAGTTGTTTCTAACAGCCATGGGACAACTTACTTGGTTAAACAAAAGAGAATGGCTTCTGACAGCTGAGGAACTCGAAGAAGGTGAAGAACCGCTGTACTACAAATTGCCACGAGAACGCAAGGAAGGCGATCATGACAGGTATGTTGGTCCATGGTACATGACCTAAGAGCATACTAACATCATTTCAGGTTCTTCGCTATCTTGGACAATCTCTGGGAGCGTATGCGCAGCAGGATCTTCGAAACTCAGCCTCCCACCCCAGTCGACTTTACCGACGCAGACTCTATAGCGTTCACTAACCCCACAAACACACGGCAGCACCATCGAGGAAAGGTGGGAGTACCTGGGTTTCAGCCGAACGACACTCAATTGAGAATTCCGCCAGTCAAACCACCACGCTTCCGAAAGAGAGGCCGTTCATGGAACAAAGAACGACAAAATACACGAAAAAGACGAGTCCAACAGCCTAGCTCTAAGGAAAAGAACGCACGCCCGGGTGTGATGACGGCTGGACAAACAGAAGAGGCTATCCTGAACATCATTGTCGATCTACACGAGACGCGAGCAAACAGCCATCCGGGCATATTCGCACGTCTATTCCAACAGCACTTGGCACGTTTAGAGGAGATTGAATACATCGATGAACTAGGTCCGGGAGTAGTTGGTGCCAGCAGCACAGCGCCAAAAGGAGAAGAACCAAACCATACTCGAGCTAACCCGGCAGGCGAACCTCAGGATAATATTGTCTCTGATAGCTCTGAGGATGAAGCGATGTCAGATACGTCCTTCCACACTGCGGATGACGATGACAGAAAAGAAGCATGGCTATATCCAGCTGAAAGAAATTCAATGCTAGCCGGCCATGAGAAATTATCATCACGGGCACGAGGGAATAAAAACATATCTAAACCGCAGCCGACAAACCCAGCACGAAAGCCACTGCCAGACTCATCAAGACACACTCAACCTCAACCAAGCTCCCAAGCTGTGCCTCAACTTCAAGCCCAAGTACATGTACACCAGCCGAAGGAAATCCAAACATCTCAACCACTCCACCTCCCTCTCACATCCCCACAAACACTCCTCACCCCTCCCACCACAACTCAAAGCTATCTCATCAACCCAACCCTCCCCGAAATGCTCACAACATACATAACACCATTCTCCTACTCCTCAGGCTCACCACAGCCGTATATCTGGCTTGATGCTCCTGTCGTCGCGGGCTCGTACGAAGCCTTTAGAGCTGGAGTGTGTCTGCGTGCGAATGTGCCTGAGGGTGTAGGTAGGGATAAGGTCGGCATGGTGCTGGCGTATGGGTGGAATGATTTGTGTCGGCTAGTAAGAGGGGAAGGTGATTGGAGAGAATTTGTTATGGCTGATTTGAGACAGGCGGCGAGGAGAGGAGTGACGGTTTGGAGGGTGAGGGTTTGTTGTGTTGTTCTAGATAGCAGGCGGTAGGGTGTGAGGAATAGATTTGCTTGGTGTAAGGAAGATCGAACCGAAGCATAGCACCAGTAACTGATTCGGAAATCAATATCGCTGCTCGTATACATGTTTCTACACGTGGTCTTCTTTCTATGAGGACTTTCTTTCTTTTTATGAACCAGCTTTTGACCCGAATCTTTGCGCAAATTGTGCACCCTGATCTCTCAGTCTTTCCATGAACGTCATCTTTCTCCTTGCAGCTGACGCATTCTCGCTCAAAATCGCATTGATGTCTTCTTCGCTACTCGGGCTCGTCGTCCCCCAGATCTGCCAATCATCCTCCTCACCATCAAACCTCAGCCTCTGTAGGACCACATATTCGTCCTTATTCACTGTCTTGGGCCCTTTGCCGTCGTTTTTATCCAACGTCTGCTTGGTCTTGATCTTCACAACGACTTGCCGCGCTGATGAGTCGGTACCCACTGGCAGCTGAGCTGAACGATCGGTTATGATTTGCGTCGATCGGAAGCGCGGTGGGATGAGCGCGGTGATCCACCAGTAGAGTTTGTCGTCGTTCGTCAGACCTCTGTACTCAACATCCCAGGTTTCGGGGGGCATTTTCATGGCCTTGCGTTGGTCAAGGCGAATCTGGAGGGAGCGTTTGAGGCCGGTGCAGGAGATGCGCCGGATGGTGTCGTTGTCGCCTTCTGCGATGGCTTTGTACAGTTCGCGGTGGAGTTCGCGGGCTTTGGCGTAGCGTTCGCGAAGGAGGAGGGGGAGGACGAGGGCCCGGTTGGTTAGTGGGTCTTTCTTTACTTGCCATCGGTTGGAAAGGACTAGGCTGTAGGGAGTGTGTGTTAGTGTATGTAGGACTATGAGGATGGAGTCTTGTGCTTGAGGATGAGTGTTCTTACGCAACGAAAGCTTGGACTTTTTGTTTGAAAGCTAGCCATTCAATTTGTATTCTTCTCTGCCATCGCTTGGAGAGAATTGAGGGTAAGTTCTTGCGTTCGGGTTTGATGAGTGTTTCTGGGAGGAGGCCGAAGTCGTCGCCCATTTGGCCTCTGCCCATCTTCTTCATTTGTCCTGAGAGACTCTTTTGCTTGCTCATGGCCTTTTGTAACTGACGACTGATGTTGGGAGTGCGCACTGTTGCAGCATCGCATGTGGTTGATGAAAAGGTCCGGCATTGCTTTTGTGGTATGTCTCTGCAAAGGCGTCGCAGCGCAGGGCCGAGGACTGAATTGCCAGCCATGGCTGTTGATGGCTAGCAATGTCGCTGCAAGCAGGGATAGCTGGAATTGATCCGTGCTAGATGTGCAATGCTGTATATTTGTTGCGATGGAGAGTGCATGTCCGCAACTCAATTCGCGCTAGTAGCCCGACCTGCATGAATAGCCTAGCTCAGAAAGCATGATGAGCCCACTGGACAACGATCAGCTTTTTGGTTAATTGCAATACCCTTCTATACTTCAGGAAACCCATCGTTCACAAGCATTGTACATTGCAAGGGTCCTTTTTTCTTCAAGTTCAGCAGCCATGGCATCGAGGAAAGATATGAGACGAGCTGATCTCGGTATGCACACTCCTGCCCGTATTGTATGGTCGCTAAAGAAGCAGTCATTCCATATGTCGAACCAAAGGACGACAAAGCAAGTGAATTTGGATCTACTCTCTCAAGCAGTCTGCCGATGGCTGCGGTAAGTTATCTTCTCAGATAGATGCAAGCCCAGACTGATGACAATAGATGTTTACAAGGAACAGGTGAGTGATACTGGACGTGCTAGGAACATATGGTTAATCTATTGATACTATAGAATGATCGGATGGTATGTATAGCTATGAAGAACTATTCTGGGAGCTACGCTGAAGAACGGACAGGGTGGCGATAGTGATAGGCCTCCTGAACTGGATGTCCGAAACGACTTCACAGAAGAATTCTAGTGCGACTCCAGCTTATTTGTCCTTTGGCATGTCAGGTAAGTGCTTTGGGATTTTCCATATCGGGTTATGCTGACTGTGACAACAGTTCTTTCTCTTGGTGTCGTAAGTGGCGAGAACCCTGTCTCCTCGAAGGCAGGATACTGACACGTTGCTAGACATATATGCCATTGTTCCTGCCACCTTCACTAAATGGAGCCGGCCGAGCAACAGGAACAGGCGCACCACCTCCAGTACCTCAATAGCAGACTTAGTAACAGGTTTCATGGCAGATCTGGGTCGTCTCACTTGGTCTCCAATCCGATGATCGACCTCAACTATATAGGACTACCACAGATAGCCCTCAAAAGAATTACCAACTTTCGGGCAAAACTTTTTCGATTACCACACAGGCTGCAGGGAATGCTTGCCCGGAAATTCTGCCAAGGAACCTGGACAACAACTCATCACTCAGGTTGAAAATTAGTATTCTGTAGTTTGGCATTCGAAAATGATTGCTCACCGAAATAGTAGACTGACACAGCGGTATATGTGGCTTGGAGGCATTCACCATTAATCATGGCAACATTACTGGGTCCGAAGCAGTTCAAGGCACCCCATGTGCTCTTCTTTCGTATCTGCCTCTCGATGTCTTCTGTCTCGTGGCTACAGAACCAGTACTTGCGTCTTTCACAAGTGTAGGCATGTCAAAGACCTGCTTGTGAAAGTGCCGTAGAACATATGAAGCCACTGGCAGTAATCGGCAATTTCATCTACAGAGGACTTTCTGCCTGTAAATGACGAATGAGTACGAATCCAGGCGCCAACACTGATTCAGTAAAGTGTACGTGAATTTCACCAATGAGCAATGGGCTCGAAGAGGCTTAGCTGGAAGTTTAGTGAAATCCCCACCAGGCGGCTTGTTGTGTTCATAAACGCATGCAACTGCTCCCTTCTTGTCTACATCACACAACCACAACCATAACTCTCCACTCAACATACCTCTGTACAACTGAGAAAACTTATCAGATTATCGACACGCTCTTTTTCAACTCTATCGAAACCGTTACCACAACCAATCGAGTTTATGTCAACTATCGAAAACCTCAAAACCTTTGGTAAGGACCCCTCTTTTGCCTACTCGAATTGCCACTGTCTATGCGACAACGACTGTAAAGATGCACAAAGACGTTCAAAGTGGCGGCCTATTAGTCGGATATCACATTCAAAAGACTTGGAACCGATCAAGATATCAAATTTCAAATCGAACCAGTACTAACTGTGATATGTAGACCCCTTCGCGGAGGCCGACGACGACGCTGGGGCAGCCCAGAAGAAACAAGGCCAGGATTATATCCACATCCGAATCCAGCAGCGAAATGGTCGTAAGACTTTGACCACAGTCCAAGGTCTGCCGAAAAAGTTTGATCAGAAGAAGATCCTCAAGGTGATCAAGAAGAAATTTGCCTGCAATGGTACCATCGTAGCCGATAGTGAGATGGGAGAAGTTATTCAACTTCAAGGCGATCAACGTAAAGATGTTCAGGAATTCCTGGTCGCCAAAGACGGCCTTGAATTGGACGCCAAAACCATCAAGGTATGTTCTACTGCCCCTAACATTTCAAGAACTACGACTGACTTCCATCGTTCAGGTCCACGGTTTCTAGACGCTTCAGCCCATATTTCCGACTGTCATGTTCGGACATGGAAGACAGATAGAAGTTGTCGTCCGCTCAATCATTTGTTACGATCTCTTCTTGCCGACGACTTTCATGACCGTTACGAGCGATGACTCATGCATGTACAGCACTCCGGAATAAGGTGCCTAAGGCGTTCTACGATACCCACATAGATAGCAGCAGTTTACGGTGTTCTGGTGAGACGGGAAGGAATATTCTCAGGCAGGAAGCATTTTATTGTTCTAACATGGACGTTTCGTCAAGAGGAAAGAAGGACCTGTTGTGCTTGAAGCGCAGCGACTTTCATACTTGTACTCCAATAGCTACGGCACTGTCGAAATCATGCACTGGCTCCTTGCTGATTCCAGAGCTTTTTCCTGCCATGCATACTAAGCCTTCTAACCCAATTCGTGCTCTGTAGATTCAGGTTTCTAATTCGCAGTGCACGCGATCATGTCCCGCTCTCGGGTGATATTGCCCTTGAGCTGCGAGTTCCACTCACGCTAATAATGAGAAAATCCGGGGAAGGCACTCTGGGCATTCGAACCTCTCAAAGCTCTACACCTACTCAACTGGCTAAATTTTACCTTGCGCAATATCCCTTCGACACTGAGCAGTTCAAATCGGTGTTTTTGAATACTGTCAGACTTTTCGGACCGGGGTGGGCCGGTATAGCCCGTGTACAGCTGCTTCGCTGGCTGACGAGGTATTCCCGTTGCGCGAACCATGTATACAATATCCTACCAACCATGAAGCTGGTACACCACAGCCCTTCTCTAGGGCTCATTGCGATTCGCCAAAAACAATAGCCAAAAGTGCTCGTTACCCCAGAGTTGCTATTGTGCTGGGTGTCAACCATCGGTACCACGTCCCTCTCCTCATATGCCGGTCTCTCTCGACCATATTCGCTATCATCTGGGCGGGTCAAGCATGTTCTGCAATACACAACCTGCCTGACTCGTGGTGGCCAGATTTGTTGGCACCTGGACAAGCGCATGCTGACACAGCCTTGATTCATCACTTGCACGTTACGCAGGTTGGCCTTTCCTTTCTCTGGGTAAGCATACCCCCCTTTTACTACCTTTCCACAAGACTCCAGACTTGCTCAAACTATGGCTCATCTGCTAACTATTCAAGGCCGCTGAAGCTGCTTACTTGTCGCACCTCTTTGCCTCGTCCCTCATGTCTAGATGGCTATCCAATTACTCTCCTGCCGCAGTCCTTGTCCGTCTTTGCAGCCTTTCTATCTTCCTATCTTACGTCTGCATACAAACATTCAGATTTACCGGGGCTCTAGTACCTCGACTTGAGAATCTGAGTCGTTGTCTGCCCATATGGCTGCTGACCTGTGTCGGCCTTCTGATATCGTACTTCACGACTCAGCAAGATATTTCAATTGAGAAGGATCGTGATGATAGGAGAAGACGTCTGGTCCTCAGACTCAAGTGTTTATATACAACGGCCGCTAGCAGTCTAGTCAGCTTGCTAGTCTTCATCGCAGTCATCCACATCGGGTCAAGAACCATGCTGGAGACGTGGGAAGATGCTTCACTCGTTTTTCGAGCTCATTTCAAGCAGATAACCGTTACAATGCAGAGAGGGATAGTGAAGGACGAACTATGACTACTATATCCCGCATGAGAGTTGAGGGATGTGAGCCCTGACCTGCGCCTTGTCTCTGTCCAGACTGGTGAAGGTATGGCAATGCCACAGCTTGATCACCCCATTCTGTCAATCTCCTCCAACTCCCGATCTGTACCTACGTCTTTTATCTGTATCTTGCTGTCGAATATCCCGTTCCCACGAATGGGAGAACTTCTCAAATCAGCAAGCTCTGCCACTTCGTTCCTTACAGTTGCCGGATTCAAACCATTGGTATACGGTTGATAGCCGACATGTCCGCTCAGTTGCCCAGTGGTTCCAACTGACCTGCTTTCCTGCTCTGCTACTTTATCAGGCTCTGAAGCCACATTGACAAGCAGCGAGCTGAATGGAAGTAGAGCAAAGATCACTGGCTGTATCAGGACCTCCAGCGGAATTGTTGTACTTGGCAAGTAGCTGATGATAATGAGCAGAACTGTTCGATATCGTGTTAGCATGATCCTTTGCACGCTCATCTTCAGAAGTACTTTTGTCGTCCCTAGGCAGAACTTACTGGGTACCACGAAAGTCTGGACGCTGACGAAAGAAATCGTCCTCAAGGCCAGCTCATAAGCGTTCCGAATCCTTCGCCGTTTCAGTCTCTTCGCACCTCCCGCCCTCGGATCCTGACTTTCCGTCGAGTACAGCACTTCGTTCCGAGCCACAGCCACGCTCACACTGTTCGCCATTATAAGCAGACACCATAACCCCAAACTTGCTCCCACCAATCCAGCACTCCAACGCTCATACGCCTTCCACAAAGCACCATTAACGATCGCAGGCAACCACAATCCTTCATCAGGAAACGCTAAAAACCGAACAGAGTACGCCGCGAACGTCACCCTATAGCACCAACCCGCCACCGCCAAACCCACTAAGAAAGCCAACATGCTATAAAACGTCGCAGGACCCCGTTTGATCTTGACCCACGTCAGTAAAGCCTTCCCTTGAATGAACAAAGCCACTTCTAGGAAGATCAGTCCTACGCAAATTGACACCTGCACAACGATGATGCGCGATCGATACCCCGTACTCCAACCCGTACTTGCCCAGTCCTGCGTGAGCTCCAGGTAACCGCTCACATCGCCCGTGACGAGCTGCACACCACATACGCCACGCACAATCACCGCGACACAGCCCAGCATCAACACCCAGAAGATACCGCTGTACCTCTTCCGTGCAGGTGTCAGAACAAGAACGTTGATGAGTGTTGTTATTCCTAGTGCTAAGGAGACGCCCATCATCACAGCAACAGTACTGTTCTGAACGTACATCTCATCGATCTCCCTAAAGCTGACCGATTGCTTGATCTCCTGACCGAGTACGCCATCAACAACGCCTGCAGTATACGTACCCGACAATGGGTCCCAGTTGTCGTAGGTCGTGGTGATGCTGCATACTGGGACGAAGAAATATTGGTTATACTGAGAGGGGTTAAAACGAACGGTCAGCAAGAAGGAAAAAGGTAAGAAGTGGATAGCGAGCTTGAGAGCTGAGAGGACAGGATTATGAATGGAACGGGGTACCAGGAGAACTCACGCAATCGCTTCCACGGCCGTTGATGGGAAGTGTGAGCGGGCAGGGGTGTGGATAGAATAATGTGCCGCAGGTGCTGGTGCTGCTGTTGTTGCTGAGGGAGCCCGACATGGTGATCGAATTTTGACTCTGCGGGCTGGTATCGAGGAAGATTGATTGTTCGGGGGTTGTGGTATCTTTGGACTACAAGAATTGCTTTGCTCTCTAGCGAAGTATACGAAAACAGAAGGATTACATCGCGGTCTTCTGGACATACTCATCCTTTCTTATCGACTGATGCTGGAGATGGGCCTGACGTATTGGCGACTCTTGTGGCGCCCTCGTGCACACGAAGATCGATAGTTTTTGTCCAATATGGTTACGAATATTGAGATCTGATGAGTTTACTGCCATGGTTGTGGACTTCTTCGTGCTCTACCATTGCAATTCGTGCCGCACCATGATTTCGGAAGATATCTACAATACTAAGCATGATATTGTCCATAAGACAGTTGGCTCAAACGCAGCCGCGTCTCGGAAGAGTAATTCGACACATTTGAAGGACACCGGAGATATGTCTTCAACAAGCTAATCCTTCAGCATCACCTATTTCGAAACAGTGTAGCTATTAAACTCAAGTTAGACAGCGATTCTGCCACCTTCAGTTGTTCATTAGTGCACGTCTATTTTCATATTATGGCGACACTGCCTCCTCCTTGATCGGCACATCAAGCTTGAATTCGTCCGAATCAAGCTCAAGTCGGCCTCTCAGTGCTGCCATTACCAAGACATCCTTGTAGTAGATAGGATGGCCGAGTCTTCCGATTTCAGCAGCATGTGGATCATCAGGAACTGCGAGCACCAGTACGGACTCAGCACTTGTTCTGGTAGCTGGAATACCCATACCCACCTTGCTTGCACCCATAGTCGTAGCAATAGTCCTGAAATCACTTTTCGGTGTGCCAAGCGAGGCTCCAAGGTCGGGAGTGATGTAGACGCTATAGCCCGAGAGGAGTTTCGAGCTCTGGCTCTCAGAATTTCTGCTACGCTGAGTAACTTCTGCTAGATCAAATCCCCAGTCTCTTTCTCTCGCCTTGTCCTTTGGTAGATACGCTGCTGGGTCCGGGAAAGATGTTTGATCGTGAGCAGCACCCACCCATTTGTCTGAGACGATTGCTTTTCCGAGTAAGATTGCAAGGACGAATTTTGTAGTTTTCTTGATTTGGCCATCCGGCACACACAGCACATCTGCCTTTGACATATCCTCAATGATCTGGCCCCGTAGGCGCTTTATGGTCTTTAGAGCCTCGTTCTTGGCTTTTGAATTGAAGCTACTTAACACAATCTTTGGTTGGGCGGGTAATTGCGTCGAAGCAGTTGAGCTCCGAGATCGACTCTGTTGCCTCGTGGCCCTGCGTTTGGGCTTAGAGTTCACAACAATCGTGTCGGTATCTACCTCGATGTTAATGCTATCATTCGAGTTTTCATGGATCGAAGTGCGAGACTCGGGCTGTCTATGGTGAGTTGGCTGCGTTCTCGCCAATGGCTGTGACTCCTTCAGTTTCGTAGCCTTCTCACGACTTAGCTTAGGTCGTTTGTCTGCACGAGGTATAGATGGGTCGGTCGATAGTCTTTTTCGAGACGAACTAGATTGAGTAGTGATTGACGATATTCCAGCTCCGGATGGTGCCAAAGACAAACTTCTTGGCTGTTTAGATTGGTTAGATAGAGTACTTGAGAATCCTGATACATGTTGTGTTGTTTTCTCAACTTCACGACGAGGTACCTAACTATCGACGGAAGCAAACCGGCAGATATCTGTGTTCGAAGACGAGTGCTGCACACTTTGTTCGGGTTGCAGTGAATGTGAGACTGCTTGAGAGACCTGATTCGGTGCGCTATTCATAGGTGGCCTGATTGGGATATGAAGGACTGCTTGCGCGTCTTCACTCGCTTGATCCATGGAGGCATCCTTGGGAGAAGGCTCTGGTACTGTTACTTTTCCTTCAGCTTGTAGCGCATGTGCATCCGATTCTGCGAAGGACGCAACCTGCGGGACTTTGCCGTTGAAGTGGGTGTCAGGTCTATCGTTTTTAGGCTGCGATTGAGCAAGCGGAGGTGTAACGTTAAGCTTTCTGTGGCTATCGACGTCTTTCTCCGGTTCTTCAGTAGCCTCAGGTTGTAACTCGATCGTTGAGATGAGTGGTAGTTCGTGAGACCTATCTGTCATGATCTTGGACTGCTCTCTAGGTTGTGGGTTGTGTAAAGCGGTAGACCCCGATGGTTCGTCCACAATATCAGGTGAGTGACTGTCAGCAATTTCTGTAAGTCGACTGAATTGGTTCGGTAAAGGAATATTCTGAGATTCAGCACCGGCGGGTCGCTGGAAAACATTGGTTGGTGGGGAATCGGAAATAGTAGGCGGCATTGGATCGTCGTCTTCGGTCATGTTTGAATTGCACTTACTGCGCCCTAGCGTCTCATCAGAAAATGCTGAGATGAGTGGTGTATAAGCATCATCCACTGCGTTTCCTGTTGACTGCACAGCTGTTCTGGACTCTTCTATATATCCAGAGTCGCGGTTTCCGTCTTCCTGCTCAGATATCGGCTTATTGACCTCCTTAGCTTCTGTAGGCTGTAATTGTTCATGAGGCGGCTCGGGAAGAGGTGGAGGTCGTGTAGAGCTATGGACTATATCATCGTTGCAAAATTGAACGACCAGTCGACCACAAGGAGCAACGAACTGAGCTCCATGCTGAAGAATGAAAGAATCTCTCTCAGGCAGTGCAGAAATGGGAAGGTTAAACAGTTCTCCCTCAGAAGAGAGGACACTGACTGTCCCCAAATTGCCTCGGAGTACGGTGATGGAAAGGTAGTTGGCGAAGGTGCCTAAGTAATGTCGTCAGTAGACGCAATCCGTGTGAAGAGCCGACTTACGGATCATAACAGTAGAGTGTTTGGGGTCTTTAAAAGCGCTTGGCTTCGCCTGATCGTCCCAAGAATCTGGCAAGTACGCAACCACATGAGGAGATGCATCTTCTGCTCGTCGAATTTGAAGATGATGCACAACCCCAGCGGCATCGTATAGTTGCAGAAATACGGGTACCTGTGGCATCTTGGCGGTTTAAGACTTTACATTTCATGGGTGATTGAGATGTTTGCCAGGCATAGCTGACAATGAGAAAAGGAAGGGCATGGTTCATTGACGCGGCAGGAGCGCGTCCTTCACGATTCGCACGGCAGGTGCTGTTTGCGCAGCAGCGTGAAATCACTTAATACTCGGAGCTCCGAACGCTTTCACATCCAAGCATCGTGATTTTCGACCTCAACCTGATTGTCGACTTTCAAACTTCCATGTCCTTGGATAACATCTCTTCATGGCACAAGAAATGGCATGATCCTGTGCTGCATTAAACATCCTCGAATGCAAAGTGACAGCAGTGTCTTGGCTTCATCTCGTCGAGATCTCTACACAGGGGGACAATATATCGATATCTGGTGATTTACAGATGAGTTTTCGCTCGACTCGAAGTCGCTCTTTAACCACGTGTTGGGTCGGAGTTGAATGATCCAATCGGAAATGTCAAGGCCGCGTGCGCCGCCTCCTGAAAAGAAGCTCTCGTGAATCTTACTACACGACTAGCTCTTTTCAGAACCACAGATGTCTTGTTTCACCTTAACGCCTCCTTTCTTGAGCTCCATCTTCACATCCACAGGTCTGCGCGAACAGTCCGTGCTCGTGCCCTTAAGGCTCTTAGACTGCACCATTACGTCTATTGAAAGCCGATAGACTGCGAAGAGCTGATCTTAATGCCTTTATGTCCTCGTTAAATGTTCCACCCTTTTCTAGCAACGAAGCTCAGAGTTACGGCAAGACTCAATTAGCACAAGTGCTGCTGCTAACTTAAGTTGAAACAAGAAAGTCCAGTGACACTTAGCCAATTTTGATCGACAAGCCATCCTAGTGCGGCCAGTCTCGACGCCTGGCCCCACCACGTTCCTCTATCGAACCGCATCTTGCTCGTGGCGAAAATGTTGTCCTTTGTATTATATCAGAGACCGGGGCTTCTGACACGGGCTGCACGATGCTATGTTTGCCACTGCACCGCTGTAGCGCCTGTTCATGGCGGTCGGGTTCGAGCGACCAGCCTCATCTCTGACGAAATCTTATCATGACACCCCGGTCCTTTGAACCTTGCCTACTCATTCGAGCCTGCAATCTAGGTCGACACGATATCACAGCATCTATGGCTATATCATCTGTAAGTTCGTCCCATAATGTACCTTTATCACTTCTTGTCTTTGTTCTTCCATTTCCGTCCACTCTTTTGACCATCAAGGTCGTACCTTTGTCCATTCCTTTGTACTTGGCCGATTGATTCGTGCCCTCCACATTCATTTCTTCCCTTTTAGAATTGTTCCCAGCATCATCATCAAAATGTCGGCTCTTCGGAAGATTGCTTTTCTGAGCGTCCTCGCTGCACCGGCTGCAGCCTTCTGGCGACTACCATGCAAGTCTACCATCGTCGTCGAACGGGTCGATCCCATTGTGGCCCCTGGAAACATCTCCGGCCATGTACACCAGATCATGGGCGGCAACGGCTTTGACTTTGAGATGGATTTTGCTGATACCCAGGCCTCGACATGCACATCGTGTACTGTGCATGGCGATTTCTCAAATTACTGGACCCCAGTTCTATACTATCAGCATCAAGATGGCACATTCGAGAAAGTCAATCAACTTGGTGGAGGGCTGGTCTACTACCTCCAGCGCTCGGGACCAAACAAGGATAAGCTCCAGGCCTTCCCGGAGGGCTTTAGAATGATTTCTGGGGACCCTTTCAAACGTTCTTCTGGAAATGATTTTGCTTCCCAAGCTATCAGCTACGCCTGTCTCGATTACAGTGGTCCAGCCAAGCCCGAAACGCCAGGCTTCCCGACTTACAACTGTCCTAGCGGTCTTCGGTCTCAAGTCTTCTTTCCCTCCTGCTGGGACGGCAAGAACCTAGATTCAGCCGACCACAAGTCTCACATGTCATTTCCAATTGGTGCCTACAACGATGGCAAGTGCCCCGATACACATCCCGTTCATCTCGTGTCCATCTTCTACGAAATTATCTGGGATACCAACAAGTTCAAGGACATGTGGTATGGCAACAAACAGCCGTTCGTGTGGGCTCAGGGAGATCCCACTGGATATGGCTTCCATGGCGACTTCCTGATGGGTTGGAATCGAGACCTACTCCAGCGTGCTGTCGACCAATGCACCAGCGACAGTGGTCGTGTGGAGGATTGTCCAGTATTCAATCTGTACCCAGATTCCACTGCTGAAGGCTGCAAGATCGCCTCGAAGATTGATGAGGATATTCAAGGACCCTTCAGCAAGCTTCCGGGATGCAATCCTGTTCAGCCAGGCCCTGATCGAGCTCAAATCATCGCGACATGTGAAGGCAACACTGCAACTATTGGCCAAGGTAAACCCTTTTTCAAGGACCTGACCAGCCAAGGTTGGGGTTACCAGGGCTGTGGTACTGACAACTACTACGCTCGAGCGCTTACAGGGGCCAGCACGAGCCAAGCCGGCATGACCAACGAACAATGTATCGCGTTTTGTGGCGGCAAAGGTTTTTCTACAGCTGGTACACAATATAGCAAAGAATGCTATTGCGGTAATTCGATCCCTGCCTCAGCACAACCTGTCGCTGGTGTGGTCGGTAACTGCAATATGCCCTGTGATGGCGATGCTACTCAGAACTGTGGCGGTAGTAGTCTGCTTTCCCTCTACCAGAAGTGCACAGGCAGCACGTGCTCCAACGCAGCAGGAGTGGGTGGTGGCAGCAGCGCATCAGCAAGCTCTTCTGTCAGCAGCGCCAAGTCCTCGAGTATCAGCCAGCAGATCAAGGTTCAGTCTACCACAACCACGACAAGACTGCTAGCTCGTGGTACAAGCTCTTCGTCGTCGTCCTCCTCCTCCTCCACGTCCTCGTCTGCAAGTAAGATCACGCCCTCGCCATCCTCAAGCAAGACCTCAACATCATCCACCTCCTCAAGCACCACCCAATCCTTGTCCTCATCTACAAGCAAACCCTCTTCACCAACTTCATCTTCATCCTCTTCGTCTGCCTCTCCAATTGCCACCTCCACTTCCACCCTCCCTCCAAATTGGACCTACCGAGGCTGCATCACCGACGCCATCAACCCCCGCACTCTCCCCAAACTCGCCCCCTACACCCTCGACAACAAACAAGTCACCTCGACATCCTGCGTCTCCTACTGCTCCAAAGCCGGCTACGTCTACGCTGGCACCGAGTACGGCGGTGAATGCTGGTGCGGCAACGATGCGCCTATAACCGCGAAACTCGACGAGAGTAAGTGTGGCACACCGTGTAAAGGCGATTTAACTCAGAAGTGCGGTGGTCCTTCTGCGTTGAGTTTGTATGCGGCTGGCGGGAAGACAAAGAGAGATGGTGAGGAGCAGCAGCAGCTCGAGGTGGTGAAGGAGCATATGAAAAGGCATGGACGTGGGAGATTTGGAAGGGGTGCATTTTTGTGATCTACCATCTAGAGATGTACTACAGTATGTTGGCTACCAGTCCATGATTGTCAGGTGTGATTAAGGATGGTACTTTCGGCTCATATTCTTTGTAAGATTAGATTAGATTGGCTTGACTTGGCTTAGCTCTACCTGGCTCGAGCACGTATTGATCGAACTCGAACTCCGCACCGATTGTACTTGTAGGGCTTGTCTAACATTTTTGTGGTTACTGGGCTCCATTATCTTCACGTTTGAGAGATAGTCTAGCTCTCAGATGAATGCGTAGACTATGGCAGGCAAGCCAGCTGATGCATCGAATGGTGTCGTGAAAGACGTGCTGAGTGAGTTGCCGCAACAAGAACCACATTTGACCGCAAAAGCAGCAACCTTTTTTTTTTGAACTTGTAAAAGTGCGATGGAACTTGAGCACAAAGTAATAGCATTTCTACAGCATTATCCTACCAATCAAGCCTCGGTGCAGCGGCAACCTTGACTGCTTGTCTATGCGCACTAGCATCCACGTTCCCAGTCCCTGGCATAGCACCGATATTTTGACCGCCCGGCTTTCGTCCTCTCAATCCCTTTTTCAAGCCCAGTTTCTGATCTAAGCTCTCGAAAGGATCAGCACTTTCGTCAGCTTTGATGGCCCATCTGTTCGTGCCCAGGACATTATCCAATTCAAGGACAGGAGGTAGCTTTAGGTAGACCCAGCCATCGTCACGTTCTTCCGCTGCGAACGTGGCGATGGACATGCTGTTGTCGTTGCTGCATGAACCGGCGCCTTTGTCCTTCGCTTCGAAGTCGACTTCGCCATTGAGCTGGAAGTTTCGTTTGTGATATGGACAAGATACCCAGAGCTTACGGTCTTTGCCACAATCTTCACCTGTGGACTCGCCGATGAGACCGTCAGACAACCCGAATGTGCGTCTGTGAGGACACATCTGCTGCGATGCGTAGAATTTGCCCTTGAGCTTGAAGATAGCAAGCTGAGTGTCACCACGAAGGACAGTCTTTGACGAGCCGGTTGGCACATCGGCAAATTGCTTGGCCTCCACGATAGGTTGCCACGACAATCCAGTCCATCTTGTGCCTTTGAAGTCATCATGCACGGATGGCTTAGGCCAGTATGATGGTCGAGGCTGATCTCGTTCCTCGATCTTCTCGACCGCTGGATCTCGGGTCTCTTTCGTGTTTGCAAATTGCTCGAAATGCTTGCGCTTCTCCGGATCGTTGATGGCTTCTGTCCATTCGCAGTAGAATGTGCCGACGAGCTCTTGCATCTGCTTCTCAAGCTCTGCACAAATACCAAGCTTGTCCTCAAGAACAACCTGTTGTAAGTATTTGATGCCGCCCGGAAGGTTCTCTAGCCATCTGGCAGTTCGTTGCAACTTATCTGCTGTTCGAATGTAAAACATCAAGTATCTGTCCAGGATTGGGATGACATCATCAGGAGGCACATCTTTGGCGAGTATCTCTGAATGTCTTGGTGTTGCACCACCATTACCGCCAACGAAAATATTGAAACCCTTTTCAGAGGCGATCAGGCCGAAGTCCTTGTTTTGGGCTTCTGCACATTCCCGAACACAACCAGAAACACCACCCTTGAATTTGTGAGGACCTCGAATTGACTTGTACCGCTCTTCGAGTCGGACAGCCATGCCCACGGAGTCGCCAATTCCAAACCTGCACCAGGTTGTGCCAACACATGACTTGACGGTTCTTAATGACTTGGCATAGGCGTGGCCCGACTCCATACCTCCAGCGACGAGCTCTCCCCAGATGTCAAGCAGTTGATGCTTTTTCGCACCAAACATGTCGATACGTTGGCCACCAGTGATCTTGGTGTACAATCCATATTTTTTGGCCACTTGACCAATGATAATGAGTTTCTCTGGTGTTATTTCACCGCCAGCAACTCGTGGAATTACAGAAAAGGTTCCATTTCGCTGGATATTGCCCAGGTATTTGTCGTTCGTGTCCTGCAGACCGTTTATTGGTTTCTCCAGGAGATGTTTATTGAACATGCTTGACAAGATAGATCCAATGGCTGGTTTGCATACTTCACATCCCATGCTGTCTGGATCAGAACCTGAATCTTTCATAATGTCGGCAAAGGTCTGCAGCTTCTTGACGTAGATAATATTGTACAGGTCAGCCCGCGAATATTTGAAGTGAGGACATATGTGGTTGAAGACTTCCTGACCCATATCCTTCATTGTCTTGTTGAAGATAGATTGTACCAGAGGCATGCAACCGCCACAACCTGTGCCTGCCTTCGTGCATGACTTTACGTCGCCGATGGATTTGCATGAACCGTCTTTGACAACACCTGCTACATCTCCTTTTGTGACATTGTGGCAGGAACATATTTGAGTGTCATCATCTAGGTCATCTCCATTGTCTTCGCCATCTTTCGATGCTCCAATGATGAACTCAGACGGTGCAACGTCGAGGACTTTTTTGTTCTTGACCATGGGGACTAGCTTGACATAGTCTTTGGTGTCCCCAATCATCATACCACCCAAAAGGTATTTGCCATCAGGTGTGAACAGATATTTCTTGTAAACTGCTTTAAAGGGGTCTTTGTATGTAAGAGCTTTGACAGCTGGAGGCAATGGCCCGTCAGTAAGGGCTTGAACTTTGCTTTGCCGCCTACCTTCTGCATTGTTGTTTTCCTCCTTCTTAGCGTGTCTTCGAGGAAGATCTTTGGGACCGTCTCTGTCAGCGAAGAAGTCGCCGAAGCTTGCAACCTCAACACCGAGCAATTTCAGTTTCGTGCTTAGGTCTGGCTGCTTGAACTTTCTTGGTGAGTGTGCTTTGGCTTGTGTGAGGTTGAATGCGAGCACATCTGCCTGCTCAATACCTGGCGCAATCAGACCGAAAGTCTGTTTCTGCCAGCTACTGCATTCACCAATGGCATAGATGTTGGGATCACTCGTTCGTAGATCATCATCGACGGCGATACCACCACCACGGTCGGCACAGCTGAGACCAGCCGCTCTTGCCAACTCATCTCTGGCCCTGATTCCAATAGCAAACATCAGACAAGTACAGTCCATCTGTTCGCCATCCTCGAAAACCACTCCCTTGACAGCGTTGTTTTCATCTACTTCGATCTTGCCCACTCGCTTGCTGAGCATGACGTCGAGGCCGAGTGCTCTGACAAGCTCTACGACCAGGCCACCAGCTTCGCCATCGAGTTGTCTGGATAATACCCACCTGTTTCTCTCAATAAGCTTCACGTGCTTGAAGTCCTCGAGGTCCATCATGGCTTTGGCGGCTTCGAGACCTAAAAGGCCACCACCAACCACAGCCCCAGTCGTGCCTTTGACGGTGGCGGCGAATGTGATAAGCTTCTGGAGGTCCTCGATGTTTCGATAGACAAAGACGCCTTTAGCATCGTACCCGGGGGTATGACGAGGCAGCAGTGCGTCAGAGCCGGTTGCAAGGACCAAGATGTCATAGGAGACAGTGTCACCAGCTGACGTGATCACCACCTTTTCCTGAGGCTTGATTTCCGTGACTTTGGTGTTGAGGTGATAGTTCAAAGCACCTTCTGGGTGAGAACCATACCAGTTTTTCCCGTTCAAATAAAGATTCTCCTCCTTCCTGTGCTGAAAAAAGCTTGTCAAGCCCACTCTGTTATATGCCAGATGCGACTCTTCTCCTATCACGACGACGTCGTATTCTCTTCGCTTCGCATCGAGCTTGAGCAGCTTTTCTCTGTGAAAGGAGGTCAGTACTGACTGCTAGATCTGGTTGATGACTCTTACATGAACGCTATTCCGACCATGCCTAAGCCCACAACCACAACCTTTTGTCTTCGCTGTGGCTGATCTTCAGCGGCCTCCTCTGCACTCGCGTCCTTAGGGGCACGGCTAATAGCCATGCCCGGGGCGGAGGTTGCCCACGACATCTCGTCGACCTCAAGCTAGCTGGTTGGTCGATTAGTCTGTCAGTCTTCAAGGCAGTCAGTTCTAGTCAATGAAGTGCTTGTCGGTGAGCATACGTAAAGAGAGAAAGCTCGGGAATTAAGCGTGTATTTCTCCTAAGATGTCGGAGATCCTCAACATAGCACTAGTCAGTCCTCAATATCAATACATGGTCATTCAATGGAGGCAAATGGGCACGAGTCCGCGGCATCAAACACAATACAATGACATGCGCCAATATCGAGATACTGATATCGGCTTGACACATTCTGGGACACCTGTGAGGCTCTTTCGAACGGAGGGTCGACCAAGATGTGGCTGTATGAAGGGCTGACCAATAGACAATGTGTCTTTGCAATTGCACATCGAGATAGCCATCTGCAAGTTGACCGCGGCGAGGAAGCAGAGCGAGTACACGAAGATCGACTTCTCCACGGTACGAAAAGAAGGTGTTCGAGAAGCAAGCATATAGAGAGAAGTCGTTGATAAGGATGCAGCGCGATACGCGTTGAGCTTGCGCGAAAGAGTTGCGATTGGTCGAGCCTTATCTTTTCACCTCTTTAAAGAGGAAAGTGCAATGGAACAGTAGCACGTGATACAGCTAGACATTGTCGCGGCACGAACTGACGGTTCGGAAATCGAGCTTAGCAGTCCTCGTCCAGGCAATGCTACCAACCCAAGCTATGATGCATCCTAGAGAGCACTGCAGAGTTGCGTGTTGTCGAAAGATTGAGGCGAATAAACCAGTGATAGAGAAGGCAACCAGCCATGCCTTACCTCATCCTCCGCGTACAACAAAGCAACGTGAAAGCATGGCGACTGCCAAGTTAAAGGCACGCCGATGTGGAGTATTGGGGTCGTCTTATCGAGCCTGTTCTCGTCCCACCAAGCACTCTTCTCTTATCAGGATCCTCAGTGTTGATCTGAACAAATCGGCTATCGCTATTATGGTTACCAAGCACTGCACTCCGTGGACGAGATGAGGCTCGGCTGATGTGTCGTTGAGTACTATTCGGAGAACGTCATTGGGTCTTGAATAGCCAGATCCTCAGAGAATCAGACATGCATTCTTGACACTAGCATGCCTGAGGTTACGTATGTGTGCATCTCCTCGGTGTCAATCTCGACTGCTACGAAATCAACTACCATGAGGCTTGAGATTGTCGGTTTGTTCCTCGAGTGCTGGCGTTTCTTTTATGTTTCTTAATGAGCGAAGCGAGAAACTGACCCCATCAATTCACACTGACAGCAATATGGAAGACCCAAAGACTGATTCTCAGGGCATTCCAGAAGCAATCGAGAAACTCGACGCACAGAAGCCGAGGGAAAAAGGTTCTGAGGACCTCCCTCCGACACCTCCAGACACCGACGATAGCGCTTCGAACACTTCGGCCGAAGTTGACGATGTAGACCTGCCATTACCGCCAGCGTCGACGAGACCCACAAAGGTCCTTGATATTGATGTGAAGACTCCAGACGCACACGTTCCACGAGATCCGCGACTCATCAGGTTGACAGGAGTGCATCCCTTCAATGTCGAGGCTCCTCTAACCGAACTCTTCAATGAAGGTTTTCTTACGAGTCCCGAACTCTTCTATGTAAGAAACCATGGCGCTGTGCCAGAAGTCAAGGACGAGGACATGCTTGACTGGGAATTTACCGTCGAAGGCATGGTTGAGAATCCCTTAACCATTTCTCTGAAGCAATTGATGTCGGAGTACGAGCAGGTCACATGTCCTATAACACTGGTCTGTGCAGGCAACCGGAGAAAGGAACAGAACGTTGTACGGAAAACGAAAGGCTTCTCGTGGGGTCCGGCAGGTGTTTCAACCGCGTTGTGGACTGGTGTGATACTGTCAGAAGTTATAAAAAGAGCAAAGCCAAAGCGTAAGGCGAGATATGTCTGCATGGAAGGTGCTGACAAGCTACCTAATGGCTATTACGGCACATGTTGCAAACTCAACTGGGTCAATGACCCTAACAAAGGCGTAATGCTCGCTTACAGCATGAACGGTGAGACACTGACCCCAGATCATGGGAAGCCTTTGCGAGTTGTCATACCGGGTCAAATAGGAGGTCGTTCTGTGAAATGGTTAAAAAAGCTTATCCTCACCGAAGGGCCAAGTGACAATTGGTACCACATCTACGACAACCGAGTTCTGCCCACCATGGTCTCGCCGGAAGAATCAGCCAACGATCCAAAATGGTGGACTGACGAAAGATATGCCATCTACGACCTCAACCCGAACTCGGCCATTGCCTTTCCTGCCCACGATGAGAAGATTTCCATCTCCCAAGGTCCGCCAACATATCGTGCTCGAGGTTATGCATATAGTGGTGGTGGGCGAAGGATTACTAGAGTTGAAGTTACTCTAGACAAGGGCAAGTCGTGGAGGCTTGCAAACATCGAATATCCAGAGGACCGGTATCGAGACGTAGAGAAAGACCTCTTCGGTGGGCGTCTAGATATGAACTGGAGGGAGAGCTGCTTCTGCTGGTGCTTCTGGTCGATTGACTTGTCCAAAGAAGAGATGAAAAATGCAAAAGACATCCTGGTACGGTCGATGGACGACAGCATGAACCTACAACCTCGAGATATGTACTGGTCTGTATTGGGCATGATGAATAACCCATGGTTTAGGGTCGTGATCGACGTCCAAGGAGACACAATGAGCTTCGAGCATCCGACTCAGCCAGCTTTAATGCCCGGTGGTTGGATGGAGCGTGTCAAGAAAGCCGGAGGAAATCTGGCCAATGGTTTCTGGGGTGAAGTGTTGGAAGGTGAAAATATTAGTGTTCCCGAAGCAGAGGTGCCTAAGGAAGTGGTAATGGTTAAAGAGGGTGTCAAGAATGCCATAAGCATCGACGAGTTGCGCAAACACGACGGTGGGGACAGTCCGTGGTTTGTGCTCAATGGTGAAGTCTACGACGGCACGAAGTTCATGGAGGAACATCCTGGCGGTGCTCAGAGCATCATCTCTGCCGCTGGCCTGGACTCGACTGAGGAGTTTATGGCAATCCACAGTGAGACTGCGAAAGCCATGATGCCTGATTATCACATAGGTTCGCTCGACGAAGCAGGACGGACAGCACTGACGGAAGACGTCGCAGAAACCATTTCAGGAGAGCCACGGGATCAGTTTCTTCAGTCTAAGGCCTGGTCGAAAGCCATATTGCATGGCAAGAAGATTGTCTCCTGGGATACAAGGATATTCACGTTTAAGCTGCAACACGAAGAACAGAAATTGGGTCTGCCCGTAGGTCAACATCTTATGGTCCGCCTGCATGACCCTGCCACTCGAGAGGCCATCATCCGCAGCTATACACCAATTTCAGAGATCGACGATCGAGGTCATATGGACATGCTGGTGAAGGTATACTTTGCTGGCAATGGCTCACCTGGCGGTAAGATGTCCGTAGCAATGGACTCACTCCCAATAGGACATTTCATTGAAATGAAAGGGCCGATCGGCAAATTCGAGTACAAAGGTAAAGGCATATGTATGGTGCAAAACAGAGAACGCCACATCAAGTCTTTCGTGATGATTTGCGGTGGTAGCGGTATCACGCCCATCTATCAAGTGTTCCGAGCAATCATGCGGGACCCAGAAGACCACACCAAGTGCACTATCCTCGACGGCAACAGATTGTTTGAAGACATCCTATGCAAAGAAGAAATGGAGGCACTGGCTGATGGCAATGACCACAAATGCAAAGTCCTTCACACATTGACCCAAGCACCAGATCATTGGACTGGTTTACGAGGTCGTATCACCGGCAAGCTCGTCGCTGAGCATTGCTTGAGGGACAAAGACACGCTTGTGCTCATCTGTGGCCCAGAAGCGCTTGAGAAGGCTATGCACGTGGCATTGTTGGAGGCTGGATGGGAGGACGACCAGTTGATGTTCTTTTAACGCACATCCAGGGAAAAGGTATGAGGGCGTTCAGGTTGATCATAGCGCGACATATCAGATCGTAAGCTCGGTTCGTTGACTGTATGAGTAAACAATACTTCAGTCGCTCGATAAGTTGCGGGCCGTATATGAGTTCAATGACTAAATGAAATGGAAAGACTTTATCGAGAGAGGCTGTCCACGAATGAGGCCGGAATTGCTCTCACAACAAAAAGTGCTCGAGGAAGGAATGTTCGTACAGTCCCTGTAGAGGCATAAATTTTGGCGCCTAATTGCCCTAGAACGTGAGTTCCAGGCATGCATCGATAGGCTCCTCGGGCACTCCACAGTGGTCACTAGGCACTAAATAGTCTGCCCGACAAAGCTTTGCCATGTCCATTGTGGCTTTTCGGTCTCGTGCAGTCTTCATTGTTCTCGGACAGGCATCGCAGAGATCCCAAGCTTAAACGCAGCACCTCAACCATGAACGAAAGCCTGCCTCGCCATCTTTTCAGTAACTCTGCCTAATCCATGGTTGCCGTAAAAGTCCATAGGATAAGTGCTATTGGCAGCCTTGTTCTTGCCTTCGTCCCACTTCTCCATCTCACCGAGCACAATCAGTGCTTCGTAAGGTGTCAGGAGTGGTCGAGCAAAAGCATGACCCCAGTCAATGCTCAATCGTGGACATGCGATCTGTACCCAGCACTCAACATCCTCGAACATTGCTAATTTTCCAGGAAAGATCTCGCTAAGAAGCATGTTGACGAAAGATATGCCTTGCTTGTTGAGGTGGTTCTCGATCAGTGTTAAAGTATGTGGGTTGCCCTGTCGACCTAACGCACCCAGTATGAGGCCCCACTTCTTTGCTGTCTTGGCTTGCGAGATGGCACTCGATCTAGAGTCCAGCATTTCATCGTGCGAATATTCTTCGCGAGTCAGGCTTCGCAAGTAAGGGTCGTAGCGATACGCTGGGATGGAAGGGTTTGCTATCATTGCTGCTTCGAGATGAAAGCGACCATCGCCCAAATAGAGGATGATATCTGTTTGGTCATTGTCGTTGAGTTTGGGTGCAGTACAGCCAAGAATTTCACCCTTCGAAAGAGGCGCGACCTGTGGAATGGTGACTTTCAGACCCTCAGCTTCGAGTGCCGGTTTTACTAGGTGGAGGGTGTTGGCGAACTGGATTGTGCTGACCATAGCAATCGTCTTCCCAGGTGAAATATTTCGTGATAGTGTAGCTATTAAGTGCTTTGTATCGATAGAAATGTCGACGAAGATATAGAGAGTTGGAATCTTGGTCGTGCTAACTGGAATCAAACATGAGTGAGCATAATGCACTAATAAGTCACACCCGAGAGCTCGAGCTGTGAAATCGTCAATACAGCAAGCACCATAAGTGACATCCCCCATGATCAAAGTCTCAGAACCTGGGCAGAACTGGGTCAGTATATCCGAGATCGTGGTAGCAAACATAAGGAGACCTTCGGGCATCTGTAATGCTACCCTCTTTGCGGTCAGAGATCTTATACGATGAATCGTCTTCGGGAGTTCAAATGAATAGTTCGAAGGAAGAAGGTCAATAGCTGCCCGAATATCTGGATCTTGAAGTATATCATCAGGTACCTGGTTCAAAGCACGAGGCGTTCTGCGTGATGCTGGCCTGGCAACGGCAGTCGTTTCTTCGACAGAAATTTCACTGCTCGACGCCAAATTTCCGACTGCTTCTGCTGTTCTGCGACCTACGAATCTTCTTTTCGGTTGCTTCGCTGCTGGTGGCGTGGATACTGACGCTGGTGCTTGCTCGAAAGCGCCAGGCATGGACGGCATTGAGACATCATCGTCCATTACGAGATCGAATGGTGACACAATTGTTGTCAGTGCTCAACTTTCTGCAACAGCGACTGCACTCTTGGGATGGTCTCAGTACACGACCTGAAATTTGGTGGACGAATTTATTCTACTTCTATCTGTGACAGTTGCCATGATCTACATATCAATGCCGTATGCCACGGGATAAAATGTCACTTAAGCCGGTCAGTTCTGGACACTCAAACTTAGACCACTTTGCCTTAGGCAGTTCGTCGCTCTGTTCGACTTTGCATGTCTATCGCGACGTGAGTTACTAGACAGTAGCGTGAGGCAAATGCTGTCCTGATACCAGCATGAGGCAGTAGAGTTGTCAACAGGGTTCTTGCCATATGGTGCTGCAGGGAAGGACGTCCAGTTCTAAGTAAATCGCGCCTTCCTCTATACTACGAAAACTAGTTTTACGTCATCGACTTTGAGCTGCTGTATTTATGAATGTCTTGAGACAAGAAGTTGCTCTTTCAGACAGATCTTGCAGCGTGACAAGAGTCTCAATTGACACAGCGTTGAAGATCAGAGACTCTCGCTCCGCCATGCCTGGTTCCTTGAGAACAACTTGCCTCTTCTCGCTTGTGGGGCTCATGGCTATACCCGGCTGCTGATTTGGGTTTATTCGTTCATTCATGCACAATTCATTTCCCCGATTTAAGACGTGTCAGAAGAAGTGCAGTCATTCCTCATACCAAATCAAGCAAGAACTGAAGAACACGATGGTCACGAGTTCGGGCTTCACTTCTGCCCCAGTCACTCGCGCTTTGCTCACGCTCCTTGTGTCCAGCTCGATCGGCGCATCAGTGCTCAGTATCAAGCACTACCTGCCTCTCAAGCCCGTTCCTCACCTGTGGCCATACCTACAGTTATGGCGAATCCTCTCGTTCCAGCTTGCCTATACTACCTCGACAGAGGTGTTGTTCTCGGCCGCTCTCATCTACCAATTACGAGTATTGGAAAGAATGTGGGGAAGCAGGAAGTTTGCCAGCTTCGTTGTTGCTAGCTACGGACTATGTATGGCTGGTATTGTAGGAACGGGGTTGCTTATGAAGTTGCTGAGCGCAGGCTGGTGGGGCTATATACCGTCCGGCATGACTGGCATTGTGGTAGCCCTAGTCGCAGTATGGAGAAATGAGATACCCAAGCTAGGTGGATTTAAGATCTTGCTGGATGATGATCCCGAGAAAGTACGTGCTGGTACAGCCAGAGGAATCGAGTTTACCGACAAGTGGACAGCATACTTGCTTACTGCCCAGCTTGCGTTGAGTCAATTTCCCTATGGCTTACTTCCTGCATCCGTGGGCTGGGTTGTTGGAAGTGCTTGGGCGGAAGAGTTGGTTCCGGGTGGTATAGTAAGATGGAGAGTACCTGCCTGGACTGTGGGAGAAGACAGCAGGGCCAAGAGGAGTGGTCAAAGACAATACGAAGGATTACGACGAAGATTGGAAGAAGAGAACCAAGATGGTATGAGAGAGGTCACTGAGGGTATGGCTAGAGGTGCACCAGGCCAAAATGATACACGAAGTTTTGTCGGCGGTCTAGGGAGATATTTCACCAGCAGCTGAATCACCGCAGCATTCTTGCCACGGATTGGTCTTCTACAGGATTTAGCAGCACTCTCTCCAGCCTTTATGTGTGTATTTCCTGGCCAGCCATTATTTTCACACTGATGTCGGCCACGTTATGATCATCGACACGATCAACAACTCGCCTTTAGGGTACCGCAAAGGCGGTGTTCAGACTGATGTCTAGCAGCAAGATCGACTTGCTCTCACGTATCTAAAATGGAGGCTGGCATATACTGCAACCGTACATTTCGATCAGGTCTATCACAGATTGCAGACATCAGGGCTTGCCAAACCCATAGTCCATGTGAATGGACAAAGTTGGTTCAGTGTCAAACTTCCAGCCTCAGCAGTCGAACCACCAACGCGTACATGTTTCCGGCCTCGTACGACGATTTTGGTCGTTCTTTCCCTTCATGGAACATCCGACATCCTTATATGGAATTTTTGGAAATGTCCCCTGGCTCAATCTCCCTAATGACGCAAATCACGACTTCCGTCCCCTGAACCGAACTGCAAAATACTGTTTCCGGAAGGTATGTTATCCTAAACCGTCATTTGAGCAGATTTCTCCTTTTTCCTCAGTACCACATTCCAATATTGAAAAATGGACACGGTTTTCGGAAGTTACTGCACAAATTTGGTATAGTGCAATCAATATATTCCACACTTCCCAAAAGCCAAACCGACTTTTATCCAACTATGCCTGCAGCCAGAGATAATGGGCGATGGAATGAGCACAGTTTTGCTGTTTGTGGAAAGTTGAAGTTCTGCTTTAAGGAAAATTGCAGTTAGGTATTGGTACCCTATCATTTTACCAGCGTACCGAGCTTTAGTTTGGAGCAACCGAACTTGCAAGCACGAATAGTCATGAGAAGAGAGTCTGGGTTTATATTCAAGAAGGAGACATGCTGGAAACTACAGTTGGTAGTAGAATTTATGGATTGTACTGGCAAGCTGCCGCTTTGCTTTCTAAAGTAGTAATGCCATTCTGCGGAAACTGTGAGCCTAAGAGCACTCATTTGTGGACGAAAAACAAATAAGCATGGTGCCAATGACGAGCTGAATTGTTTACAACGACCGGTGCTCGTGGATTCGATCACGGGCCCGTCCAAGACTTGTGCAGTGGTGCGAACGGGTTACCTTTTAACTTGCCAAGTCGTGATGTCGGGTTGTATGGTCTTCCATCACCAGCTTCTGGGTGCTGAGGTCTCTTCTTTTTCGCTGCCATCTTTGGAGGACCGTAACCTTGGTTGTTCTGACCACTTTCCGTATGCTTCGATTCAGCGTTGTTGACTTCGTGTTTATCGTCCTTGTCTGTGGCGTCTGCTATCACTTCATCTGCCCAATTTGCTGCATTGTCATTGAGCTTGGTTGGGGTAGTTGTAGTGCCTGAAGTTTTGTTGTTTGTCTCGGATGTCTTGGACTTCCGTGCGTTAGGCTGAGATCGGGATGTAGTCGCATGGTCCATTTCGCTGATGCTAAGAGGTCGCTTGCTCTCAATGACTACGCCAATGCTGTGCCTGGATGATGACTTCAGTGTTGATGGATCAGCTGCCGAAGTAGTCTTCGAAGATTGTCCGTGTTGTGGGATCCGTGGCTGTTGCCCAGTACGACCTTGCCTAAGTCGTGCTTCAATAATCTTGTCAACCTCCGCGCCTAGGGTAATTGGGAACTCCTTGCGAACAGGCACAAATCCATCTGAAGGTAGACGTTCTCTTGCTAGAAGTTCCGCGTCGACATTCTTCTTTCGTTTCTGCAATTGTCGCTTCTGCATGTCTTGCCATGTCTTATCGGCAATGTGCTTCGCTAGTCGTTGGTACACCTCATCAGGCCACTCGAGTCTCGGGACGATTGCTCGCACATCGTGCGGGTGGATGAAATTCGCCTCGAGATTCCGCAGGTGCGTATCTGCTTCATCAACAACCCAAGGAATACTGAGAACGAGCGCAGCTTGGCGGTCGAGATATGTTAATGTGTATCGGCTCTCTTTCTCTGCAAAAGGAAAGTGTACACGTCCCTGGCCCTTGCAGCAATCGACTGTCCATTTCAAAATTTTGCGGATCGCGTCAGGATCTCCTCCAACGACGTTGACGATTCGTGATTGTGGTTGGGAAATGGCTATGCCAGTCATATTGATGGCAGGATATTGGTTTTTGGTTAGTCCACTGAAGACAATACCAACTTGCTTCGGGTACTCGTCAGTGAGTACAATGTGCTCAGCGCCGGCTCAAGTTCTCCATTGAATGGTGAGTCTATCGTGCTTACTGTCCAACGTCTTCAGTGCAGAGGCTGACATTTGCAGAAAGGACGGGATGGCCATATTTGTAGATATATGCGAATTGAGGCTAGTAACGTTTTCGCACTGGACGAGAAACAGACAGAAATAATAATTTGGTAAGTTGCACACGTCTAGTGGTCGGGCATTTATACTGTAAAGAAGCTGCAAACGACCAGTGACAACCAACAGACGTGTCACACACAATATCACCAGCACGTTGGTGCTTCATCTCGTTTTCTTAATGATAAGTATGCAGCCGCAACTTCATTCGTTCACCATCCACAAAGCGAAAATCAAGATCACTGGTGGGAGGACCGCTATGATGATATCTGAGGCCATCAGCAAAGTGATATCAAGCAAACAAACTCGATTGCCGAAGGCTCCAAGCTGTTTGACAAACGTAGTTGCTGTCGAAGCGGTTGATGCCTCCATCGGGGTGCGTTCGTTTCAGGAACTGCCGTGTCTGCGTACCCTGCCCTCTTCTAAAGAGAGCGAAGGCGACAACAGGCCTTCAAGGTTGATGTGACTTTTCCAGTAATTGCTGCAAACCCTTGAACTTGACCGGCTTCGTCAAATACTGTGTCATACCAGCATCCATAGCCTCTTGTCGAACGTCTTCGTTGCCGACGCCTGTGATAGCTATGATGTTCGCGGATTTGGTGACATTCATTTCCTTCTCATATTCTCTGATTTTTCGCGTAGATTCCAATCCACCCATGATGGGCATTTGTAAATCCATAAGTACAAAGTCAAAAGGTCGCTCTGCTTCCTTGAATTTGTTAAAAGCATCAAGACCATTGACTGCCTCAGCATACGGAAGTTTGATTTTCTTCATGAACGTGACTAGCAACTTGAGGTTTATCGCGTTGTCATCTACAAGAAGTACCGATGGCGGCGTGCCTGCGTTTTCGTTAGTAGCGTCTTTGTGTGGCATTTCACCCATACCAGGCAACATTCCAGCTTTGATATCTCCAAAATCTGGGGGCTTAGGAGTCGGACTATCGAACTTCTTATCTGTGGGCACATTTACGTCCGACTTCCACTTGATTTCCTGGATAGCTGGGCGATGTCGATTGTCTTTCTCGTCGTAGATGACCAACGATTGCTGCCAATTGACCGCAGCAGCGCGCTGTTTGGGCTCATTCGACGACATCATATCTTTGCGCGAAGTACGTTGCGTTTCCTGCTTGCCCGAGGCCTCTATACGTTGCATGCATGACAGCAAAACTTTGGCAAGTTTTCGAGCTCCGACCGGCTGGCTGATGACCTCGATTATCCTGCCTAAGTTGACGAGCTGAGCAACTCCGGCTGAACGGAGAGCAGCTGCTTCGAAAGCATTGGTGCAAATGATGAGCAATGCCGCCTCCTGTCCACTTTTTCCACTTTCTCTACGCTCAGTATGGTGCTTCAATAGATACTCAATTGGGGGCGGTTCACAATAAATGAAGATGCTGGTGTCTGGCTGAGCATCCACCACTCGACTCTGGTACCACTTCATATTAAAATACTGCTCAACCGTGCGAGCCATACTCGCAGTAAGCTTCGAAAGCTGTCCAGTCGACTCATCGTCGATATAAGGATTGAGCATACATATTGATTTGCCGGAGGCAACCCTCGCAGCGTCACGCATAATATCCTCGTCCTCACACTGAATGTTCGTCGCGCGTGCCATAGGCAGAGAAAGAATGACGTTTGTGCCAACGTCTTTCTCACTTTCTACACGAATCTTGCCATTTAACGTGTGTACGATGGATGATGCAATAGAGAGACCAAGACCTGCGCCTGGTGCGAATGGATCCTCCTGCGAGAATGCTTTGAACAAGTGGTTCTCCATGAACTTCTGAGACATGCCAACGCCTGTGTCTTTCACACTGAGCTCAACATCAGCATGTGTATCCGTCACATTTTTCGCATCTAGCGTAATGTGAATATTGCCTTTGCTGCAATACTTGACTGCATTTCCTACCACGTTTAAGATGACACGTCGTAGCGCACCCGTGTTGCCTAACATACACCAGGACTGGGTCTTAAAGATGTCGAGTATGAAGAATACCTTGCCAGAAAACTTTGCGCTTCCAGCATGTATGGCCGCGTCGGCTGGAGAATCATCCACCCCAATATTGTGGACTCTGCTGATGGCGTCGTCCACTGGATCATGGCGATGAAGTCGTGATTTTCGGAAGGTTTGTCCAGCAAATACCGCTTCCACAACTTCTTCTAAAAGCAGACCGAAATCGAAGGCGGTCAGTTCGGAAGAGTGCTGATGAATACTGTCTCGGTGTCCGAGTTTCTTCCCAGTCGTTGCTCGGTTGAGATTGTTGATTTTTGCGTAATCGAGCAAATGGTCGATAGTGTCTAACAAAGTCTTCCCGCAGGTTTCAACGGATCCGAGCAAGCTCATCTGGTAAGCAGTGGTCATGGTATCTTCGAGGAATTCCAAAGAGCCCAGCATTCCATGGAGCGGCGACCTTAGATCGTGTGAAATTGACGCCAGCAGAGTTGACTTGGCTAAGCTGGTATTGAAGGCTTCGAGACTAGTAACCTCACTCATCATACAGGAGCCAAAAGTCTTCAGATATGGCATGGCGGACTCGAGGTCGCGCACGCTTGTTTTGGTCGACCATATGAAGGCAGCAGCGCACCACTGACCTTGAGTGGGGTTGAAGAGTGGCATGAAGATCAACCACTTTACGTCGGGCAGCTGATCCAGCAACTGTCGAGGAAGGTGCGTACGATAGAGGTGAGATCCTAAACGCGGCTTGCGAGTCAACCAATTCGGTCTTGCGGTGCTGCTAGTACCACTGCCAACGACGGTATCGTTCGATTCGAACACCATAGTAGGAAAGACTTGACCTTCGTCAACATAAAAATATTGGCCATAAGGATAGCGCATGAGACACGTTTTTAAATGTTTCTTCTTTATCAGACCTTCCTCGAGATTTAGATTGACACCATCAGCCATAGCAGTAGCAAGAGGAACTGCGTTCTTTTCTAGCTCGTCGGCAGATGGAGAATCAGGATCAGAACGAAGATCAGCGTCTGAAAAGGTTGGGGGTTCGTTGCTCGGAGGACGGGACAGAGCGCCATCGAGAGCGAAGATGCCAGCGGCAGCATCTAGGAAGATACAGCCTTGTGCGTCAAGAGCATCGCGCAGGCAGGTAGCTGCTCGGTCAAAGACTTGTGTGATATTGTAGGTTGAGGAGTCCATGCTGTCTTTCTGAGGTGTTTCTGTGTCCACGACGTGTTTAGCAGCGACGACTTCAGGTTCGGACTGTGATCCTTCAGGCGTTTTGTCTGCATTTGAAGTGGTATGGTCCGACGGCGATTCGCCTGAGTCATCTTCTTGGCTTTCCTCATCTTCTTCTTCTTTGTCCTCGGTCTGATCATCCTGAGCATCGGTTGCTTGAAGGTCGTCAGCGTGGTCGTTAGCTTCGCTGTCCAGAAGCCCTTGAAGAGGATTTTCTATGTCGTGCTTCAACGTGGTCAGGCCTTCAATGAACTTGTGCATGCTCTTGACGAAGACTTCGTCTCTCTCGTTGTCGATGGTATTCTTGACACGTTCCAAGTGATTGGTTATGATCTGGGCCACCTCTTGCATGAACAGGACGTCGTCTAGGGAGAGACCTTGGGGGTGCGCGACATCGTCCGAGACGCCATAAACGCCTATCCTATAACCTTGTTTTGTAACGATAGGTACACCAGCATAGAATCGAACACCAGGCTCTGAGAGGACATAGGGTCGGTTGTTGAAGCGTTCATCTTTCGTAACGTCGGGAACGACCATAGCCTCGAAAGTTTGTTCTTGGCCATCAGCATTCTTGACGGTATAGCTGGAGCCAAAGACGTGCTCGTCCATGGCATCTTTACGTGGTACAGACGCCTGACCGAACCACATGTGATCTCCGGGCGCATGTCTTTCCCGGTCGACGAGAGAGAGCGACTTTGTGGCCTCGGCCAGGATCATCTGAGTGTCGGCGCTGATAAGGGAGACCATAGCACGCTTGGCCTGAAGACGCAGAGCGGCCAGCTGGGCCAGGGCAGTAAGAGTCCTGTCATCGGAGCAGCGGACTGACGAACGTGGTTCATGTTGGTCGTTGATAGGGACTGTGCGCAAGGCAGTCGAGTCTTGGAGCCATGGCTGATAGTATTTCTGTAATTCACGGGCCCTGGCATAATCTGCATTAGCAGGACCCTCGTCCTCCTCGTCGAGGCCGTTCATGGGAGTTTGTGAAGTGACATAGGGACAAGGTGTCGCGGGATGTTTGACATGCTTCGAGTACGAGTCTAAAGGATGTGTATATCCGGGGGAGCCTTTTTCCAGAAGTGCTGGTGGTGGATTCACGCACCGACTCGGAGCAGAAAGCGCAGGACCCAGTGATCTGAGGCTAGAACGCCTGGACAAGGATGAGCTTACCTAAGGCTCATCAAGTGTCAGGGTCATGCAAGATCGACCCGTAGGCGTAGAATTGGTGCTCGATGTTGTGCGATAATATTTGCAAAGTCTCGCGAGCGAAATCCCGGATTCAAATCACGCGCGTCTTGGGCTCGAAACAGAACGAACTCAATCTCTGGAGTAACACGCTGAGGAACAGCTGGCGATAGACTGTCGATCTAGCCTTTGCACCCATCCAGACCCTTCTCGGCCGAGCCTGTTGTTTCAAGGCTTGGCGAACTCACGGCAATCGACTTCCGAACTGAACGCCCGGCTGCTTACTAGTCCAGTTATTAGTGGATCCTTTCGGTCGTCGACAGCACAGCTCGTGTGCAGCAGCAATGTGCACTGTTTCTGATGATCGCATAAACTCACGACCCTCGATGACTTGCTTACAACGCGGTCAAAAAACGCGTTTAGCGAAGAACAAGTGAAGAGCTTGTAGCCATGTCCCAACGAGGACTATTACTCGGAAGCCGATCTCGATTCCTGCCATATGCCGATAGGCGATGTATATCGACCTCGACTTCATACCGTAGTCTTGACGCTATCGTCCCAAGAAGTACAGAAAGATGGTCGCACATGCCCTCAGCTGCTACTATCTCAGACGAGGAGATCAGCAGACTTGCCAGTCTGCCACGAAAGCCCTTGACCCTGGCAGATCTGGTCGGACATGGCAAACCTCCTCTCTCGAATGATGCTCTGCTCTCTTCTGCAAACTTCACTCTGTCTCTACTTCCTGCTCGTCTAGCTCACCGTATTCAGAAATTGCGAAACCTGCCTTTTATTGTCGTTGCCAACCCCAACATCAATCGAATCTACAACAATTACCTCCATTCCCTGTCTATCCTCGAGCCCTTTTATCAAAGCAAAATCGTTTCTATGGAAGAAGAAGTAAGGTTCACCGAGGCCATGGCTGAGTTGGTGCAGACTCATACCAATACCATACCTATCCTGGCACAAGGCTTTCTCGAATGCAGGAAATATATTACTCCAGCAGACATTACAAGATTTCTCGATCAGCATCTAAGAGCTCGCATAGGCACAAGGTTGATCGCCGAGCAACATCTTGCTCTGCATATGGCTTCCGCGCCTGAAACAGCTGAACACGAGTTGGACATGCACAATATTGGTGTTATTGATACTTCTCTTCAGCCAGCAAAAATCATACGTTCCTGCGAAGCTTTTGTCGGTGACATATGTGAGCTGAAATATGGTGTCAGGCCTCGTATAGACATGAATGGCTCAGTTAAAGCTATGTTTGCCCACATTCCGGTCCATCTGGAATACATCCTGACTGAGCTCATCAAGAATGCATTTAGGGCCACCATCGAGTCTGGAAATGAGACACATCCTATTGAAGTAACCTTCGCAGCCGCTCCAGACGTACCCCTCTCTAAACTGGATGCCCTCAAAAGGCTGTCCGTGACCGATGAAAGTGTCCTCGACTTCTCGCAGGAAGGATTGATTGAATACTGCTCTTCTTCAGAAGGCCTAGGAGGTCCACTCAATTCTTCTGCGCCAAGCATTACCATTAGGATTCGAGATAGAGGTGGTGGCATACCTCCCGAGGTGCTGCCCAACATCTGGTCTTACAGTTTTACCACGTTCAATGCCGAGCAGGCTACGAACGCAAACTCAGCCAGCGATGGTCTTCAGGCCATCACGAACGGCGGCAATCCTAGTAGCATTGCTGGTCTGGGTTATGGTCTTCCACTTAGTCGTGCCTATGCTGAATATTTTGGTGGCAGCATAGCTGTTCAGAGTATGTATGGTTGGGGCACTGATGTCTATTTGAGCTTGCAGGGAATCGCCAAGGTCGTCTGAGACTCGTAATAGCCTGGCTTTCGCTCGAGCACCCATCACTTTGTGTTTCGATACATCTGTCAGAGTAAGGTTAAAAAGATTAAGAGGTCGCTATTCTCAACGATTGCCTACACTCGAGCCTTTCGCTGCCGAATGCGCCCCACACACTACTTGTCAGCGATTTGGTCTAGTCAGCCAAAATAGCAGAGTAGTCTTACCTCCAGCTCCTATCGAAAGTAATTCTTCGTCGAGGCCACTCTTAGGTAATGTAAATCGTCTGCACTAGCGGTCGATGACCTTGCTAACACGGACCTGATTGGCTTCGGTCAAAGGAAGACAAAGCAAAAAAGCAAAAAGAAATTTCGACTTGAACCTTCTGAGTTCGATGATGAATACCTAATTTCAAGTCTGCCCGACCCACACACATACTACGTCAGCTAAGGGCACTCTCAGATTCGCACAATGACAGAGACCTTTGGTGGACTATAAATTTCGCGGGACTAGGTAATGGAGTGTGGGAGCTTCGTGAATTACTCACCGAGAATGTCTTTTCCTCCTAACCAACTAGGCCAAAGTGGTCGAATTGGTGAATTGACGTTCGTGTTGATTGTGGGAGATAAATTGAGAGCATCACTATATATGGAAAGTGGTGCATTGCCGTAGTGAAGGTTGGGAGTGATAGTTGCCCCACTTCGGCGAGGCGCGTCACTAAGAGCTGGCTCAACTACTATACAGTGCACCTAGGTGTTTAAGAACCGATCACTGAGGATAAATGTCTACATACAACTGGTCGACAACATTCGATCATATTGTTAGACCACACGCAGGAGAAAGCTGTTTGTTTTGAGCTACAAATTCAGATACCTCTGTAACGATGATAATCACGAGAACACGGGCACAATCTTCCTCGAAGCTCTATCAGCCAACCTCTCCTGCATCACAATCCCATACATTTCCCGAGCCCATCGACAGCATATCTTCCTCGTATGTTTGGGATCCACTATCTCTTCCACATTGAAAACGTTCGCCGTGCGCACAGGATTCATCAACCTTACATACATCTCATCAAGCTCTTTATACCTCTTCTTGAACGCTTCCTCACCACTTCCAGGTTTCGCTTTCTCTGCCTGCTCCCGGATTGTCTTGAGCTCATGTCGATGACCGACTTCGATGCCTCCATCAAGTGGTAGTGAGCCCCAATTTGCAGATGGCCATGAGACTCTCATCCATGGCTCGCGGCTATCGAGCATAATACCGCCTGCAACGCCGTATGCTCGACGTGTCAGTACAGTGAAGATTGGTGTGGTCGAAGTATAGTATGCTTTTCCAAGCTCGACACCCCATTTCATGACACCTGTACGTTCGGCCACAGTCCCAATCGCGTAGCCGGCTGGAATTCTATCAGCAAAGTTCACTTGGGTGGGTAAGGGAGATACTCACGGACATCCACAAACTGCACGATAGGCAGATTGAACACATCTGCAAACTTGATCATCTTCAGCAGCTTCTGACTTCCAGCAGCATCAAGTGCACCACCATTGACCTCACAGTTGTTCGACAGTATTGCAACTGGCCGTCCTCCAAGCCTCGCAAGCCCAACAATACCTGTTCGACCCCACAAGCGGCCGATCTCAAACCAGCTAGTCTTATCAACAACCGACTCAATGATTGTGTAAGGATTGTACATCCTATTCTTCTTCCTCGGTATGATACTTCTCAAGCTCTCGTCCTCCCTGTTCACATCATCACCACTCCAACCTTGTGGTAAACACGGCGGCGCCTGCAACGCACCAGAATCAGGTAAATATCCCAACACCGTCCTCATCTGCTGATAGCACTCCCTCTCATCCTTAGCCATATTGTCAATCGTGCCATTACAGCAATGCACCCACGGCCCGCCTAGATCCTGAAAACTCAAATCCTCCTCAAACGTAGCGCCCTCTACCACTTTTGGCCCCGCATTGAACAAACTCCCAATATCAGCCGCCATAACACTAAAGTGCGTGCTCACAACCCGTGCAGCACCAAGTCCAATCGCCGGTCCAACCACCGCACCTAAATTCGGTATCCCCTCATTCAACTGCTTCGTCACAGTATTTAGCAGCGTCACATGGGGCAAATAGCTGAACCCTGTCTTCGCAATAGTCGTTACACTCCCACCACCACTCGACCCATCCACAAGCTTGACAACAGGAACCTTCAGCCGTAACGCCAACTTCTCACCATACAGCGTCTTCAACCCATTATGTCCATCCGCATGCCCGCCACGGATACTAAAATCGTCAGAAGTCAAGTACACCTGTCTCGTGACTTTTTCCGTACCAGTTTGTAGGCACGTCACCTGCCCGAAGCCCTGCGGGTTGTTACTCGGGGTGAAATCCTCCACCTTTTCAGTCAGAGGATTTTCCGGGTCGATACTCCACGTCGTCGTGCCGGTCACTGAACCGAGTTCTCGAAAGGTGCCGGGGTTGAGTATAGTGTCAATTCTGTCTCTGGATGTCATCTTGCCAGCTGCTTTTTGTCGTGTATACCCTCTGTGGTCGGCTGGTGGGTTTCGTGCATGGTTCTGCATGGTCGAGATGTGGCCCATGATGTCGGAGTAGTCGGCTGGAAGGGATGATTGGTGGTCTTGGGCTTTTTTCTTGCGTTGTCTGCGTGGTGCGGAGGTGTTTGCTTGTGTAGCTTCTGGCTGCTGAATGTCGGCTTCGGAGGGTGCTGGAGCGATTTGTTGGTTGAGCTGAGTTAGTCTTTCTGAGGCTTTGTTGTGGTTAACGCGAGGCTGTGAGCCGTAGTCTGCGTCGTCGCCACCTACTACCTGACTTTCGAAAGAGGGTAGTTTAGGCTGGTTGTAGACTGGGTCTTCGGTGACTTCACCTTTTCCGTCTTGATATCTGTGGAGAGGTGTTTGCTGCGATGAGCTTGGAGAGTAGTCGGAGTCGTCTCCTGCTGGTGGCATACGTGTTGGCTGGTTGTAGGTCGGGTCGTCTGCTACTGAACTTAGCTCGGATTTGGGCTTGGGCTGGTTGTATACCGGGTCGTCGGCTACAGGTCGTGAAGTTTCGCCTGAAGACTCGGGCTTAGGTTGATTATAGACTGGATCGTCTGCTATAGGCTGTGGGTCGTCGTCGTTCGAGGATTTGGGTTTTGGCTGATTGTAGACTGGGTCGTCCGCGACCGGTCGTGGTTCTTTAGTCGCAACTCTTGTAGCAGATTGATCATGTACCATCGCGTCTACCTTCGGCTTCGAGCTAGAATCAGGTTTAGGCTGGTTGTAAACAGGATCATCTGCCACTGGTCGTGGTTCCTCGCCGGAAGAGTCGGGCTTTGGCTGGTTGTAGGTCGGATCATCAGCTATACCAGAATCCTTCTCCGATCTGGTTGGGTTACTTGATTGATCATCTGGTTTTGGTTGTGGTTCTGACGCTGGCTTTGGCTGATTGTAAACTGGATCGTCAGCTGTGGTTTGTGGTTGATCACTTGAAATCTTCGTCTTAGGTTGGTTGTAAACAGGATCATCCTCTATTTTGGCCATGATGGACGGGGTACAATGGTGCTGTAGACAGTGAAGGTCAAAGTGTCAAGGCTGTCAGTGCTGCTAGGGGTATTGTCTACCACGACCTCAATAGTATTGGTGCGTGTCGTAATGCTTAGCCGTCCACGTAGCTCTTGGTGACGAAGACGTTAGCAGCTTCACTCCGTTTTAACGCTAAGTTGCTTTTTAAGTCTGTCGTGCTTCTTGCCACAAGCGTTGTGATGGTCTTGGGATATCAACAATACCACAAGTGTGCAGCTTCTGACTGCCAAAACATTAAGCAGAGCAAGATGGTGACCCGGTTGTCGTCGATGATCGAAGTGAACGCTTGTACTTTTGCCTCGGCACGATTACGCTCGATCCGGAGCAAAAATCCGGGGTTTGTGGAGGACCTCGGGGCTGCCTCCTCCAATATGGGAGAATCACAGCAATGTCTGTATCCTTTGACGAAGACCGAAATGTTACTGTCAATGTCGTCTTTTGTCAGGCGATGCAACATCAACTAACGCGTCGTGGTAAAGCTGACTGATTTTCCGTAAAGCATTCGCAGCGGAATTACATTTGCTTTTTCGAATGCTCATTCTAGGCTACATCATAGAGATAGAGCAGCCAGAAAGAGCGCTCTCGGATCGAAAGATTACATCCAGACCATAACACAAGCATTGACGACAGCATGCCCCCACAACAGCGACCTATAAAGCGTTTACTGGTCGTCAACAGAGGCGAAATAGTTATACGCATTCTCCAAGCTTGTCACGAACTCCCGTCACCACCGACCACATTTGCGCTCTATACAGAGACAGACTCGACGCATATAACACTTGGACGACCTGATCATGCCATCAAGATCTTGTCGCCAGCAGTATACACCGACATCAACAACATCATCAAGATAGCCAAGGAGAATCAGATCGATGCCATCCATCCAGGATATGGTTTCTTGTCGGAGAGTGCTGAGTTCAGCCAGCGTATGTGGAACGAAGCTAATGTGTTGGTTGTTGGGCCCGGTTGGGAAGTCCTAGAACGGACTGGCGACAAGCTGAAAGCGAAAGCTCTAGCTGAGGAATGTGGCGTTCCTGTATTGGATGCCATGAAGCAGCCGACAAACAAAGTCAAAGAGGTTGAAGCCTTTGCCGAACGTATTGGGTACCCAATCATGATCAAAGCTGTCGATGGTGGTGGAGGTAGAGGTATCAGACTGGTGGAACACAAACAGAGCCTGCAAAATGCTGTCGACAGATGCATCAGTGAATCTCCAAGTAGAACGGTCTTCGCGGAACAGGCAGCAATCAAAGGATTCAAGCATATCGAAGTTCAGATTCTAGGTGACGGTGGAGGAGGCGTCAAGCATCTTTGGGAACGAGATTGTTCTGTCCAAAGAAGATTTCAAAAAATAGTCGAAGTTGCACCCACCCCGGTTAGCGATCGAAGGACTGTCGCGCAGGTCGTTGAGAGTGCCATGTCTATGGCTAGCAAGCTGCAGTACCTTGGACTAGGTACGTTTGAGTACCTGGTCAACGTCGGTACCGGAGAGTTCTTCTTTCTCGAAATCAATCCTAGAGTACAGGTTGAACATACTATTTCGGAATGCATACGTGGGATAGACTTGGTTAGAGAACAGCTTCTCATTGCACAAGGACAAACGAAGATGGACAATCAACGCCTCGGGGATATCTCGCAAGCTGGAGAACATCCGGGAGCGGCCTCAATCCAATTGAGATTATGCGCAGAAGATCCTAGCTCAAACTTTGCACTCAGTATTGGCAAAGTCGCCGACATAGTGATTCCGAGCGGCAACGGTGTTCGAGTGGACAGCCACTTATCGAAAGGCGGCTCGATAGGTTCCGATTATGACAACATGATGGCCAAGATCATCGTGACAGCCTCAACTTGGGAACAAACACTAGCCAAAGCGCAGAGAGCCTTAGCAGAAACGCGCGTGAATGGAGTCAAGACGAACCTAGATCTACTACGTGCCATTGTAGCAGACAAGACGTTCCGCGACGGCAATGCAGACACCACATGGCTCGAGAACAATATGCCGTCTCTTATTGCGCGAAGTCAACAAATAGGCAGCAGGATTGAATCAGCTAGCGCAAGTCTCCCTGCCCTGCCCACTTCTGCAGTGCAAGCACAAGGTATCGCAACTTCTGGTGTCTCTTTCCGAAAAGGTGATGCCTGGACATTACATCTCGAGGGTGATAACAGCTCAAAGGAAGCGCACCACCTCAGTATAGATCGGCTGGTTCGCAATGACTTCCCTGAGGCAATGGTTGCGGATATATCGTTCACAGCACCTGGAGAAAAGCCGCTTGTTTTCAAAGCAACAATTGCGAGCACCACTTCATCGGCAGGCGCAACTGCCTCGACTCACAAACGAGGCGACAGCAACAACAAAGACCACGTAATCGTTCCTATGAGTGGTAAGCTGATAGAAGTACTTGTAGGTGAGGGGGATGAGGTCAAGGAAAACGATATCATCGCTTTTGTGAAGCAGATGAAGATGGAGCTTGAGGTCCGTAGTCCTCGTTCAGGTATTGTTGATTGGGTAATAGAGCTTGAGAACGAAGACGGCGATGATGTTGCTGAAGGGGTCCTTTTGGTACAGCTCAAGGCATCTAAGCCGGCACTGCAGAGCAAGTTATAGATAGGTATAGATCTTGCTCAATCAATACTCTGCACTCCTTGCAGATGGCCGACAGTAAGACGTGCCTGAGCAAGCATTTGAGGAGTGACTCCAAAGCGCCTGCCTCGAATTGCGAAGTGCTTCACTGAAAGTCGCAATGAATAGCCGTTTGCTTGCGGTGCCAGGATCTGCAGAAGGCTAGAAGTGCCGGTGGGACAGCCTCTGCATATCTGATTCGTAGATCACAATCGATCATTCAACGATCGTTGGATCGCGTGCAACAAAACCTATACTTGACCTGCATTATGTGTCACCTAGCCGTGAACACACAAGGGACGTGATTTGTCGCAGTGGCGAAGCTGATCGAGATCGAACGAAGGAAGTCACAAAAGGACACTGAATTTCGCGGGACCAGGGGATGGAGTGTGGGAGCTTCGCGAATCGTGTTGTCAATCCTGGTTGAGCTCAAGTCATTGCATAGAGAATCCATTCTTGATACTCTTTTCCCAGAAGCAGTGTAGATGACGCGTGTAGTTTCTGTTGGGTCACGTACGCGTGACGCCATTAATCCATATAAATGTTATCGAGGGAAGGTGCGAAGGTGTCGTGGTCGGAAGAAGGTGCAGCAGTCATTTCGTCGTGCAACCACTTGTTTTTTTTTGCTTCTTTTCTTCCTTTTCAGTAAGCGCCAGCCAACAGCCAACAGCCAACAGCCAACAGCCAACAGCCCACAGCCCACAGCCCACAGCCAACAGCCAACAGCCCACAGCCAACAGCCAACAGCCAACAGCCCACAGCCAACAGCCAACAGCCAACAGTAAGTAGTGCACCTACACCACGTCTTCGTTAAGGAGCTGACAATGTGTAGAACTAGCAACATGGCAAGTGAGTATCCTCATGCAATACCGTCTTGCCCATATCTTTTGTATTCTGCAACACATCGAACAACTGCACGAGAGGAGCAACTCTGGTCCCGTTACACATCACAATGTCAGCAGTTTTGCGTGTTCTGCATCTCCAAGCTCCTTGACACCATCTCCTATTGCTCTGATGGTCAAGAGACATTCATTATATGAGTCCGGCTCTTCAGTCCGGATGATTACACCATGCAACAACATCTTCGCTCTCTCTGTGCAACAGGAATAAGCTCAGAAGTCGTATGGTCAGCGAAAGTCACATAATCCTGCTCAATTGCGTCTCGGTGTCCATGTCGAAATTGTGCCATGAAATCTCGGACAGGCAGCTTTCGATAACTTTGCCGTCGTCCCGTGCGATCGATATCTGCTTGCTAATTCAGTGACGCTCTGCAGCAGACGCTGCTGTCACCGAGTATGTGCTGACATACACCTTAGGAAGAGACTGCAACAACTGTGGCCAGCGAGGTCACTTCTGGCGGGCTTGTCCTTGTAAGTGCCTCCTCATGATCACCTACAACACACATTCGCATTGCCCTTTCAAACACAATCACATCCTGTGCCGGCATGGATGGCATGTTTTCCTACTACTACAACAGCTCTATACGCACATCGATATCGTCGTAAATGGTACTAACAAGCCTATAGTCCCGCCTCGGCACCAGCCAGGCCCCCGCTCGCAGCCGCGGCATGCCGCCACTGGCCGCCATGCCGTGGCCAACCTAGCCAATAGCCGCTCAGCAGCAGCCGCCAGGACAGCTAACACGGTAGCCAATATGGCTCCCGAAGAGATTGCTCGGGGGTTTGGTGTTGCCGGTGCTTTGATTGAGGTAGGTTTACTCATGTTCCTATGCCTATACAATATGGTCCAGAAATACACTCGTGCTACGAGAAACATCTGATGCAGGACTAAGGCAGATCATCTATACATCGCTGGTTGAACCTTTACCTACTTAGCACCAATTTCATCTACTCATCATTCATGTCCCAGGACATGTTATCACATGGATGTTCATGCTGATATGTTATAGCGAGCCTTGAACAACGGGGCTGCTTTTGCGGCTGGTGCTGCTGCGGCAGCCACTAGCCAGCCACCAGCCCGCCGCCGCCGCCACACAGCCCGCTACCGCCAGCAACCAGCCAACCAGCACCAGCTAGCAGCCAACAACCAGCAGCCAGTAGCCAACAACCAGCTACCAGCAGCCGAATACCAACAGCCAGCCCTTGGCTACCAGCCAGTCGCTCGAGTAAGTCATCCTGATCGAACGTTTCGTAGCTACTATAGCTGTAAAGCTATCTACGAGAGCTCGTCTGTATCTAGTACTATCTCTAACCTTAATAGGCCGCCACCATAGCCAGCAGCAATGTCTTTATGGCCGACGTATGTGCATCAATCCTGAATTTCAGAATGGTCATGTTACTAACGATATTGTATAGTTCGACCATACCGTGGCAGTCGAGGGCGCCGCCACTACTGCGGCTTGGGCTGCTGAGCAGCAGCAGCTTGCCGCTAGCCAGCTACTAGCCGCCATCCAGCCTCCAGCCACTAGCCAACCAGCCAACCAGCAGCCAACAGCTGACCAGCCAGCCAGCCAGCCAGCCAGCCAGCAGCCAGCAGCCAACCAGCAGCAGCTAGATAGCCATCAGCCAGCAGCCCCAGCCATAGCCAACAGCCAGCAGCTAGCCAATGAGCCCAATGAGTGGGCTGAAGAAGGTATTAGTTAGTTATTCATTGTTATCACATAGATATTAATAAATATCTATTGCTATACTCATCTTCGACATAATTGTAATAGTAACCAGCTTAACTACGTACTACCTGACTGCTTTCTAATACATTGTATGTCGCACACAGACTGCTTCTGTAAGTTAGTACTGGCATTAATGTAATCCATACGAGATGCGTATAGATTACATGTTACAAGGCTTCTTTTCTCTCTCAGCTATGTGATCTACAAATCTCTCACTTCGAACAATCTCGTTACAGCAGATCATTGAGCAATTTTCGCTCACTTTGCATGGACAGCCTAAGTGCTGCTACCGTTCGATCTGGAAAGTCTGCCTCCGCTAAAACAAACATCCGCCTAGGGGTTTCTCACCACAGCTGACTCTTCCATATGTGCTCTAGATCAGTTCGTCTTTCTTGTTATCCTAACCTAAGAAGGTGCTTGGCGCAAAGATCGCAGATTCGGCAGTCTGAAGATCTGGATCATATGGGACTTTGTCAGCGCCACATTATCCTAGTGAATCGTTAACAGCTAGTTGCTGTCGTCGTTAATCACTCCTGGCGGTCAGCAGCTGACACAGCAAAACGCAAGAGAAGAATTCGCCAACCACGATGCTCAACAATAAGACCTCCTTCGCCAGTCCAACCAATCTACCACTCTTTCAGGCTTCGAAATTTCCTTACTTCGTCAGAAGGTCATCAAGCACACTTCTTCCTGTATACTTGAGTCACAGCTCGTCTTTTCAGGGCTAGTATTGTCCCGACTTCAAGTACGAACGGTCGGAATAGAACAAGCCCACGACATCCCGAGTGGATTGAGACGGCTCAGGTTGAAGTACACAATCAGTGCAGGCGCCGCAAAAACCGAATCATGAATAAACCCTGCAACATTCACAGATAACGTCGTATAGAACAGCTCTGGTTTTCTTGGTCATTTAGAAGTCGCGACCGAAAACGCGAGAAACCACAAAGTCAGTAATTGCAGCTCCAGTTTAGTATGCCAAAGATGGCCGAACTGAGAGGTCTTGATGCTGGGCATTACTCAGTCTGGTAACGGCGCTTCCCCCTCCAGCGGCAAAGCGTATGAAGGATCTCACTATCCCTCAATGCTATCGTGCTAGCATAAAGTCACAGGCATCCAAGCACATCCAACATACATCGGTCATGAGCTGATTAACACTGGCGAATGCAACACTCGCAATCTCATGACACACTACCACAGCACCGGTGGGTACTGCATGTCAGTTCGTAGGATACATAGCAAAGCCACGCCGAACGTGGCTCGAAGATCTTTTAGTGCAAATGCGATAGTCATGGTGAGCATATACTCATACACAGTCTGATGGTAGCTACAACCTCACCGTGCTCATGTTCTGACGAGTGTTGGCCACTCAGTGGGAAGGTGGGACGAAGGTTCGCGGTTGCTTTAGCGTGCCTCTCAAAGTTCAATTTGCAGGCAACATTTGAGATAGTAGTAGTACTGCAATGCAGCCTGTATCACTGAAAACTAGTTGTCTCGGCCCTGTTTCTTGGAGAATCACGTACAAAAAGCAGTAACCTGGCTACCAAGACTAGGTGAAAGATATCTGTGTCTCGACATGATCTACAACCTGGTATGCGCATTTTCGTTGGATACATCTCGTGAGTTTACACCTAATTCGCTACTCCACGAATATCTGCATGCACCAGCTTCTGCAACTCGGTTTCCGGAGCGACAGCTAACGCCTTCCAGTCAACATATCATTCGCTCGAAGATGTGGACAGGCTCGAGATCAAACCCCAGAAGCCAGAATCCCCCAAATGACAGCTGTACCGCCTGACCAATCCCACTTCCGAGACGTTTCACCTGAGGTGGGCACTTAATCACAAACTTGCCGTCCTGTCCGCAGTTTTACAAGAGGATCCAACGCAGGCTCAGAAGCTGGTTCTTAGGCACTATCAGCTGCTGTCACTTCGCAGCCAGCCATGGCTACGGCAGGTCTCGATCCAGCTGAAGAAGGACCTCTAGCACGTGCCACAGATGCCACAAGGACTATCGACATACCTACCTCTTTCTACAACATCAACAACATGTCCTATTGTACTATCGAGTTCGTAAAGCGACCCTCATACCACGATACGGGAAAAGTTATCCAACTGCCTCTCAACTCTTACGAAGTTACTTAGATCCTCTATATCAATATCTATCAGTACGATACAATTATTGGTAACGGCGTCGAGACTCGTACTGTCTAGCGAAGAGTCTAGCATTCTCATTACGAAAGAAGAACGATAAGCTCGGTCGAGATATTATCTGGGACGGCAACAAGCTGGCCTAGTCCATAAAGCCTTACGGCACGGTACGAATGATGGTCGACCTAGATGTCGAGAATGGTCGACCTGCCCACAAGGATGGTAAGAACAGCTTGTCTATTCATACCAGTCAAACAAGAACGATCATCTCGCTGTTCCCATCGCATACTCTTACGATCAGCTGCAGTTCTGTGGGTATCGGGGCTGTCGGCGAATCGATCCGACACAACATCACATTTGCCGGACTTGTGGCTCGAGGAGAACAACAAGGTTCTGGGGACTACCTGAGCTACGCCTGGCTAACACGAACAATTTGAAGTAGCCAAGCCATAGCACGTTCCAATTCGCGATAGTTCGTTGCCTACATACGGCTTAAGAGATTTGACATAAGAATGTATTCTCTTCAACAGAAATTTCGAGCCGTCAGGACCGGTATTAATCCGTGATACCGACGCCTCCCATCATGAGCCTATCGAGTCCATCACACAACCAAACATGAAGCCATGAGAATCATCGCAAGTGTATCGGTTCAGAATTTGACATGAAACGTGGTTATTCGCAGATCAGTATCCCACATGGATTGCTACCTTGCGGTCAGCACTTACCATGAACCATTCTAGCAGAATGATTACCATGGGAACAAGCACATCATGCCAGTCGGCTACCGCGAAAAAGCCACCATGCTCGACTTGTCAGATTCGCCGAAAATGTCAACCTTGTTGGTGGAGTGACACATCCGAATAGTTGATGAGTTGGTGGGTCGCTGGTAGTACCATGACAGGATGCCAGTTCGTTAACACGTCGGGACTGAGTTCACTTGACCTGGTATGAAATCAGGAAGCAAAGTTGCCGACAACGATTCTGTTCAGGGGCACAAAGATAGACCTTCCTACCTGGGTAAGTGAAGCTGGCGTCTTTGCGTTATTGAAGTCTGAGAATGAAGGTACAGAGCCAATTGATTTGCATGTCTCTATTGATAAGACAGCTGCCCGCATGTATCGGTGAGAATTGTTCGAGTTGTCTCCTACATGATATACTATACAATCCCCTTGCTTTGAGTCGTTTTTCAGTTGCTAGAATCTTGAGTATCCCTCTTGACGAAAAGCGAGGTTCGATCAGTGATGACACCGAGGTTCTCTACGACATTTTCCTCGATGCACGCACTGAATATATGAAATTGATGGCAGACATGTGTGAAAAGAGTGTCAATTATGTTTGTGTCTGTCAATCGAAATTTTTCTCTCTAAAAATCCATTCTGCGGAAGAGCATATGAATCTCATCGAAGACAATGTTGAACATATTATCAGAAATGTCTATCTCTAATACTTCTGTTCTTCGATCTTGAGAAGCCTCACCGTCGAAGTCAGTCCTTTGCAGGAAACTATCTGGTTGCGTCGGGATAACTCAGCTCCGGGCTCTAGGGGTGGTAAACGCCTGTGGACAAGCTCAATAGGTAAGAGAGAAAAAAGGCGTTGAAAGAAGTTGGGAAGGAGCGATGGCACGATACCGCGAATTCGTGTTCAGAACTGCACACCTCGCAGTTTTGGTTCTCCTCCTCAAGACAGAGTCTATAGCAAGATTGAAAGCAACTCAATCAGCTGAAGCAAAGCGAAGTGTTCGATTAGAACATCAATTCAATTTTAAAAATTTTAAATCTTCGTTTTAAACTAACTATACAATGGCTAGAGGAAATACCAAGCCAACTACTACTCCCAACTCCGCTGCCAGCAAGCCAACTACTACTCCCAAGGCCCCTGTCAGCAAGCCAACTACTCGGAAGCGATCTGCCAGCCCGCCACTCCCTAGTGGCCAACGAAAGTTCAGGCGTCTTACTTTAAAGAAGCGAGTTGCCGTCCAGTCTGCCAGCAACACGCCCACTACTACCAAGTCCTCGGACAATAAAGATGTTAAAGGAGGCAATGTACCTCAGACCGCCCGACAGCCACTAGCCCAAATAGACGGCAATGTTAAACGACTTGTTAAAAGAGCTGCATCCAAGTCGCCCCAGCGGCCAGCAAAGGTAGCCCAAGAGGCTAACGTTAAACAAGATATCAATATTAAAGATAAAGAGAATGTTAAACCTAAAGAGAATGTTAAAACAGCTGCGGACACCGAAGCCCAGATTAATAAACATAAACCGACCTCGAACCAAGGACAAAGTGCTGCAGAGGTGGCCTACAGTCGAGTTTATCCTCATGGGCACGAGCTCATAGAGACTTCAAGTAACGACCACAAGTGTGCCTGGTATGCCATCATTGCCTCCCTGACAGCATTAAAGGATCAGGGGTCGATCGACGTTCCGCTGCCGTCTGTTGAAGACCTTGACCGAGTTCTGGACGAAGATTGTGCTGAGGAGAAGCAGCTAGCAATAGAAGCCTTCAGAGACCCGGCGAACCCCAATGAGGACATGAGCAGTGCATTTTCCGTTGACTTAGCCGCCTTGACTATCATGACCTGGGCTAAGGTGCGAGCTATCGCTATACAGATGGGTTTCATAGTCAATGGTCAGAAGTTCTTGGTCGATGCTCTGGATGGACCTCTGCCCCAGGTCACCTTTTTCATATCCAACAACTATGGCGAGACTGATCTCCCCATGGAGAGCCGGGACAACCACTTTTCTGGTCTGCGTCCGTTGTCTGATTCGAGCTCGGTCATGTTCAATACCGACGAGCATAGTCTTGTTGAGGCAGACCTGGAGTCTGTGAAGTCCAATTTCAACGACGATGATATCGACGATGCAGACTTCGTAGCTGCTCATGAGGACTTGGAGTCAGCTGAGTGTTCTGAAGGTGACCTTGACAGCGACGATGGAGATGTCAGCGAAGAAGATCTGGATGGCGACGAGGGTGAGGCATATACTTCTACTTCCAGCAATATCAACCTGGACACGCTCTCAGCAGACGAGCAACGAGCAGCAGTAGAATTCGCCGATGAGTCTGGAGCGTCTAAATCTTCTCAATGGAGTATAAAATATAGACGAACTTTGATCTTGAGCGTCCACGAGAAGATCAAGAAAACTTCGTCCGGAATGAGCGAGGAGCAGCAACTCTGTATTGCACGGCTACGAAAGATCATGCAGAGTATACTTCTTCGTGCCCAAGAGCATCCTGATGGCCTCCACTGGACCTTCAAAGTATTTTTCAAGTGCTTGACTCAGGAGAACTTGAGCACAGAGTTCGTCGATATTTGTTGTGGTCTTGTACTTCCTGTAGTTCTGGAGAAGTTTGGATGTGATGACTATAGCCCTGCCACGCTGATAGGCATCTTTCAGGAGCTCGAGCAAAACGCCGCAACACAGGACCAAGGCAATGACTCAAACCCCAAGCGAGTGGCATACCAGCTCGCATTTTTCGATACTGTTTTGAAAACCCTACGTAACTACATTGGAGAAACTCGAGCATGCTACGTCAGATGGGGGATGCACACACAGAACTATAAACGATCCAAGGCGTCATGGTATCCAGAGGCACGGAAATATCCCACTATGGCCAAGATGGTCCTCGCCGATCTCAAGGACGTCTTTGAAGAACTTGGATTCTTCTATATTTTTATCATTCGAATGCTGGAGGCATCATTCTCGATCCTCCTGAGAACGCTACCTCGCGAAGCACGCACGGGCCCGGGCAGCAGGTTTCATTACTGCACCAATGCCGCCGTGGCTTTCGCTAGAGCAGTGGAGGAAGACTTCCAGGAAGATGGTGGCGAAAGATCTGCCCCGCTTCTTCCTTCAGGCTGGAATACCCTCGAAGGGTTCAACACAGCATGGCCACTGCTCCAACCAATTTTTGGCATGAGATGGCATAAAGAGGAGATAGCTATCATCAAGGATGTGTACAATAAAGCGAAAACAAATGACAGCAATTTGTGGGGCAAGAAGACTCAGGTCCTAGAGCAGATGCGCCAAAGTTTGTTGGAATGGAAGTCTAAGCAGACGAATGCCTTGGTCCGGCTTGAACGAAGCACCAAAGCCATCTACAAACGCACCCTCAAGCTGAAATTGAGTTTCTATAATCTAAATAGGACCCCAGCTACTGATCGCCGATGCTACAGATGTTGGTATGTCAGAACAGGGAAATCGAGAAGATGTGATGGGGCTCAGCCTAAGTGTGGAACATGCAGTCAGCTACCAGGGCTCGCAAAGGCTACGCCGTGCGGCGTATTGATGACAAAGGCCGAGGCTATCGCACAAATGCAGCGTGAGGATGCAGCTGCAGCAGTCGAGCGTCGATGTTCTCGGTGCTGGAAAGCCCCGCACAAGTGCGATCAGGCGAAGCCCACGTGTTTTGCATGCGTCCGTTACGAACATGTGAAGGGGCCATGCGGCCCTCACTACACTAAGGCCGAGTGGGAAGCAGCAGGGCGACCTCGAACTATGCCCGCCACCCCGTCTCTAATCCCTGCCGCTCCCGTCTCTAACACGAATGCTGCGAATCAAAACGGCAAGAAGCCTGCATCGAAGGCCAAGAAGCCTGCAGCAAAGGCCAAGAAGCCTGCAGCACAAGGTAAAGAGGCCAAGAAAGGCTCCAAGAAGTGAGTGAAAGATATTTTTATTCGTCTGATATGACGATCAAAGGTAATGACGTGAGAAGCGCGCTCTCACTATGTGACCAGCTTACTATGCATACAGAAAGGTCGAGATTCAGCTCCCTTGTGGTCGAGAAAATGCGCCAGATGTGGCAGTCAAAATGGCTCTTAATTTCAACCGCCTTCTCGTGGTGAGAGCCGTCAGTAGGATACACGAAAAAGTCGATACCAACAGGGTAGATGTATCCGAAGCGAAATGGTTGATAAAGCAATTGATCGAACAGACATGCAAGGTTCGATTGCAAGTATTGAAAGTTGTTTCCCACTCATCATGCAAGGGAAACTCGAGTTCAGAATCTCGATTTGACTATGTCCAGTCTCGGTGACTGTTGACAGCGTCTTGTGTTGGTTGACAAGGTCCCACAACGATGACAAGGTCCAGCTTTGGTGGCTGTCGACAAGGTCTCGAGTCGGATGACAAGGTCCAGTCCTTGATGACTGTTGACAAGGTCTCATAGTGATGACAAGCTCTGGCTAGTTTTGCCATAGAGAAGGTCTCCGACAACGTGACTCCGCCTAACAGCAGCTCCACGCCCACGAGACACACCAGACACGGGACGACTCAGCAAACAGAACGACTCAACACTCAAGCGGCTTCAGCACCCGGCTTCGGGTCGAACATTCAATCGTTGCTGTACTCAGCGTATCTTGGACCTTTCAAAAGTTGCATGTACGATGTCCGAATCTTCAAAAAATCCTATCGTCGACTTGGCATGCACATTTTCAAAACTGGTCCAGCACAGTCAACAAGCCGGCTCAATGTCTTTGCCTGACGTCCGAATACAGAATAAGGCGACATGGCGGTATGAAGCATGACACAACCGATCCATATTCAATCGAAAGCACCGCTCAAACAAAGCAGAAGCCAAGGTGCTACAAGTGAAGAAAGCTCATGATCAAGCAGAATACTACCGACAAGGCCAGCAATAGTCAAAGCCTCTATACTTTCCAGAAAGCTTGTCCACAAGCTAGCTCTTGATCGATGCAAGCCACTGCGACAACCCTTCAGGAGCTACCGAGACCAGTAACACGTCGGAGGTTGTAAGAGTGCGCAATGCGGTCGAAGCTCAATCGCGATATGGGTCTTGAACGGGTCCAAAATTGGAGTCAGAATCTTAAGTAATGGTGTGTCTCGGTCGAAGGGCGTGGAGATGGGCGGACGACAAGAGGAGGACGACGATAACAACTGGCCTACACTGGATACAATTCACCCACCGCTACAAATCAATGGTTGACCACGACCCTCTGTCATTCATCATATTACACATATTGCTGGCTGAAGGAGCACGAACAATTACTGGAAGCATCCAACAGATTGCATAGTCTTCGCACCAGACGCCATACTTGCGCCTGTCGACTACGTCCCGAAGCTGCGTCCAGGTCAATGCACGATAGGCAGCCTAATGGCTCCATCATTGGAGGTGTCGAGCATTGAGCTATCTGTCACGGATCCCGTGCGAGGTTATAAACAAAGTCGAAACGATTCATGCTGTTGGCATGACGATGAAGGCCTCGATTCAGTGCTTAGCTACATGATAGCTACATGTGTGCCTGAGCCTCCTTTGCAACATGTCTCTTATAAGTACGGCACTGGCCAGCAGGAGATAACAGCAAGTCACCACGGTTCGTGGAAACGATTCCAGGACGCAGGTGGAGTAGACGGTCACCGTTCAGGCTCGAACAGGCATATGTATCTTTGAGCCTGTTAGTGGATGGACCTTTTCTCGCTCAACAACCCACACTTTCCACCATGAAGAATACCCTAAGAAAGTCGCGGGGTTCAGCACGAGCAAGACTGAACATGAAGGAAAACCTGCTATTTGATACTTTCGACAATTCACACTCGACGAGAGGCTCCTGCGAAAGACTTCAACAGTGATAAGCTGAGGATCAGTCTGCCATCTAACTATCCCAATACAGCGAACAATGTGCCTACGTTCTTTCATCTTGTTACAAAGCAGGAACAACTCCTTGCAGCGACTTGCACTTCTTTCTCGAAAACATTTGGATCTGCCTACTTTTCAATGCTATCGGTTCAAGCACATCGCTCTGTCGGAAACTGGATTTCCGCGAACGCACCACTGCACCAGATGAGCCCAAAGTAACTCTGGCTGAGGCGTGTCATCTCAGAGCTCTCACGCCTGTTGAAGCGTTTTGTGTAACAAGATACGCCTGATCGCCAAGTGAGCTCCTCAGCTATCAGCAATCCTTGAGATTTGAATCGACTCCTTCTGTCTCCCAGTTCTGACAGCTTCATGTTCTGATCTGGATCGGCGTTAGTACATGATCATCACCCTCGTGACGAGAAACATAATCATGCATAACATCATGAATGGTCACATTATATGCGAGAAACAAAAGCACGGACTGCAGCTACCGCCATGGAGAGCAGGTTCGGTAATGACCTCAGCTCTTAATCTAGCGGCTGATCCTTGCTAAATGCTTCGGAGTGGTGCTGTTCCTGGCACCAGAAATTTTCTAGCCAACTTAACTCTTGTCGAGCGAAGTGTTCGATTCAGGTCAACGACAAACCTTCGACAGAGTCTGGACACCAGCCCACCACGACATTTGGTCACTTGCTGAGCAGTGGCTGCCTTCTTCCTCTATTATAATGTTGATGAACGGGAAAGCTTGCTAAAGATCCACTCTCTGAACACAGGTGAACAATTTGGGAGGGCAGTATCAGCTCTTCGTCCTTGTTTTTATCCTCGACCATCGTGTTGTCAGTCAATCAGAGTGAGACTAGTGTGCAAATCAAGGGAAAACTTTCATGAAGCATTCCACCCAAACTTCCACGGATTGGAGAACGGCCACCAATCCAGACGATGGTACAATCCGTTACACAAGCAGCCAATCCATTTTGTGGAGGCACCCAATACTCCCAAATTCACGAATTCAAGTATCTCACCTTCCTCAGGAGATCCTGCTTCTGAAGTTGTCGCGGTGTTAGAACCAGAGAAGAAAACACTGTCGAGTTCCGTGTTCCTCCAGCGGCACGAAATGAGCTAAGTCTTCCGGCGAGTTCGCATCCGATTGCAACCAAGGTCAGATGCATGTACTAGTCCAAGGACGACGTGAAGCCCCAGCTCCTGTCGACGACCAATCTTTCGAAGACACGATCCTTTAGAAAGCAGCCCTGTGAACATCGACGGCACTACTGACGTGCGATGCCGATACTTGAAAACCATGCAGGTCTGCATCCCATACGATCCAATTGACGCGTTGCAAGACGTGTGATGTGTCTGTCAACGACTGAGGCCATCAGATGTCAAACCAGCTGGTCGGGAAAGAGGTGCCAAGAGTACTGTGGCTGAGAGTACGCTAGCCACTCCGTTATAGGATCCTGTCGATTGTTGTGAAATCACCACGACAGCAGCAAGCCTGCGCGCGCAAGGCTTCTCGGGTGTTGTTGAAAGGCTCATACTTCGACCTGGAATACTACATGAGTCCATCCGATGGAGACAGACAATTCTTATCTTCGAATCACTCACACGTCACAAACTAACAGTCGATGAGACCCACATCACGTTGAACCTCGTTCGCTGCTGACACACAAACATGACAAGCACTCAACAGATATCACATTGGCTTCGTGCTACACCTTTAGGCCTATCGGACTGGTTTCCAATTCCGGTCATGCGGGTCTCACGGACAATGTGTACTAGTTCCCGAATGACAGTCCTGGTCTATGGACGATGGATCACATGAGCGTGAAGCATCGCCGAGCGCAGATCAGATTGCTGAAAGTACACGCACAAGTACAGCGTAGACGAAGAAGAAACCATGTTAGAAGAAGCAAGTTGTGATCTACTCAGTATCTTGGATTGCGGCTAACATCTTGTCAGATACACTACGAACATGCCGTTCCAGCGAACCATTGGACATGCCTCTACCTCAAGACTACCAAAGACGATCATGCTTTCAAAGAACCTCGACCGATATCCTACTGAAAGTACGCGTTCTATGTGCCCTAATACGCCACGTCACCACACTGGAACCGACACGAACAGCGATAGACAAGAGAGGGAAGTGGAAAAATACATGCAAAATAGCGAGGCGATAGGCTAGCTGTTGTCAGAAGTTTGTCGACGGTAAACAGTTGCCGCATACGACTCACAGCCAGACCAACAGGAAAGGAGGACACGATTCCACCTCGCTGCATAACCACCAGATCGAACGACTCGTCTATTCACCCATCTACCCATCCACACGCAACGAGCCCACAGACTCCGATAGAGCAGGCACTATCTTCAAAGGTTGCACTCGGTATTATCTCAGCTCGACAGCTGGAACAACGTGTTCAGACTGACTCCCAGTATATACAACACAACCCATGCAAAACTTGCTAGTGCACAAGCAGGCATATCCGCAAAATACACGCTGGTCTGATAACGTCGCCTCGAGCTCAAAGATCAGATGAGAGTTCGACAGAAGATAGGAGATTGAGGAGCGCCAGAAAAATGCCTTGTCGCAACGTGTCTGGCAACTAAAAGAAATAAGCAGAACACTAGAGATGTGGGAGTGGTGATGAGTGGAAGGATCGCCTATGGTGGCATTGCCTGTTGTGATGCATCAAGGACACATTTCGACATGGTATCTGAGTCAAGAGAGAAATTATCAGGGTGGTGAGCTAGAATGAGTGCTGAGCAGGAAGAATGGGAAAGACCCTAGAATGGAACGTCAATGGAGCAAGGTATAGAAGAGCAATGTATAGAAGAGCAAGGTATAGAAGAACAAGAAGAATGAAGAACAAGAAGAATGAAGAACAAGAAGAATGAAGGACAAGGACAAGAATGAAGGACAAGGACAAGAATGAAGGACAAGGACAAGGACAACGACAAGGACAAGGACAACGACAAGGACAAGGACAAGGACAAGGACAAGGACAAGGACAAGGACAAGGACAAGGAGGAGGAGGAGGAGGAGCAGGAGGAGCTCAGCAGGAGATTTTACCCACCGCAACACATCGATCAGCACGATACGGGAGCACCACCACACTACATTAACTATACAAAACTCATATCAGCTGTCACGACATCCACGCATCCACATATACCCTGGCGATGAACACCAGATCTTATCGCAAATCCTGAACTCAATGTCCCTCCAGTCCTCAGGGATGTTGCGAAAGATGTTGCGTTGCGTACATCACATGCATCCGCTAGTCACTACTAAGCGCGGTTGAATTTGATCCACATCTATCGATGCTACGAGAGTACCCGCCTCTCCGTACTCTTCCAACACTCGGAGAGTAATGGCAAGAAAGAACTATTTCCACCAAGGTGCCGTCAAAAAGGTGGAGGCCTATGCACTGCGGACACTGCGGACACCTCAAAAATGATAAGGCCAGCATCATTACAAGGCCAGCTACATGTCAAATCTCTGTGCGTTAGCTTCCGGGAACTCGAGAAACTAGTCGCAAATCTGGCGAACCAACCCGTCAACCCGGATGAATTCGCTCTCACGGCCACCGGCAATACATCTCACAACCTGCTATGGCCAAAAGCAATGTCGCATACCAAACAATGCTAGCGAGTTGCAAAAGCGAAACAAGGACAAAAACACAAACAAATTCGTCATCCTCCACCTGCGACAAGGCGTTGGCAACCGCCACAAGAAACATCATCGATAAAATCTTGGCGATTGCCGTAACAGCCACACACCAGTCGAAGCCTGTATCTTTATGCGCATGTACAGTTACCCTAACAACATTCTATCACATCGCCACGTCATGTGGCAAGACTCACTCCACCGACAATCTATCACATTCACCTTGCCATTATGGTTATCCTCAACACTTTCGGGGTGGAAGTGCAGGTACGCCACCCAAAAAGGCGCTAAAGGGAATGAGAATTGCGACGAACTTAACGAAGAATGACAAAACCATACGTGTCCGATTGCGCATATCACATCGAAGTCTGCTGCTAGCAATGCACTTGCCGGGAGAAAGGTTGACAACGGAAGTACGATATTTTATAGATTGTTATCCTTACAAGGATCTGGTCCTAGTATTAGGTAGACATTTACTTGCCTTAGCCTTCTGCATATTTTCCGTCCCTTGAAGCATCTCATGTCATATTTCCAGGACGGTAGTAGACAGCAAGATCACTTCTCCAAATACGTGTTCATCTACCCGCACACTGGAGGCGTGTTGTAAGCAGTTCAGCAAAAGCTACGTTGGTAGAAATCATATCGACAAGCTCGGAGCTTCACGATCTTCAGAACGTGATTCGAACGTATCAGTTGACTACGTTTTATCAGCCGAGTAGTGACAAGAGAGACACTTGAATTTTACACATGATGCGCAAATCTACACACAAGAGTTGACAGCCAGGCTCTCTTCAAATAACCTAATCAGCTTCGCGAACCACAATATAGATCTTGTCATCTGCTTTACAAGAGGCCCAGCTGATTGTAGATTGCCTTGGCTGTAAGCCACTGCCACTATGCGAGCAAGACATGCTCACTTGGCAGACGAACCGATCAATGCCAAACAAATCTGATGTCTCGAGCGAAGACAAGGCTGCACTCATGGTAGACACGATAGTGGATGCAAATAGTAAAGAGGCTTCGATGCAAAATCTTTCGTGTCTCGACGGAGATACTGTAAGATGCCGACTGTGCTGCATTGCCTTTCCAGTGTTACGTAGCCGTATAACATGCCCTGCGCCCAATAGCAGGGAACACTATGACTGCTGAGGCCACCCGGATCTTTGCGCGCCATGCTGTTTTTGAACTAGGCAGAAAAGGCTGCTTTTGCCCTGATGGTATGTCCCAATTTCTGTGGCTGTATGACTGCATCTTGCTTCGAGTAAGATTGTCGCAACTTATTTGTAGAGGTACGACCACAGCGAGTGCTTGTCTGGGCAGGAAAATTCCTCATACTGCTGGTAAGTAGAGTCAAAAGTATCGCGAGACTAGCGTGTAGTTGATGGTTATATATACTAGATATTCTTAGCGCCACGTTGGCATTGCTGTCAGTAGCATATCATGTGGAGGTATGTGCTGCAAGTGTTGCTGCCATTAGGTCAATCGTCGAACGTGGATATTGACTTGCAGGCGGATCCTGTGCAGGAGGACTCGCCGGGACTGCATCCTTCGCATGTATTGCCTGCATTCCTTGGACACTAGACTGAGGTTACCGAAGTTGTTCAACTACCCTTTTAAACTTACAGGATCACTTAAGTCTAGACGGATTCCTTTCAGATATATTGACAACCTCAGACCGATACTTGTGAATGGAACGATGAACCACGGTGACTTTCCTGACTCACACAGACAAATCGCTGTTCAGAGCCTTGTCAGAGCTGGCGCTTGAGGTCACAAATCGCGACGAGTCGTATTGTAGGAACGTCCAAGGACAGTGATTGTGACGTGCTTCGTGGACAGAGTTGTCTGATACGGCTCTGTTGAAGTATTGTGTTCTATATCCACACGTGCTCAAGGTATTGCCATAAGACCATGCCCATCGCTCTATGTATGAATTACGTGGTGGGTTTGCCGAAGATCACTTGTTGTTCAGATGTCAGAATGATTCGCGAACCAGGTATGGTCTCAACTGATCACATAGAAGCGAAATGAAGCACAGAGGCAGGAAATGCTGCTGCAACGTGTCGAATCCGAATGATTGGGAAGCAGCTGGACAAGGAACCGCGTATAACTCACATCATCACTGTAAGGAATTCTCCCTCTGACCATCTGAACTATATGCACGTTCCACTGATTATGGAAGTGCATTGAGTCGTGCTGAACGCTATACCGAATTCGACTGGTTGTCCCGTCTGTAGCTTGTGGTTGATGATCTTCGCACAGCGTTGGTAGATATCGTTTTGCTTTCGAGGTTGTGGGCTCCACATTTCTCGTCAGCATTTTGTCTAGGTGGACAAATCTAGGGACCTCCACCCGAACCTTCACCATAGCATAATATGTTACATATGGAAATTCTAGCTCCCAACAACAACCACACTTTCAGGTGATATGGCGCAGTTGGTAACGCATATGCTCCATACAGCTGCCCCCTTGGCTTGCACGAGAAGGACAAAAAGGTGGCATGCTCGTAAAACATTCTTGCGGGATTGGGGCTCGAATGTGAACTGTGTAGACAGTTGAGAGGATTGGCGTCATGAACCAGTTCAAGACTTCCTTGTTAGTGGGCCTTGGGGTGTCAGGGCGAGCATAAGATCCTAGGTTCGAGTCCTAGTATCACCAATGATTATCTCTTTTTTTGTCCCTTGGCCAGTTGACTTCGTTCTTGACTCAGCATCTTTTCTCGAATACTATATCAGATTGCACGAGAAAGAATATCGCCCATGCTTATTGACCTCAGTGAGAATAGTCGACTCCTACCGTAGCAGAACACTTCACCAGAAAGTCCTTCGTATTTCTAATATTGTGAGCCTGCTGTGCGAGTCCGGCTCAGGCTTCCCACTTACTCTGCAAAACAAGAACATGATCGTGATTTGTTATTAAGAGGGTAAGAGATACTGAAAGGTCGCTTTCAGCATCGCATTTACCTTTCGTCAGATCGTATACTGTGAGGAAATTGCTTAGCTTGTTCTGAATTGTTGTCCATGTAGCTACTAGACGGCGATCACAGTATTTTGTCGATAGGCTGATGGCACGTCCTGGAACTATAGCATGTAAAGGGTGCATGCCAAAATCTCAGTACAATCGTTTGTACTTGCAATCATGCCTCGCTGTCTTCGATACCTCGCCAGTTGGTCCAATTGAACAGCCGAAATGTGCAGTTTGTGTGTGCACTTAATTCATAAGTCTCGAGCGACAGCTCAGTTTTCGAAGAAGCCGGAGCGGAGATCCAATCCACAAATACAAGCAAGATACAACAAACATGCCCCGCCGTGGTTCTGCAGCAGGGTCATAAGAGCAAGAAGAAGAAAGAGAATATCCTAAGGGGGAAAAAAAATCGGCAACTCCCAGATTCGAACTAGGAACCTTCACACTGACTATGGACCTCGATCGTACTTCCTTAAGTCGCGCCCACCGTGTCAGCCCTCGATTATAAATATCCAACCTAACCATAGGGCCAACACAGACGGCGCGACTTGGGAAGTACGAGAGGCCCTGTTGAGAGTGTAACGTGATAACCACTACACCAAGTCGCCCGTTCTGTTAATTGTTGAGACAAATATTCAGATTCTGTATACCAATACAGATTGCTCTGATCTTAGAGTGGTCGTTCATAATAGACACTTGAAGATGCATGACGTACCGACCAATAGCTAGGGGTGGCAGAGAATAAGATCCTCAGGTCGAATTTTACCCACTAGATCGTGGTAGTAATGCCTATGATGTTAGCTCTCACATTAGTGTTCAGTCGCAGCCTGTTCTTCCTTTTGATAACTTCTATTCTAACATTGGTATGATCAGCCTCAAAGTCCTGACTATGATCAACGCCTGATAAGGCTGGCAATCAGTGGCAATAGTGAGATCCTATCCGGAGAACTAGATCTCACTGCAAGGAAAGGCGTACCGTACTGATCATTTATATCGTGGTCCAGTCCACCACCGGGAACCCTACAGTGCACGATGCTGGCACCTGCGGACAGTGGTGAGATCGAACCAGCCGAATACTGTATAGCAGGATATGATACTGATGAAAGTTGTTAAGGTGGAGGGGATTGGTGCTGCGAAGTCGAGCTTGTCCTACTGTAGCATCAACTTGATTTGTGTTCCGCTCGTCTCTGCCAATAATGTTCGAACAATAGCTGGTGGTATCGAGTAACGAACTGGTAGCAAATATGGTCCAGTGCACATGAAATGGGCTATCTACACTCAAGTTTGTTCGTAGCAGTTGAGATCAGCCACTGACAAAAGACTCAGACAGAGCTTCTGTCGCGGACTCGGATGTGAGAGGTCGTCAACGGGTACTACTAATGAATATCGGCTCCCGAGACCGCCGGCGATCTACATTCGAAGCTAAGCTGCGGGTTCGTCCTTCTCCAAGTGCCTTATTAGAATGCGTTTCTCACCTCCATTCTACATTCTGCCCGTTTGCTGCCGATCCATACAAGACTCATCAGGCTATGTCCGTTCCAAAGTGCATTTTAGCATGCTTTGGTCCTAGTCAACCTTCCTCATATTGCTCAATGCAGACGTGGACTGTCTCCGTCTTGCGGAATGCTGCGAAGAACGAATCGCAATATCCTATCACGTTTGTACAACATTCCCTGGAGCACGATCAGAGCTAGACCTTCACATGGCACCGAAGAGACCCGTAGCCACGACGCACCGGCATGGTGTCACATAGCATTTCTTTGAGCTCACAACATCCTCACCATCGACGCGAGAAGGGCCATCCAAAAACGAGGCGTTTGGTTTCCCGATGGCAACGTTCCTCAGACATGGCGGTGATTTTGTAGATCTCAGTAGCTCTATCGAATTACTAACAGCAGCTCTCAATCCGTTATACCTGCTCAGGTGGCAGAATGGTCATCAATCCCGGTGTGGCCAACGCCATCATTTGTCAACCATCGGAGATGTTCTCGAGATTTTCGCTGCGAGAAATCTCAAGAGAGCTAACAACCAGATTTTACAACCTTTTCAGGAACGTTGACCAGGCCTCTAGATCCATTAGGATCTCAACAGACTTATTTTAAGGCTGTCTACGAGGTCATGCAGGAACCAGAAGAGGTGTACAAATCGAAAAGGTCGCCAATGTCAATGCCAACAACCATTAACCAAGCGGACAGATCTTGAGAGCTGCCGGACGAACGTGATGGTTGGAGTTTACTACTTCTTCACCAATACAACGCCCAGCTTGACGAGCCTTCCTTTCCCTCACTCTCGATGGTCCGAAGTGTCCAGGTCCCCGAATTTACTTTCCGCCAAAATTTGGTCCTTTGGAAGCATTGACAATACGGCGGCAAGCTTGATAAGAACCAGACAGCTAGCATGTTTAAGTTCGCTGGCTTAGCAGTATTCTGGTGAGGATACGTCAATCGTGGAAGAAAGAGTCCAAGTCGAACAACATAGAGAAGACCTAGATAAGACAGTATCAGCAAAGTATATCTTCTTGAAGAAAACAGCAAGTTCGATGTCTCTCTTTCAGATGCGGGCGAGCTTGAGGTCGATGAGGTCGATGAGGTCGATGAGATCGATGAGGATAAGGATGAGGATGAGGATGAGGATGAGGATGAGGATGAGGATGAGGATGAGGATAAGGATGAGGATAAGGATGAGGATGGCCTTCATCTGGTGCAACGAAGAGACGATGGTTCCGTGGCACAGAGGCGCAGACCAATTCATCCTGAGCAGTCAGACCCAGACGAGGAGGGCCACGAAGCAGCGGCCCCTGCCGTAGAAGGGACACTGCGTGGCTAACGGCAAATCCATTGCGGGCTCATAATGAGAAGTTCTTTTAAAGGACAGGCAAATTTGCATATACCAGTGTCGGAAGTGACAATTAAGAACTTAAGAACTGCAAATTGGCATTTAGTACTGTAAATTTGATCTTTTACGTTCCTGTTCAGTTCGCATTCTCCTCGTGGTGCTCTTCCTATATCCTCACATATCGCTCACCTGGTGTCAAATGACTATAACATTGCATAAGGACCACCCTCTCGACCACTAAGACCACGAGTACGACCCCGACCACGACCTCGACCACGAGCTCGACCACGATATCTACCGGAACATCACGTTTCGCCTTCCTCGACTGTAAGAGTCCATGATCATCTCGATCTCACGCACAGCAGAAGGACCCGTCACGAATTGTTGAGATCCCTCGCAGACAAGTCATCGTCGACATCTTCAGCAGATACCACTCTGGTGGCGCCACAATCGAGATATGGTTGCAAGAGATGATGAAATGTCTCGTTTTTGCCAGAGAGATGAGTCCGTCCAGAGGGTGCAACTCTGCCTCCAGCTACATTTTGTCTGCCTCGATCGAAATGTTGTCTTCCAGTAGTCGATTGCAAAGACGAGACAAGCCTAGAGCCTGACGTGCTGTACAAATACGATCGCTTCGCTTCGGCTAGAACTGCTGTCATAAAGTTGTTCAAGTCGAGTCGATTGTTGTCAACCAGTGGATCGGCTGCACAGCCTTCAGTTCATCTCATCATAATCCAACTCTTCTTAAACTCTAGCAACGTGCATACATGCTGCATTCAGGGCGTCACAAAACATATTATCAGTTCCACAACCGCCACTGGAGACAGGCCCGAGCTTTTTCTTCTCTTCTGGGTGGGCCTTGGTTTGCTCCCGAATGCTTGCGTGGCTCTCCTCGACATTCAAACTTTCGTGCTTGCGCCCTTTATCTAATGCATCGTCCACCTCGTTGTGCGTATTGCAGGCTTTTGATAATTTTCACTTCGTGTTCCGGTTCGTGGTTTTCAGGTGATGCTGGTGCAGGTTTTTGGCTTTCTGCACCTGTGCAGATCTAGACTACAATGTCAGTCATCGCAAATTCAATACTTGATAGGATACAGCAGTGGATACCTCTTGCTCGAGAAATCCCTCAATACACCACTCCTGGTGTGCAATTCGAGCTATGGGAAGATTGAGGCTTACTCGATGGTTGTAATATCGTACCTCACACGCCTTGTGTCAACGTAGACTGCTCCACGGTCTTCGATGATGTCTGCAACTGCTGGAGGTGGTATGTGGGTGGTTGGAAGAGGAGTGGATCAACAATGCTCGAACGAAAGACGGGTGGAGGCTGCTTGAGGACGCTTAGTCGTGATTTCACAGAGGCTGCTTCTGAGACGTTCAGGTACAGTAGTCGCCGCGAACATCTACTCTGAGTCGTGGTGAACATGCTGCTGTATGACGAATTAGATCTCCACTTTGAGCCCAGGGCGACCATACCCAAACGTGATGCACCAGGTTTGCCTATCATCGTTCACATGCAGTGAGTGTGAAGGAATAGACGAAGGGCACTCTCCGTCATAGTCGCAGCCATATCAGCTATGAGGGCTGAAAGGTCGGGAACCCACGCAAATAAACCATGTGGTATGTTTAGATACGTGTAATCGTCGACGTCGGAATCAGATCTGGTAGATATAAACATTTAGGATATTGTTGCTAGGTGGATGACTTTCGGGAACAAGAGGCTTTACGACCACCGTTGTTAGGAGTGGGAGCCCAGGGCACTATCCTATCACTGTAGATTAATTAGCGATGTAGGCAGCGACGAACAAGAAACATCTTACTGACAGGCGCAACAGGTCTAGTAGGCTCTGAGCTGTGCGTATAGATAGCCTGCAAACCATAGGAAGGTAGTACGTACCGCATCCTTTGCCGTGGCTCGGTACAGACTCATTGATTACAATCGTTTCTCACCGAATTTCGCTGAACATGCTGTCCATGCCCAACGAGCTCGAGGCGTCGTGGAACATTAACCCAGCGCTCCCTGTGTTCGTCATTTAGACGCATGCTCTTGCAATTTAATGTAACATATTTCCTAATGCTCAGTTTTTCGCTCACCCGGTCGCACCCGAATTTCACGTACACGTCGAACAATAAGAAAATCATTGAGCTTTCGAGTACGAGAGCTGGGAAAATATGGATTTGGATGCATTTAAGGGACTGTGGTGGGTGTCGAGGGTTAATGTAGTATTCAATCAGACTAATCTGCCCTGTGTTTCTAGGCTGCACACCGGCATTTCAATGGCTATCTCAGTTAGGTTTGTCCTTTCAGCCTGATATGCTAGCCAGGTGGACACGACCCCTATATTTTTCAGTCTTGGCCGAGGCACTACGTTCAGCGCAAGTCCTCGTCCATGAGCCTTTGCTCAAATGGTTCGAGTTGGTCTGCAAAGGAGAATCGAAACGGGCCGCGAAAGTTGACGGCCATTGCGACTCTGCGTGAATTTCATGATACCGCCTATCTCGGGGTCCACGAGTTGTTGCCTGCTTGTTGACGCATGACATCTAGCGGCATCAGCTTTGAGTATTTGCGAATCGTTGACCAATATTGTAGGTGTGGTGTGATAGGTAAACATCGCACTGATAAACACTGATAAACAGCCAGGCAAGTGCTGGTCTGGCGTACACTATGGCTGGCATCTCTGATGGTGATAGTGTCTCGTGTAACAAATAGCGATTATTTTCTCCGCTGTTCAGAGTACTCGATTCCACCCAGTCAACATGGTTCCAGAATCAAAGGGCAACCTGGCAGCGTCTCTTTCGCTCATGAGTGTCTCGAGGACGATGATACGCCTTTGCTACTCATGCCACGAAGTTCGATCATGACCCTTGCTGCGAAGGACGATCGCTCGAAATACTGCATTAAATTCAGAAGATTCAACTACGCTAGATCGTGCGGATAGCGCAATGCTCAAGCACGAATGCTCCAAAGGAGTCGAATTGTACCTTATGACGACTAGTGCGTGCCGAGGACGAATTTGTTGTTGTATCACTGTGGTTGCGCCTTGAGATAGTCATCTGCTGTTACGTTCAAGACAAATTTATGTGGTAGCAGGGTTGTGGTGTAGAAAGAGCACGGATGCCGCAGAGGGATGTTTGTCTCTGGGATTTGAAAAGAGACGATCTCAGATATAAGAGGCCTCGAACTCGGACATATCTCAATCCTAGTCTGAATACGGATCATGACAAGAAGATACGTGACCGCTACTCTGCCTCAGACGTGATGCAGTTATACATAGGTAGGTGCGACTAAACTCCCAGCAAGGATGACCCCACCTTCCATCATGCGCGTTCTTTACCACCTGATTACGTACTGCAACCTCCCCCATGTTGTCTCAATCAGAACAATCTCAAGCTTCCGGGTCTATGGCCTAGTGGTTAACACAGTTGGTTCATTATTATTATACAAACTTCTCGATCAATTAGATCGACAATGGCCCGGCGGAGGAATTGGGCAGGAAGGGTCGGTGGAGGAAGCGAGATGGCCAGGATTATTGGTAAGTATAACCTTCATGTATAGCTTATATGACTAACTTGTATAGAGATCTTCATCGACCTCCCTACTCGAGGTCAGGCCCCTGAGGCCAACAATCCTGCGAGACGAGGGACAAACCCGGCTAGAGGCCGGGTCGCACCCTTCGATGGCCCTGCATCTCGAGGTTCGGCATCTGGTGCTGGGGCATAAGTCCTGCCCTAAGCTCTCGAAGAGGCTCAAGAGTAAGTTAATTTCCTATATGTCTAATCTTACTAATACTAACATACACCACCTTGTGCATAGTTCCGGAAGCACTAGAAGAGATTGTTCTTTTTGCTCTTCTTATCTGCTAGACCTTAGAGAGAGCTTTAGACTGCGTAGCTAATAATTAGTACTATTTCCTCTAAATTTAGTGTACTCGTAGCCTAGATCAATAGGTACTACGATAAGTCGAGACTCGGGACAAAAACACTATAGCTTTATTAGAGGCACGGTTAACTCTCTACTCCTATACATCGATGTCCTAAGAGGCTTAGGACGTAGATATACTATACTTCCTCTGCATATCGTTCGTCGAGTTTTAGTCTAGCCTAGCACAATTCGTCAAGCTTCGAAGACTCGCCTGGTATCATTATGGCTGGACAACTTCTTCTCCTATTAGCGAGACAAATGATCAGAAAACACACTCCGCTACTCTCTACAAGCTTCCAGAGCGAGAGTCAAGCGTTATCAGATCGAGCCAGTCCAGCGCGTTCCACACTGTGACACCGCGAACATGTCATTCTCGAAACGGCAATCAATCAGTGTGCAGAGTGTTGCCGCATTAAACCCAGTCACCAGTAGGACAGACTCAATCTCGCCAATACACTGCTTGATACAGGACAACAAGCCATTCCAATCAAACATAACAAACAAACGCAGAACATGACCTCTCTGACTTGAGCTGCGACAACTCATCGTATCGAGTCGACCGAAGACGTCGCAAATCGCCTCAACGACATCGATCGCATGGGTCGAGACGGGGGATTTGTTCTCTAGTTTCAGGAATGAGGTCAGATCCAGCATTTCTCCGTATTCCGAGCCTTTGTACGCCCCTGATGGCTCGGAAATACCTCGAGAGTATAATGACGGAGGGAAGATACGTCCAGAGTGCTTCGACTTCTTCGATCGAGAGCTCCAACGTTTGCTAACATGGATGTCGTGGTCAATTATTGGTTCGAATCCTTAAAAATTATGGTAGAGGTTTTGAAGTATGGAAGTTTTCTAACAGGTCATAAAAGTAGACGTCACATGTCCCTGATATTGAGTTGAGGTTGTTAGCAAGATTACGTCTCTAATGAACAAGACTGCATGAAACATCGTCCTTGCAGACAACGATGAGGGGCCACATTCGACCAACTATCATATTCACGATTAGACGGACAGGTTCCGAATTGCTCGTATAGCACCTAGTTGAATTGGCTGAGACATAATAACTTTGGTCTTTGTGACAATCCATGTTACACCACCATATGTAAACACGTAAGTCTGGCATAGAGTACTTATAATGGTAAAGAGCAAGCACTCTATGCGCAGTATCGTCGTCTAAAGCAATGGACGTCTCGATACACTACTGCTTGCATAGTTGAACTCAGTCATGTCTATAAATGTATGATCTTGACTGTGGTCGCTCATAACTTGGTTGGACAAGAGTATTGTGAGAAGAAACGCAGTTCTCTGCCACTGCACTTTCCACGTATGGACCACGGTAAGAGACGCTATGGCATCGCCAAAGATCGGAGATTGGAAAGTGGTTCGATTCACTCAGTCCCTTGTGTAGTCGAGCTCTTTGTAACACAAATACAAATTTATCAAACTCATGGCTCGACTAGCTGCTAGGTTGGTACGCAGCATTCATACCTTTTAGGAACGACGGGGTAAAGTCTAACAGCACACTTCGATTTCGACACGCGAAATTGAGACCAATAACGTTACTCCCTCAGCCTGCAATCTTTTGACCGAGAATGTGACTGGTACCGTTGATTTGGGGCCGTTCAGGTGAAGGGGAGAAGGATACTGAATGGCACCAGGTACCCAGCACGAGTTGTAGACGAAGAGGCGGCGCCTATGGAAGGCGGACGCCTTATGACGGCTGCTGCACTGTGTGCTCGTAAGCGTCGGGCGAGTTCAGGTCTGCTCCAGAAGCTCGAAATCCACAACAAAATATTTGGCCCTGATGCCGAATTAGCAACATCATTATACGACTTGAGGTTTGAACGTCACGTCTACCAGACAGAAGATGAGGCTTCAGCGCCACATACTGGCTGCTTTTTGGCAGTGGCAATCTGTGATGTGAGTGAGCGGAGTCGACAAAAGACTGTGCTCCTGTCAGGACGTACAGACTGTTCCTGCGCGGGACATTGACCGATTTAAGGTTTGCATATCGTGTACGCGGATTCTGTATAACAGTCTTCATGAAATGTCCAGTGACAGCCTCGGGCCATGAACCTGGAACAACCGCTACACATGTTCAATCAAATGTGATTGCACTCCTCTGAGCATCGATGATTTCGCCAAGTCTTCAGTCATTTGCTGATCTGAACAGGATCAAGATGAGTATCTAGAAGACGAATTCAGAACTGAGCTTCTCTCCCATATCGTCAGGAATGTAGTGTTGTAGGGATTGGACCAGCACGAGAAGGAGGTCGCAACGGCTTGCAGTGCAAGATATGGATGTGTTGTTCGAGATGGTCATGACGAGACAGCAGAGCTCTTGATACTGATCACCATCGCTGCTAACCATGGTGAGTAGATTGTCAGTGGAGGTATGAGTGACGCAGTCAGCGTGTCAACAAATACATTGAAGCGTCGACGCGAGGACAATGTAAGCCAGGTTCCAGATCACACCACTTGATCATACTGTTCAGATTTGAACATGCAACTTGTATATAAGAAAAATCTTTTCAGCCAGAGTTACAAGAAGGACAAGTCGTGGGTGTGCAACAGGCCAAGAGATGTCAGTGATGGCATCCAGGAAACATTCCTCATTTTGCGTCATGACGACTCCGCAGCACTGATTAGGTTGAAATTTTGAGTACTATTCCATGCTCGTGAATTATTGTCTACAAAGACGTGATTCAACCTTCCTTTGTAGCATTCTATACTTCCTGCTAATTGGGTGGCACTATCCTTGAGCTCGTTTGTAACCATGATCAGCTGGATCCCCGAGCTCAAAGATTGTGCGTTGATCGGTTCGTGAACACAATAAGAACACTGTTAAGTCAACGAAGCATGTCATGCATAACCTGATGAGGCTCAGATACGGGTAGAGTTCCCAGAGCTGTTACATCGAGGCTGTATTGGCAGATTCTGTCACAGGTCCACCAGTGTCCTGTAGGATGGAAGAATCGCCTCGATCACGGGGAGCCTTGCCTGGGGCTGCGTCTCCTAAAGGGAGTATCGCTTCTCCCACGTCTCAGAAAACCGAGCCCCACCTTCACAAGTAACTTATATTGTATTCCCGAATTTCACTTCCAATATTGGTCATTTTCTCAGGCTACCGCCTCCGTGGTGTAGTGGTAAACCACTGCAGCAAGTTCACGCCCTGACAGGTCACAGTCTTGACTGAAGCTTATTCAAACTCGCAAGCGAGCCTAGCTCGTCGTCCGGTATCAAAATATGCGCTCATCACGATCGGAAGTCTACCTTGGTAACAAGGTATTCTATAGTGTGACCCTCACCGTTAAAGAGGTGTTCCTCTATCCCTGCAACTCACAGGACCTATCCCTGCAATTCACTGGGAGCAGCCAGCAGCCAATACAGCCACTATTGACGGATCTCGGAAGCTGCGGCCCTTCCTCCGTCGCCAGAAGTAAGTACATATTCGTTCGTCCAGATCTCTTACTAACATTCTACCACTTTCATCACGTAGGTTGATAAGCTGAATGAAAATGATCAAATTCTTTTTTAGATATTCGTCTCGAAGATCTACCATGCTGATAGGCGCATGAGTCTGGGCATTTACACTGCGTCGCATTTTTGCCCATGTCAGTCGCTTCGCCTCGAGATATCTCGTTGCCTTTAGTTAGGGTAAAACGCCCGACAAAGAAGTCATTGCAAGGCGTCGTAATTTCTTCGCTGGTATCGGGATTTTGAATACGTTCAAAGTGCTCGAGCCAGAAGCCTGAGCCGATGGGGATGGCTGAATAGGGAAATACCCACGTGGCCTGGAGGTATGGCCTGGGTCAAGTTCGCAACTCCCCAGCTTTGCTCATGCAAGCCCCTCTAGCACGAGGACATAACGATGGAACACTTGGATGCCACAGGAAGACGAAACTGGATTGGGACGTGGAGTACTGCTGAGAGGCTTTCCCAATTGCTTCAAACCAATGCTATGCTGATACATGCTAGAAACACACTCTGTCTGTATTATACATTGTCAGCAGCTATTCGTGCGGCAGCATCCCTAGCGTTTTTCAGCTGTTTTTCTTCTTTCTTCTTGTTCTTGACACCTCTCTTTACACGTCTTCGATCCTTCTGTGCCGCTTCACCAAACGCGCAAAGGCTCTGCCAGGCTCTCTGCTCTGCGCCACGACGTCTCCGATGGTCACGTAAGCCTTGATGCTGTCGGATCCAATTCCAGATCTCTGTATGGCGCAGGCCCGCTATTGGTATACTCAATTTACGGCTGTATAAGGTAGCTGGGGCGGAAGTGGATTGAGGTTGGGATGGATCGGCGGCTGGTTGTGCTTTCACAACAATTTCGTCTTTGGGAACGTGTGTGGCGAGTTCTGGTGTCATCTTGATCGGTCGTATGTCTTTCACTTTGGGTGTTTTCTCTTTGTGGAGCATGACTTGGTTATCGAGCTGTTGCATGATCCAAGGTATAGTGTCCTGCAGCTTTTGCAGTCGATCTTCGGGCGCCATATTTCTCAGATCCGCAAACATTACTCTTTTCAAGGTCATATCTCTACCGTGACTTCTTAACGGCCTTATTTTCAGCAAAGGTTTGGGCAGTGGCTCGGCCTTGATCTTCTCCAAGGCATCTCGATTGTTCGATTCGTACTCTAGTGTGAGGTACATAGGCTCCTTTTCACCATGTTTCACAGTTTCGACGTTTGTCGACAATGCAGGATTCCAGTACTTCAGCCGCTGCATCTCCTTACGCCAGAATTGTCGTGCGCCGTAGAACCATTCCTTGTTCGGGAACTCTCCAGTCGGAACTCGCATAAACATTGATTTGAGTTGTGGTCCAGGAGCTGTGGAAGGTAACACTATGCTACCAGCTTCGTTTCGGATGGGATATAGCTAGTACAGCGTGAACAGAAGATCAAATGGATCAGTAACAATTGATTTACCTTGGCCGTTAGCGCACGCATGCGCTTCGCTGCGTTGACCATCGCATGCAGCAGCAGTTGTTTACCGTCCTGTGGTTTGCCCAGTGGTGTTCAGACAGGACACAGAGGATGTCGGGAGTAACTGCGTTGCGCAGATTGCTAGTCTGCTCGAAGGGACATACTCGAGTGTGATACTTTTCACGATGCCATCTCAATACATCTTTCTTTCCGGCGCGCAGCAGATCGCGGACGAGGCTGTCAACGGAAAGAGGAAAGTCGGCCGCACGATGTTACTGCCTGAAGTGCCTGGCGTATTGGTTCTCGATATGAACTCGAAGTCTTCCACTCGTAGTCATCATCATGAGCTTCATGGTACTCAGTAAGGATGGCGCTCAATGGCCATGCATCCCTCCTCATGCTCTCACATCATTGTGTCTACACATCCTCCTCTGACTACAAACATTGGTAGGAAGTCTATGACATGTGGCCACAGAGCTGCTATGGCCCTCCACAATGAATGCGATTCGTGATCGTCTGATAGCCAGATTAGACGAGATTCTGGCTGAAGTCGTTGCTCAAGATTTACCGTCTAATGCTTCTTTACAGATCGAAGCCAGTCTTGTCCTTTCTGACAACGCGGCTGGTCAGCACCATCATGTCGTACTCGATACAATCAACGTCGATCAGCTAAAATTGCTCACTGCTAATCCAGGCACTTCGGCAACCAGTCCCCTCAACGATCAACAGGACTATCGTGTTCATTCATTCGACTCTCATTCGAGAAAACCAGCAGCAGATCTGACGACTAGCAGTCGGCTAGCAAACGCAACAATCTTGGCAGAAACCACAGCAGGGAAGCGATTCAAACCCCGTAGCAGTCCTGAGCAGCTAACAACGACATCCGGTCCGCTTGCTCAGCCCATTCCACTGACGACTGCGAGCCTCACCCATGTTTCAGCATTCGTAGATGCCCATGTCGATCAGCCTCTAGCCCCTGACCGGAGTAAGACTCAGCAACCACGTGTTCTACAACCAGCGGTCGACAATCTTATCGAAGGAATATGGGATCAGATACACTACTCAAAACTCCCTACTTCACCCCATGATTTAGCAAAGATTGTACGATGGACGTCTGAAAATATACACACTCACCACGACGTCCTCTCTATGACCCAAGCAGATTTCAGCGATGCTACAAAGCGCTGCCATCATATCACTACCACCGGCCGTTCCGCGCGTTCAGTGGAGGTAGTCATACAAGCCCATTGGGTAGACTGCTTCGATGCTCGACTTGCCACGCTCAAGAAAGGCCAGCCCGATCTCCGACCTACAGATCACAAAAGGCTTGTGATGAATGAAGCTTGTACTTCATTCGGCTGGTCGGAGAAGGAGCTCCGTAACAAGATGGCTGCTTGGAAAGGCTATACGCAGATCAAGAATGCCTCTGGCTGGGCCACCCTCGTCTTCGCAGGACCTGGCATCTACCGTTTCTGCAAATACCGTCAAGGTTTCGATGACGAATCTCTGAGCAAGCTACGCTCACATCGAATACGTTTCGAAGTTGCAGCTGATACTCTTCAACCCAGATGGAGAGAAGCACTGGCACTTGTCGGTGAACCTACGCAAGCAGTATATACCGGCCACCCCCACGACTGGACTGTCAGCCTGAAACAAGACGAACCTGCCCTTCCTCTCGCCGTCACATACAAACAATGGGACCCAGAATTCTCCTACCAAAACCTCTCCCAATCCACCATCGACACCACCCAATGGCCAGACAAAGACCCGCGCCGCTTCGAGTCTGCCCCTCCCTACCACTGCAAGTCCTGCACCCAATTCCAATCCACTGACCTCACCACAAACCTCTGCGCCTGTTTCCCAACCCTCTACAGCCCTCAACCCCTCCCCTCCTCCCCAGTCCAAGTCTTCCGCACCGGCACCGGCAAAAACAACGGCCTCCTAGCCTGCGCCCCCTTCCCACCCAACCGCGCAATAGGCGAATTCATCGGCCGCATAACCAAGAACCTCGCCGACGTCGACGTCATGCAAAGCCAAGCAGGCGATGATCCCCCTTACCAAATCTGGCAGGGCAGATGTGGGAATTTTACACGGTTCATCAATCATTCCTGTGCATCGAATTGTGCGTTTCAGACTTTCTCGTGGTTGGGGGTGCAGAGGATTGTGGTTGTGAGTAGTAAGGAGATTAAGGTTGGGGAGGAGTTGACGGTGGATTATTCGGATCGGTATTGGCAGAATTTGGATAAGGTTTGTTTGTGTGGGGAGGAGGGTTGTCGGTTCAAGGATCGGAGGAGGATGGGTTAGGGCTTCAAAGGTGAGATTGGCCGGAAATAAATCAGGGGGTGCCGGTTTCGCATTTCAGATTCAGAACCCTTTGAGTTTGAAGACCTTTACAAGAGGATATTGCCATATTATCAAGATAGCAACGGCAAGATAAAGTTCTATACGTGCTGATGTGCCGCTATCATGGAAAATGTCCAAGTCACATCGTAAATTCGCTATGAGTCCGAATGCTAAATAGACTAATATATACACTAATTTCACAGTCACCCAGCGATGCTGTCAAACAACACTAGTCGCTTCAAGAATAATATGACAATCCCCAGGTCGACAATCTTCAATGCGATCGTCCTCAACCTGCTCGTGATATACCATATAATGCAAAAAGAGCAAGGACCTCCTGTGCAAATCAGGGGCGCCGTTCAAATATTATGATCAAGCTTATGCAATGCCTTGCCTCCAACGATCAATGCTAGCCCTCTGCTGTGAGTTCAAGGGCGGACCCATACCAATATGATCATAACCTGGCGGCATCATAGGCATTTGCATTGGCATTCCAGCCGCCATAGGATTGTACATCATACCCATATTCATGTTGTTGGTGCCATTCATGCTCAAGCCCAAAGTGGTCATGTTCATGCTTGGATTGTTGTAAGGAGATTGCTGCTGCTGTTGCGGTAGTCCAAAACTGTTCATACCATAGTTTCCATTGAAGCCATTTACCGTGGTGAGGTTTGGCATCGATTGCATCGCGCTCGCATACATTTGTTGTTGTTGCTGCTGCTGTTGATGGAGTTGGAGTAGTGGCTGATTAGGGAAGTATGGAGGTGGACTTCTCTGGTCGAAGCTCTGCAACGCACTGTGAGGCAGTGTTCTGTTTCCAGGTTGAGCTGCCTGGATGTGACCAACAAGAGGCGTTGCTGGGTTGCGTCTGTTCAGAAGCAGATTGATCTTACTCTCAGCAGAAGCCTGTTGCTCTTCGTTGCGGAAACCCACTGGATTGGCACGAAGAAGATCACCCATGCTGGTCTTGGGCTTCAGAGCAGGGGCGGCCTTCTCGGCCTCGGCTTGTAGACGCTGGCGACGTTGTCCCAATGTTTCTTCCTGTTCTCCTACAGCTTCTGAGTTTTGCGATCCGGCACGACGAATCTGTTCTGCGTCCAGACCCAGCTGGCTCGCAACCTCATCTGCTAAGCTCGATCGCCTGTTCTGCTTTCCTCTCATTCTCTGTCGTCGCTGAGCTAGAGTCTCCTCTTCAGGGCCTTCCTCAGCAGCTTCGTCATCGATACCGGCTAACGTAATTACAGGTGCTGGGTCTGCATGGGCAGGACTTGGCTCTGGTACATGTGGCGTGGGCTTGTACGGCTCGCCTCTCAATCTAGCTCTTCTGGAACTGAGCGGCTCATTCTCTTCAAGCTCTTTTCTTGCCATCAATCCAAGCGGTCGGTTCAAGTTTACATGGCTTTGACGCTCCTTCTCTGGAAACAACACACCAAGCGGTATATCTTCGTCCTCGAAATTGTCCCTGTCGACCTCTGCCTTGTCTTCCCATGCTAATGCGACATGCTTCTGTTTACGGGCTTTTTGCTGCAATTGGGACACAGCATCCAGCTCGAGTAGGGTAGAGTGCATACCAGTGGAAAAAGCATTGGCAGCAGTTCTGTTCCTGAGCTTCTGCTGAGCCTTACGCATCTGCAGCTCTGCTAGTAATGTAGTTGGTGCGTTATGAAAGCCATACTGGTACTCTTCTTCTGGCTCTTCCTCTTCATCTCCCTCGACTTGCTCCTCGCCGTCATCAGAACCTGTCTTCTCGTGTTCAACAAGCTCATCTATGTCTGGTGCAATCGATCTATCGGCCTCCCTCTCAGGATCATCATCGGGCAACCCCACTTCGATATCAAGTGTTTGCGACATCCTTCTTGAAGCATTCAAGGTTCCAGTGGATTTACGTTTGCCCAGAATGTTGCTCAGAGAGCTTTTCCGGCGTTGTTTGGTCTCCGAAGGCCTTTTCCGGTGTTGCGGTGCTTGACCGTAGACTTCTTTGCCTAGTTGGCCAACGATAGGATGGTCGGTGAAGGCACTCACAGGAGCATGAGCTGCAGCATCGAGAATGCTGTCGAGTGTTTTTACGGCGGAATCATGCTCTAGCTGGATGTCTGTACGCTGCCCTGGTGCGTCGAAGAAGGCGCTGGCACGTAGTTGGGGCGGTATTGTTGACCTGCGCTTCGGCGTCTCTACTTCATACTCGGCGTCCGTCTCGGCATTGGCGAGCCATATTGCGGACTTGCGATTGTCTGCCGGAATACTCTGTAATGCAATTGTTCTTCTTTTCTGCTGCTGTGCCCAGTCGCCTCGCGAAAGTCTTTTCGGCAGGTTCAGCATGACAGGTACAGGAGCTGGATAGTAAACCATTTTCTGGTCCGGTTGTGCCTCTCGATAGACCTTGGAATCTCGTGCCAGTGGCGGGTGGGTGAGTGAGATGCGTTTGCCAAAAGTTTCTTCATCTGGAGAAAAATGTATGCCGTCGAAGTCAGTGAACAGGTTCTGGGCTTGTCGGTAGGTGTCATTCGATGCAGATGTTCCAGGTCGTTCTTGTACAGAGGGCCCAGAGGAGGGGCGCTGGTCATCAGTAGACGGTCGAGGCTGCATCGCATGGGCAGGTGGTGAATGTGTCATGGCTGACTCCAGCGGACGACCTTCGAGTTCGGGTTCTGGCAAGGGGTTCGAAGTTTTTGACAGCCTCGTCGTGCGTTGCACGGGCTGGGTATGTGATATAGAACCAACAGGAGAGGTGATGAAACTTGAGGCCATATGTCCTCCGGATCGAGCGGCGGCATTTACGCCAATGATTGAGTTGGACATGGATGTGGTGCTGTATTGTCTAGACCTGTAACCAGCACTCTTCAAGCTCTCCGAGCGTCGCATGTCTGCTTTCATCCTCTGTAGTTCTTCCTCTATGCTGCCGGCCAAACTCATCCGCTCAGCACTGTCCTCCAACGCCTGTACATTCCGTACATATGCCCCTTGTAACGACTGGAGGTCAGGTGTAGGATTATGTAGAGGCAGATTTCGACTGATGGAAGCGGTGCGAACAGGTGTATCTTCCTTGGGTTTGGACGATACGGCGTCTGCCATAACGTCGGCCATCTTCTTGGGCAATCGAGGCGTTATCTGCGCATGTTCGTAATCATCCTCTTCGACCAATTCATAGGATTGGGTGGATAAGTGAGAGCTGGTCAAAGACTTGAGGACATCAGGGATCGACTGCTGGTGCGCTGAAGGATGCTCGTCGGTCGACAAAGAACCTCCAAGATCCTCGAAAGCAACAGAAAATGGTGTGTAGGGTAGGTCATGTTCGGGAAACGTTGGCGACGGCGTGAAAGCAGTCGGACTCAAAGGCGAGCGATCGTCCTCAAGCGGGAGGGTAGCATACTGGTGTGCAGTGGCGGCCATGTTATTAGGCGTGTGCTGCCGGGAGGCTCCAGGCTAATTTGCGACAGGTCGAAGTCTTAAACGCATCGCAAGTTGGCGACCAACAACATCCAACTCCAAGATAATGTACAGTATAGTACAAGAAAAACACTGCAATATTCTTTGAAGTGTAGTGGACAATGGACACGCTTTCGAACGGCTCCGTAGCGTCGACTGGCTGGATGCGTGTCTCGGTATGTCGCAGGGGACAGGGATGCAGCCGACAGGTCTCACTGGCACAACGGAAAGGTTTGGTGGTGGGCAGGGGGCAAAGGCCAACCCACTCGACTATGCTATATGCTGCTAATTGCTCGAGAGGTCTTCTCGTCCTACAGAGCACGACACTATTGACATTAGGGACTGCCAAAAGATAAGCCAGTTGTCAGGCGTTCTTACAGAAGTCCCCACAGTGTCGCTATTCTGGTTCCAATTTGTGAGAGATAGAGTTGGCGGAGGTGGATTGAGAGAAAGGCTGGGCAGGTACCGCAGTTAAGGTAGGAATTACTAGCGATAAGCAGGTACGATGTACTCTGTGCATATAACTCGATGCTTGGTAGCAGTCCAACTGCTTATCTCGTTATCTGTGCACTTCTCACGGACGCTTCTGCATGGGCTAGATCTCCGCCGCGAGTCTGGCATGCGCCTTGGGTTACTAGGCAACTTGATTTTAAATTTGCTGCCGCAGTCGCCCGGGAATTGGCCACCAGGGCCAACTGGTTATACTTGACTTTGCTACAAAGTACGAGGCCAGCACACGAGCAGGACGGATTGACTAGGTACATGCTCCAGCCAGCTTAGGTCACGAGCCAGCAGCCGATGTCAGTCAACTTTAGTTGGCTTTTTCTCCCATGATTACTCGGTCGTGGTAGACTGGACATCGATATGGAAATAGATTCTTTACCAGTAGTTGAAAACGTGCCCGTGATTTCTCGAAGCATGGAATACTAGTAGATGGAGACTGACAGGCATAGGGTTCAAAGTGATTCGTGCTGCAGCTCTACTGTTGAGATATGCGTTAGCTTCCCGACCAGCCTAGCATGCTTGGTACGAAGAAGGCAACGAACGAGACCCTGTCTGTCTTCTCAAGTAGTGTGCATTCCTTCACCTTGTACTCGAAAGCATCGTTCCTGTGGCTGTCACGGAAGTCCGGTGATGCAGTAGATTGATGCTGTAGCTCGAGCAAGCATCAAGTTCCTATCTAGAGGTAGACAATGACTCTACAGTGGTTCCTTCAATAGTTTCGTATCAGCATGTCCGCATTCCGCTGTCTACTACAAGTACAGTTGCAAACACAAAAATACCCTTGTCATGTCTGTTGTCCTCAGAGTATGCAAGCGAGATTAGTCGCCCTTTTGGACGACGTTCTTGATAAGGGTACTCGAGTCGATATCAGGTGCCGGAACGTGTGTGCAGTCAGGGCCTAAATCGTGTTCAACAAACCTCTCATGTAAGATGCTTGTCCCATAGAAGCAGGTTCTGGCCTGAAATACAACTTGGGGACTTGAAAAGCCATTTTCTCGATGATAGAAAAGAGCATCGTGCTTCTTGAACCTTAGACGTGTACGCCTCGACTTAGAAGGAAATTTCGCGGTCCCCACTTCGCGGTCACGATTTGTAGAGAAATCGCACAACTTCTTGAAACACCCATCATCTTGTGGATGTTACTTCACGGCAAACTGGTCACTTGTGATATTGAACTGCGTTTCTTCGCTCCTTTGATATATTTGGAAAGATAGACATACAACGTCCCTAATTCGGGCGAGAAGTCGAGCGATCATACTGGTGGCTGAACTGCTCGCCACGACTGGGACGGCATGGTATCAACAAATCCTGAGCCAATGCCTCAATCAGCACAGGCAGAACACACAAATGGTCTATCTCACAACGACGGCCAGGATATGTTCGACAGTATACCGTCCTGTATCACAGCTATCAAGTCCGGCCAGTTCATAGTGGTCCTCGATTCTCCCGACCGCGAAAACGAGGGTGATTTGATCATCGCCGCTCAGCACATTACATCCGGCCAGATGGCCTTCATGATCAGACACACCTCAGGCATAATCTGCACACCACTGTCACCTACTATATGTGACAGCTTGGACTTGCCGCAGATGGTGGCACGGACAGAGAACAGTGACCCCAACAGGACGGCATACACGATTAGTGTTGATTCTAACCACGACACAGTAACTACAGGTATCAGTGCATACGATCGCGCCTTGACCTGCAACGAGCTGGCCAGAGAAAGAGCCCAGCCGAATGAGTTTAGGCGGCCTGGGCACGTCTTTCCACTGAGAGCGCGGCCAGGTGGTGTCCGCGAGAGGACGGGTCACACCGAGGCCGCTGTTGAGTTCTGTCGGTTGGCTGGTTTGAGAGAAGCAGGTGTGATCAGTGAGATCGTGGATCCAGGAAATGAGGTCGACGGCCGAGCAGAGATAGTGGGAGGAGAGAGTATGTTAAGGCGGGATGGCTGCCTGGCTTTCGCCCGAAAATACGGATTGAAGATATGTACGGTAGAAGGTTTGAGGGATTATGTGGAGAAGACGGAAGGAAAACTGCAAGTGAATGGGACTTGACGACGTCCTGTCTCGAGGTAAGCAGTAATTACGAAGCGACCAATGCAAAAAATTTATGCAGAGTCAACGAGAAGTGAACGTTGTCTAGGCACGTACTGCGTGCTGCGATATTAGAACACCAGATTCTGCGAGCACAGTGGACTTGTACCATGATCTGGTCTGGAAGTCCACGATTCCTTGTTGTTGAGGCCCGGAGAGATTTAATGTGACTTGGATCGTGTGGCACGACTCGTTACAGGAAGACAATCCGTAGGAGGTGTTGTGGATGTCGAAGTAGCCTCAGCACTTACAGACCGGAAACCCTAGCATGTTCATGTATTTTCAGATGTAGCTGCAAAGAGGTATCACTATTTCCCTAGCTGCCGTGCATGCAGTGAGGCACAAACATAGCTCCAGAGCGCGCTTGAGACGCAAGTGCTTACCTTACATGCTTGGCAGAGAGAATGTGCACGAGCTCGCTCAAGGCGGTGCAAAGGGAATAAAGACTGTGATGCAAACACTCGTCTGCTTACTATGCTGTTTGTGAGGCCAATACAGGGTAGTAGGCTACGAGCTCGTCTGGTTTAGCAGACTGCGATGCTCTTGGGCACGCTAGAGATGGGCGAGTTCGACGCTTGGCTTTCGCTTGGCACTGTTCCTGCTCAGAACGCCATTCCTCTTGAAGTAGCACTTCAAGCACTACTTTGCAATAGGACAACACGTCACCCTAAGAGATGCGGTGCACGTTATGCAATGCAAACCCATGGCTGTTGCACAAAGGGCAGAGCTTCAAGCTACAGGAAATAATTTTGAGATAGTATGGCTGACACTAAATCATTCTTCACCCCAAATTAGACCACTTAACGAACGTCCTTTTCACACTAAGTCATGAGCAGGACCTGAAAAGCCATGCCATACTCAAGCAACTATTACCTCTCTGCTTATCCGAGGACAGCCCTAGCTGGTCCAGACCAGCGATCACTTTCCTTTAGGTCTGATTCCTGAGTAGTCTTTGAAGATGCCATGCATGTGTTTATTGGTTTGCTTCGTTGATTGGCGATTCTTCCTAGCCTGCTTCTTCTGTTTGACCACTGCCGTGTTCGCCGCAACCTGGCCGGCGGGTGTGCGTCGAGAGGCAATGAGAAATCGAATGATATCATCTTTTGATGGTAGCTGAATACTTTGCCAGTGGTTGACAAACTCCTCATCCAAGTTGATGTGGAGAGTGGGATCATCAGCAAAGATGACACGAGGGCTACCGTCCTTCTTGTTGCGCATCACCGTGATCTTATGCTCTTTCTCTAACTTGTCAATCTCAGCATCGCAGTCAGGCCATCCCTTCTTGAGCTTTGCAACCTCGATGCTTTGTACATCTGTATTGGCTTGGAAGAACTCGATGAGCTGTTCAGGTGTACGGATGGGGTAGGGCGGCTTGTAGACGAGGGTATTGTCCTTCTCATTGTATGTCACCTCTGAGTCCTTCTTCACGAGCTGGGTATAGTAAAAGAGAACATCTTTATGCCGCTCAATAGCACTGAAACAGTAATTAAGTACATCATCCCATTTCAAAACAGCAGGAAACTTGTCCTTGATACGTTCCTTTGCCTGCACGGATTTTGCTCGTGCCTTAGTGATTGATTGAGTTCTTTCAGTTGACATGATCAATGTGATGAGCGACCATCAGTCGCGAGACTAACGAAGGGCAAGAACGAAAGAACGGGTACACTGTGTAGTCGACCAGCGACCATGTACCATGGCAAGACGTATGCGGCTGTGAGTTGCGTTGCAAACTGTTCTGACCGTATTGTGAAGCTCGAACGCAGCCATTACGCGAACAGGTGCCTGGAATGTGTGCCTTGAGGCCTCGAGTTTTGGTGCCTGAAACTATCCTCGATCGCGCTAATTTAGACTGGCTGCACCTTCAACTTCAAGTTGTTCCACTGACGCTGCATGCGGTCGTGGTCGATGTTCAACTGATACTTTCTATCGTCTTCGCATAGTCACTCCTTACGACCCTTTCACTTCAAATTTAAAGTCGCGTCTTCTCTGGCAGGTGCGACCCAAGTTGTTCTTAATGCAGCACGACTAGCACATTCTGTGTGTGCTTTAACTAGGTGTCATCTACCTTCGCAGTCGTTGATCGGCGGACACCACGCTGCCATGGCGGCAGACATCGATGTGCGTTCAATCGCGGTCTTTGCGTCCGTCTCAGAGTCTACAGTGAACACGATCCTGTCAGATCCTACCGCAGCTTTAGTGCACACCTTTCTACAAAGTTTGGAAAATAGGGCGAAACACTGCGAGCAGGTCAAATCCCAGAAAACTAAGCTAGAGGTCGAATTGGAAACCGTTGTGAGGACCAATGAATCTAAGACGAAAGTCCTTCAAAACTCTCGGGACAGAGCCATAGCAGATGCTAGCAAACTCCGGCAAGACCTACAGACTGCTGAAAGCGTGAGAGCTCAGGCTCAGTCGGAGCTTGAGGGACTACGGCAGTCTATTGAGTCCGAATCCTTAGAAACCACTTCTCTTAGAGCCAAATTTACCTCACTTGAGACGTCTCATCGCGATATTCTGTCCCTGCTTGACTCGAAATCGAAAGAGATAGACAGGTTAGCACAAGATTTGACAGAGGAGCACAACAAGGTGGTTGCTCTTCGTAGAGAAGTTTCGACCCTTGAACAGCAAAAACAAGAAGCTTCCTCTGCTACCACCAGTGCAAAATTCAGACAAGCCAGTCTAGAACAAGAGCTGGAATTGCAGAAGAAGAACATTGACTGGTATGAGAGTGAACGCAAGATAAAAAACGATGAACATCAAAAGTTCCGCAGGGAAAAGAACGCTAGAGTGTCGGAGCTACAACGTTCGCTTGACCAGCAAACTGAGCAGACCGATTCTCTTAGACAGTCGGAGAACTCATTAAAGAGCCAGCTGGAAGAACAAGGACGAAGAAGCGAAGACTTGCTCAAGCAGATCGAGAAGCTACAGGAAAAGGACATCACGACGGCTGAGCAGCATCGCATAGAGGTGGATAGCCTGAATCGTCTGGTTGATCTGCACAAATCGGCTGCTGAAACTGCGAGAGCACGTGTAGAAGAGCTCTCCCAAGCTCTTGAAGAAGCCCGTGACGATGCGGCGGATGAGATTGGCAAGATCAGAGCTGAAATCCAGGAAGAGCACAACGAACGTCAAGCGGCAGAGCAGCACGTTAGCGAGCTTGAGACTAGGATCTCTGCCCTCGAGGCCGAACTGCAACAACCTCGAACGCAACCTGGAACTCCACGTTTTGAGACGAACGGACCACTGCCTTCGACCCCAGCACGTCCGGGAACTCCTTCGGTATCCTTCACGCCTCGCTCAACGCGTCCCATGAAGAATGGTATGACCACAACTCAGCTTTTTGCAGCATACAACGAGTCGGAAAAGAGACTTGTCCAAGAAATCAAAGCGAATGAGCAACTACAAGCTTATGTAGACTCCATGCTCGAGGACCTCGAAGCCAGCAGACCTCAAATCGACGAATTACGGAACGACCAGGCTAGATTGCAAAACGAGGTCGTCGAAATCTCTCAGCTCGCCGATGAGGCTAAGCAGCAACGCGATGCTGCTAAGAAAGAGGCGAGCATGTTACAAGGAAACTTGGACAAGATAAGTACCGAACTCGAAGAGGCACGACAGATGTGCCGAGATCTGGGCTCACAGGTTCGTCGCTTGCTTTTGGAACAACAGGCTGGAGCACTTAGTGACGCCGAGTACAACCGTCTCGTCAATGACCTCGAGGAAGTCAATCAACGTGACATTAATCACCTATCCAGTACGCAGCAACATGTCAATCAGTACCTGCTTGGCTTCCGTACTATTGCAGAACTACAAGAGCAAAATGAGAAGCAGTTGGGCACAATTCGCGGATTAGTCTCTCGGCTCGACAGCGAGGAGGCTAGAGAGACGCAAAACAAATACCAACAACTCGAAAAAGACCTTGAGGCAGCCAACGCAAAAATCAATGACTATCGGGCAGAGATCCAACACATGGTCGCTCAACAGAAATCATATGTCAAGGAGCGAGACATGTTTAAGAACATGTTGACACGACGCGGTCAAATCGATCCTGCCGATTTCTCGAGGTCGCTACCAGCTGCCGGCCTTTCGACTTCTTTGCTAAGTGATCGTGCATCTCCTGCAGTGGAGAGTGACTTGGCTAAGCTCGTGAAAGACCTGCAAAGCCAGTACGACAGCTTCAGACGAGACACACGAACCGACGCAGCTTCGATGAGAACTCAGATTACAGATCTGTCTCAACGCAATTCACAATTACATGCAGAAGCAAGCAGGAATTTAGGCCAGTTCACGGCGGTCACTCAACGCTACGAAATGCTTCAAGCTAATCATGAAGCGCTGAAACTCGATCATCAAAATCTGCAAAAGAGAGCGAACGCTGCTAGTGAGACTTCGACGAAGCAAGAGTTGAGGATACAACAGGTTGCTGAGGAATTAGTCGAGACTAAGGGCATTCTAGACGGCTTGCGAAGAGAGTCTGCCAATCTTAAAGCGGAAAAGGACCTTTGGAAGTCGATCGAGAAACGTCTGATCGAGGACAATGAATCCTTGCGCAATGAGCGTTCCCGTCTCGATCATCTAAATACCAATCTGCAAAATCTGCTGAATGAGAAGGAACAATCCGACTCAGAAAGCAGGAGACGATACCAAGCACAGAACGATTCTCTCGAGCTTGACCTCCAATCTGCTCGACGAAGGCTGGAGGAAGAAATCGAGGAGAAGAAGCAGATCGCCTTGCGTCGGACTTACGAACACGAACAAATCCAGAAACGTAATGAGGAACTTTTGGCAAGTATGGGCACGATCCGTGAGGAACTCACTGCAGCAAAGACAAGCAAAGATCATTTGCAGGCTCGAGTCGATGAGCTGACGGTCGAATTACGGTCTGCAGAGGAGCGCCTAGAGGTACTCGCACGTCCAACAACGAGAACAATTCCACAGACCAGCGGTACCGAGGATGACGGACCGTCAACAGAGCAAGAGTTAGCTGTGCAAATCTCAGAGTTGAAGCGTGATCTTGACCTGAGAACAGCCGAATTAGCAAAGACGAACGCAGACATTGAGCAATACAAAGATATTGCTCAGGATGCTGAGGACCGACTAGCACAAATCGAGGAGACCGTTGATCAGGACAAGCAAGATGTAGAGATTTCTCGAACTGAGAGAGACCAGAAGATCAAAGACTTAGAGCAGAGCATTACTGACATCTCTAGTGAGCTACTTACGACGAACTCTGAACTATCCAAGCTTCATGATGAACAGGCAGAGTCTAGTAGACGACTTGAAGAGCAGAGGAACACTTTGCAAGCAGAAATTGACCGCCTTAAAGAATCTGAGGAGAAGGCACAAGAGCAGGCGGCTTTGTACCTCGAGGCTTCAAGAGAGCAGCAGAAGATTGCCGAAGACCGACAACAGAGTTATGAGGCTGAACTACTCAAGCACACGGAGGCAGTTAAGAGCTCGCAAGATTCTCGTGCAGAGGCGAACAGATTGCGGATTGAACTTGCGGAAGTCAAATCTGAAGCCCAGAACGCTGTGGCAGATCTGCAGCAGAAGCAATCAAGTTGGGCGGATATGGAGAGCAGGTATAAGCAGGAAGTGCTGAACGCGAAGAATCGTGATGCAGAAAAAGATCAACACAACAAAAGTCTTCTTGCTACACTGGAAACTCTTCAAAAACAGACTGTGGCCGCGCAACGAAGCCAAGGCACTACCTTTAACATCAGAAACACTGAAAACGCCGAGAACCAACCACACGACCTTAGCAGTCTTATGGAGCAAATCAGACGCCAATCATCAGATCTCGAAGTCGCCACGACCAACCTGACACTGAGAACACTAGATGCTGATCGTTTGACCCGACAGGTCCAGTCTCTACAATCGCAGCTTGATGATGCCAGACTCAAACTTGACCAGGAACAGCGTGCCAGCATCAATCTCGAGAAGAGCAATCTGGAGAGCAGGAAACTGGTTGAGACCATCAACGAACTCAATCTCAACCGAGAGGCGAACACTACCCTTCGCATTGAGAAGAAACAAGCTGAGCAAATCCTGGGTGAAAAGACTCAAGAGCTTCAGCAGCTCAAGGAAGAGCTCATTCCTCTGAGAGCACATATTGTCGAGCTTGAGCATGAACTTGAGCTGAAGCAGGGTGAGATGGACCTTCTGCAAAAGGATCGCGACAGCTGGCAATTAAGAACACAAAACATACTGTCCAAATACGACCGTGTCGATCCTGCAGAACTCGAGGAGATGAAGACGAGAGTTTCTGAACTCGAGGCCGAGCGTGATCAAGCTGTTGCCACCCAGACAGCTCTTCAAGCTCGGATCGATGAGTTCCCGGAAACAGTCGAAGCTGCTAAAGCAGAGCTAAGAACGAGACTTGGCGAGCAGTTTAAAACTCGTGATCGTGACATGAAAGAAAAGAGAAACCAGCTGCAAGCTGACCTCAACTCAGCAGTTCAGGAACGTGACGCAGCTGTTACAGAAAGAGATGAGCTCCAGACCGCTCTTACTGCTGCTCAAAATGCGGCAAAGGCTGAGCTGCCCGCTTCTTCGCCACAAGAATTTACACCGCAAGCTAGAGGTCACGATGTCAGAATTAAGGAGTTGGAGAAGATCATATCAGACAAAGACGCTCAGATCGCAGCACTTACAGCGACACAAGCAGAAAACAAGGTCCGCGAGGAGGATGTTAAGAAAGCTTTCAACGATCGTTTCAACGCGCTTAAACGAGAGGCTGAAGCTGCAAAAGACACGGCTGTTGATGAGGAGCGTGCCCGCGTGACTACTGAATTTCAAAGAAAGATTGAAGACCTCAAAGCAGAACAGAAGAAAGAGCTGGTAGATGTTCGCGCTCAGATACTGCCGCAGACTGGTCAGGTTGACGAGCATGCTAAGCCGACTCAGGAATCTAAAGATGCTGGCCCAGGCATGACGTTCGAGGATCTTGCCAACAACTTGACCACTGAACAGGCCCGAGTTCTGGTCAAGCGAGAACCACTCAAGGCGATGATTAAGAACACTGTCAAAAAGGAAGCTGAGCTACGAAAAGCAGCGGAAAGTGGAACGGAGTCCAGCGACAAAGTAGAGCCCGCTCTGCCCGAAGATTTTGAGGAAAAGCTTGCCGAACGCACGGAGGCACTCATACATCAGAAACAGGAGGAGTTCAATCTTGAACGCGAGAACATAATCAAGGAGCAGCAGGAAGCTTTCGAACTTCAAAAGCAGGCACTCAACGAGGAGCATCAGCAGAAACTAGCCGAGGAAGTTGCAAAAGCAAAGACAGCAACTGAGAAGATGGCTCAAGGCAAATTGACCCTGATTCAAAAGCAATCGGCTAACAACCTAGCCAAAATCAATGCGGTCAAGAGGGCAGCTGAAGAGACACCCGAGAAGCCAGTCAAGGAGGTCTGGGAAGTCGCTAAGACTGCAAAGCCACCTGTGGAAGCACCTAAACCCGGCGCAGCACAGCCATCGAGGCAAACCCCTTCAAATTCTTCAGCAGGAACCTCAGCACCATCCACAAGCACAACAACATCTGCGCCTGCTCCGACCACGGAAGAGACTGTACAACAGCCTATTTTGGAGCAGGCTGGATCCACGAACGGAGGTCTCTCGCCACATAATGATACTGAACCCCAAGATGCCGAAGCAGGTGATGAGGCTACACAGTTCGGCGAGTCAAATGCTGCATCCGCTGTACAGTCACAAGCCCAGGCAGTACGGTCTAATCTGCCACAGCCACCATCGCAGCTTCCTCGTGGCAGTTACTCTAATCGTGGCCAGCGGGGCGGCCCTCAAGCCGCACGTGGCACAGGCATTCCTCGAGGTGGCGGCAATTTTGGAAATAACACTGTCAACGTCAATTCACGAGGTGGTCGTGGTGGTAGAGGTGCCTACAACTCTGCAAGTCCAGGTCGTGGTGGATCGTCGTTCAACCCCAACGCGGCACAATTCACACCAAGCAAGAGGCAGAGAGAAGATGGGACAGATGATGGTAACCTAGGCAAGAGAATCCGAGGTGGAGGTGCTGGCTCTTAGAGAGGTGCCAGACGTGACTCTGGCCTGGATGGCGCCTAAATGAACGAAAGTGATTGAATTTGCAAACAGAAGTTCGGCAGTTCGACGCAGATGGAAATTCACTCATACATCGAGTTTAGGGAATAAGATCGTGAACAAGAGGCATAACGTTTATCGTGCAAAGGTGCAACAAAAGAAGTGGTCGCAAATAATTACACACGATGACTAGGCGCACTATGGCACAAGTGCTGTTGTATCACCATGTTCTCCACAAATCTGCTCAGACTGCAGAAGAGCAGAAGAGAAAAGATGTACGAACAGGACACGGAGCAAAGGGCTTGACATGGACAGGGATCGTGTTTATGGTGCTGAGATAAACAATCAGTGCTATTTCGAAATCTTTATGCATGAGCTAGGAGAATGGAGTAACAGCAACTGAGTTAGGAGGATGCAGCAATTGCTTTAGCAGTAGTAGTTACAAATCGGGGGCACGTCGTATGATGTGAACCTCTTTTCAATGCTTCAATCATGACTTCTTATTTGTTGTATTCGAAAGACTTGGTTGTTATGCGCTTCACCACCGCAAGAAGCAGTGATAGCAGATCTTATTGTCTCAAGGCGCACCTTGGTACTCATGGTTCACGAGATACTCCCGAGTGCAGGGTCAGCGTAATGAAGTCGGTTGTTCAATGACTCAAAGATCTCCAGCTTTCACCCGGTTCGAAAAATGACCCGATGAGATACAATCTTTGAAAAGACCATCCGGATGTCTGTCTGAGTGTCTGCGCTGTAAGATGGATGACTCGACAATGCAGCACCAGATCACGGCTCTCTATGAGAATTATCATTACGATCACCCCCAATACTAAGGAGCTAAGCTTGGCCGTGAAAGATGCAAGTCCTTGCTTGATGTTTTAGTACCTGTCTTTAATTGCCACCTTGCTCGCTTCCACACTGGGTTTCTGCTGAACAATGCCTGGCAGTCATATAAAATATGCTGATCGCCACGCATACAGCATGTCGGTACTATCATATACTCTTGAACGATAGAAGTCTTGAACCCAAGAAGCCGTTATCTGTCAGAGAATCGCACGACATATATTGTAAGCTCGCTCAAAGATTGTGTCGAACAGATTTTCAGGTCACCTTGTCCGACACTGACCACCCGCAACTCGAAGCCACGACTACCTCGTTTCGTGCAACCTCATCATCCGTCTCTCAGTCCTTCATGGTTGTTGCTCCTGCCGTACTGGCCTAGCACTCTTTGAAAGAAGGACTTCCTCTTGTTCATAGCTGTGGAGGCGTAGCCAGCATTTACAAACTTTGGCCAGGTATTTGTTAACACCATGTACTTTATACTATCTTCGGCTCGATCGAAGACATCGGGCCCAAAGCCGTCAGGAATAGGTACAAAGTCGGGTAGTTGCTCAGGGGCAGTATTGGTCATTTCGTAGGCTTGCAAGACGGTATGTCTTTTATTCAGGTCGTACTCAGTCGTTTGTAATATGACATCGGTACTGAGATTCGTGCCGTTGGTGTGATGCGTTTTATGCGACATGACAGAGATTCCATCGTGCTTGCTAGGAGACGCTTCAATGTCTTCACGGGAGGAATTCGAGTTGTGGCTTAGCCAGAGCTTGGAGGTGAAGTTGTCGAAGGGTGTAGCTGCGCTGTTCGTGTCAGAATCGTCCAATTTGTGGCCGTATAGAATCATTGCAGCACCTTCGAAGATGACTTCCAACTCTTTGAGGTGAGCATGTGATAAATTGACTGGATAGTCCGAGTACTTCAGTGATACGTAGGAAGCGTAGATGTCTACCGCCCGCTTGAATTGTTGGCGTCGAATGTCCTTGTTGTTGATTTCATGAACGCTTGGCCGACGAAGGAAGCCGGACCGAGTAGGGGAGGAAGGAGACCAGCTGCGTTTCCAGTCCAGTATTTGGATCAGAAAGCTGATATTCTCGCCTGAGAAGTCCTTGAGGGCAGCGAAAACCAGTAGACGTTGTGGATTTGTGCGAAGAGCGCTTTCCATGGCAGTCATTGTGTACATATCACCCCGTTTACTGCCGGCAGAGCTGGTCGATGTGAGCTGTTTAGAGATTCTTGAGTTGCTTTGCATTGTTTCCTGTCCGATCGAGTTGCCATTATGCTTGCTTTCCCATTCGGCGATAATGTCTAATGTTTCTGTTTGCAAGCGATGATTCTTGACGACCTGCCAGCAAGGGACGAAAACCAAGAAAGCTTCTATGAGGAAGATCGAGGGAGCGAACCTAGTCAAGTCAGCAACGGAGTGGTGAAATATCCCGATTACTCACCAGAGTGGAGGCACAAAGTACTTGTTCACAACCAGCATGTCAGGGATGTAAAGCGCACACAGCCACATCGGTGTAGCAAACAGACTGGTTGTAGTCAATGTGTTGCTCTGCCAGCAGTCATGCCTGAACTCACCCAGCCAAACAACAATATGTGGTCTGCTTGCGCCAGCCATGAACATCGTGTATGTCCCGAACTTGCCAGAGAAGATATGGAGCATAACACCATGACCAAAAGAACTGCCATATGATTGAGGGCATCCTGAAATCGTAAGTCAGGCACTCAATAAGAACGTTGTGTTTTTCCCACCACTTCCAACCACGTCGACAACTGATCTTTTTTGCAGCCTCGCATGGATCTTGTTTCAATTGATTGGCGACAATGTTTATTTCGTCAGTGCTCACCAAGTCTTCGCATTGTTCACCACCGTTCCCGATCAGCCCGTAAGATGAGTGAAACTTGCGCGACACGAGAAAGAACGTGAGAGCAACAACCAGCTGTAGTAGGTTTTAGTAAGAGCCAGCTTTCCGTCCAATTTGCACCTACCTGAATGCACATCCCATAACCAATGTATATCATTGTCCTCTTCACACGATTTTCAACGTAGTGATGAGCTAGATAGCGACGCCAACCTCGTGGATTTTTCGTGTTTGGTTCCTTCTTCTCTGCTTGGTAGTCGCTCACATAGCGTTGTTGCAGGTTGGCTATGTAGAGTAACTGGGTATTGCAAGCTTGAAAGAGTGCTATGCCCAGTGGTAGGTAGATGCTCATAATCCAGTACTCAGTGCCGCATGGAAAGAAGCCTTGCAGGACGTAAGCAAGCATGCAAAGGACCCAGTAGACGTGTAGAGTTGCCACAGCGCTGACTGCAAGAGGCACATTCCGTATCCGCAAGAAGGGTAGATTTCGTTTCGGGACGAGGAAGGCGATACCCGTTAGCAGAACGATCGTCCAGAAAGTGGCAATTCCGACGTAAGTCCAACCCAGACCGTCCAGCGTGAATTTCATCACCATCGTATATCCTTCTGCGAAAACCATCTTGTCGGCAAGCGCGCGAGCTATGGTAGGTATTATGTACGAGGTGTTTCACTGTGGTTATGCGGGATAGCGATGTATTGATAAACAAACTGCAACGTGGGAAGAAAGGGTAGTGCAATACACGGAAGTAGATGTTTAGCGAAATGAAAAATGTGGGAAGAAGAAAGGCATAGTGAAGGTAAGTGGTAGAAACGTAATGCCACAAGGTGCTTGTGGACAAACCTGCCTCACGTGCTGTGTTCACTTGATGTTGATGGACTCGATAGGGTGTTCAGACGGGAGGCACATCTTGTGTTCACTCAAACCCCCTTCGCATTTCATGTAATTCAAGCTCTGTCCGCATTGTCAAATACATGCTGAGCAACACATCACTCGAAGGAAATCGTCCTTACAAACACTTCAAGTGTCAACCACTGGTGAGGGTGGGTGGTACGAGCCATGTTTCAGAGCCCACAGCGTCCACATACTCCATACTTTCTCCAACACTGCCAGTTCGTATGACAGGTTGATATAGCGTTCGCGCATTGAGTTCTTACAGAAGTGCTGGAGTCGTTGTTACACATTCAGTGGCCATTCACCGGCCTTCGGCTATCGGGCCGGAAGCCTGCATGATTTTGTAACACCTTGTGAACCTCTATACCCCCTCCAACCACAATGTCCTTAGACTTTGGCAACTTTTCACTTAGCCTTCGCTTAGTCCTCCGACAAAAAGACATGACTTCCTTAGTCTACCATGTTGCTGAAGCTCAAAGTCCGGGTTTGTTGACCAACATATCCTTTGTCAAGCGACGAGGTGCACAATATCAAATAAGATGCCCTTGTACGACTCGATCACAAATCCGACCGGACCGCCAGAGCGCTTGCCGTATGGCAGGACGGGTGTTGCGGAAGGAAGATATGTGCCACGAGGCTTTTTCCTGTAATTGGTCGCAGTTCTTCACGTTCGCCGGTTGGTCAAATGAACGTGAACACAAAGCACAAAGAAGGAAGGGCGAAAAAAAATGTCATCCGTATGCCTGACTGATAAAGGAGATCGAGGAACACAACATTGACGAAAGTTCAGCTTCGTTGCGATTTACCTGTTGGGGCTGATTAGCCGATATCTCTCAATATAAGCAGAGAAATGATGTAAAATGTGTTTCCCTCAGAGATCTTGGTGTAAATGCGATACGATCATGTCCGAAGATCATATACTATCTAGGCAGTGCAAAGGTTGTAATCATAGGAAATAGAAATGGTTCACTAGGAGGGAAATGGCATACCTTGTTGACTTTACAGCGATCGTTTGCGTCTTCTAAGTGTCGAACTACCTATTTTGATGTTAGCTTTGTTTCGTAAAAGTTGGTTTGTCTTCGTGAGATAGGAGAGGTGCAATTTCAGAATATGTAAGAAAGAAATATCAAATTAGCGGTCCTGTTATGAAACCCAGGCGTGAGTTTCCAGTGACTACCATCAATCGCAAATTATGGTCATCAGATGCAGGGACGTGCAAGAAAGAGTAGTACTCACGAGAATACCAGTTATAGAATCAAGCGACGCAATCGTTGTTGCAGAGCATTGTTAATGTCAAACTTGATTGATGGACGTAAAAAAATCTTCGATCGTTGGAACGCGAATTTTGGACGAGTTGGATGGTCACGTGGATGGAGCCGAGCAAGGTACTGCAGTGGTATTTTGCGCCTGAAAAACCAGGCATTTGCCAAGACCACTTTGTGCGCAGACTCGTAACTCAATCCGACAATTTCCACGAATCTCAAGGTCAGCATCACACTACCACACCTCCCACGAACCGCCGGTCCTTCGAGATACAACCTTCGCAATGGCCGACAAAGTCGATATCAAGCCCGCCGGCTGGAAATTGGTCGAAGTTGGTCGAGTAGTATACCTCCGAAGTGGTCCACACGAAGGCAAGCTCGCTACAATCGCTGAAATAATAGACCCCAACAGAGTATGTGCAGCAAGAGAGCAGGAAAGATGGACATGAACTCACGAGAGAACAGGTGCTGGTCGATGGTCCATCAAAGATTGAAGGCAAAGCCGTCCCACGAACACCCATCGCCTTGAGCGCAGTCACCCTCACAAAGATCGTTATTCCAAAACTACCAAAGGCTGCTGGTACTGGTGCTATATCGAAACTGTGGGAGAAGGAGGAGGTCGATAAGAAATGGGCCGAATCTGCTACAGCCAAGAAGCGAGATCAGACAGACAGACGGAGGAACCTAAGTGACTTTGAGCGATTCAAGGTCATGCGATTCAAGAAGCAGGTGAGTTTGCAAGAGGATGTGATTCTGGCAGCGTGAAGCGGACACTGATACTCCTGGTTGCAGGCAAACTTCGAGACACGAAAGGCTTTTGCTAAGATTCGAGCGTCCGCTTAGAGAGGTTCAGAGCGGCAGTACCTTTTTTTCCGTTTTCAAGAACTTGTGGATTGTCACAGCATGATATGCGACACGAAGAGCAGCTCGTCAATTCAAAAGATGGCCAGCCCACGCACGACGACCACATATGTCAATAGCTTCACAGGAGACATAGCGGCTTCTGGGAATCCAGGAGGAGTTTGAGAGCTCGCAAGTATATCGCGAAGCAAATGGACGAGTTGTCTAAGCGTGGTGGACGGCGCGACGACTGAACGCTCAGTGTGTATTGCTAAAGAATAACATGTCCGTTTCACAATCACCGTGCATAATTTACAAGCACAAGAGAGGCTAGTCAACCTGGGAAGCACTCTTCAAGTCCTAGCAGTGTCAACTCTGAACGTAGGAGGAATGTTTTCGTGCCCGTTCACTTTGTAGAAATGCAAGCATGATCTCACGGGCAGGTGCCAAGACCTGTCGCAGCCGCACGTCGTAGCTGCCACTTTCAGCCGAGCAACTCTACGTCTGGTAGCGCAAACTGATCACATTATTCTATACGTTCCCGTGAGCAATTATAGAGCTTGACGTCTACCAGACCTCGTGGTTATCCTTGTAAAGCTACTGTCTTTCATATATTACAGTTCTAAACAAGCCGAGTCGCACAGCCAGCCAAGATGTCTGATTCTCGCATTGAAGAACTTCCTGACGACCACGAGGAGACCAAGAAGACCACCGCAGATGATGCTTCTGACTCTTCCGACTCCGATGATGCTGGCGAGGGCGAAGGCGACGGCAACATTCCTGCAGGTTCGCAAGTAGCTGTTCACAGCCGAAACGAGAAGAAGGCACGAAAAGCTATTGGCAAGCTCGGTCTCAAGCACATCCCAGGCATTACACGAGTCACTCTTCGAAGACCAAAAGGCGTAAGTACCGGCGACAATACTTGCCGAACCTAGCAGCTGGGTAAAGACAGGACGCTGACGAATGAATAGATTCTCTTCGTGATCGCCAACCCGGATGTCTACAAGTCTCCAGTTTCTAACACCTATATGTAAGCCATTATGTGCTCGCTATCTTACCATACTATACTGATATACCCTAGCATCTTCGGTGAAGCCAAGATCGAGGACCTCAACTCCCAACAACAAGCCGCTGCTGCCCAACAGCTCGCCGCCCAAGAAACTGCTAATACCTCTTCGGGCGACCATGCCGGCCATGACCACGGAGATTCCAAGGGTGCAGAGAAGACCGAGGACAAGAAGGTCGAAGAGGATGACGACGATGATGAGGAGGTCGATGATAGTGGTTTGGAGCAGAAAGACATTGAACTTGTCATGACACAAGCGAGCGTCAGTCGGAAGAAAGCCGTGAAAGCGCTGAAGGACAATGGCAACGACATAGTCAACTCTATCATGGCGCTGAGTGTATAACAAGAAAGGAAAGAGGTGTCCGCAAGCTGAGTATCGCTCAGACCAATGGGCCATTCTACCTACAGCTTACCTGTGACATATTCGGGGTCAGCTATTTTCTTGTGCAAGCTCAAAAGCATTTTGAATTGTGATGCTAGAATCTAAGCACTCCAAGAGAAACCATTCCTCGATCTAAAGCTCCATATCAATGCTTTAAGGGACTTGCAAGCGTTCACATTGTGTCTATTGACTCGAACAGAATCGTACACATTCCACAGCTTGGAAAAGCTATCAGAACAAATCCAGATTCTTCAGCATCCCGACCAAGCGGAGGATTGGGTACACACGTTAAGCATGTCTACGAGCTCAAACAGTGGGAGTGCAGCCTTTGTCAACGAAACAAGCAATCCAGCTGGTCATTAACCACCCCACAATTGTGGTTTGTACTTCATTCGTAAACTACAAAGGTAGCATAGTAGCACTTCGACTATTCGCCGGAAAGCTCGCCGTAGCACTCGCTGACACATTACTTCTCGGCACCTGCACAGACATTGTCAATCCTCCTCCCCCACGTAACTGCTGGAAGATACTCGCGGCCCTCATTGCCAATGCATACGTCACGCCCATAGGATGCGCGCTCGGCTGGTAAGGGAAGACACTGCCATCCACGACTCTGACGTTGCTCGTTCCGTACACTAATAGTTCTGTATCGACTACGCCACCCGCTGCACGAGGAAGCATAGGGTTTCCACCTGTTAGATGCTGTGAGGACCCCGTCCACTCGAAAATAGCTTGGTACCACTGGTTGAACGGAAGCCGATAATCAGGCGTCGTGCCGGTAATCAAGCTCGCGAATGGCTGCGTGGTCGCCATCTGAGTCACATAGTGCTGCGAGGCCTTTGCGAGGAACCACATGTCCCATTGGACTTCTGTACCATTTATGGTGACATTGATAGCGTTGTAATTCGGGTCGATAGCTGGTGGATGTAGTGGATTGCTACTGTTTATGTGTACTGTGCCCTGAGATAGTGGGATGAGATTGTATGGTGTGACATTGGCGACTTGGTATTGCCAGGCCATTTCGATCAAAGGCTGCTCGGCGAACCAGAGATACTTGAAGACTGCGAATTGTGTGTCGTCCACGCCGGGGACATGGGATGTGCTGTTGAGCCATCTGCTTGCTGCTGCGTAGTCTGCTGGGTCGAGGATCTTGGAGGCGGGTTCGAGGTCGATTAGGTTCTGGATGTATTCGTTGCCTGTCAGATTGGCAGCTCGAACTGCTGTTTCATTGAGTTGGAAAGAGATTGGCCAGTAGTTTGTCATTGGAGGATCTCTGAGCCCTGTTCCAACGCTTGGAAGGCTGATCACAGTGTCCACCCCAGCTGCTGAGAGGATTTCAGGATCGCCGACACCGCTGAGCTCGAGGATCTGAGGGGAGTAGACTAGACCACTACTCAGAACGACTTCTCGAGCATGGACTTGCTTGGTGGCGTTATCTGCTGCGAGGTCGATATACTCTAGTCCAGAAGCTGTTGCATTACCTTGTGTCGAGCTCCAGATGATCCGAGAGACGTGAGCATTTTGGACAACATGCAAATTCGTCCTGTTCTGAACTACAGTGTATGCGGAGCCGGCGAAGGAACGTGTATAATTCTGTGGACAGATCGCAAATGGTAGGAAGTTGGGTCCGTTCGCATTGCCGTTGTTGCCGTCATGAGGCATTTCATAACCATTTGCAACCAGAGATGGTTGGACATAGTCCGAGTACAGACTCCATACACTTCTTTGGAAGATTGAGCATATAGGTCCTGCACCGCCATGAAACTCAGCATTGTAAGGTAAACTTGCAGCTTCGACTACTGGTGGACCGTACATGGTCTCAGATTGTCGGAAAGCCGTTGACATCGACGTCCAGTTCCAGCCAGTCAAGTTGAGGAGACTCTCCCATATGTCAAGCTGTACTCTAGAATTCTCATTATGGATCATCCAGTTCATTGCTGAGGTGCCCCCAATTGTCTTACCTCGAGGTACATATTGCGAGCCACCCGTTCCATTGGCATACAAATATGGCTGTAGGGTGGACTGCAAGCCCCAATCATATTGGGTGTGCTGTATCGTGCCTCGTCGTTCTGGGTCTGTGATGTTCATCTGATCTCGGCCATCCGTTCCAGCCTCGAGGACCATAACCGAAACATCGGGATTTTCTGAGAGCACGACTGCCAGCAGCAAGCCAGCTGTACCAGCACCAGCAATCACATAGTCGTGTGTGATATTTTGACTTGCTGCTAGAGCAGTAAACAGCACTGGTGCTACAAGAGTGCTCTTCATTGTGGTCTATGCTGGGAATAAGACTGGCTGTCACCTTTCAAGAACTCTCTGTAAGAGCTATCGAGGACGGGCTGTACCACAAACGAAGTGCACCGGTATAGCTTCCCAGAACCGAGTACTTGGTATACATTGCATCAAGCCTCTTTCGAGCTCTATTGAGTTGTCTCGTTCACCCGCTGCATGTTGTCCGTGCTTCCATGGATGACGTTGTCGTCAATTAGAAACTCTCGATGACCTCTATATTCTGCACTAAGTATAGATCGGCCGGACATGGCAGGCATCAAGGCAGTCCATATAAACACAGCTGCTTCATCACTTATCCAAAGTTAACCTTGATACTGTATTCTTGGAGTTGCAGGTTGTAAGAAGGGTATTTTGGCATGGCATAGAATTCTTGCAGCTGCACACTCGTCGATTCATGTGAGACCAGAATGATCGCCTGAGGCCATCACTTTTGCGGAAGTGGGGGTCCTTATTGGTTTATTGTTTCTATCAAATTTGATGCCTCTCGTGTGAAGTTCTCACCACTGACACCTAGCTAAGCTTTGTCTATCAGCGAAATCCTCAAGCGATTTCTTCTTTGCATTCACAGAGAATGCCGCTGTCGGCTACGGCTACGATGAGAAGCACAGACCTTTCTGGGCTTTGCCGGGCATACGGCTTCTACACGATGGAAACACATGCGTCAATATCTTCTTCCTGATCAGCGGATACGTCTGTTCTGCGAAAGCTCTGAAGCTCATGGTGATATAGCCTTGACGGGCGATGGCAAACAAGAGGCTTTGGTATCGGAGAAGCTCCTCAACGCATTGACTGGAAGTGTGTTTCGACGATGGTTCAGACTCTTTCTCCCAACACTTTGTATGTCCTTGATCACCTCCATTGCGCTATACATGGGAGCCTTTGAGCCACTACGACTACTGCTTGATAAGCGAGAGGTCTACTTTCCATACAGTCACAAGTTTTCCGAGCCACAGCCTAGACAATTTCCGACTCTATCTGGACAACTCTCATTATGGGCTCAGGATATGTGGGCTCTGGGACAGGTCTTTCGAGGAGGACCATTTTACCCTGAGCTTGACAACTACCTATGGACGATCCAGTACGAGTTTCGAATGTCCATGCACTTGTACATCATACTGCTCGCTTTATCCAGATGTAAACCCAGAATAAGAATAATGAGCTTGGTGGTCCTATCATTGATGCATCTGCTGTGCCATCGCTGGGAAGGACCTCTATTCCTTCTAGGCGCAGCATTCGCACAATGGGATGTCATGAGAAGAACCTCTCCTTCGTCCAGATTACCCAGACACGAAACGGAACCCGGAACAACCAAAGCCAACATCAATGCAACCCCTCAACCATGGAGAATCCCACGAATGTTCGGCTACACCCTCTCCATCTACCTCCTCTCGTACTCCACCAAGAACTACAAACGTCCGTCCCCAGGCTACAAACTCATCAACAGCCTTATCCCTCTAGTCATCGACCGTAGAGAGAAATTTCCAAAACTCATCGGTATACTCATCCTATTCTACCTGACCGCTACCAGCGCCCGCCAAGCCGATTCACCGCACCTAAGCCTCTGGCACAGATTCCTAACATGTAAACCGGCACGATTTCTAGGGAAGAATATGTTCGCGTTATATCTCGTTCATGGACCCGTCTTGCATGCGGTGGAATATGGATTACCGCATATTTGGTGGAGAGTCTTCCCGATGGAGACGGAGGTTGGGTACATGCTGGGACTGTCATTGGGATGGGCTTGTGCGCTCGTACTGTGTTTGTGCGCGGCAGAGGGTTTAACCTTGTGTTTGATTCGAGGTGTGTCAGGGCTGTTCAGTGGATTGAGAAGCGGTGATTTATAGGGAAGTACTTAGAATGAAAGGATTTAGAATTTTTGTCTACATTTGGAAATCTATACAAGTATCTTCATCTCAATTGAAATTGCTTGCTCAGAGCACCGAACGCCTGATCTGAAAAAGCAATCTATCAATGTCGCTCTTCATCAAGTAGTTCTATATCTGTCCGCCTCTATTTGCACGTCGTTCTTCCCATTCTCTTTACCCATACCTTGACACAATTCCACCTCACCACCATCCGAGCATATCTATAGATCCTTCGAAGGACCGTTGTTGCTACCTGCTCGAGCGCGTTTGAAGACTTTTGCTCGTGCGTCATTCTTGTCATTGGTAAATCTTCCTGGCGAGGGAAAACCGCTCAAGGACGACATATGCAGCCAACGACTCTTCCTCGATGCGTCGATGATCGACCTCAATATCTCGTGCCATTCTGCCAGATAAAGATCCGACTACAAGGTAGGGCACTGTTGGTGTGATTGTTTTATGTCTTTCTCTGGCCCCTCGAAATGACTGTATGCCAAGCTATCCAGGACGAGGACACGAGACTGTACCCGCGCTCTTACAATTGGACAAGTATAAGGGCATGGTTGCTTCAAAAATGGTGTCCTTTCGTACCATCCAAAGGACTCTGTAAACCTGTTCCCTACCTCTCAAAATCACTCTTCTCCGGAAACAGCCCCTGATAGAACTCGCTCATAGCATTCTGGATATCGACAAGCTCGCTTTCTTCCTCTGTCGCCACATCGTCGTTCAAACATAGCTGTCCAGGTACAGGCGTCTTGCCTCTAACATACTTCTCAACCAGCATTTTGTCAATTTGTTCGGCATCTGTAAGCATAGTGAACAGCCCATTCGGCTCGACAATAGTATATTTGTAGCGCATCAGCGCCTTCACTGCCAATTCTCGCTCCGCGGCCTGGGTCTTTTCATCTGGAAGTATCGGGCTCAACCCCTGCTTGACCTGGTTAAGAACGACTTTGAGCAAGCAATCTCCACATTGTGGTTTATTTCGTGCAACACGTTCGAAAATGACAGCTGTGCTGAACGAGGGATTCTTGCCCTGGTACCCGCTCATTGAGATAGAGAAGCCAGGACCAAGGCATTCATTGACCTCGAACTCGGCACATTCAAGATTCATGAATGAGGAAGGACCGTCGAGGGAAGTCCACAGAAAATCGGTGTTGACTTTGGGAGCGGCTAATCCTGCATTCTCGAGATGTTTTCGCACGTGGTAAAAATTCCGTGTACGGAAAGCGGCTTTTCCTTCGTTTTTCATGCCGGCTTCGAGGGCACTCATGAGGGTGCGGCGTTCGTCCCAGGAGAGGTAGCCGTCGCCGTCGACATCGCTTCGGAGCATGATCAAGGACCAGAGCATAGCTTCGCGATATCGCTCGATCAAATAGTGGAATGTGACAAACCAGGAGTAGAGCTGGAAGCCGGGTTCTCCTCGAAAACGTTTGCAGGTACTTTGTAGCTCTGGGCCAGGAAATGAGCCTATAGCCTCTCGCATGATGCTTCTGGATAGGGCATGTCCGAAGTGGCCTTGGCCTTTTCGCTTACGTTGTCCGAATCGCCTGTTGAGAAGCCACGACGTGTATATCAGGAAAGGCTTTTCTCCAAATCGATGAGCGTCGTCCTCGTTTGGTGGATGAATGGTATTGTATTGATTTGTCTTGAAGCCCATGACTGGACCTAGAAGAGGAGAGACCACATCAGATGCTGAATGTGTTTTGCCTAGAAGCATATCGTCGGAGAGAGCGAACATGTAGTCAGTATTTGATGGCGTGTTGAAGAGTTGGTTCTCAATCGTCAAGGAATTGAAGGTGGGCAAGCAAGCTTGTGCCTTTCTGTCCATAAATTCTTCTTGTGCCAACACCTTCACAACGTCCCGTGTCGAAGGCTTATCGTTGAGCCATGTAGGGACCTGCTTGCCTGCTTTTGTACCTTTGACTGAATTGACGATGATTTGGATTTGATTCCGGAAGCTCTTAGCATATTTCTCGACACTTCGGACAGCGTATCTGAGTTCGTCCCAGTCGCGGTATCGGTTGACGCCATGAGAAGAGATCCAATTCCCTTCAGCATCGTTCAATATGGAATTTAGCTCAAATGGGTGTTTCGTTTCCTGAAAGGCTTCCTCTGAACCATTAACCCAAAGATAGACAAAATCGATCTGAGGTTCCTTGAGAGTCCACTTGTCGGAGTCGAACCTGCCGTGGCTGATCCAGTCGTCCTCCCAGCCTTCAAGTACGTGGCTCTTCACAGCCTCTTCGAAAGGAATATGAATGATCTCAGGCAGATTTTCTGCTGTTTCCTCGAGGACCAGGTGTTCGTCAGGTTCTGCTTCGATCACCTTCTGCTTACTTTCAACATCAGGCGCTGATAGCACAGGTTCCTTCTCGTGATTAGTGTCGAGGTCTGCCTCAACCCTGACAGGACCCTTTATCCAGTTTGGATTCTGGTCTTCTTCACTGTCTTCTTTCTGTTGATTTCTCCTTGCTGCTGACTGCTTGTCTTCATCAGCGCGTGGTGAATCGAGAATCGGCTTCTGCTTGGTTGGCGCATCCGGTTCAGGACCAGTGGCGTGGTCCTCAGTCGTTTCTGAGCCCTTCTGCTCTTCAGATGGCTCTTGTCGTTGTCGCACATTGGCGTCAGCATTACCACCATCTGTATTGATGATCGGGTCTTTAACAGTATCACGTAATTTGCTCAGCTTTTCAGAAGCCGGCACTTTCGACGACGGACGGTGCAATCCTTCATGGCGCTTGTGAGCATCTGCGTTGGAGTTGACCGATTCACGCCGCTGCGCCAAATGCACAACGGTTGAGTGAGTGTGAAATATATGCCAGAACGCCAATCCCAGAACCACCAAGGCCAGAAGCAGAAAATTCCTTCTATGTCTTCGCAGACTTCGAGCTGACCTCCATTGTGCTGGCGATTTGTCGTCGGTCTTCTTGTGCTCATAATTCTGGAAGACTGCTAGACGACCGTCCATCTTGGGCTTGTGTGTTGACAAAATCGATCGAAACTATCAAGAATACGTAAGTCGCAATTTCAAGGAGCACATCAAGGAGCAGCAGCAGTGCACGCTTGTGACCTTAGAGCCTCATTTGCGAAATCTTGAGTCAGCAATTGTACTCTAACGACCGTTGGTATGCTAGCACTTCCAGTGCATCTGACCAACAAACTCCGTCTCCTTTAGTTGAGAGTTTCCTTATCAAAGTCATACAGTACACGATCGACAAACAATCCCGCAAGAAGGATATACACAACACTCCCTATCATCTGCAGACAAGGCATGCCCGGCCACAAGACGAACAAGGCTGTAACTCGTGGCGTCATAATATTTAGCTGTCCCATTTTTTATCGCTTTTTCGTGCGTGGGACGACACGAAAAAGGGGGTACAAATTGCTACGATGACCTTGTGTCTTGCCTTGGCTTGCGCAGAGAATGTCGTTCTATCAAAAGTGGAGTCATGTGGCGAGGAACTCCACTGGTGTCAAACTTGGCAATATGCGAGCGATAACACGAAAAGCTGAAGTGTGGACAGCGACAGCGCGAAGAAAAGGATCGTCCGTGTCAGAAAGCTCGCGTGCCTGATTTCCTTGTGTGATATACCGTAGTGGAGAGGGTGTCTCCATACTACTCATTTCCCCAAATGAGTTTGGTTCGGCAAAAATCTGGCCGATAAGCGAAATGAGGGATCCAAACTCTTTTAGCTGGTACGGAATTATGTGAAATGCTTGACATTTTGCTGACTTTTGCACATCCGTGAGACACATGGCATGAGGACAGAACATTTTTGATCAGTGATGCTGGGTCTCACTTACGGAGATTTTTGTGATGACATTCATTGTCTCACGTGGTTATGTTTCACATTTGTTTGTGACGGGAATCTGGCACGAAGTTAGGGGTAGGATATTGCCTTTCAGCTCAGCTCAAAGCATCTGGACCCACGGCGTCGACTTGCCCGAACGATTTAGTGGCTCACAACGATAACATGTGAGCTGCGAGGTACGTCGGTGTCGGTCTCTGATGGAAGATGTGGACCTGTCTCGTGTTCTGGTACACACGAAGTCAGCCCGTCACTTTCGTTCGCGCCATTGATTGACGTCGGCTATTCTGTCTGAAAACGAAATGAAGCGTTTTCGTCCCAAGTCTGTGTAAGAGTCCGATACCAGGGCTTTTTGAAGTATCATTGTGGTTGACAGGCACAGTCGACGATAACGTCAGGACATACGTAGGAATTTATTTTGGTCTATCAAGAAAGATAGCTCGGAAAGCGTTGACATTATGCCATTAAGGCGAAAAGAAAATATGCTAAACGAGCCATGAGCATCTTGGGAATGCCACAAATACACAGCTGACTAGTAAGCACCTTTACAACTTTGCTTCTATCAGTTGTCATCACACTGAGAATCCTCATCACAATCAGCAGATCGTTCGAACCTGAAGCCACGTCCTGAACCGGGTTTTGGAGTTGGGTCTGGGTAATCCAGGTCCGCAGACGGGTCGGCTGTGGTGGTAGTCGTGGTGATAGTATCCGTGCTTGTGGTTGTGGTTGTAGTAGTTGTCGTGGGAGGACTTGTAGTCGAGGATGTGATAGAAGAGGTACTACTAGTAGAAGTGCTGGTGATGGTAATGCTTGAGGTTGTAGTAGTAACCACTGGTCCTAGATCTTCTATGCCATGTTAGTCAGTTCAAACAAAGGGTTCATCAACGTCAAAACTTACTTCTAGATCTGCAGGTCACTGGTCTGCAATTGCCTGGAGCGCTGCCGAAGGTAACGAAGAAGTTCGAGGTGGTCGCACAAAACCCTCCACTCTCGTGAGTGAACGTGCCATCAGCAGTGAGCTTGTACTTTGGTACACTCGCTGGCTTGCTAGAGGTCTTCTCGAACACAAAGTAGCCACTTGAAGCATCTGCGGCAATGTATTGTCTACCAGTCCTCAAATAACCTTGGCGGTCGAAGAAAAACTTGTATGGATTCTCGGTCACCACGGATGCATCATCGCTACCGTCCAGAAATCCAACATAGGAAGTGTCGCCACGCTTCATGTATCTTCGCTTGAGACCTGAATAGGTTACTTCGATATAGAAGCCTGAGGTTTCCTCTGGACCGTCGATGATGGTTGTGGTCGTGGTCGTACTTGTGCTGGTGGTCAATGTGCTGGTGGTCAGTGTGGTCGTAGTGCCAGCGTCTGGACGTGGCCATGGGCCCCAACCTGATCCTCCTTGTTGGTTTCCTTGTTGTGCCGCCGGTGTCGATATCACAGATGGAGGATCCGAAGGGTCATTGCCCTGTTGCGATGACGTGGGAGGAGGGCGACCCCATGGGTTGTTAGGTCGGCCAGGGGTAGGCCTAGCTGGGTTTCCTTGCTGCCATGGACCCCATCCTTTGTGCGCAAACCCTTCTGGATCTGGGGTCTTCTTGGGATCGGTAGCAGTGCTGTATGGCATAGTGAAAGTCACAGTCTTTGTTACGGTGACCACGAAGTCAACGCTGGTTGGCCCAGCAAACGATCGGGTCACACTAGCCCACCATGGTCGACCTGGCACTGTGTATGACTGCTTGTTGGACACGATGGTGGTTGCTGGTGCTGACTGTGGAAAGGTGAAAGTGTAAATACCGCCGTGTGGTACAGCAGTATTGGTAGACACGGTAGCAGTGACTGCTCCAGTGGTCGATGGCGCTGGTCTAGAGACCCAGGTATCTACAAACTTTGAACAGACCGGTGCTTTGCCAGGAGCCCAAGAACACTCTGTAGCATCCATCATCTGCTTTCGGTTTCCGTCTCCTTGCACACCACAGTCAGTGCAGAGTTCGCAGCCTCCGTAGCCAGGAATAGCAAAAGGACCCAATTTGTTATAAGGAGCAACCCAATTCTTGGAGATCGTTTCGTACTTCGTGAGGTTGTATGTCGTATAAGTGCCATTGGGCTTCGCAGTGCTGGTTGGGATAAGGCTTGTTATGGTCGATGCTGTTCCACTGCAGGGCACAGGTTGGGCAGTATTGGTAACCGTGCAAGAAGAGATCGAGGCATTACCCCAACATGGAATCACAGTAGAAACATAGTTGTAGGTGCTCCAGGAGAAGCTACTTGCCGTGTAAGTGCAAGTAGACACAGGTTGATGCTGTGCAGTAACTGTAATGTTCCTGGGTGCATTTCTGCAAGGGACGATGGTAGTGAGTGGCTCGGCGACAGCTAAAGCTATCAAGGACGTTGCGGCGATGGCACGAGTGAGGAACATGGCTGCGAAGGAGTGATGTAAATTAAGTGGCTAGTAAAAGAGTGACTGAATTTGGTGCTTCTTAAAAGAAAGGACGCTTGCAACGCAAGCAATGTTGGACTGCACAAAGGGCAGAAGAAACGTATGGTCGACTGAGACAGGAATGTCGCTGTCTTAACGTCGAGTATTTGGGTGTATCCTTGACATTGTAGACACCAGATCAGAAAGTTATGCCAAGGGGTGCCAAGATGTCCATCGAGACGTTTTACAGGGATGTTTAGCGACGTTCTGTTAGCAGCAACTCCACGCAGATAGTGGAAAGCCGAAAAGTGGATGGAGCCAGATTTTAGTCCCCTTTTCCGATAGTGGCTCTTCTTTGGGTCAAACCATATCGATCTAGCCCGTCAGCCATGTCAGCAATAATTGGTTGCCTTCCACCCCTGCTTATCCAGCGAGATGTCCTTGAAATGGGCTGCCATGCAACTGTCGTGTGCTCGTTTTCCTCAATGAAAGTGGCTGGCGGATTCGCAAGCCGCTGAGAATAGCTTGAGCCTTTGACATAAGCTGATGCCTAAGCTATCGTTGTCGGGCACGCGAGCTCTCAAGAAGGTTGGTTGTCATGGAGCAGCTTATTTCCACATCAGTGCTGCTATTCTCAATGAGCACGAAAGTTCAAAACATGCTCCTGGCTTTACGATGCATATGCATATGAAATCATGTCCCAAAGCACACGTCATGACTCGGAATGCAGGCTGCCTGAGGATGATTCGCCAAGGGCGCAGTACCTATCACACGACAAGAGACACAGTCTTTCGTGTTCTATGTTTTCCGTGCTGACCAAGCTTGGATCTGAAGGCACACACCATGACATCGTTCGTGTTGGAGACAACAATTATGGACTTGCGGCTGAAGAGGCCGGGCTAAGATTCAGATCCTCAAAGTCGTTGATAGAGGCAATCAATTTTCCTCGTATTGTTATCTCGAACTACTTTTACAAGAATTTTGATCTTTTGTAGCCGGCTCGGGACTCAATGCCTCTGTAGAAACTTTCATTGGTCAAGAGCTTGTGTAACCTATTCCTTGCAGATCTCAATCTCTTTGCTCGACGCATTTACAGACTGTCTGTTGAGCATTATGAGCTACAACACAGGATTTGATGAGCAGTACATGTTCGGAGTCCTCGGGACGAAGTCTACCACAGTCTGGTTGAGTGGTCTATATCGATCCTATTCAGAGGTGACCGCATTAGAAGTTCCACTGCTTTTAACTTGTCGTTATCTTCATTCCCTGGGGAGGACAATAATCGTCAGAGGACGTGCCAGGTTCGTATGAGGTATTGTGATATTAAGAAGTATCTATGATCCTTTCGCGTTTGCAGGCTTTTGTGGCTGATACCAGCTTCTCCCGAAATGATATTGAACTAACTTGGGACCATAAAGCGGATCTCCTGCATGAGAGTGTTTCTGACCACCAGCAAATCCATTGATCGGAAGTATGAGAACATCACCGAACAGCCTACCCTGCTTCTGATCATGAAATGTTGCCCAAGAAATCTTCTGGTCTGGCAATTGATCTTGTATCACTTCAAGCACAACGTCACTTATCATACCTGGGCCTGTTGCTTCAAGAACATCAAGCTTGTTGAGCTCGAGTTGAGCTAAACTCTGAACCTTCTGGCGTCGTGCCAGAAATTCGAGGTTGGACATGACCCGATTGATGGCACGATCAAAGATTGGATGATTTGGTTTGGCCATGAGAGTCCGTTGACAGAAGGAAATAGGACGAGCGAACATTTTGTACGTCGTGTCGTCATACTCGATTCCTATTACTGCATTGATGATCTGAGATCCCAGATCCTCGGGAATCCAACGGTCAACGTGTAGCAATACGGATGTGTCAATGTCTGCGTAAACCCCGCCACGAGCGAACACAAGCATGTATCGAAGCAAATCTGCTCGCAATATAATTGCAGAGGAAGCTGTACTGTCGAAGACAATAGCTGATTTGTTGTTTGGGGCTTGGGCGTTCCGCGGAGCAGAAGACCCCGTGCTCTTCGAAGAGAGGTCGTTCCAGAAGTTCACTAATGAAGGTCGTGTGGTCGAGAATGTCTCCCGTACAAATTCGTCGGCGTCTTTGTCTGACAGCCAGTGGTGCTCAAATCCTTTGACATCCTTCCACGTTTGAACCTGCTCTGTATAGTTAGCCTTACCAGCTTCACTTGATGTCTGCCAGATATGCCGAGGAAAGGCAGCGGTATAGCCACTTGGCAGTAGCGGCGACGATATTGGTGCTGGCAAATCAGGCGTGTTTCCTTGTCTTTGCGAGCTCGTCCTGTCGAGCTGAATTTCCGGGGAGGTAGAAGCCGGATCATGCTGGTTCCGTAAAAAGCCAGCAGGCTCAGGTTTCGACGCTTGACTGTCCAAAAGTCTTGGAACGTCAGTGGCCCGCTGCAGCCAGTATACTGAGCACAGCAATACAATTGCTAGTAACAGATAAGTTCCTTTGCGCGTTGTAGCCATTTTTCCTGCCCCAAAGTAGCAAGTCTTTGGCTAAATTGGTGGCAATATTTCAAAACCTGTCGTGTTGTGCCGACGCCATATCTCACCTTCCAGAGTAGAGTTCGTGAAGTATCTTACTTGTATTCGACGCACGAAACCAGTGTTAGCGATCTTTACAAGCAGTACTAGTATGAATAACATTCAACAGATAGGAGTCGTCTTTGTTCGTGGCTGTCGATACACCAATGACCTCGCTATGCACCAGGCTGTTTTGGATCTAGTGTCGCACCACCACAGCTGGTAAGTGGAGTCATATAGTGGTGGAGTTGAGCTTCTGGCTCCTCAGCTCCCCTGGCCCCTTATCTCACAGAGTTTAGCACATCCTTCTGCCGCACAAGCCCGATTTGCAGGCTTACCCTGTTACTGCCTGTACATCACATTGACACGAATTCGACAGGTTGACGGGATGTCTGAGTCCCGTTTTGCCCGTGTGCCCATGTGCCTGTGTGGTTCGCTCCAGGTAGCAGCTTGGCGTGTGGCTGTCACTCAAGCAAGCTGATGATAATAAAACCACCTTATTAAAGTATTGACGAGAGTATGTGAGTGTCCCTGGATTACTCTGACTCTGCCTTGGCATTGAATGCAGTATTGGAACATCGTTCTGGCAGCGCACTGGTACATCTCTCCGTCCAGACGTGCTGTTCTAGCCTCCTCCCATGCTGTAGCCATTGTCCGTTGCTTTGATGATAATGGGATAGGACATTGGTGGTGATTTAGCAAAGATGGCGTTGTTATCACGAACGAACGTGTATTTTGTCCTTAAGGTCGTCACGGTGTTTCTTGCCTGCAGTGTTGTGCTTGACATGGCATTTTACTCAACTAGCACAGCAAGGAATGCTGATCTAGGTGAAGAAAGCAACGCGTCGATAGCGAAGGTATCAATGCTGTATGGCGAGCCAAATCCTCTCTACGAACGTGCGCTTGCGACGCACGAGGCACACAACAACAAATTTGGCTATCCATTCTTCATCTTGCGCGAGCGAACTCTGCCGGGATACTGGTCCAAGCCCGCATACCTATTACGGCTTCTGTTATCTGAGTTAGAGAAGCCAGAGGCAAACAGATTGAAGTGGCTGATGTGGGTAGACGGAGACGTTGTGGTCATGAACCCAAATATTCCACTGGAGATATTCCTACCACCTGAAGCAGATTGGGATCATATCCATGCGGTTATGACGAACGACCATCGAGGATTGAACAATGGTGTGTTCTTTTTGAAAGTACACGAGTGGTCTGTGTGGCTTATGAATTCCTGCCTCAACACTCAGATCCACGTACCAGATCTTCAACTCGAGTTTGGGGATCAGAGTGCGCTCCAATATTGGTTTAACAAAGAGCTTTTCAGAAACAACACCATTCACGTGCCGCAGAGATGGTTCAATGCTTACGCAGGATATCGAGGGGCTCCGACGGATCTGTTTGCCGATCCGCTACAGCCATCGTACAAGTTCAAAGAGAACTCTGTGAAGGAGGGTGATTTGTTTGTTCACCACGCTGGACACAAATCTCTGCGGGCACAGAGAATGCTGCCATGGATCGAGGTTGCCGAAAGCCATCTAGAGTCCTGGCAGTTAGAGCTCGAGGCCACGACTTACTTGGAGGAGATAGCCGACTTCTGGAAGAACGATGCTCGTAACGAACGAAAAGCTGTAGACAAAGTGCAGAAGGTACTGGAGGAGAACTTGCGGAAGAAGCAGGCTGCGAAGGATACGGGAGCAAAATCAGCTGTGGGGCAAGATGGCAAGAAGCAGGCTTGAGTCAGGTTCGCGACTGCCAATCCTGAGTCCAATGATGACTGTTCAGCCGGCACTGGGAACGACTATCGGGCACCTTCCTCATCAACGCTGAGCATCAGCAACCAGCCCAGCAACCCCTCCATGACGTGATTCATATACACAACGCAGGCATCGAATTGCCTCTACGCTCCTGCTCTCTCAAAACAACTAGCTTGGTTGAGATGCTACCTACAAAAGTAGATGTGTACGCCCTGATGAGGCCACTGCAAGGCCAGTAACTCAATCCTGATCTCGCGCGGTCGAAATATTAGGTAGTTACAGTAGTAACCCGCAAGGTACGATGGATCTGCTTGGGAATTGACTGCTCGAGTATGAAGCATTCCTCATTATTGCCCCTGCACTCGACTATCTACGAGCTCGCAGCCACAACGTACGTCGTTGTACATGGCGAATTCTACTGGTTATGTACTGTACATACCACACTCGAAACATTCTTGCCCTAACCACATATCCCAAACGCCGAGACATGCAAATTTCGTCCCTGATTCCCGTACATCATTGCTTGTTCGCATGCCTTCAAAGCCCTTTGAACCTCGCCCATCCCGCAGCTCCGGGTTTGTTGGACTGAACTGCGACCGGCTGAGTAGAAATTTCAAAACCTCTTCCTTCCTCGGCAATTTTCCCACTAACCTCTCTTCTTCGAGTTGCCATGCCTCTTCCAAACTCTGGATCAAGTCCAGCATAGCCACTGTGAAGATCATAACCAGTCGAGTTCGATACCTGACGCTGACCGTTCCATTCTCGACCAGGTGAAGAGTTGCCGACAACGACTGCGGGACCGTGTTGCACAACTCCGTATTGCGCACGATACGGGTCGTACTCTTCGTCGCTTTCTGACGCATATACTTCAAAGTTCCCACTCTCTGTACTCTTGACCGTGTTGCTACGCGTGACATCGTCCTCCTCCTCCTCTTCGTGATTGTATCCTCCTCGTGTTGGTGATCCACCCATTGAAGTACGTAAGTCACCATAGAAACGTCCTTTTGTGCCACTGCCTACAAAGCTTGCCGGTCGAGATGCTGGTGTAGCGTAATGTGCGATAGAGTTGACGTCTGCCTCTTGCAAGGCTTGTCGCGGAGGCGTTCCTTGTGTAGGCAAAGAGAGCGGTTTGACAACCAGGGTTGCATCGGCAAAGTGGTCGTTGACAGGAGTCGGAGGGTTCATACCAAGCGGTTCGCGGCTTCTTTTCTTCTGCGAGGGAAACGACGGAGGAAGTGCTAGGCTTAGATTTTCAGGGCTCGGCATATCGTCTTCACGTTCTTGACCTGGGTATGGAGGCAAGGCAAGGGACGTCAGTTCTACAGCAGGCGTTTGAGTTGTCAGACGGTGAGCATTGTAGTCATGGTGATCATTCGTGGGAGAGGCTGGCGACATAGTCTGGTAAAAATTCTCGTAATCGTTAACTTCGGCAGGCATTCCTTCATAGTGAGTCGAAGAAAGCCATGAGCTTGGTCGTGGTGCAGGCACGCCGAGTCTAGACGAACGAGCGGACTTGTTGTCGAGACCTGCACCTGCTGGACGAGCATTTGTTGCTGGTGTATGTGCTGATGAAGGTCGTGGAAGGGAAGCATTGTCACGTTCCGATTGCAAAGAAGCTCGGACGCTGTAGGGATCCTTGAATTCAGCGACGAAATCCTTCTTGAATGAAAAGGAGTCTCTATCCACTGAGTCTGTACGAGTATGCTTGAATGGTACTCTTCTGCTGTTGATATCAGGTCGGATCATTTGGGAAAAGCGTTCGGAAGCCATTGTAGAATTGCTCATGTGCTTGTCAAATAAGAGGTCAGATTTGTTGCGTTTGTGACGCAGTCTGGAGGTCAAATTATCCTTTTCTTCCAGAGGATTCATGTCTGGCGGTAAATGTATTATTTTGCGATAGATGACTGCCAGGTAGATGTCCACAAATAGCGACAAGAGCAGGAGGAAGCCCTCTATGCCGCAGAGAATCATGAAAGTCTGTATAATCTTATAATCTTGATCGTTGTCGTTGAACAATGTGTCCCAACCATAGACATTCGAAGTGAAATCCAAGGTGGCCATGTAGCAGGATATGGCAAAGAAGGGCAACAGACCAGCATCGATCAGAGCAGCAAACATCTGATAGCTTGCGCATGAAGCTGGCGAACGGCTGTTGATGCCTCGGAAGTGAAAGTAGGTGGCGTACAATGTATGTGCCAGAGCTAGGGCAGGTCCAACTCTTATGATCCATCCCACACCAGTGCTTGTCTTCCTGAGGACGATAATACAGAAGACAGCTCCTAGAGCTCCCAGAAGCGCAAAAGCTCGCAGCACTCTTTGACTCTTCCATGCGGCAGTCACTCGTCCTTTAGTATGCGGAGAGACCGGGATATAGCTGACGTTGCCGTAGGGTGATTGGTGATACTAGGATGAGATTAGCAGGTAGTCCAAGTGTTCGGAAGCTGAGGTAATTACAGAATCAGGATGTCTGTTAAAGGAAATGAGTGGTCCATCTTGCTTGACTTTGGTCTGCTTCGGAGTCCAGGATGCATATGTGACAGCTTTGGGATTGAACCCTCGACTCTGTGGCCCATCGAAGGTGTAGCTGGAAGGTTTGTCGTAGATGAAAGGAGGTGCGACAGCCATTCTGATAACAGCGACTGCCTGCGGCCGCGACTTGACCGACTCGAGATCTTTGGAATGCTGAAAACTGTTGCGCACAGACGAAGGTTATCATCGTAAGAGCAAGTCGGAAGAGGAGATCCTTGTTGACCTGACGTTGCCACGGCAACATGCTTTCTGCTAAGCCAATCATGTCATCTCATGTATCACTAAGGGATTTTTCTCTCGGTCCGTCAGGACATGTACTGTTACGTTGATCGAGAGAGCAACAGCTTTGACATACGAATACGCTCTCATTGTGCATGGTACAGCGCCGTGCCTTGTTGAGTCCATGGTTAGGCTTTGTGGGAGTAGTATGCTAAGTCGAAGAGTGGTATACATGACACAGTCATCCAAGGTGCTCAGTATTTTTGGTTTGTCGCAGCGACACCTTCTGAACAGTCATCTGTGTAGAGCTGCATCAAAGGATACTCTCACTTCTGTTTCCTTTACTTCAGTGGTGATGTGGAAGATTCAACGTGGATAGAAGACAAGCTTTTGGTTAATACATGGCAAGTGGGTCCCCACGAGCTCCCGGTCGGAAGCTCTTTCCCTTAGCGTGAACCCCAACTTTTACACAAGGCCTGCGCTGAAACCCGTAGCACAAAAAGTTTGCGAATCTGTCTCCCCACAAACCCATGTCACGAAAATAAGGTCTGTGGTGGTGCAAGAGGAGGAGCAGAGCTTGGAAATATGCTCCTCAAGTCCAAGAAGGGCCAGCATGTCGAGGAAGCGCGCAATCTGCAGAAGAGTCGCGCTCAAGGACTCTTCACATGGCAGCCTCTCGTCCTGATCACCACTCTCCTGGCCCTTTTGTCCTTGGCCTTCATTGTACACGCTTCTCTGAACCTTCAAGTCGACCCCCAAGGATGTGTCATGTCAATGATGGCCCCGACTTACCTCAAACTGTCCGGCTTTGACACCGAGCACTCCCGATTCGCGAGCAAGTACCATCTCTACCTATATCGCGAAGAGGGAGTCGACGAATACACGCACGACAATATTGGTCTTAGAGGTGTGCCAGTGCTCTTTATCCCTGGTAATGCTGGCAGCTATAAACAAGTCCGCTCGTTGTCCTCCGAAGCCTCTCGATATTTCCACGACAAGCTCCGTGACGATCAGCAGGCCAGGGAAGATGGAGTTCGAGGCCTTGACTTCTTCACCATCGACTTCAACGAGGATCTGGCAGCCTTTCACGGTCAAACCGTGATTGACCAGGCTGAATATGTCAACGAGGCAATAGCATACATCCTTTCCCTCTACCACGATACGAAGCGATTGAATCGAGACTCCGATCTTCCTGACCCAAGTTCTGTCATCCTGATAGGTCACTCAATGGGTGGAATTGTCGCAAGAACCGTGCTAGTAAATAGCAAATATCAGGCCAACTCGGTCAACACCATCATCACGATGTCTACACCTCACGCCCGACCACCGGTATCCTTCGATGTGGACATCGTGACCTTGTACGAGCAGATTAATAATTACTGGAGGGAGGCCTACACTCAGAAGATGTCAAGCAACAATCCCTTGTCACAGACGACAATCATATCCATAGCTGGAGGAGGCAAGGATACTACTGTTCCCTCGGACTACGCTACCATCTCGTCTCTTGTGCCCGACTCCCATGGCTTTACCGTGTTTACATCCACCATTCCCACCGTCTGGACATCAATGGATCACTTGGCCATTACTTGGGCCGATCAGCTGCGAAAAGTCATAGTCAAGTCCCTGTATGAAGTTGTCGATGTCCGAAGATCAGCTCAGACTAAATCTCGAGCTGCACGTATGAAGGTGTTCCGAAAGTGGTTCCTGACCGGTTTGGAAGACGAAGCTGTCAAACGACTCCCACTAGCAGAGCACGATGTCCTGCTGATCTTGGGCGATGAGTCGAGGTCTACCGTAAGCAAGAAAGACAGCATTACCATTCATCGCCTTGGCTTGCAAGACATGTCCTCCGCCAAACTGCTTCCTGTTCCTTCGTCGGCAAATGGATCTGTGAAGCACTTTCAACTCTTGACAGACCAACCTGTTCACCCTGACGGCTCCTTCGACCATTTGGATGTTCTTTTCTGCAGCGCTTTTCCAGTTGCAAATCACGCTTCTTCGACCTCGAATCCAATACATATTGATCTGTCGAATGGTGATGCTAGTGCTACCCGACTTGCTTGCAAGCGCGCTACTGGTGATGCAGTCTCTCTACCGACTTCAAATCGATTATCTCAAAATGCCTTCGACCAAACACCACCCTTCACCTTCCTCCAGTACGACGTGATTGACCTGCAAGAATATCAGTTCGTCGCTGTAGTTGACAAGAGCACCAAGGTCAACGATGGATGGGTCCACGCTGAATTCAACGCCGACTCCGACTCTAGTGTCGTGGTTGACATCAGTCTGCCAATGCTTCTGTTCCGTGGTGTCAGCGTGGAGCTACCCTCAACTCGCGCCTTGATGACTAATATCAAAATTCCAGCATTACAATCGTCTTTGCTCGCCTACAACCTCAAAATGCGTCAGCACGGTTGCCACAAAGATACTGAGCTCTTCACTTTGCTGGTGAGACAATACATCGACGCTCCTCATGAGTCTAAATATTTCGTCAATTTCAAAGAAGGTGATATCAATCTGCACGGTGTTGCTCCGTTCATGCCGCCAGCGTTACCAGGCGAGTCGATCAATAGTGGTGTGTCTTTCCAAATCTGGTCCGACCCTACGTGTAAATCGTCCTTGGAGTTCCGCTTAAAACCCGATCTGCCCGGCAGTCTTGGGAAGCTCGTCATTCGATACCGCACAGTCTTTGCTGCTTTCCCCCTCCTCGTGGTGGCGATGGTGTTGAGGAAACAGTTTCGATTATACGATAACGCAGGAATCTTTATCTCTTTCAGTGACAGTCTCGATCAAAGCTTGCGGTTGCCCTTGCCAATCTTGTTACTGTCCATGACCTTCTTTGCTACTGCTTTTACTGGGAACCTTGCAGCTACAAAGCATGCACCGACACATCAGCCAAACGGGACTGTCAGCTACAACCAAAATGATCTTCTTCTTGGATCCCCCGATGCCTTCTTCTGGTTTCTTGTACCACTATGTGGGGTTATTAGTGTTGGAGTATGTGTTATTCTGAACTATGTCGTACTGACCCTGTTGCAATGCTCCAGTGTGTTGCTGTCGGCCTTTACGACTCGGAACGCTTACGTCAAGATGGTGGACAGTGAGAAAGAGAAGACTTCTGTCGTTACAATGACAGCCACTCCTCGACGTCGGATTATCAACACTGTCGTTCTCTTAGCGCTCGTCGCCACCGTCATTCCCTACCCATTCGCTTACGTTGTCGCATGTCTCGTGCAATTTGCGACGGCCACGCGGGCACTAAGAGATGCGAAAGACCTTCGGACTGGGTCTGCAATGAATTTTTTCAACTACACACATTCGATATTGATCTTAATGCTTTGGGTTCTGCCTATAAATCTGCCGATTCTAGTGGTGTGGGTCCACAATTTGGCTGTTCACTGGTTGACGCCGTTCTCGTCGCATCACAATGTTCTGTCGATTATGCCTTTCATCCTGCTAGTGGAAACATTGTCTACTGGCTCAATGGTGCCACCTCTACAAAAGTTCAAATGGACCACGAATTTTCTCTTCTTCGCTCTGGCTGTGTACTCGGCAGTGTATGGTATGACTTTCGCGTACCGGATACACTATATTGCCAATATTATTGCCTTGTGGCTGGTATTGATACACTTCTCCATGCAGAGGCCCCGACTAATGACATAAACGAGGCAGTCGAGACATTATCAGTGAAGTCATTTTCTGTTGTCTCACCTCAGAGAAAAGCTGCGTTTAGAGCTCGACCCTGAAACGTTAGACGAGGTCGCTTTGCGTTCAAAAGATCTGTAGTAATATTTGAAACAGTGTAATGTGCATAGACGAACCCTGATAATTATTGCAAAAAGAGCATGATATTCATGAGGCCTAGAAAGACAATTGAACAAATTAGTGCTAGACATAATACAAAAACATCGAGAAAAATGACATTTGGCTTATGCTTGCATCGTGCTTGAGTGATTGTTCTGTTCAGAAGTCCTCCTTCCTGGCATAACCATCACTCAAGCCTTCTTTGACAAAAGTCCCTCTCATCTTAAAACGGAGTCACTTCGAACACTCATTACTTCGTTTTCTACGTTAGCTCGCTCATGACCAAGATACCTTCTGGCCCGACCAACCATTTATTCTGAAGTCGATTAGCGTGTCAAACACCACTATCAAGAACCCAGAACTTGCGCCTGCAAAATCGCAAGAAAAGCCCAATATACCTCAAACTCTTCCAGCTCAAACAACCGTGGTGCTCACAAGCCCATCGAGTCCATTACCACAAACAGCAACTACGACTCCGTCCTCAACAGATCCGGCTAAGACATCTTTTGATCTCCTCTCTCCCGCATATCTGACCGTGGGTCTCATCTTCGTTGTCGTTCTCGTCGCACTCATCTGGCTCCTGATGGGTCCCAACGCTCGAAGACCATGGTCCTGTCATTCTCATAGGAAAAGTGTGGAGGTACCTCTGCGACAACGAGGGCCAGGCGATGCATACGAGGTCAATCCGGACATGTGGAGTGGTGGTGGTAGATTCGTTGGTGAATCACTACGAGGCAGAGATCGAGATAACGATCCGGTTCTTGAGATATCGGGTGCAGCTATGGAGATTGGGTATGACGCTAGGGGGACAAGAGCGAGAGAAGATGGAACAGGGTCACAGCATAGGTGTGTGAGCGCCTCGCCATGTTCAGGAGAGCATTATGAGATCGCAAGATACGATCGAGACCTACCTCCACCTTACCGGCAGGAAGAGAGACACATGGTATAGGAACGAACAGAAGGATTGTGCCTAGCTAGAAAAGGCAAGGGCAAGCTCTAGCACGTGCGCGCTCGAAGACATCGAGCTGGAACGTGAAGGATTGATACGGGAACGTTGGTATAGATGTCAAGCATGTTAAGCTGGACCTCAGGTTCGAGGCAGTTCGGGCACGAGCGAGGGCGAGTATGCTCTGGCGCTAGTTCGAAATAGTTCGACTTTAATGACGTCGCTGCTCACTTGAATCTCCGAGCTGACCAACACTCGTGAATTCTGACTGCTCTGAATACGATTCACAAGAATAGGTCCTCAATTTCATGCAGTAACCTCACACATCTTAGTATCGTACTGTACCGCCAGCTCCTACTCCTTTCCTCCCAGATCACGACTACCATGGCCATAATACGAAGCTCTCGAGCTATCGTTCGCTCAATCGAGCGCGTTGCCTTTCAAAGCACTGCACGCACATCTACTGCTCCTGCTCTGACCCTCAGACAGGAGATTTGCGCGTCAAAACACAACTTAACAACATTGACTTCTCGAAGGTCTTTCTCGGTCTTATCGACTCTCAAGGAGTCAGGAGCGGCGTCGGCGTATGAACCAGTTGGTTCTGGCATCTCTCCTCCCAAATCATACAGCTTCGAAGAAGTACAGGATCTGACCAGCAGTCCTTCTAAAGGTCGCATCTTAATCGACGTTCGAGAACCAAGCGAGTTGCTCCAAACTGGTCGTATTCCAACTGCCAAGTCAGTGCCTATCTCTTCCGCTCCAGACGCCTTCTTCATGAATGAGGAGGACTTCGAGACGAAGTTCGGATTTCCTAGACCTAGTGAGAAAGATGAAGTTATATTCTACTGTAAGGCTGGTGTGAGGAGCAGGCAGGCTGCCTTGCTAGCTCAACAGGCTAGACCAGTCTTTGGCGGGAAAGTGGGAAACTATCAGGGAAGTTGGCTCGATTGGGAAAAGAACGGAGGTAAAGTCGAAAAAGAGGGCGAACAAGGGGAAGAGAGTAGCGTCTCGGGAGTCACGAATCCTGGTCAGGCTGTTCCCGGTACTCCTAGACCATAAATGAGAAACAAATACAAAACTTAGTCCGAAGTATTTGCTTCAAAGGCTAAAAGGTCGGATTTTTGCATAGGAGTTCAATTGTCTTGAGGATCTATCCGGGAAATGAGAACCATCGCCGCAGGCGCTACTTGAACTTGCAATAATCTACACTTTCCCTTCGTGTCTTCCAATTGAAGGACAGCATTCTCGTCAACCCCAATTTTGAATATCCTACTGTCCTTGGCGTACTTCTTGGACGTCGATGAGGCACGTCACGCAGATTATACACGTACAGCATCTGAGCGCTTATCCTGCTTTGTCCAATCAGAATTTGTCTCAGGTATTATGAGCCAGCTTTGAGCTACAGCTAATGGCATGTATCTATAGGCCCTGTGAGAGGCAAGATACTGTTGAAACACCAAATTCTACGTCTTGTGGTGAGCTGTCCCTTTCACGTTCAGCTTTTTGACCAGGCTTTACAATCTGTCCCATATCTTATTTGCAAAATAGACGAAGATATGCTGCAGAGCACAGCATCTCATTCGGGATGAAACAGGGAGTTGATGCTTTCGAAAAGCGCAACGTTGGCTGTTTTTGTGACTTACCTTACCCCACTGCAGAACGAATTGGTCTTGCCATTGTGAGGTCCATATTCTGATCTGCTCACAATCACAAACATCCCAAGCAGTTGACCGCTACAATTGACACTCGCCACGATTGCAGCTCGTCCTGAGACCATACCAGTATTGAGATTGCGCTCCTGTATAATCAATGTCACAGATCGACCGTTGTGGCTCGAATGCAGGAGCTATGTAGCACAGACATGTTCGTTTGGTCAACAAACAAGGGTATATTTGGCTACCACTTCGGGGAGAAGATCCTATACCTCCACCCTCGCTACGCGCATCATACATGGTCTCAGACTACTAATTTACAACTTTGAAAATGCTTGCAAAAGAGAGTGCTTTGGGGCCTGAACGAGTTGGTATAAGCATGATGAGGGCATTCTATAACAATGGACTGTTCAGCAAAAACACTCTTTCAGGTTTGCGTTTCAGCATCAACTTTAACCCAGTCATTCTTTCAAGATGCATTGTTAGTCGCTGATCATTCTCTTCTTATCATTCAACTTCTTTATGCAACTCCTGTTCCAGTCCCAGGTACTGCGCAGTTGATGCGTCTGCCCGACGACACGCAAAGGCATCCAGATCGTCCTCGTTATCCGAGTACCGACGGTAGTTGTTACAATATTCCTCAGAACCGACAGTGTTGGAGTCCTGGCTACGATATCGATATAAACATCGAGACCACCTGGCCAACTACAGGTAAGGTCGTCTCCTACACGCTCGATGTACAGAACAAGACTCTTGCCCAGGATGGCCATCCACGACCTGTGCATGCTATCAACGGTCAATTTCCAGGACTAACTATCAGAGCTAGATGGGTTGATACTCTTCGAATTACTGTCAAGAATAGCCTTCAACACAACGGTGCCAGCAACCACTGGCATGGAGTGAGGCAGTGGCAGACCAATCCTATGGACGGGGCCAATGGCATTACAGAATGTCCTCTAGCACTAGGTCAATCCGAGACCTACACCTTCTTAGAAACACAATACGGCACAACTTGGTATCACTCTCACCATTCACGTCAATATGGAGATGGATTGTGGGGCACCATTGTCATCGATGAACCATCAAGTGCCAATTGGGACATCGACCTTGGTGTCTTACCTGTCCAAGATTGGTTCTACGATATATCTGAAACTATCATGTACAGGCTCGTTCGTGCGCAGATTCGCAACCAGCCGGTGGCCAATAACATCCTTATTAACGGTACGACTGTGAACTCGGCTGGTGGAGGAGTTTACCATGGCAACACGATTGAGAAGCGTAAGAATTATTTGCTGTAACTTGTGAACACTGGTATTGGCGATACCTATAAAGTCGGCCTTGATGGGCACAATATGACTGTAGTGTCGATGGATTTCGTGCCTATTGTGCCGTATACTACTAAGTGGCTTACAATCGGTATTGGTCAACGTTGGAACGTTGTCATCGAGGCCAACCAGCCTGTTGACAGCTACTGGCTTCATGTCGTCTCAAGCAGGTTGCAGTGCCAATAGTGTGACGAATGCCGTCAGTGTTTTCAGCTACGAAGGAGCCAACAACACTATGCCTAGCGACAGAATTCGCAATAACGCCCCTCCGACCAGTGATTGCGTCGATCCGAATAGCGATCTTATTCCGTGGGTTCCTCTCAACGTCTCATCCAACGAAACTATTCCCCAATCCTCCCGCCTCGACGTCGGATTTGCAGTTGTCCAGAACAGCTCCTCTCAAACACAGACCCTCGTCCAATGGACCCTAGACTCGACCGCCACTGTCGCCGAATGGCATCATCCAACCCTCCAATACGTCCGTGGAGGCACCTCAGCATACCCCCGCAGCATGAACCTCATCAACCTCCCTACAAAGAACCAATGGTCCTTCTGGGTTATCCAAGCCCAAGTCAACTCGATAACTCCACCACCACAAGCTCACTCTACGCATCTCCACGGCCACGATTTCTAGGTCCTCGGTGCTGGGACTGGCGTCTACGACGATAGCACGACATTGAACTATATCGATCCTCCATGACGTGACGTGACGATGTCACCTGCAAGTGGTTATGTTGTGCTGGCTTTTGTCATGGATAATCCTGGTGCGTGGTTGATGCATTGCCATGTTGCTTGGCATCAGGGATTGGGTTTTGGTGCGCAGTTCTTGGAGAGGGCTAGCGAGGCCCTTCCGATGACTGATAGGGAGGAGGGTGGGGCTCAGCAGTGCGAGAGTTGGGATCAGTATGATGATATTGCGCTGTATGAGCAGGAGGGTAGTGGTATTTGAGGTAGACGAGAGATTGGTTGAGTGGACGTGGGTGGAAAGTGTCTGATGTTCAAAAACTTAAGAGTAAGTAGGCACGTATTTCGAGCCTGCCTGTTCGGCTGTGTTGAGTGTAGGCAGGTGGAACAGATACGCACGTACACGCGACATTGGTGGCACCGTCCCCGTTCACTAAACTTATTGGTTTCTAAATTCTTAATGCATAGCTTACCACAACCCCGGCTTAGTTCTATCTACACTTGTTCACTGTCTACATTTGGTTTCTGCATGACTATCGCCACAGCACTTTAATCTAAATAACAGTATGGCACAGCCGGTTGTGTCAAGAAGAAGGATCCTTAACAACGTAAGGAACTTTGGATAGAGCGCGATCACAAGAACCAACACTTTACGAGGCTATCTATACCTACCACCCCACAACAGGCGTGAAAGCTATACACCTGGAGACTCCAACAGATACATAGTATGATGAACAGAAGGATGTCCCGGCACCAACTGAGGAAGAAATGAACAGACTGCAGAAGGATATCGTCGCAAGCATAGCCAGAGTACTACACGTCGACCCCCAGAAAGCAGAGCAAGAAGCTATTGCAGTCGGCAAAAGACAGGTGGTATCGGCGCTTGCAGTCTTCAAAGATGGGGTGTTCCAGGACCTGCCGGCCGTCAAAGCGTTTAGGCTCAAAGTGACTGAGCTGAAGAATCTTGCGACAAGGTTAGAGAACCAGACTCGGTATATGCAGGAATGGCCCGCTTTGCACGGCTCAAACAATGACCTTGAGAGGCTTGAGAAGGTCAATACTGTGCTAGAGGAGTCTCGCGGTCTAGTTGACGACATGGTCAGAGAGATTAGTATCGCCCGCAGGCTCATGCTGCTGTTGTCAACGACGGAGAGAGGGGATGGGGCCATGATGCCAGCTCCTCGACAGTGACAGCCGCTCACAATGGCTTAGATCTTCCCATCCGTACGGCTCCGCCCAGGGACAATGCAACGTCAGATTCTACCGGTGGCTCGAACGGCATATATAACCAGATTTGTGCTGCTGGGATCCTTACAATCATGTCTGCAGGAAGTCAAACGTCGCAGACTGCGAATACTACGGACTTGACCAGCACATGATTGGTGGACCTTGAATCCGGCGTTGGTTTGAGCTTGTGCAGTAATGACAAGTCTTCGTACTCTGTCTGTTCGAATAAGGATAGACTATTGTGGTGAAGGGTAGGCAAAGTCCGTTGTTAGACACGTTTTGGGAGGCAAACGTGGGTGCCAGATAAGGTTGAGGAATAAATTTGCTGAGATGCTGAACATGCCTGACACGTCCATTCTGCGAGTCTAAATTTGATAACTTTGACTTTCGTGCCGAAGTTTTGATCGACACGGGTTTCTATCGCGATAAACTGGAGAATTCTTGATTTGTTCATTCGACGTCCTGTCACTGTAGATCTACAACCCTGTAGGATTCAACACGACCATGGCAACTACCGAACAGCCTCTGCCGGCTGTGGCCAGCAATGAGACAAAACTCAGTCAGCAATATGACACACCCTTGGGCCTTGCCCATACAACGATGAATGCCCTAAAGGATCGTATAAAGCTTCATTACGATCTGGCCAGTGACTACTATTTCAATTTATGGTAAGCTACAATCCCACCAGAAAAGTCTTGGCACTATCATGCCTGGCACCACTTTCTCTCGAAGGTATGGGCAATATATTAAGACCAGTCCAGGGGCGAACACATCCATCATGGCTACTACCCTACGCCAGAAGCCAAAGCAACTGAGACCAAAGAAGTGGCACAAGTCAATCTCATCAAGCTCCTACTCGAAACTGCCAAGCTCCCAGCAACAGCAACGCAATCACCACTCAAAGTCCTCGACGTAGGATGTGGTATCGGCGGTACATCTCGCTATCTCGCCTCAGAGCTCGGCGCCACAGTCACAGGCATCACGATATCCACGAAGCAAGTCGAAATGGCACGACGACTCACCAAGACCGCGGCGGCAAAGCAACAAGATCAAAGCACAGCATCAGACGTAAGTAAAGACAACAGCACCAACGACTCCTCAGAATTCATCCCCCTCGGCCCCAACAACGGCAAAGTCCAATTCCTGGAACTCGACGCCGAGAAAATGGGCGAACACTTCGCCGCTCAATCCGCCTCCTTTGACGTCGTCTGGATTAGTGAGGCCCTCTCTCATTTCCCCAACAAACCGCTCTTCTTCGCAAATGCGCAAAAGGTGCTCAAGCAGGGCGGGAAACTGGTCATTGCGGATTGGTTCAAGAGCGAGAGTGTGAAGGTGGGAGATGCGGATATCAAGGCGATTGAGGATGGGATGTTGTTGCCGCCGTTGTGTACGGATGGAGAGTATGTGGGGATGGCGAGGGAGAATGGGTTGGAGGTATTGGGGGGTGGGGAGCCGAAGGATATTAGTGAGGATGTTAAGCAGACTTGGTGAGTTGTTTTTTCTATTGCGTGTGACGATGTGAATCGTGCTGACGAAACGAAATAGGGATATTACTTGGTCGCTGATACAAAATCCGTCGCTGTGGGCGTTCGCGTTCAGTCAGGGACGAGATGGGATTGCGTTCTTGCAGGCTTTCCGAGCTATGAGACGTGGTTATGCGAATGGCAGTTTCCGATACTCCGTGATGGCGTTCCAGAAGTAGAGGTCAATACTGAGAGTTGTAGAAAGGCAGATTAGCGACAAAGGTCGATAGACATAGAAGGAACTTTTAGAAGACAATCTATTCCACTATACACTGCTGTACTGGCTTGAAAACGTTGGTTCTCGCATAGATGCGTATGACCACCGCGCTTCTTACAAGACGGAAAGTCTTGGGAATTTGTCCTGTCCAACATGTCAGTATTTCCTTTCTCGCTCAGTGTACCAAGTAAACATACCTCATATCCAGGCGGCATCCATCTACCCTTCTTGACCAACTCCTCGGTGTATTTGTCGATTTCTGGAGCTGCTTCGGCAAGCTCATCAACAGTTGTCTCCTCCCATGGACGGGCACCTTCAATGTCGCCGAGAGCCTTCTCGAGACTGCGGAGCTCAACCTGGACCTTGGATTTGGTCTCCTCTGCGTTCTTGAGGGCTACCTGTTCTGTTCGGTTGTCAGCTCAAGAACTGAGGGACAGCTTCACACGTATTTCCGCGCATATATTGCAGACGCAGGTTTTGAAAAACTCACCAAAGCTTTCAATGGCCTTGATCTGCTTGCTCACATCATAGGTCTTGGGCTGGAATGTCTTGTAATATTGCTCAATCTCCTTGATGACGTCCTGGTTCTTCAGCACGCTTCGGTAGTGTTCGAAATCGACAGTTTGTGGCTGGCTCTGGAGTTCTTGGACTCTGCGCCTTGCGTTGTCGTTTCGCTGTTTGAAGGCGGACAGCGAGCTAGCTGTCTGACCTTTGAGGCCCAATTGAGATCCGATCTTGCTCCAGTCGAGCTTCGCAGCTGCTCGAGTTGTCTAGGATCTGTTAGCTTAGTCCCGCAAAGAATCAATGTGAGGGTTTCGAAGCAGTTGCTGGTGCAGATTGGGGATTTCGCGTCGTCGTTCCGGTGTCGAGTACGCGACGAGCTTCAGAACTACCGGGAGGACGCCCAGGGTCACATACTTGAGACATCTTGAGCAGAGTTGAGTGGTGCGATCTGTCGTGGTCTACCAGGGAGAGTGAAGAACGCAGCTAGTCCGGCAGCCATGAAGTCGACCCACGTGACCACGGCTAAGCTCTTTTCATCTCCGAAGTGGATACCATTCTCAAGTTCTATTACGATCGTTAATCTTCGACAAAGTCCTCGCTGGCAAAATAATTTCATCTTCGATATACAACCATCATCGACATCGATTTCACTTCCTTTCCAGCTTGCTTTCTTCATCCGACCTTCATCACCGTTCTCGTGTAATATATCTTGTACATCTGAATTCAACCTGTTACACCTCGATTCGTAATGCTCGCATCAAGGTTGCTGCGCTCGGTAAGTCACCATGCGATATCACATCGATACAGCATCAAGTCGAGCATCTTCTAACTCATCAACAGGCGCCGCGCTCATCGGTTCTTCCTCGATTCTCACGCACGAGTCCTTCGATCTTCACAAGATATGCCTCTACAAATCCTGACACGAGTACTGAGAAGGTTAAGGGTCAGGTTATAGGAATAGATCTTGGTACCACGAACAGTGCCGTCTCGATTATGGAAGGAAAAACGCCTCGTATCATAGAGAATGCCGAAGGAACTCGAACGACGCCATCCGTGGTTGCTTTCACAGAAGGGGGTGAACGTCTTGTGGGTGTATCCGCCAAACGCCAGGCCGTGGTCAACCCAGAGAACACTCTCTTTGCCACAAAACGATTGATTGGCCGAAAGTATACAGATCCCGAGTGCCAGAAAGACATTAAAGAAGTGCCATACAAGATCGTTCAGCACACAAACGGCGATGCTTGGGTCGAGGCTCGTGGACAGAAATACTCCCCGTCCCAAATTGGTGGCATGGTCTTACAAAAGATGAAGGAAACAGCGGAGGCATATCTTGGTAAACCAGTCAAGAATGCTGTCGTAACTGTTCCTGCATATTTCAACGATCAGCAGCGTCAAGCTACCAAGGATGCCGGTCAAATCTCAGGTCTCAATGTTCTTCGTGTGGTCAACGAGCCTACTGCCGCCGCCCTTGCTTATGGTCTTGAGAAGGAAGCCGACAGAACCATCGCAGTCTTCGATTTGGGTGGCGGCACGTTCGACATCTCGGTGTTGCAGATCAGCGCCGGTGTGTTCGAGGTGAAGTCCACAAACGGTGATACCCATGTAAGTACTCTCTTTTTCCCTTCTTCACCTTCACCACACCTTGTCACAACGCTAACACCCAAGAAAGCTAGGCGGTGAGGATTGGGATATTACGCTGGTGCGACACATCGTCCAGAACTTCAAGAAAGATTCCGGCATCGATCTATCCAACGACAGAATGGCTGTCCAGCGAATCCGAGAAGCTGCTGAGAAGGCCAAAATCGAGCTTTCGTCCTCCTCGCAAACTGACATTAACCTGCCCTTTATCACAGCCGATGCTTCGGGACCAAAGCACATCAACATGAAGATGACTCGATCTCAGCTCGAGCAGCTTGTTGATCCGCTTCTCTCGAGAACTGTTGAACCTGTTCGAAAAGCCCTCAAGGATGCAGGCATGTCCGCCAAGGAAATTGACGAAGTTATCCTCGTTGGCGGCATGACCCGTATGCCCAAGGTCACTGAATCCGTCAAGAACATCTTCGGCCGAGAGCCTGCTAAATCCGTCAACCCTGATGAAGCCGTTGCCATGGGCGCTGCTATTCAAGGCGCTGTTCTGGCTGGCGAGGTTATGGATGTCTTGCTCCTCGATGTTACCCCATTGTCTCTTGGTATTGAGACGCTGGGAGGTGTCTTTACCCGACTGATTAACCGAAACACAACCATCCCAACCAAGAAGTCTCAAATCTTCTCTACTGCTGCAGATTTCCAGACCGCTGTGGAGATCAAGGTATACCAGGGCGAGCGTGAGCTTGTCCGAGACAACAAGCTACTTGGCAACTTCCAGCTTGTTGGTATTCCACCAGCTCACAGAGGTGTCCCACAAATTGAGGTAACTTTCGACATCGACGCAGACTCTATCGTCCACGTTCACGCCAAGGACAAGTCTACAAACAAGGATCAATCTATCACCATCGCCTCTGGCTCAGGTCTGTCAGACTCTGAGATCGAGAACATGGTCAGTGACGCTGAGAAGTTCGGTGCAGCTGACAAGGAGCGAAAGGCGGCCATTGAGGCTGCCAACCGTGCTGACAGTGTCCTGAACGATACTGAGAAAGCGCTTAAGGAGTTTGAAGACAAGCTCGACAAGGCCGAGGCTGATCAAATTCGAGAGAAGATCACTTCTCTCCGCGAATACGTCGCCAAAAATCAGAGTGGCGAGGGCACCGCCACTGCTGAGGAGATGAAGCAGAAGATCGACGAGCTCCAAACCAGCGCGCTCACATTATTCGACAAAATGCACAAGGCACGAGGAGAGAGCCAACAAACCCCACCACCAGGTAGCGAGCAACAGGGCGAGAACAAGTCGTAAGAGATGTATAGATGAAGTGGCGTTGTGATGGCAAAAGCATTCTGTATTATACTTAATGATATCCTGATGGTCGATACTGTCAACTCTATGGGGTGCGAGGGAGGGACACAAGAAAATTCAAGCTTCAGCGGACTTGTCTTATCATTTTGTCGAGCTTCTGCAAGGATCGACTCAGGCATGAAGGGTTGAGCTCGAACATGTTTAGGCGAGAGCAAACCCAGTTAACACCTTAACGAGCACAAGCATGTGAATACTTGCAGCAGCAGTACAGGAGGCGTGGTGCATTTAGAAGTTGAGCAACATGTTTGCTCGTTGTTTGAATATGAATTTCTCCGCTTTTCTGTATATACTCGAAGAATCTTCTCTATGCTAATGTACTATGATCACGTAATGTCCGCACATTGGTTAAAAGTGTACGCAGCGTGAGAAAGGTGATCTCTTTGGTATCTTTTTAGCTCGATCTGAGGAGAATAATGCACCAATGCGAATAGTTGGAAGCTAGCCCGAAGCAACCTAATTTGGTGAACATGCATGAGGTGTCACGAGAACAGATAGCGGCCAAAGCTTAACGCTATATTTCGTACTCGAGTAAGGATTTCACCGCAGAGCAAACTCGATGGAGCAGCAGTCGCCCAAGCTAATTAGCAAAATAGATGTCTCTGAGCTGTATGATTTGCGGCACGATACGAGGAGATGTGTCCATTTCATAAGCTAGCTGCCCATTTGACGCTTCCAAAAACACACTGTAATGATCAATACTACGAAACAAAGGCCAATCATAGTTCCGTAGTCCCATCTCTGGTATCGGTCAATTTCGCAGTGCCGCCTGTGTCCGCAATGCTACAAATGCCATACAATTGGAACCTTCGCTACCGTAGACTGACTCACTGCTCTAATACAATCCATACGAGTTGGTCATGCATAGCGCTTGAGAACATGTCAACTTCGAGCTCCCACGCTAACGTGGTATTGTAGGCGTATCTTAGCACGTCTTACTGCACAAAGACTATTCTTACTGGTTCTATTGATCCACTTTGATACTATCGCGTGTCTCGACCATTTTCATTCACCTTTGCTCTCCACCGTAGCCTATCTAAACCCATATTGGTCCTTTCCCCAATGGGTGATTTCCTGTTAACATCATGCTCGTCTCTTTTGCGTCTTGTGGTCGCTCCTTCCCGTGTTTCTGGTTTTCTTACTAAGTATCGCATTAACTATCACATTCGTTTGCGCCAGCGCTTGCAAGCCGGCTAGGATTAAACACGTCTCTACTCAACTTGGGTTCCTATTCCGCTATTGTATCATAGTAATAACCGACACATCTCACCTGCGCATCCTCTCTGCCTCCGAAGTTGGTCATCCAGCCTCCTTCCAGATGGCTACAATATATACAGGACATCCGAATCATAATAATCGCTCACCTATCCTGAATCATCATGAGGTATGTTGTTCCTTCTGTCTCGCATCTCGTGTATACCTTCCCATCGCCCACCACCCATGAAGAATCTTTCATGCACCTCTCCACATATCTGGGGTCTACTCTGCACCGTCTATCGTCGTTGTTTCATCGAGATGCGCACCAAACAGGTCATTCGACTACCACACTGCACTCGTCTTTTGCCAATTCCATTACTCGGGACGCTGTCGCAGTGACATTGTGTTTATGATAGCAAGCCCACGCTGGTTTTGAATTAGCAAGAGTGTCCCGTTAAAGCTTACGTTCGCGATCGCATGGGCTTCGCATCGTATTGGCGCGGTTTAATGCCACGAAATCACTGAAACCACAACTGACATCATCGTCCTAGCAGCGACCTTCGCCTTGGGTTTCACGTGAGCAACCCCAGGCTCTCTATATGCCACCAGGCCAGCCTGTTCACTCTATCATGGACCCTGAGAATGAGGACAGTGATGTCTCTTCTTCGGAAGCTGACCTTCGTGGATTCGAGAGACCTGTTGGTCTTCCACCGGCACCATCTAAGCAAGCACTTGAGAACCAGCAAACACTATCCGATCGACTTAGCGAGCTCGAGTCCATCGAGAACCGCAATATCCAGAGGCATGATCTCTTGAAAGAAAAGAGAGCACGTATGGATGGCAGAATTGCTAGTCACCGCGCCGCGCAAGACGCCAAGATTAGAGCAATCATGGATGCTCGTGCTCGACGAGACACGTTAATCATGCAGCGTCGCAATAGAGAGGACATCTCTTTTCAACGTTTCTACGAAGAGCTAGAGGATGAAGAAACAGTGAGTAGCATATTGTCCATATTTTGTACCCTGCTTACTCTCACAAGCGCTTGCGCCACCGTCTCAAAAGAATGAAGAGAGGACTACCTATAGATGATGGCGTCGCAGGTGGCAGACGTGTATCAGGTAGCTCTGTGTCTATGTCGCCCAGCTCGGCACCATATTCGACTGTTCCGCCACCAGCTAAAAGACATCAAACTTCCCATCCAAGCCAGTCCGAAACACCACCTACAAGGCCGCAAGAACATATACAGTACCCACCCCACCCAGCAGAACGACCTCCATATGGTTACTATCAGAGTCCAATAACGCACCATGCACCACTACCTCAGCATCCTTACCAACCCGGTCCCTTCTATCAGCAACCAGGACCTGCCCAAAGCCCACCTGTGACGAATCAACCGCGGCCAACAGGGATGAATGCACCTCCCTATGGGCCAAATGTCCCCCACGAGCCTTCTCATATGTCTACGCCTGCTCCAGTCCCGAACAGTACACCACAATCCGGACCTCAACGACAATTCGCTTCTCACTATGATACACGCCCTCCACCTCCAGCACCAAACTCTTCTGGATTTGCTGCAGTAAATCAGCCGCCCCCTCATAGTGGCTTCGCAGCCGTAAATTCTCGACCACCAGCAACAGCCTCGCCAGATTTAGAAGCGTCTGCTAGCAAGGATAGTGTGCAGAAAATTCACACAAAACCTATTGAAAACACACCAGCAAGGGCGAGCACGGGCGAAGATAAGAGTCCACCTGGTAACGGGTCTAGCAACAAGCGTACACCTTCTACAACGCACCCATATCAAATGTCGGAAGCATTTGCCAATCGACATCATCATTGCGAAAGGATTGATTCCCTCAACCGCGGTATCTGGACCTGGTATGGGCCAGGAGGTAAAGATCACCCTACAGAACCATCCACAGAAATGTATTTGAGGTGCAATCACGATGGCTGCAGACGTATCGATTGGCGAACAGTACACGGTTTGCAATGCCACATTGTAAAAAACCACGAACAACCCAAAGGAACAATTGGGAGTCTAGAGAAAGCTCTTGCCGCTTATGGTGTCCCGGTAAAGGAAGTAGAAGAGGCAGAAGAGAGAGATGGACTCGGCACGGGCGGCACAATGGCTGATCCGAAGAATAACAAGATCAGATCGAGGCGTTTACTGGCTGAGAGACGTGATATGACTCCAGCTGAGACCCCAATCACGGTGAAACAGCAACCACCACAACGTTCAATCAGTCCTAGCTCGATCCTACCATCACACAAAATCGAAGCTGGCAAGCAGTATCAGGTACCGCATGACCATAAGGACTCTAGGGCCGAGAGCACACCCACGCCTATGGAGCCACAGGTCCAATTTCGCCCTTCGACAGGCTTTGCAGCAGTGAACACAGGCTGGCGTCCTGTAAATGCGGGTGCACACAAACGTCAACATTCGAATGATCTGGAGATGCGCGATGGCCCTCACAGCCAGTCCATACCCCAGACGCAGATCAAGGAGAAGGAGCAGGAAAAAGAAGATCGAGGCCAGATATCTAGACCATTCTGGCAGGCTTGGCCAGTAGGGCCAGCAGGCACTCCTTCCCCGACAAGGTCAAATATTCCTGCTTACACTACACCGGGCTGGCCAGGTTTTCAACCAACATATAACCATCAGCCACAGCAGCTCACGTCGTCCCAACCCCAACCATCTCTGGTAAATCCTGCGCCTGTTGTTCCACAATCTTCAAGCTCCAACATCTCTGAGTCAAAGCTGGTTACTGAACAGTCGCGTGACACTGTCACGTCTGCCAGTCGATCGTCTGAGGCGCCTCGTCATGATCGAGAGCCGCACAAAAGTCAAGTAGAGGCTTCAACTGGGTTTAGAGAGGTGACGCCAAAAAGAGAGATAACTGACGAGAACCACAACGAGGTCGAGCCTGCGAAAGACGCAGTACCAGTGACTGGCCCCCATAGAGTGATGCCAGACACTGACATGTCGAGCGTCGGCACAGACGTGCAAACCAACCAAGAGCACGAAATGCGACCAGAAGCGCCGAGGCATATGGATGGCGTTCACAAGAATGAAGCAGCTCCACCACCTTATGCAAAGCTTGAACAACCAAGTAAGGGCATCGATGCCGCACATGCCGCACCTGCCGAAGAACAACGTGCGCCAAATTCAACAGCTCAAGCACCAGCAGAAATTCCAGCCGAGAAAGTGCAAGACCGGGACGCCGTTATGGGTGATGTCAAGGCGGTTGTCGAAGAGGATACCAAGCCCGCTGTAAAGCGGTCTCCTCAAGTCAGCAGCAGACGCATCGCATCGAGGAGGGAAAGTCGACGGACGAGCATAGCCACAGCTGCTTCGAGCAAAGCAGGGACTGAGAAAAGCAAGGAAGATGACCTTGATATGCCTGTATCTAGCAGGATCAGTGCTGATGAAGACGGTGATACAATAGTAGTCAGCAAAGCTGATGTGAAAGAGAAGAAAGAGGATAAGGTGAAGGACGAAGACAAGTTGTCAACGCCGTCGAGACGATTGCCTAACGGACGTTTCACTCGTAATAAGCGGTAGGACCCTTGTCTTTGTACAGGAGAGCTTACAGCGCATGCGCAGACATCATGCCTGCCTAGTGCTAATTTGTACAGTATTAGGATGTCTATCTACGTATTAATTTAATGTGTGTCACCTTGTAGATTCATTGCCGAGAGCAATAGCACAAGGTTTCACTTTCATCTTTCACTTAGCAAGATCTGCTGGTGCAATCTATTGGCTTCTGGAGTGACTTAATGGTATTTGTCTAGAAAGTGGCCGCGTAAGAGGACAGAACATTCACGAATAGTGGCCAGAACTCTTCCCTTTATAGATTTGCAGATCGTGCCTTCCACTTGGCATTTACGAAGGTCATCACGCTACCATTCAATATTCATCTCTGCTTTGCTGGTCCCCATGATACATTGAGAGCGCGACGAATGTCTCGCTGGGCTGTATTTACCTTCCTCGAACATGTCGGAGTTGTTGATAGAAAAGTTTGCCAGTCTAGGGTTGTCAAATGGTGACGCAACCACATCACTTCTTCCACGAAAGAAGACTTCAGAAGAGATCAAAAAAGAGCTCGAGGATGAATTTCTCACACCGCCCAAGAGCTTCAGTGCTGAATGGCTGAACAAATTGCAACAGCGGTGGGATTACCAAACTGACTATACTGAATTGTGCCAAATAGCACCTACTCAGACTCGCACAGTTACGAGGTTCATCAGAGAGGGTCTCGAGGGCAAGGTTACTGGTTACAAGGAAGTCACAGTGCCGGCAAGCAGTGCTACCGCTAAGAACTCAACCTCGATCCTGAGAAAGCCCGCAAGTCGTGCTGATTTTGTTCGTGGGGCTGCTGGATTCTTTCCGTTTGCTCCTGGTGGCCTTGATGGCGTCGATGCTATTCAGGCGTACGAAGACCAAGCAAGAATAGATGAAGCTGATAGATCTGCTGGGAAGAAGAGTGGATTGGATCGTATCATTAACTTTGGTATTGAGGATGGCTTGCTGTCGATTCCACCTGGCTTCACTCGTGGCATGACCTTCAAAGAGAAGACTAAAGATGCTGAAGATGCAGCTACTGATGTTGAGAAAGTGCTGAATGCCGAAGACGATCTGAAGACTCAACCTACAGCCAATGGTCACACAAATGGTGTAGCAGATACGTCCGATGTGACCAGTTCCGAACAGGATGAAGAGGACGAGGATACTGATCTGGACGACCTATTACCTGTTGAATTTGCTGCTCTACAGCCAAGAAGTGAACTTGCAGCGTCTTCTTCGACACGACGCGGAACAGAGTGGGCACATGTTGTCGATGTCAACAAGGATATTCCTAACTTCAAGGAGCTGGTACCCGACATGGCTCGGACCTGGCCTTTCGAACTCGACATCTTTCAGAAAGAAGCTGTATACCATCTCGAGAATGGAGACTCTGTCTTTGTGGCAGCCCACACGTCAGCCGGAAAGACTGTTGTGGCGGAATATGCTATCGCTCTAGCAGCAAAGCACATGACAAAGGCTATCTACACTTCCCCAATCAAAGCTCTAAGCAATCAGAAATTCAGAGATTTCAAGACTGTATTCGACGATGTCGGCATTCTGACCGGCGATGTACAGATCAACTCCGAAGCTAGCTGCTTAATCATGACGACCGAAATCTTGCGAAGTATGCTCTATCGTGGTGCTGACCTGATCCGAGATGTCGAGTTTGTCATCTTTGATGAAGTCCATTATGTGAATGATTTAGAAAGAGGTGTTGTCTGGGAGGAGGTAATTATCATGCTTCCAGAGCATGTCACTCTCATTCTGCTGTCGGCTACTGTACCGAACACATATGAGTTTGCGTCGTGGGTAGGAAGGACGAAGAAGAAGAATATCTATGTCATATCTACGCCGAAACGTCCTGTGCCGCTCGAGCATTACTTGTGGGCTGGAAAGGATATGCACAAGATCGTTGATTCAGAGAAGCGGTTTGTGGAAAAGGGCTGGAAGGCAGCCAACGACATCCTATCAGGTCTTGACAAAGTTAAGGAGCAACAGCAGAAGGCAGGCGAGACAACATCTTCGACACGCGGTGGTCCTCCTCAACGTGGCGCCCGAGGTCAGCAGCCTCGAGGGGGTCAACAGCGAGGAGGCGCAAACCAGCAAAGAGGTGGCCGTGGTGGAGCACCTGCAAATCGTGGCCAAGGTAACATTGCACGAACCGGTCGTGGTGGAGGTAGAACAACGGCAGCACAAGACCGAACGATTTGGGTCAATATTGTCAACCACCTCAAGAAGCAAAACCTATTACCCTGCTGTATCTTCGTTTTCTCGAAGAAGAGATGTGAGGAGAATGCGGAGTCCTTGTCGAATCAGGACTTCTGCACTGCGGCTGAGAAGAGCTCAATCCATATGACCATCGAAAAATCGATAGCGAGACTCAAGCCGGAAGATCGTGTTCTTCCACAAATTCGCCGGATCAGAGAAATGCTTGAGCGAGGTGTCGCTGTACATCATGGTGGGTTGCTGCCAATTGTGAAGGAGATTGTGGAGATACTGTTCGCCAAATCACTCGTCAAAGTCTTGTTCGCGACGGAGACCTTTGCAATGGGTCTGAACTTGCCGACCAGAACTGTTGTGTTTTCAGGTTACCGCAAGCATGATGGACGAGAGTTTAGAAACCTGCTGCCAGGTGAGTATACGCAAATGGCTGGTCGTGCGGGCCGACGTGGTCTAGATACAGTCGGAACTGTCATTATCGTGGCGTCTGGCAAGACAGAAGCTCCTCCCGCTGCCGAGCTCCGCCAAATGATGCTTGGTCAGCCGACTAAACTGCGATCACAATTCCGTCTCCACTACAACATGATCTTGAACTTGATGCGTGTAGAGGCACTCAAGATTGAGGAGATGATCAAGCGAAGTTTCAGTGAAAATGCAACGCAGGCACTGCTGCCACAACACGAGAAGCAAGTACAGCTGTCCCAAGCTAGTCTCGACAAGATCAAGCGCGAACCCTGTAAGATATGTGATGTCGACCTCGAAGCTTGCCATGATGCAGCGATGCGCTATCAAGTTATCAATAAAGAGCTCCACATGTTCTTAGTGCAGACACCAATCGGTCGAAGGACCATGATGATGAGAAGATTAATCGTCTTCAAGAAAGATGGAAAACGAACAGTAGGTGTGCTTGTCGAGGACGGCTATCGAACCAGTGGTTTCAAAGTTCTTGCTATCGAGCACGTTGACGCAAAACGAAATGATACCGATATGTTGCCCTGTCTCCCACGTTTCCGTGGCTTTTTTGAGAAAATTCCGCGATCGGCCAATCAACTCAAGACATCAGTCGTTAATGTCGCACTAGATGATCTTGAGATGATTACGCAGACTATGGTCAAGGTTAGAGGACCCCCGTGGTATATCAAAATTCCAAAAGGTACCCGTTACTTACTTTTTCAGGTTGGTACATCCATACTAAAATCCGTCACAGAATCCCGAAAATGGGTCGAAAACGATTTCATCGAGAACTACTCCGACTGGCAGACTGCTGTATATGATGAACAAGACTGGAGCAAGGTGCAAGAACTAAGAGTTCGAGAGTTGCTGAACGAGCGGGCTCAGGTCGAAGCAGCTTGCCAGGGTGTTCAATGCCTATCTTGCCCTGATTTTTTGAAACACGTGAGTGCATTTGCTGGTCTCTGATCGGTGTGTAAGCTAATGATTTCCAGTATGCTATGCAGCACGATGAATGGCTGATCAAAGAGAATATCCAATCCTTGAAGTTGCTGATGTCTGACCAGAATCTCGCGCTGCTGCCAGATTACAACCAGAGAGTCGAAGTGCTCAGAGACCTAGGCTTCGTCGATGAAGAGTCGCGAGTATCGCTCAAGGGCAAAGTAGCCTGCGAGATTCACTCTTCTGATGAACTTGTCTTGTCGGAATGTATCTTTGAAAACATCTTCGCTGACTACGAACCAGAAGACATCGTGGCTTTGTAAGTTCACTCTCATGCTTCTATCCAACCACTAACCTTCATCTATCAGGCTCTCCGCCTTCGTCTTCCAAGAGAAAACCGACGACCTACCCTCTCCACCCGAACACCTCATCTCCGCCATCGCATCAATCAACAAAATCATCGACCGCGTAGCTGAAGTCCAAGTCCAACACCAAGTCCTTCTCGGCAGCAACGACCTGACAAACACCTCCCACGCCGAACAAATTGCCAGCTCAACCAATCCTCCCTTAACCTCCGGTCCACCAAACCAAGGCGGCGCCAGCACCAGCACCAACACCGCCAAGCTTATCACAGCCATGCACCAACACCCACGCTTCGCACTCGTTGAAGTAGTGTACAATTGGGCGTTGGGGATGAGTTTCAACCGCATCACGGATCTGACGGATGTGATGGAGGGGACGATAGTGAGAGTTGTGACGAGGTTGGATGAGACGTGTAGGGAGGTGATGAGTGCGGCGAGGTTGATCGGGGATCCGACGTTGTATCAGAAGATGGAAAAGGCGAGGGAGATGATAAGGAGGGATGTGGTGTTTTGTGCGAGTTTGTATATGTAGTGTTTGGGTGTGGTGTGGTGGAACACTACCAACCACGATGCAATTGAGGAGTGAAATGTGCCGATCTGGCGCTGCTCATGTTGAGCTTGTTATGTTCTAGACGAGGAAGACCTAGACTTGGTCTCCAAGACGCACTGCGGACGCCTAAGCCACGCCTATCAGCGAGCCACGGGATCTTCTCTGACGGGGGCATTGGACGATACGCGTGTTAAGTATATTGCGCTCTACCATCTTCTACAATCGAGAATGAGCTGATTGAACTGCTTGTTCAACCTAGGCATGCTCATCCACATCTATAATTTCAAACTTCACCAACAAACAACACTTCGTCTCATGACCCTTCAGATCCAACATCCTGATGAACACCCACCCTTGTTGAACATACAACAGCCTCACTGCACTAACCACAAAGATCGGGTTCCGCGCAAAGCTATCGTCACTCTTGATCAGAAGGCGGAGGAATGTTAGGTCATTATCTGGATACTCCCACTCCAACACCTCGTCCCAGAGAGGGTCTGACGGTAACGGGCTTTCTTCTTTGCGGAACAGGTTGAGTTTATGCTGCTTGTATGGCGAGGTCTTCTTCTTCGTCTCTGGCTCGGTCGGGTGGACGAGTGTGCATGTCAAGTAGGGTTTGAGGTCGTCGACGTTGCGTGTTCCTGGGATAGGTATGCCTGAGGCGCCTGCAACGTGCAGACGAAGTTTCTTGCGACGATAGTCGACGGCTAATGTTCCTCCTTGACGAAGAGACTTTGGTTTGAGGACGTAGCCATCTGTGCCACTGAATAGAGCTTCGTTTAGTTGCATACTAGCTCCGAATGTCTGCCAGTTGAGTGCGCAGACTTGAGCGCCAATGCCCCAGTATATGACTGGGTGAAGGTTGTCAGAACTGATACGAGTACCTTTTGGATAGACTCGCATCAGGTGTTCAGCATTGTGATCCACGATCTTGGAGTTGTGAGCAGGCATATGAGCTGCCAGGCCAGTCTCAGAGACATTGATCAGAGGGTGATGAGGGGAATTTTGAAGGATGCCAACTTCGAACCAGGCATTGTTGGGAGGCTTCACAGATTGTGCGTAGACTCCAAGTTCCGCAAGCTCCGGCACAACGACTGTGGCAGGAGCTGTCTGCTTCTTCTCTTTATAGTCCTTTCGAGCTCGCTTTTGCTCTTCGTCCTCGTCGCTGGAACTGTCGGAATCATCGTCGTCATCCTCTGGTCCACCGGGAAAATGATACTCGACGATGACGGCAATCTTATTCTCAAGTTCCGCCAAAGTAATGTGGCCTCCAGTGCCTTGCTGTTCCTCTGTACCTTTGTCCCGAACTGCCTTGCTCAACAGTCTATGGCCGAACACCTCCTTCATTATATCAGCAAGTCGTTTCTGTCCATGAGCACCACAGTGGTTCTCTAAGGATAGTAAAATCGGAGCTGCTCTGTAGCCTGGTACATCTTCCTGTTGTAGGGTCTCCTCGTCGACAACGTCTCGGATAGTTTCACATACTGAACGAAAAGGAATATTGGACGTTCTGGACATGTTAACTTTGAAGGCCGTCCCTGATCACAACACCGCTTCGACAGAGTCCAACCGGAAATCTGCAGCTAGGAGTACTCACAGTGTATACTGCAGGAGTCAGTACGAGATACATGTGGTCAGGATACTTTGGTCAACTTACACCGTGGGTTACCTTGGGTTCATCTTCGTCGCTGCCATCCCAAGCATCAATTTCCACACATCGCGCACCTGCTCTCAAAGTAGCCTTGTATGAATCAGCAGTGGAGCTGCCATACAATTGATGGGCCGACAAGTATGTGTTATGACTCGAGCTAACAAAGTAATCAGGCAAAGGATATGATCGGTCTGTAAGCTTAGGAGGTACTTGGACGTGTGGTCTGTCAAGCAGTGACCGCAACGGATCACTCAATTCATCTGGGTTTTCAAATCCAGCCTGAGCTTCGGTAAGGACATTCTCGCGTACCAGGAACGATCTCAGAGCCTGGCCGACACGGAGCTGGTGTGTAAGTTGAGTTTCGCGTGCGGTATGGCCACCTCCAGCCATGGAGCTAAGATCAGTGGACTCGCCGACATCGTCATCGTCAGCAGGATCTTTTGAGCTTCCAAAAGGACTCAATTTAGCAAGACGAGATGCTAGCCCAGCCATTGTTCATGTGTCAGCGGAAGCTTGATTTTATAGAACCCAGCGCCTAGTCAGTGATGCTGATGCTTTCTAAAGACTCGTTCCAGCAGTCTCGCTATACTGTTCTGCTGCTTGATGTGTGGCCTCTATGAGTAGATAGGCGAAAGAGTTCCCGACATAAGAAGTGTAGCTGAAGGACAACGCGCGGCAGGAACGCCTTGGCAATTACTTCTATTCCGTGGTTCGTGGGTAAGGAAGGCGCACTACATTACCAGACTCAAGGTGCCTATCACTGCATCGAGCTTGTGACAGGAACGGCATATCGTCACATCCAGATCAATATCGAGTGGAGCTTCACTAAAACCTCGATCTATCGGTCTGTTCGCTAAGGATAGTGCTGATGAATTGAGCACTCAAAACACTACTTAAAGCAGGTACTCTTGCTCAGACGGCTATCACAGATCTATCCAGGCCAAGGTCTGCGGTGCCTGTGAGTCGATGGTCGAGAGACAGACTTGCTAATGCCACCTGCGACACCTGAAGCTCGACTACGTGCCTACTCATTCTCGAGGAACAGCTATAACATAAATCTATAAACGATAATTACAGGGTAACGTGGATTCACCTAAACTGGCAGTCCACGAAGGCGACGAGCTCTCATGTCTGATACACCTACACTTATATTTATTCCTGGCTCCTGGCATAAACCTATTTGCTACGACAAGATCATCAGAATTCTTCAAGAAGAGCACAACATCAAATGTCTCTCTGTTACCCTGAGATCCACGACTGGGGACCCCAGCGCAACCTTCAAGGATGACATTGACGTTGCTCGCAAGGTGATAACGTCCGAGCTGACTCAGGGCCGCAATGCAGTAGTCGTTGCTCACTCCTATGGTGGCATGGTTGGTAACAGCGCTGTGAGAGGCTTGACACAGCCAAAGTTTCGGAGCAGCAATTCGAAAAGCCAGACACGTTCTGAACCTGAATCGCTGAGCTCGAAACCCGGCTACGTGGTCGCGCTGATCTTGATTGCTTCTGGCTTCACGATAACAGGCCTCGCCTTCATGGACCCTCTCTTCGGCACGCCACCACCCTCCTGGCGTGTAGACAAAGAGACTGGCTTTGCCGAAATAGTTGATGATCCTCGTGAGCTCTTCTACCACGACGTGCCGGACGAAGAAGCAGAGTACTGGGTCAGCCAATTAACAACACAGAGCCTCAAAGCTCTCTTCGAAGGTGGCGAGCACGCATACGCGGGATGGCAAGACGTGCCAACGTGGTATGTTGGAACAATCGAGGATAAAGGACTGCCAGTGGTATTGCAGCGGGTGCAGGTAGGGATGGCGCGAGGACAAGGTGGCCGCGTCTACCATAGAGAGCTGAGAACTAGTCACTCGCCATTTCTGAGCAAGCCGAAAGAAGTTGTGGAGATCGTGCTAGACGCTGTTAATACGGTAAGTGCGAAACCATCTTCGTTGGAGGAAGAGAGGAATGCAGACGCAGCCGAAATACCACACGCATACGATATTCCAATGGTCAGATTTGACGCTCCGAGTACTTGGCTCAAGTTCGGGATGCCATTCCTGATCGGTCGTATCTTAGGATGGGTTTTCTCGGGTTTCCTTGGGTTGAAGAGAATGCTAGGTGGGAGGTAAGTTCAAAGTCAGAATCAACAGTACGATACTGCCAAGCTGTAGATCCATTCTTACTATTCCGCGCTTCTATAGATGGGCTTTCATTACTCGTTGAAGCATTACCAGTACCAATCACGCACTGTTGTACCAGGGCAGCTGCTCTACCTCAGGAGCTAGGTCGTTCTTTCCCATGAACTTTGCATCGTGACTGTCGTTCTCGTAGAAGTCAGAGACAAAGGTTCTTCCGGAACAATATTCCAACGATACTGCTGACTCAATAGCCAACATTAAATCACTACTTCAAATTTCCCTCATTCCTTACAACTACACTATCGAAACGAATGAAACGATGCCAGCCGACGAGTACTCCTCCACTCCTAGCACAGGCAAACTCAAGCTCAAAGGCATCTCGGACGGCCGCATAGACAAGAAGAAAAAGAAGAAATTAAAACCGAAAGCTGACACAGACACCACAACCATTACCACCACCATAGCCGACTCAGCCAAAGCTGCCTATGAAGAACCCTTCGTTGACCGCTCTATCGTCCTCAAACATCTCGCAGACGAAGACACCTCAATAACCAAAGACTCCCATCCCGAGACTAGCCTTAACGATGGCCAGAAACTCGAAACCGGCGCAGGCGAGAAGGACGAAGACGTAAAAAGACATTTACAAACCGAGGCAGAGCGACGATTCGAGGAGCAGAGGAGGAAGAGGTTGGAAGAGAGATTAAAGAGGGAAGGGGTAAAGACGCATAAGCAGAGGGTGGAGGAGTTGAATCGGTATTTGAGTTCGTTGAGTGAGCATCATGATATGCCGAAAATTGGGCCTGGATAAGTGAGGAAAGGAGAAAGATGCTGAGAATCGTTGTGAGGAAATTTATGTTTAAGGACAATATTGGCATGTTATAAGTAGGGTTCGAGCGAGTAAGTAAGTGACAGGTGCGAGTGCTAGTGTTAGTGAAGGAAAACAGAAGTGTCGGAAAAACTCAGTCTCTTAGGAGCTCTGCATAAGATTCGTGTGCACAGGTTGGCCTTATAGCTTGAACAATACTGCTATGGACATCGTTGGAGCGGACGGAACACGATGTGCTAAGTGGGAGGATACGAACAAGAAAAAGTCCTACTATAAGGACAGCCTTCGGTAGCTTGACAGCGTCAGCATCGACTCGCCTCACAGGTTACGTGAGGGTCTTCGAAACTAGACTGACAGACAGAAACTTGTGTCCTCGGTAGGAGGTCATGCTGGCCCAGGAAGGCAGCTTGTCGAGAATAGGTAGAAAGCACGGCATCGAGACACAAACAGTCTTCGAAACATAGGAGCCGGTCGTCCAGCTCAAACCAAGAAAATCGCTGTGATTGCAGCAACTCTTTCGAATTCTCTATACAAATTTCATGCTGCGCTCGCGAAGCTAGCCCCATCACTCACAGTATCGCTCTCCTTTTAGTTTTGACATGAAAAACCTAAGATGTAACAGTGTCCATCTCTTGTCCCTCTGCGGTGTTTCGTCCAGGCTTCGAGTTGAGGTACTCGTTCCTGTAAACAGGTTGTCAGCACCTGACTGTACAGTCTTTCCCTGATAAGCCTTCTCCATCGCAGGCTCAAACACATCCTCATTCTCGGGTGACAAATGGTTGAACATAAACATACCTTTCAATAGCCCATTGCATGATGCCATACGCAATCAAGAAAGGAGGCAAGAAGTATAGGATCTGATGTCGAGTTCGGCGATAGACGTTGAAAACCGCAGCGTGCATGGTACCTGCCATCGCTCTCTGTCTGTTTGGTGAAACAGCATAGGATGTGATATTCTTCTGGGGCATCGAGCCTACTCGTTTTAACCCTGTTAGTCTTGTGTCCTCAACTTCAAGCCCATCAAGGTATTTCTGCTAATTCCCAGCTCCGATAGCTCGTCGCAACTTGGGACTCGGAATTCAAGATTCGGTGTGCTGAAGCTGCGAATGCCACCTTTCGATAAACTCTTCAGGAAGGTTACTGACCTAGATCACCCCAGCCTCCGAGATATCTGTATACCTCAATGTCAGTATTCTGCTTCGCCATACTCGTTGAGTGATCTGACGTACACTCCATTCTTGGGATCAGGATGGTGGTTCGATCGCAGAGCCTGCGAGGCCCGCATGTATAGCTGTGTCGACGGACGCATCTTGTAGTCTGCTCGAGTATGCGAGAAGGTCGAAAAGCTAAGGGACGGGACTGCGTGATAGGCGTTCAATCTCAAGGATGACGGCGTCGAAGATCTGCGGCAGCTACATCGAAAGATGTGATTGAGGCAGGTTTGCCGAATACGATCGACGAATCAACCGTTCTCAGTAATCAGCTCAGCTTCACTACGATTGCGACGAGCACTACGCTATGAGATCGCACCTATTGCTTTTGCTGGAAGGCTCCCTTGAAGGCTGCTTAACTCGATGAGCAGCCTATTCAGATAACTAGTATTGCATTCAAGTGGTTTTATATACTGGTCGCGACCCCTCAAGCTTGGATACCAGCAAGTGATCGCTCTTTCCATTGTGTATACTGAATCCTGGCAACTTCCACGTACAAGCTTTAGCTGTGCAGCAAGTCAAAGCTCTACTTTTTACATCGTCTAAAGGAGCACGTCAGAAATAGGGTCCGGACACCCTTCTTAAGAATTGTACTTACTCGACAGTCATCATTCACCAGAAGCGTTCCACCACCCTCCCCTAGACCTTGTCCACCCACTGCCTCAACGCCTTGTAGTTCACCGTTTTGAGCTGCGAGTAATAAACGGGCAAACATCGCTTGCTGTACCTGGGAAAGCAAGAGATCAGTAAGAATCGGTACTAGGGGATACCAAAAACTCACTCAACCTCAACATACCGGATTTGAGGGAGTGCTTAGTTTGTGATATTCATTGTCAAGTGACCACAGCATTTAACATGATCCATGCTCGCAAGAGGATATCGTCGAGGTCACTCACCGTCATAAAAGTTTCTCCTCCCATCTCACGCTGTCTTCCTGCATTGTTCTGCGAGAAAATCTCGTAGAACTTGTCCTTAGGTACACGCCGAGATTTCAAGCCTCCCTTGGCAACTGTATCAGGATCGTCCCATTTGGGTAATTCTGGCTCTTCGCGTGAGGCTGTTCGAGCTGCATCTCCTTCTATTTCACCATCGTCAAGTTGATGTGGTCGTCTTCTTCTCATGCCATGTCCGGGTGAACTGTGTCCACCGCCACCAGGATTGGCTATGTCTTTTCCATACCGAGCATAGTATCGTTCTCTGTTGTCTCCACCAGGACCGAAGATTTTTATTGTGCTGTCGATACCGCTGCAAGCTATCATTGGCTCATAGGGGTGACCCTGGACGACATTTACCACATCCCCGTCGCCCTCAAAGACACTAACAACTTCTGTAGTCTTGCGATCCCAGATGAAGAAGTGTCCGTCATCAGAACCCGATACCACAAACTCGTCATCAAGTCCATAGTAGTTCACGTCCTTCACTGTACGCACATTCAAGTGACCCTTGTAAACCTTGGTATGTGATGTGTAGGCAATGTCACTGTTGACCAGAGCTCGTTGTGCTGACAAGGAACCGGCGCCATAAGGACCTCTGCGTCTTGCAAAAATGGTTTGGAGCGTATCAGTTTCCTCGGCCTCCGAGTCCGATTCGGCTGTTTCATCATCAGAATTATCAGCAACGTTGTCATCATCATCGTCGCCGTCGTCGTCTTCTTCCTCCTCCTCCTCCTCCTCCTCCTCCTCCTCCTCCTCCTCCACCTCTCCCTGGGTTCTGCTCCGACTTGCCGATTCGCGCTCTTCACGCTCTTCATCTTCCGCCTCCTCGACAAAGACACGGGGAATCTGTCCAGTCTGCCGTTCTTCGCTTTGTGTTGTACCACTAACCGAAGAGCGTTGAGGATCCACGTCCATACTTTCTCCTTCCACAACTTCATCCAGTAGCCGATCAATCGCCTCATCGTCGGACATTATGTGTACCCTCAACCCACCAAAGGCCCGATTAACAAAATTGAAAGTGACACCTTCTGCCGCCTCCATAAGTAAAGCTCGACAGACCTTCTCTCCCCAATAACGACAAGCTGCACCTTTGTCCATGACCGTTCTAGGAGGTTCATCACTTGATCCGGAGATTGTGTTGGCAGGACCCTGGTTCATCTTGAGCTCAATCTGGTCGAGTGCTCTTGTAAACGCATGTACAGCACTCTTCTGACTCTGGAAGAGCTGGCGTAGTTCTTCTCGCTCAAATTGATTTGTGCCTAGGTCAATAATAGCCTTATCTTCCTGAGCAATGGGCAACAAATATTCACGCAATCTTTCAGCGACGTTCAATACATTTGTCGTTTTGTCGAAGGGAAAACGATCTGTTTCACCTCTGAAATCTGTTGGCCTCCTGAATCCTGCTAGTACAGCCTCCTTCCCACCTCCAAGCCATAGTAAGATAGCTTTGGCAAGATCGTAACAGAATCTTTGCTCGTCGTCTATGCGCTTGCCTTCAAGAGCCGCCCCTCGAATCGTCTCGAAATGCTTGAGACGTGGGTCATCCACAGAGCTTGGGGTTAGTGCCGCTCCGCCTAGGGTCTGCGAAAGAGCACCAGCCGCCTGTACAAATCGCCAACTGGACTGACGATTCCTTCTCAGCGCGTTCTGCAACATTATTCCATCCTCGTCAGTGGTGTTAGGATATGTCCAACCTTTCATGACCTCTTCCATTTCAGGTAGAAGAGACATCGCTTGTCCGAGCGCTTTGGTGTATGAAGGTGTGTTCAGTGTTAAATGTGTAGCAGATTGTGGGGGCTCTATGGGTTCTTCAACGCCCTGCAGCACGGTTGAGAAATCGAACAAAGTTTTCCTCAGTTCCACCAATGCTCTTGCAATCCTTTCGCTCTGTTTCTGTACCTCTGAAAGGAGATTTTCATGGCTTGTCAAGAGCGTGCTAACGGACTCGTCATTCTCTTCGGACTCATTAGTTTCTCCAATCTCAGCCTGGCGATCGACTTCTCTTCTTATCCTTCGATTGCCAGTGACACCATCTTCATTACTTGCAGAGGAAGCAGTTAGCTTGGAACGTTTGCGCTTGCGATCGGATTCATTAGTCAATTTTGTTCTCAGATGTTTTTCGTCAGCCCGACGATCTGCATCTCGTGCGTCAGGACCTTTGACAATGTCAAAACTGTATACATGATCTTGAGACCAGGAACACAATAGCTCGTTGGGCCGTGCATCGCTGATTTTGCAGGCAGTAATGTGCTTCGAATCACCTGGTTTCATCTTACGCTTGTTGTTCGGTGCAAAGCGACGTACACACCTAGTAGCTTCTCGCATCGAGTCGTCCTCAGGAGTCTCCGCGTCTGGTTTTGAAGTTACTGGTCTGCCCTTCTCAGCGTCAAGGTTCCTTCCAAGCATCCTACGATCATGCAAGAAGCAATGAAGATGAGCACCACCAAGTGCTATGTAGTGTGGCTGGCTCTTCGAACAGGATATTGTATTCAAGTCAAGCCCATAGCTCTTATAGGATATTAGGGGAGGAGGGGCATCACCACCAGAGGCAACCTGCATCGGGCGTCTGAAACCATGACGAGCTTCGCGTGGAGAAGGGTAGGCTGAAGAAGGTTGTCTGAGATCCCATTGTCTTACTTCACCATCTTCGGAGCAGGTCAGAAAAAGGTACGGGCTCGATTCGGTTACAATTCGCTTTGCTCGATCGGCGTGGCTTCGGTAGACTTTGGCATTGGTGTTCGCCTCGTTCAGCCATCTGCATTGTGTGAAGAAATTGTTAAACCTTCTGCTTCTTGTATTCGCCGAATCACCTGTAGCTTGACCTCCTGCAGCATATTCAAGGTCGAATACTCGCACTTGTGAATCGCCGGCGCAGGTCACCACGGTTCGGTCGTTTGAGTGAGGCATAAACTTGACGGAGAAAATGTTGGCATGGTGGCCTGTAGAGACGCTTGTATTAAGAGTGAAGGGCTTGGCTTGGTCGATAGGATTGTATTCCCAGATATTCAGGTAGGTATCATCCGACCCTGAAGCCAACAGCCGACCGCTTGTAGACCAGCTGGTATAGAGTCAGCTACACACCATTTCGCCTCAGCAGCTTAACCTACCTCAAGGCGTTGACACAACCAGTATGACCTCCCAGCTCATTCACAATATCTAAGTCTTTTACCCAAGTACGATCGCCATAGACTTGATGGATCGAACGATAAGGACCTTGCCGACCTAGAACTCTCTTCAACAGCTTCACGTCCAGATTTTCCATCTTGAGAGATGTGCACGAAGGCTGACCGTCCCGAACAGGCAAGATAGTATCAACTTTCCCTAAGCAGTAGTTAATCAGGTCAAGATCACCTTGTCAACGATATTCGGCAAGCAGATCAATCAGCTGTATGAGCGTCAAGGCTCGATGAGAAAGGACATCGAGCAACTTCGCAGCCAGGACTTGTTGAGCATCATCTCAACGTGAAGCCGAAAGCCTTGGGAGCACTTCGTTTGATGCAATACTACATGCATGCGGCTCACATTTTGCTTGAGTCACCACTCTGGTGATCGCGAGAGGTGCGGGTCTTTATGCGTGCCTCGGATAGTGAACTCCGGGGTTTGGGCCCCGAGAAGCAGCTAAACTAATTGGAAAGGATGACTGTTCTGATCAGGATCCGGCACTATAGATATTCCTATGACCTGCAGAAGCCCACTGTCCTGCTCTCTAAAAGACCATTGAAGCAACGAGGACATGTTACTGTTCACATTTACCTATTTCGGTAACCCGTCCTCAAACACAACGATGTCCGACGCCAAATTAACCGCAGCCATACGTCCCCTAAACTCCAGCCATGCCACAAGCATCGCCAGCCATTCCTGTTGCTGCAGGCGGCCCAGCTCTATACCTAATAAACTCCAGTAAGACGTACGCCCACCATTGTTTGAAACACTAACCACCAGAAGCTCAATATATAAACAAGAAGAATTTTAAACCACAATTCAAGCGAATAGGCCAAGTCCATCTTCTTCAGCGACGAGGACCCGACATTTCTTGAGATCCTGCGTCCATTTCCTTGTAACGTGGTGCCAGCACTCTCGTTCTTCGGTTACCTTCTCGTCGACATATTGGTCCCACGTAGGCTTCTCCTGGAACTCTTTGATGGTGCCATCTCGAATAAGCATTTCCACCGTCAACTTCGGATATTGTGATCTTGCCTGTCTGACCACATCCTGCTCGCCTTTGACCCGCATCTCTTGCAATTGACATGGAGGACATGTGTGATCTTGGTGAGGAAGATGTGAAGGAAGGCCGAGGTAATGAGGGGTCAGGACGTGGTCCGAAGATTGGCAGGTGAATTTGAAAGGCTTCGCTGAGTTCGGCCGTCGTTGTATTGCAACCTGTACACAACCTTTGGGCTGTCTCGCGACGTTGGGAAGGGGATGGTATACAGATGGCGCCGCGGTCGGGAATGATTGAGCTCTTTTAAAGGGTGACATGGCTGCCGGCTCATCCATACCTTCACTATCTAGTATGGCTGACTGGGGAGCACAGGAAGTGGTGGTACTGCGTGCTGTCGCTGGTCGAGAGGTCTTGCTCTCCTTCCGATGTTGACAGTTGTAACACCTGTATGGTTGCTGAGGAAGCTTGTCCCCACAAGTCCTGAGGAGCGGACATGGTGCCAGCTTGCATGGCTCAAAGCCCATCAGAATGCCGTGTGCACAGCTAAACCGAAGTACGTGAGCTCGACACATAATGTCGTCGGAGGAATGCCCAGGAAGATATCAGGAGGATCTATTTGTCCGAGAAGTGGATCATGGATTTCGATGTTTTGTCGAGGTGCAAAAGAGAGACTCAAGAAGTTGTTTGACTCATGGCCAGGAAAGTGGTTGATCTGAAAAGAATATTGTGCTGTAGGGAGTCTGCATGTCCTTCGAGGGAATTGGTACAAGAGTGATTTGACACGAGCCGCTTTCCAGCATGGGTGTCACACCACACGCTACTACGTAGTAATGAAAATGGCAGAGCAACCTTGACCAGGATTTGGCGAGTGGGATGACGACCGATATATCTGCTGTGACTTCCGCTGGGAGGGAACGGCGTTTGAAAGCGATCGGTCAGCACTGGACCAATGTGTGAGAGGCTATGGTCGACCTCGACACATTTAAGGTTTAAACGCAACCTTCAAGCAAAGAACGTTTGAAGGCGGAAAGGATTAGGCTAGGTTCTCTCAGAAGCAACGAAGAAAGACCTGAAGAATAATCAGAAAATTGACCCGACTCTGTCTTGAGGAAGTAGTGAGTGTGGGCAGAGGCACTGTCGGATTGTGTAAGGTTTTGGAGAATCTTCACGTCTCCATCGTTACAGTAAACGTTCCATACCAAGTAATTGCGTCGCGATAGATGATGAACGACTACCTTTCCGGCTGAATGCATTATCGTGCGATGGCTAAGAGCTCCGCGATCATCCTCCGAGTCATAAGGATTTACAGTACTGTCTCGCGAAAGCAAGGTTGTCTGGATAAAAGGAATGCTACAGGCACTGCCTCAATTCCTGGCGCTGGAGCCACACTGACACGAATCTTGATCGTGACTTCACGACTCAACCAGCAACGAGTCAAAGACTTAACCTTCATTCAATTCTATACGTACTTTCGAAGTTCCTTCAAGCAAGATTCAGCTTGACGACGGCGCCAATTGTTCACAAGTACTCTTGTACAATGGTGCGTCAATTGCAAAACCGTTTGTGACATTGCCACTCCACGTTTCTGGAAGATTAACGCCGATCTGAACCCACATGATGCGCGATATATGTGACCATTCACAACCTTCGCATTTCTGCGTCCGGAAATTCTCGCCCACAACATCGAGTTCCTGTACGACAATGACCTCCGGGCTGTGGTATCTGTTGAGGTTTGGATAGTGTTCGATCAAGCCTTTCTGGAGTGCTTTTGACACGACATCCTCCGAACTTAACATGTGTTGTGCACTGTACAGTCCACCTGTAAGCTCGATTCCGGGGTAGAAAAGCGTGGGGAGCTGCAGTATCGCGTCATTCGACGTGCAGCTGAAATGCGAGCGGTAAAGCCTTGTCGTTGGGGGTTGCAACGATTGTCAATACCCCCACGTTTGTCTTGGAGCAGACAACTCTCAGCTTACAATATAACAGTTTGTTCTTGATCACATCTCTGTGATCCACGTCGGTGTATCGCCTTGCTCTTCAGCCACAGATCTACTGACTAGCAGATTCACGAATCGTGTGGAAGCAGGCTTGTGGTCGAAGCCCCGACAGATTTATTGAATACTCGTCCCATGTTGAAGCTCAGTCATTATAGCACGACCTCTTCGTACTTCACCCACTAACCTATTGAATTCTTGCCACGATATAACAGGTCCTCGCGAAAGGTGCCGGAATTGTTGCCGAAATGCTCAGCGCCAGCAGTACCTACAGCACCACGAAGCCGGTCGTCGACCGAATGTCGACTGCGACCAGAATTTTGGCTTCGCCCAAAGGTGCAGACACAGACTGGTTAATATGGAAAACGAACAAGATGGGGTAGCTGGATCTTTCGAAGCACGTATTCACCAAGAGACATAGATATATACGTCCATACAGATTTCGTTGGTGTTTTCGACGAACATTATGGGAGGACAGAGACAAGCACGAGCAGGGTCGAAACAATGCAGTCCTTGACTAACTCTTTTTACAGCCTTCCAAATCCTTCTATACACTAGTTGGTGTTGCCTACACGCTGTTCCATTAACTTCTCAGGCACAAGTGTTTGTTGAAACGTGACTGACTCTATCACCAAAAATGTAGCGATATGGAGCCACTGCGCCGTGTTGTCACTACGACTAGAGGTGACAACTACAGCAAATTCAGAGCCGCACACTCTGCGCCGAATATCACTTATGTCTGCGTCAAAGGATATCTTCCATCCTTCGCGATAAACAACCATTCTACAATTCTATCATCTTGAAGACAACCAGATCGAAGTCAGACAACTAACCACCTTTGACAAAAAATTTGTGCAACATGGATCATACTCCCCTCCATGATGATCCGGAAGACAACAGCAACAACCAGCAGAGCACTAACATTGAGGCGGCTGATCCTGAAAGCATAATCTCTCTGCTTGAGAACCTAACCCTTACCGACCATGAACACCTCGAAGACATTCATGACTCCTCGGAAACCAACAGCGATGCTCCTCAAGAGACGACAGAACAAGAGCGCGCAGATTTTGAATTGGCCATGCTCCTCCAAGCCCAAGAAGATCGAGGGTTCGAAGAGCACGACCAAGATCTCCCACCCGAAGAAAGAGAGTGCTCCTGCGGTGAAGTTTACACCTGCTTGAAAGATATAGCAGTTTTGAATTGTGGCTGCGTCCGGTGCCCCGACTGTCTCAACCAGAACGTCCTGGTCGGTCTCGAGTCAAAGGCCAGCTTCCCTCCGAAGTGCCATGGACCCATAGACATCGAAGACATCTCACACTTCATCGAGCCACTTACTCTAGCACGTTGGTCAGAGGTCAAGACCGAGTACACCGACGTCGCCCCTGTCTACTGCGCTATCCAAGCATGCGCTAATCAAGCATGCTCACAGTACCTCAGCAAGAACACTTTCGTGGAAGAAGGAAAGTGGGCTCTCTGCTACAAATGTAACGCAAAGACTTGCCCGGCTTGCCTACACCTACAAACCGAGCATGAAAAAGGTGTCTACCCAGAACGACTGGCGAAATTGGATAGGGAGCTCATGGACAAGGAGGGCTGGAAAGAATGCCCACAATGCAAGAACATGATTGAGAAAAGCGACGGCTGCGATCATATGATATGTGAGTGTGGTCAAGAGTTCTGCTACCAGTGTGGACGGTCGTACACCGGTGGGTTGCCATGTAACTGTCACGGTAACAACGAATGGGTCGAAGAAGATCCTGAGGACAATGATCCCTTTATGCAGCAACGACTTATGGACGAAATAGCAAACATGGGACGTCGCAGAGTTCGGCGTCCGCGAAGAGACGAATCAGATGATGACGAAGAAGACTCTGACATCGACAGTGGAGATGAGGCTAGTGATGACAACGAAGAGGAGGTGGACAGCGACAATGAAGAGGAGTCTGATGACGACAGCGACGAAGACTCTGGTGACGACGAAGACGGAGAACCAACAGACGAAGAAGAAGGATCAAATCCTGGTCGACCTGATACCCCTCCCTGGTAAGGGGAATGCGCTGGGGGTGTAATATCATAATGACGAATTCATTGGGTGGTATTTTGTGGACAACTTCGTACATGATTCGATTTCTGAATTTCGATACGGTGATTACTCATCACTGCTTCTGAGCACGACTACGAAGGGAGTGTACTCATGGTTTGGAAAATGGTTCGGTTAAACTTTGGTCAAGCTCTAATAATTGATGCAACTTTTTTGATTTAATGGTCCGTTAACCATTCATGTCATTCTGGACGTTCATAAAGAATTTCCATTAGAAACAGCTCCAGCGTAGATACTCGTGAAGAAGACGCTTGACCTTCGACGAAGAGGTCAGCAAAGTACGAAGCGGAGTAATTTGCACTGTGTAGGCGTGCGACACGTCGAGCACGAACAGCTGGGTACAACGATCACATCGACGCTCTGTTGCTCACAAGCGGAGCATCGACAATACGACGAAGATACGCAAGCGAAGTCGGCGTACTGGACCTTCGGGCTTCTCCTGGGAAGCAGACGACCATCCAATGGACGATCGTAGCCCAATATACAAGAACATCGTTGTCCCCGAGAGGGTTTCGTAACACAGAGCGGATTGCCACGAAATCTGTTGATACGATTAACGGCTTGGCTACGTCTGCCAAGCGACTTCATATGCGAAGACTGTACGTCTGAGGATTTCATCTCCAGGATCTTCAGGAAACATGACCTTATCCATAGTGTGCTCGAAAAGTTTCTTGACCCGAAACCCTGCTTCTCTTGCCAGCTCGAAAAAGTCCATATCTTTTTGCAGAAGCCATGGTCGATAGGGAGTAAAGAAAACCAGAGCTCGAGCGTTGCTGTCATGCTTCAAGGTCTTTTGGAGTGTTGTAATCAATTTCGTGTGCTCAGAGTGGTTGAATAGGATGTCGGCGAGGATGAGGATATCGAATCCATTATTGCTTGCGTCGAGCTCGTCTTGAAGTGTCTGAGTATCGTTACCCCATAGATATCCTTTTGCAACTATCGAATGGCGTCTTTCCGAGTCGACAGCATGATCAATATTGTATCGCAAGTTCTCAATGAGGTCCGCATCTGGGTAATCTGTGACCACAACTTTTCTGGCTCCTTGTATGGCACAGACAAAACTAGGTAGGCCGGCGCCAGCACCGAGCTCGAGTACATTTTTGCCCTGTATCAAGGTCGTTGCATTGTCTTCGATATAATGAGCAATCACTTGACCTGCATTCCACAAGAGGTGACCCCACAAAGGATTATGTCCGACTAGGCGAAGTGGGATTTTTGTGCCTTGCTTTGTTGTGTATGAGGTGAAAGTTGCTGATTTCTCTGGAGCATAATAGTCTTGGGGTTCGTTGAAAAGACCAGATGCATCGGTATCATCATCCGAAGAAGTCATAGCAAGAGAGATCGACGAATGCACGAAAAGCTTTATCCAGATGGTGAGATGGAACAATCTGCTTCATGCCTGGCGTCCGGCTGCTCCCACCGGAGCGGTCAATCACTAGGGAAAATATACACCTCTGTCTGAGTCGTAACGCATCCAATCCCGGGATCTTTCTGACACGTTCCGAATTAACTGGAGATAACAGTTATGAACGTGAGGCAACCACGAGGCAAGCGAGGTATCATAAGATCGCCCGAATGCTTGCGCTATATTGTCGGTGTCCTCGTTACGAGCTTCCTTTCGACCAGGCATGCATTTGATGTCAAACAGATCACGATCTATAGACTTATGGAAGGAGTTCGCGCTGATGTCCTGCCAGTACACGCAAATCGCGATATTTGCCCGGACTGATTTTTACCGGACTCATGCTCGCAAAAGGTCGGCAGAAGTGACGAGGTGATCACATTGGGCCGAGATTCACCGATAAAGTCAAAAGAAAAGCAGAGTCGGCCGGATGCAACTACGGGACTTTTTCTTTGTACTCACCATGGATTCTGTTCTCGACTTTGCTCTGTTTTCCTCCCAAACTGCGCATCTGCCAGAAAGAACACTCTCTCGGCATCTGAGTGGACGTCACACAATCGACCCGAAAGTCAGTATTCCACGAGGTTATTGGATCGACGATCCTCACCCCAGACTTCCCCAAAGCTGTCAGAGTTTCTGCCGGGCAAATTGGAGGAAAGCACAGTCCAGAAAGCTTGCACAAGACAATTTCGAGGAAATCTTAGGCTACTACTGGCTCCCAGGTGTCAGTGTTCCCTCATGCAATTGACCCGGTTAGCATATCACTTGTGAGTCAATTGTCGGCGCTTCTGCCTGAACCATTGGCTTCTGTCATCATTCAGCACAATCAGCTCTTATTCTTGAACCTTTATCGGTCCTTTCGCTCGTGTTTTCCGTCAGGCAACGTACCAGGATACGGGACTGTTCATTTGTCGCTTCAACTAGCCGAACTCACGAGCCACATTCCGCTTCTACTGTTTCTCTCTTCTATCAATACTCGTGGCAGTTTCTGTTCTGTCCTTGAATCAATCCTTGGGAGCCCGATTTCATCTGGGTCATAGCGTCATTGCTAGTAGCATTGCAGTAAACGCATACTGACAGAAAGGATCCCTGATTCTTTACTGTTCAGCCTCAAGATCACACTGCTGCACCTTACAATGAACAACTTTCCTCGACGGAGTCCACGTCTTCAACAGCAGTCACAGAACACATACTCCAATACCAACTCGTCACAATTTTCTCGTCCCTCGATCTCCCAGTCGTCCAGCGCATCTTCAACGTCACACCCAAGTCCGACTTGTGACACTCTAAATCCTTCTGGTCCACCTCAGCAGTATCCTTCGAACATTCAACCCCAATTCCTCGTACCACCTACACAATTCGACGCTCCTCTTCCCTCTCCTTCTACGAACGAGCCTGACCCGTTCGGACGATCGCAGTACCAATACAGTCAATACAACATGGGTGGACAAGCACAAAACCAAAATACTACAACCTCAAGCACAAGTAATAATAACCAGCAGAGTCAGCCACAATCGGCATTTGCGCAACATCACAATTCATTCTCACAACCTCAGCGTCCCAATTATCCGCCTACGAGTGTGAATGGTGTACCTCCAGGTCTCCCAGCTGACTTTCTCGCTGAAGCTGCTAAGCGAGCTCAGATGGCCTGCCTGATGCGCGACCTAGGCGACGTCTCGCTTTGATTACCGTGTTCCTTTTACAACACCGGCTTCGTCAGTGTCATGGCCTCGTCGCCATACCGTGACATATTTCAGGTTCTCATCATACGAGTCAAGTCGCCACTTCAGCGATATGATTGACCGCTTCATTCAAGCCGCATCGTTTAGTTAGCACAGAAACACATCTCCACAGACTAGCATGTGCCCAAAAATCAGATTCCGGAAAAATGACTCGTGCCGAGGCACATCCCGGACACTTTTCGATCACAACCAAAACCTACGTCGGATCGAGATCCAAAAGGCCAACATGCATGGATAATTTACGGTGTTCTATCACAGTCAGTATCTGGTTCGGTGGGATATCTATCGGGTTCGACGTCGGCCAGTCTGCGCTTCGAACCTCGACGCGACACGACCTTTTACTTTGTTCAGCGTTCCTCTGATTTCAGGCAGATGGTATTTCAACACAGGAGTTAATTACAAGAGTAGCATAGGCGTTAACGTGGTGGGCTTTACGACGAGTATTTATGGGCCTGAACATACCCTTGAGCTACCATCTTTAGATGCTTAGAGAAATAGGCTATAGCAGAGATAATCCCAGTTCTTTATGATCCAAGTCATTTTCTACGGTAATTGTGAGTTGTCGCTGCGGTTTCCTTTATGCTTGCGAGCAACTTGACTTCAGGTCTTTGTGAACGCCAAAAGTCGCAACGACTTTCAGGTAGGCACGCGTGAGAATCACAATAGCAAGCACGTCCCGAGCAGCAAGAGCCACTAGGTGCATTGGTGTAATTTGCATACATCTGCCTGGCCTGTTTTTGCTGATCGGGACGTGACAAGATATCACCCAATACAATCTTCTACCACAACGGTATACTGTGTACGTCGCCACTGCCTATTGATTCACTCACCCACCTCCCCAGCCCACTCATCCTCCAAAAACTTCGCAAACCCCACGGCAACATCCTTCCTCCCAGCAGTAAACCCCTTCCCATGCGCAATACCACCTCGTTGAATCTGCGTATACTTCCGCCTCAACCTCTGTAACTTCGGCTGACTCAACGTCACACCCTCAGGTTTCTCGATCTCTAACATCAGCTGTGCCCCATCGACGAGTAACGATGTTTGCAGGGTCGCGTACTCGCCTGTATTAGCGACGCCGGCATCTCGTGCAACTGCGAGGACTAGTTTTGTGATTTCACCTGTCGTGCTTTCGAGAGTCTGTAGCGCGTCGGGGGCAGATGCGGCTGGTAGGACTGTGGCTGCGTTTTGTCTGACGGCTTCTACTACTTTCTTATTTCGTTCATTCGTGCCATCTTGTTGTGGAGGTATCTGTGCTTCCACTGCCTGCTCTTTCTGTATCCGTTCTTGTTCGTGACGCTCGCGCATCAATGCTTTCTTGGATGTGTTCTTCGCTGGAGCTGGGAAGAGGGCTTCCCAAATTTGATCGTATGGTGGGTGGGAGTCTGTGCTGGGTATGGTGAAGAGGGGTGTGTCCCAGCGTGTGAAGGGGGAAGGTGGTTCGTAGCGCATGAAGAGTGATCGGAGGGAGGATGATGAGTATGGGAGGGATGATTTGGGAGTTGGTGGTGTGGATGGAGGTAGGGTTCGGCGTGAGGTCGAGTCTTGTGTTGGTTGTTGTTCTTGTAGGTCAGTGAGAGGAGTGGCTTCACGCGTCGATATGTCGTCAGGCTTGTCGGAGATGTACAAAGACTTCAAAGTCATAGTTTCGTCTCTCCGACATTTTTGTTTCAATCTTTCCTCTTGATCTTCGTCACTGATAACTCCTCCGACGCTGGAGGAACGTGACCTCCCACCAGCGCTTTCATCGAGCACTTTATCTCCATAGATCGCAGTGTGACTTTCCGGCTCTAGGTTTCCAAGCACATCTCTACCAATTTTCGGACCTGATGCCAAAGCACTACAATCTGTGTGTTCGTCATTCAAGATTGGTCTGCCCCAAGCCTGCAACCGAGCATTGTTCCAGTCTACACACTCATCCTCCCTCGCTGCAGTATGCACCACAACACTGCGCGTGCCAGCCGCTTTGGCTTCACAGAAGAGCTGATACCTAAAACCCTTGATGTAGTTTGGCGCATCTGCTATGACAACCGTATTCTTGCTGATAGCTCTCTTGATAGCAGAGAACTCTTCAGCCCGAGCTGTCTTTTCTAGCCGAGCAGAGTCGTATATCACATCTCTCGGATTCCGCACCTGGTCAGGCGGAGTATATTGTTGGTCATCTTGACTTGACGGGTCTAAGGAGGCATGGTGCGAAGGTAGGTAGACCACCGATCGAGGTGACGATGGCTCGATACGTGACTGGAAATCTTGCAATATCTGCTGTGCGCGAAAGGTCTTTCCAGAGCAGGGTGTTCCGGTGATTATGATAAGCTGATCACCATGGTGAGAAGCAATCTAAAGAGAAGGAAAACTAGGACACTCTTACAGGCATTATGAAGAGCCAGACAACGGTGATGCTCGTGGTTGAAAAATGGTTGGCGCACAAGACTAGAGGCACAAATCAAGGACGCGGGGCAATGCTCGGGGGCACCTCAGGCTTGACTGCTGGTTGTGGGACCTTAAACTTGCAGAGACTTCCGGTTCGAGTTGGCGCTTGAAATCACAATGTACAATGTGCTTGATCAAGGAAAGACGATCTTCACACTGGTAGTGAAATCTGTAAGGATGCTATAAAACGTTGCTGGGTATACTGATTTTGAACAAACACTCGAGCCACCCATCGACGCAATGTCGCTGGTACTACATTGCTGGAAGAACGCTCACAATTCCTCCATAACACGATCGCGGTCCCTTCCATGATATCTATCTGGTATCACAGGTTTGTGATAAAATGATGAATGCAGAAATCCCTCTCAAGAAATTGTCAAATCAATGGTGCAGCTTGCTGACAACAGTTCGCAATAGCTTTCGTGCTGAGAGAGGATGAAAAGGCACGGGGTATGCTCCGGTTATTTCCATGTGGTCCTGAACGATATTGGCCATATATCAGTATCGTCATGCATGGAAGTGGCTCCATCTATGAAGGTCTGATAGCCTGGCTACCCTGGAACTGGAACTCCATGGAAGGACAGGTAAGGGCAGGAACCATTGGCATAAGAAGAGGAAATATTGTATCCAGGTAGGGGAAACATGACTTTAGCTGTACCTCAATACACGGATTGAAGATACATTCCAGGTTCAAATGATTGAGTCACCATGGGTCCATAGTGGCTGTGGTCAACGGTCATGCCTGGCATCATGATGTTCTGGGTCTGAACGTCCCTTCGGAGCTGGGGGTGATAGCGCGGCGCGCTGACATTCCTTGAGTGTCCTGGGAGATATGGATGAGCTCTGGCAGAGCTGTTCCGTTTCATTGCAACAGAGGTTGAGGCACCAGGCCCTTTCCTTCTCCGTGAAGGATCAGTGTAGCCTCTATCGGCTATTTCATCATTTTCTGGCTCTTCCCAGCCGTGAACACGTTTCATGTGATCACGTTGGTTCCAGCGTCGTGGAAAGCCATTGTCACGGCGAGCTCGTTCACATCCTTCGAATTTGCAGAGATAAGGGTTGATTCCATGGTTGTGTAATCCGTGCATTTCACGTTCGTGTCGAAACAAGCAAGCATTAGAAGAGAAGCGAAGAGGCCGGCAGTTTTCATCCCTATCCCCAAATTTGCAGGTGTAGGGTTTCAGGTGAGAGTCCAGGTTCTTGCTGCACGCAGTTAGTGGTTAACCTCTTTGGTTCGTGAACTTGGCACCTACGCATAGATGCATTTCTGCTTGGTTGGCTTGTGATTGCAGTTGTCGGCGGCATATGGGCAGTGGTAGTTTCCATCCTTGTCGGGCTTGACGTCGTACCTGGGATCATTCCTCGGATTGTGTTTAGATCGTTCCATGTGACGTTCCTTGGGAGATCCTGTCGCAGAACTAGGTGGACTCCGTTCAGATGCCGATCGAATAGGCCGTGGGTTAGAATGCTTAATTGGAGCCCTATACAAAGTCAATACAAGACATTAGATAACGTATGAGGTGACCTGACCTCGAGAACTGGAGTTTGGAAACACCAAGGTATTCACATTCTGTGGCAGGCTCCGGTAGCGGTTCAAAGGCCAAGGAATCCGTTCTTCCAGTATCGAACAAATCCGGTATCTCAAACATTGGATCAGCTGGAGGTGTTGGTGGTAGTTGCATTACCCATTGGTCTGGATAGCACGAGAGATGGGCCATTCCTGAATCTATTCCTGTGGTATGATACAATTCAGCTTGCGCTATTTCAGCCTCAGTCATTGGAGGTGAAAAGGGCTTCGCCAACGGTCCAGAAGAAGGGCTTGATGTGTCGGAATCACAAGGTCCCAGAGGGTGAATGAAGGTCAAATCTGTAGGCGCCACGCCAGAAGTAGGGATGTATGAGCCGTCATTTCCTGGGAACGATGTGTCGTCGCCAACTGGTAAGCAGCTAGTCATTTCCGGGAAATAGATTGATGCGGAGGGGACAACATGGTAATTCGGTTCTGCCATATTCGAAAGATATTGTGTGTATACTGCTGTGGATTGGGGAAGAGAAGTTGGGATGTGCCTTGGTTTTTGTTGTGCAGCTGAAGGCAGCCTGGTCCTGGATGGTAGCATGTTTGATGACGACTTCCGGGAGGACATAATCCAGTATAAATTCAAGTCCAGATATCTACAGAGCATTTGCGTTAGTAAACGTGCTTTTGGCAAGAAACAAAGTCCAGGTCAGCAGCGGTTCAGTCTGTAGAAGAATCCGTTCCAGCAAAACTATGGTGTAGCGGGACTTGATGCCAGTCATCTCTAGAGTTACAGCCAGACGTTCCGTGATGAGGCTGATGGGCCTTCTAAGCGTGGTTAAAAGACTTGCAGGTACGTCTCTTATGAAGACGTAGACGTGGTGCATGCCCAGTCGTTCCAGAGTATTCGCAGGTTCGTGAACCTATAAATCGGGCCTTGAGAAGTAAATGATAATGCATTGGAGCATTTAGCCAACATTCTTGGGACTTGGTTTGTACCAAGCCAGAAAATCCAGACAGGAGTCAAAGTATGACCGTCGTGCTGCAGACAGTAGTTCTCCATGGACAGACCAACTGCGAAGCCCGGATACCAATTGTGAAGCAGAGACGCGAGAACGGTAGTACTAGTCGGAGTCACAGAAGCCAGAGAACATCAACGTCTCACAATTTGTTGCACAGCAAATTATCCAGCAGAACGCAGACGGCGCTGACAATTCTCCAAGCAGATATCCAGGTCAAAGAAAACATGGTGGCCTTGTATGAGAAGAGCACATTAGCTCGTAGTGTTTTCAAGACAATAAGCCAGCAGGCAGTATTGTCAACACCAGCAGGCAACCCATGCTGACAACAGCAGGTCGAACGCCTCAGATCCGGAAGGTAATCCAATGGTTTGTGGCCGGCCTGGTGGAAAATGGAAACATAGACGCTGTGGAGCGTATGGCCCTCGAAAGGGATGGGGAGAATGACAATACTGACCTGCAATACAAAAGTGCACTCGGAGAGTACTTTCCGTACAGAAGTATGACCCAATGGATATATGTTGTCCTCGGGCAGTAAAGTCCTAAGCGACGACAACAAACGTAGCAAAGCAGCGGCAGTCCTTGGAAATTGTCCTTGTGGATGAATCCGTGGCAGTGGAAGTCCTTTGGCAATGTGGTTTGAGTCCTTGGAAGTGGATGAAATATGGGTGAGAGAGTCACGACTTTAGCAGTGTGTTCTGTGATAGTAGGAAGTTTGTCAAGTAGGAAAAGTTGCTAAAGCGGATGAGGCACAGGTTATAAAGCACACGAAGACGGTAGGCTGTTTCGCTGGCACGCTCAAAGTGACGCTGCGGTGTGATGAGATAGAGAAGGAAGTGGGTGATGGAGATGAGGTGGGCCTGGCAGCTGTCGCAGAAACCAAGTTTTGGGTTCACAGATGGGGCACTTTTGGCCGAGTAGAGGCCGCTTAGGACAAGCCGGCACGAGTCGTTGCTTCCTACACTCCCCACTCTGGTGCATCCAAGACTTTCGCTGCTGCAGAGTTCTGACGATTCATGTTGATTATCAGAAGGAGTTGTGATCAGCAGGGGCAGCCTCTATTAGATCATTCGCTTCTGGTGATCCATCGGCCATGTGCACATGCATTATCCCGTGCAGCTCAATCGAGTCGTCGACGACCTCAAAATGCAGTCTAATGCACAGTGTAGTCCACTGCATAAAGGTTGGGTGACGTGGCAGGATTTTGGTGAAAGAGATGGGTGACGTGAAGCCAATGAGCATCTCATAGATTTGTCTTGCAAGCAGGCTGATATGAGAAGAGACTGGTGATGAAGAATACAGCTGTAGAATCACGCACAAGGTAGAACGTGGTCCTTGATGGTCAAAAGCGTGTCGTGATATTGTTGCTCAAATAAAACGAAGGCTTTGGGGCAGCCAGGGCTGAGAGGTAAACAGTCCTACGAAATGTCGTTCTCTGTTGTTGGTAAGCTCGACGGAGTGAATGATGATGAAGCGTGGTGAGAACAGCTTGCAGGGCAGTCATTCTTTGACACCTGGCTGTTAGCACATCTATTGTGGCCTGTCTGTTGACGAATATTATGCGAAGAGACAGCAATGGAGATTGAAGAAGCTTTGGATACTTCAATTACGTCTGAACGGCTAGCAGGAACATCCATATCCTGACATTTTTCGATTAAATGTGAATTTCGTGCGATACTTTAAGACTGCTGCTCTGGAGATTGTACAGGAACAACCCCTCCTTGTTGGACATCAAAGCCGCACGTTGTGTAACCAAGCAAGATCCGGCCTGAAAACACGATCCGTGGGTGTGGCCTTCGTCCGTAACGTGTCAAGGACGACTTAAAGTCAATCTCAAGATAACTCCCGAAGTAAATTCCTTGGTCCGCAATTGCTTCGCGGTCATGCATGGCTGTACCAGTATTCGAGCGAGCAGAGGGACAAGGAAAACATCGAAAAGGGTAGGACAGGAATACCATACCATTCTATCAGGCGCAACATCAACTAAACATTCTCGACTGCTCTGCCACAACACAATATCTTTGAGCGTTGCCTAGCGAAGCCAGAGTGAAAGGCTGACAAGATTACACATTGTACTTGTACTCGTACAAGTAAAGCTTCACAATACAAATATCGTTGTCACGTGGCAGCATGTTGAATGTTGTGCGGGTCAAGTTGATTGCCGATTCATCTCAGCCTTTCCTCCTCGTTTGCCCAGCATCAGATTCAAATTTTCCTCGGACGAAGTAGTGCTAGCTCTGTTGACTGGCCATTGTAAATATTGTGATATGCGAAAAGGATGCTTCGAGATTGTGACACCAAGGCGTGATGGTAATGATCCGGTTCGATCAATTGAAGCACTTTTGCAGACAATCTCTCTTACTCCGATTTTATTGGCTATTCACAATGGTTTATCCGTCGAGTGTGTGTTGCAATATACACTTCGACAACTCGAAAGTTCTGCCGGCAGGAAAATGATAGTTTCACGAGTAGAAAGAGCTACTGGCTTGACATGCCTGCTCCGTGACAGGTGTCCAGCCCAGATACCTATGGAAGCCAACCAGCAGTTGTCCTACCTTCAGCTTGCGACTGTACAATAACATTGCTAGATTTCAGGGTCATGCGTCATGTTGTGTAAATAGTATGAACTGGACTGGTGGTCGTCTCAATCGCCATGCACGGTCAAACACTAACCCACAGCTCAAAGCTCAGAGGCGACACTTCGCGAAAGCCTCATTAGAACGTCTCAAGCGTGGTCAGCGAGAGGACACAGATTGTCTGGACGACAGTCATATTTCGTTGACTCGTGATGGAAATCCACAACCACAATGGAATCAGAGAAAAACAACCGTGGCGACGGGTGAAGTAGCATCAAAGTTCTTCCGTAAGTATGGCTTCCCTTCAATACTCACTACACGTCTCCAAATCTTTCCAAAGACGTTAAGCTGATAAGAGCCAGCGCGGACCAGAAGGGCGGAGCCACAGGAGCAACATCAAGCCTCGTCACCTAGTGGAAGTAAGGACGTTGCTCATCGTACTACCCAGAAGCAAGATTGTGCAAGCATGAGCCAAGTACGGCCTGCCGACCGTTACGACCAGAGCCTGAGTATACTCAAAGAACGGTTCCTGAATACCCCAGATTGGCTCGGCCTGTCCGCAGCGCAGCCCGTCGAGATCCAATTCGCGCCTGCTCACGAGATGGCAAACATTGGTCGGCACCGAAAGCAGAATACTATATCCAAAACACCTTTTCAGCTCACTCATAACGACTACCGTACTTCGCCTTTACTCGGAAAGCGTAAGCGTCGCTCAAGTAGCGAAGCTTTGAGTGAGCCGAAGAAGGCAATCTGTGCTCGACGACTGTCTTCAAGCCGCGTCGACGAATCATCTCCTTCGAGCCCATCCCGGCTTGCCATAAACTTCGATTCAAGCATAACATCAGGATCTAGCACTAGCCTATCATTACCGAGTCTACCTCTCTATGATGCCGGCAGACGTTCATACCGACTTCGACACGACCAGCATTACCAAACAAACAATCGATTACTGTCTCTAGAAGAGGTAAAGCATTTCTCGAGCTTTGACGATATTCAGGCGAAATACATTAGTTCAGGTGCAGCACACCAGCAGGAGGATAGCCAGAAAGACCAACAGCCATCCCAACATGATCGAGTAACGACCAATGTTGCAGACACTGAGGCAGCTCTGCGCGCGGAGTTAGCGCAGGAAGATCTTGCGTTGCCTCAAATACCTGACCGCAGCGAAGTCTCATTACTGCGGACAACTAGACGAGACGAAAGCAATGACGGCAGCTTAGGAAAAACGAACAACAATGACTCTGTGCCGGTTTCAGTCGTATCGTGCTCAGGTGAATATGGTCAAGAAGGACGCATCTCGAATACGGCGAAAAAGCCAATTTGGTTTTCGTCGATATTATCTGGTGCAGATGTGTCGGTCCGAGACTTTGCAACGGAAGATACGATTCGTTCTGCAACCACTGAACTCGAAGGAACATCTACGAGATCTTCTGGATCTCGGCCAGAAACACATAAGTATATCAAGCCATGGCCGGTCCAGTTTCCATACGTTCTCAATACGTCCCCTCCATTAAACTTAATGCTTGGAAACCATTCAACAACGCCAAAGAAACGACGCTACAAGCTTGACGAAAGCGTAGTGCCAGATCTCAATGCTTGTTGTGCCCAAGCCAACCAGCCATCGAGCCTGTTTACTGGCGGCTCAGGATCGCCAGCCAGGGTAAATCCGGTCATCGAGACGCCGAAGCAGAACAGATACTCGCTTTCGCCATATGCTGATTTAGTGGATGATGTTATTAAAGGGAAATACGATCTAGGACACGTAATGGGCTCGACTCCACGACCGCAGGCAAGAGGAAGTCTTGTCGAGTATCCTATGGGTCAACAAACCAAGTCTGCCATGGCCTCACCAGGAAGTGAAATACTCTTCAGCACTACAAGAGTACCACTTGAGGCCTCGAACAGGATGTCTATTAACTCAGGCACAAGATCTCACGGCAGAAAGTATGCTCTTCCTAATGTGGATCTCCCACATACCGAGAGTGAATTGGGCTCTCCATACTATCGATTGATTCGTACACCTCTTCGAAATCTTCGATACTCAGAGTCGATCTCGCCATAACTTCGTTACTGGTACGAGAGGCTTTGTACTGCCTTTCAAGACAACGGTATTTCGATTCGAGTGCTTCCAATATGACAACCTGGAAATTACATGAGCAGCCCTTCGACTACCACAGTCTATGATCCATTTTTCGGAGAAACTTGAGTTGTCATGGCTTGAGACGATCACTCAGAATTCCAGACTGGAAGAGAGCCTCAGCTACATCACAACTTCTCAATGTTTTGCCACCCAGTTTCAAAAATCGAGATTCAACATAGTATGGAACTCGAGTGATTGTTGGACTTGGTTTGTGTTCTTTTTTAGATCACAAGCAACTACACGCGCTTCTACCAGGTAGCTCAGCGATAAGGACTCGAATTGATAGGCTGTGTTGCATGATGGGCACTAAGTAAGTCTCTGGGGCATATCGGCTCGAGCCACAAGGTCGCTAAAGTCGCATTGGGATTCTGGCTAGCTTAGAAGGGGTTCGCTATGCTGTATACCATGCCTAGTCAGGCACATAGACTATGCTAGTGGTAATGAGGATCACCGTGGTGTCGCCGACATTGTGTAAGCAGAGTGCTGTTGTGGGTCAGCTTAGCAATGGGTACGACCCAGTTGTTTACTTTATGCCTATCAGCGAGAACGTGTCAGAGTCGTATTCACTAGCACGAATGGATACATACGCACGCACTTAGTAGTTCAGGGCTATCTCCTACCTTATGGAAGGTGAAGAGAAGCTACATAATCAAAGATATGAACAGCCAAGTACCATGCACAAAAAGCACGGCAATGAGAAACCTCGGTTTGTACCTATTCAATCTTCGTCCGCGCGCTCGGGCGAGTTAGCGCGAGGCACACCGTGATCGTGCTATAGCGAGTTTCTGTAATTACCCAATGAACCTTACTATAAGCCAAGGTAGCAAAATGCCAGAATCGTAGTATATATCATGCATCTATGATCTGCTTGTGCAAAGACCTCCAAGTCCACACTTGCGAGACCTGCCTCGATAAAGCCGAGCATTTCGAGACCCATCCATTATTGATCATCAGCTCAAACTCTCCACCTATAAGTCACTACAATTGACAAAAGCCACGGATACCTTAGCTAGCGATCCGACCATGGCCGCCGAGTTCTCCTCCACAATAGACCAAGCTCTACACGACAAACGCATCGCCGGCGGAGCAGCAATCGCAATCGACAAGTCCGGCCGAGAACTCATCAGAAAGGAATTCGGCAAGACGTCCACCAATCCCTCGGACGCGAAACCATTCGCCTTCGACACGACGCTGTGGTACGCAAGCTCGACGAAACTCCTCACTTCGATCTGTGCGCTCCATTGCGTTGAGCAGGGTCTGTTGAAGCTCGACGATGATATTGCGACGGTTCTGCCGGAGTGGAAGGATCCTCAGATCATCACGGGGTATGCTGATGATGGATCACCGATACTTGTGAAAGCAGAGCAAAAAATTACCCTGCGACGGCTCCTGACTCACTCGAGTGGGATGGTGTACCCGGAGATGAACCCTTCGATCACGCAGTATCAGGCGGCGAAGAGCAAGGAGCTCGGCTATGATGTGGCAAAGGAAGAGAGGATATCAGAGTATTTTATGAATCCGCTGATTTTTGAGCCGGGGAGTAGTTGGGTTTATGGACCGAGTATTGACTGGGCTGGGAGAATGGTTGAAGTTGTGACGGGTAGCAAGCTGGGTGAGTTTATGGCTAAGCATATTTTTGAGCCATTGGGGATGCGGTATTCTACGTTCGATCCGGTTGGTAATGAGGAGGTGATGAGCAGGATGACGGGACGAGTGGGGAGAAATGCTGAGACCGGGCTGGTTGGTGAAGAGACTTCTGGGTTGAGGCAGGTCCGGAAAAAGGAGGACCATCATGGCGGAAGTGGGATGTATTCGTGCGCCAATGACTACATTAAGGTTCTGACTTCGTTACTGCTCGATGATGGCAAGTTGCTTCCTAGTGGCGGCGCCATGATGCAGGAGCTGTTCGCTGGGCAGCTCGAGAGTCCTTCCGGTCTGCACTTTTGGGCAACGCATCCCATGTTTGGCGCTTTCTTGACGCCTGGCTATCCGCGGGATCCTGAGACGACAGAATGGAATCACAGCCTGGGTGGTGCGATTGTGGCGAAGGAGATTCCAGGCCATGCCAGTAAGGGCACATTGTTCTGGTCAGGCTTACCGAACAATTACTGGTTTGTTGATCGGGAAGCTGGGGTCGCTGGATGTTATGCTAGCTGGATCTTGCCTCCAGGTGATGCACCGACGGGCGAGATGTTTGGCGCTTTGCAGAGAGCTGCTTTCTGGGAGGCGAAAGGGGGAGTTCTGTAGGCTTGCACAATTTTACCTATACGGATTCGTTGATGTATTCGCTCTCGTGGTTATCTATTTTGGTAGAAGGAATGTTGCACTGCCCTGACCAGTAACATTTCGAGGACGCTGCTCAAGAGTACGTATCGTGATATCGATTAGATGTGTCACTGTCCGGTAGTGGTTGGCAATAGCCTTGTACAGTTATCGGCAGTCTGGGCGGAGCCGAGTCACTGACCTCCCAGCCATGTACTAACGGTATCCTGCTTGGAGCACTGACGGGACTATCGATATAAGGTGGACGAATATTCGCGGGAAGATTAGTTCTTTTGGTAGGTCTGTGTGGCAAAGCTGGTTGTACTGCTCTTCTCATCTTATCCACAAATCCGAGACTGCTTGTCCAGACAGGACCATCGACCTTGAGCTGGTCACTCACATATGCCACTATTGCATTGTGAGCGCGACGACCGGTAGTCGAACAGCGATCCTCGCCACTGAACATGGTGTCATTCCAGATCTCGCAAGAACCATCAGGATAATCTTCGATACCTCCGCCTTCTGGTTCTTCACATATAACGTGTGATCGTAACATGAGCTGCTTGATGCTTAACCTGGGCACCATGATGTCGCTCTCTGCGCCGTGGTCGGCTATTGTAACCATATGTTCATGCTTTGCGGTTCCTTTGATGTCGCTTTTGGTCTGGTACTGATATCTTAACATTTCCAGCCTGGCCTTGGCGTATCTTTCGAAGAAATCTTGGATGCGTGCAAGCTTCTCGCCGGCAGCAACACCAACGTTGCGGTCATCTTGTTCAATCATCGTGTTTTCTGGATCAAAGTAGCCCATCATTGCATACCAGGCTCTTAGATGAATTTCCAGCAGACATTCTCTCGCGTAGGCGACCAGGCGGTTCGTCTTCACATAGTATGTCGGCGTAGCAGCCCTCATCTCAGTCAGTCCCTGCTCAACTCGATTCAGATGTACACTGACGATCTCGTATTGCCGAATAAGTCTCTGCTTCAATTCCCACCTCTTCTGCCTGAGTTCAGCAACTTTCACCTGACTCGGATCCTTCCCGTTCAAGCTCTTCAGATATGGAAGCAGATCTTCTCTTAGTAGCTGTACTGTGGCATTCGAACTCGCTGATAAATTCGTGGTCTCAAAATCATCGAACCCCCTCGCAATCAGCTCCTGCATCACAATCGCAATACTCGTCGCCTCGACACTCAGACTATCTGCCGTCGCCAGGCCGCGCAAATACCGCATCCTCAACTCCGCTGCCTGGACTTTGTCCTTTGCTGCCTTGGCACGGTCCTTGATCGAGTTACTCACCTTAACCAATGCAAGGATCAACCCAAATGCAGCGCCCACCACTGGAATGGCGCCAGCAGCAATTTGAGCGACCGAGTCGAATTGACGGTGTACGGAGCAGTACTCCTTCATGACGTTGAGGAATTCTTCTTGCGTGCATTTGCTGTACTCAAGATTTGCGCATGCTTGGAGAGCAGCTTCACCGTGTTCTGCGTTGATGCTGAGGCCGTTGGAAGAGAAGAGGTGAAGGAGTTCTTCTATATCGATGGTGCCACCGAAGCAGTTCAAGGTTGGTAAGGAAGTTTCGATATTGGTGATGTCAGATGCGTGAGCAGCTGATGCAAGGTGTTCCATCTTTACTATAAGATGAAGAAGATCAATTCAAGATCAAGAGGAACAGATTCCTATAGGCATAGGTGTAAACAAGCCGAGTACTGGCAGTATCTGTAGGGAGATGTCCAAGATCTCCTGTCTTGGAGCTGCTGTTAACATGTCTGTGCTGCTGGAGTGGTGAAACTACAGCTGCTACGATGATTGACTGACAGTCAAGTCACCACATCTTGCACGCCATTCTGTTCACCACGCGTTGAAGGCTGAAACTCGACAGCAAGCTCCTACTTGTAGACTCGTCGTGCTCTTTCTTAGCGAATATTGGACTACTTGAAGAGTAAGCAGTCGCCGATTCCCAACATTGGCAAAAGGTTGCAAGAGCGGCGATGATCATCATCAGGCAGGAGCTTGGGCGCTGGTACCTTGCAGACCGCATCTTGCCAGTGTGGATAAGATCAGATCGTTGACCCCAGACCGCCTTTCACGTCAGGTAACCATGTGTTCGGGGCGTTAAACTAGAGCCCAACAGGGTAAGGTATGAGCAAGACAAACGCATCATTGTGGAACAACCTGGAGGCACAAACTCGAGGCTGACTTCAGGTAGCTTACGAAACGAACTACAGAATCAAGGACCTAGAAAACTAGTCTCTCATTCTTCTGGAAGCAGACAACAATTTCAATCGCTGACCCTCCTCAACCTAAACGTACTCCAGCTATATTGGCCTTTTTGCCCATCGTTCCTTGAGCTCGTTGTAGACCTCTGTCATTGTCTCGACCAGTATCAAGGATACTTGTTGCCTCACGTCTCTTCTCTTCTTCAATCTTCTTGATGTGCTTCTCAGTCTTCTGTTTGCCACTACCTTTTCCATGGAACTGATGTGACAAATGCTTGAACGCCTCTTTCTGGTTCAACACACGTCCAGAATCATCGACATATTTGAGCTGAACATCCGGCTTGTACTCTTTATTGAATGCTGCAGCTGCTTGGATCGACATCTGCTGAGCACGCTTCTCATTCTGCCAACGAGCTTGTTCCTCTCTTTCTTGCATTGACATGCCTTTGTTCTTTCCCAAAGCACGATCTCGTTCTCGCTGTGCACGAGCATGCTGATCGGCTTGATGTTCACGAAGTCGTTGTTCTGTGATGAAATTCTGTCGATCACGGTAGATGGAGTTTCTTTCGTTAGCTCCCGACTCTTTGAGGACGCCTCGACCTTTGAGCAACTTCAGAGCTGCGCCAATGCCTTGATCCAATGTCTCCTCCCTCTCGAGACCAGTCTCTGAAATTCCTGCAGCGTCCTTCGCAGCCTCTTGTTTGACCTTATCGAGTAGTGTTTGCTCATCGCCTTCAATAACTGCGTAGGCTTGGTTGGAATCTGACATGGGCGCATCTTCGTCGTCCACCGATGCTTGTCTTTGCTCTCTTTCTGTCGGTTCAATCTCCACTGAGTTCTGCACAGGCTTAGGCGAGTCCTCAGGTGCACGCGTATTAAGATTATCGAGGAATGCTGTTGTATCGTCCAGAACAAGTCCGCCTTCCGGCTCAATTATAGCTGCATCTTCCTCTTCTTTCAGCTGCTTAACAATGTCTTCGGGTCTCAGCTTTTTCTTCTTGAGTGCGGCTCGTCTACTGTACATGAGGGCATTGGAAAGATCTTCGTCGTCGTTAATGTTAGTTTCTGTTTGTGGTTTGGACTTGAACATATCCACATCCATAGCTTCTGTGTCACCGTTTGTGGTAGTCGGGAAGATGTCGTCCTCGTCCGCCTCTTTCTGTCTTTTGTTCTTTTTCATTGATTTCTTCGGCTTCTTGATCTTAATCTCTTGATAATCCGAGACAGGCTCAGGCTTTAGGAAATCCAAACTGATTGTGTTCTTGAGCTTTTCACCCACTGCCTGCCTTTTGCTGTCCCTCTCTTCGATGCTGCTTCCTTGAGCGTCGAGAGTGAAGGCCTTCCGCTTCTTCTCGTCATACTGTGACAAAAGTTCTTTCCTTTCGTCGTCATGAATGTCGTATCGAACCCTCTTCTTTGCATCCAATTTCTCCTTCAACTTATCCCGCGCTATAAGATCCGCACTCTCGAGAACGTCTCCTTCCTCTTCGTCTTCATCTTTGCCAATTTCTTGGTCCTTCAGAGTCAGAATCTGATCCGCCGCGTCGTCCTCGAAGTCTCCAAGCTCGTGCGCAACTTGCACACCAGCCAAGTCTGCACTCGTGTAGTCAAGCGCAGCTAACCTTTCACGCTCAGCAAGTTCTTCCTCTAATTTTCTAGCTCGCTCTCTTTCAACCTCTTTCTGTCTCTGCTTCTGTCCCTTCAACCAGGTCTTCGCATCCACGTCGTCAGCTCCAACATCTCCAAGACCCTTTCCTTCGAGCTTCTGAATTCGGGCAGCTGCATCTCGAGCCTTCTGGATGGCTTTCTTTCGCTGTTCTCTTTGTGCCTTCTTCTTCTCCTCGTCTTGTAATTGTTGAAAATTGCTGTAGCCTGCGGCTTCCCGAGTCTCTAAGGTGGATGCCTGCTCCTCATCGCTGCCCTCGTCTTCCACCTTCTGCTTGAATTTTGGGCCATCGGTATCTGCCTGAGGACCGAGTAGAGGTAGACCTAAACTTTTCCGCAACTTGTTCATTTGCTCGATCGCGGCAGAATCCATGATGGGCAACTTACTGTGGAAGTTTCTGGCTTTGGAAAAGGTTATCAGATGAGCAGTGATCCTGCTATTACCAGATTCCGAATGTACGAATAACAGGATCGAAGGTGGCTGTACTCAATTGCCCGTGAGCAATATCACAGACTACTGAAGTAGCAACTCAACCGACTGGCCAGCAAACAGAGCAAACACGTTCCGCCTGCGCTGCCCAATACTCGAATTTATTCCAATTCGCCACGCCTTCTTTCTCTTTTTTCCAACCACAGATCTGTGTTCGTTTGATCCTGCCTGCGCACGTCGCAGACAGTCGTATCGCGAACCACGCGGCGTCAAGGAGCCTTTTCCTCTATGAAGTCAATCTTCCAGTCGACAGATCTCAGAAGAAGCCCTTTCCCGTCTTACACCAAAATCAGATTAGAGCTCGCTTTTGCTTCGGTGAGGGCTGAGATCGTCTGACTGAGATGGGATTGCTTGGACGCGGGTCGAACCGCTTAGATGGTGCTTTATTCCCAAACGCTTGTTGTTACGACGTCGTCGGATGCAATGAGGGTAAAACCAAAGTGCCGACAGAAAACGAACTTTTTTAATGATGAGAAGAATGCTACGATGTTCTTAGTCGTAGGTGTGGCTTGAGTTTGAAGTGGTGTACAGAAGGGCTTGGAAGAAGAGATGGCAATAACCAGGCATATCTTGCAACAGTGTCTCTTGATTGAGCATCATCGCGACGAGAAATATTATAGCATTGAAGGAGAATACGAAATCGTTTAAAACATAAAAATAAGACGACTCAAGAATAAGTCTTATCATGCACATATTCATTCGTCTAGCTCATTGACGCCTATTGTTTCATGCACTGACTGTGTACAACACATCGGCAATTACCCCATTACAAGTCGTACCACATATCAGAGTTCCTCCTCCTCTCAAGCCCACTGCCCATACCTCCACCTAGCAAATGTCTCTTTGTGACAGGCACACCATTCGTGACATTCAACCACGACGCAGCCGGATAGTTCCCAAAGCAGCTATACTCGTACCTCGCTTGTTGCAACAATCCACTGAGGATATTCATAAAGGCACCCATCTCACACCACCCATCATCTCTCTGACCGCATTCTGGGTACGAAAAGCCAAGTGGCACAGTACGTTGCGAGATAGTCATGTGGATGTACGAGGTGCGGTTGCCAGGATTGTAGAAATCGGCCATCGTGGCATTGGAGTTCTTTGGGCGTTGCGCCTTCACTGGCTGGGGTGTAGTGATCTGTTCCCAGACAACTCGCGCACCAAATGGGGTGAGGTGAGAGATTGTGACGTTGCGATTGGGTGTGATGGAGCTGTTACTCAACTTGTCGCTGAACTGTTGAAGACCAAATGCTGTGAGGATGGAGTAGATGTTTGTGTCATGGGAGAAATCCATGTATAGGCTCTGGTTGAGTGGGAAGGTGTTGTTCATCTGATCCAGGGTAGTGTTCACATTGGTAGATCCTGGTGGGAGGTTGTATAGATGACCTTGCAGGCGAGCGTAGAACTCTTCTACGAAACCTATGCCGACACCTCGTCCCGTTGGTGATAAGAAGCCATCGTTACCTTGGAACTGCAGATCAATGCTGTATTCGAAACCCTGCCACTCGTCGTAAGTGAAGAGGCTGCACCAATTGCTGAAGCCGTAGGCAACGGTCTCATATGGGCACAGAGTCTGCGCATTGTAGGAGTCCGCTACTGTCCAGTTGTATTTACCCGAGAGTGCCCGCAGTCTCTGCGTAGCATTCTTGAGGTAGATATTCTCCCACACTAGACTTGCATTGTTTCCAGCTGTGGACCTGTAATTGTTGCTGTTGTTGCACTGAAAGTATCCAGCCAATGAGTTGTTGAAATAGGGCTGCTCAATGATAGGCTCAAGTGTGACATTCTGAGGCCATTCGAAACCAAAGAAGCCAGCCATGAAATATTCTGCAGACTTCAGCATGCGATCCTGCGTGGTCGTTCGAGATACGAGCTTAGTCGAGGTATTGTAGAGGTGTCCATAGTTGTAGTAGAACAAGACACCACTATCGAACAGTTCTTGTCTACCTCTCGCAACCAAGATCTCTGCTCCGAGGGTATAGCTCCAAGTGTTGAGGAAGCTCAATGCACCGGTCCATGTGGCTGTGCCGTTCCGAGTGACGTTGTAGATCTTGCTGCCGAAGCTGGAGACAGACGAGTCGCCTGTAGGATACCTGGCACCGTGACGGCTAAGCAGATGCGCTGTGGTGATGTTGGCACCAGGAGGAAGAGCGTATTCGTTTACACCGAAACCGACTGGATTAGGGAAATAGCTCGAAAGCTGTCCCATCAGCTGGAAGATATTGGAGTTGTTTGTGTTGCCAGAGATGGGAACAGCAGTCTCTAGTGGTTGATTTGGGGAGTACAAGGTGCCAATTGGCGCTGGATTCGTTTGCGCTAGGAAAGGCGCAATGGCTGCTGTCTTCGTTGGACCAGGATAGATCTGTGGTGAGGTCTGGAAGTATTGCGGAACAACAGATGAAGAGGCCGCCTGCTTCTTGTCGAGGGCAGCAGCATTACCCAGGCCGGCGGCCGTCATCTGGGTGAGGAGGAACAACATGGTGCCTAAGATTGAGGTGAAGACGAGGCAAATCGACAGTACAGGTCGAGCAAAAGTTTTGCTTTTGTAACTGTGATCGGCCTCAAGCGGCTGCCAGGGCGTCCCATCATTGTTCGGGGATGGATCTGGTCTCTTGAAGCCGTCCCAGCTTCCAAAGATGCCATGGTACCTCGAACCTGTCATCGAGCGTCATAGCGTGGTAGTATCTCGCAGCTGTTTAAGCCCTAACGGGAAAGACCAAAGGACATGAATACAAAGGGGGTTAGTGGTCTTGAGGGCGGCGAAGATAAGAAAAACAAGCAAAGGGCTAGAGAAGCTTAGCTGGCATGCTGACATGGGCCGTGCTTGAACCAAGCTTTTTGGCTGGTTGGCATTCTGTTCGACAACATCCTGGAAAGCGTCAAGCAGACAAATCGAGGTGATCAGTGACTGGCAAGCTATATGTGGGGAACGACACATAGCCAATCGTATGTGATCGTCAAGCCATGTGCTCTGCAGTACCTGAAGGGACATGGATTGAATAACTTTGAAAACGATAAAGTTACATGGCTATCTCTCTCGATCCAGGCGTGAGGGTCGCGCAAGGTTAAGTGTATGTGATCTTGTTCGTAACAAATATGTGCACAAGTTCACGGCAATCTGGATGTAAATCGTGGACTATGTTCACCCTAAGGAGAGTAGGAGATAACCTGAAATATCACGTTCGATGGGAAAAAGGGCAAGAATTGCGTCTATTGCCTGTTGTAAGCTGAGAAAGCATTCCAGGATCTTTTCGAAGCCAACGCTGAATCGCTATAAAAGAAGTCGCATCTCGACTTCGACTCATTTGAAGATTGTCTGGATAGCTCAATCCTCAAATTTGAAGCCCTTTCCACCACTTGTGTCAATCATGCCACCTCTGTAACTACCTCGCTTCTTCTTATTCTTCTCCTTTGTGAATCCTTTGCCGCGGGTAACAGAGAGGTCATTGAAAGCTCGGTCGGCGTAATCGTAGCTGACATAGGTATTGCTTAGATATTCACCGTCTTTCGCTTGAGCAGATAACTCAGCAAGACGCGTCGGCCTAGCACCAGTCTTCTTCTTCTCATCATTTGCAGGCCAGGGAGGAAGCGGCGCAGGATCGCCTTGAATGGTAGCTGAAGAATCAGACGAAGCTCTCTGATCGGCTTTCTCTTCCTTTGTTGCCGATGGTTTCGCATCATCCACATCGCTATCTTTGGGAGAAGATTCGTCCTCAGAACTGCTGGCGGAAGAAGAGGAGGAAGAGGAGTCGGCGGAGGACGACACCGAGGAGTCGCTGTCTGGTAATGGAGCCGCGATCGCATCGGTCAGTACCTTGGTCGCAGCTTCATCTTCTGATGATTCAGACTCAGAATCTGACTCAGAGCCCGACTCTGAATCTGAACCCGAAGACGAAGACGAAGAGGACTCTGAAGAACTGCTGGTCTTTGTGTCGGGCTCTGTCTTTATTCTTTTCTTGGGTCTCTTTTCTGTGTTCTGTTCCGACTCTGATTCAGAGGAGCTACTGTCGCTGTCGTCCGAAGCTTCGGAAGAGCTTGAAGACTGAGAAGGGGAGGAACTGGCTTTGCGCTTGAGCGAGGCGACCTTGACTTGAGCGTTCGTCTTCGCTTCTGGCTTGGTGGCTTCTGCGTCGCTACTGTCGGAATTCGAAGAACTCGAGCTCGAAGCGGCAGACGAAGAAGAAGACTCGGACACGGAACCATCGTTCATTTCTACGTCGGAGTCAGTGTCGGAATCTGCGTCCGTAGAGCTACCACTTTCACCATCGGCGTCTGCATTTGTGCTCCCCGTAGGATGGGATTTCAAATAGTTCCTGAATATAGTATCGAGCTGAGGAACACCCTGGGTGAGCTTCTCTCCATATGTGTCTGTCAACGTCTTTCCGCCACTGCGTACTGGTCGCTTTTGTCTTTCATTGGCGAAAATCCTCAATGTCGATTTAAATCCGTGGTTCGAGAGAAATTGACTGATCAATGCAATAAGAACTGGACTAGGTTTCTGATCTGGTTTACCAAATTTAGGGGCTTGTTTCGTCTTCGTCATTGTTACGTTCTTAGGGTTCTCGTCGACGTCCTGCCGTATGCGCCTGAGTAGTTGTGGAGGTCGTCTTTGTAGTTGATGAATTATTACAACAGAATATTTGTGGTCATGAGGCCATTCTTATGGTTGTGAATAGAACCTTGTAATACTCCTCTTTAATCTTGACTGGACGAATTAGTGTGTTTGCAGGTTGTCAGGCGTAGGGCCGTTTGCGAAAGAATCAGAAAATTAATTTTATCAAAATGCAGGTATTCAGGCAGCAACAACCCCGGCCCAGTGGGGCCTGAGAAGGTGGAGCTCGAGTATGGCTGTCCGTGTCGATGAGGCAGGAACTGAGATGAGAGTGCCAGTCCCTCATAATCACTTTCACCTCGTCGCAGCCCTGCCAGCAGCAGCAAGCCACAAAAAATATGCGCGATCCATTCCCGACATGATTGCAAGAGCACAGTACTCGACCGAGCAAGATGAACTCAGGCAGCGCCGAGTACTCCTCTTATGGAGGGCCACGGTCCGCGTCCCGTCCGGTCTTCGATCCTCGCACGCACTCTCAGAACAACAGTCCGGCTATGCAACCTCAGAGAGGACCTCCCTCTGGGGAGACCAACCAGAGTCGCGCAGCCCGCTACGAAGATGAAAAGAGGCGCATCATCGACAGCTGCTTCTCCAAGAAGGAGGCCGACGGCGTCCTGCTCGAGTCCTACATTACCCATGTTCGAGTCACCGAAGATGCTCTGTATCCTTCCTCTCCGCCGCCTCCAGACTCCGCTCCCAGCAACAAGAAGAACAGGTTGATCCTAGTTGCCGTCCGCAGATCTGGTAGGGTCAGAGTGCACAAGGCCCGAGAGAACCCCAATGGTAGCTTTTCTATAGGCAAGACCTGGCCTTTGGACGAGCTCACTTCGATTCAGATATATGCTAGTATCAACCCTGCGAGCGAACGAGACGTCATGGCAAAGCAGTGGGCGGGTGAGCTGGGCTTTACTGTCATGTTGGGCAAGCCATATTACTGGCATGCTCCTACCGCTAAAGAGAGGGACTTCTTCATAGCCAGTTTACTCAAAATTTACAAGAAATACACAAGTGGCAAGACCCCAGAACTTATCGGCTTCCTGCCACATCAGATGGACCAGCTTGGAGCCAATTCAGCCAGCAGAACTCCATCCGCTACCATATCGCAATCCAGCCCTCCTCCTCCTGCGGACCCCCCTCCACTTATGCCTGCTGCGATCTCTCAACGACCGCAATCGCCTCGCTTCTCCCCAGCTCCTCCAAACGACTTCGAACAATCACTGCAAGCACATCTACCACGACCAGAATATCCTTCTGCCACTAGAGATGGCACTTCTTCGCCGATGTTAGGTCTCCCACATTCGCCGGCTTCAGCTGATCGTCGAATGCCTAGTCGTGAGAACTTACGGCGTGGATCAGATGGCCCTTCTACTGGTTACCCTCCTCGAGAGCCTGTACCAGCTATGCCAAATATACCTCGTCAACAATTGACCCCTCAACCTCTTGATTCACGAAATTCGCAAACCTCATCCGCTTCAAGAGAACAGCAGGGATTCCCAGCCTCGGTGAGACCTATGAACGGTCATGGGCCATCTCTACGACAACCATCAGTCGTTCCTTCCCATGCCAGTAGCGAGTATTTACCCACAACTCTTGCTGTTCGTGATCGTTCCGTCAGCTCAGCACACTCTAGCGAAAGACCCACCACTGCCACCTCGGATACGACATCTGTGGCTTCTAAATTCCAACCATCTCATGATAGCCTAGCCCCTCCGGAACGAAAACGAGCTACGGGGCCTCGGACAGAAGTTGATGGCGCTCATTCTCAAAGCAATGGTCAATCTGTTTCACAACCAGGAGTCCCTGTTATGTGGAAAGAGGAGGAGAACAGGTCTCGAGCGCCTTCTGCTCTCCTTACGGAAGAGACAACGAAGGAACCAAAAGAAAACAATCTTGCCAAGGCTGGATATTTCAATGCGGTCACGATGCCCAGTCAGCCTGAGCCAGATTCAAGTCAACTACCGACTCTCAAAACAGCTCCAGTCCTCGAATCTCCAACCATAACTCCTGAACCTCAAACTGCCGAGCCGGAGGCCATGTCGAGTTCTGAGAGACAAGATGATGAGCATCGACCAGGGCTCGGCCCTATGATCAAGAAAAAGAATGCCGCAGACGCTTTCAGGAAGGCTGCGTTCGCCGCTAGCGCATTCAAGCCAAGACAGGGTGGTGGTGCGGCCCGACTGAAAGCGTTAGCAGAGGAGGGCAAGAAGGGTAATGAACCAGACGGCATAACAGGCGTCGTGCCTGCCCCCCTGTTCCGGGGCATGAGTTCTGATAGTGTTGGCAGTAACAGACCAGCCACTCCTGGTGCCCCCAGTGCTCCTAGTACTCCTGGTCTCAAGGAGCAACCTCCAGTCCTTTCACAGAATGATCAGCCGCCAAAGGTCAACCTGCAAAGGACAGCCACAGATGATAGTATTATGAGTCAGTCATTCCCACAGCCTGATGCAGAAAAACTACAAGAAGTGCCTAAGACCAGATATGTCAAGTCGCCACCAATGGAACAACCCAAACGTCCTGCAACTCCAGAGAAGGCACGGTCAAGATCTCCTCAACGCCGAAAACGCCAGAGACAGGACGCGGATATTGCAAAGTATTCCTCCTCACTTGGTATTGACCCTCGAATCTTTGAAGGTCGAGGAGCAGATTTCAACGACTTGCTCACAGAGTTTGGGTGGGATGGCAAACTCGATCCAAAGAGCCAAGTGAATGACTTGGAAGCAGAAGTTCGTCGCGAGATCGGCCGAGCTCAAGCTACCGGCTGGCTCGGCCATGTTGAGCAACAAGACACAAAGGTACTGGAACTAGCAAGAGCATTTGACAGGGCGATAGAAGAATGCGAGGAGCTAGACGGTCTGTTCACGCTATACTCCCACGAGCTAGATACGCTTGCCGCTGACATTGAGTACATCGAAGCACAATCGCAGGGTCTTCAGGTGCAAACTGCCAACCAGAAACTGCTACAGAAAGAACTTCGCAACCTTCTATCTACATTGCGAATCTCGAATAACGACCTACAGGACCTGCAGTACGGTGCTCTTGATGATCCTCAAGGTGTCGCCAACGTGGAGCACGCTCTTGCCACGTTATATACTGCTTTGATCCAGATAGATCCTAATATTCGCTACAACAAGCTGCGGCAAGTCAACAGCTCCGGACATGGCATCAGCCCATATGCTAACAACGATCTGGGCGAGATGCGTGCTGTCAGGGAAAAGAAGGAAGAGTATGCGGATCACTCGCAAGCATTTATCCGTAGATTCTGCCAGCATATGAAAGGTGCTTTCAAGACTTTGGACCAGACACATGACGACAGTTTCAGCGTTAAGACAAGCATTAGCGACTCTAACTCCTCGCTTGCCACTCAAAGGACAGCTCGACAAGACCTGTGGCTATACAATGGTATGGTGCTTTTTGTAAGGGAGGTTAACTCATACGAATGGAAAACCCTAATCAAGTCTTATGAGATGAGCATAAGGGGACTGTATCAGGATCAGTTTCGAACAACGGCGATGTCCTCCAGGAGTGATGCGCGCAAGCCAAGTGGTGAAGAGCAGGAAGCACTTTTCACTTATCAGGAGAAAGATAGATCAGATGATTCACTCACCAGCACAGCTGCACGCAAGCTTACCGTCAAGCGAGGTAAGACAGTCAAAAATACAGGTCTCAAGACGGCATTCAGCAACCGACACGACGGAAAGCCAGATGCACATGAAGTGTTCCAGCAGGTACTCGAGCAGCAGGCCAAGGTGGTTGCTGAAGAACAAAATTTTATGGTCTGTTTTTTCCACTTGAGCACACAAAGCAACGCCGACTTCATCGAGCTCGTTTCCACCAAAGCACCAGCAGAACGGCGTCTTCCTAACCTGAACACCAAAATACCCTTTGAGCCGGATAAGAGTATATCATCTACGATTCAGGCTAGCATAGAAGCCATTTACTCTTTCTGGCTGCAAGATCTTCAGAATCAGCTAGATTGGGTGCTGAAGATGGATCAGTTACAGGGAGTGGGTGTACTATGTGCACTAGAACATGTGTCGACACTCTATGAGGACAGCAATCAAGAATTCATCACATCCACTATTCGCACATTACATGGTCGGCTTAAGGGCCTCTTCAATAAGTTTGTTGAAGGGCAGGTCAAAGCAGTTGAAGAAACAAAAGTAAAATTGAAGAAGCGAAAAGGCATTATTTCGTTTATGCGAACATTTCCATTTTTCAGCTCCGCTGTGGAGAGCATGATACCGGATCACATAGTCGAGGAAGAGACATTAGAGATTCGCTTCATACTCAACGACGCTTACAACAAGATCTTACGTGCAATGTGGGAGTCTTTGACATTTATCGCCAAAGATGACTCAACAACTGGTGGCACAGCACATTCAACAGCACCAGCCAGTGGAGATCCTGAAGATAAAGAAGCTCTCAATTACCACATCTTGCTGATCGAAAACATGAACCATTACATCGAGGAAGTGGAGACTCACCATAATATCGTCCTAGAAGAGTGGAAAGAGAAAGCATCGCAGGACATGTTCACCCATCTAACGCAATACACGGATGCCGTCATACGCAGGCCACTCGGAAAATGGCTTGACTTTGTCGAAAGCACAGAGGCCATGATGAAGACCAACGATTCTTTACAAAGCATATCCTCAAAGCCAAGTCATTCCCGAAGCACATGTAAGAAGATCATCAAAAGTTATGATTCACATGAGATTCGGAAAGGCATCGAAACACTAAAGAAACGGGTTGAGAAGCATTTTGGTGATGTCGACGACCCATCGACAATGAGCAAGAGCCTGATCATGCGAGTGCTGGATGAATGTAGTGCACGATATTTGCACGCTCACGACAGGATGAGGGTAATAATTGATAGAATATACGATGGGGGTTTGGAGATTGATTGGCGGAAGGAGGAGGTTAGCGCTCTATTCAAAAGGTAAGAACTATGGTGAGCGAGTACAAATCCACAACGTATCTTTCATGATGTTTTACTATCGCTATCACAAACGAGCGATGGATGAAATTCTGTACACGAAATTGACCGGGTCGAACGTGTTGGTTTACTTTTTACGACGTGCTTTGTGCTCATTAGCTGTACTGCAACACAAGCCGAACTACAAATGTAGTTTTATCAGCGCCTTCGGTCCGTTCACGGACACTACCTATCTTATGACCGAGCATTGCTTGTTGCTGATGCCTGCACGACCGAGATTGAGTCTCGGTGTATCGAACGAGGAAGGTGCGATACATAAGGTGCGAAAATATCGACGCCTCGAGAACCTCTTCCTAAATCATTGTTCTCATCCTTTGAACTTACTTCTTACAAGCGTAGAAGTTGCGTCCAATCTGTTCAAGGTTGCCAACCTTCTACTACACACCTTGTACGACGCAGATATACCACAGTATCGGTCCCATCAGCGGACTGTACCTGACAAAGACAGAGCAGCAGGCGTGCGCACTGAGCATCTCGTACAAACCAGCTGCTGTTCTGGGTCGTCCACTGACGCGTCGGCTGGCCCACTCGGCAACCACACTTATTGTTTCGGATCTGATAAACTCCGGACGTTCAGAATTATCTGATCAACCACCCAAGGTGTTGTCATAAGTACGTTTTGCCTCTTTTTCCAGTTATTCTGTAGAGGAGGGCATGAGATTGTGACTCGTTCTGCTTTCAGACATATCTGTCTCGCTTATCTGATACACTTGGAATTTGCACTGCGCAGTGGCTCTTGCTTGTCGCAGTTCCGGGCGCTCTTGGCTTTCACTGCCGCGAGTCAAGCCCGAGACAGGTCGTACATCATCAATACTTGTCGAGACATCTGGTGCCAGCCTGTCGCACAACCCACAGATTGCGTCTATTAGAGATATCCTAGAAACACTCACACTGACCATTTACTCAAAATCCAGTGCCACGAATCACCAAAAAAATGCAGTCTCTGCTCACCAGGACTAAGAACTTTCTAACACCGACTGGCTCATCGGCAAATCTACATGAGTCTGGTAAATTCAGAACAGAGAAACAAGCAGAGTCTCTCTTCCAGCAAACGGATCCCAAGATCGATGGCGAAGACTGCTTACACGACTGTGCATCGTGTACAGAACAACTGCCAAGGAAATGGTCGATAGACGAAGAGGACCAATTATACGGCCATGTTAAGGGTTGGGAAACACATCTGATCGTTGGCACAGGCAAGACGGACTGGGTGAGGGATGTGACAGAGGAACAAGGCTCCTTGATGCAAGCTGTTGGAGAGCTAGGGCTGGATCTGAGTAACGGAAAACTCATGCTGAGTGCCTCTGATATGCCGTATAGCTCGGACTCTGGAAATGCCCACGATGCATGGGGTTCGAGTGACGGTCAGAAAGGAGGAGATTATGTCAATGAAGGCCGGACAAAGTGTATCGTCTTGCCGAGATGGGAGGTCGTCACTAATGTAGGAGTTAAGGAGGCGAAGTGGCTATTGGACGACATTATCAGTAAAGGAAGCACAAACTCGACACCGATATCGAAGCCATCAGCACGAAACTCTATATCCTTACAGAAAGGCGAAACGGTCGTGCAGAAGGAGCCCGAAGAACGACCTAGCACACCTGACGTCGCAGGCCTCTCCATACAACACTCCCAACCACGACCACAACAGCAATCGCCAAACCCAGACTCAAATGGCTTACTAGCACCACCATCCCACAACTCACAAATTCCCACACCCATTCTCAAACACCTCAACCCTCCACCCTCCATCAGAATCACGCCCCTCCACCACCGCGCCATAATCCTAATGTGCAGCCACTCAACCCGCGACTGGCGCTGCGGCAAGTCCGCCCCGATCCTAAAACGCGAATTCGAACGGCACCTCCGCCCCCTCGGCCTCTACCGCGAGTTCGACGACGAACGGCCCGGCGGCGTGGGGATATATTTCATTAACCATGTTGGTGGGCATAAGTATTCGGCGAATGTGATGATTTATAGGCGGGAGGGGAGGAAGAGGGATGGGATGGATGAGGGAGAGGTGAGTGGGGAGGCGGTACAGGGCATTTGGTTGGCGAGGGTGAGGCCGGAGGATTGTGAGAATATTGTTCGGTATACGGTTTTGCAGGGGAAGTTGGTGAAGCCGCAGCGGCAGTTGAGAGGTGGGTTTGATAGGGAAAGGGGAGTGTTGAGTTGGTGAGAGATCCAAGTGATCGCTGGCTGGCCTCTGGTACGGAGTGGAATGTAATGCTTTTAGCGGCTGTCGTGCTGATTCTATTCAAGGGAAAAGAACACTGTGAAGAAACATTTGAAGTTGATCAATTGAAGAAGTAGCATAACCTGCGCACCCATATCAGGGGGAAAGATCTGCCGAGCTCACCGTTTGCTAGAGAACAGGTAGAGCAGAATTGCTTGTAGATATTTCACATAAAGACCATCACAATCAAATGGCTTATAACACACCTGAATCCGTCATTATATTCCAGGCAAAGTTCTATTATGCTCTCTATGCCACCCATGTTCAATGCCAACCTAGCTCTTATGGAAAAGGCTCAAGCACTTTTTGTGAAAATCCGCCCCAAACAAATCGTAGACGAAGATTGTATTCGTAACGCCGTGAACACCGCTGGCTGTGCTTCTGTGCAAGCAGCTGAAAGTTAAAGGTAGAAGGATGAAGGTCGTTTCGAGGGGGTGGCGGCTTTACATGATGATAGATGGTGCTGCGAGTATGTTAGCTAGGCTTTGATGTGATGGACAATATTTGACCTACTCTCGACGTTCTGCTTGATGCTCTTGTGTGGTAGTACAGAGCCACCATTTACGTAGACCTCATCACCAATGCTGACATCGTCGCCTAGGACAGTGACGTTCTCCAATCTAGCCCATCGGCCGATTGTGCTGTTCCAGCCACAGATAGTGCTCTTGACCCATGCGTGGTCCTTGACCTTGCTGTTCTCCAAGATGACCGATCTCTGAATTCGTACACCATCGCCGACAACGACGTTTGGTCCGATGGTCACATTAGGTCCGATTCTGCAGTTCTGACCAATCTTGGCTGTTGGGTGAACCATGACGTTACCGCCATAGACGAATGGTTCTGAGGCTGGGACGAGTTGCTTGGGATCTCGCTTGGATAAGCTGGAGAGGTATAGGCATGTTCCAGACAGGAAATCTTTTGGCTGTCCAACGTCCATCCAGAAACCTTCCAGGTCGAAGCTGTGCAGCTGACCATCCTTAACGATCGCTGGGAAGGTCTCTTGTTCGATGGAGGTGGGTCGGAGTTCTATTCTCTGGAGGACTGAGGGGTTGAGGATGTAGATACCAGCGTTAATTCGGTTACCGACGAACTCGACTGGCTTCTCTACGAATCGATCGATTCTGCTCGGGTGGTTTGGTTTGTGAACAACGACACCGTATTTCGATGGCTCTTCAACCTTTGTGACGACGATGGTGCCTTCCTCGCCGTGCGACTTGTGGAACTCAACCAGCTTCTGGAATGGGTACTCGCAGATGACGTCTGCGTTAAGGACGAAGAAGGGGCTGTCGTCCTTGCCCAAGACTTTCTCTGCCAGTTTCAGAGGACCAGCCGTACCTAATGGCTCGGCTTCGATGGAGAATGTGATCTTGACATTGAATTCCTTCTCGTATTTTTCTAATGCCTTGGCCATGATTTCTGGTCTGTAGTTCACGGCAAGGACGATATCTGTGACACCTGCTGATGCCAAGGCCTTGATCTGGTGATAGATCATGGGCTGGTTGCAGAACTCGACCAATGGCTTTGGCAGTGTGAGTGTAAGAGGTCGCAGTCTGGTGCCGAAGCCACCAACGCTGTATAATCTGTTAGCATCTTGCGAAAAGTGCTGCTGGCGCTCGAGTCGTACAGAATGATTGCCTTCATCTTGGCTTAGTTATGTAGTCGGGGTACGCTGGTGAAGGATATAGAGAGTTCTTGAAATCCTCGAAGTTGAACTCGAAGAGGATAGTCAAGGATATGGTGCAGCAGAATAACTCAAGTGAATGTGTTGGATTGCAAAGGACAGATCGAAGATAGCGAGATCTATAGTGACGGATACGCAAATCGGTTGTGGTCAGAGAGCGCAAACCTCGAGCTGCAGGAACCACAGCAACATTAAATATTCATTCTGTAAAGGAGAGGGGGATGCCAGGACAACATGTTCAAAATTAGTATATCTGACCACGATTTACAAAATACTTCATTTGTGTTTCGTAAATTACAAGTGAAATACTGCAACAGGAGCGGCCTGCGGCTGAATTGGTATGCATCTTTACTTCCGTCTGACAATTCGATTCTTTTGTGTTCATATCGATAAGAATAGGATCGTGCCTGTGTCCACTTCATGCAACTTAAATCGAGGACCGGGGTCATTCCGCTGGGGTCCAGTCAAGCCTCAATACGCTCTCGTGCTGCCCAGACTCGAGAGAACCTCAATATGCAATTTCCCATCTCGCAGCCGCACGGAATTATTCTGAATTGAATCCCTACCAACGGTTCACGTGGTTAAAGGAGCTCTAGAACTAGGCCTTGTGCCTTGCCAGTATATCGCTCACCTTATGCTCAAAGCATAGAACCTAATAGACCATAACGTGCAGTTTCTGCCTCCTCCTTAAGCATCGCACACCCGTAAAGCAAAGAACTCTATGACATAGAACTTTTGACGTATTGTTTCCAAGTATATACCAAAGTCGCACCTTAAGAAATGCTACCCTACCACCTGCAGGTACATGCAACAGGGTCCAGGAGACACGCAGCTCGCGCAACCCCTTTCTGGGTATTCCAAGCGAGCGAAGCCACGCCAGCATCCCCTCATTTTACGCTTTACCAGAGTTAGGAAAAGCTTGGTTTGGCAGCTTCAAGAGCTCCCGATAATTTATCGCTCACCTGACCTTCACTGAGATTGCTTGTCGAAAGCTACGAAAGGAGACGTGTCCTTTCGGTATCGTCAACATGCAGTAACGCTTCCGCGAAGACTGTGTTCATGACACCTGCCACACCATCGGTGAGACCTGATTTTGAGCTCATGTGCAGTTTATTCATTCAGTCGCTTTCGGCCACGCAGTCTCGTAGAGAGGATTCACGTTCTACGGATAGTCACTGGCTCCTTCAATAGGACGATACGAAAAGACTTATAAGATGATGGCGATACATTGCTGCAGGTTTCTTGAACAAGCACCACCATTGATTTCCTACAAGAATCTCTCCAGTTGATCATTCACATTCATACACAATTGCAAAGACCTTCACAAAGGCTTTGTGGTTGCCCTACATTATTGTGCTATGCCTCCCATTGCACAGTTTGTACTTCTCTGGCTTGTGTGGTTATAGGGAAGCTACTTCGCTCACGTTCTGCTTGGTGTTTTGTTGACCATTAGAGTGCACGGATTTGATTCTCAAATATTGCAAACCGGCCGCGTGAACTGTATAAACACAATCTGTACTAACAAGCCATGCTAGTTTGGATGACTAGTCATGACCACTAATGATGATGAGGTCTTCTACAGATATCACGTTTGTCAACGCAGCAGGCATGCAAATGAGAAGAATCACATTATCAGAACAATTGTTACGAAACATGAAATCATTGCCTGGAAAAAGAGTATACATAAGTAGCAGCACAATTGAGCGATTGTCAATTGAAAGGTGTGGGTGGCTCTTGCCAACAGTTGAGCCTGTCATTTGGTGAAAGCAAGGCCATGCGTTTGTCCCACGGCAGCTGCAACCCATTCCAATTCAAATAACCTCGAATTTCAAAATCCTATCGAAATACTGCATACTATTCGTTCGACACTTCACGAGTTGATCGACTTCCATTGTCTCTCCTTATCATCAGGCGCAAACCGCTATACAGATACATAGCAAATAGTCGCACGCTTCCATTCTCTCAACCAAATCGAGTCTACTCACATCTGCGACCATGACGGACACGACTGCTAGTCCTGGCAAAAACTCTAACGTCACAAAGTACAAGACAGAGCTCTACCAAATGGTAAACGCTCAGGGTCAAATCCCATCCTTCGACGACCCTGACTGGCAAAGTCTCCCCCGTCCTACTCAAGCACTCCTTAACGATGCGCATAGGCAACAAACACCCCTCATCGACACGCTCAGGAATCTCCTAAAGGCATCAGACTGCAGAACACGGTTCACCCTTATCGGCCGTCCAGTGCCCAAGAAGATGGAAAGTGTGGAGGAGAAACTCGCAAGACCTAAAGTGCTGTCAAAATCAGCAAAATCGCTTCCTCTAACTGACGTCAACAACGATTTCATCTCTATAAGATTTCAAGTCGTCACACCAGAGGATATCAAACCACTTGCTGATACCATCCGAGATGTAATCAAGAAAGCCGACGACACAATCTACGTGACCGAAGACAGAAGCTTCCTCGACGCAAGAAAGATGCCAACAGACTTGATCTATTTTGCTTCCATGTATTCGCAAAAGGCGGGCTACATCGCTGAAATTCAGATTGGGTTGAAGCTTGCCTTTTACGCCTTGAAACAAGAATCCATGGCGCGGAACGTGCCTGAGGAGCGACTGCGTGTCGACAAGCTATGGGAGTTCTACCATCATGTCAAGCAATTGGCTCTAAAGTTCCCAAGCGGCATTGTAAACATCGAGGAAAATCTTGATAGTCTCCAGGCAGTCATGTCGGACTATATCACGTGGCTGCATGCGTATGATCCAAAGCGTGCCCTGGAGGAAGATCGAGTCCTCGAAGAGACACTGAGGCCGTGGATGGAAATTAGCTAGACACTTTTCTTGAGCTGGAAAGACTACGAGGAATACTGTGATCAGGTCAAAGCGGAAACTGGCGATTGACAACATTCGAGGAAGCAACGCCGACCATTATGTGTCAGTGAACACTCTTGCATTTTAGGAAGCGCTCAGGAGGATTACAATTCTGAGAAGACTGTGACTGGCGTACGGCTAGCAAGGAGATGACGTGCTGTTGCTGCAAGTGCTAAAGTTATGTGGACTATGAACACATAGATGGCAGGGTCGAGAGGGCAGATCGCAAACAATACACGGCCAGCTTAAGGAGGCGTCAGTAGCAAAGGATAGCTCATGTACATAGACCACGGTACAGGTCACCAAAGGCTGCAAAGAAGAAGTCAGCAAGAAGGGAATGTATGAAGTCCGAATCCGCAAAATATTGAAGTCATCAACACAGCCCACAGTTTAATTCAGTTTTGACATCTGCGCAGCTCAAGCGCAATAACATTGAAGAACATCACTATCATGACCTCCTAACAGGACATCATTGCTGTACTTGGGGGTATATTGGTGTCTGGTAGTACATATAGAACAGCAGTAAAATGTCGCACGTCCATTCATATACTCTCGTCGCCATGTGTATAGACAGATCGCACTCCGTCTCCACACAATCGCTCGCTCGCTCGCGCGCTTGCTAGTAAGAACGCTGAAATCAAAAGCTAAAATGCTGCAGTCATGCTCATTGATGATACAAGAAATGCAAGGGTCATTGGGTATCGTCAGGCATCATCCTCACTCTGCGTCCTTTCTTCTTGGTAGTCGTGGCATCAGGTGCTTCGCCCACAAAGTCAAGCATCCAGTCCTTCACTCGCTTGACTTTGAGAATCTGTGCGTCCTTGCCAGTCGCCATTCGTAAGTTCTGTGCCGTGTAGCAGCCAACTTGTTCCTCGTCGCCGACTTTCTTTCGAAAGAGAGTGTCAATCCTTGTGACGTCGCCTCGTAAACTTTGTCCGTGGACCTTGCCTCGAAAAGTGCTTAGCGCCACGTTTTGTATCAGTACCACGTCCCGCATTTGTACTGCCTTCAGTGATCGACGGAGCACTGATCGTGAGCCTTCAGGCTTTTCCTGAGCACCATCTTTCCAGTTTACGTGCATCTCTCTTGGTAGCCACATCGTGATGCTGAACCCAGTCTTAGTCTCATCTCCCACTAACAACTCAATCAGCTCCACCTGTCTTGGCTTTCCAAACTTTGCACCAGTTGTGACGATTCTCGAGGGTGCTATAGAGACGATACCAACAATGAGGTTCACCGTCTTGGTTTGAGGGTTTATTGAATCCAGGTACGTTGCGCTGGGTATGTTAACGAGATTAGTAAGGTTCCTGGGTCGTGGTGCTTGCGACAGTCTTCTATGCGACGACGTGCGTATTATACCGCCGGGTGTACTTGGCTGCTCTGGAAACATATCATCGCTGCTTTCGTACACTGGAGTGCCAGGCGTAATCGATTGTTGCGACTCGATTTGCGACGAAGGTATTGCTTCATGTATCGAAAAGGAATGATCATAAAAGTCGGCCAAGGCTTGAGTTTCTGGCTCATATTCTCGAGTGCTGGAATCCACTGATGGCCTCGAGTCTTCTGTACTCACATCACTTCCAGCGGGCTCACTCAACAATTCCTGCGCAACCAATTCACTCGTCTCCAGGAATTCTGCCGGTATACTCATCTCGATATCTGTAGGTGGAGGGTCGATATTTAGTTTCGGCAGAATAGGTCGCATTTTTAACCTCTCCATCTCAAGTCGTCGCCATTTCGGTATGGAAGGTTTGTTCATGGTCAGAGACTCATCTGAGTCGGATCCTGTTGTAGAGTCCATGCTACCGCGTGGTTTGGCATTTTCGACGTGCTCAGCAGGCAAGAGTGACTTCTCATTCCAATCTAATTTATTGGACTCTGGTGCGCCTGCAAGGATGATGGTGCGCGTCATTGCCTTATTCGCTTGAGGATGCATTGCCAGATTCGTAGTTCTAGGTCGGCGATCAACCGGATGCAAGACCTGAACCCGAGAATAGTCGTGCTGCGGAGAAGGCCAAAGTTGACTGATTTCCTGAAACGTCTTTCTCCAAGCTGTAAAATATTGCCGCGGCGTGTTGCCAGTGTCCAATTGGTCGATTTGAGTATAACTGACGTACACCTGGCGGCCGTGAAGCGAGGAAAAAGTGCTGCAACAAAAAGTTATTGAGAGAAGAAAGACGGGGCAATTAAATCTTCCACGCTGGCCAGGGACAAAGAAAAAGATAATCTGGGGATATCAAGCTTGTCGTCACTAAGCTAGCTGCCGAGGCGAAGGCGCTTCTGGACAATTGCTCTTGTAGACACGGTGGTGTGTTCCTTCCAAACGCGCTTCCGTTCGCTCGGCTTAACCTCTGGGAAAATGCAATTCGCAAGCCTCAGGGTATTGCAGGTAGCACAGTGGCTTGAAGCCGGATATAGTTGACTTGAAAGCCAGTTTTGAGAGCAATTGTAAGGCGGTGAAGGTGTCTTGTGACCTTTTTTACGTTAGAGATCTACGCTCGAAGTTCATAGACGGTGTTCGCGTCTTCTTCGTAATTCGTATTGAGTATCGATAAATTTGTTGGGCCGCCCTAAGCTGGTAGATAGCAGGAGCGATGCCGAACCCCAACCAATACGAAGCTTGACGCAAAAGCTGGGGATTTCACTAGCCGGATTACGTTAGATACGTCCTCTCATCTTGCGAAATTGCAATAATTCGTCGATCTCGAATGAGCTTTCTAGTCCTTTGTTTGACACTACGTATCTTCAGATTCTGCGGTGTCAAAGAACAAGATCCAAAGCATTCAAGTACAGCGTTATGTCAAATATCATCCATTCTCAACTTCGACAAAGTCTCCGTTCCTGTGGGAATTTTTTTGGTTGGGTCAACTACGACAGACGCGAACTCGTTTTCAAACACTAGCGCTTTATCCCTAGCCATTATGATTGGACGTTATCTCGTTCGCCGCTCGGATACACCCCGGAGCCCACTGACACGCCGGAATTCGCGGATGCCAAAAAAGCGTGTTTTCCATATCGCGTTGCAAGGGTCAAGCTTTCAGGCAACTCTCTTCGAGCAGGGAGAACAGCTGGGCGGCTTCTTAACACCGCTATCTCGAGCTCTTTCTCTTATGGCAGACTAAAGCATCAAGCAAGTAATGGACGCATAAGAGATGGGGGTTGAAATACGCCCCCATATGAGTAGTAACGGCTCTGGTGGACGCCTGTGACCCGGCTCGTCGCTGACTGACATGCAACCATATTATTCTGATGTTCCAACATTCCCCATCTTCGATGAAGCAGATCAGTCCGTCTGATAGTTAGCCATGCACTTGTCGCCAGCAAAGGAAGATCAGATATCCTCATCCTCGACATTGCGCGGATACAGCCTGGCTAACTAAATCTCAACCTTCTGTTTCCTTTGTTCACCTCGAGGCTCAGGGTCAGTGGCTATACTGAACTTCGGGGTTCTGACTCCGGAGCCCCGATAACAAAGCAATACTTCTCACATCTCATCGTGGTGACAATGCCCTACCTAAACTGACAGAGCGACTCACCTCAAAATAGCCCATTGTTGTCGTATCAATAGTATGGCTGTGACGATCGAGCCACCTCGTAAGATTCATTTAACCATGTCTTCGCCCTGTAGCACGTCAGCCATTCCCTCCCATACAAACGCATACCACTCGACTCAGTAACAAACCAAACCAGCTCAGTATATAACCACACCTTTCAATTTTAAACCCTCCCCCCAAGTTCCGAATGCTCTTTCTCGCAAAAACAGGCGCAAAGGTAATCATGGGAAAATACGATATTAAATACATCGTCCTAAACGCCATCCGATGCCTAAACATCCTAAGCATATTAGCCTGCATCGCCGCATCAGGCTCCCTCCTAGCCAAGACCGCCAACCTAAGCGGTGACATCGGATACTACAACTTCTTCGATCTAGCAGAAAAATGCTTCATCATCCTCCTCGCCATGTGCGTGCTCGTCACCGAGATTCCAATGGTCAAGCTCCTCAGAGATAAGATCAACACGCACTGGCCACATTTCGGTAACAACCATGGATTCTTTGTGTTGTCGGCATGCTTTTTATTCTTGGGAGCTGATGTATTGAGCTTTTTGGCCAAGAAGGGTACGGACGAGGAGCATTTGGGCGGACATTTCTTTCGTCTGGTTCAGGCTGCTGGGTTCATGGCTCTTGTGATGGCGATCATCAATTCCGTGGCATCGATTTTCGGCAAGAGGAGTGGTGAACCTGCTCGAAGAGTTCGGTCTTGGGGCAAGGCCTCTGAGGCCTCTGCGTCGCATCGGATGGAGGACATGTACATGCCCTAGATGAGCTGCGTCAAGTGTATACCGTGGACAGAATAGTAAACATGTATTGAACTGGCATCGACGGACGACCAGCGCTGGGCGCTAATTGTATATGATCAAGCGCTGAATATAGAGCTTCAATTGGATTTCTCGTTAACATACCATTTCTTTTGTTTCACCATGCTGTGTGACCCCCATCGACTTTAAGGTCAGCGCCTGTAACGAAACTGCTCGCATCGCTCAGCAAGAAGATTATGGGCCCGCGATACTCGTCAGCGTAGCTTAATCTGTTCAACATGTTGCCTTCCTCCCATAGCTTCTCCATGCCTGGCTCAGCAAGCGTCTCTTCGGTCATCCTAGTTCGGATGTATCCAGGACTGACAGAATTGACACGAACCAGGGGCATACCAGGTCTTGAACCCCATTCGGCAGCCAATGAGCGAGTAAGTTGTAGGACGGCTGACTTAGACGCATTGTACACCGCTGTATCTACGCCCTATCAAGACGTCAGTGTTGCTTCCCAGGAAGCTGAGATGGGATATACCTTATTGCTTACATGCCCCGACATACTGGCGATGAGTACGCAGCTGGCAGATAAATCTTGCCTCCTTTGCAGGATCTTCGCTACCGCTTGCACACAAGCAAAAGTACCCGCAACATTCACATCCAGCAACCGCTTGACTCGATCCATGGAGAAGTCGATAGAGCTGCCGCCATCGGATACGCCTGCACAGGCAACAAAGCCGCGTAAGGGATATCGTGTCCTCGAGATCGCTTCCTCGAACAGTGGGAGAATCTTGTCTGTGTCTGTGGTGTCACAGCTGTAGTACCACAACTGTCCATTATGTGTGTCAGAAAGCTCCATTGCTCTAGCTAGAAATAGGCGTCAGTATACAGTATGTCCGGCGACCAAGAAGTACACAGCGTACCCCAAAGATCTGGCAATGGTTCAACCATGCGATCTATACAGATAACATCACCACCTTGTTCGAGTACTGCGGCTGCAACGTTCAAACCCATCGCACCGCCGCCGCCAGTGCTAAAGTCCCTGTCAATGCTGCACCTGGTGATTATCGAGAAAACTTACACTGAAAGAGCTTAGCTATATCAGCCGCCCACTTCAGCGGCACATACTGATTATGGTCCTGCCATCGAGTCGAAACAGATTCGAGGCAGACACGTCAGGGCCTCCCTGTCGAGTTTTGGCTTCCCTACTCGCGTGAGTTGACATTGTTAGGATTGTGCTAAGGTCATTCACATTGTCGTGGTGATATGTTTCGGACTAGCAAGGCAGGTAGGAACCATGGTGTAAGGAAGAGCTATGACGTCATACAGCATTACTTCTACATGCTGTACACAAACCAGTAATCAATCACTGTACGCTCAGTCACTATCTGATTAATGATGTCTTTATGCTACGAGCAGAACTTGTGTCTCATGAACACTTGGCTCTGCTCACGTTCTAGCTCTAATCCAATCTCTTTCGGAAGAGCGCTGGCCCTAATCCTTGAAATGCATCCATTGTAACTGTCGTACTGATATCGCGCCTCGTTGACTGAAGTCGAGTGTCTCCTTCAAAGTCATATGTGTGAAGACCAGCCTGGTCCGCTTCCAATGCTTTCTCTCACTCCTCTCGTTGGAACTGCAGTCTCTGGTCACATCACTCTACTATTGCTGTACCGGTGGTTGCAACGTCCTCTGCAAGAAGTCCTTGTCATTCTGCTCTAGCACGCTGGTCAGACTTTCGTAAAGTTGTGGCTGAGTTTGTTGCAGCATGGTCATGGCGTGTCGGAATGTGGTGTAGGGGTCGAACTTATCGAGTGGGCTTTCAAAAAAGTTGTCTTCGTCTATCATGCTGTCATCGTCATCCTCAGCTAGAGCGCCGAATTTCTTGGCCTCCTCGCTGAGGAAGTCCAGATAAGCCTGCGATTCATCCTTGATATCGCCTTTTGTCGTATCTGGTACTTCAGCTGCGTTGACACCGCCCCATTGCTGCGTGTTTACCTCTTCCGTCCAGTCTTCGGTTTCGTCCTCAGAAGCATAAATATCGTCGCTGTAGTCGCCTTCGTTGTCGGCCTTGGCGGCTTCCTCACGATGCTTTTCCGCAGCCGGCAGGGTCTTGAACATGTATGTCGCTCCTGTCAGCAGTCTAGGCCACCCGGTTTGTACAGAACCAGGGACGTCTTCTGCTCGGATTGCAAGCAGAGCTGAGATCGCCGCAATACATAGCTTCTTGTCGTGCACGCGCCTAAAGAGTTCTATACTGCCAAACCACATGCTGAAGAACTTGTTCGTCCAATTGTTCTGCTCCAGGTATGCTAAAGTGAGCCCTGGGTTGTAGTAGATGGTATTGATTACCAATTCCAGTAAATGTATTTTCAAACTCTTCACTGGGTTTTTCTGCTCAACCAGTTTCTGCATAGCCAGTTCGACAAATTTAGGCAGGAATGGGGTCATAGATCCGCCCGGCAGGTGTAGCATAAGAGCTTCGGCCAATCGACAACCACAGATTCGGTCAACACCTCCCACCTTGGGATCGTGAAAGATGTCCTCTATCATTCCCACCATGGCAGTCAAATATGGTAGGTGCTGTATGAGTCGCTCATTGCCATACGATACAAAGTTGTTTAGAGCAGGAAGCATGTCTTCGAGATAAAGCTCTGCGCCTTCCTTGAAGGTCTTGTGCATGAGCTCGAATGCCTGCCACATGGTATCGGATATTGATTTCGAGGCGAATGTACATGAGTCGATGATCTCGAAGATCTCGTTGTAGAGGTCATAGAGTTTGTTCTGTAGAGTCGTTTGGATGACTGGCAGCAATATCGTTTCTAAGTGCATGAGGACATCGGGAGATGCGTCCAGTGTGAGCACAAGTGTGCCAATTGTCTGCAAAACACCCAATGCAGCAATGGATTTGTCGTCCAAATATTCACCATATTCAGGCGCATCACCGTTGGAGGCTTTGGCCTCATTCTTCTCAAGCAGCTCCCGTACAATTCGGAGGTAGGTGTCTCGTAGCTGTTCGGATAGTGCTACGGCAAAAGGTGTGAGTTGCTCACTGAAGACCTCAACAAAGTCCTCCATGACATTGGCCAAGGAATCAACATCGACCTCGTTTGCTAATTTCAGAAGCTGATGCATGATTTGAGGGATGTTTTGCTGCATAGCTGTTCTGATGATTTCGTGCCTGATGAGCGGCTGTAGAGCCAAGGAAGCCATGACACGAACAGGCAGTTCTTGATCCGCCATACATTTCAGGATATTGCTATAGATGAGGAGCAGGTTATTCTCGTCCTTGAAGTCCAATTGCTCGAACTTCTCCAAGGTGTTACAGGCACGCGCTCGAAGAAAGCCGTGTGGTGACTGAAATTCTGGAAATACGTGCCTGACAAAGAAGTACTCGACCTGATCAGCGATAGGACTCTTTTTGCCTAGAATAACAGTGGCAAGAGAACCGATCATTCTCAGAGCGCCTTCCTTTTCTCTCGGCAGTTTCTGGTCGTCAGGGGCCGACTCATATCTTGTAACAACCTCGTTCACATACGACAGAACTGCGAAGGTCTGACTCTTTCTCGATTTGGTGAGGGCGATCAGGAAGTTTGTTGCAGCCATGTCAGGAGAGCTTGACTCTTCATAATAGTTCAGCTTTCGGTGCAGGTATTCGGTCGGATCATCAGCAAACATTTCCAAATCCTCTTCTGATTGACATAATACAGGGAAGATCAGATGTTTGATCAAAACGTCCATATGTGGCTTCAGGTGATCCCACGTCGCAGCCGGCTTTACACATTCTTCTAAGAAGATCATTGTATAAGAGAGTGATGGTTTGCTTAGCCAGTAGTTACCACCAACCCATTTTTCAATTTCTGTAAGATAGCCTTTCATAATCTCGGGGGCGAAGTTTGTGATAAAATTCTTCGCAAAGGCCTCATAATCCTTTTTCGAGTCCGTTGAAAGTCCATTTGGGTTGCCATATCTTACAAAGAGGCGGTTTAGGTTCGCATACGCCCATTTCCTTGATTTCCACCAGTGGTTCTGTTCCCTCTCGTCAATATCCTCAGCCAAGGCATGTGGTGGGGGATTCTTGGTAATAATTCTCAGGCATAACGTGCACCAGTCGACGGTCGCCTCGTGCGTCTGTAATGGTTTGGGCAGCTCGTAATATATAGCGTGTTTATGGCATTTCACCACCATCCTCAACATCTCAGCACCCTCTAGACTCGTGTCGTCTACCAGTCTGCCACCAATGGCCAAGATCATCGGAAAGGCAGCATGTACCACATTGTCCAGGTTCGACCTCTCTTGACCCGTCATGAAACGGTAAGTTCGACATACTGCCAGAAGACACTGAAGGCCAGCGAATACTGAATTCGCGTTCTGTTCATTCAGTAGCTGGACTGTAATGTTCATAAACTCGGGCCACTTTTTCGGAAAATCATTTTGCAGTATCGTCTGAAGGATCGCAACGAGTTGTGAACGAATCTGAGGCGGAGAATTTGCAACGACGGGAAGGAGGCGGTCGCGAAAGGGTTTCCGATCTTGATCTGGTATGGGTTGGTGTATGGGATTCTCGGTGGGCCATGCTCGTGAGACTCGATTCTTGAGGTAGATGGCGGTTGATTGTCGTACTCCCAAGTCCTGCTCGGTCTCGACCAGGCTCAACAACTCCAGGATAAACCCTGGGCTCGACTCGGCATGCTTAAGGGCGATCTCTGCTTGTTGTCGCGTTGACTGGTCGGCCGATAAGGTGGAATATATTGTGCTTCGTAAATCCATCTTTCTTTGTCCTGTCGTGGTACCTCCGAGCCCAAACCACGGGCGGGAAGACAATAGTAATGCAAAACTGCTTGCTGTGTATGCGACAAACTACTGCTACAAGAAATAATAAGCATCACTATAGTAGTAGACACGTCTGATGAGTGCAGCCAGCACTCCAAATAAATGTTCCTTTCACGTGAAGAAGCCGATCTTGGCGACTCGAAGATCGCGCCTTCCCTCAAATCCATATCTTCACTGACCATTTCTACGATCGACACTTGTCTTCTCCTAACTCGCCTAACCATAACAATGTCTCCCAATCAGCGACGCATGCTAGACCGCAACTTACAGCGGTGATGCCTGAACGTCGTAGTTTGGCCACGTGCTGGAAAAGAGGGCACCAAAGTGGCATTGTGGGGGGAATACTGTAAATTGACTAATCGAGATGCAGCTGCAACAACTTACCACAGAGGAATGTCTACACTCAAGGGACAGAAAGAATTGGATTCGAGAGCTCCCCAAATTGACTAAATCGCAGTTCATACTTGATGGTCCCGAAAATACCTCTAACCTGACCCCCAAACGACGATGTACCTAACTCTCATCATCCGCCAATTCAAACAAGATAGCCGTCGCACAGAATCCAGCCCTATTGACACTCCAGCTCAACAGCGGCGTCCTCTCATAGCTGACCATGAACTCACTTCCCTTGGTACTAAAAGCCCACAGATAGATATTATTGGAATTCTGAATATCCACCATGCGCTCCTGACAGGTCTCGGTACCAAGGCATATCGGCGTATTGTAGTTCTCGAAGAAGTTGTACAGTCCACTGCCGTAGACGTAGATATCCGAGCTGTTGACGAAACGCGCGCCCCAGGTTCTGGCACAGTTGCGTTGCTCACAGTCAGCGAAAGTGGGATCGCCCCAGCGTTCCTGTGGCACGAAGGGGATGAGTGCGTCGGGATTGCCCTGGTAGTAAGCCGTCTCAGTCTGGATGACGCCAGCAAAGGTGTTGCGCGTATTCTGCCACTGGTAGTTGTACAGAGTACTATGCTCAGTACTGGTGCCCCAAAGCCAATTCGGACCATCCCCTTCAATCAAGAAACCCCGACCATTGTAAATATTCGTCTGAGCACGCGTATCCATATCAAGTTCGTGATCCGAAACCCACCCCCAGATATTCTCAAAATACCCGTTCCCATCGGACGTGATATGCAACAGCAGAAACGCCGCAGTACACTCCGCAACTTTCGGATCATCCGCAAGCACAGGAATCTCAGGAGTCTTAATACAACGGTCCTGCTGAAGGTCCGTACCAGCCGTCGACCCGATCCTGAAATGTGCGTCCCACATGCCTGCGCTACCTGGACTGGCGGCCTTGACGTTCCATTCCATGCACACGGCGCCGGGTGTTGGGCCTCGAGTCTCCCACATGAGATCCTGGATTTCGACGTTACCTACGTCGCCGCGGTTGCCGACTCGCCACATAGGTCGGGGATTGTTGACATCTTGGAAGTTGGGGCCTGTTCCCATGATGATGGAGTAGAGCTCGCCCACGATGCGAATGTTAGAGGGGACGTTGACTGTATCTGTGATGATGTAGGCGCCCTTGTCGAAGTAGCAGATGTTGCCTGATGAGGAGCATGAGTTCAAGAACTTCTGCATGGCTACTGTGTCGTCTGTCATTGCGTTAGCATTCATGTAAATTCAATAGAGTGTTGAAAGGAGCACTGACCTGTTTGACCATCTCCAGCAAGACCCGATCCAAGAGCACTGGAGATTTGGCTGAGCGAGAAGTCCTCATACTGAGGCTTTGATCGTGAGAACCATTTTCCGTTGGCATCTACCAATGGTGCTGGCCGTTCGATGGGTGACAATGAACGCTGAATGGTAATTTCTTGCGCAGTGCGTCTTTCTTCCGTGGTGTTTCCATAAGAACATGTGGTTCCATTGAAGGTCTGCCCATTGAGTGATTGTGCCGCAGTAGTCCAAGCATTTCCTTGTGCCCAAAGGTCGATCTTTTGGTTTCCAGCGAGGATAGTCCTTGATGCGGTACCTCCAGCGGCTGCAACAGCTTGTGGCGTGCCTGTAAAGTCCACATTCTCAAGCATAAGACTGCCTGCACTTTGCGGGCTAGAGTATCCGGGTGCATAAGGTGTCAAGATGCCTTGTGTAGCTTGGATTGAGGAGTCAGCAACGATAACAGAACCTATGGCCTGATTGGAGAAACCACCAGATGACATGTCGAGACCAACATCACAACCGGTGATCTTCAGGTCTGTGTAGAGCCAGACCCAATCGAACACCATCTGGATGGCTGTTGCTGAGTTACTGATCTGTAGGTTCCTGGTTGTGAACTGCTGCGCACCCAGAGTAGCACCAATTTTGCCGCCTTCGATGAAGATATCGGACATGAACCCTCCGGAACCATTCTCGGCGTAAATGCCTTGTTGCTCGTTACCCGGGAATCCCTTGGGCCTCATTCGGATGCGAACGTTGTTTAGATGTGTAGCTTGAGCTACCTGCCAGTGAATGCCGGTTGCGAATGTTGGAGCTTCGGTCATGTCGATGATGACATTTCGAAGTTGTCGAAAGAAGTTGTTTTGATTAGCATGCCATTGAGCACCGCTCGCATCGGGTATGTAGATGTTCGAGTCAAAAACTGCCAATCCGATGTCGTTCTTGTAATTTGCATCAACCTTGAAGGTGGGAGGATTGACGGCGTCACCAACGATCTGTGTCTTGTAGTACATGACAAGGTTGCCTGACACCCTGTAGGTCCCTGACGGAAAGTACACAAGAGCTGGAGTGATGGTTGAAGACTCGCAGTAGGTGCCGCGTATCACATCACCACCACCGCATCTATTGCCTGGGTCTTGAATAGCATCATTTATGCACTGTGTAGCGTCAACAACTCCAGTGTCTAGGACCACATTGTCAGCAGAGCATTTATCACCAGCGAGACCACTTACTGTCGCAACCATAGTCTAGCACATTTCGCCAGGCTTTGTAGTTGGGATCTGGCTGAAACGCGACTTTTCCAATGTGGTTGTACTGCCCTAACCACCACTGAGCTGAAGATAACGAAGAAAGAGCGAATATAAGCGGTAAGAACCGCGATGCCTTCATGATAGACATGGTGCTGCTAGCATTAACGAGAGACTGCTGCGACCTTGCGAGAAGCTGTTGAGAGGGAAAGCCAGCAGCTGAAATGGGACACGTAGGATTGTGTTTTGCGAGGTCTCCTCACTGGTATGTGATCCCCAGCCTCGAATCTCGATGAAGGGGGTCAACACGAACCGAAGAATGCCATCCCTTGCTTGGCAAGCTCATTACCTCTTTTGAACTGGAATCTTGCTTCACCAGATATCCTCGCCAAAACGGAATCACGATACCGGTCACAGTCAACCTAAACCGACAGTATGAAATCAATATTAGCAGCAGCTTTGATGCTGCTTGTCTTGCAATTAGGGCTAGCAGCCGAGCTAAGAGCACGTCAAAACGAAGAGCAAACAGAAAAGACGTAAGTTACATTGTGCGTGAGATTCGTGCAGAAGGCTGACCTATGCCACAGTTGTCCTGAAGATTGGTACAATTGCAACAAATTCTGCTGTATCGAGCCTTGTCAAGGTGACGGAAATTGTCCGGCTGAGGTCCTTTCGAGGATGGGGTATTCGAGATTCGGCCAGATTGTTGCTCGAGAATAAGGAGTCGAAGAAGCTTGTCTGTGAACTTGATCTGGAAAGGAGATTTGTGCCTGCAATTTTCCTAGCTAAAGATCAGCGACTTTTTGATGACATACCTGCACATTTTGGAGACGAGCGGGCGTTCTACAAGCTAAACATCGAGACTTGGCACGACTTCAGAACATGGCGGTTACTACAAAGGTCAACTTTTTGACTCGAAATCCATTAAGCAAGGTCGTGATGGTATAGCTGATAAATCAATGCTCACAAAACAAACAATTCGTGTCGAAAAGCGACGATCTAGCCGCCATAGGCTGCTTTGATCTCCTCCTTATATCTTTCTTGAATCTTCTTCCTCTGTAGTTTCTGTGCTGGAGTAAGAAATCCCTGATAGTGGTCAGCAAGCAATCTTCGAGTGGCCCAAATAGTACTTACATTCTGTGGTGTCCATTCTTCGTCTGCAAGGACAACTCCATCAAGAATTTCGATGCCTGAAAGACCACCCTCTTTACCAGATTTCTGAATGTCCTTGAGAACCAGATCGTTGATTTTCTTGTCGTGTACCATAGACTCCAACGACGATGCCTGAAGACCATTAGATGAAGCTAATTTGGCTAAGGCAGCCTCGACAGGCACAATGACACCAACAGGCTTGGCCTTGTCGGGATCGGCATAGACGCAGATTCTGCCTACGACTGGCGAAGACAAGTAGATGGATTCAAGTTTTTCCAGAGCGATGTATTCACCGTTCAGAGTCTTTACCAGATTCTTCTTTCGGTCGATGATCCTGAGATGTCCGTTGTGGTCGAATTCACCAATGTCGCCGGACATGAACCATCCATCCGAGGAAATAGCTTCTTTAGTCTCTTTCTCGTTGTCCCAGTATCCTTCTGTGACAGGATCGCCCTTGATCCAGATCTCTCCCTGTGGTGGGTTGTTGGTTGAGAAGTAGCCAGCTTCGGCGAAGTCTACCAACTTGACCTCGACACAACCGGGAATGTCGCCCAAGGTGTAAGGGTTCCACTCGAGAGGATCCTGAATGGCACCCATTGCACAAGTCTCGGTAAGTCCATAGCCTTGGATCATAGGAGTAATGGCGTATGAGATAAACTTGACTGTATCGACAGACACAGGGCCACCACCATTGAAAGCGATACGAAGGCGACCACCAGTGGCATCTTTCAGTTTCTTGAAGACGATCGAATCGAGTGTACCAGCACCGGGAAGGCCAGCGTTGAGTAACATGGCTTTGAGGGACATGCCTCCCCAGAACAAACTTCTGACAATAGGAGAGCCAGCGCTGACCTTAGCAATGATGCCCTTTTTGATGCTTTCCCAAACTGCTGGTACACCAATCAGAACTGTTGGCTGAAACTCCCTGATGTCTCCTTTGCAATTACGCACTGAAGTGTCGGATAGAGTTTTTGGATTGCCATAACCCATGACAGCACCCCAAAACATGGTAGCGTTCTCGAACATGAATTCGAAGATGTGGGATTGAGGTAGATATGTCAAGACGGAATCAGCAGGGCCGATGAAAGGAGCCACAACTGATTGAACACCAGCTAGAGCGCCGACAACGCCCTTGTGTTTAATGGTAACACCTTTTGGTGGACCTGTAGAGCCAGAAGTGTACATGATACATGCCAGGTCTTCTGGAGAAGGTGGCACAGGATCGTATGGGTTCTGCTTGCCCAAGGACAGCAATTCATCAAAGCTCATGATCTGGAGCTCGCTGTTTGCCTCTTTCAACTTGTCGGCATCTGCTTGCTTGAGTTCTGGCTCGGTGTTGTAGATGATATGTTTGATTGCAGGAGCGTCTTTGATGACTTTGGCCAGAGTAGGGAGGAGGTTGGGATCAACGAAGATGGCGACTGAGCCTGTTTGTTTAAGAGAATGTCGAAGACCCTCCTCGCCCAAAGAGTCGTAGGCTGTGACGATGGGGATCGACTGAGCTGAGGCCGCGTGTGACATACATAGCCAGTGACCACTGAAAGAATGTTAGCAATCTGTTTCTAGAACTGCTTGGAGTCAAACATACCTGGTTGCACCATACAAGTGCATCTTGTCGTCCTTGTTCATGCCCAGGTGTCGCAGACCTGACGCAGCATTCAGAGCCATTTGCTCATATTCGTTGAAGGTGATGTACTCGTAGCCACTGAGCTCAAAGTATGTCCATTTCTTGTCTACTTCCTGCTCTTTCCCATCGACAATCTTCTTGACCTTCTTGTTCTCGGTATGAGTCTTTACGACCTTTCTTGTGCCGTAGCATTTTGCATTGCCGAATTTACGGGCTGCCCTTCTGAAATTCTCGTAGATTGTGCTTACTTCTGCTGAAGGCTTGGTAATGAGCTGATCTTTGGCGAATCGGTTCCTGCGCGGGACGGTCTCGCCCTTCTTCTTCTCATATCCTGGAGCTTCTATGGTGAAGGGTCCCTTCCTGTACATATACGGCTGCACGGTGCCAGTGATGCGTTTCTCGCCCTTGAGGGCATCTTCTGCGTTGGCCATGATGCTATAGAGTGCGGACGCGCAAGATTAGCCCAAGCTTCGATCCAGTCGTGGTTTACAGTGACTCGAAAATTAGCGCGTGGAGTGAAGAGTATGAGGAGGTTAACAATAGGTATTATATTCGTGTGAAACTGCTAACGGCTCAGTTCGGATCAGTGCTGCTCATATACTGCCAATGATCGAGATGTTGATATGGCTGCGCCAACGTACAGCATCCTACCACAGCGGCTTAGGCTGCTCGTCACACTGCCAATTACGTATCTTGACTCCAATCCGGGGACTTGGCGGGACCCCGCCAAGCTTCTGCTAGGGCTATTCAGAATTCAACCATCTGGTTTTCGCATTGGAAGGAGACCTGTTCGTTGGAAGATAATATTCTCCCTCCTTCCACTAGATAGGCGGGCATTTCACAGTCTGCTAGGGATGACGCTCCCGTCAATCCGTACTTCTACTGAGAAGCTGGATGCCATTGCCATTGAGGTGACCGATGTCGACGAAGGTTGGTCTATTGCAGCCGTATTTGCATTACCTGTGTCCTCGTATCTTTCTCACTGCATCAGAAACCTATTCCCTGTTCAGCCATGCACTTCCTTCAACCAACCTCGGCATGGTTGATGCGAAATCGAGCATGATCACCATCGAAGTTGCAGGGAACACATACGAGATACGCCAAAGTCCTGGTCTGCTGACCTCCTCCAACTCTGAGGGTACTACCGGTGCAGCCTTGTGGAAGATCTCTCCTCTTATTGCGGAATGGCTTGCGGATCGTGATAATGCTCTACGGACCACTAGCATTCTGCATGCTCAGGCTACAGTCATCGAATTAGGATGTGGCATAACTGGACTCATTGGTCTCGCTCTGTCTCGTCTGGTCGCAACGTACATTCTGACTGACCAGAAATCCGTCCTCAAGCTACTGCAAGAGAACATCAGGACCAACCTGTCGTCCCTCAACCGTGACAAAAATGCCTCACGTTCTTCGCAGAAGCACAAAGCCTCCTCAAGAAACAACCCCGACGTACGTGCCATTGAGTTAAATTGGGAAACTGATGGAATTGACGTATTGAACGATGCCCTACCAGTTGATCAGTCTATTGACCTTGTGGTTGTCTGTGATTGTGTTTTCAACGATTTCTTGCTTGAGCCCCTCGTGACTATGTGCACCAAGTTGTGCTCAAGGCATAGAGAAACACCCACCATCTTGCTTATCGCTCAGCAACTCCGTTCCGATGAGGTCTTCTCAGCTTTTTTGACTATTCTTTCACGTAGCTTTCGTGTCTGGCGATTCTCCGACAACTACCTGCCCGACTCACTACAAGAAGGGACGGGATTTGCTACACATGTTGCCGTACTAAAGTGATGCTGTTTAGTCTCCCTGGCCCGGAATGGTCTGCTCTCAAAGATCATCACGAGCTTCTGCCACGATCCTACAATTCTAGACAAACCAAGGGGTAAGCCTCATCAGCCCAGCATTCCAACGAACACCACCTCGAGTGGTCTGTGCCTGAAGGACCATCCTATGCACTTCAGCTTTTCATGCCACTTCCATGAGCGATATTGGAAATATTCGTCGACTAGAAACCACGACAGCGATATCTCCAGCCATGGCTAATCGAGCGCGGCAGGCTGTCTACCTGGTCTTCTTCGTAACTTCGGTGCTAGGGTACGTCGACTTTGGCACAATAACACAGCCGTATCGTTTTGAACCGACTTTCGAAGTACCTCGACCTCATCAGTTACCCGACGATGTTTGGATGCGTTACGCGACCTATCACTCTCACCTCACAGCCGTGGCACCCTCAGTCAGGTTACTACGTAATGGTTCGCTTTCGACTTCTTGGAGCATACACTCTCAGGATCAGCTTCGACCATCACGTACTATTGCACATCAAGGTCTGAGAAAACGGCAAGGAGTTTTTTCTGGAGATCCTCCAATTCCAACCTGCAGGCAGTGTGATAGGGATGGCCAACCCATCAACAATAACAATAGCACTAATGGTCCCATCTGCTCGTTGGTGAATTACGGCGTAAGTGCCCAATACTGAAGTGAAAGAACCTTGCGCGTTAACAGCAAATGACAGGGTATCTTTCGCTCCGGTGGTTTTGGCCCCTCGGCATCTCTTCCAGACTACTGTTTCAATGCTGGCTATGGAGGACCACTGATACCGACTCCAGAACCTACAGACGCTGGCTTACCATGCTGTCCAATATGTTATCCGGCTAGCAACAATACAGCCATCATCACATCAGGAGTGCTTAGCACGACTGGACCGATTACCACTCCCACACGGCGTCCAGGTGGGAACGGAGGTGGCGTCATCGGAAGTGGTATTGGAGGTGATGGCGACGGCTCGACCATTACAGTCACAGACATCACGATCGAGCCAGAAATCACCATTACGCGCACGACATTGAGCGTTGAGACGATCACCCCCCCAGCAGATCCTACAGTATCAATTGTCCCTGATACAATTATTGGTTGCGGAACGGCTTCGGGTTGTGGCACAGTCGGTAAGCACTCGTCAACTATACTAAGCCCGCAACTCGTGCTAACTCTTGCTAGTCGGAAATGGAACAGTCTACCTGGCACCCTTCGGATTTCCAGCCGTCACATCGGTCGGAACAGTCACTGGCTGTGCACCCACAGTCATTGGTTGCGGCACAATGATAGCCACAACAGGTACCTTCACCGGCACAGCAGATGTCAGTGCCTGCGGCGAAGGTACAGGTTGCGCAACCATGATCGGTACCGGTACAGTCTGGCCAGCAGGGTTCATGGACATGATCAGCTTCGTGTCATCCGGCACCGTCACAGGCTGCGGCCGCGTCAAAGGATGTGGTGTCCTGACCGGCACCGGTACCTTCACAGTCAGCGAACCATTCACAACAACCATCCAACCGTCACCCACAGTCAACGTCTACGTCAGCTATTGCCCACCAGACCCAGCAGTCCAGAACCCACTCATGAGGCTCGCAGGCAACATCTCCGATCCAGACGCTTATCTGCGCTACGCAATATCTCCAACCCTAGCTGGTGGCAGCAACTACACACAGCTCAACAGTACCGGCAACTCAACCTCACTCGCCAATACACTCTGCCGCGTCTGTCCCGAAGACGCTGGAATATGCTGCCCTCCCTTCACAGACTGCGGCGCCGATGGCCACTGTCCCTGGAACGCACTCGAAGGTTGTGGCTACGCCATGTTTGGTGTCAATCTCGTCAACGTGGATAACAGCAGCGAGAGCTTGGGTATGGCTGCGTTGCCTCCTGGATCTGGGTATGTGAGACTGCGCGCGCCAGGATTGCCGGGTAGTAAGAAGAAGGGTACGAGTGACAGTGGTGCTGCTAGTGAGGATTCGGCGCCTGGGTATGATACTGTTGATATTGGAGCGGGATTGAGTGAGGCACAGAAGATACGCAAGAGGCTGGCCGGTGGGAAGCAGGTGGTTCACGATCATGTTCAGGCTCATGCTCATGGTCGAAGGGGGCTTGCTCATGGGGTGGCGCATCAGCATGGGCATGGGCACTAGGTGGTTGCTGCAAGATGTATTGGAACGAGCTGCGAGGAAACAGCAAATTGAGATTTAGTAACCTCGAGAGCACATTCTTGACCAAGCATTTCTGTTCAGATATGAATATCCGGTCTCTTCTGTATCACTCGAACCATTCTATGTCCACATTTTGGTTCATTACTCATATTCATGTACATCCGGGTATCTCTGAACTATCAGTCCTTTTTCTTTTCCCTCCATCCAGAACGCCATCGCTAAAATCTTGATCGTTGACCTCATCTGTTCTTCAGTAGAAACTCCAATTATCCAACACCGCATCCCCTACTCCCTCCTTCCCCTCCTCCCCTTCCCTCCCAAAAACCCTCCCCGGTATCCTCCACTCAACAACCGGCTCCCTCCTCCCATCCCTCTTCAACTCCCCCTCCAACATAGTCCCATACCCATGATCCAAAAAATCCTCCAAATTATACTGCTGCTTCGTAAATTGCTCACTGATAATCTTACAAATCTGCGCTACCGTCGGGTTATAGTGATCTTGTAACGTATGTAATTCCCACAACGAACTATCGATTGCGCCTGTATGTTGCGGATCTGTCTCGTTGGCATCGTAAGGGTCAATACCTAGTTTCTCTGTAGGTTTCGTGTAGGGCGGATGAGGGGCGCGATGGAGCATAAAAGTACACGTTGGATGGTCTTTGAGGAGGTTATAGATGAATGGGACCATGGAGATTATTGCTGCTGGAGGCGCGAAGAGGCTTAACCTGCTCAATCTTTTTATGAAGCTTGCTATTGTTGTGGCGGGGATGTGGTTTGTGGGCGCGAGGAAGGTGTCGAGGTGCCGGAGGAAGCGGGATTTGTACTTGCTGTGGAGGATGTTATTGTCGAGAAGGGCGTAGAGGCGAGTGTAGAATTGTGGGTAGTCGAGGTTGCGGGTGATGATGAGTTGGAAGAGGCCGCTTAGGGCGGGCACGGCGATGGACAGGTCTGGCGGGGAGAGGGAGACGCAGTCGGTGAAGAAGTCCATGAGGATTTCTGGTCGGCGCAGTGAGGATAGAACTTCTGGGTTTTGCAGTCTTTTGAGGAGCGCTTTCTTTTGTGCTCTGCTCATGGGCTGGCTAAGTTCAGTATACCATTGCTTGTCAGACATCTCGTGTATTGCGATTCGATGTCCTACCAGTGAAGTGTCGTGAGCTCGGCAAAAGGGTTGCACTGATCGCCAAAATCATCTACTAGGTGGTGTGGTAGTGGCATAAAATATAAACATTCAACATCGACTGCTCGGTCGCGAACATTTTTATTGGAAGGTTACTACTGACTCTTATAGCCGCTTGTGGTGGTTTACTCAACGACAACATCGGCAACTTGTACACGAATCGTACTCACTCTTCGTCTATGGTGGTATAGAGAACATCAACAAGCTTGACACATTGCCCATATTCAGTCCTCCACATCAAGCATCACTGCAATCTCCTCACTTTCCTGACTGGCCTTCAGTCTTGCCATTAGCTGCTCGAAATCCTCCACATCTCCCCTCTGCTTGCTCGCCTGTACACAAACAAGGCATGTATAGTAAGGTTAGTGATCCCCAGCAGCAAATGGTTGTCGTTGGCCAGCTCGAGCGGCCGTTGTCCTTGCACTCTAGCATCGCAAACCATGTAATTTCGCTGAAAATTCGGGCAGGTGCAGCTGTAACCCAGGGTCTCACGGACGCTTGAAAGAGATCGCGGATGTCTGTACTAGTATTTAGAGCTTCATAGTGCTTCTACTTGTCCGTCTTGCTCCCATTAAAGTAAACAGGACCACAGAAGTCTTTCTTGAAAATCTCGAGGCACAAGGATCCCTCGTGCCTAATAATGCTTCATTGATGCAAGAGCGTGGAGGGTTCTTCACAATCGGTCGCCAACAACCATCCACTTTGAACGAAATTGAGCCACTCTTACTGTACATTATACTGCTGCTATGCTGTCCGCAAGCAGACTCTCTTCTAATGGCGTCTTTAACGTTGAGCGATCGGCTACAGTGATCAAGCGTCAAAACGTGGATGTGGTCCAGCACTGCCGTAGATATCTTACAATAATCGACGGACCTCTAACTCAACATCAAACATCCAGCCGTCCCACCAAAGCCTTCTCATCGTCCGTTGGGTTAGGATCTCCGTGTATCGAACGAGGTCGACGTGGATAGCCCGTCTTCTACGACTTTGAAGGTAACAACGACAGAGCCTCAACCACAATGGTAGACGTGGGGCGGCAGAATATATTTCTTATCCAGTGGCGTACCTTTCTTCATCTTGATGGTTGAAGAGCTGCATTACGCAGACGCTGCTGTCAGAGGTCAATGAACTTCCCAGTATAGGGACGACGCGTCCGCAGATGGTGGATGCATAAGTTGAGAGAAAGACGAACTGAGAGAAAGTGGAATATCCACGCGCACCACTAGCGTGATGCGCACGCACTGTCGGAGCGCAGGGCATCGGCTTCAGGCTCTCACCAGCAGGAAGATATTGCACACAAAATATGGCAAAACACATATAAGACACTTTACAATAGCATACAGTATATTTTCACCCCTGTCAGATTGGGGATAGCAACGCGACATCTCGCTACAGTGGCTGTGCCATTCTCGTAATTAGCTATCGCTACAGTAAAGGGGGCAAACTTGGGTAAATCAGGAGACCCGATATTGCGCAGGTTCTGACGATGACTTCAGTCTGACGCGCAAGGCGTCCAAACCAGTCATCCTTATGTCCTGCCCATCATCTACTTATATTAAAGCCGCGTGCCAATCTGATCCAATGCCCTGAGACCATTACTTCACCTATGCACCTAGCTAGGAGGATAGCTTATGAACATCTGGTTGAACTGCGACGCCTGATATCCCCATTGTCCAGTCTCAGTATTAAGCGTCAAGTTCGTCATCACTATCTCACCTCGTTGAAGCGCGCCGCTCGCGACTCTCCCTCCCGCCACCGGTCTCGCCAAATGGTTGTCACCAGCATAGACCGTGAAATTCGCAAGAGGCACCTCGTAGGGGTTCCTGGTGGCCACTGAGGGACTGCCGAAAAACTGGGCCTCGACCTTCTGAGCGTCAATGTGTAGCTCAAAATAACCTCGATAATAGCCCTCCTGCCACTGGAGTTCTTGGTTGTCCCCAACAATTCGTCGCGAACCACGAATGTTTGTGGTCAGGTTGCCTCCAGGTCCTGACGAGCTGACAGCGGTTCCAGCAAATTCCACACCTATGCTACCAGCACCAGTAGCAGGATCGTAATTCTCTTCGCCTAGCCAGATCATGTCGCTTACCCAATTCTGATGTGAGTCACCTGCTAGCATGATATTGTTTCCGATCATGTTGTCGTACAAATGCTGGTATGTCCTGTTTCTGTTGGCTGTGTAGCCATCCCATGAATCAACAGGGAAAGGGATGTACGGGTCATCCTCGTCGAGAGTGGAAGTCTCGTTGATCCGACTAAAGATGATCTGATTGCCAATAATCCGCCAGGTGGCACCTCGTTCTTTCGATGCAAGAAGATTGTTGTAGAACCAGTTTTCTTGCCTCGAACCCATCAAGGAACGTCCAGCATCGTTCGAGATCTCATACACATACTCGTCATTCCAGCCCAGGCTAGTGATGCTGCGATCATACGAGCGAGTATCAAGCATGATCAAGTCCATTAGCTTGCCCATTCTGAAGCTGCGCCATATTCGTAGGTTGTCGTCAAGATCTGCCTGGCGCAGTGGCATCCACTCAAAGTATGCACGTACTGCATTCATCTTGCGTTGGTCAAAGCTGACACCGTCGTACTTATTGAAAGAGTTCTCCGCTGTGAATAGTTAGCTTAGCAATTTCAAATGATGAGGTACTTGTGCAGTCGGAGGGGCCCAGGCGGCGACGAGGCTCTGGAGTTACTTACTGTTGTTCATTGCAGAGCTACCATCTCGGTAGTTGTTATTGGCGATCTCGTGGTCATCCCATACCGTAATAAAGGCATGATTCTGGTGTATGAGCCTCAAGTCGAGATCTGAGCGGTACTGCGCGATACGAGTTCGATAGTCGTAAAGAGTCACTATCTCGCGTCCAGGTGCGCTCGCGCGAGGATCTCTACCAAGGACACCACGACTTGTTTCGTAAATATAGTCGCCTAAATGGAGAGCATAGTCGAAGTTATCCTTCCTGGCCGCGTTACCATACACATTGAAGTAGCCATTTGGATAGTTACTACAGCTGAAGACTGCGAACGAGAGTGCAGTGGTTGCGTCGTCTTCAGTAGGCGAGGTCTTTGTGCGGCCAATGGGACTAGCTATTTGAGAGTTGCAGACAGTGAACTGGTAGTAGTATGTAGTATAGGCTTTCAAACCCTTTGCCTCGATCTGAATATGGGTTAGACCTCTGTGCCAGGAAACATCGGCTCCGACAGATCTCACCTTGATGGTATAGTCGATGTCTGACGTAGTGTAGACTTGGCCACCAGCAGCGGATGCCCCTGCCATGTTGGGGCTCGTCGTAACCTTCCAGTTTACACAAATCGGCGAAGAAGACATCTGAATATATCGCTCTGTGTCATGATTGAAGAGCGGCACATTACCCTCCACCGTCACGTTGGATCTATCGGCCTCATATTGAGGTGAGACTCGTGTCCACAAGATGACAGAGTCCGCCCAGGGATCTCCCTACACTTGTCAGGATGAGGAGGGGCCTCAGAGTACGGTGATACCTACAGAGGCAACCCCATGAGTAAAATTGAGTTGTCCGACAGCATGAGGTGTAGAACCATCTCGTTTCCTCAACATTCGTTTTTGCACTTTTGGTACATCGATTCCAAGACTATCGTGGTTGAGTGATGGACTGCGATAGTTGAGGTTCCCATCCCAGAGTGAGGACACTGATAGTGCCAATGCAAGCCAGATGAAGGACTGTGAGAGCATCTTGAACGATCAACGAGTATGCAAGACTTGCAACGAAGCTGAATAAAGCTCGCAGCAGTCTGGCTCACCTCTCTTTCTTCGTGCTATGGCTGTCTTATATTCCAAAGACCAGTACGGGACTCAAGACGCCTGGCCTGCGTCATTGTAGACGAGCAATCATGTTGAATGCTTTCAAATCCAATCGTTATGGGAGTATGCAGCACAATGACGGGCGGCAGCTGTTTTCACATGGGTACTGATGGGCTTGCCTGAAGGCAGAAGGTGGCCTTGCAACGTGTCTAGTAAGCTTTTGCACTATAGCTCCGCGTGGTGGTGAGACCACGTATAATTGGCTGTTAAGTGATCCGATCTGCGAGCCTACCCCGGAATGAAATCTTGGCAGCCTTGGCGGAGTATCCGTATTATCCCAGCGATAACAATGAGACACAGGTTCAGAACGGACCTATTGAGAGAACAGCTTGTAGAACGCGGAGATATCTGGCTAGATTACCGCAGCCTCTGCTCTGGCCTGCCTCTCGCTCTTGACATATCTTGTGCCAGATAGCATGCGTCATTCGATCAGGTTTCGAGGATGACCACCGAACGCAACGGATTGTGGCATCCAAACAGGGCGCTATGAGCCGTACTGGTAGTCATATAAGCAATAGCTGTGGTAGATTGACAACGTTGGCCACCTAATCCACCACTTCAATGCATCACTGAGCAGGCGTCGATGCCTCTTCTCAAGTGAAGGGTTCATTCGAAGGTGGTATGAATCGCGCTGTCAAATCAGGCCTCTGCTCAAAGTGTTTGTCCAAAGGCCAAATCGGTCTTTGAACGTGAAGATGTCCTAGCCTTTTGATATCTTGATCGACGCCACCAGGAGTTAATGCTAGTAGCCAACCTTGAGCCATATCGTAGAGCTCGGGTTCTAAATACCCTATCTTGACGATGACCATGTCAGCTTCTCGAGGCTTCAAGTCCAAGTCCGTGTAGTCTTTCTCAAGATGGTATGGTTTGCGTATTTCCGTGAGTATAGCATACACAGTGCCAATTTGCAGTACAACTTCGAGTCTGGCATACTGATCGCCATGTTTGATAGCATGCACACGACCTGTCATTGTAAGCGGGCCAGAATGGAGATCGTCCACTTCCGCACCAGCTGTGACAGTGACTGTAGATCCTATGCCAGCTTTCGCGGCAATGTGCACAGCTTCAGGACCGGGGATACTTGCATATATGACAATAGGTCCTGTCTTGTGCTGGAATTCAGGTCTTTCTAGTAATCTGGTCAATCCCCAAGTCACATCTCCGGAGCCTCCAGCTGTCGGATTGTCTCCGGAATCAGATATGAAAAATGGCCTCTCATTGTTCGAGCTGTTCAATGCTGCGTCAATGCATTCTTTGTAGTTGCCTGTCTTGGCGACAAAATGAAAGTCCTCGTGCACATCCCAAAAACAATTCGCAAGATCTTCGGCGCCCTTCTTGACAGCCTTTCGATCCCAACCGGTCACCACGACTACTGCAAGATCGCGTGGTTCATCAGCCCATGCGTAGCCGACCCAGACACTGGCATCAATGACGCCATGCATGTCCTCTACCACCGGTACTCGTTCGTACAGGCTCTTTGCGGGCTCATCTCTTGTGCTTGTCTGTTCACCTGGCAGAAGAATTGGGATAGGTATCCAAGCTTTTAGCGGTCTTTTGAAATTATGTCCTTGTCTGTGTTTGCCTTCGATCAACTCTAGGAGATTTCGACAAGCTCTTTCCTTGGTCTCCCAGGTATCAATATGTGGAGCAGTTCGATAGCACGTCAACAAATCACACTCATGAGCCAGATCCTTGGACACGTTTCCATGTAAGTCCATCGACGCACTGATCAGGACGTCAGGTCCGATGACTCTTCGAATTCTTTTAAGCAAAACATGTTCTGCATCCGAGAGGCCTTCCACGCACATCGCGCCATGTATATCAAACCATAGGCCTTCTAGGGCCACGTTGTCTGCCTTGGCATCTAGCACTATCTTCAACAAACGGGTACAGATCTCGGCAGCCAGTGAGTCAAACAATTCTCTTGTCACAATCCCACCGGGTACTGCCTGCCCAATCAAAGCGCCACGCCAGTTGGCTGCATGACGGAGCTCAGTATCTGGGCCAAGAAATCGAATGTATTTATCATCCATGATACTGTCACCGCGGGAAGGACGGAATTGCTCGGGCAATCGCGTGCGTGCGGGCGAGAAGGTAGACGTCTCTATACCCAGCCCTGCAACAGCCACTAGAGGTTTTCCGTGAGCCCGCGAAGCTTTCACTTCACTTTCTGCCATGTTCATGTTGAGTATGATGGTTAGGTTTGACTGGCTCGGAATGTTTGGAGATCCCATGCTGGAGAGGTGCTGGTGTTTACAGTACAATCGCTCAGCGGAACGACTCTGACGCTCGGTAGATACACTTAGCTTGTAGACATATTACATTCCATTAGTGTCCGCAACCGATGTTCGCATGCCTTTGGATGGTACGGAAGCTGTGGTATGGTCGAGCGCCAGTATCGAAGAACACAACGTACTGATACGGACTGCGTTTCGTGCTGTCGGACTGTTAGAGATCGAATTGACGTGTCTGTTGTCTAATTGGGCAGCTTTCGCTGCACTCGAGAACTCGAAGATGACGACCCTAAACAATTGTGCACGTCTGAGATTAGATCGATACTGTCCTGATACAGTCGCGTAACGCGTGACCTCGTACGCGTAGAACAGGTGGAATCGGGAAATCTTTCCCAAAGCACGGGATGCCTTGGTTACCTTTACATCACACGATGTTGGATCTTTTCTCTTTCATTTCATCCGGGTTTTATGTCTCCCATTGCGATAAATCGCTAGAGCATGGTTCGAACGATCACAAATAGCAATAACAATGTTGTTTCGTGCATCGTTTTACGCGAATGATGCAGCTGCCGATTGGCGAGTCCTCGCTCATGAGCTTGGCTCCCACGAGGAACGTCCTCAAGCTTGAATGGATCAATATGTGAGTGAGCAGGCAAGCTCTCTCTTGTGTCAATCTTGATCACGAAACTGAACATCGAACGAATGTGTTCAAGAACGACATCGCTGAATGAACACGGCTCATGCTGCAACGAGACACATCTGCGCTATGAGTACACTCCAATTGAGGCTTCACAGATCCGATGTGTACATCTTGACTCCACGAAGAGCCGTCATGAATGTTCGCTGAAGTTACACAATAGAAATAGTGGTGGATATCTCGCTCTGAGCTATGCTTGGGGCTCGCCGATACCAGATCCGGAACGATATATGTTCATTAGAGGCATTAACAGCATTCAAGGCTGTGTGCCACTGACATACAATCTTGACAACGCTCTTCGTGACCTTCAAGATACTGAAATTGTGCCAAAAGGTTTCTTCATCGATCAAATTTCCATCAATCAGAATGACAACCAAGAGAAGTCAGTACAAGTTGCCGGCATGGGAAACGTCTACAAGTATGCCGACAAAGTCATAACCTATCTGGGTCCTGGTGAAGGAGGTGATCAACTCGCGATAGACCTACTGAATCGCATCACGGAGCATATTGGTCCTTGGATGAATATCTTGAAGTCGTTGGTGGTCTTACCATGGATGTCATCGACCAAATCACAAGGCGCGACATGCCTTTTACCACTCTGTTTGAAGTTGCGGAATTAGAGATAGAGTCCTTCCGGCATCTTGAATGTATAGTGTACCAGAGTGGGTGGGCACAGCGCCTATGGATGTGCCAGGAGAATTTGCTTAATAAGAATATGATTTTTCTGAAGGGATCAACACTCATCGAGCGGCAATCCATGTTTATGTTCCCATTGATTCAAGCCTTGGGTCTTGTCTTTCCTTTGCCAGGAGAAGCAGGCGACTCGTTCAATCAAGCTATAAGTATGGCTGTGTTCTACCAGGAGCTTCATGACAAACAACTTACACGATCCTTCTTTTCGCTTGTGAATACTTTTGGGGCGACTTTGGGTTGCAGTGACCCCAAGGACCGGATATATGGCCTACTGGGTCTGGCAAGAGATAGCTGGAACATTAGCCCCGATTATGATGCCGACAACTTGACTGTATACGCCGATTTCGCACAAAAGTCGATCGAGAAGACCCAGACATTGCGCATCCCGAATTATGCAAATTCAGAATCACTCGAAGCAGTACAACCTCCAGTACCAACCAATTATCCATCCTGGCCAAGCTGGATTCCTGCTTTCCAGGCCTCACTTCCCGATGCATGCACAAATTTGGCAGCTGGCTCAACCGTACCACAAACTCACGTGAAAGTGAGTGACATGATTCTAAACGCGACGGGTTTTGAGGTTGCCAGAATCGATGTCGTGATCGGCGTCTTCGACCAATACGCGTCGCCTTTGACCATGGTCACTCCCTACGATAGCCTCTGCAACACTACAACGTTGATTGAAGCTGCACAGAAGATCCTAAACAGTAGGAAGATCGCAAACGCCGAACAGAGACTCTGCCAGACACTGATGCAGAGTTTTCGATCACCCGTTGCAGATCAAAGTGACAGAGACTGGAATTCTTGTGCAGCATATGCATACAATGTGGTGCTAGATGTTATGCGACAGGCTCGTGATAATCGAGATCCCAAATCCCCCTTTGCTCCAGTCTCGACGACCCATCTCCTAGAAGACGAAGCCAAGCTAGCGAACTGCCTGATTCCCGCTCTAGAATTGAAAGGGCAATCACTGTGTATCACCGCATGTGGTATGCCACTCATGGCTCCTGCTAACGCGCAGAAGGACGATATGGTTGCGGTCCTGCTTGGTGGTGGAGAAGCATATATTCTGCGTCCAGGAGACGAAGATCTACATTCTATGGTCGGTCGTGCCTTCGCGTATGGCTATATGAATGGAGAGACTTTGATCGACGATCTATGGAAGGACAGACTTGCAGACGTCATTGTGAAGATCCTCAACCTAGAATACTACCCTCTTGAGCTTGCGACGACGGGTGAGAATACTATTGCTGAGGAAGACCTTCGAAAAGACCTTCAATCCACAATGGCCTACCTGATCGGGTCCATGTATGTACCAAGGTCGACTTACGTCTTCGGTCATGGGACCGAGGAAGGAACAGCAGAGACTCATGCAGGTGCACGAACCTTTCTCGCGGCAACGCCTACATCCCGCAAAGAAGTCATCCGTCGTGCTGTACAAGAAGGACCATTCGATGTTCACGTAAACACCTTCTGGCGCACAAACTGGTGGCACACAATCGAAACCCTGATCAGCAACAAACTCATTCCTCCTCCTCCGTGGCACGCAAAGCAGCGAACATTCAGCATACGTTGACCTCTACTTCCAAAAACCCTTCCTCAATCTCTCGCACAAGGCAAGAAGAACTGTTGAAAAGTACCATGCTGCACAAGGTGGTAGTGTCAAACCAAGGCAACAAAAGCCGACCATGTACGAAGTACAGAGGGTTGAGGCCCTGATCGAAAAATAGGAATAACCAAAGTTGTCCATTCCGTGGAATGGATCTCAGAGATTAAACTGAGAAGAACAGATACTACACTTGATCTAAGCCAAAATGGCAAAGGAAGCTGGAAAGAAGAAAAGAAGAAAGAAGAGAGGAAGAGGGAAGGACAGATAATTATAGTCGTTGGAAAACATCGAGTGGGTCAGAGGTGGATGCTGTTGATCCAGGCTGCAGTCCGAATATGGAAATCAAACACATCAGTAGACAACATTGTGAAGCTGCAAAGCAGGAACTTGTGTTTAGTCGAGCAGAGTGTCAGGCGACACTTTTTGTGATTCTCACATGCCATCAAAAAGAAACCCCGTCGTTTCGTGTCACGCCCGTACATCAGGATACAAAATCCTTGAACCGTTTTCTGAACATCGTCATACCTTCTACTTTTGGCCATAGGCATCATCCCAGGCTCTCCTACCGGTAACTAATGCCTATGTTTCCAGTTTTCAGTGCTGTTCCCCAGCGCCAGGCTGCCTATGAATGGCAGAGGAAGGTGTGCCGTTCAAAAACTCACACCGTCCCAAGTGGCAATCGTACCTTCACAATCGACCTGCACTCTGGACTCTCCCAACCTGCAGACTTCCAAATAACACACGAGCAAAAAGAAGATTCTCTATTCTTGTCAAATCAGACATTTCATTGTTAGCTATCTACTTCAGTACCTAGTTGTTAGTAATTTGTCGAAACGTGCGAGTCACGCACAAAGGGAATCCAAAACAGCCGTGACACGCTGCATGCCTGATTTTTGGCTTTTTTTCCTATTCCTTTCATCCTCCGCTAATTCCGAGTTTGCGCTGCAGAGCATCTCGAGTGAAATGCCCTACAGCAGGGTACCCGAATATGATTCCTCTGGTTCATGCTGCCTTCCAAACCACACGATCAGCGTATGACATTGATGACTCCGAGGTGGCGGGAGTAATACATGGTGTATGCGCTTTTAGCTGACCTCAATCTGCATGTAGATCGAGTATGGCGTCGTGACATGCAAGGTATGGACAGCTGCATGGAAAGCAGAGGTATCCAGGTAAAATCCATCACCTATCCCGCGACTCGAAAGCCACAGCGAACAGTAAAATTGTGACGGAACGGGGCTCAACATCGTCGCAACACATCTGGCAACCCACCACGTGGAATGGTGACTTTTGTCATGAGTATGTTCCCTTCGAAAATTCCTCCTACAACAAACCGAGTCCGCTTCATCCTCGAGATATCAGTATCCTCCACAAAAAATCACTCACTGTCCTCCAAAGAAGAAAGTGAGGCGGGAGACATCGTGATATATGATCGATAGCGACTTCACTCACTACTCTGCTTCGCCGACGAAAAAAGGAGCCAGGAAGCAGAAGGGGAGTCTAGACTTATCATTCCACTCTTCACGCAACTTTGGAAAGTCGATAACCCGCGATTTCAATGAAAGTTGAAAAAAGCAGGCTGCGCAGTTGCCACACAAACGAAGTGGCTGAGTTCCGAGAAACACAGGCCATTTCAATCGCACTCGACTTCATCTCTCACATGCACTTTCATTGTGTTCCCATCACCGTACCTCTTCTCCGAAGATCCGAGGCGTAAATGATGGATGAAAGTGAAGGGGCGGCCTGCAGTCTTTGAAAACAAAAAGTTCAGAGAGGCACATAAGGAGCTCCAAGGGGGTGGAGGGCTGCCAATGAAGGAGTTGGACGGAGCGACTGCGCTTCCAAAGTAGGGACAAGGAGGGAACTCTGATTCCTCAATCTTCACCAATTTTTTTTTCACACTGCATGTCTCATACGACAGTGCACACCACTTTCTCATTCCAGATCTCACATCCTCCACGTACCGTCCACAAGAGACTAGGCCATCATTGTGTTGGATAGGGTTGAATGGAGCAAGGAACTCTGTTAACCCGAGTATATCGTGACTCGTACAATCTTATTATTTGGTTAAAGTGTTTGATTTCGTTGTTTTTGTTGTTCATTGCTTTCGCTCGTCTCGTTCGTCATTCGTATACGATTTTCATAGTAGCAGACTTTCCGTAGCTCATGCAAGAAGTAAACATGTTCATTATTTCAGCTCAGCTCAGCTCTAGATCATAGGTCTCACGCCTTATTATCGCCATAGTAGCTCTGGCGTTGAGCTAGATTCTGCGTCTGCAAGGTCAATCGCACAGGAGCAGCTTTTTCGTCGCCGAAAGGATCGTCCCTGCTGTAGTGCGGTGCCGGTTCAGCAGGAACTTGGCGCTCATCTTGCAATGGGATCTCCGTAAAGTTGTCGTCTGTGCTCTTGAAGCGATCTTGGCCATCTGTTCTGAAATCCATAGGTGCGCTGATGCTTGGGTGGCAGTTTGTGGGTGAAACGGAATCGAAGTTCGGTATCCCGCCTTCGCCTCGTGTCTTGTCGCGACCATACCAGAGTATCAGAGCACGTAGAATTGCGACAAGGACGATGGAGAACCAGATCAGCACGACAACGGTGGAAATGATCGCCTCGGTCTTGATGTCGTCGAGTAAACTGTTAGTCACTCGGACCACGGCTGAAGAGATTTTGTCTGCTGTAGCGTCGCCAGGTGAGGCGAGAAACGATGAGTCAGACGACGAATCTCCAGCGAGTGAGGCAGCTGCACCAAGTGAGAATGTATCCTTGGGTAATTGTGGAAAGCTGACGTGAGCGTGGTCCTCAACCCAGGTAAGTGCCTTTTGGATACCTTCGATCTTGAGTCCGACCAAGCAGTTAAAAACTTCAGTGATCGGGTCATACAAGATGGTGCCACCAAAAGTCGAATTGAGGACGTTCGTGGTCTCCGATGTAAACTTGTTAAGCGTGTCGTTGATTGCGTTTACAGTTATATTGACCCAGCCGAACATGTCTCCATTGATATCGCTTTGTTTTTGCAGTATAACATCATTTGTTGATAGTGCCCATCGCTCGGAAGCGTTATTGAGCTGAAACATGACCTTATCGGCAAAATCTGCAACTTGACTTGTGAGTTGTGGTACTTGAGCTTGAATCTGCCTCAGAATAATGAGGTGGCAGAGGCAGGTAAACAAGCCAGCAATGCCCAGTGCAAGCACAAAGAGCGCAGCTTCAGTTGTAGAGTACGCGACAACCCATCTGATCAAATATTGCCTTCGAAGGGATTTGACCTTGCCTGCGAGCGTAATCCCGAAACCAGAAGTGTGTGGTCGGCTGACAATATAGACCACATCAAGAGGATCGTGAGCATTGCTGCCGACCAGACGGGATCGGTCTTGCATAAGACGCCAGCGACGGATCTCTCGGTAAGCCATAGGGATGCAAACTACGATAGCCGCAACTATGAGAGTGCCGATAAAGATCTTCTTGGCGTCGTAGATGAGCTTCACAAGACTATCGAAGAAGCCGTTGATACCGTTGTCGTCGCTGCAGAAACTCATCTGCTCTTTCTGTGGAACCGGAAAGAGACTTCGGTCAAAGTTGTAAACACCCAAACTCTCGTTGATCTCGTTCTTGAGCAGCACAAACGGCGTGCGAATAACGGTTTCGGTAAAATTCTTGACTTGATCGAAGTTTGGTATTGAGTTGTTGAGCTTCTGCAGATCTGCATCGAGTCCTTCGGGCATTTTGAGGTTTCTGACCGCGTCAATCTGCTTAGTGAGGTCAATATCAGGAACAACAAGGCTGCTCCCGAGACCGAGCGTGATCTTCTGTACAGCGTCTCGAACACCGTCCAGAGCTTTGTCGATGCCAGACAGGGCGGTGCCCATGTCGTCGCCAATGCTCGAGACGAGCTCGCCGAGCTTCTTGTTGGCGTCCTCGATCACGCCAATGACGGCACGAAGACTACCACTAACGACGAGAGTGATCAAGCAGAGGTAAGTATTGGTCATCAGACCAATCACGAACACGACTATTTCTTCAACGGCTGTCACGCTCATCGTCGCCATTGAGTAAAGGCCATTGACAGCTCTTTCGATACCAGAGGCTGTAAGTTCGTTGACTCCTTGGGACATATAGTGAGGCATTGATGCCATGGCTGAACCCATGTCTTCGACTGATGTACATGCTGATAGGGCTTCTCTACGAGCCGAGGAAAGGTTTCCATTAAGATCGTGAAGGGCGATGAGAGTTCGGGCAAGAACAAGTAACAACAAAATCGTCCAGCGATTTATCCAAACTTGAGATAGTCGGGCCTGTAGACCCAGGTAGGGTGTGACGGATGGTGCAGTATGTGGTGTAGATCGAGGTGGGTCTCGGTCGGAGAAGTATTCTCGCATCTCATGACTGCCAGCAGGCATAGATGGAGCATTACCAGCCAAGAAGGCTGGTAGGCGTGGTAGTTGCATGGCTTCCACAATGTATTATCTGTTAAGGAATGTGAGTGAGTGTCCTGAACGATATTGTCGCTCGATCGAATATTGTACAGTCAAGTAAAGTCAAAATGCGCCGAAAGAAATGCAAGAGATCGGTTGTGAATGGATCGGTATGCCAGACACCAATAATTATCCAAGTAAGCAGAAGGGGTATAACAAAAAGAAACTCGTGACAAGTATAGCTGGTGACAAAAGGTAGCGAACCATGGCTCAGTGACAACAGAGGAGGGATGAGTCTGGCTCAATAAGGCAAACAATGGAATATGAGATTTAGTACGTACCGCATTCCATTGTGATTTCCACACACAGCCACAAGGCGGCAGCAACGACATGTAAAGATAGACTGGGATGAAACATAGTGTTGGCAGTTTCATGAGTCCTCGTCAATCCAGGTACAGCCGCTGATGCCGCCAGACATCTCTCAGTCCAGACTATTGAGGTTGCGAATTGATTATCCAGCGAAGGTGTATCGCTTGTTGTAGCCGCGTACACCAAAATAGTGGGACCAAACTGAAGACCGGACAGCCAATGGACATGATTGAGACCTCCAACACGTAACGCAAGCGTTTGTGAAGATTGCTCAGATCATGGACGGTTCGCTATGGTTGCGTCGTATTTTCATGGGCTGTGAATGCGATTGTACTTCAGTTCTTTGCATCAAGTCGTGTTCCTGATCATCACATCATAATCCTCTCGACGTCCAGAATTGTGGCGCATTGTCGCAACCGTGAGAATTGAGCTGGTTCGGATAGTTACTGAAGCGTTGATCAGGATTGCGACGAAGGCGAGATGCAAAGTAGAGATGGTGGTTCGCCTTGAAGAACAAAGAAAGCATAGAAGCAAAACTTCAGTGCTGCGAAGAATATACACAAATCGTGGCGAGAGTTCTTGGAAACTTGCATCCTTGGAAACACCCTGGTCTAATTAGCGCAATAAGTGTAGAACAGGGCTACGAGTACGGTTGCTATTGGTTCACATTAACAAGCGCATCCGTCCCTATACTCGCGACAGTGACTATCTCTGCAATGAAAGTAACATTAAATTTACGATCATGATTACTGGCTAGTAAAACGTTGATAGATGAAAACGTGTTTGTCCGCATACTTATCCAGAAGGTGTACTCTATCAGTCACAAAGAAAGACACATATGAGTCGATGATTCAGCCCTTGTCCACATATTTGGAGCGACATATCTTACAACAAGGCGAGTTCGAGATCATGCAGCAGATGAAAGGACGACCAGAGCACAATCTACTCGCCGAAGTTAAGTTGCAAGATTCGCTCGTCGTTGCTGCCTGCGAAGCGACGTGCAGATCCACACGATAATGCCTACTCACGGCATCTAGCATCCACCACGCCCCTGAATAAGATGTTCATCGTTCAAAGCAAATGGCGATAAGTATGCGACGAGTATGAATGCGAAGATGACCGATCCACGAGTAGTGCGTAACTTTCACCGTCAAAATCGGAGCGAAGACAAGATGACCGTAGAGACGAGCAGGTGGATAGCAGAACGAAGGTCGCGAACACCAATCAGTGCACAGGTCATGTTCGATCAACGGCGCAAGCAAAGTCAATCATCCAGTGATAGCACAGGTGAAAGCATCGCCAGTCAGGTCATGGCGAGGTAAGTTCATCTGTGCTCACCTTGACCTTGACCACCTTGCTGCTGTTGTTGTGCCACAGCAGCATACCACATTCGTGCATAGTTTTCGTAGCCGCCATAAGGTGCGTACATGGCTTCCTGATCAGCGGTCGGAGCTTGTGCTTGAGGCACGGCTGTTGGATAAGCATTGGCACCTTGAGCAGGATACCTGTCGTAGTTACTAGAATCGTCTTGTGACCTGCCGCGAGCGGCGACAGCGTCGACCTTCTCCAGGATAGCACGCTTGGCAGCTTCAATGGAATTGCGGGTGCCTATCAGGCCAATTTCACGTTCGATATCACGGCCAGTGGGAGGCGATACGTTGATCTTGCATCCAGTTCGGTCTTGCATCTCACGAATGGTCTCACCTCCTTTGCCAATGATCATGCCTACTGCTTCGCCGGGCACGGTGATGGTGTCATTGACCTTGCTGTGAGGATCGCTCTGCCGGGCACGAAGTTCCTTGATACTGATGCCTTTTTGGTCGCTTTCTACGATTTCGAAGATCAGGTCTTTGGCGTGGCGTTGTGAGGCAGCACTGCCGATCAAGTTCACAGGCCGGTGGCCATTCACACTCTTGTTCTCGCCAACGATGTTGACGTGACAGCCACTGCGTTCTTGCAAGTCTCTGATGGTCTCACCCCCGCGTCCGATGATGAGGCCAACGGTTCGGTCTGGCACCATCACCTGCAAGCTGTCGCCTTCTTGGGTAATAGCCTCCATAGGCGCACCTGCATCTCGCGACTTGTCAGATCCTCTTTTGGCCAGTTCGTTGTCCTCAATGATCTTGTAGATTTCTGCTTTGGCACTTGCGACAGCAGCACGTGGACCAGAAACTCTGCAATGCCGTTTGGTGCCAGGGGTATCTGCGCTGTCAATGAACTGCACACGAGCACCAGTTTGACCCTCAACTCGTCGAAGATTCTCACCACCTCTTCCAATAATCAGGCCGACCAAACCTTTTTCTATTGCGACGACTTCAGAATCCGTGTTCTCGCCAGCTCTTTGAGGTGAACGGTCACGGTACGCAGGAGAACCGTAACGATCGCGTCGAGGGGAGAACGAGCGCTCTCGATTGAAATTGCGATCATTACCTCCACGTCGCTCGTCTCTGTAAGGATTGAAATTATCCCTGAAGTTGTCCCGTCCTCTTGGTGGAGAAGGAGACCTGGAGTGATGAAAGTTGCTTCGAGGGTCGTTTCGTGAGGCAGCTAGGATTTCAAGTTAGACTTCTGGTTTTCGTACTTGAGAATTGACTTACCTCGTGGGTCGTAGTTCTGGCGAGCTTTCGCCATGGCATCTGCAATGCTTACCGAGCCCGAGTTAATGGGTTTGATACCTGCGAGATCCACGCTGCCAGAATTGATGGGTTGAGGCAGGCCATAGGACATCTGTCCTGCCGGCGGAGGACTCGCATATTGAGGATATTGTCCTGGCAGAGGCAGGTTTTGTGCAGGAGTACCGCTTTGGCTCTGCGCGGCTAGAACAGCCAGGATATTCTGTAGGTCTGCCTGTTGTGCCATATGTAGAATCTGACAGTGAGTCGACTAAAACGCGTGCGAGTTGAATGTTCAAGTGCCTGTCTGTAGAGAACGTAAGTGGTAAGAACAAAGGACGAAGGTAGTTGTATCGGATGACAATATAGTAAAGAGATTGGGTTGTGTAAATGCGCGTTTGGGACGAGCAGCTTTTCACGTGAGCTGTCCAGTAGAGCCAACGTCGACTTTTTTACACCCTCAATTGAACGTTACTGTAGAATGACAAAATTTGTTACGATCAGATACACGAATTGACCTTCGCCTTACCCTTCTGTTACGATGAATATGGTACAAGAGCATATCAAGCATGCTTTTATTGCCTCGTCTGATATACCTGATCATGATCCCTTATCACCACTTCCAGCGAGCCCTTGTTTTACACTGCTGACGACCATTGCAAACGTATCCGCGCCTTGGTACTATACAACGCGAGAATCGTTACAAAGCTGCCTGGGTGCTAGTGATTGACAGAAAGAGAGATCTCGCCAATAAATCTTTGACTGCTCCTGCCTAATCAATCTGTGTTGACTCAAATCGTGGTAGTGACATCGAGACCAAAGCTCAGGCCTCACACTGCTAATGTCAACCATTATTTACTAATCTAGAAGATTACCAGCACTGACATTCATATATCTCTATATAGTCAAACATGGATGAGAATAGTAGGCATCTTTCTTTGGCCTTGTATCCAACTGACAACAGAGAACCGTCTCAAGTACCAGAGCTCAATGGCTCTTCCCACGCAGACACTGACAACAGCGACGTACCAACCGAACAGCATAAGCTGCGGATTATTGTGCTAACTCCGCGACCTCAACTTCTTGCTGAGTATTACCGCAGACTTGCTCTCTCGCAAAAGACGATGCAGGAGCAGAAACAACTTCATCGGGAGGACTTCGATCGGCTAATTTGGGACCTACTTCCTTCGAGGTAAGAGAACACGACAACGTGGTCAAAGACGAATGCTGAACAATGTAGCTTTCTATCAACGCCTTCGCCACTTGCACGCCGACTCGACCTGTCACGAAAGCGAAATACTACGGCGTACAAGTCCTTCCTAATCCACCACAATGGCTTTGAGCTGAAGACCTCCAATTTCATGTTTACCTACGAAGACAACATACATCTGAAGCCTTTCAGTCTGAACGATCAAGGTGATTTTACTGAGTCACTTCGGTCATGCGAGCGGGATGGTGGGAAAGCGTCGGCAATGTAGGGAATTGCACGATCGTTCTGTCAAGAAATCACGTTCCCGCCGCAGTCACACGAGGACTATCGACTTTGCGATGAACAAAAAGCTATCGCAGGGCTAATTCTGCAACACCTCCTCCATGCTTGGGAGCCGAAACAATTTCGTGCCGATCATGCCTGGCCCTTCGGTATACGTGCTGTCAAGCTGGTTGACACAGACACTCATTTTGCTCGTGTAAAATCAAGATTGCAGGCGGAGAAGAAGTGCATTGCTACATGGGGTGCCTATGATGAGCTCGAGCTGTTGATCGACACTCTTCTCCAGGATAAAGGATTCTTCCAGTGCACGATTAGGCCCTCTAGAACCATGAAGCAGGCTTTCAGCAGTGCCAACGACTCGGTCAAACAACTTGACCAAACTGTTAAGGACGTCGTCAAGAGCCCGCATTTGAAAGTGTACGACAAATTCAGCACTTTCACCCTCCTACTCACTGTCAACTTCACTCATGAGGATTTTCTGCAAACGTTCCAGGCCCGCAAACAAACGTTTCCAGAACTTGCAGCTACGGCCTTCTTTTGCTTCTTACAAGCATTGGACTATGTTGGTAGCAAAAAGCATCGGAAACAAGAGAACTTGCATTCCAAGTCATACTTGCAATTCATGAACTCAACACATCCCGTCTCAGGCGATATGTCATCGAAAAAGCGCAAGCAAAGCGAGGACGCACAGAAGCTGATTGTACAAGGATTGACAACTCTTCCTCAACCCGGACCTCACGCCGAGCCTTCGCCAGTTACTCCCACGCCCGAGACAGTCACGGAAGCAGATCCTCAGTTGTTTGCAACTCCTTCCTCGCAAAAGACTACTTCCAGCTTCTTTAGTGCGGTCGAAGACATCTCGGATTTGAGATCTCATACAGAGGAGGATGCTTCTAGCGAGGAGCTGGATCAAGATACGTCCTCAAACGACTATGCACCAGTCAAATCGCGTGCAAGTGAGCCCAACAGTCCACGTAGACCTGTTTCCTCTCCATCTACCTCTGAATCACGATTTATCTACCTGCAAGATCCTGTAACGCAGACGGCTGATCGTCTTGAGTCGCAAGGGTCACAATTGAGCGTTCAATCTCTGTCACCTGTTTCCGGATCTGAACCATCTACGCTACGGTCCACATCAAGCTCGAGCACGCCTGCGTTGCCTCATCATTCTGCTCTGGTTATGTCTACAGGCACCAGTGCTTCACCAACAATCAAGAGTACACAAAGCAAACGTGATCAGGCTTTCTTGCCGTATACAAAGCCTCTAGCTGCAAAGTCCGCAACAGAGTCCTCTATCGGTCGGAAACCTTCGTATGCTCAGGCTGTGCGAGGGACGCTCAACTCATTATCACCGATATACGAAGAGCGGCCATCTCTATCCTCCTTGATTCAGGAACCGTCACATACCGAAACAAAATCTCCAGCATCTGACCAGCTAAGATCTTCCTTTTCGAGCCACTCTCTTTCGTCCGAGGCATCTACTGTTGTTCCAACAAGTCGTCCAACAAAGTCCATGCGTTGTGACTCTTCTGTCTCACAGCCCCTACAACCAAGCCATGTAGTCGTGTCACACCCGAACTCCAAAGCCACCAACCTCAGCTCGTTGCCTGGCAGGACCATAACGAGCACATCTGCTCATGCACCACCCGTGTTCTCCCCGCCGCACAGTGGTAGCGACTCATCATCAACTCGTTCTAGCCGCTCTCGGACCTCAATAGGCTCACCTCCTGGTCAATTGGTTTCCACACTATTGAGCCAATCACCATTCTTCTCCTACACCGAGCCAAATGCGGCGACTCGTTGTCTCTTCCCAATTTGTCAAGCGCACACGAATTCACATGATAGGTCGACGGTCGTATGTCCTCGCTGTGGACCCTTCTCGTACAATCGCTACTGCAGCGTTCAACACCTGTATGCTGATTTATGTCGGCATTACAGCGGTGGCGGCGAATGCGACCGACGACTCAATACACTGCCATATGTTGACGAATCAACGGTTGATGTGCTTTACCGACCAAGTCGCCCGTTCATATCAGCTGCAGACCAGCTCTGTGATTCACTCGAACGACACCGTCAAGCAGTATACCACTCCTGTCCAACAGACCTTGACGCCGACTACTACATCTTCAAAGATGCCGATATAATCACAGAACGCATCGGTGAGAACTCCGCACTTACCAAAGATCTGCTGCTGGCTTGTCGTGGGCGAGGCTCAGTCGCAGCAACAATCACAATACCACACACGGATCCACGCAAAGCAGCGTTTCAGCAATTACTCAAAAAATTGCTTGCATCGGGCGTAGGTGCGCATGCTGCTTCACCTTCCGATTGTCGATTTTTGTATTTGTGTATCAAATACAACTTGAAGAGCAGGGGTCTATGGGATGATATCATGATAGATAGAGTTGGACTGGCGACGCAATTGGAGTTTGGGTATAAAGTGGCTGAAGCTGATTGGTATTAAGAGCTATGGAAGACATCGTTGGTCAGCTGCAAAACGAACGAACGTCTGCGCGGCAGAAGTAATGTTCGCACAACGATGAAGTGGCATTGATGGGACTTGAGAAGGTTTCAGAATCTGTAAAGTGGCCATGAAGTCTTCAATCTTGCTATTCAGCTCCCATAGCTACTTGAAGGATTCTGATGTTGTATATTGAACCATGGGGTTAGCTCTTCCGTCACTTTGTCGCTACTGATAAGTACAAACCGTTGATGTTGATCGAGAATGTCGACCGAGAATTGATCAAGTGCTGTACCATGATGCAAACCATTCTCTCTTTCCAGCACAACCCCTTGTCTCCACGAGCGCAGGATGTACTAACCACTTCCCTGCACTTCGCAACTAGTAGCAAGCTCGGCCTCTGTCAGTTGTACGATATCCGCTATCGCTGCCAGTTTCAAGTCTCTTTCTTCCTCCAACCTAGCCTTCTCGTCCTCCACGGACTGTGTATGCCACTTTTCTGCTTTACTAACTAGTTGAACGACGATTTCCCTGAATTTCTGGGGGTCTGGATTTACTGTATGCTCCTTTAGCTCTTCCAGCTCGATTTCGTGCTCAAGTTCGAATACCTCATCGTTGAGCGACGGAAGTGTAGATAGGTGTCGTAGAAAAGGTACGTACTGTGCCAGTAAGGCGGGCACTGATCTCTGGCTTGTGATAACACTGTAGATATCTTTAAGTTCTGGCCATCCTTGGATAGTGAAGGTCGAGCACCGAAGGTATTTGAAGCTCTGAAATGCCGTCAGGTAGCATGCTGCTCTCTCGGCCTCAGACTCGGTGTGCACAAGAAGTCGTGGCTTGAGGCTTACATCCTTGCCTTGGAGGAGGTCCTGGAGGGCGTGGCAAGCAAAAAGAACCTCATCTTCATAGCGAAATTGCATGAGAACGTGGAAACGTTGGAATCTTTTCAAGGTCGCATAGTTGACAAGCAGCCAGACTCTTTCTTCCTCATCCAGCCTCATAAGTTCTGACTTTTGGCTAGACAATGACTCATTGCCGTCGTCATCGTCATCGTCAATCATAAATTTGAGGTCACCTTTCGCAAGATCCAACAAATTAAGCTTCGTAACGTCTTCCACCTCGCTGCATTGGCTCCGGCTATGTATATAACTTCTGAGTATGCAGAAATAGAAACCGTCCGTATGCAGGGAGCAATTGATCCCAACGATATTCTCTATGTACAAAATGTTGATCCCTTCCGAGTAGAGCTGCTGACAGATGTGCAAGAGCTGTGCAGAGAGCTGTAGAATTGTTTCGAAGATGTCCTCTGAAATCTCATAGATATGTGGCAGCGGCTCCTCCTGTTTCAACAAGTCTCGGAGGATAATGGTTCGAAGCTCGAAAGGCAGAGACAGTAGCGGTGACTGAGCCTGTGTTGCTCAGGGCTTCGAGAAGACGACCATGATGTTTCTTGTCAAACCTCAAGGCTTTCCTGACTGGTTGAGTGCTTGAGATAATTCCTCGAAAAAGAGACAATGAGGAGATTAAGATTCAACAACAAGACAGCTTTGACAGTGAAGAAATTCTTGGGTCGATGCGAAGAAGAAAAGAAAGAGGTTGACTGCGAGTAATTACCCACGCTCAGGTCGCTCCTGCTTCATTTGAATCGAACGAACATTCTATGTTCTTAAGCCAGTCCATAGCGTATCAGCGATAGCTATCACCTACTTATGGTAATCAGGCTGTCGCTACCGTAAATTTCTGTACAATAGCGACGCCTCTTGTGAAGATCCTTTCGCCAACTCATGATTATCTCAAATATAAGTGTATGTTTAGATTACCGCTCAGAATTCGAGTCAAACCTCGTGGGCGCACGATCTTCATGGTGCAACGTGTTTTAGACCACGGTGCTAGAGCCAATTGTGTCAAGACTATACCAGCAAGGTGAAGTCCAAATAAGAGTTCGAGACACTGGTGACGAGAAAGAGGTTGTCAATCATGTACCACTGAATCTTGGCAGTTCAGTCCTAGCCTCGATCTGCTTCTCAATACTTACAGCGAGAGATATTGTCTTCAAATCTGCCTCGAAGATAGCTTCTACCTTGTGCAAGATTGTGTCTCTTCAGTCGCATCGTATTCGGCAGTGGTTTCTCAAGCACGCGACGCGATGATCCAGCTTGATTCATGACCCACCTCATTCCACCCAAGCAGGCAGTTCGTACCCTAGATACATACCCGAACACAAACCACAGCTATGAAGTGACAATCCGCTTCTCAGCGTCCATATCGGACCTCCCGCTCTCCGTTCCCGCCAACAATGGACCAACCACCGCAACTCTCAAGCAGCTCGTTCGAGCCTCTCTCCCAGTAGACCTAAAGGACAAGCGGATTCGTCTGATCCACGCAGGCAAGGCACTTGATGATGCCGTACCACTCTCTACAAGCCTGAAACGGCTGGTCAGCAGACCTCCAAGCCGAGTCGCTACACCAGGACCCTACGATTCGGGCGCTGATTCAGAGACTGGCGACAAGAGCAAAGTCAAAGGCAAGCAGGCAGTGCGTGAAATAACGTTAGCACGCGTCTATATACACTGTTCAATCGGCGATGTGACCCTGTCACCAGAAGACCTAGAAGCAGAAGCAGCTCTCGCATATCCCACCCAGATTGAAAAGCAGGACACTACTACCCAGCAGTCGCAAGATGAGTCCAACACAAATACAACCACACCCGCTCCTCGAGGATTCGAGCGGCTCCTCACAGCAGGCTTCACCGCCTCTGAAGTCGCAGCTCTCCGACTGCAATTCATGTCCATCCAGTCTCATACACATACTCCAGATACGATGCCCAGTCCGAACGCGCTGCGAGCGATGGAGGACCAATGGCTTGATAATTCTGGTTCTCTAGGTCTTGACGAGACTGCTGCTGGAGCAACTACAGCAGGAGGAATTGAGGACGACAGTGCACGAGGAGCGCTGGATGACATGATTTGGGGCACTACATTTGGTTTCTTCTGGCCTGTAGGATGTTTGATTTGGGGTTTGAGAGAAGAAGGCATATTTAGTCCCAGGCGAAAGATTGCAATCGCTGTTGGGGTTGTGTTGAATCTTGGATTAGGCTTTGTTAGATGGGGTGGGTAGATATGACACGAGAGATGGAGACAATCGACGTGTTCGAGCTCGTATATATTGTATAGCTATTTGCGATGTTTGTTGGGAGCAGAATTCATTGAGGTGATGAGTAGCTCCTGAACAAACAAGAAGATTAGTCCTCAGGCCTCTCGTACACCAAGTACAAACACGTAGACAGCTCCAAAGGCTCACTCTGCCTCAGTCCTGGATCAGAGGTGGTTAACGAAGCCAGCGCCCTCCGAGGCAGAAGCGAAGACATAGTAATACGTTGAACAATATGATACAATAATCTATCAAGCCTCCAACACAACGATACTGTATATTCTCACGCGGGCATAGCAGGCGGCGGCTGCTCAATGTCCACAACATCAGAAGCCTGAGGAACATGACCATGCAAAAAGTCCTCCCCAGCTTCAGCCTCATTCGCAGTAGTGACCTCCTCCAAGCTCTTCAGACCCTGCCCAGATCTACTCTCTATACCCTTCCACTCACCCTGCTTATTCTGCACCTGTATTATCCCAAACCCTGTCTGAACTGGAGGTAATTGACCCCTCTTAGTCGGCTCCTCCTCCACCACATCCACAGGAAGCTCGAATTTCGCTGGGTCGTACACGTCCAGAGATCTTATTGGTTTTAGCTTCTCCTCCCATCTCAGGGTATGCTTGAGATGTTTCTGGAATTTGTCGTCCTTGGTCTTTAGCTGCTGCCATCCAACAACCATTTTCTCGAGAATGCTGCTTCTGACGACGGGATCCTGCCATGCTTCTGCGAAAGTGGCATTGACTCCGCTTGCTTTGGTCAATCCTAACTTCTCTCTCTGTTTCTCGTGTTTCTTCTTCATGGCCTCGGATTTGAGGACCAGCCAACGGAGCTTCCAGCCTAGCATGCCTAGCTCTTTCAGACGTGCTGGCTTCTCGCCTAGAAGGTACTCGTCTAAGCCGCCGCATTTAGCTATTGTTCTGGAAACACGAGCTGTGCAGGGCAGGTTCATTTCAACGTTAAGTGCTTTGCTTTGTAGCTTCTCAACCCGAACGTTAGGGTACCATTTGCGCAGAGTCTTTCCTTTGTTCCGACCGTCAGATATCTTGTTCCCGCTCTGGATTGTAGCGCCCCCATAGAGACCGTGGTTGGCTTCCTCAAAGTGACGGTTCTTGTTGTATGGGTAGGGAGGCATCGCGGGATCTGTTGCTGCCAGCCATGGTTGGGATAATGTATGCTGTGCGTCTGCGTTGGGATAGAACTTCTTTATGTATTGTGGTCGTTCTTTGGCTTTTGGGCCGCGGACGTGGTATTGGATCGTGGTAGGAGACTTTTCAATCGCTTTGAGCTGCACCCGGGCTGCTGCCATCGTGGAGCGAGGTTGCAGAGATATTCTGTGCTTTTACTGTCGCATCATGTTAGAAGCAATTACTGGATGCGCAACTGATGCACGGGTTGTGGTCAGAGCGACAAGTAGATGGTAGTTAGTGATGAACTCGGAGTAGTAAGAAATGAGGCTCCGACATTTGCATGTTGCATTTCGTTCTCACGCGAATGCAAACAATAATTACAACTCTGCTTTCCACAATTATTTTCCAGCACACCTGTGTTCGTCGCTCCTTCGTTGCCACGATCGCATACCTCTTCGACACGTTTCGACGCGCTTGAAAATATTGTCGTACTGGCAGAAGCTCCACAACCATGGTCAATATCACAGAAGTCAAGGGCAGTGGTCGAGATCACAGAACCGCAGCACACACCCACATAAAAGGCCTGGGTCTCAAATCAGATGGCACAGCCGAAACCTTAGGCAATGGCTTCATTGGCCAAGTCGCAGCCAGAGAAGCCTGCGGTGTGGTCGTAGACCTCATCAAGGCTAAGAAAATGTCAGGAAGAGCGGTCATGCTAGCGGGTGGTCCAGGAACAGGAAAGACAGCATTGGCACTCGCTGTTGCGCAAGAGCTGGGTACGAAGGTGCCTTTTTGTCCGATCGTTGCTAGTGAGGTCTTCTCTGCAGAGGTCAAGAAGACGGAAGCTTTGATGGAGAACTTCAGAAGAGCCATTGGACTAAGAGTGAGGGAGACAAAAGAGGTCTACGAGGGCGAGGTCACAGAGCTCATACCTGAGGAGGCTGAGAATCCGCTTGGTGGTTATGGAAGGACTATATCACATCTTGTGATCACCTTGAAGAGCGCAAAAGGCACAAAGAAACTGCGACTAGACCCAAGCATATACGAAGCTATTCAGAAGGAGCGAGTCACAGTCGGAGATGTCATCTACATTGAGGCCAATACTGGCGCATGCAAACGAGTCGGCCGATCAGATGCCTATGCTACAGAATTCGACCTCGAAGCTGAAGAGTATGTACCAATACCGAAGCGAGAAGTACACAACAAGAAAGAGGTGGTGCAAGATGTCACACTACACGATCTAGATATGGCAAACGCGAGACCACAGGGTGGGCAGGATGTTATGAGCATGATGGGCCAGCTGATGAAGCCGAAGAAGACAGAGATTACGGACAAGCTGAGAGCAGAGATTAATAAGGTGGTCAGCAGATATATCGACCAAGGTGTCGCCGAGCTCGTACCTGGTGTGCTCTTCATCGATGAGGTACATATGCTGGACATTGAGTGCTTTACATACCTGAACAAAGCACTAGAAAGTCCAATATCACCTATCGTCATCCTGGCCTCGAATAGAGGTAACACGGTTATTCGAGGTACTCAAGACATAACTGGCGCTCATGGCGTACCTCCAGATCTATTGGCACGATTGTTGATTGTTCCTACTCATCCATACAACCCACAAGAAATCCAGCAGATCATCAGGATAAGATCGAAGATTGAGGCAGTTGCGATCTCAGATGCTGCATTACAGAAGGTGTCAGAACATGGTGCTAAGGTGTCTTTGAGGTACGCCTTACAATTGCTTACACCTGCGAGCATCTTGGCCAAGGTCAATGGAAGGCAGGAGATCAACCCAGACGATGTTGCTGAGTGTGAAGATCTATTCATTGACGCGAGGAGGAGTGCGAAGCTGTTTGAGAGTTCAGCTGGTTTTGTGAGTTGAAGGGTCAGTGGCAGCGAATGCCTGTGTACTAGGTAATGTGGAAGCTTCGAGTGATGTCTGTCTCTTAGGCGTTCATATTGTGTCCAATTGTCATGCAAGCGATTGAGGAGTTACTTCTACTACTATTCACGAACGAGGGAAAAATGGAATGGATGGAAGTTTAGTCAATGGTGAGACGATGAATATAGAAGACCAGCCGGAAGAAAGGTTTCTGGTGCTCGCTCAAAGAGCAAGAACGTCTTCGATAGTACCAAGTACGAACGTGTTCTCATTGGGAAAGAATTCGAAATCGAAGGTGTGAAGGTAATATTTTTGATCATCATTCTTTTTTGTCTACAAATTTATTGTCAGGTATTGAGCCTTGCGAAAATACTTTTGCGAACGACCTGTAGATGCCCACGTTAGCGAATTCCCTTCACATTTGCTATCGTGATATGTAGTAAACTTGTGCTCCAATCAGACATCCAAGGAAGGTATTGCAACGATCACTGACTCCTCTGAAAAAGGTTCTTGCGAGGGCTATCGTGGAAACTGCGAATGTGGAAAAGGTTTCATCATAAGAGGCTTCGTGTTGGAAAGGCGAGGAGAAGGAACGTACCATGTATGAGGTTCGGTCGCTGGGCTTTTAATTAACTGTTCCTAGATTACTTTAGCAATAGTTAGCAAAAGTTCGATATTGAGACCTTTAAATTGTATAGAAAGACTTCTCAGACAAACAATACTGGCAAGTAGCAGCTCGTCGAGGAAAGACGAACCGAGTGTATCTTCATGGACGATTCTGCGTTGTTAAAGAAGGAAGGTGTGGTTGACATCTTTGAAGAGGTATGAGAGATTGCGCGAAAACGAAATTCACTTACCATTGTTTGTCAGCTGAGATTTTTGAATCTCACAGGCCACCTGAAAAGCGTTGACAGTCGACGACCTGGACGAAGACGTGAAGGAAATGCATTGCTGGAAGTAAGACACGATTTATTACAGCAAATTTAATGATTTGCGGAAATCTGATGACGACGGCAGGTAGACCGAAACCCTAAAAGCTGTAAGTGTTGAAAACTTGCCGTTCCGTAGAAGGATCGAGTAGTGCCAAAGCAGCTACGAGTATCTTTCCTGTAAAGGAGCTACGTGGTAATGTACAACTTGCTGGTTGTCAAGCAAGCCGAGATACAGAGGTAGGACACGTTGGTAAACCGTGCCTGATCACCAGCGATACTCCGTATGATCAACCACGGACTGTCACCTCTACTACTCGTATTACTGATGAGGTTACGCATTGCACAAAACATCCAGAGCTTAGTGGAGGGGAACACATAAACAGCAACAACAACGACACAATCTGCGCTCTTTGCTTAATCGACCACAAGCCACTCGTTTTCGGTGTCGATCTGAAGTTGAGATTGCGCGACTCACCACTCTCGCACTCTCGCACTCTCGCATTCTCCCGGCCCCGTCCCATTCGACTCCCGATAAGTCTGAGTCGCACCAACACACTACACGCCACGCGACAAACTCTTCACACACTTCTCGACAAACATTGCCGATATGCGCCGAAGATAGTGGTCAACCATCGACGACTTTCCGGTCGATCGGCAGTCTCCACGTGCACGAGCACAAGCACTCTGACCACGCTCGACACGACGTAATTCTTGCGACTATCTCGTACACCGAGAGCCGATCGCGAGACGACACACCTACGATCTCTACGAATGCCGCCCATGTGAGGGTCAGCATCGAGGCATACGCGCACTCCAGCGCCATATCAAGATACCTTGTGGGTCGCGGCACATCCTCTAGCGATATCGCACGTCAAGCACAACCTCGAGGCTCGTGATCGCAGCGCATGCGACCAGCTTATTGTCCCAGTAAACTAGAGCTCAAGACTATCCCACTGCAAAGATGATGGCTACTCCATATCCCGCTCAAGCTGGCATGGGTCCTGGGCACCCGGGCATGGCGCATGGTCATCCTATGCAGGTCCAACACGGAGCACATATGGGCCAGCCAAATCCTGCCATGATGGCTGCCATGCATCCTGCTATGTCCGGGCCTCAAGTCACCCAAGGTGGTCCTATGGCCTCTGGCATGCCAACCAATCCAGGTACTCCTGCACCTGGTGGCCCTATGCAAAATGCTATGGCGATGGCACACCTGAGTGGTCAAGGGCCCATCTTTCAAAATCAGCACCCAGGCATGGGTGTAAATCAGATGCAACAGATGAACGCTAACATGATCGCTCGACAACGCGCCATCAACATGATGGCTTCGCAGAACGGTCAGCATGGTATGATGCATATGCAAAACATGCAGAACATGCAGAACATTCCTATAAATCCCGCTCAGATGCATCAAATGAAGGCCATGAACATGCCTATGCAACAGATGCAGCAAATGCAGCACATGACCCCACAGCAGCAACAGAGTTTCATTCAACAGCAACAACAATATCAGACCCAGCAGCGTATGCTGGCACAACATGCCGCTAATCAGCAACAAATGATGAGTCGACAGGCTCAGGCACAACAGCAGCAGCAACAACAGCAACAAGCGCAAGCCAGTCAACAGATGCAAATGAGCAGATCTCAGGAACCAGTAACACAACCACCGCAACCTCAACCAACACCAGCACCACAAGCTCAGGTCCAGCCACAAGCCCAATCTCAACCAGCTCCTCAAGCACAACAGCAAACACCACAACAGAAGCCACAGCAACCACCACCTCCGACTACGCAGCCACAGCAGCAAAACGTAACCACGCCACAGATCAAGCAGGGTGATCCTGACGATGAAGTGCAGACGAAAGCAGAAATCAACAAGCAGCAAATTCTACTAGATGAATCTTTGAGAGGCCAAACTCAAGACTTCAGTGGTCAGTGTATTCTGCAACTCTTGTCATACTACGATAGTCTTGCCTGTCCGCAAAGGCCTTATGATCTCGACTATTGGCAAGAAGTAATGGCGAAGTACTACTCTCCCCTGGGCTCCGTCCGTCAGCAACTTTACAACGCCAAAACGCATAGCGACAAATCCTTTCAGCTGAGGTACCCTTCCTTGGCTCGTTTCTACCATTCACATTTCAGACATGGCATCAAGAAGATCTTCATGCAGTCGTTCGAGCACTCGCAAGGGGCGTTGCCAAATGGCGGCTTTCACGTATGGAGCAAGAAGCTATATGTCACCTACGAATATGATGACGGTGTGAGGATTATGACCCACGGCGAACTGAACGTGAATTTTGACGAGATGCAAAAAATTGAGCACTTGCATGTAGCAGTCAAAGGCTGGACAGAATTCGTACCACGAGCGATGTTGGAGCCACAATCACCTGAACAAAGTCGACAAAGTCCAAAATTGAGCAAGAAGAACTTGCCAAAAGCCCAGCCGCGGCCAATGCTGCGACGATCTCCTGTCAACGAATGGGGTGTTCCACCCAACATGTTACAATTTTTAGAGGTATGTTAACGCACATAGAAGCGGTATAGTACGTATTCTGATATCAATTGCAGATCGCCGAAGTCATGACCACCATGGAACCACTCATGGAATACTACTGTACTCATGCAGTTGGTGGACCCAGAGAAGCGTTCAACAGGTTGTCTGCTGAAAGACAGGAGTACCAAACGAGACTCCAGAATGCAAACGCTGCCGCTGCGAACGGACAGATACCGTTCCCGAACCAGCGAATGGTGGCCATGAACCCACCAAATCAGTTCCAATCACCTGCTCTAGCGCATCTTCATCTGCCTCAGAACCAGCATTCGCCGACCATGAATCATACACCTAGCCCTGGACACCCAAGTCAAGGCGGCATCCAGATGGTTCACCAGATGTCCGCTCAAGGCTCAAATCTTAGCGGTAGTCAAGGACCAAGCACTAATACCAGTCCGAATGTGACTAGTAAGAGGCGAAGGGCCAGCAATATCAAAGAAGAAGAGACTGCCGCAGCTGTGGCGGCAGGGAACGAAAAGACGAAGCCCAGTCCACGTGTCAACGCGAAGCGGCAGAAAGGAGCACCGGCCTAGTACGCCAGTGACCCTGTTTTCCTGCCAATAGATGACTTTGTCTCTGACTGGGGCAGAATTTGAGCGTTTGGATATAAAACGTTTTACCTCAGGACGTTCTGGTGTTTGGGAGCATAGAGCCCACGTACGCTCACGGAAAGAACGGATACGACACGACCTCGACATGAACCATCATGTTGATTTTGATTACTGATTGGAGTAGGAGAACATGGGAGGAAAATCTTGTATTATATATTGTTCATGTTTATGTTTAACCTGGATTTCCTGCATAGCACTGGGATTTTTGAACGCATGAAGAAATGGTCAGGCTGGCACGAGGGCGCGATGCTCGTGTACTCACTTGACTGATGATATCTATCTATCTACCTTAATCCTCATGCAACCTGTTCAATCTAATAGATACTCATTTTAGACATCTCAGATCGTGATTTGGTAATTCTACAACCTCTCTGCTGTATGTGGCTGTGTGGTGAAGCTTCTAAAATTGTGCATCAAGAATCTGGTACTTAAAGACCCGTTGATCTTCATTCAAGCCTGCTGTCAAGCTCTCCCTTTATTGTCGCTGAAGTGGCAGGAACGATCGACCAACCATGAATTCCTAAGCTAGAATATGATCATACTCGTGAAATTAAATTTACTCACATCGTGATATCAGTGGTCTCTATCTCATTTTATTCGACTGCTCAAGCACGATGCTTGCAAACTACTAAACATGACTTTCGGAATGACTCAACAACCTACAAAAACGAGATGCCTGACCAACTCCTAAAACTTATTCAGTTACGATAGATTCACTCATATATCGACACAATAAAACCATGCCACCTCACGCCCTACCCAAATCACCACCATCTACATCTACCTCCTCCAAAACCACATTCATCATAGGCCTGTCCGGTCCATCCTCCTCCGGCAAAACCACCCTCGCCCGCCTCCTCCGCCAAATCTTCAACATCAACCCGGGCTCCTCCAATCGTACTAGTCCTCTCCGCCTCTTCATCCTCCACGAAGACGATTTCTACAAAACCGACAAATTGATCCCCCGGGACACCTTCACATCAGCAGAACACGGCGAGCGCGAACTCGACGACTGGGATTGTGTCGAGAGTATCGACTTACCGTTGTTGAAACGGGTATTGGGGCATGTTAAGCGGTGTGGAGTTGGGCCGGATGATTTCGCGAGTAAGGAGGATCAGAATACGGTTGGGGAGAGTGGTGTTGATGAAGGGGAGGTGCGGGAGTATCAGGGGAGGGTGAGAGAGTGGGTTGATACATTGAATATGGGATTGGATTCTGGTGCTGGCGCTATTAATGGAACGGCGACAGTTAACGTATGTATCCTCGATGGCTTCTTGCTATACCCGGATCCAAACTCCAAGCATGGAAGTCAGGAAAAAGAACTCTACGAAATTCTAGACCCACTACTTGATTTAAAGCTGTTCTTGCCGAGTTCACGGCAGAAGACGATTGAGCGAAGGACGAAACGGACTGGATATGTCACGCTTGAGGGGTTCTGGGCTGATCCGCCGGGATATGTGGAGGATGTGGTGTGGCCGAATTATGCACGGGACCATGCGTGGCTTTTTGATGGTGGAGACGGGGATGGTTCAGAAGCCTCAAGGCAGCAGGCTATTGATGATGGTCGAGTGGATAGAGATGTTGCGGCGAGACATGGTGTACACATTGGACCAGGCTCGGGTGATGTGCATTTGAGGGAGATCTTGCCGTGGGCTATTGAGAAGATAAGGGTTGTGCTTGGACAGGCAGCCACTTGATGGAGTGAAGGTCAGAGAATCACTTCACTGGATCCGGTTGTCATCGGAATCATGATCGCGATTCTGCGTCTCAACTGCTTCACCAGCCCCGGGGAGTGCGCTGGTAAGAATTTCAATAATAATGATATACATACGCAGCTATATGCCTGGAAAGAAGTGGTTGATTATTTCCAGCACAAGCTGATCCTGGGAAAGTACGATGACTGCATCAGCTCCACGATCGCTTTCATCAGTATCATGAAGCAAAAAGGACACGACAACCAGTGGTCGCTTAGAGAAGCAAGAGAATGGACAAGACACAAATCTCTATACTTCACAATCGCTATGCATTTCATTATCTTATCTCTAATTCCTAACCTTGACAGTATCAAGCACCTGATCCGCCTCCTTTGCACTCTTAAACCCCCACTTCGGCGCCTTCCTCTTCCTGCCCTTTCTATCACCATACTGCTCATCAAACTTCTTGATCTCCCTCAAACTGCTCATATCTTGACTGATACTAGCTCCAATCTCCTCAAGTGCCTTTTCGAAATGGTTGGCTGTCAACACTCTCTTCTCGGGATATTTGTATTCTTCCTGCTCGTCTTCGGGTTTCGATGCTTGGGCTGCACGGAATGTCGCAGCGGCTTCGTTTTCTTCGCGAACTGCGTTGAGAGCTGCTGCGACGGCGACGTTTTTCAGGTCAGAGCCGGAGTAGAAAGGTGTTTTCTTGGCAAGATCTGCGAGGTCAACGTTGCTATCGAGCTCCTCGTTTCGGAGGTGGATTTGCAGGATCTTCAGTCTGTCCTGTTCGGTTGGTAGGTCCACGAGCAAGCGGCGAGGAAGACGACGAAGGACTGCATCGTCGAGATCCATTGGTCGATTCGTGGCCACCATCAGGAAAGCGCTACCGCTATCGTTGGACATGCCGTCCCATTCTTTCAGGAACTGATTGAGGATTTCGCGATGTGACGCTCGCTTGCCCGTTGAACGAGCTGAGAACATGGCGTCCGCTTCGTCGAGGAAGACGACGCAAGGACTGAGTTTTCGAGCGAGTGAGAAGAGGGCTTGTACATTCTTCTCACCTTCGCCAACATACATGTCGTTCAGATCTGCAGCGGAAACTTCCAGCATGGTGGCGCCAGATTCCTTTGCGACAGCTTTTGCAGCTAGAGTCTTACCAGTTCCTGGTGGGCCGTAGAGTAGCAGACCAGGTATACGATCAGACTTGAGAACACCATAGCTGAATGCTTCCGGTCGTTGCAGGGAAAGTGTAGTGAGCATCTTTAAAGCTTCAACTGTGTCAGCAGGTATATGAATATCACTAAAAGTAGTCGATATCTTGTTTGGCTCTACCACGCCACTTAGCAACTTCTTCTCGTGTCGAGTCGTAGAAAAGCGAAAACGTCGAGCGGGTTTGCTGTCTTGTCTTTCTCGTTCCTTCTCTGCTTCTTTCTGTTCCTGCCTTACAATATCTGGCTGATTGCGTTGTGCCCATGCGACCTTGCTCTCATCACTTGCTATCAGAATCTGACAGGCGTCTTCGATAGGCGTGGCAGATTGCATGCCAGCGATAAGTGCAGCTATCCTTTGAACCTGGACGAAAGGCCAATACTGCCCTGACAAGGCCTCAAAGTCACGTTCACCCATTTCTTGTCTAAAGTCTGTATTCCAGAAACCATCTTCTAGTCCATGTAGAAGGACGCCTCTGCTCTTAAGCACTTGGTGTAGATGTCGAGCATTCACGGTCCTTATGCGAGCTTTGCGGTCCTCACCACTCAGAGCTACTTCGGCCTCTCGCGTAGGAAAGACAGGTGTCAATATGATCGCGGTCGAAACACCATAGGATTTGTTTTCCTGTACATCGAGGATACTGCGAGGTGAGCTCGATTTGTGGAAGTCGGATCTTAACGAGTCGGTACCGATAATCATGATAGGCTGGCCTTGGGCTCTTCGTTTGTCGGCAGCAATCAACAACTCGCCCATGAAAGCTTCGGCCATCTGGTGTTGCTGAAGTAGCCTATAGTTCTCGAAATGGACGACAAGTGGTCTTTGAGTAGAGAGATCTTCCTCTTCAGGTTGGTGCTTTTGCTGCTGATCGTCGGTATCGTTTCTTTTTTTCTGGGGCTCTCTCATCTTCTGTGCTTGTGTACTTGAGGAGAGTATAGACTGTACTATCGAGTCGAACATGCCACCTGCTCTCTGGTCCGTATCCAATTTCATGAATTGTGGCCCATCGCCCATGGATCGATTGCGATTTCGCATAGGTCCACCCATACGATCTAGTGATTCAAATATGCCAGCAAATGGTCCTTTTCGACCTGAGGCTGATACGAAAGAGCCGATAGGTATTTCGATGCTTGGAGGCCCTGAATCTCCATCGTCATCCTCCTCGTCGCCATCCTCGTCTTCACGTCGCGGGAACATGAAGTCCTGAGTATCGGAAGAACCATATAGATCTTTATACAATCTGAAGCTCAGACGGCCCCCAGACTCCTTGATCTCTGGGTCAACTTCGGCCCCAGCCATAAGCTCCGAGATGTCCTGTGCGTCTAGGCGGACACGATCAGCTCCGACAGTACTGCATAGATCAAGGACAAGAGCATTAAGTAATAGTTCGGAATCAGGTGCGCCGTGTAATATGGTGAGGTGATTCATGGCGAAGGCTTTGTTGCGGTCCTTGGAAGACTTCGCTGGAGACGAGAAGCGTCCCTTGAAAGTGTTTACGAGCTCTTCGTACTGAGCGGCCTCAATGAAGTAGCGATCGTTAGATAACGATTTTGTGTTCGTTATATAGGATGTGGGAACAATAGGCGTGGGCTTTGGACTGTCGGGACGTGGAGGAGGCTCTCTGCCTTTGGCCAAAGAACGTTTCTTCTCGTCAGTTTCAGCCTTTGTAGATTCTTGAACGGGCTTCTGAACTTGCTCTTGAGGTTGGTCTAGGCTCGTTACATCGGAAGTAGAGATCCCATCTGCTGGCTGGGTTGTGGTAATTGCATCGACGGTCGCATTAGCTCTAGGTTCGGAGAGGACGATATTGCTGCTATAAAACCATTTGGGAACACCCTCTTTCTTTGGAGCCAGCTTTTGTTCGTGGGCTCTCCTACGCCTCTTCTGCCATGAACCATGATGTTTGGACTCTTGCGGTTTACTATCGTCGTCACTCACATCTTTCGAAGGTTGCTTGGGTGAATATGCCCATTGATGAGCGATCTCTACCATAGGAACTGGCTCATGGTGCATATGATGCTGAGGGTTTTCGGAATAGAAAAATGGATAAAGGTCTTGATTTGAAAGTCGATCTTGAGGTTTCTCGGAGCGGTCTTTCAAGTGAGTGGGAAGGTCTTTCACATGTTCGATCCATGTAAACCCTGCCGGTGGCTTGCTGTCAGCAGGCTTGTTATCCTGCTGCAATGCTGCGATGGCTTGCAGTTCTTGCTCAGACAGGGCCGGCCAGTACCTCCCCCGAGCAGACTTTCCATCGTTTGCGACAGGTGCGTTCTCTTGCTCAGGCTTGGGAAACCATGGACCTCTAGGAATCCACGAAGGCCATCCTTTCGATGTGCCTTGAGTGTTGTCAGGGCTTGAAGCTGGATTCGATTTGGCTTGTAATCGCGTATAACTGTTGAAGGATCGAACGACGAGGCGCGATGTGGGAGGTGATCGGTACGAGATTGACCGCAAGATTCTTTGAGCACCTCTCAGCTCTGGCTGTAGGCTGGAATACATCCGCAGATTTTGGTAGTACCTGAAGCCTGGGTTTACAAGAGATGCGTAGATTTATTCCAGGCTGAAAGACACTGGGTGAACGTTCCCGGTAATAATTTACACGATAATTACGCGTCAGATACAGACAACTCGCCACAAATATTCTATGAAGGCAAAGCAGAATTGGACTATTTCGCTGATTACTATTCAAGGCTACTACTGCTGAATCGCACGGATTAAGAAAGGGAATGCCGCCAGTTCTATGTGAGAGTTGCCAGACTGGTCGCGCTGTAATCGTGAGACCCAAAAACTTGTCGAAAATCTGTAAGCCATGTTTCCTAGCGATCTTCGAACGTGAGACGCACGAAACCATCGTTGGCAGTAAACTCTTTCAACGAGGTGAACGCATAGCCATCGGTGCTTCCGGTGGCAAGGATTCGACTGTCCTCGCGTCTATACTGAAGACACTCAACGAGCGTCATGATTATGGATTGGATTTATGCTTGCTCTCCATTGACGAGGGCATCAAAGGATACAGAGACGATAGCCTGGAAACAGTGAAGAGAAACGCAGTGCAATATGACATGCCACTGGAGATAGTGGGCTACGATGAGTTGTATGGCTGGACCATGGATCAGGTCGTTGCTCAGATTGGCAAGAAGGGCAATTGCACGTATTGTGGCGTGTTCAGACGACAGGCACTCGACCGAGGTGCTGCCAAGCTAGGTATCAAGCACGTCGTCACAGGTCATAATGCAGACGATATCGCTGAAACTGTGATGATGAACTTGCTGAGAGGTGATTTGCCACGACTCGCTCGTGCTACTTCTATCGTCACGTCCAGCGCTGCAAGCGATATCAAGCGGAGCAAGCCACTCAAGTATGCTTATGAGAAAGAAATCGTCCTGTATGCCTACCACAAGAAGCTCGATTACTTCAGTACCGAGTGCATATACAGCCCCGAGGCCTTTCGTGGCAGCGCTAGAGCGTTGATCAAGGACTTGGAGAAGATACGCCCGAGCAGTATTCTTCATATCGTCAAAAGTGGTGAAGACATGGCCGCCTTGGTACCGCCTGAGCTTAGTACTGCTGTTGCCTGCTCTGGCGACAATGAAGAGGCAGCCACAGGATGTGGATCGACGAATGGCAGATCCAGTGGTGGTGAGATGGCAGTGCTGGAGAAGCGTTTGGCTGTGGAAGAAGCCGCACAATATCGTGAGACAGAAATCGTTCTACCAGCCAACGGTAATTCCTTGGTTCAGGAAACATTGCAGGTAAAGGGTGGGAGTTCGATACACGATAAGAAGAAGCCAGCACGTAAGAAAGTCGTGAAGCAGGTCATGGGTCGATGCGACAAATGTGGCTATTTGTCTAGTCAGAGCATTTGCAAAGCCTGTATGCTTCTCGATGGTCTCAATAAGGCTCGACCTACCACTGAGATTACTGTCAGTGCTGAAGAAGAAGAAGGTAGCACGACACTGATGCGCCACGTCGCAGCTCTGGAGATCGGTGCGTCCTGAACCCAAACTTTTCACGACCCTTTCGTCCTTGTCCGCCGCTTTTTCAGAACCAAACCCATAGTAGCGGTCAGGAAACCCCACAATGATGTGCAGAACCACATGAGGAACAGCCAAAATCGGGTGAAACATTCCCACGGGTTTGCAGGCGGCCTCTTGGTTGGAAGAGACCACCAATCGACAAATTCAAAAGGCAACATCGCCCCAAAGTGGTCCTGGGCGACTCTTAGCCCACTGTCGAAGCATTCCTCGTGCAAACCATGTCTCGTCCATGCACCGCAATAGCTGATCCCTCGCTTATTCTGGATGTTGTGCAACAATTTCTGTGCCTTTACCGTTTGAGCGTCATACACTGGATGAGAGTATTCATCGATCCTCCGAATCAAGTCTGGACAAGGTGGGTGAATTGGATTGACTGTCAGAAGGAGCGGGTCAAAGTGCTCCTCTGGGATCTGTTGCAGTCTATTCAAGCAGTACGTTAAACACATTTTGGACGTGCTGTGAACCTCCTGGCGTGGCAACGGCGTTTCATCGTCATGATTGGAAATAGTACAGACAGTCGGTTGCTTGGGCAATAACGAAGTATCAGCATGAAGCACGGCAATACTTTGAGTTGTTCGAAAACACTCGAGGATCTCCCTTTCTTGTGGCGTCGCGGAATCTCCAAGCAGGTCCAAGGCTCGGTCTGCCTGCACTGCCAGGATAACATGGTCGAAAAGAAACTCTTCAGTTTTTGTCCGAAGCAAGACCTTGCCGTCCACCTCAGGCACCACTTCCGTAATCTCGGTCGCTGTATGCTTACAGTCGTCTGGGTGATCTTCTGTCACAGCACGGATAAATTGTGCGGCACCTCCCGGTATCGTCACCCAGTCTGGCTCGTCATCACGGTACAACTCGTGGTTCCACAGATATTTGACCAGCGACGTGACTGGAAAGTCCATCAGAGCTCTGTCAGGGGCCATGCTCCAGAGTAGGGGAATCAGGTAATCATATTTAAAGGATGGCGAATAGTGTTCGCTATCCAGGTAGTTGCCGATGCTTACGTGCTGGTACTTCAGGGCTAGCCTTCCATTGGCTGTTTCGGCAGTGTTTTTGTGGTTCTCGGCCTCGCCAGTAATCAGATCTTTGACAAAGCACCAGAAACGGAATCTTTCGAAGAGTAGGGTCCACGTACATGTGTCTGGGAAATTGTGATTCTTCCTGTTCATGGTCTCGAAACAGCTGGACACCCATCGGGGACCGCAGTTATCCCTGCTCACAGCAAAAGAGATTTCAGTTTGTTGGGTAGGGACTCCGACATGGTGCAGAAAGCGAATGAAGTTGGCTGCTCTTGTTAGAACGCTTACTGGCGCTGCAACAGTCAGGTCGAACTCACAATATGAATGTCTATACATTGTCATAAATCCGACGTCGATTGAGGTACTAGGCCCATTGGTTATATTGATGGTGCTGGTATGGGTGTGGCCTCCAAATCGACCGGCCTTCTCGAAGATATGGACTTTGTGGTCTGTATGGCTCAATGCCCAAAGAGCAGCTATACCGGAGCAGTCACTCCCCACAATAGCGATTCTCTTGCCCATTTTTGGAGGACTTTCATGAGGTTCTTCCAGCACTGTGTACAGTGGATGAGTCTGACGGATCGAATGTTCCTCAACGGACTACGTTCTTGGCCTTGATATGTTCGCCATGTTCTTCACCATGTTCTTCGCCATGGCTGCAGCGAAGGGCCAGCAGCCACGCTTTTGAGTCGTAGACCGACTAGTGATAGAGCAGATATTTTACAAACAAAGAAATACGCGTTAATTATTCGAGCACATTTGGGCTCCAGAGTTGAACTCTGTACCAGTACCATGAAATTGTAGTCCCAGTAATATGCAGACAGGAACGCGTCTGGAAGTGGCTGCTTTTGGCGTACCAGTAAAGCAGGCACGCTAGCGCGCCGGATCACATGGCTCGAGTGCCACTGCCGGGTTTGTAGTCTGTCAACTCACTTTCCTCCAGCATCTGCGTTTGCACTGTGATAGAAAGAGCAACCACGCGAGCTCAAGTTACATGTACACCGGGGAACATCAGGAAACACAGAACAAGTAGATATCGGCATCTCAATACCCGCCAGATCTTCGCGCAGTCCCCTCATCCTCAGACCGTTAACGGCGAGCTTTCGTTCCTTCACCTACCACGTCGCAGACTGTTATTGCGCAGGCGATCCCTTGACAGAATCCACGCTCAGACATGGCAAATCACTTAGACACAGATGCCGGCTCGGAGTTGTTCAGCAATTATGAAGCCGAACTCAAATTGGTCCAGGCAGACCTCAATCAGAAGCTCGACCAAGTGGAAGAATTAGCCGGTGAAGAGCGCAAATCTGCGCTTCGAGGTGCAGAGAGAGCGCTGGACGAAGCAAAGGAGTTGGTAAGTACGCCTACACGGAGGTTGCAACGAGAGTCAGAGAGTCAAATCTGGGACAAGGGCAACACTAACGTCGTCCTTACAGCTCGACCAGATGAACCTCGAGAAAGCCAACATTCCGACCTCAACTCGCTCAAAGGCGAACCAGAAATATCGTAATGCTCAGACAGATATAGACACCTTATCTCGCAGGCTTAAGACCATTGCCCAACAGTCCTCAGACAGGAAAGCACTATTTGGAGACCGATACACAGACGACCCGGACTCGCGCGATGCAGCCCTCGAACAACGTCAACAACTACTGTCCGGAACCGATCGTCTGGGACGTTCATCACAGAGATTACGAGACAGCCAACGTGTGGCGCTTGAGACGGAGGCTATAGGAGCCAGTACGCTCGCTGATCTGCACCAGCAGAGAAATGTGATTGAGCATACCCACCAAAACTTACAACAGAGCGAGGGTTATGTCGATCGCAGTGTCAAGACGTTAAGAGGAATGGCTAGGAGGTAAGTACAATTTTATGAAAAGAGGAATCCCCTGCTGACTTATGCGAGGATGGCTACCAATCGGATAATTACAATTGCCATCATAACCGTATTGGTTTTGCTGATTATCGGAGTCATTTACAGCAAGTTTAGATGATCTGGTGTGTACATTATCTGAAGCGATTGAGGAAGCACTATCGGCAAGCTTCCAGACGTCTGTCGAGAATGAATTAATGAACTTTGTCCATAAATACTGACTTAGGGCGCCCTAATGTACATATCCTATACCCCTTGTTGACGTCCATCGCAATCCGAGGTGCTGTCTTTTGCAACTTTGTCTCCCTGGTACATACACCCAGTCACTTCCGCGACCTCCTAGCCGCGCATTGCTCGAGCCTTGCGTTGTTTCGCCTTCCTCTGTTCTCGAGCCTTGGCACTTACAAGTTCTTCTGGGTGCTTTGCTACCTTCGCTCTCACTTCGTCAATCGTAGGCAAGGTAATGAGGCTTCCAGCGTCGAATATTGGTTTTCCCCACCCATTCTTTCTAGCCTCAGCTTCAACTTCTGCCGCACAAAGTGTGCTACTGGGGCCGACTAGCACAAGGGTCCGACGTCGAGGCCACCGCGGCTCTAATGTTTCCGGCACGTATGCTTTACCGCGCAGAAAGCTCTCCCAGGTTCCCACTACCAAGTAACCGCTTGCGCCGAAGCGATAGCGCTCGGAGTGATTACGAGGGTTCTGCGTCACGACAAAAGCAGAGTCGTTCACGTTTCGACCGTAATGTATACTCGACTGCTCGATTGTTATCTGTTCCAGGCCGGAGAATTTTCTCAGCATTTCCTGGACGTCACTGTCGTACTGAGTGTAGAATCGCGAGCCTAGCCATTCATCGATGGTGATTTTCCGGACCATGGCTATTCGTCGTGCTCCGACGTCGTTAACGAAGTTGCGTACAGCACTGAGACTTCTGAATGTGAACTCCTGGTTTGTGTAGAAGAAGTCCTCGACATCGTTGCGGATCAATCGATTGATGTGTAGCAGGCATAGAGTTGTCCTGCTGACGTTCTTTCCGATGGCATGGTTGGCATAGATGGTGACTGTACCCTTGCTTTCTATGAGTAATGCGTATATCATTAGTTGAATTTCGGCAGGTAGATTGGGGAACGAGGTTGGCTGTTTCGCAATTTCGACGGCTGTTGAGCCATCGCTACAGGCTTGAGGGTGAACTTCCATTTCCTTTGATAATTTGCTGTGCTCTGTCCCACATCAAAACCATAGAGTGAATAACGATTTACCAGTACTTTTATACTCCATTTCTTATGGTCGAAGATGAAGAACTTCCGGATGAGGGAGGAATGTTAAGCATTTTCTGATTGGCCAGAGCCTGCGACTGCCTGAAAACTTATGGAGGTGTTCCAAGAAAAGGCAGGCACCACTACTCCGTAATGAAGCTTGCCACTAGGCTACCGAGACAGAAAGGCTCAGGCTTGCAACGACCTACACAACCATCATTGCCAGCTCTAGTATTGAGATGAAATCTGTGCAGATTTGAGCACCTGCATGACCACGATATATATAGCTCAGGAAGAGACTTGTCCTTCCGTAAGTCTATATGTAGATAAACAAGTACTTCGTTATATACTATTCGACCGACCGCAAAGCTGGCCCGCGTTCATGTCGGCATGGTTTTGCAAGTTCTTGGAAATTTTGTAGGGAAAGTAGCCGCATAACGCAATTTACTGCTTGAAGCCGAGATGCAGACGATCATCGTCGATGACTCTTGCATACCTTTACGCCATCAGTAAACCATGTTCGTCGGCTTTTGGGAGTGATTGCACTTACTCAAGTAGAAGTCGAAACATGTATACTTCCATGTCTTCTTTTCGAGCAACATTCTTGACCCACTCATGCCCTTCAATTGCTAGTCTTTCAGCAGTTCTGCGACCATCGTCCTCTTCTTCAAAGAATCGTAAGATCTCATCGTACTCATCCGTTGTAGCTGTCAATGGTACAAAATGTTTCCAAGGTATAATTCTAGACATGTGCCACTCACGATAGTAGGCGACTTTGAGCGGCAGGCTCAGACTCTCTAAGAGTGTGTAGAATCGACCACTGAGAGCATTACCGTCCATGTCTAGAAGATATCGGTTGGTCCAGGCTTCCTTTTGTGGGGCCAGGGCGTTTGAGCCAAAGAAATCGCGCATCTCTGCGCAGTCCTCAGGTGCACACTGCTTTATTTCCGTGAATTTTGGTGTCGTAGCGACGTGCAACCGTTTCTCGACTGGTCAATTGAGCCTTCCATCGTGGCACGCTGCCATCAAAGTCGGTATTCTCATGGACGAGAATACGGGTCTCTCCGTCAGGTCGTAATTTGGCTAGTATAGACTGTCGGAGCAAGGAGCGCCATGTACCGCCTTCGCTGTACCCACTACTAGTCGCGCCTCGCCAGTACAGCTTTGGGGCTTTTTTGTTCCATTGAACCGAGTCCGACATGTCATATTTGGTCTTTCCGGCATAGTAGTATGGTGAGGGATAGAGGGTATCGTGGAAGGTAGACAACTTAGACGGCGAGAAGACAGGCAATAGGTCGTGCGAGACAGAAAAAACGTTGGGCTTGTTGAAGAGCCCGATGACCTTACGTACAGATGGAGATAGGCATATATCCGAGAACGTTGCGATATTTTCGACAAAGGTCAAGCCTCCAACCTTCAACCCGAGCTCCGCTTCTTCGGGGTTCAGACCAAGGCTTCTTGCCGGGCTACTTGGCGGACAAGACATTCGCGCATGAGTAAAAGTCTGTTGGTGGTCAAGTCGATTGAAAGGACTGTCTGACGCTGACTCGAAGCTTGTCTCGTCTTCAAGGTCGTGTGGCTCACTGAATGCATTTTTTGTTGCCCGTACAGAGTTCTTGGATAGAGCAGCCGCTGAAAGAAGTCGTCCTACGTCTTTGTGCGGAACAAGCACTCGAGGCTCATCGTTCACATTGAAGGCAAGATCCATGTCAGGTAGCCATTCGGAGAACTTTGATAGCATTTCTCGAGTCGCTACGGCCTGGAATTCGTCCTGTCCATCTCCAATGATACGGACCTGGCCTTTTCGTGTCGATGCACCCATCAATGAATTGTCATGACCCAGAATCTCGCGTGCTCGTCGCCGAATGAGTTGTGGTTCCATACCTCAGAAAAGGTTCAACGAACTGGCTATCTCGTCGAACTCATCTATCAACTCCGTACCACGTTGTGTAGCAAACTCGTACCATCTGTCGAAATGTGGAGGAGGGGCAATCGAATATCGACGTTGGTACTCGTCTATCGCCATCGTCAGCGTTCTGGATTGACGACTTTGTAGGGACGAAAATTGAGCATTCGCAAGCTCGACGAGATATGATATAGGATGCACTGTGTCGTTGTTTATCATTAAAGGCTCTAGTGGTGGATAGCCTCGTGCTGCTTTATCAGCGTTGCGTATTGCTAAAACAAGGCACACGGATAAAGCACACAGCAACGGGACGAAACACAACACATAGATTAGACTCCATCTCGTTGATTTCGTCCTCGATAACGCCGAATTGAAGGACATTTTTGTCTCCGGGGACTGGTTATCATGCGAGGCTAGAGGTGTATATTTGAGCTGTTCATGGCGTGGTGTTGCAAATATGCGACCTGGAACTCGTGCAGGCTGCGACATTGCTTGTTGGTTGAGAGACGAAGGTCTTTCGCTCATATCCAGGAAGTCTCCTTCGTAGTAACTGTCGCATTACAAGATCGTAGTGCTGGTTAGCAGTAAAACATCTCCCTTCGTTTCAGGGCCATAGGTCTCCCATCTGTGATTACTCGACATCTCAAGACGTTTGCAGCCGCAAACAGAGTCCACACAAACCCTGAACATCAGTTTCATGGCCCAGATTATCAGCTGTCCATAATATAGCACCTCCATCGCAACCTTCCTTTGTTGACGGTTGTGGATCTTGTGAGCATGTGCAAACGTCTTGACTTCACGGGGTAGAACTGACCCTAGATCAATGACCCGAAAGCGGAAACGCATGCGATGTTCGACATCGATCATCCAGTGACCATGCTCATGTGGTCCGTGTCAGCAGCTGAAAACAAAATAGAGTCACCACCAGCACTGACGACTCTATTTCGTCTACCTTCGTCCTGCATTGATATCACAATGTATGGCGGCAATCGTTTCTGGCAGGGGGATTTTTTCGAGCAGGGTGACCTGAATCATTATGTGATCTCATTCTCTGCTGCTTGCAACAAATATGACAGTCTTGGCGCTTGCCCATACCAAGGTTCAGCGCAAGCTCACTAGTCGGAACTGATGCTCTTGTATTCAACCTGACGGAAAGCAATGCGTGGTGTTGCCTAACGTGAGTCTGTTACTTGTAATGCTCCACCCTTAGCTAGACCATTGCTCTGTGGGTATCAACTTATCGGGTCCACCAGGAGACCAACATCAGTAGGCAATACCATTTTCCGTAGCAGTATCATCGACAAAATTCTGACTAATATCTTTGAACCTCAATATTGAACATCGAACCCCTTCCGCAGGCTATACTCGCAGCATGATAAAAGTTAGTCCTGCGGCAACAACTGAGCGACCAACTGTCTGGGCTGGAATGCTACAAGTCCGCTGGCAACTTACCGATAGTGCTGTGGTCGCCCTTCAGAGCCAAGAAGCAAGCAGTCTCCGTAGTGCCTCTGCAAGTATCTCTGCGACAACGAGAAGGGCAACCGCAATGTCAGTCACTCCGGCATCGTCTTCATCTCAGCGTGCTCCAAGTCCAGGTCGCATGAACATCCCACTGGCGCTCAAGCTTGAATGGACACAAGAGCAGCTGCGCCATTGATTCTCGTCGTCGTTGGTTTTCACAATGTGCAACGTAATGGGCTGATGGAGAGCTTGAACCGTGTCATTGTGCTATGAGAGTTAGGTCGCTTGTGATTGGCCGGCTTGAAACAGCTGATCAGGGGACTAACAAGCGTTTGGCGGCCTGAGGCAGGTGATCAAAAACAGTGCCTGTGACTGGCCACATTGAGAGCGAAGTGAGCATGTCCCCGGAGAGCCCGATGAGGAATTACATGTAGACCCAGGCAATCGATCAAGTCAATCCTCCCTGACTGCAGCGCCGAAAAAACGTCGACAGTATGTTAAGACGACATATCGATTTCCTACAGAGCAATCTCGGCTCAACTCGTGTCTAGCCCTCAGTCTTCCTCTTGTACATTAACTTGGTACTCTTCGGCTGCTCACCACTACCCCTCTGACCAGTCTTCTGCCATCTCTTTCTGCTAATCCAGTGACCCTCGGTTGTCTTCCAGGCACTCAAGATCAAATCTACTGTCTCTTTCACGCCGATACCATTCTTGATCACTGCTCTTACCACCGGGCCACCCTCTCTTATCTTCTTCGCTTCGATCTCCATCATATCAACATCTGCACCCACAGCATGCGCCAGATCACACTTGTTTATCACAAGCAGGTCAGACCCTGTGATTCCTGGACCTCCTTTTCTCGGCACCTTATCTCCTCCAGCTACGTCAATGACATAGACGATGAAGTCTGCTAATTCTCTGCTGTAGTTCGCTGCCAGATTGTCACCTCCACTCTCAATGAGTAATAGATCTGTGGTGAACTTGGCCTGTAATCCCTGTAACGCCAGCAAGTTCGCACTGATGTCTTCTCTGACTGCCGCATGTGGGCACCCGCCTGTTTCGATTGCTACTATCCGCTCAGGTGTCAGGGCGCCATGCTTTGTAAGGAACTCAGCGTCTTCGCGTGTGAATATGTCGTTCGTTACGGCTGCGATGTTGTACTCATTGCGGAGGGCTAGACATAGCTCGAGCATCAGAGCTGTTTTGCCAGAGCCGACAGGACCGCCGATACCGATTGTGAAGGCGCGATCATTGAAATCGCGGTCTTCTACGATTGGGGGTTCGCGGTTAAGGTAAGATCCTGGTCCGTTGTAGATCTCGTGGGTATGACCGTGATTTGCTGCAGCAGAATCGTGCGAGTGAGCAACGCCATTGTCGTGGCTATGGCTCGTCATGGTTGAGGTGATCGATTGGAAGTAGAGTTGTGTGCTTGTACTTCGCCCTTGGAGTCAATTGCAGTTTGTGCTGTTCGATAGTAGGCAGCCAGAGGCGCAACGGCTATAGACAGAGCTCAGTGTAATAATAAGGACCGAGATTGATCACGAATTCATCAACATATCACCCAACAACACATACAACAATCCGGTTGCTTCGAGCCAAACCAAGAGTGCGAGTCTCGGCCACTGCGTGTTGCCCATGTTTGTTTGTGAGCGGGGATATGCCTGCCCCTCTGTCCGAGGCGGTTGAAGGGTGCAGTGGAGCGGTACGCGTTGAAATTGAGTTTGCGGGAAAGATCCTCGCGTGCCTCGCCTCTCAATGGACGAAACGGCTCAGTACAACGATTCGTTACTTGGCTAGATTTGAACCAAAATGTCGATTGTTCACATTGTGCTTTTCAAGCTCAAATCGTCGTTGAGCGAGCAGGAGAAGAAACAAGTACATGCTTAGGATTCACATCGTAGCACATGCTGACCTGGGCAGTTCTGCGATGACATGCTCAATTTGAAAGAGAAGTGTATACATCCGAGAAATGATCAGCCATACATAGTCTCGTCTTCTGGTGGTGTTGATAATAGTCCGGAAGGCGCTCAGGTTCGTTCCTTCTGGTTTTGGCTACACCCGCAAAGCTGATCAGCCACAGGGTGGTTTCACGCATGGCTTCGTAGTGGAATTCAAGTCGAAGGAAGATCGCAATTACTATGTGAATGGCGATCCAGTCCACAGAGCATTTGCAGAGAGTGCTGGAGACAAACACGAGGGCGTCAGAGTGATTGACTATGAGAAGGGGGTATATTGATGTTCATTTGACCAAAGTATCATTGGCTGTATGTATCGTAAAAATAACTCGCTTGAACGCCTCGACTGATCTTCGAATTGACCTCGCACCTGGTCATGATACGCTAAAGGACTCACCACAACCACATTGCTCCGTTATGTTGGGATTTTTGAAGACAAAGCGTGCGCTCAGCTTGTCCTCTTGCCAGTCCATTTCACTACCAATAATGCTGAACAGTGCCTTGGAATCTATCAAAACCTTGACGCCATCCTGTTCGACAATCTCGTCGAAGGCATTTGCTTTATCCACGTATTCTAAATGGTAGGCGAGACCCGAGCAGCCACGGTTCTTTACGCCGACTCGAATCATTTTCTTGTCTTGTTCTAATAGTTCCCGTAAGTGCTCGAGCGCATCGGCTGATATATTCATCGCGGCTTTCCTTGGCCTCAATTTCTTTCGTGGTTTCTTAGTCGTGCTGACCGTACTTGAGGCGACTGTTTCTGATCTTTGTTCTGGCACAGGCTTGGATTTCTGCGCCTCTCTTTCTGGCAGGCTTATGCTTGCAGCCTCTTGCATAACATTTTGATCGGGCCTTCGGGTGTCGTTCAGTTGTGGCTTGGGTCCAGCTATCGATGTGTCTGGTATCCCATCATTTCGTGGTGGCATGGGAAAGTCGGGCATAGAGTGAGGGCGATATGCTGGCGCTGTATATAGTTCTCTCTTCGAAGCCGCCTTGCGAAAGACGGACGAGGAAAAGTTCCTCGCTGCATGTGGACATGTTCGAGCTGCCGAGGCTGCTGTCAATGCTCTAAAGAATATCGCTGCTGATGCCGTCGACGGCAGGAGGTGATTCGTCGCCATGGTGTCCTAGATCTATTGCGTCGTTGAGTCTTGTGATGGGATTCTGTGAAACACTTGAGCAAATGGAACTCCTCGAGCAATAGCCACCATATGACGTTTGAAATACACCGGATTGGTCAGCGGATAGAGTACTAGTGCTTTTTGGCCTGAGGCAGCAGCTCTTTGAAAACAGATTCTAATTGGCTGTCATCCTGTGCTCGTGCTCTGATGTCTAAGGCAGATATACCGAGTTCTTGCACCTGTTTATCTTTCACAGCACCATCTTCACAATTCGCTAACGTGTTATGTGATTCCCAATCCTTATGCTTCACGCAGTGAATAAGCCCACATATATACATCGGATTATCTACGACTATGTCAATATTGTGCTATATGTAGTGATAAAATTGGATACAAGTGCTGATGCCGAAATGTTGTTTTACTCCGACCTCACACGTAGATTCCGTTCCTCCTTGTGTCTTGTAACCTGTCAATATGACCCATGATTAACTCTTAACGACTGCGAAGGAGTTATAGAGTACTCTTACTGGATTCTTACTGTAGTTGATTAGAACTAGCTGTCTATCAGAATCTGTGCCAAGATGCCTCCCATCAAGAATCTCAACTTATGACAATTTTATCTCCCACCGTGCTAGTCGCGCTGTCCTTTCGCAACCGCTCACCAACACTCTACAATTCATGGATGTCACCTCACCTTTGACTAGAGACATTCATGAATCATTCCAGCCTAAAATAGTACAGCTCTATGCTAATCTCCTAGCATTACACCTGCCTGATGCAGAAGAGGATCACATTCAGCCAGAAGGCTTCTGGAGGGAGTTCTTTCTGCTCAAACCTGCAAAACAGAAATTCTACGACATACTCGAGCCACTGACAGCTGATGATCTGCTTCATATTCAGAATCAGACCAGGAACTTCATCAAAAGGTCGATATTAGAGATTAATTCAAACAAGGAGCCACAAAATGGACATGCTTTGGACAATCTCACCTCGTTCCTGGCAGCAGTTCTTGCCAAGAAGTATGCAAATCCAAGCACCGATATTATTGAGGTAGTCGCAGGTCTAGAGGATGTGGACAACGTTATGACCGATATCGTCAATGGTCTTGACACAATCATCAATAAGAGCACATCCGCCTCCTTACGGAGGAAAGCCATCGATTGCGCAATAGCTGCCGTTGCCGGCTCATACCAGACCAGTTTGGTCACATATTTCATCCATCAGGACTTCTTCCACGGCTTGATGAAGTATGTGCAGACAGTGCCTGAGTCAGCCCCTGCTGCCCTGTGTCTGCTTGGCTTGTTGGCAAATTTCAACAAATTCGAAACACATAATGTATACCAGAACCGTATGGAGGACTTTATCAACGAGGACATCATGGCCAAACTGGTCGAAGGCTTCGCCAATACCTGTGGAGATATCAGAGACGCCTATGTTGCCATTCAAGACGATACACCAGTACAGTGGTCTCTTGGCTCAACCCTCTCTTATGTCGGCCTCCGAGCCCTGACTCCTGAAGCAAAGAAACCAATACCTCCGACCGAAGACGAGGCCAAGGTTCTCTTCAACGATCTGCCTCCAGCCAATGCTGTGATCTTCCTGACCGTATACTGCTTCGTTCAAGCCAACAACGTTTTCGCTTCACTACTGATAGCCACAGACAAGGATGATGATCTAGAATCACGACTAGCTGCTTTCCTCAGTGTATCATCTTATCTATGTCACCATGCATTCAGGTCTACCAGAGTTCAGCACTATTCACTCATGACCCTCTTCACCATCCGCTTACTCGTCGAAGACTCCGTCCTTGCTAAACGCCTTTCCTCGACCGATCTCAAAATCACCGTTCGACTCGCTCGCCAACGTCCACCACACCTCCCATACCTCACAACACCACGACCACCAACCTGCGTCGTCCTCGACATCCTCACCGATACTCTAAGCCACAACCTTCGAAAACGCCTCAATATACCCCTCTACTCTACAACCCTCACCATCCTCCACGCAATCCTCACACAACTGTCCAGCAACCGCAACCGCCTCACCCACCACTGGTCCTACATCTGGCTCTCCCTCATCTCCCTCCTCCGCTTCATGACCACCTACTCCACCGACCTAATCCAATCAGCCCGCCTCACCGACCTCCAATCAAACATCATCCTCCCCCTAACCAGCATTCTAACATTCTCCCTCTTGCGTGGGGACAACTTCCTCCCCGACCCGCCCAGCTACGACGACCTCTTCTACAAACTCCTCGAATCATCCGAGACTCTCGAGAAATTCAAATCAGCCTATGAGATCGCCAAGCTGCCCACGAGCGACAAATTGAGACGTGCCACCGACGCTTTGATAAGTATATCAGGGCATTATCAGAATTTACTCTCATCGTCGAAGAAGAAAGTCCATTTGTCACCGAGGGAGATTCAGAAATTGATTGGAGAAGGTCATGAGACGCTAGGTGATGTTGTGGACAATATCAGTACGACTGGGAGTGTCAAAGGAAGGGGAGGAGTGACAGCCGGAGCAGAAGAATTCGGTCACTATGAGAAATGGAGGGAGAGTGCGTGGAAAGTAGAGATCAAGAAGATTATTAGAACAGTCGTGGAAGATGCGAGGATGCTTGCTTTGCAGTAAGGATACATCATATCCACTTTGAAAATACACACACTCGAGCTTGATCAATCTAGAGAAGGCTTCAAACCCATAATTTCATTCCTTTCAATCCCTACGTGACTTTTCTGTTCACCTTCAAGAACTATCTATGCATGTATCACAGATGCCTGCTTGTTTACTTAGTAAAAATCCGCACCCTCTTCGTTATACTCTGACTGTAGACTCCGTGGCTAGGCAGGTCATCCCTGCGACTGCAGCATACACTAAACCTCCCAATCAGACTCATCATCCTCAATCAAATCACTAGTGTTCTGACCCTCCTCTCTAGGCTCATCCTCAGAAGACACTGTACCCAGACCATCGTCCTGTCTAGTCCGACTGCGACCTCTCTTCGCCGTACCGCGTCCACCCTGAGTGTCCTGAAGGTCAGGCAAATCACAGACGTTGGTCTCCATATTTACAGGCAAGGCCGTAAACTTCCTTCCGCGATGAGCAGACTCCCACTAAGCGCCTGTCCCATTTGGAATAGGGTCAGAGTCTTCGTCCATAGCATCGTCGTTGTCCTCCAGCGTCGCCTGGTTGATGCCGAGACCTTTGTTTCTGCGTGACTTATTCGTAGACTGCTGTGGAGCAATACCAGCATCCATCATGATCTCCAATCTCACGTCTTCGGTGATCGGCAATTCCAGAATCTCCTTTGTCTCACCAACCGAACCACCCTGTTGACTCAGTCGCGCGAGCGAATTCGCCATCTCTCGAACAGCAGCATGTTCTTCGAGTTCGTGCTGGCTGAGTTGACCAAGCTTAACTTTGCGCCCATTTGCCTGCTTGTGACCCATAGTGACGAGCTTCTTGCGCAGCGACGCGATTGCTGAGATATCGGTCCTTGCAATCATGTGAGTCATGAGCTGGGAGAAAGTAGCAAAGACCTCGCCACCCTTGTACCAGGAGCTGACTCGGCGGATAGGGTCGTCGCCAAAGAGTCTGCACATTTCCAGGAGGAAAGTGTAGTCTTCATCGATGATGAGAGACGGCGCAACTCGTCTGAGTAGACACTGATGAGCGTCCTCCCAAGCTTCAGCCGCAACGAGGTAACGTAGTTCGGATATATTATCGCCACCTTTGTTAGTTGCAGAGGCAGCATAGCGAGCTTTAGACATGTAAATCCAGGAGGTTGGCACTTTCAAATCCATGGTCAGCCGCTGCCATAGCGCGATACCGCTGTCACTAGTTGCGGTATCTGAGCCAGGTAGCGAAGCAGCGAAACGATCCAGAAGAGCTTGTATAAGTGTCTGTCGTGTTTCAGGTTTCGAAATATGTAAAAGGACGTAGATTGCCGAAGCAAGGTCACCTTGGGCTCCAAGCTCTGCTGCCAGAGTTTCAGCAAGCTCATCTGCTTTGGTAGCGTCGACAAGGACCTCGAGCGCTGCTTGACAAGCTTGCGCGAAGTTGAAGGTGGCGGCATGATTCCATGGCTGGGAAAGACCCTCAAGCGCTGCAGGAAATCTTGGTGCTGATAGGGCTTCGTCATGTCGAGAAGCATAGAGCTTGAGCAACGACCAATGAACATCATGCTCGGACGGCTTGGTAGGTTCTTCTTCCCTGTCGCAGCGGCTTTGATACTCTCGCACAGCATCCTCAATTCTGCCGATACCCTCTGCGTTGTTCTTCTCTGCTTTGCCATAGAAGAGGCCAAGAGCGAAACACTGCAACCAGGAAAGACCGTACCGCGTGCTGATATCGAAGGTCTCAGTTTGATCCTCTACAGGCACGGTCTTGCCCTCCTTGCCTCGAGACACGGCGACATTACCGGAGCAAAGCTCGTACAAAGTGCGAACATCACAGTCAAATTCAGACAATGACTTGTGGTCCCGCCAGGCATCGATCTGCGCCTTTGCATCGTCCATGAACATCGCATCAGCCCCATCGAGCTGTGCAACCAGAAGGAGAAGTCTTATGTTCTTGCTATCTTTCAAAAGCTCACAGGCACCTCGAATGTCGTGTCCTGTGAGTCGCAGAATGGCAGCCTTCAGACTGTTCTGCTCGTCTGCATCCACTGTTGCAAGGATTTTCTCAGAAAGATATTTTGCGAGTCTATCTTTTCGAATGCGGTGAGCGAATGTCTTCTGCAATGGACCAGATAGACCGAGAGTGAACTCGTCCTCGTAGTCGTCAAACAGGACATGAGCGAGGTTGTAGATATCAGCCACCTCTTTATCTTGTGCTTGAGTTGCTAGTTGCGAGAAGGGAGCAGCTTCGTGTTGTACCGCAGGTATGTCGTTTTTGACTGTGATCTTGCTAGAGGGTAGAGCTGAATCAAGGTCGTAAGCCTGTAACAGATTAGCCCAAGTACATTCAGCAGTCGCAGTCGAAATACCTTCTTGCTGTGAGACCGCGCCATAACGACAAGAGAACCTCTTGCGCCAGCAATAGGCTTCTCCTCCCACGTCTGATCCTTTGCTAGCTTCGAAGTCCGATAGACGATTCTTCCGTCAGTTGTAAAGTGTGGTTTGAAGCTGTTATGCCAGGCACGGTCTTGCTCGCTCATCTCTTCGTCGTCAGGGTGGAAAAGTTTCGAACGTTTTGAGTAAGGGAACTAAAAGACACCAAAATTTAGCAATTTGTTCCATTATGCATATTGACTAACCTAGATACATGGATGACATTGTTTGCTGCTTCCAATAGCTGGCTTCTTCCAGTCTCGCTTTTCCATAGTCAGTGTCCTTCATGGTCTCATATACAACTTTATGAATGTTTGTCAAGCAAATAAGGGATAAGGACGGGGGGTTCAAACCTCAAAGTCAGGCTCATTAGCCTGGTTAGATTTCTTGCCAGACGCAGACTTGAACAGATGGTTCATAACGTCGATACTGCTTCGGAAGTTGACCTCGGGTGCTGCTTTTGGTTTGATTGGAGAGAATGCCTTGTCGAGAAGGATCTTGCTTTGAGCTTCTCGTAGAAGTTCTCTGTTCTGCTTTCGAGGACTAATAGTTCGTTGAAGTTGTTCAGCCCAATCACCCTCCAGATCAAGGAGTGGCTTTCCAGGCGTGCCAGAGACAGTGAACTTGGTTGGGGACTTCGCTGGGCTGATCAAATACGGGTTAAGTGCTTGAGGCATAGATCCAGGCATAGGGCTTTGCTCGTCCTCGGACATCATATCGTCTTCGGAGACTGCAGATTGCTCAGATCCATCGCCGTACTGCTCTTCCATCTGATCACTGGCTTCTTGGGAGTCGTCGGCTGGAATGATGCTCTGATCTTCGAATTGACCTGGCACACTCTTCTTGAACGCAAAGGTGTCGTCTTCGTCATTCGAATCAGTCTGATCGTCGATCTCCATGACGGAAGCGTCAGCAGACTTGTCAAAAGAGTGGGGTGGAAGGCTGAGCTCACTTTGATCCATCATTGACGTCTCATCTTCATCGTAATCCAAGCCATACCTCGTATAGTGAGGAACTTTGAAAGTCCAGCGACCAGTCTGGGCATCGTAGTCAATGAATTCGGTACCAGACATTTTCGTCTTAAGTTTCATCACATGTCTCTCATAGACTGGGCCAGAAACAGCAGCGACAGGCTTGCCCTGAGAACGTGGCCACGAATTGCTCATGGCAATGGTAGATGGCACGTTGAGACCTTTACCGACCGAAGGCTTCTGTTCTTGTTCAGGGTAGACAGTGACTGTGCGATGACGGAACCTGACGATCTTCTCGAAGAGGTCCTGCTCGAAGTCCTTAGGTAGTGCAGTCAGGTCGACAGTACCATCGAAGATGACGGAACCACATCCTTCTCGACCAACCTGGAAGCCCTTGAAAGCTTTGGCTTGGTCTCGTGGCATTCTATCGATCTCCCGTCGTGTTGGCTTTGTCCAATAGCCGCCCAGAACTGGATCTGAGGTATCAATTTCGCCAGGTTTGGTGCTAACTTGGTGCGTCTCTCTATCCTCAGGCACTGCTTGCAGGTTGCCTGTACCAGTACCGTTGGCACGTGGAGGAGAGGCATCCTCATCGTCGTCCTCAATACGTTGAAGAGCACCAGTCTCACCATTCAGCTGGGGTTCTGTAACCTTCTCAAAACTGACGCGCTTGTTGAGTTTCCTAACAGGCTCGGCCGTGCCGTCAGTGATCTGTGCAGGTGCAGCATCCTCCTCGCCATTGGTGGGTTGTCTCGGAGCAGCTATTGCTGGTACAGGTGGACCACGATTGAAGAGATCATGTCGAAGTGAGCGATCGATTGTCAGTCGCTTGATGCTACCGTTGGAGTTTCGATGGCTAGGGGCGAATGCGTTTGGCTTCCAGATGTCATCTGCTTCAGAAGCATACTGTGACCGAAGGTTCTGAACCGAAGCACTTCTGTTGAAGGACCGTCCAAAACTACCACCAGACCAGCCACGGCTGCCGTAAAGGCTGCCGCTCAAAGGAATATTACCAGGTGTGCTTGCAGCACTGCTTGGCGTGCCGTGTGTTGAGTAGCTCAATCCGTAACCACTTCTTCGCGGCGGCGTGCTGTATCTAGACTGATTAAGTCGTAGTGTATGTATGGGTTTCCGGGCGCTCTCTTCCAGTCTCTTTGTAGCTGTGAGTGGTGTGAAGAGAGGTTTCGAGTTTTCCATAGTGGGTTGCGGCAGACCTGTCCAGATGGAGGATTGTCCATATGGATTTGGATCAAGCAAGGAGGCATGCTTGACCTCCTGCTGGTTCGGGAATTGTTGCTGCTGATTAGCCTGTGATTGCCCGAAATTCATACCACTGTTGAAGAGAGAATTTCCTTGGGTGTTGGTCGTGCCTCCACTGAATAGGCTCGGTTTGTTCTGGTTGTTCGTACTGTTAAAGAGACCTCCTCCAGCATTGTTGTTAGTACTCGCGAAAAGACCACCCTGATTGTTATTGTTATTCGTACTGCTGAACAGTCCTCCACCCTGTTGGTTATTCGAGTTGTTTCCGAAGATGCCACCACCATTGTTCGTGCTGGTGCCCCCAAAGAGACCTCCAGCAGGTTTGTTCTGTTGATTTCCGAATAAGCTGTTGCCTTGCTGATTATTGGCATTGTTGTTCGTGCTTGAGAACAAGCCTCCAGGCTGCTGGTTATTGGAGGTGTTGCTGAACAGACCACCAGTAGTGTTTGTTCCGCCTCCAAAGAGACCACCAGTAGGCTGAGTCTGGGTTGTGGACGTGCCGAAGCCAGTTTTATTCCCAAAAAGACCACCAGTCTGATTTTGTGTATTTTGACTGCCGAAAAGTCCTCCAGTACCAGTATTGCTTTGCTGGTTGTTGGTACCACCGAACAATCCACCTCCGCTAGCCTGAGTACCGTTGTTGTTCCCAAACATACCGCCAGTGGTGTTGGTATTTTGCTGCTGATTGTTGTTGCCGAAGCTGAAACCAGTAGTACCTGTATTGCTAGTGCCAGTGTTTCCGAAAAGACCAGTCTTGTTTTGATTGTTTCCAAACAGGCCACCAGATTGCTGCTGATTGTTTGTGGTCCCGAAGCCTGTACCAAAGGTACTGCCGGTGTTCGTATTGTTGGACGTGCCGAATAAGCTACCAGGTGTCGTGGAAGAAGTCTGTTGATTGCCGAATAGACTTGTTGTGGCTGGCTTGTTTCCGAAGAGGCCACCACCAGTAGAGTTACCGAAAGTACCAGAAGTGGCAGTATTGGTACCGAAGCCACCAGCAGAAGTGGACGTATTGCCGAATAAACTACTTCCAGCGTTGGTGCTGCCTCCGAACGGACTGCCTGTATTGCCGGTGCCAAATGCGCTGCCAAAGTTGCTAGTGCCAAAGGTGCCTGCAGTACCACTACCATTACCCCATTGTCTGCCTCCTGCATAATCTGCTAGTCGCAGCTCTTCAAAAGAGTATTTGTCGTAAGGAGGTCGAATATTGATCGACTGGTAGACACTCGTGGCACCATTTGATTCCTTGTCTGTGTACGGCTCGAAGGCTCCCTGATTGGTACCAGGACATGGACCGACTGTGCCGAGTGCGGTGCCGGAACCACCAAATAGGCTTGTGCCAGTATTGCCAAAACCAGTCGTTCCAGTCGTGCCCGAACCACTTCGACCAAAGAGAGTCTTGTTTTGTGTACCAAAAGCACTTGAGCTATTGTTGTTGCCACTATTGAATCCTCCAAATCCTCCTCCTGAAGTGTTGGCAGTGGTGGCTGTGCCGAAAGCACCACCTGTACCACCGAAGCCACTCGTGTTGGTGTTCGAAGTATTGTTGAAGAGGCCGGTACCAGTAGTGCTGGAACCAAACCCTGTAGCAGCAGGCTTGTTGCCGAAGAGGCCGCTACCAGTGTTCGTGTTATTTGATCCGAAACCTGTTCGCGAGATTGTTAGTGTTCTGTCTTTCAGAGATACGGTGTTCAGGTCAACCCATCTAGAGCTGCCAGTGCTTGGGAAGTGGGCATCAATTCGAGGGGAAGCAGCTCTTGGGCTTGTAGGGGTCTTGATCCTGCGATTACTCTGTGGCATCGTGATGACTGATGTATCAAAAGCCACGGGAGATGCGAAAGAGCAGAGTGTAAGCATCCAAAAGCTCCTGCCTGCACCACGAGTACGCGATAGAGAGTGAAGGGTAAAAGCTGCGTACCTGAGAATGTACTTCCACCACCAAAAGGACTTGATGTGCTACCGCCAAAGGTCGTTGAAGCTCCAAAGCCTGGTAGACAATAGTCTCAGCCGGATATCGCGAGAAACAAGGAGAAGGGTTGCCACGTACCTGTACCAGTATTGTTCGTATTCTGGTTGCTACCAAATGCTCCACCACTACCAAAGCCTGTATTGTTGTTGGTCGACCCGAAGGTGCCAAAAGTCGTGCCAGTGCTGCCGAAAGACATTGTCACTTTCTTTCTGACTAGACCCCAACAAAGATATTGCGAAGAATGAAGTTCGTCGAAGGGAACGTCGGCGAACGGATATACGAAGAAAAAGATTATCCTGGCGCGATCGCAGTCGCAGCTAGAGGTTGATTGACAGTGCGCGCTGCATCTGACGTGCGACAGGCACCGTTACCACTGAGATCGAGGGTTCGCCGTCAGAACCATTCGAGTCGACGTCGAACCGGCGCGTAGTAAGGTGGTCGGCCAGGAAAAAGGACGCTGGGTGGAAAATTAGATGGACAGCAGAGCACGACGCGTCTATCCGTCAGGTTCTTAAGCAGGAGTTGCTGGATAGGTAAATGTGACTCGAAGCGGAATCTTTGCCGAAGATGCTGCTACCTCACCACAAATTGCACTTGCAAACAGGCCACGAACGAATAGCGTGTGATAATCCCTGGTCAATACATCAAAATGCACGTCCAGACCAGGATTCTTGCGTCCTTCGAGACTGCCAAAACTTCTGAAAGTGTTAGAGAGTGTCTGAATTACGCTGGCTGCCTGGCGTTACTCGTGATTAGCTTGAGCCGAACGAGGCCTAGGCCAGTTTCGAGAGTATCCCGTCACCTGATCACTTACGTAGCAGAGAAATGAACCAATCAAAGACCCAAAACTCGTAAAGATCACGACGCGGTTGAAGGCAGCAGTAAGAATATGGCGAAAGTTGCAGGAACTTTCGTCGCTGATGTTGCACTACACAAAGACTAAGAATACCAACTGCTCATTCCCAATGGCTTATTTCTTGTTCTTCACAGTACCAATGATCTTATCCACTACCGATGGATCGGAGAGCGTAGATGTGTCACCAAGCTGATCCTCTTCTCCTGACAAAATCTTCCTCAAAATTCGTCGCATGATCTTGCCTGATCGAGTCTTTGGCAGATCGTCCACAATGAATATAGCCTTTGGTGCAGCGAAGGGGCCAATTTGTTTCCTGACTTGCATGACGAGCTCTTTTCTTGTTCCCTCACCAGGGTCAACACCGTCCTTGAGTGCGACGAAGGCGTTGACAGCTTGACCGGTCATTTCATCGTTGATACCGACCACAGCAGCTTCCGCCACACCGTGATGTTCGATAAGCGCGGCTTCGATCTCAGCTGTTGAGAGACGATGACCGGAAACGTTGACAACATCGTCGACACGGCCTCGGATCCAGTAGTAGCCTTCGTGGTCTCGGGCTGCGCCATCACCAGTGAACTAGAATGGACGTTAGTTGATGACTAGCATTTGGACGTTCCAAATACTTACGTAATAACCCTTGTACACATTCAGGTATGTATCCATATATCTCTTGTGCGCACCCCAGACGGTTCTCGCCATTGATGGCCATGACTGCTTGAACGCAAGCACACCTTCGACATCGTTGCCCTTAATCTCTTCTCCTGAATTAGGATCCAAGATCGCAGGCTCAATGCCGAAGAAGGGGTGGGAAGCACTACCTGGCTTGGTAGAGGTGATACCAGCCAAAGGAGTGATGACATGAGAACCAGTCTCGGTCTGCCAGTATGTATCAACGACGTGTGCCTCCTCTTTACCGATCTTTTCGTGGTACCACTTCCAGACCTCAGCTGCGATCGGTTCACCGACTGAGCCCAACACACGCAGCCTCTCCATGGAATGATTGACGTGTTCGTCGCCGGCTCGCTTTAGCAATCGAAGGGCGGTAGGGGCGACGTAGAACTGGGTGACCTTGTACTTGTCTATTATATCCCAGTATCTGGAGAAGTTCGGGTACGCAGGTGTTCCTTCAAAGACGACTGTCGGCACACCGAGGAGGAGGGGAGCATAAACCACGTATGTATGCCCTGTAATCCAGCCGACATCACCACCACAGAAGAACACATCGTCGTCGTGAATGTCGAACGCATACTTACCAGTCGCTGCGGCACCTACCAGGTAACCACCCGTTGTGTGCATCACACCTTTTGGCTTACCTGTCGAACCTGAAGTGTATAGCAAGAAGAGAGGGTCCTCAGACATCATTGGCACGGGAGGAATGTATGATGGGTACTTTTCCGTTTCTTCGTCCCACCAGAAGTCTCGTCCTTTGGTCCAAGGCACATCTGCGCCAGTTCTCTTGTAGACGATACAGCTGGTCACATCTGGGCACTTCTTGAGCGCCTCATCGACGATCTTCTTGGTTCCGATGAGCTTTCCTCCACGCTTGCCCTCATCAGTAGTGATCACAACCTTGGCATTGGCATCAACGATCCTGTCCGCGAGTGAGCCTGAAGAGAAACCGGCAAAGACTACCGTATGGCATGCGCCCAGTCTCGTGGCTGCTAAGAATGCGATGACTGCTTGTGGTATCATGGGAAGGTAGAGAGCGACGGTGTCACCCTTTCTGACACCATGCTGCTTGAGCACGTACGCCAGCTTGGAGACTTCCCGAAGCAACTCGCTGTACGACAGAATCTTGCCCTCCCCAGGCTCATCTGACTCGTAAATGATTGCGGGCTTATCTGGGTTCTTGAAGGCGTGTCGATCAACGCAGTTGTACGAGGCGTTCAGCTGACCCTCCAGGAACCAAGCTACATCACCATTCGTCAATGAACCAGATCTCACTGTCTGGAAGTCGCGGTCCCATGTGAGCAGTTCTCGGGCCATCTTGCCCCAGAACTTGTCTGGCTCTTCAATTGACTGCTTGTAGAGGGTTTCATATTCAGCAAAGTCTTTTAGATGAGCTTTGCCGGATCCTTTCTTGAAAAATGGTTCGGGAACACTGTTCACCGTCAGTATGTTGCGTTTTCTGAAGCTCGTACTAGAGCCCACCCGTAAGTTGGAACCTCGTGTGCCTCAGCCTGTAGATGTGTTAGCCAATGTATTTGCTATGAGCTGCGACGAGCTGACCACTACAGGACCGCCCTTTGGCGGCGCAGTATCGCCCTCAGACATGGTGATGTTACGAGCTCTTGTCCAATGTTATAGTCAATATTGCTGCAAAATGACGAGCTCTTGCTGGTAAGGAAATAAATAGCAAGCTCGGTACAACTGTGGTAGGAAGCTATATAGCAGAAAAGTCAAAAGCAAAGAAGGGTAGAGAGGAGCTCGCGACCAAGAATACTTCACCTCTTGTATGACATGAGCTCGAGCTTGGTCTTGTGCACGAATATTAGGCCTTTCTCCAGCCCAAGAATGGTTCGAAGCCGTGATTTGCAATTTGCGTCAGCCGCGACTCTGGAGAGTGTCACCCCGCACCATTTCAAAACACATGAAGACGTTCCCCCACCCATGTCGCGTCGAGATGTCTGCGACGAAAGCTGTTGAAGCTCTAGCACAGAGTACGCAACGGGCTAGAGGCTCCTCATCACGTAGTCCATTCTCGATCGGGTTTAGGTAAGTCGCCTTCATGGCCAATGAACATATTCCCGTTTTGCGGATGAATGGGAGGGAACTGCATGAATGCATATCTAGCTCAGATTCGGAATATCCTGGCTCGAAGCGCGTTGTCTTTGGTGAGTACCAGGAACCGAAACCTTCAGGGATTAAGGCTACGCCAATCCTTATCCGATGTCACTTCTTTCAGTGGTATGACGAATGATCCGCACGATGTCGATCCGGCTGGTTACTTGGAGGCCATTTCAGATCTTCCACGACAAGCAGTCATTGCAAACGTGTTACAATCGTGGCCGAGGTTGTATCTTGTCTTCTGTCTTGACAAGAAGTACAATTGCGCCGACAGAACGAACAGAGCACGAGACAAATGTATGCACGGACTCTATCCGAAGAAGCTTTTGGGTGCAAGTGGCACCGCTTGTCCGTATGTGGCTTTCATGCAGCAGTCTGGGCCAAGACGCTGCATATAGCGCAACGTTTTTCGTCAGATCTTGACAGACACATGATTTGAAATGGTCATGTTTCGGGCTGCGGCGAGTAGACCGAACGACGACTTGAACGATGTTGCCTGCTGTTGCACGAATGCAATGCCATGAGTGCAAATTCATAGTGTCAATATTGCGAAACTGAAATTAGATTCTTGTCATGTCACGTATCAATCACGGAGTAACAACTAAGCATAGCCATTCCACCAACTATACACACCTAGAAGGAAGATCGATATTGCAGCATCATTGCCGACTTCTCGCCCGTACTGTAAATACTTCTTGAAGCCGCCTTGTGTCGCTGGCTTGCTGGTAAGTACGCTCTGAGCACCACGAACCAGCAACTGACCAGTAAGAAATACCAAGAAGGGGTTCTGGACAGTTGCAGGCGCAGGCGGATTGTCGCCGAAAGTTGTAACGGAACTGCTGACAATGAAGCTCGTGTAGAGACCAGTAAGGATCGCGACCAGGACTCGAACAAGTCTCCACGTCCGCTCACTACTGATCTGTGCTGGTGTGGGAGGTGCCTGGGATTTCCCTCCCATGAACATGCTGGTCAGAAAGGACGGCATGCCAGTCATCTTAGCAAGGTCATCCGGGGAGAATGGCAGATCCCCTGTCGCCGGCGCATTCGGGTCTCCGCTCATTCCACCGAGTATGCCTTGCATCAGCTTGAGCATTGGATCGTTCTCGTCAGGCATACCCGGTCGTTGTTGTCCCTGACCTGTTTGATTTGGCTGGCCTGACTGACCAGACTGATCTCCACCTAACAGAAGCTTCACGTATTCCTCTTGTAGACGCATCTGCTCGGGATCGTTGGCTTGTGAGGAGAACAGAGAGGATGCGCGAATCGAGCTCGCATTATTTGGAGCGGAAGCGGGAGACTGCGAAAAGGTCGACGACGAGGCGGCAGAAGCGTTCTGTACTATAAGAATGTCAGCTGGGAAGCACTTCATCGCATGATCATCATACAGCTTTCTACGCTTCTGCCACTGATCGACGCTATGCTGTTCAGCCGGTCTTGTGCATTGCTGGTGACTTTGGCTTGACGCTTTTGTTGCCGAATGCGCGCTTGCCGCTGTTGCGGTGTTTCCGTCCCGTCGCTCATCGTGTTCGTATTGAATGTGAATCACAGTCGTGTATCCCGCTTATTCGAGGAAGCGATGTACTGGAGTGAAGTTGGACAGAGGAGTCAACGTAAGGTTGATAAGTATCTTCGTGCCGCCTAGACAAGATGATACAGTCGTGATAATGCACGGGCATCTAATGTGAATAACTACTGTAATTCGAGCGCTCTTCAATAAAGAGCCAATTTCAGAACTCGAGATTTATTTCTGTCGATTTTGCGATTTTAGATAATGTACCATGACATCAATCTGGTGGCCTCAGGCTCAGACGCATAGTGTAACACAAACGTGCGGGGATATGTGATGCGAGTGATTGATCAGACGATAGAATGAGTTGATATGGACAAATCCATCTCTGGAAAAAAGGTCTACCAGAATCAGGGATATAGAAAATAGTAATTCGAAGATGTCTGCAATTCATGGTATCATTAGCGATTTTCTATCTAAGCTCCGATACCACACACGACAATGGGTCAAATTCATGGTCACAGAACTGAGCATCGACCGTGCTTATCTCCCCACGACTGACTGAATGAAGACATAACGGCTAGGCTTGAACAAAGATTGACCCAGCTCCGATTTTGCGAAGGATGATGAATATCAAGCTTAGATCTTGATGGCGGTCTCAATAGCCTTTCTCTTCTTCTCTTCTCTAGCGATAGCCTTGGTACCCATGATACCACCACCCCAGTGTCTTCGGTGCTCCTCGTACTTATTGTTGAAGCCATCGTTGATAGTGCTCACCAGCTTGCTGAGCTCGTTCTTGTCCTCTTGCTTAACCTCGGTCAGAGCAACAACTGCAGCAGTCTTCTTGTGGACGACAGTGCCGAGTCTGGCCTTGCCTTTGATGATAGCGTATGGCACACCCATCTTTCGGCATAGGGCTGGGAGGTAGACGACCAACTCGATTGGGTCAACGTCGTTTGGAATCAAGACTAGAGAGGCCTTCTTGTTCTCGATAAGGCCAACGACATGGTTGAGACCATACTTGACAGCATATGGCTTCTTGCCATCGTCCTCCTTCTTCTTGCCATCAGCCACAGCGGTAGCCTCCTTCTGGAGTCTCTCCTTCTTCTGTGCTTTTGTCTCTGGTCGGTACTTGTTGAGGAGCTTGAGGGTTTGCGTGGCAGTGTTGCGATCAAGAGTGCTTTGGAATTGAGCAATCGCTGGTGGGACCTTCAATCGCAAGTTGAGGATCTTCTTTTGTCTCTGAAGTCGCACATACTCTGGCCATCTGTTTGAATTAGTCGTGTTCTTGTCGATCGTTTGCAGGATATTCTCTTACTTGACCATGCGAGAAAGGTTTCGTCGTGGCTGAACATCTTGGCCGATGCCGTAGTTTCGTGGTCGCTTCTCGAACAGAGGGTTCTATATATCTTAGCAGACGCTTTCGTACTGGCATACAGAAGCAACTCACCTTTGCAGCTTTCTTGTTCGAGCCAGCCTTTGTGCCAGGGAATGGCGCCGCGGCGACTTTCTTTCCTTTAGGAGGCTGTCATTGAGGCAGAAAGATCAGCATATGTCCTGATGACTTTCTAGAACTCTAACGAGATGCTTCACCAAGCGATCTGAACGACTCAACCTGGTGAAAACTATCTCCAGCCATTCATCACCCGATCAGACTCTCAGTGCAGAGATCGATACAGGCGGAACGTGCCATGCTGCAAGAATGCAGAGACGTGCGAGTCTAGGCAATAGCTAATGTTGAATATTGTGTAGTGCTTACCATTCTGAATATGCGCAACAAGGAGCGATGAAGACTAAGAAATGGACGCTGTCGTTGACTGCTAAATGCAAAAGATTCTGTACAAAATCGCAGATGCTTGTGGATATTGCTTGGCATATTCGAAACAGGCTAGCTGGTTTTGTGCCTCAGGCACACATAGTTACCCAGTCCAACCTTTTTTGTATCGTAAAATGTGAGTACTCCATTCGAAACAACTTAAGCAGGCTGACTACTCATACGAAGTCGAGGAAGCACAACATATCAGTCGAGATATTCACTCACTTTTTCAGTTCCCGACCATTTGTCAAGATAGACTTCAGGCTATGTTATTTATTGCCTACTACATACTATGGACGATATATCACTGCTCGAATGTCACGTCTTTGCAAGCTGCACCTCGCGAGACATGCTTTCGGAGCCAGTGTTTCCTGCGCCATCCTGCTCTGAACAGTCATCATTATCTAGTACCGCTGAAAGCAATATTAGCTCGTTTGCGAGCTCTCCATACATTCTCCATCCCCATTCTTTTCGACTCTAACGCCCGGCTATGCATCCTGTAAAAACAACGTACCCTGTCTCACTATTGCATTATTGTACACAAATCCTGCGCCCCCATTATGCGAAACCGAAGTAATCTGCACCAAGGCTGATTGCCGTCGAGATATTGTGCTTCATGACTTCGAAACTTTCATAAGCAGGCAGATCAAGCTGATTGAAGCAAGTATGGCTAGTTGGTAGACGGTTGGTAGAAGGATCCTTGTGAATGTTACACTTTGTCAATCCAGAAACACCCTCAAGTTCCTTGAAGCCGTTGAGAGGAACCTTGCTTGTGCCAGTGATGAACTGAAGGAGTTTCGCTCGTTCTTCATTACTCATGGCTTTGACGATTCGCCAGAACCAGACAATCTGCTGACTGCTAGGGCTGTAATTGTGGTACTCGGTGTTTGCTTTCCAGTCGTCGACATCAACCTCTGGCAGACCGGAGATGAGCAGTTCTAATTCTTGCTCATTAAAGACGGCGATGAGCTCTGCAGGGATGATGTCGTGAAAGCCACCCAGGAAACTATCCAGTTGCTCTTTGACAGATTCTGTGAGGCGGTACTCGACTAAAGCTTGCACATACTCTTTCTTGTTCTCCTCAGTGACAGCAATGTTTCGACCATTGGGAATGAGATCAATCACCTTCTCCTCACCAAATTCATCTTCGATCACGCAGAACTCTTCCGTGAGAATATCTGTAATGTCGTTCTCTAAAATCCAAACGAGCGACTTGTAGTAGTCGACGTCGTTGCTCTCTAGGTCTTTCAGGTTAGGCTTCTTACCGAGGATTCGCTTGTATACAGCTCTGCTGAAATGGCAATCGAGGACACGGCCTTCATGGAGCGCCTTGCCGATGATTCGACCGATGAATTTGAAGTATAGCAAGTGCTCTGGATTGACTCGACTCAGCGGGCTGGGATGGAAAGTTGTCTTGTCTGATGCTACTGGTTGGAAGAGTGCATAATTGGGATCGAACATTCCTCGCGCCAGGACTTGGAACCACTCTCTCGTGACTCCGCCTGCGTCGACACCTTCCTCGCCGTTGAACCGAATGTTGAGCTTGCCGTACTTCATCTCATCAGCGGACTTGAAATAGAGCGCTTTGTAAGAGTCGATGAAAACTTGCTCGCGACGAACATTGAGTTGAAGAGGTGGCTGAGGATGACGCTGTGCATGATGTCGAGAATGAATCTGCTTGTTGAAGTAGTTGCGCTTGTTGTCGAAATCCAGGACCTTGCTGTTCTTGATCAAGATCGAGAAATGGCCCTGCATCAATTTCGGACTTTGACGCACGATGTCATTGAGGATTTTGCGGTGGTCCGAGGTGAATTTGAAGAACAACTCTTCAAGCTCGTCCTGGTAGGTAGGCGCAATAGGACTTGTCACGACCACCTCTTTGACCTGAACTGGCGTATCCTTGAGCGTGGTATGCTTGCAGACAACCATGAGCGACTCGATCAGTGGCAGTAAGATATTAGCGAAGCTGATCGTATCGCCTTTCTCCTCCACAGCTGTAAGGCACTCGCTTAACTTGCTCCACAATGGACTAAGACCAAGATGTTCATACGACAGTGTCAATACACTCTTTGATGGTTGATCGGAAGCAGTGTCGTCCTCTTTCTTAGGTGCAGAGAGGTAATCCAGTGCTTGCAGAACTCTCAGCAGCTTCACTTGATCCGAAGTGCTTGCCGAGAACTTCGCCGCAGCCGCGCCCTGAACATCCATACTGGATTGTGCATCTTCGATAGCAGGCAGTAATTCATCAAGTTCTCCACAGATAGCTTCTGACAGTGAATGCACATGACCTGTCAGCTCCTTTCCGAACTTCTCACTGGTGCCAGGGATATGTGCCAAGCTTTGCAGGGTTTCCAGCGTACAACGGAATGTGTCATTGCCGCACTCAGGTGCAACGAAGATGTTTGTGATGAGCTTGAGGTTGTGCTCGGTGACGTTTGGCGGCTCAAAAGGTCTCTTCTTTTCCTGCTCAAGCGCTTTGCTTTGATCGGACACTTCGCTCTTGTCTTTGTTCGATGCTTCTGGGAGCGACTCCGTAGCTTGAGGCGCATCCTCCATTGCAACATCACCCTTAGCTTCTGCTGTTTTGTCTTCATTACCTGAGGTCTCGTTCTTCGACAACTCTTCTTTCTGCACTTTCTCCGCTTGTTGTCTCTCCTTCTCTTGTTTCATGAGGCTGGCAAGAGGAGATGTGATCACAGCGAGTAACGCTGCTAGATAATGCAAGCAACTAGAGTTGTCCATGATGAGTTGACGGTCGAGCAGACTGATTAGATCATTCACTGGATGAGTAGTATTCTTGACTTCCTTTAATTTGCCCTTTGTTTTGTTCTTGCCCTTACTCGTCGAGGTCACGTCAACTTCTCTCAGGAAAAGACTTTTGACATGGGGGTTTTGTCGACATATGTAGCTCAAAACGTGAAGGCATTGTTGTACCACCATGATTGGGGTAACATCTTCACTCAGACTTGAATATGGCTGTGACGACAAGGTTCGCTTCAGAGGCTGTGGCGTCTTTTGCGATCCGCTGGCTCTGGCCCGAAGAGACAAGCTAGCTAAGCTCTTCTCAATGGCTGTCACATCCGTTGAACCTTCCTTCAGAATAACTAGGAGTAAGCTTATAACCTCATATCTGGTCTGTCGATTGCCACAGACCTGACTTAGGATATGTAGCAGATTTGATTTCAAGGAACCTTGCTGCTGGATGAACATTAAGCGAAGCAGGGTTGCAACCCCAGCTTTGTCGACGAGTTGCACAATCTGCTGTCGCTTGCTGTCACGTTGATCCTGCTCACGTCGAGCTCTTGCAGTTTCAAGCTCGTGGTTCATCGGCATTCTTTGGTAGAACATGCTTCGCGCATGAGCACGTCCTTCGGCCGCATGTTGTGGATTCAGAGCATTCAGTATCTCAGGTGGTTGCTCTGCGAGGATAGCACGCCGCAGAGCTGGTTCCAGGGTTGCTAGAAAATCGTCCGGTTCCATGTCTCCTGGCTGAATACCGCCAACCACAGCCTGCGCTTCACGTCTCAGTCTTTCGCGTTCACGACGCCGCTGAGTCGCAACTTCTTGTGCACGAATCTCTTCGCGAATGTCTTCTGGTAGGGCATCAAGGAATTCCTGATCAATAGCGCTGTCGTCGTTTCCTTGTTCATGTGCCTGCTCACGTCTTACTTGATATTGTGCCGTAATGACTTCTTCTCGTAGATCCTCCGGCAAAGCCTCCAGGTATTCAACGTCAATGTCAAGACCTGTGATGTCGAGTTGGCGCCCACGAATTGTAGTGTACCTTCGAGTAGGCTGATCTGGCACCTGTGCTGCTTGGTTGGAAGGCTCTTCGGCCTGAACATCCTCCATAACATCATCGCCTTGTTCATTGTCCACGTTCTCTGTGGCACGGGCTTCAGCTTCGGCACGCTCTTTCTCCTCGGCCTCAGCTTTCTCTCTAGCCAGACGAACTTCATCTTCTTTCCTTATACGCTCCTCCTCAGCCTTGCGCTGGACTTCGCGTTCAGCTTCTGCTTGGCGTTCCTCCTCGGCCTTTCGTCTTCTCTCTTTCTCCTCTTGTTGAGCGAGAGGCACCAGAACAGCGAATATGTGCGTTTGGATTGGCTGAATAGTAGTAACCGCATTTTTGCCAAAGACCAGCTGTATTTCTTGCTGCCATCTAGTGATAGTGGACATCGGAATGAACTGCGCACTACGCTGTGGGTCTTCTCTTGGTTGTCTGTTCAGGAAGGCCGACGGCATTGGTGGTGGTCGCATTAGTTCTCGAAGACTTGGCGGATTTAGATTGAACTGAATGCGACCGTTCTGCAAGAAGTCTTGATCGCCTCGCTGAATCGCGCCCATAATAGCATCGAGGATTGCACCATGGCCACCGAGGCCACCGAGGCCCATGTTGCCACCCATAGTAACAATGGCTGGGGCTCCCTCAGTACCGGCCACCATGAACTGTGGTACTTCGGCCCCACCACCACGACCTTGCATGCCGAAAGTGAAGGCTCGACTTGAAGGAGGTTGAGAATCGTAGTCACCCCCTAAAACGTCTGGACGCTGTAGCAAGGGATTTGTTCCATCCTCGGCAACGTTGCGACTCGAAGGTGCATGGCGATGATGTCTACTGCCCAACAAGTGGTGTTCCATGGCATGGTCGCTCATATTGATCACTCCGCGACTGAGAAAAGACGGAAGACCGCCTGCTCGATTGTGCCTGGCTCGTCGAAAGACTGGCGGAGGAGGTTCTTCCCATCCCCACTCGTCGTTCTCGTCATAATCAGGGCCGTCAAGCATCATATCGAAAGGCTGATCGTATTCCATGCCCCCGTTGTCGTCCACTTCATCACCATCTTCGTCTGGGTCATCCTCTTCATCGTTGTCGTCGTCGTCAGGATCGTTGGTTTGCAGAATGACGTTGGTGTCACGAATCAAATCAGAGTCGTCCAAATCAGCATCGTTGAGTTCTCTGAGTAGATCGGTGAGGTGGGCGGCAGGATTGCGACCACCAGCTCCGATGATGGGTAGTTCATCTTCGTCGAAATGACCATCGTCGTGGTCCTCGTCTTCCTCATCCTCTTGGCCCTCCTCTTCATCTTCCCAATCATCTTCGCCACCTTCATTCTCGATGCCTTCGGAGTCTTCATGCTCGATCTCATCATCTTCCATCTCGATCTCAATGTCTTCGGCATCGTCTTCTCCGTCGCTCTCAGCCTCGTCATCTGAAGAGCTTTCTGACTCATCGTCATCCGGATTGTGACGATGATGGTGATGGTGACGATGACGATCAACGACGAACTCAATATCCATAGGGACATCGCCTGGGAGACCTTCCATATTACCGGGACCATCTAGTGTTTCTTCGAGCTCCTCGTCGCTAATGACCTCACCATCATTAGGTGGCGCCATTTCGTCATAATCCATTTCGGCGTCGTAGTCGTCGTAATCCATTTCCTCGCCATCTTCTTCTTCGTTGTCGCTGTCTGACTCGTCTTGACGCGCAGGGTCTAACATACCCAGAGCAGAGTTTCGGTATAGGTCGGGTGTTTCCTCGCGGTCATCATCGACATCTGAGACCTCTGAAGAAGCTTCGGAGAGGACGTCGGTCGTGGTCTGATCGATGATTCTGGGAAATTCATCAGGATGATTGAGATTGATGTCCATGGCTGTGGCTGTCAACTCCTTCAATGGGCGTAGAATGAACTTGATGACCTTCTTCGCATTAGGAAATGAGAGATCGATATCGCTGACAGCAGACGTCAGGATAGCAATGAAGTTCTTCTCGAGCATCATGCGTGCAATGCGCTTGTACGAAGTGTTGTTAGACAGAACTGAGCCGTCTTGACCTGATGGTTTAGTGATAAGCTTGTTGAACAGCTCGCCAAGACACAACAATCGTCCATAGCGAGCCTGTGTCGAGTCTGAAGCTGAGGTAGTGTCTCTAAAAGTCTTGAGAGCATGGTCGAGCACAAATCGACGGACATAAGCCAAATCTGCTTCCGTGCCACTGTCGTCGATCTGACGTGGCTGTGTGGGATAGCGTGACCCGCCAGCCGATCCCGATCCCTTCTCGCCAGTCTTGGCACAAAGACCGACTATGACTCTCATAGCCCATTCAGATGTTACCAATCGCTTTCGGCAGGCTATGGATTCGTCCTTGTCAACATAACCGGACGATACCAGTGAAGTGAGCAAATAATTCAGAACTCCCGATCGAGCTTTCGATGGTGTTGCGGCAAGAGGATCGGCTCTTCTAGAGAAGCTGATAAATTCCACCTTGGTCTGGTTGTAAGAATAGAGAAGCTCAGTCAGGCAGTGTAGTAAGTAGCATCGGTACATGAAGATGGGATGCTCGTCCGCCTTGAAGCGCGGTTTTTCTGACTTATCAGTAGTCGTTTTTGGAGCACCGGAAGCACTCTGACCGTCCTTTGCCTCGACGTTGAGCGCACTGCTGGTATCAGTATCTTTCGTGCCTTGAGGAGACGACTCCTGATCATCGACATCCTTGTAGGCCAGTAATTCGGTCAGGATGAAATGGACTACACCATCAGGGTGTTCAACGACCGGAATTCTGAAATCCTGCAGCTTGTCATCATCTGTAGCCGCTGGCGCATTCGTTTCAATGCTCACAGTTGGATCCTCTGCAGTGTTAGCTTCCGCTCCAGCAGCCAACTCTGTCGAGGGTTTGTCCTCAGCCTTTTCATCGCGAAGTCCCAGAGTAGAGCTGGCGCCAGGTTGACCACTAGTCCAAGAGAGAAGTTTTACTTTCTCGTTAGTAACCTCCACGAACAGAGTGGGAGATCGTAATGCTAAATGGGCCAGATCGCGCAAGTAGTTCGAAAGATCTGGTTGCCTCCCAGTCGATCTGTTCTTGAAATAGGAAGTTATTTCGGTGCCCATTATCTGCTTAATAGTGCCGTCATCCTCAATGACATGACGCAAGACCGTCATCAAAGCACCTTGAAGACGCATAATCCATCTACCACTCAACTGCTTGACCATGAGAAACAGCTTCTGTAGATTGCGTCTCTGGCCCTGCAACTGTGCTAACTTGCGATCCCGCGTCAAAATCACCAGTACACGGACAACAGCAAAGGCCATTGAACTATCCTTACCAACCTTGGGCAAAACTTCTTCCATGAGCTGGTTGAAGATGAACTCCTTCGAAGAAGTATCAACAACAGTGATATGTGTGAGCTTCGGCTCGTTGTAAGAGTCTACGTCGTTAGGCGGTGTCCAAGTGATCTCATCAGGACTTGCGTCCACTGCAAGCATCCTCTCGACGATCAGCAATATGGGTCCAATCCAAGGATATGACTTGCTATCACCAGCACTTTGCCCAGATATTCGCAGGAACTCCACGAGACCGTCTATTGAGTCCTGCATAACTTTTAGGGTGCTTGATTTGAAGTTGTCGTTGTTGCTGAAGAGGCCAATAAGATGAGCTGTCGCAGCAATTTTCTTGCCATGATTGTCGTCGACGTCTCCATCAATGTTCTGAGACAGTAAAGAAGACATTAGCAGATCTGTAACCGTCTCCCACCAGCTTCTTGCAGCCTCTTCGTGCAGTTTAGCCGCGCCAGCCACGAGAAGGTCGTTGAGTTCGAAAATGAGATTCGGATGACTGCTGAGGATGTTATTACAGCGTTCTGCAAGCTGTTCACGAATCGATTCTCGCTCAGCGTCAATAGTTTGCTTTGAAAAGCGTGGTGCAGTAACCCCAGCAGGCCGAGGTTGATTTAGCATGACACTGAGATCCATGGCTGACGAGGTTGTGCCCATGCTTCGTGCATTTGAGCGACTAGAGCCGTCCACAGGCGGATTGATTGCAGTGTTGGAGATGCCATTGCTGAGATTCATGTCGGACACGTCTACAAGGTCTTCATCCTGGCTGCTGTCTTCAAGAACAGTAGTGGTAGGCCCGCTGATAATGTCCATAGTGGTAGGCGGACTGGTGACCCGCGAAACAGGAGTTTCGTGGGCCGAACCTTTGTGCTTAACTTCGTTGGCCGGAATTGGCAGTCGTCGTCGACCAGGGTTGTCGTTCAAGGCTTTGCAATATTCCTCAGCATTCAGCATTTGTGGTGCATGCGCTACATTACAGCGATACAATGCTTCTTCTGCGACATCTTGAGCGAAACCTTTTTCACGAAGGATATTGATCTTGGTCTTATCCAGATCATACTTGCGCTTTTCATGAGGCTTTGGTGTAGGAAAGTCTTCAGCTCTGATAACGACATTCTCTTCGTTGTCTCCTTGAAGGGTATGCTTCAGAATGGCAGCTAGTCGACGAATGACATCAGGTGAAGCTTGCTCAGCATACTCACTATCCCAGATTCGACGGGTTAGTGGCATCGACTCCATACGCAATTCCAGCAAAAGTTGGTTAGGATTGAAGTAGAAAGGGCGCTCGCGATCAGTGTTCTTCATATACCCGGTCTGAGTCGATTGAATAAGGTCATGGCGTGTCAGATCTTCGAGGAGCTCCAAGCAGATTTTGAGGCCAGCATTCGCAGCGAACACAACAGCCTTGTCTACCTGGCACAACTTGAGCTCTTCATAAAAAGCTGTGCCTATGGCATCCAAGTTCCTGAGTCCTTCTGCTCGTCTAAAGCAATCCACAATGAATGACTGAGTAATAGAATTGGGAGGTACATTGTTATTGTCCTCCCACAAGCTGTCGCGAAGTCTGGATAAGACGACTGTAAAGTACTTAAATCGCCAATCTTTGATTCGGTCGTCATCGCTCCCTCGGGAGAAATGAGACATGAACGGGGGCTTCAACTGACAAGTCAGCGCCTGTGCTATGGCCTCACCAACTGCGTACAATTTTTGCTTGATTATGGTCTCGGGCTTCTTACGTCCGCTGCAGCTTGAGCCAATACGTGAGAACATCGTCGAGATCGCTGCTGGCGTCTCTGTCAGGAGATATCGCAAAGTTTTGAGATTTTGAAAGGCAGCTGTTTCCTCAACATCCTTGAGATTGTCTGGAAGGCTGGGCTTTGTCGAGCCATCCTGCTCGGCTTGCCGTGAATTTGACACGTCAAGAATGGTATCAACATCGTGGTCGCCCGTGGAATAATTGCCGGGTTTCGTAGCATCTAGCCAGGTTTTCGGCATCAGTGCTAGAAGAGAGATCTCTTCCCTACAGCAAGCAGCTGACAATTTTCCAAAAAGAAGGATAACCTCTGATAAAATGTCTGCGACATTGATTTGAGTCAAGACACTGTTGTGGTGTGCCCGTGTGGCATAAGATGGGGGAGTGAACACCTCGCCAATCACACGTGATATACAGTAGATGCTCATCAAGCCTCGAACAAGCGTTGTGCCATTGACTTTCTGTGTTACTGGTGGCACTGCGATGTCAACATCCATGCCCGAATTTGGTACCGAGATTTCCAGATGTTGTCCAAAGTAGCATTGCATGTCACTTGGACAGTAGTCGATGAAGTCAGTCAATGCGTCCATGCATATGTGTCTGGCGCGATCTGCTAGGAGTGGCAGAACTAGGTGAGACTTCTCATCAGCTATTTGACGAACGAGGGTTGTCAGATCCTGTATCAGTAAACCATCGGAGAAAGCATCCTCCTTTACTGGAAGGGTCGAGAGGGTAACAAAGTCTAAGATCAGATCTGTGGCACCAGCATTCAATGTTTCTTTGCACAGAAAGTTCGTGTCGAAAAATGCTGCAAGGAAGCTGATGACAGGTCGAGCAAAATCCAATGCAGTCAATCCGTCAGCGTCTTCATCGTTGGCGATCCGCGCCAAATCCGATTTTGGTGTCTGGCGAGGTAGCGCAAAGTCCAAGGTATCTTTAGTGGGCAAAAGAAGTGGCGCAAACTGTGAAGCAGAATTTTCGTCGGGAGGCATGTCGTCTGCCATCAGTGCTTGCACGCCCCCATCAACTACTATGCCAGAATCGTCCTGAACCCAGATCTTGGGTCCTGCACCGATGAGTCTGAATTTCGTCTTGCAGATGTATCGTACTCGCGCAAGCATTGTCACGACCGAACTGACGACTAGATCTTTGAGCGCAGGATGATGTCGAACAAGCTCATCGAAGGTGGAACCAAGCTGGACGAGTACGTTGCTATCTCTAATCGCTTTGACGTGCGCCGGACTCTCGAAAAGTTCGAAGAACTTTCCCAGTACATTCGAAGCAACGAATTGGCGATGTCCTGTCTCAGTCAAGCAGATTGCACCAAAAGAAGTGGCTAGATTCAGAATAGCATCTGCGATTGGAGGGAGTCCCAAATTGGGCTCGGAGGGAACAGTGGAAATGGTACGAGGGGCACTTTCTGTACTTTCCTCCTGCATGGACTGTTGGGGTTGAACTGTGGAAAGTAAGGTTGAGATGATGCCAGCCTCTGAGACAATTGTATAGCTTGTCGGCTCATTGTTGAGAAAGCTGCATATCGCCGTCACAACTTCGCTCCAGGTATGAGAGCCGAACTCTGCCATGTGAGACAAAATTAGGCGGAAGGCATTCAACAAGCTCGCTGAATCCACGAAGCCACGGAGTGCACGGTCTGCATGATTGCCTTGGTGCTTGGAAATGTCCTTTACCAACATGATCAATTCGCGCAAGACGTATTGTTGCTGGTAAGGTATTTTGTAATCCACACCTGGGGTCTTCCATTGTTCTGAGATGCCTTCACCGTTCTCGTAAAGTTCTAGAGCCTCTTTACTGAGCTTTTCTGTGGTATCACAGGCGATGGTGAAGACGCCATACGAGTTTAACACTTGGAGACCATCCTTGAAGTGATGGAATATATGTTCAAGGAATTTGAGAATCGACGCGTGAATTCGAAGAGCTCTTGAGGTGGTGATGTGCAGACCTGACGCATAAGCTACAATGAGATTCTTGTGGACGAACTGCTCCGTAGATCGAGTGTTGTGTGGGCCAGTCTGAGTCACGAAGATCGCCCAAAGCATGAAGACAGCATGTCGCCATTCATCGCCTGCACTGTCACCGAGTGCTTCATCATCAATGGCTATGTTTGCAAGACCTTTCTGCACGAGCGAGAGTAGGAGGCCATGGCTTGAGTTGGGAGCCAGCGAAGACATTATTTCGGTTGAGGTTTGTCGATATCTGGACAAGATTGCCAAAGTCTCCATAGCTAGACTTTGTACGTAGAGAGAAGGACCAGAACCTTTCTTGGGATCGCGAAGCAACTCGACCAGTTGTTGGACAAGTTGCTGACGTAAAGCCACATTTGAGTCGCCATCGAAATACTTTGAGGTAAATTCTTCCTCCGAATAGACTTGGCTGACCACGCCTAGAGCTGCAAGCCGGATGCATAGAAGCAGATTTCTTGTCTCGCCTGAGCCTAGCATTCCATAAGCCACTCTGAGCTTGTGTAGAAACTCGTAGCGGGTGGTTGTTGGCATTGTCTCCGATTCCTTTTGGAGAAGTGCTTCAGCCGTAGTGTTCATCAGATCAGAAGCTTCAAGGTCGATCTGTCGCAGATCAGACTGATCAGACGGAATAGCTCGAGTCGGACCATTGTCTTTCGGTGGTCCAGCAGTGCCAACAGCCTCGTGCCGTCGCAGAGGTGATGGGGTTGAAGGTGAGTCTGAGGTGGTGGTACGGAAGGCTGCTGGACGCGTGCTGGAGGTCGAAACCGTTGGAGGCGACCAGACAATTCTTAATGCAGCTACGGACGCCCAATCGCCTCCTTCAGTGCTGTCGTCGGATGGTGATTGTGCGTGGGCAGTATTTGCAGAACTTGGTCGAGCCAAGGCGCGAAAATCGTTCGGGTCGGCTGTAGTTGGAGTGCGGCGTAGCTTGGCTTGTGCAGTTTTCTCTTTCGACTTGGGAGTTTTAACGGGTGACAGCGGACCTCTTCTTGCAGGCACTCGAGGGACAGGGGTCGCAAGCTTTTGAAGTTTGTCCAGGTCAAAGTGATAGAACGATGTGTGGCTCGGTGACTGAGGGCCGCGATCGGCGAAGCGCTGAGCAAGGACAAGTGTGAGGCGAAGGGTCTCGTGTAGAGTGGTCAGAGAAGTGGTGTTCAGTAGGTCGTTCAGTCTATCGGTGCTATTGTACAAGGTACGGTTGCCGCATTTTTCTAGTAAAAGTCTGGAGAAGGCCAAGATAGCCTGAAGCAATACCTGGTCACCATCTTCGGCCAGACCAAGCTCCTCGAGCTCAACGACATCAGGATTGGAGGATCCTTCGACGAGCACAGTATTATCAAAAGGCTTAGCCTGAGGACCAGCACTTAAACCATATACCTCATTGATCTTGCGCAATACTTCATCAAACCGGTCTAGTGCCTCGATCCAGTTGTAGAGATCGCCACGAGGAAACGGCCATTGTGCTGGAAAGGACGCAAGATGCTTTGGCAACTGCACGAGCGGTAGAGTAGTGGTTTTCTCGATGAACTCTGCCAACGCTGGCGACTAGTGGCAAGGTTAGCAAGAAGGGTACAAGATTGATGTGAAGCCTACACCTACCAAGGACAGCTTGTGTTTGTCGTTCGCCTTCTTCTGAACCTTCCCCATCTTCACGAAGGTACTGCGATGTCCACTAGGGACCGCATGGGAAGTGAAGAGAGACGATGTCGCTAAACGTCTTTTATTGCTACTCAATCACTGTATCCTTCGAATGACGACTTTGTGATTTACCAGAAACTTCGGACGAGAACTGAGCTTTGTTTCTCGCGTCTATGACGTTCGTGCTTGTAGACCTTTACTTTGCAGGAAGAGCGCCGTGCTGAGAGTCGAAGATTGAAGATGAGCAAGGACGTTGACTAGTGCAGGAGTCGACCTTTTAATCTCTTCGGTATTTCGACGAAGGTACAATATGCGCGGCGGATCAGTGGGTCGGGTGGTACTGAAATGAGATGCAGACTTGAGTGAAGTTTGGATAGGATCGATGTTTGATGGACGAGAGACTTGCAGAAGCATAATTCGTTAATTACTCCAGGCACCATGGAGATGCGCTAAGCTGCGTCATCTTGCCTCAGGCATCAAATTGTTCAAGCATGAATTACTTTCTTATGAAACTACTGTACTACTACCAGTAGCTACAAACGACCAACGTTCTACTCGTACCATGTCGCATATCTCTAGACATATTGCCATCACTAGACAGACGAAGCTGGAAATCTGAAGAATTCCACGAGAAGCCGAGTCAAGGAAAGAGGCTAGGTGTCACTGCGGTAGAGCCAGCTTATATTTGCCCTGTTACTCGAATAGAATCATGTTCACCTATTTATACGATGTCCGAAGGTCAACAATATCACAATGTGGGTGTGAAGGAAAAATGGCAGAGGACTAGTCAAATTTGGTATTCATCGAAGCAGCTCTTGCTCACGGAAACCGGGAGGTACTGATCGAAGCACGACTGCAATAATAATCTTCTATGTTGCATTCAACGTCTCTTTTGTCAATATGACCGTACTCTTAATATCTGATGCACAAACGCGACTCCTGTAGTGTCGGTGCTCTACAGTGTGTTCCGCTAAGACACCAGGTGTGGTGGGACAGTCCGATCCACTTAGCGCGCCGAATAGGTGTGCCCTCGATGCTACAGTACTCAAGAGTAGCATCGAGTGGATTGTATAGCCGTGCTCTCGTTTTAACCTGATTTAGCCTTAGACAATCCATTATATACGCTAATGCATACTAAAATCTACTATCTTCCACTGTCTAGCCCACTGTACACCACACCTAGAATGTACAGTCCGATTTTGCGGATGGGCTACGCCAAATCGGACTGTTCATCGTACGGTACACCACACCTGGTGTCTTAGCGGAACACACTGCTAGTCGGCGTCGTAAATAAATTGCGTTACGAGCGTGCTCCTTTCTGCAAAGTCTCCTAGACGAACCCCGTTCAACTTTCTCATGGAGCCTATCACGACAGGAGTAGGAGATGTGAGTGGCGGGGTGATAGAGACACTAAGCGTGCGGGTATTGGAATATTGGTGGATCAACTTTTTCCTCGATTGAGGCGTGGCCGTCTGTCTCATTCTGCTCGCCTGTACAGAGCCAGCAACGTTTATCCTTTACCATCTGCGTAGAAAAGGTTCGAGCACACTGGCAGATGAAGAAGCCAGTAGTATCCAACCGTGCCAACAAAATACACGTCCTTTGTTACCAATATAGCATACTGAAGTCTTAGTCATGGCGAGCAAGACTATCGAGCTGCAGATACGTCCACGAGGTAAGTAGGCTGACCTGAAATTCGTACAGCTGCTAACAAGTGGTTCAGGCAAACCGATCAAGTCACTACCTGACACATTGACCCTGAACTCGTCCATAACCACGGCCGAATTGTACAAAGAGCTCGCGAAACAGACAAGATACTCGGTTCACCAGCTGCGCGTCACTAAGGGCAGTGATGGCTCTTTAATTACCAATGCCACAGATACCACAATCTATTCCACTGGCGTGAGGGACCAGAGTACAGTGTACGTGAAGGACCTCGGACCACAACTTGGCTGGCGTACAGTCTTCGTCGTCGAATATGCTGGTCCTATCTTTATCCACCCCCTGATATATGCCCTACGACCCTATATCTATTCAAATGCTCCCTCAGAAGGCTCGCATCTACAGGCACTATGCTTGATGATGGTCGTTGGACATTTTGTTAAAAGAGAGCTCGAGACACTGTTCGTCCATAGGTTTTCTGCCTCCACTATGCCCTTCACGAACATCTTCAAGAACAGTGCTCACTATTGGCTCCTCGCTGGTGTGAACATGGCTGCTTGGATCTATGCGCCGAATTCACCTACAGCTAAAGAGCCCAACTCTCTGCTCATGTTTACCGGACTCGCTCTTTACGGCATTGGCGAGCTTCTCAACCTCCAGAGCCATTTAACCCTAATGAATCTGCGCAGCCCTGGGGGTTCCGAGAGAGCCATTCCTCAAGGCTGGCTGTTCAACCTGGTGACCTGCCCAAATTATATGACCGAGGCTTTGTCCTGGCTTGGCGTCCTGCTAGTCAGCAATTTCAGCTTGTCGGTTGTGGTTTTCATCCTTGTATCCGTCGGACAAATGATGCAGTGGTCCAAGAAGAAGGAAAATAGATACCGAAAGGAATTCGGGAGCCAGTACAAGAAAAAGAGGTATACAATGTTACCTGGTATATGGTAGGTTATCAACTGGTCGGACGCAGATAGCACATACTACCAATCCTATGTCGGAATTATGTCAGCCTACAAACGTTTCTTACGCATTATTACTTGGTCACATGGACACCAAGGCATCCACAGCTCAAGTTCCTCTCGATCGGAAGCTGCCCAATCACGATAATGACTGATGGTCATTGCAGTAGCCAGACATTACATTAGCTATGTATCTGTCCATTCATCGCCAGAACCCGCAATGCCTACTTCTTTGCAAGCCTTCACGAGCAGAGGTGTATGACACCAGAGTTCGCCAAGGCCGGAACTTCGTGTTCATTGGCAAATCACCCGACCTACCTGAGTCTCGGCCATGTTTTAAGCGAGCATTCGTCGAATTGGTACTAGACCAATGCAGTCTTCATGTGCTCACGATACTGCCTGTCAGAGCCACCGTGCTGCAACTCACGAATCTGACATAGGTCAAGGCAGCCGCAAAGCTGTCAACCAGAATTGTGATGTTTAATTATGACTCTAGCAGTAAGACCATAGCTGGTGGCCGGACTCAGTACTGCAGCACGTTGCGAAAGGTTATGGTCAACCGCAAGATTGTCGATAGTCGGGCTTTTTCCTTCACCAAGTTATCCACTAGCCTCACATTCAGTATACAGCAATGCCTTTGACAAAGCACCAGAAACAGGACACTTCTGGAAGGAACCCTAAGGCCTGGCGTCGGCTTGTGCAGGGTGTGTTCTCTGGTTCAGCGTCCGTGAAAGAGCGGCAACCAGCAATATCCATATCACGACCTTCGGATGTGCAGCACGTCCTCAATGCACGCGTTCTACGTGAATGGTCGTCCGATGTGCTGGACTCATTGGACGCGCAAGAAGTGGATGTTTTTGAGCTAGAAGATGGTAGAACAATCGTTGTTGGTCCTGGCATGGCGGCTTTGCCGACCTCAACAACGTCCGTTGGAGCCTTCCGCACTCGAAGGAACGAATCCCAGAGGTACGACATGAACGAGGACGGTAGTGTGTACCGCGAAGTGAGCCCTCCTCGCGCCAACTATTTGAGACCACCTCAAGTAGATGCTCAGCCAAGTAGTCGACCACAATCGCCAATGGACCTCGATTTAAACTCGCGCTTTCGCTGGTTGCCTGAGGGTAATCGCCCAAAGTGGTACAGACTCTACGACGGCTGCGAACACACCAGGCTCGAGAATAGTGACAACTACTTGTGCGCCACCTGTCGGCGTATCGATATGTTCGCAATATTGAATCAACCCGAAGTAGATAGCATCCCTCCTCTTACTGAGTTTATTGTGCTAGGTCCATTGCAGGCCATAATCCAGAAAAGAGCTTGTGGCTTTTGTCGCTTAGTCATGCGCATGTGGTCCCTCGAGATCTTTAAAGTACTACCAGCGAACGCATCTGGGGCTGAGGTCGAAAAGAAGTTTGTCGACTCACTTGTCGCTGACAGCAACGATATTTACTATCTTTACCCTGTTCGTTTCAAATCCGAATATGGCGTTCCAGCCTTGCACCTCGCTCGCAACATCTGGAATGGGCAAAGGCAGAGCGTCGTGTTGAGCGGATCTAATAACATTTTACCTGCAAGAAACCTGGCCATCAGACCAGTCCACCGGTCTCAGCGAAGACTTGGACGCTTGGTCGTGAAGGACAGAATAGATACCGAATGGATCAGGACACGTCTAGCACTATGCGATGAGAGATCTGCAGGACCACCTCGTGGAGTCAGTGGCACTCTACGAGCAATTGATGTCAATGCAATGTGTATCGTTGATCTTGAATATGGTGCACGATATGTTACTCTGAGCTATGTATGGGGCAAGACCTCATCTATGCGCCTCACTCGAGAAACCGAAAGAGAGCTGTACGAACCTGGAGGCCTATTACGATTTATTGACCTCATACCCAGGACTATTCGCGACTCGATGAGACTTGTGCGGGAGATTGGCGAGGAACATTTGTGGGTCGATGCGCTCTGCATCATACAGGACGACGAACATGATCTAGACTCACAGATCTCGAGAATGGGAGAGATATATGGCCAGTCAACACTAAGTATTCAGGCCTGCTGTGGTGAAGATGCCTCATATGGTCTCCCGGGTATTGAACCTGGTGGTCGTCAAATCAAACAGGTCTGCGAAGTTGTTGGTCATACTGTTTTAAGCAACATGCTTCCAGGTGAGGAACTGTCTCAGAAATCTGTATGGGGTACAAGAGCCTGGACGCTTCAGGAGAAGTTCCTCGCGCAGAGGAAATTGATTGTTACGGACGAAGTCATGCATTTTTGGTGTTGGCACACCTGTTCACCTGAAGACGAGATCGATGCACACGAAAGCTGGCCAATTGGTACGAGGCACAGGCAGATGATCTTCTTCAATGACGATCACGATCGTGTTGTCAGCAGACGTGGTGCTATGTGTAACCTTGACCTCTTCGCTTTCATTATTTCTGACTATACTCAAAGGAATCTGTCTCATCCGGAAGATGCAGAAAAGGCTTGTCGTGGTATCCTCAACAAGCTGGCAGGCTATTTCCGAGGTCGCTTCAACTACGGTCTTCCAAACACAGAGATGGAGGATGCACTTTTGTGGTGTCCCATTGGTCCAAGCATACGCAGAATCAACGTGAGCACAGGAGAGCCGCTATTTCCAAGCTGGAGCTGGCTGGGTTGGATTGGACATGCGGCTTACCCCTGGCTGATCGAAAGAAGGTTCCCCCCATCCGGACTGAACTCACCACTGCTCTGGAAAACGATGGACACCAGTGTTCATTGTTATAGCGGACAAGATTACCGGCTATCAAGTCAGATCGGCAAGGAGTTTCCCTATTCTGGATGGGAACGGCTCGCACAAGATCCGTGGTGTTTCCAAGAGGAAGGAGCCTCCGCAGACGCTGGTTTTCCGTTTCTCCATCCGATAGAGCACGCCAGTCGTAGTGACAGGCTATGGCATTCTCTCGATGATTCAGCTTCCAAACAATTGCGCTTCCAGACACTCAGTGCCATGTTCGAGTTGGGAGACACAATCAAACAACGCAAGCAGAACTACAATTACGAACCCAAAGTCTTCCAGCTACAGGTGCTTAGTTCCGCTGGTTACAGCGCCGGTTATATTTATGTTCCTGATCCAGACAGTATGTCATACCAACAACGTACAGCTTTCACAGGCCGACAGGAGTTCATCATTGTGTCACGGGCAAGTTTAGACTCCGACCCTCGGGTAGGAACCGATTTCTTGGAGGAGAATTTGGTACAATCCTCGCTCTGTATGACGATGCCATCTTCAGCGTATGGAAGCACTCGGTGGGATAGAGGAGACGAAACAGCAGATGGGAGCAGTCTTGACCCGGACGCGTACTTTGACAATCGAGTGTACTACAAGACCAATCCATGGTGTCTGTTCAATGTGCTCATGATTGAACGCGATAGGTATGGTATTGCATATCGGCTGTCTGTCGGCAGAATTCACATTGGGGCATTTATGGCTGAAGATCCTGCGTGGGTGGACGTTGTGCTTGAGTAGCACAGGATAGTTCTCTGTTTGTCTCTCGTATCGACGGTAATGACAATCAAGATACTGGTATCTGCTTGCAACAGGTATTCGTGGAAACACGTCCTGGTTCAGCTGAGTAGTTTATTTGGCGTCCGCTATACACACGTAGAAAGTGCGAATCGTCAATCAATAGTTTAATACCCCTTATCTCTGGCCTTTCAATTCGAACATATCATTTTGCACTGCCGAAGCAGTATCTTGAATGAAATTGTCGCGTATAAGTTCAGTTCGCTGTGACAAAGTTAGGGGTTCACGTCTGTTCCACTACCACGTGCCTGGAGTGACTGCCGCAGCAAACAGATAACCCAATTTCTGCTGCAACACAGTCTTCCGCTGTTTCATGACACAGTAATAGGTTTATTGGTTGATTGTCTGTGGACGACATAGGCAAACAATCAACGCCAACGGCGATGTCGATACGCAGATCATCATAATGCATTTCGCCCTTCCTCCTCGAAAGACATCGTTTCCTCCTCCTTATGCTCGAGTCTCTGCCAAAAACTATTCCGAGAAACGACGCAGACAGATCCAATACCTTGCCTACTTGATCTTCGCCGTACTCACGTTATACTTGGTGGCCGCCTTCTTCACTGGTGAACACGTGCGCAGCCAGGATGGCACTATTTCACCAGGGGCATCAGTCGTCATTGTGACAGTTCTCGACGAAGTGTCTATGAGCAAGGACTATATATCTGTGATCAAAGAGAACAGGGACGACTACGCGAGGAGACAAGGTAAATGCTCTGCTTGAGATTAAGGATATGACTGACAAAAAAACAGGGTACCAAACCTTCTATACCAATACCACTACCTATGCTCACCTTACAAAACCTTCGCCTCCCTCATGGTCTATGGTGCCTGCGCTTCGTCATGCTCTCACAGCATACAGCGACGTCGATTACGTCTGGTACCTCAGTCCTCATGCCCTGATCATGAACCCCTCCGTTTCTCTATACGATCACGTCTTCGCCAACCTCACAAACTTAATGCAGAAAGACATTCCTGTGGTTCCGCCAGATAGCGTGATTCACACTTTCTCGCATCTCAAACCTTCACAGATCTACCTAATTCTGTCGCAAGATGCGGACAACGTTGCCCATACCTCGTTCATCCTGCGAAACTCGGATACGGTCTCTGTAGCAGCAGGCACACCTAGAGATAGCTGGTCGCAGTACTTCCTAGACGCCTGGTTCGACCCTCTCTACCGAGCTTATGCCTTCCAGAAAGCAGAGAACCATGCTCTTGAACACATCATACAGTGGCACCCCACTATACTGGCAAAATTGGCCATGGTCGATCAGCGACTCATAAACAGCTACAACACCATGAGTGACAAGACCGAGGTCGATTTAGACACTGATGTGGCACATGGCAAGCACGACAGTCAATACAGGAAAGGCGATCTTTTGGTCAATTTCAAGGGATGTTCTGAAAGTAAACAGCGGGATTGTGAGACAGAGATCAAGACCTTCTACAGAAGGTGGCAGGATGAGGTCGGTCGAATTGATGGTCGCAGTGGTACTGGCAAGACTCAAGCTGCATGATACCTGCTGGGAGTTGCTATGCTTCACGACTTGTATGAAATATTTTCATGTACTTTTAGGGGTAGGTTTAGATATAGACGTGCAACGATTGATTGAAACATCTCGGAGGTTGTGGAGAAATGTGAGCCTTCTCAAAGACGTAGCAAGCCTATAAACCATCAAGCATGCTCAAGTATTGCACCAATAATCTTGTCAATAGGAAGCAGCGACCGATTCAGTATTGTTCACTCAATTTGCTGGGCGTTCACGTCCAATCTCTCTCGTAATGATACTGATAACGAGGTTCTGGCACCACGAGATAAGCCGCATAGCCAACACATGCTTGATAGATACAGCAATCATCCTTAATATTGCTTGTTCTTATTCGATACCTCAGCCACTACGCGAAGAGGCTCAGACCTATACACTCCGGAACTCTGCAACTTACCAAGTACGATTTGAAGCAGAACCTATGCAGCAGACATAGGCGAAAGTCACTCGGCACACCAATCCTCAACAAGGAAATTCTCTCGAAAAGATCAACAATGACCGCCGCCCAAACCAGCCCTTTGGCTACGCTCAACCGTAATGCCATGCAGAAAGTTAGAGACAATACTGCGAAATCAGAGGTAAGCTTCCTTTTGTGACTGTCCCTGAAACTATTCTCCTCGAGCATTGGCAGGTACGCCAATCGGTGACGGTGAGTGACACGGATACAAGCAGGTGCCATGACTCCCGTGGTCATGGTGATGATCATTTTGCTGCCAGGATTCGACGCGTTTCCTGGTTCATACTCTCTTTCTATGCGGGGGGATTCCAAGACGATGTTTTAGCGACTTGAAGAGCTGCCATCGCAGTGTTCAAAAATTTGCTGTGAAGTCGGGTCACTTCGAAAACAGCTCTGCTCTTGACTGAAGGCTACCAAAAAAAAGCCTCACGGTATATATTGACCAATGATACACAGCATGGACTACAGGAGCAATAAAAGGATCAAGGGACACTCAACCGAGATCGTGGAGAACCTCACGGGCAACTTACAGCAATTTGCGGGGACCAGGCTTGCCGACTTTTACGTTTTATCCCGATGTCTGCATCATGCAGATTTACATGTGTCTCAAAAAATCGTGGAAGGTCTGACTGTACGAGTATTTCGCCTATACCTCGTCCTCGGCAATTCCTGAAATCCGCGTCATTAGATCATTCGGTACATTGAAAACTGAGCATACTAGTCGCCAATAAGATGTGTCGGTAACCTTCAGAACGAAAGGGTCTGTTGAGCGGAGCGGCTAAAGGACGATTTGCCAGTCTAAAGAAGTTGAACACTGACGAGGCTTGCCCGAATCAGCCAACATGGCTTCGTCCATGACTACCCAGGAAACTGTGAGCTACTCCATCATCATTGTGGCTTGAGTGGTTGGTGACACACCGTATTGTGTGTACTGTTTGAGCCTTCGTACTCATTGTGCTGGACAAGACTTTGCGCCCATGCTTACTATCACGCTTGCAGAATGGTTGCACAAGCATACATCTTGTGCACATGGCGAATCAATCACCCTTGGACGTTTACCTTGGCAATGACTGGACCCGTCATAAAGCAGATTTCTGGCGAGCAATGGCTGACCATGTTTCTCAGGCAGATGCGGGCCAGGTTGTCCTGGTTATGGTTGGCTTGCCAGCCAGAGGGAAAAGTCTGATATCCGGCAAAGGTATGAGGTTCTAAAACAAACATACTTCCTAACTAATTGCTGATATTAGTCAAACGCTATTTACAATGGACCTCGGTCAAAGCAGAGATATTTAATGTCGGCAAGTACAGAAGGGAAGGCACACCTCATCCAGATGCGAAGTTTTTTGATGCTGGCAATCCTGAGGGTGAGAAGGCTCGACGAGCAGCAGCTGAAGCAGCAGTCGCGGACATGCTGAAATGGCTCAAAGACTCTGCGAACAAAGTCGCCATACTCGATGCTACCAACTCTACAAAAAGCCGCAGGAAATGGATATATGAGAAGCTCGAAGAAGCGAGAATGGCTCATTGTTTTGTAGAGAGCAAATGTGATGACGAGGAACTGATCATGGCAAACATTCTCGACGTCAAGACCACTTCTCCAGACTATGTTGGGTAAGTTAGCCATCAATGGTACGCTCAAGTCGGCTAATTCATTGACCAGTCAAAACCCCGAAGAAGCAGCCAGGGATTTTCGTGATCGCATCAAGATGTACGAGAAAGTCTACCAAACAATCGACGAGTCAGAAAAGCATCTCACCTATGTCAAAGTTACAAATATCGGGCACCAAGTAGTCATCAACCGCATACAAGACTACCTGCAATCACGCCTCGTCTACTTTCTTACCAATCTACACATCAAGCCTCGAAGTATCTGGCTCTCCCGCCACGGTGAATCAGAATACAACCTCGAAGGTAAAATCGGTGGAGATGCCAACCTCTCCTCTCGTGGCTTCCAATATGCCAAAATGCTTCCCGAACTTCTACGCAGAAGTGGTCTACCGAAAGACGCACCCCTCACAGTCTGGACCAGCACCCTCAAGCGCACAAACCAGACCGCCGAAGGTATCGTGGAAGAATTTGGCTGGGAAAAATTACAATGGAAGGCCTTGGACGAACTAGATTCTGGCACCTGTGACGGCATGACTTACGCTGAAATCGCAGACCAATACCCCGAAGACTTCAAAGCCCGCGACGACGATAAATACAACTACCGCTACCGCGGCGGCGAGTCATATCGAGATGTAGTCATCCGCCTCGAACCCATCATCATGGAACTAGAACGATCAGAGAATGTCCTCATAATCACGCACCAGGCCATCGTGCGATGTATCTTCGCATACTTTATGCAGGTGGACCAGGCGAAGAGTCCATGGATGGAGGTGCCCTTGCACACATTGATGAAGTTGACACCGAGAGCATATGGTGTCGAAGTCGAAAAGTTCAAGGCTAATATCTCTGCTGTGTCGACATGGCGGCCAAAAGGAAGTACAGCGAAACATCACGAGGCGGGCGAGGCGGATACTGTGGTTGGCGAGGTTGTCGCAAACGGACATGGAAATGGAAAGGAGGAAGAACAAAAGAATGGGACCAATTAGACGAGCGAAGGTGTGCTGAATGGTACAGTATAGGTTGTGGATTGTTAAGAAAGCATAAGTCGTAGATATTCTTCTCATTATTCGAGGTGTTAGACTACCTGTCATCATCCCCCCAAATAGTCCCAATGCAATACCAAGCCAAGTAAACGGTATGCATATGTGTACACACCCAGCTCGAATGCCAATTTCCAGCTCAAACCTCTCCGCTTCTGCTCCTCACCTAATCCCACCTCATCCCCTCCTTCCGCCCTTCCCACACTCCCCAACCCCCATCTCATAACACCTCTCCAACATACTCCCCCCAAACAACCATTCAACATCCGCCCGAGGCCCAAATTTATTCCCATGTTCTGGCCCAGCCCTCAGCCATTTCATCACTTTTGACCTGTCGAGTTGACCGTTGCAGCGTGTTTCGAGGAAGGATTTGCATGTTAAGCAGAGTTTGAGGCCGCATCCGCTTATGGGGGCGCGGAGGTAGGACGGGGAGGAGAGTGTTGTTGTTGAGGAGTGGGGGTGTGGTGGTTTTGAAGAGGAGTTTGAGGAAGGGAGATTTTGTGATTTGAGGCTGTTTGTGATCGAAGACGAGGATGAAGGCAAGGCGTTGGGGGCCATGTCAACGTCGTCATCCTTGTCAACTGATGTCGTAGGCTTTTCCTCAAAGATTGGTTTGACATCAGCGTCCATCTTCCTTGGAGGTGTGCTCGGAGTACCTGACAAAGCCCTCACCACAGCTGAAGAATCCGTCTGATCTGGAATCCTGCACGGCCTTTTCATAATATCCGTCTTCTGCCACTTGCAGCACTCCCACATTGCGGGCGTGAAGCAGAGATTGCAGGTGGGGAGAAGCGCAGTCTTGGAAAGTGTGTTCGTCCCTGGCAACAACTCCTTTTTGAAAAGATGTCTCAGATAGGCGGCTAGCCTCTCTTTTGTTGGCATTAAACCCTGGACTCTTCGAAATGCTGGCTTTGTGTTGGACCGAGCTCTGGAATTGCTATTGTAGCTGCTGGCACTGGGATCGTGGCAGCGTGTTATCCACAACCTTCTCAGGGCGCAGGTCACGCACATTTTCGTGGGTGATTTTCCTTCATTGCAATGGCCGTCGCCTAGCTCTTGGTATTGGAAGGGCTTGTCCTTATCGACGAAGACGGAGACTGCTCGTTTGCCTAGTCCTAGGATGCCCATGCGATAGTCAGCGCAAAAGTCACATTGTGTGCGAGCTTTAGGTATGAGGCGGAAGTGGATGGGGTGGGCATAGTAGGTCTCGATAGTGAACGTGCTCGCCTCGCTGTAAAATTCATCATGCGAACGACTTGCTTGGCTCAGGCTAACACTGTCACTCCGTAGCGAGACTGGTGACGGAGGATATTGCTGCCTGGTTGCGTTGTTTTTATTGTGATGGTGGAGAGTAGCATGGCTGTTTGGAAGGTGTGGGCCCTCTTCATCGGAGTCATCGAGAAGCTCGATGGGATCGTCCCAAGAACCGATCTGTCTGGCAGGTATTGGCTTAGTGACATCTGGCTTGGTGACAGTGCTCGTTGTGGGACTTGGTTGAGCTTGGCTGACATGGTCTTTGTCCAGGTCCTTAGTGACAACGGGATCTCGGTCGTTGTCAGGATTATAGTCCTCGACGTCTTGTTCCTTGCGCTCCTCAGATTTCTTCTTCTTTAAGATTCTGCCACTACGTAAGGACGTGCGTGCCAGCGCACCACCGACTTTCGATATCTCAGACTCAACACCCCATTCTCTTGCAAGCTCAGTCGTACCATAGGCATCCGAGTTCTTCCTCGACTTTCTAGTGCTTGGATACCTATTAAAGTAGCTTGGCTCAGGATGTGGCTCCCTTTCCAGCTCCTCATCCTCGAAATCACCCTGACCCCGCCCACGAATGGGCCCAAGGTCTGCTAGGAAACGTCTTCCGTTCTCGGTCATCAGCCTGAACGTTATATAAGGTTCCAGACTTGCTTTCTCCTCATCTTTTGTCTTCTTCACCTGCTTTTCCTCGTCGCCTACGTCTTCGGCCTTCCTCTTTGGGTCGTTCTTTTTCTTGCGATTGCACGACTTTTTCTTCTCCTGCTTTGGATCATACTCACCATCGTCGGAGCCTTCCTTACTATGCTCGTGCCACGTGCTGAAGTTGGGTAATGGAACTATTTTAGCCGCCCTGCGGAAGCCATACCTGCTTCGCAAATGTCTCTCAAGATTGTCTGATGGAAACCCTCTTTCATTGCCGTATGGTGCGATCTCGTGGAAGACTCGAAGGGCGTGCTCGAGGCGCTCCTTCGTATAGACCATTTCGTCTGGAGGATGGTTAGGACATTGAGGGAAACTATCCATGCAACGAGTGTAGTACGTCTGGATGGATCGATGGAGCAGGATGTGGCACCTGCATCAGAAAACCCCGAAGCAAGTCGGGCCCTGAAGGAGAAGTAAGTATGCAGGAGGGAGCGCAATAGAGGAAGTGGTATCAACGGCAGGACGGGAGAGCTAGTACATACCAAGAGGAGCTTGCAGAAGAAGAGTAGATCTGTTCGAAGATGGAAGTTAGAGGCGCAGAGCGTGGAAGACGGAGAGAATCACAAAGGATGTTCAACAGGACGTGGAGGACAGAGAAAGTGTTCATCTATCTGGTGAGAAAAAATTGAAGTCAATGTGAATCGGGAACTAAATTTCATGTTCAATGCCACGCTCACTTGAGCATGGTCCCCGACCGTATGGTGGCAGCCTTCATGGACATGAGCAGTATGCCAATAGAATGTATTTATTCGATGTATACAACGATGCGCGCAAATTGCAACAAGGCAAATCGTGTGGTCACTATCTCCGGATTTACGACAACTATACATGATTAGCTGTGCACACCAACGTGGAGATGTATGACCAGAATGCGTATTAGATGTCAGACTCGTGCCTTGTCACAGGCGTTATCGTCAAAAAATGTTACGTTGACCGTCGTGATAAAAATGATAGTCATCATGTTAAGGAGGTGAAATGTTGCAGGGAATGATGTACTTACTGAATTAATCTCCCTCGTTCTCACTTGCACGCTGGGAGCCAGTTAGCCAACGTCCAGCTCTTGTAGTTGGTAAATAGAGAGAATGAGGTTGTCAGACATGACTGGACTCGTCTTGTGCTGGCCGAAGCGAGCTCGGACATATGCTTGTCTTTTGTGATGTCGATTCATCATTCTTCGTGGCAAAGTATGAAGCTGATAATACTCACTCGAGGAAAATACTATTTGTTGTCAGTCGACATTCTCCTCAACGATTGTTTATACAGCAAGGTGAAGATAAGGATCAGTTTTGCATGAATGGTAAAAATAGATTTGTCTGCATCAGGTATCAGACTCGTCATCAAGTGCTCATCATGGTGTATCGTGGTTGAAAAACATAGCAGCAAGACTCACCAGATGGTTGTGTTCCAGTGCCGCGTTTGAAACGATTGCGAAGCGAGGCTCTTGACAAATAGTTAGCTACTAGCTAGTAGCAATTGTAGTGGGAAAATCGACGTGGGTGTAGATTCAGTGGGCGAGGTTTTCTAGGCCTGCCACAAAAGGGCATATCCATCAAGACCGGCATTTTTAGTGCCGTCGGCGCCCAGTGCCATTCATCATAATGGGAAGGGTTTATGTAGTAATGCTTCTCTTACTTTGCTTTTTGAGGCTTCGAGGTTCGTTTGCGGTTCTAGATGAAAAGCAAAATTAGCAACGGCAACTAACGAAGCTTGTGTAACGAATTGTGTTTGGTTTCAATCAGTAAAGCCATTTGATATCTGCAAGGGCGAACCTCAGTCGGTAATTTCCAGCGTATATATTGTAAAAAAGCATCATGTGAAAGGTGATAGAGGAAGTTTGGGTTTACGTACTCTTCGATCAGAAGTATAAATGCGGTCGAGAGATGGGTTTCCTAGATAGCAGGTAGCTATATGTTGTTAGCATAGCTCTAGTGGTGGTGTCAAGTAGAGAATGAGATTGACTTGTCAGACTGACGTGCAAATGCAATAAAGTTTCATTTCTTGAGATCAAAGACTCTAGTTTGTAATGGTATGCAGAATCATCACGAGAAACTGGAAGGAGAGGAGGGATGAACGTACCTTAGCAACATTTTGTTGGATAATCATGGCAGGTATAGTGCCTGGCATTTGTGGTCGAGGCTGTCCATCCCTGGAGATCTTCAGTACTCTCGATCGCTGGTTATCGCAGCTGTCACGTTTGAAAGTCAGAGACGTTTTCGTGCGGCAAGCATATCGTTGTCGCTAAATACGCTCCAGTATTTCCAGTATAAGAACAACCGCTTTGCATCATATTGAGCAATGAAGAAGACAGTATTACTGCTCCATCTTGTGGTTAGCAGACGACAACATGTTCGCAAGCCATTTTGATCGGGCTAAAAACATCCTCTCAACGCGTTGCCAGACCATAATAGTCACCAACATCATGAGACTGAACACGCAAAGAGTGCAGACACAGCGCGAAAATTAAAAGAAAATAGTCTTCGATTTCAAGTTCGCGCTCACGTGTCTGACCACTACCACTTTGAGGAAAGACCCAAGTTGCGCTTGGCAGACTACGGTAGACGGGATGAGCATGAGCTCGAGTAGCGAATCAGGTTGTGCCGTGCCCCTTCTATCAATAGATCAGGAAGTTCCTTGTCACATTCAAGTCCTCTCTCATTGAAACACGCGCCGACGCTAATGTACACTGAAGAGTGGAGGTGCTTCAAGAGTCGATGCTAACAAGTCTATTTTCAGCTTGCTCTGCTAGCATCCAATGATATGTGCAATGAAGAACTTCTTGCCGCCTACTCTTCTCATGCTTTTCACCTTGCTGTCTTGTCCCAATCACTCTTCATACCTGCGACGAGCAGCAGACATGGCTGACTTAAGCGGGCAGTCTGGCGGCTAATCTGGCAGAGGAGCGCGTCTGGTCAGCGGCACAGACAAAAACAAAGCCTACTATACTAGTACCAGAGATGCTACCGTATGCGGCTCATGGCTTGATAACATGAGCGCAGGCGCTGACAGCTTAACAGCCGTACCTCATCTAGGGGTCTCCCCGAAGTAGAGGCCTCTCAAGGCGCGGTGGATGCTGCTTCTCTTCCACCTCCACCACCGCGACATCCTTCGAATGGTCCTCCTTCAAGACGATCGGTCCTCCTTCCGCCTGTCCTTAACACAACCATTGCCTACGTGCCAGGTGCCTCACATCTGAATACACCTGTGGTGCCAGCCACGCCGGCTTCGTTGTCGAGTCCTTTCACCTTCAGCAATCCAAATCAAGCTCATGCCTTGTCCACTGGAGACGTGCCTAACGCCTCCTCTAGAGGGGTGTCTCCAGTGAATCATAGACTCTCTGGCAATTTCACAATGACTTACGATCCAAGAGAATGGGCTCCGGGAAGACGAAGTGTAGAGGGAAGACAGAGGCACGATTGTTATGGCGAACCACTGGTTACTCCTCCACCGCCATACGTCATTCCACACGAGCAACGTAGCTCAGGTTCATCCGCCTTTTCTCGTCCTCCCACCACCTATACGAGCGGTAACACAACACCCATTACTCAAGACACCATAATATCCGTAGATACCACGAGCCATGTCAGGCCGAAACCTCTTTCGATCAATACCAATTCACGTCCGACGTATGACATGCGGAGAGCTACGCAGCTGCACAATGCAAACACCCACGAATACAATCCCGGTCAGTTGTATCAAAACTATCGACCCCAACACGCTAGTTATGGTCCTTCGGCGTCGGTGCCATACCAATCGAATAGAAGCTCGAGTGATGGAAATCACCTACCACCACCACCTCCCAGGACAACACCACCCATTATGCCATCTGATTCGGACACAAACTCCACGGTCTCCAGGTTAAGCTATGGCGCTCGTAGATCCACCTCTGCGGGTCCTGGACCTACCCCTACAGGGGGACCTTCCATGCCACGAGCTACACGAACATTGTCTAACGTCGAGCAGCAGCATCTAAGGCAGGATGCGGGCTCAGGTTCATCTCTACCTGGACCTCCTGCACTGCCTCCTCCTCCTCCCTCATCTAGATCGAGAAGCGCTGGTGGGCATGATATTTCGACCGGCGATTATGGTGCGGTCCGTCAACGGCCGCCACGTCTACAGTTGCGGAACAGCAACTTGACGCCGATTCCAGCGACACCTGCCAGTATGGTCTCTGGAGCTTCTGCAAGAGCCATGCCGTTTCCGCTTCGCATAGATACAGGGATGATGAATGGACAGGGTAAAGCACCAGCTGTATCTGTAGTGCAGCCACAAGAATCTGAGCTCCAGAACCCTCCCGCTGGATCTTCCAACCTTGCTAGGAGATCAGCTGTCAGGGGCCCTGCTGCTCGGTCGTCAGGTCAGATGCAGCGCAGTAGGAGTAAGAGTATTTCTGGAAGATCAGAAGCAAACGAGCTCATCGAGCCTCCCTCCACCACCATGTCCAACAATCCATGGGCTAGTGCCTTGGAACAAGCGCGTTCGCCACAGGCCGAGACCTTGCCAGAATCAGCAGTGCTGCCGAATCTAGCCACTACTGCAATGAGGAACAATGACGGTACGAGGCAGTCTCATACACCACCAGCAACACCGAGCTCGCATCCTTTGAGGGTAATAGGTGGAATCTATAATGTTGGCCAACAAGCAAAAGTCCTCCCTACACCTCCGCTCAGTCAGAAGCCTTTACTTTCCGCCAACAGTGTCAACAATTCACAACTGCTTAATTGCGCCTTCGAACAAGTGGATGATTTTGTAGCTCAAGCTATGCAGCGTCATGCAGACTTCTTACAACAAGAACAAGAAGCAAATACTGACCTTGACCGTCTATTACTTTTCACGCGCTTCATGCAGCAAGAATCTCTGATTCGTAAAGAGCGATACACCACAGCACTCACATCGCCAAGTTTTGATATAGCAGCTGCGAGGGACATGCTCTTCGACGGAAGCATAGTTCGACGTGCATCTGCTCAGGATGAAAGCGGGTCACATGGTCAGTCACCGTTGAACAAGCCGGAAGGCGGTTGGTGGAAGGACGATTACAGGCCGAATCTGTCACCCATTGCCAGCATGGACTATGACGAGATGAGCTCTCGCGGGCGAGCTGCTAGTCGATGGTGGGAGTCAGCGACTGGCTCACATAGTGACGGACCTGGACATGGTGTTCATCGCAGTAAAAGAGAGTCAAAATACATGAGCTTGTCGAAGAAGCTTCTGCAAGATATGGAAACTGCTGAAATGGAACCATTGTACGAAGAGACCCCTTGGCTACACGGTGAACAATACGCGAATGAGAAGGCACAGCCTGACAATTTCGGGTATTATGACGATGGCGTAATGTCTGTCCCTACTACACAGCAGAGCCATCGACAGGCACTACGATCTACGGCGCTGGATATATCACGCTTCATTACCTTACCACCGCCCTACCCACGTCATTACCCTGCTGTGAATAACAGCCATCCCGATCTTGCAGAGTATAGAACCACAGTCCGTATGCTCAGTGATCTTACTGATGCTAGAAGTCGACAATCTCGACACCAGAAAAACGTCGAAGCAATGCGGCAAGAAAGACGAAACAGAGTGCTGGAGATGAAGAGGACCTTTCGAGCCAATATTCAAGCCCAAATTGAGGACGGCACTCTGTCATACGCAGAGGCTGCCGAAGCAGAAAAAGCAGTCAAGGCCGATGAACACAACCTTCAACGAGAAGGTCTCCAGTCAGAATTTGATACCTTGCAAGACGTGATGATTAATCCCTTACACGATCAATTCAACGAACGAATCGAACACCTCAGCAGCAGTCTACACTCTCTACAGAAAGAACTCGTCGCAAACGCAGCACACCAACATCCAGACCAACCAGTCCAAGAAGGCGACGACGTCCCTGAACTTCACGAACAACTAACACAACTCAAATGGCTCTTCGAAGCCCGTGAAATCCTACACCAAGAACTCTTCGACCTCCTCTCCCAACGCAACGACGCCTACAAGGCCATCGTCGCCCTACCCTACCACCAAACCAACAACATCGACAAGATCCGCGACACAGAAGCCTTCTTCGAAAAAGACGCCGCAACTCGCCACGCCACCTTCTGCGCCGAAGCACTCAAACGCCACGAATCCTTCCTCTCCTTCGTCGAAGACAATGCCCAAAGAGGAATCGCCCTGCAATCCTCCGCCTTCTGGGACATTCACCCCGGCCTCGTCGATCTCCTCCAAAAGATCCCAATAGACATCTCCCAACTCGACATCCACATCCCCGACCAAGAACTCCACGAAAACCCAACATACCAAGACCACCCGCAGCAATACCTCTACACCCTCCTCCGCCACGCGGAAAAATCCAGCTACCAATTCATCGAAGGCCAAATCAACCTATACTGTCTCGTCCACGAAGTCAAAACAAGTTCTCTGGCCGCACACTACAAGGCCTCGAAAGCTCAGCAGAAAATGGCTGGAGATCAGAGCATCGACCTTGCGGACACGAGGTTAGAGGATGAAGGGGAACTGACGGATGAACTGAAGAATCATGCGGCGATGGTTGAGGAGCAGTGGCAGGATGCGCTGGGGAAGTATTTTGGGGCTGTGCAGGCGAGGGTTAAGCAGCAGTTGCAGGATCGGGGGGTTTGGGAGGAATTTCAGAGTGAGGATTCTTGAGAGTTCTTTTTTTTCCGCCTATACTTACTACCTAGATACCCTTTGACTTGGAAACGAGTCGATCTTTCTCTTCTAATGACATTTGTGCGCAACTTCGATAGTTAAGTGTTTGCAAGTATCCATTAACTGGTGTATATCTTTGTCGAAAATCGCTCCTAATCTCCAATACAGATCTGATGGCTGACAGATCAGTGTGTTATCTACTGGTAATCAGAACGGTATACAAATTTATTCAGTGTTGTGTCAAAACCCGCAACAGGGTTATCTGCCTGAGGCAGCAGCATTGATGCTTGAGGGAACGGAGTTTGAAAATTGAACCTCACTAGCACAGCGCTTCTTTCGAAGAGGAAAGCGAAGAACTGTAGCCACGGAAGACTGATGCACGATCGCAGAGTTACTTCTCAGGTTGTTGACGTGAAAGATATGTAAAGGTATTGATGCTTCGCTGGATCGATAGCTTGGTTCTGGCATAGAAACTCAGCTTCCAGCCACGTATTCATACACGAACTTCTTAGTCCGACGTAAACGATAGAAACCAAATGTCCACGATACAGGAGCTCCGTGCATGCAAGCCGTCCATTTTTATTTTCCAGCTGGAGTAGGATCAGGTCGCTGGACGCAGCCAAAACGTTGGTTGCCGACGTCAAAGATCTATCTCAAGTTAGCATAAAGCTTCTCATATAGCCAGAGTGTGAACTTACAGCATAGCAGCATTGCAAGAAGGTGTCGCCAAAGATGGCAAATGGAGCGTTACCGTTGGACTGAATCGAGCCGAAGCTCATGCCCGAACCATCTTCAAGCTCGGCCCAGCTGAGTTGCTCCTTCTCAATGGTGATATACTTGTCTGCGCCAACTTTGACTTTCAGCTCTGGGCGCTTGTCGATATTGTCAGACGGCAAGATCCAGCCACCGACTTGGGGATCAAATCGTGCACCATCAACGGCATCATACAGTGCTTGACAGAACTTGTCGTCACAGAGCATGAGAGTGGTGCCAGTATCGGCCATCGCCTTGCCTTCTGGGAGCTCTAGAGTTTGGCCATTGATTGTTGCAGCGTCAGAGTCGAACATCCAAAAGCCCTGTGTGTTGTCTATGAGAGTCCACGCAATCTCTTGACCTGATGCCTCGACGACTGATTTGTCATAGGGACCGAAGAGATACCAGGAGTTGCCGTGATCAGGGTCGTTGATGTCCTTGACAGATCCCAGATAGCATGACCACATTTGAGCATCGGTTGGGAGGGAACCTTGAGCGATCATGTTCTCGACTATAGCAGAAAATTAGCACCCTGTCGTAACGAACGTTGCTGCTTGCTTACCTGGTGTCTTGACCGGAGTCGGAGTTACTGTATTGAGATCGCCCCAGGCCAGACCCAACAGGCCACTGGATGTCTGGTTCTGGAAACTGCTTGAGATCTCGGTTGCAAGTTCGATAGCTTGTCCCTTGACCGTGATGTCTCCAATCTGAATATCGTCAGTACCAACAACGCCCGAAGCACCAGAGCCGTCGCCATAGGTGATCTTCCAGGTGGAACTTGGGACGGGCTTGAAGGTGGATGATTTAGCAGTGTCAAAGATTGCAACTTCGTTGGCTTTGCCTGCACGCTGGACTCGCTTGTCGAGCTTGGTCGACCAGAACCTTTCTCTGTCAACCGATGTGTGAGTAGAGAACGGATAGAAGACTTACCAGAGGTCGGACGATCCAGAATCCAAATTGAGGTCAAGTGTCTGAGGAGGAGTACCAACTTGAACAGGACAAGTGTAGAAGGAATCGTTCATCACATCGTCAGCAGTAACGATTGCATGAGCGCCGTCTGTGTTCTTCATCATCAGTTTGGAGTGGGCATTCTCTCGATAGAATTTGCCAGGCTGACTAGGAGTCAGATTGTATTTAATGAGGGCGTAAGCATAGGACTTTGGGCCGTTCAAACGATAATCCGAGTTTCGGACGATGGGAATACGAGACATGATGGGTTCGAGGGTAGAATGGTTTTCCAACGACTTGAGAAGTTTTCTGTAGTGTTCGTTGTCACAGAATTGCAAAATGTAAAAAAGGCGAACGAAGGACGAAGGTCAAAATGCGGCAGTCAAGGGAGGGCAATAAATAACGTATATGAAGACAAGGCAGGTGCCGTGGACGTGTGGTCTGGATGAAGAACCCATGAAAGGAAGTCGCTCTGGTATATTGTGGAAAGAGCTGACTCCGACGAACAATGGCGGTTACCTCCTTGTAGGAGCTGCACCATGAGAATGGTAGTAATCCCACGCAGCCTGTGGTTCTTCTGACAGGCTACTCACCAAGAAACCTCCGCAGTATTGAGTTTTGGTCGAGTCATCATGCAGAGAACAAAGGAATATCAGAGTAGGCATGGATCACTGCAGTCCGTGAATTTCGCACAAAGACATTAGAATTCTGCTCGGTGGTATTGGTAGGAGGCGTGCTAGCGATGATAGGTTGTACGGAACAGACCTTGCACATGACGGATAGCAAGTGCGCGGATGCGCTCAAGATCGCCGAGACTGACATAAGCTTCACATCTGTCCAGCTTGATCCTTTGATATGCCGTGTCGGTGGATTGTTGGTGCTATTCAGAGATCTTGTCTGATCGTATGTTTTTGATGAAAGAGTATCCGAATTGTGACGCATGAACCAGCAGCTGACATATCCCACTCTGGTGGCAGTAAACAGGACACGAAAGTTAGTTGCGGAACGTCTTCCTAAGCTGTTGATCTTGTGTGAACAGTAGAGCCATAACTAATCTGCTGTGCGCGGGACCCCAAGAGCCGCGTTGCAAAGTCACAATGTCGAGATCATACGCTTGGATTCTTTGAGGTTTACCAAAGAAGGGTATCATGTATGAACTCCGCTGCTGAACCAGAATATAGTATAGATACATGCCCACCTAATACCGGCCAAAACGTATCGAGGTGAGAGGTTGGAACAATCTGGGGCACTGAATCAAAACTTCGCTCATTTGTTGCTATTATCGACCGGAAACTTGTTCTCAACTAGCCACCTATGAATAGTCAGCGGACTGTAGACAAACGCGTGAGAGGATGAAGACTTACTTGCTGCCAAAATAATCAGCGGCGCCAAGTACACCAAGACCCAGGGCGACCTTGCCAGCAAGCTCAACGTCAAGCTTGCCTTCGGTGTGCTTCTGATAAGCGCCGACAGCCACAGCCACAGCAGTAACTGTCCACAAAATAGCATTACCGACGAAGACTGGGTTGTCCTTGTTCGCGTCAAGGTGACGGGCTTCTTGTTTGGCAGCCTTCTTGACCTCTTTGCCCTTGGCGGCGGCCTTGTTCTTTGCCTCTTCAGCTTTCTCTTTCGCCTTGTTCGCCTCCTCTTTGGCCTTCTCCTCGGCACGGGCAGATTCGACGCGAGCCTTGTGGTCGGCCTCCTGAGCCATGCGCTCAGCTTGAGTCTCTGTCTTTACGGCTTGGTCCTTGAAGTCGGAGGTGACGCTTGACACATGGGGAGAGTCCACATCGACCATCGAGCTCGAGGAGTCCAGATCGTCAGCTGATAGTTGAGGCACGGGTTGAGCGCGTCTTAAGATTCATAGTCAGCATGAGAATACTCGAACATAATTGCATAGCTTACGCCTGTAAACAATATTAGTCTTTATCATGAACAGGCAAGCATTCTGGCAGCACACTTACTTCTTCTGGAGATTGCTTTGGGCCAGAGGCCGCAACAGCTGCGTAGCTCATGGTGAAGGTGGATTCGAGGGATGATACAGGACGCGACGCAAGTATAGGTACTTCTAGGTCAGGATCGAGCTGATTCAAAAAGGTCTCGTGATGGAAGAACAGTCGCGATGTTGATCAGTTGCAACAGCTTCGAACAGAGAGATGACGATGGATGCTAGAAGCATGTGGCTTGTGGTCACAATCTTGGTCCAACCAATTAGAGGTTCCCCCGATCGACCTTGTCAGTTAATGTCTACGGCATTAAAATATGGCATGTGGCTTACGATCTATACCTGAAAATGTGTTCGACCTGTGCCTTTAGAGTGACGAGATGCATCAATGGTCTTCGAAGTGTGTCCTTGCATAGGATGGGCTCTCGAAGGTAGAACAGTTTCGAGTTTCTGTTGCCATTCAGTTCTGCCACCTGGCTTCTCCTGCCCTCTTCTGCCTCAAATGGTCCGTTGAATGTGTTGTATCCTCTATTGCTTTGCAGTGGCTTTCATGCTTTGCTCGTGTCGCTTGTACTTCAAGGAAAACGCCAAAGGCAACCGGCAACAATGGTAAGTCAATAGATTGCTGTTCTAATGTCTGTTCTAAGACCAGGTAGAATGTCCTCTTCAACAGCGCTCTCAAGCAGTCTACATCTTTGCGCAAAGACCTCGACACTTTCGCTCAATCGCCTCAGACTGCAAGTGCAGCCTTGCAGGGTCAGATCTCGACCTCGTTGCAGAACCTGTCCCGTACCCTTACAGACTACGAGAACCTTTCACGAAATGAGTTGAACCCAGAGAAGAAAGAAAAGGCAGGAGAACGTCTAAAGAACTTTCGAGGAGATCTGGCGAGCTATAGAGCTCAATTTGACGAACTCAAAAAGGAACGCGAGACTGCTGTCCATGTCGACAACCGCAACGAGCTGCTTGGTCATAGACGTCCATACGCTGCGAGCGGAACCTCGGGTGGAGGAGTCACTCCAGAAAACCCTTATGCTCACGCCTCCAGCAATACCTCGAGCGCATTTGCTCCAGCTCATAAAAACACAAACGACGGTCTCAGCTTCGGTGCAGGAGCTGACAACTACACTAGAGAAGACCATGCCCTGCGCGAACAGAACTTCTTCTCTCAGGCCAACTCGCAGATTGACGAGTTTCTCGACCGTGGGCGAGCTGTGCTAGGCGACTTGGGCCAGCAGAAAGAGGTACTGAAAGGGACGCAACGGAAGCTCTACAGTGTTGCCAATACCCTCGGTGTGAGTGGGGATACCATCAGAATGGTCGAACGACGTGCAAAGCAGGACAAGTGGATCTTTTGGGCTGGTGCTATCATCTTCTTTCTATTCTGCTTCTTGCTCATCTATTATTTCAAAGGCTGATGCAGCTGGATGTTGAACTTAATAAACTAAAAGACGTTGCACATTCCCGGTGTCAGAACTAAACCTCGGGATAACGGCTTTAACAGATACGATCTCCCGCGACATTTAGAGACCACGACGCAATACCAAGCTGAATCGTCCACTTACTACCGCGCGAGCCACTCTACAAATTGTTGCCTCAGACTCATTCTACGGCTACTGTTGAGCCTGAACAACATTGTGGCTACACTAGCTAGGATGAGCTCACAATACCCTCTGACTGAACGTTGCGTGTGTTGTCTTGAAGCAAGACACGAGACTGACGAGGGTTAGAGGTGCAGAACTGTGCGAATGAGTGCGCGGTGGATCGAATGGGGCTCAATCAGGAAGCCTTCGGCGAGGTGAGACGAGTGTGTTTGGAAACAAGGGGATCATGGACAGTCGGACAGGTCAACAATGACTCTGCTCAAACCTAGCCATGCACCTATGCTGTTGCTATTATATCACAAAACGAGTGGATGTGGAAAAGTGATACAGGCTACGTTTTCTCGCACCACATAGTTTGTGTCTACCATACGACCATTGCTGACTCAATATCAAAGAGTCAATAGCATAGTAGCCAAGTAATGTAATTGACTCGACCTGATTAGATCTGCGAATCAACTGACACGAAATGGATCCCTTTACCCCGGATTGCCGAGGAGTATCTTTAGCTTCACAACCGTCTCCACGAGATGCGATCCACCTCATTATGCATCGAACGAGTCTCGACGAGTCGTCGCGATCCAGCAGCCTCGGGACATGCATAGAATCGTTATGGCGTGGCAAGCGCGAAAGTCTGCGCGAGTGCAGCACAACATCGCAAGATGTCCTTGTGAAGTTGAGCTTCTATATTCTCTCAGACTTCTATTTGAGTAGGATCTGCCATCGTTTCTATCCTGGCTTGAGGCAGCAGACGTTTTCGAGACAATCCTCTTCAGAAGAAAGTAACCTGCTGCAAGATGGCTGGATCTGAAGCATGGCCAACTGTTCCTCAGGGAAACAGAGATCATACCGAAGCTGCGGTCGTGATTATCGGTGGTGGCATCAGTGGCATGTGCACAGCAATCGACCTTATCCAGCGTAACAAGTGCAAGAACTTTGTCATACTAGAGAGAAGTGGTGGTGTAGGTGGCACATGGAGGGATAACAAGTACCCGGGTTGCTGTTGTGATGGTTGGTGAAGCATATCTTTCTCCTGCTATTTCTAATTGTTGGCAGTGTGGTCGCATCTGTATAGCTACTCGTTCGAGCAAAACTCGGACTGGACTAGAGAATACCCTGGTCAGGAAGAGATTCTGGTAAGCACAAAATACTCGTAACCAGAATAACTGCTGAAAACAATGCAGAGATATCTCGTCGGCGTCGCCCAGAAGTACGAGCTGTACCGCTACGTTCGTTTCAACAGCACAGTTGAGTCTGCCAAATGGGACGATGCTACCAAGAAATGGCACGTTGATGTTCGAGTTGAAGGTAGTAAGGACTCGGAATTTGGTTCTCAGTACATTCTAAAGAGTGATTTCCTTGTCAGCGCTGTGGGACAGCTGAACCAGCCAAAAGCGCCGAGCATTGAAGGTATCGAGACATTCAAAGGCAAGCTTATGCATTCTGCAAGATGGGATTGGTCATACGATCTGAGAGGCAAGAAGGTTGCTATCATTGGCAACGGTGCGACCGCAGCCCAGATCATCCCCGAGATAGTTAAAGAGGTAGATCACTTGACTATACACCAGCGAACACCGAACTGGGTGATCCCGCGACTCGACGAACCTATTCCAGAGTGGAAGCGAAGCATGTACAGGTACCTGCCATACGTACGCCACAGAAAGAGAGCAGACATGATGGACTTCCGAGAGGCATTCTACAATGCAGTCTTCGACAACAATCACCCAGTTGCTCAATTTTTGGAAGGCCAAGCAAAAGATCATATGCGTGCGCAGCTTCCTGACAGGCCTGACCTTTGGGAGAAGCTGCAGCCCAAATACAAAATAGGATGCAAGCGAGTCATCATCTCCGACGACTATCTACCTGTGTTCTCGAGAGACAATGTCAAGCTGGAGACTGGACGCATCGACAGAATCACGGAGAAAGGTATCGTAACTGATGGCCATGAAGAGGAATACGATCTCATCATCTGTGCCACCGGCTTCAAGACTGTGGAATTCATGCACCCAATCGAGATTACTGGCAGCGCTGGGCGTACACTGCAAAGTGTCTGGAAGGAGGGTGGAGAGGCTTTGTATGGTATTACCGTCGAATCACTCCCGAACTTTGGCATGCTTTACGGACCCAACACCAACCTAGGCCACAACAGTATCATATTGATGATCGAGGCCCAGAGTCGATACATCAATGCTCTCATCAAGGAGGTTCTTCAAGCACGAAGAGATGGCGGCCAACTGACTATCAAGCCCAAGGAGCAAAGAGTGAAGACATACAACGAAGAGATCCAGCGCGAACTACAACAGAGCTCTTTCAACGATCCTGGATGTGGCAGCTGGTACAAGCGTGAAGACAATGGCAAGATCACACAAAACTGGTCAAGAACGGTAGTTGACTATCAAAAGGTAAGCTCGGGCCCTTGTTGTTCGCTAAAAGAATTCAAGCTAACATACTATAGATGCTGAGCAACATCGACTGGAACGAATATGAAGTGTCTGGGACCGGGGCTGATAGGTTACAAGAAGGCTACGTTACCAAGATAGGTCGTGTTGTCGAGGAATCTCTCGTGAGCTACCAGACTATGGGATTAACCGCTCTTGGTATAGCAGCTGCTGGAGCAGCCGTGGCTCTGAGAAGTGGGGTCCGATTGAGATTGCGGTGATTTTTGAGGGTTATCGGCACGGATTCGTGATCAAGATATGTAGTAAGAAGAGCGTTGAAATGCCAACGCCATGAGCTGCAATGATTCCGTTGGCTGTACTCGAAGATCACAGACTGTAGCTTTTAAGCCTGCATGTATGGTCCTCTTCGTGACCACGTCTAGGCAGAGAGCTCGGAAGCTGTCGATCCTATGAAGTTGAGAGCTGGTCAACCTTTCATTTGTTGTGCCAGTGCATTAAAATCAAGGCTTGTCCAAGCGAGTTCGGCAGGAACAGCAGAAGCGCCGGGGTTTTACAGCTTCTGAAATCCCCACCACGAGGCAGGTACGGTGCAGCGCTCTTCATGAAAGGGTCCTTGATCCACTTTTTCGGTGGGCGAGAACGTCGCTATGTTCAACTTTTATAGGATTGTGACTCGGTATTTTTGACGACTTCCCTATACACGAATTATTTTATGAGTCAATGACATGACATAGGAAGGCGTTTTGGTACCTGACCTCAGTCTTCTACACAAAGATTCTTACTACGGGTTGCATGCATACAAGCTGTGATTATAACTCAAAAAATCCAACACGACTTGTATCTATACACAATTCGACCAATATGGAGGGACTCAAGAAAGCTTTCGCTGAGACGAAGGCTGAGGGCCGAGCTGCTCTGGTGGGCTACTTCACCAGTGGCTACCCCACCGCAGACCAGACAGCAGATGTCATGCTAGGTCTGCAAGCAGGTGGCGTTGGTATGGTTCCTTCGTATACACTTGACCACACAGAAGCTAATGACTTGGTGCAGACGTGATTGAGCTCGGTCTACCCTTCACGGATCCTATCGCAGACGGCCCTACCATTCAAAAGTCGAACAACGTTGCTCTAGCCAACGGTGTTACTGTTTCTTCGTCCCTGCAATGCGTTCGAGACGCCAGGAATCGAGGTCTGACCGTCCCAGTGGTCTTCATGGGCTACTACAATCCACTGCTACGATATGGCGAAGACAGAATGCTTACGGACTGCAAAGAGGCGGGCATAAATGGCTTTATCATGGTCGATCTACCTCCCGAGGAGGCAGTACGCTTCAGAAACAACTGCAAAAACCACGGCCTGTCATATGTGCCCCTGATCGCACCAGCTACCTCAGAAAAGAGGATGAAGCTACTTTGCTCGATTGCAGACTCTTTCATCTACGTTGTCTCCAGAATGGGTGTCACAGGTGCAACTGGTACGCTAAACACGAAACTGCCTGAACTGCTTGAGAGAGTGCACCAGTACTCTGGTGGCATTCCAGCTGCGGTTGGATTTGGTGTGAGCACAAGAGAGCACTTTCTCAGTCTCCAGAATATTGCAGAGGGCGTGGTGATAGGAAGTCAAATCGTCATTGAGCTCGGCAACGCTAAACCAGGTGAGGCTGGCAAGGCTGCTGAGGATTACTGTGCACAAATCACTGGCAGAAGACCAGGACTTAAAAATAACACGAATGGCTTAACCAGGGAAGTGGGCATGGTCGAGACCATGAGTGCTGCGAAAGAGCCAAATGGCAACACTACAAATGGTCTGCATGGCATTCCAGTTCATGTGGACGAGGTCATAACCGACGCTGATAGACCTGACGAGCCGGGTCTAGCTGACCAACTGGACGCACTGAACTCTTCTACAAATGGTACAGAGCCCAATCCAGACGCTATTCCAAATAGATTCGGTCAATTTGGCGGTCAATACGTGCCAGAATCACTCATGGATTGTCTAGCTGAACTTGAGGAAGGATTTAATCAGGCAAGGAATGATCCAAAGTTCTGGGAGGAATTCAGATCATACTACCCCTACATGGGCCGCGAGTCCTCTCTGCATCTAGCTCCACGCCTGACTGAAAAAGCTGGAGGTGCCAACATCTACCTGAAGCGAGAGGATCTCAATCATACAGGCAGTCACAAGATCAACAACGCACTCGGTCAGATTCTAATCGCTAGAAGACTGGGCAAGAACAGAATCATCGCCGAGACAGGTGCTGGTCAGCACGGTGTAGCCACTGCTACTGTTTGTGCAAGGTTCGGCATGGAGTGTGTCATCTACATGGGCGCTGAAGATGTTCGCCGACAAGCTTTGAATGTCTTCAGAATTAAGCTGCTCGGTGCCAAGGTCATCGCCGTTGAGGCAGGAAGTAGAACACTTCGAGATGCCGTCAACGAGGCGATGCGAGCTTGGGTTGTCGATCTTGACAGCACACATTACATTATCGGCAGTGCCATTGGTCCTCATCCGTTCCCAACTATTGTTCGCACCTTTCAGTCGGTCATTGGTCAGGAGACCAAGAAACAAATGCAGGAGCTGACAGGTCGCTTACCCGATGCAGTTGTTGCCTGCGTTGGTGGTGGCAGCAATGCTGTCGGCATGTTTTACCCATTCAGTAATGATCACTCCGTTCAGCTCGTGGGTGTCGAAGCTGGCGGTGATGGTGTAGATACTGGTCGCCACTCTGCCACTCTCAGTGGAGGCAGCATTGGAGTCCTACATGGTGTTCGCACTTATGTTCTCCAAAATGAGCATGGTCAGATCAGCGATACACATTCCATATCTGCCGGGCTTGATTATCCTGGTGTTGGTCCAGAGCTATCGGGCTGGAAGGACGCCGACCGGGCTACCTTTATCAATGCCACAGATGCGGAAGCATTCATTGGCTTCCGTACTCTGAGCGAGACGGAGGGCATCATACCAGCCTTGGAAACTGCTCATGCTATCTACGGAGCCATGCAATGGGCTAAGAAGATTGGCAAGGACAAAAATATCGTCATCTGCCTTTCTGGCAGAGGTGACAAGGACGTGCAGTCTGTCGCTGATGAACTTCCTCGACTGGGTCCTGTGATTGGTTGGGATCTCAGATTTTAGGAGGATGATCTCGAGTTTCCAGTATCTGTCCGGCGTTCGCCTGCACATCTATACGATCAGCGAGTGGTTGTTAACGGCACATATCTTGGTCGCTCTTCTCATCATAGAGCTGGACAGCACATTGTGGCCATCAAACATGATTCTATGATCTTGGATCACAACTTGCACACGCACAAGCACTTCGACTGCCAAGACAAGACTTTCGGTGCGTTGAGAGCATATGCGGCTGAAGACAAGGCTGTCAAACGGCCCTCATCAAGGATGCCTTTGTCCAAGCGCATTGATCAAGCACAACTTGAAGCATTCAAGAGAAAAGTTCAATCGTCAATGTCCTGGGAGGAGCTTCAGAAGGTGATTGAGAGTCCTGATTGGGTCTATCACATGTCTTGGGACGATGCTGGTGCGTACGAGCCTGTTCCCACTGTGCTGTGGGATAGGTCGAACATTCAAAACACTGAGGCAACAGAAGCCGAGCGACAGACAAAATATGAACTGATAGACGAGTACATGATGACAAGCAGTGACCTCGATGATGCTTCGAACCACGTTTCGAGGCTAATGCCTAGTTCCAGGAGCAGTTCCCAAGATGTCAAGGAACCAGAAACCTTGACTATTGACGACTGCTCATCCGCGCCACTTCTACTAGGACTATCGCAAGACATGATGTCTAATGCTAGCGATAGGACATGTATCAGTATCGAGAGCTACGGAACACTGGACTATGTTTGCGTGGATAGTGACATCCATATTTTTGAGGAAAAGACCAAGGAACACAACAACTACGAAGATGTTACAATGTTCGATTTCGATTGTCCAGCTGAACATTGCGAACCTGAAGAAACGAGAAGAGGACGATCAACGACCCGCAACCTCAAACGCAAACTCAACACGCGATGTTTCGATCGCCCTCGGAGAGTCCAGCAGTCCGAATCCTGCAAACGTGGAAGGGGTCGAGTCGTAAGTTCACGTTTTGCTCATTGACGAAGGACATGGCCTGGCAGCGAGATGCGATCTTACGTGTCTGTTTTCATTGTTTCCAGTTCATCGTTGCTGCGATGGTTGTACATAGCTGTAGGTAGCATAAGGGTTATTGCAAAACCATGCTTCGTAGTTGACTATCAAGTGTTGAGTGTGCGCACCGTGTGAGCTCTGTTCAACACTTCGTCACACCCAAACACTGATTGAGTGGGATGCTTGTGTCTCTATGTTAAACATTTATGGCTGTTGCTGACACCCATGGCATCCTGATAACGCTGACGCTAAACCCTTTACAATCACTGCTGTATGCTCTTGATAGCCTCTCCGAGAGCAGTAATGAACAATGCTCGAGCCTGGAGATAGCTCAGCTTATTCATCTCAGTGATCACCATTCGTTGCCTCAAAGACCACCACGACGCCAGTCATGAAGGCTGGCCGAATGTGTATCTGCTTGCTTGCCCCTCTCTCGCACGGACCGGATGTCAACAGTTTCTTCTTATCAACGCTCTCCTTATCTTGATGCCACCGCCTTCCACTGATCCATCAGCCAACCTGAAATCAACCATCTCATCCCGCAATAGCACCATCAAGCTTCTCATACTTTGCAACAAAATACTTCTCCGAATTCTTGCTCAGCCACACCGTAAACTTGCTAAGCTCTTCCTTGAGCCTTTGTACCGAAGTAGCATCCATGTTCGTTTGGGCCGTGAGTTCAGGCATATTGACTGTAGTTTTACCGCGTTAGTCCTCACGTTCCACACAAAGAGGATTCTGATCAATACATACCAAGTAACCTTGCCAAATGCTCCGCCCCATAACAATCACCGGGCCCCTTTCCCTCCCACTCAACAGGTTGTCCCAATTCCCACCACTTCCTCACAACCCCTAGCTGCGCTCTTTCAGACCTGTACAACAAGATCTTTGGTAAGCTCTTTTCAAAATACACTTTTACACCCATGCAGAATTCTTCGAGGATGTCTGCTTCGACGCTGCCGAGGCGGCGGTTTTGTTTTTCTTCGTTGAAGTATTGGTCGATGATGTAGTTTGCGGGAGCGGCGGATGGGAGAGGGACGAGGAGGCCGGCTTTGGTGATGTTTTCCCAGTCGTCGACCAGGAGGTTCTTGAGGTGGTCGGGGAGGGGGAGGCGGATGGAGGGGCGGGTGGAGAAGGTGTCTTCCTGTGAGTAGTGGTATGTCAGATTTTGTGTGCATGGTTAGTTTCGTGTCCTGGCATTAATTTTGTTGGTCGCGGTCCGGTGATAGTGTCCTCATGGTGGAATGCAGCGTCCGGTTCGTTTCGGCCCTGTCGCAAGGCGACAAAGTGCTATCTGCGAGCTCAACTATACATCTGCCCATTCTCAAATCACAAAGGGCGAGATCAAAGATATGACATGTAGGAGCATAGCAGGAAGATTGACGTGATGCGTTGAAAGGACATTTGCTTGGGCTCTGCCTACCGTCTACAATCACACATCCTTCTGTTCTTCAAGCCAAGAAGGCGAGACCAAGAAGGACATGCAAGAGATTGTGCAAGGCTGATGCGATGAGCTGGGGAGGCGAATATCCTTGCTTTAGTGGCCATATGGCGATGTGCTCTGAACGAAATTCAGGAGGTTGATACCATAGTAGCAAGGTATTGAAGCTTGACGACAGAGGAATGGGCATCTCGAGAATCTATTGATTGTTGGCAAATTCACGTTGACGCCGCTGAATCATGGGTGCCAACTGTCGCTTCAGGAAGAACTTGGGATGCGGTTTATGAGGTTGTGATTTATGCTGCAACTTTTTTGGCGGAGGCTTTATCTTGACACCAGCCGGAGGACGGACGTCAATCTGAACCGTAGGTCGTGTAGTAGACGAGGAAGATGACGTTAATGAGCCTTCCTTTTCATTCTTGGATGGTCGAGCTGGAACGCGCATGAAGCCAACCATATAGTAGTCCTGAACGACTTTCTCGGCGCTTGTGGTGTCTGCTGGTTGTGAGACGACTTGCTGTGGAACTTCATTCTGACGTTTCTTCTTTGCATCAGCTAGGAGCTCGCGTATGGTTCGTGGATCGTCGCTAGTCGTGAAGGTAACTTTCAGAGAATTTTCTGACTGGACTTGATCTTGACTCTCTTGCTTTGGCTGACCCTCATTCTTGGCATAACACTCGTCGCTGCATCTAGTCTTCCTTCTACGGCATACTCTACACGCCTGCTGTCGCTTCTTCGAGCCTTTGGTGCCGTTCTCTGCAGCACTTGCGCGGGCATCTGCTTGTGCTGCTGGCGTCTGCACCCTTGCAGGCTTCGCGCTTGCTTTTGCTTGCTCCTTCTGGACCTCAACCTCAGCAGTCTTTGCACGCTTTACTGGTCCTCCATCCCTGTCGTCAGACTCGTCTCGCTGTCGCTTTCGGGTGACTCTTCCAGAAGGTTCAGCTAAGGCTATCTTAGTGTCTGGCTCCGGCAGCTGTTCTCGAGCCTTGTTACGTACTGGGTTTGAGGTCGTTTGGTCTTTGGTACCGCTTGTAGGTTCAGCCGCAGTCTTTCGCTTTTTTGAAGGTATCATTGTGGCTTCAGCTGCTTCGGCCGCCTTGCGCTTCCCCGTCACTGCAGAAGATTCTACGCCGACAGCGTCTTGATTCCCAAGCGGTTTCATTGAGCCCCTCTGCTGCTTCGGGAGCTGCATCTTGATGTGTCTTTTATGTGGTGGAGCTTCACGACCATCGAAGCTTCCCAAAACATCAGCCCATTTGTGGGTGGGAGGACCACCGTTGCTCCAGTCGAAGTTGAGAGCTTTTGGTGCGGTCTCCTCAGTTGCGCCAGCTGATGCGGCCTGCTTCATAGCCTCTGACGCAGCCTTATCCTTGCTGGCCTCCTTTCTGGCCTCATCATGGGTGGCGTCCTTCTTCTTTGGCAGTGGGAACTTTCCAGATGCGACGACCCTCAGTGAACCGTCTGGCAGTCGGACCGTTTCCTTCCACTTGGCCATGGCGTACGTCGTAGATTTCACGTGGGACAGAGTATCTGAGGAATAGAACGAACCTTTTCAATATCGTTGTCTCTAGCTCTCTTGGTACCTCGAGCCGGTACAGAAGAGTCTCTAACCTCACTGCCTCGACCAGAACCAATCTCAGATGCTTGGCCTTTTCTGCCTTTGGCAGCAGCTAATGGCTTTGCAGATCTTGGTGCGTTCTGCTCTTGAGCAGCCTTCTTGAGGTTTACTGCGAGTTCACGGTTCTCCTCAGTGTTTTTGCGAAGACGATCTTGAGGCACCCAATCGTCCCAGCTGGGAAGAGGAAGTTAGTTGTTGATACTTTGCTAGAGTTGTGCAGATGAGAGAATAAAGAGCAGATCGATATTGAAGAGACTAGTGTCCTAGGGGTAGATTTGTAACAGATCTGTATTCAAGAACTGATCTAGTTGGTAGGAAGATGGTTTGGGTTCCAGTTGATTGCAACGTGTTGATAAGTTCGACAATGCAAACCAATATGTATGCAGGGCTTGTTCAAAGAGTTGGCGAGTTTTCCTCAGACCAGAAGATGGGTAGGGTATGGGAAGGCGAAGTGCAAGAACTTGAGAAAGATAGATTGAAAAGCAGAGGTCGACTGTAGACACGAAGCATCTGATCACAATAGAGGCAACACAAACCAAACCGATCCGCTTACACCTGCGGATGTCACTAGCAATAAGGCAACCGTTTTTCCTCAGAAGTGGCTGGTATGGGCAGTGAAAGTAGTGATAGAAGATGCAGGTACGTACGTGTTTTTCCATCCCTTGTAGTGAACTCGATACTCGAAAGGACTACTTTTGTCTTTTGGATCCTGTCTTCGAGTGTCGAGTATCTTGGCCTCGTAGAGCAGCTCGCCATGAAAGCATAGCGCTTTTTCGTCTTTCTGGTAAGCAGCCTTGCCTTCTGTATTGGCAGGCGCCATCTTGTCTGTGAAGAGTGATTGTTGAGAGTGCCTGTTGACGTGAAGTTGTGTTGCTTGACGTGGTTGTACTAGGTGTGCAAGTGCGAACGAATTGACCAATACCAGAACGTGGTCTGGGAGTGACAGAAACGAAAGGTGCAGTAGCGAGCAGAAATAAGTACGGTTTCGAGAATTATATGTGAACCGAGAGTGAAGTCTATTTGCTCGTTCTGATTGGCTGAGTGTGACGCGTCTCCCCGGTTCACGAACGCGTCCACCTTCACCATAATCGAAGCAGGAACAGCCAGAAATTGAGCAATAAGCACCAAAGCATCGCATTCAGTGATCACTCACGATTCTGTGATGGATTGAACTCTTGTTACTGTGTAATGGAAATCACAGCCTAGAACGACGAGGCAGAGCAGAAATTCCGACACTCATATATTCACCAAGCCAACAGTATTACAAGCATATCGAAAATTTTGAGCATCAACCATCAGCAATTCGCAATGCCATCCACAACAACACCATACATCCCTCCCATAACAGAATCCCAAATCCTAACATCCTATCTCATCCCACCAGCCCCCTTACCAACCATCCTTCCCTACACCTCATTCCTCAACCTCATTCCAGCAACCTACAAAAACAACCCAGAATACAAACCAGCTCTCAAACAATTGTACAGAGACCTCCAATTTCAACGCTCGTATATAATCGAGCAGGTGCGGGACAATATTGAGCGGGAATGTGGTGCCAAGGCTGCGACGTTGAGAGCGAGAGTGGCGAGGCAGATTGCGCTTGAGGAGGGTGAGGGTAAGGAGAGGGAGGAGAGGGCGAGAAAGCGTAGGAGGGTGGATGGGGTTGAGATCGGTGATAGAATGAGGCATGTTGAGGGAGAGGACGAGGACGATGGAGACTCGATGGCATCGTCGGATGATGAGTTTACTAACCCGTTGCATCTTGCTGCTCAACAAACGATGTATGAGCATCTGTCAGATTTGCACCCAGCTGCTCGATCGTTGCCAATCCCTGAGGATGTACAATACGATCAAGTAAGGTCGATGCCTGCCTCAGTTTTCCACACAAAGGAATCGTTACTGGCGGCGATGGGAAATGCTAGTGTAAGCTTGGATGAGGAAATAGCAGAACTAGAAGCTGAATGTGCGAGGATGAGGGAGCAGATTGCGGAAACTGTAGGCGCATTAAGTGACTTGAGATATGGTAGGAGGCAGAGTGCGGGTGATACAGACGGTGAAGAGTATGGCGATGTCCTAGAGGCTCTAGAACAGTTTCGGAATGTTGCTAAGTCGAAAATAAAAGCGTAGCAATTCATTCGCACAGGTGGTATTCGAGGATGTGATACTTCGAACTCGAGTGTTCTGCTTGTCGAACAACATAGACTACAGACCTACTTATGTGCCGCAATGACTTTCTCCATCTCTTCATAGCTACCCATATAGATACCACTTCTATCGTGAATGCTGGTTGGCACTACTTCTAGCAATCTTCTCATGTTGCTATCCACGGCTTGTCCACCAGCCTGTTCCATGATCATAGCCATTGGAGCACACTCATACAATATTCGCAGCTTGCCTTTTGGGCTCTTCTTATCGGCTGGGTAGGCAAATAGACCACCGTACAGCAGAGTTCGGTAGGCGTCAGCGACCATGGATCCGATGTATCGGGACGAGTATGGCTTGCCCTCTTTTCCGTCTACGCTCTTCGGTGGGAACTTGAGGCTGTTAAAAAAGTTCACTGTCTTCTCCTCCCAGTACAGCGAGTTTCCTTCATTGACCGAGTAGATTCCTCGCTTCTTGGGCATCTTCATGTTAGGATGTGTCAGGATAAATTCGCCTAGAGCATTGTCCTGGTCCAATGTTAGCTATCACGCACAGTACTCTTGAAGGTCTCGATGCTCACCAAAGTGAACCCGTTGACAGGACCACCTCTCATGGTTATAACAAGTTGTGCTGAGGCGCCATACATGGTGAAGCTGTACATTCGAGGTCAGCAAATCAAGCGCAGTAGAGGAGATATACTCACCCAGCAGCGACCAGCTCAGTACCTGGTGCGAGCAGGTCCTTGACGTCTGGTCTCTTTCCAGACTGGACTATCTCATCCGTCAAACGAGAAATGGCAAAGATTGTGCCTACAGAAACACCAGCGTCAAGATTGCTGCTTCCGTCGATTGGATCACATGCGACAAAGTATTTTGCGTTGGGGTGCTCATCAAAGTAGATGACATCCTCCTCTTCTTCAGATACCAATGCCCTGCACTTTCCAGAACCCTTCATGGCAGCAATGAAAAGATCATTGGAGATCACATCGAGCTTCTTCTGGTCATCACCGGTTGTGTTTGACGATCCAGCAAGACCGGTGAGGTTGATCAGGGTGGCTCTTCGAATATAGTACGCTATCGACTTGAAGGAGAACTGGAGGGCTTGACACAGCAGTCTATGCAAGCGGGTTAGCAATATACCTCTTTCAAGGATTGCGAACGTACGTGAAGTCTCCTGTGGCCTCTGGGTGCTTCGACTGCTCTTCCGTGATGAGTCTGGAGAGAGTTACAATGTCTGTCTTAATCTTCTCCGCCCCAAAACCTGTTTGACCGTTCTCTCCTGCCATCGTGCTCGACTTTGTCCTTCGGCTTGAAGATATGTGCTACTTGCTCTTGCAACGACTGGCACTGTTCGAACCTTTACGGACAGACCTTTTCCGTAGCAGTCTGGTAATGCCGAGGTCGCTTGTGGTTTAGAAAAGAAGCACGAGACGAAGTGATGATGACTGAGAGCGCTTGATTAGCTCTTTTGACAGAGAACAAGGTACGTAAACAGTTCACAAGACAAGCAGAAGTATTGAGAAGAGAAGGCACGATGCTTGCTGTTAGCACGGTCTGGCTGGATTCGTTATTCGGCTGCTGGGCTTTGCGTTTTCCCAGCACAGCAAGAACAGCATCATTCGCGTAATAAGATGTGGGGATCTGAGGGGAGCAGATAGCCAGACATCGTTATGGGATGACGGATAACAGGTCGATGGGATGGAAACGACGGTCGGCTTGCCTCCGCAGTATGAACGCGTTCCGTATCTGCCCGCACTCCTTTTGGTGTTTTACTTCTCGGAAAGTGTTTCCCGAGAGGGCCGAAATGCACCAACATCGGAATGGTCCGGACAAGGGCTGGAAGCATCCTGTCGCACAATACAAAGATATTCAAGGTCGCTATCTGCAGGAGAGGGTGGAAGACCGAAGGTAGTGAAGGCGCTAGGTAGGGCAGCGTATCTATGGCAAAGTCGATCAAACAACGAAAATTTGCTAACTGAACTTTTACTGCCTGAGCGGAGCTATCTAGGTATGTGCGAGAGAACACCTCGAATGAGAATCATGCTGTAGCACCACGACCACCCACATTTGCAAGTGCCTTCTTCTGCTCGTCACTCACATCAACGCTAGGCAGCACCTTTGTCGAGCTGGGCATTCTAGCATGTCCATTCATTGCTCTGCCTTTCGTTGGTGGAGGCAGGAAACCAACTGCCACCAAATATGCAAGATACTGGCCGATGGTGTTCTTGGTAACACCACTACCAGCACTCACGTCTTCTCCAGTCCATTTTGCATCTTCATAGAGCGAAGTCTCTGCATGACTGTCGTCAAGTTCAGGTGCCAACGTGTTCGACGGAAGGTCGTTAGCAACAAAGGTGAACAGCGGCATGAGCGCAAAGTCCTCGTGACTTGCCACATAGTCTTCCAGAGACGATGCCCAAGGAACGTAGTCGATCACTTTGGCAGTATACCCGTAAGTTTCCAGCGCAGCAAGATATTGGTTGAATCGAAGTCGTGGATGTCCAGTAATTTGGGCTACACAAACGCCTCCATCCGTGGCAGGGTTGAACGCGCAGGCAACGACTGTCCTTGCAACATGATTGACAGGTACCATGTTGACTGTGTTGTTGATGTTAGGTCTCGTGCCAAGCTGAACACAACCCTTCAACATTCGGATCAAAAAGTCGTCGGTGTTGGTTGCGCCTGTCTCCGAGTCTCCGAGAACGTAGCCAGGTCGAATGATACACCCTCTGAGTCCTCGTCGGCCACATTCTCTAGTAAGATATTCGGACACCCATTTACTCTGACCATAACCAGTGCCGAGACCTTTGCTGCTTCCTTCCAAAGTGTCCTCTTCTGACACTCCTTCTTCTCCAGCCGCAACTCGTCTCGTGGATTCTAGCACGTAGTAGTCGTGATCGAGGACACTCGTTGAAGAGACGAAAGCAAAGAGCTTAGGTTTGCCCTCCGCACAAAGCTTGAGCGCTTCGACAGTACCGAGGACATTTGGCAGCTTGAGCATCTCGTATGTGTTGATCCAATGCACTTGAGCACCATTGTGGATGACCACGTCGACTGCTTCTGTCAAAGTTTTCCATTGCTCTGCAGTAGTGCCAAATCGTTCTGGACCCAGGTTGCCAGGGACACATTTGATCCGACTCTTCCAGCTGTCAGACCAAACGCCATAAGCTTGACATGTTCGCGTTAACCGATCAAGAGCTGACTGTTCATCCTTGGCTCTGATCAATACGTAGACCATGCCCACTTCGGGTCCAGTTCTAGCTAGCAGATCTCTGAGGATGAAGCAGCCTAGGAAGCCGGTGGCGCCAGTCAAGAAGACAATAGGACTTTCAATCATTGACCATTGAGCTTTCGAAAAGCTCTTTGGTAAGTCCTTAGCCATGGCTTTCGCGTCTTCCCCGTACTCGATCTCCTGTTTAACACCATTCGTCTCAACATCCTGTTTGACATCGTCGACATGATGACCATCGAGTGAAGTCGCTGCATTCCTGCGATCAATGGTAGCTGCCATATTCTTGAGTGTAGGTCTTCTGTAAAGCTCACTGATGGGCAGATCGACTACCAGCCTTCTCCGTATCTGGTAAGCTAGTTGTTGAGCTTTCATGCTGTCACCTCCAAGATCAAAGAACGACTCTGATGGCTTGATGGTTTTGGCGATCAACCCTGGCACGAGACCAGCCCATACCATAGCAAGCTGCTTTTCTACCTCTGTCTGAGGTTGCAGCATGGACGACTTTCGCCTCCTCGATGCAGAAAGCATGGCTGTATCTGGGAAAGGTAGCTTAGGCTTATCGATCTTGCCATTGGGGTTCAGTGGCATCGCTCGCATCGGCACGATCAACGTTGGTACTGCATAAGCAGGTAGTTTCGTCCTTAAGTACTCCTGCACGGCAGCTTGCAGCAGTCTGAACCGCTCGAATCGACCCGCGAGTGAACCATCATCCTGCTCATCTGGCAAGCCTCGTTCCCCCACGAATTGCCTCCAAGCTGATATCTGTGGTACGATGTAGCTGACCAAGGTTTGTTCCTCAAATTTGTCTCTTCGTACAAGCGTAACATTTTCTCGCACTAGCGGATGCTGCGAAAGATGTGTATCTATCTCACCTAGCTCAATTCGGAAACCTCGAATCTTGACCTGATCATCTGCACGACCTGAGCACTCGACATCACCTGAAGGCGTGTACCGGCCCAAGTCACCACTCCTATACAGTCTATCTCGTGGCCCTTGATAGAACTGCGCCCATGGCTGATCTTTAAGACCTTCCAGCCTTTTCTCGTCACTTTCAAGACCAGCTTCGTGACCTGGAAACCAGTTCTCCACGAACTTGGTCTTTGTCAAGTCAGGGTTGCCAAGGTATCCTTCAGCCAAACCACTGGCTCTGACGTAAATTTCACCAATTTCGCCAATAGCACACGTCTTTGTCCTGTCAAATCTATTCACGACCAGAAGCTGAACATTGTACATGCCTCGACCAGCTGGAATGACATCTTTCATCCCATCAAGGTATCCTTCCCGAGCATTTCGGCTGGGAATTTCGTAGTAGCTGACAGCTCGCTGGGTCTCTGTTGTACCATACATGTTGACTATGGCAACGTTTGGCGCCAAGTTCTGTAACGAACGGCAGTCACGCTTGATCAGGATGTCACCCACGAAGAAGGCATGATGCAGGTTCTCGAAAATTGCAGATGCTCCACCCACCAAGATTTGACCCATAGCAGGTGTAAGGTGCGTTACCGTGGCACCATGAGTCTTCATCCATTCAGCCAAACGCTCGTTCTGAATGTCGTTTTTCGATGGTACCAGAAGCTGCGCGCCTAAAAAGAGAGGCGTGAACATATCTCTCTGAATCGGATCATGTGCGATACCACTAAGCATAGTGAACTTGTCGTTCTCGGACAAGTTGAACGTTTTTGCCATCCAGTCAAAATAGAAAGCGAGAGAGTAGTGTCGTCCTCGGACGCCTTTAGGCTTGCCCTCGGATCCTGAAGTAAAGGACAATGTAGGGGTTGAGTCTGGACCTACCACAACTCCAGGAGACTTGGCTTTACGTTCAAGCACGGCTTGAAAGATGTCTTCACCATTCTGCTCACCACCAGTCACCGTTCCATCATCATGAAGTTGTAGAGCTGGTACCTCCGTCCGCAAATGCAGATTGTCCTTGATATATGTTCGGACCTTTTGATCTAGGGCTCCAGCCTCTTGTGTAGCCTTGTTGATGATGACGAGTGCTCTTGGTTGTGACACTTCGAGGTAAATATTCTGTCGGTCTGGTGGATAAGCAGGGTCGAGGACTGAAAAGGTGCCACCAGCCTTCAATGTGCCCATTACAGCGACAACAAGATCAACGCCCCGGTACGAATAGATCATAACAACATCGCCACGCTGTAGCCCAGAGTCCACCAGGTGATGCGCGAGTACGTTCGAGGCTTCGTGAATCTGGCGATAATTGAACATGCGCTCCGGCCCATCCTCGTGCTTGGTCTCTATCACACAAGGACGTTGAGGGTACTTTTCAGCATTTTTGGAGAAGATGTCATGAATGGCTCCTCTGAAAGCGGACCATTCTAGATCAGTTGTTGGGTTTGGCAGTAACTGTCGTTGCTGAGGTGTGATAAACTCAATACCACCCAACGGTGCGGCTGGATCTTCTGCAGCATTTTCGATGAATTGCACAATCTGTTCAAGTAAACCCAGTATTCTTATGCTTGAGAAAAGACGCTGGTTGTATCTGACGGTCAGTTGTAGTGACCCATCCTTGCTACATTTGTAGTCAAGCAAGAAATCTACGTTATCGACGGTATCGTAGCCTGAAGAGCCTAACGAGGAGGTGTTGTAGGCAGCGAAGCGAAAGAGAATGGGAGTATTGAGCTTGCTTCGAACTTCTTCGAGTGAGATAGGATGGCTGCCAGCATCCTGAACTGCTGACTCGACCCTCTCAAAAAGCTGATCGAAAGACTCAGATGCAGTCAGCGATAATCTAACAACGATTTGAGGCCCGTCAGAAGTGGTGTTTGTGCCTATGGAAACATCCTCGTCGCCAGTTAGTCGTCCTACCAAGGCGACTAATGTGGTCAGCAAGACAATCTCAGCATTTCTGCTGCTGCACAATTTCGCAAGACCTTCTGACCTTGTACTGAAAGTCTCAAGTGCTTCGATGGGACGTTTTGGTACATTTTCTTGGGAGGTCTCTGGGTAGTCTCTGGTAAGCGGTGTGACGGTCGGGCTATTGAGCTTTTCAGCCCACCATTCGAGGTTCGAGGACGACATAATAGCTCCTTCCTGCCCTTATACCATTCATAACATTATTTTACCACACTCCGGCAAGCACTGATCTGTTTGCAAGCTCGTGTGACCTACCAGCTTTGACTCATTCTCCCAAATAATTTTTTGGAGCTCGAGCTGCACGTCCTTTTTCGTGGAGGTGGAACGAAGCCATGCACGTGCCGTGGAAGATGACACAAGCGGCGGCACATGTTTAGAGATTGACTGACAGGGCTGAGTGCTGCCATCCATACTGTATCATTATGGCTCAGGGGCATAGTTGGATATACTTTCAATGGTGAAGAAGGTTCTACAATGGTAATCTTGGATGTTGTGCGATGCCCCCGACTCGTTTTAGGACACTCGTTATTGTCGCTGGCGCTGCGCTTATAACACTATTTGTTCTTTCTTCGTCAACGCGACAAGTCGCCTCGCATGCTGCCAGTGCTGTAAAGCCTGCCAACTTCCCAACCTTCGATCTTGAGGTCCCGACGAGATTCACATGGCATCACTCTGCGCACAAGCCGCCTGAGCAAAAGAACAGCACCAGTGGTGAAGCCTCCTGGTATGCTGACTGGCGATGGCTGAATCCATTCTCCTCGTCTGTCACGCTCGACGAAGACCGCGCACTTCTACCACCGCTAGCCGAGCGACCCTTTGTTTATACCTACTGTGATACTACGGTGAAAAGAGACAAGGAAACCAAAAAGGTTGACTCGGAAATCATACAGACATGGCGGAGGGCATGGTGGGCTAAAGGCTTCCGACCAGTGGTCTTGACACAGGCTGAGGCTATGGCTAATCCGCTATACCGGGAGCTTGGTCCAAAGGGTATGCAAAAAACGTTAGAGTACGACTTTGCAAGATGGTTGGCCTGGAGTCATATGGGCACCGGACTGCTCGCGGATATATTTTGTGTGCCTATGGCCACATATGATGATCCACTACTTTCTCACCTGAGACGGAACGACTTCGAGCAGCTCACCAGATTCGAAGGCTTGGGAAATGGCCTATTTGCAGGAAACAAAGCACAGGTCGAATCAGCCGTCAAGAATGCGCTTAACGATGCTAGACTAAGCACGTTCAAATCCATCACAGAAGCCGTGCAGAGCAGTCAATTCCGGGTTGAGCAGCCAACCTCGTTTGCCTACTACGACTCCGAAAGCCTGACGAGACGCTATTCTGCAGTAGCTGATGAAATCCTCCTTGATCCCATCAAAGGTCGCCGCGAACTCAACAAGCTAATAGTCTCCCACCTCCACACTGTTTGGCAGAACACTTTCAGCACTGGTATAGAAGTGCTCAAGCCACTACCAGCGCACACCACAGCACTAGTGGAGCCATCTCTGCACTTAGCTCAACTCCTAGTCGAATGTCCAGAAACACTTCTTCCCTCCTCCTGCCCACCCAACAAGCCAAAATGCACACCCTGCGTAGGCTCACGCATGCCCATCACACAGCCCGAAGCCTTTCGAAACGTCAGCACCCTCTATACCATCGCAACCGTCCCTCACCCTTACACAATGATCACCCTCAACAACCAATCAAGCGAAATCACCATAGCCCACATCCGCCGCAAAACACCTCGTGACTCTTGGATCCACAGCGTAACCCGCGACGTGCTGGGCGACGGCCGCGGCGGTCCATCCCGAGTCGTCGCCTTCAAAGACGCCGTCGCCAGCACCTTCGGCCAACAACGCTCCCTCTGGTTCACAGTCGAGCACTTCCCCTCCAACATCGCCATCGACATCACCTCGGACAAAGTCCCCACCAACGACGTCCAATCCGCTCCCATCGACACCCGCACCCCCTTCCCCGAAAACTGGCTCCAAGAAATGGCCTGGCACTTTGGCTTCGCCATTCCCCGCAGCACAATCTCCCATGGCGAAAGCATGAGTCCCGTCCCCTTACCTGGTGACCAACGTTGGCAAAAAGGCCAGCAAGGTATACCCGCTGACAAAAAGGGAAGCTACGACCCACCTGATCCGACGGAGAACCAGCAGAGGGTTGAAGCGCAGTTGTTGAAGAAGGCAAGGGACACGATTAATTCGAAGGATAAGCGTTTGAGACAGATGAGGGATGTGGCTGAGAAGTGGAACCTGGCTGATCTTGAGGCGTGGAGATTCGTTAGGGCTTTTCATGCGCGAAAGGTGGTTGAGCGGGAGCTATTTGAGGAGGAGGAGAGTAGGTTTGATGGGACAGGTGGTGCGAGGGGTGGGAGGTGGTGGTAGTGACGCCGTCGATGAGGCGATAGGACTTGGGCAGGGAGTCTACAACCATTTGGGAGGTACTGTTTGGAGATTGTTGGCTTTGCTTGGATCTGGGCTAGCAACATAGGATTTGAACACTTTTGGGCGAAATTGTGTAGATTTGGGATTCTTAGACACGATGTTTCCATACGATGTACAAAAGATTGTCTTCACGAACTTCATTTGACTTAAGCACGTTCATTTTTCTATGTCATTTGCAGAATCGTCCATGAACGATGCTGTGCTTGTCCCTTGAGGCATGTAAGAAATTCTTCAAGCCCCATTTCGTGCACTGGCATCTCAATCAACTCTCCTCGAAGGTCTAGGCCACACTCTCTTGTACAGACTCACGCCGACAGCATCCATACTATTTACCTTTCCGGCTCCGTCAAACGTAGCCTTGAAGTAGCCATGAGTACCCAGTGCTTCCTTAATAAAACCCTGCCTGCCTCTCTTCGTCCAAAGCGGCAACGCCTTAAACCACTCAACATCCTCCCGATTGAAAAACATGTACCTGATAGTAACCAACTTCTTGTGAATCTTGAACGGATTACCAGTCAATATCACGCGTTTAGTGACAATCCTGCTGGAACTCGGCGGTAAGGTCGTGGCTGTGCCTATCATTTCCAGGTCGCCTTGTTCTGATTTGCGGAAGACCAGGCAGGGTACACTGCCCCAAGTGAGGGGCCCCACAAATGTAGCGACGGCGGTGCGACCAGGGTGGAGAAAGCGGTCGAATTTGTGGACGTCGTTGGGTGTGACGCCGCCAGCACTGAAGATTGGGTTGATTGCGAGTCTGCGATGGCCGATCTGGACTATGATTTCTTCTTTGGATTTGATAGGTGCTGTGAGGGAGGATGAGAGACTGACGTTGAGGTTGATTACTGCTTGTTTGTGTTCGTGTTTGAGGAGGCTGAAAAGGGAGGATGGAGTAGTGGACTGAAGGCTTGTAGAGACATTTTGTAGTTCGATCTCCACTCTGGAACCGGCAGGGATACCACCAGCTAGAGACTCTTTCATGACAGCACTGTAAGATTTCTTGTAGTCAGGCACTTGTAGCAGACGCTTGTAGTCGGCAGGCTCATAGGGAGCATCGGCTTCTGTGTTCCATTCCGAGGTACGCAGTGATTTAAGACCACGATACTTAGCAAGGCGTTCGCGAGCAAGCACGTCAGGGTGAAGCTCTATCTCGTCTGGAAATTCCAGGTCTTCTTCTGCCTCTTTCTTGCGCGAGGCTCGAAATTCTGCTAGCTGGCGTGCTTCCTCGGCCTCGTCTTGGTCAACATGCATTTCCGTGTCTGGGTATTCCGTCGCGGGTATATCCGTCATAGCATCTTCGCGAGCAATAGCACCGTCTTCGGGTTGTTCTGAAGCTGCGTCTTCATTAGCGTCGTCGATAGGCATGTCTTCGTCCATAGCCTCATCTTCCGAATCAGATACATCGTCGAGATACCACGCCGATTGGTACTTGGACGTGCCTGGTGGAAGTTTCTTGGGCTGTTGAGGGATGTGAGAGTTATCGTCCGAGAAATAGTGATGGTCATCGAGCAATACACCTTTCTGCTCTGTGTGATCAATCGAGCTTGCAATAGTGTTCGTCATGGCCTGCTCGGGAGCAAGCTCTGTTAAGTCGTCCTGTTCTGTAGATGGAAGGGTGCCCTTGCGGTCTTGGTCCATAGTCATCTCATCAGCCTTTCTCTTTAGAGGCTTCAAAGGTATTTGAGTGATTTTTGCAACCTGGTACTCCCCCCAACCAGGCACATGCACTAGACGATCTGGGTTGAGGCTTTTCCCTCTGGTCAAGCCGCTCAGAATGACGTTGGCGGTCTCTGTGCTTGCTTTTGGCACTGACCATTGAGTGTTCTCAATCAGCATCCAACTTCGTGCATCTCTCCACCTGATACCTTTCGTGCTCTGAGTACAAATCTTCCGCATGAGCAGAGCACAATCGTTCTTGTTGTCTAAGACGACCAATTTGTCAGGGTCGGGAAAGTAGTGACCAGTCTGGATCTTCAGCTCGGCGAGCCTTTTGCTCAGCTTGTTGTCCGGAACAGTCTCTTTTGCATTCTGAACCACAAAAAGTGCGTTGGTTACACCTTGGCCCTCGATAACCCTCAGTAGATTCTCAGCCTCTGTGTGTAGATCTTCGGCAGCGGCTAGGACGAATAGCACAAAATCAGCCAGTTTGCAAACATCGAGTGCATTAAGCATGTTCATTGTCGCAGGCATGAATAGAACATTGCGTCCGTATCGTTCGATACGTGTCCTAACAATACCCTCCTCCTGCATACTCGGCTCGATATCTACACCAGCATTCATCTCGTTGATTGCACGTCTGACATCGACTTCCTTAGACAATGGTACAACGGCAACATGCTTGGGAGCTCCTTCTGCACCCTTGAAGATATCCGTTTCCTGCTCTTTCTTAATCTTGTGGTGGATCCGAGATTGTTTCGCTTGGTTCCTCCTCACCAATTTCGACATGACTTGCTGATGCGGCGTCCTTCTCTTTCCTCGTTCTTCTCGTTCGACTTTGCCCTTGGCGGCGTCTTTCAGCGCGCTCTTGGTAGCATGCCGTGACTTGAACTGCTTATGATCAACCTTAGTGGTATTCCGATGATGGTGGACAGGCTGAGCGGATATCGACATATTGTTGGTACCACTACTACCGCCAGCTTTGAACCTGAATGGCAACATGCTCGGGCACAGTTGCAATCAAATAATTCTTCCAGCGCCAGCCAGTGGGATGTCAACTTGCCAAAAATTTGGAGGCGGCCGATAAGATAAGCCGCAGACACAAAGTTCGGATCTGAAAGCCCTTGGTGCCTGATTTTCGACTCGTGTCGGTAGAATCTCGGTTACGGTGCCGCAGATTCCAATGAATTTTGGCAGTAGCGACCATGTAATAGAACCATGACCATCTCGATGGAGACATCGTAAACAGAACGATTGCTGCTTCCTTTACCCAAGACATTATCTCCAAAAGCACCTCAAAAGAGCGCACCTGTATCTTCCTGATTGTACCACCGCACTCACTGACAGCTGTAACTACCAAATCCTCACTGCCCGAGACGAATATACCCTGCAACCGCCACGAAGAACGTTTGGCTGGAATGGCAATCAGCTAGGGAATCTCTGCCATAATCCTTCTCTTTACTGTCTTCATCACCCCACTAGGGGTAGCAATTTGTCCTGGTATAAGCTTTCCGGAGTGGACGCTCGTGTTCATTCTTTGGTTGATCTTCCCAGTCGCGGGCTTGATCCTGGGCTTAGTCAGGGTCTCGTGTTTGATCTACAAAGCAAACCATGGACCAGCTGGACAAAATCTCCGGCCAGGATACCGAACCCTCGAATGGCCAGCACCGCCAGACTACTTTAGCTCGCAAGCGGCCTACCGCAGTACTCAGCCAAGAGGAGAGGGAGAGACAGCGGCAGGTCGCCGAGGCAAGGAAGAAATATGGACGAGGAAGGCCAGTACGCCTCAACCAGGTCAAGGACAAGAAGTTGAAATCGGCGTTACGGCGCATTGAGAACAAATATCAGGACGCCGTCCTTGGAGCCAAAGACGCCGAAATTCTTCTTGAGAACCAAAGTGGCTTTTTACAACCAGAATCTGCACTCGAAAGAACATACAAGGTACGACAGGAAGACATCTCCGAGGCTGTAAGCGTACAACAAGCCAAAAAGTCCTTTGAATTGAAGCTAGATCTGGGTCCATATTGCGCCAATTACACGAGAAATGGCAAGCAACTACTGTTGGCTGGTCAGAAAGGCCATATTGCTACGTGTGATTGGCGTAGTGGAAAGCCAGGCTGCGAGCTCAACCTCAACGAGACTGTGAGAGATGCAAAGTGGCTGCACAATGACCAGTATTTCGCTGTAGCTCAGAAGAAGCATGTCTACATTTATGATGCAGCCGGCGTTGAGATTCATGTGCTCCGAAAATATGTCGAGACAAGCCACCTTGAATTCCTGCCCTATCACTTCTTGTTGGCTGGTGTTGAGAATAGTGGCTTTTTGAGGTATACTGACACATCTACTGGTCAAATCGTGGCAGAACATCCAACAAGAAAAGGCCCTCCTACTGCTCTAGCTCAGAATCCCTACAACGCTATCTTGCATGTCGGTCATCAAAATGGTACTGTTTCATTGTGGTCACCCAATAGTACTGACCCACTTATCAGGATACAAGCAAACACTGGTGCCGTTCGGTCTATAGCAATGGACAGATCAGGTCATTACATGCTCACTGGTGGTCAAGATTCAAGATTGAAACTGTGGGATATTCGTGCACTGAAAGAAGTGCACAGTTACAGCACGAGACAACCAGCCACAAGTATATCCATATCAGATCGTGGCTTGGCAGCAGTCGTCAGTGGCACGTCCACCACCATCTGGAAGGATCTTTTAACCGCTGGTAATTCGAGCCAGCCAGGCAAGGTGCAATCTCCATACCTCAACTATCATTCTTCACTAGGCACGCAAGTCAAGCCAAATACGGTAGGCTTCTGTCCTTTTGAGGACATTCTCGGCGTGGCTCATTCCTCTGGCTTTACCTCACTCATTGTCCCTGGCGCAGGTGAAGCCAATTATGATGCACTCGAGGTCAATCCATACGAGACACGCACACAGCGTCGTGAAGCAGAAGTCAAGTCTCTCCTTACAAAGCTGCAACCTGAAACTATTGCTCTGGATCCAAACTTCATTGGCTCCTTAGACGTAAGGTCGGCCGAACAGCGTGCACGTGAGAAAGACCTCGATGCACCAAGTAGAGAAGAGGAGAAGATGGCCATGCTGAAGGAGCGAAACAGGGCTAGGGGCAAGAACAGTGCTCTCAGAAGGCATTTGAGGAAGAAAGGCGGCAAGAATATCATCGACGAAAAGCGCGTCAGAATGGAGCAGATGCGCCATGAAAAATCTGAACGCGAGAAAGAGAGGATCACGGGTGAGAAGATGGAGCTTGGTCCAGCGTTGGCCAGGTTTGTGGGTGGTTCAAGGTAGCAGTCGTGATTTTATCTGTACAGTGCTTGCCTAAATAGTCCTTTCAGTGTTTAGAGATACCCCTGTTGCAATCTAGAATCTTTTACACTTCCATGAACACTGAAGCCTGATGCGGGATCATCTTGACAAACCCTACCTCCGAACTTTCCACGCTCCTTTATCGGCGGCTTGCCCCTTGGTCTCATGTTGCTTCAATAACTTCTCCAACTCATCCACTTTCCCATCTAGCTGCTGCTCTTCAAATTCCAATCGCTCAAGTTGTCCATCCATCTGTCTCATAACATCGACATTCTCAAGTAATGCCTTCTCTTGCTCAAGCTTCGTAAGGCGAGCTTTTGCTTCAACGCCTCGAGAAACAGCCGCAAGATACGCTGCGCGAGCCGTCAGATATCGTGACTGTGTGCCGTGAGTATGGAGTTCGAGATGGCGGATTCTGTTCTGGAGGTCTATCCTGTGTGAGTCGAGATGTGATTGGAGGGAGGAGAGGGTTGCTTGGAGCTGTGCCGGTAGCTGGACTGATTGTAGATTGTTTGTCAAGGTTGTGGCGGAGGAGACTATGTCTGATAAGGACTCCTGGCGGGGTTTTGATCTTGTTGGTTTCTGTTCTGTTGTGGGAGGTAGGAGCGTCCTTGCTGTGCTCGCTAGCTTTGATTCGATGGACACGAGATACCGAGATAAGGCGGAACAGATTTCTGGTAGATACTGTTGGAACATCTCCTGTTCTTCCCTCATGAGTTCATCTGTGTCCTTGGGGAGAGTCATATTTGCCCTTTGATCCAGTGATACTGAGAGGTAATTTGTGACATTGAGAACCAGCTCACGCAGCTCTACTGGCAGACTTGGCGTCCCCTCAGCACGATATCCGTTGTGCCCAGCAAGTCTCGAAGCATCTAGTGATACAAGTGGTTGACTTGGTTGCTCCGTAACATCTTCGCATAGAGCGAGCTCCTCGAGCGCCAGCAAGAGAACACTCTCCTTTGCAGCATCTTCGCGTGCTTGCCGCAGCGACACCCTACTAACTTCACTAGTTTTTGACCGCGAAGCTGTCGAACCGTCCGATAACAAAATGTTGGTGGTTAGATAGTTGTATAGAACAGCAAAATGTGGATTGGCTTCGAGTGTGGCCGTGGGAATAGGAGGCAACATATCCGCGGTCTGCTTTGACGTATGGTCGAGACTCGAGCTCTAATTGGGTATCGTAATATGAGTATCATGGATCAGACTCTCCCATGGTCCATGAATATCTCATACGTTGTGCGTCGTGTTTTGTATCATGACCGCTGTTGCCCGTGGGTAAAGCCCCAGGAAGAAAGAAAAAACAACCAAATTTATTCCACCTCCATGGAAGTCACTTCGACCATTTCTCAGTACCTGTGCTCTATCGCAAGTCCGGTCTATTAATTTTTACTCGGCAAACAGCGAGCAAGCAAGATACCTTGCTGCAAATTGAGAGAGACCACACGTTCTAAAAACAACAAAGAGTCACTACTAACTTGAAGTATAGGATGTGGGAGCCTTCGAGTAATTCCGATAACGATAACAGATTGACTATTTGTACGTTATTAAACAACTGCCATCTCCTTTCAATTTCGCCTTGTATTAGAAAGACCTCGATACAGCCAAAAACACCTCTAATGGTCAAGAGACGTGTTGCAAGACCGACTTGTGATGAACACTGACTCTCAAAAACTAGAACGCGTTAAAACTGTTGATGGTGCAATTTGAACGGGAAACTGTGGGAAATGCTGCTCCTGCCTGAGGAACGAGGTGCAATATTACCTATTTTTTGACCCGTTTATACGTGAGTAACCATTGGAATGGGGAAAGGTCAATCAGCCTCTCACAAAGTGACTGTCACTCAATGTTCATCTTTCCTCGAAACGTTCTCATGACGTATAATCTGCATAACTTTGAGGTTAAATGGGCTTCCTCATCAGCACATACAACAAGTTCTACCTCTTGGCACGTCTATACTCCCGGAGATTGTCACGCCTGACAGACCACCATGAAGATGCTCACGTACCTGACCATCCACCTCCTTGGCTTCATCAGCCTTGTAGCTGCTCAACTCAACAATATCACAACCCCTTCACTCAACCTCACCACGATTGCTACTTCGAACGGCTCGTCCGTTCTCGAATGCTGGCAGTTCCCAGGCTTTGCAGCATCCGCAACACCAGGCGTCTCAGGAGCACTGAACCTCTTCCTTGGCAATACCTCTAATGCTTCGTACACTGTGATCCCTGCACGGTTCAATGGTGGTGTGCACACTGCGCCCGCTGCTCAGTATGTCTGGTTCTCCGAGATACTTGTCTCATCATCCTGCCTGTACCCTGAGAGTCCACGTCCTTGATAGAGCTCAACCTATACCTCTCTGCCCCCCAAACACTCCCACTAACCACAAAACCAGACTCGTGTTCTTCGCATCCGGCCTAGCACACATCACCCTCCCAAACACAACCATCACTCCAACGACAGAAGCATGGATTCAAGGCGGGAAGTACGGGTTGATCCTCGCTGCTGATACGCCAAATGTCTCCAGATACGGCCATATCACGATGTATCCTTCAGATGCGGATACCGTTGCAATGCAGGTGCCGTTTGCGGATGGCGAGGTTCCTGATCATGAAGTGTTGTATGCTGGGCCGTGTGGGTGGGCGGAGATGGTTGGGATTTGAGGTGTGGTTAAGTGATGTACGTTGAGCTGTTGTTTGCATAGAGTGGATATTCGGAGGACGGTAATTCTAGATACGATTGTTCTAGCTCGAATATGAGCAGAGAAGCCTGTTACAGACATGGGAAGCAGACGCAAGTTCTGACTCCGGAGACATATTCTTGTAATGTAGCTATTCCGCTATACTATACTTCCGTTGTAGGTCTCCTCTTTCAGTACACGCCCTGGGAAAACAATGCTTTTCCAACAGATATCTGCTCGTGAACCAACGCTATGCAAATGCACTCATATCCTCATGACACTGCGGAACGCCACAATTTTCGTTGACTATACATTAGTTACACATCTTGCCCGAATGGCCGGCCTCTTGAATTGCACTTTGAGTCTTCACCAAGCACCTTCTCCCATTCTGTAAACGGCCTGTTCCGATGCTCATCGGTGTTTCGACTTCTTCTTCAATGGTCGTTCAGGTTCGTCGTCTAGAAGGGTATTCTCTTCTTCTTGAGATATTTCACCGTCGTTGATGAAGTCGACCATCGATGAATCCTCCTCTTCGTCGTCTTCCTCTTCCTCTTCGTCATCTTCATCTTCGCTGTCTTCGGTGCCAGTCTTCTCATCGTCTTCGGAACCTGATTCACCTGAAAGTACAGCCTCATTGTCGATGATACCGTTCAGATGCTTTCGCTGAGGCTCGTCTGCGTCAGAGTCCTCAGTCTGCTCGTCACTATCTTCGAAATGACCATTGGTGAGAGGCATATCCTCGTCATCACTACTTTCGGGACCACCAATCAGGTCCTGCAGGTGTTTCGTCGATCGAGCCGATTTCGATTTCTGTCTCGATACGGGAGCATCCTCATCAAGGTCTTCATCACTAGACCAATTGTCGGTTTGTCCTTCAACGTAGATAGCTGCTGGACCCTGCTCGATACCTTTTCGATGGGCTTCGGCCTGAGCTCTGAAAGACTGTTGAGCACTCATCATATCGAGCTTGCCTTTCAGTAGAAGAATGCTTGGTAAGACTTGTGATCGCTCATTCAATACTTGGTAAAGCGTTCTGAGCTTCGAAGCCACTCCTGCCTGACTGGCTATCGCTCCACCATGGGCGATCATCGTTGACTGAACCCAGGTAAGAAGATGTCCGTAACGGCCAGGACGACTTGCTAATCGCTCGGCCAGCTTTGTGAGCAGGGTCGCAGCAAGCGAAGAGTCTAGCCGTAAAATAGTATTCTGAATGATCATTTCGTCTGTAACGTGCAAACACGTTTCCAGTAGACTCTGATCGTTCGTGCGTAGCGACTGAGCAAGTACAGTGCCTAACGACATGCCCGAGGGCAACATCAAAGTCTTTGATTCTGGCACTCTTGCCAACGCTTTGTCATTAACTTGCAGGGCGTCTGTGATCATGATGGCCTCGGGATTTCTTGCTGCTAAGAGATCACCAAACGAAGGCTCAGCCGACTCTTCTCCGTTATTTGACATTGGATCTTCTGGCTCTGACCTAACATCCTCCATGTCTGCGTCAGTGTCACCATCGGACTCAGCGGCAGAGTCTATGTCAGCTTTCTCATCGATATCTTCGTTTTCGTTGTCTATCTCTTCCTCGTCGCTGCTTTCGATCTCCACAGGCGCTATCTGTGAACCTGGTTCAGCGGAGCCATTGACTACAACTGTTCTGGAATCATTCACTTGAGTTTGACTCGTATCCTTGGTACCGTTGACAGATGCAGTGTTCAGTGCGGAAACGGACCTGGGCCGGACCACTTCCCTGACACCTGTGAACAGTAGTTCGCCTGAGCCCTCATCTTGCCATCTGACTTTCTGGAAGACTGGTACAGCACCTGCTTCCATCGATGCAACGACAAGGTTTGGTCCATTAAAACATGCAGTAAATGCAGGTACTTGTTTCCTGTCTGTTTCCGAGCTAATCAATTTCACGACAGCGTCGGCTTTCCTTGTCAAAGCTTTCCGCTTCGTCTTTATGCCTCCATCGACTGGCTGTGGTAACGAAAATGGCCTCGTGAAAATCTCAACAAGTCCATCTCTTGTCACAACTGCCAGCATTTGATCTTCGGAGGCTGTCGGATGGTGAATCTCGGCACATTCGATGTCGCCGCCAGCCACCAAGGTGCGCACGATCTTCTTGCTCTTCAGATCGTAGACATTGATATAACGATTCTGGTCTGATGCAAGGAACATGCCCTGACTATCTTTCGCGTGCATATTCGACCTTATCAGCGTATGTATAGAACTCTTGAAGGCATCGAAAGCTTCCGTCGAGGAGCCATCTTCTGAGTCGGTGGTGATCGCATAAGGTGTACCAGAGGCGCACAATATTTGAGGAGGGGTCTGAGTCGGCGAGCTAAGTGTTTGTATCGAAACATCGGACAGAGAAATTGATCTATCAAAAGTTAATCACAACTATACGAGAACACGAGCAGGCACAAACCTTATAGCTTTATCATTTTGAAGATTCCATTGAACCAGTTTGCTGTCCTCTCCAATACTCCATGCCTGCAAGTTGTCTTCGGGAACAAACCTGAAATCCCGAATTCCTCTTTCGTGACCACCTCTCAATGTACCTACAACATCGCCTGTCGACAAGGACAACATACATACTTCAGATTTCGATGTGCCATAGGCTACAGCAACATCTTTTTGCTCGTGCGTTCGCTTTCGCTTCTTCTTGCTGGAAGCCCTTTGCTCCCTGTATCCAGTCCCATAACATCCCCAATCAAGGCAAGTGACGGTCGTTCCAGCTGAGACGGAATGCTGCTGTCGAAGCCGTCCATTTGAAGTGTCGTGTATGCGCAGTTGCTGAGACTCGAAAGATTGCAGGATGGATGCGAAGAGGTGAAGCTGAAGATAGGACGGTGCGAAGGAAGACTTTAGTAGAGACGATTTGCCCGAGGTTGTCGAGGTCGGAGGTGTGGTCAACGTGGAAGTCGACGAAATTTTGGTTATAGCAGTGGCACTCGACTTCTTACCCATTTTAGCTGTCTGGACGCTGAGGCGTGACTGCCAAATAGCAATATGAACGTGTACGAATTCTGGCTAGTAACATTCGCGCCTGCCTTACATCTCGTTGCAACTTTTGCGACAACTTATGAACTGTAACAGCAGCTACGATTTTTTGGAACGCCTACCAAAAAGTTTCTGGTCACCGCAGAAAAACGAACTATGCTGTTTCAGGTTAGTAGGAAGAATCCATTCCTCGAGACATTCGTTCTTCAGGCATCTCACTTTTTCCCTCTCATAGTTTCCCTCTCATTACTATTTTGTGTGTAAAACTTCCGACGTGTTGCGCGAACGTTTGAGCTGCCTTGCTGATCATGTAAGCGGCGGCACTAAGTCGGTTTTCTTTCAATCTATTGCTGCGTTTACCAGTTCTTGAAATGTGGAAATCTACTCATCAGCTTCATGTGGTTAATGCCTTCCCAACCTACCTGCTACAATGGTGAGTATAGTACAGAGAGTGGCTTGCATCGCGGACTAAGAGGAGCTTTCCGTGCAAGGACTTTTGGTTGACCCTTTCACCATTGACGTGCAATGCGGCAGCAAACAAGAGCACCCGTCATACGATAGGACAACACAAGACATGAAGGCGTTCCCTCTCCTCATCTCCGAATTTTGGTCGGAGCCCACGGATACCCGCATTGAGGGAATGACCTAGGAAACCCTACGTTATGAAACAACTTACTAAAACCAGGGTCAGTTGCCTTGAGCAGAATGCACGTGATGGACATGCGCATGTTGAAGGAATATCAAAAGCGGGCGGAATTCGTGGGATTGAGGAAGACGCCTGGTATAAATCGGACCCCGAACCAATCAAAGGAACCAGAAGAACTTTGGAAGAAGGTGTTCTATTGGCTAGTTGACCGTGAGGGAAAGCGGGAATCGTGGCTGGTGTTAGACGGCAGCTTTCGACGCGTCCTCTGGTGCCCTACTATCGTAAACATATAGGGGAGGCGACATGCACAGCGAAGGCAGATGTGTTTCTATTGGATAAGAAACATGTATGGAGCATATATTTTCTTGGGAGACTAAACTTTAACAAGGCATAGTGGACACCATTGATCTCAGTCAACCTGTCCATGATTGATGGTTTAAGTAGCTTCAGCCCCTCGCAGGTCTTCTCGCCCTCGATTTCTCACCTTCAAACCTGAAGTCGACCTCCAACTCGCGAAACACGCCAAGACTTTCTGCCGCGTCGCAACTCTTCCGACACGCTTTTTCATCACAACACAATTATACTTCCATCATCAGCGCATCACTGGTTCAGCTGCGCACTTCCTCCAAAAGTGCGCATCTCAAAGTGACCGCTCCTTGCGTCTTTTCCAGGCTCATCCCATGACGCATTAATGATATTTGCGCATATACCCAAATTTGGAAGGTCCCATCACTCTGCTGCAGCCTTGGCACTTCGGATAGTGTTTCTCGACCAGCGACTTCTTCCACCGAGTCGCAAGTTGTCTGATCAGGCTCACTTCAAAGTCTTCTCACCTTTAGGTGGCTAGGGTCAACCAATTGTTGCCACTTGATTGTGTCAGCACTTCGTACCTGCCGTTGCTGTCCGCAGCGAATTATAAATCTAGCTCCACCGTCGTCGATTCTTGTTCCAACGTTCCATACCGTCAATCGAAAACTCCGCTACCCTACCACGATCAATACTTTTCTCCTCCCAGAGACAAGCGCGAGAACAACTCCTTGCACCGCACCAAACCCCTGTATATTTGCGCATTCATCGATTGATTCATTTCACTTTTGTTCCATCGGCTGGTCCGACCTGTGCAAACACATTACATAATGGCTGATGTGGAGGCACAATTAGAGGCTAATGGGTAAGTAGATACGCTTTATCACGATCACAAGTTTATTCTGACGTCGACCTAGTCTACCGACACAATTTGAGTCAACATCAAACCAACCAGAAGTGTCGCATGCTGCCGCGAATGTCACTGCCACTATATCCAATGCGGAGATATCACAAGTGAAACAGCAAGCACCTGCTCTGGAAGTGAATACAATATCGAAACCAGTTCAGCCCGTCGAGCCAACACCACAACAACCGCCGGATCCTGCGCCGCTTAAGAATGACGTGTCACTACAACAGAACGGCGATGCGGCGCAGGTGTTGGATAACGCGAGTGTCAACGGCAACTCCGGAAAGAATACCAACAGTATAAATTCCGCGAGCGACCTGACCTTAGACAATTCTTCTCTTTCCAACTCATTATCGCTGGCCCCACAGTCCTCAAATCCCGTCATAGAGATGTCAACAATAACCGAACCTCTTACGCAACACGATCCCATGCCTGATCAGGCACCAATATCAGACCTGCGCACTGCGCCACATTCGGATGCGCTGTCTGATGAGGCTGTCGCTAATGTGGAAGCAGCCAAGCATGAGATGGATAACAACGCAGATAGTGAACCCTCAACAACTGCCCTACGACAACCTGAATTGCCGTTGTCGCCTACTGAGAAGGAAACCGGTTTACGGACTCCACAATCCCCGCCCCCCGTATCTGAGCTCGTACCCACCACAACCGTAGAGTCGCAAAATGGCGCCATCGTTCCATCGGTTGAGTCTGTGGATGCCACAGTCTCTGGCGAGAATCCGTCGGATCCAGCTCCAAACCCCGCTGTTCCTGCTGGTGAGCCTCAGGATCAGGAAATGACCGACGTCCCTTCTCAGCCTGTAAAGCATGAAAGAGATGAAGATACATCTGATGAACCACTAGCCAAGCGAATGAAGACAGAAGACGAGGCTGCGCCAGTCCAGGAATCAAACTTCAAAGTACCTGCAAGTCCTGCGCCCTTAAACAGTGGTCCAATGCCTACAGAACCAACCGGACCGGATGATGTTGTGACGCCAGCGAGATTACAACACATGAAGAAGGTTATCTCTAATCTGAAGAAGAGTAACGCATCTCAGGCCTTCCGCATACCTGTGGACCCTGTTGCCTTGAAAATTCCAACATATCCGGATGTCATTAAGAAGCCAATGGATCTGAGCAAAATCGACAACAGACTGAAGCTGAACCAGTACGCATCTGTCGTAGCCTTCAAGAACGATTTCAATCAGATTGTTCAGAATGCTGTGGATTTCAATGGACCGGATCACACTGTGACACAAGCAGGAAGAAAGATGGAAAGTTCTTTCATCAACCAAATGACTCAACTGCCAGCAGCTGCTCTAGCTGAGCCTAAGGTGGAAAAGAAGGCGATCAAACCCAAGATAGAGCCTGTCAGATCACCTGCACCAAGAAGACAATCCGTCACTGGCAAGGCGGCATCACCTGCCGCCTCCCCAGCAACCTTTGCCCCTGATCCCAACGGCATGCCGTTGATTCGACGAGACTCCGCTCTGGATCGACCGAAGAGAGCCATCGTGCCAACTAAGCGCAGCTCAGACTTCGGTAGCGCACGACCAAAGAAGAAGAAGTATGAGCTGGAGATGCGGTTTTGCGATGAAGTTCTCAAGATAATCAGCTCCCCGAAGCACTGGGCCGCCAATCAATACTTCACGCATCCTGTGGATCCAGTTGCCTTGAATATCCCAACGTATTTCCAGGTTGTCAAGAAGCCCATGGATCTACACACTATCCGTCAAAAGCTCGACGCAGCCATGTACGAGAGAGCCAAGGACTTTGAGGATGATGTGCGCTTGATCTTCAAGAATTGCTACAAGTTCAACCCAGAAGGTGACTATGTTTATCAGCGAGGTCAAGAGTTGGAGAGACTGTTCGAGCAGGAGTTCAGCAAGAAGCAGGACTGGATTGCAGCACGTGAGCCTGACTCAGAGCCTGCTAGCGTTGGTGGTGACGATGACGACGAAGAGAGCGAGGAAGAGCCCGACGCCGAAAGCGATGAGGATGACCAAAGCAATCAGCTTACCTCACTTCAAAAACAGCTTGAAGCTATTCGAGGTCAGATGGCGCAGCTCGAGAAGAGCAAGAAGAAAAAGGCCAGTCCAGGAGTATCGCAAAAGAAGGACAAGAAGAAGGACAAGAAGCAGCAGCCAAGCGCAAAGTTCCCAGGCCTGCAGCTACAAAAGGACAAATCGAAGAAGCCCCATGGGAAAAAGGCTAAGCCTGAAAAGGAACGATACGTCACCTTCGCAGAGAAGCAGTACATTTCCAATGGAATTGCTATGCTGCCTGAACGACCAATGGCGGAAGCACTCAAGATCATCCAGTCGAGCGTGCCAACTCTGTCAAACAGTGAGCAAGGTGAGATCGAACTCGACATTGAGGAGGTGCCTAACTCTGCCTTGCTTAAGCTTCTCTCTTTTGTCAAGAAGTATGCTGGTCCACCACCAGTGGAGGCGAGAGACGATACGTATGCCGGTGCAGCGGCGCCTAGCAAACCGAAGAAAGTCAAGACAATGTCCAAGCATGAGCAAGATTTACATATCGCGGAGCTGAAGGGCACTCTGGGCCACTATGAAGCTGGTTCTCCCGATGCTCTGCAATCCGTAGAGACTGGTGCCGAAGACTCCGACGAAGATTCTGACAACGAGAGTGAGGAGGAGTAAGCTCAACTCGTCGCATGTATATCGGTCGTTTGGTCTTGTGATATTCTTCTCGAGACAGGGAAGAGTTATGATTGGTGTGTTTTAGCGTGAGTTCCGAGTGTGCAGATGCATTGTGTGCATAACGCATGGCGCGGGGAGGGACAGTAGCGAGTACATACCCATACGCGCGCGCTGTCTTGCAGAGGCTGTGACAGCAACAGAGTTGTTTTCTTGCTTCACACATATCTTCTCTTCCGTTTTGTATGGTCGTTCTGAGTTGTAGTTGCTGAGCTTGTGTTGTTGCCCATGCTGCGACTCGAGGGCTGATTGGTTGCCCAGAGAATTGCTGTCATACTAATTCGAGAGTGATCGCGCACTGTGCATAGGGCTCAGGGTTGTTGACCGTGCACGATTCTGTCCTTTCGTGGCGGGACAACCTGTAATAGGCCAGTATTCGCGTCTCAGGTCTGCTTTCGTCCGTATAGTGATGCAGACTAGCCAGTCTCAGCACTCTCCAATACATGTTTGGTCTTATTTAGTCGGAGTATGAACACCTGTTGCGGTGCTTCTAACACAAGTAGATTTCAAACACATTGTTTCCCAGCAAAGATAATGGTTGAATGTCAGCTGCTTATTGAGTCTAGCCTGGTCCTCAGACACGTTGAATTGAACATCTGACTTGGTGGTTGCACGATGTCGTACACAATTGAGTAGAGGTATGCTCCAGCGGTTGTGTGAGACTGCGCAATAGCTTGGCCGTTGACGTTGACTTCTTGTTTCGTGGGAACAATGAGGTGTCGCAATGGGTATTTTCTGGTTCGCATGCTTGCACCAAGTTATCGATCTTGACTTTTGCAAGTACCAGCCATCTATCCGGCACGAAAGCTCAACTCTTAGTAATATCAAGCATGCCAGTTTGGCAGCCTTCCCTTCAGTGGCTGAGAGTGCTCCCAATGCCAAACAATGGCCGGGTCTGATGGGGTGGGAGGAATTATCAAGGTAGTCAACGCGAATGACTGTCGCAGAGGGCAGAAAGCGTTGTCATGCTTGATCAGCGCGAGTATAGGCAAGCGTTCGATCGTTTGTTAATAGCCGCAGACACAGGCCGATGATACCACAGGGTGAGTCATACTCGTGTACGTCGTCGTTCTGCTTTCGCAATCGAAAGTGAAGAGTCAAACAGAAGGTTTCTTCCTCTAGCTTGCTAGGTGAGGCAGTTCCATGAGCATCCCCTTCGTCAGTGGGGTGGCTAGGTCGCTGCGTAGTAAGCAGTCAACGTTCGTTGTATGACGCATCACTCATGCTCTTGCACCTTCGTTCATAGGCTTAAGGAGGAGATGAGTGCCTGTCACGGCCGCATAGCCAGCTATCGAGGAGGAACGGAATATCCTTGTTCTGTCGCATGGTCAAGTTCTTACGACAACCCAACCATAGATTAGCTCGGGTCACTATAACAGAGGCTACCAAAAGGTCTGCAATAGAGCACATAAGGGAAGAGCGAACACAATCGTAGAGGACGAAGACGTGTGTTGGTGGCTGAGGTACATCGTTGTGCGATCATATTGGAAATCAGCTGGGAACTCGAAGAGACTCGGTAGAGGCGCCCAGAGCGCCTGGCGTGTTCGGTTCCGGTGTATGACCTTAAGTTAGGGTACCAAACCTGAAACTTCTCTAGGAGGTTTACAGCATCATCGAACAGGATTGTATGGTGAAAGGATAAGATGCTCAGATGCGTATCAGGGGAACCAATCGAATTAGAATCGGCACGATTGGTATTGATTGTTATAGTATTGAGAAGAACTACATATCCATTGCTGGAGGGTGGGTTGTACCTAAACTCGGTGCGCGAGCTTCCCGGCAGCAGTTTACTAGTAGCAGGCTTTTGTAAAGCCACTGACGCAAATCGTAGCCAGTGGTCAATATCTGTCTACGAATTCTGGTCCATCTTGTTAATTGAAGTGAGCATAGCTGCCTACTGATGGTCCAAAGTACAAATTGGCTGGCAAAGACACGACATACTGTGCGATTGTGCGCCTAGTGTGATTGCCTGCAGAACTCATATTTAGACAAGTCTGCTTGGCCGCAATGTAGACAAGTACTGTGGGAGGTAGCAAAGGTCTGCCAATAGCTGAGGTCCTGGTGTAGAGTGTGTAGTGGCACCTTCTATTTCCAGCAAGGTCAGTGGCCAGACGGCCGTTGTATCTGCATAGTAGCACTGCGACGGGCTCCTTTCGTCGAGTTTGTCGAGTGTTGCATCGCTCCTCAATGGTTGTATATACTGCCTCGATAATCCCAGGTTGATAAAGGTGACTTCTGTCTTCCTTTCTCTCACCATGGAAATGTTGGTGAGTGTGCGCAATCATTCATAGGTCAGCACTTTGCAATCATCAACTACGAAGTCACCTCCATTGCATAAAGGCTCATGTCTTCCTCTACCAGCAGTGTTGGTACCGATGGTATGGCGCTCTCACCCTCGCTTCCTTGTTTGTGTTGCTGCTTGATCCTGCCCATGTTTTGTTCGTGGATTTATGAACCTACTCCTTGGTTTTGACTTCATTTCAGGTATACCTACCCAAACATCAGCGGGCTCACGAATGATAGAGCATTTTGTGCTTGAGAGTGCTCATCGTGGTGTCTATGCCGCCGGCACTGTACCGTCAAAGCAGAGGACCAAGAATATCATCGTCGCTGTCGACAAGGCACTTTCTTCCTTCGAGCAGGCCTCACCTCGTTCCGAATGAGCCAGCAGGCTCATACATGATGCATTCTCGTAAGGATACGATTCCCTGACCTTGGTAACTCATCTTTCTAGAACTTGCATCTTTTCATGTGTCATGCACCTCGGGTCGTTCTTCGAATGGTCCCGGTCCAAGAACGTTGCGATTTGGGTGATGCATCAACACATTTTCGATCAAAACTCAACAACCATAGCTCGAAAACGCATCAAAATCACATGCCGACATCTTAACGCGATTACACACATTCAATAAGTAGTTGTGCTCCCTTGCTAACGATATGATGCAGGACATAAAAACACCGTTAGTGGTTCGACAAGGTGGTAAATGTCGTTGGGACGTGCAACACACGCGTGAGCCAAAAGGTGGAGGGTGGGATGCAGTGGTGGCCGAACGATTATTCGGAGTAAGTCCAGCGGCAGAACTTAGCCTATCAGAGACGTCTTGGCAGCCACGACCGTGGTGTCAGCGATATTTTGGTGGCGGGCCTGCATGCACGGATTTTGGTACCATTAAGTAGGCACGTGGGTGAGTGTCTGAAACGAAATATTTTGAGCTTTTCTGGGAGCGAAACAGCCGAGTTTTGGTTGTGCATGTGATCTTTTGGCGTTCAGACTAGTTCGGTACTTTTGTTTGAACATGAGAGAACTTTTGTGAATGTGAGATGAACCTGGTAAGATTGACAGGCAACAGGCAAAAGCAACAGGCAAAAGAGATGGACTAGTCCCATTGAAGGACTCTAGTACTGGTCACATGACATACAGGAGTTGGCCCAAACGACGCTCATACCTCCGTTACACTACCGGCAATATATTGTCTTCAGGTTGTGTTCCTGGTGGCTTGTCACAATCGAATCTATGCTTCTCAAACGCCATATAACGAAGGATATATAACAGACGATCTGAAACATCATGGAAACCTCAACTCATTGATGCGTACTCTGAAGCGGAGACAACATTCCCAATCAGTACATGGGCACTCCGAGCTTTATTGCGACCAACACCTGGTATGAACTGCGTACCATCTGGAAGGTGTATACTTGCCTCAGTCAAGCAAATCTTGGCTATCTCCGTTGACTTGCTTGCCGTCCTTCGTGTTATCCTTCGTATCCTTGTTGCCTTTCTTGTCAGTACCCTTTCCCTTCCTTGCATAGAACTCATCAAGCACCTTAGCTGGTATTCTGTTAAGGAGTTCCTTCGGGAAGATCCTGAGCAGGTTCCAGCCAAGATCAAGCGAATCGAAGATACTTCTCTTCTCATATGGCGATTGATTGATGAAATTTCTCTCGAACTTCTCCAAGAACTCGATCGATAACTTGTCTTCTGAAGACAAAGCCTCTTCACCAACAACAGCTTTCATGGATGCAGCGTCTCGACCAATGGCATATTTGGCATATAGCTGGTTTGAGACATCGCCGTGATCTTTACGCGTCAGACCTTCACCAATAGCAGACTTCATCAGTCGGGATAGGGATGGCAAGACGTTGATTGGAGGGTAGACGCCCTTATTGTACAGCTGTCGATCAACGAAGATCTGGCCCTCCGTGATGTAGCCTGTCAAATCAGGAATAGGATGTGTAATATCGTCGTTAGGCATAGTCAAGATAGGTATTTGTGTGATTGAGCCATTTCGACCTTCAACACGACCAGCTCTTTCGTAGATTGTAGACAAATCGGTATACATGTAACCTGGGTAACCACGTCGACCTGGCACCTCTTCTCGGGCAGCGGAAACTTCTCGCAAGGCATCGCAGTAGGAGGACAAATCCGTCAAGATGACTAGAACGTGCTTTTCAAGCTGGTAAGCGTAGTATTCTGCTGTTGTAAGAGCCAATCGAGGGGTAATGATACGTTCAATCGTAGGATCGTTGGCCAAGTTCATGAACAGTGTGACACGCTCCATAGACCCGTTCTCTTCAAAATCTCTTTGGAAGAATCTTGCAGTTTCCATGTTCACACCCATAGCACCAAAGACAATAGAGAAGTTGTCCTCGTGGTCATCGTGTATGCCCTTGCTAGCCTGCTGTTTCACTAGACCTGCTTGACGACAAATCTGGGCAGCAATTTCATTGTGAGGTAGACCGGCGGAGGAGAAGATAGGGATTTTCTGACCACGAGCGACCGAGTTCATTGTGTCAATAGCAGAGATACCTGTCATGATCATTTCCTCTGGATATACCTGTAACACGTCAGCCTCTGTCGACTAGTAAGGAACTCTAGACTGCTCACTCTTGAATATGGATTAATCGGCGAGCCGTTGATGTCAAGATAATCTTCTGCCAACACCTTGGGGCCTTTGTCTATAGCTCTTCCTGATCCATCGAAAACACGACCCAGCATGTCTTCCGACACACCAAGCTTCAAGCTGTGTCCGGTGAATTCGACTTTTGTCTGTATGGCATCAGTACATGCTAGACAGGACATGGTCGACCTTGATTACCTTCTTGACATCGATACCAGTAGTTCCTTCAAATACCTGCACAACTGCACGGTCACCTCTTGCCTCCAACACTTGACCGCTTCTTTCAGAGCCATCTGGTAGAGTCAAGCTGACAATCTCGTTGTATCGTGGGAATTTGACATTGTCCAAAATGACCAGAGGACCATTGACGCCTCCAATAGTATTGTACTTCAGGCGAGGCTTGATCGAGGTCATGCGCGCATCCAGCTCCGCCGTTTCAGCCATGTTTTGAGAACGAGTACAATAACAATCAGAAAGCAAACAGGGATCGAGCTAGCTACCTCGAAACGAAGACGACCAGAAAACAAGTAGAACAACGCAGGCTGGAGATGGTCAAGCAATTGAGCTTCTGCAGCAAATACATCATCCTTCGATAAAGCTAAGCGCCAAGGGTCTGTAGCGCCTGCCGCAGCCACACTGATCCACGGAGATGAAGCAAGTGCCACACGTGCAGTAACGAGACATAATCTTGAGAGCTTCTCTGTACACTCGATTCGTTTTACAGAGTATTGTACTTATCCTGCCTACCGATTTATGAGGTCAATGGAAGTCGTAAACCTAACGATCTCTCCTTTAAACTACGACGAGGTGCACTCACTCCGCGATAAAGCAGTCAACGATCTGATAGGGTTCTTTGAAAACCTACTAATACGACCGTGAAAGTCTGACGAAACTTGATGACTTGCAATCGATCTGTTGTGCCATTGAACTATCTGCTGCAACCACAACAACCACTCAAGATTGCCAGCAAAAGAGCCCTGAAAGCAGCGACCCAGAGACAAATGCGTGATGCTGGTCGTAGAACATCCTGTCTCTCAAATCTTCAGTAATATCTCTGAGGTCCTCGATACACACACACCAGAGCGCCTGTGCAAGATCCAAGGATGGTCTTCTGAGTTATGCTTGCTGGGTACAGTCCTCATGTCCAGAAAACCAAGTCGCTATACCCACACACACAATTTCTTAGATCTTCTTGGAGCCCATCACGACGGCAATGTTGATTGGGCATCGGAAAACAAAGTATATAGGGCTCAAGCATCAAGCCCTCAACTTGATCGAACTGCTTCTGCGTGGCAGTCATGCCGCTGGATGACATGTTCGACAAGCTTGGAAGTGACTGGACCTAATTGTTGCGCTTTCTTGTGTGCAGTCAGGTTTGTAGACTATATCGTTACCACACCTTTAGTAGAAGCACTGTAGTCTGTTTCCTTACCGCATACGATCAATGAGTGGGCAAAAGAGGCTGATATCAGCAGGACTCGGCGACGCTCAAGGCACAGTGATGAGCTTACAACCCGACTGGTTCAGGCCTGCTCGAAAAGAGAAGTTTGTATTTGACGATTGCTAAGATATTGAGCTGTCCAATTTCGTGATCACTACCGATGTCTGACATGTCGGCATACGGATCTGCGTTGTGTGAGAGTACAGCCAGAGGCTTCGGTAGTTTCTTTATCTCTCCACTCAATCGCTGATTGTTGCCAATGTATAGGTGCACTCTTTTCATCCAAGGACCTTCTTTATCTCCGGAGCCTTCATCATAGAGCGGGAACTCGAGGTGCCCAATGCGTACACCATCGATACCGGCTGCATTTGCGAAAGGTGCATGTATAGAACCCTGGATTTCAATGATGGCTAGACCAGCTGGAGTCTGGAGGAGTTCGGGCAGAGAATTTGAAATGCTGCCAGCATTTTCAGTAGGGCCATTGATCTTCACTGAGGGCATCTCAATACAGCAGGCTATTGGATGTTGTAGATCCGCTTCGGGAAGCTTCTAAGGTCGACGTGATCGATTATCACAATACTGCTCTTAGTTATGGTTGGCACGTGTGGTGGTCGTGGTACGACTCCCATGTGTGTAGAGTGTGGCCGTTCCAAAGACTAAGTCTGACTTCAACAGCGGCATTCTTCCAGATATTCTGTGTCGCATGCTTTGTGAGCGATACTATTCAAACTTCGACTTTAACGACCATCGAGCCATCACAACAAGATCTCAACCCTGTCGTGGCCGCAATCGAAATTATACAGAATGGAAGTGCTCGCATGGAGGACTCCTTACAGATGTTGCTGAGCACTACTTAGCTCAGTTATGGGCTGATCATCGAAGGACGACTTAGCAGCAAACCCCTTACTCTGTCTTCGAAGATATCTCAGTTGTCCAACCGTTGCGACTAGATATAGTCCAAGTACCTCTTGTTCGAGCGTCGAACCTCTCAAGTCGCTGCTGGACTATTTGCCAAAGCACAGTTTGCTTCTTGTAACAGACTTCGCCACAGAGTTCTTAATGATTATACAGTGACCAATTATGACAAATACAAGGATACAAATTTAATGCAGTTTGCTGACAGCCTTGTGGGTTATGAGATTGACCGCCAAATCGCTTTTCATAACGCTCGATGTTGCTATTCGTTTCGTTTCGTTTCGTCAACTGAGGGGGAACTTTCGAGATGTCCATGAAGATGTGCCTCTTTTGACCTCTCAAGGCTATCAACTGTGATGGTTACAATGCCTATGGCCATCTCTTGCTTGTACCAAGTTATCAACTGAGCAGCAGATTCCGGACTGGATGTAACTCACAACTAATAAACACAACACTGAGCGCCTCGGCGTGCTATCCGCAGCAATGACAAACGGCGATGCGTGTCTGGTTGCGATGCTTATGAGGCACGCAGCGCGAGGGCACCGAGTGCAGCATGGACGTTTCAAGACGCTTATCACGGTTCGAGATCTAACTTGTAACAGCGCAAACGGGCGAATGACTATATCACTATATGAACACGACGTGGCGCCGTTTGGTTGGCGATATGGACACTCTCAACCGCCTACTCAAGTTTAACACACAGCAGAGAAATCCTCAATTCGGAAACAGCGTATGTCCAGTGTCGACCACAGTCGAGCAAAGATTGAAAGGTTATTGTCGAGATATCTTAAGAACGAAAGATGGCTAATCACCGAAACACATCGTCCTCAGCTACTACTACATCTTCCTCAGCAAGCAACTCTACGCCAGGTCTTGCAGCTTGGAGTTCCTCCAAAGTATACAAATCGTTTGACAAACAGGTCCTTGAGGACTACGAGCGACTGGCGCGACTGCAGCGGGCAGATAATTCCGTGGCTCGAAACTCTCCTCTCTTCCCGCCAACATATCATGAATATCTGCGCCACCGCGAAGCCCGCATCAGAGACGAGAAAGAAGAGCTTGAAGCTGCGATCCGCTCACGAAAAAGAATGGCAAAAGCACGACGACAGAACCCAGCTGTTGCCAGAGTCGTGCCAACATTTGGTGGCTGGATGGAATGGGCCAAGAATCCCATGTCTGCAAATGGTTGTCTGTTAGCGCATTGGGAGCAAGCTAGCCGAGAAGCCATGAGGGCTGAACAAGAGTCGGTTGGATCAGATTCATTCCAGGCACGAGGACGATTCTTGCTTGGTGATGCATTGCTGGGAGAGTTGTGATCTATTCACTGTCGAAGGAAATCTTTTCTAGGATTGACGAGATCTGAGATTGTGTATTCACAAGCACCAACGTGGGATCTACGAGTTGGAGGAATCAGAAATATGTCGACTTGAGAGTACAACAATTTGGCTACACCGTTTTCTGACTACACAGCAGCATGAAGCTAGACGCAGAACAACATGTGAAGTGGCACGGAACCACCTCTTTTGAAAACAACGTTGACTGAACAGCTCTTCATGTTGGAACCTTCATAGACACATGGTCTTGAATTACCAAATTCGCCTTTTTGTTCTGAACTCATGGTATCCAATAAAATGAAAGTCCGTAGGTACTTTTGTGAACAGAACGTGGCACAGGCAAATCCCAACGTTCCACAAGAGTCGGCTTTCCCTTACTGGTAAAGCGTGACGTCGGGTAAGCCCGTACAGACATTTTGCGGGGAAAAACTCGAAGTCATTCTTCCTTTAGAAACCTCGGCAACCTAAGTACCCGACCGCGTAGGCAAGGGTGTCTAGCATCGTGTTAGGCTTGGTCTGACAGCATCCCGTCTCATCGCTTTTCGAAATGAGTGCTTCTGAGAAGATTCAGTGCGAAGACACTGTTTGGTCCGCGCATTGTGCTAGCTACAACAATACAGCCATAACCTGAAGCTGAAAAGTCACAGCCATGGCACGTGAGTATTTCCAACTCGAGTCAATGGAGATCTGATACTGACAAGCTGTTCATAGTCACAACAGCAGCCGCTGGACTGGCTGCAGCTACACTAGGAGCCATGTATGCAGATGCAAAATTCCTCATACGCCATGATCTTACATCTGGATCGCTAGCAAACCTCTCCACAGCAGCAGTGAAATTCACCGAAGAGCGTGTGAAGGACAATCGCATGCTTGTATACCACAACTTTGAGTACTGGGCACAGCATACACCAAACAGCATCTTCCTCATTTTCGAGGATCGAACCTATACCTACAAGCAGTTCTTCCAGCAGATAGGCAGGGTAGGGAATTGGCTCTTACAAGAACTCGATATTCAGAAGCATGAGATCGTAGCAATAGATGGTGGAAACACGCCAGAATATCTCATGCTCTGGTTTGGTCTCGAAAGTATAGGCGCTTGCCCAGCCTTCATTAATTGCAATCTCACCAAAGACCCATTGGTCCACAGTGTCAAAATATGTGAATCACGATACCTGATAGCTGAAGAGGACGTGCGGTCCTTGGTTGAGCCATGTCGGACGCAACTAGAGGCTAATGGGATCCAAATAGCCTATTACAACGAAACTTTTCTTCAATCACTTACTTATGGGACAGCCACTCCAGCCGATCGCCGCTCAGGTATTCTGCCAACAGATACATCTGGCCTCATCTATACCTCTGGAACGACAGGTTTGCCCAAGGGCACAGTCATGGCAAGTATCTCTCAAATTCGTATTGGTTTACATAAAGAATCGTCTATGAGTTTGGCCGATACGATTTTCTGAGCTAACATTTGGCAGTTGCGTGGTCGCGAGCTCAACGTTGGCCGTGGCACATCTCTGTACCTAGGTCTGGGTCAAAAATCCAAAACCAGAAAAGATAGAGGTCCAGACAGGATGTACACTTGCCTACCCCTTTACCACGGCGCAGCTCATGGCCTATGCCTCACTCCCTCAATCCACGCCGGCACGACCGTCGTCCTCAGCCGCAAATTCTCGCACTCAAAACTCTGGCCAGAAGTCCATGCCTCAGGATCGAACATCCTCCAATACGTCGGCGAGCTCTGCCGCTACCTCGTCAACGCACCACCTCGTCCTGACAAACTCGACAGAACCCACCAAGTCACCATGGCCTGGGGCAATGGCATGCGCCCCGACGTCTGGGAACCCTTCCGCCAACGCTTCAACATCCCCATCATCAACGAGCTCTACGCCGCAACCGACGGCCTAGGCGGCAGCTTCAACTACAACGCCGGCCCCTTCGGCGTCAACGCCATCGGCAAACGTGGCCTAATCTGGCACCTCGCCAACCACAAGAACGAAAAACGCATAAAAATGGACGTTGACACCGAAGAAATCACACGCGATCCCACCACAGGCTTCGCCATTGAATGCGCGCCCGGCGAACCAGGACAAGTCGTCCACCGCCTCGTCGACCAAAGCACAAAAGACTACATCTTCAAAGGCTACTACAACAACAAAGAAGCTAGCGAAAAGCGCTGGATCTACAACCTCTTCGAAAAGGGAGACATGTGGTTCAAGAGCGGCGACATGCAGCGCCAAGACCCTGATGGCGCAGTCTACTTCGTCGACCGCCTAGGCGACACATTCCGCTGGAAGAGCGAAAACGTCAGCACGAATGAAGTCGCCGATGTCTTTGGACAGTATCCTTCGATCGCGGAGACGAACGTAGTAGGCGTACAGATCCCGCATGCTGACGGACGTTGTGGACTTGCTGCGATTGTGCTGGCGGAAGGTGTGACGGAGGAGAATATGAATTGGAGGGGATTGGCGGCTCATGCCGTGGGATCGTTGCCGCGGTATGCGGTGCCGATATTTGTGAGGGTGATGAAGCAGTTGGATTATACGGGGACTTTTAAGATTCAGAAGGGGAAGTTGAAGCAGCAGGGTGTTGATATGGGGAAACTGGAGGCTGCTGGTGAGAAGGATAATGTTTATTGGTTGCCGCCGAATGGGAATGCTTATGTACCGTTTAGACGGAAGGAGTGGGAGGAGCTGAAGGCTGGGAGAGTGAAGTTATAGATGACCTGCAAGACCGGCCTGCTATATTTGATATGTAATTCTCGAAGTGAAGACAAGTATCTGTAACTGCGAGCACCGTGGCTATGAAGTCCTGCCTTGATGAGTCTGAAAGCATAGATCCATGTGTTTATTAAAGGTATCTCTTGTAGTGAAGGACATCAGTCAACCATTGATTGCTCTTCCATGAGTCCTCGTCTATAGGATGCGAGAGCTTGTCATAAGCTCCTTCCCTACTACTCAACAACCGTTCCTTTATCCCGTATTGTGGCGATACCTCTTATGCTGTCTTTCGCTAAAACATGCATCTGAATCCAAATCTCCCCTTTCGCCGTAGTAATGCCTGAGAGACTATCGTCTTACCGCACGCCTACCCACCAAACCATGTCATACCGTGCTTCGCTATGCTGTGCATGATTGGGTATTCCGTAACGTCGTTCATTAGTATTGAGTACTGCCGCTAAAAGACAGCTATTGTTTTACATCAGTAGTGTTTACTCGACATGATACGTCTAGCCAAAGGACAACGTGAATCGAGTATCGTGAGAGTAGTCGTCAAGGTATGAGAATCTGAAAGCTCATTCTATGGCCTTCCTCAGGTCTGTCCATCGTTGTCTGAGAGTTTCGTGTTCGCCGTTGAGCTATTACCGTGTCAGTACATAGATGTGCCTTGTTTGCAGCAGACTTACCTCAGCATATTTCATCTTCATCTCAACAAGCTCTTTCTCCATTTCGGCCATCTGCTCTTCCATGTGCCGATTCTCATTCTGGACCTCGATGTTGCGTTGCATGACCTTTTCAGTGCCTTCTCGCATTGCTTCTTCAACCTTGGACGCTTCACTTTCAGCGACCTTTCGGAGCTCTTCAACTTGACCTTTGAGACTCTCGTTCTCGTCAATCAGGTCCTGGTTTTGCACCTTGAGTTTGACCAGCTCATTAGCAATTTCAATATGTTCGAAATCCGACTTCTCGGCTCGTTGTTCCAGAGAGCGTATTTGGGCTGCTTTGGTGGCTGTGTCGGTCCTGAGGTTTTCGAGCTCTGTTTCTCGTGCCTTCTCGGCTCGCGTCTTTTCTTCCCATTCCGTGGTGTATCTCATTAACATTTCGGGAGTCAGCTGGACAGAGCATGCATCTTTCACTAGCAGGTCTGCACGATATATGTCGTTCTCTGATCCTCCAGAACTGCCGAAGAATCCAGATTCCAGGATTGATTTAGAGTTGGGTGTTGTGTCAATATATGGCTCGAAAATTCTCTCTTTCAGTTGATTTGTTAGTGCCTGCATGTCGTTCATCGCCAGCAAGCTGTCGACGTTCTTCTGCATCAGGGCCATGCCTAACTTCAGAATTGCTCCTTCTAAGCCTTCGCAAAGGATCAAATCGAAGACCCTCATAACCAGCTGTAATGGAAGCCTGTAGGCGAATAGTGTGAGAAACCACTGAGTCGCATACAATTTCGGCGAAACACCTCTGCGATGTAGATGACAGTAAAGTGCTGGCTCCAAATCCTCGAGTAGTCTCTCAAATTGGTACAAGTGCAGATGTAGTCCTGGCATGTCTTGTATGAAAAGTTCTCTTAGCTGATATTTGTTCATCAGTCTCACCAGTAGACAGAATGCTTCCTCCTCGGGCATGTTGAACAGCATAGGCATGATAACAAAATTCATACCTTGTGGGTAGCCCACTCCTTCGTCAAACAAGGCATACGCTTTGCACACATTGAAAAGGCCGTCTTGAAATCCAGCTGCGGCTGCGTATTTGGAGTAACTTGTCCTCGAGCCCATGTCTCTACGGATCATCTTTTCGAGTTTGAAAAGAGCTGCCGAGTCTTCCTTGGCCCGCTTGGCTCGGTCTGTGGCAGCTTGTGCTTGTGCTTTTGCGTCCTGAATAGGGTCGTTGCGTTCGGTCGATGGTGAGGGTGAATGTACAATGTTCGTGCTGGTGGCGGGAGTAGATTGCTCAGACCTAATTGATGATAGCGATGAGACGGTAGAGTCCTTCTCTTTCGTATCTGGCTGCGGAGGGGGTGAGGCGGCACGCGGCAGCTCGTCTTTCGTGCCACGCAATTTCAACTCATAATAAACTGATTCCAGCTCTTCATTCTTACTGCTTGCAAGCACCTGCCAGATAACGCCCCGAATAGTCGCAGGAATGCCACTAGCTATCGCTGCGGTTAGTTCTTCGGGGCTGGTTCGTGCGACCACCTGCGGACCTTCATTCACGACTGTCTGCCAGAAGTCCCAATCAATAGGAGCAGCCGAATCGACGGCGGCCACAGAGAAGCCGGAGACAGTGCCGGGAGCTAGACTCTGATCGATAGTGGGAGCTGGACTAGAGGACATCGGTAGTGATGGGGACTTCAGAGGAGCCACGTTCCCATCATCCGTTGCTCCTGGACTTGCGATGCCGACTGTCAAGCTAGTCGTACGCCCGATGAGGCCAGCGACTGCACCTCCAGCGGCTTGCTCGTCGTTGTCAAGTGCTGCCATACCGACCTCCTCTCGTAATCGCAATAATTTGAACCTTTCCTTCAAAGAATTTCTTGCGGGTCTTCCTCCATTTTGCTCCGAGCTTTCATCAATCGCTCTCAGCGTGAGATCTTGGTTACTACCCAAAGTGGATACTGAAGCAGTTGTTCCTCTTCTCGAATCTGGTAGAGGTCTCGAAGGAAGGGTGGGAGATTTGGGTGCGTTTCCGCTAGTAGCTCGAGTCAGCCAACCGAATGTGGTTCGCTTTGGGAGGTCTTTTGGAGGAGGTTGAGGAGAGGGCGAGCGATCTGTAGTGGTTTTCGCCGGACCACCCCATGGCACGGAGGGTAAAGAGGCTGAGAAGTTCGCGAACCTGGAAGGCCGTGGTGGAGGTTTCATCGGTTGTTCCTTCGCTAGTATATCCTTCTGACCCTGGTCTATAGACTGAGCCCTGGACTTGACAGATTGTGGTTCTGCCACAGACGATTGCCTTCTCTTGCCTGAAGCAATTGATACCTGAGATTCTGTTCTCGGACGTGCTATAGGTGCCGCAGTCGCGACCTGGACACTACTGGCTGTCTCGACTACAGCGTCTTCAGCACTCAAATCTGACATCGTAGTCTCTCCACTCTTCGGCCGGTCGTGACCAGTGTTTATGTCTGACGATACCGAGGGGTCCTCGGGCACATTTGACTGATCGGCAGGTGCTTGAGTATGCTCGTTTCGATCCTGAGCATCTTCGAACTAGAACCATATCAGCACTCGAGGGAACTTAACCCAACCAGCAACAAAGTACATACATCTTCTCCCTCAGAATGGTCAGCACTCTTGCTAGCAGACATTGGTTCTGCCATTGTGCCTGCGTCCAACCCAACCCTCCTACTATCGCAATGTCTGCTATTTTATTGTCACACCATACAATGTCTTGTTCGTCGTGGCTGAATATAGGTTCTTTGACCTGCTTGAGGCTGTTTTTGGTGGGCTTGTTTGGTCTATTGACACAGTTGGAGAAATGTATCAACAGATCCGAGATAACAGAGTAGGACACGATCGGGATCGGCAGGCGAAGATGATAGACACGAGAATGCTAGAGAAGGTCTCGATCGCTGATCCCTTTCTCGCACAACAGCAAGTAGATTCGATATAATGTGTTTGAAGGAGAGTCGTGTGCACAAAGACTCACAACTGTGTTCCAGCTTTCGTTGTCACCATCCACTGGAGTTAACTGCGTGCCCCGACGGGACAAATTCATAAGGGTCGGAGAAGGCTTGCAGGGCTTGCAGCTTAGCACCAACCTTAGCTAAATCCAAGCAAGCGTGATCGACCTGGAGCTTTGCAGCCAACGACTTGCGAAGATGGGCTCCAGTTTCCCCTTTTCAGCCACAATTCATGGCCAGCCTGCGCAAATCATCGTCATAAACCCTCCTGAAACATACATATCCAGGCGTGCCCTGCTCTGTAACCCCTGAAGTCAACCCAGGATTACATATTGTCTCAGATCGTGTACTGATGCTGTCAAGTTGAAAGACTATGCTTTCGAGGAGCTGTCTGCTACTTCGAAACACATCAACAGCCACACCAAGGCCCACAGTATTACGAACAAACACACCGCTACCACGTTACACATTCATTATGGCAAGTCCTTCAGCAGCCTCTGCTCTGTGTCTATCCATCTGCCACGACGAAGGGGATCAAGCTGCTTCAACTTGTCCAACCATACCTTGATGTTCGTCCTCATCTTTTCCGACAACCCATTTACTAGTTTCGCTTCGATCAGGGCGCATTCAATCAATGCCTGGTACACCCATTTACTATCCTCAGCATCCTCTATCAAGTCCTCGATGAATTCCTGTTCAGCTTTGACGTAGGTGAGTCGACTCTCGTTCGATAATTCGGGCATCATGGACGCTCCTGCTGTATCTGGATCGAACGTCGACAATAGGTGTTGATGGTAAAACCACAAAGATTGATCATAAGGATCAAAGAGGGCTTTGTGAATAAGCTTAATTTCTGCCAGTATGTAAGCACGAACTGGGTCATGGTGAAATGTCCTACCTTCATCTAGCATCTCCTGTCTCTCTTGTGTAGAAGCTCTTTCTTCGTCTAGAATACAGAGGATCAACCTGCTACGATTGTGCCACGCCGAAAAATTGGATAGGTTCTGTCCGATCATCTTTGTTGTATAGTCGTATTCGTCCCTGGCCATACTCTTTCCGTTGAGAGCTCTATCTTCAAGGTTTTCAACCACTATCCTTCGATAGCCCCAGCCATGGAAATTGCGACTGTCCCTACCGAGCATCTTGCTCACCAGCTTCAGCTCGTCCTCCCACAATGAGCGTGCTCGATCTGCTGGCAAGTACTTCGAAGCTTGTTGTAGAAGCCATACTCTATGATTCCAGATCCAGTAGCACTTTGGATATTGTAATAGAAGTGGAAATATGAACTGTAGGTCAAGGTTGATAATGTCCAAGGCCTGAGAATATTTGTTGTCTTCGGAGAGCTGCCCTTGATCGGCTTGACGGTTGATATTATTGAACTCGTTGTTGAAAATCCGTCGTCGGACATTCCAGATTGTGTAGTACTCTGGATTCTTCCTTAGCAGGGTCGACGTCTTCTGCAGCAAAGCTGGTGAAAAATCTTTCTCATCAACCTTTGCAACAATCAGATTCCACTTCGCAATTGAGCCTGATACATACACCTTTCTGTATATTTGCCACCAAACTTTGGTACTCTCCGATGTCGCGAAGTTCTCTTTGCCTTGCATCTGCTGTGCGTTGCTCACGCGTCGCGCTCCGAGGAATACCGTGCTATGCCAGACGTTATCACACATTCACAGCTTGAGTTCTGATGCACTCACACTTGCCATCTCGACCTTCCAAACGTGCTACGTACTTGCAAAATTTTTGATTGCGACTTCAGGTGATTCAGCCTGAAATTGCTTCTCAGGAAGGTAGGTCACAGACTTAGAATGGAAAGAAGCAGGAGCAATCGAGTCAGGCGGAGGAACACTTGTTGTTCACTATCTTCCACAATGCATAGCTGACAATCAGCATCTTATCTCATAGCTTTCACTTCATTTGTTAGGCGGAGCTCCGGTAGCTTTTGCTTTGCTCATATGACTATAGTCTCGACACGACCAGAGCTTTCAGACTGAAGCTTGTGACAACATGTCAGCTCGAGAGCTGCCGGACCGTCACATTCCTCTGAGAACGCCAGTCAAAGAAGCCAACTGTGTCTTCAGAACAAGTCTTTCTCCAGAATCACTGAGCCCACGAGAGAGATACAGCAGAGAGCGCGACACCGGAATTGATCCACTTTACGCTCCCACAAAACGTCGCCACAAAGCCAGGCAACAGGTCACTGCGAATGGCAATGGCATGCTAGTTCCTCATCATGTTCCCTCCTTTGTTCACACGGCAGACAACAACCCTTCTCCATTTCCTCACCAAGCCGGCAGAAACGTACGATATGTTAGTATAGGCAGTGCCTGGGCTGTTGGTGGCCGTATGGCAGCTATACCAACTCAATTGCCGGGCATTGATACTGGAACTGGCGAGACCTTGGCCAGTGGAACGACCGCTCCCATGATTGACGCAGCCTTTACAGAACGTGTAACAACCGATGTCAAGAGCAAAGCACACGAAGCTCGTCTTGCACTAGCCCTAGACATTGAACAGACTCATCGGATTCTACCAATCAGTCCACCTACCTCGCCACGGTCGGACACTTCTTAGAGAGAAAGACGAGCTAGCTTTGACTGGAAGAATAGTCCTTGGCGTCAAGAGCATGCTTCACAAAGTCGAAAACGAGCAACAAGCCAGCTGATAGACAAGCCCGAGAAAGCAGTACCTTCTGTCGCTTTTCGAGTTCTTGATGCTCCACGCCTGAAGGATGACTTCTACTGCTCGGTTTTGGCATACTGCTACACATGCAGGACTTTGGCAGTCGCTCTTACGCACAGAGTTTACCTATGGACCGAGCAGAATGGTGTGAAATACCCTCCGCTAGCCCCAGTCAGAGCCACCAACTACGTTAGTGCATTGGCGTTCTCCTCACATGTCGGAGGCAAAGCCATATTAGCTGTAGCTCGAAGCAGTGGTCATGTTACATTATGGAGTTTATTCGAGCAGAAAGCTCGCTTTGAATTATCCCTTCCATGGGCTGCTTGCTCCTTGGCCTGGAGACCTATCCTCAGCCAACGACGAGTACCAGAGCAGCCTGGTCTGGTATGGTGCGAAGATCTACTTGTAGGAGATGACTGTGGTTGTCTGTACTACTATGCCGTGTACTGGCCCGATTTTGGAGCTGGCTATATGATGTTAATCACAAAGTTGGATGCTCATTCACAAAACATATGTGGATTGGCTTGGTCACCAGATGGCAAGACCTTCGTCAGCGGTGGCAATGATAATACCGCACTCCTTTTCATGACCGACGAAGTCGGTTCAGAGCTTGAAGGGAATGCGATTATGGACAACAATGTCCACCATGAAGGAGCTAACAGCAGAGAGCTCGACGTCCTTGCTAAAGGTTATCTGACGCCTCCTCAGTCTCCTCAGCGACGTGTAAGCTCAGGTAGTACTTCATACATCGTCGATCAGCACAGTAGGCTTGAGCTTTTCGGCATGTCGGACCCGACAATCACAGCCTTAGACATCTTGACACCGCCTGACAGTACTCAACGAGACGAAGATAGAGGCAGGCCCACAGAGAGGGTTTCGAGAAATTTGCGCACCACCGACTCAAGCTTCTCGCCTGCAGTAAAATCGAGAATTTCACACAATCTCGACAACAGGCTTGCAAATCCCGGTATCCCTGGTCGTTCCATGCTACACAGAAAAGCTCTCTATCACTCAGCAGCTGTAAAGGCAATCGCTTACGCCCCATGGCAGCCTACACTACTTGCAACTAGTGGTGGCAGTAATGATCGGCAGATTCACTTTCATCACACCGAGTCTGGTTCGACATTAGCTGTCATCAACGTCTTTGCACAGGTCACAAGTCTATCCTGGAGCCATACTAGGCGGGAGATTGTCGCAACGTTTGGCTACGCCCAACCAGAGCATGATGTCAGGATTGCCGTTTTTGCTTGGCCAAGTTGTGATTGTGTGGTTAGCATACCTTGGGAGCGTAAGGCAAACGGAGAGATTGGAAGAGCTCTTTGGGCTATCCCGTACCCTGGAGGTCCAAATGACGCTGCACCAGAGGTCAAAGAGGACGAAGAGGACGAAGATGGTGGGGGTTTCCAGGCTTAGCAGGCACTTCAAGCTCGTGAGGCGACTACAATACCGGAAGCTGGCCAGCTTGCAACCACGTCAGCAGTATCTACGGAAGAGAGAAGTAATTTGTGGCCTCAACGATCAGCTGATACTACTAAGCCACGTCGAAGGTCAAAATCAATTGCTGCTGGACGAGGTGAAGGTGAAACCTGGGCAAGCCGTACTGAAGAAGAGGGAAGTCTCATCATTGCATGCTGTGATCAAACTGTAAAGTTCTTCGAGATTTGGGCTGGCAAAAGCAAGGGTCGCAGTAATGGCATTGGATCAAAGGCAGGTGTTCTTGGAGGGAGTAAAGTGCTCGAGGGGTGGTGCCAGGGCGTGAATATTGATGAGGTTGAAGAGACGGAAAGCATTCGTTGAGAAAACAGGATTGGATCTCGTTCGCTCCTATATCATCAGACTGGACACGACGACTTATTCTTAAGTGAAAATACTTGAAATCTAGATATCATTTCGATATTTATATAGAATGTTCCTTGTATAGATAGGCATGTCACGCTTGCAAGGCTCGTTCCAGGCCGACTTTTTGGCGATCAAGAGTGAGGAGGAAGAGCTTGCATTTTTAATGGCCGCACGAAGCAGTGTATCGAAATGATAGATCACGGCCAATCACACGGTTCGGTTTGCCGAGTTTGCATCACAATTTCCATGACCGTGATCGCAACAACCTGAAGCTACTACATCCACCACCTAAAACGAAACATAGCATCATGGTGTCGCACAGGACTCTCGTGCGCCCCGTCAGCGAGATCGCGTATAGAATCAGACCTCAAATCTCGAAGCCGCAGCTTGCTCTGATCACACAGAGGCGTTTTGCAAGCGATGAGCAAAAGACATCACCACTACCAGACGGTGAACATGGCGCGAACGAGAGCCAACTTCCACATGTGACCGAGGAGCAAGCAGCAATGGACAAATCCATGGGCAACACACCACCTGATATCTCTCAAGGCACACCAGTCCAAGAGGTATGCTCCCAAATTCATAGCTACTATAAAGAGGGACCAATACTGATATATTTCCAGATGCTCTCACGCGATAAAGACGCACAAAAGAACGCACCCCAAGTCCTCAAGCAAGAGATGAAGGACGGCCAACAGAAACGATCATACAGTACCAGCGCTCGACGACCCGCAGCAGAACTCCAAACCACCCAACAGCCGGAATCTCAAATCATCGCCAACGGCATGATTCGAGGCATGGATTACCCTGATGCCGGGCCTGGTCACAAGTTTCCTCTACCGGAAATTAACAGTATTTCCAGACTGGACCACTTGAAAAGAAGATACGACCCGGTCGTTGAGCAGGTCACAAAGAGTTTGATGAAGGATGGGAAGCTCAGTGTTGCGCAGAAGGTGGGTGAATAGTTCAAGCTCCAATCAAAACGAAAAGCACATGTCGAAAAAAGCCGTGAAAAGCAATGGCACTAAAAAGCAGTACATAGCAAGAAAGAAAACGGAGCACAGCACATTTCCTTGACCCTCCTCAGCCAAACTGCTTCTCTGTCCCCCCTCCCATTTCACACTAGTCTTTCCTGGAAATTACCAAAGCTAACCCTGCTTCTCCGTAGAACATGTCCGAAATCCTCACCTTCCTCCAAACCGCGCCCGCGCCGCAACCCAATCCAGCCTTCCCTCAACGAACCCTCCAACTAAGCGACACAGGCTCAACCCAACGCCTCCAACCCACTCACCCAACCCAAGGCTACCGTCCCGCTCCCTCCCCTCTCGCACCCCCCTCCTCCGTCAACGACACAACCGGCCTCTCCCCAACCCGTATTCCCCGCTCCGCTCTCCCCCTCCACCCCGTCGAATACCTTACCACCCTCATCGACTCTGTCTCCCCTCTCGTCAAGATCCGACAACAGAAAGGTCTCGCGGGCGGTGGACAGAGTTTGCCGATTCCTGTACCGCTAGGTGTCAGGCAGAGACGCAGGACGGCGATACAGTGGATTTTGAATGCGGCGGATGGGAGGAGAGAGATCCGGTTGAGCGAGAGGGTAGCGAAGGAGTTGTTGAGGGTGGCGGATGGGACGAGTAGTGTTTGGGAGAGGAGGGCGATGGTACATAGGTTGGGTGTGGCGAGTAGGAGTAATGTTACTAATATGATGAGGAGGAAGAGGGGGGCGAGGACGCCTGTTGTGTAGATGGGTAGATTGAAGAGAGGGTGGTGAAGAAGTGAAACTGAGTGTGTATAAATATGCAGAATATTAGTCGCTGAATGTCAAGGACTGTCACGAAGCGGATAGGGTGTGCAGAACCCGGGAGACACGAGGCAATGGTTTCCAAAAATTCTATCATGCTATTGTATAGTATTCTGGCACAAATTGGATTCAACTTCGAACAACCTTATCTTCTTCGTGTAATTTACAGTTTGCTTGACTTGCTGGTATCCAAGCTAGGAAGGAGAACGTCCCTGATATCACCAGCAGCCTCGTTCAGGTAGTGCGACATTCTCTCCGATCCGAGGTGTTTCGAGACTACGTTAAATTGGATGCTGTGATGTTTTGTTAGCTAGTCGTCCAATATCCATGGTGTAAGAGAGCTTACCTATTCTCGTTGATCATATATGCAATACCCCAGCCACCGTCGATGACTTGACTCCAACCGTAACCGTTGAAGTACTCTGAACTCAGTTGCGAGCTAGAGATGAACCACGAGGACGAGTATGTGTAAGCAGGATCCTTGTATAGATCTGGGACTTCCTCGCCGTCCTTAAGGCATTTCTTCAAGCCAAACAAGTGTCGATCAACACCATAGCCGTCAGAAGCAAGCTGTGTATACTTGACATGTGCTTCCACGGCTTTTCTGAACATTTGCTCACACTCCTCACGGCCGATTTCGGGGTTTGCCATAGCATCACAAAACGCTACAGATTCGTTGGAGACTGTTCGCGTGGTCTCTGTTCGTCCCAATTGATACTTCCTCGTCGCTGCTGACTCATAAGTAGGTCTGTTCTTGCCATACATCTTGTGGTAAGCGAGCTGGATGATCATCTGCACATAGGCATCAGGACTGCACTTGAACTTCTTTATCATACCCTTTCCATAGCCCTGGTATGCCTGGACTCGGAGTTCATGAGCAGCAATGACGGTTCCGAACTGCTGCTGGGCCGATGAAACGTCCTTGATGACTTGATCATCGAGATCGAACTTGACGGTCGTGGGATCAGGTATTGTGCTGCGGATGGTTGGATTATTGAAGTCTAGTTTTTCGTTGACAATGAGAGCGTTCACAGTGTCGCACAATCGATGAGTGGGTGTGCCGTCCATCATTGAATGCTCACCCATGAAACCCGCCGTACCGTTGTCGTTCACAATGAACTGCACCGGCTTGTCGTACCATCTGTTTGCGCCATCTCCATGCCAATATGCACGGGCTCGTTCCTCGAGTGTTACTGGGTTAGCAGCATCGAGACATATTACGAATGAGGCGGCTTCTATCTCCTTCAAAGCAGCAGCATTGTTCGAAGAGGCATTGAGTAGGTTAGCACGAGCCTTGGCACCTTGATCTCGAGGCAAAGAGGTCAAGCTACCAATGGGAGGGGAGGTTTGTGCTGCTTTGTATACTTTGGTGAACTGTTGTTCGAGTTCGGAGGTGTTGAGTACTTTGCCATCGACGTGTGTCGGTATCTTCCAGAATTGGTTGTGTCGTATAGCTATTATGTGTTGATTCTCGGCAGGTGGATACTGAATTGGGTAGTCGGCAGGTTCGGCAGCTACTCTGGAGGTATTGAACATGTAGATGTAACTGGACATGGCCATTGGCTTCTTACGCATATATTCGGGCTCAAGTGTGCCTGATACCACCTCTTTTTGAAATTCGAGCGCACCAGTGACTATAGCCGCAGCTCGTTTTGCAGGGTTTCGGCGCTTTCGATCGTCACGGAAAGAGTAGAAGTAGGATACGTATGGCACGATAGGGTCCTTGTAGGCTAGGTAGGCAGCTTCGTTCCACCAGTCTGCTATCCAGTTCTTCACTTCTGGCTTTTCGGCTTTCTCGACTAAGCGGTCCTGTAACGATGCTGCTTGTTGTTCGAACTTGGCGACTGCATCTTCTGAAGCAGCATACTCTTCCTTGGATAACAGAGGGTGTATCGATTTGAGGTATCTTTGACACGTTTCGGCAAGAGTTGGAACTGGCAGTCGAGGCAAGGAGTCCTCAAAACGCAGCATCTTGCCCTTGGAGTGGTCTTCCTTGTATGCTGTAACAACCTTAGCACAGTCTTCGAGTCAACACAGCAGCTTCTTACCCTCTTCCGACTTAAAGGACTTGCCAGTAAACTTTCTTTTCTGCATGGGAGCCATTTTGAGAAGCTACCTGCGATTAGTTCTACATCAACGATTCACATTCGATGCCATACCTGTGATGTCCTTGGTGTTCTTGAAGCTCGACTCAAACCTGACAGTGAGGTAGAAGTTGGCCTGAGTAGCGACAACATTACACCCGCAATGGTAGGAAGCTGAAGCTGGAAACGCGAGAGTTTTGACTAACGTCACCAAGCACAGAATCTTGTGTGAAGTGACTGGATGGGCTGAGCCGCGGTTGCGGTAGTCGCACTGAAAGCCGTTGATGGCTGCAGAGCTGGCCTTCGCAGCGCAAATGGGCTTACTAGTCCCCGAGCTTGGTAAAGACTCAAGTTGACTCGAACTGGACAGAGCTCACCGCGATGTTCCGTTAATCTTTCCGGGCGTGCGGCATGCATGCACAAATGTCTTTGAGCCGAGGTAGGCACAAATCTGGACACTGCAGCCCGAACTTCAACCTACAGAACGCGAGCAGACCCTGGCAGGGCGGTTATCAGTCAAGTGAGAACCTCGTTCTACTTTCTCTTTTTGGCGACAGGTGTTATCTCAGGCCAGTAACCTCATCACCATAGGGACATGGAAGGCCTGTAGCTCAGAGTGGAAGGTATGACGACGTTCACGCTTGACGAGCAACCGCCCTGCCAGGGCGTGGGGCTATTATTCGGGATGCACAACTTGAACTTGAGGTGCTCATCTTTGGAGTACCAAAAACAAAGATCTTTGCACCTCTTTCTATAACGCTCTCAATGAAGATAGAGCATACCTGTTGAGCAGTCATCGTCCAGCTGGCGCACATGGTCCGACAGTGAAGGCAAAGGCATGTAAGTCCTGCAATCGTGCTAAAGGTTTACAGACATCTCGACGCAACAATGCGACCAACAAAGTGATTCACCGCTTCGATTCATCTTTCCGAATACGACTAGTGAGTAAAGTTCTTTCGACATATGCGCAGTGAGACTTTCAATGTTGGTACAATGCTTGTCAACCCACATTCATGCTGTACCTCGGTCTGTGGTAAGCCTCACATTGTCTTGAGCATATACGAGAGCATCTCTGAAGATAGACAAGGCGATGTCGGCGTCGTGTTTGTTCAGTATGAGTAGCGGCAGGACACGAATGACATTGCCACTCACCGCACCTATTGGGCGATGGCCGAGCCTGCTCTTTCTCAAAGCGAAGCTGTGCTCAGACGAATAGAGCAGGCACTTTCTTTTGGTAGAACCCAGCATTGCAGTCCGAGGGCTTCGGATTTGGATGTGGTGACGACTCACGGGAAGCATTATTTCCTGAATTGTTCTCGGGAGTAGCTGAAGCTTCGCTTCTTGAGTCCCAGTTTCTGGACGAAGTCTAGTCAGCCATCAAAAGCGTCGCAAATGGTCTTTTACCACTCCTCGAGTTTAGCGATAATCATCACATTCAAGCATATATGTCGATAAGAAAAATGTACAGATACATATTATATGCACGCTGTGTACTCTATCTCAGTTATGCAAGATATCTCTGCCACATCAACGCATCGGACGTACGTCTTGCAGACTCCTCCGCCTCATCAACAAGTCCATCTCCTTCCTCCCACATCCTCCCATCCAGATCATTCAAGCTGATCAAATGCCGCATTGTCGGCCGACCATGAGGACAGTTCCACGGCTTATCAATCCTCCCCATATGCTCAAGCACCGCCCTCATCTGCCTCATCGACAACGTCTTCCCAATCATGATACTAGACCTACAAGCTCGCATTGCAAACATCTTGCGCACCTTGCTGGGTCGGGGCACGTACCGCGAATCTGCTGTGATATGGCTCTCGGAAAGCAAATGAATAAGCTCTTCGAGGTCCTTGGTGTTGAACGTGACTTCTTTGCTCAACGGCAAACTGAGCAATTGACATCTCCGTCCGACCTGCGAGTCGCCTGATGTATCTGTCTCGATGATGAACCCGTTCTGTTGCAGGGCTGCACTATTCTCTAGCACGATCTCTTCCTCGACTGCGGTTAGGTCTAGTGTAACTGGATGCACTAACCTCTGATTACTGACTACTGTCTCTGCTTGTAGTCTCTCGAAATTGTATTTCTCGTCGGAAGCGTGTTGGTCGATGATGAATAGCTCGTCCTTTTTCTGCCTTGCTGCGTTGTCGTGCGTGTGGGCGTTTTTGTGGCGGAGGGCGATGATGAAGCCTAGGTTGAATTGACCTGCGACGTGCATTTTGGCGAAGTCGGACTTGGAGATGGTGAGGGAGAGACGTTCTTCGTCTCCTACGTTATGGTGCTCGTCGTTAGAGGCAATCCAAGGTAAACTTTTTCTGGCGCGAGTTTCGTTGCTCAGTACTATCGCTTGCTTTCTTAATTCGTCGATGTCTGTATCCAATGTTGCAACCAAATTTGTGGTCATGTCCTTGGAGCTTCCTTTGAATGCTTGAGCTGCTCGCCTGTGTTGTTCCTTGCTGTTAACATAACTTGTACTTTCTGCTAGGCGTATCAATTCCGCAACTCGATATTCCTCTTGTGTTCTGCCAGCATTCTCTTCGATGTTCTTCGTCCTTTCTTGAGCGACTGATTGTGACTCAGTAGGGTGTACATTGGCAGTGTTTCTGTTCAGCGGAGTGGACGAGGATCTATCGAGCGTTGTACCCACGGATTCGTACCTGTTTTCGACAGGGTCTCTCTCGTCAGATTTGTCTCCATCCTCTAATTCTGTGTTCTCATCCTGCAGGTCGAGTATTGTGCCTCCAACTGCATCTTCATTATCGTCTTTAAAGCTTGGGTTGAATTTGCGCAGGCTTTGCGAGAATTGTGACAAAGGTTTGCTCACTATAGTGTCGTCTCTGCTGGTAGGTGAGTGGACATTGGATTTTGGAGTGCCTACCATTCTGGTTATGACTCTATCACCAATCGTGATGGTGGCAAGCTCAGGGGACGTTCGCCTTGGGCGCATCCTGTCGAACGCATTCCGTACAACGCCAACGTCCTGGATGCGCTCTTCCTGGAGTGTTCCAGTACGTGATGGAATCATGCTGTGTTCCGGATTTTTAGCTTGTTGCGACAGTATCCTGGCATTGAAGTCACGAACATGAACATCGGCTACACTTTCTTCTTCTTCTTCTTCCTCTTCGTCTGTGGCTTCAGCTGTAAGTCTGGATACATTAAGCTCTCGAACATCATCATACTCATCGACACCATTCAATACTAGTCGTTGCTCCCTTAATGGCTTTGCAATCCTTTCAGCCTGCTTCTCCTGGGCCTGCTGAGCCTTCGCCGGATTAGGGGCTTTTCTCATCCGTGGTTCCTCTTCCCTTGTGCTCGTAATACCCTGAAAATGTGTTCTCAGCAGACTTCCGGGGCTAGCCCCGACGTCTTCCAGGGCCTGGTCTCCCCACCGGACATCTTCAGGACCTCGAGCTACACCGTCGGGCTCGAGAGACATAGTTGAAGTTCTTGAAAAAGATGGAATGCTAGCATCTTCATCCTTAGAGGAAGCCCTCGATACTGTCAATTGACGAAAGGAAGGCAGCTTTATGTTTTGAAGCTGAGATTGTGGTACAGTATGCTCGATGTCATCAAATTTCTTGGTAAGTTCTTCTTTGAGTCGATCCGTAAGTGCAGAGGCGTTATGCAAGAAAATAGTCCTTTTGTCAGGCGAAACATTCACATCGTAACTATTCGTGTCCATACGGAAATCTGCACATATGAACGGTGACTGCGACACGTTGTAGGATTTGTAGGTTTCGTTGATTGCTTTGCCAAACTGAGGCAGACCGCACGGTCTACCATTTACGAAGAACATCTGACGATCTGGTGTCTGTCGTCCTTCGCCAAAGACAGGTTTCGAAATATGGCCAATGACATTGACCTTCGTTCCAGAGCCAACATGGCTGCCGGGCTGCACTGCAGTTGGTGGAAGATCGAGCTCAAGGTCAAGTTCGACAAGTTGCGACAACATTTTGGCGCTATAGATATTCGCAATGTTCTCTCGGATTGTCGCGTTTCCCTTCGTCGAGAAAACAACCGAACTATGACCTTTAGACATGGCATTTTTTATCGTGAATTTGACCTTAGTTGAGATGCAAGCGTAAGCTTGCAGCAGACCCACGACTTTGCCATATTCTCTCTTGATGTTCTTGCTCAATTCTTTCTGCCGCACAGGAAGCCTTGAGAAGAGATTCTCCACTGACACCGTAGTACCTTTCTGTGCAGCTGTGAATGTAGTAGATTTCAGCTTACCGGAGACCTCGAATTCGAGTCTATTTCCTTTCGGCACTTCATGAGCTTCTGCAGTTACTACCGTCAACGTAGACAGGGCAGACAAGGACGAAAGCGCCTCTCCCCGGAAGCCAAAGGTATTCAGCTGCGATAAGTCATCAAAAGTTGATAGTTTAGATGTATAATGTTTTAGTGCAAGTCCTTCGTAGTTCGCTTCGGCAATTCCAATACCATTGTCCTGGACCTCAATAGCGTCTAAACCATAGTTCTTGAGGCGCACTTCGATCGAACTTGCTTCAGCATCGAGCGCATTTTCGACTAATTCCTTCACAACAGAGCACAAATCAACGATGACCTGGCCAGACTGGATCTGGTGCACAGATTTCGCCTCGATGGGCTTGATGATTGCAGTCATAGTGTCCCATGGCTGCTGTATGACGATGTGATCTAAATTGATCGAGAGTCTATGAAGCCGCAAGTTGAGATCATAGTTAACTATCAGCATTCGAGAAGTTGAACACGAAGGCACGCGTTAACGAGGCGTGGGAGGACTTGCCAAGGCGCGACGTGCCTAACTCTGGTAGGTTAGTACCATAGCTGGGGAGTCTTTGCTACATCGGTTGACCTGAGCATTCTATCTTTATCAGAAACATTTCTATATAGTTCCTAATAACGACATTGCTCAAGAATCTCAATTGAGACTCTACAAAGACACTATGGAAGATCTTGACACATTACGATCCTCGCTCCCGAATCCTTAAGTTGAAGTCCTATTGAGAAGTAATGTGATAGTCTCCCTTTGAAGCGTGTATTGCTCTCATCTCGGAGAGTTCATCATGCGACTCCCATCAATGCCATGTCCGTTTCTTTAGTGCTCAAGTAAGGAGAGCTAAACAACAAAGACTGGGAGCTCGGTAAGTGCTTGAGCCCAGTTCCAGTACGTCTGGTTCGACCATACTTTCTGCAAGAATCGAAGCGCTACGGGTAAATTAGCGAAGCCATTACGCTTGTAATGATTTAGCAAGACACCCTCCAAGAATTGACGTTGATCAGGCTCAGGCGCCTCAGCAGCAACCAGGAAAATCGTCCAGGGCACCATATACAGCCCAGGTGAGTCTGGAGGTAGGCGCTTCAAAGTGTTGATGAATTCTGTCACCAAATCGATGCGCGAAGGACTTCCCGGATTAGCTAAAGCACGGGAAACGTATATGTTACATGCTTGCTCGTTCAAGGCATAGATGATCGACCAAGCGTTCTCGAAGTGAGGATAAAGTTGACAATTGACACTAATGTCCTCCCATCCGTCACTTGTATAGGGCTTGGCAACCGATTGACTTAATCTTCTGACTCCCTGCCCGGGACCAAGGAGCGGCGATACATATCCTCGATACCTATAGCGTCAGTTGTAGTTCCTTTTCGATACTGAGAACATACTTGCGGATTTGACGGATTATAAAAGTCCCAAGCTCGCCGTGTAAGATGCCTTCTTCTCCATTTAGACTATGTAGGCAGGTCTCGATAAGACCAAAAATAGTACGAAAGTCGGATGAGCCGCTGACCACAGCTGAAACTAAGAGCACAAGTAGTGACAGCAATATTGATTGTTGTCCAAATATATCTTGAGAATTTAGGTCCTGTCTTTTCCGCAAATTACGAATCGCCTTGTGGTAAATAACAATTGGCTCAAGAGCCTGATCACTAACATTCATGGCGAAGTGAAATGCTGCGGTGGATAGGACGGTGTCTTCCACCAGTTCATCTTGCTGTGCGATAGGGACAACAAGGTAGCGCCACTTGTTGCGGTGATCATCCACTGCGACCATTTTCGTAGCAATAGTCTCAGAGACTGATGGATTAGCATGACTCAAACTTTAGGTGCCGAGCTTACAGTAATTGAGTAAATACTGTTTCCATGGTTGTCTAGAACTAAGTGCAAGATCACCGGGAATTGTAACTCTTATGTCCGCATGGTATTGCAAAGATTGATTCATGGCATGGACATCATTGTCAAGTAATTCGTCATCATGGACAATTGCTGTGGCAGGCTCGAGGATTTCGCTGCACGTGGCGATTGGATGACCCGAATCTCTGACAAGAAGCTCAACGTCTGTGGTTGATTCGTGACCATCAATCAGATTAACGGCCCCGTCCGATCCTGAGTATAAGTGATTGTGGTTCGATGGCTGACTGTAGCTAGGTCCATGCGTCAGCGTGGGCTTTTTGCTCACCTGAACGTCCGTGCTGAATCGATACCGCACGCCGTAGCCACTGCATCTAATACCTTTATTAGTACATTTGGAGCAGGCAGGTCGCGAATTGTCGCAATGTATACGGCGTTGCGAGCACTCGTAGCAGCCTGAGATGGTTGATTAGAAACGTATGATGATCCCGCGTCACTGGGCGAGCTTGCCTCTAGTTTTAGGCACATACGATCGCTTGTTAGAGGTCATATCAGTAGGAAAATGTATCGGAATTCAAGCACACAATTCATTGTAACGCAGTCCTTGCTTGAAGCAAGTTGTGCTAGAGCACATATCAAGGATTAGAGATCAATGACGGCGAAGTTCAGCAGACACAACGGCGTTGCTATCTCAGGTCTTGGCAGTCGGCTGCTTTTACCGTAGTAACCACAATCGAGGCTTCCTGCCCACCTTCCTGAAAGTCATTCAACTTGAGCCTGTCTCCATTTACCTCTATGCGGTAAACTTTTCCATACTAGCTTGAGTGTGATAGGTTCTTGAGTTACGACGTGAAGATTGCAAAGATTGGATGTAGGGGTGCAGAACACCGATATCCAGCCATGAGAGCTCCTCCACCATTGGCCTGCTTTATAACGGTCAATTGACGCCCTCGGATATCGAAAACGAAGGTCAGGACCATTGAGACTGGCTAATATGAGGGGAAAACAACTATGACCTGCCACAATTACAGGGTTACCACGCACCACAGCTTCTGCACTGGTTAAACTCTGCTGTTGGAATACTTCTATGAATGCCAACTGCGAACTCTTGAGTAAAGTGCGAGTCTCCAATGGCGTTTCGCGCTGCACTGCTATTTTTGTTCAGCACTCTCAAGCCCGAGGTAAGTCGCGACAGGCTGGCCTAATACGTCCATGCGCGGCTCAATTCCCAGACCCGCTGTAGTTGGGGCTGTGATTCGACCTTCATGAACGTTAAACGCTCCATCAGCTGTCTTGTAGCTGACCATGTCACGACTTTCGAGAACACAGCGTAGGTAGCGCTCCGGAACGGTCTGAGCAAGGTGCACAATAGCTGCAAAAGCGATGTCTGAGCCGGTGGTGTCCTGGACACTGAAAGTGTAACCTGCGGCCACACAGATGTCCCGCTGGCGACGACCCTTGGTCAAGCCACCATTCTTCGAGATCTTGAAGCCTATTCCATCTGCAGCGTCATCAGCAATAAGCTGCAATATGGATGCGTCGCTTATTGCAAGTTCATCGAAGATAATGGGCACGTCTGTTCTGCGTCGTAGGGAGATGCACTCCCGCCATGTTGGACAAGGTGCTTCCAAAACGAAATCTAACCCTTTAGGCAGCAACCTCAACATGCGTAATGCGGTCTCAACGGTAAGGCCGCCATTAGCATCGACAATGAAGAACTCTTCGGGTCGCTGATCAGCAAGGCTTGCGGCGATGCGAAGCGCGTCTCTTACAGGCTCTCCCTCGATCTTAACAGAATGTCCTAAATATCCACGGCTTCGGTGCTCCGCGACACGCCTACGCATGTCTTCTGGCTCTCCCACATAAATCGAGGAAATTACCGGCATTCTGAGATTGGTACGACCACCAAGAAGCTCGCATACTGGCATGTCTGCGGATTTGCCGAAAATGTCCCAGCAAGCAACATCCAGTGCTGTCTTAGCATGTTCATGACCGATCAGCGCGGCGTCCATAGCATCGTTGATGCGATCAACTCTTCGAGGGTCTAATCCTATCAGCTTCGGTGCGATTTCAGCAATACCTGCACGAACACCAAGAGCGTGAGACGCCACATATGTCGAACCAAACGGAGTGCTTTCTCCCCAGCCTTCCAATCCATTTTGAGTAGTTATACGAACGATCGTGGCATCAAAAGTTGTGTATTCACGACCGCCAGAGAGACGATAGACTCCTCCTTTGTATGGCAAGGTGACCTGGAAAACGTCTATACGAGAGATCTTTAGTTCAAGCATTTCTTACCCGAAGCTGTTTGAAGAACAGAACATCGATTCGAAGAAGTAAGAAGTTGTATTGATTCGAGTTATGGCCATATAGGCTATTACAGCGAACACCTATCGCTTCCGCAATATTGCGGCTCTGTGTGCTATGGACCGCAATCGAGACCACCTCAACGATAAACGTAATTACAGCAAATGAGAATCCATGCATACCGATATGTTCACTCGAGAGCTTCTCGATGGTATCATGCTCATGATGGAGATCAGCCAATAGGATCTTGATCTCACAACTCCTGCCGCATTGGGCCTACTGTTCGCCATACAATATCCACTTTGCCTTTCTGTAGAAGTCTGAGCCAGACACAGATTACTAAGGATGATTTGGCAGGAAGAAGACCTTTTTGATCACACAGCTGCACTAAACGTCTCCGAACCTTCTACGTTCCACCATCCGTGGTGAAGACAAAGAACTTCATTCGTGAGCACTCCCAAGGCTGGAAAAAAGCAGAAATGGCCAATACCCAGGTTACGCACCGTCAAGCATACCGACGTACCGATGATTTCACGCCTGGCACACCAAAACTGAAGCTCGTCAATGAGCCTGTACAACTACCTTTGGATCCGACGGGCGTTCTGGTCAAAGTTCATGCTGTATCTCTTAACTACAGAGACGCCAACATTTCAAACGGTGGGAACCCGTGGCCTGTGACGCCGAACGGCATTATCTGCAATGACGCAGCTGGAGAAGTCATTGCGGTTGGCGACAAAGTGAAGTCCTTGAAGGTTGGAGATCGTGTAGCCCCCGTCATCGACACGGAGTACATCACTGAACGATCAACAGGACGGTCCTGGCTTGCGGCGAATGAAGATGGAGTGCTGGCGAGCTATATCATGTACGATGAAGAGATTTTTGGCAAATTGCCTACTTACTTGGATTGGGAGAGTGCTTGCCTGATTCCTTGCGCAGGCGTAACAGCTTGGGCTGCACTCAGAGGTGTTGGGATTGGTAAAAGTGTGTTGATTCAAGGTATACATCCAAGTCCCTAGGATGGAGATTCTCCAGCTAATTTTCCACGAGGTACTGGCGGTGTCAGCAGTTGGGCACTGAAACTTGCTCGAGCTGCAGGTCTGAGAGTCATTTTAAGTTCCTCGAGCGACGAAAAGCTCGAGAAGATGAAGCAGCTCTTTCCAACTCCGCCGATATCAACTGTCAACTATGACAGGAACCCCGAATGGCATGAAGAAGTCCTAGAACTCACGGATGGAATTGGTGTAGATCTCGTCGTGGAAAATGGCGGGGCTTCGTCGTTGGTCAGGAGTATGATGTGTACGCGACGTGGTGGGATTGTGAGTCAAGTCGGGTATCTCGGCAAGCAGAAGCCGGAAGACCTCAAAGACTTTATATCGACAATCATCGATAGAAGAATAACATTGAGGTATGCAGCTCCTCCCTACTAGCAATCATTAATACTAATTGTGACAGGGGCATTAATGCTGGATCGAAGTTCGACATGGAAGATCTTTGCGCAGCGTTGTCTGCAACGCGTATGGACCTCAGCGATATCATAGACACTGTTTATGCTTTCGACAAAGCTGAGGAGGCACTACAGTCACTCTGGGAAGGAAAAGTAGTAGGCAAGCTCGTGATACGCCTGTAGTTTTGGTCCTTGATGGGACAACGCAAGCCTGGTGTCGGGCAGCCACAGCCTAGACTTCAGCACAAATTAAGGACATGGTCTTACAAATCGACATTCCTCCTCTTGGGTTTCAGCTATTCTTTCCAAGTGCTGGTTCTTCAAGCTAGCTGACGAAGATGGTGTAATCTAAGACGCATGGACATCGTTTTGTAGCAAATCTGTGTGCTTGTAAGTCAGAGGTGATAGGCAGCGAGAAGGCTGACCTTCCTAATTTGTGCGGAGGATGACGTTCATCGCTCATTCGACAACTTCTTCTGCGGCAAGGCAGGCGAGACTGCCTGGTACAAGCACGCCAGCTTTAGAACCACAACCGGGTACACTGTTTCAATCAAGATCTCAAGGATGGATCAGCTGCCACCAGAGCTGATCGAACAAATACTTAGCCACTTGCCTACGGCATCTGCAATCACTAATCTGTCTCAAACATGCCAGAAGTTACACGATGTTATCAAGAAAGGAGAGAACAGCATATGGCACACCTTCGCGCAAAGACAGTTTCCTAGCATAGGTGCAGACCCACCCTGGAGAGAGACGGCCTTTAATCTGGCTTCTCGCGCCCGAGCTTTCGACAGAAGGGCCTTCATTGCCAGAGAATGCGCGCCGCCACGTGACGATGGATCAACTCTCGTTCCGGTTCACAGAGGCCATCATTTCGGCTTCATGCCAGTCATCGACAGCTACAATACTTCTGCCGCTGAGGGTGGTAGAGAAGTATTAGCTTGGGGAGCAGCAGGACGTTTGAGACTTCGCACCACGAAGGGTAAAGACGTCAAATGGTCATCATACAGTATCCCAGATGATGCCAATCCGCACACTGATATCTTGGATCTGCACCTGCTTCGACCACGACAGAATAGGAACAGATTTGGCGAATCTATTCTCATTCGACGGGCAAATCGAGAAATTGCACTGCTCAATGCCATGCCTGAGAAAGACAATTGGGTTCCAGCCTCGAAATACGTTGTCAAAGCCGATACCACGCTTGACTGCGTAGACGTGAATCAGGCTGTAGATCCTCTACTCGCTGTTTGCGATTCCAAGGCCGTACAGCTGTTTCCAGTGCATACTTCAAAAGAAACAATGCAGGCTGACAAGATTGTTCCGGTGGAAGTCGTGTCGACCACAAAGCAGCGCAAGAGATGTGCGAAGTTCATGTCTGAGGACAGACTAGCAGTAGCCACACAACATCTGGAGGGGCTTCAGCAAGCACCGATCGAGATATTCGATATCTCTCCTTCAGGCCTGGAATCCGTGCCAATCGCTGCGCTGCAGATATTCTCAGCGTATACCACAGCCACGAAAGCTCCGACAGGTCGAATTGGTGCAAATTGTCTGGCGAATGTGACCGACAACCCCGATCGTGGGTCGCCACTCCTACTTTCTGGTTGGTCAGATGGACTTGTACGGCTCTACGATCTACGCAGTGGAAACAATCCTGTTCGTGCGTTCGCAGACGCAGTGGACGATGGTCAGATCTTCTCCTTGTTGACAATCGGCCAGGAACGTTTCCTTGCAGGTAGTCACCAAAATGCCTGCCTGAAAGTATTTGATATGAGGATGGACGGTCAGGTGTACAGCTATAGGCAAACAAGACCGATCGAGCCACCGACTAGCTCGAAAAACGGCGCAGTTTCGACGCCTTCAGGCCAATCTTCATCTCGATCTGCTCGTGGGTTGAACATATTCTTGGCCTTAACTGTACATCGTGCGACGCAGCCATGGCAACCACTACCAGGGCGACAGAATAACGCTAGGCTCCCAAGATATCGTGGTAGCATTTACAGCTTATCGTCTCCTTCACCTAGCTCCAGGACCGTATACGCCGGTATTGAAAATCATGTGATCCAATTAGACTTTATGAACACGGATGACTGGCTGGTCAATCGTGGTAAGGTCAGAAACCACTTGGATGACCGGCCTGTTTTGAACCTATCATGTTACGAGAGACCTCGTAGGGGTCACGAAAGCACCGACATTGTCCTGCTCCGCAAACAGAGAGACCTCGAAATTAGTGCCTTGAAAGACCAAGATATTGAGCCCGGGTGGGATGAACGATGGAAGCTGGAGCAGCAACGTACGAGGAAGGGTATGGCAGCTAGTTGGTGGCAGAGTCGATCGTAATAGTTCATCCGGATGTGTTTTCTGGAGCCTTCTCTTTCCTCACGAAGAAGAACTTGCCCTTCTTTCGTGTCTCTTTACCGTCTCCTAGCTCGAATGGATCCCAACCACTGCTTGCAATCATTTTTGTAGGTTTGCGCCTCCGAACAGTGCCATTGGTCCCGACCTTCTCCTCTTGTTCCAAGTATGGTCGAAGTGTCTCTAATGTGATCTTCTGCTCATCAACATATTCTGCTGTCTCGTCGCGTATCGCGATCAGGGGCTCGATATTGGTCGTGTCTATCTTCTGCATTTCCTTCACAAAATGTATTTGCGAATCAAGCGTTTGGAGCATTTTGGTCTCCTCCGCTTTCGACTTCGGTCGTGGCAAAGCAGACAACTTGAGAAGATGATGTAGCTGCTCCCTGGACACCCTTGGGTCCGTAGTGCTGCTCTCAGGTGGTAAAAGAGACCTGACTGACCATGATGGCTGCGCAAGCATTGCCTCAATTTCGGGCTTTATCTGTACAGGCCCTCTCTGAACATAATTAGAATCCTTGATATTGGTTCCCCAAATGATGCGCCGTATGCTAGGACCCGTCTTCTGGAACATAGTGTCGTGGTCATGCTGGATACCTATAGACACCAGAGGAGCGTGACCTAAGAGACGAGACCGAAGGGAAACAGCATCTTTAGGTGCCTCAGGCTGTCGATTCCGACCCTTGAACCCCGGGGCGTCAAGGCATGTGCAGAAGCCTGGAGTTCCAACCAGGCCCACCATGACGAGGTTGTCGCAACTCAACTTTAGGTGAAGAGACACCTACTACAGAACTACGGAACGGGGGCCACTATTAGAACTTGTTTCCCTCAAGCTTGAACAACATACATCTTCACCTATAGAACTGAAGTTCTCCTTTGTGACTCATAATCAGTCAAGCAAATTTCGATCGGCTCCCTTCACCGAACCAGGATCATGGCAGTTGATCCACGAGCACTGTTGCAGAAGGCAGACAAAGCCGCATCTGGTGCAACTGGTGGCTTCAGTTTCTTTGGTGGTCGTACAGAGAAGTGGGAGAATGCTGCAGATCTCTATACTCAAGCAGCGAACGCATTTAGGGTTCAGAAACAAAGTAGGGTCGTGTACGGCAGCCCTGGACCTTCCGCTAACTATTCATTTCAGACCATGAGGCAGGACAAGCCTTCGAAAAAGCCGCTGCAATTCAGCGCGACAAGCTCAACGAGCCTGGCGACATGGCCAATACCTTAACCGAATGCTTCAAGGTCTACCGAAAAGACTCTCCGCAGGATGCCGTTAGAGTCCTACAACAGGCTATTCAGCACTACACGTCGTCTGGCAACTTTCGAAGAGCAGCAACACATCAGCAGAATCTGGCAGAGGTCTACGAGGTGGAGATAGGAGATCAGAAATCAGCTTTACAGGCATACGACCTTGCAGCACAGTGGTTCGAGAGCGACAATGCCGAAGCATTGGCCAACAAGCTTTACTTGAAAGTTGCAGATCTGGCGGCGTTGGAAGGAGATTACCAGACCGCCATACAGAAGTTCGAGGCTGTCGCAAAGTCCAGCATTAGCAGCAACCTGATGAAATGGTCTGTAAAGGACTATTTTATGAAGGCTGGTATCTGCCATTTGGCAGCTAATGACATAGTCGCTACAAAGAGAGCACTACAACAATATACAGAGATGGATCACACTTTCCAGAGTACAAGAGAAAATATGCTGCTCAATGACTTAGTTGAGGCAGTTGACCAAGGCGACCAGGATGGGTTTACTGACAAACTCTTTATGTTTGACCAGCTCAGCAAGCTAGACAAATGGAAGACAACTCTATTGCTGAGGGTGAAGGAGAATATCCAGAAAGAGGAGGAGGATTTCTCGTGAGCGTGGCGGCTTGTGGCCCCTCAATGCACGACATTCACGATGGAATGAGCAGGTATTTGACCAGGCGTTGCACGGCCTAGAGCATCAGTCACGGAGGCGTTTGGCACTCGATCTTTTGGAAGCTACGTTTAAGACATACCTTCACTTATCCTGCATCACTTAAGAAGAGGGATGTCTGCACGTGACCTCGGGCCTCAACCTGCCATTTCTCCACGATCCACTGGCCTTGTTTCGTTCTTTCAGTCCACATGTGAATAACAGTACTACAAGCGGCACCAAAAATGCCCGCCCAGTCTGATATCTATGATCACGAAGTTGATTTCACTGCTCTAGCTTTGCAATATCCAGACTTCGCCAAGAGGTGTTTATATATTGCCTAAACTTTGAACAAATGGCTTACAACAGTGTAGACTCAAACAGAACGGTCAGCTGGACTTCAGTGACCCCGAATCCGTCAGGTATAGATACTTCTTCTGATTTGCGACTACAGTCTTTGCTCAACTGAACAAGACAGCTTACCAAGGCACTTCTCCATCGCGACTTCGACCTTACATTATCGTTACCAGAAAATAGACTATGCCCGCCAGTGCGTTCTTATGAATCACTCATGTTATGATTTGCGCTGACCTTTGGTCAGGTGCCCAACAGGTGAGCGCTGGCCAAGTTCTGGGTTGTGGTTACTGACACGAATAAAGGTTTAACTACATATTGTTTGTGCAGAGACTGCTTGACTCAACACAGGACAACTATAGCAACAGCTATGACCCTCAACGAAAAGTGATAGGTCTGGATATGTAAGCATTGGTTATACTTCTTTACTATATCGCTAATTTTAGAAGTGGTACTGGGGCATCATCCATCTACCCACTGCTTGCGTGTCGTCAGAGACCAGAATGGCGTTTTCTTGCGACAGAAATAGACAGTTTATCTCGGGGTTTTGCGAACCAAAACATCATTTCGAATGGCATGGATAGAAGAATTAAGATACTCGGTTCAGATCCTGAGAGTCAAAACATCATTCCCTCTACTCAACTAGAACGGTTTGACAGGTATGTATTGCAAAACATATGGAAACCAAGGATGTACGACTGACACAATCTGATCCAGAATCGATATCTTGCTCACGAATCCACCCTTTTACACGTCCGAGGCCGAGCTCCAGTCCTTAGCCAAGCAGAAAGCGAGGCCTCCGAACTCAGCCTGTACCGGCGCGCCTGTTGAGATGATCTGTCCTGGCGGTGAAGTCACCTTTGTGGGTCGAATTGTCCAGGAATCGACATTGCCAGAAAATCGGGTCAGGATACAATGGTTCAGCAGCATGCTTGGCAAGCTGAGCTCTGTCACTGCTATCATCGACAAATTGCATGAGATAGACTGTACGAATTATGCTGTCACAGAATTTGTACAAGGCCAAAAAACTCGTCGTTGGTGTGTTGCGTGGAGCTGGACTACACTCCGACCCTCTCTGTCTGTTGCAAGAGGTACAGATGTTGTTGAGAAGAAATACCTACCATTTCCGACAGAACTCGAGCTTTCCCTGTCGATTGATCTGCCAGATACCATCCAGAAGATCAATGTGGAAATCCCAAAACTGCAAGGTATGGAATGGCAATGGCGTCAGAACCTGCAAGCTGGTATTGGTAGAAGCATGATTGGCGATGTTTGGAGTCGACATGCTCGGCGGAAACAGAAAAAATTGGCTGTAGACGACCGTGTCAAGCCCTTTGTCGAGTCCTCTATTGAGTCCAAGGACAACGCTGACAACACGGATGGAGAAGACGACATCGAACCGAAATTCGTCTTCAAGATTACCTTCAAGCAAGCTCTCACAGCTCAATCTTCCGACGATACCACCCCATCAACAACTCTTGTGCTCCGCTGGTTACAAGGCGACGACTCCACCTTATTTGAAAGCTTCCACGGTTGGCTCAAGCGCAAGCTAGTCTAACGAAAACCTACAAACAATTAGCTTCTCTCACAAGACAGTACGCATTACTACCAATTCTGAGCAACCACTGACCTCGTCGGTCTCTCAAACTTCCTAAACGGATTCGTCGCCCGAGCCCAGCATCTCCACACTTTATTACCCTTCTTCGACACCATCTTATCAGATACCGCCGAATGCGGGACCCACGTCGGTCTTCGGTACAGGGGAACGACATCTGGTTCTAGGCGAACAGCAGCTTCGAGATCAAATTGCGGTGGACGTTGGTGATGCTCCCACACATGCGCTCTAAATGCGTCCTGGCGACATATTGGCATGTAGTTGGGTGGTATGGTACTCCATGTTCTATCCTCTCTGATGGTTTCTAGGGTTATGTTCCATTGTTCGCGTGATCGGTATGGGCTGCTGGTGCAAGGCATTTGATCCATTGGCAGCGTCATTGTTGTTTTTGTTTCCTCCTCCTTCTTCTTCTTCTTAACCAGGAAGCTCAAGGCACTGGTCAGGAATCGATGTCAATATTGGTAATACCACTCTCTCGTATGTCAAGTCCCTTCAATGAAACAATGGCAGCGAGCTGAACCTGCTTTTATGCCATTCAATTCGTACAGGTCCTCTCGATACACCTCCACCATCCTTCCTAACCATAGCCTCAGCCTCAGCCTGGTCCCAGACTCCTACTTCAAGATCGTCATAGACATGACGGAAAACTGCCTCAAAGTACCAGAATACTGGTACGCTAGTCTTGAAGAGTCGAGAGATGTCTGTACAGGTGTACTTGAATGAGTTTGTCTCACGTAGTAAGTATCCATCCGCATACCGAGTACGCTAATTGTTGCAGGTCCTAGATTTCTACGGATCGGATGTGCTCTGTGAGAAGTCTTGAAGCATACATAGCTATCAATGTGATCAGCGACCGCCTAATTGTCGTGTAGAAATTTCTATGAGGTAAGGAAGTCGGAGGTCAATATGATTCAGCCTGTTAGCACTACATAAAGCTATAAATCGTAAGTTGCTGTTAAGAATATTGCGCCTGTCACCCACTTCATCACCCTAATGTGTGAAAACTCAAGTCGACTCCATCACCAACTATACCCAAGTATAGCAAAAAATTTGGCTTTTCCTGGTCACTCCTACTGACCAGAAACGCCAGCATTAGTGGGTATCATAACAACAGACCAATCCAGAAACCGAGACCGAGACCTCGGGCAATGTTCAAAACAGAAGTCCAAAGACATCCTCATCGCAGTCACACCTTCAAACATCGATAGGTCCAACAATTTCCTCACTCACACCTCGTAACGTGCTGTGGCTCCGAGCACTTCTCGTCTCTTCGTCACTTAGCACATATTGATCAAAATCGTCGACGACAGGCCGCTTTGGTGGTGAGAAGCTCTCAGGAGACTCTATCGGCATTGATGAGCTCAACACATTGTTGACAGTATAAGCGTAGTCGTTAATTTGGACGGTCTCTCGATCGCCGAACCAATAACGAACTCTTTTGCTCGCACCATTCGTCGAAGATGAGAGCCAACCATCTGAAGCATCATCAATGTTCCGCTTATCTTTGATTGGGGTGCGGAGTGGTGTCTCCGTGCCGTCCTGCGACGCCAATATGCTGATGCCACGTAGGTACAAATAGCATACTCGTTTCCTAATCTTATTAAAGAAGAAGTAGTTCATCGACCACATGTGTCCAGCCTCATCGTCCTCAAAAGGATCAAACTCTTCAGGAGCATAACTGTATATCATACATTCTTTCAGGCTCATCTGCTGGTCTATCAGCCTCCACATACCTGGACCCCACTGTGGCGCGCTGTTAGGTGGGTACGCGGAGCCAGAATGGAGAGGAGACTTGGGCACGTACGAAGATACTGGTCTCGGTCGCAAGTTGAACATGGTTGTGTCGAAAGTGTTCATGACCTTTCTAAGGCTCTTTTCGCGTTTGAAGTCGGAGGGTCTGAGCACGAGTGAGAAGTCGTAGTCTGGATGACTAGCGTTGAGGGTTGCTATCAGATACGCATAGATACGTCGTGCACTTACTGCCCCAAGGTTACCGAATGCACTTCTGCGTTCCAAGTTGAGAGACTGCGCCATAGCATTTTTCTGAGGTGGAGACAAACTCCGCGAGAATTGTAGATCTGATGCATACTGCGCTTCGAGGTCATTTTCAATGTTCTTGTAAAGTTTCTTGTCCCCTCCTGCCGCCTTAGTCGTGTACAGATCACATCCGCCCAATACGTACAAGTCAGGTGTCGTGAGGTTGAGCGAGGAGGTTACAACGTCGAAATCTCGGAGCGCGACGAACTGTCTTGCGTTAGCCAAATCGCATATTTCAGGAGTTCCAGGCCACTTTGGTCGTCATGCTGCAGTGTCGCGTACGTGGAAACCGCGTCGGTCGAGAAGTCAATATTCTGACGTACTTCTCTCTGCATCCGACTAATGTGGGCCCTGATTTTGGAGGTTGATACATACCTTCATTGTGAAAAATAGAAACGAAAGCAATAAAATGTTGCTGATTGTCGCAAGATCTTCGTATGTTGTATGGCTCGGCTGAGGGCGGATGCCGATCCCATTAATAAGGGCTTGTACTCGGCTTCGTGATATTCGGCAAGGCAAGCCTTCAGGTAAGGACGACTCTGTGTTCGTCGCTGCCTGTGCGTCCTGTCGGTTTCGTCTGACTTCAGGTTATTACAGTGGTGGAGATGTCCAAGCTGGCTGCAGAAACGGCTCTGCTGTAAAACTCGTAGCCAGGCGATGTCGCCTAGCAGAAGAATGCAGTCTGTATCGATATCATTGTCTGTGGTAGAAGTTGTGGTGTTGTCGGCCTTGAGAGGGGAAGTTGTTGAAGTTGGCCAGCTGCGCCAGCTGTGGACCCTGATTTGGTCACGTGAGAGCTTGCCACGCGGCTGCTCGATTGGTCGTAACATGACCAACTGACAAAAGACGATGAGGCATGGACAAGGTGTTGCTCGCCGATTCTGGTTCACGTGCAATGCATTCAACCCGTCAATGGCTGCTTTGTGAACGAGGTAGCCGAAGCTTAGCACTCAATTCAGTCTATCTCGATTTCACATCAAGAGCAACTCCCATACTCCTTGCAAAACGCAACCAGGTCAGTTCCATCCAGGACGTATCTTTTTAATTGTCCCGAACTATTCAGCTTCTGCATCAGATCACCTGATTGGACGTGGTCAATGGTGAGTGTTCCTCATTGCTGGAATCGTGAACGTGTAATGCTGCCCGTTTGTGATACTTCATGGCAACTTCGTATCACCACAAGAAATTTTTGTAATCGTCGTTCTTGCAATTGTTACCAATCTCAGATGAAACCAGCAGCCTTTAGGTTTTGGACGACCTCTTCTGCCTGAATAGCCAAAGATATCATGTTAGTAATATTCGTAAGTCAACTTCGGGGGGTCTGATCTAGCGGCTGAGGATACGGACGTCCAATGGTAGAAGGGGTTACATAATTTTAGTAACTTCCTCCTCGACCTGTTGGTGCAGAATAGAAATGATTAGTTGGTGTCAATGGAATGGGTCACAGACATTTCACGCGGTGGGTGCAGGTTGAGGGAGTATCAAGTGTAAATGTAATGCTTACCTCCATGTCTTCCAAACTGTCTTGCTGACTGATGACTCGAAGCACATTTTTCTTGCTACTTTCTTGCATCTCACCAGCCAAGATGAGCTCGTCAAGTATGAAGTATGCTTTTTGAAAGTTGAAGATGATGTCTAGCTCGCAAACATTGCCGTAGTATTTGTCCATCTGCTCGACGTATCGGTGCACGATTTCAAGAGTGATCAATTCATTATCGGTAGAGGCGCAGCCGGCGATGAAGAACAAGGAAGCATAGCGACGATAGACCACTTTAGTGTCTGTTGTTGAGTCAAGATGTCAGCAAAAATGGAACATTGAAAGCATTTCAGGCAAAGTGAGAGCAACCTTTGTATTCAAGAAAATTGCACATCCGAGTGCGTCTGGAAAGAACGAGTTGGGAGACATCTTTGATGATTTTGGCCTTGTCCTTAGGAGACAGAGTAATGAACCATTTTGCTAATCTCTATGTTCAAGGACTGAATCAGCTCAATCCCTCATCGAGCAGGAAGGTGGGCGACCGAAGGCGTCAACGAACCACTTTGCCCTGCCTCGAGAGGAGGATGAGATAACTATATATTCGTGTTAGCAGTGTCCTGTCAACCAATCCTCTCAGAGAGCATTACTTGATAGCCATATTAGTCGTGTGCAAGTGTTGCAGAAACACAGTGTGCGCAGTCAGAACAAGCAAGGTTGCAGTCAAAAAATTCGGAAATTACCCACCACACAGCGCTGGTTGGCAAGCACCCCTCACAGCCGAAGAATAGGCGCGCTTCCGACATTGCGCTCAAACACCACTGACGTTACTCGAGCAGCAAACTAATACGTCCGAATTTACCTGAGTCGTGATTGATCTTCTTCAGAAGCGACAGTGAAGGTCAACACCAAGGGAATCTAATCTACAACTAAACAATGGCTGCGAACATGAAACTCATATTGTCTACATCGTAAGGAACAGTGAGGATTTGTATCTAATGTCTGACTCATGAGTTCAACAGTAATGTTATGTCCTCTGGGCAGTCTGTCATGCGCCGACCAATCTATTCGAAATCTAATGTCGAGCTCGTGAATGGCTTGCGCGCCAACTTCTCACTCTATCAGCATCATTTCTCCTCATCAAACAATCCCTCAAATGCATACAAGCAGTGGACAACGCAGGAAGACAACACTCTCTTTGTTCCGGTTTTGCGACCTCAGACTCTGTCCGAGCCACGAGAATCGTATGACATTACTGTCAAACTTTTTTATCTGCCAGGCATCCCGGCTTCAAGAAGATGTAAACATACAAGAGAGGCTATCGATCTGGTTCTGAAAGAGCTCGGAGTTCAGAGTGTTGATCTTCTAATAGTTAGCTTTCCAGGAGTCAGTTTCGATGCAGATGACGATGGCGAAGAAGAGATGTCCGAAGATGAGAGTGCCAGTGCTGACAGCGATGACTCGCAAGGTCTAGATGCACAAGTCAAGTCGTGGAAAGTGTTAGAGGACTACCATTCTCGTGGCATAATATCTCAGCTGGGTCTCTCCGAGTTCAGCTCTGACAGGCTCGACAAATTCTTACCGGAGGTTTCCGTGCGGCCGACAGTTGATCAGATCAATGTGAAAGACTGCTGCGTGGTGCCAAAGACTCTGATCATGTACGCCAAGAATAACAATATCGAGCTGTTGACGCACAATGATTGCATGGATATCCTTCCATGTGGCACCACTCGTGAGCTTCTAGGACCAGGTGATGGAGGTGCACATATTCTAGCCTCCAACCCTGACTCACCGGACTCGGAACCAGGACTAAAGGGTAACATTGAACCTCAGTGGGTCATCAAATATACAGCTGTCGTCAAAGACCGGGGTGTGGTAGAGAACAAGGGCTATTTCGCCATGGCCCAACTCGGTGAAAGTGAGGACGGCCTACCCTCGAAGTCGAAGTGCTGAGTGCTCATTAATCGAGTCAAATTGTCCCCTTCAGAGCGTGGCGTTGGTGGCTGGATCCGTGAGCTTTTCTCACTATACTTTGCAAGGCTGAGAATGAGACCACGTCAAACACGTCTGCTGTTTTGCCGTGACTGATGTATCTCACAGTCAATATGGGCGCCGTTGTAGAGTCCTAAGAGCTGCACATCACGGTTCATCCGATCATACTTCGTTTCCGTCCTCTGAGCCTTACCTCTTCGAGACGTTTGAGGACGACATTCGCACCTTTGAATGTCCCTCTATATCCTTCTGAGTGTTGTAATACCTCAGCGTCGAACCAATCCTCCTGCTTCGGATGTGTAGAGCCAAATGCCCGTTCCAGCACGTAAAGATCAACGGCCCGATCCTCATCCTGTATAGACTGTGTAGCAAGTCCAAAATCAATCAGTACAATCTCACCACTTAGATCTGGAGGCTTTGTGTCACTCCCCTCGACATGACCATGCCCATTGACCTGCTCGTGTTTCCGCGGCCTCACCATGATATTACTGCTCGTCAAATCACCATGCACAACACCACCCTTGAAATGCATAGCAGCCACCGTCCTCCCTATCGCTCTCAACAACGCCTTAACGTCTCCCTCAACCTTCTCCCTCTCTTCCTGCGATATCCTCTCTCCCAACCTCTTAGCCCACTCATCCACACCCCTCAATAACTCCTTCACACTCCTCCCCTCAATAAACTCCATCAATATCCACGCCCCAGCCGCGACAACCCTCCCCTGCACCTCTCTATCCTCGGTCTTCTCCCCCTGCAGATCCTCCCCCCTCTTTACCCTCACCACCCCCTCTCCGCCAGCACCTTTAACCTTCCTACCCACATCCCACTCCAGCCCCAACACCCCAGGAACCCTCAGCTCAGCAGCATCCGTGACCCCCGCCAGCTTCACCAACACCCTCGCCTCGGCCAGCACCCTCTGCTTCGTCAAGCGCGCATCCAGCGTAGGATGTCGATATGCTTTGCTCGGACGGAATTTCAGGATCGCAGGAGAGGAAAGGTCGAGGAAGTGGGTTTTGTAGACGAGGGCTTCGGCGCCTTGGGTGAGGAGGATGGGTGGTGGGGAGGTGTGCGTAAAGGGTGTTGGGAGGGTGTGGGTTGTTGTTGTTGGGGGTTTTGAGTCTGTCATTGCTGTGATTCGTGGATGGATGGGTGGGTGCGTGCTGCGACGGGCTTGCGCTTTGATCGAGGGTGTGTTACATCGATACTTCAATTGCGGCGGGAAGAATCAGGATCGGAGAGTAGATGAGAGAGTTTAGTTATGCAAGACGATCCAGCAGGTGTGGGAAATTAAGAAATCCATCTGGTAATTGTCGAAAGTCGAGGATGACAATGCGATCTGCACTTCGAGAAGTCGCACGTTTTTATTCGGTGGAACGACTTCCTCATTCGCTGTGCTCAATCGATAGTACATCGTAAAAGAAAGGGCCGTGATGGCAATAGCATTCATCTAACGTCTATGAAATAGCTTATGTTCTGGTAACTTTGTGGTACAGTATGTGGTCGAAGTGAAATCGTCAATATATAGTCGTCCCATGAAATATCGCTCCTGCGCTGAGTACTCCGACACCATGCTTACCTATATCATCTGTTGTACCCATACCTCCATCTTACCCATCTCGTTCCTTTCCTTCCGTGCTGTAGATTTTACGTGACTCAACAGCACGTCCAGATCATCTTGATCAGCCATTGTGATCATCTGGCCCGTCTCGTCGTCAAAGTCGCGCATAAGCATCTTCATCTTTCCTCGGATGCCGAACTTCTCGCGAACTCGGCTCTCAAACTCACCATAATCTATATACGTTGAATTGAGCATGATGTACCTGCTGTCATCGTCTGCATGCACCTTGACGCGGATTTTACGCATCTCAACCCGTTTCGTTGAACTCTGTGAAGATATGCTCGGTCCACGCGAATGTGATCGCTTCTGCATGCGCAAAGACGCATCGTCTGGAGATGAATTGATGTACTCATCTTCCTCGTCGAGATAGTGTTGCGCTTCTCGTGACCGGTGTTTCCTTGGTTTCGTCGAAGACTTGCCGTACATGCCGTAGACGTCGTCGACTGTGTCTTCTTCCTGCATACTAGCAAGACGGGACTGTGTTGTTTCTCCATAGAGTGGTCCAGACGTCCTCTGGTTGTTGTGAGATAGCCTCCTATTCAGCAATTGCTGTCTTGGCTGTGGTCCTCGTGGTTCTGATGCCGTGCGGACTGTAGGTGGCCTTGTCGGCTTATCCTCAGGTATGGATGTTCTAGTCTCTAATGACATCTGTGGTGTTGTCTCGAGCTGGTGGGTGCGTATCGAAAGTTTTTGTGGTCGGTTCTCGTGCTGGCTCAGTGACGCCGATGGCCTGTGACCTCCTGAGTTCCGCAGTGACATGTTTCGACCTGGAGGTGCAGCATTGAGCACACTGCGTTTGTCATTCTCAGGAGGTGGTGTGGGTGGAAAGACATTCCTGCCCATTGTCGGTGGTGCGCTTTGCTCTCGTCCTGGTCTACTGCTGCTGAATAGGTTCTTGTTTACTAGATTCGTCGCAGCATAGCTGATATTCTCTGGTAACCTATCGTCCTTCGCCGAAGATTCTAACATCATTCGCTCCTTCTGCTCAGCACCTGCAAAACCTGTAGACGTATTCGAGGTAGCTGTCGCGATCAGTCGTGCTTTTCCTAGATAGTCTTTTGTCTTCAAATTCTTGACTTTTGCCTCGTTGGGCCTGTATAGTACACCCACAGGAATAGAGAAGACAGTATATCCTACTGCTCTTTCTCGAATCGCATCATCAATAACATCGTGATCTGGCGTCATCTTTTCCTTGACAGCATATTGGAAGTCTTGCAGGCCAGGCTTCTCTTGCTGGAGGTATATATAGCACAAGCCTCTGTTGAATAGTACTTCGCAGGAGTAGAGCTTAAACTTGAGTCCCAGCTGTTCGTAGTTGATGTAGGTGTTTCCTCTCAGGTAAAGTAGGGTGTCATTAAAGTTGGCCAGGGCTTCCTCGAAGTCTCCAACAAGGAAGTTTGAAACACCTTCTTGGAAATATGCCACTGCCAGATACTGGTCTAGCTGTGTTGCGCGCTGATAACAGTGGACCTATGCAGGTGTGAGCTGTCTTGCACATGAAACATGCGCGCCGACTTACTGCTCGATCGTGTTCGCCAATAGTGGCATGTATGACACCACAATTGAACAGTATCTTTGAAGTATCCGCAATATTGTCGAAGATTCGGAGTGCGTTCTCGAATTCATTGTTGTCGTAGTGGTTCAGAGCCTCGACCCAAGTCTCGATTTCCTGTAGTGCAGGTAAGCATGTCACTATCTCCGGCAGAATGCTCTTTCATACCTGCTTGAGAGACATCGTTGCACAGCTGCGGCACAGTCAGCAAACAGTGTGAGTCCTCGTAGAACGTTTGAAATCCAGCCAGAATGCAGACAGTAAAGAGGTTGCAGCCAGAATATGTCAGTGTGCCAGGATGATAGACGCAGTACGCGACGAAATATCGCTTCGATCGGCTGCAGGACAACCCACTCACGAAGCTGATGTACCTGGATGGCAGGGATTAAGCGCCCGCACCAGATTTCAACCCTGGGCGCCAGCGTCAGACGATCCTATCAGGTTTTGGTGTGGTGTGTTAGCTCTGGGAAGAGCCGTGGAGGAAATGCAGCAGCCAGGTACCTAAGGGAAGTCTTAAAGCACACGTGGAGTCACAAGCAAGACGAAGATTCAAGCTGCACAGCAGGTCGAATGTCACATCACAGTGTGAAGCCTCTCGTGACGATAAGTGGAGAGATGTTTACTTCGACACCGACTTCGTCTGCTTGGAACTGCTTGCTAGCCTGTAACAGGAAATAGTGCACACTGGCCCTGGTCATGCCCAAGCCTCTGGGCCCGTTAGCGTGCTCGGCCACTGGCTCCAGCCTTTGTCGACCAAACCCAAACGATTCGAAGCGCCCGAAAGCTGCACTATTGCCAGCCAAGGTACATAGCACGTATCGCAACGGACGTTGTCACATCATCCTATACTGTCTACGCGACCAAGACATCGGCACATTGCAGTCGAATTACAGTGGCCAAGAGTCATTGATAGTCTCGCGGACGTGAGATGTCTTTGGTAGAGAGAAGAAGACCAGTGAAGGTAATGAAATGTTTGGCTGGCGTTTCAGGTTGCGCTCGTCGGGAACCATAAAATCGAGATACCAGAGCGAACTCCAGACGGATCTCATGCGATCGATGTCCGAGGTCACCTGCCTGCAACCGTCGCAACTTCATGATTGTCGGAAAGGAAACACTCTAGTGAGTATACGATACGGTAGGGTTGACAGTTTTACAGCATACCTCGGTTCTGCTGTTCCTTGCGTTCTTCCCAAACAGTTTTGCCTGAACAGGAGCAAACTGTCTTATCATTGTCCCAGACACCAGCACTTCTGGCAATCACACCCACCAAGATATCGGCATCATCGTCAGCAAATGGGCCGTCAGCATTCCTCGAGACAACCATGCTCCGTCCAGTGATTTCCCATACCGAGAATGGCTTGTCCAAGAACGCGCTCCCTCTCCCGTCTTGGCCGACCTTTATCTCGCCAAAGAACCCACGCGAAGTCTTGAAGCCTGCGGCATTCTTGAGAGCTTCCCATATTCCGCCTGTGGAAGCTGCCCCTTGAGTTATGTCACCTCGTTCGCGAACCGTGGCATGATACGTGCCAGGCGTTAAGCCCTTGATCGTGAGATCTATCAACGTGGTACCACTTCCCACCTCAACCATTCTTGCCAGGCCTTTTACTGGATCTTTCACCTTCGCATGTGTTTCCAGAATACAAACTCCGGCGCTATTTGACTTTCCGCTACCTCTTAATATAGCATCTCGCCCTGTCGCCTCAATCGCGGAGACAATCTGTGAAGGAGGTGTTGTGCCTTCGATGAATACGAGTTGGTTCTTCAGGTCGGCGTCGACTTTCGATATGCCTGCGCCATCTTAGAAGTACGTTTGTCTGGCAGAGGATGCGGCTCACCATCCAGCTTGTTGAGAGCACCAGACACATCTTTTACACAGCCATCACAATGTAATGGCACGGCGAATGTTGTCTGAAAAGGTTGGATGGGTGCGATGGCCATCTTGACACAGAGTGGAAAGCAACAAGCCTGCCTAATTGCAAGATGTAGAATAGTGACTGAATTAAAACCGCTGTAGACCTCGAGGCGCAACCGCGCTTTGAAATCAAACTGTATTGGGCTTGAGGAAAACAAAAATTAACGTCATACCGTAAGTGCATGGGCTTGGATTCAGTTAAGCACACTCGGGCTTGACCCGAACTGGTTCCGGGTACCAAAATCCAGCGAGCGTCGTAGTAAATAATCTCCGCCCGTCAATTCATTCCGCACCTTGAAGTGTTCCTGCAGACGACCACGATATATTCTCACCAGAATGAGCTCTCGATGGGCTGTCAGCAAGGACGCCGACCAAGCCATCACTGCTCAACGGAAAAGACAAAAAGAAGAAAAAAGAAGGGCCAGGGAGCAGAAGCAGAAAGAGACAGCCGAGCAACAGGAACAACAAGCTCAACGAAGTGTCGAACCACCTACAAAGCGACGACGCACCGAAGCGACTTCCCTGGAGGGTGCAAGTCTACTCCCCCAAACAAACCCAAGTTTCGGTCAGAGCAGAGGTCTCGAGCTCTACGACATACTCAACAACATAGAGGAGGGTAGTTATGGTTTTGTGTCGCGAGCTCGTGAGAATCCTACTGGCGAAATAGTCGCTTTGAAGCGCCTGAAGATCGAGCACGGCAACAATGAGGGCTTCCCAGTCACTGGGCTACGTGAAATACAGACTCTGCGCGTATGCTCCCACCCTCACATTGTTCACCTCAGAGAAGTAGTAGTCGGACCTGGACCTATGCAAGAGTGAGTCTGCCAAAATACGTTTTTTATCTCTGAGAAGTTCTGATACCAGTCGTTGCTAACCATTGTTGTTATATGATATCGATAGTGTATATCTTGTTATGGATTTCCTCGAACACGACTTGAAGGCTTTGCTGGAAGATATGGACGAGCCTTTCTCCTCTTCGGAAACCAAGACTCTGATGCTTCAGATATCTTCTGCAACAGAATATTTACACAAAAACTGGATCCTGCATCGAGATTTGAAGACATCTAATCTGCTGCTCAACAATCGTGGTGAAATAAAGATTGCAGATTTTGGCATGGCAAGATATACTGCAAGTCCCCCTCCAAGATTGACACAATTGGTGGTTACATTGTGGTACCGAGCACCAGAGTTACTCCTAGGCGCGGAAGAGTATGGCTTCGAAATTGATATATGGAGCATGGGTTGCATTTTTTCCGAATTGCTAACCAGAGAGCCGATCTTTCAGGGCAAGAACGAGGTTGGTCAACTCTCAGCGATCTTCTCCCTGCTAGGCATACCTACTCCAGCTACATGGCCTGCTTTCAAATCACTGCCAAATAGCAAAGCACTGTATCCTTTACTTGGTACCACTCGCAACCCGACATCACAGCTCAATTCCTCGAAGTATCCCGATCTTACTGAGGCAGGTATACAGCTACTTGCCTCAATGCTCACATTAAACCCAGAAGGTCGACCTTCAGCATCTGAAATCCTGAGTCACCCATATTTCAGAGAGGATCCGAGACCAAAACCCAAGCAAATGTTCCCTACATTTCCAAGCAAAGCAGGTCAAGAGAAACGCCGGCGGCGTGCAACCCCTCGAGCACCTAATCGTGGTGAGGCTCCTAGGTTACCAGCTGAAGATTTTACCAGCATTTTTGCGGGTCACGATTCAAAGCATTAGTTAATGGGGAACTGCGTATAACTTTAAGAGCTTAAACAGGAAATGGAGAATCTCTTAAGTCTGTTTCAGCATGAATTGTGTTTTGTTTATCCTATATCGGCGTTACTAGTACTGCGACAAACCAACATCGCCACAGGCCACACAGAACCATCGCGCCTTGCGCATTCGGGCACAACTGTCTCGAGCACACCTGAACTTCCCACATGAACACGGTATGCGCAGAGCCTGCTTCGACACTCCACATTTCCCACACCCTACTTTGTCACCCAGCCTTGTGGTTGCTAGATCAAGAGTCAGCTGCTGATTTTCGTTAACAAGCTGCAGGATGGGTGGTAGATCGAGGCGCGAAAGGTCGTCCCTGGTTGTTATTTCGATTTGCATGGTCCGAATTACAGGATCGAGCAACGCATGATCGCCACTTGGCGCGTGTGCATATACAAATCGAGCCAGTTGGCATTTGCTGTCTGTCAGTATTGCACGACGCTGGCTATCATCTCCAACCAATTGAGGTTTGGTCCACGTGGTGGGTGCAGGCGATAACTTCCAATGCCAGGCTTTGATATATTTCTGGCGAATAGCCTGCATTGTCCTTGCCGACATCCCTAGCTCTTGAGCGAGGCCATACAGTTTCACATACAATTTCGCAGCTGCAACGGAGTTTTGGCCCGCACTATAGTACGGATCATCAACGTCTCGATATTTTGCTGACATCGAACCTAATCCATGGTTGTCGATGAAACCGTTGCCTCTGGCGTATGCCATGAGACGCACCAGCAGGCACGGCGTATATGTTTTGCTATCCAAGCTCAATTTGTTGCTATGAGATGGAAGTTGCGAAGCGAGGTTTGGGAGCTCTCTCCGCAGAATGTTTTCCTCTATACCGACTTGAATTGGTCCGCAAGTGATGGCTACCGAGCCTGTCCCAGATCTGTACTCGGGCCTGGGCGTGGCTCTTGGCCGTGAATGTTCTCTCGGAGTTCCTGGTGGTGAACCAGGCGAATAGCCACCTCCATCACTGCCATAGTCTCGTGGGGATCCTGGCGGCGATTGAGGAGAGCCTGGTGGTGGTGATGACGGGGGCGTATGGTTGCACCCACTAGGAAAACCGTCAGACCAGTCATACCAGTCGTTGAACAAATGTTCGTGTGACCACGAGTCATTTCGAGATCCGTAATTGTACCCCGATCGTGAATTTCGCTTCTGATTAGGTCGAGCACGACCTGAGGAACGGCGTCGATGCCCCCACCCTCCTTGATTCGAGTCTCTTCGATAATCCTGTGGTCTCGGTTCAGGTCTCCGATGACTCGAATACCCATCCTGCGCTCCAGGCGTTGTGGGTTTATACGACCGAGATCCTCCTCCCTCCTGTTCCGCCAAAGCAGCATCATACAAAGCCCGCTGTTGGGGATCTCTGAGCACCTCGCGATGATTGCTAAGTTTCTTGAACTCTTCAGCTGCTTTGGCATTGCCGGGGTTCTTGTCTGGATGAAATTTGAGTGACAGCTTGCGAAAGGCTTTGTCAATTTCCTCTCCTATTGCTTTGCGAGAAACGCCTAGAGCACGGTAGTAGTCGGGGAGTTTGCCAACCTGTTCTAGGAAGGGGTTGTGTTGGTGATCGTGGTCGTGGTCTGAATGATGAGGCATCTTTGCTTTTGATGTGGTGGTGGAACTTGGGATATTCACTATGGTGTTATCAGTACTTTGTGTGCAAGGACAAGAAATTTCGACTGGACGAGGACGAATTGTCTTTTTGTTTCACTTCGAGGTCGACGAGGAGTGAAACATATCAAGGTCTCGAAACAAGCACGACTTCACAAAGAACATGGCAATGTCGAAGACCGCTGCACAACGCCCTTGTTGTGCGAGACAGTGAGGACAATGCGACTCGAACAACGATGAGACTTACATTGTGAAGATTTCTGAGCGCCGTCGCATTTTCTGACGGTGACTGCCCCTAGTCTTGCTGCATGTCCTTATGAGTGAAGGTGAAGGTGAAGGTACAACGTCTCTTTCGAGGACAATCGTACACTTCTGTCAATGAGTTCCTTGTGAGCTGCACAGTCAGTGAACAGGGTAATAGCAGCTTGCGGGGCAGTAGACTTCTGATGATAAGCGAAATCTTTTTACTCTTTGCTTAAATGCACACTCCTCCTGTCTCTATTCTTGACTCTTTTCAATAGCAGCCTCATCTCTATCTATCGACCACATACTAATGTTTTTCCTGTTCTGTCATAATCCTCTAGCTCCCCTTCTCTATCTCAGGCGCATGTGAATTATGCGACCCTGCTCCATTAGTGATACCTCCCTCCTCCTCGTCTCTAGGCGTATCCTCACCACTAGGTGTCTCTCCATACGCACCACCAACACTCTCCATCACGAACTCGCCAGCAGTAGGTGCATCAAGAGCTCGAAGCTCCTCGTCCTTAAAGTATCTCGGCATAACCCAAGTTCTGATTGGAATGAGCGCAATAATGAAGACTGGAAAGCCAATTGCAGCAATAGTCTGTGTGATGGCGAACGTCGCAGCGAAGCCAAGTAGCTCTATCGCGACGAAGACCCATACCATGTTCTGTCTTTCGATCTTCTTTAGTGGATCGGTGGGACTTGTCAGCTCCTTGTCCTTGAAGAGATAGACGATCTTTAGAGTGACGCCGTTGCCAGCTAGGGCTTGTGCACCCATGACGAAGAACAGTCCTGCGAGTACACCTTGTGGAATGAGGTTTAGCACGATGAGAAGAGGCCCGGTCATGGTTACGAGGAAGAGCAGACCTTGAGCGAGGTTGCTTACTCGTTGTTCGACGACGTGGTCGTTGACTTGCTGTGTCCGACCTTGTTCATCGACTTCAGTCCTCGTCACACATAGAGACGCTGTGTGGAATGGTGCTTGAGGGATCAAGCCGTTGGGGAAAGGCAAACCGAGAAAACCGGCCACGAGAGTGGTGATGCCGAGCAGGAAGATGTCCCAATGAAAACCTGGAGGTTTACGAAGTGGGAACTCTGTACCTTGTGTAATGAGGGAGGAGACATTGTGGTCGAACCAGAAGAGGATCGTGAGCAGGAAGCCAAATGGTAACGCTAGGAAGACCTCAGCGGCTGATACCTCCCAGAAGTTGACAAACCAGGGCCGATCGGTGGTAGGAAAGAAGGCTCTGCTGGTGGGTAGCCGTTCCAAACTGACTTCACGCAGATGAGGAAAGTAAACAAAACCAGTGAAGAAGATGATTGTCAAAGGAGTGCCGTAGTCATCGACGAATTTCCTTACGTGCCTGTGTAGAAGTGGACTGCCTCCTATGATACCGCATAGCCAGGCGACCCCAAAGACACAAAGAGCGACTGTGACGGAGAGATACTGACTCGCGAACCCGTCTGTGTTTTCTGTCTGTCGTGTGATAACCTGTATGCCCTTCTGCAGATATATCATCGCAACGTAAAAGCCGAAAATGTCGCAAGAAAACCTTGTAATGTATGTAAGGCTATTGCAGGAATTTGCGATTGCCAATATCGTATGCATGATGAAACCCCATATACCTACCCATGCCATGAATGCGAAGTAGTTGTACCCTGCTGGTGTAACAATGTCGTAAACTGTATATGAGAAGACAGTAATAGGTCCAGTAACGCCAACAATGACCAGAGGCTGACAAGCGAATATGCCAAATACAACGCAGCCCAGAACACTAGCCAGCAAGACCTCGTTAACACCATAGGAATTATCGGTCTTGACGAACATGTCAAGAGAGAATGCTAGTGCTGGCAAAATGTTCGCGAAGTACATATAGACTGTTGCAGGAATCACTCGATAGTCCCATGCATCTGTCCAATCACTCGCGTAATATGGTGCCCTTCTTTTAACATCGTCAATCATGCCCTTGAATAGGCGAATTTTCCACCATCTCGGCTGTCTTCGTGTGCTTTGCCTCGATAGTTGTTGCGATAACTGATATCGCTCTTCTGGATCGTCCTGCTTTTCCGAACGAAAGGGAGGCCGTCTGCGATCGTATGGTCGTCTCGAACTGGAGCTCCTGGAGGCCGATCGGCGCATAGTTGTGTGCGCGCCATCTATGGCTGCGTTTGACGGCTGGTTCTGTGCAACCGAATGTGACATGGTCGAGTTCTGTACGCCCAAGTACGATGATAGCCTCTAATGCGTGGTCAATGAGATCTCCATGAACTTCGGACAAAATTAAAGAAACACAATGTATATGAGCCTGTGGTCTAGCTGATGCATTAAGCGCCTTGAAACACATCCAAGGGACAGCCGATCTATAGTCATGGCGCAAGATCGTTGAACTGCGAAGTCAAAAACCTCGAACTATATCATCTGCTGCAACAATAGAATGATGCATGAAAAGCGACAATTTCTAACCCATCTCGTTTCGATGTTGACTCGCGAAGCCCGAAGAAGGCAAGATCAGCATCAGATGGCGTCGATGATGGATTGCACGAAAACGCACACCAATCAAGTCGTGGGCAGAAAGAGGGTCTGCATCAGCGGATGCGACGATCGTGGGGATGCTCTGCCCCCGATATATTCTGCCTGGGCAGAATTCTGGGCTCGAGGTCGCAGCTACGAAACGTTTCGATCAGGCTGTTTCCTGCATGTCCATCCTTCGACGACCAGAGTGTATTTGTACGCTAAGGTCACTGACGCCAAGCCGCCATGTAGCACTGATGTCGACATTAGCAAAATACGAGGGAGTAACGTATGGGCGATTGCAAGCACAATCATTCCAGCTTTTAGCAACACTGACCTCCGCATCATCCATACAACGTCATAATGAAGTCCACAATCTGTTATACTTGGAGACGGATCCGTGGAAGGCACGTTTCTACAAAAGCAGACTTGGCGTGCTCGACTAGATCTGTGTTGTATGGCATCCGCGTTGAATAGACTAAGACAAGCAGCAAACCAGACAGGAACACAGACAGCAGCAGCGATCAAAACCATGTCGCAATCACAGAGTCCAAACATCACCCTCTACACAGACGCGACGCCCAATGGCATAAAGATATCGATAGCCCTGGAAGAACTGGGTCTGGTTAGTTGAGCAAGCACCAATTCACCGTCGACTAATCACTGACTGACATGTCTTTCCAGCCATACAAGACCGAGCATGTCAACATCACGACCAACAAGCAGAAAGAGCCATGGTTTCTCGAGATCAACCCCAATGGCCGCATACCAGCCATGACAGATAGTTTCAAGGACGGCGAAACTGTTCGACTATTCGAGGGTGGCTCTATCTTGCAATACCTGGCCGACACCTACGACCACGACCACAAGATCTCCTTCCCAAGAGGTTCGCGCGAGTACTACGAATGCAACAACTGGCTCTTCTGGCAGCATGGAGGTCTCGGCCCTATGCAAGGACAAGCAAACCACTTCTTCCGCTACGCTCCTGAGAAGATCAAATACGGTATCGATCGATATCAAAACGAATCCCGTCGGCTCTACGGTATCCTTGACAAGCATCTCGCAAAGAGCAAGAGCGGATTCATAGTGGGAGACCATATCAGTCTTGCCGATATCACAAGCATTGGCTGGGTCATGTTCGCTGGTTGGGCTGGTGTAGATATCAACGAGTTTCCAAACGTAAAGAAATGGGAGGATATGATGTATGAACGACCCGCTGTGCAAAAGGGTGGAGATGTGCCGAAGCCGCTGAAGATCAAGAAGATGCTTGCTGAGGATCCCGAAGCAGCTGAGAAATACGCGAAAGAGAGCAGCAAGTGGATTATGCAGGGTATGAAGGAGGATGAGAAGAAGTCGTGAGATTGTAATTATGGACTGCTAGAGGTGACACAACGAACGTGGGTTTTCCGTGAACAAAAGCGTACTCCTCTGCTTGTTGCATAAAAATGTTGTCCCATAACCCTACCTCGCTGCCCTCGTCCTGCAAATCAAAGGCTGATAGACAAAACGGACGAATATTTGACAATTACGGTCGATTGACGGACGAGTACCAACTGTGACAAATGACCCGACACACTTGTTGAGATCGACAGTCAGAGGCAACTTATCTCTGTTGCCACGACTCACTGAGCCACGACAGTATATATACGTACTCGAGTAACGGACAAGACAATGACACGAACTCAGACTGCCGTAAACAACGCAGATCTGAAGTTCGAGAATTCAAAACCGGTTGATGGTACCTTCTTTGGGTCCCGTATTCAGTGGTGCGCTTACTAAGTACGACGAGCCCATTCAGTCTCAATCGTATGTTCAATCCATAACGATACTGTCTGCAGATTAATCATCAATGGCTATAAAGCTGGACTCTGGTCCCGCGAGCGTGGGTTGCCTTACATCTCTACCCACCACCTCTTGAACTTCCGCTCAACACCATCCGTTTTGACACTCTGCAAGCCATGGCTCCTGCTTTCCTCGTCGTTGGCGCAACCGGAAACACCGGCAAGGGCGTTGTTGAGACTCTCCCAGAATTACTGAAAGCTAGCAAGGTCTTCTCCGATCATCGCATTCTTGCTCTTACACGCTCCAAGGACAGCGCAGTGGCACAACAGATTGCAAAACTGCCAGGCGTCGAGGTTGTAGAGCAGACATGGACTGAAATCACAGCCGACTGGCTGCGTCAGAATGAGGTTGTCAGAGCTTTTATCGCATCACATAACGAGCCAACCCAATTCGCCGAAGAATCCGCATTCCTCCTCAATGCCCTAAATGCTGGTGTCGAATACGTTGTCCGTATCTCAACGACTGCCGCCAACGTTTACCCAAATTGCCAGACTTACTACCCACGCTCACATTGGGCGATCGAGGCTCTATTGAGCTCGCCGGAGTTCGAAGCCTTAAAATGGAGCTCGCTGCAGCCAAATGTATTCTTGTCCATCGTCGTGGGGCCCATCACAGAAAGCATCAAGCAATACCGAAAGACCGGCAAACCAGCAAAGGTCTCAACTATACTAGCAGCTGACGCACCTGTCGCTCCAATCGATGGTGCCGAAGTAGGTGTCTTCGCAGCTCATCTCTTGGCTCAAAAAGACATTGATGTACACAACAAGGCTAAGTATGTTCTGAACGGACCAGAGGACATTACTGGACAACAACTTGTGAAGATGGCTGAGGAGCACATGGATGCTAAAGTTGAGGACACTACGTTCAAGGACGTGTCTTTTGTCGACGCAATGGCTGCTAACAGCAAGGGATCGAAAAATCTTATCCTAAGCCTCAAGCATTCACAGGAAACCGGCTGGGCTGGAAAATGCACGGCTTCTACGACAAGTAAGGAAGTCCTCGAGATTGCTCCGCCGAAACACACGGCTGCTGAAGTTTTGGATGCAATGCTTAAGGACTGATTGGGAGACCTACCATCAACACACTACGTCATGTGGACGACATGTCGATGTGAAGGAGGAAGCCGGAGCCGCTGCCTCGCCGTCCATGAAACCCTCTTGCACGCGACTGTCTTTGCAGTATCCACCAGTAGATGACGCTCGTTGGCTACCCGTTCGCTCATACCCGGCTATTTCTCCATTGTAGGAAAGCGTTCTGCAGAAGGCATAAAAGGGAAAATTAATTGCTTACTTATATTCAGTATACACGAATCCGAAACCCCTATCTAAATCTCGTTTATCAATTATTTAGATCTATGATGGATACTATCGTCAAGTAGCCTTTTTACTTCTTGTGTAGCCCGTTAAAAAAGAAGAAGAAGTTGCGTGCTTAGGATAAAATCTCCTTTGCGCAATGCGCAAAAGACAAAGCAATATTGTATAATTCTGGGTATTCTGACGTCGATTTCGCATGATTTGGGTTCTCATTAGCTCGAGCTAGATCCACGTTCTGCTCAAGCAAACATGCCGGTGAGAACTGGATCAGAAGCGATCGACCGGTCGATTCTACCTATTGGGACTTGCTCAACGAGGAGTCAATCCCATTCCTGATCTCGCCCCCACTCGATCAAGTTTACGTACATATGTCGATTTTCAGCAGATCATCAAATGTTTCTCAGCAATTTCGTACAGCTGCGTAAAAGGACGGCGTGCAGGGTGATTCCGACATTCTCTCGTCGTTAAGATGTTCGTGGCTCTAGTTTCAAGGCTTGTGGACAAAACTTGTCCACAAGAAATATCAGTAACGTATACAGGATCAGCCACGAGTGAGGCAGGCCAGACTTGGAATTCAAAGTGCAAGCCACTGGTGCTTAGGTCCAACGATAAATAATGCACCTCTTGCAGAAGTCTACACAGTCGCCAAAATCAAAACTTTCAGATAGTCTGAGGAAGCATGGTCTTCAAGAGCAAGATGGGAACTACATCCATTGGACTAGCAATTCCCCGGACCATCCACGAAATTGGACACTCTGGAGGAAATGCTACGACACAAGCTATATCTGTGTACTCGAGCTTGTTGTGACAGCAATTGGAACGGCGGGCACCTCGGCGGCGGATGCATCATTTCAGGAGTATGACATTACAAGAGTGCAAGCTTACGCAGCTTTTAGTGCATCATATCTCATCGCTTCAGCTTTTGGAGGTGTCGTCTTTCCACCTTACTCAGAGTCATTTGGTAGAAGGGGGTTGTATATTGTGACTGGTCTACTTTTTACCGCGTCATGTGTGGTTACTGGAGCGGTACACTCGCTTGTTGCCACTTGCATCTGTCGCATCATTCAAGGATGCCTGTCGTCTGTACCAGCAATGGTTGGCGTAGGGAGTGTAGAAGATATGTGGAACAATCGGCAACGTGTTTGGAGTGTCTGGGCCTGGACGACTTGCTCTAACGTTGGGCTCGTGCTTGGCCCGATATATGGTGCATACATTACTGCATACCTGAACTGGTACGTTAGTCTCCCATTCGGGCGGCTGCTTTCTAACTCATAAGTAGGCGTTGGTCATTTTATATCGCTACCATCGTTATGGCCGCCCTCACTGTCGGATCCTTCTTTGTGCAGGAATCCAGACCGACGCGACTGCTGCAGAGGAAGCTGGAGGCCATTCGCAAGGAAACTGGACACGATGAACTACAGATCCGCAACCCTGACCATTTACCGACTGCTCAAGAATTCATCAATATTGCACTATTGCGTCCTTTGAAATTATTCTTCACCGAGCCAATCGTCTTCTTCTGCTCGGTTATGATCGGGATCGCCTTCGGGTTAATTTATGGCCTCACGGAGTCTTTGACCATTGTCTACGAGGAGTTTGGCTTCAGCACGCAAGCAACCACACTCCCATTTATCGCAATACTTGTGGGCCTGCTACTTACCGCCTTTTCGCGTTTGTACGACCTGCGAGTTCTCGGCCAGCTTGCTCAGGATAATGCGACAATCGATCCTGAGGCCAAGATCCGACCTTACGTGACTGCAGTTGCATCCCTCGTCATAGGGCTATGGTGGTTCGCGTGGACCATCCCACCCCGTGCATATACTCACTGGATCGTTCCGACGATATCTCTTGTCCTCATCGGTGTCGCTGCAAATGACTTCGACACAGTGTTATGCGGCTATCTCTCGGACGCATACACCATCTATGCGTCTTCTGCATTTGCTGCAGTCGCAGCATGCCGGGCATTGGTTGCTGCCGGGTTCGCGCTGTGGACGTATCCTATGTATACAAACCTGGACCCGAACATAGCAACTTCGATCCTTGCTGTCATTTCGACTATCTTTGCTGTTACACCTTGGATATTCCTCAAGTATGGAAGGCAGCTTAGGGAGCATAGTGAATTTGCCAGATATAGTACTAGGATGGAGAACAAGACATCTCTAGAAGCAGGTGCTGTGGGAATGACAGAACTAGACTCATACTCAGCGTGATCACTTGGATTAAGAGCAGTCGTTGGGTTAACAGTATTCAGACTTAAGGAACATAGATCGTTACAATATCCTTGCAATAAGTCATTGTGTAGAGTGATCCACACTGAAGTCACTGCGGATGCTTGCGCGGCTGAAGCTCTTGCTGTTCCTAACGAAAGCACATGCACCAGCTGAGAACACAATGTACTCATGTTGCCTGAGGCATGAAAGTTTAAGCTAACGAGTTTGATTGGTGCACGGTTCTCTGTTTCGGGCTCTGATGCCTCAGGCAAGAAGAATGAGCTGTGTTCTCCGATGGAGATGTCACAAGCTGAAGCTGGAGATATCGAAGGCAGAAGGAGTTAAGAAACTCAAGAGCTTTTTGTTCGAGCGGAGGCAATGGCAACTTCCTGACGAATCACAAATACTTTCGGACTCGGTTCGTTTCTGATGCGAATGAATCCGGATCGACTTTGGTCGGCGATCCGCTTTTCTGTCATTTCCATCCTTGTCGGTCGAAGAAAACGTCCGAACGGTTCCTCGTGCGTAAAGGTCACGAAATGCCCCAAAATCTGACAGTGGCGGTCATTTGACCATGAGCACATGGGATGTCTTTCAAGCTACCAGTATTTCGTAGGTTTAGAAATCGTGCTCAAACGTGTCAGAAACAGAATTGTAATCACAAACGAAGCAGCGCTCAATGAAGTCAGGCAGGGAGGGGAATGACTCCGCTGCTTATGAATGCATTCCAAGATCATCACGATGGCTGAGAAATCGGAATACGAATTCGGCCGTCGCACGCGAGTTTTGCGAAATGGATACTTTGTACGGCCCCGAGCGATTGAAGTCCACCAAAGTCATCTTGATTGGAGAGCACAAATGCGAAAGCCGGAAATAAACGAAACCGAGGAAGCTTAATAATTTTTTGGAAACCATGTTCGTTGATTGTTGATGCTCATACCTTGTGGTTGACAAGGGAGCTGACTATCCTAACTGATGTACAATATCTTGTAGAGTTGAGTCCTAGCTAAATAGTGTTTCCAAGGCATTGTACCCGAACCGTGATGGGTCAGATGAGAATAGATGGCTTCAGGCTGGACTAGGCCACGACTGCTGAAGTTCCAAACATATTCCCAAATGAGCATTCAGATCCTGTACAATGCGATTGTAACCTCTTCATTCTTTCCGTGCAGTAAAAACCAAAATTGTGTCGTAAACAACCACCAACGCCAACGCTCATAAAGTCGCTCAAGAATATCGCTGAAGTTGAAAACCAAGAAACAAGAGCCAGCCAACCCGACTTTAATAGGCGGCGATTATGGTTGGCTCCTGATTCGAAGGTAGGTAAAATCCTTCAGGGATGTCTTGTGTGATCTCTTTTGTCGATGGAAAGAGCGACTGTTGTGGCTTGCTTGTTAGGTCGTCAAGCGACAAGTTTGGTGGAGATGGTGGCATATGCTCGTCTTCTGACTCCGAGTCTTCATCAGCGAGAAGCTCTGGTGGTGAGTGTCTTGAGACAGTTCGTGTGAGAGCAAGGGAGTTGTCATCTTCATCGTCAATCTCCATGTCGTCGACTATTGGTCTGATCTCCTCCTCGTAATCTGATTCGTCGCTGTTGGCTGCATCCTCAGCTTCCCAGTCGGCCTCGGGTTCCTCCACAATAGTTTCCTGGTAGGAGATTTCCTCCTCTTCTCTTGCACCAGATAAAGACTTGTTGAACCACCGCTCCTGCTCTTGCTCTGCGTTGGCAAGGTCGATCATTAGCGAGTCGAGCATGTTGGCGTGACCAACCAAGAGTCGCAGGTTGTGGTCACCCTTAGCAGCTTCTCGTGATAGTTTTCCACGAGCGCTGTGAGCGAGGAAGTAAGTCTGTGTGATGCTCATCTTTTGCTTCTTCTGTGATGTAGAATAGATTGATGATCTTCGGTGTGAAGTTGTAGCCTCCGCTGCAAACGAGATTGAGGGAGACATTTTATTTGTTGGTTTGGCAATTTTTGAGTCACTTTGGTATCGATGGGGCTTGTGTTAAGTGGGTCTTGGTAAAGAATTTGTGTCGATGATATTGTTGGCTCTGGTTTGGTTCTTGTTCTTGTTTGCTTTGTCAAGTTGATGGTGGGAGAAAATATTGCTACAAGGCCGGACAGGTTAGGTATACTTGTATTCGCAAAGAATGCCAACCCATGTCGCTGATTCGGCCAGGGCGGGCTTAACGTTTCCTGCAGACTCGGATGTATCGTCAGCCCGCGCCCTAACGACAGAGGTGGAGTCGGGTTTTACAAAGCACAGAAGCACCAAAGAGTCACAAGTCGCGTCAGTGTTTCGGTGGATCCATGGCTGCTCGGCCGCGAGTCCAAGTTGCTGACGTTCGCCCTTTTTGGTTGTGCCTGCCGTACTCGCTTTGGTGCGCATTCCCCAATTGCAACGTCTCCTTACTAGCTCCAGGCAACGAGCTTTCGGCCGTCTTCGTCCCATGGACAATTACCAGAGTAGCTCAACCACGCGACAGATCTTCACGATATTCCCTTTCCGATTACCATGCAAGTATGCGTCCACGGACCCGAGAGACCTTTCTTTCAAGTTACCACTTCGTTATGTCCCCGAATCATTCGCTGCAGTCATTACGACATGTTCATGTCAGTCTACACACATTCGTAAGCACTACGCATTTACTGTCAGGAAAATGACTGGACCTCTGTCCAATTGTAACCGATGTTTGAGACGACTGGAAATCAGCTTGCAGTACTACTACCATATGCTCAAACAGTTTCACTGTCCATATGGTTTCGCGGCCTAACGACGATGCTCCATGCATGGCACGCCTATGTCAAGTGCTCTTATTGGAAGACCGGTCCCAGCTAAGGAGCTTCACCTACAGCAGAATGCGTGTGTGCGCCTGCGTATATCCGGGGCTGATCACGATTTACGAGTATCGTTCCTGCAAAGACCTTTAGTGCATCAACCATTTGTGGCTAGCCTACGTCTATCGACCAGGTTACTGCTGACATATGGTGGACTTATTGGCGGTCAGTATTTCCAATTCGTCCTCGATCATGCTTGCCTGATGAGTAACCATTTGACAAAATTGATTTCCAATGCCCATCTGACTGTATCGCACCGTCTGGCACACCTGCCCGAGTAATCCTCTTCATGTAGCTCACTTCCACGTTTTGTTCGTGCATTCCAGCTACGGCTCACCGTTCTGAAGCACATCACTCGCGAATCGAGCTATCTGGTGGAAAATATGCTCTATGAGGAGCCACCAGATACCTAGCAATTTTATTGGCTCGAAATCATGACAACGTTTTGAGGCTCATCAGAATACTCGTAACGAATACGAAATGCACCCAGCCAAGCCTCCGCATGTCGCAGTAAAGAGTTACTATGCACATGAATGAAGGAGGCTTGCACGTCTCGGCACAGACACATGGTCCTCAAGGCATCTTCGTTTCGATGACTGGCATGTTTAAGCCACGGTTGCACTTCGCAAGCAGTTAATCTGGCTGCCTGAAGCAAGGTGCGGAGTCATGGTGCGACTGCAAAATCCGGTACGGACGAAGATTGTCCCTTGTTTGTGAATGAAAGCATAATTTCGACTACCCCACTCGGCGGGACGATAAAGCCCGACTCACTGATCCCAAGGTCCGTGGTATCTCCAATTGAGCTTCGGCCTCGGGCCCGTACGTCGATCATCTATCACGATCTATAACAATAGCGACGAACTGGTGTTCACCTATTCTTCAAGCAAGAGTTGTGTTCGCGTGGATTGCCAATACTTCGGGCACCGACTTTCTTGAGGCACTATTATTGAGCGTCTTTCTGTTCAGTGGCTATAGTCACCGACCAGCTGTTTCGACTCCGGCCAGTTATAGAGTGCACTGACTTTGAGCAGAATATCTTCGTAGTCGGTGAGCATCTGTTTAGCAGGCATCCATGCTAGTCTGTCATGTATCAAGTATGGTATTGCGTCGTTTTTCAGTCAGTGCTCGTCTCATTCAGAGGCTCATGGGACAGTAAAGCTTTTACTAATCAGAGGAATTCTTCTGAGGTGAAGAAGCCTCGGAAGTTCGTTACGGAGCAGCACGTGCAGGATGAACACGAGGTTGTATCAAAAGGATCGCTGCTGGAGAGCAGGATCAAGAGTCATGCTCGCATCCCTGTGCCATTCAGGGAAGTCTTCTCGAATATCTAACCACGCTAACGTCTCTAGTGCTAGTTCCTATTCTTAGTAACTGTTCATGCATAAAGTAGCATCAAAAAGTGATTACATGGAATGCTCAGAACTGGCATTGTTTCCCCGAGGTATCGATATGCGTACTACTGCTTCTTTGAAAAGGCAAACGTCAACAATTCGTTGTCAAGTGAGCTTAGGTCCTCAATCTTTGAATGCAGCTTTCACGAGTCAGAGTGATGGGCTATCTCAACCAACCGATCGAACCCTTCCAAGTACATCAGGGCTTTCCAATCATCTTCTCTTGTCTGATGGACCAGGAGCCTTGTCAAGATTTTACTTCACTGCTGGACAACGGTGTACCCATTTGGCCATTCGTGTAGGTTGCTGGACAAGCTTCCGGGCTGAAGCATTAGGATGTTTGACGAGGTTGTCGAGCCTGGCATTCGACGAATGGAACCTGGCTTTGAGGTAAGTTCATCATTATACCGATGTGGCTACATCACGAAGCAATTGTTCTTATCCACGTTCTGGAGGAACGATCAAGCTTCGGTGTTGTTAAAAATGGCGGTCGATCTAGGACGACCTTGCTCACAGTCCTACAGCTTTTGACTGATACAGATCGTTGGTTCCACTGCTTCGCTTCATGCGAAAGCAAGAGAAACCCTGAGAGCTCACTGCAGGAGAAAAGGAGCAGATTGGGAAATAGACCTCTGCGCCTTCAAGCCAGACCACATCGAAGAATGCTGGCCATTGTGACCAAACACACAAAGTCGTGTTCTTGTCGCTGATACCCACTGTCCTGACAAGCGTCCATTGCATCGGAATTTCGTTCTTATCTTGAGATGATCCGAAGTTCTGATAAGTCGTGTGCACGCATCTTCGTGGTGCATTCTTGTCGCGTGAAGTCGCGTAAAGTGCTTGCCAAAGTGGCATTGTGGGCAGAAAAATGCCGGTCGCCCCATATCTGAATGTGGTTGAGCGGCAACATTTCTCGCGAAGTGGTCCATGGACTAGCAGAACCGCCAGTCGTTGAATTGCTGGGCGCTTCTGGGCGCGTTGCTATTTTTGCAACAGCGGCTCGCCTTCCAATTACAATCCCTGTCACCGCCAACACTGGCTTCTGATCCAGTTAGACAGCTTCGTTGCCATGTTCCTGCAGGCGTGTCGCTGTTCCTCTTCCCTTCCTACAATCACATTGGATCAACATCGTCGAAGCCATACTTTTTGTGGCTCACTTGCATTTCATGTGTAGACTATGGACTCCTGCCCCCATTGTGTTGGCCAATGGCACATCAACACTCTCTGCAAGTTCCCACGAGAACTTCCGGAAGTGTCAAGTGCTACTGAAGCAACTCATGATTCCAAGCCTACTCTGACGAGTAAGCAAAGCGCTTCTGCAATGCGGAACATCTAGGTAAATCAGTTTCGTGCCGTCCTGCGTTGCTCGTCGTTGTCTCTGTTCCCCAACCCGTCTTGCTGTCATTGCTGGTCATTGTCAGTTGCCTTTCGTTGACTTACGACTTTAATACCCTTTCCGTTGATCGGACGACTTCGATCTGTTACGAGTAACGCTCCCAATATCGCTTAATTTCAGAACAGTACAGATGAACCAAGGACGATTGAATACCTCTGGCAGGAATACGACTTAAACAGCGCGGAAAAAACATAATGAGCTTTCTAGCACCCACGACTTATACAGCTCCACCACGGCTGGGCCGCGGACGACCATTGAAGACGATATCGGAATATGAGGAATGTAATTTTGGCTTAAAGAGCGACAGCGAAGGAGATGATAGTGACAGGACAATCATCGCGCGACCAGCTGGTTTGGACGCAAGACTTGCAGCGGCGAAGTGCGGGCTTTCAGGCGCGAGCAATAGTACGGCCTCGTCGCCGGTCGCGTCCTCACCTTGCAGTGAAGGAAGCAGTATCGACGAAAGCATACAGCAGCAAGGCGGTCGCTTCTCGTTAACAGATAGCGATGCTGGCACAGTCTTCAGCGAAGATTGCCCCTCTCTGGCTGGGTCGAATGACACAACATTTTACACGAACTCTAGCCGCAACAGTACTTCCAGTGATCAGAGTGGTCGCGCTACTCGGAATCGATATCCCGGCATCCTTATACCTCGTGACTCATGGATTGGGGAGAACATTATCAAGGAGGTGACTCTGGGTATGTCTCCCGCGCAGAAAATTCTACTTTCGCCTCAAGCGCTTTCCGCCCTACCTCAGAATGTGCCGGCTCTGCATGCACCACCATCTTTCGGTGATAGAAGCAGTATAGCATCGAACTCACCAGCAATCCCTGCCATCAGTAGCGCACCAGTTACCCCAGATCATCAGAACAACATTCCTGCACCGGGCGCTGCTTGGGGCGCAGGTGCTGCAGCTGAGGATGCACTACCACTGCAAACGCCCATCGAGATCGCCATTGACGAGCACCATAGCATTTTGGTTTCACCACGCGAACCACAGTATCCGTCTGAGAGAGGGTCCACCGACTATTCTACTGATTGGAGCGACATCGTGGTTCGATTCCCACGAATTCCAGGCGCTACACCACAGGAGACCACACCTGTTGAGCATGACCTGAGCGATTTGAGAGGTTTCAATGTCCAACCTTCTGAGCACGGAGTTCAGTTACCGACGGATGCGATGAAGCTTTTACACGACTTGACACGATCGTATAGCCCAGACTCCATATCTCATCAGTCCGGCACCTCTCGAGCCAAACAGGAGATGCGAGAACGTAGCGATGCAGGGAGTCGACCAAGGAGTGCCAGCGCTGTGCCCGAGACTCCTACCTTTTCGGACTATAGCTTTTCGCAACTGAGTATACCTTCTCCTGGTGGCTTCTTCAGCTCTCTCCAGGCAAGTAGTCGTGCGACTTGGTGCTTCCCAGCTCAATCGCGTGCACCCAGTATGCCGTCTTCTGCCGTTGCAGAAAACTTTTATGAGCTACCATGGGGACGCACATCCACCACTATTGAAACAATTCTCGAAGTACCAGATCGAGAGCTCACTGATGGCCCTCCGACTGCACGCCAGACCGAACTAGGCGTCCCTGATGAATACAGAGCAGATTCAGAGGAGGACGATGATCTGTACGGCAGCCATGAGTCAGTCCAGGTGCCAGCCCCACAAATGAGTCCTGGGATGCGCTACGAATACGACGACGCATATGAAGACGGATTGAAGCAAGCAGCCGAAGTCAACATCGACCGTACTGGTGATTGGTTATCTGCACAGACATCATATATGTCTGCTCTGAGGGAGAGTAATCCCATGAATGACCCAGCAGACTATATTCCACAAACCCCACATCCACTCAATGACAGTCCTATCGACAACGGAGAATCGCCTGCAAGAAAAGCGGTAAGATTCCTTGAGGAAGCCATCAATGTATCAGAGAATACGGTCACCAAGAAGCAAATTATTGCTGATATTGAACCACGAGATCGTGTCTTCTTGCAAGCATTTGAGAATTGCTGCTCACAAAAAGGACGAAAAGATACCTTCCTTCAGGGTACTTCACGTCTCGAGTCCGTTAATAACTCTCGGCTGACCATGCCGTTGCGCCATGTTCATACACTACTGAACACCCATACCACAGAGACTTTGCAGGCACATAACCGGCCAAAGTATCGAGGACCCTTTGGTCAGAACCCACGCGCCACAGGAAATTTCCAGAAGACGCCTGAGCAGATCCTTTTCGCGGAAGCTGAACGCAAACAGCGTGCGGTCGAGCACATTCTGCCTACGATGTGGTCCATCGAAGCACAGCGCCAAGTACTTCACAAAGGATACCTCTTCGCCTGCCCGGCAGCTGTGACTCGTCTAGCTTCGGAATCTAGCCGACCTCGTCGAGTGCTGGACCTTGCTGGCGCTGCCACCGGCTCTTGGGCTTGGTTAGCCGCTCGAAAATGGGCTAACGCCGAAGTCGTCACCGTGCAAACAAGAACTCAGGCCCTGCTTGCCTCTCAGTGCATGTGTACTGCAACAGGCAGTACTGCTCCTATTAAAGCAGAAGGTCCATCAAATCACAAAGTCATCACCGTTCCGGCGTTGTGGAAACTGCCATTTAAGGATAACTCCTTCGATGTTGTCACAGCACGAACACTGCACATGTTCCTTCGCTCACGACCAGTACCTGAAGTAGTGTCAATCAACGAGTGGGACTTAACACTCAAAGAGTGTATGCGTGTTCTCAAGCCAGGTGGAATCCTGGACTTCGTCTTGCTCGATTCCAAGATCGTCAACAACAACAGCGAGAACAAGAGTAAACACAGTCGCGACAATAGCGAGGAAGCAACAGCCAGTATAAGTCCAACAGCTGCTTATGGTCAGGGCCTCACTTCACCACCACCCACCGCAACCTTTGCTGCGACTACGTCGCTCCTCAACCCACCCAAGATCAATTTCGGACGTGATCTGAGCAAGAATGGCTATGATGCTGATGGTGGCTGCTCCAAGATCGCGCAACGTCTCGAAGATGCTGGTTTCACAAACGTCAAGCGACAGTGGATTGGTCTACCATTAGGACGGACAGGTGCAACACATGACAACGTTGCAGCCAGTTACGAAATCTTCGATGCAGCAGCCGCAGCAGAGAGTAAGACGAAAGACGCCCAAGCAGGTCTTCAGCGCAGCAAGATTGGGTCAGTTAATCACGCCAATGGTCGCTCACGGACACCATTCCCTCCTGCACCAAGACCAATCTCCGAGGTATCAACCATTTCTCGTATTCTCGAGCAGTACTCCAATGTAGAAGCAGTACACGGTCCAGTAGGTAGCACAGCAGAAGTGTCTGATATTGCTGGTCTCCTCGGCACAATGATGTGGGAGGAGTGGCTTGTCCGACACCGACTAGAAGTCCTCAATGGCCGATCGAACATTAAGAGAAGAGACAACACCGAAGCCGTCGACCCAAACTTCGAAGCCACCAACCTCCTCTATGGTATCAACGACGTCCTCGCAGCCGGCTACGACAAAGGCGCCTGCTTCCGTGCCGTCGTCGGCTGGGCCAGAAAGCCCCGAAGAACTGCCCCATCCCAACCTCAACCTCAACCTCAACCTCAACCTCAACCACAACCACAACCACAACCAAAACCACAAGCAAAACCTCGATCTCGACCTCGACTTCAAATGGCCCAGCAACACGTCCCCTTCACAATCAAAACCAGCCCAAGCACATCTCAATCCCACCGTGAAAGCAGCTACCACAACCGCGCCGCCAGATTAGCTCGCTCCAACCCCATTTTCGACGGCTACCCGCCCGACGAAACGCCCACGACCGCGAGCACGATGACACCCCTCGCCCACCAGTATTACGCACGAAGCTCCAGATTGCAGTTCCATACACCGATAGAGCAGGTCCGGCAGGATCTAACGCTTGATACAAGAGGGATTGATCCGGGAAGTCATGGTAGTCCGCAATTTACAGAGAGCGCGGTTGAGCGTGGTGAGGTCGGGACGATCCCGATGATGATTGTTGAGTAAGTAGTGTACGGTGGGAGGTGGAGTTTATGAACTGGTCATATAGTTCGTGCTTTTCTGTACGTTAAATATGTCCTGTTTTTGTCTGCTCGTTCAGCGAATTCGGTTAGCTTCTACAGCGTCTCTTGTCGTTACAGGTTGTCAATTAGCAAGCGATACTGAGTGCACCACGAGTCTGATCACTTAGTCATGGGTGAAGGATACAAGGCAGAAAGCAAAGGAAATGAAAGGAGAAACACATACATACCAAAGCATAGCGAAGGAGTTTGATTTGATTTGAGATATACAGCACTATAGTTGAGTCTAGTTTAGTTGGACCTGATCTAGGCCGCTCAAATCAGTGGCGTAACGGAGATACCCCTAGATGCTGTGAGGCGATAAGAGTCAATTGGTATTGTTGAGGAACTGGGGCGAATATATGATATTTAGTGAGTAAGTCTTACATCGGTGCTCTATCAGTTCTGTTCTTTTGGTTTATTGGTATTGCAAACATTTCTTCAGAGATCGCCCTTATCCTAAGCTGTCCTGTCCTGGCCTGGCCTTCTACCTGAACGCCTTCCTAGGAAAACAGTGAAATATCCTCAGGTCTGGCACCTAGTCTCTTGACTTTCGAGATCGCATAGCAGGCAAACCTGTGCTCGCCTCTTCCGATAAATAACCTAGTCTAAGTCCTGTATATCGGCAATGTCGACTCTGTTTTCTGTCTTGAGATCGCTAACGAGCAGCTTTCTGCTGTCCCTGTTGTCCGCCCAGTTCTTTAAACTGCCTTGACAGCAATCCATCTCCCACTTCAGGCGGTATAGGAGAGAAGCTCCGTATCGAGCCACCACCACTAGGCGGTGAGCGCCACGGTATTGGTGAACTTCGTATTGGGGTCGTTGTGCCGAACCCAGTCACAGGGGATAAAGCTCGCTCAGGCTTATTGGTATTGCTGGGTGTTTGTGGCCTGGATATGAGGATTTCAAAGGGGTTTTGGAAAGGCTCGTGGAAAGAATTGTCGTTCACGATATTGCGTGGTTTTTGTTTGTTTTGTATTGAGGTAGTGGGAAATTCGAAAGGTGGTGGCGATCGTCTCCGACCAGCTGGCTTTTCTGCAGGCGTCGGTGAAGCCGGGATGGCCGAGGGTACGAAGTCGTCCATATCACCAAAAAATTGGGGTGAGTCAACCTCGAAAGCACTGCCTACAAGCGTAGTAGGTGTATTCTTGAGTGCTTCGGTGACTGGATCTGACTTGCTCGGCTTCCATGTGCTGAACTTGGGATCCGGCAGTTGCACCTCATTCTCAAGTTTTTCTTTTCCATCTGGGACACGGTTGGCAAACACAACTCGTATGTTGTCATAGAGATAGTAGCGATTTTTGGCTGGACAGCAGAATCGGATGTGCACGAGATAGCGCAGAATATGCTTGTTTTCCAAGGGATCAACGACAACCTGCTTGTTGCCTACAACATTTTCCACCACTGGTCCTGAGGAGTAACTCCTTTGTCGAACAAACGTTTTGGTTCCTGCCTCCATACCAGTAAGGTCGTACGGGACAAGGAAGAGCTTTACAGCAGTCTTGTTTGGGTTCTTGATGATGATCTGTAATTGACCTTGTTGAGGTATACGATATGCGCCGCCAACATGTAACTTAGATGCATCCAGTGGCACAGATTGAGTAGCCGGAGTAGCTGTTTCGTTCTGGTGGTCCATAGCGTCTCTGCTAGATATATCCTTCTTGGTCTTCTTGGTGGCCAGAGTGACATGCTTCAGATTGTGATTCAAATCGACTGTGCCAACATAAGGGCTAGGAGTATCATCAGACACGGATCTATGGTCAGAGGAAGATGGGTAGCTGTAAAAGACTGCAGGGAAAGGGACGCTGACATGAGCTGGGCACTTCAAGCTGGCGGGACAATTTCCTTTGCCCATAACACCGATCTGAGCGACAAAGTCTAATGGCTTGGACGGAGGTGTTGACATGCGACCTCTGAGTATGGATTCCTCAAATGAGCCGATCATTGATTTTCGGCGCCTCGAACCGCCTTCGGATGTCATCGAAGGCCTGCGGCTGTGTGCCAATGGTGTCTGAGGGTTTGACCTGGGTTGATATGTAAAGGAAGACAACGAACGTCGTGTGGCATGACCATGTAAGGGTAAGCTTGCTTCTCGCCTGAGAGCTGGCGCGAAAGGTCGACTGAAATTAGGAGGTGTCGCCTCTATTGGGGTCATAGTAAACGAAGTGAATGAGCTAGGAGGCATAGTACGCCTCCTAATACTGGTATTCTCGCCGGAACCAACATGATGTGATAAACTTTGTCGGTGTGAGCGTGTATCGACATCCAGATGACTCGTGGCTTGCACCAATGGACTTGTAGGTGTTCTCATGACGAAGCTGGAGGAGAGACTGCTTCCTAGGGAGGGAGCTCTTCTTCGAGGAGCGATAGTGGGATTGAGCTGACTGAGAGTCCGAACGTGAGACATGGCGTCATGAGCCGTGAGCCTGGGACTATCGGCAAGCCAGGATGGAGGAGAATTATCGACGCTGGTGGTAGAGATAGCCAAACCAGGCTGGCGTGTAGGGTCCGACCAAAAGTCCGAGACTTCTGCAGAGTCACTGTCTGCAAAATTGCCCCTATGCAATGCTGAACGTGGTCGTTCGATAGGATCTATCTGTAGTCTCAGCTCCTCCTTCTGCCCATGCTGCTGGGTTTCGTTGATAGCTGACGGGTCAACCGACACAAAGCAACTGTCTGCTTCCTTGTCCCTGTCTGTCGACCTGAGCCTCCTCTGTTCAACCATAGCATCTTCCTCGTCACGTAATGCCTGAAAGCTAGATTGGGGAACCCAGTGTGGCCGTTGACCTCGTTTGATACATTCCATAAGCTCCTCTCTGCTGCTGGTCCGGACGACCTGGGAAGGATACTCCGTTTTCTTCTCTTCATCTCTCTCGATTGATTCGTGAGTAGACGCTCGATCGAGCTGCCACTGTTCGTCGGCCATCTCGTCCTTCACATGCCTCGCCATAGTCGAGATAGTGGGTAGTCTGTCAGATAATTTCCTTCTCTTGTTTGGGGGACTACTGCTGTCATTGCTTTCGAAAACGAATGGCATGCTCCGATATCAACAGTGTCCTTGGACACGTAGGAGGATCTTGAGCTTGGGTAGTCAGCTGGTCAAGCCAAATCGGCATGAAGGGTGAGCTAGTCAGTGGAGTCATATCGGTATAAGATTCAAAACGTTTGAAGTTGTTGCTGTATCGAGTCAATCAAGCTGAAACATGGCGGTAACGAGAGACGACGAACGGAGCAGAGCGAGATAGCCAGAGATCACAGTCAAATAGCACATGGTTAGCAGAGAAGCAGAGTCATCATTGACGTCGAAGACGAAGGCCGAGGGCGTGACGAGAAGAAGCGGGAGCCAAGGAGCAAGAGTAGGTGCGCGTCCGTGTGGTCGATGGGGTGTTCACACTGCAGGTTCAGGTGCTGTCATCCGACCACTGACCGCTTTGGCCATGGTCGAGAATAATTGAAGGCGCGAGTGGGGCACGCTTGGGCGCGATAGGCGTGCCTAGAAGACCCACCTTATGGTGCGTGCATGTCCAACGAGAAAACCTGCACCATCCATTCCGCGGTCTCCGGCAACAATTCGAAACAACTATCCGTCGTATTGCTTTCTAGACTGTCGAAGCAGTTAAGTCACAATGAGCAAGCGAAAGAGAGAAGATACCGGCGACGAGAGATCGGAGAAGAAACAGCGCAAGGGCTTCAGTGTCGGACCAGCTAATCTTCCTGACGGCACCTATCGTCGCAAAACGCAGAAGATCAAGGAGGATTTGATCCAGAAGGCAAAAGTGAAAAAGTCATATGCAAAGTTGAGATCACACAAAGATGGGCAGGAGGAACCTGTAGCCAAGTACGACCCGTATGCTGAAGCTGAAGACCCAACTCGTTCTATAGCGCTCGTTCCGCAGTCTGCAGAAGAAGATGAAGGTACGGCGATACCCGAGAAGACTGGAGAGATTCACCCACAGCGTCAGGCGATGTTAGATCAACCGGAGCGACCAGAGCCGACTCACTCGCAAGGTAGACGGCGAGAGAGGAAACCTCGAAGAGAAAAAGATGGCAGCAATGCTAACCATGAAGCTATTGCGGAAAGAAAAAGGGATATCAACAAACCAGCCAGATACAAGAAAGAGTTTGCTCAAGCCGACGAAAGGAAGGCGCAAGAAGAGGCCAGGCAGATTGCGCGTGCACAAAGAGAGAAGGAGCGGAAGGCGTTGATCAAAGCACGCAAACCTGGGAAGGATGGCAAGATCAAGCTTGGGAGACAGAGCGACGTCCTGTTAAGTCGAGTGCAAAGATTGACTGGGCAGGCTTAGCTACTTCGTGGGAAGGAGCGCGGCGTTTTGGCGTGCCTTCATCCTTGAATTATCGATAGCCATAAATAGGCTATAGAACTACAAAACTTTCTGCATTCGAATCTTAGCTGTTCAGCCCACCAAAGCATTTGTTGTTACGGAACTGTCTTTGAGCTGAAGAAATCGTTGCTATTCGCGCTAGCTGAGATGCGAAATCATAACACAAAACATCAATTACCTATCACGTATATCGCCACCACCATGCAATTGCAACGCCAAAACTCCGTCCGGGATGCCAGCGCTTTTGCCCATCTTTCCGTACGACTAAGGAATATCGAACAGTGGCTTGAGCTTCTTGATCAGGTTCCACTCCTCCTTCGAGACGTCATCTCTGTAGAATTCCTTGAGTGTGTCAATCGACTTGCGTGAGATGAGTGAATACAGAGTGTCTTTCTCTTCGATTTGACGCCCATAGAGTGGCTGATTAGGTCCTTCGATCTTGACGGCAACCGATGGCTGACCTCTTTTGCATAGTGGAATGGCCTTGTGTTCCCGTTCAATCGACGTTCTATCAAGGGTTAGCGATGCACTTTGATAATCTTTAGAATCACTTACACTCTACCAAGGCTGATGATTTCCTTGACGTTAGTCACGGGGTTGTTCTTCACCACCGCAATCGGAGTCAGAGGGCGGAGAGTGCCGTCGATCACGTCCAGACCAATGACAATAGGGTCTTTCTTGTTGAACACTTGAAGTGGGTTGAGAACACAAGGGAAGACAGCCTCAAGCTTGCTTTCCTCCTTCTTCTGTTCCCTCAACTGTGCCATATGCTTGGTGAAGTCGTCGAACAAGTGGTAGATAATGTCAGCTGTGAAGATCTTAATGCCTTGTTCTTCAGCATATGCTACAGCTTCTTTGTCAACTTTGACATCGAAGCAAAGCATTACTGCGAATTGCTTGGCTTTTTCCAACATTGTACCTGCCATCATGACATCTCGTTTGTAGACGGGGCCAATCGAAATGTTGGCTACTGGAATCTTCGACTGCTTCAAAAATTCCAGGAGAGCTTCGAGCGAACCTAGAGTCGATGCTTGCACACTGACACCACGGTTATCCTTGGACACCTTGCCGAGCAGGTTTTGCAGGTCGGCCATAACCTCGTCTTCTAGCTCCTCCTCGTCATCTTCTGGTCCGACCACCATCAGTCGAGATCCAGCAATAGCGCCTTCGAGCTCGTTGGCTGCGATCTTGACACCAAGCGCAGCTTTGACCTCTTTGTTGTGCACATATTGCGACTTCAACCGCAATTCTCTGAGTGGTGCTGGTGTTAGTAAAGCTCGGATGTTAGTCGTGATCGCGCCGTTCAGGCCACAAAGAACTATGCGGTCTCCTTCTCGTAAGATGCCGTTAGAAAGAACCACATCGATTGTGGTGCCAAGTCCCTCAATAACCTTGACCTCAAGAACGGTAGCCTCGACCTCGGACAGATACATAAGACTGCCTGTCATACGCTCTTGCGTTAACTTGCAAATCAGTTTGAGCATGTCTGGCACACCTTCTCCTGTATGTGCTGACGTCGGCACAAGCGATACGTATTTGGCCATGTTCTTGTTCTCATAATAAAGCTCGGCATTGAAACCTTGCTCAGCAAAGGCAAGTTTAGTACGCTCGAGCCTGTCCTTGAATTCGTTTTGCACGCCCTTGTTCTGCATAGCCAGCGATTCTTGGAAGCCATTGTTGTCGATCTTCTTCCAGCCGTAGAGACGATCGATCTTGTTGAGGGCGACAATGAACGGAGTTTTCCTGTCTCGCAGCAGTTTCATTGACTCAAGCGTCTGAGGCTCAAGACCGTGCATGATATCGACGACCAGGATAGCAATGTTGCAAAGGGACGAACCACGAGAACGTAGGTTGGAGAAAGACTCGTGACCTGGTGTATCGATGATGAGAAGACCAGGAACTTTGAACTCGAAGCTCTCATCTTTATTGACCACCGCAGTCTTTTGCTTTAATGCATCAAGAGGAAAGTAGGTGGCACCGATTTGCTGGGTGATACCACCAGCTTCGCCCTCTTGCACATTCGTTTGTCGAATCTTATCAAGCAATTTGGTCTTGCCCGTATCGACGTGACCAAGAATACAGCAAATCGGCGAGCGAAGGTTGTCTTTGCTTCGAGCAGCAAGAGCGGCTTCGTGGGCTTCATCTCGTCGCTGTTTGGCCTCTGCCTTCCTCTTCGCTGCAGCTCTTTTAGCGGCTGTCTGCGCTTCGTCTTCCGATGACTCGTCCTCGCTCTCGGTCTCAGAATCAACTGGTTTCTCGCGAACTGCCAGGGTCTTGGTATCTGCTGCAGCCGCCTTAGCGGTCGCTCCATTAGTGGCTGCAGGCTTCGCTGTGTAGCCATTGACCTGCTTCTCGACTGGCTCAGCTGCCTCATCGTCAGTCTCGGCATCCCAACTATCCTTGACATCTTCGTCGGCCTTCTGCTCCCAGTCCTCAAGCTCCTCGGGTGCATCCTCTTTGGCAGCTGCCTCGGCTTCTGCTGCGGCTTTGGCAGCCTCCTCAACCTCCTTCCGCTTCTTCTCGCGTTCGGCAGCAGCAGCCTCAGCCTCCTGTCTCGCTCGTTCTGCTGCAGCTTCGAGGTCGACCTCCTCCTTCTTTGGACCCTTTTTGCGTCGGTCAGCAGCAGCAGTCTTCTTCTTCTCCTCCACCTCAGCTCCACCAAGTCCAGCGACTGAGACGCCAGAAGCGAGCATCTGCTGCATACGCTGATCTTGCAGCCTCTTTTTCTTCTTCTCGGCCTCAGTCATGTACTTGCCCTCTTTCTTGAGCTGCTCTTTCTTCTCTTTCTCCTTTTGCTTCTTAGCCTCCTTGGCCTCCTGCCGCCTCTTCTCCTCTTCCTCCTCAAGTCGTTGTCTTTCCTCTGCCGCGGCTTTCTCTTCAGCAGCTAGACGCTCTTCCTCTTCTCGGCGAGCCTTCAGCTCTTCTTGCTGCTTCTGCAGGGCTGCCAAAGCAGGATTGAGCTTCTTCTTCTTCTTGCCATCGTCCTTACCTGCTGTAGATACTGGCTCTTCGACCTTCTCGACCTCAACTTTCTTCGCTGGTTCAGGCTTCTTCTCGGCCGGCTCGGGTGCGGGTGTGGCAGACTTCTTCTTTGCAGCCTAGAGAACGGTGGTCAGCACCTTTGGACATTGCACAATAATACACGGCGAATCTTACCTGCTCCTTCTTTCGCTGCTTTTCTCGTTCCTTCTTCTCTTTCTCTTTCTCCTTTTTGCTCTTCACACCACCTCCAGCAGCACCATCAGCAACGGAATCGTTGTCGTCAATCTCGTCTTCTTCCGCCACAACTTTAGCAGGTCCCTTCTTGTTGGCTTTGCCCTTCTTAGCATTTCCAGCAAAGATGTCTTCGTCATCGTCAAAGGTGGCCTCCTCAGGCGCTTTCTCGGCAAGAGCATCACCATTAGTGTTAGCGGGTGCTTCTCCATTGACGATGGCCGCAAGATCCTCTCCCTCGACAAAATCGTCTTCTTGCTTTCCCTTCTTCTTTCGCTTCTCCTTGTTCTTCTTCAATGCAGCAAGCAGGCCACCACTACCTGCCTGTTCCTCAGCAGCATCCTCGGGCCCAACATTTGGCTCAGGTTCACCACCATTTGTCTGTGCAGTAGTTGCATCCTCGCCTAGATCGGCTTCCCAGTCATCTTGCTGTTTCTTGCCTTTCTTTGCCTTAGGAGCCATTTCGCCGACCGTATATGTGAGGTTCTAGTTTGGAAAAGATGAATCGTTCTCTGTTGAGTGGAGGCGACATGAACAAGTTCAACGTGGACAAAAGTGCCAGGAAGACTTGCTTGATAGGCAAATTTGATGGATATGTGTATAGACCAAAAAACTTTAGGAACAATATGTTGCCATCAAAGTGCGATTGGTTCTTAGGAAACGTCTCGGGGTTAAGAGGAGTAAAGGAAGTCGTGCACGCGATAGTGGGGGTGTGTCAGGCACGATCGTCATTACGCCAGGCGGTTTGTTCTGATCAATTATACTGCTGCAGATTGGCCGCAAGAGTTTGTCACCAACGGCCACATCGTCTTGAGTATGTGGATGCCAAGACTACTAAAGTCTCCTTTCTCTGGCGCAACAGAAAGCCATGGATGACTCAGATATATCGTGGCTAACGCGAAAAGCAATTCATAACGACTGAGAACTCACGAAGATCCTCTGAAAAGTGTGAAAAGGATATGACTCTCAGAGCAGATGGATAACTGCCCCTTTTAGCATCTGAGATACCTAGAACGAGGGAACATTAAGTATCCTCCGCAACCATAGGACAACGCCATCCACAGTATCCTGTGTAACGCCTAGCACAGGGAGCGCAGCATCTTTCAGAGCGTCTAATTCATCCTTCTCCTTGATCATTCCGTCCTCGGACTTGACTGATCGTTGCAGTAAACGCTGCAAGTTATAAGGTCCAGGTTCAAGCATCGCTCTGAGCACGTCCCCACGTGCATGCGTAAGCTTGAGGCTTGGTGTTTCGTAATCAGCAGCCTCAAGCTTCCTCCTGTACTGCCGAGCAATTGAATGTGCTAGCAGACTTGCGCTTTTCGCAGCTCGATTGCGGATAGGTTCGGTCAATTCTTCGAGGAAGCTCAAAAGCTCCATCTCCGCTGGCGTCAACGTGGTGAACATGTATACTGTACCGTCGATAGTCGTACCTAAAAACCTCTCTCGTTCATCTGAGACTGATTGGAATTTTACCTGAGTTAAGCGATCGATAGCTTGCGGCACTGTCGCCTCAAAGACAGTTTCCGTGCCTTTGGTGGGTCTGTCGGCGAAGTTCAATATCCTGCTCCCGTTGTCAGATACTAGATTGATCAGAGTCGAGTTGATCCCATGTGGGACAATATTCCGGGCTTTCCCAGCATAGCTGTCACTCCCAATCAGCTTGAACTGGTCATCCTCAACTCTGAGCAGAAGGAAAGAGTGTAGGCTGGTAGCAACGTAAATAACGTTGCCTTTGGATTTCAGCTCTGTCGCTTTGGAAGGAAGCTCAAATTGGACCGGATGTAACCAGCGCTTACCACTAATGTCCAGGGTGAGCAATTTCAGGTTGCGACCTGCACATACGACCAAGGATGATTTTCCATGAGAGCAGATTGCACTTATGCTCTCATTTGGATAGTTTGCGATCAATTTAGGTGTAGTCCCAGACTTCGCCTGCGACATGCGCTTCACTGTCAGCTGTGTGAGACGGCCGTCCTTGCCAATGTCGGATCCAATGACGATCATCTCGTAATGCACCTTGTCATCTGTTGGGTGCCAGTTGAGCAGGGCCCGAACCTTTTCGCCTTTCTCGCCGAAGAAAAAGTTGCTCTTGGACAGCGAGCCCACGTTCTCGGACTGTGCATTCAAATCGTACAGCTGTAACGACGATCTATCAAGCTGCGACCCGTCTCGTGCATCAGATGTTGTCACTTTGCCTTGGTGAGATGCAATACACTTTTTCAAAGGAGCACAATAGATCAGATGCTTTGTGGTATTCGTTAGGCAAATAGGTCGTGGTACCATTGCTGTGGGACCAATACCAACGAGCAATAGCTCGTCGCCGGCAACACAAACCATAAGACCGCTAGGGTTGAAGGGCTGACGTGTTGAGAGTTTACCAATGCGATCAACAGCTTGAATCATTGGAGCTAGGTATGACGGCGAACTCTTGTCTGAGAGAATGATAGAGTCGAGCAGGTAATCGAGGCCATGAGTGTTGTGATGCAATAGTACCCGCATCAACGAGGACCCGCAACTAATGAATGCACTTCTCTCGTATTCTGTTAAAGAGCCAGATTCCACCTTAGCAGTGACAGCAGTCGAACCGACCGAGATCGATTGTGTGAATTCGACTGATATTGTCTCTTCATCGTCAATGGTCTTGATCGTCAAGTCCATGAGGAGTAGCTGTCCGTTCTTGAGACCGCACATAAGCAGTCCGTGTTCCGCCTTGTGCAGAGCTAGAACAGTAATTGAGGACAGCCTAGGTTCATCCACGTCCGTTGCAATCTCCCCGATCGAGATTGTTTTGCGATACTCGAAATGGTCGTCAGGATGAACAATGTAGAGGTGAAGGCGTCCCTCTTGCGATCCTGCAATACACAAACCGATTCCTCCTATCTCTGCAAGGGCTAATGCGACGGGCACAAAGTCTATTTGCTGTCCTTCAGGCTGTACGGTAATCTGAGGTTGCTGACCATGCTCTATGACCACTTTGCCGCTCAATATTTGCAGCTCATCACCACTGCGACCTGCCACAACGAAGACTCCACTTGAGTGAATGTCTGTACACACAATACCTCCATCAAATGGTTTCAAGACCGACGAGTCTGCTGATTCGGTAGCTACCGATGCGTGAATACTTTCGGCAGTTATCTGAATCATACCATGTTCAGGTATATTCGCTGCTGACAAGGTTTGCGCCTTGAAGCATATTTGTGGATGTGTACTGGCATCAATTGAACTTAGTTCTCCAGAGATGACATCGTAAGAAATAGCAGTAGTGTGCTCGTGATGTGAGGCAAGCAGCAAGAGTCGACCTTGTTCCACTTTAGTCAGTGCCCAAATACGGTCAATAGTGGTTGCTTCGTCGTGTTTGATGGTAAACTCGATTTGCCCTTCCAGACCGTATCTGAGCTCAGTCAGGGTTGCGCGACCTGATTGAACTCCAGTAGCTGCTACAACGGAGCCGGACGTGCTGGAGCGGCTCTTTGGTTCAACAAAAACCAGGTCGTTGAGCGGACACCAGTTTAAGATGGTTTGCAGTAGCATTGGAGCCTGCTTCGCGGCTAGATGATAGACACCACCTTCCGTCGTGTCGCCACAAGCGATCAGTATGTCGCCTCCCATAGTGGGTGGAGCGGAGAGGGTGCAGACAGCTGTGTCCACATTGATACGAAGGTGGCCTGGCTCGAAAGTGATAGAGTTGCGGGACTCGAGCTTGTGAGATACGACGATCGTCTTTAACAATCCATCTTCACGTACCAAGATTATATCCTCTTTGAGTTTCTTGTGCTGTTCATGGCGTATGGGCTTCGCCCATTGCACCCACTGCTTATCATTTCTCTGGAATGCATCAGATGCTACAGGATCGGAGGGTATAGCCACTTGACTTCTCTTCAATCTCTTCGAGCTTAGATCGTCGTAGAAAACAACCTCTTGTCGAGTGACAATGGCAAATGAGGTAGATCGGCAGGAAGGTATAAGTAGATGAGGGAAAGAGTCCTTGTCGTGAAGTGGTTGTCCACTACATCGCAGCGCTTCGGTCTTCGTCACTGGCAGCCAGGAGTTCCATCTGTACAGCAAGATCCTAGTATTGCCTTTGTTAGCAACGATCAAAAGTAGGACCACTGCACGAGGTTCCGTTGTTGGACTTCTCAGAAAATCCATACGCAATATCACTCCATCGACCTGAATGAACCTGGACTATTGTTTGTGAGCTCATGTAAAACATATTGCAAGGCTGACGTACTTCTTTGAACGGCACAATAGTTGTTGGGTTACGAGGATCCCAGTTGTCAATATCTGCTTTGATCTCGTCGACATCCTTCAAGGACATAATGCCGAATCGACCTTTGGCGGACGCAACGGCGATGGCACGCGACCTTTGAAGTTAACAAAACGTAACAGGCTTGAGCTGCATTCACTCACTTTGTATCAATAGCAAGGTGCCTGCCGCATTTTCGAGGCCAATGTATACCTTCCGCTTGAAGAACATGTCTTCTTGCATACACGAATTGGGAAGAACCGTTGGGAAGATTTTTAGCGTAGACGAACACAAGTTCACCTGATGCTATGCTTAGTACCACAATCTGTGGTGGCTGAGTCTCTTCACATGGTTGTCCTCTGATCTCAAAACGAACTTCATCACGTCCGTTCTCCAAGATAGCATCCTCGGTAGAGAGGACGTGAGCTTCAGCAGATATGACCTTCGCAGATAGTATTTGAACACCGAGCTCGAGACCAGTAATAACATTCGTCAACTGTCCAGTCTGTGTAAATTCTCGCAGATGGATCGAGCTGTGGCCGACAAGGACAACATCGTTCAATGAAGGGCTCCGAATCCTAGCTGACAGGATAGCCTTGATGCAGGGGCTGGAAGCCAATGTCTGCGACAGAATACCACCATGGACTTCTCGTTGCGCTGCCATATACGGCTAGGTTATGGCCTCTTTTCGAATCGGATAATGTTCTCCTTAAATGAAGTAGGTCAAATTAGATCACTGCCTGAGCTCTAGCAAACTTCGTATATACTGTTAAGAGGTGACAAGTTTGATGAATCTAATGTCAGTTCTGTTCATACCAGTCCACCATGCACTGCACGCGTACGAAGCAGACTTAAGCGGTCTGAATACGAGAGAATCTCGTTGTGTTTATGCAAAGTCAATGCCTCGAAGGAAGGAGCACTTTCACCATACACCAGTCGCCACCAAACCAGATAGACAAACATGCAATCACCATACTTTATGAAAAGTCTGATGAAGTGACATGGGCTGAGATGCTGCCCATCATGCATAAGTGCTACCAATCTGGAACCTGGTATACAACTTGTGGACTGGATTAGTACGAGTGAAGAAGAGGAGCGCTGCAGGGATAGTTTCAGGGCCACCAGGCCTAAGCATTGGCTAGTCCTAGCCGCGAACTTCTATTGGCGATATCACGACATCTTCCTTACTGTACCAGTCGCGACCACAATCGGTTACAATCAAGCCATCTTCTTCGCACCTGTATATGTTATCTTTCTTCGATCTCTAGTGTACGTGCATTGACGAGTCCGCGACAAGCAGCAGGGTGTTTTCAGACTGTAGACATCATTATAGGCAAGGTCAACCGTTCCGAGCTCGAGCTACGCGATCTGCTCAGATCTATACAGACACGATCAACAAAATCTATTTCCATCGAAGTTTGCAGTCAGGGAGGTTTGAAGAAAGTTGTGCGACCTGTTACCTGTCATTCATATGACAGCCAACCCCGGACACCCTGGTTGACAGCACTGGCTACAACAAGCCGAATCGCCGTTGAGGTGACATTCTAAATTGGACTGAAAAGGCGGACATTCAGCCGATTCCGCAAGCCAGATCACTTCAAATCAGGAATGAACAGGCTGGATAAGGTGTGGCTTGTTGTTGTTGGGTGCGGCTGTATGTGATGACGGGCACCAGCTGCAAGGAAGGAGACGTCGCGCTACAGACTAGGCAATTTGACTCAGCGAGCAAACATGACAAGATCTCTTCGGCCTGCCGTGAAGGCAACGTTGATGCACTGGTAAGTTTTGCTGGCTCTGAAGGTGGATTATTGGACGACCATCTTCGTGCAACAGCATGTAAGTGTTCCTCCAAGCTGTAAAAGAATCCTTACTGATCCCACCTCATAGGGCCGTTGCTTCTTGGCTGCACAATAGATGATGGGCGTTCATTGGACAAGGTGGAATGGCGAAGTCTTCCACAACACCAAGATGAAGAACAAGTGCAGAAGGACGTCGATCGTGCCTTTGTGTACTATCCAGTCAGTGAGTGTAACTGACTCGATCTCGAAACCCCTGACTTACTTCTATCTAAGATGAGACTGAACATGCACTGGCACACAGGAAAACGGCTTTGCTGGACCTTATTGTCCATGTGCTTCGGGTAAACCCCATGCTGCACTACTTTCAAGGCTTTCATGACATTGCACAAGTCCTGCTTCTAGTGCTCGGCAAAGATGCTGCATTCCCAGCCGTATCGAGACTGTCGTTGTTGCGCATCAGGGACTACATGCTAATCAGTCTCGGCCCGGCCGAGAAGCATTTGCAACTGATACCGGCGATATTGCAATGTGCAGATGCTCAACTAGCAAACCACTTGGGCTCAACCCCGCCATATTTTGCATTGTCCGCCGTTCTTACACTATACGCGCACGACATTCAGGAATATGCCGATATTGCTCGGCTGTACGATTTCATCCTAGCACACGAACCGGTCATGACGATATACCTTTTCGCCGCCTTGGTCACTAGTCGAAGAGAAGAGCTGCTCGAGATACCGGCCGAAGACCATGACATGCTACTTTTCACGTTGTCAAAGCTTCCGCAGCCACTCGATCTCCAGGCACTGATTGACAGTTGTTTACAGATCTATAGATCGTGTCCTCCTGAGAGGCTGCCGGGCCGAGCTTGGTCTGACATATCTTCTGACAGCGTCCTCAAGACCTCAGCAGAGAAACTGCGGACGCAGAGCCTGGAGGAAGCACGACGATCATTTGCGAGACAGTCACAACAGCTCACCAGGCAACAATTGGCTACTAAGCTGGTAAGACAGCTGTACCAGCGCCGCCGACCTATTATTTCGCTTAGTGCGACATTGCTAGTAGGAGCTTTGTCATACTACCTCAGAAGAGGTGGATATGATAGGGTGATTTGGACTGTGTTTTGGCGTACAACAGAGTTCTTTCGTAGATAACACAACATGTTTCCTTAACGAGACGTTTGCATGCAAGTGTTTTCGTGTACAGAGAAGTAAGCCTATGGTCAAGGATTGTGGTGTGACAGATGTTTGTGAAGAAGACGTAAAGACCTTGATTTAATGCTTGCCAGGAATGGACGTTGTCAAGATCGTACATGAATACATGCCTGAGGCTGTCAAACGCCTGGAGGACATGCGCTCCTCTCAAACGTGCCTACGCGTGTCAAGAAATGACAACGATATCTCGATCCGTTAATAGCCACTTGCAAGTGTGACCGCGATGGCCAACAGAGGGTACGATGTCGTAGTCGATGTCGACACGGAGGTCAGTGTTGTGTAAGATTAACTCTACGATCGCACCACTAACAACACCTCGATCAGGGTGACCTTGGCCATACAGATCTCCAAGACGATGACCTAGAATTTCACTCTTCCAGTAAGTGCGAACACTCGGGTCTCTGGGAGAAATCGCAGCTGACCCTCCAGACTTTGAGAATCCTTCATCACGCAAAATCCCTCAAGACAACACCCCATTTCTCTCATCCAGTACCACCAACCCAGCCAATCTGCCCAACGATCCCTCCCACGTCTCGAGCTCCAGACAGGGGAAACGCTATCTTTGGTCCCTCTCCTTCTACGCGCAATTCTTCGACGTCGACACCGCCACTGTCCTCCACCGTTGTCGCAGTGCATTACTCCCCTTCCTCCCTGGCGCGGCACCATTCCTCGATACGCTGGATGGCACACCCGATCTCTACGGCCCTGTCTGGATCGCCACGACCGTGGTCGCGATACTCTTCTTGACAGGCACGATAAGTCACAAGCTTGCATTGGAGGGAAAGAAGCACTTCGAGTATGACTTCCGACTACTCTCTGGGGCAGCCGGGCTGATCTATGGATACACGTTGTTCGTGCCTGCTGCCATCTGGGCTGCGTTACGGTGGTTCGGCGCTCAGTCGCTCGAGCTGGTAGAGTGCTGGGCGTTGTACGGGTATGGCAACCTATTCTGGATTGTTGTGGCATTGCTCAGCTGGAGTCCGTTGAATTGGCTCAATTACTTCCTGGTGGCTCTGGGCTATGCGGTGAGTGTTTTCTTCTTGGTGAAGAATCTTTACCCTGTCATTAGTGCTACGGATAAGAAGACCAGCCAGATAATGTTGGTGCTGGTTGTGGTCCTGCATGCTGGGCTGGCCATTGCTATCAAGGTGCTATTCTTTACTCACAAGAGTCCGGCTAAGAAAGACAACGACGACGATAAGCGATTGATGTGGTGAAAGGCTTGGAGAAACTTGTATTACTAGAACATGTACTACGTTTCGTGGATTTGCACAAGCAAAGATCGTGGGAGATACCATGTAGTGTGTTTTCACAATATATGTCCCAGGTTGTCTGATCTTTGAATTGAATTTCTGCGGATGAGTCTGAGTAATCGTTGCTTTAACGTTCCATTCGAGTGTATAGAATATGTCAATCGCGCAAGTATGAAGTCGGATACGGGGATGTGCTTGAATAATCTCATTCAATGCCTGATCAAAATCATGCAAAACATGTATATCCTCGAAATCGTGATCAATGCCCCGACATCACAGCAAGCAAGACCATGCTCTTTTCATGCAGCCCGATCATACAGCCATCATGAAAGGTCGCTGAGATCTGCGTTGTATAAGCCAGTTCGATCTCCGCAAACCCTGTCTTCGTACTGAACCGACACTGTTCGCAAAACGAATCTCCTGCTGCGACACCATCCGCGTAACGTTGAACCGTCTATTTCAGCTTCTTCTTTGGTCTGAGCTGATTGCTGTGTCCGCACTTCTTCTTTCGGCAGTTAGTGGCTCGTGGTGGTAGTCTGGCGTAGCACTTTCGGCAAATCATCTTGTCGCAATTGTATTTCGATGCAAGAGCCTTGAGGGATGGCTCGATAATACCACCTCGGAGTCGGAGGACAAGATGGAGGGTAGACTCCTGCAAAAAACATGTTAGACTCCTCTCTCTTATCTTCCGAGCCTATTGTGCCAAAGCCCACGCATGTTCGCTTACCTTCTGAATGTTGTAGTCGGACAGCGTGCGACCATCCTCAAGCTGCTTTCCAGCGAATATCAGTCGTTGTTGATCAGGTGGAATGCCCTCCTTGTCCTGGATCTTGCTCTTGACATTGTCGATTGTGTCAGAGGACTCGACCTCTAGGGTGATGGTCTTGCCCGTCAGGGTCTTAACAAAGCTGGAAAGAATAGTCAGTATGGGTCGTTTTTAACGTCGTGGGGGAGGCGGGATATCGTGGGCAATTGCTGAGGTACGAGGCATGTCGTATACTCACATCTGCACTACACAGAATAGTCAGCACGGTTAGCTCTTTACACGGACAAATATACTCACTCTTGACAGCTTCTTTGTGAACAGTAGTTGTGGACAACGTCGGCGAAGGACCAGCGACAAAGGTTGAAAGTAACGATGGGTCGAATCTTGGCGTGCGCAATGGAGATGCCGATGATTTTCCGGGCGATCGTGCCTGACAGCCTGATCTAGACTTGGTCGTGGCTGCTTATCGAACCTACTGGGCGAAAACATCACGATCAATCTGAAGACGGTGCCTCAGCCGTACTCACTTGTGCCAGTGGGCCTTCACAGGGCCTCCTTGTCATGGCGAATCACGCACGAGCTGCACAGGCTCTACTCTTCATGCAGCAATGTCGGCACCATGCAACAAGATCACCACCTTCTCGCTTCGGGACCTACCACGTTCGTACCTTGACGAATAACTCGCTCGACCCTGAGAACTTCGGCAAGAAGTTACGAATCGACGACGTCAGTCCAGACGAGCCTCTGCCAGCATGGCGTGTACCAAAGCCTGAAGTCGACCAGGCCACTTCATCAGGTGCAGCCGCATCTCCCATGCCCTACGACTTCCCTCGAGCTCGCGATGCCCCCATCCCACGACACAAGCACAATCCCGCCGTCAAATCTGGGTTATGGTCCTTCATCAAGTACGACATCTTCCGCCGACCAGAACCACCGGATCCACGCCTGGCCATCAAACCAGCTTTCAACGTCCTGACAAACCCTTACCGTACTCGAAAGGCATGGCCGCCTATCCTCAGCGAGATGTCTGAAATACAGCAGTTTCATTATGAGAAAAAGTTTCGGCGCCGATTACTCAATAAGACGTACAGCTTGCGGACGAATTGGAACCGTGGGGCTCTCTTCATCCAGCGATTCTTGATCACTTTCTTCGTCTTGTGGTCTGTGTTTGTCGAGTCACCGCGGAATCCTTTGGAGACTCTGGGTCCTATCGATTCGTTCAGATACTGGCTGTACACGCAGTTAACGAAGGGAAATGATACTATCTGGCCCAAGAGGTTCGGGGCGTTCTTTGAGAGCCAGCGTCACTTCTACATGCAGAAACATAAGATTCAGTGGGACCCATTCAACCATACTGGATGGGATCCTAGGAGGCCAAGGAATAGTCTGGCAGGTCCAGCATCGCCAGCTTTCGAAAGACCGTTGGGGGATTCAAGTTCTACTAGTAGTCGAGAGGAGTAGGAATACGAGGTTGGACAAAAGAGTAGGTTCAAGCAACATACTGCGTTTAGCCATGATTCTGTCGCAGATAATTTCACTATTTACTGATTTTTGGCTTCTGCTCCCCATACTCTGCATCTTGTATGTTGTATAGCGCTACTAGAGATATGCGTGAAAAATGATCTGCAGCTTGGTTAACTGCCTGCTCAAGCCTTACCCATTGCCGCAAGGACGATCAGTGCAACATTCATGACCACGAGGACGAGCCAGATGAGCCCTCCTAGGATCGCGACAATCCAGCCGTTCCTCATGTTGACAGTTCCAACAGCGTCTTCAGGCTCGACTCTCCTACCTTGCCCATCGCTAGAAACGGTCATTATACTGCTTTTACAGGTGAACCACAACAGTGGTGCTGTGACGAAAGGCAGCGCTACGCTGAGTGCGACTTGACTGGCTGTAAGTGTTCGGTTGAGACCTTCTTTGCCTACTGCACCTGCAATGATTATGCTAGGAACGATTGATATTGATCTTGTGAGGAGTCTTCGCAGCCATGGCTTGAGTTTCCATCTGATCATACCCTCTGATACCATTTGTCCGGCCATGGTGCAGACAATGCCGGCACTGGTACCGGACAGAAGTAGTGCGAGGCCGAAGAGGACACCAGCAGCAGGAGAGATAGAGCGGACTAGTAGGTCATGGATCCCGAAGAGATCAGCTTCTGCGGCTTCTGTGTCGTACAGGCTTGAACCTGCAACGATCAGGATAGCGCTGTTCACGAACAAAGCGAAAGTGAAGAGGCTTGTTGCTAGTTCGACGATACTGTATTTTAAGCACGAACGAATTGCTTTGATCGTGGGTCGGTACTTCTGATCGAGATCTTGAGTGATGTCGTAAGCTTTGTTAGACCGCCGTGCATCTGACAGACCTTCCGTTTGTTCATCAAAGTGCCGGAGACGCGGCTGAACCACACCACTTCCGAGGAAAATGCTGTGTGGCATGACTGTTGCTCCTAGAATGCCACAAGAAAGATAGACGCCGTTGTCCTCGACAACAGCTGCGGATGGCAAATATCCACGAAAGATTTGGCCAACTGAAGCATTCCTAATATATGAAAGCTGGATGCTGAAACATATCATGACGCCCAGAACCAGGAACATAACGAAGTATTCGAATATGCGAAGACGAGTCATGCTACCATCGGGTTTGTAGAAGAGAAGGAGCAAGAAGACGTCGACCAGACTAATGGCGCAGCCAGCCACCAGAGGCACCTTTAGCAAAAGGTTGAGAGCTATGGCAGTTCCCACTACCTCTGCAACATCGGTTGCAATGATGGCGCCCTCAGACAGTATGTACAGAGGCCAAATCATCCACTTTGGAAGATGTCTTCGACAATTTTCCGCGAGGTCAAGTCCAGTCACACTGCCAAGCTTGATGCAGAGTGATTGTAGGAAGATGGCAAAAAGGTTCGACATGAGGATAATGAAAAGATGCGCATATCTGGTTGACGCTCCTGCCTCGACATCAGTGGCATAATTACCGGGATCAATATAGGCGACTGCTATCAAAAAGCCTGGCCCCACAAACTTAGCATATTTTGAGATCACATTCGTGACCTTGCTTGCTGCACGACTATGCCACGGTCGTTGGTCAGGTGCTTCTCCCTCGTTGTTGCGGAAGGAGAAGCTGTTTTGACGGCTATTTGGTAGTGATTGATCTGGAGAGTCGTGCTTGTTCGAAGCCGCCACGAGTGACCCTTCCTTTTCGCATTTGATGTCGTTTGGAGCAGTTTGTGGAGGAACCGTACTCATGTACTCGCTCTGCAGCTCATCTGGACTTATGCGTCCTTCATGATCTCTCTGGGCTCTTTGATTTACCACGCCGTTGAGATCGGCTCTGGTTGTAGCGTCCGCATTTAGAGAATGTGGATTCTGATTCCAGTCGGGATGTCTTTCGACATCGTCTGGTCTGCTTGGACAATTCATTTTGCACACAAGCCGGGGCACATTAAACAGGAAGTGCGTACAGAGAAACGTGCGATACGATGTCTGTTAAAGCTGACCCCAAATATATGACAAGTTCTCGGAACCGAGGGCGGTTTGACCCGATGCAAGAGAACCAAGGATGTGTCAAAATCTCGAGACTTGAAGTTCTAGTCTTGGTCCAAACCCATACCAAGACTTTTGAGCTCAACTCTCGAATTGGAGTGTATTCTGGTATTGAGTACGCGCGTATGGACCCAGAGTCCAGTATTAGAATATGAAAGAGGCTCGAAAACGTCTGCTTGACTATCAGCGCTAGAGAATTTCTACTGGAGAACAACTCAATTGTCTGACAGTCCATGCGTGAAGGATGCAAGGTCGATCTTTCCGGGGCAAAAAATATCACCAATTGACCAATGACGTGGATCCATGTTAGCAATATGCCTAGACATACATTTGCGACTTCGATCACCGCAGGATCGTTTCTGCCTCTTTGCTTGTCGGACCCAGGGCCACAATGTACGCGTAATTGGCTGTTCGCAAAACGTTATCGTGGACGACTGAGAAAACGTGGGTTTATAGCGGACTACATAGCCGGACGGTGTCAAGGACAAGGTGTGCCCTCGCAACCAACGATGAGCACTTGGTTTCTTTACCCTTCGAGCCTCGAGCTCTTCATTAACGCTGCTACCAAGACTGCAGCCACATTGACGAAGAGCCAGCTCGTGCCTTTTTTATTGTCTGCTGAAGTATTGTCAAGCCATGGCCCCTAAATATGGTTGTCATGGACCTGTTCATTGATGAGACATGCAATGCTCTCGTAAGCTACCTGCTATGCTATACAGATGAGAAAGAGCAATATGGTTATCTCAACATCTGCTGTAGTTCTCATTTTGTGGTTTTGCTGCGACGAAGCCGCAATTCGTCGAGTGCGCGATATAAAAGATAGGCATTTCTGACCGCCAGCGTAGAAGCCTTAAACGTGCTTCCGAAGTCTGGGGCCTGTAAGTTCGGGGCAGCCTGTAAACGAGCTCTGAGGCACGTTGCACATTCCTAAGCGAATACTACTGTACTATCTGTCCACGCTCTACCCATCTAGCTGTGCTACTCTCTTCGACACAAAATGAAGATATCGTGACTTGGCTCATCAGTAATGCATGCCGTCGAATCTCGAAGTACGCTTGATGTGGCCGTGCTTAAGGAGTGTATTTCGTGCTAAAGAAGTTGGCATGGGTAAAGCAAGAGGCTATCACAACAGATCAAGACTCAATAACATGGCTATGACTGTCGCGTCCATGCGAACCATGACCTGAAGCACGCATTTCCGGGATCGCACATGCTTGTGAGTGTGTGTCGACCGATGGTCGCAATATCGAATCATGACGGACCGCCTCAACGGCTTGCACCTACAACGACGTGCTGGTAGACGGAAGTCGACTCCAGTCTCGCCCATCTCTCCTTCCTTGTCACGCAAACATGGGAGGTCGCAGGACTCAGCTCTGCCCGTCTTCTCACCTATCGATACCTCTTCGGCCACCACGTCCAACTACTCCCCAACAATAGACCTGATTGTCCCTTCACCAACCTTTAACCTCTCCACGATCTCTCCTGCCCTAGAGCATATCAACGATGACCTGCTCCACCAGCGACAGGACTTCAGAGTGCCTGAAAGACCATATATTGGACAGCTGAGGACAACAGATGAGAATGTTCGACCAGCAGCAAGTGATGCTACCGGCAACGCCAAACATATTCAGCAGAACTATGAAAAGTACTCATCAGATCCTGCTGCCACGCATGCATCGCCTGCACAAGGGGGAACTCCAAGATCAAGTGAAACATTGGGGAGACCTTCGAGCCGGGAAACGAACGATGAAATATCCGCTCAGCGTGCTGCCGCATTCTGGGCTCAATATGATAAGACGAGCGAGGATTCAGTCATACCTAAGGGTACACAGAACCCGAAGAAGAGTCGTTTCAACCTTCTGAACCCTATGAGCCTCCTTGCTCGTCGTCGCTCATCTCAGAACACAAACAAGTCGGAAGACACCAGTGTGAACGTGAACACTCTTCATGTTCCAGCTATTCCTGACAACATTACACCTAGTATCCGAGGCAGTATTGTTCATGATTTCTCGGCACCCAGGACCCGCAGGTTAAACAGCGACTATTCTCCTCGACCAGGGCCCGCACCAAACCCGAACTATCCACGAAGGCCGCCTGATCTGGTCTCCCAACAGACAGATTCGTCTGCTGGCACGCCATTATCACTGCACAGCCCTATGTTTAGGGAGCATTTCCAGGAAGAACAGCGATCCATAAATCCCCAAAATACCGCCTATCTACATGGACACAATCTCCAAGTGCCGTCTTCGGGGTCACTACCCACCTTCGCCAAAAGGCTGCCTTTGATTCCACCCGAAGACGATAGTCACATTCACCAGCCAAGTTGTCAGAGTAAGGGACAGGCACAAATAGAAGAGCTCCAGCCGCCAGAGCCTGAAGTATCACCTCCACCTCCACCTCCGCCAGCACCAACAGTGGTAGAACCTCTATCAGAGAGGACTCCTTCACCAGCATCGACTTTGCAGTCAGCTAACATAGTACCAAAGCACATGACGAGCACCTCTTCGCGGTTTAGTTACATCGGCCAACAAGGTTCGATTGCTCAAGAGAAGTTTTTAGAGGCGAAACACAAAGAGCACGCACTCAAAAATCCTCCTCCACGCCATTCTGTGGCATCAGTGGACATAGATGACATTGACGATTACACAGATCTGGACGAGGAAGACGGCTTCGACAATGCTGATATTACCATCAAGAATGTTGACATGCCGTCTAGTCAAGTGCCTCAGGATCATACATCAGTTATCGAAGAGGGCTATCCCCTCGACAACGATGATGAAGATGATGACGAGTTCGGTACGGGCAGTATTGTGGTTAGAGATATCAACATGTCGACGAGTCGAGCCAATCTTGGATACCATGACAACGAAGCCCTCGATCCTGATGCTTTTCCTATCGACTACGTGGATCAACCAGTCGTTCAAGAGCAATTCACCAGTCAGAATACCACACAGGGTAAGCGACAGTCTTTGCAGGCATTTCACTTCACTCCCCAATCACATCCATTCAGTCCAATGTCTGCACAAAATACATCACAGTCTACACCACGAGATGTGGAGGGCCTTGCAATCGGTACAGCGCAGTCCAGATTGGATCATGCTTATGGAGGTCAGCCACAAGCTAGAGATGGCTCAGACCAATCCTTTGAAGCAATATTTTATGAGGGTTTAGGCATAAGCACCAGAAACCCAAATATTACAACACCGCAAACATCGAGGCCAAATCAACAGTTCGATGATTTCGACTTCGACGATGGTGAATTTGACGATGACATTGTAGAGAGTAGTGGTCATTTCGATGAAGACGCTTTAGATGATGGCGATCAAATCAAGGACATACCTGCAGAAAATGCTCGCAAGTACGAAGAGGCTGTACAACGAAGTCAGGCTCGTAGAGAAATCGAGGCACTCTGCGAGGATGTACCGAGCGAATCTTTCCTAGGGTCCGAGTCACCAGAATCGAATTTCAAAGAACCACCTCCGACCACGCAGACAGGGTTGACGGCCGACAATTTGGCTGCGTACCACGATGCATTGGCTATGGCAGCCACAAAAGCAGCTGAAGACGGCAAGTTCAATCGAAGCGTTAGTTTTAGTCAAGTCTCAGATGATGAGACAGATTCTCCATTCCATAATACTGGACCCGAGGCGTCGACAGCTGGTAGCCGATACAGCAACAATATCATCAGCTCAGCGATATCCGACGAGGACGGCTTCGGTTTTGACGATGATCTAGACGACGAAGCCATGATTGCTGCAGCCAATGCGGAAGCACTTGAGAACGACGACGACGGCTTCTACGGGCAGGAATTTGGGTTCTTTGCTCGGGCGCGTGGTAAGGAATCGGCCGAGTATACCAATGGTGGGTATTTTGCCTCGAGAGGATCTAACGGCATCAAAAGAAGTCATAGCGGAAAGAATAACTTTCAGGAGCCTAACTTAACGCCGATCACTGAGAGAAGCGAGTGGAGCACGAGAAACTCTATAGCCTCACTACCATTACATATAGGCATACCGGGCACCACACAGTCATTGTCCAGTCCTGGAATCGCACATCTGCTAGAGAGAGACTCGCCGATTGTCGATGATGAAATGAGCATGAGTACCTTGATGAAGTTGAGAGGACGAGCTTTTGGAGGTAGTTCGACCAGCATCAACAGCCTGGCAGATCGACACCATGCGCACACTTCGCCACTGACGCATAGCTCAGGCTATCATGTTGCGGCTACTGATGGCTTTGCTGGCAGAATGTCATCACCTGCACATCACAAAAACTTGGACCTTAGTGAATTCGAGGACGAGGATGTAGACCATGGTAACGAGAAGTTTGTACTACCACACAACACGTTTCACAAAAAGCTTATGACACCTGTCCGCGACACTTCACACTCATCCTCAGAGCAGGTGACGAGCTCACCAATGAGCAGGAAGGGCAATCACAGTCGTAACAGCAGTGGTGCGGAGAGTGTAAGTTATGCCAGAGATGACGATGGACGATGGGTTCTAGAAAGGAGACGTACTGGTGATGATGGCGAGCTTGAACTTATAGATCGGGAGTACTTGGAAGGAATGCGAATATAGACAAGCCAGAGACTCAAGAGGACTGGAAAGGGAAATTTGTTTGATAATGTGATACCCATATAGCAAGGATTATAACGGGGCTGCAGTGTTGTGCTGAGTGACAGTCAATCGTGGTCTACATAGAGTACTGTACTGAAATAGTTTAGTCGTGAAACCAGGCTGTGCAAGAAATTTATCTTCATCTTGGGTACTCCTCCAGCATTAAATGCCCGAGTAGCGGCGAAAGGTCGTGCTTGCCGTTTGGTGCGGCAGGGTGGATCCGAAGAGGCAAGCGCAGTCGGTAAAAGCCTCGTGCAATAGCCAATGAGGTAATTGGAATCCACGGCTTCCTGAACCGCAGCTTCATGCCTGAGGAGAGCCTGTGACAAGCTTGCAACAAGGTCTTGCGCTCCTTGCTTGCCATCACCTAGAATCCTACCGTCATTTTTGAGTCCCTTCCAAACTCGTCACCGTCTTCGAGGTCTTCGCTGGCCTTCGTCGAGTCTTGAGCTGGCCTCACACCTACTCCCGACCCTGTACCACGAGCTATCCTGCTCCGCTGCACTCTTGATCAGCAGCGCCTGTACAATTACCTATAATCTCCCCTCTTACATCCTGCAATCATGTTTCGAGCCACTCTAAGAGCCAGCAGGCAGCTAGCTCAACCATCGCGAAGATGTCTTGCAACCACATCCATGCCCAGATCGACCGCTCCCAGCACAACCCGGAAGATGTTAGCCTTAACCGCACAACGAAGAGGTTATGCGATGGCTGTCGAGGACACAAACAAGGGTGTAGATCCAAATGACTCTTTCCTCCAGGGTAACACCGCGTCCTATATTGATGAGATGTATATGGCGTGGAAGGAGGATCCTTCCTCTGTCCACGTCTCATGGCGAGCATACTTCACTAACATGGAGAATGGCACCATGCCTGTCTCAAGAGCTTTTCAACCTCCTCCAGGTCTCATCTCAGAGTCTGGCAGTGATGGACAGTATACCCCTAGCACAAGCACAAGCACAAGCACTAGCCCTGGAGTTGGAATGAGCACTGGCACCGATGTTGGTGCCCACTTGAAGGTTCAGCTTCTCGTTCGCGCATACCAGTCTCGAGGTCATCACAAAGCAAAGACAGACCCTCTAGGTATTAGGCGCGAGGCCGAGGAGTTTGGCTACACTAAACCTAAAGAGCTACAACTAAGCCATTATGGCTTCAGCGAGAAGGACCTCGATACCGAGTTTGAACTAGGTCCCGGTATCTTGCCCCGATTCGCGAAGAACGAGGGTGAAAAAATGTCCCTGCGTGATATTGTCAACGCTTGCGAAAAGACCTACTGCTCATCCTACGGTGTTGAATACATCCACATCCCTGATCGAGAACAATGCGACTGGATTCGGGATCGCATCGAAGTACCACAACCTTTCAAGAACTCAGTAGATGATAAGAGACGGATTCTGGACAGACTAATCTGGTCCTCAAGCTTCGAGTCGTTTTTGGCCACCAAATACCCTAATGACAAGCGATTCGGCTTAGAGGGCTGCGAAAGCTTGGTCCCAGGTATGAAGGCTCTTATTGATCGAAGCGTCGACTACGGTGTCAAGGATATCGTTATTGGTATGCCACATCGTGGAAGACTCAACGTTCTCAGCAACGTCGTCAGGAAGCCCAACGAATCCATCTTCTCCGAATTCTCGGGTACTACTGAGTCCACCGATGAAGGCTCTGGTGACGTGAAATATCATCTGGGCATGAACTTCGAACGTCCCACTCCCTCAGGAAAGCGTGTTCAGCTGTCTCTAGTGGCCAATCCATCGCATCTCGAAGCCGAGGATCCGATCGTGCTTGGAAAAACACGTGCCATCCAGCACTTCAACAATGACGAAACCAAATACGACACTGCAATGGGTGTCCTACTTCACGGAGATGCTGCCTTCGCCGGTCAAGGTGTTGTGTACGAGTCCATGGGTCTCTACGCACTTCCTGCCTACTCCACGGGTGGTACAATTCATATGGTCGTCAACAACCAGATCGGCTTCACCACTGATCCCCGCTTCTCACGTTCGACTCCATATTGTTCAGATATTGCCAAGGCTATCGACGCTCCTGTCTTTCATGTTAACGGTGATGACGTTGAAGCCGTGAATTTCATCTGTCAGCTCGCCGCCGACTGGCGTGCTGAATTCAAGAAGGATTGTGTTATCGACATTGTCTGCTACAGAAAACAAGGTCACAACGAGACCGACCAGCCTTCGTTCACACAACCTCTCATGTACAAGCGTATTGCTGAACAGAAGCCGGTCCTCGACAAATATGTAGATCAGCTACTTGGCGACAAGACGTTCACGAAAGAGGATATCGATGAGCACAAGAAATGGGTATTAGGCATGCTCAATGACAGCTTCGATCGAAGCAAAGACTATCAACCTACTGGCAAAGAGTGGCTGACCTCAGCCTGGAATGGTTTCAAATCGCCCAAGGAGCTTGCCACCGAGGTATTGCCGCATCCACCCACGGGTGTGGACGCATCTATCCTGAAAAAGATTGGCGAGAAAATTGGTGGTGCACCCGAAGGCTTCACCGTGCACCGTAATCTGAAACGTATCCTTGCTGGTCGCAAGAAGGCTATTGATGATGGCAAGGGCATCGATTGGGCTACCGGAGAAGCGCTGGCTTTCGGTACACTTGCGCTGGAAGGTCATCACGTACGAGTATCAGGCCAAGACGTCGAGAGAGGTACCTTCTCGCAGAGACATGCTGTACTCCACGATCAGGAAAATGAATCAACTTACGTACCACTGAGCAGTTTGGAGCCTGATCAAGGACGATTCGTCATCACCAATTCCTCTTTGAGTGAGTTTGGTGTGCTTGGGTTCGAATATGGCTACTCGTTGTCTTCACCAAACGCTTTGGTTATGTGGGAGGCGCAGTTCGGTGACTTCGCCAACAATGCGCAGTGTATTATTGACCAGTTCATCGCTTCGGGTGAAGTCAAGTGGCTACAACGATCTGGCCTGGTCTGTTCTCTACCACATGGGTACGATGGTCAAGGTCCTGAGCACTCTTCGGGCCGCGTCGAGCGATATCTGCAGCTGTGCAACGAAGAGCCGAGAATCTTCCCATCCCCAGAGAAGCTTGATCGACAACATCAAGACTGCAACATGCAAGTTGCTTACATGACTACACCAGCTAACCTCTTCCATATCCTTCGAAGACAAATGAACAGGCAATTCAGAAAGCGTAAGTCAAGTCCCCATTCTTTACCTCACCCTATGACTAACTTTGTCGCAGCTCTCATCCTTTTCTTTTCCAAGTCGCTGTTGCGTCACCCACTCTGCCGATCAGACATTGAGGATTTCACTGGTGACTCTCATTTCCAGTGGATCATTGAAGACCCAGAGCATGGAAAGGGTATCGTCGAGCATGACCAGATTGAACGTGTGATCATGGTCACTGGCCAAGCCTATGTTGCCCTTCACAAATACCGTGAATCTCTAGGCGAAGAGGGCAAGAAGGTTGCCATCACACGTATCGAGCAACTCAACCCATTCCCATGGGCTCAACTGAGGGACAACCTCGACTCATATCCAAATGCAAAGACCATTGTGTGGTGTCAGGAAGAGCCGCTAAATGCTGGTGCATGGAGTTTTGTGCAGCCAAGAATTGAGACAATGTTGAACAGCACCGAACACCATAACAGACGTCACGTCATGTACGCTGGACGAGATCCTAGTGCGTCCGTTGCAACCGGTCTGAAAGCCAGTCATACCAGGGAGGAGAAGGCTCTCCTCGAGGAAGCGTTCACGGTAAAGCAGGACAAGTTGAAGGGTGAGTAGATCATTCTACACTGCTGTTCCAGGGTGGGTCAGCGGCGAAACACCGATCCTATATCAGCGGAAGCATACTACAGGATCTTTCCATTTCGTATACGATTAAGCGAGCAGTGATGCAGGCAAAGCGAGCAAATGTGATGTTATGACCTTTCAAAAATATAGCTTCCTACCGTTGTTATCTACATCGTCTTGCGGTTTTAATCTTGCGGTGTCGAGTACATTGACCACTGACTGACACGACGTGACACAGGCAACCCAAGTCCCGCCAAGGATCCTGTGGAGATCCTACAGCCGTCACCCATTTGAAGTGTTATGCAAGGTACCAAGGTAGAAATGGCATTGCACTATTGGTGATAAAGCACGGCATCTATACAATCATGTAATACGCGACCATTGTCTGAATGTTTTTCTGAGAGTCTGATATCGACTGGACCGTGTCGCGCGGTCCTATCATTTTTATCATCGGAATTTCCCCGCGGTGAATGCCTGAGCTGTGACTTTTTATTCGAGTACAGATCTTAATTATCCCTCCCTTTCCGAATAGTTACCTCTGTAGTTTTGCAAATACATTATTCACATCCAAGTAAGCACATTCTTACTTGAGTTATTGTGAGAGAGCAAGATGGATTGTATGGGAACAAGGATTTTTTTTTCGAGCCAGGCTTGATGTTACTACACGTCTGGTAACAATGCTCAGTATCGCTCTGGGAACGCTTTGAAACAGCAATACAGCAAAGTCATTTCAAGTTCCAAGCTTTGGTTTCTAATCTAATACATCGTTGCATTGTACAATATGTAGGCATGGCCATCACCTTAAGAGAACAACGAAAAACGTATAAACTATATTTTACACAAATGCATGTCGATAGTCAGCTTACAGACACACCAATTGACCAAAAGAATGGTTAACACTACGTCCCAAGATTGTACTACTTACGTATCGTACTATCACTGCCCAAAACACCTACGCTAAATCGACTGCCAGCACCTTGCTTCACAACGAAAGCAAACGTGCTATTCCTCTCCTCCAGAACTATTTTCACCCTCATCGTCTGTAACGGCAGTGCTGGATACAGCAGAGGGGACATCGACTTCAATTTCTCCGTCTTCTTCTTCCTCTTCAGCACTTTCCTCGTCCTCTTCCTCGTCCACGACCGCGTCTGGGTCGTCGGAGGCGTTGCTTTCTTCAATTTCTTCTTCTTCTGAAGCGTCGTCTTCTCGTTCGAACTGGCTGTCTGGCTCGTCGTCGGAACGATCGCTTGCATCCTCGTCTGCAGATGTAGAGGCGACGCTATCGACCTCGATCGCATTCTGGTGATGCGACAGATTGACTTCGATTTCGTCTTCGACATCTTCTTCGTCGGCTGACCCATCAGCAACCTCTTCCTCTTCCTCTTCCTCTTGTGCTTCGTGATCGTCGTCATCGTCCTCTTCGTTGCTCGCAGCGACAACGACGACTTCCTTAGCAAGGCCGCTCCTCCTGCCACTTCGTCTGACGCTTGCACTGACTTTGTCAGGCGATGACATGCGACTTGCGCCTCGACCCGACACACTGCCATTAACGCTCCCTGCTTTACGAGGTGAATGACGTAGTGCCTGTGGCGTTATTGGCTTTGTCAATGTCTTGCCCTTAGGACGAGGTGTACCGGTTATGCTCTTTCGCTTCGATTTGGCGTTTCGCAACATCGCGGCCGGGATAGGAGGATCAATCTGGAATCGAGTTTGGGGAATTCTCTCGGTCAAATAAGTGAGTGCGTATCCAGTCACGGATGGTTCAGCTGGGGCTTTGCCTTTGTCGATATCACCGTTAGCGAGAGGCTCATTGGAAGTCGTCTCAACAGCTGTTGGCTGAATGTCGTCCATCAGACCTGTAGGAGGCGGACCAGGTGCGACAGTCCCGTGCTCATTCAGCAATGCAGGATCAACATTGCTTGCTGATGGTGACTTCAATGGTGGTTGTTCAGCCATCTGCGGCGACATACGGTCTGCTTCATCGTCCATTGCCTTAATAATATCATCAGGTCTCTGAGCGATGGCATTCACAGGCGCTGCATCAAGGGTTGCTGCGTCGCTTCGACCCATGATGTATGGAGTCCATACTAAACGCTCTTCTCGAATGACCTGAAAACCTTTTGACTCGTACTTGTCGACGATATTTGCGTATAGGCTCTTGTCATATCGGATAGCATATGCTTTAGTGACGGGGTCACGGACGAACGCATACAGCCTCTCTAGTGAGTGCACCACATCGTCAGCCGTCATACCGGTTCGCAGCATCATGTCCTTGACGCTGAAAGGCTTGTTACCCAGTTGCAGTAGATGCCTAGATATCGTTAAGTCCCAGTACGATCGATATGCAGTCAGACCCATGTCGCTCAAAGGCTTTTCTGGACTACCCTCCTTGCCTTCCAGTCGAGTCAAGAGGTAAGAAAACTCAATAAGAAAGGTGGCATATCCTTTCCGTTGATGAATGGGCATGACCAAAATACAGCTGACGTTGTTTTGACTTGCAGGCCGTTTCTCTTTGCTGAAATAGCCGACGAAATGATAACCATACTCATCATATTCTGTTAGGACATAGAACAGAAATGGGTCAACATCGTAGTACAGAGTCTTTGAGCCGAGGAACAATTTCGCCATCAGACATAGACACTGACAGTACTCTGTTTTCTTTCTGCCATCGACTTCCCATATTGAGAGCGAGCCATCACGATATATCTCGTCACCAGGAGGGTGTTTCGCTGGACATTTCAACTTGTGCCTCCATGCCACAAATTCCGAAGGTAAGTACTTCAAACAGAACTCACAAATGAACAATCGCGATTCATGAGAATACTCCTCGGGGTACGGCGCAGCATATGAGGTGTCGATAACGTATTTTCCGAATTGAATGCATTTGATTTTGCTGGGTGGTCCAGAGACGGTTCGCTTGGAGTTTGTCGCATTTGCATTCTCGCCGGCCGAACCATAGATCTCCGCTTCTGCTTTTGCTGATGTTCTCTTTCTCTCCTCTTCTGCCTCCTTTCGGGCAATCTCGAATATCTCACGATCGCGCATCTGCGGCAATGACTTCGAAGTTTCAGCTTCTGCCTCCGACAAGATGCCACCGTAAGGTTTCGAACCGACATCACTTTCTCGATCTCCAAACATAAAAGGGAACATAAGATTATGAGCTGGAAGTGCAGGGAATTTGGGTACAGGCGGTTGATAAGGTGGAGGTGCTGGTATTTTCTGCTTTTTCTTAAGATATTTCCTCCTGTGCGGTCGTGGTGGCTCTGCTAACACTGTAGCAATTTTGCTCTGGTCTAACCTAAAGGCAAGTATAAATTTGTGGGGTGGCGGCTTATGGTATGGTCGATGTTGCAGGATGCGAGCTGTGGGAAGAGGCGGTAGGCCCAGGACAAGCTTCTGACTTGACCTTCTCGTGCTGTGACAGATGGACTCGGGCTGTATGGTGTCTACTTTCGGAGTTTCCTGCATCGTTTTCGGTCTCTTGTGTATACTTGGAATTCGTTCGTCTGATTCGGACTTTCTCTTTCTAAGAGCTCTACCACCTTCGTCATCTTGTATTAATGGTTGAGCGAAGATTGAATGCGCGCCTGGTTTTTGCATACCTCGTGAGACAGGAAGGAGATCGCGGACTAAGCGGGAAGCTGATTGACGAGGCTTTCGTGGTTGTCCTTTTGGCGATGTCGAAGACCCATTTGCTGCACATCTCTGACACTCCCAGTTTTCAGATTCAGCACTATGAAATCCCTGTGCGTCGAAGCAAACACGATGAGCGGGTCTCCTGCAGACTCTGCAAGTTACATCATCCTCAGTACTTGTCACTGCGGACTCGGCTTGCTCACAGAAGACACACAAGTCAGGATCGTCGTCGGAGTCTTCCTCAGCGCCACTATCGCTTACGGCGCTAGCTCCGTCAGTATCGACCACACTCGCAGCCTCGTTGGCTCCAACCGTGACAAGATTGCCATCAAATTTATGCAAACTGGAACTGGCATCTTGGTAGTCGTCCTCGCCCTCGTTCTCTGTATCCGGCTCAGAACCCGCAGCTTTGTTTTCCTCAGGACTATTCGTCTCCGTCTCTTCAGCCGCGTTAATCATGTCTACTGTCGTGTCCTCCATGTGCGTATCGACTTCCAAGGGATCTGCTGCGTCGGCTGGCGCGGTCATAGCAGCTGAGGGGCCATCTTCTGGCGATTCGACCATTGTCGAGGCCTGCACTTCTTTTCCGTTCTCAGTTCGGTTCCCAGCTTGTAGGATGCTCATTTTATTGGGCGCGTCTTCCTTCACTGCATCGTGCAAGCTCGGGGACGGCTCTTTCACCTGCGCCACATGTTTGTTTGCAGCAAACGCAAGTCTATTCTGCTCTATGCTTGCCAGCAACTGCGACCGCAGTTCTTCATGTTCATCTCGCACCACCGTATGAGTTAATGCCGGATCGAGCAGAGAGGCCATCTCTTCATTGGACGATGCAGGCATGGTCCGGTGTTTTGAGAACGTATTTTCATGACACCGACTGCAGAGAGTCTTCAGATATTGTTCGAAACTTCCACCATAGTACCTGTAAGCAGAAGGTGTCTGCGTGAACTAGTGAATTCGTCCAGCTTAGGGCTCTGAGGGGCTTTTCATGGGCTGCGTGGGCTATATCGTGCTTGTCAGGCTATGTGAAGTTGTAGAGATGCTCGAAGTCATTCGTCGCGTAGAACACGTATGCTATCGATGGATTAGATGGTTTCCAACCAAGTCGACGGCTTGAAGCCTCTGCCATAGGTAGGCGTGAGTCGAGCGCATTCTGCCTAATTCGGCAGGAGCTGCTCACGTGAGCTGCTGGATCGCAGCTGCCCTCCACACCACGTCGCAGTGTATCGCCGGACCATTCGAGCTGAGCTGCGGTTTTCTTAGTTGGCAGAATTGGTCAAGGCTCAAGATGGGTGTCCCCTTCGAGACGTTATTGCCATATGGCATCATGCTAGGGTTATTCGGCGTGACAGTATGCGAGCACAACCTACTCGAAAGTCGAGCTACTAACACAAGCAGGGTGTAGGCTTTGCTGGAATGGAATACATAAGGAACCACGGCAAGCGGCCACGACGAGGGTTGGACAAGTGGGATAGACAGAGTACGTTGGGTGAGGACTTACAGAAGTTTGCTGAAACTGGATAGTGATGGAAAGAGATGAGAGGATAACAGGCGTCTTCCGAGGACAATCAGACAAGGTCCCCGCGCCAGTGGGCTTTGAAGGTACGTTACGATTCTCGTCGTTTCGTTTATTGACCCATACTGACCGTGGCAACAGTTAGCAATCCTTGGAAGGTGAGCACTACTACTGACTTGCAGCTATCCCAATTAATAAGAGTTCAGACCGAGCCACGAGTTGTATGATCTTTTCACCAGTCGCATCAAGTCCTTCTTACTCTTTTACAACGACTGGCACAATAGCAGACTGGTCACGACATTGGTTCGCAATAGCATTGATTTCAAAGTCACAATTTGGACTGGCTGGACATTTAAAAAGGTTTCCAGTAGCAGAAGAAAGTCCTCACAAATGTTTGCAAACGACGCCAACTCGCAGCTCATATCCGTGTTAGAACGAGCTGGTACACAAACTGCGTGTATGCATAGGAAGCTGTTTCGGGCAGACACTAGCACAAGAGCTAAGGAGCAACACGCATTCTCACAACTACCATGTGCTCTGACCTTGTTGTTCTTTGATACCACTGCGTCGCTCTAGTAGCGTAAGGCCCTTGCCAGTTGCCTCACTATTGCTGCCTTTGTTTACTGGTGTCAGAATCATCGACCTTGCAGTCGTTTCCTGCTCCTCCCACCAGGTGGTGCATTTGTGTCACTTCGAGGGTCTAGCTTTTGTGATTCAAGGACTGTAGCGTATTGCCAGACTACGACTGTATGATTATGTAGACAAGTGCGTTGAAGATACTGTTCCTGAGCCAAGAAGCCCTCAACAAGTGCAGCAGGTTGACTCCACACAGCTGTGGTTAATTGAAGCCATGCCGATCGAAATCGTGATTTGTTTCAACCTAATAAGATAGCTATGTCGAATCTGTTGAGACAACAACTGTGTGCAATAGTGTTTCATTCTAGCAGAAGAAGACTTTCCACTTCGCCCATCAGGATGGCACGGTCTTCTGCGGAGCAAATTGAGGTGCTGCATGGGTTCTCAGCTTGTGATGTATGGTCAACGTCAATCGCGTCGCCTGGCTAAACTTGTGTGTAGGTGTCGGATGCTCTACTGAAACTAGAGAAGCCAGTCGAAGGAAGACCTCCAAAAGCTGGCTATCTTGCTAACATTGGTACTGTCGTCTGGGATAGATCTTGCTGGCAGCCACATTCTGATCAATTGTAGTGCCATATGCACCATCCGCTCCTTGGGCCCCTAGATCTGGCCAACCAAAAATCATAGCACGTGCCAGCACTCTGAAACTCATTGACAAGTTAGACACAACCACTGCGCCGCCGGAAAACGAGTCTCAATCTATTCCGAAAGGAAGTCATTGGGTCGATGAAACAGAAGAAGGTACTGTGCTAATCATCGAGCAACCAACACATCATACATGTGCAGCTGTTGGAGGTATCATGGCAATTCGCATGAAAACAAGAGGCCTGCAAGGTTGTGTAGTTGGCGGAAGAGTGCGAGACATGACAGAATTAGAGAAGTCGGGACTGCCTGTGAGTATCCCCTACACAATGTGTCCATCCTCGGATGTAGAGAGCGATCTTGTTTGTTCCTTCCCTGCCTTAGTGTCACAGCGGCTGCATTTGTTTGTGTAAAGTCCCTCTGCATTCAGAACCGACCAAGTATGTGTCTTTGCTGACATTACCTCACTTTCTAGATCTGGGCGTCTGGACAGTCTACAGTGGGTGCTGGTGCTGAAACCAAGGTTCACAGTCGCAACGTCACCGTGAATATCAGTGGTGTAAACGTCTCACCAAACGACATTGTTTTTGCAGATCCAATTGAAGGAGTAGTAGTGATACCGAATGGTCTAGTCGATCAAGTGATCGAATTAATGCCGAAATTGGTGTCGGCAGACGACAAAGTGAAGGAAGAAGTGGAGAGTGGTACGACAGTGCAGGCTGCATTCAAGAGACATCGCAACTGATCTTTTACTTCTCTTTATTTTACTACACCATGCGACAACCACCTTCCATCACTGCACCTTCAAACTGGCAACGAAAGCGCACATATGGCCGCAAACCCGTAAGTCAAGGCACTAGGAACTTCATGGACGAATTGCGAACTAGTTCGGATGGTCGCAAAAGATCTGCTGACGAAGACCTATCTCGAGAGCAGTCGAACATAAAGAAAACCTGTTCTCCGCCAGCTAAGAAAGCAATTGATTCCATCACTACCCCTATAGCCTCGGAATTACAGCAACCACCTAAATACAGATTCACGGAAGAAGAGTTCGAGGCACGAATCTCCAGCAAACCGCTACTTCCTATGCCAACCAAGCCTACCACCAGCCCACCTCCCAAGGCGACTCGAAGTCAGACAACAAAAACGCTACGTAATCAGCGCAAGCGACAAGCCAAACGACAGCGTAACAAGCAGCGCGGTGCGTTATTCTGCCAGGAAGGTTCCAACCCTTCTGCGAATTTCGATAAAGCACCCTTGCCAACACCTCCTCCATCAACCAGAGGAACGCCACAGTCGCCACTGCCGACACTACCCTCGGCCCACGACGACGATACTGACGATGCGACTGAAGAGTTCTTTGAGGCCGAGGCTGTGCTTCATGAGGATATTACAATACACGAGAATATCGTGTCTGCCCGCGGAAGTGCTATCGAGCGCTTCGGTCGTGAGTTATGGAGCAATATCTTCGGCCACATCCTGGAGACAGAAAATACTGTGCGACCTTTCTACCGTCGAGGCATGATGGCTAAAGCTATAAAGTCTGAATGCTATGACGATGCGGGTGTTATTGATCTCGACAATGTCAATCTATCCATCTTGTCGGTCTGCAAAGGATTTCATTCGATTGGCGCGAAGATCTACTACAGTAGGAACGAATTCTACTTCAACGATCCTAGTGCCTGCAGTTAGTGGCTGCAACGTATCGGAGTCGAGACACTCAAGCTCGTTAAGTACCTGTTTCTCGACATCGGCACTGATTGGATACCCGAAAGTCGAGCTATCGGTCAATTTTGGAGCAACAAATTGGCACTGGACCACATGGGCAGATGTATATTCGAGGACAAATGTACAGAGGAAAGATGGTACGAGGTGTTCTCCCAACATATCGAGCCAAACCACCAGCTGGACGGACTGACAATTCGCCTTGATGGCTGGCACGACATGAACAACCACTATTTTTACCAAAAGCATCGAATGGCCGCGATCGAGGACGAAGACACGCTGATAACGTGGCGTGAAAGGCTTGTACACTTCCTTGATGATCATATCAGAGGTATCAGACAGCCAAGACTGGCGATGATAAACACAAATCTGACACGTACTCCGCCAGCCCTGAACGGTGTCAGCATGCAAATGACCAGGAATCGAAGAACAGCGAAACCAAGGTCTGAGAACATGCGGCTCAGTCTGAGCAAGGTGCTGGAACATATTAGACTTCGATAAACGAGGACACAATAATGAGGAGGTGTTAGCTAAGACAGTATAAGCTCCTACGTCTTGTGAATGAGGCTTGAAGGGGATAGTGGATAAGTTGGAGGAAGGTCAACAGCATAGCTGATCTCAGGATGGTAGTGTGGTCACAACGGAGCTAAAGTGTCAATGGATTGAATTGTGCCATTTTCTGATTCACGAGCTCTGCTTGTCTTCGATCACGTAGAGATCCTAACAATCTACGCTGTATGTATCGTCCCGCACAACAGCTCCCAATAATGCATCGTTGCACATTGTTGCTCCCGGAAGTACCGTCAATATAGGGCTTTTTGTTGATCGTTATAAATAATGGCTTATACTCTATGCTACGCAACAGAACCGAAATCCCACCTGGCAATCTGCTTCTACCTCTCGCAAGGGTCTATCCCGAGGACCCTGGGTATGAACGGGCCTCTCGTCCACATCTATTCAGCAACCTTGAAGGCCTTCTGCCTCTCCGCAACAAGCTCATCATCCTCCGTAATGTCCAATTCGTTCAGCTCACCACTCCCAACATCGTAGATCACACCATGAACCTGCATGCCCCTCTCAACCATCGCATCGATGACAACAGGGTTCTCAAGAAGCACACTAACGCTTCGTCTAACGTTCAGATCCACCATCTTGAGGCCCCGCTCTTTCTCTGGCAGCTCCTCCAGCATCTTCAGATTCTGCTGTCTGAGATGTCTCAGTGGCATGAGCCAGGTATCGATCAAGCCCAATTTCTTGTTGGCGAGTGCTGCTGCAATACCACCACAGCTAGTGTGGCCGCAGACGATGATGTGTTTGACCTTGAGGTACTGGACTGCATACTGGATGACTGACAGGCTGTTGAGGTCAGTTGGTACAAGAATGTTGGCAATGTTGCGGTGGCAGAAGATGTCACCAGGCTGAAGGCCGAGAATGGTTGTCTCTGGACAGCGAGAGTCGGCACAGCCAATCCAGAGAATTTCTGGAGATTGACCTTTGCCTAGTTTTTCGAAGAGCTCAGGCTTGAGCTCGGCGAGGTTGCGGCGCCATTTTGAGTTGGATTCGAAGGCGACGCTAAAGCTGTCATTGTTTCCGTTTGATGCTGCTTTAGAGAAGAGGTCAGTCATGTGTTTCAATGCTTAACTCATGGCGATATTGGGTTTGTGTCAAGGCCAAGATCGTGGTGACGGGCGAGAGTTGATCTCTACGACGATATGTCATGGTTGAACACGTGGTGAATGAACGAGGCCATAATCTGACGCTTGGTTCTGCGTCACTTCGCTCTGCTAGAGCACTTCATAGAGACTCCAGTCATCCAAGAATGTTGCTGAAGGTTTCCCTCGGAGGATGACCATACCCCCCCTCTCGGAGCTAAAACTATGCAGGGCAATAGGGAATGGTGCTAGTGGTTATCCCGGTAAACTTACCCATGACTTCGTCTTTATGCTTGAGCTTGATCAAAGATTCTTTTCTTGCTGCTTGACTTGTGGCAATCGCAGAATGATGCTTATCTCGTTTGAATGCACTGATGGCGTCCGATAATTTGGGTGATTTATCCAAATGATGACTATGCCTGCGGATAACTCGACAGCTCGAATTGAACCGTGATACACTCGTCGAATGTTCTGATGCTGTCGTCAATGGACTACTAAATACTGCAAAGCTCCGTTTAAAAGGTGTTTGCGTGTGACAGAAGAGGAGCTGACGTTGACAAGCCATATCTACAAACAGCTGCGTGTAGCAAAATTAGCGAGAAAAAGATATGCGAGGAAGGTGCAATGGAACCGTTGAGAGTGACATCGATTGGTTGGCCGAAGGGGGAACCTAAAAAGAATGGTTCGTGTTGGGCAGTTTTGCGGAAGCTGAGATTCCCCAAAGCGTTTGTCCACGGAAGAATATCTGCAAGGTCGATCCGTCACAGCCACAGGAGCAACGATTGATCATGCACCATGACGCCGTTACCAAGACTCGAAGATAAGAAGATACGCTTTGCGATCAGCAAGTACAATTGAATTCTGACCTATGTAATTCTATCTACGACGACAAGAATAATCGACAAATTGGCCCTAGTCCACAGGATCCTCTTCTAGAAGAAGCTGGAAGCTGAAAGGCTCGAACGGTATACCTTCACCGATGAAATGCTTGCTCATAGCTTCGACCCAGTGTAGTCGCAGTGAGTGCAACATGGCGCTAGTACCCTCCATGATGCAAAGCACAGCTATAGTTAGAACAAACCACATGGCGAAAGCAACAACAAGCATGACGATCTGTAGACCACCAGTTGCAGTGAACGCGTTGTTCAACGTCATGTCCCAAAGCACAACCGACAACTGTTGATGGGCAAGAGAAAGAGCCCAAAGTCGTAGATACGAAGCGGTGTGCGAGACGCAGTTCAGACAGAACTCGATGGTATCTATACATGTTAGTATTGGAACAACAGTCGTTTTTGAAGTACTCACGGATAGTCTGATGGATCATCACCTCGGAAAACTCGAACTCTTCATGCTCTTCATCGCCAATATTTTCAGTAATCATAGCGCCCTCGTCAGTATCTGTGCTAGGACGCCCATTCATATGTCGAGTGTCTCCATCTTCGTCATCGTCGTCAAGTGCATGCGTAACGTGGCTGGTGTCTCCAATACCACGATAGCCTTTAGCTGCTGTTCGGTTATGCTCCCAGCGAAGGTACAGAGGCTTGAGAAGCAGAAGGATGGGGACGTTGACAACGGCGAGAAGAACCAGTATTACTTGAATTGTGGCCTGACCAGAGTAGAGTTGTTCATCAGGTTCAACGTTTCCTGGCGACAAGAACATTTGGATAAGCATGTTCAGTAAAGATGGTGGGCTTCGTCCTTCAGCATACCAGTCAACGGACCATTTGTAGAGGATAGTAAAGGTCAAGTATCCGAAGATAGACTGGAAGAAGATCATGCCAGGCACAAAATTGCCCCAGATATCAATCTTGGACTTGAAATGTCGAGCATTAATCAAGGAGAACATCAATGCGTAAGTCATATGACACCAACCCATCAGGATCGACAGCTTCATTTTGAAACTGTTACTGAAGAGAAGGTCATTGTCTGAGCCATGCCAAGCCCAATCAATACCAAATGGATATCGATAACTGCCCTTGAGATGTCCTGTCACATCAGGACGGCCCTCTTCCGGGAATTCCCAAGCAGAATCGAATGCGGTGAAACCCTTGGAGAAGACATCGTTGTAGATAAGGCCGGTGAACATGGAGTAAGTTCCCATCATCAACATGATATAACGACCGTAAAAGGCCATCGAGAACAACTCATCTTGCTTAGATCGAGACAGAGGCTTTTCCCAGTAGATCATGGCACAGGCAGCCATGAACATCAAGACACCGTGACCGAAGTCACCAAACATGACGGCGAACAGGAAGGGGAATGTAACAATGGTGTAGAGACCAGGGTTGACTTCCTGGTACTTGGCTGTACCATAAGCATTGATGATTGTCTGGAAACCCTCGGTGAACTTATTGGTTTTGTTGTACGTAGGTGGAGTCTTGTTGGTCTTGATCTGATTGACAATGGTTGGTACAGACAGACCAGCCCGGTCGTTGACGTCTTGCAAGGTTGCTCTGATCTGTGGCAGAGAATTGGTTGGCACCCAAGCCTCAGCAATGAGAGTCTTGCGTGCTTGATCATAGGAGCACATGTTGAGGGCATTGTAGACAGCTTTCTCTTTCTTAATGACAATCAACCATGCAGCAAGAGATCGAGCGATTTGGGTAAGTTCAGCATCGAGGGTGTTTTTTGTGTTGCGCAGGACGCTCGCAAGATCGCTGAGTCGAGTGTTGACTTCGTGAATCTGGTCTCGACGCAAATCGCTGTTCTCGTCGACGTTGTATAGGTCAGCTCCCAAGCTTTCAGAGATTTTTCGGATCTTTGCAATGATCTCCTTGCCGTGAGCGAAGATAACGAAAACGTTCTTGCGAACCTCTTCGTTGTCCTCTGGGTTGATAATGGCGTCTGGAATCTCGGACTGATTCATGTAGAGGTTGCCACGAAGGGTACGCCACAGAATGCGCTCAAAAGCTGCGAGTCGTTCTCGAGGAATAACACCAGAGACGAAGCCAATATTCATGACTGCGAAAGACTGCTGCGGTTGAGCGGCGTCGCCATTGACACGGGCCTCCTCAGCCTCAGCATTTCGAAGTAAAGGTGCATCATCATCGTCGAGACTTTGTCTGATATCTTCACTTTGTCCATGTGCTCGGTCAAAAAAGCTGCCAGCCTCTTTCAATACCCATCTCCATTCGGTCAACTCCATCTCTCGCTTCTTCAATGTCTCATAACTCTCGTTCAAGTTCTTGATACGTTGCTCAAGGCTTTCGGCTCGATCAGCGAGTTCGTCTATCTCAGCGGCTTGAGGAGCGGCGAGCATATCCTCGTCAAAATCGTAACGACTTCGCATAGAAATGTTGGCCTTTTCCATTTGAGCCTTGAAATATCGTAGTTGCCGCTCAATGTTGTCGAGCCTTCGAATCTCTTTCGTAAAGGTTCTTTGAAACGCGCTTGTCTCGCTGTTGAGGTCCCTAAACTGGACCTGTCCAAGCTCACCAAGAGCAGAGACTACTTCTCGTCCAATTTCATTCGAGGTATACAACTGGGTCAACGACATAGACGCCGACCTGAAAAGGGTGTCCTTGCTCGCCATCTTGGTGGCTATATCTTGTCAATCGCCTCGAGGCAAAAACAAGGTCTTGCAGCAAACAAGAAGGACGAGCACCACACAAGTGCTCTTGAGAAGACTGGCAGTGATGCCGGAAATGATGGTTGGAAAGACTGATAGTTGAAGAGGCAGCGCTCAAAGAGCTTGATGCGCAGACATCATCGCCACATAGGGAAGGCACCGACCACGTGATTCGGGATCGTTCTTGCCTCGCGTCTCCCGACTTCTGCTTTCTCAATTTACTCTAGTGAAAGTGCCCGAAAGTGGCCTGTATTTGTGCATTAGACATCGAGCAATCATTATAAGCTTCAGAAACTTCGCATATACTACGATTGTGTCCTCTCTGCCAGTCGATTGCCACATGGTTGCTACCATAGTAGGTAGATCCGAATCAGAGTACGAGAGCGAATCAGGTATTATTGAGGCAAACGTCACACAGTATACGACAAGAGTCGAACTTTGCGAGCCCACTTGCTAGGAATCACTCTATTCTGAGGTAAGTACAACTTATCCATGCTAGAAGACAAACATCGCAGTCGGAAATGAAGAGACAAACTAAGAGCACGAATCTTTCACTGGGTGAGGAAGCTTCTTGAGCATACACTATTCAAACATAGAATTGGCTAAGTCGTTCCGTACTTCGTAAGCACTACCTCTAACGGCATTGTAACAGAAGTGATTGTGCTTGGATATGGTAGCCGAGCAACAGGTGTTGAAACCTTTTAATATCTGGTCAGGTATTTCAATCCCGGGGTTGCAGGTGAAAGCGATACCTCAAGTTGCAGTGAGTCGCCGCTTGTTATCCAGAGTTTCGTGTAATTTGACTAGCTTGATACCTTAATAGCTAGGTATGGCGCGGTTGCGTCCTTATGGTACCAATGGAGGAAATCTGAAGGCCAACGTAAAGACATGCCAATTACGATCGCGTCTCAACTCGTCAGAGTGCTCACAATTGAGAACGAGGAGGTGTAGTGACCATAATTTTAAGCAAGGTACGTTTCCAGTGGGTCGCGCCTTCCAGACTTTCGCAAAATGCACCTGACTATTGAAATTGAGTACTTAGCAATGTTGCTAGTACAACCAGGGTACCCCTTCGCATTGACCATTGGTGAACAGAAGAGTCTGCTGACATTTGAAATAAGGATGAGTTGTGTGTGTAGATAAAACCCTCGCCCAAGCCAAGTTACGACCTGCATACAATGTATACATCGTCCCTCAAAGCATGCGAAGTAGTGATTGTGAGAAGACTGTATGATGATCGAGCTTACATTTCACTCCAGCCAGCTCTTTCTGAAAAGCTTGTGGCCCCACGCATGTGCTGTGCTGCTTCGAGTCTGATGTTGATTCAACTAGCATCCCTGAGTTCAACAACCACTATCAGGTACCGCTAGCGTCGCCTTATACCACCTGCTCCTCGTCATATTACCACTCTTGCATCGAGTACCGTTTCCCAACTCATGCAACCACTCTTACCCTCTCGCGTCCCTCGTCTGCTGACAAGATGCAATCGGCTATCTTGCGGGAAACCAGCCGATCAACAAGGCAGATCGTGTACTCTGATTGCCTTGATGACCTGGTACACCACCACATGAACAAGGCTCTGGTTATACCGGTGCTTCAATCGTCTATGGTCTGCTTCTACCACACCCAGGATATCGATGGCATAATACGAATACAAATAATCGTGCTCACGTCGATCGTACGATTGCGGCTTATGTCCTGTTATTTTCTGCTCGAAACGACTTGTTTCTTTCTTCGAACATGCTATGCATTTCGATGTTGTACAGTCGTGGTACTCGAGTATACTCATGGTCTATAGGTCCAGACACCACTCGGTCGCGTTGCGCATGTCGCTTCAAACAATCTCATCAAGTTTGAGCGATTTAGTTCGTTTCTCTCGAAGAACAACATCAGCGCTTTATCATCGGGCATGCGTAAGGATACTTGTGGTCGAGGACAAGCATATCACAACGCATGAACAGAAGCGAGGGAACTGTGCGAGCGGCCATATGAGGAGCTGCGACCTGGACCACAGTCGGCCCTCGCAACACCTTCTGCATCTCCTGTCTTATCGATCGCGGCGAGGCAAAAGGGTTTCAGTCTACAATGATTTTGTGTTCTCTATGGACAATACAAATACACAAACAGAATTGAAGCCTCCCACCATGACCTCGTGGTAGCCTCTTCGGTTCATTGACAGCTCGACATCATGACTACATCATCAATCGTTACACATTAATCCGAATCCTCAGTAACCAAGAGCTTCACCAACCACTGCATTAGGTGCCATGTCAGCGAACTGCACCTTCCAAACTTGGAGGCAGATTCTTCACAGCAATGTCGATGGTTAGAATTTGAAGACTAACGTTGATACCAGGGGTCTTGGTCCATCTGATAAGCGTCGAAAGATTGATTGAATTGAGGCTCGGAGTGATTGTACTGCTGGTTATACTGCAGTTGACTATTTGCAAAATTCATGGGATTCTGGTACTGAATCTGTGGTTGTTGAAAGGGTAAATTTAAAATTGGTCTCTCCTGCTGATGTGGTACAAGGGTGTTCAAGTGGTGATGTTCTGCCAGTCCTATGTTCATCGGATTCAGCTCAATCTGAAGGTTTGCCAATCCACTATTTATCTGCGATCTTTCATGCGCAGCATACCGATTTGCAAGGATCATCTCATCCGAATCATCGCTCGAGCTGAACATCTCCTGTTGATTGTTACTCCACGAACCTGTAATAGGCATATGAACACTTGGCTGATCTGCATTTGAAACCGGTATACCAGAGTTTGCCCATGCATAGGTATTGTTGCTGCTTGTTTGTGGTTGACTTGCAAAAGTCATTGGCTGTGAAGTATTGGCGAAAGCAAATGGAAATCCGCTGACAGGAGGATTAGTAGTTGGAAGCGTCGTGAGGACACCTTCGGCAGGCGCATCCTGCTGAGATTTACGACCCTTGTGACGATTGCCAATATTTGCGCCTACCGAGACTCGTCGGAGATCTGCAAGGCTTGAGCCCCAATCATCCTCTTTCCTTCTCTTCTCTGGGATTGGTTTTCGGTATCGCAATTTCGCGCCGGCTGACTCGAGGATCTTATTGATATCAGTCGGACGTAAAGCAGGTGGCAGCTGATAACCACGCGGCAGTACTGTGAATGACCTCGATCTGATCAGACCTACAGGAACTGCATAGCAATTCGAACGAGGTTGATCGACGACGTTCTCGACGAGGGTGAATTCGAGGTAGTAATTACCAGGATACTTTACGTTCAGGTCGGGGAAGAACATGTAACCGTGTTGTTTCGCTTGAAAGACAGATGCTGCACAATTTCCTTGCAGCTCATGTGCTTCGACCACGCCTCGATTGTCGTCCAGGGCATAGAGTCGAGCATATGCGAACATCGACGGATGTACGTTGATAAGTGGATGTGGTTTGGCACCACCTTCCCCCATGACCTTGACCTCAATAACTGGCATAGGCTCTATTGGCCAGGTTGTTTTTTTCCTTTGTCCATTCTTCGACTTGGGAGACTTATCAACAGATTCCAAAGCTTCTACTTGCACAGGCTCTTGTATCATGGTAAATTCATAAGCTGTTATCGGAGGCATTTGTTTACCGTGAGCATGCGTCGCTACTCCGGCTTCGTAACCGTGGCCTTGTGATCTGTCAGTACTATATTGACGCCATATTTGGGGATCGTTCTGACGTGTATAGGATTCTTTCGTCCTTGTGGCCTGAGGCTCGAAATGTCTGTCTGTACCAATCTGTCCATAGGACATCTGCTCTTCCATTTTGAAAGTCGTCAATCTTCAAATCAGGTATTCAAAGTAAGAGCATAGAATTTGGGAACGAAACAAGTCGGGATTTGGAGGGGGGTGTTAAGTGAGAATTATCTATTGCTTTCCGTGCTGAGTCTTCCTAAATGGTCGTGAAAGTTTTATGTGAGCATATATTGTCGAAAGTCTGAGTCAAGACTGTGTCGTGTTGAGGCTTCCAAGTTCTGTGCGCGATTATGGTTGGTCGTCCTGTTGTATATCGTCCCAAATGTACTCTTTGACTCCACTTAGCTTCCAAAACGACCCACTGAGCTCTTTCAACCACGCTAGACGTGATGTATAGATATTTTGATATAACGGGCAAACAGCGAACAATGATTGAGCATGTGTCGGCTCGAAGTTGATATAGAGTGTGGACAAATATATGCGTGGCAAGAGCGATCTTTTGTGGCAGTCACCAGAGGTGTGCTGGTCTCCTTCCTCAATAAAGATGGAGCATGTAGCGTCCTAGCTGATCCAGGTCAGGCGGGAAAGCGCAATGGACTCAGTTCGCCAGGCAGAGACTGCCTTCTGAATCACGAGCAGTTCCGAGTCTCAGAAACTCCGACGAGCCACTCTTTGTTCCGCGCATCCACCCTGAAATCCTTTCGTCTTTCTTGTGATGGAATGTTCTTGACAAGCAGTGTCCCTTATCTCGAGACATGCAGTCAAGGAGCAGGTCTAATCGATATAGTACGACTTTGTCGCAGACACACAAAGTGTGATGGCGATATTGATGGAAGTTGCGGCCGATGAGGTTCAAATGCTTAGCCCGGAGCAGGACACTGCCCGAACACAGGTGCATGTAGTTTCGATCAAGCTGAGTAACGTCGACAAGCTGGCCATATATATGTGCTCCGTGATATCGATCGCAGCCGTAGAGTAGAGGAATCGATAGGTAGATCAAGAATTGTAGGATGAAGCCTTGACGGCAGTACTATATTCGACGCTGATATGATTGCTGCTAATCCGAGGACTGTCGTTATGACTATCGGTACTGCTGGTTAACGAGATTCTGCACTCTCGCAGCTCTACTATCGTGATAAGTCCGATTTGGTGGTCTGATGTGTTCCGATAGATGCTTCAGGTCAAAAATTGGGTGTTTAAGCACTACTGCGTGCCAATCACTAGCCATAGTGATACACCACAACCATCTCCTCGACTGTAGTGAACACCAGATCGGTACGGGAGGAGAGTCGTGATATCTACCAGTAGCTGTCTCCTGTCGACATACTAAGCATTTTCCTGAGAGTTTTGTGCGAGTGACTCTGTCGCCAGCGTTCCACTTCCTCTTCCGTGCCGCGCAGCGAATGCACCTTACCCGGCGTAGCGATTCGGTCTTGCTGGGGGTCCATTTCAGGAATTTGTGGCTTGCAGCAATGGATGCAAGATGTGTCTTGGTTGGAGACAACCGTCATTCGCTTTCGACTCGGTGATGAAACCGTCCATGTATCGCCATGTGCTTGCCATGTGGCATAGTGGCATCCACGGGGCGGCCATGTGCTGACTAGCTTACGAGCCCGTGAAGGACAAGTAGGTTCGTCAAGCATGGCTTTGACAATGAAGTGAAGCCTCTTTCCGGTAATCTTACGTCTGAAGCGGGTCCGCCCGCGCGCTGCGATACAGCACTAGCTATGAGTTGATCGAATTTCGTCAGCTCGAGGCGAGCATCGCAGCATAGCGGGTACAGACCAAGTTGAGCACGTACATATTCCGTACGGCTAAATGATCTCAGTGGCGGACGCTATCAATCGTCTTCTGATGAAGCAGGATGAGGATCGTTGTCACTAGTGTGCAATTGATGATTCTGGTACGGGAACATGTGTATAGCTGGTCAGTTGTTACTCCGAAGAATAAGTGACCCAGCTGAAAACCTGTCATACGACGAATTATTTGGAAGCCTTGACCTCAAAAATCGACGAGAGCTCGCCACTGAATTCAGGTCAGTCACTGCAGGGGACACACTTTACAAATTCGAGGACGTATCGAGACCTACCGAACTGTCAGGCCACTTATCCTTTGATGACAGGGATGCCACGCGAGCGCCACTAAATCCCATGTGGTTCTCTTGGCGCTAGCTAAGCTTACTAGTGTCAAGTCGTCAATCGGAGCTCGCATGCTAGTCAATTTGGATATCTTGCCAATCTCATCCAGTATCGCGTTCAAATAGGTCGACGGAGATACAGAATGAGCCATGATAGCCAAGTCCAAAGCGTGGACAATGCCACTTTCGCCCAATGGGACATTGACCGCATTCTTCGGAACGATGTGACATACTGTTCCGCCGGATTTTCCTTTTCTTGATGCAGCGAAGAAACTCGGAATTTTACAACCAGTCACACCTAGCTTTTTGCCCGACTCATTGATGCGGAAGCCACGTGCGCAGTCAGCAAAGCATGTGGCTAGGATGATGATGTTGGCATTTGCGCAGGGTAGATTCCTGACACAAACATGTATACCTAGTTCTGTTACCGGCTTGATACACATTCAAGCTGGCTGTAACCTGAAAGCAAAGGTTGATGAACAACGTGGCATCTGTGCTGTGCCTCACTAATAGTCGACCTCGGCATTCTGACGGAGGCCAGTCCTCCTCGTACTAGTCAAAAGGCTGTGTGGTAATCGAACCAGTAACGACATACAGTTGACATCCTGACCAGGATGACTGGATCAACCACGTGGAAAAAGGCTTCTTCTCACTGAGCTCTTTTCGCACATGGATAGGTCATTCAGTGCGACTTCATGCGGCTAGTACTCATGGCTTTCACAGTAGAAAATGTGGCGAACTTACTGGAAAGCTAATTCTTTGCCAAATAATAGCGAAGAGTCGTGCGTTGCACACGGCTCACAAGCGCTTCTTGGCCACCGAAACCAGTCCGTCTCGTCACTCTATGGGAAGTTGACTGCCAGAAATTCATGTCCGAAAGGCCTCGGCAAGGTGGAGCTGCTATAGGATCTGTAAACACTTTCGCATGAGTGCTAGCGAATTTGAATGTTGTGAAAGACCTGAGCTCGACTCGGTGGAGCCAGGCTGGTCTTCTTTCGTGGAGTCACCCTGCATACGACGTCCTAATCTGGCCTAGCAGATCTGCATGAATCGGATTGCGGGAACTCGGTTCTTCAGGTCTACGCTACCATAGCCGAGCATTTTTGGAATCAGGCCATCGATTGGAGCACAAACTACAAATGCTCGATTAGCTCTACAGATTGAACAACTCAAGAAGAGCTGACTTCATCTGGCACGTCACCGCTCGCCATAGGACGACGATGCTGTGAACAGCGATTGGTCGGTTGGGCTGTAGCATATTAAGTTGAAAAGCATTCACAGTAGATTTACTTTGCGATAAATATCTAGAAACCTCACCTACATCTTTCGACTTATACATGCCCTAAAATCACGATTCTGGCTTAGTGGACACCGTAGTTCGTTCCCACGAGATGCAGAGATTAGAAAAGCAAATGGTCGGGGTTTCAGTGCTGTTCAACAAACGAGGCTGATTGTGCTGACTCGGTGATGAGAGCTAAAGGGCCGGTGAAAGTACAAAACGTGACTTGTAAGCCTCGCGCGCTATACAGGCGAAGCGAGGTGTTGAGACGGGTTTCTTCAGGTAGGGAAACTGAACGCGAGAATTAGCGCCCGCTTATGGACTTGTCTGCGCCACAATGGGAGAATCCTAATCGAGAGGTGGTGTGATCTGCTCAATTCGGAATTTGGTAAGACACAAAGCATGACAACCTTGAATCTTCAGTTGTCAAAGGTGCGCAACGACAATTCCGTTGCTATTGCAAGGAAACATGATATTGGCGTAAGGGACAAAATGGTAGAGCTGAAGGCTCGATCACCAGGTACGAGCATTGCAGACCACTGGTTGAATGCCTGAGGCATCAACTCACCAAGAAGTGTTTCCAAACCAAGAAGAACTTTTTTGCTAAAGAGTCAATGTCTCCGTCAATTTCAAAAGTTTCTTACAATACCTGATATTCATCGTTACTTGCATACAAGAAGCGCTGCTTGCAGAGGCAACCTTCTTAGGATGTGCCGCGCAGTAACGAGGAGCTTGCAAACCTGTCAAGTGCATGAGAGAATAAAGGATGTTGTGTCCCTCACAATTGTGATTCTAGGTTGGCATTTCTTGGATGTGAGAGAGCTATGAGCTCGTCAAGTTCATCTCAGTACCACTAGCGGCAATTTCGAAAGCCAGCCTCTGTTGAACTGACTTGCAAAGGGGCTTGGAGTTTTGAACTTGTTTGACCCGAGCTTGCTAGAATCAAGACCGTTTTGCATAACGGACGGAAGGATACGTGTATTTCATGTGAAATGTCGAGCGAACCAAGTATCTGCCTTGCAAATGGTGACGCTCACCAATGAGCACGCGCAAAATGCTGTAATGGCGAACGACAATGCCGATATGGCCAACTATCTATCTTGACAAAAGACTCAATTCAAGAAACCATACGCCGTTATACGCAATTATTCCGCAACCCATACAGCAGCCATTCCCATACCAGTACCCACGCACATACTCGACACACCAACTTTCTGCCCTGTCCTTCTCAACTCGGTCAGAAGTGTGCTAACTTGTCTTGCACCAGTGCAGCCCAGTGGGTGTCCAAAAGCGATTGCACCACCCTTGGGATTGACTTTGCTCTCATCAAGGCCCAATTCTTTGATGCACCAGACGCATTGACTAGCAAAAGCCTCGTTAATTTCAAAGATGTCGACATCGTCCTTGGAAATTCCTGCCTTTTCGAGCGCAACTGGTATAGCTTTCCATGGACCAATACCCATGAGTAGTGGTGGCACACCGACGACTGAAGCATTGACATACTTGCCCAGGATTGGCTGGCCGAGTCTTTCGGCTGTGCTTCGCTTCATGAGTAGTACTGCTGCGGCGCCGTCCGAGACCTGTGAAGCATTTCCGGCGTGAATGGTTCCATCCTTGGCGAATGCAGCCCTGATCTTTGATAACGACTCAGCAGTGATACCTGTCCGCACACCATCGTCCTTGGTTACTGTGACTGTCTTTTCTTCCTCAGTCTTGGGGTCTGTATACTTGACTGTCACAGGCATAATCTCCTCGTCAAATAGTCCTTGCTCTTGTGCCTTGATTGCTTTCTGGAACGAGCTCGCTGCGAATGCATCTTGATCTTTCCTGGTGACTTTCTTGTCCTTGGCCATCTGTTCCGAGAGTACACCCATAGGAACCTTGCAGTTCGCAGCCTGCATGTGGTTCTCAAGCAGTTCCGAGAACTCTGTAACTGCGCCTGGACCGTATTGTGTTGACATCGATTCGACGCCGGAACCGACACCGATCTCGATCATACCGCTCTTGATCGCGTTTGAGATATCCACGCAGGCTTGTAGGCCAGACGAGCATTGACGGTTCAGACTCTTGACTGCGGTAGAATCAGGGAAGCCTGCTGCGAGAGCTGCTGCGCGAAACTCGGTTGCGCCACCACCTGGAGCAAGGACACAGCCAGTAGCGATATCCTCCACTAAAGATGGATCTATCTTCGATCTGGACAGGAGGTTCTTAAACGTGTATAGAAGCAGGTCGGCACCCATTGTATCCTTCAGAGGACCTTTTCCTCCCTTCGTGAAGGGCGTTCGGATGGCGCAGGTAACGACCACATCGTCGGGGGACTTCTTGAGGATCGCATCTTTTCCAAGACCGCTGGATGGAAGTGCAGGCTGGTTGTCTGAGGCGAGATGACCAGAGACCTGGCTGAGTCTCTCCCGCGCTTTGTCTGGTGCTGTGGTATTGTTAGTTGCAAATTGCGAGTCGATCCGAGGGCTTTACCTTGTGTCATGGTTGCGTATAGAGAGTCTCCTGGCCTGAGTGTCTTTCTTGCGAGAGATGAGTAGCTAGATTTCACGGCCTTCAATCAATGTTTATGATCTATGCGTGATTCCAAGACTTTTTCGAGCACGCGCGCGTTCGTCTTTCAACTGTCGAACATGTGCTTCGTCCTTATATCGGTGCCGAGGCATTGACGTCATTCACTGACCATATGGCCAGAAGTCATGCATGGGAATAAAGCTGATGTTCTAGTCGTTACTGTTGGCTAGGTATCAAGCACGGATCACGAGTATGAGAGACATGAGGGTCAAAGGACCATGCCATCTCATGTACTCTGCATGATTCTCTGGTCAGTCTTCATCGTAGACCCGAACCAATAGCTCTTCAAGGAAAAAGATTTAGGGTAGACGAGGTCTTTTGCAAGAACAACATGTGTATTCTATGTCTGTATGTTCTCAAGCATTGAACCTCGTGCTTTTCTCAGAAACAACTCAGGTTTTCGCTCAAAACCACAATACAAACAATGAACAGCCTCTCGTTTTTTCTTCAAAAACAATTCAGAATGTCGCCTGAAAGCAAGATATAAGCAAACACAATCACGATTCCGCTCAATCGTGCCACACTGTCGCTTCGAACAAATATAGAAAGCGCAATCGTATTACCTCAAAGCAGCAGGTGTAGGCCCCTTTGCAGAAAATGCAAGTAGGGCAACACTGTTGCTGCACAAGAAAAGGAAGAAAAGAGAATAACAGAAGCGAATATAGTCGAGCAGTCACACCGCTCGACAAGATCACTTGAGAACAAAAACACTAAAGCAAGGTAGAGATATACTCCACACATCGTCAGGGTTTCGAGCTTCAGCTGCCTCGCACGGCAGCATGCGCCCAAAGACATCCTGCGAGATGCTCATCTTGAGTGCGCCAAATACTGATGGACGTTGCATGACACCAGGCTCGAAGCCAGAGTCCGTGCGGTAGCGCTGCTTCAGCGCATCAGAGTATTGCGATATTGAGTGCGCTAGATTAAATCGCTTCTGAGCGATTCGAGAATCTCTTGCACAACAGTATGTCACGATATCGTCCTTGCAGTCATTCCAGTGCTGGAGTACTCCCCAAGGTCTTTCTCGTTTTTGACTGCTTGAGAGATGCGACAGATTCTTGCCGTTTACAGATCAACACATTGGTTGGTGATGACCAGGACAAATTCCTGGTAGGTCTTCACCTGATTAAGAGCAGCACCTTTGGCAGTCTGTAGACTAGAGGTGGTGTGACCGCATTGTGTAGCTGCTTCGTAAGAACTGGTGACCCATTACTTGACTTCAACGAGTGACGAGAAATCTTTCAGCTTAAGGCTACTGACTGTGCCAAATTTGGCGTATGTGCCAGCATTCTCCGTCACCCTTACAGCCGCCTCTTCCCAAAGATCAGGAAGCGTGAGTCGAACCTCATCGAAAACTGCATGCTACAGTCGAGTACATTGCATATCAGACGGTGGAAAACACTGTGGACGTTTCAAGGCTCGATGCGTGAATTGACTGTCCTTCTCAACATAGGGTGATCTGGTGGTTGATTAGCAGGCTGTTCATTTTAGAAAACATTGATGTCTGAACAGAACGATGGTATCGCTGTTTCTTGTAGAGCCGGGAGCTGGCGCCCTCCGGCAGAGATTGAAGTACATATAGCACGAACGCGATGTTGTAGGTGTGTTATCACATCTTGTATTGATCACTGAAATCAGTCCTACGATGCCTTAACGCGCTCTGACTGCCACGGTCACGTCAAGTTCGAGTACTAAAAACTGATACCCGATGATCTTCTCCTGCTCCATTTTCGCATGTCTTGTGCCCTAACTACCCACGCAAACAACCAGGAGCACTTTTGGTTCTTGTACGACCGTGCTCCGCACGATTGAATAGCAGGATTGCCTTCGTCGCCGCATGTTTGTGCACTGGAATTGTCCAACGAAGTCATGTTCATTCACATGGTCGATCATTTAGTTTCCGATCACTCTCCGATGAAAGCGTCGTACTTACAGCTCCCGCCACGTGAAGGCAGATCGACATAGGGAGCCTGCGCAGTGCTCTGGCGTCCCATAAACTTGAGACAAGCAGATGCTTGTGCATGATAGACTGTGCTACCAGGCAAGAAACTGCGCACTTCTTCGAAGACAACTTTCGTCAGCGAAGAAGGACCGGGGCTTCGCGCCACCAGTAGTGCCATGCATCACTATTCCCGATGCTGACAAGATTTTCCATGTTCAAAAGACTGTACCATCGAGAAGTAGACCACTGATTCCTAGTTGGAATCTGTAGTACGAAGAATTCTCAGGTTCGTGTCTTGGCAATGAGATGTCGCCTATAGAAGTCCGATAAGAGAAGTGGCCTCTGACTCTGCAATCGAGATGACTTGAGGATGCACACTTGATCGCGATTTCTGGGCCATATACTCATTCCAGCATCTCGACGAGATGCAAATGGACGGCAGACAAAAGAAAAAGCACTACTCTTAGTGCATAAATCAAAAGCAAGGTGTTGCCACTGGCAGCACAAAGATAACAGCAGAAGTTAAAAAGCAGGGGCGCTGCCACTGGCGGCACAATGACCACATAGGGGCTGGATGCACCCCAAATCGACAAAGACAACGCGGACGACAAGAACTTACCAACATTCGCAGAGCGACGGCATCACCACGATGCAAGCTTACCATCTCCTCTGCCTACTCGAGTGCAGGCCCTGGCAGATTGAATCTTGCAAATCGTCCAGATCTTCATCGTATTCGTCGTAATACAGATCCTCGTCGAGCTCGGACCTATCGGGCTCGTCTGGATAATAGTGCTGCGCTTGAGTCGTCGAGAGATGAGCAGTTGTCGGCATTCTAACGCCACTTTCGAAGATGCTCTCTTGATTGGAACGACTGACGAGAGAGCTTGGAAGCGAATCAGGATGTATGCCAGAATCACTGTCATACCTACTATCCTGTACCTGTGCATCCTCGTGCTCATCAGATGAGACGTGCACTTCGGTGGGAGTCTTTTGAAATACACCTGGCACCTCGCTCGATTGCTTTGATTGTGCGCTCTCAGGGCTGGTTGAGGAAGCATCAGAGTCGTCGTTCACGGTGGCGGTGACCTCCCCGTGCATCTGCATTTCGTCACCGTCTCCAACGTGGCTGTTTTGAGCTCGGTGTCTTCGATGTCCACGCTTTTTGTCAAGCATGGAGGAGATACTAGGCGGCGTCCAATTGAAAACCTCGGGCCAATCATGGCGATAGTCTTCTTCCAGGTCACTTAACTCCGTGCGTCTGGTCGTCCATACATCCGTGTTCTCCGGATGGTCATACCAAGCTCCCACATTGTGATCTTGGATGGGGTGATGAGACGCAAGGTCGAATTTGCCTTTGCAAATGCGGCACCAAAGACTCTTTCTCAACCTTACAGGACTGACTAAGTAAGACCACACTTCCCAGAGCACGCCGCATGTCCATGTTGGATGCTCCTGACCACAATACGTGATATCGCAGACGAACCCGGAGTTGGGAAAGCACTTCTTACGTGTGAATCCTCTTCTGTGCTCACTGATTTCGAGTATTCCTCTTCGTTGGCTTCTCTCTCTTAGTTTTTCAAGCTCAGAGCGGTAAGCATATGCCTTTGCAAGGGTGTGCTCATAATGTTCGAGGTCGCTATATTGTGCTCTTTGAGCCTTGACGGCTTCTTCGAGAGCTGCAATCTCTTTCTCGAGCTTGTCCTTTTGTATCCGCCATTTGCCCTTAGGGAAGAAGGACCAGCATTCTGCAAGTGCTCTGGGCTCTATGTCGGCTAGATCAGATAATATATCTCTGTCCTGCGTTTGCTCGTTGGACTGGTCGCTTTCAATATCCGGTTGTTCAGTAACGGGGTGCTCGGTGAACCACGGCTTTGCGTTAGCAATGGCGATGCACATCGCCTGACGCTCTTTATACTCCGCTATCATAGCCACATATCGCTGATATGCGCTCTCTGCGTCTGCAACCACTCTGCGCGTGGCCCGGAAGTGATCAGTGTGAACAGCAGATTGTGCTACACGCATTCCTTCGAGATAGCGTTTGAGACGTCGATATTATGCGCAAATTTCTTCGCCTCCATCTCCATATCACCATCCTCATCTCCTAAGGACTCCTTGCCATCTATTATGGCTTGGGGATACATCAGAGAGGGATTGTCGATATAACCATCACATACTGCATCTCTCTTGAAGTTCGGCTTCGAGCTGGGCTGCTGCACGGTGGAAAGGGAAGGCTGGGGTTGACCTGCTGCCGAATGGACAGGTTCTGGGTTCCTTATCTCCGATCGCCACTGCTCATCTGAAGGATACTGCTGCTGCTGATAAGACATTGGGAAAGGCGGCTGCTGGTGTTGCGAGATGTATTGGCCATGCTGGAAAGTCATGTGCTGAGGTAATATCTGGAAGAACTGACCAGGGAGCACATTCACTGTGTGCATTAATTGTGGAAATATTGGTTGGGTTTGCGCAGGTTGATTGAACACAGGTCCCATCTGTGGGCCTGGCACGAGTTGCTGCATGAATGGCGCTTGAAGCGATTGTAGAAATTGCTGTTCACGTTGTACAAAGCAAGCGGAACAGCGATCTGATGAGGGGATTTTGAATCTATTGCAGTATGGGCAATTATCCATGATTTATTTGTTTCTTTTCTGATATGACATTGGTGACGAAAGAAGCCAATGAAGAAGTTTTGCATATTGGAGGAAGTGTGCGTCACGTGGTGTCTAGGATATTTGAAGGTTTCACTCTGGAGTGACAGCACTTTGTATGCAGTGGATCTTCCTGCTCTATGCAGTGCTGATTGAACACAACTCTCCGAGAATGTAGACCGACTTATTTCCCTGGAGTCATAGTCGAGCCAATATCCTCTGCCAACTCATAAAATTTTGGATATGTAACCGTCTTACGTGGGTGTCGCAGGATCGCCTGTCAAATCAAAAACATCGGCACCAGATCAAACCATGTGCGCGCAAGACTCTCGAACGTCTGCCATGCACGGGGGCTCACACATACCATATCAAACTGCTGGAAACTGCCTAACAACCTCTGGTCATAGCCTGACAGCAGTCATGGTCTCTGTTGTCAGTTTAGTGCTGGCATGCGTGTGCGCACCATGAGATAACCGAGTGAATATTACTCATTTCTTTCTCTCACAGCTTTTGTCATCCTTGCTGTCTGTACTCGCCCCTACATACGTGGATGAGGTCCCTTCTCCTTGGCCATGTTGCTTGGATCGTTGTATCCAAAGATGTGGAAGGCTTGCAACTCATACCTGCTACAGATTTCCTTTTCGAGAGGCTCTCATTCGTCTTTGATCCATTGTTGACATGGTGTCGTGTACCTGTGTGGAACGACGGTCATCAAGGCCGACCGATAGAGCACCGAAGCCATGACTAACAAGACCGTTGAGGATCACTGATCCGCGTATTGAGTCTTTGAACAACTCACAGCGCTCCGGTAGAGGCTCTGCATCGTCAGACGCCATGAAGAAGCTCTATATTGCTGACCATATTGTGATACGAACGCTCGATTATTGGTTCACTATCCTTGGCCGTGGTAGTCGCGAAACGTCCTCCGCGTTAGCAGCAGTGGTTCATTGTTGCGAGTCCACGTGATGTTACTGCCCTGAATTTGTATTCGAAATGCTTTTAGAGCTCTATCTCGGTAATCGGTGTGCTCCAGGGACTAGTGCTGCCATGTCTAGGATAGTGTTACATTTGTAAAATCGGTCTCATTTATTGCCTCGCGAACCCGTTTACTAGAGGATATGTCCACAATGTATAGCTTGTGATAGGTGAGTAGTAGATGGCTAGATCCTCCAGGATCGGGGCAGAAACATGACCTCATGCTTCAAGTTGCCAACAATCCGGGTAGTCTTTTAAGCGGACCAGAGCCAATTGCAGTAAGTTGCTCGTCAATGGCCACTCGATACGAAAGCCGAAGGCCAAGCCGGCTCCAAACGGCGTACTCGGCTTGCTCGGCTATATCGAACGATTGATATAGATACTAATCTATCAGATTTTGCCCCCAACAACGTGTCATAAATGACAAGGAGTGTCTAGGTCAGATGGCCGGTGAGCATAAATGATGTCCATGTCTTACTCTGTTTCTAATCGTACTTAGAGTTGGTTATGGCGCCAGGTTAAGGTATCAACCTTGATTTCTATTGTTTCCTGGTCACGAAAGTGGCGTGGGTTCGAGTCCCACTCTGATCAGCTTCTTTTTGCACTTTGTTCGAGCAAAAATGGTTCAGAAATGGTTGAGAAATTTCGAATTGAGGTGGCAGGGTGGCGGAAAGAAGCATGTCGGAACCGAAGTCGAGGCATGTCACGTGCCAACCACATTTGGTTTTTTCACCGCACAGTAGAGGTGCTCAGCGGAGCTACATGTATCGGACACAGTACTATAGCCGAAGCCTACCGCAGTAAACGCTCTACTGGACTTTTGAGATTACGGTCTGTGCAACTCGAAAGCTCTTCTTATGACAAAAGACAGCTCTATCTGGAGCGCACGTGAATCTTTTCCAGATTGAACGCTGCTCAGTTAATACGTTGTGTTTCAGCCAATACTTCAATTGATACGATGAACAGCTTGAACACGTCTGACAGCACTCCTAGGGGTTTGCGGGACGACACATCACCTTGCACTGCGGATGATCATCGTTTTCATCTAGCGCAGGTGATATCCGCTCGAGCAATCACCATAGTAAAACTACTCGCTGAAAGAAATCTGCCAATGAAATTCGGGGTTAGGGGGACTGTACAGCATAAGGTTGGCACGGTGTTTTGAATGCGATTTCGAAGCTATTGCACTTATCGGACATTGATGAGAAGGACTTGAGAGTCGTGTTCGTCGCTAGAGTCCACGAAACCATGGTCAGTATAGACCGACCATCGTAAAAAACGTTCTTCGTGGGTTTGACTATTTAGCTCTTCGTCACCTGCCCTTGCCTGCCCTTAAGTCACAATCACCACAAATTCTGGATTTCTTTACCTCGTTGGTTGTTCTCAGTCGATTCAATGAGCAGCCAATAATTAATTTTGTACACTCTGCACCACGCAGTCAAGTGTGATTGTGTTGTTCCAGATGACTTACTTTTTCATAGTCAACCAGTCATTGAGTCCATTATTTCTGAAGCCTAAAGGTATCGCTCAGTGGCATTGTGGGGTACTGCAGTGCAGGTGGAATAAGTCATTTCCTTCACTGACACCAGCAATTAATGAAACGACCATCGGCGATTGTTGTGTGCATGCTCTTGTTTTTTTTTTCTCCCGTTCTTCATTTTCTAACTTTTTAACCATCTCGTCTCCTTCGCATGAGCACGAGATAACACGACTTCCATCATGGATAACTTAAAAGTATGCGACAATAACCAATGTAGTGCAAGAGGGCAGCCTATCACCCCCGCTAGAGACCTCAATATGTGTCTCGCCTGCGGCGATATCCTACAACGGTATAGCCAGGGGCTACCGAGCGCACAACAGCACCAGGGAAGCTACGGCGCCGCATATCCTGAAGCAGCATATCTGCAGCATGTACACGGCACGTCAGCACCATATATGAGCCAAACACCGCAGAATAACGCGTTCGCTCAACCGCAACATCAGACACAGGCCTACACTGGAAACATGCCTTCTTATGGATACCAATTCCAGTTTGGACAAGAGGCTGTTGGCCCGGGAAATGCTGGCTACTCGCACAATTCGACTGACCAAGCGAGCACCAATCCGTTCATGCAGTCAAGCCAGCAAGTCCTATACTCTGTAGCCACGCTTACAGCAACCCCATTCTTTCCCAGCACCAACAACCATTATGCAGGCAATCATCACCAGTCCAACAAGCGCGGCTTTGAAGAGACAGAAGATGGTGGATCTCGCAGTATGTTCTTTCCGAGTTCTGATGCTCAAAGTACACGAGAAGTACACACAGGACAGATTGGCACAGGTCCATCAGCCTTCCAAGCTAGTGGAGGCATCAACCAAGGCTCGTTCGCAAATCGAGTAATGACAAACATGGGCCATAACCAAGGCCAAGGCCTGGGCAACCACGGGCAGGGCATTACAGAACCTATACAACCAATACGAGTCGACCCCAGGGGATCGGGCGTAGGATATGGCGTTCAGCAACCACAAGGCAACACCTCGAGTCATGGTCAAGATGGTCAACCTGCCAAGCGTGTCAGACAAGATCACTCTCAGCCAAGCGCGCAAGCACAAGGTGGTGGGCAGGCATCTCGTGGACGCGGAGATGGTCGTGGTCGTGGTCGTGGTCGTGGTCGTGGTCGTGGTCGTGGACAAGACCAGGGACGAGGTCTCGGTGGAGCCGATCTTCCAACTCAAAGCCGGTGTTATCAGGCATTTGTGCCGGCCTCTTCAGACAACGATGACAAAGCAGCGACACCAGCTACGAAGCAAGAGGCTCAGAGGGTAGCACCGAAAGGGTCGCATCATCTTTGGGCATCCGCAGATGCTTCACGCTACTGTCATGATTGCCACAAAGTCGTTTGGCACCAAGGTCAGAACTCCTGCTCTGAACCACGAGACACGTTGGAATCCAAATACAACCTTGACGCCAATGCCAAGAATGCCATCAAGGGTGATCTTGCTCAAGTGCCTAGGGACTTCGACGATTTCGTTGATCATCTCATCAGCTGTGCGTGTAATGCCATGGAATTACGGCGCTACGTTGTACTTAGAGATGCAGCTATCAAAGCTGCTTTTGACTGGATGCCAGCACCCGTTAACTCTCCGACAGCCTGGAAAGTACAGCTCGCCAACATGTTCAGTGTAGCGAACAACATCACATTCGACCTGCTTACAGCCTTTGAGAGGGCGATACAAACCACCTGGTATCCAAAAATATACCACATTCTTAGAGAGGACTTCGTAGCACTTATGAAGCCTTCCTCTTCGGATGAGTATAGGGAAAAATACCCGCATTTTGCGGAGCAAGTCAAACTTGCATTGCACTTGCGCACCCTTCGTGAGACGCCAGCCGTAAACATAGACTTTGAGGTCCTTGCTGCTTATCACGACTTCATGCAGAAACCATTCACTGATTTCCAGAACAGCATGGAAAGATTGCAAGCGTCGTTTGTGGTTAGCTCTGCATCTCTTTTGGACCCTGCATTTGCAGCGCTCGAGCAAACGAGCTTTTCTCAAAGATCCTGGTACGATCTGCAGCCGTCAGTTGATACGACGAGCCAATGGTTACCCAGGCTCTCCATGCCCTTTGATGCAGCCGTGTTCCGACCCGACGTACTTCCTCAGATCAGGCAACGTGGTGGTCGACATCTGGCTGCTGATCTATGGAAGACCTCGTCTAGTAAGCAAAGCACAGAGAAAGAAGAGAGGCATCAGACACTCGAAGAAAGACCACAGCCTCTTGCGGCCCAGAAGGCTTGCACCAATGATGGCACGTCTGCAAAGTCTCAGGCCACTGGTACGCCCCTAGCAGATGGAGAAAAGCTTTCAGTAGAACTACCAGTCTCTCCTGGTATTTTGAAGAAGTATGCAAGCCATGACCCGCTCATGATTCAAGCTTCAGCAATTTATGGAAAGGAACTTTCGACAGTCACGGCCAAAATGACAGCGATTGAGCTCAGTACTCTTACTTACTACGAAGCGGTTCGAAACAGTATGATTCAGGCAGTCACCGCAACAGTCACGGACGCCAACTTGCTGGAACTTCTTCGAGCTCTCATCGATGAATATTGGTACTGGCAGTTCCAAACTGTTGACAATCCGAAGGTTACAGAGAAGGCACCTGTCACGAGCGGGAAAGAGAGCGAAGACGATGGGGACACTAGTCCCGACGACCTTGATCTGCAGGAATTGAATCTTGCACCCTCAGCGACCAATCCTACACACATTAGTGGGACGAGTACTGATAAGATCGCCGCGTTCCTGCAAGAAGTGTCGCAACAGTCTGGCGAGCAAGATTCAGCCGACCTTCCAATGCAATCCACTGGAGACTCTACTGGCGCTTCTGTTGTCGTGGCTCCTGGAGATTCCGGAACTGCGTTTAGAAGAGCTACAGTCGAAGATGATACTTCCGCTGAAGTAACGGGTGGTGACGGGAAGTCATGAGCATCACACTAACCCTTCTGTCCAGTAAGTTCTCCTGCCTTGCGATTGCTTTTCCGAGGGCACAAAAAAGTGTCTTTACAACAATATCTCCGTTTTTTGTTCTACGCTTATCCTGTTCTTGATCGTCTGGCTGCATAGTTCAGCTGAGCACCACGTTCAGAAAGATGACATGACTGTATATGCAGTTGTGATCAATCATATTCACATCGCGCGAGTGTATGCAAAGCCATATGCTCGTCCTGGTTACGCAAGTTCCAGAACTTCTTCTTTGAGCACATAGTTTGCTTCATAGAAGTGCGCAGTTCTCCAAATTGATAGCATAGTCTATTGATCTTAAGTCCCACCTGAAAGCTGATAGTGCTACAGGTGGGCACTGTGTAGGTTCCCCAAGTCGATCTGCCTTCACGTGGCGGGAACTGTGAGTACGATGGCTATCTGTCAATGTGTGATATGAAGGCCATCCGAAACCAAAGGGTCGGCACTCTCTTGCTCGGATGACATACATCTGACGTTTATCTTTCCTGGCCGCTTGAAGGATAATGTCGCAGTGATAGTGGTGGCGCCGAACAGCGTTCACAGTATCTGACGCTTTCGCAAGTGCACTTCAAGTAGTAGTCAACTCTGTCTGATCCAAGTATATCCTGTATTGCCAATGCTCGTCCCCAGTGAAGGCGATCATCCAAACGTGTGGACTAGAATTCGTTTCGAACTAGACAATGAAGTACACGGCGTTTCTCCAGCTCTCATGCAATTGTGGATGCTTGCATCGTCGAAAAGAAATCATATCATGTATAAACTTATCAGTGTTCTAAGTTGTTGTCACTCTTCCACAGCCAGCCCACAATATTTTGGTACGTATTAAACGATTTCTGCGACATCACACCGACTTCTCACACCTTCGAGCTCCTTCTCTTACGCAAAGCTCTGTGACACACCTCCTCCGCACGCTGTTGACATCACCCTGTGAATATATATGTCCTAATATTCGAGCCACAAATGTCACGAGCTCTCACAACACATAAGAAGTAATACCCCTCTCCCCAACATGCATTGATATATCTCTCTCTCCACAATAATATCGATATAGATTCCACCTCCATATGCCTCCTCTTAGTGCATGCTCATTTGACAACGGCATGATTAGCGAGTCGTGGGATACTCATCCTGACTGCTCGAGTTCGTTGTGTGCAGTATGCAGACAACATCACGGCGTACAGCCATCGAAGTTGCTGATCATGTGTCAAGCAAGCAAAGAATTGCTGGGTAATAGCCTGTTCAGTTCGATGTGTTGCATCTTGACAACAAGAATCACTGTTTGAAAGCTGCACTTTCCGTGATTCGTGAACGATTCGGGTCTAGGTAACGACCAAAACTGCGTCGGGTCACTTCCTAAGCTGGACTCTTTGCAGATTGACCATTGCGACCTCGAGGTCCACTTGGATCATCGTGGATATTCATCTGACCTAGGTTGCCAGCCAAGAAGGCAAATGGGTCTGAACCAGGCTCTTGACCATAGAACCCGTTCTGACCTTGTAGCTGAGTATCGGCAGCGCCCGTGAAGGCCGCCTGGGCCGCAGGATGACCGAAAGATGTCTGAGAAACGGTGCTTGACGCGTAGCCTGGTTGCATACCCATTTGTGGGAAGCCACCACCAGGAGCCATACCGGGCATACCATATTGTTGAGGAGGAGGTTGAGCAAAAGCAGCACCGGATGCGAAGTTGTTTGCACCAGGGCCATAAGGACCCGGACCAGGTGTGCTCGCCATTGAGCCTGGACCCATACCATAATCAGAAGGAGGTGGATGGCCCATAGGCGAAGGAAATGACTGATCAACGACAATAGCCGCTCCTGAGCGAGAGGCACCACAACGCAAGCAATTCACATTCTTTGCAAAGTTATGGTAAGAACATCCTTCAGCACCACAGCGCCAGTCACCAGCTCTGAACGGTACGACACCTGCACCTCCACGGCCGTGATGACCCATACCGTGACCATGACCCATGTGTGGAGGGCCCATCATATGAGGAGGAGCATATCCGCTATAGCCATAGCTATACGGATCACCACCAGACCCAGCAGCTGGGAAGGAACACCTGAAGCAGGCTGTCCTGCGTTGGAAATTCGAGAACCCGCATGATGGACAGTTCCAGTCCCCAGGACGGGGCCGGTTCTTGCTTGGAGGAAACGGCGTCAGGATGTCGGCTGCTCTGTCCAATACTCGACTAGAGGATGGTGAGACTTCTATAGCCTTTTCGTTCAAGGCACGACCGTTCATACAGAGTGACTCCGCAGCCTGTCATAATGTCAGTGCCATGCTTGTTCTCGGAATTGCAGAATGACATACCTCTTCATGAGAAGAAAAGACAGCAAATCCAGAGCCGGTCGGTTTGTGTTGATCAGGTGTTCTCAAAGTCCAGAAAGCGATAGGTCGACCACCAAATTGAGTGAACCAACTTTCGAGTTCAGATTGAGTGGTATCGTGAGGTAGACCATTCATATGAAGAACTTTGGATCGTTCCTTGAGAAAGGCGTTCACATCAGCACGCGCATCCATGGGTCGGCTGAGGATTTCAGGGTGTTCGTGTTGAGGCTGAGACTTGCGTATGAGACCACGTAGTACTCGAGCCAAGGTTATGGCCTCTTCCATGGCACGACGTGGTGAAGCAGGTGCAAGCGCCTGAAGATGAAAGGGTAGATTGTGCTTAATTGGAGCCGAAGATTGCACAGGGTCCACCTCGAGGGCAGCACATATGTTTGCTAAGGAGCTTGGACCGAAGGGGAGAGATTCAGGATGTCTCTGTTGCCACTTGGAATATTCCTGGCGAAGGTCGAAGGTCCGGCTGTGCTGCAAATAGGCTGGTAGGACAACAGATTTGTCTCGGGCTTCTCGAGGCAGCTGAACCCGCAGATCCCAGCTGTCGAGGGTGACAAAAGCGAATTCCAGGCTCTTAGAGGTCAGATGTTCGGTAGCGAAACGGTCGAATTGAGCGATAGCGTCTCTGAATGTGCCAGCATTACGTACGTGCTCCCATTGTATGGTGGTCAAGCTTGCTGAGAGTGTGTCAGCGCATGACGATTGTGTACAAATTGTGCTCACGCAGGCTGAACTTACTGCATAAAGGTGTGATTGGAGTGTTGACGGGCTTGACGAGAACACTGTCACGAAAGAGCTGTTGGAGAGCACATGATTAGCTCTAGCCATAATTTGCGATGTCCCTTCTGGTATTGCGTACCTCGTCACAAGTTTTACTATCGAGCAGCATCCAGCCGATCTCAATCACCTCAGCCGAGTCCTTGGTGACATAGACTCCATGCTCATCACAAGTAGTAGCCACGTGTATGACAACATATCGATCCAACTTTGGAACAGATGGTACTGCAGCTGCCATAATGAAGTATTGTGTTTTTTAATATATCAACAATCTCGTTTGCTTCTTTTGCTCCCAGTATATCAGACTTGTCGGATAGATTTTGCAAAGGTACAGCGAGGGAACGAGGTATATTTCGACAATATACTACATCTGGCCGTCAGCGGTAGATGAACACCGGATACGCAGGAGAAACAAACCAGAACAGACTGTGGCAACCGTGAGCACAACCGAACCCAACTCCTCGCTGAACCGAACCTGCAAACTAGCCGCCGCACTGCACAACGATTACAGCACAGAAAAATATACAACAGCAAGGAAGAATGATGGGAATGTGAGGGTGCAGATGGGAGAAAGTCAACTGTGTGATGAGGTCGAGGACTTTGTCCGATCGAGTCTTGCTCGACTAGTTCGATGGAGTAACTTTTGGCTTCCGGGCTTTTTGGAAAGAGGCGTACGCTTCTACCTCATCAACCGTGCCTTCCTTCCAAAGTTTCCTGCCCTGAAGAAACATGCAGACTGATTTTCGAATTGATCATCACACTGTTTGTCTGTTTCGGATACCAGCTTGCGCAATAGCAACCTCCGTTGTACACCAGAAGTGAACATGATGAGGGATGCTGTTATCGACGTTGTGTCTGGGAACTTCGCTTGGCCATTGGTCTCGACGCTGTGCACGTCTCACTCTCAATCCATGTAAAACTATTCCTGAATCGACCCCAGACTGGACTCATGATTCGCTGATCTCGAGTTTGCTACAGCCTTTCAGCTCAAGATTCACGTTGTGATGGTACATGCAAGGAACTTCAGGTAACCACATCTTGCATGGACGCACGAGCATTTCTAACCTGCTCATCTTCCCAGCAATTGTTTGACGATGCCCACCCAGACGCTGATCGTCTGGATGGCAATGAATGAACCCCTACTCTAGTATGTAATTGTGCCTTCATAATGCGAACAACGGTCTTTGCTCAGCGTTACGAAGCGAACCATCAAGTGAGTCTCTGTTGTGTTTGTTGGAATTCAGTGACGGAGAAGAAGCATCCAACTACCTAGGTATCCTGAGCCGCACTCGTTTGCTACGCCCTGTCCACGCTTTTTTGACCTTTGATGAGTCGCAATCCTTGAATGAAGTAAACACAGTAGATAGCTGTTGCGCGTCGCTAAGAAGTCGAGAAGCTCCCCAAGTCTACCTAAAACATCATTCTTTAGGCAAGAGTTGGTCCGCTCGAAATAGGCCCCAACTACCCAACCATCAGTACCTATACATATACATCTGGTAATATTGTCTAAACTACCGTAAGGTCAAAAACAGCCTCGTATCCATTGTAGGCCACACCTCTCAAGTTCCAAGTGCTTCGTTCCAATTCCTGTGTATTTCCAGCCTTGTCTGTAGCTTTCGCGAAGATTTTCTTGCCTTCACCCTTCTCCATCTTGACCTGGCAATTCCAAAATACCCATGTCCATTTGTTCGCGAGCTCTGGCGGCCCGTGATCAAGTTTGGCATCGATCCAAGTTTTACCTTCGTCACCTGATACCTGAACACGAACTACAGGCCCGAAGTGGCCTTGCGGCACCGCATAACCTTGAACGTCCAGCATGCCGGAATCGGGTAGCTTGACAGTTGATTTGTATGTCGGTACCGCTACGCATGCATTCACGGGCATCTCAAGCATGGCAGGTATCTGGCTCCAATATGGTTCCGCCGCCTTCTTGTCGACTGCGTCTGGTGGTAAGATTTTGTAGTCGTGTTTCTGGTAGAAATTGGGAGATTCCTCCTCGGATACTGTAATTCTGTCAAGCCATTTCACGCTTCGAGCCCCGAGAACGCCAGGCACTATCGCCCGGACTGGAAAGCCATGGCGTGGTGGTAAGGGTTCGTCGTTCATCTGTCCAATACCGTCAGCAAGACGCTCGTGTGGAGTCCACTCAGAGGAGGTTTCACCTTGACAGCCAGAACAATGTCCATGTCCGGATCCATAACTCTCTCAAAAGGCACACTCCCACCATACCACTTGTCTTCTTGAGTTTCCGTTCCATAGCTTGCAAACTGTACATGTTTCTGCTGTTGCCTCTCTGTCTGACTAACTTCATCAGAGCCGGCCAGCTCACGAAGAACATCAGATAGTCGTGGACCTTCCCATACACAGTTCATGACTGCGCCATCGTACCAATCGATGCCAGAAACATCCTTAATTCGTGTTCGCATTGTATGCCGACGGTTGCCAGCACAAGATAGAGCGCATGCCACCTTCGATTGAGAAAACTTGGTCTGTAAATCCTGGATTGTGAGCTTACAAGGTCTAGCGACCAAACCGTCGATCGTTATCTCGTGTTCGTCACCTTCCTTGTGCTGGATTGGGCCATGATTACGATCGTAATGGTCTTTCGTGGTTAACCAGCTATTCTTGCATTAGTCTAATTGTAGATCAAGCTGTAAGTTCTAGCAATCCTCTACCTCGACACCAGTTCGTCTACCGGGGCCTCTCGGTTCACGGGCTTCTCAACGGTACCATCATCACGTAGATCAACTGTAGCCTTGATAGTTATGTTCGTAAGAATATGACTCATCACAGAAACGAGCATGGGTTGCATACAATAGGCATGTTTGTGTGATCGTCAGGATTTGATTCACTTTTCGTCTCTGTGCTGAGAAGTAGCTGCCATTCACGAAGAAATCGTGAACTGTGCTAAATGTTGCGAGGAAGAAGTGTGGTAGAAGGATGGACGTATGAACTCGTGACAGCAACCCCTCACTGCCACTGCTATACAGGCACACGCGCCCGTCATCAATCTGTAGGAAGTCCGTGTTTCCAAACAGCAGCAGGTATGACCCCCAACGACCGGACTTGTTCACGCATTCTGTTTGGCTGGTAACTTACCATGTTCGGCGACTTTCTCGGGTAGTAAAGTGGAGACACAGCGTCTTGTCAGGGCTCATGTATTTACCTGGTCTGCAAGATTCAGCAATATGGTAGCGACGATGAGGTTGCTCAGATGGCAGGATGGCAGCGAGAGATAGCAAGCAACTCCTATATACGGTAGTGATGTCAGGAGAAGTTCACCACGCTTGTTAAACCTCCTGAATGGATGCTGCCCTGGTCTGATTTGCTGAGCACTGAATTGCGTGCTTGCGAAAGCCTTAGGCATCAATACCAGAGCTCTTGGGCCTGTGGTCAGTGAGTTTGTAGCACTCCGTAGTACAGAAGACCAGACACTCAAAGATGCAAGTCGTCTTTCATCGACATCATTGTTCAGCTTGATACTAATGAACTCAACATGCTTAAGAACGTGGACTGCCTCTTGCACAGACTAGCTAAAATTGATGCGTCTCCAGATAATTGGATGTGCAGTCTAGTTGTTACAAGAAATCGTAGCACATTCTAGATTGAGCTTGCCAGAGAGAACGAGCTCAAGGTCAGTCATAATGATAAGCACATAACGAGCTTCGCAAGGTCTATTGAAAAGGAGATAAGGTAGATCTTGTAGCTATGGCCATTACGCCTTCAGTATTTCTAGCATTCCGCCCCGCTTGGCAGAAACGACTGAATCAACAGATCACCCGCTGCTTCTCAGCTTCGGCGCAGCAAAGAGTGGACTTCACCCATGCTGTTATCGGTGGTAGTGCAGTAGGTCTAGCCATCGCTCGACAGCTCACGCTTTCTCGGCCAGATACCAGCACTATCCTAATCGAGCGTCATGGTGCTATAGGAACGGAGACATCGTCTAGAAATTCGGAAGTCATCCATGCCGGCCTGTACTACGGACACAACACTCTCAAGACCGATCTCTGCTTGGCCGGGAAGTTCAAGCTCTATGATCTCTGTGACAAGCAAGGCATTCCTTATCGTCGCACAAAGAAATGGATTATAGCTCAAGATGAGCAGCAAATGTCCGAGCTGGAAAAGGTTCACAAGTTCGCCAGCGAGGTCGGGTACGATCAGGTTCCCACTAAGTTCCTTACGCGCGATCAGATATCGGAAAGAGAGCCAGACGTCCGTGCTGAAGCTGGTGTACTTGAATCCGAGAGTACAGGCATAGTTGACTCACACAACTTCATGCAGTTTCTCGAAGCTGATTTCCTCGATAATGGCGGCACGGATGTCCTTCACACGAGTGTGTCTCGCGTTGAGAGACTGCTGTCAGGTAATTACAAAATTTATACGAAGACGATGGATCCGCTTTCCACTACAGGTTTCACACAGCCAACTGAGGATGAAGACGCCATCGAGGTTGAGACGCTTATCAACTCAGCTGGTCTTGCAGCAATACCTTTGTCAAACTCAATTTTGCCGGATCATCGTCAGATAAAACCATATTACGCCAAAGGTACCTACTTCTCCTATGCATCTTCTCATCCAAAACCCAAAACGCTCCTCTATCCTGCACCAGTACCTGGTCTTGGTGGTTTGGGCACTCACCTAACCCTTGATATGGCCGGGCGCGTTCGTTTTGGACCTGACGTGGAATGGATTGACTCCCCAGACGCACCTGGAGCTCTGAGCCCGAACCCAAACCAGCTGAAAGAAGCACTTGACATGATCGCTACATATCTGCCCAGCGTTGACAGATCTGCGGTCGACCTAGACTATTGTGGTATACGACCGAAACTTGGCAAGACAAGTGGTACAGCTGGTCCAACTTTTGCTGACTTCTATATCAAGGAGGAGAAGGACGATGGCTTTCCTGGGTTCGTCAATCTGCTGGGTATCGAGTCTCCTGGGTTGACATCAAGTCTGGCGATCGCTGAGTATGTCGAGAACTTGTTGTATGGCAGCCAAACAGGACAAGGCAGGAACGTCGACGTCGATGAAGCTAAATCAAGGGGGAGAAAGGGACAGAAGAATTTCGACTTTCATCACTAATGCGATAGACCAAGACGAATGCTGCATGTTGACGTGTCAGATTAAACGTGCGTCGTACTCGATCGTATACTTGGCAATATTGGCACGTTGAACGCGGTCAGACATTTTTGCTCTCGACTCATCAGCTGGAGCAGCCGCTACAGGGAGGTTGTAACCATGTTGCAGCAACATCGGAAGTGCAAATGAGCTGAATAATCAGAATGTTTGACCCTTCCTCTGCCACTGACTCAAAACAGACGGCAATGCACTCGACTACAAAATTGTTAGTGGCGTGGGGTGCAGAAATCCGCAGAGCCAAGAGTCCCCAGAATAACTTATCCTCGTCTAAGTGAACACGTACATAAGACGAACTTCACCGAACACCTTAACGACTCCTGACAAAAAGGAAAACGAACTACAATGGCCTCACAAAATCAACCTCAAGTGCAAGTCGCCGTCATTGAATCAGCCGAAGACCTCAAGATTGGATTCGACGTCGTATACCAATGCTTCGGTATCCAGGTACCCGACCAGATACTCCAGGCCCAAAACCCAGGCTGGGACACTCCCGAAGGCAGGGTTCGCGCAACAGAACGAATGACGACCAGCTTTGAGTCTTCCACGAGCCGAGACAAGCACGGCAGACCGAACAAAATTTTCCTGAAAGCGACACTACCAGATCCAGAGTCAGGCACGGAGCGCATTGTCGGTCTGGCCGTCTGGCTTCAGCTCTCAGTCGTCGAAGGCCACGGTGAGCCACCAGTCGAAGATCTGAGTAGAGTCATGGACCTCGAAGCTCTCTACCCAGGCGACACATCCGAACAAAATTACCTCTGCGAACTGGATCGCAACCTTCACAGACAGCGTACAGAGCTAGCGAAAAGTAAAGCTAACGCGTCTCCTCCTGCAGTCATGGCTCTCGACCTGTGCGTCGTCCACCCATCGTTCCAGCGAAGAGGCATCGCGACAAAACTTGTGCAGTGGGGCTTGGACGAGGCGAAACGCAGAGGTGGACTTGAAGCCTGCATGGAAGCGTCGACCATGGGAAGGCACGTCTATGGAAAGATGGGGTTCCAGCAGGAAGGACCGGAGATCGATTATGGAGTTGAGGGGGCGAAGTTTGCTCAGAGTGGTATGCCGTCGAATATATTCATGCGAACTGGAGCGAATTGAGGCGTATACTAAAGGAAACAAGGACGTTTACGATGCAGCAACGTCTCGAATGCCGGAAGGTTCGTATACTAAAGTACAATTCTTTGCTTCGGTGAAGAGTTCAGATGCCATATTTGAAGATCAATCCACCTCTTCAACCTCATAGTCTCTGATGACTTCAAGGTCATTGTTCCCGACGCGCTTCATATGATTGACGATCACATGTAGCAATGAATTTTTCAACGTGAAGGTACTCGGTAGACCAATGGCCCGCAGTCCTTGCACAAACTCAATCGTTCGCAGATCTTGAGGCACCCAGCCGTCGATCCACAGGAACGTTTGAACTTGCAAAAGGATATATAGACACAGCTGGCGAGAGAAGGCATAGTCGAGACGCTCAGCACGATCTACTTGCTCAATCAAAAAGTTGATCTCGGCGCTGGCGTCGGCGTATGGCATGTCTGGGTAGATTGCATTCTCCGCATATTGAAATCTGCGCCCAATTTCTTGCTTGGACTTCTCTTGGTTCTGCTCGTGTATGGGAGGCAATGTAGCCCACTGGTCACCCAATGCATAGTACGCATCTCTTGAATTTGATGTCGTGTCAGATACTGGAAACTTGCCCATCAAGCAACACACAATCTCGTGAACTTCCTTGATAGCTGCAACACGTCTGGCCATGCCCTGCCACCGGTAGACATGCTCCTTGATAGAGCGCAATCGAGCGACAGGCTCGAAAGAGAATAATTCTTTGTCTGTGAGTGATAGGAAGCCTGCCACAACCAAGGCTGATTCACTTAGACTGTCTCCAGAGGTTATGTCAGCCTCGGCAAAGTTGAGTACTCCCACTTGTGACTTAGGAAAGAGCTTTGGCATCAGATCTTCGTGTACTTTGATTTGCTCTTTGCGGATGCGAGCATGCTCCTGCTCTCGGTCTTGCATCACCTTCTTGTGAAAACCGTCCTGCTCCTACATCGACTTCTTATGCCTGCTGTCTTCCTCCTCCATCCATTCCTTGTGCTTTCGATCTTGCTCCCGTATCCAGTTTCTATGATTACGATCTCGCTCTCTGAAGCCGAGATCATACTCCTGCCAAACCTCCTCGTGCTTGCGTTTAACACCTGCCATCGTCTGTATGTGCTCGCGCTCACTTTTCGACCACGAGTTCTCGAGCAGAAACTCCAGACTCAAATTGAAGCCTTCGATGAGCGTTAACATAAGCAACGGACATGCTATGAAATTCTTGCAACTTACCAGAACCAATCTCTTAGGCAGGAGAAAACCAGCATGTAACTCTAGTGAATGGCTGCAGGACTCTTTGCTCGAAAAGGATATCAAACCGCTCTTTGGTGTCTTCCTCGCCTCAAGATCTCGCAGGAGAGTTTGATATTGCTCTTAAAATTACAACTAGCGACCACTGAACACCATTTGTGCGCTCGAAATCCCCACGAAGACCAAAAAAGATTCGTCGAGAAGGTCTCCCGAATGACGTGACATGAAGACGAGTAATAGATGAGTAGAGGAATGAAGTGTTGGTCTCCGGTTCGCTGAATAGTAGCATATTACATTTCTCCAGCATTGTACCTCGAAACTATCGTTGCCACCACTGACCTGTAGCAACCAGGATGCGCGCCAGTTGATAGCCATTGTACTTCTTCGCATCCTGTGCGCTGCGCCTCCTAAGCCCAATCTCTGGTTTCAGTCGAGCCTTCACTACTAACGTTTGAACAAGTCTTCAAACTCGAGCCACTCGCACTCTTTCCAAGGAGAAGAGGTGAAGACCCAGCTCCACATTTGTAGCCATATTCTCGATTTCGATTAAAGTCCCTCTCACTTATTCCCGCAGTCTCCTATGCCACAGGGTGAGAGAAAAGGTAGCTGACTGATTCACCGTTGTGTGTTCTTCGAATGGCTTCAGCTAATACAGGTGCGATATCGATTGTCTCTAAACGGCAGCCCTTCTCGCCTTCTGGTACTGTCAAAGCCTTCATTTTCTCATCCGAGACTGGGACAGTGTTTGTTATGACAATACGTGACAGTTGAGACTTGCGTAATGTCTCTGCCGCGTTTGCCGAAAGGATGCCGTGAGTGACCAGCGCAACCACGTCTTTCGCACCATGCTTAGTGAGCACATCAGCCGCCTTAGCCAAAGTACCGCAGGTGTCTGCCATATCATCCACCAGCACAGCAGTTTTACCTTTGCAATCACCCACCAGAGTCATTCTGCTGACTTGGCCAGGTGCACTGCGCTCTTTGTGGATTAAGGCGAATCCCAAATTGAGTCTGTCAGCCATAGAAGTAGCTCTCTTGGCACCGCCAGCGTCTGGGCTGACGATCACGCATTCTTGTCTTTGACCATTCACTTCCTGACCGTGTTCGCTTTCGTGAAGGAGGTTCTCTCGTATCCATTTGACACTACTAGGCTCGGCATAGAGGTTATCGACGGGGACGTTGAAAAAGCCTTGTATTTGGCTGGCGTGGAGATCCATAGTTATGACATGGTTACAGCCTGCAGTTTGAAGCATGTTGGCCATGAGTTTTGCTGTGATAGGTGCTCGCGACTTATCCTTCTTGTCCTGTCGAGCATACGGGAAGTTGGGTAGGATAGCTGTAATTCGACGTGCGGAGGCGGTCTTGCAGGCGTTTATTATGATCAATAATTCCATGAGACCATCGTTGATATCGTTCGGCTTGGTTGACTGGAGGACGAAGACTAGAAGTTGAGTCAGTCCTTTCGAGTTCAGCCCAGGGTAGAATTGCTAGATGCTTACCATCTTCGTCTCTGACGGACTCTCCAATAGTCACACTTGTTTCCTGATTCGAATACTGTAAGACCATAATCTGTGTGAGCTCAATACCGAGTCTAAGATCGAGTCAAACCCAAGCCCTTAGCTAATAGCATGCTCACTGACCTCGCAGCCACAGCCTTAGCAAGCAAAGGGTGGCTGTTACCAGTCAATAGTTTGATCGAATTTGTCGCCATCGCGGTGGACGGTGAGGAATGAGTTTTAGCTATCGAGTGACCATGGTGTAGAGAATTCTGAGAACAAAATACAAAACGTCGAGACATGGTCTGCTACAACTTTTTGGTTCGGTCAACCCCACCAGGGATCTGCGCTAAGTTTTTCGCGTCACTCAGAACTCACATGCACTCGAACACCAGAAAGGGTGCACTTTCGCAGGCAATTACGACCAAGGTGTGGAAAACGTGTTTGTCATATGGTAGAGAATTGGTGTTCAATTTCGAGTAAGCCTAATATCTATCTGGCTCGATACGGGGTTCTTTGAATCCGTTTGCTTGATTGTCACACTTGATTGACTGAACAACGAATCATCTGCAGTGTTAAACTCTCTTATGCCCAAGCTGTTTGACTTGAGGCATGCCTGCCACTTGGCGAATTTCATGCCGTTGTGTCAACGATTGACACGTGTATTGCATTTCCTTCTGCTGCCATCGGTCCATATGATTCTCCCCAGTCGCTCGATGCATGACTTGTATAGGACACCTCAAATATAGCCGGATTTCTATGCAAACATGGCTGTCCACTACTTTCGCATGGATGAGGCTCTTCGCTTTCGGAGCTCGGATCTCTTCTCACGTTCCTCATGAACTCTCTTGGCAAGTAGCTGAGCATACTCATTGGCAGCATCCTTGGAAGCTTCAGCTCTTCTTCGCTTGACTGCGATTCTGTGTCGCTTGTGTTGCATACGCTGAGGAGTAACAAGTCGCTGAATCTTTGGTGCTTTGGTGTATGGCTTGGCGCCTTCTTTCTTTGGTGTAACTTCTCGTCGGATAACGAATTTTCTGTACTCTATGTCAGACCATTTCTCGTGCTCTTGATAATAGCAAAACATACCGGACATCATCCTGCTTGCTGAGACCAAAGAATTTTCTGATCTTGGTGGCTCGCTTTGGACCAAGTCTCTTTGGGTTGACAGTATCAGTCAAGCCTGGAATGTCTCCGTCTCCTTGCTTGACGATCGACAAAGCAAGAACCGACAGATCCTGAGCGACGATACAACCACGAACAGACTTTCTCTTTCGCTCACCACTTCGGCGAGGCCGGTAGCAAGAGTGGCCATCGGAGAGGAGGAGTCGAACACGGGTAGGAAGCATCTGTAGGACAAGTCTCAGCACATATTCGTAGCTGGCGCTTTCAAGTAGGGAGTGAACATACGACACCCTGCTTCATAGGAAAGCCTTGCTTGTCATTGCCTCCGGTAATTCGGACAATCTGTAAAATGGGTCAGCATGAGTTCGTCCTCTAATTCCCATTCTTCAACAACATACGTAGCCCTTCCATTCGTCACCGAGAGAGTCGGCTGGAACTTCGTTGCCCATGCGCTTTTCCATGAACACACGTAGCTTTCGGTCATCGTCGACCTCGATGAGCTTTTGCGACCCATTGGCTGGGTAGGAGATATTCAACTTCATCTTGGCGGTTGGTGGAAGAGAATCGTGGACAACTGCGCAAGTCGCAAAAGTGTAGGTAAATCGAACATTTGCTTGCATCCACACAGTGCCAAGATAATTTTGACTGAGTAAATTGCGCTCTAATCCTAACCCTAGCGCTAAGTCGGATAAGTCAGTGCAGAGCTACGGTTATGCCGGAAACGACTTTGTACAAGAACGTCTCGTTCGTGATCATATCCTCATCCTACAGCCCTAGTGAAGCAGCAGACGTGTTATAGAGTGGTTTCAGGCCTAGACAACATTGACGGTATTACTATCTGCTAGCCGTTGTACAATGCGATACGGACCCTACCAATGCAGCATATCTCTGTTCCGCTGATTCTATCGTCCTTATGTTAGCACCTAACTTATTCATCGTCTCTATCCATTCGTCATATTCCACACTGTCAAAGACAATTCCACCACCTGCTTGCAGGTAAGCAACACCATCCTTGTAAACCATCGTCCGTAACGCTATGCATGTATCCATTGCACCTTCATCCACGACTGAAGATCCATCGACAGCAACATGTGAAAAGCCAAAATAGCCTACAGCTCCAGCATATACTCCTCGCTTCTCCTGCTCGAGTTCTGCTATCAATTCCATAGCTTTGATCTTTGGTGCACCGGACACCGTGCCAGCTGGGAAGATACTCCTGAAAGCAGTCCAACGAGTCTCGCCAGGTCTTAATATGCCTGATACCTGACTCACCAGATGCTGGACGTGACTGAACCTTTCAACCACCATAAGCCTGTCAACTGTTGTTGACAATGGGTCGCATACTCTGTTGATATCGTTCCTTGCCAAATCGACTAACATAACATGTTCGGCTCTATCCTTCAAGCTACTCCTCAACTCCTCTGCAAGTCTGTCGTCTTCTTCTGGATCTTGTCCCCGCTTGACTGTGCCAGCAATAGGATGTGTAATAATTCGTCCTGCTTCCTCTTTCACCAGCAATTCGGGCGAGGCACCAATAATACAAAAATCCTCACAGTCGATGTAGAAAAGGTACGGAGATGGATTGACGGTCCGGAGCTGCCGATATATGTTGAATGGATGTAACGATGTGGGCCTGGAAATTCTATGTGAAGGGACGGCCTGGATAATGTCCCCACGACATACGTGCTCTTTCAGTTTTGTAACATGCGCTTCGTAACCGTGCTGACCAATATTAGATTTCGAGGGTTGATCTTTCGCTATGGGTCCTTGCTCTGGTATCGGGATATGGTCGTCTAACAGTGTTTGAATTACATGTTCAATCTTTTGGCTGGCTTTTTGATAGGCGGACTGTAATGAGGAGTTGTCCTGTGGCACCCTTACATAAGTAATGATCTTGCAAACATTGAAGAAGTGGTCGAAAGCCACGATCATGTCATAAAGCATAAAGAAACTTTCAGGTAGCTTCAGAACATCCTTCATAGGTCGCGCCGTCTTGGGCTCGAAATACTTGACACAGTCATAGCCCACATAGCCAATTACACCACCAGTGAGTGGAGGTAGCTTTAATGACGGAACCGTCGCGACTCTGTATTTTGACAGCTCCTTTTCGAGTCGTGGTAGAGGATCCGCAGCCAAACCATGGTCAGGCCCTGATTGAAACACCTCGAGGGGATTTGCGCCCACGAAGCTATACCTTCCTATTGTACCACTTGTGGCCGCGCTCTCGTAGAGGAACGATAGTTTAGCGCCTTTCGAAATCTTGAGGTAGGCTTGGGTCGGGTTGAGTAGGTCTGCTGGCACCTGAGCGCACAGTGGGATCAGGTTGGGAGGACATGATCCTGAGCTGGCTTTCAGCAGGATCTTCTGAACCTCTTCGAATGAAGGATTTATCTCTGCCTACGTCAATAAGCGTAAGTCCAGAAGCACAGCAATACGCTCGCACCATTGTGTATATCAAGTGATCACCTCAGTGCAAGAAAGACACCGCTTCTCCTGCTCATACGTTCAGCGAAGGTTAATTAGACGGAGATAGTGATGCGAAGCGGTCTAGTGTTCCAGAACAATATGCAGAACTCCTCGAGCTCTTAATCACACATCAAGATAGTAGAGACAGTAAGCTTCTGTGGAAACCGACTTTTATCGAAAGCCGTCTTCGGTGCAGCGCAACAATAAAGTGTGGGTGACTAAGGATAACTCTATTCGACCAACAACTACTAGTATTTACTTTACAATCCCTGCAGCGATGGTGGGACAGCCGAGAAGCGTTCCTGGCTTTCCAACTTTGGCGTCTCTCTTCTCCAGCCACGTGGAACATTACTACGTAGTGTTCCAACTTTGACACAAGCAATGTCAACAATTCGTTGTTGTGCTACAACCATGTCTTAACACCAACTGCACTATACTAACAGTGCTTATACAAGACAACATACAATCGCAGCAAAGTTATCACTATGGCGCAGGAAGACACTTCAATAGTTGTTGAGCGCTCTCTTACTCCAGGCCACAACATTTCTGCCTCGAGTGAGAGCCGTCCTGCAAGCTCGTACACTCTTCACTCGAACTTTGCCGATAGCGCAGTCGACATGAATGCGACTACACCGATTGTATCTCCCGACGTCTTTCTAAAGTCCCAAGCGAATTACTTTGAACCTGAAGAACATACCCTTCCTGTCAACGTCGATCAAAGTCTGTCGGATAAGATGCGTAGACTGGCGGCTGTCGCCTGGACTCTGGAGCAGGACGACAGTATGCCTGTAAAGAAGCGACGGATGCTGCACGGCATGCTGGAGCAGCTTGAATCGTGTCTCGAGCACACGACTGGGGACGCCAGAGGAGAGGACAACGTTCAAGACGATGTCGATGAAACTGCTCAATCCGACCCAACACGGGAAGAAGAGGCTGACCAGGAAGAGGAAGATGTGTGGATCGACGAATCAGACCTGATTGCAGTACGCAATAGCCTGTCAGCCACAGTCAAGGCGATGCGCATGCGGTTCGAGGAGCAATACCATTTACACCAATTGACTGCTCAGAAGCTGGAGGCAACAGCCCAAAGGTGTCTTGATCAAGAGCGGAGAGCAGAAGACTTGCTGCGTAAGATGCAGCAATTACGTCTCGAAAATCATACTCTCGGAACAGCTAACGATCAATTACGTGACAAGTTGTCACACGTAGAAGATGAAGCAGTCCGTAATGAAGTTGCCGTCAAGGCCATGAGCAGCGCCGTAAAAGGTCTCGAGGGCTGGATTGACAACGCAAACCCGTCATTTCAGCCATCTATGGCCCCATCGACAAGCAAGCGGCAAAGAGTCGTTATTAGGGGTAAAGGCCGATTTCGTGGTCGGTATCTTGTGGATGAGGACGGCAATGAAATCGTGGCCGACAATGCAGCAGACGCTGCTGTAGAGCATCAAGAACTTCACGAGGGTGTGAAGGCATGGCTCAGAGGCTTTCGTGACGTTGAAGAGGAATTGAAATACCACGAGCCGCTAGATTCGCCAAACAGAAGCCCTACTCGGGGCAGATTTCACACAGCTGATCACAACGAAGCAGATGACTGGGGAGATTTTCAGAGTGGAGAGTCATCGAGGTGATGGAGGAGTGGTGTTTCGCCTTTCCGTTCTCATGTAATTCGCAGGCGAGTCCTAGAGGACGTTCCTGTTGTTGCTGGTAGCACCAGCACAGGCATAGACCTGGCTGGGTCGCCTGTATTCTTACCGCTGAAAGTTGATAACCGAAACTTGTGATCCAAGGCCAAATGCGAGTCGTTTGCTATCAACGTGCCACACCAGGGTATGATCAGCACTGTTGGGCGGACCATCGCCATTAATGCTGGACCGGCCAGCAGCACTTGTAATATCATCATCCCTGATGCTGCCTCCCTTCCATTCGGGGTCTGTACCTTCCCAGGCCGCCATCAGATTGTAGCCGTGCTGTGCATTCCAGATACGAGCCGAACTATAGCTTGCTGCTGCTAGACAAAAGCCATCGGGTGAGTAGGAAAGAGACATAACTGGCGATGTAGGCTCGAACCGCAGCTGTTGCGTACACGTGAGATCAAGAACCCCATCTGATACCTGCCAGACTTTTATGGTGCCATCCAGGGATGATGTAGCAAGTTCAAGCACTCCATACGTGCCATTCGTAGGATGTTGTTTCGATCGAAGTTCAAATCCTGTAACAGATCCACTGTGTGCAGTCTCCTTGAATATGTTGTGCTGGGGCAGCCATAGTGCTGCAGTGTCACCAGCAACTGCGACAACGGTTTGACCAGCTGACGGCAGATGGCCAACTTTGAGGAAAGTCCAGACCTCGCTTCCATGCACACCTGTCTGAGACCACCGCTGCTTGACCGCCATTTCCGTTGAGCTTGTACATTGCCAGACACTCGTGTCTCCAGCAGCAAAGATGTCGCGATCCTCAGCTCGAGAACAATCCAAATCGTAGATTGTCGATGGCAAGGTAAGGGATGAGGTAGGCGTGACCGTCGAGCCTGAGCGTAGATCCCATGACAAAATGGTTGACGCGCCTGTACCATCGAATCGTTCTGCGTCGCCATCGGCAGGTGCTACGGCGAGCAGCTGAGTGCCGACAGGATGCCACCTCAACATAGTGATTGCTCTCTGAGAAGCCGGTAAGCTTTCTATCAGTGAGAGGTCTTCACCGTCGAGAAGGTGAACCTGCCCCTCTTCTTCAGAATACGTGGCAACAGCTAGAAGAGAACCACTCAAATCCCACGATGCAGCAGTCACAAAGCCAATTTGGTCTAAAGGCAGGACAGTTCTGGCTCGAGGTTTGACACTGTCTGGTCGCAGGTCTTGACCGGCGAGATTCCAGACCCCACAAAGCACATCTCCTTGCGCTATCAGTGTTGGGTTTTCTGCTGGCCGCCATAATGCTCGACTAATCGTTTGTGCTGTATCCAAGGATAGGATGGCGCTCGACGGACCGAGATTCGTAACTTTCGCAGGAGCGACCTGTACTTCCACACTCACTCCACTTGTCAGTGTTGGGATCAATGGTGGTGGTTGCTCTTCTGCATGGTCCTCCATCACCACGTCTGTGCCTTGACCACCTACGTCGTTGTCAATCTCCATCCTGTCGTCGTGATGTCCATTAGTGGTCACTGGAGGCTCAGCGGTGTTTTCAGGCATAGACAAAGGCGACGTTGCATTTTGTGGCACAGTATTCCCATTCACAACGTCTGTCTCTGTGTTTCCTGACACTTTACGGAATGTGGTGCCAGATTTCTCAGCAGTCAGGGTCTGAGTTGGTTTGCGCCCTCTTTTCGCGGCTTGAGGTGGAACTTCCTCTGGGGCGGCCGAGAGTGCCTCGCGGGGCTTCAATTTTGAGGGATTAGCTATGGTGCTGGCAGGCGACACGCCTCGTACAGAGTCGCTAGCCTTCAGCATCGACTCTTTTTGCGAGGCCGCCTTGTCGGCTCCGGCACTCTCTGGACCAAAGAAGAACATTGAAGGAACCAAGTTCTTGGAATGTTGGCCATTTTCATCGACAGTTAGCGAGAGATGATGATAACGAAGTCCCTTCTGTACAAGTGAAATTAGAGCTTGGCCCTTGATGTGTTTCGCGAAAGGAAGTCTTTCAGGTTCATTGTCGATTTTCCAATCACGTTGGAGTTTCACAGCGGCTTCTGCGTAGCCTAGATCTTGATTAGCCTGATCAGGATGCGAATTGCCAAGAAGCGCGTACCGGCCTCTTGTAGATACCTAAATCACACGTTAACAAGAACGACGGTCATGCGATGGATTACTAACCTCCAAATGAGGTAATTAAGTTGATCTGAGCTGAGCGGCGGTGGTTTGTGTACTACCTCAGCAGGATTGTTGTCGGTGTCCATCGCGACATGGTCCGAAATATCAGCAGATCTGGAGACTATCTTGCAGGAAGGTAAAGCGCTTTGCGACCACAACAATGGAATGGTAACAGATGCGCGTGGAGTCGTCCAGAATTCTTTGCAGTGATGTTTCTTCAAAGCTTTCGTGTCGAATGTGTCGCAATCGTGCCAGAAGGTCGATCCAAATTGAAGACAGCTCAAAATCCACGCAAATCGCGAAACAGGCTACTTGGTTAGTCTCGAATCGACCGGGCTTAGTGGCGCATTTGTGCCTGTGGGTTGTTGAAAGTTACTGCGGGTCGACCACAACAATGCCGTGTTGTTGCTCCTCTGCTGTCGGCAGGATTGATATCAGACCTTCGCTTAGATCTAGATCAGGCTGGTAATCGCACGCGTAGTAGAACCAATACACAGACCATTCGCTTCCAGACAGGTCCGGAAGAAATGATCAGTGAGCAGTAGTGAGAATATGGGGACTTCAATGTCCAACAGGCCACGACAGCGCCAGTTCGGATGCTCACGCACTAGTCTGCTTTGGGCTTTTCCCTTTCCGCTGCATCATCAAATGGTCAACTCCAGCTGTTCGATCATTATCGTGGCACAACCCAGTTTGACGACACCGAAGGATCTCAGACTGCCGGGAGATGGTGCTTTCAAAACCTGATGCTTGCTCTGATTGCCCTTGCATGACGGTGTACTATCTCTTTGTATTGACTGTGTTCTGTGTGACTTTCTGAAAAGCGTGGAGCACGCTAACAGCACTGGTGGACCTCAAGTTGGTCGAGCTTATTTGATAAGCCTGAGGCATGCTTCGCGAGTCACTAACTCCGCATCCGCGCAAGCATACTAGTATCTGCGAGATGTTCCCGCGTGCGCCTTGCCTCAGCTTGTGCTGCGTACTTACCTGGTCTCTTCGAAGCTCGTGCGGAAGTCACTGATCAGTTCTGGGTATTGATGTTGGTGACTGAATCTACAACAAGCCTTCGTGTTAATATGTCACGCTCATAATGCTAAACGCTTAGCAAGGCAGTCGTGAACCACAATGCGAATCAATATACCGCCCATCACGAGGGCACTATTGCTTTCGACCATTTTCTTCACGGTCCTCTATGCTCTCGCCCGGTGGAACGCTTTGTCACAAAATGCGGGCGACGCTACCCCAGCGTTCTCGCCCTCGATACCTTTCTTGACTCTGGTTCCATCCATGTCAGTCTATTACCCCTGGACCATAGTAACATCCACATTTGTTGAGCAGAACGTTCTCAACCTCCTTATAAACACGACCGCTGTGTATCTTAGTGGAAAATACCTAGAAAGAGCTTGGGGTTCTCGAGACTTTGCTACCATCGTGGTAGTTGCGACAGTCGTTCCAAATCTCTTGGTTATCTTTACTTACGTGCTTTGGGCTGTCGTTACACGCAATACTACAAGAGCAGACACACCAATTGCAGGCGCAATTTCACTGCAAGCCGCCTTCCTCGTTGCCTTCAAAAATCTGGTCCCAGAGCACACTGTGAGTCTGTACAAGGGTACCATTAAAGTCAGAGTCAAGCATTTTCCCTTTATCTTTCTTATACTGAACACCTTTTCCGGCATCGTGTTTGGTACAGATACCGCTCTGCTGCTTGGTTGGTACGGCCTCATATCGACTTTTATCTACTTGCGCTTTTTCAAATACCAATCTGAAGTTGGGACAAAGGGCGATGCATCCGAGACGTTCGCTTTTGCCACTTTCTTTCCAAACGTTATACAACCGTTTGTCTCCATTTTCTGTGACTACATCTACAACCTCGCTTGCCAGCTGAAAATCATATCGCCATTTTCGGATGAAGCAATCGCATCTAGCAACGAGCAAGCAACTGCCAGAGAAGGTGGTCTTCCAGTCGCAATAAACCAGAACCGTGTAGCAAAACTCGCGAGCAAACAAGAAGAGGCCGAACGCAGGAGACAACTTGCATTGAAAGCCCTCGACGAGCGATTAAGGAACCCTGCCAGCAGCCACGATCCAACACCGGATTCGACATCAACAGTTCCAGCAGCACCACCAAGTGAGCAACCATCCATGTGATATGTAACTTCCTTTCCGTCTGCAATGTGTTCCAGCCACATTTTTTGTTGACAAGGCCTGCAGCCATGGCATATCAAATCGTCAGCAGACAGTGTGTTCACAGGTGGGAAAGCTGACTTGCAGATCGTGCAAGAGCTCACGACATTATTGCTTCTGCGACGGTGAGCCTGGACAAAAGCAAGCACTACTCTTTGATCACTGAAGCATGGACGAGCTCTCTTTCAGAGCCTAGCACTTGGAGCCTCGGTACCCGGACACCACCGATCACCACTTCCACGCTAGTGATTCTATAGTCTGTTGCTCACCTATCAATCCGACACGGGTTTGTGGCTTTTTCGATCTCAATTGCCACATCTCTACTTGACTTCGATCCAGTCGTCGCAAAAAGTGGCAGGTGCCGAGTTCAATGCACTTTACTCGTCAATCGATGGACCCTCTTTCGTTCCTGGCCCGTCGACCCACCAATGACGCGCTCGTGCCTGACAGAACACCAAATGCAATGCAATGCAGCTTTGAGCTTGCTAGCTCGATGTTCATGCTATTGAGAAAATAAATTATATCATTGAGTTCCAGCTCAATCGAGGAAGCTTGACCTTCTTCTCTCGCACTTCCAAGTCAAAGATGAAGGTGAACAGTCTTTCTGCAGCGTCGCTACTGACAGGCCTCGCTCTAGCTCAGGATCTGTATCCTGGACTGACCACAGTCAACCATACTTGTGCGATTAGTGAGTGTCCGAAGAGAGTCTTGATCCTTCTCTGACGAATGTACAGAGCCGCGACTTCGTTCTTGTCCAGCACAAAGCCCTTCAAGCGTGGATACATGCTGCACAGAAACGTTTGGTGGACTGATCCTCCTAACACAATTCTGGAGCACATACACTGGATTGGAAGCACAAGGTCAGCTCCTGCCAAGAGATACTTGGACTCTGCATGGGTGAGCTTTGCTATGTAAGTAAGAAGATCGGTCAAGCTGACTTCGCAGTCTATGGCCGGATTTCTGCAATGGTTCATACACCCAGTATTGTGACCTGAGAAGGCAGTACGATCCTGTTCCTAGCCCCAATACAACCAACGGTCTGCCTAATGGCACCGTTGTTCCTCCGTACAGAGGTGCGCCTGTCTCTACCTTCCTTGAGGCTTTTCAGAGATACGACCTGTTGGACTATATGAACACATATTGGGTCAACCAGCGCGCCTCCAACAACGAGTTTTGGGGTAAGTTACTTCCTACAAACAGCACTAATGTTCCTCACAAAACAGCCCCGACTTTTGTCATGTGGAGAATAGAGCTAACTATCTGAATAGCTCACGAATTCAGCAAGCATGCCACTTGCTTCAGTACTTTCCAGGTTGGTTTTGCTCCTGTCCTTTCTCAAGACTGCTGCTGACGATGTGCTAGCTTCCTTGCTACGGCCCTCGGTACCAAAACCATTCGGACGTGATCGATTATTTCGAAACCACAATCGAGTACTATCGACGCTTCCCAACGTGGGGCTGGTTAGCGCAAAACAATATCCGACCAAGCAATACCACACAGGTTACCTTGTCCGACGTCCAAGGCACTTTAGCCAGAGCTTCGGGAGCTACTCCATATGTTGGCTGCTCCGGTCCACGTTACAACGAGACCGACGCGGGTAGGGGTGGAAATGACACTGGTCGGACTGTCATCAGTGAGGCATGGTACTACATGCACGTCTTTGGTCGACCTCAGGAGGGCGTAGCGATCCCAGTGAACGCGACAGGGTCGTCGTCGAACTGTGCCAGGGCTAGAAACGCTCTCTGGTACTACCAGACCACGCCAGGATCCATCAGATCTTGAGCGTTGTCGAGATGGTGAAAGCCATGTCGCCTATAGACATCTCAAAAGTAATTTATACATGATACTTACTACATGCATAGATGAGCCATGTAGATATCTAGGCTTCACGAAGTGAATGCTTAAGCAAACCAGTAAGACACGTCCTTGCACTGCTTCACATATCAACCAATTACATGCCAGCGCGCACTGTTGCAAAAGAAAGCCCGAGGAAAATGCAAGTGGACTAGAAGTGAAAGGTATGGTCATCTGGTACAAGGCTGACGAGGCTACCAATGTCTTTCCGATACAGGAGTAATGACCAAATCGAAGTCGCGATGCTTATTTTATACCATTGTCATTCTCAGTGCAAACAGCAGGCGCAATGCGGGCGACCAGTCCACAATCGTATAGCTAACATACTCTTTTACTGTGCACAAGAATCTGTGCCAACTCGGCCTACACCATGAATACCGCTGAGCAGCAGCAATCCCCTCCCCAGGACGGCAATGTCTTGGGTGCTGCCGCAGTCCCCGTCCAGGGTGCGCCTCAACTCCCACCTCAGATGTTCACGACCGCTGCACAATTGCTAGATCTCACAGATAGTAGGTTTCCCTTCCTTTTTCTTCCTTCTCTCTTGATGTCCAGTGTGTCCTCCCAAGTCGACCAACGAAAATGTTTCTGTGCTAAACATAGTCTTTTCGACTGGGTACAGAGAAACTCATGCTCGTCCTGCGTGATGGCCGGAAACTCATTGGCGTTCTGCGCACTTGGGACCAATTTGCGAATCTCGTCTTGACGGACACGAAAGAGAGGTACTATGTCGAGACTGACGAGGGTGATGATGCGCCGCCACGAAGATTGTTCTGCGATATACCGAGGGGAACGTATTTGGTGAGAGGGGAGAATGTTTTGCTGTTGGGAGAGATTGATCTGGATAGAGATGAGGAGACTCCGCCTGGGTATGTTGAGGGGCAAATTGAGGAGGTGTTTGGGATACAGAAGAGACAGGAGATGGATAGGAAAAAGAGTGATAAGTCGAAATTGCGGAGATTTGGTGATCTGGAGAGTAGTGGTGAGGTGCTCTTCTGAGTTGAAGGACTGTCACCTAACAACACGAGGGGCGACTATCACGGACGAGGGAGTTCTGCTCGTATTATTCTATCAACATGCGGATGGCGCAGGACTCAAGCAGAATATTGTGAAATGCTCTGGGTCTACTTGGTGACCGTTTGTAAAGGACAGAAGAGACGAAGAGCTAGTTGGCAGTAAGGTCAACAGCCATTGTGCTATTACAGCCACAGATCTCAAACAGCCATCAGATCAGGTCGACTAAGTATCTCCGACACTTTGCTGCTATATGGCAGCAAGAAGCTCATGATGATTCTAGTCGGCTGAGCCAATTCATAACCATCATAGCTTGTGTGATGGCAACCTTTTCTCCGAACCTCATACCATCCCAGCTTGTAGCTTGAACAGTCATGTTCCACATACCTAACACATCGACCTCGTTCTCTTGGGCTGTAAACGTCATCTTGCGGTCGAAGTCCCAGATCTCTTGATTGCCCTTACGATCCTTCAAGTCGATATGGCCAGCAGCAGTAGGACCTATCCACAACATTGGAGTGTTGCGATCTGATTCGTCTGCCAGCTCGACAAATCTAAGAAGTGAGGCTTCAGCATCACCTACTGATAACGTGCTTGGTCCTAGAGAGTGGATTACTGGTATAGGCCTATACTTTGATCTTGAGGCTTTCGGAGCAAGTTGTTGAAATTTCTCAACCACAAGAGAAGCAGGCTCTGCAGAATCTACCCGGAGGAATGCATGCTTGATTCGGTTACAGAAGTACGCGGAGCCAACGTGGTCATCTTGGCTGGCTCTGTCTGACTCGAGAAGCGAATGTTGTTGACAGTCGGATCTGACAAACTGGTTGTTGCACCGACAATCCTCTTGTAAGCTCTTGTCCATCGAGGCTAGATCCAAAGCTCCCAGTGCAAGGTCTCGCCGAAGAAGGATATTGAACCCACTGTAAATCGTCTGTAGCGTATCGTCGCCCACAAAGATGAGGCCGTCAACCCTTTCGAGTATGAAGCACATCTCCTCGGGATCAAACCATCGATAATTGCAGCCTGAGTATGTCAGTGGTCTCACGAAGAAGCACGTCTGCGCACGTACCCCGTGGTTGATATGGAGCATCGAAGCCGATACGTCCACCTTCGGACAATGCTCTCAACAAATGCTTTCTGTCATGGCAGAACGTATTGGCCTCGTAGAAGCCCAGACGATCTTTCTTCGGCGTGGCATAAAGTTCAGAGGCACGAACGTTGCACTCAGAATAGCCCTCGAAAGCCGCAAAGAAGTTCAGTATCCCATCTCCTGTGCGTCTGTGTGTGGACAAATGATCGTTGTTGTGGAAGTCAGGCAGAATTAACCAGCCAAGAAGAAGTCCCAGACTAACGTAAAGAAGGATGTAGCCTTTGCTGAACACACGTCCCATCACGATGGTGCTTTCTTGTATCAGGTCAGTGAAGCTTTGAAGTGCTGTATCAGTTTCAACAAAGGCTTGTTGCGCTGGAGGATGTGAAAGGCAAGGAGCTGCCTCGTCCATTGCGGCGGATCGTACGGTGAAATTGATTAGAATGCTAGGAAGACTGGTGAAGCGTGGGCGGAAAAGGAAAGACTGATCGTAGTACTCGCCAAAATCTCTTCTCCCAACATGATGTAAGTACTTACAGAGGGTCGCTCTTGCTTTGATAGTCCTGATGAATATTCTCGCTGTACTAGTAGTGACCTCCTTAAGGCACAAATATCACACCACTAAACCAATACGCGCTGAAAACAGGTGAGAACTACCACTTATCAATATACCTCAAGGAACCGGCACGTCTTAGTTGTGCCCGCAACACTTTTGCTGACTGGGCCATGACTGAATCTCAACCAGCTCGTTATCAGGTACCTTCAATCATCACAAGTACTTCCCATTCCAGCTTTGCTCTCTTCATCGAGCAAGTAGCTATATATCTCCTACATTAGCCAGCATTTACCCTCGCTTAGATTCGGATTTCGAGATCTGGTAGGAATTGGTTCGACGCAAACGATCAAGTATGAGGTCAAAGGATGCTGGTCCTGCTCATCGAAACAAAGCCAGAGTATTACACGCTCCTCCTCCTTGTGACGTTTAGTATGAATCTCATGCAGTGTTCAGCAGGAACAGCGCATCACGACAGAGGCTGACGCGACATTGCCAAGGGAAAATGAAGGTTTCTTTGTCGATGTTCAGCATGGTTCACAGGCAACGCAGTAAGGAAGAATGGGCGTTAATCGTTCTGTAGGCATGTAAGTCTGCTCCAAGGACGGTCGCCCGCTGCCTGCCTCGGCATGTTCGCGTGCCCCTTCATCCAGCTGCCAGGTGGACTGCATAACAATCACGATTTGCTACATGATCCTACAGACAATTTGCTGCTGCAGTCAAAATATCATTCGTGCTGGTACCAGTACCTTCCAAGTATCGAGTGACTGTATTTCTTTCACCTCCCACATTGAGCTGTTTACATTCGCGTGCTTGCGGGCAAGTTCTGCAAATTGAATTTTAAACATTGGCCACAAGGCATCCGAAGCGGCCATCGTAGCTTTCGCCTTCGTTGTTGCTTCTCCACATCGTCATCTGCTCCTCCCCACAACCTCCAGACGTGGATGTCGCTCGAAGAGTCACAATATTGTACCATTTAGGAGCTGCAACAATAGAGCCAGCTCTATATAACAATATCTAACAGACGACTGCAATCTCAGCGTGTTCGAAGCATTCAATCGTGTCAACTTAAACTCCGAACTATTTTCTGGAAAGGTTCCGAACCTCAACGCTACCATCGGCGAGCTTCGGGCAGGTGGATAGTTGTCGAGCTACAACTCCTCCTGTGCGTGTCTACAATTTTCGATAGACCACGTTCTTGACAAGTTGCTGTCCTATATCTGCCAGGCCGTAAGGCCTGACCACCGTCAAACATGGCATGGAAGCCATCAGAGCCATTGATGAAGAGAATAGGTCATTATGCTTCCTTTCCGCCAACTGGCGTGAGTCTGCGCCAGATGGTTCAGTTTGGGGAGAAACCTTCAACTGGTATGTCAAACACAACATGCATTGCCTTTTGCTGACAGTGAGCAGGCACCTTATTTAGAGCCTCACAGTTTCTCTCCGAAGAGCTACCTGTCCGCCTCGCGCATCGTGTAGAAGAGCTAGACAAGCTGCCAGATGGACTCGGAGAAATGCCCTCCATCAGGAAGGTCCGCGACTGGTATGCGCAATCGTTCGAAGAGCTCACGGAGATGAAGAAGCCGGATTTGGACAAGAACACAAGAGATCGATTACTGAACCCTCCCAAGAAGACAAACAACAAGCTCGCCTCCAACGTGCGGAACCCCAGCATGTCGAAGGCTAACGAAAATGGCGGTGGCTTGAATAGCAAACGCTACTTTGCTGCCATTGACGACTATAACGATTGGCCGCCAGAGCTCTCAGAGCACAATAAAAAGTTCTCTCGCATGTTAGAGAACATCAAAAGAAGGCACGACCCGGTTGTGACACAAGTGGCCATGGGTATCAACGAGTACAAGCGTAAACGGCAGCGCATGCAAATAGACTCGTCCATCCAGAGTTTTCTAGACAGGTTTTATATGTCGCGAATAGGTATACGTATGCTTATCGGTCAGCACATAGCCCTGACCACGCAATCGAACCACCGTCATCCGAACTACGTCGGTATCATATGCACCAAGACGAACGTCAGAGAACTCGCAGAGGAAGCCATCGAAAACGCCAGGTTCGTCTGTGAAGATCATTTTGGACTGTTTGACGCGCCAAAAGTGCAGCTTTTTTGTCCTCAGGACCTCAATTTCATGTATGTGCCTGGGCACTTATCGCACATGTTGTTCGAAACACTCAAGAATTCATTACGAGCTGTTGTGGAGAGGCACGGTGCCGAGAAGGAAGACTTCCCAGTTACAAAAGTCGTCGTTGCTGAAGGCAAAGAAGACATCACCATCAAGATCAGCGATGAAGGTGGAGGGATCCCGAGAAGTGCGATACCTCTGGTCTGGACATACATGTATACTACGGTGGATGCAACACCAGAGTTGGACCCTGGCTTCAATGCTAGTGATTTTAAAGCGCCGATGGCAGGTTTCGGATATGGTCTACCTATATCACGGCTCTACGCGAGATATTTTGGAGGTGATTTGAAGCTCATTTCTATGGAGGGGTAAGTCGTGGCGGCTCGAAGGGTGTAGACTCTTGCTAATTTTGACCTGCAGATACGGCACAGATGTGTACCTCCACTTGAACAGATTATCAAGCTCTTCCGAGCCACTACAATGACAACCAGTAGTCATGAGGGACGGTAGCAGCATGTTGTCGGCTTCGTCCCAAGGATTGGCGTTTGGGAGTTTGACAAAAGCGAGCATTGCCAATATGCGCTCAAAGCTCAAGAATCGTGAAGTTTCAGAAAGAAAACAGGTTGGTGATGCCGAGAGCATGATGAACGAGGAGCCTGCAAGCAATATTTCAGGAAGAGGAAGTGAATGGCTGGAATAAGAGAACCCTGTCTTCTGGGCCGAATTGCCATCTTCAATGGCACTTCTATGGTAGTACAGCAAATCTCAGTGTTGTGCTGTACAAGTTATAGGACAACTCACGGACAAGACGCGGCAGGAATAGTGAGGCAGAAGAGGACAGGTGGGCGTGCAGCAATATATATCTTCGCCGCCTGTTGCTACTCTAGCAAACGTTACTTTCTATACCAACATCGGCGAATGAAAAGTAGACGGCTGTTTAAATGACAGACATTTAGCTCTATTGAGTCAGGAAACGAGTTTCAGCAAGACCGAACAATTTGAGTCGCGGCATTGATGGTGAGCGTAGGTTTTGCGGAGAACGAGTAGGGCTTGGCACTGCCTGCAAAGCCAGAAGTTTCCATCCTCTGCAAGTGGTCCCTCTAGACATTTTGTCACCCCTGCTGTAGACTCTACGCCATGCTAGCCTACAGCAAGGTCCAACGATTACTTGTCCTTGACCAGGTAGGTACTCTCCAAACTACGGCACTTTACATGACGATATATTATGCTAGGCACCAGTCATATGGACATGATTTGTACTCAAACGTCCTTGCTGATTAGCTTCTGCGGTTTTCAAAATTCAAAGATCTGATTCTGACTTATTCGCGCGCATCCGAGTATTCTTCGCGGACATTAGCTGACTAGTATAGATCTTATAGCACAGCCTCTCTTCCTCTAGCCTCTCGATATACCATAACCAACAGCCATGGTCCTACACAATCCTAACAATTGGCATTGGGTGAACAAGGACGTGGGACCATGGGCAAAAGACTATCTCGACAGCCAAGTCAGAGAGGTCTCTGCAGAAGAGGATGGAGTGTCTGCGAAAGTCACTAAGCTTACGTCTATGGATGGTGACGTTGACGTGAGCCAGAGGAAAGGTAAAATCATCACGATTTTCGACGTTTCTTTGCGTCTGGATTACGAAGGTAAGGTCTACATAATCGACTTTGTGAGCGACGATCTAAGAACCAACAGGCAAGACCAAAGATGGTGTTGATGTTGCAGGAAGCATCAAGGTACCGGAATGTGCATACGACACGGAGCCCGACGAGTATGTTGTATGTTTCATAGCACTACCGCAATTGTGTTTTCCCCGTACTGATAGAATACAGTTTGATATAGATATCTACTCAGAGACGAAAGAGAAGCAACCTGTAAAGGACCTCGTAAAATCCAAGATTGTGCCTCAGTTACGCGAGGTCTTCCAGAAGCTCGCTCCAGCTTTAGTTGCAGAACATGGAAAGGACATCCAGCACGCTACAAGTTCGAATCCTTCGAGTGGCTTTGCAACACCAACTTGGCATCCGCAGAAGGAACGAGTACCTGTGAACTCTACCAGCACCACCAAGACGTCAGCCGCAGGCAACGCATTGGTCAACACTACCACTGTCACTGCTAACGACGAGTTTCGAACCACAGCTGAAGAGCTATTCAAGACGTTTACGGATCCCCAGAGAATAGCCGCCTTCACACGCGCTGCTCCCAAGAAATTCGAAGGTGCTGAAGTCGGAGCTAAGTTCGAGATTTTCGATGGTAACGTTCTTGGCGAATATGTCAAGCTTGATTCTCCCAAGCAGATTGTACAAAAGTGGCGCCTAGCTCAATGGCCCGCCGGTCATCACAGCCTTCAGGATATCAGCTTTGACCAGAACGACGTTGACCAAGTCACAAACATGCGCGTTACGTGGACTGGTGTGCCTGTTGGACAGGAGGACGTAGTGCAGCGCAACTGGGAAGGATACTATGTTCGCAGCATCAAACAGACATTTGGGTATGTTTCTCATTCTTGAAGATTGATTGCGTCACTAATCTTGGACAGTTTCGGCACCATACTGTGAGACATATACGTTACGAGCAGATAACATAACTCCCATGGTCGTCGTCGTACAGCGTCGAAATGAGATAGACACGAAACAATGCTTCTACGAGGTCAATGAGCAATGAAATATGATGTTAACCACAATTCCTACTTGATGTTCAGAACTGCTTTGCGCGTGTGAGTCTTGACATGCAAGATTCGCTAATCAAGAAATGTCACAAGCAGGAAAGCAGGAAATGTTTCGACCAGGGTGACCCCTGATCTTTTCAGGCTTCACATCCACGTTACGTCATACCTCGTGTACCAAGCTGGATGTTCGACTTCCACAATACACATCTGCACCGCCACACCTTTCTCTTCATTATGGTTCCTCATCCGTTTACTACTGATAAGCGAGAGACTAATTTGCTGGCGCGTTAATTTCAGCTTTGAATGAGCTTGAGAGAGCGTCGCAACAGCCATGTCGGAGAAGCAGTCAGCTAAGGCTGATAAGAAAGATGGCGAGGACCTTACTACTGTTCTCGACAAGTCGCAGAGAGCGGATCTGACTTTGTTGATCGCAAACATCACAGAATCTATGAGAAAACTAATTTTGGATAATTTCGATGCTGCAGCTGGCCTGGATCAAGAGATGATCCAGAGGGAACAGATGACAGAGGACGAGAAAATGATGAGCGCCGACATTAGTGGTGATGTTAACAAATACGAGCAGCAGAAGAAATTGAAAGCACAATACGAGAAAGAACTTGAATCTCCGAAAATGAAAAATCTCAAGAAGAATTGTCTAAGGGCTTATGACGAATGGCGTGAACAAGTCATTATGAGGGTTGGTAAAGCTGTCAATAGTGAAGATGAAGCCAAGCAACAAATTGACAAGTCTAAATCGACCGAAGCTCGACCAAATGCACCGACGACTGTTGGTAAAATTACAGAAGCTCCGAAAAAGAATGGCAGTCTCAAGTTCAAGGATCTCTTTCCGCCCACAAAGACACCCCTGACGAAATTGTCTATGGACCGTCGTACACTCGTCTTGCATTCAGTTCTACTGCTCTTGTTGTCACTAGAACACTACAACGCTGCTTCACGTGTGTTGCTGCTCAATCTCACTTCGAGTCTGAAGCTGTCGTTGAAGACTTTTGAACAAGACGAGTATGTGACGGCCAAAGGACTTCTGGAAAACGCCAAAGAGCTTTCAGGCAATGAGGAGACAAGGAAGAAAGCTGAAGAAAACCAAGCAACAAGACAGAAGAAAGTCAGATACGCGACGATAGCTGGTGCAGCTGCTCTGGGCATTGCAGGAAGTTTCGCTGCTCCACTCATTGCGGCTGGGATAGGAAGTGTTGCTACTGGTCTGGGACTAGGTACAACAGCTGCGGCTGGATATCTAGGTTCAGTGGCATCCTCTTCGTTGCTCGTTGGCAGTCTCTTCGGAGCATATGGTGGTCGCATGACAGGGCAAATGATGGATGAATTTGCTCGAGAGGTCGAAGACTTTGAATTTTTACCCGTCCATACCGATAAGCGTACCAGCGAGGATCCTGATCAAGGTGCTCAGGAGGCATCCGAGCACGACCACAAACTTCGAGTCACGATCTGCTTATCTGGTTGGCTACGTGAGAAAGAGGAAGTTGTGAAGCCATGGCGAGTCATTGGTTCAGGATCTGAAGTTTTCGCTCTGAAATGGGAGTTAGAAGCACTCCTCAATCTTGGTAATGCAATGGACGGAATGGTTTCAAGTGCTGCTTGGGGCTATGCGCAAAAGGAGTTGATAGGACGAACTGTATTTGCAGAATTGATGGGAGCAATGTGGCCGCTTGGTCTGTTGAAAGTGGCGCAAGTTGTTGACAACCCATTCACTCATGCAAAGGCGAGAGCGGAGAAGGCAGGAGAGATCCTGGCAGAGGTGCTTATCAAGCGAGCGCAAGGAGAACGACCTGTGACCTTGATTGGGTACTCTTTAGGTGCACGAGCTATTTATGTGTGCCTACAAACACTTGCAAAGCATCGAGCCTTCAACTTGGTCGAGAACGCCGTCCTTATTGGAGCACCTACACCTTCCGACACAAGCGATTGGCGTGTCTTGAGAAGTGCTGTCTCAGGCAGACTTGTCAACGTATACTCGACGAACGACTACATCCTAGGCTTCATGTACAGAACCTCAGCAATTCAATACGGTGTTGCTGGGCTGCAGCCAGTCGATGGTCTTCCAGGGGTGGAAAACGTGGATGTAAGTGAAGACGTGGATGGCCATACTCGATATCGTTTCCTCATAGGTGGTATCCTCAAGAGAATAGGCTTCGAAGACATCGATATGGAAGCTGTTCAGGAAGAGCAAGAGGCTCTGAACAAGATGATCGAGGAAGAAAAGAACAATTCGTTGCAGGCGCAAAGAAATCGACTGATGCGGCAGGAATCTTATAAGAAGGAGGATGGCAAGGTCGATGAAGATGCTTTGGCTCGAGATGAAGTTAGTGATCTTGAGAAACAGGTGCGTGAGAGGACACAAGAGTCATTAGTAAGCAAGATCATACAGTGGTGGTACACAGTAAGTTCAGAACCTGTCACATTGCGTCCATTCTACAGAGTTGTTATCCTCACGACAATGCTCTCCGTATCAGATGGACAGAATGTTCTTCGTAGCCAGTACTGACTTCTTGCAGCCTCGTGCTCCAAACACCAAAGATGCGGAAAAGGTAGCAGCAAACCTCCAGAGGGCCGTTCAGAATCCATCAGACCTTCGAGCGGCCGCCAGCGATACTGCCAAAGACGTCCAAGACTCTACAGCCAGCATGGCACAACGCGTCTATCAAGCTCTGCCGAACATACCTTATATGGGCAGCAGCACAGCAACTGGTGGTGTCGCGAAAGCTGATCCTGGAAAGGTCGCAGAGGGCGCCACAAAGGAAACACAAAGTTACACGTCTAAAGCAGCTGCTTACCTGCCCAAAAATTTGCCGTCTATGCCAAGCATGCCTGCATTACCTCGCTATTCCAAGCCGAAAGACACGTCTTCAGCACCAGCGAAGGCGACCAAGGATGCTGGCGAGACTGCGAAGAAGGCGACAAGCACAGCAACAGATACTGTAGGAACGACAGTCAAGAATGTCGGTAATGTCAATGAGAACCCAGCGACAAAGCAGCTTAAGGAAGCACCAGGCATCAAGCAAGCACTCGATAAAGATCCTGGAGTCACTGAGAAGCTTGGCGAAGCCACGGGTGCAGTAGGCACAACAGTGAACAATACCGCTGATAAGGTAACGGGTGCTACAGAAAAGGCAACAGATGCAGCTGGCGAAGCAGGAGCGAAAGGAGTCGACGCTGCAGACGCCGGAGTGAAGAAGGTCACTGAGGCTGGCAAGGGCATTGTACCAGGTCTTGGTGATTCTGACAACAAAGGCAACGGTAGCGACAAGGGCAAGTCTGACGGTAAGCAACAGCAGTCCTACACCAGCTATGCAGCCTCATACCTGCCCTCCATGCCATCATGGGGTGGTTCGAAGAAGGAAGCACAACCCTCAACAGCTCAACGCAAGCCTTCTGCTCCAAAGCTCGAAAAAAGAGACAGCGCAAAGCCATCAAAACTTGAGCGTAAAGAGTCTGAAGCCAAACAATCATCATCTCGCCCTCCACCACCAAAACTGGGAAGGAAAAGCAGTTCAAACACCGCCACTGCAAAGTCACCACCTCCTAAGCTCGGACCTCGAAAAGCCAGCGAACCAGGCACAAAGTCACCACTACAACGTGTCTCCTCGGGCGCAAAGAACGTCCCAGGTGCGGGTCAGCTACCTAATATAGGCGAACAGCTACCCGGAACAGATACTGCCAAACAAGCCGCTTCCGCTCCACAAGACGCTGCGAAGAAAGGCACTGACGCTGCTGGACAAGTAGCATCCAAGGGAGTAGATTCTGCAAAGCAAGCAGCATCCGTACCACAAGGCATCGCTGAGAAAGGTACTGAAGCCGCTGGACAGGTAGCGTCGAAAGGACAAGATGCTGCAAGTGCAGGTACGGCCGTGGCTACAGATGCTGCTTCGAAAGGTAAAGACGCTGTGGGTGCTGGCGCGAGTGCGACTACCGATGCTGCAGGTCAGGCTGCCTCGAAAGGGAAGGATGCTGTCAGTACTGGTGCGAGTGCGACGAGTGGAGCGGTTAGTGGTGTTTTTGGAAGTGGTAAGAAAATGTTGGGGTTTGGTAGGTGAATAGGTCAGTACAGTGGGCAGGTATGTAGGCAGATCGATGTTGTAATTTCAAAAGCAAATTCTTTCCTTCAATCCTCGACGCCTCAGTATTGTCGCTCCAATTACAAAGGATGTCAAGGGTTCTCCAATGCATAGACTGCTAGTCGAGAGATCTCATAGGGAACAGCTGAACAGAACCAGGATAGCAACCTCAAGAACTCAGTTTGGTAATTCTGAATTATGTCAAAATGCACCTGCGTTCCAACGATAAGACGAAGGTTCGTAACTAATGATATTGAAAGACCGCTAAGCTCGACACGTAATGAAATGATTCGCCCAAGACAACCTCGCACAAGTATCCATGCCCTTCTTACCTGCTATACAAGATCACACACTCGTGACCTATTGGCCAGGCGCGATGAGCATACCATCTCTTCGAGAGTTCGGCTCCCAGCCACCAGCGAATACCTCGTCGCCTGCCTTGGCCTTGTATCCTTCTACTCTTGCCTCAAGCTCAGGTCTAAAGTGCCGAATGAGACCCTGTACAGGCCATGCGAAGGCTTCTCCCAAAGCTAAAACAAAGTCAGTCATCATGTCCCTCTACAAATTTATACTGGTTGTACTTACCACAGATGGTGTGACCCTCGACCTGCTTGGTTAACTCCTGCATCATGTCAATCTCTCGCTTCTTAGCTTGGCCCTTTTCGAATCGCTGCATCATCTTCATCATCCACGAACTACCTTCTCTGCAAGGCGTGCACTGGCCGCACGACTCATGCTTGTAGAAGGCTGATAATCTGGATATCATCCTGACGACATCGGCGGACTTATCCATAACGATTACGGCGGCAGTACCTAGACCAGATTGACTGTCTTTCAAAGCGTCGAAATCCATCAACTGGTCATCGCACATCTTCTTGGGCAAGATAGGAGTGGATGATCCACCTGGAATGATAGCCTTAAGGTTATCCCAGCCACCTCGAACGCCACCACAATGTCTGTCAATAAGCTCTCGTAATGGAATGGACATCTCCTCCTCGACTGTGCATGGGTTGTTGACATGTCCAGAGATGCAGAAGAGCTTGGTGCCCTGGTTTCGTTCTCGACCGAAACCAGCGAACCACTTCCCTCCTCTTCTCATAATTGTGGGGCAAACAGCAACGGTTTCGACATTGGTGACAGTGGATGGGCAACCGAAAAGACCGACGGCAGCTGGGAAAGGTGGCTTCAGACGTGGCTTGCCTGCCTTGCCTTCGAGAGATTCGATAAGCGAAGTTTCCTCACCGCAGACGTATGCTCCTGCTCCCCTATGAAGGTATACATCGAAGTCGAATCCAGACCCACAAGCATTCTTGCCAATAAGACCGTCTTTGTATGCTTCCTGGATAGCCCTTTGCAGCACTGTTGCCTCATGGTAGAATTCACCTCGGATATAAATATATGCAGCCGTAGCGTTCATGGCTCGTCCAACAACTAAGCAGCCTTCGATGAGTTTATGAGGATCTTTTCGCATAATTTCTCTGTCTTTGCATGTTCCTGGTTCGCCCTCATCAGCGTTGATGACCAGATACCGAGGCTTCTTATCGTTCTCCCAGCCCTTAAAGTTCATAAAGGAAAACTTGAGGCCCGAAGGGAAACCAGCTCCTCCTCTTCCTCGTAGCCCTGATGCTTTGATTTCATTGATGAGCCAGTCATGACCCTTCAATATTATCTCTTTCGTCTTATGCCAATCGCCATACTTCTTCGCGCTTGCTAGATCGGTGCCGTGGTGGCCGTACAAATTCTGAAATATCCTGTCCTGGTCTTTAAGACCTCCATATTGTCTCTTCTTGGGTGTAGCGTCTTGTACAGTCGCGTAGGATCTTCTTGGGTCGCGACTCGAGCTCAAACAGCCAGTGGCGGACACTGGGACGGCATAGCTTCGTGTAGCCGACGCTACGAGACCTGTAGCGGTCTTTGTCGACGGTCGTGCGAGCATGGCTGGAGTCGGTAGAGGCTTTGTGATTATCTTAACGGCGTATTGGACTGGCGACCGCAAACAGTAGAGGGGCGAGCAGGTTCATCGAAGACGTATTGTAGTTTGGATAGCGCCTCGGCGAAGTTTCCTTTGTAAACTGAGCAATGCAAATTGAGCAACCACGATTGGAGCTCTATCCTCCCAAGCTTTTCATCGATCTAGAAAGTAAATCGACTACATATATGCCTGAGGCATCATGATCCACGACCTTGAATCGTCGTGATTGTTCTAGCTACTATACATTCCATAGCTGCGGTGTATCGTACTACAGTCAAATGGACCTCACTTCACCTGCACAAGCGAGGATGTTCTCGCGTCAGACTCTTCGTATATGACTGACAGGTGCTTTACCTCTAGGTTGCTGGAGTGGCCTTCTTGTGATATCTTTCCGCCTGAAACATGACCTTCACTCGGAAATTCTCGAGCTTGTTCATTTCACTGTAGCTTCCATTATCTTCACCACTGCAAAATGTCAAGAATGGAAAACTTCCAGACGGTCAGATTTGTTCCCTCCTTCCCAATGTTTGCGTGTATGTCTTGTCCAACTTCTTTTCGCAATTCCATTTTCCTCTCCACAGAACCTGAACAATGACACTTTTAAAACGTCCAGAAGGACAGCAGAACTTTCGGGTACCATCGCTGCAAACATTCAGCTGTAAGTTTGCTCTCCTCTTCCAGCATGCTCAATCAGTTGGACTACTTCTTCAATGCCATTTCAACGGACTGTATTTCTCTTCCGACTGTACCCGTCTTCTAAAGCAATATCTCATACGGAAAATTCCAAACATGGGGAAGAAGTCAAAGAAAAGAGCTGCGAAAGGTACCGGTGCGAATTGGAGGTTGATAGAGAGGAGCTACCCTGATATCATCCACATCTGTCAGTCTGTCAAATACTGACGAGATAGTTACACCTCTGCAACAGGCACGCTGCGATCCTTATGTCAAGTATCTTGACCTTGTCATTCCAAAGAATAGTGACGACGGATCAGGTTCTGCTACGTTGCCTGAAGAGTCGCACAGATTGAAGACTGCGCCACTCTTCTCCAGCCTGGTCCATCAGAAAACACTCGCAGCTCAGACCTTCACATTTTCCAAGACACAGCTCTTCTCTCAGTATGGTCTACTAGGACTTATCCGCGATCCTCCAACTCCGAGCAACTTCTCGCAGATGCGCAATAATCCACAAGATAAGCTGGTCTTTACGAACACCGCGGAGCCATGGTCTACGTTCATTTGTGGTTCCCAAGGTTCAGGCAAAAGTCATACCCTTTCCTGTCTGCTGGAGAATTACTTGCTGGCAGACCCAAGAATTACCGTCGGTGCAAAACCACTGACTGGCATGGTCTTCCACTATGACAAATTCTCGAGCTTCAATAGTGGGCAGGTATGTGAAGCCGCATACCTGTGTTCAGCAGGAGTGCGTGTCAAGGTACTAGTGGCACCCACCAGCATTGCCCGTATGTCAAGACAATATGCCAATCTCCCTGGCCTGCCTGAGAACTGTCCTCGACCAAAAGTTCTTCTCCTCGTGTTCGGTCAAGAACAATTATCAGTGGATGTGATGATGACGCTGATGGCTGTTCACGACACCGGAGTCACTGCACCTTTGTACATATGTGCCATTCGGCAGCTCCTGCGGGATATCGCCATGGACAATCAGAGCAAAGGTCTTCAAGGATTCGACTATATGGATTTTAGGCACCGATTATCCCTCATGTCGTTGACAGATGCTCAAAATGCCCCTCTAGACATGCGACTGCAACTGCTACAGTCTAGCATGATCAAGAAAGAGCAGACCTCACAAGACGCGCAAGCATTCAAGGAGACATGGGCGTTCGAGCCAGGATCCCTTACCATAGTCGATCTGAGCGACCAGTTTGTGAACGAAAGCGACGCTTGTGCCCTCTTCTCAATTTGCCTGAAGCTGTTCATGCAAGGCTGGCAGACGAACCCTCGAGTCGTCGCCCTTGACGAAGCCCACAAATTCTTGACTTCGACATCGGAAGCCATGCAGTTGCAGGCGGACCTAATTGCGATCATTCGACAACAACGTCACCTCGGCTCGCGCATGGTCATCGCTACCCAGGAGCCAACGGTTTCTGGTGAGCTCCTAGACCTATGCAACGTCACTATAGTCCATCGCTTCAAATCCCCTCACTGGTACAAGACGATCAAGCAACATCTTGCCGCAGCTAACGCTGATCACGAAACTGACAGGAATGAAGATTTGTTTTCAAAGATCGTCAAGCTCTCCACAGGTGAAGCATTCATGTTTTGTCCCACCGCCACGGTCACAATGGAAGCTGGCAAAGCTCAAACACTTCAAGATCGATTTGTCAAGATGAAGACACGAGCCAGAATCAGCGCGGATGGCGGCCAGTCAATCCAAACTACACACAAATTCACCACCGCGACCAAGAAAATGGCATACATACCAAACTATCAGCGTATGGACCTCCCATCTCTTGCCAGTCAAGCTACGAAAGGGAAGCCAAGAGTTCAGCATAGCGCTGTGGGAGTTCCTCCTGCACCACATACTCAGGTCCCAGTTCCCGTTGTGAATGGCTCATTCGGTGGTGGCCCATATACGCCACCTCTCACTCGCAGCGGTCAGAAGAGACCACGTACCACCTATGATGGTTCAGTGGATGCATGAGATGGCAGGGACGACTGGGAAGGGTTGCTATGGGTATGCCAAAAGTTGCACATGTACGGAAAAAAGCTTGTAATAGGTTCTTCGTTGTGTAAGAAATAGTTAGATAGACTTTTCGACCACAAGGTCTACATATGTCTAGAAGTAGTCCTGAATGAGAAATCCGCAGCTGTTCAAGCCCGTGCAGCGGCTTTGCGGCGAAAAGTGGTGCATATCAATGCCGTTCACGCTTCTCCCATGATCCGTGTGCTGTCTCCAGTAAGATGGCGTCCAGCGCCCTCCCAGAGAGTGTTTCACGCCGCTGTTCTGATATTGACTAATGCCACGTCGTGTTTCCGTGGGCACTGCACATTTCGTTGCTTTTCTTAGCTTCCCAACTAGGAGAGCCTCTACCAAAACCGCGTGGCACGCTAGGTAAAGACCGCCATGAATGTCACTTCGGGAATAGCGCGAACGGGAGCATAAGTGGCCAGACCTCGAACATCACACCACCCTTTCATAGTTTGACGAACTGTGCAAGACAGACCACCGCAGCGGACGGGTTTTCCTCGTACAGTACTTGAGAATGCATTGGTAAAAAGGAGCCGATAGCGGAGCCACAAAGCCTTGATGTGTACAAAGCTATATTTCACGCTGTGTCCGATCTGGGAAAGGTGAAGAGGGCGTAAACTTCGATTTCTTCATAAATCAAGGAGACGCTACAGAAGCCTATCCCAGGGTGTCGGGTCGCTAGATCAGATGTGGCTGATTGCGTTGTACCAAGTACTTGGGTGACAACACGACATTGATTCAGTCTTGCTTGGATAAGTGCAGGTGCCTCGATAAATGCGCGATGTAAGTGTGCTACTCGTTCTCGAATCAATACTGAGACGGTATACGTAACCGAGGAAAGCATGCGTCTTCTCCACGAATCGCTTACCGGGTATGTAGTACTGCTGGGTTTACAATATTGTCGGAGAAACATGCAATCAACCTGCAGAGGCAGCGCATTGTTAGCTTGACACCGCGCAGTTTAAAGGTTGCTCGAATGTGTCATTGGACTGCTGAACAGGCTTATCATGCCATATTCATGTTGGAAGTCTGATAGGGTTGCACTGACCGTTTGAGACATCCAGCGCAGGACGATGCTTTCGGGTCCTTTGTGTCTTCGGTTCATGCTTTGATGTGCAAGGTTCTGTCCTGCAGAAAGACAATGGTTCTTGTCTTAGTGTCGTAATCGACACAGCCAACCGAATGAATAAATCTCTCAATCATATTGTCTGCAGTAGATCATGAAGCCAAACAATCCTTCTACCTGTGCAGGGTCTTCGCTCACAAACCGCTCGATCTCTATCGGAACTCGAACGCCCTCCTCTTCCATTACATTCCATGCCCAGCAGACTTTCTCAGGATCGAGCCAGGCCGTCATCGCGCTATCCTTACCTAGAGAGTCCTTCACTTTCGGTAAAGAGTCCAGCAGATACATCAACGCCTGTGGTGGCTCTTCACCCGGCGCCCATGGGCCAGGAGGTGGAACGTAATTCCAGTTAGGATCTTCTGGAGGATAAGAGGATGAGATCTCCTCGAACCAGCTTGCAAGTCGGAATGGAAGTTGTGTGCGTGACCGATATGCTTGACACAACGACGAAAGCGAAATAGCTATGCTCGTCTTCACCTTGTCACTGTGGGGGCGCATATGGTGTGGTACAGCCTCCAAGATTGCACTTTCAATGTCTCTTAGACAAGATTGCACAGAATTTGCTTGTGGTGACGGGAAAAGACGGATAAGAGATGCAGCAGTGAAGAGCTCGTTCCTCCTGGTTATAAACTGCAGGCGCATGCAAAACTCTTCAAGACCAGGGGTAATCATCTCTGCAAGTTTCACTCGCATACTAAGCAGCAGGTCTGAAGCCTGCTGATCAGTGCTGGCATTGAGCAACACAAAGGCGCAAACGCCTTCAGCAGTCTGCAAGATGCTCACCTGTTTGTGCCGGTAAATCTGCGCATTCTTTTGCTTCTGTGTTCTCGCCTCGATAGGTGGATTTGCCCGCGAGGGGTCCGTTGCCTGTATTCGTCTTGCTCGAGAACCGCTGTCATACATAATCTGCGCCAATGTCGCAAGCATGTTCCTGAAGTCATCGAACTTTTCAGGCAAACTGCTGCTCATCAACGTTTGTCGTCTCGTACTCATGGCTTGAAACTCTCGCTCGTTGCTTATCATCACCGATATACTGTCCAATAGATCGAATGAAAATAGTGCTCTTTCTATATATCTTGACTCTTTTACAAGGTGGTGTATCATCTCATAAATGTAGCAATTGAATGTTTCGTTCGATCGGTCGTCTAGAGGCCATGTTCGTGCGATCTCGAGAGGTGTACCGGGATGTGCATTTATGCTGATGAGAACATGCTCGTAAGGATTGTCCTCCAGGACGAAGCCGTAGCTCATTAGAAGCGCTTCGTTGTCTAAAGGGCCATAATTGTTGAATACTTCCTGACCCGAAGTATAGTCTTCGTCAATCTGCAATCCCACAAAATCCACGCGGGCCTGCCACTCCACCAGAGCCGCTGGTTTGTGGTTGAGAATATCAAGAAGAGGTAACAAAACGGCAAAGCGCTCAGAAAACAACTTGTATAATAGCTGGTGGTTGGGATCCTTCCGACCAAGAGGTCGAGCTTTGTCTGCCGGCGCAGTGTCATCTAGCACTGTGGAGACGAAGCTTCGTGTTCCAAAGATTTTCGAGGCCCATCTGAACAGTCTGTAGTCGTATGCACCATTTCTGGCATTATTCCAGTCGAGCTCCATCAGCATTCTGTTCACGTCTTCAAATTGATGTAACCATTTTCGATTTTGAGCTGCTAAAGCTACTTCAAGGTTAGTCCCACGAATCCATGCCAGATCTTCTTCGGCTTCAAACTGAGCTGCGTCGACGTCCTCAACAGTTGGCAGAGTTCGAATGTAGGGAGCCCAGAATGATTTATCTCCAAGAAGATATTGCTCCATCAGAAAGAAGGCCTGTAAAGTATCGGTAGCGCTTTGGTATCTTTGCAGGAATGGTTTGGGAAAGCTGGTGCCGTGTTGCTCGAAGGGTGCAATATTGAGAACGTTTAACGCAGACATCATGATAGATATTGGGCATACCACCACCCGTGTATGCGCAGTGATAGTTGCTCCATCTGCGACAACACCGTGGTAACCTTTGTTAGGAGCATACTTCAGCCTCAGATTTGGATGGATGAAACCACCATGCCGAGCAACCCATTGTGCGAGTTGCTTATGATTATCGAGAGCGCGTTCTTCGGAATTGGATGTGACTGACAGCTTGGCACTATCGTGGGAAGCAGACCCCTGTTCATCAGCTGTGTTATTCATTCTTCCAAGATGGAACAAAGGAAAGCCACCGATACTTTCCTACTATGTGCACGATATGCAAAAGGAGGAGGGGAGATTATCGAGAGTGGGACAAGATGAAGATCTGGACTATAACGTGCTCAAGGTATGAGCTGGCGTATCACAGCATCGAATGTTGGTCCGCAATACCTAAGCTGGATCTCACCATGCGACAGATTTCATTTCAATGTCAATGAAACAATTAGCAGAATCTTTCCTGGGCACAAGTGAAGGAAAACGAAGTTCTAGCCGGTCACAGGCTCTAGCCAGGCAGGTACCACACTGCAACCTACAAAACAGGTAAGCGCAATGCTTCTTTGAGAGGCCACGACCTGGAAAGACAACTCGTCAGAACCATATTCGGCATTCTCGTCGAAACAGCAATTGAATTCGAGCAATCCTAACTCTGGAACCGAAAATCAAATTTGCGTTAACCATCTGGCTTTCGTGGGCGTCAGAGATTGTGACGTTTTCAGTGGAATCCTACTATACGCGGCCGATGACCATGTGGAGATGGTTTGTGGTGTTCAGCACACTACCGCCGGTGATGCCCGAGTCAAGAACTTGGCACTAGCATACTGTGTACAGGGTAGAGATATCAGCAAGATGGATTTCAGATGTTTAGTGCAGGAGTATCCATTCAAGCATGACAAAAAGAAGCAAAAGGGGCATGAAGCAGAATCGGCAGCTCTGCCCAGACGCTTTCGTAAGAAGCCAATGAAAACGTACATTGTACGTAATTTCTTAGTAATCTATGGCTATCGGAATAGTCCGCTTTATGCCTGAGCCAGGACGTTGTCGAATGCCTACAGGCACTAGATAGAGGAAGCAGATGCCGTCTCCATGCGCAGATACATACTGGCCGTTGGATACGAGAATATACGGATGAATTCCAGCTGATTGACGAGCCAGGTTGGAGATCTTCCTCGATATGAGGGGAGCGCAGAACCGCGCTTTGCAGGAGTGTGAGACTGGAAGTAGGACTTGTTGTTGCTGAGTGTAAACATGTATATCTTTCGGCCTCGTGGACCATCGTGGTTCTTACAGATTTCTATTTTGAACTTTGGTGCTCTCTCTGCCACCATGAACGGAAGCAAGCACTCTTTCATAAGAATGAAGCATGACTATGCTGCGCTAAAGGTAAAGCAAGACCGGCTGATGGATGCTATACACAATGGGTGTAAATTTGGGGCATCTCATCGTTACGGCGATGACCCGACAGAGACAGGCATGGCCCGAATGAGTCTCGATGATTCTGACAAGCAAATCAGGGACTGGTTCAAATCGTCTGTTGAATCTATTGGATGCGTGTATTCTGTCGACCAGATGGGCAATCAGTTTGCTCTGAGGCCAGGCAAGAACAAGCAAGCATATCCAGTCATGATGGGTAGTCACTTAGATACACAACCTACAGGTGGTAGATATGATGGCATTCTTGGTGTTAACGCTGGCCTTGAAGCGCTAAGAGTGCTTCATGAGCACGACGTTGAGACTGAAGGAACCATAGGCCTTGTCAACTGGACCAACGAAGAAGGTGCTCGCTTCCCCATGATGGCGGTAGCTAGTGGTGTTTGGGCTGAGGCTGTTCCGTTAGAAACTGCTTGGAATCTGTCCGAGGTCAGCGTTAGTAATGATGGGACAAAGAAAACTATGAAGCAAGAGCTGGAACGTATAGGCTACCTCGGTCAACAGAAAGCTTCGTACAAGGAATTTCCCTTTGCTGCATACTTCGAGTTGCACATCGAACAAGGTCCGATTCTGGAGATGGAGCAGAGGAAGATCGGAGTCGTTGAGGGCGTCCAAGCTTTCAAGTGGTTTGAAATCACAGTCCGTGGCCGTGATACTCATGCAGGAACTACGCCGATGTATGCAAGAATGGACTCTATGCTTTGTGCGGCCAAACTGATCGTCGAGGCCAATAAGATTGCCAAAGGATATGATGGGCTAGCAACAACAGGTATTTTGAACATGCAGCCTGGATCCATAAACACCATGGCGCATACTGTGACCTTCACTCTCGATATTCGCCATAAAATCGACGAAAAGCTATCCCAGATTGAAAAGGAATGTCGATCGCGATTTCAAGAGATCGCTGCGAACGAAAGCGAGAAGGGTTGCAGCTTGGAGTGGAAAGAACTCGTCGACAGCCCAGCAGTAAAATTTCATGAAGATTGTATAGCTGCTGTTCGGGACAGCGCAATAGAGGTGTGCGAGGATCTGCCTAAATCTGCCAGTGATGGGCAGCTCTGGAAGCTCATGATTAGTGGCGCAGGTAAGCTTTTGTCTTTTTGTTGTACCTGTGCTCTGCACTCACAACTTTCTCAGGACATGATGCATGTTACACAAACCGACGGTGTCCTACTTCGATGATCTTCACCGTGACGAAAGATGGTATATCTCATAACCCTCGGGAATATTGCAGTCCAGAAGACTGTGAGCTGGGAGCTCAAACTCTACTTGGCGCCGTACTGAGATATGACAAGCTGCGGGCAGAGCGTGGTGAGCTTTGAGTGTCTCGGGACTTAGCTTGCAAGATAACGGCGAAGAGCAAGTCCGCCTCGTACAACGATTGGCACGGAAGATGCGAACCACGGAGGATCTGCTCGCGACACGCGAGGTCGACTGCCAAGGGCATGGCATGCCACGTTAAACTCGTGTGGGTAAGTGTAAGAGATTGGGAGGTAATTGTGGAGTTATAGCCTGCCGGGTAAATCTGACAGCAGCTCAACGCTTGGCCGAGAAACGCACATGGTTTGTGACGGAAGCTTGACTGCATGCAGTACTAGTGGTAGGAGCATCAGCCATGAGGCGCTTTTGCCATAGCTGCAGGAACGAGCCTCGAAAGGCATAGTTAGGATCTGACATGGGGGCCTCCTGACCACCATCTCAACACGTTCGTCTTGATCTATGGCTGTCAAAAAGTCCATATTCAGATGAAGTTTGGAGACGTTAAACTCGAATTTTGCTCAAATGTCTCGAAATGATCGCTGCAGGCATTGAGCAGATCTGCAAGATTTTCCACGTGACTCTCGCCCTTGCGATTTCCGACGCTAAGGAAGGCTTCGGGGTCTAATGTTAAAAATATTCTTGTACCTGAAATTCAACCAGCAGCGGACGGAGTGGTGCAATATGCCACTCACCCGTGTGCATAATATAAAAAGTACTGGAGAAGTGAACACGTGTATTATCGTGGTCCATAGTGATCAGAACGTGCAATCTCGAGAAAGTGGTTCTAGCCAGGACGACAGCAAGATGGCTCACCGCAAATTCATCGTCCCGCCCCAGATTCCCTTCACAATTTCGTGATGGAAAGGGTCTTGTGGGCTGTCGAGGAAACCCTATAAAGTCTTGTGCGTCGTTAGACCGAATTCTTGGAGCATGGTCAGAGATCTATCGACGCCATATTCGGACTCAACCAAGCTTGGCTCCAATGGCAATGCGTCCAACTTGTCTCATCCGGGGTCCGCAAATCTGCTAATTATCCCCTTGAGCGAAGGCTCTCTCGAATGCTGGAACCCCACTGTCAACACGATTTTGTATGCATGTACGGCGGTGTGAGCTCGCTGTTTGGATTGCGATGTGCCGACGGAAATAGAAAATGATACTGTGTTCGTCCCACATGTAGATAGTCTTCTCCTGAACATATTCAAAAGCAAGATTCTTCTTCCATCTGTTCTTTGCTCCTAGGACTACGTCTTCTACTTGCGCTTACTCTCCACGTCAAAGACTTTATCGTAGCTCAACTCAAAAGCACACACAACCCGCAAAGATGAACGGAGTACACGGTCTTGCCAGTGCTATGGCCCCTCATCAGAGTTATCTCCTGACCGGCAAGGTCGCATTGGTCACAGGTTCAGGTACGTTGAGACTGCCCGCCCTCATCTGGAAGCAATTTGAGGGCTATCTTGTAACAATGGCTGACTGACATTTTCCGATAGGCCGTGGTATGGGCCGTGAGACTGCCCTCGAACTTGCCCGCCGAGGTGCCGACGTTGTTGTCAATTACGCCAACTCCTCAAAAGCCGCCGATGAGCTTGTCAAGGAAATCAAGAAATTGGGTCGAGACTCGATCGCCATCAGGGCGAACGTTGCCAACGTACAAGAGACGATTGACATGTTCGCACAGGCCAAGAAGCACTTCGGAAAGTTGAACATTGTGGTTTCAAACTCCGGTGTTGTTTCCTTCGGCCACTTGAAGGACGTCACAGAAGAGGAATTCGACAGAGTCTTCAACATCAACACTAGAGGTCAATTCTTCGTTGCAAGAGAAGCCTACAAAGCCCTCGAGCCATATGGCAGAATTATCCTGATGGGTTCCATTACAGGTCAAGCCAAGGGTGTACCAATGCACACAGTCTACTCAGGCTCAAAGGGTGCCATCGAGACTTTCGTCCGATGCATGGCCATCGATGCTGGTGATAAGAAGATTACAGTCAATGCTGTTGCTCCAGGTGGTATCAAGACTGACATGTACCACGCTGTCTGCAGAGAGTACATTCCAAATGGTGCCAACTTGTCAGACGATCAGGTCGATGAATATGCCGCTACCTGGTCACCAATGAACAGAGTCGGTATGCCAATGGACGTTGCACGTGTCACCTGCTTCTTGGCCTCGCAGGACGGTGAATGGATCAACGGCAAGGTCATCGGCATTGACGGTGGCGCTTGCATGTAAAGAGTTTGGATGGTGAATATACGAGGCGAAGAGAATGTGGATGTCACGATTAGGGCTTTCTGTGTATGCAGCGTGTCAAGTCTTTGGCAGCTTTTATTTTGCTTTGGAAAAGCTCTTGGTTCGCTTGCAATCGCAGGTTGAGAAGCATTTACATGGGTATATAGATGGATCTCAAGACTACTTGTCGTGCGAGGTGTTTGGTTGAGTAATGGAATGTCTGTTCATACAAAATTGGTTTGTTCTCTGCCTCCGACTCCTTCCCACTGAGCGCATGCAAGGAGGTGCAACAAAGTATGGCCGGTCACTGTACTGACCAACCACGTTCAGTCGGCACGTACCAGCAGAAACCTGACCTGCATTCACATTCATCACAGCTGTCTGCTTCTTCGACCAAATCTCCAGCGATCTACGATATGCAATCGTTCATAACGTACCAGTTCGATGAGGCGGGACCGCAGCGGGAAGCTGTCTCGCACAGCGCACGAGTAGGACAAGCTGTGTTCCTTGAGTACCAACACCAAACTTGTGTAAAAATGACAGTCTTAACCTACTAACCCGTTGCACTCCTGTCGTATTCAGGTCCGGTTTGCTGGCCTATGAATTTTGAGGCTCACAACCAGGCTAATCTCCATCACCATTCGTTGTTAAGACACATGCTCCGGAACGACTTGCTCACACCCGCTGATAAGCTTGCATGCCATTCCAACAACCATTACCATCTTATTGAGACTCACCATGACCACCACCACAAATTCCGCTCCGAAACAACATCTAACCCTCTTTGTGACTTTCCACATCAAACCACATCACATTGAAGACTGGAAAGCCGCTCACCGCCCCGTCTGGGCTGCCTGTGCAGCGGAGCCAGAATGCATATACTTTGATGTCTTCCAGAATCCAACCAAGCCCGGCGAATTCCGCCTCGTAGAGGTCTGGAATGCGAGTCGGAAATGGTTCGAGACGGAACAACTGACAAAAGACTACTATTCGACTTTGTGGGAGAAATCGAAGCCAACCTGGGAAAGTGAGGTGGAGATCGAGTACTGGGAAAGACTAGGAGAAGGGATGAGCTACAAGGAGGATTTTTTAGCAGGCGGAATAGAGGGGTAGGTAGTAAGCGGCTATATGAAGACGCACGGGTTTACGTAGGGTTTCATGGAATTTCGCGAAAACCTGACCAGCTCTTTCCAGCGATGCGAGTTGAATCAGGGTGATAGGTGGCTATATTAGAGATATGTACTAGGTTTGTGTAGAGTTTTGCGAAAACCCGATAAAATCTGGTCAACTCCTTCTAGTGATGTGAAGGAAGCAGGTATACTGCTCAAGATGGAAAGTGCGATGCCATTTGATGTATTCTTTAAAAGGACTGCAAGTTCTGTCTACGCTTTCGACGGAAGAGGTATCAGTGAGACGATCTAGCTAATTTCAAACACTAGAGATACTCATCAGACCATCATGCTTTTCCTCCGACTCAAAGCACTACTATGACTTCTCCGAGTTGCAACGTCCTCCTGAATTGATGAAGTCCTTTGCATACCTGATGCTACTCTGCTGGCTGAGCTGACTCTAGCAGCCGACAATGAGGAATTGCTCGCTGATCTTGCATGCCTTCTCAACTCGGTTGGATCAGGCTGTGCCTGCTGGACTGACTGCCTCGATCCGAGCGCTGAGTTGGGTCGTCTCGATTTCAAGGTCTCCAAGCCGGGTAATTCTTTGTAGCCATCTGGCTTCAGATCCGGTCGTTCGGATTGCCGCCTCCTTGCTGTAACTTCGATGGTATCTAGTCCAGAAAGTGGACTTGATGTGGGCGGATCGTGCATTGACAATCGCGACACTGCTTTGGTGAGCTCTTCGCCGTGAAAGCTGCTTCTTCGCTCGACAGGCCCTTCCTTGTCCTTTAGTGGGCTAACATGCTCGCTCGGGCCTCTTTCTGGCTCGGTACTTTGCAACTCCGATTCAGCATTATTACTCTGGCCGAACGTCTCCTTTTGATCAACAATTCTGGTAAGCCCTTCTACAGCGCCCACCAGTTCCTTACCAGGTCTCCTCAATTTAGTATTCAATTTTGGTGGAGCATAACTGATGGGTGCTCGAGCTCTTCTCGATCCACGACCGATGCTTCCACTAAGAACATCTTCGACAGAATTCGTGATTGCCATTTCTTGAGGTGGTCTTCGATCGACTGAGGGTTCGCAAGTACTCGGCGACAGTATAGCGTCGAGTTCTGCGGCAGGTGTCTTGGTTGTGACATGCGCCTGATCGTCCGGCTCATCGGCGGTGGACTTCTCAAGTGCGAATTCTGTAGTGGCTTCGACTGGAAGATGTACTTCCGCGATCACTGGCCTTGAACGTGTTCGAGATACCATCCGTCTCTCTGGCCTCCTCTCTGTGACTACTTCCTTGTTATCAACGGGTTTGTCCAAAGTTTCAATCCTTCGCTTCGCAGGTGAGTTTGTGCTCTTAGGTGCAAGTATCCTCCTTTCGGATTGAAGCAGCTTTTCTGTAGACCTCTGTTCTACAGATTCGACAGTATCCTGTCCTTGTCGAGCTGCTGGACGAGTGAACCTCGAAGGTCTGCCTACCGTGGTGGGAGCAATGGCTTTTCTCTGAAATATGAAGTCATCTAGTTCTTGCGAAACCCTGCTGGTATCTTCTAATTCTGACATTTCTAACTTTCTCTTAGCACCTGTCCTCAGCTTGAAAGGAGGAGCTGCGGGTTCAATGCGCCTGTTCAAGCCATTAGTGTCTGGATCTGGTGCTGGTGCATGTGTCTGGGCTTCTTCAGTATCCTCATCGTTCATGTCAGGTCTCGGCTTTATCGGGTCTCCGAGAGCAGATGAGTGTAGTAGTGTACTAATCCTTCTCCTCCTTTTGTTCTCGAGGTTTGTGTTCGGAACTCTATTTGCTTGTTCAGATTCCTCGATCAATTCCGTCGATGTCCTCCTAGGAGATTTCGTGGCATTGAAAGTCAGAGCCTCGTGTTCATCGAAGTGAGCGACTGGTGGCGGCCCCAAATCTGGCGACTCAAGTGATTCCAGGGGTTCGTCATCTTGGCCGAGTCGAATCTCCTTCGCTTCGAGTGTCCTTCTTGGATAATATTTATCCTCCAGGATAGCAGGTAGCCTTCCTTCCTGATCGCATAGCGTTTGTCTCTGACGGCGCTCGGGCTCTTCATCTGTCTTCACAAGCTCTGAAACCAAACAATCTCTTCTTCGTCGCTGACTCGACCTCCTCGCGACCTTCTCAGGCAATGCTCCCAACTCTCCAACCAACGCATTGACTTCAGACAATTTCTCCTCCAGCTGACTCTTCATACGTAGCACTTCCTTGCTGAGCCTGTGTGCAGCCTTCCATTTCTCTGCTTCAACCTTTACACTGATGGCTTCCTCGCGTATCCTGACGTTCTCTGCTATTAATCGTGCAAGCTCGTTTTCGAGGTTTCTGATTCGGATGGACTGGTTCGAGTTGACTCTAGCTATCTCTCGGTTTTGTCGGATAAATCTTCGCTTGACTATTAAACCATGCGTGTCAGTCTCTACGACCCAAGAAGTCTCAAAAATTCGCGTTTTGTACCATATGAAAGTCGTGACTTACTAGACTCGATCGTTTCAGCGGCAGGTGCAGGTACCTCATTCAATCTCGCCATGTGTACAGCAGTTCCCACCCAAGCTTGAACACTGACATATCAATAATGTTGACTGCAGCAATGCATACGCGGCGTGTGTGCTTTTACTAGCTGTGCCTGATGGGGAATATTCATTGAGCGCGGTTTAGTATCGCAATGTTAGTCTACACCCAGATAGGTAAAACCATAACAACGTCTTTCGGGCGCGTTGCACCAATGAGAGGAGAGTTCGGGCCGGACAAGTCGCGCTAAACACGATTTGCGGGCGGTTTTAGTGCCGCTAGCAGTGGCATGTACGACTCGAATTCATGGTACAGTAGCACATCTGACGCTCAGCATAGTCCACGCTTCACTTACCCAGCAAACCACCACGATCCCTCACTTCCTACAGTATACGCCCAACCACTAAGCAAGCACCCAAGCAATGTCCAACCGTCCCTCCTCCCTCCTCTACACATCCACCTCCACCTCCCATTCCTCCTCCTCTTCCCACCTTCAAACCCGCATAAATCAAAAACGCATCGAACTCGAGAACCTCCGCCAACTCCGCGACCTCTCCTCCCAACTCGCGACTCAAATGAGCACACTCGAGGAAAAACTATCGACGCTGAGAGATGGGACGGAGGCAGTTGCGGAGGTATTGAGGAATTGGACGGGTGTATTGGGAGTACTAGGGATGGTTGGGGGGATGGTAGGGAAGGTGACGGGCGAGGAAGAGGGGAGGCTGCCGGGGACGTTGGTGAGGGTGCCGGTTGAGAGGAGACGTGATGAGGCAGAGGAAGAGCGGGAGGAGGGGAGTGGTAATGGTGAGGAGAAACAAGCTGGTTGATGGATGGGTATGGATTGTGAACGAATGCTCGGATCTACTATGCTTCGAGCCGAGCACAACAAAAAATTGCAAGAGCCACAGGAAGACGATTCCCATGCTTTGAGGAAGTGGTAGGAGAGCAGTCTGGCTGACGACCAGTCTAATATCCTGATTGGACTACGTCTCGAATTCAAGATTTAGATCATAAGCTGGGTAATGTTGTGGGGATCATCACAGCAGACGCAGAGTCATCACAAGAACTGAATGGACTAGTGCTGGGCTTTGGGAGCAATAGCAACAGGCAGGGAGAGGCTCGACCGCTTATACCTTGCAAGAAGATGGGCGCAATTTCCGAACTAGATCGAAGGACATGAGGCGCAGGCACGAGATACCATGCCCTTCTTTCTTACATGGACACTACACACTCCCAGCACCAGTTCATCACATACCTCAAAAAGAAGCCAACAATACTGCATAAATACTCATCACTGCAGAATCAGGCTATTTCGATGATCTGGTAACTGTGATCGTCAAGCCATTCAACCTTAAAGATGCCATGGACATAAGTCGGACCTTGTACCAACCACTGCATGATATCCTCACCAGACCGCCTGAGCACGAACGGCAACTTACTTCCTCTCAGCGCAAACATCGAATCACCAACCTTGCTCTTCGCAGGGACTAATGCAAGGTAGCCTTTGGTCGTCCAGGCCAGCCTCCTGCCGAACAGTGGCTTCATCGCAAGTCTGGATTGGAGTTTCATATCGATATCATACTTGGCATGAGAGATCAGTGAGGTGGCTATCAGAGTGATGATGCCTGCTGTTGATCGCAGACCTAGCGCCTGTTTGAGACGTGCTATTGCTGTACCAATTTGCAAGGTTGACCTCCACCTCTGGAAGACAGTGATGCTTTCGTCTTCCGACAACACGGTATTTCCGGCGCAGACGGTCTTTCGATATGCATCTAAGATGGTCTCGCCGCTTGGGTAGAACTGTTTCCCGTCCTCATTCATGACCATACGATCCATTTCGACCATGCCGTGGACATAGGCCTCCCACTCTACCATCATCCTTGTGATCTGCGAGCCTAATAGACGGAAAGCATCAACTATGATTCGCAGCACGGATAGCCACGAATCCTCATCGATGTAGTCAGAACCCAAAGTCTCCCATTCTTCATCTAACTTCATTGGTTGCTCAGTCGAACCATAGCCAGTTTCTAGAGCTGCTGGGGTAAGGATTACAGGACTCATGGTCTCGATCTGGTCTAAATATTGGGCTTCCGCGCACAGTATGCCGTCGTCTTTGATATGGATTTGACCCATGTCACTGTTCTGGGTTTGAGCTTGTCTGTCCTCTACATCTTGCGTGATGGACCGTATCTCTTTTTCGTAGTCCCCGAGATTCATTTCGAGTTGGGTTTCAACTTCAGGAATGATCTCGTTACCGAAGGCTTCCAGAAAAGCCATTTCGGTATGAGCGTCGTTGCGGAACAAGGAGGACGGATCGTAGAGCTCTGGGTCACTTTGTGTCCACCTCTTTGGAACCCATGATGGCAAGCTTTCTTCGTTGCTGTTGTCTTTGCCCTCCACTAACTCGAGAGCCCTGAGCGAACCATCCTGCTGCATTAGGTGAATGACAGCATCTGCCAGAGCTTTCCGAGGGACAAGCGCATAGTCGGCCGCAACGCTCTTGTCTGTCAGATTAGTTGAACTTATACCATACAGAGAATAAAGTCGATCTCGTACATCTGAAGCTTGCAAGTTGCGACACAACGTCAACAGGTATAGGATATCCATCTTTGCCGCGTCTTTGCGCTGAAAGTAAGCACGTACGCTTGCGAGTATGAATAGCATCCGGGCTGTGCCATACGTGGGCGTCACACGGCGATCACCAAGAGTGTAAACTGCTGTGCTGAAAATACCGAGAACAAGGAGATCAAGCGAGAATGTGTAGGTGTCACTCTGTAATGTCAGGCTTGGTGAAACAGCAGCTTCCTGCAGAATCCACATACGTGTGAACCAAGAGCTTCTCAGCAAGCTCTGTATGGCACGTATCTCTTGTTTAGTCAGGGACGTACCCAAACCACTGACAGGATCTTTGGCAAGGCTTCGAAATTCGTCCGCCAGTGTAGTCTGCACAGCATCTCCAGATTCCTCTACTTCCTCGGCTTCGATTCGCCTCACCATTTCGTCCCTCATGAATTCCTTGACCTTGTGCATTGCCTCGTACGCTAAGCTCGCGGACTCATGTTCACCGAGCCAAGCTATTGTCCCTGAGCCACGTCGATAGATGTCACACATCATCGCAACTTGCTGGTTCTTTTCTGGAACGTCCTTCTGGTTAATGCAAATTTGATCGATCCATAGGCGGCGAGTGATGGCCTCGTGTTCTGAATGACGCAGGCTGCGTAAAGCGCTGTGCAGGGTACACGTGATACGTAGCTCGCTCTCGTTGCAAGTTATGCTGGTCATAGACGATGCATCTCCCCACGCGTACGAGAGTGCTTCATACTCAGGACAGGTATCATCGAAAGTGTGCTCGACGAGATTGCACCGAACTTCATAGTCCCTATATTGGCAGGGAAGAAGTTCGAGAATTCTTATAGTTGGCTTGTCGCAGATTGTCAACGATTTTTTGTAGACGAAGGTGGAATCTGCTGTGGTCATGGTGAGCCGAATTTGAGTAAAGCATCTTCCTAGGGCACACGTTCAGGTAGTCTCCTTCCTTGTGGAAGGAACAAGACACAACCATGTCGTATGGGACCAGGACGCGTCAGCGAATAGAGCATCAGTCCTACAGAGACTCTGCACTAGGCTGCTAGCGAGATGGTGCGACGTCTGGCGTAAAGTGGTAGTTGAATCCTTCTGCATGGCGACACAGCCGTGTACCATTATGACTGTGGCTATAGATGGCGGATGCATGTCTGAATGAAAAAGTCTTCGAGTAGAACAGCCATGCTGGCGGTGATAACGAATACGAGGTTCGAGCTTGGTGATGTCGGCAGGTGTGATGGAGGCAGTAAGAATGTCCATGATTTCTTCGTCTTTACAACAGGAAGCTACGGAAGGCCCCGACCGAGGCGACCTCAGTTCCAGCCTAGAAACACAATTGTTTTCACATGTTGTAAATGGTCATTAAGCATCGTAGGACCAAGAAGTGGGAAAGGAGTGTATGTCCTCTACGATGGAATTCCATGCACAAGGACAAAACCGATATGCATACGCTATTGACCAATTGTTCGAACAATGCGACCACTCCCATTGCTAAGCCCTTATAGAAACGCTGACACCTTTCCCATCCGTATTGACCGCTGGTATTCATATAAAATCATTAAGCAATAATGCTGGCTCGCCGTGCCAAGATCGAAAGTGGTTGTATTCAACCACTATACCACATGATGGCTGACGAGCTTCCTGGGGTGGATCTGGAGGCCCATCATTAACACTCAGGACCCAGGACGCGATTTCCAGCCACTTCCTTTCGTCGATTGAGTCCATCGAAGACATCTGTGGTACGCTACCCGGAGCCTTCTAGCACTGGATAGCAGCATTGGCACTCTCGTATAGTGTGGTTGGAGTCTCCTCCTGAGTCTGCTGATGCTGCTTCTTCTTCAGCATCTTTTCTGCCCAATCTTTGCTCGCTTGTCTGCTTCGTTCCGCAGCCTGCGCTCTGGCCTTGCTTACTGTCAATGTGCTGGAGGCTACCGGTCTTGCAGGTTTCTGCTTTTCAACCTCCTTCTCTTGTACCTTGAGCTGGTTCTGCTTGACTCGCTCCTCTCTTGCTTCACGTTCAGCTTTCAGTTTGGCAGCCTTCTGCTCAGCTGGAGTGATCTTTGGTTGTCGCATCTTCTCTTCTCGAGCTTCTTTTGCAGCCTTGAGCTTCTCAGCGACGGCTTCTCCTGGAAGTGCAAAGGTGGAGATTGTTGGTGGCTTGCTAGATTTGGCTGGAATGAAGCCAGGTTTACTGGTGGAGAGGATGCCGCCACTAGTGACTCGTCTCGTGTGCATACTTGGTCGTTGCTTAGCTGGCGAATTCGAGAAAGACAGGCTGGATTGATGGGTTTTCAGAGTCGTGGCAGTCATGGTAGGCTTCTTAGGCAGGATTTCTGACTTTGTGTTCGTGGTATTGGCAAGAGGTTGCTTGTTAGTCAGCCTTCGCTGGATAGATGCGGTCGACTTCCTGGCATCGGCATTCTCTTTGGTGTTGCTGTTGGCATTGATTACTGACTTGCGAACTGCTGGCTTTGCTGGAGAAGTTGCTGCTGTCTTCTGCATTGCATCTCTTGACGTCGTGGGCGTGGCTGCGGTCGAAGGTGTGCTAGACTTTCGAGCCGATGGAGGAGGAGCAGCCTTAGTTGGGCTAGTTGATTTTACTGCTGGCGTAGTGCTAGATTTCAGCGATGATTGTCGACTCGTTGCAGGCGTCTTGGATGTAAGAGGGGTCTTCGCTTTCATCAGAGGAGTTTTAGCTGTTGGTGGTGTGTTCTCTTTATCCTTCTCTTGCAATCTGAGCATGGAGGGGGGCCTATTACCAGACCTAGGAGTTCTTGAAGCTGGAGTCTTCGGTGTGGTGGAATGTTGTAGTCTAACTGACAGTCTTTCGGTCTTGATGGGAGATTCGTTCAATTGCATATCTTCAGCAGGTAGGATCGCGAAACCAGCAGTCAATTGCTCAATGTTGTCCTCTAGAGAATCCATCGCCTCGAATGACTGTTCGAATTTGGTGGATGATACTCGTCTGAGAGGTGCTTGTGCATGTGCTTGTAAATTGCTGTTGACTGTTTCTGATGTTTGTGACGGCTCAAGGTCGAGCAAGCTGGACTTTGCAGGCGAGCGGCTTCGGATTGCTTCGGCGAAGGAGTCTTCCACCGTACTTGCCTCGTCTGTGTCTTGCAAAGTGTGAATCTCAGGATCGAACTTTGGTGTCTTTGATCCGGCTGGTAGTGCTTCTAGTTCAGGTTCTGGCCCTTCCTCAATTGCTGGACCAGGTTCTGAAGAAATCTCGTTGACGATCAGCGAGTCGGACTCAGGCTCAGTCTGGGGACCAACAATAGTAGGCTTTGCTACAGGCGCATGCTCGTCTTGTTGCAGGTCAACAATCTCAGGTTCGATGTCTACTTCTGGTTGTGACAGTAGCTCTCCTCGTGCCTCCTCAGTCTCTAGCTCTACCACAGCCTCAGTGACAATGAGAGCACCAGTCTTCTTTCTGGATCGGCTTCGAGCTTGTCCTTTAGACTTTCGTGCTGACTTTCTCAACTCTCGCGTTTCTTCTACCTCCTCTGTATCCTCACCAGCTTGCTGGCGTGTCTTCGCAGGTGTTCGTGACTGAAGTTTCTCAAATCCGTCAGCCTTCGGATAGTTCTCGTCCGTGATATCGCGTAACGCTGCTCTTACAAAAAGGTCTCCGACTTGCTGGTCGTCTATTCCAGAATTCGTACCAGCCTCCTCTTCGAAAATCTGTGTCGTCGACCGCGTCTTTCTTCGCACTGAGTCGTCTTCGTGTCCTTGTATTGTTTGCTCCAACTCAAATGGGTCGTCGATTTGTGTTTGCGCCCGTAGCGCGGCTCTTGTCATGCGCATGGCTGCTAGTTTTCGTTCTTGAATATACTCTGGAAGTGCTGTAGGATGTAAGGAGTAGCGTGAATAATTTGAGTTGGTGAACCTGGTCGTTGAGGTTTGGGTGCAGGGGGTTTAGCTTGAAACAGTGTTTATCGACGAAGGGAGTGGAGTCGTGGGGCGTTCACTAAGCAACGCGACAGGGCTTGCAAGGCTGTGTTTCGGAGATTGTGTATGCGAGGGAAAGTGATTGTTTCATGTGCAAACTTCACTGCAGTACGTATGCAAGGTGAATGGCTTTTTCGGCAGTATAGTTAAACGCAAAAGGTCTGACTACAAGCGTAGGTAGGCATGTTCTTGCGTAGAGACGAACAATGGCACGACCACGATCAGACACTACGAGCCTTGCAAAAGAGCCTCACAGCTTATCGTTGAAAGGTGTGAAATGTTCTTACCATTATGCTCGCAGTACTAATGCGTTACATTAGTTCTAAGGTAGGTCTCCCTAGTTGTATGAGATACTCCAGACGTGTTCTCATTCTCACTCGTGTTCAATGACGCAGACTTTCACGTCCTTCACTAGCCCATCAGTACCCATTACCAAAAGAGAATACTGCCAATATACCAACTTCAGCAGCTCTTGCTTATCCGTCCGATGTCTCCGACCAAGACTTCGTCCTATCGCCTAATCTCTCCCTGCCACCTGCTTTTGGTTCAGCCTATGTTGGCGAAACCTTTTCCTGCTCACTATGTGCAAACAACGAGTTGCTAGAGAAGAGTGTTACCAAATCAATTAGTGGCGTACGTATATCAGCTGAAATGCAAATGCCGTCGCATCAATCTGTAAGCCTACCAATATCGACACCAGAGGACGATGGTAATGTCTCGCTCGCACCAGGCGCATCGCTGCAGCGCATCGTTCGTTACGATCTCAAAGAGGAAGGTGTACATGTGCTCGCCGTGAACTTGGCCTATACTGAAACCACCAAGTCTGAAACTGGACCGTCCAGTGGCAGAGTCCGCACATTCAGGAAGTTGTATCAATTCCAAGCTCAACCTTGCTTGAGTGTGAGGACGAAAGTCACAGAGCTCGCACCAACAGAGGTCCCTGACAAAAGTCTTGGTCCATATGGTCGATCCTTTCTTGTTCGATACATCCTCGAGGCACAGCTCGAGAATGTAGCTGAAGGTAGTATTGTTCTCGAACAGGCGAGCCTTCTGGCATACCCTCCTTTCAAGGCAACCTCGTTCAACTGGGATGCAAAATCTGGCGCCGACCATGAAGACGAAGATCCGTTGCTAAATCCAAGAGATGTACTTCAACTGGCTTTCCTTCTAGAGCAGGACGCCGGTATTTCTGATGGCTACGAAGAACTCAAGGTCAATTTGGCACGTGATGGTAGAACCGCTCTAGGTCAAATCGCACTCGAGTGGAGGAGTGGTATGGGTGAAAAGGGTCAACTAACCACAGGTACACTCTCCTCACGGAAGAGGGCATAACCAGACCACATCAAGGAGCGTGCATGCTAAGACCATTCATCCGCTGGCGTAGGCTCCTCTTCTCCGAGATTGGAAGTGGCGCTGCTGGTAGCGAAGGCGAGAATAATTCTCCCTCGAGCTTGGCCGGTGTTCGACTAACAATATCTCGGTATTCTCGTCCTTTGGCCCCTGCACTAACGTCGGCTCTTTCAGAAGTATGTGGTGTCGAAATAACCCTCCATATGTGTGTAGATGTGTCCGAAAGGTATTCTGCTGGCACACCACCACTAGGCGATCGACCTGCGAAAGGATTTCGACCTGACAATGACAAGACTATGCTGTTTCTTACACCCTTCGATCGTCCTTTTCTAGCAGCCATGAGTGCGTCAAACAATGCAATTGAGTCGCAGGCTGACTGGCTCTTGATCTCCCTTTCATGAACAAATCCATCAAAAGCTTGTGTTTCTTTCATGACCATCATATAGTTTGCATGGTCAGGTGGCAGGCTTCGGATCCAAGCATCGACATTGAACATCTCCCGTAGACCAAGCTTCTTCTGGGTTATATCTGCAGGCACCATAAATCGTCGATAATTGTATAATAGACTTGCCAGAAAGCGTGCAAATACCACCCGCACTTGAACTGGGTAGAAGGCTGCTTGGCAGGGCAGACAGATGTGATTCAAGCAGCGTGCATGAGTTTGCAATGGGCAGTCGCTACACTTGAACATTCCGTTGTCGGCCTTTTCGTTACAGACCGAGCAACTCACGTCAACGATCGCGGCTCGCCACTGCATGCAATGTCCTTCCTGCCATGATTGCGTCTTTGTGTTTCTTACTTGTTGATAAGGCATACCCGGCATCACAGTAGAAGCCGCTAACGTTGACTGTGCGTATGTCGAAGGCGCATAGGTGGAAGTGTTATTAAATGTGGGAATGTCCGAAGCCTGCGAGATCGTGCTGTTGTGCTTCATAAAGGGCAAACTCGACTTTCGTCTAATATTTGATGTCGGACGGTCATATCTTGACGATGTATCAAAATGTCTAGATCGTTTCTCCTTCAGGGACACCTGCAAAGCGAAGCCCGAGTCATTTCGAGATTGCGGTGTGTTGGGCTTGGAAAATGTACCGGTCATGGGTGAAACCCAATCAGAGTCCTCAGCATGACTTGGTTGTCTGGCCGTCGAGCTTGTTCCGACTCTTACTGAACCATAAGCGTTCAGCGGGCTAGCCTGTGCGAAGACGCTGCACAGAGGTGTTCGATTGTTGCTGGATGTTGCAGAGCTGCCAAATTGATTCGAGCTCAAACTTGCCAGTCGACCAAGGTCTACTGAAGGTGTGATCGTTGAGAATATTGTTGGATGCTCAGACACAAATTGATCATTCGGGAATGCTTCATATGCATATGCAGGTGGTCCAACAGCGACGCCCCGTGTTTGATGATGAGGAGCCACGTGATACAAAGAGGATATGAGCTTACGTTTTTGCTTACTTGGAAACACTGGGGGACGTGCCGTAGCATGCAGCTCGTTCTTGTCGAGATCAACCAGAATGAAGTCATCATCCTGTGGCAAGCTCAAGTTGTCATTTTTGCGTACCACTCCACAAACATAGGGAATCGGAGCTTCTAGTACCTCCATCAAGCGAGTTGGTAGAACTGGTATATATACTCCTGACCACTCGAACGGCCACATCAGTGACAGCAAAGCGTTGCTGACGAGTTTCAGCAGTGAGGTATATGCAGAAACCAGGATGATGCGCGATTCGGCCAGAAGATATTCGAATAGTACAACGATATTTGGTATCGTGAGACATCTGAAAAGCGGGTAGAGGTCAATCGTGCGACTTCCTGGCAACTCGTTCTTTGCTTCCTTCTTCGCATACAGTCGCAGTTCTCGTATGGCAACCTCGACTTGTATTCTGGACGTGATTGGCTGAAAAGCTTTGGTGCATAGAATTTCGACATAACGTTCGAGCGGCTGCCACATCCCTACCTTTGGTGAGCTCGGCGGCACTCCCAACACTGCACCGTCCAACATTGGCACCACAACGGCTCTGAGCCACTCTTTCCAGAAAGGTGCCGTTCCTTGGTCACGACCGAGAAGGCCATACGCGCGAGGAGCCCAGAGGCCAGTATCGCTGTCAGTCAGCCCCTCGATTCTGTTTGCGGCGCCATACCGTAGAGGCTTCAGCATGTCTGACATGAGAGATATTTTCTCTTCCACGACACCTATTTGGTCTTCAAGACTTTCTCGTTCTTCGCTTCCTGATTCGATATATGGCAGCTGAGCCAGTAACCTGGACAACTTTGCCCTCTCAGCTGCCAAACGCTCGCCCAACGACGAGGCGAGCTCTCTTTCGGCCTCAGACATGTGTGCTCTCCTCCATTCCTCACACCTCTTCTCCAACGCATCAGCCACTCTGGTATCTAACGGAACCCAAACAATTATGCATACAGCTGGGCGTTTTGTATTATCCGCTGCTGTCATCGAAAACTCGTGCCACTTTGTGGCCGGCCTCGCATCTGAAGAAATAATGTGGATATCGTTTGGAAAGGCGAACATGGGTACGTAGTCTGGGAAACGATCTCTGCGATTGAGCTCGTGAGCCATTTTGGAAGGTGGGTACACATCCAGCAGAACGGGCTCAAAGGAGTGCTTCAGAGGGTGTTCATCGGGCGAGGGCTGAAGTGGTTGTGGCATAGGCATGACAGAATTGTAGCTGCTAACACGCATAGCAGAGCGTGTGGACAACTTCCGAGCTATAGATGGTTGACGTCTAGCGCTGTTCATATCCTTGAAAGACACATGTCTGCGTACGCTACCCAGAGTCCTACTCGGAGCAGAGGCAGCATCCAGTTCTTCCGCAACAATTCTCTGTGTTCTTGGCCGTGGTTGCTGAATGGACCTGCTAGGTTTTGGGTTAACTGCTTCACTCTTGAAGTTGAGGTCGAGATAGAAAGCGTCTCGATCTGAGTTGAATCGTGTCATTACCTGTTCGAATTCTGCATCACTGAGTAGTGCTGATTGTCGTTGGCTTTCGGGCTGTGATATTGGTTGTAGCAGACCTGGAGAAGTTGGCAGTGACGACTGCGCACTTGGCGAGACGACCCTTCGTATGGTAGCATTGCTGCGTGTGCTTGACAGACAAGTGAGACGGTCTAGGGACTGGATGGAAAATCGAGCCTCGGAAGACAATGTCGAGAGCTTCTGGTATGAGTTCCGGCGTGAGTGCTTCGTGGAAACGCTTGGGGTGCACAGAATGGATTCTGCATTCTCTTCCGCTGCTGCATCCTCCCGGATTGTCTCGTTAAGTGTTCTACTCAGTCGATGCTCAGGCGTGCTCACTGAATCACGTTTGTCGACGTGAGTCTGGTAGGCATCAAGTAAATCTTGGCTGTCAAGACCCGCAATCCAGAAGTAGTCAGCAAGTGGTCTATCTGAAAGGTCTGGATGATTGTCAGTAATGGAAGGCGCCATGAACGTTGCACCTTCGAACAACAGGTCGTGTTCTTGTCGTTGTCGATACCCTAAATCATAGATTGAGATGAAGCTCGTAATTCTCGACTTTGTTTATCATATTCCATAGAATTGAAAGTATCTCGATTGAAGTTGTGGATCCTTGACAGCATAAGTTCGAGATCCTTGTTCACTGTGTTCGTGTTACCCCAGAACGGGTGACAACCACAAGTCTGATTGACGGATTGAAGGACGTAGGGTCTGTCGTCTCTACAAAGTGAAAAGGTTGGAAGATCCGTGCACGAGCTGCCGCAGCACAACCCGATCGTGCTCGGTTGGCGACGCGTAGAGGCATCTCTGCCAGAAACCAAATCAAAAACAGCATCCATGCACGATTGTAAAGGCTAGTGAAGGAGGTGGAACAAGTGGAAAGATGAGATGACCAGGGTAGTGAAGCTATGCTTTATCGAGCCTATCGCGAAGCTTTAGGCGGCATGAGACAGACAGCTGGGCGTGGAGAAAACAGGCGGTTATAGCACAGAAGAAAAGGAGACGCTCCTTGAGGGCGTGCGCGTTGAGCTTCAGGAAAGACACAGCCTTCATGCAATCTCCTACACGGCCACCAGGCACATTGTTTATGAGAATAGAGTATAGATGGTGGTTAGAGATGGCATGCACGCAAGACAAGATCGAGTTTTGTTCTTCTGCCTGCAGGCATGACGGCTGTATGATACCGATAGGCTGCAAGGGTGCAGCTGACAGTGTCAGAGCACGGCTGCTGTATGGTTGACGTGCATCGACTTGCTGTTGTAAATGTTCTGCAGCATCGGAAGGCAGCAGTATGCAAGCAAGCCATGCAGGGTACAAAGAAAGCTACCCCCAGGTTCTAATGTAATCTAATTACCATGTTTCAGTGCACGATTGGTGAATGCAAAGTGTTTCAGGCGTGGCACTTCTGTTTTGTTCGTTACAGTCTTGGCTCGCATAAAGTGGACATCATTGTTTCTATCGTCAATAGCTTCAATGTTCTTTGTACTTGTATGACTCGCTGGAATGAGCTGCAAGATCATCGAGTGTCTATCTAGAGAGTTCAGCTCTGTTGAGCATATCTATAATATCATCGACAATATTTTGGACCTCATCATGATGAAATTATGTAGGGACGGCGCAATGAAGAGCATCTGCCCTGAGTACTGCAACATCTAGGTGTATATCTATTCGTCTCGATCGGTAAACACAAGCTTGCAATGATCCTGAACATGTCAGTAAAGGAACTACGAGATAGCCGGAGAAATTGACTTACCTTTGGAAAGAGTGTTGCAAAGACCTCAATCTCCTCGCTCTGCTCCGTCGGATGATGTTTCCAGTCTAGGAACATACTAGCCTTTCCAATCATTGCGATCAAGTTCATCTGTGCATAAGTCTGTCCAAGGCAGTAATGAGGACCAGTACCAAAGACAAGCCAGTTCTTCACTTGTTCATCGGCGTTTCCTGTGATCCATCTTTCTGGGTCGTACGAGTGAGGGTCTGGGTATGCTTCCGCGTCGTGGGTAGCAGGCCAGACAGATGGAATGATCATTTGACCCTTTTTGGCCGTGAAATTCGATGTGACTGGGAAATCCTTCTTCACGAGATAGGGAACCATAATGACGGGTGGTCTGTACCTGAGAGTCTCCTTCACGACAGCTCTCGTGGCCACCATGGATTCCAGTAGATCCATAGTAAAGCGAGCATTTCGGTCACCACCACGAAGACGTAGGTTCTCTTCTCTGACCTTGTTCAACCACTCAGGACGATCTGACATGAGCTGGAAAAGCCAAGTACAGGCGCTACTGGTAGCATCTTGTGACGCGAAAAGGAAGGTGAAGATGGTCTGCGATATTTCCCAGTCAGTGAAATCACGTAGGAGCTGTGGTGGCTTCTCTGACGCATCGACTTCTTCTCCCTTGGCAATCCTCTCTCTGTACTTGGTCGAGTCTTGCATCTGTTTGATCCAGGCGTCCATGATACAGGTCACATCACCTCCTGCAGCCATTCGGACCTTGGCTTTGGCCGAGCACTTTGCGAACTCGTCTAGGACCATATCGGCAGCCTTTTTGCCATACCAAGACTTGGTAAATGGAAGAATGATAGGAAAGTTGACCAACTCCAATGCTGCAGTGATCAAGTAGTAGTCGTGTGCGATCTTCTTCACGACCTTTTCCGACATGTAATGTCCGACAAAGGTACGGCAGGAGACAGCACACATCAACTCTCGAAAGACTGGCATGAAGGCTTTGGGCTGTCCTTGTGCTTCCTCCTGGCTTATTCTTACAAACTCCTTGAAGTACTTGTCATAAACCTCCTCTTGTCCCGGAAGATACATTTCCAGTGCCTGCCGAGTAAAGAGACCATTGAGGCCTTTGCGGTAATCAACATGAGCTTTGCCGTCCAGGAACACCCAGTTGGTCGGTCGAAGGAGCTTGTAGGCGGCATCAACCACACAGGGCTTAACGTAGGCAGGGGAGTTAAAGATCTTTCGAGCCATATCGCGGGTCGAGGCAATAATGACGAACCTGAAGGAGGGTAAGTATCGTGTACGAATGCGCCATCAGTCTGCTTACTTGTGAAAGACCGACACACAGCTTAGCTCCCCGCTGTCCCATTTGGCTTGATATTTACGGAAGTCTGGTCGCATGGATTCGAGAAAGGGCCCAATGAAGGGCATTTTCCAGGCAGGACCAACGATGCCATGTTTCTGATATTTGTAGGAGACTGTCGAGGCTCAGCTCATGCACTACAAAGGCCAAAGCACAACACTTACACTGATCATACGTAACGGCAAGCAAGAGTAGTGTCAGACATATCGACCAGAAATTGACCTGGTCTAATATTCGTTCGATAAAAGGTAGAGGTTGTGCAAAACTGTATGGCGCATTGGCTGTGGGCGACACGAAGGCGGTTTGGTTGACCTCCATGGTTGGTATCGCAGGCTCGCTTGCCGGACGCGGTCAGCGTATGGCCCGATTGGTGTGAGACGTTTGTATATCAAGACGCCTCGTGTGGAAGCTACGTCTTGGTCATGGGACGTCGCAAATGAGCAAAGACTTAAATACAGTGAGCGAGCAATATCTCACAGTCTCGGAACCCGCCTCTTCGCAGCTAAATTATCTAGCTTCGGCGTGAACGATCGCAGTCAACACTCAACTTTTTTTGGGTCCGGCGATTATGATCGGAAAGAGCTTGAACCGATGTGGGATCATTGTCACCGCCATTTTGTGGAGGACCCACCAGCACATCGAAGGCGCGATTAGCTAATCCAGACATACAAGTGCCTGGAATTCGCAATCAGTGAGGAGCGGCTTCAAGGTTGTTGCTACAAAACAGTATAATGAGAATCAAAAACACCTTATACTCGATTCGTCCCTTCGCTCGAACGCTCAAGAAGTAGTCGCTGAATGTTCTCTCATTGAAACAAACACATACAATGCATCAGTTGTCCCAGACGTTGCGCTCCTCGAGGTCACTATACTCGTTGCGACGTGTACCACATTTCGGATCAGTGCTAGGCCCTGCCTCCTCTGCAGCTTCCTGCTCCGAATCACTGACAGCGTGTTCAGGTGGTGGATGATCTGGTGGTATATTGCTCGGATCGTAACCCTCACGCATTGATTCACCCGATTCAGCTGATCCTATCGAGTATGTCCTTACAAAGTGCTTCTGTTCATGATTATTCCATTCATCACCACCTTCTTTCCTTGCTCGTACCCTCTCCATCTGCTCAGCCTCTTCGTCTTCGACGACCAGATCGACTAGCAGAGACTCGTCTATCTTGCTTCCCTGAGACGAGGATGGGCGCAGATCCCGATGTAGTTTCGCCTGCAGGCCGTCTTCTTCGGAGTCGGAGCCAGAAGTGATGCCGGCTTTGCCCTTGTGAATCTTCTTCTTGAGTTCGCTCTTTCTCCTCAACTTGTGGTCTTCAGTTGGCTGAAGTAAGTGCCTGTTGGCCGAGGTTGTCAGGAGCGAAGGGTCCCCCTTCATCCAATCTTCGCGTGTCGCAAAGTGCGCTGTGATCACTGGATAGTTCCAGTCACCAAACTCGAGAGCTCGTGCATTACCGTATAATCTCTCGTCATCAGGGTCCAGTGCTATTTCCCAGTCTGGCTCGGCGGCTCGATAATCATGGGCATGACCTCGAGCTTCAGGTGCGGAGCCTTCTGCTCCGGCTTTCGAGAGTAATGGTGTCTTGGAATTCGGTTCACCAGGCTTGGGCAACCAATACTTGCCTTTGCCTCCGCGTTCATATCTCATGCCCTCCATCATGCGTGCAGTCCGAGCTTGGGATTCCTCGTGAGCGATTATGCGGTCGCCAGAATCATATGTCCTGTAGTCGTACTGCTTGCCACGAAAGGTTTCCTTGGTATCCTCCACCAGGTCTCTGACACCAAACGCATCTCTTAAGGCATACTTGACAGGCATGCGAGCGGCCGAAATGGTAATATCGGCGTAGTCATGCCAGGAGAAAGCGTACCAGTGCCCAATAGCGAAGAGCGGCATTTCGAAACAGATGAGTGCGTCTTGAATCGCAGCTGCAAGGTTGTCGGCCGTATAACCCGGTATATCGTTGGGAATGGCGCCCAGGAATTGTAAGATGGACAAGAAGAAACCTTGCCAGTAGGAGGCAAAGATGACCAGCTTGATGCATAAGAACTTAGGCATCGGTCGAAAGGGCGCGAGATCCTCTGACATACACACCCAAAACATGGCAAGGGCGTATAGACATAGGGTAATGCTCACGTTGTAGAGCAAGCCTGACCAGAAGTACCCAGATGTGAGACCAATATAGCCCTCTTGGTATGTACCTGTTGATTTCATAATTATTGTAGACACTGCCAGGATAGGTTTCAAGTAGGCATATTGAAGAATCCCTCTCTTGATGGTCAAAAAAGTATGTGGATCTGAAATATCGACCTTGGAGAAACAATGGTTGAGAGGCCACGGGTGTGATTTGGGAGCCCGTCCATGCATCATAATTATGAGTGATCGTTCACCACCAAGGAAGTTGATCAGGAGCTGGAGGAAGGTGTATATCGTAAAGGCTTCGTAGATGTCCCTCAAAGGATCGAGATAGAAGGCGGCTGTTTGCGATTCCACGGACGCCCATGATGCCGCCGAGTAAATTGGCACCATGAGGAGTATACGAATAACATGTCGCTGTAGTAAGGGTTTGCGATAGTTTTTGGTCTGTAGCCATATGGCAACGAAAGAGATGATGGTTGCGACCAGCGCAGCAACACCAGCTAACACGATGATCACTTTGGCAAATCGCGTGCCTGTGCCCGCCATGTTGGCCTGTGTGTGCTAGGATTCAATACAGAGTGAACTCGTTGGACCTGGATAGAAACAGTTAAATACAGTTACTGCCACATCCTGCTGCCAGTATTGAATTCTGTGGGAACGTATTCCACCTCGATCTTTCGCTTCACGGGTGGACTTGAACCTGAGATCCGTATTACCAGCGCATGTAGGTATCACCTCAACGGCATCGTAGTCATGGAGGGATTGGAGACTTGTATGTTTGCAGGCAGATGGATTGTTCCAGCACGTTTGCACGGTGGGCCATTCTCGACAGGCGATAGGAACCTCAGGCGTCACTGCAACACAGATCATGTGTATACGCCTAAATTCAGCCGCAAATTAACCGTGGCTCGCGTTGCCAAAGCGGAAGTGTCTAACTGGCAGGCGCGGTTCGTGACCTGTGGCAGCTGCGATTGCAAGATCAATACGCGGTCGACCCTGCCCAATAAGACAGTAATGTGGCTGTCAACTCCGCGCGACTCCCTATATGAGTACAAGAGGTGATCGTAGAGATGAACGAGGCATCTCGGGGAGTGCGCAATCCTCATGGCGGGCTTGAATGGGTTGACATCTGAGTCCCTAGGCTCAAATCCGACTTTTAACTGGCAAGTTCTTGCTTTGCAGACTGATACGCTACCGCTATACAGAGGCTAACTTTGCCCAGGACCTGGTTCATTGAGCTGCTGACTTCTGCCATACTCGTCCTCTGGTTTCTCTTCTATCTGAACAGGCTCTTCGCGTCCGCCATTTCCTATGGTCTACGGGCTTATTCATGGCACAAATTCAGAGTCTACCTCGATATTCAGTCTCTACAGATTAGCCTTCTCGGTGGCCGTATTTTCTTCAAGGGCGTGCGCTATCACGGTGAGAACGAGTCCGTCTACATCCATAATGGTCATCTCACGTGGAGGTATTGGCTGCGAGTCACAAAGCAGATTGCCTTGTGTAAATCTGCTATTAAAAATCGAGAGCAAGACGAGAAGGCCTACAAGAATAGCTCGGAAACGGGGAGCGAAACCTCGTTACCTGAGTACAATCGAAACGAGCCTGAATCCAGGATTGTCGTCTCTATCACAGGATTAGAGTGGTTCATCTACAATCGTACTCCTGTTTACGATGCTATCATCCAAGACGTCGATGTCAGAGCAAGCAGCAGTACTTCAGTAGGAGGTCAGTCAACCGCCAACGCTCTCTCACAGACTGTGGCAGCCAAACTTAGACAACATGCAAAGGTCGTCCTCGAAAAGGATGCGTCCATCCTCGAAGAGAAGCTGGACGCCAAAGAAGACTTTCAAGAACCTTCCTCCAAGGACTCGCGATCAACCTCTCCACGAGACTCCGACGAGCATTCAATAAACAGCGAAGCAGCTCCGGCAGAGACAGACGTTAGTTCCTTCTATTCTTTCATACTGCGATTCTTCCCTGTCGGAATTGAGTGTGCTCGAGGTGCTGTATCACTCGGCAATGAGCATACAAAGGCCATTATAGTGACTACCTTCGATAGAGCCAAAGGCCACATCGATGCCGGCGCTTCCGGTCCTGCTGATCTCTACAGGCAGATCTTCGACTTTGACATTGAGCATCCTGTCGTCCAGATGAAGCCAAATCCGGATTTCCATCTTCCTCAGATGGCAGCTGCCGAGCGCGTTATTGCTGGCCATGAGGCCGTTCTCAAGCGACGGCCATGGTGGCGCCCTACCTTAAATCTAAACAAGAAGCGGAAGACCTGGTCGCGTGGCTTGCGCAACCTGATTCCTCACTTCCGCCGTTCTGTTTCCAGCTTGCATGATGCATATGTGCCCAAAGAAGATGAGCAGACTTATGCTGCTTTCACCGATGCTCGACCTGACAGCCAGGACTGGCAGGGCCTCGATCGTTACATGGATGAAGACGAAGGTGATGACCATCATGCCTGGCTCAGCGTCGAATATGCCCGTTTTTCTACTATCCTCGATTGTCCTCACGTGCACTTCAATTTTTACTGGGATACACCTGGTGAAGTTCATCCAGAACATTTGACAGCACCGACCTCAGGTCTCGCTGCTGAGCTGAATGGCCTTCCACCTCCTGAATATGGTATGCATCTTGAGGTTTATGGCGGCCTGGTCAACTACGGGCCGTGGTCTGATCGGCTTCGGATTGAGCTCCAGAACGTATTCCTTCCAGCTGGCTATAATACTGCCCAACCAAAAGATGACCTTTTAGCAGGTGACCCTCGTTTAAGCACTGTCATGAACATTACTGTTGATATCAAGAAGGAGATGACACTTCGTGTCCCAACACGGGAAGATTCAAAAGACTGGCGTTGGCGTGGTCGAGCGACCGCAGTAAGAGATGCTGCAGCACTGCGAAGACAACAACAACAAAGGAGGCACTTTCGCTTCCGCCGATCTACCAAGCGAAGGCTAGGCCCTGACATCAGGTCTTTTGGCTGGATTGCCATTGCTGCTGGCGCTCACTCCAAAGTACGGTATACGATGGATATATTTCCTGGCTTTGATGGCTATCGCAATGGTCTGCAGCTGAATTTGCGAAACACGAAGGCGACTTCTAGTGTAAACCATGCAACGCTCTGGGAATGCAAAAATCAGGATGTGTCAGCTGATTTGTCAAATCCTCTTGGATGGAACCAACTACATACCTGGCGCTTTGACATAACGAACAAAAACATGGATCTGTTCCTCCTTCGCGACCACACCTTTCTCCTGTTAGATCTCATATCTGATTTCACAGCAGGACAGAAGTCGGACTACATGACCTTCGTGCCGTTCAAGTATGTGATCGGCATCAAATTCCTGGATCTGAACCTGTTCCTGAACGCAAACGACCAGAACATCATCGATAACCCATGTGATTTCGAAGAAAATACTTTCCTTGTGCTAGGGTTCGCTCGTCTGGTTGGACAAGTCGACATTCCTATGCAGTACTACTCTCCCGCACAAGGCACTGTCAAGTTCAAAGGTGATGGCCAAGATGCAAGCTTGACACTGAAGACACCAGTATGGCACACCTTGCACAACTTCGGGCACAATGAGAACATGGCTACTCTTAAGACGCTCCATTTGGATGGCTCGTACAATTACTATAGCACGACTAGTCCCAAGCTCACAGATTCTCTTTTCATGTCGATTCATGGCGGCAATCCAAGATTCAACTTGCAGGGATATCTTATACGCTTTTTCATGAACGTGAAGGAGAATTACTTTGGGGATACCATTCATTTCAGCACACTAGAAGAACACCAATCGAGACTGGACAGACACAAACGAGGAGAGGAAGAGCGGAAAGCCCCTGTAAAGAAGCAAAACGATCTCGATGTAATTCTCAGCGTTCGAACCGACCGTGCAGTGGCCGTAATGCCAGCAAGCATTTACCATGGCAACGAGGATTTACGTGTCGATGTGTTGCAAATCGACGCCGACATGCGGTTCACGAACTACTATATGGACCTACAGGTCAATACGAGCCCCGTCGAAGTTTCCATCGAGAAAAGTATGTGGAGCGAAGGGAAGTTCAAAAGGGATGCTACTGGTTGCCAATTGTTCATTGACGGTATCTCGGTTTATGGCCATAGGCTCTTCGGCGCCCCGCCTGCAGAACCCACGTATCTGTGCAATTGGGATTTTGATGTTGGTGAGATTGGCGGTGAATGCACAACCGATTTCATTCGAATCTTGCTCACCTCGATCATGTCGTTTGTTTTTACCATGGACGACGACGAGAATGCCTTGCCACAGGCTGAGGTGGTACTGATCCCAGATATTACATTCCTACGAATGCGTGCAGCAGGATTACGAACATGGATAGTGTCAAGTGATACAGCTTTTCTGCTCTCAATCTCTGGCACTACGGTAGAGCTCAACGACTGGGCAAACCAACACTTTTCAAAGTATGTCAAGGTCGATTCGCCGATGATCTTGCTAGCTGCGGTCGATAGCGCTACAGCATACCGCCATCGCGAATCGCCAGAGAAAGCAGTTCCTACACATGCCTGTATTCGGTCTTCGTTGAAGCTCGCTGTACTCGATCGCAAACCAGGTTTCTCACACAACAGAGCACTTCAACAGCAGCATGTGCGCATGCACGACTCAAGAACTCGCCGAGCCGAATTCTTGCTGCACAAGCACCATCAGCTTGAGCACGATCAATTTTCGACGAGCTGGAGTCGTCAGCCACCTGCTATGCCGTTACCAACCATGCCTCAGCCTGTCACACTTCTCGGAACAGCTGTCTCGGCGCAGGGCCAAAGCCCCAAATCTCAGTCTAGCTCCTTCTTAGCACTGAACCCTCTTGACAATCGGCTCAATCAGATCTCGAGGGATACTAATTCATACATGGATGATTTCAGGCACCATCAACTTCGTCCGCATACAGCTTTTCTTACTCCCTCCTTGAAGCATTCGGTATCATCTCCTTGGATCAGACCACATTTCCCGTTGCAGGATGTCCAACCTGACCAAGAACACCTACCTCACTTAGACACGTCTGCCTGCAGTGACGACGACGGGTTTCAAGAAGACCTGCAGACTGAGGAGTTTCCTACCACACAGGAGGATTTTGGACACGATGGAATTTTCTGCAATCTGGTTGACGGTATTGTTGGAGTCTTCACGCCTAGTCTTATCCAATCCGTCGTAACACTGTTGAATGAGATCTCCCCACAGCATCCCGAGTCAATTCTAGACGACTTACAGATACAGGTCATATCTAATATCAAGAAGCTTACAGCGACGCACGTTGGTAAGGTTGACGACATGTCCTTCAGATTACCAGCCTCACACCTTCGTCTGATCAATCCACACGAGGCCACCGACACCGACATAAGCTTCGATCAGTATGACTTCAGGTTGGATGACACCCGTGTTACTGTCCGTCTCGCTCCTTCGACTCATGCTAAAGATCTGCAGCCACGCATTTCGATCTATGCAAGTCTTCGGAAGCTGAATGTCAAAGTCTCCGAAATCCGTCCTCATATTGACCAATTCGCATCTGAAGCTGAGGTAGTGTTAGCAGGTCTTGGATTATGGCTTAGTTTAAAAGAAGAAGTTCGGGCACGAACACATATCAATAACCTTGAATTTATTACAGCTGGAGAAAACGTCGATAAATTGGCCGAGCTGATACGACGGAGTGAAGCACTGGTTGAGAAGGCCGTCGAGCAGATGTCGCAGATCGACCTTGGAGAAAGAACTCAACATTTGTTGTATCATTTGACATCAATACAGACATATCAGGACCCCTCCTTCATGATAAGAGCTGTCAACGTATTGCGAACCGCTGAGGACCACATCAGACTACACGATTCCTGGAAAATGGTCATACGACTGCGGCTCCTTCTGGCGAGCCAGATCAGTCGAGGAGACCAGTCTTATGGGTGTTCCAGCAGCTGTTTGAATGAGGACAGAGTCCAGGTTAGGAAGCATATTTTGGCTTCTTTCGACAAGTGGAAGACTTGGGAGAACGCAGGGCAAGACGATAATGCACTGGTCCAAGCAGTATTCGGTCCCTCGAGGCAGGTGTCAGGGCAGTCTCAGTATCCCATCAACGTAGAGGTAGAAGTGTTGCTAGGACGCGCAGCTTTGACTTTAGATCCAGGGCCTGATCAGAGTCAGTTGTTCATCCAAAGCCTCGATCTCAATTTCTCTGAGAAGCTGTCTCAGGAGACAAAAAAGTCATGGTCTTTCGGAAGTCAACATCGATCGAGCAGGATTGTGCAGGCGTACTGTGGGACGATGGGTTGTCACCTGAACTGGGAATTGATCAAGCTAGCGGAACGAATCGTCGAGCTCTCACAATCCTACCAGACTAAGGAGACTATCACTGGCTCCGAGGGCTCCGCTGAACAGGGTGTGCGCGACGATGTCATTGACCTTTCGGTAGTAATTGGCGCCGATGCCGCGTCGATTGACATACAAACCATCAACCTGCGTCTTGTTACCGGGGTGGAACGCTTTAGAGCGTCTGTGAGTCTTGGATTCGAGGACATGAAGAAGATGAACACTTCAGTTGTTTTGAGTGCCGCTTCTGGCCGGTTTAGATTACGAAGCAAGAGCAAGAGCAAGAGCAAGAGCATCCTGGGCTGCAAAGTCAGTGCGCCAACAATCCATTTAAGCACACAGATCGATAAGAGTTCCTCAGGTGGCACGATTGTACTGCACTCCGCAGCCACATGTCGTAAGCTTCGGCTCCATGTAAAGGAAGACATCTTGGGCCTCCTGCAGCTCGTTGAAATTATCTTCAAAGCTGAAGTAGTTGAGGTAAAGCGTCTCATGAAGACCCTGGCAGATAAGTCTGCGCCTACACAGCAAGACGTCAAACCTGGCAATGATCGTAATGCTAGGAAAGTGCAGCCTCACGTGGCACTGTTCCTGGACGACTACCTCATGCAGTTCGACCTGATGGCCTACCTCAAATACAGCATTGCTGGCAAAGTGGCAAGAACATCCGTTGTACCATTTAACGCAAAAAGATTTTCTGTGAATCTGGATGTTAAGGAAAATTATCACTCTTTTCAAAACCCCACCACTGACACCAAAGTATCAAAATCAGTTCTTAAGATGCCACCTCTCAGCGCCACTATTGCAGTTGCAATACGTCCAGACCGCATCGGGGTTGACGCTCGTGTTGCAATAGATCGGATGTTATTAGAAGCTTCTGCTGTGCGAGCATGCTTTGATGCAGCATACAGAAACCAGACCATCGAGTATGTGAATCGAATAAAAGCTTCAGTTGCAAGCATAAAAGAGAGCGTGAACGGCGGTGTTGCGAAGCATGAATCCACAATGTCCGCTCCAGAGGCAGGTCTGACCACATCCCGGGAAAGAACTGTACAGTATCATGGCTATCTTGTGTTTGAGGGCATCGGTGTTCGCTGTAGAGCACCTGCCCTCAGGCCTGACCAAGACTATTTGGTCGATCTCAACATGAGACTCGATTCTACTTCGTTGAGGATAGGAAATCTGCGTGAGGCCGATGGTATGTTGTATCAGAAGCCGCACTTTGAAGTCAACTTACGACAATTCTCGACTAGTATCGACCGTGTAGGCAAAGCCACAGAGAATTTCGGCCACATCCATACTGGTGTTCGCATCTCCGGCCTTACCGAGATTGGTGAGGACGGAGTAGAGGTACAAAATTTCCATCTCACAAGTAATGGCATCAATGTGGATCTTTTTGCAGAAACAGCCCTACTCTCTGTTGATCTAATGACATTTCTGCAAGCGCGAATCAAGACTCTTGCAGCTGCCGAGGATGCTAAGAAGCTCAAACCCTTACGTCGACTTACTTTGGCTGCACCAACCATGCAAGAGCGCAGCCAAGAACCAGAGAATGCGATCAAGGAAGAGGAAGCATCAGGCCTTTTAAGTTCCACGTTCGTTGTCGAACTCAATGCCATCTGTCTGCAGTGGCTGATCAGCAGCAACAGCAAGCAATCTCCTATACGGCCTGCTGAGAATATGGCTCTCACAGTGACTAAGATCGACCTGCGCACACAGAGAGAAGCTTCAGCGAGGTTGTCAATCAGGAATTTGCAGCTCCAATTAGTCCCCAACGGGAGTGATCCGTTCGATCGTACGGCTAACTCAGCTCTCCTTCCTGAGATGGTGTTCAATGCTGCGTATGCTCGAGCCAACACTACTCGAAAGTTCGCTTTCAAAGCGGCTGGAAAACTCCTTGACGTCAAGCTAGCCTCGAACTTTATACTACCTGCGGCTGCAATTCAGGAATCACTTGCTCTAGCAAGCTCTGAGCTTCGTAGTCTGAAAACGTTCGCTGGAAAAGATGAGGCAAGCTCTTCGCAAACACAGCTGCCCAAGCTGCTAGGCAACAAGCGCCTGGCACATCTGCTTGTTTTTGCAGACTTCGTTGGAGCAGAAGTAACCATCTCACCAGCTAGGGAGGCATCACATGAGCAGGAATCTGCTTTTGGTTTCTTGAAAGGCTCGAAAAGGTCAAGAGCCGGACGATATGGCCAAGCGGTACAAAGCTCAACAGGAGAAGATGCAACATTGAGAGCGCCTGGAGTTGCATTCCAGGTCGAGTATTCCGATGACGGCGCGCAAGACCCTATGCTTAGTACTGAAGTGCGTGTTGCAGCTTCCTCGAACACTCTCGCTCCGTCTGTCGTTCCCTTAGTCTTGGAGATTTCCCGGAGCATCAAGAACCTCATGGGACAGGACAATAGCCAATCCGCCAAGAAAGACACTCAAGACGCTGAATCGCCGAAGGACAAAAGCATCGGGCCCAATCAGCAAGCTGCGGATCCCACAGCTGTTCTAGGGAAAGTGAAGCTGAACGCAGAACTTCTGGTTCAGAGACAAGAATTCAGCCTTACATGTCAGCCGATAGCTCGAGTCTCTGCCACTGCGCAATTCGAAGAGATCTTCGTGGTTGTCAACACCGTCCAAGCCAAGGACCAGGAACGCTTCTTCTCGTTGATGACAACGTTCAACGACCTGGAAGCTTCTGTACAGCATGTCTATTCCCGAGAGTCCACCGCTAGCTTTACGGTAAAGTCTATTGCAGTCTCGCTTATGAATAGCAAGCATTTCAGCAACAAAAGCGGCATTTCTGCCATCCTTAACGTCAGTCCTATGAAAGCTTACCTCAACGCTAAACAAATGCAGGACTTTTTACTCTTTCGAGAGATTTGGTATCCTACAGAGCTCCGTGCCGGCAACCGAGAATCTAAGCCTGTAGTTAGAGAAGACACGTTACAAGGACCTGCCATACAGAGATTCCAGGAAGTTACCACCACAGCTGTACTTCCGTGGCATGCCATTGTCTCTATTCAAGAGGTCAACCTCCAGGTTGACTTTGGTCAGAGTATCGGCAAATCGGATTTTGCAATAGAGAAACTGTGGGCTTCCTCTAAGAAGACATCCGATGCTGAACAGAATTTATGCGTAGGTTTTGACAAGATTGGCATCGACAGTCATGGCCGTATGAGTGGGTTTGTGGAACTGCAACGAGTGCGTGTGCGTACAGCCATTCGTTGGCCGATGGTGGAAGAAAAACTACAAGCACCATTGGTACAAGGATCTGTGGGATTTGAACATCTCCGAGCAAAGGCCGTCTTTGACTACCAGCCATTCGCAGTGGCGGATATATCCTCCTTTGAGTTTTTGATCTATAATGTACGACAGGGCAGAGCAAGTGATCGACTTGTGGGCATTCTGGACGGTGGCAAAGTGCAGGTATTCTGTACCACTGCTGCCGCAGCTCAAGGACTGTCCATTGTTCAAGCATTTGAACGTCTAGTGCAGGAGAAGCAGGAAGCTTTTGAGGCGAACATACACGAGCTCGACAGATATCTGCGACGTAAATCGGTCATGCCGTCAAGCACGTGGAAATCGCCATCCGAACTCGAAGTGGCATCCAAGCAAGACGTACAACGACCCGGCCATGCACCTCGCTTACACGTTGATGTGGTCATTACCTTGCGAGCCATCGATGCTGGAGTCTTCACGTCATCCTTCTTCGACGAAACAACTCTGAAGCTCGAAGCTGTTGACGTGCAGGCTCGGTTTGCAGTCAACGAAATTGACGACAAGACTCATAGTGGTTTAGGAATGAGTCTTGGCCAAGTCCGACTGGCACTCTCAACGATGAGTAGACCAAATGCAAAGGCGCTAGGCGAGGTATCAGTTACAGAGGTCATTGACCGGGCAACATCCGCTCGAGGAGGAACAATCTTGAAAGTGCCCCGATTGGTAGCGTCGATGCAAACATGGCAACAAGCACGGTCTAATGTCATTGAATATGTGTTCTCAAGCACGTTTCAAGGTAAGGTTGACATTGGTTGGAATTACTCGCGCATCAGCACGATTCGCCGCATGTGGGATAGCCACTCACGAACTTTGGCACAGAAAATGTCCAAACCTCTAGCCCCATCTGCCATCAAGATCACAGCAGAACCAAAAAGCGAAGCAGAAGGTCAGGAGAAGATCACGGCGGTAGTACACATGCCACAGTCTAAGTACGAGTACATTGCCCTAGAGCCACCGATTATCGATACCCCACAGCTGAGGGACCTTGGGGAGGCGACGCCATCATTGGAGTGGATTGGGTTGAATAGAGAGCGGTTGCCACACGTCACACATTCAGTCATCATAGTAAGTTTATTGGAGGTGGCTAAGGAGATAGAGGATTCTTACAGTCGCATTTTGGGATCTGGTTGACTGCTGGCACTTCTGTACAGTAGCGAAAGTGTTAGCTCCAGTCTATTAGCGTGGCGTTGAGGTTCCAGGATAGAGTCATGCCAGAGTCAGACTCCCATGGGAGTGTCAAGTTATGGTAGTGTAGTGTTTCATTGCAATGTACAAATTTATTCGATGAGCTTGAAGGTCACTCCACCATGTGTATGCAACACGTTGGCCTCCCGTGGCATGGTCTTGAGGGGTGGTGCGGCAATGTTCAATTTTACTGCAGTACTGCACAGATATACACATCTCAAGCTCGGGGTGGATGTCCAGATCAAATGTGAACGATAGAGAGTAAGGCGTAAAGTATGTGAAACACAACAATGACTCCTGCTCGTACCAATATGAGTCAACACTAGAGAGGCCAAAAACACTTGCCAACCAGAAAATGCCAAGACGCCTCTCACGCTAACCACGATCGTCAAGTCGCACTGATCGCGTGGAGTAATGAGGGGCAGCGAAGTGCTTGCTAATTCTTTCCATCCAGACGATTTTTGATCTTAACCCTTCCCTTCTCACCGCCGACTTTCATTTTCGTCTGCGACGAACAAAAGCAGGCGTCCTCGCATTTCGAGTCGTATACTCGACTCTTGTATCCTTAAAGCCCGCCCTTTCTGTGGCTCTTTCTACCTTCAAGCTCAAGAGAGCGCCCTACCAGGTTCAAGTCTAGTACATCACCAATAGTCGCCCATCATGGTGAACTTCACCGTCGACGAGATTCATGTTCTTATGAAGAAGCCTGGTAAGCAATACCTTCGAGGTCGAAGTCGACGTTGCTAACCTGTGACAGCCAATATCCGTAACATGGTATGCCATCGACTCCACCTCGAGGCCGCGGAAGCAGCAAATTTCTAACAATATCGCAGAGTGTTATCGCTCACGTCGACCATGGAAAATCTACCCTTACCGACTCGCTTGTTCAGCGTGCTGGTATCATTTCCGCCGCCAAGGCTGGTGAAGCGTAAGTGGAATATCCGAAAAGAGAAAGAGATAGACTCTGATAATGTGCTAGTCGATTCACCGATACGCGACAAGATGAGCAAGAGCGAGGTATCACAATCAAGTCGACCGCCATCTCTCTATATGCCCACTTGCCAGACGAGGAAGATCTTAAGGACATTCCCCAGAAGGTCGAGGGTAACGATTTCTTGATCAACTTGATCGATTCGCCTGGTCACGTCGATTTCTCTTCCGAGGTTACCGCTGCTCTACGAACTACCGATGGTGCTCTCGTTGTCGTCGATACCATCGAAGGTGTCTGCGTGCAGACTGAGACCGTGCTGCGACAAGCTCTCGGTGAGCGAGTCAAGCCTGTCGTCATTATCAACAAGGTTGACCGGGCTCTCCTCGAGTTGCAGGTCGAGAAGGAGGATCTTTACCAGTCCTTTTCACGAACCATCGAATCCGTCAATGTCATCATCGCCACCTACTTCGACAAGGCTCTTGGTGATGTCCAAGTCTACCCATACAATGGTACTGTTGCTTTCGGTTCCGGTCTCCACGGCTGGGCTTTCACAATCCGACAATTCGCTGTCAAGTATGCTAAGAAGTTTGGTGTTGACAAGAAGAAGATGATGGACCGCCTTTGGGGTGACAATTTCTTCAACCCAAAGACCAAGAAATGGACAAAGACTGCCGACGAGGGCGTCGAGCGTGCCTTCAACCAATTTATCCTTGATCCTATCTTCAGAATATTCGACGCATTCATGAAGGGTAAGAACGACGAACTGCTGAATATCTGCGGTAAGATCGACGTCAAGCTTACCACCGAGGAGAAAGAAGCTACTGGCAAGGGTCTCCTCAAGGCTATCATGCGAAAGTTCTTGCCAGCTGCTGATGCCCTCATGGAGATGATGGTCATTCACTTGCCATCTCCTGTCACCGCTCAAAAGTACCGAATGGAGACTCTCTACGAGGGTCCTCCTGATGACGAAGCCGCTGTTGGTATCCGAGACTGCAACCCTAACGCTACTCTCATGTTGTACGTCTCCAAGATGGTGCCAACCTCGGACAAGGGCCGATTCTACGCCTTTGGCCGTGTCTTCTCTGGTACTGTTCGATCTGGTCTCAAGGTTCGCATTCAGGGCCCCAACTACGTTCCCGGTAAGAAGGAGGATTTGTTCATCAAGGCCATTCAGCGAACTGTTCTCATGATGGGTCGAATGACCGAGCCAATTGATGATGTGCCAGCTGGTAACATCGTCGGTCTTGTTGGTGTTGATCAGTTCCTGCTCAAGTCTGGTACTCTCACTACCTCCGAGACTGCACACAACTTGAAGGTTATGAAGTTCTCAGTATCGCCTGTCGTGCGACGCTCAGTCGAGGTTAAGAATGCTGCTGATCTTCCCAAGTTGGTCGAAGGTCTCAAGCGTCTGTCCAAGTCTGATCCTTGTGTCTTGACATCCATCTCCGAAACTGGTGAACACATCGTCGCTGGTGCCGGTGAGCTTCATTTGGAAATTTGCTTGAAGGATCTTGAGGAAGACCACGCTGGTGTACCTCTCAAGATTTCTGACCCAGTCGTTCAGTACCGAGAGACTGTTGGTGGCAAGTCCAGCATGACAGCTTTGTCGAAATCTCCTAACAAGCACAATCGATTGTACGTCATTGCCGAACCTCTCGGTGAGGAGGTCTCAAAAGACATCGAGAATGGCAAGATCGCCCCAAGAGATGACTTCAAAGCACGAGCTCGAGTGCTCGCTGATGACCACGGCTGGGATGTTACCGATGCCCGAAAGATCTGGGCTTTCGGTCCAGACACTACTGGCGCTAACTTGCTTATCGACCAGACAAAGGCTGTTCAGTACCTCAGTGAAATCAAGGATTCTTTCGTCTCCGGTTTCCAGTGGGCTACACGAGAAGGTCCAATCGCCGAAGAGCCAATGCGATCCGTTCGATTCAACGTCATGGATGTCACACTTCACGCCGACGCCATCCACAGAGGTGGTGGTCAAATTATCCCAACAGCCAGACGTGTGCTCTACGCTTCTACACTTCTTGCTGACCCTGGTTTACTTGAGCCTGTCTACTTGGTCGAGATCCAAGTTCCAGAACAAGCCATGGGTGGAATCTATGGTGTCCTTACTAGGAAGAGAGGTCACGTATTCTACGAGGAGCAGCGTGTAGGAACTCCATTATTCACTGTCAAGGCATATCTGCCCGTCATGGAATCCTTCGGCTTCAATGCCGATCTTAGAGCCGCCACTGGTGGCCAGGCTTTCCCACAATCCGTCTTCGACCACTGGCAGATCCTCCCAGGTGGTTCACCTATTGTTAAGACCAGTGTGCCCGGAGCAGTTGTCGAGGCTATGCGAAAGAGAAAGGGTCTCAAGCCAGAAGTCCCAGGCTACGAGAACTACTACGACAAGTTGTAAAGTGGCTGTTTTGCTCTTTGTTCTTTTCGACCTGATTGCTGCAACACATCAAACAGCTTTCAGGCATTCCACGATCCGACATATGAAAAGCGACGCGTAAGTATGACGGGATGATGAATGTGCGTTGGTACTATGAATGCATCGGTAGAACATGGTTTAGGCAGTACATGACAAAAGCTCGCAGGTTTAGAGGATAGACACGAGCATGAGAATGAGAAATAAGATGTTCATTGATGCATTTTGAAAAAGGTTATATCTTGCAGCTTTACTTTTTGATTATTTCCCTCGCTAAACTAAGTACGTTATCGCTGATTTGAGTTACACGACCTATATGGAACGTTATCTTAGCCTCAATAGGAGTGTCCTATCGTCGTGGTGCAAAGAGTCAGTCAGCACAGACCGTGAGACTTGATATTGTTCTCGACATACCCTAAACATTTGCACTATATCATCTCGAGACATTCACACTCATACATCCACATAACGCGAAATGAAAACATTTCTTTCAAGACAGGTCGTTGCGGGACCTTTTAGCTTTCTGTCTTTCGAGTGTCTATCTACTCACAGCCCTGACTTGCCATTTCCAACCGTCAATTTGCAGGGTGTTCCTTGAGCGTTACACTGACTGATTGACGAACGAGCTCACAATGCCTCAACAACAACAACAACAACAACAACCACAACCTACAAATGCACAAGTATTTCTCGATGGTCTAAAACCAGCAGCATCCTCATATACATCCCGCTTCAGCGCCTTTTCCCAAGACAACAACAACAGCAGCAAAACCAAAGATAACACCAAGCCACACGACCAACAAGATACTTCCTCTCCCTCCAAAACCAAGCTCAAAACCCACATTTTCCCCGTCACCGAAGCCGAACGCACCCAAGTCCGCGCCACAGCCGTCTCCCACTCAAACGACTACTACAACATCGTCAGCCGCCGCTACGAGTTCGGCTGGTCCCAGCACTTCCACTGGACGCCCTTTGCGCCCGGCGACAGCATCAGCCACAGTCTGCGCAACTACGTCCACCGGCTCGCGGTCGTGATGGGCCTGAAGCGCGGGATGAGAGTTCTCGATGTGGGATGTGGGATTGGGGCGCCGGCGAGAGAGGTGGCGCGGCTGGTTGGGTGTGAGGTCGTGGGGGTGACGATTAATCAGTGGCAGGTGGATAGAGCGATTGAGTTGACGATGTTGGAGGGGATGGGGCATCTGTGTACGTTTATTAGAGGGGATTTTATGAGGCTGGATGAGAGGTTTCCCGGGGGTTGGTTTGATGCTGTTATGGGGTGTGAGGCGACGTGTCATGCGCCGAGTTTGGAGGGGGTGTATGGACAGGTGTGGCATGTTTTGAAGGAGGGGGGTGTTTTTGGGTTTACGGAGGAGTTGATGGACGATTCGTCGGAGGGGAGGTGGGATGAGACTTCTGAGAGGTTTCGAAATTTGCGGAATAATCTTGAGGTTGGTGGAGGTATGGCGAGTCTGCAGCCTGTGAGTGTGGCGAGAGCGGCTTTGCTGAAAGCTGGATTCACACTTGAGCTGGATGAAGACTATAGCAAGTATTTTGATTGTTTGTCGCAGCCACCGAAGGTTGTGTTTGCGGAGGACGGACTGGCCTTGGGCGAAATCGACGTGGAGAGGAATACACAGAATTTATGGGAGGGAAAGCAGGTGAAATCATTCTCGACAGTGAAGCTGCCAACCAGAGATGGCAATGGCTGGTATTATGCGCCTCCACCGAGCTCATCATATGAACAAATTCGTTCGTCACCGAAGCATCCAATACCTCCTACCCTCCGACCTTGGTATTACCCTATCATGGGCACAAAGGAGGCAGTACAGATGGGCGTCACAGATGAAGACCGCAAGAGAGTGTCGTTCATGAGCCATGGAAGTCGCCGATTCTACTTCACGTTAGTCAATATCCTCGTCTGGCTAGGGATCTGTTCACCAGGAGAAGCTCAACTGAACAAGATGATGGAATTATATTGCGACGCCTGCGTCGAGGCAGGAAAAGAAAATATTTTCGCACCATGCTGGATGTTCGTAGGTCGGAAAGACGAGGGCTTGGGTGATGCTACGTTGCTTGCGTCACAAAAGTTGGCCAACGGCCTGGCTGGAGCTGAGCTGCAATCTGGACCACTGAGTGCCAGGATTGATATGGCCACTTATGCCCAACTTCGACGACTTTCGAACTTTACAGAGGAAGAGAACGAATCTAGGTTTGGCACTCCCCAAACCGAGGTCGTTGATGTTTTTGACGGTGGTGTGTCGACCAAGCCGTAGATGTCTAGCTCTTGTAGCGTCGAACGAAGTTACCTTCTAGGATGTTTCATTCTTTTATGGTCTCTGTTCTGATGATAGTTTCTCGTTTGCTTCTGGATCCTCCTCCAGAGCTGCTCAAAGTCTTGGTAACATTCGCTTTGAGCAATGCTTCGATTGTCTGTCGTTCTCTCGCTAGTCCCTCCAATCTTGTATCCTCAGCAGGAGTGGCTTGTCTTTTCCTCTTGATCTGACCATTCATTCCATACACCACTGTCCAATCTGGAACTGCTGAGCCAGGTGGTAGGGTGATACCTGCGCAGACTTTGCTGTGTGAACCTAAAGTACAGCCTGGGAGCAGTGTGACACCTGCTTCAAGGATACTGTACTCGCCGATTGTGCACGGAGGTTGGAGCTTTACGGCAGAATGTAGGTGGGAGGATGCCCCGATATAGATATTGTTACTGTCTCGGGAGACAGACTGTGTATGACCTGTTCCTGCAGGCTTATCGAGGGCCATGGCTGACCCACGCTGAGGGTTGAACTCTTTGTCGTATCCTATCATACACCTTTCAAACAAAAGGCAACCATGTCCAATCGTGACCTTGCCATTGTCAGTGTATAACCTGCAACGAGGATGAATGACGGCTCCGGCCTCGATAGTGAGGGGATTAGTCCCCCTGAAATAACATGCAGGATCGACGTATGCTTGCGAAGAGATGTTGACTGGAGGAGTCGCGCCTGGGGATACTTTGGGAAGGGAAGGCAGTGTTGCTGGCCGTTCTGAGGTCGAGGTCGAGGTCATATTCACGACATCTTTTCGTGACTGAATGCTCAGGATAAAGTAGTCCTGGCTCAATATTTTCTCTGAAGCACCAACTGACGCACTGGTTGATTGAAGACAATGATGATGTTGAGATAGTGCTAAATTGTGCAAGCAGGCTCTTCCAAATGTGCTCTCTCTAGCACCAGCTGCAGAGCACCTCAAGCCTGAGATTCAGTTCAATATCCAAAGTGGCTGCTTCCTGGTACGGAAAAATTATTTCCGCCAGGTGGTCATTCTGCTTCAGGCGGAGAAAAGGCTCCTGGCACGATCCGCATTACTACAACGCAAGGTTCCCAGGTGAATAGTCTGCTCGATGTTTATGCTTCTAAGTCAGTGTCCTACAACGCTTTTACACAAATCGAAGAGTGGGGATAGGCTAGAATTAGTTTGCACAAAATTGGTAACTTTCAGTACAGTGGCACGAGACATCAAAAGTCAGTAATGTCGACTTGATATATTATTATATGAGTATTGGCAGTGCTGGCTGCATATTTGTAACAAGATTGTTTACAGCCGGCAGTAGTAGTAGTAAGCGAGTGTGGGTCACCTTTCCCCGGATCCTAGCATCAACCTTCAACAATGGCTCTCGAATTGTTCTTACAAACCAATATTGATTGGAATGTTAACAGTGTTACCACACAAGACAAGAGCGGTGCTGTTGCATGAGTCTGTGCATGGTTAGCATATTTACATTAGGTCACATTTTCCAGTGAGTGATGCTTACCCTTGATCTCACAATCCTTGCCTGACTCGTTGCAGCACACAGTTGACTGGTCGTTGGAGCACTTGGTGACGGTGGTAGTCGTGTCACCGCTGTCGTTGCTCTCTGAAGGAGGAGGAGGAGGAGCTCGTCGTGTCATCTTGACCTTAAAGTCAATGCCTCTGGCATCTACCGTGACAGGGACGGAGATAGTGTTGCCACAAACGACCAAGGCGTTGTTGTTGCAAGAGGCTGGCACATTGTTAGTCAGGACTTTAGACTCAAAGAATTCAAATCGCTCACTTGAGACTTCGCAATTCTTGCCTGACTGGTCGCAGCACATGGTAGCTTGCTCATTGGAGCATTGGGTGATGGTGGTAGTCGTGTCACCGCTGTTGTTGCTCTCTGAAGGAGGAGGAGGAGGCCTGGCAGCAGCGAGAGCCATAAAGGCCAAGATGGCGAGCTTCGTGTAATGCATGATAAAGGTGTTTTGGTAAAAAGGTGGAAAACGAAAGACTTAGTTAGCGAATGTGGAAATGAGTGATTACTATTGCTGGCTGATGGTGCTTGCTTTGATACTGGACAAAGTGCTGCTGTCGACACGAAGTCAGAGCCTTCTTATACATGTTGGCCCCTGAATCGAGAGCTTGCGTATTGTCAGCTATAGTCAATCCCCACGAGAAAGTGCCCTTAAACGAGTATGGGCTCAATCTGGTCAAGGAGACATGATCGACGTGCCTTCCGATGTCACTGATGGTACAGTATTATTGGACGTCGGTAATTAAAATTAATAGATTGGCGGAATAGCAGTCTGACCAACATAAGCTGAATATGGTGGTTGTGGAATTGCGGGGGGCGCCTCGGAATATCAAGTAAACAGGAGTGTCGATGCCGTGTGAGGTATACCCGTGATTTCAGCTTTGTGCCCACGCCTGAACCAGGAAGAGTATCCACTCCCTCAGCATAACCTACCAACGCAATGTTGTTCTATACGCCAGCAGTGGGCTCGAAGCAAGCTGATATTTCTTTCAGTGTCGACGTCCTGAGAGATGACGGATCTGCCTCCAGTCGCAAAAGACGCAGTCGTGTATATGTTTGACATCAAAACTACAAGCTGCATTCACGTGACACAATATCTTCGAGTATCGCCATAAAGCATGATCATAGCAGCTTTTGACAGGCGATAAGTTCTCTGAGGCCAAGAAACTGCATAAGATTCTCTTTCCGAAACTCACGGCATCGTGGATGTATACAGTCTCTCTGAACTGAACAGCGAAGATGTCTGGAGCAGCCTGCTCGGAGCCTAGATCCGAAAGATCGTTCCGTGGAGCGAGATGAACAGCAACAATGGGAAGGTTGTTGACAGTGATGCTTGAGAAGCCACCTGGGAGTCGGCACGAAGTTTCCGTACCTGTCTCACCAAGACATGTAGCTCTAGGGAAAACCAGGCTGTGTGCTCAGAGAACGTTTAAGGGTCCTTGCCTTGTGTAATGTGGCACTTACCAGTTTATGGATTGACGATATCGATGGGTAGAGATCTTGGCACCCAGAGTGAATGCAGGGGGGACGGTGCTGTCTAGCCCAGATGTTCACGACATCAAGCTCATGTGAGGCAAAATGTTGCGTGTCATGCCTAATCTAGTCTCGTCTTTGGAGTTCTCTTCGATGATCGCCTTCTTTTTGAGTCAGCATGGGCTCCATTGTAGATTCACTTCCGTCAGGATCTGCATTTGATCTGTGCAGCCGTCGCTGACGAGTACCTGCGCCCGAAACACCAGGTAAACAACCAATTGGACGGTGAGATCTTGGTTTTATCCATAAACGTGAAATCAACACTTGTTAAGATTGAGTTGAATGGTAGGTTATGAGCTGTCAAAGGGTGCAGGTGCTCGACGATTCGACCTCAGTCGACGTCCAGGCAATGCGAAAGGCGCTCCGATGCGCTACGGCTCACTCTGCAGGCGCGGCTCTGCTAAAGGAGTTACAGTGACGACCTAGATTGAAGAATGGCACTACGCCGGGATCTAGCTTCCGCCGGATATCGGCGTATTTGGTGAATGAAGTCTGACCCTAAGCGACTAGGTAAAGCGATACCAACCGTAGCCAGTAGGGGTTCATGGTCAGTCCTTACTGTGTAAAGTAGAGCTACCAAGAAAGCGCTTCTTTGATAGATTTAGCGACTGAAAATTGAGACCCTAATGGTGCCAAGGCTGAATCATCACCTGACTCTATACCCCTGCTCAACGTCGCTCTATTCTTTATTCCGGTATTTCACTCTATAGGAACTCCCGACTGACGATCAGGGGTCGACCAATGCATGTTGATCGCGTTCGACATCTGCACGAGTACTCTTAGTTTAGCTGCTCCGCTCATGTATACGAAAGTCAGCATTCGGTGCTGATACAGGCCTGCCGATGAACGAATGATAGGGAGCAGGTTGGTGAAGATTTGTTGAAATCTCGTCAGGGTCGTTCCTGTGCCGAACGGTAGTGGTGATATAAGGTTCTAGCATACAACTGTTGTATTATATATATGCAAGACCAGCTTTGACGTTGATGAAGGATTTTCATTTGGGTCGCCATCTACCCTGCACCCAGTAGAGCTCATGTCTCAGGTTGCAAGGATACGTCAAACGGTAGGACAAGTAACCAGGTCGGTTGAGCGACTTACTTTCCAATTTGCGAATTAATGTGCGGGAAGCTATCGTTTGTGCAGACTCCTGTCTGCTTACCCTTGGCGGGATTTTTCTGCGCATTGCCTGTCCTCCTTAGCATACGTGGCACTGCACGATGAAGCAGAGCAAGGTGGGTTTGGATGCGATGATTCAAGCTATGTGTCCAACAGTCTTCTCGATGATCATAGCCTGAGTTTGCGACGTCTACTGGGACCTGGACACTCTTGACCAGCGTTATTGAGGTATACCAAATGACACGACGGAGTGGTAGAGTAGAATTACAATCAAGAACAATTCGATGCATGATTAATGGCAGCATCCCTCGTTGGTGCGGCCGAACCATTCCAATCAATATCAAGCAGAAACATCACGGGGAACAGGTACCATTGCGATTGACATTCACTGATTGCTTGATTGATTCGATGCAGTGACAAAGCATTCGAAACACCAAAATTCGCCAAAGTTTCTCTTCTTGGCACAGCGCATCGGTCGCGTGCTGCATTCTGACGCGTCCGAGGCTCGCTACTAGAGAGCACTGATCTGTCGAGACGGAATAAATCTTCCTACCCTCACGATGAGACTTGTTTCATAATTGCGTACGCTCTAAATGCACGTCGAAAAACAGCAGGATGTCATACTACGATGTCGATGCGATCTTGACCGAATCACAGAAATTGCCGTGTACTTTCCAGATTGACGTACCTGGATTAGGGTATTTGGACGGGAACCCTGGCGAGACAGTGAGAGAGTTGTGCTTTGCAACCATCAAGTTACATGACTGACTGTGTTGAGATCAAAGGGGGAACAAAGCTGGACTTGCCGTTATGGCTCGGGGCGGTACTTGCTCTGCCAAGGTTTGTCGTTACAGTTGAAAACTGTGAAAACTGACCAAGATTTAGCAACAATCCTGGGTCGCAGCCTATGGTCACAATTGATTTTCCTGCACCGATGGAACAGCGGGTGATGAATGCCCTCAAGGCTGATCCTAACTCAGTCGACCTCCGGGCACAGGCACCACACTTCTATGCACTAGGCGCTCATGTTTTGGACCTGTTCGAAGACGAAAATGTCATTGATATCTTGACCGAGGTAGGTGTCTCATGTTGAGTTGACAATACGCTTGATCTTAGGTGTTGGAATATGTTGACACGATGCAGACTTTTCGCAGTCGCGCAGCCAGAATAGCCGACCACGGTCACAATGCACAAGGAGCCTTGACTGATGGGGCAGACTTCCTGCGAGGTCTGGATGAGACAGAGAGGCAACTCTTTCGGAGTGCCCACGATAGACCCAAGGATGTCAAAGCGTGGTCACAAAATTTGAAGAGGACGACATAGAGGAAGAAACAGCAAAGGGCGTCAAGGTGCTCCTCCAGCAGGTTCAGCGACTTTTTTCGACTCGGGGGGCTCGTCGACAAACGTCGGTAGTGCCTCATCTTGCATAAAGGCAGGCATTCCACCAGCAGTCTCAGCTTGTTGTTCAAAGGTCATCTCTTCTCCTAAAGCTTCCAGCTCAGCATCGAGTTCCGCCTCGTCCACGTCGTCTGGAATATCGTAGGCTCGACCCATACTCTCGCTGATTTCGTTGCCGATTTCCATCAAATCAGCCATCTCGTCTTGGATCTGCTCTATTTTGTCAAGGTCGATCTTGCCGTACTGCTTCTTCAATTCCTTGTTGGTAGTCTTCATAGCATCAACAGTGGTCATGACATTCTTGAGATTGTCCTGCATCATGCCGGCCTGCTCCATGTTCCAAGACTGCTGCATCAAGTTGTCCTTTTGTGATTCGTACATCTTCCTTTGCTGTAGAACTTTCAGTGCCCTCTGCTTGATGGCGTTCTTCCCAGGACCATCGCGCATCTTGGCCATTTTCTGCTGATAGGTGGTCAGCTCAGCGTTGAGCTTGGCTAATTTGACATCGATCGAGTCTATCCTCGTTTCTACCTGCAGGACTATCAGACCACAGCCGCCATGTGTAAAGGATATGTTTACATACTCCTGTAATTGCCTGGTTGAGTGTTGGCTTGGGCGCATTGTTCTTAGCACCGAAGAGGCGGTTCATCGTGACTGCAAAGAGGACGAAGCCAACGCAGTGGTTCGAAAGGCCAAAGCCGCGGAGGAAAGTCCAGAGCACTTTTTCTTCAGTCGCGATTCCAAATTTCGCCTTGACTGAAGCGGATAACAAACAGAATTCACAATGGCGTCCTTTGTATTGTGAATGAGCAAGTCGCTGGAATGGCTGCGTCATGTTCGAGGCAATCGGCTTCGGTGGTAACGGTGTGGGGCACTGCAGCAGCAGGCGAACGGCCCCTAAACTGTTTCTGCAAGCCTGCCACATGGGCTGCCCAGTGTCGCAATCTCGGACGATAGCAAGATGGATCCCGTCGCATGCACGAAAGACCAACACAACTTGAAGTCACACGCGCTTCCCATATCATTTGTCTGGATACTCTTACCTGACCTGAATCGGAGTGGGCAGTCAATGTAATCACTCAATTGGTTCTTGCTCGCACAATATCTACACTCGCACTATCTTACATCTTCGATCCAGCCCACTTCGTCGGTTCATGCTCTCTTGACATATTGGCACGGCCACGACCTTCGTTATAATATACCCTCTCTTCTCAGGCTTGCTGGATTCTTATGAGGGCCAAGTTCTCTGAGTGTAACACTAGACAACTCGGACTACCACGAAGCGCTCGTTTGCAAGATACCATACACAAATATCTCGAACACAAAGGTCCAGCATGTTCTGGCGTTTTGGCGGATACTCCAATGTATCCACGATAGACACCCTGCTAGACAAGCAGAGTACGACACTTGAGGATTTGCTCGAGGAACAAGATCTTGTCCAAGAACTGAAATCCCACCATACCAAGTTGATCGAGTTTTTACGCGACGACGACCGTTTACACGCCCTCCTGAGATATGTGACTGCCCCGGGCCCAGAGATCACAGAAAGAGGAGGCGACGAGGATCCGGACAATGAGGGAGAGTCGAATGTCACGGAAGAGCAGGAAAGGGCCGAGAAGAAGCGCCTAAAATATGCCTACGTTGCGTGCGAAATCCTGTCTTGCGAGACATGGTCCATCACTGAAGCTGTCATGTCCAACGTCGATTTTTTGAAGGAGTTCTGGGATTTCCTACGTCGTCCCACCCCTCTTGACGCTCTGCAAGCCGGCTATTTCACAAAGGTCAATGAGACACTGCTGGAAAAGAAGACTGAGGACATGCTGAGTTTCTTCAAATCTTTGCCCAACATAGTCCCTACTATCTTGCAGCACGTCGATTGTCCTATGGTCATGGATTTGCTATTGAAGATCATATCCCTCGAAAAAGCTGAGGGTGGGGCCGGTATCGTGGAATGGCTGCACGATCAAGATCTGATTCCTGCTCTGCTATCGAGTCTCTCCCCTGATTGTAATTCATCCACTCAGACCTCGGCTGGAGACTTCTTAAAGGCTATAATCACTATCTCTGCAAACGCTGCTCAGAACGAACAGTCTTGCATTGGTCCAAACAGCCTAACTCGACAATTAGTCTCCGAAGATTGCATACAAACACTGATCAAGCACATGCTACGTGGAGGCAACCCGTTGACTGTCGGTGTCGGTATCGTCATCGAAGTCATCAGAAAGAACAATTCAGATTATGATCCTGAGAATGGTCTCAATCCAGATGCTCCACCATCCACCCACGATCCCATCTTTCTAGGTACACTTCTACGCCAGTTCGCACGACACGTACCCAACTTTATGAACCTCATCCTTAGTGCAAGGCATACTGTTACTGATGGCGAGAAGACAAAGTCGGTCGATCGTGGCATGCTCAAATCAGCTTGGGGTCAGGAAATCGAACCCCTGGGCTTTGACCGTTTCAAAACGTGTGAGCTGATGGCCGAGTTACTGCATTGTAGCAACATGGGACTTCTCAACGACACCGAAAGTGAGGAATTTGTAAAGGCTCGCGACGCCGAAAGAGAGCGTCTACGAGTCGCTGGCCGATATTCTGCTCAGAAACATTCGGATGACTCGACCATCGACGTGTCTCTAGCCTCGTCCAAACTCGATTCCTCATTTGCACCATCGACCGGTACATCTGGGGAAGAGCTTCGTGCGAGCGAAGAGGATGGATTCGAGAAGGTGACTGTCTTCGACGAGGACAAGAAATCATCGAGCCACTCAAATTCTGATGAGTTTGTGGAAGAGCCTTTGACACCAACCAAACCTACGTTACAAGCTCAGTCGCCCGCGCGTGGCATTGATGAGGGCGTGCACAGGCTGAGTCTCGAGGACATTGAGATGGCCACGAGCTTACCAGAAGTCTCATTCTCCAAAGGCAATGCTTCACCACATCCAGAAGACAAACCAGCACCACTGTTCTCGAAACGTTCTGATGCCGACAAGACACCTACAATCGCTAGCCCCGAGCTTCCCAGCAGTCCCCGCAATGTCAACGATGTTTCAATGACCGACGCGGCCGAAACTCCTGCCAAAGACACCTCTGCCAAGCTTGCGTCTGGCACAGAGGCCACGCAATCGCCAGTCATAGGCGATTTCTTGAAAACGCAGTTCGTGGAACACAATGTCGTACCTACGATATTGAACTTCTTCTTCAGATTCCCGTGGAACAATTTCCTACACAACGTTGTCTATGATGTTGTGCAACAAGTCTTCAATGGTCCCATGGATCGAGGCTATAACAGATTCCTTGCATTCGATCTTTTCGAAAATGGTAAGGTCACCGAGCAAATCATAGATGGCCAGCGGCGAAGTGAAGAAGCCGAGCGAACGAAGAGTATGCGTCTGGGCTACATGGGGCATCTGACTCTAGTAGCAGAAGAGGTGGTCAAATTTGGTGAGCGACACTCGAGAGAAACACTTTCGGAAGCTGTGCAAGGTTACATTTATGGGAGGTCATGGGAACAATACGTGAATAAGACTTTAGCCGAAACACGAGATCGAGATAACGCCATTCTTGGGGGGTTTAGACCTGAAAATGGGTTGGGACCTAGGCAAGCTGTGCTCAACGCTGTCAACGCCAGCAGCGGGTTTACTGGCTCCAATGCTCTTGCCCAGGCTGGTCTGACGGGTGGTCAACAAGGTCTGGACAGTGTAGACTTGTCGAATAATGGTAGTGCCACATCCTCGAGCTACAATGCAACCGGCAGCTCTCTTCTAAGCGGCTTTGGAAGCTCATCTGACGACGACGACGATGATATGGATGACGACGTTGACGAAAGCCAGGCTCGGGCCGCACTGCAGCTATCTGCAGCAGATACCGGTGCAAATGCGGAGTCAGACCAGCCCATGCCGCTGATACCACCTCCACCAGCACCGTTGAATATTGAGCCTTCACGAGCCAGGAAACGACTTGCAGATCGGTTAGCTTTACACAAAGCGCAACAGGAGCAGGAGGTACAGGAAGCTGCGGCGACGGAGTTTGGCATGGAGGACGATCCATTCGCAGCACTGGGCGATAACGACGACAACGATAATGACGATCCGTTTTCTTTAGACGAGGAAGAGCAAGATATAACCCAGTCCGGTAGAAGGAACGCGTCCCAGGGACAGACGTCGCGCAGTTCTATACATAATCCAACAAGCCGTAGCATCAACAGCTTGTTTGGTAGTGACGGAAACTCGAACAAACCATACTTACATGGATCTCTCGAAGATGAATCGTCCAGCGATTCTGCATCTAGTGACGAAGCCGAAAATACTGCTGTTGAAGCGAGAACGAGTCTCGAGCGACGACCACTTGACATCGACGATGATGAAGATGAAGAGATGGGAGAAATGGTTGCTCCCAGTGATGAGGCTAACAGCAGCGACGAAGAAGCCTTGACAGCGCAGGAAAGACACAGCCTAGGATTGGACCGGGGGCGGGACGAAGAGGATTCCGTGTCCGAGTTTGACGGACAAGCGGACGAAGATCAAGAAGATGATGTTGTTGAGATACCAATGCCAAAGGAGAAACGACCACGAGGATCGCTTGGGTAACCAGTTAGCTGGAGTTACACCAACCTTTCTGTGTTGACACGTTCAACGAAACGATCCCTGAATTAATGGCCTTCACATGGCTCTGCGTCAGGCGGACGACATAATTCCGTCACATACCAACACGACAAGGCGGAACTGGCATACCAGTCAGCGTTGAGAGCTGGGCACGTTATCGCGGCACGGCAGTCATGCAGCCGCAATGATCCTAGCTCAGATGCCGCCTGCCGGAACTTCTACAACATTTTAGATACACCGCCTTGCGACACGTTTTTTCAAACATCGTGAAACCCGTGGTCGTATACTGTACAACATGATAGACAATGTATTACCCTATCTTGCCTTGTTTTTCGAAGGAAGAGAAAGTTGCTCTGAAGTTGACATGTTTTTCGTGATCCTGGATACCCAATTTTGACCGACAACGATTGACTTTCTGCGTACCAGGCATTGCTAAGTGGATCAGCCCCGACAGATCATCTTCCTGCTTCAGTGGATGTATCCAACGGCTTGGAGAGCTCCAGCACCACTCGTGCCCGAGACGGGGTAATCCTGCCACACGCCAGGTACTTTACTCCCTGGAGGAGAAGATTTACCTTCCCTGCTTGCTTTTGCGGAGACCCTGTGCAAATCCCGGGGCCCAATTCTCGTGTCGATCATATGCATCGTTTTCGCTCACTTCACGGAAACAACCAGACACTCAATCCTTCTACCAAACATAATCGACTAAAATCATAAGCAATATACGAAATCCACCAAACCGCCTCTGTGGTTGCATTGCAAGATTCAAGCTAGTGTACTGTATTTCAGCGCCACGTCCTATGTTGCAGCAAGTGACTGCTACATTGCGTCACTGGGCGTTGGCCAACGATGGGCAACGCTGGCTCTAACAAGCCAATCGTCTTCGTCTTTGGAACCCAGAAGGGCGACACTGACGGGAGAAGAAAGAACCTGTCAGCGATTAACACCCAGGTCGCTTATCTTGCTCACGAGCGTCGCCGCGAGAAGAAGAATCGGCAACGAGCCCAAGCAAAAGAGGACGCGAAAGCAGACAAGCAAGCACCGTCGGGTGAGACCTTACCGTCGTCTTCGAAGTCATCATCAGTCAAAGTAGAGAACGATGTCGCCAATCCAGTCAAATTCGCACCATCGCAAGTACAATGTCTGAACGCGAAATTTGTGCCGCGCCAACTGCCGCTTGGTCACCAAGCCCAGATAATATCCGAAGCTCGTGTCCCTCCACAACCACCAACCCAGCTTTTCAGCTCTGTAGACACACGACGACCACAAAATGACAGACGCGAATCTGACACGGGATCTGATAGCAGTTCTGACCGTGAATCCTTCTGGTCGATATCGCCAGCAGCACGTCGCGATTCCACACCAGGAACTGAGATTTCCGACCTAACACCACCCGCACCTCTACAACTCAATGGCTACTTTGACAGAGCCTTGGACCCATTTTTCATGCTACCAGTCGCAGCTTCCGACCGAGAGCAATGGCTGGTGCAATTCTGTAAGTGGTTGCCTCTATCGATGTACCTTCGGAACTAATCGTATCAGACTTTAGACAGATGGGCCACATCGGTTTTGGCACACATCAGAACTCATTGTTCTGTCCAGATCGCGACTGGGTGTCAATCTATGTCCAGAAAAAGTCATTATGTTTCCAATGGCTTCTAATCCTCGCCGAGGAATTTCTGGGGATGATTGGAGGACAGCAGGATCAAACCAAAACGATCGAGCGTAAAGCAAAAGCGTATCGGGATCTGAACTCTGCTTTGAAGAGCCGAGTAGTCAACCGAGACGAAGGCATCAGTGGCATAATGTATGCTGCGATAGTCGATACCACAAGCACAAGCGTACACCTGGGTGCACTCGACCGGCTCATCAATGATACAGGTGGTTTCGAGGCATTTCTGGATGGGCCGCTTGGCATCGCTCACCCTGAGCATGTGGCAACAGTATATGCGTTTGGGCGATGCCCAATAGCTAATGCTACCGACCTAGAGAACACAAAAGCAGGTTTTCTAGGTGCACTCAAATTTTTGCACAATAATTCAAAACAAGAATTAGAAGAAAAGAGACGAATTCGGAACAGACGACCCTGGGATACACTCAGTCGCCAAGTCATCGATGGGAATGGTGTTCTTGTGGCGTCGAATCAAGACGAACACATGCGGTACTATATCAAAGCGCAACAAGACTGCTTCGCAAGTGACAGCCTGTCATCATTGCTGAACACGACGCTCAACACTGATGGCGATTTCACTTCACAAGCACGACATCTCGCATGTCTACTTCAAACGTCCCTTATCTTGCACGAATTTGAGACCGACTATCTCGTGAAGGCCACATTTCTCAAGCGTCTACAGTATGTCTGCCAAATGAGTACAGCCAGAGATCACACAGGGAAGCCACTTCTGTCACATGCTGGGCTGTTGTTGATCAACTCTTTTGTACGGCAAGAGGTACAGGGATACATTGATCGGGCTAAAGTGCTTACCAAGGCTGTAAAGATCAGTAAGGCAGTGGTTGACTGTCTCAAAACTTTCGGTCTCCTGCAGCAAACGACCCGTTCAATGCTTGTGTCGTGGCTGAGAGGTTGGCTGATCAACAACGACCATTTTGCCAACCTTGACTTCGTCGATTTGCAGGAAGCAGATCTGACTGTAATTGGAGAGGAGATCACGGATTCGTGGCTTCGATCAGCGAGCAAGGGTTGAGGAGCTGTGATGGTCAGGCTATGACAGGAGAAACGTTGCTCGCCATTGTTTTCGATGACCACAACGTTTGCTAGAGAGTCTCAAAAGATGGATGGTTTTGTGGACCTTTTTCATACCAACAATAATGTACGAGCAATCACCCAAAACCAAATTAGACGCCAGACAAACAGCCAATATTGGCTTTTTTTCGAGACAAGCATCAGATCAGAAGCGAATGTCACTCGATATAGAGTCAGAAGCCCACGTCAATACTCTCTCCAACATTGAGAGAAACAACGACGACGCTCCACGATGCATCGAGACGACTTTTCTGTTGTCGCACGAGTGCACTTGCATCAGAAGTACCGTGGGTAAGCAAGTCATCTCAACACGACGATAACGACGAGAGCTTTGAACGAGTAAGGAAGCATTATGACTTCCAATACCCAGGCTGTTTTCGCGACTCGATACAGTGTCAAGTTACACAACTAGCTAAAACTCCCGGCAAAACCTGCAAATCCTGGTGGACCTTCGAACTTCATGCTTCCTCACGTCTACCAAGAACAGAAATTCCCCAGCGATTTGGCCTGTCTGTTCTTGAAATCTATCACTTGTTTGCACGCTCGATCGGGACTAGTCGATTCAAATCGGGACGAAGCTGCACGATTATTAGACATCTGTGAATTTTGAAGCAAGGAAGCAAAGGCTGTCAGTACTTATAGTCCCCAAGTATTGAATGAGCACAACGTTCTGCCTTAGGCATTTTGTAATGAACAACGTCATTGTGCCAACAGACCAAACCGATACCATTTCGAACCATCATCATGCAATTTTCTACAGCGAGCAATTTCTTTCCATGGTTCGAGTGTTCAATTCTAGAGGTGGCGTTATACAGTCCTTCCCTTCGCAGAAAAGTTGTCTTAACCGTTCTGTCAGAAAAGCCCCGGTAGTGCTCTCGCAGCCCATCACTATTCGAAGACTGTACTTCGCGACTACTACCACCACCACGATACCCAAACGCCTCGTTCGTCCTGCTGCACTCCTTCTGTGCTCTCTGTCTGTAGTCTACCTGTTTCGAAGCGCGAACATGCCACGAAAGCGATTCGCCAGCGGTACACTGAATACACCAGGCACAGACGCATCGTCCTTGACAAGCACAAACGGGCCACCACCAAAATCGATCCCTTCCACCTTCACAGACTCCTTACCGTTGCCCGCCCTTATAGTTTTTGACCTAGACTACACGTTATGGCCTTTCTGGATAGACACACATCCCTCGCCTCCTCTCAAAGTGAACAAAGACAACACAGGCATGATCGACCGCTACGGCGAAACCTATACCTTTTACCCTGAGGTGCCCTCAATCCTGTACGAGGCCAAACGTCGCAATATCCTTCTCGGACTCGCCAGCCGAACACACACACCTGATCTAGCGAATCAATCGCTACGAGCAATCGATGTGCCTGTGCCAGAACAATACCTGAAGACAGGAAACAGCGAAGGCCCCGAAGAGAAGCCACAAAAAGCGATTACATTCTTCACTTTTCGCGAGATATACCCTGGGGCAAAGACTCGACATTTTCGACAGATACAGGCTGCGACGAAGAGTTTGGCAAAGAAGCAGGAGGGTATACCTAAGGACGGGATTGCGTATGAGGATATGCTCTTTTTTGATGACGAATCGAGGAATCGAGATACCGAGCGAGAGCTGGGTGTTTCGTTTTACCTGGTTAGAGACGGTGTTACGCGCGACGAGATTGATAATGGAGTTCGGCAGTGGAGGAAGAGACGAGGTATTTCGGAGCAGAGCTCTAGTGCCTCTGCGAACGGTGACAGCTCAGATCTTGGATGATCGTAAAGATGTGAAGGTGTCTATGCTCTAACCCTACTACGGTTGTGCTACCTGCTAGAAATCTCGTTCAGACCAAGAGGCCACCCACGTTCCAGGAAGGATCGTTGAAGGTCGGGCTGAGCACTACTCTGAAAACACAAATCGCCATAGTCTGCCTAGTCTGGAGTCTGGTCTTAGAAATCGACCATTACGACCAACCGTAACTCCAGCCTACGAAATATGCGGCAATTCTTCCTCAGCTAGCAGTCTCAGATACGCATTGACTGTCACATACGGGCGAAGCATTAGGGCACGAACGGTTCTTCAAGGACATACCACCACCTGCATGGTCATAACGCCCTGAAAGAAGTACAATATTAGCACGAATGACGACTGATGAACAATAAATGAATGAATGAGGCTACGTTGATCAGGATTCAACCTCCTTTTTAGCTGCAGCTTGGCTTTAGAACTGTCTGTCATGGTAACAGGCCTTGTACAAAGCATCATATGTGTACGATCAGTAAGTGTCAGCAGCAAGAGAGATATCACGAAAGTCATAGCGGAAAAGTAAAGAGACCGACGAAAGGATCGTCCGTTCTTGTGATCGTACAATGCAGAGGCAAATGACATTGATGAATTGAGTTGTGCAAAATTCGTTTGTACATATTTGCGGAGTATGTGCTTCTAGGTCTCTATCCATACAACCAGTTCTATGCAATTGTTTCGATGAAGAAAGCTATCTCTTCTTTACAGGACCAGTAGTGTTTGCCACTCCCCTTTTCTCTTCAATAGCCTTGATCTTCTCCTCAATGGCTTTGTTCCGCTCCTCCTCAAGCTTCTCAGCAGCTTCGCGTCTTCTTTTCTCATCGCGCTCGAGCTGATCGGGCCTGCGAATGGAAATGTCCTTTGGTTTCAAGTCGCTGAATAGTGCCTTGAAGACATATTCTACCACCCAGCATCCTACATAATCCAGTACCATGAGTGTCGTCAGGGTCACCTTGAAGTTGTACGTGAAAGGTACGAGTCGCAGTTTCTCGTTGAGCTCGGGAATGAATTCTGTAGATCCAGCGAAAGCAACGAAGGAACAGGCGATAAGGCCCCAGTACATACCTCTGTTCTCACGAATCGATTCACGGAATGGTCGACCTTGGTAGTTGATAGCGAAAGTGGACACTTGCTGAATGAGCTGCATGAGGTAGACCGCTGAATTGAGTAGAGAAGGCTCAAACTCTCCTTCCAGATCGAGTTCATCGCTGGGAGGAACGATACTGTACACAACCCTTGAGAGATAAATGAGGGTCGCACAATGTACAGCGAATTGGCCCAAGACTGATCCGAGGATGTACATGTTGAGGATGTTCGGTTGTGGTCGCTCACGGGACAATGCTTCGACAGACTTGGCTCGAGAGATCGACAAGAAACAGACAGACATTAGCATGCCTGATATGGTGACTTGCCCGTCACCAAACTTGATACCAGCAAGATATATGACCGACAGAGAGTAAGCAGAGATTAAGCAGTTGAGAGCTAAAATTTTGTACATCTGAATGGTGGCCACAAGGGTACAACGACCTTGACGGATGATGTTTGGAATTGCAATGACGTTGGACAGCTTGCTGGTGAAAGGCGCTGCCACTGAGGCATCACCTAGCTTAATGGTTGGTGGCTCGCTCTCGTCAAGCTCATTCTCCATCATAGCACTGGTGAGCTTGTCAGCCCATCCAGCAGCCTTCTCTTGTGCTTCTTGAGCACGCTTCTGCTGGGGAGTCAGGTTTTGGTTGGCCTGTTGCAAGGCCTGAGCACCAGGAGAAGTGATTGTTTCGACTGAGCCATTGCCTTCCTTTGCAGCGCCATTCTCAAGAACAACACCTTTCTTCTCCGCAATTGCTTTCATAGCAGCCTCGTAATGTGGATTCTTTGGTCCTGGTGGGTACAAGTGTGCGATATGCTTGGGTACTGGTGGCTCTGGTTGATTGAATCTCTTCATCATAGCGCATTGTTTCTCATAGACAGACTTCATTTGGTTGTTCCTCCAGTGCTCACCAATCTTGCTGAGGACTTCTTGAGTACCATTCAGTAGGGCAACACCGATATGTGCTTGCTTCAACGCGCCAACGTCATTCGTACCATCACCACACATGAGCGTGGTGTAGCCTTGGTCCTTGAGGCCAAGCAGAATTTCTTCCTTCTGCTTTGGAGAGACGCGGGCATAGACCCAAGTGTGGCGTAAGAGCTTGGGTAGGGCTTTTTGACCTGTAAATTTAGACAAAGCATATCCGGTAACACACAAATCTTTGGTTTCGATGATTTTCGGGTCCAGATCAGCAGTTGGATCCACAGGTATGGTGGTCTTCTCGTCGACACTACGCCATACTAAGTTCTTGCCAGACGTGTCATTTTCTGGAGCGTCCAATATCAAGCAATCTCTATCCACAATCTCGACTTGTTTAGCAACATGTACCGCTGTTAATGGATTATCACCAGTAATCATAACCGTTCGGTGGCTGCTTTCGTTCAGCATCTGTATCGACTTTAATGCATCCTCTTTCAGAGGTGTTTGTAATACGAGAAACCCAGCAAACTGAAGATTAGACTCGACATCTTCACGTTTGAGGTCATTGATTCGCTTTTGACCAAGCTCATCCATGGCCAAATATTTCCATGCTAAAGCCAGGACACGGAAACCATTCCTCGTGAAGTGCTTGAAGGTCTCCTCATATTTGGGAGGTGTATCTTTCAGCATTCCACGGATAGTCTCCGGCGCTCCCTTGACGCCCACAAAAGTGGCTTTTGCTTTTCGACCGTCGGTAGGATGTGTAAAGGTAGTGATAGCCACCGAACTCTGTCGCTTCAGCGCTGAAGAGAATTGGAAACGTCTCTTGATCTGAACGACATGGGTAGGATTTTGGTTGGCTTTGGGTCCTTTAGGAGGATTACTGGTCAATGTATCATTCTTCCCTAAAGTCCAGTTTAAGGCGTTCAGAGTAGCCTTCTCCATGGGGTCACCGACTATATCTCCTTCTTCGAGCCTAACCAGGGCATGGGCTGAACCAAGGACAAGCATAGTGTGTGCAGGAATATCGCTGACCTTAGTAACATCGGTTTGCGCACCATCAGCTTCGGCCTTAGCATCTGCTTTATCTAGCGATAGACCTGCGATACCATCAACGACTAGATCTTCACCTGTCAGAGTGCCTGTCTTGTCGAAGCAGGCAACATCTACTCGACCTGCAAAGGGTATCCTGAAAGGTTCCGTGCAGAAAATGGCAAAGCGGCCGAGCGCAGCTAACGAAGTGTTGACAGCCAGAGACAGCTCCATAGGCAGTTCAGGTGGGACTACGCTGGTGACGATCAAGATACAGTCGAGTAACAGCTTAGAACGTTTCCTGTCGTTCTTAACACCTTCTTGCCAGACGTACCACGAGGCAGCTAGAGCAAAGACCAGAAGGAACAGAATGAACCACAGAGCTTCAACGTTGTTCGCTGAAACACGTTCAGTAGAAAAGATCATGGTCCGCACCAAGCTTCCTTGGCTAGTTTCAAAGCCAGTCTTCAGGACGATAGCCATTGCACCCTTGTCTGGTGGAGGAGGAACACCATTGCTCAATTGAGAAACGTTTTCGGATGAGTCTTCGGAGACGTTTGGATGAGTAATCTGTAACACCTTGGTGCCTCCATAGAGAAAGGCATTCTTATCGAGGCCCTCGGGGTCGATTGTCGCGTCTGCTGGGCGGAGTTGAATTGACTCCTTGAGTAGTGGTGTGCTCTCACCGGACAGCATAGCTTCGTTCACGATAGCCGTACCCTCGATCAGAAGCATGTCACAAGCTACACCAGAATCTTCCTGGGTACGATTGGCAGAGGCCAGATCACCTGGTAACAATTTATCGCTTGTGGTCTCGGTCCATTTCCCGGCTCGGTAGACCCATATATCGTAAGGTTTGATACTCATGCCTCGAAACTCGTTGAGAGTCCTCTGTCTTTGCCACACCACGGTACTCTCAAAGGCGACGAGCATGAACAGGGTAAACAGGGAGTAGTACCAATAGTCATCCAGCAACCAGAGACCAACACAAAAGATCTGAAAGATGAAAAACGGGGCAACAGCATGCTCTTTCCAAAGCTCGGTAAAGGTAGGCACGGGGATATCGAATGTATTGTCGCCATAGTGCTTGTGAATTTCGTCAACCTTTGTCGGAATGATAAGTCCCTTGGATTCCTGAAAGAAGCCGATAGTTGGCTTTTGCTTCGCATCCAAGATATAGGTAAGAGGCGCGAAAGTTCCGGTAGTAGCCGAGTATACAAAACGTCTCTTCTGAAATAAGAAGGAGGTCTTGGTCTTTGAACCCTCCTTCTCCCGCTCAATCTTGCATATGCCAGCGGCACCAGAGTTCTCAATAGGTATGATCTTGATCAGACTAGCATCATCAACAGAACTAGCCTTGACGCACGTGAAGGCGGTGTCGAGGTTGACGCTCCATTTGGTGGACAGCCAGGCAAGGGCTTGCAAGGAACTGATTGTGGCAACCCACACAAATGTCCATTCTTGTCCATCTATGTAATCATCGTATCGATCCTGGTCGAAGTAGAGAGCACAGAAGATTGGCCACAGGATTGTAAAAGGCCAGACGTAGAGTCGTAGGTAGATCGGCAGTGGATTGTGCAGGCTTGCTCGTTGTACCTGATCGTTGTCGACCAGCCGAGGACTAAATGCACTATGTTAGACACTTTTCGTATTATCTGAGTGACGATGTATTCACCTGTCAGAAGCCATTGCGCCGGTATGTGAGCCTCAATTAAGAGGTCCTAGGCGCAAAGATGTTGTCAGGCAAGTGCAGAATAAAAAGTGTAGAGTCCACGGTCGCAACTGCAAAACCACACGTAGCCAGTCCGCCTGCATTGTCCCGGCTCAAATTCGGTCGATAATGCCACTACATGTCTGAGACCAATCACAAATATTTACTTTTGAGGACTTCGTTTGCGAGTCTATCAACATTTTTGTAGGCCTGTACAAGCCGTGATATTAAAATAAACTTGATATAGCACTTCTCGCAGCATTGAACACAGGAGACCGATTATTGTCCATCCTTCCGAGAACACAAAACCCCTCTTAGTGGCTTATCAAACTGAGGAATGCGTGTGCACGTGACAGACTGTCCTTGACTCATTCTCAACAGTTCTCGTACTTTCATTTTCCTCTTCCTGCTCCTTGGGAAGAACGATCATAACGATGACGGAGCCTAACGGCAGTCCGAGCTTGACAGAGCAGGTCAAGGACAAAGTTGCCGAAGCACTACCAACAAGATCCAAGAAATCCGAGAAGAAAGATAAAAAGGCGGCAGAAAAGGCAGCTAAGAAGGAGCAATATGCCAAGGAAGGAAAGGCTACAACGCCCAAACAGCCTGTGAAGCCCGTCAACGATGAACCAGCCGTGGTGAGGGACCCTGATGCTATGTTCAAGGAGGGTTGGCTGGACGAGGTCAGGAAAGAGCGGCCTTCACCAGATGTCTATACCCGTTTTCCTCCTGAGCCAAATGGCTACCTTCACATTGGCCACAGCAAAGCGATCGCTATCAACTTCGGGTTCGCCCGTTATCACGGTGGCAAGTGTTACCTAAGATTCGATGACACCAATCCTGAAGCTGAGGAGGAAAAGTTCTTCACTGCCATTGAAGACATTATCAGATGGTTAGGGTTCAAGCCGTACAAGATCACATATTCTAGTGACAATTTCGACAAACTCTACGATCTGGCCGAGAAGCTGATCCTCAAAGATGGGGCTTATATGTGTTACTGCAATGATGAACAGATTAAAGATCAGAGAGGCGGGACCGATGAGAAGAACAAACATCCTCGATATGCTTGCGAGCATCGGAGCCGCCCAGTTGAGGAGTCTCTTGCAGAATTTAGAGCGATGAAAGACGGCAAATACAAGCCTAGAGAGGCGTTCCTCAGAATGAAGCAGGACGACTTTCAGAACGGTAACCCTCAAATGTGGGATCTAGCGGCATACCGCATCATTGAACAACCTCACCATCGAACAGGTAGCAAATGGCGGATATACCCAACTTACGATTTCACACACTGTCTATGTGATAGCTTCGAGGGCATCACGCATTCACTTTGTACTGTCGAGTTCATCAATTCCCGAGAATCATATGAGTGGCTGTGCGATACTGTCGAGGTCTATAAGCCTATGCAGAGGGAGTATGGACGTCTCAACTTGACCGGCACGATCATGTCCAAGAGGAAAATTGCACGACTCGTAAAAGAGAGTAAGGTGTTTGACTGGGACGACCCTCGATTATATACCTTGGTTGCGCTCCGCCGACGTGGTGTACCTCCTGGTGCGATATTGTCCTTCGTCAATGAGCTGGGTGTCACGACTGCGAGATCGAATATCCAAACTGTGAGGTTCGAGAGCTCGGTTCGAAAATATCTTGAGATGACAGTCCCTCGTCTAATGTTGATCATCGACCCAATCAAGATCATCATCGACAACTTACCGGACGATTACGAAGAAGAGGTTGAGAATGGATTTGGTCCTAAGAGCGTGGACATGGGTACACACAAAATGCCATTTACAGGAACAGTGTATATCGAGAGGGACGACTTCCGAGAAAATGCAAGCAGCGACTTCTTCAGACTCGCTCCTGGTACCGCGGTCGGCCTGCTCAAAGTGACCTATCCGATCACATGCACAAGCTTCAAGAAGGACGATGCTACTGGATTAGTGTCAGAGATTCACGCCACATATGACAGACCAGCTGAAGGCGAGACATTCAAGAAACCGAAGGCGTATATTCATTGGGTAGCTGAATCTCCCAAACACTCTTCGCCTGTGAAGGTCGAGGCTCGGGTCTTTAACTCGTTGTTCAAATCAGACAACCCGGAAGCTGTTGAGCCAGACTTCATGGCAGACATACGAGAAGACAGCCTGGTGACGTACCCAAATGCACTAGCAGAAGTTGGCCTGAATGAGATTCAGCGTCGAGCACCGTGGCCCGAAGAAGCCGGTGAAGCCAATAGGGAGGTCAAGCCAGGACCCGAATCAGTCCGATTTCAGGCAATGCGGGTCGGTTACTTCTGCATGGACAAAGAGTCGACAACGGAAAGACCAGTTCTCAATCGCATAGTAGGCTTGAAAGAAGACGCTGCGAAGAATGCTTGATGTCGTTTTGGTTGTGATGGTTAGCGAATGATATGCATGGCGTAGTGATAAGGCTTCGTAGGTACTGCTCAGCCGTCAAGAGAATAGGGACGACGACACAATGAGCAAACGATAGAAGCAAGACTACTTCGTTGACCATGATGACGACCAATATATTGTGCTTGTCGCAATATCTAACACTCTTCATCGCCCTGAATGCGATAATTGTACCTCTAAAATAGTAAAATGACGTACGATATCAGTAGCGGTTACAAGGTTGCCGCAAGCCTAACGGCCAAGGTATCTCTACCTGCAGCATCCCAAGCATAGGCAACGGCCTTCCGCTCACACTCTGTGCCATTGTCTAGTTGTTAGTTATCACTGTTTACTCTAGCATACATGGGCCTCACAAAGTCATGTCAGGAAGGACCCTCGGCGGAGGTCGCATAGGAAGTGGTCGTTCTCTTGGTCCAGCGCCCTCCGCCTCGAAGCCACCACTACCTGTTCCCGACCATGTCCTCTCCCCTACGGATAGCAGTGCCTCGCAAGATGGATCAGGCAGTGGACATTCGACTCCTCCTCCCTCAGAGCCCCAAGACATCGCGTCCCGCATATCACTAGAAAATGGCCATCCCACCCTTCCATTGGTACCGCCATCTGGCGATCGCCTGGCATGCCCCATCTGCAGCGAGGAGATGGTCACTCTCCTCCAGCTAAATAGACACTTAGACGATGCACATAGAGAAATAGAAGATCGGCAGCAAGATGAAGTCAAGGACTGGTTCAAGCAGCAAATGAACAAGGCCAAAAAGTTTCAACCACTTGCTGTACTGAATCAGAAACTCAAAGGCCTCGACGTCTTCGAGTCTAACGACGAGGTTGCACGAAGTAGTACTCCTACACCTCGAAGAGAATCACATACACCTACTCAGAGAGCTAGATCCGTATCACCTGTTCCACCGCCCAAGGCCGCTCCTGCTCCGCCTGATCCAGACGATGTGGTCACTAAACAGCACTGGCAACGACGGTCTGGGAACGATATCTGCTCAGATCCTATCTGTGGAAAGAGATTGGGTGGCACAGCTAACGGTATTGTGAACTGCAGGCATTGCGGCAAGTTGTTCTGCGACGAACATACCATGTACCAGATGAAGCTGTCTAGATCGGCCCAGCACGAGCCAGTAAGAGGGTTTTGGTGTCGAGTTTGTGAGACGTGCTACAAGAGTAGGGATGGCTACAACGACAAGCATGGTACAGAGAGAGACAGACACGAAGTCTTCTCACGTTCTAGACAAGACACAGTGGGCAAGCGAAGCATGGAAGTCTCAAGACTCGAGAAGCGCCTCTCGAGATTAACACAACTTCTTGCCAACCCTCCAGAAGAGCTGCCTCAACCGAACAGGCGATGGTCCCTAGCAGCATGGGGTCAGAACGATTCGAAGAAACTTCTCGAGCAGACTGTCGTTGGTTGGGAAAACGATGCCGATGTCCTCCGTTGTCCATACTGCCAGCAAGATTTTTCTCAGTACACATTCAGAAGGCACCATTGCAGGACTTGCGGCAAAGTCGTCTGCGGGGATCCGACTACAGGTTGCTCTAAAGTCCTAGGCTTAAATGTTGCTACCAGTAAGTCCTCCGTTCTCCATGTGCTTTGCATATCGCTGACGTACAAGCTAACGTGAATGCCTACCTGACAGAAAAGCCTCCTCCCCAAGATACTGTCGCTCTTGACATTCGCTTATGCAAGGACTGTAACAACACTCTATTCTCACATGCAGATTTCCAGGACTCATTGACCTCGCCAGCAATCGCGACTTTCAATCGAGCGTATGACAATCTACTAGAATTTGAACGAGGTATTCGCCTTATGCTTCCGAGATTTCAAAAGCTGCTACAGGCATTACAGGACCCGGAAGCGGCCCCTACTTCGACCCAAATTGCCGACGCGTCACGAACTCGAAAGCGCTTGATGGATGCATTCACACAGTACGACACCGCAGCTCGCCGAATTCGAGATATGCCCAGCATATCTCCTACTCAACTCAAGCTGCAGAAGGCAATATACCAGAACGCAAGTCAATTCCTGCATCTACACATGCTTCCACTCAAAGCACTTCCGAAAATTCTCAAGCACGCGACACCGAACGGCGATAGTCGTGCCAACTCGCTCGCGCCACCTGGACCATCACCATTACAAGGTGGACCTAGAAGTCAGAGTGCATTAGCATCCATCCGATACAACCATATGCGCAACGACTCATCGTCCAATATCTCCTTGTCATCTGTGACTTCCTCACGTATCTCCGAACTTGAAGCAGAAGAGAAATCTCTGCGAGAACGTCTCATTATTCTTGAAGAGCAGAAATTCATGGTCCAGGAAATGGTAGCAGACGCTAACAAGCGGAGGAAATTCGACGAGGTTGCAGCTCTAGCTGGAAATATTGAAGACCTCAGTCGAGAAATAGATGGTATTCAGGGTATGTTGGACAACATGGATTTTGAAGGGGCGTATCGCGAAGCTGGTACACAAAGACCCGGTAATGGGTTGGGTTCCGGTGTTGCTAGTCCTGCGAGGCGTGAATCAGGTCTGATCATGAATCAGAGGCAGCCGGAGCAGGCGAAGGATGGTGGCAATGGATAGACATTACTAGGTCCAGTCAAGCATGTTTCAGTAGTGTGTGAGGAGGTTCGAGCCGCCTCTTGCTTGGAAAGCTCTGGTTACACATTCAACTTAGCTGACGGGGTTCTTTGCGGTTGCTGTATAGCGAGTATACAGTACCGAACACGCTTTCAAACCCTTCGTTGGTAGTCAGATGCAGTTCCTGCAACCGGCGCCACAGGCCTGGTCGCGCTTGCCATACTGGGATAACTCGATTCGTCAGCCACTGATGTAGGCGCCGATTGGCGTACATCACTCTTCGTCAGCTTCTCGTCTTCGAGATACAAGCCCAATGCTTCGAACCATACAAGGACGATGTACTTCTGCAACTACTGTGACTCTTCTTCATGTCTGTCAAACATGCTTGGCAGCAACAACGTCGTAGCGATTGTATTGATCATAGTCAATTCCAATACAGCCCTCTGCAAAATGGTAAGAATCTGATCCGTGTACTTCAAATAAGGCCAGACTCTTTTGACCCAGTATGTTGCACTTTGAAAGAAATACAGATTGGCTCGACTACATTGGTTCCGTACACATGTCTATCATACACCTGGGGGCCGGACGAGCCCGAGCTTTCCATGTCAGTCATCCATATTGATGGGGAACCAATGCGTGTCCGAGACAATCTTCACGATTTCCTCATTTGCGCCGGTTCAAAGTTAAAGTGTTTCAAGACCTGGTGGTGGATTGATGCAATTTGTATTGACCAGGAGAATGTCGTGGAGAAGAACGATCAGGTCCAGAAGATGGGCGAGATCTACCGGAGTGCTGAGTCGGTTATTTCCTGGCTGAGCTGCAAGTCATTGGGAGAGTTTCGAAATGACCTTGAGCTGATGCGGCAGTATATGAATGAATACAGACACCAGTACAAAGTGAAGACGACACAGGACGAGGAGGACGACTGGGAGTCGACTTCTGGTGAGGAAGATGAGGGTGATGATATACTTCCATGGCAGCAATATTTCGCACGAGATGAGAATCTCACCATCGACTTCATTGTGCTACTGGCTCATGCAATGGCTAACAACTACTGGAAGAGAGCCTGGATAGTACAAGAGGTTCGACTGGCACGCAAGAACTATGTCTGGGCCGGTGATGCAGAGATAGAGCTTCAGCTGTTAAATGACCTACATTCGTGGGCTAGAAGAGCTGTCAGCTTCTGCGAGAGGGGTGGTGACAGCCACAGACTTCGCGCACGATGGGCCGATGCCTTAGGCTACGGATCGCTCGTGAAATATTTGCATTCCGACCCGCGTTTGCCAGGAGCTCGCCATCACAGACGCCTCATTGATCTGGTACGCGACTATTCTGGTGCAGAGTGCTCGGAAATTCACGATCGGGTATATGCACTTCGTGCTCTTGCCACCGAAGGTACCGATATCAGAATCGACTATGCTCAAAGCTGCACGTCTCTGCTTTTTGAATGTCTCTGGGCACAACGGGTCGATATTTGTTTATGCTCGGCATCTGTACTGATGGATAGGCTCGAACTCAAGGAGTACCCAGACCACGACATGATTGCTCTCTTAGCTGCGAAGAGTAAGATCTGGGAACCTCCCTCCCCCCTGAGTCAGCCCTACTTTGAGATCAAGTTCGAGGGTCGACGCCTGACTAGATCTCCATTGAGCATGGTGCCCGATTGCGAGATTTCGTGGTCCCTTACAGAAACCACGAAATACTGTATAGCTCTCGCCTGCCAATGCTCGTCAGCGTATCTACCCAAGTATTGGATACACCGTGCTGGATATGTTGTGTGTCTCGGTGGACGTATGTCCTGTGGTCTCAACATACCAAGCAGACACTTGTTTTTGGACGCAGTTGGACAGACGGATGATGCCTACCATTCTGGTAAGAACGCTAAGGCACCTGTCTACACTGTGGAGTTTGTGGATTCTTTGGAAGGTGAAGGTATATACGGGGCCTCGCTCGTGCTAGACAAGGTGGCTAGTCAACAACAGGGGCAGAAGAAGCCTACCCAATCGTGTAGGTTGCGATTAACTGCACCAGCACTGATGGCGCTTATGAGGCATCGAGGCAAAGTGCCGGCTGATTGTGAGGGTGGCAAGGACATAGAGTACAGAATCCTCTTCGACTTTGAGCCGGCACGACATGTTCCGTCTGAACTGTACCTGGCCTAATCACAACTTTTAAATAGGTGAAGGAGTGGTATATAGGAATACATACGCTAGAGAAGTCGAAACGAGTCGAGGTCGTTGCGGTCGTAGACTGTTTTCTCGCCATCTCGACCTCTCTTCCACTGCTTCGGGGCCTTTTTCCGAACCATATAGGCTGCTTGTCGTCTGAAACGATGTCAATCTCGACAGGAGAATCGTAGCCTAGTGCTCGACCACAACAGTGCTCAGTAGTTCATGGCAGCAGCCGTTCACTGGGCGTTTTCCCTGGCGCTGAACTGTTTGGCTGATCTGCATCGTGTGGTATAAATTTTTCACATTATCCTAATCGCATAGATGTGCGTGCTAAGACCAGAACCTGCACCAGACTAAGCTTGCGAAGCACACTGCACTTGGAGCGTCTCGTGCAAGAACATGCGCTGCTCGTCCCTGTTCGTGATCAGCCGGAAAAGATTGCCGTGAAATGTGCTTGTTCGAATCACGCTAAGTAAGTCGGCAAAGTAGAGTCCGACAAATTTCTGGGAGAAGATGCGAGTAGCTCATGCGATCATTTCTTGCCATAGACACATCGCCATCAAACCACACTCCATTCAACAGCCAACGCACCTGCCTCTATCTCAGTCCTCGAGAAGCACAGCAACAATGTTTCGAAGACAACTGTTACAGTCTAGCCGTGCTGTCACGCAGAGGATAACACAAATACCCCGAACACAACAGATAACATCATCGCCGTTCTCATCTCTCAGCTCAAGATCAGCTCGAATCGCACAACCTGCACCATCATCACAGACCTGGTCGCGGAGATGGCAGTCGACAGAAGCCGCCAAGTCAGAAGAGTCGAAAGACAGCAGCGACACACAAGCAGCACCCCAATCATCAGATGAGGTAGCAGCATTAAAACAAGAGATAGAAAAGAAGAACAAGGAAGTAATAGACATGAAGGTATTCGCTACTCATCCATTCACCATCTTCCACTCTACAATCTCTCCTCATATCCAAGATACTAATCCCCCCTCTCCAGGACAAATACCTCCGCAGCGTCGCCGAATACCGCAACCTCCAAGACCGCACCCAACGCGACAGCGCCAACGCCCGCAACTTCGCCATCCAAAAATTCGCAACCGACATCCTCGACAGCATTGATAACCTCGACCGCGCCCTGGGCTCTGTCCCCGAAGCCGCCGTCTCCTCAGACGGTAACCCCGACCTCCTAAACCTCTACAACGGCCTCCGCATGACGGAGAAGATCCTCATGCAAACGCTCGAAAAGCACGGGTTGAGTAAATACGACCCGTTGGAGAGAGAAGGAAAGAAATTCGATCCGAATTTGGACGAGGCAACGTTTTTTGCGAAGCAGGAGGGACGGAATGATGGAGAGGTGTTTTATACGCAGCAGAAGGGGTATACGTTGAATAAGAGGGTGATTCGGGCGAGTAAGGTGGGAGTTGTTAAGAATTCGTGAAAAAGGAGATAGAAAAAGGAGGTGTTTGGTTCAGTAATGAAGATAGATTACGGCTCGCATGAGAGTATTTGAGGTTGGGATTTGATGCTCTCGGCCAGTGGTAAACACAACACCCGTGTCGCTTCGATTGCGGTACTTCACCGGCTGTCGAACTTGATCCTCTCACTCTAGACTGGTGGTATTTTTGATAATGATTTCGCTATCCGGAAAAGTTATGGGTGGTGGCATACGGGAGTCTCGAAATCTAAACACTGCGATCATGGCTGTTGTATATGATGTATACTTACACTTATTTGGTCTCCTCTCTAAGATAATGGAAATTCGAGACAGATATGGAAATATTATTAGGGATCCACAAGTGGAACTGATCATAATGACATGCAGTATCTCTGCAAAGAATGATGCTGGCTAAATGCTTTCATGAGTAGGTGCCTACTTATCTACCTGCATATTGTATCGTGGCTGCGCGACAGGTCTAGCTCCGACCATACTCCGGGTAGTGGTCGAAGAAAAACTTGAAAAGGAACAGTATGCATGCCATCATCAGAAGCATGCAAGCGGTGAACGTCTGCAAGTAACGCTTACTGTAATCCGCAAGTCGTTCTCCTAAACTGTGAGCCCAAGCCTCCACTCGATTGACTACCTCCCAGCGCTACTGGCCGTTTCGTGCAGCCTGTCCTGGACCAGTTGCGACGGGCACGGCGTTCGCTGAGCTCTCTTCCAGAATTGGCGCGAGTTCAGGCTCTATCCATGATGGAAAGACGTTTAGCAAGTAAGGCGCAGGTGTTCGCCATACCTCGAGAGCCAGAAGATGATCCTTCTAGTTTCGGTCTGGCATACTGGTGTTTGGTACTCTCTCAGCATCGAGAACGTCGAACTTGTTATCAGTGCTCACGTCTGCTCCGCTGCCAGGATGTTGGAGATTGCCTGCCGCTGCGACACCCTCTGCACTGGTCTTGTTGAAAGTTTGCTCTGCAACTCTACCGGGATCATGCTGGCCACCTACATCACCGGTGAAGGTTTTTGTCTGTGGGATGTCACCTTCCGTGAGGTTCTGACCCTTCGGCTTCTGCTCGCCTTCACTTCGAATTGCTCCGGATACTGTGGCGGCATAGTTTGGTGCTGTTCCAGCACTGCTGCCTGTGTTACCTGAGCTTCCAGCGCTTCCAGATGTAGTGCCTGCGGACGTCGACGAGCCACTTGTTGAGCTCTTCTGAGCCGACACCTGGCTACTGGATTGTGGACCAGAAGAGATCTCAGATGTGTTACCAGACGACGAGCTCGTCAAGCCAGCTCCACCGTCAGCGAAGCTGTCTCCTGTTGCACCACTAGGTAGTCCTCCTTGTGTAGTCTTGGGAGCACTCGAGGTACTGGTTGGACCACCGCTGTAACCCTCTTGGTCATGTGTACCACTGAACTCAGCTTTTCCTGCTGACTCCAACTTCAGTCCGGTGACTCCCTTCTCATCTGAACCAGCGCCTTTAGCTTGCTGTCGTTCTCGTTCGTTGCCATCGATTGCAGGAGGAAGTGCGGTGGCACCCGACGTGTCTGTTGTGTTGAGTGTTGAGTTCGAGCCAGAGACAGCCATTACTGCTGCATTCTCGTTCTCAGAGAAGGCACCGCCTGACTTCATTGACTCGGCAGCCAAGGAGTCCTTGGCTACTGCTCCTGTAGACTCCTGAGGTGCCTCAGAAGGATGAGGTTGGTTTGCTTTTGGGTTACCCGCGAACGACATGATGAGTGACTGTTCTGGTATCTGGTACTGTAAGTATGAGTAGTATGCTAAGTATTATCGGCGAAGAACTAGGATATTGTAAGAATTGTTGTGAGTTTCAAGGTAGAGTTTGCAGAGTCTCAGATACTTCACAATATGTACTTCATTATTTCTATGACCGCTACTGCCCTTACTTTACCCAGAACACGATCGGCAAGTACGACCTGTTGACGCTCTTGAATCGTGTCGTGTGAGAAAGAACGATTGACGTCAGAAAAGGACATGACGCAGTGGTGGGAGGAGCTCCGATCACGAAGTTGGTGGGGCATGGATTTGAAGGGAGCAGTCGATCAATAGAGTATGCTCAAGTACTATCTGACTACTATGAAGTCTCGCACGGAATGCTATGAAGTAGGATGAATCAATTCGGATTGACATCATGGAGGAAGAGGGGCATGTAAGGCTCTGTTTCGAAAAGCCAATGCGTACATTTCGTTATCTCATCAGGCGACCCGTCGACGCGACCAACACGGCTTTACACGATGTTGAAGATCACAAGAAAATGTAAAGTCATGTTAATCAACGTTCAAGTGCCAAACGCCGTCTACCGCTGTTCTGTGTGTTTTCATACGCCTGAGGTCCAACTTGAGTTGACCAATTGAGAGTGCTTCCCATAATTAGACTGAGTGCAACTCCCATCATAAGGTCGAATCGCACTGGATCAAGCCAACATAAACTCAGGACTCTTCAGATCCACCCATCCAAGGTTCGGCTCACTCTGCTTCCACCCCAATCTATCCTGGACCAGCTTCGAGTAACCTCTTACTTCCTCAATCGAATACGACAAGAAGCTCACCTCCTCCTGCCTATGCACACCCGAGCATGAAAACATGGCGTAGACTATACGTCTCTCGCCCATACTCGAGGTATTCCCGCTTAGTGCTTCCGCGTACTCACCTCCACCATGATATGTGCTCCCAAGCATAATGAATGCTTCACCAACCTTCATCTCTGCGTTGACGACTGTCTTGTTAACATTACCAAAGTCCGGCTTGTCGTCCCCCCATAGATGCGAGCCTGGCACGACCCTCGTAGCCCCGTTCTTTCTGAACGTATCACATCCTGGCACGAACAAACCGAGTAGCATGTCGCGGCCATGATTGTATTGCTCAACAGCTGTATGTCGATGATGGTGATTCTTGTCGTCGCGATGAAGTCCTTGTGCAGGTGTTCCTGGTGGAATGGCAAACGTGATTGCGATGCTTAACAAGGGATGGCTCTTGCTCGTCCTTGCCTCATCACCATAGAACGTCGTTGTCTCGAGCGTAAGAAAGTGCTCACAAAGATTTTGATATAGTGGATCGGCATAGAACTTCTCTCGAACAGTTGGTGATCGACTAATTAGCCGGGTCACTGTTTGAGTATTCCCTGAAAGTGCTCCGACCTTTGCGCCATTGGTTTGAGCGTCTAGGTGAGGTCTGACTTCGGTGTTAGCTTGGTCAACCGTCTGCTTATCTGTAAAGTCAGTGATCACGAGGCAACCATGCTGCTCGAGGGCCTTGACGAAGTCAGAGAGTGGTTGGCTACGGTTCAAGCGAGGCAGAGTAGCCATGTCACACTGGATTCTTCACACATTTGGGACGTGTGATAGTTGTTGGACTGTAGCTGCTCAAATAGTGAGGATGGGAGCCAGGGCATCGACGAAATCCTCATGGTAACACGGAGATATGCGATTTCTCATGATTAGCACATGTGGGGCCAATGGATGATTGGTTCATTTCCACCGAATTTTGTCCACAAGAGTTACCTCAAAATCTCACCCTCAGAAAGAGTTCAGTCAATCAACTGTCGACGTCCAAGGAGGTTGTTCCAAGTGCATCTCCGCCAGTAGTGAGTAGTGGGCAATCTCAGGTGGTAACAACGACAGCTCAGAACAACCACGCGAGAAGTACCCGTGCTTTAAGACATGGTAGTGTAAACATTATTCTGATTGCTGACGCTGCGGTATTGCACTGAACGACTCAGTAACAGCCAGCAACATGTGCATCAGTGTCTCGTCTTTCGCATGTCTGCGCATATAGGGGACTTCGAAAAGCCACTACGCACATCGTCAGCCTTCCTCACCCCATCGTGTTCTTAATGCATTATACCGCCATGCTTCCATCCGGAAGGCAGCAGTACGCAGTCTATTTCCTCGCTAAAGTTTCCGACGTATAGAACTCACTCTGACCTACTTCAATGACCGTCGAGCGAATGTGGGTAGGACGAAAGCTGCTCGGTGAATGTCCTGGTTGTAGTATTTGCAGACTTTGTCTTCCTCCTCCTTAGGCCATGTTCGAAGTGGTTCCTTGAGGTTTCGCTCGCCGTCCTTGCAGCAGACCATGAAGCCAATCTGACCAGAAGGATAAGTTGGGATGGTGGTGTAGGCGTACTCGACGTTAGGGAAGACTTGTCGGCAGTCAGCCTTCAGCTTGGTGATCAGAGGAAGGTGAAGCCATTGGTTTTCAGCTGTCAAAAGTCAGTAAAATCGTAGCTCAGAATTTGGGGACGATTCGAGGATCGGATGGGCATGGGTCGTACAACCTTGTGTCGTGATGACACCACCTTCTTTCAAAGCGCCAAACAGTAGCTCAAAGTATGGCTTTTGAAATAGAGATTCAGCAGGTCCTTCTGGGTCGCTGCTGTCTGTGATGATGACATCGAACTCATTCTTGTAGTCTTCGAGGAACTTGAAGCCATCTCCAATGTGAACACTGACTGCTGGGTGCTGGAAACCAAGAGCCATTCCTGGTAGGTACTTCTTGCTGATTCGGATGACTGCTTCATCGATGTCACAAAGGATAGCCTGCTCTACTGTCTCGTGCTTTACAACCTCTCGAAGAACACCTCCGTCACCACCACCAATGACTAGCACCTTCTTTGGGTTGGGGTGTGAGTTCATGGCCAGATGTGTGATCATTTCTTGGTAGGAAAACTCATCTCTTTCTGTGCATTGAATGACATTGTCGAGGACGAGGACGGTGCCGTAATCGCTGCTCTCGAAGACAAGAACGTCTTGGTACTTTGACTTCTCGTGGTGTAGGACTTGGTTGACCTTCAAGGTCATAGCCTGGCCCGGCCACATGTTGGAAATCTCGCGGAACCAGCCATCTGGTCTTATTAGTATCACAGCCTAGACAGAGTGTAACGATAGTACCTTTGATGGTGGGGTGCTCGATTTCAGCCATCTTGTTTAGACCTTGTGAAAGTTGCTATCTGGTTCTTGAGGTGCGAAGGTTGGTAAGAAACTCGACTGCTATATGAATATCAATTGTTCGAAGAAATGGGACTACAATATTTTGAACCTGGAGTGAGTGAAAGAAGTGGACAAAAAGTGAAGCACAGTGTCAGTTTGGCAGCGTTTGCGTGTGAAGACGTGGCATAGCAATTGTCGACGTCAAGCAATTGAGTGCGACCTTAGCATAAATTTTGCCTTTAATCCAAGCCAATGCAAGAGCTGTCCCTTGCAGCAATAACAAAGCATGAAAATTTTGGTAAGAAGGGCACCTCTGTCAGTAGAATGATGTCGTGGGATTGGTTGAACACAACAAGAAGACCTTTCTCGTGGTGCTGAGCGGGCAGGTGCTGTGGACCCCGCAGACTATGCGGCCGGCTCTTCTTTGGGCAGCCGCATAACCGGCAGCTCCCGGTCTTCGACGAGCATAAGGGATATTATGGCAAGTACACAAGAGTTTCAAGGTGGAAGAAGAAAGGTAGAGGGAAGTACACTCAATGCTGTTGTGTGATTACTTGATTGTAGGCTTAGCCTGTGAGTACCAATTGTACCTCGACGTAAATTTTTATGAGTACTTTGCTCATACCTGCCGTAACGCTCATGTCCCATCAACGCCATTTTTATAGAACAGCCGCCGTCCACGCTGGCCGCACATCCCATAGGCACCTGTAAAAACATACATCATATCTCAAAACACTTATTCTTCCATCAGCTCAAGTGGTGGCCGCTGAGTGTGGGCCATCGGCGACTTGGCCTCGAAATCAAGTTCGACATCCGAGCCATCGTCTGTTTCGAGAGTTACAGCAGGCAAATTGGGGCTGTCACCATGCACTTTAGGGTCGTAGATAAGTGTAGAGCTGCGACTGCGCATCCTTGGGGTGCCGCATAGAGGAGAGAGGCCATCATCTGATACACCCGAGAGTGCACGTCGATGTTGTGTTGTTCTTATTTGTGCCAACTCCTCAGCGGTGAACTGTGCATGTCCCTCAATTGGCGACTCTGGGTTTTCGATCTTGCCAGTCAGCTTAGAGAGCTTTGAAGCCAGATCATCTGCGTGTACATCTTTATTGGGCGCGTCCTCCATCTTCGATTCCCAACCAACAGGGGGGCTTGGTGGAGGGCTAATGAAGAAGAGCTTGCCAGCATCAGGTCGTTCCAAATACTTCTTCTCGTTGTCAATAGGAGTGGGTTCTCCAAAGTAGCACTTGCATATAGTTGATGGCATGAAGGCTGTGGCATCAACTTCTTGCCGCACCTTGATACAATCTTGCTCTGAGTAGAACGAAACAATGATTCGTGACATAGATTTCAGTGGAGAGAAAGAGTTCAGTGGTGCTATTGAATTGATATGCTGTCTGATGGTTGCTAAGGAGGCAGGATGGAAGATTTTGGCGTCTGTTAGCCTGGTGATGAGAAGTGTATTCGATGGTGGGGCAGGCGAGCTTAGACCTGGCACGGAAGACAGATCCATGGACAATGGTGACCTTGATCGTTTCTTCGACATGGACCCAGGCGACGATGTCGCCGATACTGGCGGCGATACATGGAGACCACTGGTCTGAATGGGTGGTAGTTGGACTGCTACAGACATATCTGCTGACTGTGTGCTGGGTACTGGAGTTGATTGTACTTGCGGAATATCCTGCTCTTGCTCTTGTGATTTACTTGTAGAAGCTTCTGATAACGGTTTCGGAGTAGCCATGGCGAGAGTATTCTTTATATCAAAGGCTTCTAATGGTCAATGTTCGATCGATGCCACAATCAGTGGACGTAGGCCCAGTAACGAGGCGCAGCGAGTGGTAGAGAGATCAAGAATTGCCAATGTCAATGGCTATGATACTCATGCGAAGTGGTTTCGGATCAATTTCAGTGAAGTGGCACCGCTATGTTGGTACACAAGCAGAGCAAGTGGACGACAATCGAGCTCATCGTCTGTGCTGAGCGGTACAGTAGCACGTTCCTCTGTGTCCTCGCCATCAAATGCCGATGTCATATCTAGGCGGAGTCCTGGTCGCCTTATCCAGCCACTGAGGGCGCGCTGGTCGACGGATGACGTGGAACCACTGCAAGCTATAATTCGTCTGAGCCTCTTTGTATTGATCTTGGCCTGCATTTCAGCCAAGTCCAGGATCCGAGGATCGCATTTCTTCCGTTCCTTCTTCGTTCTACTCCTTCTGCCAGCATATTGCCATAGAGGCTGAGTAACCTGTTCCCGTTGCCTTTTCTATCTGACTGTAATTGGTCTGCCTATTGCCCCTTTAAACGTCGGTATCCTTCGCCGAAATGTGCGGTATTTTCAGAAAAAGAGAGCGTGGAAGCACTGCCTTGACTTGGCCATGGTCTCTCACCAGCATAAAAAGGAAACGGCATTAAATTTCTGCACCGATGTAGAGATAATGAGCATGATTGCAAAAGGGGCAGGTTTGAGGTAGTGTATTCTATTGAGTCTATCTATGTATTGTCTAGACTATGCTGTTTCAATGCGATTGCAATGATGTGACAGCGGCACCTCTGTGTCTGCTACGGACAGATTCGACTCGGACCTTTTTCTCATGCATCCGTGCTATGCAACATCATCGCTAGTCAGTGGTGAAACCGATCTATCAAGCCTAAATCATGGTTGCCCGCTTTGATCTTGAGGAACACGATTCCATGCCCTTCATCCTGTGACACTGCTGGTCGTCACGACTCGGGAATACTCAGGTGGATGCCAGTCAGCAGTACCGTCGACGTGCACCGCTGCTGCTGCTGCAATGGAAGGAGGTTCGGTTGTTGTAGGTGAGGCCATGGCGGCATAAGCGGCAGCTGCGAACGTGGGGGTGAAGGTAGGTTCGGGTTGAATCGTGCAATCAGGGACTGCGCGCTCAGTGCCTGCACAAAGCTTTCCGAAAATAAAGAACTCGAAGCAGAAGCATGAGCAACAATCATGGGAGTCTTCGCTAAGAGGTTGTCAGCTTGAAAACTCATCTTAGTGGATTCCAGACCAGCACGCCGAGCGGACAGCAATATCGATCGAGGGGGTTATTTACCAGGGCCACCATTGACCAATACATTGTGAAGCTTGAGGCTGTGCTACTGCAAGAACATTGGCTGGGTTGGAGTTTGTCACTGAAGGAGTCTCGACAGCATTCTCGTTGACAGCAGTGATAGGCGACGCAACAGTGACTGCAAGATGTTAGCGTATCGCTCATTGGGATGGACCCCTGATGGCAGTGAGGGTCTCTTACCTGTCAAGAGCGCTGCGAAACCGAAAACGAGGCTGTAGGCCTTCATTTTGTCTGAGTGACTACGACTGTCAGCGAGACTGACACAAACTCTGGCAGCAGCAGCAGCAGAGGCCGCGATAGCTTACAGATGTGTATTTGGTTTTTGATGGATGGTATCGTGTAAGTTATGGCAGTGACGACTGAAGGAAAGTTGCGACAAAACACTAATCTTCAGGAAAATATCTGCAGGGCGAATGTGTTTATACCTTGGTGGGAAAGGTTTTGTTTGCTACCGATGATGTTGAACAGCGACGATACTCGAATGAAAGTCGAGTATCTGTTGACTCGAATGTCAAATACACTCTACATTAACGATCTAATGGTGAGGAAACACAATGACATATCTTTTTGACTTGCAGGCTTCCAGGTTCGGGGTTGTCTTGTGAATAAGTATACCTTCACTTTTCCCCCAGTGTACACAAGCATTTCCAGCAAAAAGACCAACACTCCAAGAATATGAACAGAAATTGTAATTCAATTCAATCGACAATTATCAAACAACCGACTACCATCTGATCTGTTTTGCCTACCTTGCCTGCCTAGAACGAAACTTCGTGGTACCTCTCATTGAACCTCGATGTGTTTTCTCTTCCTCGAGGATTACACTGCTTCCCGTAAAGTTACTATGAGTTCGTCCAGAGATGAGCTCAATCATGTACCGTGGTCATTCTGCACAGACTGCGCTGGTTGCCGTACTCATGATTCTTAAGGACCTGCTTTCAAGGGCTGTATGCTATTCCTCTCTGTCAGAGCGTGGTATAAATGTGCCGCCTGATGGTCATAAGTGGATTGCTGCTCGGCAAAATTGCCTCGAAGGCATCAGTATCGGTTGACCGACGAGATAACCTCTGAGCTTCTTACTTCGAGCGGTGTCAGTCACACTAAGCTGTAAGCCCGGTGCGCCTCATGGTCCTTGTCGTTGCCTCCAAATGAGCGAATGTTCGTACTATAAATACAAGTTGTTCGGGGTTGCGAAACTGCATAGTAGTATATCGCACATATTGGCCGAGGCTCAGCAAAACACCTTGATGCTCCTCCGCACCACGAACTCCAACAAATCATGCTTTCTCAATGTCTGGAGAAGTGACTGATGAGTGATCACTTTTACGACCGAGGAGAGTGATGCTCAACGGCGACGGCCAATGAGCCCGTTCGCCACGATCATATAAAGAGTCATGGTTTCCTTACGGGCGTTGCTGCTCTCTGCCCTGCAAGACTTTCTCATTGTCCGTGTATGCGCTTCGGTTCGCTACCATGGCTCCCAGTGCTACTACAAATGGCGACCAGAGCTATATCTACCCTCGTGTTGAACAAGTGCCAGTGAACAATGATTTCTACCTCAACAATCCCGACCCAGAGAACGATGTCGAAATACCTGATCATTTGTTTGGCTCTAAGCGTAAGCTCCGTGTGATCGTCCTGGGATCAGGTACATCGGGCATCAATTTCTTTAAATTCGCAGAGGACAAAGCGTCAAACCTGGACATCTGCTGTTACGAGAAGAACGAAGATGTAGGAGGAACTTGGCTGGAAAACCGTTATCCAGGATGTGCGGTGCGTAAGGTATCCCATTCCCAAAAAGGCCTTCTTACTGACACTGGTCGCTCAACAGTGTGATATACCAAGCGTAGTATATCAATTCCCTTGGAGGCCAGCAAAATGGTCGAAGTACTATTCGTATAGTCCAGAGATATGGAAGTACGTAAAAATGGTGGCCGAAGAGAACGACTTTATCAACAAGTATATCAAGCTTTCTCATGAGGTTAAGTCGCTTTCTTGGGACGAAGGGACTGGCCAATGGACAGTTGAGGTGGAAGACCTCAGGGCAGGCCGGACATTCAAGGACCATTGCGACTTCGTGATTAATTGCACTGGCGTTCTGAACAAGTGGAAATGGCCAGCAGGGATTGAGGGATTGCACAGCTTCAAAGGGCAATTACTCCACTCTGCACAATGGAATCAGTCAGTAGATCTAAAAGGCAAACGTGTTGCTCTAGTGGGCGCAGGCAGCAGTGCGGTGCAGATTCTACCTAACATATACGATAATGTTGAGAAAGTCTACACCTGGGTAAGAAGCAAGATCTGGATAACGGCAGGCTTCGCTCAAAAGTTCGCTGGCAAGGACGGCGCAAACTTCGAGTACAACAAGGAACAGCTCAAGCTTTTTGAACGTCCAGACGAGTACAAAGCATACTGCAAAATGATCGAGGGAGAACTCAATCAACGCTTCTCATTCATCATCAACGGCAGCAAAGCTCAACGCGACGCCGTCGACTTCTCCATGCAGGACATGAAATCCAAATTACAAGGCCGAACAGACCTCCTCGAGAAGCTCCAACCAGACAACTTCTTCGTCGGCTGCCGCCGTCCCACACCAGGAAACGGCTATCTCGAGGCCCTCTCCGCCGACAAGACCACAGCCTATGCCACACAACTCGAACGCATCACAGAAAAGGGCTTCATCGACCCCGACGGAAACGAACACGAAGTCGATGTAATCATCTGCGCTACAGGCTTCGACACAACCTACAAGCCACGCATCCCCATAATCGTCGACGGCACAGACATGCGAGACACCTGGGCAACCAACAACCCCACCGCCCCGGCCCCAACATACCTCTCCGTCGCCCACCCCGGCGTCCCCAACTACATCGTCTTCGCAGGCGCCTACTGTCCCGCCGCACACGGCTCCTTCTTCCCACTAATCCAATGCTACTCCGACTACGCGCTCCAAATCCTCTCTAAGATTCAAACAGAGAATATAAAATCTATACGTCCAAAACTCCGCGCGACACAACAATTCCTCCACCACGCTGATACCTTCCTCAAACGCACGGCCTGGACCGGTCCGTGTAGCAGCTGGTTCAAGGGTGGGAAGAAAGACGGGAAACCAGCCATATGGCCCGGATCACGACTGCATTTTCTGAGATTGCTAGAAAAGGTGCGTTTTGAGGACTTTGAGATTGAGTATATGGATGAAGAGAATATGTGGGGGTTCTTGGGGAATGGGTTTCATGTTTGTGAGAGGGACGGAAGCGATATTACGTGGTATCTGGGACGGCCGGAAGGGAGGGTTAGCGAGGATGAGATATTGGGTATCATGGACGGGACGAAAGGGGTTGAGATGAGGAAGTCGTGATGGTAATTTTTGCAGGGTGGTAAAGTTCTTGTTGAATTAACCTTGACATCGAATTTTGTGGTCACAGTCTGGGGTGGTCACGCGACCTTTTGCCTTTTGCGTCGAGTAGTATATCGAAGCCAGCCTCGGTAGCTCGGTATTGCAGCGAGCACTACTTGCTCTTGAGTTGAGGAGAGGATGCACACTACGCTTAACAGTAGCAAACTGATCTACGTATTCGATCCAACAATTTTACACTCCATGAGATTGCATCTTGGAAGTGATAGAAAATTCATTAGATCCGTACTTAGGTAATGAGACATTCCACCATGTGTATCGTGCTTCACCAGCACTCCTGCGTAACGACCTATCCTCGCGGTCGATCCAAGCGGACAGCGCAACCCAATTCTATAACAACGCCTTGCTTTTTGAATACGGTCCAAAGACGTATTCCAAGACCACCAACTCCAGAATTATGTGATATCGAGACTAATCCAAACCTTTCCACTGTCTATACAACTTCTTGTGCTGCTCAAAGAAGATCATGGTGAAGATTGTATGAGGCCCTAATCTGATGAAGCTCGGCACCCAACCTCTGAACATCCACAAGTACCCCTCCTTTTGCGTGGCAGACCTGAAGATCTCGGCGATGCTTTGTTTGTCTGCGCCACTCATGATACGTGTCTTGATCACGTCCACTGGAGAGCAAACCGTTGTGGCCACGAAGCCAGCACTTAGGGACGCGCTGAAGTGAGTGGTTATGTTGTCGCCCATTCCCATGCCCAGGAAGAACTGCTTGAAGAGGTCATAGGAAGCCAATTGAGAGGCGGTCATAAGCAGCGCACGAGAGGCATTCGCTTCCACTCCGCGAAACAGAGACAAAGGACCTTCTTCTCTGATCATGCGAATCAGGCCGTCTATTGCATGCTTGTAGTTTCTTCTTTCGGCTGGTGGTTTTGCAAAATCCGACTGCATGCGAACGTTCAGAACATCGCCGGGGTTTCCAGCTATACCACCCAAAAATCCTGCCAAGGACGACTGTAGTACCAAATTCAGGGTCGAAGGTTTTGGGTTAGGATTATCTAGGGTGGGCTCGGGCGCAAAACGTATCTTAAGGTCCTCGTAGACGCCAAAACGAACGGTACTGTAGGTAAGTTGGCGTAGTAGAGAGGCGCTCAAACCATTGTATAGACCCATCAGACCTTCATTTTTGAAAACGTGACCAAAGGTTCCGAGCATGGACTTTGGAGCATCGGGAGCGCGCGTTTGCATGCGTACTTTGACTAGGTCAAGCGGATGTGTAACAATGGCTGCTATAGCAGCAGCAGAGCCACCGAACCAGAATGGATAATGTATGGGAGGACTCCCTGATTTGGGCTTATTTATGACATCCTTGTAGGTATTCTTCTGTTCTTTCGAGGCAGGAGATAGAGGTGTGTTCGGTTTATAGGTCGACATGACTGTGTATCCATTTGTTCAAGCTGCCAGCAGCTCGAGCACTCGGTATCGACAGCTTTGTTTTAGAAGAGCAGTCTGAAGCTTTATAGGCTGTTGGGACTCAGAAAAGTCGAGAAAATCGTGCCGCAGGGGAGCTGCCTCGTCTTACTAACTATCGGAAACTGCCAGCCGTGAATGTCATCAGGCATTCACAGGTTGTGGCCGCGGCGTCATGTAGTCCAAGCCCGAAATCGAGAGGCTAGAAACGTTTCGAGATCTTAGCTGTGGACCTCCAAGCGACCGGTGTCGGTAATGTTTCCGACTTGTTTCCTGCTTCTACCGACGCGTAAAGTGTGCCCAATCATTGCAGCAAGAAATGCATTTCTGAGAGTTACAGCAGACCGTCACTGCTTGGTCGTTCCTTCCTTAGCTTTCCAGAGCCTCAGCTGCCGCTGCGCTGAAGGAAGCCGCAATGCGCCTGTCCAGTACAGGCGCTTTCCTCAGAGCTCTGCGAGATGCCCGCATAAAAGGTACACGTTATGTACCAGCTTCCTTGCTTCTTACTGTCAGATGTCAGAGGTACTTCGCTACCACACCACGATGTTTGAGTTCACCTGCAGCCTTCCCTGAGCAATCTGTCAGCCAGTCGAATGAGATCGATCCCAAAAAGACCCAAGCCCTGTCCGAAGAGAGCCAGCAGGAGAATAATCATGCTCAGTTTCTAGCTTCACAACCACAACATAAGATCATCAAGGATGCAGCAACCTCCAGGGCAGGTGTCAATATTCTGGGGCGTCCATATGTGTTTGATAGTACCACAAATGTGACAGAGTCTATACTTGGCCTTGTTGGTCGCAAGCTGTACGATACTCCAAACCACCCTATTGCTATTACAAGAAAGTTGATACAGAGTGTCTTCCGTCCACCTCGCTTCGAGCATCACACCGCTGCCGACCCTGTCGTCTCCACAAACGATAATTTTGATGTCCTTGGCTTCCCGGCAGACCACCCTGGCCGATCGCGAACAGACACCTACTACGTCGATTCCAAGACAGTACTACGTACACACACCTCAGCCCATCAACATGCTGCTTTTCGAGGCCTAAGGCACAGAGGAGATAGTGGCTACACCATATGCGCGGATGTCTATCGTCGGGACAGCATCGACCGTAGCCATTTCCCTGTCTTTCACCAGATGGAGGCTGCATGTGTGTGGAAGTTACGCCCACCTAAAGAAGGTATTCATACACGCCTACAGCAGCAGGACGCAAGAGCACATCACATTCGAAGTAACACTGAAGGAATACCGAGACACGATCTGGAAATAATCGACGAGGCAGGTTCCTACGATGATCAAACAAACCCTGTTCAAATTGTTCATGATCCAGACGAGGCGCAACTCGTTGTGGAAAACCTCAAGAGGAGTCTGGAAAATCTGGTACAGAAAGTCTTTGTGGCAGCCCAAGCTGCGCAGCCAGACGTCAAACACGAACCGCTTAAAGTACGTTGGATAGAAGCGTACTTCCCCTTCACCAGTCCTAGTTTCGAGCTCGAGGTCTTTTGGCAAGGCGACTGGCTCGAACTGTTGGGATGCGGCGTGACCAAGCAGGAGATTCTCGACAATGCCGGCCTCCGCGATCACATAGGCTGGGCGTGGGGTCTTGGTATCGAACGACTGGCCATGGTTTTGTTCGACATTCCAGACATCCGACTATTCTGGTCTCAGGACGAGAGGTTCCTAAAGCAATTCAAGCAAGGTCAAATTACACGTTTTAAGTCCTTCAGCAAATATCCACCATGTTACAAGGACATTTCCTTTTGGGTCAGGCCATCACCTGCCGCTGCGTCTCCCATTGGGGCGCAGTCTTCCTCCGGCGCTGCTGCAGCAGCTGGAGGCGACGCAACAAAAGCGTCCCCTGCCGATACTCAGCCCGCTGCTTTCCACGAAAACGACATCATGGAGATTGTACGTGACGTGGCAGGCACTCTTGCCGAAGACGTCAAACTTGTCGACGAATTCGTCCATCCGAAAACTGGAAAGAAAAGTTTATGTTATAGAGTCAATTATCGAAGTCACGAGCGAACACTAACTAATGAGGAGACCAACGACATGCATGAAAAGGTAACACGCAAGGTAGCAGAATTACCAGTCGAGATAAGATAGGTGGTCTTCATGCTGTATAATATAGCCAATCTTGTAGTTGGCACTGTATATAACACCACCCTCCATGTACAGTAATACAGTTCTACCCAACTCCAAGTATTGTCGGTTGGTAAGATCCCAACTTAGCTCCATTGATACACAGTAATGACATGGTTCTCATCACATCCTCCCTCATCAATCCCATCGCCTATTCATATCACACTACATACATCGTCTCATCAAACTTCGTCGCATCATATCATCTCATTCATCTCATTCACTCCCAGCTCCCAATCACGCACCAACACGCACCCCCACTCTCCCCCCTCTCACCGCCCCAACAGCATACCTCGAACTCGCTCCCCTCTCCGGTCTCCTCAGAGTATATTTCGCAAACGCCCTCGCCAACGCCTTCTTCGCACTGACTTTTTGACTCCCCACAAAACTGTCGACAGTGACTGCGATGGCACGGTCAATGTCCTGGCTGGTGCAGAAGTCGGACATGCGCATTTTGCAGAAGGATTCGGCGATGCGCATGATGGCTTCGAGGTGACGGACCTGTAGGACATGTTAGTGTGTGGTTTCAAGAGATGGGGAAAATTGTGCTAGGAGTAGGGATATGGTGACTTACGGTGATGGGATAGGCGCCCGTGGCTAGGGACTCTCTTCGCATGTCTGCGAATAATCTGGCGACTTTGTCTTGGTCGATTTGGTAAAGTTTTGGGCGACAGCGGTCGCGGGCGTAGAGGATGTATTTTCGTAGTAGTTCTTGTGGTATTGCGCCTTCGGTCACTGGCTCGCCGTTGTTGATCTCGTCGGTTTCCTCGAGCTCCATGGCGGCGGTGTCGCCTCCTTCCATGCTGATCTTGGATGGATGTGCACGACCGTGCGAGTTGACTACGAAATTCGCTAGGCGCTCGTCTTCGTTCGGATCGACTGTGTCTCTGACTACGCAAAGGATGTCGAAACGAGACAAGATTGGTTCGGTCAACTCGACGTTCTGACTGAAGGGGATGGTGCCGTTGTAGCGACCTCCTATTGGATTTGCGGCTGCCACAATTGCGCAGCGAGCTTGAAGTGTTGTGACAATACCAGCTTTGGAGATGGAGATGGTCTGTTGCTCCATGGCTTCGTGGATGGAGGTTCGGTCTTGGTCATTCATTTTGTCGAATTCGTCGATGAGGCAGGTTCCTTGGTCTGCGAGCACAAGAGCGCCACCTTCGAGCGTCCACTCTGCTGTCAGAGGGTCACGGCGCACGGATGCGGTCAGACCAACAGCCGAAGCGCCTTGACCGGTGGCGAAGACAGCTCTGTGCGCAGTCTTCTCAACGTACTTGAGAATTTGTGATTTGGCAGTACCTGGATCGCCTAGCAGGAGGACGTTAATATCACCCCTAATCTTGTGCTTGCCTTGAGCTTCTTTGGCGACACCACCGAAAAGGGATAGGGCAACCGCAGTTTTGATGTCTCTATGGCCGTATATAGAAGGAGCGATAGAGTCAACGATCTTGTCAACTATCTGTGGGTCTTTTGAGAGGGCTCTGATTTGACGTTCATCCTCTTCGGTAAGTCTGAAACCAGCCAGCTGGTCATGGGTCTTGATAATGTGGTTTGCTTCGAGCATGGTAGCGAAGACAGGGAAGCCGTTCTTGTTGTTTAGCTGACCGCTGTAGTTGTTCCTGTAGATAGCTGTGACTTCGATCTCCTCACCTGGCTTAGCAGAGTCGATAAGATCTGCTAGCAGTACAACCTCCCGGTGTCGAGGCAGTCGTCCAGCTGGAACAGTGCCAGGCGATTCTTGTAGAGTGAGCTTCTGGTAGTTTCGATAGACAGTATTTTCGGCGTTGAGGATAAATGGTCCTTTCTTCTGGCAGTTTGGACAGTAAGTGAGCTTAACTTCTGACGAGGTAGACTCCTGAGCATAAGGACCAAGTACTGTGTCACACTTTGTGCAGGTGAACTTGACCATCTGGAGCTGTGGGAAGACACCTGTTCTTCGTGTGACGACCCCAGAGACACGGACTAGGCAATTCAAGTGGGATTGTCTGAGTTGGCGTAGGGTGTAATGCACAGGTAGTGCAGATACTCTGACATGAATTTCGGGATGAATCTGATCGTAGTTGGGATAGTGTAGGCGGACGACTTCAAAAGCAGCTCTGTCAAAGAGCTTGAGCACTTCGGTTGGGGCATTGGCCAGGAACCATGCAAGAATGGCTTTGGTGGCAGTCAAATGGTCGTAAGATATTTCCAGAGACTCAGAGTTGACCTCACCCAGCGTTCTTATCCTTGTGCCGTAGACTGAAGTGCCTTTTTCGTCAATGTATTCGGTCAAAAACGACTTGAATTCTCGCATGATAGACCTCGACACCGAGGGCACAGCCACCCACTCAGCGATACTCGAGGCTTTCACATCGCCCAAGGACTCGAGCGTCAGTTCCTCCTCCATAATGTTATCGTCCATATCCATATCATCCTGATCTTCATCGTAGGCATGTCTTCTACGACGAGGCTGCCTCGTGAGATCAACAGCAAGATCGTCGTCGTCATCCGGCATGAAAGCAGCTGGCATACGTCTCCTGCGTGCCAGCTCCCTATCTCGTTTGTTGAGACGGGCTTCAAGCTGCCTGCGCTCAGCAAGATCGAGGTCATCATAGTCGTTCTCATCGTCGATCATGCGGCCTTGGTAGGTATCTTGTTCGCCACGTTCGCGTTCGTCACGCATAAAGTTGTCGCCAAAAAGATCAATACCATCTTCATCTTCGGCAAGCTCATCCACATCGTCTATGTCTTGAATGAGATCGTCCTCAGCGCGTAGGTCGTCATCGTCGTCAAGTTCATCGTTCTCATTCAGAGCTGGCAGAGGTGGGGAGGAAGGAATACCTCGGATGTGTTAGCTTCATGCTGATACAGTTTTCGGTTGTCTTTATACCTATTGGAGGGGAAGAGGATAGCATGTCTTCACCTTCATCTCTCGCACGCTTCCTCCTTGTTTGAGGGGTAGCCCCACGGTTGGCTGCCGACATGCTTGGTCGCAAAGGAGAGCTACATCAAGTCAGCCGACGTTTTCATTGTATTCTTTACTTCATACCTCATGTTGCTGGCGGAAAATATAGAGGTTGTGGTTGCTGCTGTGCGGCAGTGTCTTCAGTTCAGGAGTGGATTTCCACATCGCGTAGATCGCGTTGCGGAGGGCACCCGCGACGCGCTCGCGTTTAATTGGCTTTTTGATCACGTCAGCTAGCCTGCTCCTCGCACTTGACTAGCGTCATCTGCCGGCAGCTTTGATCTACTTGTACTGCGTCATACTTGCGTTCTGTTTCGAGTTTCGCATTAAAGCGTGCTCGAGGAAATAGTTCAGCCTTTGACTATCAACTTTTGAGCAAGATCTTGAGAACAACACACGACATGGAACCAGTAAAAGAGGAAAGTGCAAACCTCGATGTCAATGCTTTCAACCAAAACTCTCAGACTGCGTCAGAGTACGTTTGATTATACATTCAATGACTGAGCCCTGACGAATTGCAGCTATATCACAGAGCAGTTGGCTCTCGAGGCCGACGCGAAAGAAATCCTACCCTACAAATTCGACAAATGCACACAAGCGCTTGGACCACTGCGACAGAGCATTTTCGCCTGTTTGACCTGTAGTCCGCCTCCAGCCTCTCCAGCTCAAGCGTACGCGCCAGCTGGCTTATGCTATGGTTGCTCGATATCCTGTCATGGCGATCACAATCTGGTCGAACTGTTCAAGAGACGGAACTTTGTTTGCGATTGCGGCACAACACGTACCCCCGACTCATCGCCATGCATTCTACGAGTCGATTCAGCGACTGGCGAAAGAGGAGTCAAGGCACAAGAACCTGCGAAAGGGAACACTTACAACCACAACTACCAGAACCACTTCTGTGGTTGTGGCGAAGAGTACAACCCAGACACCGAGAAGGGTACTATGTTTCAATGTGTCGGGCTGGGTTCCGTCGAGTCTGGAGGCTGCGGCGAGGACTGGTGGCATCCAGAGTGCTTGATGGGCTTGCCTCGAGATTGGCTTGCTAAGGGTCTCTCGAGGCCGAGAGAAGAGAAAAAACCAGAAGCTAACAACGAGGAAGTCGAGCCAGAACACCCTGTGCCCGATGGCTTTCCAGAAGACGACGACTTCTCAGCTCTGATATGTTACAAATGCGTCGAAGCTAATCCATGGATCCAACGATATGCAGGAACTGATGGATTTTTACCTCCTGTCCTGAGACGCGACGCACAAGCGAGTGGTACTACACAAGTTGCAGCCACTGCAAGTCTTAAGAGGAAGGCGTCTGACGAAGACATGCCAAGATCTACCAGTCCTTCGAAACGCCTTAGAGATGAGAGGTTGCCCGAGGCCCTGAAGGGAGAATCGAACACAGCCACATTAGAAGCTGAAGATACAACGTTGAACACAAACACGACGGCAGACGTCCTTGGTCCACCATCAACAACTCTCGAGTCGAGACATAAGCACGACAGCTTACCTCCTGCGCCCGCGGGTACATTCTCAATCCTCTGCAAGGAAGATTTCAGAGACAGGTTCTGCCACTGTCCTCAGTGCTTTCCGGATCTCATCCCACACCCACAACTTCAAGAAGAGGAGGATGAATATGAACCTTCAATATCTGACACTGCCGAATCAGTCGCTGGCGGCGGATCAGGTACACGAAGTGTCGGCACTGGTAGTCTCCTAGATCGAGGGGAGGCTGCCCTCAACACAATGGACAGAGTGAAAGCCATTGAAGGTGTAATGGTCTACAACCATCTGAAAGATAAAGTCAAGGAGTTCCTCAAGCCATATGCAGAAAGTGGGGAAGCCGTAAGTGCTGAGGATATCAAGAGCTATTTTGAAAAGTTGAGAGGTGATCAGGAAGCCGTCAAGGAAGCTAGTCAGAAACCCGTCGCAGGCGATGGTGTTGATGGCGATAGTCGCAGGGAACAAGGTGGCTACTAGAATAATCATAGCATAGCATTTTGTGTGTTCCAACCTCGATTGGCACAATTTACAAAGCCGCAAGGTGCAAGTCTTGCATTGTGTAAGATCTTGGCTACAAAACCTACCAGTGTCTTCTCTCTTGCACCTGCTCCTGTATTGTGCAAACACTTCTCGATGCTGCGCTCTACCTATAATGGATTACCTCAAATGTGCGACGTGCAACTATGACTGATAAAATTGTCGATTTCTCGTACCTGGCGAGGGTCAACATTATTGAACCTAATCAGACTGATAGGTTTGTCGTTCGGTCAACGCCTTCATTGAGCTACTACTACATCAGCTTTTTCCCGTACGACGACGACGACCCTAGGACAAAACTGCATACCCAACACCGTTGTATACCATCAGTGACAACGCACTGCCACCAGGATTGCCGAGTCATGTAATACCAACTCCGGCTGATCTTTTAAGCTTATTTATATAGTCTCCAACGTCCAAAAAGCTTGACATACCCATCAAGCTCAACGATAGGACTGCTCTGATGAGGTGGATCTGACGGATTCTTGACACCACGCAGTCTTCACGTCAAGCTACGGAAGCCGCAGAAGAGCTCTCCGGAGCTTTGCCTCAAGCTCGATGAAAATAACCATGACGATATGTTCGTGAACATCGCCATGCCGTTTAGCCCGGCTAGGTATTTAGCTGCAAGGCCATGCCTGAACACTCCTGGGGTGCAGAGCTAAATTGTTGTAGTTGCTCCTTCCTTCGTGCCAGCTTCAGAGATGCGGTTCATACTTGCTGGCCTTCTGCTAGCAGGTCTGGCTCAAGCCCAAAGTGGTGCTGTACCGTCTGCGAGCCTGCAACAGGACAATACGATCTCGACTGAAGGCCTTGTCCAGAACTCATCACGGTACAATACCATCTTGAGAGTCGACAATGGCACATATGGCCCTCCAATTGAGGAGGTACATTACTTCTATAATTACTGGCCCATAGGGATAGCTGTTTCAAGCACAGGACGAATTTTCGTATCCTACACTCGCGGAATGTACGACTATACCCTTGCTGAGGTCGCCAACATGACTGCAGAAGTGCCATACCCAAGTGCTAGCTTGAACTTGCCACCATCCCAGCTCAATACCACATTCAACACGATTTCATTCGGATCAAACAACAGCTCTGGCTTCATCAGTGTCCAAGCCCTCTACATAACGCCAAACATATCGACCAGACCAGAGACTCTATGGGTCCTCGATACAGGCCGCCCCACCATCGATACAATGACATCTGGTGGTGCAATGACCCAATCAATGCCTTATGGCAACCCTGGCGGTCCCAAAATTGTCGGCATCTCGCTCACCAACAACAGCATCTACGCCACATACACCTTCCCACCAGACGTCCACTTCCCAGACAGCTACATGAACGACCTCCGCTTCGACCTACGACCAGGCCGCAACATCGCATACATAGTCGACTCCTCCAATGAAGGCCGAACAGGCTTCATCATGCTCAATCTCACCGACGGCTCCTCCTGGCGCCGGCTCAACCAACACCCCAGCACCCTCCGCATCTACAACGACGTACCCTCCTACCAAGGCCACCCATTCTACTACCGCGTCCCAGGCCAGCCCCTCAGCCATCAACCTGAAGGCCTCGATGGTATCCAAATCACCCCCGACGGCCAATACATCTACTACAGCCCCATCAACAGCCGCTACCTCTACCGCATCCCCACCGCAAATCTCCTAACCCGTGACAGCGACACCCCTCTCGCCGAACAAGCAGCCTCCAACAACGTCACGAATCTTGGCCAACGAGGCGCTGAAGCAAACGGGTTCGAAGGCGATAATAACGGCTTGATCTACCAGTGCATGCCTGAGAACAATGCTATTTACTACTACGACCCAAATGATCTGCAGGTGCATGGCTTTGTTCGGGACCCGAGGATCTTGTGGCCTGATGGTGCGAGTATCGGGGCGGATGGGTATATTTATATGATTATCAATCAGTTGCCGTACAGTGGGGGTTGGAACAATGGTGTTGGAGGGAACTTGGGGTTGAGGGAGTATCCTGGTGCGATATTGCGGGCGAAGTTGAACAATGGAGGGAGGAAGATTACGACGTTGTGGGAATGAAGACAAGAGTAGTGCGATAGATATGAAGATAGAGTTGACCTCACAAACATGAAAGAGTTTTTACAATGCGTGGTACACTGAGATGAGACAAACAAGTGATTGCATGTTTTTCAGCAAGGCCTAAATCTCTGGTGGAACTGTTCCCTAGAACGTTCTTAAGAGGTTGTAGTCCTACCAAACGGTCTCCCAGAAGCAAACTTGACCTTGTCTCTGGTCAAAGTGCTTTTCGTCCAGTTACAACCGTCGCTGTGAAGTCCTTCCAAAGAATTTTGTCGTCTTGGATGTCGTCTTGTTTGAGTCGCCTCTCCCACCATTGATCCATCGCCGTGTCTATGTCTACACCGTTCGTGGCTTCCTTGTCTTCGTTGGACCAGAAGTTTCTCAGCAGACCGAACATGGGCTTAACCATCTGGTATGCCGAGGCCGTGTCCATGGTAAAATCCTTCTTCACAACCTCCACTTTGACGTCTGTAAACCCAGCCTCTTCTACCTGGGCCTTGACGAAGTCTTCTCGATCCCAGCGTGTATGTGGAGTCTGGTTGAGGTCAACATCAGCAGCCTTGGCGATGAACTGCTCGATGGAGAGGAAAGCAGGGATGTTCGCTAACTTCTGGTCGTTCTCGGTCGCAGTTCCATCGGCAACCTTTTGCTCGGCAGCTGCACGGATCTCTTTCATGGCCTTGCTCACGTCCGGGAACCAGCCGACAGTCTGCCAGAAAGTCCATCCAGCAACACCACCAGGTCTCAGCATTCGGTAGGACTCTCGAAGCGTGTTCTCAGGCTGTGGTGCGAGTCCAGGACCGAAATTGCAGCCAAGATGTGTATAGTTATCTGAAGGCAACTTTGTGTCTGTCATATTGGCCTGGACGACTTCAAACTGCTGGCCGTCGGTCGACCAATTCTCTTCTCCTATCCTGGCCTTTAGAACGTCAAGCATTGCAGGAGCCATATCAGCGCAAGTAAATCTGTCTTCAGGCAAGAGCTTGTTTTGTAGCCTGGTCTTAAAAAGAATTTCGACGGCATATTTTGACACTATACCAGTACCACAAGCAAGATCTAGGAAGTGAACTGGCTCCTTAGTGGAGGAGAGATCGATCTGGCTGAGTATTTTCTGAGCAAATTCACCAGTCAGAACTTCACCAAGCTTGTACCGGCTCACAAAGTTGGGATCGTTGAATATCTTCTTCTGTGCCTCGGTCGTCATGTTAGAATTAACGATGTTTTGCGTCGAAGTAAGGCGGCTGTGGTTAGTGATACTGCTTCTGACAAAGAGCTTGGAAGTGATACAGATGAACGTAGGAAGCAGGACACATTGCCTGTCAACGGGGTCCTACAACCTGCCTATATACATATTATTGAGCACATATTCGGAGCATTACTTCGCTATGGACGCATATCATGAGAGACTAGCCTGTGGTACCGTCCGAGACATGACCCTGGCATGGTTGATGCGAGCATACAGCTAGACTGATTGCTATACGTGCAGGGTTGATATACAAGAGGTCTTTCCTGCTGATACGAAGTGGAAGAACATTATGTCAAGTTTGCTGGATTGAACATGGTCGCAGCTTCCCAGGGCGGTCATCGGTTGCTCTGAGTAGGGACAACGGAGACTTTTGTTTCAATGAAATTGTTTGTGTGCGAAATGGATTCTGATTGGCTTTTTATTACCCGAGCTCTTCGCAGTTGCAACGACTCTTGTCGTTTCTCCACCAGCAATTTGACCTCGCTCTTGAGAGCTCATTCTGCAGGGGCCGTGCTCGAAGATCTTTCTACCTAAGCTCAGTATATGAAATCTGGTGTGAGATATGAATGTGCATATTGCTGACGGCAAAGCACTCTCAGTAGCCTCTTCTGAAAGACCATTCGACTCCTCATTGATTGAGCCTCAGCTCGCATTCGTGAAGAAGGATGACGTCGATTCGTCCAAATCACATCCAGAGCTGATTGCAGTGTAGCATTGTAGCAGATTATACTCTTCTTTAGTTGCAGCTCCCATTACTGAGAACTGCTGACTTACTAGCATCTGCGTGACAACATGCCTCGAACGCGCAAAGGGTCTCGAACAGGTGCTGACGCCTCCTTCAACCTCGACAACAAAGAGAACGAGAGACCCAGCCCCAAGTCGGAGCATGTCAAGGCAGGAAAAGAAAGCCTGCGAACAACGACGACTCTTGAAATGAAGCTGTGAAGCGGCAGCGTAAGAGTGCTGGGCCACCTACTCAAAGCAAAGCTCTGTCTGAAGACGAGGCGCGGCAGGCCGTAGCCCCCAAACCAGCCAAGAAACTCACCAAGAAACAAATCAAAGAGGCAGAAGAAGAAGCAGAAAGAGAAAGAATACAACACATCCAAGCTACAAGACCTCGACTAACCACACCCGACCTCGAATTCGACTACGATCGATCTCAACTTCGAGACCCCAGACCAACGCCAGGCTACGTCAGAAGACCCAGACACGAAGACCTCGACTACAAAGGCGAAGTGGGCAAGCAACAATTTCGCGACCGCTTCTACATCCCCGAACCAGAGAAACCAAAAGGACGATTGAACGCCTACCAGAAAGATGAGCTCTATGGTCAGAAAGCGCTCTTAGATCCCATGATGATCTTCCACGATCTCCATGTCTGCTACGAAAAAGGCCCGAACGGTTCACGTACCTACGACTCAGCTGGCTTTCAGCTCAGCTACAGCAAAGTACGCAGCTGGATGCAGCCTAGAGCCTACAACAAGAAGAGCATCATGAATAGTATGGGCAGGTCACTAGCAAGAGGGGAAAGCGAGATTGAACAAATATATCGGATCTTCTTCACGGACGGTAAGGTTCCTGAAGATGAGTTTTCGATGATGGACTACATCAAAGACAAGATTTCGAAAGATATTGGAGTACCGTTTCATAGATCGGGCCGAAACATGCGCAGCAATGGAAAGAGATGGGCTTTAGGCCTGTCGTTGCGAGTGAGTGGTGGCGTAAAGCTAACGAAGAAGAAAAGAAAAGGATGATGAAAATGACGATGGGCGCATCCTTGCGAAAAGACTTGTAACAAAAGAAAGTGTAAATGGATATTGTAGATTATGTAAGTTTGGTAGCCATACTCTAGCTAAGGTTCAGATATTCAGTACTGGTAGCCCTTGCTGCTATGACAACGTCGCCTATGGGCATACCTCTTGCGCTTAAAAACGTCCTGAGCGATGTATGATTTCTAGAATCGTGAGTATGGTCGTGGTGTGCTTCGCCTTCCTTACTCATACACGTAAATCGTGCCCAAGTCACTAATCGAGCTGTCCTAACGAGTTCTCCTGCTGCTGCTGTCCTAAGAGAAGCTGTACTGTCTCCTATTACCTCAGGGCTCGACTGCTGCTTGGATGCATTTGCTCAAGATTTGCCGTCAATTGAGTGTGCTGGAGTTCGGCCAACTCTTTCCTGCACTGGAGAGGAGGCTTGGCGGCTGAATTGCTTTTCCTAAAGCCACAAAAGGCGCAATTCTCTAAATTCCTCCTCCGACCTTGCCCAAAGATTTGCTATTGTACCGATATCGGCTCTTCGACAATAGCCTCAGTCCGAGTTATGGAGGATGGAACCTCATCCGAGTCGTGATAATACCAGTCATAGTCTGTTATTTTAGGCGAAGTGGTCGTGCTGTCTTCACTTGCAGCCTTCTTTCTTGTGTTAACACCACTGCCAGTGTGATACTGCCAGTCATAATGGTCGATACCTTCGGTTTTTAGCGTCTCGGTCGCGTTTTGTTGCGCGGCAGGGTCTGTTGCCTCCTTGTACCAGCCTAGATTGTCGTTTCGTAAATAGCCGGTCAGGACATCGTCGAACGAAGCTTGTGAACGCCGACGCCACTGGAATGCGGAAGTTGGATTGCCGCGAGCTTTAACGAAGCCAAGTCGTCTTGAGGATGCCATTTTGGATCTTGTTATGATGCGAGTGTTTGCTCTTCAGCCTTTGTGGCGGACATGGCGCCGTGCATGCTATGTACTTCTTACTTGAGGACCTGCTATGTGCCTAGCAGCAGGTTTGGGGTGATGTGAAACGTGCTCAGTCATATGCGCATAGGTACGATCTATGAGTGTCGTAGCATCTCATTTTCCACTCAGTGACAAGATTCGCGATAGTGCGCGCGGTGTAAGCATGATCACAATAGGAAACTCAGCTCACCTGAAGTTGGGTCATTGTCATACAGTTTCGGAAAAGCCAAGCACTTTGATTGGCCCAGCTCCTCACGGCAATGATTGGTTCGTCCCAAGCTCAAACGTACCACAGCAGAACCAGACAAGCTTGAGTATTGCTTCTGATCAACGAAAACGCATGTCGTCAGTGAGGTACCTGTCGCTTGTAGTGTATAAAATCGTACAGTCACAAACTCTGGAATTTCCGTAGCTTGTACTCCGTCTGGATACTGTCCACGTTGCAGCGGCTGGCTGCGCTCGAGTGCAAGTCAGGTATTGCAGTGTCGAACCTCGTGCTAGTATGTGACTAGTAAATGTCCAGTCATGGGTCAGAAACAGGTGTTGCTGTCTCATAAGCATGATGCTCGGGGCACGTCAAGCCGCTCAAATTGGCACTCCATGAATGTCGTTTGTATTGATGGAGCCATTTTGAACCACGTCACCATATACTGTGATAGGAATAGACACCTCGAACGTGTCGCAATCAAGACTTTCCACTGCTACTGACACTATCCCTCTCTCGTCCTCCAGGATGTTTTCTAACAGAGAAGGCTTGATGTTAGTAGCCGGATTGCCGTCATCCTGTTGAGCCTCAACTTCTTCGTGGCTCCTCACCGTGCCAAACTCGAGCTTGATGTACCAATCCAAACTGACACCAGTGGTCATAAAGGTGGGGCTGCCAGAGACTGGTATAGTGGGTGCAAAGACTGAACGTTGAGCAAGGAGAACATTCTCGGCACGACTGACATATATCTTCCGAGTGACGCGGGTAATGGTTGCTGCTGATCTGACTGCTAGGCTTGGGTCCACTCTCTCGCAGGTCTCTAGAGTTGCTCGAAGGCTGGAACACACAACTTCGCTGTTTGAGAGATCGACGACAACATTGACTTCTTCTCCTAGTCGGTGGAGAGGCCTATCGATAGTGACCACAGCAATTCTCCGACCTCCACTAGCAATCTCGAATCTGTTTGGACTGGTTGAGGTGTCTGAGGCAACACCAATGTGATTGCTTGTCATAATTGCGTGATCAATTGCTTTTAGCATTTCGTTTTGTGTGCTGCCGATGTTACCTGCTGCGGATTTGAGCGATTCCATCATGATACTGCTGCTTGATTGTCTTCGCCGGTTTCGATCAAGAAGCGAGTCGACGAATTCAAGGAATTTAGTGTTTGACGCGTCTATTTCGTTCGTGGTAGGCTGCTTGATTGCATATTCCTGCTCGTCGTCATCGACTTGTCGTGTCATTGCGAGGTCTTTCAGTATTACATGAGGCTGCATAAGGTCGTGACCCAAGATCTCGCCATCACCGTCGACTCCAGGAAAGACTCGAAACGGTACGCTGACTTGTCGTACGTCAGAGACCTGTTGTTGCACGCCTGGAGCACCCTGAATGCCAATAGTCATATTGTACACTATCTTGATTGCTTTACCCCTATGGCTCGCAGGCAAGCCTCTAGGGAGTCTGAAGCTGAAAGAAAAGCTCTTCTCATCTCCAGGCTCAAGATGTAGATCCACGAAGAGGAGAGACTGTGGCGTTGATAATAGTGGTATAGCCCGGGAGTTTGTAACAGCTTTCATCTCCTTGACGCCAGAACTCTCACCACCTATAATGCTTTCGAGAGACTCGCCAATGCTTGCGAAGTTAAAGCCACCAAACAGACCGCTACTAGGACGAGTCTTTTTTTTGACTCCAACAACCCCACCACCAGATTGACCACCTAAGAAGCCTCTTCGCTTGACTTCCTCGAACGGCGTCTGATCCACGAGAGATGCATCCAAAGTGAATGTCGAGGTAATCTGAGCATAGCCCATCAGTAGTGTGGTAGCCTGTGGCTTTCGTGGAGGAGGTGGACCCATCTTGTAGTGCTGACGGATGAGTTCGCTAGGCACTCGCGATCGTGCTGTCTGACGCTCCGAAACCATTGGAAATTGCTCTGACATCAGTGTCTCGCCAGAATGATTGCTGTGTGAATATAGGTCCATACTCGTTCTGTCAGTGGCTCGGCTAGCGGTTGAAATATCACGTCGATGCTTGACTTTAGGCATGGCCGAAGGCGGCGCCGTTCGAAAGTGATCAGGTTGTGGACTTGATCGACCGGCAGGAAACTTGAAATCTGGGTTGGGCTCACGCTCAGGGTCTGATGGAGAGTGAGATGCAGACAATGGGCTTCTTCGACCCGCAGATCGGCTCGCTCTCCACTCCAACGAGGATTGACGACCAGGAAGATAGGCATTTTTGGTGTTCTCTGCAAACGTCAGTCAAGAACTACACCTTAGAAAACGATATGCATACCAGCGATAGTCACAGTAGACGATCTCCTATGCCCGCCAAGCTTGGGTCGCGTTGCAATTGCATCGTCAGGAGACAAAGGCAATGTCGGCGGAGCACCGGAGATGATCGAGACAGATCTGTGATGCTGTTGGCTCTCTTCTGCTGTGGTTGATTGCACTTCAATTGAAGGCGAAGGGCCTCGTGGTATCGGTGTTGAAGGCATGCTCATCGAGTAAGAGTTTTGATGTTTAACTCGAGGGCGCTCTTCCCGCACAGCACTTGGAGATCTCGCATTATGCAATCGTCCTCCTGGTGCTAGACGTGTATTGAGTGCTGCAGCCTGAGCAGCCGCTAACTGATTAATGCTATTGCGCTTCGTGTGCCTGTAACCACCCGCGCCAGGTGTGGGAGGTTCTGCATTTTCCGCAACATTCGTAAATGTTATGACACATTCGATTAATTCACCTGCGAAGACACATTGCTCCTTGAAGCGAACGAAGACCTGGACGTCAGAAGGCATTCCAGGAAGGTGAGTTGAGGAGCACAGGTCTCTTAAGCAATGCCATCGGAACGCGAATCAGTGACTCATGCAGATACGGTCACGCTCCTTCTCTTATCGGTCAGCATCACACCTACTGCTCCATTGTGTTTGAGGTGCTCCTTCCCGTGCCGGAAAGAGTGGAAGTGGTCAGACACAACAAGCATTATATAACTTTGAAATTACGATGTTCTTTCAATCTCGTCTCTACGGGTTGCCGTACTTGCTTCGAGTCGCAAATGCCAAGACGTTTCTCGCCCGGACGTAGATTCTCCTCTCAAACGACTCCCTCCTTTTCTTACTACCAGTAGCTCAATGAATCGAATCACTGCAGTCGACTTCCTTAACATGCTGTCCTTACGATCTATGAAAAGCTCTTACACCCGAGCTTTAAGTCGCGATTCATGGCGCCCTCTCTTCACACAGTGACTAACCCTTCCACCTCATTCCCCACCAGCTTCAACCTACTTTTCATAACGATTCGAGCTTGTCCGATCTCTTCTTAGGATCTCACAATCCACGGGCATATACATACTGTTGGCTTTAGCCTTGCTCGAAGCGTTGAACAGTGTCGGTCTTAAAAAGCCTACTAAACCTGCGCCAATAATTTGGAAATCCTTAGACTTCTCCGTTATCTCCCGCGCTCCCTCTACCTACTTCAAAACTCGCGTCTATCAGGACGGACTCGGAGAATAACTTCTTAAACTCTTTTTCGAATTCTTTGTCCTGTGGTGCAAATCCGTTATTTGTCCAGAACTCAAACTCCTAGTGACGGTCATGCTAAAGCCTTGGTTTAAAGCAGCTTCTAAGCAATCGACAGGCAACAAGAACGAGAAGCTGAATCAAAACCTCCTGGGAACATCAATCTTAGATGAGTCTTCGCAGTATACCTATCCAAAAATTCAATTCAAATCGGCGATTCATTCAACCGTACGGGATGATGCCCATCAACAATTCCGGCAGTAAAGTTCGGGCACAAAAACATGTGTCTCGTGCATGTGAGCCTTGTCGCCGAGCAAAGACAAAGGTACCGAAACCTGTGGTCTCTTTCACTTTTCTTCAGCTGACAATGCGCCGTGTGATCGAGAATGCCCCTGTGCAGGCTGTATCGATAAAAACCTCGATTGTAAATACAGCGGGACCGACTTCCGGAAGCGAGGCGACTTGAAGCGGAAGATCGATGAATTGGCCGACGACAGCGATCTTCTTCACGATCTGATCAATGCCATGCATCACAGCGACGACGAACAGATCTTACAAATTGCAGCTCTTGCTAAGAGTAACGCGCCTGTCGCTGAGCTTAAACTGTGTCTCAAGCAGCAGATAATCGACCTCAAGATCCAAGGCCGAGAGAGGACTCCCGAGTTCGAGGAACTCCGAACACACCTCGAAGAGCAAGAGCAGATCCCTACCCGCCGAAATGGTCTCAGCATCGCGTCCTTGACCGACAACCCTCCATTCCGCGGAATCGCCTCATCATGGACAACAATAGCTGACGATGATCTTCTAATCTCGAACCTCGTTTCGGTCTTCTTCATATGGGAAGGAACTTTCTACAATTGGATCGACCGAGAGCTGTTCCTCGAGGATATGTTGGCAGGTCGTGGTCAGTATTGTTCGTCATTCTTAGTCAATGCTCTACTGGCATTCGCATGCCCCTATTCGGACTATCCAGAGGCAAGATCAAGCAATGGCAAGCCATCTTCCTTGATGAGCAAGTTCATTTCTGAGGCCGAACGTTTACTGGAGGACCAGCCGTCAAATGTTGCCACTGTTCAGGGCATAGCCTGTCTTTGCAATGCCAAGTGTATCATCGGAGACGATCGCGCTGGATACGCTCTCTTGACGCGTGCTGCAGCGCTCTGCCATCAGATACAGACTTCGGACTTCTCAGCCGCGGACATCCCGTCGTGGCTTTCCTGGGGTGTCTTCAATGCGAACACAGCGGCATCGTTCTTTCTACGGCTACCTCAGTTGCTGCCTCCACCGAAGCAGAGCTTGCCGTCACCAACCTGCATTGACCCACCCTATGCGCCCTACCCGTTATCTCGCGAGCCACTACAGCTGTCTACACGAGAGCTTTTGCATCACAAAGCTAGATTTTCATTGGTTATCAAGGATATGAATGCGCTTGTCGCGCAAACGTCAGTGGAAACAGGCCTCGATGAGATCCTAGCGTTGCATTCACGAATGGTGCAATGGCACACTTCACTACCAGCACATCTCCTTGTCCAATAAGAATCGCCTCCATCAGTGCTCTGTCATCAGTAAGTCTCTGTGTTCATGTTGATATTCGCAGCTGATGGTGTAAACAGGGCCTACCATTTCACTGTGGTCTTGACACTCCTGCAGCTAATATCATCCCCGTCAGCAGATATTCAAAAATTGTGTAGAGACGCCGCTCTGGAAATCACCAAGATCTGCCGCATATACCAGTCCTCCTACGGAGCATCGCCCACAAGCCTCTCTCTCACGGACTCAATCTACAAGGCTCTCTTCGTACTCATCAACGAAGCAGATTCTGATGGAAAGTACGATTCAGAAATTCTAGATTTGTGTATTATGTTCCGTTCCCTTGGCCGCCGGTTTCCCTTCACGCTGGCCGTGTTCCGCACGTGTCATCAGGTCGCGTTGAGAGAGAAGAGCCACCGATTGCCAAACTCTACCGCCAAGCTGTTCGAAGATTTCGACAGGGAGGATTGGGCTGCGACACAGCTGGAGCGGGTCGCAAGTTATTACCCTGTGCAGGGGTCTGCGAAGGTAGATGTACGGAACATCGAGGAGTTCTTTGATATGATGAAGGAGCTGGAGATCGGGAAGAAGTGATGACATTGAGGCTTTCAGCTCCTTCTCGAAACAAATGGGAGATCTAGCGCCTCCCCATCAAGCTGCAAGTTGCTTTCGTATCCAGTTACATTTTTGCGACCACCCCGAAGTCGATCTTGGCTCCTTGTTCTAGGTGGCTGAGAGCGTTGAGGAGGAAGCCAAGCTTCTCTTCGGTTGATAGGCCAGGCATGTAGCTTACGATACTGGATCTGATGACAAGAAAATGCTAGATCTGTTTACTTGATTGGAGTGGGTCTGGATTGGTTTGCTTGATCGAAATAGTGAGAAATGAATGTTAGAGAGGTCTGGAATCACGTTGGTTGTCTTTAAGGTGGAAGAGCTACACGTGCATGCTGTCTTCAATCCAGGTGAAGGTCTTCCAATGCGAGAAGCAGAATAAAAGTGAAGATGATGTGAAGAGTCAGCAGGACGTTGGACTACCAGCTTTGGATATACGACGCCGATTTCACTAGCAGGTTCCGGAACAGCGATTCATACTGATGAAATTCTGTGCACAAGGGATTTCTGACCATGCTCACTTCATTTGATATTGAGCCGCTATTCAGCAACAACAATCAATCGACTCAGGTAGAAGACGAAGCTTTGGACAGGGTATCAATTGAGTAGTAATTAGCTTTGGATGTCGGTCCCGCAAGGTATCGTAGGGCTATGACCCATGTGGCACGTTTGAGATTACAACTGGGCCTCACGAACGACCTGTTACCTGACCTAGGAAAACTCCTTCTCAGCCTTCTCATCCACAACGCTTCCTACATCAGTGCTGGCAACACTTGCATCATCACCCCATGTCTTCTCGCTCTTCTCGTTGCACATCTCGGTAATCTTCGATGAGCTAGGTTTCTTCGCATCCACCGCCTGCCCTACCTTACTCCAATCAATCTTCTTCCCATCAGGTCCGACATCAGCCTCAGATACCCACTCACTACTCTTGCCCATGCTGACAGCCTTACCGACCTTGCAAAGACCATTACCCACAGCTCTAATAGCAAGCCCAGTTCCTGCAAAGACGGCAGCAGTGGCCCGGAGTGGTGCTTTCACCAATCTCACTCGCTTCTTCTCCCTGAATTCAACCATGGGCATTCGTGGCAGCGCTGCTCGTTGACCAGCTTTGAGGTTGAGCACAAAGTCCCATGTGTGCTGAGAACTGCTGTCGCGCCATTGAAAGTAGAACTTGGCCTGTGTGTTTGATTAGTCGTTGTGTTCGATAAAGATTTGATCCTGTGCCACCTACAACACCTGTACGATCAGCGACAGACCAAGTCAAACGATTACCGTCCTTGATTTGCGGCTTGTCAAGGATAAGGCAGACCAGCTGTATCTTGGCGTTCTTCGGGATGGAATCCACCTGTGAGATAGGACAGTAGGCATAGTTGGGGAATTTGGTGTCGGCTTTCTTCATCTCAGCCTGTGAGATCAGGTAAAGAGTCTCTCGAATGGTGAGAACGGTGACTACTATCCGTCAGTACACCTTGTTAGCATCCCAGACGATGTATAACTTACAAAGCCACTTATGGATGGTTTGGGCTACATCTTTGGCAGCCACGACTTCGAGATGGTTGCCTCGAAGCTCATCATGTGCAGGAGCTTTTTCCGAGCCAGTGGTGATGTTCACTGTCACAAAATTGGCGGCACGACTTCGGGCCATAGCTCTGACTTCTTTCAGAGCGGTAAGACTCTCAGTGGTTGCGCAATGTGGCTGCTTGGCGAGGAGAATGACTGAACGTTTGCCGTCCAAAGTGTAGTCTGCGGGACGCTCCCAGAATCTGATACATAGAGCGCCTTCTATCATGGCTGCCAGTTCCAACGCATGGCATGCTCCAGGTGTAGGATCGTTAACATAGATCCAAGGCGCTTTTGGCATACCAATCGACTTCTTCGATACCTTCTGACTCTTGGGCATTTTGAGGAGATGTGTCCTGCTTGATAATTGCGATAAGGATGTTGTAACAATGAGTAGAGATTTATACAGAATGAGAGTGTTGTTGGACTATCTTGGTGAACAGAAGGTACATGTCACTGTGTTTGATCAGTTGTCACTAAAGCAGGAGCGAAAGAAAGTGATAAAGAAAGTCAAGTACACGATTGTTGCATGCAGAAGAAGGTATCACATGGAGGGGTAGACAAAACAGGATTATGCCTGATTCGAAACGAGCAGTCCTAATCGATGGAGATACGACTGCTGGCGAGTGTCAGGCTGAGTGGAAAGTAAGACGCCGTACGATAGTGGTACGTCGAATCATGATGGGTGTGAGTGACTTGCGTTTGTGGCTTTGAGGAGGCAGACTATGCTGACCGGCTTGCGCAGCCTGGAAGCTGGTTGCCGACGTACTTGTAAACAGCAGGAATAGAAGCGGCAAACCTCGAGACGACATGTGAAGCACTGAAGTGCATAGATTAAGAAGTGATTCGCGCATTTGATACCTTTAGGACGTAAGGTTGTGATACCAACACGAGCAGCTCGTGGAGTGAGCGAGTTAAGAAACACAAAGGTGCGGAGCAACTCGCTAACGAGTGGGTTCATGGGCAAAGCACGGCCTTCTCCATAGGTTGAAATTACAGTTCCGGACTCCTTACTTGCTGCCTAGACAGTGTGCCATCTGTCGGGCGCACGACTGGCAAGTACGTCCTCTTCGGGATGTTGCATGTGACAGAGGCTAGGTAGGCGTAATGCATTATATTGATCGCTTCAGATGATCTATCTCGCATTGAAGCGCATTTTTTACGATGCCTCTCGTTCCTCCAAGAAAGTTCTCGCCGGCTATGCAATGCCTCAGGACCCGGGGAGTAACTTCACCTATCCGCACACGCCCACCTTTTGGCGCACTTTCCGCCCTTCTCGTTGTTCACAGCAGTTTACTCATCGTCCTCCTCGAGCTCGCCATGTCCGACACCGTTTTCACGGTTCCCCAGGCGACTTGTGGCTCGAGTTTCGTGTATACGTGCCATAGCGCGATGAGTCTTGGCCAGCCTCAGATAGTCGCCTGTACGTTCATATTCTTCAGCTAGCTGTTTGTACATCTGGAGAGCCTGATCGCCGTACACTTTTCCTTCCAGGCGACTGATGCTTCGTTCGGGAAGCTCGACGCTTGTGCTCTTTCGGGCAGTACCATTGCTTCTGCGAACGTGACTGTCTTGCTCTATTCGTCCGTCATCCAGCCCGCCACTCAATAGATCAATGAGCTCCTCGATGGTGGAGACGAGGTCTTCAAGAGTCGACCAAAGTTCATCTTCAGGCTGACTTGCAATTGTTGTGAACGATTCTAATAACTCTCCAACAAAGAGCTTGCGCCCAACAATCTCGTCGCCGGCCAAGGATAACGATGATGTCGCTCGTGCCCTGAGGATGACATCCAAGGCACCGATGACCTCAGCCTCAATAAGAGACAGGTTCTCACTCAGTGCCCATTCACTAATGATCATGGTTTGCAAAATCTCAACACCTACCCGTCTCAGCCCTTCGTGCATGCTCAGGCACAACTCGACGATGGACTTGACAAGGCTAGGCACGTACTGGACTTGATAGCCTCCTATCTTGTTGATGTGGTATCTTCTTTCATCGTCTTCCGTAGCATCCCAGCCAAGCAGATTCCAGGAATGGCGTAGAAGCTCGGCACCTTCTTGTCTAACATCACCTGCAATTTTCCATACCGCCCTACGCTTCTGCTCGGAAAAGGCCTCTAGAGTCAGCTCGGGTGAAGACACCAGAGATAGGATGGCATCAAAGTAAGATTTCCACAGTTCCATATTGAAAGTGTCAGCTTCCTCGGCATCCTCTGGATCAGGGGGTTCGGGTATGCAATAGTCTTCGAGCTGTTTGGCTATGTAGGCTAGAATGTTGAGGGCTGACGTGTGGTTTGACACATGAAGGCTCAACCATGTAGAGGGATTCGTGTCATTTGAGAGCATTGCCTCTACCATATGTAACGTCTGCGTAATGTGTCGCGTCCTCTGATCTTCGTTGTAGTCGGGCAAGGGAACAGGTCGTATCTTAATTATTTCAGCCACCAGTGCTGCAAGTTCTAACAAGGGCTCATCGAAGTCGTCCGGGCTGTCAGTGTTCTTAGTCGGGTTGGGATATGAGGAAGGAAAGAGCAGGGAGAGTGACCAGCGCTTGCTATGACGTTGTGCTGATAAAACAGAGTAAGTACGCACAATCGGCGACAGGAAGTCGTGCAACTTTTGACAGGGTCGTCTCAGGAGCGACGCCACAATTGAAGAGCATAGTCTCACCTGGTCACACCAGCTATCAGTAAGGTCGTTCTTTTCAGGCCAATGCAGCTCAAGCCATCTGAGACAGTTTCCAACAAGTATAGTCCAATCTTCGTCGCTCTCCCAAAGCTGCTCTAGCTTTGTGCAATTCAGAATGAGTACGAGTCTGTAGAGTAACAATTTGCCAGTTGCTTCTTCACAGGCGTCAATAGTGTCGATAGCAACGCTGATGACTTCTTCTTTTCTGTATACGGCAAGCAACTCTGGTAGCCACAAATGGAAGTTTTGTATAAGGAGGGTCTTGCTGCCAACCAGTGCAGCTGTCTCACTCCGCACCATCATTTGCAGACCAAAAAGCACTGCCTTCATGTCGTCTTGAAAACTCTCGTGTTGATTGGATATCGTTCCAGCCTCGTCCGTCTTGTTGTGGTGCCAGTAAGAGGCCAACAAGAGCCTCAAAAATTGTTGCCCAACTTTAAAGAGTGCCCTTAGGTCTCGTGAACTTTGAGGGTCGGAAACGCTCTGCAAGAGTCGTGTAAAGCTGCGGACTAACGACGGGGCGACCAAAGGCGCTTTGAAATGCTGGTCAGCATATCTCTCAACCAGTGGCCCTAGATTAAAGCGGCGATCATGCACAATCCCTAGTACAAACACAATGTCGTTGAAAATGAGATCTTCGAACTTGTGAGTTCCAGCCTTGTATTCCAGGATAGCGAACAAAGCATCCAGAACTTCATCCAGCTGCTTGACAATCTCGATCTCTGGCACAAATACCAGCTTTTGCAAAGTGTCCATCAGACTAGCGGAGGACAATGCACGCCAATTAAACAAGCTAGCTAGTGTGCGATCCTGCGAGAATTCGGTACTGACCAATAAGGTCTTGATTTCAAGGGATGCGATGGGAATCTCCTTCTCCTCGATAGTGCTGTGATCCCAGGGGAGGTTCAGATACATGCCCTTCCCATTGTCGGAGAATGTGGAGGTTGACTTGTCGTATGCATGCAAGATTAGGGAGTGGCTTCCATCACGCCGGAAAGCATGGTTTTCCCACAGCGGCATCCAAGCAAGAGCAAAGGGAAAGCCTGGCGCATCTGCCACGCTGAGCACTAAGTGAGCATCGGTAACCTTTTCTAATGGCAGTCGTATACATATGGTTTGGTCCCATAGGGTGTCTAACTCAATAGCATAAGTTCGCAAGGCGGTTACTGCTGGACCATTGGCTGAAGCAAAAACACAACGCTCCAATCGCTTCCCGGCTGAATCTCGTAGCTCCATCGTTACCTGAAGATTGAGCATTGGTGCTGGCTTGACTGGTACCGCGTCGTATTGTGGATGTGAATATGCTCCGTTTTGCTTGATGTTCACCTTTGATAGAGTTAAGTAGATGTCAGACCGTCGTTTCGTAGGAGCTTCTAGAAAACCAAGTCTTTGACTTTTTGAGATCATATGCATGGTAGTAGGATTCGTTCGGATGAGGATGTCGGCATCGGGCGATACGTACGACCTCAGCTCGATCTTTATCGCTGGCAACTTTCTACATCGCACAAAATGTAGACGGCTGGTCTGCAGGAGCTCAGGCAGCACCCCTGGCCAGCCAATTTCTTCCTCCTCATTGTCTTGAGCCGCTAATGTCCAGAAACCGAGGTCAAATACTTCTTGCTGACCGGAACTTATGGTAGCTGCTAGGTCGTAGACAGCGTAGCCCACGACCCGTGGGACTGGAGGACCGATGGACTTTTTCGGGGTCTCATTGGCTTCAGTCCTGATCTCGTTGGACGAGGATCCTCGCCTTGACATGGCTGGTCGACCATTTGGTGCATTGTCCGACTTCTCTTTGCTTCGCTTAGAGCCAAAAACGGCCAGATTTGATCTCCTCCTGGTCATCAGGGATTCTCGTGTCTTACTAAAAGTTCCATTTCTCGACAGAGGTCGTTCAGCAGGTGCCGAGGGCGCAAGCTTCGGAGGCTCAGAGACAGAAGCACGACCCACGAGAAAGATATGTCCTTGCGTGCGGATATCGCGCGAACTTAGATCCGCGAAGAGGATTTTCGAATCATGAATGGAGGATGCTGTAAACGTTTCCGAGATCTGCGACATGGATCCATCAGCTGCTTTCTGATACAAGGCGAAGGTAAGGTTAACGTTGTCCGCTTCTGTGGTGTGTATAGATTTGACATCCAGCATGCAATGGTACAATTTGGCTGTTTCCTGCTTTATCTCCGGCGGATCGTAGAGGAGGCTCATGATAGCTTGGAGTTTCGTCATCTCGATAGCTGAATCAGCTGCGGTCAATAGTCGGCCTTTTTGGTCAGGATCTCGAACGATAACTTCAGCTCCTAACAGTTTGTTCCCTCGAACCAAGTCCCAGACAACCTCACTTCGTACACTCAATCTCTCCTGTGCTGTAAGCACATCATTGAGCAGTTCGCGTCGCGAATATTCAAGTTTGGTGATAAGGCCTGATATGCGATCTAGGCAGTCGTAGTCCTGTCTCAACACTAGTTCTGGCAAATAGGAAATATACCACTCTCTCAGGCAGGATGAGATTTCGTCAACGAGCGGTTCTGCAGTCGAGGTTGAAGTCTCGTCTAGGACTTTGAGCATGGGCACGGGTGCTTGCGGTTTCTGTGAGCCAGGAGCAATTGGCTGCAATTGATATTCATCATCGTGACCAAGTTGCTCTTTGACTTCGATACAGCATCGTGGAAAGATGCCCGAGAAGACACGTGCATCTGATGCGCCTCTGCTGCTCCTCAACAACGCGGAGAGCAGTGAGGGTGCTTGGACCAAGTAACCTCGACACCATGCCTCGTCCTTTCCACCCTGTTCAAACACGTAGAGCTGATCGCCTATCTGAAGAGGAAGTTCTGTAGTTGATGATGAAGGCTGAAACGGGTAGATGGCAATAGCATACGATAATGGTATTGGCCGCCAGGGCATTCTTCCCCTGTAGAGTGGTGGAACGGTCAAGGAATGTCAGATCGACCGTGCATCAGGGTCTATTTCTCTCGGGTATTATTGTACAAATAGTCGTCGCATGACCGTGGCGTCCTCGTATTTGTGTCTTTGTATCTTATGCGCTCACAGTCAACCATCGGTGGCGCCCGGTCAATCAAAATAGCTGAACAGGTCACTTGCGCAATGCGAAAAAAAAACAAGTTCGAGACTTGACGCGTGTGTGCAGAAGTCGCGACTACGAGGATCGACGACGATGATAAGACTCAGCAACAATCCAAGCAGTCCATTCAGGCACGAGTATGGCTTTCGATCCCATCTGGAGAAGGTAGTACAAAGTGATCATTGATGTGATTGTTGCAACCAAATTAAATTTCGGCTCAATTTCCAGATCGTCTTTCACCACTGTCACTTCCTCGAGTTTGACGCGTAAATTGGTTAGCCTTGTCAACTTTTCGCGGAGAACCTAAACCCTTGCAAGGCTCCCCAGACCTGCCAAAACCCTAGTTAGATTGCTTGGCTGCTACCTGCACTGCATCTTTCCTTCCACCTTTCGCAATTGACATAATCGTTCTTGCTCACTCTCAGCAACAACGACTTACAGCTTGCGAATGTGACAGGCTTATTGCGCCCTCCAATATGGCCATCGTCAACGTGCTCCTGTCGACTTTCGAAGGGTTAGGCCTTCCAGCTACTCTATGCCTACCTCTACCAGATGATCTCTCGCTTGCAGACCTTTCCACGTTGGTGGCTAACCTTTTGCCTGCTCCCGCTGCGTACTACACTTATCTTTCCACATGCAATGGGTTGAGGCTGGCTCCTAGCGACAGGCTTCTAAAGTCCCTGCTACAATCCTGTTGCGCTGCAACAGGAAAGAACTCTTTCCTCTCATTGAGACTCAATGTCCCTCTACATGGAACTAAAGGAGGCTTGTAGGTTACCACAGAGAAGTCATTCTGACACGAACTCTAGCGAGCTTTTGTGTTTGAATCGACAGGTTGACACTAACGTCTTGCAGTGGTAGTCAGTTGCGTGCAGCTGGAGGGCGCATGACATCGTCGCGCAAAAGGAAGCAGAATGCGGAACTAGCTACAGGCAGTGCACGGAACCTTGACGGGCGACGTCTAAGAACGATAACAGAAGCCAAAAATCTAGCCACTTACCTCGCGACGAAGCCAGACATGGATCGAAAAGAGAAAGAGGAGAGGAGAAAGCGCTGGGAGGCTGTCGTTGACTTAGCCGAGCAACGAGAGGCCGATATGAGAGCCGGCAAGACTGTTGATGGGCGGCGCAAGGGCTTGAGCAGTGAGTGGATGGAAGAGAAGGAAGAAGTTGGTGAAAATGTCAAGAATGCTGTCAAATTAGCCATGGCTGCTAACGAAACGGACCAGGGCAAGGCGGACGATGGAAGCAGTGGTGCATCCGCTTCCGATAGTGCTGATAATGGTGATAGCGACATTGAAGACCCAATGGAACTCGATGAGTCAGACATGGCACGGCTGACGACTGAAGCAGAAGCTGGCGATGCCGACGCGATGTGGGTGCTCGAGAACAAAATTAAGATACCTCGCGATTTGTTGCCAAAACCAAAGAGAACAGCACCTCGTTTCGCTGGCTTCGATGACGACGATTCATCGGGAAGTGAGAGTGATGAAGGTGTAGCAACAAGCTCCAACACGACAGCAAAGCCGACGGCAGTTGCAGATGTCTGATAGCTTGACTGTACATGCTAAAGGACTATAGATCACTAAGCATCTTCAGCCAGTTGCTCACGACTTGCAGCCGCATTACTCCAGTTCACAATTGATTGTCTGCATTCCACGGCTCACTCCGCCTGGCGACAAAGCCTCCTGAACCCCCCAGGATGGAGCCGAGGCTCTGTTCAGTTGTGTTGGAATAATATCGAACAGTTATTATCGATTCATGTGAGCACAGAGGGCTTGAGCCAGTTACAGTGGTAGCCGAAAAGACGTGACCCTCGTCACTCCTGCCTGATCTGACTATAGGCATCACGTCAGGCTCTGATCCCAATAACCAGTGCCTAAACTCGAGCATCTCCAAGGAGCAGTGTGCCTGTAGACTAAGAGGGCAGGTGAGACGAAGTTCACGTGTTTTTGACCGTCGCCTTGCCAGTACCTGCCAATCTGCGGATTTCAGCGCCAGATAGACTTCATTCTCATCACGAATGGCATGCCGAACCTATCTTTCAAGCTCATACTTCCGTTTCAACACAAACTTGCAGAATGTAAAATGGTAAACATGCCTTTCACTATCCTGTTCTTATCCTGTCTCGAGAGTTATCACGCAATCAGTATCAGAACCTGATATTACTCAACTGTAGATTGCTCCTCCAGTGTATGATCGACTAAATCCCATGTGTCTGTGATCCTTCTCTCACGACCATGGAAATCTCATTACTACCAAAACTACCAAATGTAGTTGGCTTAGCTATCCTACTATGGCTGACCTATCACATATTCATATACCCATTCTTCATCAGTCCCCTCCGACACATCCCCCGAGCCCACTGGACCGTTCCCATCCCCTACATCGGCTCCCTCTGGATCCTCCACCAAAGGTTCCGCTCCCGAAACAACGCAACCACGGCCCAAGCACACCACCACGGTCCCGTCGTCCGTCTCGCCGACAACGAAATCAGCGTCAACTGCTACGAAGGTGGAATCAAAACCATCTACGCCGGAGGCTGGGAGAAGCACGAATGGTATCCCCGACAGTTCGCCAACTTCGGCGTGATGAACATGTTCTCGACTGTCGGGCATACGCCTCACGCTCAGAAGAAACGGATAATGGCTAATATATACTCGAAATCACATCTGCAGAACTCGGCTCAGGTCCAGGCGAATAGTCACGAGTTGTTGTTTGGGCGGTTTTTGCCATTGTTGCAGTCCTTTGCGGAGTCGGGTGAATCGGTTGAGATTCATGAGGTTAATAATGCGTTTACGATGGATTTCATGACAGCTTATCAGTTTGGGATTGCGCGGTCGTCAAATTTTACACAGAATGTTGAGGTGAGGAGGAAGTATTTGCATCTGTACCATTCGAGGCGTGATTGGCAGTTCATTTCCTCTGAGCTACCGCCGTTGGTTCGGAAGATGTTGCAACGGATCGGTGTCTCCTTGTATCCTCCTGCTGTTCATCAGGCAAATGCCTGGCTGGAAGAGTGGTCGAAGAACATGTGTGATGCGGCGGATGAGTACCTGAAACTGCTGCAGACTGGTGCCACTACAGCCTCTGCGGGTCATGAACCTTTGGTGTTCAAGCAGTATAAGACTGGTCTTGTGGCACTTCGAAAGAAAGACCCCATGGCTGGGCTGGAGGTACATCCTCATCTGGACGAAGGCATGAACTTTACAAGAGGCCTCAAGAACGCAGAGGTAGTTGTGCCGAATGAAAACCAGACACTACTGGAAGTGTATTCAGATATGGTCGATCAGCTGGCGGCGGGACATGAGACTTCAGGCATAGCACTGACTTACCTGTACTACGAGCTCTCCAAACATCCCGACATGCAAGACCGCCTCTTCGCAGAAGTCAGCAACCTCGAACCACGAATCCAATGGCCTCCGGCCTCATCTGTAGAGGACATGTCCCTACCCACAGCCAAAGACATCGACAACCTCACCTACCTTAACGCCCTCATCATGGAAGTCCTCCGCCTCCACGCTCCAATCCCAGGCATGCAACCGCGAATCACACCATCAACTCCAGGCGGCGTCAGTCTCGGTCCTCCAAACACACAGCACCACTACACCGGCCTTCCAAGCAAGATTCGCGTCAGCGCAATGCCCTACACCCTTCACAAAATCCCCTCAGTCTTCACAGATCCCGAGCGCTTCAACCCCGACCGATGGCTACCAGAGCACACATCAGAAGCTCAGATGACAGAGATGAACCGACACTTCTGGGCTTTTGGTAGTGGTGGAAGGAAATGTATTGGGATGAACTTAGCTCTGCAGGAAATCAAGCTTATCGTGGCAGCGGTATGGGGGAATTGGAAGACGGAAATCGTGGATGATGAGGGTATTGAAGAGGTGGATGCTTATACAACGAGGCCGAGCAGTGGGAGACTTGTGGTTCGGGTTGAGAAGAGATAGGTCGGGATTTCGGGTTTGGTTGTTCTGCTTCTTTAGAGCACCGTAGAGTACCGTACTCGCAGTAGAACTTCGAGGATCGGTCGCCGTTGCCAATAGATTGTCGCTTGGTTTTCCCTCAAGATGATTCTAGCATATCTAGGTCAGTGAAACGATAAGATGTTGTGTGCTTGATGCTCCTGGTCAAGCTTTCGTGCACGGAAACCACAGCCGCAACTTTTGAGATGCGACGTTCATTTGTACACTCCATCTGCTCGAGCGCTTTCAAGCATGCAAATGCAGCCACGCGGCACAAAGAGAAAACAAAACATGCGGCAACACCTGTCCGAAAACCTCCCAATAGCGGAATACCAAGGAAGGTGGTCTGATGTGATAGATGAGCTCCACCACCAAGAACATGCCAAGCTGTGAGTGTGAGCAATACAGATCCTCGCTTATTATTGTGTAAACCACCTCAATACACCACACCACCTTCCACCTGCATGTTTACTGCAATGGTTCGCCGTTTGTGCTTGGTGTGCTCCACGTGAAACGGCTCGCAACGGTGCTGGGTACTCACAAGAGACGTCGCTTAGCACGTACAGCATGGTAGTCTCGGCTGCGCCGCAACACAAGACCATTGAAGGGCGGTTGGTATCCCCTTGTTGGCGTATAGTTAGTGGGTACGTACGTACGTATGTATGGCGATGAGCTTTCGCGTCTTCGTTGAGTATCGAGAAGCTATTCGAGCACTGCTGAGCATGGTGTATCGAGATGAGATTAATGCGGATGTTTGTGTATCTCCGCGGACAGGGTCTGCTAGCAAGGAAATGGCTTGCCTGGACCGTTTGATGTTTTGGACCTCGAAACACCTGCTATTTGACGGACCGAGGACCAGCATGTCACCATGAGTATCCAGACACTCCGTAGCGTAGACATGCGGAGCACATGGTTGAAGACCTTATCTCGAGACGCTGATGCCACTCGACTATCGGACTTGCCGCGAGAACGAATTCGTTTCCAGACTACAGTCGAGAATCTCGAAAGGATGCAGACTCATTACCACTTGTAGGAAACTAGTGATACTGTTTCAGGTAAGCACCTGCGCCAACTTGAGTTACGTACTTGCCATGAGTGGGATGCAGACTTCGAGCGAGCACGCAGTTAAGCTATGACGTGAAAATACTGGAGGTGGGCGCGAGCGTCGTTCTCGATTGTCGGCCTGAGAAACATCGTTCACATCACTGGTATGGACAGGTATCCATGTGTTCCTGCAGAGGGCAGATAGTACTGTATAGGTACTTTAGACGGCTCGTCTTCGTTGCACGGCAGTGCCTTATCTAATGCAGTATATCTTGACCCCGAAATTGATACTCGCTGCACAGTACCTGAACAGGAAGAAGTAGGTGGACAACAGCATGTCTCACAAGGCCTCATTTAGCACGAAGGCTCGAAATCGAGTCGTGATCACTGGGGCCGGCAGTGGCGTTGCCGTTCTTTTGATATTCCAGCGGCGTGCTGTAGGAGCAGTAACCGAGATGACTGGATTGTTTAGGGTCATACGCTATAGTGTTTCAGACTTTTGTGTTGAGTATCTTTTCGTGTAGACATTCCACCAGGTTGATATGACGCTTGAGCAAAGCATTCGAGTGAGGATTAATTAGAACGAACTTTCCTTACGATAATGTTTATCCCCTGTTCGTCGAGTTGAAACTTAATTTATAAGGTTGCCGCTTGAATACGACGCGGTGCGCACACCTTGTCTGGATCGAGCGAAGGTTCTCGCCAACTGAGCAGGACACCTCCTGAATGGTCGAATTCATCGAAGGTCCGCAAGCTCGCCGACCCGCCACATGCTAGCGCAACGGCTTTTAGTCATGTGGCTCAAGACTGCTGCACTCGAATGGGATCGGCTAGATTCAGGCTATTCCTCGATCGGTCCACCCATGAAATTGATCGGCACTAGTGTTCACAGGATCCTTGCACGATGCTCCAAATCCCCTGGTCTAACCTTTGAGTGTTGAACCAGCGAGAGACCGCCTCATGATAGTTAGGGCGAAGAGATTGTGATTTTCATAGAGAACGTTCAACATTTGAGCGTTATCCACAAACCTTGGTAACCAGATGTTTAACTGACACGCTCATGCGAAGGATTCACACATTCGAGTTAGATCGTTCAACATGCAGCTAAGATACATGCGCTCTGCAGGAGATGACAGTATCAAAGCTCAAGGTCGGTTATACCAGCTGTACAAATCCAGGTACCATTATAGACGTGATGGTCGTGAAAGATGCAAAACACAGTGCGTTCTGTGAGCCATTATCCGCTTGGTCCTGGTCCACCACGCGGTGTATTGGAAAGTAGACATAAGAGATATCTTCCAGAACAGTCCTGTCTGCTTTGCGACAGGGTTGCTCAAGGATACGAGGATAACATAGAAAAGTAGCCATACTATGGCCATAATGCAACGCTGAATGCATACTGTACGTCTGGTAATATGAGATGATCGTTCAGTGACGTGAGTCATTAAAGAGAAATTGCTATTGATGCTTATAATCTTTTCCCTGAAGGAACTGGATATTTTCTGTTGACCGAATCGTGGTCAGTGTTTGTTTCGACTTCGAGGTTGACTTCATCTTGGTTGAGGGCCCAATTTCGTAGAGATTGGTCCTGGTGCGGGTGGTTCTTCCTGGGAGCTTGATAATGTTCGTCGATGCTTTCTGATGTCCCGGCTCGAATCTGTGCCATTGTCGATCACTCGCTCAGTTGCTGTTAAGTGGTTGCTCGACCTAGCCTCCTTGTGCTGACTACCCACAGAAGTATGACTGGATCTGTTTGAAGCGAGCGCCCCTTTTGGTACTTTCGGAAGTGGCCTACTAGGTGGAGGACCTAAAGGTGCTCTCGGAATCGTCGTGGTGATATCGGTATACATGCTAGGACTGGTCTTGGCGCCAGAACCTCTTCTTTCTGGAGTCAGCTTGACGGATTTCGCAATTCCATCTGTGTGAATCGGTCTGAGGAAGTCGAGGTCGAAATTTAAATCACACAAACCAGGTACTTCGGTTTCAGGCAATGGCGATGCTGGTGCTCTGTTGTAGGCAGTTCCAAATTTGGACATGATCATGTCGTCAGTCGCCGCTGGAGACCTCTGCGGAAGGTCATAGGTCCCAGTGGCAAGTAGAGCAGAAACTCGGTGCTGCCGTAATTCCAACGTGACAGTTCGACTCCGACGTTTTCTTTGCTTCGTCCCACTATCCGCGACTGTCACCCTTGGAACAGCTGGGTGACACTCCGATGTCAAAATAGATGGAGAGAGTGCTTTTGGCGAAACGACAAATTCCTTCTTCGTTACTGTATTTGTTCGTACTGGAAACAAACTGTATTTTGCCTTTTGTGACGCGCTTGTTGGCTCTGAAGGAAGTGAATCTTGTCTCGAGACTTGCTTGCTTTCACCTCGATATCTAGATGACAAGTCTTCTAGTCTCGCAGATAACAGAAGATCGTCGTTTGGAGAACCTGAGATTGTGGAAGGCACGTCTGGAAGGACTCTACAAGCTTTTGCCGCGTCGAGATCAGTGAGTTGTAGCGCGTTCACCGAGAGTTTTCTTCGTTCAAGTATACTGCTTTTTGGCGAGAGGGATATCGTCTCATTATTTGTGGTGTATGTTCTTAAACGAAGATCATCAGTCATGTGCTTCTTGTTGAACATGTCGGTAAGAAATTGATCAGCTGTAGGTGACGTTGAGGATGTGGACCAACCAACGCTGCTCGTAGCGACAGTGGATGAATTCCCATCTGATAGGCCTGAGTCCCTGAGGCGATCCAAGGATGTGGATGTGTGTTTGGAAGATGTTCCAGATTGTGGTCGTGTACTCGTTGCTCCGCTGGTTTCCGTAGCCGCATTTGCTGCATGATCCTCAATTGTAATGGACAATCTTGGTAGTGCAGTGAAGCCATGGCTATGACTTTCATCGTTAGATTGGCAGCCAAATGTACGAGCCAAATCGTCTCGCCATGCTTGATTATCGTTATCCTTACTTTCAAGCGAACAGTCCATACCACCCAGATGCTCAATCTCTTTACGTACAGCGTGCAACCAAGTGTATAGTTCGTCACAATCATCGAAGATAAGGACCATTGTGCTTGCCATTCGCTTCTCCTCGGTTTGTCGTAGTGTCAGTCGTGACCATCTCGGTTTGAGGGTCTGATTCCGTGGTGTAGTGGTGGAACTGCTGTACCTCGAGACCTGCAAAGCCCAAGGATAGCCAGGCACGGCGTCACACACAATAGCCACACAGTCTCTATCCAGCACCAGGATCTTGTCAGGCACGGCATCTGCTTCGCTGTCGGCATTGTACTGCAATAGGTAGGGTCCATGAACCAAGAAGAATGACTTCGCTTTCGTACTGCAATAACTCTGGCCTGATTCCGTCCGTCTGTGTGAGCGTTTTACCTGAATACTGTCTTCTATGACACCAGCCAACTCGATGTCCGTCATCCTCGAACTTCCCTGCTGACTTCGGGGTTTCTTGATAAATGAAAGTGGAGTTTCAAGAGTAGCATGCAAAATTGCTTGGCCTCGTGCTTGAGCGAAGGGCGGGGGGTCGATTACTACTCTCGCAAGATTCTCTGCACGACGTCCATTAGGGCGATGAATTCTGCTCTTGGCAGCGGAATGGCTGTTCTCAGACAGGCTTCTAAGTGCTAGCGAGGGCCGATGACTAACATTTCCAGTGGCAGATACATGTAGTCCAGGATTCTCGCCTGAATGCGTGCTAGGTCTGGGCAATTCTTCGTTGGGCCTTCGTCGCTGAAATAGTGAACGGAATCTTGATTTTGAAGGAACAGACGTCGAGACTGGCAGCTGATATGAGAGCGGAGCTTCATCCAGACATGAAATTACAGCCATATTTTTTGCCTCTACTTTATCTCAAATTCCTTCCTGTTCGTATGGACAAACAATGCTAAACTCATTCTGCCCGTGTAAGTAGTTTGCAACACCGCCTAGAACAGCTGGACTTACAATTGCTGGGTGTGGCTCGGGCCATATATGGTAGGGCTCTTCCAAGCGGGAACAGAAAGTGCTCGATGCCGCGTCAACCTAAGTGCTGAACAATACTTGTGTGCTGCAGCACCACGAGTCAATTCGAGTTGCGGGTAGACTTCTAGGAAATCCGTGTATAGGTTGCGAGGTAGACTAGAAGGCTTTTAGGACGTCGGAATATATTGGACGAAATGTAGAGAAACGGTATTTCGCAAGTGCTCAGGTCAACGGTCCGTTTGGGTGATAACGACCTTTTCTGTGCTGAGTGAGCTATATGACTTTACTGAATCCTAAGCGAAAAGCCATTGCATCCTCTTAGTCTCACCCGTTAATAGTGGATGCTACAGGGATCAGTATTTAATATACGGAGTCGTCGATCTTGAGTTACAACAGCCACTACTGTGCTTTAGCTGCTGTGGCGACAAGACAAACTCGCCTTGTCCCTGGCGCTTGTGCGGGCCGAAGTAAGAAACCCCGAACATTTAACGATGCTATCGAAGCTAGAGGTAATAACTTTGATAGCATTTGTTGATAGCCATCTTGGGTACAGCGGGTGTTGCAGACCTATGGCCATCCTTAGTCTATCAATCTCCTCTTCGTCGATAGAGTGCTTGCTGACGTTTGCATCAATATCCTCACGCAGTCCAGATCATTCGTGATAGGAAACCAAGACTCGAAAGAAGGTGTGTAAGTGTGATGAGCACTTGGAAGGCAGTAGTAATGATAGGCTGGTTGAGAGGATCATCTGCTGAATCTGGCCTTCAGGACCGGACCAGCCTAACTTTTGGAGAGCAGCTAGTATATGTACGGCATAACGTCTGGGCGCCGTCACCTCGGGTGTGGAGGGAACGAATCAATTCAAGATTGGACCTCGAAAGTTCGTTTGCACCTTTGACGCTAGCCTGAGCTAAACGAGCCACAATCACACATCACAATTCAGGAAGAGAACAACAAGCTCATGATAAAACTGGTCGAGAACACTCCTTGTCAGATGGGGAGCTACCCTTTGCGTGTAAACACTATCCAGGTAGGTACAATCCGCAATTGCTCTCTTTCGCAGCATTGAAGCACCTGTGAATCTAGCACGACCGCTGGATCTGTTTAGCTGCCTCAAGTACTTTATAAGCGAGATTGTGATGGCCTGATGTGTTTGTAGAAAGACGGGAACGATCGGATGCTGAAGACAGCAACCATCTAGGTTAAAGGTCAGATAAAGGGTGTAGCTCATATTCTCTACCCATCCACTTCTATACACGGTCAAACACCGAGAGTTACAGCATCAATTTCAAAGGATACTGAGAACAACGTCGTTCTACGTCGCGTAACAGCTTGTCAATCTATAAGTCTGTCTCCTACTCCTACATTGTCAAAGAAAAATTCAAGTGTCCTCTTAACAATAGTAAGGCAGACAGTGCAGCTTGAAACGCAGAGTCTTGTGTAAGTGTGTTTCCGCCCTTTGGCCTGCTGTAGACGGCTAGACTACGACCCTGTACATGTTATGGTCGATCCAAATTTAACCTATAGTCCAAGGCCAATGAGCTCGAGGAACAGGCAAATCTTTGCTCCAGCTGCACGAACAGGTCTTGCATGGTCTCCAGAGATGAAAAGCCGTTGATCATCAAAAGCACCCTTGCTGCAAGGATTGCGTCAAAGACATCACGCGCCTGCTTGCTGGTGCCTCCGAGTTTGTCAAAAAGGCAGTCCTGAAACGAACGAATGTACGTTGTGGAAGGTGTGGTGGATTGGGTGCATGTCTGTGTCTTAATTTTGACGCAAATTTTGACCTTCTGATTAAACATGCTTTAACCACGTTTCAACGGTGATCTGGACTCAGTCTAGCACAAAGCGCGTCAACTCCACTGGTACTTTAAGAATTAAGAAATGATTCCGAACCCTTCAGACTTTAACACAAATCGTCCATTGAATCTTCCTTTTTGCCGTTCCTCGGAAGTGCAGCCGACGCGACCTGTGGTGAGGTCGTAGGCGTCGCGCGGTATCAGAGAAACGAACAGATGCCGTCTTTGATGAATCCAATCGCGCATCGTTGACACTGGACAGCGCGTTCCAGGCATACACCACTCAGAACAGAGCCTCGCCATCCTCGGCTCCTTCTAAGCCATGGTTCACGAACTTCGTCGCTTGTAAGGTAGCCTCATAGATGGGGAGACAAAAGATACCGAACCTTTTGTAATAACATCCATATAGCCCCAACAGGCAAAGGTTATCGTGTATTGCCGTCCTGATCGTCAAATGGCGCGTCTTTCAGATAGGGCCAGCCAGTCTCTTCCTCGGGCTTTTCAGGCGGCATGCCTAGTACTCTTCGATAGCACCTCACTTCAGACTGTAGACCGACGACTGTGCGATATTCGTCACACCATTCATCAACCCGCAAGCGGTACGCCTTTCGGATCATCTCACATACTCGTAGAGTCTGCTGCTGCCAATGGTCTCGTTCAAGTCGTGTCTGCAAGTGTTCGTCCTTTTCTTGTTGCAGTAGGTCATTGTAGTGTTCTCTCTGAGCGATAAACCGGTCCTCGGATTTGTTCGTGTAAACTCGAATCTGGTCCGTGGCCTGCCACAAGCCCTGCTCGTACTGTCCAATAAGCGCGGTGTTCTCTTTCTGCTCGTGCTTGTAGAGCTCTATGATTTTATTGGATTTTGCAAGTTCTCTTTCAAGTTCTCTGATTTTCGCGACTGTATGTTTAGTCAGTAAAGGTATAGCCTGGTGGTATATTACTCTCTTACGGTTGGCTGAAGAATCTTCACTGCTATGGCCATTGGCCATGTTAGCACGCCGGGCGACTTCTTCTGCGGATCTCGTCACATCATTGACGCGCTCCCTGTTGTTTTGCAGGATGCCGCTCAATTCTTGTATCTGTTGATATAAGAAAGCTAGGTCTTGTTGATGACCCACTGGCAGGGGAGGTATATAGTTGTTGGCATAGTTGTTGCCATTTCCGTTGACCTGCGAGCCTGGGATCGAGGCACGGCCTATTGGACTCGTTGGATTGTCCAGAGGAGGGAATGCACTGCTGTTGTTAGCAGCCATGACCTCTTGTCCTTCTCCAAGCGGTAACGGTGGTAGTGGTCGCGAGGTCAATGATAAGAGGGTTGGACTCGGTTGAGGCGGATTGACAGCAACGCGGGACGCATTGCTCTTATGGCTCGAGGCTGTATTGTGTCAGCTCATTGACAATATTGTATTACTAGTAGTAAATGAGTGCTTGCGCTACAGACGTGCTCTCTAAAGGAAGGAACGCTGTCGGGCCGATAATGAACCGAAACTGGAACTCACCATGGCTATAGTTGCTTGGAAATGTCATGTCCGTGTTTCTCAGGCTGGTCAAGATCTAGAAAACTTGAATTACTAGTGTTCGTGAGGAGAACGATACATGCAATTACACAATTACACGAACGGGACACGTAGCAAAGGTGAAGGTGTGCAGTGATGGTAACTTGTTTCTAGATTTAGATGTTTGTCAAACCAAAGTCTCAGCCTGCCAATATATCAGCCACGAAACATATCTGCATCATGCTTCAACTTCTTTCTCAGTGACCTAAGCTTGCTCTGGTCTTCGAGCTGGAGCCTGGAGGCCTTTTTTCGTTCATAGACAGCTCGAATGGTTCTCTTTGTGGCCTCCTCTCCTTCTTTGAAATTCGTCCTTGCCAACTCCACCACTTTATCGATTTGCTCTGGTGTATAGATAAAATTCCAGGTACTAAGATAGTCTGTTTGATCAGGATCAACGCCTGCCACTTTCTTGTTCGGCAAGAGTGGGAAATATACCACTGCCATTGTTGCATTAGGTTCCATGAGCTGGAAACTAGAATCGTCGGCATCTTCCCACGACAAGCGCTTCGATGGAGGTGGCTCGTCACCTGAGTCTCGCTCTTGCTTGGTACCAATCCAAATGCTACAGTGCCCAAGCTCCCCCTGCTCTCCTCTTCGAGCATGAGAATCCGGCTCGTTGGCATCCACAGCCTGCGCTTGCGCTTGCTTTTGAGCTTCCGTGGCACCGCCACGAATCTGAGAAAACTTCTTCGCAGCCTCCTGTGGTGATGAGATCTGAGCTTCTTCGAACTCTTCAGCGTTCTCCTGAGGTTTCAACGATTGCTTTGGCCAACCTGTACCAACAGGCCAGCTCTTAATGCCTCTTTGCTTCGCATACCCATCAACGACAGAGAGCCAGTTCTCTTTCTTTATATCAGCAGAGGCATCGAAGGCAACGAGGACGTCCACATCTCGACCAGGTCGTAGGAGAGGATAAATGGGTAGATTGTTGCTCATGCCTGCGTCCATGACTTGTAGATGATCTGATTTGAACACGGATTCTGGGCATGTTTCCGGCAATCGGCCTTCCATTCCGTACACGAAGTTTGGAATTGTAGCAGGATCAATTGGATGGATCTTGACCAAGTCCTGGTTCTTCTCTTCAAGAAGACTGTCTAGCTGACCAAAGCCTACAAGACCAGAAAGGATAGGCTTGACTTCCTTGTAATAATGTGCAAGTGTGGCGCAGAAAGCAGATCCATATATACCAAGTAACAAGCTCTGTCGAATTTCAGGCAGTGCAACACCTGTCTCAAGAATCTTATTCTGGCCACCTTCAAATGGCCGCCCCAAGCTCTGTAAATATTAGCATAGGCATGCATCGAAATTCTACGAAACTTCTTACCCAAGTTGGGATTCCTGCTCCAAACTCTTCACAGAAGACTTCCCATGGATGCAGCTCGATCCACTGAAACCATGCTTCTCTCTTTGCTCTAGCAACTGCTTTTGCACGGTCGGTTGGGGTTGCTGGATTTTCTGCGGCAACCTCCTCTTCGATAGGGATCTCGTGTCTCACGACGGTGTATATGGGCATGGGATAAGCTCCATCCTTGAGATAGGCTGATTGGTTCGATAGCTTTAGGTCTTTGGCTTGAACATCCAAGTCCCCTTTCGGTACCATCAGGCGTGCAGCAAGCAGTAGACTGTACGCGTCGACGAGCCCAAATGAAGCCCCAGGGTCGCCCTTTAATTTCTCTATGAACCCACTCAGGATGAATTTGCTTGTTGGTGCGCTTGTTAACAATTTTAGTGCTGGTGGAGGAAAGGCGATATGAGTGCCTATACGAGACTTGATATGGTTGAGCATAACTGCATGACTTTGCTTCCCAACAGAGGAAAAGAACAGGGTCTGCAACCAACAGCTACCACTGACTCCGGCAGTATATGTGCAGCAATCAAATAGGCCAGCCTCTTGTGTGCAAAGATATGAGCTGGTACCAGCTACGAGGGCGCGAAGTCCTCCACCACTGCCACAAATTGCTATGGTCGGAATGTCGTCAGGATGAACATCTTCTTTGATGTCCATGTATTTCTTGAAATGCTCAACCATGTACTCCTTCCGGCGCTTCCTGAACCTGAGTTCCTCGTTGCTCAAAGTATTTCCCACTCTTACTCTAGCGTTCCACAAGACCTCGGGATTGATCGAGGGATCATGGGCTTCTTGCCATATTTCATTTGCCAAACTTCCCTCCTTCAGCGACAGTTCGGAGTTTAATTTCTGAATGCTTTCGGGTAGATGTTTGGCCCAGGTGGGTAAAACCAGCTCTGTAATCTTGTCCCCTAAGCCAGCCCATTCTATGCGTTTGATACCGTCCAACACAACATCCAGATTGCGCGAGAACTGCATCCACGAATTCTCGTCATCGTCCTCAAAGGCAGCGGAATATGTCTCAGCATTCGTTGCATGATCGATAGTCTCGGCATCATCCTTCTTGGAGTGCTGCTGCGCCTGCTGTGGTTGAGTGCTAGCAAAGTGATTTTGCACTCGCCGAGCGTGTCCGATCAGAGCTGCGTCGGTGGATGGCCATGCCTGACTCGATCCGCTGTCATGCAAGGTTGCGACTCGTCTCGGTAGAAGAAGCCAAGCAGAACCACCACAGACGCCTGCTAGGGTGGTATATCGCAGAATCTTAGAGCGCAATAGGTGGGCAGCGCTCATGATGAGGAGAGCGCTGCATCTGAGATTGGCGTTTCAATGGTAGAGCCATAGATATTTGTTGCGCAAAAGCTGGCCACTACCTTGGTCAAACTGGGATTCAGTTGGGAAACTTCTCCGTAACAAGAAAGCACATGTCGGTGACGTTTGGCGAGTTAAGCAGGCGCGTTCCTGAGATTAGCAACACGTGGAGACCCTAGCACATCCATTGAAACAACCCGAACTTATGCTAGGCATGGATGCAGCAGTGGTTGATGCCTCAGGTCATCTTGAAGGCTCCTTGCTCCATCAGGTCCTCGATATTCATATTGGTCGCAAATTGTCCTCTTTGCACAATCCATCTTTTAGACAATATGAATTTATGATGATCGTTCTCGGATCCTTTGGTTAGACGTTCGTTCGGATCGCTACAAACCACGATGGCACCACAGAAGAATGCTGCTTTTGCAGAGGAAAGCGCTGAGGTACAAGTTCTACTTGCCTCGTTGACCAAGACCAAAGATTTGACCAAACGTATCGGAGCAAGTCTCACGCGCCTCGATGCAAGCGGGAAGATCGTCAAAGACGCTATCGGACCTATCTATAATAACACTCAACAGCTCCAAGTTACGAGCCGAAATATAGACAGGGTGAACGAGCAGATCGAAAAGCTGCGAAAACCACTGGACGCCAAAGGAAGGGAGGAGAATATCATTCGTGCTGGCCCTAGGAACTCAGGTCTTAACCAATACTTGGGTGCTCTGAAAAGGGTTGACAGAGCACTTTCCGACCTGACAGCCTCGAACTTGAGATCAAACCAGCAAACCATATCTGAGTTCCATGGACTTTTATCAACTGGTGTCAATCAGCTACTGGAGCTATATCGATCGTCATTGGCAGATGGAGAAAATTCGATAGAGCCTTTGCATTTTCTGACCAAAAGCCTAAATTTCCCAACTTTGAGCAATGAAAAGACGACCTATCTCAGCGAAGTTGCTAACGCTATCGTATCTGCAAGCGTTCAGTCAGCAAAGCTGGGACAACGCGATGAGGATCAAGGCGTGAAGATCTATGTGGAACTTAGAGGAGAATACCTGCACCAAAGTCTACAGAATCTTGCTACCGCCTCTATAAGCACTGCAAAGAGGGCACCGAATGATCCAACTGTCTACAAGCGTGGCACTAATGCCATTAGCACCTACTCGCAGTGTCTCGAGAATATGTTCTTGGCTGAATATGCGAACATTACAAGAATTTTCAAAGGCGAAACTGTCGGGCGTGTTTTCGCAGCCACTTGTTCCAAGTGTCTCAATGACTTGAACAAGACTTTATCTGAACTGAACGGCATCATACGTTCGCGTATACTTACCGACTGCTTTCTTGCCTACGAGATCATTGATATAATCACACCGCTTTCCTATCGTATTGAAAAACAGACAGGTCAACTACGACTACAGATCTCTGAAATGCTCAGACCTGTCAGGGATACTGCGCGCTCATCTTTGACCGAGATACTTTCGCGAACCAGGACTCAAGCCGAGACAACTACCACCCTTCCACCAGATGGTAATACAATCCCACTCGTCCACGAAACCGCCGCTCGTATCCTTACACTCTGCCAATTCGACAAACCTTTGATACATCTATTAACAAGCATCGGAGACGGTGGCTGGCGAAACAACGCACCCAGTAACGTATCCGCCAACTCCCTCGGTGCAGGTAGCAACACCACTCCTCAATCCTCCACACTCAATCTAGCAGACCCATCAGACAGCAACCCAGCCATCCTATCAAACTACCTGGGCGACCTCATAGACCTCCTCCTAACCACCCTAACCACCCGCTCACAAACCCTCCACAGAACAAAACCCCTCCAAGCAGTCTTCATCCTCAACAGCATCGCCGTCCTTTCAACAACAATAAACTCCAACCCCGAAGTCCAACCCTACCTCTCCTCCTCCCGCCTCGACTCCCAACGCAAAACCGCCTCAAACTTGTACCTGACCGCCTGGCGCGAACCCTCCGCCCACCTCCTCGACACAATCAACACGACCGCCTCCCGTCCCCTCTCAGGCAGCCAATCCGCCCTCGACAGCCAAGCAATCATCAAATCCCTCGGGTCAAAGGACAAAGACAAGATCAAAGAGAAGTTCCGCTCTTTCAATACCTCGTTCGATGAGCAGGTGGCGCGACATAAATCGTTTGCCATGGAGAGGGAGGTCCGGGCTATATTACAGCGGGAAGTCCAGTCGACGATTGAGCCGTTGTACGGCAGGTTCTGGGATAGGTATCATGAGCTGGATAAGGGGAAGGGCAAGACGGTCAAGTATTCGAAGGCGGAGCTTGCGACTGTGATTGCAAGTCTGTAGGATGGATTTGATCATGATGTTGGAGATCGTAATGAGTTTCTGGATAGCAGCGAGCCAAATGGGTCCGAATTGGGTCGGAGTTACTGGATACAGGCGTTACGAGGAGGTCCTCGACTACTTGGGTTGGGACGGTCGCGGAGTCTGGTATTTGCCGCACAGGAGCAAAAGGCTGATAGGAAGCTGAGTGTCAGAAGATCTGTGTACAATCCTGGTGATAGACCTGATAGCGATCTTGACGATACTTGGAGTTTGGTTTCGCTTTAATTTGCAGAACTTGGGCTAAAATTAATAAACTATTTTTACATTGAACAGGCGAACAAGATCCTGCCGATATTTATCCATAAAACTTATCCTTCATCACCACCTACAGAAATATTCATATTCGTATTCTCCTTCACCTCATCGCTCACTTCCTCCCTCTTCCTCTTCTGTCCGCTATCAACAGACTTTTCCTTCTTATTCGGAGACTTCACAAACAAACTATCGAGTTTCTGCTGTCCCTTCTCACGACTAGCAGCTTTAACTTTCTCTCCAGACAAAACAGGCGGAAGACCCTGAACGCGACGTTTCGCGTCCTCGAGAAGCTCAATCTCATGCTCCCTCTGTGCCTTGACTGTGTTGATTGACCAGGAATTACTACCCGCACCTTTGTGTGCGAGCTTGTATTTGGAGCCTACAAGATGTGTTTCATAGGTGTTGGCGTCTATTTTCTTGACATACTATTTGGGAGAACGTTTGTCAGGTTGATGTATGAAAGATCTTCGATGTTGGTGGTTACTTACCTGATGCGCTACGACAAGCCAGTGATATTCCGTCCCTACTGAAGCACCACTCCCTGTTGGCGCGTTCTTTGCGCGTCGCTTCTTCGTCTCGTAGTCGATCTTCCATAGGTCTGGCTCGGTCTTGGTCTCTCGCCAAATTCCTGGGTCGTAGTTCCAGGTGTGTGATCCGCCTACGGCCATGCCGGAGTACATCTGGCCATTGAATGATTTTAGAGCGTTGTAGCCTCCTATATTCGCTGGGCGCGGGTTCGGCTGTGGTGCAGGTATGCCTTGAGCTATATTTGGGACTTCTTCCTCGTCGAGCAGAGCTGGATCAAAGTCATCTTCGTAGCTAGCTTTCGACTTTGACTCATCTTCATGAGAAGCTGAAATAGATCTTGGTGTTTGGTCCAGCTGTTGACTTTTCACTGACACTGGCGACTTCGTCGTGTCAGACGGTGACGTTTTGAGGCGTTTTGCAGGCGGCATGTCTCTTGACGATTGGAAACCTTCGGGAGATGTGTGCATCTTTTCGTGCAGGTGTAAAGATACCAAAGGTACACCTCGATATGAGATGAACGCGTGACGTCATAGCTTGCAGTGAAGATGGTGACGTACAGAACGCCATAACAAGCGCCAACAGCTCTTGTAGAAATTGCAACATAAACTTAGGAGGTAAGACGAAGTCATCGGGCTTCAAAGCGATTCTATCGAACGAACTGCTTTGAATTGTCGACGAGGCGAAAGATCGTTGCAAAAGGTCGTAAGCGTGTGGTGCGGGATATCAAGCTCGAGTGATGGTGGAGCATAAACAACTATGCCAAAATCGAAAGCGCAAAACGATTATCCACACCGAAAGTCGATACCGTGAGACCTGATCCACGTATGAGGTGAACACCCACTTTAATGTTGTTATTTATGTCCTCTCCAGAATTTCACTGACCCTCTTGCGCAAGCTGAAACGAGCCAGCCGACCAAAATAATGTTTCGCAATCTGGCGAGGCTGTATCACTAGTTCTTATTCCTGGAGTTAGCATCCCCCTTGCCTCAGACTCGAACTGGCGACCAAAATCCAAAAACCTAAGACGCCTCTTTTGTCGGGCTTTTTGAAGTCTTAGGGAAAAGGACCGGTTTCGAGATTCGTGTTGTGCTTCAAGTTATTGTTGATTAGCCCTCTAAGAGGTGGTGAATCCTCGAGCTGCCTCCCGAAGGAAGATCTTTCGCAAACTGATATGAATTAATGTCAGTCCAGCACCCTACTACTTGAGCCACACCTGCTTGTCAGTGTGTTCTTGTCAACAACTCAAGTCCTTTTATTGTTGAGCACATTTTCTTTTCTTGCCACTATAACCTCTTATCACCACTTGCTTTTCATATCGCTGATGAGGCTGGATAGAGGTCAATTTGCTGAAAGTGACACGTTTTGCTGAAATCTTGTTCCCGGCATTGCTTCATCCAGACTGTGCGTGCTTCAAATGCCCCACTCGCTCGGCACATACGCAAGTGTTGAGATATTTCTTTCGTTGAATCGTAGTTTGGCACTTAGGTGATCCGACTTTGTCGCTTAGCGGTCACAATTGCCGAGTCAATTCCACTAAACCACCTCATAAACTTCTGTATACTTGCTGGCATCACATCGTATATTGGCATACATTTGCTGTAAAAGGGCATACGTATCACACCACTGTCTCCGGTCTCCAGCTGCATTACGATAGCTTTCGCAACCTCGTGTACCTCCAGGATAGGTCCGAAGAAGTTGGCGTACCATGGTACCTTAGTGATGTCTGCGAACAATTGTGTGTGTATCTGACCAGGCTCAACCAGCACAGTCTTGACCTTGTCTTGAATCTGTTTGTCAGGATTAGCTGCGACTTCTGCAGTAAGGGTTCTGTGGATCGAGGACAATGCTGCTTTGGAGGCTGCATAGTCTGACAGGCGGGCAGGCGACAAGTGCGCCAGTAGGGACGAAATGATAACGACTGTTGCACCATTACCGTTCTCAGCAGCTCGGGTCAAATCTCCCAGCATCGCAGACAAGGCGTTGAAAGTGCCAACGGTATTGGTGAGGATAGTGCGCTCTGCTTGTTGGCTGCTCAAAGCTGCATCATACCCAGAAGCCACTAAGGCGAGACCGTTCACTGCCATTGCAGCATTATTGATCAAAATAGTAGGAGTACCAAGCTCTTCCTTGATCCGCCCAGCAACAATCTTCATAGCGGCATTGTTACGAACGTCTATACATTGCCATGAGAAACGACCTTGGAACTCACTGTCACTCTTCATCCAAGCTCGTTGTGATTCATCAGGGTCCTTTACGTCAATGACTGCGACTTTGACACCTCGATGTTTGATGAGCAGCAGTTCAGTAATGGTCCGGCCCAGTCCAGTACCGCCCCCAGTGATGACCACGACTTCCTTGTTCCAATCCACCTTGCGAGGCGAGCCATATGCTATGCGATGATTCATCAGCAAGAGGAACCGAACGAACAGGAGAAAAGAGGCGTAATAGAGTGTCGGGTTGCCCAGTGGATGTCTGTGGTGGTGAGGTGGCACAGCAGCAAGACAAAGCCAGAAGATTAGCACTATGGCAGGATGAAATATGCTCCGAGACAAGATTCCGAGAACAAGATCCAAGGTAATATACATGTACCAAGGTTTCTCTTCTCTATTCTTTGGCAGCACAGATGGCATGACGACCTTGGCAGGCTGTTTTGCGGTTGTGGTCGACATGCTATTGCTCTAGCTGCGAAAAAAGACAACGAGATGTCAATCAGTGGCTTCTAGGCTTCTAGGCTTCAGTATGTCAATAGCTGCTCGTGGTGAGTTAATGGGTAGTTGCAAATCTCTATTACTTGCAGGTAAGCCGTCTCGACCACGAATAGGGTGAACAAAGTGACTTCGATACCTACAGCTGAGCGAAGATGGAGAGACGGCAGTGTCGATACCTCTCGGAAGAGAAGAAGGAAGATTGTTCTTGCCGTGGAACGACCGACGTCGTAATCACAGGCGCTTGTGATAAAACATGTGCTGAGGCAAGCTCGACACATCTACTGGTTTTCTGCCCAAAATCGCATATTTATCTAACCACTTTCGCTGTGCCTCTCGTAGAAGAAAAAAGGTCTTCGTCTGAATCCCATCAGAACTGCTAATTCATGGGATAGGTGCAATTTAGATGAGAGGATATGGCAGGGAGGCATGCAAGATTTGGCTAGGCAGGTGCGACAACGGAGCTCAAAGCAGAGTGTCGTAGGGTTGTTCTTTGAGCAACAGTACGATTGATCTTCGTGCAATCAAGTACAGCCCACGCAGCGATTTGTTTCAGCTGAAGTACAGATTACTGTACGGACGCTTGCCATCGTGGTGTCGAAATCTTATGTACATGTGGCTGCGCTACCACCTAGCAGGCTTTAGGTACTTGCAGTATAGAGGCAGCTTCATCTCGCATGCTATTTCGTGGTAGCACAAGCTGCGATAAAGCACATCGCCAATGCAATATCGCTTGACAGTAGCTACCTGCAGCTGCAGCTTCAACTGCAATTTTAATCTTACCAACCTTCAGCTGGGGTATCTGCAGCGCTGCCAGCATATCTTTCAGAACAGGCGTTACAAACCAGTGTTGTGGTCTGCCAGGTAGTCGCGGTAATTGTAATGCATACTCAGGCGTGCCTGGCTCTTCCAAAGACGAACGACCTATTCCTGGATGTCCTATGAATGCGCGATTCCGTTTCGCTGGTTGCTTAAATTTGAAGTGATTATGACATTGTTCCATTCAAAAGTGGTAGAATAACCCAAAGCTGATCAAGCTAATGTTTTCACGTCCTGTTGGCGGCCAATACATCAACGTCCAGTTCCTCCATAACCTGCAAGACAACTTGAAGTGATTCCATGAAGCCATTGACAGCAACACGCAGCATGCGGTTGGTCGTGGCTTTGTATTCAGTTCTCAAAACTGATTGTTCGTCGCTACCAGTATTGCTGGCTAGTGTAAATTGTCGTCGTACAAGAGGAGACAGCTCGGCGTCGACTTGCAGGGCTCGGAGGGCTGTGGAGGCGAATCTGTTATCAGGAAGGGGGACGTCAATAATACTATGGCCCGGTCAGAGGAGATTGGCCAGAGACAACGAAGCAAGGGCAGCGCGAAAAGCATAGCATACAGCGAACACGGAAAATCATCGTCAGTGGCAGAAGTCATTTTGGTCAAGCTCTATTTTGAAAGCTGAGACTGCACACCCAAGGCTGTAGCAGAACAGCGATCAGTAGCTCGAGCAACGATGGACAGAAAGCGGGATGATGTCGTAGGCAGATGGATAATCGATAGGACGATGCAGGAGTACTGGCCTGGTTGCTGTGCGTGGCTGTTGTGTGGAGCCCGGTCGTGGAGGAAGGAACCCCAAAAGGGCCACAAGGAAGGAGCGTTGCTGTGGTGATAGACGTTTCCGCCCAAACAGCACGAAACGGATCTCCTGGAGCCCGGCTAATGCACACATATTGCTACTTCTACCCATCTCAGAACCAGACCATCTTCTTTCCAGCATCGCAGGCCACCTCTTACCCTCAGCATCATTCGTTCGCTGTCGCATCGCATTGCATTTTTGATCCGGGATCGTTATTAGGTCGTATGGCGCCGTCAATATCTCACTCGACCAGCTATGGTCAAGGTATGACAAAATCCCACCAAGACGTCAATGGCGCCGCTTACACCGCTTTTCAGTGATCGAATACATCGAGAACAGACTATACCTCGCCTCATACACGCACGCCCCGAACGAGAATACTCCCTTCCCGTATCCCACAGAGACTCGCAAATCGCCACAAAAAAAGTCATCCCGAGCTGCAAGAGGGCCAACTGCCGTAGAAACCTCGAGACCCCAGCCAGTCTACTTCACAATCGACGATACCCTGCTGTACAATGCCTTCCATGCAGACTTCGGCCCACTGCATATTGGTCATCTGTACAGATTTGCCGTCATCTTCCACGAAATTCTTGGCGATCCAGCGAACAATGACCGAGCTGTCGTCTTCTGGAGTAGAGCAGATTCGAGGAGCAGGGCAAATGCTGCCTGTCTTGTAGCCTGCTACATGGTCATGATTCAAGCTTGGCCGCCCCATCTAGCTCTAGCTCCCATCGCTCAAGCTGATCCACCATACATGCCGTTCAGAGATGCGGGTTACAGTCAAGCCGACTTCATGTTGAGCATTCAAGACGTCGTTTACGGTGTGTGGAGAGCCAAGGAGCAAGGGCTTTGCGAGCTTAAGAGCTTCAATCTGGAAGAGTAAGAGCTTCTTTACATGCTGCAACGTGTATACTGACTTTCTGAAGCTATGAACGATTTGAAAGAGTAGACCAAGGCGACTTCAACTGGGTGTCACCTGATTTCCTGGCCTTTGCTTCACCACAATCGCACCAGATCGCTCCCATTCCCATCACATCCTCTGAATATTCGAACCTGCCTTCTTGCGTCGCAGAGATTCCATCGGCGGATATCTCTCAGCCCTTCAAGAACGTATTGACACACTTCGTGGAAAGAGACATTGGCTTGGTAGTCAGGCTGAATTCAGAGCTCTACTGCCCCACGTACTTCACAGCTCTGGGCATTCAGCACATTGATATGATCTTTGAGGATGGCACCTGCCCAGCTCTGCCTGTCGTCAAGAAATTCATTAGGCTCGCTCACAACATGATTCAGAAAAAGAAGGGAATTGCAGTTCATTGCAAGGCAGGTCTAGGTCGAACAGGATGTCTAATTGGAGCTTATCTCATCTACCGCTTCGGCTTCACTGCCAACGAGGTCATTGCTTACATGCGATTCATGCGACCGGGTATGGTTGTTGGTCCACAGCAGCATTGGCTACATCTCAACCAAGGTCAATTCAGAGAATGGTACATTGAGGATCAGCTCAAGGCTAAGCTCGAGCTTGCTAGGCCATCCACGCCTGTCAAGATGACAGCCAAGACACCCATGCGACACACCAGCACTGGACAGGTTGCTACTCCACCTAATAAGTCGAGTGCGGTGAGAGCGGCCTTGGGTGAGATTGACGGTAACGACGTGCAGACTTCTCACTACCAGGATGAAAACCTGCCTGCGCCAACACCTGGTCAGCCGCGGAAGTACGCCAGGATGGATGCCAGAAATCATCCTTATGCGAGATCGGCTTCTGGCAACATCGGTGGCAGTCCTCGGCGCAGTGTCTCTCACACCATTACCACCACTACCGAAACGGTCAGCATATTCGAGGACGATGCTCCTGCCCCAGCCTCACCGGTTCGCGTTACCAAAACTCGCAGCCCGAGCAGGCGTAGCGGGGGTGAAGAGAAGTCGAAGATTCGCAAAACCTCAGGGCGGGTGGCCAGTGTCAGGGGTGCGCGGGAAGTATAGTGTTGCGTTCCTCACAATCCGTGAAGACCATGTTCGACAAGGTTGAGGCGTTTGATGCTTAGCAAGCATAGGTTACGGTGCATAGCATAGCGAGGAGTTTGGCGTGTCAGCGATAAGGGTTAGGAGGCTGGTGTCCTCCTGGTAAAAGGGGTTTCTATGAGCATCATGAGCGTGATAATACAGTCACTGATCACGATAGATTCAAGATGAATGTATGAATATGAATACCTTGACGTTGATGACACATCGCTGCCTCCACTTCACACTATGAATTTTGTGCAATGGCTTTTGACAACAGCTCGGTGTCCAAGTAAGCCCTGACACGGTCGATTTTTCCATCATCGTCAAAATGCACCACCCAGCAGTAACGCATTGGATACTCCAAACCGTTCCGACATGTTGCATCAATTGCTTCCAGTTCCCCCACTGCTTGATCTTTTCCAGCTACCACATTGACCACCCTCATGCATAATGGCTGGCCCAACACCTTTTTATTCAGAATCTCAAGCGTCGCATTTTGGAAGTCCTGCTTGGACGTGTAGGTCCTTGACATGGGCGTTGACCCGACAATCCACCAGTTTACGTCGTCTCGCACTTGGGCGAAGAAGTTCTTCTGTGTTTCTTGCTTGGCTAACTGGCTGAAGAGATCGAGGACTTCTTCTTGTGAAGGTGCCATTGTTGCCTGAAGGTCTAAGCCTAGTCCTGGTATCTGCTTATTACTTGAATATATTGGCGATACGAGATGCAGGAAGATCCAGTGATGTGAGCGTGTCTTCGCGAGACGCTGCTCCAAAACGTCACTGAACACTTATTCACTTTGGTTCCTTGCCTCGGTCATCGCTAATCCACCCGCTATTCAAGGAGGAGGAACACATTCTGCCTTTCAGCATCGCTCAGTGCTGATGGGGTGTATTGTACAACATTGAACAGTGCCCCAGCCGTCATACAAAGGCCTGGCGTATTTCCAGGCACTTGACAAGGCATCGTCTGTCAATATTGTGCATCTGCGTTGACTGCCCTTGTGCTAACGAATGCAGAGTGCGTTGGTACTCTCTCCACAGCTGCGGAACCAACCTGCTCTTGGGCAACCAGTCGGAATCGCGACTTTGCCTGAATTTTGTGCAAGCATTCGATCAACCCACTTTGATCCCCACGAAAGCGTTCCGCAAGAGGTTTCATGCTCATCTCCCCGCCTTGCAAACCGGCAGACGTGTTATTGGTATCGGCTAAGAGCCCGGACGAGCACAACAAACGTCGGAGAACTCTAATACAATATGTCTTGTGTGAGTCGTGCAGTTCGCCCGTCCTTTACAAGGACTCCTAAAAAATCAGCACAGGCACAACTCCTGACGACTAGTGAGTCGATGGTAGTTGTCAGTGAGAAGTGTGAAAGCCAACACTCGACATTACCAACATCAAGGTGAGGACGGGCCTTTGGCAGCAATTGCCCATCATGGGATCAATGCAAAGAGGCTCGTACACAACAAGCTTCGCTTTCTTCGAAGCAATATGGGAAGCTGGCATTACTCATGTCTTTGTCAATCTTGGCTCTGACCACCCGTCTATTATCGAAGCAATGGTCAAGGGTGCCAACGAGAAGAAAGGTGAATTCCCACGAATCATCACCTGTCCGAATGAGATGGTAGCATTGTCCATGGCAGATGGATTTGCTCGCCTGACTCGAAAACCGCAATGTGTTATTGTCCACGTCGATGTTGGGACCCAAGGACTAGCAGCTGCTGTGCACAATGCTTCTTGTGGTCGAGCCCCTGTGCTGATCTTCGCTGGTCTCTCACCTATCACGTTAGAGGGTGAATATCGAGGAAGCAGAACAGAGTATATCCACTGGATACAGGACGTGCCGGACCAGAAGCAGATTGTTGCCCAGTACTGTAGGTATACAGGTGAGATCAGGTTCGGACGCAATGTCAAGCAGATTGTGAACAGAGCTCTGCAGTTTGCTACATCCGATCCTGCAGGTCCTGTATATCTATATGGCACAAGAGAAGCTATGGAAGAAGAGATCGATCCATATCAGCTAGACCAAGCACAATGGCATTCTGTCGAACCAGCAGCACTACCCGAATCTGGCGTCAAGACCATCGCAGAAGCACTGGTCGAGGCCAAAGAGCCATTACTACTGGTTGGCTACACTGGTCGTAACGAAGACTCTGTTCACGCTGCAGCTAAACTAGCAGATCTAATCCCAGGTCTCAGAGTTCTAGACACTGGTGGTAGCGACATGTGCTTTCCTGCCAACCACCCTGCCTCACTAGGTCTCCGTTATGGTGTAGAGGAGCACATTTCCTCTGCGGATATGATCCTAGTAGTCGACTGTGATATTCCCTGGATACCCACTCAATGCAAACCATCAACGAAGAAGATCTACCACATCGACGTCGACCCACTCAAACAGCAAATGCCAGTCTTCTACATCAACGCCCTCGCACGCTACAAAGCAGACTCCCACACCGCCTTCACACAACTAACCAACTACCTAACATCCACTCCATCCCTCCAAACCACCCTCTGCGACCCAGCACACATCTCCGCCCGCGAAAGCAGACAACACGAACACAACCAACGCACTGAATCCCGCACCGAAGCCGGCCGCCTCCCACCCGAATCCCAACTCTCCACAACCTCAATCAACCCCTCCACCCTCGCAGCCCAACTCCGCACCCACCTTCCCCCAACAACTATCTTCGCCGTCGAAGCCGTAACCCTGACCGGCTTCATCGCCGACCAAATCGCCCCCATCCTCCCCAAAACCTGGATCAACTGCGGAGGCGGCGGCCTTGGCTGGTCCGGCGGCGGCGCCCTAGGCATAAAACTCGCCTCAGACTACTACTCAACCTCCCCTCCCTCCTCCTCCCCCAAAAACACAAACCGCGGCGCCTTCGTCTGCCAAATCGTCGGCGACGGTACATTCCTCTTTTCTGTCCCAGGATCCGTCTACTGGATCTCCCAGCGCTACAACATTCCCATCCTAACCATTGTCCTCAACAATAAAGGCTGGAACGCGCCCCGTCGATCTCTCCTGCTTGTCCACCCGGACGGCGAAGGCAGTAAAGTCGACAATAAAGCGCTGAATATCAGTTTTGAACCCACGCCCGATTTCAGCGGAATTGCAAAGGCGGCTGCGGGAGGGAGGTGTTGGGCTGGATGTGTGAGGAGTTTGGCGGAGTTGTTGAGGGAGTTGCCTGGTGCGGTGAGAGCGGTGAAGGAGGAGGGGATTTCGGCGGTGTTGGAGGTTAAGCTTGGGGATGAGTTGGTTGATATGACGAAGGAGGATGTTACGGATGCTGTCAAGGGGGCCTCGAGTGGGTAGTTGGGATATGCGGGTGTAGATTAAATAGAGGGATTGTTGAAGCTTGAACCCATAAATTCATGTAAGAGCTGAGACTATCTAAGTTTTTGAACTAGGTATAAATGAGCCTGAACGTATACTGTCGAAGTATTATCTGTTTCCTGGTGCTGGAAAAGAATTCAAAGTATAAAGATGTAAGTAGAGAATCATGGGTTTTTGTACATCGCAGGCTGTAAGTCCTGATCAACGTCTATGCCTTGAGCTGTTGTACACCTGCGCAGCTCGAAATCTCACTCGATACTGAATATGAGCCCTTGCGCACCCCAAGCTAGACATCCAGTCACAAGTCCACGAATCCAGGTAGCTCTTGAAGTAATTGACCACACTCAGAATCGTTCTCGGCCTGCTCAGCAACTGCCTGAGCAGTCCATGACCAATGCAAAGAGTTCGATCTCTGTGCCATGGCTCCTCCGCCTCCCCAGGAATATTGATCAGACTCTAGCATGAAAGGGTTATAGCCTCCTCTTGCGCAGCCATTACCACCCGCCTTGATGATCTCAATGTCGCAGAGCTGAACGGGATCCATCTCAAAGTCTAGTGCGCGAACGATAGGAAGGATATCGGGGTTCTCGAAGCGATCTTTACGATCTGTTCGCCAATCGTTGGGTTTGAGGCTGTTTGGAATGAAGTCGTCGTTGCTATTGCTAAGTGATGCGTTTACTTCGAGCTGTGAACTGGGGTTTTGCACTTCACCAGAAGGAGTCATCTGCTCGGATTTTTTCAAGAGCTTCCTGGTCGAGTCGTTCTCGCTCGACGGAGCTGATTCCATCGTGCTGATCATCTTCGTACGCGTAGTCGCCGATATCTGGTTGATCGTGCTGCTCTTCAACTGCTTCGACGTCATGCTCGGAGATGCTTGGCTTGTGTACGACTTTTCGATGGGCTTAGAAGTGTTAGCGCAACGTTGGGAAGAATTGGGGTCAATCGGCGAACCTCTTGTAGAAGGAGAAGGAATAAAATTCCACGAACCTTCTGCAGCAGAATCCTTTCGTGCAGGGAAGTGTGCATCATTGTCACTATGCACATCCGACGTGGTGGCAGCAGCATCTTTTTGGGCTGATTCAACAACACTGGAAGGTCCTGTAACATCAAGGAACGAGCTATCTCTCATGGCACCTGCTGTGGCTTGCTGGAAGAATGCAAGACGCTTCTCTCTGACGAAATCTGCAACCTCATCGTTGGTCTTGACTGCTCGAGCCGACGGACAATCTTGGTCCTTGTTTGCTTGATGATCCCTTGAAGATGCTTTAGGTTCCTGTCCAATGTCGTCAAAATTTGACCTTTTTACATGCAGTGTGGGTATGTTGGTAGGTCCAGAGGGGGGTAGACTTCTGCTCGCAGCAGCTGTATCTTGCATAACCTTCGATGCAGTAAGTGTCTGGTTTTTAAACAGATCGAGTAGTACCCTGACGCGATTGGCTTCTGTTGTATTTCTGCGGACATTCCAGACCTTTAGAATTGCTCTATAAACACTCTCAGCATTATTAGCAGGATCTCGAGGAAGCCAGACATCGCAGAAGAACGTTTCCAGTTCTTGATTCTGTTTGTCTCTCTCACTTGCTGAGACTTCGGATGTGTATGGGTAGAGTTTGGTGATAGAAGCAAAGACACTATCTTCGCGATAGCCGAATCGCCACGAACCTTCGACAATTTTCTTATCCCTCTTTTGAAGCCACCTTCCAATCTCAGTGCTGAGTGACCACTGTGTTGCGGTTTCCCAAGCTTTACCAGTATCTCTGTTGGGCGGGTTTGACCCTTCAAACCCATTTTCGCTGACTGACATATCCTGAGAATGGCGCTCCACTGGATAGACTTGAGTGAAGATTTGACCACTTGTAGTCTTGCTGATGGATGACATATGTGTCTCCCTGGCAGCAAGTGTATATTCGATAGCACTATGCAGAGTATGTGCACATGCACGCTGGTCCGAAAAAGGCATCTGGGATCGAGGGAACTGCAGCCCACCAAAATGCGTAGCGAGCTCAAGGTTCATACACTCGACATCAGCGAGTGTTCTAACCGACTTATAAGGGAAGATCTCATCGAGCTTGGCAATTAATCCATTCCATTTCTGTACATTGCCGTAGCCTTCATTGAGCCTACATTTCTGATCTCGCCATAAGAGCCATGCGCCCGTCTCAGTTTCCGCGGACCATGGGATGTCCTGAGTCACGGGCCACGATTGTAAGTCTGCTTCGTCTTTAGGCTCTTCCAGATCTTGCTTGATAGCACCCCAGCTATTATCAGAAACTGTATTCGTCAGATCCACCAGAACCTTTTCAGCCTCCGAGCTAAGCTCGTCAGCTTTGGTAGATCTCGAGGGATACATTGTCTTCTTGTACTGAGTTTCCAATATGTAGTTATATTCTTTCAGTTGCTGCTTCGTCATATCAGGATTGTAAGGGAATCTTGTATGTAAGCGTCCAAAATCAGTTGCGGTAGGAGATTTCCAGGTACCAGATCGTATGAGTTCATCCCTTTTCAATAACCATAAGCCTGCCTTGCTATTTGTCGTCCATGCAATATTCCCACCGACAAGATTGGGATTAGGCTTGACTCGTACAGATTGGTCGTTTCTGTCGCCACTCCAAGGGTCATGATGATGGACGTGGCTCAGGACAGTAGGAATTTGTTGCGCGTCGGCCGCGGATGTGGGCTCAATGTAACGATCGCTTCTGCTGACTGGATGCGGTTCGAGAGCTATGTCAACGGGAGGCTGCTGGGCTAAATCGTCACAGACTGCTCCCCAGTCATTAGCGACATCAGCAGATAGGCGCTGCTCAGGTGCACAATCGTGGTGAGCCGTATGACGGGAGCCACCCCATAGAATTTGGTTCGTAGATAAATCAGATTCTTGGTCACTGCAGATTGCGTCATCTTGACCCATTACAGAGTCTGCGTTGTCGTAGTCGTCGAGTCTTTTACGTTCAGGATTTTTACTTCTCATTCTTGAAGTCTTCTCGTCTTGGTGCTGCCAATTGTGGATTAGCCCTAATGTCTCTACCACCTCATCTGTCTCGTCGACAACATGAGGCTGGTCAGCATACCACATACCAGTTTCTTCATCGAGACCTTCGACGTTCAGACCACCTTGTGAGAGATGCTTCTTTGTCAATTCCTCCTTGGCTTCTAGCTCTTGACGCATTTGTCGAGCCTTGTCCCGTCTAACATCTGCGTCCTTACGTAGCAGATCACCTCGATCGTCAGCCGGCTTGAGGAAGTCCAAGCCGTTGGCAGAAGTGCTGCCATCAATGTGCTCTGATGTCCAAATGGGTCCCTGAGGCGTGCTTAGACATCGGACTGTGTCAATAATATTCCAGGCTCGTCTGAACTCGTCTCGGATTGCGACTAGTCCATGGTGACCAACGGTCCGTGCAACATTGTGATCAATCTCAAAAGGGTCCTCGATGGCCAGCAGATATCGTTGTCTGACGTTGGGGTTCTCGTCTGACCATTTGGCTCTGGTCCAGCCTTTGTCTTGTTTTGTCACGATACCACCTAAAGTGCGGATAGAGATGGTTTGCTCGGTCCAGCGAAAGCCGGAAGGTGCAAAGCCGTAGTATCGGAAGAAGCCGATCAGTAGTCCGCCAAGACTTTTTTGGTTACGTGGCATAGTCGATATATATTGTCGAGCCCGGTTGAGATCTCTTTCGAAGCGAACATCGTGTCCTTCGAACAGGCTCGTAGGAGATTGGTTCCAGTCATGGCTCTTGGCCATCTCCTGCAAGTTTGGGAGCACTGGAGGGTGTGCCACGTTGATCAAATAGTGTAGAACCATGAGGATGTAGCCGTACGACGATAGGGTGCCTCGGTAAGGAGTATTGATGTCCCGAGCTTTAGCCCAGTTCTTGACGAAGATACCCATCATCCTAACCCGTGGATCACACTGACCATACGTCCAAAGCAGTCTAGTATTGTGCAGTGCAACATGGTTGGTGAAATTGACGTCGCACTGAATGCCACAATCACCTGCGTACTCCAGCTTGGTATGATCTAGTGTCGGCGTGTCTGGTAGTGCAATACTGGCTGCATCTGCATCGAGGCTAGTGACAGCAGCTGCTTGTTGTACTTCTTGAGCTTCACTCAAGATAGGTAGAGGTGCAACAGACGAAGCATCTGCCGAGTGACCATTCCCGTTAGCCACTTCTGCCTCCCAGTTCGCTCTATGTTGGCGTAGGTTGCGAAGTAGTTCGTTGCTAGGTCTTTCACACACTCTCAAGATAGGTATGCGTGTGTTTGTCAAGAGTCGGGCTCCAATGCCTTGGTCGAGAAGAGCTTTCTCCAAACCTCTCTTTGTTTCATCGGTGACTTCGGCATATTGTGAGGGTTGATATTGAATAGTCAGGAGCAGGTCAACGTCACATCCAGTGGTGCCAAAGCTATTCGCGAGGCTGCCGTATGGCTCGAGTCTTACTTCAGGTCGAGATGAAGTGATAGGATCCAACCTATCATAGACGACGTTTTTTGCTAGTGAATGTAGTCTTTGAGTGAAGTCTCGCTTGGCGTTAATTTCTTCGCGGCTAAGCATGTTTGTCGCACCTCTACTTGCAACAACACCAATATAGTCCACTTGCTCCATCATGCGTTGATTTGTCTGACGTTGGCGTTCGACAGCGGCAAAGTGAGGGTTCGAATTAGGGTTAAAGAGTCGAGGATCATTGGGTGGAGGTCGAGTGTGGTCGTTAGGGACATGGTTCGCAGATCGGGTACTGTGAGAGCCATTGGCACGGCCTCGGCCTCGACCCCTAGCTCGACTGAAGAATTCTTGAGCAGCAGATTGCTGACGTTGATTTGGTTGGCTCATCTGGTAATGATTTGGCACTGGCTGTTGATGCTGAGGAGGAACCAGATTTGGATTCGTGACTTGACGAGAACCAAGAGGTGGAAAAGCATCAAGGCCAGGAGGTGCTTGAGGTTGTGAATATTGATTGTGTTGATAAGTGTTACGAGGGTTTCGTGCAGAACGTGCATGAATTTGAGTGGATTGAGTGCTGTAGTATGATGAGACCTGAGAATGAGAGGATTGTGAAGATTGAGATGGCCGCCTACTGCGTTGATCCAGAGATATCTGAGATAGTTGTTCCTGCACCCTTGGGTCGAAGCCGGGAAGATTATTGGAATCCATAGTAGTCAGCTTGAAGTGTTCCAGGAAAGTGAAGAGCGATTGATCGTGTTGAGGAGCAGAAGCGCGGATTTAAATGCTGGCAACGCTTTAGCGAGCTATCACAAGCGGCTTGAAAGGTAGTGATGAATTCTTGGGATTGATTCGAACTTGAGATGTTAGACGAGAGTCATGGGCAAAGACTCACTTTTCACGCGATGATGCTTCGAAGATGACTTATGTAAACAAATTTCTTGACGCAAATTAGGAGCAGGAGGCAATGCGAGCGAGCGCTGCAGCTAATGCGTGGTACCTAGATATCGCTCGGCTGTTCACCAATCGATGGAAGCGTTGATTGGTGACAAGTTGTTCATGGCTTCCTCGAGGATGCAATAGTAAGCCATGCATATAGAGTGGAGCAGGTCCTCTAGTAAGTCGATGATGCCTAGTTTTCGAGGCATTAGTTACTAGACGTGTCACGAACCGTTTGCGATCCACTGCAACTTGTTGCATTCCATCATCCCATTCTGTTGTTGTTCGTGTATATCGAAAAGCGCTGTACTCCAGTCACAAGGACAAGTCTCATAGAGTTCGCGTGTATAATCTTGCTGAGCCGCGCTTTTACTTGACTTACAGATTGGCTGTCGCGCTTTCGTGTACTCGATCGAGCCTCGTCTCAAACAGTGCCTCCTCGTAGCACCCCTCTCGATATGAACCCTACTCGAAGTAATGGTACTGCACCGACTGCCTACCCTCTCAGCAATGGCACTGGGCCACCTCCAAGGAGAATGGTCAGGAAGAAGGTCGTAAACCCTTTCGCAACGGCCAGACAACCAGGACAAATGCCCCAACTCAATGGCCAACAAGCTCAAACACGTACAGGACCACCAGCTCCCACGAACCGACCACGACCCATTCAAGGAACTAGCGATCCAAATTCTACCAAGCTTAGCGGGTTCAGCGATCCAGCAGTGCAAGCAGGTAACAGACCATACACTGATTACAAGCTGGTGGTCAGTAAGAAGGACATGCTGGATGGTCTAAGATACCATATCATGCAACTCAATGGCAACAAGGTCGTCGACATTCGCGACCCTAAGCAATTTCCTCCTCCTGCCCACCTTCACCGTCGCGACCCGCGAAGTGCTCCTGCTAATGTTCCTCAAGAAGAGCAGGTAGACTTCAAGGATGGCATGACTGAGGCTGAGCGACAGACCATGAAGGACAGAACCGAACAGCGCAAACTCGAGAGGGCTGCCAATCTTGCTCAAATCGCTCCGACGCAAGTCACACGTAAAGCGAATGGTGGGAAGACAAAGACAAAGGCTGTGTTTAAGCGAGAGTACACGGAAGAGGAAAAGCGTCGGATTCAAACAAATTATGAAGAGAAGCTGCCCTGGCATTTGGAGGATTTTGAGAACAAGCACTGTTTCGTGGGGCAGAACCAGGGTCCTTCGGCACGACGATATATCGCTCTCGCACACGAGCCTGCGGCCGGTTCCACGGCAGGCAGGTTTCGTTTGATTCCCGTCGAAAAGCTTTATGAGTTTCAACTGAAGAAACGTCAGATCCACCAAACTATCGAGGATGCTGAGGCTCAAATGAAACGAAAAACACAAACTCCTGAATGGTTGGAACAACTCGAGTATAAATCACAACTGCGAAAAGTCGTCCTCGAACGTGAGAGACAGCCTACAGTCTTCACTGGCGGAAGCAAGAACAACGACTTTGCTGGTCGAACTGGTGAGGACGTCGATCTTGACTTTGACGATTATGATGATGGCGACCTCTTTGCCGACGACGAAGAAGGCGATACCTCCAAGATCAAAGACGAAGACGAAGCTCTTGCTGACAAAAGAATCAGAGAAGACCAGCTTAAGGCGAACCTGTTCGAGATGAAAGAGGAGGCAGACTATGATAAGGAAGAAGAAGACGAAATCAAGCAAGAACAGGCTCGAAAGGAATATGGTCGTACTTACAGAAAAGGCTTGAGCAAGTACGAGCACAACTACAACGTGGCCGATTCTGATTCAGAATACTCGTCTTCAGATGAGGAGGAGGATCCTGACGTGAAGAAACAACGTGAGGACAAAGAGGAAGAGAGACGCAAGGAGCTCGAAGCTGGCCAATCTCTGCAGCCCGATGGCACCAAACTGCTTGCTCCTGCTTCTGGTACAAACACCCCATCGGGTCGAAGAGAGAAGGACTCGCTCGCCTCCAGTGACCGAGAAGGTGGTAAACTTAAAGCCAATCGTAAGCGACCTGGCTCTCCAAACTTGTCCGATGCTGGATCTGGCACCGATACCTCAACTCGAAACAAAAAGCCAAAGATGAAGCACATCTCAGGTGAACGACCTATATCTCGACCAGATTCTCCATCAGGCACCAAGCTTAAGATCCGTGCTTCGGGTGCTGGCAGCGACACCGACGCAGCAGCATCTGATTCACAGGCGAGAAGACTCAAGCTCAAACACAAATCTTCGAACGCACCATCACGAACCGCTTCTCCTGCACCCGGAGCTGTGCGCACACCCACCGCCTCTTCCCCAGCGCCTGTCAGAATGCCCTCTGTTGAGGACATGGCCAATGTCCTCCGCCAACACCCAGAAGGTATTACCGTCGCTGCATTCGTGCGCCTATGCGCGAATCACCTGCCCAACGAGCGACGCAAGGAGATCATAGCAATCGCAAAGCCGATCTTGAAGATAGTGCCACAAGCAGACAACACGAAATTGCTATTCTTGAAGGACAGCCTTCCTGCTTAGAGAGTGGACGTGCGGGGTCACACAGAGGTTGGGATTGAGTACGAGGAGTAAAACGCTGCTGAAATTTTATCGCAGCGAGATGTCTAGCAGACGGGACTGAGGGCATGCGCTCGTCAACATTTGTGCCCCTTATATGCAAGCATACCACATTGGAGGCATTCGCCGTTGAGCGTCTCTCCACAATATACCCGCACAGCTTTGCTCACATGCCTAGTAATACACGAGTGGTACATTTGACGAGGTCTGACGCTAGACATGGACATCAGGTGTGCCTTGGGTGACTGTTGTTAACTAGCGCTTCTTGCAGTTTGTACTAGTATCTTGAGATGTACTGGCAAGAGTGGTGTTTAAACAACCAAGCTATCAGGATATGCAGCAATGTCAGAGACGCACAAACTTCTCGACTGTACCAACAGCGGATGGCATATCGACTGGTCGAGACTGAAGTTGTTGGCGCTCGACGGCGCCAAGTCTTTAGTCCCTAGGCACGATTGCCCTTTGGTTTCTTTAGTACAGGTACTTGGATGAGCTTGTTTGGATTCTTATTACAGCTGTTGAAACAATTTCACAACGTTAGCAATGTATGTATACAATAGAATAGTCTAGTTGCCAACCATGGGCTCTTCTATCGAATTTGAAGTTATGTGTCTAAACCGGTCACTTGTCGCATGGTCATCATCATCAAATCTACAGTGCCTATACTGTACTCTTTTATACTCCTTACTCCAGTTTATCTATCATCTTGACCTTACGATATCCCCAGTCACCGGGTAATTCATTTTCGCGTCAATACCCCGCCGCAAGTCTTCCACAGAAGTTTGCATCAGCCTCTCCGTCCACTCCACCTTGTCCGCGCATGCCTCGGATTTGTCATCTCTGAAACAAGCACAATACGTTCATAGGTAGTAAATGCAGTCTCGTTGCAACATTCCTCTCCTTCTTGCTTCCTATTGTCATAGCTTCATGGCCATGTTGTGAGACTTTTGGTCAGGCCACTACTTGTTGTCTGTATCAGATCTCGGAATATATAGTCAGTACGCCCCGAAGAGGGACGCCTAGAGATCTCGAGTCAATATGCTATGTGTGTCTGATGGAGGTTCTAGAAAGCGTCGAGGTCTGTTCACTCAGTAGGCGAGAAGTTGTGAAATAGTGTGGTCGGCCAGTGTTGCAAAAGCTGTACCTTGTGGAGCAAAGATGTATGCTTTTTTTCTATGCCACAATATCTTTCACACTGCGATGGGGAAGCTATGCTCCCAATGCCAAAGTAGATTTCACCTTGAGCGTCTGCCTCCTCTTCAGAAAACTGTCCGCCGATCCAGCTAGCCGATGCCTCAGCGGTATCGAAAAGAGTGCCAGCATTATGTATAGCCAAAAGGTAGACAGCCACTGCGAAAGCGTGATATGAGCGCTGTCTCGATCAGGATCGAAATCGTCACAGATCTGGTTGAAGAGTTCGGGGTTATCAGTGATGACACCATCAACGCTTTTCGTGATGCCCCACCTCATAATGTTGGGCTCGTTGACTGTCCAGATATATAGTGGTCTTCCAGCTGCCTGGACATCTTTGATGAAACGTGTTCCGATTGGACCATATAGTGCTTTTGCAAACATGTTGAAGCCAACATGAGGTACTTTAAGAAATTGTCGACTGTGACATGTTGAGAAGCCGATGTTAGCCACAGGGTATTCAGGTAGGTATTTGGCGCACAGGTCCAGATATTTTGCGGCCCAGAACCCAAGTACGACTCGACTTGGCCATCTGTTTGGACCTGAAGAGACAGATGCGAGCGTTTCTGCAATCAGGCGCATGACACTGTCCGCATCGTTGTCAAGCTTGATGTCAAGCAATATCCAAATGTGCTGCAGTTCTGGATTTGCAATATACTCGAGTAAATCTTGTAGTCGAGGCATTGGCTCATGTGGTGCTTTGATAGTTCGCAGCTGACTCAAAAACTGCCAGTCACATTCAATTATGCGTTCCTGTCTTCCAAAACAGCGCTTGAGATCAGTATCGTGGGACAGCACGACGACGTTGTCCTTGGACAAGTGTATATCTGTCTCGATAGCATGAGCCCTGCCTTTTTCGATGGCAGTCTTGAAAGCACACATTGTGTTCTCGGGACATTTTGCTTTAAAGCCACGATGAGCTATACTTTGTGGTAGTTTCCGCTTGCCCACGACTCTAGCTTGTGTGAAGGTAGCTTACTTCGTCAGTTAACTTCACACTGTTGACCGAAGCACGTACGTAGGGTGAATATAGCAGGGTCATCAGCTCTGTTCGAACTCATACTGGACTGAGTGTAAAGTCCAGCTTTCTCACCCTGCTGACGAGGCGCTTGCAGCAGAGGTGTTACAACATCATCAGTGGTTGCCATGTCTTTGAATGAAATATTTAATCTCGGTCGAGGCAACAACCAAGTCAAGAGATAGTGAGACCGGTGCTGAGTAACTTTATTTTGAGTTCTTCGTGCTGGCAAAGTCGTCCTCAAAAGCGATGACATCCATCAGAAGGCAGGCACGACAGGTCGTTCGGAGATAAGATCAGGCCACCGACTTTAGCAGACATCGTTGTAACCAAGTGGAAGCGAGTGTAGGCCATGGCTCAAAGTAGTCACTGGCGTAATATGTCGCAGAAACTTCATACCGGATCCATGGCGAGTCGGAAGAACGACTTCGTGCATAAAATCTGGAATTGCACTGCGGCATGATCGTGGCGCTGGAAGCTTGCACTGTTTGAGACGTCTTGGGTGCCACGTTGGACTGAGGGTCTTCCGAATTGGGTGTTGGCGGGCTTCGAAGTGGCTCGCTCGTGCCTAAATTGGATAGGCTTAGGGCAGCATTCGTTCCGAAACCAGAATGTTGGTCGCATCCAGAATCTGGATAGTTTGTGCCAATGCTTACCCTGCGTCACAAAACACGCAAGATGGGATTTCGACTACTGAAGCAGAACATCTGAAGCACTATGTGATACGAGAGTTTTGTAACTAGTGATACGAGTTATCCTAAGAATTGAAACGTGTTGGCGATATAACTTTTTGTCTATTGACAATCCCAGCACTGCAACCCAGCGACTGCATAAGGAATCCTCCTGTTTCGACTCAAATAGCGGCAGCAGCTCATATATGCAACTAGCCGCGTTGATCGAGAACTAACCTAAAGCTTGGAAGGACTCTGGGGGCCCGAGTGTAGTCAAGCTTCTCGCATGTTCACCACGCATCGAATGCAGTCACCCGCGTGCATGTCATGGAAGGCGTCGTTGATCTTGGCCAATGGCTGTCTGTGTGTGATGAACTCGTCTACCTTGAGCAAGCCGTTTTGGTAATCCTTGACCAAGCCAGGTAGTTGAGTACGTCCCTTAACACCACCGAAGGCACAACCTTTCCAGATTCGTCCGGTGACGAGCTGGAATGGTCTTGTAGAGATCTCGGCACCAGCAGGCGCTACACCAATAATGATGGATTGACCCCAGCCCTTATGGCAGGCTTCGAGAGCAGCCCTCATGACCTGCACATTACCAGTGCAGTCAAAGGTGTAGTCGCAGCCACCGTCAGTCATCTCGACGAGCTTGTCTTGTATTTTCTGATCGCCTAATTTGGTTGGATTGACAAAGTCAGTGGCACCAAACTTTTCAGCCCATTCTTTCTTCTTGTCATTGACATCAACCACGATGATTTTGCCTGCCTTGTTCTTGACAGCACCTTGGATGACCGACAGACCAACGCAGCCCGCACCGAAGATGGCTACATTCGAGCCTTCTTCGACGTTAGCTGTGATGACCGCAGCGCCGTAACCTGTAGTGATACCGCAGCCGAGCAAGCATGTTCGGTCCATAGGAGCAGGATCGGTAATCGCGACGACAGAGATATCTGCGACAACGGTGTATTGTGAGAAGGTCGATGTGCCCATAAAGTGTAGCAAATCTTTTCCCTTGCACTTGAAGCGCGATGTTCCGTCCGGCATCACACCCTTACCCTGTGTAGCTCGAATCTTTCCGCAGAGGTTCGTCTTGCCCGACTTGCAAAATTTGCATTCCTTACATTCCGGGGTGCTATAGGTGTTAGTTTGATCCCAAGAGTAATGTCTGAAGCTTACTAGAGTGCCACTACATGATCGCCGGGCTTGACGTTTGTCACACCCTCACCAACTGATTCGACAATACCAGCACCCTCGTGTCCAAGGACGATAGGGAATGCGCCCTCAGGATCCTTGCCTTTACGAAGAGAGGTGAGAAACGTGAGTACCAGTAGGATGTTCCTAAGGTCACTTACCAGAAAGGGTATATGCGTCTGTGGCTCTTTAGTAAAGTGTTCCACCTCCAGGGAGACAAATCTTACCTGTGTGGCATACGCCTGTATAGTAAATCTCTATTCTGACCTACAGCAGGATCAGTAACCTCAACTTTGCTTGTTGGAGGTCCTTTGCAAGCAAGCAGCCTGTCCACTGGTATCGCCGTTCTGTACGTGCTCGGCAAACTCCTGAAGGCTCTCGCCAGTCTACAGTGAGGTCTCTTGACTAACCTCATGAGCTTTTGGTGGTGCGACCTCGATGTCCTCGATCGTCAAGTCTTGAGCACTGTCCCATGCTACGGCTGCTTTGCAGGTAATGGTCTATAGGTAAGATCAGCCTCTAGTTCTTCGAATTCGGATTGAGCGCGTACCTTTCCAGCAGTATCTCCAGGCATCTTGGTTGTTCGTATAGTAAGCTGAAGTCAGATTCAAGAGCTTGTCAGCAGAGAGAAGTTTCCTCAGTGCGTGTTTTGATGATATAATTCTCCCCGCTCATACGACCTACTCGTCCCCCGCGCTCCCGGCACATGCCTCATGCGGAATCGGACTTCCTCTGGCGTCGCCTGAAAGTCCTCGAAGGGCCGAAACTGCCATATCGGAACAATGCATTGCTAAAGGAGGCTCAAACAGGCCGGGAATGCGAAACGGGTGTGCATACCGGCACCGTTATGGTGAAAAGATACCGACGTGAATGGCGTGTGACACTTCGCCCAATATGGTAACAACTTCCGGCTGCTACTACAGTCAGACACGTCCTTTTCTTATACAGCGCTCGTGAAATGAACAATCGAAGTAAACAATATAGACTATCTGCGTTTTAAATGTATTTGCAAACTGCTTGAGGTCCACCAAGCCTTCTGAGTTTTTGAGGATTTTGAGAAGGAGATGAGTACCATCATCACAGGTCGTAGATCAGAGAATTACAAAGTTGTAGACTGGCCTATGCCAATGGGTCATTCCAAACATGCTTGCTGAGCTGACTGGCAAGCTCCTTTGCTGGATTTGTGGTAGACCTGTACATGCCATCGTTCACATCCCTGCGCTATATCCAGAAGCGCCATTGCTGATATGTTGTACAAGAATCGACTCGGAGCATCGATTGTCATTGAGCCTCAGTTGACGAACGAGCGCCAAATATATGACCTGACCATTATCAAAGCGTTCCGAGCGTCGTCCGAGAGTCACGTCTGAAGGAATCAAGTCGGGTCGAACAGCGCCACAACTTTTCCCCTATCAAAGAAGTCCTTCTCTTACATAATGTACAATGTACAAGTGTTTTACCTCCCCGGCAGGCCACCACCCTGCATCATGGCAGCATTTTGCTCCTGGAAGCGCTGCCCTAAACGCTCAGATCCCTTCATCCACTTATCGACGCAACGCATGACGCAGCCTTCTTCTCGTGATATTAATGATTTGGTTGTGAAGTCGTTGACACAGTCGTCGAAGCACCGCTGTACCAATTTCGAGTACATCTGCAGACATCTCAGTCAGCGTATACTCGACCTTGTTGTCGTGAATCCCGTACAGTCATAAACTCCTTCATTTGTCTCTTTTCCATGCGAGCATTAAGCTCCTGCTGTTCCTTAGCATTGAGGCTAGAAAGTGTCAGTGGCTGGATCTCAGGAGGAGCGATTGACCACCATACGCATCCATGGTATTGTCCAGGAGGTTGATACAAATTTGAATACTGTTCTTATTCGATAGCGAGATATACAAATACCTTGCGACAGATTTGAGTCGATGTTATGATATCCTTCGGTAAATGTCCTATTCAAACTGCGCTGTTCCTCGTTTCGGAACATTTTAGGGCAAATGGAGCAAACACTCCAAGGGTGTCGCATAGCAGTCGCGCTGTTTACCCTCACGACGCGTTCTTGCAACATCACGTTCAGGACTCTGGCCATACTTTCTGCTACCATATCTATGCTTCGAGTTCTTCCCAGTAGTCGCAACAAATGCGACTGTTCTTCATCCGACATGGAGAGACCGAACACAACGTAGCTGGTCTGTTGGCTGGGGTTACTGACTCGCGTCTCACGAACCATGGAGTCTTACAAACACAACGACTAGCTACGTATCTTGTGGACAAGCGACAGCTGCGCTTCTCCCAGGTATTCGCGTCTGATTTACAACGCGCGTTGCGAACAGCAACCGCGATATGTGATGTCCAAAGCAGCAACAACAAGAGCAGTCAGATTACCCCAACCTCGTTGGCGCTAATAAGAGAACGAGACTTTGGCTCCTTCGAGCTTTTGCCTTGGCACCGCTCTCAGCAAGCGCATCAGAATGATCCCGTCGTTGCTGACTCCGAGCACAAGCCAAAAGAGACAAAGGATGAAATGAAGGTTCGAGCCAATGCATTCTTGGATGACTATCTGCTGCCCTTACTCGTGGTAGATGAAGAGTCGGAACAGTGCGTGGCAGTCGTATCTCACGGCTTGTTCCTCGCTGCTTTATGGCGAGCTCTCCTGCTGCGCTTCAAGCAAGCGACTGTCTCCTTGAAGCAGGATGTCATACTACCAGGGAAAAGCAAGCCGCTTGAGTACGTCGCAGCCTGGTCTAACACTGGTTTTCTTGAGCTGGACATACAGCATCAACCTGCCAAGACAGTCACAAATATCGAGAAGCCAGACGGTATTAGCACCGATACCGTGCCTACGTTCCTAAACGCCACAATGCAGGTATGTGGTATCAACAGTAAGGAGCATCTAATGCGCCTCAAGAGAGCAAGAGGTGGTCTCGGCTCGAGTGCGTCCGATGACAAGCAGAAGCGACTGGACAATTTCTTCAAGATATCAAAGCCAACGGTAAGTCGAAACGACCTTTACTCCCTCCATCATGATGACATCAAATTTCACACAGACCTGTTCTGAACATCAATGTGGAAGCAAAAATTGTACCAACTGCTGTCTGACCTCTGCAAATCTTCCTCAACACCTCAACCTTTTTGGACCCTAAATCGTTTGCTGACAATCTCCTAGAGTTCAAAGCGGACGAAATTGACTTAGTTCAACCCGCAAAGCATTACCGACCATGACCCCTTCTCACTCCCATCATGAGTCAAGCACGCCCACAAGAGCTGTTCCAGTCCAGCATACAAAGGGCATGTACGACCAATGGTTCATGGCTCCTTTGCCGTTCAGATGACACACATACCCATCCGCTGCCGCCACAAGACTAGCAGCAACTAGAATCCAGCCAGTGACTTTGTTCTCACCCTTCCAAACAGCAGCGTAAATCGCAATGCCCATATACACGTCTCGAATCCCGTAGACCATCAATAAAGCGTCCACGATTCGTTTGCTGGCACCATAATTTAGGTATTCAAACTCGAAGAACGAGAGTGCTGAGCTGGGATTGACAAAGGCGTTTATACCAAATCCTATGAAGATAGTCGCAAACACGCTGGCAAGGATTCGGAGAACGGGATGTTGAGAGTATTTTGCCATGATGTGCTGGTGTACCTGTTTTCGGTATGCCTGAAAGATTTCTTGTGGTTCTCTATTAGAGCATGCGAGGCTTAGATCTTCTTGGTAATTGCTTAAGGTCAATATAAAGTGATCTTTGTCATAACGATAGTCGAGGAGTGTTATTTATAGTAGTAAAAGGAAAGACGAAGTAGAATACCTACGGATCAATGATCGTACTCGTGTTCGGAGGTGGACAATAGGTACGGTAGCCTTTCTCTCAAGAAACTCCTTGGAAGGTGCCCCGCAGCACGCTAGTGTCTCATCAAGTGTTTGTTGGCTCAGTCGACCTGTTTGCCTGTTTTCGGGTCCACACATACTGCTTGGCAGGGGCTTTGTCGTTCGCGAAGACGTTATTCTATAGACTCAATACCTCAAAATGTTGTAAGTAGATTTCAAGAGCGCGCAGACGCTGTACACCACAGCATTCTCGAAGCTGGTCATTAGCAGAAAATACGACGCTAACATGAAAGCACCTGACCCTTATGAATTACATATTCCGTCCTTGCTCCAACCTTGAATACCAGTGCTAAAACAGCCTTTTCTAAGCTGGCTTCAGATCAAAACAGGGAACCATTCTTCCTTCGACATACTTCTTTGTCCATGAGACCTAGAATTCTCCCTCCAAATGTCTTGCGGAAAGAACTTCTCACAATGATGACGACAATAAGGTTGAGTTTTGTGCAATCAACTGACCATACTTACGTGCCGTACTGTAGGTCTGATCGATTCCCTCCTCCGTCTCTCGGCTCTTGCACCGGCAAAGACGACTGAAGGTCGATTCCCATAGACGGAAAATCTTCGAGTCGAGATCGATATCTCTGTGCTAACCGAGCTGGGCGCACTAGGTGATGGAGGTGAGGGCGCTTCAGGAGGTATTCCAGCACCGTTCGAGATTATTGATGCGCGCCGATGAATTGCGATTGGCAATATTGTCGCAGCTGGGCAGATCTGCGACCGCTTGAAGTACTCATCGGATATTATCTTGCGGTCGTACATCCATCTCATCAAAGAAAAGTCTGCTCGGATGGTTCCGACCTCTTGTCCACAACGAAAGTGCTCATGCGCCATATGTCCAAGCATATTGTTCCATGCTAATGCCGGATCGTCCTCTGTTGTCTGGTCGAAATTGGCTTCGCAAAGGAAGCACTTTGCTGTTGTTGGCAATGGACGACCATGAAAGTGAGAGAAGACATGTGTCTTGAAGCTTCGTATGCAAGAGAAGATGAGGTCGCAGCCGAGTATCTGGAAGGGACAGAGAAGATCGGCATCGTGTTCTTCACGTTGGGGTTGTGTGGAATCTATGTCGTTAAACTCTCGTGTACAACCGTTTCGCATCGCATCGGCAACATCGACTTGCAAGCCACTTGCCGTTGACGATGCGATCGAGCTACCACGAGTCAAGCCTGGCACACGGTCCATGAGAGTTGATGAAGTCACAGACGCCGTACCTGACTCGTCCTCTGAGGAGTTGTCTGGAAAGGTTGGACACACCATATCCGCAGTAGAAGATTGACATGGCAGGCTCGAGCCATTCCGACTTGAAAGTGTACTATTGTCACTGCCAGAATCTGAATGACCTGCCCGAGAAGGGCGATTTGACAGTGACGTCGATGGCCAAAGACCTGGATCTACCATCTAGATATCCAAGACATTGTCGAAGCAGTTCTTTGACTGTGCCATCGACCACAATGGCAAAGCAGGACAGCAACCTACTTATCGTCTTCTCGAGGCGCAAGCAAGCGGTCCGCTGCAGCATCTCGATTCAACCATTGATAAGCCCAACTTCTGATGCGGGGTACGTATGCACCCACACATGCTCTACGAATATCGAGAAAGCGTTCGACAGAGAACGATACAGAGAACAATACCTTCTAGGTGTGGCATGGCAAGCTGCAGTACGAGTAGAATAATACAGCGTAGATGCTTTTTCAGTATGCGGAGATGAGACTGCGGTTGAGTATTAAATTTACGTCTAGCCATTAACACATGCTGAGTTCAGGCAAACCTCAACAATCACCTAGAATCGCAGGTGCGGAACGATGTTAACCTCCGCAGCATTTCTGGTAAGCAAAGCACAATGCCAGCACATCCTCACCAAACGCATGCAGCGTCAAGTGCTTAGCGAATCTTTGGCTACCTGCAGTCGTGCTGAACCGTGATTGGCCGCTTCCTCCGTACACTTCTGTCCCTCTATTTGCGGAAACACAATGGCATTGTTGTCGACCGCTACCTCGCAAGCAATCCAGGTACCGTTCAAGGCGCGAAGAGGCGGCGAGCCCTTTGGAAGCGTGGAGTTCTCCTATAGAACATACTCGTTTCAGATCAAGCAGCTATGCGCTCAATCGATATTGCGAATTCGTCGTTCTCGAAGTTGTTCGTCGCGCCAAAGTCCGGCTGCTCCCACTGATCGTCCAAGAACCGGCGCCTACACATGATCTAATGTCCATCCTCGGCGAAGCTCAGCTCTATAGACGAGTGTGAGAACAAAATGCGAGCTCGATACACTTCCATTTCCCCCTCTGTAGCCAAACCCCCACGTGGTTATGTCAGCAGCTCTGCATTTTCTTGGCTGTTCACGTCACAAAAAGTAGGTCTCCAGTGCTTCGCGGTCAAGTCTTGATTCAAAATATTGCGAAAGTACATGTCAAGGCTGACCGTTTTGATGCTGGGCATTGCATGCATTGCGCAAGTAGAAGGCTCTTAAAAGTCTCTGTGCTCCAGTCTCAAAACGGAGTGTTCATGAGCCACATTAGAAACTGCCAAAAAAAAAAAGTCGCGAGATGAGCTCATTGGACTAGAGGCCGCGTGTTCCAACCAGAGTTAAAATGAGTTTATTTTTCCGTTCCGTAGCACCAGAACTCAAATTGAATTTGTTAATGCTACAAGACAATACTGTATGTGGCGTCCATCAATGCTAAGCCAGCATAGCGGGAAATCGCGATGATCTGAACGAGCTCTCTGTAGAGAAATAATTGCGAGCAAAATTGCGCCTGGACAAAAAGTTGTGGCTCACGCGGCTTTGAATCTACGTTCTTCTCCAGCCTCCTGAGCCACAGCGGAGCACGAAGATCTGGGGCTGTGGCCAGCACAACGGTGCCTGGCATCAGGTGGTTGAGACAGCATCTGGAAGAGAGCTGATTCCGTGTGGCGTGGAGACCTGCTCTGATGATGTCGTTTTAGCTCACGTCTGTCTGCCGACAAGAACAGGAGTCGTAAGCAACACGAAAGCAACGACAGGCAATCACACTAAGGTTCGGTTTGCCATGGCTGCGACTGACCAAACTACGTCAGAAACCGGGCAGAGGCAGGTCACTAGCGCAGTTTCATCATTAAATCATCACCCGATCCACCGTGTTTACGCATGACTAAATGTTATAAGCTCGAACGCCGTTCCGTCAAGATTCTGTTCTATCCATTGTCAAACTCAAGCACGTTACATACAGACCGATAACAGTATACCCTTCGCAAAACAATACTCTCAAACCAAATCTCAGTCACAAAACACATACACAATGCCTTTCACAGCTTCGTAAGTATCGCATCCGTGCGCTTCCGAACTGGTGCCAGACCATCAGTTGTCTTTCAGAGGTCATTTGCTGACGTCGATGCGACAGTGATATCTGCAAGGTCATCCTGGCCATCGTCCTCCCACCGCTAGGAGTCTTCCTCGAACGAGGATGCAATGCCGATTTCTTCATCAACATTCTGTTGACCATCTTGGGTTACATCCCAGGTATCATTCACGCTCTGTACGTATCGTTACTCGACATTGACCCAACGATTGCTGACCTCTACGCAGATACATTATTCTCAAGTATTAGACTCGCGAATTCTGAGTTTCCAGTGCAGTCTTATGTGCTGCATGCGCCACTCCACCGAATCGAAGAACGTCTCAACTGCGACGCGCGATATTGGCATATAGGTCCTTATCGCATGAGTACTGTTATATACCCATCCAGTGCTTTACAGAAATAACCAATACGTGGATGGGAAGCTGTTGGCTACACGTGTAACAGGACGTGGATCACGGCTACGATGGATAAGGCGCACTCGAGGATATTTGATGAATGGATAATTATTTAATGCGTGATACCCTTAGTACAGACTCATAGTGCAACTTTAGAATTGAACTCTGCAATGGTTTGCATTCCTATCGTTTTTCTTCTGTATGTTACAGCGACAGGATCTCAACGCTTCTTCTACAGACATTATGGGGACATGACAGAATGAGTGACCGCTACCCTCACCAGAACGAAGAAGGCGTGGAGAGCGCTCTTTCCATAGACGTCCCATCGTTTTCGCAATCCAGCAAGCACAAATGTATTCACACTTTTCGACACCATCACAAACTTAAGTGTGGCTTGCGAAGCTTCAGTGAGATGTTGAAGTAAAGTACCTCTTGGATGACGCTCGTCCAAGTAGCTTGCCCTCGACGTCGAACACAGTAAGCAGTGCGTCCACGCAGTCCACGGACCCAACTTCTTCGGTCATCGACGATGCGTCGAGCACTGCAGACCAGAGTTCGTTCACCACGAGTACCCGATCTGCATCCTCGACATTATCCGGATCTGCGAGCGCGACAAGCACATATACAGCAGCAGCTGCTACCAATAACCCTCAGCAAGAACAACTCAGTACTGGTGCAATAGCTGGTATTGCGACAGGCGCAGTCGTGGTTGTTGCTTTGGCTGCAGCTTACCTGGCCTATCTTTGGGTTGTCAAACGTAAGGAAAAGCAGAGACGACGAAGTCAGCGTTTTTCGACCTGGTTTCCACCAAGCGCAGGAGATGACACAGCTGGATCAGGCAATCCTGCAAGTGCAACGCTAGAGTCGGCCACACAATCGTCCCCTCCTTCGACGCGCTTCTATGCTGCAACGCCGATGCAAGAAAAACGAAAGAGCTTTTGGCGGGGAAGCCAGATCCCGTCCAGCGCGATAGGAGTTGCGGTAGTGCCGAGCATACCACCCTCGCACGAAGCTCCAGGTGCGCCAGCTCAGACAACCTTTAGTGGCATCTCTTGGCCATCATCTGCCACCACTAGAAAATTGGCCACATCTGTGCCAACAGCTACGGAAAATCGTTGGAGCATAGCCACTTCCTTCGACGAGGACAATGAAGCCCATGATCAGGATATCCCTATTCTTGCAAGCCCAAAAGCTCGTTCATCCTCTCGATCTTTCTCCTCTGTCAAAGTCGAAAAGCCAGCACCTTTGCATCTAGGCAGAGTCAAAATACGAGCTGAAAGTCCTCCATCTGCCAGAATGCCGTTAACGCCAGTTTACGATAACGGCGCGTTTGAAGCAAGTATTCGTCAAGTCCTCGAAAGGGCCCCCACCCAAGCTGCAGCAGTCCGTATGTTCGACGACCAACAGGCTCCAAACTTTTCGCGCAAGAAGCCGTCATTTGCTAGAGCCTCCCAAAATGAGAACAGTCATGGACGATCTTTGGATCGAAGTCCATCCGGACGCTTTCCTATCAAGGCTACCACTGCTGATCGCAAACAAAGCCAAGTATCGAACCGAACACACTCTGCTTACACAGAAATCGAAGAGGACGATACACCTGAAAACGAAGAGAACAAGCAACTACAGCTACCAATACCCATGACGAAGAAGTCAGGAAGACCTCCGCTCCGAGATTTACAATGGCCGCAAATTCCACGTCCGTCCGCATTGGCCAAGCAGGCGCAGAAGCTACACAGTCCTCGAGCTGCAATGGCGATCAAACAGGTCGGTTCATCCACGAAGAACGAACGGCCTCAGCTTCAGCAGCGCACCTTCTACAAGTCTCATACATCTTCCTCTTCAGATATGCTATCAATTAGCCCGGCGTCTCCAGTGTTCCCAACGCCACCAACTCGAGCACAGAGAAGCAATCCTGCGAAGCCTCCACCACAACTCGCAATGCGAATGTCACACGCTTATCAAGCTGCTCCACGACCCAGCACAGCTATCACACCGACAAGAAGCAGCAATAGTCTGTCGAAGGTTCCTTCCAACGCTCAGCAGCCGGGAGCCATGTACCAACAAATTCAACGATTGAACACAGGCAGGCCACTGGCTCAGAAACTGCAGAATCAGGGATATCTACCGCGAACAACGTATGGGCAGAAATATCCACCTGTTCCTTCAAGTGGTGGGGACCTATATTTTCGACTTGGTAGGAATCAAGAGGTAGACAGTCAGTGCTAGATATTGATTTCTCGCGAGATTTCTAACTATAGTGGCGCAGGACGTCAGCAAATAGAGACTTAATGAACATTCAGATAGCGATAATACTGTCACAACGTTTAGACGCCGTCTTTTACTATTCCTAAGCCACGAGTTTTTCTTGATTCATGGCTGCCATGTGAATAGTGGTGACAATATCTACATCCCTTCCTCAGACGATTTGCCAGATGTGGACAGCGAGTCTGGTCCTTGGCAGGTAGCAACCAGTGACCAGTAAGCATGCAGATTGCATGCAGCATCTCAATGCACTCGAAGATCTGATCTCACGATTAAGGTTCTAATAGATCATCTCGAATAAACTTTCCGCAGGCTTGGCCCTGGTCCTTCAGAATCTCAACCGAGGAAGCTTCCCCGCATCCCTGTCTGTTTCCTTTTCCCCAGAGTCCGGGCCAGAGTGAACAGGTCCCGCCGGTATGAAGCTTGTGATGGGAGCTTTCTGCAGAAGGGCTTTGTAGCCTTTACTAGTTACATGGTTACAGGGATTCTGCTGTTTGATTTGGTTCCTATATCCTGAAACCAGTTCACGAGCTATCTTGATTGACCTTTGTGTGCAACGATATAGTTAAAGAGAGCACGGGTAAGGCTCTGACTCTCTGCGCGATACTGCTTAGCCAAACTCATACGAGCAGTTTGCTCAATTCACAGACGAAGTGAAAACAGACTGCTGGAACTTCCAACCAAGCACGCAGGAATCTGAGAGTCTCGCCCAAGATGTCCCTCGACCACCTTCCCGTCTCACCACTCAGCAAGCCCAAAGACTTCAACTTCGCAACCCATATCGTCGACCACTGGGCACGCAGTAACCCCTCGCAAAACGCTCTATACTGGGTCTCTCAGGACCTAAACACAGAGCGCAAATTAACCTACGCGGATATCTCGTCCTCGTCGCATCGTATCGCAAAGTTGCTTTATGGTCTGGGTCTGCGCGCGGGCGATGTGTTGATCGTGATTCTGCCACGGGTACCGGTGTGGTGGGAGCTCGCGACGGCGTGTCTGAGGAGCGGGATTGTGCTGTGTCCTTGCACGACGTTGTTGGTGGAGAAGGATATCGAGTATAGACTTGGTGTTAGTGGCGCGGTTGCGTTTGTGGGTGATGAGGTTAGTGTGGGGAAGTGTTTAAAGGTGAAGCAGAGGGGTGGGCTGAAGACGATTATTCGGGTGGATGCTGGGACTGGTTCTGTGTCTGGTGCTGCAGAAGGTGCTGATGGTGAGGTCAAGGATTTTGATGCGCTGCTGGCAAAAGTGCCCAAGGATACGAAATTTGAGGTTCCGAGCAGTTTGAAGGCGACGTCGCCGGCGTTGTGTTTCTTTACGTCTGGCACGACAGGCCCGCCGAAGATTGTGTTGCATACACAGATTTCTTATCCTTTGGCTCACTCGCTTACTGGTGCGTACTGGTTGCGACTGACCCCAACGAAAGATAGTGTGTACTGGAACTTGAGTGAGCAGGGGTGGGCGAAGGCGGCCTGGAGCTTCTTTGGCGCTTTCACAAATGGAGCAACACTGTTTGTACACGATGACCGTCAAGCTTTTAGTGCGAAGAAAACTCTAGAGGTCCTTCATAGATTCCCGATCAGTACCCTGTGCGCACCACCTACAGTGTATAGACAGCTAGTGCTTGACGAAAGTCGGCAGCTGTTCGAAGGTTCCTTGAAACCACAGGCATTGCGACATGCTTGTGGTGCTGGTGAGCCTCTCAACCAAAGCGTGATTGAGACATGGAGAGCCATGAGTGGTGGTATGGATATTTGTGATGGTTACGGACAAACAGAAACGATCTTGATATGTGCAAATCAGAAGGGTATGAAAGTGAAGCCGGGAAGCATGGGTAAGCCATTGCCAGGAGTCCCACTGACGATTATCAACGACGAGGGCAAAGAGACGCAAGCTAAGGAGGAGGGTGATATCGCGGTAGAGATCGACCCACCTGGGAAACAAGAAGACGGATTCTTTGGTATCTTCGAAGGGTATGTATTGGATATGAAGGCAATGAAGTTGGACAGGCGGATACGTCAAACGAAGGCCGGGAAAAGCTATTATGTGACTGGCGACCGAGCCACAAAGGACGAAGAAGGGTATTTCTGGTTCGTGGGAAGAAACGACGATGTCATCAACTCTAGTGGCTATCGTATTGGGCCGTTTGAGGTGGAGAGCACACTGAAGCTACATGAAGCAGTTGTCGAGTCTGCGGTGGTCGCAGCGCCTGATCCTGATAGGGAGGAAGTGGTAAAGGCTTTTGTGGTTTTGACGGAGAGCAGGTGGACGGCGGTGAAGAACGATGCGGAGAAACAGAAATCTTTGATCAAAGAATTGCAAGACTTTTGTAAGGAGCATGCTGCACCATACAAATATCCCAGAAAGGTGGAATTCGTAGACGCAACATTCCTGCCAAAGACGATTAGCGGTAAGATTAAGAGGGCGGAATTGAAGAAGCTGGAGAAGGACAGGTACCAGGGGAAGAGCAAGTCAAAGCTATGAGGTCGCACGAGTCTAAAGTGGGCAATACAGATCGTACAGCCATCAGAAAGTTTACTGGCTCGTTGCTTTCTTGATTCTACAATGTTTTCAAGCATGTCTATGAACTCTCAGCAGCACCCAACAGCGTCACGTCTGCTTACACTCTGGCCCATCACATATCGAACAACATTAGCTGCTGCGACTGAGAAAAAGCAGCCTGAGGTTGTCGATGCTTGATACCATGATCCCATCGATAGGCTAGCCGGTCAGTCTTGGGATTGTGAAGAGCTGTAGGACTTCTTTGTAACACCATCATCTTGAACCTCCGCCGTATATATCTGGGCGTCAGATTGTGGGGATGTCCTATTATTGCTCTCAATCTGTGTGAATACTGGTGTTCCAAAGCTTGTGCACTGGAATTTGCCAGGGTAACAAGTCTAAGAGTTGACCCTTGTTCGTCGTAGTTGAGAGTAGCAAAAACTTCTCTCGTACCGGCGGGGCGCCTCGGTCGTGGTTTTGTGGATGGAAGAATCCTGGTTGCCTTTTGATAGATCTGCAGGTGTTCAGCCTCGCTTAAGGGTGGGAATAAGATTTCTGCTTGTCTTGCATACCACCTCTTTATGATGCCCTTTATTCGAACTTTCGGGAATGGCTTCTGTTGCTTGTTTTTGTCTGGAATAACGGGAGGAGGAATGAGTTTGCCTGCCTCCAAAAAGCGATGGACCTTGCTTTGACAATTCATGATCATTGTGAATTTTGGAGGTGGCTGCCAGTCTTTCGAGTACTCAGCAGACTCAACAGACTGTGGTACCATTAACTCTTTCATCATGTTCCGTCTCCTCTTGCCCTTAAGGGCATATGTCGCCTTCAAGACATTTTTGACAGCTCCAGAGTAACCCTCGTTGGCTCGTTGGAGCATATATAGGTACTTCCTACCTCGCTTCAGCTGGTGCGATAGCTCTTGCGATGGGAGCGACAATTCTCCATGCTGAGTGGCATCTCTTCTATCCTTCTGACGCCGGAAGGAACAGCGAATGTGCTGAGTATGAAAGTCTTGAGATGCAGAATCGAACAGGTAGCCGGCTTCCCTAAGCAGGGCTCGATAGAGATGCAGAGGGTTTCTGTAGGGCGTATTCATCCCATCGTATGGTACACTGACATTACACAAAGCAAGTCTGACAGATGGCTGCCACTGGCAGTTGAGTTGTGCCTACCGACCAGTGCCTCGGGCACGCGTAATGGGCAGCAACGCGTGAGAAAAATCGACCGGAGTGTGACACGGAAGGCTCGAAAGGCTCAACGCGCTAGCTCAGACCACACGCGTGCTTCGCCCCACTTTTCGACCATTTCGACGTGATAACCAAGGACCGCGACAACGAGATGCATCGTATTGAAACCTGATTGAATAGAGCCGCCGTCGCAAGTTCGATCTTCCAGCAAACTCTCCACTCATCTTCAGGTGTACCTTGAGTACCTACCTTTTGCGCTCAGCAAGCAAACGTCGCACTACCACAGCATCAATCTACAAACTGCGCTCAAACGAAAAGCTCATTCACTACGACTTGTGTACCGCGGAAAGAGCCCAAGCGTTAGGTTGATATTGACTTGTTCGGGCGATATGCAATAGTATAGCTTATGCAACAACTCTTTAGTGAAATGGCATCAAGTGTGCAATCGGTCTATCCACAACCTCCCGGCTATCCTTCACACGCACACTCAAACTCCCTCCACGGCTCATTCTCGCAGTCACAAATTGGCTCTTTTGATGCCCTCAATCAAAGTGTTGCTTCAACACCAGCTCCGACTCCTCCTCCACCTCGACCTAGCTCGCAACAGCAGATGGCCTTCTCTATGAATGGCAGCCATACCCAGATGATGCCGCCTAATCACTATGGTGCATATCCCGAACCTAACATGTTTGCACAGTCGCAATACCAGATCAACGGAAGCCCTCAAATATACACGGCGGTATACTCAAATGTTTCAGTTTTCGAGATGGAAGTGAACGGCGTTGCTGTCATGCGACGTCGAGCTGATGGATGGTTGAACGCTACCCAAATACTGAAGGTCGCTGGGGTCGATAAGGGAAAGAGGACCAAGGTTTTGGAGAAGGAAATCCTGACTGGCCAACATGAGAAAGTTCAGGGCGGTTATGGCAAGTATCAAGGGACGTGGATCAATTACCAGAGGGGTCGAGAGTTTTGTCGTCAATATGGAGTTGAGCAGGCTTTACTGCCCCTGTTAGAGTATGATATAAACGCTGATGGGGCAGCTGGCCAACAAAATATCGAGACACCGACAAAAGAACAGGCCATGGCTGCTCAAAGGAAGAGAATGTTTGCTGGAGACAATCGACCAATGAGCCAGTCTCAAGGTGGCACTTTCTTCAAGAATATGTCTTCCACCGCCGCCAATGCCATCAATGCCTTGAACCGCACCAGAGTGGACTCGCCAGCTAGAACGACGGACGGCAGAAGGTCCGTTGGGCCAAGACGACAGTCACAACAACACTTCTCACAAGACCTGTCATTCATGGGTGGAAGCCAGCATAGTGTGCACAGCCTACCATCACAAGACTCATTTAATGCTAACAATGGTGTTCTCAGTCAGAACGCTAGTTTCGCTGATTACCAGAACACCGACGAGCCACCAAGAAAACGTATGAGGCCGACGCCAGAAAACTCCTTCATGAATTCGTTTGACGGAGCTATCGACAATGTAATGGACAGCCCGAATGAGGTCAATCAAGCATTCTTCGCACAGGCTAATCAATCCTTCATGGCTGCACAGCCGTTTGTCTTTGGCCTCGAACCATTGCCGCATCCGAATGGAAGCTTAGAAGAACGGAGGAAAGAACTGCTGTTAGATCTTTTCATGGATCCTAACAGATCAGACTTCGAAGATCATCCTGCCTTCCTCACCCTTAGTGGTGAGGAGTTTGAAGTACCTATCGATACGTCCTGCAACACTGCGTTGCATTGGGCAGCCACTCTCGCTCGTATACCTCTTGTCAAGAAGCTCATGGATAAAGGTTTCAACATTAGACGGACCAACAGCGGTGGTGAAACTGCTCTCATTGCCGCATGTCAAGCACGCAATAACTTGGATCAGAACTCTTTCCCAGCCTTACTGGATTTGCTAGGTCCCAGCATCGAGATACGGGACGGTCGTGGGCGTACGATGCTTCATCACATCGCAGTCTCTTCGGCCATGAAAGGTCGAGCTGCTGTGGGCAAGTACTACTTGGAATCACTGCTTGGCTACGTTCTGAAACAATCACATGTGGCAAACCCGAACTCTTCGTCGGCTCCAATGACATTGACACGTTTCATGGCCGAAATAGTTAACGCTCAGGACAAATCCGGCGATACTGCTCTCAACTTGGCAGCTCGTACAAGCACGAGGGCAATCATTGATCAGCTCCTCGAGGTTGGTGCAGATGCATTCATTGCCAATAGAGGAGCGCTGGCACCAATCGACTTCGGTGTTGGAGCAGACAATGGTCAGACGGCACGAGATCCCACACTGACCACAAGCTTTGATGCGTCACAGAGCATGAATGCCTCGCAACAATCCTTCGAAGAGGCCAAAGAAGGGTTTATGACTTGTAAGACAAATCGACCGATTGACCCAGACATCGCTAACATACCTCCAGCAATGAATGGCATATTTGCTCAGGCCGATGCAGATTTTGAGACGGAAATGAAGACCAAGGACGATATCCTCAACAAGACCAATGCAGCCTTGAAAGAGTCCAGCAATGCCTTGATCGAGGAGAGGAAGAAACTCGAAGAACTAACTGCAAGAACTCAAGGGCAAGATGAGTTGGCGCAAAAAGTGAAAAACTTGAGGCGTTTCAACCAAGAGCTTCGAGAGCAACTGTCCGCCTCGAGCCAAGTACAAGACAATGTTCCTGTGGGCGAGGCTGACAAAGGCCTAGATCTCGATGGGAAGATCAATAACGTCAACCAGCTGTTCCCGAATGGAGCTCAAGATCTAGGCTCGAATCTTAGCCCTGAGCAGATCCAACTTTTGACCTCGCTAGAGCGTGCTGAGGTTCTGACAGGACGAGTACAGGCCTATCAAACACATAATGCTCTGCTGGAAAACGAAGCTAGAGGCTTGAAAGGCAAGAGCAAAGAGCTCGAAGATAGGTATAGAAAGATTATCAGCTTATGTACAGGCACACCCGAGGAGCGAGTGGATGATCTGCTGGATCAACTGGTGCAGGCAGTTGTCAGCGAACAGAAGGACATGGCTAGTAGCATGGACTTAATACGCGTTCGAGACTTCCTTCGCAATGTGCAGCAAGATAGCTGAAAAAGCATGAGAACTGAAAGAGTAAAGAATATCATCAATTTCATTGTCTTGGCGATTGGTGGAAGGAATATACATCAGTATGCTGGTGCAACCATGCAACGTTGGGTCCGGCGCCTGCTCAAGGACCGCAGCGAAGTGCACAATCTCATTATGTGGATATGGTTCTATTTACATTCCAGATAGGCAAATAAAGCCTTGTCAAGTCCTCAAGATCCGTGTCAAGGTATCTTTCTATTTCAGTTCCAGCGTATCGCGAGACTATGATGAGACAAAAATGCTTGAAATGTATTGTGGTCATGCCGCGCGATAATGACAATGAGCTTCTTCTGTCCACATCAGCGTCAATGCCCAATTTATGGACATGGAATCGTTACTATGCAGTGTATGAGCATGTGGCGTCTGCTAACACAATTCATGAATTCGAGAATGCTAATCCAAGAAACCGAGCTCGTATCTCCAATCGATTTCGCCAAGTCGTGGCCGGTTCCCACTACTCAGCCGGCGAGGCGCTGGTCGACCACAGCAAGCTTTGGACTGCCCCTAGATCTGATACACTTCTCCGACGTCTTTTCATTGTTGAACCTTCGGATTGGCTGTTCGCTCCTGCCCCCTGCCGCGCGCTACGATTCTAGCGCATCGAGTCCTTGCTTGTGAAACACCTTCTCTTGACCTCCATCTGGTCGCACTGCATCAATGCCAAACGTGTCCTTACTTCCTTTGCTTCTCCATTGTCTCTGTGCCGGTCCAATCAAGCATATGATCTACTATGCATAAGCCACCTATAGCTGTCCGATTGGTCTCTCGGATGTCGTGCAGATGGCTTTGCCAAGATCTTGCCTAGAAGCGCGACATGTTTCGGTACCGGCATTGTAACTTGACTCTGCAGATCCGACAGACTTTGCGCCAATAACCCAGTACCTGGTAGGTTTGCGACTTGTTCTCGTTCCTGACCGCGTAACAGTCTGTATCAAGTTGTCGGTGTTCAAGATCAGTGTCACCGACCCCATTGAAATCATGTGCTCCGGTGGCAAGATTCTTCTTACCATTCTGACCAACAATGCTCCAACAGGGATCACTATGAAGCTATCTGTGACTCCAGAGGTTTGTGACTTTGTTTCCAACCACTTCTCCTTGCTCTCGTGATCAATACCCTCTCTTCAAAGCGTCTATCTTTTCTTGGGCTGGTCCACTACTATCGCTATTGTTGTTCAATTTCCCTTCGATTGCCGTCACTGGTTGACGCTCTTGCTACACACTCACTTACAGTTGACCTACAGCGACCACAACAAGAACAAAAGTGCTGCCGATCACTTTCTCTGGACATTGACTGTTTACTGGCCTCCTCGTCGGAAACCCTACGTTCCTTGTATCGTGCCAGCAGTCACGACTATGAACATTGCTTGAAATGCACCTTTTGCGATGGGTGTTGTCAACCTCACTCCTAACACAGGCCAGCCTAGTTGCCTCTTCCGCGCTACTGCACATACCAGGATTGAGAACATACAGTGATTTCGAAGAACGATCACGCAGAGCATCCGAGCACTATGAAGGCGAATTGGAGAGGCGAAAGCCTCGGGAAACGACATCAAGCGGCGGCGACCTGAGTCTGACCGCCCCGGACACTGAAAGAAATGTCAGCACTTTGCAGGCTTGTATGACAGGAATGCAGAATATTGCCAGTGTCAGCAACGAAGCCGGATTCGCAGCGTGCTACAATGTGCTGGATTGGCACGAGAACATGAACGGAATGTTTCAAGCAGACTTAAGATTCTTCCAAATCTCGAGTGCGGCAGGACAATTCGCCAACGTGCCCATGAACGACATCACGATTCAACTTCTTTATCCCAACAGCACTCAATACTCTGTCCTCACGAACGTCAAACGTAGCGTGTCGACCCTACAACAGCGACAAAGTGCGAGTGAGCCTACTGAGATACAACAGTATTCTCTGGTCGGCAATTTCCAGATGCAGCTCGATCTTAAGAAGCTCAACAATACCCAGATCATGTCACTTCTGATCCCACAGATCATTCTATCAGCTAAGGTGGAAGGGACGACCGTGGCTTCACAGGTGGCATCGTCAGATGTCGTCTACTTCGTTGCTGGCCAATTCCTTGATGGCATGACGCCACAGCTAGCAGCAAAGGCTGCAGATCCAGTCATGGCAGCAGACGCTATTATGGCGTCGCAAGGATTTGTTTTACCAGGCACCACTTTTGGTGTTTTCCCTGTTGGGCTTATCATTACCAGCACGTGGTGTCTTTTGTTCTTTCTAGCATATGGGCTTGGCACAATTGGCCGTATACGGCATAGGGACATCTATAGAAAGAGGATAGCAGTGACGACGGGTCGGAGTGGAAGGCGGTGAAATCAAGCACACCGAGACATTCATTTAATTATTAGCATTAGATACCCCATGTACCATTAACGAACCAATTTAGACAGACACGAAGAATGAACTCTTCCCAAAAGTGCAATGTGATCACTTTGGCATCTTCATACGTCCAATCTCATTGCCGTTCATACATGACAGTCTCACTCACCATATTCACAGGCCTCGTCGTTCGTCCCTTCCAATTTAGTGGAAGCAGGAGATCCCAGAATGAGCGCTTGCCGTTCTCATCGGCGCTGCTTTGCGAACATACGGCAAGTTTCAGAGCGAGGATGAACACGCTTACCCTTGGAAGACCTTGAGCTCCGCTTTTCGATATGCACTGATTTGTGAAACTTCAGCCATTGCCACCATGCCAACGGGTTGTTCCCAGCCGAACAGGCCCGTGCTGCAGACGACGGTGACAGTGTCGTCGAGGGTTAAAAAGTGTACAGAAGCAGTGCGCAAAAGCTGGTGGGCCTACGTGAATCGCTTCGACCCGGTCGCGTGACACTTTTAATGAAGCGTGTTAAATTTTCTTAGGCACGAATCTAAGCGGCCTTAGCAATTCTCTTCGCTCATCTTTATACAGTACCTTACCGTGATCCTTTGAGGAAGTCTTGCGCAGGACGCTACGAGAATATGCTGACTGTGCGCAACATCACGAGCGGGTCTGTTGTTTCGCCCTATCCACACCGGATCATCTAACCACAAATCTTGTCCTATGGACCACCTCTTCCCATACCCCAGAATGGGGACCTCGTGGCTAGAAGTTCTAGAAGATCCTTTAACCCGCAAGCTTCTGGGCCATGAGGCCACACTGGCTGAGAAGGTACCTTTCGTGGCAGGTGTGCAACAGCGACTCAAGTTCCTTCTTCAAGATCCTCTCAAGCACCTTTCCCTTGCCAAGATAGGCTATTCAGCCCTTGAGGCGTTCTTACAAGCAAACTGTACCGGTCCTCCCCTAGAATTTGATCCTGCTACAGTTATCTTTCCAGAAAGCTATCGTGATGACATCCCTGAAATCAAGAAGGAGATGCTCAAGAGCCTCACGACCGATGGCATAGATGCATATTCCTTAGTACCACAGGTCGAGCTATTCTGGCTGGCCAAATCCATACTAGATAATGATACGCTGGCTGGAGAAGGGTTCAATGGGCGTCGAGCACGGTTTCGAGTACATTGCTGGCATCAAAAGCTGCTTCTTGAACAATCTGACACATTGCAAGATGCGATCTTTGGTGATGCCGCGATACTGGAATCTCAACTTGCGTCTAGACTTGCACATGGGGGTGCTGCAGCACAAGACCATATGGTCGAGTTTCATATCGAGCGGGCTAATATAAGGATATTTTACGGGCATGACACAGCTGCTCGGCAGGACCTGGTGCAGGCTTCCAAGCTTCGAGGCTTCGAGTTTGCGCTCACTGGAGCACTAGGCAAGAAGACAAAGTTTCAGGAAAAAGAGATCAGTCAATTGGTTGTGATAGCGAGGAGCAACGACATTGAGCACGAGCTGGACAGTACTGGCGTAGCAAGCAGTGCAGACGAAGCCTCGCGCCTAGAAAATCCTGCTGCTAACCACGCCGGCCAATACCCTGCTCAATCGGAAGACCCTCGTCCAATAGCCGAGAATATGAGTAATATACTCAACACTAACGGTACGCTTAACCGAGACAATGCCGCGAAACCAGAGAACATCCTACTTAACGACGATACATTACTGGAAAACATTCAGTTCAGTAATCACACTGCAAACACACCGGACCCGACAACGAACATAATCGCGGACCGAGCATATCTCCCACCATCTCTTGCTTCGGTTGATCCAGCAGATCAGCCGAAATTACAGCCTATTGACTCCATTATCCTTTTAGCGATAGCGTCGAGCATTACCAATACTCAAGCCTCCAGTGGGTTGACAAGAGAAGAAACGACGCCATACGCGACGAGAGTGCTTGAAGGAGGTTCCTCGAATTGGTCAGTCTATTCACAGGGTCTGCTAGTGAGGAGTAGGATAGAAGGGTATCGCTCCAGAACAGCAGAAAGAGGATTGTTACAGCTACAAGCATTGGTAGACCAAGTCATTGCCGAGACTGCAAGTGATACGGTCACCTCACGGACGGACGGAGAAGCAGACTCCAGCAATCCAGCTTCAGCGTCTTCATTCCTGCCAAAACCCACTAAAGAAGAAGGTGCATCGGTAGCAGAGAGACTGCAGTTTGTTCACCAGTTGCAGCCACCCTTCCGTTGGGATCTAGAAGCAGAGCTTGCGTCGAGATGGGTAGCTATGGGTGGACTGAAGACTGCTCTCGAAATATACGAACGTTTACAAATGCACGCTGAGATTGCATTATGTCTAGCTGCTACTGATCGAGAGGCAGAGGCTGTGGCGCACCTGAAGCGACTGCTCTTCGTTGCTCCTGACCAAGTGATGCAGGACGGCGATGTCGTGTCGCTCAACAAGCCTCTTCCAGCAGAAAGTCCACGACTTCTATGTATATTAGGTGATATTCAGCAGGAACCCAAGTATTATGTCCTGGCTTGGACCGTATCGGAACATAGATATGCCCGAGCACAAAGATCCCTTGGGAGATTTTACCTCAAGAAGCATGACCTATCTGCCGCGGTCGAGGCATTTACAGCCGCACTTCGAATAAGTCGTCAGGACTTGGCAACTTGGTTTTCGCTCGGTTGTGTTTATCTTGAGCTTGAGCACTGGCAGCTGGCAGTCGAAGCTTTTACAAAAGTCGTGCAACTTGAAGACAAGGATGCACAAGGGTGGAGCAATCTTGCGGTGGCCCTGTTGAGACTACCTAGCCCTAAGCCGAGTCCGACGGTCGAGGGGACCACAGTGCATGACGATGAAGAGGACCAACCAACGTTCGATCCCTTGCAGCACACGCTGGAGGCTCTCCGCGCGTTGCGTCGCGCCGCCCAGCTCAAGAGGGAGGATGCACGCATATGGGACAACTACCTTACGGTGGCAGCTAGCATACCGCCGAATCCGGAACATCCTGAGCGAGGAACACCTTGGCAGGAAGTGCTGCATGCTATGAGTCAGGTAATCACACTACGGCACAAGAAGGAAGGTGAAAGCTGCGTTGACTTGAAGATATTGGAAGCACTGGTTGATCACATCACTGCTGCTTGGGACTACCCAAGTTCAGAAGATGAGTCGACTGCCACCAAGGCTGACCAGTTGATGCAAACCAGTGATGGAGGTACGATCGTGTCAGCAGTGCATCGTTTGCCCTTTCTGGTCCGAGCACTCACCACTTTAATCAATGGTCAAATCACAACTCTGGCCATATCTTCTCCGCAGCTTTTCCTACTTCTTTCAAAAGTAGCTCTCTGGCGACGCCGTCCAGCTGAATCACTCGCTCTAATTGAGAAGTCTTGGCGTGCAACTGGCAATCTACCTGACCCATCATCAACCGAGTTGACAAAGTCGACGGAGATATTGGTGAACGCGTATCGAACCCTAGGACCAATGGAACGAGAACGAACAGGAGGTCTTGTAGAGAAGGGCTGGAGGTTCAAGGCTCGTAGTGGTGTGAGGAGCACAATTGGACGACTAAAGACGAAAGGTGAAGAAGATACAGAGGAGTACGAACAGCTGACGAGGTTGCTGGAAGATCTGAAGGTTGATAAGCAGGAGTCGTGAGTATGCTCTGCGTGTGGTGGTCAATAGCTGAGCTTCGACTTCTCTTGCTGAGACGAGACAATATGAATATACTCTCTGCGCTCGGAATAGCCTATCTCTCTGCCAACGTAAATTTAACGGTAAAGTCGAATTGCATCTGAATGCGGTACAAAGGTATCTTTCGCTGATTAATAGCTGTCTCGTGCTCAAGCGTGAACCACGAGGCTCTCTAACTTTCTTGGCAAATCGCGAAAGAAACACGCTCTGGTCTCCCGCGTAGATCGCGTCGACTCCATCCTGCACGATCCCTCCTTGACCAAGTAGCCTGCCAGAGTCCACTCCCTACGACAGCGACAACCCAAAATGGCTCTTGACGGTATACAACTACGCAGCGACGATGTCAAAGAACGTGTCCGGCTCGCAACCGAGTTTCTTGACCCAACCAATGCCCGCCAGCAATCCTATCGAGGAGACATTGTGCTCATGCTCAACAGAGGTCTACGAAGACTGATAGTGAGCATCGATAAAATCCGAGACCATTCCCGAGAACTCGCGGACGGTATCCTCTTCAAGCCGTTCGACTATGCGCCATGTTTCGACCATGCCCTCAAAAAAATCATCGAGACCTTACCTGATCGGACATCGAAGGAGACGGACGAGGAGACTATGTACTATGTGGCGTATTCTGGCAGTTTCGGCGAAAATGCTTGCAATCCGAGGACGCTTGGTAGTGCGTTGCTTAATCGTATGGTGTCGCTTGAGGGTATTGTTACGAAATGCAGCCTTGTACGGCCGAAAGTGGTGAAGAGTGTGCATTATAATGAGAAGAAAAATACTTTCCTCTTTCGGGAGTACAGAGATCAAACAATGAGTGCCAATGCGCCGGCTAGCACGAGTGTGTATCCTCAACAAGACAAGAACGGTGACCCTCTGATTACGGAGTATGGCTACTGCACTTATAGGGATCACCAGACTATTAGCATACAAGAAATGCCCGAGAGAGCACCTGCTGGCCAGTTGCCTCGGGGCGTTGATGTGATAATGGATGACGATATGGTAGACAGAGTGAAGCCAGGCGACAGAATACAGCTTGTGGGTACCTTCAGATCATTGGGAAACAGAAATGCAGGCACTGGTTCGTCAGTTTTCAGGACTTTGATATTGGCGAATAACGTTGTTCTACTCTCCTCCAAATCGGGTGGTGGAATTGCACAGGCTACCATTACCGATCGTGATGTGCGAGAGATCAACAAATTGTCAAAGAACAAGAAGGTATTTGAACTACTCGCACAATCACTTGCTCCTAGTATCTTCGGCCATGATTTCATCAAGCAAGCTATTCTTCTGCAGTTGCTGGGAGGTATGGAGAAGAACTTAGCGAACGGCACACATCTACGAGGTGACATCAACATACTCATGGTTGGTGATCCCTCTACAGCAAAGTCGCAGCTCTTGCGGTTCGTGCTCAATACTGCTCCTCTAGCCATAGCGACAACTGGTCGAGGCTCTTCTGGCGTCGGTCTGACAGCAGCTGTAACACACGACAAAGAGACTGGTGAACGACGACTGGAAGCAGGTGCTATGGTGCTGGGAGACAGAGGTGTAGTCTGTATTGATGAGTTCGACAAGATGAGCGACATTGATCGAGTCGCCATTCACGAAGTCATGGAACAACAGACTGTTACAATCGCCAAGGCTGGTATCCATACCTCATTGAATGCACGATGCAGTGTCATTGCTGCTGCGAATCCGATCTATGGCCAATACGACCCGAATAAAGACCCACACAAGAATATTGCACTACCCGACTCACTCCTGTCACGTTTCGATTTACTGTTTGTTGTGACAGACGACATCAACGAAGCCCACGATAGAGATATCTCAGAACACGTCCTACGCATGCACATGTATCGTCCGCCAGGCCTCGAGGAAGGCGAACCTATTCGTGAGACAGCACAGCAATCACTTGGAGTCGGTCTGCAAGAGGATCCTAATGCTGCCAACAAGAACACCGAAGTCTACGAAAAGTTCAACCAAGTGCTTCACGCAGGCATGACAGTCAAGACTGGACGAGGCCGAAACAAGCAAGTCACGCCAGTCTCTATGCCATTCATCAAGAAATACATACAGTACGCTAAAAGTCGAATAAAGCCTGTGCTGAGCAAGGCTGCAAGCGAATACATAGTTAATGCCTATGCTGGATTTCGCAACGACGATATGCAAGCTAATCAACGACGTACCTCACCTATTACTGCTCGAACACTGGAGACGCTCATCCGTCTGTCCACTGCCCATGCGAAGGCACGACTGTCCAACGAAGTCAGTGTGTCCGACGCGGAGAAAGCCGAAGGAATCCTGCGCTTTGCTCTGTTTAGAGAAATGCCTGAGAAAGAGGGTCAACATAAGCGAAGAAAGACTGCAAATGTCGACTTGTCAGAAGAGACAGACGACAGCGACAATTCAGATGGCTCAGACGATTCAGACGGAGATCGACCAGCCGCCACAACTCAAAGTGCTAGATCCTCAAGGCGCAATGGCACCATACCAACAAGCAGGGGCACACCCAGACCCAACGGCACGACAAGAAGAGGGCCGCCTCGCTCTTCGCAGCCACGTACCATCCCCGACGAAGATGACGACGATGACGACGAAGGCACAGAAGAAGAAACTCAAAACACTACAAGCAGCCGTCGCACCGGCCAGACAGGCGCCGAATCTCAACTTTCACGCATATCCCTCGCCAGTTCCATGCCCAGCTCCCAACTACCACCAACACAAGAATCCTCTTCCACCGCGGCGAATGGCTCATCACTCCCACAACAGAGCATTGACTCGGACTCCGAGCTCGAAGAAGAAGAACCTGCCATCACCGACGCACGACTAGCCATATTCAGAACTGCACTAGGTCAACTCATGGGCACGAGTCTATTCCATAACGATAGCGCTACCGTGAACGATCTGCTACCTGCCGTTAATGCGAACATTGGAGATAGGCAGGGAGGCAATGAGGAGGAGTTTGAGAAGGAGGAAGCTGTTGCGGGGCTGAAGAGGTTGGCGGAGGCGAATGCGATTATGTATCTGGAGGAGCAGGAGGAGGTGTATAGACTGTAGATGTATATGTGTTTTGGAATCGAGTGTTTACGAGGAACTGTGTTATGAAGATACGTATGGAAAGCAGGGCGTAAAGGTGGGAGGTTTTTGCGGATCAGCGTGATAGCTGATATCAGTGTATACGTAGCAATAACGACATGTTGCACAAATGGCACTAAGACAGACCACTGAGTCCAACCAACCAACATTGATACCGTCGCAACTATCAGCAAGACGTCCGTCATCCCATTTGGTGGTCTTGGAGCCTCTGATAGACTCGAGGATCTCCTTGCAGATGCTGCACACGTGCATAGCAGATTACGTGTACAATTTCCACGACAGTCCTGGCTCAATAGTGCGAGTATGTAGCAGGCAGCTCTTGTGTAAAACTATCGTCGTGATCAGGCTGTTCCTCATAGGCATGCCCAGGATTCAGCCTAGATCTTTACTGAAATTCCATTCATCGGAACTTCGCTTCCATGCCAGGTGTGTATCTCGTGCCATGGTGAGACAAGCCAACATTGGATGCAGACTATGTATTGCTCTTCGCGTGAACCAGCTCACTCGCAAGAATGGGAGAGCTATCGTCTTCTCCGAGGAGTATCGTAGCATCGAGGAGAGTACATCGCGTGCCACGCTGTCTTGAGTCGCAGCACGGCATTTCTGGGAGGAGCGTAAACTCCTCGAACTATCGTGTTCACGCGTAGACTCGAAGAAAGTTGTGGAGGTCGATATTGAGTTGACTCTGAAGGCAGAGCAACCGCGACCCGTCTGCAGTGATCCGAAACAAGCCAATCAGAACACGATGCCAACGACTACAAAGCTGCGACAATCCGATACTGCAGGATGAGTTCATTCATTCAACTATCAAACGATCAACAATTTCTCCATTGCAACGTCACTCGACGATCCAGTCGTTTCCTTATACACATGGCTCATCCTTCTTCTCAAAACAATCCCTGCTCGTTACAAAATTCAATCAAAAGTCAATAACCATCAAATTCGAGCTTCTTAAAAGACAACGCAGCCATGCAAGTCAACAGTATCAGCCCACGATCACTGTTTCGGAAATCCACAAAGCGAAAGGAATCCATAATCATTGCCTGTCAGCACTCAATATCAAGATCGTCGACCGTTCTCCATACACAATGGACATACAAGCTCGAACCAGCGGCGGCATGAACATAAAATGTGTTCCTCTTCTGCTAGAAATCATCATGACCCAGGCTTGAATTGACTTGATTGTCGCTCTTAAAACTCCTGTTCATCGGAGTCGTTCGCAAAGTCCTGGTTGCCCCACGACAAGTCCAGATCATTGTCTTTAGCGACTGGCTGTTGCGACACTGATGAATATGATGTCGTGTCGGCTGTGGTGTGAGTGGGTTGAAATTGCCCAGTCGTGACGACATGGTCAAGATCAACCTCTTCTGCAGTCGTCACAGAATCGCGGAAGGTGCCATAGGGGTTGAATGCGTTCGCCACCTCTGGTACCCAGTCCCGAGACTTGAGTTTGTTGACTTCGTCTGGGTTGTTGAGTTCTTCCTGAACCTGATAGTCTGGTTCGAACGCCGTCACTTCATCATTGATTGGTTGGTAGTTTTGGAGCAGGGCATCGAGGTCACCAAAATCATCCTCAAATGTCTGTACTTCAGGTGCGAACTGATCTTGACCCTGCCCGGCGTCGTTGAACAGTGGCGAGGCATTTTGGTTGTTTCCTTGCCACAGATATGCAGAAGGAGTTTCGGTTGGGTATTGTGATACGGGCATCGACGACTCTTGTGGTGCATTTTGCTCAGCAGTAGAGCTATAGGCGTTTTCCGACGAATACTATCCGTGGTCGTTCTGCTGCTGAGGGAAATATGCAGCCTCAGCGTTGAATGATGTAGATTGTGCGTCATTCCACAATTCGGGAATGAAGTCTCGAGGCTGATTTTCAGGTTGGCCTCGATGACCAGGTGCGTACGATGATGTCGCATAGCCACTCACTGCGTTGCTATACAATGCAGGCTGGTATTGAGTATCAGCCTCCGGGGCAGGTACATTAGACGTTTGCTGTTGCTGTCCATCGTTTAGTATCGCATTTACCATTGCCAACTGGTCAGGACTCACTGTATAGGAAGAGTGTTTCTCCGTCATCGAGGGCCAAGTCTGGTCAATTGCGTGGACGAACTGCTCTTGCATCAATTCTGTGGAGTGGTGAGCAGGGAGGTGGTTGGGTCGCTGTCGTTTACTACGACGACCGCGATCAGGAGTTGTGGTTGCTGCGCGCCCTTCAGAACCAGTCATCTCTTCTTCACTGGTGCTGAACTCATTCTCCTCGTCCTCATCCTCTGATGATGCGGCCTTCTTTCTCTTCTCAGGCACACGCTTGGCGCTGCCGGACTCTTCTCTCATCCTATCGACCTCACGACCCATCGCTTGCTGATAGTAGTTCCAAGGTCGGCTCTTCGAACCCTTGTTTCTTGCTTTGGGAGGGACTGCGTTCCAGATCCACTCAGCAGTCTTGCCTTCATGTATGAAGATGCGCAGACCATGACCCCACACATGCAGAGGGAAATGCTGGCACATCTGTTCTAGTGTCGTGCCCATTGGCACATTGATCTCTTCAACGCTCTTGAACGCTGGCCATTGTGAATGAGGTCGTCCCTTGACGATTTTGAGATCGTACTTGAGACGAAGCTGGTCATCTTTGTCTGAAAACTTCACCAATAAACCTTTGGCTCCGTCGACGCCGTCGTCAATCTGCTTGGACTGACCACCATACTGAGCTCTATGCTGACGGAAGGATGGGATCACCTCATATTGGAAGTTAGGATCTTTGACTGGCCAGTCTCGGCTTCGAGCCTTCCTAGTGGCAGCGATTTTCTTGCCAGTAGGTCGGTCTTCTGCCTCTGGCGAAGACGACGGCAAGGTACTCCCCATGGAGAATAAGTCTTGGTTAGCATCCATGCTGTCACGTTGCTCTTGGGCAAAGTTGTCGAAGGTGGCTTCGTGATATTGTGAGAAGTCCATTGTTGAGAAATCCATTGTCACAGAGGTTGATGAAAAGAAATTGGTTTGCGAGAAGGTGAAAAGCTATGAACTGCTTATCAGCGTGATGCGGGCCACAACATTTCAATGCGTCTTACCAGATTGAGAAGTGTGTTCGTAGAAAGGAGGGTGGCTGGTTGGCTGCCTGGACGAACTTCACTCGAGCACTTTCGCTTTCAAACGCGTGAGTATCGAGAACGGATCTAGTCACTCTGTGACGGAGGTGATCGGTTTGTTGGCGTCGACTAGATCGATAACGGTGTAGGGAGTATTACACAGGATGGTTCGAATGCTCGATCTGCCTTGTTGATATTGGTCACTCCAGGAGTGAAGGTTATCTACTTATTTGTGATGGAGTCGCAAATCAAGACAGTTCCCAACCTCCTCAAAGTCGACTTTTGTAGTCGCAAATCCTCCCAGTACGCGTTCTCAGCCATTGCGCAGTCTTACAAACAGCCTCCTCCGCACAGCCGCGGGATTGTTGTGAAATCTCTCATGGGCAGATGCTGCATTGCGACGACGAGACGCCCATCGTCTGTTTGGCGTGGATCCCGCTACACAGCTTGCGAAGCCAAGTCCAAGCCATTGCCATCAATAGGCTTACGAGTTTCGCTTGCTCCAACTCTCGCCGAAGACAATGGCGAACAATGAGGCTTTTTTGTGCCTATTATTTTTGTCGATCGAGGGAGGCTTTGTTGACCCCTTCGAGGCTCGGAACATTGGGGATCGCTTTGTGTCAAACTTCACTGATGAGACCGCAAGGCAGAAAACGGAGTGAACGTAGGCTGTCTCAATTCTGACCTCCTTTCCTGCCGGATTCTGCTTCGTTGGCCACAGTTTCATGTGTTTGACAGATTGCTACGAGACCGCAATGGCTGCTTGTCAGCCTTGTGAGGTATGCTCTGATGGCTTGTGGCGGGTATTGCCGGCTGTTTCAATAGCCATCGGAGAAACTGCCCGAAGAATGACCTTTTGCTGAGTGGCAGAGACGACGGCAGAGATACGCAGTTGTCGGAGTACGAAACGTCGCCTGCCCCAAGTCGAGATCCATTATGTGCCACAGAAGGGTGGTGGCTATTTATACATCAGTAGTACGCTGAACCACTGGTGAGAGAGGACGTCTTGAATATCACAAACTGATTGCGCAGCTGCTTTTTATCTATGATTGCCATCTGATTGACAATTGGGGTACCTTCGTGTTTGTGCCTGCGAGGTTGTGGCGAGGGTTCTGATCAGCACAGATGCTAACTGGTCGAGCAGAGTGTCGAGAAGACATTTGGCCAGCCTGCGGAGTGACGAGATACACGACATGGTTAGCAGCGACAATACAACCAGCCTCAGCAGAAAGAGGTTGATACTATACAACTTTTCGAGACTCTGTTTGAGATGGCTGAATGGACGGGCGTAAGGAACTTGAATGTTGGCTGTCGCATGGCAATATCTAGTATGTCTTGTAAGCATTCTAGGGCAACAAATTGGAAATCGTCTGAAAGGAGCGAATTACAAAAATCGACTAGGGGGTTGGACGCTCCTTGTCGGAGTGTGAAGGTGTCATATTGCTATAGTGAGGTTCGTGGGAACCAGCTATTGGCAGGCACGACGGAGATTTTCGTCAGGTGCGCATTCGTTCCTTCCTCGACTGATTTTGGTCTTTTCAGTCTCTTACCTCTCACGAACTGCAGCATGCTCGTCTCCAATACGCCTTCACTAGTTCCAACCTTGCTCTAGAAATGGATAACCTCAGTGTTCTAATAATCCACTATGTATACGGTGACGCTCCAGATGCTAGTAATAGGAGGAAATTTTTACAGAACAATGTCGCTGGTCATGTGGCATGGAAGACCTTAGTCTATATGGCCGACAATAATCTTGCGACCTTCACTACGGGTGATCTGTCAAGCTGCGTTTTCACCGAAAACCTTATGCTAGACATTGACGTCGGTTACAGCCTCAACCAAGAATATCGGGACTTCATTGGGGCGAGAAAGATCTTCGCTATTATATTGAAAGAGGCAGCTCTGGGGATTATTTCGACTGTGGTGACTTCGCAAGGCAACTCTAGGACAAAGCTACACACCAAGCATGCAACAATTGTTGTACCAGATCTGCCTCACGACACTCCCTTTCGGAACTCACAGCTTGTGTATGCCATCTCGCGCAGTATTACGGAGGTGCGACTCACAACTGATCCGACCTGCCACCTTCCTCACGAGCGTCCAGTACCGATCACTGATACACAGAGGCGGAAAGCGACGAAACCTTCTCCGATACTCGTGCCTCTCCCAGTAGCTCAACCTCCCAGGACTGGAACACCGTCTTTTCTCAGAAATCTGGCAGTTGAGATACAGGATCATCTGTCTCGGAACACCCCCAAACGTGGAGACCTATTTTCTCCTCGTGCAAAGAAGAGACAACGCACAGACTTCGAGACTGACAGTTCTGGAACCATCTCCGCAGATCTTGCTGGTGGAATTGACAAGGACGACGAGTTCAGAACGGCGACAGTTGAATGGGTATGCGAATCACCTGGAGCAACAGTAGCTGCGGCAGAACGAGAGCAGTCCGAGATACAGGCAGAGGAAGCACGATTTGAAGAGGAGTACCGAAAACAGAAGGCTGCGGATCTGGTTGCTCAGGCCAAGCATGACCAAGAGGAGGCTGCTGCTTACGAAGCTTCTTTAGAAGAGATGCGAGTTGAAGAGGAAGAGCTTGCGCGTCAGAGGATGAGAGTCGAAGACAACCATACAGTGGAAAGCAGTTCCGTGGCAGTCAACGACACAAGCACGTTAGTCAATGACACGAATCGACTCAATACAACGATAACCGTCGACGACGGCTCAATAGGAGAGTCGAAGGTGAAGTCACAACAAGCAGTGCACATGTCGATTCAGCTCGAAGTTGAGAAGTTGCAAAAAGAGCTGGGTCAGAAGGACCTAGAACACGCCATCGCAGTGAGCAGACTAGAAGCGGAAGTCAAGGTGTTGAGGCAGAAGTTGGGCCTGCCAGTCTGATGGAAAGAGCGTGGACAGACGGCAAGGACTAACGTTTGTCTTCGAGCAGACGTTGTCCTTCGGCGATGAGGGTCTGACAAACAACACTTCAATGAATTTGTTAGAATACGTTCGGACGCCTTAAATGGCGACCAGCAGAGGGAGTTGCTGGCAAAGTCTATGCTTCTATGCCTCAACCTCTCATCTCAAGATGTAGCTCTTAATTACTCCTGCAGCTCTTTCGCCTCGAACTTTATTTTCGGGTGTATTAGATCCCTCGCATTCCTTACTGCTCTTACCTCTGCCGCCTTTGTCCTCGCCAACGACTTTGCTCTTTCCTCACCACCTTCCTCGCCTTTATGGTCCTGCGGATCTACACTAGCAACTTGCCCCATACCCTTCCGCTCACCCTCCCACATCTCCATCTCCTTATTCCGTGCCTGCATTGTCTTCTCCAACACAGCCGACATACTGCTTAGCACCTTGACCGTCGCCTTTGCTAGCGGAAGGTCCGTGGCCAACACATCGTCCTCTGAGGCATAACTCGCCTTGTTGAGCAGACCCGCTGCAGCAGCCTCTTCCCTCAGCCTTGCCACCATGAGGCCAGCGAACATATCGCCAGTGCCACTGAAATAGCAGTCTAGCACTGGAACCTCAACGACAAAGCATCGACTCGAGCCATCGGATTTCTTCTCCGAGCCCACAACAAATAGAACATCCTGCTTCCCCTGTACTCTTACGGAAGTGACCACGACCATTGGCATGCCATTTCTCGTATGTAATACCTCAATCGCTTTCTTTACCTGACCCAGATCAGCCTCAAAGTTATCACTAGTGGGTTTCCTCTGTAACCCTCCTCCGTCCTCACTACCCCCTCCCCCTCCAGCAAGATGCACACCACTCAACAACTCCAACTCAAACCCATTCGGCACAAGTAGATCCGGCCCCTCGCTCCCCTGCCCAATCGCATCCCTATACCCCTTCACCAACTCCTCACTCACATACAACCGTCCCTGGTCACCCATCACCGGATCCAATACCCAAAAGAACCGTCCATGATTCATCGTGTTTCGCCGAAACTTCAAATCTCGCGCTATGGTCGTGACTTCGTGTAGAACGTCCGCTGACGGGATATACCCTGACAGTAAGACGTCGTAGTCTAGGAGGTTGGAGTTGCGAAGGCCGGCGTAGAGGTCTGTTATTTGAGGGGCAGGGGTGCGGGTGCCGGTCCATTGGTGGTAGCCGGTATGGTTGCTGAAGTTGACGGTATTGATGGCTGCGACTTCGCAGCCGAGGGTCTGCATGCAGAAAGTGGCCATTGTGTTGCCGACGTAGCTAGGGATAGGGAGGTTAGTACTTGGATTGAGATGGGGGAGGGCTTCAGGAGAACGTTGGGGCCAGGAGCATAGCAAGAGTAAGAGGAAAGGCGAGAGGCATCACGACAGCAAGATGTATAGAAGCAATCATAGCCAGCAGTGTTTCCACTACCATATCATGAGGAACAGCAACTCCATGTTCTTCTCACACTTCCACTCCATATGGCTGAAGTTTAGATAGATAACGAGATTTCTTGGCTGAGTACTTCAGGTGAACCTACCCGTAAACAACATGACTGGCAATAGCTAAGACTCGAGTTTCTGGTACTGGATTCCCGTTCTGATCGACCTCGTTCGGGTCTGACATGGTCGATAGAGGCTCAAAGAGTCGTGCTGCTAATGCTTTGAGCATAAGACTGTTGGCATAGGTATGTGCCGGAATGTGATTGGTGCGTTGTACTTCGTCGCGGTGTTCTCGGGAGGATTGCTATATTTTGAGGGGACGACAGTCTTGGGTAACAACAAAATCTCTAAGAACTGCAAATGTTGTCGTCGCTGGCTCGGTACACCTGTTCAAAAGCAGAAGAGGCAGTATAGAGTATTGTGTTCAACTACAGACTCGAGTCGATAGATCTCTTCTACGTGAGTTCTTCGAAAGTGTAACAATGACGTCGATTGGTGCGATAAGCCACGATAAGGAGGCAAGTCGTACAGAGATGACCGTCGCCTCATCAGTACAGTGACTGCTTCACAACAAGTTCTCTCACAACCTGAAAGGTCGAACCATACCTCCTCTGCCGTCCAGGTGACACAATCGCTCTGCACAGTTCTCCTCTTCTGATCTCAGTGAAACAGCGAAAAGCTTGGCTCATCAAACCCACTTCCATCCACCAGCCTCTGGTAGTCCACTCACTTCTCATTGCTGTGAGCGGTATCGTAACCATCATGCTGCATGCTCTCAATCGTACACATCATCGCTAAATTTTCGTTCATGTCTTCATATCTTCAGGAGCATTTTCTTACTCATCGTCACCAATCTAAGAGCTGTTAGCGGCTGTTCTGTTGAAATTTTGAATCGAGAAGCGTACCTTTGGAGCCAAATAGAAACGTAAGTGACTACTGCCAGATAGGGTGTACTCAACAAGCAGAGGGACCTCCTGAGACAGACAAAGCCTGACTTTCGCGGATAGGCCACTAGCCTTGCAGAAGTTGACGAGGTACTTCAACGAGAACGTAAGGTTGACTGGCTCAACCAGCTGTATCGATACATCTTGATCTGGCTTGTCAACGTTTGTGTGTTGTCGAACAGTAACTGAGCCTGAGCCAATATCACCCTGGCATGAGAATCGTACGCCGTCCTTGGATGCTTCAATAGAAACTGAATACAGTCAGTTGACTACTTATAATATACTCTCTCTTGTGACGTACCAGATTCAGACATAGCCATCAAATCTCTGCAAATCCTCTGGAACTCGGCAGCAGGCATCTCAATAGTAGCAGCATACTCAGTATCTGGAATACCCAAGTGTTCTTGGTCGATATCCATCAACTTGATATCATATTCAGACAGCCTATCGCTTTCGCTGCTCTCAAAGACCAGATTAACCACATCTGGCGCATCTTCTGCTTTTAGCGTAAGAATATCTTCATTCTGGGCGGCTCGTAGGACTTTCGTGAGAGAGGTCAAATTTATGCCGAGAGCAATGTTTCGGTCGCAGCGAAAAGGAGAGAACATTTCGGCTTTGAGCATCATGGAGACGAGGGCGACGTGGGAATTGTCCATGGCTTGAAGTGCGATGCCGGAGTCATTGCAGTCGAAATTGCAGTCTTGTACGAGATCTTTGATCGCATCGACCACCTTCAAGTATGTCAGCGTGTTTCGTGACACTGTCAACTAGTTCCATACCTTCTTGAGCATAGAAGCCTGCTCGAGACGTGCTTCCAACACTACATTCTGTCAGTCTGGCGCCAGGCTGCGAAATAAGCACTTCTACTTACTGTTGCCGGTTTTGAGAAGGACAGGGTTGGATCGAGTAATGCGGTTTTTCACAATGAAGTTGTCGAAAGCAGGAACAGGTCTTGGTTGCTGGGGAACAAACAGTGGGAGCAAGCTGGGCAAAAAATATCACTACGTATAGCAATTTACGTAGATACGCGTGACGCGTTAAGCACGCGTTATTGCCACCCCACCCCAGCCTCAGGCTCTTTGTGTTTTACCTGCCCGGTTCGTGAGTAACCCACATCCCTCCCGAGCAATATTTAGATTGAATCGAATAGCAAAAACTTCTGGAGTGAAAACGTGTAAATAGAAGCTAACATTGTTACTCTGCTTCGATATTATGCAGAGTAAATCCTTCGAGGCATTCTATGGCCAAACCCTATTCGCCGTTGTGGTATCATTAAATTTCCAATTAGATCAATCAGTGTGACGCCTTCCGTTGCCAATCCTCTTCACTCCTCAATGACACTGTCCTCGATCTGCGGCGCTGAGACGCCATTCGAAGTCGCCTTCAATGCCTTTTCATACTCCCTTTGCATGCCGTACTGAACCGCCTCGAGCACGTTGGCAGTGGTATGTTTTGGCTTGAACTGGGGTTCGGTTCCCTCCTGGTAAACTCCAGTCTTCACCAATATCGAGTGCCAATCACAAGTCGAACGATCTGAAGCATCGTATTCGTTTGTGCCTCTGATATCAGACTCTGGCGTGTCTCCGACAAAGTATACCGTGGAAGGTGGCTGATCGATACCATGAGTGTCTTTGCGCCATTGTTGCAACAACCGAGTAGCGAAGTCGAATGTGCCCACTTGTGGTTTTCCGAAAGCGACGGTCTTCAGCTCTTTACCTGTGATGGCTTTAAACATAGCTTCCAGGGATGCTCTCAGAGCGCCCATGCCAATGCGTGAGTATGTGTGAGAAGTCGCCCAGATGACATCGTTGTGTGCAAAGAAGACAGGGGGCCCTTCCTCGAAAGTCTCTGAACGTGTGCCTAGCCGGCCGTTCTTCGACATGCAGAGGTCGAGGATGATTTGTTGGTCACCTGCCCAGTCTCTCGAATCTGCGAAGACAAAGATGGCTTCGATATCAATTTCACCATAGTTTCTCGCGACCGAGTGGCTGATCTCATCCGCAGTCAATTTTCGAAAGGGTGTGGTGTCTTTGTTGTCTTTGATAATATCTCCGGGTGTGATAACGTCTTTGAAACCATATCCTTGTGCAACTCGGCGTACTTTGTCTCCCTCTCCACCCACAATCAGGACTGTCTTGTACTTCTCGGCCAGTTCTCTCATCGGCGTGTGGCCACAGATGAACTGTCCTGGAGAGACTTCCATCTGCAGTTGTTGTGACAACTGGATGCATCGTTCCTCCTCAGTCTTGCCACCACCGTTGGTCACGAAAATATACGGCCTAAATCACTGTCAGTAGTCAGCCAAAAGCGATGTGTTCTACTTACACTTTGACGTTATATGTGTTCTGTCCATTGAGAAGCTTCATTGCGTCGATCGCCTCTGGAATGACCTCTCCGCCTCGTATAAGAACACCATCAATATCAAATGCAAAAGCGAACTTGTCTGTCGTTGGTTGGACCCCTTCTTCGGGAGTGTGTGGTCCTGTCTCTGGAGGTGTAGCAACGTCGTCCTCTCCTAGCCGATGCTTAGCCATCTCCATGGCCAGGGCGGTATCGTGAGCATTGCTTGGCCTCTCCAGCAGCTCTGGAGGAGCTACCACAGCTGGCCCCGCGAATAAATCAGAGCGGTTGGCGCTTAGAGAAGAGAGTCGTCGGGTGAAAGAACGTCTTGACTCCTGCCTGCCCCGGGACAGGGTGGGAGCAAGCAGGTTAGCATCGTATGAATCCATGTTCTTTTGTCACGCCTGCTTTGGTAGAGTAAAGGTAGTCAAGGTACAGTCGAAGTCAAGTCAAGATCGAGTTAAAAGCTTTTGGTCGCGACCTTGGTCAGTATGTATAGTGTGGCAGATGCGATGTGGGACAAAGCCTGTCGTGTATAACTTCTCGACACCCCTGTCCCAAGCACAAGGGTATGGGATGGACATGAGTAAGTGGAGCGTCCATCGCCTTCGTACCCGAGAGATACCAGCTGGTGGTATAGATTATCGTCTGAAGCCGTGCTGAAGTGCTGTTTCTACACTATGCAGTGACGTCGATATGGAGTCATCCAGATATTTGCAGACTTCTGGTAAAGCTTGTAACCCAGCATGATCGTGCTTACCTATAATCTTTCAGCTTTAGCCGAGAAATGTGCCTGAGCTTACTGGAGCACAGAGATCAGAGTGGCAGGCTTTTAGCTCAACAGCGGGAGATCTCGATCCACTTCACTGCTACTTCGCCAGAACGTAGGCTGCCGCATTTTTCTTGCGATACTATCTTTGCTCGAGCAACTCAGTGATAAGGAAGCGTTGGATTTAATCCTTGCAGGTACCCACTAAAAGTTCTCGTCGACACGTTGTTGATTGCCGTCAAACAATTTGCGTACTCCATTCCAACGACGAAACAAAGTCTTTACTGCCATAAACCGGTCAGTCCCTCGCTTTGCTCCTGTACAGTGGCAGGAGCAAATTCTCGTAGAAGCTCGGGAATTCTGCCGATACTGGATTCGAAAAGCCAGGAGCCATACTGACTGTGGACCAATGAATAATGCGAGTAAGAGAAATCCGAGGGTTCCACCTCGAGAGGCACATGTTCTACGCGTAAGAAGGCTACTATGCAAAGGCACATGCAAGCAGAGCGTGCCCAGAACTTCAAGGGCAGCAACGACTTGTTGCTGTGCCTCAGGCGGACCGCGACAAGAATCTCTTATTCGTGGCAAGACGCGTTTTACGACCAGTGCCGTATTAGCTCAAGTTCATTGGTGAGAACTTGCACACAACTAATCTGTATTTCATTCCGGACATGCACTATAGACATCCATTATGACGAACGTAACGTGGAACTCCCCTGCTATCTCACCAACGCCATGCTGTCTATTCAAAAGATTACAAAATGAAGCAAAGATAAGCCGAATTGCTAGATCTCGAAGGCTTTGTCAAGCCAATGCTTGACGACGAGCTTGCCCTCGTCAAAAGCCTTGCGGTTGGTTCGAACAATGAGTGCTGCATGACTGTGGCTAGAGTTGTGGATATGCACACCATACTTCTCGAAGCCAACATCGTCCAAGGCCTTGATCATACCAAACTGTGCGGACGTCAAAGCCAAAGTAGGGAAGTCAGAGGCAGGGCTGCCAGTCGATCTGCGACGCAACTTCGGTGAAGGGATTTTCTCTGAAGATGGTTCTTCGGACGACTCTCCTTGAGATACAGTATCGCTCTCGTCAGGCTCTCTCACACTTTCAGCCAGGTATTCCTCCCTTTGTGCTGAGTTTGTTGCTTCAAACACATCTTCAATTCCAGCTCGTAAATCTTGGACCATCCATGAAACGCGATAGTGCTCGTAACCGCTTCCCTCGTTGTCCTGTTCGTGCAGCAGGATTCGTTTCTGGCTGCGCAAGGTTTGTATGCCCGAGTTGATGAGAAAGACAACAACAGCTATTGGGATGACAATGGATAGGCCAGCGAACAACGGTATTCTTCTCAATAACGTCTTACTGGTGCTCTTGACTCGTTCGGATAATTTGGGTGGTTCTTTCGGCTCGGCCATCTCATATGGATTCGCAGGGTCCAGTATGACTTTCTCGTAACCAGGCACGTAGTTGAGCTTGATCTTGTCCAGATCCTTGTAAGGGTCTTTCTTCGAGATACCAGTAGTGTAATAAACCGCCGTCCTGTCGTTCACAATATTTGCGTATAGTGTCCTCCGCTGGAATTTCGCCAACGCGCGAATAAAGATGCTGTCGGAGTCACCCAGAATGCTAAGCAGCGGTCTCCCTGTTTCTCTGAAATTGTCCACAGTGAACAACTGCCTTCCAGACGCTGATAAAGTCCTCGCGCCCAACACATTCCACAGGTGATTTTGAAACCCAACCAGCGGCGTGCGCACTCCGAGATGTGGTGAGGCGAAAGTAGTAAAATTAACAGGCTTGATGTAGTCAAAGTAGCCCTTGGAATCTAACAATCCTATTGTGTACCTCGCTATTAATCCTCCTAAAGAATAACCCACAATGGAAAATCGATCAATCTTAAAGCCATCCCCTTTCAGTTCTTCAATCGTTTCCTCGATTTCTCGAGTGACACGTTCGGCGCCGACTTCGATGCCATCGTAGGTGAACGAGGAGGCGTTGCGCGAGCAAACTAGGACAATGAGTTCGTCGTCGGAGTGTTTTTCTCGCAAGGATGTTGTCAGGTAGTTCAAATGGGAACCATTGCCCCAAAGACCATGTACGAGGACACACAGGTGATGCGCCGCCTCGGGGTTGCTATTCTGCGGTTTGTGCAATGCAGTGTCCATTTCAGTGGAGAGTAGCGACTGCCTGTCGATGCTTCTCAGATCGACGGGCAGCGCCATCTATAAGAATCCGAGTCGCTGATCGCAGGTGTTGACGTAGCCCAACAACGAACTGGAGCGATCAATTTCCGGTGTCCGAGTCCTTACCTGAAACAGTAAGCTTGTGGGCATCAACCAAAGAGCTGGCGGCGATAAAACACCCTATTGCCGACTTTCGATAGGCGACTCTTCAGGCGGGGGTACGCACCGTGGCTGAAGGTGTGGCTTGTGTTTTTCGAAGCCTCTCTGTGTCGTTCCCGCGTAGATGAATAGAGTTACGACCAGTCAACCCTTCGCTTGATGTTTGTTTCGATCACCCTGACTGAGTACGTCCTGAATATCTTTAACGATAGCAGAAGGAGCAGGCAGGACGATCGTTCTCTATAGTGACGACTTGAGGGTTGACAGCAGCTACAGAGTGGTCAATAACACCAATTGTCTGATTGCTTCTGCACGTTCAGGTCCATCACAAGTACCAGAGAACCCCCTGCCTGTTATACGTTCACCAAAAATCGTCTCGTATGTTCATAAACTTCTTCGATCTTACTACCTGTTTATATATTGATTCTTCTGCTGTACAACACAGATTGAGCCCCACGCCACATCCATCATCTGCAGGATCCGGCAAATTTTTTCCCTTCTTGACCATTGCCAATTGGCTGCTTGACGACTTGGTTATTACGCGCCGGACAAGGCAACCGAACACAAAGTGCTCGTAGTGATTAGTGGAGCTTTATCTGATGATCAGACTTCTCGAACATAAGAACTTTGAAAGTGTTCGGTTATTGGTGATTGCGTATGACTTGCCAGCAATATCATCTCAGACACTCTCTCATGACGGGGCTTCAGGACGCCCAGCATGTTCAGTTCACGTGGTCTTTTCAAAGACATCCCTTGTCCAGGCGAGCACAATTGCACCCTACCCAATTGTCTCTTCAATCATGCTCAGCCTCCAGAACATGAATCTGCTTCTGTTCAAGGTCAGGTGTACGATCCTGAAGCCATCGTGCCTGCCATATCACCACCTCCTGCCAAACGCAGAAGGCTAGAATCGCCCACTTCCCTTGATGGTAATGAGTTACAAGCTAGACAACCAAGATTGTCGGACAGTTCTGCGGCTAAAGCGGCTCCAAACAGTGTACATCAACATGAATCTTCACCTCAGCTACAGCCATCGAAACGTAGACTCGATGCCGAGGTCAACGGCATTGCAGAACCTGCAAACAAGAAGCGTCTAGTCTCGCCTTCAATATCAAGTCAAAATTCGCGGCCAAACACCACAACGGATCCCACGACCAAACGACCTGTTTCAATCACTCGGGCTGTGTCACCTCCACTGGTTGGACGCTTACAAAAGACGTCGCTCCAACCCTCAAGTACTAAACCAACAAAGCTGAAGCTGAAAGTACTAGAAATCAAGGACGAACCGCTCAACCCTCGTAAGATAGAGCGCAACCCCGTACAGTATTCTGATCGCCAGAAGAAGCTCGCTGCCTTCTACGCTCAACTAGAGAAGAGGCAACAGACTCTTCGTGAAGAATTGCAGCAGGATCCAAGTCTACTTCTTAGTGCAAAAGAGCTCAAAAAGATTGCTCTAGATGAGGAAGAGAAAATTGCTAATGCTGCCGCGAACGTTGCCTCTTACAACAACCAGCTAAGAGATCGACTAGTCTACCATATCAAGATGGCTGTAGACGTTTACAAAAGCTGTGTCCCTGAGTTTCGTATGACAGGCATATTCCACTCCCCACAGGCGACATCAGTACAGGCTCCTCCAGCGGTCGATACTGGTCTCGATTCAACTCACAAGCAGGTTGCGGTTTTGAAACACCTTCGAACAGGCCTTCATCAGCACGCCAAGCACGGCTACGTGATCAAGCTGCCGGAAGATAAAGACATCGGAAAGGCACTAGCAGCCGAGAAGACAATGAGAGGCTGGGAGATCTGCGACCGTTGTTCGAGACGATTTCAAGTGTTTCGTGGCCGTAATGCGGAGGGTGAGCTTGCAGGTCAAGGGAATTGCAATTACCATTGGGGTAGACTCATGCCGGCTTCAAGCAGTGGAGCGAGACAATACAGCTGTTGCAAGAACCCGTCCGACTCAGACCCCTGTACCACCGCTCAGCATCACGTCTTCAAGGTGTCCGACCCAGCCAGACTGGCAGCTCTCCTCCAATTCAAACAGACACCCTCTCACAACGACGGCAAACATCGTCCTCCAGTCGTCTTCGACTGTGAGATGTGCTACACCACATGCGGCTTCGAGCTCATACGACTAACTGCACTGCAATGGCCAGAAAAGAAAGTACTCCTCGACTTCTTAGTCCGAACCATTGGCGAAGTAATCGACCTCAACACTCGCTTCAGCGGCGTATCTGAAAAGATGTACTCAACAGCACCAAGCTACCCCCAACACTCTCGCAATCTATTCCCATCTTCCGGAGAACCACTACAAAAAGTCGCGTCACCAGCCGCCGCACGCGAATACCTATTCGACCTCCTCGACCCCGAGACTCCACTAATCGGCCACGCGATCGAAAACGACCTAAACGCCTGCCGAGTTATACACCCCTTCGTCATTGATACCGTCCTCCTCTTCCCGCATCGAAGACCACTACCTGTACGGAAGGCCCTGAGAGATCTGGCGCGTGAACATCTCGGTCGGATAATACAGGCTGGTGGAGCGGAAGGGCACGACTCGAAAGAAGACAGTGAGGCGACGGGTGATCTTGTTTTGGTCAAGGTCAAAGAGAAGTGGACTGAATATCAGATGCAGGGATGGTACTGGCGGGATGAAGACGATGCTCTAATGCCGCCTCAGGCCAAGTCAAAGAATGCTGCTTCATCCACACCGTCGAAGTCGAGTAATCTCTGACATGACTAGTAGATTGAGCTGTACTTGATTACTTTTGGGAGGACTATTGCTGTTTGTTGCTTGAATTATTCATAGAGTCTGACCCTTTATTTTACTCTTGCGAAAGATCCTCTAGAATTCACAGAAAGAAAGCAGGAATTACATGAACTCTTTAGACCAGAGTTTGTGAATTATGACATATCATTTGGCTTTTCGCAGCCATGAACGGCGCTATAGAGTATCCTGCTTTTTGTCCCCCTTTACATCTACTTACTGATCCCACCAGCCTGATTAGGATTATAAGTCAACCCACACCTCTGATAACAAGCTTTAGCACCCTGCGCAAAAGCAGCCGGCAACTGAGCCCTATAATCAGTCGTATTGACACTATCCAACCAGCTCGGGTACGCCAGATTAGCCTCCACGATCTCCTGTGGGTTGATGAAGAAATTCTGAGCTGTGCGGGAGACGCCTGGGTCTTCGTTTGAGAGTGAGGCGACGAAGACGGCTGGTTCGCAGTGGTCGTTGAATTCCCAGTGGAGGGAGCCCATGGGGCGGATTGTGCCTTGGTAGAGGCCGATTTCGACCATTACGGGGAGGTCTGATGAGAGTTTAGCAAGGGATTTGAAAATGTGCGGAGTTGGTGAATTGCTTACCGTAGCCGTCTTCCAGGACGAAACCAGTCTTTAGAGAAACACCGCTGACGAGGGTGACCATTTCGGTTGCGCGATTATGAACGTGAATGCTGTCGAGACCGCATGGGTTGAGGTAGCCGATAGCGACGGACAGTCCGGTACCCATCAGCACTGGGTAATTCCCGACATGTGCGAGGTAGCCTTGACCACCAAGACCGTTGGCAGCATTGGAGTGAGAGCCGTTAGGTGTCAAGTCGAACTTGAAGTAGTCGTTGGGATCGCCTAAGCTTGCGATGTAGGCTAGTCGTTCACTTGCGGTATAGGCGCCTTTGATGGCGGCGAGTGTGGTCTGGTTGTAATCTGGATTGGGTCGAGTGAGGTTAGTGGCTACTGGAGCGTTCACGAGAGTGCCATTGTCTGGATAATCAGGTTGTTGACGTTGGACAAGTCTGTGCGGAATAGCAGTGACAACGCTGAGAATGGCCGCAATGGTGATCAACTTGGAGAACATTGTGACTGTTTACCAAAGGGAGATGATTCGTGTACTGTGCACAGTCCAGTATAAGTTGATATGCGTATCCTTTTGTAAAGGGATGGCCCTGCCGCATTCGCAAGAAGATCGGTCTCAAAACTTTGAAGGGCCTCTGCACAAGGGAAGAAATTGTTCAGCTCTTATAGTGCACATTGTGCTGCGGAGACATCTGCATGTGCTGAATCGAGCGAGCGAGCACACCTATTGAACCCTCAGTCAGGGTTGGCCTGGTAGTCATGTACCTTTCGCTGCAAGCCTGGTGTATAGTCTCGTCTCTGGACCGTTCTGAAGCAGGACATCGGAAAGCTTACGAGCTAGGAACTCCAATAATCACATTTCGAGGAATTCAGACGACGTATGAGCATGGTTGTTGCATTTCGAGATGCACCAAGGACCAATCGCGACTTCTCAGATAGAGTTGCGAGAAGCTTGTTACAACCGAAAGATATTCGAGATGCTTGAGCTGTACTCCGGGAGGAATCCAAGAACTCGCTAGTGTGGTTCCCCGACTGGATATCTTGTAAAAATGCGGGGACTCCATATTCTCGCGTTGCTCAATGTCGAGGAACTGGTGCCCTCTACATGATCGCAGGAGCCGACTACCACATCGAGCAAGAGACAGTTGAGATTGCGCCGTAGTCCGCCATGCGGTCCGCACTTCTTGGTCGCTACTGGTAGGGACAGATTTGATGTGCAAACCAAAGATGTCATTCTTCCAGCCAATCCCTATGAATTTTAGACCAATGTTTTCAGGTGCACTCTCCTCCTTCGAGCTGAGTTTGTAGTGGTTGTCAATGAACCAGTTCTTGAGAGCGACGGCCCGACTGCAAGAGGATGGACCCGATCCCCAACATCGGCCTCGACCTGTACTGATAGCTTATGGCCCGATACAATCGTACCACTTCCACAATGGCTTCACTTGAAACTCACGTACAGCACGAAACGGTGGACAAAGGCGTTGCATCCACAGGTCGATGTCTGTTCTAATGTGAAGAACACGGTATCTGATAGCTGCTCTTTGGTGAGCCCTACACCACAAGGTGGTCTTTCTGCACATGCAAATGAGCTTTGTGGATGATGAAGTTCTTTTTGTCCAAGGAAAGAAGAGTTTAGCTCAACGATGCAATCCTTTGCTAATGCCGAATTTTGAGCAGGCAAACTGCGGGAGTAGGATCCTCGACCTGTTTAAGCCGCCATAAGATACCTGCAAAGTGTTTCGTCTGAATTATTCTGACCTTCTAGATCAGCTAAAACGCTCTCTAAAACGGTCTCCTGCCAATTCCAAGCTCTTCCTATCCCGACTAACAGCACGTACACTGGGCGCAACACTGACACTCTCTGTGTCCATACTCATGCGACTGCGGCAATCGACGACACTGCTTTCTGTACAAATGTCATCGTCATTTAAGATGAAACTGCTGGCTGAGGAAGCGATTTCTGTTGCCTCTCTGGGAGAGAGTGCGAATCGGAAACCATCGATAACTTCCATTTCACTATTCAATTCCTGGCTGTATCGTGGTGGTGCAGCTGAATACGGTGGCAACGTTGTGACTGTCTGTAAGGAGCGCACGGATCTACTGCTTGTGGCTTGAGTCTCGTTCTGTGCTTGTGTATAAGGCAGTGCCTGGTTGTTTACACGCCCTTCCTCAGCCTTTATCAATTGTCTCACAACTTCGTGAGCTCGGTGGAGCGAGCTGATGTTTGTGCCAACGATATGAGACTCCACCTGAGACTGGCTATCGTTTTGTCGAAGCATCGTTCGCTTCTCTTCGTCGTCATCTAATCCTTCATCATGAACTTGACTCCGTCGGTAGAAGTTTGAAACAAATTGCCGCAGCCTATGCTGGCAGGCTGCTCGTCTGTACTCTCGACGGGTTCGACGTTCTTCGTTCCTTGCTGCGCACTCGGCACGAATACGAGGGTTGGACAGATATATTCGCAAGGCCTTGAACAGGACGGCGATTATTAAGATGGAGGTTGTAAAGCCGGCGACGGCCAGAATAAGCTTGAAATGTTTGTGCCGAGGAGCAGGATGTGGCATGTGGAAGAGGCGGTGCGACGCAGGTGAGTGCGAACTCGGGGTCTCCGGCTTCGGGTCAGACTTGTCTGACGAGGAACCATGTATCGGCTGCGATTCTGTGGACGACGAATGGTCATCGGTGTCATGATAAATTGATGGCTGTGGATCTCTGGTTGGCAAGGGAGAAGGCGTTGTGTTCCCATGTAGTGAAGTCGATGACGCTGTGTTGTCTTCTATTTGATGTGGATGAGCTCCAGCGTCTGACTCTGAAATTGAAGGTATAGGCAGTGGTGCCGTTGCTTCATCTGATGTAGGTGTCTTGGTCGACCATGGACAATCCCAAAAGTTGGATGTCGAGTTTTTAGGATGGTGCCGGAAATGCGTCTTCACTAACTGAAACAGGTCCGGTACCTTGCGTAAGGCTGTTTGGAGATAGCATGTGATTCCTGAGCATGACTGAAAGTCTTCGTTTATTAACAGGAAGATTTCATGTTCCTTCTGTAAGACTTGGTTGTGGACTTGGAAGAGCGTATGCTTGAGTGCTTCGAGTTTCTGGTATTCCTGGTCGAGCACGTCCAGATCCGTGCCAGCAGGTGCTGTAGTACTGGGAAGAGCTGGACATTGTCAGTCGACCGCTGTTTCAGTCATCCTAATACCTACCTGTCGAGCCAGCGACGGCACCAGGGTGTAAAGTTGCAGGCGGTATGACCAAGGCGGACGTAGCAATGATACATGCAGATAAGAATACAAGAATAGTATGGAATCTCATCTTGAAAAGGAAATATCTCCGACACGGCAGGCACGATTTTTGGGTCAACAGAACATAGTGAACTGGCGCAAACAAGCGGGTAATTCGAGAGATGTCAGCTGGACGAATTTGAACGACAACAAACGTATGTTGTGCCTCAGGTACGAGTGCGACGACAAGATTGAAGAAATGAGGTTGCCTGGATGTGGATATCAACGAAGGTAATGAAGCGAGGACAGAAAATCCCGGGCCCGAATGACAGTGAGCTAGAGAGCTTTGGGCAAGTTCTGAGAGGGTGGCAGCTCGTCGTCAGCAGGCGAAACCGCGGAATCTTTTGAGAGCCAGGGGCACGAGCACTGCCCCGACCAGCTGCCCTTGAGCAATGAAGTCGGTCGGAGAAGAAACACTTTTCTGCCGACCGAATGCTATATCGACACAGCGTCCCGTCTGAACAGACGCAACCCGCTCGTGTACAGTGTGAGTGTGCCGTGGATACACGGTCAAAGTGGAGTGATACTTGCTCGATAATGCTGGGTGCCAGAGGGCTGCAATACAGCGGTACAGAATAGAGTATAATTAGTGAATCAAGTTCATTCACGCAGGTTGCAAGAACAATGAAGTTCAAATATACCCGAAATACGTCGAGCTCCCAATCCTGTCGTGCTGCTACCAAAGCTCTTGAGACAGAGAAATCCATGCAAACATCTGGTAAGGGAACAAGCTTGCAAAGGATGCTCGTAGAACTCTTCGTTGAATACTTCAGCTATGCTGCCCTATTTTGGCACATCGTTCGGGAGAAATGCAGGAACATGGGCGCGCGTAGGATGTTGCTTTGATAACAATGTCATTACAATACAAGTCCACGCACTACCAACATCAAGTGGAGGTCGATCACAATTGAGGCTCTCCGATGTACGATTCAACCTAAGCATACGGGCATGCTCTTGCTGCGGCAGTCACGATCGTCAATTCATCGTTCCAGAGGCTGAGATAAACTTTCGACTTTACCCAAGGTTCACCACACTCTGATACCGAGAATGCCGAATTTCGTTTCAGTCTTGCATGCCGTACAGACCTACACGAGACACGGCACAAGAATATTGTGCATGGTGTTTCAATCCAGTGGTATAAGCCGAGGTGATACACGAATGGAGAATTCTTCCACGCGGTACTCCCGGATCAGTGCTAACTTTGCCTCGTGGCTCTTGCCTTGGCGATCGTCATTCTTACGGCAACAAAACTACATTTCGTGAAGTTAATCTACTCTCTGCTTCATAACTGTAGTGCACAGCCGACAGCTACTTGAGCCCAATTCGCTATAAGCTTGCCGTTCGTGAACTTGGCACGCGAGACAAGCAAGCACAGCGACAGATGTGGCCATATTTATGACATGTTGTGGATGAGCTTGAGCACAGGTCATGTTGAAAAAGTTGGTGAATGATAGAGAGCTCTCAGGGTTCAATTGTCTGTATAAGTAGCTCTTCAGATTCTCTTCCACTACGAGCGCTATGCTCGCCATTCAAGCAGTACACCCATAACAACTCAATACCAGATAAGATATGTTGACTTCTACACTTCTCCTCCTTGGTGCCTCGCTGGGTAGCGTTGTAGCATCACCTCTAAGAAGACGACAAGCACCCAGTCAAACTCCAGTAGTAACAGACGCTACTTACGATGGCCAGTGTTACTACCCCAAGCCAGATGAGGACGATTTCGAGCTCGACGAATATGTTGGACGCTGGTACCAGGTCGCTGGCACTGTGGCCCCATTTACGGCTGGCTGTAAATGTATATTTGCCGAATACTCCTTGAATGTAGGTGTTTACGCCGGAATAGTGGTACAGGTTTTGACATTCTTGTGTGCAGGCAAATGGCACGGTGCGTGTATTCAATGGCTGCGAATTGGATGGGCAGGAGATCACGATCGAGGGTACTGCAACTGCTGTGAACGAGGACCTCGGATACGGGGAGGATGGCGTCTTCCGCGTTCAATTCCCTGGTCAGCCTGAGCCCGAATGCCCAGGTCCAAACTACATCGTGCAAGGTATGACTCTCCGACTTTTTGAACAATGCTTTGTGGTCGAGCACACGAGATGCTGACTGTGTCACGTTCCAGATATTGAGCAAGATGACGACGATGACGACGACGATGATGATGATGACGACGACAGCAGCGACGGCAATTTCGCGATTGTCCAGGCATCTAACTTCTCAACGTTATTCCTACTTAGCCGTCAGCAAAACCCACCCTCAAGCCAGATCGACGTAAGTTCAAGAGTTTTCTGGTCAAAACTCGAAAGCTAATTCCTCCTGATAGGCATGGCTCGAGCGTGCTCGACTCTTAGGTACAAACATGACGGATGTGATCCGTATAGACCAAACGAACTGCCAGTTCACTTGACAAGCTGAAATCTCGGACTCAAGACATTATCAGCTATAACGGTAGTATTAGACACTTCAAAACATTGTTGGACAAGTCGGATACAGGGGTGCAAGATAGACTCCTGCACACCGTTTGCTCGCTGGCTGTATTCGGAAAAGCGATATGGTAATCAATATTTTACTTCAAGCCGTATAAAGTCTAGATAGACATGATTACACATCTTTCTGTGTCGACAAATGTGACATCTCTGCCAATATTCGTATGTCGAGGGTAATTAGACTGCGTGCGTTGAATGATGCGAGAACTGTAAATTGTGCAGAGTCTTCCAAAGTTAGTTCGAGTTATTCAAGGTTGTTTAAAGACGTCCAAAGTCGTTCAAAGAAATTAGCTAAATTCAGGGTTTCGAGAGAACTCGAATGTAACCGTCTCTGAGCGTCATGTGAGGCTTGATTCCGGCAATACTATTCCCGCATATCACGAATTAATAAAACTGGAACCTTAAGGCAAGACTTCTTGTGAGTATCGTCGTCTTGTCACCTGGCCATCCTTGCTCGAAATACCCACGCTTACTATTCCTCACGAAACGGCATCATGGTATTTGCCATCACTCAGGCTCGTTTATAGAGGCTAACAATCTCAGCTCCCACTCAGTCTGCTCAATGAAGCCCAAGGCCACCCCATGCTAGTCGAGCTCAAGAATGGCGAAACACTAAACGGCCACCTCGTGAATTGCGACACATGGATGAACCTCACTCTTAAGGAAGTAGTACAGACGAGCCCGGAAGGCGACAAATTCCATCGGTTACCAGAAGTCTATGTCCGAGGCAACAACGTAGGTTCCTGACTGGCCAAGGAATGAAACGTGTATTAACAGAAGCAGATCAAATACCTCAGAGTTCCGGACGAGATACTGGAGTCGATTAGGGAGAAGCAACAAAGTCAGCAAGGTAACCAGCGGGGTCGAGGCGGACATGGGCAACGAGGAGATTCTGGACGTGGCGATCGTGGTAGAGGGCAGGGACGTGGAGGGAGAGGTCGTGGGAGGGCTCGTGGTGGGAACTAGGAACTTGTCGACATACGATTTACCGCCACATTACGACCATACGTCTATATGCTACGCTGTTGAGCTTCTGCTGGACTAGTGACTTGGGCAATCGTCTCAACCTGATCAACACAGTCATGCACAGTAGACGTCCAAAGATCTGCAGCTGTACAGTCTGCACCGTAGCAGGTTCCTAAAGGATTCAGTACAGTGCCTGTCTGCGGAGTACGACCTCACAACCAGCAATCGGGAATACCGGGAATACGCCGCTTCTTAAGGGATAGGCGTTGTAAGATGTAGCTTATAAGTGAAAAAGCGGGATTTAAAGGAGACCACGATTAGCATTTCAGAAGCGAGGAGTTTTGAGCGAAGTAAAATATGCTTATTACAAATCTGCAGGGTGTCATGCTTGACGCAGCACCATACAAGCATTCCACACTATCTACAGTGTATAAATGCGCAATCAAATAAAGTCCGAGAAAGTAAAGAAAAATCATTCGTCAGTCGTGGGCTACCTCCTGGGTAGCTGTTTGGTCAAAGCACTCAAGGCCTAGGAAGCTGATTAGCAGAAGTAAGTCTGGGATAGTGAGTGGCTTTGCTTACCTTGTCAGTTAGAACACCTTGATTGTAAAGATATTTCGACAGGCCCCGAACAACTTCCACCTGCTCTTCGAGGGTGAGACCCACGATAGCTGACTCGATGACACTTCCTACCGTTGTCTTGTAAACAGCGATGAAGCTTTGGTAATACATGTACGCAAATAGACCCATGATAAATTGGCAATCCATCCGGTCGGTCATGCCACCGTGACCTGGAATACTATCACCAAAGTCCTTGATATTGAATGTTCTCTTGAGACCAGAGGCAAAGAAGCCGCCGAAAGGTGCAATCAATGAAGCAAAGGTCGCGAACACCATGACATGGCCTTGGATAGGAGCAATCCAGAATGTCTTCGTGACCCCAGTCCACACAGGAAGTTGCCAGGGCTGAGCTTGAAAGACCGGATTAGGCACACAATCCAATCCTGTCCAGAAGTTGGCACCGAGATCTGTAACTGGACAAATAAAGTACTTCGAGCGCATGAGGATGTTGGTCAGGAGGAAGCCAAAGATGACGGTGCAGATCCAAGCGCCCACGAAACCTTCAACAGTCTTTTTGGGTGAGATCTTGATGAGCTGTGTTCGGCCGAACGTGATACCACAAATGTAGGCAAATATGTCGTTGGTAATGACGAGGGACGCTGGCAGGAACATCCAGATCATGCCTTCGAAGACGTTGTTCATCGCAAAATGAGCTTGGACGACAATAAAGTATAGAGCCATATGGGTCCAGGCGAACTGAGTGAATTGAAATCTGTAGTGGTTCTTTTTCAGCGAACCAACGAAAAAGACAAAGCCTAGAATGTACATCATGAAGCTGATGAATCTGTGATGAGTCGCAAGTGGAAGGAGAACTTTGTCGACGAGAAGGATGTGCTTGAAGTAGTAGATGACGCTTTCACCATACAGGAAGTACATGGTGATGGCAAGGAAATACCAGTTCAGAGAGCGCGTCAGGGGAAGCTCCCGTTGTTTCGTCGGTACCTGTGCAATGTTGATCACTTCCTTGAAGCAAATAATCTGAATGGCGGTTTCGAGGAATAGAATGTAGACATGACCGCTGAACATGAAGAAGAAAAAGCCAGCTATCATGGCCAATGTCCATATCGTTCTTGTAATGAAGGTCTGCTTCTTTTTCTCGTATTCACTTTGCTGAATCTGAAGCTGCTGTTGCGCAGGAATAGTACCGTTTGTCTTGACATCTTTGGTTCGTACTGGGCTTCCTTCACTCTCATTCGAGGAGGAGGCTGTCCGTTTCTTGGGTGCATTTCCGTTCAATTTATGTGGGAACTGGACTTTCGACTTAGCCATGGCGCAGAAAGTTCACTGAACAATGTCGGTCTGGGCGACTGGGAATCGCAACAGGACAGAGAGTATTGTGAGGTGCGCTGAGTTGAACGAGCATGTGAAAGGAGATGCTGCTGAGGTTGATCTGGAAAGCACGGAGGGTGTTCCCTTCACCGGCACAGCGCGTGGAATGGTGATTTGTGGTTCAGCTTGGTTCACTGGTAAATGTGATCTTTCGCAACCTGGACACGATATTGGGAGAACGATGCGAACAATTCTGCTTGTGCCGGACCGCAGGTCAATTGTTAAGCCGGAGGAATTCCTGCTCAGGCGTACGTCATGGGCTGATGAACTGCAAAGGAAACTTCAAGTTCTTCAAGCACGAAGCCAGCACATGCTGCAGAATTGAACTCTCCAGCTTTCTTCAGGCACCAAGCACTCCACTTTCCGGGCATTCTTCTTACCACAATTGTCCCTCACTGGCATTCACGGACGCGTCACAAGCGCTAGTTTGTTTACTTTGCACGCAGCCAATATGCAGGAACAATGTCCACACACTGGTTGATCCATCGAATTCGACCCTCAGTCAGCTGCTGAGCGCGACAAAATGATCGACACGCATGAGCATGGCTGGAGATTTTTCCGACGAAGAGTGGGATATTTCAGATGATCAATGGCAGGTACTTGAGCATAACGCCATAACATTGACCCAGCAACAACAGCAAGGTGCTAGACCTGGACGGAAACCTGTCACGACTAATGGTCGCAACCCGAGTCGTACAAGCACTGAAAGGCTTGACTCATCCTCCCTTCGAAGAACAGCCCTTGGCACACCTGCCACCCAGAATGGGAATCGAGTCGTGAGCGAAGAGGATAGTTTCGACAATCCTCAGCTCGATGAGGATGGCGTTCCGTTAGTGCTGGAGGTTCAGCCTCAGCCGTATGTGGTACGCAGACCTGTCGATGAATCGATCCAGAGAGAACAATGGAGAGCAAATCGATATGCTCAGAAGCATGGACCACAACCTCAGCCTCGCCCTATACAAAGGACCATACCACATCACGCATATCAGGAACATCAGCAGAAACAGGCGTCTCAGAATGGTCGAGTGGTGCAGCCACAAGTGCAGCAGCAACTACGACAGGCTGCCTACCCAGCTGGACCCCCGAGTCAAAGCACACAAGGATTTCACATCATTCCAAAGCCCAACCAGGCGACTGATCCGTTTCAAGCTGAGTTAGAGCAACTCCGTAAAGAGAAGGAGGCACTGTCTCACAGTCTCAACCAAGTCCAATCAGAGCTCTTTACTGCAAAAGGGGAAATCTCTGTCATTCGGAGCAAAAATGACAACGATATCAGAACTGCAGAAAGGCAGGTGGCAATTTTGAAAAAGCAAATGCAAGAAGAAGCTGTGAAACACGATACTGTACTGAGATCGAAAGATGCCAGTTATGCTCAATTGGCCACAGATAGCAAGTTCCTGAAACACGAGCTGAATGAGCAGACTCGTAAAGTCCAGGCGTTGCAGATACGGACAAAAGAGCAGCCTCTTCAAGCCAGACCAAACGATGCCAACCTGTCTCCTCGTAGAGGCATTGTTAGCAACCTGCGCGACGGCTTCGACGACAATGAGGTTATGCAACTATCGCCTGGGAGAGGTATGTCCCCAGGTAGATCGCCTGCTGGCCACCGGACTTCCAAACCTAACACACCGAACAAGAAGAGGAAGCATACAACTGCCAATACAATAGATATGCCATCTCTAACTCTGAGATTGTCTGGTGATGGCCACGAGCAGCTGCAAAATAAGCAACCCGCGAAGGACGAGCCCCCAGCTCAAATTGCAAGAGACCATCAAAGTGAATACAATCTAAACTTGCTCAAAGACTTGTTCGCCTTTCGTCCACGTATGAGCCAAGATACAGTCGTGGAATCACTAACCAAATTCTCATTTCCAAGCGATAAAAATCGTCCTCTAAGCTCGATCTTGCTGACAGAAACATCGAACTTGAAGCAGCCAAGATTTGCTGGCGATCTTCTGGACATCTTCACTTCGTTCGTGGCAAGATGCTGGCGGGAAGAGTACTACATTCCACTTGGTATTCTCCTCGAGGCTATCGGTCACATCCTCGACCTCGAACCAATAGTTGTTGACCAAGAAGTGATCAAGTCGCTGGTGCCCCCACTGCAGGAGATCATAGCAGTGAATGGAAAGATTCGTTGGAAGTTGGCTGATATGAACCAGGTCTGGAATGACGCAAATCCGAAGCCCAAAGTCAAGCCAGAGATCAACGTAGCCGCCTGCCTTGATGTCCTGATTATGCTTGCTGGTCTTGTTGTGGATGACTATGTGCTTATTAGGGAGTTCTGGGGCTGCTTGACTACTGAAATAATCCTGATCATGCTTGCACCATGTCAACCTATACCTGATCTGGCGTTAATGCTCGAGCTTATGACAACAAGTGTCCTACCAGAGTCCTTCGGCAATATCTGCGGTGAGGATCAGCAACAGAACCAAACCGAGATATACCATGTGGACAAAATCTGCTACCTCCTGCATAATCCGCCAAGGGTAGTGATGAAGCATATCCAGGACCAGCTAGCGAAGCAAAAGAAGCAGCGTTTCAGCACAAATAAAGACATCGAAGTACCAGACCCTCCCCCAACTCGCCTTCAGATCTGTCACTTCCGATTCAAAGCCCTCGATCTCATCTCCAAGATTGCGATGACGTCGATACCACATCCTCATCAAAGTGGCATAGACTCTCATCATGGCACAAGTCTCCTGCTTTTCCACCCCTCTGCTGTAGCAAGACTTACCCGCTTGCTCTACGACGAGGTCAGCAACCTCTACGACGCACACACGGACACTCATCACCTTCATGCCCAGCTCATTAACCGCGCAACTGCAATTCTTCACCATCTCCTTTTATCGCCACAAGCAATATCCAGGGATTCCAAGTTCGACCTCACAAAGGCAGTTTCGGCAGTCCTCGCAGGTGTCAATCGCTTTCGCGTAGCGCTTTCCAGAATTATCTTTCGTGAAGCGTTAGAGCACGGCATCGACACTCCCATCACTGAGGATACGGTACAGCGAGCTAATGAAATCCTGGAAGAATACGTGACGCCTGACGAGGCGGTACAATTGCTTGCGGCATTTGGCAAGGACGTTGTTGATGAAGATGAGGAGATGGCGGACGAGGACGCTGAGGCTGAAGCTGCTGTCATGGCTGAGGTCTTATAAAGTCTCCGCAAGAGCACTAGGCTTTTGTTACGAGTGATATATCGTATTCATAGCGAGGGTGTCTTGGTCTAGTGTTTAAAGACAATGAAAATCTTTTCCATCCCTCTCTTCAATCATCGGGTAGCACCCACAATCAACGCACAGTACCGGTATCGATCAATTACCCTCCATATTAGTCAATGGTGAACCACAAACGCGATAACAAGCGAATGCCTGTATGCAGTAGGACACTCGGCACTTCCATCCACCATAAGCTCAAAGCCTACTACAAGTGCAACACGCACGACCGAGAGCCACATGCGCCCGAGGTAAGATGAAATATTTTACGTGTACTCATATTGACTACTCGGCAAGTCAGTTGTGGATAGATAGCAATCGTCGTACAACGACATCGACTTGTTGGATTGTGCCTCGGAAAGTTATTCCGGCGTGCTTGGATTGGGTCTGCCCCAGGAACACGAGGTTCCTGTTGGAGCGCGGTAATTAGTTCGAGCGTTCCTGTCGGTTAACAAGTGCTGGTCGAGAGGCGAATGATGGTGGAGACGGGGCTAATGTACTACAGTACAGTGCTATGGTTCTCGTACAGGAAGGTGGCTAAGCGATAAGATCATGCAGTTTCGTAATTCAAAAGATTCAAAAGTATGGTAACCCGCTCACTACATACTTTGTTATCGTCCCGAATAGCCTACGCGCATTCGCATTCAAATTGTGGTAACTCTCTAAAAGAACATTCGCTGCAGAAAGTTCAAATCATTCTTTCCACCTTTTTCACGGCACGACAGTCAGGCTGCTGACTGTCTTTGGGGGTATATATACGTCCTTCTCGACCAACCGGCGTCATCAAATCGTCACTATATGATAGAGATACAGGTCGTCCTCACGTTCAAGCATGTACAGCAGGAGAGAAGTCCAGCTCATCCTCAATACTGCTTACAGGCATCGTGATACCTTTGAAAGATTCCTCGGCCGACAGGTCTAGACCGTCGTTTGTCGACATAGATCCATTATGACTGCCAGCTGTGCTGAAGACGAAGTCATCAGCAGAAGCCAAACTCTCCTCAGAAAAGCCCAACAGGCTTTGCGGCACATTTGGCTTTTCGGAGTGGAAGCCGCCTAGGTTCCACAGCTCACCCGTCCAGTCCAGTATCTCAGGGTTCGACGTGGTCTTGTTGAGGGCGTTCGGCTCGACTGTATTGTACAGTACAGACTGATGGTCAAACCCTTGGACGAGGTGTTCCCAACTGCTGTGAGTTGGCAAAGAATGTTTTTTCGGTGGCAGCATTGTCGACGATGAGTTGTGGCTTGGGACAATATGAAGCGAACCATCGAACGGGAAATAATCCAGGTTGACAACAGATGATGCCTGGCCTGGTAGTCTCGGAGGATGCGTCGTCCTGGGCGAAGGTGTTGTCGACAGCTGTGTAGCAGGAGCAGGAGCAGACTGTGTGGACACAAGGCTGATTGTGCTATTCGCACGAGGAGGATTCACGTCAATAGTCGTGGAGCCTGATCGCGGTGAAACGGTGCGACGCTTTGATGAGTCCCCATTGTTGTTGTCCTTGGTACTGAAGCCAGAGAAACGGGAGGCAATAGCTTGCAGCTGTTTTCTCGTCGACTTCTGCTTGTTGTTGGCAGGAGCGGGCATTGTGTTGAGGAGTCTTGCTGGAGGCGCCTCCGCAGGAAGCTGATGTGGAGGTAGCACACGAGGGCTTCCGACAACCACAAAGGACGAAGCAATCTTCTGGAATTCGTTACTGGCCGACACGTTCTCCTTGGCTGCTTTGGTCAATAACAGCGACAGGGACTTCTGGTTGTCTTTGATGATCTTGCTATCATCGTCGAGATCTATGCATTGCCACAGTATGGCGGTGCCAGCGTTGAGCAGGATATCTTGCTTGTTGACAGGGAACGTGTAGTTCATGCATCTTTCGTCAAGCAGGTCAATGATCTGGAGGATGTGCTTCGCAGCGGCGGCCAGGACGATTGTGGCAGCCGAAGCTGCACTGCCGGAACCGTAGCAGAGTAGCGGTCGGTGGATTAGGCTTCGAGTGTGGAAATAGGCGAGAGACTGCCAATGTTAGTGGAGGCACATGGATCGAGGGGAGCACGACACATACCAAGAGGGGCGATCTGTCACTGATCAGGTGAGTCGCAGGCTTGTCGTTACAGAAGCGCAAACGCAGGTGGTCTGGGAGCTCTTCGTGCCATTGGTCGAGCTCATCGGACAGCGAATGGAGCTTCTTCAAAGAGATGGCATAGGAGGCGCCAGCAGGATATAGGTGCTCAAGAGTCTTTGCAAGAATCTTGGACATTCGGAAAAGAGCCAGAGCACTCGATATCTTGGTCAGCTCACCAGGGAGGGCGGGACTGAAGCCTTGTTCAGTAATATTTTCATCGTCAACGTCAGCAGGAAATTCAGCTGTGATGTCACTGTCGCGAAGCAGCATAGGCATGCCTGTTGTAGCTGAAGCAAACCTGATGGGAATTAGTCGACCGTCATACAAGTGATTAGGAGGATGAAGCCAACTTACTTGTCAAGCACATACTGACACCAAAACGCCCGCTTCCTTAGCTCAGCTTCAAATGTTGGTAGGGCGGAGATCTTGTGTCCTTGATGCAGTCCCAGCTGGTGGCAGATACTGACGGCATATCCTCGATGTCGAAGGAGATGTGGATAATCAGCCTTCAAAAGATAACACAACTGCGCAAGTATGTGGCACTGTAGAACGGCTAGTGAAGGTATCGATGAGGTCGCAGAAAGAGCTTTTCGCCATTGCAACTCGTAAGCGGTCGTGTTTGGTCGTGCCTTCGAGGAAGACGAGTGGGCGGCAATCTCGAATATTAGAAAGAGTTGCGCCACGGCAAGCTTGCTACCTTGAAGCGAGAGAGCATCGGGGGAAGCGAGATATTGCTCGTACAGACGAAGGAATGTTTGTCTGTGAAGAATTGGCATAAGAGGTTGCCATTCCTGGAAGAAGAGGTCTGCGAAAAGTTAGCCTAAATCAAGATGGATCTTGGGAGCAACATACTGATGTACTGATCAGAAAGCAATCGAGGCGGGGCAGCGGATGCATTACTGGATGCGGGCGATCTGGCCTGAGATGAGGCAGGGGCCAACAGTGCGGCAGGAGCAATTACTGGACAAGCATGCCCTTGCTCTTGAACCCTTTCCTCGAAAGCTTCCATGAATGCTGCTGTAGTCGATGTGCCCGCAGAGGTTGAACTCGGCTGCACGGAAGCAGGTATCTCAACGTGAAGCACCTCTTCCTCCGTCGACGCCAGTTCTGTCTTAAGCTGTCCAGAATTTGGTGGTGATAAGGACGCTGAATTCTTCCGCATGGGCGAGAAGCTGTGTATCCTGGATAGCATATCTATTTTCTCATCCTTCTCATCCAACAAGTCCTTTAGTTCTCTCACTTCCGCTTCCAACCCGCGTACTCGATCTTCCAGAGACTCTGTGTACCCGCGTGGAAAGGCTCTGCGGCTGAGTTTATCGCTCGTCTTGCACTCGAAGCCAACATTGGCGCATTGCGAACAGCACGGTCGAATCCCGTCACATCTGATCTTTTTGCTCCGACATCGATCGCAGGCTTGTGCAATACGACTCTGACTATTACTACCCACCCTGATCATCTTCATAGGTAATATTCCCGGCATTGTGGTTGTCTTGTTGCTGTGGTTGTTGTGGTTTCAACACTGTCGTGCAGTGTTATACGCGACTTCGGCGGTCATAAGCCCTTTCCGGGTGAGCGGAGTTGCGTCAGGCGAGGTCAGGGAATCAGGCGACGGCGCGTGAGAAGGTTGGGAACAGATTCTATTGTTGTTGAATTGGTCGTGAATTGTAGAACGCCTATACAATTTCAAAGCGAACACATACACAGGAGGGATTGTGGACAAGAAGTGATATAACAGCAATGACAGCAGAGGCGGAGACCCGGACGTGCAGATCAGCTCATACACTGAGTTTCGTGGACAGAAAGTAAAAACACAGATGTAGTGCACACGACTTGATCACGGAAGAAGTAAGTCCTCTTCGAGTTGAGACAACTCTCTCTATTTCCCCCAGATTTCCACTGAGTAACTCTCCTTGGTTCCGGGCAAGCAAGTTGTGAACATCTGGAGAAGTGCCAACCCTTTGGTTTCGCGGAGTCGACGCAAATGTTCCTGACACGAGTACCAAGGGAGATGGAAGGTTTCCTGACTCCATGGCACAACCACTTTATTGGCGGAGTGCAGACTCTGCCTCCCCGCAGCCCGAAAGAAGTCCTGGTCAATGGTGCATCAGGGGACGCCACCGACCAAGTAGCGGAGTCAGCTATTCTACATCTGGTATCATATTCTGTTGAATGCCCATTCGACCGAACTATTTTCTGCTATAATTTCGTAGAGCAATAACTTCGTTGCAAGTGCTCAATAGGTGCACATTCATACTGATGAGCTCAGAAACTAATCTCTAACAACAATAGTAGATCTAGTAAATATAGACCACAGCTTCACGTGTTCATAATGATGGCTTAGTCCTCGGGCAGCAGAAGGTCGTGTGCTGATGGTTGAGGTGTGCCGGTGTCTGGTGTTGTGAATACAAGTACAGTAGTCGATCAGCCATGCATGACCAAGAGGAAAAGTCGGTGCAACTAAACACCGATGTTCACGGAAATAGGCACTATTTTTCTTGTCGACTCGCTTGCATCGACATCGTTAGAGTGTCGGTTTGTCTCCGCAGACCCTTTGAGACGAGACCCGTTCGATCCATGGATAATATATCCACGGACATCTGAATATACATACACTATTCGCAGGTCGTAGGGTAGCTGGAAGCTGTTCAGAAGATAGATGACGGCCACAAGCCGAATTGAGTGTCTACGAGAAGTCTTCTTCCTGCTGTCCTTCGGGCTCATGGATAGTAGTCGAACTGGCTGCAAGATACTCGGCGACTGTCCGAGAGAGAAGCAGCTCCTGTTTCTGCAACCATGATTAGCTCAGCTTCCCAGCTCAAAACAGGAACGTTGGCACCTACCGCAGATTCCAAAGCGCTAAAGCTGGCCGCCAAAAGGTTCAACTCCAGTCCACGCAGACTCCGGATGGTTTCATGCACGAATTTCCTGTCATCTGATCGTATACGAGCTAGAGTTTGATCAAACGCTGCCTGACTCGTGCTTAGCTCTTCCCCTTGACTTTCGATCCGCTGCTGGATAATCACTGTGGCTCGCAGCAAGAAAATATCCTTGCGATCGTCGCTGATCAAGGTCGATTCCAGGCATTCAGGACTCAAGCTTTCTCCTTTCCACGTTGCTCGCAGCTCTCTTGCGCCATCTCTTGTTTGCAACACCTCGAAGTCTAGACCGTCCTCTTCGTTGATGCATAGCCACCATACAAAGTTGCTTTCCCAACTCACATGACCTTTGGCATTGAGGAAAATCCTTACCCCTGGAGCTTCCTTTGCGAAGTACATCTTCGCGGCCCGTAACGGATCATCCTGCGGGGCTGGCAGGCTCAGGAACATCTCTCGTGCACTCTGTACGTTTTCCTCTAGAAAGCCATAGGAGAAGATCATCTCGGATGCTCCTCCACAGCCATATGTGATGTTGATTTCCTCATGCTCTGCAATTTGTCTACCGCCACGTACCATAAGCAACACTCTACCACCATCGCCAATTTCGAAGCGTGCGTTGTAGCGATCATCGGCAGAGTGATTCGCCATGTCTAGAACAGGTACCATAGCATCGCCGACACCCTGGGGCAGATCTAGAGCGCGCGATCTGTAGAGAGCATCAGCAAGCTTCCAATCGTCGAAGCTTAGCCTTCCACTTTCCTCGTGCCACCAAAGCCTGCTGCACCAATCGATAGAAATCGTCCTGTCTTTCAGGAGCTCAAACTCCCGATCAAGACTGGCTAGTTTCTGCTCGAGCGCATCGAACAATGAAGTGCCGACTAGCAAATTACGTTCGTCGGCCGAGAGGAAAGTCGGAAGTGAGATCTCCTTGGGTAGGGCGCAGAAATAGTCAGTAAAAGGACTTCTTACTCCAATGGCGTAATCGGTAAAGTCGGGACTTGAAATGGTCATCTGGTATAAAAGAAACAGCACAATAGCCTTTCTGGGAGTCTGAGGTAGCTCTCAGCACACGTACGTCGCTTCATTGTTGGTGCCTACCTCGATGAAATCCTCAAGTACCTCAACAAGCTGCCGTAAATGTACATCGGTCTTGGCGCACTGCAAGAGTGACTCTTTAGATAAGATTAGGTCTGAAGGTATTGACAGCAACACATCCTCAGACTCGTGCGTGGAGGTAGAGACAAGTCCACCTCCTTTGCTGACGCCCTCTTCCGTAACGATATTGGCACTGATCTTCGTCCCATACAACTTGACATCATTTAATTGTGACCACGGCGTAAGCTGATCCAATGCTATCGTAGCATATCTCATATTGTCGCTTGTGGTAGATAGCCTGTCCGTTGATATTGGAGGAGTTGAATGTATGATAGGAGAGATCTTGTTATTAAGAAAGTCGAGACGTTCTTGGCGAGTCAAAGAAAGACGTGCGCGTGGCTGTCCCTGTGCGCAACGGTCAAGCACGCACTTTACTTGGTACTCACCGGCTCCAACACAATAGGCATCAGATCTGAAACATACTGCCTGTGTCTTGCAGCTCGTTTATATGACATCGCAACGATATAGTTGTGAGATATACCTAAAAAGGGAAATTCTGCAGCTCGTGACGATCCGAGGCATCGAGAGAGGTGTAAATGGCCTGCTTTCTAGTTCGGAAATATCATTCGATGGGTTAGTATTTGCTGTGGTCCGTACTGCAACACGTCTATTTCACTAAAGTCAAGCCGGCCAAAAGATGGTAGTGTAAATGTTTTTCTTCCTAGCCTTTCGAAGCTAGTTGTGCACGTTGTGTTGATACAGGCCATTGTATAGGTATAGCTCATATTATCATTATGATTGCAAGCCAGCTGTAGCTGTGAATGCCAGCCAATCATTAGTTATTCCGACTCGATGACCATGCGCAGGAACTAACCCTCGGCTCTTAGATCCACGACATATCGCGGTCATATGTCGTCATGTAGCAACAAACTTTAGCTCTGCGCTGAGTTGTACTCGTAGTTGAAAGCTTCGAAGGAGTTGACAAGCAGGTCAAGCTCTATAGAAGACAAACATACCATTACACGAGATGAGATTCCTAGCTTCACCGTCGACACTATCACGAGTGTGTGTTTCATCCCAGCACGTCACAATGCCTCGTCTTGCCTTGACTTTTACCCCCCAAGGGTTTCGAGCTGTACCAGCTCGAACATTCGTAACTGGAGGCCGAAACCTGGCTTCCTCGTCGAGCAAGGACAAAGGTCCACAGAATTCGACCCCAAGCTGGGAAGGTCGACACGGGGACGACCACGTCCTACATAGAGATGACCTCGACGCACAATCCAAGCCGTCACACCAAGCGAGAAGTGAGAAGGCGCAGGGCGAATCAGGAAGCGGCGCTATCAGCGAGAAGGATGAAAAGAACGCAAACCAGAAGGCAAAAGAAGACCATCCAGAAGCGCCAGGTCCTGTAATAGGCATGAATTCTGGTGAGTATCCTCCTTACCACTAATGATAGAATACTGATATTTGTCGTAGAGCGAGGCAGTAAAGGCCAAACATGAGAACTTCGAGCGTACTGTACACAAAGTGACTGCATTGAACGGCGTCAGGCTACCAGCAGGGAAAAAAGCTATCCATTACTATTACATGAAGATTGGTGCTAGGCGGTGGTCTTGAAGAACAGCATGCGTGAATGTAGTAAGCAGGAACAATTACAAAATGAAGCTGGTATTGAGGCATGGCAGGTGCGACCATGTGCTCTTTCCCTTCACGGGTACACTACATTTCCCTTCATCTGCAATTTTGAAAAGTCTATTGCTTACGCTTGGTCGCTTTCCCTTCACTTCTACCGCTACCACCTGTTTTTACGCGTCCTAGGGGTCTACGATCGTGAGTATACATTGCCCGTTGACGATTATGCCAATACAATGCAACGGTTGTACATCTCCCTTTCTTTATTGCGTCTAGCCATTTTTGGCCATTGGAAGACCGATTAGCTGAAAGCAGAGATCGAACACGTCGAGCAGCAGTTTACACAGGCAACTACAGCGAAAATGCATGAAGATTCACCAGCACGAGAGTCGAGGAACGGTAATCGTTGGCCTCGCGTCACGGTCGATTCATATAGACCTAGTGATGTCGGCAGACTGTCCCGGCCGAGCTCACAAGAACCTCGTCCGCGGAAGCGTAAGCGGTCAGTCGTGAGTTCGTCAACTGAGAAGAGCAGTCTTTTGAAGAACAGAGACTCTCTTGAGAAGGAGGTTCAAAAGCTAAAGGACGCTGCTTCGCAGTTGATACAAAGTACAGAGAGTATAGATGCCAAGATCGACCGCCTTCTTGTCGCAGTTCGCAAGCACAACACGGAAGTTGTCTCTTTATTACGAACGGGACAGAAAGAAAGCTTGACAGCACCTGATATCACCACACAGGCTGATCTCCCTCCACACAAAGCCTTCGTTGACGTTCTTCAGGTTGTCCAAAGCCCTCAACATCGCTCGGCCGTACCAAGTCGCACTTCCAAACGCACTCGTGTCTCTCTTACTCAACAACTCGTTTCTACTCCCTGGCGAGAGGTAGGGTATCGCTACTCCCCTTAGATAAGATATTAACTTGTTGCAGATAAGCCCACCTCACTCTATCAGGCCGTCTACATCCAGAACCAGAAACCGACCAAGGGAGATTTCCGCTGTTCACCTGAAACCAGATTCAGGGTCCGTACTGCCTTCCTCGAATCATGACTTACAGGCCACGTACACCCATCCAGAGGTAGCCAGACCTTTTGCGCCTATCGGTAGGAAGCTCCTCAGTTGTCGTTGTCTACATCGCTGATTGATCTGCAGTAAAACGGCAGTGCACTGGTCCCATAACACCAACAACAGTGGTCGCAAGGCCTCTCGTTGCCGAAAGTCATCCATCTAGCAAACATATCCCAGATGCGTTTGCACCTGTCAGACCTGATTTCCACGTCGATCATTGCACGTATCCGAACATACCACATGGCTTGTTTTCGCAGGTCCTCGACCTTTCAGCCCTCATAGACGATACGGCTGCGACTACGCTGGAGAGTCCCGTTCAAGAGCCCACACATATGGGCAACCACAACATTGTTGCCTCGTCTACCTCGTCCATTGCACGTTCTGGCGCTGTGGGCTCTACCACAAATGAGTAAGACGAGCACGGCACCCGCCAATGATCTGTGGACAGCAGACTACATCTCGCTCAATATCTAAACTTCGATCCAGAGCTATTGTCGCGTGTCTAAAACACGGCCGTGTAGTTGCAGGCATTTCTGCCGTGCTTGAACGTGTGGCTCATGTTGGTGACTGCTCGAGAACAACGACCTCCGGGGTACGAGCCTCTGTCTATCTCGTGATAACATACACAGCAGATCTTCTAGTTGGGGTGCAGGAGATTGGACAGAGGGAACAAGTGTTGTGCTGATACATAGACGAACAATGCTTACTCGCTTCGGAGACAATCTCTGAGCCATCGACTTCATCTCGAACGTGCAGAGTCCCAGATAAGACTTGAGCACGAGCCAATGCTCGCGTCGCCGTAACCAGGAAAAGTAAGAGTCTCATGGATGGCAAACTTGAACTCGTAGTAAGGTACTCGTACGGCTCGGCCACTGTGTTTAGAGCGCGATCTCCGATTTGATTCGACTCAAGTGGCATGCACAGGAATTGACCGAATTCGAGGACTTAGGGCTTAGGGCTTCGGAGCTGGCGGGACGCTAGCAAGCTAAAGGTCCATCAAATCCCTCACGTAACCGTCCCTTCGTGCTCATGACCATTTCTTTGCAATACAGACTTACAACTTCTTATTAAATCGTCTCAACCAAGAATCGCTAGTCTTCAGACCCGCTTGACGTGGCGGATGAATATGTCGGTCAAGCCCCTCAGCTCCCAATTCGGAGATCACAGCTCCTGGCACCTTGTTCGATGTACGAGATGAGTACCACTCGACGTCGATCGTATCATGTGCCCGACTGAGGGTTCTGCCCTCGGTTCCTAGAGTCCTGAACTTTAGATCTGCAGCCCCCACGATGACTTGCACGTCGAATTCTGCTCTATGGTACTGACTTCCTCCGTTGTACCAATGTCGATTCTTCAACTTCATCTCGGATGGTAGGGATGACTCTACCTTGCAAAGCCTGTTCGCTCCAGGCTTGTTCAAGCTCGAGGGCAACTCATTTGCCGATAAGGTCGACATGACAACCTGCGTCGTCCACGGTTGGTTTTCTTGACCAGGCAGCACTTTCAAGGAGTAATGCTGTTTTACGCCGTCTGATACTGACACCTTCTGTCCCTAAGACGATGTTAACCACGACACTCATCGCTGCCAGCTACTCACTTGCTTAATGAACCAATCTATCTGATTGAGGACATATGTCTTTTTGTCTCTATGGTCAAACGATGTTGGTTCTCCATAGTGGACCTGAGGATCATATTCTGCTTTTACAACAACTCCATACGAGTTTCGACAGAATCTCTCTTTGTACACTACGCGACTTTCTTTGATCTGCTGTACTCGATCCAGCACCAGACCGTGGCAAACTGCAAGCTGTGGTTTTGGTACTCTAAGAATTTGCAAGTCTGTAATGCATGCATGCGGACTTCTCCCCAGCAGATATTTCCGGCGCAAGCTCTGCTGCAAATAAGCAGAACTCCCTAAGCCGCCCGAGAGGACTAGGAAGTTGACTATTTCGTGAGGATGTGCTTTCTCTAATTGATACAGCTGATCGTCAATGAGGTCGCAAATTCTCTCGACTTGTGCATCGAAGATGGATTCAATTTCTCGTTTGTCCAGGACAATCTGCGAGTTCTCAATGTGAGGCGGAACATCAAGGCCAGGTGCAATACCAGGAATGGTCAGTCTCAGCGTAGGCAGGTCCATTGCTTCATCACCTAAATTGCACTTGAAGCTTTCGAAGCGCGATCCTTCTCGAAGCATGCGACGAGCGGTCACTTCTGGTGTCTCCTGAAGCTGGTCCCTCACCACCTGGAGTCGTTCCACAATCAGCTTTTCGACGCGAAAATCAATCAGCGTCGAACCGATTGCTCGACCTTCAACCCACGAAAGAGGCGCCAATTCTGTTTGACCGACACCAGAAGATATAACCTTCAGGATATTCACGTCCGACGTACCTCCACCAGCGTCACAAACCAAAAATATGTCGCCTGCTGCATATTGCATTTTCGAAGCGTATACTGCCGCCGCCTCTGCTTCAGTAAGCGATATTTCGGCTGTGTGAAGAGGGTTCCCCCTCGCAAAACCAGCGTTCCGGATTAGCTGCTCTGTTTCAGCGATCATGGCAGGGTTCTTCCAAGTGGTTGGCACACTGAACTTGAACTCAACGCGTTTCGAGCTGTACTTTGGGATGGTGTCATTCATGTGTCGGTCAACAGTCCGATACAGACACGACAAGTAATCTGTGAACCATCTTCGTGCCTCCTGCAGAGATGGCGCATCCTCCATGGCGTCTCTAAATTCCGGATCCAGGTACAGTTTGAAGAATTCCTCACAACGTTGAGAGTCTATACCGAAGCCTTCGTCAGCTGCGAAACCCCATGCTGCTATTTCACCTCTTTCAGTGTATGCAATTTTTGAGTCGACTTTGTCTGCAATCGAGCCTCTTGCATTACCTGGCCAGTTCTGGATAGTGTCAGGTCGTGGCCAATCTGGACCGGCCGAGTATGCAACTCCGGTTGAGGTCATACCAAAGTCGATACCGACGACAACGTCCGGATCTGCCATCTTGACTATGGAGAGGATGAATCAATCGAAGTGAAGGTACAGCTGGATGATCGGCTGTGGCTAGAATCAAGACCCTCCAGTTGAGCTGTCTGGGTGAGCCAAACTTAACGTCCTGTAGTGTTCAAGCTATCTATATCATGCCGCAGTAATTTACGATCCACGGCACAAGTGATCAGATCGAGGCTGGCCCCAGAAACTAAAGGCGTTCAGAGACATGCTACTAGTAACGGACACAACGGGCTAATGAATGGGGCTTACCGCAGTATCCCCACCTCTGCCACAAGCCGTGCACAAACTAGGCAGGTTATCTTCCTTGAGCAAGGATACAGCATACCGTCCAGTCGGGCGCTTGCACGTTTCGCAGAGTGGAGGATTTGCGATTCCTGCACCTGCTCTGCTTGAAGGCGTTAGAACTTTCACAATGATCAAAGTCCACCTCGATTGAGCATAGCGCTCGACATTCAGCCGACATAGCTTCTTGTACTGAACAAAGCTCTATAAGTCACAGTCTTACCCTCTCAGCCTTCTCGATACCCTACAATCTCTTACAGCTAGTATTGCAAATTCTCCCTCCAATTTCGACAATGTCCCTTACATCGACGTACAGAGGCGTCGCCTTCATCCCTGGCACTGACATCCTGAATGGAGTTGCGAGCACCACCAATCGCGCTGTAGTTACAGGAAGTGTGCCAGCACTTCCGGGGGTGGTAACTTTTATTCTCGAAAACAACATCAACGCAGACAGTCGTGTAGCTACTTTACAAGCAGTACTCGTAGGTGAAAGCTGGGCATTGTCGTCGACGATTCAAGGTGTTGTACCTACCTTTATGGTATGGTCAAATCCCGCAGCTCCGTCCGTGCCAGTGACTGCAGCGTCACCGATTTCCCTGGTTGCCTTCACATCAGCTGCAACAAATTCATCTTCCGAGAGCAGAAGCGCGTCCGCTACTACATCTATCAGCGTCCCCTCGAGCGCTACTACACCCGACACTACTATATCTTCAGATTCTGCAGCGACGAGTGTTCCAACAGCCAATTCGACCGAGACCTCATCTGCAGAACCTGCTGCTAAGGACAATAGCGGTCCAATAGCTGGCGCTGCAGTTGGCTGCTTCCTTGCTGGACTAATCATTGCGAGCATTCTTGCTTTCATATTCTATCGTCGACGTTCAAGACGCTCAAAAAGATCCCCAAGGACAGATGGGGGCTCTTCGATGGATGAGCTACATGAGGTCAGTTTTGTCAATGATGTGGGATTCGCAAAGACCTGGGACAGACGACTGCCTCAGCCTGATTCTGATCAGAGCATTGCTCACCTTGCGAGCCGGACCCTAGATGAGATCGAGCTATTCGTGGAGGAATTCTACAACAATAAACCAAACATACTTGGAACCCTATCAACTACGTCCGACGTGTCATCATTTGACTCTCCTCATCTCGATGCGTCACTCGACTTTCTGCTACAGAAGGCTACATCGCCAACGGTTCTCATAAAGCATTGTATCGCCTTCTTTTTGTTGCAGAAAATCGATCCCTCCTCCAATTTTGGAAAGTCGTTATTGCCCAGAGAGTACATCATTCCAAACTCGACAGCGAGTCCCTCACACGGTAAGTTAGGTCTGTTCTGTATGCGTCCTAGGTCTGACAGATCATACAGAAAGCAGACAAGCAATTTCTCAGATTCGTGTTCTTATGGCTAACACACGTTCCAATCCCAACCATGATCAACAATACGTTCTCCAACGTGATCAAGTTGCAGGAGAGGCTGTCCGGCAAATTGAGCAAGCTTTCCAGCCGTGGGCGCGCGGAGACTCTAGCAAAAGATCGAGTGCTCTCAAAGGGGTCATTATCCATCTGAGTGAGCTAGGCACTAAGCTCTTCAGCCAACCTTCCACATTTGAGTGGCAGTGGGGCCGTAGTAACTCTCATTCAACCCGTGCCACCGATCTAAGTTCGAATGGGATCGTCGTGTTGCCTGGGATCGACAAGACCACAGATCAGAGGGCGGAACTGCTCACTGCTCCAATCTGCTTGGTGAAACCTCGAACCGCATCCTGGACAGAGCAGCAAACTAGCAGGTAGAAAGAGCAGCGTTGACTGGCTCAACGAAGCACGGCGAGGCTGCACGATTCCGAGTGGACCCCTCGTACCACCAGGCTAGTATTTTAGTGGAGACAAGTTGCTGGTGGATACTGATACGGATACAAACTCTTGGACTTGTTCAATGCTTCTACAGTACGTTGTCCACCAAGTGGGTCAGGTCTTGCTCACGAGCAGTCAGTCGTTGCATAAGGGACACACCTGGCAAGAGCATGTTTCAAGTTTCAAAAGTGGGCTGGTGGACTGCGGCTAATTAAGTGGCCTGATTACTGGCGCACACCTCAAAGCGGAGAAATCTGTCGTTCCGGGCTAGTGTCTGATAAACCACAGACCTACTTATCTCAGCCTGAAAGTCGTTGCGACAATGTTTCAACATATTCACAGCAAATAGTACTGGAATCAGTCTAGTCGCCGACCTTGAGAAGTCACAGTGCTGAGTCAACGTGTCTTAGGTCGTTGCTCTATGATACAAGATTCGACATTCAGCGCAGGCAACTGCTGGACTCCGAGACGGTACGAGCGTCGCCCCTGACTTCAGCCTGATGCAGAGGTAATGACAGCGACCCTAGCATACCTGCATCCCGTGTCTTAGCGCCTGAATATGTGTTGGCCCCTGCCGCTGTCCAATCATTTCCACGGCTCCGTTCTTCTGCTCAGGTCTAGCTCCGCTGAACGTGCACGAATGTGTGATCGACAGGCAAGATCGTGCATGTGAGGAGCTAGCTGTCATTTGTGGCACCAAAGCTCGGACTAACAACAGTGATGGTGTTTGCTCTTTGAGACATGCAGAAGCTCCGCGCACAAGAACATGCTCTCTCAACACTACAGTAAAGACTAGGCAGCTGCTCCTGTTTGTGGCACCTGCCCAAGTTTCCTTGCACGCCTGTGTCGAGGTACCAGCCGACCCACCCTACCTACCTTTCGTTGGCAAGGTCTGGGGTCGCGATTGGAACAGCGGCTGTGTCCATGGTATCTCATTTAGCTCCTGTAGGAAAAGGCGCAATTTGACAAGTCGTTACCACTCCATGGTAACGGAGGATAGTGAGTGACGATCTACAGGCACTTAAAACAGCTCAAAATAGGCATGCGACGATCAACCAGCAACATCCTTTGCAAGAATTAGCTTGACGTGGCTGTATCACAGCAACCTCGCGGACTTCGAGATAGCGTTTGAACCGGTCAAATCAAGGCATTATACTAAGGACGAAGTTGGACTTGATACTGAGCGTACGACGTACTGGTACAGTCAGTGCAGCCGCTCGGTTGAATCGTATGAGATAAACCTACGACTCAATCGCAGCCTCGTTCACGATGCATAAATCGAGGTCTCCTTGGCAGTCTCACAGTGAAGAGGGACAGTCAAAAGCCCTTCAAAGCACAAAGGAACGCATCGAGAAACAGCTTGCTGCTGTGATTCAGCTTACGGAGTACAATGCCGAATACCTCGAGCCTTTTGAAGTCAATTGGATAGATCATATCATTAGCAGTGCTCTCGGGACAGTGGTCGAGGAAACCATCCCGGATTTAGATTTGTTGCAACCAGAAAGGGCTGCAGCACGACAGAGTTGGCGACATGGGAGATTGAGCACTGGTGTTTCCAGATGGAGGCACAGGCCGCCTCTACCAGGTACTGCTCAGGATCAATTGGCGCTTTTACTCAGTACTGCAAAGGCTCTTAACTCTGCTACCAGTCTCTTGTCGTGCTGCTACGACCGCTGGTGCTGGATGAAGTCTTCGAAAGCGCTTAGGAATGATTCTGACCAGACAACAAGCGACCTGAAGGATTTCCTAAATTGGAGGCGACAATCGAGCGGTGGTGGAAGACCGAGCTTCGCAGAACCACGACAGACACCGCAAGACCCCATTATCAATGCTTCAGACGCTACCAACGCTGGTCATACATACGTGCCATTGAACCCTGACTCCCGTACCCTGCTTTCTCTTCTGGCCGACACTACCACCGAGAAGTGGCGACAAAATGCAGAAGATGCTCTCGATGCAACCACGGAACGACTTCGACAAGATACAACGAACAACAACCAGACTCGTAGGAGGAGTCTGCGATCTGACCTTGACATGAACCACCTGCATTCGCTGCCTGTCGTTTCACGTGTTGCAGCTGCTACTCCTTCTCGCTCAACGCAATGGTGTGAATCCGCACAGTTCGATGACGGCCTGATGAACGACTATAGCACACACAGCGAACCGACAGGTGCCTCTTCGCCACGTCTACAATGTCCAGTCCATCATCGTGTTATAGGCCGTCCTTGTGCATGCGCCTTGAATCATTTCAAACATAACCCCAATGGTTCGGACCTTTCGACTGCCTCTTTGTCAAGTCTCTCTTTGTCAAACTCCCCACCATCTTCAGAAGTGAGAGCTGCTCCCTTCCAGCGATCGTTACAGAATAGCTATGATAAAGAATCCCTGACCGTGCAGTCCAATGCGCACTTGAACCAGTCTCGGTCGACTGAAACTGTGCAAAGCCTGCGGACTATCCACGATCACAATCAGACACTCAAGGCTCCAAGTTTTGATCCAATGGCATCTCGAACAACTTTGACAAATGAAAGCACAAGTCCAGAAGCCTCATCAGCTTCGACATCAGCCTCGAACACAAGTGCCAGCGTGGTCTTTTCTCACTCTGTCAATCCGTCCCTGGTTTCACTCCCCGGCAGCTTTATTGAGGCGAGGACGGCACAACGCTCCAGAGGTCGAAGATGGCTTGAACAGCAGCTGGAAGAAGATGAAGTTTTACAGGTGTCAAGGAGGAAGCACGAATATAGTTGAAACAATATGAGACTACCAAGACGTATCCGACTACGCCCTGTCAGTGTATGCTGAGATCTAGGAAGTGATGCACAATGCTTTCAACGCCTTGACACTGTAATTGAGTAGAAACATACTGGTTTTGGTGTATTGTAGGTGTACTTTAGAAGCGCCGTTCGCTTTGCAGTTTCGTCCACCACGTACCACGTCATTGCTCCTTCCCATTATCTTTATCGATAAGCAACTCGTCGCTTCCTCAAGTTGATATTCGTCTTTGAATCGCAAGCGTATCTACAGCTATACCGTAGGTCATTCACGTGCGAATGAGGCTCTCCTGGTCAAAATGCCTCGAGACCCTCTGATCGGGCTCGTAGGCAAGCCATCATCTGGAAAATCCACAACTCTCAACAGCCTTACGGATGCCACTTCCAAAGTCGGTATGTTCACGACGTCTTTCTCCACACATCGAACAACCAAATCCTAACAACCATTGCCCAGGAAACTTCCCCTTCACAACCATCGACCCCCAACGCGCTATCGGCTACCTCCAAGTCCCCTGCGCCTGCGCCCGCTTCAACCTAACCTCCCGCTGTCGCCCCAACTACGGCTCCTGCATCAACGGGCAGCGCTCCGTCCCCATCGAACTCCTCGACGTCGCGGGCCTCGTCCCAGGCGCACATCAGGGTCGCGGCCTCGGCAATAAATTCCTCGATGACCTACGGCATGCGGACGCGTTGATCCACGTCGTTGATGTGTCAGGCACAACAGATGCAGAAGGGAAAGCGACACGAGGCTACGATCCAAGCGTAGACATAGAATGGTTGAGAGGGGAGATCGTGCGTTGGGTACAGGGGAATCTCATGGAGAAGTGGGGCAGTATCAAGAGACGGCATGTTGCGATCAAGGGCAATGCAGTCGACACATTACAGGGCCAATTCAGTGGGTACGGCAGTACGAGGGATACAGTCGCCAGGACGCTAGACAAAATGCACCTGAAAGAACCACTAGAAACATGGTCCGACGAAACGATAGCAAACATGGTCAGCACCTTCGTAGACGAGAAATTCCCCACCGTCCTAGCCCTCAACAAAATTGACCATCCAGACGCAGACAAGAACATCGCCAAGATAGCAAAGACAATCCCCGCCGAGCGTATGGTGCTCTGCAGCGCGATATCCGAAGTCTTCCTACGCCGACTCGCGAAACAAGGATACATCCGGTACGTCGAGGGGAGTGAATTCGTCGACACAAGGGAAGACCTCATCGAGCAAGGGGAAGTAGATGGCGGCGGCCTGAAAGAAATGGACGAGAAGTTAAAAACACGGATCGAGAATCTGAAGGATATGGTCCTGTATCGCTTTGGAAGTACGGGTGTCGTGCAGGTGCTCAGTCGAGCCGCGGAGGTATTAGGCCTGGTTCCTGTCTTTCCGGTCAGGAACATAAATACATTCGGAACTGGGACCGGAAGTACAGCGCCAGTGTTTAGGGACTGTGTGCTGGTGAAGAAAGGGAGTACGGTGGCTGAAGTAGCTAGGAAAGTCATGGGTGATGCGCCGATTGCTTTTATTGAGGGTGAGGGCGGAAGACGAGTTGCAGAAGACGCATTAGTTAGTCTGGGCAAAAATGATATCTTGAGCTTTCGGATATGATTTCGGGTTTTTTTCTACCTTTATATCGTTCTATGTTGCAACTCTTCGAGCCAACCGACAGTACTAAGCCAGTATATTGTGGATTGTGAGTATGCTATGACTTCAAAATCTCGTAAGAACTTTCCGAACTCCAGATTGGTATCACTTTTTGAAAGTCTATGCGGTAACACCATTAGTCTTAGCCTTCTTGATGGTCTGTTCCACTGCAACCTCCTGCTCGACAGTTTCGTCCAAGGCCCTCTTCTCAGGTACCTTGTTGACTTCAGCCTCTACCTTGGCAAGAGCCTTCTTCTCAGCTGTAGTCATGTTCGGTAACTCAATCCTCTCTTCCAATCCGTGCTTGACGTTTCGATAGAAAGCATGGATGATTGAATCTGCGTCGTCGATAGCGATAGGTCGAATGTCAGCTAGAGCCTTGATCTTGGCTGTGCACTCTTTGTATTGTGCGTCGGTCATTTCAATATTCAATTGCTGTGCTCTCGATTTGATTGCATTCCAGCCTGTTAGTCTGCTGGCAAAGTGGACGTATCTCCTCATGCCGAAATCTGCTGGGTCAATGATTTCGTACGTGGAGGGATTGGCTAGGATGGCCTTGGCGTGGATTCCTGCCTTGTGGGTGAAGGCGCAGAAACCGGTGATTGGGTTGTTGAATGGGATGTTGACAGCAACAGCTTCAGCAACCAGATCTTCGATGTCCTTGAGCTTGGCGAGGTTGTATTTGCTCATCACGTAATCGCGGTCAGCTGTGATCATTCGTGCCATCAGACCACCGAGTGTTGTGATACCATTTCGCTCACCAATGCCGAGCACTGAAGTGTCGATGTGGGTTGCACCAGCTTCCAGAGCGCAGTAAGCGTTTGCGATTGCGCATCCTGTATCGTTGTGGAAATGGGTCTCAATATCGCAGGAGACAACACCTCGCAGTGTTCGAACTAGGTCGTATACTTGTCTTGGGGAAGCGCATCCGACTGTGTCAGCGATACCGACCCTGTTTACACCAACCTTATCGACTGCCTGGTAGAGAGATAGCAGATCCACCAGATCGGACCGGAAAGAGTCTTCCGAGGAAAATCTGATCTCAATGCCCTTGGATTTGACAAAGTTGATGACCTCAATGGCAGTGTTCTTGATATAAGTCATGTCCTTGCCGTGAGAATGCTCTCGCAAGAAAGATGATGTTCCAATAACGACATCCACACCATCGACACCAGTTTCCACCGCTATCCGCGCATCGTCCATGTGGCATCTTATGTGTGTGAGGATCTTGGATCTCTTGAGGCCAAGCTTGCAGATAGCTTCGCAGTCTTTTCGCGATTGCTCGGAAGCAGCAGGCGAAGTAAGCTCAATGTAATCAGCACCGAACTCGTCCAGGGCCTTTGCAATCTCGATCTTCTTGGCGGTGTCGAAGTAAGCATTGGCAAACTGCTCGCCTTCTCTTAACGTCGACTCAATGATCTTGAACTTGGAGATATTTGACAGGAAGTCACCGACTGGGAGATATGGGTTTCTTGCGTTCTTGGGAGTGGATCTGTCGGTTTCTATGCCGGTATAGCCATTGTGTGAGCCTGAAGCATGTCAGCTAATGATCCAAGGTATGGCTTTAGCAAGGTACCATTTGTGCCGTTGGTGCCGTTGGTGGTACCATTGGTACCGTTTGTAGCGCCGTTGAGGTTATCTGGTGTAGGACACATTGTGTATGGAGGTGCTCCTAGAGCTGCAATACTGATCGAGGTAGGTTTGTAGACAGAGTTCAGAGTGAAAGACAAAAGCGTTGCAGTAAAAGGTCAACCAAGTTATATTGCTGAACCCGACACTCGAGTTGTATATGAGTCAGGAATTGTAGAGGGTTGGAAGCTAGGTTGGCGGTGGAGGAAGTTTCTGAAAGTGCTTGTCTGGGCTTCTTTTGCTGGATACTTTCTGGTACGAGTATGCATACGACCGAGCGCAACTTGCAAAATTTAGTGTCGTGGGGAAGCGATCATCGGCAACTTGAAGCACCACTGACGTCGCTGCTAGGCCGATTTTTGCTCCGCGGCTGGACCAGTTAGAAAGCAGGAATATGCAGCAATTACATGGAAGGAACCAAAGCACGTATTCTTAATAAACTGCATGCGATACCACTTGCTTGAGTCAGCGGAAAAGGCAGTGTTAACACTCCAGTAAACTGGTCTTGAAAGGATTCAGAATAGCAAGTCCATAAGACCATTTGAGCCAGCCCTCTTTTTCGATCTGGGCGACTTCGGCTTGAGCACGTGCTTTACAGAGTCTCGACTTTACGGAGTATACAGTCAATCCTCTTGCCTTTACTATAGACGTCTAGCGTGGAAAATCCGGCAACTCTTCACAATCGATTGAATAAATTCATCCTCTCCATTTCAGTAAATTCAAGACTGGAGCGGAAGTCCTGATCATACTACGAGCCTACCAACAAACCACAGTGTGACAGTGTGACAGCCAGTCCAGTGCTGAATATGTTTGCTCTGATCGAGTGCAGAAGCGGCTCCTTGATCAGCCTGCCGTCTTGCATGCCGTCCTCAACACGGTTCGGTACGGCGCAGATGTTGTACATATGCACTGTGATCGGCGAGCTCCGACATATAAGAAAGCAGGCTTCATGGTATAAGATCGTGGTTGACATGCTGTTGTCGACAAGGCTAGGATTATAATAACTTCAGGTGGCCAGTGACTTGATCGACAACACTTTTGGGTCCAAGCACCCCGAGTACCGTGGCACTGCCAGCAGCTATCTGTGTCCGACCAGCATCGTGTATGATTCGTGCACAAAGACCAAGACTTACAGCCAGTGCCTGCAATGTCTCCAGCTCTTCTTCCGACTTGACCTGAACCGCAATCTTTGCCTGACCACCACGTTCCCATCTTTTGAGCATGCCCTGGCCAGCAGTCTTATCCACGAGGTATTTGTAGCAGGCCAGGGTAGCGTGACTGCATTGAGCTGCTATCTTGCCTTTCCCCATGGCGAGATCTGTACGAACACCCAGAACTAGCTTGACCTCCTCGTTGCGATCATCAAAGCTCTTGAGTTCCTTGCCGTCGCCTTCGTTCTCGGAATCGGGCGTGTCTTGATCGTCATCTGCTAACAGCTCCTCATCGGATGAGTCAACATGTACCTTGACATCGTAACTGTTCGGCCATGACTTTTTAGGTGTCGTCGATGGGTTACTGCTTGAAGAAAAGAGACCAATGGAAGAGCCTTGACCTAGGAAATAGCCAGTGACCAGGCCTATGATGCCAGAAGCAATGGCTATGGCGGTCAGCGAAGGAGAAACTTTGTCCATCATTACTGTCTGGTATAGGAGGAATATCACCGAGGACAGAGTCGTAGCATGATTGTCAACCTGACTACTTCATTCTCAGACTTGTTGAACCGCAAACAAACAACTTTTACGCTTTCTTCATGCAGGTCGTGCCTGGCAGTGTTTAAGCGACGTCATTCCATAGTTAAGCCTTAAAGCGCTCCTGAGGCATCCTCTCCGCACCTAAAGTGGATTGTTTGTGAGCCTCGAGGTTCGTATGTTGAGCTTCGTCTCTGTTGCCCATCAAGCATGCAATAACACAAACATCAGCTAGAGACGTATTCTTGTGTATACAACATGCCACTTGATCGACGGAAGGGTCTACAAGTACAACCATGGCGCGAGGGAGAGTGCGTAAGATCCTCTTCCGCATCTTCTACTCGACTTCCTTCACCATCGTTTTCCTACTTACGATAGCATTCGCCTGTGCCGGTCCTATCGATTTGCTTTATCAATCATACCGCAGAAATCGTCTCATTGATTTGTTTATCGTAGGCGGCATTTACTTTACCACGGGATTGGTAGCAACCTTCTTCTATGCGAGCAGGTTGTACACTAACCGAAGCATCCTGAAAGACATACCGAAGACCTATATGCCCCTCGACAAAGGTGAACTTCCAGGCAAAAGAGTGTGGCGCCTGATTGAGGATTGCAAGAATCGTTCGGCTGTGATCGCATACCTGGCAAGGCCAAGAAGCAGAAGAGTCGAGGTTGAAGTTAGCTATGCAAGAGACCGGATTCATACTTTGCTCAGACCTGAGCATTCAGAACACTACCGCCCATACCAGCCACAATGGGGCGTAATCTCACATCCTGGATGGTCGAGTCCAGCAGCAAAGGACACTCCTAACCTGGCATACAACACGGTCGTTGCTGAACTGACAGACTTGATTGAAGCACGAGCTGTCAGCCTTGCACCAGTCGATCCTGAGATATCACCCGACGAGCAAGGACTGATGCACCCAGATGAGGACGTTATTGAAGCACTCAGACGACCCGAAGAGATTGGGATGAGGCAGTATGTGTCGCAGCTCGTTTCATTTGATGTTCTCGAGGATAACTCCTTGCTTGTTGCATTTCTTACTCTCTACGAACGAGCTCGCTTCGCGCCTGAACCTCTGTCCGAAGACGAGTTCAACTCCCTTATGCGCATGTTCGCCGAAGTCCTAAGGACCATGAAGCCAATAAACACTTCTCAGCTTGATCTCGACGACAAGAGTGGTAATGATCATAGAGATGACAGACTGCTCGGAAGTCGACCAATTGCTATCGCCCACAGTCCTGCTGCAATGGCTTCTTCCTCATCCCTAGCAAGCTCCATCGCGGGTAGCGTCCGCCGCCACTACCCTACCACAACTTTTAACAACCACAATCCAACAACATCTTCCACCACCGCTGTCCCACGCATATCCCACGACTCCGTCCGCTCCATATCCTCCAACGACCTGTACACCGACGCAGAAAACTTCAGCAACTCAAGTCCAAACGCTACATGGAGCTCGCCCACATCTCGACCTCCCTTCTTCCGCATTCGCTCCTCCCAGTCCTACCTCAGCAGCCTCAGTCACAACCACGGCAGAAGCAGCAGGAACAGTAGGAACAGGAATCGAAGTCCCCGCCACCCCACTACAGGCAGGGTACGTTCCAGCCTCGGCCGCATGGCCAGCAGGCGTTCGCTCGAGTCAGATGCCACAGGAGGGTCGAATCTCAGTTTAAGGAGTCTGAGGAGTGCACGAAGTAATGGGAATGTGATCCGGTTGAATCCGGATTTGGAGAGGAGTGGAGATCTACCGTATCAGTTTGTGAGTTGAGTGTACGGTCTACGTGCTGATGGAAAAGGTCGTCAAAGTGATGGTTTGAGCGTTCTTGTTTTGATTTTGCAAAATGGGTGTTGCATTAGCGAAAGGTGTTCTGGGTATGTGTACGGTAATGAATGAGATAAGATGTAATGAACGCAATGTGGTAATCTACTAAGTTGGCAAGTGTAATATGACTGAATTGACCTTTCTATGGAGGCTCGGGAAAGCCCGAATGCTTATTTGTATAAACAGAGTTGTAGCAATACCACCGTCAGGCCAGCTTCCATGTACAGAAGAATGCAATCACAGCTAGGCATTGCATTTCCTTCGAAGAGAACCAACTTAAGCTCTCCCTGTGAGACAATGGTCACTTGCAATCTTTATCTAACGTTACATCGTCCGAATCGCAGATGTTCAGGTATTGGCTAACTCTATCTACCAAATCCGAACCAGCCACGCTTCTTCGGTGCTTCTTCTGCCTGAGCTTGCTTTGGTTCCTCGGTAGCTGTGGCCGATGTCGTCGTCGTGCTCGTCGTCAGTGGAGTCGCTTGCTGACCAGGATACTGAATGTAGTCCCAAGCAAGGTCGAAGAACAACGGTTTCATAGGAATGGGTTGTAACTTTGGTGGATAGTTGACGATGTTCTTGAGGTCGACATTGTCATCATATTGATTGAGGTGAAGACGTTCGAGCAGTGGAGGTGCATATTGCTTGGTCTGTGACGAATGTTTCGAGGAATGGCTTGTAAGGTCAGCCAACGCTTGGTATTGAAGTGTCAGGGAGGTCAGATAGTTCTGAACCGCTTGTAGCTGCGTGGCAGATATATCAGATTTGGGTACGTCAGAGGCCTCTGCTTGCGAAGTGACTTTCTGGCTAAGGTTTTGAGCTCTTGCGAATAGAGCCAGAGCGTTCCTGACTTGACCATTGATGGCATGGGAGCGACCAATTGCCAGGCATTTGAGAGCTCTAAAATAGGCTCCTTTGGAGTCCAGCTCTTCCATAAAAGTAGTGTCTGCGATGACACCAGGCAGTTGCTTAACAGCTTGCAGATTTTGTAGTATCGAATCATATAGAGCAACTTTCTCTCTCAGTCGAGCAATTTTCCGACCAGTAGGTTCTTCTTTCAGCGATTTGGAGTTAGCTGCTTTCGAGTCTTTCTGCACCCGCCTGGGTCTGTGAGATTCTAGCTTCAAGCCATCCGAGTCACCACAAAGGACCCTGTTTCTACCTATTCGCCAAGCGATAACAGCGTAGTTCACAGCAGTTCTAGTCACCTGAAGACCTTGGATTCGTGAATCTCCTGCACCAGCACCCTCTGCAAGCAACTCATCAATGACAATCTTTGTGGCATCGGCAGCGTCCTGTCGAGCATTCACGATATCGTCGTAGCCAGCTGCAAGGTCCTTTGCTGAGGTAGAACCATTTTGGAAAGAAGTATAGGTCTGAGCGATAGCAGTCTCCTTTGCCGAAGCTGCAGCTAGCGCTTGGGATATCGAAGCATCTTCCAGTTTGACTCTTCTTCCTCGCCAGTCGAGAGATGTAGGCAGGTCAGTTGCTCCTTCTGACTGTGCGGTAGCCTCCTCAGCAGAAGTCCGGAAAGCACTTGCGTCAGCATTGAGAATATCCTGACGCGATTGTGTTTCCTCGCTTGGGAAGTTCTCAATAGCAATATCCGAGACGGCCTTTGTACGTGGTAGCTTCTCTTGGTAAGCAGCATAACGTATGCTGGGGTCGATAGTGCCCTCAAGCAGGTCGCGGTAGAGGTCCGAGCGTGCCTGGCTGGCCAGAGCAGTATATACGAGACGAATGAAGGAGTAATGACGAATGCAGGAAGACCACCTGTTCCTCTCAAAATCTAAGCCGCCCTTTAATAGAGCCATGTAGGCTTTGGCTTCCAGAACGTCTTGGTTTGTAGCATTGGTTGTGGACTGATCCTCCAATACTTCCACCAAATTGGCAGCATATGCAATGGCCCTTCGGAATCTAGAAACGATCTGACGTTTGGTCGCGCCAGGCATAGGCTTCTGGGTGTTTTCGGGTGACTGAGAGGACTTCATGTGCATAGCGTCAGCCCATGCTCGCTCGGCACTGGTGAGAAGCAGATGCACCCACCTATGTTGTTAGTAACTTTCACAGAAACGTCCAACTTGGATACATACTCAGCATTCTTCGCGACATCTTGTGGAGTGATTGGTCCCTTGGGCGTATATTTCTTGCCTTTGGGAGTGGTCACGCCTAGTCTCTTTCGAATGGTGTGAATCCTCCTGGTCGACTGGGTATGATAATTGCTGTAGTCACCACCAATCAATGCTCGATCTCGTCCTGAGATGATACTTTGCGTGATATTCATTTTGGTATTGTCTCCCTCGCTGGTGCCGTAGTCATGTCTTGTAGCACAATTTCCAGCAGAAACACGACAATCACAGTGGGGAGAGAAAGATGGATGTGGCATGACCGTAAAGCCTCAGGCACCAACATCCAACTCCATCGCAGCTTCCAAAAAAAGTCCCCGAGCAATTGGTTCGATGCTCGTCGACATCATTAATTAGTGCGGAACTTTCTCGTCGACTTCGCCATCGTAGGCGTAGAGCCGACCGTTCATGGACGTCTAGCAGTAGTCGATCCGACATTCCTTCTCAATCTTGCTTCGATGTTCAGATTGCCAATTGCAGCGTCTTTACCCTCGAGTTCCTTTCGACCACACGAGCACGCGCCACTGCCGCTTCCACTGACTTTCTCAACACAATTGCAAGCCTGAACTCGTGAGTCAGGGCATGCTAGAGCGTGTGCCTGCCACAGCAGAGTCAGCAGCTCATTTGTTTCTGCGGAACATAGAGAGACCTTGTCTGCAACGCTCTTCCAAGGTGCTCGATCCTCAATTTTGGCGAAATGGAAGCGAGAACATCTCCTGCGCTAGCTGGTGGCCGCTCTACCTCCAGCAGGTGCGCCAAATCCCATTGTCTCCTCGTGTTTGTCCCTACGACCACAACCTGATCACCACAAGCTCTCTGTCGCCACAATGGCCCGGCAAGAAGCCTGATTCCACTCGTCCATACACTGACTCAGCCACCCTCAGAAGGAAACCTGCAAGCAATGCGAAGAACCCCAACCAGAAGAAGAAGGCTGCACAGAAATTCGACGTCAAGGAGGCTAGCACCGAGACTGACGGTTCACATGAGGAGGCCGCAGACAAGGACGAGGGTGAACAAAGGTCTACCATGGAGCCAGATGCCTATCTGGACGATGACATGATGCTCGGATCTCGGCCTCGGCGATCTTATCGAAGGTCAAAGCAGTTGGACGATGAGGAGAAGGATTATGTGTATGAACCAGAAGAGAAACCCGAGCCTGTCACCTGGAACAAACAACAACAATCGCAACCCATAGCATCTGATGTAGTGGAAGCCTCCGACTGGTCTCCTCCCCCAACAGACCTTGCGACTCACGTTCCTTTCGCATCCGGCGAAGATCCCAAACCTCGTTCTGCGCACGGGCAATATAATCCTCAAAAACGTTTACCTCGACGTCCACGGATGGCAGAAAGGCGCCGAGCTGTCTCGGAGGAGCGAGGTCGACAGTCAAAGCCTCCAGACCCCATACAGCGTTTCCCTGTTGTAGACCTCACAACTGTCAACGGTCGAAAGTTGAAGGAGCTGCAAACGCTTGTTGATCGTGAAGAGGATCCTGAGCAACAAGACTACGACCAAGCATGGATCTTATTCATCTCTCTCGAAAATCAGGAAGAGGTTGCTCGTCTTTTGTTTTCATACCTCTGTCGATCTAGAGATTCCAAACAGCTTACAAGAGCTCGAGAAGCTTTCCGATTAATCCCCAATGAGTCTAGAGATGAGCAAATCTACGCATCGGTGATCAAGATCGAGCTCGAGCGCTTCCAGCACGAAAATGCAATATCTCTAGCCATTGACGGTACTATACAAGGCCACGACCTTGTGCCTGACTTGCTAGCTCAATTTGTCGACCATGAATCATGGAATGCTGCTGCTGAGCTTATGCGCCGTAATCTCTTTGCTCGGAGGGATATGCCGAACCTGAATTACTGGTCGTTGTCTGGCCAGAAGCATAGCGCTGCGCTGTTACCACTTTCCAGACTCGTGGAGAAGTGTCGTGGCATCAGAGACCTTGATGCAAAAGTCCTCTCCTTGACACGTCGTCTGCAAAACGAAGATGCCACGTTGTACGAGCATCGCAGAGAGCTGCAAGTTTTGCGCCAACAACTAGTTATGGCCTGTGCCTCGAGTTCAAGTGTGATGGCTACCATCTCTCCGTCCAGGTTGCTAGCTCTTTTTGACCTTCAGAAAGATTTCGGCAACTGGAAGCTGCACACGACCGCTCTCAATACCCTCCACAAACTACCTGATGTACAGCCGCCGGTTGAGTTAGCCTTGATGACTTATCGCAATCTTCGATCTACACTGCCCCACGAGCCTGTGAGACCTTCAATGCTTGGCATTCTCATATCTATGTGTGGTCGTGCCAATTACTCTCTGCATATCTATGACTATATTTTTTCGGAATTCACGCAGCATTTTGGCAGACCCGCTTCGACAGCTATTCTGCGGGCTATGACAGCGTGTGCGCGCCAAGGCGACCTTACTGCTATCTCCCGTTACCTCGCTTTGTGGCAAGAGGGACACAAAGACCAAATTCCACCAATCGATTTCCTCAGCCCTTTCATATATGCTTGCGCTATGAACGCTGACCCTGTTCAAGCTCGACAGCATTTTGACAGGATTAAGCAAGACTTCGGCTTAATTCCAAATACTATTTGTTGGAACATGTTGCTGCTTGCCCACGCCCGATCGACAGATGACATCTCGGCCTTTGCTGTTTTCCAAGAAATGCGGACTGCGAAAGTCCCTGCAGATTCCTACACCTACGGCACTCTCCTCTCGATTTGCAATACCCACACAGACACAGAAACTTCCCTCAGCCTTCTTAGTGATGCCAGGCAGCAAGGTGTGCATGTAACTGTGCCAATGGTTGATACAGTGGTGAATACATTACTGGCTAACGATGAGGTTGAAGCTGCTTACCGCTTCGCGCTGGTAACAACTGAGTCGAATAAGCCCAAGTCGCTTACACGCCTTTGGAACTCCTTCGTAAAGTATTTTTCTGCAAAAGGTGATGTCAACCAGTTGTCGCGAGTTCGAACCATCATGACAAAGTTCGGGATCAAAGCAAACGAAGCGACGTATGCTACTCTCATTTTGACGCTGACGTTAAAGGAACGGACCCAGGAAGCTGTGGAACTACTCCGTGAGATGCGACGTGATAAGAAATTAGCAGTCACACCGTTTCACTATTCTATCGTCCTGCACGGCTTTGTCCGGGAGCACAACCGCGATATGGCACAGGTCGTTTTCAGTGAAATGAAACAACAATTTCAGACTGTGCCTGCCGAGGCAGTTAAAGCTATGCTTCGGCTCCAGACTCAGCGCTCTCTCTCCAATGCTCGTGACAGAGAGCTAGATGTGACCTACTTGATGGGTGCTTTGACAAATCTCGAGTCTGATGATGGCTCGACTTCAAACCTTGATGACACGTCTAACCGTCCTCGGGATGTCTCTACTACAATCATGATGTACTTCACGACTGTAATTCGCACTTTGTTGGGCGGTGAAAAGTATACAGCCGCAGAATTACTTGTAGAAGACTTGAAAAAGAGGATGTCATCCTTACCACATGGGCCACAGTTACTCGAAAGTTCTATGGCAGTCTCACTTATCGAGATGGATTTGGCCATCGCTTCATCAAAGTACCACAAAGTCGGGGAGATATGGAAAGCCGTGTTTAAGCGCGCTCGTCAATCACGTCTACCCCTTGCACTGAGTCAGGACTCATCACATCCTGGCGATTTACGAAAGGAAAAGACTGGCACTATATCAAAAGCCGAGTCGGTGAGCCTTAGCAAACCTCTAAACCGCTACATTGACGCCATGTCATATGCAGGCCGAGTGTCTAGCTTGGCAACATTCATCAATAACCACTTCCTGCCGGCTGGCTACCAGCTAACCAGTTACAATTGGAATCGCTACGTTCAAGCTCTTTGTCGCTCGACGGAGACCAAACATCACCTTCGAGCTTTTGTGTTGGCAGAACATTCGATGAATCGCGTGCAGTCCTGGACACTCCTGATTCGTGGGCTTCTAAGGAGGAAGAATACATCCTGGGTCTTTGACAAATTGGCCGAGGATCTACCAAGGCCCATACTTCGTAAGAAGAATGAATATTTTACATCTAGTCGACGCGAGATGATGGATGTTGACCCTCTTCGAATTATCCCAACTTATACCACCATGGTTCATCTCGGTGCCGTGCTGTCTAAGGCTCAGGAGAAGGCTCAGAACCACGATCCTTCGGAGCTCTCCGCGATCCGTGACTCGGCGGCAGAAGTCAAGAAGTTTTTGGAAAGAATGCCTTACCTCAAGGACTCTATCCAAGGCAGTATTCTTCGGGGACTAGAAGATTCTGGAGATCTACGACCTCGTCCTCGGTCCGAAGAATCTATTCGAGCAAAAGTCGATCGAAGTGGTATTTTAGGCGGTGACTCTGTTCTCGATGACTTGTCCGCTGACTTCTCTCGTGATATCGAAGACTTGTTCCAACGTTTCGACGATATAAGGAAGCTACCATCTCAAGGAGCTGATACTGGGGCAGATGATTACGCACGAGAAGTGGCACTTGCAGAGGAGATGACTGGCCAAATTACGCGAGCACCGATAGTCTTAGCCGGACGAGGTAGGTTTGAAACGGAGATGGAGACACTGCGAAGAGTGCGCAAAGAGGAAGCCGAGAAGCTTAGCACGTTGCGAAGTACGTTGCAGGCTTTGCAGGACAAGACAACACCTTCAGAGATCGACCTTGTATCGCCAGTCGGACCGCCATCCGAAGTCACAGAGCATCACCGTCGACCTGAAGATCAACCTTCTCGAAGTCTGTCATTTTCGCTACACCCGGAAGAGCCTCGAACGAAGCCACTACTTCCATCAGATTCTGAACGAGCTAGTTCGCGGCGTTCGGCGACATCAGGGCTCTCTAGTCCAAGTGTCAACAAGAAAGTCTCTGTCCTAGAGCAGCTCAAAAGCCTCGACCGAGTGGCCCAGGAAAAAGCTACGAAGCTGGCATCCAGAGTCAGGTCTACCAGAGCCAGACTGGCCATCCCTTATGCAGCAATCCGCAGGATCCGAGGTCGACGAGCCGCAGTTCAGCGAGCCACAGCCGACCAGAGGCTCGCAACATCCATCGCCAACGGCAATATATCCCCACGCGCCCTTAATATTCGTTCTGGTGCAATGAAACGAGCTATCGCGAGCGCGCTTGCACGACGACGCCGTGCATCCTACCTGGAATATGAAGCTGATCTCAAGAAGGGCATTCGACTACCGCCTTTTCCACGCAATGAGGAAGCCTACCGTCGACATAGACGAAAATATGGCCAGGTCCGCGTGCGTTTCATCGCCGACCTAAACAGAAAACGAGCTCTGAATCTAGTCCGACGTGGCATAATCGCAGAAAAGAGAAAACCCGCAATCACAGGCAAGGTCGATCAAAGCCAATTCACTGCGGAGCCACAAAATCGCCATCTCGTACTGCAAAGACCTCGAACCCTGCCTCTTGTAAGGCTCACGAGCGATGACTCCGGTCCTCCAGAGAAAACATACAAGCAGCTGGTTAGGACACGATTCCGTGGCACGTCGTACAGAAGAGTGCTGAAGAAGAGATTGGCTCTTAGACGTGCTCACTTGCAGAATCGGGTTGTCAATGCATTGGGTCAAGAGGTGTATGAGAAGAAGATTGAGGAGCTACGTGGTGGACCGAGGTTCGAGCCTTTTAGGTAGATGTCTAGACTGTGTGAGCTCGAGGGATTGTGTTCTTGTTAGTAGTGTATAATCGATAGTAATTGATCATTCTGTGTGAGCAGAAAACACAAGAACTTTGGTTTACGTGGATGCTTAAGGATTAAGATCGGTAGTTTCGTTTTATTCATGAGCAAGTTTTACATGTGTGGGAAGCATGCGTGGTCAAAGCTTTGGCACGTATGTGATGAACAGTTAACCAGTTTTCGACCAAAAAATAAGCTGTAAATGAGCGACACTCCGTCCCTACTCGCGCCTGTGCATAAGACCTATCTGAACGCCAATCCTTCAAATATCCCATCCTTGCAACCATCATAGTCAGCTCGTGGTACATCATAATATTGTCATATCACTCCAACTGCCCATGCTCAACTTCTTCTTTCACATGCGACCACATCCCTGTCCGCTCATCAATCCTTCATAAACAGAATCCCTCTCTTCTCCGTGCCTCTCAAGGGCCTTTCATCGTCCCTGACTTTGGCCTTTGGCTTCTCCCCAAGCTTCGGGATCTCGTCAAAAGTTCTGTACTTCTTGCCAGCATCCATGAATACATCTGCTAAGTGTTTTGAAAGACGTTCGCAGAGGGCGTCGTAGTATGGTTGCTTGGGGTCAGGAGTGCGGTTGAGGCGGTATTGTAGGATTTGGTGGGAGCGTTGGTGGACGTTAGGTGTGAAGGACTTGAGAGGTGGAATGGTGAAAGCTGGACGGAGGTCGATGGCAGCCGATGACAGGGTTGGAGATGCTGAAGTAGTTGAGGTCTGAGCGTTGTTGAAGAGGTGCAACGATTGGCCTGGGCTAGTTTCGATTGCTTTCTCTTTGCCCTTGGCAGTGTTGCTGACCTGGCTCTCTGGACATACTTCAACTGCGGGGGCATTTTCCGTATTTGCAGCTGGTGCTTGAGCGTGTTCTGCCTGGTCTTTGTCTTTGATGTTGCCTGTGTCAACCTTCTTGGTATCCACGATGTATACTTCGCCGTCAGAATCTGCTTCGAGATCGAGTTTCCTCTTTTTTGGCTGCTGCTTGCTCTTTGGTTGGGGGCCTAGAGCGAAATGCAGCAACTGATCCACTAGGCCGTCCTCGTACGGCTGTTCGTATGCGGACCAACTCGCAATGAAGAGATGAAGATCAAGATGCTTCAATCCCTTCAGTCGGCGTCTGGCGTTCTGTATGCCCTCGAGTCGATACTCTGATGCAGGATAATCGTCCACGCGCTCGAAAATTCGAAGCTTTTGAATCCTGCTAGAAGAACGTGAAAACATGCTGGTGAACCTCACAAGCTCGTAGAGGCAGGTGAAGGTGAATTTGTTCGTCATAAAAAATGCATCAAGTGCCTGTCGTCGAACACTTCTCGATACGAGGAAAATTGCATTATTGAAGAACTCTGGTCGAACACTTTGGTTCGGTCGAATACCATCACATCGACAGCAACCTGACTCTAGGTCATAGCTTGATTCATCGCAAAGACTGAGACGGAAACCATGACTCTCGTTTCCTTTGGGTGGAAACACGTGCACTGATTGCTCGACCGCCACGACGTACGAGAATATGTGCGATCTGATTTCTGCAGGAAGCATCTGGAAAAGCACTGAATTTTCTGTTCCATCTCTGTGGTCTCGATAAATTTCTGCTTGTAGTTCTGCTTCGAGTTGCTGGTCAACAGCTTGTTGTACACGAACCCCTTGCTCGATTTCGCGCATGAGTTCGTAGATGTTGTCTCTGGAAGATTCGTCCATCATCAACAGCATACGATTTAATCGAATTGCTGAGGCAAAAGAGCTTTGTTCGGGGCGTGTCCAAGTCTTCATAGTATGTAATGAGATTTCTTGTGTTGATGTTTTATGGTGAAAGATGAACAATGCAGACTGTCTGTCGCGTGTTGCTTTGTTGTGAGTAGAAGTTTTAAAGTGCGAGCAATGAGTCTCTCTTATAGCCTTCGCTGTGCAGGATGTACTCCTAGGGCCTCAAAAAAGAGGGGGGGTCAATTTTGTGCCATCGACAGATTCGCACCCCAGCTCTTTCCATGCACAACGACAGATACTATACTCACTGAATACGCTAAACTGGATACAGTCTCGTTATTGCAAATCTCAAATCAATGTCCACACAATATTGAGGCAAGTCCTCATAGTGAAGTGCTTCGCATAATCATGTGCATGTCAAGGATGGACGAGATGACGATTGAAAGAGTTTCAGGTTTGAATATCTTTCTGAGCTAAATCTCATAGCGGCTCTGAGATGATTGATGATGTCTCAGTAGCCACGATAAATGGTGGTCAGCATTGAGAAAGATAGCTACAGAAAACTGTGGTATGGTCACAGTCGAGAGACCTGGTTCCACCAACCTCTGCTTTCTGTAGGCAGCTACAGTTGAGCGTACCACGCTTTCCTGCGGTTTGTCTACGGCCGCACTTGCGGACAAAGGACGTAGGCGCTTGATGTTCGACACTCTTTCAGCCCCCCTCTTGCTTTGCTTTGAACAGTGGACACGACTCAAAGTTGAGCCCCCTCCCACGCTTTTACATGGTTATTCGAGCAAAATTGCACCCCCTCCGTCGACAGTCTTTTCTCCTCAAAGATACTCAAATTCGACCCCCATCTCATGCAATGTGGACCCTGAACATCATCCGATGGGACACGAACCTTTCCACGTGCTTTGAACCTTTGAAGGCACACAGAATCGAACCCCCTCCCGTCTGCTTCAGATCGTGAACATCCTAAAATTTCGCACCCCTTCCACTTAAGATGGTCCTGTAGCTTTTTCGAGTGCGTGATGTATCGTAGATGTGCACATCTGAGTGGTGGCTCATACGTTGGTACAAACTTACGGAGTGAAGCAGCCTCTCATTCGAGCAAGTACCGTGCTGTTCGTCACTCGGACAGAAAGCATCGGAATATGCCATGTAAAGATCCTATAGAAACGCGACCGCTGACTAATCCTATCTCGAAGATCTTGAACTTCGTAATGATCAACGTCTCGGAGGCAAAGTTTAAAGTTCTTGAATCGTCTATCTCTCTACAGCTTTTCTAGAATCGTCTTGTCTCCTAGAAACTGTCCATCGACTCAGGTGCAACCGATCGAGACTAAGACCAATACTTCTCATAGCCCATTAATGCTGCCGACCTCAATCCGCGCTTTGCCAGGTCCAATCTCAACTTCTCTACTAAAAACCGGTCTATTCCGAAAGCCATTACCAACACCAGCCTCGACAATGACACACTACCCAATCCTCATCACATCAGACATGTAAGTCCTACTAATCCCAACCATACAAATAGCTCAAGTCAAAACAACACAATCCGTACAACCAACTAATACCAATCTCCTCACCACAGCGTCTGCCCATGGTGCTACATAGGCCACACCCGCCTCACCAAAGCCATCTCCGCCCACAAACAAACCTATCCAAACGACACCTTCCACCTCCGCTACCTTCCCTTCTACCTCAACCCCCCGCCCCACCTCTCCTCCAACAACCTGCCCGCGTTCCCAGTCTCATCCGCCAATAAACGCGACTACATGGTCGCCAAATTCGGCGCCCAACGCGCCTCAGACATTGAATCCCGTCTCCTCGCCGCCGCCGCCAGCGAAGGCCTAACCTTCTCCATGGGCGGCAAAACCGGAATCAGCAGGAACGGGCATCGCCTCGTGTACTACGGACAGACGCACGGTGGCGAGGAGGGGCAAAACGCCGTCATGTTGGGTCTGTGGAAGCGGTATTATGAGAGGGAAGTGGATATTACTGAGCTGGATGTTCTTGTTGAGGTTGGTGTTGAGGCTGGACTTGGTGGGGCGGAGGAGATTAGGGAGTTTCTGTTGAGTGGGAGGGATGGGGTTGAGGTTGATAAGCTTGCGGAGGAGTCGCGGATGAATGGGATTTCGGGGGTGCCGAATTATGTGTTGATGGATACGTGGGAGGTTAGTGGTGCACAGGAACCTCAGGTCTTTCAGCAGTTGTTTCGGAGGTGGAAGGATATGGAGGCTAAGGGAAAGGTAGCGAGCGGTGAGCCGGCTGAGGATGCGAAAGCGAATGCGTGTTTGTAGGATTTGATCTTTGATTTTCTGAGCAAGCACCCACGATGAAACGATGTCGCTGAGCGTTCGCATGTTATAAAAGGCACCACGACAGGTTATTTGTTGCTCTCAACTTCTTGTATCATTGAGACCAGAGTCTGATTATGGGGAGTGCGATTGAGCACACTGCTTACACCAGCAGTAACAAATGAGCTAGCTATAATTGACGCCATCATCTTAATTTCATCGTGTCGCATGAGATACCTATCGTCGTTGCGTCATATATCCCCTACACACATATGTCCAACTTATATATGAATAAAGAAACTCTTCTCGCCCTCCTTGGGCTCAACGTGACCACGTTTGAGGATAGGATCAGCAGCACATTCAATTCTAATCCTTTCTGGCGTGGCAGGACTTCTCAAGCACACAATCTCATCGTTACCCCATTGCTTGCGCACATACTTTAGCGCATCTCTGATCGCAAAGAACACAACGCTACCCATGAACAGCGGTGGTTCACCGACACCTCGACTGCGCTGGATCGTGCGGAGGTTCTTCCATTCCACGTCCTTGAGAAGACTCACATTGAACTCTTGTGGGATATCTCTGAAGCCTGGAATCTTGTATGCACCTGGACCACGAGTGAAGATCTGGCCTGAGGCACGATGCCACAGAGATTCTTCGGTTGTGAACAGACCTTGGCCTTGAACATAAGCACCCTCGATCTGACCATAATCAATGGCAGGATTGATAGAACGACCGACATCCATCTTGATGTCTGTGCGTAGTGGCGTCCAATCGCCAGTCAAGCTGTCTATCAAAACTTCGGCTGCAGCCACACCTTGCGTGAAGTAGAAGAACATCTTGCCAGTGTTTTCCTTGCTTGGGTCGGGAGGATTTGGACCCCAAATGTAGCCTATTTCAGGTGTTCTATAGAAGCCATTTGCTGACAGGTTGACTCGGTCAAAATATGCTGCATGGGCAAGCTGCTTCATCGTCGCATCTGGTCCAAACTTTTCTCTGTACGGCTTCAAGCGCTCGTTGAGTTGCACGCAAGCGTTGTAGGCTGCATAGCCATTCAGATCAGAGGAAGCTGAAGCAGCGGTCGATGACGTGTTGGCGACAGTATTCGTGGCTGTTTCTGAAATGTGGACTTCTGATAGAGGTACTTGCAGAGCTTCAGCAACAATCATGCAGATCTTCGTGTGAAGACCTTGGCCCATTTCAGTTCCACCATGAGCAACAAGAATAGAGCCGTCGTGATAGATATGGATCAAAGCTCCTGCTTGGTTGAGGAAAAGAGCTGTGAAAGAGATGCCGAACTTGGTCGGAATGAGTGCTAATCCTTTCTTCTGCCATTTGTGCTCAGCATTAAACTTCTCAATTTCTGCACGTTTCTCATCGTAGTTGAATTCAGACTTGACTTGCTTCCACATCAGTGGCACATGCCAGTCCTCAAGTTCTTGATGAAAATGTGTTTCCTCGCCAGATTTGTACATGTTGACTTCTCGAAGCTTCTCAACAGGCATCCCAAGACGATCGGCTACCTCAGACATGTATGTCTCTGCAATAAACATACCCTGAGGACCACCAAAGCCACGGAATGCAGAATTCGAGACAGTGTTCGTCTTGCAAATACGTCCTTCAACATCGACATTCGGAATATTGTAAACACCATCGATATGCGACAGACCACGATCAACAACAGCTGCGGACAGATCTTGAGACCAACCACCGTTGTTGAAGACGCTTGCTTTGAGGGCTTGTATCTTGCCGTCCTTGTTAACACCTACCTTCCAAACACCAAGGAAAGGATGTCTCTGACCAGAGGTCATGATGTCTTCGTCACGGTTGAGCATGCACCTTACTGGTCGTCTGGTCTTGTTGGCGGCAGTCGCAACAATGCAAGCCAATTGTATTGATCGTGTTTCTTTACCACCAAAGCCACCACCAAGTCGCTTGACCTTCGAGACAATCTTGTTGTTGGCCACGCCAGTCACTTGAGCAACATAGGCTTGCGTTTCTGTTGGATTCTGAGTGCTAGACCAGATTTCCAGTTCACCATCTTCAGGTTTGGGAATGGCAATAGCAGCGTTGGTCTCAAGGTAGAAATGCTCTTGGCCACCCATCCGCGCAGTACCCTGGAACACATGGTCACACTCAGCAAATGCCTTCTCTACATCGCCCTTATGAATATATCGATAGTGATTGAAGAAGCTCTGCTTCTCAACTGCTTCCTCGATCGTGAAAATGGCTGGCAATTCCTCATACGTCACACGTACAGCTCGTGCGCCGGCAAGTGCTCGCTGAGGAGTATCGGCCAGGACCATACCGATGGGTTGACCAGCGGTGAAAACCTCGTCCTCGGCGAAGAAGACTTCGTCACATACTGGCGCTCCCCACCAGTTTGCCTGTGGACTTGCAACATCATGGCGATCAATCCAAGCAGCCACACCAGGCATGTCCAGGGCCGGAGAAGCATCGACCTTGAGCAGCTTCGCATGAGCCTTTGTTGACAACACCAAAGATCCGTACAGCTCATTCTTCTGAACAGGTATGTCATCGGTATACTGTGCCTCGCCCGTACACTGCTTCAGCGCAGCCATGTGTGGATTTGCCTTCCCAAGAATTTTTTGTGAGTAACCAATAGAAGCATCATGATCCTTCTTGCCTTTGGATATACCTCGCTCAAGCTCTGGAATTGCTTCCCTATCCAGTATTTTCTCGCCGGCAGCAATATTCACCAGGACATCATTGAAGAATTTGTAGAAGAAGCTCAAGGCAAGAGTTTTGCGGAAAGTTGCCATGCCACCAGGTACACCAAATGGGAGATTGAAGTCCTGCTCCAAAGCATTCATGACACCCTCCAAAGTATCTTGTTCCGGGAAGCTTTTGCCGACTAGAAAGTTTGAAGCATTCTTTGCCAAAATGGTGATAGGAGCCATGCCACCATATACCAAATTTGCAGCTTGAACGACATTCTGATCGTCGAGTTTGACACTCAAGCATGCGTTCACGATAGCGATATCGTCGTCCTTTCGCTTCGCCTGCTTGTATGTGCGAACATATTCTCCCTTTTCAGCAGCTACAGGAACACGAATAGCAGCAATAATGGCGTTTTCGGGCAGAGATGTGACTCGATAGCTCTTGAAGAAGGTGTTCATCGGAAGCTCAATTGTCTTTCCAAGCGACTTCGCGATGAGCGTACAGTTGGTCGAAACGAATACAGGGTTGAGATCTGAGATAGGCGAGGCTGTAGCTAGATTTCCTGCCGGTGTACCGACATTTCGGATCTGTCGACCAGCGAAATATCGGATCGCCTTCTTTATCGCTTTGAACGGTTGCGCTTTAGCATCGCCATAATGCTCGACGGCCTCATCACAGATCTTTTCGAGGTCAGTCAAGGCGACATTACCTCCAATCTCGGCATATTCTGGCTCCATCTTGTATTGTCGTAGCTCGGCTATATCCCCCACGTATACAGAAGCATTGTATGACATGGCTTTGAACCTAATCTCGATCTGCGTCTCTGTGCTGCCTCCGATGAGCTTGGCTTGTGGAAAGGCATTCTTTATCTCCAGCAATTGTTGTACAGTTACAGGTCTATACCACTTCTTTCGCTTGTTACCAAAAGCCACGGGCCTGAATTGGTATTTATGCAGACCGGGAGGATAGATCAGCTCGGTGCTCTTGTCGTAATGAATGAAGTCCGGAGTTTTGAACTTCTTCTCATCTGCGCTGTACACGGCGTTCGCATCGCCTGTTCCATTACTGCCACCACAAGAACCGCCGTTTTCCATGCAGCAGCCCGAGCCACCGTTAGCCAGGGACTTGCCACATGCTTTGTTGAAACTCTGTGCTGCATCAAGGATCGGTCGATACCTATCAATACTGTTAGCTATCAAATAGACACTCATAGAACGGTATAGAAAACACACCCTGTACATCGACACAAGTTGCCATCAAAAGCTTCCTCAACATCATGCTCGCTCGGTTCTTCATAATTTCGCAACAAAGCATACAAACTCATCACAATACCAGGTGTACAAAACCCACACTGTGAGCCACTGGCCAATGCTATTCTTTGCTGAGCAGGGTGAGGTCGTTGGCTGTTGCCAATACCCTCGACTGTAATAACGTGCTTACCGTCCACACTAACCAGGGGTGCCAAGCAGGCATTTACTGAAGCATGGTATATCTTGCCTGTGGTAGGATTCAGTTGCGATATGACCACTGTACATGCGCCGCATCCTCCTTCTGCGCAGCCTAGCTTTGTGCCGGTCAGGCCAATGCCTCTTAGGTACTCGAGAAGGGTAATTTCAGGATCGATCGAATCAAGCTCGACCTTGGTGCCATTGAGGTAGAATCGGAGGGTATCGTCGTAGTCTTGTGTTAGCTCGGCTAGAGACACCTTCTCACCGTTCGTAGGCGTCTCAACAAGAGCGGGAGCCATTACGATAATAGGCTCAGCTCATCTGTTAGTTGAAAGGGTTCACTTGTTGTCAGCATTTAACGAGACATCAAACAGTAGACAAGAGAGGCGTGACGCAAGAGGATGAAGATGTGCTATGTTGCAGGTTGTATCAATGATAGAGGCAATGGTCGTGACCTAGACCTGTCTCTTCACCATCAGAGCTCTCGTACACGAGCAAAGCCTTGCCACATCACTGGCTCTAATCTATCGCTTGCTGTGGGACGCCATGCGTATCGTTCTTGACACAGACAAACCACGGTTATCAGCGTATCGATGTACGAATCAAAACGAAGATATTTCATCCAGTAAAAGGAAGCGGCGACCTCCGGTATCCGTTCCTTTCCAAGCCAGGGTATGTCAGGGCGACTGCTTCAGGTATGAACCGAGTTGAGTGTGCGCCCTGCTAGAATCGCGGCATGATGTGAGAGCGTCTTTGTGTCTCAGAGTATCAAGTTGACCTTGTAAGAATATACTACCTTACAGCAATGCACACCAAAATCGAAGTTTTAGGCGCGCTGGTAACACCGAGTACCAACTAAATGTCGAAAGAAGAGTCTAATCACGAACGTGCATCACAATGGGTCGATACAATATTATTCCAGAGACAAAATAGATTGAGCTTCTGTACAGCTAAGAAAATTTTACTATCTACAATTCATATCTCATATCCACCGTACATGCGAGAAGTACGTCCAGTCTGATGCTGGGTAAATGGACTCCTAAATGCTTGCTCCAAACAAAAATAAAACACCTTTTAATCTTATATAACGCCTGGCGCTGATCTTATCGCTATGCATAACGAACACTTGGCCCACCAGGATATGCGGGTTGAGGTTGTTGAGGATACCATCCTCCACCTCCATACCCGCGACTTTGCATCTGTGGCGGAATGGGTGGTCCATTCCAGCCCTGGTGTCTCGATGCGCGTGGTACTTTCTTGGATGGATGTCGCTTGCGTCGACATGCTCGGATGCAACATCCTAGAATAGCGATCAGGAGTAAGGAACCAAGAACGGACGCCAATGCAATGACGAGCGTCCTGTTGTCATCTATCCAGCTCCGTACCTCTCCTCCGACAGACGTGCCGCGGCAAACCCCATTGTCACAACGACCACCACCTGCGCAGGGTGTGCCGTCCAAGAAGTTCTGCTGTACAGAGTAGCAGACATTGATGCCGAAGTCAGGACTGGCGCACGAGATTGTGCATGTCTGCGAGTTGCAAGAAAAGGTGTCGTTACCTTCCGTATAGCTTCCCATCACAGTCTTGCACTGGAGATCTCGAGATGTACATTGGCCACTAGCACAATGTAGACCATTGCCACAGTTCGTGCCGTCGGGCTGAGTCTGATCTGTCGGACAAGTTGCGTTCGAACCTGAACAGGTTTCCTGTGGATCACACTGTCCTGTCGAAGGCCTGCACACCGTATTGGCAGCTGCAAATTGGCACTGATTCGTGCAACAGCCTTCGTTGCTTGGATCACAGACTGCTCCGGCATTGAATTGGCAAGTGTTTGGGTTGCAGCATGCATTGCCAGCGCAGCCGTCTGGACCGCCACAATCACAGTCCTCGCCTTCTTCGACAATACCGTTACCACATTGATTGCCTGTGATAGTGACCACACCACGATTATCCGTAAGACAGGTGGATTGAACCGAGTTTCGACCTAGAGCACTACAAATGTTGCCGATAGAGCAGGGGGAAAATCCACGGATGCCAGATGCTGAGTATGGGTTCATCATGTACTGCGCGTTCGCATTGCAAGCCGTTGAGCTAAGTGGGCAGCATTGTGAAGCACTAACCGCGCTGCTGTCTGCACAAGCACTGCTGTCACAGTCGTGGACTGCACCAAAAGTATGGCCAGACTCGTGTGCAAAGACCTGCCATTCGTTGTTGGTTCGCGCAATGACATTTGCGCCTGTGACGGTTTGCGTTGCGCCTCCATTCCCTTGCTGATTTGTGCCACCATGATTGCAGAGCTGACCGAGCCAGGCGAGGCCAACCTCAGCACCAGTGTTGCAAGTTGTGAATAGCGACCAGTAAGCATTGGTATCACCTGCCAAGTTCCCTCTCCAGCTGGAAAAATCATTGAGTCGGTTCGTGATCGTGTAGCTGTCGGAGCATCCAACATTCCACCTTGTGGCATCTGCAGGGGTGGCTGGGCACTCAGCTGGGGACACTGTCAGATTTCGAAGACCAAGTGTGATGTTGAAGGTGGACTGGTATAGATCTGAGGCAGTATTAACAATATTAATGATGTTTTGTCGCATGGTATCGGTGGAATTGAAGGCCGCAGTATACGTGCAATCAGTAGCAACACCAACAAGGGCGACTCTTCGCGAGGAGGGACACCCGGACGTATCTCCAATAGTACTCCTCAAGTTGACACCGGCCGAGTTACCATTTCCGATAGCTCCTCCATCAATATTGGTTTGCCTCTTACCAAAGATGTTGGCAGGAGACATCTCGCCTAGTGTACTCAAACTCCTAGCGAGGATCTCCTTGTGCACGGGATGTTGTGAATCCGTGTTGAAGGTCAGTTCGTCAGCACCGCATGATTTCGATTGAGCATTTCGCTTTCTCAGCTCGGTATGTGAAAGCCTGCCAACGTCTGAGTCTCGGTATACTGCCATGTACTCGTCGTCGGCTTCTTCTAGATGAGGATCCAGAGCGTGTTTCGTCGACATGTAGGTTGATCTTAATTGGATATGATGGTGGTCTCCCATGATGGTGAATGCTCCTTCAAACAGGGGTTGTGCTCCATCTCTTCGAACATATATTCTTGACCAGCCAACGTGCCTATTTGTGCCGTCTGCCTCCACGAGATATGCCTGACCTTGGTAAACCTTGTGGTCTTCTCGGACTATCTTCTCAGCGCGCTCAGTATTGCCATCCTGATCTAAAAAGTTCACATAAGAATCATCTCCAAGGATATCGTGATTAGGCTCAAGTGTTAAGCGAACATGTTGAGTATGTCTGTGAATATCGAACGTTAAATCGAAATGTGAGAATGCATTGACTTTCTGATTGTGCGTATGTATCCGTGGCTCTTCAATAGTGGCGATAGTGTTTAGAGGATCTCTGGACTGTGAGCTTCCACGTGTTGTGACAACCAAGCATGATATGCTTGCGGCTATCGACGCCAAATTCTGAAAGAAGCGCATAGCGCTCTTCAATGAGGTGTGTTTCTTGTCGCTTTACTATAACACAAGCATGCCGCTATAGTTTCGAACGAGTGCTGAGATCAAGGCCGAGGTGCATCGAATCGTTTTACTTCGCGGGATTAGGACGTCTCGTTGTAGTTGTGAACGAATGGTTCCAAAGAAAGACTTAATGCTGAAGGACAGTAACGCAACGTAGAGCTGATGTAGGATGGCTGGCGTTGCGGCAAAGGACGGCAAAGCAGTAGCAGTAGATGACGAGTCGCCAAGGTGAATCCAAGAATAATTGAGACGAGAAGCCGGAAGGAGGAGTGGCAGAGCACCGCGTATCAGGCACTGAAAATTTACGGCAGCATAAGCGACGACGACGCCAATGGTTTGATGTCTGACTGTGAATGGTTGATCGTTTCCTACACTCCCCATCTATGCCCTATACTACATCACTGCTAAACCAATAGCGTCTAAGTCCGTAGAGGCGAAGCTCGCTTGGCACCAATTAGGCCACCTCCTACCAACGCAAGTCCGCTGATTTGAGGAGAGTTTGGTGCAGCAAAGGTGTGGTGAAAATAGAGCTCGCAGTGCTCTACTACGCCACTCCTGTACAATGATAACCTCTATGGAAATGTAGTATGCCAGATGACATTCTGCGAGTTCATGCGGTTCAGCTGCATCCATTGGTCTTCGTGATTCGGGGTCGCGTTTCGAGATTGGCGCGTGTCACTCGTGATTAGCCAAGGCATATACTGCGCGCCCTGCTGCAGTTTGAGCAAGCGCGTTTCAAGCAGTTGTCGCTGTGTGAAACGTTCCTCTCACAGATTCGACAGGGTTAGCGAAACTTGACACAAGCGCTTCCCTTGAGTATTTCCCCATACTCTTTGATTTTGTGGTGGTACTGCCAAGTCTATGTCATATATTTTTTGAGTCCTCGTAATCTGTCCTTGGCGTCTTCCAAGACGTCGTCGTTTTTGCACACTGCGAACCGGATCCAGTCCTCGGCGATATGTGTGTTCTGATCCGTGTAAAACTCGGTCGGAGGTATGGCAGCGATTCCTAACTCCATGATCATGAACCATGCCATCTTGAAATCTCGTGGTCTGTTTACGACATGGTCTGGAAATTGATAATCATCTGGCACTTTGACCTTGGCAAAATTCGCAAGAACAAAATAACCACCTGTAGCAGCAGTTAGAATAAAACATATCTATTATTAAGCTGGTCCAACACTTACCTTCAGGATCAGAATATGGGATACCGAGCTCATCAAACACTTCACAGAATCTCTTGATCTTGCCCTGCATCTCCTTGACGGAGTGATCCCAGTATCCAACTTTGTCCGCTTGCTCAAAGCCTATGGCAACAGATTCCTGCAGAGGCGAGACGCTAAGTTCTGTTAGCTTATCTCCGAGCTGATTGGGGCACTGGATTTCTGGTGCTCACCTGCTATAACAAATTCGTGTATGCGCCGCGCTCACATATTTGATCAGTCCAGGAGGCCCGCAAAGCCAGCCTACCCGCCATCCTGTAGCTGCAAAGCATTTACCACCACTGCCTACTACCATTGTCTGTTTAGCAAGCTCTTCAGACAAGGTAGCTATTCGTGTGAACGGCACGTAGTAGAGGCGATCGTAGACCTCATCGGACAGGATCAGGACATTGTGCTTAAGGCAAAGATCGCCTATCCGCTGCAATTCCTCTTTGCTGAAGACCTTGCCGACTGGGTTGTGTGGAGTGTTGATGACAATCATTTTGGTCTTCTCGTTGAATGAACTTTCCAGCACGTCCCAATCGATGGTCCAATTTGCGGCAGAAGATGTTCGTTCAGCGCCATCTTTAGGAGGGGACATCGGAACATATCGTATAACTCCACCAGGCATCTCGATATTCGAAAGGTATTGATCAAAGAATGGCTCAAAGATAATGACTTCGTCGCCTGGCTCGATGAATGCCATGAAGGCACTAAGCATGCCTTCGTTGGCGCCTGTTGTGATTGTGACTTCCGTCTCAGGATTGAGCTCTCTGCCAAAGAAAGGGCTGTAGGCATCGGCAATGGCTTTCTTCAATCTGGGTCTGCCTTTGGTAGGAGAGTATTGATTGCATTCTACACGATCGAGGGCTTGTTTTGCTGCATCGAGCACAAATTGAGGTGGGTTGTAGCCAACTGCGCAGAGTTAGCCATATATCAGTTTATTTGTTTGTGGTGACCAACTGTATACAGTCAGCTCTGTGCCAATAAAAGCAATATCGTCGCAGTTGGTCTCCTACCAGAATCCTTGCCCCATGTTCACGACAGGCTGCTTGGGTGTGGCTGCTGCTGCCTCATTGATGATGCTCCATACATCTTGCCTCTGGCCAGCCACTCTTCTTGCTGGCTTGAACTTTTCTTCAGTCATGCTGCTGCTCGTAAAGGTTCTAGTGCTCGCGGGACGAAGAATAGGGAATGGTTCGGCGATCAGAAATCGAGAAGAACTGGAGAAGATAAAAGATACGGCACGCTTCGCGGACATCAAGAACGAGTGACGAAGTGATCCACAAAGCCAGTCTTCACAAAGTCTTCACAAGCACCTGAAATGCGCTCTGAACTGCTTCGTACTGGAAGTGTTCAGTATTCAAGCCTGTCAATCGCCGAGCTCGGCCTGAACTTCGAGGAGTCAATACATGCGCAAAGTTGAACTGCGATGACGTTAGATGGGCTCTCGGGCGTCCCTTCGCTTGTGCCTCTGATTTATTGCTCAAACAGAAACGGGGATAATCATATCAAACTTTATGCGTTGCTCTTGGAAATAGGTCCATTATTGTAGTTCTTTTGTGCAGGGCAGTCAGTGGATTTCACCTTAACTTTCTTCTATTGTTAATATTATCCAGACGGTCGTCAATGCTTGGTCCGGGCTCTCTCACCACTGGAAGAGCATTTTTATCGCGAAATAGCGGACCGAAATCTTGTTTTGAGTATAGCTGCCGGCTATAAATGGGTTAAGCACTGCTTGCTCCGGCTGATTACTCAAGTGTAGCGCATTATCAAGACAACCTCGTCCATTCTATTCTCTGCACTTTGCAGATCAGCTTACCAGACCTTTCAGCAGGATGTAGGTGCGCAATGGTAGTCTGCCCGATATGCGGGAAGGTCGTCAAAGAGACTTTCATAAACCAGCACCTCGATTCTGGGTGTACTGGTGACGTTGAGAGCGAGGCTGTCGTGCCATCTTCCACAGCACCGATCTTCAGGACACCAGCACCAAAACGAGGTACCTTTTTTGCTTCCTCCCAACCTGTCTCAGCACCAACCGACACCCCCACTCAAGCCAGGAAAAGGTTCTTTGCGGATGTAGAAGATGGAAAAGCTGAAGTTCGAGAAAATGGCAGCAGCAGCACACCTGCGCTGAAGAAGAGCAAGCCAAATGGAGCGGAACGAGCAGCTCCCTTAGCAGAACGTATGAGGCCGAAAACACTCGATGAAGTCTATGGCCAAGATCTAGTCGGTCCCGATGGAGTCCTACGTGGTCTTATCGAGCAGGATCGTATACCGTCTATGATTATCTGGGGTTTGCCCGGAAATGGCAAGACCACAATCGCGCGGCTAGTTGCCCAACAAGTCAATGCACGCTTCGTCGAGATAAATAGCACTTCGTCAGGTGTTGCAGAATGCAAAAAGATTTTCGCAGAAGCAAAAGCAGAACTTTCACTGACTGGTCGCAAGACCATCATTTTCTGCGATGAAATTCACAGATTCAGCAAGAGCCAGCAGGACGTCTTCCTCGGTCCTGTAGAAGCTGGTCATGTTACTCTGATAGGCGCGACCACGGAGAACCCATCTTTCAAGGTCCAGAATGCTCTTCTCAGCCGCTGTCGAACGTTCACCTTGGCCAAATTGACAGACGCTGATGTTGCCACTATCCTCCAGCGTGCTCTCGCGAAGTCCAAAGAACTGTATAAACCGAATCTCGACCTTGTCAATGGTGCTCTCCTCGATTACCTTGCTTCATTCGCGGATGGGGACGCTCGTACAGCACTTAATTTACTAGAGTTGGCCATGGACATCTCAACGCGACCAGGTATGACGATCGATACCTTGAAGTCCTCTCTGACAAAAACTCTGGTCTACGATCGTGCGGGCGATCAACACTACGACACCATATCTGCTCTTCACAAGTCCATTCGAGGTTCCAACCCTGACGCAGCCTTATATTACCTTGCACGCATGATTCAATCAGGAGAAGATGCTCTCTACATTGCTCGACGCATGGTTGTGATGGCAAGCGAAGATATTGGGTTGGCAGATAACACCATGCTATCACTCGCTACTGCCACATATAGTGCATGCGAGAAGATTGGACTGCCGGAGTGTCGTATTAACCTCGCCCATTGTGCTGTAGCATTGAGCTTAGCTCCCAAGAGCACGAGAGCATACAGAGGCCTCAACAATGCAATGTCAGCTCTCAAGGAGCCCGGTCTAGCAGGTCTTCCCATTCCGATCCACTTGCGTAACGCGCCAACACGACTCATGAAGGAAATAGGCTATGGCAAGGAGTACAAATATAATCCGAAATATGCGGATGGCAGAGTCAAGCAAGACTATCTGCCTGATCAGCTGCTCGGACGAACGTTTCTCGAGGACAGAGATCTTGGAACGCAGATCGATCCCGATCTGTTGGAGCATGAACAGCATTCAAACTCAGAAGAGATGTTCCAAGACACTAGTGCCGAGAAGGACACCGTAATGCAAGTAGCGGAAGACAAAGTTGAGACGAAGGAGGTAGAACAAGATCCGCAGGATGGGGAGAAAGAAGCCGAGCCATCGTTGGAGGAGGAACATGCGGGACTGCCCAAGAATGAGATCCTTGAAAGCGATGGAGTAGTTAAATCGGAACAGAGCTCGGATCTGAAGCAAGCTGAACGGGAGACATCAAATGTCTTGCAAAATGATGGTCCTTCGAGCAGTCTGAGCGAGCCACCAGAGGACGATGATGACATCGCTGATACCAGCTTACCACTCAGTAGTCAAACAAAGCCACCTGAAGAGTGGGAATAGACTTGATCTCAATTGTTCATACATTTACTGTAGTTTTGCTACCATGCTTTTTCAGGTCACTGTCATCGTATCGAAGTTGCTTATCATCTGTATTAGGTTTTACTTGCCAAATCTAGGCCTGAACTGGCCAATAACCGGAGAGGCTCGTGGTGCTCGATAACTCGGATTACATGACAAGACTCAGTGTGTTTGCCTGAGGCAGAAACTATTCCTAAACAGCTTCTTATTGGCTTGATCTGTCTGGTCCAGGGCTCGATGCGTTAGGCAAGTTTCATGAGGTCCCCCAATATCCGCCTCCTCGATGGCCTCCGTGTACTCCTTGCTTTCAACTTTCATTAGCAGGACGTACGCCGCTGATCAAGAATCGTAATGTTCATTGATCAGATCATGTACCTGTAGCCCTTCTGGAGTCGTCTCGCAGCCGCGACATCCAATCCTTCCATCTCAGCAGTCTTTTTCAGCCTCTCGACATCTCCCTCAGTCAATTTGGAGTCCTCACTCTCCATACGGTCCATACGCTTGTTCTCTCTCATCAACAGGATTCTCAACAGGGTGGCCATCACAAATCCCAGCACCTGAAGGCCGATGCATATGCCTAGTGCAGGTCTATAGTGCGGAGCATCCTTGGGTCGGTAGGTAAAGGCCGTCCATACACTGGCCGAATTTCCCACTGAATTTACAAAGGCCAACGCGGCCGCTCTTTTTGCTGTAGGCCGAGGTATTGCGCCGGCGATCCATGAGTAGATGGTGCCGTTCTGAGCGAAGACGAACATGAAGAGAAAGATGGCGAAGTATTTGCTGGCGAAGGAGTTTGTGAACATGAAGACCAGAAAGCCGATGATTGTGATGGGAATGGGGTAGATGAAGAACCTGTTGATGTCAGTATTGGTTTCAGGAAGGAAGGAGATGAATGGTTGACTTACCAGTACCGAGTGCCGAACCTGTCACTCAGACTGCCATGGGCATATGTGTAAAATGTCATGAAGATGTACGGTGGTGCCACAAGCAGCAAGCTGATGGTATGGTTATAGCCCAGAGTTGCTGTCAGTGTAGGGAAGTAGTTCTGGAATCCAGCAGCACCTGTCACGCTGAGGTAGGCGAGAGCTAAGATGTAGACCTTGATGTCTGTAAAGGCCATTTTCAGACCCTTGAGCTGAGATGTAAGCCCCGGCTCATCGATGTCAGCCTCAGCGGCATCGATAGCAAGACGACGATTGGCCACATGCTTCATCTCTGGGCTCAGCAGCTTCCATGTGTGGGGAAAGTCAGGTAACACGAAGCAGACGATCAGTCCTAGCGCCACAGTTATGGTGCCCTCCACGATATAGAGCCTGTGATAAGTCAGCCTTTGCTGGAAAGATTTTTACCCAAGACAGGTCACTTACCACTGCCAAGCGTCCATACCCCGTTTGCCAGCAAGTCCTTTGAGGATGCCAGCAGCAATAAGATTACCAAAAGCACCAGAGATCAAGCTGCCCGAATAGAAGATACTCATTCTCAAGTTCAGTTCGGTCTTGGTGTACCATTTTGAAAGGTAGAAAAGAACACCAGCGAAGAAGGGTGCTTCGACCAAGCCGAGCACGAATCTGCAGGCATAGATGCCACCTGGTGTGGTCACTTGCGAAGTGAGAGCTGATACCAGCCCCCATGCTGTAGTAAAGAAACCGATGTAGAGTGATGGTCTTCCCAAATGGTTGAGCAGCAAATTTGACGGAACCTGCGCGAGGATATAAGCGACGAAGAGGATTGAAAGTCCTAGCTGGTACTGCTTCGCACTGAGACCGAGATCTTTCTCAAGTCCTTGAAGACGGGCGGCGGCATAGTTGTTCCTGTCGATATAGTTCATGAGGTAGATCATGATGACAAGGGGCATAACAGTTGTGTCGATACGACGTTTCAGCTTCTTCTCGATAATCTGTATGGGGATTAGCACGACGGTTCCTCACACGAATCCTTCAAGCATCAACACACCTTTTCCTCCTCCGTGAGTTCCCCGATATGAGTAGCCTCGTCGTGAGTTACCGCTGCCTTCTCGCCCATAAGGTCGTGATCTGCAACGATTGCATTTTTGACGAAGTCGGCGTTATATGGGTTTACTGCCATGGTGGAATAGTAAATATAGAACTTGTTTTAGACAGCCGACATCAACGCAGAAGCAACAGGTACAAGACAAGGGACAAACTGAGGTTGAACAGACTGCGAACAGACAACTCGAGCTGCACTTGTATGAACTGATCTTCAGCAAGACAAGCAAAAGTCAAGAGAATCTTAACGCTTCTTGTATTGAATTGGCATGCCGCTAGAACCACAGGAAGAAAGGTGAAGTGCTTGATTATACCTTAGAGCTAAGCTCAAAGAGTATAGATCTCCATGCTTTTTGTGGGGTTGTGATGAGCGCGACTTTCCATTTTGCCAATGATCCACGTCTTTGTGGGGAAAACAGCTCCAGGATATCCAGACCGGCAGATGATGTGGAGGTCATGAAGAAGGTCGAGACCATAATATGATATGACAAACACGGACGCGAGCGGACAGAGGCCGACACGGACTTCGATCAGGACTTCACAACGAAAATGAAGGAAGGCTGGCCTTGGTCTTGTAATGAGTTGCAAGAGTCCATCGTAAACGTTCTACCGGGCGTCCTCCCAAGAAGCATATTCGAGGCCACGTTCAGTCATACATAGCGCACCGATATGACGATCTGATGCAGTGAAGGTAATGGGTATCTGGTAGGCTTTTCACCAGCGAGACAATTTTCACATGAAGGGCCCCTGGTGTTGAACGCAAGTGAGCGTGCATGGCTCTGTTCTGGCACAGAACGTAATACACTCCACCCCAGGAGTACACCCTGGGTGGACTTCGCAAAAAACACGATATGAACTGGTCATATTGCCTCTTTCGGACGTGTCGATGGTGTACTAGATTGGGAGCAAGCCCCAAAGTTGGCACTTCCGGATCACAAAGTTCGACACCAAGCCGACGGGTCGGATAATAGGCAATCGTATGGTTCGGAGAGTCAGCCCAAACTATCCTGTGTTCAGGCAACGTGATCCAGTCCATATTTGCCTATGATTGGTAAGGTGGCCACCCTGCCATCTGATCAACATCAGGATCTCGCGCTACGCTTGGCCTTGTCAGCAGACACGAACGTGTCTTGATCAGAAGCAGCGACTGCTCCCATACACACCCTCACGCCAATATACCCGGACGCTTTTTGGACTGGCACATGGCGAAGTGCCAAGTTCTAGTCATGCAGATGGCTCAGTAGAATCATCACTGCTCAACTGGAGCTGTTACCTTGCGATCCCATGTGATTGGGCACTGGACCTGACCGAAGCATCGACATAAGTTGCACCCATGATGCTGTGGGTCTAAGCGTGCAGCCTTGTTGAATTACCCACAGGTGTAATTTAGATCAATCGGGCCATGTTGTCACATAGCTATGGATATAGCCATACTAGTTTAACAGTAGTTTTGAAAGTGAGATCAAAAGGCTCGATTTGAAGACAACAAAGCGTCTGGTCGTGTTACACTGGTAGTAGACGTGTCAGACCCAGACACGGCCAGTTGTCACAGTTTGAAATTAGCTTAAAATTGGACCCCTATCCTGATCCGCCGCAGACCAACAGTTTGCAAGAACTGAGCCCAGAAGCCACGTTTCTGCGCCCGAAAGTTGGCAAGCGCGTGGAAGCGGGCATCACGATGCAGCCAAACGAGGCCACATCTTCACAACTCATTGTTACAAGGTGTTTGCCGACCAAGACCTATGATTTAGTGTTCACGAAGTGTGCAGTAATCCTAAAAATGACATGAACGCCCTAATATACGAAGACTCTCCCCTTGCGGAATTGCTGGAACTCGAAGGGGAAGCAGTCCCGACCGAAATTGCCCAAGAAGAGACACCGCCGTCTTTTGCTCCTCGAAGTCCGCCTAATCTACAGGACAGGCTGCGAACAATAAGGCGAAGCGCTACTTCGATCCAACCTACGTCAAGCGAACAAATACTCGAGCAATTCCGGTACCTAATCGTCGCATCTCATCTATTATCGGACGATGCACCTTCACGACCAGTTGGAAATGAATCGAGAGGACGGGATAGGAGTTTGGTGTACGGCGCAGCAACGACTGTCGCACTCTCTTTCATAACAGCATGGGGTTTACATTGGCTGAGGACACGAGGGGACACAATCAGAGCTTTGTCGAAAGTCGAGCTCGCCCTATACTGCACGATATCTTTCTGTTTAGGAGTCGCCGTCCTGCTTTTTGTCAGACACCAATATTCCAAATATGTTCAGAAAACTGCCGCTGCAAGTCTAACGCGTCTAGTTAACGACTCTCATTCATTCGATGTGACAGCTGGGAAGACGCTGAGGTTTATCCAAGAGATCGAGCTCGTGGCTCGTGGCTACGACATTGCGAGCACTCCTCTCCCGCCCATCAGTCGTCTAGAAGATAGGAAAGCTATAAGACGATGCCAAAAGCTACGAACTGAACTGGCTGAAACCTTGAACCTGTTGATCACACTGTACGTCGAGAGCCACAACATTCTACAATCCTTTGTTGTTCCTCAGGATTTACAACGATACCACGATATCTACGAGATTTCCCTAGCTGAATATTCAGACGCGATTCGTGTTGCGAATGAGTCGTCCCAAGAAGCAAGCACATTGCTTAAAGAGTTAAGATTTGCGTCACGATTACATGCAGTTGCAAGGAAGGTGTTTCTATGTGACCTGCTCGCGCTCAGAACTACCCATGGTTGGCACCGTGTGCGACAATGGAGGTCTGTGCAAATGATTTTACGAGAGATCGAGGCGGAAACATTCTGTAGACAGCAAAGCCTTGAGTCTCACGTGCACGAGGAAGAATTCGGTGTCACTGCGGACTTACAGCAGAGGAGGAACCTGTCCGAATCCATGAGTGCCAGCCCTATGTTTCAGTCACCTCGTTCAAAACAATTCAAGCTGCAAATGCGTCGTTTCGAGGATGTCGCACAAGGTGTTCGAGCTTTGAATGCTAAAATTCATGTCTTCAATGAAGAGCTGTCTGGGCTCGAGTCTGCTAACACAGACGAAGCGGTCCTGGCATCGGCGCTGACTAAGCACTACGAAGCACTAGGTACCGATATCAGAGCTCTGCAAACAGATTGGGACAGAGGCAAATCCTCCCTGCTTCTGAATATCTCAACCGACTACCGATTACGACCTGGAAGCCTCAGTCCGCATACCCCAGTCTCACCCAGCCCTGGCCAGGGCGGCTTCACCATCGTGGACGCCGGCACACCCGCAGACGCCCTGCGACACCTAAATGGTGACGATAGATCATCCAGATCATCAGACGCGACTCTCTACGACGAGGAAGTCTTCGAGGCAATCTCCAAACCAACACCAAGAAAACGCATGTCCATGGCTGGTATGACCCGAGACGAGAAAATCGCAAAACTGAACGAGGAAAGGCGCAAGCGCGCCACGATACAAGAGCAATCCGATACCACAACGAACATGCTCAGAGAATTACAGATCGTCCTCAAACATCGCCCACACACAAGATCTCCGAGCACCCCGACTACACCACTCGCCTCGCGGATAGTGTCTTTGTGATGACAATGCTTGCGGCCACACCTCATGGTTTGGAAAGAAGCCTCTGTGTTTGATGAGCTAGCGACGGCGTTTCCAGGGTCTTTTTCTTTAGATGACATGTTACATATCAAAACGTGCAACGAATCTCTCTGTGGGAAGATTGATGATTTGGGAGGGAGCAGGAACAGCGCCACGACAATGATGAGCGGATGATCGTGGGTATATAGAATTTGATGGACTGTATCAATATATTTACGAACTTACAGACTCTGGTCACACAGAGAGCGTGATGGCAATTCCAAGTACGTAGTAAAAACCATGCGACTCAGGACTTTTCTCGGCCAACCTTCTCCCGACCTCGACCTCCGGTCTCGTCTTTCAAGATTTACACAACACGACCCTTGTTCTGTTTGACGTCCTTGACATTCATATCCTTCCATACGAGAATCGCCACAAACGCCACAGCCCAGGTCGAGACAGCAGCAATCAACAACAGTCGCCAAGTATCTCCGTAGGATCGTTGAATTGCCGATCGGGTAGGTGAGCCCACCTCATAGGACAATTGTTGAGTTATATCGGCATATATCATGACAAGACTTTCCTGGGCTTCAGGAGGAAGATACAAAGCAAGTTTCTTCGGCATCATGGCTTGCCAGATGGCAGAAGAGATTGTGTAACCAACAGCACTGCCAATGTAGGCGAAAAGATTGAGCAGAGCAATAGCGATAGCGAAGTATTGTTGTGCAGAAGCAGCGGCCAGAATGCTAATCTCCAATGTAAGCATTAAGATGCCAAATCCGAAGTTGACAAAGAGGTAGCTCATCGCGATGCAGCCCACGTGTTGATCGGGTTGTCGGAAGTGTATCATCAATCCTGTACCAAGGACTATGATTGGGAAACCAAAGTATAGACTGACAGGTTTATATCGTCCGGTAACCGAAATTATTGACCCAGCGACAATGTTCATACCGATCTGTGCAATGATACCTCCTTGTACGAGGTAACTTGCCCGGGTCACAGAGAGATTGTTGACAACCTGGAGGAAAGAGCTAAGATATGCATTCCAACAGGCAGTGCTTGCGAATAGTACAAATGCAGTCATACAAGTGCCCAGGACTGTACGATCTCGGAGTAGAGCCCAAGGTATAAGGCAAACCCGAGCGAAGAATCTCTCCCACAGTATGAATCCTCCAACCAGGATTATCCCAAAAACAAGGAAACAGACGATGAGAGCAGATCTCCAACCTTTTGCTTGCTGCGTATAGAGGCTGAATGGGAGAAGGAAGAAGGCGAAGCCAGCACAGATGAGCAGTAGTCCGATAACGTCGAATTCGTGTATGTAGTACATGGCAGATTCCCATGGCGACCTCTTCCTTTGACCCTGGCTTGTCATGATACCTTTCTTCTTAGCCTTCATATATTGAAGCATAAAAAGTCCGAACAAAGGCAGAGTAACGCTAGGAAGGAGAATGCTTTCCATTCCAAAGGCCCAGCGCCAGCCTGCCCCGTTCAGAAAAGATGTCGAGATAGGACCCGCAATCCACGACGTGATCAGATATGGGGAGTTGCACAGGGCTTGCACAAGACCTCGATGGCGCAACGAAGTTGTGTCTGCAATGAAAACGCTCAAGATGTAGCCGATACCGTTGATGCCGATGGTATAGAAGACTTGTGATGCGGCATATGCCTCAACATTGTTGCAAGTAGCCGACATGATCAGACCAATTGTACAGGACGATGCACACAACAAAAATCCATGAGGACGGCCAAAGATGTCTAGAATTTTGGCAACGCCGAGGTTGGTTACGCCACCGATCACTTGACTCAGGATTCCAGTGGTAGGAATCAGAGAATGTTCAGCAAAGGCAGAAGTGACATAAGGAACCAAGGCTCCGGTGATTCCCGTGATGATTCCTTGACAGAAATAAACGAGCCAGATACCGATGTAAGCTACAATCAATGTGGTTTTTGTCCAGCTGATTGTGACGGCCTCAGCCTTTTGAACGCCGGCCTGAAAATTGGTGTCGATAGAATCGTTATTAGGTGCGTTGCCGTGGATTTTGTCCACGTTGTGGTTGGAGCCAGGCTCCACGTCGTTTTCTGTAAAGTGTACTTCCCTGAATTCTTTCGCCTGGGTATGGTTGATAAGCACCGGAGACTGATTGGAGGCAATGCTCATATTTGGATGCTGTCCTAAAGTTGCCTTGGCTCCCTCTCTTTCTGGTTTCTTCTAGTGACGGTGGTCACCTCTGGTATATCGGTAATCTGTTTGACGTGGGGAAGAGAAGGGAAAGGAGTGGAGGGAGCTAGAGGAGTGCACAGAAGAAATGAAGGGGGGGAAGGGGAGATATAAAAACTTGGGAGAGACCATTGTTGGTCTTCCTCCACATAATCAATCTAGGGTAGTTAGCGCCGCTCTGAGCAAGTTGAGCAAGTTTTGGACATTGGCCTGTGGAATGATAGATACATGGAGAGGTTTCGACTGGTCTGTTGTGAATGACTATGCCACCGAGAGAAGAACTGACAACGAGATCATGAAGGCATACAAGTCTCGGATGACAGCCTCGCACCCATTTCAACGACGAGCTATGACTTCCTACCGTGTCTTGCTAAGCTGGGATATATGGGAGGAAGTTACAAGTAATTGATGTTTTCAACATTTCAACGAGCACGTGACCGCTGGTATAGTTTATGCCTTCACTCTTCGCGAACACAACGGTGCGAACCGCAGAACCTACAAGAGCACAGTGAACCTAACAAAGTGTTTCTCGCACTATCATGTTCAACTCATGAGCGAAGGTAAGTTCTTACACTCCAGGGACACGTCAATTATTTTGGCAAAAAGTCGATATTGGCTCTGGGGAGTTCAGAACCTCTGGTCTCACACAGAAGCTGGTCTCTTTGCGATGTATCTGCAAGTGGCACACGGTCCGTCTGAACTTGCATCGTTTATCTAGTGTAGATGGATCACCCGACTGTCCTGAACCGCCACGGATGGAAATTGACCAATTGTCTCCGCAATTCCAGTTAGCATCACAGGTTGAGCACATTATTCCTTCCGCAGGTTGAGCATGTTATTTGGCGCTAACGTACATGCAGTGGCTACAAAGGTAGTCGCCAGCCTTCAAGAGGCATAGCACGCAACTGGTACGGCCAGGAACATCTTCGTCTATGTTCATTAGACGAGGCCCATGCTGCAAAAAGGTGATTGTGCGAACCACAGACTCGACTGGCAAGCCGAGATGCACAACAAAGCCTTACAAAGACACCTCCAGCTGAGGATTTCCCCTGTGATGTCTCGTATTAGTAGTTAGTAGCGTGCAGACAGCCTGTACCGTTGTTCTGTGGTACCTTACAGTCTCTTCGTTAATTGGTAAGTGGTGGTTCGTAGACAATACAGGGAAGCTGTGTGTACCACTTAGCACGACCGCTGAAGTTCTTTCTTAATTGTTCAATGGATGCCGACTCGAGATAGGAATCAAGTGCGGGTTCTTTATCATTCCTTTTACTTTGACTAATCTTGTGTAAACTGAGATGCTCACCAAAGTTTGCAACAGGAGGACGCCAATGTGCACGTCAAGGTGTTGTGTAAGTGTGGTGTTTTTGAAGAGCGGGTCCGTCTGGGAAGTAATTTGTGCGAAAGTGGAGTACGTGCCGCACCAGCCATGGGCGTCCTCCCCAAAATGCGTCAAGCTTAAATCTGTAAAAAGAGGTCGTGCCTTAATGCTTGTCTTTGCACACAGTACATGCTCGTTTTGGTGCCCGCGGGCGAGCCTAAAAGTGTTTCTTACACAATCCTGACCTCGCAGATTTCCGAAAGCAGACTTGGAACATGACCCTAACGTTTTCACACCACAAGGTCATGTCGTTGACTTGAACCCTGTTGCGTAGCTGAAGCTCGTTATCGACCTGTGGTCGGAGCCTTTCATGTGCATATGCTTTTCCGTATCTCTGCTTTTCCATTCATGCTCAGATGTATCCAGTACTGCCAAATCCTCCTATCCCACGTACGCTCGTCTCCAGCTCTTCAACTTCGATGACTTCTGGTGTAATGATCCTCTCTAATATCAGCTGAGCTATTCGATCTCCCTTTTTTACCTCATAGTCAACGTCGCTGAAGTTGAATAACAGCACCTTCACCTCACCACGATAATCCGCGTCGATGACTCCAGCACCCGTGTGAAGTCCATGGCGTGAAGCAAGACCAGAACGTGGCGCGACTCGACCGTACGTTCCTGCTGGTACCGAGATGGCAATTTTGAGGTCTATCAGGCTTTGACCCCTTGCTGGAATCGTCATCGAAATAGCCGAGTAGAGATCGTATCCTGCAGCGTCTGCGCTCCCACGTGTAGGAGACGTCGCATCGGCTGAGAGCTTTTTGATCAATAGGGGTGGTATGGCTGGGATATTCTGTGGTACAATGGGGGGCATCTCGGTAGTCAAAGACGTTGTTGCAACAGGAGTCGGCGTTGCTTCGTTCATTGCTGGTGTGGTTTCAGCTTTGATTCGCTTGGGTAGTGGTGAGGCTGGTAGACTCGGTGGTTGATGATGAGGAGTCTCGCTTCCCTCAGTCAGATCAATGGAAGCCATCGCTGTTACCGTACAAAGTTGACCTCATGTCTTTGAGAGACAAACGAAGACGCGCAGGAGCGCGTTCGAGCCTGCCCCACATATTTCTTGGCGCGTTTCCTATCTTCCAGGCAAGCCGCTTGCTTGAGAAGGGAGTTACACTGCTGGTGGTAACAAAAATGTTGTGTAGACTTCCTCTATCATGAGTTGCTGCAGACAACCAACAGAACACCGGCTAGCATTGACCTTCGTGAAGGATCCTCAGCAATCATGGTGAAGAAAGTCTGGCGACCTGAAAAGAAGCCGAGGTTCTCGAGATGAGCTCGAGATGCATTCAGTAGAACCATTACCCGGTATTCGAGGTTCAAGGATTTTCTCATGTTCTGCTTCAGAACCAGGTATTTCATGCGTTGAGGTTCGCTAGTCCTGACTCTTTTCTCTACGTGTACACGCTCGCTGCTGGAGTACCATATTGCAGGCAAACCATGGCTGGTCCAGTACGCCAACCGATAGACCTCCCAGCGCTGGAGAAGTACATTGACCAACATGTCCCTGAAATCAAGACCCCATTAGATCTGAAGCAGGTAAAGCATTGGACACATTATAGCATACGGCCATACTCACAGACTACAGTTCGGCTTCGGTCAAAGCAATCCCACGTAAGCGCATCCACGATACCCACACCCCATCCTTCGAAGCTGATCAGACGCGTAGATATCAAGTCACAGCCGCGAATGGGAATCGCTATGTGATGCGAAAGAAGCCGCCGGGCAAGATATTGTCCAGCACTGCGCATCGAGTCGATCGGGAGTACAGAATAATTCATGCCCTTGAACATACGCCAGTCCCCGTACCGAAGACCTACCATCTATGTCTCGATGCAAAAGTAGTTGGCACGGAATGGTACGTGATGGAGTTCATAAATGGAAGATTCATCACGGACCCGGATATACCGAATGTCTCTCCAGAAGATAGAACTGAGATGTGGCACGACGCGGTCCGAACGCTCGCTAAATTCCACAACGTCAATTACAACGACGTCGGTTTGCGCGACTATGGTAAGCATTTCGGGTTCTACGATCGTCAGATCAAGACGTTTGGAACACTGTCCAGGGCACAGGCAGCTGCTGTGGATGTAGACACGAAAGAACCTGTTGGTGATTTGCCTCATTTTCAAGAATTCTGTGACTTCTTTAGTGATAAGTCCAAACAACCTAAGGATCGGTCAACCTTAATTGTGAGTATTCTCTGTGCGGTACCAGAGACGGACCGATGCTCTTAACGATTCGAGCTAATTTCCGTCAGCATGGTGATTTCAAAATCGACAATGTCGTGTTCCATCCTACACTACCCAAGGTCGTCGCGATACTTGACTGGGAGATGTCGACGATAGGACATCCTCTGAGCGACTTTGTGAATCTTGTCGGCCCCTATACATGGTCGATGGGAGAGGCCAAATTACAGGGCGGCACAGGGACCACACGCGCGAGGCCGGAATTCGAACCTGGTGCAACACCAGGGCTTCCGAGATTAGAGCAGTTGGTCGAGTGGTACAAAGAGGAAACAGGTTATGATCTTGCGCAAGATCTGACCTGGGGAAGTGCATTTTCTGGTTTTCGCGGAGCTATCATTATGCAAGGCATAGCAGCGAGATATGCTCAACGGCAGGCAAGCTCCAGCAAGGCGATGGAGTACGGCAGCCAGATGCGACCGTATGCTATATGGGCATGGTCATGCGTTGAAAGTATTAAAAATAGCACGAGCAAGTCAAAGCTGTAATGGCAAGCAATTTACAGCTGCTCTAAAATTCAAGGTTGAATTGCACACTTTGCCGATGATGTTGTCGCACTAGGCGTTTCGTGCCAACCACAGAGTACGAGAACGAAGCCCTGATGGTTCTATGGCATGCGAGACTCGCAAGTGACGGTCCACGGACTCGACTATACGAAACACTGCTACACAGCCACAGCGACGCGTTCCAGCTCAGGGAACATTGTGTAGGCGTTGCTATGCACGTAGGGGAATACCCCCAATCAGTGGTAGAAAACGAACTTTTTGGATGCACTGACAAGCTTAGTACATTACTGTTCCTGGTCAATACGTAACACGTACTACAGTAGTGGATGTGGGCACTGTCGCAAAATGCTCTTCTGGAAGAGCCAAAGTTTGGGGTTCAGAGGCACTTTCGAATGATCTGCGTATACCTCGCTTTTAAGACGGAGCTGACATTTCCAGGTAGCGTACATGGTAAATCCGAGCCGGGGGCACCGCTCACCTTTGCTTGCCTCTTCTCTCAATTCTGAGTCACACGATGAACCTGCGATCCACAGTGTTGCGTATACGTAACGCAAGTACGAGCATTTTCGCCAAAGAAGATAACAGGTACTGCAGAATACTGATATTGGTCTCTTTGAATTTGCCCGAGCTGATCCGTCTATATCGCGCAAGAGAGTTGCCGCCCAGGACCAGTGAAGCACTCATAGCCAGGGGTCTTGTTACGCAGATCTCAGCACAGTGGTATGTCCATGGAGCTATGGAAATGCAACAACGTGGCAGTAGCACTCCACACCCTAACTGGTCCTATGCTGCGACACGGTCACACTCAAGTAGGGCTCACTCAAGCTTGGCTCAGAACCCAGTCAAGGACTTTTGTGGGAGCGAGATTCGCAAATACAGTAGAGAATGAGCACTGGATTGGTTTGTACCTTATGTTGATCACTCCAATGTTGTAGAGGCTAAACTGCACCAGTTGTGGGGTTGACTACCAAATCGGGCTATAGCCCAAGAGTCATCCTAATTGAGCAAATGGTGTACTCCTAAAACGTGGGTGGAGTTTACGCGATTCTCGAAGGCTGCTTGTTTGAGTGCTAAGTGGATGCCACGGCATCAGAAACAGTACTCGTAGATGATGGTGATCAGCAGAAGCTTAACCATGAGACCAAGGACTACAAGCTCTAGTATGCTGAGTTGCAAGTCCATGGCTATCACGAAGACATCAGCACCCTACAGGACCTGGAACAATCAAAAACAGAGTGTGTGTGAGCAGGGGCTATAAGCATGCACCTCAAATTAATCGACGTTAGGACCTCGGGACACACCGCTGTTCGATTTTGAAATGCGGATTATTCAGCGAAATTCGGTGTGCTTAGACGCCGTAGAGCGTCATCGTGCACAGAACTTTCCCTGTTAGCTCGAAGAATATGCCTGTTGTAGGGTAGGTGTAACACAGTCATTACATACATATATCGGCGTCCTGGTGAGCATCCATACAGTACCCATACATCACTGAGATGCCACTGGCCTGCATTCAAGCTAAGCTGAAGCTTGTTCAGGTGCACAGAAACGGTGGGAAAGTTAACGTATCATTGATACCATGTATTGCGGACGTCGTTTCCACAGCTGGGATGCCGATATCCGCTTGGGAAGTCGTGGTTGATGTGTCTTTTCAAAATATCATACTCATCGTTATTCAGGAGAGGCTCGATAGTGTCACTGGTCGATTCTCATGCCCGAAAGTCTTCAATGAGAGACCCGACTCTGCATGTCAAGCATCAAAGACCTGAAAAGGGCGACAGCATGAGTATGTAATCACATATTACCTCGCAATCACTTCAGCTCCAGTACTGCACTTCGAGAAAGCTTGTGAGCAAGACAGGTGGTAAGTGATTACATGAAGCTTTTGATGGAACCCACTAATGAACGAGTTCGCTAGGCTTGTATTGGTAAGAGTGAAACGCGGGCTTTGATTGTACTTCGCATCTTCTCGAATACCTGTTCCTTGTATCTCAAACGTGTCCAGCGTCCAGGTAAACTCCGGACGACTCTCGCACTCGGTCGAGTACTGACGATCCTGGTAATGTTGATCGTCCCAACTAACTGTTTGACACTAAGCCTTACGCGATGATGCCTGCTGGCTCGAATGACTGTGGTACCCATTGGACCCCATACTTTCTATTCATATGCCTCTAACCACTGATCCCTGCTACGCCCGTTTCTCATCGCGACATATTAATAAGGCAGAGTAATCCCAGGCTGTGTGTCTGAATATTGATCTATTCTCGACTTATTCTGTTCAACGTTATAGAAGCTACAAAATGGCATCACGTTTTCAAGACATGACTTCCTCACTAACACCACCTACCAGTAACCATGGGAACTGTGAAGACTTTAGTGTTGAAAGCTTTCTCCCAGAAACATTTTACCCATCACCAGCACCCTCGATATCGCCTGATTTGGGCCGGGACAGTTGCGAGATAGAGGAAGAGTCGATATTCTTCACCTCAAATACGTCTCTTTCACACCACTCAACGTACACGGGACCTATGCCATATCCTTCGTATGACGAATTGAGTGCTTGGGCGCAACCGTATAACAGTTTTCCAAGCAATGTCTCATTATTCCCTTACTCGGTCGAAGAACAACCAAATCTGTTTACGACGTATATGACACAACAAGCACCAGCAACCGTAATTCCTCCAGTGCCACAAGAACTATCAGATGGCTCTTTCAATTTCAACGACCTTGTTGTTCGACCTCAAGCAACAAACTTCCTCAGATCTCATTCGACCTCAAGCGCATTATCGCCTGCTGCTCCCAGTTCTATCTCATTTGACGATATGTCATCTCGGTCTCGATCTCCGAGCTTGTCCTTGCCTGCTGATTCAGAGCTACAAGACAGGAGGAAAACTTCGTTCGCATCGCAAAGATCTTCAACCTCTTCATTACATGCATATGGCATTCCCATCAGGTCATCGGACTCATCAACGGTACAGGCATGGAAATGTGCCTTCCCAAATTGTACAAGTCGAGCTGTATTTACAAGAGGATGTGATCTCCGCAAACACTACAACCGACATTCGAAGCATTTGTTTTGCCGTGTAGACGGCTGCCCTCAATCTGAAGCCGCCTGCGTGAGTATTGCACAGCAAGAAGCAATACAAGCTGGACTCGACGCTAGTGATCCTTCGAAACTTGCAGTATCCGGAGGCTTCTCGTCGAAAAAGGATCGAGCTAGACACGAAGCAAAACACTCGCCGAGCATACGTTGCACATTTCCTGACTGTTCCCGTGTGTTTAGTAGGATGGACAATATGCAGGATCACTGTCGCCGGATTCACCACAAGGGTCAGTCACAACAGCAGCCACAACAGGCAACCAACAAGAAGTCCTTGCAATGAGCAGATTGTCTGGAAAGTCATCATTACGAATCACGATATTTCATCGGCGAATAGCTATAGATTCGGCAATTTTATTTCAAGAGACATTGGGCTAGGAGTATGCGGAGCATTGGAACTGGAAGATACCCACCCCTTAGAGGAGGAAAGGAAATAGTTGGTTCGTTCATGGCATGAAGAGCGTGTCTATTCTCTGCTCACATCTGCACAGATACAGGTTAGGTCATAGACTCAAGCTATTTCACTAGCTACACGCAATTGGCTTGATATTTTCTGCGCGAGTCAAGTGCTTGATACTGCTTTCGTGAATGCTCTTCTCAGTATGGCAATACCGTAGTGGCCAGAACTGTGTTGGCTGAATCCTTTCAGGAGATTGGTCTCGAGGCCGCCGGGATGTGCTGATCTACATTAGTTTTGCCAGTGCTTGCACGAGCACGAGGACGCCAAATGCACGCACTCCCATTGTCGTCTCATAGCTCAAGAGCAATTTCAAATCTTTGAACGAAAACGAGCTACGAGTATCTTGATACCAGCATGCTTCACGACCTTCAAGCTAAGATTACAAGCTCATCGATCATCAGGCGATGATAGGCGACGCAGCGAACTCGATATCCATAATGAAAGTGCTCAGTCTATGCATTGACTCCTCAATTGGCCATGCTTGAGAGTACAGTACAGTAAGCAAATACCCAAACTTCCATGTAGATTTCGGCCCCATGCATAATATAGCATGTTCTGGGGGCCAACGGTGAGAGGATAGTGGACAATGCAATGGGTCTTCACCACACATCCCCCCGGTCCTATGGTCTCGATCGCTCCTGCTGACGCCACAAATGGAGTCATGGCTGTGTTTCAAGGTGTCTCCAACAAGACTACATCTGCAAACTATCACTGCCAGCCCCCCATGACGGTTTGTGGCAAGTGGGCATAGCCCCAGCGGAAATAGCTGACAGAGCTCGAGTGACATGACCATGATCCAATCAGCTACGGGAGCTGCCTAGAAGGAAAGTATAGCTTCTGATTCACGCAACTATGGTGGCTCACGCCCATGACGGCTCGGTGCGACTTTTGAGCCCGAACCACGGAAACGACATCTTTCAATCCGAACGACGGACAGATATGTGCCATGCTTGATGCCTCAGGAAGTCCTTGCGACGACGTTGTCATTAAACAGTACGGGAGAGGCTTTCAATCCTCTTTCAGGAACATTTAGATTCGTTGTATCAATCCTTCCATTATTGACTGTCCGAGTCGAGTCGCTTGCAAGAGCGCTGTCCTGTAATCTCCCAGGCTGACGTTCAAGATTTTGACCACGACGCACGAGTGAACACTCAATCAGTCGAAGACAGCAATCATGGCTTTCGGTACTGCCAGTCCGACCTTCTTGCTCAACGTCCATGGAGCACAGGATGTTGACCCACTCTTGCGGGCACGTGTTGCAAGCGTGGGTTTACTCGGCAACAGTGGCTTGGGTTAGTGCTCAGCATTGTTGTATCACCGGTTCAAAAAGCCCAATTTTCTCCAGAATACACAGAACGAAATCGATTGACGTTGCACTCCGGAACGGCGCCAATACGCACATCACTTCTGCATGCAAGTACATGGATATTCGTTACGCCCGGGGTTCAGTCTTTACACATGTACTTGTGCAAGCTGAAAGGCAACGAACGTCATTACAAAGCCTCGATGCTTTACAGAACTATACTAAAACAGTTAGCCTAGAGCAGATCATATCCTCTATGGGAATCTAGCGCTGTCGGAAGCATTCGACAATGTAACCTCACCAGCAATGTCCTCAAATGAACTATAAGACTAATCAGCGCTGCTCGCAGTGTGGCTTGTCATCAAATGATTGAGCAGATCTCGATGAGGACAAAGTTTGGCACGCGATGATCTCTACACTGATCGAATGGTTCGACAAGTTGGCAGTGCACTGCACAGCAATTCCAATTCAAAGTGACAACAAGAAAGTGTTGCACTTCGAGTTGCTGCCAACTCAAGTTACATCAAGATCTAACTACGCTGTTTATAATTGCGGGCAGTCATTACATGGGTATCGCCTTGCTCTCCATCTCATATGTACAACAACTTGCGTATTACGAAACAAATATCTGAATACGTAACCATACCATTACAATACAGAGATGCACTTAACAGCCTTATTAAAGCCACCACGATCGCTCTTGCATTCGCTCAACCTGACTAGCGTCACTTCTCAAATGCGAAAACGAACAATCGTCGAATCAAAAATGTGAAACTGCTGGACTTCCACAAGTTGTTGCAGGTAAGATTACAAATCGTTGGTTCAGATCCACTTTACTAGACGACAAAAGTACTAGCCTTGTGAAAGAGCTGAGCTCGTCTTTGCTGTTTCGAATCGTGATTAGTACATAGTAGAGTGGCTTTGAATCGACGGCAATATGTACTTTGTACGAGTACGAGTACTCTAATGCGTGCCGTGGGTCTGTCAGACGCCAGTTCCAACCCCTCAGATGGCTGGACAATATCAATTTCTGGTTCTTGTCATCCCTGGAAACTATTGTGAGGTGTATCGAAAAGGTACACGTGGCGGACGGAAGATTCAGTAGCTTCCGAAGATGGAACTTTGTGGTCCTTGTTGATTGGTATGCTATCGAAACGGGTACAATGCTGCGCTGCTCGAGTATGGTCAATAAGATCAGGTGAGCATGACGAATACAAATAGAATATGACGATTGCAATATACGTGCTATCGAACTCCAGGTGCAACCCAGCTATACTACACCACGAAACGGTCCCTGGATGGCTGTGCACGAACGTAACTTGTGTCCAACCTGAACCTATACCACGAGCCATACTATTGCTGGATCAAGATATCATATCTGTCGAGACGTAATCAACTACGAATATGCAGCATGAGTGCTGACTGGATAAGAAACATATTACGCCATCGACATATCTTACATCAGCCAGAAGCTATACACGACTCGATGAACAATAAATAGCACTGTAGCGTGTTTCAAAGAGCTTATGGTCCGTCTTTCGCGTGATTGGAATTACCTGTTGAACACGCCACTGAACCTGTGGATAGGAACGCACAAATTCAATTCAACGCGTTGAAAATTGTGTGGTCAAGAATACGTATATAATATTGTTGTCAAAATAGACGCTCAGCCATGTACTTGTACGACCCAGTAAGCCAACGAAACATTGTGTTCCCGAGGTCTCCGAAAAAGCATCTACGCTCCAGCATAGAAGCGTTGATACGTATGCCTGGCAATGACATTGATTGCTAGACTGGTGTGAACTTCCCATACAAGAAAAAGTCGTTAACAACCTCCGAACCAAACAGCAGCAACCTTGCTGGAAAGTATATACGATGAATAAATGGTCGGCAAGAATCCATGTTACACGTCCACCTGCGAATTGAAAATTGAAAACGATAACATGTACAATGTTCGAAAGTCGTACGATGATTCGGTCGTGATTTCGTAAAGGCCGTCTCGTCGTGAACCCAGAGAGAGTCACAGCTAGTGATGTGCAGGTCCCGAGCTCAATACGGCACAGCTACTGGGTGCTGCATGCCAAATGGTTGCGAATGCATTCTGATGGGCATCGCCTGAGTCTGAGAATATGAACCGCTCTGCATTGGGAAGGGTGCCTGAGTGAAAGACTGTGCTTGCTGCGGCATATGTACCATCTGGATAGGATACATTATCTGATTTGAGCCATCATACTGATCGTAATACATCGACTCTTGCTCTGGGCTGGTATCGAAGCTTTCGTCGTAGTCGGCATCGTGTTGAGCACCCATCGGATCAAATTCTGCAAGCTGCTCAGCAGGATAAGATGGGACGTTGGCCTCGGGAGCGAACTCTTGAACTATGTTGCGGCCGTTGAGATTCATCTCAAATGTCTCGAACATCCAATCCTTCAAGAAGTCCATTGATGGCCAGCTGCCACCGCCCATACCACCACGGCCTTCGGACTTCTTGCCTCGACCACCTCTTTTGTTCTTGCAAGGGTTGAAGTGAGCTCGTCGCAGATGTGCGGCAGCGTTGTAGTTAGCACCATATGTCTTTCCTGTGCGGCATGCTTTGCAGTTTATCAAGAATCTGCCTGTGTCAGATGCATCGCGACATACCCAAACTCTTCGAATCTGTGTATGGTGTCTTTCGATATGTCGTCGCAGTTCATGATCGCCGTGAAAGCCATCGTCATGATCACTACAAAATTGACAAAAGGTCTTCTTACTTGGGGCTTGCTGACGAGTATGTCGGGCAATCTCAGCTTTGTGTACAATTGTGCCATCCTCATTCTTGAAAGCTTTGAGTTTTGGCGCAGGCTGACCGCCTGGTGCATCATCATTGTTTTTCGGCGCAATTGGCCGCGTGCCTTGAGCGTTCTGTTCTTGAACTCTCTTTGTGACACGTGATTGAGATGAAGGAGAGCGAGGAGAAGCAGTACCCTGCTTTGAGGATAGTTGCTTGACCTCGAGAGGGGAGTGTGGGCTAGTAGGGGATTGTTTAGAGACAGGAAAGAAAGGGGCACCTTGATACTCAGCAGAGCTGCATATCAAGGACGGGGGTAGTGTTGTATCTTGAGAAGGTACATCATTAACAAAAGGAAAGAGTTCTGGTGCGTAACCACTTGATGCATCTGAATCGGATGAACCAACTCGACACATGACTAGGGGTCCACACAGGAGGTCGCTAGTGTTGTTGCGCAACATTGGCTCACTAGTAATGGTAGTGGTACCTGTTGGCAGGGCACCGCTTGCTGCAGTTCGTGGGGAATGATGTGCAGGGTGTGTGATGTTGTGGACACTCGCTGTAGAGTATAGAGATAGATCTTGTGCTTCCGTACCACAGTGCGTGAGAAAGGACGAGTCTGTAGGCGAAAAGTTCTCGACAAGTATTTGCTGCTGATTAAGATATGCTTGTGGCGAATAGTCGTGCACTTCTTCAAGTCTTGGGAGCATAGAGGGTGGGTAGGAGTGGCTGGGGTAGATTGAGCTAGATGTAGAAGGAAGCCGACCACCAGAGAGTATACGTCGCCGAGGTATGTTGATCGGAGCAGATTCAGTGGAAGTCTGAAAGCCAGACGGTCGACACATGTTACGCTGCGACGTAGCTGGCCCTGATGGGGCAGAAAAGTGTCGTTCAAGAGCTGGCGCTGTAGAAGCTACTGACTGTGGGGCCCAGTCAGACCATACCAGAGAAGTATGCGATGGGACAACCTACAACAGAAGGACGCTTAGATCCAGGTTCCATACCAATCCGATCAGTTGTCGGGCCTCGTTTCTGTGGGATGTTGCTTGGAAGTTGGATTTGGTAGCCATTTGTCTGAGTGGAAACCCAGGCCAGATATTTTGCCCACTTTGCTTGTCGCTGAACTTCTGTAAGGTTGGCGTTTTGTTGCCAGAAGGCGGCTCTGGACACTTTGGTCATGTTGACAAGAGCATCGACGCTGGCCATGGTAGTATCTTTGCGGAAAGTCGTATTCAAAGATATGCTACTGGGCGACCGAGTATCCAGCCAGTTGGTTCGAGACTATAACGAGATCAGTTCAGTTGCTCATGGACAAGCAGGAGACTGAAGCCATTGTCCGAAGATTGTGTCGCTCGAACGTACCTGAAAACGATTGTCGAGGTTGGGAAAAGACGATGAAGGATAGGTAGGAGCTTGAAGGTCAAACAGTATGGTGTGAGTGAGGAGAAAGGAACTAAGACGAGCGAGAAGCTGGGATAGTTGTAGGACTTGCTTTTGCGAGACCAGATTTGGAGAAGGATCATCAGGCAAAACGAGGAAGGAGCCGAAGCCTGCTAGGCTAGCTGGAATGTGGATTGGGAATGACGAGAATTATCAAGGTTTATTGGCGGCAGTTATTACTCGGTGTGCCAGATAAAGACGTAAAAGTGCTTGGAACTACCTTCACAATTCACAGCAACCGGATAGGGCAGCAAACATAATCACGATGAGGAATCGTGCACCATGAAGACTTTGGTGAATAACCTCATGGTCGGAGATGTTTACGGCCACGTCTGCCACGGCGTCGACCTGGAGGGCCGGTCCGCAATCACGATGATTCGTGCCTCTAGGATATCCGCGATTGGGTGCTTCACTTTGCCCTTCAATGAGCCTATGACATGTCCTTTGACAGATCCACAACGACCTCATTGCTCCTCGTGGCTCGAAGATTGCCCATTGACCAGTCACGCGAACGCTCGTGATCTGCATTCCTGCCCAACCTAATCACATCTTCTCTTCACTCTGCAGCACGTTGTGTGCTAAGCTAATCGTTTGACACTTGTTCCCAACCATTAGGATCGCTTCATGACCTCCGAACTTTTCCACCTTCATGCAGAGTACCTTTTCTCCTTGCTCTGCTCGACATCGATTTGACGTTTGATCGAGACGTCCACTCGAACTCGCGAACACGCCATGATGTGGTACGATCGTGCAACACACAACGGCTCAATCACAGACGAATCGAGGATGGGTTTCCACGAGGACTTTACATTGTACAGAGTACACTAGAGGGGTCTTCGCAGACTGTCTAGAACTAGGCAAAAGTTGGGAAAAACCATGCAGCGTTTCACAACATGTGCGTCGCCGTACTTGAGTACAAAGTCCAGAAAACGAGTGCCCATAGGGAGTCGAGCCATGTTCGAGAATCGTGCCTCGGGTGAACCTACGATTTCACGAATGAATCGGAATCTATGCCTATGGCGAAATGAAGAGTCGTGGCAGTCACAATGAGCGATAGATGCCGCCCAGCAAACCACAAGCTGAACTGGTTCGCACTCTGCTTGGGCATACTTTGTAACAGTTACCACGTGCTCGTAGCAAGACGGGATAAGACAAATGCTGCGATCATTGTCTTGTACGTCTGGCTCACGAAAACACCATTAACGTATACTCATAAACTGCTGAAGCAACGCAGCCTGTACGGATCTCAAGCAGTACCACATCGGTATGAGGCACTATATATCCCACTGAGTTGAAACCACGAATCAATGCACTGTGATAACGGATCAGAATTCTCCACCCTGCTTCTTGGTTCGGCCTCGAGAAATATACCGGGGACCCTCTTCGCAACGAGCTTTCGGGCACGCGAACGCAAAGGACCCGCGGGCAAGTCTGTCCTGCCGGAATGTTGGCGAGATACTCACACAGACTCTTGCCTTTTCGAGATCTGAGTGTTCCTGCCTAACCACACAACTCGTTCCAAGCATGCCTTGCGTAACTCTTTACTTCTCATTGGTCCTTTCCTCATGCCTTGGCTTCTGTTCCTTCACCTACGCAAAGCCCTCGATGTACTTTCTGGCGAGTGTCGTGGCTCTCTGGAACTGCCTTATCGACCCAACCATACAAAAGCATCCCACTCAGCCACATTCTAGCTGGCTTAGCTAATGTTCGTGCTCTTACGACCAAGGCCATCACAAGAAGATATGCTGAGCCCAACGCCAAAGTTCAATCCTGGCGCAGCTGGACATTCTTCGCTCAACAGGTGTGTATGGACGAGTGGACAAGCCATCGTCTCCCTGTGTGTCACGTCGCAATTGAAGAAGCCTTTCAAGATGATTGTCTGCCCGTGTCCAGAGAATTTGCTGTCTCACCACTAGTCGACAAATACGCCGTCTCTCTCAGAGAGCAAACTCACGCACTCGTTTGGTTTTCATCGTTTATTGCCGGGCACCAAATACCTGGAGCGTTACAAGGTGAATGATCTTGCGGATATCTGGAGCTGCTTGTAACCATGTCCACCCTTGCATCTTCCCACTGTCGGCTGACTTACGAGTTTTACCTACAGTTCGCATCGCGCCTGTCTGAGCGTGGACGCGTTTTGATAGAGCTTGAAATTAATCTTGGATTCCGTACAATCAAGAGCAAACATGCAGAATGAGTACTGCCACCAGTCTGTCATTGGATCGTGTGGACTACTATTAGATCTACATGCACAAGCATAGTAAAATTCACTATCATGCCTCATCGCGCCATATCCTCGTAGCCAATACATGTAGCACATCCAAAACCATTACCACTCAAGCCCATCACCCGTCTGAGCATCCTGATCCAAAATCTCCATCACCGACGCCAACAGTGCCGTACTATTAACCTTAACTGTCCCTGCCCTAACCCTGGAATAGAACACCGGACAATCCCTACTATCACATCGAACCTCCTCACCCCACGCAAACCCAGAACAGGACCGACATATCCGGTCATAATCAACCTTTCTTTTCTCAGCTTTCGTGAGCTTCGACTGCAGTACCAAAAGACTATGAGCAGGTTGACTGCGGCAGCTAGCGCAAAGCGGCACCACACTGTCGATTGTTCGGTGACATACCACACAGTGCGAACTTCTCATATATGACTCCAACGTGCTCTTTTTGGCGGTTTTGCCGTTAGGTAAGAGCTCTTGCCCACTCACATTGACTTGTCTGATGCGTTGAACCTTGGGCATTTCATCGTACCATTGTCGTACGTTGGCCCCCACAAGATTGAAGATTCTTTCGAGCGGAGGAATGATGTTCTTGCCAATATAATATTCAGCATCAAGCTGTTGCTGCGGATCGTTCAGCAACACGTCAGGCGCAACGCAGCGGTCAATGAGTCTTGCTCCCGGCCCACCAGTAACGACCACATATGGAACTCGTTCACCATATTGTGGCTCGAGCCGTGGGTCCTCCAGCATTTTGCGTGCACTGATCAAAGCCCCGGGTGGTGGCAGACCACGATCTGAGTAAGTCCCAAGCCTGACTTCGCGTGCGAAACAAAAGTCTTGCACCGAGACTCGTCCTTGCATAATTTTTCTGCATTGCTCCTGGAAGAAATATTTTACCCGACTTAGATCACTCGTCCGGAATAACATCTTGAGTGCGACTTCTTCAATCTTCTGCTCAGCTGGCGTACCATCACGTCGTACAGTTTCAATGCCCTTCGCCTCGAATTCAGGCTTCGTCTGCTTGACATTTTCGTATTTAAACCCTACATACCGCTTTTTTGCGAGCAGCATGCACGGGTGGTAAACCTTCTCGAACTTGAGCTTGATTGGCCGTGGGTTCATGTCCGTAATGGTCTTTGAGATCTCATTGCCGATGGCAAACGCCTGTTCTCTTGTACGACCTTTGAGATACACGAAGAGGCTGTCTGTATCACCATAAACCACTTCTGCACCCCATCTTTCGATAGAGTGAATAAGCGCAATAGCTCTTTCTAATGTTTCTCTGCCTGTTTGAACTATACTGTCCGCAATTTCTGAGCACGGCATGCGGCCTGAGAATGAAGCCGATGTGTACCCATAGGTGACATTTGCGATGAGCTTGAGTGCTAACTGCCTGTTGTTCAAGAGTCGCTGTAACGTTTTGTCGTCTCTGTCTTCTTTCATTCCACTCTTGACCATGACTCTTGTCTCCAAGATTTCGCTGAGCATTTTCGCTAACAAAGACCGGCGTACATGTTGCTTTGCATACATAATACCATTGGGTGCAAGGTTGATGTCGTCTTTCAGAAGCTCAAGCAAGCGTTCCTGACGCTGGTAGTTTGTGAAACCCATCTTGTTCGTACCGCGCCAATTGGTAACCCGGCCCAGGAAGGTCGAATAACAATAATTGTAGGCAATCATAACACTGGGGTATAGACTCTGAAAGTCAAACACAAGCATCGGACTGGTATAAAAGTTGCTTTGCGGTTCCATAACGAGTGGGAGGCATTCAAGAGCATTCTGTCCACCAACTTGTCGTCGACTTGGTGACACAAGGATGAAATTCTCAGGTTTGGCGATTCGAAACATGATGTTTTCGACTTTGAACTGCGAGCCACGCGAGATGACGCTAAACCAGTCCACACCTATTAATCGAGCTTGCTCACTTGTTCTAGGCACAAGTTCATTAGCTTCTAAGATTTGCAGATCAATTTGGACTCGGTTTGAGAAGTAGCCGATGACCTTGGCTAGATCTTTAGGATTGCGACTTTTGTACCACTTGGTCAAGTCTGCGAAGGTGTAGTGTGGTATACGTTTGTGGAGGAGATGAAATGCTACATTTTCCATAGTGTATTGGAGGAGGTTGAGCTCGCCGCGCATTGCTCGCCAGATGTTGATAGTATGCCGTCCAGTGACTCGAATTGTCGAGGTGTGGTTGAAGCCCCATCTATCCTCGTCCTTCCCAAAGCGGCCGTGTGATTGTGACTTCATCTTTGATATATCGTCGCAGAAGTTCAAATCGTATTTCAGTCGTGCCCGTTCGATGAGATAGCCCCATGAGTTATTGTGAACTTCATAGCCCGTTAGGATATCCGGATCCCATTGTCTAACAATATCGACCATTCGAGTCAAAAGTTCCAGTTCAGATTGTTCTTCTTCAACGTCAATAGGCACAATCTGTGAAATTCGTCTGGACATTGGATTCTCTTCAGCAAGTGCAAGAATGCCTGCATGAGTACCAGCCTCGTCTGTATTGACGACTACATCTTCGTCGTCGGATTGAAAACACCAGAAGATGCATGTGATTGGGTCATGTTCAGGATTGGGAGCCAATGTTCCTCTTGTGTTTACGTGTACTTCGAGACTCATAACACTCATATACTGCGTCTCGTGCTGGACGCTGGTACTTTCCTGCCTCAGGGAGTACTTAAAGCCACCATTAATCTGTGTCGGTCCTTGGATTTGAGACAAATCCTTTCGCGCACGCGAGGTCGTCTGAACGTTGTAATTTGGTCCTTTGTTTACATGGCGAGCAAAATGTTTTGCCACCTTCGCACGACTCGGTGGTAATGCTGCAACGGACCAATGTCTGTATGAGCATCGTTGTCGTCTTTGACGATCGGCAAGATCTTCCCCTCCCTCATCAAATGTGACGGACATTTGCCTCTCAGTCGTGTCCGAAGACAAACCGAGTGGATCGAAAGCTGGCAAATATGGTACGGTAATGCTTCCAAACCTGAATTCTTTGCCAGCATACTCCCGATTGATTGCGGGTACATCCTTTTCTAGGCTGTAGTATGCTCCCTGGTAGATAATATCTGGCAGTCCATTATCTCTCATCGAGTTTATGACGTGGCTGGAGGTAGGTGGCGGTGTTGCTAGCACTTGAAGTATATTGGACTTTTTCGGTCGTGGTAATCCACATATCAATCCTGGTGATTTTGCAGGAGACTCCGGGTTCTTCTTGCTTCCCAGTGAGCTCGCAAGAGGCTTGACTGGAGTAACAGATGAGTTTATCGGAGCTTTAGAGGCTGTCTTTTCAGGTTGTGCTATGGACTTCTTCTCAGGCGAGTTACTCTGCTGGCTCAATCGTTTAATCGTATTGAGGTCGTTCGGGTCCTTCACGACCGCAAAGCGTAATGTGGACTGCTGAGAGGTCTTCTTAGGACTTTTAGAAGCAGCTTCGAACTGTTGCAGCATGTCGGCGTCTTGTTGTTCAATAGGAACAAGGACCTGCCCGAGAGGAGCTGCCGATTCATCAGCACGACCATCATCGTGTAGTCCAAATCCATATTGTGGCAATTTTGTGTCCACGTCTACTACAACATCGTCAATGAAACGAGGTTTCTTCGGTTGTGGAGTCTCCCCGTCCTTTGAGCTGGATCCCCTTCGCTTCAAACTTGATTTCTTCGGCTTTCTGGTTAGGAGAAAATCCGAAGGTATTTTGAAGCTATCGTCTTCGAGCTTAGAAAGGTCATTGATTTGCCTAATCCCGAATGATGCGTATTCATTTGAGCTTATCGGCTCCATGACATTCGAGACAGAGCTAGAACTGTCAGTACCACTTTGAACAGCTTTCGACAATGGTGTCTCCAAGAACGAGTTGCTATTGCCTGCTTCGTCTGCCAGTCCAGCACCGAGAATGAGAGCTCCATCTACAACAGCCTGGGTGCTTCGGGCTGGAGTTTCGTGGTCTGTTTCGGTATTGAGCAATTTTTCGATATTATGACTGTACAAGTCTTCCACACTCTGCAACGCAGTCTGTACCTCATTTTCTAGTGGTACAGGTTTGACAAAATTATCGAAGTTAAGGACTCCAGCTTCTGCGCTCTCATGTTCTTCTTGTGCTAGCTGTCCAAGCTTATTGCGGAACTCTTCTTCGTGAACCCAGCCGCCAGGATCAATGTTGCGTGGATCAGCCGACATGGAAATCAATACATCCGCTGGGAAGGGTGTGCTATGCAGGTCGACCAATCCCATACGCATTTTACGTCGTTTTGTCTCATCTTTCCACAAACTTCGCATGCTCTGAACAAGCTTTTTGTTTGCAGAGACGGGTTGCAGCCGCTCGACAAAGTCGTGATGGATGTCTCGTGCCTCGATGTTCCAGCGATTCACGATGTTCTCAGCACGAACATCGACTTCGAGTGCACAATAACTCTGTTTTGGTATGATAGCAGGATCGGAGACCATATATGAGGGAATAGACTGGTCATGCCATGGATGCAGATGGCTGATCTCAAGCCAGTCGGGCACAGGACTTCGAAATTTGACCTTGTCGCAATCGAGGTAGGCACAGCCGTACAGGTTATAATCACACATCCACTGGGCTATGTATTGCATGTGGCTCTCATAAGGCTGGAGGACTCTCTTCATAATAGCACCTTCGCGAAAAAGGTCGGCAAGTCTCGTCATGTGGGAAGGGTTCAGGAGATAGATCTTCAAGTAGGACTTGTAGCCGACGTGATAGCCATAGAAGGGGACACCCTTGACCAAGCTGATATGTGCCACATACCTACTCTTCTCATCGTAGGGATTTTGACGAAAGCTGACAGCAAGTGCATGATCGATCGACGTCCGCAAGGTCTGAATAGCGACATCAACAGGCTCTTTCTGTAGACTTCCGCTATATTCAATATATGTGTATTGAAATACGCCATGAATATGCATCAGAACCTTTTGGCCTGTAGGAGTTGCGCCAAAGACGCGTATAATCGGAACCTTAGGGACATTCTTGCCCTTGCCCTTGAAACCAGCTCTTATATCAGGAACAGGAGGGTCGAAATCAGCGATTGGTGTAGCCTGGTAGTGGTCAACATTGTTTATCCGACATCGAAAAAGGTCTTCCATTGTGAAGGATGCAGGTGAAGGGGTTCAAGACTGCTCATGTTGTTGTGACGAAGCAACTCATTTCAAGCAGTCGCTCTTGTTTACCTCACTGCCTAAGACGCGAAGTGAGATCGATTCACATCCACCAGCAAATGTTCGATGTGTCAGATACGAGACAAGTCAACGCCTGTCGAACAGTACGTTTGTCAGTGCATCGTAGTGTACTCCAACCTAGCACTTGAGCTAGAAGGTTGATATGAGCCGGGTGGCTGGGAATTCCATCTCGACACGTGCAAGTGCTCGAACGCGTAGAGTGCTACTAACCATTTCGAGAATAGTGTCATATAAGTGCCGATAGTAAGCCGGAAATGAATGTATGTAAGGGCTACTTACCCTATCTAGAAGCACGCATCCTCATTTGAGCAAGCTGTTACTCGAGTAAGAGCGATAACCCATCTACCGAATAAGAAACCACAACTTGTACTTGTGCGTTGAATCCTCGCTGACTTTCGCTCAAATGCACTCACTTTCTCGAAGAAAAAGCCCAGCTGTAGTCTTATGCAAAATACCATAGTGCTTGACCAGGCATAATGGGCACGACACAGCTTCGTTGTGATCATACCGAGTGTTCGGAACGAACCTTACCTATCCCTTGATTGATATAATGGACAGCAATCTTACCAGCGCATTGTTCAGCGTCTATGAAGGATCAACCAGAACGAGCATACACTCGGTATTGTGGCGGACGCCAACCGTCCAGGGACTGTAATGCCACAACCATTGATCGAAGGTTTCATTAACTTACTCGATTGGCTAATATACTCAGGCGTGTACAGTAACTTCCACCTGCATTCCCTTCTGTCGTCTCAAACATACATCGATATCCTTCTTAAGATACTACTGGTTTTACTTACTCTTATTCTCCAGCTTGTCAGTTGTAAAGGAACAGTATCACCGGACGACCTCGCCATCTATTCAGTTCAGAGAGCCTGTGTTCGAGATAGGCTGTACTGGCTACCTGACAACGTTGGCTGTGGTGGCTCGACGTGGTATAACGACTGCTTTTGCAGAGACGATACAAGTGCTACCGGTCTGTCGTACTTGTCCAGTGTTATACCCCGGGCTTTTACGAGCAATATGATCGATCTGAAGAGCGCCATATTTGTCTGCACCACGTACTGCAATGGAGCTATGTGAAACGTCGCGCCTGCGACAACTGAGGCTGAAGCTGGGACAGTAACCGCAACCCAGAGTTTGTGTTCCATTGCATCCAATATATGTATGCTAACAGTTTGTTGAGATATTGTCTACACGTCCGCATCGATTGACCGGACGTCTACAAATTATCATACACCCACTTCATACCAAACAGCAACTCCGATCGGTACCAGTGGTGACGACAATGCAGCACGCTATACTGGTCCGACGTTTTCGCAATCAAGTTACTATGGTTCAGCCGGGTCTCGACTTCAGAGTACTACATCTTCGAGCTGCATGTTCTTGTTTGTTGTTTGCTCTTTCGCAACTCCCTTCCTTGGGATCTTCTTGTGATAGCTGGTGCAAAGCCGGGCATCTTCTTGTATAGCATGGGAACAACGCAACATGCACGCACACACTCAAGCCCTAGAAGGCTTGTAGGAAAGAAGCACACACCCTGAGACTCTGCTGCAAGCATGCCTACAGCATATTCAGATCTAAGGTCTGAAACCTGAAACAGGAAAGGGCACCTCGTACGTGTCGTGTGTTATCATGAACGACGTTCTTAATCATTACAAGCTATAAATTGAAGACTTTCTGAATATGCAGGGGCATTCCGCAAGCGACAGTATCTTTGGTGGCGATTATCTCGATCTCGTGTTCGCAGCGAGCTTTATTCGTTTGGCTTGTCAACCACAAGTCTTGGCACCAATCGTTATTGGCATCCCTGAAACTTATCTTTACCTCAGCTACCTTTCGGGAAATACGCTCGCTTAGGTACACCTTATCGTTTAATAAGGAAGGACTGCTTCTGAAAAGAGCACAGTGATTTCCTACGTGTTCGTTACCTGTCAATCTGACATGGTGCCAGGCTCCGCGAGCACTTCAGCACAGATAGTCCACATCATGGCCATCTGGTATCAAGGTCAGTGTCAGTCAGTTGCAAGGCTGGTGATTGTCCAGGGTGAACATCTTGTCGATTTTTGCAATCGTCCTGGGTAGGCTTCCTCTAGGTCTGTCGTATAGTCAACATCATGCAGTAGCAGGCTGCCGATTGCGATCCCCTTCGAACACTCTCCAATATAACCCGGCTAGCCCTATCAATACGAGCGCCGTGGCACATGATACAGCACACTCCAAATTCGGGATACATGCTCGGCAAACGACAGTGGCAGCTAGCAGCACAATCACTGAGGCCCCTGCGGTAATTGTATGGAAGCAGTCAACACAATACTCAGGCTTTCCAGATTATCTCTGCGGCTTCATATCAGGAGATCCGAATCTTACCTTTACCTGTGCTGTGGTTGGCAACGAGATCTGCTGTGCCTCAAGCGGGCAATGTCCAGTCAAGACCACTACGTCATGCCAAAATGTGGACATTAGCGATTATAATGACCCGAACTGGGGCTCCTCGGCTTTTGTGATATCCAGTATGCTTTACTGTGATCTCTACCAAGGCATACAATGCGGAACGAATGTCCTCGGCATGATAGCGTCGGAAACGATCTGTCAGGATACCTCTTACACTGTGTTTCAATCGGTATGGCCTCCTGCACAGTTTCTTGATTATTTTGCAGGCCATACACTGGGGTGGGACTACCAATGGTCCCTCACGGCTATAAAAGCTCCATCAACTGCTGCGGTGAGCTCAACTGCGACGTCGACTGCAGTATCTACGGACCCCGTTGGGTATCTTAGCAAGTTCAGTACCGACAACCCACCATCATGTGTCGCAAATATGACGAGCTTGTGTCCAAATGTTTACAAATCGATTCAAGTTTGTGCCAACACCACGACGCATGAAACCTCATGCTACTGCGAGGCCTTGATAGAGAACAGATGCACCGGATTATGTATCGCAGGTTCCCAGGCCAACCAGTATTTAAACTATATTCTGCCCGAGTGCGAGGGAGTGTTGTCAAATTCATCACCGGCAAATACCACTGCCAATACATCCCTGAATTTCACCTCGAGCTGGCCAGACTATACGAATCTGACCGACACAGCATATCTTAGGCTGTTCCCTTGGAGGTGGGATCTTCAAAGCAACAGTTTGGAGCTAGCCAATGGTACAGCCACCAGACCGAGTATTGAAGCATCTGAAAAGCTGGGACAATGTCCTAAAGTCCAGTCTGCACTGGTCTCTTTCGCTATTGTGAACGCGGTAGTCTTCCTGGCGTCAACCATTACAGCAAACCGTCACGTCGTTTATTTTGTTACATGCCACATTTTCGGTGGTAAAGAAGGCGGTAAATGGTGGCCTGCCTCCGCTCTTCTTTCAGTGGCGATCAACCTTGCTGGGAACGTCATCAACGCCCTTCTCATCATCAGAACTCCAGGCTATCGTCATGTTCCTCTGTTGCCTCTGGTACTCCTGTGATGTACTCGGCCCCGGCTGGCATGGCTAGTTATCCTTCTCGTCTATATTACAAAGCGCCTCGGCAAGGACATGACGACCTATCTCGACTCTGCAGTCGCGGCACTGATGGCAGAGATTATCTTGCAGGCCTTCGGTGCAGTTTATATGGGTTTCAGCATTAACCATGCTAGAGTCAACGAGTTTTATCTGCTTGGTCATCTGAAATACACCCCACACGGCAGTGACGCGCTCATCATGTATGCTGGTGCACTTCTGTGGACAGTATCGGTCGATATTGCCTTCCTTCGCGCGGTATACACGTTCACCCTAGTTGGCGGTATAGTCGAAGAAGCTATTGTGAGCATACCATATTATATCAAAATGGCAGCATTGTACTTTGCCAGAGGTTTCTATTGGGTTGGAGCAAGGACATATTCTCTCTTTGACGGCAAGTATGTTTCTAGCTGGCCTGAGTCACTGCAGAAACCGGAAGATCCACCAGACGATCCGCCGCCGTACGTTTCGGAGAAAGAGCGAGTTGCACAATACATCGAGGATATGGGTCTAAAGCCGAGACTCCTCAATGAGCTGAAAACTCTCGTAATTGCCTTGCTGATACCTTGGATCGCGCAGTGGGTTTTCTGGATCGGATTTGTGAGGATGGCGCAGGACCTCTATTGCCCACCCAAAATATGGTCGTTGACAGCAGTGTGGTCATTTTGTTCCGTGGTCACAGTGTGGTGTGGTGCATCGTTTTAATATTGGTTGACAAGTTGTCGGTAGGAGTGACACGCTTCTCTAGTCCAATAAGCCTAGTAGAGTCACCTATCAACTCGTTTAAGTGCTTGTTGCGGGTGTCAAGATCAATCAAATGGGGTCCAGGCTCGAACAGCAATATCAAGGGTACCGGCATCTTCGCTTACAATACTAGTAATTATAGCTCACCAAATTAATTAGATCCATCGCCATCCCACTTCTATGACTCTCTGTTACGACAAATTTATTTTCACGCCTCGCAAGATGTCTTCGTGACCATTTCTGAATTCAGCATGCGAATCCAGACAAAGCAACCTCATACGAAACCCACAAACACATGACTCAAAATGTGGCATACTCACCAAGTCAAATTTACCAACGCCTCAATTCCACCAGTCAAGAAATCCGCCTCCTCAAAGTCTCCAGTGCCCTAAATGAAGGTCGCATCCAATGTCAATTACAAACTACTCGTCTATCAAGCGCTCAATACGTAGTGCTGTCATACCAATGGGGCACTTCTGACGTCTCGCACGAGATACTACTCGATGGACACGTCTTTCGCGTCAGACCTAATTTATGGGCGTTTCTGGACGTGATACGCGAACAGCAGGCGATGATGCTCTGGATTGATGCGCTGTGTATCAATCAGAATGATGTCTTGGAGCGGAACGCGCAAGTGCGAATTATGGGGGATATTTTCAGGTCTGCGAGTATGGTTGTCAATTGGTTGGGTGCAGGAAGTCAGAATTCGAGAATCACGCTGGCTTTTAGGGTGATGAACCTGGTCTGGAGTTCGTCGAGTGTCGATAACGCTGATCAGTTGGACAGTGTTCCATCCATTGAAGGCGTTGACGAAGACGAGATTTGGCAGAGTGTGGTCGAGTTGTGCAGTCTTCCTTATTGGAATCGAGTCTGGGTCGCACAGGAGATTCTGCTATCCTCGAACAACTATCTGCTGCATGGGTCTACGAGCTTGCCTTGGCACATGTTCGCAAATTTCATCAGTCTGATTGACGTGCGCTTTCCATGCCCGTCACAATACAATCGTCTGATACACAACTCGACAGCAAAAAGTTATGCTTTGTCCAAGCCATACACAAGTGTTCCTAGGGAGCTTACCTGGCGTGTCGGTAGTGCTTTGAAACACGACTACGGTAAGTGGTGGAACAACAACGAGTACAATCTATTCAGAATTCTGACAATGTTCGGCGATCGGGAATGTGCTGATCCACTGGATCACGTCTATGCCTTGCTGTCTTTGACGGATGAAGGGCCAAGGTTTCCCATCCGGTATGGTGTCAGCGTGCTTGATCTCTTCCTGACCGTGTTCCGGTTTTGCGGACATGCTGTACACGAGGGTCAGTCCGAACACACTCAAGGAGAAATTTACGTACCAGCTTCGCAACGTGCATTCTTCCGTAACGCAAGATATTTGGCTGAAATTATGGACCTTGTATCATCCTACCAAAGGACGCAGCCGTACTTTCAAGGCATAGCGATGTCTGCAAGAGGTCCGAGTCCTCGGCCAGAGCCGTGTTTTCCGCGCGAGCACGATACGTTGATACTGTATTGTAGCAGTATCGACCCTGACAATGAACCGCCAGTTCTGAGATCAAACACACTCAGACGCAATCTGCAGGGTATAGTATACGACAGCATTCTGCACTTGGACGACTCGTCGACTTGGTTGCTAGTACGGAACACTGGAAACAGTTACGTGTCGAGCTTGGTCGCCCTAATCACTATTAAGGATAGTCCACAAGGACGACGTGGTTTCAAAGTATTAGAGCCTGGTCCGTTAAGTGGTGCAACTATATCAGCGGCCAACAAGTCATCCGGATCGAATGCGTGGAAATTTGTAGTGCCTCCAGACAAGCACCTAGACCTTCTGAAAGCTACTGTGCTTGGTGGCCAGCCTCGATGAAGGGGAGGTGTTCAGGTATATTGCTGCGCAAAAAGACTTGTTTCTCAGGGGGCTTTAGGTAGCTTCAAATCCACAATCCATGGCTTTTGGACAGGCTCATATTGGAGATTCATGATGCTGGCATTCACAAACGCTGTCTCCGCTCCGTGCCGGATATTGGTAGCATCAATATAGCCAACGAACATCCTTTGCTGCTCACTGAGTAGATCATAGTTCTGCATCCTAGTATTAGATTCAGCTGCAAGAACAGAATTATTGGCTGTTGACCACATCATCCTCTTGGAGCCGGATCCTTCGTGTATATGGCCGAAGCAGTGTAGAAGTGGCTTGCATCGTTGCACGGCTCTCATTAGATGCTCACAACCAACGTCCTGCCCAGTGGCCGTTTTGTCCAATACACCTTTCGGTGGACCATGCGTGATCATAAGATTTACTGCTTTGCCAGCATACACGTCTGATGGACCAGGATCAGATTCAGAATCGCACGATGGTACAGGATTCGACGGGGTTGCACTCTCGGAGTTATTGAAACGGTCGAGGTCTCTAGGATAAGGGAACGCCCAGTCATAGAACTCCGGTGTATATGCGCTCGCGTAAACGGTCATCTGAGCACCATTTGCAAGGGTGAATGACCGGGTGCCTTCAACCAGGTACACTATACCTGCCTTAATAGCTTCATCGTTGGTATATAGACTAATCGCTTCGGTAAGCTCCTCTTCCGTATGATCATGATCCCACTCGTATAATCGAGGATGTTCGGAGCAGTATGCTCGATCTAATGTAAGATCGTGATTGCCTGGAATCACGATCTTCAGAGGCGCTGGCAGTGACTTCAACAATGCCACAGCTCGCTTGTGTTCTGATAACTTGCCAGTCATGGTAAGATCTCCTGCATGGATCGCAACATCAGCCCTGTGAAATGGTTGTGAGAATGGGCAACTTGGTTGTCCAATCGGATCTGGCAATGCTGAATGCGTGTCAGATATAATGAGTAGACGTGTGCTTACACCTGATTGAGAGAACATCTTTTATATACAGAACGCAGTGGAAAGAAGTGCAAATCGGACAAGGTGGAGTGAAACGCAAATGTGTGTCTCCGTATAGCAAGTCCAGGCTTATAACCAAGGTCGTGATAGTGGGTGGAGCATCAAAAGTACCTCCTGGATGTACTTGAATGATTAAGGATGTCCTTTCACATATCGGCTCGTGAAAGCTTTACATGTGAACAACACACAAGTCAACTCCCGAAGCTGGTAAATGTATGCACCTTCACTTACATCAGCCCCGGTATAGACGCGTCTGGTTGTAGACATACACGTGCACGTGTCAAGGCGTGTAAGGTGTATTGGTGTGCTGCGCGTCACATTCCTAGCTCGTCGGCTAAGTTTCTTGAGACGGGAGCTCAATCTGCCTTCGTCCGGCGCCTGGGGAAGCTTCAATTTCCTGGAGGCAGGTCTGGGCGAAGACATCCTTAGCTCCATCGGCTTCACTTCGCCCGAGAACGATTTCACTTGAGCTTGTCTCGAAAAGTGAGGGATTCGCGGTGACAGTGGAAGTTTCACAACCAAATTCGCATCCCTGAAGCTCTATAGGAAATTTCTTTCATCCATTTTATCTTCTCTAGATCTCCTGCATTCTCCTTCTTGAGCGGTTACGCGATCTGTTTTATCAATATCACACATTTCACTATGTTGTCAAGTTTTAGACCAGCTACTCGACTGCTGGCTCGTCAAGGCCAGGCTCAATCCGTGGTTCGAGCTGCATATGCGTCCACTTGGAGCAATGTGCCGCAAGGTCCTCCTGATGCCATTCTAGGTATCACAGAGGCATACAAAGCGGATAGCTTTTCGGAGAAGATCAACCTAGGCGTAGGCGCATATCGTACGTTGTGGCAACCGCAGAAGATCTGTGACGTTCATTGACATCGGTATAGGTGATGACAAGGGTAAACCATACGTCCTCCCATCCGTTCGTACTGCCGAAGAGAAGGTCATCTCATCTCAGATGGACAAGGAATATGCTGGCATCACTGGTGTTCCAGCTTTCACAAAGGCAGCAGCTGTCCTGGCTTATGGTGCAGACTCGGCAGTCATCAAAGAGGATCGTGTCGCTATCACACAGTCGATATCCGGTACAGGTGCACTCAGAATAGGAGGTGCTTTCTTGGAACGATTCTATCCACATGGCAAATCCATCTACATCCCAACTCCTAGCTGGGCAAACCACAAGGCAGTGTTTAGCGATTCTGGTCTCGAGGTGAAGCAATATAAGTACTACAACAAGGACACTATTGGTCTTGACTTCGATGGTATGGTTGCCGACCTCAAGGCCGCCCCAAACAAGTCGATTATTTTGCTCCACGCCTGCGCACATAACCCGACCGGTATCGATCCTACCCCCGAGCAATGGCAGCAGATCAGCCAGGTTGTGAAGGAGAAAGAGCACTATCCCTTCTTCGACATGGCATACCAAGGCTTCGCAAGTGGTGACACCGACAGAGACGCCTATCCTGTCCGACTATTCATCGAGCAAGGTCATGGACTTATCTTGAGTCAGAGTTTCGCAAAGAACATGGGTCTGTACGGTGAAAGAGTCGGAGCTTTCTCGATCGCTTGCGAGTCTACCGAAGAGAAGAAGCGTCTCGACTCTCAGATCAAGATTCTTGTCCGACCTCTCTACTCCAATCCTCCTGTCCACGGTGCACGTATTGCCTCCACCATCCTCAACGATCCAGCCCTCAACAAGCAATGGTTGGGCGAGGTCAAGGGTATGGCCGACCGTATCATTGAGATGAGAGCTCTACTGAAGAAGAACCTGGAGGAGCTTGGGAGCAAGCAGAACTGGGACCACATCACGAATCAGGTAATATTTTTCATTCATTTTTGTGTCCAGAGACTGACTCATGCATTCGCAGATTGGTATGTTCGCATACACGGGTCTCAAGGCCGAGCAGATGGATAAACTTGCCAAAGAACATTCTGTCTATGCTACTAAGGACGGTCGAATTTCGGTTGCTGGTATCACGTCAGGAAACGTCAAGCGTCTTGCTGAGTCCATCTTCAAGATAACTGGCTAGATCTGGGGCTTGTCCTGGAGATCGAAGCTACCAAGGCGAGCAGTTTGCAGCAAGTCCACCCTCTGTCACATCACCTCCGTTTGGCTTCGAGCCAATTCTGCTCCTCATTCGACAAGGTTCTTATGAAACAACATTTGGAGCAGGGATATTCGCCAAAAGTGCAAGAGCCCGTTTGTCGACCCCTCCAATCGGCTCGAAGAGGAAACTTCCATAGGCACATAGATAGGTGGTAGGCTCGACAAAGTCTTGTTGAAAAATCACCTTTCGATTCACGTGCTCTTAAAACACGTCTTGACCTCTAAGATTCATCGTCCAAGTCGAAATCAAACCTGTTTATGGTTACACCGGAGAACCGCTTGAACAGTGCATGTCTACATCGGATAAGCAAAACTGAAGGTAGTAGCTCTATGTCGGTCCCCACATGATGGCGGCTAAGCACTGCTCAGACAGCTTGCCTGCTGGGGGTCGAAATAGGAATTAGCCGCTGAAACATTTACTTCAAGTTGTTCAGCTGAACGGAAGAGCTGTGGGCGTCTGAGGCCGTGAAAAGAAGGTGCGTTCAGTGAACCTGGCTAATGCATCTTGACGTAGTGTCGCCGAAGGTTTGTTCCTAGCGTCCTTGATCCATGCCTCCGGGCCCTGCATTTCTCGAAGAGGATTTTAAATCGGAGCTTGCAGCATGCACCAGAGCAACTTTGTCCATGTATCCACGACGCAACACTCTTCAATCGAAGAAGGTCGGTCTCTTGTTCTCCCTTTTCCCACAGCTTCATAGCCGCCACTGCTTTGCTGCCTCTGTTCACCGTTGCACCTGCTACGAGGCTGACCGCATTGGACCCTGTCTGCTCGCGGCGATCGATCGACAAAAATGACGCCATACTCCAAACCTATTCCGAGGTGCGTGGTGAGACATTACATGAGTACCGAAGAGTACAATCAATTCAAGGCAACAATTTGGTAAGATGAGGAAGCATTGGTGACACGCAAAGCTTTGCAGTTCTGGAGTAAGGTCTCCCAGAACAGCAAAGCTGCACGAAAGGGTTGTTTGGAGCTCGCAGATTTGCACGAAGCTTCTGTTGTGCTTACTGCAACAAGCGACTGCCACGCGCGAACCCACTTGATGATGTCCAATGGGTCGTCACTGACGTCGAACTGGATCAAAATGCAGCACAATGGATCGCCCGACAACCCACTGGTTTCCTCTCTGACCACGACCGCGTGCAAAGTCTCTATTATCCGAGTAGCTCAACTCGCTTACCTACTCGTATAATTGTTTTTTAGTGATACATTTGAGGGATCTTCGTTTCAGCGGGCGTCTTGTCCTAGCACTAGATTGAATTCCAGAAAAAGCTCCATGCCATTAAAGTTGCACCTTTGATCCGGGTGCTAGTCGGCACACTCCTCTCATGATCCTGGGACGATGTCCGAGCAGAATGTGCCAAGCAAACGTCGAACCATTTAACGTGTTGCAAACAGACGAATTACCAAATCCTTCCGCCTTGACCGAGTCAGCTCTCCCATCGTTGTTGTGGGGATTTTCGTGCCTGCAATACCGTATTACGACTACATCCAGTACGTGCCTGCCTACTGCCTCGTCTCAATTCTCACTTAGTAAAGTGCTTTTCCCGGTTGAGGAAACCCGTCAAATCCGTAGTGAGATAAGAAGGTACACCAAAGCGCTTCGAGTGAAAGTGAATGTCTGATTCTTCTGTCGTTCTCCCAACGATAGTGGGCCACTTTGAAAGCTTATTACAGTCGTGAGGGCACTTTGTCAAATTCACACTAACTTCGTCATATCTGCTGTTCTTTTTGTAGCCCGCACTTCAACCACTTCGAGTATTGATCGTCTGTTTTCAATCAGTCACCACTAGTTTGGTCCTGCTCCGCTGTGCATAGTCACATCCAACACACAATCGGCAGCCTTGACGCTCACCAAACGCCGATCGTTACGGTAACTTCGTCTCCTGTATCCTTGAGTAACGCTTTCTCAAGCATCGCTGAAGCATCCTCCACAAAACCCTTGATTGTCAAATTGTTGCCGTTCTAATCCCTGCTCCCAAAGGCTCAGAAGTTCAGGTCACGAGAAAGAAGACGTAAGTGCTACCGTTTTGATTGTCTTTCACATGGCGGTACACTCTGTTGGTCCATGGAAATTGTGTCAGCGACAGTGTCAAGTCAGGAAGCCCCTCCTCCTCCTCAGACACAAAGCAGCTCCACCCGATCTACTATTTTCCCACGGCTCGGCATCCATTGAAATGTCTACTAAAGTGCTCGTCACGCATGCTCAGAGCCGCAGTCGATCAGTCCAAGGTTGAAAGCGGGTACTGCCACTGTGGATTTGAGATTGGGACCCTGGATTACACCTCTCTTGCGTACCCTTCACACTTTCCGTCACTTTACTGGGGATTGCAGACACTAGACTTAGGATTTCTTGGCAGACATCAACAGCTTACTCGTGCTTTATGTGGGATGGCGCTGCTGACTGGGATTCGGATCTTTCGAAGTATTGAGCTCTGACTGCTATCAACATCGAGTTCAAATTGAAAAGCACCCTCGTGGACTCTTCTATGGAAAAGTGGGTGTACATGAGACGTCCGGAATCGGTACTTGGATACTCAGCGACGTAAACCCGCCGCAAACGCACAGCACTACTCAGACTATCACTTGGGTTGATCAGGTGTGCGGAATAGCCTGAACCACTACACTGCCCTCTTTCTTCACAGCTTGCTGATTGGTCAATTCTTAGGCTCTTCCTCTTCTCGAATCATCTATTCTATAGCTTCTGCAGCTTACCTTGTAAGACATAAGCCAACATGGCCGAAGTACGTTTCCTGCCACTCGAACCTCATCCAGGCCTATAGACCAGACCAGAAAATGACTATGGCCGTCATCAGAAACACCATTCCGCTGCACAGCTACTGATCTCCTGGCTGTAATAGGAAGCAGAATTCGACTTCGGTGACAATGTGGACACAAGTACATTCGAACAGATCTTAGACATGGATGAAGGTGAAGAAGAGGGCGGCCACGAATTTTCCAAGTCAATCGTCTTCGGTTTTCTCGACCAGGCTGAAACGACTTTTGTGAAGATGGATGCAGCGAAGTGAGTTTTACAGCGTAGTCAGCAGACAACTTCAACTAAGCCCTGTTACAGGAAAAAGGGCGATCTTCCAGAACTCTCCAGCCTTGGCCATTTTTTGAAAGGCTCATCGGCCACCTTGGGTTTTACGAAAGTGAAAGAGGAGTGCGAAAAGATACAGCACTATGGCCAGAATAAAGACGAGTCTGGCGTTCACGACGAAGACGACGATGAAAAATGTTTGAAGCTGATTGGACAGTCCATCGAGAAAGCTCAGGTCGCCTACCGCACGATCAAGAAGTTGATGGAAGACTACTACGCTAAACTGGAAGAAGGTGGTTGATCGTTGACCATAGCAGGTTGCATGCTAGCTAAACAGCGGTCTCCTCTACAACACACACTAACACGCAGGCTAGCAGTCAGAGATCACTTGCCCGATCATATATGGCTTCGGTCGATAGCTACCTAGCATGTCTTGACAGCACTACAGTCCACAAAGCAGGCAAGCACGTCAAGGTTTCATTCACTTTCAAACACCTTGTTCTTCATGAGGCCAACCCGTTCTCTTGTTACTTGCCATCCCTGAGATGAACTTTCACCATACATGCTGTGCTGAGAGCTTGTTCAGTACTGTAGCTGGAGTCATCCCATGTGGTGCTGGAGTTGCGCTATGTTCACGTCTGTACCAGGCCTTCTCTGACATCACATAACACGGCACCTTCACTCTTGCCCGATGAAAATACCACAGGATACCTCACGTCACCTCATCTTTAGCACTCTGCGTTCCTATACCAATTGGCCCTGCGATTCAAGGTCCCGCGACCACGCGGTCGTACACGCTGCGTCAATCCTCCATACGATCGATCATTGCAACGCCTCTCCCATACACCCAATCCATGCTTTCGTTCGCATCTCCCAAATCCTTCTTGTTGACCCTCCCTTCCCCTTGTCTTGTTCTCATCGTTTCCAAGACACCTAGAACTGAACTGCACCGCGATACTGAACATAACCACAGACCGCGCTTGACAAGTAAGCAAGCCGCTAGGGACTTATCCTTTCCAAGCCTGGTCACTATACCCTGTATGAAACAATAACTGCTGACTCTTACCAGACGCTACGTGTATCTACATCGGTCCGGGTACTCCTAGTTGCAGCGAACATCGTCCGGTTCTATTGGCTTCAGACTGTAACGAGAACATCCGACGGATACAGACCGTCCTACGTCCTCCTGCTCGATGGGGCTTGGAGGGGAGCAAAGCTGCTTGGTTTCTCGCCTCGTCTCCTCTCATCTTATTGCACCAGGACCTGGAAGATAGAAACAGACGCGAGACAGGAGCATAAGCGCTGTGATTTCGCAACAGGTCGGCAACGACTACGCGTCTTGCGTGCGCACGATCTCGACCAGGCTTGCGTGGATACGGCCAAGCGCTCATCGTGTTGCCCATAAGCGAAGATCTTCATTCAAGTGAAAGATGAACCTATGTCACGCGGACAGCATCCTACAAGATGATCAATTCCGTCCTCGGTGAGCAGACAATTACAGCGTTTCTCATCTCTCTTCTCTCTACACTAGTCATTACGTACTTATCTCCCGAAGACTTCTTCCTTTCCGCCTCCTCGGGCGTTTCTACCGCATCATCTTCGCCTTACACACATCACAATACCATTTCGACCGTGCCGGCGGCAGGCTCCTCAACCCCGTACACTCAAGATGGAACCACTCTCCAAGACAATCGTCATTATCACAAGCGACCATTTCGCCATAACTGATGCGGCCGCAATAGCAGTATCGCTGCTCATTTGGATCTTCCTCGTCCTCGCTCATGAGCTGATCAAATGGTACGGGTGTGTATTGGCGCAGAGGCGGGCTGCTACTAGGTGGAGGCTCCCGAGGTTGATGGACTACTTCTGGTCCGGGTGAGCCGAGGGCAGGCTCTGTCTCTTTCTTGAGGGTGGGAGCTGGGGAATAGGGTTTAGAGGAGTTGGTGCCTGGAGGTTTGACGTCGAGTTGGAGCGAGCTTGCATGTCGTGGACCATTGCGTCGAGAGGTGGATTTCGTGTTGTCGACGTCTTCGACAGAAGTTGTGAGTAAAGAATCTGGTTCCTCGACCATGTCGGTGGTAGGACCACCAATTTTAGGTGTTGAGCTTACTTCTCTGCCGTCGCTGTTGTTCTTTGTCAATCGACTGTTTGTGCGACTTGCTGCAGGTTTCCGAGCAGCCGCGGCTGGTGTCTCGTCATCCGCGTCCCGTCTCGCGCTTAGAGCCGCAGTGGCGGAATAAGAACTGTTCTTTTTGTGTTGTCGCTTGGTAGGTAGTCCCTTTGGAGATAGTGAGTCGTGCAAACCGTGGTGATCCTTTATTCTTGGCCTGGCAGGTCGCTTGAGCTTGCTGTCGAAACTGCCTCCGTTCTCGGCTGTGGCGCCTGCGACTTCAGGTGTCGACTCGCTCATATCTGCCGGTTCCGTGAATGTGCCCAAAACGGGTGTTGAAGTCTTGTTCCTACCTTTGCCGTTCCTGTTGCTCTCGACAGGTAAAGCTGCATGGAGTCTGGGACTAGCTGTTCTTCTGCCAGACGAATTCTCCTGTTGTGCTTGACGTCGCAACTGGCTGGACTTACTACCTGTGCGCTCGAGCAGGATACCGCCCCGCATTCTATTATCCACACTGTCAGGGACATCTTCTTCGAGCATCTTCTCGCCTTTACTGGTAATAGTCTCCTTCATCGTTTGTTTGACTTCGTTGACAGTCTTGCCAGTGGCTGCAGTCACTCTTTCTAGCTCTGTGCCTGTCGCAGTCACACCATTTCTTCTCGAAGCTGAGGAAGGAGGTCTATTCGACGGTTCGAGCTGTTGCGTTGAAGTTTGTCGACCACGACCATTGACCGGGCGACCATTGGAGAGTGCAGGACTTTTCTTATGGACGTCTTTGCCGAAGGTGGCTGCCAGAGGTGATTGAGCGAGCTTAGGAGATTCTTGAGTTGTGGCATTGACCCTGCATGTCTCATTAGCTAGATGTGATACTTGTGGTGGTTGTACATACCTCTTTCTGGCGACTGTTGCAGCTGACGTAGGAGCTTTGCGCTTCTTTGGGTTCTCTTGTTGCGAGTTCTCTCGAGACATAGCGACACTTCCAGAGCCTATGTTCGTAGTGGATTTCTTCATGACCTCACTCATGGCCTTTCCTGAGACAGCTCTGTTTTTCATGGATTTGACTAATTGTGACTCACTACCATTGAGGGTAACTGGAGGAGCAGTCACCGCAAGGTCCTCGATCTCTTGGACCTTCCTGCCTACACCTTTCCGCGTAGGTCTGCGAGCTTCAGCATCAGAGTCAGCTGGTTGAGGTGCAGTCTTCTGCTTTTTAGCCAGGGCCACAGCTTCCCTGCGTCGCTCACTTCGTTCAGCGACTTCATTATCCGGTAGTAGAGCTTCTCGTCCTCGCGCAGTGGCAGCCACCGTCTTCTTGGTTGGATTGAGGTCGACCAGAGCCCAGTGTCTTAAGCTGCCTAGACGAGTCTCCTCAGATATCTCCTGAGCGATATGGGGCCAGATCTCATCCTGCCGCCGGATGTGCTTAGAGAGTTCTTCGTTAGCATTGTTGATGACGTGGTTCTTTTCGTCCAGCGGCATGATCATCTGCATCAAGTTTTGCCTCAATTCACCAAATATCCTACGCCTGCGCAAGATGTCGTGGTCAACGCTAGTAGAAGAATACTGCGAAGCCGTATCGAGCACGTTGCCCATAATGCTGCCAGCAATGCTTGCTGTAGGGTTGTCGCCGATCGTACTGCTGACCGAACCAGCAACAGTCTGAGCACCAGACATGAAAGTATACGTTTGACGCTCGTGTAGACATTGCTGGAGTAGTTTTTGGAGATTCTCTTCCAAAGCCCATGCTTTTGCATCCACCTCTTTCAAAAGTGAAGTGTGTCTGCGAAAATCTCTAGGGAGGGCTGTGATCGCATCGGTGAAATGAGTAATGGCAGGATAGAATCCATGAGGTTCAGGTTCTGGCTGGGGCGCACCCTGTGCGGAGGCTGGAACTGAGAGAAGTGAATTTTGTCGAAGACTCGATCGAGGATTTCGCGAAGTTCGAGCAGGAAGGTTGCGCGTCTTACTTGAAGACCCTCGTACGTTCGAGGTCTCGAGTGTCGCAGTTGTTATCGTTGTCGACATGTTGCCAACGTCAAGTGTGTCAAAGCTGATTGCCAACAAGTGAAGATTACAAGAATTGGAACGAAAACAATTGCTTTAAGTTGGCATAGCGTGACTTTGGACAACATCCATGCATACGCCGTGGTTTGAGATGCACTGATCTATTATTAACAAGGTAGGAAGAGGTTGAATGTGTGAAGCAGAGCGTGCTCCTCACACACTTCCAGCACTTCATCACCGTCGGTCTGTTTCAATCCCGTACCGATGTTCGACCGTTGGAGATCCACACAGCTCAGGCAATAAGGCACAACGACCGCCACGGCATTTGAGCTCTCATGGGAAGTCAGATCTTCGTCAAGTAATTTTGTTCATTACGTGCTGCCTCATGCTACTCATATCGTTAAAGTCATGCTCGTCGAAAGAATGAATCTAGAAAGATACCCTTGATCCCAACTCCATGCCTGCGCCTATCCCTTCATCGAAACAACCCGACCCAAGGCTGGACAATCTACAGCCAACCATCATCGGCCTTACGAGGTGCATTCAGTCCAACATCTAGCTTCAATTGCGGTGCTTCTTCCTGTTTCTTCTTGACCGGACTCTTCCTAGGACTGCTTGCCTCCCGTGGTGGTCCAGCCCGCACATCTTCTCTGGACCATCCATCTGCTGTGGCAGCTGCCACCCAGAAACGCAGTCCGTCATGTACACTGCCATAAAAATTTTCTTTACAGGTACGCAGACTCACGCCCATGACCTTCTCGAACCCAGACTGCTTCAGCTCTTCACGTAGCTGGTTGCGTTCTTGATGCGTTGGCATTGACACGATCAATCCGTTCAGTAGATCGAGGTGTGTTGCAAGGTATTGAGTGGCCTCCCATTCGACGCCTCCAACATATGGTGCTGCAGGGTGAGGTGCTCTAGCTGTAGGAAAATATGCGTGGCAGAAAGAAGTTTGCCTCTCATCAGGTTGCACCACTGGTACCACGTTCATGTGATGTAAGAAGATCCAGAACACCTCTTTCGTCACATTCGTCACCTCTTTGCACCAGGTCCGGTATGGCCGAGAAACGTGCATCTGTGACACAAAGTCAAGTGGCTGCTTACCAGTTTCTTGGTCAGGATCCCGAATAAGCTTCAACACAGCTCTGGCTCGCTTCTCGTGCTGTGTACTGTCCATGTGCAATGTCGCCGACAGATAAGCAAACAGCATCGAGATCACTAATGCTCTTGTGCTAAACTCGGCAGGGCCTTTGCGTTCGGGATCGAACAACATCTTCACCAAGGCTGGAAACAGATCTTGCTCCATGCTTTCCAGTCGCTGCATGGCGAGATTGGTTGTAGCAAGAGCCTTAATGCAAAGAAGTGTTTCGTGTAAGAGATTGTCCTCATGCTCTTCTCTCCACTCAATAGCCATGATCCTGTGCAACAACTGAGCAATCTCATCCAGACCACCCTTGTTGACGAACACATCGGTCCATTGAACCGATTTGTTTCTTAGCAAGATGCGAAGCTTGTGAATCTTGCCCACTTCCACAAGCTCTGGCTTCTGCACTTCGCGTAGGTAGTGGATGAAGTCGCCTGGGGTGGAGGTACCATCGTTGGCCGAGATCGAGGTCAAAGATGTCGTGGACAAGTTTGAAATGGCTGATAGTGGTCTTGCACTCGATTCCGCTGATTTAGGCCTGCCCTTGCTTCGAGATCGAGTCGACTCATCCGCTTTTGCTGCCGTTGTGTCTTTATTCCTTTTGGAAATCGAGAACACACGGCTTCGTGGCCTCGATCTCGACCTTGGCCTGCCGTCCTCGTTCTCTTTATCTTTACTAGATGGGCGTTCCTTTTCATTGCTTCGTGAAGACAGATGTGTCTCATCAATCGAGGAGCCGCTGCCAATCCGCTCACCTTTGACGAGGCCAGCTTTGACCTCAGGTTTCAAATTACGCAGATTGTCCCTTAGATTTTGAGGAATATCATATCGCCCCAGCACGTTCTCCAAGGCAGAGTCTAGGTCGTGTGTATCGAGTTTGTTTTCGGCCCGAACTTCCTTGGCTGGCTCTCGACCTCGGGGCGACTTGATGTTAAATGCAGCCAAGGTGTCAAACATTTTGGACTTGCTCTTTACTGGCGTCTCTGCCTTTTGCTCTACAGGTATCGCTTTCGAGCTAGCATTGGAATCTGCAGATTGTTGACGTGAGCATTCAGGACGACCCTGACTAAGGTCCATGCTCGGAGGGCGGGTAGAGGTAGATTCGTCGTTCAGTTCTTCGGTAAAGATCGAGCTTCGACTACCTCGCTTTTCGAGATATGGTCTTTGGGGCCTACGCAGCTCAGGTCCGATTTCAAAATAGCTTTGAACCTGTCCTGGACTAGCTGAATGCTGATCGGAGTATGATTGAGGTGTAAGTGAAGGCGTGCCGATTGCAAGAGATCTTGGTGAAAGCGCATTTGGATATTGTTTTGACCCGTCGTGTGTCTCCAGCGGCTGGGTAGCGAATTGCGCCCATATTGGAGTGTATGCTTTGCTTGGTGAGGGCGGTAATTGAACTTCTTCAGGTTTGCATTCACTCTTTAGATCCTTCTTCGACCTCTTCTTAAGCAAGCTCGCGAGGTTCGTGGCCGACTTCGACTTCTTAGGTCTGTTCTCCTTCGAGCTCTCGTCCTTACTCTTCACTGTGCCGTCGTTGCTCTTTTCTCTTCCTAGCAGGAAACCCTTGAAGGATGTGGCACTTCCAGTCTTCTTATGCATTCGTGGTCGCGACTGAGGTTCGTCCTTCAAAGGTACTTTCACAGCCTGTGGCGGGCTGTTTATGTGCCGTTCACCCAAAGGGCTGGGTCCGGCATTATTCTTGCGAGGACTTGGAAATGACTTCTTTGGTAGCGGATTGCTGTCTGCATCACTATCCTCGAAAATGCGTGCTGTTTGAGCAACTGATGGTGCCATATCGATGCTGCTAATGCATTCAAAACGAGTACACGCTGTGTATGACCTGATGCGAAGCGATATTGGTGCTTCAATGTGCTGCACAGCCTAATACGTATGCTGATCTAATGTAGATTGCGACCGAATGGAAGGTGTTTATCTCGAACGGGTTGGAGTTTAGCGCGCGTTGAGGGGGCAACCGCGGTGGAGCGATCGCGTTGCGTGAACTTTTCGTGTCCGCAAGCCACGCATCATCGTACTACCACGTCTCAGGCTTGCATAATGATTTATCCTCAGGCGCAACGATCGACGTCTGAATTGTCATTGTTGTCAGAGTCACATTACGGTCATGCCGCCTGATCCCTGTTTGTGACCGAGGCTAGGCAATCGAACCTCCTCAATCACCACGACTACTAGACCTTCCAATAACCACGTGCAAAATCTACAGCTTTGTTTTGTGCTTCATGTTTCTGACTCAGAGCATCTGCATCTAACCACGAGTCTGGAAACTGCGTCCAGCCGTGTGTTACACCTAAGAACTTCTCGATGCTAACGTCCTTTTCACGGCCTGCATCCCAAACCTTCTGCAACCAGATCTCGTTTTGCAACGACAGTGTGTCCATTTCTGCAAGTACTAACAAACATCTTGCCCGGCTATGGAGGCCGTCGTTCTTGACATCCGCTAGCCCGGGACTTGCTCTTGGATTTGTGTTCTTGTCATTTGACAGATATGCTGGCAGCAGATGCTTCTCAAGCTCTAGCCTTACGATGAAACTCCTGGGCACATCATGGAAGCCTGCAATTATGTCGCTTACTGAAGGGAGCTCACGCATATCAATAGTTGCATAGTACATCAGCACCGGTATTTCACTGGGATAATCTGCCGGAAACGGGCTTGGCCACAGTTCGGGAAGCTCAGGTGGGCCAATATTCATGACCAAATTCAAGGCGAGATTACCTCCGGAACTGAACCCGGACAAGGCGATACGATTCGGGTTGAGCCTGACATTAGGTCGTCTGTGCTGCAAAAGAAAGTCGTTGATGCCGGAACGCAATTTTTTATACGCTGCTAACTCTGGCTTTAGTATGGCATTGATGACATCTTCTGCATCCTCTAATGCCGCTGGAAATTGGGCATAAGGTCCCAGCCGGTAATCCACTGAGATAGCGACGCAGTTGAGTTCGCGACAAAGCTTCGCACAAAACGGTGCCTGCTCATGACAGTGTCCTAACACAAACCCGCCGCCATGGAAATCTACCAGCACTGACAGTTCCAAGTCGTCTGCTGTCGAAGAGGCTGTGGTCGGTGGTATGAAAACATAAAGTGGTATGAGGTGTTTGTGTCGAGATGGTATTTTAATTACAATAGGCTGCGGTCCTTGCGGAGAAGTTATTCGCAGCACTGCATCAGGCAAGACCCGTGGCATGCTGACAAGCGCCTTCCGCCAGGCGAGGCTCCATGGAATGGACAACATTGGGCAGGCGGTAGTGCTATTCAAGACAAGATCCAAGAGGTGAGTGAAGATTTTGTATAGCCACCATTCGAACAAGTTTGGTGATTCTAGAAACCTGGGTCTAAGCAACAGAAGCCAGTAATCCGGAGTGTAGCAGACTGCGCGTCGAATATCAAAGTCAGAACTTTCTTGCTGATTAATAAGTTAAGCGAACGAGATATTATTAACCACAAATTTGAGGACAGGCAAGTGCAACCCGAAGGTAATAGTATGACGTCAGCCTACGTTCGATCAGCCTGGTATCGTTCTCCTTCGAGCTTGGAGGCTTCGAGGAACAGCATTCAATTACATCTACTTTTGGTTCGCCTTCAAGTTTTTGCATACACAAATGAGTGCACTTCTCGTTCCATGTCTTCCCGCTCAACATAAACCAGTCTTGACCGCGTTTTCCGAGATGTGCTGGTGCTAAGCTTGAAAGCCAACCAACCATGCAATGGTATACTCAGCGTCCAGGCCGTCTCGACACCTTTCTCGTCCGCTTTAAGAAGCAACTGGCCTAGGTTGTGCAGACGACACTGCCTTGAACGCATGATGTTGTTTCCGCCAGTAATGTGCCCATATTCACGCATGGCTATGCATCGCGAAGAGGTTTATGTCCTCAGTGCGCCGTCTCAAGCAAGCCATAATCGGGTGAGGACTTTCATGTCGCTGTTGAAACAGTCGTCGATATTTATTTTAGATATGCTTTTGTTGCTGGCAGACAATCACGCCCCCTTCTCCTTCTCCATCAACTTCAGACATCTCTTCGTCATCCACACCAGTCATCTCAACCTCTTGCGAGCCAGCGACTTCATTTGAAGTTTGTTGAGCTTCAGTGACATTACACTCTCCTGCCAGGATAGCTCTTAGAGCAGTCTCAGCAGCACTCGACCTTGCCTCAGCGTCACAGCTGGCTGAAGGCCCGACGAAATCCCAGTGCTGCTCGTCATTAGGACCAGTAATAAGCACTTTACCGACATACTGCATTTCGACCTCATCCTTAGTTGAGCAGAATTTAAAAGCAAGATGTCTCTGAGCGCATACTTCGTGCAAGCGAGCTGAAGGTGTTCGTACCTCAAAGGCGTCGTTGTCAGCCATTTTGTCCAGCAGTGTAAGCATGCCAAGACGGTCTAACATCTTTTCACACTCAACGAGAGATCCACGAGAGTCGAGGTAGATCGCTGCAATGAGTGACTCAATGATATCACTACATACTTTCGGCGCGTTGAGTCTCTGAAGTATGGCCCATGGGAAAACACCACCACGAAGACTCTCCTCAATGTCGTTCTTAGTTGTTTCGAACCTGGTCCTTGCTACTTGGATAGGCTTTTGAAGCTCTGCGTCATAAAATTGAATCATGTCAGTTGCATAGACGACTGTCTGTACCTGCTCGACTGTGACCGAGTTCTCGCCACGAGTATGCAGCTCATTTCGTTCGCGAACATAGTTGAGGCTTAAGGCATAGTAAGCAAGCAGGGCATGGCTGACTAGTGCGGCACGACAAATAGTCATACGGTAAGCGCTCAATTTCGACCACTTAAACAATCTCACCTTGACAATCTGATCAACGATGGCGTCGCCTAAGAATTCAAGGCGATCGAGCGATGATTGTCCCCGCAACAAACTGGAGTGAGTGAATGCCTCATGAAGCAGAGATAGTCTCTGGAAACGGTAACAAAGCATGCTCTCCACCGCCATCGTGAGAGCGCCTGGATTTTCGACTGCACGTTGTGCCAGAAATGCGTCCACGATCTCGCGTGGTAGCAGCCACACGATCTCAGGAAGAAAAAGCTCTAACACTGCTGTGCACCTCTCGTCTGCAAGGCCAACCCTGCTTCCATCAATGAATGCAGCCCCGAGAATGCTTTCAACAGCATCTGCCAGCGTTTTCGAGTTGACTTTTCGTTGTGCTCGGCCTTCCGGCTTGTCGTTAGTTGCAGGTAGCTTCCAGTGCTTCTGGGCTGCAACCTGAGTAGTAATGTACTTTTCCATCCCTGAAGTCTGTATTGCTTGCTCTAGCCTATGGTTGTTAATGACTTCGTGCACTTTCATAGTAAGCACGCCTTCCGTCGCGAGTGGGTTGTCAGAGAACATAGAGAAAGAAGTCCGAAACTTGAGATATGCATCTCCGAGAAATTCCATTCGCTCATAGTTGAATAACCCAGACGCTGAGTTCGAAATCAAGGCTTGAGTAAGTAGGCTCGCGTCCATGAATTCAATGGCTTTCAGGACACTATTTTGCGCATGCTCAGCTCTCATAGCTGCGGCCATGAAATGGAGGATTGAAGGCAACAACAGAATACTTGGTCCAAGCGTTGTAGCAAGTCCTCGAGTCTGACATTCGTTCGTAGCTAGAGTGCGCAAAGTTGCGGTCGAGCTGCCACCTGTATCTGCACCACGAGCTGCTGTATAGACTTGCAACTTGCTAACTTTTGTCGCCAATATTTCAGATATAGTGTTCCCTGGCACCTTCGTAGACCGCGGCGCATGCCACAGATGAGGCGTCTGACTTTGGGCTTTCCAGACCAATAGAGGCTGTGGGTGACAGAGATGACTTCTTGTCATCAAAAAATTCTGTAGACTCGATGTCTCCAAAGCTCTATCCTCATCGAAACAACTTTCAGGAAGCAGTAACAGTGGCAGACGGTTTGGATCATCGAAACTTTCTGATGCTGAACCAACTCGAAAGGCAGTTTCAACGAGCCGTTTCGTGACGGATTTTGCCTGCAGAGGTTTTTGGCGAGGGAATGAGCCCAAGGGTTGGATTGTAACGTCCAACTGCCTCGATGCACTTTCACAGAGTGTAAAACTGAGGTGCTGACACATCCTATACGGCATGGTCGTTATCAGATTCGCGTAGTTCTCCTCGCCACGAGTGATCCGCACAAGATAATTGAAAGGTTCGTCTTCTGCTAGCATATAATGCCAAACATCGAATTCAGCACAGATCTCGTATTGCCGGTGACCGTGTCTAGGTTGTGGGTGTTTTGACTTCTCCGGCTGAATGGGTACTAAGTGGTCTGTCACAAGACCTGCTTCATGCAAAGCTCTGTATGCCTGGAAAGCTGCGTCTCTTTTAGCCGCTCGCTCACCAAACCACGCTCGCGTTGATGTGGCTTCTTGAAGTGGAGAGGGCACCGATGAGGGAAGAATGACCTTTGCTGTAACAGACTCTCCGAGAGTGCCGGACAATATGTAAATAGGCTCCATGCCGCCAGAGATGACCGTACAGAAATGTTGTAAGTGTTGCATAGAGTTGTCGTGCACCAATATCGCACCCGTAGTGGGAACAGCGTATTTCTGGCCATCATCTTCATCAAGGTCGTTGGACACCACAGCGGCTTTTCGAAGCTCCTCATCCTTCTGGTACTCCTGCTCAAGCTGTTGTTCAAAAATACCCCACTCAAGGTATTTGTTGTTCGGTGCTTGCAGATCACGGAAATACACGTATTTTGATTTCTCCTTACGGGCACGGCCTCGACTCTGCACATGTGAAACAAACTGCTTTGGATCATCATAACGAATCACCAGGTTCACTGCCTGAATATCAATACCTTCCTCAGCAACCGATGTAGCGACACAGATATCTTGAGATCCACTCCTAAAATCGGCAAAGGCTTGTTTTTGTACTCTTCTGTCAGCTAGGTCAACCAAGGATGCATATCTGCAAGATGCTAAGCCAACGAAAGAGAATATGCGATAGTTGCACAGCTGGGGAGTTGCGGAGAGCAATTCCGAAAGGGCGTAGGCTGTAGATCTTCGCTCCACGAAGATAATGATAGCTATACCTTTGTGGTATTCAGAGGCAAGGAAATCTACCAACACCTGTGCTTTTGTAGAGAAGACGGGGGTTGTCAGAGTCTGATTAGCATTGAAGATGCCTCGGAGAGGGCTGAGTAGCTCATCGACGAACGTCATGGATTTCCGATTCATGGACTCGTGGAAAACGTTATCCTGGACCAGCCCTCTGTGCCAGTTATCGACGCAGCTCCTCACGAAACAATCTGACGCCCAGGATCCAAGACTCGACTCTAGGTAGGATGCATTGTTCAGGAGAGATTTCACTTCTCTGATTGCAGGTGTAGATCCTTTCTTTTCAACTTTCCTTAGCTTTTCGGCCGAGACTTGATCGCAGGCTGTTTTCAGTGTTTTGTAGTAAGGGTCATTGCACATCAAAGCGGCGGCAGCCACGTCTGTCAAAGTGGCCAATACCTGTGAACTCTGGTGGAAGACTGGAGTGAAAGGAAGTCCAACTACCTCTGGCTTGTATACGTGAGAAGCATATTCTGGGAGTGACACTGTAGGCATACAACAGACCGCATCGAGGGTTGACTCCAAGTCCTTAGTAGATGCTGTCTTGTTGCTTATGCGAGAGCTAGCCGTCAATCCGAGAATATGAGGGACAGCTGAAGGGTTCCTTTGTTTCAAGGGATGGTAGCATTGGCTCATAAGACGAGCTGAAGGGTCTCCAGCTTGGCAATGATGCGCTTCATCAACGACCAATAGAGATATTCTTTCAAGTTGCACGAAGGCATTTCGCAGAGCGTCCAGAAGAACCTGTGGAGTGGATACGACAACGTGCATATCTGCCAAAGCTGAATCCCATATTGCCGGCGTCCGCCATAGGTCGACCTTGTCATGGCCAAGCAGCGTCCGCATCTGATACTCCGGTAATTGAGACGAGAGGAAGTAGTGCTGCTGCTCGGCCAAGATTGTATTCGGTGCTGTAAACCAGACTCTCTTTGTTGGTGAACGCTCCAATTCAGCTCTTACTCTGAGGCTCGCAATATTAGTTTTGCCTAATCCCGTAGCCATAGCGACTATGATGTTTCGCTTCATAGATTCCTCAAACATCTCGAGCTGATAAGCTCGTGCTTGAAGTTTGGTGGCGGTAGTCTCCATGTTGCCCTTGTCTATATTTGCCTCTGTCTGTAACCAAGAATGTGTAGAGCTAACACCTAATATTTCAAGGAAGGGAATTCGAATCTAGCCATAGCGACGACACTTCAGCAGCGTCAACAAGGCTGAATTCACGTTTGTGTTGAGTCAACATAATGGGTACGCGCTCTGCAAGTCGAACTTGCGGCGTTTTCTGATAGGTCCACGTACGGAGTGCTTGTTGCGCAGGTGCAGGCGCCATCCATGCAAGCAGGAGCGACACCGCAGTGCATTGTAACCTTCACTACAAGGAAATACTGGGTAGCGAAGATTGAAGGCCTGTGTGCACTGTAGCAATTCAGAACATTGAGAGCTTCCTCACACGTGCCTCATTTAACTTTACGTAGCGCGAGCATCCCTCGTCTTCAGACTTGGCATAGTCACGTGATTGTGTCTACTCTGTGCTTGTTGCAGTCAAATGGCGCACAAGGTATATATTGCTATACTTCATTCATAAGAGTAATTGGGCTGGTTCGTTGCTATGTATTCAAAACGTGTCCTTCGATTGCTCGTATACTAACGAGTCGATCTTACAGCCACCTCCACACTGAATGGTTTACACCTTTTCAGTATAATTTTCGTGGTGTACACCTGCACTACTCTTTCTCCTGACGGCAGCGTTCTCGAGCTCGGCGAGAGTGTGTCGTCTGGCTTCACCGCCCTTTCCGAGATCATGAACATCTTGGAAGTTTACACTTGGTACAAATCCATTTGATTTCCAGGCTGTTAGACGTTAGCACACGAAGCCATCTCAGCCAAGCACGCAGCCAGTCTCTGACGCAAACTGGTACGTGCTTACAGAGGTACCCACCTTGAGGAATTTTAGCATAGAGCTCATCGACCTGTTCTAGGCTGAGTCCTTTGGTCTCATAAATGCAGAAATAGACGAAGACCGTGCAAATGACACTGTTCATCGTTAAAATACAGATCGGAGATTTCAGATGTAACTCACCAGAATCCACCCCAGACGAAGAAGACTTTGCTACCCATGTTGGCATTACCTGGGCCTGGATCGACCATGTAGGGCTTTGCAGAAGTTAGCTTTTGAACAAAAATGGCAAAGACAGCGTGATTGCTGCCTCAGCTCCTGTGTCAATAGGGAACTGAGTAGGACTTACTGTAGCATATGCAATTGCGAAGTTGAGCAGCCAGTTAGATGCTGTTGTCATTGACAATCCTTTGGCACGAGCTTTCAAAGGGAAAGACTCTCCAGTCACAACCCAAGCACACGGACCCCATGAGCAGGCAAAGAAAAAGATGTAAATGCAGACGAACGCAATCAGGCACTTGTTGGCGGCAGTGGAGTCGGGCAAGGCCGTACCAACAGCAGCAACAATGAGCTGGCAAAAGGACATCCCAACAGCACCAAACATGAGAAGCGATCGGCGACCCCAAACCTCGACAAGCCATAGACCTGGGATAGTGGATAGGACATTGACGACGCTAGTAATCATAGTGACGATGAATGGATTGCTGATTCCGGAGTTCGAAAAGTAAGAGGTACCATAATACTGTAGACTAGTTAGTCCCCACAGGCCCTTGGTGTGTTATACTACTTACAAAGATGAAGTTAACACCCGTCAACTGCTGCAAAGCTTGTAGCGCCATGCCGGTCAACTGCCTCTTCCTGATTGGAGGCTTGAAGCAGGCCAAGTATGAAGCTGAACCAATGGACATCTCGTATTCATGGTTGGCCTGGATTTCAGCGAGCTCTTCCACAAGAGCTGGGTGGTCAACTGGAAGTCTTCGCAATTTTGACAGTGCTTTGGCAGCCTTAGCTTTATTGCCCTTTTTGATCAGAAACCGAGGAGTTTCAGGCAGTATTAGCATGCCAACAACCATGATTATGGAGAAGATAAATTGTACGGCGACTGGAATGCGGTAAGAGCCTGTATCCTGTCGATTCTTGGTGGCATTGAGGACAATGGCAGCAAGCAGAAGACCGATCGTGATGGCCCATTGGTAGCAGCCGACGATAGCACCACGGATCCATTTGGGAGCTGTCTCTGACTGATACAATGGAATAGTTGCGCTCAAGAGACCGACGCCAAGCCCTGCGAAGAAGCGTCCCGCAACAAACATTGGAATTGCAGTGGCAGCAGTCTGAAGGATGACACCCAAGGTAAAGACACCAGTGTTGAAGATCATGCCCCATCTTCTTCCCAAGAAATCAGCAACAGGAGCGGAGAATAGAGCTCCGAAGAACGTGCCGGCAGATAAAATTGAGACGATTTCCGACTTTTCGGTTGAGGTCACATCTCGGTGGTTGTCTGTAGGGTTGACATAACCTGTCGAGAAGAGATTGCGCCAGAATGGCATGGCCAAGATACCACCAATAGTGCCAGTGTCATAGCCGAAGAGCACGCCTCCGAAGGAGACGAACAGGCCGATGAGAATAGCTGGAGCGGCGGAACCTGCCACGTTCTCAGGCTTCTTGATCATAAAACCCATCGTGATGGATCTGTATGTGAACGATCTTCTTCAGGTTGATGTTGTTGCAATACTGTCCTGCGCGACCAGGGTACGGACAAAGCTGTGTTTGATGGAAGCCAGGGACATCGAGCCTGGCACAAGTGGTATTTGTATCCCTGGGACAGCCCATCACACAGCTGACCGTCGTCTTCCCTTGCCTCGCACAACGTTTGATGAACCTTGTACCCAGCCGTCCTACAGTACCATGCTGCATTAGTGAAAGTTACTGTTTTACTCTTTCGTCCTAGTCTGAGTCGAATGATCTACAGTACAATCCTATTGTTTTCTGCCTTTTTGGACCTATCGGCGCTTCTCAAGCTTAGATCCTTGTGGGAACTGTGAGGTTCAACAAAAGAAACAATCACGATCAATTGCACGAGGTAGGTATCAACTGTGAGTTAGGGTGCATTGCTTTCGCACAGCTTCAAGCTCAACGACAGCAAGACTTGGTCTTCCCCGCTCACGTTCTTGAGACGTGCTTGGCCTTTCAAGATCTGCAATGCGACCATGCAGGAATGCTGTTCTCTAAGTTGACGTAGTGATCTGGTCTCCATGATACTAGTCTGTTCAAGAGTTGGATCTTGGAACCTGGCTCTATGCCTGAGATCGAGCTTCAGGTGAACGGCTGGGTAGATCACTAACGAAGGTTTTTGTAGACACTCTCAATCTAACTCTCCAGATGCCTGAGATGCCATGAGTTCAATCCAACATGTAGGACTGTAATCGAAACATGAGCGGGGACATGCCTAGCAGTATTCAATTTCCTGCAAGAGCAAATACCGACCTGCACGAAAGTTAAAAGGGCCGAGTCTGAGAGAAGCTTGATTGGTTGACTAGCGCTGCTTGAATATTGGCAAGCTTCTGAAGCCGAACAACATGTTTGTCTGGAGCGATGATCCGGGGTAGCACAACGCGACAACAGGGTGTTTTGCCGACCGAAAAGTGTGATTGGTCAATATCCTTGTCGCGTGCATCGTGATTCCTGCTAGTGACACCAAGGCACGAGGTCGCAAGTCACGTTGAGGTAACGATGACGAACGAGACATGGATCTTAATGCTCCTCCGTTGCATTGAGTGGGCTTAACGCATAAGGTCGGTAGCAGCCCCTCTATCGTCGGCATGAGCATAGCGACAGCTATAGCGGAGCTGCTGCAACTGCGAGTCTTGTGTGCGCTTCAGAAGCGAGAACGGTAACTTGCTGGGTGTAAATTTCGGTACGGAACAACCTTTCTGCGACCACTACCATCCGCCAGGTCTAGACGTTCGTACGTGTCCATCGAGCTTCGATGTGAATCTTGTCAGAATATGATCCTGCAGCCTTCTGGCTGATGGTGGAACAGTACAGCAGTGTGACCACTCAAAGATTGGATATGAACTCCATACGCGTATGGGTTCGTTTTCTTCAGTGTGCTGAACATGTGAAGTGCCTATCGGCGCTTGGATGTCTTGAAAACACCTTCGCTCCTTCCCGTAAACGATACGAAAACCAGAAGTCAATCTGAGCCAAAGCTTCCCGTTCGAAGGGCTGCATAATGCTCAAATCCAGGGATTTTAGAGTTGAGCCAATGGCTTTGACTTAAGCTGTTGAGAAGTACTTATAGTTCATGCAGGTCGTTTAAAGCGGCACATCCTTTCCGTATGAGAGCTTGCAAAAGTGCTTGAAGCACTGGCACATACCAGTAAGAATTAAAAAAACAAAAACAAAAAAAAAAACGTGGTAATGCTCGAGGTTTTGTAGCACATCCTCAGCAGCACCATAGCATGCTTCGGATAGTGCTTTCCGGAATAAAAATACCAGAGGACTAGCTGTTATTATGACGTCGTGCTAGGTTGCTAGCTCTTTCGCAACACCATGCAGTGGCTTGCACAACTCGACAAAGTTGGCGTATCAAGACAGGCGTGGTGAATAACAGGATCATTCTCCTTCCGTTCCCTTTCGTTGGTCGGTTCCGTTGGAACCTACGAATCATGCACTCGGTTGATGAAGCTTTACGTAGGTACTCGACACCCTTTCAAAGACACCTATCGTTCCTCGATCGTGACGGCGATGGCATTATCTATTTCAATGAGTCCTTACGCGGAAATCTTGCAGTCGGGCTCGACTTTCCAGTGGCCTTCGGCATGGCTCTAAGTTACCACGTTGTCTACGGTAACACGGGTTCAGTATTACGTGGCCCCTTTCGAGGCATAGAGATTGCCAGAGTCCAAGCTACACGGAACATGCTTGAGCAGATCCCGCTCGAAGCTGTGCCCGTTGACGGAATGACGCGCAGTGAGCTCGTGAACCTCTCTAGGCCTGTTGGATTGATGGACAGGGTCCACGTCAATGGTCTATGGGCACTAAGTGCAAACCGTCAAGGCTTTGTATCTGCAAAGGATATCGAGCTGTACCAGCAGGGCACTATGCTCTATGAGCTTGAGCGACGCCGTAAGGACAACCGAGATCACGTATTACCACTGTATCGGGGAGGTCCGATGAGTGTTGCGGGACATTCCTACTTTGTCGATAAGATGTTGGGCGTCAAGGTATATCAACAACCTAGAAACAGCAAAAACGACTAAGGCTACCTCATAAATGCTGGCTATGGTTACGGATCCCTTGAGGATAACAAACAGTAATTCTGCGACATGCCACCTGGGCTATCAATGCATGTACCCGAAGACAAGGGTATATCGCGCGAATCTGGATAGTGTTTGCTCCCGTTTTAGATCGCCAGCAAATGAAGCCCACCTCAGCCAAAAAAGATTTGTGATCTTCACTCTCGACCAGAGTACTGACTCAAGCCTCAGAACAAGATTCTTCGATCGACTGGTATCGATAGTAAAGAGCAGCGCGGGAGAAAACTTCGACTCGGCCATGAAATAACACAGCACACATACGGCAGTTAGTCAGAATGTCCGATTTCTCGTTTGAACCTATTCCACCCCGCCTCACACCTTCATCACAACCACTAGAAGAAGAACCAGAACCAGACCCAAACAGGATCCCAACTCCACCTCTCCGTAGATCTATATACCCTCACCCGCACGCCCCAACCTGGTACGTCAACGTCGTGCCCTACAACCCCACCTGGCCAGAACAATTCCTCATCATAAAATCTCACCTACACAATCTCCTCGAAACCTCGTCTCCAGCGGCACCGTACCTGACCATCGAACACGTCGGCAGTACTTCTGTCCCTGGCCTGGCCGCAAAACCCAACATCGATGTCCTAGCCACTTTCTCCAGTCAAGAGGCGCTCGAAGCTGCTATGGAAGCGCTCAATTGGGAGATTCCGATTGCACCGCCATTCGTGAAGTACACGCAGATACCACGGGGCGGCGGGATACCTGGACGTGAAAGCTTCAAGATCTACTTATTCGACTATAGCCCTTATTATGCCAGTACACCTGAGAGAAGTCTGTATTTGATTGCGGATACGGAGGAGAACTGGGCTGGACGAGTACAGATACGATGTTATAGGACGGTCAGGGAAGTTTTGAGGATGGGGGAAAATAGAGATCTGTTGGAGGTATATGCGGCGGTGAAAACTGAGCTTGGGAAGCAAACTTTTCAGAATAGCTTGGAGTACAGCGCTAGGAAAGATGAGATTGTGAGGAAGATACTTTTGAGGGGCAGATGGACGGAGGAGGAAGTGAAGGCCAAAGAGGATTTGAGTCGAAGGGAGTGGGTTGTGGATGCAGATGATGATTATTGAACTGAGAGCTTCAGTCTGAGGAATACACAAGCGCTGAAAACGATCGATTACTCAAATGAACGAAGATTTGTCTGTATAGACCAACTCTTGTCCGAGGCCGAATGTAAACGTGATGCTTGTGTTAGAACCTCGACTCTCAAAAATAGTCTTTTTCACTGCGATCGACATCGCCAAGTAGTATTCTATACGTGTCCGTTATGCAGAGCTGTGGCGCCATCCTCGTCCTCTTCCTGACTTTCGAACATCAATCCTAACTTTTCAAGCTGCTCTTCAATGTCGTCGTCGGGATCTTTCTTGCCAAAGGCTTTCTTCACAGCCCCAGTAATACTCCTTCTGACACCCTTGTGCTCTGGCTCCTCCATGGTGTACTTTGCTTCTTGTGCCCGTTGTGCGGCTAGCTGCCTCTTATCATCCTGATCTCTCTTCCATTTCTGAAAAGCAGTCTCAACCTTTTTAGGTCTTGTCCTACCTCCTGTTACTGTTTGTGGTTCCGCGGCTTGTGGAGGCCAGTTGCCTTCGGCCTTCCAGCCCTCTACTAAAGCATTGATCATATGGTTGAGTGGGATAGGAACATTCGGTGCGAGACCTTGCACTACTACCTTCGAATAGAGAGTGGGATAGGCTGCAGGCTTGATCCGGCTTCTTAAGGTATTCGAGGCAGGAATTAAGGGTGGGTATATCGGTAGGTAGGGACCATCTCGGAGCCCAATGTCCGGTTGAGTTGGTGACTGAGCTGTGTCTATCACAGCACCGTATGTATCTGTGCCATTCGAAGTGGCTAGCGGCCGATCGGTTGTTGGACTGAGGCTCTGAGGGGCAGAATCGGAACTGCTTTTCTTCTTGCTGCTTCTTGAGAAACTCATCTTGCGACCACCTCCATTGCTTGATTGTCTCTCAGCCTTGTGTAGTACCGCACCAGTCCATGCATCTCTCCTCAAAGTCCATATTCTCAGGCCGTCGTTCCAGGTCATCTCCTGCTCCAACAATCTCCTCTTTCTTGCGCGACGACGCTCGATAGTCACACCCACGTCGTCCGGACTATCGAATCTGTATGCGTCATCATTCTTGTTGCGTGGGCCTTTAGACCCACCAGACTCATACTCAGAAACAGACTCATCTCGAAGACGATATCCAGACGCTTCTCGCTGTAGTGTAGGGTTGTTCTCATTCACGTGTGCAGTCGAATACTCCCAGTCGTCTCTGAGGATTGAGAGGAGGTATCGTTTGGTTGACCTTGTGTCGTGAGTCTGGCTCAATGCCGCTTCATAGTTGGTCTGGGTAGTTTCGGAATCCTGCGAGCTAGCACGCGAGGCTGTCGAACTCTTCCTGAGACGTTGCTGAAGGTTGTGGAGGAAGGGACTGTTTGGAGTTTGAGGCCTCTCGATAGAAGGCCTTGGTGACCGGGTCATGGTGGTGGTAGAAGAGGTGCAAAAGAACGTGCATGCGACACAAGCGGGAACCGCGATCGTGTGAATAGTGGGAGAGCAAACGACAGGAAACTTTAAATCATGTTGGCGTCATACTCAGTAAGGCAAGATGTCCTCCGAGCATGGTGCTGAAGGACAGCTACGCGAGACCGCAATAGATACAAGTAAGAAAGTATAACTCCCTTGGTTAAGCAATGCCTTTTCGCACGTTAAATCGTTGTATACAGTTTAGTCATGGTTGTGAGACAATGAGAGATAGTCGTGTGAGGATCAAACAGAAAAGCAGTAGCGGCTTTGTCGGTGCTTTCCTCGCCGAAGGAGCTTCTTAGCACAGATTTTACTGGGCCACAAATCGGTGTCGCGTGGCGTCGTTGTAAGCTTCCCAGCTGGCTCACTTTCTCAGCCGGAGGAACCGGCAACTTTAAGTAGCCTCGTGCTTCTCATCTTCGAGCTTGCAAGTTTGTGCAACGTGTATCTTGAATAGAAACACCTACTGCTCAGCAATAGCATCGAAGATCATCAATTCTTCTCATCTGCTGGCTGGTCTGTGGATACGACTTGCTCCATAAGCCAGCCAGCAAGCATAGCCGCCACTCGTGGATGACTTGATCAGGGCATGAGTAGGAGTTTCCGGAATGTAGCCTTGTCAAGTGTTCCAAGAATCAGCATCGTGGGAGCAGGCATCGCCGGCCTCACTCTCGCCTGCCATCTGAAATATCTGAACATACCATTCAGTATATACGAAGCTCGCAATCCACAAACTATCGGAGTCAATTATGGAGTTCAGTTACGAACGCGTCGAACTGGATCTTTGCGACGTATGTCTGAAGATGCTGGCTTATCCAAGTCGTGGAACTCATCACTTCGAATGGAAGCTGCTGTTGATCGGGTGATTGGAGGACTTGGCAAAGTTCAACATGGAAAATCAGGGCTTAACCGAAGATACTTTATGGCAGTAGATCGAGACATACGGCTCTATCTTGCTGAGCACCTAGCTCGTGCTGGGGTAAAAATCAACTGGGATCATAAACTGGCTTCCATCGAAAAGGCACGCGATGAGCCTGGAGCAGAGTTGTTGTTCAAAGACGGCCAAATTGGTCGTGCCGATATTGTTGTCAATACTGGCGGAATGCAAGCAGCTGCTCTTCAGCAATCGTCGACGTTATCAAGTGCCAAAGTGCTACCTTATGCAACCTACTATGGCACTCGGAGAGTCTACGTTGATGAGTATCTGGAAAAGTATGCAAGCTTTTTTCGAGACGGAAACTGGGTCGAGATTGTGCCTGAGACACCGGATACACCTTATGTCTCTATGCAGATGGTCTGCCTACCAGATTCCATCTTCCAAATACGTTGGATATTCTCGAGGCCAGCTCGAGGAGACTCTGATCCACTATTCCGACCACAGGGGACGATCCAAGACGCTTCTAAAACACCGCCTGAATTTTTCGAAGAATTCCTTGGTTGTTTGGGTACAATCAAGCAAAAGTTTCCCAGAACTTCAGCTGATCTCCTACAAAGGATCTTCAGCTTTCATGAACTCAAAAAGGACCGCATTCTCCAGTGGTATCTCAGACTACAGGTCCCGGATCCACAGTCTCTTGTTGCTGGTTCCTTGAAGGACACCTATCACGTCATACCCATTGGTGATGCCGCTCGACGGCTACCATTTTTGAGGTCTCATGGTGCAAGATTGGCTATGGACGACGCATTGTTTCTGGCTTCGTGGTTCAAGCAGAGACTGGATCGGTCGCAGAATCTCCATAGCATGGAACAAAATTTCTACAACCTTGCCGCCACCCGAGGTCGCTGGCTTGGCGCTGCTGTGACGGCTATCGAGCACTTAAGGGACGCACATGGTCAGAAGAGACTCGATAAAGCAGAGATGGAAGCGATTCTCGGAGTTTCAATCAGTGACATTGTCGATGCATCCACGACAACAAGTGTAGAGCGACTCTACGGTACAGGTGAGTGGCAAAAGCCAAAGATACCCTGTTGATACTATACTGACTTTGAGAAAAACAGAAGCAAAGAACATCATCCGAAGCACTAAACGAGGTAGCAAATTACCCAAAACGAGGAAGATTCCTGGCTTGACCGTCCGACATCCACGTCGCTGGCGATTCGCAAATGAAACGTATGAGACGTGTACGTCAGGAAACAGAATTGTGCCCGTCAAGGAGGACGCATCTCGTGAGGTCCGAGCTGATGTCCCACTCGAACACTATAACGTCGCCGAGGACAATAGTAACGATTACGGCAGAGCAGCGGGTTGATTAGCAGTCTGACCAAGCCAGGATTGTGAACATACGGCATATGGTGTTGTTCCTGGCTGGCTTGGTTGCTGCAGGTAGTGCAGATGGTGTGAGAGGCGCTCTAGACATGCCGTTATTTGTTACTTAGCCAGTCTCACGAAGTAATATATACGAAACAACGATACACATCAGCTGGTTCGGTAGAAGATGCTCAGACGTAAATGGTGTACTCCAGATTCAAGTACAATTGAGCCTAATCAAGGCGATACTCGGGTGCTGTAGTATAGGGGATCTGATTTCTAAATAATGATTTGTTCTAGGCTTTTGGTGTGTACGTGCGCCCTCCAATAATTCTCCATTAGCAACAATGACTTCCAATTTTCAATGAACAATATCAGATCAAACAGACTGTGCGCAGCCTTTTACAGAACGCACCATTGCCCGTACCTACTGCAATCTGTCTCAGTGAATAGTGCTAGACGAAGACCAACAGTATACGTGATATGCAATGTTGCTCGCGCGACCAGAAACGACTTTTCAACATCCTTGAGATCGAGTGATACTGTACAGCCTGAACCATCAGCGCCTCTGCAGGATGTCACATCCTTTTGGCCATCAACGGCTCCGACAATCGTCACCACAAGTCGTAATGCGACAGTCCCGAAGCCAGGCTTACCGCAGTCATGTCCAGGATGCGGTGCCCTAACTCAGAAATCACAACCCGACGAAGCAGGCTATTATTCCACTTCTCGACGAGCTATCAAGGACTATCTTCGAAAGCAGAAAGCTGCTATACGTACGTCCAGCGATCATGAACCCGGGGAGGAACACGAAGAACACAACGAAGAGGAGGAAGAAGCAGTTCCAGAAGACCACAAAGGCCCAGAAACCGCACAGATAGCAGCACGATCGACAGAGCAGACGACTTTAAGAGTGCCCATGTGTGATCGATGTCACGATCTACTTCACAACTCTCGTGGACGTTCTATAGCGCATCCGTCACTGGATGCTCTGGCAGACTCAATCGCTGAGTCACCTTTTAAGAGAAACCATGTCTATCATGTGCTGGATGCAGCCGATTTTCCCATGTCAGTGGTGCCAGATATATTCTCCAAACTCACTCTGGCACGACCTCGATCGCAGAATCGTAGATCACAACACGACTTTTCGTCGAAGCCTACAGTCTCTTTTATCATTACACGATCTGATTTACTGGGCTCAACCAAAGAGATGGTAGATTCTATGATGACCTATTTCCAAACCGTACTTCGAACAGCCTTGGGTCGGGCTGGAAGGGACATGCGGTTGGGAAACGTGCACCTTGTGTCTGCAAAAAGAGGTTGGTGGACAAAAGAGGTCAAGGAAGAGATATGGAAAAGAGGCGGTGGGAACTGGATGCTGGGTAAAGTGAACGTTGGCAAATCGAATCTCTTCGAAGTCCTATTCCCGAAAGGCTCGGGTGAACGTGCACCAGTGTATGCTGAACTACGTGCAAAACACGAGAAACAAGACTCCTTGCGGACAGAAAGAGATAGCGAAGAGGAGGAAGAGCTGGATTTGCTGGAAGAGAACCACCTGCTACCCCCAGCACAACCTGAGACACCGTTTCCAGTGTTACCTCTTGTTTCTAGCCTGCCAGGAACAACAGCATCGCCCATTCGATTACCTTTTGGCGGCCATAAAGGAGAACTGATTGACCTGCCAGGCCTCGCCCGTGGCGACTTAGAAATCCACGTGAAGCCAGAGAACAGAACTGATCTCGTGATGACGAGCCGCCAGACTGTTGAGCAACATATTGTGAAGGCTGGCCAGTCACTCGTCCTAGGGGGAGGTCTTATACGTATCTCCCCTCAGCTTGACGTCAACGACCGGAGCATGACGATGCTGGCATATGCATTCGTGCCTCTTAAGACGCACACCACGTCTACCACGAAAGCTGCCGCTCAACAAGTAGAGCAACGCGAAAACGGCTTGAAATCCGTGGTAGCAGAAGGTGCAGGTGCGCATATGGCATCTGCAGGAACGCTCGAGCTATCTACAGATGTCACAAAGTATCGAGCGGCGTCGCTTCTTAGAGCTGGAGTTCAGCTGTCGAATCTGCCTTTTCGTGTGTATGCCACGGACATCCTAATCGAAGGTCTAGGATGGGTTGAGCTAGTGTGTCAAGTTCGGCGACGAGGCGTCTCTCAGCCAGCCTCGGAAGCTGTAGCGCCCGCAGCTCAGAAAATCGAGGATGCGCCAAGCAGAGATCCACAACATTCTCCTCGCGACGATGATTTCGCACCTTTTGGTCAGCGACCTTTCTCGGCGAACCAAGAAAAGACGTTTCAGTTTCCAAAAGTTGAGGTTTTTAGTCCTAATGGCAAGCATATTGCGCAGCGGCCAAGTTTGCAAGCTTGGATGAGGTGGACGGAAGGTCGGAAGCAGAAAGATACACAGAAGACCAAGAGACCTAGAAGGGCCATGAAGGGACGGCAAGCTTGAGATTGACAGATTGATCTTGAGCGGCCATTTTTTCTCATATATATACCTTATCAAATCAATCGCGCATATGAACAGGACTCGTTAGTGAGAATCATTCTGCTTCCTTTTCTACAGTCCTGCCTTACGAGCCTCTTCGTCCCACCTAAATCTTTCAGGGCGCATTGGTTAACATTGGCACTAAAAAGTTGCCGGGATGTCCCTGGAAGGATCGCTAAGAAATGACCCTGAAACCGCCCAACCTGGTCCACTTGGCTCAGCCACTCGGTCAGGGCTCCTGCATGGCTACACTGCATCTTCGCAGCCTCATTTCTAAGTAGACTATCTCTATGTGCTACGTTCTGCTAGATTGCGAGAAAGCGTAAGATATCTCGCGCACCTACAGCCGGTCTCGAGGCACAATGCTCCGGCGCAGTTTTCTGTGCCTGAGAGATATACCTGGAGATTGAGATCTCTCGAATCTGCACATCCCAAAAGAGTCTTCGAATCGCTCGGTTGTAAGCATTGGAGGTTGAACCTGCACAACATACGGATTGTGACAGCCGAAACCAAGCAAGTGCTAGGGATTTCTCAAGCAGTAGACGCCTGCGTCGTCACTTCCCAATTGCGAGTCCTTGCGGTTCACCTTGACCTCGTTCGCGCAACTCGTGACGACACGCACAGATATTCCACCAGAAATTGTTGCAAATGTCTTCGCGACCCCGACCACCAATACCTCGCGGGCTTACTCATACAGATCCTGACCAAGTACCGATACCAGATAAGCGCCCTGCTGGTCGACCTGATCTGAATCGACCTTTACCTGCGCCACCACTATCTCTACCCAACGATTACGAGATTCCTTCTCTGCGTAATAAACCGCTGCCCGATGATGTATCCCAAAACCAGTTAGGACACACAAGGTCATTGAGCCATCCATTCCCACTCTTCTTCGGCGGCAAGCGTTCGGAAAAGAAACCAACCCCGAGAGATGACGAGATTGATTCGTCAGAGGATGGGTCACTACATCCAACAGGGAGTGGCTCAAAGATTAGAATTGCACAAAGGAACGGAAGCAAAAGAGTTGCAAGCGCAACCAAGCAACCAGCCACGGGAAAGTGTATGACATGTGATTCTACTGTTCGGTGGCCACAGGATCTGAAGGTCTTCAGGTGCTCAACTTGCTTGACCATAAATGACCTCGAACCACCAGACGGATTGCGTCAAGCAGGTCAAGGTCAGACAACTGTCAATGGAGCACACAGAAAGCCTATGCCTGTCTCGTTGGAACGGACAAGGAAGATGATTGACTATTGCATTGATGACTACCTGAAGCACGTCCTGGAAACTGGTGTCTCGTCTAAGCCTCGTGAACCAGTGATGGAGACCTTCTTCCTAAGCGACGACGAGGCTCTGGAGACGACTCTGGCTGCTTCTCCTGCTGTTTTACCAGGACACGGACGTCCAACCGCCTCGAAACCCGGATTGCGAGACAGGGTACCGTCGAATCCCATGCTACCCTTCTTGTCTCCAAGTCGGGGTAGGCAGGAGAACCAGGGACAAGACGTCCCACCAAGGACGCCGACACGGTCAGATCACAATCAACAGAATGGGCTGCTATCACTATCGCACGATGCGAACCTGCAATACGCAGAAGCGGACATCTTTCGTTCTGTTGAGAGTTATCTTGCTGGTAGTCTGACTGGGTGTACATCGCTGAACATCTCATTCTTTTCAATCAAGCCAATGCCTCAGAGGGAAGATAAACATCAAGTACGGCAACACATCAGGCCGCAACCATCCGAAACTCCTGGCACTCCGGCTTATGAGCCAGAGGCGTTTTTGTCCGAACTTGACGCCAAAACCCTGTTGCTTGGAGACGTTGCTGAGAATGGCTCCTGGTGGACTGGCAAGATAGACGTGCAGGAAGAGGCCCAGACGGAAAATACACGAGACAAATCTCCTGAAAGATGGAGGGGAGTAGTCAGTGCTCGGACGCCCAGAATAAATTGGCTTGAGCTTGCAGAGTGGTACCGACTGATACTGCATGCTGGCGATGATTGGAGACGTCGATGGATGTCTCTAGGATCAACGTTGTCAAGCGAGAATGTTGGAAAGTGGCAATCAATACCCATGGAAACATTACATCGACACGTCATGCAATCGCAGAATCATTTACAAAGGAGCTTCCTTAAAGCTACAGAAAATCTTCTCAAACGACCAAGACGACCTCTGAAGAGTCCTGAAGATTGCCGCTTCCTCCTCATGCTTCTTGCTAATCCTTTACTCTCTTCCGTCCATCGGGATACGGCCAGTCGAGCAGCAAGCGATGGTGCTGTCACTGCGACAAACGGTCAACTACCGGGCGACTCACCTGCAAGAGCTGCTCGTCCTCGCAGGAACTATAGTGGGCTCGGTAGGCACTCGGGCATCGTGAAGAGGATACTAGGATTGATTGCTCATCTTCCGAATGACGTTCACCTCTACCTTGTGTCTTGGTTCTCAAGGTTGTCCGACGGTCATTTCGCCGGAATGGTCGACCTCGTGGGCAGCTTCGTCACCTACAGGCTCACCCGTCAATTGAACAAACCTACACAAGAAGAAATTGACCCGACAGAAGGACTGATACCGAGTTTCACCGATGGAGGTGCAAGACATGTCTCGCAGATGCATGCAGCGTTGTCAGGACGATCGAGTAACACTCAGAAGCAAAAAGAGCTTGGCAGACCTCGATTGGCCATCTACGGTGAAGATTGGCAGGTGCGTGCTGCGGCTCGTGTTATGGCTCTTTTCTTCCAGTCAAATACTGGACATACTGCACGTAAAAGAGACACATCTATCTCAGTCGAGCAAAGGGCTCGTAGTGCTGGGCTTAGCGCGAAGCATGCTGCCTACATGCATGGCCAGATGATACCGATCAGTAATTTCTACAACTCCATGCTTGATCACGCAGATCTTATCGCTGACTTTGAAGCTTGGGAGATGACAAAGACAAAATTTACCTTCTGTCAATATCCATTCTTTCTGAGTATCTGGGCGAAGATCCACATTCTCGAGCATGACGCAAAACGCCAAATGGAGTCCAAAGCAAGAGAGGCTTTCTTCGACAGTATCCTTAGCAGAAAAGCTGTCAGTCAATATCTTGTCCTCAGAGTCAGGAGAGATTGTCTGGTTGATGATAGCTTGAAGAACGTTAGCGAAGCAATTGGTCGTGGCGGTCAGGACGTCAAGAAGGGATTGCGTATCGATTTCGTGGGTGAAGAGGGAGTTGACGCAGGTGGACTGCGCAAAGAATGGTTTCTCTTGCTCGTACGGGAAATCTTCAACCCGGCTCACGGTCTCTTTTCCTACGATGATGAGTCGCAGTATTGCTACTTCAACCCTTTCTGCTTTGAGTCCTCGGAACAGTTCTTTCTGGTCGGTGTACTACTGGGGTTAGCTATTTACAATTCGACCATCCTCGATGTTGCCTTTCCGCCGTTCCTCTTCAAGAAAATGCTTGCCTCAGCACCATCAACCAACGACAAGCTCACATCCACACCAAAAATATCTCATCAATACAGTTTAGAGGACTTGGCAGAGCTCAAGCCTTCTTTGGCTCGCGGACTGCGACAGTTGCTTGAATACGAAGGAGACGTGCAAGAAACGTACTGTCGTGATTTCCTAATTGAGATGGAAAGATATGGTGGAGTGGTACAGATACCACTTTGTTCTGGAGGCTCGAAACGACCTGTGACGAACGCAAATCGACGTGAGTTTGTGGATATGTACGTACATTATCTACTTGATCAGTCGGTCGCACGACAGTATGAACCATTCAAACGAGGTTTCTTTACTGTCTGTGGAGGCAACGCTCTCTCACTCTTTCGACCTGAGGAAATCGAGCTCCTGGTCCGGGGCTCTGATGAGCCACTAGATGTTAATAGTCTACGGTTGGTAGCGTCGTACGATGGTTGGCCGAAAGAGATTCCAGCACAGGAGCAACCACAGCTAATCTGGTTTTGGGAGTTCTTTGAACGGCTACCACCGGCAGATCAAAGAAAGATGCTGGGGTTCATTACAGGCAGTGACCGTATTCCTGCTATGGGGGCCACAAATCTCGTGATCCGCATTCAGCTGTTGCTAGACAAAGTGGCTGAAGATAATGGGACAGAACCTGCACGATTTCCAATCGCACGAACGTGTTTCAATCTACTTGGGTTGTATAGATACCAGAAACGTATAACGTTGGAGGAAAAGCTTTGGTCTGCTGTTACTATGAGCGAGGGTTTCGGAATGAAGTGATTGTGGCTGCATTGAGTAACTGATACTGGTCAAAAAAGAGACTGACTTGCGACATGGCACAGTAGAATTGATGTGACGATTTGATGGATAGCACAACCAACGGAGTCCTTTGGTGTTGATTATAAATGAATGGAGGCAATGGCTACATGAAGTTCCAAGCAGTTGACCTATTTTTCAGAAGGGCGACAGAGGACGGGAAATTGCACGACTTTATTCGTTGTGAAATGATCATATGAAATGACCACCGTTTGTTTTTTTCTTCCATCGTCAAGCGCTGCATCTGGTGATGAAAACCACATGATCGTCAGCCCGGGCCGAGTCACGGCTACGTACAACTCCTGCTTGCGACGATCATTGCATGTATAGACTATTCTGCAGCCAAGCTGAATCTGCAAGGAAGTGCCCTTAGCAACCGATCCGTGTGGGGTATCGTAACTCTGGGGTATCACGATCAAGACACGCTTGGCAATGTTTAAATCGTCTGACGAAGTGCATAAGCTCTTTGCCACGTCTCACAAATTCCTTTTAACGTCCTCATTGTCCGTTGTAGTACCTAAATTCCCACATGTAGACAAGGCATCTGCCTCTATTTGCTACAGCCGGTCGAATACCATACCAAGAACGCTTGAACTTGAGCTTACTGCTCGAGGGAGTGAAGCTGTGCTGGGACGAACTCAAAAAATGGGTTGAAGCGGAAGTCCGACCAGGTCATTCTGACTTTGGTATCCATTGTGAGTAGTAAACAAACATGAAGTGTACTATTGCTCGTTCCACAAGTATTGCTATATCGCTTGCTCTGATTCCTTCTCTACTGCTGAACCTCGAGAGGACTCCAGTGCACGAGCACATCCTCTCTTCCATTCGTTATCAATGCACTGTTAGTGATTGATCGGTCTCTATATCGGTTAAGATGGCATATCTATGCTTTTCATCGTTCATACTAGCGTCTCTCGCTGCACTGTCAGCCTCCCAGAGCACACTTACTGCAAACCCAGCACACTCTGCTATTCCCACAGCGTACCCAAACCCTTATGAATCGTCACATCGAAACAATTCTTGGCTACAGCAGCACAATGGATCATGGTTCGATGCATCACAGCCAAACTCTCCCTGGAGCAATGCAACTGATTCGAATGGAAATTACGAGGCCGCGTATACACCTGGTAGAGCACCTGCGATACCTCTGGCAGTGAGATCACCTTACACATCAGCATGGACTTCGACTGCAAACAATGGTTCTCTGAACTCTCAATTTCCCATATTTTGGTAAGTTCGCTTGGTGGCATGTATCAGAATTAGGCTTACATCATTAGGGATGGCTCAGCTCTTGGTTGGGAGGGAATAGTCACAGTAGACGGCATGTCCTATGAATGGATGGGCATCGGATCTCGAGGGTTGCCCCAACTAGACAATTTCGTTTCAGCAATCCCTCTTACAACTGCGTACGACTCATCATACTCGAACTTCACTTTTGCAGCAGGCCCTATCGAGCTTACAGCCAGTTTCTTTTCACCTGTGATCCCAACAGACCTATGCAGAACCTCGACTCCCTTATCATATCTATCAGTCTCAGTGATTTCTCGAGATGGCGGCTACCACAACGTGTCACTTTACACCGACATCAACGGCGGCTGGGTCACACAGCCAGCAGCACCACTCAATTGGACACTATTCGAGAACGACGTTACAGTCAATGGCTCGAGAGTGATAGTTTCACCTGACGCTCTGTACTCGTGGAACATCCGACTTCAGAACGCGTATGAGTTTGGAGAACAGAATGGACAAGATGTGGCTCGTGCTAATCAGGGCGTCTTCCCTCAATGGGGCAATTTCACCTGGTCCTCCATGCAGGGCTCTGCAGAAGCTCTACAATTTCAGTCAGGATTCGCAGTCAACCAGCGATTCAGATACGTCATGGGGATCTCTCTCAACAACTCGATCGATGAGGCGTACCGATCTTATACTGAGCAAGAGCCTGTGTTTGCATTCGAGCACTCTCTGGGTGAAGTTGGGCCTGACGGCACGAGTCCAGTCTTGTACACCATTGGCCACGTCGTTCAACCCGCCGTCCGATTCTTGGGTTCAGTTGGAATCGAGTCGTTAGACCCATGGTGGTCATCTTCATCGTGTTATGGACCGGATTTACAATCAATGACATACAATCACTACCACGATCTAGCAACAGCACAACGACTAGCCGCTCAATTCGAGTCCAAATTGAGAAACGACATCAACTTATACTACGGAAACAGCAACGACAGTCCCGGCCAACAATCCCCACCACAACAATGGTACAATGGTACAGACGGCCAAGAAATCAGCGGCGTCGACCAATTCGGCCAGCAATACATCTTCAATTCCGACAACGCCTACGGCTACCTCACCCCCTCCTCCAACGGCTGTAACTCCACTCTCGATGGCATAGCCATCCCCGACACCTCCGAACAAGACTCCTACTACGCCATCACAGCCCTCGCAGCACGACAGGTCCTCGCCGCCTACGTCCTCACCACACCTTCCCGCTCAACAAACAACAACAACACCGAACCTCTCGCCTTTCAGAAAGAAATATCCAGCAACGGCAACACCAACACTGTGGACGTCATCTTCCCCGCCATCCCATTCTTCCTCTGGAGTAACACGGACATCCTACGCTACGTCCTCAACCCGCTCTTCATCAACCAGGAGACAAACTTCTACCCAAACGACTATAGCATGCATGATCTCGGATCGCGCTTCCCGAACGCTACCGGCCACGTGGAGGGCGACGACGAGTACATGCCCGTCGAGGAGTCGGGAAACATGATCATCATGATGTTGGCGATTTACCGCTTTAGTCAGAATCAGAACGTCGGGCTGAGTTACCTGGTGCAGCACTATGCGATCCTGAAGCAGTGGGCGATGTACCTGATCGAGTACTCCTTGATTCCATCAGTGCAGCTCAGCACGGACGATTTCGCAGGTGAACTTGCTAACCAGACGAATCTGGCTATTAAGGGTATTGTCGGTCTTGCTGCCATGGCTCAGATTAGTGCTGCGGTAGGGGACGGGGTAGCTGCGGCTAATTACTCTCTCACAGCGCAGAACTACTACAAACAGTGGGAGACGCTCGGCATCGACCCTTCAGGCACACATACCTTACTTGCGTATCAATGGCGCAGCTCCTGGGGCTTACTTTACAACGTCTACCCTGCCAAACTGCTCAATCTCTCCATCATCCCACAGTCGCTGTATGATCAGCAATCAGCCTACTACCCTAGCGTAAGCCAGGTCTGGGGCGTCCCGCTGGACAACAGACATGACTGGACGAAATCGGACTGGGAGATGTGGACGGCCGCGACGTGCCAGCCGAGCACGAGACGGTTGTTTGTGGATTCGATTGCGTATTGGCTTAATACAACGAGTAGCGATAGGCCTTTTTCGGATTTGTTCCAGACGATTAATCGGGGGGAGAGTCCGGAGGATCCGAATCCCATTGAGTTCTTTGCGAGACCGGTGCAGGGTGGGCTGTATAGTTTGTTGGCGTTGCTTGCGAGTGGGCAGACTGGTGGTGGGAGTTGAGGTATAGTGTAGGGCATTGAGCTTGACAGCATGTTAGTAAGGAGGAGATGGAATATCGTGCTTCGTGAGTCGCAGACTTGAGGTAGTTTATTTCGCCATGAGCTGCGTCGGCAGAGAGAGGAGTGGTGGCTAGCCGAAATTTCCGTAACAAGGACGAGCCTCTCTTTGAAAGGAGGCACAGACTTCACTGTCCCATCAACATGGAGCTGACCACAACGAAATTATTGCGCTGTCTTCACATCTCCCTTCATACTGCTGAGCCAATCCTCCGCTGTCCATCACATGCCAGTATTTAATGTTTTTGTTCCTGCATCATTAGCTTCGACTGCAATCTCAGCAACATGAAGACAGGTCACGCTCTCTGTACACTCGAGGCGGTGTGTAGTGCTGAAATTATCTATCAACTGCACCCTGACGAGCGGCGAAGTCACTTCTTCCTCATGTATGTGTTAAGAAACGACGACAATCCAAGCTCCAAAACGATTAATTTTCCAATTACTCCAACAACCTGAATGTCTCCTGAATCCATTCGTGGGTATATGGCTGTTATCCCGGCTCCTCGTGCTGGACTCGCAAATCTCCTGACTGGGCTCTGAACGCGATGACTATTACTGATGACAGATTGCTTGATATATCTCGGACGCGCTATCGTTCCTCGAGAATTGGTGACGAATGGCCTGCACTCGACGTTTGCTCACTGTCTGAGCTGCTGTTGTAAGGAGTACGCCTGTTTCTCGTAGACAGAATGTTCTCGCTCTGCATCCTCCTGTGCTTCGATTGAAGTATTTTCAGTTGCTCGTCAGCCCGACGCAGCTTCGACTGCAGTTCTTCTAGTTGCTGTTCGTGTGTTCTGACTTCATTTTTCCTGTTACCCGTCAGTTATGACTGTTGAACATCGACGTGACTGAGCCGTACTTCTGTTCCACGTTTTTCGCCAATTCGCCAGAAGGGCCTAGATTGAAGATGTCATCTAAGGCAGCAGAGAAGTTGAGTGCAATCGTGCTGCTGAAGTCAGCGGTGTGTGACAGGAGGATACTGTCGTCAACACCCACGAGATAGGTCTTTTGTTTGGTTTCCACTCGGGGCTCTGATTAGCCATTCTAAAGTATAGTGATGTGATACGGTATGATACAGAGTCTGGGGGGTGGACAGAGTGTATGCAATGTTAAGTCGGGAGCACAGTGTCGTGAGTTCAGTATACGATGTTGGACTTCAGATGCTTCTTGTTCCTTAAAGCAAGGGTTGTTGAGAGATTGAGATCAAGCAGGTACGACTCCTCGATGGTATTCATGGAGAAGGAACCCTGGAGATGCTTGGTATGCAGCCATAATAAGCAGCTGCTTCGGTTCTCCAGACTCCTAGACTGTCAGGGGTGACCAGCCGTCAATCTGGATCCTGGTCGATCCGTTCGAAGTTCAATGGTTTGTGCTCTGTCGCGCTTAACTTTCGGAAGTTTAGACTCGTCCTTAGCCTGGACCCTTTTGAAATTGGGTCCTGCTAGCTTCAATCTTTGAGCTTAACTTGCGGGCTTGACTCGCGGCTACGCACAAGGGCAGATAGCGAAGTGCACGGTTCTCCATAGGGCCAGATGAGCATGCGCGACTCGGGACTCTCTCGAACTTGAGCCTTCCAATAATTTTCGGCAGAAGTGCGACCATCAACTAACAACTCAAGCACCAGATTCTCATCAATCAGCCGCGTGCACCGTATAGAGGAGGCATTCGTTTGTCTGCTCATCTCTAGAGGATTTCGCGTTTTCGAATCCGACACGTGTATCGTCCTACACCACAGCTGCAGTGGTTTCTGGTCGCGAAGCATTTCAGCACGATGATGGGATGCCAGTCCTAACCTCTTATTCACCCTACGAGACACTGTTGTTCTTCCAAAATGTCGCTCAACATGGTGTCGACGGCTCGTCGTTACAGGAGATTTCTACCACCTTGAACCAAAATGAACTCATTCGCCAAAGTAGCGATTACGATGCTGAGAAGTTCTCGCCTGATGCGCTGCAATTCCTATACAACAAGACTGTGGGCGCGCGAAATGACGACGCACCAGTAAAAACCAACGGAGATGGTGCTTCGGATAATGCGAACCCTCTAAAGAGGAAGCTGTCTACGAGTCCGCCTCGAAATCTTAAAGATGATCCTGAGTATATTGTTCAGCAGTTTGTTGAGAGGCTTTACGCTCAATTTCGAAGCGAAACTATTCGAGATTTGCAACAGCAGGAAAGAGAGTACGAACAGCTACAACATGAGATTTCGAAGCTGGAAGACCAGGCAAAGGTGGATGTAGATCAGGCTCAAGCACAAACTCGTGCAGTCCAACCTCACGAGCAGGCTCGTCCATCGTCGGCGCATATCGATGGCCCCGATCCAGTCAGTGCGCAACTGCAAGCGAGTCTTGAGGCCATCAACGACGTGCCCAAGAGCTCCGTCGCAGCTTTAGAAGAGCCGACCAAGCAGTCTTCGAGTGGTCCTGCATTTGCAGACCAAGCGCTTCCATCGCCTATACCCATTCAGAGATCGGTTTCTAGACCAGGCTCCGGCGCTGGTACGCCTCTTCCGCCTCCAGCTCAACCACAAGCCGTGCTGCAAGCGACCGCAACTCCCCATCAGTCGCCAGGTGCATTCAACAGAACTCTGCCTCCGCCTTCTCCACAACGCAATAACTATGGGCCTATACCACCACCTCCGCACACCTATCCACCACATCATCAACAGGCACAAGCACAACCGCCTATGATATCACCTATACACAGCTTACAGCGGATGCCATCGCATGAAGGTTATCCTCCGCAAAGGTCTTCCAGCCAGGGACGTGGATCACCAATGCCACCGCATGCTTCCTACCCCCAACAGCCGTATCCTCGGTACCCTCCTCATCAGCAGCCACCCCCTTATGGATGGCCTTCACACCCTCCTCCACAGCCTTATCCTCAGCAGTATCCTCCGGTTCAGCACTACCCACCACCAGTACCTAATAGGTATCCTCCTGTTCAAGTTCATACCCCGAACCAGCCTCCTTATCAGCAATATCCGAACACGGCACCCATACCATATCCTGGTCCGCAGCAGTACAGGGGAAGTCCAGCCCCTCCCTATCACCAATACGCAGCTTCGGCGAGCACTACCCCTATGCCTCCAAGGCCTTTGAGCCGAGCGGCACTGATCAGAAGCGCAAGTTCGACACCTTGGAAGAGAAGATCGACGCCTATGGGTTTCAGACCACGAAGTCCCTCTCGGCTTGAGCGTGAGGTCAGTCCACTATCAGACCATGAGTCACCTGCACCCGAAAGTCCTAACCGCGGTGTCGGTCGTCCTTCAATGCAGGAAGGCGCTCCACCTAAGAAGAGCTTACCAAGAGATAAGAGCGTAACCCCAGCAGCAAATCTCAGTCGATCTCAATCAGTGGTGTCAACCGTATCGGAGATCCCTGAACCACCGAAACGACGACCCGGTAGGCCACCTAAGGTCAAGGTAGAAGGACCAAGCACACCTGTTCCTACAAACTCAGATGCAGACTCAGAACAACAGCAGCGCTCTTCAGGTCGGAGAGGACGACCTCGAGCCGGAAGTGCCACAAACCCGCCAGAGTTGGCTCGTACTGGAACCGTAAGCAAGCGAAAGCGTGAAGCTCCGTCAGTTTCCCCAGTCCCACATGCGCGCCCATCTACGAATGTGCAACCCTCATCTGTTGTACGGAACAACACACAACACTCAGATCGCAACTTTGTGGTTATTTCCAGAACTTTTGGCAAGACTAGCCAGCTTCTACTCAATGAAATCACCTCACATAAACGCGGAAACATATTTGCTAAGCCACTCAGCGAGCGCGATGCGCCTGGGTACAAGCAACTAGTACATCGACCTCAAGACTTGAAGAGCATCAAAGCAGCCATCAGTAAAGGTTCGAGGGTTGCATTAACAGCCATCGAAGAGTTGGAAGCGAAGACAGAGGTTGAAGACGGGGCGGCCCACAATGGAACGTCTACGCCTGTCGCAAAAGACATGCTTGTTGCTGGGTCTGGCGATGTCAAAGAGGGCGCGCTAGGCAACGGCTTTTACTTGGTTCGTGCGACGGAAGACCTCATGCCACCAAAAGGCATCGTCAATTCATCGCAACTTGAATTAGAACTGATACGAATGTTCGCAAATGCTATCATGTTCAACCCCTTGCCAGCTTCCGAAAGAGGTTTCGGACGGTCTCTACGATTGCGCAAGCGTGGTGGTGAACTACGTAGTTACGGAGCCAGGGCTCTGAAAGAGGACCACGATGGCGACGTCGACGTGGAGGATGAGACTGAACACGAAGCAAGCGAGCCTGTAAGGGGAACTTCTACCAGCGAGAGCGAATCTACTACGCCTTCTGCAATCGACGAGACTGGAATTATCGCTGATACGCGAGAGATGCTGAAAGATGTGGAAGAACTGGTCAGGCGGTGGAGAGAATTGGAGGGCGACAGCACTAGCGGGACACCCTGGCAGCAACAGACAATAGTAGGTCCAGCTGGTATAGAGCGGCATGCAAGTGTCAGTGCTTCTAGCATAGCTGGTGAAGAAGAGAACGAAGGCACACCAACATTGGGAAGCATGAGGAAGCGTCGTAAAGTGGGAGATCATTAGTTGCGATCGAAGCGTCATTCTTAAGGAGAGGGATAAAGTTCCTAAGAACAAATTTACTGCTTGAATACCATGTGTTCATCCTTCAGTAACCTGCCTCGATTCCAGCCTTTGTGCATTCAGCTTTCGCAAACCATACTACATCACGAAGTAAAAGTAAATGGCCACATAATTAGTGGGCGTGGTAGGCTATACAAATTTCCAAGTTAAGCTACCACAAAGTTGTCTAGAAGGATAGCAGCTTTTTGACCTGCAACAAACAACCACGACTCACATCCGCAACCGACTGTAGGTTTTGGAGAACAGTGATTCTATTCCAATCATGTGTTCCCTCAAAACTTATATACAGGTCTAGATCCTCGATAAATGTTAGACGAACGCTGCTTGTTCTGACCCAACCGACAGAAGATGTTACACCAGAAGTCGCGACAGTGCACCAGCGATCCTGCATATGTCCTCCCAGTCTATACATCTTGGTCGATCAGAAATCTTATGATGATCCAGATCGATACAGAATTTCTCCTGCTGGGGACGGATGTCAACATCCTCACGCGACCAGACTGAAGGTTCTACCTCTCTCATCCTACCCAATCTTCCGAGACCGAGTCGGAAACATCGATGTCTAATCCCTACCATCGTCCAGCTCGCCAAGCGACTGAGGTCTCGCGCCGGTGGCGTTCTGCTAGTGTCCAAGACCATCTGTATCAAATATAGCAAACTAGTAAAAATGTCAGAGGCATATACAATGCATTTTGTGCGTCAAAACACATCGATTCCGATACCGAGAGTCCTCTCTGCGTTTGAGCACTGTGGCATAACCTACATTACTATGGAAAGAGTTACTGGCCAGATGATTGGGAGTGGATGGTTAAATCGCAGCGCAGAATCGAGGGCGGCTCTGCTATCTCAGTTGCGATGCCATATCCGTGAACTACGAAGTTTGTCAGCTCCTGTTGGGATGGGGGTTGCCAATGTTATGGAGGAAGCCCTTTATGTTGAGCGACTACCAGGTTCTTCGTTGTGGTTCGGTCCTTTCCGTGGTGTTGCGGGGTTTCACCTACATCTACGTCAAGGTATCAAGCCTGATGTAAACCTTGATCCGGAGATTAAGCAGCTCGTTGCTCTCCACGATGGACAGTGGCCTATAGTGTTCACCCACGGAGACCCTAGCAGCTTGAACATATTGGTGAAGGATGACCAAGTGGTCGGAATCATTGACTGGGAGACAGCCGGCTGGTTTCCGGCGTACTGGGAGTACACAACGGCTTGCCAAGTCAATCCCCAGAACTCCTTCTGGCGGCACGAAATCGATCGTTTCTTAGACCCTTACCCAGCTGAGCTCACCATGGAAGGTATTCGACAGAAGTATTTTGGAGATTTCTAGACCATCTACAGGCACGTCACTACCTACAGGATCACTTCCTTACCTTCGATCAAGTCAAATGTGGGCACCTTAGTCATATCGAAACTCGCATAATAGACATCTAGGAGCTCACCAAGATACTAAGCTATAGCGATGGGCTGAAGGGCTACAACGGCATGAGTCTACTCTAGTAGTCGCGCGCGTCCCATCCATGCGCATAGGTGTTAGCATGACCAGACATATCCTGACTGGAATTTATGACTGCTGGCGGTACTTTGAAAATCATTTCCACTCTCAGCCTGTCCCTGTCACAAGTTGTGAAGGTTCACGGTGGCCCCTCACCTATCGGCTGAGATCCGCATATTGACGAGCCATGCCAGTGCGGTATGAGCGTGACTAAGATGATGCTGGCACGAGCGCCGCAATTCCGAATGGGGAGGGCGGGTTATAAGACGTGTAAGTATCTCGTGATTAGCAAGACAAGACGGCCGGCATGCACTTGAGTGGTCATTGTTCCAGGTCTGCCGCTGCCGTGAGTATCCGTCTCGACACGATGTGGTTGGCTTTCATTAGACCTCGAACATGTTGTCAGCTGGCTATTTTATGGTAACACAGACTGCAGTAATGCACGTCTCCTGCAACAAAATCATTTCACGATAACCTCGTCAAGAGTTGCCTATTGTTGTAGCAAGCCGAGCATTGCTCTGGAATTTGCTGAACCTTGTCTTTTCTTGCATAAACACGAACAGATGACTTGATTGTGCTGGAGTGCGTGAATGTTGCACAACAGATCGGGTCCGTCATTGATAAGTCGATGAGATTGGGGTCTGCACTTCTGTAAGCCAGTGGTAGGACCGCGACCAAGTACTTTCTCAGGGTCTTCAAACGAAGCTCGCCTGAGCAATCTAGGATCCCTATCCAGAATCTGAAGACAGGTCATGTAGTCCGTGCTAGAACAGTGATGTTGTGTTATTCAGGTCTCCCTATCAATTCGTAATAGCTCATCAAGCACTATCAATAATGAGTATATGCTCAGCTTAGCATTCGGCCGGGGATCGCGCGCAAAGCGGCCATGGCGCTTCTTTGATAAGCTGTACCTCAATGGAGACTAGCAGATAAAGTATTGTTGAGAGCCTGACAGGAAAGATATGGCCCGTTCGGCAGCCGCCTTGATATGGCTTGGCAACGAATCACTGTGCCAAGGCAAGGTCTTTTTGAGGTATGATGCATGATACTATCAGAAATCGTGCAATATTTAACGCGTACCTCGCCGCATATGGTTGTTTGATAATTGCTATTGTATGAAAAACTGCCCACAAACGCAAAAGGCGAATTCAGCTATCTGTATTGATGCAAGGCGTGCCTTTCCAAGCTCGCTCGTACATGTGGTCGAGTGGAGGTTTAAGCGGTATCGTGACTTGAACAACCCGCGTCCTGTAGCTAGCATGAGCGACAGGGCTGCATTCCATAGAGAACCTGGCAATTCGATGGCCTCGGGGTGAGCCCGTCGCCAGGACCCCGCGTCACGTACCGTAATGCATGGCTAGCCGTAACGACTTGCAGAAGAGTTGATGCAGGCGGCCGTAAGTCGCGTTTCTCTCCAGTGACAGTACGTGTGTGAAAGTCCTAAACAGAAGGTGGATTGGACAAAGCCGCTGAATGCCGCGAAAAACCAGGAGGCATTTGCAACATTACTATTCTCGTTATGCTTCACTTTGGATCTGGAGACTTCGTAGATGAGTAACGTCATTTTTTGTCGTTTGGAATTCATCATGCGCTTGTGTACATCGATCTAGACGTTAGAATTAAGTTTAGTCACCTTCATTTCGAGTAGTAGTCAGGCAAGTCTCGAGAGCCATGCTTTACAGCAGGGACTAGCCACGTGCGGTTGCCTGTCAGGTGTGATTAGTTCCGGGCCGTCTCTAGGCATCGCAAAGAAGACCCACTCGCAAGTGTTCTTGTCAGAGCACAGATTCGTTCTTATTGTGTGTGACCAAAGTGGAACAAGGTAGCAATGGACCTGTAAACGTGGTGGAGGAGGAGGAGGTTCGCTATCTGCTATAAGTCCGTGAGATCTGCAATCGACTGTTTCCAGAAGCACTCACAACATGACAGGTGGACTCCTACGTATGCAAGATCCTTCTTATTTGAGATTTGTCGTGATGAGGTCAGGTCTTTTCACGTATCATTAAGCATGTGTAACTGCTCAATATGTCTCATGACACCTGCGGAGATGACCTGTCCAATCCGTACTGGTTCATTGAAAGTCTTGTGTCTTACGGCAGCTTGGGCAAAATGTGTTGAAACGTGGTGCAGCGCTGTTCTCAGCTGATCGTTCTCGATGCAGGGACGATGCAAGTAACAGGCAAGAGCGATGTCCATGGTGGCAACTTAGTATTGGAAATCAGCGTCATGTGTTACACATAAAGATATCCTGTAGTAAGCAATGAGAAGCTGGCCGACACCTAATCGCCGTTGCAGCTTGAAGATTTCAATTATTCCGGTCTTCCTCGTCGGAGGAAACCACAAACCATCGCGCTACACAGGTGGGAGTCGGACAAGTTAGCAAGCGACTCTCAATCCCCATATAGTAAATGGTCTCCAGTTCTGGATTGGAGGGCGGCATGCTCGACCCGAAGCACAATTTTATTCTGCAAGATATCGAACATAATCTTTCGCGACATAGGACAGGCACTGAGAATGACCCATGATACACTCCTTTGTGGCTCGGTGACACATGCAGTGAAGAGTATGCTCAGTGAAGGGTGGACGCGGTTCTCCTGCACAGCTGCCACCTCATCCACTACCACCTCGTCGACCCTCGCAATGCATCACGAGCGTAGAAGACTTGACTATTGCAGGACATGTAGATGCATGGGCTCTGCTTGATGCAGGACGTTGTGCATCGTGTACCAATCGTAGAGAGTTATCTGCATGCTTTAACTTTGACTGCTGACAGAAGCGAACAACAAATCACTGTGACTGACCGACCTCCATCACTAACGTCAACCTAGGCCTGGCCCGTGTTGCGACCCAGTTACTTGGAAATGGTGTGAAATCCACTATTGATTGCCAACTGCATATGTCGATGTTTTGAGGTTGTGGACAACAACCGCTGCAAGATGTGTTTGCTGTGCAGAAGCACTAATTACGGCAACGATAAGACCTCCCCACAATGCGACGGAGCAGCACTTTTCCAAGAAGAGTATTCGTGCTTGCAGGTATAGGATGTACCAGGAATTCGACTACTTCCTATGGCAGATACTTCTCGTGCTTGTAGGGCTTGTAGTGGTAAGAGGTGTTAGCGGGAGAAATCACGGACGTGAGGTTACACACGGACAAGGAGGAAGTCTGGGGTCGGGTCCAGTCCACTGGAACCTCACTTGCCGCGTACTCTTCCTTTTTGTAAAGATCCACCCCCAAGACATGATGACGCAGCTGTGCTGGTAGTCGGTGGGGTCCTTGTCGGATAGGTCTGGTAACGACGATAGGACTCACGTATTACCTCTCTGAACGCAGGCATATATTACACGCTTGCAGCTGCAGTGTTAGAAATGATTTAGTAAAAACGTTCAACGTAGACCGCCAACTAACAGAGAACTTGGGGTAAAGAAGCGACCTAGAGCGGTCTTGCAGCTTGACGTGCATGAATGCTAGAATGCAAAGCATCAACTAATGCACTTAGCTGCAGCTGTCGCAATGGAGGGACGGCTCAACTTCGTGCCATACGAGCCACGTCGCTGATGGCGGCAGTCGTGCTGCTGACCACTCCCAAACTGCAGCAATGGTAGAGTAGTAAATATGCGAAGGACTTCTAGAAAGGGAAGCTTCCTTCGTCCGGAGCGCTTCGAGACCGTTTTCAGTCGGTGAAGTGCAGCTGTTCGGCACGTCGCGACCACTTCTCATGCATGACAGGTGCAGGTTGAAGAATGCCACTGGTGCTGTGGTATGCAAGTAAAAGAGAATCAGACAATAGTTCCCATATGTGCACGTATCTTATTTCAAAAGACTTCACGGCTGTCACAACCCGGAAGACCCGGGACAGTGATGCGGACAAACCAAATCCGGTTTGCGGTGAAGGAGTTTGCGGCGACCAGCTGTGCTTTCCACTCGTCAGAACACTCCGATCCGGAATTAGTGGATTGTTTCTATTGTTTCGAGCCATGGATTATCTGTCGCACAAGAGACGAGTGCTGAGCAAGTACGCGGATGACCTCGTGGGATTTTGAGCAGGGGGTTGACTATCATTAGCCAGGAACATTCCACTCAGCCAGCTTGGGTGCCGTAACTGTCCACAAGACGTTTAACTGTAGCGCCGCTAGCTCAGAGCTTATATCGAATTACCGAACGGTAGATGGGCAGGAGAGCAAGATTGTGGGGCTCAAAGGAGCCAGGGCCAGTCATGGGCACGCCGTGCCTGCAGCACAAGGAAAAATTCCAGTCCTCTCTCTCCCTCGCATGGTCTCTCGAGTTGCTCGCAAGGAACTACGACCTCTCGTGCATAGAGGTAGGTCTTTCTTCGGCAAACTGACAACGATACTGGGCAGGAAGCCCTAGGATCCGGCTTCTCGCACTTCTGTTATCTGTGTTGTGCACGTATTGAGCAGATTGTTTAATTAACTCTGCTCGTCCGCTCCTTTGCGCATACACGTAACCTCCAAACCACCGCGACTTGCATGTTTCCCGTACCAACGTCTCACCACTTTTCTAAACATACTCAACTGCGAACGAGCTGGTTGACTGCCCGAGTACAAGAACCACCAAAGTTCTTCTTGTCCGCAAACTTGCTGCTGGTGACAGAACCGCGGCCTCACATCACATCTTCTCACCACAAGCTGGTTTGCAGCATGGCTTTAGCTGGCTGAACAGGCTCGTTGAGCACAACCGACCCGACGCGCCTTACAAATCCAAGCAATACACTTCTGGCCAGGCAAAGCAGAATAACTTGCTCAGAATGTCAATTAGACCAAGCCGTCGACCCCGAGCCAGCCTCACACATAGAAATAGTTCGCATACCACATCGATACTCTTGCAAGTCGACATCGATAGCTAGCTCGAGCTCGAGTCCTCGAGTGTTTGACCTTAGTGTTGAACAAGGTCTCAGCAATAAAGAAAACCATGGCTACAGGAGCCTCAGCTGCAGCGTCGCCTGCAATCCGGGCACGGGCTGATCTCTCATATTCACCCCTACCTACACGTAACCTCAAGCAGATGCCGTCCATTCAGCGTATGGATGCAAGCTTGACTGGCTCCTTCATGCTCGCTTCCGCGAGTACTCCTAGCGCATCGTCGCTCAACGGCAGTCCGAGTTGCTCATCATATCAGAGCTCTCCCTCCCTCGCAACACAATACCAAAACTCACTATCCACGGTCGAACTTTTCAGCCTACCTGATCCTCTTCTCTCACCTTCAGCAGCTACGCCTACGCCGAACATTTATTCTTCTTCTTTCCCGCGACAAAATGGCCTGACTCGCAAGATCTCTTCTGGAAAAAGAGCACTCAGCCGACTTGGACGGACAACTTCGGCTGGGGTACCAGGTCGCCGTGAACCCAGTTCGGGTCCTGTTGCTCGACGACGCAGCGACAGCAAAACCACGACCTCGGCCACCTTCGACTCAGACTATCCTGTGCCTGAGATTCCTGCTGGTCTAGGCATCTCACAAGGTGTCGGCCTTTCCGAGGAAGTCGGATCCCCAATTGATGCCTATACGAGGCTGGATAAGAGAGCAGAAGTCGTCGCACCCGCTGTGCCTGATGCTCTCGTCGCTGGATCTTTGCTTACCAAGATGACCAAGCGGAAACCCGAGCAGAAGTACTTTTACCTTGATAAGGAGGGCTCCACCGTGTCCTGGATGGGTCATGTGAAGAAGAAAGAGTTTCACATAGATAACATCTTGACAATTAGGCCAGGACCATATGCTACAAGTCATACAACAGACGTGCAGAGGCAAGAGCTGGATCCTACTTGTTTCTTCACTGTCAGTTATGCTCCCTCGCGAACTTCCAAGAAGACGAAGACATTGCAGCTACTTGCTTCAAGTAGGTATATGTGTCAATTGTGGGTCAACACTCTGGAGGCTTTGTCCAAACACCGTGAAGAGATGATGATGGAGATGATTGGTAGTGAACGCGAATCTGTTCTACGTATGCACTGGAACTCTGAACTTGCAAAACAGCCAAATGACGCTGTTTCCAGGTTGGACCTTCATGCCATTGCCGGCTTATGTCGCAAGCTACAAATCCATCCTCCTAGATCTGTGCTCGAAGAGGCTTTTCACAGTGCAGATGTTAATGCTAAGGGCCTGCTTGATTTTGAGCAGTTTCGAGCATTCATCCGTCGACTAAGGTCTCGAGTCGACATCAAGCCACTCTTCAATCATCTCAAGTCATTCGGTGTCGAGGGTATCAGTAAGGAAGACTTTCTAAACTTCGTCAGCTCCGAACAAAGGGAGGATATTGACACCAATCGAAACTACTGGGACACAAAGTTCGATGAGCTTTGTGCTAAACCAGAAATTCCTGTTGTCGACGGCTACGGCTACCAATACATCGACTTTGCGAGTTTCGCTTCTTTTCTCACCTCGAAGGAATGTAGTGTCTATACCTCGCCGAAAAAGCCCAGGACTAGTCTAGACCGTCCACTCAACGAGTATTTCATCAACAGCTCACACAACACCTATCTCACAGGATCACAATACCTTGGGACCTCCTCTGTTGAACCCTATGTCACAGCTCTTAGGCATGGCTGTAGGTCCGTAGAGATCGATTGCTGGGACGGCGACAACAACAATCCTCGTGTCACACACGGCTATACCGGCACGACCTCGATCTCGTTCGTTGAGGTGATCCGAGCCATAAATCGCTGCGCCTTCGAGGCCTCACCATATCCTGTCATACTCTCGCTCGAGGTTCATTGCAACCCCATTCAGCAAGCACGCATGGTCGAGATCATGTACGAGCATATCAACAATGGAAAGCTGTTGTCGTATCCATTGCCTGAAAATGTGTACAACCTCCCTTCTCCAGAAGATTTGAAGTACAAGATTCTGGTGAAAGTGAAGGCAACCAATGCTCATCCTTCTTTGGAATCAATTGGTGATTCAACAGTCACTGCACGAAAACGAAGCGCAAGCTCTCCTGTGCGCAATTCGACCACATCATCTACTGCCATTGACTTGACACAAACTATATTAGGTTCAGCTTATGACTCGCCTCCACCTACAGATCAATCCATGCCTCCAACTAGTGAGGAGGAGTACGAAAGCGATGCGAATCAAGTCAGTCGTACGTCAGTCGAGGCACCGAGCAGAAAGACAAGCAAGATTACTCAAGGTCTTGCTGCGCTGGGCGTATACATGCAAGGCTACACGTTTCGCTCCCCAGTCGATCTTACTTTTCGAAAGTTTAACCACATTTATAGCATTCCTGAGCACAAGGCGATAGAAGTGGCCAAGGGAACAGAAAGCAAGATGTTGTTTGAGAAACACAACGTATCGCATCTTTGTCGTATCTACCCAAAACAGACAAGAATCAACAGCTCAAATTTTGACCCGAATACTTTCTGGAGACGTGGAGTACAAATGGTCGCTCTTAACTGGCAGACTTACGACATACATATGCAAATGAACCAAGCAATGTTTGCAGCAGGTGCGGATCGAAGCGGATACGTACTGAAACCAAAATACTTACGGGACCTGAGCCGCTTCGATGGTGCTACGGATCAAAAGGCTAAACTACCGCACTATCGAATCGATTTCTCCATCAAGGTGATCTCGGCTCAACAGCTTCCTCTTCTCTCAAATATGGGAAAGAATGAGCAGCTCAGTCCGTTCGTCGAAGTGCAAATGTTCAGTGCGGAAGACGCGGCACGCAGTATAGCATACGGCTGTGGTGGCGAAGAGGTCTCTCGAACTAACGGCGTGCATGGCATTGGCAAGCCGCTCAGCATACGGACCAAGACAGTCCCAGAGAATGGGTACAATCCACAATTTAATGACCTAATTGAACTCAGCTTGGAAACAAAACACCCCGAGCTCGTCTTTGTACGATTTGTCGTCTACCAATCAGGCAAAGGTTCAAATAAGGAACTGGCAGTGTTCACTGCGAAGCTTGACCGGTTACAGCAGGGCTACCGACACGTGCCATTGTACAACAGTAATGGTGAAGAACTCATCTTCTCGTCCTTGTTCTGTCACTTCAAAAGACAAAAGCCGAAGCCAGTGACTCGCGAATGGGCACCCGCCCGTCACGGCTCCTTCAGATCTTTCCTTTCACGAAGCAACACGATGGATGGAGGCAGGCAAAGAGGACAGGTCCCGGCTGACAAGGAGAGGATCGCTGTCCAGCAGAGGCTCAACAGGGAGATCGAAGCCAAGAAGCAACGAGCTTTGTAATAATAGACATGTATATTGGCATCGGTCGGGGTAGGAATCGCGCATTTGATACCCTGAGAGGTGCACAGATTTTGTAACTATATAGACACGAAGTCACGATCACCAACGATATAGATCTAACCATCCAGCGATGGAGCATTAGTGTTTGGGAGATTTCCCCAGGCACAATATTAAATGAAATGTTACTATTTACCCTTCAGATTCCTACCTCGGACTTTTCCTGGAGAGAGGATCTCGTCTGTTTTTGAGCACGAAGTATCCAAGGCGAGTCGATGTGTACTGGTAAAGAAACAGGGCTGTCGAGGTTGGGGGTGGATCGACCTAGGATGCTCTCCGACGAGACCGGTGTGTGCATCCCGGCTTGATTCGCCCAACTTGAAGCTAAACTGCACCTAGGGAAATCATTGCAGTGTGGGACAGAACGCGCGAAAGAGGAACTTCTGCAAGCGAATTGTTCGGCAGGACCTTTGCTGCACCGCCTGCGAATATGCATTCATAGTGCGCTGTCAGGCCAGTGGCTGTGAACATGGACAATGTTGCACTACCAACTATGAAATTCTCATAGCATGCTTGTTCAAGATGTTGTTTTTGACATGCGTGAACAGGTAAAGGAGTGCCTCAAATGATCTGTTGTCTGGCCAGCTTTAACCGTCATGATACGCTTGGGGTTTATAAGGGCATTCAACTCAGATTCGTTTCAACTTGACATCGTTGGTGAGCAATGAAGGGTATATATTTAGTGATTAACATTAATCTTTGTGGCAGGTTTTCTGGCTATTCTAGGAGAAGGTTCATTGGAGCCGATTGCACAAGTAGCGACGCTGAGCTATCTGATCTACCTGCCACGTCTCATTCCTGCACCTCAGACATTCCTGAAGACCCAGAGACCTGAGAAGCTCGAGACAACGTCTAATGCAAAAGTTGTAGGAGTGCACTCTGGGAATGCTAGCGAGGATATTCACCATGTCGCCCATGCTCTGCACAGGGGCGATAAACTGGCGCCTAATACGGTGCAATGTGTGAGGGTGGACGAAGATGAGACTTTGGATAGACCCTCTATCAAGAGATATGGCCCTCTAGCGATCCTGGCACTGCTAGGCTTTGCTATGAGTATCACACTGTTTGCGTTGTCTCTATACTACGACGATGGCATGGCGCTGTTGGCCACATTGTCCCTATCATTCCTGAGCACCAATACAGGCATAGCGAACAAATGGCAGCCAACACCCAACGACCCGAAACCTGACAAGCACTCACCTCCCGGAGACGTAATCATAAAATATCCTCAAGGTGCCTTCATCGTGGTCAAATGTAGCGAAAGAACCGCACGATATCTCTACTTCAACCCTTCGGAACGATGCATCTACTCCGTACGCAGTACGCCGATATATCGTTTGCTTTCTCTCATATCTACACTCTTGCTCATGGCTGGTGTGGTATGCTTGGCCAACTCGAAAATCGAACTCCAGACAGCGTTTGCCGGCTCTTATATGATGATCAATATCTTTTACTGGATAGGAGCAGCCTTGCCTCCGCAAAGACACTGGGATCTATCACGGCTGAAACTGTCACATGTAGACCTTAGAGGAGGAATACAACCTCGGTCCGCAGAAGAGAAGGTCAAAACCCAGCCGCAGACGTATACTGAGGCCTTGTGGAAGACGATAGCAGTGACGGGGACGAAGTCGTGGTTGATGTCGACTGATTGGGCTCCTAGAACGGAGGCCTGGGCTGAGTGGCTGCGCGAGGCGGAGGATGCCGCTTTAGCAGAACCCATGGTCGTATCGTGGAGAGAAGGACAAGAGGTTTGGAGGATAAGGAATTGGGATAGTCGGCAGATGCTGTCCAGTATTCTGAGGACTAAAACAGGCAATTTGAGGTCTGGGAAAATGGAGGTATAGGACATCTACAGTTTCGCAGCACAACCTACGATTCCGCTTGAACCATACAGGTTGATATTCAAACACGTCCAGATTTTGTCGAGGCGGTTAAGAAAATGGACAACATGGACAACTCACGATCGTGGAATGGTTCTTGGGAGTGATCACTGATGTTCAGATCGCGAGGTGACGATTGACGACCTTGTACGAATTTACGAAATCCACAGAAATGCAACAACATTCATGACTACCAAAGGTCGGGACTACACATGACATAGACAGCATGATGATATGACACATAGACAGCAATACAATATAGTGATCGTTTCAACCCAAGGAAGGGCTGATACATACTTGCGTTCCTGTAAAGCACCTTAATGCCTGAGGCACGACGCCTGAATAGAGATCAGTCGCCCACCACGAACTCACGCGCCAAGATTTCTTGAGCGAGTCCACAAGAATACCGAAATTCGTTGATCGCAGCGATAGTTGCTCTACCACTATTCACGCAGTTGTTCTTTCACGTAAGTCATACCTACAACAGACGTTGTCCACATTTGCACGCTCCCGAAATCAAGATGTATGAGAGAGAATCACCGCATGTTGCTGCGGAATTGGGTCTGCAGCGTCAAATGCTGATTCGAGGTTGTTACAGATAATATTTCCTGAAAGACACACGACAAGATGCCTTTCACCAAGCTGTGAGTTCCGCGCAAAAGACATCGTGTGTGTGACTGCTACTGACTGTGTTTGAAAAAAGTGTCAAGAACTCCCCATACTTCTCGAGATTTCAGACCAAGTACAAGCGCAGACGATCAGGAAAGGTTAGACACAAAAGAACAAGAAAGCAATAATATGACCAGATCACTGACTGTTTTCGCAGACTGATTACTACGCCCGAAAGCGATTGGTTGCCCAGGCCAAGAACAAGTACAATGCACCAAAGTACAGACTTGTAGTCCGATTCACCAAGCGAGACATCGTCTGCCAGATCGTCACTGCCGAGATCGCAGGTGACAAGGTCTTTGCCGCTGCATACTCCCACGAACTCAAGAGATACGGAGTTGAGAATGGCTTGACCAACTGGGCTGCTGCCTACGCCACTGGTCTGCTAGTCGCACGACGAGCGCTGAAGAAGCTCGGCATCGATGAGGACTTTGTTGGTGTTGAAGAGGCAGATGGCGAGTACAAGCTCACCGAGGCCGCTGAGGACGACGAAGATGCACGACGACCATTTAAGTGCTTCCTTGACGTTGGTCTACACCGAACCTCTACTGGTGCTCGAGTCTTCGGTGCCATGAAGGGTGCATCTGACGGTGGCTTGTACATCCCACATAACTCAAAGCGATTCCCAGGTTTCGATCAAGAGAGCAAGGAGCTCGACGCCGAAACTCTCCGCAAGTACATCTTCGGTGGTCACGTTGCTGAGTATATGGAGACTTTGGCTGATGACGACGAGGAGCGATATAAGTCGCAGTTCACCAAGTACCTTGAGAACGATGTCGAGGCCGATGGTCTTGAGGAGCTGTACACTGAGGCACACAAGGCTATCAGAGAAGACCCATTCAAGAAGGATGACGATGATGGTGACAAGAAGGACAAGGACTACTGGAAGGCAGAGGGCAAGAAGTACAAGACCGCTAAGCTCACCCGAGAGGAGAAGAACCAGAAGATCAAGGAGAAGATTGCCGAGCTTGCCTCGTAAGCACCATGAAGTTAGTGGCAGCCGCCGACAAGTGGTACCATGATCATACATGAACGTTCTGGGGTCTTGATTGTTCCTCCTGCTTTATGCATTTCCTTAGACGACTTCTACCAACCTGTGTTTCGGCGTCCGAGAAGTTGGGGCGAAGCACAGGGAATAGCCTTGACAGTTGTGACTACCCTCCGAAAAGCAATGTGAGCACAATTTCACGAGACACAAGAGACGTGGGCAGAGATATCCTCCACAGAGAGATGGCGGTATCCTTGAAGCACTCGAGGCAAGTACCGTCCAGTAGTAGCAATGCAGGGACAAACTTGCCAGGGTCTGTATTCGAAAAAATGCAAATTATCCCTACTTCATCTACTGAGCGACTGATCCTGTTCTATAGTGAGACCTCTTCTGTCTCACGTCCTCGCGTTCATGAGTGTAGCAGGTCGCTACGAAGGGAGCAACTTGAAGCAAGACAATGAAATGTAGTCTATTTATCTCAGACAGGCTGATCCTACTGTCCTGCACGTTTACATACTCTACATCGAGTCCTTTTCCTGCTTCCGAATCTGCAATCTCACTTCCACCTATGAACCATGCTGGCAGTCGTACTCGGGACGTGATTTGCACCACTGGAAGTGCCCCGTACATGACTCGTATTACCGGCTGTGCCTTGAACGTGACTCTGAACAACGAGCGCTGGTATCGGCGGTTGAACTATGGAATCGCAGTCAGTACAACGATCGTCAGTCGTCGTCAGCATCTGCGATAAGAACACTCACCCTCAAGCACAGCAGGCCCAAACAAAACAGCAGCAGCATCAAACTTTCCAGCCGCATCCGCACTCGTTACCATGGCGTACACCTGTCCCGAAGCACCTTCAGGCACTGTGGCGTGAATGTTTTCGCCGTCGACTTGACCTACGACGCTTAGGACTGTTAGACCTGAGATGAATGTAAGAAAGGAGTTGGCAGGGATGACGGATGCTGCAGCGAAGGATACTGTTGAGCCAGCTGTAGGAGGTCTGCAGGCTTCTGTTGAAGCTGTGCTGGGAGGAAGTGTTTCAGTGACTGTTACGGTTGTGAGAGATACCGTATATGCACCGCCACTCCAACTGGCGGTGGGTGCGGTGGTTGTTGCGGGCTGCCGACGCTTCACGATGGTGTATGAGTTGCATTGTGGTCCTTCGCAGAAGCAGGATGGGCCACTAATTGTTAGAGACGGGAAAGCTTTGAACGGAAGAGCCGCGTTCGTGTCTGGGCAGGCAGAGATAAAGGATGCGGCAAGAGTGAAGACTGCATTTGGATCGAGAGGAGTTCCGAACGGATTGGGACCAGCTACGGCCTTGAGTGCTGAACGTTGAAGGGAGGTGTGCAAGGCTTCCGTTACTAGGATCGACCCAGCTGCTGTCAGAATGTCTTTATTGGTGATCAGTGGCGCGCCTCCCAGGTAGGCTGAAGTGCCTACACCTTCGAGAATGGTCGAGAGGGTTATGAACGATGTCGCGTCTGTGGTTGGGAAATTGTATGTACACTCTGCTACAGGTGCTGCGCCGGCTGCGGCAAGCGCGTCTGTGAGGAATTTGACATGTTGTGCTTCATCTGAAGCAATGAGTTGCAGGTTATTGTGGTAGTTGGCTCCGAAGCCTGCTTCGGCAAAGTCTTGTGCGGTGAATTTTTGTAGTCCATGCTTGTAGAAGACGTTCTCGAGATGTTCGAGAGTCAATGCAAACTGCAACACAGTGGTGTCTAGGTTGTCTTGTCGTTTTGTGAGGCCCGAGGCCTGGTCGACTGGGTGGCTGAGTGTCAAAGGAATGAGTAGTATGCAAAGGGCAGGGATTGTTAGCATATTTGCCCTAATAATGAAAGTGGTAAGTTGATAATGAATGGCTAGAAGTGAATAAGATTGTTGTGGTAGAGCAACATTGTAGTAGACCACATATATTATTAATTCTTCGAGATCAATACCAACCTGGAAGCCTTCGTCAGTTTTGCTAAGTTTCACACTCGGATCTCAACACCCTGACAGGCTTGCTCAAACACATATGCCAAAGTGATTGTCAATACATCGTTTCTCCCAGGTTTGAGAAATCCTGTCGGTGGCTCGTTGTAGGGGTAGCGTCAATCCACAAACCGGCCTATACTACTACAGTTCAGATCTGACACATTGCCTGTAAGGACGACTAACGAGCACCACAGAAGGGGACAACAGATTTTGCACCCCTTTCTCTCTGCTCCAACTTGGTGATGTTTCAAGTTGTCACAGACAAACATCAGAGTTGAGCCTTCCGGCGCATACATTATCCTCTCAAAAAGGAAAGAGCGGCGAGCATCGTGTCAGTGAGAATGGAGAAAGGGAGAATAAAGAGATCCATTGCCGTTACCAATACTTCTCGAAGCCAACGTCAACAAATCTCGATCGCTGCATTTGTGGTCAATTGACCTCGGTCCTCACGATGCAGTAGTACGTTGACCTCTGTAAATAAGTTGTAGTCCCAGAATTTCAATCTGCGTATTACGGAGTACATAATGTGAGGGCCGATAATCGGGCATTTCGTCAAGCGTTCGGGCAAGAAAAATAGTCGTTAAGCACTAATAGTAATAGCTAAGAATGCCTTGTATGTCCACATCATCTCCACAACCTTGCTCAGAATAGATCTGCTTGCTCATTGCTGCTAGTGACCACGATAGCAGTATATACGTACTCGAGTGATGTTCCTCTTAGAAAGCGCCGCTGTTTGCAGATAGCAGCACGAATTACTGCCATGCGATAACGAATCAGCTACCCCTCCCTGCCACGGCACATGGCACGACTCGTGCCCTGCTGCGATGCAAGTATTCACGACTAATAAACCTAGATCACAGATTGACGTAGTAGTGCCGGACCGACACCTAGAACGCTGGGCATGGCCACCACTGACCGTGGTCGCACCCTAAGCTTCACTCGACCAGCCATGAGCGATAGGTAAGCACAAGATCGAACAAGTCTCTGTCTGAACGGTACATATCTCGGCACTGCCTCGAAACTCGGCCTGCGCATATCCAATCCAGCACTTTGCTGAATATACCTCGCTGCCGATCGCATGTTGCAGGCATGAAAGATGCTGCTTAGCAAGCCACTTTGATGTTGTGCAATTAGCCAGCACTTTAACGACCTTAACAATCGTTCTGTGTCGCTGTTGTCACGAGTATGGCATCTACAACGACTTCATCGGTTGCCAGCGAGCACTTACCTGCCTCTAGCAGTGCGGAAGGCGACTTAAATGTGGACTGGTTATTACACAAAAAAGGTGCGGCTACCATATCATGTCTCGGCCTTATGAGTGCTCATGCTAATGTTGTACCGTCTTCTCAGACCCACATAGTAATCTGAAGCGCTCTGCTTCCACCACCTCACGATCCAACAAGTCAGAAACAGATTACAAGGATAAACTCAAGCAACCTTCTCCAGCCTCATCTGTACATCATGAGGATTCGATAGACCCTTTACAGAAGCCATACAACGAACCTCAAACGAACGGGACGATCAAGCCACAGGCCCAACTTCCCTCCATAAACGAACCAAAGTCAGACCCGGCCGCCGTACCCCAGCATGCACAAACACCTTCTGCACCTCCGAAGCAGGCACCTCTACAGAAGTCAGCACCTCAGGAAGAAAGCAAACACAGCAGACTCTCGTTGAAGAAAGATGGACGTCGATCGTCGTGGCTTTCCAGTCTTGGCTCAAAGCTTTCAGGTTCGAGCGAAAAGTCCTCTCGAAGTAGTAGTGTTACCTCTCTCGGCAGTAACAAGACCAAGAGTCCCCAGCCAAGTCCTTATATCGAGAAGTCGAACCCTTTCGAAAACGTAAAACCAGATCAAGCAGCTGCGCTTGCTGATGAGCAGAAGCCTGTTCACGTTGGCCCAAGAAGGCCTTCTGTGCTTGTAGCTGCAGGTAGCGAGACGAAGTTGGACCACACAGGCTTCCTCACAAATGCCTTGCGCCGGTTGTCCTCAGGCAACACAGCTACTTTGGGAAAAGGAGGAGCGACTACTGGTGCGATATGTCCTCGGAGAGTGTTGAACATCGACCCAAATCGGCCCAGGACGAAGATCGCAGACTTTGACCAGAGCAAGTTGAGGCGTGTGGCTTTCAAAGTCGACGTGGAAATTGCTGGTATAGCTGCACAGGCAGACGAACAAGACGGAGGCAAGGCTCCGAACAATGGGCCTGCAGGCTTTGGAGACGAATCCTCTCTTTCGAAAGACACCAAGATGGCAAAGTACAAGGACAGAAGCGAAGGCGCTGCTCTTAAGAAGACCAGTGATCGCGAAGCCACGGATGCGCCCGAATCTGCGCCCCCAGTCCAAGCGAAGATGGAAGCCAAGGAAGAAGAAAAGAAAGAGCGGGTCAAACAAGATACTCAGGAGGACATAAAGGACAACGCAGACCAGCAAGCAGATGACAAAGACAAGTCTGCTACCGAGCCGACGACTACCCGTAAGAAGGAAAAGAAGAAACGGTCGGAAGTCGAGCGGAAAGAACGAAAGGAGAAGAAGCGACGCCAGGCTGAGGACAATGGTCTCATTCCGCTTGAACTTACTGTTGATAAGGACTCGGATTCAGATTCGAGCGGCATCAATCCTACACCACCTGGCGCAACTACGCCCATCAGAAGGGGTCAGCCAACAACGGATCCCTTGAGAATCTACAAGAGGTGCTGTCAGCTTCGTGAGACTGGAGCACTGACAAATGTAAAGGACCAAATTTCCAAGCCGTCAGCGACCCTGGCTGAGACCCTTGGCACCGTTGCAGTCATTGACCTCACCGGGCATGAAATGTCGTTGGCTGATATCCAGACTCTGGGTGACTGGCTAGCCGTCGTGCCTGTAAGAAAATTGGTACTTGACGACTGCAACCTATCTGACGAAGCAGTACGCATCATACTGTCCGGATTGACAGGTTGCAAGACTGCGGACCAAGCACGATCGAACCGCAAGTTGCCACGACGAGCTGGTAAGTCAGGCATTGAGGCATTGGGTGTGATCGAAAGGCTCTCGATGAAGAACAACACGGCCATTTCGGCCATTGGATGGAAGCACATTGCTCTATTTATCCACCTGTGCCAGTCTTTACGAGCTATCGACTTGTCAGGCATACCTTTCCCTGCTAATGCAAGCAGCGATCTTTCTCGCACAAGCACCACTTCTTCTAACCTTGTAGGTTCTCAAGAACTACCACCGAAGCGCATGAATCTCAGTCAGCTTTTGAACCGTGCAATTTCGGAGAGGTATGGGGATCGCTTGGAAGAATTGATTCTAAGTCGTTGCGATATCACAAGTCAAACTGTGTCGGACTTGGTAGACAGCATAATCAAGTGCAAGGTGAAACGACTGGGTCTGGCAGAAAACAACCTGAATGAGGAGGCGATTGTCCATATTGTTCGATATGTGATGTCTGGTATCTGCGAAGGACTAGATACCAGTGGTAATGATCTTAACGGGACAGGCCACCTGCTCACAGAAGTCCTAGATGATAGGAACCCACTGTTCGCGATAAGTGTAGCAGATTGCAACCTGAGCGTCGACGACCTGCGAGCAATGCTGCAACATTTATCTTTGTTGCAGAATTTCAAGTTCATCGACTTGTCGAGAAATCATGAGTTATTCGAAGGTCCGAAAGATGTTGTGCCCCTACTTCGACGGCGCCTACCACAAATGAAAGAACTTAAGCGAATACATCTCGCAGATGTGGGTATGACCCCGACTCAACTCATCTCATTGGCAGAGATTTTCCCTGATTGTCCTGCGCTTGGACATGTCAGCGTCCTGGACAATCAAAGGCTAATCGAATGCATGAACTCGACACAGGCAGATGCACAAGAAGAGGCGTGTGCTGTCTTTGTGTCGTTGATGACTGCCGTACGTGCATCGAAGACGCTTGTGGCAGTCGAAATCGAGGTACCGAGCCAGGAAAGTAGCGAAGTTGTCAAGGCACTGTCATCACAAGTTGTGGCATACAGTTTGCGGAACCTCGAACATACCACATTACCCGAAATTGGGGTGCATCAAGACAAAACTACACCCACAAAACTTGACAAGCAAGCTCCGGAAGTTCTCCTGCATGTTGTCGGTCATATGGAAGGATACGACGAAAATCACGACAACGATGAGCCCGCGCCTGACGAAGACTACATGATGGCCACAAATGGTATTGTTAGAGCCTTGGGAGTGTGTTTAGGCAACAAGGAAGCGAGTCGAGCCTATTCTCGGAATATCAGTCCTGCTGCTAGTGGCACAGTAACTCCACGCTCGGGCGCTGTCCGACCTCCAGGAGCTAGAAAGCCTAAGGACGTCAGCTTGGAGCTCTGTGAAAGTGCCAGGAAGATTCGGCTACGATTGCGTCCTGCTATGGTAAAGGAGGACCAAGCAGGGAACAACGAGGGATACCGTAAGTGCATGTGTCTATCTGATCTTATACTCTTTGCTAACATCATCCTAGGTCGTCTGATGTATCTAGACCAAACTCTTCAGCGTATTATCAAGCGCTTTGAGGACGAATATCCTGAGTCAAGACCACGACAATCACCATCAGTCCTCTCAATCGACTCCCCTAAATCGGCCGAAGCAGACCAATATGGTCCATTGTCACGTCTAACCTCGCTTGACGACGAGCGAGCAGACGCAGAACATGCTCAAGAGTCAGATCCGTACAGCCTCAGTCTCGCTCGCACCGGTTCTCACACATCTCTGGCTGCTCGTGCACAAGTCGAAGAGGAAGGTCGAATGCACCGGTTTGGCCAACACTTCCGGCGCGAGGTGCTCAAGCCATCTGGCACCGACGATGCTCTCCACGGCACATCTATTGACGACGCACCTGAAGGGGCCTCCCCGGCTGCCCTACGAGCACGTCTCGAGACCATGAACGGCGACGCAATCCGTGCGCAGGTGGAGATGTACGGAGCAGACGACGTCGTCAAAGAGTTAGGTATCAATCTACAACAACTGAGGATGCTGGAAGAGGAGGATCCCGAAGGCTTTGCGAGGTTAAGAGATAGTCAGCTTGCTGCATTGTTCAACTCCGGGAAGCTAGACGGAGACGGATTTGAGAGGGGAAGAAGTAGTGAAGCTCATACGACGAACGGATCGATGTTCAGTGCGTTGACGCATTAACACCGATGATATCACGACTTGGAACGATATTTATGGTCTGTCTCTAAGCACTTGAAATATTGGTGGACCGCCCGGGGTAACTGTTCGAATCGAGCGAAGGAGCAAGCAAGCGGTTTGGAAAGCGTTCTAAGCGACTCACTCGTTTCTGTGGCTTTGGACTTGCTGAAGGCTGTACAGATCGAGTTGCATTATAGCTACGCGATACTATCACTAAGTAGGTACAGACAATAGTGTCTAAGTATGAAGTTACGACATACCATGACTTTTCAAATCGTCTCAGATGTTCCTGTACACACACCACTTCATCCATATCTAGGCTGCCCAACATGTCGTCGCACATTCTATACAACCTGCATCTGCGCTACTAACTGCGGCGTAAGCGGATGATCCGGACTATACGTCGCCTGTAAACTGTCCAGGATCTCAGTACTCATTGCGTCGAGGTCATCCTCTTTCAATCCCGTAGCAATCGCAACCAGCTTGCGGTGCTTGCCGATCCGCTCACCTGTACCGGCACTAGCGGTCAGATCAGCGATATCTCGAATCAGCCGTCTCCGTATCTGTTGCTGGTTATGTAGTTCTATCGCCCAAGGAAGTGCATTTTGCATCTCTTGATGCGTCAGTGCCGATGGATTAGCGGACCGGAAGGCCTGTGGATTCGCCTGTTGGTCGCGCTGCCGTACGTCAAATTGCAGGACGCTGTGGTCTTTCTGTTCGAGGAGGGATTGTGCTTCGGCTAGGAGGATCTGGTATTCGGTGTGCAGTTCGCTGGATTTCTCGACGGCTTCTGCTTGAGCTGTGAGCTGGAAGGATTCTTGGCGGACTTGGTGGCGTTGGGTTTCGAAGTCTGAGAGTGCTTGTTTTGCTTCGGCTATGGCGATGTCTTTTTCTTTGACTTCTGTTTCGTAGAGGGAGGCGAGTTTGGTGCTGACTTCTTGGGAGGCTGTTTCGATTTTGGAGAGGACGCTTGAGGCGGCTTGGGAGACGTTGCGCTTGGTGGGGGCAGCGCGACGGAGTCTTCGACTTCCCAGGGAGTAGGATGGAGGGGAGGAGGGGGGCTGGTCTAGTAGTTCTCGCTTTTCCTTTAGAGCACGTAGGTACTCATTGGCTGTGTCGCCATTGTGGTTTTGTTGGTCACCAGCCTCGGGACAGTGGTTGAGTAGGAAACTGGCGACTTTCATGCACCCGTGCCTCACTGCGATCAACACCGCGGTATCACCTACACTATCGGCTGATCTAAGCAGTGTCTGGACGTAGTTTACACCCATTTCTTGCATCTTGTTGATGAGAACTTCGCAGTAGTATCGGGCACAATTCCATTTGCTCTTAGAGCCAAGAGTCTGGGCAATATGGTGGAAGACAGTAGCGCCATATCTGTCCCTCTCGACGATGCTACCTGCGAGCGCGGCCACGACTTTTGGGAAAGTCTGCCTGTCGTAGTTATTGGTGAAAAGGACGGCACGCATGAGGGGCGTCTCCTCTGAACTCCCTGCGCCGATGTTCGGGTTTGCTCCCCTAGCAAGCATATCTCTTGCTACATGGACATCTCCCATAGCACAAGCCCAATGTAGTGCGGTGTGTCCCTGGACGTCAATGGGTCTGTTCACGTCGAAACCTTCCGGGGGCATAGGAGGATCGAGTAGAGCTCTTTCTGGATCGTCACCTGATGTTATAAAGTAGTCCAGAAGCTCATCTCCATACATGGTGTGCTCCAGCTCGGCAGCATGATTCACGAACTCATTGTCCCGTTTCCTCTTTCTGGAAGCCGTTGAATTCTGCGACATCGGAGGTAGAAAGTCATCGTCGGCCATAAACGATTGGGTATCTGGAGTGGCTCGACCTTGACTCTCTTGCTCATAATATTGCTGGGACTGTGTCGGATCAGGATAGATCTCGCCCGCGTCCTGGTAAGCCGGAGGAGCAGGAGCTTTGGGAGCTTGTCTTGGAGCAGAGTTGGCGGCGGCGGCCTTCGATGCTTTCGTTCGTCCCGAGGCGGCTGTGCTATGCTTCGGTGCTGGTGGAGGGCTTTTGTCGCCTGGGACGTAGTCAAAGATCTTTGCTACTCTGTCAATGACACCGTTCTTCTCAGCCAGCAGTCTGCCATCTCCGAGTGGAATCCAAGTACCCTGGTACTTTCCATAACCTCCCTGGATCTTCTCATGTACACCTTTCTGTACCTCTCTTTCTAATATCCTCGTGCGAGCAGGTTTGTCGAAGCCGGCTATTTTTAGAATGTGAGTTGCATTGACCCAGTCGTCGGACCGGCGGCGCATGACATGATCGCCGCCCGATATCTTGAGCTCGTATACAGGCACATTACTATACGTCGCCGTGTAGATGTCTCCCGTCGGATCTGCCATGGTTACAATTCGTCCTTGGAGGGTTGTTCTCGAAACGTAGGTACCGACCCCAGAGGCCGCTGAGGCTTTTGATGCGCTATGCGCCCGATGCCGATATCTACTCCTCAGAATTTGACTGGCTGAGGATCACTGTTGCGATCGCGCTGTGTCGTGTCAATCTGGTGACTGAGCGAACGCGTAGTATCAAGAGGACGCGTCGTGGGGAAGTTTCCGCAGGTTTGCAGTGTTTGCACAATGGACAGACGAATCGGGCGAAGGTTGTTGCAACTCCGAACGAGCTACGACTGTGGTCGGCATTCAAGGTGTTTGATGTGAAAGCAAGGCTTGATTGCGACTACTACATAGCTTCTCACCGTGCTATTTCACTATGACTGTCGTGGAAGCTGTCAAGGATGCTGTTGGGCTAGGTGACAGCCCAGGTAAGTACACTATCGTCGGCGAGAGTCACAATTAATATTCAATAGCTGCTACTGGACAGGCCTCTCGACAAGCTATGTCAGATGCAAGATTACCTCTAGCATACCGGGACAGTTGCGCACACCTGTTAATTCCACTGAATCGGTGTCGCTTCGAGGAGTGGTATATGCCTTGGAAGTGTGTGGTAGGTCGAACAGATATCCTCATTCCGAACGTGTCGCTCAGTATTGTACAGGATGAAAGGCACAGCTACGAGAAGTGCCAATACGAAGAGTTCAAACAGCGGGTAAAGAAGATGGACGAGATCAGAGCAGCTAAGAATGGCGCGAGGAGTAACTAGGAACGAAGGATAGCACGAATAAGACAAGTTATGATTGTACATATTGCGATCAGTATGCGCATGTGGATGGCGTTGAGGAGTATCTAAAGATATCAAGCTTGTCGCAGGGCCATTACAGCCTACACACAACCCGGATTGTGAGGTAAGCTCCAATCTGTGACGCGATTACCCTAGAGTTGCACTGCCAATTCCTCTACAAACCACGAGCCTATGAGACACCTTCAGATACCTGCTTGACCAAGCTTCGAGTTGGACCATTGGCTGCAGAGCAAGCACCAAATATTACTTTGTGCAGAACTGTTCACGTCTGGGTATGTCAGATAAACGGGTTGACCGAACTTCATTTTAGCCAATGCTTCACAATGTCACTACGAGCTTAGCCACCAACGGTATCAGCAGTATCAAATTGTTTGCAGTGTGGTTGAATCCACTATTTCTCGCTATTGGCAAGCACGACGAAGATTCATGTCTCTGGTGCTCCTTCACTCTAACCCAAAATTAACATCCCGCAGTTCGATCGTTTTCATCGCCGTTCTTCTCACTGAAGTTAACTTCTCCCCTCAGAATCACAATCAAACATCACGCACAAAAGGTAACAACTCTGCAAAAAGCAGAAGAAGCACATCCATCATGTTCAGCAAGGCACTACTGCTCCTGTTGACTGTCATCGCTGGCGCGTTGGCAGCGGGCGTGACTAACATCCTCAATGGTACGCTTCAATACACGAGTACAGATGCTGTCGACAACGTTTCGTCGTATACATTCCAGGATCCCTTCTGCATTGTGGATGTCAATCTTGTCGACTACTCCTGGGCTATTGTGATTCTAAGAGATGGCAGTAAAACAGAAGCTGGTTACGATGCAGCGGGTGATTGTGGTGGACGCTTCAAACGAGAAATGCAAGGGGGTAAACTCGTCGCATTGACCAAATGGTAAGTACTTTCAATCCTGTTCAAGAAACTTAGGGAGAGCTCGGCTAATGTGTCTTCTCGATCAGGCACTGCCACTACGGACCAGAAAACAGCGCCTGTATCACCTTTAACAGTCCACTACTGTGGAGTGCTTTGAGCGATTACATTTATCCGACGTACGCGAAGGTCACCGATGGTGTGGAGTTGCACTGCGAGAAACTCCGTAAAGGCAAAGATGCTGTCTGTCCAGCAGCTTTCAACGACAACTAGGTCGATTGAGCTGACTCAAAGACCTTGAGGTTAGCCAGAGGAACAACACATTACAGCTAGCGCAGAACCTTGGTACTGGTTGCTTGTAAAACGTGGAGAGGCACGTCGGGTTCACGCACTGATATCTGCTTGGCCTACACTGTTAGAGTTGCAATATTGAAATATGTGGTAGTTGTCGGAAACAGAGTCCACCATAACAAATGACTGTTGGTGAATCTGTAGAATAGCTCTCCGCATACGTAGTTCGAAGCAATCCTGATCTATCTACGCGAATTTTGAATGCGGCATCCTTTCCATAGATGGTTGCAATTGACCGTTCTTCTCTCCTTGGTCGTAGAATCTATTCAAACACTCTTGCAGGCTACACTCTCCCTGAGTTGCTTGAGGAAAGAACGATTGGAGTGACAATGCGGCTATCTGCGGCGACCCATCTAGAAGCGTGCTGTACCGACCAATCAACGCAGGCTCTAGATTTGAGCTTATAAATCCGTCATTCATTGCAACCAAATTTTGCCCCCTTCCGATCCATGAAGTCAGAAGCAAATCCGATAGGATAGTGACCGTCACAGAGATGAAACTTCCGAAATGTGCCTTGCCCTTTTTGATGTCCCATTCCTCGCGGTCTTCCACCCGATTGGTCCATCATAACGCCATTGCGACTTCCTGCTGTCGTTTCACTACTGCACTGTGAAGTGTTTTGGTTCTTGCTTGCCTAAATTCTCTATGTTGTACTTGCTTGTCCGAGCCGCACGAGTCTTCACATAGGCTTGTCGGTTCAGTCCTTAGGCAGCCAGTCATAAACTATCGCGGTTCGATGCATGCTTATACAAAACTTTCTTCACATGGGTCTACTACAGCTTGGCACTCCCCTCGGCTGGGACAAAGCCAAAGATGCTGCTGGTCAAGTAAGAGAGTGGGGAATCGAGCAGCTGCTAACGATATGGCGGAAGAACAAGGACAAAGAAAGAGCGATGCTGTTGTGGGGTGACGAAATCGAGTATCTTGTTGTTGAACTTGACCAAGAGCAGCAGAAGGCAAGACTTTCACTCAGCCAAGCAGAAGTCTTACAAGCGTTATCGGAAGATAAGGAGCTTCAGAAACATGGTCCTATCGTACCTGACTACCAAGGTGGTGAAGTGGTCAAAAACCAAGCTACGTTACCTACCTTCCATCCAGAATTTGGTCGTTTTATGCTAGAAGCAACGCCAGGAAAACCGTGGAGTATCGATTTCAAGGATCTCCTTGAGGTGGAAGAGGATATGAAACTACGAAGAGTTATCGCAAAGCAACATATGGGCAAGGGTCAATATCCAGTAACTTTGACAACCTTTCCTCGACTTGGCACAAAAGACGACTTTATCACGCCATATTATCCTCCCTCAGGTCCTGCCCTACGATCACAATTCGTGCCGGATGAAATTGCTAATCCGCATATCAGATTTCCTACACTTGCTGCAAACATTCGTAGTCGAAGAGGTCGGAAGGTGGAATTGAATGTGCCTGTATTCCACGACGACAAGACGCAATGGCCGTTTCACGATCCCACAGTGAACTATCATATGCATAACTGGCCTGAAGACGACGACGTACGAAATGGTGCTGCTAAAGAGAATTGTGTATACATGGACGCAATGGCTTTTGGAATGGGTAGTTGCTGCTTACAGATCACATTTCAAGCGAAGAATATTAATGAAGGGAGAGTACTATACGACCAACTTTCGCCCTTGGGTCCAATATTGCTTGCATTGACTGCAGCTACACCGATATACAAAGGTTTCCTCGTGGATACAGACGTTAGGTGGAACCAGATCAGCCGTGCTGTCGATGATAGAACTCGGGAAGAGCTTGGTGAGGTACCCTTGAAGAACGATCGATGGCAGATTCCTAAGTCTAGATACGCGTCAAACAGCACATATATCGCCCAAGACTCCCGTTTGAGACCGGAATATCTAGACCCCAACCTTGTCATCGATCAAAAACTCAAGCAGAGACTGCTCGATGGAGGTATGGATGACATGCTTGCAACACACTTTGCGCATCTCTTCATCAGAGATCCCCTGGTCATCTTTGCAGAAGATCTAAAGGAGCTCGATGTTAATGGCTCGAATCATTTTGAAAATCTGCAGTCCACGAATTGGCAGCACATGCGTTTCAAACCACCTCCACCTGACAACCCGAATATTGGCTGGCGAGTGGAATTTAGAAGCATGGAAATTCAGATGACAGACTTTGAGAATGCAGCGTTCAGCATATTTATCGTTCTGCTTTCGAGAGTCATTCTATCGTTCGATCTCAACCTATACATACCAATACCTCGGACAACGGAAAACATGGAAGTAGCTCATAGAAGGGAAGCCGTGCTGAACGACAAGTTTTGGTTCAGGAAGAACCCTTTCCCCCGGAAGACTACGCCTTCGCCTTCACCTCCACTACAACCACAGCACCATGACACAAACCAGACATCGTCAGAAAAGCCTACAGTAAATGGCTTTGCAAATTCCGCATCTGGTGCCCACTCATCCGATCTGCCTCCAGTAGACGACGAATACTGCCTGATGACTGTCAATGAGATCATCAACGGTCCAGGGTCAATGGCAGGGGATAAAGGCTCTCAGTTTCCGGGACTGATACCACTGGTACGACATTATCTATCGTCCCTTAATGTGAGCGTGACTACTCGCTGCCAGCTCGAGCGATACCTGGACCTCATAGCTGGTCGAGCAAATGGTAGCCTCTGGACAAATTCTAAGTGGATCAGGCACTTTGTTCGAGAGCATCCTGAATATAAACACGATAGCGCTGTCAGTGAAAAGGTGACTTATGATTTGATCAATACTGTGGTGGCAGATATTGAACAGAGAGAAGATTGGTCAAGCAAAAATGGGGCTGGCTGGGAGATGTTCGAATCCAATGGCCATTGATCTTGTTCCGTGGCAGCGATAGGCAGGAGTAAGGCATTATAGTGAGTGGTATTTGTGTGAAAGGTGGACCACCAGATATGAGCTTTGCCGAATTAGGTGTAGCGTTGAGCAAGCAAACTTCAGGGTGACCACCATTTATGCAGCTGGAGACATTCTCCTGTTCACAGCCTCAAGTTATGTGCTGACATAGCACTATGAGCGGTTGCAGCTCTCGGAGTCTTGATCAAGAGCCGGACTGTATAGCTATTGTACCTGACCATCCACAATATGTGGTCATCGGCACGTATTCTCTGAGTGCTGCAAGTGACACTCCACAGACCAAGAGAGGCTCTCTTCAGATCCATACATACTCTCCGGATGGCGATCGAGACGTCGAGCTCGATCGTCTCGATTTCGACTTTGGCATATATGACCTCCAATTTCACCCACTGCATCATGAATGGCTTGGAGCTGCGACTAGCCATGGCGAGATTCGATTCTATGCCGTCACATCCCACTACGACGAGGTCACTGATGAGCTACACAGTTTGAAACTCACATATTACTGGCATGTTCCCATAGAACCTCATTCAGATAATGGAAACCAGGCAATAATCACATTCTTCCAGTTTCTTGAAACCGAAATCGGTAGACTTCCCTCACTTGTGACAACTACACAATTCGGCAATACTAGACTTGTCAAAGCGCCCATTGCAGGAGCCACACCTGATTTGTCGCAGAATATTGTCATTCACAAACAGTCGATGGAACTTGAGGCCTGGACTACGGTAGCAGTGGTGGACACGATCACGAATCAAATACTCATACTGTCTGGTGGTGATGATAGCCAGCTGATTATTTCTTCCATCGCACTATCAGGTGGTAGCTATACTGAAGCTGATGCTAGGCTCGATCTCACGAGACTATCGCCCCAAAAATTGCTCGCAGATAGGCGGAACCATTCAGCCGGTGTCGTGGCCATTTGTTGGTTGGGGAGGCATCCTTCACACGCCATGGGAGAAGGGACAGACGTGCAAGATACGCCGGCTCAGTCACCTCCATACCTCTTCCTTACAGGCTCTTACGACGAGCATCTGCGCCTTTTTCTGCTCCCGTCACCATCCTTGCATGATCAGAAGTCGAGATTGGAGACTATTGGCACCATCCATCTTGAAGGTGGTGTATGGCGTATCATCCTCCTCGACACCTACACCACTGAAGTTTTGGTGACAAACTACATTCTGTTGATAGCAGGACACGCTACTGGAGCTTTTGTCGTGAGATTAACATGCAAAAGAGGACTGGACGATGATTGGGAATATGCATTCAAGGTCGAGAAGCAGTTTACGGAGCATGAGAGTTTGGTGTATGCCGTTGTGGCAAAGAAGGACGAGCTCGTGCATGGCAAGTGGGACGTGATTAGTACGAGTTTCTACGACAAGAAGATCTGCAATTGGGGCTGGGTAGACGAAGAGAAGGAGTGACAATCTACATAAAAGCAATTTTTGCACGAGTGATCGCAGGGCTACGGCTCTGCGTCTGTGTCTTTTCCTTCATTTATATTCCCCTCCATCACTTTTCCGTACGCCAGCAGTGAAGGCACGAACAACAACCCCACAAGCCGACAACGTGACCAAATTGTAACAACCATTCATATACTCTATCCCCGAACTTTTCCCTCGAACAATACCACATTCCACCAGCCACTATCACAATAAGTTTGAAAGACAGAAACAAGAAGATCACTCGGTCAGTATGTATGGATTCCATCGCCACGATACATCAACCACGAACAGTACAGACAACTAAAATAACAAACAAGCAAATCAGTTGAGACATCAATTAAAGTCGTCAGTTCGATCCCTGTGATTGTTGGGGAGGTCTGGACGGCTAGCATTCCGGGTGGGAGAGATGAAGCTGAAGTGCAGTGTATGCATTGACAACATGTGCTATGGCCGAGTGATTCGACCGTTTGGTATGAGGATCTTCTGTACGAGTTTCCACAAGATAAGGACGTAGGCTGTGACTTGCCGAACGTTTTTGCTCCTCACGGCTCCCACTAGGGACGTTCGACCTTTTTACACATCTGTAGGAAGATGTAGGATGCCGTAGATTATCTACTTTTGCTGATCTGCTTAATGTCTTCAAATTCTGATCGGTTTGCTCTTGTCATCGATCCTCGAAATCCTTGCAATATCTTTTCTTTCTATGCTTGTTACCTTTCCATTCGTACTGCATGTGGTTCGTGTTGAGGAGAAGAAGTATGAAGTTATAACTTCTCTTGCCTCTACTGCTCGTTCATTGCTTGTCGAAGCAAGGCCGTAATGTGTCATTGATGTGGGTCACGCTTGGTGTAGTGTAGTAGCGACGATTGCGAAGGTTTTCGACGCATACGATCTGGTGAGTTCATTTGATTGACCACCCAGTTGTGCAATTCTCTTTCTGAACCCATATTTCTTTGAGTCATTCCGATATTCTCAGTGGAATAACAGAACTGCTTGGGTCGAGAACCGTCTATGTATCCAGCTCTTCGAGCTATCCATGAGAACGGACGAGCCACCAGATGTAGTGCTTCTTTTACTGCTGGCACGAGTTTAGAATATAAATTCTTGAAATACTCTCATTCCTTCTTCTTCTCCCACTTGATCCCACCAAACTTCCCAGCCGTCCCACCACTCCCATACCACTCCTCCGGCATATCCATTCCCACACGCCTCGCCGTCAGCCTCACCCTATCCTCCTCACTCATATCCATGCCGGGATTATACCTCTCCAGCAACGCAACATACGTCCTCTGTGCTTTTAGGTATTTTATCGCCTGCTCCATCTCCTGTCTGCGTGCGAGGAGTGCTTCTGGTGATGACGAGGAAGAGGAGGCAGATGGGCTGTTGACGAAGTGCTTGCGGATGCTAGAGCGGAGTGGTGAGGGTGAGGTCTTGATGGAGGTTCGGGCGGATTGAGGAAGTTCGCGCATGATGGCGCGGTAGAGGGAGCGGGCGTGGGCTGTTGGGTCCATGATTTGACTGCACTGGCGTGAAGTATGAAGAGATAGGAGAGGTATTTGTGTGGTTAAGGATGGCTGTGGACCGATCGTATTGCCACTCGTCAAGCTGAATGATATACAGGCTTGACTGGGCCAATTCGGGCTCGAGCTTCGGCCCTCAATAGCCCGGGGAAACAGTGGCCGCGATGAGCGGTTGATAATGGGACTCACCGGCTAAAATTTGTCCCGATAAAGTGCTACAGTAAAATCGTCCATCGCTTTGAGACATTCAAAGGACCATAGTGTATGAAAGGCATATTAGAGCATTGACACCCTCGAACAGTTCATGCGCATCAATGCTCGCTAGCCGAAAATTCAGACATCAATCCTTTGTCTCTATGGACTGATAGTCTGATGCTACAAGCTCTCAGATCAGCATCGCGCTCGCAACATGTGAAGCCCATCACTCCGCGAGGTCTAGCAGGCCGTCTAAGCATAAATGCCTCACCCCACGTCCATAGGCAATGTGTCTGTCACATCTCGACACCCCAAACTCGATCTCGACAGGCTGAGCAACGAACAAGGACTTCAGAATCGAACTCGGACTCAATCTCAGTCTTCCTCCCACAAGAGCAAACTCAACTCAAACCACTCGTCAACACAGCCACATCAAGCACCACCTCCCAAATCTCAGACCACCACGACTTGCCATCTTTCCTACGCTATCACAACGCCCGGCGCGCGTCAACTACTGATCCTGAAAAGCGAGTCAAGCTAAGCAGGTCTTACGTGTTTCTGGGAACACGATACGAGTACCTTATCCAAAGACACTTACAGGATCACTTAGGATTCGATCTGACTCGCGTCGGAGGTGCTGGTGATGGAGGCGTTGATCTGATTGGGACTTGGAAGTTACCCTTGCCTGAGACTGGTGGTGATGGCGTAGCCAAAAGTGGTAATGGCACGACGTTCAGGGTCATCCTGCAAGCTAAACGCATCGCTACAAGCCGCAAGCTACAGCCAGGGTTGATGCGTGAATTAGAAGGTACATTAACTTACGCTAACTCGATGCGATCGCTGCAAGAGGCTTTTGCCGCGCATCGGATTCGGCGACTCAATTCTAGCGGGAGACTGGAAACTCCCGTTGACAGCGCTGAGCCTGTTGAGCACGAGAAGGCTGACCTCTCTCACTTGTCAACGATTGGCATTCTCATCGCGACAAGGCCGCTGACAGACGGTATCGAAAAGGCCATGGCCAGCTCACGAAGACCCCTAATGTATATGTACCTGGAGGATTCGAGTTTGCTTGATCCCAAGGAGGAGACGACTACCCATAATCATCAGACTTGGGATGAACAGGGTCCAGTTTCGCAAGGTACCAGCGACTTGTCGGTGCCGAACACAAAGATCCGCCAAATCACCTGGAACAATGCCGCGTCGAGAGTTGGGCTAGAAGGCTACAATGTTCTCAGGAGATATCATGACGACGGTGATGCAGCGCAAGATGGACACGGCCTGCAGGGTGAAGCAGCGATGACCTACCTCGGGAACCCTGTACATTTTCAGAAGCAGGTGCCTTAGAGCGAGATGGGAGACAGGGACTCCCTCTGCCTAAAGCGTCGAGAAGAGCAGAAATGCAACAGTAAGTGTTGTTACACATACGTATATAGTTTGATACAGTCAAATTTGTCTAGGTATTATCGTGCTTGATCATGCCTATTCGCTGGATGGCTTCACTAGCTAAATAGAAGACCTTGCCGATACGTCTCAAACGACGGACCAACTGTAGACACAGCCCGTGCTGTCACATATCCTCCAAGCCAATCGAGAAAAGCACTTACCTTCATAGTCAAAGACTACGATGCACCGCCCATGCCTGCAGCGTACGCTAGGTACCATGTCAGACTTGCTCCACCATCCAACCAGCCCCAGTCGAAGTTTTCCTGCGAAAAGAAGTTGTATGCTGCTCGAGGATTGATCATTGCTAGGTTGCCGAAAAGAATGCCTTTCCAACCTCCATGAACGTTCTGAGCTGGAGTCGAGGCACCATCTGCAAAGTACAACTCCCATTCTTCCTGAATGAATTTTCGAGTTCGGGTCAGAGTTGAGAAGGGCAATTGAGGAATCATTTGTATGCCGTGCACATACTCAAAGTTTGCACCGAAGTATGTAACGTGATCGGCTTTGTTCTCAAACAGGATGCCTGTCACCTTGTTGCCGATGAATCTGGTTGGTTGGTTTTTGTTGTCAGATTCCATGAGGAAGTAATTCTGAATACTTCTGGCAAGGATCGACAACATCAAATCACCACGTTGTTCCATAGAATGGTCACCGATGGTTCGACCCCACATCTTGAGACCATAAGCGAACATTGCATCTTCAGAAGTCGACTCTTCGTCCTTTCCGTCGCCGGTTTCGAAGAGACCTTTGGCCCAAGAATGACCATTGTACCAGTCAAAAGACCTGAAGATCGGAAAATGGGTATCCAGAGAGCTAGGATTGGCAACGTCTCGAACCAGAGCGTTGACGTAGTCTTTGTTCTCCTGAGCCCAAGCCTGGTCCAGATACCCAATGAGTGCTGCGGCGTGGATGAAATAGCCGTAATGAAAATGGTGGTCGTTGTAGTACGAATTGCCAAAATCCTGACCAGCGTCACCCGTCACGTAGCTTGCTGAAGATACCAGTCCCTTCCATTCAGTGTCGTAATAGAGAGGGAAGACCTGAGTATTGTTGATGAAAGTCGCGAAGGCCGCCTTCAACTTTTCCAGAGCGGCTGCAGCAAGTTGAGGTTGATCAGCCATCTCATTCATGACATATATGATCTTGGCGTACTTGCTGAGACCTTTTCCACTGTAGTACATACTGTTCAGATTGGTTGCTGCGTCCATGTTCTGAGATGCTTCTATGGCACTGTACTTTTGGACGAGCGACAATGCGTCTGCGGCAAGTACGTGAACCTTGGAGGAATCAGGATCCCACGGTTCGAAGCCCATTGAGGGGTGAAGTGCTTCGTTCAGGATCCAGCAATCTGCGACCACAGCAGTAGCAGTACCTTTTGTGGTTGTCTGTAACTTTACCTGAGGCTGGACCTTGGCTGCGGTGGCGTCGTCGAATGACTGGGTATGATGAGGCAGCGCGTACATCAACAGTGTTCCATTGTCAGCGTTAGGACCCGATTTGGACCAAGACAAGCTGTACTGGGCAGTATCGTTGGCAGCATAGCCACTAACAGCGCCAGACGAGGGATAGACACCTGATGAATGGTCGAAAACGGCCTCATCAGCACCAGGTGGAACCTTGGTAACTTGCACGAGGCCAGACCAGTGTTTGACACCTTGAAGCATCGTGCTCGAGGTCAGCTGAAAGTTTGGACCAACACCAAAAGTCGATGAGGCATAGACTAGCCACAATTTGCCATCTTCGAGGGTAACCCGGTACTTGTAAGTACCAGCCCTTACTTGTCCAACAAAGACAACCGAGCGAATGAACACTCCTGATTGGACCTCCGGCTGGGCAGAAGTATAAATGGCAGTCACGAAAGCCATGCCCTGTGCCAGAGGGAATGTGATCTTTGGAGGTGCTCCTAGGACTGGCGACAAGTTGACATTCCCAGTCAAATGGTCCAATGAGTCAGTAGTCAACACCGTTGACGAACCAAGCTCGGCGGCCGATAAGATAATTGACTGAATACCAAGCGGGTTGATGTAATAAGAAGCTGGGGATCCTGGGATTCTGGCATTGTTGGGGCCATAGACTTTCTGGTTTTCATCCACATGCGATACACCCATTCCCCAGCTTTGAGCATTACCACCACCTTTGACCCAAGCAAGACTGTACGGCATAACAAAGGCCGGAAAGGTTTGGCTGCCAAGGAAGAAATTGAAGTAGTACTTGTTGGTTTGAATAGGACGACCATCCATGCCGTAGATACCATGTCTTGGCACGGGATGACCTGGTACATGTGGGATGCTAGGAGGAGGAGGACCTAGACCAAGTGGCTCGAAGAGGTTCTGGGACTGATAATCCATCTTGAAGGCGCAAGTGGCTGTTGGGCCCGACAGAACTGAAGAGAGTGTACCGCTTGACACAACTGTAGAGGCAGTCTCGGTGAGAGTGACACTCGTGACTATGGTAGTCTCACTCAGGATCGTGGCAGATGTTTCTATGACTGTAGGCTGCACATTTGAAGTGACCACGGGCGTTCCAGCGACCGTATACGTTGAATTTGCAACGACAATTGATGTGATGGAGACCACGGTAGGAATTGGAGTCTGAGCTACAGTTTCGCTGCTGACCACAGTGATGAAAGTGCTTACAGGCAGTGTGACCGTATCAGTGATTGATAGAGGTGGAGCAGTTGTTGAACCATTAAAGTGCGATGCAGTGACGCTGATAGGCTGCAACGTGGCTGAGGTCACAGTTGGGCTGATGGTTGGGAAGGGTTGTACAGGTGGATTGCCTTCCGTTGCAATGGTCGTTATGATTGAGCCCGTGGTAATGGCGTCGCTGGGTACGCTTTCTGTTGGTGACTGTGTGTTTGATATCTCGGTCAATGTCTCTGTCTCTTCCCTACGCCGATCGTCGAAGGTGGTGCCTCGATAGGCGGAGGGAGCCCAGGGTCCATGCTGACCGTTCCGCTGGGATGCTAGGACGTCACTGGTGGGTCGATCAGAGCCTAGAAGAGCGCATGCTAGTGCTCGTCAGTAATCATACCATTTTGGAATCGATGAGTAAGACTTACCATCTGCCTTGAACGACGTCCACCATGATGGGAGTCTTAAAGCATGACTTTGTGGTAGAGTCGAGGCCAGTAACACCTGCTAGCTTGTTAGTCGACTCTTTCGCGTCTGCGGGCATGATTGAAGTGGCTGGAGATGGACACTGATATGCATGAATTGCAGATGTCAAGCTGACGATCGAACCGGTCTCAGCTGTTGAGAGTGCCATCCTTCTCAACCTTTGACGTCCGTGTACCCTCATACAGTGTTGTATCGCCAAGAGGATCACAGAGCTGACGATAGTGCCAAACGCAAAGTCGGGAATCCTTGTAAGTCCAGGATCACCAGTTGAAGCTGTCACCTTGGCCACGAGCTTGGTCGCAATCTGAAGAGAAACACCTGGCTCGATGAAATGGGTCGTGAACATGGAGTGCAAGAATGGTCGTACTAACCAGGAGAAGTGGACATGGTGTTGGAGGTGGTCTCATCGCCACAAATGAGAATGAGCAAGGTCGCGGTCAGCTTAGGATGAACGTAAAAGGTGTGGTAAATATGCAGGTTATGAGATGCACCAAGAGGACTTTAGGCAATGCTGACGATAGGAAGTAGAGGATACAGGACAAGATGCGTGCTTCTCATGTTCAGCATGACCAATGTGTAATAGAATGTTGAATAGTCACGTTGAGGGCAGGAACCTACCTGGGTAGTCGCACTTACCTTCTTCGAAGAGCAACCATGGTAATGAAGCAAGAGCCTTGGGTCTCTTACAATGTCTCAGAGTCACACGCAGCAGTCGCTGATGCTTAAGAATGTGGATCAACAGGAACATGTCGACCGTTGTCAAGGGCGCCGTGCACAGCTGACCACAGATATGTTGTTCCAAAAAGTTTCGGAATAGATACAACTTTGTGTATGTTGCAATGCTTCCACGTGTATGTGCATTTCCAGACGCGTGTGGCCAGGCCGATACATGTCTTCACAAGTGTCTTCAACGGGAGGTGGTGAATATTCTGGTAAGGGATGCAGATCCTTGGCCATTGGTCAGTGGAGCCATCGATCTCTTTTCTATTGGATGCGAGACATTACTCGTCGTCCCGTGGCACATATCATGCCCTCAAATGCCTCTTTGTTCAACTACGGTATACCTGCTGATAGACTTCACCACATTGAGCTTGCGGATGACTCGATCAGTACAAGTTGTTCGTGCTCGAACAAAGCACTCTAACAGTCAGTTTTCGCACGCCTAAACAAATGTACCACTCGTAGGTACAGTGATCGCGTGTCGAAAAGCGAACTTCTACACCAGATAATCATCGGTGTTGGTCGTAGAGGAGGCTTTTGAAGGGTGCAAAAGTATCATCTGATACGGACATCCTGTGGATTCCTGTAGTGTCCAAGAAGCAGGTCATCGCTCAAGTTATCTTCGACAGCCCCATGAGTATATTTGAGCATATCGCTTGTCTCTTTTGCTCACCCAAATCTTCTGGTCTTTTCTTCATCGGCTGAATGCGATCAAATGATATGTGAGACATGCAGATGTCAAAAATGAGTGTGAACCAACTTGGTCCGCTATTCTGGCCAAGGATTCATCTGGCAATTTGATGAGATGCTGTTCATTGCGCTCTTATCTGTGCTCGACCAAGTTAGAAGCGAGATGCAGAGGCATATGGCTACGAAAACCAAGTCAGATTAACACGAAGTCCAATGTGCACGGGCATGCTAGCGATTGACCCCGACGTAAAGGAAAGCTCGACCTTTTCTCCATACTATAAACTTCCGATATGCTCAAGGATTGCACAATTGCCGATCATGCAGGACCACTCATCGGTAGCTTAATGTCTCATCCACTATCTGCGCGAAAACAGGCAAAGAAGCAGAAGAATTTCGAGCCATGCTGGCCCTTGCATACCATACTCCATATGATGATGAGGTCGAGGTTGGGAATAATTCGGACGGACGCCAGCAACGACAGCAAATCGGCCTACTGGTAGCTACATCGTGACACGTGTGAACTTAATCAACGATTGGTCTTTGCACCGCCACAACCACATTCGGACTCTCCCGGCCCGTTGTTCGGTTGAGCAGGAGCATTCAAGCTGTGGTGAACAAAGACGTGTTCAGCTTTTTCCCGTGATTAAGAAAGCTGGAGCCTATAAGCATATCCTCAAAATTACCAATAACTCCCTGCGAACAACGTGCAGTGTCAGACCACCATTCACTGAGTATTCCAAGTTGACCAGCTCCATCTGAGTAATATAAATTTAACCGGAAGAGAGGCCGAGAAGTTCCTCCCCGTCGGGGTTTCGACTTTCTAATGAATGCTCTGGCGATCTCGACGAAGGCACGATGTAGGCGTCTACGTAGGATCGCCGACATCGTCTCGCTGAAGTGGAGCATATATTTTCTGTGGAGGTCCTTGCACTGCATGTTTGAATCTTGGCAGACATGGTGGCGCATAGAATCTAGACTCCGATGCCAAGAATACAGAGTCTGGGGAGGCGTCTTGGCGAACAAGCTCCGGCCCAGGTTAACCTGGGCATGACAGCAGCTTCTGCTAGGCGTGATGTTCAGCAATTGCAAGGCCGTTGCTCTCGACTCTCATGACTGGTGTATGTCATCTCTTCTGAAACGTCGACGGAGCAATTCTTGTAATTGTAACTCTCTTCCTGGACACGTGGTCGGAAGTTGAGTCGATCGACTGTCAGTCATGAATACTGGATACTCCCGCTCCACCACTTTCATCTCGCGCCAAGACACTGCGCTTTATTTGAGTTCCTGCTACCGTCGCCGTACCTAGATTTCTTACCTGTCTTGAAGGCGAGCCCATACTGGGATTCCACCTTTACGTCTCGAGTCTGTGAACAGCCAGGATATGATGACCTCTTCCTGTACTAATTCGTGGAGCTCGCGACACATATGTCGGCTTTGACTACCACGAAAATTATGCCAAGGGCGTCTCATGGAGAATTTTGCGACGTACTGTACCTGTTCGGCGCCATAACACAACGCATAAACATCTATAAGATGATAGCATACTGCTGTAGACGGCCTCCGAAAGTCTTTTTCTCATCAAGAGCACACAAAAATCCGCATCCCCAGCCTTGACATATCCTACCTCACAACATGTTTACTATACCTCTGCTACTGTTGTCGGTGGTCCCACAGGTCTTCGGCTGTGCTGACCACCAAAACTTCATGAGGCCCGGCCACAATGAAAAGCGACAGCTGAACATCAGCAACACAGGTCGAACACCAACATACTGGGCCTATGAAGCCTCATTCAACTGGGGCAAGCTCAGTCCAGACTACCATCTCTGCCAAGACGGCACCCAGCAATCCCCCATAGCCCTAGGTCTCAACCAAGGACTGTCGCTGTACCATCAACCAGACTTCAGCGGGTACCCATCAGAAGTACTAGGAAACTACTACAACTGGGGCTACGGCCCAGCATTCACATTCTATCGCGAACCAGGAAATTACACCAGCTTGCCATACATGACAGTCGATGGCGAGAGAATGTACATGACCGGATGGCACATCCACTCCCCAGCAGATCACACGGTCGGTGGTGATCGCAGTAAAGCAGAGATCCACTACGTCCAGTAAGTTCACCACTCATGTCCCAAACACAATCAATCCTAACATATCCAGCTACACAGCCGACGGTCACGAGCGAGCCGTCGTCGCCATCCGTCTAGACCCAGGTCGCGAAGACTCACCCTTCTTCGCTCAGTTCCCTCCAGCAATCCACTTCAATGACACTTCAGCGATCCAGAACCTCGACATGGACCCGATGCAAGCCATTCGAGAGGTCAGCAACTTTAGCGAATTCTGGACGTACAAGGGCAGTTTGACCAGCCCACCTTGCAAGGAGGGTCTGCAGTGGTTCCTTGCGAGAAACATCCTATTTACCAGCAGGTTACAGATGCAGGATATCCTTGGGGCTAGCACGTTCTCTGCTCGTGCTGAGCAGGAGGTGTGGGGTCATGAGGTCAATGTATAGACGATGCCGTAGGAAAGGATTGTAAATAGAATCAATAGATAGTCCAAGGCACTTAAATGGCTCTTGAACAAGCAAAATGATACAATGAACTCAAATTCTTGGTACAATCAATTGTTCATTCGCGCAAGCAGTACTCGCAGCAATGCTATCACGATCAGAGGGTGAAGAAGTAGTCCCGTTGATCTACGCCACAGGCTTCGCCATCGGCTTAATAACCTGTCCCTGCTTCAACAACACCCTTGGCTTAATAGCATCCTGGAAATGGTTCCTAGTACTCCACTCCGGACCCATAGGCAACCTCAAGCTCCGCTCATACTGACTCCTGCTCTCAAACGGATGAGGCAACTCTTGAGCGAGGTACTTTCCATTCTTCTTCACTCTCCTCTCATTGACGATCACACGATCCAACTTTGCGTCTTTCCTGGTTTCAGGAGCAATACCCTTGATGGTGGTGACGAATCGACCTTTGGCTTTATTCTGTGCTTTTTTGCTGATGCCGACTCCTGTCCAGCTTCCCCAGCCTGGGAGGGTGTTGTCGATGACTTGGTCGCCTTCTTCTTTGATTGTCTGTTTCTTCTCCTTGATGAATTGCGTGCGGAGGTCTTCTTCGTCGTCACCAGCGAAGATATCAAGTGCTAGTCTGTCTTTGTCGTCCAGACCATCTGGGTGTCCGCCTTCGGATTCGGAGGGACTGGTGTAGTCGTCGAGCGTGGATTGTTGCGTCGTCTGGGGTCTGGATGACTTCTGTGTAGTATTTCGCTGAGATTTCGAGGTCTTCGTTGTCGCTGCAGAGAGGTTATTCGTGCTTTTCGCTTGATGGGTTGAGGTCGGTGGTTTAGCTTTACTGGCTGGCTGAAGCCCGAGGGATGGTTGTTTGCTCTGCAGCTGCGGCATCATCGACTCTGTTTCTTCCTGATTGTCCTCCTCATCCGACAGCTTCTCTTCGAAATCTAGTCTGTTCACAGGTGGTGGTGCGGTCGCAGTTTTCTTGGTGGTCTGCTTACCGAACGATTGTCTGACGGGCTTATCTTCGTTGTCTGATTCGCTTTCCGATAAGTTTTCACCACCATTCATGGCTCGTCGTAGTTGCTTAAGCTCTTCGTCGTTTGCGGTTTGGCGCTCCGCTTCTGCCTTTTTCATGAAGGCCATGTCTGCAAGCTTGAACTTCCCTGCAGGCTGTTCGGTGCTCTGTAACGAGTCCAGCTTCTGGTTCCATCGTTGGTCGGCATCTTCAGCCTCAGAGTCGAGTTCAGATTCGGACTCGCTGTCGCCATCTGACTCATCCGAGCCATGAATATTCTTTCCTTCCACTCTTTTTCTCAACTCTTCGTCCCTACGTGCCATTTCAGACACGCCAATCTTCGCGTCCTCGTTCCAGGTAGTTTGGCCACTTGCTTTTGCAGCCTTGGCCCATCTGCTTTCCTTGTGACGAGCACCCATCCTTTCCTCGGCTCGTTTTCTATCATTGCGTTCTCGCTCTTCGTCCGAGTTCAGCAAGCCTGCAGCAGCAAGTCTTTCGTGTTCATGCACAGCGAATTTGTCCTTTTCCTTGCGGTGCACCCTTCGATATGCTTTGCTCTTGATCTTCTTTATTCGCTTAGCACGGATTTCCTCTCTGAACATCAGTTCTCGTTGCATTCTCAGCTCCCGCCTTCGAGCTTGCACTTCTTCGAGCGGGATCTGCTTCTCCTTGAGTTCTTCGTACTTTTGCTCCTCATCTTCTATGTCCTGTCCATTCTGCATGCTGAAACCACTCTCCTGCATAATCTCCTTGATCTTGGACTCTAATTCGGATTGTGGGGCACCTGCTGAGACTGGTCGAAGTGCTTTCACACCCGATGCCGAAGCCTTAGTATGGTCGACCAGGGGAAAAGACACGTGTTCAGCACGTCTGTTGTTCTTGACTGTATCTACCCATCTTTCTAAAGTCTGTTTAGTCTGGTCGTACGCAGCTGCACGGTCAAGGCGATCTTGCTGGCGCTTTGCCAAAGGAGCCGCCAGTTTTCCGGGTATGCCACCTTTGTAGGAAGTGCCGTCTTCCTTCTCGGCCTGCTGGAGGATTTTCAGAGATTGTCGCTGGGTCGGGTCTTTGATGTATTGCATAAGGTCTGCAGCTGATATAGGCGCCGAAGGTAAGGCAAAAGCAGAAGGCTTGTCGGGCAGATTTCGATTTATCCTTTGTGGTGCAGACTTCACCAGAGTCTGCTCGGCAGGGGTGAGACCGTCAACAAAAGAGCGCAATCTAGCGGTGGTTTCTTCATCTTGTTCGTCCTCAGAAATGTCGAAACCTCCAAACGCGTCATCTTCCTGGTCAATGTCATCCTCACTTTCGTCGTCTGCAAGTGACTCGACAGGTTCATCGCTGCCATCCGGGAGACCATTCAAAGTTTGTCTTTGGGCAATCTTCTTCCTAGCAGCTTTCTCTCGCTCCTCGCGCTGTTCTTCGTCATCCATGTCCCATGCTGTGGCTAGGTCTATAGCATCGTCACCAAAGTCGTCCTCGTCCGAAGCCTCTTCACCGTCATCTTCACTGACAGAGTCACCGTCTTCATCTTTAACCTCATCCTCCTCAAGATCCAACTTCTTGGCTGATAGCTGCTTCGCTCTTGGCTTCTGTGGCTTGTCTTCTTGCTTACTGCTGCCACGAAAGATAAAATCAGCGAAGCGCTCTTCATCACTCTCGCCAAAAGCGTCGTCACTGTCGATGTCGCTATCTTCATCGTCCTCGACTCCTACGTGCCAGGGATTGCCATCTGGATCACTCCCTCCATCTTCTTCGTCCTGCTTATCTGGGCTGTGATCGACTTTCTGTCGCTTGGAAGACCTCCCATCAGCATCGGCACGGGTGTTCGAAGCATCATTGTCGTCTTCCGCTTCTCCAAGTCTGTGCTGCCGAATCTTGACCTGTTGTGGAAATTCTCGTTCGGCAGTCTCGAGCGCATTCAAACCACGACCTTTTGCAGGCTTTCTCTTTTGTGTCTTCGTAGGTCCACTAGCAAGTAGAGGACGACCATGCGCTTGGCGAGGCATTGTGGACGTTTGGAATAGACGGCCGACAAAGATGTACCTCTTCATCTTTCCGAGTGCAGACAATTATGGACATTATGGATAATTGTGGCGGTCGAAACTTTTTCCGGAAAAGCAGACGTACCAGAAGCGCAACCCGCAGTCTCGTAGCTGGAGAGTCGTTCCCAGTCACTTTGGAATTAATCAAATCATTTCTATATGTTCGTGCTGCTTCATTGCTTAACAGCTATCCAGATCGCTGTTCCTCTACTCGTCAGGCCATCCAAAGACCAAGCTGAGCAGATATCTTCTTGTACCACAGCAAGATGAAACCATCACCAGTACTCTGCAGTCGGATGAAGACTCGTTTGCGCTTCTCAACCAAACAAGTCGGAAGGGGATTCTATCGGGGCACGAATACAGGATCCAAGGGTGCACACACGAAGTATGGGGACTACCTCATCGACTGGCGCAAAGTGCGACATTTTGTGGTACCTAATCTACAAGGATCGAAGGTGAGCTCATTATTTAATACTTTCTAGGATAACAATTATTGATACTTCACTTAGCTGAGTCCTTTCGTTTCTGCTCAACTGCATGAGCGGCAGGAAAAGCGTGTAGACCCGAACGGCTTCAAATACGATGAAAAATACGACGGAATGCAGTACTTGATGTGGATGAAGCACCAGCATCCTCAAGAATGGCAGCATGAACTGAGCAACGCGCCTGAGCAGCAAGGGTGAGCTACCTGAAGCCAATGCCTCTACCATACTATACCGAGTATCGATCCTCCCTCCGAACCTAGCGACCTAAGATATTGAGCGTGGCCGTAGATAGCCGTCAGGTCTCACACGACCAAGAGCGATGGGCCGGTGTCTACAAACCAAGAATCCAACTTCTGGCTTTGTTTTGTTGTTGCAACGGAGACTTCTCGCAGCAACGATCCAAACCAAACACCAAGCAAGCAGGAAGGATGGTCGAAAGACCACCAGGTGCTGCGGTGTTGTTGCTAAATGAACCAGCTCTTGTTTGCAAGCTGATCTTTGAGTGCCTGCGAATGCATCCTCAACCCGACACTGCGAAGCATGGCGAGGATGTCAGAGCGTTGTCTTAGCAGGTATTTCTGTTGTTGCAAAAGCACAAGGATGAGAGTGGTGGCACGTTTGATGAATTCACTTCGAACTATGATGATTGAGGCAAAACTGAGCATGCGCATTGCAGTGCCGGATGGATGTACCTATATTTCTATGTGTATATATCGACTTACTAGCTTGAGCAGACAAAGGAGAGGGCTCACTAAAGAATTAGCAGTAACGACTGTTCTTGAATATCAAGTGTGATGCCTGAGGCCTTAAGCTTCATGTTCTACTTTTACCTACTCACTTTGTTGTAACTAAAACCTGTAATTTATCTATGTCAATCTAAGACTAGACCTCAGACTTCGCATCCGTCACTCTCCCGGCAATGGGTAGATGGATCAGGCTGACAATTGATGCGTAACTGAAATATTCTCTCCTCGAACATATTGCATCACAACGCGTGACACAAGGCTGACAACGATACTAGAACGCGCTCGATCTGACGCGTAGGCTCGCTCATCGATACCTGTAATTCCCGTCTCCAAAATGTCGTCTCCCAGCGCATTGACTTTGTATAAGAAACAAGAAGGAACATTAGCGGTCTCGAAAGACAAAAAATCTGTATCATGGACCCCTTCACAGCCGGCTGGAGCGTCTCCAGCTCTCGTGGTCGATGTTGTGAGAATTACCAATCTGCAGCAAACCCCTGCAGACAAACCAAAGGTAATGCTCAAAGTCTTCGTAACTGAACCTGGCCAGAAGGAACCAGGTACTCATGTGTTTCAATTTGCCTCAAAGACAGATGCGCGAGGCGAAGCAAATGCCATTCGTGATACCCTTAGCTCTGCTATGGCCAAGGCCAGTCAAGCCGCGACTGCGACATCGAACGGTGCTGGGCCGTCTGCAGCAATGGCAATAGCTGCAGCTATATCTGGTGGAAAGGGTGCTTCTTGGGAAGACGACGAGACTCTAGTTTCAGATGTACGTCTACAATCGACATTACTCAAAGAGAATCCAGAACTATCGAAGACTTTTATGGAAGCTCGCAACATCAAACCAGACTCTTTGTCGTTGATACAGTTTACTAAACAGTTTTGGGCATCTCGAGTCCACCTTCTACGTGCTCATGCTTTAGCCCAGTCACAGAGCAAAGGATTGTACAACGTCTTCTCAGAAATAAAACGAACAGATGAAGGTGGCAGACAGCAACTAAACCTCACTTCCGAGCATATCAAGGCCATCTTCGAGCAGTACCCTATCATGCGCATTGTCTACGACGAGATTGTTCCAAAAAAGATCAAGGACGACCGAGAATTCTGGTCACGATTCTTTCAGAGTCAGCTTTACTCTGTTCTTCGAGGGCTGAAGGTCGATCGCAGACTTGAAGCGAAGGATGCCATCTTCGATCTCTACCTTGACCACCCCGAGCTTACTGGTCAAAGGCCAACATCGAGTGAGCTTCATATACCCAAATTCATTGACCTCGAGGGAAATGAAGAGAACCACAGTCAAAGACAAGGCAACCGGCCAGATATGGAAAATCAACAAAAAGTACTAGAAAAAGGTCCCATCATCCGTCGACTTAATTTGATCAGTGAAAAGCTCATGGCTGCAGTCAAGCCTTCAGATGCAGACATGTCAGCACCCATCGGCATAGATGAGTCCGAATACGAACAACTCCGATTACGCGATCTAGCACTCACTGAACAACAACAACATATCAAACTGAACATTCAGAAGCAATCCCAGCTCTATGCTGACACCAACTCCGCAACCGAAGATATAGACGCAGCACGTATCCGAGCACTAAATCCAACAAAAGCCATTCAAAAAGTATGCCGTGACCTCGACCAGCACTACTCCGCCTCTGGCGCCGCACCGACCACAGACATGGACCTCGACGAAGCAGACGAAGACATCGACGACGCAGATCTCGCAGACAAGCCTCACGTGGTAGGATCCCTCCTCGCTTCCGAACACATCCACAGCCTCATCGAAGCACACCGCGCTCAATCTACCGAAGCAGATACCATCGGCACCAATCCAAAATCCTACGGCGGTCTCTCGGAATCCGTCTATGAACGCCTCGTCCTCACCCACGCCACTAGTCTCGAGTTCCTGCACCAGTTCTGGTCAGCTTTTCATTCTGGTGATCCGGCGCGGGTCGGTGAGGTTGCGTCGCTTGTGGAGTCGTTGGATCGAGCGAGAGAGAGGATAGAGGCCATTGCTAGGGATGCACAAGGGGAGAGAGATGCGAAGATTAAGTCGCTAGAGGCGCAGACTGCGGAGATTTTTAGGGTTACTGGGAAACGCAAGAAGGTTGATAAGAATGCTGTGGGTGGTGGGGAGGCTGTCGTCAAGCAGTTGCTCGGTCCTAGTCTGCGGAGTCTGCAAGTGGCTGTGGACACGTATAAGAGGACTTATGAAGAGCAGATAAGCGAGTTGCAGCGGATCGAAGATTGAAGCTCTTATTGGAATATGCATAACTGTCTATTGATGAGACAGAAGCGTTGCAGCGTCTAGGATCAATCCGGAGTCTAACAGGTCTGAACGTCTATCATCCTTCATTCGATCCCCGTCGCAGCAAAACCAGTGTCTATGTGCGATCACGGCAGAATATTATAACTCGCAAAGAACGACTTGCAAGCATAAGCCTTGTAGGGCCATTTCTCCTCCCACTTCCTGATAGGCTTCTCAGAATTAGCCCACTCGGTATCCTTTGCGGCCCAGCTCTTCTTTTTACCGCCTGTTGAGCAGTCTGGTTCCGCGAAGAAGTTACATTCGATGCCACCATATATCTGTTCGCGTGTCAGTAACCCTGCGACTCAGCTACAGGCTCAACAAGTATTAAGGACTTACGAAGATGGGACCCTTCATTCCAGCCGGATCAGATGTCTTCATGCAATGGGAGAGGATCGGATATTCTGCAGTGCAGGTGCCTAGGCCAGTGTTTCGGTCTTCATTGTGGGGGCAGTAGTAGATCGAGCTACCTTTGACGGCACCTTCTGGGACGGGGACTGTGTCGGGTATCAAACCTGCTGGATCATCGGGAATAGGTGTGCCTGACGCTGATCGATAGACGAGCGTAAGGAGCAGAAGGGGTAAGGTTGTGATATACATTGTGGTTCGGTCAAGCCGAGGTGTGCAGACTCTTTCACTGTGTAATCTATTGGAGAAAGGTTGCAATGGTGGTTTAGGCTTCGTGGTCTAAAAAAAGAGAACTTATCGAGATCGAGGCGCTGTCTGCTCGGAAAGCTAGGCAGACTCGATCATTTGCGACAAACGTAGTGAACAGTCTTTGTCAAAAGCGTTGTCGTTGTGATGGTGTTGCGTGTCTCGCGAGTGATATTGCGACTGCGCCTCTCGCTCGAGACACATCTGATCAGAACACTTGCAACGACATCGAGATCCGACGAGCGTTACAAACAGCTAAGGATGACCTTCAATAGTCGGATTGACTCGTTGACTCCATTGTCTTGAGTGTCGATCAGAAGCGCTTGGTAGCACATTCTCGGTGAATAATTGCAGCACGACCCATCTTCAAGTTGCGCGACAGCCTTTGTCTGGGTCTCTTCGAAAATCTACAAACCCCTACTGGTAGAGCAAATCGACCTTCAATGGTCTCTCATCCATGGTATGGTACAAGATGCTTGACCTGCATCACATTGTCAAGCTTTGGCAATATTACACCACCTCCTGTATCAGTAACACCATCACCATTTGTGAGTGTAATATACTAAGCTCTAGGGCTTGTATCGTCGTAGAAGTGTCAGTGGACTAATTTCACAGATAAGAGTAGCCGGCCATCGGATATAACAACGATTTCTTCACTGAAAGATGGCACACACTGCCTGAATAAGTGAGAGATAAAAGCCTCACCATTTTCACGGATTCTGTTCATCGCACCTGCCCTCAATACTGCTCTTCTTGGCACAATTTATTCTCCATACATCGTAGTCTCTTATCGATAAAGCTCCTTCTCTCTCCTTTTTTCTCAACTGCTGTTCTTGCACAATCTCTGTCGCTATGCATTCTTGGTCACGTTGTAAGCATATGAAGCTCTGACTTTTAAGAACACTCCCGCACCATGTCCGAGCTGCCGACCTTCACTAAGCAGAAGTGACTGCAGAGTCCGAGAGCCTTCTTCATAATGGCCCTAGCGACGTCGAAGGCCCTTGCCCTCAAGACTGATGCATTGATATACGAGAAGCTGTCTATCTATCTAATCGAGGACACGGCACGGTTCGATTCTTGATCGTCAGAGATCGTGTACTCAGAGGTGCCCAGGTGTGTTCTCCGTCATATCGGAGCACGTGTCCCCTCGGTTCGGATACGAAACGTGGAGATGCCACAATAAAGCCTCCACTCCTGACAAAGAACAATCGGCAGATGCACTTATTCACCATACTGTCTGTGGCAATGTCGTGTTGTTGGCTGGAACTCTGACCCTGTGCATCTGCTAGAGCCTCGCGCTGGTAAACATGAGATATATTACGGACAATTCTAATCTCTCTTTTTGCTCCCATTCTTTTGCGAGTTGGGCGCGTGACTCCTCCATACTTCTACTAGGCAAGAACTTAGGGTAGTTAACCACAGGTTCGTCTTGTTTTTTCAGCAATAGAGCTTTCACCTCGCTATGGTTCCACGACCAAGACATGATGTCTCAGCATATGCTGACCCACTAATCTCTGAAAGAGCTATCGATGAGCCGCGTCCGCTGAAGGTGATATACATCGGGGCTGGTGTTTCAGGTATTACTGCGGCAATCGTCTTTCCAAGATATGTGCCGAACATTGAGCTCATCATATACGAGAAGAACGCAGATGTTGGAGGAACGTGGTTTGAGAATCGGTATCCAGGATGTGTGTTTTGCCTGGCACTCGTTGACAACGCTAATATAGGACAGGCGCCTGTGACATTCCAGCACATTCATACCAGCTAAGCTTCGAGTCCAAGATCGACTGGACACAATTCTATGCTACGCAGCCCGAGATCTTGACATATTGGCAACGAGTTGCTGACAAGTACGACGTTCGTCGGATCATGAAGTTCAACCACCGCTGTGCAGGAGCTAGATGGGATGAAAACACCTCAAAGTGGCACATCACCATCCAGAAAATAGATAGCCAAGGAAATGTTCTCGACGAATTCGAGGATGTGGGCGATGTCTTCATGACCGCGACTGGAGCACTGAATCAGTGGAAATGGCCTGACATCCAGGGGTTGAAAGACTTCAAGGGTACTTTGGCCCATAGCGCAAATTGGCCTGTTGGTTTCGACGCTACAGGCAAGGATATTGCCGTGATTGGTGCTGGTAGTTCTGGCATTCAGATTGTGCCTACGCTGCAGAAGAAGGTGAAGCACATGGACCACTACGTACGAGGTCGGACCTGGATTGCGGCGTCCTTTGGACACGAGCTAGTAGAAGCACGGAACGATGGTCAGGACGGTAACTTCACCTACACAGAAGAAGAGAAGGAGCAGTGGCGAAAGGATCCAGCAAGTTATGTCAAGTATCGAAAAGCATTGGAGTGCGGCATGCAAGGCGGCTATTCCATTACCCATAGAGGTACGAAAGAGCATGAAGAGGCTTGGGGTCATTTTGAGCAAGGCATGCGAAATCGACTCAAAAAGAAACCAGAAGTGGCAGAACATCTCATTCCTAGCTTTCCACCACTCTGCAAACGATTGACCCCAGGTCCTGGATACCTCGAAGCACTATGTGCAGATAACGTCTCGGTTATTCAAACAGCAATATCCCACATCGACGAGACTGGTATCATCACAAGCGACGGCAAAAATCGACCAGTAGATGCTATTGTCTGCGCTACCGGTTTCGATACCTCATTCCAAGGTCGCTTTCCTGTCATCGGACGAAACGGACAGAACTTGCAAGACCGGTATCGAGCAAGAGCAGAAACGTATCTGAGCATTGGTACAGATAACTTTCCTAACTACTTCCAAAGCCTAGGTCCAAATTCAGGCGTCGGAAATGGTAACCTATTGATGATCATCGAAGCTGTTCAAGACTATGTCGGCCAGATATTACGCAAAATGGCAACGGGCCATATCCGAACCATCGAACCAAAGGCCAAGGCCGTCAAGAACTTCACGGACTACTGTGATGCCTTTTTCAAGAGAACTGTATTCTCAGGTGAGTTACAACTCAATACAAGCAGATTAACATGTTACTAACGACATTCCAGCTGAATGTGGATCGTGGTACAAATCCAGCCCTCCATGGGTGACTGATCCCGAAGAACGCAAACGCGGCCGCGTCAGCGCTATCTGGCCCGGCAGTTCTATACACGCTATCAAAGCTCTAAGTGCACCACGCTGGGAAGACTTCGAGATGACGACTGTCGACGACAATGAATTCGGCTGGTTCGGCGACGGCTGGGGAATAGCTGAGCGCAACCAAGATCTCGAAGGCTTGAGCTGGTACCTCAACGATACCAAGTTTACGCATGAGGACTTGAAGGTTGAGACGAAGGCTGAGGAGGTGAGTAGTGAGCAGAAGCTGTCTGATGGGGACTTACACAAGGACAAGGCAGGGGTCATGCATGTAGAGATAGCGGATGGGGTGAGTGTGCCGATTATACCTGCTACATAGACGGAGTGTATATGATGGATCATTTCTAAGCAGCGGAAGGAATCTAAGTTTCATGTTAGGTCGGAGGCTTCTGATGGGGCATGCTTATAGTTTACAGTGTGATATGCTCTGCTGTACCACTAATCTCAGCTCTTGAACTTCAATCTCCCAGATGTGGTCAGCCATACTGGCTGCATCGTGCCTCATACCAGCCATGTGAAATGCCGATGGCAAGACCTGACTCCGAACCCAAGACCGTACGAGAAATAATATGGCATACTAACACAATCTTGCCACTCCACAAGCTGCTTCCATCTCGAGAGTCAAAACGCCCTCTTATAATCAAACTAGACCTCAGCGCCAACCACCTCGCCCCCATCCCCACTCAAAGGCCCAACATCCCCCCCACTTCCCTGCCTAGCAAACCCAAACCCCGCGCTCATCATCCCCTCCCTCATCTGCTCCTGCAACATCCTCATCCCCTCCTGTGCACCCCCCTGCCCCTGCTGCATCTGCAACGTAACCTGCTTCAACTGCTGTTCCACATCCCTCACCCTCTTCCGAAACCTCAACTGATCAAGAAACAACTGCTGTCGTCCCTTTTCCAGATCGCGCCGCTCAGCCTGGACAATCTCCTCCATTTCAGCGAATTGGGCGAGTTTGAGTTCGTATTTTTTGAGGGTGAGGTTCATGGCGGCGGAGACGAGGCGGGTGGCTTCGCGTTCTTCGTGGGTGGCGAGGGCGGCGGAGCGGGCGGCGGAGACTGCTAGGGCGGTTGTGGAGAGGTCGGTTAGGACGTGGGATTGGGAGTTGGTGGATGTGGGTGGTTTGGTGAGTGTGGTTGTTGTTGATGATGAGGATGGGTCGACGTCCATGCTGTCTTCGGCTTTGAGAGTGTCTGATGACTCTTTTTGTGCTTCGCTGGTTTCTTTTGTGGAATTGTCTGTGGTTTTGGAGGCGTCTCGGCCCATGCCTTTCTCAAGCTCGCTTCGGAGCTCTTTGGTCATTTGCTCAACTGAGCGTTGACTGGCGGCACTGACCACACTTGGGTCGGCCATTTGTGCCAGGAAGCTCACTACGCTCATGACAGGATTCTCGAGCTGACTTATTGGTTCCCTGCCACCAAGAGCTCGATACTCGATACTACCTGGACCATCTTCCATGTATTGATCTTGGATATCTAGCTGTAAGAACTTCATTACGCACTCTTCTCTTGTCCTTGTGCCGACGCGGCTGGCTACCTCATCCCAATTCGTGTCGAAGTTCTCTAAGCCCTCGAGCAGAAGTAGTGTCTCAGTATCTGACCAGGACGCATCTTTATCCGGTATCACGCTGTGACTCGGCTCCTCCATGCGGACAAAGTCGGATGAGCGATGTGTACTTGGCATACGAGACTGGTAGTAGCAATTTGGACATAGGTCGTATTTAACGTCATTGGCTGTTGGGTTCTGGCTTCCTGTCGGTGCATCTCCTTTCGAGTAGTGGAAACGTGACTTTGTGCAATCGATACCGCAGGAGTAGCAGTTTATGATCTTCTTTTCAGCTTTCGCTACATCTTGTACGGCCTTTGAGACGTCTTCCGTTGAGCCATTGGCTTCTCCATTTGCCTTTTTTGTGCCGTCTTCTGAAGACTTGATCTCCTTGCCTTTGTCGTCGTAGATGTTGCGTCGGACTTCCATGTTGAGATCTGCCTTGGTTGCTGGTGTTGCAGATTTCGCCCGATCTGTGGAGGAATGTGGTTTGCCAGGCGTGGTGAAAGTGTTGGGTCCCGGCTGGAAGGGTTGTAGGCCTCGAGGGGTGTCTACAATAGTTCGGAAGTGACCGGTGAAAGGTGGACCTATATTGGAAGGACGCGTCTGAGGATCGACCTGGTAGATAGGATTAGTACACAGCATTGACTGTTTGAATATGACCTACCTGGTAGTTGATCAAACCCCATTGCTCGAGGAAGGCATGCACTCTCATAATCGCGCATACATCGCCTGCTAAATTCCTCCGGCAAGCGGTTACTGTAAGGTATTCTACTGGGTTGAGTCTGTAGGTGTTGACCATGAAATCTCTGTAGTCCTTGTAGACAGCTGGAGTCTTGCTTCGATTGCGATTGTTGAAGAACTCAGGTAATGATTTGACCTCGATAGGATGTATCTGGTGCATGTCGAACCAGGTGCTATAACTTGGTAAGATGATCTGGTGAGTCTGGTTGATAAGATGCGATCGCGCGGCTGCTTCTAGTGTGGCCTTTGATTGCGGCGCACCATCGACACCATTGACAGGCGCAGGCGTTTGTGTCGAGTCGTCCCCTGTCGGCTTCTCAAGTCCGTCTTCAGCCTTCGTCTCGTCGTCGATGCCTCCCATTTCGGCATCTTCAGGGTCAGCATCGTCGTCTTGCGCAGCAGGGGACTTTCCAGCATTTGTATCTGAGTTTGTACCAGTTGCGTTCAAGCCTCGCGAGGTATTGGTCTCACTAGCATCTGCTTCCAGATCTACTGCTGCATTGTCTGGAGCTTCTCCTACGTCTATGGTCGAATGCGCTTGTCCTTGACTGTCTCCTAGAACGGCTGCAGTAGAGTCCTCTCTTTTGATCGAGGCATTGTCGCCGTCCATGGTGGGCGCGACACACAGTGTTTGAGCACTCAACGCATCAATTAACTTTTCCTCTGCTAGTTGGTCACTGTGAGTTATGCAAATCGGGTTGTGCTGCTGGTCGTGTTCTCGCGTTCTGGCGCTCTGAATATCGCGATTGTTGCAGCGCATGTCGCGCCAGGCCAGACGTGCCAGAATTATTGCCCGTTCCGCGCTAAATCACGTGAACACTCCACAGTAGTGCATCGCAACTGCTGCGAAGCCAAAGCTTTGCTGTTCTCAATATTAACGAGCTGTGTTTACCAGCTCGGTTATCAAATAAAAGTCCTATCTCCATGACTCAGTTGCAAGAGATGAGTGCGTTGCGAAACTAATGCTGCTGAACCACATGCACGTCCATGATTCTGCCCCTGCTTGGACCAGACTTCGATGTTCTAGTAACCTCTCCCACAAATGAGCCACAACTGGAGTAAACCACCTGAATCACTCGATTTCGCACGGCCACGGCCTGGCATGAGTCACAGAGGGACGCAAAATGCGGTTTCAGCGCAGGCACTAGTCTTCTCATATCTTGTCCTGTCACTTTCACTTGCTCGGTCGAGTAGGAGCAGGAGTGGGTGGATCACGACTTTATGATACCTGTTTTCGTGATGGGCATCTGCTCATCTCTACCCAATCCTCAGCTACTAGCACATCTGCCCTTGCTTGCCTTTTGCACTTGTCGATCCTTGTCTCCTACTCCTGCATCATCCCAAACTCTACCAGATCCCAACTGGCCCTATCGACCGCTCTTTGCCTTCTCAACGAACTGAATATGACCTCCGATGCATCTTCTTACTCCCTCACTCACCATACATGCAAATTCCGCCTCAAACAGCAACACAATACTCTCCTCGTCCTCTCCATTCTCTATTAGTTCGGAAATAAACCGCTGTTGATCTACTGGTATACGTCCCACATGCCTTTGGTGTGCTACTGCTTTCCTCGCCTCCTCTGCCTCTGCTGTGCAGTCTTTGCCTGTTGTCTCGTTTGTCCGGCTGTGTCGAATTGATTCACATGCCGGGTGTTGGGATTGAGCCATGCGTCTGAGGGGGCTAGCTGGACCTGTAGCTGCAGAGGGATCGAGTCGACTGGTGCAGGGTTGATTGCAGGTGTTGCAGGTCAAGTGTCGTTCTGTTATGAGTAGGTTGTCTGTAGTACCTGGTATGAGTGTTGATTTGGTAGGAAACTTTGGGTTCAGGTCATCTGTATCAGGCGACATGGCTGGATCGATAGCTGGCTATCTCGGTATTCACTACCTAGCAGATGTACTGATGTGAAAAGTGTAAGGTTCTGTGCTTACTGAAATCCTGCGAAGGCTGAATTTAGAGAAAATGATTATCCGGAGTAGGTTTGCTTCACTCGTCACAGTAGCTTCTGTGTCTTAGTACATCCTCTGTTTGTCAAGCTTGACCACTCCTGCAAGTCGGCTGTGTTTTCCATTGTGAGCTGTCACATTTGATACCCTATCGAAGTGCAGTACCAGTGGAAGCTCGGTGAACACTGAAACCCAGGCTTTGACGTCGTGCTGAGACCTGCACTACCACATCGCGAAATCGGGGAAGGCTGGAACGTGGGTAGAACTTGAAGTCGCTTCAATCTCGTGAAGTACCTGCTCTGCGATGCTGATTATCGCGTCCTTGGGCGTCTGCCGCTTGTCATTGCAGGTGATTTTGACATTTTTGCCAGTTCCCGAAAGTGACGATGGTCGTCATCTCGTTAGTTTTTGTTTTCTTAGCTGACTTATTAATGGTTGGGTTGAATTCATTTGTATCAGACAACATCGTTGAGTCAGTAGCCGGCTTCGTATCATGGTTTCCGTCACTCTGTAGGTATATTTTCTCTTGAAGAGTGGGAGATGTTTGTGCTTTTTGGAATGCTGCTAAGGCTGAAGTTGAGAATGATTCGAGGTAGGTTTACTTCAGTTACACGGTAGATCTTGTGTCTCGGTACATCCTCTGTTTGTCAACCTTAACAACTTGAGCAACGGCTGTGTTTCTTCATTATAACCTGCTACATCTGGTACCTTATCGTGACCTCTTTCATCGAAGCGTGACCAATCTGTCGTTGATTCACCGATTACCTCGCGATTCGCTGACTTCGTGACAGGTCTAACACCATTTTGTCGAGGCTTGTTCCGTATGTGGTAGAGGTTTCGAGATTTCGCGCATGTCGCTATTCACTTTAGTGCCTAGAGTTAGCAGACTGAGATTAGCATTGTCAAGTGGTCAAACTACAAAGAGTCGAAGAATCCAGAAACAGTATCAGTTTCTTTTCATAGTGATCATGCTCTGCTTGCCGCCGAGGTGTTTTATTCACCTTTCAATTGTGTTTGAAAATCCAGACAAATGAATTCTATAGTCGTGTGCAGCAGGTTGGGCTCATGATAAGTTCGACACTGATCTGGCTTGATTGAAATATGTATTATTGTAGATTTGGTCACGAAACCGTGTTAGATTGTTCATCTATCAGTCGTTGAAGGGTAGAAAGAAGGTGTGTCGGACATCGGGTGTCCGTTCCCATAACTCCTCAACCGATCCTCGTACGCCAATCCTTTTCGACTCCTGGTTGGCACCTCTTTCATCCGTCTCGTAGCTTTTAGCCGACTTTGTCCATGGTATTTCCAAATTCTTGATCCTGCTCCTGTCGCTATGCACAATGTAAATGTTAAACTCTCGTCTTCTAAATCCTGCGATCACAGTATAAATAGCTCTTGTATTGCAGGCTTGCTGTTGTCTAGAAGAGGTGAAATACACCCGAAGCAAACCAAGTAAAGGAGAGGACTGTGATCGTGCAGGTTCCGAGCAGAATGCTTAGCGCTTGCTTCTCGTGGAGGGATATGGCGCCGCTGCTGCAAGTAGCGCATTTGAATTCGTTCAGAGGAGTATAGGGTTGAGGAGTATAGACACCAAACTGCAGGTTGGAGAAGCCACCAAGAGCGCCAGCACTTGCAACGGCAGTCGGTTCCTTGGCTGCATCGTAGATCTAGAAACGCATTAGCGATGTAGGGTGCCAATGGATAATTTACTAACCATAAGAGTATAAGTAGCCACAACGAATGGCAGATCAGTCGTCTGAGTAAACTCGTTGGTATCCCAAGTTACGGCCTGTGTCTCTTGCCACGACTGATTTGCAGCAATCGTATATGTCTGTCGATTGATAGTGTTCGTAGCGATCACATCGATGTAATCTGGCGTGATAAGCAAGCTAGATACACGTTAGCTATATCCTGGGCACCAAGAGAAGTATATCTACCTGGTGTAGTTCCACCTGAAAGTGATTTGATTTCCAACTTTGACAAATGTCATACCATCCGTCGCGGCAGGAGTAATCATAGACACGCCACCTGGTGGACTGCGAGGATCGATAGCCGTTGAGTAGCTACTATTGCCTGATCCTCCTGTTATCAGAGTGCGCCTTGTTGTCGTTGGCGAGCCAGATCGTGAAGATGAGCCGCTGGCAGATGTACTTGTGCTTTCGCTATCGTCATTATTGCTATCGTTCGACGTCGTGCTCGCTGTTTGCGATGCAGATTGTGAGGCTGTTCGAGACGCTGTGGTCGATTGTGCTGCAACATGTTAGCTGCTTAGACCATCGTAACCTGACGGGTGTTGCGAACCTTGTGACTCTGATTCTTGTCGTGGTAACAAAGCTCCTGGTCGAGCGACGTCCATTACGCCCGGCCATGCTGCTGAGATGGACGTGAAAAGGAGGAGGATGGTTGACAAAAGTGAAATTAAGGAGCGGTTCTTCATGGTCGGAACGGTGGCCACACGGCCCTCAAGCTGCTCCCTGCTCTATCCAAGTAATTTCCAAGTTGTGCTATAGGTAGCGACTCGTTCGATTCTCGTTGGGGCAAATCAGGCTCTTGAACTTTGCCTGCTCCTTTTCAAAGGTTATTATGGATTTAGCTCAAATCGATGTTGCTGTTGAGAACGAAGGAATGGTTGTTGCTGTTAATTAATATATTGTTGTCGAAGCGAGTGATGTGGTGTAGCAATGGCAGAAGCAAAGGAACCCAAAATCATAGAATCGTGCCTCCCATGAGAACGACTCTCGCAGTTTCCGAGTGTTGTGAGACACATCCGCTCCTAGCTTGACTTTTCGAGCCTCCGGGCTGCATCTGGCGGGCTCAGCAACCAAAACGATGGCAAATCAGGCACGAGAGGCAAGGGTCTGCCACGTCTACAATTGGCCAGTATTCTGGGCTATTTCCACACTTCGAGAAAAGAACGACGCGTGTTGTGCGCTAATCTCGGGGTATCGATAGAGCTAAACTTCTTTCATGCTGGTTTGTAGATCCTCCTCAAATCCAGATGATGGTCTTTCCATCATCGATTCACGTATATACAAATCCGACCTTTGCTGTTCATTTCGTCCATAGCAGTTTCCAGCATTTGACTGAACCACTTCTGCTCTCGTCCATCAGCCGAATGCTGTTGCACAGTCATCTCAGGCCATAATACGACTGAATTATAGACGAACATGTATTCAGCAGAAACCTTTGTCCTGAACCAACCTCAACGTCTTGTACCCACAACATCCACGCCTCCGTGCTATACTTTGCCGCACCATCATTCATCTGATATTCTCTAGCTCAAATTTGCTACCATGTTTCCATTCAAGTTGTGATACTTTTCTCTTGTGCTTAGGACGGCGCTTTCTGGTCCCGAACGAAAGGCTCGAAAAAGTGGTGCTAAGTGCCGTTGAGAGGTCTGAGTTCCCATGCCTTGCAGGAGTTGGATTAACTTCGGTGAATTGTTGACATCCGACGTCGACGCTCGTGGCCTTAACCACTTGGCTTGTAGATGGTGCGTTCAGCTGGTTGGTATAAGAGGTAGTATCGTTCAAGGCGTCTTTGAAGTGTCCGCTTGACGTGCGCTTTCGACCACTAACCAAAGATGTGGTAGTGGAAGACTGGGCACTTGAGAGCATATACCCATCTTGTGCAGCAACATGCTCTGTATTTCTCGCAGGTACAGAAGAGCCCCATGTCATATTGACGTCTTCACGTTTGCTTGTCAAGTCACTCCTCGATGGAGCCCTTGGATGTTGTGGCGATTTTTCGTTCTGATCCATCTGGGCTGGTATCATGTCCTTCGACCGTTTATCTGCAGGACCTACACATTTCATACTCGGGTATTACACGAGCGGCCTAGATGGTAGTGATGTCGCAATCATCGCGCAAAAGATAACTTTCCTTCCACAATGAACTTTTTTCGGCACGTGGCTAGCTGCCTGAGCATGTGTTTGTTTCTGGCACTTCAACTTGTCACTTTGTCACTCTACTAACCATTCGAGCTTCTCCGCTCAGCCTCATCCTTTACAGTATCTAGTACTGCCGAGTACGCTGCTCTTACTATGTTCTCGTCATAACCTATCACCTCTGCGTTCTCAAGTGGCTTTGCAGCAAGCTTGATCTTCCCTTCAGTGCCAATTGCAAATGCTGAGCAGGTGATCTTCGTGACTTTGAGTGGTGGGCCGCTGAGTGTAGTCGTGGTAGTCTCGGGTAAGCCTGCAGTAGGTATGCTCAAGGGCAGCCTCAATCCCGTCTTTTCATGCACGGCTCCGATTAGCTCAAGGAGAAAGTCGTTGCCTATGTCTGGTTTCCCTCGTGACTTGCTTCGTGCGTTGTCTAGAAATCTGTTCACAGTCTCTGAGGGAATATCGAGGTCTATCGTTCTCAGTTTCGACGCGATATCGTTGTCTTGTCCAGTGGCAAAGGTGATAGTCAACTTCAGACTACCTACTGTCTGCTTTAGAGTGGCTTGTCGTAGAGCATCAGTGTGGTCCGTATATACTGACCAGCACGAACTCAACGTTGACAAATACCTTGAACACATTTGCAGGAGAAGTTCGGGAGGCAGCTGGAGGTTCTCAGCCAGAGGCATATCAAACTTAAAGTCTAGCCAGTCTTTAATCTTCTTGATTTGAGGCTGACCTCCTTTGGACAACACTGTGTAAAAAGGACAACCACGTCGGGTCGTGCTGTCGTTCAATAACAGAGCTACTTGATAGGTAGTCTTCTGGTACTTCAACTCGATGAAAAAACCGAGCACGTCGTGAGTCGCCGGAGAGTTGTGACTGTGTAATGCAGAAATCTCGCAATCTCTTAGAGGACCGGTCCTTTCATTGTGGTCATTCAGTTCGTCTTTTGGCTCGGCGTGACCTCGAGCAGTAACATAATCGAAGCATTCTTCAGACAAAACCTTGAGTTGTCGAGACGTGACCTCACCGTTTTCCAAGTTCTTGATCAAGATAGTCAAAGGATCAAGGCGTCCCCGAGGTTGCGGTACATATTGGGTGGACCAGGTTTTGTCGAGTAGCGCGTCTGGCAACGACATACTTCGTGTGTCTCTATCGTCGCCGATCAGCCTGACCACGTAACTTCATTCATCTTCTCGGAGGAGGAGAAGAACCACATGAGCAAGGAGCATTAAATGTAGTCAGAGGTGTTTTGTTCTACTGGTGGACTTGCTTGTTTACGATCTTCCTTTTCAGGACAACGTGAGGACAGCACACGTAGTGGCCGGTCTTTTTGAGTAGCAAGCAGAATAATTAGCAGCAACGTCACTTGCTAAGCACGAAACGGCTACGATCCAAACTGCTTCACCAAAGTCACAATCTAAGAACAATTTCAGTATGGCTGACACTCAGTTAGACATTGTCGTCATTCGTCACAAACGCCCGTAATGTCCCTGGTTCGTAAATCGTGAGAAATAGACCCATGATTTCAATCTCCTCCAATATGAACTAGATCCTTATTGCAGGCGTCACATAGAAACCTCATTACCTTATGAGCTCTTTGCAGGTGTGACAGGATCCTGTGCCGCGGCTTGCCACAGTCCACCTGGCGTATATGCATCTCTTGTATACATTCGCATGTCGTTGCCCGCCTCCTGGAAGAAAATGAGCAGGTTGGCCCCAGTGCTTGCGGTCTGTAGTGCAGTTATTGAGAGATGTGTGGATCGAATTCCATAGACGTCTTCACCATTCGACTGCAAAACCCACTGATCGGGCGGATCGGTGCCGTTAGGACCACGCACTATGGTGCTGTTTCTGAGTTAGCTTTTTTGTTTCATCACCACAGTTGTGGGTATGTTGGTGTAATACCTGTTCTCTGCAGCCCACCACATGTTAACGCCATGAAGAGAAGTGTCTTCAGCCTGGTATATCATGTAATTTGTGTACCCAAGGCTAGATGACTTGTGTACACCAGTGATACCGGCATCGACTGTCTTCTATTAGTGCTTGTGGTCTATATAATGGTCGTTTGTGGCTTACCTTCCGTCCATTCGCCAATTGGATGGTCTTCCGTAGCATTTTGGGTTTTGTTGTTCTGTCATGCGTCAGCTCAGAACACTATCTCGGTCAAACTAATAGACAGTCCCATTGCGACCGCTACGTGTTTGGGTAAGTACTTACATCCCTCCAGGACATTGCTATTTCCCCTTTGGTATTGACAAACCAGACATACTCAGTCATACCACTATCCCAAGTCTGACAGCCAACGCCTCCCGAACCACTCACATCGGGAAATTGACGTTGCCACACCCATTCTGACGTGCCATTAGTCCAGTCAAATTGATCGAACGTGGTCGCGCCCGTGGCAAACCAGAGATGTATTCCAGCACTGATTTGCGAGGAGTTGTATGACCAAGCACCATAGTAATTACCAAAATAGCATGCCTGAAGCTGCGCTGCTGGAGCCTGCCAAGTTCTTAAATTTTTCGCGCTGAGAGGACCGTCACTCCAAACAGCAGCAGGACCATTTGTTGTGTCGTTAGTGATAACACGCTCACGGATGTAGTAATTCTGATCGATATAGAAGAGATGCCAGACAAGTTGAGAGCCTATTGCATGCTGTACCGTGGATAACGGTGTCCCATTGAGCGCAGGGTACCTGTCAGAGTTGACTTGGCCAATGAGTGTCCACTCGTATCTCTCATCCATATACGTGTATTGGATGACGCCATTATGGTCCTGGTAGAAGGCATAAATGGTCTGATCGGCTGCAGAGTTAGCTGCGGCGATGGCTACACCACTTCCATTCCAGGCACCAGACTTGGAGTAGTAGGCTGGATTAATATAACCCCCAACAGCAGTACTCAAATCCACGTTGGGATTGTCGCCCGTGGTATTCGTAGTAGTGCCGTTTGCAGAGCCAGTGCTGCCTGATGACGTGGAGCTGTTACCTTTTTTGTTGCCAAAAATTACACCACATGCGACGCCAACTGCAATGGCTATCACTATGAGCAGCAGTAAAAGCCAAAACCACCAACGCTTGTAGAGCTTCTTCTTCTTCTTCGGTTTTTCGTGGTACTGGTCAGGTATTGTGTTGAAGACTTGAGGTCGATCATCTGAGTTCTGGTGGTGAATTGTACCCGGCATGGGAGATGCATAGTACGAGGGAACCTTTGACCGTGGCGGTTCTGGGCTGTATACTGCTTCTTTGTCGGCAGAATCGTATGACAACTGTAGGCCAGGTGAGTTGACCTCGGAGTATTGTGCTGACGGTGACAGTGGTGGCTTCGTTGTTGAGAAGCCAGAATCCGACATGGCTGGCGACCTACCTATGTCTGAGCTAGGTGGCGGCGGGGAGGCAGCCGATATCTGAGGCGATGTCGTCCTCGCGTGATTCTCGTAGCGTTCATATTCGGGCACAGGTGATCTCCTTTGCTCAAAGGCTGATTGAGGCCTTTCGAAGTACTCATAGCTGTCTGAGCCTACGAAGCCAAAGTTCGACCTATGTTGATCTGGCACAAACTCAGGTGCCTGTGATGTCGGAGAAGACTGATGTTGAGCCATACTGCGACTCAATAACAAAGCCTGATCCAGTATACAGGAGGTAGAACGAGGCAGCGAAGTGGAACGAGAGAGAAGTCATGATCTCGTTGGGCCCCATCTTGCCTAAATCCGTGTGTAACAGCCTAGAAGCAGTTCTCGCTACGAGTACTCGTAGGGCGACCACGGCATCGCAGCATTTCATGGACGAGTTTCTGACAGCAGTAGCGTGCTCTCCGCTACCCGTCTCGCAGACTTTGTGGAGCAAGAGGTCGAATCTAGCCTGACAGAGCCCATGCAAGCAAGTCAAGCTTTCGAATCAGGGTGGTTGAAAGAACGGACCCCCACACTTCAGGCAGGGATCGATGTAGCCAAAGGATTCAGGATAAGCTAATACTAATGATGCTCCGCTTCTGACCCATATCGACAAATGATAGAGGCTCAGCTCGCTATATGCTTCTGCCAGAGTTGGGGCCAAGTCGCTCTCTCGTCGAAAATGGCGGCCCAGACCTGTGAACAAAGGCTGAACAAGCGAATCTCTTCACCTTTTGGGAACGCTCGCCTCGAAGATTCATTCTCGTTGGTCTCTACTGCAGCCAAGCGAGAGAGGGAGTTTGTGCAAGAAGATCAACGATTCCAATTGCTTTGGAAAGCTGTGAAACCGGTGAGTCGCAGCTGAAGTTCAGAGCTCGGGAAGCTAAAGATCCACTTTTGGGTTGCCGCCTTAGCTATTATTGGCACCTCCACCATTAGCACAGCACTAACGAAAGTACAGAATTGCGCAGTCTCTTGCTTATCAACACAAATTAATCCAGAAAGTCGACTCTTTTTGTTCATGCACTCGTAAGTTCTCACATGTCAAGCCGCAATCGCAAATCACATACAAGTTCTCGCACACTGAGAAGCTGGAGCATCATAAGACAAGGAAGAGCACTTCCGTTCATGTGTTAAGATGGCCTCTACTCGGTTGAATAGGGTCCATATTGCTTTGGGAGGATGCCCAGCTCGAAAGACCCGCAGCAGAACAGTAAAGACCTCGTTGCGATATTCGCCAGCTTCGTAGTACTCGCTACGCATTTTGACTACTGGTGCAGTGATCCCTATCCGGTTGACTGGCCTTGAGCCTAGGCAAAATATCAGTCGAAGAGACTCTGGCTGTAGCTCAGCCTGGTCATCGTCGATCACTTATTGATGTTTATAGCTGGCAGAAAGATGGTGGCACTGAAGCCATTTTGACTAAGGCGCACGATCTGGTCGGCCAAGCAAGGCTTCTACCGGGTAAAACCATTGACGCACGTTAATCGGTTGTGCCATAGCCATCTTGTTTCGCTTGGTAGAAGAATAATCTTCCTTCCTAATATAGTCTACGGATCTTCTGATGCACTTACTGATGTCCCGATCATGTAAGTAATTGGGAGGAGCGCATGTAGTGCTTGATCGTAGTGTATCCGAAGGCTTAAGAACAAAGGCAATGTAAATCGCTCGAAGTAAGATGAGATCCCCGTAGTCTTGAAGAATGTTCGAGCCGAGTCTTGTTGTTGAGTCTGCTGTGGTGCTTGTCGTGGTGATGGTGGTGGGGATAGTGATGAAGCACACTCGAAAGATGAGTCGATTTCACGAGTCGATGCTGACGACTTTGCCTGTTTACCATCTCTTGTGGTCGCCACCGTGGTACGTCCGAAAGGCATAACTCGTGACACTGGTATATCTGGGACGAGTCAGCAACGTTGTCAGTGAATCGGTGAGCCAGTGACAGCAGATCTAGTGTGGCAAACAGCTCGAGTGGCAAATCGAAGACAGGATGAGGGTGAAGAAGAAGGATCCAGATTGGAATGGCGTAGGTGTAATGACTCGAATATTAGTCAGCCAGATGGGCTTAGCATATCCTCAACACACATGCCATCTGGAACGCGACTTCGGTATAGCCTCACACGGCTTTGGTCGACCACGGCTATATGCAATCCCATTCCGACCTCTGAGATGCATCCGATATGGTCTTCGCTGGAGTGACACCTGACAGCCGTAAGCTGTAGATGGATGTCAAGGATTCTCCGCGTCCCTCAGATCGTGTCAGAAGGTTTGTGAAGATAGAGAACGCGGACTTCTGTTGCACAGCTGCACGTCCCGCCAAGAAGAGTGTCCGGTCGCTTTGGTGTGGTTTTCGTACACTGGAGAGCTGATATTGCAAATCTGGAAAGGAAACCCCAATCGAGAGCCCACTCCCAAGATCCACTTCAAGCCGCCAGTGGTAGACACTGTCGGCAAAAGCAGAAGCTCTGCCGCGTGTTCGTACACACTCCAGTAGTAGCAGTTTGTACGAAACGCGTCAAGGACATGACAGTCTGCAGTCTTGCAAAACACAATCCATCTATAATGCAAGCTCTGAAATAACTGCCGATTGAGTTCTGGGTCAACATCGACAGCTGCCAGTGTACAATCTAGCCGATCAATCCCAGCACAACTTCTAATAGCTAATTTCCCCTCTGACCATGCAGAGTTCGATACCTATACCACATTGATCCTTGTGCTCTTGTGCCCTCGACAGCATGCTGATCTGAGCTTTCGTACAAACCAATCGTGTTCTGGGCCTTGCAGTCTACAGCTGCAGATAAGATGGCAAGAATCCAACAGCAGCATCTACTCCAGCATTTTGAACCCAGCTCTCGTGGCCATGACCACTGTACACAGATGTCCGATGGTTGTGAAAACTCTAAGCTATTATGTCCTGATTGAATCGTACATAAAGTGGTCAATAACTGATGTGAGTTTCCTCATACCTTCTGATGCTATCCTTTACTGTTAGGTGTCTCGACGAACACAATGCTTTACAAGTTCTGGTTGTCTCTTTTACCCGGTTCTGCAGCAGCTGTGCAAGCTGCGACTCTCAATGAAGTGTGCACAAATGCTTACGTCCAAGCATCCTTACCAGCAAATGATATTCTACTGCCAACCACGATAACCATCGATCCATCCTCTGTAATCGCTCAACCAGTGACCAATGCCTCAGTCAGCAACCCAAGCTACTATGCTAATGCCACCATCGACTTTTGCAACGTAAGTTTTGCTTACAGTCACAATGGGCGAAATGACAGGGTCCAAGTTCGATACTATCTTCCCACACCTTCGAACTTCAGGAACCGTTACCTGTCGACAGGAGGTGGAGGTTACGCCATCAACAGCGGCAGCAGGTTGCTACCCAGCGGAGTCATCAACGGAGCTGTAGCTGGCGCCACCGATGGCGGATTCGGAAGCTTCAGCACGAACAGCGATCAGGTATTCCTCATTGCAAACGGAACAATCAATTACCAGTCTCTATACATGTTCGGCTACCAAGGCATACAAGAACTCACCGTCATCGGCAAGCAGTTTACAAAGAACTTCTTCAACACTTCCAATACCAACAGGAAGCTGTATGCCTACTACCAGGGCTGTTCCGAAGGTGGTCGTGAAGGTTGGAGTCAAGTTCAGCGTTTTGGCGATGAGCTAGATGGTGTAATCACTGGTGCTCCAGCCTTTCGCTTCGCGCACCAGCAGGTTCAGCATCTGTGGTCAAACGTGGTTGAGCAAACTCGTGGCTATTTCCCTCCTCAGTGCGAGCTTGACAAGATCCTTAATGAGACACTTCGGGCTTGCGACCCACTGGATGGAAAGACTGATGGTGTTGTGGCCCGCAGCGACTTGTGCAAGTTGCAGTTCAACCTCAGCAGTATCGTCGGTATGCCTTATTCCTGTCCTGCTTCGCAAGGAAGCCAGATGGTCTTCCCACCAACGAATCCATATCCTGCTCAGAACAGCACTGTCACAGCTCAAGGTGTTGCGGTTGCTCAAGAGATCATCGATGGCATGCGTGACCTTCAAGGACGTCAAGTCTACTTCTCCTACCAGCTAGCAGCATCTTTTGCAGACGCACAGACAGCGTACGACTTTAACGCCAACAAGTGGACGGTGTCCATCTCAGGTCTCGGAGGAGAGTTTGTGGAACGCTACCTCTACCTATTGAACGCATCTAACCTACCAGATCTGAACAACGTCACATACGACACACTTAAGGGGTGGATCACAGAAGGCTGGCAGAAGTACGAAGACACCTTGCAGACAACCTGGCCAGACTTGACGCCATTCAATGTCGCTGGTGGCAAAGTGCTACATTACCACGGCGAAGCTGACAACAGTATCCCTACAGCATCGTCAGTGCGCTATTGGGAATCAGTGCGACAGATCATGTACCCGAATATGACCTACAACGACAGTGCTAGCGCATTGAGCGATTGGTATCGGCTTTTCCTTGTGCCTGGCATGGCGCACTGCTCACCTAATCCGTTGCAGCCAAACGCACCATATCCGCAATCTAACTTGCCGGTGCTGATTGATTGGGTGGAGAACGGCATTGAACCTGTCACGCTCAATGCAACACATCTCGCAGGGCCGAATGTAGGTCAAGGAGATCAGGTTTGTGGTTGGCCTTTGCGGCCGCTATACAGTCCAGACGGTACGATGGAATGCGTGTACGACCAGAAGAGTATCGATACCTGGCACTATGATCTTAATGCCTTCAAAGTTCCTGTCTATTGAGATCTTGGTGGTGGACGGCCCATGCGGCTGTCAGGTCAAATATGTGCTCAGCTCAGCACAACAAAGTCCGGGTCCTTGTAAACAGGTAGTTGGAAGCAGTAGATGCAGTTGTGGTAACAAAAAAGCAATTGAAAACATACCCGTTTTTCCAGCTTATTCGCTTGATACTAGCATACAGTCTGAACGGATGTACTTGTTTATGCAAGTAAGCGGAAACTTGAGAGAGAGAGAGATTGACCGAGACAAGCGAGTGTATCGTGATCGAAGTCAAATGCATGTGCTGTGCCCCACGAGCACAATCGTCAATCTGATCGAAGTGCAAGCACGGAGACGATTTCTAGACAAAACAAAATGTACTGCCGAACTTGAAACTATCAAGCAAGTAAGGCAACAGCGCCTACATTGACTTTCTGCTCAATATAGGCAATGACGAAGCAAGTAGGCATGCTGAATGATGCGGTGTTGGTAAAAGTGATGCTGGACATGGTCAGGTGGGAGTCCTTGACACAAGGGCTTTGACAACAGCATGCACGCGATTCACCGGTTTCAAATCCAGACATTCGAAAAATTACGATTAATGTCATGCATTCACTTCTTATCCGAGGCGGTGGCTTTCGATACTGAGCTGAATATCTGGCAATAGAAGGTAGACAGTGGAGATTCCGCGAGGCACATGCTGTATATGTCATCGTGCATGTGCTGGGAGTCCTTTGTTCATACAGTACCGACACTGCAATGCATGAATGCTTGTAATTGTCATATTGATCTTGTCGGCCAACAAATCGGCTACGGTGCTTCTTGTTAGTCAAGCTCATATAGTAACATGAGACTGTGGTTATGTTTGAGCAAAGGCTCCACAGCATATTCGGCATAGACGATTCTTTGATATTACAACTGGTGCGGGTCGTCCCAAATGGTCGTCAATTTCGATGAATAACGCAAAGGAGTGTCCGCCACAAGGGAGATTACCCAGGTTGTAGGTACTGATCCTTGCTTTTCCTCCCTTGGCGAATAAAGCTTCATAGACTTGCTGTAGTATAACGTGCCAGGCGGAAGTTTTGCCTTACAGGGACGCACTTTTGTGCACTCGAAAGGCGAGAGGCAAAACTCAAGCTGAAGTTGCTGACAACCCTAATCTATGTCGTATGCGGAATGAAAATGCTCGTGCTGTCGCTTTGACAGATTAGTATGGCGCCGTTTGTTGAAATGTGGTCATTCGTACATTGGTGAGTCGAGCCTCGTCCCTTGTTCCCCATGATCTTCCGCATTTTTCTGCTGCTACGGATAGCCATGAAGCGTGTGACGACGAGGGACTTTTACTATCTGGAGCGTGCCATTCCTGGGCATTGTGTCAGATCTTGCAGTGAGCCCAGTGAAGAACCCGTAAATGTTAGTATTGCACTGCTGCCTAGTCCCTAAGGAACGTAATTGGAGCGCACAATAATGGACCTTAAGCCAGGAGTTAGACCATCCGATGACAACCACAGCATGACCTCGAAAGTCTTACCGTGATGTAGCGGTGAAGCTTTGCGGCATACATACTGAACATTGTCAGAACCAAGCTTTGAAATCAGTCAACGCTATGCGCTGTTTGAAAACCTTTTGTTCTTGCTGAAGGCAAGTTCTCTTGAATGACCTTGTTGTGTTGCTAGTGTCTAAATTGCTGAAGCTGACGTTTGTCCGGCAATGCGATTGTTGCCTCGCCCGGCCACCAAGGATGAACGACCGCGGCTGCGGTAGGAAGTATCCTCTGAGGCAAGTTTGTAGACTGCAGACTCGGAAACAGACAAGGTCTTTTCGACTGCAGAGCGTTCATCAAAATCGATGCTGTCCGAAGCTCGCTGTTCACTTGTTCCCTAACAATCGATCTAGCAGCCTGCATCAAGTCGGAGTTGTAAGAGAAAGATCTTTTGTCCTACCACGCAATTCTGTGTTGTATGGTGCTTATACTAGAGTGGTTCTTAGCTTAAAAAGAGTACAGTGTACCTTGCACTGCCCCTGATCTACCTATGGTAAACAACAATGTCAGTGCTGTACGGAACTTTCCTGCATATCAGTCCAAGATATTCCGCAGGTGCTCAGATAGCCTTGAGGAGGAGTCGTGGCTCGTGGCAGGGTACAGCCTGTATGATATTGCTGCTAGTGTCCCGACGTAGCCTCTGCCAATGTCTCTCATGCCTCGAGTGCAAGAAGCAACAGCGAGATAAAACAGAAAGTCCTTCTTAGCAGCTCAATCCTCTATCCACCTGCGGATTTGACTCGTTTCATGCTTCCCAGTGAAGTTGAAGTGGTTCAGCTTAGCGGTGAATGTCAGATGGGTCTTGCTCACCTGTGCAGTCTGTGTCTTGCCACCATGGCCGATCATTCGTCAATCAGAACATGTTAAGATGATGCGCACCATATCCCTTCAAAAATTCCTCTGCTACTTACAGGCAATAGTAGCACTTTCGCCATTCGACAACGTGCATTTTGCTTGACGTGCCTGAAAGCGGACCTTGCTAATTGCCAGAATCTGTAAGAGGCTGTGCACATCAGGATCACGACGTCGGAAAGAGACTGCTGTAGCACGAGATAATTTGCGAGAATAGGATGGAGCTTCAACGCGGTCGAAGAGTATCCCAGGTGTATATAATGGGGCGCGAAGATACGTTTTCAGAGACTAGACTATCATCATTGATCAGCTGTTATCTTTCCTTGGAGGATACACGGATCTGGTCAACAGCTTCCCCAATGGCGACAGTGAACAAGTGTTCAAACTGCAGGGCGGCCAAGAAAGCCGTATGTACATACCATATGTTTGATGTGGAGCGACGTTGACAGGAAATAGTGTCACAAAAGCTCAGACCCGTCTGACCCCAGGTGTAAAAGGTGTATCGAGAAAGGATGGCTGACATGTTTCATGGGGTTTGCTCCACCACGAAACCCAGGACCAAACGAGGCCGTACAGGCTGCGTTGGGGTATGAACATCTTGCTCATCAGTTGCGCATCGATGGCAGTAGCAACACTCTACCAGATCAACCAGAGTCTCGAAAGGAATACCGGCAGACCAGGAGCAGCAGAGGAAATAGGGATTTTTTTGAAGATCCGGGAGCGTTAATGCTGTACCAACGAACCCCACCCCCAGATATGACCTTTCATATCCAAAGTGTTGAAGTAGTACCTTACACGACCTACCATTATCAACAGCAGACACATCTGCCTGCTCAAACTATGTCACATCTTGCACAGCAATCTCAATATCTCGAATACACTTGCAATGAGCAAGGCAACCTCGGTGAATATAATTGGAAATCTGATGCGACGTCAACCATGCAGAATGAAGGGAAATCATACACAACCGATGACAATACTCAACTTCTGTGGGGTACCAACAACAGCAGTAGGCATGACCGCTCTTACCGCGCGCGATGATATCCCGTCTCGGCGCACGGTCAGGAAGATGCTTGTTTACGATGTGTAAGTTGCTCTTCACCTCCTCTCCAGAGACGCCGATGTTGCATCAAGCGACCATCTGCATGCATATCCCGATGCGTATTCACTGATCGCTCTTAGGCCACAAGGCTGGCTCTCTGCCTGGGAGTCGTATGAATATGGAGTTGTTGACAGACGACGAAGCTTGTGGCTCGCTCCCATCAATCGGTCGAGGCCGTCAAGGGACAAGCAGTATTGTGCGACAATAGCATGCACCCACGAAAAAGAACACAAAGTCATCGAATAGAGCGTAGGGAGAGCAGGAGTTGGGCCTTGTGAGGACAATGACATGACGAGGATGAAGTCTCCGTCAGCATGAACTTCTTTGTGGGAATGGCCAGCCTACACACTTTTTCAGTGTCTTCTCCAGGATAATAATGGAAACAGCGTAAGGAGAGGCAGTAAAACGTCGCTTCTTTAGCTACCCCTCCTATGCAGGTAAACCCAACAGTGCAGGCGTACGTATAGGTAGAGTAGACGAACGCGTCGATTGGTAGACGACGCGAGGATGCAGAGCTCCAGATGCGGTTGCAGTGGTGTTTTATTAGTATTTCCGGTATCGTGGCCGATTCGATCGTACGAAGCAGCAACATATTTGATGAGTAATCGGCAACATCCAACGACAGCCCCGATGTGCACGCTTCTACATGCTTGAAAGGTGCAAGCTCGCGGTACATAATTATAAAGGTCCCGAGACGTGGACTCTGCGACCTTTCTTCTCCATGATCAACCATCTGCTTTCTGCATTTGGCTATGCTGGGATCATCTGGAAAGGTGACGAAAGTGAGGCTTGGTTGCACTCGTTTGTTATTGTGGTATGTGTCCATATTAAGAGCTTCTAGCCGCTTCAGTCCGACGTGGCCGACGCCGAGTCTCGTGAGTAATTACTTGTACCTGATCGCATCTGGTGGGTCCATATACCGCCACGCTGGCGCAATCGATAGTATCAATAAAGGTGTCACCTGCGACTGCCTGTTACATGACCATTGTTCGCACCAGTTGTCACTACTTCACTGTCCTCTGTCCCGCTTGTCCTCGTCTCGTTTGCACCAGCTTACAAATTGCAATTGACTTTACCTACCTCTATTGTCTGGTTATCTAGAAGACCCTAGAAGTTCTTATCGCTTCATAGATCCAAAGCTCAGCGTCATCCTTTCCGGATTACCGCCGAACCAGACATAATCGCCTCAACACCCAGGTCCTCTTACACACCCTCATAAGCTCAAAGATCTCATCCTCAACAGAACCTCGTCCGACTCTATCTCGATCTTCTGGAGAACACTCGTCGCAATGGACGCCCAAACATCCTCTCGTTCCTCATCGCCATCTACGGATCACATTCAAATCGTCGTCAATACAACACCTGGGAAGAGTAAGATAGACAAATCGACCGTCACTGACCAATTACTGACTTGAGACCCTCAGGCATACCTCTAAAAGTCAGCCCTACTCACACCATTGCCAACGTCCTCGAATTCTTATCAGCATCAATCACGTTACCACTTGACTCGAAGCTAGTCCTGGCTGGAAAGCAGTTAGATCCATCTACGACAGTGGGCGAGCTCAACCTCGTAGAGTCGTCGACGTTAAACCTTTTTACTCCCTCTCAACGAAATAGCCAAGAACCTGAATCGTCGGAAATCACAACTACTTTATCTGCATCGCAGCCATCGTCTTCGACCGCCACTTCTGGCACAAGCACGCCGACCTCGACGAAACCCGCAGCACGCAAATCCAACAAGCCACGGTGCACGAAAGATGGTTGCAAAGCTCCAGCGCAGCCAATCGTCGGTGATTGCGGCTTCTGTCAACAACGCTTCTGTGGCAAGCATAGGATGTTAGAGTCGCACAACTGCCCAGGACTGGCCGATGCGAGACAAGCTGACAAGGATAGAAATACTGCTAGGCTGGAACACGAACGAACTGTTACCTTACGAGGATTATAGATAGTCTGCGGTTTTAAGGCGATGGATCTCCTGCAATTTCCTTTGGCACGGGTGGAATGTTCATTCCGGACAGCAGTTCTATCGGCGTTGTGAGGCAATTGAAGGTTTACTGATCACAAGGGCTCAGTTCGATACGAGAACCGTAATATGGAAGAAGCAATCAACATGGAACATCTGCTAGCCGTACAACATCTGATGCAAGCTTTCCAACATAGAAAACGAGATCGCTGTGCTGTCTTTATCTCTCCTTCCGCAATTCAGTATCTCCCTCTAGTACCGTTGGCCAGTCGAAATATGAAGTATTTAGCCTTTACCTTTGGTCGCGTGACCACTATATCAGATCCCGCGAACCAGGAATCAGTAAGCAATCAGCAAGAAATCCTAACAAGCTGCTGATATGATCGCGAACAAAATTGCGAGCAACTCGGAGCAAAGAATGTTGTGTGTATGTTCACCGTTGTCTAGAAGCACCAAGACCAGCACTGGACTATCCCCAAGTTTGTACAACAAGTCCGTTCTAGCACGTCCACTTCACTTTGTCGGTATAATTTCTCTTTTCTTTCGTTGCAAGCTGATCGCTCGTGAATTTGGTTCTTAGGTTGGCTTGCATCAAGGAGTACCGTGGTGGTCAGCCGTTTTCGTGGTGTGGGTCACGCTGATGTGCCCTTTCGGAGTCTCGAACCTGGGAGGGCGAATATCAAGAGTATACTTCGCTGAACGTCTTCGAGAACCTACAGTACTCGGATCCTTGCTCAAATTGATGGTGGACCTGACATGGCATGGCGTCTCCCCACAATCGAACCACCTCTCCATAGCCTGGCCACAATATACGGCTCAAGCTCGAGTTTCTGGTAATCGTCTTGCGGTCTGGTACAAATTTCCCCGAGAGTAACGGTCATACTAAGCACGATAACTCCATGATTTGCGAGGTATGCGTATATTCTGAACGAGCTAAATTCATCAACCTTTACTTGGAGCATGTTTGCGCCAAAACCGTGCCTTTGGCAGCCGGCTTGGCACTGATCGACGTGGAGCAAGTGCGATAGTGGGTCGGAACTTCATTGGGCAAGATTGATTGCATCCCCTGAGCAAAGATGAGCCGTCCCATGCCTGCCAGAATAGAGACATTCCTAACTTGTAGCCTGCGTTTATGGCTGCGCATTGCTTCACCGTCTGTTTCATGTGTGTAGTCCTCCGCCTCTCGCAGTAACGATTTGTCTGCAGCAGTTGAACTCCATAATCGCAGTGGTCGTCCCTTATCTGTCGCATCATCTCTGTCCTTTCCAACTGTGAGCTACCAATTGCGCGCAACCTTCTGCATAGGCCACATCGTCCGGGTCAATTCGAGTCTGCTCCGGCAGCAAGGAACACGGGATGGGAGGTCAATTGTCAAAGATGCTGGGCAAGATCTTCGGAAATAAGGAGATGCGACTGCTCATGTTGGGTCTTGATGCAGCAGGAAAGACAAGTAAGGCTTGACAAACGTGTCGACATGGGCGCATATACTGACGCAGATCCAGCCATCCTCTACAAGCTCAAGCTAGGGCAAGACGTCACAACCATTCCCACAGTGGGCTTCAACGTCGAATCAGTCACGTACAAGAACGTCAAATTTAATGTATGGGATGTTGGTGGTCAGGACAAGATTCGACCTCTTTGGCGACACTACTTTTCAGGCACTCAAGGTCTCATTTTTGTCATCGACTCAAACGACCGAGCACGAATTGACGAAGCTCGGCAAGAATTACATCGCATCATCCTCGACCGAGAAATGAAGGAAGCGCTCCTACTAGTCTTCGCGAACAAGCAAGATATCCCTGGATCAATGACACCGACAGAGGTCACTGAGAAACTGAGATTAAATCAGCTGAAAGACCGGACTTGGTATGTTGTGCCTAGTTGCGCAACAACTGGTGAAGGATTGTCAGAAGGGCTTACATGGCTCTCAACGAACGCAAAGACAACACCCAAAACTGCTCCAAAATAGACTTTCGCAGCAGATTTGCCTTGATCAGTCTTTTCCGTTTTTTACCAGCCACGATACTGTACGTACAGCATATTGAGCGACATTGGCGTTGGGGGTTCGGCTGGCTTACACACCAGCCAATATTCAAAGCACTGCAGCGTAGTGCGGTTTATGAAGTTTGTCAGATCACATTGTATTGTTCTAATGGTACCCATATTAAAACGTCAGGGAGATAGTTGATGTGGCTAGTGATTTAGCACGTGTGTGACACAAGACTAGCTAAATGTCGCTGTAAGGAAATGGAATCCATGGCTACTCTTTTGTGATCACTTGAGTGATTGATCACAACATGACTTTGTGATCATGGCGATCTCCTGTCAGACCTCGGACCTTAGATCGTCCTTGCAGGCGTAGCAAGGATGTATGACGCCGAGTTACACAGCCATACCATGCGAACTCAACCATAATATCCACGCTGCACATCGCACCGGCACAAAGATTTCCCATCTCACAAACAGTATCTCGACTACGCATAGGCCCTGTTAGAAACGCTATAGCGCAGCTCGCAACGTTGGAAATGCCCCTCGGCCCATGTACTGTGTGTCTGCAAGGCAGATAGCGCTGTCAAAGACTATTGACTCGCTTGGCTCGACGATGTCTAGTTTATTGTGAACATGCAGAGTCTTGCAACCAGGGACTCGGTTCGCAACGCACCTAACCTTCCTCCCCACTGACCCCGCAGTGACCAATGCACAGCAGGGCATCAGAGTTAGTCACCTGCGATAAAGAGTCTAGTCTCGTACGCACACGAGACTTTGGGGCAAATTGAACTCAGTGCACCTGCAGATTTTAGACTTGCAACATGCAGCTAAGCACCAACGGACCATGCAAGATAGGAAGAACGTGCCAGCGATGCAACTTTAACAGCACCGTACGCATCCTGCAGGTGCTTCTGGCATGGTTTCGGATCGTGCTTGCCCCTGAAAAAGTTGGGGTTGCAGTCTCGTGTAATCGTTTCAGAAAACTTTTAACGGCCTGACATGCATATACGGGGCAGAGTGCTATCTTCACTATCTTCGCATCGTTATTCATTCTTCTCTTAGCCGTCAAGTCCTGTTGGGTAAATCTCCTGCCAGCGCACACGAGACTAGCGAGATCTTTTGGGACTATTGGCGGAGCAAGTTGACCGTCGATGACCTCTGGCTGATTGTGGTGTGTTTGATTGAGTCTCAGCATCCTCTGAAAGGCTATTTACGCCATTGCCGCTATCAATTGTGGATCACCATCCGTATACTGTCAGAATTCGACTCCGTCCAGCAACATATCTCGTGACAGCACTGGCAGACCGTCGTGCTCTCGGTACCTAACAACAGCTATCTGCTCGTTCAACGACACATGCTCCTTCAACATAAAGCATTGCGTTTGGCCAAGTGAGCTGCTGTGTTCCTGTCGTTTGGCGCATCCTTGTACATCTCTTCCGCATGGCTGACGGAAAGCCGTCGGTCCTCATAGTCGGCGGCCTCGGTACGTGCCTTCCATAGCCACAAGAAGACCCCACCTAACACAACTACCCAGGTTTCATCGGTCGTTTTCTAGCACAACATATACACAAGAACCAGCTTGCCTCAACCGTACGGTTAGTCGACAAAGTCCTACCTCAACTAGCACATCTTGCGCCTGAGTTCACCGAAGCATGTTCGAACGCGGTTTTCCTCCAGGCCGATGCCTCTCGAGAACAGTCTATGTCCCGAATATTCGATCATCCTGACATACCTGGGGGTAAATGGGACTATGTCTTCAACTTGGGCGGTGAGTCGGCTTGGTCGCAAACGTACGAGATCTACAAATTGCGGAGTCATCAGCTGAGTGTGACACTTGCCAAAGAGTCTGCGAAGCGAGGAGTAGGTGTGTTTGTGGAAGCGAGCACAGGAATGGTATACTCCTCCAATAAAACTCCAAGAGTCGAAAGTGACAAACTGAAACCATGGACGAAGATGGCAAAGGTAAAGCTCGAGACTGAAATAGCGATGAGCAAGCTGCCAGGATTGAATTTGGTCATCTTACGCATGCCACATGTTTATGGCGATTACGATCATAAATACGTTTCGAAAGTTTTGTGTATAGCAAGGGTACACCAGGAACAAAGCAATGAGTTGAAGTTGCTATGGACCGAAGATCTGAGGGTCAACACATTACACGTGGAAGATGCTGCCAGGGCACTATGGACAGCAGCGGAGTGGAAACGAGGAGGAAACATAATGCCTCCGAGTCCAACGCTAAGCAGGAGAAATACTCTATCAAAAGGCGAAGAAGGTCCAGTCTCCGACACACCTGTCTTCAACATTGTCGACCACGGCGAAACGACCCTAGGCGACGTATCCAAGATCATCGGCGAAGTGTTCGGCATCAAGACCGGCTTTCAAGGCACCATAATATCACAGTTCGCCAAATTAAACCTAGACAGTGTCGTCGACGACCTGAACGAGGATTTCTTACAACCATGGGCAGACATGATCGAAAGAGCCAAAATTACACGGCCAGGACCACTTTCACCATTTCTAGAGAAGGAACTACTCAAGGATTCCGACCTGAGTATGGATGGTAGTTTATTCGAGAAGACAACAGGCTTCAAATATTTGCATGAAAAGTTTACTGCTGATGAGGCACGGAAATTAATTGAGAGCTATAAGAGGATGAATTGGTGGCCATGACAGCGTGGTAGGGCTAGCATAGCGAGGGTGAAAAGGTGAGGAAATCCAGTTCTCAGTCCTGGTTCACATGTACGCATTCAGGCAAGTGGTTGTAATGAGTAATGTGGTACGACGAAGAGTATAAAATAGCTACAAGAGATTATGATAGTACATATAAATCGAGTCACTGACTCAGGTTTATCTTCATGGCCAACATACACATTTTTATTCGAGGAAATTCGCAAAGCACACACTCAAGCACAGATGACGCGTTACAAACATTCAGAAGGAAAGAATGACAGACACCGTGTTTTTGGATCGTATCTATTCAGTTCTTCATCTATGCGCTTATGACTTGCAAAGGCACAGTCAATATGAATAAGGTCGTAGTATCAGCTCCGTGTTACACAGCACAGTCCTCGAATATAATCGATTTGTACGCGTATATATCTCCCTCTTCTCATATGTATCTGTATATCAATGAACACACTCGTTGTCGTAGGCTGAATACCTTTGACAAAATCTCTACGTTCATCTCCTCATCTCGGACTCCGCGTCACACAAGCAAACAACGATCGCATCAGAGACTCCCTAGGTCTCTGCACGAGTGGTCTGTCTGCTTCCTCAGGACTACTAACACTGACGAATGAAAGCTTCTTCACCGCGCTCGATTCGATATATCCTTGCTGTACCGTCTCCTCGACTTCTGAATCCTCGATGACTTCGCGGCCAGATGAAGGTGTATTTTCTGGCTCGGGCAGGTTTTCACTCTCTTCACTGTGTGCTAGTCGTGATTTCCTTGATGTTGTGGTTATAGCGCTTGCTCGTAGATTTTGCTTCGGTGTTGGAGTGGATATGTCTGGTTGTGTCTTGGTCATTCTGGCTGAACGTGGAGATTGCTCGGTTAGAGCTGAGTATGCTGGTGAAATAGGTGAGCCTGGTACATAGTTGTCTCTATCTTTGAGTGGCCGGAAATGCCTCTTAAGCGGCGAGAATTCGGGTCGTCGTTGAACGAGAGGAGAGAGCAGATTTGCCGCGTGTGGTGGGATGAAATCTCTGTCTTTCCAGCCTGTAGTTTTCTTGGCTCTGGGTGTAGCATTCTCCACAAAGACATCGCTGTATACATCAACAGATTTTGCGGGTGCCTTGCTTGTTTTCTGTTTGCGAGCTGGAACATTAATCGAGATGTTAGCTCTTTTGGTGGGTCGTGCAGTAATTGTATCGGCGTCATCTTCGTCGATCGACTTTCGCTTTCTCTTTTGCCCAGCAAGCTTGCTGACTTTCAAATCGAGCTCTCCTTGTCTTAACCACAGATCTTCCCTCCGTGTCTTCAGATCAGCAATCCATGCGTCGCAGTCCATCGCAACGTAGTCGTCAATAACACCCTCCCATTGACTCTCAGAAGGCCGTGTTCTATTAACGAACACCACTCTTCCATTCTTTTGAGCATGCACAACCTTAGCAAAATCTCTTACGACCTTCTGTAAACCGTGGACTTTCAGCGATGTGCCCATAATCACCAGTAGGTCTGGATTTGAACTTTGGTCGAAAGCAATCAGTGGTACCAATAAGGAATTGTGCGGGTGATCCTCTCCGTAGAGCACGATGTTCGGTCTAAGCTCTCCTACTGCCAGACCACGCTTTCCTGTGGCTTGTCGCGCCTCGCTCTTCTCAGCACACTTCTCGCAGTTTGGTGCAGCACCTTCCAAGAAGATGGCCGTTTCTCCCTCGTCCCACGCCTGCTCCGTAGAACACACGCGACAGCGAAGGTTGCTCAACTCTCCATGTAGTTGCACGACCTCGCAACCTCCTTCGAAGTCCGTTCCCTTCGTCTCTTCCGGTCGAGGCATCTCGTAATTCTTCTTCAGAAACCTGCGCTTGTTGCCTCTGCCACGCGTCAGGTCCATACACAAGCCTTCTCTTGCTTCCAGACCATCTATATTCTGCGTGTAACAACGCATTAGCCTGCCACCATCGCGTAGCGTTCTGATGAATTTGTGTGTAGCGCTGGTATCCTTGACTTCATCCATGATCTTCTGTCGGAGAGTCGCGATAAACTGATAGAATGTTGTTGTGGTCTCGGCGCTCTGAAAAACGCGTGCGTTGAAAAGATCTTCACCTTTCATTCGTGAGGATGGCGATGACCGGTAGCTGCTGGACGAAAAGATCGAGGACTGAGACGAGGGAGGTTCATCGTCGTCGTCTGTATATGCTTTCCTTTTGCGTGAGGAAGGTGTTGACGGATTGGAAGGCGGCGGTGTAGGTAGTATAGCTCGCTCCGGTATAACGTTGTATAGTCCATCTTTTGATCTGAAATCCTGCGCGTGTTAGTTTCGAACACAGGACAGGAGAGAGGGTTGAGCAAACCGGAATGCCACAGCTTGTGCTAATGCCCGCGCCCGTGACTAACACCTGTTTGTGCGATTTTGCAAGGGCATCAGCAATAGCTTGAAGCGCTCGATCGTCACCAGCAATGACCTCGCGTAAAGGCATGACGGTGGCTCTGTATAGGTATCATACACTAGAATAATGGTAAGGTTATAGTTGGAAAAGCTGTGTAAGAACAATAGCTTGATCAGACTTGGTATATTAGCAGACAAGTCGTGTCACGTTCGTGTAGAAGTGTCAAGTGGACCTCTTGTGGAGGAAGACGTGGCTGGAAAGAAGTAATGCTCGTCTCGACGCGTCAATCACGCGTCGTGCTGTTTGTTAGCACAGACCAAGTTCTGTATAAAACTCACATGGTGCCAGTGTAGGCAGAAGCCTCAGTGACTGTAATCAGTACTCACGAAAAGTTGAGACAGAGTGAAGGAGTGAAGGAAGGCACGCGTCGTGCTTCTTCGGGTTGTACACTCCATGTTTTGGGAGCTTTGCGGGAGATCGACAGCTAACAATTAAGCTTAATTTGGCTTTTGGCCCGTGACGATTGCCAGCATCATCGCCCCACTTCCAGGATCAACCGAGATATATTCTCTCGACACACAGTTCTTCAGCCGTGCTCCCAAGGACTTTTGTAACTTATGTCTGTCCAGTCGGCCAATTCCTCCCTCGTTTTCCTGAACTTTGGCGGCCTACGTCCTGGCTCGAAGTCAAGTTCACCCTCTCCGATGTTGATGCCAAGGAGCGAGCGTATGTAGTTGCCTTCTCGAATGCTAGCTGCGTGATCCAGACTTTCCATAAATTCGTCCTCCGCCTCTTCCAACATCAGACGGCGTCGCTTGTGACTCAGACGACCACCACTAAGGCCGCGCTGCGAATTACCACTTCTATCTGTATCATCATCCGAATGTCTGCGATCATTTCCTGAGGCCGTTTCTTCTTCGGCGTGAGAACCTCCATCAAAGTCCAAGGATTGAGCAGTCCGGCTTGCTTCAAAGCTGTGACTGGCGTCGTCGTCGTCACTGATAACGTCAAAATGCTGATCTGTTCTTTCCTCAATGTGCCCTGCATCTCCATTCAGCTTTTGAGAGGTCATATTGATTGCGGAGAGAGATCGTCTTCTACCTCTTGTGCCCCGCACAGACAACATCCTTTGAGCGTCTCCCAGCGCCAAAATTGCTTTCTGCTCCCCTTTCCTGTGACCGCCTAGAACGATTTGTGACCGGCTTCGCTTCAGGTAGTCTATCCAGTAATCGAAGGAGTCAGCAGGCATGCGTAGTACATTCAATGCAGCGTCAATATCGTCAGTCTTCAATACGTTGGAAGGCGAGTAATTCGCGATTGTGGTAGATCGTATCCGCGACTGCGCTAGGAAGATAGCAGTTTGTAGTATACGCTGAGTTATGCTTTTGACAAGGTTGAACAGACTCTCCACTGCGTCGATGGTGATTGAAGGCTCCTCATTGTCTTCAGCTATCTCAAGCCAGTGGTGATGTTGACTAGAGTTCGGCATATTCATGAACAATGCCCTACTGAGTTCAAGAAGCATATCGAATCGAAAGAGTTGGAGCCCATGTTGATCGTCGTCTGTATCCAAGTCTTCTTCTTGGTGTCCATCTTCTTTAGCGTCATTTGCTGTATCAATAGTGCTTGCAAATGCTGAATCGATGACTTGCGTACCCGCGCCCTTGCTTTTGGCCGCAGACTCATCGTAGAAGTCCTGAAGAGCTGCAAGAGCGTCAGCCGCCTCCTCGAGCTCGTCCTCAAGCTCGGCATCGATATCAATAGCAGCGTCGATTTCGGGGTGAGCGATTCGCTTAGCGTGCTTGAAAAACATGTGTCGCTCGCGTTCAGCTTCCTTAAGTCTGTATAGATAATCCTGAACTTCAACGACAGATTTAGTACCAACGAGGTTAGACAGAGCCTGAAGATCATGGCGACCCTTACGAGCCAATGCTTCGAAGAAAGTCTCCTTCTCTTCACCAGTCCAGATCACAGATCCAAGCTGACTTGTTTCGAGAGGTCTTTTCACTTCTCCTCTTTCGTACTCAGCAGTGAAGAGCTCGACATATTGGTCACTGTAGGACTTGGCAAGCCTTCCCCATCTGGCGCTGCCATGGTTATTGGTGGCGCTCAAGACGTGAGCAGTGGTATCAGCGGTTAACATATCGTTGGCGCTCGCGTTAGAGATTCTAATGGAGGTGGTCACACTAGGTCGAATCTTAGGTTGGCTCTTCTCAGCCAAAGCATCGTTCTCAACGTCAAGGTCCATGTTCGTGCTGTGGCGGTACAGCAACGTGGTCGCTGTACTGACAATAGCTCTGGTGATCTACTGAAGTCATCTTAGACACTGTCGATAAATCAACAGTGAAGCCTCCTGACTCCTGACTTCTGTCACTTACTGAGTAAGAAAGTGCATGGGTTCAAACATTCATATTTCGGTTCGGCGTAAGCCAGCCTCGTAAGCCAGCCTTGTTGCTGCTATCGTTGACGACATTAACCACATCGACCCTCTCTCCTCCCATACAAAGCCACCATGAAGCATGCTGGCTTCGAGGAGATGGCTAAGATGTGTATCATGGTCGTGCCGAGCTGTAACCAGGCCTCGTGTCTGGCAACGCAGTCTGGCGACGGTCGTGGCTGACACACCTGCCGTTGCATATGAAGAGAAACTACGATTAAGAGAATATCAGGAAGAATGCATCCAGTCTGTTCTCTCATACCTCAAGAATGGCCACAAGCGGTTGGGAGTTTCCCTAGCGACGGGTAGTGGAAAGACAGTCATCTTCACTCAGCTCATCAATCGACTCGAGCCTACGAACACGAAAGCGACGCGGACCCTGATCCTCGCCCATCGTCGCGAGCTCGTGGAGCAAGCCGCCAAACATTGCAGAAGGCAATACCCAGACAAGAGCATCGAGATCGAGATGGGTGATCAGCATGCGACTGGGACAGCAGACATTACAGTTGCATCCGTGCGCAGTCTTCAGCTTGGCCGCTTAGAGAATTACGATCCGGACAGCTTTAAACTTGTTCTCGTGGACGAGGCTCATCATATTGTCGCTTCAGGATATCTTGAGGTGTTGGAGCATTTCGGACTCGAGAAAACTCCTGCACCCACGGAGCAGGTACCTGCTCTCGTGGGTGTGAGCGCAACCTTCTCCCGTTTTGACGGTCTGCGCTTGGGCTCAGCAATTGATCATATCGTCTATCATAAGGATTATGTCGACATGATTGGTGAGAAGTGGCTATGTGACGTAAAATTTACTACTGTGAAATCTGGTGCAAACTTGTCCCGTGTCAGGTCTAACAAAGATGGCGACTTTGCAGTGGCTCAGCTCAGCGCGGCCGTGAACAGCAATGAGATTAACGAAATTACAGTCAAATCTTGGATGAGCGAGGCGGGAGACCGAAAATCCACGCTGGTATTCTGTGTTGACCTGGATCACGTCGCAGCCCTTACAGACACATTTCGTACGTATGGCGTTGATGCACAGTTTATTACCGGGAGTACCAAGAAAAACATTCGAGGTGAGAGACTGGATGCCTTCAAGAGTGGCAAATTTCCAGTTCTTCTCAATTGTGGCGTGTTTACTGAGGGTACAGATATACCCGGCATCGACTGTATCTTGCTCTGTCGTCCTACGAAGTCACGCAATCTTCTGGTTCAGATGATTGGTCGAGGCATGCGCTTGCATCCGAACAAGGCGGACTGCCATGTTATAGACATGGTGGCATCGCTCGAAACTGGGATAGTGACTGTGCCTACTCTCTTCGGGCTTGATCCTGGTGAAGTTGTCAAGAACGCATCATCTTCCGACCTCGAGAAGCTCAAGGAACAGAGGGTCAATACTCAAGAAAAGGCGGCGAACGCAAGCTCAATGTTTGGAAGTCAAGATGCTTCTGCTTTCCCCAATCGGAACCTTACCTTCACTCATTATGATTCAGTCCACGATCTGCTAGAGGACACTTCCGGAGAGCGACACGTTCGCGCCATGTCACCGAATGCCTGGGTTCAGGTTGATTCGGACAAGTATATCCTTTCACCCAGGAGCGGCATCCTTACCCTCGAACGTCGCCGCCTCACACCAGCTGAGATTGCCAAAGCGAATAAAGCTAGCAAGAAAAGCAACATAGTCGTGGACGGCAACGAGACACCACTCTATCATGTCATCTACAAGTATCCTCTTCCACTTTCCGAAAACTCCAAAGCACCCTACTCTAAGCCACGTACTATTGCCACAGCAAGTACACTGACATCGGCACTCAATGCAGCAGATACATTCGCGGCGACAAAGTTCGAGCGGCTCTTTATCGCTAAGTCCTCTTCCTGGAGGAGCTCGCCAGCAAGTGAGGGTCAACTTGACTTTATCAATAAACTGCGTTACGTCACGGAGGACGAGCCGCTTACTAGTGAGGACCTCACCAAAGGACAGGCTGGCGATATGATCACAAAGATCAAGTTCGGTGTGCGTGGAAGATTCGACAAGCTGATCGTCAAGAAGAGGAAAGAGGAGAAGGAGTTGAACAAAGCGAGGAGTCTTAGGGATAAGGAACAAGTACGAGTGGGACCATTAACTGCGTGATTCGAGTCTTGAGCATCTGAAATGCTTTGCGACATTTTACTAGTAGGTCCAAGGTTACTGGTTGGTCGGAAAGTGAACCTGTGTGCTGATGATCGAAGTAGGAGTGGTCTTGCAGGCAACAGCGGTCTCCACACCATAGGTTTTAGTCTCTATCCTAAACTATTTAAAGGTTTTCTTCGTCAACCCCCATCGACGACTTCCATCACCTTTTAAGGTTCCTTGCGCTCCAGAATTTGCAAGTTGCAATCATGGATACCTCAATTAAACGACCGTTTCGATTCCTTGCTCTGCCTCTCGAGCTACAGTGGCTTGTCTTTGAGAAGTACTTCGAAGAACCTTGGACCGTCACAGAGTATCCTGATCTTTGTTTCTCGTTTACACGTGAGGCTTACGCCACTGACCATGGCCGGCTTCTCGACTATTTCAACCTTCGCGAACTGATGCTCGTCAGCCACCATGTGCGCAATAAAGTGAAAAAGGTCATGAGCATGCAGGGCAGTGGCACTTACGCCCTGTATCCTCTCACAGCAAGCCCCATACCGTGCGCTTCCTCGGCATGCTTCGACTGTGCTATAAAAACCTACAACACCTCCAAATGTCCGACACAGGACAAGGTTCTGTCTCTCAGAAAACGTTTTACAAACCTCAAATGAATACAGGGATTTGAGACGTCCTATGGCTCAATGAGACGAACGAGAAAGCTCGCTCATTCGAAAGTGTTCGCAGATTTCATTGAGAGAAAGCACGACACCGAGCTAGCTGCGCAGGCGGGGAAGGAGCTGAGACAACACATCTGGAGAAACTACCAAGATCTCTCAGACGACCTCAGCATTGCTTGGCAAACCATTTTCTTCGTAAGTGAATGGCATTCACCCGACGAAGCTGCGACATCTCACGCGTGTTGTGTAGTCGAAGTCTGGTTAGTGATGGATTTCAGAAAGTGTACTGTGGAAAACCTTAGGATCAGGTGTTTAGGAGATGAGACTTAGTGGCTTCGCAAAACATACAGCAGTATGCTCAAGCAAGAAACTAGTCATCCTGGAGGCAACAACAATGTGTGTCCACCCATGGTGGAATCTGAAAAGCTAGTCTGCATGATAAAGACGATTTGTGACAGCATATGCTACTGCTAAGATGTCCTGACTAGACACGAGGGCTGCTACTTTGTGTTTCGCACGAAACTTGGACGAAAGCACTACATTTCATGATCACAATATGAGAGGCAAACGATGATGCGCTGGTGTGGAAGAGTCCTCGCATACACGATCAACAAAGCGCAGATGTTGGTCACTGCCTCCTTGTCACCAATATTTGCAGTCGTTTGCAGCTGACAGGAGAGATGAAACAAAGATATAATCGCCTTGCATGACGGGCTAAACGCTTTGTCCTGTCTACAAGAGAATCATCGAACATAACCTTTGTCAACTGTAACAGCACACTATTGTGTGGTCAAATATTATCGGCGCCCACCAAGTTCTCTTCCTCCACAATTCATCTACTTCTTCCAAAATCTGCAATCATAGGCAGAAGGCTATAGGACAACCGAAAGGCAACTCTCACATACCATTTTATTACCTTTAGAACACAAAGGCACGTCGCCGAAGCACATCATGGAGAGATTCCTTGCGAAAATGCCCAGCAAAGCTGATAGGGAAGTACCAGACTTGATCTGGTTCCGGGTCGACGCAGAACCCAATGCCGAGAAACCAGACAAGCTCAAATTGACCTTTTTCCATTTCGACGATCCTGCGAGTGAGTACGCAGAGTTTTGGGTGCAGGACATGCTAGATGCCTACCTCAACAACCAAGAGGAATACGAGGACTTGCGCTATACAGAATTGCGGGTGCAACTCAAGGTCAAATCCTGGCATCTGTCTGACGAGTATAGCTCTGAGTTGTACCAAGGTCTTCAGACGTTTCTGGATGCGAACCTTTCAGGATTACAATCCAAAGTTACGATTGAGGGCCATATCTGGCGCTATCCTGTTGATCACCCACTTGCACCTGGTCCTAGCTTCGTTTGTGGTACGGATGAGCAGCGGCGTCGAGGCGACAAGGAGCTGCGTTTAGATAACGCAGATTATTATGCTTTTGTGTGCGTTGACCCTCTCAGTCTACCTAAGCATAAAATGGTCGATTCCTTTGAGGATGATTGAGCACATACAATAGAACATATTGTCGTTTATTATGCTCAGCATCTTGTAGTGTGCTCGCACGCCATTGACTTTAGCCCGCATCTTTCGTGTTCGGCCTCGACTATTTGTGTACACGCTGAAGATCCACACAAGCGCTTAAAGCGAACAAGTAGACCTGGAAGATACGTACCTCTAACAAAATGGTGATTTCCACCACGAAGCACCTCTCGTTCATGTGGCCCGGACACGAATCGTGGCAGCGACTCGGAACCTTCCGGGGCGCGGCAGAATAGGCCCACCATTTCCTGCCACACATATCAGCCATTCGTCGAAGATGAAACAGCACGTGGGTGCTCACTCACACTGTCAGTGAATTTCACGCTTGCTTGCTATCGATACTGTGGCGGGCCTGGACTCGTCAATCGTCAAAAGTGCATTTCGACGACAAGCCCGTTCAGCTCATATCTTGGCAAGGAGCGCTCATCACACCAAACCATGCCGAGTTGAGTCACGGGCGCTCGAGAGTCGCGTCGCACACGGCTTGCGACGATGAAGAGGTAAGAAGGAGGAGGTCGAGAATTTGACCTACTCGCGTCACAGTACCAAGTCATGTTCATTGTGGCGTCGAGCTCTCGCTTATCACGAGTGTGGAGAGGAAATTACTGTGGAGACGACTATTCTCTCAACAACAAAAAGCCATGGGCAGTAAAGCTGCTGCACGTTCATAAGATATTGGCTCGTGCAGGCAACTTTGTATGCACGAATCAGCAGTATTCAGGTTCTCCTTTGAAACTCTGAAATACGAGTGTGACGAGCTACAGCTCGCAAGTGCCCAGTACAAGTCCACCCCCTTTTAACGAGATTGCAGCTCGGCACAGGCCGAAAGCTTCGATGCAAGCCGGATATCTTGACCGAACTCCAGCTTTGCCCATCGCCAATCTGTTTTGTCGAAAGAACAAGATCGTGGTTCCCTGTCCATACTTCAGCCATGTCTTGAAGTTATCCCGCTGTCTCACCCACAAGTTAGCTATGGTCACTTATGCACAAGCTACCTGTGCTCATCTCTTGCGCTGAGACAATTGTGACCTTCTCTCTCTCTCAGGCACTACTGCAAGGATGTCGTACTCGCAGGGTCGGTGTTCGTGTAGGAAGCTAAAAGGCGGGATAGCAGTAGAGGTGCAATTTCACTTACTTGTCACACACAAGCTTGGCATTCTTCACCAAGGCTTGAAAGGAGGAGGTAGCCGTCAGTGGTACCATGCCAAGTATATGCTTAGTGCTGGGTGTATATAGCCACGAGCATGTCCTTTCCACATAAGACTTCTTTCCTCCTATTGAATCTCACCTAACAACAGTCGCTCTTTACAAAGATCTCTGATCTTGTCCGTTCGTTCTTCAGCCATCAATATGCAGATCAAATCCCTTCTCATCGCCGCTGCGGCTGCCACAACTACCCTCGCCAACCCACTCCTAGGGCTGGGACAGTCGACAGTCCCAGGATACCCATGGGGTCTTGGGTCCTGCCTCACCCGCCAACAAGCAACGTGGATTGTCCAGCAGTTCAAGTCCGTCATCACCAACCCCAACCGAGACGCCGCCGTCAAGCTCGCCTCTGTACTCCTGGACGACAGCTTCTCAGAGACTTCTGACAGCATCAACGTTCTCGCAGGTCATCCTGTAAGCATTTCTTTCCTCCCATTCCCTGTTCCTCTCACATCATCGCTGATACCCTATATAGCAAGGCTCAGTCACCTATGACGACAAACAAACCTATCTTACCGGTCTTCGTGGTGCACCTCCTATCCCCTCCATAACAGACTACGACATATTAGCGGGCTGCGATAGCATTTACTGGTTTTGGTTGGCTGATGGCATTGGACGAGACATCTCGCCTGTCAAGGGCTTCAACCGATTCCGAGTGAATCCAAAAACAGGAGAGATCAAGACTGTGGAGATCGAATTCAATAGCATTGCTTGGGGTCGTGATATAGGCTGGACCTGCACTCCTCCTCCACAGTAGAATACTAGAGTGATCAAAGATTCCAAGGGTGTCGGGACTTGAGCTGGTTCGCGAATTGGTGGTTGTCCGGTCTTTGCCGTGAAGCTCCTGAGTTTGTAGTGAAGCTACTTAGTAATTGAAGTCATACCCAGTGGTGTTCTCGAAGTTCTCGATTCATTTCTTGCACAGCTTGGTAGCCTGACGATGAGCGGAAACTGTTCCTGGGTAGATGGGCGAGACAACTTTCTGGTGGTGATCTTCACGCGCAGCTGGACGCTCTGAGTCCTGACAAGTAACTGGAATTGTTATTGAGTAGACGAGCAAGCCTGTTTTCTGGTGAAGGAGATCTTTCACTACGAAGTACTACCAGTAATAAGTGGAAGGAGCTGTACTACTTGTGTTCCTATGGAATTGCTGCCTCCGCCAAGACCATAGTCCAGGCATCAATCGGAGTTTTGATATCGCGTCGTACATCCGCTGGATGACCCCGAGTACTTAGGGGGAGAATGAGCAGGCACTTTGCAAAAGGAATATACAACTACCACGCCGTTTGTGCACGAAATACTAAGAACCGTTACATGGGGCCAGGACTTGCAATTTCATGAGAGAGCACTGATCTTATTGAGAGTAATCTATGCCAATCTCAAGGTGAGTTGTTGCTCAAGATACCAGGGCAAAGTTTTAGCCCAACACGTCCTAACCTTGATCTGGAAATGCTCCAGGAAAATCAGACATCTTGTCGAAATCACTCATAGTACTCTGAGCGTCATCGTCTCGGACGACGACCCCTGACGAACCCAACGAGTGTTCGAATGCGTCCCAAAACCCGCTCCCACTAAAGCTAGGGGCATCTTCCTCCTCCCATATGTGGCGCAAGGTGTACGCTGGCGACGTGTCCAACCTCCCAGCCAATATAGCCTGAACCTCCACCTCCCCTTCTGGATCGTGCTCGCCGTACAGTAAGATGTTATGTCCATCAAAGCCACAGTCCCAATACACCGTATCGCAAAGTTCAGGATCCCCTTCGATGAACCCCAACTTATCCGGCTGAGTCCAATCTGCTTCTTGTATATCCTGCATATCGGCCCAATAGGCCTTCATGCCGTATTGTACGCAATTGGCGTCATGCGACTGGTTTCGTCTTTGTTTCCCTCCTCGTCTAAAGTGTCGGACAGGACACCATATGTTCAATATCCCCCGCTTCTGTGTGGAATTTGCTAGTCGTTTCTGAGCGCGCATATCACGAAAACCTTTCGGATTGGTGTCGTACATCTTGATGATGTGTAGAGGTGATTCTCGTTTGTGTCCGGACGAGTACTTTCATGCGAAGTTGAGGTGGTGCCGCTGGAGGGCAATTACCATGTCCCCAAGGGACTGGCTCTGGTGCTGATACCGTAGGTTGTGTTTTGTCACAGCATGTCTTTGCGATAAGCGACTCTGATCTCTTCGATCTCGTATGTAAGCGCAGTTCAGTAATCTTCTTCTGAAGTAAGAAGGATCACACTGCCAAAAAAGTTGTTGCAAGTCGTCGCAAGAATATACCAAGTATGCACTGATACAGCAATCGACGGCCCAACTAAGGGATCGATCGCTTGCCTGGAAGTAGGAGAAGAGTGAGCAAGAAAGACGAGAAGACGAGAAAACTCGCTCTTGTCACCACGAACAACACAGACAGGGTCCTCGTGGGGTGAGTCACACCAGCTTGGAATCGCTGCCTAGGACACACCGAAGTGCAAAAAGCACAAATTAAGAATTCATTTTTGGGATTAAGGATGTAACAGGTAGTTGCAGTGAGTTACAACCCGGATACCGGCAAGTTCCGGGAAGATACACGCTTAGACGCGATCCACAGTGGAACTTCCAACGACAGCAAGGTCGCTGAGGATTGAGCCAATGAGGATGAAGTTCTTTTCTTTGAGGAACTGTACAGATGTCTATCTCACTGGCAAGCGCAAAGTACGTCATTGCGTTTCCATTCTGGGGTAGGGCGTCTGGGATTGATGCGCGAGATTCGCGTCCGCGGTGAAGGAACATACGGAAAGACAACAAGGAGGAAAGCACGGTCCTACCAGAATCTTACCTCAAGTCCAATCATTCCTAGAAGGCACTAAAAGCGAACGACCCAACATGCCAACGACTACAATAAAAGAAACAGCCACAGATCCTAGCCAATGGACCACACCCCAAGAACTATGCCTTCTACAATCAGTAATCCACCACAAGCCAGTCGGCATTCACAAACACTTTCGCATGATCAGTATACTGGACCTCATGCTCACCAGCGGCACCATACCTCACCCAGCATCTGATTACCCACATTGCTCGACTGTCGAAGGCATCTGGCGCAAACTCGAAAGTCTCTACGATCTGAAAGCACTTGACGAACGCGAAGATGCCATCTTCGCCGATGTGCCTGACGACAGTGAAGACGGCACGATAGAGTACTGGCGAGAATTTGAGCTCAAGGGTGACAGTATAGAGCAACAGATGTGGGATCGTCGCCTTGCTGAGGGGGAGGAGGAGTGGTCTGAGAATGGAGATGGAAGTGACGTACGGAAGCGTGAGAGCACGGTTGCGGATAGTGAGGATCCAAGAAGTAGTCCCGTGGGCTCTGTACGTGGTACGAGGTCGTCAGGGAGGCGAACGACGATTAGCAGGAGGCTGGCGGAGGTCAAGCATGAAGATAGTCTGGTAGGGGGTAGTGGAAAGGGAAGTAGACGAACAAGTAAAGCGGCTAGTCCAAGTATCAAGGACGAGGAGGACACGGAGATGTTAGATGCCGACCAAGATGAGGAGGAAGAAAGTAGCGAGGATGAGAACGAAAGCCAACAGGACGAAACGGAGGACGACAATAAGAAAGCAAGGACTACTAGAGGTAGAGGGGCCAAAAGAGGTCGTGCAAGACGCGGAAGGCGTGGGAAATGAATGCATTATCTCTCGCTCTGCTGCCTCTCTGTCTTTGGCTTTTCATTAGACTTAGGACGCTTGAAGCAACCGAAGCTATTCCTGCTCTGTTCCCGGAGCTTCTTCAGTACACCTCGCATGACCCCAAGCTCTTTCTGCAGATCCGCCCGAGCGTCGTTCGTCGTTCTTTTATCAAGCTCCACGTAGATCTCGTTCTGTATCTCATTGGTGCGCTTGCTAGCATATTGCGACATGGTTTGTGCTATGAATTCTGTGTCCAGGGTAGCTTGGATCAGCGCCGCAAGAGAATATCTGCTAGGCTTGCGCTCCTTGAAGCCATCTAGGAGTGCTTGAGATGTGTTCTCGAGCATGTAAGAAAGTATCTCCTGCAGAAGAGAAGGGCCTGAAGTGGTTCCAAGGACTACCGTCGTAGACACTTCCGTGTGGATGTTCACAAGCACCATCAAGGAAGCATACACATACGGACTGACTTGATCCGGACTTGTGGTCTTTGGTTCCCATGTAGGTGCGTTGATGCCGCTCTTGATTTGCTTAGTAATGTAAAAGACGGCTGGTCTCGTGTATGACTGGAAGAGCTGTCGGTCAATGTCCGAGGATTGCTTATTGATCTTTTCAGTCTCTTCTGTGAGCTTCACTGAAAACGAAGTCTCAAAGTTTGAGACAAGAGATGGAATGTGCTCTGTTCGGAAAACCTTGAGGTTCGCAATCGTAAGCAACATTCTTATGTTTCGATTGGTAGCATCGATACTGTACGAGGCTTGTGTGGCAGTATCGCCTGTCCTGTTCTGAAAAGCGTCGGCCATGCGGATCCATTCGTCATTGTCGCTTTTGACACCTTGTTCAGAGGTCTGTAGCATACCCTTCAGTACTGAGAGCACACTCTCAGCGAACCGTTGCCTGACCAGTTGGATGTTCTTTGAGGATGGAGGTGTAATTAAAGACCTGGCAATAGGTTTGGTAATGCCTTCGGAGTAGTATGTGATGTGCTGTAATCCATTAAGCACCGTGCGCTCATATGCCGAAAAATAGGTGGGCAGCCTCGTCTGACTTCGCTTCTCGGGTGACCGTAACCAGTCTTCTAAAAATGTGCAATGCTCCAAATCTGTAGACCAAGCAATACACACAGCAGTCAGGCATCGCTCTCGTGCTGCATTGACTAAGCGCTTGATCTTTTCGGGTGTTGTACTGTGATGTTGTACAGGTTGTATAGCCACCATTTCACCGCAACCAACTCCGAGAGCAACGAGCATCTTCGTGATGGCCTGTACAGCACTGATCGCATTCGAGTGAGGAGGCCAAAAGGCAAAGTCCTCCCAGGCTTGGCCCCTTTTTGGTGAAAGAGGAGGCATATTGGTTTCATCTATATTGCCTAGACGACCTTCGGAGGGTGAAAACATAGGGGTGGCAGGCGTTCGAGGCGTGCCATTCGTCATGGGTGAAAAAATAGCAGATATGTCTTCTGTCGGACTTTCGACAAACAGTGCAGACAGAGCATCACGAATCATATCAACGAGCTCTACTGTGCCATTAGAGAGATCGCTCATGCCCGCATCGGACAACCTATGGTGCTTGCGACTCTCACCTTCGAACCCAACAGGCAATGACTTCTGCTTGCTACCATCAATGAAAGATTTCGCGACGTCCCAGAAGTCAATTACTTCACCAAGAAGACCGTGTGTCAAGGACAGAAGCTTGTTGACGTAGACTGTAACACTTCTCCAGAAATCCAGGATCTCTTGGTTGTCTGCTGCTTCTGGTGATTCACGTGCGACAGAACGAATGTACAATGCCGCAGACTCTGGGAGTGGTGCATCGGCAGTTGCAAGCCTTCTCCTCAAGATCTCGATTTCGATTTTGGACCTCTCTGTGACAGCTGAGATCTTGTTCTTCAAATGGTCATACCTGCTAAGCAGCCACACCCAGATAGGGTTGTCTTCGACTCCAAGTTCAAGGAGAACTCCTATCAGGTCCATATGTTCTTCGCTTTGGCTCGAAATGTGAGGTGAGTTGACGTCGTGTAAATTGCTTAATCGGCGCCAGATATCTCGCTTGATGTTTTCAACTTGGTCACGCACATCGGCCCACATCCTGCCAGTAACTAGCAATCTATGCACTTGTTCATCGGTCAAAGTCTGGCCCATCTGCGCCACCTGTTCACCTAGGCTTGTAGCCTGATCTGCATATGTCCTGGCTTGGCCATACAAGTCCACTACACGCTCGTAGTTTTTCTGCTGAGCAGCAATGCTCATTTCTCCACCAATTTCATATAGGTTGCGATCTCTCTCCACAGCTTCTGCAATAGCTTTCAAACCTGCTTCACGTTCTCGTCCACTCAAAGCAGGACCCCACACATCTTCGGCTTTCTGTGCCACTTCCAGTAGGGGGCCTTTGACACCAGCCACACCATACTCCGTTTCTTTGCGAAGAGCATTCTTGCTTGGTTGAGGTGGTGGTCCTACACTCCCGATACTGGTAATTCTTTGATGCGCGCCACTCTGCCTGCTTACCTGCCGTGAATGTCGGTAACCACGTGGACTGGCTGGTGGCGCGTTTGTGTTGATCTCCATGCCCTGATTCCTCATTTCAGTGTAGACATTGTCGATGGTGGCTTTGGCTCGCACGAAGCGCTCGAAATTTGTCTCCACCAATACTTTTAGAGATGCCGATTTTTGATCAATCGACTGTTCCAGGTAGCGCAAGCCCTGAAGTAAGTCATTCACCGAGGCGTCCGGATGTACTTGGGAAAGGAAGTAAGAAGGATCGAAGGTGGTTGACGATAACAAGAACCTATTCTTGAGACGGACATCTTGGTCCACGGGTAGTTGACGCTGTCTCAACGAAGCGATGACCGTTCGTGAACCTCCTAATGGGTCCGTCTCGTCTTTCTGGACGAGATTGGCTTTTCCATCACGAGTCTTTTGCGAGCCGGGTAACAACGTACGCCGATCACTTGCAGCTCTTTCGAGAGCAGAGTACCGCGATTTTGATCGTCTGATCTGCGATTTAGCATTATCGTCTTCGTCTTCGCTGTCATCTAAATCTTTCGGCCACTCTAGTGGATTCGGATCCTGCAAATTATAGTAGCTCAAAATATTATGGTCGACCGCCCCCTGCACAGCGTACATGGCTAGAAACTTGTGACTATATTATTGCATAGCAGAGATGTCTTTGCTCACACCTTCGAGCTTATACCCTGTGCCAGTCACCCTTTCATTCGTGGTAAGACTCGATTGAGAACCAAATGTGTCAGCGCGTGTCGAGGCAGGAACGAATGCATGCTAAGCCCGATCGAGAGCGAGTCTGGGCTGTGCTTTCCACTCGCGTGTTGAGCTAATTCATTGCGCGTCTAGTGTCGGTTGAAACTGCTCCAAGGTGACGTTCCGGGTGTTTACTAGCGTGTGCAGCTTGGTGCGGCGGATAGCTCCTACAGAGCCTTGTAAAAGATAGCGAGAAGAAGCTGCACCACATCCGCAAATACCTTTCGCAACGCCTATAGACCTCTGCAATCATTTCTGTAGGATCGCAAAGCTCGGGCGGTCTCTACTGCAGCTCTTTGGTCTTATTATTACTCTACTAAGGTTGCCCGCCATGATTACACCTCGAGTCTTTTCTGCTGCGACACGGCAGTGTCTGCGAAACACCTGCCAACAGCCAAGATGGACACCTGCATCCTACTCAGTTAGTAGACAATTTTTCGTTACCTTACAGAACTCGAATAACTGACGTAAAGATAGGTAAGAACATATGCTACGCCCACAGAAGACAAGATCGCCCATTTCAAGGGCCAAAAAGGTTCAGATGGAAAGTATACAGTTTCGTTGATAGAAGGAGACGGTATTGGTCCTGAAATCTCACAGTCGGTCAAGGATATCTACTCAGCAGCCAACGTGCCGATCAAATGGGAGCCCATAGACGTCGGTCCTATAATAAAAGATGGCCAAACTGCTATCCCAGACGACGCAGTTACCTCAATAGAAAAGAACTTCGTCGCCCTGAAGGGCCCTCTCGCGACACCAGTGGGCAAAGGCCATCGATCGCTCAACCTGACTCTACGAAAAACCTTCAACCTGTTCGCCAACGTTCGACCTTGCAAGAGTATCGCTGGCTACAAGACGGCATACGACAATGTGGATACAGTGTTGATCAGAGAAAACACCGAAGGTGAATACTCGGGCATTGAGCATGTCGTGGTCGATGGTGTCGTCCAGTCGATCAAGTTGATTACAAAAGAAGCTTCTGAGCGTGTGCTGAGGTACGCGTTTCAGTACGCTCAAGACATCAAGAAGCCAAAGGTCAGGGTTGTCCACAAAGCTACCATCATGAAGATGTCCGACGGTCTATTCCTGAGTACCGCGCGGGACGTCGCCAAGGGCTTCCCACAGATTGAGTTCGATGCTGAGTTACTGGACAACGCTTGTCTCAAAGTGACTACCGACCCAGCCCCATATGCCGACAAGGTTCTGGTCATGCCGAACCTCTACGGTGATATCTTGTCTGATATGTGCGCTGGCTTGATCGGTGGCCTTGGTCTCACTCCTTCTGGCAATATTGGTGACGAGTGCTCTATATTCGAGGCTGTCCACGGTTCTGCTCCAGATATTGCAGGCAAAGGACTTGCCAATCCAACTGCGCTTCTACTTAGCTCGATTATGATGTTAAGGCATATGGGTTTGAATGCAGAGGCAGACAAGATTGAGACTGCCATCTTCAAGACGTTGGCCGACGGCAAGGCCCGAACTGGAGATTTGGGTGGAAAAGCAAAGACACACGAGTACACGCAAGCCATCATCGAGAACTTGGGCTAGGTTCACATCAGCTTTCTTTGCTAGCTGGAAGGGTCCTGTTTGAAGCAAAAACTACGTAGACAAACGCGCACGATGGAGTCTGTTTTGGCCGTGAATTGGCTTCCCGACCTATGCCGTTCAATGATTGACTTGTTTGAACATCTTTTGTGTTGTCTACAGATGGCAGGGATCCAGTCGTGCCGGTCTTTTCAGGACTTTAGGGGTTCAGTCTAAGCTAACCGCATCTGGTGATAGAATACCGGCTCAAGATACTTTCCGACCAACCATACGTCAGCAAGTTCGCGATATGTCTATCCCTGCTTCGTCTTATTGTTTTCTGTCCTCGTTTGACACAACACATAATGGAAACGACCTAGAATCCTTGTTTGAAACGCACGGTGCTGCTCTGTATATCTATAATGTGCTGCTTATTGCTTGAAACTATATCTTTATCCAAGACAACATTCCTTGCTCCCAGCTTGCCAGGTGATATCACATACACAGCTTGAGATCAGGCAATACCCGAAACCACGCCTTGTCCACAAGTTCACCTCGTCAGAGGATCATGTTCGAGAAATTGCCCAATGAATTACTAATTCTCATCTTGATCGAGCTCCGCTCCCTTGGTGTGAGATACTTAGCGTCCGCTCTAAGAGTCTCGAAGACATGGTATGATCTTGGCGAACGTCTCCTATGGCGGCATGTTACACTCGACCACGACCGAATACTATCTTTCGTTAGGGTCGTGACACAAGAACTCCAACCATCACGCTACGGAACACGTCCGATACACGAACGAATACAATCTTTGACAATCAATACTTCCAGAAGTGTTGAGGGCGAGACGTTCGCGGTTCCGGAAGGCCCAGATTCTCACAGAGACTTACATAAGCTCACACTGTTGCTTCCAAAATTGAACAAGTTGAGATCATTCTCCTTCCACCATTTCAGTAACTCGGCCGATCCCTGGTCTTCATACCAGATGACCGATGAGAATGTGTTGAGCTTGATTGAGAGCCTTCCGGCTAGCATTGAGAATCTGACCGTCAAAGTACCGACAGTCTACTTCCTAAGATCTCGCAATCAGCCATGTTTGTGCGAACTGATCTCCCAACGAATCGAGAAATTGCACTCACTGCGTCTAATGTGGCCGCGGCTGTGTCCCCATCTACTGCAGCACCCATCTTCGAACCTCAGAAAGGTAGTAATTGACACTTGCAGACTGGACTTGAGGCCAAACGTTCGTGGATGCGACACGGCTAGCAGCAGAAGTATGTCATGGGATGAGCGTCGGCGCCACGAGACTTCCATGTCGAAAGATGCAGTTACTGCTATGCTCGGAGCTTTGAGAGCTACATCGCAACGGCCCAATTTCTTTCCACGTTTAACGAAGTTGGTCATATTCGAGCCTTACCACTTTCCGCCTAGCTTTAATGTGAAGTGGTTCATCATTAATGTCCATAGCATGGCACGGAACCAGGACGACGATTGTACTAACAGCAGATTGGTTACCAAGTGTCTTCCTGCCTGGGTAGCCAGTGTAACGTTTGGTCAGCCAACAGGAGGCCCCTGCTTCATAATCCGCCAGTGCATGCACGAGACCAACGACAGCCGCAATCACGATACGAAGCACGACTGTGCAGAGACAGATATTATCGGCCAGCGAGGAGCCATCTTGGAATGCTTAGAGTCCGATACTCCATGGACCTCAGATAAGCCTTCTGAAGACATCAAGAGCAAAATTCAATGCACCCTGCAATATCAGGCTTACCGTAATCGACAGCTTCCTAGTTGCGTTGACCTAAGAAGGTACTGCCGAGACACCAGAGTGAAATACATAGACAGCAGTTACTTCGTCGCTCCAGACGACATACAGTGCGAAAATTTGAGCGAACTACAATACTTCCACCAATACTTCGACGTCAGAGCAAAAGACGCCGGCGCCGATAGCATCTGGTGGCTGGAAAGCCAACTTGGTCACAGTGCGATTTGGGCAAGGGAATTCGAAGGTGGTTTGTATCAAGATGAAAACGCTAGCCCACTGGTTGAAGCAGACTTTACCTCTATCGCGGAACAGTTGCGGACTGTGCAGAGGGATGCACCTTACATAGCTTGAACTTGAATCACGATCATTGTCGAGTCTATACTTGGAGCTGATAAAAGATAGCCGGTACACTCAACCTCTTTGCCTGTATGAGTCACTGCACGTGCTCTAAATTAGACTCTACATCGAACTTTAGGCATGCCTACTCGCAGCCTTGGTGTCTGAAAAAGGTTAGACAGTACTGGCAACTTTGGCCCCAGTTCCGTTCCACCACGATGATTGCGTTCGAAATGCGAACGAGGGCTTTTCGTGGCATTTCGCAGACATTACACGACTCGACTAGCTTACGTATGGACACGAACGGAGGACCTTTTGTCTTTATCTTTTGTCCTCCGCTGACATTAATGCAATATGCCGACTGAACGATTACGCCTCGCGCCCCTGCAGAACAAGTTCCACATCACGACTGGTGCCTGAATACGATGTTACGGGCTGTGCACGTATCTATCGCCTGTTCACAAGTTTTCGACCTTCTGATGTGAGCTACTCCGTAACAGTAGCTGAACAACCTTGGATGCTGTGCCACAATGGCCCCCTTTAGAGTCTTCTTAGTTCTTATTAGATGCTTCACTTCCAAGCGAACCTAATATCATTTCTACGTAAGTAGCCACGCTAAAAAGCTTGTAGCCAGCCATCAATGTAAAGAGAGTGCGTACAGCGTCTACCCTAGACTGTCTATAACGCCTGAAAATGGATGGAAGCCTCGGTGATCCTTGCGGAAGACATCTTGATGCTTAAGAAACCACCAACTCCGAACTTAGCAGAACAAGAGCAACTCAATGCAGTCGTTGAATCTCAGTTGCAACAGCTCGTTCAATCCTAGCTGGATAGTCCCGAATGCGAGGAACACTCAGCACGTTACGTGGTTGAACGCGATGCCTGATTAAGGATCTGTGACTTTGTCTCTCACGAAATCATGAAAGGCAGTACGATCTATCCCGCATGCCATGTTTGCAAACCATGAATGAGAGGTCATGGCAGGATCAGGATAGAAGTGAGGCGGACAGTGTGTGAACATATGACCAGGATCGCTTGCACCAGATGCTGTGTCTGTGGTTGCACTATGCCACGGCGCTGGGAAACTAGAACCAGTGAACGATGCACCATGCCAAGGTCCAGGTTGTACGAAAGCGGTACTCGGAGGAGCATATGCGGCCTGATACTGAGCTCCTTGAATTGCCTGGCCGAAATCTTGAGGTGTGAATGTATCCAACGAATTTTGGAAATCCTGAGCGGTTGTCTGTCTAGGTTGAACCTTTCGCAGCTCGTCAGCTAGCCTTGGAAGGCCAACTCCCTTGGCTTCTAGAGCAAGGCTTTCGAGTTGGAGCGCATTGAAACCAGTCTGAAAACGATTGTCTTGCATGAAAATGTGTGCAATTTCCTCAAACCTCAATTGGATAGCTAGGCTAACAAAGCGTAGCCAAGAGCCTGCAGGACAAAGACCAGGCCTTTGCAGGATGTTGCAAACATTGCTCACGCTATTCGTTCGAATCGCGCAATCTAGAAGTCCTTCCTTGGAGGAAGGGAGGGCACCATGCAGCATCAGGCAGCTAGCGACGTCGTTTCTTCTTCGCATCACTACTATGTCTAGCGGTGTCAAGCCTCTTGCGTCCACACCGCATAATTTCAAGTCATCGGGGTATGCCTTGGCAAATTTGTCGAACATCCTTTTGTTTTTTGAATCAACAATGATATGCAAGAACGACCTACCTAACATGTCAAAATGTCCCTTTGATCGTTGCCACAAAGTGATGGCTAAGTCCTCGTGGTGATTCCAGAAGGCGATGTGTGCCGCCGGAATGCCCAGGATGAAGCAGTCTTTGTAGGGGCAGGTAATCTCCTGAGCAGCCGAGCCAAATATTTGCGTCAAAAGCAACTCTAGGTCGAGGTAATCCTTCATCGAGGGTTCGTGTTCTGCGTCATTCTGTGTATAAGCTCCTTCGTCGCTCGCCTCAAGGAACAGCCTGCTACCACAGGACAAGAAGCGAACCTCTTCGAATGGTTCGACATCGTATTCAGCCGAATCGCTTGTACTTAAAGGCTGGATCCGGCCTGCTGGTGTGACCTCAGGCCGGAGCTCTTTCCGCGGCACCTTACCATGTGCTTCATGCAAGGCGATAATCCTTCGATAAGAGAGATTTTGCTTGTCCGTAGGCATGAGTGCCACGTACTGTGCAGACACTTTTATGTCGTTCAAGAACTCATTGTGAAGATGTGAACGCAGCCTCTGGAGGGAATCTTTCCACTCTTTGAGTATTGCCGACGAGTCGAATTCGTCAACACACCAACTGATACAAAGTGTCACAAGCTGCATAGCGACAAGCATCGCTGCCAATCTATCCCATGATACAATAGGTCGTGGCGTACCATGAGTTTGAGCGGAGTAGAAGGATGTGGTAGATGCTATATAGTTCTCATTCCGTTGAAGAACAGGCATCTCTGCAGGCACATTGGCATCAGTATTTCGAGGAAATCGCTCTGGAGGACCACAAGCATGTCCTAGACGTGCACAGCGGTTGCACTTTTGTTGGTGAAAGTGATTCCATATCCTGGAGGATGGTTCACAAGTAGTGTGATCTTTTCGACATCTCCGGCATTTAATATAGTTTCTCGATACGGCTGAAGTAGTACTTTGATTCGATCCTCCCACAGAGTTCATAGAGGCTGAGTCGCGAGAGCAAGTACCCGAAGTCATATTCTTAATTGCCTCGTAACGTTGACACTTGCGAACAGCTTCTGATGTCTGAGAAGTTGACTTTGGAGGCATTAATTGAAAAAGAGGAAACTTGAGACCAGGCGGTCCATGATGGACTTTTCGTAGCAGACGCCATGGCCCAAATCTCCTGAGACCGCGAGTCGAGCGAGTTGTCCATCATACATCGGGAGTTTGGTTCGAGGGTCCCATCCCAGCTGCCGAGTTGCTGCGACCTAAGACCATTGGGGGGCACACGACAACTTCAGGTCATCAGTGCCGCACTTTCAATTCGAGTTTCGTCGCTTGATGTGGTAGAAAGATTGGATTTCGTTGTCAGCTTGCATCTTTCGCATTTTGGTGGAGCTAGCCAAGGCTTGCCTTGTGTCCTGAATGACGCTAATGCCTAGTGTCGTCCGCTTCCGTTGCGTCGAGTTGCGTCCCGTTGCATTCTCATGCACAACATCGCATTGCGTCGCGTACGGACGCGACGTCTTGCAAACCTTTCTAAAATCTGCTGCAAGGTACAGGAGATAGTAAGCAAAATCTCTCGACAGTGGTAGGCGTGTTCACTTTCGTGTTGGTGGACCTCGAATATTATGTCGTGGTAATCGACCGAGACTACACGTGGCAGAAAGCAGCGAGGCTGAATTGTTCGCAGGCATAAGACTCTGTGGTACACAAACAATCTTTCTTACACGAGCCACTGCAAGGTCTGGCGCGGCTCCCTTCGCATGAGCTCGGTCTCGATAGCAAGATGGAATTTTGTTGTTGCGGAACTTCTGATACGCTATGTCGATTATGACTATGAGACAGACGCATGAGAAGTAACAGACCGGTTAGCATTTAACAGACCGGTTAGCATTTAACAGACCGGTTAGCATTCTTGCATAAGTCGTTCTCAATATATACGTAGACTTCGCAGGTCTCGTATCAATATCCATCAAATTCAACATTCGTTCAGAGAGTTGGTCAACGCACGCATCAATGTGCTTGAAATACAAAGTGCCTTCAGCTCTGCTCGGTAGCCAATGTGAAGCCCAAGTCCTGCATCATCTGGAAAGCCGCTGCCATGACAATGAGGACGACACAGAACGTCCTATCCAGACTGGATGCCACTTCACTCGCTCTTCTCATAGAGTGTGGGCAAGTGGAGACGGAGACGAGAAAAGACTAGTTGAAATAGTCAAGGATCGAGGGGTCGATCTAGCCAAAAGTACCAAGCAGTACAGCACCTCCGGAGCCAAAACTCGACCTGACTTTCTGGGCGTGAACACGACTGTCGACGAGCTGGAGTCTTGTCGCCAATGTCTAAAACATATGTTGCAGAAAAGCTCGGCACAGACATTTGTATACGTATGCTGTGCGATATCTTGTGTACTCAACTCTTGCTGCCCTTTGCATGCTTCAGCCATCACCGTTGCAGTTGCTCTCACTATCGACCATCGACGAGTCACAGGCGACTTGACTAAGAAAGAAACAATAGATGACACAGCATCACAATGGATCAATACTTGCGAGTCTTTTCTGTTCCAAGATACCGAGGGCTTGGTGCACTTTCGGACTCGAGCGATGCCTCTCTTTCTCAGATCTTTCTTCATACAAGGAATCGATGCCAGCCACAATACAATATCTTTAGCGTGCCAAATACAAGTCTGGCTCGATCAGGGTGGCACGAGCGAACAGACGAAAGCCACAAGTACCACAACTCACAGGTATGCAGGTTCCTCTTTCTCAGAGTATGCTGCGAGCCACTGGAAGTGCCACCGTCAAAGAGCCGCGAATTTGCAATATGGCCTCTGGAGCCAGATGTTGAGGTCGTATGGGATGGCAGCGAGAAGCGTGGAGGAACGTACGCTAGCCCGAGAAGAGAAAAACGAGCACCTGATCCGACACAATACAATAGCTCGTAGTTGTTTCGAAACTAACGACGTTGATCCTGATATCGATCAGGACTGGGTCCTCCTCAGTTTACCAAGTTGATGTATGTTAGTGACGGTTTCATGCCCTGTTATTGATAGTGAATGCGGTTGGGTTGAAATGTCTCGATTCGAGCCGTTTTACGACTGTTAGATAACGTCCTATAGTGAACGCCCTTTGCAAGTGGAACGAGGTATTGTGGCGTCTTCAAGAATCGAGCCAGACTGAAAAGAGGTCAACTAATTTCGTGCCCACATTTGTGCGATCGCCAATCAATTTCAGAACGTGCCACATCCTTCCCTGTCATGCCAGGATCCATCTTTTCGGTGCTGCGTTCGACAGTAGACAGACAGTCATGTAACAGCGATGTTGGCGCAATGGGACGCGACACTAATTCGAGGATGAGGGTCGAATATCTCTATGTCGTATACTTGCTTCCAATAACAAAGCCATATAAATGCATCGTTATTTTCTCAAGCTCTTCTCTTGATACCGATTTCGCTGCAATTTGTATCGTGGTCTATCAGCTTGAGCGATAGCGTTCCCATAGAGTATCGATGGCACACATTAGACAAGACGAGGCGAACTCCGGCACAACCTCGTTGAGATCCGAATTTGTTGTTGTCTCAAATCCTACCTCGTCGTGTATGCTTCGTTGTCTAGACCCTACTGAACTCTGTTAATCACTTCAAGGCTCGAGCACGTCAACAACGTCTTCAATGAAGGTTGAATGTGGTGTTTGTCGTGAGTGCATACGACGTGTATCAGCACGCGAGTGGCGGCGAGGTGATCGTCAAGCTCCTCGTCCAGGATCGAATAGGCACGTCGAAGAGGATCTCTTCTTTGTTGGAAGTCAATTCCAAATAGGTTCGAAATGAGGGTTACATAGATGGCCACGAATTCCAAGCACTGCGAATCCCTCCGGGGTAGCTAGATTGTGAACCCTCATCGGACGCGTTCTGCGTCAAAAATTGTGACATGCAGCGGCCGTTCATTGGAAGTCACGAGTCATGGTGACCAGCGATATTAGCGAGGAGTGATGGCATTGTTGCACTCGATTCACGTCGTTGATATTACGAGATTGAGATAAGATAGAAGTTACAAAACATCGTTCCCCAAAGCTCCTTCCGTCACGACCGTTTGAGCTCGTGCCAACTGACCAATCACAATTCCTTGGCGTAAATCAAGTGGTTGGAGCTCGACCTCACTAAATCAAACTAATAACATTATTCTACCACTGATCATCTTCAATGTCCCTGTCATTCAGTCTATTACTACAATCCCACAATCCTCTCACTCACCCCCATCGCACGCTCACAAGCACTCACAATATCCGTTGGGTGAACCGCAAACCCAAACTTCGCCCCCGGCTGCTTCTCCACACATAAATTGACCATCTTCTCAAACATCGGCGTAGCACCCCTATTCCCACGAACACCAAAGCCTATACTGATAACAGTGTATTTTCTCGTGTCGAGCTCTTTACCTAGGACACTGAGCGTTTGTTCTTCCGGCCAGTTAATGGGGTCCAGCGTGCATATGGTGAGGTTGTAGCCTTTGCTTTCTGCTTCTGTTCGGGCTTGCTCGAGGGGTTTGTCGATTTGGTTGTTGGGGTTGGGTGGGAGGCCCATGACGAGGAGGTTTGGTTGTTCTGGGGGCGCCATGGGTGTGGTTTGATGGACTTGAGCTTTACAGTGTTTGTTATATGTTGAAGAGATTTGTGTGATGGAATGAGCGCTCTGTAATGAGTATGTTCTTCTTGCAATAGTGCGACATATATATATATGCGTAGTCTTAGTTTCGTGTTCCGAGGATCTCGATTTTTGTTACGGCCACCAGCCCATTCGAGCTCAAGAAGGGAACTCGGGACTTGTCGGCCCGACTTACAGCTGTAAGGACAATGTCCTCTTGGCACAACCGCTTACGGATACTGGTCACCTGCCTCGTTACTATAGCGCGTTGCAGTTCTTCGATTAGTAAGCATACACCTGCATTCTCGGCAATTAGGTCAATAGCTACTCCAGGAATCTAATCACTGTACAATTCATTTCCAAACTCGCTTCATAGTGTGTTTCTCTGAACTGGGGTCATGTTTCATGTGCACGGCCCGTTAAGTTATGGATATAATCTTGTTGTTCAGTACTTGTCTCATCCCACCATCCAAGCTGACTATATTTCAAGAAAAGTCTCATCATCACTGAGATGGTCCAAAATACATCTCCATCTCAAGGACAAATCGAGAGTAGCACAATCATATATTCCTAGAATCAGTTAGTACCTGTTAGTCGAATCGGCTCAAAATTTACAGGTCATCAAAAACTGATCGAATCTTGGCCCGCTTGGACGTTGGCATGAGGCTGCCCATATCAGACGGTGAAGCTCTCTTAGCGGATCTTGCATTCGTAGACCATAGTCCGAGACCACTCCGTGTACCAAATATTGATGGACGTGAGAAGTCAGATGAAGAGGCAGAGCTCGGCTGGTTTAGTTGATCGGCACGCGCAGCGGATGCAACAACAGCTTGTCCAGCCATTGAGCTTTGGTCTGTACCGGCTTGTATCAGTTTCTTTGAACCACTTGGACGGAAGAGCGCTACCGGTGCTGTCAGTCTGGCGATCCTATCCTCGTTCTCGCCAATCTTGAGGAATCTGATGTTTTTGAGGACTTTGACCATGACGCTATCCTGGAGCATGGGATTACTAGCTGCCCCTTTCGCTTTCCTAGGTGTTTCAGTTTGCTGGTGCAAGTCATCTCTGGTCTGACTGCTATCAGTATTAACGCCGCCCTGACCTTGCTCAGCCTTCTCCTTCCGTCTCTTGACCAACGCCTCCTCGAAAGTATCCTTGAGCACAAGAGTTTCGATGTATACTTCACGTGTCTGTCCGATTCGGTGCGCGCGTTTGATGGCTTGCGACTCGAGTGCGGGGTCCCAAATTGGACAGACAATGTAGACTCGACTTGCTGCTGCGACGTGAAGGCCCAGGGCTGCCTGCTTCAAGTCCATAAGCAGGACCTTAGTCTCGTTGTCGGCATTGAACTTTGCTAGATATTCCGCTCGTTTTGAGACAGCCAGTGTGTTCGCATAGATGAGAAATGGCACTCGGAGTAGTTCTAAGGCTTCGGCAATGAAGAACGCTGTGTTATTGTGATTGTAGAATATGATCGACTTCTCGTCCGGATGGGAGAGTACTCTATCGCACAGGTACGTGAGCTTCGCTGACGCAAAGCCTAGCACTTGCGTACCCGGGAGCACGGGAGCCTCGACGACTGTTGGGCTCAAGCTTCCGTCTGCTATGTCGTTTTCACCATTTGTCGTGGTTGTGGTCTTCGCAGGTGAAGTCGAAGTGGTTGGTGCTCGCTTCGAGGGTGCATCGACAGCACTAGCCTCATTATTGCCTGTGTTGGCTCTCTGTTTCTGCATCTGCTTCAATTCCTTCTCGGCCTTACTTCGAGCAGCGTCCAGGGTCTTCTTACCATGACGCTGGAGCATTCCTAACGCATTCGCAGGGTCTTTTTCGAGTCGAGCTTGCACGTGTCTCTGAACTTCTCGAGCTTGTGTTGTACCCATAAGCAGTGGCTCGCCTGCTTGTCCATCTAGCGCCCACGCTGCTTGGGCTGTCTTTGGAAATTGGCTTATGTATGTGCCCATCTCATGCAGGTCGCTGAAAGCCTGCCAGCCAGAATCGTTAAGAGCTTTCTGGCCATTCATGATAGCTTCTGTAAGCAGAGCACCATCTTCGTCCGTAACCTTGTCAATATTCTTGTTCAGGTATTTTTCACCATTTTCTAGTGTGTCCTTGATGTTTTGAGCAGTAATTCCTAACCAGTAGAACGTGCCGTAACCGAAGTTATTTATCAATGAAGTGAGCTTTCCACGACTCTTAGGGTGGAACATGTAGTCCTCGTCCTCACGCTCGGACGTAACATAGTTTGAGATTAATAACATGACGAAGAGATTGATGGTAAGCTTGTCATAGTACGATGGTTCGAGATAAGTGATCTTGTTGTGTAGTGTCGGTAGACTTAGATCACGATCAACGTCCTCTATGCGATGGCGTATAATCAGTGTCTGCATGACCTCTCTAAGAGCTAGTCTGCTATATTTCTTCCCGTCGAGATCTGTTCGTGGTGTCAAATAAGCTTTCCAGTCTGCTTGATCGTTGCCCTTCTTGTTTGCCCATGGCTGCAGTTTCAGGAAATTGCATACAATCAGACGCAGTCGTTCGAGATCTTTGGCATCTGATTCCTGAGTTCGTGGTGTCCGGCGTTGTTCCAGTGCTGTGCCACATGAATCGGGCCTTGTAGGGCTAGTTTCGAGAGCACCGGACTCGACCGAGGCCAGACTGACCTCAACACCATGCAGACCATTTGAAGGAGTGCCACTGACGACCCATCGTCGCTCGATAGACATCTTGTCGAGCATTGCCATGGCGTTGGTCTTGGTTGCAGAACCAGCGAACCCATGACCTTCGTCACAAATTACACGTAGCCAGCGTACTTCAGTTAGTGGCGATTTGTACTTCTCGGCAAACCTAGTGCTTTTTCCTTGATGCAGATCGTCATCCCGATATTCTTGTTCGAACCTTGACTTCGATATTAGTACAATATCGTACTTCGATAGAGTGTCGTAAGGGGGAACCTTGGCATGAGATGTGTCGAGCACAAGTACATCAATCGCATCTTCGTCTACATGTCTTTGTATCTCGTGTTTCCATTGAACGATGAGGTTGTCCGGCACTACAATTAGCGTTCCAGAGCAAAGTCGAATAATGTTGGAAAGTTCCGGCTTTCCTCTTCGTGTCGGATTTGTTAGTCCCTCTCTTGGCTCGTTGTAGGCTCGCTCATACTTTTGCAACTCTTGAACGATTCTATCGTAGTGATTGCCTGCCTTCCTCAGCTGATAAAATTCGTTCTTCCAAGGAAGCCCTTGATACTTGATTTGTCGTGCAGCCATCGAGAGGAGTGAAGGAGTCTTTTGTTGTTCTTCGTCTTTCAGCGGTTCAGTACAGAATTGTGGTATGTCAGGATAATGTCCTCTAGTCGCCATCACGAGTGCGAGACAGATCAAGGTCTTTCCGTAGCCCATAGTCTCGGCCAAAACACCACCTTTAGGCTCATAATATAGTGGTTGCTGTCGATAAAGCGAGCCATCGTTCGTGTCAAGGTAAAACTTTTTGCAGTACATGTCCACCATCTTCCTTTTTCTGACATCACGTATCTTAGCCGGATCAGCTTCTTTCTTGATCATGGCTGCGATGGATCTCTTCTGATACGGGTATAGCTGCGTCTTCATACCAGTTATGGTGTCCCTCAGCGTATCAGTCATTGCCTGTAAGCCGTGCGAGCTGCCCTTGTATGCAGCGAGATCGGGTTGAGGAGAGGACAAGGTGTTGAAAATGTAGAACAAAGACTCTTCAGCCTCGCATACCGGTTCTCGATAGACCTGTATTGGGTCGCGTGGGTCAACTTGTCCATTCCATGCCTCTGTTGAACAATCGACGAAATTCAGTAGATCCTTGATTGTTCTGCGAAAGTCTTTCAGGTTACCACGAGTTGAGCGGTCAACGTCCTCCGGCAGTATATACACTCGCAGAGTGGTAATGCCGAACTTTGTGCCCACTGACAATCCATCAAGACGAATCCACTTCTTGGAGATGCCAGTTTTGATTAATAGATTGGGATAAGGCGCATCTGTAACTACACCGCGAATGTGTGTAGAAGACACCTCGGCGTTAGGGTCTTCGCGGTCATACAGCCTGATTGTGCCGAAGGCAATATAGCCGTCATCATAAGGCACAAGGCTGCTCAATCGTTTTTTGATATTAACCTTATCATCTCCTTCGAATTGATCACTGTCTGGAGTTGCGAAGTCCAGATCTGAGGATGTTGCGCAAGATTCGTCGTCCATTGCGCCTTCGTTGAGCACGTTATCAAGACGACCTTGGTCATGATTTGACGGAAGGTATAATGATAAATCTCTTTCAGATACTGGGATGTTAGAAGGTCCAAGGAAAAAGCCGCTTGCGTCGGAGTGGTAGTACTCATTGTCGCGAATGGCTGACCATATATCCGGTCGATCAGCCATGGTGAGTTCGTAGCAATCTTTGTGTGAGGTGAAATCAATCCACTGACACCTAAGAAGTACGTCACAATCATACAACTCCCAGAGTCGCGTCGGTCTCACCAGCCTGGATGATGTGTGCAATGGTTAGCGATACTCGATGCAGCAGGAAATATATCGAATGATCAGTCAAAACAGTCCGGGCTTAAGAGGATCTAAGTGGGTCTGGTAGAAGTGACTAACCACTCATATGTGATACATGTCCATTAGTGTGCTTTTTTTCTGTACCACGTAGTGACCGGTAGCGATAGTCTGACAAACGCACAAAGCAGCAACAACCCACTTGTGATCCGGGACTTCAGCTGCTTAAAGCGCTTGATCTATCTTTGCACTGGCATCTGAGGCTCTATTAGAGCACCTCGTTCGGACCGTGGATCAGATCACACGCTTCGATCGCTCGGGTATCATTGTAGGATTGAGCCAAGCATCTGGAGAGGGCGGTTGAATCATCCCATGCAAGGCGGTCTTCCTCGAGGAGCTTCGAAACAAAACCGATGATGCCCATACATGATACTCACGAACATTGTGCGCCACGCCAGGATCATGAGCATCCCTTACGACAGACGAAGTGCCGCTGCTCCAGCTGCTGCGTTCGGGGCAGTCTTGTTTCTAGTCGTCAGAAAGTCGTAGCTCCAGCAAAGGACACTGGTGAGGTAGGAAGCAATTCATCCTGACCTACTAATCTCCCGTGAAATTCAGCTGAAAAGCTGTTCCCAATCTGTAAGCTTGAGACAAGTCCAGAACAGCTGGAGGCCGAAGCGATGCAGGGATAGCGTGGCAGGTATAAGTCGTACTAGTGCAGACATTGAGTCTGTTGCTTGCTTTCGTTAGGTCTAGCTCACACTGATCCTCATCCTCTTGCGTCGCTGATAGCCCGGCCTCTACCAAGATTAGCTGAATACATCACAGATTTAGGGGCACATTCGACGGCAGAAAGTGACAACATAGTGTCAAGTAACATTGTAGGCAGTAACAACGAACTCAAAGCACAACACAATGGAGACTCAGTCTCTGCACAGTCGTGCCTGCTTGAAGAGATGGCCTGCTCAGCATTGTTCACGAGGAAAGAGCTACCCTGCAGTAGCTAACCGAAATGGGTATTCTTCGCTAGTGTGTAAACAATCGATTAGTAAGCAGCGATATGATAAATTCCTCTCCTCCTACCACGAAAGGCTGAGCTGAACTGAACGTAAACCCCATGACTAATAAATCTCCGCTTCTCGTTGGCCTTCGTTTCAGCACTCATAGAACCAATACAGCCTACTACCAAGACCTCTAGCTTCCAGTCTCGGTCTCAACACCCGGCTCTCTTCCACCAAGACTACCAGTGAACCTCTTCTTAATCTTATTAAGACCGGCTTTTGTCTGGTCCTTCGCGAATTGGGCGTTTCTGGCGGGCTTCCACTGCATCATACCTCTGTGCTTCCTCTTCTCGGTTCTCTTATCGGCCTTTGCGTCATAGCCGGCGTCCTTTCTACGGGGTGACAGCACAGAGGAACTGGTCGACATCGTTGTGTATCCTCCATCAGTCTGCGCTGTACGTGCGGTATCCGTCGACGCTCGAGGATCAGCATGACCATTCGCGTGGGCGTCGTGAGCATGGGGACCGGTGCGTTTCTTAAACCCACCTTCGGGAGCATTGCGAGCGTCCGTTACGCCAAGGTCAGAACTTGAATCGGAGCTGTAGTCGGAATCGTCATCAGAGGAAGGGTTGATGGGGTCATGAGGCGGGTTATCTGCTCCTGGTTCCGCAATCTTGTCGTGTCGTTTGTTTGTGTAGGCTCGTGGATCATCACCGAAAGCGCCACTCCAATCTGTGCCATCTTTGCCGAGCCATTTCTCCTTTTCCTTGTCGTCAGCTTGGTGAAGCACGTCACGACCCTCGCGTAGGGATTTTTCGTGGAGACTTTGAGTGGTAGCAGGAACTTCTGGCTCGACCACTCTGGTTCGGACGCCTTCGGTTTGACAGGCTTCCCAGGTCTCAAAAGTCTCTCGAGTGTTGCTATCGACGATGAAATCACGGTGCGATTCATCCGTACCGGCCTTGAATCGCGCACGGAACTGTAACCTGCCAATCTCTTCCAAATCTTCAAGTCCTGGAGTTTTCTTGGCTTCGATGTTGCGCTCAGTAACATAGTTTTGCACGAGTCGGTTGCCATTCTTCGTTGTCCAAATAGGGATATCGATTGGAGTCTCCTCGTTATCTACGAAATGTTGCAGCCAGATGGTAGCGAACGCTTGAGGTGAGCGATGGTTGGGAACGTGGAACTCAAACACAATCGGGGAGCGGAAACGATGCTGAACTGGCAAGCGGACCTGATGGTTGCGCGAAGCACTGACGTCCCAGATCGTACCATCACCTTCTTCCGTCTTCTTGCACTGTGTCCGTGGTATCTTGCCGGTGCTACCACCAGTTCGGAGTTTGATCTTCGTCTGGCCATGTTTCCAGCCAGTAGCAAGAATTTTCTCAGACAGAAATTCAAAGGTGCCAACCTCCCAACCAAGCATGTTCGGCGGCAGACGAGTTTCAACACTGCGAAACAATAGTGAGATTCTAACTCGACCAAAACCGATACCGCCATCAAGTGGGTACCACCTAGTGACTTGAGAGCTAGTATTCAGGATCTCTGATAGCCGAAGAGGCACGACACCAAGAATAGGATCGTGTTCCCTGTTTCGCGAATCACGGACTGTGACTGTGACGATGGCTGACCGCCAATCGCGCACGAACCGTTCTGTGCCAGCGTTGAAGATGGGCTTGCTCGATACAGCCTTCGATCGAGTACGGTAGACAAGTACGTCGTTCATGAGGATCGTACAGTACGAAGAAGGTAGTTCCTTGCCTTCCTCCTCCGTTGACTCACCATATGGTTTGGCTGGCTCGAACTCTCGGCCTTTGCGGTTGCCTTCACTGCCCTTGATGTTCTCCAGCTCTAAATTGACGATCTGGTGAACGATTACGCTGCAGATACCAGATGGCCACAATGGATCAGGAGGGGTGTGCGCCACAGCATCAGCGTCTTCGGTATCGAGGGTTCCCTTTTCGTCCTGAAATTCGTTCTTGTCCTGGAGTTGCTTAGGTAGGCTCTTGTCCTTGCCATCAGTTCGAAGGGCAGGTCTGAACTTTGGCTTGCCGAAGTAACCGACCTCCCAGTGCAGCTCGCCTGGCATGTCACTCCCGTCTTGCATACCGCTCAAGTTGGAGATCTGCGGGTACATCTTGCCAGGATGCTGTATCATTTTCTGCATGGAAAGCTCCACTTTGCCAACGATATCATCAGCAGTGTGCCTGTCAGAATCCCAAAGTTCAACACTCAGTTGTTCGTCAGCCTTGATGAGTTCTGGTGTAACCAACAGGGCAGCTGTCTCTTCCCAGATCGGATTCAGGTCGTCGGTGATCACACGAGTGCAATACATTGGTTTGCCATATTTGGAGAAAGACAGGTTGATGTATGCATCACTGCCGCCGCCGTCGCTACCTTTTCTGTCCTGCTTGCTCAAGCCTACAGCTCGATGAATTCGAATCCACATCACACCCATTGCTTGAGTATCCTTGGTAATATCATCGCCTTGTAGCATGGACTTTAGGTCTAGAGTCATCGACTTGGGTGCAACGTACAGGCTTGACGCGGCTGCGACAGCGTAGTTGACAAAGTTGGAAATTAGTGGCAGGTTCAGAATGTTGACTCCTCTCTTGACCATTGGTATGCAGCCAGCACGTACATGAGGTACGCCCATCAGTGTGAAGGTGAGAGACTTGGCGAAAGGTGGCTCAGGAGTCAGCTGAAGCCGCAACCTGACAGTACCAACAAGTTCTTGCAGTTCGACGAAGATAGGAAGGGGCACACCAACGAGACCCTTAATCCCGAGGTAGAACACAAGATTCATATGCATGTTTCGTGCGTGCTGAGAGACGCTCTTCGCACCAGCTGGTGCTGCGTGATATGCAAATGAGGCTTCCAGGTTATAGTACTCGCCGCCTTCCTCGTCGGCAGCCAGCTCTTGTGGATCCTTCATCTTCTTGTTTTGTTCGTGAATGTCCTTCTTTATGTCGCCCATTCTCGAGTCAGGAAGAGCTCGCAGACTCAATATGCGGATAGGATTGCTGCCTTGATCAATTTCAGCCACTCGAACATTGTTGATGACACCTGGTACGGAAGCCTGCATCACGTCTTCGAGAGTGTCCGCAACAGCAGAGAACATGTCCGGGTTGATTAAGCCCCATACAACGCCCAGGAAAGTATTCATCCATTCGACAGATTCTGGTAGCAAGTTTGCGACGGCAGTATGGCCCCTTTCTTGTTCACTAGACCACTCCATTTCTCGGCCACTGCGCACAACTTCCCTCATCCATAGGTAGACTGCTGAAGCAATGCAAAAGGCTAGTGGAATAAGTCCTTTAAGGGCACCACCAAACATTTTACCCACCACGATGATAGAAAGTAAAATGCCTACGCTCAATGCAGTAGCACGTTTCTCCAGAGAATCGAACATAGGCTCATAACTTATGGAGGGTGTAGGATGAAAGAGGATGTTCGTCTTCTCGCCGTGAATTGGGACATCAGATGTAGCACCTTCTGCTACTGGATCTGGAGGAGACAGGATATCTTGTTTTTCTCTGTATTCGGGGTTCTTCATTGACGGGTCTAGTGCAACGGTAGTATCTTTGCCCAGGTTCTGGTTCGGTACCGATATCTGTCAAATCGTTAATATTCATTCACAGATCCAGGTCTGACGATAAGTTACCTTAGGATTGAGAGCATTGTCCATGTATTCTTCGCCCACATCTGAAATCTTGACCTGGCGTCCAGTGACGGGATCCGAGACTTCTTTTGCATTCTTCATTCTCTCCTGATTCTTGTGAGGCATCACATCCTGGTTCTTAACCTCGACATGTCCCGTACCTCCAGCCGTGACCTGTTTGTCTCGCTCCTTTTTGTCCTTGTCGAGGTTGTCGATGAACTGGCTGATGGTTGGAATTTTGTTTGTGCCGCTCCATGGCTTTCCCGACCTCTGCTGAGTAGCCATGTCGGGCAAATGCGCCTTACCAAGCCTATTACGCGTTGCTCTTCCCTAGGCAATTTAAATGACAAGATGACAGCTAAAGAACGAATTAAGGAGACCAAGTCGTCGAGCTGCCCCAAGCTTGCCGTAAGTAGAATGTGCTTGTTCTGCAGCGATAACAAGAAATAAGCAGCTAAGGCTCGCTCGAGGAGCTGACAGGGATACGTAGGACAGGAAATCAAGGAGTCTGTGATTGTGATCCCACAAAGCTGCACCATCTCCCGCAATTTGATAATAGTGTTTAAACACCAACAAGGCATGGACACCAAGGAGAGTGCGCAAGCTTGACGTCAGAGCTGACTCGTTTGGTGTCGCCGATTGGCGGCAAGTTACGCGTCACGGGCGCTCCTGCCACGACGATAGAGGTTTATCGAGGATCAATCACGAGATGGAACGAATTGCACATATTATCTTCCAGCTTTCAACATTTTGTAAAGACTATATTAAATTCTATCGAAGAGACTCTTGATCATGTTGTTGAGGTACTACAAAATATTGTCCTTGCGATGGCTGAAGCGAGAGTGAGCGACGTTTCAAGTTTTCGATCGAAGCACTAGCTGTGGCGCAGGGGTGGAGTTCAGCCAACGAGCTTGAGCGGATACGAACAGTTTCTGCGGCTAAACCTTCCTGAAATGAAATGCCGTTTGTGATGAGATGGGAAGTTGGTAGAAGCGAGAATGGCTGGTATAGATTGCTATTTCCTTTGTGGTGACTGGCATGAGTCGAGCATTTAGAGAGTAACTCCCGCCAACACCAGCTGTACGCAAGAGCTTTGCCAAAAGGTGCGAGATCATGTTCATATACGCCGCAGGTTTTCTATCCTGCATCTCTATCCCGACAGGCACTTCTAGGATGGTCAGGTACTTTATGCACTTCCTGTAAATGCGAACAGAGAATGCAACATCCAATTGAGAACTCCTGCCTCGTGCTAGGACCCTAGTCACGTCGGATGCCCATCGCCATCAAGTCTAGTTCATATGATACCAAAATTCCACGCTGTGCTATAAAACGTTTCACAAGAACCCGAGTATAGACTAGCACCAGGTGAACACCGGGTTCCTGCTTTTGACAGCTTCCAATCGTTCAACAATGACCTTTCTGGTTCGTCCCTCCATGTCGTTGGCAGCAGCGTATCCAAGATCGCCAGCCGCATCGTCCTCGTAATCGTATTCATCATAGCCCTTATGTCGCCCACCAGACGCAGTGCGAGTGGAATTACTTCGGTGTCGCCGAGTCGACGACGGCGATTGTGGTTGTTGGTGGGATGTACTTCGTGAGAATTTATGGCGAGGAAAGTCGAGGCTGAACCGTGTCTGTTTAAAGTTGAGGTCTGATTTAGCCGGCTTTCCTGGTCGGGAAGGCAGCGTAATACTGTTGCTCAGATTCTGAGTTGCCTCTGTTCTTTCCCTATCACGACCAGCAAAGTCGAGGGTATGAGAACTCAGTACAGGCGATACTGGTCCTGCATCATCGAGGTCTTCGTTCGAGGGTCGTCCATCAATATCTCCATCGCTGCCCTCCCTGGTCAGCTCGAAACGGTTCGGATTCGGAAGCTCGGTTGTAGGTGATCCTAGTAGGTCAAAGGCTTGAGTGGATGTATGCTGTGGTCTTGATGGGGCTGAGGAAATGCCAATGTCCATCTCTTCTTCGCCATCTACATGACCGTGGTTGTGCCTATCACGTTGGACCTGCTTTTTGTTTGGCATACGCATGAACTCTGAAGACATACGCATTGGAACTGCAACAGGAATGTCGACCATGTCGTCCCAGACACATACTCGAGTGCGACGAGTAAGCTCAAGCGGACCATGATCCGTCTGCTTCAGTGTCTCAACGACGTTCCAGGCTTGCCCTTTCATTACTGCTATCTGTCGTGCAAACATAGACTCCTTAAAGTCATCATCTTGTGAGAAGACTTTTCGCAATGCGAGCTGAGTCTCACTCCACCAGGCTGTTGAGGTGAGCAAGGGTAGAAAATGATCGCGTGTCTTTTGTGAGAATGGCTGACCAATAAGCGAAACAGGAAGGAAAAGCCAGCCAAAGGGAAAGCTCCGCCAAGCATCAGGATGTTTCCATGGCCATGACAGTGAGTTGTCGATGGCACCGAGTCTGATTGTTGGAGCAGCATTCGACAACGGCGTAGACGATCTGCTCTCCATAGCTTCATACCTGCGGTAGGGTCTGGATGTGTTGGACTCGGGTCTTGGACTAGCCGATACAGGTCGTGGAGCTGGCATCAGAGAGTCCCCATATTCATCTCTTGCCTGTGGCTTTGGTGGTTCTGCCACGATGGACACGTCCTGCGTCTGCCAGTCGATCTTGATCATCCAGTTGTCGAGTCCTCTGTCTGTATTGCGCATTATATAGTCTAGTATGACAAGCTTCTCTAGCTCTTCTCTGAAGGCCTGCTTCAATGTGGGGGTCCAGGCAAATTTTGGAGTGTGTTCTTGAGGAGCTGGAGAAGGTACTCGATGTGGTTCCTCCTCGTCTTCTGAAAGTGCTGCGTTAGGCAGGCAATTCGAGAGAGGTCGTCGTTTCTTTTTGTCCACGATGTCCGGTCTGAAGTCTGCGTTGTTCTGATCTGGCCAAGGGTGTTCCTTCAAGAACATAGTAGCATCCTTGTAACCCTTTAAGAATACTTGAAAACTGCCAGGCTTCGCTGGTAATGGTTTGTTCCTCCTCCAGAAGCCACCTCTTTCCCAGAAATCGTAATAAAAGGACCTCGAAGACAGCCATACGACTTGAGTATGAGGCACGATGTTTGTACGTAGTTGCATATCTAGCACATAGGCTGCTGCTTCAGACACATAGGACAAATTGGGAATGAGACAGGCTCGGCCGAAGAAACAAGGAAACAGGTTCCGATGTATCCATTTTGTCCATTTGGGGTTTCTTGAAGCATATGGTTCTTCGTCTTTCGGCTTGAACACACCAACGACCTTTCCTTCAGAATTCCTGGCAAAATAGCTCCCTGAACTTCCTTGAGTGATCATCTTTGGGTGCATGCCGAGCTCGATTGCAACTCTCACACTTTCCACTATTTCGTCGAAATGTTGTCTGTTACATCGGTCGGGTCCTTCGTCAGCAGGTGGCAGGGCAGCAAGCTGCTTAGAGGTATATGGTCGTACTCCATCAGGTGCTTGAAAGACCGAATGGTGTATCTCTAGCTGCTCCTCTTTGTCCGACTTTCCCTTGACGGAGCTAATCTTGAATTTGGAAGCTATCTCATCTGCCCATTGCTCCAGCCGCGCGTTAATAGCTTTGATGTCTATGCCGGAAGAATTGCTGCGCATGCGTCTCCTCGGTCGTGAACGGCTTCTGGACGCAATCGACCGCATGCCATCTCGAGGGCCCGGTGGGATTATTGATTCGTATCGTGTCGATAGAGGGGTTGAGACATCATATTCCTCCTCAGAGTGCTCTGCAGAAAGTCGTCCTTCATCTTCGTCTGCCTGTGCCAATTTGGCATACCCAGATGTTGCAGGTCTATTTCGAGGCATGCTTCCTTCGTACCATACTTGACTCTCGATAGGCCGTCGAAAGCTGGGGTGATGTTACTGCTGTGTTAACTCGTGACTAACGTGCTAGACACTCGTTGCTGTTGTGTAATGAGAAATCTTGAATATCACAAACAGGGATCAACGCATCTCCAACTTGGCTTCGGAAGCACGAGGAGCGTTGCGCAGAAACTTGAAGTTTACGAAAGGCGGGTTAAGCCTCAAACTAGAGGTGATTGAGTTTAGGGGCAGGCCGCCTGCGGAGGGGCGCCTGTCGCGTGCGCTTTGGCAGTGGCGTTATCGCTTAGAGGCAGGAAAATCTACTGAGACATTGCCAATGATACAGTAATTACGAGTGATTGTTCTTTGTTTTGACTGATTTTCGGATTACAACAGAAAAATTGTTGTGAATGACCCTCGAAGGATACCCTCATTGGCCGTGACAAGTACTATCATATGCCAACTGCATAACATGTCAAGTCTACCAGAGATGTCAAGACAAAAGGTGTCGTTTATTCTCAGGCACGTCTCGAGACGAATAAGGAGAGTCTTTTAACTACTCACTATCGTCTTTAGAAGTACACAGAACGCGAAGCTTATGTGCTCTACTGTTCCCTGTCGCCGATCTGTGTGACACGAATTGTTGTCTGGCAAGCAGCCACGAAAAGGGGCGGCTCTTGATTTCATCAGACAGATCTTCTCCACTGCAATTTCGCAATCCCCCAGACCGTTCTGACTCGACCATTGCTGTGCCGTCCAGTCAGGAGGTTTCAATCAGATTCGAAATCTTACGCAACGGAAGTTATGTTCTCGAGAGCCTACACTGCAGCCCTGTACGAGCTTATCATGGTAATTCGTTCAAAGTTAGACGCCCTTGTACTACCAGGGTACAGGTTCGTATTTAACTTCCAGAGCCTTGTATGCACGACATCGAAGTGCGCCTCCAATGCTTGTATGATGAGAAGATTGATATTGGCGCTGATGGAGACCAACGGCTTCCACCCATGCCGGATGCCTTGTGTCTCTTAGTGCCCCTATCCTTAGATTGTGCCAGGTCGACGATGGGTTTTGGAGGATCTTCCCGATAGACTTATCTTGAGGATTGCCTGAGTATCGATAATCAAACGAACGTATCTCTGGTGTTTTCACCTTTGCAACTCAAAATTTGCGACGCTTTCTGTACGGCTTCGACGACATACCACCATAAGATATTGACGTCCTCCCCAACAGTTCACAATCTGTATGGCGTCTGCTGTCGCTCATCCACTGTTCAGAACGCCGAGTATCGACGCGGGGACACCACATAGCGTGAATGGACTTGCAGCAGGGGAATTTGTTCGACAATACCATGCATCTTTACCTCCTCGTTTACCCTCACCTTTGCCGCCCGGTGGTCACCCATCATTCCTCAAGGACATGTCGAGGTCTGGCTCCGCAACGTCCACACAAAGCTCCAGTAGCTTAATGTATCAGCAACCGAATTTTCACACAAGAAGTGCTAGTTTAAGTCAGGGAAGGGTTGAAGAGTACAATAGACAGCAGCAAGATAGAGGCTTCCTCCCAGGATTGAGCACTTTGGCGTCACTAGCATCGTCGGAAAAGCCGCAGTTGAGGTCAGTTCACCTACATGAGACCGAGCGTGGAGTTGACAGTGGTGCAGCAGATCATTCTCTGCTACCTCAACACCAAGTATGGCTTACAATCCAATACCACCAGTGCCGACACCAAGCATTTCCGGGAACAACAACATGCCCGTAAGTACCTAATCTCTTTGTCACGTTGCTCGAAACGTAACACCAGATGATGTATCCATATGAGTGCTTCGCCGATGGCCAAGTATCCGGACTTCGGCATACCTGCCACATGATTTCTCGTCCCTTGCGAAATCCGTCTTTGTTCTCTTATCAATCCTTATCGATCGCAAGAAGAGCAAAAGGCCTCCTCGGCTCTCTAAGATGATGGCATCTCTGGCTGACCACAATTCTTCGTTCCTCCAGCCCGTATGTCAAAACTGCGAAACATCAACGACACCTCTATGGCGACGCGACGAGTCTGGCGCAGTTCTCTGCAATGCCTGTGGACTCTTTCTCAAGTTGCATGGCCGCCCACGACCCATTAGCCTGAAGACGGACGTTATCAAGAGTCGCAACCGGGTGAAGACCGCGAATCAGGGACCAAAGAAGGTATGTAGATGCTCGGAGACAACATGGGTTGGACTGATCATGGCCCGTGGAATAGGTCAGTCTGCCAGCATCGCAGTCTATGGATATATTACCGAATGGTGCGCATAGAAGAGTGTCGCAGATGAGCGCTCAGGTCAATCCCCACAGGTCACAGTCGCCAATATCGAGAACAGGTACCCCTTCGATGCACGACCCCAATATTGCGCCTCAGCACTTGTTCGACGGCGTTTCCTTGCAAGATCATACCTTTCAGACTCCTGCCCTGCCCAACTTGGCCAGTCATACTTCCCTCGGGTCTTTATCAGGACTGAACGATCGCGAGCTTGACCAGCCTTTGTCTTACGAGCAGCTTCTGGCCCAAAACACAGTCCTGAAGACACGAGTATCGGAGCTTGAGGTTATTAACATGATGTACTCCGACAACGAGAACAACCTCCGACGAGAACGAGACGAAGCGATCAAAGTACAAGAAGACATAAGACGCAGACTCGAGGAGCTAGAACATCGAATCGAGTCCTCTGAGCTTGATCGGCCGCACAAGAGAGCGAAATTGGAAGAGAAAATGACAACCGAGACAACACAGAAGAGCGCCGGATCTGGTCATATTACTCCACAGGGAGACGAGTGATTTTAAGCGATGAGTGTTAAGGCGTTTGGGAGGATGTCAGTGATCGTACATCACATACTGGCTTAGATCTTGCTTTGTGATACCCAACATGGTTACTAACGACTTCTTGTGTTTACCGCCAAAGAACAATAGTTAATACGACAGCCAACGATAATGAGGGATTGAGTCTAGGAAGTTGAACAGGCAACGATTGAGATGTGTAGAGTTCCTGCAGTCATTTGTCTGAAGAGGAGGAAGAGGTGCATGCTGCAGGTTGTAGGCATTACCTCAAGTCTCTATGAATGAGTCCCCTTAAAGATGCTGTCGCGTTGTGTTCCTTTCTATGTCATATCTGCGTTATTTACTACATATCAGGAAGTCGCGACCGCGTGGTTTGTTCTGATAAAAGTACGGCCAGACTCTGTGCATTGCGAATTTTGTTCTCGTCTAGAATTGAATGTAACCAGTTCGGTGTACTCGTAATCGTTAGATATTGAAAGATAAGTTCTTTCACTGTGATTTAGCGAAATTCCATGCTGCCAACAACCGGGACTCGGCTGACACGACTTCACAACTGTACACTGCCTTTTCCATCAATATATACCACCAACCACTCATCTAAGTGACTCGAGACGTTTTTAAACTTATGTAAAGCAAACACAAAAACACCTAAGGCAAGTGGGTTACAGCAACGCGGTCATGGCGTGGAAAGATCTGTCATGGTTAATGGCACCCATGTGCGATTTTATTCAGCCCACCACAACAACACGCTAGCATTCGCAACCTCAATGCAAAAGTCAGATTCTGGCGATCAACTGCTTTGTCTGCTCGATGTGATCTATGCCTCTCCTAATTACGAAGAAGACTTCTGGCAAACTCGACAACCACCTATTGATTGTTTATCGTGGAGGCGTGATTACCTGCGACTGGACAAAAAGTACAGCTCGCACGTCATGAATGTGCACATTACTGCTCTGTGATTGGCGAGCGCAGCCGGGGAGATCGACACTGCACCAGGGACGCCCGAGCTCCCAAGATTCTTGCGAAGCTAAACTAACTTTCCTCATCTGGGTGGATCGCGCTAACGGAATAAGAAGGGAAAAGAGCTTGTGTGGTCACAAAGCAGTTTAGGGATCTGGCTTGTACGGACTTGTACATGTCATGCCCACTTTTGTTGCTTCGACCACTCCCTTTTGGCCTTGACTCGTGCTGGGACGTTTTGCTATCTACGAGTACGAGAACGGTGCTACGTCGAAGACTCCCAGCCTTGGGCTGCCCCTCATGAAACCAAACATCGGTATGGAGTCGTGCTCTGACGATTTTTCACCTCTAGCTTCTCAGAACGAGGGCACGATTTGAATGAAATCGCATGGCAATGCTTGCACTTGGCGGCCGTTGATCCACCTCCTCCGCTCCACTTTTTTACAGTTCGGGTTCCTCGTCAAGGTTGTCTCTCGTGCTCTTTCTCTTCACAACAGAGCAGCGCCTGCGACTGATTGAGCTTCGAGCTTTCAATGTCACATCTCATTGCAGCTTTTTCAACCAAATCAGTGTTTAAATTTCATACGGCTCAGACCTGCATTACCTCATCTTGCCCTACATTGTCATGGTATTCTTGAGCTTGTTCCGCTTTCGCGCAGCCTGCATATCATCGTTACCCACTACTCCCTTCTGACCACGACACGGCGACAACCTCGCATCTAGTATTGGACATCAAGAGACACATTAGCCATGGCACTACAAGGCCAGTCGACATCGTTTGCGACAGCAGGCAGTCCGCCTCGCTTGATTAATGGTAAGCCAGCACATGTGTCGGGCTCAACCCTCGAGTGTTTGTCAAAACTGCATGGACACCCTCAAGATACAACTGACAAACAACGGCTTGAACATTCATCTTGCCGTATCGTCTAACTGACACATACGCAGGTCAACCGGAATCCCATTTTCCACCACCCATCTTCGGCCATCCTCGGCCAATGCTGCCTCCCTCACCTCAACAGTTCCCTCGATACCAACCTCAACCTATTCATCATACACAGATGGCCCTGCCCGGTTCTCTCTACGACATCAAAGCGCCGACACCTCAACATGTGCCCCCACCTCCAATCTCAAATCCACATAAAAGACCCGGAAGTAGCATGTCGATATCATCCATGCTTGGAGGGGAACCCGAAAGAACGCACCATGACCTGCAGTCAATCCAAAACAACCACGGCCCACGAAATGCCTCCGTCTCCCAACCAGGAATCCCTGTTGGTAACATGATGTCCCCACCCCACCAACCTCTAAGAGTCGGCTTAAGTGAATACCCATACAAAAGATCTCAGACACCTGACAGGATTGACAGTGTCTTCCAAGGCAATCGACAACGCAGTGCAAGCTCGGGCACATCTATGGCTCCAAACCGAGCCTTCTACGAACACGATCGGTATACGAAGCCGCCAGCTCCTACTTTTCACCCAGCACCACTCTTTTCTGGCAACGGACCTACAAGAGAAGAACAAGACGAAAGGAATCGCTCTGCAAGTCTCAGTGCCATACTTCAAAGACCGTCGAGTCAGCCTCAATCATTCATTCCTGCGCTTCAGACTCCAAGAAATTTTGACCCACTTCCACCACAAAGACACAACTGGTACGCCGACCCCCCACCAACCGTACACGAGATGCCGCGCCACAACGGTTATTCGGGGACCTACGACACGAAACCACCAGGCTTTCGTGACATACCGAGGACGATACCAGCTTCACAATCATCACCGTCCGCACCACCTCCGAACCCTGTATCTCCCGAGCTCAGACGTATAAGCAACGGATCGTACAGCCGTGGCTTAGCAAACATACTCAACGGACCCACCAGCCAGCCACCAGACATGTCGGCAACGAACATGATGAGACAAGACTCTGCCCAGTCTCACAGCGATCGGTCGATTCAAGGAGATAGACGCTTTCGTCACTTCTCACCCTTCGCCGGTCCTGCGGGCCCATACATGCAAGGCCTTCACGACGAGCCGGGTAGAAAAGGAAGTGAGGAGATTTCACACAAGGCCATAATTGGACTGGGCCTGGAAAACAGGAGGAGCCGATATTCACCCGTACCTCAAGCCGTACAGGGCGCGCAAGCATCAACACCCGTACCAGACGGCGGAAATCCTAGAGATCAGGGCAAGGTCTTTTCAGGCATTGGCGGTGGTATCGGCAGTTCATCGACACCTGTACCCGTCTCGAGTAGTCCTTTCAAGAGTAACGACACTGCACTGCGTGCGACAGAAGTGCCCAAGACCGGTCGAGCATCGTCGAATACTGGGAAGCGTTCGAGAAAAACACAAGATGATGAGCTGCGTGCAGATGGTGATCAAGAAGGAAAGAGGTCAAGCAAAGCAACCAAGAGAGCACGGTACAAACAAGAGCTAGCTGAAGAGATGGCTACACCTTCTCACCAACGGAAAGGCACTCCGGGTCTGAGTGCAGGTCGAGCGACCAACTCAGCTTCCAATGCCGCAGTGGCAGCATCAATTACTCGTTACGATGCTGCGCCAATTTTCAAACCCAAAAAGACTGTCAAGGTGGCCACGCTTGCGTCTCAAATACTCCGCAAGCCACGCAGACATCTCGGTTCGTTCCAGTACAACCCCGAGATTCTTGTCCCACACGATCAGTCTGCAACGGATACAGAGACCGAGATCTGCATCAAACCGAAATTATTACCGTCGTTTTCCGAAACGAACGACCTCAATTGTACCTATACAATCCATGTCTCCAAAACATGGCTACAACAACGAGAACGAAGAATCATCTGTGCCTCTCGAAACCTCTGGGGTACAGGTCTCTACACAGACGACACCGACCCAGTCACGGCCGCCATGCACATGGGCTGGATCAAACCCGCCTTCCACAATGTCGACGAAACACTTCTCAAAAAGATCGTACATGACCAGAATCCAAAAATCGAAATCAGTAAAGACTTGAAGCCACCTGCACAACCACTCGAGATCCCCAAAGGTCGAGATCTGAAAATCACCTGCGTCGTGATGCCACTCCTCGATCACTACGAGGAAACCTCGCGCTTCGGCGTCCGCAGTCGCGCATGGCCCGAAGGTCTAACTGAAACCACAGCACCCCACGACGGCGTCAGCTTCGCCATCCTCAAAGTCGAAGTCGTGGAACTCGGCCCGGAAGAACGCCGCATGGGCCGAACAGGTACAAGCAAACGAGCACGACTGAAAGAGCAGCTGCTCGCCAGAGAACGCGCCCGACAATCAGAGAAAGAACGCGTCGCTCGCCTCACAAAGAAACTCCGCGACGAAGCTGAGAAGCGGAAACTCGAAGAGGTGGAGAAGAACAACAATAACAATAAAAACAAGAAGTCTCGTGCCGCGAGTGCGAAAGCGCCAAGCCCATTATCTAACGAGGTGCATATGGACGTCGAGCCTGCGCCTGCGCCCACGGATCCCACCATCACCACGACGCTACAGTCCGCTCCTCCTGCACTACCACCTGCTGTAGTGGCACTGAGTGAAGAGGAGTGGATACGACAGTTGGCCACGGCTGCTGCGTAATTACTAAGTGATCAAAGTTCACTCTAAAAAGAATGAGAAGTTGAAGAAAGTTTTGATTTGATCTGATGTTTTTACTTTGTCGTATGAAAACATGATACCATGATGTTATTGTTGTTGGTGATGGATGGGCGAATCATCTAAAAGCTATATATGTGTTGATTTAGTTGTGTTGGAATGAATCAAAGATATGTATGAGGCTGGACTCACGATGAGATACATATGTAGAAATTCCTATTACTCGCTACTCATCAACCTTGTGTTGACCTCAGACTGGCATCTTGTAATTAGTTGTGTTTGATCATCGTTGATGTGGTGCAGTATACGTACTCCGACACACGATTAGAGGCATGCTTTGATATACTAGTAGGTAGTTGATTAATGCGAGTTCTTTATACGTCGTATCATACGTTCAACAAGTCTTCCGACCAGGTATATCGTGTCTCAGAAGTTTGAATATGTTCAATTGAAGGCTCAAGTCGCTCGTTGATTATGCACCTCTTCGCTAAAGATCAAGAACTAGAAACTAAAAAGCCCACTCCTCTTCTTCCCGAACGGATATATCACCAACGCTGAAAGGAACAATCCGACACTAATACCAATCGCTACCTGCACCATACCATACCCGACATTAAAAATAGTCCCACCATAAAGCCCATCACTAGCCGTCAGTGTTGTGTTCTGCGCATCGTAGAAGCCCTGTGTACCGTTGTTGACAATGCTGATCCCGGTCACATTGTGAGTAATCTGGTTAGCACTTGTCAGGCCTGCGACTAGACTACCGCTTGCTGCGAGGCCGGAAGGGACCATGACGAAAATGGCTGGCAACATGGCGGCGGCGGCGACTCCGTGGCGGAAGCGCGAATACCCGTTGGCAAGGACACCAATTGCGAGCGCGCCGAGGGCATTGGCGACCTGAATGTTTTGGCTGAAGCGGATGGAGGACCAGAAATTGACTTGGTAGCCGCAGAAGGATATGACGAGCATGGCAGGCATCTGTTTGAATTTGGCTTGGTTGATGATTGCCAGGCAAACGGTGAAGATGGGAACCCAGATGAATTTGGTGTACATGACCTTTGGGTCGTATGGGCTGGATGTGTTCCAGTAGGAAGGCATCGCGCAAGAAATCTCACTTGTGGCGTTGGGGTAGGCCAACCCCATTAACGTAGTTCCGATAAGAATACCAAAGCCCAGGAAAAGAGTATAGATGATGGCATAGACCATGCGAATACTACCAGCAATGATGTTACGCGATTGGAGCTCGAGTGAAGCTGAAAGGATGATCCAACCAGGCAGGATCAGGGCAATGGACGATTGAGCCAGTGCAGAGAAACAAAAGAGCGGAGCACCATTGACAACAATCGAACCAATACCTCGAGCCGCAAAAGATGTCACGCAGGTTCCGAAGACTTCGAAAATGTGTGAAAATTGTGTGGAGCGCGACGCGACGATGAGCTGTAACCACCCAAGAGTACAGCCGAGAATGAAGGCGACGGGAAAGTCGATAGGGCGCGAACCGAAGGCGAATGGCCCCACGCTCATGGCCGCAACACCATAAGCGATGATCAGCTGCCAGGTATTGAAGCGTCTTGGTTGAGTCCGAATTGCGGCGAGATCGTCGATGGCATCCATTATAGAGTATTGGTTGTGCATGACATCCTTGTAGACGTGTTGTACTTCTAATAGCTTGCCAAGGTCTACTGCAGTAGGTTCCTTCAATAGTTTGAGCTCAGTGGTATGAGTCTCTGGATCATCGAAAGAGATGATCATACAGCCGGGGAAGTATTGAAAGGATGCTTGTATTTTCAATTTCCGTGCTGCCATGGCTAAAGATTCCTCCAATCTGTGCGTTGGTGCACCATATGCCATTAATGATTTAGCCAGGACAATAATGTAGTCTTGGCATAGCAGTCTATCAGCTAGCATTTGCTGCATTTGCTGCATTCGAGCCTCTTGAGCCAAACGAGCTTGCTTGCGCATATTACTGGTGCTGCTAATACTTCGGACATGATTGACGGTATGGTGGACAGGGTGTTTGAGCAATTCGAGAGCTGACAGACGCCCACTCGAAGTGTTTCTGACAAGCTTCGGACGACTGAGGGAAGGTTCTGGTGCTGCAGGCGCCTTTGCTGTATAGAAGGATGCTTCAAGTAGCTTGCCAAGAGAGCTTGTCGACTGGGATCCACCATTTGGGATTGGTGTGTTCCAGCCCGAGCCTTGTTGCCATTGACCTTCTGGCGATTTGTACCACTTGGGCCGTTTCTGACGAGGAGTTACATAGCCACTCGAGTTAGCACCAGATGACCCTTCTGCTAGAGGTGTCTGACTTCCACTAGGAGGACTTCTAACAGGACTTTGAGGAAGACCTTTCCTTGGAGTTCGAAAAAAGTCCGGGTGCTGTCTCCTAGGATCAGTCTCTTCTCTGGCGTATGGTGCTAGTTTGGAAAACAGTTCATCGCGAGATCTATTAAAGGTTTCCTCGTTTCTGCGAACGTCCTCTCTGACATCGCCTGGAGACTCATACTGGTGCGATGCAGGACCTGCATCACGTGGTCTAAAGAAGGTTTGCTGCATGAGTAGAAGTTGCTTGAGGACACTTGGCTTGTACTCATCGGGTTTCGGAACATAGTCAAATTCGTGAGAATGCTGGTCAATTAGAGGTGTCGCTGTACCTGATCGATGTCCACCTGCCTGAGGGGCTTTGAGCCCTTCATTCTTGTCAGCGTGGGCAGTAAACGACCGCATTAGTCTTCGTGCCTCAGAGAACTGTTGTGTCTCTCGCCTTTGGATGGGCTTCACCATCTCGACCTCGTCATCTGCGTCGTCACTATCGGTTGTATCCTCTGGTAGGTGAAATTGTGGCTTCGACGGCTTGTTAAGATCTTCTAGTGGTATGTTCTCTGAAGGTGCTTCATGCACTGGTCGCTGGGACGGTGATTGATAGGGTGTTCCCACGAGTGTACCATCCACAGATGTCCTCCTCGATGTTGGTGCAGAGTTGTGTTTCTTGACCTTGTCTGCATGACGATGCGCTTTGTCGCGTGCTGATAGTGCCGCCGCATCTTTCCTCCTTGTATACTCCGCATCAGCAAGTGGCAATCGTACTTCTGGTAGTAGATGTCTTGGAGAGGTTATCTCATCTTCTGGCGGCGACACGGAGAACTTCACATTATGCCGCGGCTTGGCTTGGCTATGTCTTATTCCGCCGTTCCTGCTGTGGGATCGGCTACTATCGTTGGAAGAGCCGTCAATTTCTGGTGATATCGACGCCATACTGGAGAAGGAGTACCTTGAGTCTTGTAGTCGTCTTTCTCAGTACGTCAAAGTCGTAAGGTGTTGTGAGAATGGACAATCGAGTTATTTTATACGATTGCAATGTGGTTGAAGTTTGAGGCAAAACACCAAAGGTTCGAACGGACGGCTGATTGATCTCAACGATAGTGGTGCATCAATTGCCTTGCTGTATGCTGAAGCAGATATGGCTGATAATCGAATGTTTGTTATCGAGATTGAATATTTGGCAAAGTAGCTACACAGCCCAAGCAGTACAAAGGAAGTCACGGTCCGGATTTCCGAGGCTATAAATATCAGTCTGTAGGGCGCATGAAATCGCTGTTTGAAGGTCGTATGCAGCTCAGCAGCGAGGACTTTGAAAGGTAGACATATGGCAGCATGAAAGAGAGTTAGGAGTGGGTAGGACAGCGAGGCTCGAGGTACCGATATCAAGGTCAGTAGCTACTTTCACGAACATCTTAAGATGATGCAACCCAGATCCGAGTCGATCTGTACCTTAAGCCTGCAACGCTAGTGGTATGCAATTTTGTCGACAAGGGTGGAAAAAAGCTACTCTGCCGCAGTGACCTGAGTAGGAGGAGGTACATTGTGTCTCAAAACAGTCAGGAGAGGAGGAAACAATGACCAGGAGCCTCTCTATCCGCCAGTTGTTTGCTTTGTGTTGACAACAGATGGAACATTGAGGGCTCCAAATGCATGGGAAGATGATAAAAATGGATATTGGGTGGAGTGTGGTCAAGATAAAGAATTGAGCTTTTCCAGCTGAGGTGAGCCCGTGCTCAAGCACGTTTTCAGTCGTTTCGTGATAAGAGGTGGAAAAGCTTGTGTTAGCCAGCAGGTACAAAGCAGGAGCCACCGGCAGCCGTTCGCGCCACTCTTCTTCCTGGACATAGACATTTCTGTAAGTCGAATAACGATAAAAGCTTGTGGGAGGACGTTTTCTCGGCGAAGGCGACTTCGTGGACAGTATTTGCCTATGTAAGCACGAAAATCTGATGTCAACAGAAATCTCTGCAGTCTACCCTGCATACATCGAGTGCGCGGTGTTTTTACATGTGCAGTTGATAGCAATGATGCGATCGTAGGTGATGAGGTGATTTTTGACGTAGTACAATTCGAAGAGGAGAGATAGAGGTCAAGCAACTCGACGTTGTTTTGGAAATCTTCCAGCAAACTGATTGTCGCTGCGGACAATCTTGCCGGGCCGCCCTGCCCTGCACCAAGTACTTGGCACGTCCAGATCGAAATTAAACACCAGACGCCTGGGAGTTTTGGACTGCGTTCTTTTCAATACAGCCTCAAGTTACGCGCAATCATACTCACCACTTGCTATCGAGGGCGCAGATTGGCCTCACGAGAGCCTCAACCTTCAGAAGCAACCACGTGGAAAGAAGACTTTCACATGCACATGGGCGAATGAATCCGCGAGTTTCCTCCGATGATAAGTGTTGGGATCAGCAAATCCACATTCAAACAAAATGTCTTGTTGAAGCTGGCTCCAGAAAAGGAGCCATGACAATGCGTCGGTCTACGTATGACCACTTCTGACGGTCGGCGCGTAGCGCGACATCCTGGCATTATATCTTGAGTTTATGTCAACGTACCGTGATCGGGCCATCACTTTCAATACTTCTTTGACCGACTTGTCTGTCCTTACTCTCTACAGGGAAGAGGCCTTTCGTTGTCGAGTACAACGTGTCAACCAAATGGTACTCCATTGCTGCAGGACACATCTATTGACTGGCTTCATCACTCAGAGATACTTTGCTTTCCGTTGTTGTGGCCTCGGCCGAGTCGTCAGAATGTAAATCATTGCCAATCAAATCGTACAATTCTGCGGCTTCCTCAGAGACATCCCTTATAGATTTGTTGAGTGCCGTTATCTTTGTCTGCCAGATCTCATGCTTGTCGAAGTCCTTGACATCTTTCTCCATTGTCTGCGCCAATGCTGAGAGACCCAAAAGTTTGTAGGTAAGTACCCAGCTTTCGAAGTAGAAAATTTCTTCCTTGGATGCTCCGAAAGAGTCGAGCTCTCTTAAATTGTCGTATTCTGGCTTCTTGGGAATCACTAAGATGCTTCTCAACACCGTTCTTGTATTCCAAATATTCAAGTCACAAACCAACCTTTGATGTCCTTGGCCGTGCCATCACGATTGAGTGCGATCCACAACGTCGCACCAGGAGGAAGTTTGTCGAATGCTGCATGATATTAGCGACTTATCATTTTCAGAAGGCGTTTCGTCTATGATGCATACATGGTGGCCGTCTGAGACCCGGTCCTGGAGGAACGACAACACACATTTTGACTTTGCTTTGTGAGAATCTGGTATGGATTAGGTACCGATCAACGTGTCTGAACAAATGATTTATGAGCGCACGAAGAATTAACTGAAAGGTACCGGAAGATGGTTACGATCCTGAGCACATCCTCCCTTATACCTTTTCATGAACACCTCAATTTGAAAGTCCCTCTTAGAGCAGTCTAGCAGCTAAACCACGGCAGCTTGTTCCCAGTACTATCAGTGTGGTTATGCATCTTCCACTCCAAGCATGTGTCTGCCTGGGGCTGAATATGACACGCGCAACATCCGCAGCGTCGACAAACTGCATATGCTATAAAGGGCAAAAGATCAAGACTAGTTGTCATTCGATCCGTCAAAGAATTGTTTCAGATTCAACTTAGCGCGTCGTATGAGGAGAACAGGCTATACTCAGCTTGCTGTGCAAAGTATTCGTTCGCTCGAGCCGAACGACGAGTCACGGCATGAACTGTGTCATTCAGGTCTACTCAATCAAGAGATCTACTGGAGCCTTGAAGAGATGGTGGCCTAATCGAAAGCTGTGTAGTTCGCAAAGGTTAGGCCCCCAAACTCTGAGTCCTCTACTCGAGTAGGAACTGTGACAGCTTGATTGGCCGGATTGTGCTTTACCTTTCTGCTATACTTCTGTAGTCTCAAATTTGCACTGCCAATTGACGTTGCGGAGATGCACAAAAGTACACTATGATGACTTTCAGACTTCCTCGCTATGCACGAACACACCCAAGCCACCTGGACCTCGAAAGTAAAAGGTGGAAGCTATTCATTATCATCCAGTCTCGAATTGCAAGGCATACTCTCGTTGTAGTCATCCCGTTCATGCCGACATCTGCTGCTTTCTGATGATTAAAATCTGTACTCAGCGACAACTTCATTGGCTCAAGATATGGGCAGTGCCGGGAGTATTCGCGTCGCGGTTGCACATCGAGTGGAATCTGCCATGCATTTCACACGTTCACAGTGTAAGCACATTCCTCGGAGCTGACTTGCAATGCCTGTTTCAGCCGAGAGGTTAGCTGCACGGTCTGTGAATGATGACTTCCCCTAGTGCCTAGGGCATTTGTCAGACCTTTGCAAGCGCCTTTCTCACATTGTGACTGGTCGAGCATAATGATTGTGACTCGGTGCTACACAACGAGAACGTGGGTCTTGGTTGCCTGGCCTTGGCTTCTGACCGCATCTCGCAAGGCAAGGATGAACTACGAAATCGCCAATGCCGAATTTGTGGTGAGCTGAAGAGGCCGACATGCTGGCTTCAGTAACAGATCGATCAGCTAATAGGCCGACAATGTTATGCATGTGAATCATACTACATGTCCCATACCTCAAATATGGCTCAAGCCAGTGTGAAAGACAGCAAACGAGTCTTACTATTGCATCCTTCAAATCATGAGACGCGATGGCTCCAGCACTTACGGCCACTGAATACATCTATGAAGGTGTTTGGGTAAATTGGAGTCGTGGTAAGGTCCTGGGCTCGACACTCACAGTAAGCCCACAGCACACCTCGATATTATCACCAGCACTTGCGGTGTTAGTCTCGATTGCTGGTGGTCAATTATGGCGGCTATTTCAGTACACCTTACATCAAGTCAGAGCTACATCTGACAGTCGTGGGTTCCTTTATCATCAATCACAGTCTGTTCTACGCAATACTTCCTCAGATCTTAATGCGATATGGCGCTTCCTGCGCTTGGCCGTTGCGTGGAGGCATCAGAGAGACGCGAAGGTGCTAAAGTCCCTGTTACCACTCATAATATGGACATCACTACATCTTGTTTTGGTCGTCACTGTTGGTCTCCTGTCCTCGTGGCTGCTGGAGGCCAACGACGAAGTTTTGTCACAGAGTCCGTGGTGTGGCACATTTGATAGAACATACTGGAACCAGGTCTTTGCCAACAACGAAACAGACCTGAAGGCTGTGGCATTGATGAAAGAGTATAGCAGCTATACAGACTCCAGATACGCCACGGTTCAGCAATCTCTCGATATGTGCCAGGGAGCTGCAGAGAACTGCAAGAATCCTAGGAAGAAAAGTCTAGCGTGGAACTCATCTTTCATCTCTGACATTTGTCCCATCGATGATTCCATGTGTCAAGCAGCCACCAAGGGAAGCATGTCCTTCGACACAGGGTTCCTCTCCTCACACAAAGACCTTGGCTATAATGCTAGAAGTGAAGATCGTGTTTCTATCCGTCTGACTGCACAATGCGCACCACTTGAAGCTGCAGACTATGTCACCGATTGGCAGGACGTTCCATCTACCTCCAATTCACAAGCTCGACAGGTTGTTGATGCACATTATGGACCAGGTAGGTCGAACAAGAGGAACAGTACCTACAGTTTGACGAAAGGAGAGTTGGAGTGTGATGAGAGAGTGCTCGCTCAGCCCTATTCATTGGTTCCTTTCATCGCATTACCTGGAGGAAATCCCAAACAACTGTCAGCCACGTTCACTCCAATCCCCGAACTTCGACCTACAGATCGTGACCTAACACTCGTTCTTATGTCTTTTAACAATGTCTACGAAGACCCAGTGGTTGATCCGTGGTTCTCGGCACAAAGAAAAATCAACGTATCGACTGGATTTTGTCTTTCAAAGAACACAACTGTATATGCTCCAGATCATGCTCTTGCACCTATGAGCTGTACGCAGCAATGGCAGATCTGCAACAATGACGGGCTAAAAACTCCAGATCTGGAGAATTGTACTTCATTACAAGGCGTTGCTCAGGTCAACTCAACTATGTATAGCTCATTTGGTAGCACCAAGTTCACACCACGTCAGTTAGCCACAACTCAACGCCTCGTACGTGCAGCATACGCAAGCACGTTTTACTATGTCATCTACGCACTTTCTCAATCAACCTCACCTCCTTTGAAAGCTCGGAACTTGATATCTTACAACATCGGTCCTGCACTGCCACCCACTCAGTGGCAGACAGAGACACAGTACTGGATGGAACTCGTCCTTGCATATTTTCAGCAAGCCAATCTCGACTACAGTACCGGCCAATTCGCAGCCTCAACATCATATGTCAATGTCACCCACGCTTCGACCGCTAACTCTAGTGCTGCCTTGGGTCAGAATGCAGCACATTGGTTATGCCAGTCTCAAATCATCCACTCAAGCAATTACCGCAACTTCAACTTCTTTGCCCTGTTGTTGACCGTCATCCTGTGCACAGTCATCATCGTCGTTGGTCTCACGATAGAAGATCTGACAGGCTGCGTACGTCAACGCAACCTCCGATACTCTGGCTCAAACGGGAAGCAAGACATGTGGATCGCAAATTCCGATCTAGACATGCTGCGCAGGGTCGACGAGCTGAAGAATGGATCAGCGTGGACCTTATCACGCAATGGCGTGCCTTTGACGCATGTGAGCAACACAGTGAGCATCAATGATTTGATGAGCGATGGCAACGAAGTCGAGAAGGGCACGGGATTCGTTGTGCCTGCTGTCAAGCGGGAAAGGGAGGCTCGAAACAAATTACGATCTAGTCCTTACAAGCATATCCACGACTCAGAACACAAACGATGCGCGACATGCAGCACTTTTGAGATTTCGCCAAGTGGCAGTAGACCACAGATGTCGAGGACTGGGACTTCCACAGAGGATGAAAGCAATGGGATGACTTTCCACAACACGTTTAGAAGAGACTTTGTCCATGGTGTTCACTATGAGGACGATGTCAACAGGTCTGGTGTTCCAACTTATACAACAACATCATATACTGCGCTGCCCAACAGCTTCAGATGATGCATCCGTGTTCTAATCGCGACTGTTGAAACGAGAGGTATCTCGACACTCCGGAGTTCACAGCTGTTCTGCTTCACCGTGCACCTAGTGTCAACAGCACCCCGAAATGATTAGGCTGGAGCCATGAGATGGTGCAAGATACTATCCTCCAATATCACAATAATTTCCAAGCCTCTAATTTCATCACTGCCTGCCACATTTCTTAGTTCTTCTCTGCTTGTCTATTAGAAACCATGTCAGCACCAACGTCTACCCTCCAGGGCCCACTCGGTGTCCCCAATAACACCAAGTTTCATCCTCTCTTTACTGTCCGCCTCAGCAGCTCACTGGTCACGAGTGCTAACCCAGCGATCCCATCGCGCCAGGTGTGAGGAGGGCCTCGAATGGACAGAGGATATTCGAGGGTCATGCCGTGCTCCACACATAAAGGTCTATACTCGAAGATGTTGCGAAAACCTTTGGCAGCGAATCAGTGACTCCGGCATTCTCAAGGATTGTCGGAGGATGCGTTCGATAGTCTCTCACAGGTTCTGAAATAAAACTGTTTCACTCTTTTAAACATCGTGTAATGTATTCCCTCTCAAGCCGGCATCAACGCCCCCGGAATCGTAGTCAAAACCCCATTCTTATCATACCTCGCCTTAAAAAACGTATAACTCAACGTAATAGTATCGATCCCCCTCATGTTCGGATCCTTTGCAAAGTCCGGATCAATAAAGAAGAAAACCGGCATATCGACCGTCTCCCCTTTATTCAACTTCTGCTCCTCAAAGCAAAAACACTGAATCTTCGAAAAATACGGCGCGACCTGGCCCGGCGTGACCGAATACGTCGCCACCCCAATGATATCCGCCTCACTTTTGTTCGTAGCTGTGTAGAACGCCAGCGCTGTCTCGCCTGGAAGTACCCTCACCTCCCTCTGCTGAGGCGTGAATTTCCAGGGTAGCACGTCACTTACGGACCCGTTGAATGTGATTCGGAGCCTGCGGTGGTCGGCCATGGGTTTCAGGCGTTCGGAGGCGGGGAGGTCAGAGGAAGTGTTTTCGTGGGCTTTGACGGGTTGGCCGGACCAGCCGGTTTGTTGACAGATCATTTTGTAGAGGGGGACGGAACCGTAGGAGAGGGCGACGGTGCCGATTATGAGGGAGGCGCCGTAGTACATTGTTGTGCGGTTTTTTTCTTTGGCGGCGGAGCGGGCGGCTTGGTAGGGGGAGTTTTGGTAGTGTTGCTGGCGGACATGGTGAGCGGAGGAGAAGAAGCGTTGTTGTGCTCGGAGGGAGTGGGTGTGTGGTGGTGGTTGTGATGTGGGTGTGGGTGTGGGTTTGGAGCTGCTTTGGCGCAGCGAGCGAGCGATGCTATGCCATATTGTTGAGCGTCGCATAACTCAAAGCATGGATGTTTTGAGTATGATGTGGTGAGCGAATGTGCCAGAGGATGGATTCTGTAAGATTGAGCCAGAGAAAGAAGCATATGGCGGCGTCAGAGATGTCATACCACGATATCACGTGCTCAGCGGTTAGTCCATGTGGCTTACAGCCGTGTTCATTATCGAGTACCAAAGTCAGCAATTATGATAAGAGAATGGGTTGAATTGAATATTGGAGTGGCGTATCGCCCAGGTTGATAGCTATGTAAGTTTCAAGAAACAAATTCCAAGCACCTTCCTCAATTGTGAATAAACCACGACACCAAACTGACTATGAAGCGCCCAATCGAGGTATCTCTATGCAGTCGCCAAAACCCCAGTGTGTTCCGACATTGGCTCAAATCTGTGTACAGTCTGCCTCCCAAGTTCTCGACTTAGCATGCGATGTCGTTCTCGTCGCATACTTGCCAGAAGCTGATGCTCGGACCATTCCTTGCCATTTCTCCGCCAGACTATACCACGTGGTGGTGGCCTACGTACGTGCTCTGGCTGTCGAAGTCGTGGATGTTCTTCTAAACTGTCATCGATGGTGCCTTCCACCCTTCCAAATCCATCGAAGTCAATAATGACCGACTCCAATTTTGGAAACGTGCTTCTGGATGGTAGCGGAAACTGAAACATGGCGTGCGCTGTCCGTGACATCTGTATAACCCTGACGCGCTTATAGATCCACTCAGGCAGCTTCTCGTGGATCTTGCGAGGGAAAACGCCATTCTCACAGAGCAGCCAGATGTTGTGCTCCTGAAGAAGGTGCAAGGCTTCGACGCGTAGCAACTTGCACACTCTCACGATGGGGAGTGGCCACTTGGAAGTGTCTATTGCGCCATATCTAGTGATGCGCAAGCTGAGGTCTGCGTCGTCGAATAGAGTGGTGTAGATGATGCTGCGTATTTCTGCTGGTATGGATAACAAATCAGGCTTGGCCATTACGATAAGCTGAGTCGCCGGCATCTCAAGTACGAAGATGTAAAGGGACGAAAGGGATGATGGCCAACAGTGATTGTGTTGAGGTTACTCACCTGACCACTCTGTCCCCACTTGAGGCCCAACCTCGGATCATGTGCCGCGGAAAGTCGCGCGGTCGAACATCTTGACGGCCACTTTTCCTGCTCAGAAAATAGGGTTGTCGAGTGTAGTGGTCATGCGACCTCACAAGAACGATCTTGCCATGTTGTAGCTCGATGTTCCCACTTTCCAAACCGTACTCGCAACAAATATGCTAGTTTTGATACCAACGTAACTCATGACACCCATGAATGCTGTACCAAGTAGGAAAGCCTTGAGATTGCGCTGCTCGATTCCACCCACCTCCTTGTGCCTGATCTCGGATTCTTCACCTTTGTACGTGGTAGTATCAAATTGTGGAATATGCTTGAAATCAAAGACAGTCTGCTCGCCTTGTAAGCCGAATTTGCTTTCCACAATAACCTGCCAGAAGATCCTCTTCAGGTTGGCCACTTTCCGGCGATCAAGAGATGGTATGGAACGATTGAAGTAGCACAAGGCCATGAAGAAGATGCACTGTCCTGCGACAAGGCAAGTATGATAGAAGTTGGGCTTGCCAAGTCCAAGAGCGTCGCAAAGCTCGTTACCATTGAGCCACCGAGCGTTGGCCTCGAGGAATGACCTTGAAGCATATGCTGGCGGTTGATTCTCCAGACACCGGATGACATTGTTTGCTAGAACTTGAGATGTTTGAGAGGGATTGATCTCGTTCATAAGTAAAGACTCCATCATAGCTCTGGCCTTTGCAGGCTCGGCGAAGTATTCGGTGGGTGTACCAAGGTAATGCGCGATAAGTCGCCACAATGCAATATAGTCCTCAACCTCTTGCTGCCTCAAGAAAATACCTTGTCGGGGCAAGGAGAGCCATATTATGGTTCCTGAAAATGTTCCAATTGTGGCCATGCTGTCCAAGTCGTTGATGGGCACACCGTATTTCTCGACAGAGTAGTATGAAGGACGTGTTTTGGTAAGTTTTAGTATTCTTTGACGGACAGAAGCGTGCAGCAGGCGAACTCGTAAAGAGGAGGCAAATCCATCACCACCAGGTTTGATACTTTCAAGCGAGCGTGTGCACTGCAAGATATGTTGGGTGGTCTCGAAAAGACGATGCCTAGCAACCTTGACACCAAATCCTCCAGTGCGGGCCAGAACCTCGACAACTCGGTTGGCACTCATACCACCTAACAGAGACTGGTAGGCGAGACCGGTAAGCGTGGCGCCGCCATAACGATAGAAAACGTCCTGACCACGTTCGATCTGCTCCCAGTCTACCCACTCTGGAATGTTAGTGACCTGATCCCATAATTCTTGTAATTTAGAATGCTTGTCGTGGTGGTCCCTCAGCAGTAGATAAAGATCTCGTTTCGGCTTGGTCTTGCCTTCTGGTACTGTGACCTCAGCATCTTGCTTGGGGTGTAACGTCGTCGAGTCTACTGGGAAGAGTTCATTCAAGATATCTAGTGCCTCCTCGCCCAGGACATCATAAGAATATTTTAGTGGATACGCCGACTCGGGTGTTAGATGATCAGGACCGAGGTCGAATGTATAGCCCCAGCACGTCCTTGTATTAGCTGTTCTCTTTCGAAAGGGGTTGGGCCATGCCATCGTTGGTATACACAACTTGACTTGTAAGAGCCATGGTTGTAAAATTAAGGAACTGCCGCGAAGTGGCGATGGCGAGCCAACTTTGCAAGGCGTCACGAGTCAGTCGACAAGATCGGCGAAGCAGCAAGATGTGGACATGTGAAGGTCTTCGTGATCAGCCAATCGGAGTGCGAGGCCAGAAACTCGTCCAGAAAACCATTCATTCAATTCCAGAACTTGCGCGTCTGCAATTCTACTCAGGTACTCAATATCTCTTCGATCTCCAAATCAAAGACTCGGTCAAGCAATGGGCAGGTCCTCGTGTCTGAATCAGACCCTGTTGCTGGCTGTAATACAAGCGCCCGTACCTCTCGCAGCGAGTTCACCTCGAACAAGGAGTGCCATCAATTGGGTGCGGACCATTACCAGTACCAGCTCACGACATCACAACTTCGTGTCTTTCGGACCGCAGGCCGATGCAGCCCTTGACAAATACTTGAATCGAGAGCCTCAGCCTGAGTTTCAGTCTGAGCCACCTGCAAGACAGAAGACTGGCAGATCACGCAAGCCGAAGGTGGCTATTCGACAGGGCGACGACTACGAGATCAATGACTTCGTCGACAGATCGAGTCCATCAGTAAGGATAGAAGGTTGGGCTGTGGAGGGTAGAGATCAACCAGACTACAAAGGACGCTCCAGTGCAGCGGGACAAGAGAGACAATCAACCAGAAAGACTACTAGGGATACACCTACAGCAAGAGACCGGTCGCCACGACCAAAACTCGAGCCATGGCAAGCTCAGCGCAATGCAATGAAGGAGAAATTTCCTGAAGGATGGAGTCCACGAAAGAAGTTGTCCCCTGATGCAATGGAGGGTATACGTGGTCTGCATGCACAGGATTCTGTAAAGTATAGTACTGCCATCCTGGCAGAACAATTCAAGATCTCGCCAGAAGCTATACGACGTATTCTGAGAAGCAAATGGATGGGAAAGCAAGCTGAAGAGAAAATGGATGAGCGTAGGGAAAGATGGGCAAAGAGGCATGATAGGATATGGGACCAGAAGGCTGAGCTTGGCTTGATGCCACGGCGTAAGAAGCCATCACCCATCGAAGACCCTGACAAGTTTGAAAAGGACATGGAACGGAAGAAGATTTTAGGAGAGATATAGTGAAGATATGGCTTCTCGGCAAGACCATGACTTAATGCCTGGCACGTATCAGAACGCCAAGAATGACAAAGTCGATATTGTGATACGAAAAGGCTCTGTTGTGTCTACGATGGTGTTCTGTTCCCTGCTGGAATCTGTAGTAAGTCAAAGACAAGAACCATCTTCTACTCCAGGGCTGGTGGGCGTGGAACCAACGTTCTTGCCCTAATTTGCGCTTGCTAACCCGTGCATACTCGGCAAAGTTTTCATCGTGCAGTTGCGAACTATCCTTCCAGCTAGTCTTATCGATAACAAATAAGTTTCCTCAAAAATCTTGGGCATGAGTGCGCGTTCACAAGTGTATAATCATGCTAACCGACTGATCGGCTCTTCCGTAGTAGTCAAGATGAGTGAGACGTCCCTCGAAGAGAAGCTGGAAAAAATCAAGAAGCCGAACCTCGAGAACCAAAAACACACCGCCGTCGTCCTCACCAGCATCGAGGACACTCTCAGCGAGGCCAACGAGAAGTTTACGGCAACCGCCTATTTCGCTGCTTTGCTTGCTCTACTGAAGCAGATCACTAGCGACAGCAATGTGGGCGAACCCGGCGAGATCGTGACCTCTACTGTCTATCTCCTCGATATCATTACCTCTCACGTACCTCATGCGCTCCTTCGCACACAGTTTGCGCCTATTATTACGCTTCTTGCACCCAGCTTGGATACAGCGAGCACCAATACACCACTCTTGAAGTCGGCAATTGGCTGCCTCGAGTCCATACTAATAGCACAGGATGGACCTGCTTGGAACCTGCCTGCGACACAGATCGGCCCTAGACAGGCACTGAACGCTTTGCTTCCTCTAGCAATTGACCAGAGGCCGAAGATTCGAAAAAGAGCCCAAGAAGCTATAAAGCTCATCCTACAAAATCCACCTCCTGGTCCCTCGATCGATCATCCAGCCGCCGAGGTTTGCGCCATCGCTGCCCAAAACAATCTGAAAAGTGCAGTTCAGCTGGTACACCAGAACAGAAAACAGAAGAACAAGAGTGATGGCGACAATGATCCATCCGTGATTCATGCTCTTCAGCTGATCAAGACCATCGCACTTGCCTCAGGAGGATGGCCAAGCAAAAAAATCGAGACTCTATGCGAGATCCTACTGTCTATCTCAAGATCGCGCAATGACTTCCTGGTCATGAGCGCTTTTGAAGTCTTCGAGGTCATCTTCGATGGAATGCAAGACGAGGTCTCTTCCGCTAAGTTGCCACGTCTATTGGAGGCCATCACCGAGCTTAAGCCTGCACAGAATGATGCTCAACTACTGCCTCCCTGGATCGCCATCCTGTCAAGAGGTTATGGTTCATATGCGGCTGTTGAGCCAGAAGACGTCTTTGCCAAATTGCCAGACCTGATGAACCTCGTCGCAGACTTCCTACCAAATCCCTCGCACAACATCCGTGTTTCAGCTTCTGAATGTTTGATATCTTTCTTCGCCAATTGTATACCGAACGCCGTCATCCTTGAACCTTCCATCTACGACGAGAAGGTGCTGCAACAGATCGCCAACAAGGCACTTGAGTTACTGTCGGTGAAATATCAGACTGCTTGGATGGAGGTCTTCAGTGTCTTATCTGCACTCTTTGATGCTCTTCGATGGCGTGGCGATCCCTATTTACTACCAATTGCGCGGTCTATCGGCGAACTCAGAGGTGATGAAGGGTTCCAGGGTCAGAAAAAGGCAGACGAAGTGCTCGGACATGCCATTCATGGTCTTGGTCCACAGGCTGTGCTGAGTGTTCTACCTTTGAACCTAGTCAAACCCAAGGCCGGCCAGCCTGGTCGAGCTTGGCTCCTTCCTTTGCTCAGAGACAACGTTACTAACACGACGCTCACTCACTTCAAGTCTGAGCTGGTACCTCTCTCGGAGACCATGTATCAGAGAGTTATGGACCACGGCTCTGCTGAGAAGACAATGGACATTAAGGTATACGAAACTGTTGTTCAGCAAATATGGTCTATCTTACCAGGATATTGTGATCTACCAGTCGATCTTCAGCTTGCAGTGGATCAGAAGTTTGCCGAATTACTGTCCAATCTACTCTATCAACAAGCAGAGCTGAGAGTTGATGTGTGTCGAGCACTGCAGAATCTCGTCGAATCCAATCAAGCAATCCTCGAATCTGATGCTGATTCTGATGAACTTCAAGCCGAGCATAGAACCACGAAAGAGGACGCACAGAAAAACATAAGTCATCTTTCGAGCTTCGCAAGCAACATGCTGGCAGTTCTGTTTAACGTCTACAGCCAAACTCTACCTCAATCGCGAGCCTATATCTTGCGATGCGTCAATGCATACTTGAGCATCACACCCGAGAAGGACCTGATCGACACTTTTGAGCGCGTTGCCAAAATTCTCGAGTCTGAACTTCCAGCGCCTGACGCGCCACCACCCAAGAAGCAACCGGATCAGCAAAATCGCAACAAAATGCCGCCAACTTCACATACACTACTCGACCTCGTTGTAGCACTCTCTGTCCATCTACCTCGCACTACCTTCGCCGCCTTGTTTGCGCTCGCCTCGTCCATAGTCACAAATCCAGCTATACTAGCATCAGATCCTCAACTCATCAAGAAGTCCTACAAGCTTATTCCAAGACTAGCCACGTCCGAAGTTGGACGTCAAGCTCTCGCGGAACGCACAGCAGACCTACAGAAGTTGATCGTTGCAACCTCAGAAAAGACTCCAGTTCCTGCTCGGCGGGACAGGACTCTGGCCATCAACACAGTCATCACATACCTTACCGAAGAAGATTTACACTTTATACCTACAGTATTGGGTGAAATAGTGCTTGCCTGTAAAGACAGCAACGAGAAGGCCCGTACTGCAGGATTCGGATGCCTATTCACAGCTGCTAAGCGTATAGCAGACGCTTCGCCAGATACCAAAATTCGCAATTCCCTCGTACCGCACATACCGGATGACGCACCTGATGCCACTGCATCGGTCGAAGAGCTCTTCACCATGGTATCAGCCGGTCTCGCGGGTGTAGCACCACACATGGTTGCTGCCACCATCACAGCGCTTGGTGCCTTACTGTACGAGTATCACGAAGACGAGAGACTCAGCGGCAGTATGAAAGAGGAGCTCGTCGACACCGTAACAATGTTCATACAATCCAATAATCGTGAGATCGTCCGGGCTGTGCTTGGCTTCGTCAAAGTCATCGTTGTCATCCTACCGCTCGAGGCACTGGAACCACGGATGGCAGCTTTAGTGCCAGAACTGCTAGTCTGGAGCAAGGAGAACAAAGGACGCCTGAAAGCGAAAGTCAAGAACATCCTTGACCGTCTAGTCCGACGCTTCGGCGGTGCACAAGTCGAAGAGTGGGCAGGTCCAGATGCAAAGAATTTGATCAGGAACATCCGTAAAGCTCGCGAAAGAGCGAGGAGGAAGAAGCAAGATACAGGTGAAGCCGACGACGAAGATGACGAAGAACAAGCCCCAGGCAGAAACACTTATGACAACGAATATGATGAAGCTGTTTATGGCTCGGACGACGATGACTCGGAGGTTCTCGGTAGTGACGAAGACGATGACGGAGATGCTATGAGCGGTGTCACGTTGAAGTCCAAAACGACGAACAAGACTGGAAAATCTGGAAAGGGTGGCAAGGGCGGTCGTGACCAATTCATCCGCAATCAAGAAGATAGCGACGACGAACCACTCGACCTACTTGATCCCAAGAGCATGTCCGCTATCTCTTCATCCAGGCACTCCAACACCAAGCTTGCGAAAGACGGCCGAAAAACAAAAGCAAAGGTTAACGAAGACGGAAGACTTGTTTTCGGTACCCAAGACAACGATTATGATGGCGATAATACAATGGATACTGCTCCTACAAACGGCCAGAAAGGTGGCAACGCAGTCGACGCATATCTCGATGCCGTCTCCGGACCTCACGCTGTCCAGCGCGGCCAAAAAGGCAGATTGAAAGTCAAATCAGGCATGCAAAAGACCTCACGGCAACAAAGCAAAACAGGTGGTGATGACGAAGTCATGCTAGATGTCGATGAGGCGAGAGAAGTTGCGCGTAAAATCATGGCTGGGAAGACGCCGCAGAGTCCGCGGTCGCCGATAATGAAAAGTCAGGGAAAAGGCGTTCAACGACGAGGGTTGGATAATGAGAAGGTCCAGTCTGGTAGAGCTGTGAACAATGGTAGTGGTGGTGGTATTGATAAGCGAAGGACGAAACCTGGACCAGGAAAGCGTGGTGTTAAGTTTAGTAGTCATCCGGCTCGGAGGGGGCAGGGCAAGAGGAGGTAGTAGTCTATACGTACTTCCAACAGATAATCCTCTGACACAATGTCAACGTGAGCACTCGATGCTTCTATAACAGGCATCGTACACGTGTGATCATCATATTTAGTTGACTTCATTCTGAGCTTTGCGGTAGATTGAAGATATCCTTGGATTTATCTGGCCTAGTGTTACTCGTAGGATGGCCTAGACAACTTCTGGAGTCACCAGTTGGACTACGTGTCCGTTACATCTAGATTTGGGTTCCGATACCGGCGAGGCTCGATATTTCGTGGTAGTATGGCAGTGCTATCGTGGCATGCTAGCTGGAATTAGGTGCACTCGGCATTCTGTTTTTCACTCGTCATACTTGTCGGAATGCATATGCTAGAAGGTAAAGCTACTTGACAACTCAAGGATGTCAGCATTCACCAGAGGAGAGCACTGGGCCTAAGGGGCTCAACTTGAGCTCAGATCGTCATCCATCGGTTTCAGACGACTTGTATCGCGGTCCTCGTCGATGACGGCTCGTGGATCCCGTCAGCAGGTGTTGGATTTTGAATTTTTGAGTATTGACCTCAAAGCGTAGCATGGGAAGGTCAATACCCGTTGAGGCACTCGGCCGTGTCATGAAGCTGGTGAGTTAGCTGTGGTGGTACGTCGCCTCGGCCCCCATACTGGCAACTGACATCGTGACTGCATTGAAGAGTGCTGCACAGATAATTCGGGTGACCATGTACTGCACGGCTTTGCTGGTCGTGGCAGGGATCTGAACAAATTGAGCCGTATGCAATGAATAGCTGGATGCTCTTGTTGCATAAACAACATGCATTCCTGCCACCGGAAAGTTTCCGTCAAGATGTCCAACCAGTAAGCAGATGCTAGGTTGCGTTGATAATGTTTACCGCCAACATGGGAGGAGTACAGTCTCATTATGTAGCACGCAGACAAGTGTGCTAGGGCCTGGTTCTATTGTTCTATTGGGCTCCAAACATGATGGTCTTGACGTTTCGACAATCGATCTCACTCAGTGAGATAAATTGTGAGTTGGGGTTTGCACTTTCAATCCGTCCCCGCGGTTCAAAAATTCGCAAGTCAGTGGAACATCAGTTCTGCTCGTGATCGACAACGATGAGCCCAGGACTCTGTTGGCTAACGGCACGGCCTCGCAAGTATCGAGCCTCCGGAAGTGCATGACTTGGCAGCAGCATGCGTGAGCTCCAGACCTCGATAGATATCGGCCAAAAGGTCCGGACACACGTGGTCCTGCCACGTAGTTCACTAGCTCTCGGATACTGGAGGATTGACGAGAGCTGCATGTTGATTGATTGAGCTGGCAATTAGTCGAAGCAGCAAGGCTACCTGATAGGCTGAACAGCTTTCTTCCGAATCAGAAATGAGCAAGTGAGCTTTAAGAGACACATTTGACGTGTACCCTGCCATGCATACGCGTAAATTAAGCGTGGGCAGGACAGCATTAGTCTCATATGTTCCGCTCCTAAAGCATTCGGTATCGTCGATGTCCTGATCTGATGCATTGCGGATGGTCTGGACTCGATGAGATGAAGCCGGCCGCGTTGTACGGTAAACGAGTTCCTGGTTTGCCTTTGTGGCATGTTCTGTACTGCTGGAGTCAAGTTGAATCTGCAGTAAATCGAAGATCACGTACAGTTATGTAGTCCCACTGAATGCTGCCATCAGATGCATCTCAGCCGAGGTTGTCCACTCTGCTATAGGTTTTCTCTTCTTGTGCGGTGCATAGTGATGCAAGTGTTGTCCTCGTGTTGCAGGTAGCGGTTGGCCTAGATATCCAGCTACCACTTCTCCGAGTACTGACACATTCAAGCCGCTGGATCTTTATTCGTTGGAAGTGACACGAAACTGTTACTTCTGATTCGTAGATTGTGCTCCATTGCCACGTTGGCAATGAACCAGAGTGCCGGTTCTGTGCCATGGCGAGCATTGGCTCGTGCAATGCCGCGTGGGGTGCATAGTGCTTGCCGCGCTGCGAACACTGAGCCGAGTAGCTCATACCACGCCTTTAGCAGGAGTGATGGAGATGATTTGACTTGCATTGTCGGCAACGCCGTGATGCGCAGTATTGAGATCAGGTCTGCGCTATTGCAGCAGTGCCGCTTGAGACGGAATGAAGTCACCCGTTACTTCGTTCGCACTGGAATAAACTATTGTAGAAATGGAAGCGACTCCTCACTTACAATGTCCGGCAGATACTTCATTACAAAAGCCCAGCACACGCAACGCGTCACTCATTGTGCCTTTCGAGCTGAACCATGCCATAAAATGCGTTTGAGTGGACATTAACATTGACATTGACGCTGACTTGTTTCGAAGCATGCTACGATATTTGAGTTCAGATCGTCAACCTGGGTTAAAGTTCCCGCCGATTGACTTTACGGACTCGAATTCCAGGTTTGACCCACTGCGCTGCTGTTGTGTAACCTGAATCGCTCGCTAGTGGCAGATCAGCAACTATGGTCCTCCTGCTGTGTCTGCTGTAGTAATTAACAGCCCTGTATTGCAACCTCTTTTGGCACAGCACGCGTTCGGCTCATCGAGAAACACTCTATTATGGCTGAGACAGCCCTGGTAGTACGGAGTGTGCAGATGCAAGCGCCGGGTCCCACACGTTCGCGTCTGGATCAGCACAGACACAATAGCGACTGCGCTAACGAAGTTATTATCGCAGCTGTAATCCATATTGGGCCACACCATTGGAAAACAGGTGGACTTTGATGATCTTTTTGTATGTGATAGGACGTGGAAAATTATCGGTGAATCATTAATGCTTCTTGGGTAGAGTAATCACTTCTTGATTCACCCTGCCCGTGGGGCCGCGTGCTGTTCATAGCGAGTCATGCCTGACGCTAAGGAAGGTGGCCGAACATGATATTAACCTGGAGAAAGACTACGCTCAACTATGCAGGGCTCATCGTGTCTTCAGACCAGCGGGACTATCAGTACTTTGGTCGGGCAATGCACCAAGAACGTGGCCTTTTACACTAGACGAAAACCTGGGCGCTGATTAAAACAGTGGTCAAGTAGTGACGGGATTCATTTCTAGATGTTCACTTAGTCTCGCCAAAGCTCTTGACCATAGGTCAAGTTGTCATTGACACACATCTACGAAACCAGCAACAGACAAGTGCTTGCATCCTTCGAGTTCCAGCTGGGCACTCGGCAAAGAACAAATGGAGAGCGATATCAGGTCTAGAATGAACAGCGCAAGGAATCTGGTGGACGAAATTGCGAGCATAGGTGCGCTCGATAGACAGCGCTCCAACGGTCAAGATGGAGAAGGCATGGACGATCGAATGGATTTCGATTCAAAGCACCAACACTTACAAGGCGGAGCTATTCCTGTCTCAGCCCCGAATCATCTCTCTGGAAGTGCTCTGAAACTTGTTGTGGTGAACCGTGCAGCAAGAGATGATCTAGGTACGTGGTTGAAATCGAATGAATAGGTCCCGCTGATTGTTTCTACAGCAAATAGGCTGAATGAGGCAAAGAATTGTTTCCTCGACCTCTGTGAACGGCAATTAAGTGATTTGCTTGATGCGGCACCTTCGGGGTCACAGACAGATATTGAAGACGTGGACAAGCTGCTTGTAGAGATGAGAGCAGTGAGACGATGTATGGAGACCATGGTCGCTATTGAGAAGGCGTTGGCTGAGTCTTGACATGCACCATGAGCTTGGCCACTAGCAATACTCACTTGATAAAGGGCATGATTATTGCTAGCTTTTCTGTCTTGCAATTGATGACGCTAAGCGCAACACTCTGAGATTGCAAAGCAGCACGCTTCGTCCATTTCGACCCGTGTTCAGGTTGGCGAGAACTTTTGGCTTCATACTCACCTACGGAGTTTTGTGCTTAAACAGCGAGGAGTTTTGAAGGATAAGAGATCAAAGGCAAGCAAAGGAACCAAGGGTATGTAATAACGGAATGTGAATTAATCGAAGGATCGAAATCGCTTCTGCTAAGAAGAAGGAAGGACGAGCGCAAAGTATAGCTCCTGCAGCTGCATATTCCCCAGATGACGCTGTAGGGCTACATCAAAGGACCAATAATGCAGTCGCGGAACGACGCGTTCCTCCTCATGACGCGTTACTGCCGTAGACTTGAGTTCAGGGCACTAGATTGCTGCATGCACTCCAACATATGAACATCTCGAACCGTCGTTACCATTACCAGAGACTTTGTTGCTGTAATGTCTTTACTCGTTGACAAGTTGAGACCTCGGTCACTTGAAGCTCTTACCTATCATGCCGACCTGAGCGAACGCTTACAGTCCTTGGTGAGGAGTGCTACGCAACGTTACTGTTATGTACTTATTGGCTATAGGCCGCATCTGCCGACTTTCCTCATATGCTTTTCTACGGACCTTCTGGTGCGGGCAAAAAGACCAGAATATTAGCAACGTTGCGGGCATTGTATGGACCCGGTGCTGAGAAGATCAAGATTGATGCACGAATATTCCAGACCTCATCGAGTAGAAAGATCGAGTTCAATATAGTTTCCTCTGTATATCATCTCGAAATTACACCATCCGACGTTGGTACCTATGATAGGGTAGTGGTTCAAGAGTTATTGAAGGAAATCGCGCAAACACAGCAAGTCGACCTTAACGCAAGACAACGCTTCAAGGTCGTTGTCATAAATGAAGCTGATGGATTGAGCCGAGATGCTCAAGCAGCTTTGCGGAGAACAATGGAAAAATATAGCAACAACGTGCGCCTGATATTAGTGGCAAACAGTACAGCTGGAATCATTGCTCCCATCCGGTCAAGGACTCTGCTCGTGCGAGTCGCTGCTCCAACGCACAAGGAGATTTGCGATGTGCTTCAAAATGCAGCAAAGAAAGAGAATTGGAAGGCTATACCCGCATTGAACGAGAGAATAGCGCAGGATAGTGGACGGAATCTCAGACGTGCCCTGTTGATGTTCGAAGCCGTATATGCTCAGAATCCAGAAGTGTCAGAGAAGACGCCAATTCCTCCGCCAGACTGGGAAGTCTTGATTGCAGAGATAGCGAATGACTGCTTGACCGAGCGAAGTCCTCAGATGATCATGACCATTCGAGCAAAATTGTACGACTTGCTGAGTCATTGTATACCAGCCACAATGGTCATCAAGGTGTTGTGCTTCAAACTGGTGGAGAGACCCGAGGTCGACCCAATTCTGAAGCCAGACGTGGTCAAATGGGCAGCCTTCTACGAACACCGCATCAAGCAGGGCAGCAAGGTAATCTTTCATCTAGAAGCTTTCGTTGCAAAGTTTATGCGGATATACGAGATGTTTCTGGTCGGTGCGACGTAGGAGGATCATACTATATAAGATAATATAGTGTGCATGACCAGGTGCAGAGTGCGTAATGCAGTGTTTGTAAGTTGAAGATCACCACCATCTTGTTGATCTTTGCGACCCATCGATTCTCCCGGACAAACACAAAGCACCAACCACGACAAACACGTCGATATAGACTGAAAACGCTGTGTTCCTGGATTCGAGTCAAGGAATCATGTTGTCGCAACTGCATCGCATACCAGGGCAACATTTCAAGGACACTAACCCAATTAGTTGTGGAGACTTAATTGCGCTTCGATGCCACGCCTGGAAGGATGGAGTACCCCTTATCAGCCACCGAACTCTGGGCATGAGGAGCATATTGCCAGCCAAACGAAAGCGCCGGAGCAGTATCCAGTTTCATCAGCCTCGAAGCATGTCAGATCGTGTATGTTGCCTGAAGCTTTCAAGCATTAAAAATTGCACCACTGTCGTGTGCTGATTTCTGAGTGATCCTCAGGCGTTGCTAAACAACCACCTTGAACGCGGTAACGATATATATCTTCTGGCCACGATATCTCTCAAGAGGTGTGGTTGTAATTTGTCCTGCAGATCCAACGGGTGTGAGATATTAATTGTGTCTATTTTTCATGCCTGTCTTCGTAGTGTAGCTCCAGTATCTCCGGTATGCAACACAAAGCACATTCTACAGCACGCAGCATGACACTGACAATGCTGACTTACTTGGCTGTAGCTGGAGTTCTACTTGATATGTTTGAACTTGCTGAGTAGTGCTACGCAGTCAGTTCGACACAAGCTGTTGAATATGCATAGGCGCGACAGGGTTGGTTGCAATCGAGCGTGGCGCCAAGAGACGGCTCCTAGCTCGAATCCACCGTGATCGACATTAGGAGAGAAGCAGACAGAGGCTTGAGAGGTACAGAGTCTATTCTGCAATCGCAAATTGTTACTGCTCATACGATACTCGTTCGTTGTTCTCGAAGTCTTCCTGCCACACCAAAGTCTCGTCTCAGAGCAATAGCAAGAAAAGCTGACCAACGTCGCCATAGCGCTTACCACACAGTCACTCCTTGATTTACTGCCACCGTTTGTTGAGATCTCAGCTTCAATATCAACATTCCGACCGACGACCCTCCTTCTGCTGGCAAGAAGAGTATATTCAGTCAGTCGTCGGCTCATTAATCAGCAAAAGACAAGAACTTGGACTTCGGGCTCGAGTCGAGCATCGTTTCTACTCCCTTCTTAATTGTTGTTTATCGCCGGGCACTATCGAGATTTGGTGCAAGCAAGAGGTCGGGACAATTAGACATAAGCCCAGGACCCTTGCGCAGGTCTCCTGAGGCTATTATGGCGTCAAAAAACAGCTCGAAAGGCCCTCAGATACCACCACACATTCGCCTGAATTCACAACCTGGAGACCTATCTACGGCTGATCCAGTGGGACAATCGAGGTCCCTCACGAAACAACGAAACTCGAACAATCCTTTCTTTTCAGAACAGTCGCCCGACAGATTAGCCCTGCCATCAGCAAAACGACCGAAACCTTACCGAGATGACTCCTTTGGGTCTGCCATTTCGCCCGCCTCGCCCGGCCTGTCACAATTCTCTTCTAGAAGGTCGAGTTGGGAATCGAGCGATTCTAAAGGCATAGACAATCCGTTCGCAGATTCGCGGCCGACGTCAAGAGCTGGAAGTGAAGAGGACCTTAACACACAAACAGTTTCTGAAAAGTACAACATATTACCTTTAGCTGACAATGGGCTGCTGCTGTATCCCGAAGACATCGAAAAGGATGACGACCTTCACAACCCGGATGGTGATGAGTCACGAGATTGCGATATCTTCACGAAGCGTGGTTTCGCAAATGTGGGCGGATTGGCTTTGATCACGCTTGGACTATTAGTACTGTTCATCGGTTACCCAGCCTTGACTTTCATACAGAGATACACTGTTGTCACAAATCCGTGCAAAAACAACCCGAATTGCCTCAACGTTGGCAAAGTACCTCTATTACAAAACATTCGCTCAGGCCTAATAGATCCGGATACACCGAAAGAGGCGCTTACAAAGAAAGACTTTCATGGTAACGAGTGGAAGCTGGTCTTCTCGGACGAGTTCAAGAAACCTGGGAGAACCTTTTACGATGGCGACGATCCTTTTATGCAAGCGGTTGACATCTGGTACGGTGTTACGATCGACTTGGAATGGTACGACCCGGATGCAGTCACAACCACTGACGGATATATGGATATCCGTTTTGACGCCTTTCAAAACCACAATCTCAATTATCGTTCGGGTATGATTCAGACTTGGAACAAAATGTGCATGAAAGGTGGTAGACTAGAGGCAAGCGTCTCTTTACCTGGAAGAGGTGATACTGTAGGTTTTTGGCCAGGTCTTTGGACACTAGGCAACCTGGGCAGACCTGGCTATGCCGCAACCACAGACGGTATGTGGCCATACAGCTACGCCGACGTGTGTGATGCAGGTATCACTCCTAATCAGAGCTCACCGGATGGTATCAGTTACCTTCCTGGTATGAGGCTGCCTGCTTGCACTTGCAAGGGCCAGGATCATCCTACGCCTGGTAAGTCTCGTTCGGCACCAGAAATCGATGTTCTCGAAGCGACCAACGCACCTTTCGACGCCGCTGGAAACGTCATCGGTCACGTTTCCCAGTCTTTTCAGGTCGCACCCTTCGATGTGTGGTACTACCCGAACTACGACTTCGTCGAAGTCTATGACTATTCAATCACGCAAGTCAACACATATCGTGGTGGACCGTATCAGCAAGCTGTATCAGCACTTGTCAACTTGAACAACGATTGGTATGATGGCAACCAATACCAGACGTATGCTTTCGAATATACCCCAGGAGCAGATGGTGATGTGATATGGTTTGTTGGAGACGAGCCCACATGGAGAGTAACAGGAGATTCACTTGGTCCGAATGGTAATGTGGGACAAAGAGTCATGCCAGAGGAACCAATGTCTGTCATTGTCAACTTTGGCATGTCAGACAGCTTCTCTCCCATCAACTTTACCGGTATAGGCAACACGCTGCCTGCACACATGAGAATCGACCATCTTAGAATCTACCAGGATCCATCCAACAATAACATGGTTATGGGGTGTGATCCACCAGGCTACGAAACCACAGCATACATTAACGCACATCGTGAGGTGTACTACAACCAGAACATCACCAGATGGTAAGTAACTTTATGGCAACCTTGGTATCGTCAAAACTAACACTTCTTTTAGGGAGGATGCTGGTTATTCGTGGCCACAGAATACACTAATGGATGACTGTAGCAAGTAATGTCCTTGAGTTTCTGGGTACTGCTTCCCGAGAGGAAGCATTGCTATGTGGAACATGCATATATTCTAATCACTGCAGTTTTAGCGGCATTTGTGGGGGAGGCGTTTAGTAGACGGATCTGGGAACCTTTATGAAGAGCTATCAGCAATGCAAGGCTCAGCAAAAGCTTGACGACAGCATGAAGTTCACCTTAATGCCAAGGGTACATATGATTATCACTTACATAGTACTTAGAATGAAGAGCTGGGAGGACGCCGGCAATCGACTGCTAAGCAAGGGATATTAGCCTAGGAAGACAAGCATGGCTCACGATGGCCGAGCCAACGATGGACGTGTGAATGGAGCTTTAATCACGGTGGCCGTTGTTCTTGCATTTCGTTCTTCAATTCCCGGGTGCTGGCACAAGATGCCATACTTCATGCTGACGATCTACCAGGCTCTCATTCAAGTGCGCACGTTCCTCGAAGCACTGAGCGGCTGTCATCGCCCTGAGAACGCCGTCATCACACCATACTTGTTAATCTTCGAAGACATCCCATTTCTTGATTATTGGTTTCGGTTCAAAGCCTCCAGCGACTTTTTCGAAGTAGACTCGGACTTTAGGCACAGACTGCATTTGAACCATCAGTTCTCGGTTGTCCAGCAGTACGCGGTCAAGCATTGCAATAGCATATGGGCGACCTTCACTATGCTCAACCAAGCAGAAATCCGACAAAAAGAGTCAGCTTACCAAATCATTCGCAAGTGCATATCTCAACATCAATTGTTCATTCGCCAGAACTGTGATAGCACGTTCTTGCAGTTGCTGTGTAGCGATGACCTGACTGTCTCGTGCCACAGAATTGGATGGCGTTGTGTTGTTGTCCCTGGTCGCACGAACGTTACTGCTCGCATCACCACTTACTGAAGTTGACATTGCTCGCCGACCAGTTTGAAATACGACGTGCGCTTGACGTCAAGTTTGTACTACCAACAACGATCCTCGGTGGTTGTTTTTGTGTCACAACGATAATGAAGTAGACCCTGCAGGCTGCAGCAGCATGTCCTGTGACTAGAGGACATATGCGGGCCACCGCAATAACAGATCCTGACCATCATAATCCTGGAAAATGCATGTGCAACTTCTAATAAGCGCTAAGTTAACGAAGAAGGCGCTTGCGAAATCCCCCCGCAACGTTGCCGTGTTTTCGACTTTATAGCAACTCGAATCGGCATACTGATTTGAGTATCAATTACAACCACATCCTGCAGAATGTAGCCTGATGATCTCAATCTTTGAGCTTTAGCGGCGAACGAGATCGACGAACCATGAGCTTCGAGCACGAACGCGTTGCCTATTTTCTCCGAATACAACATCTGCGGCACTGCATTACATTTGTCGCTCCTTCCAACGAAGCAGTACTACTCGCTTGTCACACCACGGCTCATGCTGTACGATGTTGTCTCGAACCTTTGTCGATCCGATCGATGCAAGACTAGCACTTTCAGGTCTCAATATGACTACAGTACTAGGAAGATACCAGTCAATATTTCTCGGACGTGCAAGTTTCTCGCTCGAGGATGGTGCGACACGTCATTAATTCTTCGCTTGCCTGCCTTGCTAATAAAAAGTTCTACAATCGTGGGTCGCTCGTGCGGGAATACGCGTACAGGAACTTGAGGAAGGAGCAATCCAGCCGAATTTGAGTACGGAAAACGTTCTTTCTACTTCTACCACACTTCAAGTTATTGTCCATGTTGGTCCTGGATATCGATCTTTTTTAATTGAACAGTGACCTCAAAGCCACCTCTGGAGTGCAAAGTGATGTGTGGACAGCGGTGGATTTGCTTCACTGCAATATGGCTGTCCAGCTCCTACGTTCTGTAAGACTGAAGCAAGATCGTGATCATCAACAGTTAATATCGTCCACGTCTCTGCCAGGCGCAATCGTGCCGGCTAATCATTGTTGTTAGACAAACATGCATTTCTTATTGAACGCAACGAAGACAGGCGTCCCAATAAGATGAGCATGATCAACAATAACTCATAGAATTCCACCCCTTTATCAAGGTGATCACACCCCTCGTTACACTTGTTTCTCTTACTCCGTTACCGGCGTATACATATTGACGTTCATTAACTCTCACAGATGCGAGTCACCTTGGCCACAATACGAGCTGCGCGATTTCAGGGAAGATACGCGAAAGTTCGTACGGAAGGACGACCAAATCCTCTCAATTAGAGGGCGAGGAGACTTTTGTCATACCAAATGCAACGGCTGCATTGTACTCTTACAACAGACATTAATACGAAGACCATTACGTCTTGGGCTTATGATACCATAAGCTTTCCTACAAACAGCAACGCCGATTTCAGGCTAGAGCTCGAGAGCAGTACGAGGCCTGTTGACAGAAATCCTTCTACCAAGATCGAAATGGAGCTCTCGATCCGAACCAAAGTCAACACAACCCTGCCATCTCAAAATTCTCAGACGTTACCTGTATTGTCCTCAGCTAAGGCACACTCTTCCTATAAAACAGAAATCCAGTCGGACACGGATAGTTCCACACGTCTCGGGACGTATAGAGCCCATCTCAATGAAGCTAAGCAGCACAAAGCGTTGAGAGAGGCTTGAAAGGCGGAAGGATATGAAATGATTGCAGCTAGCCTGAGACTGGAACGTGGAGAGCAGAGAAAGCAAATCCAGATGGAGCTCAGGCGACAGCGGCAGCAGCTCGTTGCTCAGTTGTTTCTAGCAAGGAGAACACCATTAAGCAACACGATAACTTACAAGGAGTCAGGGAACATAAAGACCTTTAAAACTTGGACCGCAGAAAAGTGGGATAAGAAAAAGTCTTCCTGCATGAGGACCAATCGATTGAAAGAGCAAGAGGCAAAGTCCAAGGACGTGCCTTTTCAGAAACACTTTGTTGAGGAAATGAGCGAGCTGAACAGGGATGCCCAGGAATTAAAGAGAGAGATAGAGAAAGAGTACAAGGCAGCCGTTGCGGAGGCAGTCAAAGGTCTTTCAGCAAAGACTGGTGCTCGTACAGAGGGAAATGCCTTGGTAAACAAAGAGGTCAAGCCAAGTCCATCAGAATGCAAAGAAATGAATCCTTGGATGCCGTCTTGCATCACGTCTTAAATTGTCGATCTCAAAGTTTGCTCACTGTTCGCTTTTCAGGTGCAGACTGCTGGATTACCTTAATCCGTGTTATCTTTATAAGCTCCTAGTGTCTCTGTCCTTGACAGGCTTTTCCAAACTACTTCGATACGTACTATGTGAATGTCAAGCAACACCGATTCTTTTCGTTGGAAGACTTGTCTTCTAAAGTGTAACCTCTCGATGATTTTCTTGAGTGGAATAGGTCAGATAGATTGCACAGCCAATGCTCAGAGTTGGATCGGGTTAGTGGTGATGATCGTCAATTGTTTCCACAATGGACGTCGAGAGCTCTAATATTTTCATGAAATGCTGGGTCACAAGGATACAGACATCTGACAGCACGTCTTCCTTGCGCCTGTAGATCCTACTGTCATGACAGCCAATATCTACCCACCTAGCTCTCCACAGCCTTCGCAACAACACCCACCAAACTTCTCTCCCCAACAGCCACAATATAATACTCGACCCTCGCCCTCTGATTCTCAACCCTAAACACCTTCGCACCAGGCCCACTAGTATCAAGATCAACCCCTCTCTTTCCCCTCCCATCCTCCCCAGCCTGCTTCACCTTCTCAATAACATCCCTGTACTGACCCCTCGGATCAAAGTCCTCAAAACTCAACTCCTCAATATTATCAGCATTCTCTCCTTTCGCGCCAAGAACCTTTTTGAACTCCTCTACGCTCGGTAAGCTGTCTGACGCGTAACTGAAGAACACGGGTTCAAAGTCCGAGTCTGTGTCGGAGGTGAATGTGGCGTTGATGTCTCGTAGAGAAGCGGGAATTGCTTCGTTTGTTGAGGTTGATGATGATGGGTCGAATTTGGAACGTGCTTGGGAGGTTGATTCGCCCTCTGCGTCGTGGCCGGATCGGGGGTCTTGGTTGGCGCGGGCGAGGAAGGTGTTGTAGGATACGTCGTCGGCCATTTTGTGTGGTGGTGAAGATGATATGTGATGTTGGGAATTGTAAATATATATCAGTGGCTTCCTCTTGGCTTCTTCGATTGAATGTATAGATGTGCTTCTGCGTCGGATAAAATTGACCGAAGTCGGAATCAGCCTACAAACACGAAGAATTCTCGTCGAATTCCTGGCTGTCTGGCTCAGTTTTAGTCCTGGAGTATAGGTATAGTACGGAAGATTACTTGAAAAAAGCGAGGTCTTTAAAACCATCCCACTACGAAATGAAATCCAGTGAAATATCATGCATGGGTAGAAAAAGGAGTCTCGATGGTGTCATTGCACAGGAACGTCATAGCAAGCAACTTTGGCCTGGCAGCCTAGATATACCTTTGACTTAGCTCCTCCACGTCTTCAAGCTTCAACTTCAAGTTTACGAAGGGCTCAGACAGACTTGAGACCTCTTCTTAGATACAAAGATTAAATATCCCCCCGGAGTGTTGTGTCGAGTATCCGACTTCTTAAGGTCGTACCTGCTCCAAGCCTGGTAACACCACCATTACATGGCTGACTCGTTCGATATAAGAAGTCGAAGCACAATAATCCTCGAGAGCATTCTAGCCGATGAAGTGGCTTTACTTCCCTAATGTGGTGAGACCCCAACCAAATGACCCGAGAACAGATACCTTTTGTGATCGAGCTCGACAAGGCAAGTCACGCATCTCGGTTTCAGTGTGACCGATGAGCAGACAGGCGTTACCTCTGGCTGGGCACGACCTGAATACATGACGAGACTGTAGCCGTTGCCATGGCAATCCACCTGACCACTAACAATGCAGGAAGTCGAGTCGCAGTGTTGTCGCTTCCTGGACTCTGCTCGTGGCGTCGAGGCATGCTCCTGTCCAACACTGACCTATTTGTGTGCACGATCAATCACGATACCGCTCGAATCGAAGCACTAAGCGACGTTCATATATTGTTTGCTACCACTTGAAAAAGCATCATATAATCACGGACACTGACCCGATGTCAATGAAGTCTTAGTGACACCCGGCACCCTGTCCTGTTGTCACTTACTCGGAGCTCGGCCCGCAGAGTCACGGGAATCAATCAAGGTACATATGTTTTAACAAAAGAATTTACCTCCGCAAGCAGGGTCCTAACTAGTGGGCGTCCGAGGGCCCTGTCTTGTATAGTAAAACTACTCGGATTGGCTCTCCTGGTTTACCTACCTCCTGGTGGTAGGGGAACACCTCTACTCAATCAAGCTGGTTGGGTTGGATCGAGTGGGTTTTCTACGTTGAAGGAATCAAGCTCTCAGGAGTCCAGAACGTCTTTTTGCTATTTTTGTACACGTTACAGCGAAGTAGCAGAGAGTGAGGGTGAGCTTTTTGCAAAAAGGTCGCAGTTTCGAATCCGGTTGTTGGACTCTGCACAAGAAGAAATGGTCGTGTGAGGTGTATGTGGAGAGTGGAGCCATTTTCAAAGTGATGTCAAAGTGAAGGTACAAACTGAAAATTAAGAGGATATCTTGGCAACTAAAGACTTGACACACAAGTGCTTCTATTAGAATCCTCTAACTTTTCTCTCCTGCGTCAACTCCCTACAACTATTCTCCCTTTCGAACAGGTCGTCATGTCTGAAAACGCACCAATCAGCCATCAAGTCTCTGTTGCCCTTCGATCTATCCGAAGTGGTAACTATACGTATGCGTTCGACATATGCAAGTAAGTAAAACATGTACGATACCCGACCTTTGAGCATGATCTAACCTGTCTCATAGCTCGCTGCAATGGGGTATGGGCTTGAGTAGATTCACTCGAGCACGCTGCCTCTTTATCCTGCTCCTCCTGGCTCCTCTGTTTCCAGTCAGAGTGCCAGATCCTATAGAGCTAGCGGATCGATTGTATCACGAGCTCATCAACATCAAGAAACACGAGCGTGGCCGGCGAAATGAGGTCGTCAGCTTTATGAAGAACCACGTCATCCTGGTGATAGGAATAGGGGGCATTCTGATACAATGTGTGATGAAGACAATATCAAAAGGTGGGCTAGAAAGATTGAGCCTGGAGCTAGTGCTGAGAAGAAAGCGAAGGTGAAGGCGATGAAGGAAGTCAAAGGAAAGAATGAGGATGATTCGCACCAGACAGAAGCAGACCAGGAACAGATTCCAGTACCAAGTAAAGACGATCGGAGAGATTCAGTCTCAGATGATGAAGGTGTGAAGCTTGGCCTTGGTGACGATCTGCCAGTACCTGATGAGGACGAGAAGACATTGGCAGGACTACGCGAGAAAGGCTCGCTGAACTAGAGCAGGAGTATGGTAGGGACAAGGATAGATGGGCATACTCTCGGATACAGGAGGAACTTTCGATTAGCAGAAATTGTCACAACTCCTGAGGAGTGGTCAGTGACACTGTGTTATGCAATACTCTGCGTCTGTAAAGTTCTGATTGATTTGGCCCTCATTAAATCATTCCTAAATACAGAGACGTAAATCAGACTTGACAGCCAACAGTATTGTGTTGGTTCTTATGTCCTCGCCACCAACGCCATGCTAGAAAATAACCAAGACACATGTCAAAAGCATAGTCGTAACGACGATCATACAACAGATCTCATAGATTCCCTCGTACGTGGTCGTAAAGCTTTGAGAAGACAACTCTCCCACCAGTTTCTTACAGCCAGTACAGCATCAGCTCCGTCATCACCTCTCTCTGTGCCATCTGGATTGCCCATAATATAGGTGAACACCCAGAATGCACCGGTCACCCATGACGCCACGGCAACGCCTATGCTGATGATTGGTGAAATGGTGTGAACAAGTATTAGCATTCCAGGCCGAAAATCCCACTCGTGTGCGTCGTCGACTGATGGTGCATACATCATTTCGAGGTGATGCTTGAACAGAGGTGCCACCGTTCTAATGATCTGGTCGCCAAAGGACCTCTGCTGGTGTAGAAGTCGAACAGGCGTTGCCAGAAGCAGACCAAGAGTGACGAAACAGGTGAACAGGCAACTAGCGATGGAGTGGAAGGGATCAAGGATTGACAACCAGAACTGTTCAAAATGTTAGCAAGAGTATTGCAAGAGGAGAGTAACAAATGCTTACCAGGACCCACATAGCATGATCATCCTCAACCTCTTCGTCATCCTCTTCTTCAAGCTGCCTACGCTCGCGAACATAGGCAAGCGCGGGGGAACTCGTCTGTGTCATCTCTGACTGTTTGTAAAATGTATTTCTTCTTGGACCAGAATGTGCATGCCATTGCATTGATCTTGTGGGAACGAACGGACCGCTATTGCCATTGACCAATGTCTCTTCGAGAGTATGAGAGCGCCACTGTGAGCTGGGCGAATGTATGTGATTCTGTGTCTTTTGGTATGAGAGGTCCGACGAGCCGGATGCTGTCGACACCGAACTCTGTACTCTTGCGTCCTCAGTCCTGTATCCCCCAGAGAACCGTCTGTCGCTGTTGAGGTGGGCAGCGGACGGGCGCTGGACCCCTGGTATGGGAGGATAGTAATAGTTCTGACGATCATGTGCTTCGGGCCTGGCATGCAGAGGAGCGGCGCTTGCGCAGGATAGATGTCTTTGATTCATCTCGGCGTGTTATCACCACCTCTTCCTAGAAACGTCATACAGCTGTCGTTACTAGCAAGCAACTATTGCAATCGTCTCCGGTCGACTTTTTGAGGATTGTTTGCACAGCAGATGATTGCCATGGTAAGAAAGGAAGTCTGGGGCATTATAACGGAAGCACGACTGAACACAAGAAGCCCTGCTCTGAGCAGTCTTGTCTTGTCCAGTGCTCGATAGGTTCAGCCAAGCTTCCAAGGAACTGCCAATGCTTGGCCTCTTAGCACCGCGTATGCAATGCCATGAAATCTCTGTTGTCCCATGGCTCTTCTAGCTTTGGTGAAACTTCATTTAGTAGGAAGATCGTTTTATGTTGACTTTGCTGCATTGCAATGTAGCAACACGAGAAGATTGTCTCAATCATCAGGTGTTGATTCTCACACCAGTCATGGCATAGATATTCTTGGCAAAGCAATCGCGACTGGACCACAAGCCTTGGCGAGGCCTGGCATGCGCCCTTTGGTTGTTTCGGCTTGCTTGTGGCTCAAAGCACAGAGCTGGGCAAGTCCTTATGCGGCGGAGACTTCTCTTGCAGAAGCCTCCTGCCCTGCGAGTGTCGCTGACTCGCTGCAGTGTGCTGAGATCGTTCATCTGACATGAACATGAGCATGTGGTCTCTCGCAGGACAATGGTTCAAGATCGGCGTCATTGGTCCTTGAAGAAATGCTTTTCCGACGGCTTGCCTAGTGATGATCTGCATTTAGCTGCTCTTATTTGCCCTCCCACACGGATATAATGGAGCCCTCTGCTCTTGGAGCAAAACAACAATCACTAATAGGAGCCTTGCATCATCTGTTTTTGCTTCCGTACCAAGCACACGACAGACAATTCAGAGCAAGTACCATCGGCTTCAAGCAAAATCGCTTTATGAGAAGCTTGGCAGCACAGGCCGCTTTCCTACTTCTACAACAGCAGTGTCACGCTCATGTTATGAAAATGCCCACACCTGAGATGTCTGACTGTGCTGACGATGACCCACGGATAGCAGCGGAGACCAAGACCTTCGACCACTTGGCGACGTGTTTAGAAGTAATTTGTGCATGTTGCCTTTGCAAAAAGCAGAGGATCAGTAGCAAGTGTAGGAATCTCGATTTCGGGGAACATGTCTGTGTTTGTAGCAGTGCTAGGTATTCATCGATCCCCAGCAGTGTATAGCAGGATCTGCCAATATCAGACAGGTTTGCGTGAGAAAGACACTTCGTGACTGGATCTGACGCGTATTCAAGATGGTCACGAGGTCAAAATCCGACTCAGCGACTCAGCAATATTTAATATGCCTACAGCAAAATCAGGTTCCATGACTTAATCTCCGCAACAGGCTACAGAGATATTCCGAATTGGTACTTGTTATATTCATACGTAGTGCTCAGATGAGGTACGTATATACCATAGTTTTGCCGTTATGGTTTTCGACAGAATAACAATATGTCGATCATGCCATGTCAGTCTTGATATCTGTTGCTGCTAGGATCTGTGGGCATGTAACATCTGGTCATTTTGTGATTCATTAAGACTACCCCAAGGCGTCGACTTGTGAAAGAAGTAGCATCTATACAGACCGCGTCTGTTTGAGAGATCACTCGAGTTTGCAACATCCCTATCGGGTCAAGTTATAGAGTTACCACGAAGTATTTCGACGAAGCAAGTATGCCATAGCACTTATATCGAGACAACGGCTACAGCACTTGGTTATGTCTTGCTTTGAATTTTCAGTTATGGCCATCCTAATTAGTGGTATGATAAAGCACAGCACGGCATATTACATGCATCGACAACACTTGTAATGTTCGGACCACTTCTTCCTCTATCCAAGAACAAGGGTAAGCAAACTCAAACAGGCGGTCAACGCTTGGCCACGCTTCCGAAGTCATACAGGTAGTACCAAGCCACGCGAGAGACCAACAGCTGGTAGCACAGCATGAACGACTTATTGATGTTGCACACAAAGCGTCAATGTGTCACGCAGACATTAGCGTCATGCCACGACTTACAGCATTTACATACCAAGGCTTGAGTATCGCACAACTGAAGCGAGGTCAGGACCAGTATCTTTGTCGCTTGCCTGCACGACACTGTACGGCCTCTAGCATTCGTTGCTGGTCGTGTGCGACGGAGCATTGTACAATGTGACATCACCTCTCTCGTTCTCCGGTACCCGATGTCCTCTTGGATGCATTGAAGTCGTACGTGGTTGATCGGTTTTCACAGCACTTCCGTGTCACAGGCTGTGGGCTCTAATGCCAATAATCGGATTTATGGTTCAGCAAGGTGAGATACATATTTTCACTCTGTTTCAGAAGTCTTGCCATACTGACGATTGTCATCTGCTGCTATTGTCATTCTCGGTAGCTTAGACGCATACAACTCACCGAGGGATGCCCACTTTAATGACAATCACGAATATCCTCTGGAGGATTCAAGGCCCAGCTCATGCATGTCACGTAGCGAATACCAGATCATCTGTCTTTGTCTGAATTGGGTGAGAAAATTTTGATTGACGGAGCGTTCATAGAGTATATAAGCGGCGAGAATATTGGAGTCCAAGTCTGATGACTTCGCAGGAGGTCTCAGATGGGAACGCAATAAAGTTCCGAAGACGAAATGACATAAAAGTTGAGCCTCTGAAGTGGGGTGGCCCATGTTATGCAGCACTGCATGACAAAGCTGTAGCATTCTTTCGGTACCTTTGTGCTATATATATGGTGCAAGCAGAGGTGCAAGCAGAAGTACAAGGCCCTGGTCCGGCATTAATCATAGAGATGGTTATTCTGTCTCATGGTCGATGTCGTGTGACAATAGCACAATCTGTTCACACCCGAATTTTGTGGTGCCTGTGCAAAGAATTTGTAGCAGTTCAGTAGCGAAGAGATGCGCTTTCTCAACAGCGTGAGGCCTCGGCTGATGTTAGGGTTGGTGAATGAGTTTGGGTAACGGCATTCTGGCTCAGGGACGATGATTCCGAGGACGCTGTCAGTGGCTGCTGCGGGATGCAGAGCTTCTTTCCTTGACTGCCGGCACCCAGGTGAATGATCAACTAGGGCAGCCGTAGAACCAGGCTACAATCAGTGGATGCGACACGTCAAAATGCTTGCCCTGCAAGGGGTGATGTACAGTAGTTGAGATAGAGACAGCCATATTGAGAATGACTTCTATACAATGGTCGGAGCTTTTAGCGTAGACATGTCTATGTACGGCTAGTGTATATGCCTCTCGTAATGAACTGGAAAACGTGGAAATCGAGCCTCCACACAATCGCTATAATAACAGCGACTCGCTGGCGATATCTCCGATATCGAGAATAAACTTTGGCAATATTGTGACTTTAACCAAGAAGGTGATCGTCTTTCCACGCTCATCAATAGCCTATCTTGATCGAGCCACCACGCTGGTAACGGACACTCCTATTTAGCTTTTGACCTACACACCCGCATGTCCGCTCATTCGGAGCAAATTTGACGTTGCAGAATTGCATCTTTGCCTAAGCGGAGGGGAAAGCATAGTGGTATACAAAACATGGCTTGCGGCATGTTGTAGTTCAAGAAGTCTTCTCGCAGTAGATAGTAGACAAATGCCTTCTGAAACGTGCTCGTCACTGGTTACGGCATCTTTAGAAGGTGTGAAAATGCAAGTAAAGGCAGCTGGTTATTGCTTATGTAGTCCTATGGCTGATACGTGGGTTATAACGTTTTCTACGACATGTCATCCACGACAAGGCTAAAGCAATTGTGGTAAACATGAAAGATCAGTTCAAAGAAGAATCCGAAAAATGGGGCACACCAATGCTCAAATCGAAGTCTTGATCAACATTCAGAGGAGATGACGAGGGAGTAAGCCGGGTACAGGATTGGCTGGAGTCTTGTGGAAGCGAGACTGACAGTGGATAGATGGCTTGAGTGATCCTGGTCAAATGACAGGCCATGTTCAAAAGCGAGGGATGAGCGCACAAGGACAAAATGAGGATACACGTAGTGGAGACGTTTCCGCGGGCAGAACTTTAACAGGAGGCGCACCCAGAAACAGCATGTTGGGGCATTTCATGGGTATAGCCGACGACAGAAAAGCCAGAATTGGGCGCTAAATGCACGAGCGAAGTGACTATGTTTTGTTGTTTAATTTCTTCCTTCTAATGCACGTGACGGTATGACTCGAGGAGATGAAGAATAGACGATGGAGTTCTGGTGGGCAAGTAGTTCCTAGGATATTTGGCATGAAACGTGCCCTAAAAGAAGCCCCTGCACCACTTTGAGCTAGGAGTACGGCACAACTGGGAAGTCGCTGGAGAAAAGGTTTGGGGGGGAATAGCCTGAGATTCAGTGGGTCGAAGCATGACCTAAGCGTGATGGAATCCTTTTCTTTCGCAGATTAAGCTCTGAGCCACGGTTCATGGCATCATCACTCCAGAGCCGTTTAGCTCCGAGCCAGATGCCAGGATCTGAATGGCTCCAAGCCACCAGAGGCCACCCCAAGCATTTTTGGGCTTGATTGACATTGGCACTTGTGGATCCCGTGCGCGTGTTTGAGTATTCGACAACCAGTCCGCCCACAGGTCCGTGCGCAGGTTCCGACTGCCTCCTCAAAGCGCATGCAAGTGCCTGGATCGCCTAACAGCTAAGGTGGATCCACCCGCCAGCGTCAACCATCACCTTGAAGTCCACTCCGGCAGCACGCTTGATTGAGATCGCGCACCACCTGCTGCAATTGAAGTCCTTACCACTAGCGCCTTTTCCATGGCCTCATGGGCATTCCCCAAGCATTCTCTCACGCTCGTTTTCTGCCTCTCCGTCTTCTATTCTGCTAATGCCCTGTGGTTCATTACTACCATTCTTACTTGCATTTGCTGTAGCAACACTTTTGAGCTATTACTTTTGATGAGGCTTTCCGACTGCCTCTATCTGCCTTGGTGACCACTTGTTCGGCTGTCATCATTCTGTCTCAGCCAAAGTCACATCGTCCTATCGTCACCGTCGCGGAAGCTCTCTCCTGTCAACGTCAGCGCTTCGGTTCATCTTCAGTCCGCCGGAAGAGATCGTCAAGCAAAGTCGATTGATCTCTCCGGCCTATCGTCGTCTACCTCACTGTGCTCGACTCGATAAACAAGCATGGCCATGCAGCATGCAGGGCATTTCGCCCAGATCAATGGAGCAGGACCTGTCGACGCTCATGTACAGCGACAGAGAATGCTTACTCAATTGAATGAGACAACCTGGCAGCGTATTGGTACGTGTCTGTCACAATTTGTCGCGCTGCAAACCTAACAGGTTGACAGGTAACTTGAATGAGATCACTGGCGATCTAGAAGGAGCTTTGTTCTCCTATCAACAAGCACTGCGACATAACGCTTGGTCCGTACCATCGTTAACGGCCGTGTCGCAGATTTTGAGGACACAAGAAAAATTCCCGGAGGCGCAGGAATACCTCAAGAACGTGCTCAAGATTGACCCGCAGAATGGTGAAGCTTTAGGTAACCTCGGGCACTGTCATCTAATGATGGACAATCTTCAAGAGGCATACTCAGCCTATCAGCAGGCTCTTTACTATCTGCCAGATCCGAAAGAACCCAAGCTCTGGTATGGCATTGGTATTCTATACGATCGTTATGGTAGTCTTGAGCATGCAGAGGAAGCATTTTCACAGGTCATGCGTATGGAACCTTCCTTCGAGAAGGCAAATGAAATCTATTTTCGACTGGGCATAATATACAAACAGCAACAAAAGTTCGCGCAGAGTTTAGAATGTTTCAAGTACATCGTCAGCGATCCACCAAAGCCTCTGAATGAGGAGGATATTTGGTTTCAGATCGGACATGTGCACGAGCAGCAGAAGGATTATGAGAGTGCCAAGACAGCATACCGTCGCGTTCTTGATCGAAATCCAAAACATGCAAAAGTTCTGCAGCAACTTGGTTGGCTGCATCATCAGCAGAGCAACAGCTACCAGAGTCAAGATCATGCCATCGAGTACCTCGAACAATCTGTTGGCTCCGACAATTCCGATGCCCAGAGTTGGTACCTGCTTGGCAGGTGCTACATGGCACAGCAAAAGTTTCCAAAAGCGTATGAAGCATATCAACAGGCCGTCTATCGGGACGGACGCAACCCGACCTTTTGGTGCAGCATAGGAGTTCTCTACTACCAGATCAACCAATATAGGGATGCCCTTGATGCTTACTCTAGAGCCATCAGGTTGAACCCGTACATATCAGAGGTCTGGTATGATCTTGGTACTCTCTACGAGTCGTGTAACAACCAGACTTCGGATGCTTTAGATGCATACCAGCGTGCTGCAGAGCTTGACCCAGCGAACACTCATATCAAAGCAAGGCTAAACTTATTACGAAATGGCGGCACTGCTGGCGGCTCGAATCAACCCGTCCCACAAGATGTGCATCCTCAAGCATATCAGAATACTGTTGGTGTGCCACCTGGAGTATCGTGGGGTGGACAAGGTGGACATGCACAGCAACCTCCTGGCCAGCTACCAGTAGACCCTGCACGAGTGAGTGAGTGGCAGCGGGGTGTAGCTGGCTTGCACAACCCACCTCCACCTCAAGCCCTGCCTCAACCACAGAATGGCGCTTTTGAGAGTTTAGACATCAATCGATTGCCTCCAAGAGCTCAATCGCCTCCAAGAGAGCCCCTACGTCTGTACCATGATGCTGCTCGACAAAGCCAAGCACAAAAGCGAGGTACGCCGTCACCGAAGATGCAATCAGGTTTATCGGGAATGTTTCCTCCTGGCCCACAAACACTTCCTCAAATCAATAATCCTCAAGAGAGGACTCCGCATCTCGGTCCTGCTCCCAGACCATCACCATCTATGAACGGCCTTCCGCAATCCTTGCAAGCGGGCTCGTCTGGACCACCGCAGTCTAGTGGACTGCCTCCATATGGTCGAGCTTATAGCCCACCTCAAGAACTCCGTCCGATGCGTGATGAGAGACCACCTTCGTCTAATTCTAGTTATCATCACCCACCACTACCTCCAGCTCCCTCCTTTCAAAACGTAAACAGTGGGCCTGCTCCAATTAGTCAAACCTCTTCTGTGGCCGAACCACCTCGTGCTGATCGTGGCGATGAGAGACCACCTTCGTCCATGAAGAGGCAAAGGGAGTGGGAACAGGAGTCACATGCTGTTGTCAAGAAGCCCGCTAATGAGGACACACGAGCACGACTTGACGAATTTCCATCTAGAAGGTACAGCCCACCGAATAGAACGGAGACACCTCGCGATCATTACAGGCGCAGCTCATCGGAACTCCGTCGAGAACAGGAACAGAGACGTGCGGATGCAAATTACCATCCATCTGAAGCTGCACATCATCCATATAGTCTACAGCCTCAAGTTGCGCCACCAGGTGCACAACAGCCACAAAGTATACCGTCGATGCACTCTATTCTTGACATGTCGAAGAAGGATGAGCCTCGCAAGGAGATCAACGAACCTGCTGCTCGCAAGGTTGATGTTGACGAAGATTACGACAATAACAGTGAGGACGATAAGAGGAAGGCAAGCCCGAACGGATCAGTTATCACGAAGCAAGAACCTCAGAGTGCTCACTAGTGGGGCAGTCCAGATTCTGAAGTTCTAAAGGGCTGAATTTGAACCTATGAGGGCCGGATGCATGTATTGGGTACTATCGACAACGACGCCTGCAGCGTCGGGTGCACCACATGTGCCACGATGTCGGGCCCCTTGATTCCTCAATGCAAGTATGGCGGACGATATGACTGTTGGAGTAGCCGTCGTGGACTTTGTCAGCATGGCATGAAGGGAAGCTTGGTCTGCTGGTCAAAATTTGGCACATCATAACTCCTTCTGATCCAGAGTCTCAATATTGATTGTTAGAATCGAGTAGAATGTTTGTCGCTCTACGAAGCATTCTATAGTCTATACAAACTTATCGTTTCAAGAACAAAGTCGTTACAGAACACATATTACGTGATCATGACTGCGGTGGTTTCAGCTTGTCCTTCCATTCCTTCGAGCATTTATTCTCTTTTTGCCTGCAAAATGTCAGTTCGTCTCCAGTCGTGTAGCAGTTCTGGTGAGTTGCCGATGGACGTGTGTCTGTCAATTTAGCTTGAGGCATTTTCTTTCTCCCTGCAACGACTTTGAACAACGAAGCGACAAAAACCGGGCTAATAATCTTGGCATTTGAATGTGCGATGGCTTGGCAGCAGTTTCTGTCCGAACTGCGAATTTCGTATCTCGTTGCACCTCTTGATTTGCACTTCTTGCGCATCTTGACAAGTATCTCTGCCAGCGTCTGATATATTTCGATATGTAAGAGATCAAAAGCACGAACATTCAAAGTGTATGTCTAATATCGATATAGGTCTCACAGAAAGTTCGAAGCGCCGCGACACGGTAAATATCACAGCCATAACCTCTCGCTTGTCAAAAACATCTGCTAACCTTTGCGCAGGTTCGCTGGCTTTCCTCCCACGGAAGAGAGCAGCAAGACATAGAGGCAAAGTAAAGAGGTTGGTTATCTAGTGTCATGTGCTCATATGAGCCGAAGCTGAACGTTACCGTAGCTTCCCTAAGGATGACCCAAAGAAACCAGTCCACCTTACCGCAGCCATGGGCTACAAAGCCGGTATGACCACCATCGTCCGAGATCTCGACCGACCAGGTGCCAAGATGCACAAGAAGGAGATTGTCGAGGCTGTTACAGTCGTCGAGACGCCACCAGTAAGAAAGAGTTGTGCTGGAAAGAAAACCAGATGTGCTGATGATCTTACAGATGATCGTTGTTGGTCTCGTTGGTTACGTTGAGACTCCACGAGGCCTCCGATCCCTCACCACCGTCTGGGCCGACCACCTTAGCGACGAACTCCGCCGACGATTCTACAAGAACTGGTACAAGTCGAAGAAGAAGGCTTTCACCAAGTACGCCAAGAAGCACGCTGAGAAGGGCGCCTCTACTTCCCGAGAAGTCGAACGAATCAAGAAATACTGCCAGGTCGTCCGAGTACTCGCTCACACTCAGATCTCAAAGACTCCTCTTACACAAAAGAAGGCGCACTTGATGGAAATCCAGGTCAATGGTGGCAGCACTGCTGACAAAGTTGACTTCGGGTACGGTCTATTCGAGAAGCCAGTATCCATCGACACCATCTTCGAGCAAGATGAGATGATCGATGCTATTGCTGTTACCAAAGGTCACGGTTTCACAGGTGTCACATCGCGATGGGGTACCAAGAAGCTCCCACGAAAGACGCACAAAGGTCTCCGAAAGGTTGCTTGCATTGGTGCATGGCATCCTTCCCACGTCCAGTGGACTGTTGCTCGTGCCGGTCAGGACGGTTACCACCACAGAACATCTTGCAACCACAAGGTTTACAGAATTGGCAAAGGCTCAGATGAGAAGAACGCCGCCACTGACTACGATGTCGTCAACAAGACCATCACACCGTATGTTCAACATCTCCGTTGTAAACATGTCTTTGCTAACATCTCTCCAGAATGGGTGGTTTCGTCCGATACGGTGAGGTCAAGAACGACTTCGTACTCCTCAAGGGCTCAGTCCCAGGTGTCAAGAAGCGAGTCATCACCCTCCGAAAGTCTATGTACACACACACTTCCCGCAAAGCCCTCGAAAAGGTCGAGCTCAAATGGATCGACACCTCGTCCAAGTTCGGCCACGGTGCTTACCAGACTCCACAAGAGAAGAAGCAATTCTTGGGTACGCTCAAGAAGGACCTCGTTGCTTCTTCGTAGGTTTGCGCGTATGTTATGGAAGTTTTTGCAAGTCTTTCCTGTCATGTAAATTAGGAAGAGCATGTGGAAACGACAACGGTATGAGATTTCTTCTCAACCTTGGTTCATGACGGCGTGTTAGAAAGTCGTTCTTCGAAATGGCAGCGAGTTTCTCGCATGCCAACAAAATCGAAAGTGACAATGCGAAATCAATTTCTCCCATATACGTTCTTTTCTGCCATGAACTACTAGTATCCAGGGACTTGAAAGTTCTGAGGACTTGTCTCAAAGCAACGAATCGTTTGTTTACGCAAAATATAAGTGCAACTTAGAATTGCCTGCCGGTGCGATCGATGGTGATGCGATTAGTGCTTACCTTGCATTTTTGCCTTCAGCTCATTGCGACTTGTATGAAGGTTTGGCTATGAATGACTGTGTATTGTATATGCCACCCTATGCGCAATGTCGCTGCTCTGGAGGAGCCGTCTTGCCTTGCACCGAGTCTACACGAATATATTACCTGCTAGAATCTGAGATATTTCTCATCGTCAGAACTATCGTCGTCACCCTCGTTGTTGACATTCACATGGGTTGCCTCAAGACCGTTGTCACCTACTTCACTTCCATGTTCACCACAAAACTGCTCTCTTAACTCCTTCGGCAATGCTGACCAGCCCGTGCTTTCGGTCCAAATCTCTAGTGGTCCTGCACCTATTCGTCGTACTTCGAAACGACCATGGACACTTGAGAGGTCGACGATTTTGCGATACATTTTTCCCAACCTGGACAGCACGTCCACGTTTTGTGCTTCCCATGCCTTGACATCGTCTCTCACATCCTTGATATGAATTTCATCGAGCTGGAATTTGCCCCACTTATGGAAAGCGAGCACAAAGTTTGGCGTTTGGTTGGCCCACAAACGAGGGAGGAATTCTTTGGTGGAGGCTCCAAGACGTTCTTTCTGATTGATCGAACGTGTCTTCAGATCGAAGATTGCTTGCTGAGGAATTACGTCGCCAGCATCTTCGATCACCAAAGGACCGATACTCGTCAACGGCAGCAGACCCAGGCCAAGCGAAGAGAGTCCGCCGTTCAGAAGCGACTCGTCTTGTCTTACTGGCCGTAATGTTTCATGGCTTGCTTCCAGCTTGTCTGGTAGGTAACCATCTGACTCAGATCTGATCATGCAAGACAAACCAGCAAAATTGTACTTGATGATTCGCTGGTAAGATGCTGAAGCTCTCACGTCCGACTCCCATATGGTATATGCTTCTGGGAAAGTATGACCGTACCCACGAACATCTTCAATGATCTCGCCAGGAGTGTTAGTCTTCCTGACCAGAAACGTCGTACTACCTACACGGTCGACACCGAATCGAAAGGTGCGTTCCTCATTTCTCACAAAGGACAGAAGACTGCCGAAAGTGCTGCCACATCCGAAGATGTCAATCGTGGAGAACGCAAAGTCGGTGTGCTGATGAAGTACCGCTCGAACCGCTGGCTCAGTAGGATATTTGTGGTGTCTAGCACTGTTGGGGTCACGATAGTAAACGTCGCTGTCTTCATGTAGGTTTTGAGGTTGTGATGGTGGTGTCCATCTTGGAGGCTTGCCTTTGTTCCAGTAAGAATCAGTAGCTATCTCAGGCAAGAGCTATGGGGGTGTGACAGAGCGCTGAGCTTATTTTTGGGGTTGGGCCCAGCACTTGCCAAGCCGAATGCTTACCTGGAACTAAAATCGTAGGAGCTTTGAGCCCATCGGTCAAGTCGTAAGAAGCAACATACTCAACACCGTTAATCTTAGCTACCAAATCATCTTTAATTTTCTCAGGAACGGTGATGTCTTCGATCTTCCGTTGCGTCAATCCTGGTACAGGTAGTGGTGCGGAATGTCGTGATTGCAAGTGGAAGCCGCCGCGATGACCTCCACGTCTCGTCCTTGGGTACGTTCTCGAAGCCATGCCTAGTCTCTCGCGAACTTAGGGCAGACTTTTGAGCTTTCAAAAGTCAGGAACTTCAAAACATATTCAACTCGGTGTCCAGCCTTTTTAACAGGCTCTATCAAACACTGTCCACGCCCCATGTCTGCTTGTTCGGCTGAAACAGTAACCTGCAAGGACCCTGTACTAGTGGATCAAAAGGACCAGCGCTTTGCTGTCAATGCGTCTGTCCGCTGACTCTTTGCCATTGGACCATAGAAGCAATGCACATGCAATTCGAGCATTATCGGTCATGCACTCAACGACCGCATAGTGCCTTGTGCATGACAGAGGTGTCAAGTCATGGCCGCAAAGATGGTGGATGTCACTGGCTAGGCTGAAGAGCAATACCAAATCACCACGATAGACCAGTTGCTATGTACCAAGCGGCTTGCTCTGCAGCAAGATCCACATTTAAGACCAGACAAAGAACTATGGACTGATGTTCAATATCCCACTCATGCCTGCTACACTCCAGGTCATTAGTAGCCGCTGGAACCTCGCCTGCTTTTCTTTTGCTGAAAGAGGATATGTCAGTATTTGTTGAAATCTCCTTCCCAAGCACTTTCTTCAACCTGTAACTGATTGGTGCAGTCTTTGATTATTTAACAGTATGGACGACCGAAGAAGAAAGAGATTGTATTCTCTTTTTATGCAAGTGCTCGAAGGCAAGCAACTTGTCGTTCTGCCTGAGCGAGCAAAGCACTTTCTGGAAGCCGTTTGCTCTCTTGACGACAGCGTATCTTGCATCTCTCGTCTTCTCGGCTCAGAAAAGGGTTTACCTGCGTTACAACAAGCACTTCGAGTTGACCATACTGCTACTGCTTTCAATACGTTCGTTCAAGATTTTCTGACATACTTGCAAAGTCCAGAGCTCTCAACGACTTGTGGAGGCGATCTACTACGAACTGTTGTTCAGCATTTGGTCGATCCGCCTGTATTCTGGAACCAATTCATTCATCATGTGGAGGGCCAAAGACTATCAATACCCGCTTTGCAGTCTTTCCTATGGCTGCTTCTTCAGCTCATATCTCACCCGAACGCAGATGTAGAACCCTACCTTCAGGTAGCTACGCAACCTCTTGTGCAGCGTGTTTTGCAGTCCACCACAGACCCTGCTGTACGCAATCTTCATCAGAAGATAATGCATATTACGGCTACTCTCAGCAGTTCCCGACGAGTCACATTGAATGGCCCAGGAGGCCGCCACGACAATGACTTTGAAGACTTTCGTCGAATCGCAATTGTACCAACAGTGGACGAACTTTTCTCGTCCGAACATCCGTTCTTACGCTTCGCTGCAGAAATTGACGGTCTTGGGGACGACGAAAAGCTCGCCACCCACCTCGACAATCAGTTTCGACTATTGCGCGAAGATATGCTACGAGATCTGCGTGAGGAATTGACTGGCAAGACAAAACGTCGAGGTCAACGCATCGACGGACTCCAGGTTCTAGGATCCGTTTGTGAAGACAAGAACAAATGGGCGGTTGTCTTTAAGTGCTCCGAGGAGCTGAAATTTCTGCCTAAAGAAGACCCAAAAGACCCCCAAAAACGTCTTCGCTTCTTACAAACGCACAAGAAGATCCTGCCGCACGGATCTTTAGTCTGTATCCTTGGTGATGGCAAACTAGTAGGATTGGGTGAGCTATGGAGAAAAGAGCAAGAGATGGCTGATTCAAATCCGCGTTTGTATGTCCACCTTACAGGCAACAAATCCTCCACTCAGCACACTCTGAAAGCACTCCATGGTCATGGCCTAGTGCAATTGATACAACTAAACACGGCGCTGTTTGCTTACGATCCCATCCTTAGACAACTTCAGAACACCCGACTTCTGCCAATAGCAGACCACATACTCACATGGCATTCTGGTCAGCCGACTCTCAACATTGCCCAGTCAAGCCGAATTCAAAATCTGGTCAGTAAAATCGAATTGGAGAAAAGTATGGACTTGCAGACAGAGCTATCGTTACCTAAGTCGACACGATTGGACTTGAATCAGGCTCAGAGTCTCATTACAGGCTTGACTCAGGAAGTCGCTCTTATTCAAGGTCCACCAGGTACTGGAAAAAGCTTCATTGGGGCACTGTTAGCCAAGGCATTATACAACCTTTCTGACGTTCGGATCTTGGTTCTTTCCTACACGAACCACGCTCTCGACCAGTACCTGGAGGATCTGATGGACGTGGGCATATCCGAGCGGAGCATTGTCCGTCTAGGGAGCTCCGCCAAAGCAAGCATCAGGACGAAGCCGCTCAGTCTCTTTGAACAGATTAAAGCAAGCACAGACTATAAAATGACCCGCACGGATTGGGAACTCATTGATTCTCGCAAGTCAACGGCGACTTCCGCCGGCATCGAGTTATCAAAAGCCTTCACAGAATTCATACAGTCATCTGTTACTAGGCCTGATCTCTTCGAGTATCTGGAGTTCTCTTCCGATTTCTCTGCCTATTTTGAAGCTTTCCAGGTACCTCAGCAGTTAGAAGGTTTCACGATTGTTGATGAGAAGAGCAAGAGTATTGACAAATATTATCTTATGTTTCGTTGCATGCGTGGTAGAGACGCTGGTGTCCTCCAAGAACATATCTCGGACCCAAAAGGTATATGGGACATGAAGATCGAGGAGCGTGACAGAGTCAGACAAGCATGGTTCGATGACATCAGAGGAGAGCGAGCAAGACGCGTTACTGAGTATGGTTGCGAGTATGATGCCACAGTTGCACAGATACAAGTGATGATGGGAGAAAAAGGACGACGCCTACTGCGAGACCGTCGGGTAATCGGGTGTACAACGACAGCTGCAGCAAAGTATGTGAAGGACATCCAGTCTGCCCAACCTGACGTTGTCATTGTGGAGGAAGCAGGCGAAATCTTGGAAGGTCACGTCCTTGCAGCCCTAGGTCCTGCAACAAAGCAATTGGTCCTGATCGGAGATCACAAGCAGTTACGCCCGAAGGCTCATTTCGACCTGAGTGTCGAGAAAGGCAAAGGTTACGACTTGAACAAATCTATGTTCGAGAGATTGGTACTGAAAGGCTATCCACATCAAATCCTGTCTCGACAACATCGCATGAGACCTGAGATCTCTGCCATTGTCAGAGCTCTTACGTATCCTGACCTGATCGATGCTGAGAGCACTCTGATCCGACCCCATATACGCGGATTTCAGGATAGCCTGATCTTTGTGGATCACGATGTTCCTGAGAACGAGCACAGTGATGCATATGACCCTAGGGAGGGTAGTGCAACTTTGACTAAAAGGAACGACTTTGAGGCAGCCTTGACCCTGAAATGCGTCAAGTACATCGCACAGCAAGGCTATGGCAGTGATCAGATCGTAGTCTTGACGCCTTATCTTGGTCAGCTCCGTTTACTATATGATGTCTTGCAGATAGACAACGACCCTGTCCTCAACGATCTCGACTCATTCGACTTGATCAGAGCAGGGCTTATGCCACAAGCCACTGCAAGCATGAATCAGAGACGGCTACGCATATCGACGATCGATAATTACCAAGGTGAAGAGAGTGATATTGTGGTGGTATCCCTCACTCGTAGTAACAAACACGGTGACATTGGCTTCCTTAGCTCGCCAGAGCGCCTCAACGTTCTCGTCTCGCGCGCTCGAGATGGACTTATCATCATAGGGGATTCTGCGACGTTCTTGCAAGCTCGAAATGCGGCAGGTCGAGAGTTATGGACGAGCTTCTTTTCTCTTCTGAAAAAGGGATCGCATATCTACCATGGTGTTCCTGTACGGTGTGAACGACATCGTGATCAAGGAACACTTATCATTAAGCCAGAAGATTTCGATCACAGCTGTCCAGATGGCGGATGTGCATCCCCATGTGATGCTATACTGAGTTGCGGCAAGCACAAATGTCCTCAGAAGTGCCACCAGCTCTATGATCATTCGAAGATGAAATGCGCTTACATCATGGCAGACAAGTGCAGTGAGGGTCATAAACTGACATGGAAATGTTCAAACAATCGTCCTCTGTTATGTCAGACTTGCGAGGCTAAGAAGAAACGTGACGTCAAGAGATTGCAGCAAGAACATGAGCGGCGAGAGACAGAGCTGCTGGCACAGCAAAATCACGAAGCTAGGATTATCACGATCGAAGAGCAGATTGAAGCTGAGCGACAACGAATACAGGGTATTCAGCTCAAATACGATCGTGATAAGGCTTATGAACAAAAGAAGCTCGATTTAGCCAAGGCAAAAGAACTCTCGGAATGTCCAACTATGCTGAAACCGCAGCGTCAGCCCCGTGGTCCAACACCAGGCACATCGGCAGGCTTCAACAGAGTACCAGAGACATCTCAGCGATCAGCGAACACTCATTGTAAACAGAGTCTTATGGAAAAGAAGGCATCGGCAGCTGCTAGACAATGGAAGCAAATGCAAGACCTCGAAGGTGTTACTAATGATGCCCTGGATGAGCTTATGCAGATGACAGGTCTCGAATCTGTCAAAAGCAAGTTCATCAATATTCTGGAGAAACTACAGACTACCATCAGACAAGGTACTGACCTCAAGCAAGAACGCATGGGAACCGTTATGCTTGGAAATCCAGGCACGGGCAAGACGACAGTCGCTCGCCTGTACGCGAAATTCCTGACCGAGGTTGGAGTAATTGCCGGATCAGATTTCGTGGAAACCACTGGTGCCAAACTTGCGAACGAAGGCGTCAATGCCACCATAAAGATACTGGAGGACCTGCTGAAGTCAGGTGGTGGTGCGGTTTTTATCGATGAGGCATACCAACTAGTATCAGGCAATAGTCATGGAGGAGCCGCCGTGCTTGACTACCTGCTTGCCGAGATTGAGAACACCACAGGCAAGCTCGTTTTCATCTTTGCTGGCTATGATCGACATATGGAGAAATTCTTCCAGTACAATCCTGGTTTAGCAAGTCGAATGCCACAACGCATGATATTTCTGGACTATACAGAGACGGAATTGCTATATATGCTGCAACAAAAGATCGACAAGAAGTATAAAGGACGCATGCAGGTTGAGGATGGCCCTGGTGGTCTGTACATGCGTGTCATTATTCGTCGATTACACGCAGAGAGTGGCCGCGAAGGCTTTGGAAATGCTCGATCACTCGAGAATGTCCTCAGCAAAACCACAGACGCTCAATCTGCTCGTATTACCAGAGAGCGAAGATCGGGTCTACAGCCAGATGATTTTTGGCTTAGCAAGGAAGATATCATCGGACCTGAACCTTCTGGAGCTTTAGTCAGAAGCGCTGCCTGGCAAGAACTCCAGAGTATGGTTGGACTGGACTCTGTGAAGGCCTGCGTCAAGACACTCCTTGATCGTATACAGGAAAACTACCAACGCGAATTAAAAGAGAAGAAACCCATACAAGTCAGTTTAAATCGTCTATTTCTAGGCTCTCCAGGTACTGGAAAGACCACAGTCGCGAAGCTCTATGGACAAATCCTTGCCGATATCGGTTTGCTGAGTACCTCTGAATGTGTCGTCAAGACACCAGCTGACTTCATTGGAAGTGTCATAGGAGAATCTGAGCAGAAAACCAAGGCTATCCTAGACAACACGAAAGGTAAGGTTCTTGTCCTGGATGAGGCTTATATGTTGTGCTCCGGACTTGGAAACACGTCGGTACCGGCAGATCCTTACCGAACAGCTGTTGTTGATACCATCGTCTCCGAAGTCCAGAGTACCCCTGGTGAAGATCGAGCTGTCTTGTTGCTTGGCTATGATGAGCAAATGAGAGAGATGCTCATGAAGGTCAATCCTGGCCTCTCAAGAAGGTTTCCTGTCGACAACGCATTTATGTTCGAGGATTATGACGATGCGCAACTGCTCAGCATAATGAACCACAAATTGAAGAAACAGGATTTGAGTGCTACAGAGGAAGCAAAGCAAAGCAAACAGCCATCAAAGTCCTTTCAAAGCTTAGGCGACGACCTAATTTTGGCAATGCTGGCGAGGTCGAAAATCTTTTGTCGAGAGCCAAGGATAGCTTTGCTCGTCGTCAGCAATTTCTTGACGCCAATAAACGATCTGATGATGTGATATTCGAGCAACAAGACTTTGACCCCAATTTTGACAGAGGTGATGGTGCTATCACCAACATCAAGGAGCTGTTCGGAGACGTGGTTGGTTCTGAAGACGTTGTCTCAAAGCTGGATGGTTACGCTACCAGCTATACGAAAGCACTAGAGCTGGGCATGGAGCCTCAAGACCTGATACCATTTAACTTCGTCTTTAAAGGCCCGCCAGGTATGTATGCTCTGGCAATCGATACCGTATGCTGACTGACACGCATTATAGGTACGGGCAAGACCACTACAGCTCGCAAGATCGGCAAGGTGTTCTATGCCATGGGATTTCTGTCCTCTGATAACGTGGTCGAATGCTCTGCTAGCAACCTGATAGGCGAATACGTTGGCCAGACAGGGCCCAAGGTGATTCAAAAATTCGATGAGGCATTGGGCCAAGTACTTTTCATTGATGAGGCCTACCGATTTGGCGAAGGTCCTTTTGCCAAGGAAGCTATAGATGAGTTGGTCGATTGTCTTACGAAAGAACGCTATAAGTCCAGAATGATTGTGGTCTTGGCTGGTTACGAAGCTGAAATCAATCATTTGCTAGGTGTCAATCCTGGCCTCTCCAGCCGCTTTCCAGAGGAGATCATGTTCAGCAATCTAGATCCTCGGATGTGCATTCAGCTGATAGAGAAAAACCTACGAACTAGGCTCAAGGTCCGAAACCTCCATATCGACTTGAATTCAGAATGCAAGGAGATATCAGAATCAGTGGCTATATTGGAGGACCTCAGAAATCTTTCAGGTTGGGGCAATGGACGCGACATCGAGACAATTGCTTCTCGAATTGCTAGCAAGGCTCTTCAAGATTATGACATCTCTTCCGAATGCTTGAGCATTGCCTGGCCTCATGTATTGGCTGAGCTCAGGCGTCTGCAGAATGAGCGACGTCTGCGAGATAGCGTCAAACCTGCTAGCACTAATAAGCCAGACACATTGCAACCGGTGTTGCAAAGCAAGCGGGATTTGCCTTCCTGTCTAACCTCAACTTCCACCGCGACAGCAACACGTATCTTGTTCGAGGACGAGGAAGACTGCGCCGAAGAACTCATTACAATGTCCCTCAGCGATCAGGAGGACGAGCGAGATGCTGGTGTTTCTGATGCGGTCTGGCAACAGCTTCAAGCTGATAAAGCCGCACAAGACCTTCGAGAAGCAGAAGTAGTGGCTGCACTGGCCTCAGAAGCAAAGAGAATCGAAGAGCTCAGTCGCTGGGCGGCACAAGCAATTGCAGAAGCCACCGAGGTCGCACTGAAGGCGAGTGAGGACGACGAGGCCAGGCGGCAAACGGAACTCCAGCGGATACGAGCTGCACAAGCCAAGAGAGATGCGGATGCAATCATAGCCCGGGAAGCGAAATTGAGGGAAGCACAGAGACAAGAAGCACAGGTGCAGCAGAAGCTGCGTCAGATTGGTGTCTGTTCGCAAGGATTCAAATGGATCAAGCAAACTGGTGGATATCGATGTGCCGGAGGTAGTCACTGGGTAACTGATGCACGACTCGGATTGTAAGGACGTGATTGAAGCTGCATTGGCCGGCTGGATTCCCGAAAGGACAAGTCCCATGCTTCACTAACTATTAGCTATTCCTACCTGAACGGTAACTCAAACTGTCTTAGCTGCTGGATCTGCTCCTCTTGTGGGACTCGCTGTCTGAGTGTGAGCCCGAAATGCAGTGACGAACTTGCCTGCATCTCATGGTCTTCGACCTCATCCTTCCCTTCAGCCACGTCAGACATTCGCACACCTCCGTCCTCATCTGAATCATCTCCTGTTCCCTCTTCGTGCTCCTTAGTCTCGTTGTCTTGTTGCCGCTTCCTCATCTTCGTCGCACATCTCTTTTTCTTCCTCAAATCATCACCACCTTTCCTTCTCCTATTTGGCTCAAGCTTCGCTGCCCACTTCTCCACATTCTCTTCACTTGTCAATTGTGAAGTATTCCAATAGCCAGCTAGCTCCTTGACGGCAGAGTCCTTGATGGAAGTGACACATTCTGTCGTGTGCTTGCCCTTGTTGGTTCGCACGTTGTACACAGTCCGCTGTATCTCGGCGGCAAGCCACTCTCGCGATTGGACGCGGCCAGGCAGCAAGAGGTCGAGGAGGAGGAGAACGAAGCTGCACCGCACGGCGGCGTAGTGGCTCAGTGAAATCTGAGCTGAGCGGAGTGAACTGGAAATGATTCGTGTTATTATAGGTGGTTTGTGTAGGTTTTCGTGGTTGTTGTGAATATGCATGAGTTGTGAAGGGAGGTATGCGTAAGTTGTGAATATGAGTCTTCCTCAGCCATGGTGTCGATGACGTGTTGGTTAAGGTGTAAATAATATCTTAGTGTATAGAAAAGGAAACACGCACCTGCAAGCTTCGAGCGCATCCTGGAATCTACAATCTCTAATGTGATGGAGTGCCTTTGACATCTGGCTGTTATTTCGTAAGTCGTTAGACATATTGCCTCATGAAGCTGTGACCAGTATAAATAGTCGAGTATTGTGTAGGCTTCAGGTTGTTCAGTGAGCAACTCAAGATGAGAAAGAGGGAAGAAGTTAGAGACAAGAAGTTGGAGGAAACTTCAACAGTGTAAAGACGAAGACGTGCTTCAGAGCCTGCAGCTAGTTTCTCAATCACCCGCGAGTGAAGGTTGCATGCCTTGGTGACAACCAGCCTTCTCTTACCCTCCGCTCCACTCTTCTTAATTATTGACCCGTGGCCAAAAAAAAGTCCTACCAGCGCCAGTCTCGAACCACCTACCTCGACCTTCTTCATAGCTGATTACCACGTAATATTGTTGTTGAAAAAGACAAAAAAACTCGACACAGACCAACATCCTATGAAGGAAGGGCCTTATACTGGCTGAGGGAAACCCATGACTACGGCTCAGAGAAGCGTTTGACGTTCTTACCATTATGTCTCCGCTCCCATAGAATCCGGTTTCATCTGTAGATAGAGCCCTTTCGGACTCATCTGGAGGTAAATCTAATTGTTGAAACATGTATAGCAGTGAACAATTCTCGTGACTTCGGACTTCGGGGCTCGGGCTTCGGGTGTCACTAATAACTCGGACCGTCGCTCGGACTTGGTAGGCCTGAATAGTGAAGACGGGTGTTAGAAGTAGATGCAATTTCGAGTGAGTGAGTAACACATTCGAAACGGTTTTGTGCGAGGCTGCTGAGGCAATTAATCCAGTGCTAGTTGTTACCATTTTTGAACATCAAGGATTCTAACGTGAAAATTTTCAAAGATTCCTATGTCTTGTCCAATTTCATGTCGAGCTCCTTCCAACTCAATGTAGAGTGAGCATATCGAATCGTTCTACTTGCAGGTACATCTTCCTCTAGTCGTACCTGCTTAGATCAGTGAGAAAGAAGCTATTACTGACCACGATCTCTCATGCATACATAGGCCCCGATGGTGAGGTTCGAATCATTACCGACTGAGGTTTCGTCCTTTCATGTCTTGTGGTTGATCGTACAGAATGCCTAGCTCGGCATGAACCAACTCATTTACTCGAAACAATGCCGAAAAGACATCGGGCTATAGGATCATCTGCTCAACACACTGACAGCACTGTCTGCTGTTGCTTGCAGAATAGAGCAGAGCAAGAATGCAGGCCAGATGCTAGATGAAGAAGGTCGACTTGGATGCGATTTGTGTGGAAATGTGAGGCCAACATGCAATGAGGCATCAAGGCACAAAACTGAGTACGACAGCCAATAATTTGAAAGTCGTAAAATGCATGGCTGTTATACGCAAATGGCTACGAGCTTTCTTGTATAGCATGAGCATGGATCAGAGTATTTCGCATTCGGCGTCTACCATACTCCCAAACGCCTAGCTGATGCTTGCACGATGTGTCAAGAATACCTCGGAGGCTCTCTCCATCATAGATTCGTCAGATAGTCCTCGATCTCTTCCTTGGTCAGCTTCCTGAAACGTGGACCGACGGCGCCTTCCACACCCTCGAATCCTAGCAGATGATTTGCTGGGTCACCAACGATACCGATCTCGACTGTGTCACCATTCATCTCACCTTCTATCGTCTCCTTCAAGGTCAGCAGAGCAATATGTATGGCATCCTGCAACTCCAACTCTTGTGTATATCTCTTCTCCAAGAAAGTCTTCGCGCTTGTGGCGCCCTTTCCAATCGCAGTCGCCTTCCACGGAAAGTAACTGCCACTTGGATCGACCTGGTACAAACTTGGACCACCCTTCTGAATACCACCAGTTCGACGCGATGCAGCTAGCTTTTTGCCTTCTTCTGTTTCCGCGTCCTCAGCTTTAGCCTCTTCGCTTTCCGGTTCGATGCCATCGTCCCAACCTGCAATCAGCAGACTCACACCGTACGGTCTTACACCACCAGACTGTGTGGCTTCCTGCATGACTCGTGCTACATCTTGAACAAGGATTCGTGTTGGAGGGTATTCGTTGTAGATGCGCTTGTAATTCGTATGTGACACTTTGCGGGCTTTGTCAACGAGTACCCTGTAATCAGGACCCATACCACTGTAGACCATGCCGATATTGGGTGTTACCAGCGAGATCTTGGATAGTGACGGAGCATCGATAAGAGGTGAGGAGGACTTCTTCTCTGTTGCAAGGACTATGCCGTTGGTCGCTGTAGAGTGTCAATCAATGGTTGCTCCTTTTGCAATACCTGCTTAAGAATGTACCTTTTATGCCTAACGATGTGACGCCTTGGTTGACTGCATTCAGAGCATATTCAATCTGCACCAGCTTCCCACTCGGTGAGAAGGTCGTGAGCGAGAACGAGTATCTGTCGGCCATGATAGAGATAGAGGATGAGGTCGTGGAGAGCTATAACGACTATTGTGGCAGGTTATCAGTAGTCGCAGCTTTTCGTATCTAGTTTGTTGTTCTCAGAGAATCAGAATACGACGGCACACAGGACTGAACGAATTGTGCCTATGGCGAGGATACTGCAATGGAACCGTCAAGTTCAAGACCGTGAGGCTGCAACTGCCAGTGCGCGTCAACTGTTCCAGGCACCAAGGCCTCAACATGCACACCGGCAGCTTGGGGAGGCACTAAAATCGGCTAGAATTGTTGCTGGCTTCGCAGGAACAATAGAATATCAAATCCTTCCCACATCTACTATTCTGCTTTCGTGTCTGGTGTTCGTCTACCTATAAACCCTGTGTTTCCTGGAGAATTGTGACTATTGCTGTTGCTTCTACTAATGCCCGAGTAGGAGTGGCGCTGTTCAGGACGAGATGAAAGGAGCCTAGAAATCAAGACTCCTCGGCATTCGTGTTCCGCAAGTATGCTCTCGTACTGCCTTCTCATATTGCCAGCTGTTCAGTTCGAGGATACACGAGAAACTCACTTTCTAGGATCTCCACGTCACATTCTGGTCTGAACAAAGAAGTCGGTTTATCTTGGTCGCCGAACCTGTCCCTCGCTCCTCACTCATCTCGTGTCCGGCCACAATAGCCACTGAGCACCCTCTACTATCAGAGCCATGGAGACACCTCCACCTCAGGGCAACGCCATGCCAGGACCACAAGAAGACCCACCTGTCTGGACCTACCCGACTCGCTTCTGTCGAATATGTCGAGAAGATGTGCCGGCTACTGTGACGCTGTATCCTCCTGGTCTACCTATTCAATTCCAGAAGCCAATAGTGGAGTACAAGAATGAAGACGAGTATGGCAGGCTGATAAAGCCATGCCTGTGTAGAGGTGGGATGAGGTATATCCACGAGCTTTGTCTACTGCGATCACGAACCGAGAACACGAGGAAAGATTCCATGTGGAAATGTCACGAATGCGGCCATAAGTTCAATTTTAAGAGGTTGACTATACAGCGTTACTTGAGCAGCAGGTCCGTCGTCACATGCTTGACCGTCTTGTTCATGCTTTTCGTGGTCTTCGCACTCGGCTTTGTGGCTGATCCTATTATCAACATCTACCTCGATCCCTACGACAGTGTCGTTGGGCACGAGTCCATTTCTGATATCTGGGACGAGCTGGATATTGTTGGTCCTGCCAGAGGACGGGTACCTCCGTGGATGGCTCATTTCTCCAAGGGTTTTATCTCCATGGGTCTGCTTGGCTTTGTGAAGACGGTGATTCTGAATCCATTCCATTGGATCAACTTTCGAACAGGAACTTCTTGGACGAACATGCGTCATAACACTGGCCGAAGTCGTGCAGTTAATATCAGCTGGATAGCTGTCGCCATTGGTGTCGCGTCCGCCTTTGTCTTCTTCTATCGCTGGGTGCAGGCCTTTGTTCAGAAAACCTTGCAGAGAATTGGCAACAATATTGTCGATACTCAGCTGACGGGAGATGACGACGATCTCAAGCCTCCTCCAGGCTGGAAGTTCAAATCTCCTGTAGACCCGACTACTGGTCAAACAGACCAACCTAATTCAACAAACTCTGCCTTCTCAGCCTCGTCTAGCAATACAAGTTCTGCAGACCAAAAAGCTACAAGTGATGGCGTCCAGCAAGAGAAACCTGCATCACCACCGACTCTGCCTGGTGAGAATCCATCAGCATCGTCTGATTCCGAGAGCGCAGACACCACTCACAGCAAACATGATTCAGACCCTTCACAAGTACCTATGACCGGTTCGTGGGTTTCTATTGACAAGGTCGTCGATGGCGATGAAGCCGGTCTTCCAGAGGCACATAGGCAAGGCTGGTCATTCTCAAACCTGTAGCACAATATCATCCAGCCGCTGCGCCCCAGTCACATTTCCTGTCATACGTTATTTCACGTTTCATTTTCTTCATATTTGCCTAACTTTGAGTTGTCACTATCTCCTTTCAATGAGGTGCGCAATCAGTCAGTGGGCACACAAAAAGAGCTTTCTCGCCATCTAGCATGTTAACGTTATGTTTCTAGCTATTCTAGGCAGTCAGCTAGCCAGATCTTCAATATTCAAAGTGTAGTCGACTTACTCCTCACTCGATCTGCACTCGAAGAAGAACCAGCACATCCTCTATTCAGCAACGTGAGCGGTCAGTTTGACTGCTCTTCTACGACATCTCGAGGCTATCACTCTATCACTCTATCACTCAAACTTTAGAACGCTAGAGGTTACAATGTAGTGTTCTGCTGTCAACCATTGTGAATAACCAATCTTCCAGGCTGAAGGTTTGGGATTTGGATGATCACTGCAGGAGAGTGAAAATGTTGTCACTTCTACCCTTGTGTTTCTTAAACTCTTCACTCCTGCCCGCCTTTACCCGAAATGTTCCTTCCTTGAAAAGCGTGACCTTGACTCTTTCGCACCTGCCCTATGAATTGTCCAGAGAAACCCCACAACCATTCGAGCTGACCATCCACGAGACCCTCAGTCTTACAGCGTTTTCTTCTTCAGGTTCAATATGTTGACCGAATCAAGCAGCATGTACGGCATCGATGAATCGCTAAGCTCCAGTGATCAGGAAATGTTTGCCCTATTTCTTCGGTACCCAGAGATCGACTTCGATGCTGACCTCGACATCTCGGACAAGTCGACAACAGAAATCCCTACCGAAACCAAGGTTGATTCGTCTCCAATCTCCGTCGCACCAGACAAAGGCTCAGACTCGGACGCCAGCACACTTGTTGATCAACTCGGCAGGTCGCCAACTCTGAGCACGCCTGTACGACGCTTCGAGCCTCGATCAAACAGCTCCTCTCACGAGAACAGCAGCGACTGGGCCTCTTTCATGCACTTGATGCAGCAATCAGATCTTCCTGCTGAATGCTTGCACTACTATACCTGCTTACGAAAGGGCTTTGTTGGAGTCGGTGCGGAACTCTTTGGCACAGTGCGTCTAGGAAGGTCGTCCAATACTTCAGGAGTCATATGCTGGTTGTTGAAGAACGTCACCTATTCCTGCGATCAAACTACGATGCAGATAGAGCAAGTTGCCAACCTCAAGACCTTGGTTGCTTTCAACTCCACACCATCGGCGACCCAGTTGTGGTCTACATACCTGCAAAGAGCCAAGCTGATTGTAGAGTAGGTGTCTTTCTCCACATCGTCTGAAGAGATTGTGAAGTTGATGACTCTCTAGAAACCTTGCCTTACCCTCGAAGCGGGAATGCGACCTCATCGGATGTCTGGTGTTCCTCTACGATGCTCACATCTACAATGAAGTACTGCAAGTCATGTCACTCAACATTGTCGACGACACGATAGCCAAAAAGCTGCACATGCTGTATGATAAGCTGGTGAGTTGGCACCACAAATACAAGCAATGGTGTCATGGTATGCGAGACCTGAAAAACACGTACATCCAGCCACTTATTGAACAATACTCCAATTCCAAAGAGGCACAGGAAGAGTTCAACGACTTTCAGGAGCGGACAATTAAGGCGAGTGCTGCACTGGAGAAACCTGCAGAGGAGATGGCGGAAATGACGGAGAATGTGGTCAAGACTCTGAACTTGAGTGCTCGACGGCCAGGAGCTGGTTCGAGTTTGAAGAGGAGTAAGACGAGGTACAAGAGGGAGCACACTATGTGATGGAGCTTGTAGATGTACAAGTGAGGTCACAGGCCGTGATCTGATCACAATGCAAGTGCTCTATCTCGTGAATGATCTTGAGACGTTACGATAATATATAGCCACGTGCTCATATACGAGGATTGTCCACTATTCGCTACTGAGCTAAGCCTAGCGAAACAGTTGTAAGCGATGGTGTGGTGATGCAATAGCCCCGAATGTGGAAGTTGAGCCATACCTAATCCACCACTAGTTTAAAGGCTTCCGGAGCCCTCAGCGGCAGGTGCTCATCAAGTTCGTGACTCCAGTGGCATGGATGTTGCCAGCCACCTCGCCTTCCAAGCAGAGTCACCATGTCTCTCTATCGTTTGGCCCATATGCTACAGGCAAAGACTTACCCGTTCGAGGATTCCACATCTATCGGTATATTTCCATCTAATACAATTGTTCTCGGATCTATTACTGATCCTGCTTGCGGACTCTATTCACGCCCGGACCACCCTACGAGTTTCACCAATTACTGCCCACGTACGCCAGCAGCTCACTACTATAGAACCTGGCACACGGCATAGACGTCTCAAACTGAAGCTGATATTGAAAGCTTTTAGTATACTCGATGCAATTCTTATCTCAGTGAATGGTTCTACCTTTTCCTCAGGCCTATCCAATAGTCGATTGCAAATACCACAATGAATCCTACACCCGAGAACAGCGGACAGGCATCTGCGCCGCCTGCTAGAATCGTGGCACGCTTACAACGTAGGAGCAATAGCAGGAGGAGATCGTCTGCTCATTCCTCAAGGCGCAGTTCTATCTCGTCTCTACACTCAAGAGCCTCCTCATTGTCCTGTCATGGCGGTCCATATAGTACGCATATCGCGCAACATTTGCGCCGAGCCTCGATCATCGAGAGTCGAAAGGCACGTTTAGCCGAACGAGCAGCTCATGCTGAACAGGTTCGCCTACGTGCTGCTGCCGTTAAGGCCGCTCCTCGAGCCTCAAATAGTGAAGAGAAGGCTTTGGCTGCGCAGTCTGCAAGAGAGAAGTTGCTGGCCGAAGTTGCCGCCCGTTGCGCAGAAGAGGTGCGCCGAGCAAAAGAGGTAGCTGAAGAGACGCGCGAGAAGAAAGCTGCCGAACATGCCCGACTCGAGGCTCAAATGGCCGAGAAGTTTGCTGACGCCGCAAAACGTAGATCCATGTATCAGTTGAACTCTCGTCGTCCCAGGAGAACATCGCTCACGGCTGTGGAGGAGAAGAAGGTGGACCCAGCAAGGCTGGGACGAAATGCTGCCGTCAGAATTATTCAACGAACCTGGAGAGCGTCGTATGCCAGGAGGATTGCTACCACATTTCGAGAGGCAGGAATTACTGTCACAAATTTGAAGAGCCTCGACTTTGAGGATGTCACCAAGTTGATCTCTACCGAGGATGTGATGTGTGCATCTATACGCTTAATGAGTCATTTCGGCCTCCTCGATGCTGAAACTGACAATACTGCTAGGCGCGGCGCTGCCAGAGTCTTCCTCAGTGCCTTTATGGTCGTGGCACATCCTGTACAAACATTCTCTCATGGCGGTCAAGAACCACAGGAGCAGGATCTGATTATTAAAGCACAGACACTGACGAGTGCCATCGTAGAGAATCTAAGTGCTCTAATCCAGAATCAATCCCTTTTCATTCCTAAGGACCAGCTTCAAACTATATTTCAGGACTTCACGGCCGGGTTTCATGGTTGGAAAACTCAAGATCTTGGAATACTTGCTGATGTCTGGGTTGCTTCCTTCGTTAATTTCGACCTCATCGTTCAAGCGACCAAGGAAGGCAATGATGAGAACGTGGCAGCTGACTATCAAGATGCCATCAAAACCGAACAGACAAAGATTCTGGTTCATTTGAAGCGTTTGCTTGGCCCTGAGAAAGCTCTCGAGCGTGTTCGAAGAGCTGTCAAGAAGGCTCGAAAAGACCGAGCTGCTCAGAAGGCAAACGGAACGACCGAGCATGTCCCTCGAGCATCAATGCCTGCTAACATAGACAACGAACTCCCTACAACTGCAATTCCGACACCTCCAGCAACGCCCAAAAAGGTCGATCAACCCGAGCAGGTGTCTTCGGACTTCCAAAAACTCGAGCAAACCATGACACCTATACCATCGAACAGAGAGATTGCTCACGAGATTCAGATAAATGGCAGCTTCGAAATCCGTGAAAAGCCATGGACAAAAGCAAGACAGCAATACACGCACGCTCTCAAGCAGAAAATGCGGAACACCTTACAGGCAGAAGATACAAGAACTGAGGCTAACTGGAGTTTCAGCATGGTGATTTTGGTCAAAGTCAAATTACTCCAAGTCGTCAGCCCTCGTCACGAGCTATACAACAAAATCGACATGTTCCTAGACCCAAAACTGGTCGGTCAGCAGGTTTGGAAGGGAATTTTTGTGTACAATGACTTTTTCATGACCATCGGGAATATCATTAAACAGCTCTGCTCGCCCGGTAGAGACGATCTGGTCAGAAATTTCTGCGATGATACCACAGGTGACACAATTGATCGTTTGTTCAAGCTAGTCAACATTCTTGATTTAATGGTTCTTGATTCTGTCAACGTCCAGTATAGGATAATTTCAAGAAACGTGAGGGAACTTGGCTATCAACATGAGCATATCGCCTTCCAGAAAGACCTGGATAACAACATTTGTACTCTCGAAAAGACCGAGGCGTTCTGGTCCAGGGGTAAGATAGCTACCTCAGCCATGCCTGGAACAGCATACTACTCTGCTTCCATCTATGCACGAGCGCTCACCGACCTTATCCTGTCAAATATCCATCTGACCTATGACATTGTGCCGGAAACTCTAGGTTACGACTGGTTGCGCTTACTCAAGCTGAGAGCACGAGTGCTGCATATTGTAGGTACAGCCTCTATTCTCCTTACCTCCAAGATTCGTCTGCGGCGAAACCGAGAATCTTTGTGGACTAGAGAAGCAGAGCAGCTCATGAAGCTCGACGTAATGACAATAGATGCTTCCACCATCGTCGAACAGATCGAGTCTGGACACATGATGCCAGATAGTACAAGAGTAGGCCTAATGGACTTTGTCAGCCGAGTCTTACCAACAGCAGTCAATGCCGCAACACAAGCACAAATGGCTGAAGACGAGCATGACCAGGCCATTCGCAAGAAGGTTGAATACGATCCAAAGCTTAGCCACTCCTCGAACGAAATAAACACCGTCTTCAAAGAACAAATCGCAACTTACATCCTCAAATCACTGCGAGAGCATGTCTACGCACGTCTTTCAGCTTCTGGAATAACAGAAAGGGTGCGAGTGCAAAGTAGTGCGGCTGCTACCATGGCACGGATTGGTATGCCTGAATTCTTGGCCGAGGTGAATAGTGTGGTTGATGTACTTGAGCGGGTCAAAGCTGTTGATCTAAAAGCGCATGAGAAATGGTATGACGAGATTGCGACGCGAGCCAGTCAGCCGGTAGATGTAGCATAAGGCGATGCAGGAGATCATTGGAATTTCCAAGTATACAAAGTGGTTGTGAACAGTATATCTTTACCTATTACACGAGTGTGTCTCGCTGATTGTCATAATCATACAGGCAAGGAGGCCCTTCTACAGACTTGGGGAATTCAGTCGTGCTTGCGAGTTTTTATGTTTTCCTTGTAGATATACTGTTGCTGTATTGTAAAAGTATATGGTCCGGTCTCATTCCAACAATAGATTATACATGCAAGCACACCTCATCATCTGGTTGTACATGTTCTCCTAGCTTTCATTTATACTCGTGCAGCGCCTAATGTACCACAATCACCAATCTCACTTCTTGACTTTCGAAGTCTTCTGCTTCTTACTCCCACTCTTTCCACTTTGCATGCCGTGCACATAGTCCTCCTGCCCACTCTCCCACTCCTCTTTCTTGACCTCTTCTTCTTCCCCTTCCTGCTCACCACCATCTTCCTCCTTCTTAACAACCTCTTCTTCCTCCTCCTTGACGTCCTGTCCAGCTTCTCCCTTCAACTTCCCCTGTCTAAACGCCCTTCTCAACTCACATTTACCCACACTCTTCCCACCAGCCTTACACTCATCACATTTCTTTCCATGCCCAACCATAAGTATATGTAGCCCATACTTGTCCTCATCCGGAATCCTCACCTCAAGATGCGCATGTGTCTCGTCTCTCGTTGCGCTCGCTGGTCTCCATCCTAACATTCCAGCAATTCTGTAAACATGTGTATCAACTGCAAAACTCTCCCTTTGAAGACAGAACAGCAGTACACAACTCGCTGTCTTGGGTCCAACGCCCTGAAACGAGATCAATTCCTGCATTGCTTCTTCGTCGCTCTTTTTGAATAGGTGATCGAGAGTATATTCCCCGTACTTCGATTTGACTTGCTCGAGGATACTGATAATCACGCGAGATTTGACCTGACTCAACCCACCACTTTTGATAGCTTCTTGAAGTTTCGCCTGGCCGCCTTCGACAATCGCGTCCCAAGAGTCACTCCCCCCGTAGACTTTATCCATACTCAGTTTTGCTCTAGTACTGTTCTTATCGCTCGTGTTCTGTGATAGGATTGTACGAACCAGCGCGTCAAGAACAGAAGGCGAATCACCGCATCCTGCGACGTCGGCGCGAGCAACGACTTCTTTGGGCCGGACGCGTTCGCCGTGGAGTTTTGCTAGGATGCGATGGGCTAGACGTGCTTCGTCGGGTGTTGGGTGTGGGAAGTCGGGGAAGGGGGATTTATTCGAGAATTGTGCGAATTCTTTGAGTTTCCTGGCTTGAAGGGCGGCGGCTTTGTCGGCTGGGGAGGTTGTTGTTGATGATGACGACTTTTTCTTCGATTTAGAAGCTGGAGTGGTTGCAGGGTCCGAGTCTGGAGTAGCTTTCTGAGCTTTCTTTGTAGATTTCGCTTTCGACTTCGGCGGTGTTTTCGTCTGCGTCTTCTTCGTGCTTGGACTCTTACGCTTCTTGGCTGGTTTCTCATCATCGCTAAAGTCGTCTTCCGACATTTCGTCCTCATCTTCAGACTTAATCTCACTTAGCTCACTGCCACTCTCCTCATCGTCCCCAACAACCTCATCCACCTTGGACGCAGGAGAAAACTCCATCTTCACACCCTCAATATTCCCGCCATCCCCTTTCTCGAACTTCACTCTCTTCGCCGCACTGCCCTGCCCAGCTGGTGATGTAGGTGCAGACCTCTTCGCGCTCATATTGGCTTTTCGCGGCGTTACTGAGGTTCTCTCCTCCTCTTCCTGCTTGACATCACCGCGCGTAGGAGACATGGTCGGTGTCCCGTTTGCGGTTGCGCCTGTATCGGCGTAATCAGTCTCCCATTTCTTATTGGCTTGGCGGGCACTGCGGCGGGAGGGGCCAGAGTCGGGAAGGAGAGATTCGGCTTCGGATTCTTCTTTGCCTTTTCTGGCTTTTGTTGCTGCTGCTTTGCGTGCTGGCATGATGAAATATGCGTGATGTGGGCAAGGGCTGGAGCGAGAGATGAACCAAATGGTAGCAGAAGATCTATGTGCAGAGAAGAAGCAACGGAACGATCGAAGCATGCAAGGTCTACTGATTTAGTACAGCTAAAGAACGCGTAAGGTCTAATAGCAGCTATATTACGTGTAAGCATAACGACTATCAACCACGCACGACGAGTTCGAATACTGGGATTGATGATGGCATTATTTGTGATGATGTCAGTGGATGTTTCTCCAGATCGTGTACCTTGCAGAAGCGTGACGATAATCGTATGGGATCGAGCACGCGAGTAACGCGCTAAACAATTAGTGGTCGAGCTACTCAGTTCAGGGGCTGCTCATGTACCAAGTAATGTTCTTGTGCAACAGGATGGAGGAAAGCATAGTGTTTGTTGGTCCTGGCAGGCATTTGCAAACGTTGTATGGGAATGAGCTCTTTCAGGCAATCAGCATCGCGAATAGCTGACGTCCTGCACAGAGTAGCAGTACGCGGTTTGGGAACAAATGTTGATAATACCTAGGTGAATACTATAAGCATCCCTGATCAGCGGCAACTTTCGACAATTGGGATAATCCAAGGATTAGGAGCATAAAATTGCAAGATTTCTTGTTTTTCAAAACTGGCGTCTGTCGTAGAAGAACATGCTATGAACAAACCAACCCTCTCTCTTGGTCTCCCTCTCCGTCGAACTTGGTATTCATCTCTCGCTCGTGATGTTGACCTGTAGTAGGTTGAAGGCTTGACGAAGTCGTGATTGCTATCGAAGATCACCATTGGATTGTCTGCCAAGACGATCACAGGATACTTCATTGAATCATTCTCCTTTCCCGCCTCCCTCCTTGCGCCCTCATTTCCTGCATAATCTCACGAGGTAGAGTGTCCATCCGGTGTCTCTTGTGTACTATCCAGTCGCTTGACGACTGCTGATAACCTCTCGACCTCACGCCTGCTTTCTGCGAGACGAGCTCTCAGGTCGTTGCATCTTTGACGTGACTCAGCGAGCGCAATCTCCAGTCCTCCGTTGCTGTCTCTGAATACACCGAGCAATTCACGTTACCTCTCATAACTTGACTGAATAGCGACGTTCAGCGCTGTCACATCCTCGTAAAGACGCCGTCTATACTCAATTTCCTCACGGTAGAACGCTGTCAGAGACTGTTCATGTCTTAGTCGTTCCAGGAGATCCTCAGATGGTGGGATGGAGTCTTGTGTCGGAAAGTCTATCGTGCTCGTGATCGTCGTGAAGTCATTGGTACCACTCGTATCTGTTGTGTGCATTGTGGTTGTGATTCGTATGCGTGGTCGCCGTTGTGCCCTTGGGCTCGAGCGTGGCATTCTTGTATTCAGACGTCGCCTGGAAGCACGAGTTGATGATCTGGATGAATTGTTGTGATTGTCTATGGAGGTGATCAAAGATCAAAGGTGCAGTTTGTGACTGGTCAGTTGAATCCTTGGGAACAATATTTGATTGCGAAGGACGCCAAGCCGGTTCGTCGAAGTCGTTATGGTGTAAGAAAACCGATGTGAGTCAGGCTCAGTCGAGGCCATAAAGATGTTATGCGGCACAGTAGATCAGAGTGAGCTACCAGATAGTGACACAAAGTGATATCGTGATATGTGTATAGAAGTGCGTCTTCTAGCCGTGTAAGCACTTTTATAGCCAGTGAAAGGCAACTCGTGCATCCCCGACTTCAGTACCGTTCACGTGAGGGCAACCAGTATCTCTAGCTCGTCCATAAAAGACTCGGGCATTGTCAAGCCGTGAAGCTCCGTACCAGCTAAGGTTGCTTTTGCCTCGTCTTCCAGCAGATCTCTGGCTTCTCTCAAAAAACGTGGATTCAAATGGTTGGTGATCTCACAAATAGTCATCTTATCGAAGGCATTTCGAGTGTCCCGATCACAGGCATACTCCTTGTCCACCGGAGTCGATAGGGTGGATACATTGTCGATTGTCTTGGTTTCTCTTAATGCTTGGTCTGGAAGACTCAGGATACGCCATCTATAACCGTCCAAGTACTGAAGGCGTGTAGCTTGTGCTTCGTACTCGGCGTCTTTCTTAAGAACGGCTCGCCGCTTATGTTCAAGTGTGCCCAGCGTGACAATGAAGTAAAGTCGAGATGTCATTGCCACGTCCGCGTCGTCTTCTATAAAGGTACCTTCCATTATCAAGTTGTGAAAGTCACGATTTTCAAGCACCACCAGCACACCCAACTCGAAAGCTCGTACTTTGAGCATTGGTGACAATTTCGGTAAGTAGCCTCTTCCGGTACTGTTGAATGCCACTGAAATGCTGTCCATTACAACTACCACAGGCGAGTCAGCGGGACATAGGATATCGAATGCTCTGGCGAGAACAAGGCGGACTGAAGCTGCTCCGTAAGTGCCGAAGACGTTTTGGCTTGCTCGTAGGGCGAACATCATGCGTTGGTCAATACCCTCATCCTGAATTAGAAACTGCTCGGTAATTGTCAGGTAGATGTCTAGCAAGATGACACCATACTCGAGCATGCAACAATGAACTGCTTTATCGCCGACAAGCGATAGTTTCTTGACAGCTTTATTGACTTCTTCGGTCAACTCTGCCGCTCCCTGTAAGCCGATGTTTTCCATTCGCACTGCGTCGTCAAGGCCGTAGATAGCAGCGATTTCAGCGAACTGGTTCTCAATTGTCTGACACTTCAGACTATGCATTTGAGTAATGGCCAGGAAGCGTTTGTTTACGAGCTTGAGTGTAGTTAATCCTTCGCAAGCCTGATATGGCACAAAAGCAAGGATCATGAGTAGCATTTCATCGGGTATGTCATTGATACCCATAGTGATGGTCAGAGACGAAACCGTACTGAGATACAATTCGTATTATCGATAGGCTGTGATTGAAGGAACTGGGAGCACCTCAATTACATAGAGGAAACGTGGACGGCGTACAGAGAAACTGTGAGCTTAGCAGTACCGCAAATCTTGATTGTAAGATCAATCACGACAAATGGTTAGACTTGAGGACAATAGGACACTGCATGTGACCTAGACCGAAGCGCGATTGAGAAGATGTCGGAGCTCTGCACGAGAATGTGTGGAAACAGCTTGCAACCTCACTTACCTCGTGCGAAGTACATAATTGCAGTTACACTCTCTGTTATGCCAAGAACAAAAAAGCAGGAAGGAAGGAATGCCTGCCTATATGTGCACCTGCTATTGTTTCGTGATTCAGCGCTGGACGCAAAGATGTGTTATCATTTTCCCAAGTTAGAGGTCGTATGCTCAACAAACAAATATGTTTGATCTGCCCAAGCTCGTTCCGTCTGCAGTGTTGCTTGCTAGTTGATCAAGTAGAATCATTGGTGCTAGAGCTACGTGTGTCGTCGCGATGGAGCTTTAGATCATGCCTGCCAGTACCTGCCGGTAATTACTCCAAAAGAATCCAGACAACTTTAGTGGTGGAATGAGGATGAAAGGAGGGAACAGCTCACACGAAATTCAGCAAACTTCTCCTGAGAATTAACGTCATCCAAGCTCCCACGAGCTTATTCGTATTAGCGTGCATGCCTCGAAAGAAGATAGCCCTACATAATTGGAACGAGCGAATCTTAATTGTAGAGCAGTATTTTCCAAATAATTTCATTCAGAGCGCTACATGTTCTACCATGAGGCAGCAGCACTCAAATTTCTACTCATCCGTAGCAGGTTATCGAAGCCTCTTCCAGAAAAGGTGACTTCACTAGTACAGCTTGTAATCACCATGCCGATTCTGGTACCAACTCCGTCCATCGCTGCGAACGCCAGCAGTACTTTCCCGTCGGTCCCTCACTCCAAGGGCATCAAACTCTCGTCGATCCTCTGTGCGTGACATTGTCGATGGTCGTCGTGGCGGCGTAAAAGCAGGAGACCTGCTGCGCTCTTGTCGAGACGAGCCTCTACTTTGGTAGTAATCGGCTCGCCGTGCCCTGCTGCTGCCGATGTTAGCATCGCGGGCGGCGCAGTTTTTCCGCTCATACTCGGCTGCCCTTAGACCAGCTTCGTATTCTCTCCACCGAGCAGCTTCGTATTCTTTCTTCCGGGCAGCTTCGTGGGCTCTCCTTCGAGCAGCTTCACGTTTTTTCATGTCTTCCTCCTCTCTCCACTCCTGTCTGCGGGCTCTTTCCCTCTGCTTAGGCGTGTCGCGTGCATTGTGGCGTCGGATCAGCTCGCGAATCTCGTCTGGGACAGTCATCGTTGCGAGGGAAGACGAAATCGAAGAATTCTCTTTCCTTACTGTGGTGATAAGAGTGTCTAGTGAATTTGTCAGTTCTGAGTACTGATTGTAGTTCTGTTGTTTCGCTGTATATGTTTTTGGAGCAAGTTTCGACATCGGTCTGGTACCATGTCGGCTATATATGGTTCTTGCGCAACATATTTCCAAGTACTTGGTCTTTTGGTGAAATGAGCAGTAGACAATGCGTGTTGTTAGCCACGAGATGGACTATTGTTTGAAATTAACAATGAATGTATACGAGCTTTCAATGTAGCCATTGTTTAATCGCTTGTTAGGTGGTCTAAGCCAGGCAGCAAGTCCTATCTGTCGTCGGACGATCGAGTTGACCGGGACGAATATTAACGATACTTCTTCCCAGGGTCTGGCATCGGTACCGTGTATTCCGTAAATGCACAATGGCCAGCTCCTTCTTCAGCATCCTCGTTATCTCCCACACCACCATCCGGATTCCGTGTCGCGCCCCAAGTCAATGGCATGGTGGCCACACTCTCCTCCTGCAGATGCTCAAATGACGTATACTTCTTCGATTTCAATGGTCCATTGCTTTCAGGGTGACACATCGCGCTAAGAACCGCCGATTTGTTGCCATGAACTGGAATACGGTTGTCAAGCCATCGATAGGCATTGATGACCTGAGCCAGAATCATGAGAGCGCCAACACAGCACGTTGTAAGGTTAGCAACAGGAGAGAAGCCGACATCGGTGAAACTTTCAGATTCCGACACGTCACCAAGCGCGTTGTAGTATCGAAGACGTGCGAGAAAGATTGATTGCGAGATTAGGAAGTGCATAGCTATGAGGAGAGCTGTTAATGGTATGCCGTATCGATAGGGCAGTTGAAGGTAGTAAGTAGACCGTTGTTGGCCACGAGGCCATGTTACACGCAGTGACTTGCGATCCGTAAGATATGAAGCCCATTCCAGTGCGGCGCATTGAGCTGTATACAGTGCATTGTAAAGGAAGTACGTGGTGGATAACGCGAGCTGAAAAGAGTTGGCGACAAGGACGTCCTTGATCAAGCCTATGCCAGAGTCACCTCCAAGACCTAATATCATGCCGGAATCAACCTGTCCAAACTTCATGCGGAGAACTTCAGACGTCCGGTAATCAGTTGCGAGCGAAAACGACAAGCCAAAGAGTGTAAATCCAAGGATCAGGTAGAGTGTACACAAGATTATTGTCCACCACCAACGCGTTGCGCTTGTAGCGGAGTACAGTCTAGCCTTGGGCTTCCTATCGTATGTCACGTCGTATTTCATCGTTGAGTCACGCCAGACACCAGCACGAACTGCAGCGCCATCTAGTAGGCAGAACCCTTTCGTTGTTTCGTCTGGCTGATCCAGAAAAGACGAAACGGCATCTCCGATGGTGGCCAAAATGGGTTCCTTGAGATTCCAAAGAGATCGAGCTGCAGCACACATGCAGGCGAGTTTGATGGCATTGCATATGATGACGACATAAATGATATAGGAAACGTATTGGAGTTGACACGTCGACATTTTGGTGACTTGACTGTAACAATACTCAACTGGATAACCAAGGAGAGTGAAGTTACCGATCTTCGCCTGCTGTTTGAATTCAGTAACATTCCGGTAGTAAGGATAGTCTCCAAGCTCGTTCCATCCTGGTTTCCAGTCAGTGTCGAGCGCTACTACCGAAGAACCGTTCCATAGCTGCCTGTAATACCCGCACCTGCTCATATTCAGCGTTGTATCAGGCTTCGTAACCAGAATTAGACTTCTCCTCGTATTGATGTAATCGACATTATACGCATTAAAGCAATCCAAAGCCTCCAACCTTTCATACTGGCCGGCCTTATAACCGCCGTAGATGACTTGTATGTTGTCAGATGGTAAGGTGTAGCCATTACAGTAAGAGCTCGTGTCATTTGGAGGCGCCTGCCAGCTGGCACCACTAAGGAAGCTTTCATTACGGCAAGCCATGTAAAAAGATTTGTGCCATTTGTCGCAAAGAGAGTAGAGTTCCAGCTGCGTCAGGGTTAGAAGCCTGCTCGTACGAGTATAAAATCATGGCTGACTTACAGAAGATGCAGTGGTAACGTGCTCAAGCAGAGCAACCACCAGAGGATACCCTTCCATCTCTGCAAGTGAGCTAAATTCTTCCAGCTAGGTATGCCGATGTCGAGAGGTTTGCGCTTTGCATGAGCAGCATTGACCTCGCTTCGTGTGGGGGAGCTGAGGCATTGCATTGTGAAGCTGCTTGCAGCTAAAAGCGCTGTGCCGAGAAAGTTGATGGTCAAATGGAGAGCAGTGTTCCATCGCTTGACTAGATTACAGTCTCCAGTGTAAATGGTGCCAATGCCGTCTACAGCAGGAAACTTGGCACCCATCACTACTGCAAACATGGTGTTGACCAGAAGGACAATGCCAGTCACGATAGCCGCTAAGATTACGGCTTTTCGCCAGCCACGAAACGGATTCTTGGTCGGTCCATCCTCGACGGCGTATGGATTTAGGCTTACATACCTGCCTAACTTGCTACCACGCAACTCGTCCAGGTACTTTTGAAGACCTTCGCCTGAATGTGCATCATCATCGACAATTCTACTTGTGACGCGAACGGAGTGCTTGACTGTGTCGTCGTACCGAGGGCTATAAGCGGTATTGATGTGATTGAGAAGCGTATGCGTGTCTTCTTCACTTTGTTGCTTGTCTTCACTACTTGACTCGATGTAAGAGAGCTCCACATTCGACGTGAAAGGCGAATCGAGACGATAATCTGTTATATCACTGTCGTAGAAAGGCCTTGAATGAGGACGCTGTGCCATTTTCGTCCTCAAGCTTGTTATTAAGCACGCCCAACGAGATGCGCAGATGAGCTTGTTGTAGCCATGAATAGTGATGAAGCCAGAACGAAAATCACGCTGAAGTGTACAGCGAGAGATTACAAACCGGTCCAGAAAGTTAGTCGAAACACCACCAGTCCCACACGGGAGGACTATGGGACTCGTGAACAGTTTCGCTACTGTGGCGTACTATAGTTCCTGCAGCTGCGATAGGCGAGACGAGTCCATACTCAAGGTGCATTCGACCTGCTGTACAGTACGCGAGCAGCGGCACTATTTTCATCAGCCACTAGCCAACACTTGAAACCGCGAAATGATCGGCGCTGAAATTGGACAAGGAATACGAGGGTGGACATCACACCACGATCGAGAAATCTGGTTGGACGTTCCAGAGCCTGTGCTTTGAACCCGAACCGGACAGAGTTCTTGCCCATGCGAATTGTTCTTGGCACATCTTGATTACACGCTACTTGAGTAACAAGCACCGACCCTTCCAGCCTATCCTTGCACGCGTCGGGTCGCGCAAGATTTTGAGCAAACGTCGCTTCGTGGAACAGAACTCGACTCTTTCATGACCTCCTATGCTGGGAACTCTGAATCCATTTCGAAATCTTACACGGAAGCATTCTCACTGGAGTACTTCGATGCTAGCTGACAGGATAAATATCATTTATACCTGGTGAACCGACTAACAGCTCAATCCAAGTCCAAAGGATTCCTCTCGAGATACTCCTCAAAAGTCGTAAGCTTGCCCCTCGCGTTATCTGCTGCCCATGCGACCAGTTCCTCCGTGTTCGGGCCATAGTAGCCGAAATCCTGTTGGTACAACATCATCTCGATAAGGACATCTGCATAAGGTACTGGCGGTAGGAAACCTTTGAATACGTCCTCAGGCAATTGCTTGTACACGACATTCTCGCCAGTAGCCTCGGACAGAATTGCCGCTTGCTGGCTGTAAGTGTACAACTTGGTTGCTGCGCAGAAAACCTTGGATTCGTACTTATCTGGATCTGCCAGGATGGCACCAACAAACTTGCCAGTGTCGCTTGCAGTTTCGATCATCGGCAATTGTGTGTTGGGACTAACGTGACGGGATATTGAGTAGGTACCATCGGGCATTTTCCTGGGCTTCAGGATCTGCTGGTAATTCTGCATAAAGGACCCTGGTGCGAAGAAAGCACTTCTGATAGGTTGCTGACGGATGTACTGTTCGACCTCGGCCTTTCCATCGAAGCCCGCAACCTTGGTATACTTGCCACCCGAGATCTCCTTGACATGGGGCAAGGTGCTGAAGATGTAGTACTTCACTCCCTCGCTAACTGCAGCGTCGACCATGACTCGACCTTGTCGGGTTTCGCTGCCTTTGATATCTTTGAAGTCAGGAACCGTAATAGCAAACACTGTATGTGCACCCTTCAAAGCAGCTCGAACCGTGTGTTCGTCATCCACGTTTGCTGCCACAATCTCGACACCCTTCGCCACAAGAGCCTGCGCAGACTGAGATGTTATGTCGCGGGTGACAGCTCGGACGTTGTACTCCTTCGACAGTTCGGGGTCATTGACAACAAAATCCACTACCGATCCGCCCTGCTGGCCTGTTGCACCGAAGACGACAAGAGTCTTGCTCATGTTGACTATTTTCGTGTTCACTTAGTCTTACCAGTACTGTGCTTCTAGAGGATTTGGTCGTGGTAGTCCTAACAGACACACTCCACGGCTGACAGAGACCTCCATCTTATATCTTCGCAGTGTGGACTTTGTTCGTGGTGCTGGTGACACCGGATCGGACATATCATAATAGCCATTTCTCCAGATACGAGCTGAGGCTAGCGCGAATATATAGTGGAGCCAGATCTTAGTCTCGCTGGGTGTGCATGATCGAGCAGCCACACAGTCGTACTGCGGCGCCCGTTGCTGGCGTAGTTCACCCGAGCACATACTCACCCGCCAAGAATTTTTTTGCATTGAAATTGGCCGGATCTACCCAAATTCCTGAAGTGAAACTCGGTCTGGATTCTGGCTCACCCGAATGGAGAGCTGGACAACCATGGCTGAACATACTCAGTCAAGAGGACTAAGAACATCTCGGAGATATCGCTTCACCAACGTCAATATGGATATAGGGCTACACGATCCAGGCGAGACACTCTTCGGTGGTACTGGTCTCGCCTCTCCACTTCAGCGACTTTAGCCCAAGCTGGACACTTGGGGAGTAAGTGTACCTTAGTATGGTATTCACGTAGTTCTCTATGCAAAAGCATCAGTTTGCTGTTGCTCCGACATCGAGAAGGCTTTCCTAAGCACGAGTCAATCTGAGATCTGGATCTTGCATGCTGTGTCGTCAGATGGAGTGAATTGCCTTGGCGCAGCGGGGTTGACCGCCATCGGACCGGCAAACGAGATCTGCTCGCGTCATGAAATGCAAGATGGTGCTGAAAAGCTGCGCATTGCTTCGACACTGAATGTCTTGGGGTTTCAACACAGGATGAAGAATGAAGATGACCAACCGGTTGTTTTAACGCACATCGATTCAAACAATGGCAGTCGTACGTCGCCAGTGTCTTTAGCAGAACCATTCGCAGCCAATTTGAATGTCGTCAGCCAAGTAGATGTACCTCCTAATGGAGGTTATGGCTGGGTCTGCACTGCCTGTGTGTTTTTAATCAATGCTCATACATGGGGTGTTAATAGTGTAAGTGTTATACATCTACAGATAGAACAGAATTGACGGTCACAGGCTTGGGGCATCTTCCTGTCGCATTACCTTCAGAATTCAACCTTTCCAGGCACAAGTCAATTTTCGTATGCTATAATTGGAGGTCTCGGAATAGCTTGTGCTTGTCTGGTGTCGCCAGCCGTCAATGTTTCGATGCGATTGTACGGTACAACCGTCACGCTCACGATCGGGACCATCCTTGTGTTTTTGTCGTTGTTCACCGCTTCATATGCTTCCCGAATATGGCATCTGTTCCTGAGCCAGGCAGTATGTTTCGGCTGTGGTATGGGCTTCACGTATATCCCTGCGACCGCTGTTCTTCCGCAATGGTTCTCCACACGACGATCTCTTGCCGTTGGCATTGCGGCATCTGGAGTGGGGTTTGGAGGAGTCGCATACAATCTGATCGCTGGTGCTGCTGCGCAGTCAGTAGGGCTACCATGGACGTATCGCATACTAGCACTGTGCTCATTGGCCGTCAACGGTGTCTGCTCCCTGCTCATACGTGACAGGAACAAGCTAGTCAAGCCCAAGCAAGATGCATTCGACTGGAGAGAGCTTGGTCACATTGAGGTAATCTTCGTGATTGTTTGGGGCTTTCTATCCGAGCTCGGATATGTTGTATTGTTTTACTCGCTGCCACATTACGCAACGACCATTGGACTGAGTCAAAGTCAGGGATCGGTGGCTGGAGCTCTTCTCAATGTTGGTATCGGGGTCGGCAGACCGTTGGTGGGCTGGATGAGTGACAGATGGGGAAGGATCAATATGGCAGCTTTGATGACAGCGTCTTGTGGTATCTGCTGCCTTGCTTTGTGGGTACCGGCGAAAGACTATGGCACACTGATTGCTTTCGCTCTGCTAGCTGGGTTCGGTGCTGGTAACTTCTGGGGTACGGTGTCGAGTGTTATGGCGGAAGTGGTCGGTAAGTGTTCTCTCAAACTCGTGCCGGTTCTCACGAAGAATCGTCTACGAGTTTGGCCGATACGATTTTCTGAGCTAACATTTGGCAGGGTTGCAACGATTGCCCACAGCATTCGGTGTCATGATGATTGTCCTGGCCTCTCCTACCACATTCGCCGAACCTATCGCCTTGGAGATGACAGCTGTCTCAGGATACAAAGCGGCTCAAATCTTCGTCGGATTCATGTTCATAGGAGCTGCTGGAAGCGTGTGGTTCTTGCGATCGTGGAAGATCACGGAGATCGAGGAGAAGGCGAAACGCGAAGAAGCAGGCGACTTCGAATGGGGTCTGTCCAGGTTTCATGCCGGAAAAGCTTGGCTGGAGCCACGCAAACTGATCAAAAGATGTCGCGTGTAACCAGATTCATGGCACGGTACAAATACACATCTTAATGCAGATATTAACAATGGACCCTTGATCAGCAGCATTGAAAGTAACCAGTAAAGAAGTCTGCGAAAATCGTTAGCAGAAACCGTGCTTGAACCTTCGCCGCCTGAACCACCAATGTAACATGTAACAGTGACTGTATGGAAGCAAGGACGACGAGAAAGCGAATGGCGAAGCGACAACCACGTTAATAAGTAGAAGTCAAGTGGCCGAGTGGATCCCTCTTCACACGCTCAATTTTGGGTTCCTTATCTTGAGGCTTCCTACACCTGTGGCTGATCAAGGCTACCAACCAAACTTGAACACCATGTCCGAAGAGCTGGAAAAATCTCGGAGTCCTTATCTACGGCCAGACTTTCAGCGTGAGAGCCTCGAATGGAAGCAGCTCAACGGATCGTGGAGTTTTGCTTTCGACGACAAAGACGAAGGACTTCACCAATGGATGCTGCCTGAGGGCCTGCCCGACGACAAACCCCAGAAGATAAATGTGCCTTTCGTGTATCAGACTCCTGCATCTGGCATCGACAAGCAGCAGGCCCATCCAATAGTTTGGTACCAGACCGAGATATCCAGCATCACTGGCTCTTCGACAGCGAAGACATCCCGCACGCTATTGAGATTTGGTGCTGTCGATTACGAAGCAACAGTATGGCTTGCTGGCCAACTAGTAGGTAAGCATCGTGGAGGTCATGTCCCCTTTGACTTCGACGTGACCGAGCTGCTAAATGATGGAGCGCCGAAAGTGTTGACTGTTCGTGTCTGGGATGCTCCGACTGACCTTACCCAACCTCGAGGCAAGCAGTACTGGGGGCCCAAACCTGAAAGCATCTTCTACACGCCCTCAACAGGCATATGGCAGTCCGTCTGGCTTGAGAACGTTCCGAGCAGCCGTATTGCGGATAGCAGCCATGGCACAACCATCAAGGCAAATAACATCGAGACAGGCGAGATCGAAGCCGAGGTCTCTGCCATTGGTCGATTTGAGAAACCTTGCCAAATCAGAATCACTGCAAGCCTTGCTGGCACAGAGATTGCGAAAAGTGATCCTACCGAAGTTAGCATAGAGACAGGTTTGGCAAAGTTAAAGCTGTGCCTTCGCCTGAAGGACGAACGTTTAAATAGTATGCCGAAGGACTTCCTTGACGCCCACCCTGCATCCGATGAGACATGTTGGCACAACAAGCTCGCCCTCTGGTCACCAGAACACCCTATCCTCTACGATTTGACCATCACACTATCCTCTGCCAACGGTGACATCCTCGACGAAGTCAAGACCTACACCGGTATGCGCTCCATCTCCTGGAACAACAACGACGGCACGTTCCGCCTCAACAATCGTCCTTACTTCCAAGCTCTAGTCCTTGACCAAGGCTACTGGCCACACACAAACATGACTCCTCCCGATCCTCAATCATGCAAACAAGACATCCTCCTATCTAAAGCAATGGGCTTCAACGGCTGCAGAAAACACCAAAAAGTCGAATCTCCTGAATTCCTCTACTGGGCTGACAAACTCGGCTACCTAGTCTGGGGCGAGATAGCAAACGCGTATGAGTTCAGCACACAATACGTCGACCGCTTCGACCAGGAATGGAAAGAGGCTGTTCGCAGAGACATAAACCATCCCTGCATCGTGGCATGGACACCCGTGAACGAAACCTGGGGCTACGGCAACTTAGCAAACAGCGAGACCGAACAAAACCACATCAGAAGCCTGTACTACACAACCAAAACCCTCGACCCAACCCGCCCGGTCAACGACAACTGCGGTTGGGAACACGTCTGCACAGACCTAACCACCTTCCACGACTACAGCGACGGTCCACAACTGCAAAACATCTGCTCAAGCATGACCACTATCCTCGAACCCCACGGCGGTCGACCCATGTGCGTTGGCGGCGCACAACACAAACACGGCGCTCCAGTGATATGCACTGAGTTCGGAGGCGTCAATATTAAACCGCAACAAGGCGACAAAGAAATCGAAGGAAGCTGGGGGTATACCACGGCCTCAGACGCGAATGACCTGCTTGAGCGCGTGAGAAGGCTTATGCTCGGAGTCGTTGAGGGAGGACATTGTTGCGGGTTCGTGTATACTCAGTTGACGGATATTGAACAGGAGACGAATGGACTATATACGTTTGATAGGAAAGAGAAACTGCCTGCGGCCGAGGTTAAGAAGATTATTGAGGAGGCCAAGAGGATTTATTTCGAGAGCTTGGAGGAAGTAAGAAAAATAAAGTAAGAAGTTTTCGTGCCATGTACATCACATGCGTTGATGTATCGAGCGAATTGTTCAGTCGTTAGTAGTGCTGCGGACCACGGTCAGTCAATTAATATGGTAAAAGGATTGCTTGGATTATGCTTGAGTATCCTAAAGTACGCTGGAGCTTCTTTAAGTTCCCTTGAGCTTTCTGGAGTTTACTACCTTGGACTTCAGCGAAATGCGCCACAACGACTCGGTATTTTCTGAGGTTAAATACGACGGTTCGGAGCTTGAGACGTCCTACTCGCAACATCTGTTTGTAGCTCACTACGACAAGCGCGATCGATATCGTAGTTTATACACTTCCTATTAGAACACAAGAAATTCAGGCAAAATCAAGCGTGTGCTCTACCGATCGGATAGGAACGTGCTGTACTTTTTCGTAACAAATTCAATTTGTTGCGCTAAATGTGCTTGCCAGACATACCATCCAACACAGGAGACATCACACAGCAGTTCAACTCGTGCTTACACTTGCTCGTTAATGAACAGACCAGCCATGCCTTGCCCAGTACCGATACACATGCTCGTCAAGAGCACCTTCTTTTTCGATCTTCGTGCCTCTGACAAGATAGTGCAAATCTGTCGTGCACCAGTGGCACCCAACGGGTGGCCAAGTGCTATAGCACCACCTCTTGGGTTAACCTTGGCGTGGTCTAGACCGAGCGTATCTAAGCAGTACACTGCCATCGAGGCGAAAGCCTCGTTGATCTCAATGATATCAATGTCGTCCTTGGTCAGGCCGTACTTGCTGAGAAGCTTAGGAATGGCGACGGAAGGACCGATACCCATGATCCTTGGTGGGACACCAGCGACTGTTGCGCCGACGAACTTGGCCATGATTGGCTGACCGAGCTCGAGAGCCTTTGAGCGTTTCATGAGGAGGATGGCGGCAGCTGAAGAATGAGTCAGTATGTGGTCTGAGATTGATATGGCCAAGCAAACTTACCTCCGTCAGTTACCTGCGAAGCATTACCACCAGTAGTCCTGTCACCAAATTGTGGCATAGCAGCCCTAATCTTGCCGAGTGACTCAACAGTAGTGCCGTATCTTGGACCCTCATCCTTGGTAACTGTGACTTCCTTGAGCTCACCAGTCTTAGGATCCTTAACCTTTGTGACGATTGGCACGATCTCATCATCAAACCAGCCGGCCTTTTGCGCTACCTCTGCTCTTCTGAATGATTCACAAGCATATGTGTCTTGAGTCTTTCTGCTGATATTGAAATCCGCACCGACATTTTCCGAGGTCTGAATCATGGGCTGCATACAATCATTCGCATCAGGGTTCTTGGTGATTTCCTCGTGGAAGGGTTTCTCGAGTCTGTCACCACCAGCACTCATGGACTCGGCGCCAACGGCAACACCGATATCAATGCTGCCCTCCTTAATCTGATTGGCGATATCTTGCACAGCTTTCAGACCAGATGAGCAGAAGCGATTTACTGAGCTTGCACCAGCAGTGGTTGGGTAGCCAGCTGCGAGCATAGCGGCACGAACTTTGTAGGCAGCCTTGCCATCAGAGACCTGTACTGATCAGCACAAAGTAGATCATGACTAACGCTGTATAGTCAAACATACGTTACCCAAGCACACATCCTCAATCAGATTCGCATCAATCTTGCTCTTCTCCAGAACTTTCTTCAGCAGAGCATAGACCATGTAATCCAGCTCTGTGTCCTTGAAACCACCTTTCTTGCCTTTGCAGAGCGGTGTCCGAATTGCCAGTGTGATCACCACATCATCTGGGTTCTGTGCGGTAATCGCAGCAATTCCGGACTTGCTGGGTGCCAGCTGGGCGGCGATCGAAGTAAGTCGCTGCATGGCCATTGTGTCGTTGCTAGAACTCGTGAGGAGGGTTTGAGAGCTGGTGATAGAAGAGGATTGGGAGAGTCTGACAAGACCGGTGAGAACGAGTCAGCAGAAGTATATACAGAGGTGCTTGATGATGGCGAAAAGAAGCACGAGAAAGAGGAAGGTAAGAACCAGCCTCGGTATCATTGTGATTGGCTCGGAGCGGGAATCCACCTATTTCTTCTTTCTGATCGGCAAATGTTTCGCATGGGAAGATTCAAGTCGAGGCCGTCAGCGATGAATACATGTTGAGCAGCAAGTTGATTCTGCTGAATTTGTATTAAAAGACTAGAAAACAACGTAAACTGAACGCTTCCTGCATTGCAAGTCTATTGGTGCTTCGGAGAGACTGAACGTCTTCCAAACACGACAAAATTCGCTGGCTCGTTATAGATCTATTTCTTTCCTTCTCAGGTAGTATCTTCCGCAACGCCATTCCCGCTATGCGTGATTTAGTCCATCTATGCCTCGCTACCTACTGCCTGACACCATCGCCTTCTCGTTAAAGTCGTCTTGTATGATATCTCATTTTTCATGCTTCCTGAAGAAGCCTTTGGCCTTTCTTAGTCATTTGGCCTCCTCAACCTCACCCTTTACCGTGTCTGCGTCTTTCATCTCACTGTCTTCAGACTTCTTGGCAGGTTCCGCAGCTTTCTTTGCTTCCTCCTCGGCCTTTCTCTTGGCTTCAGCCTCAGCTCGTTTCTTTGCTGCAGCCTCTTCTTCGGCCTGACGCCTGGCTTGACGCTCCTCTTCCTGTTTCTCGTTGTAACGTCCCACGACTGGACCTGCAACGAATCTGATCTCGTCCATCTTTGCGATGTATTGTGCTTTGGTGGCATCTTCACCGTCCTCGTAAAGCCAGTCCTACAAACGAGTTAGTATTCGATTCGATATTACGGTATCAATACGGGGACTTACCTCTGTCTTCTCGAGCTTGTCTTTAATTTTCTCCTTCTCCTCTTCGCTGGCAAAGTCAGAGTACTTGTCGTCAATGGCACCTCTCAGCTCGTATATGTACGCCTCGAGCTCGTTCTTCTTGTCCTCGGTGTCAGCAACTAGCTTATCTTCCATGTACATCTGGTTCTCCTGCTCAGAAAGACCGGAGAGGGTCGGCTCGTCCAACGAGGACGTGCCAGCTGACACCGGTAACTCGCCCTTGCGCTGCTGCTTCTTGACCTTGCGTGTTTTTGGCTTTGCCTCTGCATCTCCGTTCGGCTGATCCGTTTCCATCTTGTCGCCCTCCTTGACCTCGGGTATTGGTTCCTCGACCTCCACATCCTCGACGTAGTAACCTGATTCGACATTCAGGATACCGTGAAGGTTGAGGCGAGCCTTCAGCTTGCAGATCATGAAATCGTCCTGAGCATCAGCCTTGACACCCTTGACCGAGAAGCGACCAATCCATGGGTTGGTCTTTCCTGGAAGCATCTCTGGTTTGGCATATCGTGCCTCAAGGTCGAATGCCTGTTTACGATAGAAGGTGAGGATCTTGGTCGATGGCATAATACCACCCTTATTGAAAACTGTCAGACTGGTGTCTTCGTCTGGGATCTCAGGTGATTGTTCCCAGGTAAATTCAATGGGGTATGAGACAATGTCGTGAATAGAGAAGTCTCGAACACGGAAGACAGGAGACAAAATAGCACAGCTGAATGCGCAACCACGTGCGATTGCTTCATCCTGGTTGAGAGTGAATGAAAGTGGTCGACCGTAAAATTTGGCAATGGCGTCTTTGATAGCAGGCACACGAGTGCAGCCGCCAACCATCTCAATCGCGTCGAGGTCTTCAGGTTTCAGCTTCGCCTCTGCAAGTGCTTGTTCAAGGGGCACGGTGACACGCTCCAGAAGTGGTTTGACTAATTCTTCTAGTTCTTCTCGCTTCAAGACAGCGCGCACATCTTTGTCATCCATCAAGGATTCGATGTTGAGTGGTGCAGAAGAGTTTGCAGACAGGATCTTCTTGAGCTTCTCGACTGCAGCCATGACTCGCAGTTTGGCCTTTCCGTTTGTGTTGATGTCGACCTTGAACTTCTCTTTGAACTCCTTACCAAAGTGGTCTACAAGAGCCTTGTCGAAATTTCTGCCACCGAAATGTCTGTCCCAACTTGTAGCCTTGACAGCTAGCTCTCCCTTTCGGAATTCCACTATTGAGCAGGTGTAATCGCTGTAGCCGATATCAATGAAGGCGACTCGTCTCGGTTTAGCTTCGCCTTCTGGAAGGTCGGTTTTCGTGATACCATAGCCAAGCGCAATGGCTGTGTTGTCGTTAATCAGTCGCAACAGCTTGAGGTTCGCTATCTGTGCAGCGTCGAGCATGGCTCGTCTCTGCGAATCAGTGAACCAGGGCGGGCAGCTCAGGACCACATCTGATACTGGCAGTTTCAGCTCTTTGCTTGCGGTATCCCGAATCTTGCCCAAGTACATCGCAATCAGTTGAGTAGCGGTATATCTCTGCTTCTCGCCCCTGTAAGTGACCTCCGCACCCACTTGGCCATTAATGTCCACGAGAGGCGCGGAAATGTACTCCTGCTCGATCGTGACTTCTGGGTCATCCAACTTTCGACCAGCTAGACGTTTCAGAGAGCTGACGGTGTTCTTCAGGTTCGAGATTTCCTGTGTCTTCGCGTTCTCGCCAAGGTATCGGCTCTTTGGACCGAATCCGACAAGTGATGGTGTCTGTCGATTTGAGGTTTCGTTGGTAATCTATGGCTGTATTAGCTGAATATCATAAATTAGTTTTCTGAAAGGGCTTACGATGTCAATGCCCTTGTTTCGAGCTACGCCAATCTTGGTAGACTGGCTGCCCAGATCTATTCCGACTACCGACATCTTAAATGTGCTGCTTGTCGTTAACGAAAGAGGGTTTTAGGTATCGGTATAGACCTCGATCAATCTTTTTTAGGCGCACTCTTTCCACACGTGATTCTTGGTGGGATGATGATTGAAGAAAAAGCAAACAACGAGTTCGTTTCGGAATATGAACAAGATCACCAGAAGCAACTTCTTTTGAGAATGACAGAGTGACCTATTCAGAAAAAGTTGAGATAAGTGCCAAGCAACCGTGGTTGCGTTGCGCCTGACAATCTTTGTACCATCCTGAACTTTCACGAACTTTCTACGATAGCGCCTTGCATCACGGTGGAGACCTAATCCAGCGGGACAAAGCAGTTGCAGGCAGTCAGGCAATAACCAATCATCCTGCTCTGCTGTAATGCGTGTCAAGAATTTTATCTACCAATACTCTATAGAGGATGAGACCTTTCTCAAGTAATGATAACCTAGTCCATAACTACAATAACAGACGCATCTCTTCTTGCGTCTCAACTCACCGTCTTCAGTCGGATGCCGCAGAATAGTATAGTTCTTCAACACGTCGAGGTGTGTGGATGGAGACGTTGTCCGACTCCATATCGCTCATCTCTGCCAGATCGTCAAGCTTCTCTCCGGCACCTTTTTCAACATCTGTTTCGCTGAGCACTTTGCTTCTCCAATCTCCAGCACTTGAAGTCTCGTCAGCAGAAGTGAATCTGCCTTCGGCGCGCGACGATGGCTGTAGAGTCGACCGCATCAAACGATGTGCACGTGCGTGAGGTGGTGACAGTGCGCGATGAGCCTCGATAGCCGGCCTGAACGTCTCTGGCATGATGTTCAAATCATCTCCTGTCCGTTCAGCCTTTTCGATTGCTTGCTGAGGTGTGGTCTTCGCATCAGCCGCTGCTGCATCCGACCGCGGACCACCCCATGTTCGTTGTCCTGCTGTGAAGATACCGTGCACCATGTAGATCCAATTCATGAAGGGATTCATGACAAACATGAGAGGATAGAATACTGGCTTCCATCGTCCAAGCTTGAAGGCGAAGAAGATCATCATGGCCCAGTTCAGACCCAGTGAAACGCCGATGAACTGCCAAGGAAGCTCGTCAAAGTAGGTAGCAGTGCTGGCTACGGAGATGACCATGACTAGGAAGAGCAATGCTGTGGTTCGAATGGTATTCTGCATGAACCGGATGAGACAGAGCAATGGATATTTCCGCCACAGTCGAGAGTCAGTCAACATGCACACCTCGTTAGTGATGAAACCAAGAAACCATCGTCGCCGTTGTTTCAGCAGCGAGTAGAATGTTTGGACAGCCTCGGTCTTGCAGAAAGCACTTGTGCACATCTGGATCTGGTATCTTTTCTTTGCACCAATCATAAAAAGGTGAGTCAACCATCTGTCCTCGCCAAGATGAGTCTTGCCATAATCAAACAGGTCGTCACATTGCTCCGATCGGTCGGAGAAGTAGTATTTGGCTATATTGCGAAAGGCCGAGAAACGCAGGATCGTCAGAGCACCTGGCAGACAGGTAACTGCACCGCAGCCTGACTCGACAGAACGCTCGTACATCTGGCCATGTATGTACTCCATGTCTTGCAGCAAGGTAATGAAAGAGTTCTTCTGCGTACACGATGTGATGACACCAGTCATAGCTAATACGTCGTGCTTGCTACCAGGTTTGAGTTGCATTTCATACATGAAGTTCTGGATGCAAACTCCATCCAGAATGCAGTCAGAGTCGATGAAGAGAATGAAGAGGTCATCCTTCTTCTGCAGATACCGCTGATAGATCTTGTCGATGAGCCTATAGGTTGCCTTCTGGCAGTGTCTCTTGCCTCCATGTGGGAACCTTGAGACTGTGACTCTAGCATTATTGTAACACACGTCGATGGATTGGGGATATTTTTCAAGACAAATCGGTATGCCAAGACGCTTGAGCAGCTGTAGGTAGAGTTCGTCAACCTCGTCACCATCGAATGAGACAAAGACGTGGATACAGGCGGCTGGGTAATCGCTGGAGACAACTGAATCCAGTGCTTTGAAGAGTGACTCGGGTGGTTCTTTGTACACTGGCATGACGACAACCACTTTGGGTGCAGAGACTTCGTCGAGCTCGTAAGTTATCTGCTTCTTTCGTCCGATTGGGTAGACCACAATCCGGTATACACAAATGAGCCAAGGAATAGTAAGCAGGATGGCGAACATGAAAAAGGCGAACCACTGAAATGCTACCTCGACATCGGGCCACATGAAACCTCGCGCTTGTTTAGGAAGTGGCAACGTAACAGCCATGACCGGAAGAAAGGCAAATCTACAAGTCTTGTTAGCTGAAACCCCAGTGTAACGAGCATGAGTGTACCTGAAAAGGACAAAAAAGAACAACATCACAACCACCAAGAATTTAGTCGACCAATGGTCTGCTTTCCTCCAAGCTTTGTAAAGGCAGTAGCAGAAGGCTGCTACCCATAAGAACCATTCCAGTAAGGCGCATAGCATAATCGGCCCGACCACAGCGATATAGACAATGTCGGCCACCCTCCACGAGGGCGAATGTGTCGTGGGTGCCATTGTCGTGGACAATAAAGGAATAGACTGAATGACAATGGTGAATGGTTACATGCAGCAAAGCGATAATGTCACTTGGATGCGGTCAGCAAGTGTATAATGGAAAGTTTGACAAACGTGGGAATTCTAACAGAAACCAGCCTTTCAGCTGCAGTCAGTTGAGCGCATGGTACGAGGAAAGAATGGTTCTCGCACCTGCTTCCCAAAAAACCAGCGAGTTTATTCTGGAAAGAGCCATGCTGGGATTTGCAAATTTCTTCGCCAGAACAACACTGGCAGCTGCATCTGATGGATATTCAGAGTGAAAAGGTCGGCGTTGTCGAAAGTAAGTGACAACGAGGGAGGCGATGCGGGCATCCCTAGCAGCAGATACTTGCAGCTATTGTAGTCCGGTAAAGCCTACTCATCTGTGTGAGCGCCCATTTGAGGTCGAACTGGTATTCACGCATCCTTCTCAAGCTTGATCTTCATAATGCAATAGTGAAGCCGGTGTTTCCTGTGGCGATCACTGAGTAGAGAGAAGACAAGAGTCGTGTAGAATTACGAGGATCCAAAGTGAAAATCGGTTCAGTTTCGAATCAGCCAAGACCCCCAAATCCATCATGGCTAATTCTTTTGCTCTCCGTCGTATAGATATGTACTACGAACCCTCCACTGCCCGTGCATATGCACCAGAACGACATCTCGAATTGCTTGTATTTGAATCGGCTGCTCATATACGGATCCTTGAAATCAAGGGCGTTCATCACCACTGACTGAGCTCCCAACTTCTGTCCAGGCACTTGCTGGTGTCCTGATGCCATCACCATACTCTTCATCACTCATGTCATCCTCTGTAACCTCAGCTTCGCGGTGGCCAATATGCGAAGTGCTACCTGCTAGACTAGTGTGGTATGATGGCATAGCTGATAGGTTTTGAGGCGGCGTGAACGGCCGTGGGTCGAGCGAGGTTAGCGGCCGCCGCAAGACAACGTGATCACCGTTCAAACCCTCGTCCTCTTGCAACGCCTGGCTATTAGCGACCGAGAAATATTCCGACCTCGATAGAGGATATGGTGTGTCCGTTAGGGATGGTATCGAATAGTCGGGATCAGGGAATTCTTCCGTTGTGGGAGTGAGGTCAATCAAGCTCTCTGAAGCATGACTGTTTGCAATTTCCACGCCTGCCGACCTAGATGTCAGGTCGATGTTCCAAGCATTACGCATCTCTTGCTCGTATTGACTCTCCCAAGGTTCAATGGCTGACACGACTGGCATTGGTCGGTGATCCGGATCGAGTTGTCTTAACAGGATTGGAGAATCGACACTGTCGTGCATGCGAGGATGTTCAGTGCGAGAGCGTAGCCCTTGACTATCATTCTGCTCAACAGCAGTAGAGGCTGCCCATGGGTTCTGCTCAGCCTCAGCAACGTGAGGTCTCAACTTGCCGTCATCATCCACAATCGAGTCGAAACTGGGCGTCCTCGTCTTGTCCATGGATGACCGCCTTCCCTCTCGCTTGGCCTGCAATCTCCTGCCTCTATCCATGATCTCCTGCCGGGCCTGCCGTCTTCGTTCCTCAGCCTTCTCGTCCATGTCTTCGTGCATCGAAGAGTCCTGTTTGTTCGACCGCCTTCTTTTCCTCTGTTCTTGGATGTCATCTCCCAATGATCTGAAGGCGAGTGCTACCTTCTGAGACGAACGTTCGAACCATTCCCGGATCTGAGGATTTTCGTAGGCGGCGATAGAGGCAGCAACCAGAACGGAGGCTATAATGATCGCACCTGCGTGAGGAGCCATAGTCAGCACAACCTGAGTGAAAGGTAGCCACAACTAAGAGAAAAGGTAGAGTAAAACCACCTCGTTCTCGGTCACATGGGCAAGTCCGAGGGTGGTTCCGATATGCATCGGCCATGGAGACAGCACCAGACTGAGGAGACTGGTGATGTAAGGGCCGCCAATAGTGCTACGTCCTTACCTTTAGCTACTGCACCGGGCATCGTACTGGTATTTAATGTAGTGCGAAACCTTGTGGGACAAACAGTGTATATAATGGAGGGACGACTGTTGAAGGATGAGTAGAGCTCTGAGGCTTTTGTCAACATAGCTCGTAGGAGTGATTTGCCTCATAATCGTAGCAGCCTGGTTACGTAGAGGGGCACTCAGGTGTGGCGCAGCTCGCAGCATGCCTTGCCGAGGTTTGAGTGCCTGAAACCTTCTTCGCCTTGTGCCACCAACCCCTGACAGACGTTTGACTTGAGTGGCTCCATCCTCGTGTTGAGCGCCTAAACGAGCACTGGAGTCAGTTCGTCCTTCTCGTGGCTTGCTACGTAGTCCAAGCACTTCGTTAAGCAATTCAAAGAGCAGCAGTAGCTTTTCTTGCATTCGCATCCTACACACAACAAGCAGAGCTGTAGAGGACAAGGAGATTTATTGTTTTACATAGGCGTGATCGCTGCCCTTAGTCGAGAACGTACTGAGCTGAGAGTTCGCAGAATTCTGGGCTTCCTGCCGCTTCGAGTTCGAATTTCAACTCATGCTTTGTTCCCGCTCTGGAGATCATACAGCCTCAACTTGATTCCTGGAACCGGTTTGATACTGAAAAGTCCACCGACTTCTATCTTCTCATTCGGGTCTGCTAAATCAAATTTAAACCTCATAACAAAGGTTGCTAGCAAACACTTCATTTCCAAACGGGCAAACTCCCGACCGATGCAGCTTCGAGGACCAGTGAAGAACGTGAGAAAGTCATTGTGGCTTTGTGCGCCGCCATGTGCTGCGTTCGATCCCTCTAGCCATCTGTCAGGATCAAAGGTGTCCGCATCGGGGCCCCAGAGAGTCTTGTCGCGATTGATGGCCCAAGGACAAATCAGAGCAGAAGTCCCCTTCGGGATGGACTGATCTCCGATCTTGGTATGTCTAACGGCTTCACGAGGCGTGGCAGGAATAGTAGGATACAGGCGCAGTACTTCGTTGCAAACGGCGGTGAGATACGGCATTGCCTCAGCATCGAAGTCTGATGCACTGATGTCGGACTCTGGTCTGTTGGCCAAGCGATCATCACATTCGGCTCGCAAACGTGTTTGAACATCGGAGCACAGGGAGAGTAGGTATGTGGTCCACATTAGCGCTGATGCGGTTGTGTCGTGACTAGGAACATAGTGTCAGCAGAAGCACGCATTTCGAAGACGACTAACTTTGAAAATTGAGAAGAGTAACTCACCCAGCAGCAAGAAAAGTAAGCAATTGATCAACAAGGTAATCATCCGAAAAAACCCCCGACCTCATGATAATTCCAATGATATCTCGCTGTTGTTCCAATTCTTCCGGCTTCATCTGCTTTTTCTCTTGTACCAATGCACGAGCGTGCTTCCTCATTTGTGCTTGTACTTCCGCGACTCGCGCGTACCTGGTCCCTTTGAGTCGCTCAATCAACCATTCTGGAGCAAAAGTGTTGATCACAAAGGACAACAACGGCATGCCGCCGCTCGTGTCTGTTATCAAAGCATACGACTTTGCGAAAGGGTCCTCATCGTTGTCAATCGTTCTAAAGTCTTTGCCTATGCCCGCTGCGCCAATAATATCTAATGTCACGCGGGACATTCGGCCTGACAATTCCAGCGATTCATCTGCCGAGGCTTTGACTTCGCGAGCTATGAAATTAGTGAAGACCAGTCCTTTAGAATAGAAGAGACTGCAAAGTTCTCGGACGTGATGGCCCGAGAAGGCGGGTGCAACAGCTCTCCGCATGGCCTTGTGTTGATCACCTTCAGCACCAACAAGTCCTTCACCTAGCGTCCTTTTGATGATTGCCCTGAATGTCGGAGGCTTTTCCCAATCGTAGCTGTGCGTGTGCAGCATGTCCATGAGCGTGTCTGGACGAGTTGGAATGACCTGACTATAGAGATAGAATGGATACCATAGCACGAGCAGACCGTCATTTGGTGTATTCCGGAACATATTCACGATCTTATCTGTTGGCGGTTTACCTCCATTGAGGTCGAAGTGGCCAATGGGTAATCTATCACCTGCTGGAGACGGTAGATGTCGTAGCGGCGAAGTGAAGAAGGGGATGCTGATCTGCGTAACCACGTACATCCAGGTAATAGCAGTACTGATGAGCCATGGTGCTGATACATGGCTGAAATAGCTGGGATCGAGAAGGCTTCGAACTGCCAGATAGGTAGGCTGAGCAAGCACGAAGACCGTGTGCACCAATACACCTTTCCAACAATGCATTGCGGCCTCGTGGTGTGCTAAGTGTGGTAAGGGAGTGGTAGCAATATTTTGCTATCCTGTCCACAACCCGACTCTGGTCAATCTAGATTTTATGCCGTTCGAGTTCTCGTTGGTGGACTGTCCCAATGCTGCTAGCTTTGGCGTCCGCTATAGGTCACAAATCAAGTGCCTATTCTACGCATGATTCAGATCAATGACGCTTTATAGATTGTTCTTGCCATGCCTGGGCCTTGAACTGAAGCTGTCTGAGCGACACTCGTGGTAGCCAAATATAGCAACTTTCACTCGTACTCGGATGGTTACGGGGATCAAGATCTGCTGATCCTTGCCAACTCGCATCCTACTATATGCAGTCACACGACGCATCGGACACGCTTTGATTCATAGTTGTCCTTGCTAATCAACAACGAATCAGCCTCGGTAACTTACATACTGTAAGTCGAGTCTGGCTTCGGGATATCTCGTAGACATACCTTGTGTTGTATTAATAATCTATACGATGCAATAGGATTATAGTCCTAAAAAAATAAGCAACTTCGAAGTTAAAATACTGCGTTATATTACGTAAGTTCCCAGGCCTAGGGTAATAGGCCAGCAATGATCCTGTCTAACAAGCGGCTCTCATCACTGATCGGGGCATACTGCAGTGGTTAATATAATATTATCCCAGCGAAAGCCTGGCCCACGAAGCAAGATCGAAACACTACTTTTCAACGAAATGGTCGAGTACTGTCGTGACAAGGTAGAGTAGGATCGTAAAGCTGTCCCAGCGAAAACGGAGTCAGAAAATCAATTCAGTCGAATCTTTATAGGTACGGCTACGAACATCTGAACGTCTGCAAAAGCCTGAAGCAAGTCTTGTTACTGGCGCTTGATCCTTGGTAAGCGCGACGATCCCATCCCAACCTTGATCTGTCTAGCAAAGGTCGGTGGCTTGAGCCTTTTCTGGGCGATTGAAAAGGAACATCATGACCACAATCGTCTTGCACACACCCGAAGCAAGGATCGCCCAAGCAGAACCATGAGTGCGATACATCGCTGTCCCGACCAGGGCGCCAAGGAAAAGAGTAACGATGAAGCTTACTCGCCGCGTTCGACTATGGTTTGCTGGAGCAAAGAGATTCTTGTCTACCATAAGGTCCACCCATGCGGCTGTCGCCATTGCCGTGCTTATCTCGGTCATAACGAACGCTCTTGATAAGACCACCTGACTACCCGAGGCAAAGGCGAGCATGCCGATGATTAACAAAGTCGGAGTGCCTTCAAGATGTACACCATAAATAAATTGGAGAGCTGCAGCGACAAAGACAAGAACAGTTTGCAAGAGATTGCTGGAGATCAGCCAAAGTCGAGACCGCGGTCCTACCTTATGGCCTAACTGTCCAGTCATCCATCCTGCAGTCACGAAACACATCAAGGATACCCCAATATTTGCCGGAACAAACAATTCGTGGTTGCTGTTCTGTAGAAGGGCTGCCATTGCCAGCATGACAGTATTCCCGGTTTGGTTGGAGGCGAAACAGTGGTAATCGGGAAAGGTTGTTGCATCTTGGATCCCGGTGCAGAAAGTAAGGATCAGGAGTTCAACTTCGGCAAGAGCGTTGACTTCGACACTGCCTCGCACATGCTGCTGCCATCTAGGGGTACATTGTTGGAACTGGCTAGGCACTGCCGTTGCCACTTGTGTTTGTTGCACTGATTCAGCCTTCTCGGAAGACATCCTAGACTTGAGCTATCGATCGAAGGTAAGGTTATAGGATTGAGGACGGATGGCTGTTGTGACTCTGAAAACATCGAAAGGCGAGTTGCGGTGAAGTGCGTATGGCCTCAAATAGGTCGTGCTCGTTCACCTGAAATGCCGCAGTTTGGAGCCCTTGGTTCAATCTAGCAGAGTCGTTACAACGTATCACTTTTTAGTCTAGTCGACTGTCACAACTTGGCCTTCCTCAAGCGGTATGTCGTGACGTGTCATTACATCGCCAACACGCACGAGTCACGTATATATCAAGAACAAATCGGAGATTTCCCCGATTACCGTACCGACAACCGGCTTCACTGCAATATATAGACAGAAGCTACGTGATCGAAGCACCTAGCACACCGACAGCCGTGGAACACCTACTAATGACCGATAAACAAACCAACAGCTGTATAGAAGACCCGTACCCGAGACAGTTCAACGAGTCTCTAGACACAAACGTGCCTCATGACAGCATTTTCAAGACATTATCTGGCAATGATATGATAGATAATAACGGTGACAATCAACACAATGCTTTCCAGTGTGCCATGGAGATTTGGGATATCGACCCGGAGACACAACCATTCCCATTCAACTAAACTGATTGGCGCCTTGATAATCGAAAAGACACAATGGCATGGCAGCAGTACGATTGGAACAGCTCCATAGGAGATCGGATACATCCAGTATAGAATAAATCACAGAGGCTCTAAAGTGAGACCCATCTCATGCGCTAATGGGTTTTGTGAATAGACCCATTTGCTGACCCATTTGCGGTCAGCTCGGCATCTCTTAAACGCTCTTCCATCTGCTCTTTCGGAGATTTCAGGCTGACCTCAGGGAATCGGTTGTCCTTCGTCCATGGTAAGAAATCCGAACCCTCCATCAACCATCTAAAGATTTCCCCTTCCATCATCTTCGCTGCAGGGGTGTAGCGGGGATTTGCCGCCAGATTGTGCATCTCTTCAGGATCATTTTGTCGATGATAAAGCTCAGCAGGTTCGTACAGTCGATACACGTATGTCCACTCCTCATTGCGAACGCTGATTGCTTTGCCAACTAAAGTTGTATCCTCGTGTTGTAGACCAGCTTTGATGTCATAGGGGTAGGGTGCTTGCTCTAGTAATGGCTCCTCACTCGTTAGAAAGCCTCCTTCAGAGAAGGAAAAATCCTTGTGCTTGTTGGTCTTTCCAGTAAGAAGCGGCACTAACGAGAGTCCGTTGTGAGGAAAGTGTTCCCCTATTCCGCCTATCTCAAAGACCGTTGGCACCAAGTCTACCATCTCTGTCATTGCCGTTACAACCTTACCTTCGGGCAATCCTCCTCCAGCGATTATCAACGGTTCGTGAAGTAGGGTCTCCGACAGACCAGATGGCCATTTCTCAATCATTCCATGATCGCCGAGGTACTCACCGTGGTCTGTGAAGAACATTGTGACAGTGTCCTTCCATAGGCTGAGTTCATCAATTTTTTTCATTATCCTACCGAATTGGTCGTCGAGTCTTGTGATCATGCCATAGTAAGTCGCCTTCACTTCAGCCCAGACCTCGGGTGTGGCTCGAGCGGTGCCATAACGTTCTCGGATAACTTGCATGTATCTCGGCTCATAGCCGGTCTTCTTCTCTGGATACGAGATAATTGGTGGCATCTGATCTCGTTCGTACATCGAGAAGTAGGGTTCTTCAACCTGAAACGGGCAATGCGGGAACAATAACGGCATAAATAACACCCAGGGCTTGTCTTTGGGAGGATATTCGAGCCATTTTAGTGCAGATCGAACCACAGCATCGTCGTAATCCGAAGCTTCGTTGGAATTCCTTAGTCCCTTGTAGAACAGACGAGCCCAGACACTTTCGTCTTTCTCATCCGAACCACCACCCGTAAACTTTGGAACAAACTCCGGCGTTTCTAGAAAACCGTACTCGCTGACACTAAGCTCTGTAACGGTTGGAGCAAAGGTGTCCCCCCGAGGAGCGAGACAAGCGACATGGTAACCGTTTTCCTTGAGGCTGCGAAACATGTTCGGTTCCCAAGGCTTGATAAGGTTCTCAAGGCTTCTGTGTCCGCTCACATGGGGGTATGTCCCGGTGAACATACTGCATCTCGATTGGGAACACACAGAAGCTTGAGTGAAGCAGTTGGTAAAGAAAGTGCCTCTCCTAGCGAAGGCATCGATGTTCGGTGTCTTGATGGGTAGACTCTTCGATGCTGTGTGGCCTATAGAATCATACCTCAGCTGGTCTGGCATGAAGATGACCAGGTTTGGCTTGTCTTTGCCATTCTTCGAGTCAATTTTGAGTGGAAGCGACTTCGGTGGTTGGGCATATGTTTCTGGTGCCATGATGCTACGTTATCATCCGTCTGAGAGTGAACAAATGTTTTGGTAGGAAGACACCGAGTTTCGTCAACGATTCTCGACATAACTAGTGAAGATCGGCCCGCCGAATTGGATGATATGGGCCGTGACTTGAGGACTCGGATATCGGACGGTTGTCGGGTTTTCCAAGGAACCCTGTCTCCCTTACGGCTAACGATGTTGCCCAGGCTCTACCAAGTTTCGTGCTTTAGTAGTGGACAGCAGTCTCTTGGGTTAAACCTCGGCTAGTCCCAAAGATATGTTTTCACGTGGCTATCAAATTCGAATGCGACGGGGCAACAAGCTCGAGGAAGAAGTTCCGAAGTTTCGGACATATATTTGCCGCTACATCACAAAAAAGGTGTACCTCATTCGAGCTGCTTAAGCTGAGAACGCTCGATTCAAGCTGTCATTGCAGTCATAAACCAATTTACTTTGTCCATCCCCGTCCTGATTGCCTGTATCGTGTGCTGATGCGCTACCATTGAGAGCACCATAGAGTATACCCTCCTACAACGTCTGTGATCTGAACAGTGGATACTAGCATTGTCGCGAGCACTTTTTGGTGCTGTCCTGCATCTTGAGAGAGCCTTCGCGAGTACTGCTCTAGCTATACGGATTGTCGCTTGATTACTCCATAAAATCACAACATCTCCGACCATGAGCACGTTTGGCCTAGACTGAAGGGCTACGAGAACCACATGCCAAGCCGACCGGCTGTCGGATCCCGAGCCGTCAGGATTGGACTCTGCAGCAACTCGCGAAGTGACCCCCACCACTGCACGGTGACGAGTCAATCGTGCTTGGCAACAGCCTCACGAACACCCGAAGTCCTGGGCACAAGAGCAAGTGACAACCGTGCTCATAGCAGCCTACCATGTGCTTCAGGTGGATCCAACTCTCACACCTGTCGGACCATCATGCGACTGAACAGTAAAAAAAGACAAGATATCTGCGATACGTGTCGCGCCAGAAAGGTACGTTGTGACAGTAGTAGGCCGACATGCGGTAATTGTGAGCGTTTGGGCTTTGCATGCACGACTACTGGACAATTCGAACAGGTAGGAAGAGTAAGCAATCATGAGAGAAGACGCGCCAGACAGGCTTGCACAAATTGTCACAATCTCAAAGCTCGATGCAGCGGACAGAAACCTCAGTGCACAAGATGTCTCGACAGGGGTTTGAACTGTGTCTACGAAGGTGATAAGAGTCCGAAGAGCAGGAGCAATACCACTACCACGACAGTGAGCCACGAGTCACCAGCAGCGAGCTCACTCGCTGCTGGATCTACACTGTCGCCAAATCTGAGCACAACAGCACATGACTTGTGAGTAGAAAGCCATGGGACTGCTTCATCGCTAATCGAGCCAGGTTGCTAAACCTCAACAATGACGATGTCAGTAGAATCCTCGATATCTTCTTCAAAGACATCCAACCAGTTCCTGTTTTCTCTTTTATGCATCGCGCGTCTGTACTCCAACGATATCAAGCAGGCTTACTCGACAAAGCACTACTACTTACCATTATTGGGCTCACGACGTGCTTGACACAATTCGAGAATGCAACTTCTGCTTTCACTACGACCTGTATGTCGATTGCGGAGGACCTGGTTCTTCGCGATATTGAGCATCCATCTGTACTGAAGCTACAAGCTCTTGTGCTCGTCGTCAAGTATAAAACGTATGTCAAGCAGTTCGCTAGTGCTTTTATGCTGTTCGGCCTAGCTGCGAGGTCCGCATTCGGCCTACGGCTCAACTATGAAAGTTCTGGTTTATGCTTCCTCGCTCAAGAATCTCGAAGGCGCTTAATGTGGTCCCTCTATATCATTGACAGCGGACTTGCTGGTGGTTTACGCGACTTTGTGCTCTGCTCTGAGACAGCGCTTCATCTACGTATGCCCTGTCGCGACCGAAGCTTTGAGCTTGATGCTCCCGAGCTAGAGGACAACGAGGACACCGAAAATGCTCGCCCTACTATCAAACATAAAGGGTCACTAACTTTATACATACAAATTATGATGTTGAGGTCAAAAATCCTCTACCAAACCAAGGATATATTGCGAGCCCGTGTTGAAGATGCTAAGCACATTGTACTTCTGGTCAAGCGACTTGAGCACGATATTGACTCTTTCTGTAAGGACTTGCCGCCCGACTATCACTTCTCAGAGAAGAATCTAAGACTTCGTGCGTATGCCGGAAGGTTACCTCGCTATGTCGTCATTCATATCTGGCTTCACCAATGTTACTGCGATCTCTACCGTTTGCTACTTACGGGCCTGCGAGAAGCTCTTCCTGCTTCGAAGGTTGAAATCTTGCCTAACGAGTTTGTGCAGGACTGTCAGAGAAAATGTATGGACCGTGCTCGGGCAATATCCAATATTCTCGGCTCGTTGATGACATTAGAGAGATATCTACCACTTTTTGATCTTGACATGAATATTTGTGCCTACCAAGCTGCGAGGTTATTGTTCTATGGTCGTCGAAGGGAGCCGCTGCACCGAGCGTCATCATCAGGTACTACTATGGCAGATGTGGAGAAATGCTTGTCATTCACAGCTCTCGCAGCGTCCCGATCGCTCGCGTTCAGATCGATACATGATGACATGAAGGCACTTTTCGAAACCGGTCAGTCCTCCGATGTATCTCCCAGCGGCTCTGCAAGCCCTTCGAGCAGGCCTATGTGTGAGAAGGGTGGAAAGCAAGACGTACACGCATCTCAAGTCATGTCCAGGCACAGTCTTATCCGTCAGTCAGGCATCGTGGATGATAGCGACAATCTTGGTATGCTACCTGCCGAGCACAATATGGTCACGTCGCTACAGGCACCACCATTGGCTATGGCAGAGACCCTAGCCTCTGGACCGCCAGCAACTAATGCGGAAAGTGCTTTCACGAGCTTCGAGCCATCACAGCTCGACGAACAAGAAAATGCCTTCCAGTGCGCGATGGATATTTGGAATCCTGACACCAACACGCAATCTTCTGCATACAACCACATCGACTGGCTTCAGAATGATTGGTCAGATCCTGCTTGGCAATATGATTGGACAATGTTCTCGACAAATCAGCTGCACAAAACGTAAAAACAGATAATAATTCATTCTATAAAGGCACCGTCCGGAACGTCAAGGTGACCGCTTCCGATGTCAAAAACGTTAGTTTGGGATGGCGCCTTGATATCTCGGACGGTAGGGGGACCTCAGCAGGCTATACTCTATTTAGCCAGTCATTGTTCTAAGGTTAGAAGGCGTACAAAGGATACCTCGACTATAAGTATACTATTGTCCAAGTAGAGTACTTTACAAAGAATATGCCTCGCTTAGTAAACTTATCGATGTTAGGTATACTAATCGGCAGTATTTACTATGCTATATAGCCAATCAGTTTTACCTAAGCTGGTCTAGCATGAAAACGACCAGACTCAATCTGTCTTCGCCATCCTTGCCGTTGACGTCTACCAGAATTGGCTTTACGATAAGGCGTGTGGTTGACACACGTTAGTACTGTGCTTGAAAGACGAGAAAACGTTACCATGCCCTCGAGTAAGCATTCTAAAGTCAAAAGACAAACGGGCAGCTCGAAAGATAGCACGGAGACAATTCCAATTGCTCGGTTAAACCTCATCTGGCAGAGGACGTTCGGCAAGGCAACATAGTTTGAGAGCGGCTATCGGACGGCTATCGGTGTTGCGACACTCAGGACCTGCTCCGTCCTGACCAATCACGTATGTCTTTATGCCAACTTTGTCTTCCACACCAACCCTTACTCCAAGGAACCTTACGAATCGTTTTCACACGGGGAAGTCTGGAGTAATCAATGCGAAACTGGTCCTCATGACTTCACTTGAGTCTCGATCACCTACCACATGGCGCCGACGAGCCGATGTATTTGCGATAGTACAAATTCTGGGCGTGTCCCATCTTCGAAGCGAGTTCTATTGAATCACCAGCACATCTTTCCCAAGATCATCACCTATCAAGATGGGCAAGCTCCAATACTTCAACAGACAACTCGGCTTAGCTTGCAGTCTAATCGCGTTGTCATCGTTCAACTATGGCTTCGACAATCAGGCTTTCGCCACCACTCAAGCCATGGATGCATTCGGCAAACAGTTCGGTGTTTTTAACCCAAAGACTCAGACATGGGCGTTGGAGCCCTCTTGGCTCTCGCAGTTCAATAGCTTGAATTACATTGGCTTTGCAGCTGGTATGTGTTTCAAGCAAGCTCTCGACGGCGCTGATCGCATGCAGGTGTTCTGATCGGCAGTGAGATCTCTTCCAGGTTCGGTCGAAGATGGTGCATGTTCAGTATGAGCTGCTACGCTCTGGTCACAGCTACAATTGCTGTCACTTCTACCTCCAAGTCACAGATTATGTCTGCTCGAGTACTGAACTACCTCTACGTTGGCATGGAACTCTCGGTCGTGCCTGCATATCAGAGCGAGATCGTCCCAGCACCTGTTCGTGGTCTCATCGTCGGCACCTATCAGCTATCACTCGTCCTCGGTGGTTTCGTCATCAACTCTGTATGTAGAGGTACAAGCACCATCAATGACAACAAATCATGGAGGATCCCGCTTGGCCTATTCTATGTTATCCCGGTCATCATCGCTTCACTCATATGGTTCATTCCTGAGTCGCCTCGATGGCTCCTGCTCAAAGGTCGTCGCGGGGAAGCAGAAGCCAATCTGATCAAGCTAAGAGAAGGGGCGTTTTCGCAAGAAGACATCCAGAAGGAATTTGCAGAGCTTACAAGCACGTTGGAGACTGAGGTAGAGCAGGGACACTTCAAGGAGTGCTTCCAAGGACTCAACCTGAAGAGGACGATCCTGGTCGTGCTGCTCAATATGTTCCAACAAGCTACAGGTCAAGCATTTGCAAGCCAGTATGGTACGATCTATGTGAAGTCACTTGGGACAATCAACCCATTTAACTTCTCGTTGATTCTGGCATCAGTCAACATCGTGTCGATCAGCGTTGCGTTGCTGCTTACTGATAGGATCGGTAGAAGGTGAGATATCCCAAGATTGGTTCGGGCTTCGCTGACTTTTGTAGACCACTCATGTTGACCGGCGCCACCATCATGGCTATTAGCTTGATGATAATGGGCGGACTAGGCCTGCCAGACCCCATTACATTTGGCTACAAAGTTGGAATTATCGCCATGCTCTGTCTGATGACAACGGGCTTCTCAATCGGATATGCGCCTTTGGTTTACGTCGTCTCAAGCGAGGTTCCAGCCCTCCGTCTTCGAGATAAAACTTTACGACTTGGTTTCTTCATCAATGTCCTCTTCAAGTAAGCCGCCTCCGTTCTCCTCCTAGTCTCTACTAACAAGCTCCAGCTTCGCAGTAAACTTCTCAATTCCTTACCTGATCTACGACAGATATGCAGGGCTGCAATCAAAAGTCGGGTTCATTTTCGGCTCGATCGCGTGCATTTGTGTGGTGTTCACCTATTTCTTCGTGCCTGAGTGTCGAGGAAAGTCATTGGAACAAGTCGATCACATGTTCCGGGAAGGTGTGCCGCTTAGGCATTTCCACAAGCATGAGTTCTCAGCGTTTGAACATGCCTCTGGAAAGGAGGATATCGAGAAGATAAGTGTTAGAGGCAAGGAGGTTGAGGATGTACAGAGGTGATAGGCGAGTAGGGTCAGACTGTACACACGCGAGATTGATATTATTACAGGATGATTGGTGATTTTGTTGCCGATAGGCTGAAACAATAGGAGTTAACTGTTACGACCACACATACATTGGTCGGAACAGACCACGTGCTACTAGGGTGTACCATAGATAGCTAGTGCGCGGTGCGCAGGCACATCACCTGCGTACCGACGTCGCCACTGTACTTGGAATCCTTCCAAATACTGAATCGTATAGATCTGACATGTAACATTACTCAAGACTCGTTCCTACTGGCTGTTATCTGTTGTGGTCCTAATATATATCTGGGCAAACACTGTGTATGTACATTTCGACTTAAAAGCCTCTCTCGCCGCCTCTTATACGTTTTATCTATACAAAATTTGCCCATTCCCAAGAATATAGACGACCATATGTGTGCTCAATTAGTTCCGTAGTCAAGTTCAGTACAGCGCAGTAAACGCTAACACACAGCCCATTGTACTACACTCTTTTCCCAATAATTCTCGTTCCTCCATCCATGTCTGATTTATTCTCGATTATGGGTAGTGATGTCAATTCATGATTACGTATGTCAGAGGTAGATTGCGATATTACCAGAAGACATCATGTCATGCTAACCCGCTTCGGACTTCCGAAATGGTTGGGCGATACCTAAAATATTGCTCCTAGATAGCAAAGCGCAGATAATGAACCAAATGTGGTTGTTAATATGTGCAAGCACAGCAAAAGCACAGCCATGAGTACAGACAACCAGCTACTGACGAGATTCCTCGAACATCATCCAGAAGTTGACTACTTCTACCTCATCTGGATCGACACTGTTGGCGTGTCTCGAGCCCGGGTTCTAACAAAAAATCATCTTGTAAACTTGACACAATCAAAGCAGAAAATAGCTACCATTAGGTCGATCTTCTCACGTCTACAAGATGACACTCCCAATGGAACAAGAGTCAATACCTCTGCCGGTAGCGTAAACATTGTACCGGATCTCGGTACCTTACGTCTGGCAGGGTATAGTCCTCGAAGCGCTACTGTGCTGTGTCGGTTTTGTAACTCTGACGAATCGTCTTTCGATCTTGATGCTAGAAGCGTCTGCCAAAAGGCCATAGAGAGTCTCAATGTTGCTGGCACGGACTTACGATGCGGATTTGAGCTTGAATTCACGTTGCTCGGTGCACAGTCAGGCAGGACGAAAGACGTTTCGCCGTTTGATCGTCAGTGGTCATCAGCACGAGCTTTAACTCAGCCTGCCGTCAAATTTTTAAAGGACGTTGTTCAAGCACTGGATCATTCAGGTATTCAGGTTCTTCAGTTTCATGCCGAGTACGGCCCGGGACAATACGAAGTCAGCACAGCGCCGCTTCCGGCATTGGATGCCCTCGACTCATACGTTGTTTCAAAAGAAACTGTATACTCCATTGCCGAGCAGCATAACCTCCGTGCTTCATTCCACCCAAAGCCTATTGCGGATGCACCAGGTAGTGGTGCTCATGTGCATTTTTCTATTTCCGAGAAACTGAAAGAAGAAGCTGCTATTGCCGGCATTTTGTTCCATCTATCTTCAATCTGTGCTTTCTCACTGCCTACCGAAGTGAGTTATGCTAGAGTGGAGGACTCCGGGTGGGCGGGCGGTCGCTGGAAAGCATGGGGAAGCGAAAACCGAGAGGTACCGCTTCGCAAGATCGCACCAGGTCATTGGGAGTTTAGAGTTATTGACGGTACAGCGAATATGTATCTCGTCCTAGGGGCAATCGCCCTCGCAGCTGAAGATGGCATTTCGAAAAATATGTCGTTGAGTTTGAGAGATTGTAGTTGTAAGCTATCACCAGAACAAGCATATCATAAGCTGACGCACGTCTAGACGATCCTGCTCTTCTCACCAACGACCAACGTCGTGAACTTGGTATCACGGAACGATTACCTCAAAGCCTCAGTGAATCCTTGCGATCGCTCGAGCTAGACACTGAGCTGCGACAAGGGCTGTTCAAACCAATTGTAGATAACTTTCTGAGCTCAAAACGGGCAGAAATGGACCTGCTTAAGAAACAAGGAATTTCGTGGTATCTGCAGTGGTACTGACTGTCGCAATTGAATTTGTCCTGATCCAGGTTCACGGCGGAGATCTTTAAAGGTTAACCGCTCGTGGCAGATACCATCCATGCGACAGAATGGATAGACAGTTCGCTCGCCACATCTGCAGTCTGTAGTACAATGTCCAGTCATCTTTGTATCTGCTGGTCTCAATCGTGGTGTTACTTCCATACTTGCTGCCCAACCCTACACACCCAAACTACCTTACCACTCGCAAAAACCTGAGTTCCCCACGCAGCAAGCGATGGGTAAATCAAAGTCTGCCAGCAAGATGCTATCTTTGGCTCAACCACATGTGAACTTTTCAAGAGCCTTATTAGACGCCACAAATTACATTCATTTATGCTAGTGAACAGACATTCAATGGGTTACGATAGAATCGAATGGAATAGATTCCTAATTATCGCCGGCCACAGAGGCTATGCTTCTCGCGCATCAAGGGCCACAAGATTGAAGCACCAGGATATCATACATAATAACCCTCCACTCTCTTCGTTGGGGTGTGCAAGTCAGGTTGACGTTATGCTTCAGCTCCACTTCAGTAAACTATCCTCTTCCACCTAGCAGCCTCGAAGACCATCTCGAGAGCCCTCTTGGCCGGCGGATTAGAGCAAGTACCGACCACGGAACACACAAAGATATCGCCGCATTCTGGTACAAATACGCACTGTTCGTTGGGAAGGCACCCGGCGTCACTGGTGCAATCCACGCAGTTGGTCCCATCAATGCAAACAGCCGTCCTGCGGTCAGTCTTGACCTCGCAGAAGCAGCCTTGATCACCACAATAAGTTTGCTGAGCATTGCTACAGATTGTGCTTGTAGCAGGCGGGCTTGAGCTAGTAGTTGTGCTCGGCGTCGTAGATGGCGTTGTGCTAGTGGTCGTCGACGGGGTGGTGGTTGGCGTATTACTTGGAGTGGTAGTCGTAGTGGTAGTCGTAGTGGTTGACGGAGTTGTTGACCGAGTGGTGGTCGCAGGACACGTCGGAGTCACAGTCTTGGTCGATGCGCTCGTCGTGCCAGGTGCTCTCGCCGTCACCTGATAGAGACATGTTAGCGTCTGTCTACCAGACTCTAGAAAGCACCTTTAGAGATTGAGGTGCATCAGGCTTAATGGCAGGCCTGCGAGATACTAGTTACTCTTCTTTCGACTACTTACCGTCGTTGTCTTTGGTTTTACAAAAGCCAGGCATGCTTGTTTGATTATATCGCATGCAAACACAGCGACTTGAGTAGGTAAGTCCTTGACCACACAGGCAATCGAACCTGAGGTTGATGTAGTGGAACTCCTGGCTGTGGTCGAAGCTGCTGTCGAAACTCGGGGTGTAGTTAATGGGCCAGCTGGTGTCGTCGACGGAGCCCTAGATGTAGTCGATATCTGTCTCTTCCTATTCGCGTTCGTGCAAGGAGCGGTCACAGTTGCTGTTGAAACACCTGGAGTGCCTGAAATCGTGTGAGTCGATGTGACATCCTTAATACGTGTTGTCGTGAAGGTAGCGCCAAGCGGTCGCAAATCTGCAGCGAGCTCACGGCTCTTTGTGCTCTAGGGTGAAGCCGCTCTGGCTCACCCCCGGCTCACCGTCACATGGGTGAGCCCCATCCAGCATGATCACTCTGTGCAGCCGGCCTTGGTGTCGCACCAGGGGACGCGCTTGTGCCACGCTAAAAGTCGACCGTGCTCATCCATCGATGACATGTAAAAGGCGCTAAATGGCGAGTACCTCTTTATACATATAAGTAAAGCGAAGAGGTAACGCCTTACCGAATCTAGCTACGCTAGAGCGGTGTCGGTTCAGGCCTGCGGTAGTCCATTATCGATAAGTCGTGCCTACTGTCGTCTGACGTTCTGTTCCTGCACAGACGTGTTTGGGGATAAGTGGACCTGCGTCACGATGCCAGTCAAGCTTGAGGTCTTGCAGACAGTGGCCAGGACGCTCCCGAGCATAGGTGAAACTGCGAAACCTGCATTGGCTCGAAGGTGGTATGCCACCCATACGACCTCAGGCCGTGATGGCAAGCCTACCAGGCGAGCAATTTCCATAACATCTGACGATGGTCGCTACGCCTGGTCGGAACTCAGTCGTGGTGAGAAGGCAGCGAGAACAACTCAGCAGTCTTTCAACTTCGTGTTTGTCACTGCCGGAGCTATCGGCACAGTAGGTTGCGTTATGACTTGAATGACGATGATGTGTGGCTAATTAATATCAGATCTGTGTTGGCTACCTCCTCTATCAGGAACTCTTCGCTGCAGACTCCAAGACAGTCCAATTCAATCGGGCCGTGGATCGCATCAAGGCCGACCCTAGATGTCGCGAGATGCTGGGACCTTCGAACAAAATGGTCTTTCATGGCGAACCGACTACCAGTAAATGGGCAAGATCAAGGCCTCTGGCTCATTCTCTCGAGGTAGACAGGTTTGGCACTACACACTTCAGGATGCACTTCTACGCCGAGGGTACCGAAGCCCGTGGCACTGTCAATATTCACATGACCAAAAAGAGCGACGCGACTGAGTTACAGTATCGTCTGCTTAGTGTGTCGGTTCCAGGCAAGGAGACCATCTACCTCGAGAACGCGGATGCAAAATCTCCCAAGACGAAAGTCGCCAAAATGTTCGGTGTGCAATGGAAGTAATCCCGCAAAAGCGCAGGTTGCGATCAGGACTAGGATCTATGGAAACGCATCTGGACCGTGTCGGTCGGAGCACAACTTACAACGCAGGAGATAACGTGTTGGAGGCAGCCCAAGACAAGCACGCGTCACTTTTTAGGCATCACTTTTCAGGCGCCACTGTTGCAGACCAAAGGACAAAAAGGACAGACAACGTCACTATGGCAGCAGTGTCGATGTCAAGGGAGTTTCAATGGGCTTCAAAAAGCGAGACATTTTCCTGTTTTTCCATTGTCCGCAAGGTCGCACCTGCCATTGACCTCGACCGAACGTCACAAACCAAAAAGCAGGCCTGCATAGACGAAATGCAAGAGTATTGACCTCAAGTCGTCGTTTCGGCTTTTCAAAAACTTTAGCAAACGAAATGAACATGAGACCATCAGCCAAAATGGCAAAACCCAAGAAAGCAAATCCTCGAATTCAAACGTCTATCAAAACTTCTAACAAATGCTCCAAGACACCTTCTACCAAAACGTCCCCCAGATCCTCCACCAGAACTCCTATTATCAAAATCTCCACAAACGAAGGAAAGTCAAATCTACCGTCCGCCACGGTGACACCCACGAAAGCAGAGTCTCCAGTCAAAACATTCGACATTTTCAATCTTCCAGTCGAGCTAAGAAGTCATGGTGTGGGAGCAAGTCTTCAGATCAGACACATGCACGATTGAGTGTACGAAAAATCCTTCCACGCAAAAGGTTGCAATCCGTTTAAATGCTCCTAACGGACTTGTGCCACACCCTCTATGTTATATCTCTCGCCTAACCTATCTCGAAACAATCGATCTGGCCTACAAGAATATGACATTCACTTTGGATAGGAAGTTCAAGAAGCCTCAATCACAACTACCGAAAGGTCTACTGCCCCAGTTCCCTCTCAACCAGATACAGATACTCTCGGTGGGCGCTGATGAGCTAGATCTGCTGAAGTTGCAAGTTCCCAGGCTTACAGACTTAGATTCACCGGTCAATGCCCGCCTCCGAGCCTCGAACTTTTCCAACCTAAAACATCTTCACGTCAACTGGACCTACCGAGAATATGCACCAGGATGTAGAGGTTCCATTGGGCCACCAGATGCTGCCAAATATCTCGCTGAGGTGCAGGTGACACAACTCAACTTCTATCTAAAATCTTTCGGGCTTTCGGTATCGTTCACTGCCTACCTTCACGGTGTGTTGCCGTCAAACGGCCCCTTCAAGCCATTCCTGCTAAGCGGCGGTCTTGACGGAACAGATGTAAATTTTGCGCAATCAGAGGAAACTGATCCACTGCCTATAGCCGACTTCTTGGTAAGACCGCATCTACGAGTGGAGTGTTGTGATCATCTAAACGTGGTCGAGATGCTCATTCCCCAGGAGAATATTGGCTCAATACACAATCCAATGTGGCAGCCTACTTCAGAGGATCTGACTGGTCGCAATTGGAACGTGGTCCGTCGAAGAATCGAGAAAGATTGGTTGCCACTATTTGCAATAGCATGGGTTCAAAAGCTCGATTTACAGTGGTGTTAGCACTAAAATTGGGTGCCTGAGATCATGACCCTCTCGCCTGAATAGAGAGATACGAGACTACCAACCTACAAGTCAACGACAAGACAGACACAACAACAACGCATTGTCGTTGGACCAACTGAATCACATGATCTTGACGTCAACGACGACGACGACAGGACACCGATCATGCCAGACAAACAATTGTGCGTGGACATATCTAGCAACAACCCAATGGTAAATGAATCAAACACAAACAGTTTCCCTTTTCTAGCATTGTATTTTTCTTTTTTACCAGCACTTCCAATTCCACCTACCTTCATGATGTGTCCACAGCAACGATGTGTTCGTTGTTTCGATTAACCCAATACGTTTAGTATACGATATCACTACCTCTGACGCCAGAAAGTGCACAAAGTGTTCCAACGACAGCGAGCATGTGCCGAAAAGTGACAGTAAGAGGTCGACGAGGAAATACCCCTCGTTCGTGGATGCGCTTGTTTCGTCAAATAAACTCATCAATCAATCAATCGACCAACATTGCCAACAATAGACCAATAGCAATCTAATCGTACTCAAGAGCAGGATTTACCACCTTCCTTTGACAAGCATAATTTGCATATTGGATAACAAAATGTCTTCAGAAGGACACTTTCCAGCTACTCCAGAAGGAAAAGGCAAAGAAAGAGAGAAACCGAGTGACATGATAGCAGAAGATGTTGTCCAACCGCCAGAAGTTGACCTCCCCATCACTCGTCCACTACGATTGGGCGATATTCCCAGCTTGAAACAGCCTCATGTTGAGGACCTCATTATCGATGAGGTAATGGAGCAAGCTGTCCAACGCAGGATATTGGACGAGGCGGTGCCCTACGACTTACTGACCAGGTCGTCAAGTGTCGGGCTTCTACCGACCAGACAAGCTTTGTCCACGTTCCAGAGACACAGACCGCGCTTTCCTTTCAATAGTGCGCAGATCCCAGCTATGAACGAGGTGTGGCGAAGGCCTGTCACTTCTAGTCACTATCGCAGAAGGGAAGATGTGCGTATTCCCCACGACCTGGATAGTCGAGTTGAGAGTGGTGTAATGAATGATCAAGAGCTCATGAAACATGTCCGGAAGCAATATTCGGCTGATATTATACGCCGATCACGGTCCTCTAGTTCTGCTCGGTATTGTTCAGTGAGACAATATGAAAACCCAGGTGAGGGAGCATCGTTACAAGATCGGAACTGGTATAGGACCGGCAATTATGGTGAATCATACGTTGAAAATGACCTTGATGAGGAGGATATGGATCTGAAAACAGACGCGATCATCGCTGGTGTGCTCGCGTCTCAACTTGAGAACCAGGAAGCTGAGGAAGACGTGGAGGACATGGAAGACGAGGGGGGTGATCCGCCATCACACACCGGTTGGCATGAAGTCGAAGATCGGATACCTGACACAGTGGCAGAGGACCGAGATTCTCGAGAAGACATACGAGGGGAACAAGGGCGTATTACTCGGAATGGCCTGATGAGCATGGAGTGCGGGAGGCGGAGGACAAGATCCACTGGCTGGTGAACGATCAAAGGGTATAGGTCTTCTGTGTAGTAGTATGGTATGAAGGAGGAAATTTCAGAAGTGGCTAGTCTGAGTGATGAATTGATGGCTTACAACGCTTTCTCTGTATCCCTGCCGCGTCACGATACCATTAATCTTGATAATTACCAGGAACTTCAACACAAGTACAGTATCTCGAGCTGGATGCCGTATATCGTTTGTTCACTGACCGTTCCCCTTGTCGTTACCCCAGCCAATCACAACCAGCATGTGACCCATACCTATAGTTCATTCCGAGGCTAACCGCGACTTTTCGGGCACACTTGCATGTGAACTTGGAGACTTCGTAGCACCTGCTAATCGTGCTATACTGGCATAGTACCATCGATGCCATGCCGTGCATCATGATTGTCTGTATTTGAGACTCTTACCGGGAACCATCATCATGCCGGGCACATCACCGCTGCCTTTGAGCTTGCAGAGCAAGTTGCAGAAGGCTCGAGCACTACCGTCATGGCAGAGAATAGTCAACAATCTAAACCTGTATGCACGACCTTCACTCCCGACGGCTATCTGCACGAGCACAGCCTAACAAGTTTTCACATAGTATTCGTCAACTCCTTCTTGTATTCTTCATCCTCCGCTTCGTTCAAAGATCGTTCTACTTCCTCCGTGGTCATGGCGTCCTCGGTTCGATTGCCATAGTTTACCATGCTGCTCATAAACAACTCTATCGAACCTTCCTATCCCTACCAGGCGTGCGAAGCAAAGTCGACAAGCAAGTTGAATCAGCGAGGAAGGATCTAGAGGCGAAATTGACGGGCTTCGATGAAAAGGTTAACCGATACAGGCAGCTGCCGAAAGAGCCATGGACACAGGAACAACTGAAGACTGAGCTTGGACAGCTAGCAGCCATTAAACGCACAAGATGGGAGGAAGGCAAAGTCTCAGGTGCAGTCTATCACGGCGGAGAGGAATTGCTGGAGATCCAGGCCGAAGCCATGAAACTGTTCAGCGTCTCGAATCCTATACATGCAGATGTTTTCCCTGCAGTACGAAAGATGGAAGCTGAAATTGTGGCAATGGTCTTGAGCATGTTCAATGCTCCAGGATATGGTGCTGGTGCAACAACTAGCGGCGGCACTGAGAGCATTCTCATGGCTTGTCTAAGTGCAAGGAATAAGGCAAGAACAGAAAGAGGTGTGAGATACCCAGAAATGATCATTCCAAGTACAGCACATGCTGCATTCCATAAGGCGGGACAATACTTCGGCATCACCGTCAACCTCGTGCATTGTCCTGGACCAGATTACACTGTACCCATTCACAAGGTCAGAAGATTCATCAACCCGAACACAATATTACTGGTCGGCAGTGCGCCAAATTATCCTCATGGCAATATCGACAATATACCTGCACTCTCACGGTTAGCGATACAACACAAACTACCGCTTCATGTGGATTGCTGCTTGGGTTCTTTCTTAATGCCTTGCTTGGCTAAAGCAGGCTTTCCAAGTCCATATGCAGATGAAGGTGGATTCGACTTTAAGCTCCCGGGAGTTACAAGTATTTCTGTCGATACGCACAAGTACGGATTTGCACCAAAGGGCAACTCTGTCATTCTATACAGGAACAAGCAGTTGCGTCAGTACCAGTATTTCATCTCCCCTGACTGGTCGGGTGGTGTTTATGGCTCACCCTCGATAGCTGGCAGCAGACCAGGTGCTCTCATCGCAGGAGCCTGGGCTAGTATGATGGCTATAGGTGAAAAGGGTTACATCGATGCCACGCACAAGATTGTCAGCACGAGGATCACAATACAGAATGCGATCAAAGAGCATCCTGTGCTCAAGGAGGCATTGACCGTTATGGGTGATCCTATGGTATCTGTGATCGCATTTGAGTCTGTCGACAAAGCAATTGATATCTACGACGTCGCCGATGCCATGTCTGCGAAAGGCTGGCACTTGAACTCGGTGCAGGATCCACCAGGGTTACACGTCGCCGTTACTCTACCTATGACTAAAGATGGTGCTGTCGACAGCCTGATCGAGGACTTAGTCGAGATCATCAAGAAGGAGAAAGAGAGAGTTGCACAACAAGCACAGGCAGGCACCCTTATCGAGGCGAGGAAGAAGGGAAATCAAGCTCAGTTGTATGGTGTTGCTGGAAGCTTACCAGATAAGAGCATCGTGGAAAGAATTGTTGTTGCATATTTGGATACATTGTACCTGGCGTGAAGAACAGCATAGAGCAGGGGACAGGCGTTAATGGTCACAGAGACTATTTAGCACCTGCAGCTCAGGAAACACATACTTAGCACATAATGTGGTGTACATCTGGTGTAGCGTTCAGCAAGCGAAGTTTTGCATTCAGTACATAGAAATATGCGCTGGAAAGGCACAAACGCAGACTTCTTGGCAGCTTACAATACTAGCGCCTGAGGCACGTGCTGCAAGTTGTAATAAGTCATGATAAGTTCTGCTGAGTTATGGTAAGTTCTAAGTAGCAATTCACACATAGGTCAATATAGGTATTCTGGGGTTTCTCCGGGTTATCGCGAGTTATTGGAGGTTAACGCAGTAACCTCCAGAAGCTCCAACTTACCCGCAGATGTAACGACATATGATGCTTGTATCATGGTAATACAGTGCATGCGGGGCACATCTCTACCACGAGAAACAACGATCCCCAAGATTAACAGGGAAGGAGCGATGCAATCACGTTCACTCATCACTTTCTCGGTGATAGGACAGCAATTGCTGTTGAGCAAAGATGGAGTTACCAATACATAGTCCAAGATGTCAACCGATGAGGGGATCTTCGACCAGATCTCCAGATCACTTATCTACCTACGACTCGGACGTCCATGACTACCAACAATAGTATTTGGTGACCTTACCATAAACAAACTTGTCTGACTGAACAGGTAATACCTCACCTCTAACCATGACAAGATACGGTCCAGTTCCGAACTTTCCCATCAAGGACAAAGTTGTCTGTATCACTGGCGGCGGCAGCGGCATAGGTTTTGCGCTAGCCAAACTCTGCCACGACAATGGCGCTCGTGTCCTCATCGGCGACTTGAAGCTCACTTCCGAAGCAGAAGAGTATATCTCCGCTCAGTCTAATAACGACAAGGCCACGGGTGTCACATGGACGAAATGTGATGTCAAGGAATGGAAGGACTTGCATAACCTCATTTCGAAATCTTTAGAGGTTTTCGGTGACGTGCCTGACGTTTATTGCCCAGTAGCAGGTGTCTACGAGCCGCCGTGGAGTAACTTTTGGGATGATCGTGAGGAGAATGGATACCAGTCTATCAGGATCAATCTTGGCCATCCGGTGAAGCTGACTAGGTTGGCGATACGGGCTCTGGCAGGAGCGAAGAAGCAAGGTGTGGTCTGTCTGGTTGCTAGCACAGCTGGAATTAGAGGAAACTACTTCGCGACAATATATGCTACTACCAAGCACGCTATCATGGGCTTTGCGAAGAGTATGGGCCAAGCTGATCCGGAAGAAGGCGTGAAAGTGGTATGTGTCATGCCTGGAACGGTACAAAGTCCGTTATGGGAGAACAGGGAGGACGATATCGCGAAGGAGACGAAGTACAGTGAGAGGAAATTGATGCCGCCAAGTACGATTGCGGAAGTAATGCTGCGGATGATTCAAGAACAGAGATATAGTGGTGGAACGTGTTTGCTGAAGACTATTGGGGAAGAAAGAGTCGTCGAGCAGGGCTGGGACGCAAAAGAAGGAGAGTATGATCCGAGTCCGCGGCCAGAGGCAGATATGAGCAGGATCAAGGCTATACTGGAGGGCGAAAGAGGGAAGAAGTGGGAGCCGTAGCATGCGCCTTGACACGTCGTTACCTAAATCGAATCGATTGCCGTTGGCAGATTATTCACTTCTTGAGGATACAAACGGTCAACATCTTTCACGACATCCTCCATTTGCTGGTACTTCAGGTTCCAGCAATTCTTTGTCACTTCTCCGAGCACACGCAGATTTTCTGTCCTCGGCAACATTCTTCTCTGCATGCGGTACTGAATCTCCTCATCCTGGTCCAGCCTTAGCTCTCCTTCGAACAGATCCTGTCCAGTAACGATGAAATACAACGATGAGCCAAGTGCAACAATCTCCGACCGAACTGATATCTCTGTACGATAACCGTTGCCCTTCTCATCCGCCACCCACAACTGGTGTGTTTCTCGATAACGCAAGAGCCCTTTTCCGCCATCAATTGACGAAGCACCAAAATCGCCAATCTTAACATTGAGCTCATCGTCGAGAAACATGTTGATTGCGTGGATATCGCGATGCAGGACACCACACTTGTGAATGAACGCCAGACCTTGAGCTGCTTGCTTTGCCCATCGGAGCACAAGATCCGAGGCAATAGGACGATTGTGAAAGACATAGTCCCAGACGTTTCCCTTGCTGGCTAGCTCGAGCGTCAGACCTGTAGGGAAGGTTGGATCAGGACCGAAGTATCTCAACACGCTTTGTGGAGGGGGATCACGGTCAGAATCTTGCCATAGACGTTCATAGACGGCACGTTCGGCCTCGAAGAATAACTTTGCATTGTATCCACGTTGCTCGTCGTCGATGAGGACTTTGATTACTTTGTCCGAGTTGGGGATGCGATAGATCTTTGATGTGTAGCCTGTCGCGAGCAGATCGTATCCTATATTGGTGGGGTTTGACATGGCACTTGTCTGATCTGAGTCGTCCTAAACGAAGAGCGCTGCAATTACTTCAAGTCGGTTGACATTACATAGAACTCTATCATGATAACGGCGTTCCTTTATTGACCCAGCTAGGCAGCCGTCGATTACCTAAGCGATCTTCTCTAGGTATAATGAGTTGTGTTCATCATGTAGGATGTGAAAGCGGTTCGCGCTAGGTGTGGAAGACAATGAAAGCATCAAAGTTCACTCGGAGTGCAGAGTCTTTGAAGTGATGAGCTCGAGATGATAGCCATGGTGAAGAGAGAAAAGGGCTTCGTAGAAAGGAATACTTTGATGCTCGGAAACCAGATAAACTGCTCCCGTATTGCTTGTCGCAGAAGACTTTAGATGGCGCATTCTGAAATTGCACCGATGCTAAGGAGAAAGCAAACAGGAAGAACTCGAAAGAATCTACCTTGCAACTTAAGATGTGGAAGGATTGAGAATAAGATTCGTTGGATAGAATTGATTCGAACCTGGATGTTTCTTTTGTACATGGGTGACAGTGTGTCTTTCAATACAGGGATGAACTTGCTGCTGGTCCTCACCACACTGCTAGCAATATTCAGTGGGTGAGTTCTTGTACTATGTCTTGCAATGCTCCGCCTCATGCCTCTCTCATGTCTGCACCAGAGCTTCTGCGAATACGTCCATCCTGTACCTGCCTGTCCAGGACCATAATTTCCTGGACCATTACAACGAAGTCTCTAAGCGCCACTTTGATCTTGAACCCGCGTCAATTGTACGACATTGCTAGAACTTTTCGATACCGATTTTACCCTTTGAGCGAGAGTAACCGTGGTGATCGTACGTTGCATCATCGCACAGGACCATAGCTCCCTCCTTGAGATCAATCTTGCTCGTCGCTTCCACTATATCTTCCACCTTGATGTCTGGGCATCCATCGTTTTCTGACACGATTACCCTCATCAATACCGCATCGCTCAGAAGTCTGACGATGGTAGGGATCTTGTTCACCTTTTCAATTTCGCCTATGTGGTGGACAAGCTTCAGTAGTGCGGACCACCATTCGTAGGATGCGTCAGCATAGCTTTTCTTGATGCTGATGATCTGATTGTTTGCCTTGTTAACTGCCTTGATCTCTTGTATACCATCCTTCATTGCTTGTAGTTGTGCAAGCGTACCTGCCATGGCCTTCTCATTGCTGATACCCAATTCTGCTGCTTCACTCTTGATCATGGTCCAAAAGCTGTTCTCGTTGAGGTAACCAATATCTTTGTCTCCTCGATCTTTGATACGCTTGTACAGCCGCTCAATGGTAAGCCTGTGCTCATAAGTACCAACGAAGGGGATTCTCTTGAGGTTCTCAAGATGGATCGAAGCAGTTTGCGAATCGCTGGTCATGAGAAACTGATCCCATTGTTCTTGCATAGACTTCAGGTTGGTGTTCTGCCAAGTTCCTGGTAAACCTGCCATGATGTTAAAGAGATTATTGAGAGGTAGAGTGGTGTTGATTTTTCTGTGGTGTAGATCTAGAGAAAGTCGTACGGTGTTTGTAGTTTGTAAAAGTAAGTAGAAATAGTGGTCAAAACGTCGCGACCACGTTCAGTGACGAAGGGTGAAGGTGGATTTTCGGCTTTTCCGAAGTGATGGCCCTTGACTTGATCTTCACTTCTGTATTATTCGGTCAATCGATCTCCTTAGTGAAGAGGAACGTCTCTTGTATCCAAAGTAGAACTCTCACGCCGACGCCAGAAGCACAGGACAGGATTGACTCAACCCATTCTCCTCATATCAAGATATCCAATACGCGATCCTACAACGCCGTCGCAGAAACATGGACATCAGCCTTCGCTTCGTCATGTAGACTTTTTCAAATGATTTTATGCCGCATCGTACTGCATAACACAGCACCATCACCGCCTCATACTCGCCAGCAACGGCATATAAATCCTCGTAACCTCTTTCTCCGCTCTCTCCCGGTCCGGATTCAACATAAACCTCACCGTACCCTCTTTCCCTCTCTCACCAGCTCGCTGTCTTATCCCCGGTGTACCCGGGCTCGCATTTGCCGGACTTGTGGGCGACGCTTTCAGACTCCCATTCATCAGCTGCGGTAGATGACTATTCATCCGCGGCGGTGGTGGTGCTGAGCGATTCGTGCCATTCGTTGTGGATGGAGAGGTGGTGGTGGTGGTAGAGGTATGCGCTGCTGCGCCAGCATAGCCAGCTGTAGTTGTTGTGCTGGCTTTCGTGTCAATGTAGTTTGTGAAGCGTGGGAGGTGGTTGGAGGTGAGTTCGTGGCGCAGGGAGATTTGTATGTTGAGGATAGTTTCGGCGTCGAATTCGGGTGCGACGGTGGTCTGGGTGCGGTAATTTGTGTAGAGTTCTAGGAGATCGAGGAGGGTTTCTATAGGGGGAACACAATATTAGCCTATGTTTTTTCTTGCAGGTTTTTTATGATTATGGTATTATGATTATTGCGACTATCATCTCTTATGTTTATGTTACTCGTACGAGGAGGTTTTATGTTTATGTAGAGGAAGTCTGCCTGCGTCTGGACAGGGGAAGGGGAGGAGTATGTACCCATGACCATGGACCGATCTATGCCCCAACGGATGTAGTCCTTGCCATCCATGATGATTGCCTTCTCCTGCCCGTGTAATCTGCATGATAATTCTAGACATGCGAATGCCATGGTGGATGTGGATTGTTTTAGGGGTGCGAAGGTGCGGTAGAGATCGAGGCTGATCTGGTAAGCGGTCTTTGTAACGGCAGAGTGTCGCTCGAAGCCATGGCGTCTGGCTATCTTCACGATCAAGGGTTGTGGATGACGATTGCGGAAGTCGAAACTGGAGGCCTCGAGCATTAATCGTTCGAGGCCGATAATGTTTCGCGACTGGTGTTCGAAGAGCTGTGTAACAAGAGTCAGGAGAGATCCGAGGTGAAAGACACGAAACATACCGGATCGTCTGGAGATAGGTGGTCGGCTCTCGAACCGATCTTCGCATTGTGAGCAGCGCACAGAATGTCACGAGATTTTTTTAATGTATCTTCGATTTTGCATGCCGCAAAAAGGGAAGCTGCAGCAGCTTCCTATGTCTGAGTCAGTAACGAAGAACCACGAAAAATTAAAACAAAGGTGTAATCGACTTACCACAAAGCTGTATTCGTTGTCTGCGTGAGATAAACGAAATTTATGATAGTATACAACTGCGGTGTCAAAAGTTTTGATGGGTCTGTGAAAAATCAGTCATGCCACATCGCCCAAGTTGTAGTCCAGGAAGCCGCCGACAAGGATGTCATGAAGAAAGCACGTACAGTTTGAGAGCTCTTCTAGTGTTGTCAATCCACTGCACTCCAGCAAGACGAATGTTATCCTCTCGAGCCTGAGTCACTCCAAGATCATGTAGACATGCTTCAATGGCCTGCTGGAACACAAACGGCTTTGCTACCTGTATATGACTGGGCACTGGTCCATTCGTTGGCCTGTTAGAAGGTGATACGATGTCAATGCCATGGGACGCTTTGTCTCGTGGTGTGTGAGCATGAGGCTGTTGAGGCCTGTGTGATGGAAGAGTGCCGTTGGCATTCATCATAAGCGTTTCTTGAGCGATTTGCTCTCCAGATCCAGGTCCAGATCCAGTTTTACATCCATCGGTCACCGTGTCATTGTGTTGCTGTTCTTCTTGCTGATGATCTAGCACGTTTTGCGATGGATTAATATCCAGCTCCTCAATAGAATTATGGCCGAGATGTGGTGATAGTGGAGGCGGAGGAGGAAGAGGGAGATCTTTTGATTGGGAAGAGTCCTCGATGATTTGGCTGAAATGGCCAGCCAAGAATTCTGGCAAGGCGCTACCAACGGCTCGTTCGTCTTCTTTCACTTCGTCAACTTCCGCATATTGCTTGATAGACCTGAGACGATCAAGACGTGATCTGACAGGTTCTGCGTTTGCACCGCTGATTTCGAACTGAGGTCGCTGCGGACGTTTGCGAGGATGTTGCAAGTTTGCGCTTTTGGCAGCACCTCTAGACTTTTTCTTGCCCATTTTGATGTTTGATGTACTCGCGATAGCAGTAGCAGCCAATTCGACAATTGAGATTGAACATATACTCGGTAGGTGCGAAGCTAAATTTGACAGGCAGGGCGAAGAATTGTTTGGAGAATGGAAACACAAACGAGAATGTTTGGTGCTGACATTGGCGAAAAAGTTGCAGGTAAACCTGCAGGACTTTGAGCATTCACTTTCACTCTATCAGTCAAACAACGATACGATCCTTCACGACACATACTTGATTACTGTCTTCACGAGCCCAGGATATGTTTGCTATGTACTGTAAAGCTAGGACTTCGACCCTGCGATAATCTTGTTCCCACTCTGAACTTTTAGAGAAGTCCAGACACCACTACCGATGCGGTCTCCCGAGCATGCCACGCTTCTACACAGGTCTCTTGCCAGGAAGCGGTCAGCCTTTTATGTAAGTGAATAAATCGATTGATGATTCTTCAAGGCAAACCCATACCAATGGCATAGCATGCCTCTCCCTTATTGCAGCGCTGCCCGATCGTGGGCTAGATTCTGGCGCAAATTCGGTATCTTGTCCTCCACTACTTTCGTGGACGTAATATTTTGCACAGCACCTTCTCATGTATCCTGCTGGGTCGGAGGTAGGTGCTTCAGACTGTTTGAGACCAACAGCTGGGCATGCATCACGTACGCCATCAGAATGCTGCTTATCGTACTCAGCTTGAGAATCAGTATCTACCTCTTGCTTGATTGCAACCTAAGCATCGGCCTTGGCATCAACCTTCTTCGCAGCAGGCTCCTCAGCAACCCCAGTATCTTCTTCACGCTCGCGCTTCTTGCTAACATCCTCAGCCGGAGTATCTTTCTCTGTTCTTGTCACTTCCGAGGAATCGTTCTCTTGTTTCTCTGCATTCTCAACAATCGCCTTGGCCTTAGCAATAGCATCAGCCTTCTCATCCTCTCGCTCTGTGTCGTTAGTCTTGACCACGGGTATACCTCGATCGTCCTTCTCGATCGACCGTCTTCGTTCTCGGCCGCCTCGCTTGTCCCGATTGTCTCGGTCGTCACGTCTCTTGTCGTCGCGGAAGCCATTTCGTCGGTCCTCTTCGCGTCGTTCTCTCCAGTCTCGATTGTCGTCCCCTCTATCCCGACGACTCCTATCGTTATTGTGCTTGGCGCCACCACGACCGCGCCCACGACCTCGCTCATTGCCACCAAAACGGTTGTTAGGCTTGATCTTTCCAGCTTTGATATCATCAGCCTTCTTGTCACAATACTCCCGCTTGCTCATAACTAGCATCTCTCGATCTTGGTATTTGGGCTTAGGGTCCATTTCGAGGAACTTCGTAAACATCTCGTCTGTCTCAAATTCGCAGAAGGCACTGCCCTTGAATGTCTTGTCTTCGGTTCGTCGTAAGCGGACAGCATTGGTAGCACCGAATTGAGCAAACCAAGCCTCGATATCGAATTGTGAGGATGGCTTCTCTTCACCGAAACCCTTGACGTAGACGGTACGTGGCATGGCCTTGTCCTCGTGAACTCGAACCATATCGGGATTGACGCCGTTGTCGGTACTTTTGGGAAGAGGGTTCTTTCGTTGGACTTTGGTATCGTCGTCTACCAGGCGCAGTGTCTTGGAAGTTCTGAGTGCTTCGATAATGGCCTCGCGAGGCTCAAAGTGTCGCATACGTTTGAAGCTGCAGATAATGTCTAGTTCGACTGCGTGGTTCTCGTTACCACCCACCTTGTCTAGAAGGAACTGGTCCATAGGCAAGTTTGAGTCTGAGAAGTAGAACTCAACCTGCTTGCGAATGGCATTTTGGTCGCTGCTCTTCTCTTCTGAGGTCAGAACTGATCTGACACCACCACCACGGTTGTTGAAGTTTCCCCGACCTCGACCACGACCCCTGCCATCACGACGCCCTCGGTCACGGTCATCGCGATCCCGTCTCTTGTATTCACGATCTTTGCTGCGATCCTCATCTTCTACCTGAGGTTCATTCTTGTCTTCTGCTTCAGCTTCGCTGCCGTTGGTTGCGCCGTTATTTTCTGGTCTAGAAGAGGCCTCTGTAGTGTCCTCAGCTTCTGCAGCTTCGAGTTCTGCAAGCATTTTCTTTGCGTCCTCTGCGCTCGCTCGATTCTGCTCTACTGGATCGTTGAGCGCATCAGTGACAGCTGCCTGAGCGTCAGTCATGTTGGAATAGCGTCTGGTATTGCGCAGCAAGGTTGCTTAAAATTCGCCGATCGTCGAGATATGTGGTGCAACAAGATTTTGGAGTAATGAGTCAATAAATTATTGGTGTGAGTGACTGTAGATTATGTGTGTCGCAAAAAAGTATGTGCAAGAGCTGTAAACTCGAATCCCATTCACTGGTGAATCGATACCAAAAGCGGAGAGTCGAATCACTTTCATTCACTACAAACACCTAAAGATCGTGAAGCTCACTTGCATCTGCACAAAATCATGCGAAAAGTTCACCTCCACTGCACGTCGACCCCACCAAGCAGTTCGGATGTGCGATCCACTCTAATGCAGTAGTATGCATGCCTTAGGCAAATGTCCTTCTCAAGCATGTGTGATGCATTTGTGCCTCATTCTGTCGAAGAGCACTTACAGGCAACGAGACCATTAGCATGTTCGGGAAAAGGGAACGCACCATATGTCAACATAATAGACAGCAGCCTAAGCGAATGTATGCTGAATTCGAATCTGTTGCTGCAACAGCTAAATGCTATGGAGGGGTATCTACTCAAAGCTATCAATTCCAAAACAATTGTTGACGAGTTGTTCTGGTTGCTCCCATGACCATCCAAGCAACCGTCATGCCTTTCCCTCGTGGGTCAATTTTCCTAACAGACTCCATGCTAAAATCAAACATTGTGACCTGTGTCACAGAACCACGTCTCTGTGCTCCGTGCGCACGTCATAAATTCATTCTCTCGGAGCACAAGATTACTCTTCAATCGGCTCCAGTGAGAAGTCTGCTCTTCTCTCTGCGCCGCAAACTGACCAGCGCTTCCGTTCCTTGTTGCTTCGTAGAGAGCTTCCTCTCAACTCAAGGGAGCCTCTGCGTCTCAATTCCGAGGACTCCGAATCGCCAGTTTCTGAGCGGTCTTTCAGTTCTTCTTCAGCAGCTACTCGCGCGGCCTCTTCCGCATCTGGAGTATCTTCGATTGTTTCCAATGAGCTTATTGACGGAGATCTAGATCTGAACGAGCTAGGCGTACTAGGCATGCTCGATGTCGAACTAAAGGAGTTTGGATAGGGCTCGCTTGTGTAGTACCGTGCTTGGGGTGAAGCGGTACCTGCTGTATGTGGACTCAGCGATCTAAGGTCGAATCGGTGGTTGAGGCTTGGAGCACTCGCGCTGGCATGTAATGGGCTCGTAGGACGCCGCCGTGATCGAGGGAAGGTGTGATGATACGTAGGTAGAGGTGACAGACTAGAAAGCTCTTCTGACAGCTCTGAGAGATCAAGTTCGGCGTGTTCTGGAATGTTGGGCTCAATAGCCAGACCATTCCAAGACACTGGGTACGACTCTTCCATAGTGCTGCGCAAGGGACTTCTCCGTCTGCCAGTGCTCAGAGGCGACGCAGGTCTTCTGGGTGTACCATATCCTGGCGTGACGAACCTTCCACTAGAATCTACACCAGGTGACGAATGCGCTCTTTGCATAAGTGGCATGGTAAGGCCCATCGAAGTATGTGGTCTAGGCATAGAAGTTGAAGGAGACTGGTTTCGCGTCCGAAAGGGTAGTTGGTGTATCACTGGCTTTACTGATATATTCGGCTCACTGTCTCCTCGTGCTAAGTTCGCGGGTCTTCTTCGAGGTATATTCGGCTCGTAGTCAGGGTCGAATGATGGCGACGGCGGTAAAAGGGTGTTCTCCGGCGAAAGTTGAGGCCTCTCGGAATCGCTCGTGCCTACAATACTTGGAGTCGACGAAGGCGAAACTGAGTCGGACATTTCGGCCGAGTACGTTTTGATTGTGGCGGAGGGATGAAGATGTGTAAGCTGGGGAGTCATGGCCACATACTCGAGTCCTGCTCTCGACCACGAGAAAAAATCGCGGGCAACAAGCAGTGCGGATGACTTAGCGTTCAGTAAGTAAAAGGCGTGTAGTCGAGTTTAACTGTGATAGGCAGGTCGTGACATGTACTGCTTAACCCAGGGTTTGTGCTTGCTGGTGCATGTGATAGTGTTCGTAGCCTCAAAACAGTCTGTGCTTCATTCCTGACTCAGGTCGACTAGGCAATTATTACAAGAACAGAACAGGGCCCGTTCACAGGACTGAAACAGGTCACTCTACAGGACATATAGCTTCCAAAATCCGTGTATGTCCCTTATAACGAAAGACGTTTTGATTGTGAGATTTTCGGTGCAACAGATTTTGCAGATCATGTCTCCTTTTGGCCGCATCACTCAACAAGTATGCGATCACTCAAGGACCCATTCGCTCCCCAGCATCCGGCCCTGCAGCTGGCACAGTCTGGGGTGTGCTAGGAGCACTCATTGACCCTTTGATAGGTCATCATCTCTGTGTGGGTTGAGCTACAGAAAGCTAGCGGTTGCCCTTCAGGCGCCTCTTCGCGCCTTCCAGTCACCACTTCCTCTCGCTCTAAATAAAGGCAACAACAGCACAAGTATGAGCTCATAGTTGTGATCTTCGAGTTGGGACAGCATGTACCAAAACATTCACAACTATCCCCGTAGCTCTTCTGATGGTCTCTTCACTTCGACAGGAGGCCATCGACATCCCGGTATACAGACACTCGACCTTCACGAACATTGTGCTTACAGCCACTCCGGAGCTTGCTAGGTGCTTTGACGAGTTTTGTTCTGAGCTTGCGGGCAGAGAGATCAATGCAGCTGAAAAACGGAGTCTGTTCCTGCTTCTGTTAATCCTCCTGGCAGCTTCCAGCTCCACTTATGTACGCTATACGAGTCTGGAACCTGGTATTGCGGTCTTGCACAATCTGCCTATCCAACAGACTGAATCTCGTGATTTGATTTGATTTGATTTGATTCGATTTGATTCTATCTAATTTGGTTCATTGGCGTCGCTGTGCGACGCATACTATACCAGCAAGTCGTCTAGCTACGACCTGGACCGATCAAGGAGTTCTGCCTCCGATTACTAGGAGAAACAAGGTGGGAAGAACCTCACATGCATCCTCGAACGTGCTCGAATTGCTCCGTTAGTCGTTTCTACGATTCTATTGTGCTGCTTCATTCACCATTAATGTAACGCCTTCTGACCTTGAAAATGCTCGCTCTGCCTACTGACGCTGTGTACAATTGTAGTACCAGAGCATTTAGGTAAGTTCTGTCGTTTATCGGAAGCTCTACGCGATATCGGACCGCATGCTGCATACAACGAGGCTCTTTCATGTCATGTGGTAGACCAGACAAGGTGTAGAGCCCTGAATTGTTTGAGCGTGGCATCTTATCGATCTTGCCTTCTGGGGACACGAAGTTGACGTTCCGGAACTCTGGCACTACCAGCTTCTACAAGCAGTGAGTCCAGTCTAGACTTCTGAGCAGTTACGGCAGATTACATACAGTACTCATAGCAGTTTTCAGGTCCTTGGAATCCTGGAAATCAGCTCAGGCTCGACGAGAGGACAGAATTGTAGACGTATAATAAAGTGCTGAGATATACGACGAGACTCAAACTGGTGGTATGTCTTATTCGCTCGGACAAGCCATCAGGGCTACTGGGACAGGATATTATCTTTTTGATTATTCCTGACGGAATTTGATGAGCAAGACCACGACCTGCAAAATACAGATCTGCAAGATATGCTCAGTCCAGGTGCATAGTCAGCATGCGGCTCCGAGAGAACCATGATTGCCAGGGTTTTTTATTACAACAGCTTTTCAACTCCAATATCGATTCTTTCATTGATCTGTTGCTTTCCTCTATCTTATCACACCGCCCACACCAGCCCATCCCAGTACAAACCCACTCAGTCCCTCTGTGAACAGCCCTCCACCGAACCAAACATCTTTCCAAGCACCAACTCTCTGGCCCTTACCCTTCCTCACTTCTGTTACTGATCCAGCGAAAAACTTCTCAGCTGAACCCTCGACCAGGATAAAGTAGAACAGACTACTGATGAGCTGTTGGCTGACGAAGTAGAACAAGAAGCCATACAATGACTCGAGGCCTAGAATACCAGCTGCGATTCCTAGGAAAAGAGACGAGATCGACCGTATGTTGGAGAGCATACGGGTGTTGTGCTGCAGAGACTCTTGGACGAGAGGATGGAGTGTGAGATGTGTTTCTTGTAATGTGGGAGGCATTTTTTGGTGTGAAAGAAAAACAGCTGGGATGACAGCGTTGTAGAGTTCAAGACAGATGGTTGTATGACCACTTTGCCGTCCGTTGTGTTCTGCAACTGGTCGAGACTGGTGCTTCTCCCCCTCTCGTAGACGTTCTCGACTTGCTGGGACTGCAAAGATGTGTGACTAGCAGTCCGGAAGTCGCCTGAGTGGTGGCTAAACTTGCTCACTGAGGCTTTCTCTTATCCTTGTATTCGGTCTTCTGTCGCACTTCCTGTTCTGCAACACTGTCTTCAGTGCAGCTAGCGCCGGTTTAGTCCCTCACTTCTTGCAGCTTTTCCCGGCGTCAAATCGAGCACCTGTAGGCGGCGAGTAGTCTAGAGCGACAATCGATAGCAGAGGTAGTTGAAAGACGGCGGTTGTACTGGGATAGCTGGTTTACACGTAGACTTGCTTCATTGCGTCAATCTGTAGTTTGTGCTCGAGCAATAGTGGACGCATATCAGTGAGTGCGGATGGCCGTGAATGCCTTACGACAATTATAGTGTCTGCCTGAGAGATGTGGATAGCGTGAGCTCGGTAGACCTACTACTTGTGCAGCTGGCCAGCTAAGAACTTCAAAGCTCGACTTCAGGTACGTCAAGCTTAGGGGACGCTCGTGTATACCTCTCCCTCTCCACTCACACACCAAAATGGCGAGCAGACTCGCAAGAAGTGCTGTCAGTATGTACAGCTACAACAGGCTTGAAAATGAGCAGGACTGACTTGGCGTGACAGACGCGACAAGACTACGACCCTCCCTCCTCCCGTCCTCCCGCATCGCCGCTCCCACTCTCTCTGTTCCTGCCCAGCAGCGCTATGAGAGCAATGTCCCTCAACCACAACAGGATCCGAAAAAGACTGCCCAGACGATCATCGATGCCTTGCCCGGCAGCAACTTGGCGTCAAAAACCGCGATTCTGAGTGCCGGCACCGGTGTCTCTGTTTGGGCCATCTCCAATGAACTATATGTCGTAAACGAAGAGTCGATCGTCATGTTCTGTGTGTTGACTGTATTCTACGGTATCTTCAGGTACACTGGTCCTATGTACAAGGAATGGAGTGAAAACACTATTGGTCGTATCAAGGATATCCTGTATACTGCCAGAAAAGGACACGCCGAGTCTGTCAAGGCAAGAATTGAGGACGTGAAGCCATTGAGCAACGTGGTCGAGATTACCAAGGGTCTTTTCGAGGTTTCAAAGGTATGCATTACCTAGGTCTTCCGCTACCACTGCATATGTGGGTGTGCATACTAACACAATCTGCTTAGGAAACTGCCCAGCTTGAAGCCCAAGCATACGAGCTTGAACAGAAAACTGCCCTTGCCACAGAAGCCAAGAACGTTTTGGACAGCTGGGTTCGATATGAGGGCCAAGTCAAGCAGCGACAGCAGAGGGAGCTAGCTGACACTGTCATCGCCAAGGTCAACAAGGAGCTCGAGAACCCTAAATTCTTGCAGCAAATATTGACTCAGAGCGTGGCTGATGTTGAAAAGGCTTTGAGTCAGAAGGCTAGCACATAATCGGCACTCGACAAGTCCCAAGGTAAAGGCCCACTCGGGTCGTTTTACGCTGCTGAGCAACTTTCCCTGCATGGTATAACCTTTTCAGCAGGTCTTTCTGTTATTACTCAATTCGTTCATAAAGAGGAAAGCAGGTTCCAGAGAAGGAAGCGTGAACTGCTCGTATCTGGTATTGAAGAATTACAACGTTTCGTTTTGTGTCAATTTGCTACTAAAAACGTCTTCTTGACTTCGACGCAGACTAACAAATTAGGCTATTAGTATGCTTCGACACTGTAAACAAGACAGCCTTCAAATGCGCCGCCTACTAAGAGATAAAGTTATCTGAACTTCCGCAACTTGTGGAAAACGTGTACCACAGTAAAAGGCCACTTGACGCACAGGATTGAACATATCTCACAAACAAACACAAAGTCCCCTCATAGCTGGGCTGAGCTATAGACTGATTGATGTTAGATCACATTCGCTACTCACGCGAAGATATAGCCTCCGAGGATCTGAGGCCTACAGAACTGGTAGTGGCTATGGTAAGTCGTTGGTTTCATAGTCTTGATCGATCCTGGCTCATTCCCCTAGGGCTTCCATACTGATGCAGATGCTGGACAAATTCAGTCAATGATGATGGTAACCAAAAGCCAGTCTGGTGGTAACCAGTATCTGTCCAGTTTCAACCATATATACGCGGATCTCCAGAACTCTCGTCCAGAAGTGCTCTCCACTCTTGCTCACGACTGGCACTGGGAGAACCCGTTCCGAAAGCCTGTCATGAGACCTATCGTTGCCGTAACGGAAAATGGACCCCAGATCAATTACGGTCGCACTTTTCTTGCAGGACATGCGAAGTATCCTCGAAGCGCCTCAGCGCCAGCACTGACCAAGGAGCAAGCACAAGCACTAGCGATTCTCGCAGATACAGCAGAACGGTATGCTTTTCGACTTGATCTGGAGTCAGGGGACGCCGTTTTCATCAACAATCTAAACATGCTGCATAGCCGTGACGAGTTCAAGGACGACTCTGATCCATCGTCGCAGCGTCATTTGATGCGTTTGTGGCTCAATGATGAGCACTACGCCCATGCCGTTACGCCGCAGCTAAAATGCGCTTCGGACGACCTCTTCGGTTACAGACCTGAAGACCAAGACTACAAGACACTCTCGGAATGGCGTTCTACTGCACGAAGACAACGAATAACAAATATTGGACACTCATCTTCGAACCCTGCGCTCGAGAAGGACTTAGCAGCGGCAGAGGGATTGAGGAAGGATCATCGCACGATAAGTAACGATAATACTTTCTACGAGGCCGCTGGTGCGCGCGCAGAATCTGCAAGTGTCTCGAAACCAGCCACAGCTCAGCGAAAATTCAAGTCGGAGGCCGAATCGGTACAATCGCGAACGCATGATTAGGCTGTACTTCAGCTGGCCAGCTGTTGCAACTTCTTGGTCTTTTTTCCCGTATGCAGCGATATAGAACTGCTGTTAACCTCTTCATTATGGATTGCGGAGTGTACAGACGTTCTCTATGTATGCCAGTTTGTCGTATCTCTTTTGATGCACGGACAGATATGGGTCTTCGCGAATTTCTCTGCTGCGTTCTTTCTATCATCAGGTATTGGCTGCATATTGTGGGAATCGAATGGCGTCTGAGTGTTCCATCTATGTGGAATCTATGTAGTCAATGATGCCGATCGCTTCCCACCTGGACAACTGCCATTGTGGACAAAGGTTTGGTAGAGTTTGTCGATACTGGAAATTAAGTACTCATGACCACAGAAAACAGTATGTCGGCACAACGATAATGTCCTTGTCGGTGACTGAAAGCCAGTGGGTTACATGTGGAATTAAATCTTGGTGCAAGTGCTTGCACCTGCGGACGATATACCTGTTACAATCGGACCATGTCCCAGGAACTGAGGTTCTCAATTATTCAACCACGAGGTGCTTCTCTGTTATCTCCATGGCTTTCTGGCCATTCCCGTTCAGAGCATACATAGTAGCCATAGCATACGCAGCCTCCATGGTCCAGTGCTCCTCCACCTCCTCCTCATCCTCTTCTTGTTCTCGCTCCTCGGCCTCGTCGACATTCGTATTGCCCATGTCCTTACTTACTTGCTGTTTCTGTGGCGCCATGTCAAGGACTTTCTGATAAGATCTCATTCCCAGATCTGCCATGCCTAGTAGTTCCCAACAGCGAGCCTTGTTGAACTCGATCTCGCGTTTGACTACGTCCACCATTTTCACACTCTTTGGTTTCGGATTGTCTTCGTTATCGTCGTTGACGTTTTCGGCCTCAAGACAAGCAACCTCGTTCTCTCTGTCAACTTTCTCTGCCCATTTCAGTCTGTGCTCTTCATATTGGCCGAACCAAGCCCACCCCATCAAGGCGTATGAGTGTCTATTCCCAGTCTGTCGCTTGAACAGCTCGTGTATATAACACAACGACATGGTCAGTAGACAAGCTGCATTGGTTGGGTCGAGACTATAGGCGCGGTAGAGGTATGATAGAGCGTTGGGGAAACTGTTTGATGCCATCATCATTTGTGCGTAGAGGACGAACAAAACAACGTCCATTTCGGTAGGTGTATGGAGCTTTGTGCCACCACTGTTACTACCGAGAGCACACGCTGGAGAACCAGAGGTTCGACTTGTACCGTTCAAGCTGTTTGGGTTGAAAATACCACTGGCGTCGGTTGTCTTTGACAGTTTCCGCAGCTCTTCTCTGTGTTTGCGCATGAAGGCTGGTACTCCACCCTGGGCGCCGTCCCTGTTGTAGTCTTCAGGAAGTAGTTTGTCTATACTCATGATCTGACGAAAAACGAACTTGTGGTTTGGAGCGGACTTGAACACTGCGTCTGTGAGACGATCCTTTTGCGCTGGTAGCTCGCTAAGAAGAGCCATACTGCTGTACAGTCGGTAGGTATCCGTGCAGAATGCATATTCGCGCATGAACCACCGAAGGACGATGTTGTAGAGAGTGAGATCGTCACCAAGTGCCAGACAGCAGGCAAGAAAGCAACTGTGTATTTGTACCATGGTTGGCTCATCGTGGTAGAATAAGGAGCAGTCTATGCAAGCGTTGATTAGAGTGTAGCACTCGTGCTGCGCGTCCAAGGAAGCCGAGTTGGCATGAAGTATAGCGAGTTCAAGGAAGATGTCAAGCCAAGTGGCGAAACGAATACCGCAATACTCGTCTGGCATACCTTTAGGAGCCAAAGTGCGGGCAGACATGTCAGGAGGCACATCGCTGCGCATAGGCGTGGAGGAGCGGTGCCTCGGTGACATTTGTTCAGGGTTCACATCATCCTCTACTGCAGGCGACTCTGCATTGCGAGGCGGTTGAGGTGTTGGTGGACGCGGTTGAGGTATTTGAGTAGTGTAACCTTCGAATTTCTTGTGCCTTTCACCTGGATAGAATATCTTGACATTGCGAAAGTCCTCGAGCATGGCAGCGGCACAATCCATCCAGATATTGATAGAGTACTCGTCGCCTTCTCGCATGCCTGGCTGATGTTCAATCAGAGTTTTGTAGAGCTGTTGCATTTCTTCGTAGTGTCTGGTAGCGTTCATCTGGTTTGGTGGTTTGCGAGCAAGCGGTCTGGATCCCTTTGGTCGGCCTGGTCTCCTGGGTATCTTGATCGGTCTTGAATACATCGGTGGTGTTTCTTCGCGCTCAGGTTCGATGGATGGAGCAGCAGATACCCTATTGACAATCTCAAATGGTGTTACGGGTTGAGGTGTAGCAGGAGCTGGTGTATCCCACTCGGGCACCCATCTTTCGAACTTCCTTCTATACCTGTTGCGGTATTGAAGACCTTTCGGTACCTTGCCGGGCTTCTTGCTACCAGGCTTTTTGGGTAATTTGTACGCGTTCTTTAGAGCTCGTTCTGCACCTTCTCGTAGAAGTCTACTTTCCTTTCGTTCATACTTGCGTGTATCTGATTCTGGAACCCTGGCATGAGCTCTGACAACAGCTTCGTTTCCATGTTTCAAAGCCATGCGTCTGTCGCCCAAGTCCGTAAACAATTTGGTAAGCTCTGTCTGAATTGCTATACTGTCTGGTTCCAGTTCGAAGACATACTCATAGAGTGAAAGCGCCCTCTCTAACTGACCACATACATAGCAACTGGCAGCCATGTCTTTAAGGAATTCGAGTCCGAGATCGATCTCGGCATTGTGTAGAGCGGTGTAGAAATGTAGTGCTTGCGCGTGCTGCCCTGCATCGTGCAGTCCCTTGGCAACTTCATAGAATGTGTCGCTGTATTCTTCCACAAGTGACTCTTCACCTTCCAGTTCGGGCTCGAGCCAATCGAAATGCGACTGTGCTTCTTCTCGAAAGTTCAGCCTGAGCCGAAGAATACCTAGCTTTCCTCTTAGATCAAGAGGCATGGATTCGCCATAATTCAGGTCAGGATACTTGGTTGGATCGAATTTGTTTACTTCAAGCCGACGAGGCCAGTGCATTTGGTCCCACTCTCGGTCGTCCTCAATGTAATCGTCCCAGAACGTCTCGTCTTGTCGACCACAAAGCCACCTTGCAAGTCGTTTGAAAACTACAATTGCTTGTGCTGTTTCACCTCTGCGCACCATGAGATCGACATAGACGCCAATATCCTGCCACGTAAAGTGGTCCTCGTCGGACAAACCGGTGGTCTTGTAGTAGTCAAAATGCTCGTCGTACGCGGCCACTGCCATCTGGATGTCGTTAATATCTAGACATAACTTTGTAAATTGAGCCAGAACAGCCGAGTTGTGCGGATCATCATCTAGCAATGTCTTCATGTCTTTGAAGGCTCTATTGTAGCTCCCTTTGAGTCGAGCGCATTCAGCTCGCTGGAAACGAGCGTCGAGGTCTTTTGGATCCTTTCGTACAATGGCTCCGTAGCAGTACATGGCGCGCTCGATTTTCTTCTGATAATTTCCCGCCGGATAGTGCAGAATCGTATCAGCAGTCTGGCGCCAGAGGTCAACCTCGTTGATGTGAGCGTGTAGTCCAACCATTAAGGCATCGAATCCCTTATCATGTTCACCTCGAGCAAAGTGAACGTCGGCAAGTAGCTTGTGTCCAGCAAAGATTTCTGGATTGTCGTTGATGGCTTGAAGAACCAACAATTGAGCCTTATTAAGGTCATTGTCCTCGTTCAAAGCATCGACAGCTTCGTTGTAAACCTTCATCCATATCGGACCAGGGTCGAGAGTTGTTCTTGGCCCTCGAATTTCGCCTTTCGGACGGCCCCTCTTTCTCTCTTCCTGCGCCTTCTGACGTTTGGGAGCCCGACCACGGCGCTTCTCCTGAGATGCTGCATCGTCGGCTGCGCGCTTGCCACCTCGACCTGGCCAAGTCAAACCGGGTACATCCTCAATATCCGTCTCGTCGTCATCAACACTGTCATCTTCACTAGAATCGAATGGTAGAGTGCCGAGTGTGTCGTCTCGATTTAGCGCAGCAGGATATCTTCCTACGGCTTGAATGGGATCAGCCCGAAATTGGTCGGTGTTATACAAAGCAGGATCAATCAGATCCGGTGGAATCGACCGACGATCACCATTCAGCGGTGGTTGAAAAATACTGCTGGCAGTCGGACTAGTAATTGAAGTCGACGGTGTGAGATGGAAGAGCATTTGGGCTCTGTTTCGAGGGAATATAGCGCCATCTGGTGCATTCTGGGTTGTAGCTGAGAATGTATCGAGCTGCGGCCCAGGAGAGATGGAGGGAAGACGTGGATAAGAACTAACCGGAGGCCCTCTTGTCGTGATCGAGGTCGACGTCGGCGAATCTGACCGCAGTGCTGACTGGTTAGATCGAGCCACCGACCCAGCTCTCACCTGTTGTACACTTCCAAAGGTTGGTGGCGGCGCATAGGCTGGATGACTGTTCAATAGGTAGAGGTTATAAGTCGGCGACGAGCTCAACGGAGCTCCTGGCGAGTTCCTGGCTGGCGAATCGTACAGAAATGGTACTGGACTTCGAGGGAATTGGTCTGGGGTCAGGGCAGGAATATGAGATAACCAAGAAGGAGGGGGCGCCGGTGGAGGGGGCATCTCAAGTCGGCACTTTTGAGCAGTACCATGATCGCTTTGCGACGATGGTATCTCACTGCTTTCATACATTTCGAGGAAGTCTCAATAAGACGTGGCACACTTTAACCTCCACTCTCGTTCGGATATATATTCTCATCGTCGTCCTCAGGCATATCACTGGTTTGGTTTTTTGGTAAACACTCGAGACAGCACTATTGTGATTTTCTTGCTCGTTCGGTACTTCACGATGGACAAGTTCTTAGTTGATCATTTTCATTTCGAGATCGAGTGTCACGAACATCACACGTGGACGCACAGCACTGGGAGAAGATTACACGAAAAATCGATTGGCCATCACGCGCGTTATTGTGGAGTCAGTAGAGTTTAAGCCAATGGAAGTACCGGAAGTAGTATGGACCAATTGCCATGTGGCTAGCGCTCACAACGACTCTTTTTCGGGGAGTCCGTCAGCCCTGAAAGTTGTGTTTCGGGCCAGTGGGCGTGGTTGATAGGCTTACAGCAGGATGCCTAACACGTGGCCAACATAAATGCTGGAAGTCAATACATTTCGAGCAGTCTGAATTCTGGCGACATGAGAAGGAATAATCTGCAAACTTCATTCTATCTTCGAAAACATGTCAGTAGATTGCTTGTAGCAACCCTTTGTCCTTCTGATGGCTTCTCCTCGTCTTTATTAGCTCATCTATATGTTGGCTATCAAGCTTAGTCTAGCTGTAACCAAGAGTATTTTCAGCCGCGCCTCCGAGACAATTCAGGCCCACAGATACGTTGTCGACTTCACCAATTAATTTCGCATCCTGGCATCCTATTCTCACAGCGAACGCCTCGCTTGACCCTGAGATCCATTGGACTGGTTCCTTGGGCTCATCTGAACATTTTCTGCACGAAATCATGACCATCTAGCTTTTCCTCCTGGGTCGATATCTACATCAGCAGAGCTGAAAAACATCCGACTCAATTCTAAGCCTCCGGCAGGTCATAATATCCCTTCAGCTATCAACACAATGGCAAGCAACATGAACCACAGGAATAGTACTCCCGAGGCTTCAAAATCAACATTGCGATCTGTTCAATCTAGAGCGATCGGCGCTCCGAGCAATCTTCGCTCATCCGCAGACATGTCCTCCTTCACCTCTCCGTTATCTGCACGAAGTATACGTCCTGCTTCGGAAGTCCTCTACAATCAGCAGTCTCAGCAGAATGCGCAGGACGATTCCGGCAAGCTTGGAGAGCAATGGATCCAAGACATCGAACAATACGAGGTTATGCTGGAAGAGATGGCTGCAGCTACACTGGATACGGAATTCAAGGACGAGCTGAGTGCGATCGAGCAGTGGTTCCACGTTCTTAGCGAATCTGAACGGACTGCTGCTACTTATGCTCTCATCCAGCAGACCACTCAGATGCAACAGAGATTCTTTGCGCAAGTGCTGAATCAGATGGCCAAGAGCCATCCTATCTCTGGTGTGCTATCTCCCGCAAATTTTGGCGAAAAAGGTTGGCATAAGTGATCCTGGTACACTGCGATTCTTACTGACCTTTTTGACAGATCCTATGTCCAGCCGCATGAGCGATGCAATGGCTAAGTTGAGCCTGGAAAATCGCAACTCGATGTCAAGAGTGCCTGCCTCACCTGCCGGAGCCAAGCGTGGTTCCGTAGTCGACCCATCCGCGATCGATCGTATGTTCCCTGATGCTGCAGCTGCGATTGCCCAACAAAAGGCCGAGTACGCTCAAGCCACTGGCAATTCCCTGCCAAACCGCAATAGTCAGGCTATAGGTGACCGCCTCTCTGTACCGAGTCCCGGCCTGTCCGCTGCACGAGACAACAAGTCAGACAACATGAGTCAGAACTGGCGACAATCCGAGCCTCAACAAGCGCGCCCAAAATCTTCAGACAGATCCGTCCCACAACCCATGGGTCAATTTAGCCAACCACTTGCGTCTGCTGGTCTTAAATCTCCTCGTCCTTTCGGCTCGGTGGGAGGCAATATTCAAAATACAACCATCAGCACACCTGCACATCATGACATTCCAATCCTTTCACCATATAATATTGGAAATCAAAGCTGGGCTTCGATGTCTAATACACCTATGGTGCCCAACTTCAACACGCAGCAGGCTGCTGCTCAGAGTGACATGATTGCAAACGCGACAGCCATGAAACTTGCTGCTCTCTCGACGGTCAATAACAGAATTGCCCTGGACGATGTGAAGAAATATAGACGAGCGAGGTCAAACGAACCGAGACCTATTGCTGGCCAAGTACCTGCCTCACCGGGCCTGCAATCGACTGGCATTCCAGGAATCAACACCATCATGGTTAATGACCACGGCCAAGTATTAAACGCTCAGCAAATCGCCGCGATCCAAGCACAACAAATTGCAGCTTCACAAGGTCGTCGGTCAAGGCCAAATTCGCCAGGTCTCTCCCTTCAAGGTGGGACGGCACAAGCGCAGTTTTCTTCACCTCAGCACAATGGCTATCTAGCTGCATTTGATGGTAACCCAATGATGATGAATGCTGGCATGGGGAGCCTCATTCCAGGAATAGGTGCTTTCTCAGGCACCGAGGGATATCTATCAGATCATGGTGATCTTCAACGAGGCCGGTCGCCTAGAGGACGACGTGGTAGTTCGAAGCCACCAGAGGATCTTGCTGATCCGAAGCTGCTCGAGGACATTCCAGGATGGCTACGATCTCTCAGGTTACACAAGTATACAGACAATCTTAAGGACATGAATTGGGAAGACTTGGTACTACTGGACGATAAAGGTCTCGAGGCGCGTGGTGTCAACGCGCTAGGCGCTAGAAACAAGATGCTCAAGGTATGTGTTCCCTCTGCTAGAGGGATGCAATGCCATGCTAACAATCTTTCCAGGTATTCGAGCAAGTAAGAGCAGCACAGTCTGATGGAAAGCTATAGAGTTGAAACAATCATGTAAAGCAACCGACATATCAAAACACACACACATAACGTCGCTGGCGACGTGGGAATGACACGATATCTCACGAGCAACCGACAATAGGGCTTAGGGCTTAGGACTTAATTGGTAGTGGAGGTGCTGTCTCTTCAAAAGGGGTAATTGTTGAATCCGAAGACTGCAAAACGACTTGGCAGGAGCAAGGAAGGATTGGAGTGGACTACAACCGCCGCAATACGTAGATTTTGTTGCAATCGTCTCAATTTTCCAAAGTGATCGTGAGATCTCGAGTAGATGTGATACGTCAGGTATTTAGCCTATCGTGATAACAACCACTTACTAGAGCGCAATCAGAAGAGTTGTTCCCTTCGACGTCCGCTACCCCACACCTTAACATGCTGCGCTATCCTACGTACCTCGTATCTCGAACTCGTCCTGTTTGGTTGACCACAACTTCAATAGAGAAAAGCGTTTGGATATTTGCAGCCTTAATGCCTGGCTTCAAGTCGCGTTTCGGACTCCTGCATGCAGACAATTTGTGGAGAAAGTGTTTCGAGGCCGAATGTTGATAATCTGGCCTGATAAATATTGCGACCAGTGCATTCCTAGATGAGAAGTGCACTGCACATACGTCCCTGTCACTGGCATCTTGCCTGTACTACAATCGCAAGATCATCCATGCGACGGTGAAATCCAACCATCGAGCTCCAGGAGCTTGATCAACCGCCCACCAGAGTCTACCAACATGAACGGCTCAGCGTTTGAAAAACACGACCTCGACGAGGATGCATTTGGCGACAAGGGCGTCTCCTCTGGCCTGCGGACATTCGATGCATTTCCCAAGGTCAAGCCAACTTACACATCTGCCACGGAACGAGGAGGGAAATGGACAATAGTAGTCGCATTCCTCTGCTTTATGCTTACGTTCTCCGAAATGCGAAACTGGTGGGCCGGCACGGAGACACATCACTTCAGCGTCGAGAGAGGGGTCGGACACGAGTTGCAGCTCAATCTTGACATTGTAGTAGCCATGAAATGCAGTGACATTCATGTTAACGTGCAAGATGCGGCGCTGGACAGAATATTGGCAGGTGATCTGTTGACCAAGGAAGACACAAACTACGAGGCTTGGTTGAAAAGAGCAAGCAGCAAGAAGGGACATTACACTGCGAATATGGAGGGCAAGAACTTTGACAGTTTCGAAGACAAGGATGCCGACTTGCGCAGACAGCAGGCTCAGGAGGAGGATAGTCATGTTCACCATGTGCTTGGCCACATGCGCGAGTCAAGGACGAAAAAGAAGTTTGCCAAAGCGCCCAGGTTAAAGAGAGGAGAGAGCATTGATGCATGCCGGTATTATGGCAGCCTGGAAGGCAACAAGGTACAAGGCGACTTCCACATAACAGCCCGAGGGCATGGCTACCTCGAGCCAGGCGGCCACAAGCATCTCGACCACACCTCATTCAATTTCAGCCATCATATCAATGAGCTAAGCTTTGGCCCGCACTACCCAAATCTACTCAACCCATTAGACAAAACGAGCGATAACACTGACAAGAACTTTTACAAATTCCAATACTACCTCAGCATCGTGCCAACAATCTATACAAAGAGGAGAGTCAGCACAAGAAGCGGCGCACTGGATCCAGCTGCGATACCACAACCCGCCACCTTGGACATGACACCCGAAGACCTACAAAAGGTCAAATTAGGAGAGATACCGTCTCACATCAGCAACCCAAATATCGGCAGAGACAGGAAAAGTATCTTCACAAATCAATACGCCGCGCAAAGTCAGAGCAGAGAAGTGAATCACAACACTATCCCTGGAATCTTCTTCAAATACGACATTGAGCCCATATTACTGATTGTTAGTGCTCAGAGGTCGAGCTTTTGGTCGTTGTTGTTGAGGTTGGTGAATGTCATTAGTGGTATAGTTGTGGGAGGCGGGTGGATGTTTCAACTGACGGAATGGGGAACTGAGATGATAAAGAAGAGGAGGCGTGGTATGAGTGAGGGTGTATTGCATGGAAGATTGTCGAGTGGTGACTACAGAGACGAGAAATTTGGATAGTTGTCTCGATATCTGTAATACAAAAATCTTTATTGCGTTTCTAAGATTGTGACCATACTGATCTGCTTACGAAGACCTGCCCCGTAGTAGCTGCTGGCTGTATTGTTCGTGGGAGACGTGCTCCAAATGGCAGGGGGCACAAGTCGGCCTTGCAACTTACTACCTAAGGGGGTTGCCTATCTTGACCGGGATGTTTAGATCAGCGCGGCAACGTTGCGTCAGTGATCACGTCCTATCCCCGCAACTGGCAGAATAAAATTGCTCAAGGTCAAGTCTATCGGCTTCTCAATTCAGGCTTCTATATGTCAACAAGGACAATATAAATGTTCTGGAGATGGTGAATAGACACAAGATATGGTCACAGGGCTGAGGCGCATTCAAGATTCGAGGCACAGAACATCATGAGGCGATACAGGACGATCAATCTGCTACTAGATACAACGTAGAGGTGCAAACTCGTAATCATTTCATACACGACTCTATGCAGGATTACTGTCTTGCTCTAGCTTAGCCTTCGCGTCTCCTGTCATACTCTCCGTCGAACTCACAGTGGGTGTTCCAGGTCTACTTCGTCGCTTCTTCTTCTCCTTCGGAGCCCCATCGCCCGGTTCATCCGTCATCGTCAGGGGACTTAGTAACGAGTCGCCCCTCCTCAGACTGCCCGTGCCGCTCCGTAAGCTCCGTCGAACACTCGCACTGCTGCTCACACTACTGCCACGCCTAACGTGTTCTTTATTAGAGCCAGGAAAAACTTCGATCGTGCCGTCAAGCATGTAGTGCGGAGTTGATGATCGGCTCGACTGTCTCGAATGAGTAGAGGAATCTCGCATCAAGCTTCGTCTCCTAGACGCCTTGGCTAGAGCTTCTTTCTCACTCATTGTGTTGTTCCTCGAATGACCGGCTCGAGAATCACTTCTATTGTGTCCGGCATGGTGATGTCCTTGAGGGTGCTTCTCTAAATCTCCACCACTCTTTCTTCTGTGTGAAGCATGAGGAATGACTCGCCACATACCTGTCCACCATTTCCAGCCGCCGACTTCTCTTGCTTTGTTGCGCTTGTGTGCAGCCACTTTCTTTCGTAGACCAGCCCGACGTACGTTTTCGCGTTCCCAGTACTCGGATCTATATGTCTCCCAATTTTCTCGAAACTCGGAGGAGAAGTTCTTCGGAAGTAGTAGGAGTAGGAGGTGGTCACCGGATGCGCAGAGGTCCTCTTCTACAATAGTACCTTGGGTCTTTCCTTGTTCAATTTCACCAGGTGTAGGTGGAGTCTCGACCAGATGCCAATCACCACTACCATCTGCAATGCCACCAAAAGGTGCAAGCGCCCTGACGTAGCTTATGCTCTCTTTCCAAAGACCTCTTCTTACGACAACGACACGTAGATTGAAGCCTCGCAAACCTCGATTAGTCACGCTGAGCCATTTCCGTGGCCATCGCACACCAGTTTCCCATTGTCCTGTAGCTTTTATGAGTAGTGCTGCCACAATACCAGCGATGAAACCGAGACGCATAGAAGCTTCGACCACCCAATACGGCGAGCCACCGAGTTTTCCTGAACCATCCTCTCGTGGGCGCAGGAAGAGAAAATAGCTAAAGGTGATGTTCCAGACCAGGAGCAGAGCCAGGAAGAACGTGTTCAGGCGTCTTCGAGCAAGTAAGGATAGATACTGGGCGCGTAGAGAGGATTCGAGGATTAACAGGTTGAGATATATCTGCGGAGGGGACGAAGGAAGATTATCCGTGTGCCCAGCAGGTGAGGTTGATACTATGGTCGGAACCCATTGCCGCGCTGTTCTTGTTGCAGGAGGTGGAACGATCGGATCATCGTCCTGGTTGATGAGTGCGTCGACTGTGTCTGCCGAAGCCTTTGCGAGGGGTGGGAGGGGAGTTGGCGCAGGAACTTGGGTACCTGGTGGTGATGCGCCTTTTACAATTTGATTGAGAGATGATTCAGTTGCCATGCTGGATTGATTGCGGATATTGATCAAGATGCATGGCTATAGACACAACTCTGGGACGTCTATAAGCACGTCTCTTGCGTGTCGCCTAATAGAGTAAACACAACCACGTCCTCGACCGCACCTGCTCAAGTCGAACTATTCAGCATCGTTATTGACATCAGCGCATGTGCTCCAAGGGGTTCCGTAAGCGCGACCAGTCGGCTAGAGCACCGTTTCGGATGGCAGTCACGACCACGTGCAGCCTGAGGCTGATCTGCAGGTCGCTATAATAGACCACGCGTCACAGTTCATGAACTCGCGTGCTTCAATCAGACCGACAGCTTATAGCCAGGTATTCACGAGCTTGGTAGCAAAGGTCCACGAACAGAATGGTAAACACCACTTCAGAGTCAGATCTCGTGTGATCGTTACAGTGGATATGCGTGTCGTACGCCAAGACGGCAGGAACGCGTGAATGTTTCCCTTCTCGCTCCCCGCTCCGCTGCTGTTCCTTGATTTTTGCGCTGTTTATTCAGACCAGCAGCGAGCTTGTGCATGGTCTTTGCTCTCTGCTCTCGATTTCTTTTGAAAGCACATTCTTCGACCCGTTCGTCCAGCAGCCACGATGGTTCAATGGGGCAAGTTCTTTGGAGCCAGCGAGGAGCGGACTCGACACAGATGGGCAGAAGAAGCTCGTCGCTTACTCCCAGCTAACAACCATGATCTTCCTCCCTCAGCCATCCCAGCAAAGGAGGTCACCAAGGTTGCCCTCAGACTGAAGTATCAAATCGAACAAGTTATCCCTATCGAGTTGGACGAGGCCAAAATTACGAAAGCGAATAGTGCTATTATCACTCAGAAAGTGGTTCAGACTGCGAAGGAAGCTGGTGGTCCAGATAACAAGGCTTGCGTCGTATACTGCTTGCTTGTCTGCAAGAGATGGTTCAAGAAGCAAGCTGTTCTGGAGCTGTGGGATAGTGATCTACACGACGTTCGAGCTGTTGCATGTGAGACAATCGCTAAACGTATCATCGAAGCCGAGGAGGATCAGTCGTACCTCCTGAACAAGGTTCTGCTTCAGCGCTTCTCCATCTACAGAAATGGCGAGGAAACCGAACCTGCCAATGTCGTCGAAAGAGCCGTGGATCTTCATGCCTTGACTGTGGTTGGCTCTTCCGGCTATCAAAAAGCTGTAAAATTCCTATGGCGTGGCTGGATCGTGCAAGATGACAAGAATGCTGGCAATTTCATTGAGTACAAGCACAGGCAGGAATCTAATTACTGGCTACACTACGATGCCGATAGGATGCGAACTCCTCTCTACCAGAACGCTGTCCAGATATTCATGTCCGTCCTCTACCTGGTCCTGTACACCCAGTGTGTCAATACCGTCAACGAAGATGGTGATTTGGATGTCATCGAGGGTATTCTCTACGTCATGACCTTCGGCTTCATATGCGACGAAATCTCAAAATTCTGGAAAGTTGGTCGTTACTATTTCAGCTTCTGGAACGCTTTCAACAGCGCTTTGTATGCCCTACTCACTACCTCCTTCGTCATCCGTATGGTTGCTCTAGCCCACTCTCCGAATTCACACGATGAGGAGAGACGCGAACTCAACAAGCTGGGTTATCACTTCTTTGCCTTTTCAGCTCCTATGTTCTGGATGCGTATGTTGCTCTACATGGATGTCTTTCGATTCTTTGGTGCCATGCTTGTCGTTCTCAAGGTTATGATGCGGGAGTCGCTGATCTTTTTCGCCCTGCTGGTCGTCGTTTGTATCGGCTTCCTGCAGTCTTTTATTGGTCTGAACCAGACAGAAGGAAATCGCGAAATTACAGGTTTCATCTTTGAAGCTATGATTAAGGCTATACTGACTTCGCCCGAGTTCGAAGGCTTTGACGACTACGCTCATCCCTTCGGCTTGATCCTCTACTACATCTTCAGCTTCATCGTCATGGTTATCCTGCTCAATATCCTTATTGCACTCTACAACAGTGCCTACGAAGACATCACAGACAACGCGATAGACGAGTACATGGCCCTGTTCGCCGAGAAGACCATGCGTTTCGCCAGAGCGCCAGACGAGAACGTCTTTATCGCTCCCTTCAACCTCATCGAGATCTTCCTCCTCATCCTACCCTTTGAATGGTGGATGTCAGATCACGCCTACGAAAGACTCAACCACTACGTCATGACCGTCATCTATTCCCCTCTTCTGCTCATGACCGCACTCTACGAAACGCTCGAGGCCAAGCGAGTGCGTTTCAACAGGAAACGTGGAGAAGAAGATGATGATACCATAGAAGAATGGGAACAAATGGATGAGGACCTCGACTTTGAGTCTGAAGGCTGGACTAAGACGGTGGAGCAGACAAAGCCAAATGTTGAGGTTGATAGTGACGTCCTCGCTATAAGAGAATTGCAGCAAGAGGTTCAAGATTTGAAGACCATGATCAAGAGAATGGGCAGTGTTGAGCCTGAAAGTGCTGCTAATGGAGGATCATGAGGTCTTCTCAAACCTACTCGCAAACTCATGTTTAGGTGTGGCTTGATGATTCAATTCTGTACGATTTAGCATGTATGTATTCTTATGGTCTTCATTACCTGCACCTTTTACGAGTTTGCCTGCAATTACAGCGACGATATCAGCATGGCCTTGGCATGCAGGTTTAAGGTCGAACTCGAGTTAGTGGAAGTTGTAAGAGCACGATAAATTATTACAGCACGGCGATTCAGCAGATCGGACAAAGGTCACGCTATCTCCGTCTTAACACGAGCCTCCTTGTCTGGCAGTGATCCTTCTCCATCCACAATCGAAGAGCCTCCATCCACTATACTACCTTCAATCACCGTCTCATTAGCCTCAACGACCAACGCCTCGAAACCATGCCTGCCATCATCACCTGGTACTTTGAACACCACACAGAAGAGCCAGTATGATAGACCACCCATGAGGAAGCTCAACACCCAGCCCAGGGAGTACATGTGTGTCGCTGCGCTACCGATTGTGTGACCGAAACTTGCGGCGAAACCTGGAAGGGGCAGGAGGAAGCCAACGACAAATGCACCGAAGGCGCGGAGGTTGAAGCCGTGGAAATAGTGGTATCGAGCGTGGGGAGCGGCGGTGAAGATATTGCTCATTGAGAGGTTGCCGTGGCGGATGATGAAGTAGTCGACTAGCATGATGGCTACGACTGGTCCCTGGAAGATTGAGTAGCCGGAGAGAAAGTTCAGGAAGCCGTTTGCGGTTGCGACAATTCGCCTAGTTTTGTGTTAGATATCGGCTTGAGTGAACGTCAGGGGTGTAGAGGCTTACCAAGGAACGATCGCGAATGCAATGATAAGACATAGCAACTGGCCTCGAACGATGTTGATGTATTTCGGGAGCAGGCACGTGACATCAGCCGCGAACGGAATGAAGTTGCAGGCAATCGAGGTGCCTAGTGTTGCAAAGGCGAAACACGCAGATGCGAAGAAAACTCCTGCTCTTGCTTTGGAGGAGTAGGAGTGATCCAGAATGCCGTTGAGGAGATCGTAAGGGTTCCAGTATGCTTCTCCCCACATACTGAGGACTGCGGACTGCTATGGTTAGCAAAGCGTGTAGGACTGCGATGACAATCTACTTACCGTTGTGATTACCCCGAAAGCAGCACAGATAGTTTGACCAATGGGTAGACTGATAAGTTGACCCCAAAGCTGAGCATTCTTTGTCTTCGAGTATCGAGCCAGGTCTGGAACTGTGACTAGAAGTGCTGAGTTCGCCCCCATAACAGAATTGAACTGCGAGACGATGCCCCAGGCAAAGACTGAGACTGATGATTTCGTTGCTGTTGTAGCAAGTGCTCCCGACGACACACCACCGTTGCTCGTAGTGGCCCAAATGACAATGCCCAGGCCTGCAAGAGGCATGACGACTGATTTGACGCTGAACAGGTGCTGGATTCTCGAGGTATGGACAAACAGGAAAGGTATCGTGAACAGAAACGCAAGGAAGAACCCGACCATGACCTGTGTAGTAATGTGCTGACTTGCTGGAATGCCGTTCGGGATGCGCTCCCAACCTGGAAATATGCACCTTAGACAGACTGAGATGAATTGTCCCTCAAAGTACAGCTGCACACCTCCCCAGATGATGCCAAGGATTGATCGCAGTACCACCACGAAATATTGTCCGTAGATACCAAAGCTGACTCTTGATAGGACTGGGTACCCCACGTGGTATCGTGCTGCAGCGCGACCATTGAGAACTATCACAACCGCGGAGAGAAGGTTGGCAAAGAAGACGACCAAGAGCGCATCGCGGATCGTGGCTCCGAGGGCGATCAAGGACGCTCCGACTGACCATGTTGAGACGTTCCAGGATTCACTCCACCAATATGCAAAGAAACTCCAGATTGTCCATGTCTGTCGGCTTATAGGCGATGGAAGCAGATCCTCGTTGATCAGGAACGATGTTGAGCTCTTCAATCTCAATGCATTGTGGAAGGCTGATGGAGAGGAAAAAGCATGTCGGAATCTTTTCCAGTTTGATACTTGGCCTTCACTGCTAGGCATACTCGCAGTATGAAATGTAAGGGAATGAAAAGATTGCGATGTTGAAAGGCGTGGGCTCAAACACTAGGCAAGGTCGGTTGCAGTACTGCTCCTGCACTTCGTGGATTCTGTAAAGCGAGGTGGACAGAAGCACTAGGATGACATAGACAAGCTACATGCAGTGGCACATATACTCGTGCCTGTAAAGGCTGTACGTATCGCATTATTGGTATCTAGACCTGATATCAGGCAAGACCGCTCAGCTGGGACGCTATCGCAGTAGATGGAGACGAAAGAGGAGTTGGTATCAATGTGTGTGGATCCTTGAGGTATCAGTCGGTGGTTTTATCGTTCTTTAATTGGTTCCTGCTGCGTGGGCATGCCCGCTCTGCACATCGGCACCGTATCGTGGCAGACGATAAGCAGCTAGTTCATGCACAACCTTGGCACAGAAAGCATAGTCCAGACATGACACTCAGTATTTCAAGCAAGCTAGCTGAGTGTAAATGAACTTATGACGGCTGGACTCTGGCCGAATTTGCACATCTCATCATTCGAGAGCGTTGGCCGTGATGGGCTCCCTTCTCAGAGGTGAGACGACTGGGCCAAAGGAATCGCTTGATGGCGGAGATGCCTGGCACAAATGCAGCCCTCCTATGGTGCTTGGCGAAGCACCAATATATCGGGCCAGTGACTCGACGCTGCATTGGGTCGATTGTCTCAGCGAACCAGCCGAGCTGCACATCCTGAAGGTCAACCCAGATGATGGTGACGCAGAAGGAGTGCCACGAATATTGAGACTGGAAGACAGCGTCACTGTCGCCTTCTTCCGCAAAGGACATCCGGGCTCTTACATCTGCGCATATTATCAAGGAGTGGCTTTTCTGGATGAAAACACTGGCAAGCTGGATGTTGTCAAAGAGATTATACCGACTGCAGATCGTGACCTATTGAGGTTCAATGATGGGGGTGTGGACGCTAGAGGAAGATTTTGGCTGGCCGAAATCGATAAGAAGGCCATGGCATACGGGCCTAACAAGCTACCATCTAGCTACGGTAAGCCGAAGGGTCGCTTATGGCGCTATGATCCGGATGGAAGCCTGTACCAGATGGAGGACGGCATTGTTTGCGGTAATGGTCTGGCGTGGAGTCCAGACAACAAGACCAGTGAGTTGATATCGCTTGTATTGAGAGGAAGGCCGCTAATTGATGGCAGTGTACTTCAACGACTCCGTCGCGATGATGGTGTTTGCTTACGACTTTGACGTTGAGTCTGGGAACATTTCAAACAAGAGGCTTCTGATCGACCGAAGGTCGTCATATGGTGAGCCTGATGGAATGGTAGTTGAGTAAGTCTGCGACAGACATTGGGCTTGTTGAAAAGCTAACCGCAGAGTAGCACTGAAGGTAATCTCTGGATTGCTGTATTCGACTCACATCGTGTAATGGTCTTCAGTCCCCAAGGTGAACATCTGAAGGACATTGTATTTACTGCCAATAACATGGCATGCACTACTTGGGGTGGTAAGGAGTTTGATGTCCTCTACATTGCAACAGGTAGAGACAGAAGTGTCAGCGCTAAGGTGGACGACGAAGGTGGCCACCTATTTCGCTATAGACCAAAGGGCTACCGCGGGTATCCCAAATTCGAATTCGCAGGATAGACTGAATACACGCCTGTTTTCGCAAATGAAATCGTGAGGCTCGAAGGGAGGAAAGAGCCAATTGAGCAGTAGCGCCTGGAGCCGATCTTACCAGCACCTGTAACTTTCCCGAACTCTGCCAATTGGCCTATGGATCCACCCTTATCACAGCTGCTGTAGACCATCTCATCAGTTTCGCAAACAACGAAGACGGGCTTGGCCATTATCTGTTCTGTCCCATGTTGTTAGTACTGCTTTCGACGTAAACTCATCGATGAAAATGGTAGGAACGTCTCTGCTAGAGCATGCAAGCTCTTCCGATGCCATCGAACAAGCAGTACGCGTGTTCCGAACCAGAGTGCCATAAGAGCTTCGTTCGGCCTGAGCATCTCTACCGTCATCGCTTGAACCGTGAGAAATACTGATCTACTACGGGGTTTAATTAGCTGACTCAAGTCCAGACAAACCGAAACGCATCCATAAGTGTAGCTCGTGCCAGAAGTCGTTTGTTCGCCTAGACTTGCTTCGTCGACATGAACTTCGACACGAACGGGGCATGACACCTCGTCGATCTGGCGGCTTTCGAGCAGAATCTGCAAGCAGCTTAGCCAGCTTCCAGCATGAAATAACCAGGCTGAATACCGAACAGAGTAATCAGGATATACGTGTGGATTCGGTCACCGACACGTCTCAAGCTCCTGATGGCGGTACTGATACGATCACCAACACTTTGGACCCAGCGACAAGCCACACTCTTCTCCCTGACCTTCCTGTGTATCCTGTCGAGTCGAACTTCGATAAAAATTGCTTTATGTTCTTCGAGCCTTCAAACGAAAGTCTGGGTCAAAACCAGGATCTCCATTGGTTGTTTGATTCCATCTCACAAGACCTCGACTTCGGTGACCCATTTCTCAATCAAGCTGCAGTACTTTCCGCCTCACCTCTTAGCACAAGCTCTCATCAATCTACGAACGAATCTAGCACGATAGCCGGAGATCCGTGGCCAGCCGTGCGGTGCAAGTTATTGACGGCTTTGCAATCTCTACCAACGGAGATCCTGCAAGATTCATTCTTCGAATCCACGAACCTCCAAAGTTTCCACGAACTCTACTTCAAGCATTACAATGCACACTTTCCCATCTTGCACGAGGCGTCTTTTGTCCCGGATGACGTACCAGCACTGCTCTTAGTAGCTCTATTGACGCTAGGCGCAACTCTGTCGTCTCATGAGAGGCATTTTCAGGTCTCTCAGAAGATTCACGATAGTCTACGCTGGCTGATCTTTGGCTCTGAAGCTTTCCAGCCTCCAGCACCCTTGTGGTGTGTGCAGGCCCTGCTACTGGTCCAGGCTCACGAGAAAATGTTCTCCTCTCGCAAACACCATGAGATGGCGCACATCTTCCACGGCTCAATCATCACTCTCATGAGACGAGGAAGCTCGTACAACAGCGAGTGGGCCGAGGAGACCCACGATGGCTCATCACTTGAACGGGCGTGGCATTTGTGGGTAGAAAAAGAATCGTCAAAGCGTGCGGCCTACTTTGCCTTCATCATGGATGCCCAGCATGCATCTGTCTTTGGGCATGTCCCTGCGCTCTCTGTCAGTGATCTTCGACTTCCCTTGCCATCTCCAGACGCGATGTGGGATGCGAGCTCGCCTTCACGTTGGAAAACTGAGCGGAACAAAACCGTGCCCGAGCCTTCGTTTTTGCAAGTTCTACGTACACTTCTCGCCCGTCGGCCATTACCAGCCGCTCTGAGCCCCTTCGCTCGATTTGTTGTGCTTCACGGACTTTTCAGTGTCACTAAACATATGCAATACAGAGATCTGGCAACATTGGATGTGGATGCCGAATCAGCCCCCGAAAATCATAGTCTAAATCAAACGTCCAGCCTCATCGGCCCTGTATATTGGCGCGAAGTTCTCGATCGAGCGATAGAGACGTGGTCACTGTCGTTGTTATCGCAAGGGCCTGCACTGTGCTTGGAAGCAGCCATGCCACTTCAACGGATCGCGCATATATCTATTCACCTCAATTTGATCGACTTCCACATCCTTGCAGGCGCACCATCCCTTACTGGCAACAAGGTCTCGCCTACTGAGTATGCTCAAGCTAGAGACAGGTGTCAGCAGTGGAGTGAAAGCCAAAGTGCACGACGAACGCTGTCACATTGCCTGCTCCTTGTCCAAGAAACGATGTTCAGGCGTCGTCATTACCGAGCATCGGAGGACAATATTGCTTTGCGACCTTGGTGTTTGTATCATTCTACGTTAATATTATGGGCTTACGGTGTCTTCTCATCAATTACAGCACAAAACTATGTACTCTCCGCTGAAGAGTATATTGTCTATATGTTGAATGGGCTTATGGAGGGATCGACCCAGTTAGCAGATGCTGGCTCCACGTCAGGGCTGGTCATTGCTGTACGAGATGCTCTTTCTGATTGCAGATGGGAGCTTCTCCAGGAAGCGCATGCAACTCTAAATCGCTTGTTAGAGTCTCCTTGATCACTTAAAATGGAGGGAACCCCGAATATAGACATCTTTTCGACTATTCCATTGATTTCATTTGCCAAATCTTGGAACAAATTGGGGATATTTCCCAGGGTACGTTTGCTCAGCAAGACTTAAACAATTTTGGGATGAGGCCAAGGCCTACAAAACAGCCACACATTTGATCTCGACATCAGTGTTCAACGGAAGTGTCTTTACTGCTACACACCTGATCACAAATCAATATGCCACCCAAGTCGATGGACAGAGCACGACTCACGTTCTTGCAGGTTTGATATCACCCCAGAATCGCTCATAGACCTCGTTCATCTTCGCAAAGTCGTTCATGTCAGCGAGGAAAACATTGACTTCAACTGCCTTGTCAAGGCTTGAACCAGCTTCCTCGAGCACTACGCTCAGGTTTTTGATGCATTGTTCCTGACCAATGTCAATCATCATTCGCGGAGGACAAGCTTCACTTACGGTGTGAGCCTGAATATCTCCATTTATCAGTTTCATTGATGCCGGATCCATAGGTACTTGACCAGAGCAATACACGAAGCCATTGGCGATGATGGCTTGGCTGTACACCGGCAGTGGTTTTGGCGCCTTCGAGCTGAAAACGGCCTGTTTCGACATGGCTATATGGTAAACAAAGGTCAATGTTGCTACTCGGTCGCGTCCAAGAGGTATCGTCTACACATCTGGACAATCTGGCTCTACCGAACGTATTTGCACGTCAGCAGACATGCCGAGCGAGACCTGCCACATCGCACAGATGAGCTCCGCAGTACGTGGGCATTGCCCACTTCAAAGTATCCACATCACGGTCAACCACACTTGTGATTCTCCTCGTTCGAGACCTGGGCCGTTCAAGTATGAGTATCGTCAATGAACGCTCAAAGTATGATTGCGACCGATAAGCATTCGACTTTCAAGCCCCATTAACAGCAGGATAGCTTGGTCTTCTTGACGACGCCATCGAAATAAGCCTGTAGTACTAACGAAGTTGGTATTGGGAGAGCATTCCATCGATTTCTCATAGTGTGCACCTTCTCGACGTGCACAAGTTCCCGAAGCACACATCGCATTGAACCATGAGCTTGGACCTTGACACTATGCCTGTCTTGGCACCAGCATCAGGCACGTCGCAACCACCATATCCTCTGCATGCGTCTATTGTGGACAAACTAGATCCACAGTATGTCGCCTTTTACAACAAGCACATCATCAATGCACAACAAGTACACTATCAGCCTGTGGCTGCCTCAAGGGTGGGCGGCAAGCTCATCCCAGGCGGAAGCAATAACCTACCTGTCGACCTGACTCAAGACTTCTCTATCTCACGTCAAGAGACCGAGGGTCCTGAAGTACGCGTACGATGTTTCACACCCGAGGGACAGCCTCCTGCAGGTGGATGGCCAGTCATGGTTTACTTTCATGGCGGTGGTTGGGTTCTTGGCAATATTGACACAGAGAATTCGGTATGCACAAATATGTGCAACAGGGCGAGATGTGTTGTTGTCACAACGGATTACAGGTAGATTCTTTGTTCGATAGGTCGCTCGTTGGCACTAATATGGGTTTGCAGGCTCGCACCCGAAGATCCTTTCCCAGCCGCTGTGCACGATTCGTGGGAGGCACTACTGTGGACGGTCTCGAAAGGAGTTCAGATCCTCAACCTGAACAAGGATCTGGTCGCCATTGGTGGCTCATCAGCAGGAGGTAATCTTGCTGCTGTACTGACTCAGAAAGCAACTGAGCTGCTCCCTACACTCAAGTTCAGGGTGCAACTGCTCATCGTCCCTGTCACGGACAATACTGCTGCCGTAACCACAAACGCCACGTACAAGTCCTGTCAGTTCACAGCGGCGCTTCCAGCAGAGAAAATGCTATGGTATCGCAACCATTATCTCCCAGATCAAACGATGTGGACAGCGCTCGAAGCCTCACCACTGCTCGCCCCATTGAAAACCTTTGCAAAGCTTCCGCCTGCTGTCATTCTAGTAGGCGAGCTGGACGTGCTGCGTTGGGAGGGTGAGGAGTATGCGCGGAAGCTGAATGCGGCTGGTGTCCATGCAAAGGTAGAATTGATGAAGGGTATGCCTCATCCTTTCTTGGCGATGGACGGCGTGCTTGATGAAGGGAAGAGAGCGATCACCATATTGTGCGAGAGCCTGAAAGACGCTTTCGCTTCACCTTCCGCAGACCTAGAACAATAAAGCATGTTCATTGCATCCGCATCACTCGTTCGCATTCGAGGTGGTCGAAGCTGCAGCAAATTGTACTTGTTAAACGCGAACTCTTATTACTGACGTGCTTTGTAGTGCGAGAGTACCATCTTGGCCGTCACAATTGCTGACTAAGCTTTGACAACTGTCGAAGCCGCCCGCTTCGGGCATTTGCGAAATGCAAACGTGTCGTGGGACTTTCTTCGATTGAGGTCGTGCCCAAACACTTTTTTCTGCTGCGAGTCGATGTAATTCTGCGCAAGGTCAGGAACGACGGGGACGATGCCCATGGCGAGAAAGAAACCGCGCAGGGATCGGCAATCGTGACTAGCGTGTGTCGGCAGGTATCTTATGTTTCGTACAAGACAATTCTGTTCCCGCAGATCCGACTTGTGAGTTGTAAACCGTAGAAGAGGAAGCGATCGCCAAAACTCAGCATCTTCTGGGTTGAGAGACTCCACGACTGTCGCCTCACAACCGATCAAGCCCAGGATTTTCCAGATCGAGCTCGACAACTGTCAGCGGCGAGTAGAACCCAATACACCTCTGCTTAGCCACAATGTCGAAACCACGTTTGCGTCTGTCCATGTTGACGACTTGCCAGAGCGTCCCCTCAGGCCAATAGTCCCGTTCCAGCCCTTCCCTCGGCATAGACTGTTCGTGTTCCATGTATCGAAGCTTCCTTCGCACATTCCTGGAAAGCTCCATTGCTAGCGGCAATCCACTTCCCATACCATGGTACGAATCAAGGATACCAGTATATGGGTTATCATCAACGCTCTTCAAGTCAAATTCCAGCACCGCTAGATTCGGAAATGTTCGGCGTGATGGCTTGAGTTGATCATGGTAAATGTTATCTAAGATTGTGATATGGTGAATACTTTTAAAGACGCGATCTGGTAAGCGACGTCGCAAGTTGTCAGGAAATCGACCTTCTTCGCAGATTAGTTGGAGCTTGCTGGTTGAAGTTGTGCTCTGTAAGAACGGGAGTGTCTCCTGACGAAGTAGTCGTGAGGTAGCACTGATTTGCCACGAATACGATGATAAGTCAAGAGCTTGTGCCTTGAAAGTTTGAACTCGTATGGATAAACCGTTGAAGAGATGAATATAGATAAGTTGTCGAATCTCTGGGGGTACGGAGATCAGGTTCGGCCTTTGAGCCTGATTTTGCATCTTCACTGGCAAGTCGACATGCACGTGTCATGCGTTCTGTGTTCTGCTTTTCGGAGTGTTTCCTAACAATCCGCAGATGTATGCTCAATACCTTGAACTCATTTTCCAAGGCTTACAGCTAAACTCTATGGAAATGTCGAAATGTTGAGGTCATGATTTATGATCTACACGCAGTTGCCGACATGACCTGTTAGTGGAGACGTGCAGCCGACGCCTCGCTGTAGCTTCCCGTTTCGAAATATGCTGATCACACTTTCCACTTTCTCTTTCTGTACGCGATTTGTCCTCCTCCAAGACTCGGTCGGGCCCCTCACACATCTGCAGCTAAAAGAACAGCCAGTCGGATACGACCGGTCGCTATCCTTGCTCGTGGTATGGTCACATGCATTTATGTTCGGAAGCGTACAGGATGGACACCATCCAGCCTGATATGGAATGCCTTGTGCAAACGCTTCTAGAATGCCTGGCCTGAATGATGTCCGGCCACAAGTTCACAGAACTCATTGGTCAGGACTCATCCAGCATTCAGGCTGGCGACAGATATGCGAACAACTACATCAATAGTAGTGGGCCTGTAGGTCGGTATCTCTTGTCAAATGCTTTCAAACTACTAACGTTCTAGTATTACTAAACAATGAGACGCAGACTTTCGAGCAAGTGCAACAGCTAACGCAGCAGCTGCGCGAGCTTCGAGCAGAACTCATCTGCCCTCCAGTCGCCAACCAGACGCCTCTCAGCCATGGCGCAGGCAGCAAGGATGCTATTGAGAAGAACTTAAATCAAGAGTTGCATGTCTACAAGCCTGAAATTGATGTCACAAAGGCAAATCCGAACGTTCTTCAGAGCTTGAGCGCACACTCCGACGTGCCTACGCAGCAGATATCGAAGGCGGCTCCCGTGTTCCTCGTACCTTATTCCCGCAACACTCGTTTCATTGACAGACCAGCGGAGTCAGCTGCGCTTTCGGAGTACTTTTTCGTAAATAACCTTACTGAGGGCGCTACGAAAGGTGAGCTGCAGCGACAGCGACGAGTAGCATTATATGGTCTTGGTGGTGCTGGCAAGACGCAGCTTGCAATATACTTCGCATATATCTATCGAAGCTATTATGCAGATCATTCTGTTTTCTGGGTCCATGCTAGCACAGAAGAGTGGCTCCGGCAGAGTTTCCAATCAATTGCGAGCGAATGCGGTATCGATGTCAATCAGAAAGGTGCATCAAACGTTTTCACCACTGTCGGAGCATGGCTTAAGAAGAGCTCTGGCCCTTGGCTGATGATACTGGACAATGCTGACGATGCTGACGTGCTATTTTGCAAACGTAGAAGGCTTGCTGATATGCTCGCAGAATGCGCTCATGGTAGCATTATTGCAACAACACGGAATAAACGGGTGGCAGAGAAGGTTACCATGTATGGAACTACCATCGCTGTGAACCAAATGTCCGAAAGTCAATCCGTTCAACTAATGAACTCGTTTCTAGCTACCGATCAGCAATACAACAGAAGGAACTCACACAACTACAACAACATCGACATCAAGAGTTTAGCCCAGTCGCTCGGGTACCTGCCACTGGCTCTAGCTCAAGCAGCAGCCTACATCCGCGAGAACTCAATCTCACCAAGCGACTACTTAAAGATGTGGACAACAAGTACAGAAAATGCTCAAACTCTCCTCAATACCGAATTCGAAGCAGACGGGCGGCAATACTATGACACAGATGTGCCAAACGCAGTTGGCACCACAATGATGCTTTCTTTAGATTATTTGCGAGAACGTAAACCTCGAGCTGGAGAGATTCTGGTGTTACTTTCTTTCTTGCATTACACAAATATTGACCCGGCCATGCTTCTGCTACCCTGGGAGACTATCTCGGATCCCTCCTTCATCGAGGCACTAGGCGATTTGCAAGCATTTTCTTTGCTGGAGAAGGGCGCAGATAACTCGACATATACCATGCACAGGCTTCTGCACCACGTCACTTGTCGTTGGAGGACGTTGCGCCTCAGCTTTGAGCAACTCCGGAAAGCAGTCACCGTTGCTCTGAAGCAATTGGCGCGGTGTTCCTCATTCAGAAGTGGCAAAACTGATCGTGGAATGTCGGATCTACAGTTACCACATCTTCTCCGCTTCTTTCAAGAAGAATCCCGCTTGGGAATTGCTTCCGAAGCTCTTGAGAAGGTGCACTTGATGCGCAGGGTGGCAGAGCACTTACTGTACCAAGGTCGTGTGCTCGAATCGACTGAGATGCGCGCCAGTATTCTGCAGCTCACCGAAACCTTTAGCGAACATCTGCTCATAGAAGCTGTACGGTCGAAATGTGAGTATGCCGAGACATTGGAGCAACTACACCGCTTCAAGGAGGCTCAGGAACTCTGTCAAGAGGTTGTAGATATTCTCGAAAGCACACAGTCGCGGCGTCAAACCTACATTAATGCACTGCGAATCATGAGTCGCATCTTCGCAAAGAGAGGGATGTTCGACGAAGCTTTGCTCAAGGCACGGGCGGCGAAGGAAGCTGCTATCGCTTTCCTCGGCACGACACATGCAGACACGTTGGTGATGGACTTTAATATCGTCGAGGTCATGCGATTATCAGCAGCACATGCTGGTACAAATCGGGAACAGCTTGTCGAAGCCAAGAACGTCCTCAACGGCACAGTCACGCAGTTATCAATACTCAAGGGAGAAAACGATCCACTTACTATTCTCGGCAAACAGCATCTTGTGAACGTGCTGGATGATTTACAGGAGTTTGACGCCTCCGTGGCCATTAGTGAAGATATTGTCACATCAAAAGAGAAGTCCTTGGGTTCTCAACATCTGGAGACTTTTCAAGCCAAGCTTGGGTTAGCACTCTGTTTTATGAAACGTTCTCAGTACCTAGAAGCGGAACGAATCATTCTGAAAGTGTTAGATTGCACGGCCCCCACTGTCAACGCTCATCATCTTGGAAGACCAAAGGCATTGCAGATGCTGGCAACAATTCACGAAAAGCGTGCTCAGCAGTGGCGTGAACGTTCTAAATTAGCAGAGCTTTCTAAAGACGGCGAGCCTGAACGGCAGTCTACCGGTAAGTCGCGTGCTGGCCCAGGTACAGCAGTGTTGTCGCCACCAAGTAAAGACTTCGACTTCGAAAAGGCCGCCCTCGATGCCTACACTACAGCTCTACGTCTTAAGATAGAAGCATCTTTATACTTGGAAGCAGCCCCTGGCATCGAACATCCCTACACCCTTGAACATATAATAGACACATCACGTACCTGCATGCAGCTCTTCCTGACCAAAAGCGGCGAATACTCAAACAGCATAGACAATGCTGAACGAATGCAGCGGGATGTGCTTGGTGTTCAACAAGATGTTTTTGGCAAGGACCATGAGGACACAATGACGACGAAAGGTCTCCTTGTTGTGACTTTGTACGAAAAGCTAAGTCAAGAAGATACTAAAGATGCGACCACCAGTAAGAGTGAGAAGAGCAACTCTACTGCAGCTCAAAAGCGTGAAGTTGACCGGAACAAACTTGTCGGAGAAGCAGAAAGCCTTGCATTAGAAGTTTACAGACATCGAATCAAGCGGCATGGCAAATTGCACCGCGACACTCTTGGCATGCAGCAGATACTAGCTGAAATCATGTACAAGCAACCCAAGGCACAAAACGCCGCTATCAAGTTAATATATAAGTGTCATCAATCTTCGGTTACAGCCTTTGGTGATGAAGATGAGGAAACGAAGAACCGCTTAGAGATGTGCCTGGCTTGGAAAGTGGTCAATGACTCTCTAGCTACACCTTCGACACACACTTCCACCTGGCGGATGCTGGAGAATGATTACAATATGCGAAGACCTGTGGCATACAATACCATGAAGAGTACAGCGCCTATCTCAGCTCCAATAAGCTCACGTAGCCGTGTCCCAGACCTCAATGAGGTGCTCAACAACGTGTCCAGCACTCCTTATATTGGTATTGCTTGCCCTCCTACTCCTTACCAGACCTTGAGAGTTGTGAGAGGCTTTCATCCGGCGAAAGATTGATGCTTCAACATACTTTTAGGCAGTATGGAAATGTTAGTATCCAGGCAGACCTGTGCCGTTCGATTCACTAAAATAATTGCTGCATCATCTGGCGTGTCACCCGAAGTAACATCTGGCAGATCTGCTCAGATATCACCAATATATTCCATGCTGAAGCACGAGGACAAACCAACTCAATCACTAGCCTCACCATGTGGTTTATGGAAATTGGACAATCGGCAAATACGCTTCCATATCCTGTATAGGATTGCCAGGGCTAGCATACGAGATGGTATCCGCACATACATCATCTGTCAATCTTGCGGTCAAGTATCGGTGACGACCGAGGCACATTGTCTGGGAATATATAGCGGCAATCTCGAAAACATCCTGAAAAGGACACTAGGTGGCCGGGCATCGACGACGAATTGCCCCCATTCCAGGCATTGACAGCTGCTATCTGCAACGAAGAAAGACGTGGTTGAGGAGTACGACGTATATTCGATCAGCTGTTGGCCCACACATAGTGCGAGGTGCAATATCGAAGTCAAAAGCATTTTCGCCTGACTCCGTCCAGGATACGTTGTTGAGATCGCAGAATATGACTCGTTCGGTTCAAACTTCAGTGGACAAATTGGCCATTTAAAGTACGCAATTGTATCAAGTTTCATAGAGCATCGAAGCAATATTGAGTCTGGGAAAGTTCCTGGTTTGTGGCGTAGCCCAAATCTGTAACGAAGACAGATACACTGAATCCATACTATCGATCATCCATTCGCTGCTGCTGCGGGTTTGCGACTCGGTCCTAATTTCGCAGGTGCTTTTCGAACAGCAGGACGATCAGATTTTGTCGAATCAGCCGTCGATTGAACTTTCGGCTTCTTCGGTGTCTGCTTCGCTGTAGTCGTAGTCGTATTCGATTTCTGAGGTTCTTGTGTTTTTGTGGTCTGGCTGGGAGCTTTTGCTGGAGTACTTTGAGGTTTCGTTTGTGGTTTAGCCGGTGCTTTCGCTTGTTGACTCTGACTCGATTTCGTAGTGGTTTTTGTCTTGCTCGCGTTCGCAGTTGGTTTCTCCGCTTCAGATTTTCCTCCCAGACCTGGAATTGAAGAAATCGATGGCATGGAAGGCATTGAGGGCAAGGACTGTTTGGACGGCATAGAAGGCATACTTGGGAGCCAGCTCGTTATATCCGTGGCAAATTGCTTGTAGTCATCTTGGCTCACACCTCCATTGTCGGCCTTCATCTCCTCCAGTTCGTCTTGGTCAGGTGCCTTTGTTTGTTGCGCTCTCATCACCATCTTCTCTAGCGCCTTTTTCTGACTTGATGTTGCTTCCCAATTCGGGAAATCACCTACAACACTTCTGACTCCTTGACTCGCGATCTGTCCCAGATCCCAGAACGGACCACTCATGGCTCCATAAGCAGATCCAATACCACCACCTAGCACGCCACCTACCGAGGAAACGACACCACCAACTAGAGCTCCGGTCAATTTGCCTAGAGTCGCACCAGGTTGGATGCCCACTCCAGCACCTGCCGCAAGTCCTTGGAAAGCACCCGAGCGTGTATACTTTGCGGCTTTACCAAAAGATTCGGCTTCGATCTCTTTGTTGATGGCTTTGGCTAGAATTTCTTCACGTGCATTGGGGTCACCAGCGCCATATGCTGCTTGACGTAGCTCATATGCTTTCTTCGCGGCTTCGAGGGCGAGTTGGGCACTTACAGAGGAGCTTTGTTTTACTTCATGTTCTGGGATTGCTGGTTGGTTGTTGGTGGTAGTAGTGCTAGAGTTGTTCTTGGGTTTAGGTTTAGGTTTAGGCGTGCTCGGGCTCTGGCCCTGACTCTGCTGTTGAGGCTTTGGCGCCTTCGGCGGTAGCTTCTTTGGTGGCATTGTGGCAGAACTGCCTTTTTTGCCCAACAGTCTTAGATAGCACGGTCGGTACTGGCGTTTACATGAAGGAAGGAGTTTAGAATACTTTCTGCTATATGAACTTTCATCCTGTTTTTGTTGCCAACTTGGAGGGAGGTAAAGTTTATTCCGGAGAACAGTCCTACGTCATTTTCGCTAATCGGCGCTAGTTCAGGTTAGCTGGTGTGGCTGGGTTCCCTGACCCGATCAATTCCTATTCGTCCTTGGGGAGCTACTGTTGTGATGTTCTAAGCCGTGGCGCGACTTTGCCAGTAACACACTACTGGAGTAGTTGATGAGACCAGCATGTCCATAGAATTTGTGCAACAAAATACTTGGTAGCGGAGGCAGGCTTAGGATGTATTCTTTCATCTGGTATCTAAACCTCAAAGATCTCTCCAAAGTTCATTCCACCGCCACCTGATCTTCTCAAGTCGACCAGGTCCAATCTCCATCCCTGCCACTGCTTCAAGCCTTTCTTGACCTCTCTGACATGTTCGACCATCTTCCGCATCTCTTCTTCTCGTTGTGCAGCTGCAAAGGCATTCTCATCAAACGCTTCATCGTCAAAGTCCTCCAGCAATGAATCATTCCTAGGTCTACCAGCCTGCTGCCGCTGAGCCTGAGAGTCCGGAGATGTGGTTGACGTCCTGAATGCGGCAAGGCCTGAATTCAGTACTTGAGCAAATCCTGAGTGTCTCGTCTGCGGCTGAGTAGGTGGGTACAGAGCCGAGCCCTTGCGAGTGTTGGCACCCGAGGCGTTCAGGTCAACTTCGTCGAAATCGTTGCCATCCGCATCCTGGTCCATGCTCAAGTTCGGCTGCATTTCTCGGCGTTTGTCGCGCCAGACTCCACGTCGAAGATCAAAGTTCTCACTCTCCAAGTCGCGTATCTGTTTCTCGAGCTTCTTTCTTTCCTCTTCCTCTAGATCTGCGAGGCCCTCATCCGCACCATCACCACTCATGCGATGCTTTCTGGCTTCCCGTAGCCTCAAGTTGTCCTTCTCTGTGGCTTCTAACTTCGCCTTGAGCAATGCAAGCTCTTTCGACATTGCCTCAAATTGTGCCAACTTGGGCCCGTTTCGCTGCTCGGCTTCACGATAAAGCTTGTTCATGGCCTCAACTTTCTTCTCGAGTGTTTCACGTTTCTGATCTGCCTCATTTTGAGCAGCCTGACTTTCCGATAATTCACGCTCAAGAGACTTGATCTTTGTCTCTCTGCTTGTACGTTCGGTACTATCCACTACTGCTTTTTCACTCGCTCGATTCAGAGCCTTCTTTACATCGGCGAGTTCTGTTTGTAACTTTGCGGTCAAGGCTTCAGAGCGCTGCAAAGACTCTTGCAGAGCTGAGATTTGCTCGTTCTCGTCCTTCCCACTAGTAGTCAAAGCACTGACTTGAGACCTCAGTCGAGAAATTTCAAGCTGCATGTCGGATACAGTAGCTTCTTTGCTCTCGAGCTCTTGTCGCAGTGACCCTGTATCTTCGTTGGGCTTCGGTTTGGGGACAGAGATGCTGTGTCTGCTGTTACGACGTAGAGTATCAATTTCGGAGCGAAGTTTCTGCACCTCTTCGTTGTCCTTGTCTCCACCCTTCTGCTCTGTGGCTTTTTCTCGCAATTCCTCAAGCTCTTCCTCCTTCCTGTGCCAACGTGCCCGTGACTCCTCTGCTTCTTGTGCTAGCCTCTTGTTCTCACGCTCAAGTTCCTCGATCCGAGCCATTTGCTTTCGGTAGATGTCAGGGAAGTCCTCGTCAGCTGCTGGAGAAGTCGGCGCAGCGCCTTGTCTGAAAGATGCAGAGCGCATCTTAGACTGCATAGAGACCGATGGCTGACGACCAAGTTGTCGAGGCTTGGTGGAGGATGGTTCTGTCGAGGGCGATGCTGCTGGCAGAGGAGGTGAGACTGCATCTTCCTCTTCGGCGTTATCCTCATCGGCTTCAGTGGTAGCAGGCTGTTCTGCAGACTTGACCACCTCATTGAAGGCTGCCTCGTCTGCATTCTCTCCCACATCATCTCCAAGTTCGTCTGCAAGGGTCGCTTCAGTCCTAGGAAGATTTTGAACCACTCCATTGCCTTCGTCCTTTTCCGCTGTCGTCTCTGCGTCTTTAGCCTTCTTACTGAACGAGGCTGCGGGTTTATCTCCTCCTGCTGCCTTCTTTTTCTTTTGCAGTTGAGCGACGCGTTTCTTGGCTGCTGCAAGCTTCTCAGCTTTCTCCCTATCTTCTTTCTCGCCCATGATTCAGGTTTGATTCGTATTGCGACGTGAACCTATGAAGGTAACTTATCAGGAGACTGTCTCGAACTACTCGACAACATGGCCAGAGTTGGAGAAATAATGACCTGCAGCCACAGGGTTATCCCCGATATGGCCCTAGACTTCTTCAGGTTAGGCATGAGCAAGGGACTGCCTGAGGGACTGCCAGTGTCCTCGCACGCCCTGATTGTTTGATGAGGTGGTGATTGTTGTGTTCTCAACTTATGTGTGTTGTATGAAACAACATCAACAGGTGTGTCCGCTACCCTAGGACATTGTGAATAGAGCTGTCGAAGCTGGCCTTCTAACTCCTTCTGTGGCTTCATGCTCAGACCATGACCTGAGAACCATGTGATGTGCACGTGGCGCGGATGAGCTCTTGCAGCTAACAGTACAGGCTATTGAGTCTTGCTTCGAGCGTGTGACACACCCAGCTTGTCAGGGCATACTGACCGTTTGTCTACTACGCAATTTTATCAGACCTCGAACTGTACGATGGGGGGTGGAAACTTTACTCCAGCGGAGCACGAAGAGCACCTTCACTGGTACAGCAGCAAGCTCACATATCTTCCTGCTTCTGGAAGTTCGTCTCAAGGCACTCTCGAGTCGAATGGTAAGCGCCTGGGTGAACTCAGTCAGACGCAACGCACCCTCGATACTCCTTCACCACCAGCACAGACTATTTTGACTCAATCTTCACCGCTCCAACTACGTGTCATAACCCACAATATCCGCTATGCCGCTACGTCTCTCTTTCCACACGAAGAGCCCTGGCCAGAACGTCTTCCATACATTCAGCGTCAATTGTACCACTATGTTTCGCTACCGTTCAATCCACAAAGCTCTATTGTCTGCCTGCAGGAGGTCTTACATTCACAACTACAGGATCTAGCTAGTACGTTAAACGCCGAAGCGGCAGGAGCAGAAATTGATCCTGACAGCAGCACCTGGTCCTACGTTGGGGTAGGTCGTGATGACGGTGGACAAGCAGGAGAATACAATCCGATTTTCTACCGTCATGCCTATTGGAAGAAAATACATTTCCAGACCATCTGGCTGAGTGAAACTCCGGAGACAGTGAGTCGTGGTTGGGATGGAGGCTGCAACAGGATCTGTACTTGTCTTGTGCTCGAAACCCGTCTTTCAACCAATGGCAAGGCACGAAGAGTGATGATATTGAATACTCACCTGGACAATGCAGGCCCTGTCGCCCGACGAGAGGGTGCTAAACTGATCGTCAGGATGGCAAGAAGATGGCGGCAGTCATTTCGAGTAGATAATGTTGTGCTTACTGGTGATCTAAATTCGATGAGAGACGAGAAAGATGGTGCTTGGGAGATATTGAATGCCATGGATAGTGGATTTGTTGACTCGACGAGATTGCTGGACGGTGGTCACGGTCTATGTATCAAGCAATTTGGTCCTGAAATGACCTTCACAGGGTTCGATGGGAATGGAGACGGGGACGAGGTTGGCATACTCGACTTCGTGCATCTAGGTGTAGGACCTGGAGACGATGCTGAGAATCTGCAAGGAAAATTGCATGCTTATACCATAATTCCCAATATCTTCGAGGGTCAGCCGAGATGCAGTGACCACACAGCCGTGGTTGTTGACTTCCTGCTTTGATCAATCAATGACAATATCGACTTAGATATGGGTAGTAACATCTGTGGTTTGGTTCTCGCAATCAGCCTTGACGTTTCTTGACATCAACAAACTTGACAGCGGTTCTATGGGTTTCTGCTTGACGGCAAATGAATTAGCGGGTGTATTGTCTGGCGAACCCCATGCTTGGCTTGAATATGGAGAGTGGAGCCCGCTCTGGGAAGAGGCGCAGGATGTGCATCATAGGCATGGGCAGGAGCGAGCTAACGAACTTGTAAAGCTCCGAGTCAACCGCGCGTCGATCAATATTCGATAGTGCTGCCGATTTACCTCCCACTCATTGAGCGTATTCTTAGCTAGCACTCGATGTGACATGATAATGTCAACATCTGCGCCCTCAGATTCCAAAGTCCATCACTTCTCTTAGCGCATCATCCATTATTGCGACCACCAACATGGATCTTGCTAGACAGGAATATCCGGCTTTGCTTGTAAGCCTTGCTGTCACTTTGCTATATGACTGATCTGACGTACACAATTAGCCGGCTCTGGAGCCCGAACGAGCTGTCGAGATCCTCAACGACCGAGTTTCGCTCATCAACAAAGTACATTCAGATATAGCAGATTGGTTGCAGGTGGGTGCGCTCTGATCAATAGTAGGAGTAATAACGCCTAACTCGCGTTCAGGAAAGGCGGAAGATCGAGGAACAGTATGCATCTTCTCTGCGTAAGCTCGCGAGGAGACCCCAGCAAGACAATGCGGCCAGCCTAGGTGTTTTCCAAATGCCATGGCAGCGCATCGTCAGCTCCACTGAAAACATGGCTCAGTCTCACGAGAATCTAGCAGCTAAGATTCAAGCTGATGTTGAGAACCCACTACGGCAATATCCTACCACGAGTCGTGAGCTTCAGCAGATGGGCAATGTCTCAGGCAATCTATCCGCCATCGCAAAAGAGCTAGCGAACGCGCAGAAAAAGGCACAAAAGCTGGACGCGAAGGGCGGAAGTAAAGCTGAGGATGCAAAGTCCAGCGTTGACGATGCGACCTCACAATGGGAGTCTCAGGCACCTTTCGTGTTTGAGCAACTGCAAGCTCTGGATGAAGCCCGAGTGAATCATCTCCGGGACGTCCTTACACAATTTCAAACACATGAGCTTGATGCGATTGAGCGAGGAAGAGTCAGTGCCGAGTCCTGTTTGAACGCCTTGCTCAACGTGGAAACGGCCGATGAGATCAAGACTTTTGCAACTCGAGCTAAGAGCCAGACTGGATCTGCTACAGCTCGTCGGGAATCGACGCTTGGACCTTCAAGGCCAGCAGGAACAAACATACCACCTACACCGCCCCCTCCAAGAAGTATGGATCATCGTGGCAGCGCGGCTTCCACTCAAGATCATTTAGCCCCTTGTACGTGAATTCCTCTGGTCTGTGATTGCTTGACTGACTCGAGAGCAGTGCCTGAAGCCCCGAGGGAGAAGAAATTGAGCGGCTTGAAAAGGTTGGGAACAGTCATGGGTAGAAGGAAAAATGCTGCTCCACCCCCACCTCCATCGGCTGAAAAGAAGAAGGAAAGAACACGATCATTTGTACCTTTTCGACGTCAAGAGTCCTCCCGCAGCTTTTCTGACCTTGAGACTACTGGTCAGGACTTGACCCAAACTGCATCACGAGATGATCGAGCTAGCAGCCGGCACGATAGCGAAAGACCTCCGCAGACACAAGAGAGCCTGATAACTGACACGTCAAGTCCGGCACCAACAAATGGTGTCAACACGAGGCATGCCGAAAGGGAAGCACCACTTCCACAGATAGCTGTCTTACAGCCCCAGAATGCAGAGCTACCTGCTATATCTCCTTCTTCGCCAACAGTTGAGGCTAACAGACGTAGCTTCCAGCCAGATCCTTTTGCTCAAACCTCAGACGTCACCTCGCCTGCGGAAGAGTCAGCACGAAATTTCGAAATCAAGGATCAGCCCATACCAGAAGATGCAAGTGCTGCTCAGCTAGCCATGAACAACATTCAGAATCAGCTTCGTATGCAGGCTCAAACATCTGGCTTGAATAGGAATCAGGCCAGCGTACGAGGAAGACGCGATGTGAGGAATACAATGTTCTTCCCTGGTCAGCAACCTGGACTCCCCTCTCCAGCCACTCCGGATCTAGGATCTCCCTCTACACCAGCATCGACCCTGACTATGCCAACCACAGCTACCAGCAGCACACCCGCCACTACAGCAACGGATACACCCTCGGATGTCTTGACTCCGATCAAGCGCTCACTAGGAAGTGGTACAATTCCCGAAGACGCTTCGCATGCTGTCTCAGACTCCCAATCAATCCATTCTGCCCATAGTATGGCAGGACTAGCTCACCACACAGATTTGCACGAGTCTGGGTTGAACGCCTCGCTGGTAGAAACAGTCAATACCTGGTTCTCCGATGAAGGAGTGACCAGGTCTTTCGTCGTCGGTGAGGTTGCACTAGCTTACAATCGCACTGAGACAACAAGCAGCAGTCAAGAAGTTGTCCGATTACAGAATTTCCATCAGCTCGAGAAATGTGCCCAGAACCCTCAATTTGTGACGACATCATCAGGCGACCATCAGCCAGGCACGTACAACGTCGCCCTATCCTCAATTTCGAGGTCGATGCCGACAATCGCATTCAAATATCAATTACATATGAATGAGGCAAACTTGAGCGCGGCTTCTCCTTTACTTGTCACTCAAGCGTGGCAAATCATTGAAGGTCAAGCCAGTGTCATCCTTCTGTACAGTCTAAACCCAGCTTTCGGAGCTGTAGCTATTTCAGGCACTTCGCCCATACCACCTCCCCAGGAGTTAATCCTCAAGAACGTCAACATCACGGTGAATCTGGATGTAAAATCAACAACAGGCGAAACGTCTGCACCAAAAGCAGTTGGGGCGCAGATGATGCCGGTACAACACGCACAATTCAAGAAGCGGTCCAGCTCTGTGGTCTGGAAATTTCCTGAACTCCTTGTCAAGCCTACACAAGAACGACTGCTGGTTAGGTTCATGGTTGAGAACAACGGTCTTGCAAAAAGAGGTGGGGTTGATGTCAAGTTTGAGGCTCACAATATGCTTGCTTCCGCTCTTGGTGTCGAAAGACTGGCCAGTGGTGGAGAAGCAGCAACGCCTGCTGCAGATCCTTTCGCTGACGAGGTTGAGGCAAGAAAGAGTGCGGAAGGAGGACAGAGATGGGAGGATGTGCAGAGTAGGAAAGTGCTTGTTAGTGGGAAATATAGTGCTATGTAGCGGTAGATTTCACAATCAGGAACATCAATTGTACCAGTTATGCATTTGAAAAGAGCTGCAAATGTCTCTAAGTATGCTCTCTAAAGTTGAGATATGCCATACACGAATGCATTGCAGTAGGAGTTGCGCGAAACGGTGTGCTCTCACTGACTTAGCCCCTTCGACTCTAACTTGTCCATTTGCAGATCAAACGGCTTATCAACCTTCCCCGAGCTAGCTGCAGGCTTCTCTCTCTGCGTCAACTTGATGACCCACGCCATGATACTAAACACTGTTCGAAACAACCAGATCCCTAACCTCGTCTTAGGAACGACCAGCGCTGGCATATATCCACCGACCGGTATCTGCTGGCACTCCTCAACATATTCCCTTAACCTCTTCTCATACTTCTCGAAAGCGATCGTGCCCGAATCGCGAGAAATTTCTTGTGCTAATACCCAAGCGCCGATTATTGCGAGCTGGTTTCCTTGGCCTGTAAATGGAGTGGGGGCCCATGCTGCATCGCCGAGGAGTGCGACTCGACCTTTTGACCATGTCGGAAGCTTGATCTGGATGATTTCGTCGGAGTAAAAGTTGTCGGCTTTGAGCATTTGTTCGATGACGCGCTTTGATTCCCAGCCGCAATTGCTGAAAAGGTCGGCGAGGGCTTGTTTTTGTTTGGCACGGTCGCCTGTGGCGTTTGCTTCGTGGAGGGCAGGGACGTTGTTGTTCATGTGGATTAGGTAAGCTGATGTTTGTTTTGAGTGCTCTCCTGTCGGACGTAGCCACATGAATCGACGATTGGTGAAGTGGCATGCTTTGGAATCTGGCCAGTCGCGATCCTCCTTGGGAATGGAGAAGTATGCCACGTAGGCACCTAGGGGTTTATACCAATCGCGCGAGTCACCCATCACCATCTGTCTGGTCGTTGATCTCACGCCATCAGCACCGACGACGAGATCGAACTCTTCCCTCGACACATTCTCCTCCCCTCGCTTCTGAATCTCGACAACCACTTTCCCCTTCTCCTTCTCCGTCTCGACCATGCTCTTCACTGTACTCTCAAACCGATAATTCACATTCTCGAACGCATCAGCTGCCTTATACAAAACCTCTGTCAAATCACCACGCATCAACTCCAGCGCTCCCGTTGGGCTAAACCCCTGATTAACACCGACATACCCCCTCGACCTTGCCCGCTTGTCAACAAGTCGGAACCCCAGCTCCCCAGTCCGCAGTTGTTGGAGCTGGTCCATGATCTCCATTGCTTTGACGACTGTTAGCGCGGGCTCTTCGATCTTGAGGCCTTGTCCGAGTTTCTGATTCGCGCGAGAGCGTTCGAGGACCGTGATGGAAAATTTGGGGCTGTGTTTGGCGAGGAAGAAGGCAAGGACGGAGCCGGAGATGCCGGCGCCATTAACGAGGATTTTTGTGGGTGGCATTGTGAGGGCAGATATTGTTAGATTAGGCTGAGGGATGTCGAAGGATGATGAGTATGGTAGTGGTTTTATGTATTGTGAAATTCATGATTAGGGGAGCGTGACAGAGTAGCATATAAAGCCAGTAGCTACCAGACGAAGGACATGACCCATCTCATCTAGAGCGCTACACATGCAACGACCAGTGGCTGTCAAGCTGCTGCTAACCAGGCCATGCATCGAGCGCTGTATGTTCATCAACTTCAATACGATATGTCGGGTCCGAAACTCAAAACGAGCTTGTATTCGAAGCTTAGTTTTCGGAGCTTCGGTTATCGCTCACTTGCTCACGCTGTGGATACATGGATTGAGCTTGACATTTCTTACTCGCTGTTTCACCTTGCTTGATCTTAGTGACCTCGAAAGGCCTGGATTGTCGTTCGGTTTGACGTATTCGGGATAGATATTCACGCTAAGGTTGTTGTTAATATTAAAAAGATTAGTGAGTCCATCGAATTGCTGATAACGTGACTCATAGTATATCTCTATTGATTGTTTTCGACAAGACCCCATGCTCCTTTGCTGATACGCTTTCCAAAGTATTTGACTAAGAGACCTACCACAACTGGCCCTATGATCGTGTTCAATAAAATGGCCCAGATAGCTGTCAGAAATCCGGCCTCAGACACGTAAGATGTATCGTTGTAGCCAATCTGCACGATGAGAAGTCCAATCTCTCCACGTGCTACCATGGCGAAACCAAGGAGGAGCGCTGGCTCTAACGAACCACTCATTCGAGAGCCAGAATTCTTCTCGTCGGACCTGCTGTTGCTCGTTATAAGTTGTTTCTCATCATCTTTTGGAGTGCTGAAGAATTGCCATGCTAGAACCCAAGTGCCCACTAACAGCTTGCCAACGAGCATGACCAAGGTGTAGACGACACCTCTCCAGATAGCATCGCCTGTCCATAGGTCGAGGAAAGGTATTGCGAAGCCGATACTCGCAAAGAACAGAGGCCCTAACACATATTGGAGCGCGTCCAATAGATAGCATTCGAAGGTGTGAACGAAGGTAGGACTCTTGCTTTTCTCCTTCTCTCCTTGTTCTCTACTCAGAACGACGAACGGGCCTTCTGGGTGTTTGCTTGGTAGATAGGTCAAGAACGAACCTGCCAGGAAGGCGCCGAAGAGAACCGATGTACCCGCATATGCAGCGATCGAGACGAAAGCGCTGAGCACCAACGTCATCAGGATGATGTTCGAGAAATGGTCGTACTTCGCAAACCGTCGCTCTATGTATCGTCGAAAGAAGGGCGCAAACACCCATTTGGACAATACGGGCGTCAATATCGCCATGAGCGCGGATGCAAGGACTGGGCGACCGATTAACCAGCCAAGATTGGCCGAGCCTCCACCAGATAGTGATCCTAAATCGTGGATGACGCTCAACATGACGAGACCAGTGACATCGTCAATAACAGCCGCGCTCACGAGAACGGCGCCGACCCGAGTCTGAGAAAGATCGACCTCTTTAGAGGCGCCCGAGATGACGGCGAAAGTTGTCCCTAAGGATGTTGCAGAAAGTGCAGCTCCAATAATGAACGTTTCGACCGCTCCGTAGCCGAATCCCAAGTACAGCAACAGATAAGAGAATGAGATAGGAAGGATCACCCCTGTCGTTGCGCCACAAAGACTGAGCAAAAAATTGGCGCGTAGAAGGTCAAGTCGAGCTGTCAAACCTCCTTCGAATATAATTAGGATTAAACCGATATAGCCAAGGGCCAGAAAGGTTTCTTGCCATGCACTCGGGAGAATGTTGGCAAGTGGTACACCATAGATGATTCCCACCACGATTGACCCTATGATATTGGCGCGAATAATCTTGCTAGAGATATACTCGCCCAATGACAAGAAGGTGAAGAAGGAAACCGCGATTAAAATCTCGATAACTAAATGGACAAGTCAGCAAGATGGTTCGCCACTTATCATCGAAGCGCTCTTTGCGACGTACTGCCTAGTTCATGGTACTGAAGGAAATTGCCTGACTCGGACGCCATGCTCCAATGAACACAACAACGAAAATGGCAAGTTGTCGATACAGCTGCGAGACATCGTTTCTATACTATCAGATATCTTTTTCTGTCAGGGCGCGTCACTAGAAGCAGACTCTCCCGGGCGTCATAGGTTCTAGAATTTGCCATGCTGTCACTTTGCTCATCAGAATTACACAGGTACTGGAGTTGAAGTAGACTTTGCACCAGATTTTTGATTTCCGAGCTCCATAAAAAAGAGCACCTCCGTCTTACCGTCGTGTCCGGCATCTGAAAAAAGATCAAATGCCACAGCTAAGCGTCCTTTCCCATGAGCTTGATATCGATTTGGAGCGTGAATGTCAACACATACATTGACGGTGAATTTGTTGTGTCCACTGGCAGATTTCGTGCGTTAATGACGCGAAACAATTGCATGGCTCATTGAGGGTACACGAAACAGAACAGGCATGAATGGAAGTGGTTCGAGGCTCCACGTTTGATATTGTGGTTAAGCCACCACGTCATACCAAACCAACATCCCAATCCTGGTCGAGCTGCTTGTGTGGTCACTAATACCTAAGGGACCTATCGATGCTTGACGTTGCGGCAGCAAAACGTCGCTTCGAGTCTTGGTGGCAACCGTATCCTTATCGATTGCGAGGTCATTCGGACGAAGTACACCAATTTCTGGGGAAATCGCGGGGTTCTCAAATTGACCTGTTTGCAAGGTCGATTTTGATGCGAGTAAATTGGCAGTACAATCACGATTAACGTTAGGCTGAGCTGTTTGTAGTCGACCAAAGCTAGCATCTTTTAGGTCTATGTGACGCCCGGAGCTTACTTAGGCTATAGTAAACGACACGACTTCGACCATAGTATTGATGAATGGTATAGGTCTTTCCACCCGAGAATACTCAGCACAGCCCATAGGATAACAGGATGGTTCATCTAGCCTCTATGGATATAGAAATAGCGTTGCCAAAGTCCATTCACCTTCGTAGATGAGCCGTCTCCCTCCTTTTTGATCGTGACCAGCTATCAACAGCTTTTCTGGCAAGGTGACTACCTCACATCTCAACTCCGCCGATGGCTTCTCTATATTTCTGAGCTTGTGCCTTCTTGTCCGCTGCACTGACACCAACTTTCATGTCGAAGACGTAGGCAGCCTCGGCCTTTCTCGTAACCCAGGTGCCTTCTGGTGGAGCATCGCCCTGTTTCGTTGCAGGAACACCCCAGGCTTGTGCCAGTAGCTGCTTGTTGTTCTCATCGCGTGCTGACCAGCCAAACTCGTCATCCCACTTAATCTGCATTCCATCTTTGCGTTTGTAGACAGCAGATTTTGAGTTCTGCTCGCCGCTTATGAGCTCGAATACATGTGTCGGGCCTCCTGAGAGACTTTGAAGGCGGAAGGTGGGAGCGTCACCTGAGGAAGCCATGGCTGGTTCAAGCTATCGAGATTATGTGAGGTATGCTAGATTTATTGGTGTGACTTGAAAGTGAAGACAGAAAGTACAACGATTGACCTCATATTCTCTCAGCAAATGCGGGATGCAATCAGCTCCTGCCGATGTCGCCTGCGGGACCCTGAGCCGTTCACCTGGAAAGAGCAAAGAGCACTTCAAAAGTCGGACATGGAAGGTGGGACGAGGTGGACTCCCAGCTGCAGCTGCAGAGCCCAGAAGTGCCCATCGATACTGCTGATAGTAAGCGCCAATCAATACCAGTACTTTTGCTGCATGGCTGTGGCTCAGTCCTCACAACTGCGACAATGTTACTCGTCCCTATAGATTCTGACTCTTTACAGTACGTACAAACTTGCGGCAGATCACGCTCATCGCCAGAGATGACGCCGATCACCAAACCACGCTGCTCCTGCCATTCCGAACGCTCTGGCTGATCTATGGCTCTGGTCAAAGCATGGAAGACGTATGGGAACACAGAGATAGGAGGTCATGCGACGGTGCAGCTAGGCGACAAGCACACCCAGAACGACATCCATCTTGCTTCTGTGAACACACTCCAGATCTTTGCCATAAATAATGAGCTGGATTTGTCACAAATCGTCGATGCCGCTAGGAGAAAGCGCCTACGCGACACCGACGAACACGATGGAAGATGTAGCTGTCCTGCGAAACGTGCGCGCAAGGAGGACTTTCTCATGATAGGAAACGACACGACCAGAAAGGACTATGACCACAACATGAGTCTGGTGCCAGAAGCATTACCGACGGCACAACCCATAGATAAACAGGAATACCTGGAACTCGATTGTGTGGTATCTCAACTGCCAGATCACGATGGACTCGACGAAAACATCGAAGAGCTTCCCTATACGTCCAAGCAAGCGGTGGTGTTAGCTCAAGATCTGCAGCCGATACTGTCGCAGCAAACAAAGTCAACTTTGCAGGAAATATACCACCTAGCAACAGCTCGTGTCTCAGACAAACAACCTTCAACGGATCAGAAGCTACACTTTCCGAAACTGCTCGCAGATTTTGGTAAAGCCATGTATACGCCCTAGTTAAAAGAGTCCTACAATTTCATGCACCGCAGCAAGAGTTTGATGTCGCTCCGGTCAAGTGCCATGACACCCAGCTCACGACTAAGACTGCGAGCGGACCGCTACAGGATATGGCAGCGGCCTTCGTTGCCATATTGTCCTTCTTAGCATGCGACCATAATGGCAGTAACGACTCTTCGAAAGCGCTGATCTCAGCTCAAAATGGACGTAAGATACCTCTCACCGGAGCCCTCATTGCCTTTGCTGTGGCTCGATATTTGTGCTTTCCTCAAATGGCTCGAGCAATATCAGAGTTGAGCGGCGATTGTCTCGTCTTGGAGGATGCTTTTCGCGTCGAGCAAAGGATTCCAATGTCGCATTGTGAAAACTTCTCCCTGCTCAAGGCCCTGCTTACTCACCGCCTAGCAGGGTCTACTGCGGAAGCATTCTTAGACGCTACTCAATTCAACTTGGCCCTTGGAAGCCGTAGTGGGCCTCTTATCCACAATAACGACTGGTCAGTCAAAGGACGGATCACTAAGAAGCATCGTGTGGTCATGGCTGTTTATCTTAAGAAAAGTGATATCAAGTGTATGGACTGTCAGAGTGACCTAGTCATGAAAGATACCGGAGAGTTCTTTTGGTAAGGATGTGCTCCCACATTAACCATTCACTTGCTGACAGTAGAGGCTATCCATGTGGTCGGTACTTCCGAAATTGTGCATCGCTGAGCTATTTAGCTGCCTTTGCCAAGAAGAAACAGGCTACTAGGATACCAGCCTCTGCCCTGTCACTATCACAGCCGACTGGTGGCAAGGAGGGGTCGAGACCGAGTCCTAGAATTCAAGAAGTTGAAGAGGAGGAAGAAGATAGCTTTGACCTCGATGGTCTGAAGAACATCGACCTTCGAATACTGCCACGTCGTCCCGTAAAGCGACAGCCGATATCAGTCGAGAGTGAAGTCGAATCAACAAATCAAGCATCGAATTTAAGCGGTGACTGGTCCGAAACAGAAGTTGAACTCTTCTATGATGCGGTTGCTCGTGCTGGACTCGACTTCGATCAATTGGCTCAACTTTTCGGAACGAAAACTCCGTTGACGATCCACGAATACTTCACTCGCCTGATTAATAGTAGTAGAGAGGAGTTTCACAAAGTCGCAGACATCTCAAACAACCACATATTAGGAGAGCTGAAGCAGAGTCCACCTGGTAACGGATCTAGCAACAAGCGAGATGGTTTAGGAAGTTGTCGAGTTTGTATCAGCATGTCGAGAGTCCTTGTTGTGACGCAGATATTGGTAGTGGTTTGGTGAAGTAGTTGAGGAATTGGTAGAGGCACAAGTGTGAAGAGATGTGGTAGTGAGTGGCGTCGGTAGAGCAGGCATCAGGGGCACGAGAAGTCTGGTGGGCTCTTCTATTAAAACGCTGCAGCCAACTGTGGAAGTGTAAGAGGGTATTATCTCAGAACGAACTAATGTCCCAATCTCCAGGCTTTCGCGGACCAGGCAGGGAGCTCTTGTCACGTGCGATAAATTGACCAGATCCTTTCTTACCTTGCAAGCCTTCCCCTTCATGATCATATACAACTTCACCACGTAGGATCGTATACCGTGGCCACTGTGTCAGAACTTGTCCTTCATAGGGAGTGTAGTCACACCTGTGGTGCAGCATCGAGTTCGTCAGAGTGAACGGCGTCAGCGCGCCATCTTTGCCCTGAGACGGATACCAGATGACCAGATCAGCATCTGATACACCAGGTAGAATACTTCCTTTCTGAGGATATAGCCCGTATAGCTTGGCCGCATTGGTGCTCGTGACCTCGACGAACTTCTGCATTGACAGACGTCCAGCTGACAGCACAGTTGCGAGTCGTGTCTCAACTCCAGGTAGTCCGTTAGGAATGTGCGCGAATTTCCCATTAGGGTGTTCTACTGATAGAGTACTCTTCTTACCTATTTCCGTGTTCTCATAGTCAAATGGACAATGATCTGAGGACAGCACAGTGAATGTGCCGTTGGACAAGCCAAGCCAGATCGCGTCGTGGTCACCACTATTCTCTCGTGGTGGAGGCGAGCACACACACTTCGCACCTTCAAAACCGGGTTTGTCCAGGTCTTCCCGTGTCAAGAAGAGGTACTGCGGACACGTCTCAGCATAAACAGGCAAACCTCGTGTTTGAGCATTTCGCAGATGTGCTGCAGCTGAAGGTGAAGACACGTGAACGACTAGTATCGGTGCATCCATGAGTTCTGCAAGCATTATGGCACGATATGTTGCTTCTGTCTCCACGAGTTGCGGACGCGACGTTGCGTGATATTTTGGTGCTACCAGATTCAAAGCTTCCAACTTTTTCGTCATCCAATTTAGCACGTCACCATTCTCGGCATGGATCATAGTTGTGAAGCCTTCCTTGCGCGAGCTGTATAGAACATCAAGGACTTGATCATCACGTAGTTGTAACGCCTCGTATGTAAGATATATTTTCAGCGAAGAGATACCCTGCCTACGCAGCTCCGGGAACTCGGATAATGCTTTTTCGGAGGGATTGCCACAGAGCATGTGAAAGCTATAGTCAGCATAGCAATTCCCTCTAGCTCGCTCGTGAGTCTCCTTTAGCACTTTAAGAAGTGACCCCTCGGTCTTTGCTTGTGGCGCGAATGCCACAATCGTGGTCGTGCCTCCACATATCGCGGACCTTGTACCTGTTTCGAAATTATCAGAACTTCGCCCCTTGCCACCAAACAATGCAGGCTCTTCAAGGTGTACGTGTGTATCGACACCTCCAGGTGTGATATAGCCACCTTTAGCATTGATAACTTTCTTGGCAGTGTTCAGCAAGCCTTGAGGTGCGAGTATAGCAATTTTGCCATTCTTGATACCGATATCAAGTTTTGCTTCGTCGCTGGCTGTGACGACGATACCGTTCGTGATCAGTAGGTCAAGATCGTCCATTAGGTTAACCATAGATTAGTAGCTAATAACTTGGTGAGTGTGGATGTGATAAGACTTATTCCTGCTGTCGTTCTCGCATACCGGCAGCGGCAATCAGATCGGATATCTTCACACACCCAGATTGATAGATGACAGGGACACTTGGTCGAAAGCCGACGTTCGCCATCACTCACCGGATTGAGCTTATCAGCAAGAAGACAATCTCGACGGAGAACCGCGATACTTGTTGATAAGACATCGTTGCTGCAGCACGATGTGTTGGGCGATCTTCACCTGGTTGGTGTTGCTCGATCATTGATCTGACCAAAACTTCCAGACTGTCTTTCGATTGTGATTTGCAAGAGAGACGGTTCTGGTCGAGGTAGGTGCATCTCATCGGTAATGCGTCGAAACGCGCTAAGCCAGTAGCCAAAGTTTATACTACGGGTAAACAGAGAAACCTGGAACACGCGTTATCCATCCTCTCCTTCCTCAATTTCTACAGTGCTCCTGTATACACACACAGTCGATGCCAAACGTCTTCGATGTTCACATCTACACCCGAGCACGAGGCTATTGTGGCGAGGCTTAACGTCGACGAGAACACGATGACTTCTGGTCCATTGTTCATCTATAACGAGTTTCGTCTCACCAGTATATCTCATATGTTCCTTGTATACATTCCACGTGTCAGATAACTTGCTTATCCTGCTACACTGAAGTCGCTAGATAAGCTATTTGATCCCACGGATATGTTCACCAGTACACGCAAGATTATGATGCTCGTCTAGCAATGACTATTCGCGATGTGCTTGTATGTTATACAGCCCATTTCGGGTATGGAAGTTTGCATGACAACCAAGACCGGTTTGACATTGCTACATTTCAGCTTCAATGGTGTCTCTGTGAGGTGTGCTAACGAAGCAGTGATTTGACTTAATTCTTTAGGCACAGCTGGGCATACTACAAGGATCAGAACACATCTGGTGTCGATATCATGGCCGATTTCTCAAGCGAGACTCGATCCCTCACGGCTTCTTCCTCATCCTCGTCCATCCCATCACCAACCACATTTCCCGATATTCATAGCGATGTCCTCATCGTCGGTGCTGGCCCAGTCGGCCTCACTCTAGCCTACCAGCTTCGCCGCTTTTCTTTACACCCAGCACCCCAAACCAGCCCAACCAATGCACTACCAATCATTGCCCATATCGTTGAGAGGTATCCTAAGCCAGCACAACAAATGTTTGGGCGCGCTGTCACGTTCTGGCCTCGCAGTATGGAAATACTGGATCAATTAGGTTTAGCGGACGATGTCATGCAGCAATGTGTTGCAGTTCGTGAAAGCAGTGCCTACGACAAAGATGGAAAAGAAGTGTTTGGACGAGGCTGGAGCTTTGTGGAGCAAATCGCTCGGGATGGAGACACAAGGTTTGGTTTTGCGAGTGTCTTGAGGCAGAAGTTTGTCGAGCAGATCATGAGAGAGCATCTTCAGAAATATGGGGTTAGCGTAAACCAGGTAAGCGACAACAAAGATGGTGACTTTGATTCCGAGGACCTTGGACATGAATTTGTCGGCATGAACATCGACAACGACGTTGAGCTTGGCGATTACAAGATAACTGCAAAAGTCCGGGTGACAAGGAAGACGACAACCATTGGTGAGTATACCGTGAGGTGCAAGTACTTGATCGGATGCGACGGAAGTAGAACAATAGTACGGGGCGCTGCAGGAATTGAAAGCGTCGGCAGCAGAACGGAAGACAAATGGGTACGAATCGATGGTGTGCTTCGGAGTACAACGCATCCGAAATCACGGTCATATGGTGCCATTGAAAGTCCAATCTATGGGAACGTGCTCTGGATCCCTCTCGATCACGGCGCTACCAGGATCGGATTTGCTCTGAATGAGGAGCGGCAGAAATTGTACAAGGAATTGAATGAAGAGGCATATGTGGCTGAGGCCAAGCTGGCTATTGCACCAATCGAGATTGAGTATGAAAAGGTCGACTGGGCAAGTGTGTACAGTGTTGGGCAAAGAGTTGCAAAGACCTTCTCAGCACATGGCTGTGTCTTCCTAGCAGGCGACTCATGTCATACCCACAGCTCTGGAGCAGGGCAAGGCATGAATGCAGGCATGCACGATGCTAGCAATCTTGGCTGGAAACTAGCTCTAGTACTTCGAGGACTTGCAAGACCGGAATTGCTCGAAACCTACGATGCTGAACGACGACCTAACGCTGAAAGGCTCATCAAGTACGACGAAGACATCAGTGTCCTGGTTTCAGACCGATTGCTAGCGAGCTGGAACGGTGACCCTCACGAAGACCCTAACGTAGCTCTCGGCACGATCCTGCAGCAAGCCAAAGGCTTCAACACTGGCTTGACAATCGGATACGAGGCAAGCTTTGCAATAGAAGCTGAAAGGCATACCAATGGGAATCTTGGAAGTGTGATCCAGTATCAATCGACTGTGCCCGCAGCAGCAATAGCGGGCTATCGTGCCCCCGACGTCAAACTACAAAGACCTGCGATGTGGGATGAGATATGGTTGCAGAAACTGACTCCGAACATGGCAGTCTTCTATATCCTCGTCTTCGTGGGTTCCACACAAAATTACGCCGATTTTACAGAGCTGCATCGCACTTTCACAACAGCTTGTACAACAAACACTGCTGACAAGGGACTCGACAGTGAGCTAGTACTATACCTGACTATTTTGCCAGAGAAGCCACCGAGCGCATTCATGGCACTCGGCAGTGATCCACTAGGCGAAGTCTTCTATGACGAGAGTGGCAGTGCTCATGAACGTTATGGTGTTGGTGCTGAAGGTGGTCTGTTCGTGCTTAGACCTGATGGATGGATTGCATTGCGTGTTGAGAGTCTGCGAGACCCGGGACAAATATTTAAGCGAGTGAAACAGTATTTCAACAAGATCTTGGTTTGAAATTTCGACATGGACGATGCAGCGGCTTAGGACGACATCGATGTTCAGCAAACGACTGACGAGCAAGTGATTCGGGACTGTTGAGTACTTGATAGTGGGAGATGATGCCAATGTTATCTGGGATTTACAGGAATACTGCCTTGACGACAGAGACTATAAAGCAAGGGCGACAGCAGAGGCTCAAGTATGCTTCAGAGATAGACTGTCAGCATCGCTGTGTATCACAAAAGCACGATGTTCGCAGGCTGACATCCACTTTCCTTAGCAACTTTGATCAGATTGCCATACATATACGCAGGCACACAACAAGGACCAACGACTTCGTACTGATGCGGGAATCCGGACAACATGCGCTCCGACTCAGGATATTCACTCAACCTTGAGTGTCCACTTTCTAACTTTCGCAGCACAAAGGGCAATTTGGCACCAAGCAGGATGAAAATCCCATCACCAATCTTTGCAGCCCGTGGCACAAGGCAAGGCAACCCCTCAGCCTCTGTCTGCGCGCAGCGACGCAAGTGCGTCTGCTCGTCGAACTTCTGAGCCAGAATCTGACCATCCGTGAGGTATGAGAACATATGTCTGGCACTGGTAGTAGCTTCCCCCAGTGCACCTACGTCATCGAAGTAGATTGCTTCGACAAACAGAACGCCTGGCAGATCGTAATGTTGAGGCACGGCTTCTGTGGAACCTGATGCACCGAATTTCTCAGTGAAGTAGTCGAAGCATTCCTTCATGCCTATATCGCTTGTCGGTACTCGCCAATCTGGCGTCCAGGTTGGTAGGTCTGCGGAGTCTTTGTTACGGTGAGTACTGATTATGCACAGTATATCAAGGTTTCGATCACGGTTGATCATGTACTTGGCTAGATATTGGTAGATAGCGGATACTGATGCTGAGTAGTCAACGATTAACATATCAGCTTCTTCGTCAGGATTTCCGTCGTCGTTCGTGTTGGCTAGATCGCCATCAGCTTGCGCAGGGTTGGCTGCAGTTTCTTGAATCTGATTCCCAATAATCAGCTTGTCGAGCTTACCAGCCTTGAGAGGTACCTCAGCCATTCCTAGGACAGCATAAATCTTGTCTCGAGGATTAGTCGCTTCGTAGGCACGGCCTGCCATTAACAGCTCGAGCAATCCACCAGAGTGATAGTACCACAAACTTCGGATGTCTCCAAAAGTCTGCAGAAGAGCCTTGCCGGGCAACCATCCATTTTCTAGCCACTTGAAGGATTCGAGGAAGTTGACAGAGTAGGACTCAACATGGTGGTCAGCTGTTATCTCGATATTGGCATAATCCAACTTCCGACCGGTCCGTGGTAGACGCTTTTCCGATCGTCGCAACAGATTCCAGGAGAAAATATCCTTACCACAGTGCACTACGATATGCTTTGCGGACGACACCTCTTGCCTGACCCAAGTCCGACGAAAGTACGGTCGTCGATACATGGCAAGCTGAGCGAAGTAGATTTTCTGCAGGTTGAGCATGCATGCAGTCGGATGAGATCGTTTAAAAGTCAATTCTCGAGACCTTTCGTCGTCAAGGATACGCATCGTTGAGATAGCAAGACCACTGGACTCGGCCTCATCTCCGAGCCAGACGACTACAGAAGACGCTTCTTCGTAAATCGTCTTCATATGCTGCACTTGTCGAGACTTCTCCTCGTCGTCCGTCTGGTTGATGCAAACAGCGTCGATCCATAACATTCGAGGCTCTGCCTTATCTCGTAGGGAAAGGAGAGCATCGTGTAGATTTACAGTCACATGGAAGGCACGAGAGTTGAGTGAGATGGTTCGCAGGTTGTTCTGGGAGCCCCATGTGTATGAGAGTGCTTCATATTTACCTTGAGAAGCAACACTGTCGTGTACATCAGCTTTAGGCAGTGGCGCAGCCATGATAGAACATTGAACAAGCTCAGTCTTTTTGTCGCTAGGTTGCAGTTCTAGCAAGCGAAACTGGGTTTGGGACAATGGCTTATATTGGAACGGTTGCAGGTCAGTATCTTCCACATTATGCGCCTGCATCTCATCGATCAGCGGAGTTGTGTCAAGTGACCTAAGCCAGCACTCCTGGTCACATTCCAGAAGGCCACTCTTGTCGTCCAAATGCGAAATGGATATGTTTGAGTCGGAGGACGCGGAAGAAGCTGTTGAAGATCTTCGTGCGGCACGTGCGAACTCGCCGTCCTCGCTGGCCAGGTGCTTAAACATACGCTCAAGGCCACGTTGCCTAGCCGTTGGCTGTCCCAGATTTCGATCCTGGTTGAGCATGCCGAGATAGTTGGAGAACGTCCTCTGTGTTCGAGGATCGAGCTCAGGACCTTGATTGTAGCAATCATAGTCAATGTGACCGTCCATACCAAATGCATAGGAATGATCGGTAGGCGCCTTGTTCATGGCGTCCGACAAGATCGCTGCAACGTCTCGAGGGTTGGCAAGGTCAACATTGGCAAGCTCGTCGGTCGGCACAAAATTCCTGACAAGCGCTGCCAACCACTCCTTTTGAGGGTCAAATCGAGGTGTTCCACCCTCGAAATCCGGACGCCATTGACCTTTCGGAAAGCCATGTCTGTCGCACACGCTATCGACGAAGTCTCGCACCAAACGCTCATTATCGTGCACCGGTAGGGCCTCACCGTTGCCAGCACTAATGTTCTGCTCATCTTCGGTAGCTGGATACAAGTACATTTCTCCGGATGTAGTGATGATGAACTTGTACTTACCATCGACTATTTCACCAGGCCCATCACGAGTAAGCCATCTCACCTGCCCATCCACATCTACTGCCTGTCTTGCATTTGTGATGGCCGAACCTCTCTCGCTGAATTGAATGTCGGTCAGAGCATCGGAGGGTATACCTGGTCTAGTCGACGATTGAGATGGTTGGGATGCTGGTTGATCTGACAACCTTGGGTTCATCTCGTCCATGTTGCCGCACTCACCTTCGTCCGAGGAGCAGACGATGGTCCTGTCCTGTCGATTGCTTGTTTGATATACAAAGCTCGCTTATTTAGCGAAAGCTGCAACTCAAAAGGGCTGTCATATGTGGATTGATTGGAGGGATGGACGACGTCCTCCACTTAGCTGCTCCGACAAGTGAATCTGGCCAAGCCATAACTTCTTGGTACTGAATACCTCCCATACCACGGCTGGTCGCATTTGTAGGATACTTGTGTCATCATCGTGTACGTGCTAACGCAACGGGACGGATCCATGTGGTGAAAAAGACCCTGGTGTGCATCGTTGTGTAAAAATACGCTGAAGTAAGACGAAACCACGACTCGAAGAACGAGTTTATTGCATGTGGACATGTGTTTTAGAAAGCAGGTTGCTGTGATCGACCAGTGATATCACCGATATGGCGGCCATTACTTTTCGTGTTGCTGTAGGCTACGGTTGTGTAGGAGGAAAAGTAGTTTCCTCCCGCACTATTGTATAGCACGAATTGAGATATCCTCTTCGACATCACTCACCATGCGAAGCGTGAGGCAGAGCCATCGTTATGGGTCTAGAAGTCGTGTTCTCGAAGAGATTCGAGAATATCATGAAATTGACGAGTCATCTTGCCAAGCACGGTCGAGATACAGCACAAGCAAAAGCAGAAGCGATGCAGCTTGAAGGACAATTTCTCAATGCCGCAAGCTCGAATGATGACTATCAGCAACTCTGTGACGATTACGTCGATACGTATCGGATAGCCTCGTCTCCGTCTGACATCGACCCAGAAAGTCAGGCTCTACTAGAAGAGATATTTAACACGGAGGGCCCCACGATTGGCCGATATGAATGGGCCACGTTCCATGCTGAAGGAGTGACATCGACTGTGTACAAGGCCAAGAAGATAGACGATGAAGCAGAACAATCGATCGTGGCGTTAAAAGTTATGAATGCTGATCAGCTGCAACCACCACATAATGCTTACAGAGAAGTTCGTATCCTACAGAAAGCACGAGCTGACAGTATAGTACCCTTACTCGATTCATTCAAACAACCAGGCGGTAAGCTTGTCCTTATCTTTCCTTTCTTGCGACAAGATCTGGAGAATCTCCTCAGAACAGGTAATATCACCAGGAAACAATGCTCGATAGTTTTAGAAGGACTGTTAAGCGCCCTTTCGTATCTGCATGTTCAAGGCATCATACACCGAGACATCAAGCCTGCGAACGTTCTGCTCCGATCAATGGAAGGTCCGGTCTACCTGATTGATTTCGGTATAGCATGGGCAGAAGGTGATCCTGATTCTGAGATAGCTGAGCGAAAGATCACGGACGTTGGAACAACATGTTATCGACCACCAGAAATCCTGTTTGGTTGTCGTGGGTACGATGGTTCCCTTGATATGTGGGCTGCAGGCTGTGTAGTCGCAGAAATGGTGACAAATAATCACTATCAGCTGTTTGATGCTGGACCGTTGGGCAGTGAGCTGAGCCTCATCAAATCTATGTTCAGTACACTTGGAACACCGACAGAAGCAGATTGGCCATCAGCCAGCACATACCCCGACTGGGGAAAGGTCAATTTTCAGCAGTTTCCAGCAAAGAGCTGGAGAGAAATCTTGCCCACAGCATCGCATACAGCAATTGACTTTGTACGGAGGACGGTTTGTTATGAGAGCACGAGGAGGATGACAGCGCGAGAGGCTTTAGACCATCCACTCCGAAAGGAGTTTGAGAGCTAGAGGCAGGAGAACATGTGCAGAGGTCTCAATTGTAGACAGGCACTCAACAGGGAGCACCCATCGTAGAAACCAGGCTTATCGGCATGAACGTATCCTCCAAGTGCTTTATCTATGCTTGTTGAAAAGGCGAAGGAGAACGAGTGGATCAAGCCGTGTTTCAAGATGGATAGAATTGATCATAGTCAACGATGGACATTTGTGAATGTCGATAACGTAGCCATGAGAAATTGAGAATTCTGGCAACAACAACTTGAACTCGATTGACGAGACCTAGGATAACAACTGATTATGAAGCCTCACTCCTCTGAGACACGCACATGTTGCTGCAGAAGGAACACACTATACTCCGTGGTTTTGTGAGTTCATAGCAGATGCAACGGCCAAACCATAATCAGCCACACAGCCAGGTCACGATATGGCAAGTCTGGCATTCATCGACCACCGACAGTTCGAGATTCAGAGAGATAGGGGCAGTATACCCTGGTAAAGCATGAAATTGCTTTCCAGGTATTATAAGCGTATCTATCGTCTGTCTGCACATCTATTCCAGTATCTTGGAAAGTCGTCATCGCATACAAATATGGTGCCGGCGACTTTCGAGTAACGCTAATGACGATTGCATTACTGCTCATTGCGGCTGTTGAAATGAGTGATCAAAATCGACTTTCCGCAAGTCGTTGGTTGGAGATGAAGAACGAGCGTGGGTCAAGCTCATTTCAGGAGATCCACAGCTCAAACTCGAAATGGTTAGACGTAAGACTCTAATCTCGCCCAACTTCCAGGTACACCAATCACAAATCTTCGTGCCTGGATCTACAACACTCCTGGTGTGCCCTTTTCGAGACAACCTTCCAGTGTAGACTTTAGTGACAAGCTAACTACCTCGTCGTGCTTCTTGCTCTACGAAGCGCGACCTTCACTGTCTTTGTCACCTTCTTGTTCCCTGACTACAGGCTGCGCATGTAGTGTACCTCGAGTGCTCGTTGACCGTGCCAGTCTTTTAATTCTCTTCGAAGTCGAGCTGCTGTCTCTCGTTTATCAGCACTCACTTCAGCCACTCTTTTGTCACTAACGCCAGTCAATAATACTGTTCTAATTCAACTTTGGTGGTAGCACGACCCGACAATCTTCACGTTGTTTTGTCACCAGAATTTCCTCACAAATATTTCGAAGCATCGAACGCTGCGCACCTTCAAACCCGAGAATTTACGATGACCGGATCCTATTTTCATATCGCCGATAGCCACAAGGCTTTCCAGAACAAACATCCAATTCTGAACGGCATGGCGAAGCGAGACGATACCACTGTGATCGATGGAACTACCTATCTTGTCGCCTATACAACTCAAAGCCCGACCTTTACTGGAGTTCTGGGTGGATATACAACCGCCGGCGACAGCAACACCGCAAGCGCAGTCTCCAGCTCAGTCGCTCCTACTTCGATCGCTTCTACCTCGGCCGCTGCTACATCGCTCGCACTTACCTCGACACGACAGACTGCTGCTGCAACTTCACAAAGTGCCGCTTCAACTCCTGCTTCATCTGTAGCACCTGCCGAGACCTCGAACATTTTCTCTCAGATCCTGGCTTCGTCTTCAAATGCAGGAACTGGCGAGACACTCACACCATCGGCCTCAACTAATCGAGCGACATCCTCCTCTGCGACATTGAGTAGAGCCACTCCTTCCAGCTCTTCTGACTCATCCACCACATCGTCATCTGCCGACTTGGGTATGTCTACTGCAGGAAAAGCCGGACTAGCTGTTGGTATTATCATTGCAGTAGGCGCCGTCCTGGGCCTAATTCTCTTCCTGCTGAGTAAGAAGAAAAGGCAAGTAAAGGCGGAGCAAGCAAGACAGGACTCTGAGAAAAATGCCGCAATCGCAGCTGCAGCTGGTAAACCTGCACCCAGTGCACCCAGGTTGAGCCTGAGGCCAGCTTCATCATTCCTTCCGGAGTTCATGGGTGGCAACAGACCAAAGAGCCGGCTCAGTCAAAACATGCTTGGCGGTTCCACGAACGAGACGAAAGAGATGAGGGAGAAGTACCTCGCTGGTGGACAACAAGCAATTCCCATGACTGAAAAGTCCAACCCGACTGAAAACCCTTTCAGAGATCCGGATAATCCATTTGCTGACCCCGTTCGATCTGCTCCCGCGGTCGCTCCCATTACTGCCTCTGAAGCGAGACCACTTCATGCCCCTATCTCAATGCCAGAACCCGAAAGATCGCTTGCTCCAGCTCCTTTGACCATACGTGAGTCCACACACGACAATGACACAGACCGAATAGCCCATGTCGCTGCAAGTGCTGGCGCAATAGCCGCTGCTCGTGCCGCCACTCACAACAAGGAATCCTACCCAGAGCCAATTGAGATGCCAATTCCTCCTGTCAGTGCTGGCCCAGCACTTCAGCGTCAACGCTCCGATTCCTCGCCTGCTGCTTCACCTCCTGAAGGCAATGTATATCGGATTTTGATGGATTTCATACCTTCAATGGACGATGAACTCGAGCTTCGTGCTGGCCAAGTGATCAGGTTGCTCCACGAGTACGATGACGGATGGGTAGGTTGTAGATCAATCATGGTGAAACACGCGTTAACTTTTTATCCAGTGCCTCGCTCAGAAGCTCGACCGATCCCAACAAGGTGCAGTTCCACGAACCTGTCTTGCCGCAAAGCCATCGAAGCCCCGACCGGCTCCTGGTCAAGGCCCACGACCAATGGGCCCACCAGGTCCTAATGGTCGTCCCATGAGTCCTGCCATGCGAGGTCCTCCAAGTCGATCAATGTCTCCTGCAGGCATGGGCAGGTCTATGTCGCCCGGCCCTCGAGGTCGACCACCAATGGACAGATCAATGTCGCCTGGACCACGAAAGATGGGTCCGTCACCAAATGGTATGCGATCAATGAGTCCAGGTGCCTATAACCAACCTCCTCGACCCCTATCCCCTGGACCACGAGGGTCGAAGCAAAGGAGCATGTCTCCAGGTCCATATGGACCTAGCGGACGTCCTGCACCTATGGCTCCAAACCAGAGACGAAGAAGTAACTCTTCAAGTCAGACCGCACGAGAGGTGAGAGAGCGAAGAATGTCGCCTCCTGGACCTAGCCCTCTAAACACTGCTGCTGTTCCGGGAACAGCCATCTAAGACGTTTAAACTGGATGTTCCGTGTCTCGTCTCCGCCATGTGACGATATGAACTCATAGCCACAGAGATTGTTAGTTTTGGGTGGTGTCCAAACGAGCTTGTGCTGTAAGAGCAGGATCTACAGCCAACACATGGAATTATGGCACAGTATATTGCATACTAAAGGAGGCAAGTGCACATACAGTATAGAGCTTCCAAAAATGATGAGCATATAGTACTTCAAATACATTTATGATAAACTTCACTTTTACCGTGTAAAGGACGAGTCGTGTCATTCTCACTGTGATAAGCAGAAGAGGCACCCATAGTTGTTACGGTACCTAAGAACGGCAGCTGGAGAGTGACGGCGAAGACATGTAGTACTGTATGAGCTTATCACCGATTGTAGTCAGCTACCATTCAACAACTGAAATATCTACTTTGAAAGTATGAGCACCCTCTGGAAGACAATGCTCGTAATCAGGTCACTACGCATCAATCAACAAGTCTCGGTACCTGAAAACATCATCCAGAGCCACATGAAATCAGCCACTGACATCCTACTAGGCCTCCTCTTTCACCACCTGCTGCACACTCGACGCAGCCACATTGGAGCTCATCGACCACATTAGTCATGCCTGCCAAGAAGAGCTGTTCGTCGTCTTCCCACAACATTTGCAATAGCCACAGGAGTTGCTAGACAGGCTTCTCCATGTCGTGATTGGCTCAATCGTCTATACAGTAAAATCACAACGTATGAAATTGCTACCAGATCCGCTGACTTTGAGCAGTTCGACGACCTCAAGAACTCGAGCAGTGCCGTGACCACACCCATAGGTAAATAGAACGGCGTCACATACAGAGGCTGGGATCTCAGTACTGCCAGTGTTGTCTCCGGTTCGACGTCAGGCGTTTTTCCAGCTTCTCCTGTGAACGTGGCAGTCACTCAGATGGTCAATGGCGCAGTACAACTTGGCGAGATCAATATCCTTCCTACTGCATCTGTCGTCGCTGATGACGGGAAAACGTTCGACCTTTACTCTTTCTATTTCGGCTGCAGCGCTCACACCGCTACTGGACAGGTCCTGAACCAGCAGGAGGCAGTTTCATCGCTGAACCCGGGTACAATACCGCTGGGGCTGCGACCCCTGTACAATCATTCAATTTTGCTCCTGATGGTGGCTTATTGAGTCCAAGTAACATGGCACTCGCCGAGTGCAAGGATGAAGCTGGCTGCATGGAATTGAAAAACGTGACGATCGGAGTCACCAGTAGTACCTTTGGAATTATAACGACTATGGGTATCGATAATGTAACTCGTTGTGATCGCTGACTTCAGATGACGCGGCGTCCATCGATCAGGCCACAGAACTTGAACTGCTGGGTACTATCTCAAATCTGGCTCGGGTAATAGTTCCAGTCATGCAAATTTAACTGCTTATGCAGATTGTGGTTCATCAGCAATTTTCTCTCCTCGCAGCAACAGCAGCGATATCTCCAGTCTGCCTCGATGTATACATCATTGAGTGTGTGACTTTAGCCAATCCGGACATAAGAGTTTCGTCGCTAAAATTAATTGTGCCGCGTGGCTGAAGCAGCGGCAAATAGTATGAGGTTCGCAATTCAGCCGAGGGTAAGCTTGTGTGTGAACGGCCTGGCGTTTCCTGTATGATTCTTCAGTGAACATCTGCTGGTAGACAAGTGAATAGTCGAGTGGAGCTACCTGCAGAGTTCGAAAGCATGCGTGGAAAAGTTGATCGATAAGGAGGCAGAGTAAGTTTGACAGCTGGGATCTCCTGTGTACCGATTGGCCGCCCATCCACATGAACTGATGGAAAAAAGTCTGGAGAAGAAGCATTCACTACCAGTAGCGCCTGCCTCTTCTGGTGTGGGTCAGACGACCTCATAGGCTCTGAATGCGACGCACTGGCCCTGATCTGTTCAGTAGCAATGAATGCAGTGCTATGATATCTTGGATCGGGGTCTGTCTTAGGCTGCTCGCCCTTCTTGTGATACATATACTTGTTCATAATAAATGGTTTCAATCGCCCGTAGTCTTTATAAGCCATAAGCAGTGCAGAGCCCCTCTCGCAGCTTTTATGCAAGTTTCGGTCAGGATGCGACCTGTATGGGAGTTCTAGGTCTAGATGTTGTATGCCATCGAAGTTGCGTGAAAGCTGCCATGTCGTTGTACTTCGTTGTGGCTGTAGGAAGGTCGCAGTATTTAGTTTAGTGGTTGAGCGTGATCCTATAGGGAGTAGACCGTAATTGCGCCGGCAATACGGGCTGATCTCGTGTCAGCTTTCTGGTAAGTCGAAACGAGTTCACGTATCTGCGCTTACCATCGATAGCCGCCAGCATATTGTTTCTCAAGTTTGTTGGTACACCCAAGACAGATAGGCTTGCTAGCTTTATACCTGACTGCCATCAGCAGATATTGGCCAGATATCGGTAGACCTGAACAAACATCTTCGAGGTCGTAGATTTCAGTATAGCAATATCGGCCAGACATTAAGGAGTACTGTCTACTTTCGACCAAGTACTCAGCGGATGTACCTTGATAGTAGGTCCGAAAGAACCCAGATAAGATATGGACACTCGCGAAATAAGTCAATGGCACTTCTCGGCGCAAGTTGAAGACATCTTCGAAGATGACACAGTCACCCGAGAGCTCAGACAAGGGACTTCTCAAACAACAGGATATCCAACAGCCAATTAGCAGAGTCAGCCATGGAAACATCGGGTCGCGTTGGATCTGTGAAAGCAAGGTCAGTATCGCATGTGATGACACATGTCGACATGCTAGAGCAGCGCATAATGCGCCTACTACCAGCGTCAGCTTTCGTGGTACCTTGTCGTTGCTGTTGAGTGACGAGCTCGGTACGGCGAGCTCACGTTTCGAGCCGCTGACATCCACAGATCTTGAGAGCAGTCGTGCTAGGCAGGACGGATCGCTTGGGCGTACATTGTTCCAATCAACATCTCTTATTGAAAACTTCTCGAGGCCTAAGGCGGTTCTTCTATGTGCGGCTAATGTTCGTCTTGAGTCTATCGGCTCACTTGTGCCCGGAGACGCGAGGTGACGCAAGGTCTGAGTGGCTAGAGCTGAAGCATCCGCAAGCAGGAACGTCGCTTTCTCGATCTGTATACGCTGGCTGTAATCGTATTTGTGACTATAGTCGTTGCCCAAGTGTGCGTTCGCCTGACCCGAGATCTCAGTTCGTCCGTAGCTATGTCCCGCCATTCCGAGTTGTGGTTCATGACATGGTCGACGTGGTTAGCGCGAGGGTACGAGGTAGAAGACGTTACTGCGTTGTCAGTACTTGAGAGCATAGTCGTTCATCGCACAACATGCGAAGAGAATTAATGCAGGAAGGTAGAAAGACGAAGCCCACCAGCCTGATAAGTCATTCGCGCTGCACGTTCATGCTCGCCTAGCCTCTAGTACGATAGGCACATTGGGGGTCGATCCGCGCCTGTTTACGGACAGGCAATTCTTGGGAGAGGGAAGAGTAGTTGGCTGACTTGGGCGTCTTGTTATCAAGGTGTGGGATGTGGTGTACCTGCCTTTTTTGCATTCTCAAATACCCGGCGCAAGCACCTGGAAACGAACTGTGCACGACGGGACCTCGCGTGATTTGACGAGAATAGCAACCATGACACGCTATCAAAGTTTGAGGCAGGTTCAGGCGACCGTAACCGAACAAGCTCAATTTCGAGTGCCTGATCTGCGGAAAGCAGTTTCAGCCATTTGGCCATGACTTCCTGCCTGAGCGATCCATACAACATGACCTATAGAATATAGCGTTTCGTACTCATCAACTTGTACAGATCAATTCATAGGGAAATGTAAGCTCGCGCTCTCTTGCACCACAGCCCTCGGGTACGACGCGCGCTTGTCACAGAGAAGCGGGAATTTGTCCAAACATTGTTCAGGAACAAGCGCTGCGAGGGCGTTGACGAGGAGACGCAGGAGGTATCGATTAGCTCTGATCTAAGTTCGGTATCGTCGCTAGTGATGCGAGAAAGAGACTAGCAGCACGCATTAGGAGAAAGAACACATCCAATCATCAACAATATTCCGGCTGGTCCATTTGTGAGAAATGTGCAAGAGTGGTGAAAAGTGGCCAGCTGGCTTGTGAGCTCGTTCGCTGGGCTGGCTATATTGAGACTAGTGGCTTCCATCGAACCTCTGAACGTGCTTTGGTGTGAAACTTTTCTCCACGACTTTGGCCCTCTTGAGTGCTTCAGCTTGCTCACTGGCTGCGGCAAGCAAGGAGCAAGAGCACCAGGCCTGTTGCGACTCCTAGAATTCGAACCATTTGCGTGCTGGCTTGCGGTGAGCTCTTTTGGCTTTCAGTGGCTGGCCTTTTCAGTCTCCGCTCTTCCACCTCTCATCTCATCACCAACGGTGTGCTTTGGGTCCTGGCTGCTGCTGGTCTCTGTGCTCTTGCCTGCATAACCTTCACACGACTTCCCCTCTTCCCTTCTTCTATCATCACCGCTGTCACTTCTCATTTCTTGGTCTCTGTGTCTTCATCTTCCTACACATCCGTTCTCTCCGTTCTCTTCGATTGTCCTCTCGGGAGGCTTGAAGGAATTCTACGCACTTGTTGTCCCACCCGACAATTTTCAGCTTTGTTTCAAGTCTCGAGTTTTTTCGATCCGACACATTGAAAATCTGAAACGTGCCTAGCAGCTCTCTTGCAGCCCTCTTTCTACAGCACAGAACCTCGAATTACAGCACCTCGAAATCGAGCAAGCATACTATCGTACAGTCTACAGTCTCTAATCGATAGCCAACAAGATCCTTCGCCGCGATACCTATCTTGTCAACCGTCTTTGTCGTTCCCAGCGTTCATTGTTCATCAGCCACCTTTGTATACTGTCCTCTGTCACTTGGGATTCCACCATTTGTACCTAGTCGCAGGTATGCAGCAATTCTAATTCTTAGTGACTGCGTTTACTGACGTGTGAGGTAGTGACAGGCAGAAGCTCAAACACCGCCAATACCAACGACATCCGTAACCTTCTCGATCGATTTCTTTCTTGCATTATACCCTCTCTGTACACTCTTTCAAAGTAATACCTAATCATACAACCGATCCCGACACACCAAGCTATCGATCTGTTGGACAAATCGACCTGCTTGAGATTTTTCAGTTCTATCGTACAACTTCTCCAATTACAAACACTTGTGCTAGATATTAGAAATGAGCTTTGACGCAGGCGGTCTAGCTCAAATGACTTACCAACCCTCCTTCAACCAAACTGCTATCGGCGTTTCTGGTCCTGGTTTTGCTTCTAGAGGAAAAGGAAACCACATCAAGAGATTGAGTGTCGCTCCACCTCCAAAGATTTCTACCATCGACGAGACACAAGCAGCGAATCACTGCTCGACCCCTCGTACTGCTCGTGGTCACCTGCTCGCTGGATTACGAACGGCTCCAAAGTCTGCTACTATCGCTTCAGGAAATGGTCTTGAAAACAGCAAGTATGCTAGTGCTCAGTACAACAACTCTCGAGTGCCTCAGACTACAACTTCTGCTTTCTTTCCACAACAAGCTCCTTTCAACGCAGGCTACCAACAGCACTTCTCTCCGGAGCAAGTTCTGGCACCACCAGCTCTTGACTTTGGCCATGATGCTAATCCCATGGATCAAGCTTACATGGACCAGCTCGTGCAGGCGAATGCATATCTGGCTCAACAGCAGCGAGATCTTCAGCAACAATTGCTTAGTGTGCAAATGCAGATGGGCGGACTCAACGTAAATGGCATGGGTTACAACAATGGTATCCAGACTCCAATCTCACCAATGAACATGTACAACCAGCAGTTCCAACAGAACATGCAGTATAGTGTTCATCCTGTTCCTGGCAATCCTGGTGTCTTTCAAGTCTACAACCCCATGACTGGCCAGTCAAGCATCGTCTACGATAATACCGTCGAGCAGGAAGTGCCATCTCCACCAGCAAATATCGCTTCGCCCATCAGTAATATGCAACGACGATCCCCTCCTGTCATGTCACCACCGACGATTCGTTCCGTTAGTCCTCCTAAGCAGAGTGTCTCTCCACCTGCATCTGTTGAACCTCTCCCACCACCATCTGCCAATGCTTTCCGACCTGGTCATCGCAAAGGCGTTTCCTCGGTCGGGATCAAAACTACTGGTGAATGGACGAGAGGTAATGGTCCACGCTCTGCTGCTCTCCCTCCGACTCCTATGACAGGTGGTTTTGGTCCAGGCCAAGCTCGAGCTGGAGAACACCCTATCCGTCAACCACGCAACCCTCCGCACCTGAGTGACCTTCAGGAGAAACCTACAGCTAAGCACCCTGGTAGCAAGAATTTCGCTACACGTCAGAGACGTCGAGCAGTTCACGATCTGGTCAAAGCTGGACGTGATCGTCTTTCTGATCGAAATAGCAATTCGGACAGTGGTACACCAAGCAGCGAGGCTGAATTCAACTTCTCTGTATCCTCTGACGACCATGAAGTTCTCGGACGGAGCGGCAACCTCTCCAGCAGACCAAGCAGTGGTAGTCTTGCAGCTATCGGCTCTGAGCGCAAGGAGAAATCACGAGAGCGAAGCAGTGTAGGAAGCGCTGGTTCGTATGAGGCGAAGAGCTTGGCCAGTGACGAGGGAAGTCCAGTCGGCGGAAACATTATCGATATTGACTCTGGACGCCGCAGAACCCCGCTTCTTGTGCTCAGCAGTGCAGAAAAGCGCAGAAGCATTGTGCTCTAATTGTCGAGGTCATCCACCAAAAATCTGGGCGGTGCCCAACGATGAGACGACAAACATACAAATTTACACTACAAATCCAGGAGATTTCCTTGCTATGCAAGGACCCTGCCACTCCTTACTAGTTAATAGCTACTTCACGACCTTACGACTCAGATACTGAATTGACCTAAACGATGGGACTGAGCATGACTAGTTCTTACATCGAGTTTGTGAAATTATGTGATAACATATCATTATTTTGAGGAATGCGTTGAGCTTCAAGTGCTGGACAGAGGTCAGTTAATGGTCGTTGAATGGTGGGTCGGCCTCTGAAGGGTGATATTCGTGCCTGCAAGGCCACCTGCTCTTAGGCGGCAGTTTTCATATGGGTAGAGCAATGAAGATTCAATTCAATTCTACAGTTAAGTGCACTTCTGCTATGTCCTTACCATGCAATTTTTGGTCCATGTCTAAAGCCTGCCATGATCGAACTAGCTATAGCTGTGTCGGTGTTGTCTACTTTTTGCCGTTCAGTACGGCATATTTCCTACTTCCTCCGACTTACGAGTATCTCTCTACAGCCGAGGCACGATATGATCAAAAAATCAATCGAGTACACGAGTAGATTCAACTGGCAGTCTGCGTGCATAAAGAGCATAATCGTAGTTTAAGGCTATAGAAGAAGTTGCTTGCAAGTCACACGGTCAATCCGTTTCTCTCCTCAGCCGTAAGTCGTGTGACTTCAATAACCGAGTTGAAGTAATAAAGATGACAATCTGGACGTCTCCACATCCCGATCTCGACAGTAAGTCACGAATCAATTTCGCCAACTCTAGTCATACATCTCACTGCTAGAACTTGAAAAACAGTCTTTCCAGCTGACTAACTGAGATATACCTAGTTCCGACACACTGCACGACGTACCAATACTTCTTTGAAGAAAATCCAGCATTATCTGGGGCATATGAAAATGCTGTCACGAAAGAACGTCTCTCGTTCAAAGATGTCAAGCACAAAGCTGAGCTATTGTCGAGTATCTTCGTCCGCCGCTACAATCTAAAACCAGACGAGACGGTGAGCTTGTTCTCTAGTAATAGTGTGTGGTATCCCGTCGGAGTGTGGGCTACAGTCAGAGCTGGAGGACGTGTCAATGGAGCTAGTCCAGCCTACAATGTTGAGGAAACAGTGCATGCTTTAAAGACAGCTAGGACGAGGATCTTACTGACATTGCCATCCTCCCTGGCGACAGCGAGGCAAGCAGCGACGAAGGTAGGTATTCCAACATCGCACATCTTGCTCCTGGAGGGAAGTGCACCGGGTGTACAGAGCATTCAGGCACTTATCACGGAAGCTGAAGCGGATTCGTCCTTCGATATCATCCCAACATGGCAAATACCCAGCAACACCAACAACAAGCAAATCTGCGGCTACCTCAATTTCAGCTCAGGCACTACAGGACTACCTAAGGCTGTGATGCTCTCTCACCACAACATCATAGCGCAATGCTTCCAGCTCCGACAACTCCAAGTCCTCAGTACAGGCGAACCGCCATCCAAAATTCATCCTGATGGCCTGCCCGAATACAGGATCCTGGCAGTCATGCCCCTCTTCCACATCACCGGCCTCGTCCGCTTCGTCTCATACCCAGTCTTCATGAACGGCCTCTCCGTCATGCTGCCTCAATTCACTCTTCCTTCCATGCTCGAATCAATCATCACCTATAAAATCGAAGAACTCATCCTCGTCCCACCGATCCTGATCCGCCTCGTCCAAGACCCAGCCGTGACTCCATACCTGGAAGACCTCCACAACATCGTCAAAAGATGGAGTAGTGGTTCCGCCCCCATCGCGCCAGAAGTCATCAAAGCCCTACAACGCAAATTTCCCGCTACTGGATTTCGACAGGGCTACGGCGCCACAGAGAGCACAGCATGTATCTCAGCACATCCACCAAGCCATTTCGACTACAAGTACGCACATACAGGTGGGAAACTAGTAGCGAACACGATCGCGAAAGTCGTTGCACTGTCCTCACCGACCAGCGAACCAGACGTTCCTGGGGAGGAAATCCTCCTCGGCCCAAACGAGACTGGCGAGATCTGTGCCAAAGGTCCACAGATCGCAATGGGATATCTCGGCAATGAAAAAGCTACAAAGGAGACATTCGACAAAGATGGCTTTTTGCATACAGGTGACGTGGGGTATATCGACGACGAAGGCCTGATAGTGATCAGCGACCGGATCAAGGAGATGATCAAGGTGAGAGGACAGCAGGTTGCGCCTGCGGAGTTGGAGGATATATTGCTAGGACATGAGGATGTTGAGGATTGTGCTGTTATTGGGATACCTGATTCGTATAGTGGTGAGATACCGAAGGGGTATGTCGTGCTTAAGCAGAGAGATCTGGAGAACGAAGATACCGGCAGGAGATTGATGGAGTATGTCAAGGCGAAGGTTGTCGGATATAAACGAATAAAAGAGGTTGAATTTGTGGAGGCTGTGCCTAAGAGTCCGACGGGGAAGCTGTTGAGACGAATTTTGAAGAGCTGGGAGAGAGGCGAGGATAACAGTCGAGGGAAAGGTATGGTGGTGAAAGAGGCAACGAATGAGAAGGCAAAATTATAGAGCTGTTATGAAAATTAGACAGAAATGAAAGGCCATCACACGATTATTTTCGCAAGGCCGCTGGTTCCGCCGTAAATTGGGCTTGTATGCTCACACGCCTGCCATACACCATAGAACGCCGTCGATACAATACTGTGTATCTCATGTCTGATCATAACTCGTGATGTCGTCGCTCATCCATTTCTCCACATCCATATTCACGAACGCTTAGCAATCACATTTTCTCCTTCTCGGAAATCAGCTCCTTGACAACAACTTCACCCTCGTCGTCTTTATCAATTGGCTGAGCACGGCTACCTTGGGAAGCAGCAGGTGTTGGTAAAGAGCTGTCACCATTGCAGTCCAAATTACCTCGCATGTCATCTCCAGCCACTGCATTCGTTGCAAATTTAGGAGGGGGCGTTAGCATCGCGATTACCCTACGACAAGCGGCGAAACGGTCAGATCTCTCCTTCAGTTCTGAGTCAGAAGGCGTCTTTGGTACTTGTGCCTCTGACTCTATTTTGTCATCCAAAGCAGGTTTAACAGACGTATCGATGCAGGTGCCGTAACCTCGTAGTATTCTTTCGAAAGGGTCTTGCTTATCCTCTTGAGAAACATCTTCTTGCTGTTGGTCCTTCTTGCAGGTGGAGTGCTCTGACTGGCCTGGCATGACAGCTTGTGTGATGAACACCGAGGTCGCAGCAGCCCTAGCAATTTCGTCAACAGGGTCGAGAGCCGCCGCTCTACCTTCCATGACTACATTCTGTGTGCCTTCTTCGTGATTCTGCTTAGGCATGACAATTGTCTCGATTTCATGCTCAGCCAACGGCATCGTAGCAGATACTGCTGGAACATCTGACGGGTGTGCTTCGGTTGCTTTCCCGGCAGATAGGCCATCCTGAGTCTGTGCTGCAGCTTGGCTGTTTTCTTGCGAAGAGCTTCGAACTGTACTAAGTTAGTGGTGTTAGCATGAGCTAAGGATGATGCGAATCTAAGCAAGTAGGCCTCCGCGATGCAGGTAGAATCGTCCTCGAGCGGAATCGCATTTGTCTGAAAATCGCAAGTGTCGTATGGAAGATCGATCGGGGTCAGATCTTGCCCTCGTTCGGGTCTGCATCGTAAGAATTGTGGGTATACGGTGACTGGTCATTCGAATGGGTAAGACGTACCTTTACTCTCCATATCGTCCTTGGTGGGTGGGAACACGTATCTGAGAAGACATTAGCGGGAAAATCGAGGCCCGGAAGTAAACTCACGGCATGATTTCATTGTATGCATCGACATCCTTTTGCATAAAATTGCAAAAGATGACCTTCTCTATCTTATCACCTTCTGGCTGTTCTAGGAACGACCTGACTTCCGAAAGCGCAGCATATGCAGCATCGTCACTTGGATATCCATAGATACCAGTGGAGATGGCACTGAAGGCGATGCTCTTGCAATCATTTTTAGCTGCAAGTTGTAGAGAAGTTCTGTAGCAGCCTTTCAATAGAGGTTCTGATTCTGCTCTAGTATCATAGACAGGGCCGACAGCATGGATGACCTTCTTGCAGGGCAGGTCATAGGCGTCGGTGATCTTTGCAGAGCCCGTCTCGCAACCTCCTAGGGTCTTGCATTCGTCGTAGAGGCTCGGACCAGCTGCACGATGAATGGCACCATCTACACCACCACCTCCGAGGAGTCGGCGATTTGCTGCATTGACGATAGTGTCGACCTCGAGCTTAGTGATGTCGTATTGGACCGTACAGATCTTGTCGTTAAGGGCTTGATTCGGGGGAGGGAGGTTGTTCTGGCTCGATGGGCGCACCTTCCCAATTCGGTAGAGCTGGGTAAGGGTGGGAACCGAACCTAATTTCTTGAGTGAAGCCATGACTGCGATATCTAAATGTGAAACTCTAGGTCTTAATATAGCGATCAGGAGGAGTTACAGCTGCAGAGGATCAGAACATATGAAGTTAAGACAGTACCGTGACAGACGTGGAGTTCAGCCTTGAACTTCCAGAACTCGAACAGCGACGTGAGACGCTAACGTACTTCAGCGTGCTATCACGTGGCTGCCGGTTATCACTCCTCGATCGACCTCCTCACTTCTGCCTTGTCACACCTGTGCATAGCTCCAACAGGTTTCGAACAGGCGAAATTCTCGCTAGATGTTCGTTGTGCTTTCGATGTACCAGAGTGCTGCGAGATCGCCATCAAGCACTCATCAACCAAGGCAATCCTCAGTGCTGCTAAGATTACCACTAATTGTTCGAAAAATTAGTGCATAATGCCATGCGAAGAACATTTTTTACCAGCAGTTCGTCTGTGTTCACTCACTACAGCCACTTCAGCGAACAATACTTCCCGTCGAGTCGACACAGATGCGGATCGCCTGCATGCATAGCTGCCTAGATTGTTTGGACATAAAAGCCTTCCACAACTCCATCTTTCGAAATCCTACTTTTGCATTCTTTCCCAAACAAACATTTCTGATGTGTTCCTAATCGTTTGCGAAATACTCTTTCTCCCACTTCTACGTTCATTCTTGTCCCTCAACACTACTACTTACTATATAGGATATCGACAATGTTCGGCGTGGCGCACCACGCCTACTGTGGGTGCTTTACTGTCCTCGATAATGGTATGCGACAATATCTTCCACAAGTTGAGCTCGAATCACACACCACTATCTTGGCTACGACTTCGAGGACGGTGCTCAAGCAAAAATTCACAAACCCGCTTTCTAGATCTCTAAAGGAAGTGTCTTACACGTTTCCCTTGTACGACGGCGTCAGTATTGGCGGCTTCAAGTGTAACATCGGCGATCGTGTTTTAGTTGGCGTTGTCAAAGAGCTAAACAGAGCTCGAGCTGATTATCAGAACGCTGTTAGCAAGGGTCAAACCGCTGGCTTACTTGTTCAGAGCCTCAATGCTGGAGACGTCTTCACTACGACAGTCGGCAATGTCCCTGCTGGTCATGATGTCGTGGTTGAGATTACCTATCTGGGTGAACTAAAGAATGATGCGGAGACTGATGGTGCTCGTTTCACTATTCCCACGCAGATCGCACCACGATATGGTACCCAGACACTTGCGCCCGACAGTGCATTTCACGTTCGCGCCGAGGGTGGCATCAAAATCATAGTTGACGTCGAGCTCGAGCGAGGTACCTATATTAGAGGCATCCAATCAGCAAGTCATCCCATAGCTGTCACTGTGGGTCGAACTAGCACAATGATGGACGACGATAATCTTTTCGAACCGCATCTAGGCTCCTCAACGCTCGCACTTGGTAGCACTGAGCTCGACAGGGATTTTGTCATCGTTGTGCAGGCCAAGGGTCAGGACACTCCACGAGCACTTCTAGAAACACATCCTTACTTGCCCAATCAACGAGCGCTCATGACAACCCTGATCCCAAAGTTTAACATCCCGAATGAGCATCCTGAGATTGTGTTTGTCGTCGATCGAAGTGGAAGCATGGGTGGTAAGATGCATCTAGTAGCAGAAGCTGTGAAGGTGTTCCTCAAGTCTCTGCCTACCGGTGTCAAGTTCAATATCTGCAGTTTCGGTACCGGATATAGTTTTCTATTCGAGAAGAGCAGGACCTATGATTCCACAAGTGTACAAATCGCCATGGACCTTGTTCAGCAAGACTTCGATGCCACTTATGGAGGAACGGAGATGTTACAGCCTGTACAAGAAGTGATAAAGCGTCGCTACAAGGATCTCCCACTGGAAGTTATGCTGCTCACTGATGGCGAAATTTGGAACCAAGAAGCTTTGTTCTCAATTATTAACGAGGCTAGCAAAGACAACGCACGCTTCTTCACACTCGGTATCGGTCCTGCTGCCTCATCGTCTCTTGTCGAAGGCATAGCCCGAGGTGGCCGCGGCTTCGCACAGTGGGTGAGTGATGGAGAAAGAATGGATAAGAGAATTGTCCGCATGCTCAAGGCCGCCCTTACTCCTCATATCGACTATAAACTCGAGGTTAAATACAAGCAATCGGAGCCAACAGAGGGAGATGATGACTACGAACTCATTGAATCTTTTGAAAAGAGTATGAAAGTTGTCGCGAAGGACAACAATGCAGGATCTCGACCAAGTGGAGGAGGCTTGAAGAGAAACTTTATTTCACTCTTCGATCCAGACACCAAGGACGAACCTACTAATCCTGCAGCAGAACGACACGACCATCTCGTCGAAGTATTGGTCCCTAATGTTCTCCAAACACCTCATGATATACCTGAGCTATATTCCCACAGTCGATCTACGATCTACCTCCTGCTTGGTCCAGGCAGCACAGCAGCCACACCAACATCAGTAATCCTGTGTGGCACGTGTAAGCATGGCGATCTAGAGGTCAAGATTCCGGTGCAAGAGATTGGCGCTGGTACCACCATCCATCAACTAGCAGCGAAGAAGGCAATGCAAAAGCTTGAAGAAGGTCGTGGCTGGCTCACCAAGGCTCTTGACAAGACCGGTCAGCCCCTCAAAACTCAGCACGATGGTCAGTGGGACCTCATGGTTGAACGAGAAGCTGTTCGCCTTGGTACGACGTTTCAGGTTGGTGGCAAGTTCTGCTCGTTCGTCGCTGTTCAGGAAGATGTCAGTAGCAGTGAGAAGCAATCTGAGGCACGCGCACTGGCAGATTATCAGGTGGGCCTGATGGTACTTGAGCAGCAGAATCAATCGAGGAGGTTCATGGGGTTCGGACAACCACAACAGCAATACCTGAGCCGAACAAGTGGTCAACCTAGAGGTTCGGCGCTGTTTGGTGGCGCGCAGAGCAGCTTTGGAGGGCCATCCGGTTACGCAGCCCCTTACCCTGCGTACCCACAACCTGTAAGTCAGGACCTATGGTTTCCATTTCAAAAGGAGATGCAGTGCGGTACCCGCATGCCTCTGCCTGAAGCAGACGACGAGATGCATGTTACTGATATGAAGCAGCATTTCTCTGCACCTACTTACGGCCTTGCTGCATCCAACCCTTTCAAAGCCTCATCTACGTTTGGTGCTACGCAGACCAATTCGCAACCTTCGCGTTTCAGATCGAGCTTTGATGAGTATCAGGCGCGACCAGTAAGTACAAACTTCCCTTCTCGATCTCGCAATGTGGATGCCGACATTGGTTTGCAGCAAACGGCCAACCCGAGCTTGGACCTAGAGGTCGCAGCAGAGAGTTTTCACTTGGACTTCTCGACGCTCGATAATGCGGACGTGCTTGAGAACTTCGATTTCAACTCTTTCCTTTGCTAGGAGCTAGACACAGAGATGGCTGTAGATAGATCGGGAGAGACATATACTAACGGTCCGACACAGACTTATCCTCCTCCATTGTGCCAACTACAGGCCCCGTCTCGGCCGGCGAACGTGGCTCCAGGAACAGCTCTTGCAAGCATGGCTAGTCCTCCTCAGCACAGTGACCTAGCCGGAAACGCCACTGTCAATTCTACGCAGGCAAATCTCAATGCATCCTTTGCTCCTAGGGCTAGGAAAGCTAAGGTAACTACCTATTCTCAAACGGAAGACTCCCATGAAGCTGCTCCACAGGATCCTCGCAAACAAGTTCAAACCATGTCACCGCTCGAGAAAATGCAATACGTGATCGTAATGCAGACTTTCCGAGGCGATTGGACTATCAACGAGCAATTGCTTGAAGTCCTATCTAACCACCCTACAATGAATTTCAACGGCGAAGCAAACGTCTTTTCCGCAACCAGAAAGGCGTATGGCAGCCACGCAAGTGAACCCATCCCAGAGAACTTGATCAACGACGCTCTCGGGACAGCTCTAGCTATCGCCTGGTTGGAGAAGGTCATGAACAACGAGGAAGAAGTCTGGGAAATGGTTGTCAAGAAGGCTAGAAATTGGCTTGAAGAACATATTGGGAAGGCAAAGGCAGACAAGCTCATTGAGGCGGCGAAGACAGTCTACAGAGTTTGACAATATACCAGAAAGAGAGAAAAGTAAACAATTGTATACTGAGTTAGAGGAATGCAGCATCATAGCCTTTTATGAGAGGCAACGGTGTACTCGAACCACTCCACATGTTGAGAAGTGTTGCAGTGCACAATCTTAGACAAGATTGTACATGGGTCACACAATGAGCCGTGTAGGTATGTAACCGCTTTGCTAAGCGGCTGAGCCCAATCGAAGTAGCACAGAATGCAAACATGTTTCCGGAACGTCAAAGTGTGGTCCTACAGCACAAAATCGTGTTTGACATGGCTTTGTCAGTGGTTAATACGCGTATCGACCGTGTCGTGTATCTTGGTAGCGACGTTCCAGCACATTGAGTTGATGAGACCTTGAGTTGTGCTGGAGAGCCACCTGGAAAGCAACTTCCTGAATATAATTAAGTGGTCAAGTTTGGCAGTCGCATGCTCTTCACGTGACCAGTATTGCCCAAGGAGCAGGATTTAGCCGCCTTGCATGCAGCGGTTATAGAAGTTGGTGTCAGCGTCTGGGCGATGCCGTCTCATCTTTGCACAGCCTCGAGGAGCAGGCCACAACATATTGTCCAGCATATTCAAGGAGAGATTGTTGTTTCATGTTGGCTGGCTCAAGCTCTAGCTGTCACAACACCTGACTGAGAGAAGACGTGAAAGTCATCAGATGGGCTCACTGCTGGCTCAAGAGACTGGCGTTTTAGCGGTAGTGCAAAACAGCATCGTTGTGCTGGTAAGGCCAACAGTGTGATAGAGTTATCGCGAATGACCAAACTTGAGATCGTGATGCTGACAGTTAGGCGAGGAACACGACACATGATACAGTTAGGCATCACGAACATTGTCTTCATCTTTCTGGGCTTCTAGCCATATATCAGCTATCAAATGACACAATTTTCACCTATCAATTCGTAAAGGCCCAAGATGAACGTGTACCTGATATCCGGAGCCAGCGACTAATTAACAATGTGTACGTGTCGACGCGTCTGTGGCTTTGCTTTACGGAAAACAAGTGGCAAGGGCGAAATTGACGTGTTGATTGGCTTCTGCATCCTTAGTGTGAAAGCGTAGGCGACGCCGAAGCCTTAGCTTGTGGCTTTGCACTCGATTCTCAGCAGCACCAACGTTTCTTTGGCCAACGCGTTCCGGTCGTGAATATCAAGGGCTGCAGCTGCGGATCGTCCTTGAATTGGAATGCGAATTCTACAGCCTTCTGAATCATATTGCTACGTCTGGCTGCATCGTCATTGCACGTGGGGCTCCCTTCCCTCGATCCAGCTTTACAATTACGAAAAATGCCAGTGGCTTGAAAGTCTTACACAGACCACTGAAATTACAGTGGTTCAGTCGGATGTCGAATGCTGCTAGATAGGTATGACCAAATTTGGTTCCTGCAAGAATTGGCTGGCCAATAGACCTGGATGGAAGTCACGCTGCGCGACAAGTGCATCATGTGCGTACATATACATCGTGTCTGATACTCCTACGACTGCATGTGAAAGGTCAGGAGAACTCTGGTACATGCATCTGTACTCCATCACGCGTCCAGATCAGGTGTAACAAGAGTATCACAACCGACAATCATTCTCGCTAAGGGTCTGTAAGGGTCTAACTGGTTTCAAGGAGGCATCCCCAGACCGACGCGAAAGAGCGATTGGCAGCCAGATCGAGTCTCTAACGTGATCCACAGGTACGGGAGCTCGCGGTTGGCTGTATCCTTGCATCTGGCCAAGGCGGCATACCCAGCGCTACTGAGCAGGCGCCATCGACTGAAACGACCCTCTTTACCCCACATCCGCCAACCATCCACTTGGTCGTATGCTGCCACCCAATCGTAGAGACCACCAGACACCTCCTCCTGACCCGACTCACGCGTCGGTTTGTCCTGTCACCCTCTCATAGCCGGCTGTGGCCAGGAAATGAGCCTTCGCCGAAACATGGCATGCAATTCATATTTCCTACAAGCGCTCGTTCGTCGATTTTTGGTTCACTAATTATATGCCTTGCAGGTGTGTTCCAGAAGAATTACCAGCAGAAGAATAAAGACTCTATCTGCCTCACATCTTGGGCTTTTGCTAATCACCATCACCACCGTCGTCTGTGTCGACGCTGTATTCATTCCTCCGTATCAGCTGAAAACCACTAATAGTCGTCTCGAAGCCTCAAACTATTTCTTCTAGCGTACCGAACCCCAAACCAGTTCAGCTGCGCACTTCAGGGACTCCCGCACCTTATCATTGCCTATCCACTTAGCGCTGCATGTTCTCGGCTCCTCTACCGACATCATACACAGCACCACTACCCGTACGACTCAGGAGGTTACAGCTTAGGGAGACACCCCTCAAAACATTCTTTGATACAACAAAAAGAAGCTGTGCTTCGATCAACTAATCATTTTCCTCGTCTTAACGACATCAGTCATCACACGACATTCGTTCAAAGTCGATCACTCAATACTGCCTGCCGGACGGGTCACAGAAAAGTTCAATTTCTATTTCACAACTACAACTAATTGTCACCGACCAGTGGCATCGACCTCATAGACTTACAACGACCACTCGTACCTTTACCGACAGATCCAACATGTCTAACATGAGTGAGACGAGTCGATCTCTTAACAGGACTGCTCTGGATGAGTTTGTTCGACAGCCTGTCCGTTCTTATATGATTCAGCATTTGGCTAAGCAAGCTACTTCCGTGATTCGATGTGAGGAGCCCATTCAAAGCTCCTCAGCACAGCTTCCTCCAACACCACCTTCAACACCTCCACAATGTGAAGTCGATCCATCTCAGCCAGCACTACCATCACTTGAGACTTTCATTCGATCCATTGTACACAAGTCGTCAGTTCAAGTACCGACCTTGATGACGTCTTTGGTATACCTTGCTCGACTTCGTTCTCGTCTTCCTCCTGTGGCAAAAGGTATGCGATGCACGGTACATCGTATCTTCTTGGCATCCTTGATCTTGGCAGCAAAGAACCTCAATGACTCTAGTCCGAAGAACAAGCACTGGGCTCGATACACCACAGTCAAGGGTTACGACGGGTTCGGCTTTGCTCTTCCAGAAGTTAACTTGATGGAACGACAACTCCTGTTCCTGTTGGACTGGGACACACGGGTCACAGAGGATGATCTTTTCGAGCACTTCGAGCCATTCTTGGCACCTATCCGCTTCCAGCTTCAACTTGAATACGAGAGCTCAAGGCTCAACGAGCAACGACAATGGTACACTGAGCAATCCATCAATGATCTCAGGATTCCACGCACCGTCACCCAGGAGCAGAACAAACTGCCAACTCCACCCAAAGTTCGAGCGACCGACGTATACGACTCTCCCCGACCACTTGTTGACGACGAGTCGAGACGATCTCGGACAGCTGGATCAAGTCTCGCAACACCTGCCTCCGCCAAGCGCAAGGGCAGCTATCATCATAACTCGCGTGAGCCTTCGCCACCATCCCTACTTGATCTGCCACCACTTGTCCATTCTGCCAAGTCGAGCATCTCTAGCACACGACACAGACAACAATACTCTACCGACTCATCAGCGTCTAGGTCTAGCTCACTTGCACCCTCTTCTCGATCAAGCTCGGCTGCTCCATCGAACCGCTCAAATAATATCCCAACTCCTCAGATTCTGGGCTATTATGAAAACGAGAATGTCACGTTCGCTATCGCCGATCAACACTACTCCCCGAATACGTATGCTGCTGAAGCAGAGTATACGGGAGCAGGATATCATCACGCAAAGCCTCAAGCGATTCACAGCATAAAGAACCTGCCGGCCATGACATCAATCACTTCGATGCCCGTATCAGCACGACCCGGGATGAAAGGTCACCAACTGAGCTATTCGCACGAATGCCAACCAGCTAGTAAGAAGATGAAGGCTGAGCACGGTAGCTCGGCCAGTGTGAGCAGTGTTGTGAGCAACTTCTGGAAGAGTGCTACAGGTGGTTACAGGATAGGACGAACTCCAGTCCCACAGCAGATGGCCACTGCCATCTAAATCATTCGTTCAATTTTGTCAGGAGTTACGGCTGTCTGAGTACGAATTGAACGTTTTTTTCTTATTGCATGCATCAGGTTGGAGTACGGAAAGGACCCAGTCCTCGGTTAGGCACAATATGTCCGCTATGCTTCTAGGCGACTCTGCAGGCACGCAGCCGTGCTATGGTCAGGGTTGATGAAGAGACGATATCGGACTTTGATGCTGGTCATCTATGAAACGATCTAGATGACAGGGCCTCAAAGATGGAAGGACAATGTCTCACGGTGACCTTTAGCGATTTACCATTAGCAACTAGCAGGTGTGCCATCGAGACTAATTCAAATTCTTGAACTTCTCCACACCCCAACTTTTTCTTCTCGCCATCATCTCGCCCATCCTGCATGTTTTGACCTTTTCTTTTCCGTCGTATATACTTTCCGCACCCGAAAAGCCAAGTACAGTTACATCCGCAATATTGTCAAACTCACAATCGACACGTCCACAAAAGCCTCGGAAACACGCCCCAAATGTAAGAGAATCCTCCTTCCTAAACACGAAATAGTGAAACAGCAGAGAATCAATTCCAGCCAGGGGAGGTTTCAGTCGGACATGTTCGCGTCTCCTCGTACATAATAGACTCCACAGCATTTTCCAGGATCTTGGCTACGGTCCAGCGAATGAGAATGTGTAGCGAGCTAGCTGTCTTGGACACACTCGTACAGACGGAGGACTCGTAGAATAATGACAAACTTCAAACTTGGTGTTGTGACAGTGACAGATACTATTATTGTACAGTAGGTGTTGCAACAGGTATCTTGTGGGCTGAGTGGTAATAGGGAGATGAGCGAAACTGTATAGTACAATCGATAGTGTGGAATAGTGGTGGTGATCCAGAACGTGATTCGAAGCTACAATTGGATCGAGTACCAACATCATTGGGTTGGATCGTGCTCCGAACGAAGACAATGGTACAATGGCTCAAACGAAGTCGTATAAGTCTTCGTACGGCTGAGAAAGGCCAAGGTTACAAGTTTGCAGGGGAAGTTCAGTCAGTACTTCCTGTGGTAGTAGATAGTGGTAGCTATTCGTTTGACCGTGTCTATGTGCTGGGCAAATGTTAGGTTCGATTCTTGAACACAAACTGCCTGTTGGACTGGAAAACCTCTATTGTCTCAAGCGAAATCATTCTCCTAAGTGCAATAAATCATCTTCATTTTCCATGACCTCGCTATGCTAAAAACGCACAATAGGAGGAGAGAGCATTGGCCTCGAAATGATATGTTATACATACACCCATCCAACCACCCATCTGACTTGTCACGTCTATATCTATGCTTTGCTCTTTTTTCCACCTTCCGAGTCCTCGATCGTGGTTGTTGAGGCGTCATGCGCAGCTTTCGGTACCAGAGACTCACTTTCGGGTTGAGCATCTATGCTTGTAGTTGGTGGTGCGGGTTCAGATATTGTCTGGCTTGGTGCACCGTGTGCCGACTCTTTGGGCTGGGAGTATTCGGCAGGAGTATGCGAGGTGGTTTTCGCTTCAGGTTGTGGTGAATCGCTGGTTGCGCGATGTGGTTGTGCCTGGAATTGAGAGGTTTGTTGCGAGCTGGAGGTACTCTTCTCGTCTTGTGGCTTCTTGTCAGACGTGTCGATGTTTGATTTACTCTTCTGTCCTTCTGCTGCTTGCTGCTTCTCAATCGCTTCTCTTCTCTCAGCAATCTCTTTTCGCAGCTCTTCCTTCTCTTGCGCCAGTTCTCCGTCCAAGGACTCGTCATCTTCGAGCTCAGTCGCATAGACCTCAGGATGTGCCCTGAAGCAGTCCTGCATTGCCTGGAACTTCTCAATACACTCCATTCCTTTTGGTTCCTCGTTCGAGTAGACGAAGCAGCTGAATGCATTTCTGAACTGTTCACCACACGGCCCGTATGCCATACCGCCTAGGCAAGGGCAGTCCCAGTTGATTTCACCTGTGACTGGATTGAATGCGCCTTCACCTTGTGCCTCTTGTTCTAGCTCAGCTGCGCCACCAGTTGCGACTTGGGCAGGTGATTCGTTAGAAGCAGCCAGCGATTGTGAATCTCTCGGCTGCGAAGGTGATGGCTTTTCCTGTTCTTGTCGTGCAAGGTCTTCGCTACTTCGCTCTATTGTGCTTTGCAGGGTAGATACATTTTTGGCAGATTTGTTTCGACTCGAAGCCGTGAGTTGCTCGAGGGTCGAATGGTCGCGGCCATCGTCCGTCAAGGCATCGACGTTGGGATTCAGTAAATCTGTCCAGCAATCAGTCTCAGCTTAAATACAGATAGATCTCTGCGTGGCAAGACGTACTATTTTGAGGGTATTCCGCAAAAACTGGACTCGTGTTGTAGTAGTATAGGCCTCCAGCGGCCAGACCCCATCTCAAAGCACTATTCTTCCAACTCCGCGACGTTTTATGAGGAGGTGCTGTAGTAAGGTATCTCCTTCCGGCAGTCCTAGCAGGCGCCAGGGAGCTGTGAAGGTGACTTTGCGATGAGCGCAAAGCGGCGCGAGCTTGTACTCCTGTTCGATACATGACGGACGCTGTACAAAGGAAAGGACGTTGAAGATGGTGCTTCTCAGTTTCGATTCATCCAAAGAATGACAGGCTCAAAGCGGATTGTGAAAGTGGTTTGCTATGCAGGAACGATCGATACTCGTTGAAGCTGTTCCTTCCTCTGCAGATGCCCTGCTTACGAAATCCAATAATTTCTATCGAAGCTCGGATTACTTCGTCGGTGACTTCATCACTGCGAGAACCAATCAATTTCAGCCCCTAATTTTTGTGCTCCCACACGTTGACTATCTGACCTTACACGACATGGACACGTGCTTCATGGAACCGCAGCAATGTTGGTCGGGGAAATTGATAGACATATATATCAATCAGTCTGATAGCGCAAGAACTAGCAATGAAGACCTGGTATCCAGCTCAATTGTTAGAGGGCAAAGCAGCGAAGCCATATGGCATACTCGTACTCAACCAACCATTTAATAAAAATGTGTTTCATGGAGTGAGAGATGCTGCAGTCATGCTTGTTTGTGCAGACGCTGGCGCAGACCGCTACATGAAATACGAAAGGGACGGTACAGCTGCAGAACGCCTTCCAGATGCAATAATCGGGGACCTCGATTCGCTCAGTAAAGAGGCGCGACAATACTACACCACAAAAGAGGTTCACATAGTCGAAGACCCAGATCAGTACTCGACCGACTTTACAAAAGCTCTCAAGTGGATGCGACAGGAATGGGATAGACAGAAAGGAACAAATGAGGAGCTCGACATTGTTGTCATGGGTGGACTTGGAGGCAGAGTCGACCAAGGTTTCTCTCAAATCCACCATCTCTATATGGTCCTTGAACAGCCTGACCTCCTTCGTGGCTCCATCTACTTACTGTCCGAGCAATCTCTGTCCTTCGTGCTCGACCACAATGAGAATGAGCTGCATGTCAACATCGACGTCTTTGCAGAGAATATTGGCATACTACCTGTGCTTGGTCCTACTCGCGTCTCCACTTCCGGCCTCGAGTGGGATGTTCAGGACTGGTCGACAGAGTTTGGTAAACAGGTAAGCACCAGCAACCATATCAAATCAGACCGAGTCACCATCACTGTAGACGGCCCTCGACCTCTGTTCACGCTGGAGCTGGCCAAGCGCTTATGTGTTGACGATCGCTGATCCTCTTACCACACTTGAGAGGTGTCGTGTCTCGTGTTGTTGCTCTTGCCGTAGACAAGTTTCTTGCAAGTATCTATGCTCGACAGGACCCTTGCTAGTAGCTAGCTTGGGCATTGCTAAGCTATCAAAGAGGCAGTGTTGGAGGCTGGCGTATCGCAGTGCCTGAAGGGAATGTAGTAGCTGTTCCGGGGAACAGCATCCAAACATTGTTTCACGTCCTGCAAGACAATTTCATATTAGCCTGGCTTCTTTCGATCAACAGCAAATGCAGCATTCGGATCGTTCTCTTGTCCAGTTCGAGCACTGGCAGAGTCCGGCAAGTGACGAGCATACCAATCGACATCACTCAAATTGAGTCTTCGTGCTCGGGTCGCACGGCCATTCCTCTCAGCTCTACTGAAAGTACTGGGAATGTGGTCATATCCTAATTTGGCAGTATTCTTAGCAGATTTCTTTTTGGGATCAAGGGCCGGCTGAACGATTCGCGCCAGGGGAAGGGCTTCAGTACCATCGTGCTGGTCATCGTCATGAAGATCGTAGTTTAGCACCAAGTTCTTGATTCGCTGTTGCTCTTCACGTTCTGCTGCCTGTTGTGACTTCATCGACACTGCAAACTGAGAATCGGAAGGTAAGTCAATCGTTCGAGTCTGCATATCGTTAGCTTACACCACCATTGCAGACAAGGTTGTCTGATATCTACCTGTTGTCGGTTTCCTTTCTTAGTCATCAACTGGAAGGCCATCGTATGCACAGGTGCGTCGTTGCCCAAATTGCTGCCCTCCTCGATGGGTTCTGCAATATTCCGTTGAGCTTTCCGCACTGGTAGTGGGACATCGAATCGGTTTTGTCGCTCGTTCTTACGCTCACCAAGACTTTCTACCATTATAGCTGCAAACTCGCGGTCAAATTCCGCTTCTGCTTCTGGGTCGATCTTCTCCTGTTCTCGAACGACCACGATCTGTTCCTCTTCCGAGAATGACCCAGAACGTTCTTCGGGCTCTGACCTTTCTTCTTCGTTGTCCACTTCCTCTTCGCCAGAAGAATTATGCTTATCGACCTCGGCGGCATTGTCCTCCTCATTCAGGGCATCCTCTTCGTCGTCGCTTTCCACATCTTCGCCTTCTTCAGCAAGTCGATCAGCAGCTGACTGCTGATATTTGGACCTAACCGCATCGGCAAACGCTTTTGCTGCCTCGTCAAGATCGGTAACAAGCTTCCATTGTGGTCTGACAGTGGTGAAGATGTCCTGGATCATGAAATCAATTTCCATGGGTAGAGGATCTTTAGTGAGTACGTAGTATTGGAAGAAGACCAGGAAAAAGTCTAGCTTCTTGCGAGAACTGCCTCGATCGAAACACATGCCGCAAGTGTCGAGGATGGTACAAACAAGTCGGATCCGGAAGTAATCATCCGGCATGTCGAATGGACTCGTGCGTCCGGGTGTCGGGGTACCACCCTCATGACCGAAAGTCACAATTCGATAAAGAGTGTCGAAGATGACCGCGGAATCAATCATTTTGTAGTTGTACAACTCTCCCAAATACTTGACCTCTGCGATTCGGCGTTGGTTGAACTTGAAGTCGTTTCCTTCCAGACCCAGCTGAATGTTTTCAAGGACATTGTCAATTATCGTAATCGCAAAGTCTTGATGGTGCCTTGATAGTGCCCCCAGAAGGACTGCAAGAAGGTGAATGCTGCTGAATTTGACCTTTCCAGGCTTACTGAAAATCTTTTCGAGCATCACTACAACTTCGTCTTCTTCCCAGTGGAGTTTGCGGATAGTCTTGAGGATTTTCATGTAGTTGCGCTTAGTCATGTCAAAGTAGATGAGCTGTCGAATAAAAAGCTCGGTAGGAGTTCGTTCTTTTTGCTCGATCGCGGCTCGCTCCGGAGGGTCGACATAGTACAGAGCGTTCTCCAGAAGCATGCGCTCTTGAGATCCCAGATGCTGCGCAGATTTCTTGCGATTCAACGTCTCAATGAACGAAGTCATGCGAGGTGCTGTCTCAGGATTTCTCAGAAGGAAGCGTCCACAATTTTCAAGGAATGTTGCGATGATTTCAATGTTCATGCGTGAGAAGTCATCTAAGCTGACCTTGAAGCAATGGAAGATGACATGCTCGGGCACGACCCCAAATTTGATCAGCTCAGTAAGGTATCGGATGCAGAAGAGTCGTCCTTGCCCCACAAAATCCTTGGTCTTACGACGTTGAAGGGCCCGAAAGTCGTCGTCCAAGGAAGAAATCATGGCATTGAGAAGATCTGGCATGTACTGTCCGAGAGTGGCGATCAATCTTGCATAGAGAGGCAGAAGATCAGTACGACCCTTAGGAACGTCTTGCAAGCTTTTGGCTAGGCGGTTTCGTGAGGCTTTCGAGTTCAAGAAGCAGAAGTCATGTGCCACAGAATCGACCTGCTCTTTGTTCTGCAAATCCGGAAGTCGAAGCAATAAACCGTCGACCTGAGCTCCGACAGTTCTGTTCGCAATCTGCATTGACTGTCCGTCAACTTCAGCTGGTTTGGTTGCTGTGCCCTCATTTCGATTCGGAAGAGCCTCGTCGCCATCAGGTTTGATCTTCTTGCTATCCTCAAGCAGGATTGCAGGAACACGTCCACGAAGGTCGGTAAGGTTCTCGTAGAAGCGTCGCTCGTCTTCGTCTTCCCAAATGCCAGCACCATCACCTGTTCCACGGAGAGCCTCTCCAGCTTTGACGATCCCAATTGTACTTGTCGCAGCAAAATCAGAACCGTCCTTGTCGGCTAGATCGGGCATATCTTGACCTAGAATGTCGCATAAGGTTTGAGCAGCGGCGATCAGCTTCTCTTGTGCCTTTTGTTGCTTCTCGAAATTGGTCTGTCTATCCTCGAAAATCTCTCCGCTTCGAACATAAGCTTCGGCATTTCTTCTGCTCTGGTTGCTGAGAGATTGTTGATCTTTGACGATACGCTTCTTCAAGAATTGGGTATAACGGTCAACGACACTCACGAAGCGCTGGCGAGTATGATCGGGAATCAATGGGGAGTCGTCAGTTTCCGTAGCACCATTCGTCTCTTCCAGAGGTCCGTCTGTGACGATCTCACCATCACCATCAACTTGCTTTCGAGCATCGTCAGAAGGTGGTTTCATGCCCAGACAATCCCAGGCAAAGTTCTTGACAAACAGCACCGCTAAAGGTAGATTGACCAACTCTGGGTCATGCCCGAGTAGATCTTTGAGGACTTCGAGTGGGAACGGATCGTGGTCGCGCATGTTCTCGTTCTTAATCCCGTTCAGAGCATTCTTGATTTTCTGTACTTCGGCGCTCCGTCCACCTTCGTTCGTAGACGCCTCCTTCGTCTTAGCGCTTGCGTCGTCCGGACGTTCCACATCTTCAAGACTGCGAAGAATGCCACATAACCAAAATTCAGTCGCGATCCTCAATAATACTCGGTGTCTGGCAAGACGTTCCTTCTCCTCACGCTCTCTAACCTCTTGTGACCATAGTTTAACCTGTGCCTTGTCGGGTGATGTGAGGCCTCTGCCCAACAGCCATCCTAGTTGCTTGGTAAAGTCGCTCGGCCCAAATCGCTGGTGTAGTGCACTGACGACCTCAAGTCCTGCTGCGATATCTCCTGCTGTCTTCAACCGGCTCAACCCCTCTGCAGTTGCTGAGATGATCTCTGAAAGGTACTTTTGCAACGAAAGTGTTTTGATCTCACTCAAGAGGCCAGCCTGAGCAGATGCCGAGATTCCGGTCCGTAGTCGTTTAATAAAAGCGGTATTCTTCTTTAGTGACGAGTCAAGGGAGGAGCCGACTTGGTAGACATCTGCGTCACTGTTAGGTCTAAACCTGGCCCTACCCTTCGCTTCCCATACCTTGTGCGCCCTCCCAAACACTCAAGTTTATGTTACGCAGTTCCCCTGGAGCAAAATGGTAAGTTCATGTCTCCAGTAGTTGTCTTAGTCTGTAGCATACTCTTTCTTTTGCGATCCATGACGGGTCGCGTTGAAAATAGTCAAAAGGTGCCTCGAACATGGCGCCTAAAGAACTTGGAACATAGAGAGCAGATGGTCCACCCTCAATCTGAGTCTTTTCACTAAAAGAAACAGTCACGTTTGCCACAGTCAACTTGAAGTGATATCGAGTAGTTATACGACGGACAGTTTGGACGAGCCTGCCCGACACGACGCCCGCGCTACTGCCAAGGCTGCACCTGCGTCAAATTGCCGGTGTTATTGCGCCAGGTCCTGCGGATATTTTGTTCATCGAATTTGACTCATACCACCACCAGAGTATGTTGTTGTAATAAATAAGAAGCAGAGGCTCTATTGTGCGTGTCCCTACTCCATAATGTAGCTACAGAGTTTATCAAGACTGACGTTCACCGAAACAGAGCTGTTTTCAATTATACCTAATGCTAAAGGCTCATTGTATTGTGTTGATACTCTAATCTCCTTCGACAACCTCCTATAACCCTGGCCTAGCAGCTGCAGACCGTTTATAATTGCTCTCTCGTGGTTATTGTTGGTCAATCTCTGGCAAACATATCTTTGTGACCAGCTTGTTCAGAGGTAAGAGAGATCTTCAGGACATGAGGATGTGGTACACGTTCCCTGCTTTCGCTCCTGTATCGTGGTGAGTAGACAAAGAAGAAAAAAGGCAAGACGTCGGGATCATAGAAGACAAGTCTCTCGCGGCTTTGTGGTGAAGTGTATTGAATGCCAGGTCTGTCCTCTTGGAGCAGCCTCTTTCTATCTCAAGAATTCCTCCGATATGCAATGTGACCGTTATGTTTCCATCAAATGCTTTTGGTTTGTTCTTTGAGCTGGTCTGTATTCCATGACGTGGTATGTGTCATTTACATGCCGTTGGCAGAGAAGATCTCGTCAATCTCCTTCTTGGCGTCAGCCTCTGGGACACCCTTCTTCTCAGCGACGATCTTGGCGAGGCCATCTCGGCTGCCAGAGGTGGTCTTGAAGTCCTCTGGAGTGAGCTCGGGGTACTTGGCTCGGAGAGCGGCTCTGACTTCGTCAAGACCCATGTTGTATATGTGTGAGGTTGATGATTAAACTAAAGTATACTGTCAGTGCCTGCCAGACCGTTCCAAATTGTCAGCTTTGCTTACATTTGAAAGTTATTTGTGAGAAGCGAGTATATGTCTATTATTGCTGGATGGAGAAGGGAGAAAAAAGTGTTCAAGAGGGATCAAGTTCGTGATTATATAGACTATCTTCCACTCTTTGCCAGCGCATCCCACCTTATCCACGTGGAAACAACCATTCTGTCCTCATCAAATTATACCGAAGCCCACCCTGCCCCTCGAGCTTCTGCCCCACTGTCAACAGAGTACGCGAATGGGCAATTGAACAGCAAGTCCAATCCTGTGGCAGAGTGAGACCCTGACTTTCACGCAATACTCTAACACGAGTCCACTTCAAGCCATGGCACGGTCTCGGAGGGCTAAAGTTGGTATCTGCAGTAGTCTGCCTCAAATCTTTGGCCTGGAACTTTCCTTAGGTGGTGGTTGACCACGAAGCGGTGAGGCATGAATTTCGTGAACGCTCCACGTTTGGATCCAGCACATGTGAATGCGGGGCTATAATACTCGGTGTCCGGATATCAACCGAGCTGTCAGCTACAAACATAGAAGCAGATAGATGTTTGTAGATCTTGCAAAGCAACAAGGTACTATGGAGTTGGAATGGTATCAGCAAAGCAGGCTCAAGTATCTGGTAGCAGGGTTTGAAAACAAGCTGCAGGAGGAGCTGTCGTGAGTACACACTGCTGCAGCCAGATAATCCATTAGTGGAGCTGCTTTTCCACCCGTAGACTTTATGCAGGCACAAAATGTCAAAAATGTCAAAGTCATGCTTAACAGGTTTGAGTACTCGTATTGTTCGAGCTAGTCCATCTGCCGTGTGAATCTTATCGCAACTTTGGCATACATCGATGGTGCTCAACAATCCCTTCGTAGGCTCGGTCCGGCCTGAATCGAGCTCTACCCGACCACATCTTTCACACCGACTCCTTTAGACACTTATGCCAACATGTTCATCACAATACAATGGACAACCTTAATCTGCCTCAAATGCCGAAGCTTTCTGAGCTGACAAGCGTGCCTTTCTGGCCGCCACATCCTCTTTGTCCTTGGCTTTCTCGTCCGCCAGCCGTGTCTTCTTGCGTTCCCCACTCTGTGCGCCACGGGTGGTGTTCTGTTTTCTTTTCCGCTTGATGCCAGTAGTTTCAGCTTCTGAATCTTTGATCTTCTCACCTGGAGTCTCTATCGCTGGACCTGTTGGTTTCTCCATCCATAGGTCCTCAGCCAACCAGATAGGCAGGGCAACCGAGGTCGGACTCTTGATATGGATGCTCTTCACGTTCTTCCAACCACTCACAACATGCTTTTCTATTATAGCAGTTGCAGCAACTGCGATATTGTCTTTCAGCTGATCAGGCGAGAAGGAGTCAAGTCCAACTCTGACAGCAATATTGTAGCCAGGGCTTAGAGAGACGGGCACAGAGTTCAAAGCCTTCTCAATCTCCTTCGCAATGACTGCTGGACCTGCAACAACAGCCTCTCTCTCGTCCTTGAGTACTCTCTTGGATTTGTCCTTGGAGGCGTCCTTGGGAGCCATATTGATAGGGATTGGTCTCTTCGCTGTACCCTTGTAGAAGACCTTGCCCAGAGCTTTTGGCAACCTTGAAATAATTCTCTCGTCAGCAAGGAAGACATCGTGTTCAGAGAGTAGCTGTCGTTTCTGCTCGTAACTCTTATACCGTGCTAGCAATTTCGAGAAACCGATTATGCGGGTGATTCTGGAAGCTAGTGAAGAAGGGAATGTTGGATCGGCTACCACGTTCTTAGCTGCACGTTGGGGATCAGTCGTAATCAGACAAATGGTACTGTTCTCGTTGCTGTTCAAAGAATGAGGTACAGGTATCTTGCTAGGCTTCAGACGATGTTTGTCAGTGATGTACTGCTTTGTGCCTAGAGTGAGCCAAATTGGCTGCGCATCGTCTTCTTGATCTTCCTCGTCGGAACCCTCAGTAGCCAACAAGTTCCGCTTCCCGCCCGACTCTTGTAGCCTCTTCAGCTCTGCCTGAACGTGCTTGAGAAGTGCTTGCGACGCTCGCAAAGTCTGGTCTGGATCGAGTTTGTACGGAGTTTGTGTGTTATCCACTTGCGACACATGCGTTGTCAATGCCATGTTGGACTCGACTGGACAGCTTAATGTGATATTCAGTCTCTGAACGGCTTCTCCCCAGGTTCCTGCTCAGGAAAGCACGACCAGAACCTCGAGGAACGTGCCTTCCTGCAGATTTGCGAACATAACTTTTTCGCCGGCCATCTTGCTCTAGTCCGAAGTTGAACCGATCAACCAATGACCACATCGTGGACTGCGGAAGCCTCCCGATATGAACGGACACGATCCTCGTCCAGCTCGTGCTTTCACTACGGGACATGCACGATCTATGTGAATGAACACATATTTGAACGAGCAGTCAAAAACGTGAACATGTGGGGAGTATAGCAGTGTCAAGGTGTGAAAGTGCGAAGCTGCAGAACAACCAATGGCTGTATGTTACAGCGCATTTACAGGGAAGCGTGAGAGCCACTCGTTTTCCCCCTCAACATGCAGAACCTACAGATCTCTTCTACAACTCTTTCCAATTGATGTCCTTGCTCTCGTTATACAAAAGAAACATTCATTCCAGCCACCTGCACACCCTTGCATCCCTTTGCCTAACACTGCACGATCATCGGCGTGTCTTTAGTGACGTAAAAAAGCGCGTGTTGGTGGATGCTCCACCTGGGCTGATACGCTTCGCGGTCCAAGGTTGGATGCTTGAGCGCGTCTGCTACCTCTCCAACCACATTATCTCTGGCCGTTTTGCTGACCACTGTCTCCCTCCTTTGTGTCAGATTCTGGTGTGCGGTAACAGCATACAGAGATAGTTGAGTGGACTCTGATCATACTCGAGAGCAACTGTACCTCACCGACAGACTCAATATCTCGCTTTTAGCACCAGCACACTTTCGGACACGCGACTCGCACAACATTCCACGTCTGCCGCATGACAAAGAGATGGACCTACCTTCGCCTCGGAAAGATGCAGCACCTGGTAGTGTAGAAAGAAAGAAGTCCGCTGCATCGCTCCTGCCCGCATTCGAACCTTTGTCCTCGTCGCCCGCTTTGCCGAAAAACCTCAAGAGATCACGCAGCGTGTTCGAAGGAAAAGACTTCCTACCTACACCTGTTGCAACCTCCTCGACACACATCTTGAGCTCGTCTCCAACAGCCAAATCTTTGGCTCGAGATTTGTTCAAGACGACTGAAAGAGTGCCCTTAGGTGCACTACCTACAGTACACGTGAAGGATGATGGAACTGCCACTAAGCTTGGTCGTTCGAGCCAGGCATGTGACTATCAGCTGTCTGCAAATCGTTTGATCTCTCGAGTACATGTCGAAGTCACCTATCTTCCAGCTCTGAACCGTCTCCAGCGAGAGAAAGTCGAGGTATTCTGTGTAGGCTGGAACGGGGTCAAGGTACACTGCCAGAGCAAGGTTTACGAGCTGAGACGTGGTGCCACCTTCTCTTCTGATATACGAGAAGCTGAAATAATGCTTGATGTGCATGACGCGCGTGTCATACTAGAATGGCCAAACAAACCTCGACTAGGTCCTTCTTCCGATGATGAGGACGAATTCGACCTCTCACCAACAAAGAAGCTTAAACCTATGCGCCGCCATTCGACACCGATAAGCCCAAGCCCGGTACACAGTAGAAAGCAGCGGCCAATCTTACCTATGTCGCCATCACCAAGTTCGCAAATACTTCCTTCTTCACCACCAATCATGTCAGCATCTGAACCAGCGCTTGTTGAGATATTCGAGGATCCTGAACCAGCCGAGCAAGAGACCACTAACAAGTCCAGAGTCCCAGCTGAGAGTGCTCCCGGCACTACTGTGTTGTCACAGCACAGCTTCGACAGCAAATCTAGCGAGTTGAGTTCATCTCAGGACTTCTCTGACAACGACGAGGAGAATGACCCAATCATCTTCTCCTTCGGTCCAGGTGGTGCCAATCTACTACCAAGAATGGCTGCCGTCAACGCTGGCACCTCGCCTATTCGACCTTCCACCAAAGCACCTCGCCTTCCTCATTCAGAGCCGTTGAAACCCATCTCCTCTCCACTACAAGCTCAATCCCGATTTGCCGACTTCGACATTCGAAGTCATGTGATAAATCAACTAGCTTTTTCTCGTCTCTCCTCATTGCCAATTTCAACCATTATCAGCCATCTACCTCATGATGTTCAGAGCATCTCAACTGATGAGCTAAAACAAATCATTCAAGACACACCGTGTGTCGGTGAGGTAGCCCGGGAAGGAAAGGACGCTGCAGGAAAAGTATTGGAGAACGAATTCTACTACATCCCTGATGAGGACGATGATCTCAATAGAAAACAAGCTGTCGTTAACGACTTGAGAAAACCAGGCCTACGAGCTTGTCGCAGACAACATAAGGTATGTCTCATCCCTGCAGTTCTTTAGTTTTACTGATAAGGGCACAGCAATACTATTGGAAGAAGCCCAAATGATTCAATCAGCCCCACTGGATTCAGTCCGGAGAAAGAGTTGTTTGTATTGAGCAGGTTGTATGAGTAGCAGTCTGTCTGGGATTATGTTTTTCGCCTGCTAACAGGCATGTTAAGGAAGACTTGATGTTCTGCTGCGTTGAGCGAACAGTTTCAATCTGATCCGACCACCATGTCAGTCCGACCACCATGTCAGTCCGACCACCATGTCAGTCCGACACGCTCGATGTATTCGAGGGACTACCCTTGGGATAGGCCGTACATATCATTGGAGCACGATGCGTCGCTATGTTCATAGCGGCAATACATAACAAAAAGCTGTCAGATCTCAAGTGTGCAAAGGTTGCACTTCGCGCCTTTGGATGATTAAGTGGCAGATTGCAGGAGCCAAAAACCATCAGCCGATACAACACATGGCATCAACCACATCCATGTAATCATGCCGAAAGGGCTGAGTAACGTATGCAGGATCAATTATGTTGTCAAGATACGTAATGACTTGAAGATTGTGATCGTGTGTTAGCTTCGCCTTATCCGTCCCCGAGTATTCAATTTCACCTATTGTCACGCAGAAGCTGGATTTTGTATCTTCAATCCCAAGCGAGGCCTTCAGTAGACACCAAGAATTTCACGCGTGATCGAAACTTTTATCTGTGCCCTGCTGTCAACCTTATACACAAGGTTTGGTCTTGTGGATACTATACCTAGGCAGTCCTTCGTCGCACAGTCACACAGTCTGCGCGCCTGTGCAGTGAAGTCTTGTGGTTGCTGCCCTCGAGCCTCGCGTGCTTAGGATGCCATTATGTTGTGGAAGATGTTACTGCTCACCGATTCCAGTAGGGATACATCCTCCTCTGCTCGAGCGAATTAAGAACTGACGGTCGAAAGAGACGCGTTGATACGTGCTAAAGAGCTACAGGCACAGGCTCGCGCGCTCTAGACGAGCTCTTTGAAGCTGGCTTCCCACAAGCGATGAGCTATAGCAGGTGAACCGATGGTCAAAGTAGTCTGGATAATCTGGCTCGAGGACACCGGTTAGAGCCCTTGTAGCTCGAATCTCGTTCATACGTCACGTGGTGACTGCCTCAAACTGATTGCTGGCTTCAACTTGCGAGCTACGAGGTTCAAGTCGTCTAACTCGAAATGATATAGGCAAGTGTTCTTCGGGTTAACTTACTGGACTCATACACATGGATTCTTCGGAGCGAAGTGAGCATACCGAGCCATCTGACCCAGTGACACAACTGCAGTTGACCCCGGAACTTCGCGAAATACATGATAAAGTCCTGCGGACAGTACGATGCCTCGTGGCTGATTTGTGTCAGCAATATGATGGCGGCCATCCAGGCAGTGCCATGGGCATGGCAGCTCTAGGCCTTGCACTTTACAAGTATGTAATGTGCTACTCGCCTGGTAATCCGAGGTATTTCAATCGAGACCGGCTGGTCCTTTCCAATGGCCATGCGTGCTTATGGCAATACGTCTATATGCATGTCGTGGGCTTTCCTACCATGACGATGGAACACCTGAGGTCTTACCATTCTTCCGATCGAGGTTCGATATGTCCTGGTCATCCAGAAATCCAGTTCGACGGAATTGAGGTCTCGACTGGACCACTGGGTCAGGGTGTCGGGAACGCTGTTGGTCTGGCGATTGCCTCGAGACACCTCTCAGCGACTTATAACAAGCCTCATCACAATGTGCTTGACCACATGATTTGGTGCGTAGTTGGCGACGGCTGCCTACAAGAAGGAGTGTCCTTAGAGGCAATACAGCTCGCGGGTCACTGGAAACTGGATAACTTGGCTATCTTGTACGACAATAATGGAGTGACTTGCGCTGGTACTGTTGACTTGACAACTAGCGAGGACGTGAATGCTCGGATGGAAGCCTGCGGCTGGCAGGTTGTTGACGTGGTTGATGGTGTCGACAATATCAGCCGCCTCGTTGAGGTCCTTTTGTATGCTCAACACAACAGGCAGAAGCCGACCTTCGTAAACGTCAGAACTATAATCGGCTACGGCGCATGGTTCCAAGGTAAAAACGAGGCTCATGGGAATCCACTAGGTGTTGATGGCGTGGCAAATCTGAAGCGACAGCTCGGAATGAATCCAAAGACTCACTTCCATATTGATGAGGATGTATACAGATTCTTCGCTGACGTCGGTCCAGCTGGCAGAGCTCGTGAAGCACGTTTCGCAAAAGAGGTGAAAGCTTATGGGCAAAGTTATCCGGTTTTAGCTCAAGAATTTGTCGAGAGGATGGAAGGCCGATGGAATACTCATTGGCAACACCTTTTACCTGCTAAGAAAGATCTACCTAGCTCAAAAGTGGCGTCTAGGGTTTCTGCAGGAGAAATTATAGCCTTACTGGCTCAGCATTTACCTCAAGTGATGGTAACGAGCTGCGACCTCCAGCCCACCACCAATATGTCTTGGCCAACGTCGAAGGCCTTCCAATGCCCTGTTCACGACACTACCTCTGGCACAACATCTGGGGATTACACAGGACGCTACCTCCACTGTGGCGTGCGGGAACACGCTATGGCAGCCATTGCTAACGGCCTAGCTGCTTTCAATGCTGGCACAGTCTTGCCTTTCACGAGCGCCTTCCTCATGTTCTATGGTTATGCTGTGCCAGCTGTACGTATGGGTGCTCTTCAAGGGCTAAGAATAATTCATCTGGCGACACACGACTCGATTGCGATTGGCTACGATGGACCAACCCACCAGCCTGTTGAAATAGCCTCCTTGTTCAGGGCGATGCCGAATTTGTTGTACATTCGACCTTGTGATGGCGAAGAAACCTGCGGTGCATTTATGGTTGCTGTGGCCGCGGAAAAGGCATCAAGCGTAATCAGTCTATCAAGACATGGCTTGGTACAGTACCCACAGTACTCGAGTCGTGGCGGAGTGGGAAGAGGCGCATACGTTTTCATCGAGGAGTTAAAAGCAGACATCACACTCATCGGAGTAGGCTCAGAGATGGTCTTTGCGGTTGAAGCAAGGAAGAAGCTAGCGGAACGTGGCTTCAAGGCTAGAATTGTCAGTTTCCCTTGTCAGAGGCTGTTCGAGGCGGAGAGTCGTCAATACAGAGAAACAGTGATGCAGTATGACCAGAATAAACCTGTTGTCATTATCGAAGCGTATGCTGTCAACGGCTGGGAGAGATACGCTGATGCTGGATATTCCATGCATACTTTCGGTAAAAGTCTACCTCCTGAAGACCAGGTTTACGAGTTCTTTGGGTTCGAAGCGAACTGTATCGCCTCAAAGCTTCAAGACCTGATAGCTGAGGTGAATCAAAGCGGCATTAGATCACTTCGTGGAGACTTCAGGGATTTGAATGTCAGATTTGTCTAGTACGATCCGATAGATCAAATAAAGTGGTCAGTGATTGCCTGCAAGGAATTATGACATTGATTGAGGCGGACGATCTGCTGGCAAAATGATACTTGGTTAAAGTATTACTCGGATTGTACAAGATAGCGTGGGGCAACACAAAAGGATCTAAGCGTTTTGAGTGTTACAGGGCCCATCCGTAATACCTGGTTCCCCATATTTCGAGATCAAGCATTTCATGGCTCGAACCACTCTGTCTCTCCTGTCAGCCGAGGCAGTTTAGCTTGAGGAAAGGAACAGCGCGTACAAATCTCTTTGGTGTTTGACCGTGGCAGGCCAGCCCATGGCATGGGCGATGTCAAATTTGATGGAGTACAGGCGGTTACGATCGTCGAATTGGTCCTTCGGTTCGCTAGGTGGCATGTGTCTGAGATACTGACGCGTGTGTGCTGATACGTTTAGCAGTGCACGGTTGTACAACTCAAATTGTCTGCTTACTCCGCCCAAAACGCACTATGTCTCTGCGCCACATCGCAATATCGTACTCGCTATGTGCGTAAAAACAACCAGCATCGAATATCTTGGGCTGATTGTCCTTGTCCAGGGAGGTGCCAGTATTTTCCTCCCATAAATTGCCATGGACCAAGCACGGCTTCAAAAACCTGCCGCCTTGTTGTAGTGGTTCGAGGATGTTCGGAATTACAGCTTCGAGTGCTTTGAAAGTTTCTTCGTAATCTGCATCAGGTCCATTCATGTCGAGCTCACGCTCGAAGAACAGACGGATCAACCGCAAAAAGAACACAGACCAACTGTCCTCCCAACTCGTGTTTTGTGGATGTGGCCCATGACAAGTAGTCGTATAGAAACCGAACTTCCCTGTTGGAGAGACGCTGTCTCGATGTAACGCCGCAATTTGTTCGCAAAAGAGGGCAGGATCCGGCGCACCTGTTCGCATCTCCAGAAACTCCATCAGGAGGAAATAAGCTGTGTAAGGTTTTCAGTCAGATACTCGTGTAGAGTGCGTGTCTGGGGTCGACTGACTCGATATTTGCGCGTTCTTGAATTGGCCAAAGTGGTAAGGTTTAGGAGCAAGGGCCGAGTTGTACTTGACAATCTCCGAGAGCGAGGCAAGTTCGCCCTCCATCATCAGCTTACCGTGATCGCCTGTTGCACACTCGTCATGTCGTTAGTGGGAACAGGTATTTGATCGTATTCTTACCTTGAGGAAATAAGACATCTCCTGGCCATTTTCAAGTTCAACGATGATGCGAGCTGTCCTTGTCCATGCAGCGGTGCCATAAACTAATGCGGTTTTGACAGAGGATCCTGGAGGAAGCACTGAGAGATCAGCGATAGTTCAGAACATCAGGCTGAAAAGTCACACCACTCTTGACATTGTCGTCAAGCTGGAAATCATTGTGTCCAACACTATCAAATATTTCTTTGGTGGTACTCAGAGTCTCCATAGCGATCCAAATCAGCAACAGTTGGCGGAGTGGTATTTGTGACTCGACGGACAATCCATATTGTTGTGAGGATACTGCAGCATTTTCATCAGCCCCGAGAGGTGCCTGACTGCAAGAACTGCCAATGTGCAAGGGAAAAGGTGCATCACTAATGATAGGCCGAGACATGCACAATTGTATTGTTCAAAACTCGGATTGTCCCACGCCCAGCAGTAGCGCGTGCTCCTAACTCCACATACGATCAATGACAGGCGTGAATCAGCTTAAGCTGAGCTTGTGATTTGGCTTCTTTGGGAATGCTTGGAAGTTCAATCACCGCTTCTTGCGAAGGCACGAGAAGGATTGTCTTCTACCACGGGACGACTTGGTAGGTCCGTAGCCATGATCTGAAGGCTAACTTATCGCCTATCTACTGGGTCAGCCAATCACGCTCATTCTGCGACAAAACTACGTCTTTAAACTACCTTGCACTATTTCGAACCAGTGAGGTCGTCGTGCATGTTGATTGAAGTGCGTTTTGACTGCGACAGGGATTTCCACGAGTAATGCTCGCGGCGGCCTATGCTGCGCAGCTGTGAACCTCGTCCATAAACATGACCTCAAGAAGCTGGGAACTCTATCCCATCAGGACGTTCTCACCTTGCTCTATGTGACAACTTTGTTCCTACAGTTTCATGTGCTATGAACCACTTCAAGGCTACTCTGTAACCGTCTTCCACTTTCGGTGCCTAGGCAAGAGAGAAACGATAAGCGGGTATACTCAAATACCGATGGACGACAATGCATCATGAGTAAGATCCAACCACGACTTCAAGCTACGATGAAACTGATTTCTTATTACAGAGTCAGTCGCGGTCGCTTGAACAATACCGCCTGTGACAGCGAACGGCCAGACCTTGGACGTCTTTTGCACACCCAATCTCTCGCATTTTCGGGTTCCCACCCCAAGAAAAAAAGAGAAGGAGTGGTTCTGCATTACATTCGAGGCACGGTCCAAAGGATAGTTGTAGGCTCACAGCACAGGACGAGCAAACAGACGACGGAAAAAGTCGATGGCGTCAGCCTCAATCCTGCCTCGTCTTGTGCTCTTGCATGAGCCGGAGCGCGATCTCTTCGCTGATCTGATCTTCATTCATACAGTGGTACCTCCAAACCAGAAGTTGAGTCAGCAGGATGAAGATTATGAATTTTCGCCATCTCTGGCGTGGCTCCATCAAGAGGAGGCCCTCTCAGGGACAAGAATCTGGGCATACAGCTACAGCTTCCATGATTCGCCCTCACGAAGATCAGAAGCGCTCGACATGAGTCATTTGGCGGAGGATTTTCTGTCCTCGTTACACCGTGAATCCAGTCAGAACGATACGTCACCAAATATCGGTGCTGTTCCTATCATCTTCGTGAGCCACGGTCTTGGCGGTTTGTTAGCAAAGCAGGCGTATTTGTTGTGCAGAAATGGCTCGAAGCCCGACTTCGACCTCATTACTCAATCAATAGTGGCTTTCGTCTTCTTCTCGACACCCCACCGTGGCGTTGACCGCTTCGAAGTCCTCAGGGCTGTGTTAGATAAATGCGTTCCTGCTTGGTGGTCAAAGCTCGACATGCTATCGTTGCAAATATACGCGCAGGCACTTTCTGAAATCAACGACCGTTTCTCACACCTGGTCCCTCACGTAGACATAGTGTCGTTTTACGAAGACAATTCCGCCGGTACAAATTCAGCCTTACTGCCTGTTCTTCAGCAAGAGACCGCGACTCTTGGCTCCGCAACCGAAAAATGTATAGAACTGGCTGCTGGTTCGGCACCTATCTCTAGCTTTACATCTATATCGTTTCCGGATTACGAAAAAGTGCGGGATGTCCTCAGATACCTTGTTGAGAAGTTTAGGCGTTATCCTCCATCAACTTCGCGCAGTTCTGCCGAGCAGGATTTGCCTCGCATAGCCGAATTTCTTGGGGTCGAAGGACCGCCAGAGGATGATCACAACTGGTATGCCGAAAAACGTGTTAGTGGCACATGCGACTTCGCCTTGAGGCATGAAGCCTTCACCTCCTGGTCAAAGGATATCTCGAACACGTTAAGTGTATTGTACTGTTATGGCAGGCCTGGCTCAGGCAAGTCTGTAACGACCTCACACATTGTTGACCACTTAGTGGAAAGAGATTTACCATGTGCTTACTACTACTTCCGGGCGGGCGACCACGTCAAAAACAATCTAATACTTTTCGTGCTTTCTCTGGCTTTTCAAATTGCTACCTTTGACATCAATTACAGAAACAGGCTGTGCCGGCTCGCTGACGATGGTTTCAACATCAGCAAATTTGGCTACAAAATGCTGTGGAAGAAACTTGTCATAACAAACTTGATAAAAGTTCGTCTACCCAACCCAATATATGTTGTAGTCGATGGTGTGGACGAGTTGGACGCCGCTGTATCAAAGGAACTCATCTCGAAACTCTTTTTGGAACTTTCGAATGTCTATCAACCTCTAAGGTTACTCATTGTGAGCAGGCCGATGGACACTATTGAGACAGCTGTGGATCGTCTTGCGCGCCACCTGCAGCCCGCAATTCAACTACAAAAGATGGCCTTTGATGGACACGAAGACGATGTTCAAATCTATGTTGAGGAGGAGATGCAGGCTATGCCTGGCGATGATTCTTTCAAGCAACAGACATATCATCGGATCATACAGAAGGCTGATGGTAACTTTCTTTGGGCACACCTCGTGGTACGTGAAATCTTGGAATGTAGCCGGGAAGATGACGTCGAGGATGCCCTTAACACTGTGCCAGAGGAATTGGACCCTCTGTACTCACGAATGGACCAACGGCAAGCAGACGCATTACAACACAGACGAAACGACAAAAGGTTAGGTCAAAGTATCCTTACGTGGGCATGCTGCTCAAGGTATCCCTTAGCACTAAAAGAGCTTTCAGAGGCTCTAAGTCCCGAATTCGAGCGCATAATTGACATTCCTCAAACTATTCAAAAGTTATGTGGAGGATTTGTTGTGGTGGACAAGAAGCTGCATCTCAGCATGATGCATGCTTCAGCCAGGGACTTCTTACTATCACAGCCAAAACTCAATTACTACATCCAACCCGACAAAGCTCACCAGAAGCTCTTTCACAAATGTGTTCAAAGACTCATTACGTGCCACGCTGACGTACGGCAAGTCCTCAAAAGGTCGGAAGGTTTCGTCAAATATGCGGCAGAGTCTTGGCCCTTTCACCTTGCCTCAAGCTGTGGTTGGCTCGACCAAGACTCATTGTCCATGCTGGTGGAACTCTTTCGGCAACGTGCAGTCCTTGACTGGATTTGCATACTTGGCAGTGCCCGTCGACTCAGAGTCTTGGTGGATGCCTCGAAGGCTTTAACGACATTTCTCCAGATCGTGGGGACCATAGACAAGAACAGGATCCGCTCCAACATCAAATCGCGGACAGAGAATACCTATCTCTATGGGCTCAAGACCTACTGCGTATCGTTGGGAAATTTGGTTCACAGATACTTCTATACACAACATCTATATACGATTTGATCCCAGCCTTCTGTGCGAAGAATTCAGCGATATACAGGAAGTTCGTTGCAGACACGCCGGCATCGTCCCTGACCATTCGAGGGTCAACCTCTCAGGATTGGGATGATTGCCTTGCAAAATTCGTTGTTCCTGGACAAAGTTTGCCTCAGAGCATAACCGGGCTGGATCGCCACTTTGCGATACTTACTGGTGATGGCATCGTCCGTTTGTTCTACTCGAGCACTTACGAGGAAGCACGATCGTTCCTGCATGGTGAGCCCGTGCTTGCAATGTGCTTTACTACCTTGGGTGATCGCCTTGCCACATGTGGTCTTCGCAAGACCAAGATTTGGGATACTACAACAGCCAGACCTTTGTGCACAATAGACAATCCACCTTACACAAAAGCACTTTCAATATGTTTCAAGGTCGGAGATGAGAATGTGGAGGCGATTCAGATGTTTTCAGACGATGCCTTGATCAGATCTTGCTCGATGGCTGCAGCTCATCTTACCTGGAAGATTGTGGGACCTTGCAAATCTGGTCTCGACCCACACGAACGAACTAATTCGCCAAGGAACGCTCAATTCAGCCCGGACGGCTCTCAGATTGCTGTCAACTACCGTGGTGTGCACCCAACGGTATGGTCTCTTGACAGCGAACGTCCTCAGATGGTATCACAGTGCCAAGGGAGGTCTGCTGCTTATCTTGCATTTTCACGGAAAGATGCAAATTTCGTGGATGCGCAAGCCTTCTACTGGCATCCAATCAGTGGTCATCTGCTTGGAATCTACAACGACGGTTGTGTATTCAAATGGCATCCCACAAGTGGTGAACATCACCAATCTGATATCGGCTGTAATGGCATAAAGTGCAACACAGACGGGAAACTCTTTGTCACAAGTAGTGGCGATGGAACACTACGCATATGGGACTTCGAGCATTTTGCTCCAATCTACGAGTTGACCTACACCCAAGGTATACGCGATATATGTATCGATTGGAATGAAGCTCGCATATACGATATTCGCGACATGTATTGTCACGCCTGGCAACCTAGTGCACTGCTTCGACTGTTGGAATCAGACGACAGAATTAGCGACGCAATCAGTAGTCAGGATAGTACATATCAACTCTCTCTGGCTGAAGCACAGCAACAGAATGGCGAGCAGATCACCGCCCTACTGGTCCTTGGCTCTCAAGATCGCTTCGTTGTAGGTGATGAAGCAGGGCAGGCATATCTTTGTAATTTCGAAGGCAAGAAGGTAGCAAAACTTGCCGAAGGTTATATTGGTATTGAACACATTGCTTGCTGCCAAGGTTATGATGTTGTAGCCGTGGCAGATCTTGGTCGGGATGTCACAATCAGGAGCATTCTTGAGATTGACAAATATGATTCTGACAGTGTCGCTGGAAACTTGTCGTGGTCTGTCAGCGAGCCAAGCAGTATTACTCAACTCTTATTCCATGCAGAAGGCAAAATGCTTCTGGTAAGCACAAAGGCTGGCCTTCGAATCTATGATATCAGCCAACAGTTGCTGCTCAGTGAGTCGAAAGATATGCAGCAATATTACTGGCTGAATCATGCTGAAGACAGCTCGCTTCTGCTGGGTATTGGTACTGGTGGCATGCAAATCACATCGTGGCACGATCTGAGCGATGCTAGCATCTATCGCTATGATAGGTCGTATGTGCCACAGCTAATACCGCCTATAATTCCCGAGAATTCTCCACCTTCATCCCAAAGAGCTGAACGTGAAAGCGCTAAAGACAGCATCTTCGTGGAAAGAGTTTTGGTCTCTCCTGACAGCAAGTACTACTATGTTCAAACTCGGTCTCGCGACCCACGTGTTACTCGCCGTCACGGGTCCTTCTTCATGAAGTTGCAGCACAAATCCCGGCCTGAGAAACGCTGGCGTATCCCTACTACGCCGTTGACGTCAAACCTAATTGAAAACCTCAATTTTGGGTTAGGTTTCGTTGCAATTGACCACAGGTCGACCTCGTCATCCAGACGATCTTCCGCACCTGCAATGCTTAACACAAGACGAGTAGTGCCACGCCCACACCCTCATGAACGAATTTTTGCTTTCATCGACCATAATTACTGGGTGTGCACGGTAAACCTTGGTTCAGATGACAATACACTGTGTTGTATCCGAAAACATTTCTTCCTGCCTCGCGATTGGCAAAACGCTGAATGGCTGGCATCAGCAGCAATTACGAAGACGGGAGTATTCCTGTGCCCCAGAAACGGCGAAGTTGTGGTTGTCTCAGATGGATTGACCTACGAATGGATAGATAATTAGAGCTTCGGACACCACATACACATGATTCACGGTACCTTTTATCCCAAGTGCTGTAGGCGGCGCCTGGCGTTGATATGGCTAAACAGAATTGATTGTGTCATACGTATTGCGGCTATGCTTGATTGCTTGCATCTCTGATGAGGTACCAGACGTCATCCAAGGGGGATGCTGAGTGTTCGACCTCTTGTGTATTCCCGCGCTTGCACGAAGCTGTTTTTTGATAAATGAACCACGTATAGTAGGAATGATCCGAACCCTCGAGCTGATCCGGTCCAATAAACCTTACCAGTACTTGTACAGTAACCAATGAACCTACAGTGACTGGCGCGACACTCGCAGCGGTAACTACTAGTACTTTAGCGCGTTCCCCCGTTGTTGCAGCTTACCGTGGCACATTTTTGCCGTCATAATTATGCACCACGTACACGCCTTGAGAGCTTAAAATTAATGACTATACCTCTTCATCATCTTCGGCTTACACACGCAGACTGCTGGAAGGAACCTGGTCGTGGCTCACGGTCTTGGGCTCACGGTCTTGCGTAATCGAATAGGGCAGCGATAACGTGAACCTTCATATTTGAGGAATAGAGAAGCATATGGCTGCTTGTTTGAGTCAGCAGTCGCATTGCTGGCACGCGTACCGACTTTGTTGTTCGTTGCTGGAACTTCATGATCATCAAGTCTTGATCACAGTCAATGGCCGGTTTTGACTACTCGCGACTAGATCCCAGCCTAGCAGAAGTGCGCATTGTGACCGTTGACTGTGGGGCACGGTCGCCAGGGCTGACATGCACGCTGGAGAATATTACGTTGGACCGGGCCAACCCATTCCATGCGTTGTCGTACACATGGGGAGACACCCACGACTTGCGTACCATCACGTTGAATGGCCAGCATGTACAGATTCGGAAAAATCTATACCAATTCCTCAGCAACTTATACACTGCTTTGCGAAGTCCTGTTAAGGTCTGGATTGACTCTATCTGCATAAACCAGAATGACATTGCAGAGCGCAACTCTCAGGTCGCTATGATGGGCGAAATTTATGCCGCAGCTGATTCAGTTTATGCATGGCTTGGTATGCCAACAGGAGACAGCCATAAGGTATTCGGGTTTGTGGAAAGGTCGAGCTCACTACGCTCGCAGCGCGAGCCATATTGGAAAATCCTTCACAGTGATCCCATCGCAATTGAGGCTTTGCACGATCTGGTCAACCGGCCGTATTGGACCAGGTTGTGGATCGTCCAAGAAGTCGTTCTAGCGAAACGTCTGTTTCTGTTTTGTGGGCCTAAATCTATAAGCTGGGAAGATTTCCTATTCGTACTTGCTGGGACTAAATGGCAGATCCCGTCGTCGACAGGACAGAAAAGTTCCTCGGAAGCACTACGATTGATACACAACCTTCGTAGGTCCCGGGAGTCCTCGAGTGCAATGCCTTTGTCGGCGTTAGTGCGTCAATACAGGATGGCAGAGTGTCAGGACGGTAGGGACAAGATATACGGACTTCTAGCAATAGCTACCATAGAATCGAAACGCCGAGTAACGATTGATTACAACAAGCATCTTTTGCAAGTGCTCATCGAAACTTTCCATGCCTGGGCGTCTGACTGGATCCTTGATCAGGACAACAGCCTAAAGACGTGGCACCAACAATACTCCTTCACACCCACACTTTTCTGTCAACAACTCAGCCTTCTGTTCCCTGATCCGGTTCTCATCGAGCTTTGCGAGAAACCTGGAGTCCGTGCCACTATGTGTACGAAGGTAAGCCTGAAAGGTATTTGGCAGAAGGAGCCTCTTGACCTCAGACCTATCGCCACGATACTACCAGGAAAACAAGATTTGGTCCCGAATACAACCGCCAACACGGCATCTTCGGAATCATCTACAAATACCGTCTCACATATGGTGGCTGCCAACGGTTTCAGCAGCTTTATATACACCACTGTTATGCCTCTACCTGGTGACAGGTTCCTGGATCTGGGAGCAATTTTTCTCATTATCCGCCATAAAGAATCTGGACCATCCATTGTAGGAAGAGGTATCCAGCAAAGAGGCTCATCTATTGAATCATTCTTGGATCCTCATCGATGGAGTGCCCAAATTTTGCCCGATAGCATCTTTAGATTGAGCTCCTCACCTGGTATCGACTGCAAGTCGCAGATTATGCATAAGGACCGTCCTTCGAGCACGAATTGCGATGGCATGAATGTAGTACTGAACGCTGCTGCGCTCGTAGAGTTACTGGTTGCCATAAAAAGGCAGGATCGTACTTGGCGACCATACAGTTTTGGATTGCGCCATGCCATCGTGGACCTATGCACAGAGTGCCGTCTGAACTTACACTCTACAACGTTCCTCACAGTACTCGGGTATAAATCCTGTCAATGTCTTTGGACAGGTGGCGAACAGCCTCTTTCGAAGCAGCTACTGCAAGTACAGCGCCATTGCTCTATTCTCGATCAGACACGGGCTGCAATGTCTACGACACCAAGCCCATGAATCAGGACGTTGCCCATTTCTTAGTTCGATGGTTGCCGCTCAACCGCTCAGCAGGTTGTCGAATTCTAGCAGGACCGAAAAGCCGTTTCCTACATTACACGAGCTGGCTTTCACACTGGCAGGAAATGGCAGTCTTTCTTGTCGAAGCACAGATGGTGCTGGGATCGAAACCAAGAGCTTTTTAATCTCTGTAACCTTCAGACATCCTCGGTGAGCAGACTCTGATAGGAGGGCAAGCTGCATGGCATCGTGAGGCAGCTCAATACACCAATATTACTACGGTTCGATAAAGCTACTGACATGATCTCTCTCGATAATCTACCCGAACCTCGGAGGTCCATAACTGTTGGTGCTCGTTCAAGCAAGAAGCACTCGAACGAGTTTGTCCGTGATCTGAGGCACTTTGGGCTGAAGATTAGCCTTCCTCCGCTCATGAAGCACGAGCGGTGGAATACCGATTCACCTCTAGCTCAAAACTGCCTCAGTCGCATCAACACAACTCAAGGGATTCAAGCTTGCCAGACTATTGTCGACACCATCTGTGAGCAACGTCTAAATGACACAGTCGAAGCTGTCGCCGGTCTCGTCTATGAAGGGATAGAGCAACAGTTTCCTGGCGATCCTCAGAACCCTGGTCGAGCTGCTATCTACCACCAGGTCATGGCTCAGAAGAAGCTGACTGTTATTACGCGAGACAATCAGACATATACTGAGCTCTCCCTCGAAGGCAGGACTTTCCCAGCCAAAGAGGCTATTATCAGTGTTACTGAGCAAATGTTACAGGAGACGGGACCAACTTCACCTTTGTTTCAAAGTGTAGCATGCCTTCTCTATGAGTGGCATGAGAAGGCAGGCTACAACGTTCATCCTACTGTCATCAAACACGTACTCAATGCTGCCGCGACGAACCTCGACTTTCACTTCGACAATAGACATATACTTGGTCAGTTCTGGCGGACGAAGCAGCACCTGCTATTAGTTCTCCAGGAATTCCGCAAGTACCAACCGCCTGAGTTGCCATCTACTGACAATGGTGGTTCTGGAGTGGGAAAGATTACCTTCAAAGTGTGGTCTGTCGTCAAAGACACCATTCCTCTGCCTGCAGCTTCGTGGCTGCACCACAAGCTCAAAAAGTTTTACGCTTCCGACTCATCTGGTGTGCATGGCAGAAACCGAACGCCGAAGATCATGGCTGGGATCATTCCACGACTGCAAAAACATATCGACGATGTCGTCGGCAAGAACAACTGTGGCGATTACGACATCGTCGTCCACAAAAAAGGCCAACGATTGTTGCCTCCCGAGAAGGATGTCGTGTACAATGTGGCTATTCAGTTTGTGCTTGGAGCAACTCAGGTTCCCGGCACTCCTGGGGCTCGATCACAGGATCCAACCTACCATGCCGAGAACATCGCCTCCGTTTCGATGAAAGGCTTCAAGAGCACGTTCGGCCGAACAGACTTCGTGCACAAGGTCTTCCGGACCAAGAAAAAGCTACTTACAATGCTTGACACTGGTGGCGGTCTCAAGCCATTGATCATGGGTATCAAGGCGGCTATTCCGGCAGTCAACCGCTTGCAGCCAGAAGAGAGGACCTACCTTAAGACCCGAAAGCTTTTATTGGCAGCTGTTGAGCGATACAAAGCCGAAGATCCGCGAAAGCCGAAGGCAAAGAAAGGAAAGCGATGGCGACGAAGACGGTGAGGGTAGGAGATATTTGTGATGGCAATGAATCCGAGCTAGCCGTCATAATTTGATGGATGGTCTGTGTCGTGAGATTTCGTGGTCTCTACATGTAGCAGCACAGTATGGTCTACAGTCAGAACCACTACCACTATCATGCCTATCAGCTTCACCAGAAACTCTTTGTATCTCCACATCCAATCATCTCAGGAAGAGCCGTGACATCAAGATCTAGACAACGAGTGAGCATGTAGACAGATCAGTGGTCGAAAGCATGAAATAGCTTTTCACGAGAACAACCACAACGTAGACAAAGAGCGGAGAATGTAAAGATTTCAGCGGGTATGAGCCAGGGACACGAACGACGGATGAACGAACCAGTTTGCAAGATTATACTCATCTAGCCACAGCGGCGTCTAGCTTAGCTGTGCTAATAGACCCCGACCTGGTTTCAGAAATGCTTTCTTAGGCTTTCTCACTAAGACCCAGAATATCCAGCATATCCGGGAATAATGGAGTTCCGAAACCACTGGCCAGATCCCATCCTTCCTTGGCAGCAAAACCAGTAGTTCCGCATCCACTCGATGATCCATTTGTGATATCTTTGAAAGCCTGAGCGCCTGCCCCAGTATATAGCCACGGATTGAGGAAGCCAAGCGGCGACTGACCAGCAGCCATTAGAGCATCATTCACCAGTGCGATGACACTTGCTACCGTTGGACTGGAAGCACTTGTGCCGTCAAGGGTTACGATGATCCCATCCACCATGATGAGGTATCTATAGCCCTGTGCTGCGACATCGGGATATGCTCGGCCAGACTTATTGTACAGGCCATCATGCAAGCCATCGAGCGTTTCGATATACTTGTCAACGACACCAGATTCCTTTTGGTACGTAGGCTGAGCGAAATAGTTAGAAAAGCCACTTCCACTGACATATCCGTTGGCTGGATCGTAAGCCACCACCTCTGGATAATCTCTGGTGCCACCAACAGCTGTGACATAGGGACAGGAGGCAGGGAACGCGGGCAAGAACTTAGTCGTGTTCTTGCCGTCGTTGGACAGACAAGTGCCGTCAGTGCCCACACCGAAGTCACCACTGCTGAACAACACTGATACACCTCGTAGGCCCAGTTGACCGAAGCGTTGGCAGGCAAGCTCTGCAAAAGACTGCTCAACCGACTGTTCACTATCGCCATAAGACACACTAATCGTTTGTGGTAGGTCTTCTTGAGACAAAAGACTGTCGAGCCAATCTAAATATGGTTCATTGGTGTTGGTAGGGGTGGCCAAGTCAGGTTGGAATGGAGGGCTGCCACCAGTCGAGTACGACGTGATCTTCATTGGATATGTCTGCCCGATGATAGTTTGTAGATCGAGGTTACCCTCACTGCCAGCTGTCGCATTACCGTCATCAATTGGACCGTTGTTGATAGAGATTTGCTCAAAGGTCTGAGCTGCCGACACTGCCTCGGGCCTCAAACGCTGCAACCAGGCCGTGGCATCGGCACGAGTGGGCACCTCGCCAAGGAAGTTTGCGAAGGCTATATGAGATGTTGGAGACTGGGATGTGTAATTGTAGGTACCGTATAGCAGTCGTAGACAGGCTGGACTCATGCCTGAAAAGTTGCATGTTCCTGGGATACTTGTGCCATTCGGGACGTAGTCATCGATGTTAAGATCCTGTGCTGGGCTCTCCATCACTGTCTTCAGCTTGGGCGATGCTCTGAGGAAGGAAGTGGTAGGTTGAACGGTGCTGATGTGCTCGTGTAAGTGCTGCGGCAGCGACCACTTGGTTGTTCGAACCAACGAAGATCCATCTTCATGTATGTAGGTGGCGTATTCTGTATCCAGCAACTCTTCTACTTGCGAGACAGGCAGTGTGACCGAAACCCAATCTCTGGCCGAGCTGTACTTGCGTTGAGACCCTGCTATGCCATTATCTTGCAGCCATTTGTCAACGAGTGCTGACGCATCATCGTCTGGTCTGATCAGATCATCAACCTGTTCTCGAGAAAGGTGTTGTCGGTATCTATGGTGGGTAGGTAGAGAGATTTCGTAGAGATGACGTTCCAGGTCGGCGAATCTCTTGTTCTTGAGACCAATCTTTAGGTCGACCAAGTGGTTTGGGTGTGGTTTACCAGCATCAGACCATCCTCTGGGTACGAAGTGAGTTTCTTTCACTGCGTAGGTAGACCGGCTGTTGAGAGGTGGTACTGGTGAAGCGGAGACTGTCTGAAGGGAGAAAAAGACTGCTACTACAGTTGAAAAAATATGCATAATGTCGGCTTCTTTACTGTACAAGCAATGGTAATGGCTGACAAACCTCTGCTCGACCGCCGAAGCCTTTGAGACGGGGATATATCTTGTGTGGTAACAATATGGATTTACCTGCACAGACTCGTTCTGCAACTCCAAAATTCGAGTGACACTGGTACCTGCAGCAATCGGTTCGCGGATAGCGTCATAGTGTAGTATTGGCATTACTAGTGCCTCCATCTATAGGCCTATCGGAAGTTTTGCATCAGGTCTAGCTTCTGCGGTTTCCTTCGTAACGAGCGCGAGAGGCTGTCGTCAAATGCTTCGCTTGCTTCTAGTGCTTCTTCCTCTGCTTGTCATTTGCACATCTACCAATCATGGCTTCTTACCACTGCGACACTTTCAGAATTGTAGAAATGTTCACTTGTGCTCCAGTACTGGCAGAGTTCGAAATATCACGTTTCTGTGCAGCGCCCAATTTGACCCTTGACTGACGGGAGTGTGACCGCACAGCCACTTCTGCCGATCTGACGTTGCACAGACGCTTGCAAGATGACTTGCTCCGAAATTGCAGGTCGAAAACAATTGTGCAGTTGTCCTATCAATACACCTCGGTTAGAAACAGAGACCATACGTGTATCGCAAGAGTCTCTCGAATCGCGTCCAGTAACACGAGCTGGTGGTTTAGTGGTGAACGCAACATTACATTCATGGCCCCAGCATTCTTAAGTGCTGCCACTCATGAAGCAAAATCACGATCCTGGGACACATATCGCCCGCGTCGAGATCAGATTCAGTATGGTCTTGTTGGGCTCTCACCAGGTATGCAGGTGACGAGACGTATCGCAGGTCGATACTGTACTGCTGGTACACCTCGGGAGGTCGCGTCTTCCAATCTCATATTGCAAAGTTGCATATGTGGCTACTACCTAGGATGGCCTGGCCGACTAGGCACATAGTAGCGTCTTGCGCCTTGTCCATAGCGGTCGCGATACTGTATTAACTTGAATACGCACTCGACCACAGCACTCCGCCAGAATTGTATATACCTAGCAGAGTCTGATGAAAAGTGCTAGCTTCGACTAAGCTGCGCTTCCTCTGAGCATGGTTACGGTCGGTCATAGTGTATGCTCGTCTCCAATATACCCGCGTAATGTTCACGTATCTTGGCTTCATCGTTTACCCAAACGCATTTTTCTGCCAATGGAGAACCCCGACATTGCAATCATGAAGGAAGCGACAAACGATTTGTCCTTACCACAGCTATTTGTAAGGCAATTCATACTTGACCCAAGCGTCATAAAGCTCCTACAGAATGGACATCACTAAGCCCATCGACAACCTGTTCTCAGCCAAAGACCTCGTGGTCGTCATTACTGGTGGTGGAAGTGGTACGTATGCCCAGCCGTAGTGGCCGCCCTCCTTCAGTCCATTTCCTGATGTCCTTCCCAGGCATTGGTCTGGCCTTCGCTTCTGCACTCGCAAAGGGCAATGCATCAAAAGTCTTCCTGCTGGGTCGGCGATTGCCCGTTCTTGAAGAAGCTGCCAATGGCATAAATCCCGACATCGTCCAAGCAGTACAATGCGACGTCACGGACCCTTCCTCGATCAGCGCTGCAGTCTCGCAGATCGGGAAGCAGACCTCGTATATCGATGTCCTTATCAACAATGCCGGTATCGAAGGTCCAGACCACAAACAGATCAAGGCCGCGAACACCATTGCAGAGCTACAGGCTGAGATGCTGAAAGAATGGGATCTCTGGACACCGACATGGCAGACGAACACTGCAGCTGTGATTGCTGTTACCGGCGCATTCTTGCACCTCCTCGATGCAGGCAACAAGCGTCGTGGCTGGGTCGAGAACAAAAGAGAGGTGCAACAGCGCGTCGACGGGTATACTGGAGACCTGAGTGACACAAGGACAAGCCAGATCATCACGGTGACTAGTATTTCTAGTTTCAACAGAGAGATCACAGCTAGCCTAGCATACACCGCAAGTAAAGCTGGAGCTACGGTTCTCGGAAAGAGTCTGGCAAACTTGCTTGCACCATTTGGAATCAGAAGTAACATAATCGCACCAGGTAGGTTTCCTAGTGCTATGACTGCTGGGGCCGAGACAGTATACCCTGTCAACAAAGTGCCTGCTGGAGTTCCCGGTCAGTTTGAGGACATGGCTGGCGTCGTTCTGTATCTTGTGAGCAGAGCAGGAGCATACGTGAATGGAAACGTGCAGGTGTGCGATGGAGGTCGTCTTTCTGTCATGCCTGCTATGTACTAGCACATCCATGTTCTACCACTATGAATACACTGCGATGAGGTAGACCTTGACATTTTAGGATAGCTGATATTTATAACCTGCTTGGTACATTGGCAGACAACGAAGAGTGCCTGCCAAGTAACAAGCTCTGTGCTAGTGCTCCGTGAGTGTCCTCATGTCTATTGTACTGTCTCGCTTCTGCATGATCTCGGGGTAGATATCCTGTAGACAGCAAAACCATTCCTCAAGCTCGACAGCCCACGCCCTACTTCTTCGTATAATTATCAATCGTATCCCCTGACCCCTCCTCCTTCAACGGCTCACCACCCATCTCCTTCTTCCCCCCCTCTCCAGCCTTCGACGACCCAGGTCCCTCCGTCTGAAACCCCGTCGATCTCTCCGGACTCTTCTGCGGATCAGCCTGCTTCGCTGGGTGATCTCCCTGTTCACTAGAAGTCGTCTGAGCAGCTGCTTCCTTCTGGCCCTTTTTCTGGTCGTTATTAGGGTCGTTGTTCTCTTTGGTTTGGTCGACTACCACGTTTCGGGACGAGGATGAGGCGCTGGAGGCGGCGAAACGGCGTTGTGGTCGGAGGAGGAGGAGGGAGGACCGGGTCGGGTGAAGAGCTGTGAGTGTGAAGGATGGGATGCGAGGCATTGTGAGTTAGGTTCTGTGGTATGAAGGTGTTTGAGGTTGGTGGTGTTGAGTTTTGAGCTTGAATATAGCTCTCGTGTTTTATCAGTGTAGCTTGTATCTAAATTAGTAGAATAGCTGCGCTCCAGGAACAACTGTAGCTCGCGTGGATTGTGTCATCATCATGATACAGACTCGGGACTCGGAGAACAAGTCCGCGAAGGTCTTTTTCGACGCCATTGAACCTGGCAAGGAATCTGTGTTCCTTGAGGTTCAAGACGTCGTACAACACTCTATGGTGACATTGCAGAGTGATAGATCGGTGCACGAAGAACCAGAGAGCGCTAGTGTGCACGGTATGGTGGCAAATAGTACGACCGAAATTGCAAGAGTGAAGAAGCGGCCATTTCATCGTCCATCGGAAACAACTGGATTATGCCCCATAGATAAGTGGTAAGGAAATCAGCACTTGTTAGGATACGAATACAAGTATGTCTCAAAGTTCGAGCAACGAAGTGCACAGGTATTAGCTAGACTCTATATGCCTTCCCAGTATATCTCAACCTTGATCTTCCTGCTTCCCCAGCCATCATCAGTCCATAACTCAACCTGCTGCGCCTTTCTGGGTATCTTCTCCGCATAGAATGTCGATTTGTGCTGTGCACCGAGTGTCAACCGCTTTGCGGCTTCCGTATGTTGCTTGCTAACTGAAGCATCATTACTGAGGATACTCTGGAATGGCAAATCGTCGGAGCAAGCAAAGTACATGGATCCGACTGTGTCAGTAACCTCTTCATTGTCGCCGTTGTCGTCACTGGCCACTGTAGGCGACGTGGAGCGGGAGCCCTCAACGAAGGAGCATGGCGCAAATCTGGAAGCGAGGGTGAAAAGATGGTAGTCCTCATCGTCTCGATTGATTAGGTGCTCTGTCGATGGTGCTTTGACATCGTCATGTGCAGTAAAAATAGCACATGAAGTAAGGCTGTGCGACATGTACCATGTTCCTTTCCGAATCAGACACCCTGTATATCTGGTAGGAATTGGTTGTCGCGTTGCAGATTCCAAGTCCTCAGACTGAGCAGAGCTTTCTGCCAATGGCTTCTGTTCACCCAGATTCTCTACCATACTCTCATCAGATACAACCTTGACCATCATTCTTCCTTGACCCACAAATGGTTTCGTGGTTGCTCCTGGCGTATGAGTAGCAGTGGCTGTCGCGGTATGCGTATGAGTCATCGTAGAACTTGGTGGTTGTTCAAGGCCGTGCTTGGGCAAGTACTTAATACCTGTAGCTGGGCAGTTCGATACCTGACCCTGTGGACTGGCTGGGACCCAAGTATTCCATTGCTTGTTACCGTCCCACCACAGATCCATTGCGTCACGAAGGGAGGCTCGGACATGGAAAGAATACCAGATCTCTGATAACTCGTTGTGGTTGCGGCATTTGATTGTAGCATCTGCACCGTGTGGTGAATCTTGAATCGCTCGTTGCAAGTGGTCGAGCTCATAGGTTTTGTCATGCGACGGCACGATTCCATGACGCTCAAAGAAATCGTAGGTTGGTAGAGAGCTGTAAAGTAATGCTGCATGTGTGAAATAGTCGAGAACATCTCCATTCGATCCTTCACTAGCCGACCTCGTGCTCGACTGATGGTTCTCATAGCACTTCGGCCGCAATGTTGATATGCAAGTCCCGTGCTTATTCCATTCATGAGTCCAAAGATGTGCATTGTTAGAGTCGAGCGATAGCCAATGTTTTGTCATGAACTCCAGCAAGCCTGGTCGTGTACCGCCGACGACTTGTGCTGTGCTTGCATTGGACAAGATCCCTATTATGGCCTCGGCCGAATGAGTCCTGGAGGAATCGCAATATGCATCAAACCCGCCATCACACCAATCTGGCCAAAGACCATGAATTGTCCACGAAGTAGGACCTCCTTGCGGTGGTTCTGTGTCCCAGAATTGAGTCTGGAGAAAATGTCCGGAAGGGTCGTTGATGCAGCACCCGTCCAAGTTGGGCACTGATTTCAGCGAGCATGACACGGCTGGTATGCATATCGCGGAGTCGATAGTTGGAATGCGATGTTCAGAGTCACGTCCAGCATTAAGACGGGATTCGACGCGAAGCACCAAGAATTGGAGAAGCAGCTGCAGCATGAATATTCGTGTCTCCATTGCGCCAGCAGGAGTTTGATACACTATGCAGGGAAAGAATATGAATACGTGCGCAGGATGTGCAAAGAACGAAGTTGTGATACTACAAGAGACTGACAGCAAAGACGATGAATAGAGGGAAATAATGGGATGGTGAGCCAGAAGCAGGTGACCTCCCTGTTACAAGGCTTGGCGATTTTTCCAGGTGACATTCCTCTAGTACTTGAGCCTTTGCGCATACACCAAGCAAACTAGTACCAGGAATAACCATAATCAGACGATACTAGAATAGCGGAAACATTTACATTGAGTCCTATCTGTATATATTGCACGAGTGGTACACATCATCTCTATGTGTCTACTACCTACCTGATAATTCCACGCAGGTCATGAATCCCAAACAATGGCCGTTTAAATGAGTATCTTTTGGAGCCACTCAAATGCTGCTGCGAAAACGCCTGTCAACCATCCAATGATAGCCATACCGCTCGAAACTGTAATACAACATTTCATGGCATCATTAAAGACCTCTACAGATCCTGAATGCGAAGGTCAAACAACCTTAACAAGGCCTGTGGTTTGGATAAGGAGGAGGACCTTGTGCCCCATTTGCGTAGTTCTGCTGGAACCAATCGCTATCCCAATAATTTTGTACAACTTGTGGGCCAGAGTGTTGTCAATCATAGCCTGCTCCTCTCTGCCAAGGACTCGTAGCACGATCTTGTGGTCTGTTGAAGTTTTGAGGAGGATAGTTGGAGTGTGCGGATCGAGGAGGGCCATATTGGCCAGGCATAGGCCTAGAGAATGATTGCGGCGATGCTCGAGGGCCAGGAGATGTATTCGGTCTTGATAAATTGTAGGCTGATGATGTTTGCTGCATTTGAGGTGGAACAGGAGACATCGATGGTGGAGGCGCGTGTTGTGGCGCATATACGTTTCCGCCTTGCAATGCCTGGCTTGACAAATTTCTGTTTGATTCCACAGTTGAGTGGTTCAAAGAGCCTGTCGACGAAGTGTCGTCCTGCAGCTCTTTTGACTTGTCGGTGTATGGACCCTTGCCATCGCCTCGAGCAGTTGCACCAAGTGCATCTAACTCGGTCGTGAGAGCTGATTGGGACTTGATGAAGCTTCCTCGATCATCACGCATTGGTTGATATCTAGTCTCGGGGTTCTTCGAGGCAATCGCGTAGATTGAAGATACAAGAACCATAATTAGTAACACGAAGATGAAGATGATATTGTAAACAGCAAAGATCACACCCATGACTCCAGAAACCATCGGTGGTTGGCCAAAGGCATTCGAGAAGATTAGGAGGAATATGGCGTTTAGGAAGTTGACGGCGGCGATCGAGATATTAAACACGTTCGTCTTCTTGTCCATCCAGGGTCGAAGCACACTCACAATGATCAAGAAGGCGGCCTCTGTGACGATCAGACCAACAGCCTGAGCAATGGGCGAGCTCTGTGCAAAAGCAATAAAGACTGCCTTGACTAGGATATAGGCCAGGAGGATGATGACGAAGTAGTAAGAGGTCGCTTTGTATGAGACGTAGAGGAAACCCCATTTGTTGAGGCAGGTCGGGTCGGAGTAGAGGATGTAAGCTGGATTTTTGTGCATCTGCACCGATCGCTTAGCCAGAGTCAAGACCCTGAATGAAGCCCAAGCCAGAGCGGTTGCCATGGAGAGGAAAACAATAAGAGCTAGAACAATCTCGGCTACTGAGTCGCGCTCAACGAGCTGCCAGAGGCAAAGGATTGACATCTGCACAAAACCTAGAAGAACCAATCGGAAGAGAATACCTTTGATCACTATTCTCCAGCCGTGTCTGAAATCTCGGAACTTGTCAGACTTCATGATGCCAGCTTTAGCGAATCCTTCGATAATCAGTTTCGCCAGGGCGACACAGATCGAGGCAATAATGAGAATGCCGATGAAGAATATTAAGCCAGTCATGAAGATATTGGTCTGCTCAATGTGCGCACGGAAACCGACTCGGTCAATACCTCGCACGATAACGTTCCTCAGGGTGGTGTCTGTAGTGCTGGAAGTGGTAGTGCTCTGGCGCTTTGAGAGCATCCTCGAGCCCCAAGTGATAGCTGGAGCAAGAGCTTCTAAACCTCGTTTGAGAGCTCGCTTCTTCTTCTCTACCTGTACAGACACAGTGCTCAGGGTAGAAAGGTAAGTAGTTGGAGTGCCTCCGGTAGCTCTCTGGTACCACGTCGCAAGAGTCTGCAGGAAACTGACACGAATGATTCCCATACTCCACTGAAAATTTTGGGTCCATGCCTGAACGATAGGCGGCATTGTAACAGATGTCAAGCCAATGATTGCTTGAGCTTGGAAGACACCAAATAGAGAGACAGCGTTTGCAGCAACGTGAGCAGCTGTATTTGTATTTCCCAAACCTGAGGTAATGCCAGCCGCGATAAGGCCAGCACCTGCAATGATGGCTGTGACCCAACCAACTGCCTTCTGATAGACGCTCTTGGTGTTTGAAAGATCCGCTTCTAGACAAGCAACCATGTTTCCAAAGCCACCAGAATCACTGATGGAATAGACTCTCAGACGAACAACACCATCAAGATCGGGTACTGTATATGCAATGCTTGGAACTTGGCTTAAGGTATCCTCACCGAGTGGAATGGTGGAGGGTGCCAGTGCAAAGGGTCCTTTGGTCATGGGACAAAAACCAGGTAGATCCATTTTGCAGGGGTCAACAGTCTCGTTAACAATGGTGAATCCATAAGCAATTACCTGGACTATGGCAACGATATTGCCTGATATCGAGGAGAATCCATTAATTTCGACGCTCGCGCTTTGGTTCGATGGAGTGAGGGTGAAGTCGAAGAGATCAGCTGTGAATTGCGAGTTGTCCATACAAGTGTTGAGAGAATTCGATTCGATGACATATTGGGCTGAGGTGAAGGTAGAGGAAGCCAACAGCCCAAGGGAGGAGAACAGAGCGCTCTTGCTGAAGCGCATCGTGATGGTAGTCGAACGAGGGAACAGGTATATCTGGTATGCCAACTTGGTATATCACTACAGTTATTCCTCCTGCTCAGAGTGTGGCGAGTCTGTCCAGTCTGCTTTGTATCAGAGGCTTAGAAAGATCGTTCTGTCATCTGTCGTGGCAAGTTGTCGAGGTGAAACGAGTTTGAATCTGAATGGATCGAGTGGCCAAAACTGGTTGCGTCGCAGCGATTGACGACGAGGAATGCAAAGCCGCAGATCCGTCAAGCAGATTACTGACTGACGGTATGCTCGTTTCTCGTCGATTTAACGAGTGTGAAGACACAGGAAATGTTGATGGTGACTAGATAGGTGTAAAACAGGATTCCTCCTCTTCGATGATGAGGTTGCGAGGTGCAGTTGGAACGGAGAGGGCTGGCTGCAAGTCGAGATGTACGAATACCAATGGCAGGAGCCACCGGATCCAGCGCAGCTTGGACTTTCTCAATGGCAGGGGCAAATTCAAGCCCAAACAAACCTAGAGCTCGAATGGTTTGCGCTGCCAAGCTCAAGCGATTCGTTTCCAGCGAGTGTCAGCAGCCCACCCAAATCAGTTTTAGGCTTAGCTTGAATGCCTGTCCACAGTCGGTCTCAGGGGCCCTCTGCCCGACCTTGCACTGCCTCAAAGGACGACGCACAAAAGTCGTGTTTGAGAAGTGACCACAGCACAACGGAGATTGCAATTTCTTTAACAATGTGAGGGCTGCCTGAGTGTGAGTTGATAGAATTATATCTTCGACCCATGGATGGAGAGTTGAGACGGTCTACGGTTGCTCAGACAATGCATCGAGCCAATGCAAGATGTGCGCAAACAATGAGCTCATCACTTGAGAATTGTCCAGCACGCACGCGTCACGCTACGCTAGTCGCCCAGCCCTTACAGAACCGATACTAAAAACATTGCTTGTTCGCTGTGTTTAACGTTAAGTGTGGTGTTCTGTCATCGTTCTTGATATCACCAGGAATTTGCTCGCGTTCACCTGGTGACATTGCACAAGCTATACCGCTGATCACAATTTTGAAATTCACAGATAGATTTACAGTTTACCGTACATAAATTTGGTTTTGATTCGCCAACAAAAACCAAGCGGGCATTAAGGACCTTGGTGGAGTGTCTTGGCAAGCACTGCGTAAATGGCTGCATGCAACCATCTTCTCGAGATTCAGAAATAGCACAAAGTACTTGTTGCCGTTCGAATGTGTAAAACCCACTACATAGCGGCAAACTATTAGCCCTTACTTTTTCATCTGGCGTGCAGACCAGCATCTTCCCCAGATTTTGAAATCCAGGATATGCCGTGCATGCCGAGCCTGCGAGCTTCACGTTGCAGCAACCAATCTCAATCTCAAAAGTGCTTCGGCATATCCAAATCGAAGGAGGATAGGTGGATGTGAATAATTTTCGGAGCTCGCAGGTGTCTCGTTCATCGTCGATTGTGCACGATCGTTGCATGTCAATCTCAACACGTTTGAACCATAGCACTGTAGCAGCACACAGTACTACACATACAGTATATACCCAAGCTTCGACGCCTTACTGATAAGCTAACCATATTTCTTTGTCGAATAGCTGCAGCCGCAATACAGCCGTGCTTCCATACGCGACCACAAAGAGCGGTGGGTACCACGGTAATAGACTCGACAGGTTAGGTATCGATTTCAGCCAAAGGACCCATAAATAGATCAACACTTTCGGATTTTCTGGAAAATACTGTGTCGTTTTCGCTGTATCCAAGGACCTAGAGTAAGTGCATTGTCATTGTAGCTATACATACCGACTGATGGTAGCGGTATCAAAAATGATAGGCTTGGCATTCCGCCTCCGCTATTCTTGAGTACCGAGGCTGCTGAGGCATTACTGAGTCTAGCAACAATTCCATGAATTTCAACCTACGAACTCGAGTCATGATTTGCGCCTACGTATTGAATCTGCAGTAGGAGTGTTTTTCATAGCAATGTGAATTCAGTCAAAGGGACTACCATTGCACAACAAACCTGAACCTCGTGTTTCCCAATTGGCTGCTGCGTAGTTTTGGTGGAAGAACGATTTTGAAAGTCATCTTACGACAATTTTATTCAGTGAATATTTGAGTTGTCAGTACGCTTCGCATTCTCATTTACACTCCCTTTCAGTATAGACACCGAGGAGTTGGATCCATAATCAACGGAACAGTACATCACCAGCATCCTCACCCAACCACATCACCATGGCTCTCTCCCTCCCAGAAACATTCACAAGCGTCACTCTCGCCGAACGACCAAAAGCCAATATAATTCCCGGCACAACGTTCCAAACTAAATCCGACAACAGAACACCATCACCATCCACCCTCAAAGATGGCGAGATTCTTATCAAGACACTCTACCTCTCCCTCGACCCAGCCATGCGAGGCTGGCTTAACAACACCAGGAGCTACATCCCACCAGTCCAAATCGGCGAAGTCATGCGCGGCAGTTCCGTCGGCATCATTCTAGCCTCCAAATCCGCAAACTACAAAACTGGAGATTTGGTCGTGAGTAACTCGGCAGGATGGGTGGAGTATGCAGTCCTCCAAGAGAAGAACTGTGAGAAAGTGCCTGACACAGGTGATGGAAAGAAACGGAGTGCGATTGATGCGCTGAGCGTCGTAGGGATGACGGGACTCACTGCCTATTTCGGTATCTTGAGAGTCGGAGAAGTGAAGAAAGGTGATTTTGTCGTCGTGAGTGGAGCAGCAGGCGCAACAGGTAGTGTTGTCGGACAGATTGCGAAGCTCAAGGGTGCGACAGTACTGGGTATAGCTGGTAGTCCTGAGAAATGCAAATGGTTAACTAAAGAACTGGGATTTGACCAAGCACTAAACTACAAAGACCCGAACCACGCGAAACAGTTCCGTGAAGCTACGAAGAAGAGACTTATCGACGTATATTTTGATAATGTCGGAGGCGAGATCCTGGACCTTGCGCTTAGTCGAGCGGCACCATTTGCTCGATTCGTGATGTGTGGTGGAATCAGTCAGTACAATGAGGCGGTACAAAAAGGACCGAAAAACTATCTGATGATTGTCAGTATGCGTATTCGGATGATCGGATTTATTGTCTTCGACTACGCGAAGGAGTATAGCAGTGCCAGGGAGGAGTTGGCACAATGGGTTCGCGAAGGGAAATTGAAGAGAGGAGAGACCATTCTCGAGGGTGGACTGAAGGAAGCGGAGCGGGGATTGGTCAAACTATATGAAGGTGCAAATACGGGGAAGATGCTTGTCGAGGTTGCGAAGCTCAATGGGACAGAAAAGTCCAAGTTATGAGGAAGGTTGACGATGATACCAGTTGAAGAAGAATATATGCACACATCGACCACAAGAATGTGCTTGAAAGGTAGGAACAGGTAGGAAGAGATGCAACAAACAGTAGGTTAAGTTTCGCAATGTAGATAAGGTATCTATTTCCGAAAAGTACTGTGGTTCCCGAACTTTCTAGTCGTCAAGTGGTTCCGTTGTCCTAATCACACAAGGTATTGAACTTTATATGCCATTTCGCTGTCCGTCAGTGATATCAAACCAATATGTGAGCGTCTCTCTCAACTTTCCAAGACTCAGCGGCTTCGGCAGGAACGCATCCGTACCTGCCGCTATACACTTTTGTTCATGTGAAGGCCCCACGACTGCCGTGACAGCAATAATCACACGCCGACGTCCTTTTGTTGTGCCACGGAACTTGCGGCTGCCTTCTAATTTGCCTTGCTCTTCCATTTCTCTTATTTCTTTTGTGGCCTGAAGGCCATCCTTGCGAGGCATGCTCTGATCCATTAGTATTAAGTCAATATCCGAATCGTGTTCTATAAGCAGATCGATCGCCTCCTGACCATCGTTCGCGACAATCACATCGTAGCCGCATTTTTGTACCATCTTTACTCCCAGCTTTTGGTTGATCTTGTTGTCCTCAACGAGCATAATTGTGAACGACTTTTTTGCATCTTCTGTTACTGCGACAGCTTTTTCGGAGATGGTAGCGTTTGAGCTGGTCGGGGATAGGACGTCGAAGGACGAGGTTGGTTCACCATTCATTATCTCAACATCTTCTGCAAACCTCACTGATGGCTTCCCAACCTCGGCTTTGAAAGGCATATCGCCAATATCTTCGATGCTCTTCATGATTCGGTGCCATACCAGAGGTCGTTTGATAGGCATGATATGAGGGGCCAGGCGTGATCCAAGCACTTGATAGAGACTATTCTCGTTGTCGTACGGCACAAAAGTTAACCACTTTGATTGCGAAGACAGATGACGCAGTAGCTCTGGTTTATGAGCTAAAGTTGGAGCGCTCGCCCAGATGTACTTGATCTGTCTTGACAACTCTTGTAGGCCGACGGTCTTGACCTCAACTCCAAATGCAGCCCAAGCTTTGGTGAGCCCCTCAACTAGTCGAACGTTGTCCTCTTCGAATATAGCTATTTGCGTACCATCGTCCTTTCGAGGATGATCGTCAATACCAGAAGAGGTTTCCATCAATGGGATAGTAACAGTAAAAATACTACCTTGCTTTTCCGGGCCAACACCTGGATCTTCTCGATACTTGCTGTCCACATGTATTGTTCCACGCATTTTAGCTAGCAGCTGCTTGACAATGCTGAGGCCGAGTCCAGTGCCTCTTTCTGCACCTCTTGTCTGTGCTTGCTTGTAGGGCTCGAACAATTGAGGAAGAAAACTTGCAGGTACACCACAACCGGTGTCCTCGACCGAGATAATCAGGTCGTCATTCTTGTTAGTGACCGTAAGCAGTACATAACCGTGTGTCGTGAATTTGCAAGCATTGGAGAGTAGATTGAGTATTATTCGTGTCAGGCTCAACTCATCCATAAATATCGACGATGGCACTTCTGGTGCAACGGCAACCAGAATCTCAACCTCGCTTTCTTCATGCCTAATTGGCAATAGTCCAATGACCGAGTCTATGACATCTCGAATCTGGAGAAACGTAGGTCTATGTGCAGCTTCTCCCTTCTCCAACCTGGACCAGTCCAACACGTTGTTTGTGATCAGTGACAACGTCTTAGTAGCATCTTGGATGGCACGAAGCAGGACTCGACCTTCCTCCGTCAAGTGTTCTCGAGACAAAAGATCGCCATAACCTTGCAGTTGATGTAGAGGCGTCCGAATCTCATGTGAAGCAGAAGCAATGAACTCTGACCTTGCTTGGGCTGCCGCTTCAGCATGCTCTTTCTGTGCTAGGGCAGCCCATAGTTTGCGGCGAGTTCTGATGATATCGGTAAGCTTGTTGCGAGCGATCGTGGCAGAATGCACTAGCAATCCATTAGCAGCCAGGCAGGTCAAGGTTGCAATGGTTACAATTGTCACGGGCAGACCTGTGGGATAACCTCTCTTCTCTTGTGGTTCAGCATTAGTCCAGAAGCGAGCGGCGGACATGCCGGTAAAATGCATGGCTGCCACACCAGTAGTGGCCACCACAGCAAACATGATCTGCTGTATCAAATAGCTCTCCATCTGCGACATCAGGATACAGCCTACAGTGCAGACTACCCATGATATTATGGCTGACAGAAGCACCAGAGCAGGGTGCAGGGTACACCATCCCTCGGGAACTTTCAAAGCCAGAATACCAGCATAGTGCATGCTAGTAATAGCAAGAGACCAGAAGAAGCCCTTCGCAATGTTCTTGAGTGTGATGCCGTGCCATAATCCTGTAAGCATCATCAAGATCGGATTTGCTGCCCTTGCAGGACCGGGTTTCCAGGTCTTTGTACTATTAAGCAGACCAAGACCAAATGAACTGGCCTCCGTACTTAGTGTTGTGTCGGAATACCTTCGCAAATAGGTATAATCACTGGATGTCTCAGTGCCGTAGGCATCATCATCATAATCCTTGTCTTCCTCACCAACATCATCTCCAAGTAATGGTGGGTTGATAGCAGTGCCTAGAAAGGTAGGTGCAGGGTCGAGGCCATCGAAGTGCTTATGTGATGAGCTTGAAGCTCGTTGAGACAAGCTCGGTCTATGCGAAAGTATTGGCGCAGGAGAGCCCTCTTGCATCTGTAGACGTAGACGCGTGGGACTGGAGGAGCGAGGTGTTCCAAGATTATTCGACGGCAAGTCGCTGGAAGTACGTCGGCTCTGAACAACCAAAGGTTCAGAACTTCCTCGATGCGGTAGTTCAGGTCTCCCAGCCTCTACAGCATCAAGGTATTCCTTCATTCGTCTCCCACGAGACCTTCTTCCACGAGACCTCTTTCTATATCTAGAAAACCTGTCCCATGCCAGATCTGATGCAAGGGCGACGAAGGTGAAGAAGACCGCAAGGAAGGCACTTAGGACGGTGAGCGGGATATTCAGTCCGATGGGAAGATCGAGCTCGTAGGCTAGCATAGCCACGAAGTGTAGGCACCATATCGAGCAGAAGCCGAACGTAAGGCTGGCTAGAAATGTCCAGAGCAACACAGCGGTCACATGGCGTGACAATCGAGCCTGGCATACCAGCTGAGTTGAGGTGAAGGTACCAAGCAGGGAGATTGCGATAGAAGCAATGACTAGCCCATCGTTCCAATGCGGCTCTACTTGTCGCATATCGCCCAGTTGGATATTTAAGGTGCAGATGGTGGTGAGGACATCAGGCCTTTTTTCGCAGCTCGAGATTGCAGCGTGCCATGTTCTTATACCGTTCCAGAGAGACTTTGGTCGTTCGAGAAGAGAGGGGGCACGAGGTAGAAGAGAGCGCGACGAAGAAAATGCGATACCGGTGTACTCGATGTCCAGAATCTATCACAACGAGGTACTTGGATGGTCGTCTTTGTTAGACAACTCCCACACTTCAAGGACGTACTCGAGAAGGAGGCCATCGCAAAGGCGCAGGTGGAGGATTCCAGTGTTCTAGCCCACACCCATTTGGGCCGTCGAATTCTAAGCCAATACCGCGTAGTCTTGGCTTTGAGAGCCTCAAATCGACCTCCGAACTGGGCATGAGCTCGCTTGTGGTGCGGAGCCCATTCTCCGGAATTGAATCCACAAACTTTATCTTAGCGAGAAAATAATGGTTCGATCACCTAGAAAGCACTTCAAGTTCAGCAGATATACTCGTTTGATATGTTGATTGCAGAAGGCACGAGTCAGAATTACATGCACCTACTTTCTCACGGAAACGATATGTATGACTGCAGCACGATCACCAGATTGACCACATATATAGTTGCGGAATTGACCGTCTTGCCTTGGTAGTAGTGTACATCTTTCCTTGATTTTACACGTGGGCTCCGTTCACTATTTTCGTGTCAAGACCGAACAGCAAAACCTGTTAGACTTTCTCTTAACCACCAATATAGAGGACATGTCGGGTGCTATCCCTGTGCACGAAACTCGAACAGGAATGTCGCCAGTTATTGCGTGGCGGCTTTATTCTCGAGACTAGTATCGTTCCTTCCCATTACTGGCATCAGCACCGCAATGACTTGCTCGTATGCTGTGAACAGAATTCCGCCAGCAAAAACTGTTCGGCCCAATCTCATCGTGCTACCCTTCCACAGGCCTTTCACACCATAATCCTCTATCACACCTTTGAAAGCTTCTACAGTACCAGCACCTTTTGCGGATTGTGCTCGTGTTTTGACCGTATCGATCGGCTGTGTTGCATAAGTGGTTATAATTCCAGCGACCGCACCATTGCCGAAACTCGTCGCGGTGTTCTGCGGTATGTCGTATTTCTGAGTGTATTCCTTGAGAATGTTGTATGTGCCCATGCGCACAGATGTCGTTCCTGCCTGTTTAAGCGTTGTAGTCACGTAGCCACGATATAGGCCGTACATGCCATGCTCCTTGACCAAGGTTTTTGTCGCATGCCATGCACCTCGAAATTGACGTTCTGAGATGGACTTGCCAGCAGCAGAAGTATTCCTTGCATCGTCGATCAAAGCAGTTTTTACTCGTTCTGTGGGTGTGACGGCAAATGTGCTCGCTACCACACCTGCGCTCATCCCAGCGCCTAAGCTTCTCAAAGCACTCAGAGAGCCTGTCTCTGGATCTGCAAAGCCTCGTTTTATCGCGTCGAAACTCATGAATCGAATGGCATCTTTACCGATGGTGCCAATGACAAGAGTCGAGCATCCCAGGTAGAGAGCACGTGCACCTTCCTTCTGGATGACTTGACCAACAACGACAAAAGGATTGCGCGGCGTGGGTATCCCGCGTTCTGCTCTCAGCTGCACACGAGTTTTGGCAAACTCGAATGGGTAGGTCAGAAAAGATTCTATGCCGCCTGCTGTGCCGCCTGCTATCAGAGACATTACTGGCGTCACCCTCGGATCTGCAGTCCCCGATGGCGCCATATTGAGCTGTAGTGGCGAAGCTTTGTATGTCTTCAGCTGATAGCCAAGGTGTGCTCAAATAGTGGCAGTCATGAATTAAATGTCGATAGCACTTTCCACCGTACTTATTCTGAACCTGTTGCTGCTCTTCCTGACATTCTCGGCTGCAATAAGGCTTGTGGCTTAGTCGCTGTGTACTGTCACAAAGTTCGCACGTTGTCAATGTCGGCTAATGACCGACTCGAAGTTACGTTGTCGAGGCTGTCCTATTTTACGATCGGATACTGGTCCGATACTGTCATAGCGAGCTCGGTTAGATCCAGAAGTTGCTGGCCCTGTGGTTGACCGTATTGTAGAGTTGAGTCGGGCGATTACTGGGCGATGCACATGTCTATGTCAAGACTGAGAACTGCTCTGCGACAATTGAGACCTTACCATGTTGTCGCGTACTGATCGACGATGCTCATATACACTGTCTGCAATTCATAAAAGAACAAAGGTCGTGGCAATTTGGGTATGTATTGATTCAAGCATGCACTTCAGACGTACTGTCCTCTGGTCTCGTGATTCGTCAAGCCCATTGTTTCCCTGCCAGTTTTCTTCGTTCATGTCACGACCATAGGGTGTCCCATGTTCAGACTTATTTAAGACCTGAACGGACGCAACACGCCTTTCTGTTCCTTCACATTTGCCTTGTGAACAACCTATGGTCTTTCGCCTTCAAGACCTACCATCGTGACGACTCACGTGTCCGTGCTTACCAGCTACCTGCGGTGATGGCTTGCTGCTTTGGTTCAGGACCAGTATCCCAGGTTGCGGACCCAGCATTGTTGGTATCATTGCCAGACACATTCCATTCATCGTTTCCACCAGTGATAGCATTGCTGCCAAAGCCATCGTCGGCACCTTCCTCAGCAGCTTTTGCGGCCTGAAAGGCAGCCTTCTTCTCTGGATTGCATCGGCTCTCTGAGGCATGTCCAGTCTCACCACAATGTCTACAGGTGACTAGAAAATGCGTCAGTGGCAGTGGGCTTAACGACCAACAAGACTCACCCTTGTCCCAGTTCTTCTCCTCCGGACACTCTCTAGAGCTATGACCAAATGCTTCACAGTTTCGACATCTCATAACACGTTCATCGGTGCACTCGGCCTTGCGGTGTCCCTCTTGGCCACAATTGTTGCAGATAGACTTAGGCTTGTCAGGACAATCAGCAGCTAGGACAGAGTCAGTCTAAATAGTACTAATGAATTTCCGCAGAGAACTGACCAATATGATCCTCAGAATTACAGACTCGGCAAGTTCTTGGAGCGCGCTCTTTTCGCTGGGGTCGTTCTTCTGGACTGCTTCCCGTTAGTCTCGTCTCTGACAGTGAAGCATGATAGTCAAATGCATCAAGCACAGGACATACCAGTCTCGAGCTCTATGTCCATCCTGATCACATAGTACGCAGCTGATCTTCTTGGCCTCCACTGGCGCCCGCTCTTGCTCGCAGTCCTTTCGCAAGTGGCCGGGTTCACCACAGTTGTTGCAGATCTACAAAGAATATTAGCTTTTGATGAAAAGCAAAAACGAAAAGCCTACCTGAATGCCTCGCTCCATTGGCAGACCGGTGTGCTCAAGTCGGGCAAGGTTATGTTCGGGACCCTTTGGCCAAGCAGGCATCAAGATGGGTCGAGGGCATGAATCTGTCTTAGTGAACACGCCGAGAGTATAGGTCTTGTTGATGTCCCCTTGAAGACTGACGTTGGTGTAAGCAACAGCAACCTCTTTCTTGAGGCCGATCAAGAATATCTTGGAGCCTCGCTTTCGAAGTTCTTTCTCAATCTGTACATAAGTAAGGTCTGGGTTGGCTTTGGACAAGATCTTGACAGCTTCTTTGAAGTCATCGACATCCAGATCGTCAGAGGCTGCCATGACCATAGCCCATGCCTCTTTCTCGCTCACTTCAGGAATAGATGAGTTATCGACAACTTTCTTGTTCTTGCAATCGATGGTATCATGATCGTTCTCCGTCATGCATTGTTTGCAGAACTTGGGCTTTGATGGGCAATCGGAAGCTCGATGACTAGCACAGAGGATGTTAGCTGCGGACATGATATCGTCTGCCGAAACACTATCTTACCCTTCCTGGTTGCACGTTCGGCAGATGCCAGTAAAGACTCTTGGTTTGGTACAGTCAGCCTTGTTGTGACCTTCTGTGCAACGGGTTAGTACTGGAAGACAGAAACGTTCAGCTAAAATACCTTCTCCGCAGTTGAAGCAGCCACCTCGAGCTCGAGCAGTGCCTTCATCGCCATCACCAGGTGGACCAGTATCGTCGGCAGTAGGAGGATCATCGAAAGAGTTGATACCGGCGCCACCGTCGTTCCAGTCGGTAGCATCAGCAGGACCTGAGTTCCACTGATCATTCGCGGGAGTGGTAGCAGGACCACTGCCCCATGCATTACCTTGCCAATTGTCAGTCATGTTCCAAGATGTCGAAGGACAAAAGAAAATAGAGGTAGAAGTTTCGTCAATTGTGTCAAGTGATGGTCTTTTCCAATAGTTGATCTTCTGGCCAGGTTGAGGTCTTTTCCAGATCTCCCAGGACATCCCAGGTCGTCAAAGCTTGGAGTGTATCGATGACGGGCAACGACAAGTACTTACCAGAGGTATTCCAGTCAGTCATCTTGAGGTGTGAAAAGCCAAGAAGGAAGTCGGATGTCCAAGTGACAACAAAGAGAAGCAGTCTCGGAGGGGTGGAAGAAGGAGGAAGGCTCCAGTCAACAGGAAATTTCAAAACAAGCAAAATTGAAATGTTTGTGGGTGAAAAGGTCAGATGAAGGCCGACGTGGTCATATGTCTTGGCTAATAAGCACTGACCTGGCAGGTGCGACTCAGAGTTCTGCCTTTCCGTGCAGGTGAGCAGGATCTGAGAGTGCAGGCCAGTCCAGCTTACAAGTGAAGATTGCATGACCCCGGAATTTCTACCTTTCCGGCCAGCTGGTACGCACCCTCCTTGCGCCAATACTCTCTCCACGAAGCCTCAGTCCACCTATTCATGCCTTGAGCCCTATTCTACCTCGTTCTAGCTCAGATCTACGTAATGAACGTGGCCAAATTTTGTTCGATAGATAGGAAGCCGGATTGGGCTGGACCATACTGTGTATGAACAAGTACCTAGCATAAGGGCGAGAAGGAAGAGTCGATCCTGCAAAAATTCGTCTTGAGCCCACCCACTCGGGCCTTGTGTAGTAAGAACATTAGCAGTGTAATGGCGGTAGGAACCTACCACATTGCGCATGCTGACCTTTCGAACACCAGCTTGCTCAGATGATCCTCCATCCGCACTACAGCACGCCAGCCATTGATAAAGGACACACCTCTGCTGACGACAAAAGCGATCTGGGACTAGCAAAGCAGTATATGGCACTGCACGAACTTCTCCGACGTCCTCTCATTTACCGAAGAACCTTACCATTACTGGAGGACCAATAAGTGCAACGACTACAGCTACTATGTTGTCAATACACATCTCAGGTTACAGAGCTAGGTTAGCTACAAGCACTTAAAACCATAGCATCCATGCTTACCCCTGATCAGCACTAAGATTTGGACTTACAAGGTTAGCTAATCACATCTGAGAGTTTGAAGACGGAGAAAAAATCTGCTGCGTGGCTGGCGCTAGGTCAAATAGCAGCTAAGGGTTATAAGGAGGCAACGAGGATATCAGATGATATCTTCAAGGAAGCAAGGTCGTCGTTACATCTTGGAGCTACGACTAAATACTCTTTGGACACTGACTACCAAGCATCTTGAATATTCAGATTCGGACTTCGTGGAATTGAGTTTCCTTCACAAAAAGAAAAGAACAGGAAAGACAAGAGAAAAAAGCACATATTGCAACTGCTCGTCCACGCCTACTGCTCATGTGAGAAAGGCGCTATATTCGTTCACGCTGATAAAAAGGCAAAGTGCAGCAAGAGTCGCTCCAATCAGAATTTAATACAACTGATAGGCAGTCGACCTTGGCCTCCAGTGGTCGCAAAGGACAACATTCACGACAGGTTAGAAAAGAAGGCATATTATCATGCTTCTACACATGAATTTGTTCATATTGTGCGCGAACTTGGCATGAAGCAGAACAACACCCGTGATGATACCGCTTAAGTCAGGCAAAGCTTGCACTACTATAGCTCGAAAAGGGGGTTTCCGAGCCGAAATATGAAAGCTAATGAAGAGACGTTCTAGACCTATGCCATGAGCAAGATGCCTGCTTCAGGACGAGGTTCAATGGTCTACCATGAATGCGTAGGGACGAACGATGATCGCCAGGGACAGCAACGCCGGACAGTCATAGATAAACATCTTCCTCGACTTGAACGTCTGGCTCGTTATCAAACGCCCAGGCCATAGCTCGCTCGGGACACGCTATAGTGATTGTGGTCATATACACAGCTTCAAATGTTGACACGATTCGAAAAGGAGTCATCGATAGATGGATGCCTGTAGCCTGACGTTCTCAATCGTTCCTTCTTAGTCTTTCCAGCTGTTCGTCCGTCCTAGATATTTGAGACGTTTTATTTGCAGCTCACATGCCACGGCTAAAGCTGGTTCAAAGATTATGCCTGGGCATAGATCAGTACACTATCATCCAGCATCATGGCAGTTCGTTCTGTCTCATGACTCATCCGGACGGCAGCCTAAAGGTCAAATGTGTTGTACAAAACCAGCGTTCTGAACTTTTACTGACGAAGAAAGGAAGCGTTTGTATACAGGAGGTATACACGTATACGCGGAAGAGCTTGCGCTTCCACATATCTGCTATCCACTGTACAGGTAGTGGTCAACCAGTCAGAAATTTTGCAGACTTTCTGGAGTTCTGCCGTCATTCATGCTATCGTTAGTTCCGAAACATGTACCGGCTTGTTGCTGAAAACGTCCCGAGAAGCCCATGCAGCAGCTTGAGAGGAATTAGAATGGTACTGACATTCTGGCACCCAAACCGACGCGTCTGTTCCTGCTTGCTAATACAAACGACCAATGCTTGACAGCATCACACGACACGTACAACCTTGGCGTGTAAAATCGATACGACGGGAGGGAGGAATCAAGGTCATCTTTGCTTGTTTGTGCAAGTAATTGTGAAGAAGCACAAACGTAGCTTCTGTTAGTGCCATGTTTAAGTCATGACTAGTAGATTTCAGCCAACCACATCGCAGCTTGTTGTCTTCGATATCCTTGTCTGACACACAAGAAGTTCCGATTTTGTTCCCAGGCACATTCGGATGCCTAAAGCGGTAGCCATGTGTCGCTAGTAGGCCCAAGCCTCACCTAAACGCTGGATCCTGCGCCTCACTGGCTGATGTCCCTATTCCCGTGCAGGCGGTCCTCCCTCACCTGCGCTTCATGCCTGAAGAGCAAAGGTTGTCACCCGACAACTCAGACCCTCTCACTTTTCGTTCCTCCTCCACTTGACGTTTAGTCGTCGGCCTATCCTCAAAGCACTCCGTCTCAACCACGATCGTTCCCACAGTCTTCTACAATATATTCGTCGACGGCAAGAAAGAGGAGGTATTAGCAACATGACGATGGCCACTGAGGCCGCAGTCGCGACCACAAACCGAAGTCTACGAACCATCCGAAATGTCGGTCAATACGGTCTACAATTGATTCACTTCTGTGCTGACACAAGAACAGGAACTAGAATACCTATGTGACCTGTCGGTCATCTCACCACAACAGATGCAATCTATTCTTGCACAATTACCAGCACAGACACCGCTTCATGGTTCAGTACAGTCCCCGATGCCCGGAACAGTCACAACTCCTGTCGAGCAGTTCAACAGTATGAACTTGAAAGAACAATACACACCTATACCCACACCAGCGCCACTGCCGCCGCCAGCATACCCGACTGTACCTACGATCATGGCCATCGCATCTGCATTATACGCGTATAAGCCAACCGATGCTGGGGATTTAGCTTTGCAACAGAATGACAGGATCCAGGTGATCGAGCATATGAACAACGACTGTAAGTTGCCAACGAGATCTTATTCCGGAGCAGCCGCTAACTTTCTGCAGGGTGGAGGGGCAGGAACGAAAGGACAGGCCTTGAGGGTATTTTCCCTCGCAGTTACGTCTCGGTCCTTGAAGAGACGAGGCCGCCTATGCCAACACCAATGCACTCGACAGATTACGGTAATATGCCACTAGCCGTTGCCAATGGCCCAATCGATCCAAATACCGGTCTACGAAAACCTAGCAAATTAGAAGAGCACGGAAAGAAATTCGGTAAAAAGATGGGTAATGCTGCGATCTTCGGTGCTGGCGCCACAATCGGCAGCAACATTGTGAACGGCATCTTCTAAACTGTCTCTCTCTCTTTTTCCGGTCGAGCTTGACCACAACTTGGCAACCGTCCAAAATTTGGTGCTCGATCATGGCTGCGTTGGACAATCGCCATGAACAGGATAAACCAATTCTATCGCAGCATTTACGTGGAGTTTTCAACGGGACGGCGTTAACGGGATGACTCGATTCTTTCATGAACCAAGAATGCGTGCTTAAACGGAGCCGGCGTGGATGAGACTCGAATATTGCTGTTGCAGTGCGAACTGCTTCTCTTATATTGTTGGAAAGACTTTGATCAGCTTTCAAGAGCTACGATTCCTGCACACACTCTGCGGGATCAGGACCGAGGCCAACACGATGTTGAGTAAGCCTCCACTACCTTCCTTCTGCTATGTCAATTGATATACTTGCACTTGGAAGTGAATGAGAATTAAGCGTTTTATGACCATAAGCTTTCCAAATCTCCCTCGATCAGCACTCTCTTCTGCGCACATAAAGTGTAAGAGAGAATATTCTAAAGTAACATTCATTGGCTCAGTGTCAGCTCTGCACCAAAACACCTAGGAACGAACATGACGGATCCGCTATCAGCTCACAACTTGACAGGACTCCTACTCCCAGCATCAACTCCATCTGGCACTACATCCCTCATAAGCGAATCTGACACCTTCCACTTCCCACCCGCCGTCTTCTCGACCTTCCCATCACCCCTCAACTTCTCAAGTACCTGAAGCAATCCACCTTCAGCCGGACCCCACAGATTCTCAGGATACATCCGATATATCACCTTGACCATCTCCATGCTTTTCCATTCCTTGCCTAGTACAAGCTCTTTCCCAATATCCGCTTCAGGAGGAGGCACAGACTGAGGGAAGCCCTCAGCAGTCTTTAGTGGCGATTTCCCTGGCGCTGTTGTCGTGCCGTAGATGAGCACGTTGATCGCTTCATCTTCTCTCATGCTCCGGTGTGTGATGTATTCGTCTAGTTTGAGTTGTGCATTGTCAATCACGGAGCCATGACCTGGAAATGCGCGACGACCCTGCCCGACGCGCTCTTTCATTAGCTTCAAGCTCGAGACGTAGGCTGATAGGTCCTCGAAGACCGCTGTGCCGTGGCCGAGCACGTTGTCAGCCGTGAAGATACACCCTATCTCTGCCGGGTCAGATGATTTCGTGATGAGCAAGCACATATGGTCTTTGGCGTGACCAGGAGCATGTACTGCTTCGACTTCAAACAGGTTTCCATCCTTCTCAGAACCCACTGAGAACTTCTGTCCGTTCTCGATGTCTAGAATCTCCTCGTCCTGCAGGGTTTGGTCCGGATCATACCTGTTCCCGAGGTGCTTGTACACCTTGACGCTCGGACTATACCCTCTCACATCCTTGACGCCCATGACATGATCGTGATGCCAATGCGTCAACACACAAGTCTTGATCTTCACGGTCTCTCCCTCCTGCAACATTGTCTCATACAGCTTATCCTTCCACTGCGGCAGACCTTGAGCCGTGTCGACAAGTATACGCTCACTCCCCTTTCCAAGCAAGTAAGTGTTCGTCCCCTGTAACGTGAACTTGCTTGGGTTACAACCAAGGATGCGCCATATCGAGGTCGAGATACGCTCTACCTCTGGCAATGAAGGAATGTTGACGGCCATGAAGAAACCACGGCGTTTCCAGTAGATGCGCCGGAGGATTTCGTATTGCTGTGATGGATAGGCGGCGAAGAAGTGGCCTTGGCTGGCGTAGGTGTTTGTGCCTTGGAGACCTTTGTTTGGGTGGGTGTTTGGGTAGGGAAGAGGCCTGGGGACCATGTATTTGTTGAGAGCCTCTATGCAAGGCTGTGGGGGGTCTGATGGTCAAGAAGTTGTCGCACTGATTGAGTGTGGTCCTCACGTAGTCCCTGTCCGGTACAGAGGGGGTATAAGTTTCACGTGACTGGGTTACTAATCGAGTGTAGTTCTGGTCGGACACGGTTACGGTAATTGTATCGATGTGGCAGCAAATGTGCTGCCGACCAATGTTTCCTTGACGTTCGCAATGCAAGTGCAGAGTGAGTAGTGGAAATCTCTGGATTGCCCGATTGTCCACAGAATGCGACTATTTCTGATGAAGTCTAGCTGTAGCTAGGTGCTTCCTGATAGGCTCGTGAGGAAGGATCTCTCTCCGGGACTGTACGTTAAAAATGTGGCCGAGGAGTTGATCTTCTGCAGCTTTTTTGGTGCTTATGAGGCTACAGCAACAACAACAAAGGAAAGTTGACAATCATGTACTATGAGTAGCCTCAAGGCTCTTCCCACTATTCTGACACGGCGAACAGTATCGCGATGTTCCCTGCACTAGCCCTGAATCTCTAAAGTACCGAGGTTCACTTGGCTTGAGGGTATTGGTGGAGCACGATCAATGCTGATCAGGCATCGAAAAGGTATCATGCTGCTGGTGCCAGGAGAATTATACGCGGTATTTCAATGATGAGACAACTTTGAAAGATTTCTCCTGTTTCCCTGAGAATACAGTCAAGGAATGTCAAATCTTATTGCCGTGAGAGCCATATACATGACTTGACAGAACGCTTATCGTGGGTGTATGGAAAATATCAGCCATGCTTCCCAAAATGCCCTAATGCTCAAAAACCATAACGCTGTGACCAATGTCTGAATAGAAGAGGTTCTAAACATGGTCTTATAACCTTTTCCGTGCATCAAAATGGTGCATCATAAGGTGATAATGCAAGGTAAACTCTAGCCTCGAACATATACTGCCTCATTTCCTTGCGAAACTCCTCGTGCTCCAGAATATGCCATGTCGAAGCGTTAACCTACAGTGAACGTAGTCCTCTCTTCAAGCTCATACTGTCAGGTCAACAAGTGCCTGATCGATCTATAATAGACAGGTCTAAGAGGGTCGCCGTATTGAAGCTCTGTACGCTTATGTATGTTGTCATCTCTTCGACGCGATAAACATACTTGTTCGTTTGGTTCTTGAGCTCGAGCCTGTGCTGCTCGCGGATATTGGTTGTGAGAGGCTTGCGTCGTAGTGGTATTCACCATCGACGTAGGTCGCTCCGGTTGTAAAGGTTTGCCTGTTCTTCCGCTTCGCATATTTTTGTTCCAACCTGTACAGCTCGAGTTCTGTATCGTGTTAGTCAGTGCCATGTATTGACTAAATCTATGTGCTCTCACTTGACTGCAACCTGTCTAGAAGACCCATGACGCCTGCCAGAAGTGCAAGCCAATTCGAAAATGTTTCTACTCTTATCGCCAACCTATACCTTTTCTTCTTCTTTGTGGTAGTAGTCTCTATCAACGTGTCTTCCAAGCTCTGCCTCCAACTTGATCCCTCAGAGATCACTGGACAATCGATTGTACAGAACGAGCGATCTGCAGTGAGAATGGTCTCGTGTTTGCCGAGAAGCTTCTCTGGTACTGCTAGTTCAGCTTTGACGAACTTTTCTGGGAGCGCAGCTGATGCTACTATGCACGTCTTGGGAGGAAGTGGCTGAGTTCGAGATAGTGCTTTTTCATGCATGCGATTCTTGGTATTCAAATTGCTGTCACTGTGGGGAAGTAAGCACGATCTCAGGTGCAGAAGCGGTATAAGAAAGACATCTTCAGCGTGGTCAACAAGGAGAACTACGATAGTCAGGAGCAATCAAATGCTATTGCCGCACCTGGAAGTCGTGTAGATTCGTGATAACTAAAAGCCGTTGCACCAGTAAGTGCAGCCGACCATACAGGTGAATTCGTGCACACATTGACAAATGCGACACTTCGCGTGGCTCTACTCCTGATCTGGACGGAGCCAACGGTAATAATCTCAGTAGCGATAACGCCGACGTCTTTAGGTCAATACTAAGAATCACCGTCGGATTCTAGAAACGCCACTTTCGACCAAGGTAGCCGAACCGGGTTAGGAGTAAGAACGAACGTCTCGTGCCTGACACATACCGAATGTGTGTATGTTCTCGACCAATCGATATGAGAGATCACATTGAAAGATTCGTCTGTATCTGACAGGCAGAGAGAAGGAAGACGTACAGTGCTACAACTCAAACATGAAATTCAGCCGTCCACAATGGTTGCTTGGTCTGAATAGAGTTTAATATGCGAATTTCGGATGACTGCGCTACAGCTCGAAGCATCCGTGTGTTCGGCATTCAAGCTGAAGGTATATTTCACGTTTCTAGGCTCGAGAACCGTGATTGGTCAGCATGCTATTACTCTATAGCTGCAGTGCGAATTCAAAGTGCGTCTGCGACCACTGTTCTCCCCCTATTACCATGCTGGATACTGGATATCATGCGACAATGAGAGGGCGGGACGACTATTCTCCTTAATGAGTACTTTTAGTCCTCCCGTGATTGCACTTCTAGATTCCCATTAAGCATCGGCTGAACGTTTTTCTTCCTATCTGTCAAGCTGTAGCGATCCAGTCATTCCACGAAGAGCCTCTCGTCAACAAGACCTCACCATAGGGGCAGTACACAGTCACCTTGAAGGTTTGTCGCATTCGAGACCACCTACTCTCGAACTCGACGAAATCATGAAGACAAGTATCGGGGACTGTGACTCGAGTCCTGTTATCGCTATTGCTAATGGCCGTAGGACTGCAGCGTTGCTAGTATACGTCAACCTGGAGCGGTAGAGCTGGCATGTATCTGTCATGAACGTAAATAAGAGACAAGGAGGTTGGCAAGAAGACGAGTGATGTCTTGCAAAACGATTTCATCGAGTCTCTAGCACAATCCTTAACGTGAGATGGCGATTGAGAAATTCCTTCTTGACTGGCTGCTCCATCTGTTGTGCTTGCCGTTATGATGCGTGCCATCGACAAGCTCTATTCTGTTCTTACAATTGACCTAGCCTCAGCAGAAGATCGCTATAGATCTTCCCACGCGCTCAGTCCCACATGAATGCTAAACCATCATTCACGAGCACATCTCTTTCAGAAAAGTCTCAATCCCTTCACGCAGGCTCTCGGGATTAGGCTTTTGTGCGCAAACATCAGGCTCGACCCCAAGCTTATCTCTCAGGTAGTCTCTGGTGGTAGGACCGATAGCAACCAACAACCATCTCGGCGACTCGGAGCCCGTCTTGCCTTGTTTCCACTCTCTCCGCTTCGCTCTTTCTGCGGGCCTGTCATTGCTGTCGAGATAACCAATCCTTCGCAACATGACATCGCTGCCTTGAGGACTGAACACCACTACAGCTCTGATATCGTCGCTTTGATCTTGGTCGAGGCGCTCGATACTATTCTTGAGGTCGGAATCGAAACTTGGCATGATCTCGGTCCTGTACACCTCGACTTCATCAACTACAATCTTGTCAGCCCCTTCGGCATGCTCCTGCAGTGTCTTCGGGATGATGTCTCTCCTTTGCTCGCCAACAAGAAATAGTAGTGGTTTCTTCGTCAATCGCGGATCATTACCGTCTAACCTCTTGCGCCCATAATTTTCGCTACTCATCCCCAGTAATGGTATGAAAGGCAACCTCGGCGCCTCGAAATAGTTGAACCAGTGCTCACGATGAAACTGGTTGTAATGTCCTAATATGTATGAGGCAAGATTTGCTCCGTTTCCTGTATGAGCACCATGGATTGAAGTGTTAAGGTGAGCATATATTGTTTTAGCATTTGCTTCTGTCGCTGCATGATCGTAGCGTTCAGTCAGCGACTGCAAAGCACGTTCCGTTGCAGGACCAACGACGTACAGTGGGAACGGAGTTAGTGATTCAAGACTAGCAAAAGGATCATGTGCTGAAGCGTCTTTCGCTGCTCCGTGGCTTGTTGATCCTCGATTCTGAAAAGCACTATCGTCTGCCTCAACATCGTCCACAACCTCAGTCCATGCCTCCACAGCGCGCTGTGATGTAAATACCATTCCCCCATATTTCTGCTTCAGTTCTCCTGTCTGAAGCAGATTCTTAAGGTGGCCTAAGGTGGATGTGTGTCGCGCATGTTCCAAAACAGGAACGAAATGAGGTTCGAAAGTTAGAGACTGCTCAGACGAGGCCGTGTCGCTGCTATCAGCCGTACTTCCTTTTCTTTGAAAACACTCTTCATATGTATCCTCTGGCTGTGATTTAGTTTTGAGCAGAAGCACAGGCACGTAATTTCTGGTCTTGGTTGTGGCTGCCATGACAACAGTATATCGCAATACTGAACAGCCTGTTTTTACTCGAGCTAGCGGCTCTTGCTTCAAATTACGCAGATCAGGGATGAGGTGTCGACAACCAACGTCCATACCCTTCGAGCACTACGACGGGAGCTTGAATCAACGATGAACACGTTCTGAGGCAGCTAAGATACATCATTTGGAGAACAAGGCACCAATATTAAGCTCTTAAGTTCTGCAAGCCATGCTGGTCGTGGCAACAACGGCTTGTCGCAAACAGAAGGTGCGAAGCAGAGTATTGTGGCCTCAAAGGAACAGCTGTCGTTTCCTGATTCAAGACAAAGTAAAGAACAAAGTATGTCTCTTCGAAAGGAAAAGATGCACGTCGCAGGAAGGTGTAAACGGATGACAACGCTTGCATGTAGGCTCCTCGAATGTGGGTCAACGGTTTTGAGGAGGAGTGCGAGGATGCGGATAAAGACTCCGCCTATCCTGGTTCGTTGGTCAATCTCCTTTACCGACAGTAAAAGCAAAGTTTATTTAAGACATATGGAAACTCCTCGTACGCTTGTGGAGGCCGGCTAGAGTCTATTGTGCATACTGCGACTGGGCTCCCTTGTTGATGCTCATGCTGATCGTGTCCAGCTAGGCCGAGATTGGTAGAAGCGAGCTTAGCTGGAAGCTGATCGACGATCAAGGTGAGGGACAGCTGAGGAAAGAACGCGCCGGGAAACAATTGATGGAAGTGTTGGGACTCTATACAGACATATACCATGAGAGAGCACACATCTGACCATGTTGTCTGGCAGAAATCAAGCGGTCTGGTTACACAGCAGTTCGCATTGTTGAATCCTTTCTATACCTATGGCTTGTTTCCACGTGCTGCAACGATGCAGATCCACAACGCTCTCGAACGTTGATGTCAGCACAAAGCCCACTTCGCGAGGTACGAGGAGGCGGAGATGGGCACTATCAACGAAGTGAGCCTCATCTCATTCCTTGCAGTCTCTTGTGGCTGTAGGTAGTGTCGTGGCAGACTCAGGTGAGTTGCAGTGATAGGTTTTGGTGCCTGACTTAGGCAACAAATCGCGAGGCTTCCATGCACGGTACTGATTGTAGGTTTCACAACGTTGATTATAGACACCCATTGAGGAATGAGCCCTTCTGATCAAGTATGGAGGCCTACATATCTGGTGGACGGGAAGGTGACTGTTCTGCCAGTGTGCGTCCGTCAACCGAGGTTGTCACTGTTCCTCAACTGGTTGTTGTGTTGCATCAACATGCCAGATCAGTAGAGCTTTGTCGCTATGCAGCTGATCTGCCCAACACGAGGCGACACCACGAAGCTCGTTGTCAGAACGTCAATGGTACTCCTGTAGGAGAAGGAAAGGATCGCTTCGCTCGTGCCTTCGATGAATATTCGAGGAGCTCGAGAAGACGCAATTTTGGTATGTTTGCTACGTGCCCTGGTCGTTTTTGACCCGCCTGCAAAGGACAAACATCCGAGCTCCACTCAAAAAACCAGGCGAGCAACGGTCTTCGGAAACGTTTGCTGACATGGCACCTTTATTTCTATCCGCTTGCTCGTCTTAAGGTTGCAGAGAACTGTAAATTGGAGGAAGAGCAAGGATGCACAGCAGCTTGTCATATTGCTAGTCTGTCATACCTAGCATTAGAGTTTCAAAACTGTTCGGATGTTAATTTTTCTTTGTATGATTGGCCCTCTACCGACGACTGGTCTGCAACCTCTGCAGCAAGCTCTTTCTGTACACGCCATTTTCCACTTCCCACCGTCGCCACTTTCTAAAGCTCTCGGGGCACTCTCGTTCCTCCTCGGTTCTAGTGAAGGTGGAACGTGTGTCCCCCCTAAAGGGCTCCTTTAAGCCGGACGCATAGCGCTCTGATGCTTGTAAACCTTCTGCCTCACGCATCAAATTCAGAGAGCACTCTGAGCAAGCTCTTGCTGTAAATCATTGATTTTTCTGCCTGCAAGCAAGGTGGAGTTGCAGCCGAGATGCGTGCCGTTCCAGCTTGGTCTGGTCTGACACAACGGAGCCTCCGCCACGAGGTATGTCGTTGATTTCAAGGCTACCCATGACAACTGCTGTTGCAGCCAAAAAGTCGTTATCCGTGGCACCTTTGAGCAGAATTTTTTTCCTGCTTCCAATGCTTTTCTATCAAAAGCTTTGCGCAGCGACCCAAGGGAATGGAAAGGCACAATTAGCTATCCGTACAATGCTTCGGCCTAACGACGATTGTGTTGCAACAAATCACCTCGAGGAAACATTACCGTATGTGGACCGATTGCTGTTTGCTTTCAATCCGAGCAATGCGCCCGTATATCGAATTTGGTCAACATATTAGAGCATCGCTTTCTTCTTCTCTGAGGTCTGTATCACTGACATACATGTTCTAGTAAGCTATTATCTTGAAGTTCACAGATTCTTCAGCGGTTTCTATGTCAAAAGGTTTCACGATAATTTTTGATCGACCATGTCTGCAGGCGTCGGACCACGCGTGCCCAAGGACGACTTCATGCGCGCTTTGGGTCTTGATTCGAGTGATGCTCGTCACGAGGGCATCTATAGGGCTATGAGGGTGAGCTCGAATTTGGGCAGAAGATAAAGTAGAACAGCACAGTCTAACATGTTTGTAGGACGAAGCAATTGCAACCTACAACCTACTGAATGCTGATCGGTCAAATCTGGTGGAAGAAAAGCAGAATGACCTAACCATCCGACCGCCATATTTCTGGCATCATATCAGTCGGGAGCGTCAGCAGTGGGCTATCATCAAGACTTGGCAGAATGCTGCTCCTGGCACAGTACAACGACAAATGTTTGATCGTGGTGCGACGCAGGGCGAGCACTCTCCTAATTGGGTAACGCTATGGTTATTGTACAGCGTGTTCCGATCCAGAGACATCAGAAACAATCGAAATCGTCGGAATGGTGACACTAGTAGTAGTGGCAGTGGAGGCAGTAATAGCAGTGGTGAGTCGAGAGTCAGGTCGCTTGTATAAGTGTTTTACTGACAGAACCAGGAGCTTCGGAGAAGACCACATCGAGGATGTACGATCAAGTTCGAAATGTGCACCGTCCACGGTAACCATGTCGATCGATGGAGGTTTGTGTGGCCTTGATACTTGCGACAAAGCCGCATGGTCGAGGTTGATTGGGAAAATCTTTTCAACAATTCTGAAGCTTTGTATTAGCGACTCGAAAACGGTTATATATCGGCGTCTTGCATAGCGTTAGCATTTGAGTCTGGCGTTCAATGTAATATAGAAACGTTGTAATTGCGGCGAAGATGAGGCCTTGATGGGAACACGCATGTGTGTCGATAAGGACACGTACATACATGCAACGGCATGTCTTGGAAGTGATGGTAATTTGTTTGAATAAGATCCAGACGGCTGCGAATCGGTAGAGAGCATCCATTTAATCGTCATCTTCCTCTTCCTCATCTTTGTCTTTCTTTTTACCCGATCTCTTCTGGTTCGCTCTCCTCTCGTCTCTTAGAGCTTTCGTCACTCTCGGATCTTTCTCATCAGCCATCTCGTCCCATTGCACGTCGTACTCTGATGCTACAGCCTTAACCTCTTTCCTGATAGCATTGGCTTCTTCTATAAGAGCTTCCCACTTTTGTAGATTAAATCCACGTTGTTCGTAGAGTTTGCTTTGACGTCTGCTGACCGTGAGATTCATTGCTGATCTATAGCTCACTTCGCGATTGTGATATAGAAACCACATGTATCCGCCGATTAGAGTCGATAAGCCGACGAGGTATGTAACAGGTTCCATGACATCCCAACCAAGGTCGGTCTCGAACGTGAGACGGTACACGACATCTGTAAATTAAATTAGCCACAGAAGATCTTTACCAGCCCTAAAATCCTGCGCCTAAGCCAGCAAACATTCAAGTCCCTAATGCGACCTTGTGATTTGCGACCCAAAGGGTGTTGTACAGCACAATGGACTGTCATCAGGAAACACAACGGAGTCTGGGTTTACTTACACTATGACACGTTAGCTCAAGGACATTCATAATATGGTCCACAGGCTCAATTGTTTCGTTGAGTCGGCAGATGCTGTGGAAAAGACTCACCCAATATCCTACCAGGATCCCACAGCCTCCTATAGCACTAATAACTTAGCAAAACGTATCTAGGACAGACGACGTTGAACTTACACCCGTTGCCCTGTCTTATGTGCAGCAGCATCACACTCGTGTTTCAAAGTCGCCATGTCCGCGATGGTGGTCGCCATTCGACGTAAACGCTGGCGCAGATAGAAAGTTCTGTCGTTGAAGGAGGGCACTGCAACCTTGATTGTCTCTGGATTTCCCTCGATCTCAACCTCAAACTCCTTGGCCCTAGCAGCGTCACGTATGAAATCGCCTATCTCTGTAGACGAGGACCATCTGATGAATTCACCTTCGGAGTCAGTCTCAGATTCTCTGCCTGCGCCGCTGTATGACTGAACAGCTCCTTCGCCGATCTCAGTATCTTCGGGGTCGTTCGGTCCTTTGCCCTCCTCAACAACGGGCCTCGAGGGTGGGGTCTCATCATCTTTCGATTCCACAGCCCTGAAAGATACCTCAGGTGGACGATCGACGCCCTTCGCCCCTGGAACGGTAGGAAGCTCAGACTGGATAAGACGTGATAAGTAAGATAGAGGCTGGCTAGGGTGTACTAGCAGGGCTAACGGAGCCACGTCCTTGCGATCGGTATTGATGTCCACTGTGCTGAGCGGTAGTACTAACTTAAGCAGGCGTGAAGGTGTAGTCAGAAGTTTGCCTGCACCGTATCAGCTGAATTTCAGCCGAGCCTCTGCAACATCGTCACTCACCTTTGGTCATGGCACCTGCTGAGCGTTGCCGCCTGACAGGAGGTTCTTGAGAGCCCTCGCGATGCCATGGCGCTCTCCTTTGCTTGTCTTGCTCTTCCGCTATATTTCGATCATATTCAGATAGCTGCTGGTCGATGCCCTTCTGGTTCAAGTCCTGCGCTGTCTGCTGGTGGCTTGCGAAACGTCGTTGACAGGGAACATAGGTCGCTGTAGCAGCTTTGCGCTCGGTCGTGAGATTGAGGAGGCCGCAACGACGGTGAATGGGCTGTGAGAAGCGCGAAGAAGCTGGTGAGACGCGCTGAGCTGTAAGGGTCAGGAGCACCCGGCTTGTACTAGAGCCATTCATGCCTCGCAAGTCCAGCGTCGGGGACTGTGGTATGACAGTGAGACATGAAGCTCTGGCTTATCATGCTCAATAATACAAGAGTAGAGTACAGACAAAACAAGGAAGCTATGAGTGACCCACGGTGCCACAGGCTGGCATTCGGTACTGATAGTGTTTACCGCAGGACTGCCCTACGTCACCTCGATCTTCGTCCTTGATCTAATTAATTACGGGCTTGGTTCGGCTATGATGTGTCTCGAGCTTCAAGATCGATGTTGCTGCCACTGAGACAACTCTCGATGCCTCTGCGAGAGAGACCGCAATGGAGGAATGGTAAGTATGTAAACGATGGAATATTGTTTCTATCTGAAACGACTGTCCATACTAAGGAACTCGGGTCGTTGCTAGGTCGTTGATCGTTGTGACTCTATGGTAAATTTTGAGACTTCTTCGTGGTCATATCGTGGTTATCGTTAGTCGTTAATGCCTCCAATGCTCCTAAAATTCTCCCCAAGATCAATGCGCTGCTATCGCTTGCTATGCTCCGAACAGATAGTATGATGAGAGTAGCAGTTGCCTGCTGGACTTTAGGAGACGCCCACAGAAACAATAATTTGAAGGACAGGAGACCGGCTGTTACCCCGGATCATGCCAAGATTTTCGCAGAATCCATATCGTCCGTCTATCCACTTGCGATTGCTCTTCTTAAGAGCGGGAGAAGCCTGCCTGACCATTACACCTCTGTCATTGTCGTCGTGTTAGTCCATCGCGGGTCGAGCGATTCAGACGTGGTGCAGTGTATCGAGTGGATGTGGCTGTACGAAGGTAGAGGCTGGGTCCTGAATGATCATCGAGATCTGGACTGCTACCTCCGCTGCGGCTACCTGAGCTCATACTTTCTGTTCTTACGCGGTAGTCTGCCGCTGTAGAGACTGCCTGGTTCCTCCGGTTAGCCCTACCGGCTCCGACAGGTACTGCTCGGCCTTGGACAACGTTGTCGTGGGCAAAGCCTGCCGGATACATCCCATCGTTTACCGAGAAGCTTCGACAGATGTTGTATGCTATTGCGGCTGCACCTTCCTTGGCTGTGACCTCGGAAGGATAGCACGTGGAAGTTTGATATTCTCGGTTGTTGACACGAACGACACAGGTGCATCCATTTCTTGTCTGTACAACTTCGTAGTGTGGTTCGGGCCATTGCCGTCTTTTGCAAAGACCTGTGTAGTACCAAATTAGCTCGTCGCTGACATGGCAATCCAAACTATAGCAGGCCAGCTCAAGACGGTGTGGTTGGTGTGTCAGGCTTCTGAAGCAACGGATCGGCTTCGAAACACTTACTGTCCAGGTATACCATATGATACATCTCCACGATAGATACCCAAAGGATGAGGCTTGTATCCGACAACACTGAGTGCACACAATCGACCTTGGCTCGGTTGTCAACCTCGTATCCACCACTCTGCAAATCCTTGTTCGAACTTCTGCAAATGTGACTGACAGCGATCGACCACTAATTGAACAAGACAAATGTACTGTAGAGACAAGAGAGGTAATGTTTAGTTGAAGGCTTACGTCCCACATATGGTAGAAGTACCATGATGAACTTTCACATATTGTCCCAAACACCGGTCAGTGTCGCTCATTTCTCTTTCATGCAGTGACAACGAAGCATCAGTGCGTTGTGGGGCAGTAACGAAATTCCACTGTGGCCAAAACTACAGCCTATAGCGATGTTGCGGGTTTGGTGGTAGAGACCAAAAGGGACTCGCAGAGCAACATGCCGCTCCTTGAGATGTGGTTCTGCGTTGATGTGTTGGCAGTGTCTCGAACCAGCAGTTTGGGGATTGACATTTTCGCTGCGATCCTGGCGTCCGTATAACGATCAGTTTTTAGCGCTCATCGAATCATGTCTCCGCCATGTTTCAAGGATGGTGAAATAAGCAGAGCTGCAAGTGCATGGAGATCAGCTTGAATTTAGCTGTTTAGGGCAGACTATCTTGCTTCGCGCCCAGTACCACTGACATGAGCGTTGTTGAGTGTCGTAATTACAACCCCGTAGCAGCAGGGCGTTGCAAAGGAATGGCGCAATGCAATCGTGACTCGGTGGAGGAGCACGGTAAAGAGCAAGAACCACTGGTTTGTGTGCACGCGCGACGTGCATCACTTGGCGCTTGCAGCTAAAGTCTCTTTTGCATGCAGAGGAAAAGCCAGAGGAATCGTCTTCTAGAACCGTGGAGTTCCCTGTTCGCTCCGACAATGGCCGGATAGTAGTATGCTTACAGTACATGCTGTTACATGCACGTCACTCCAGCTGTGCTGTAGTCGAGCGTTGAGCGGTAGACGCCAGTAATTGGACAAGTTCTTGCATACAAGGGTGTTGCAGTTACCGCCTTCACCTCTAGATAGGGTTGAATGACGATGATGCAATCTCGTTTGAGGATGCTCAGTCCCGAGCAGAGGCGATGAGCATTTCGCTTATGTGACCAGAAAGGTCAACATATTCCTGTCAGTACCGAACGAGGATCAGCCTCCCGAGTAATTCCTGCAAGGACTTGGGTACTCGAGTAGCTTCGACGGTCTGCTGGCTCAAGAGATTTGTTCATGCACAAATGTGCTGGCAGCAAAAGACCAAAACTTTAATATATGCACAAGAAATGTTACGAGTAAGATTGGCCACTAAACTCAGAATGCAAGTTCCAGGCATCAATCAACCTGCTCGGCTTGGCTGCGGATGTCACTTGTATGTAGCACCATCAATAGCGTTAGCTCCTCCCAATCTGATGTACCCCAGGTTTGCAACAGTAACACCCTGGCCCTCTATCATGTCAGACTACAGAAAACAAGTTCTCGGATCCTACAATCAAGACATTTGTCCTATCAGGACATTATCAGACGCAATATTGCAGGCTTTTGTTTCTGTGGCTCAGTGGTCTATTTGATGAATACTGGTTGGGTAGGAACGACCATCACTGATTTTGAAGTACGAGAAAACTTTCAGGTTCTCTACGTCAAACAGCCTGAGGTACGAGCTCTTTTCTATTTGCTCTCGGCAGAGATGTGAGCTACCTCAAAATCAAGCGCATGAGTTCGTGACCATTGCTCTAGATCATGGACTGCAGTGTGAGGAGTAACATAAACAGGATGAAATGCGGCGACCTCCTGTGAGGTGCTATCTGCCTCTGACACGTCTTCTGAAGTCGGCCGTAGAAGGTCGTTGCGTCGAGCAGCATATTCGAGCAGACCTGAGTCTGGACTCTGCCGTAAATAGTATACATGGCTATGTTTCGTCATGCTAAGTCCGCAAAGGTTATAACAGGTATGATATGCATCTGGACGTCTGCAAGAGTTAGCACATGGCCGTTCCTGAAAACGTTGAAACTTACTTGGAAGGTTTATCTCTTAGTCCACCCGAAGGTCCTTGGCAGCACCCCAGGATGTATCTGACCAATCCTTCCCCACTGAAAATTCTAGCTTTCGTCGAGGGGTCGACGCTCTCGCCTTCGTGATCTGGCCCTGTTAACACAGCTTCGACTAGAGGCCAGCATCCTCCAATCCAATGACTGTAGCAGCCATCAACAACTTTGTTGGTTCGACCAGCGAACCCCCCTTCTGGTGCATATTGACGTGCAGACAGCCATTGCAGCAAGGACTCTACATTCAGATATCTTTTGATCGTTTCGTGAGGTGGACCAAGAATGCTGAGACAGGCCAGGGCACAGAAGGTGTAGGCACCGTGCGCCTCGTTGCTGGGACTTGCAGCTATACCTCCTTCGTAGGTCTGACAGCTCGAGAGATACTCTCCAAGGCCATCTCGGAAGTCAGTCATACCACTTGCTCTTGCCGCGGAGTCGCTCGGAAGATGCCATGGAAGGTCTAAGAGGGTGATGGCAACGAGAGCACAGTAAGCGCCCCTGACGTCTTCTTCGCCGTCTTCACAAACACAGAATCCTCCATTCGATTGCTTGAGCCGGCCGAGCCAATGCCAAAGGGCGACGCGATCTATCACGTTGTAAACGTCTTGCCCTCCGACCATGGAAACCGCAAGTATTACAGCGTATGTGCCAGCAAGGTGAGAAAGATGACCTTGCCCTCCGCCAAATCCACCTGATTTGTTCTGTAGCGGTTCGAACGTCTTGATTATGCTGATTCTCAGTCAGACACTACACAAATTGACGGAAGTTGTTGCCTTACTTCAAACATACCTAGACTGTAATGGCTTGACATCTTCGCCTAATACGTAGAGGCTTAGTAAACTCCAATACATCAGCCATGGTCTGCTTGCATCCATGGCAACGAATTGAGCTGGTAGTGCTTGCAAGCCATCACGGATGAACTTGATGTGATCGGCGCGGTTTAGGTTGTGCTGACCATGTTCATCAAAGTCGAAAGGATTCGACGACGGGTTGTTGATCGCGTTTAGTAAAGGTAGACACTCTGCAATCGTTTGAGCTTGCAGTTGAGACGTCGAAGAAGATAGTGTATCACGAATTGCTGGCCACCGAACAAGATGGGGAGGTATGGTCATGAAAGGCTCGAATTCATCTGCAGAATCCATTGTTTCTTCACGAACATGCTCTTCCTTCGTGTTGATTGTGATCTTTTCGGGAGTTGCCTGTACTTGTACGAATCGCACCTTGCGCTTACGTGAGATCATAGATGTGTCGCAACATCATGAATATTGATTCGTATTGTTGTATGGAATTTATGCAAGTAGTAACAAGCAACCACCCCATTCTCCCATTAATGCCGATAATCCGATCTCACAATTTGGAGTACACTCAAATTTATTCGGTGCAAACTCACAAATGGTGTACAGCTTGACAACGAACTGAATTAGTACAATCTACGCTGACGCGGGCTTACTGTCTACAAGCCTTGAGCTTCATCTCGAGCAAACAAGCGCACTACTTTCAGTACGGCTGATGCACAAGGTGTACAATTACCAACCCTCTTTGCTACTCGAGTAGGCCTCGAGCAATTCGATGATAGTCCTTCACGAACGCCAAAATGCGACGACGCAGTTCAAGACTGAGGAGACATATTGTTATCAGTCAGAGGTAACGCTGAGTGCGAACCTTGATCGCCGCTGCAGCAAGTACGCTCTGTAGTTTTCCTTGTGCTATAGACTTTTATCGTGGCTGGTTGAGCAATCTGAGCCTCTTACCAATGGGACCTTTCTCTTCGGTCCTCGTTGAAGCCAAATAATGCCGTGTGGGTTTAGTATCTGAATCCAGTGGTGGTGCTATGCTGGCTCGGACGTTCCAGGAAGTACTATTACCACGAGTTCATCGAGTCTGCTCTGTGCAATTCAACGGGAACTGCCTGCAACATATGTTCCCTGTGACAGCGTTGATCTACACCATGCCCAGATCTGTGAAGGTGTAAGGGATAATGGGACCCCGGACCGATCGAGTTGACACCACAAGTTGCGGTAGCTCACCGCTGCTTTCTTGTCTCGTGTGGATCCATATGATTACCTTGCTCTTATTGACTCTTTCGACTTACATAAACACTCCAAGACCCAAGATCTGGTTGCAATGATGCATGAAAATAATTTTGCAAGACCGTGTTCAGAGATCAAGGGTTCACCTTGCCTGACTTGTCAACAAAACGGCTCACATGTCTGTTTTTTGTAGAGCAGTCAGACGGAAGAGCACTGGGGGCTGGAAGCCTAAGCGCGATTACCTGCATAGAATTGCGACATGATCCAATGAGCACACTCGACTTTACAGCGATAGAGTCTAAGCTAGGGCTCAACCTGCCACTCTTGGCTATGCAGTGATCTAGAGGGCAAGTTTGTCGAGCACGAACTTCGAGATCCAGGCCAGCTGCAATGCCACCTATTTCTGTGAGGGTTCAATAACGAACAGTCTGCCATACAGTGCTCGCAATCTATAGCAACTAAGCCTGTGACCTCAGCAGTGATGGCAGAGAAGCAGCTCGATACCTATGCATCGATGGGAATAAGCTACAACAGCGTGCAAAGTCCTATGAGTCTGCAAGCCTGCGTGAGCAAAAGACCGCATTGTGCCACATCATGCAAACCAATGCAAGTCATCGCACCACCTGAAACCTTGCAAGCCATGGCACGTTGACAAAAACCACTGCTGTTGACATCTTGACATCTTGACAGTCGAAACCCGGATTGATTACTCCGTCCTCGAGTGCCGATTGTACATGCAATTGAGACCGTGGTTCGAGAACGAGATCTGCAGTAGGCGCCATCGAGCTCAACATGAATCTGTCTCGACTCTATGCCAAATTTGTAGCTGCATTAGAGCAGCAGTAGTTTGTGGTGGACTGTCCATTCTGGCCTTTATGCTGTCCCACAATCTTGCAAGCTCGTGTATTTTTTTCCTGGTGAGGCACGAGTGGAAGCCAACCATCGGCGGCGAAAAGACCCCGATGCCCCGCACATGGTGACCAATGAGGCCACTACAAGTTGCAGTGTTCACCGCCTGTTCCATCTCACGACTGACTGCGCCAGCGCGGTTTGTCCTCTCTCTTCACGCTCAACACTCCTTTGAGGTTGGCCTGGAGGCTTGTCCACAGTCTTTGTGCTTGTCTGCGTCCCTCAGCTCACTCTGTTTCCATCCTTGTCAGCACACAAACAACCGCTGATTCATACTCGATCTCGCCGTTCTCTAGCTGCAACGCCCGGAATATCAATGTTGTGATAAAGCAGACTGCCAATATGGACATGTCTTCAGAAGAACTGCACTATGATTTTGACTCGAGATCGCACCCATACTACGACAGTCAAAGTTGGGCTCTCGATGTGACATCTATGGTTCCGCAAGGTACAGACACCAAACGAAACATATCTCCCATACACTCTGGTGTGCATGGGTTACGACAGACCACGATGGGTGAGCATCCGATGATGGGAGACTGGCATTTCCAACAGCAGCTGCAACAACAGCAGGTTCGACAGCAGCTACAGCAACATCATCACGACCAACAGCAAATTGCTGGTCAACAACCAGGCCAGCACCCACACACTCACCACCAGCAGCCATATATTCCACACCATCCTCACACGACGTCGCAGGCTCCAACGCAACAGTATATTGAATATCACCAACAACAACAGTCAATCGATGGCTCTTTCGATGGTATTCTGCATTCGATGTCCTTGCCCACTGCAACGAGTATGATCCCAGTCAACCAAGCATTACCCGTCACGTTACCACTCGAGCAGGCCTACATGTCAATCCCACCATCACTCGATGGCATGCACGATTGGACAGGTTTTCGATCGGAACTAGTTAGTTATCGTACCCAGGACATTGGGCCCTACAATGGCCCTGTTTCTCCCTACCAACAGCAGACTAGTTCTCCCACTGGCTCTCACTACGAAATACTGTCGCAACATTCAGACGAAAATGGCTGGTACCTTGTCGACGGCAGAACCTCCTTTGAATCCAGTGAACGCTCCCTGTGTGTCGATCCATCATTCACCTTGCATGATCGGACCGTCTCCGAGTCTTCCCACTCTGATAGTGGTCTGTATGCCAACCTAGATATGGGCGTAGCCCAGGCAGTCTACTCACCAATATCCTTCTCCGACAGTGACTGGGAATCATATCAATATACTCACCGTCATTCTATTGACCTTGGCTCCAATGTCGATCACAATACCATGGTTCAGCCTATCACGATCCCTAGCAGCTCTAAGATCTCCTCGCCCGTCTTGCGTTCGCCCGTCTCACAGACTTCAGCAGGATCACCAGGTCGGAAGACCGGCAAAAAGAGTCCGATTGTCGCTAAGGGCACTGAGAGAGTCACCAAGAAGACGTCGCAAGGTGGACGGGAGGAGAAGCGTGTAGGCAAGAGGAAGGGTCCTCTCAAGCCAGAACAAAGAAAACAAGCTAGCGAGATAAGGAAACTTCGAGCATGCTTGAGATGCAAATTCTTGAAGAAGACTTGTGATAAAGGTGAACCATGTGCTGGTTGTCAACCTTCGCATGCTCGACTGTGGCAGGTACCCTGCACACGTATTGACATCAAGGAGATTGGGTACTTCCTCAAGGATAAAAAGTTTGACTATGAACGTCATGTATCGCTTGGCTTCTCCGTGGGCAACATCAAAGGCTTCTCAGATGCCGAGAAAACCCTATATATCACACATGGTTATGGTCATATGTTGCCAATTACTGCTCGGGAGGTCTACGTCCGTGACGACAAGTGCTTGAAGATGGACTGGGTCGAGGCTAATAAGGGCGCTGCTGGTTATGAAGTTGCTACTGCCAAACTGTCGGCTGGCACTGAGGGTATTTCGACAACGATGCTTTCAGACTACCTTGATCAGCACATAGATGGTGGAAATACGTTCGTCAAATTTGTCGACGACTACTTCGAGGGCACCCCATTCTTGTCGGAAATGCTCAAAGCTGGGTACAACTTTTATGCCAAGACACATTCGAAGATCATCAAGAAGGCACTGAAGCTGATGCTTGCCTACAACCTAACCCTACATATCACTATGATTGAAGGAGTCCCACTTGAGGAGTCATTCATCGGCAAGATTGAAGACAAATCTTCCAAGTTTTATGGTAAGACGATGGCACCTGTGATGATCAATTTCCAGATAAAATGTGCCATGGCCGACATGTGGCGAGAGCTACATAAAGACGTTCTCGAGGAGCTTTCAGCACTTTACTCAAGTGTATACAGTGGTGACAAACTCAAAAATTGGCCGACGATATTCATCCTAGCTTCGATCCTGCTTGCAGTTTGGGAATGTATGCAATTCGATTGCCACTACCGTGTTCCGGATGAGTCTGCTGTAGAGAAATTTTGCAATGACATGGAAACTACTCCTGTGGGTGTTATCGTTGGATTATTCTCTGCTATCTCGCAGAAGCTACCTTCCATCCTCGAATGGGATACCTCCAAGCATCATGCCTTACTGGCTTCGAACTGGGACGTCTGCAATACTATGAGCGAAGTTCGAGAGCATGTAACGAAATATGGTAAGCTTTATCAACTCAATTATTGTTTGCCTCATTACTAATACACTGCAGAATCTTACCTACGCGACCGTCCGAATGTCAAGTTTGACAGCAAGGACTTTGACTCTTTGTCAAACAAGTTTTTGTCGAGACTTGTACTACGCGACGTTCGCGCGAACTGATCGACGAAAAGCACACAACCTGTCATGATTACGACGCGAAAAATGCAGCGATTTGTTTTGTTCGAAATTACGATGTCAAGTTACCACGCTGATCACGAAGCATTTACGACAATACAACATTATAAGTGTCTCAAGAGAGGCTTATGCATATAGCCACGATGTCGACGATGTCATCAACACCCCCTCTCTTTTATTACTCTCTCCTCACACAGTTCACTTCGAAACTGTATTGACGCCTAACGGATGGATGATCTGACGAAGCATGGAGTTTACGACCTGAATTATTTGAAGGACCGATATGACTGAACTGAAACCAAGCGAGCATCTGGTTTGAGTCTTTACTGATATAGATAGCATTGGCGCTGGAGCAAGCGAGCTGTCGTTTTTTTTTGCTTATTTTGTTTTTTCTTTTGTTCGCATTTGGAACTGATGAGGGATTTGAGGCACGGGATCATGCGAGACGCAGAATGCGGAACGATATGCGCAGTGCGACGAGGACGAAAGATGTTCACGTTATGATGGAATGTCGTCTGAAGATTGCTCTGAGCTTGAAAGCTGTTCTACCAGATTATGTAGCTCTTCCAAATACAGAACTATATGATTGTCCTAACACAGTGTTCGTTCTGTGTATTGAGCTTCAGACGTGTATGCCACCTGTTTGCCACTATTGTTGTCTCAAGTTCTCATACTTTGAAGTACATCTAGCTGCTGATTCAGAGTGTGCACGATACCAAGACCATAGAATGGGCTGGTATACTAGTATTAAAAGGCATACGACTAATGTGTGTATAGGAGCAGACACGCTCGATGCAGGGGCTACAGCTTGCATAGTTAGATCAATCACCTGAAGAATCTGTTATGCTGCATGCTGTATCAATTGCAGCAGCAGAATCTGGTTGCCCCTCGTTCTTTCAGGCGAGATCCAAGGTTTGCCCGGTCGTCCTCAATGCGCATTAACATCTGAAGAGACACATTATTAGTCCACCTACTTGGACAGCGACTCAGGTCGTAGATTCGCCCTGGGTTCTGATTGACAGGATTCCTGTACCACCAACAGTAGGCAGTCATTCTTGATACTGGAACGATAGATGACCACGCTCGTTTCCTTGCTCTGCGCGAGAAAGAGTCGTGGACTTACGGATCATCCCGATGCAGCAGCCATGGGCCTTGGTCGTGTGACATCATGGGCATAGCTAGCTGGTGGAAATAGCTCTTCCAACAAGTCTTTCGCGACGTTTCTGTGAACCAAGAAACTCCCCTGCAACAACGACAGGCCTTATCCCCTTGTGGTGTGCGGAGAGTTACGTGTGGTCTTGCGTTGCTTGGACAAGTTGGGATCCATCCAAAAAGAACGTGGCTGCAGCGGTGAAATGATCTGGTTGCATTACGTTTCCTGCCTGGGCACAAGTCAGCCGCTTCCGAGCCAATAAAGTCAAGCAGACCACGTTTTCTTTCAACAAAATCCATATCGCTGGGTATCGCAAGAAATGGTGCTCAACCACTGGGAAAGGGACTTGTTTCCGACAGGGCCATATGATATCTTTTCAGCCTTTGGCGAACGAGTCCATCCTCCCTTGGGCAAGTTGCAATTCTTGCCCGCCGCATTTGTTTTGCACTTGTGGCCCGAGCCAATGAAGTTCTTTTTGATCTCTGGATTGTATCGCGATGGGACGTCTTTCTCACCAACTTAATAAATGAGGGATTCGTATTTGAGGTTTCCTGTATATTGTGGCACATTGGTCATCCTTATGTTTGCGACGGAAAGCTGCATCAACGTGAACGCGCTTTGCACGCAGGTCGAGTTATCTATCACTGGCTAAATAATCTTGCATGCATTCCAAAAACAGCGACGACCGTTAACTGACAGATTTGTGGACCACAGCTGGTAGCCATCGAGATTGTCACGACCACAACTTGGATTTGTTGAATCGAGAACAATCTCGGATACGACTCGTTGGACAGTAATCGAGTGATCGACAGTGGATTTGGAAACCTGGAACAAGGCAGCCGCAACGAAGGGTATTCGCAATTACCAATCGCCCAGGTGTCGGACTCGACCTTTCCTTCTTCTGCATTGAACGAGTGACATGAGATTTCGAAAGTGCTAGTAATATCAACGACTGCGGATTATTTTCACAAACACCCGCCCCACAATACAGCCTTGCAAATACTCTCAGTGGCTCGACGCCAGAGCTTAATCATTAGACACCGACATCTATATTCTTGAGTGACAACTTCGTTGCTGTTGCTCCTTTGAGATCCTGCAAACACTTCTGAAGTGCAACACAGCAGTAAGCGCACTTATATTAATAATTAACAGCCGTCTCCATAAGGTTGACATCCACCTATATACGACACATCTACCTAGTCTCGGACAGCCATGCCTACGGGAGTCGAGAACAGCAAAAGGGCTGACCGACGGCTTCTCATTGTCGCCAACCGTCATCCAGTCACTGTCAAGCGAACAACTGACGGCCAATATTCATATAATATATCGTCTGGTGGTCTCGTTACAGGTCTCAGCGGTCTTCCACCTTCTCTTAAGGACAACTCCGTATACTATGGCTGGCCAGGGATTGACGTTCCTCCACAAGAGGTTGAAGAGGTAGAGGCTGGAATGGCTGACAAAGGTGGTGTGCCGTTATGGATTGACGGCAGACTGATGGACATGCATTACAATGGCTACTCAAGTAAGTATTCCCGTCCCCATAATCGCACAAATCCTGACTGAAGCTTACAGACAGTATTGTATGGCCACTTTTTCATTACCACGCCAACGAGATGACCTTCGAGGAGGGGCCATGGGAAGCCTATGTAAAAGTTAACAGGCTATTTGCTAAGAAAGTTGCAGAGGATGTACGAGACAACGATATCGTTTGGATTCACGACTACCACCTGATGCTAATGCCCAAAATGCTACGGGAGGAGATGAGAAACCTGAATAAAAAAGTGCGGAACCTGAAAGTCGGCTTCTTTCTGCATATCCCTTGGCCCAGCAGTATGGAATTCATGAAACTACCATATCGAGAGGAGGTTCTCGAGAGCTTGTTAAACGCAGACCTCTGTGGCTTCCACACCTACGACTATGCGCGGCATTTCTTAAGTGCCTGCCACAAAATTCTGGGCCTAACCACCAGTCCTAATGGTGTCATGTTTGATGGCAGAAATGTGCATGTTGGAGCTTTCCCTATTGGCATCAATCCTGAGAAAGAGGTGTCAGCCATGAAGAAAGAGAACGTCATAAGCAGAGTGAAGGAGCTCAAAGAGGGCTCTTTCAAGGACAAGACTGTGGTCATTAGCGTTGATCGGTTAGACTACATCAAAGGTCTTCCTCACAAATTTCACGCTTTTGACATGTTTCTCGAGAACAATCCGGACTTTGTCGGTCATGCGGTACTGTTGCAGATCGTCGTTCCATCGCGGCAAGATGTGAAGGAGTATCAGATTCTGCGATCGCACATCAGCGAGCTTGCTGGACGGATCAATGCCAAATACGGCACAGTCACCTATCAACCTATTGTCTATCGGCATACATCGGTACCGCACGATGAGCTCGTCGCCATGTATGCATTGGCAGATGCATGTTTTGTCACGTCAACGAGAGATGGTATGAACCTGGTCAGCTATGAGTACATCGCTTGTCAGTACGAGAACCACGGGCAGTTAGTCATCTCCGAATTTGCTGGAGCTGCTCAAAGCATGAAAGGCAGTATCGTCATCAATCCTTGGGACACCAACGACATGATAGCAGCACTTCGTAAAGCACTGACCATGAGTGAAGCCAAGAAAGAGGAGAACTGGAAGAAGATGTGGGACTATGTGAACACATACACATCTGCTAATTGGGGTATCTCTTTTGTGGACGAGTTGACTAGCATTGGTACCGGTGAAATGCCGGATGTCTTAACAAGACAAGCTTCCGACTCAGGTTCGGACAACGAGATTAATGGCATGAATAGAGGCACTGATGGTGTCGACAAGACCGAAAGTGAACACAACCAACGCAACCAGCCTGTGATTGTCCAAAGGGATCGTATGGACAGTGCAGGATCTGGACAACTAGGTTTTAGTGATCCAGCGGAACGCATGGCTCCAGAGGCGGGCGCAGCAGTGAACGGAGTGAGTAGCTGAGTGTCAGGAGGGACTCGAAGAGAGGCCATTCAGTGGATAGTTGGTACAGCGTTGCGATGGTATAGTATGTGCATTGGCGTAATAGCATATGCGACTACCCTTTTTGCATAGAGATAGATCTTCTAGACTGTAAGCGTTATAGTCATTGGTATCCAGGTACCTTCATACTCCGAGACCATCTACATAATTTGCATGACCTTGATGTGCGAATCATCCCACGGAGTCTCAATCATAGTCCTTGTCAGAGTACCACTAGCTGCACAGCTCGTACCTGTCTTCAACTACAGAAGGATGCACGCTGCATTTTTCATCGTGGTAGACTCGATCGCCTTTCGATTCGAGACTCACAGTGTTTAGTCGAGCAGTAGGCTCATTGCGCAGCTAATGTGCCAGCTGCCCTCATCACGAGTGATAGACTTTCGTCTTGCGCAGACAGCAACCCACCATCAAATCTGTGCTGGACTCCACAACCTCCTAGCAGAATACCCGCGAATCAACCAAGACTGGCCTGCGACTTATTCCTTGACAAATTCCCACCCATTCCTCTCACCAACGTATTCTGTCCACCCTCCTCACTCCTCGGTTGCATCAACCCATCCGTCTCACCAGCCAAGCCCAGGTTCTCGACTCTCTGCTCGAGACCTTCACCAAAAGGCGTCACGACGCGTCTCACCACGAACTGCACGCCCGTCAAAGGCGGCACAGCGATTCTCTTCCCCTTGTCCTTGCTTTTACGTATATCGTTGAATTCTATTTGTCTTCTTCCTCTCTTCGCTTGGGTCTTGGTAGAGGCTTGCTTGCTCTTCGTCGCTGCGGCCTCTGTATTCCCTGTGCTCGTTGACTGGTTCTGTGGGGAGGATATCCGTCCTTCTGGTCCTACAGGTTCGGCCTGTAAGAACACTCTCCACTCCTTCGGGGAGGTTCTCTCCCTCTCTGTAAAAGTGCCGTATTCGACAACGTCTCCTTCACGTAGGAAATTCGCCGGACTGGGATCGTGGACTCGTATGCGCTCTGGGCGAGTATAGTATTTCCGCAGGAACTTGTCCCAGACTTGAATGTTGCGGGTGACTTGGACGCAGTGGGCCATGGTTCCGACGCGCGAGACGGTGCCGGTGAAGAGCTCTGATGGGAGGGGTTGGTCTCTGTATCTGTGGTTGCGGTGGGTTTCGGGCTCTAGGTAGTATGGGGTGGAGGAGTTTGATGATGGAGGGGGAGAGGCGCCATCTGGAGAAAGCGAGGGTATCGATGAGGAAGGAAGATCGGTATGTTGTGCGTACGATCGAGGTATTGAGGTTGAGATAGATCGGGCTGTGGAGGGTAATGCTCGAAATGTTGATGCTCTGGAGGAGGCTGCAGCTCGGCAGCAGAGTTGCGTGTAGCTGCAAGCCATGCTGAACGAGGGATTCATTGTGTAGGGCTCTGATGAGACGCTTGAATAGAATTTCAGAATCTGGGTACTACTGGCTCATCTTGTGTGGAAATAACGATCACGGCGCAATGCTTATATGCTTGTCATTGAGCACTTCCAGGAGGATACAGGAATTGAGCAGAGTTTGTCATGTTTGCTCAAGAGTGCAAAGTTGACCCGATCGACTACCAATACAATTTTACGCTGAGTGTATAGGCGACTTGGCTTTCCCGATCATTCTGTTGGCATTGATGCATGTGCCTACATGGCCTGCCTGGATCTATGCCAAATCTTAGCAACAGAGAGTGCCGTGAACGCCGTCGCTATGCTTCAACATAGGCCATGATCTCCGTCTACGCGGCCCAAACATCCTTGCCCTGATTCTCGATCCAATGGCCCAGATCGTTAACATTGCTGTCCCACTCCTTTAGACGTTGTCTCATGCCATCGATTTGAGTCTTTTCTAATACCTTAGGCTGCACCCAGTTGATGCGAGCTATTTCAGCAACCTGATCAATCTTTCCACGCAACAGACCCAGGCTCAACGCCTTCATCAAAAGGTGTTCAATCTCTGTAGGCTTTACCTTGGTCTCCTGACTGATAGTCTGAAACGTCATAGCTCGGTCATGTGGTGGCCTCCTGAACACGAGCTCCGTAAGTGCAGCTAAGGAGATCTTCTGGTAAAGGAATATTTTGTGTGAATCTAGGATTTCGTTCTTGCTCAGGTTGTTCGACAGCTTATCAAACGTCGCCAGATCTCCTCTGTTGAAAGCGAAGAGCAACTCACGTAGCCAAGCCTGTGTGTGGGGTGGCTTAAGGGCATCGAGGATAGGATGAAGCAGCAGTTCACCAAAGTTGTAGATCTGGTCCGAAACCAAGGCTGCTAGAGCCAGGTTGTATGCTCTTTGCTGTCTTTCTTTTGCAGATAGTTCGGAGGCATCAACGCATGCGAGGTAGAGAAGGGAGTTTCGGTAGTAGGAAGTGAAGTCGCTGCCAGACTGGTAGAACTCTGCATTGACACGGTAGAAAGAAGCGTGCACAATGTTCTCCACGAAGTCGAATCTATCAAGCGAGACTTGTGCTTTGTCTAGCAACTCCCTCGCCTTTTGCTCTTCATCTAGTCTGAGATATACTGCTGCGAGTTCAGAGGTAGCATATGTCTGCGCCTCTTCTGATTCCGGCTTGTCGACCTGCTTGAGGAGTGTTTCGAGGAATGTGGCTCGCTCAGCATCATCTATAGATCACATTAGTAATCGTAGCCTTCACACTTTTCTTAAGATCGTTCATACCCTTAATCTCAGACGAGGCACTCAGAGCCAACTTTACCAATTTCAACTGATTGATCTTGTCCGAAAAGCTCAGGATGAATCTCTTGTACAGTTGTAGTCTCTGACCGTGACTTTCTTTCGAAGAAAAGTATTCCAGCAGCTTTTCTGTCAGTTGATGCCATAGCTTGCTCTCCCATAGATCTTCGAAGTCGAGAAAGACTGATTGTACTTCTGCTGGTGCCTCATCCCGCTGTTCTGTGAGGAAATTCGAGATTGCCTCTGGATCAAACTTTGCTTTAGCCATGGTCGGTAGTGAGTATTTCGTGAGGGAGATATGCGACAGAGGGAAGAAGTGTGTGACGTGGTATTCGAAACGTGATGCATATGGTTGTAGGCAGTCGGGCTACGCGCAAATGCTCCAAAACGGAAGGCATGATCGCCGCCGCAGTTGCGCTTGCCGCGTGAAAGTGCCAAGCCTCGTCATTGAAGCTCCATTGACCCTCGAGGAGCACCTCGCAGCTTGGATATACGCACACGACAACCGCTACAAGACGACTGAATGCTATAGCGGGCAACGTAGCCTTGCTCACCATGCGCACCCTCACAGTCCCCACTACGGCCCTCCGAGCCTCTCGCTCGGCGATCAAGTCAGCTCCTCAGAAACGAAGTCTCCAGGACATCGCCATAACACGAACTGGCAAGCCTATCATAAGGTCGCAGGGTGGTAGATCGTCTGTAGGGGGCAATACAGCTACTGTTTTTGGCGCCAATGGCTTTCTAGGTCGATACATTGTCAACAGGTTGGCTCGGCAAGGATGTCAGGTTGTGATTCCATATCGAGAGGAGATGTCCAAGCGACATCTCAAGATCGCTGGAGATTTGGGCAGGGTTACATTCATTGAATTCGATTTGAGAAATACACAATCGATCGAAGAGGCTGTCAGACACTCGGATATGGTCTTCAACTTAATCGGCAGAAACTGGCCAACCAAGAACTTCAGTTTGTTCGACGTGAATGTGGAAGGTGTGGAGAGGATAGCCGAAGCGGCTGCCAAATACGACGTCGATAGGTTTATACACATGTCTTCCTACAACGCAAACCCCAAGTCAGAGGTCGAATTCTTCAGGACCAAGGTGAGAATGGCATTGGTGGTACTTTGCTCAGGCTAATTGTGCTTAGGGCTTGGGAGAACAAGTTGCTAGAAAGCTTTTCCCAGAGACCACAATTGTGAGACCAGCGCCCTGCTTCGGTTTCGAGGACAGACTATTGCACAGACTTGCAGGTGTCACTAACCTCATAACGGTCAACAACCTGAGGGAGAGGTTCAATCCAGTCCATGTAAGATATACATTCGTTCGCGCCTCCCAGCTAACTTTCCTAGGCCATTGATGTCGGTATGGCACTCGAAAAAATTGGCTTCGATGACACAACCGCTGGCGAGACCTTCGAGCTTTACGGCCCAACTAACTACAGCATGGCAGAACTAGCTGAACTTGTCGATCGCGAAATCATTCACAAACGTCGACACATTAACTTGCCCAAGAGGGTTTTGTCGCCAATCTTATATTACCTCAACAAGGCCGTCTGGTGGCCCGTTGGCAGTCCACAAGAACTAGAGGTGGAAATGGTCGACCAAGTCATCGACAAGGCTGCGAAGACATTCGCTGATCTTGGTATCGAGCCTGCTGAGTTGCAGGACTTGACTTATCACTACTTGCAAGATTACCGATCCAGCAGTTACTACGATCTGCCTCCAGCCACTGCACGGGAGAAGAAAGACGAAAAGAAGTACTTGCATGTCATTGATGATCAATGATTCTTTCATCTTCAGGCGTTGGTGGGAGCGGTTCCAAGATGATCAAGCTGTACATATCAACTTCCTAGTATTAGCCTTCCTCATTGTCTAAAGGGATAGAGAGGGTTTTCCCGGCATAACTCCGCACACCGTCAAAAAGATCAACCGCCAAAAAGATCAATATGATTCCGTGTACATCAGTAGAATGCCAGTAGCGCCGCTGTATAACTTCACACTATTCACTTGGTTTCCGGAGAACTGCAGAACTGGCAAATTGTATGGCTAGTTGGGTACGGTGCAGGTTTTTGAGCTAGTAAGACGGTTGAAATACAGCTTGATACAGGGACTCTGAATGAAACGCTTCTATGAAGGATGTTGGTCTTGGAATTATCGAGTAGTAGATGAGGTATCACAGATTGAGATCATCGTTGCGTAGCCGGGAGAACAACAACGAGTTTTGATGGTCGATATATATATATAGTATATGAAACACGAAGCAGCTCAAGTTCGGCCCAACTAGAGCCATCTGTCTTTGGGCCTAATGGTGTCTTCTTCGCTAATCTTGATCCCCGATGTTACAAGCTCTGGAAATTCTGTCAAGATTTTTCGACCAAAGACCCAATTTCGTATGTTGTCAATGGCTATTCCAAATTGTGGTGAGATGAAAATCTTCACATCCTCGTCTGGATTTTGCACATTCGTCACGCGACTACACAAGAGTGCCTCATTGACTGAATGAGGCCAGTCCACATTTAAACCTGCTTGCATGATTACGTCTAAGGTATCCCTCATCTTCGCAAGGAGAGCGTCTCTCACCGGCGGTATGCCCATGATGTCGATAAAAGCTGGGTGCACCGTCATTCGTTGTCTCAATGTCGGTCTGATCATCGCCGGAAGAGCTGCATACGTGGTGGGTGTGGGGTTCAAGAGCCATCTCATGAGACGTGCGAGCATGTACGTGCCAGCGATGTTGAGAGTGTAAGTGACTGGGTCTACAAAAGTTGAATGAAACTCGCTTGCCCAGTTGTCAGCGTTAAATTCATCTGTAGGTCTGCGTTTGCGAAACAGAAGGGTTGCCTCAATGAGATCGGATTGCTGACTGACGTCCGTGCTCGACGGATTGGCTTTAGCCAGCTCATGGAAATCAGTATAGGCTCGTCCGAGAGGCGACTCATCCATTTTCCACAGAGGGACAATCTGCCAAACGGGACGATAGAAGTTCTGAAGCTGAAGTTTCTGCTGTAGTGCCGACTGGTGGTTTGCAAGAATGGCTGAGCTGAATGGAAGATTGCCAAAAGTGCGCACAGATCCTGGTGTCAGGAACGGGGGCTTCGTCAGTCGCTCTGGACGACCGTCGTATCGTTGGTTTTGCGTCATGACTTGGTTCACTTGTCGTTGGGATTTTGATTCCACACTTTCGATTTGAGTGGCTGAGGTCCCGTTGAAGCAAAGCCGTTGAGGGTACGTACATCCTGGACTCTGGCCTTCCGTTAGTACAATTTACAAGTCTTTCCACGATGTTTGGTGACGTCGTGGAACGCACAGTTTCCGAGGAGACAGTAGACTCACGCTCCAGTGTAGTCTTCAGCATCTGCTGTGTCGAAATATGCTGTAGCAGAATATCTTCGTGTTGACGTAGGACGTTGATACGATCGCGTAAGAGTGAGTTCTCTTTTTCGATGCGTGCGACCTCACTGTGAGCGGGCCTTACACGACGATCTCTATCGTCACTGTAGGTACACGTCAAGCCTCTATGACCACATCTAGCACAAGGAATGACTCCATCACACTGGCCACACGTTAGGCTTTGAACAATGAATTTGCTACTGACCCAAGCGTCCTTGCAAAGCCATATGCTGCATACGTACTTTGGCTTTTGCTTGCCGGCACCTCAGACAAGCCGTCGTAACATGTTTACCCATTGTCTCGCAGAGACTACCTCGTTTTCAAACGATCGAAGGGACTAGCAGGTGACGTTGTTGGTCGACGCAGTCCACTAATTTTTGATCTTGATTTCCGTCGGATGCTGAGCATGACAGTCATCGACTTGATAGTCATCAATGACTAGATGCTGATAGCGATAGCTAAAGTGGCAAGGGCAGTTGGGAAACATATGAGCGAGCCAGAAGCGGATTTCCCACTTGATCGAATTAAGTTTCTTAGGGTGACTAACTAAAACCGAGCAGGTTTGGCGAGACTGCGCCCATTAATCCTGGTTTCGGGCGGAACAGTCAGAACTTGATCGATAACCAGCGCATGCTGTGGTGCTACACGTACAGGATGACCGACGCTTACAACTCTCTGGCCTGCATCAGCTGCTCAGTGATGATCGTGGTCAGGCAGCGGTTCGTGATCGAGTCCGAACTTGCAACAAAGGAGAGGGTGACGTTTACCACTACCTACTGCAATATGTGCAAGAATGAAAAGATCTAGATCGAGATTAGCGCACACATTACAAGCGTTAAGGATCTCAAAAACAACACTGATATTCCAACCGTCTCCGCGGACATGGTTGTTAACTGGACACCGTTCAAGCTTGTTAATTCGTACATAATTAGAAGCATGTTCGTGGAGCCGGAGGATTTGCTGGACAACATCAGGTTCGGTATTCAGATGATCAATTTGGACGACTATAAAACGTTGTTGCCAGATTCGGTAAAGGTCAATAGTGTCAACGCGAACAATGTCGAGTGGACGAATGAGTCAATGTTGCCCTACTTGAATGGAGGGTTCTTCTAGTACTGAATTGTGGCCATCAGCCACAAGAGCACCATCGACAAGGCCCTGGTCGTGACTTGTATGTAGTGCGAGGATATGATAGCGTTACTGTATCTTAATTTCTGGGAATGGCTGTTGATGGAAAGGCAGTGATGAGGTGCAACTCCGCGATTATTGTGTCTCGAGAAGCCGACAGATGTAGGTTTTTGCTAGCTTCAGACTGCTACAGTTACGCTATCAAACGAATTGTGACGATTAAAACTACAACGCAGACGGCTACCATGAGCGAGCAACGAAGAAAGCAGTACACGTTCAGAACGAGCGACGCTTGTGACAAATAGGGATGCCTCGACCTTCAATTTTGAAGCGAGCACATTGGAGAAACAAGAGTCGAGACAAGCTCGCAGCTCACATAGGCAAGGCGGATCAACTACGACCTACGCTGTCCTAACACACCAACTATACAGAGTCTCAATTAGACCTCATCATGACCCCAAACATGTGCGCCTTCAGCCTCTCAGAAGACAAGGCGCTCTCGTCTACAAGCTAAGGAGGCCTTTCAAATTTGGGCCCGCATAAGTCAGTATGATGAGAATTCAGAAGACGAAAATGTTGCAAATGCAATTAATTGAGTTAAACAGATTGTCTGCTAATGAAGACAGCAAAACTTATCTTTCATGCCCCAGCGTGTTCCCGGTGACGAGAAGATGGCGACGATGAGGTGGCAACGACAAGGTCACCTGACAAGAGCACAAAAAGTTAAGGTGTCCATGCAAATTGATGGGCAAGGCTCTAATTACAAGGCTGTAAAAGGTGGGTATGGGGTGCCTGCGATGCTCAGTAGGGGAGCATAGGGAGGCGATCTTTTCAGCGAGCAGATGACCAATATTGCGCTAAGCCAAATCAAGAAGAAACTTCTGGCCTCGCCCCATAAAGGCATTCGATGGATTTCTATCCTCAAACTCCTAATGACCAAGTCAGATAAGAATCAAATGATCGAGGCGCCTGGACTTATCAGCTGCATTGTCCTCCGCATTACCCAAAGTGCACGTAAAGGAACGGACACTCGTGTCGCCTGCAACCGCTAAAGCATGATATGACCTGGAGCCGTTGCGTCTCCCACAAAGCAACGATTTCTCTCAGCGCCGAGTAGTCTGTGATGTCATGCGAGCAACCGCATGCACCAAATCCTTCATCTTCTTCATCATTTCTTCCATTCCATTGAGCGTCTCGCCTACGTTGTCAATGCCAGAGATCTCCTCATCCACAGTAAGGGTTTTGCAACTAGTGAGAGCACGCTGTTTGCGCGGAATGGCTTTGGGTGGTCTTTCTTGGCCAGCGTCCGATCTATATCCATCGATCTCCTCGCCCACCACTTTCTGACCGAATTGCTGACCTAGGACTGTGCGAGCATACCACTTAAAGTCGAGTGGATCCTCACCAAACCCCACCAGAACAATCGTTTTAGCTTCGTTACACCATCCTCCTTTTGGCTCGTTTTCAGGCAGTCTTCGGACTGACGCCACGCCAGCAATTGCCATATCTGACAACTTTTTATTCTCCAAATCTTCGGCGGCCCCTAATCTGAGCATTGTACTGTCTGGGCTTTCGGTATATGACTTCCCAAACCCTTTCCCGAACTGGCCCGCGGCAACGAATTCATAGATGGTCAAATCGTTCTCGCCCGGATGACTGAGCAGCAGCTGGTAGCCAGATCCAGCTCTCACTGCTCCTACGATTTTTTAATGAGTGTCGTGCTCCCGGACGTGGCCAGCCTTGCGCGCATAGCGTCGGAATCCTGGTTTGTTCGGGGCGCTGGTTGGGGCGGGGGAAGTGGGAGTGGGTTGGAGTTTCTCTGGGACTATCTCTTTTGGCATGTCCATGATCCATTTGCTGGGGTATTAATGGTGTTTGTTGATAGCGCCAATTATCATTCAGCTGTTGAAACTGACGTTTTACCCTTCATCAGCATGGCTTTTCTGAAGACGTTCCCGGTAAGGTGCTGCAGACGCAAAGGTTCTGCTGAAGGTGCCGACATCAATTGTGAAAAGGCTTAGCTTGTCCTCTGGGAAGCCATTCTCACGATTGGCTTTGATGATCTTGTCGTTTAATGCGTTCAGCTGCGCTGCGATATCGGCGCCATCGGGATGCAAACACAGCTGTCCTAGTAGAGTACGAGCCTGCTCCCATATCTCGTGATGGAAGTTCGAAGGTTCAATCTCGACTTCCATTTGATTATTAGCAGTTTCTGATACTGCGACTCTGGATTCCGGTTCGATTTCGATCAATTTGGCAGCCAAGCCAGTAAGAGACGAAGATATAAAGGGCCTCAGAATGCTTCCCGTACCGCACCTAGCTTGTATCCCTCCTACAGCATCATCTCTACATAACCACTATTTTCTGAACATCTACAGTCGACTGGAACCTGTTGTGGTCACTAGGCCGGCTCTGTATTAATCTATTGACATCATCTTGGATGTTACTGTTAGCAGCATGCAAAAATGAGCTGCTATACTCCTCAGCCGAAGTGTCACCGGACGGGCTGCGGACAAGGGATTACATCGAGAAAGTCTCGCTGGTCTGTTGACACCGTTGCTAAGATCAATTCAGTCCACGGGAAAAAGGATTTAATACTTCCTGTCCTTTGTTTGGTTCGAGAATGGATCTAACAATAACCAGTTGTTAGTGTATACACGAAGTCGTAGCTTCTTTTATATTCATCTTTATCACGATCGTGTGTTGTGTTCTTATACTCTCGATTTCTTCCTAAATTGTAAGGCCTCCATGGGTACACGACTCTAGTGAAGTTGATGAACCAACGACCGCTCTTATCGGCAACCTGGACTAACAGTCCTTGAAGCGTTTCAGTTGCGGTGATCGAGTTTCGCCGGCCTGGCGCGTTTCATTGTATCGATAGATAAGCGACAGGACAGTGTAAGAATTCAAGGATTGAACACCAATACTGCGATGCCTCGAGTGGTCTCGATCTTTGCGAGCCACTATTACTTCATGTACGTGGTGAGACCGAGGCAGTATGCCAATAAGGAATTTTAAGACTTATTGATGTGTAGCGGTGGATAGTCATCTCCGCGAGATGAATGTCTGCCGAAGAATGGACCAGTCGGATTGTTAGAGGCGAGTCATGGAAAACACAGACAGAAGAATGTCGGAGGTACGTGCATGCATCTCGGGGTCGCCGCTCGGCCAGGTAACGATTGTCTAAGATTCATGCAGAAAAGATCAAAACAAGCATCGTGTCAACGGTCGAGCTGACCAAAAATGGCCAAGTTTCGACCGATACTGCAAAGTCGCGTCCGTGTGGGGTGATGGTACGCGCGAAAGGCTTCATCACTTACCGAATCAGGCTATTGAAGGATAGTAGTAAAGGCCCGCCATAGCCGAAGCACGAATCGAAAGGGGAGTTGTAAGCTTCGAATACCTCCTAATTTGCTTCGTCTCGCTGGCGGCGCGGGGAGCTCAAATGAATCTGTCAACAGTGCTTGAACACCCTGGTCAGATCCCAGCGCAACGGTACAAGTTTATCGGCTGGAAAACAATTCCTGTGTATACGTTATCAGTGCTGGTGGGACCCAGCCAACAATCGGTAACTACTCGACCACCAACATCACAGTACCAGTCTACACCATGATAATACCATTGGTTTGAATGTGTTATACATCATTCAAATGGTCTGGTCTTGCTCTACATGTACATACCAAGATTGTATATGAAAATGGAGTATATTGAGAGCCAGCAAAACTATGAAGTTCGCGTAGAGGATAGGTTGGATGGCGGAAGCCCGTGGTACACACCATCTAAGCGACGAAATCAACCTCCTATAACGTAACAAGACTGTCAGAGAGTTACCAAACGGCCTATAGAGCAGACATCATGTAGACCCTAGAAATTGAAGAACGTAAAATTTACATATTACACAGCGGTGTAGTTGTTTCTACTACTCGCTATCGATACAATTCCTCGACATTGTTGCGCGACACTACTTAGTCACGTTGCCGCACACCGGTAAGACGATTGCTTGAACTTTAGCATCTTCGGACCTGACGATGGTTATGTTCGGAGTTGTACACGCCTAGTTGGTGGAGTACCTTTCTCCAATCCTGACGTCAACGAAACAAAGCGGAAAAGGCAGCATGCACTGTTGCGGAAGGTGCAACTTATCCGATTTTTCTCGTAATCTTTACAGTCTGCTTTTACATTATACGTAATTTAACACCATACCTCAGTTCCTTCGCTCCCTCGTCAGCGTCACTCTGCGGACCTATATCAATCCTTAGAAAGGTGGACAGAAACACGGGTACAACACACGACTTACGACGTTCACATAGAACCGCCTAATACGATGGCCCAAAATCCACCGGTTGCGCAGTGTAAGAAGGAAAAGAGATACGTGTCCAGAGCTTGTGAGCTATGTAGGACAGCCAGAGCTAAGGTAGGCACTGCATTTGTCTATAGTCAAGTGACAGATTCCTCCTAACCAGAATGGGTTGTTAGTGCGATGGTAACCAGCCTTGTTTTCGGTGCACAAAACGACAATTTGTATGCTTGTATACGTCCGAACCGGATAAACGTGAAAGAGGATTGTTGACGCGAAAGCTCGATCAGCTCGAGAGTGAAAATGCGCTCTACCGAGACTTATTCCACGACTTGAGCCGTGCCTGTGACCAGCAGATACAGCATGTCACAGACTTGCTTCGAAAGAACGCTTCATCAGAGGAGATACAGTCGTATCTAAAGAAGCGGGTGCGTTACACTAATGACACTCAGCATGGTGAAAGCCATGAATCTACTGTTACAAGCAATGGCAATTCCACATCCAAGGACAGCGGAAGTGATTTCGGGGCCGCATACCCATCTCGGCATGAGGTGTTTAACATCCGCAGGATCACAGACAATCCACCTCACCAAGTATCTGCTGCTCCTTGGACTTCGGTCACGCCCGACAACCACCTTGTGTCCCATCTAGTGTCTTTATGGGCAACATGGGGTCACACTTGGCCCACTGGAGTTGTCCTCGAATATTTTCTTCGTGATATGCGTACAGGACGGACGGAATCGCAGTTCTGCTCGCCTTTCCTTGTCAACTGTATCTTGGCCAACGGATGCTTCTTTTCGGATTACGAAGAAACAGCGACGAAGAAAGGCAAATATTCTCCAATGGTAGATCTATTCGTTAAGGAGGCTCTTTATCATTTCGAGCGAGAAAAGTCGAGGCCATCAATTACGAATGTCCAAGGACTCCTGCTTCTAGTTGTGAATATATCTCAGATGAATCAAGATCGCGTAGGTTTCAACTACGTATTACAGGCCAAGGCAATGTGCACAGAGCTTTGTCGGAGCAGCGTTCGGCAACGTTTACTTGCGTCGGCAAGCTCCGAGCAGCAACGACAAGAGATGTCGTATGTGCTCGACGTCACCACCTGGGAAGTATCAGCTCTTATGACTTACTCTCTACTGGCTTACCAGCACCCCCAGCATGCTTTAGTACCCGTTCGTCCGTACCCCGACCATTCAATTCTGCCGTTGTCGCCCTTACCACCGCATTGGACACCTTATCCGGACTCAAGTAATCAAGGATCAGTGTACGGGGATAGCAACTTTCGGCACCATACTAAAGGTCACGTATTGATTTGTGAGCTCGCACATATGCTTTACCTACAGAAACACCCGCCATCTACCGCTGCACTCGAGGACTTTTTAAGACGACTCACATCTTCCTACAATGACGTCTCAGAAGAAATGTTTACGAGCATAAACCCTGCTTCGGCGTTCTACTTAAGGTGAAGCTTTCCCATACAATTACGATTGTGAACTGACAAATGTAGAATTTGGTGGCTATCGACATTCCTGACTGCATTGCTTTTCCAGAAGCAACATTGCGTCGATGTCGAAGGACTTTCGAGAATTAATTCACGGCTCGTCAAGTACGCACTCGACGTCAGTCGTTTCACCCAATCTAGTCACACGTTCGCGAGCGAGGGTAGAGTATGTACCAGCTCTATACAGCCCTTTCAGCAAGCTCTGAACATCCTAATTGATATGAACTCCGAGAAGCAATATGACAGTGAGATCAATGAGCTCTGCATGGTTCTCTGCGCAATGGGGCGACGTATGCCTTTTATCATGTCTAGCGTTCGCATTATTAAGCTGGACGCACAGAGACGTGGTGTTGAATTGCCTGCGACTTCGGTGAAGGTCATTGACGACTTAGAACAGAACACTCTCGAAAACGGTCAGCTTCCAAATAGTCTGTACCCATACCCGGGGTCAACATTCGCTGTGGCCTCAGGAGAGGAGTCGTCCGAAGATTCAAATAGCCGGCGCTTAACGATGAGCGAATTTCTGGAAACTTTCGAGAGGTTAAATGTAGAAGAGCAAGTAAGCGAGCAAGTAAGCGAGCAAGTAAGCGAGCAAGTAAGCAAGCCGGCATTAGATGGAGAACCTCTGAGCTATAGCACGTCGTGAGCTTGTTGTGAAGAGAAATGTTCGTGCCCACGCTGAGTTAAGCAAGAAGCGCCCTAAATTGGCGACTCTCCTCCGTACCAGCTGACGGAAAGCATGTTCGGTGGTTTCCTGCCGATTCTTCGAGATTAGATGGAATGCGCCAGCTGTATTTTACTTGCATTTTAGCTGGAATATCTTGCTTATCTCTTTTTACTCGCATTTCAGCTGGAATACCTTGCTTTGTAAATCGCCTTATATATACCTCTATCATATACTGCGATAGCAGCTATTAACGTCTGCTTATTTGGGTTACCTATATTACGTGGTGTTGTTAAATACGACGCGAATAATAAAAAAATCTGGCGCAGGGAATGGTGATCTTTTTGGCGGTTGATCTTTTTAACAGTGTGCGGAGTTATATGTCTTCTACTCAATGCTGTTCTAGTAGGATCCTGTAATCACTGTTGTTTCGAGTCTTGTACCTACCTATCGTGCTCTTGCAGTCACTGATCTTCAGTTTAAAAATAGAGTAAGCAATCATCCTCACCTTCATAGTGCTAGGCTCTGCTGTTACCAACGTCCACGCAGCCGAAATCCAAAACAAAAAAAAAAGCGAGAAAATAATTACTGCATGTTGACGCACCTCTCTTCATTCCCAGAAGCCAAAAATATTGGTGTTCGACTAATCGCGACAACGGCAAGATTTGAACTTACGCGGGCGAACCCAACAGATATCGATGGTATCTATGATACCTTTCAAGTCTGGAAGATAGTGTTAGAGACTGCGTAACATGATTTGTTCAGTGAACGAACCTGTCGCCTTACTATCAAACTGTCAGTTACCAGTTAATGGTTGATCAGCAGGTTACACTCACACCACTCGGCCACGTTGCCATTTGTGTACTGATATTGTGGCAAAAATCCGATATTGGAATATATATGGCGAATGCTATTGAAGGTGGACGAGGGTGCGGAAACATGTACTGGGTCGGATGCTCGTTGACGTAAAGCCGAGGATCCACGCTCTCTCTTCGAGCATTCGCACGAGAATACCTAGCGGCACAACTGCTTTGTTGGACCGGAGTGATCAGTCTTCGACCAAGCAGCATGAAGGGTAATCTCGTTTACTATTACCCTGCGAGCAGCTCAGGGCGGTGGTGGCTCGGCACCAAGACATGATATCTTGTAACTGATAGTAGTAAGGTTCATGTACTGTATGAGCAATGGGAAGCGATACACAGATTGGTAAGTTGCGGAGTGGTTGGTAACGCACATATGTAATGACCGGGTCGTAACTGCCCGTTTCTGTTGCCTTCCGTTCTGTCTTCGCCGCACTTGCCCCACGTATTCTCTCGACCACCTAGCACTTCGCGGGCATACACTATACACCTCGAATCATATCAATAAAGACGAATGGCCAATTGCAGAGACGGGCAGAATTGTAAAATCGTGCTGTAAGGTGGGTTTTCTGTTCTATACGCTGACGCAGTATCTTGGTCCCTTGCCATAGTGTTGTCCTTGCAACAATCGAGCCAGATGTCTGAAGCATGACTTCAGCAACTCAAAGGAAATGTCACAATACGGTTCCTCGTCCCAACCAAGGCAGTAATAACCTTGACGTCTCGGCACCGCCTGTCGTAGCTGACACCAGTGTTATGCTGAGTGGCTCGCAGCTATCACCACGATGAACACTCCATATACGGACGATGGAAGTTCATGTCAAAATTGAGTCCTGCAAACCGCCGTCGTCGTTGACTGATTGCATAAGTCAGCGCAGCATTAAAGTTTCACGATTAGGCGATGAGAGTTAATTGTGGGATGGACTGTGGCACCAATATTAACACCTGCAGCAGTCGGTCACATGGTCGTGGAACACGGTCAACCGCTGTGCTTGCCTCTATACATCTCCAGTGTTTCATGATTTCAGCACAGAAAGACACGACCGGGCATACATAGGTCATCTCTCAGTGGCTGTTGTTGCTGCAATAGCAGTTAAGAAACCACTAACCTGCTGCACAAGTCTTGGACCCATGGAGTCTCATGTTCGCTCTATCTCGTGTTCCACCACATTAGGGCGTACTGGGCGGTTGAGGTGCCATTTGAAGCAGAATCAAGTTGTGTGAAATAAATCGCATGCCCCTGGCCACTGTCCGCTGGAAGACTGACCACATCTAGCATTGTGTAGTGCTGTTGCCGCGTTTCTTGTGGGTATTTGTACCAGTATGCACAACAGCATAAAAGCTCACCTTGTGCAACCAGCATGACGCTCTGTTGTATCTTACAGAAGATTTCGGGTAACGAACTGCGCTAGTCTAGCCTTTACGAGAGACTGTTTTGTTCTAGAATACCTTGCTGCTTCAACCAGCAAATGTTGTGTACCAGGAAAGAGCGCTCATGACATAAGATCAAGGTAACATTCATATACTACATGAGTCTGCCAGCAATTAGCTATTGGTAAGGCGGGATTCTATTGTTAGTGGTTGTCAATCTGACACCGTTTCCTGAATGGGGTGTTCTAATCATGTACTTCATTGGCTATGGCTGCACCTCTATCCCAGGTCCAGCATCTTTCCGAACTGCTTGGGTATGCAGTTTGTACCTTGCGCCTTCTTGATTGTTGCGCTTCTGTTCTTGCCACGATCACCACGATGACTTGCAAAAGTCGACCGAACCGAGGAAGCTATCGAGGTCCTTGCAAACGTCCAAGCTGGTGGCGATAGAAGTGATCTTCTAGTCGTCACCGAATAGGAGGAAACTACCCGGACTCTGGCTGCCGAGCGACAGGCTGGTGGAGGATGGCGTAAATTCATCTACAATGGCATGTGGAAGCGAACTCTCGCAGGTTTTACTGTTCAGATGTGGCAGCAGAATGCTGGTGCTAATGTCATGGTAAGACTTGTTTGAGGAACCTTTTATGTAAACAGACACTGATATTACTGCAGACGTACTATGTTGTCTACATGTTCGCTATGGCAGGATTGAGTGGTAACATCAACCTCATAGCATCTGGAGTTCAATAGCCCTTTTCATTGTGTTCACAACGATAATGTTCTTCTACGTCGACAATACCGGCCGTAGACCTCGACTGACCTACGGCGCATTGGCAATGGGAGCTTGTTATTTCGTGGTTGGTGGCCTACTCTCTGCTGGCAAAATTGTCCCAGATGGCGTCGACGGCAACCCCAACATCCCGATCCTACTCACTGGCGCCAAAGCAAACACTGTCATTGCCTTCTGTTACCTCCTGATCATCGTCTACGCACTCACTCTCGCACCCGTTTGCTGGATCTAAGCAGCCGAGGTGTGGTCACTCGAGACTCGAGCAATAGGCATGGGTATAGCCTCCCTAGGTAACTGGCTATTCAATTTCGCGCTTGGGCTCTACACACCTCCCGGTTTCCAGAACATCAAGTACGGCATGTTCATCGTGTTCGGCGTCATGTGTGTTCTGGCTGCTGTCCAGTTCTGCTTCATCTATCCAGAGACCTGTAACAAGTCTCTTGAGGAGATTGAGGACATGTTTGCACCCGGAGGACCCAATGCTTGGCATACTAGGCCTGGTGAATCAAGACTGGACAGACTTGTTGAAGGGGCTAGGAACAGGAGATAGACGGTCGACGACGTTCAAGGTCACCGCGCTGGGTCGATTGCCGATGCGCCGGTTCGTGCTGGCAAGATTGCAGTGAGCCAGAATGTTGAGAAAGTCTGATTAGCAGTTACTCGAGGTTTCCGTCTACAGTAGCACGGGATTGCTTACTCAAGTTAGGGTAGAACTAGAACAATATGAAGAAGTATTCACTTGTGGGCGAACAACGAAGTAACAAGCACGCACGGCTTAGGATGAATCACCCTAAAAGCAACGACATTCACGCACTCCTCTTTGATGTCCCCACTACATCCTCGCCTTGAAGGCTCTCGTCAACTTCAATTTACCGTGAATGGTGGACCTTGATCCCTTTCGTTATTGTCTTCATTAGTGTCTCGTTCTGTCCTTGTTCAACCTCCATTCACACCTGAGCTGTCAAACCACATCACAAAAAGCCTTGACGAAAAATCAGCGCCTGGAACTCACGTTTTTCGTAGCAAGAATGAGAGCATTGCTTTGGAGCAGAAACTAAACCTTAGAGAGGTCAAAATCAGCATCAACATGTCGACACGCAGACGTCACAACAGTCACAACTTTAACGCGGTGTTCTCGATCACGTTATCGTCAATACTGTAACATGTTGTTGTCTGACCGATAACCCGTAGTCAGTGACGATGAACGGGCATCAGTACAGGGCAAGAAGAGACGGCGACGTAAACCTTCGTCTGAGTCGATCCTGCTCGAGAGTGTAAATTGCCAGTCGATCACAGACTGATCTAACATGTGTCCAGCAACACAGTCACAGCCCTACCATTCTGCAAAGCGCTGTTGTGCGACGATATTGTGTACGTTTATTGGTGTTGTTCTAGATGATGGCCGCACCATGCTAACTTCACTCAGTTGTTGAACGAATGGTTCTGCGGTGTATTTCCTTTGCAGCTGCAACAGTTACTTGAACATGGTTTACAGGTGAGACGTATTGCCAGGCACAATATGTTCACTGTGTAGAAAAGAGCAGAAGCAAAACGATGTACGATCCACGGATCTGCGGAGTACGTATAGAGATCGACCTGCTTCTCGGCTCGTGCCAAGCGGAAATCACTTGATTGGTTGGTGCCTTGCTGCATAGAAAGATCTTCGTAGCGATCTTGCTAGTGATAACTTAGTATCAGTCTAGGCTCAGGCAACGGCGTGAGCTGGAGGCTGTCACCGACACTATCGTCGAAATGGTAGTTGTGTCGTGAACATGAGGTGCTAGAACATGTTCGATCTGTACGAAAGTCGTGGAATCAACCATTTGTTGTCGCGAGCATTATGCTGTTTGGAAGCTAGCTGATCTGCAAGCCACAAGTGTCAGTTGTGTACTTGCAAGAGATGGCAGCGACAAGCTCTCCAAAGCAGTACAGTACCGACGCAGATGCAGATGCAAGGTTTGGATCGTACACGCGGACTCTGTCTAGCTTAGGATGTGTTGGAGGTTGTGCGATACAATTGTCCGAATGCATGTGAAGCAGGGCTATTATACAAAGCATGTACCTTGTCTGGTGCCCCGGAGAATTGCAGAACGACTCATTCCCTGCAGTTGTACTATCCACCACGAAGAAGTTTTGATGAGTGTCGAGATTCCGACTGAACACTCGTCCTGCTTCCAGCACATGTGACAAACGGTTGCACCGTTGAGAACATCAGAGGCGTAAGCCACACGAGTTCGTGGAAAGCAGAGTGCGATCTGAAACCGCCACTATTGCTTGTGCACTGACTTCGCCATATCATGTTCTACGATCGACTTCCGCAGCAGAAAACACGACGTAGCAGAACATCGACCAAGAGAGTTGTGCGCATGTGACAGCAGTACAGGAAATGCACGTAATGTCAATTACGAGCAGTCTCAGCGAGAGCGACACAAATCGATGTTCACAAACAATTCGATCACTGGCAGAGAGTGTCACGCGTCACCATGGTAAAATACGTGTCTTTGCCCTCACAAGTTGGCAGGAACGCGGATTGAAACGACACAGACGTGCCTGCCACTTCAATGTAGTTTGCAAGTGCTCGCGAGGATCAGAGCTCCTGCTTCAGATCCTGTGGCAGAGGCAATTTCAGAAGCCATGTACTCATCTTATGCGTAGTGCAACACATTAATATTGGCGGGTTGATCACGGCTAGACGACCAACGGTGACTACAGCGTCGGGGTCCTTGCTGTGGCAGTAAAGAGATTGAGAGTGGTTTGTAATCTCTATCAGCGAACCTGATACAAACAAGTCAATTTGATAATCCTTGTTCAAGGTCGAAACGCAATTTTTACCCCGGATTTATGCTGTGCTGTGGCACCGTGGCCGGGATCGGTCTTTGTGAGCACCGGAGAGCCGTTGAAGAGGCGCTTCATATTCTCAGGGACTTTATCGATATCTGACATCAAGTTTCCACCTTGCGCCTTGTATGACCTCAGGGACTTGCCAAGTGATTCTTGTTCATGATTGCGCAAGTGTCTAAGCACAACTTTTTCGGCATTTACCAAGGAGTCGTAGGATTGTGACAATTCGTTAGATCTACCGGATCCGGAGGAATAAAAATTCACCCGACTAGACACATAAAACGATGAAAACATATACAGAAATGAGCCTTAGTGCACACTGCGAAGAAGGCATCAGAGCATGGATGTTCAAGTTCAAGCGAAGACAAGCACAACAAAGGCGAACCTTATCCAATAGCGTCAACAAGAACAATTTGAAGGTTGGTCGTTCCCCATGGTGTGAATGTCGGAATGTCGGAGACAGCCTACCGCTTCGCCGTCCTGAGACAGCCACATGATCTGCAGGCGGCCAATAACAAATCCAGGGTGCTTGCTTGCTCTTCTGGTCGAAACAAGTAGCGTACCCTTCCGCTCTCGGAAGCCAAGGTCGAATACATATTGACTTTGAACGGTGTCGAGTCTCGTAGTATGACCTCACTTAATGGTGACCAGTCACAGTGCACACCCGGAATGTAGCAACAACACGTTAAGCAACGAGCAAGATTGCTCAAGCAAGCAAGCTCAGAACCAACAATTGTGCACAGTACCAATAAAGAGATCACAAGTCATGACGGTGGCGGTTGGCTACATTGCTCGAGTACAGTCGTAGCAGCTGACAGAACATCTGATCCGGTCTACTGGTATAATCACGTGGTCTCACGCTTCAATAGAGCTGTGTGGCGTGGAAGACAGCTGTAGCGGAACTGGCCGGCAGGTCAAAACTATCGTGCCCAGTACGAAACATGTCTCGTGTGCTGTTTATTGCCCGTTGACAATCCCGGCACAAATGGCGTAGGAGATGTGTATACGTGCGCTGCTGCGCATTTAACATAGAGAATGACCACACGGCGACTCGAGTAGATCTGAGGTAAGGCACGAGTCAGCCAAGGAAGGAGCCGGATCGCGACCTTGAAGCGCCGAATGACGCGCGGACTACCACGATTTCAGTGAAGGTAAAAACTCGTCTCAAGCTGCCACTTCTACGGTGACTGCACAAACCCTACCACGCCACGAGGTCCACATACTCAAAGATGCCTGTCGCCCAGACACGCTACTGCCTCTTAGGCAAAGTTTCGGTGGTGTCCACGATCTGGGATGGCTGGGCGCTTGCAACGAAAGCGTGCATTGCCCAGAAAGCCACTTGAAAAAGTGGTGGAACACGGGACAAGCGACTCAGCAGCGCCGGTGGAGTCCCCTGTGTCCTAAACCCCGGCTACTGTACGATCAGCCAGCGTGGTTATGCGTGCCTATGTCAGTCAGCTTTCAGCTTGCAAGCCCTGCACTATTCAAGCAAAAAGGAATCCTTCCTCCACGACCTGGACTCCCGGCTAACACTAGATCTTTTTGTAACACTACTCATCAACATCCTGTTGTTTTCTTTGACCTCTGCCTACTCCAACCAAGCGTGCCTCTTCACCATTACGCACTGACGCTTTTCACCCGACAATCCTCTTAGTCCGGCCCATCGGTAGACCAAGGCCGACTGAACCATTGTTCACCCATAGACCTCACAGCAGCCTCCTCTTATACTCGACTAGTCCCATAGCCAAGCGGCCTTGCGTTTCTTTGTATATCGCTTCGCATACAGACGCATTATCAACTTGGAAACAAAGAAAACTATCTAGCCAGTCTAAAGTACAACAACATACCAGCTGATCACAACAACCGCCGAACGCATAACCAGACAACGAGAATCATGTCACGTACAAACAATGGCCTGCCACGGCCTGTGGGTCATTCTCTGGCTGACGCTCTACATATGAAATTGAGCAATCTCTCCAGGCTAGATGTTGGCCTGCAGCACAAACACAGAAGGGATCCTTCAGATCCAAGCCCATTGACCGCAGGAACCGATCAGTCAGATCTCTCGAAGGGATCAAGAACATCCATGGAGTCATACAGAACAGAGGCCACTGATGCTGTACTCACCCCAACTCCTTTCCGATCGAGAGCGAGCACAACCACCGAGCTGTGGCAGCCCGACGATCAGCAGATGGTAGCACCAAATTTCGTGCCTTGCAAGCCGCCAATACGAGTTATACTAGGAACAGCATCCGTCGGCTCCAAGAAATCTCCTCTCGCAAAGATAACCACCATAGAATCGCTTAGCAAATTCCTGTCTACCTTCCGCAAAAGAGGCTACAACGATATTGACACCGCGAGAGCTTATCCAGTTGGTCGAGGTGGTACCTGCGAGCAGTTACTAGGCGAGAAGGAGCTCAAGTTGCAGACATGGGCCAACACATCCAGCAAAGTCTCGAGCTTCATGCCTGGTAGTCACCGACCGAAGAACATCAACGAAAGCATAAAGAAATCCCTTGAGGCACTAGGTGCTGAGGAGGACGGCATCGATATCATGTATTTACATGCACCAGATCGAGCAACCCCATTCTCAGAAACATGTGAAGCGATGCACGAAGCATGGCTAGAAGGAAAATTCGCTCGTTTCGGTCTGTCCAACTATACTGTCGAACAGGTCGAGGAAATAGTAAGGATCTGCGAAGAGTGCGGCTACAATCCTCCCACTGTTTACCAGGGCCAATACAATCCAATCTGTCGTGGTGCTGAGGAAAAGTTGTTTGAGGTTCTTCGAAAGCATAACATCGCCTTCTATGCTTACAGTCCTTCAGCATGCGGCTTCTTCTCCAACAAAGTCACTCGTGCCTCAGCCAAAGACTCAGACAGTAGGTGGAACATCGCATCACCACTGGGTGCCAAGTATGCTGGCGACTACTTCCACGACCCCCTCTTTGCTGCGGCTGAGACCGTTCGTATGCAAGCTAAGCAGTACGGCATTTCAGGTCATGCTGCAGCGCTTCGATGGACAACATGGCACTCGAAGCTCGATGCTGCTTGTGGTGATGCTGTCATCATTGGTGCATCCAGACTCGAACAACTCGAAGAGAATTTGAACATCCTTGAACAAGGTCCTCTGCCGGAAGGTCTTGTCCAAGTCATGAACAAGATGTGGGAAGAGGTCAAAATGATGGAGAAGGGCCCTCGATTTTCATTTGTCTAAAAACACATTTTTGGTTACACATACGCACTTCTAATCACAAATTTTCGACCGAACCAAACTGGACATTCGGAGGCATAACGGTTGCGGAAAACGCGGGTAACAAAAAGGGCATCGGGTTACGCACAAAATGGTTGACAGGTTCATGCCTAGGCATGGTCGGCACACATATCTTTTTCACTTCTTCACATATCCCTCAAGTGCTGAGATGGATATTTTGGGATATTTATTGGGATGCAATGTTGGGGAGCATGAATGATTTACTATGATACCCATTTATATGTATGATATGCTATGAAGAGCTACGGTTGGCTGAAATCCAAGAGGATTTCGAACATCTCATGAGTAGAGGACAAAATAAAATGATTGCTCGAACTCATTGCTCTGACTTCTTCATGATCGCCAATACACTAGGTGTCTGCACTCAATCCTTATCTTTTCAACGCAGCAGTAGTCTTCAACTTGATGCAATATAGCTCGGCAGTTTAATTCTGAAACAATATGTCGCACGTCTTGGACCACTTAAAAAGAGTGCTCTCTTGGGAGGATGTGCCGAGCTCATGGATGAAGAGCGATCGAAGGATCCGCCTATTCACCGAAAACTGTAAGTGCTCCTACGACTACTGCACAGCATCGCGATCAAAACTGCAACGTCTGTTACTATACGTCAAACACTACAGGTGGTCGTGCCTTCCACGAAACTGACCAGTTTTTAGACTCCAGAACCAATAGGCTGCTGTTCCATAACCTGGATGCTCTTCCTTCACATGTCCCAAGCTGCAATCACCCTACGATCCTTGGGCGAGTTAGCTGTCGCAATGCAGGAGTGAGGCCACCTGCTTCGAGTTCCTTTCACCTATAGTAAATCCGTGAGTGTTTCTCTCCTGTCACGATCCCCTCAATCTTTCAGACCCGCCTTATCGATAAAGTGTCACATCAAACTTACGCCAATTGCGCTGATGACACTACAAGGTTCGGTCAATGTTATGTCACAAACTGCACGAGTCAGGGGTTATAGCCGTTCGATGGATCGAGATGCGCCACGCATTGATGTTGCAGCGTAACAGCTGTCGTGATTCAACAGTAATATTAGAATCTAGCTACATGCAGATTCTAACAAGCGTGTTCAGGTGCCAATGGCTGAATCGCAGCTGACCGAGAAATCGTTCTCGCTTGCTGGAACGCCATGACTGCTGTCGGAATGCATTGTTTGGTCACTACATGAGAATTGTAGTGAAGGCAAGCGAGGGCAAGGATAAGCGAAGCCTCATTGCCCATCAGGCGATTTTCTTTCCGAAGGATGAGCAGCCATGGTAACAAGACTTCCTAGCTCGTCGCCCAGAGCAGACAGTCCTGCTCAGTCATTGTGACTGAATACGCCTTGCAGTGCATCCTTCTTGTGGCATACATGTTTGTCCATAACGAATCGAGAACAAGTTCGTGGATTTGCAGTAACCCATGATCGTCCTCATCACTTATCGATACCCCACCAGGACCGAGCGACAAGGATGTGTTGAAGCAGATCCGGCTGGTCTCTGCCACCACACACATACCAGTCACAATATTCTCAAAGCGTGTTCTCCCAGACCAATTTTGGAGCAGGCTGGACAACACTAGAGGTTTCAGTGGCACCAGCCAGCCACGTGCCAGCATGAGCAGGAGGCGCAATATTTCGGGATTATATTCAATAGCAGCAAAGTATCGTCTTGCTCGCGGCTGTTGACTCAGTGCCCTGGTTCAAATCGCTGTATCTATCACGTCGACACAATGTCCACCTTCAAATTCTGTGACTGGAACCCACAGGGATGGCCTGTTCTCGGCTTGCAACAGCACGTTTCGACGTTTCGGGTTGAGTGCTGATCAACACGTTTTACGATGCCTTCTGGTGGGCTTACTTGTTCTCAGGGTCTGATCTGCTTTACTGATGTAGAAATGATCACCAAGACAAGGGAGCGACTCGGCACAGGAAGAAGTCATCTACGATAGGCTGGCTACAAGCGCCAATGAACAACACACTATTAGTACAAACACAGTGTGAGCGTCTGAGTCTAAATCAGTTACGAGACATCTAGAGACACCCAGAACACGAATATGAGGCGATAGCGTTCCGAGGCAAGCACCTTCAACAGCATATGCCCACACGATTGGGCAGCTTAGTGGATCATTCTGTTGTTCATGTTCTACTCTAGTATCGTGCCTGCAAGTTTGGTTGCTCATGCGATTTGAGACTGGAAACAAATCTTGCCCAACCCAAAAATCTCATCGTTCCTTCAGGGGCATCGCTTCTCACTGCCGCGCATTAGACTGTGTTGACTGGGCTGGTTGTGAAGGTTTTGCATCTGTGACCCCGAGTGACACCTGTCATAGTTAAAGACGACGAGGCCTGGGTTCACTGTACACTGCCAGAGATTGAAGCAGATGAAATAGCACAAATCGAGCCACTCAGGGAAGACCTTGTCACGTGTGGGGAAAAGAATAGTCGAGGCCCAAGTTGTGCACTGCTGTGTCCAGCTACTCAGCCTTGTTACATGCACATAGCCTTAGTGGTATACCAAGTATGTGCTGCACCACACCCTTGTTCAGCTTGTTCTGAAGCAAGACCGTCGAGGTTGGCATATGAAGCGTGAAAGCTTCGGCGGATATCATTGTCATTGATTCTTTCGTCGCTCACTTTTGGGTTATAAAACGGGCTACTAGCAAAACCCAAAGCTCTGGCTCACGGACACAAATGTGTATGCCACGTTTCGTCGATCGGTGGACAATACGGCGGATCGACATCTGGGGCTTCCACCCTCGAAATAGCAGATACAAGAAGGTTGCAGTTTCCAGAAAAAGCAGGTATAGGTTTTGCCTCGAAGCTTTGACCTAGCAAGCCTAGATTTCCCATTGGAGCTGAAGATGGTCTCTCAGACCTTAAGTGCAGCTACAGCCGTACGTTTTGAGTTGGTGCAGGAAAGAGCAAAGATGATTCGTGCCGGAGGGAGAGGACAAGAAGTGGATTCGAACCTAGACTGAACTGGACCGCATTGGTGTACTTTCGACTCTCCACCATCCATGTGGCTCGATTGGGAAAGCGTGCGGCGTTAGCCACATGATCTTTTCCCTAACCTGGGGTTTGTCCTTTTCCGAGCCGTGTGCCAAGAGCCAATAGGAAAGTTGAGCTACTAGTGCACATGGTGGCTGTCTGAGAGCTGGACCAAAAAGTGCAGTCAGTGTAGCTGAGGCTCCTGCAATATGTTGATGCTCGTACAGGACGCTGTTTCCCGGGCTTTGATAATTCGGATTCACTATTGGCCCCAGCTTAACACATGGCTGAAATTGCGAGCGCCTGCAATGCAAGAGGCTGCGCACTAACTTAACGCATCACCCGTCAATAGTTACCATGCCTACATACACCAAGCATAGCCAATGTGCCCCGATAGCTCGCTGGTCACGACGGTAGTCTCATTGAGGAGTAGTAGCCTCTGCAATACTCCCAACTTGGCTTGAAGTGGCTCGAGAGGAAATGCAAACGGTTATGCTGCCTATTTTGATAAAGGTTGGTTGTTGTGTCTTGAGCTCGTACTGAGCAACAGACTGGCTGTATTGGTTGAAGCGCGAGCTCACTCGGAAACGGGTCGTCTGTCATAGTTTTCGGAAGCAGGTCTCCCAAACCTTCAGGCACCAAATCACTGATATAGCGAAAAGAATTGTGTCGACAAGCCATGGCGTGTTCATTGAAGGTTCTACCAAGTCAAGTGCAGTCCGCAAGTTCGACCATACAAAGAGCCAAATCACAAGAGTACCAGAAGATGTAGTCCGATGCCTCAAGATTTCCTCGGGATGTATCATCGGATGTGTTCAAGAGTAGGCTGAAGCTGAATGTTCCGACTCTCAGCCTTTTCAACTAAATTTCCACGTTCAGCGACGATGTCTGTATGGCAGAGCGACGAGCGGATCTGATTATATTCAGTCTCATCACTTCGAGCATACAGTCTCTTTTCAGGCTAAGCTGTGCACGTATGTTCCCTGAAGACTTCTGACCAGCTGCGAAGGAGGATCTGAAATCAAAAGGCTCGAGGTCGCATTTCTGCCTGGACATTGAGGCCGAAGGAAGTGCGGGGGAACCGCAGCTGCCTCTTTTCTCGTAGAGCTGCGCGTTTCACGCATCACTTTCGCGTTATTTGTTGCCAGTAGAATCTTCGAGAGCTTTGTGAGGCCTGGAAGAGGAACACCAAACAGCAAACAATTGACTACTTCGTTATAACCGTTCTTTATTTGGCATGCGGGTTTTGAGTTTTAATTGCTGCTTACTGCTTCCGTTGTTCCTACCTTGCTGATAATTCGTTCAAGATGACTGACACTAAGCGACCAAGAGTCTACTTCGACGTCAATGTTGGCGAGAAAGTACTCGGTCGGATCGTGTTTGAGCTAGTAAGTCAAATTTCACGGAATTACCTCGAAGCAAGAGACTAAACTCTGCGTAGTTCAACGATGTGGTACCAAAGACCGCTGAAAACTTCCGAGCTCTCTGTACCGGTGAGAAGGGCACTGGCAAATCTGGCAAACCCTTGAGCTACAAAGGCTCGATATTCCACCGTGTAATCAAATCCTTCATGATACAGGGTGGTGACTTTACTGCTTTCAATGGTACAGGAGGAGAATCAATATACGGCGAGAAGTTCGATGATGAAAACTTTGAGCTCAAGCATGACAAGCCTTTCCTCCTTTCCATGGCCAACTCTGGTCCCGGCACCAATGGCTCCCAATTCTTCATTACGACCGTACCTACTCCACACCTCGATGGCAAGCACGTAGTGTTTGGTCAAGTGATCAATGGAAAGAATATAGCCAGGGAAATCGAGAACATGCGTACACAAGCAGACAAGCCAAACGAGGATGTTAAAATCGTGGACTGTGGACAGCTCGAAGGTGCTTCCTTCGACGCCGCAACCGAGAAAGCTCCAGATGCTACAGGCGATCCGTACGAAGACTTTCCAGCTGATCAGGGTACAGACATGAGTGGAGAGGAACTGCTCAAGATCGCATCTGAACTGAAGGACTTCGGTAACAAAGCCTTCAAGGCTGGGGACGCTGAAACGAGTATCGAGAAATACCAGAAAGGCCTTAGGTATCTGACTGAATACACAAACCCATCCGAGGGCGATGCGTCAGATCTCAAAGATAGAATGACCGCATTACGCTTCACCCTGAATAACAACTCTGCAATGGCTGGCCTGAAAGCTAAGCGATATAGGGACGCTGAAAAATGGGCCTCTGATGCAATTGCCAGATTTCCAGCGGACGTCAAATCCGCCGATAAGGCAAAAGCATACTCGCGACGAGGACAAGCAAGAGCTGGAATCAAAGACTACGAGGAAGCAATTGAAGATTACCAAGAAGCTTTGAAGTTCGCTCCGGAGGAAGCTTATATCAAGACGCATTTGTCCCAAGCCAAGAAGGCCATCGCTGACAGTGACAAGAAGATGCGGTCGAACGTCTCGAAGATGTTTCAGAGTGAATAAGCACCTCACTCCGGCTGGTAGTGACGATCATGATTTGATCGTTGAGCCCACTCAGACACGAATTTACGAGCAAGGTACAATGACTGGAAAAGGATAGATTCTTGCGGCATAGATATCTTAGCAAGCGAAGAACTTCAATCATTTCTGTTCATGTTGCAGATATCACTTTGGCAAAGCATTCAGCCTCTTTAGCTTCTCTAGGTTGTCGCTAATACCTTCCAGCATAACTTCAAGATGATGTGCTAGGAGCAGGACGTTTGAGCTAGTCTGGTTGCTTACTTCTTTCTGCTTGCTCCATCCCAGGTTATGCGACTTATGCTCTAAGCATACAATGCAACTATATTGATGATCGCATCGTGCGTTTTGTGCTGAATCACTGCTGACTCGCACGCGATGCACGTGCGTTTTACGCTACTCTATTAGCGCAATCTATATCTGATCCGATCGGCAATCTGCGATCTGCGATCTGTGTCAAAGACCTCGAGACCAGCTTCCATAGATCAGCCTCTCCGGTTGCCTCGCATAGGGCCAGTAGAACATTGGGCTTAGATATCATTTGGATGACCATAATGTATCGCTTTTCTAGAATAGAGAAACGTCTGTCGAGAGGCTGAAAACGAAACGGCTTCGAATGGTGGACGATCTGATGGAAAGTTCAATGACGTCGATATACAGTCTCCCTTGTCGAACTTTAATAAGCACACAACTTATTCTGCTTGTGCAGCAACGAGCTTCAAACTTAGTCAAAACGCAGTGAACAGAACTAGTTGTGTGCCAAGCTCGAGCTCAAAAGACTGATGTCCGGTTCGAGGGTGGAGCGTGACATTGAGCAGAACAGCCTAAACATGGCATCCGATACCCATGGCGATGGCGCGAGGAAGAAGAAGGTCCTGGTTGTGGGAGCAGGTGCTGCAGGGTAAAACATCCCAAGCTATATCGATTGCGATATTGAGGCTAACGAATGCAGGATGTCCGCGGCATACCACATGTCTAATCATCCCGATAAGTTTGATGTGACGGTGATCGACTCCGTGAACTATTGTGGCGGCCAGGCTTTTTCGCATCAACTCGACAAAGGAAGGCATGGCGCCAGCTGGTTCAATCAGGGCGTGCAGGGAGGAAGTTATATCTTCCACCACACCTGCACCATGTTTGCGAGACAAGGCTATCATGCGGATCCCGTTAAGCTTCAGGTCTCTTTCGGCAAGGATAAGGACTTTTGGACTAATGTGTTTCCGACGGATGTCTTGGAGAGGCATCAGAAAGACATACGGAAGCTGTTGTTGATGTGGAAAGTCATGCGCTGGTTCGAGATCTTCTTTGCGTTGTTACCGTTAAGACTGGTCTGCCAGATGTTCCTGATGAGTGAGGACTTTATCAACGTCGTAGCATTGCCGATGACCGCCCTCTTCCTAGGCACTGGCAACGCAACCCCCGAGACTCCAGCAATGATGCTCGAACGACTTGCCACATCTCCAACATACGGCATGTGGTATCCTCCAGACAAGCGCAGTGTCGCCTCAAACATGTGTCCGATGATCGTCTTCCCAAACTTCAGCGAATTCTACGAAACCTGGCGCAAAGACCTCATCTCCCGTGGTGTCAAGGTACGACTTTCGACCGAGCTCGTTGAGATCGTCTCTCGAGACAAGAAAGGCGTGACCGTCAGTATCAGACCCCGAACAGCTGTGTCTGACAACCACAACCCTTCTACCGGCATCTCTCCAGACCACCCACCCACCGAAGGAGATGCCGACGCAGCTGAACGAGATCGACATGCGCCACAACACGAAGAGCACTATGACGAACTTGTTCTCTGCGTCCTTGCAGACACCGCCAAAGCATTGCTCGGTCGCACCGCCAGCTGGCGCGAGCGAAAAGTACTCGGAGCAGCCAAGTTCTCAAACGATATTACCATCACGCACACCGACTCGGACTACATGAAGAAGCACTACGAAAACTTCTATCGGTCAGACCTCGCCGTCATGACGCTCAACAAACAAGATCAAACTCAGCGGAATGAGTTCGGCAAAGCAAATTTCAGACCAATGTACTACATCAAGACGTACCCCAAGGATAAATCCAAGCTGGAGATGTGCTTCGACACCACGAACTATCAATGCCAGTTTCCGGAAAAAGTGCCGTTCGAAGACCACGTTTTCCAGACCATTTTCCTGAATAAAGACCGCGATGGTCATTTGTGGAGCGACGAGGAGATTGACTCGAGTAAAGTCATTCGAAAGGACTGGTGGCATCAATTATGTCATAGCTACACGCACTATATTAAGGTTGTTCCGTGGATGATGTTCCTTCAAGCTAAGCGAAGTGTGCGATTTGGCGGCTCGTGGACCGTGGTCAATGCTCATGAGGTGGCTGTTATGTCAGGTATCGCTGCCGCAGTTGATCTTGGCGCAGAGTATCCCGAGGACTTGGAGAACGATAAGTTCGCCTTCCTGTGCTTCAGGTTGTACTACTTGTTGTGCTATGGGAAATGGTATAGTCGCAGATACAAACACAGCACTAGCGAGGCTGCCAAGGCAGGGAGAAGCTGGGCTAATGGTCTGTATGGGCAGAGATATAAGGGGCCTGGAGTGACGGAGGAGGAGAGATGTACCTGGAAGGAAGAGATGAAATTAGGGAGGAGTACGGGAGATTTGGCGGAAGGCAATGCGGAGGGAAGGAGTCAGCCTTGATATTGCGGACCTAAACTCACCTCAGGCTGTTTTAAATTCAGTCGTGAGTCCTCGTAAGCAGTCAATAAGCTTCTTGCTTGTTAAAAGCCATGAGTGACCCTAGAAATGTGCACCCTGCGTATCTTTTTCCATCGCATGTCCCAATGAATGCTGAATCGAGTCAATTGGCTCGGCAGCATACACTGTCCAATGTGCACTGGTACTGAATGCGCTCGTTCCTGAACCACTGATACCTTACTGGATAGCTGTACATGAATCCAGGATCGCTCATAAATATACTGTTCGCCCTGCGCTATGATTGGCTCTCCGGAGTTCGTGCCGGAAACTCTGACCGAGGCATCTCAAGTGCTTGGTTGGAGATGTGCGCAAAAGCTATTATTCGTGTGGAAAAGAGAGTGCTGTATTTGTATCGAGGATAAGCGGTTTGAGACCGAACGAGCATACAATGTAACGAACGGAAGGGAAAGACTTCTTGCGTGTACTTTTCTGCCGGGGCAGGATCTATCTGGCAGGATATTCGTGCGACGTTCCACAACCTATCCATCCCGACAGGCCGGAACCATGGCACCGACACAACACGCCATGTTCACGTCAAGTTCTGATAGTAACGATTCGCCAATACCAAATACGAGATGGAATGAGAAAAGAGCCTGGCTGCGTCAAAGTCGTGACTTTCCAGAGCCCGGACCTCCTCCTGATGGTGGCTGGGAATCATGGAGCCAGGTACTGGGCGGCTTCATCGTTGTTTTCCTCTGCTGGGGCTTCATATTGAGCTTTGGGCTCTTCCAGACCTTCTATGCCTCTCAGGACTACATCGATGCTTCGCAATCGGCAATTTCATGGATTGGCTCAATACAAATATTCCTGCTGATGGCTATTGGTGCTTATTCGGGTTCTGCTAGCGACAGCGGGTACTTTCGCCTGACAACCATCGTGGGCCAATGCCTTTTTGTGTTCGGTATCTTCATGACAAGTGTCAGTCGCGAGTACTATCAACTGGTGCTTTCACATGGGGTAACAACCGGAATAGGAATGGGTTTGTTTTTCATCCCCACTATGTCTGTTGTGTCGACGTACTGGACTTCCAAGCGCAAGAGTCTAGCAATTGGCTGCATGTTGTGTGGTGCAGCTGTTGGAGGCATGCTTCTCCCGACCATGTTCAACAGTTTGCTGCCACGTATCGGATTCGGATGGACCTTGCGAACGTTCGGATTCATTGCGGCTGTTCTCTTCGGCTGTGCTCAGGTATTGCTGAAGAAGCGACTGCCACCCAAGGATGAGGTTCGCATCCTCGATTTCGAGGCACTGAAAGACCTCAAGTTCATCTTGTTTGTCGTTGGTTCGTTTCTCAACTTTCTCGGCCTATACTTTGCCTTCTTCTTTATTGGCTCTTACGTCCGGAATGTACTTGGAGTATCTTTCTCGAGATCGAACATGATACTTCTTGTAATCAATGGCACTGGCATTCCAGGACGGCTCATACCGATGTGGTTGGCAGACCAGCGGCAGTGGACGGGTATACGTCCCGTCACAGTCCAGATTCCACTCAATCTTGCAACTAGCATATTGCTTTTTGCGTGGATTGCAGTAAAGGACGAAAGCTCGGCTTACATCTTCGCGGCGTTCTATGGCTTTGCCGCAAACGCAGTACAGTCGTTGTTTCCTGCGACTTTGGCTGACATGACCTCGGATCCAAGAAAAATTGGTGCACAAATAGGCTGGGGGTTTACCATCTCCAGCTTCAGTTGTTTGACAGGTAATCCAATTGGTGGCATCTTAGTTCAAGCGGATGGTGGCGAGTATACTTATGCCCAGATCTATGCTGGGATTTGCACGATGTGCGGGTGTGCTGTCGTGACAGTGGTGGCTTGGCTCCGCATAAAAGAGCAGCAGAAGATCGATGCCGGATGACCCGTGTATCCGAATGTAGCTGTATGTCAACTCTTCTCATATCCCATTTCCTTCAGCAAGTTGTAAGCGTTTTACTCCTGCGGAAGCGTTCTTCGACGCGCTTCTTTATGCATGCGCTTAGTAGCCGTCGTTGACGCGGGACTGCTCGGTTCCCTCTTTCCTCCTGCCTCTTTGCCGCTGGCACGCTCTGACGGTATGCCTTTCTCCAGTGATTTTCTCTGCAACAAGACTGTTCTCGTACCAGGAAACTCCTCGACAATGTGTTTCCACACCCTAGGTGTTCCAAGCCAACACTCCAGTAGGGGTCGACTCCGAGCAACGGGAAGTGCGTCAGTCCTGGACTTGGCAACAGCAACACTCTCAGCATGCAGGTTCGAGATGTTGCCAACCACGAAAGACCTGTCGTCGAAGAGAGGTCTTAGATATTTGACTCCGCGCTTCGAAGGCCAGACTTCCCACCCAAACTTTTCGGCTGACTGCTCCCAGTCTTTGTGGTTCTTGTGATGAATGTTGCGGCAATCCGTAACGACGACGAGATTGAGTCGAGGGAAGGTCTTAAGCAATTCGAAAAGCCAGACGTCGATTTTCTCTTGCCAGCCAAGCAGCAATACTCGCAAGTTTCTGAAAGCCTTACCAGTCCTGGCTAGGTCTGACCACACCCTCAACACGCGCTGATCAAAGGTCGATTCGCGGTTATCGATATAAAGCTGACCATCCGATAGGTCGAGTACGGTGAGATTGCTAATCGTTGATACAGCAACGAGGTCAGGTACACCAATCTGTTTCGGCGAAAGACGAAGGCATGTGAGCCAATCGAGCTCCATGGAGTCTAGACCGCGATAATAGTCAGTGAGCTTTAGTGATGGTGTTCTAAGGTCCAGCATGTAGCGATTTGCTTTGCTGGCGAAATCGTGGCTATAGGCACTTGCGAACGTACGCCAAATGTAGAAGCTCTGTGCACGACTGAGACGCGTTAGTGCTATACCATGTAAGTAATTGTCATCATGCTTACTCTTCTTGTATACGCTTCCAGATAGTTTCCCCTAATGCCCAAGGTAAAGAGCGCAGAGCTTCTGTCGTAAGATCTTGTGACAATGATCTGATCCTGTTGATCACCATAGCTGAAAGACTTCTTGCCCCCTGTTGATCGTTAGGCTTCGCCCTTGCATGAACCAATCCTGGCGATCTATACTCGCTGATCCAATTGCCTGCACCTCTACTACCACTGATCTCAAGTTCATCGTAGGCAACACCTGATTCATGGTCATATGATGTGGTTTTGACATCTGCAACACCATTATGAGCTAGTTGATTGAGACGTCTATGTCGTCGTGTGCTGCGGTTGATATGAGCCATTGTGACGACGAAGACGATGCGGACCGAGTTCTATGTACAGATTGGTGCCACACTCGACTAGCAATGTTCATCTGAGCAGCTTCGTCATGGTAAGAAGAGTTTCCTTCTCCATCTTTCCTGGTAATACGTCAATGGTGAAAGTCTTCAAAGACATGCGACACTGCCACCGAAGAGTTTGGCGAACCGGTCGTATCTCGCCTATAAGTAGGTTGTTACTGCCATCACTGTGATGCAAAAATTATCGGTTCTGAAGGTGGCAAGAGCAAGGCAGAATTGCATCAGTTTGTCATGGGAAAGTACGATTCGCAACCTCGATGATGTGAATGTGCTCGAACTTCGGCATTTTTATTCCTATCTGCGCAGTAGTGTAGAGGTCAGCCTCGCTTAATTGAATGCTTGGATTTCGGGAACCAACATTGCTTATCTCGTGCCCATCAGTCCCGAATCTTTCCGAACAAGGCTGGGCACCAAAAAGAACGCTGCAACAGGCGAACTTTCAGGACTGATGCATTTTACGTTCCTGCCATGCGACACCCAATACAAGATGCAATGGAGGGGATGGTTATGGGAAACTTATTGTCTGGCAGATCTACCTGTTACACTGAAATTCTGGCGCCACTCTGGTTCACACAGTCGGCATTATATTGCCTTCTCTATAGCCGTGATTGGAAGCAGCCCGCCATTGTTCACTGTTCTCTACAGCTCCACGCATCCCAACATAACATCGCCTCAAACTTGTTCTGGCAAGAGGTCTTGTCGAATTCTTATGGTCATTCTCATCTTCACATCTTGTTCTTGGCGTATCGGTGCCTCTCGCTAGATTCGTCTACTAACTTCCACCAGGGTGTTGCGCTTACAGTTGTCAACAATCACAGATGACTTGCAAACACTACTCTCTCAGCAAATATGTTCTGCTAATAAAGTGCGAGTGATACTAGACTAACAGTAGTGCTAATAAGTGTTATTATGACTGGATCTCTGAGGCTAGCAAGAGCCTTCCAAACACTCAGTCGACTAATGGAAGCTGCACATTTTCGTTTACACTGCTCTTTACCCCAGCATCTAACACGCAGCCAATTCTTTGACTACCCTCTACGACCTAGCTTATCTACCTGGATTTTATCGCAATTTAGCACGACAACACAATGTCCTTTGAATGGTCGGGAAATGACTGGAGCTGGGAACATGCCATTGAAATCTGTGGCCCAACCACAGTGATTATTGGACGGTGCTCAGATACACAGCGAGAGGACAGCAGATGGCGACGGGGTCTGGTTCCGCTAACTGGTCCAGTGACAAGCCACAACTCTAGACACCGGACGCCACAGGAGACAATAGCAGTGTTATCAGCTGGGAATCCTTGCTTCGCTAATACCAACCATGTGATAGACTCTCAAAAAGTTTATGCACAACATACTGCTGCCACCAAGGCTGCATTGCCGCAGTCAGTGAGGCCACCTCGTCCCCTGAATTCGGCCACAGAAGTATGCAAATATCAGCACATCAAAACACCGATTGTTACTCAACCTCAAGACGAATCACATAATTTGCGTAATCGAAACGAGCTACAAGTTTTCAACAGTCCAGAAGATAGGCACTTGAGCTGGGACAACTTGACTAGCGGTGGAAATGGAGAGGTAGAAGAATATGGCGACGAATACAACGACGATACTTTTGGAGCTGAAGCCTCAGCGTTCTGTGTCAAGGGTAGTAGCTCAGCTTTTGACTTCTCTGGCAGTAGACGCGAGGGCTTAAGGTCCGCGAAAGAGAAAGTTACTACCACCAATCGCAAGCTAGAAACCTCGAGTCAGACATCTTTCGAGACTGCCAACCACGCTCTGTCCATCGAACTCAAGTCTGTACCAGATACACGCACTGTAAACTTCGATACAGACGACGCATCTTCGAGGCTTTCTGGTCTAGATTTCATCAAGTCCTACGCAGCGAAACGAGACCTTGAGACACCTGACCAGATCCGCGATAAACTCCTTGTACTGATCCCTTCGAAGCTTCGCGGCGCTGAGCAAGATCCCCTACATGAGGCAGAAGAGCATGATGGAGTAACGACAACCGAACTCCAATCTCCTGCAGTTGTAGCTACTAAGCCCATCGAACAAGGTTCCGAAAAATCACCCTCCTCCACAGCGCCCACAAGTCCTTTGATCTCTAGCGTGGCTACGACATCACCTCAATTGCTCAAAGTTTGGTTTGAAGAAGCTGTAGGGCACGTGAACCGGCGATACTGGCACTTTAGGCACGAGGAAGCATTTGGAGTGGCCTTGTTGCGAGAAGGTCAACTATTTCCCGAGCAGATTCGGGTGCGAGCACGACAAGAGCGAGGATTGTTGACACGCAAATATTCTCAGCAGGAGGCATTGCCACACCATAAGAATGAACTTCATGCATCCTCGCCATCATCGCCAGCATCATCAGTACAACCTCCCGACAACACAACAGCAAAACAAGCAGAGCAGGAGTTTACAAAATCACCCACTGTCACGCCCGACCTCGATTACCAATCCATGCCACTAAACACCCTTTCCCTAACGTTCTTTCAAAATCAATTCAGAAAGAGCAAAAAGTACCACATATATTCCCTTCAGCAACAAGACCACAACTTCGAGGTTCACACGGGCCGTTACGGAAACGCCATCCCCCCACTACAGACTCTGCCCTGTGTTAACGTTCAGATCGAGGACGTAAGAAGTTGGAATAAGCAGGACCTGGGCGACTACAAGGCCAAATGCAAGGCGGAACTGAGACAGAGAGCAAGACAGCTGGCGAGTGGGCCGCCACGACAAAAGTGGCCGGCAAACATGGAGAAGGTTGTTCGTGAACCCGTTGGCATGGAAGAGCCGAGAAGTAAGGATGAGATGTCAGATGACGAGCGAGCACTTTGGTATGACGACGATGATGAGGACGGCTTGAAAGAGGAAAAGGCTGAAACGTCAATTTGAAATTGTACTGTCGGCTTACTTGCAGGGCGTAGCATTCCACATCTTCAGGTATGAACCACTAACCATGATATCTGTTTGTGTAGGTCGCATATATGGTTACTTATCAATACATCCGCATCCATCGGACATGAAGCAGTTTCATGCCTCATTCCACGCATCTTCAAAGACCGCCCTTCTCTCCTGTACATCCTCAACCTTCACCCCTAGAGGCCGCACAACCTCAACACTCCCCGTCCCTACCCCCATAGTCTTCCCCACAATAACACACTCACTCACACCCTCAATGTCATCTCTCTTTCCCGCAACACCCGCATCAAAGACGTGATCCGCCGTCTTTTCGAAACTGGCCAATTGCAATACACTGTCTCGCATTTTTGCAAGTCCGAAACGAGTGATTCCCAGCACTTCACCTTTGTAGGTCATCACGTCTGCTAGCAACGCCATGTGACGTGGATCGATGTTCAGGTCTTTCATGACCTCTGCGATCTCGGTGATGATTTTGGATCTGGCGGCTTCGATGCCTAGGACGTTGAGGGTTTCGACTATCGAGTTTGTTTGCGTTGTGGCTGGGTTGACTCCCGGCGTTGTGAGCACGGAGCGCAGGCCGTAGCCGGATATCATGAGCTTGTGCATCTGAATAGTCTTTGTTGGAGGTGTGTCTTTTGGTATTGGGGCAGAAGTAGTGATCTCTGCTTTAATTGGTGGTTGATCAAGGTCAGGTTGGGCACCGCCTTCTTGCTTGATAGGTGGGTCAAGGTCCATTGTTGGTGAGTGAGCGCGTGTTTCTGAGACTGATGCGGGTATCGCGGTCACTTTCATTGCTTTCCGGCGAGCTAAAATTTCCTCCGACATGGGATCGTCTTCAGCCATGACCACCGCTCGAGCAGCATTTGGATGGCCTAGGACGTGGACGGAAGGCAGGATACGCCGGATAGCCTGCAAACGCAAAAGGTTTTCATGAGGAGCGCTCTCTTCAGCTTTGGCAGCAGCACCACGTTTGGTTGATTTGATCGTGTTACCAGAGGATATTCTGATCTCATCAGGCCGGACCATAACGCAGCTGAGCCCAGTCTTGGCAAAGCGACGATGCTTTTCGATGGCTCGTACGACATCATGGATAGTGATGTCGAGGCCGAAGTCGATTATTGTGTCCATATTGAGTTTCAGATAAATGCAGCTGGCCTTGCTCGTGGGATGGCTGATTGTGATGAACTCAGTAATGTCTTCTAGATAAAGACACTCGATTCGACCTTTCACGATGCGTGCAAGCTCTTCTGGAATAGAACCATCACTTCGTCTTTCCAGCCGACAAGTGATAACAGGAGTTGAGATATCCTTCGAGGCATTGATGATTTCTTTGATACGTGGAACACCAGCCGTCAAGCTCATACCGGCAACACCAGCAAAATGGAAAGTCTTCAGAGTCATCTGAGTACCGGGTTCGCCAATAGATTGTGCACCCACGGCACCCACGGCATGACCGGGCTCAACCTTGGCTCGCTCGTACTTCTCCAGACACAGCCTCACAAAGCTGTCGAGGGTCTTGGCTGATAACTTCGATGTCAACTCGAATCGATCTTTCGTCGACGGCGAAGCTCTGACAAGCGCCATTTTGGCTGTGGCACCAGCGCCTGTCTTCTGCTTCTTGTTTGCTGAGCCTGCACTTGCTTTTCCTCCCCGTGTCCGCTTGCTGCCAGTAGGGACATCGACATCATCCGAAGCAGTCGCCCATGGCTTCTTTTCTGATCGTGCCTTTTGAAACATATCTGACTTACCCATAATGAATTGCTGAATTGATTTCACAAAATCTCGTGCAGATTCGTTCTGATCGGCGAGTGAGTCCTCGCTTGTGTCATATGGCAAATCTTTGCCCTTGAAATCGATACGCGACAACGTCTTACGTTTAACAGACAAGATCTTGTCCATATTGTCGAAAATCGCGACATCGCTCAGACCTTTGTCCTCGGTATTGAAAGTAGTGGCTTCAACATGAACGTATGTTCGTTCAAAGTCAACTGGCTTAGCACTGGCTTCCATGTCCACAGGGTCCAGCTCGTCGTCGCCAAACCTGAATTGCACGATATTAGATGCTGAATTCCTGACAGTCCTGTCATACTGTGTAGAGAGATCCTCCAGAGACTTCATCAATCTTCGGGACATATAACCAGTTTCTGCAGTCTTGACAGCAGTATCTACGAGACCCACACGACCACCCATCCCATGGAATATGAATTCATATGGAGTCAGACCACTGAAGAAACTGTTCTCAACAAAGCCACGTGACGGTGGAGAAGACCCATGTTTCGGAAAATGAGGAAGCGTACGATCTTGGAAACCGTTCTGCACACGCTTGCCTTCGATATCCTGCTGACCAAGTAGGGCAGCCATCTGTGCGACGTTCACAGTGGAACCTTTCGAGCCAGAAGTAGCCATGACCATAGGCGAATTGCGCTTGCTTAGTTTTGAGGTCAAGATAGAGGCGATGTCAGTACGAACGGTGCTGAGAGCTCTCACTTGCTCGGCCTCAAGTGTTTGTGCATGATCAAGACCAGGCTTTCTCTTCAGTTTTCCTGCTTTCGACGATTTTTCAAACCCAACACAGTCGCTAAAGATCTTTGTGATGGTATCATCTTTGACTTTCTGAAGCATTTCTGGTGGTGTTACGTCGCTAATACCGACCGAAAATCCTTGATTACCAAGCCATCTGGCGCAGAGTTTCGAAAGTCGATTCATAGCTCTAGTCGCAGCCTCAACACCAAAATCTCGAACCAATATGTAGAACAACGAGTTCTTCTTGCCTGAACCGACAGTAGATTTGTCCATTCTACCACACATGACCTCGGAGTTTCGAATACATAGGAAGCTGTCGTCCTGTAGATCGCGATGTAGGTCTTTGTGATACTTTTTGTGGTCTCTGGACGGGGCGTCAAGGTTGAGTAATACATTGAGCTGTTTGTTCGGTCTGATCAGTACATTGAAGACTTGTTTCCCGGTCCAAAGTGCTTGCGGTTTGATCACAGTTGGAGGTGGTAACTCGAGTTTTGTGTCTTTGTCCAGCATGCCCATACATATGGTTGTGAATGTTTTCCGATCGTAGAAGTTGTCCAGGCTACTCAACAAGTACGCAGCAGTGATGAAATCCTGAATAGCAGAAATTATTGGTTCTCCGTTCTTGGGAGTAGTTAAATTGTGCTTTACACCCATCAGCTGTAAAGCTTCAGCTCTTGCTTCCTCCGTCTGAGGGACATGCAGATTCATTTCATCGCCGTCAAAATCGGCATTGTATGGGTTGCAGACACATTCGTTGAGTCGAAAGGTTCGATGAGGTCTTACTTTGACGTGATGGCAGAGGATGGAAAGCTTGTGTAAAGAAGGTTGTCGATTGAAAAGCACGATATCGCCGTCCTCAAGATGTCGTTCAACCACATCGCCTTCTTCCAAATTCTTGGCTATATAGTCGCGGTTACCAAATTTCAGGTACATCTTTATTTCGTCCTTTTTCTTCTCGACATAGTTAGCACCAGGCCATTTCTTAGTGCCATTGCGCACACGTTGCTGCAATTTGGTCTTGTTATGGCGGTTCACAACTTCTGGGTAGGTCATATTTCGTGCGACGAGCTCAGGCACCGCAACTTCGTCGATGCTCAAATTAGGATCTGGGGAGATGACAGTTCGGCCAGAGAAATCTACACGCTTGCCTGATAAGTTTCCTCGAAATCGACCTTGTTTACCTTTCAGTCGTTGCACGAAGCCTCTGATGGACTTGCCCATCTCGCCTTTGTTCAGACCTGGGACGTCACTGTTGATGTACATGGCAAGCTGTAGAGAAAGATAGTCCCAGTGTTCAATGACAGACTGAACAGGAGCACCTTTCTTGAGGGCTTCTCTTAGCTGTTGGTTGGCAAAGACAATGTCACCGAGCTTTGCGGTAATATCATCCTCGGTCGTCGCGCCTTCCTGACCAACTGAAGGTCTGATAGCGACAGGAGGAGCAGGAATATAGCGCCAGAGAAACGATTCTGGTCTTCCTGTCCGCAGGCCAAGTAATGGACAATCGGCATCGGTGATCCTCCTAAGCAGCTTCCAAGTGCGCAGAGGCGTGAGGTCATCCATAGCTTTGCTCAGATTCCTTCCAACCTCGTTGTTCGCTTTCTTTGCCGACTCCATAGAGGCATCGAACACAATCTTTTCAGGTGGAGGTATGCGTTTTGTGGAGGCCGAGCTGTTGAACGATTTGAATTTATCGTGTACAATCTTGAGAGAAGATGTGCCAGCCTTCTTCACCAAACCATTTGTAGAGCCACATTGAGGGCAGTCCTTCGTCTTCTTGGCTTGATCAGCAACCTTTCGTACGATCGAGGCTTGACGCAGGGTGTCTCCTTCTGCTCGCTTGAGGTTTGTTAGGAATTTGCGGCGGTCTTGTTCGGTAAGGAGGATGCACGAGCATGTCTGCCAACAGTCAGTCAAAAGTCCCATCTGACTCTTGAGGTGAGCATGCCTTGCAAACGCTTTGAAGTATTGATATTGTCTTCTTGAAGTAGCCTACATGGAAACAAGGTAGAACTAGTTTGACATGACCAAAATGACCATTGCAGTTTTGCAGCTGCTGTCCACAACTGTCGCATTTTCCTCTCTTGTCTGAGATGCCCATACGAGGGTCGAGAGGTCCGTAGACGGCAACATTTCGACCTTCGTCAAGGTTGTACATGCGACGATCGGCGAGCTCGACTTGCGACTGGTTGACAATATCATGGTTCGAGAGCACACCGAACTGTAAGCCTTTAATGACCTTGGGAGTGTCATCGACTACCTGCTGCTTGGTGGACAGCTTGACCTCACTACCTTCTGTGGCCATCGTGCCTGTACCTCACTCTCACCTTCGTCCTTCAAGCAAGATTATCGCTCTCTTTTCTACCGCATCTGCACGAGCTTGTGGGAAAGAAGACGGCATGAAATGGGATGGCGTGGCATGTGAGTCAGTCAGTTAGTCAATCAGTAAGTTTTGGTCTGAAAGTCCCGAAATGGTTCGGCTCAGTGTATCGCTATCGGTTCTTGCCTCGTGCGATATGAAGAAAATAGATACCGATCTCAATCACATACGTTATGCGATCAATGGACCTTGAGCTGTCGCGGCTTGAATTCTCACACGTTCAAACGCGGATTTTTTGGAGCAATTCAAATGCGAAGAAGTCCCCCACTTTTTTTCGGAAGCAATTGTATTTTGCCTTGATGCCTGATTTACGCTCGAAACTCGTGCAATGGGCAGTCGTTCTTCTTCGATAATTACGAGTACAATCGGTTTTCTGTTTCACCTGCTGCAATACTTCGTCTCAGTGTGACCAACGAGCCTACAATTGACGAAAACGTTACCACGTTGAGGCAGGCTTGAATATTATGTGCATTTTGACTTTCTGTTCAACTGAAGCCTATCATAAAGGGTCACCTTGGACACCAATATGCACAAAAACGACCTGTCTTCCACGACCTGATCATACCAAGATACTTCTCAAGCCATCACCCTCTCGACCACAGTAAGCATCTCCTGAGGAGAAGTCGGAAATCCCATTCTCGCCCCAGGCTGCATCTGCACACAGACATTGAGAACTCTCTCGAATTTCGTGTTTATCTCCTTGATAGCACGAAAAGCCCAGCCGAAACTGATCACCGTATACTTTTGTTCGTTCAGCTTCTCCTTCACCAGCTTGACTATCTCCTCGTTGTCTGTACCGGCCATGTCGATCAAGCAGGATGTGAGCTCTATGTTCTTGGAAGCTGCATGAGCTGTGATCTTTGCGAGTGCGTCACCGTTCGGGTCCATTTCCTTAGGTATTGGCAGACCGATGCCTAGGACACTAATTTTTCCCGTTGATGACATGGTGTGAGGATATCGATTTTTGCAAGAGATTAAACGCTCAAACTTTGTAGATGACAAGGCCGTAGTAATTTCCCCACAGAAGTGTCGACTTGGTGGATGGTGATCTCGAGGTTGATCTGCGTGCCTAGAGTATTGGTTGTAGTTGTTCTAAGAAATGATCTCTCTACGAGAGGACCAAGACTTTATACATCCTCGACTGCACTGACATCCCGAGATCTCGATACAGACAATATCCCACCATCGATCGGACGAGGCATTTCCAACAACGGACGAACCGGGCAAACGATACGAGACTTGCCGACCACACCTAGTTGAGCCAGAAATGCTTGGCAAGAATGCGCAGGGGGTATCCATTGCGACTTCGAAGGTAGGTCGTTGTTTCTCTCGTGCTCGTTACTCGACTTTGGTCTCCCTGACTCCTCCGCTTTCGTCTGATGAAAGGGTTCAGTGAGCCTCAGCAATCTTGTGTAAATCGTACGGCTGCAATGGCACGTATTTTGACGGGATCTTGAGGCTCAGCTAAGGAATTGCTTGGCTGGTTCAAGCATCGAAAACGGCGATCAGTAGTGGCCCCAGGCCCATGTCCTTGTGCTACACGATGACGGATTGTAGTACACCATCTTCGACGAGGGTATGGTAGTGGTAGGGCTCGTGTTCGTTGATGCCGGTTCGCTCTCGTTGCTATTGCAGTCAGCCACAATTTTCTGATTGTGCTATTGGAGGACGAATAGCTTACGAATGGTTGGGATTTCAACAGCGAAAAAGCATGAACCTGACATTGCGAGGCCTGGACACTACGCCAAAAAGTGGAAAGAAGACATGAAAAACGTCCCAGGTCTCCTTTGCCGTCGCTCCATGAGCTGCGGACTGAACCCTGTTCGTGACGGATTTGAAGCCTGAAGAAACTATTTCCTTGTGCTTCCATAGTCCTTCCCCCTATCACAACCAATACAGGAGGTGATACCGCTCACAACAATATGAAATCCGTGTCTCATGAAACAGCCATCAATCCAACAGACGATAGCTTACCAGCGTATCTACCTTGTGGTTTGCAGTACTGAAGCTCCTTAATTGGACCTTTTCTCCATTCTTGATCTCTTTCGCGTCACTGTCGCCCCATTCCAAGGGAACTTCAGAGTCTGCATCAGCATAAACAAGCACATTGAAAGTGCAATTGCCATCAAGCACAGGTAGGAAGGTGACTGAAGCTGTGATTTGTCGGAATATGGCCTGTATTTCTTCTTGAATCTGACTTTCTGTCTTCTCAGAGTCGGCTTCAGCAGGGGTACTGTACTCGTCAGTGACCGAATATCAAGTAGAAGAGACCCAACATTCACTGACTTTGAGTCCGCGTTCTCGTTTTCCGCTCCTCCACTTCTCGTCTTACTCTTGCTGTTCCGTCCTAACAGGTTCACATCGAATTGCCATCTCTCGACGTGCTCGCCAGTCTCTTTACTTGTGATCACCACCACAAACCTGCTAATCTTGCTTTTTTGCATCCACTTGTTCAATTGACTCATGATCCTCTTGATGTAGCTCTTGACTTGGTCATCGCTAGATACCAGCATATTGAGTCCATACTTCTTGACGGGGGTAAAGTCCTCGGCTGGATAGACTCCACGTTGGAAGAGAATCGTGTTGATGCTATATTCGAAGAACTCTGCAACTAGCTTCGAAGAGCCTGTCGTGCTTGTCTTTAGCGTGCGACCTTTTATAAGGACAGCAGACTCACCTTTGAGCGCGATCTTATGCGTATCATTCTTCTCCTTTGTAGCGACCGCCATTTGTGCTATAAATGTTGCAGACGTGACATGCAGCGACGATGAGAGGGCTGAATTGTTTTGATCACGTTGTCAGGAGCGACCACGATGCAAATGCCGCGAACATCAGCTCAGCCTCGTCCGAGTCGAGCCTTGCCTCTTTCGCTTGGTCGATGATCCCATCACATAAACTCATTATGCAGTAATCACATTCGTGGATCAAACGCGTTGTCGCCTGATGCAACAATGGCTACAGCTCTTTCCACGGCGAAGAGCTGTCCAGTCTGCTCTCGCCGTCGCATCTCGACTGGCTGAACAACGTACCACTCGTTTCTCATTTGCGCGAAATTTCTCTACTAGCGGATCTTTCAAAGCCGCATACAGCATACACGATCCCTCCGATGTCGAGAAGCGAATTGCTGCTATTCCAATCGATCGCTATCGCAACTTCTGTATTGTGGCTCATGTTGATCATGGCAAGTCCACCCTGTCCGATCGACTACTCGAATTGACCGGCACGATCCAGCCGGGTGGGAACAAACAAGTGCTCGACAAACTCGATGTGGAGCGAGAAAGAGGAATCACTGTCAAGGCCCAGACATGCTCTATGATCTACAACTACAAGGATGAAGACTATCTGCTGCATTTGGTCGATACTCCTGGCCATGTCGACTTCCGTGCTGAAGTGTCCCGCAGTTATGTGAGTTGTGGCGGTGCTTTACTCCTGGTTGACGCCAGCCAGGGTGTGCAAGCCCAAACTGTTGCGAACTTCTATCTTGCTTTCTCTCAGGGTCTTTCATTGCTACCCGTCCTGAACAAGGTCGACTTGCCGCATGCTGATCCTCCCAGAGCACTCGAGCAGATGAAGGAGAGCTTCGAGCTGGATCCAGAGTCAGCAATTCTCGTCTCTGCGAAGACAGGCCTCAATGTTGAAGCTATTCTGCCAAAGGTTATTGAGACCATTCCTGCTCCTACTGGCGACCGAAACGCACCTCTCAAACTTTTCCTCGTTGATTCTTGGTACTCCTCCTTCAAGGGTGTGGTTTTGCTCGTGAGAATCTTCGAGGGTCAGATAAAAGCTGGCGATCAGATTGTTTCATTTGCGACCGGCAGAAAATACACCGTTGGAGAAGTTGGTATAATGTATCCAGATCAGACTCCCCAGTCCGTTTTGCGCGCTGGCCAGGTGGGCTATATCTACTTCAACCCCAGCATGAGGAAGAGTCAAGAAGCAAAAATTGGAGATACCTACACCAAGGTTGGCTTTGAGCGCCAAGTTCAGCCTTTGCCTGGCTTCGAGGAGCCCAAACCTATGGTCTTCGTTGCTGCCTTTCCTGTTGACCAAAGTGACTTCGAGCATCTCGAGGACAGTATCAATCAGCTATTACTGAACGATCGAAGTGTCACAATTCAGAAAGAATCCTCGGAAGCTCTCGGTGCTGGTTTCCGCTTGGGTTTCCTTGGCACTTTACATTGTTCCGTCTTCGAGGATCGCTTGAGGCAAGAACATGGTACAAGCATCATTATCACCCCTCCCACTGTGCCGTTCCAAGTCAAGTACAAGGATGGAAAGGAATTGACAATCACAAATCCTGCCGAGTTCCCAAATACAGATGAAGCTAGACAGAAGATTGAAGAGCTTCGCGAGCCCTACGTCATGGCGACCCTCACCTTCCCCGAAGAGTATCTCGGCCGTGTGATGGAGATCTGTGAAGCAAACCGTGGCGAGCAGAAGTCGATGGAGTACTTTACTGCCACCCAGGTGATCCTGAAATACGAATTGCCTTTGGCTCAACTCGTTGATGATTTCTTTGGCAAACTGAAGAGCACAACCAAGGGATATGCCACACTCGACTACGAGGAGGCCGAATGGCGCCAAAGTAGTATAGTCAAGTTGCAGCTACTCGTCAACAAGGAACCTGTCGATGCTGTCTCGCGAGTTCTCCACCAGAGTCAGGTGCGTCAGGTCGGCAAGCAATGGGTCGAAAAGTTCAAAGAGCATGTTGATCGACAGATGTTCGAAGTGGTAATACAAGCTGCTGTTGGCCGTCAAGTCATTGCCCGAGAGACAATCAAGCCCTTCCGAAAGGACGTGCTTGCAAAACTGCATGCGAGCGACGTCTCTCGTCGTAGGAAACTGCTCGAGAAGCAGAAGGAAGGTCGTAAGAAGTTGAAAGCTGTTGGAAATGTTGTAATCGACCATAGCGCTTTCCAGGCATTCCTGGCAAAGTAGAAATTACGAGCCTTCCTAACACGAACCGGCGCATGAAGCACATGTGGTTGCCTTGCACTTGCTCCAGCAAATGAACAGGCACCACGACCCACAAATCAGGCGCCAACCCGATCACCTTTCCGAATTGGGAAGTTCGACTCACGAAAAGTCCTAGATTCAATACCGCTACTCCTACTACAGCCAAAGAACCGTATGTTCATAAACGGTTACCTGCACTCTCCCTGGTCTGATGTGATCCTCTACAGGCAGCAATCAGTATCCAGTATGTAGGCGGGCTCGCTTTCCAATCCATCAACCAATCCTGATTCCGCTTCAAAGGCCTATCTCGTTCCATGCCTTAGTGATCCTGCATCCGCCGTTCATTCGTTCAATCGCCCTTCACTCTCTCCACGTCTCTTCACCTGTCATTCTAACCTGTTTTAGTCGAAGGCTTTTCGAGCTGTTGCCTTCAGGACTGACTGTTGATAGATATACGTACTATGTCTTTAAGAAGATGTGTCGAATGCCAGAAAATTCAACCACTCTTCTGTTCGAAGCACGCTCAGCTGATTTACCCACCATCCTTTGTGCCTCCGCCTAAACCTCAACCGTTACCACCTCGTTCTAACATAGCTGATCTGGAAAGAGAGCAACAGGAGCTACTCCGGCACCTCTACTCCTTACCGCAGGCCAGCTCAATGAGTAGCCCTTCTGTGAGCAATCGAATACCTAGAAAGCAACCTATGGCGCGAACAAAACAAACAGCACGCCGGGCTGTTGACGAAAATGGAGTTCCAGACGAGGAGGATCAACAGGAGATTAACGGTCATTTGACTGAAGAAGACAAGAAGCGCCGTATAGAGCTGGAAAAAATGCCTATGCAGGCAGAACTCAAGAACCTTGAGAAACGCTGGACTAAGAAAGGCCACTCCTACATCGCTGAGCCCAAAGATGACGATGAAGTGCCGGAGGAGACCGTCAATTGGTACCAGAAGTTCGCCCTTTGTGTGACCAGAACACTTGACCGTTCCAACGAACATGTCCAAAAGACAAGTCTTCAAATCAATTCACCTTCTCTGAAGAAATTGCTAAAGGAGGTGATCGGAACTTACCCAGGCATCAGCTTCATGACCACTGATATCACTATTGACTTTCCCTGTCAATGTCTCTTTCACTACCGCCAGGAATTGGTGGACAAGCTTCACAAGGTCAACACGACCGATCCTGACGGTGAGCTAGCTCGACACTTGCCAATTCTGTTAGCTTTTCTCGAAGCGGAATTTGCGGAAACAATCGCCGAAACGACAAACCTGACGCCGCAAGGCTTGACAACGTACGAGCACATGTGGACACTTTTCAGACCAGGTGTAAAGCTCTTCACTCGTGTCAGAGGTCAGTCACGTTGCTATAAGCTAAACAGCTATCAATATACCTGGGGTCAGTGCCCTTCGTTCCAATGCACAGTGGAATTCATTGACTACGATGGCGACGACTTTGGGACACGATCCACCTGCTTGTACATACCTCAATACAAAGGTACGGTACCTGTCAATGCGCTCAATGTCTTCCCGTTGGCACGACATCCCAACGCTCTTGCCATAAGCAAGACAGTGATTGCTCGTGGCAAAAAATGGGAGGAGGTCCAGAGTAAAAGTCAAGCATTCATGGACTACAAGGGCGTTGCGCTTAACTGTGGCTGCCCACCGAGCAGGTACAATGTCGAGTCACGCGTCATGATCGATGCTGCTACTTTCCACCGCATAGAAGCAGACGAAGCATTTTCTGTGTCTGCTTTGCCACTGTCTGAAGCGCAAAAAGCCAAGGCCACGTTGCTGCAGAATGATCCGGAGGTGTTGAGAGTCACGAAAGGAAACAAGGATATACTGCTCGTTGACCGAGAGCCACTGACAGACGAGCAACGCCTCATGGCCACACCGATGTGCCGGGGCTTCAGCTTCACTGAAAAAGTGTTCCTGGAATTCTTCGTCGACGCACTTTCACCTATTGAGTGGAATACCTCCTGCTTCGACCAGCTGGTGCTGCCTAGTAGCCAGAAAGAACTGGTCCAAGCATTGGTTGCAGAGCATACCGCTCGTCACGAGAATTCACAGTTTGACGACATCGTGAAGAATAAGGGCCTCGGCCTCATCTTGGTATTGCATGGCCCTCCAGGTGTAGGGTATGTTTCTTCAAATCTCCCTACCTATCTTCGCCTCTAATCACTACTAACATCTTCCGTAAAGCAAAACCTTAACCGCAGAATGTGTGTCCGAATTCTCCAAGCGACCTCTCTACATAGTCTCCTCCGGCGACCTAGGCACCACCTCCAGCGTCCTCGACTCAAAATTAACCCAAATCCTCGATCTCGCAAGCACCTGGAAAGCCGTCCTGCTCATCGACGAAGCCGACGTCTTCCTCGAACGCCGCTCTCTCCACGACATGGAGCGCAATAGCCTGGTCAGCATCTTCCTCCGAACCCTCGAGTACTACTCAGGCATCCTCTTCATGACCACCAACCGCGTCAGGACATTCGACGACGCGTTCAAGAGCCGTATTCACGTCCCGCTCAAGTATGACGACCTCGACAAGGCGAGTAGAGTCAAGGTGTGGAAGAACTTTGTGGAGAAATTACGAAAGGGACAGCAGGAAGGAGGTGTTGAGGTTGATGTGGATGAAGTTGGGTATGAGCGGCTTGGTGAGAGTCCGCTGAATGGAAGACAGATTAAGAATGTTGTTAGGACGGCGAAGAGTTTGGCGGCTTATCGAGGTGGGAAGCTGGATGTCGATGCTCTTTTGAAGGTTGTGGAGATTCAGGAGGCGTTTGAGGAGGAGCTTGTGAAGCCTGTTGGTGATGATGACAATATTGACGCGGTCGCAAAGTGAGGTGGCTGGTTGAGACTGAGCATAACGTAGGCATAAGTGGGAAAGGGTCAATATAGCTGGGTCATAGCCTATTAAGGTTGTCTTTGAAAGAAAGAATAGCGACAGAGTAAGGCATAAACATCAACATAAGGGTGGAAGGATTTTATAGATCGATCGAGAAACATCGTTCATTTTAGAATCGCTGCTGACCCGCATGGTAGAAGTACCGCATAGATGAACAGGGTGAAAGAGACGTGAACACAATCCTGCTTGCACGAAAATACCTGGAGCGAGTATCCAACCGTACAGAAAGGAAAGTGGCCGTATGGTTGACGCAGGTCATTGAAACATAGGCACTGAGTACCAGCTTCGTAGGCTCATGACTCACTGTCCAGGCACTTCTCATAGGGGTCCAAAGCTTAAGGTGTTGGCCTGATGTGTATGCACAATGACCGGCAACTTTTCACACAACACACATCGGAAGCAGGCCTCCAAAAGGACAGCGAATGTGAGTGAAAGGTGAAAAATGCGATTAGGTAGAACACTGACCAAACAACCAGCCCAGAACGTCAGATCAGATCGACCTCGCCATCAATACCCTCACGGCACAAGAGCAATCCGACTCTTGACTTTACCAGCATGCAGCTCTTCCAGCACACGCGGCAAGTCCTGCAGGTCACCTTTCACAACTTGAGGTCGCAGTTTGCCATTCGCAATAAGAGATAAACACTCTCTCAGATTGTCCATGGTGCCGCCGTAACTGCACAGGATGCTCAATTGCTTGCGTACGGACAGGATGTTGTTGATGGCTAGTTCGGGGCCGAGCAGACCAACCTGGACGATTTTGCCTCCGATTCGCACTATCGTGATTGCTGGTTAGTGGAAGGTTGACGTATGTTACGAGAGAGACGACTCACCTGCTTCTTGAGACGCACTGAACGTTTCTGCTGTCCCTGCGAAGTCAATGATAGTATCGACGACGAGATGTTTGTCCTTCACGAAGTCGATGATAGACTGCTCAACGGGAATAATGTCCTTCTTCTCGACGCCGAATCTCACCGCCTCATCGAGCACTTCCTGGCGTTTGTCTCGAGCAATGACCCGAACTCCAAGCGAAAGTGCGATCTGCACGGCGTTAAAGCCAAGCCCGCCAATCCCTACAATCATCACAATTTCGCCCTTCTTGACCTGCCCAGTTTCAAGAGCGTGGAATGCAGTCATACAGGCATCAGTTGCAACAGCGCCTTCCTCCACGCTGACGCCGGCAGGCAACTTGACAGCAGACCACTCCTTGATAGCCACGTAAGGTGCGTATGAACCATCATGTCCAATACCATATCGTTCACCCGACTGACAGAGTTGAGTCAGTCCTCGGCTACACTCTGGGCATGTCGGCTTTACACATCCTGCGACGGATAAGATTGCGACTATGTCACCAACCTTGAAGTCATTTACGGATGAGCCAACTTCCACGACTTCTCCGCACCCTTCGTGTCCGAGCGTATACGCTTCGTTAGGCCATGTTGGCGGTCGTGGTTCGGCAGCCAAGAGAGCAACGTCGCTGTGGCAGACACCCGCTGCGAGTACCTTTACAAGTAATCCATCTGTCGGAGCGCTTGGTACACGAACTTCGACGAGCTCGGGTTTTGTGCTGCCGAAGTGTTTCTGCCAAGCTCGCATTGTCGAGGGACGTGAAGCCATGATAACAGCGTGTGTTGTTAGGGGAACTGCTTCTCGTATAACATTCACAGAGCTTGTATCTTTCTCTCGTGGACTTATTCAGTCATTATCAGTATTGGAGAATTCGGGCGCACAACCCCTCACCTCGGATAAGCCGTACCTATGGCTGGCGTTTTATTACAATAGGTCCTGCTGCCGGAAACGGCCCTTGGCTGCGTATTGATGCGATCCGAGGCACAGGCTTGAGCACCAGTGATCAAATTTTATCCGACTACCTGGTATTCCTTTTTAATTGGGCTCGTCGTGCACATTCTCGTATCGCCTGACAAAGGTTGCTACCCATGTTCTGGGCTTCAACACCCTCCGCAAGTCAAGCTCTGCTTGGACAGCGGAGGACCATGTAACCACGGGAACGTCGAGGAGTCTGCTGGCAGCAGTAATGTGGCCATGGAGGCTTTCGATTCTGCCTTGTATTGTCAAGACAGGGTGAGGTGCCTGACACTATTCTCTACAACCTCGAGATGGTTGGTGTCCTTAGGAGGGGGGAAGTCACTGCAATAGCGCTCAATTTCTTGGAAGATGACATTCTTTGTTGTCTGCAGCTTAGCAGCAGCGAAGGCCCCATATAGACATATTGTAATGTATGCGGATCCTAACGGTCTGTATCTGTGGCTTTGTGACGCGAGTAATATGACATCGTGTGCGAAAGCTTCTGCCTCCAAGGCGATAAGATCGGAAGGCTCTGTCAAAGCGCTCAACAGGCAATTCAAAACAAGTGTGACGAAGAGAGCAAGGCCATAGATACGTTGATAGGTAAGATGGATGAGTGCATTGTCGTCCTGAATGTTGTTTTCTGCTTCGAAAGTGACTAATAGAGTATGGAGCTCGTCAGTGGCGACTTTGGTAGCAGAATATCGAAATCTAACAACCTCAACGAAGTTGGGATCAAAATATACTCCAGCTTTCAAATTGGTACCACGACGTAGGCAGCTTGGCATGTCAGCAAGGTACACAAGGATGCGGTCGATCCTGCGAGTACACTTCCTGTTGTCGAATAGTAGTAGCTCCCATTCGTCAGGGCTCAAATCAATACGAGGGTTGAACAACCCTTCGAATATGACGGGTCCGCGCAACGTAAGAAGAAGCCTCTTTTCGAAATCGTCTATTATGCCATGGCGGGTTTTGGACCGTAAGATCTGGACTGCACCTTCAGTGTGGCTTGGAGTCCAGCTGTCCCATGTGCCGGTCAAGCTCTGGCAAATGAGCAGCAAATATACTGCGCAGAGTGTATTCACTGCCTGAGCTTCTACAGGGTCGTTTAGGCAAGCCCTCAAAATCGACAGAGCATGTCCATGCAGTCTGAGTGTGCGGAACGACACTTGTCCCTTGTGCATGCGTATGTCGTTGTGGCCACTAACGAGCACGGCTGCTGCCGCGTCCAAAACATCGCTACCCGCATGAAAGTCAGTAAAATTGTCCCAGTTTGATGTCAAAATACGTTGATGACCATCCAGGATCTGCAGTCAGAATTGAAGAAGACTTACTTCTTGCCCAGACGCTGAGGTACATCAGCAAAAAAGTCCCCAAAAGCCCACATGATGTTATAACGTAGGTCCGTGCTTGGTTCTATTGTGAGGATCAGACCAGCTACGAGTCGACTTAGATCAGTTTCAGGAAGACTAGCCAGTCGAAAAAGTTCCTGCTGGTCATCCTTCTCAGACTTCAAGGCTGCTGCCCGCTCTGGCTTGCCGTTCTTTCCATGCAGCTGAAATTTGTAGCGTAGCTGGCCCGCGCCAATGCAAGAGATCTTCAAGCGCGCACATCTTGAGCAGGCGGGATGTGCTTGGTCGCACTACACTTTGTCAAATTGCGTCCACTGAGGTCATACGCAGTTACCTATGCCACATACTTTCTTCTTCTGCTTGCGGCAACTGTTACAGCCACGGCTGGAAGGCACACCTGGCATTTTTGGTCATATGCGGCGCACAGTGCCATACAATACGTCTCCTACGGTATTGACGCATTCTTGCGACAACTCGAAGATTTGAAGATGGCATTGAGGTTGGACAACAACCAAGGGCCGAGAGATTCAGGCAAACCGTTGCGAAACCTCGTCTCTGAATGGCTCGCTTCAATACGCGCTATTCCGTATGTGGTCCGACGCTTCGCTCCGACAAACAAGATTGCTACTCATGGCTGATCGTTGCCCATTGTCAGCACAACACGTTCCATCGAGATCGTCGCAGTGACTGTTTTACCTTGACTCAATCGTTCTTGTGGTAAAACTGGATCTTTTGTCTGCCTAGCGACGGTGATAGCGAGCCCGAACTAGCATGACATGTCAGTCGGTAGTCGACTTCGATTCTCTCCATGCTGGACACCACATGTTCAGCTGTGATCAGGGCACAGGCGCATAGCAGAAAGATGGCTTATGTTGGGGCATATTCGATCTCGTATTGGCTCTTAGCAGCGTAGTAGCAGCAGAGTATACCAGTAAATGTTGTCAAGGCAGTCAATGTAAATATAGCCAGCGACGATCGACAATAGGTATATACCTTGCAACTGAGCAACGTCTCGAACCTCTTCTCCGTTTTCTTTCTCAATTCAAGGATTTTGCCCACAACGCAGCTTGTATCGAACACCTAGTCACTTCGACCCTAAACATACCAGAACTGGTCCAGTATCAATACGAGGCCGTAGTAAGCATGGCAACAAGCGCCTCACAACCATCACTCTACCAGTATAGCCCGAGTCATGTGCTTCCCTCCGTGTTCTCAGCACTTGCTGGCATTTCACTGGCATTGCACATATACCAAAACTTGTCCGTAGCACTGGTGGTTCTCCTTTCTCTTACTGATTGCTCGCAGTCGTTTCGGGTTCTGGCGCGTCACCTTTTTCATGTTCTGGGGAGGTCTTGTCTTCACCGGCGGCTGGATCATGCGTATTTTGTCATCTTACTCTCCTCAAAATTTGAGTTATTACATTTCTCAGAACGTCCTCATTCTTGCCGCACAACCAATCTTTTCAGGCACGCAATACGCCATTCTCAGTCGTCTGATGCACCACCTACCAATGTATGCGCCACTCCATCCACACCGAGTCATGATCTTCTTCGTGTATATTGGGGCAGCCATTGAAAGCCTTACTGTCGCCGGAGCTTCGATGATTGCCGCAAACCCTGGAAACATGGATAAACACACAAGAGGAGGTCTTCTCCTTAGTGTCGCATTGGCTTTACAGGGGGCTGTAGAGTGTTTCTTCGTCTTCCTGGTGGCATTGGTTCACCGTCGTTGTGCAAGAGCTCAACGTCCAGTTCCGAAGAACGTTCGGTCCATTTGCATTATGCTGTACGGCACATCGACCCTTGTCCTCATTCGCTGCATCTGTCGTGCTATCGAATCTTTCAGCACAGAGACAAGCACAACTTGCAACGCCGTGTGTCAAACTGTACTGTATAACGAATGGTATCTGTATGCATTCGAAGCAGCACCGATAGTGTTGTATACCTTCTGGCTCAACATTGTGCATCCAGGACTCTTTCTTCCACGACGACGTTGTGTCTATCTTGATGTCGACGGGAAGACTCAACGCATGGGTCCAGGATGGATCGACCGAAGATCAAGATTGGCGACATTCGTGGATCCCCTCGACGTCAGTGGGCTCTTGAAGGGGAAGCCAAGCCATGAGAAGTTCTGGGAGCGGCCAGAGGACTGGCCTGTGGTAAGCGTCGGCAATACTACTCGGAGCTCATCGAAGAGAGCGTATATACCTCTGCTGCAGCATGAGGTCGATGTATCCAGCAAGCCATAGTTGCTGTGAAGGTTGGCTCTTAGCTGTAAAAACGTATTGCTGTGTCTTTTTTGGTGAAGAATCTGGACGGCATCATTGATATGTTTGCGACGAAGCATCGAACTCTGCTAGGTGCTAGGTATTGTCTCAAAATTGTTCCGTCTACCTTCGCTGTAGCTATACAACTGGCACGCGTTCTCTCACGCGTCACGAGTGAGAAAGGAGACGTGGAGAATGCACGGGATCTGGTATCCGGATACCAGACGACGACTTCCAGATATCGTCAACCAGCAAAACGAGATTGAGCTTGAGCTTGGTAAACCTCCTTGACCGCACCAGAAAGGAAACGTTTGCGAAGTTTTGGGAGGTTCAAGCAACGAAGGACCGCCACGACCCAAGTCGTTGAGTGCGAAACAGCATTTGACATGCCCATCAGCAGATGTGATCTACATGTTCATTTCTTCTACCCGTCCGTCCCTACCCCAAAATTATTCTTTTTCGTCGCGGCCGTCCCGGCCGCTCCTCGAGGTGGCCGAACCTGGACCAGACGTTCGATACTCCTACAAACAGCATAAATTGTGTGTACTTCATGTGGGATATTGTCGGGCGAACACTGGTACGTTTGGCACGTCGTTGGTGCTTGTCCTGACGCAAACAGGTCTAGCTGACAGTTGACGTGCCAGCACAAGCTCTATCTTGTACCTGCAGACTTGGCGGGTCATGGAGCTCAGATGGAGGAATGGTCAGATGTTGTAGGTCGATCAACCATGGCAGTATTGCTTATTCTCGACGAAAAATCAGTCATGCTGAACATGACGTTGTCGTACGGTCCTGGTGGGGACGGTGTGCAACCCAAGATGGGGAGTGTAGTGGAAGAATCGGCTCGAAGGTTGAAGGAAGCTTGATGGGCGTGGCTGCTGTGAGTCGGCAGGTTTTTGCAACCCAGAGCTTGATCCTCTGATCTGAAGTATTGACAAGGAGGGTTTCATATTCTGTATCAACCAGCCACGTTGCCCTTCTTCTTTTTCGCAGCTTTTGCCTTTCCTTTGGCCTTCTTTTTATCTCTTTTCCTCAATCCCTCCATACCTTTCTTGCAGACTTCGGCATATTTGGCGTAGAAATTCTCCAGATCGGAATGGTCAACCACAGTCGCAAGCTTTACTTTCGCCCTCGGCTTGTGCTGTTTTGCGACCTTACTTTTGCTACTTGCGGACGAAGTCGCTGTTCCATTCGTAGCGCGTATTAAGACCTGTGACGAGGGTGTCGAAGAGTCCGAACTTGGCATTGGTTTTTGGGCGAGAAATACAGAGCCATACGAGGAGGATGTGGTAGTAGTGAGAAGAGATCCCAGGGCTTCCAGGAACTGCGTTAAGGTCAGCACAATTGAATTTACTGGGGTCTGGCAGAACACACTGCGTCGTTATTGAGACGCTCTTGCTTAGGCATTATCGACGATAACGTAATAATTGTGCGTTCGTGGTGCTACTGTCCAGATCGCAGAGATATGTAATCTGAAATTGTGGTGCAAGCGCTGGTTATGCTTGGCATTGAGATTCGAATGCAAAATTAGGCGTGCCTTATAGCGGGGGTTGTGGTTTCGATCGTAATACCAGTACTGTCGGTATTGGTATGTTAATAGCTTATAATACTGTGGTCGACGCAAGTACCCACCAAGAGACGTATTCAGCATCGTTTAGGTTAGGCTTGCCCCATACGCTGCTAGTAAGATAAGATCAGCTTTAATCTAAAACCCGTAATCTCCAGGTTCTGATCTTTCTGAACTTTTTTCCATCCGAGTTTTCCACCATGAGCGCAAGCACGAAGAAGAAGATTCTGAGTTTCAATCATGTCGCGGCATGCGCCTCGAAATGCAGGCAGAAAAGGGCCCCAGCTGCCGTTTGCCATACAACAGAAGCTCGGTCTGCAGCAAAATAACAAAAGGAAGAGGACACAAGTTGCAGAACGCAAGCAAGAAAGGAAGGAGGCAAGGAGAAGTCATACCGGCTCTAGCCACAAGCGAACAAAGGTCACACACGAAACATCAGATAAACAAATAAACAACAAGCTGTATGACAAAGTTGCGCCGAGCACGAGTCTGCAAGAGGCGGAAGGTCAGGGATTTTCTGACTACTTACACGATGTAACATCGTCCGACTTGTCAGAAGAGGAGATGCAAGACTTTGGTACCAGCAAAACCAATAGATCGAGGGACACGCTAAACAGAACCAAGAGTCTAAGCCCTTCTCGAAGTCCTCTACTCGAGCAAGAAGATGAGGAGGATTGGGACGAATTGTCCCGCGGATCCAGGGAATATTCTCCAGAAGTTGTACTCGATGCTAACTCGACGACCTTTAAGCAAAGACAATCTGAGGACGATGCTGAGATCCTTGCGCTAGAGAAGAGGCTGGGCGTGCGAGCAAGGAAAAACAAGGTCTTCGAGGATGACTATGACGATTTGCTACAAGGCCTCGAAGGAGATATTGACTCGGCACCTCAGAAGCACAAGGATAAACAATGGCTTGAGCAGAAAAGGTCGACGCTCGAAGCCCAGCGCGCTCCAAATAGGGCACTGCCTGAAGAAGGTGAACCCGACTCTTCAGAGAACGATGATGCAGAATCTCAAGATTCAGACCAGCAATCGGCCGAAGCAACGGACGACTTCGAGGATTTTGACACATCGGGTACAGAAGTGGAGGACAGTATTTCACTGCCGGAAGTAGAAGTCCCTGTGAGGAAACAGCGAGAGAATCCTTATATTGCGCCTGTCACCCCTGGCGCAAGCGTAAGCACTGGCAAATATATCCCACCATCGCTTCGCAAGCTACCTCAGTCTGACACAGAACAGCTTGCTAAGCTCAGACGTCAAGCACAGGGCTCTCTCAACAAACTCTCCGAGGCGAACATTGTTTCTATAGTAGACGAATTTGACAAATTGTACCAGAATAATCCTCGCCAAGATGTAACGACTGCCCTTATCGACCTTCTGCTCGCAGCATTGAGCATACATTCGGCTCTTCAGAACACATTCATCATTCTACATGGTGCATTCGTGGCAGCTCTATACAAGATATTGGGAGCTGATTTTGGAGCTGAGATCGTGAGCAGGCTAGTGGAAACGTTTAATAAGCATCACACCGATGCCAGTTCCCAAGGCAAAGAGAGTTTGAATCTGATCAGTCTGATTGCTAATCTCTTCACATTTGGCGTCATTTCAAGTGCCCTTGTCTATGATCACATTCGCCTGTTGTTGTCTGATTTTGGCGAGAACAGTGCCGAGTTATTGTTACGCGTCATACGAGATTGTGGTCCGCAGCTGAGAACTGATAACCCGACGGCACTGAAGGGCATCATACAAATGATGAATGAGATCGCAGCTAGGATGTCTACCGAAGGCCAAACCGTAAATGTTCGAACACGGGTAATGATGGACGCTATTGTGGATCTGAAGAACAACAAGACACGACAAGCTACCAATGCAGCAGGGATTACTGGCGAACATCTGACACGCATGAAGAAAGCACTTGGGTCGTTAAATACGCGGCAGCTACGAGGCACTGAACCTCTAGGTATTAGCCGTAACGACATCCTCAACAGTGAGAAGAAGGGTAAGTGGTGGCTTGTGGGCGCAAGCTGGAAAGGTCACGATCAAGGCGAAGATTTACAGCCTAAAGCTGCAGCTCAATCAACAACGAGCGATGATCTTGATGACCAAGACTTTGACCCAGACAACATTGATTACATCTCTCTAGCGCGCCATCACAAGCTTACAACGCCTACACAAAGATCGATATTCACAGCCATTCTGTCCGCTACTGACGCTACCGATGCCCTCCATCGCATCTCAAAACTACGACTGAATCGTAAACAAGAGCTTGAGATACCCAAGGTACTGCTTCGCCTGTGTCGTGCTGAACCAGCATACAACCCTTACTACGCCGTTCTTTCACGCCTACTCTTGCGAGACGGAAAGCGATATAAGTTCGCCTTTCAAGTCGCTGTGTGGAAGTTCTTCGAAGAGATTGGCGAACGTTCCGCCGAGGATGATGATGATATGGGTGAAGTAGAGACAATGCAAAGTGAAAGCGTACAGGTGCATGAAATTGCAAACACAGCACGCCTGTGCGCCTTACTGGTAGCTCGAGGTTCCATGTCTTTGGACGTTCTAAAGACGCTCAACATTGGCTATTTGAAGGAGAATGCGACCCTGTGGCTCGAGATGTTCTTTGTCAGTTTATTCACACAACCCAAAATGACGGAAGAGGTTCTCACGCGCATATTTTCCGAGGTCCGAGCAGACACGGCAAGGGTTGTTGACTACTTCTTGCAGCAGAATGTTCGAAGAAGTGATCTTGTAGGTGGTAAGGATGACAGAGCCCAGCTGAAGAAATGGGTACGTGTAGCTGGAGCTGCCTTGGCCGCAATGGAGCGAGATGGACTCGAGGACGACTTCGAGTAACTACTGGTTAATCCTGCAAGCGGGCTTTCGATGCATGATCGGTCAGCACGTAGCAACAGAACTCGTAATAGCTTCTCACGGCCTCACCTCTTAGTGTATGCTGCCTCGACGTTCGTCCAGCTATGTAGTATGCAAAGTCGTAACTTAGAGCATTAGCGTCTATCAAGAAAGTCCCTGCCTGCCATCGTGTTATGTCCTGCCTGTGGATAGTTGCGCACGCCAGCACCTTGACCCTCATGGTCGTTGAGCCAGGAATGCTACTTGTTCGAATCAAGGATTACTACTAGTTAGTATAGATCCTCTGAATGCCAAGGACATGGTGGGGAAGGGGCACCCCAGATTACGGGCAGTGCATGTGTGCAACCACGCACCCCAGGTTTCCGTATGCCTTCTCTGGGCAAGCACATGCAATGTACTCATAGTGTCTATCTAAATTTATTCGAATTGCATCCACTCAGCCGGCATTCAAGCTTGAACTTTGACCACTTTACTGTAATATTTCGCCACGACTAGACGTGATCCACATAATCCGATTGTCGCTATGTTTGCAGATTCTCATTTCTTACCGTGTTTTCGACCATGGAGCTTGGGAACCACTCTTGCTCAGCAGACGACTCGCAGCGTGGCCAGTCCATGTACAACACTGTCATGGCCAGTATCTGGTCCAAATCTTGCAACACCCTGTATCCTCGACGCGCCTGTCGAAGTTCTCAACACGGTTGTACATGAGTCTCGTGCTTGCCGGAGCTGATGATCATCAGCTCCAATCATGGTTGACACTTCCATGCCCCGCTTTGCTTGTCAAGAGTGCGAGAAGTCATTCAGCCGCGCCGAGCATCTGACACGACACAGCTCGGTCCATAGCTCTGTACAGGCATATGGCTGTCACCATTGCGAAAAAAGGTTCCCAAGAAAGGATGCCCTGAGCAGACATATTCTCACACATAGCCGCGGACCAAACCTCCTAGAGCGTCGCGCCAGAGCCTGTCGAGCCTGTGCGAAGGCAAAGACAAGGTGCAATGGCGTCGCTCCCTGTTCACGTTGTGCTAGCAAAGCGATCGAATGTGAGATTCCAGAAACTAGACCTCAAGAGGTTATATCGATGGCTCATACGATCTCGAGCCCCGAATCGATTGTGACACCAGATCCAAGCTTGGATGGACTGGATCTTGCACTTACAGGGATGAGAACAGACACGTCAGTACCCGCGGATGCAGTGGCTATTGTTGAGTCCCCGAACAACACAGTAATTGATCATCTTAATGGGGCTCGTAGATCGTTCTCTTCCCAAGCAAGCACGAGTGAGCGAAAGTTCGATTCCCGTCGCTGGACACCAACTATGCTTTCTTCTATCAACTGGCTGCCCATAAGTTCATCGCCGAAAATGGGTCACGATTCCATGCTTAATCCATTGAACTTCACTCGGTCTCCAGCTTCAAATTACTACCCCATCGTGCATGCCGTTGTGCAGAGTACGGTGGCCACCACCAATACACCCCTCTTGAATTCGTCGAGCAATGACCCAATCGAACACAGATTAACCACGAATGGAGAATTTGACTTAGAGGAGAGTACGGGAATACTGCCTAGTATCAAGCGACAGAAGCTTGTTGCCAGACGTCCGTTAGAATTGCGCAGCAGTAACTTTGGTTGGAGGCTTTTCTGGTTGCCACCTATTGCTCGAATCAACCCTACTGGACACCACTTCGCGGATTTCGAACACGAGAGCATGCGCGACGCTTTTTTCGACTTGTGTGTCAATTGCAGTCCTGTTATGTCGCCTTTTCTAAGCGACGACTTCCCTACTGTTGAGGCCTTCAATCACTTGATGGATCTGTTCTTCGAGCATGTTCATCCTTCCATACCTTTTGTACATCGCCCGACGTTCAATCCGGATCATGAAGGACGCTGGATCCTGCTACTCTCTATGGTTAGCAGCAGTTGCTGGTTTCTCAACGACCAAACATCTGACGACTTTGCTGAGTCAATGTTGGAATTTCTAAGACGAGTGACTCTTTTCTACGATTCATCAAACCTGTGGCAGAAGACATTTACCAATTGCCGACAAGCGCAGATTCGCCTCCTTTTCTTGCTGTCAAGTTCGGGGTCGAGAGATGAGGCTGTCAAGGTGTGGAGTGATCGTTGTATGGGAGAATTGTGTTATCTTGTAAATACCTCAATATGTCAGTCATACCCGAAGGCGCAGTATGAAAAGGCTGGTATGCCCGTTGATGCTGAATGGATTGACTGGTCGGAGTATGAACAAACAATACGTACCGCTTTTCTGGTCTGGCAAATAGGCTTTCTGCGATCGATACAGAGTCCGGACAGTCGGCCGCCGGTTTCGCTTGATTCTATTGCGCGGATACGCCTGCCCTGCACAGATGATATGTTCGAAGCAACTAGCGCTGAAATCTGGCAGAAAATGGAGGAGACATCTTCGCGAGCCACATTTCAAGAAGCGTTGCAGAGTTTATACATTGACAAGAAGCTCTTGCCCGACTTAAGTGACTTCAGCCATATCCTTCTAGTCTATGGCGTTGTGCAAAGGACACGAGAAGTTCATGACCTTGTGCGCCAGCCACTTTCTCTCATTGAACCTGTGGCAGAGAGACGAGAAAGTAAGGAGATAGGAATGCAACAGGCTGATTGGCCGGCGAGTGTGCCACTCTTTCTGAAATGGCGGAACTCTGCCTGCGATTGTCTTGATATCCTGCACTGGCAAGCCAATGCTACCACGAACATGGCTGACGGATTAGAGCCAACCAAAGTGCTGCATCTTCACTTCGCTCGAGTATCTATGCTCTCGCCCCTCCAAGAATTGCTAACACTTGCTCGGCTCGTAAGGCTTCCCTTCCGAAGCATAGCCAATACCAGCAGTAGCCCATCAGAAGAGGTCGAACTCAAATGCGCAATTCAACGTTGGGCAACCAACGACCATCACAAGGCTCGTCTAGCAGCAATCCATGCAGGTATGACATTCTGGCATATTCGACGGTATTCGTTGAACGCACATTACGAAGTAATAGCTGTTCTTACAGCCACGCTTTGTTTGTGGGCTCTTAGCACGTTTTCGACCACGGTGACGCCCACGGTACACTCCCCGTCCGAGACAGAGTCCTCTCACCAGCCATCCAGGTATAGCATTATATCCATCGATAGTCCAGTAAATAGTGATTTAGTGAAACAGTTTGTGAAGCAGGGACAAACGATGCATGCAAAGATGTCGGGAGTGGAAAATTTGTGGACAGCTAACGGTTCTCATCAAGTGCTGATAGAGGGCAGAAAGTTGTTGACATCACTCAATGCTTGGTCTGGTCAGACTGAACGGGCAGTCGCACTTATTGATGGTCTTATGGCAGCCAGTATTTAAAAAGTATGAATTGCTGTTTGAACAACTTGTTTCACTTGTCTCATTCCAGCAACGCTTTTGCAGACATGTCCAATCAATGAATAGTGTAATTTACGTTAAATTTGAAGAGTAGCGTAACGCAGATGCCAACCTGGACTCGGAGTTTCACACATCTGCAGCTTAGCCAATGGACACATAACGTGTGGAGTATCCGAATCAACTGCCGGCCGAGGGTTTGCGGTAGTCATTGAGAAGCCGTTGAGCGGCGTCCCAACGATCATGGCGGTACGAGCAAAGAACCATCACAAGGCAGTCTCTTAACACTGAGGACTGACATGACTACGCTCGTACAAATATAAATACATGCTGAAATACGGTGAAGAAGTCTAGTATTCAGTTTTCTATCTAGCGAAGAAACCAGACTGAATGCTAGATCGGTGTGAGAAACCATACACGGTCTGATCAAAAGCTTCCTCTGACTACATATACGCAACAACCAAGATGGCACATCCCAGAGACGACGATCGTGTTGACGTGGTAATCGTCGGAAGCGGATCAGCTGGCTGTGCTACTGCTCTCTGGCTCGCCATCTATAACGACAGGTTCTGCAAATCGGCTCAGAATGGCACCACCAAAGGACATACAACTTTATCCACGACAGAAATCAGCAGGACGCCTATCACATATCGTATCCTTGAACCACGACAAGGTCGGTTGGAACTTGGTCAAGCTGATGGTGTACAATGCCGAACAGTGGAAATCTATGAGTCTTTCGGATTAGGTCACCTACTAAGACACGAGGGCTATTGGGTGAACGAAGTTGTCTTCTGGGCCTCTGACGATAAGGCAGCAGTAAATGGATCAGGTCACAGAGGAATTGTTAGAACTGGTCGCACAGCAGACGTGGCGCCTGGTCTGAGCCACGAGCCTCATATCATCTTGAATCAAGCACGTATCAACGGCTTGATGTTGGACAGGATACAAGAACTTAAAGGTCGTGATGTCGATTACAATTGGAAGGTTATTGGAATTGAGGCCGAGGAAGACACAGATGCTGACTATCCTGTCAAAGTGTTGGCTGAACACCAGGGACAGCAGAAGGTCGTACGAGCAAAGTACGTTCTTGGAGCCGATGGTGCACATTCGACGGTGAGACGTTCACTGGGTATTCCGATGGAGGGCGACAGTACTGATGCGGTCTGGGGCGTGATGGACATCTTCCCACGCACTACTTTTCCAGATGTGCGCAAGAAATCTACGATCAGATCCGACGCAGGAACCCTAATGATCATACCTCGAGAAGGTGACAGCATGATTCGGCTCTACATTGAGATGCCAGCAGGCACTAGCCCGAAAGCCGTTACACTCGAACAACTACAGAACAAAGCGAGGGAGATGTTCCGACCGTACGATATCGAGTTCCTTGCCACTGCATGGTGGTCTGCATATTCTATTGGACAAAGGGTTGCAAGATCAATGGTAGACCCGAGCGGGCGTATCTTTCTCTCAGGTGACGCCTCTCATACTCACTCACCTAAAGCAGGCCAAGGCATGAACGCCAGTTTGCAGGATGGTTACAACCTTGGCTGGAAGTTGGGCGCATTGCTGACAGGACAAGCTGATGGAAAGATATTGCAGAGCTACATACAAGAACGCCACAAATATGCGAAACAGCTGATCGACTTTGACAGATACTTTGCCAAATTGTTCTCATCAAAGCCCCGACCTGATGGAACGAGGCCTCCAGCCGAAGAGTTCAATCAAGCTTTCATAAAAAGTGGTGTGTTTACTGCTGGCATGGCTGCGAACTACGGGGGTTCTGACCTGGTCGATGTCAGTATCTCAAACCAAGAGCTGGCCAAGAACATCGTCGTTGGCGAGCGATTGCCCAGTGCCCAGGTGGTCAGATTGAGCGACTCGAAAACTTTCCATTTTCAATCTCTTGCCAAATCTGACGGCCGATGGCGCTTGATGATGTTCGCAGGCAACGTGGATGATACAGAGACATTCTCCAAACTTTCTCGACTTGGTGAAATCCTGGCGACGTCTAAAGGTCCAAGCAGAGCTATTACACCACATGACTTGCCGATCGATTCAATCCTAGAATATCTCGTCGTACTCGAAGGTGATAGAAGCAAGGTCGAGTTCGACCAAATCCACTCTACCTTCAAACCCACTATGCAGCACCTTCCAATACAGAACCTCCACAAGATATTCTGCGACGACGAGAGCTGGAACTGGGGTCATGGACATGCCTATCAGACGTTTGGGATCGATCCAAAGTTGGGCTGCATGGTACTCGTGCGACCTGATCAATATGTCTCAGCAGTGCTAAGTTTGCATGAAGATGAGGTGCCGAAGATCTCGGCTTTCTTCACAAGCTTCATGCGTCCAGCAACGACATAAGAAATCGAACTTTACAGATTGAGGCCATGGTTCGCAACGTATGTTATTCAAGAGGACTGCAGCGCGGAACACCTCCGCATCTTCAAAGACCTTGCAGCGGCTCCACTGCGGGCGGATTATCGAAGGCCGATTGCGCATATAATTGATATACTGTACATAGGTCGACCCGGAGAACAGAAGCTCTCGCACCAGGATCGATATTGTAGCAGCCTTCACTTGACGAGCTTTCTGTATCTTCTTATCAACTATGGCTGCAACCAAGGTAGCATTGGTGACAGCGTACGTTCCCTCCAAGACATTCACTCAACCCAAATCCTCAAGCTAACCACTCAAAGGTCTTCCGCAGGTCTGGGAGCAGCTTGCGTCAAAGCCCTAGCACCACACTTCCGAGTCGTTGTCAACTACTACTCCCGACCAGAAAAAGCCGAACAAGTCATTAAAGAAGCCGAATCAATACAACCCACCTATCCTTCCTCCCCCGAGTCACCACGCTTCACCGCGATCCAAGCAGACCTAGCACAAAAGTCCGAGGTCCAGCGCCTCGTTCAAGAGACTGTACAACGTATGGGCCGGCTAGATTGCATCGTGAGCAATCAGGGCTGGACACGTCTGACAAACTTCATGGACATTGACGACCAGGTCAACGAAGAAGATTGGACGAAGTGCTATAACGTCAATGTGCTCTCCCACCTATGGCTATTATACGCCGCAAAGCCGCATCTAGAGAAATGCGAAGGCGGCGGATCTTTCGTCACAGTCGCCTCCTTAGCTGGCGTGCGCCCGTCCGGCAGCTCGCTACCCTACTCCGTCACCAAAGCTGCGCAGATCCACATGACAAAGGGCCTAGCTATCATCTGTGGCTCGAAGATTCGATGTAATGCCGTATCGCCTGGGTTGATGATGACGGAATGGGGTCAGCAGTTTCCTGAGGCGAAAGTGAAGGCGACGATTGAGAAGTCGGCTGGAAAGAATTTGGCTCAGGTTGAGGATGTTGCGGAGCAGATTAAAAGTTTGGTGCTGAGTAAGAGTATAACGGGACAGAATATTGTTATTGATTGTGGCATTGCGATATGAGTGTTCTGACTGGATTTGAGAAGTACTGTCTGAAAAAGCGAACGAGTTGTTGCGCGAATAACACAACTCAAGGAGCAGAGAGTAAAAGTTTGGATACCGCCACTGATGAGATACCAGAAATTGGGATTGGGTTTCAACCAGAGACACGAAAGAGTTTATGCTTTGAAATCGAGAATAAGAATCTATTCTATTACTACTCTAGTGTCCAGCCAACGACCTGCTCCGAATATCAACCCATACCAGTGGCAACGCCTTTCCGTTGGCATTTTCTATACAGTGAACTTCGTCTTGTTCTCCTCTCCGCTTTCCTGCGCGATCTTCTTTAGCTCGGCTGGGTCGTGCTCATCGTAGATGTTTACACCCCACCTTGTCGGCATGTTGAAGCGCTTGTGTCGCTCGAGGGCATCCAATTCTTGCATGGCTTTTTCTGGGAGTTCTCTGTCCTGGAAGTTGCCAACGATTCTCTTCTCTGTTACACTCTTGGGCAGCACAACCCAACCCCTCTGCACACCCCAGCTGACGAGCACTTGACCTGGGTCCATGTCCAGCTCCTTCGCGATAGCGTGCACCTTGGCGTCGTCTACAGTCTTTGGTTCGCCAGTCTGGTTGTTGCCGAGTGGTGAGTATGCCTCGAGGAGGATATTTTCTTGTTTGCAGAAGTCAACGAGATCTTTCTGTACAAGGTATGGGTGGATTTCGATTTGGTTAACAGCGGGTTTGGTCTTGGCTACAGCAAGTACCTCCTTCAGGCGTCTGACGTTGTAGTTGCTGACACCAATAGCCTTTGTCTTTCCTGTTGCCAGAAGTTTCTCCATGATCTGCCATACCTTGATCACATCGGTGTCGTATGCCTTGAAAACACCAGCGTCGTCTAGTGGGAACCATCGGTCACCGCTGGCGAATGTTACAGGCCAGTGTATCAGGTATAGGTCAAGGTAGTCAACACCTAGATCTTTCAGAGTCTTGTTCAACCCTGACTCAGCGTTTTCGTAGCTATCGTGTTTCGTGTTCCATAATTTGGAGGTGATGAAGATCTGATCTCGGGGTACACCAGAATTCTTTATGCCAGCACCCACTTCGGTCTCGTTGCGATAAATTGCAGCACAGTCAATGTGTCGATAACCTGACTTCAGAGCAATTTCCACCGCCTTCTCAACCTCTTTTGGTGCTGCTTGCCAGGTACCAAATCCCACGGCTGGGATCTTGGCACCTGTGTTCAGGGTGAATGTTCTTCCTGTCGCCATGTTTGCTGTATAAGAGTGAAAACTGCGATTCAAGTCAAGTCTTGACGTCTTGCAATGAATGTAAACCACGTCGAATGAAAGAGAAACAATGTGTTTTCGGGTTTTGCAAAGAGAAATCTACGAAGATATACCTACTGGCTCAAGTTCATTGGGGACCACTTGGTGAAGTTTTCAACCTTCAGACAGTGGATGCAACGACTGAAGACATTTCTCGGTGACAAGTCGGCATTCGAGCAAGCATATATGATCTGAGCCGTCGAACGGCGTGAGGACAACACAAGGAGTGGTTGTATTCGTGGGGCACAAGATAAACACGAGGGGCATTTTAGGGAGGCGGAGGGCTCGTTTACCTGCCCTCGTGCTTGCTCGAGCGCCACGTCGAAGCGGCTCGGGTAAGAAAGTTTCCTCCAGAACTCAACCGTGAGCCGTCTTCCGTCGGAAACAGCTTTTTCCTCCTCTTACTTTGCTCATATCACCCTGGCCAGCATGTCAGAACGTCTGGACGATGTCGCCGATCTCTCTTCCGTCAAGCACGTTCCGTCGCCCACGATGCCATCCTCTGAGCACGTGCAGAACCCGGAGTTACCAGCTCAGCCAAGGAAGCGAAAGCTGAAATTTCCAAGAACTTCCAATGCTTGCAACTTCTGCAGAAAGTCAGTCTCCACCTTCATCCACTCGAATGCTCCATGAAATTTCCTGTACAACGTTTGCACTATGTTTACTAGGAATCTTGTCTACAAGTCGTGCCAACCTCCAGAATGGTGTGAAGTGGCTGGTTCCATGAAGGCTTGACGTCGCCTGTAGGGCGCCTCTATCTAAGTCCTCTAGCAGGCTCATTTTTATTTGTTCATCGCTAACACAAATTTACGGCGTCGTTGTGCCTGTTTAACATATGCTAACCATTCATCAGACGTAAAGTCAGATGCTCAGGCACTCAGCCCTGCGAAGTCTGTGTGAGAGAGGAAGTACCTTGCGAATATGCTGCTGGCACAGCTCCGAATATCAATGTGCCATCGCCGGTGCACAACCTTGGACAGTCGAGCAGTACCAGTCCTCCTTACGAACCACGTTCCAATAGTCTGAAAAGGAGCGTCGAGGAAAGTCAATCCTCGAGTCAAACACCTTCGCGGCGGAATTCTCTCGAGCCTCCTCAGTCCTTCACACATGGACATCACGTTGGTCCGACTTCAGGAGTGTCCTTTTTGTATGGTCAATGGAACAGGGGGCCTGCGCCTGAAACGAGAGGAACTTCAACAGATGACGAAATCGTACTATCTCATGCACCCCTCATCTCATATGGTGATATTCCGCAGATTGATGCAGAAATGCTTGCGAATCTGCCAGATCCACGAGAGCAAATTAATGTCGAACAAATTCTAGATATATTGGATCGATATTTTCAGTATATGTAAGTATACTCGATTGCGTTGTTCATCAAGATTGTTGTGACCCTATACACAATCTAACGACTGTGCAGTAGTCCTACCTACAGGTTTCATCACCACCCCACAGTCAGAAAGTGGGCGGTATCTTACATTACCGGGGATCGCATGCTCACGAATGCTCAGAAAGCGTGTGTGCTGCTCATATGTGCACAGACACTACTTCACAGTCCCATAGCACCAGGTGTAGCGCAAATAGGTAAGGGCGATGTCAGAATGAGTATGGCGTGTTCCGAGCGAGCAAAGGCATTGCTTGACAAGGAACCTGGGCCAGCCTCTCTGGCCTCGATCCAGGCGCGAATCGGTCTCTGTCTGTATTTTCTCAGCACTTTCCGCCTCAACGAGTGTCGCTACACCTACAGTTTCGCCTTCACTATAGCTACAGCTTTGGGTATTCACAGACGACTATCGTCCTCGACTAAGATCAATGTTCTAGAAACAGAATGTCGCAAGCGCTCCTTCTGGTGCCTTTACATACTCGATGGCTACCTCAGTGTAATGCTCGGCAGGCCTCGACTAATTCGAGACGACGATGTTGATCAACCATTTCCCGAGAACGTCGCAGACATAGACTTGATGTCCTCAGAACCCATACACACGCTGCCAAGGCATGGCAATCTCGAAGCTTTCGTTGCACACGCTCGTCTAGCTAAGCTTATGGCCAGAGCCAATGACCAACTCTACCCTTTGTACGCTCTGAGTAGTGATCAGTTACTACAAAGGAGTAACGACATGCTCGATGCTCTATCCGATTGGGAAACAACACTTCCAGAATTTCTCAAGCCACGAGCAAGAACGATGACGGGTCAGCGGACCTTCGAAAGGTGAGTCTTTTAACACGGACAAGCCACAGAACGGGCACATTGCTAATATGCGGATCAGACAGAATACAATCCTGAAGCTGGGCGTTACTCATGCCCGTATCCTTGCAACAAGACGTTGCTTGCTGATGGACTTTGGACATCCCAACGCCAATCCTTTCTCACAAAGTTCGGATGCAAGAGCTAAGCGCTCGATTCGAGAATGTATATCAGCTATAATCATGATTCTGGACACAACCACCTGCCTCATCGAGCATGGACAATGTTACGGGAGTTTTTGGTCGACGCAGTATGTTGCCCTGGTAGCCATTTCGACTTTGTACGTGTTGCTTATTCAAGGAATGCGACATGCGCTTCCAGGCGATATGGAGTCTTTCCTGAATGTCGACGACTGCTTCGAGAAGGCCAAATATTGCCAAAACCATTTGGCTTCATTGCCACCACCTCGTACCCAAGCCGAGCGACATCATGTCTTGTTGGCCCACCTGCGTTCGAAGGTAGAGAAAAGCCTCTCGAGTCGAAGAAAGCCATTGGGTTCGTACGAAAACTCTCAAATGCCATCTCTTGGCACGACTCACCTGCAAGACCAGTCCCAGAATACCATGAGCATAGCAAATCTGAATAATAATAGTAACTTCAGCCCACCGCAGTCTGATGGTTTACAAAACATGCAAGCAGATGCAGCAGCATTTACACGACCGTTCGAACCTAACTCTATTGGTGGTCCGGATACAATGAATGACATGTCAATGTTCTCTACGATGTTGACACCCAACTCGAACTCGGACACTAACTTTCAGTATATGCTTGACTTTGGATGGGAGTCACTTGACACTATTGGTGCGAACATGCGTGGGCATGAAATGTACTCTTTCGGTTTGAGCTGAGCAGGCGCACACGATGTCGAAACAATGCGATAACTCAGGCGTGGTATTGTCGAAACAGGATTGATGATTGTTGTGTTCACCATCCATCTTTTCCACAGGACACTTGGTCCATGCTGCGACGGTCTGCCTGCGTAAAAAATGACAACCCAATCGAACGGAATGAGGTCAGTGTTACATGAAATCAATAAAATGGTTGCCTGACAGCTCTTGATATACGAGACCGAGAACCAGACATATTTACTCATCGCCAAGCTTCGGTTTGGTGAGCATGGCAGTACTAGCACATGACGAAGGATAGCTTACTGTGGGTTGAGATGCACGCGAGGCGTCCTGCACGGGTTCCGAGGGTCCCGATTTGGCGCACGCTCGATTAGACAAAGTGAGTTAGGAACCACTGCTCATTCGAAGAGACGCAACGTGACTGTGTGTAGCGCAAGACAGTAGATCTCGGATCGGTTGGTGCTGTGTTCAGATAGTTGGGTATACAGTACTTGAGCTAGACTGCTCCCATTGCTGACTAGTTGCTCAGATGATCAGGCACCTTTGTATTCAGCAACGAGAATCACGTATGTGTGATGAAGTAACGAGTGCTTTGAAGAAGTCGCCTGCATACGGTCAGGCAGTTTGGTGGAAGCCTTTCGTATCAACAATTCCGCCGTCCGAATACGCAGTATTTTTCTTGCTCTCGACGATTGGGTAGTCATTACGCAAATGTCACGTTTCAGTTTCGGCACTACGGAGAAGATTCCCTGCTTTGAGTTTGGTTGCCTGAACATCTCGACGGTGGGTCCGTGGGCAAGATGGATAAGGTTGGCCTTGGGACAATCGGAACCTGCAAAACGCAGCCCATGAACTCTGAATAATGATCACGAGTAGTAGGCTTTCGGACGCTTCTTTCGTCCGAGGTGTGCCGTCGATTTATGTTGTACATTGATGTCATGAGAAAGAAGCTTACGGCAGGTGCCCAAGCGGTGTGCTTGAACTTCGTAGTTCCGCTGTGGTACCAGTGGCAAATCGATGATTTGAGCGGAAACTGAGTTCCGCCAGCGGGAGAGCCGGCTCTCGACACACTGAGGTAGACGAGTACCGTGGAAGAGATACTTTTTCAAGCAAAAGATTTCTGATCATCAGCAGTCGTCTGTCTGACTAAGTTATTGAGAACGTGCTAACGACTCCAGCATTCTCTCGTCAAGCTGACTGTTTTCAGGATATCGGAGGAGCGTTCTTTGTTTGACAAGCTTTCACATGCTTACGAAGGACAAAGTTGGTGCCATGTGACCTGATGAGGCTCTTCGTAATCACGACTGCTGAATAATGCGCGTGACCCACAGCGTCTTCTGCAAGGCAAAAATTGCAGGTGCGAGATCATTCATTCGCTGAAAGAATGCATGAGCCAGGGTGCGGCGGTAGCATTTACGCCCACAGAATTGTTTGTACCGCGCATCATGCTAGAAGTGGTGATCGTTCAGCCTGATGACTACCTTACTGTTCTGGCAAGAAATGTTCGCAATCTGAAAGCCAACCAGGGAGATTCCTGACAGCCCATGCTCGCTGAGGACAAGAGCCTTGTTGAAGGAGTAATGACAATTGTGGACAACGATCGGCAGCACAGGAAGCTAGAAAGCTTACGAACTTGCATGCCTAGCGTGCCGACAATCATACCATGACGGCCTCAGCTGAGCACAACTTTTCTTGGGCCTTCATGTTCATCCGAATTTTTCGTACACACCCACCACAGGCGTCAACGAGATCCGAGCTTTCCGTGGGTTCGACACTTTGCAGATGCTTGCAGCAGAGCTTGCTCTTCGCATCTTCGCGTCTTTATTACTCACCTGGTCTCCGCCGGACAAATCATGACACCAGTGGAAATCTTGGAGAGCTTAATGCCGACGACACGCTCGGCGTCCAAGCATTTCCGTCACCTGCGGTTCTTCTCATATACAGCGAAGGCTGCCAGAGAGACTATATGCTAACGCTAATCCTCTGTTCTTCCTGCTTCGCGGCAACCTTGCTGGCGTGGTTGTTCCTAGCATTCTAGCTTCTTGTTGCTTCTGTCTATTTGCAGCTACCTTGCGCAACGTTTGGGAGCTCCTTCCTTCACGTCAAACACCAAGAGACCTTGTTACAGCTAGGGGTTTGTTCTGTGATAGCACTGCAGCAAACCTATACTCTGTATAATATCAATATCGTATTAATCTTGTGTATGGCGTGGCTCAAAACTCAAGCAGCTATTGCGCTGTTAGGCACATCGACTCTCCTCGTACTGGGCCACGGCGACGACCACATGGATATGGGGGAGACTTCCAGTACTCCATCACCATCTCCAATACTCGACCCTAATCGAAACTATGACCTTTGGGACAAACCGAGCTATGTCGGTCTCGAGGCGCATACTGGATTGATGGCGGCTCACATCGGTTTCATGGTAGCAGCATGGTTTTTCATACTACCAATAGGTGAGTAAAAGTGTTGTAACCGTCATGTGCGGTCTGCTGACAGCCTTAGGGGTTATGCTCAGTATTGCTCGATCGAAGTTCGCGCTTCCTACACAGTTCCTCTTCCTCCTCCTCAACGGGTTTGGTGTTGTGGTTGGAACAATCTACAACATAAACACTCCAGATCTATACGAGAACAACGCTCATCATAAGATTGGATGGATAGCAACATGGATTGTTACTGCTCAAGTCCTCATGAGTCTTCTTTTCGTATATTCTGGTCGCAGCAAGCAAGAGGACGTTGTACAAAGTGAACGCGTTGCATTTTTACCCGCATCGCTCCAGTCCTTCGACCGACCCTTCCACCAGTATCGATGGTCCGGCGATAGTGGACACGGTACAGAGCCTCCGTCTCCAGGATCGTCCCGCACTATGTCTCCGAACAGAGACTATGGCTACAGGAAACCGGAGACCGAAGAGCCCGAAGACATGGAAGAGGTTCCTATTGCGGACCGTAGTACAAGACCGTCTTGGTTTGCAAACACCAACATTGGCAGATATTTGTCATCACGCGTTCCACAAGTCATGTCGCAGAAACTGCTCAAGGCTGCCGAGGTTGCCTGCGAAGTCATAGATCGGGCCGTGCTGATTCTTGGCTTCATTGCCTTGACTACAGGCATTGTCACCTATACTGGCATTGGCCGAGCAAACAACGTCTTCAACCTACTTGCTCATTTTATCAAGGGTGGCATCTTTGTTTGGTATGGCTTGCTCACTCTCGGACGATGGTTGGGAGCCTTTGCAGATCTGGGCTGGGCATGGAATTTGAAACCAACCAGATCGGAGGTTGGCTGGAAAGCTCGTTTGCCTACTGCTGAATTCACTGAAAGCTTCGTGATCTTCTTGTATGGATGCATCAACGTGTTCCTGGAGCATCTGGCAGCTTGGGGAGATGCGTGGTCAGCGCAGGATTTTGAGCATGTTTCTATTTCTGTCATGTTCTTTGGTGGTGGCCTGGTAAGTCTATCTATCTCAACCAGTTACGAATGCTGACACTTTCCCTAGGCAGGCATGCTCGTTGAATCCAAGCAACTTCGCACATTCCTCAACACCAGCATTGACATGATGCCTACTCGAAACGACGTACATCCCGAGCAGGCGCATGAGATACGCGAGGAGCCGAAGAGCTACAGTACTTCAGTCAACATCATGCCAGCTCTGGTCATATTGCTGTTGGGCATCATGATGTCCTCGCACAAACAAGATTCGATGGTCGCGTCGATGGTGCACAAGCAATGGGGCACACTTCTCTCCGGATTCGCTGTATGCCGTGCACTCACCTATGTGCTCACCTACCTTTCACCTCCTAAGTCGATATATCCTTCACGTCCACCGACAGAGCTTGCGACATCATTCTGCCTCCTCTCTGGAGGTCTTATCTTTATGCTTAGCACTCACGATATTGTGCACTACATGGACGTATACAACCTCATGCCGATGTTTACCTTTACGGTCGTGATGGGCTTTACAGCTTTCGTCATGGCCTATACCATGTTCGTTGTCGGCTTGAAGGGTTGGGCTGCCCGACGTGAACACACAGGATTGGTCAACAGATACTAGGTGGGAGTGGTTAATCAGTCGGCCACAATGAAGCAATAATCTATAAGGCAGTTTGTGTGGGATGACTTAGGACGGCTGGCGGTTACTTGGATTGTTTTATCCTTATGACTTTAGCGATGCGATACGATACCCCCTTTTGCACAGCATCCGAGGCGCTGTGGGTCTTTGTAATGACGAAATCGGATGACATCCATAGATATTTTTAATGACAGATTATTGGCAAGGTATGTAGAGAACAATGGTACTTGTTACGCGATATCGTTCAGATCTCGTCTTCGCTGGTCCGTAGATTCATACGACTTGAGTAAAGCCGGAGCATGCGGCGTATACTAGTAATTTATGTGCATTTGAATTTATTGACCACTAGCTACACGGAAACCGGCTCCTGCAGCGTCCGAGAACGGTTCGGTTTCTGGGAATTTCGGCAGCAGGAATTCAGGATTCGGAATAAGCGCAGTTGAATAGTTCTCTAGTAGCCCTGCATTGTCTATTGAAGAGGACTGCACCTACCAAATATTTCCCTTGTGTTTACGACACCGGAGTCTGCCAGACTCGCGGTCCCTAGCCCTTGAGGACCGTCGTCACATCTTTGGATACACCCCTACTCGGCGCACGAATCACCTAGCAACCACGCGCAATTATCCCGATTCCTACAGTCACGATTCGAGACACGAGAATTGAGAGCAGTAACCCGAGCCTCAACCATTTACTGAACTCTTCGCGTGTGTGATCCTCAAGGCAAGGCAGTAGAGGGAGCCTCTGCTCCCTCTGAACGACTCGATCATGCCTCCTGATCGACCCAATATCGCCCATCAACCCTCGGCCTTCAGGGTGCCCCTTCCCAATCCAAGTCGACTGCGCTCCTATGCCTTTCGGCTACCTCTCTTCACTCGATTGATGCTCCTTGTCATCATTGGACTATGGTTATTAGAGCTCCAGACAGTTTGGTCGGTCATAAATTGGGGTGCACTTATACCCAATGAAGTCGGGTTTGGAAGCATGTATCGTCTGAACACATATCCTCTGGTACACAATGGCTTTTTGCACATGTTTATGAACACTTTGTGCTTGGTGCCGTTGCTCGAGAGGTTTGAGAGCGAATGGGGAACACTCAATTGTCTTGCGCTCTGGTTGGGGCCATTGAGTACGATTCCAGCTGGGTTGTATATTCTCATACAGAAATTTGTGATAAGAGGGAATACAGCAGTTCTTGGATCAAGGTGAGTTGTGGGAAAGAGAGCGGCGATTGCGCAATGGTCAGTAGCTAACACACTTGCAGTGTTTGGGTATTTTTACTGTTAGGGATCGAGGCTATCAAGACGTACAGGGCGCATCCATATTTTGAGTACGTGTTTCATGAAGTACAGTGGTAACTTTTTGGCTAACAACAAGCAGGATTGCATCCGCAAAAATACCTACTTGGACTACTCCTCTAGCACTAATTGTGGTCACCTCTGTCCTGATACCGAACACTTCTTTCCTGGGCCATATGTGTGGCGTCATTGTGGGCTATCTATGTAAGTTCCTCTCTCTCGTCCAGAGTGCTGCTGTCAAGATTGCTTCTACCACATGCTCGAGCATATGTTGAATTGCTGTACCAATGATTTACTTAGCATCTTAACTAATACATAAATAGTTGGTCTTGGGTATCTCAAATTCTTAGCACCACCAGAACGCATACTGAGATGGATCGAAGGTAAGCTGAACCTGCTGGTTCGCCTGCCGCATTATGTATCAGTAGATCAGAAGCAATATGGTCGCTTTGGAGTATTACCCTCCACAGCGGGAGAAAGTTCTAGTAATCAGTCTCCTATAGGACTGGCTTGGCTGAGTAGTGGAGGTCAAAGGCTAGGGCCTTGAGTGGGACACGTGTATAGAATATTGTATAACAATGCTATACCGCGTAGGCACATCACGATACCATGATAGATTTTGACCAAGGCTTCTTGGCTAGAACGCGTCTCGGGTCGCGTCTGCAGCGTCACGTCATGCTTATGCTTGTTAGTACCCCACAAAAACTATTAGTGAGGTTTCGGGGAGTCGAAGACATGTGGCATCAACTGGCACATTGAAACACAATTGATTGACCACCCCCTCCAGAACCTTGCTATGAAGTCGGCTAGACCGAGCAAGGTATCATGGGTATTCTTCGTGAGTGCGATGTCCTATCACTTTTCGAGTCTTCTAATCGTAAACAGGCTCCTCCCTCTCCAACATACGTACGAGTCCTCGACTACTAAAAGTCCCGCCGTATGTATCCCTCCTGTGCTTCCTGGGAGGCATAATATGGATCCTTCTGTTGCCACTTGATGAATACTCTCGCCGAACGTATATATCAGAAAACGCGCTCCTACCCGGGCAGGTACATACCTATTTTCACGGCACGGAACAGAATATCTTTCGAGCTTACAAGCATGAAGTCGCAGACGTGCTGGAAGTGCAGGAACATATTCAACCGGATGGCTCCAAGGCGTATATGCAGGCTACTCCTCAACACAGAAACAAGAAGATAAGAGAATTGTTCGCTAATTCCGGCATCAAAAGCGCTGTTCAACCATTCAAATACACGGTTGGAGGAGTAGAGTATGAGGGTGAGAACGTTTACGGAATTGTCCATGCGCCGCGAGGCGATGGTACCGAGTCAATAGTGATTGTGGCGCCTATCAAGAACTTTGAGGGGCAGATGAACACTAACGGAGTCACGTTGTTGCTTACGCTTGCTCGGTACTTCTCGAGATGGTCGTTGTGGTCCAAAGATATCATTTTGCTGGTCACCCCGAATACCTCTACTGGCCCACAAGCGTGGATTGACGCCTACCTCTCTCAACATGATCCTGAGACCATAGGATCACTTTCTCTAAAGTCTGGCGCTATACAAGGTGTAATCTGTATAGACTATCCCTTCCCTCATCGTTTCCACGCGCTACATATCTCCTATGATGGGATCAATGGTCAACTCCCGAACCTCGACTTGATCAATACGGCCACCCAGATCTCGATGGGTCAATTGGGCATACCCACGCTTCTACAGTCACAGCAGCACTATGCGAAGGCCGAACATCAGCACCATTACAAGAATAGACTGAAGGTACTCGGACATGGCATGACGAATCAGGCTATTGGTCACTCCACTGGTGCACACTCGGTCTTTATGCCTTATCATATCGACGCTATTACTTTGACCGCTGTTGGTGAGGGCTGGGAGGATGAAATGGCTTTCGGAAGAGTGATCGAGTCCCTGACACGAAGTATCAATAACCTGCTTGAGAAGCTGCATCAGAGTTTCTTCTTCTACCTCCTCTTGCAGAACAATCGCTTCGTCAGTATAGGGACTTACCTCCCTAGTGCGATGGCTGTAGGCGCTGGCTTCAGTATTATGGCGATATACCTTTGGTTGAAGAGTGGCTACGAGCAGCGAGAAGAGGCTGATGTGCCTGTTCGTGAAGCTACGGAACGTGATGCTGCGACGGAAGATAAGGTAGAGGCAGCTTTGGCAGACTCGAACCTCACCAATGCACAACTTCTTGAGTCACCGTCAAATGGCGGACAACGATTGACCAAGAAAAAAGAGTGGAAGTCGATTGATCGGCCACTTGTGATACCTTTGACACTCGTTGCTGGGCTCTACCTTACCTCTCTTGTGCCAGTGGCCCTTCTTGTGACTGCACCCCACAGCAAACTGCTAGCCAGAGCGGGATCATTGTCTACAGTCCTTCTTATGATACCCTTTGGACTGGCATTTGCGCTAGGAGCTAATAGGTCACTTATGGACGGCTCGTTCTTCTCGAGCCCACAATCATCCGAATCAGCAAATGGTGCTCCTCGAAAAAATACCCTAGTATTCAGCGATCTCAGTCCACCTTCCGATCCCAAGATACGCATCTCGCAGTTCCAGGCAATTGTCAAAAGTCTGTCACTACTTGTTTTAGGCCTTCAACTTACAGTTCTCGCAACCCTCAATTTCAGCCTGAGCATGTTCCTGGGTGTGCTATGTACACCACTAGCTTTCGCAGGTTACTACAGGGACTCAAAGATGCGAGCGAATGCTAGTCTGATAGCTATCACGCTCTTCAATCCTTTCGTTGCTGCAAATGCCGCCACGATGGCTGCCAAATTAGCAGGATATTACAACGATAACGTCGGGATGAAAGATGTGCTGCGACTGTGGTTACAGAATGTGAGCTTTGGATGGAACGTGTGGGGTTCTTGGGGTGTACTCGTAGGTGTGTTTTGTGTTTGGATTCCTGCTTGGACAGTGGCTACAATGGGTGCTGTAAGCAGTTTTGTGATAGATGAGGATGGGCAACTCCCGAGAAAAATAGAGAAGGTCAAGGAGATCACAAAGGACAATCTGACTGATGTCAAGAAGGCTACTGTTAGGAGAAACAGTCCTGGTCCGGTCAGAAAACGGAAGGATTGAGTAGCAGCCACGTACTAGCTCACTTTTGGAGCATGAATTCGTGGTTTCAACGACTGCTAGACTCCTTGATGCCTTGTCCACAAGGCATTAATGGCCGGTTCACTGCACATGCATTCCACCGCTGCCCTGATCGCGCTTTCCGTTGCGGTGCCAGATACTGACCGCTGCGTTATGTGACTTGTGACAACCATATCATACATCACCATAAATTGTATCCAGGCTGTGATATATTTGCCTCGCGAGTCTCTCGTCGCTTGTGCGGTATGTCATGGCGCTGCACATCCTCTTTGAGATTGCGCCATGCAATTCGCCCGCCCTTCCTTTCATATGAACGTCTGGGAGGGAGTTTCTGTTCCTACAACCCGACACGCTACAGCTCAAACACTCCTGTCAAACGAGAAATAGTAGAACGGGATTGCTACGACCAATTGCCAGAGGGTGTGGAAAAAAATATCGATGATGTTAGAGCTGTAGCTGCAAGGTCGGATCTTGCGCAACTTGTATCGTCGAAAGCAGCTTTAAGACAGATTGCTAATGGACAAGAGGCTAAACGGCGAGAAATTGCAAGGTCGAAAGAAGATACCACAGAAGGCCATAGCAGTGAGGGCCCGCCGGACGAATTAACAAGTCGAAGCTGGGCGCTAGGTGACGAAGTTCAAGTCACCGGGCTCGTTCAGAGTATACGCAGGCACAAGAAGATTGCTTTCGCCAACATCTCTGATGGCAAGACTTATCAGACGCTACAGATCGTTCTGCTTCCCAAATTCGCGGACAAGTTGCACAATGGTGCATATGTTGAGTTGAAAGGAATGTGGCAGGAGTCGAAGGGCTCGGGCCACACCCACGAGCTATTGGTAAAAGAGTTGATATTCGTAGGCAGTTCTGACCTCGAAGCCTCTCCAATACAGAAGAAGAACATGACTGTCGATCATCTAAGAACTTTTCCACATCTACGACTGCGTATACCTTCTTACTCTCTAGTGAATAGGGTCAGAAGTCATGTTACTTCGGCTGTGCATAATTACTACAGCGTTCGTGGGGCCTGCTACGTACAGCCACCGTTGATTACCTCTAGCGATTGCGAAGGTGCTGGCGAAACTTTCACAATAACACCCAGGCTTAATCCTGCAGCTGACGCTGCTGGCATGCAATCGAAACCATCTCACTATTTTAGATCGCCAAAGTATATGACAGTGTCGTCGCAACTACATCTCGAAGCCTTCGCGGCTGAGCTGGGAGACGTATGGACTCTATCACCCACATTCCGTGCCGAGCAGTCTGATACGTCTCGACATCTGAGCGAGTTCTGGATGTTGGAGGCCGAGTTTCGACAAGTCACCGAAGTCGCAAAACTCACAGAAATGGTCGCTGATCTCATGCAAAAGATCATCTTTTCCATCTGGCCGAGCCCTGTGTGCAACGAACTCCGACAGTACTGGTCTGAGGACCACAATATCCAGGACAAAGGTCGAGTAGATCTTGATGCACGCTGGAATGCACTGGCATCGACCGATGCATGGAAGACTGTGACGTATAGCGAAGCCATGGGCAAGCTAAAAGACGCAGCGCAATCCGACTCGAAGTTCTTTGAATACAAGCCTGAATGGAACCAAGGTCTACAGCTCGAACACGAACGATGGATCGTGGAAAACATTGGCAAGAATTATCCTGTCTTCGTGACAAACTATCCAAAGAAGCAGAAACCTTTCTACATGTTGTCCAACGAGGACAAATCAGAAAGCGAACCCCAGCATGAGACAGTGGCGTGCTTTGACCTTCTCCTACCTTACGGTGCTGCCGAAGTCGTTGGCGGATCACTCAGAGAGCACAGACTAGAGCCACTAATTGCCAATATGAGAGAGAAGGGCCTGCTTCGACGACCAGCAGGAACCGACCAGAACCCGACTACAGAGGACTACCCATTCCTGCAGCCGGGAGAATCCTTGAATACATTAAAGTGGTACGCCGACCTTCGCAGATTCGGTTCCTCTCCACATGGTGGGTTTGGCATTGGCTTCGACCGCTTACTGATGTATCTTACTGGTATCAACAATGTGAGGGATATTGTGCCGTTTCCGAGGACTTTTGGCGTAGCGCATTGTTAGTGTGATAGAGTAGACTTGTATAACACAATGTAATAACTATACCACCGCTTAGAATGTTAGTGAAAGTGAATGAACACGACTCATGGAAGTAATAAAATCGAAGAGGCCAAAGCCAAACATCGTTCGTAATTCCGTCCACTATGTACATAAGTCTCCTTAACACCATGCTAAATACGATCAAACAGATTTCTCCTGTATGACAACTCTGTCGGCACATCTCGTACATATTCGTCGTCCTATCTCAACAATAATCCGCATCACTTATGTCCCAGATCAATCAATACTATCCTGTGAAACAACATCATCATCATCTCCCTCAACAATCGACCCAGGTACCGAAAATGTCGTCGTACTCTTCTCACCCCTCGCCGACCTCGTCCTACTCTGCCGTCGACTCTTCACAACAGGATGCCCATAATCATCCACATCCTCCTCCTCTTCACCATCACTATCCTCTCCTCTATAAAAGCCCCTCCCACGAGACTGTATAGCTTGTTCAAATGTCCCACTCGCGGTCCGCCTAGAACCGCCAGGCCGTCTAAACAGGTGTCCGCTGACGAGATCGTTCATGGTGGCGCCTCCTGCGATGCGTGCGAGGATCTGGACGACGAAGATGACGACTTCGATTGGTTTTACGACGGCTAGGGTTGCGGCTTTTTGGAGGAGGATGGTGGGGATTGGGGAGGTGGTGGGAGAGGGGGATGGGGGGCGGAGGATGGACGCTGGGGGAAGGGGGGAGAGGGAGCGGCGGCGGGTGAGGCGTTGGCGGAGTTCGGATCGGGTGTCGTTGTTGTTGGTGAGGAGGGTGTCTGGGACTGCGAGTTGGGTGTGGGTGGTTTGGGAAGTGGATGGATTGTGGTGGATGTAGTCGTTTATAGTGTCAGTGTCGTGCGCACAGTCGTACTCAACCGAAGCTGCTGTGACTGTCGCTTCTGACAGCTCACGTCGATGCTGAAATGATCTGGTGTTTAAAGTCCGGGGATCGAAATTGTTGCTTCCTTCGGTATCCTGGTCAGATTGCAGTGTATGAAATGAGTCTGTAGATACTATACTTTCAACATCGTCGTTGGTCTGCGTTCTTTGTAGACGATCAAAGATCTCTGAAAGGTCGGATGTTAATCGCTCATCCTTCTCGACACTCAGGTTATCTTTGCTCTCAGGTGGCTCCGAGGAAGTCGTTGAAGTAGCAACAATTACGGGCTCATGCGGAGATCCAGAGTCTATGAAACCATTCTCTTGTTCCAGTGCCACGAGATCTGATGCTCGGATTGTCTTGACCGGAACCTGGGTTTCATTCGCAGGAGATATCGATTGAGTAACGTTGGTGCCGTTTGAAGCTGTAGTAGTATCAAGGTCGGAGTTTCCGTGGGTAACAAGCTCCTGATCGATAGTGACGCTTGTTGCAAAAATTTCTTGTGGTTGAGGCTCACGATTATCCTCGGGCAGGGGCTCACTGAGCTCAACATGATCACTACTTGACGATTGTTGCTGCTCTGGCTCTGACTTTGAGTCAGTCACTGCATTTCCGATTGTCGAATCTATTGTGGGCTGGTCTTCTGTGCCAAAGTATGGTAGAGATTGGCTCTCTGGACTTGATCTCGACTGCGTGTCGTGCTTCGGCTTGAATCGTTCAAACAGCCTGATCTGGTCCTCGACCCTAGATGAACGCCGTAGTCCTGCGGCTGTAGGTCTCTGTTTGAGTTGTTCAGTATCGGACGGCACATTGCCTTCACGAAGAGCTATTGTTTCAACGTGTTTCAGAGGTGACCTAATTATGGGTGCGGTATGACTTTCTCGGTCGCTATCTTCAACTTCCGAGTGCTGACTGCTTTCCTGTCTGTCCGACTCACTATCATGACGCTCAGAGTCGGTGTTGTCTTCACCCGAAGCGTAGTTGACGGGCGACTCGGTACGTACATCTGGAAAGCTATAGCGAGCAGACGATATAGGTGTGCTTGCAGTACGGGGCCTCTCCATGTCAATAGCATCCATAGATCTGGAAGGGAAAGAACTAGGTGGCATAGCTCTCATACTCATGGTTCTAGTATTCTTCCTTGGTCCTAGCGGCGAGTCCACGACGGGAGTGTTGGGAGTTATAACTTCCTTTCTCTTCCACGTTCCTCTCCTCTTTGGTGTAATGGCGTCTTCGGGTAGATCGACCTTAAAAGCTCTGATGAAAGGGCAAGGCGTGTTCTCGAACTTCAAAATCTTGGCTATGACCTCTTTGAATTCACTGACTTTCTCCTTGTCCTCGGGTTCTGTACTCGGAAACTCGATTCGTTGATAGCGCAGCTTTCCGACTCGCATGACAAATTTCGACTCCCCATCTACACACCAACACTGAGAATTTCTCATAATCGTATGTATGAAACTGGCGCCGGCCTTCATGAAGTGGACCGAGCCCTGCACCTTCTCGATAATGAGTTTTCCTTTAGCGGACAGGGTCTCGGTTCGCGACCGCCATGGTAAGATCTCAATCGCGTCTATAGGATAATCTGCATCTGTGTGGGACTTCTTCGTCTTGTCGAGTGATTCCAGAGCATTGGTGGGCGGCTGGAAGAGGTAAATCCGAACGTTGGGGTGGGAGTATAGGACATTGGCGTCGGCATCCTCCTTGGAAAGAGCTGCTCTCTCATGAAAGGAAAGACTACGCTGGGGCAGTGAAGCGAATTGAGAGGAAGACCTGCGAAAGCTCGACGGCCTTTCGCCAGTGATGGGTGACGATGCCATGCTGCATCTTTCCAGTGGCCTCAGCGCAAAAAGAGGACGCGATTTGTTTTCTATGTGTCAAAGTGTTTCTCTCACCGTTTGCAACAGATCTCAAGTCATTCTGTGTCGTTAAGGGGCATCAAGAGCAAGTCCATCCCACTAACCACCACTTGCACATGGTTCACACTTCCGCAACTGGAACAGTTGACCCTTTTTGCGACAAGCACGTGATCGATCAGGAGTGACGTATATTGAACGTTTACGGTACGACGCAAAATCCTCACAATTCTGCAATATTTCTTTTTCTGGGGCAGGAACTGGTATACAGTGCATTGGTAGGCCACCATGTCGAACTTCGATCCTAATGCTATAATTCGTGGCGCACAGCTGACCCTCGTGGGTGCGAATCGCGCTCTGCAAAACCCGGGCCTCTTTACAACGGACCACTATCGCCAAGCAGCAATAGCAGTGTGCGCTGGCCTGGCAATCCGTATCATCCTCAACGTGCCCATATATACTGTCAAAGCCTTTATCTGGGTCATCTCTGTATTCGTCAACCTGGACCAAGAGACTTGGGACGAGACAGTGGTTAATGGGTTGGATTTCATCTCACGGCACGTTCTGCAGATACCATTCTTCTTGATGATGGTCATGAGCTCAATCACGCCAACGTTGGACAATGTCTTCATGGATAGTCTTCGCTGGGTTGATCAGACATATGTTCAGAAGCACAAGTCCGATGATCCTTCTCACCTCCGGGCCATGTACTATCCACCCTTGAAGATGTACTCAGATCACGGAGCCAACGAGAGGAAGGAGCGACGCAGCTTTTTGGATGGTGTCATTGTGGTCGCTACCCGCTATGGTAAGAAAGCAGCTATTTCCTTGGCCATCTATCTCTTGACCTTCGTGCCGAAAGTCGGACCTCTGGTTTTACCAGCTGCCTCTTTCTACACTTTCAACAAAGCAGTTGGTCCTATACCTGCCGCAATAGTTTTTGCCTCCGGTCTTGTACTGCCAAAATCGTACATGGTATCTTTTCTCCAAACCTACTTTGCCTCTCGAAGCTTGATGTCACAGCTCCTTCGACCTTACTTCGACCGAATCCGTTTCACGAAACAACAGAAAAAGATATGGTTTATTGATAGAAGTGGTGTCCTGTTTGGATTTAGCCTGGCCTTTGCCATCATGGTCAAGGTCCCCTTGTTGGGTGTTCTCATCTATGGCATTGCAGAAGCATCCACGGCTTATCTAATCACCAAGATCACGGAGCCACCGCCTCCTCCTGGCGATAATAAAGAATTCATTGAGAGTGAGGTCAGATGGAAGAATAAACACTTGCTGTTGAATCTGCCTTTGGACAAGCTGGATGCGTACAATGCTAAGCTAACGGGTGCGGATGAGGTATCGAAGCATGCAGATCGTGTTGCTACAATGCCTGGCAAGAAGTTCTCTTGAAGCTCCTGTTCATCGCAGAGATAGTGTCACTCCTCCAGCTAGCACTACTCGTTCCTAAATTAAAGTATGAAATGGAAAATACACGTTATACCACCAGAAGTCTGCACTTGTTGGCAACTATAGCGGTCGTTGGTACCGAGTATAGTGTCAGCGGCTTCTCCAGATGTAACAGGGTGAAAGTGAGCATTGTGAGTGGTTGCGGAAGTCTTTATCAATCAAAACTCCCAGGTATGGGTTTTGGTGCTGCAGATGGTCCCGGGCTATAGGCTCCGAACTTGTTTCCCATCATGGCGTCCATTCCGCCGGGCGAGAGGCTAGATCCAGGAAGTTTATCGCCTGCAGACATGCCTCGCTGCGACAGGTCAGGGCCGTCAGGGAGCCCACCAGCAAGACCTCCTGGGTTTGGTTTCATTCCCACATCATGGGCGTCAAGTTCCATGGGCCGCGTCGAACCCTTAGATGGAACTTGAAAATCTGCATCCTCAGCATACATGTCCTGATCGCCAGTCATGCCCTGTTTCTTCCGCTTCCTCTTGTCCCGGTGATGTTTTGTCCACCAGACTATCACCATTAAGTTGATTACTGATGATGCTGCCAATATTGCGTACAGGGCTTTCTGGATCCCCGAAGTGTTGACCATCATCCAGCATTCGCTAATGGAATCAATTTTGTCATCTGATGCGGACATTGTAAACAGCCAGCAGAATGGTGGTGCTGCGTGTGCTGTAAGTAGTAGATTATGGATCTTGTGATTGAAAGGTGCTCCAATGTTTTGTTCTATCGCAGTTGGAAATTTCCAGCTGTAAAACTCGGAACGATATCTGCGAGAAGATATAGTTTGGACATTTGCCAGATGAGTCTTGCACAGGCGTTGTATATATACAATCGCACACTGCCAACGCCACCGCAGCACCTCCTTTAGTCAGACCCCCTGCGTCTCTGTGAAGGCGATGAGCATGCCATCAAGCAGCGAAACAGCTTGTAATCGACTCTTACTTTATTACTCGGGCACAAGAAGGCCCCACGACGAGTCTTGGCAATCGTTGTCAGCTTTTTTACACTCATCCCAGGCTCAGAGAACACGGTAAATCCAAGCATGAAGCGTGTACGATCGTGAGTGTAAGCAATGCTTCACTATCGGTCAGGGACTGTAGTACTCGCTCTTACCGTCTCTCATCCACCTATGTTGCCAACAATGGCTAGCTTTACATCCTGCGTATCATATTGTACATCGGGGCCACTAACATATCTCACGCGAACTGCTGCCAGCTCACAAACTTCGAAGTAAAAGACAGTGCATTCGGAGTCGCGACTGCAACTAGCACGTTGTCAAAGACCTGGGCCTCTGAACTTTCAAAGACCTAAGTCTCTGGACTTCTACCCTTCATGGTTTTCGAAGCTTCTATGTCAAAGTCGATACTTCGTTAGTCGCAATAGGTAGGAGTTTTAGCAGTAACACGAAATTCGCTTGGCCTACGCAATGTGGACTCAAAGTACTACTGGAACGCGTTACACGTTCCACATTCCGCGTTTAGTGCTTTACGCGTCCGCGTCTTCGAGCATCTTTACTCAATGCTAGCAATATTCATAGATCTTCTCTAAGCATGTATAGTTCAAGAGTTTAGGTAACAATTACAAGATGTCTGGTACATTGTCCTCTCAGAGCTCGAGCTCGTCGTCTCCAGATACATCGCCAGCAATAGCACCTGCGAAAAGGAGTGTGCGAGAATTGCTTGCTGAACTAAGCGACTCGGACGAAGATGTTTCCAACCTGACAACACGTAGACAAGAAAAACCAAAGTCACCGTCGGCAATTTCCCACAGTGATGAGGCTAGTGACGAAGATGATCTCCTAGTTGGAGGTGGAAGGTTAACAGCTCGATTGGCAGGTGCCGTCACGTCGGACAGAACTAGCACCAGCAATGAGCCGTTAGCTACAGATCCGGTAACGCGCTCTCTTGAACGCGAAGGCGAGGATGAGCCAGCTCTATCACGAAGGCAAAGTAGTGACGAAGAGGAGTTCAGGCCAAAGAAGAGAATGCTTCTGAAGAGGAAGAGGCAGACAACTCCCAGCAATGACCTCACTACAACTCAGCAAAGCGCGATACGTGACCCTTCTCCCTCCACAGTATCGATTAGCAGTCCTCTGTTTGTCTCCTCTCCAGGAAGAAAAGAGACGGCCACATCTGCAGGCAAGTCAAGGTTCCAAGTCCTTGTCGAAAAAGCTAGGAATGAGAGACTGGCTCGCGAAGAGGCCGAGCAAGCAAAGCAGGAGGCAAGGCAAGCCCAGTTGGCCGTCAAGAGTCCTGAACGACGCGGGAAGCGAGGCTCTAGTCCAGCTGACGACTCTGGGGAGGATAGTGATCGATCTGAGATTGCCACAGCTAAGCGACTCACCAAGGATGCAAGGCCAACGCGAAAAGCGAGCAAGAAAGCTCTCGAAGAGATGAACAGAGAAACTCAACGCATGCATCGTAATATGCAATTGGCACATCAGGCTACGACTAAGAAAAAGTTCACCAAAGAAAGCTTCTTCGCCAGTTTCAATCACGCCCTGCCCACCACTACTGAAGTAGCAGATCAGCTTGACTCATCCAGCTCTGTGCCCCCTTCTGATGCGGAAGCTGTACGCTCTCACACGACCCCTCCCACAAGTCCTCTACGCAGTCCTGTGAAAGATACGTCCTTACCGGTCGTGGTTGATCAGGCCGTGGATAACGAACATGCCGAAGACGATACATACAACATTCCCAACCTACGCGCTATTGCCTCTGCCCGAAAACTTAAGGCTATCTCTAAAGAGCAAATGGCAGCGCCAGATACGCAAACTTTACCTCCGACCCGCGTACTGATCGACGCTCACCATGACAACGATTCTGATTCCGACATCGAGGTTGTTTACGAAAAGGCATCGAAGCGAAAGTACGCCGCCTTCGAGAACTTGCCAAAGAGAAAAGCCAGACAGACACAATCTCACCTGGCTCTTCGCTCTCTGGCCCACGTGAAACCTGAGAAAGACGGTAAGTCGTCCATCTCCAGAGCTGATATGGCCCCTTTTTTGCTGCGTGCTGCAAGGATGCAGGCTCTCGAGGAAAGGAGAGCCAAGATCGACAAGCTCAAGGCCGCAGGTGTGGTTGTACAAACAGTTGAGGAAAAGGAGCAAGAAGAGGAGGAGCTCGAGGATCTTGTTGAGCGTGCCAGACAGGAAGACGAAGAGATAAGGAAACGGGAGAAGGAGCTTGCTAAGAAGGAGGGTACTTACCAGAAAGATGCCCTCGATGATGACGATAGTGACGAAGACGACGAAGACTTCGATCCCGAAGATCGTGAAGATGCTCAATCTGGTTCAGAAGAGGATGGCGAAGACGATGGACAAGACGCAGACGATGAGGAGCCTCAACATAATCCTCTGGTTGACGAAAGTGCATCAGAGACAGAAGACGAAGCTGCGTCCGACATTGAGCCAATGATTGGAGCAGACAATGCCGATGGTGACGATCTTGTTGATCCAGCTCAAGTAAAAACGCCAATTATCAGTCGTAGTGCTCGGCCAATACGGGTCATCCTGGACGACGACGAAGATGAAGAAGAGCCTGCAATCCTGCAGAAGCAGTACTCTCCGTCTTTACCGCCGGCTCGAGAAACACCCCAGTCCCTGGTTCGATCAGGGCGCAAAGTCATCCCTGGTCTGCAACACTCTGATGATCTGCCACTAGGTCTCACTCAGGCGTTTGCAGCCACTATGGCAGACTATCAGACACCAGGTGATCGCGCAACACAAGAACAAGACAGTTTGGATATCTTACGCGATTTACCTTCACCACACATCGGCATTGTTCCACGCCTCAACCGCGCCGAGTCATTAGACATGATCAGTGAATGTGTAGCTGACTCGCAACCACAATCTATGAATCTCGATCTTGCTCTCTCCCAAACCCAGCAAATACATCGATCTCCGGCAATCGCAGTCCACCGCTCCCAGACACCTTTCGAGCCAACCCAAGATGCCGGCTATCTTTTCAGCCCATATACTGGTAACCGGTTCGGTGAAACCCCAAGCACGAGGCCATATTCAACCGAAGAGACGATTGATCTGCCACAAGTGGAGGATAGTCCTATACCACGTCGAAAAGGTAAACTACAACGAGGTCGACAAGCAGAAGACGAAGAAATCAGTGTTGATACCACTACAAAATCTGTATTCCACGTCATGAAAGTAGCTGCAAAGCGTGGGATACGAGATGAGTATATGAAGAAGAAGTCAGAGGCTCGTCGGGTGGTCGATGAGGCAGCTGAAGAATCGGACGACGAATATGCTGGCCTGGGAGGAGCTTCTGATGACGAAAGTGGAGAAGAGAACGAAGAAGATCGACGAATGATCGATGAAGACACTCAGGTTGGTCGAGGCGATGAAGCCAAACTCGCCAAGCTGCATGCTGATCGTGAGCGCGAAGCTGATGCAGCTGGTGTGTCAAAATTGCTCAAGGACATCACCACTGGGGCTTTGCGACGCAAGAGAGGCGCAGGCGATGATCTGGACTTGTCAGACGATGAAGACGTCGCTACTCGACGACAGCAGGCAAAACAGCGCGAATTTGCCCGAATGCGCAGAGAACTACTGAAGAACGAAGCCGTAAGCAAGATCGCCGAAGATAAGAGGAAAGAAGCATTTCTGCGGAGTATCGAGGATCGTGATGCAGATGACGAAGGCGATGATGAGTTTGATCAGCCAGAGACCTCACTTGAAGTTGACTCACAAGATCAATCGCAGCCGAAGACCGGCGAGGGTAACGAGGGGAACCGAGCCGACAGCCAAGCAACGACATCTTCAGTGGCAGCTCTAAAGCCCCTACGTGAGTCTCAGCTAAACATTGGCGCTTTTGACCATCGGCGGGCAAGAGTGGCCGTGAGTCAGAAACCTGGTACTCTGGCTGAGATTCGTGAGTCGGTATCTTTCCTGATAGAGGAGCCCGAATCTCAAGCAGGCTTGCTGGATCTGGGACTCTCGGATTCAGAAGAAGAACCAGAAGCTTACGTCGACCTTGATCGTCACTTCCAGCAAGCCGAAGCAGACGAAGAGGACGAAAAGGAAGACCTTGGTGATTTTGTGGTTGCCGATGATAATCGTGATAGCGGCTCAGAGTTTGTTTTCAAGAAGCCAGAGCTACCAAGCACGGGAGGGAGTAGAGCACCTTACTCCGAGCGACGCACAAAGGCTGTCAATGTTGTGGATCGTTTGAGCCTTCGAAAGCAAACTTCGTCCTCATCCTCAATTTCAGGCTCCGCTAGCGAATTAGCTTTCTCTATCAAAGCTGGAAGCAGTGGCTTGAGCGGCGTCCCGAGTCTCCTCCGACGAGCTACCACGAACTCGAGCTTGAGTTCAGTTTCTGGTAGAGGCAATACTTCCAATACTGGTGTAGTAACAAACGAGCCTGAAAGAGGTAGTGCTGCTCAAGAGAAGGAATTTGTACGGAAAGGAGCAAACACGAGCAGGAACGCTATCAACTACCAAGGTAGACAGAATTTGAAGGAGGAAAAGATGAGCGCCAGGGCTGGAATTGTAAAGCAACAGCAGCAGAAGAAGACGAAGAAGAATGGTAGCTTTTTGACTGGGTTGTTCAGGGGGGACACGTGGGCCTGAGTCGACTCATACCTACAGCGTTCATAGAATGATACTCGAACACATTGACCTCACCGGCGGTTCTTTCAAAGGTTTCCTGGACCGAACTAGCGTGCTCACAGACATTGAATAACTGGAAGTCCTTCGTATACGGGCAGATAATCTTCGTGATTCATAGAAGGTACCTGTGAGGTGCCTTATTCGAGCACTGACTTCAGGCACCAATCACTAATGAGTCAACTGTGGGGCACTCTGCTGAGATCGCCACTGGTTCGCTGCGTCACTTCGCCGAAAGCACCAGAAAGCGTGACAATCGGCGGTTCCTTCCCTCACCACGGCGTTTGGTATTTGACTCAGCCTCTCAGCTAAATTCATAACACAACTCAGTACAATTATTCTTTGCATTCTTCGCCTCAGAAACACAATCCTTTCTCAAAATCAAGCCAACCTCTCAACACCTCCCGATAGTAATACACTCACCTCTACACACCCACAGACCGCCACTTTTACATACTCTACACCGTCAACATGTCCGAAGAGTGGGATAGCGTTACCCGCATTGGTAGCAAGGTCCGAGCTGGTGGCGGCACTGCTCAAGACCGCGAGCGAGTCATCAAAGGTCGATCAGCCCTCAATGCAGCTCAACGATCAGGTGCTATCGTAGGCACAGAAAAGAAATTCGGCACAACGAACACTGTAAGTATTCAATAACTAGCAGTCACGTTCTTTGATACAGTCACTAACACTAAACGCAGGGCTCACAAGGCGAAGGTCAACGCCTAACCAAAGTCGACCGAAGCGACGATATCGTCCCAACCAAGACCGTTGGCTCAGTAGTCGGCAACGCAATCAGAGACGGCAGGCAAAAAGTTGAGCCAAAACTGACGCAGGCCGATCTCGCGAAGAAGGTCAATATTACACCTAACCTGCTACAAGACTACGAACGAGGTACCGCCACACCAGACCAGAAGATCCTTGGTAACCTCGAGAGAGTGCTCAAGATCAAGCTGAGAGGAAATGATATCGGGGCGCCTAAGACGCTGGGACCAAAGAAATAGAGGGTTTATGCTCAAGAAAAAGGCATATATGCTCTAGTTTTGGTTTTGAAGATTTCTCAAGCGTTTACGTTCTATTTGTGAAGGAATGAAGGGTGGAGAGGTATACGGGTGCAATTGTTGAAGACTATCAATATCGCGGCATGGCAAGACACACTGTTTAGATCCCTGGTTGCTGTTGTCCTCCTCCAATCAAGAGAACCGACACAGGTCGAGGCCTGAATCGTGTGGACACTATAGCAGAAGTATGTCTGCGAATGACAAGTCAGTCATGGCATACCAGCAAACTCAGCCTTTTTCAGCTCGTCCAAGTTCTACGACGTAACACGTGCTTGAAATCTTGCTTTGTGAAGCTGTATATGTATTTGCCTGGTAAGCGCTGTCTAATTGCCCAAATAGCACTCAGAAGAGGCGGTCCAGGACGAAGGCCGGTCACTCCGAATTCGAAGATGAGAATTCAAAGCATGGGAAATTTATGTAGACACGTCTAGGCAATCAAGAGATATATCAACGCGACATGCAGATTCTTATAAAGCTTTTTAAGCAGAAAGAAAAGTTTCATTCCTAAACGGGCTCGCTATGTACAAATGCTCTAGATCCTCTTCTAAAGTCCAAGCACTCATCCATAGGCCATTTTTGAACGCCGTGGTATATATGCATGGTTACCATCGTGAACGCCAACCAAAAAGTCACACTTCCAACACATGCAGATATCATACGCTCCAAGAAGTCATCAAGAACTGCTTCACAAACCTATTCACCAGATCTTGCGTCAAAGCAGCACAATCCCTGATCGCAGGAGATAGTTCCTCAACAGCCTTGGTCTCATAGTCAAGACCCGCTTTCGCCTCCCTGTCGTGGTCGTACTTGCTCGCGAAGAACTCGACGAGCTTAAAAGTAGGATTTGCCTCGACGTCTGGATTTGATTCACGTAGACGCTGGATCCATTCGCGTTGTGGGACTTTTTCGAATGTTAGGCCTGCTTGTTTGAGATTTGGTAGGAGGTCTTGTGTCCAGTGGAAGGTGTTGGGGTTGACGACGTTGAAGAATGCTTTGGAGGAGCCGGAGAGGGAGATGTCGTTGACTGAGCTTGCGACTACGTCGACTGGAAGCCATCGTGGGCGTTCGTTAAGGGTAGGTAGGGCGCCGATGGTGGTTGCAGCCTGTAGCATGAGGGGAATGGCTTCAGTGTCGTTCCAGATGCCGTGCGTTTGATCAGCGACGATTTGGCCAACACGCAGGACTCGTGCTGCCATATCTGTTTGCTGTGCTGCCTTGGCGATGATGTGTTCCGTCACGAGCTTAGATTGGGCGTAGCCCATGGCTTGTGCGCATGCCAGAGACTCTGGAAGGGCTTCAGGCACGATCGGGCCAGGAGTTCGAGCGACTGTGCTGACTGAGGAGCAGAAGTTGAACGATGCTGGTTTTGGTGTTTGTGCAGCAAGGCAGAGGAGCATTAGATTGCGTGCACCAGCAATACAGTCGTCTTCGAAACTGCTCAGACGCTTATTGAAGTTGACTGACCAGGCACAATGGATGAGAGACGCAATGCCTGACTTGAGATGGCTGTAGACATTGGCATCGAGGCCAAGATCTTCCCGAGCAAAGTTCGATGGATATGCCGTGATCTTCCTGCGCAGCCGAGGCGAAAGCTGGTGAAGAGCCGCTCGGTCACCAAGGGAAACAAGGACACGACTCATAGCAGCCTCCTGAGATGGCGCTCGAACAAGACAGCAAACTTCCGAAATATCAGACTTGCGTGCAAGTTGTGCCACCACATGAGCACCTAGAGACCCTGTGGCACCAGTTACGACAACGATCTTGCTACTCGGTTCGTTGATCGAAGGAACGTGTGCAGGGAAGATACTGTGCTTCTCAATCAGTCTCTGCATCTCTTCCTCCACGTTGTCGTTTGCGGTAGTTGAAGCACCACCTTGTTGTATGCTGATTATGGCTGCTGCAAGCTTGGCTATACTTGGTTGTTCGAAGACGATGTTTTGTGGTAGTACATTGCCATTGAGCTGAATTTCCTGCAGGATCGTGCCGCGTAATCTGCTTGACTGGAGAGAATCGACGCCGAGTGAGAACAGATCTGTGTTGTCAGAGACTTCAGCGACGTCAATTCCGGGTACAAGTCTTGCAATGTTCGTTCGCAGATAGTCTCTCAGCTCCGCTTCACTGAGAACCAGGGTACCACTCGTAGAGGCCTCGAGTTTTTGATAGACAGCTTCGATCTGAGCTGCGAAAGACTTGTAGAATGCTTGTCGGATCAGTGTCCCCTTATCAGTTTGTGGATAGACTGTGCCAGCAGGCAGAACAGTTATGGTGTCTCGAGTTATCTGGGCGTAGGCAGCGGTTGATTCGTTCTCCTTCTCGATTGATTCCCAGAGTCTATCAACCAAAGTCTCAGCATCAATCTCCGCACCAGCCTCAGAAGCAATAATCATCATGCCTAGACTCGCTTTGCCCGATCCGAAGATAACTGCATCTTTGACGAGTGAATTTTGACGGACAGCCATTTCCATGGGGATTGGTATCGCCTTCTCGCCGTTCATGAGGACAATTGTGTCATCCAGTCTCCCGCCATATTTCCAGGCATGTTCGATGGTTGCATGTGGTTCAAAGAGATCTTTCGTAGCATAAGCGCCATCGTCTCTGTTTGTCGCAACCAATGATGGCCACCCTTGTGTTATGACCAGTTCGTAGAGATTGCCACCTCTTTCCTCGAATCGTGCATAAGGTTGAAGTTTGTCATGTACACGAACATAATTCCACGCTTTGTCGCCGCTTGGTCTGAAGGAAGTCATGAGCTGACCTGTTTCTGTGGTGCCGTAATGACTGATGAGGTTCACACCGTGCTCGACCAACAAGTCTCCGAGACCATCAGGACAAGCAGATCCACCAAACATGACGACTTGCATTCTGGTAAGCATTTGAACACCCTCCTCGCTCTCGCTAAGAAGCTTAAGTGCATAAGGAACACCATAGAAGATCTCGAAAGAGTATCTTCGACCAATATCGAGCAAGTACTGGCTCGTCAGCGGCAATGAGGCATTGTACATGAAAATCAACTTGTTGGAAGTGAATCCCCTTAGGACACTACTCAACCCATGTGCGTGAAAAAGAGGTAATGTGATGAAGCCCTTCATGTTCATATTATTCTCGTAATTCTTAAGCGCCGCTCCATGAGTCTGGTAGATAGGCTTCGGCAAACCAGTAGATCCAGAAGAGTGAATGATCCAGCTGATTTTCTTGCTTTCTTCGTCCAGATCAAGGTTTTGTTGAGGAAAGAGCTGATCCGACACATCTGCTTCGACTGTATCGTATAGGGATTGTGGCACGACCCCAAGCACATTCAAGCTTGATACCTGTGCCTTAACATTGGCTATTGTCTTTGCAAAACTAGGGTCTATGCAGATGTTCGAGCATTTGGTGGACTGGAGAAGAGAGACATAGGCGGCTTCGGATATCCTCGTTGACAGAAACAGGACAGTAAAGCCCAGCCTGCTCAATGCGAGTACAGTAGTGAAGTAGTCCAGTGAAGATGGTCCTAGAATCGCTACTGCTGTTTCCTCGCTAGTCGAATCTGGTCGTAATGGTAACTGCGATGCCAACTGACGAGCGGCGGCATCTGTGAAAGTGTCGATCTGTCCATATGTGTACTCAACATAGTCAACGCCTTGTGTTGGATAGCCCAATATTGGCTGGTCTCGTGCTGTTCGCGCTCTGAGAGATATGAGTTCTGAGATTGTTCTTGGTGTGGCTGGTGCTGGAGATGTAGGTGGTGTTGGTACCTCGATAGTGCTCACCAACGCGGAAGGCTTCACCTGTGTGTCCAGGGCTACCGGTAATATGTTAACTTGTGCCATATCGACAAAGAGTTATTCACAGTGGTAACATGAATGCCTCAATGATGGTGTGGGAATGGTCACACTCGAAAGAAACTGAGTCTTAAAGAAGTTTTTCTTACCTGGAGGTGTTCCATCTGCCATGGCTGATCGAGATCCTTGCTTTACAGCATTGGTCCAAGACTGCTTGTCGTGGTGGGCAATACCAGCTCCGGCGGCAAGTACTTCAGCGGAAAGACCGATGCACTGCTAGATTGTGGAGAGATTGAGCCCGCACGAGGCAGTGGCGGAATGGAGAAGCCGGGGGTTTGCAGCGTCCAGGCTCTCGAGCTTTTATCCGTCGGCTGGCGGCTCGCGGACCATCTCTGAGAGAAGTCGTGATGAACTCGCCTTTTCGGCAAGCGAGCCTGGGAAAGAGTGGATAGTAGTCATGCCTTGAAGAATTCAGCGCTTAACAAATCCGTCAGCATGCAACGAACTTTCCGCAGAGTCAATGCCGTGTGTGAGGTCCTGGTAATCGGCCAAGTGCGAGTCATTCAGAACAATCGCGTTTGTGGATATGACTCGGAGCTGAATTGACTGGAACGTGGTGATTCATACGTGAAGACTTGAATCCGAACAAAGTCGACCAAAGATATGTCGCGTGATCAAGATGCTAGGAATGATGTTCTTGTGTAGCGCATATGTCGGGCGTGACAAGCTGCTTGCTGATGCAGACGCGTCTATCGTCAGCTGTCAGGTACAACAGTTCAGAGAGATCACCATTAACTAGCACAGCAAGGCACTAGCGAGTGCTCAGAAATGGCAGTCCGTAACTCGTGTTGCCTCAACGAAATTGCTCCAAGGCTTTCTGTGTATATTTACAGAGTATGTTAACTGCAAAGGTCGTGCTTGCCACTGATACGGAACGGTCTAAGCTTGTCGTGCCTGGAAAGTGGTCACGAGACGGCTTAGCCTACCGAAATATATTCGCATGCTTAGAGCTTCAGACATGTCTGCGAAACCACGCTGCCAAGCTCCAAATCCATACGCTTTTGTGCTACTTGTATTAGGGTGCGCGAATTGTTCTGATGGGGAGCCTTCATTGCGAACAGAAAGTGCTGGTCTGAATGGTACAAATATATCAAATATATGTATACGTATATGTGGGTGTATATATACATATATAGCGAGAGAGAGAGAGGTATAGATAGATAGATGAATTCTGGGTGAGACAATCTATTGTGCAAAACATCGCCCTGGCCTCCTCTCCTTGCAGCTCTGAACACTGCAGACGTGTCCATGCCCAACCCCTCTATAGCTTGTGTCTGAAGAGTGGTGACCTGTCACCCATGGCTGCAAGTTGCTCATCAGTATATTGCGATCGGACCGACTCTTCTGAAACGGCGTCTCGCTGCTTGTTAATTCTCCAGTATGAGTACTCAAGGAACAGCGTGCTGCAGACTGTCATAGCTGCTAGTCCAAGACCAATACCGAATCCCAATGGGTATCCTTTGTTCTTTTCTGAGTCAAGGAACATGTACTAAGACTTCGTTAGCAAAATCCTTGAGCGGCATCAACGTAAAATAACTCACCGATCCAAGAATACCTCCGCAATTGCCTAAAGCTATGTTTAAGGCGAGGCCCATCCCGCGCTTGAGGTCATTTGCAAACTGGCCGCTGATCCAGGCGGACCCTGCTGGGTTGGTCGGATATTGTCCCACACAGATGAGGACGACACCAATGTAGCAGGCCGGGATCTGAGCCTTGATGTGTGGCGCCAGGGGTAGAAGGATACAGAAGCCGACAAGGATGATTGACATTGGACCCACAACGAAAGGCATTCTGTTCAAGGTCAGCTCGAGAAACACAAGCAGGCATACAGCTGTGGCTTACCTCCAGCCCGATTTATCGGAGAAGTAACTCATTATGAGAGCAGATGCGGCACCTGCAACATATGGTGGGATCGTCAGCAGCTGAGCTTGAGACGAGGTGTACCCCATAGATTTGGTGATGGAAGGCATGGTGAACTTGAGTCCGTAAGCGCAAACCGAGGCGGTGAATAGGATGAAAGCCTGGAGGTAGATCTTGTAGTCGGTGACGAGCTCTCTGAGGAGACCCCACTTGAACTTCTCAGCGACTTCGCCATGGGCATTGACCTTACCACCCTCTTTGACAGTTCGCTGAAGCAGGAGATATTTGATCTCCTCTTGGCTGAGCCATTTTCCGGACAGTTCTGGAGAGTCGGGCATGTAAAAGTATGTTACGAAGCCAATGAGGACCGTAACCGCACCTTCCAGGACGAAGATCCATGCCCATCCTGGTAAGTTGCCAAGGCCATCCATTTTCGCGATAGCGAACGCCAGTAGGCCTGAGACGGCGCCTGACAAGGCGCTTGCACAGTAGAAGAAAGCAATTCGTAGTTGCAATTCTTTATTGGCGTACCAACGTGTGATGAGGTAAACCGCGCCAGGGAAGAAGCCGCTAGTTTTGCCGTTAGTACAGCCAGACATTGACAACGCCAATGGACTTACGCTTCAGCAACTCCCAGAAGGACTCTACAGACCATAAGACCAGCGAAATTCTTTACGAGGCCAGTGAAGGTCATGATCAGGCCCCATGACACAACAAGAATGGCCAGATATGTGGAAGGTCGTTTGAACTTCTTCAGGATAACGTTAGAAGGAACCTCACTGTAGAGATTTAGTATTGAATTCTCTGGCCTCACAAAGATGGTGCCATCACTGACAGTAAAATATATGGTATAAAGAAAATGCTCAGCGCAATATTGTATTGGACTCCCGTCATGTTCAAGTCCTCGGTCATACCCTCGATCTTGGCGTTACCGATGTTTGCTCGATCGATATGGGCTGCGAGGTAGAGGCAGAAGAGGAAAGGTACTAGTCGAAAGTCGATCTTTCGTAGCATCCTCTTGTGATCTGGTGAGTTTCCAAACTCTTCGTAGAAGAGTGCGTCGTCGTCGGACATGCCAAGTTTCGCATACTTGTTGGTGATCTCAATCATGTCGACCTTTTCGAGGTCCTTCTCGAGGACGGTTGTGGAGGCCATGATGGTTGAGCTTGTCAAGTATGTTTTGGAGTAAAGATGTGAAGGACACACAGAGCTGCTGATGTGCTCGAGAAAGCCTGGTTGTGTTGGTAAAGCAAATGTTGATGTGCTGGCCTTATGTATTAATGAAGTGAGTGCTCAGACTCTGGGTACCGTAATATCTTCCGACGGTTGAAGAGCTCCATTCCAGTCGCCAAGAACTCGCTTGCACCACGAATGCGGAGGTGCGAAGCGGAGGAGATACACCGTATGGTCCGGGGAAAATAATGGCACAGGAAGGAAGGGCATGACAAAGTTTCAAAGACACGTCCAGGCAGAAAGAAGTGGTGGGATGATCGTCCGCCGGCTCGAGGACACGATCCGGAAGTGCTTGGCACAACGCTAAAACAAGCACGGTGTGGAGCTCGCCATCCAGTCAAGGCAGGCTTCCAAAGCTTCGAGTCGTGGTGCGAACAGCAGGGAGAGTCTTCTTCAGCTTCCAGCTCCCTAGCTTGGTCCGGTAGCCAGCTCGATGCATTGTCGCCGGTAGCAACATCGGCAAAGGTCGTGTTGAGCCGTATGTTACTGTACTGTGACGAATGATTGAGGTATCGATGCTGCGACAGCACTACTACGTTCGATTATGCTCGGCCTGGACGGACCCATAATTGCTCGAGGCAGTGTAGTTCTGAAGAATGACATGCTCCGACCCCTCAATACGGACACAATCGCACCGGCGTCGTGGTGAACTGAGAGGATTCCGTCACAAGCCGTTTGGCCTAACCGAGCATCGGCATCTTCAAAAGAGCCTAGTACAATGGCTGGTTATGTGACATGTGGCCACAGATGATCGTCTTGTACAAACCCACCTTATACAAGAGTTTCGAGAAGGGGCCTGGAAGCCGTATTTAGCTTTCTTCCATTTTCACGTCACCATTGGTAGTCCCATTAGCGTGCTTCCCGTTCGTTTCGCCATTCACTGATGGTCCACAAACGCTTGGGATGTCTCTTAAGCCGTAGAACAGAAGGTATGCCTCCTGTCTGAGAACTTCCTCAGTCGTCGTTGCGCTCACAATCTCATCGTCGAACTTGAACCATTTCATCTCTTTGCCTTCTCCAACTGCTACACGGCAGAACGCGTAGTAGTGGCCAGTGTGGGCGTGATCACCCTGATGCACAACCACACATTCTAGATCGTAGATGCAATGTTGTCGATCTCGATAGGAGCCATTCGGCTGTGCATGAGTGGTGTAGGGATGCATGTCTAGAACGAGAGGAAAATCAAGTTTGCCTTCATACTTTTCAGGCGTGCCGATCAGGGAGGATACAAGACCGTTCGACCCAGTCGTAGCACCCGGCGGCTTCTTCATACCAAAGCGCTTGACATGCATTGTCAAGATAGCAGGCAGTTTTCGTACACGTGTACATTTCTGGGCCGTGGTCTTGCGCTTACAGGTCTGGCAATCTATTTGCTGGGACTCTTGGAATAGTGCTTCGGGAGATGTGTATGCTTTCAGACACTCGGACAGGGTAGGCACGGGTGGCGGTAGTTGTTGTACTGCAGCTGCAGCAGCTCTTCTATTTGCAGCGTTTGCTGAACTAGCGGGTGGAGGAGCTGATGCGGCTGCAGCTTCCTTCATTAGCTTTTTCTTCCTCTTCTTCTGTTTCTGAAAGTCGAGATCGATCGAGGAATACTCGGATTCAGTGGTTGTCGTTTTGTGACAAACGTCACAAGCCACATCGGATAAGAAGCGGCCGTAGAAGACCTTGTGGAAGAAGCACAGACAATGTTTCTTGTGATTTGGTTTGAACGCTGGATTCTGTGAAGGGTTTACGGCAGATTCATGGAGTTTATCAATAATGATAGTAAACCACTCTTGTGCATCCTGTTGACCCTTGCCGGACATGATCTATTCTCTGTTAGCTCAATCTGCCTCGTCGTCTCTCCTTTCGTAGACGTACAGGTATGTGCTTCCATGATGCGAATAGCAAATTGACAGCATGGGCAGGAACTGGCTGGTCAACTGTGTTGGCATCGGAAAAGACCTCGGTCATAGCACAGGCTACACAAGTTTTCTGCTCCTTGTCTTCTGCTAGCTCGTCCTCTGAATCGTCGGAGTCGTTCTTCTTCTCGGGCTCTCTTGAGATGGGGCATGTATGGACTGGATGGCCCATACCTAGAAAATACTGTGCAAGAAGATTGTTGTGAACCATCATCTGCAGCACAGCATTCATATAGCATGTCTCTCCTAGGTTGAACAAGCCTCGCACACCTTCCCGACCACAAGGCTTAGGTACGGTGTTTGTCGAGATATAGGTTTCATCTTCCTCTGATAGTTGAAGCTGTTTGCGTTTTCGAGACTTGAAAGTGCTTGGGTCATACACGAGATCGCGACACCTCATACAGTATAGATGCTTTGCATTAACGGCAAAGCCATGTTTGGTTGCCTCATGGTGCTTATTGAGTGTGATGAATGAGCCAGTCTCCTCGCAATCGAGGCAAGTATAGTGCACAAGGTCTTCGAGCCAATTCGAACGCGACTCGCGAACTGATTTAATGGTGTTCAGGATGTCCCGGTTAAGATGTTCACAGCCATACGAAGGCATGTATGGGGGGCAACGTCCCATATTGGGGTAATCCTCTGCAGATAAATCTAGCTTTCCATCAGCCGACTCGGATGGTCACTCCCAATATGCTGCAACGAAAGTGTTGCCAAACGCAAACAATTGATGTTGTTGCTCTTAGATGCTGCTTGTGGCGCTGATTCCGTGATGTTTGTATCGTCCACGTATGGCTGATTTATGAGATGCAAGATTACTCGAGAGTGAGTTGAGCAAATCCGAAGTCAAGAAAAGCGTGCTTGCATTTTGTGCATCTTAGCGCGTAATTAGCAGGAGCGGCTGGAATTAAACAAACGAGCCGATTGCCACTAATTATGCAAGCCCAAGGACGAATGGGAAGAGGCCAAAGGTATTTACGGAATACATTAGATGCCTTAACGCCTAATTGTCTGTATGAAAACGACCGATGACCCTGACCATTTGAACGAAGCGTGCGGGTCGACAGGGTATCGTTGCAATGAGCTGGTCTGACAATATCGCATGAAGAAGGAGCCAAATCGGTCATGCACTTCTAAGCGAGCGCAACTCGTAGACTTTACTCGCATTTCGGCGCGTTTGACCATGCTTGTTGCCAACAAAGTCCAAGCTGTTAACGAAAAAGGCGTCTATCTGCGGATATCCACGTGATCAAACTCAGCTGCCTCTAATTTCAACCAGACTGTGACTGTGCAAGACCATAATTGGTTTCTTGCCATCAGCTACTGTCTCGCACCTCTTCCACGAGCTCTACTAGACAGACCGCCAGTCCCTCCTCTCGCCCCTCGTGCAGAATTGCTAGCACTTGACCCGCTTCTAGCAGGTATGGCAGTCTTCCTCACCGTGCTTGCTCCTCTAACAGCTGCCCTACCTCGCCCAGCAGTTCCAGGTTTAGCATCATCCGGAGCGATCGTCCTCCTCCTAGCAGGTGTGGCTCTTAGACTCGCAAATGTGGTGTCAGATAGCATTGTACTGTCGACCTCGTTCGTAGTCGCCCCTGTTGTGCCGATAGCGCTTCTTGTCGGCGTCCTTGCCGCGACAGTAGTGTCACCTTCACCTCTTTGTTTCGCTTTCCACCGCTGTATAGACTCTACCAATGGTTGTTCAGGCCAGTCGACCACGAATGCATTCATTTCCAGCCCGTATAGAAATGCTGCAAAGTTTTCTGAGAAGCGGGACAGTGATTCGTGCACGAGCTGTAGATGTAAGAGATTTGACTCGAGGTCAGCTAGCGAATCACTCAATTCTGCAAACTGCGGTTCGAGGCAGTCAAGAGGAGATTCGCTTGACAGATGAGAAGCATGGTTCCTGGACGACCGCAGACTGGCTCGAGAAGACGGACGAAGAGGCGTCGTGGGTCGCAACGGCGGGGTTCTAGACCTGATTTCAGGTGCAGACATCACTCTTGTTGGTGTATCCACGAGACTTGATAGAAAATCAGACCGGAGCGCAACGTAGTACTGACTGCAACATTGAATGATTATCTGATACTGTATTAGGAAATTTGTGTGTATTGAGCCACGGTCGAGCGTCGTGACTGACGCGTGACGTCATCTTGTTGATTCACTTCTTAGATGGATTATCTGAGCACTCAAACATGGTACTAGTTGTAAGCCAGAATCTATCTGAAGTCACGCATATACATCTTCCATCGCACTCCACTCCACTACCACACATTGCTGCTATCGAGTTTCGTGTGCAAATCTTCGAGACCAATTGGAGAGTCGTCTCACAAGGAGGACGCCAGGGGTATCATAATACAAAAAGCCAGACCATATGCGTAACGCCTTCCAAAAGTGTTGCCAGCATTCCTAGCGAAGAGAATTTGTTGTAAAGTCGCATCGTGTTTGCACCGAACTCGCAAAGCTTGTTGGGCAGTGCTCCTTCCAAAGTCCAGTGATAAATACCCGTCGTATGGAACATCTTGAGTTATGTTTGGTGTCAGCCTGATCGCGTTGATTTGTTAAAGGTAGCACTCAATCATCATCCAGCTCAATGACATCTATAGCACTCGGTCCTGCGATAAACTGTCTATCGGTCGTGGAAGCTGACGCAGCTCGTCTCGCAACTGCTTCCATTGGCTCGACAACGGCTGTGGCAGATCTCTCAACCTCGCCAGCTGACTCCGCTCGTCCGACTCTCCTGTTTTCTGATTGCCCTTCTGATTTTGCTTCCCAGGTCCCATCTTTCTTCACGATGATAGACCGCACGTCTTTCTTGTGCTCCTGAGCAATCTTTTGTACCACTTCCTGCAAGAACCCATCAAGAACCAGGCTGCAAGGTCTGACATCTTCTTTACATGTCCCCACAGGACACCGCCACTCGTACACACTGGTGAGGGCATCTTTGTAATCACTGTTTCGTGATTGGAGAAACATATTGAGATCGAAGCAATTCTTGTGTCTACACGTCTTGCCACGTACTGGGCGCGATATCATTTTCGAGGAGAACGGGTCGGTAATTGAAAGCGTGGTAAAATCAGTAACCATCTGAACGTCGTCGTCGGCAACACTCAATTCTTGTGACTGCATTTCTTGCAAGATCATGCGGAGAGATTCTCCTGCCTGAATGGCGACTGGCATCTCTGCAATTTGGGCTTTATTTCGAAAGGCAATTGTTTCAATCGCGAGCCCATATCTCCTCGCTGATTCACCCTTCTCTTTGTAAAGTGATACTGTGACATTGTTGGTTCCTGCCTTCACAAACGGAGTTACATCTATGGGCAAATCGCGTTTAAATTGTCGCTTGCGTCTGATGTCGAGAAAATTATCGTTCAAAGATATAAATATGTGCTCGGGCCAATAAGTTTGCAGTGCCGCCCATTCAGCCTCTTCTACTGATACACTGCTTGTAGACTCGAGAAGAGCACATCGGAGATTGAATAGTACAGAATTGTCACTCAGTACTCGTTTTGGTATACGCAAGGAATCGTCGGACTGAATGACATCAGATTTCCTGCTAATGAGTTCCTGAGATATGCTACATTCGAATGAGAAGAACTCCTCGGTTGAGTCAAAGCTGCATGGACTGTGTGTACATGATTCAATGAACTGATAGAGATTTGGTGGTGCGCCAGTCTTGTGGCCCTGGACTTCAGTAGCAGGCTGACGTAGATAGAACTGGTGAAGAGCTTCCTGCTCAGGCGCAGGATTGCTGAGCACTGCTGGTATACTATCAAGGTGCGGTAGCAGCATGGCTTGTGGTGGCAATTGTGTCGACCTAAACGTGTATTGACGATTCGAAGTAGAAACACCATCTTGTGCGCGACCAGGGGCTGATTTCTGAGCCACCGGCTGTGCGATACGATTGTGTTGCGATCGCATGAATTGAGTTTGGATTGGCCCAGCACCATCGACGTGGAGGGCTAGTGAAGCTGCCGTGTTTGCCCGAGCGCTAGGTGTTTGACCACTTCGGCTGTATTGGGACTGGTTCGCAGCGTGTGTTGGAATTTGACGGGATTGTGGTGGTGTGGTTGTCGTTATAAACTGTCGTTGAGGGGCAAAGCGCGATGACACTGACGCAGCGCCGTTAACAATGTCCGCGTATCCAGTGGCTTGACCTTGAAATATTGGCATTCCAGCACTACTCATTCTAGGTTGCACTGGAGGAGCTTGCATAAATAGCGAAGGTCTTACGTTTGGTGGAAAGACTGCTGCAGGCCAATGCCGAGCCATAAGCTGCTGGTAGGAGTTAGCAAAACTCTCCACAGACTGCTGTAGTGACGCCTTCTGGTTGCCATCGCCGGGTCTATAAACTTCGGCAATATGTTCTCGCTGGCTAAGGGTGAAGAGCTCCAAAGCAGCAGCTTGGAAGGCTGATGGCGCATGAGGGTGCAATTGACGCTCGAGGGTGCTGAATATCGCTGTCGGTAGGATCATCGAGGTAGGCAATTGAAAGGTCTCATTGATTTCGCGAGCGCTTGGTGGAAGTTTACGAGTTAAGCACTTCTGACGGAAAGATTCCCAGAGCATACCCAACTGTGGGAGTATATAGCCAATTATACTTATCCATTGACGTAGTTCAGGTACGGCTCTCAAGGAATAAGTCGAGTTTGGCCAACCAGCCAAAAAGGCGACAAGCTCTTCAGACATGGCGCGGTTGGAGCCGAAGAGAAGTTGGAAAATTCCCAAACCGGATTCACATGAAGAATCCAAGCCAAGCTGAACAAGACAGTCCGGCTGGATGGTCCAGGCGCAAGTGAGCTGGTTTAGAAGAAGGAAGAACAAGTCGTTGTTTGTGCAGGCGTCCCTTAGCCAAGGTATACGCAACTTGTCTGCATTACTTGGCACAACAATACGTTTGCTCATGTCGGTAAGGTGGATCTCGAGGATGGCAAGGTAAGATTGACCTTTTGTTGCCGTGGATGAAGCAGCATGTGTTGCAGGAGATTGAGGAGATGACGCTTGGGGCTGCAAAATCCGGCGGACATAGTTATCTGGCAGATATTGGTCATTGTAAGGTGGCACTGCAGCCTGAATTGTTGTTGGTTGATGTGCAATGTGGTTATTCTGGAGTGAGAGAACGACATTAGTGGGATAAGCGGATTGTTGAGGATTTCCCTGCTGAAAACGAGGCGACTGATTCGAAGGTACAGTTGTTAGTGGTTGAGGACCATGCAGTGCTGTATGGATAGGTTGAGTACTAGGGGTATTTTGCATTTGCGGTGAATGCCTTGGCGAGTCTGACCTCAGTCTGCTTCGTGGAATAGCCTGCGCGGTACCCTCCAATGACCTTTTACGGTGAAGAGTCGGAGGAGGATGAATCAGTGGGGAGGCGGCTGGGGTGAGGAGGCCGACAGCAGTGAATTGAGGTGAACTGTGCTCCGTACGTCGCGGGTCGTCAGCACCCGTGGAACTGGCCTGGGTTTGAGGTGCCGAAGTCGCTACACCTGAGCTGGATCGGTAATGAGCGGCTGACCATTGAGGAGAACCATTCTGTGGCCGTGCAGTGATGGAGAGCGGTGATATGGCATGGTTGCTAGGCTGGGCAGGTTGATAAGGAACTTCCATTCTTGTAGCAGCAGCGATGAGTTGAGAAGTCGTGTTGCCAGGACGCTGTACAGCTTGGAGCGTTTCGAGATGCTGCCGTGACGGCTGTGTAGGTCTTGCTTGCCTGGGCTGCTCAGTCTGTGGTTCTTGCTGGGTCTGGGAAGCCGTCAAATCAACTATTTCGATTTCACCCTGACGAGCAGGCTCAGCTCTGAAGTCTACAGGCTGCCCATTGAACTGCTCAGTGCTCTCTTGAAGGACTTCCCTCGGTGCTGCAGCAGGCTTCTCTGTAGGTTCTTCTAGATTCGTAGTAGTCGTCGAAGCGGTCGGATGCTCTGGAGGGGTATGTCCTTCAACGGATAGGAACTGGTAAGAGGGCAGACAGGGCACAACAGGTCGTGACAGGTCCGATGCGGCAGGCACTATCTTTTCGGCAGGTTGCGGATTTGAACAGTGTTTTGGCACATGGTGACTTGGGATCGGGCCTGGGCGAGTCTGAGGTTGGCCTTGTAGCATCCAGGATCGCTGATTTGTGCCCAGGAAGTGATTAGTAGTCAAGTTGGACGTAGCGACCTCATTACTGGCTGCGGAGGGCGAGACAACGTGCTGCCTGCCGCGATTCGGACTCTGCATGGTTCTTCACCCGACGATGAGAGTGGCCTCGATGTGCTTGAGAATGAAACCTATGTGATATCAACTTCTATGACTGTAGCTTTTTCAGGATCGCAGAGCATCGCTGCTACCGAGGGACGTCGCCAGCGCGGGACAAGGCCTTGATATGGAAGAGTTTCAAGTGCTGGAAAACAAAATGAACGTATCAACTCGTTGCGCAGCACGCGACAGTGATGATGTTAGTAATTGACAATTCACCGCAAACGAGGTAGAAGGTGGAAAAACAGGGCAAGGACGTAACTGTGCCGCACTTGCAGTCAAGACCTGGACTGTGGCAGCAAAGCGGCGCATGCTAGACAGGGAATGATGGCGCGAAGGTAGACGGTGCTGCTGGCCAAAAGAGTAGCAAACGACTTGCATTGATGCCGCCAGTGAGGCCTAAAGAGCCCTCCGAGTCACTGCACTTACTGTACTTTTGCCCAGCTGCACAAATTGACTGCTCGTCAGTGTCCAGATGTCCGAGTTTGACTTGTTTGTGGCTCGTGAGAATTGACTTTTTAATTCCCCAGACCACTTTCGACGAAGTGAGGAGTGGAGTATTCCAGGCGTGCCGGTCCTGCATGTTCAGCGGCAAGCCCAGGCACTGCACACATATCGATGAATCGAGTCAGTCGCTCCAGTTTGTGTGAACTTGAAGGAGGGAATCATTCGGTAATTCCTAGAAGAACAAGAATCTGGGACAAGCACGCCTAAATATTGCCCTGCAAACTGTCTCTGGCTATTTTGCCGCTACGTCTGCCCCTTGCAGTAACACCGGAGCGGACCCGTGGAAGATGATTTGAGATCCGCACTACAACGGCGGACGGACAAGCACATCGGATAGCAATTCCACACACCTGCGTTGGTCTTCGTTGGTGGTAATTGACAACGGATCGACAACGGCCATGATTCACTGCGTCTTAACGTCGCGCAAATCCTGGCTCATCTTTATTTGATCTTGTCACCTTGTACCACCAGACTATCGACTGACCTACTCCTGTGCTGAAATCCTCTACGACGTGCACCCTCACCCCGTCATTACCTGTCTTCGATGTCTTCACAGTCAGGTCTCATTTCCAACTCAGAACCTCACCTACCTCGACGGACGTGGAGATAATACGACCTGGCCCGTGTCTGTTTCTGTTTCTGCGTGAGCATGTGAAGCGGGAACACCCATCTCTCCACCATGGCTTTGTTGCAGAATGGTCTGAACGGACGTGCTTTGCAACCTGGCGACATCCTCCTGGTTATCCGTGCGTTTCCCTTCCACCTGCAACGTTTTTTCACAGTCACTAACTTGACTCAGACGATTTTGATGCTAGAAGCGCCGACGAACTGACTCTACGAAGATCCGAACGCGTCGAACTCATCGACCTTGACGATGGCTTCAATGATGGCTGGTTCATGGGTAGACACCTTACAAGAGGAGGCACTGGTTTGTTTCCAGCCGTCTATACCACAAAAGCACCGCTTGTCCGCCACACCCCAAACAATTCTGCCAGTTACAGTGTCCATAACGCCCCTACCGTGACGAACCAAGTCCCGAGACATCAACCTGCAAACGAGTCAGCACAGCTGCAACCACAACCTCTAACAGATGGTTCATATGACAGCCTGCGCTCGTCCTTACCGACTTCGCATCACACTACCTGTGTCCAGCGCTCTATAGGGGAAACGTTAAACGAACATGAGGACTCCGATAGTCCTGTGATGAATGAGACCCTGAACGTCATCGATGAACATATCACCGATCTCAGTACTCCTCGTCAGACAACTGGCCACCTTCGTGTACACGACGATTCGGAAAGTGAATATAGTAGCCACCTCGATCAACGTTCTTACCTTGCTGGCCCCGAGACTGATGACGAGGACAATGTTGGCCTGGACGAAGTTACAGTCCGCTCCTGGGATCATATCCAGACCTCCCGGCATCTCCGCGATATTGGCGTTGATCCCAAGCACTGCGACATCTTCATCGAGCAGGAAATCTCTGGTGATGTCCTCCTTGACATGGACCAGAACTTTATATACATGAAAGACTTTGATTTTGGTGTCATGGGCAAAAGGCTCAAGACTTGGCACAAAATCCGTGATTTTCAGTGCGAGGTCAAGTCGCACCCTTCATTCTCCAGGAGGACCTCGGACCGGAAACAGTCCATCGGACATATCAGTCGCGCATCCCTGGGCACATCCACTGCTTCCCTACCACGAAATACACCTCTACCGCAACCAATTACCGAAGAACCCAATCACATAATACAGCCTCTGCAGCCTATCCAGGGCTCGAAACGAACCAGCTGGGCAGGAGCAATGCCCACGAATTCTTGGAAACTCGTCGCACCTCCCGAAAGCTCGGTCAGGCCTGAAACTGCAACAACTCGACATTCGAAGCGTCACTCCTCTATTGACTTCGGCGCCCAGCCTGACCTGGAGTTTTCAGCATTGTCCGCCGCATCACCGCAGAATAAATTATCAACCGACAGGACTTGGTCAGTCGCTGGTACTGGCAGTACACAGGCCACAACTCCTGCTTCATCGATCCGTCCGAGTACAAAAGTCGAAGACGCTCGCGCCTTTGCCGGATCACCCAACCCTGTGGAGCAGTCACCACTGGATGTAGATAGAGGCTACTTTAGTGGTAATGAGCTGGACAATCGGAAGATGCGCAACAGGTTAAGCAAAGCCCATTCTCGTCAGACCAGTCTTGGAGACCAGCAATCGAGGCGAACTTCCATTATAAAAAAGCACTCTAGACTAAGTAGTGCTGGATCTGTACGCGAAGATTCTGTTATCGCGCCTTCGGTCGCATCTGACACACATCATGCACCACTCAAGACTGGTAGATTCAGGTCTTCCAGCGCTCGTGTTAGTTCCAACCCATCTTTCATGGTGAGCAGGTCGCCAGCCGTGACAAACCTAGAAAACAACTCAACCTCAAATGTCAGTATCGGGTCTCCTGCTGCTGAAAAGATGAAGATGCAAGATCGGGCACGCAAGCTTATAGGTCTCAGAGCCACCTCAGATGCAATTACCACAGACGAAAAGTCGATTGCCATCAGGACGATTCCTTTCAACGACGACGCCAAGTCCTCTGACCTGCTTGCATCCCCAAATACAGGCGATACTACTCCGTCAGCCACTCCTAGCCTCGAGATAGATACACCAGAAGGCGAGACTGTAGGAAATGCTCTTTTGAAATACACGTCGAGACCAAGAGCGAAAAGCAAGCAGCGCACAAGCGCGTACACCCATGGCTTACTCAAAATACCTCCCTCAGAAGCTCGTAAAACATGTGATCATGCAGGGTGGATGAAGAAGAAGGCTTCAGGGCTAATGACGACATGGAAGCCAAGGCTGTTTGTTCTTCGTGGTCGAAGACTATCTTACTACTACTCAGAAAACGACACAGAAGAACGCGGCATCATTGACATCTCAGCACACAAGGTTTTAGTGGCTAATGACGACCCAATGGTCACTATTCATGCTAGTGTAACAGGCGCTTCAAAAGCTTCCTCCACACCCCGACCGGAGAGTGCGATCGGTTCAATTGTAAAGCCAGCTGCACCAACTGGCGTCTTCTACTTCAAGCTCGTCCCACCAAAGACAGGCTTGTCGCGAGCTGTACAATTCACGAAGCCAGCGATTCACTACTTCCAGGTCGACTCTATAGCCGAAGGTCGAAAGTGGATGGGCGAGATCATGAAAGCGACAATTGAGCACGATCTTTCATCCTTCGAAACGACAAACAAACAAAGAACCATTTCGCTTGCAAAGGCTAGGGCGAGGAAGGAACGGCCACCGGCTCTAGGAGATACGAAGCCGGTAGAAGACCAGGTTGCAAGACCGGAGCTCAGCCAAACGGAGAGCGGGTTAGGCATCGAATTTCAGACCATGTCCACGGATCTTAAAGAGGAGAAGCCAGCTGAAACACTTGGGCTGAAACCACTATCGACCTTGGGTCTGGCATCCAAGACGTCGTTAGCTAGGATTACAGAAGACAGCGAAAAGAGGTTGACAGGAACATTCCCGAACTCAGAAGATAAAGAGAATGTGGTGCATTCCTGAGTTATGTCAAGCAAATCAGCTGGTAAGGACAGGTCGCGGGCACGAACCTGAAAGCATATCTTAAGGCCACGGGTTGAGCGATTGATTGGTTGCCTATAGCCTTTCTGGTCCGCTTTGAGGCACATGTACTTGTTACGAAGATTACGACTGCAGGAGAAAGTAGACCTAGTAGATACATAATAATCTGAGCATTTCACTTCCCGAATTTCGTATAGCTTGACAAGCTTATTCTACACAATCGTCATGGTTTTCTGTGGAGCGACTTTACGCGTCAAAACGCGTCAAAGTCGCGATACACCAGATTCGATGTACTTGGCTAAATGCATAACAGCTACAGATACATCTTCCATGACAGTCCATAATAGACAAGAACCATGGATATTGCGCCCTCTCTTCTTGACACCCCTAGAAAGACCAATCTTCAATGCCAATCAGCAGAACTTCGACTCGCACTAAAAGACTACGAACGGACTTTCACCGAGCAGTATGGTCGCAAACCGAAGAATGCAGATATCAGGAACGATGCCGTGGTAGCAGCGAAATACAAACACTATCAGCGCGTTCAAGACGTGCTTGCTGGCAAACTAGCATACGAGAAGCTCGTTGAGGTCAAAAGCAAAAAGTCTAAGAGCAGGACGGCAACCCATAGCAGGCAGGATAGCGGTTGTGATATTGGTTCTTCGCCACGCAGGAATTTACAGAGCACACCGAGGAAGCGAAGGGGTTCGAATGACGGCGAGGAAGAGTATGGTACACCACAGCCACGAGTACTATACGCTATTGGACCAACACCACACCGTGATGGCAAGGTGTTAGGTCTATTCGACCTACTACAGCAGTCTGCCTCGAAACACAGCTTGTCAGCCACGCCCTCTTCCTCAGCTCGAAAGCGCAAAATAGAAGAACTGTACTTGGACACACCTCTCAGACCTGAGACAACCCGATCGCCTCTAAAGACTATTCAGACACCAAGTGGAAGACGAAAGAAGCACGATGCTACACAAAAGCAGGGAGACCTGCTAGATTATCTCTCTGGAACACCACAAAAAGATTTAAGTCGTGAGCATCGTTTTGGGAAGCACTCTCGTACACCTGTCAGCGAAGGAAAGAAATTCCATCTGAACCAGTTCTTCGCAACGCCAAGTACACGACGCTTTCTCTTTGCTAAAGAGCAATCGACCCCCGAAGCTGCGCGCAAGACACCACTAAGAGATTCTGTGTTGGGACAAGGTATGACGCCGCATAGGGAGCCAGACGCAAAGGCAATGGATGTTACGCCAGCGTATCTCAAGCGAAGCACGAGTTTCAAGGATAGATTGCTAGGTGTTTCTGCGTCGCGTCCGAGCTCGAGTAATGTCCTCAGCAACACGAACGAAAACAGGAGGAGCACCGGTCTTGACAGTGGCCCTCCCACATTGCGGCACTTCAGATCTAGCACAAACAATGTCCTTAAACATCTCGAATCCGAACCCCCATCATTTCACAATATCCATCATCCAGCGTCCGAGGATGCGGACCTCGAAGACCATGACGACGAGCTCGACGCCCTACGAGACCTCGAGAACGACTCTGCGACCAACGTCCTCGTGGATGATAGTCAACTTCCAGATCATTTTGACTTTGGGTCTGATATGGACGAATTAGATGCTCCTCCCAAGCAGGAGAAAGATGATGTATTAGCACAGCAAGCGATAAAGCCGTATAAGAAGAAAGGGCAGAAGAGGACTACTCGACGAGCGAACATACGGCCTGTACCTGTTGTGCAGGGGAATCTTTCTGTTGAGCCGAAGTTTGTGGCTGTGGAGGATAGTGATGACGATGAGGATGACGAGGCGGTTGAGGAGACACAGTTACGGGATGGTGATAAATTTAATGATGATGATGATGATGTCTTTGAGCAATATGACAGTGACGATGTGCATGTGCCTAATGGTAATAGTGGTAAGCTGAAAAGTGGGAAAAAGGACGGGAAGAGCAAAGATGCTCAGAGAACTGGTACTATTGGTGAAAAACGCAAGAAGCAAGCTGGAATGATCAACCCGAACGCGCAGTCCCATACGAATTATCGCAGTCTCAAGATCAAGAATAAGAACTCGAAGGCTAAAGGTGCAGGATCTGGGAGATTTAGGAGGTCAAGAAAGTAGCCAGCAGCGAATTGTGGTACAGCAATTGAGTATTCCTTCTCTCGTTCAATGCACACGAGATTGATGGAGCTAAGAGCAAGATCCTACCACGTTGACTGCCCTCATAACTTTTCGAACGTAGGCGTCTTTCGCCGCAGACCACTGAGCATGGCTCGTTCCACGTCACTGCTTTGCAGCATACCGGCATTCCACACAGCGGTATAGTTCAAGTTGTCTTCGACCGTCCTTCCCCAAGCAGCATCGAGAATATTCTTGGTGCCTTGGACCGCGACAGGACTCTTCGTCACTATAAGCTTGGCAAGCTCCAGACCTGCTTCAACAAGTTGTCCCTTTCCACCCGAAACGACCTTGCTGACAAAATTGTTGTGAAAGGCTTCATCTGCGCTAAAAGGTCGAGCCGTGAGACAAACCTCCTTGCAGAACGACGTCAGACCGATGACCTTGGGCAGCCTCGATAGCGTGCCAACATCTGCAGCCAGACCAATATCTACCTCCTTCACACAGAACTTGGTGTCAGTGGCGCAAAACCTGATATCGCACGCACTGCTCAGGTCAATGCCAAGACCATAGGTGTAACCATGTAACAGGGCAATGGTGGGCTTCTCGCATCGAGCCACCGTGCTTATGACGTCTTGAAGCTCGAGGATATGTCGTCTTAGGTGTGTGGCCTTACGACTTGCATCTGAATGGCCTGTGGAAGAGAGTGCCGAGCTGGATGGATCAGAGGCTGCTTGAACGTCGAGCCCAGCAGTGAATGCACGGTCTCCGGCGCCGGATATCAGAATTGCCCTAGTTTCCGGATCATGTGAGAAGAAGTCGAAGAGCCCTTTTAGCTCGTACCACATGGGGTTGTAGAAGGCATTCAGCTTGGCTGGCCTGTTGATTTCGATGTGGACAACATATGGTGCTGGTGAGGTGACGTTGAAGTGAGGAGCTTTAGGAGCCTTGTCAATCGACATCTCGCAACTTCTTACCAGGTATGTTTGCGGTCCTGCCTTGATTAGGATGAAGGTGAATATTTAGAAGTACAGAAGGTGTTCAACCCTGTGAACTGTATGCAAGAACGTGAAAATATCACCTAAGTCTTATCGGAAGAGGATGATTACAATGGTGCAGATCAATGTGAGGGAGGACACAGCAAAGGACTGGCGAGGAAGGAGCAATCCTCGCGCTGCTTCCTGCTCGTGCTTACCGAAGAGGTATCGTCGTGCCTGCCGAGGTAGTTTTCCAATGTCACGTGAGGGACCACCATCTGCTGTGCTTTCTTCAAACTGATTCCATAATCTGTCCTTCTATGAGCAAAACAAAATCATTCAGAACATTTACCGCTTTCGAAGCAGTGCTGAAACAGTGCGAGGAACGCGGTCATCATTCAGCTTCCATGTGATTCTGTTAGATATACATGAAATCAATCGACGCAGTGTACATCTCGTCTTGCTACGCATTTATCAGTCAGCCAGTAATTTTCCGTGCTCAAGTCACACAATATGAAACCTGCACACGATCTCAACTCATGCTTGTTACGGGTTCAACTCTGACGCTGCTTCGGCTATAGAGTTCGTTCTAATTGCGTAAAGTGCGCAAATCCAAGCTCAATTGTTCCGCTGTTTACGTTCAAAACAGCCAGGACTAAGAAATGACCCAGGACAGCGGTGCTTATGCATGCACAAGATGCTGCGACACAAGCAGGACCCTAGTATATCTCTGGGTGCACCATTATCTTGACCTGTCAGAAGGCTAGGATCACATCACTATGTACGATACAATGCAGGTACTGCACAGGCGTCATCCTGGTCTCAGGGGTCGTTCTGCACTGTTCTACTTGGGTCATCTCAGTTTGTTACAGAGTCAGCTGAGACCACAATTAATGAAGCTGCAATGATCTACCTTGCATGGTAGCAGGACATGCATCCTAACAGATCATATTCCAAGATCAACAGCCCGGCTTTCCTCGAAGAGATTCTTTAAGCGATGCCACCACCGACAGATTAGCCTTTTTGCATGCCATGCTGTACAGTGATGGCTAAGCAATCATGAGCCTGGACATGAGTGGTGACGGCATGAGTAGCATGCCAAATCTACCATGTTACGACCTTGGACCTTGTGATTAGGCGATTTGCCACGTGCTGACTGTACTTCTTTATATGGCGTTATTCGTCGTTGGTCAAACAGACTCAAAATCAGTACGTCGACCATACCGACCAAATGGATCATACCACAGACTGTACCTACTTGTTCTGAGCAACCACACCTACTCGCTGGCTACACCGTAAACATGTCTATTATTTGTTGCCAGTCGTCACTATTCAGGAATACTACAGCAGGTTCTCGAAATATGCCTATTCATTCACAACAAGCATGTAACTTTGGCTATAAAGATGTCAAGGAGTGCAATTTGCTTCCCAAAAATTCTGCCTGTAATTCTTGCTCAGAGACCTCTACTTCTTCAACGACCGTCAGAAAGCATATCTTTTTGCCTACAGTTATCTGTCAATCACGACACTTGACAGCTGAAGGTTGTCAAAGGCTCATTCCGACACAGCTCGCATACACCTTCAAGTCGAAACAAGCAACATGAATCGCTGCGTCACGTGCAACACGTTTCATGTTGCGAATTGTCCTTCCTGTGGCTCTCATGCAAGGTAGGTACAATTTCTTCCAATTATGACAACTATAATCTACGCTCAGATGACTGTTCTCTAACATTGGACCTGTGACATTAGGACTGTCACGAGTTGCAGGAAATGTTGCGGTGAAGGCTTTGTGTCTGTGCCCTGTCCTGCACAAGCTCAATCATCGTCAAATCGCTCGCAAAACCATGCGGGCATGGGGAAACTTTAACATATGTAGAAATACGGGATTCGGGTTCCAGGAGCGATCGGAGTAGCCAGGCGGTGCTCTTGAATGACGAGAAATGAAGCACAAGGCCATACCGAGACGATGTTACCACATCAATTTCAGCTTGATTGGTACGACGAGGAAGCAAGGTCTTGCAATTATGAATGAGGAATGAAGGCAGAATACAATACTTATCTTGGATCGTGCTCAAGAATACTTTTCAATCGAAGATTTTGTGTAACAGGGCTGTCTTCGATACAGAGATTGAGATGGTATCCTTGCAGAATCGTACGTCATCGACTCATGGCATGAGAAGGCCAATCGCTGTACGAATCGTTCGCGCCGATTCCTGGTAACGAAGTTTGTGTCGCTGGTTGGCAATTGTATGCACTGAATCATCCACAGGCTGTTGGTTATGACCCTACCTTGTGGACAAATACTCATCTAGACTCCCGCAGCTGCGTCCTAGCAAACTTTAGAACGTTTTGCTAGACGACAACAGATCAGTCCGAATACACAAAAACACCAAACTACGTACGCTTTTGCGAAGAAGCGGAGAGCGGACCGAGCAATATTAGTCTAGACCCTTGGACGTGTCGATCGAAACTGAAAACTTGTGTGAATTCGTGAAACGATACACCTGGTCATGTAACCTACAAATACAACATAGCCTGCTGCGATTCTACATTGGGGTTCCGAATTATGGACTCAGGCTTGAAGCTCGGAAAGGCGTCGCAAGTCATATAGCAAGTACCGCTACCCGAGACATGACTCAATCCATCTCAAAGCTTTGAGTATCCTGAGACAATTATTGCATGTGGTGTGATGTACCTGTTGTGCACACGATGATACAGGGCTGAATCCACGCAATGTTGCGCAAAGAGGCTGTATGTGGACCAAGAGAGAGACAACAGATCCTCTTGAGTTCCTCTTTGGAATTGGCACACGTTTCGCAAATTTCAAAATGCCTAACAGAGCCACACGACCAACATCTATTCTTGGCGACCGGTTCGTCCTAGTTTGCGTGGTATCTCCATTTTCCGGCTCCTATGTTGATCTCGTGCGAGCAAAGCTGCAAGATCAATAACATCGGCTCCGACCAGGGTTCTAGTAGCTGCAGCTATACGCTTCCTTCGGTTATGTCGGTACGAGCATACTGCACGATATGTAGATCCAAGTTCGTCGGAACCCAAGCGAGGGTGTCCGCCAAGGCCATCACGCTGTCACTTTGACTGATGGGTATCTCGCTTGTGACAATTCAACGTGCATGGAACTGATCTCGACAGTTGTTGAAGTATTTGTATTGTATGTTAGCAGCAAGCATTGATGCGACTCGACGATTTTGGCCTCGATTGTACAGCAGAAGAGGACAACAAGTGTCCTTTGTGCGAGCACGGAGCCACTTCTGCTTCGAGTCTCTTCGTTTGCTACTATGACAGATGACCAATGACCTCGCATGAGTGGCAGGTCTTCACGATCGCCTCCAGGCTCGAGACCTTGTGTGCTGAGCTAGAAAAGGGACGATGCCGTCTGGTTGCAGACAAGAACGGAGACATATGTATGGTCTGCAAAGCAGGCAAGCCACAACTTGAAGATGAGGTGTGGTAGCGAACGGATCGTTTCTCCGTCGCATCATTGCACGCTACAAATCGCTCGATAACCCAGGCAACCCAGCGAGCCTATCGAACAACCTTGTCTAGCGAAAATGTGACTGATATGGGAGTTTGTGTGGTACATGGTGGAATAATTATTTCTATTATCTATTGTGGTTCCTCAACCAGCACAACCCAGCATCGGCTTTCCCCTTTTGCACATCAGCAGCACGAATGAAGAGGACGGCCCCGAACGCCTCAAGCACCAATACAACATTACTCAAAAGTTCTCAAATCGCTCTTTTTCCTCACCATCCTTTGCCAAGAAATCCACAGTCCACCTCCAAAGATCTTCCTGCTTCATCTTGTTATGGCTGTCCACCGAGCTGTCAATCGCTCTCGCACCTTCGAAATATTGCCCACTACTCTGCATAGCATCTGGTCCTTTCTTGCTAGCCAGAAAAGCCAAATTCTTTCCCGAGTTCTGCGGTAAGTGTACGTTCTGTGAACGGATGGCCAGTTTCAGAAGCCATAGCATTCGGGTAAGAATATGCGTCACCAACCACATGACTACTGGACCCATCTCACGTGCCAGACCTGTTCCGGGCATCAGGCCAGGGTCCATCGCACAGACAGTCCAGTTTGAGCGACCAGCCTCTCTCGCTTTCTTCAGTCTTTCCTCGAGCGCATATATGAACAGCACATTCACGAGTTTGCTGCTAGAGTACCTCTGAAATCCTCCCTGGTTGACCTCGTACCCATTCTTGTCGGCAGGGTGTGCGAGCAGCTCCGCAGTTTCGTACTTGGCGTCAGGGAGACCAGTCTTTTGTGCAGGGTCGTGTACACCAGATGCAACAAAGACTATACGAGCATCGGTGGTCATGTGAGGTTTCAAGAGGTATAGGAGCAGGGCATGCCCTAGATGGTTGACCGCAAAGGTCATTTCGACACCATCAGACGACAGAGTGATTTCTTTCCCTTCGTGAAATTGAACACCTGCATTGAGAACTAGAGAGGAAACAGGTGGATATCCCTGAGCTGCAAAGTCTTCGACAAATTTGCGGACCTTGGACGTGGACGAAAGGTCGAGAGGTCTAAATCCGATCTGTCGCTCTTTTCTGTTACTTGGGGAGCTATTGCGCTTCTGAACGAGCTCGTCGAGTCTGTCTACGGCATTCTCTTTGTCTGATCGCGCTGAGATGACAATCTTGCTGTTGGGGAAATTGCAGGCGAGCTCGTAGGCTGCCCAGAATCCTAGGCCAAGCGTTCCGCCTGTGACCAGAATGGTCGATGTGTATTGAGACATTTCTGTCTGTGTCGTTGAGTGTATAGTATGTGTAGATTGGCTTTTTGAAAGATGCTTTCCTCAGCGCATAGACAGTCCATAAATACTGAGAGCCTTCCAAGCATTATGCCATTGGAGTCGGGAGAACTACTGACCAGGCGAAGCAGGCACTTCCGCTTTAGGTAATCGTTGTCTCCGAGTTCTCCTTCAAACCAATCACGATTTAGACCGTGCCAAGGCGGAGATAAGTATCGTGCCCGGTTGCTGCCAAGGCTTCAGAGCGAAGTTGGGTGAGGAAGTGATCCGTGTGTTCTTCATATAGCACGTTATGCGCTATGTGCGTGGTACTTCTTCGTGTTGTCGCGTATTTTTCCACAATCACTTGTGTCTGTGACTATCCAGGCTCAGTCCTTCCAGATTTCTGGTCCTTCTTAAGCTGTACGAAATCTTTCAGAAGCTGCGGACTAGACGACACGAAGCAATCCGCAAACACTTCTGCACCTCTCGCGACACCATCATCGACACTCAATGTCTCCCAGTCGCGCATCAAAGCCTTCTGTTTCTGAATCACATCTGCGCGAGCACCCAAACATTGTTGCAGGAAATCCTTAGTCCACGCTAGCATCCTCTTCGTGTCAGAGAATTCTTTCGTGATGAGCCCTGCTTGGTATGCTTCTCTCATGTTCCATTCTTGTCCGGTGAGCAGAAGGTGGCGAGTGCGACCCCATCCGACGATTTCGCAGAGCAATCGTGCTTCTACCACGCTGGGTATACCTAGGAGGACTTCGGGCATAGAGAAGGTGGCCTTGGGAGAACCGACGCGGATGTCACAGCTGGCAGCAATTTCTAGACCAGCGCCGATACATGGTCCGTCTATAGCTGCGACGACGGGTTGTGGCGTATTTCGAATCAGTGAACATAATGTAGATATGCTATTGATGAACTCTTCTGCCTGTTTGTGGTTCGATAGCTGGCCTAGTGTCGTAATGCTTGCACCACCACAGAAGATTGACTTCTCTGCTCGTCTTCCTGTAAGCACTACACCGCAGATTCGCTTCATTTGGGAGATGGCATCAAAAGCTACGGTCAACTCTTCCAGAAGCTCTTCATTAAGGGAGTTGCTTTTGGAGTTACCGAATTCTAGTTCCAGGCCAAGACTGGACTTGTCGCTGCAGACGTGGTAGACTGTGAGGGAAGGTGACAATTGTAGTGGAGGCGGAACAAACTCCTTCATATCCGAGAAGTCCGCTAGACAAGCATCGATCCATCTGTCAACTTCTTCTGTGAAATGGCGCTTCGTCAGTACAGACGAGGCATCGGACGGCACTCTGAGTAAAGCTGGGACATCACGGAGGATGCCAAGCTCGTATCGGGTGCCTAGATGGATCTGGAATATCTGTGCTGTTTTGATGGCATCTCTTTGAATATACTCTGAATCGGTTTTGAACGTAGAGTCGATAGAAGAATTGGTTCTTGACCTTGGTCCCAATTTGATCCTCCTCACGGGTGGAGGCCCGAGATTGAGATGTCGGACCAAGTATAATGAGTGTGTTCCACCACGATCGAAACGAAAGTTTCGAAAGCCGCGTAAGGCATTTCTGTACTTCAACATGACAGAAACATCTCGACCGATAACTGATAGAAATTTTTATGTAGATAGGCACGACAGGTAGTGAATGGAGAGGGAGTGAACACGGCTCGGAAGATGACGAATCAGAGCAGCTGTAGTGGATAGAATCGCGTCTTCACGTGTTAAAGTATGGGTCCTGTTCTTACTCCCTCGTCATGACCATGAGCATCAGTCGTACTGTACACGTCGAAACTCAGCCGTCAGCAGTCTCAATGATTTGATGTCTAGCTTTTACAGAGGAAGTACAGCTGACCCCGAATCGCACAACACAACTCACAACAACCATCCTGCAGATCCGATCCCCTCAGAAACCGAACCATTACTCAAACCTCAAGACATTTCGTCCATTCCGCCCTACCCATCATCATCAAATACAACCACAACCACAAACCCATCCCCCTCAACCACCATGCCCCTCTTCTTCACCCTCTCAACCGTCTTCGGCTCCACAGCCGTCATGCTCGGCGCCTTCGGAGCTCACGGCCTAAAACGCCGCATCAACGATCCCGCACGCATCGCAAACTGGTCTACGGCATCTCAGTACCAGCTCGTCCATTCTGTCGCCTTGCTCGCCACTGCACTTGCACTTCCAGCTCGCTCGCAGCGGATTCCTGGTGCGCTGTTTGTGGCTGGGATGACGATGTTTAGCGGGAGTTTGTATTTGCTTGTGCTTGATCCGCAGAGGTATGGGAAGTATTTGGGGCCAGTTACGCCTATTGGGGGTTTGTGTCTGATTGGAGGGTGGATTGCGCTGGGGGTTGTTGGGAGGAGATTTGTAAGGCTGTGATGGGGAACACTTTTTTGCGTGAAGTCGCTTTGAATGGCAGCTGGTATTGACAGCTAGGGTACCATCATGTCACCAGCAAACTCTGTTGCATTTAGCTAGTCCATTGTCGGGGTCCACTGAGACCAAGTTCTCTTGGTGAAGGCGATAGACCGATATAAAAAAAACTGGAAGGATAACAGCGATGTTGAAAGAATGGTAGATGAGTTGTGTCAAAGTGCAAGCTAAGACTACATGACGAAGAAACTCAGCATCGGAACACTGGTCATAAGGGTGGGTCAAGAAGCGCAATGATGCTCGCTTCCTCACAGTATAATACACTCCTGTGTAGTCCATCACTCTCTCTGTCACTCGCGTGCCTTAATGAACACTTCAAACCACCCGTATGGCTCTAACAACCGTCGGCATTCTCCTCAGCAGTATTGTAGTACATTGTGATTGACAGAATCTTGAATATGTTATCTTCTTTTGGTGGTCCACTAGACCATGCTTGTCCATTTAGCACAAACTCATCCATAGTCAATCAAGTTGGACTTACCCTTATCCCCATTGGCCCAATTATTCCAGATCCAGTAGCCAGGCACAGTTGGTATGTTGGTCGTGTACCTCTTCTGCAAATTGCCATCCAGGTAGAAGGCAATGAATTGCTTGGTCCAGTCGATCCTGTATTCGTGAACTGCAGTGACATCCCATGGAGGTGGTCCTATCTCCTGTGTAGCCTTTGCGCCTTGAGTGACTGCTTGATTGCTGTACCAGATTGGGATCGGGTTACTATAATCCCTGGTGGTTGTATTGATGTTGTTGCCGAGAGATTCTCGATCGGTCAAGTACTCTATGTCGGTCTCTTGTTGGTCGTTCTTGTAGAAGAATATACCTGCGGTCAACAAGTTAGCCCGATCTATCGCACATGTCGTGGCTTGGAATCTCTCACCATGGCATGTTCCAGGTACAGTGCTAAAGATCGCCTTTGTCCAGACACTTGCATGCAGTATGTTATTGAAAGACGTGGTAACTTCTGCACTGCTGATAGTTTGACCGCTCCATGGCTGAGCATACTGTACCCCTGGAACTTTGAGATTGAGAAAGCCGAGATGGTCAGTGTAGACGTTCTTGGACTCAAATTGATGGTCGTATGGAGCGCCCTTGTATGAGCCTTCCACAATGTATCGGCTTGCTTGCAGACCTTCTGGAATGCCGTTCTCAAAAATGTACTCTTTTTTAAACTTGAACTTGCCTGCCGCTGGAACATTCCATGCACAGCCGTCGAAAGTAGGCTCGCTTGGAACGCTGGGAATTGCACTGGCTGAGGTTGTCGATGTTCTTGTGTTCGTGATTGTGGTCAAAGGACGTGTTGTTGAAGTGTCTGATTGGCACGTTAGTGTACTGACCCGAGTGATTGTTGTCGTGACGGTGCGCGTAGTCGTCTTGGTATACGTTGTCACTGCCTGTGGATCTCTCTTCTGTAAGGTGTGGTGGCATTCGTCATATGGTGCAGGAGAGGCCGACACTTGAATCACCACGTAGCTAAGCAGAAGGTAGAGGTATTTGAGCTGACCCATGCTTACTAGTTGAATATGCTGTTGTGTTGACATGAGATGACATCTTCACTACCAGGGCACAGTTTCGAGGTCTTTATAGTTCTGAATGAAGGGTCCTGTCTCGAAAATTGTGCTACTATGTCCACTCACCATCTTTGAAGAACGACTTCACCTTCATGACAGCGTCAGACTCAGACACTCGGTCCTGTGCCTCGTTCGGGAGATCTTGGGCCTTCTCCTTTGCCCATTTTCTGATCCCGTTGGATGGCATTGTGTGTGGATCTTCAGAGGATATCTCTGATTGCGGTTCGCATGTCCTGGCTGGTGTGGACAACTGTGACAGCGGTCTTAGACCTAGTGAGCGCAACAGTATGAGTAGTACTGAAGAAATACGTGATACTGACAAGCTGTCAAACGGACAGGATAACGATGTTGAAGCGTGTCATATGATATCTACTGTTGCGTCGTTGTTGGGTCAAATCAACGATTATGCTTGCCTATTCCTGACAAGCTTTGGCTCGCACCTGCCATTCGATGCTTCACACTGACCCATGTGATTGAACAAGGAACACGCCATCACCCTGTCAGGCTGACCCTTCTTTGAGTAATGCGAATTTGTTAGAGCTTCCATTCTTGGGCTGATCCGCACGCTCTTGTGCGCTGTTGTGTGGATGATGGCGACATCTCACCAACTACTACTAGTACCAACAACTCGATGTCGTTCGAAGGCGAGGTTGGGACGGCCTGGAGCTGAGTTCGAAGTCTTGCATCAGGGCTTAGGGACCTGATCGTGGTGGCGTCTACAGCCTAGGCCACGTTCTGCTGTGCATAAGGGTAAGAACGGCAATAGATGCATGGTGTACGCGCACGCCTTGGCTTCGTGTTACTTTGAGTATGTCCCCCTGTGTCACTCGTCGGATGTACCTTGTCTGCCCTCATCGACTGTGCTGATGAAGCGATAGCGAAAGTGCTAGCCGTCACGAAAGGTGCGATAGTAGATGCGAATAAATTTGCCGTCTTGGCACAAGGACAATATGCATCATCGCAGTCATTACGTCCACCACCTGAAACCTTAGCTTTAATGATCAGGCCATGACAGGCACTGTACATGCATCAGAATGTGCCGAGAGTCTCGGCCGAAGAGACAAACACGCCTATAAACGAACTGGTATTCGGTTACTGAGTACAACACAGCATACCGACAGGCGTCAGGACCTACTAGCCCAAGCCAGCCTTGCTGGTCTTGACAATATGTCGGACATGCTCAAGACTACCCTTGTTGCCCTCAGCACCAATACCCATTCCAGCGGTCCAGCCCATCTTCTCGAGCATGGCACGACCTTTGTTGTCCACTCCAATCTCGGGAGCCGAAGCACCTACAATCTCACCATCCCTGTAGGTTGCACCAGTCATGATGCCACCACCTCCACCTCGTCGAGCAGGTCGTGCGGCACCAGAAACTCGAGGTGTTTTCTTTGAGCCTGCTCCCATGTGCTTTGGGAAGAACTTCCGAGTGTTCATCAAAGCATCGATCTGCCAGATGGTCTCGAACGTGTATTGTGGTGTGCGAGATGTCTTCGTAAGCACTGGATATCGACCAAGTCCAATTCCTTCTTTTCCTTCAGAGCGGGAGTGAAGCTTGAGTGATTTGGCTAACCGATGAACTGCCGCCCTCACTGCAGCCTCCATTGGAGATAGTCTGAGCTCGTCAACGTCTTGTACGAGGAACTGTCGGATGCGAGTCTTGATGATCGCAGGGTCGCCCGCGTCAGCTGCATCCAGAGTTGCGGTAAGGCGAGCTTCCTCTCTCTGTCGCTTGCGCTCAGCCTTCTTCTCTCGATCCTTAGTCCAGGTGTTGACAAGCTGATCACGCAGTTCTTCATCGAGGTCGCCTAGATCCCATGGAAAATCAGACTTCCTCCCCTTCTTCGTTGGTCGAAGACTCGGCCTCTCAAAATCCATCACGTCAAAGGCACCATACGGATCCTGGTCCAATGCATCTGCAAACGCCTCAGCGGAAGGAAAGCTATCACGTTGCTTCTTGTTGCGCTTCGATCGACCTCTGTTGGAAGTGTGCTTGCCAAGATTGAAAGAAATGAAGTCGTTGTTAGCACCAAAAACATCATCCATTTCCTCTTGCTCTGGGGCTTCACCGTCGAACAGCATTAGCTCGTCACTACCCAGACCGAGCTCTTCTTGCTTTGCAAGAGCACGGGCTATCTGCTCGTCAGTCATGCGAGCTGTGTAGTTGATGATGCGGGCATTCTCGTCATCTTCAGATTCAATATTGTCAATCAGATCCTGCAGAGCTTCTTCATCCTCTTCGTCTTCCTCCTCGCTATCATCGTCGTCGTCATCGATATCGTCTTCCTCGATGTTCATCTGACGTATCTCTTCGTATATCTGAATCTCTTTGATAGCGCTCTCCGAAGTCAATCTACCGTGTAGCATCCATTTTGCGTCACTAGCATCGGCTCCATCAGCAATAATCAGATATTGAGCTCCACTGACACGAGTTCGGTGACGAATGACCTGACCAACATCGTCAACCTCCTCGTCTGTAGTACTTAGATCGTCAAAGTCAGCAAGGTCGTCGGAATTCCAGTCAAAGGCGTGCTCGGGAACATCTCTGATAGGGACCGTACTGCCTCTGTTTCTTGTTTGTACTTTCGCGTTCTCAAGGCCATCTCCGTTGAACATGCGGAAAGTTTGAGTTTTCTTGAAGGACTTTCGAATCGGTACGGAACCAGGCACCTGCTCCTCGTCGTCTTCCTCGGAGTCGTCTAAGGCCATGTTTTCAATGTAGTCCTGCATAAGAGCGTCCTCGTTACGACTAAAGAGGCTAGGGTGGAACGTTTTGTCAGTTTCGCGTTTTGAACGAGTTCGGGCAGAGATCGGAGGCTCTCCATTCAGGTCTTGAGCATCGTCGTGATCGGAGGCTGGTGAAGGGGAAATCGAGTTCTGGTAAATGGCAGGATCTGCCATTTGTTGTTCCTGTTTCGTGGTAGACACTGCACCGGGAGAGGCCTCAACCTGTTTGCTGGCCTGCACTACAGCAGGTGGTGCGGGAGTTGGTTTCCTGCTAGGTAGCCGACTGGGTGCAGATCTGCCTGCGAAAAGGATCTCTTCGTCACTTTCCGATGAGGGCGAGACTGGAGGCTCAACAACTGTAGGGGCAGGAGCAGGAGCAGCATTATTGCTATCCGACGATTGTGCAGCGAGCGTGGTAGGAAACGGAACTGCATCGACCTGGTGAGTTGTGACGGGCTGTGCGTCATGAGTATTGGAGTCTGCTGCAGGTTCATGCAGTGCTTCTTTCTCTCTTGTAGTTGACGAGCTCTCTTCAGGAACGGCCTGGGTATGTCTAACAACCGTCGTTTCGACGTCAGATTGCTTCAACGGTGAATCGTCTTCGCTGACTGTGTTCCATGCATCTTCCTCCCTCTTTAAAGGTCCAGCACTAACAAATGAGATACCCTGAGTACGCAAAGAGGTAGTACCCCACGCAGCCGTCCTTCTGTCAGTGTTCCTAGCCTCCTCGCTCATGCTAAAGCCATGGTGGCCACCTGATGACGAGGACTGAGCGGCGCTTGACCAGTTTTGCAGTGACCTGGATCTAGAGGCTGGGTCGAGTTCAGGTACTATGCACCAATTAGTGGTGCAAGAGGCCAGGCATAGACAACGACAGTACCCAGTATTGATTGATTTAACTGCTTCTGAGACATAGGTTGGCCTTTCATGCTGCCTCTAGCAGCCTTCTTGCCACGGTTCTGAGCTCTTTGCTTTGCTCCCATTGTGGCGGCCGTAAGCAGGTCAAAGAGTGACTAGTAACGTCGCGAAGACGCGGCTCACGCAGAGAAGGACTTGAGTGTTGGACCTTGTATCAAGAAAAATTGAATAAAATGTCTACACCACTCTAATAAACATTATGAACATATGACGAGAAGTGGCCAATGAGTGAAGACTGGGACCTCGTGAAGTGATGATGGCACATTTGACGAATTACTCATAGCATGTGTTCCACTCCTTGTAGGCTCTATAGGTAGCAAATCGGAGCGTAGGTAGACAGTTTAGGTGGGTGAGCTTGCCTCTTCTAGGTCAAACTAGTGCCTAGCGATAAGATATCCACAGGGCATCAGAATGTGGCGTGCGGCGATCTGATCACAAGCACTTGCATAACGGAGTGGCATAGTATCTCAATGGCTGCCTTGATTCTGGCCGCAGTCCATGCGCCAGGTAGACAATCCAGCATGACTACTCAACGTACTAGACATCACCAACTCGCGATATTGTTCGTTGCTTGAATGTATGAATTGGCTGATTGCGCACGTCGTACTCCCCAAACGCAACGAGCTGGTTCTTACAGCACACACCAACGCCGTCCTGTCCTCTATCACTTAACCACTTCTTACCGCTGAGCCTTTGTGACACCTTCCTCATACTATCTAAATATGCTTTAATGATTCTTTCGTATGAGTTCCTTACTTGATCAGTTACTGGCGATGCTCAAGGCGGACATGATGAACAACATTGACTACAAACGTTTTGTCCGCTACTTCTATGACCCTTCACCTCGCTTTGACGAAGCATCAGGAGCCTCAATATGGCTATTGGGCAAAGAATACACCTCTAGTTCTCCTCAATCCATAACGACAACAGACCGGGAGGATGTGGTAGAGATAGAATCTTCTGCCGACTCCCATGACCCTTCTGAAGCAGCAGCGTCGACTGCTCCGACAGAAGATCAGGAGCATGCCCACACCGATAAGAACAAGCATGAGCACAGAGACAGCATTGACGACGTCCATCGAGTAGAAGGTCAGAATCTGCCGTCACTCTCAAATGATCCCGCCGATGGTGGCTGGCCGCTTGCTTTCATAGACGACTTTGAATCCAGGATATGGTTGACATATAGGAACAACTTCACACCCATACCACGCTCGTCGAACCCTTCGGCTACTTCCTCCATGACTTTTGCGGTCCGTCTTCGTAATCTAGCAGAAAAAGACGGGTTCAACAGTGATACTGGCTGGGGTTGCATGATCAGATCGGGACAAAGCCTCCTTGCGAATGCCCTACTTATGCTTCAACTGGGCAGGGACTGGCGGTACCAAGATCACTTCTCAGATGCGAAAGAGTGTCACAGCCATATACTCTCCCTCTTCGCCGATTCTCCTCAAGCACCTTTCTCCATTCACCGCTTTGTCTCTCACGGTGCTACGCACTGCAACAAACACCCAGGTCAATGGTTTGGACCCAGCGCCGCAGCCTCCTGCATTGCAGCTTTAAGTACAGAATGTGCTGAAGCTGGTCTGCGAGTCTACGTTACACCCTCATCGTCTGACCTTTACGAAGACAAGTTCAAGTCCATCGCAGCTCGATCTTCTACAGATCCCACAATCACTCCAACCCTCATCCTCATGGGGATACGATTGGGCCTCGACAGAATCACACCAGTATATCACGAAGCCTTGAAACGCTCGCTCACATATCCACAGAGCATAGGCATTGCTGGTGGCCGTCCGAGCTCATCGCACTACTTCATTGGTGTACAAAACGACACATTCTTCTACCTCGACCCTCACGAGACTCGACCTGCCCTGCCTTATCACAGCTCCTCAGCCGACTACACACCCGAAGAAATCGCAACATGCCACACCCGCCGCCTGCGAGGCTTGGACATCAAAGAGATGGATCCCAGTATGTTAATGAGCTTCCTGATCCGCGACGAATCGGATTGGGAAGACTTCAAGCGGCGCATCAACGACGTGAGGGGCAAAAAGATAGTCAACATCTACGCTAAAGAACCACCTGTGCCAGGACAGAGCACAGAGAGAAAAGAAGCAGTAGATGAGGTTGAGACTTTTGACGATGAGGACGAGGATGACGAGGGAGATGACAGCAAGACGGAGAAAGGGGATTGATGGTATTGCACATTCGGTGCTCGAGGTCCATCTATAGTACACGTTTCAGTAGCATCGGCTCAGATTGGAGTGCTTCGGCGTTCAGGCACAGGGAGATGATCTGCCAGTGCTGGCGGTCAAGGACTATAGGCATGAGGTTACGCAGCATTCAATTTACTACTGAGAAACATGGAATGCTGTTCGGCACACGTGGGCTTTCTGCACTTGTAGCCTGGCGCACAGTAGTTCAGAGCTTCCCTCGTGCTTCTGACGGTATGAACTAATTGCTTGGTTGCTGCCTTAGGCATTTATCATTACCGTAGGTCTATTGGCTCTTCATCCCACATAGCGTGTTTGGACGCGTTGTTGTGGCGGCAGTGTCACTTGTAGCGAATCGGGCCCATGGCAGCTGGTCGCCTGTAGGGCAAGAAGCATTTAGAGCAGCAGGACAAATATGTATCTGGCAAAGAAGCATGATTCAATGTTTGAATCTTTCCATTGTAGTGTCTTGTGCATCCTGATAAAGATGCGTGGAAAGCTATATCAGCTTCAGTATCTGCGCTCAAGATGATTGTACAGATTGGTCATGCTGGGTATATCATGACCAAAGGAGCTCAAATCCGCGCCAGCTTTGCGCTTCTGCCATGACCTTCAAAGGCAGCCTCCATTCCATAAGTCGTAAAATTGTAGTCGCCCATAAACACCCATTGCAAGACGTGTGCCATTGAACCCATGATCCATAACATTGAAAAAAGCAAACAACCAAAATCAAACTGCCAACTCTTTACTTGCTTTGCGAGTACTTGGTGACAGCTTTTGTGCCTTCTGACACGGCGTGCTTGGCCAGCTCACCTGGTAGGATGAGTCTGACTGATGTTTGGATCTCTCGAGATGAGATTGTGGACTTCTTGTTGTAGGCTGCGAGCTTGGATGCCTCAGTTGCTACGCGCTCGAAGATATCTGAGTTTATATTAGCGCGACTGCTTTCACAGATAGTCGAGATTGCGACATACCATTGACGAATGAGTTCAGGATAGACATCGCTCTGTTGGAGATACCAGTGTCTGGATGCACCTGCTTGAGGACTGCGAACGCGTCAGTAAATGTTGCGATGCAAAGGCGCGCAGTGTTGCCATACCCTTGTAGATGTACGAGGAATAGGTCTCCTTCCTGGTCTTTCCTCGCTTCTTCTTGTCACCAGATGGGGCGGCGGCGGTCTTCTTGCCTGCCTCCTTCTTCTCGGTGGCAGGTGCCTTGCCAGCTGGGGCCTTGCCGCCAGTGGTGGGCTTCTTCTCAGCAGCTTTGGGAGGCATTGTTGAAAATGTGTGTTGGACGCGTAAGCGAAATGTAGAGATTTGAAATGTGGAACCTGAAGTTCAAAGAACTAGAATGCTCAAGATGAATGTGGTGAGTTGTGGATGAATAGGAAAAGAAAGAAAGATCCGGATGATGAGGAAAGCGGAGGGGAAACTAAATACAAGAAACGGAAGATAGGCAGGCTGGTTGATCGCAACTGCCACTTGGAGGAGTGGAGTATTTTTGTAATGCAGGTAGTGACAAAAAGTCGTCAGGAAAAGTCGATTTCTGTAATTGTCATAGAAACACGGCCTCGCCAAGCTTCGGAGACGCTTGGAAAAGTCATTTTGATCATACCACATGTCTGTATTTATCGTATGAGCTTGTATCAATCTGTAAATGACGTCTCTGTGGCCAAAAGTGGCAAAGCCCGCCACCTGTGATAATCGTGATCCCGCCCTCTGATTGGCACGCGACTTCTAGTTTGGTTGATCTGAAAGTGCACCTGCTTGCCCGCACGTCAGCCATTCTCCATCTACTTATAATCCTCTTTCTCTCAACCACTTCGCTGCTGCTCCCGTTTTCTTCTCTATTCACTCTTCACACATCGCATTCATACCAGCTCCAAACTTCTCAAGTTCATCAACTTCGCCCTTTTAATTCCAACTCTACCAAATCAACCACATCCATCAAAATGACTGGAGGAAAATCTGGCGGCAAAGCCTCTGGCTCCAAGAGCGCTCAATCGTAAGTTTCTCCAACAACTTCATCCAAAACGACGCGTTTTTGCATTGAAGTCGCGTCTAAAGTTACGCGTTACTTGAGCTAACGCTGTTTACAGACGATCATCCAAGGCTGGACTCGCATTCCCAGTCGGCCGTGTTCACAGACTGCTCCGAAAGGGCAACTATGCTCAGCGAGTTGGTGCTGGTGCTCCAGTCTACCTGGCCGCCGTTCTTGAATATCTGGCCGCCGAAATCCTCGAGTTGGCTGGCAACGCTGCTCGTGACAACAAGAAGACACGTATCATCCCAAGACATCTTCAGCTCGCCATTCGAAACGACGAGGAATTGAACAAACTGCTGGGTCACGTCACAATCGCACAAGGTGGTGTCCTGCCAAACATTCACCAGAGTATGTTCTCCTTCTCAAGAATGATTGCAAGTACTAACTTTCATCCTAGACTTGCTTCCAAAGAAGACATCCAAGCCAGGCAAAGGTCAATCTCAGGAATTGTAAGCTCTGGGTTGTGCTTGAGCGCGGTTTTTTCTGGAGTTTTTATGACTACACGTGGCTATGGGGTTTACGGGTAGAGCCATCGCGCTCGGAATGGATTTTTCAGCACTGATTTTTTGATGGTTGTACATTATGCCTAGAGCATTCATGATTGTGGATGAGATGTTTCCACATTTATTACAGGCATGAATACAGAGGTGCAACGATAAAGCAATGTTGCTATACAAGCTTGACGCGTCACGGCGAAAGCTCTCGCAGCGGATGTGACCGCACCATCGAGATACTTAGCACAATGGTACGACATTCAACTTGAACTCGCTCTTCATTGAAATGATCTTTGAATTCCTGCTTGGACTTGTGCCAGTGACAAGTCGCTCGTCTTTTGCGAGATTCATGTTTGTTCAAGGTATTTCGTGGTGAGCAGACACGTGGGTGTGTAAGAAATGCGGCCGAAGCATGATGAGCCTTAAAGTCTGCGTAACAGGAGTGATGTTAATCGTCGGGAATACTATAATAGAGAGTAAGCAGCAGTGCCAAGGCATGGTGTCAAACAGGAAATGTGCCAATATCGTGAAGAAATTAATGTAGAGGTAACACAGAGAGAGATTGGTAGAGACTGATGTATAATGTTGAACTTCGAGAAATTCTCACTCTGAACCGGATGCATCGAGAGTACATATCTTTCGCCCGGACAAGAGCTCACAACAACTGTCCCTTCGAGCCTGAAGACCCTGGACCTTGGCCTTGATATTGATCAACTCAAACGAAATCTTGCGTTTTCTTTCTGTGAATCTGGACTTATGTACAGGTCTTGCATCACCAATACGTATTCTCCTTTGGACCGAACCTCAGCCATGTGATGAAGTCAACCATTCGTGCTCAAAAGCAAGCTATAACCTCTTCACGTCTTCTGGTGATGGTGGTGGTAGATCTGGCGGAGGTTCGTTTCGTTCGTATTTCGAGCCGCCTGGGGCTGACGGTGGTCTATATGGATCTGGATGTTTCCATTTCTCTAGTAATCTTTCCGTCTCGACAAACAATATCTGCACTCGTGTCAGAGACCAACAGTTGCACGACTTGAGACCGGTTCTGCATATACCTTTTGATGTCTTGGGTCCAACACATTTCTATTGGCGTCGTATAGAGATCGAATGTAAACTGCTTGACCTCGCCACAGATTCCTTTGCACAGCCCAGTCTAGAGCCAGCTTGAGAGATCGTCGATATAGTGATCTATGACAGCTAGGTCAGCCGCGACTGTGTGGGTTTCTGATCTGTGAAGCTTTACCTGACAGCTTTAACATGGGCAGGTATGACAGTCGACATGATGAGGAGAGAAAGGAGCGCAACGCGCCCAGTCGTGCCTGTGTGACCCCTGCTCGCTCACTATAGCTGGTCCAGACCGTAGAGAAGACTTTGCGGCAGATTCACACCTACAACACCCTTCGACGGTCGTGTGTTGTCGCTGGTTGTGTCAACGTCAATTACAGCAACGACGATTGGAAGTTACGGATCTGGAACCAAAATGCTTGGCGAGCTCTACGTAGAGGCGCAGTCAACGGGAGCGCTTGCCATAGGCACGCTACGTCAAGCTAGGAGAGAGCTGGAGAGCCATCAAAACGGGCGTTGCAGCTTGCCGACAGCATGGTTCCGATGCTCACTATTACTTAATCCCTCACAGAATTGCCTATTTCGCAAGCAGGACATTCTTCTCCTTACTACTGCTTTGCGCTATCACGCTCTACCTCTCTTCAGCCTGGGTAGCCATTCACTTGGCTGTTTGGTGAAGCTTCTCCTCTAAGCCAGAGCTCGTCCGAGCATTTCCGTTCATATCAATTGCACGAATGGCGAGCTTGAGGACACGAAGGATTCCAGCTCTGGCTTCGCGCCTGGCAGCACCTCAAAGATGTAGCTCGACAACCATCCGTAACTATAGCGTTATCCTATCTACCTCGAAAGCTTGCAAGCTATCCACAAATCAACATTTACCACGATACAATCCTATACCTCAACTCAAACTATTTAGCACTACTACAACCCGTTATGAGGAGACTGTTGTCAAAGTTCCGCAGATGGCAGAGTCCATCTCGGAAGGAACACTAAGCTCTTTCAGCAAGCAGGTTGGCGACCACGTTGAGCAAGACGAAGAGATTGCGTCTATCGAAACAGACAAGATTGACGTGTCTGTCAACGCTCCACAGGCTGGTGTTATTACAGAGTTTCTAGTTGGCGAGGGTGACACAGTTACCGTTGGCCAGGACATTGCGAAGATTGACGCTGGCGCATCGGGTGGTGGTTCGGCAGAAGCTAAAGAGGAGCCAAAGTCCCCTGCAACCGACGCACAAGAAACATCTTCTCAGCCTGAAGGACAGAAAGAACAGCCTAAGAAGGAGGACAAGCAAGAAATAAAAGAGACTCCTCCACCACCTCCACCTAAAGAACCTGAGCCCGAGCCGAAGAAGGAATCAAGTCCGCCACCGAAGAAGGAAGCGAAGAAGGAGCCATCAAAGGAGACGTCGAAGCAACCTGAGAAGAAAGATCCTAAAGAATCTGCCGGTGGTCCTCCATCACAGTCACCGTTTGGCAAAGGCAGCAGAGATGAACATCGAGTAAGCGGGACGATACGCTGGTCGGCGAACAACATGCTAATTTGGATTAGGTGAAAATGAATCGTATGCGATTGAGAATAGCAGAACGTCTGAAACAGTCACAGAATACTGCTGCCTCACTGACTACATTCAACGAGGTTGACATGACCGCCATTATGGAACTGCGCAAACGGTACAAGGACGACATACTGAAGCAGCATGGCGTCAAGCTAGGTTTTATGAGCGCATTTGCTCGGGCATCCGTGCTTGCCATGAAGGAGCTCCCAGGTGTCAACGCTTCGATTGAGGGTCCGAATGGTGGTGACACCATCGTATACAGGGACTATGTAGACATCAGCGTTGCCGTCTCTACTCCCAAGGGCCTCGTGACTCCCGTCTTGAGGAACGCGGAAAGCATGAACATGGTTGAGATTGAGCAAGGTATTGCTGAGCTGGGCAAGAAGGCAAGTCCACCACTCTACTGTGTAATCAATGCTAACTATCGCAGGCTCGTGACGGCAAGCTCTCTATCGAAGACATGGCAGGCGGCAGCTTCACAATAAGCAACGGCGGCATTTTCGGCTCCATGATGGGTACACCAATCATCAATCTACCCCAAACTGCTGTGCTGGGCTTGCACGCAATCAAAGAACGACCAATGGCAGTCAACGGCAAGGTCGAGATCCGACCAATGATGTACTTGGCCCTAACTTACGACCATCGTCTGCTTGATGGAAGGGAAGCTGTTACGTTCTTGGTGTTATTGAAGAAATACCTCGAGGATCCAGCAAGCATGCTGTTGGGTTAAGTCAGGGTTGCGTTTCTCTGTAAAGGTACATGGTGGGTGCGTAATTGAGCTCTAGCGCATACATGTGGTCATGAAAAAGAAAGCCTTTGACGTCTCCGCCTTTTCCCATCCTACTGCGTGTTACACGAACCGTCGTCCGAGAGTGTGCTTCCTGCGAGTCAATTGTCGGTTGTCAGTTCGTGATTCCGTGTAGTGCAACTACTGTAAGCGAGCGACATTTCTGATCCATGTAGCTGTGTGCTTTGTGCAATAGATTGTCGGGAGCTTTACTCAATGGTCTACTTAGTCCTACTGGCGTACAGCCTGTTTACCTCGAACTCGTCTGTGTCATTTGCAACGTCGCCCTTGAATTCCGTCAGCAGCGACATTATGGCTGGTATTCGTAGGTCACCAAGTAGCACAGGTTGTAGACGATACGAGAGTCACTCGACATGGTTGGAGATGTGATGGTCGAAAGAAGGTGCGTGAGCAATTGGCCGATCTTGGCAGTGTACTACGCGCTTATACCGGCATAGCTTTGCATGACCCGGCCACTTGCTGGTTATTGGAATAAACTTGACAAAATCCTACCACGTCCTTTGATTTTAGCTCAGCTTCTTCGTAAGTCGACCAGGCTCATGTATACGTAACATCAAACAAGAAGGCTCAAACTGCAGGCAGCATCGTGCAAACCAATGGACAAATAACACCAGAGGGTCACCAGTCCTTGAACCAAAGCTGTTCTTGGACTGCCACTCCAGCAGAAACAATGCTATACTCGAGCGGACATCCGAAGTAGCAAGAAGTCAATAACGCAGCCTACGATATCTGCACAAGAATGTGCATTCTGTGAGTACATGAATGGCTGATTCCCAAGGTACAGGGAGCAGTAGCACATCACGAATATTAAAGCCTGGCTTACCTGCTCCAAATTCCCACATTGCCAACGACACCAGGTCAAAAATGCTCAAGCTTCAGCGAAACCACGTTACACCATAACTAATCACTGATAGCTTCGCCATTTCAAACATAGACCCAATAGAAATCATGAACCACACACCGACTGATTGCTCGAGCAGGCACTAAACATTGCTCTGTACAAGACCAGGAATGAACGGAAATTTACACGATGCTTTAATCCATATCACACGTACGACCGAACAGCGGCCACGGTAAAAGCATGACTTCGAGCACACCTTACTCCTGCTGTTGATCTCACCCATCGTGCTCGACAGCGATGCCGTATCCTATAAGGCTTCACATTTGAGCAATAAGGGCTGTATTCATCGGCATATCGTCGCTATCTAGTCAGTGTACAGCTCGAGTAACACCGAACTACACCAACATCCCAGCCACTGAACGTCAAGGCCTAGTCTGTACAAGACGAATCATGATAGTCAGCAAGCACAAAGCTCTGACTACTAAGATGTTGCAAGCAAATCGACCAATCAAGCACGATCCCACCTGATCGACGCGGGTTTCCAAGATCGATCCAGACTATCTATTGCCGTTCGGGAGCCTACACCAGGGACAGCTGATACAGCTCACACACAGGCACCGGTACTTCTTGAAGCAGGCGATGGCAGATAGGTGGAAACAACACGAAACGATCCTGCTCGTTCAAAAGGCAGAGCTGACGTCATCCACATCAGGGAGAACCTGACTGCCGTCCTGGCAAGGATGTACCCCGTCTCCTCTTCGTTGATGTCCTCATACCCGCCCTCCATCTGAGTCCAACGACAGACCTCAGGAGCGGTTCACAGCAGGATACATGACCTGGCATGACTGTGAGAGGTGGGAAGTCATTGATCGCGACTCCAAATGCAGACAACGTTGACAGCGGCCCAAGAACTGCAAAAACACATCAACCATGCCAGTATCACGCAGTACCAGGAGGGCACTAGGACCAAAGAGAGGAGCACAGGCCTTCGAAGGATTGAATAACCACATACATTGCCGTCCTCAAAGATCAAGAATTATCCTCGAGTTCAGCTTTGCCATACCTCTCGGCAAGGCTTGGGCAAGCGAAGGACCGCCGTGTCATCCCAGGCCAACGAATATCGAGGAGCTGAGTGAGTTGGACAACACGCTGTCGATCCCGGCCGACAAGCCAATGCCATCAGGCGTCTACATAACAGACTCTGAGCAGAAAACAGACGAAGCCTCGACAAGAGGCGTCCAAGCAACCTGATCCTGGTGCACCATCGAGACCCTACGCATTCCTAGAGCCTCGAGCCTCGTACCTTGCTGCCGACAAAGTGCGTTCTGGCCTCTACCACGACCACGACTACGCTGCCTCTTTCCAACATTCTGAAACTTTTCCAACAGCCTCTACATTGTTTCATTTGAAGGATGCACTGTGAATGTATACTGCTCCTCGTCCTTCAACCTACTGAACAGCTCCTTCTCACAACGAATGCAAAGCCTACTTAACAGTCATAGAGATAAATATAAGTGAAAGATCTATATGGGTGCGCTGGCCCGATCACGCCACACACCAACCAGTTGACTCGGTGAAGATCAAGTTTCCCAAGTGGTCGTCATCCTGTAAGCGATTCATCGCACGGCTTGAGCAGGTGAGTCGGCTCGCGAGAAGCATGACGACAAAGACGACACCAGCAGTCACAAGGACATGCCGCGAGTGACAATACAGTGACCTCAGCAACGACACCAACACGTCTCGAAAAATGCACGTTCGTGCTACATGACAGTCTTAAAACCACCGGACTGCAGCTGGTTCTCTGACTGCATAGCACATATAGCAGAGTACGACGTTGTAGATGTCAATAATAGCATATTATGCTTAGAGTGAAGTAAGAAAACTATGCGTCGACGACGACGAGCAGAAACATCTCGAAATCGACGGGTTGCGCACGCAACGGCACGTAGGAGCAGCCTGCGGCAGTCTGCATCGCCGAGTTTCGTGCTCCCTCACGTGATTTACAGGGGTTTGTACGGGCGTACACTCGAGTGACAATGTATTTGATCAACGTAGAGAAAGTGCTGCGTCGATGAGGTGTCGACATCGTGTTAGCGACGTGTTAGCAGCATGTCAACGTGCTGGCATTAGAGTCGCAATAACTATAAGCAAAATTGGTGCAAAATTGCATGTTTGCTTGTCGCAGAGTCGGCATCTCCCGCAACTGCGTAATAGAAACAGCCTCAGCTAATTTGTGTTGAAAAGAAAGGCCTCTAGAATCAGTACGACCATATCCTTTTCTCGCCTCGTGCATCGAGTGTTCCTTTTGCGTTCATCCTGCCATACCAGAGCCGTAGACTAATCGCAGTGGCTGCAACATAAAACGAACAAGCAGCACAAACGAAGTTTCCAGTCGGGTAACCTTCTGTTCTTTCGTTGGATTTCCAAATCCCTAGAGTGGAAATAATTAGCTTCTCAATCACGTGAATGATACGCAATTGATGTTCCAGGAAAATGGCACCGAGATGTGCCGCATATTCACTTCACTTACATTGTGCGATAATTTGTCCGATCCCTGCACAACTGTTGTTTAATGCGATTGCGAAGGGGATGGTCAGTAAGCTGGGGCTATTCGTGGTGACCCAATTGGTCAAACTGGGGGCACAAGGGAAGGCCCCAACTGCAGCAAGACAAAGACAGCCATATCGTGCGATGTATGCGTCGTGAGGCAGTAATCCCGCTGTCAGCCAGCCAAGACCACCAACAACAGAGGCACCGGCGATATGCCAGCCTCGTGCATTGAAGCGATCAGCGGAGTAGGAAAGTGAGATAGCAACGAAGAATCCGATGACCCAGGGGGGCACCGTGAACATCTAGGTCGAGATTAGTCTTGGCTGTGATGACGGGGAACGAAGCGACCCACCTGTGCTTCGACCGATCTATACCCAAGTCCAGTCACAATAGTTGGGGTGTAAAACGTGAAAGACCCTTGAGGGACAACGTCTGCAATCTATACGTGTTTGATATGTTAGAATGTTCATGCATGAACTGGGCAGGCTGCAATTCGTTTTTGGCAACTTGAATGGGACTCACATATGCGAAGTAATGTGCCAGCATTCGTGGACTGAACAATGTCTCCAGCAACTCTCGTTTTGAAGCATGGTCCGTATTGTATCCACCACCGAATTTCTTGAGCCGATCCACTGCGAACTGCTTGTCTCCGCTGCTCAACCACTTCGCACGAGCCGGATAATCGGGCAAGCAGAGGATGAGAGGTATAGCACTCAACATGGTGATGATACCTTCGATAATGAACAACCATCGAAAGCCCTCCAGACCTACAGCCCCGTTGATATGACCGATCCCATACGCGATTGTACCCCCAAAAGCTCCCGCCAAATTACAAAATGCCACAACCATTGCAATTCGTACGGCGCGCTCGTTATGTCGATACCTGCGAGAAGTGTTAGCTAAGAATGGATGTAACGGTTGCTGAGCGGGTCTTGGGTAGTTTTTGAGCGTTCAGTAGAAAGTTCTTGAGAACGTATTCCGGGAAGAGCTGTCGAGAAGTACGAACCAGATAGTGATGAAATAGACTATTCCAGGGAAGAAACCTGCTTCGAACTAGCACAGAACGTATTAGTGATTGCCCGACGTGTACACCTGTGCTGCTTCTGGTAACTCACAATTCCGATCAACAACCTCAAACTTAACACAGTAGCATAGTTCTGAACGCCTGCGAAGCCTATCGTCACTGCTCCCCAAGCTGCGAGCAGAAACCCTAGCCAGAGTGAAGGTCGTATATAGTGCTTCATGACCCAGTTGCTCGGCACTTCGAAGATAGCGTACGCTAGACTGAACGCCGTGAGTGTTATGGCATAGTCGTAAGGTGTCATTCGAGTTCGCGAGAGCATGTCATCTTGAGTCTCTGAGTTGAGGACACGAGCATTGCCTATATTGCCACGATCGAGGAAGTTGAGTAGGTACACCCAGCAGCAGAGTGGTAGGATGCGGATATCGAGGCGGCGATTCAGGTGCTTGTTGCGTTTTTCATCGTCGACATCGATTACTGTGCTGTCATCGAGCTGTTTTGGAGCATCTGTCTGACTTGTGTTAGTGCAGATTGAGTGACAGTATAGACAGTTGGACTCACTTCCGTCCTAGTTGCTTCGAGATGTTCTATAGGGCGTTCCTTCTCCATGTTGGCTAAGTCTTGATACGAAGGAATGTTCAAGGTCAGCGATATTACACTTTCGATCTGTACGTAGACTTTCAGTTGTGGTTGACCTCTTCGATAGTACCGAGGAGGATGGTTTCCAGTTTATTCAGCCTGTACCGGTCTTTGGACGGGCTCTGACCGACCACAATCCTGGCATTGTAGCTGTTTTTGGTGGGATCTGCGTAGGGGTGCCAGGTGTGTCGACCAAGAAAGCCCGTATGACAAGCTTTGGAGAGCATGCATGCATGCATGCCACGAGATGATCGACATCGTTGTTGGTGTGAATGGAAATACGGCACGCCTACACATATCTATAATGCGGGGGACACCTTGGCGGCAAGGACGAGCAGAGTACTTTACTCCAAAACGACCTAACAAATGAGGAAAGAGCCACTCGCAGATGATCAATTATCTTCCAGGTGAAAAGCTCTTACCGAGGAATAATATTAAATGCAACCCGTGTCTTCTGGATACCGATGCATCTTGAAGACAGGACGTAGTGATCACTAGCCGTACGAGAGATGAAGTACGACTGAAGTTTATTCAATAGCTCTGCCCGAGGCTGTGACGGCTCGTCTGGAGGCAGGCCTGACCCCAACAAGAAGCTCTCTGAAAATGTTCGTAAGGCGAGGAGTGCAGTCCAACAGCACTCTCATCAGGTTCGATCGTGGTCGCATGCGGTCTCTCAGAGCTGATACACGGTGAGACGATGTTGCTGGAAGTGGATAATAGGAGGCCGCCTCTAGGTCAGTACAACGTGTAGCAATCGTGTATCAATCCTCATGTCCAGCTCTTTCCTCTTCCAATCCCCATACATCTGCCATTCCCTTCTTGCCTCTAGTCTCTGGCACATACCACCACACGCTCGCCAGGAAGAACGCTCCTAGTCCACAAAACAAAAAATACACAATTCCCTTCCCTAATTTCTCATTCACGATCGGAAAGAACTGTGCCACGATGAAAGTAGCAATCCAGTTAGCTGCTAGTGCCCAGCTTTGCGTTGCGCCGACTCCTTTGCTGTCCACAAATTCGCTTGGTAGCATGAACGGCACAGGGCCGAGGCCGAATGCAAATGATGCAACAAACGTCAGCACACAAATCGCAGACAGAACTTTTGTAGAGGTGCGTATTCCGATGCCAAGTAGAACGCTCGAGGTGGCCATGCCTGCAATTGAGACCAGCAAACAACCTTTGCGGCCAAGGCGTGGATGGTCTGTGAGCGGTGCAAAGGCTGTAGTAGCAACGATATTGAGCAAGCTGACCAAGATATTGAGCAATGCAGACGAGGACGACAGTAGTCCTGACAAAAGACTGACACCATACATAATAATACTGTTGATACCAGTAAGTTGCTGAGCCGCCATTACCAGAATAACAGCGAGGATCGCACGGCGGTAGTTTGGATTCCTCACAACCTGAATATAACCAAGCTCGTCGCTCTCGTGCTGCTCGGCACTATGGCTTTCTGACTGCGACAGAAGACCTTGTCGTTCCGGCTCCTCATCTCCTTCGCTGACAATCTTTTTGACATCAATGCCCCATGATCTGATCTCTTCGTCAAGGCCGTCCTCTGTCCCTCTGATCTTGCTGAGTGCTTCCCTCGACTCTTTCCGTCTGCCACGTTCTGCAAGCCATTTGGGACTCTCGACCGCAAAGAAAAGCTGACAGGTATGCATAATGCCGATCACACCAGCAACGCCAAGGATGACCCTCCACATAGAGTCATGGCTTAGGAAGTATCCAATGAGCTGAGTGATGAAGATACCACAATTGGTCATAATCTGAGTAAAAGAACCATAGAAGCCTTTCGAAGCAGAGGGCGCAATCTCAGAGATGTAGATAGGCACAACCACAAGACCTGCTCCTGCACCGACACCTGAAAGCAGGCGACCAATGGAAAGTAGAGCAACGTTCGGCGCAAGTGCTTCAATGAAAGGTCCAAGAACAACTGGGATGGTATTGATCCGCATGGTAAATAATCGACCACGTTTGCTTGAGACAGGTCCTGCTGCAAGTGCGCCAATAAGACCACCAAGAGTGAAGATGGACTGCACTAGGCCGAACTCAGCGGCAGACATCGGGATACATTGTGGCAGAGATATTGACTGTTGCCGAATGGACTTCTTATCGCAAGTGATGACTGCCGACGGCGCATTGAGCTCACCCTAGATCAATCAGTCATGTATTTAGAGCAACAACATGTGCTTATTTACCAGATGAAAGCCAAACAGCAAGGGCGCAAGCGTTACAGTGAACAAGAGAAACTTGATGTAGATAGTGCGCCAGAAATCTTGGAGATATGACTGAATAGACATCATAAAGGTGAAGAACGAAACCTCTGAGCTGTCTTTGAATTAGGCCTTCTACCTCCGCTTGATATCTTAGATCGAAAGAGTCGCAATGTTGCCGAACTGAGGTGTGCCTCGCGTCCACAGTGAATGGATTGTCGCGTCGTAGCTGGCGGAAGTCGCCGCGTGAGATCGTACCGTTGCTGAAGGAGGGAATACAGTTATGGCAGTAACACACACTCGTACAGCGCCACTTATTCTGAAAGCACAATGACAGGACAGACACTGAAGGACTTGTAGTCGTGCATACTCAGTGCCCAAATGACAGAAATGGAAGTTGCACAAGTCGTGTATGGAGCAGCCGCGGCCGCATCCAGCCTGAGTTCGAACCCACCGCACCATCAATTACGACCCTATGCCTTGTACGAAAGACAGCTTAATTCAAATATTTTTCATTTGGTATGGAGGGATTCTAAATCTACAACGAGAAAGCCTAGAAGTAAGTGCGCGATACTTCTTATCGCATGAACACTCAGCCGTGCCGCTTTAGATGAAAGCCCATAGAAACGTCGTGATGCCCTTTCCATAACCTACGCCCTGCTAGATTCCATAAATTTCATTTTCCCTCATAAGCTGCTGTACACGAGTATCCCATCGTTATCCTCCTCTTTGCCTTCACATCAGACACTTACCTCGCTCTGTTCCGTTGTCCGCTCTTTCTACGACATTCTGTCCACATTGCTCGTAATCACGATCCACTAGCTAGCTGTGCGACGAGATCACTAGCCACGTCAATATATGGATATGGGCTTGATATCTCCTTCTCCACATTCTTGTAGCGTTTCGAGATTGGCTTCCAGTAGCCCTCAGGCTTCTTCAACTCGTAACTATTGCTGCGACTGATGCCAACACTTTCTACGCCACTGACAGGCCTGCTGGCTGCTGGACTTGTAAGTGTGCTGCTCGGATTGGTGCCTGGTTTGTGCTTCGGTTCGTACCAGACCACGTTCTGATAACCATCGCACTTGAAGTCAACCACGTAGGTTTGGCCATCAAGGTTGTATAGTTGGATATCAATGAAAACCCACACGCCGACATTGTTGGGGGTCATTTTGCTGAAGTTGATACTCACAGAACTCCCGGGTCTGCTCGTAGGTTCTTTTGCTGCATGTGGATCTTCACCATGTCCATTGTGAAGATGCTCGCCCATTCCACTACTTGGTCGGCTGTTGTTCTGAGAAGCCGTCTTGAGCTTTTGTGCAATATTTGTGGTTGGGCCATTAGCACCAAGCGCACGAATAAACTCCTCAGTGGCATGTCCACCAAGCTCTTCCACATGCCTCTTTAGCTGTTTCTGAGCCTGACTCGGTAGACTGACGGCAGAACTATGACCGGAGATGGGTGCTAGCTCACCAGGCAGAAGTATACCCTTTTTGAGTACTCGAGCACGAATACTGTATAGATCTCTTGGGATATAGTAATCTTCTGGTAAGTGGTCATACTTGTTCTGCAGAACCTGATGGCGCTCTCCTGGTGCTAGCTCGGGCACGGGTGGCAAGTCGAGCTCACTGTCTTCGTCATTACCACTCTCGTCGTGTTCGCTGGTTTCACCGCCACTATCGGGATCAACATCTCTCTGGCGAATACTAGGTATGACTTCCCAATCCGCATCAGCAGCTTTGAGTGCTTGGTACAGACACTTCATAGCTTCGTAAGGCGCATTTCGTGACCTTATCCCGAATTGCCACCTCCGAGCCCTACGAGCGGCCACCTTCTTCTGATCAGGCTGCTTGGGATCGGAGTCTTTGCCCTGAGCTGGTGGCTGGGGTGGATCGCCACCTTCCTGTTCCACCTCGAGACTTCTACTTGTCGGTGGTTTGAAGTGTGGCTTAAGAGCCTTGGCAGTCGCTTCTTGTTGATGTACAGGAAGTTTCACTGGCATACCGCTGGCGTCGTTCACCACCTCAGGAATGGGTATTGTGGATGGTTGGTTATGATCAGAAGCAGTAGGGATTTGGAACAAGGCATCTGGGTCTTTGCCATCTGCTCTAGCCTTCTCGCGTACTTTGAGTAACTCTTCATGAACTGAAGGGAGAGAGGTATTGAGCACTTGTACGGTGGAGATTCGAGGCTTGATTTCCTCTTTAAGCAAAGTCGAAGTGTCAGACATGGTACGGCTCGTCCTGCGGGGCTCGCGACTTGCAGTTGGTGTCAGTGGTTTTATGTCGTCGAAAGCTCTGAAAAAGCCGTGTCGTGGAGAGCCGGGAAAGCCGGGATAGTTGGGTTCTATCGGGGGCGAGGAAGCCATGAAGGTCTCCAGGTCGGGGTTTTCGTTGGCATATTGAGGAGTCTCCCTCATGAGCTGGTTTTCTCTGACGATGAGGTAGGCATCCTTGATAGCACTTGGCTCGTCCTTACTCAGAGCATCTTTGACGTCTTCCATTGGGTAACCCATAGTTTGCCCTAACTTAGAGACGACAGATTCATGAATTTCTTGGACGAGACTTGCTGGCTTTCCAGGTGCAAGTTGCTGCGGGTCGATGGCTTTAGAAGAGTCAACGCCAGTATCCAGGAACTCTTCGACAGGTTCTCTGAGATATGCAGGCAAGTCTTTGATGAACCACTCGTGCTGTCGAATGTCGGGGATCTGTATGCGCTGGACAGGATGGACCATCAGGCAACGTTTGATAAGGTCGGCGGCACCCGGTGGTGTCTGGGAGGGGATGTGGAAAGAGCCAGCTTGAATCTTCTTGAAGAGAGTCGGAATAAATTCGTCGTCGAAGGGTAGGCGGCCAACCAGGAAAACGTAGAGAATGACACCACAGCTCCAGACGTCGACCTCAGGACCGGCGTACAGCTTGCCGCCAATAACCTCTGGAGCAGCATAATTGGGACTGCCACAGCTGGTCTTGAGAAAATTGCCATCGGTCATGATATTGCTCAGACCAAAGTCGGCTATCTTGACGTTCATGTTCTTATCAAGCAAGAGGTTCTCAGGCTTCAGATCTCGATGGACGATCTTATGGCGATGGCAGTATTCCACAGCACATATTATCTGCTGAAACAACTTCCTCGCCTTTGCTTCACCCAGCCTACCGTGCTTAACTATGTAATCGAACAGCTCCATGGGTACATATTCCAAGACCATGTATATGTCGGTCTTGGTGGTGATGACGGTGTAGAGTTTGATGATATGAGGATGTCGCAGGAGCTGGAGGTACTGGATCTCTCTTTCAATTCGACCAGCCAGGTCTCGACTGATCAGCTTGCGACGATTTATGACTTTCATGGCCACCTCCTGCTTCGTTACTCTGTGTCTTGCCAGCTTGACCTTGCCAAAGGAGCCCTCGCCAATGTTCTTGACAAACTGATATTGATTTAGTCGCTGCATGGCACGGGTGGATGCTGGAGAATCTGCGGGAGGAGTATCGCTCATGATTACATTCCTTGCTGGAGGCGATGCCAGAGGCAGCGACGGTCTTGATCGGGTCGGGGACATGGTGGACAAGGACATGGACAGCTCGTCATCGTGGAATTGTGAAGCCATGATGGGCGGTAAGAGGCGGAAGGGTTACCCAAACCGAGTGAATGTGTACTTGACTCGTGAGGTTCAAATTTGACGTGCAATGTGCGGGAGTTTTCCAGACGATTGTACTCTGTCACCAGTAGTCACTAAAGCACGAGCCCAAAGGGCAGGCAAGCATTGAGAGGGCGGGGCAGGGCGACGATCGATGGTCGTGGTGGAGTGATGTCCTAAACCTGCTTAATCATTGCGCACACATGCTGTGCTGCCACAATAGATGGGAGGGCTTGTCGAAAACTCTTCACGATGAGCTGTCGAAAGACTGCAGGGCGTTTGACGAGGTTTGCGAATGCATGTAAGAGCTGGGATGAGGGCAGTAGAACGGTGTCGTGTGAAGGGTTGGTGATTCAAGCGTGCATGCCAACCATGGCCAGCGTCATATCACATGTCTCTCGGGCATGTCTGGGCGCTGATTGGGACCGATCCACTTCCGTTCCTGGCTACGCGAACTCTAAATTACGAACCGATTATTCCCCAGCTTGCCCTCTACAACTTCAATCTCTCTACCACCATCGGTTCCTCAACAGTACTCACATACATTTCATCATGGGAACCGAATGACAGGCAGTGGTGCAGGTAGAATGACAGGATCTAGGCATGATTTTCGGACGCCGATGTCTTTCGAAGGACAGGCAGGAACAAACCGGACGTTGAGCACGCTTCAAACGCAGCTGCATAAACGGATACACAATTGCACATCCTACTTTGGCCTCGTTTCCTTGCTCAATGTGGACGAGCAGTTGACTTTGGGATCACCAATTGACCTTCGAATGTTTCTGCTGGCTGCTCCGCTCTACAATGACAACTCAACCTGTACCACATTTTCTTCATGAGACCATCGTGAGGAGAGTATCTCCGACTTCAGCCTCTAATATTGGGACGAGCTTGACAGATTTCATTTCCAACTCGAGTATGACGATACTAAAGGGTAGTACGTATGTCGTTGAAGTATCTGAATTTCTAGCACTAGTTACGGGCTGTAGAGCCTAATATCACACCTATCGTCGTAGGAAGAAGGTGTGACGAGGTCGAACATTTGGTTTGGTTTCCTGAAACTCAAAATGTTCTCAGTGAAATCATACTGATCGCTTACCAGATACAGCTGTTCGTCAGTCGCACCCGGCAACAATGTACTATGCACAGCATGTGTGTCTTCCTTTCCAAGAGCAAGATGCGAGAGAGCTATTGTCATTTAACTCTTGAAATGTATTCAGATCTGCTCTGAGCATGAGACAAGCCTGAGGTCCACTGGGCTGAAGCCATGATGACGACGATGTGCTTTGTATCGATCTTCTCCTTATTGCATTTATGTTCCATCCTGCTTGATACACATCGAGCCCTCAGGCCATTGACTGAACACAGAACCCCTACAACCTCCCACAAACCCTCGCAATGACCACCCCAATACCTCTTCCTCCATACATCCTCCTCGCCTCCAGCATCGGTCTCTGCCTCTCCACAACCTTCACAGTCGGTTCCCTCGGTTTCTCCGTCTTCGCCATACCAGCCATCCTTCTCCCCTCCAACGCACCCCTAATGCCACCACTAGAGCTCGTGACCGAAAAGTCAAAACGCCAATTCAACACCGAACAGGCACCGAAACAGCCGCTCGACAGTGGTGTAGGAAGTGAGACGGAATCCTTACTTGACGCGGGTGCTACTGGCAAAGTTCTCAGAAGAGATGGAGGTGAAACAGGTAGTCCGAGCTCGAGCAGTTACCTCTTACGACAGTGGTTCCATCTCTTCAGTAAAGGGATGCATAATATGCCGCCGGCAGCGATCGGGAGTGCTGTGTGCTACGCCTTTTGCGCGGCGATGTTACCTGGCTCGCTGGAGAATATCTTGGTGAAGAGGGGGTTGTACGTATTGGCCACGACTTTGAGCGCAGGAGCTATGGTCTTTACGTTGACGGCTCTGAAGCCTATTAATGAGGCTTTGCATGAGAGAGTCAAGGAAGTGGTTGCACAAGAGCAGGGGTCTCATACTGCTGATGTGGATGATAAGCGACGCGAGACTGAGTCTCTGATCAGAGAGTGGGGCAGGATGAATGCTATACGATCTACACTGCCTGTAATGGCTGTGTTGAGTGCGATGGTGGCCTTGGTTGTGTGAACTTCCGACTTGTGGACCTCTCTGCCATCAAGATCTTCCTCCGTTCCTTCAAATAGGCCGTCGACCTTCCGTCGTTCTTCGAGACACAAGATCTTCACTACGATCGTCCTGCGTTCGGTCAATATATGATACGCTAGAAGAGCTCGGAAGCCAGTGGAATTGGCTTAATAAAATAGAGCACAACGAATGGAGTACCGGTAACAGACTTGAACCCATCACAGATAGGTTTCGAGCAATACCTCCCTTCGTCTGTGGATTAGTCATGAGGTCGGCTGGCATCTAGCTCAGATACAAATCTCAATCAAATCGAAATATTATTCGAGCGTGTCAGCTTCTCTGTTATTCCTTCTTCTGAAATAAATGCGAAGACAATTCAAATGTCTGCGGACTCCACGATCAAGCCATCGAATCCCTCTTCGAAAGCCCTTCCTGCTGTACGTTGTTGAGATGGGTCGAACAAATATGTCGGACTGCACCTTCTGCCTGGATTTGTGCAGGCGAGAAGCAATATGTTTTGTGACCAATATAGGGCGACCACCTCGTACCTGCCTTCAGCTCATTGAGCGATAGTCAGAATTGAAAGTAATGCGTTGAGATGCTAACATGGCTGCTGTGCTGACTAAGCAGTCTACCGAACCTCGGCCAGATAAATATGGTGAGTAAACAATTCATTGAAGCGTCCTGAGATGTGATTTCGAACGTGCTGCTTTGACGACGATGCATATCGATTTCTGTACTCAAAGTTGAGAGCAGGCGCTTCAGCTTACCCTCGAGGTACGCAGCCCTCGATCCCTTGACTGGTCTTTCAATCGACCTTCCATTATGGCAGAATTTACCATGTCTCAATCATTAGCAATCGACCAGATCCCTGACCAACCAGGAACATTCGTGTCCCGCACCCTTCCTCAAAGACTAGGCAACTCCGCACCAATAGCTTACGGAGGGTGCACAGCAGGTCTCGCCGTACACAGTGCATGCAAGACCATCGACAAACCAAATTTCCACATTTATAGCGTGCTAGGAACATTCCTCGGCCCAACACGTATCGACAGACATGTTACCTGTCGCGTAACCAGGACGCGTGACACGAAGACATTCTGCACTCGAAGAGTTGTCGCGAGCCAGGAAATGGACGATGGGAGCGAGAGGACGTGTCTGGACATATTTGTAGATTTCCACGTTCTTGAGCCGGAACTATTGCGATATTCTGCATCGCCAATGAAGAGCTATGGAGCAGGTCCGGAGGATCCAGCAGCGACGACCAAGAGCTCTGATCTGGCTCATCGACTGGTGAAGGAAGGTCATATCCCGCAGACGCAAGCGGATAAGCACACTGAAATGTTCGCGCTCTCCGAAAAGCTCATCGAGACAAGGCACTGCCTGGCTGGAGTGTCTGGCCAGAACTTCTCAGGTCTAGCCAAGAACATCACCACAACGCAGCATCAGCTTTCCATTCCCGAACGAACATCCGCAGAGTGGATGAGGCTGAGACGACCGCTCAGTAACGAAGCTGAATACGCTGCAGCTTTGGCGTTCATCATGGATGGTGCCCTGAGCTTCCTACCCCTCAACCTCGACAAGAAGAACTTTGACGATGTGGGTGCGTGCTCGACGCTGGATTTTGCACTGAGGATTATGGTTCCAGGGTTTAAGTTGCACAAATGGCATCTAAGAGAGAGGAGGACCATTGCTGCTGCTGTGGGTAGGAGCTACTCAGAGAGCAGGTTATGGGATGAGGCGGGTAACATGGTGGCTGTTGAGAACCAGAGCTGTATTGCTCGACCAAGACCAGATCAGGCGAAGGCGAGGATATGATGCGTCAGAGCAAGTGTGCACGGTGTAAGCTCATGCGAGACATCACGACCCTCTGGACTGGAGCCTTCTTGTCGTTGAAGTAGTAGACATAGAACCACGGATACAAGGCAGCTAGTGAAGTTATGTCCTTGCATCTTTTATGCTCTGGTATTCGAGAGCATGTCTCTTCGAAGGCAGTGCATCCTGTTGCAATTGGAGAGTATGTATACGAGCACTTACCTTGTGACCGAGGTCAACATGATGATCTTGTAGATCACTTCAGTGGATCATATACTTTGTTCGTTCCGATTGTCCGTGTCAAAGCGGCGACGATGGCACAAAAGACGTGCTTTGTTAGCACGAACATACAGGCTGCAAAAGGCACCTTTTTGATGATAAGCATCATGCTGTACAAAGATTAAGATAAGCATCAGGTCCATGTCGCCGTTCACTGGCAACGGTCTCTGCCCTGGCACACCTGAAAGCTTGATGACTCCAGTCTTCGAGGCCGCTAACCATTTCGTGAACTTACTTTCAGCTTCCAGGAAAGCAGCGCCGCAACTCTTACAGCCAGACTTGCCGCGACATCCGATGAGTGCTGCAGAGAACACCGGAACACCTTGAGCTCGGGTGGACGTGTATTCTCCTCACCGTGATGGGTCAATGTGGTGAGAGGCTCTGGTCAGCAGGACATTTAAGTTCACAGTAACAGAGGAAGCTGCGTACGTACGATGCAGAATAAGCACTTATTCTCTCGTGGCGCGTCTGTCGATGGCTCCGTATATAACAGCTTACCCTGTACAAGTCTCGGACAGGTCAACCTGTAACACACTCCCATACTCACGATGACCAACGCAAACGGGGCTGTCCCAAGCTACGTTCTGAACCGTGATGAGCTTGCTTCAACACGCCTCACGCTCCAACACTTTGCCATGATCAAATGGCAATCTTGGATGCTTCATCCAGATATACAACATGCCCTCTCCAATACTCCTCACCCGAAAATTGCTGACTTGGCAAGTGGTAATGGCATCTGGGGTATTGAGTTGGCAGAACAGCTTCCCAGTGCAGAAATCTTGTGTACAGACATAAGTGACGAACAGTTTCCGGCGCCTCTTGCTCGACCTTCAAATACAAAATTTGAAGTCGCTGACCTGTTCGAGCCACCACCGCAGAATTATGTCGGATATTACGACGTTGTGCATTTACGGCTGACGGTCGGATGGCTGCTCGATCGTAACTGGAGAGTACTTCTGCGCAACGTGCTCAGTATGTTAAAGCCAGGTGGCTGGATTCAGTGGGAAGAGGTGACTGCTGCGCCTAGCAAGAACGGCACATCCGGACCAATGTGGCTAATTGATTCTGACTGGACCATGACTCGGGGTTGCCTACCACATATGGAAAAGACAATGAAGTCAACCGGCATGTGGACAGCAATCGAATGGGTGCACACACTGCCGGAGGTCTTCAAGCAATATGGCTTGCAGGATGTAGCTACCTTTGAACCGAAGCCGAGGTCTTCTGTCTTACAGCCGCAGAAAGAACTGCTGCGATGGTTTCTGATCGAAATAGCTGAAACGATGGTCAAGAACGGAAGGGCAGAAGCAAAGGAACAACTAGCGTCGGACCTTGAGGAATTCGACAACTTCTACAAGAGCGGAAAGGCAGTGACGTATGGATGGTGTGTCGCTCTTGGAAGGAAACCGTTGTAGGACCACAAATTCGTGGAGCATCAACGTGGCTGCACCTGCTGAAGATAGGGACAAAACGATAGTCGGTTGCTCTTCCCACATTTTTTCGACTAGCGCACATCCACACGACGTTCTACGCCCTTCCGGCTCACGCAAAGGTATTTTACGCCTTTGTACGGTTTAACACCTTCACCCAAACCCTTTGACTTCTTGACATCTACCAGAAGAGCTTCGACCTTGATTCCACTAGGCAACCATCCCTTGACTGTAAAACTCGTACTTATCGTCTGCGGCATCAGATTTCTTTTGCTACTTTTCTTGAGCATACCATTTTCTGTGTTCGATGATGCTGTTGTTGTACTGTCATAATATTCGGTCATTGTTGGATCGTCAGTCCGCTCATCGTTGGTCAAAGGTCCAGCAACAGTCCCTGTAAGTGTTGCTGTGCCGCTGACTGAGCCTTCACGAGCGTTGGTCGGAACCTTCCACTCCACCCTCTGTGATGCGTGGTCGAATTGTGCGTCACCTCGACTAGGTCGGAAATCCATCACAGTCCGTACATCTGGTGGAAATGCAATAGAGACACTGACTGCTTCAGTGGTGGGGGCTCCGGTTGTGCCACTATGAGGACCACCGAAAGAAAATGGTGCGTTACTTGAAGACCCAACGCGACCTGCACCCAGACTACCGGGTCGTCCAGCAGCGGTTGAGGAGGACTTCTGCATACCAGGGAAATTGGTATTTAATGTAAGCTTAGCTTCGAAGTCGTTCCCAGAAGGACCAAGACCAGTTCTTAAATCAACAGTGGCCGGAAGGAAGAGTTTGCCTTGAGACCCCTGAGCAGGCAAGTGATCATCATGTAGGCTGTAGGGTAGCAGGTCGACCTCATAACCTGCCAGCATGAACTTTCCATCCGGTGGAATGAAGCTCAGATCTCCCGGCTTCTCTTTCCACCTGTTCAGCCGTACACAAGGATGAAAGCTAGGCAGGGACATCGTCCGTGCTATACCACTTGATTTCTGCGATGAAGTGCCACCTAATGCAGAGAGTGACAAGAGAATGTCTGGCACGCCCGAGATTTTGGCAGTGAAGACGATGGAGCCATTTGCGCGTGCTGAGATAGGATTGCCAGAGGGTGCGAACACAACAGATAGAGACTCTATGATATCAACGTAGAGTTCGTTGGATGTATGCCGAACGTTGGACTTGCGCCAGGGAATGGAAGGCTGGTTGGTGAGGGACACGGGTGATGGACGTAACGACGATACTGCAGATTGACCTCCAAGTACAGGAGAAGAACTAAACCAATATCAGATATGTCTGTGTATACACAGGCTCGAAAACAAACCTTGATATGCCGACCTGCTGGAACAACTTTCCAAGTGTAGATGAGACCTCGACAAACTCTCGTAAAGCATTCGGTTCAGTGTTGCATATTATACCCGCATCACAGACTTCTGCCAATATTTGAGCCACGACCTCGTAGTTTTCCTCGATCTTTTGCGACAGAAGAGGACTCCCCAGGAAGTCCTCAAGTATGTCGGTTATTTTACGCAGGAATTCGAGGATTGCGAGAGCTGCTGTCTCGACACTGCATATCGCAATGAGCACAAAATTGGCATGTCTGACGGAATAGGCGGTCGTAGGAGGATTGAGGTCAGAGAGATAGAGAACTGCTGGTTGTGGTGCAGTATGGCTGTAGAACGAGGCTCTCAGCTCACTCGCTTTTGGTGGTCTTCCATTGTAGATGTGGTCGAGTATGCACTGCCTAGAGCCGTCAGCGGTATACTGCTTGCCTCGAGCAGGTGGAACTACCTCTGATCATCGAAGATGAACAGCGCTTCAAGAAAAGCTGTCATGACGGTACATGTCTGAACGTTGTTGCATACTCGGCATTGGGGTCATTCGCAGAAGTCGCCAAGTTTTGGGTTATGCCACCATTTCTTTTATCTCTTGTCCTGCTCACACACTGCCCCTTTGCTCTGTTCTGGGCAAAGCCTACAGGACTACTTCATACATGTAATCTATCGTCTGTGTAAGTACGATAGATGTTCGTCGCTGGATTGGCATAGCCGAGGTTAAGTATCTTCTGCGAAGCTTTGGCAGACTACAACATGTTGTCCATCAAGGTAACGACCATGAACAAACACAAAACAACAATATCTAGACCTGTTGTTTGCACTCCGAGCCATTGTCTCGAGGTGTTCGTTCAACAAAACTAATGACCAATCTGGACATCACTACCAAGGCTGCATACAGAGCGACCTAGTAATTCCAATCAAGGCAACAGCGTGCAGAGCAGGAACTCGATGTATTTACGAGGCTGCTACCAATTCCAATGAGAGATGGCGAAACAGCAAGAACCTATATACACGCCAGCACCAAACTTTCGTACCCATCTGGACAGCTTTCGAGATTATGTAAATAATACTTACTGTACCAATTGCCAGGACTACTCTCAACTCCATGACTTCTCTATTACCAGACTCAATGACTTCTGGATGTCCGTCTGGCGGTACTGCGGTGTTCGCGCATCTGTCCAGCCTACGAGAGCTCTTGATAACGACAATCCGCCAATCTTTCCTCCCCCACTATTTTTCCCCGAAGCGAGGATTAACTATGCAGAGAACATGTTATGTGGTACGGCTGATGCGGTCGCTGTGATAGAGATGAACGAGAACAACCTGCATGGCCCTAAACGGTATACGTGGAGGGAGCTGAAGACACTGGTTGCAAGGTATGCAGGTGTGCTCCGGCGACAAGGTGTTGAAAGTGAAGACGTTGTCGTTCTTGTGGGTGGAAACTGTGCTCGCTCGTTGGCAATTTTGCTTGCAGCCGCCAGTCTGGGTGCTGTTTTTGCAAGCTTTCAGACGGACATTGGGGAGAAGGCATTGATCGATCGTGTTGGACAGCTTCAACCGAAACTTATGCTTGCAGAATGCATTTACCGCTACAATGGTAAAGTCAACGAGATTACACAAAAGGTCACCAATGCAGCAAAGGTGACGAAGTGCAAGCTTGTCATATCCGAGGCTGGAGACCAGATACCTGAAGGTGCTCAGAAACTTGATAATCTTATTGGAAGAGAGAACGACAACGACTTAAGATTTGTACAAGTCCCGTGCAACCATCCCTTCGTGGTTATGTTTTCTTCTGGCACAACAGGTCTACCAAAAGGTATCGTACACAGCCAGGGTGGACTCATGATCAATGGTATGAAGGAGCACTTGCTGCACAACAATCTTGGGCCTCAGGATATAGCACACCACTATTCCGGCGTCGGCTGGACCTTGTGGAACATCTCAATCGGCGCCATGTTTACAGGAGCTGCGATGGTCCTTTATGATGGCTCACCGTTCTATCCGAACTGCGACGAGTTTCTACAGGCAATTTTCGCATCAGGTGTCACTGCCTATGGCAGTAGTCCGCGGTACTTCTCTGAGCTGCAGAAACGTGGTGTGAGACCAAGAAAATATGCTAGTAAAATGCACACTGTGCTCTCTACTGGCGCCCTCCTGACTCCTGGTACAGCCAGCTGGATAGCTGAAGCCTTTGGACCTGTTTGTCAGATCGGATTCTCTGGTGGCACCGAGTTATGTGGCAGTTTCATGACAGGTACCCAGTCTCTTCCTTGCTATCCTGGCGAAATCACTGTGAAAGAGCTTGGTATGGCCGTCGATGTATTTGGACCCAATGGGCAATCGTTGCCAGAAGGCGACGCTGGCGAACTGGTCTGTAAGAAGCCATTTCCGAATATGCCTGTGAAGTTTTGGGACGATCCAGAAGGGAAGAGATATCGCAAGAGCTATTTCGAGGCCTTCCCAGGTAAGTAGAATGATCGACCGAAATATTTCAGGTACTGACTGCGAGCAGACGTTTGGACACATGGGGATCTGATACGAATTAATCCAGATACGAAAGGTATCTACGTGCTGGGTAGAAGGTAAGTGGATGGTTCGATGTATTGTGTTCCAAGCTGACTTCTTCCGCGCAGTGATGGAGTTCTCAACCCATCGGGAATCCGATTTGGCACTGCCGAGCTATATCATGTTCTTACATCCTCTCAATTCTCGTCCGTTATCCTCGATGGTCTGGCAGTTGGTCAACAACGTAACACGACCACATATTCAGATCCCGCGGAACGTGTCATACTCTTTCTCAAGGTTTCTCCCAAATACAGCACGGGTTCGACACATCCCAACGAGTTGCTGGTTCGGGATCTGAAAGAGAGAATATCGCAAGATCTTAGCAAGCGCCATGTTCCTCATTTCTTCTTCGAGGCTGATGAGATACCACACAACGCCAATGGCAAGAAAATGGAGATCCAAGTGAAGCAAGTTTGTAACGGTGGAAGGCAGGCACTAAAGAAGATGACATTGACTGAAGCAGAGAGGGAAATGCTTGAGAAGTTCGTGAAATTCTATAATCTCGAAGATGTGATGAAGAGGAGTAAGCAGACATTGAAGCTTTGACGATTTGGGAGATACATGACCGAGCATCTGTTCAACAAAGCTTCGTGTTCGTGCATACCACCTACTGCGCCGTTATTCCACAATGCTCTGCCAAGCGGATGTGCAAAACTGCACAAAATTGTAAGCACGACTCGGAACCCTTTAGTAGCACACCCTTAGTCAAGAGCGACCTAGTTGCGATCAAACAACAACTTGAAAGTGCTAAAGACTTGCAGCCAGACAGGCCGATCTAACTAAACGTAAAGTGCACAATATGTAGCTCCTGGCGTAGGGCTCCGGCTTTACTTGTGTAGTGGCATGATCATTAATTGACATGGGCTCGTTTCACCATACATGTTTGCGTCCTGGTGTTTACCCACACTAAGTCTTGGTTGCGACTCCCAGGATTCGAGTTATTATCCTGATGGCCCATCACTCAAATCTACGTCCAATGCGTGACCTGGCTCGCTGTAATAAGGTACGTGTCAGGAAATATACAGCACGAAATTCGCCACGCTAGTCGCCTCATGACTTTATTGGTTTCGTCAAGCATGCAGAAAGTCGCGTATTCGCATGTATCCGCCCTCAGAATCGCGTACGATACCTTCACATCAGCCGATGCCGCAGAGTAACATCGGCTCACGTGCTGGGACATCAGGGCCATATATAGTCCGATCATTGGTCTCATCAGTAGCATGCTAGAACAATAAAAACGACCCAAGGGACAAATATGGCGGGCAGAGAACCAACAGTTGCTGTGATCGGTTTAGGAGCGCAAGGACTCGTTACGCTCAAGAATTTGCTCGAACAAGGATTTAATGTTACCGGCTTCGACAGAAACGACTATGTCGGTGGTCTGTGGCACTACTGCGCAGAGCATCGCATTTCTGTGCTGCCATCGACAGTCGTCAACAGCTCTAGGGAGAGAACATGCTTCACTGACTTTGCATTCCCCGAAGGTACGAGTCCTTACCCTACTGCGACAGAGATTGACCAGTACTTGAATGCTTACTGCGATAACTTTAACCTCTGGCCTCACCTTCGACTGAGCACAGGAATTCAATCCATCCGACGAGATAATGTTCGGAACGGATGGCTTCTTACCGTCCAGTCAACAACTTCCACATCAACCGAAACTCTCTTCTTTGAGAAGTTGGTCATGGCCTTAGGTCCGCACAGCCGACCAAACTGGCCCAGCATTCAGGACAGTGACAAATTCAAGGGCGAAATTGTCCACTCTATACAGTTCAAAGGGCCCTCGAATTTTAAGGGGAAACGCGTCATGGTTGTTGGTGTCAGTAATACGGCAGCTGACACCAGCACTTCACTCGTCAACGTTGCTGACAAGATCTATCTTGGACACCGAGATGGGGCAGTGGTTGTGCCACGATATCTCAAGAGCGGAAAGTCCCTTGACCATGATCTCACCTACAGAACGGGTCTTATCAAAGATATACTAGAGTGGTACTTTCCAGTTGCGTCTCGCAAATTCCTAGATAGCATGATTTCCAAGATCTCGCAGTCAGAATTTGGAGCAATGGATCCTGCATGGCGCCTAGAACCACGACCTTCTCTACTACACCAAGTACCTACCGTCTCAGAGACTTTGGTCCCCACTCTTCGTCAGGGAAACATCGTTTCTACTGCAGCGCCTAAACGTATAGTTGGGGACTACGACGTTGAGCTTGATGACGGGACTGTAGTGCAAGTCGACTCCATCATCTGTTGCACAGGCTATCGGCTTGACTTATCCATACTTGGCGAGCACGATCCAACACTCACAGAGCCAGGTCAGCACAATAATCTTACACCACAATTGTACCAGAACATATTCTCTTTACAATATCCACACTCGCTAGCTTTCGTCGGTATTGCTATCACTCTTCTTCCGGCCTTTATTGCCTCAGATCTATCAACGATGGCACTAGCACAGCTGTGGTCCACCAAGCCAGGAAGTCCAAGTCTACCAGCACAGGTTGAAATGGAGAAGTGGTACGCTGAGCATCTGAAATGGGTTGCAGCAGTCCGATCCATATCACCTCGTGGCAAGTTTGTCAAGTTGAGTGTGCAACAAGGAACGTGGATCAATTTCATTCAGACGGCGGCTGGTACGAACATTGAAGAGAACCTGGGTTATGGGAGCTTGCAAGCGTGGAGATACTGGCTTAGCAACCCAAGGTTTTGTAAGCTGCTAATGGATGGTATCTGGAGTCCTCATATATATCGGCTTTTCGAAAGTGACCGGAGGAAAACGTGGCCAGGAGCAAGGAGTGCAATTGGGAGGGTCAATGACACTGTCGCAAAAGAGCGAAACCAAAGGAAACAACTCGTGATCCAGCAGGAGAAAAGTGGAAAGCTTTCGTAATGCTGCCATACCACTTCATATAGCAGATCGTGTGCTCCTCGATGTTGCTCTGGGGAAGGGAGACCACGACCTCGCAAGGTATTTCGTGGTACCTGTGAAAATCCAGTTTATGCAAGCTGGAGAGCCACTTGACACCTAAAGCTCCAGGTGTGTCCGGAGAAACTACGGCGCGCCTAGCACAACCTCGGCTCAATGCTATTGAATGGTATGACACCTCGAGCAGCGCTCCACGAATCCACCAACAAGCTGCCTCTTTGTGCACATCATGATCTTGCACAGCATCCTTCGAGCACGACCAGCACATACTCAATTGAGAGGGCATCTTCTGCCTTTAAACAACTCGGCGACGCTGCGCTTGATTCGTGCGAATATGTCCACATCAGCCACACCACCTAAGCTCACTAACGTTGCGATTAACACAGAACCTGGTATAGCGATCTTGAAGTACAACAGACCGAAGTCCGGCAACGCGCTCAATACACCGACTATAAAGGAAATCTTAGCAGGACTACAGTGGGCAGAGTCGAGCTCGGATGTGAGGGTGGTCATCACGACTGGTGAGGGAAAGCTCTACACGGCAGGGCTGGATCTACTCGATCCTGCCAATCAAGGACCTGATAGCACAATCAGTGATGAATTCATTGATGTTTTAAGGTGAGCTTCTGATAGGGCCTGGAGATGGCTGTGCGAAGTGAGGGCAGTGGACCTACCCTGTCGATTGAGAAGAGGCTTCGTTGGCTATGTCTGCGAGCCTGATAGCATAGCCCTGTTGATTCCAGAGTGGGAACTAACACATGACCGATAGTGAAATCCACAAGACCTTGATAAATTCAAACAAGCTACTCATATCAGCTGTCAATGGACCAGCACCAGGCTGGGGCACTTCATCCCTGGCTCTAACCGATCTAGTCTACAGCACACCAGACGCATTCTTCTTCACACCATTCGTACAATGGGGTCTCTGCGCCGAGGCTTGCTCCTCACATACCTTCAAGACTATCCTCGGTCGCCAAAAAGCATCTGCGCTAATCCTGGCCGGCCAACGCATGACAGCACAAGAACTTGAATCAGCAGGCCTAATTACCAAGATTCTACCGAAAGAGAATTTTCTCGAGGAAGTACTCAAAGTTGCGAGGGACGCTGTGAAACTTCCAGCTGAGAGTCTTAGAGTCAACAAGGAACTGATTATGCGAGGGACGAGAGAGGAGTTATTGCGAGTCAATGATGTGGAGTTGGAGATGTTGCGAAAGCAGTGTCGTGGTAAAGAGTCCAAGGAAGCGATTGCTAGTTTTGCTGAGAGTCAGGCAAGGAAGAAGAAGGAGAAAGAGAAAGCGAAGCTGTGAGCGCTGATATCTCTGCTCTCTTGATTTGTGCTGTCTGCAAGTCAAGAGGAATCGCGGTGGCATTAAATATGTATAGAAAAAGAATGAATATGAACAAAATGCAAAGCATGCAGATGTGGCGTGTTTCTCTAGGCAGACGTTACGTATTTATGTCATGAATTCCAGATCCACTCGACAGCACGTGTCGCCTTGTTAAAAAAAAAAAAAAGAACGGTCAGTAGAATGACCATATGTGGTGACTTCTATCTACAAAGCTAGAAACCATCGTCTGGACACAAAGAGAAAGAAGCAAACAAAGAAATCGAGGAAGAAGCATACACAAGCAAACCAGATTGAGCGGCATGACGTACACTGCTGCAAAGGTACATATGTATTGTTAGCACATTTTGTCCAATTGGAGTGGGACGAGCTATAGCAGAATCCATTTCTTGCCTTTTACCAGAGATGGCCGTGGCTTCGCCCAAAATACTCCATTCAAACAATCTTTGGAACTATCATTCTCATGTGCGAGAGCGAAACCCGCCTGTGCGTGTGGATTCACTAATGCATATTTGTTTTTGTACCTTTTTTTTGCAGGATGAGCGGCTGTTTTAGAGAAAGAGGACGCAGGTTCGATCTGTGGCTTGTTGAGATTGACGGAAGAAAAAGAGGACGTTCAGATTAAGTGCCTTGCAGCCTTATGATGGAAGACAGCCCTTGGTATTAGTTTTTCTTGTAGTATCATTTACAGCTAATCCTGTACATTCTACGCCTCACAGCATCGACGCGTTAATGCTTCGTAAGCCATCGTCTGTCCCTCGAAAGGACACGTGTATTTCTAGAAACCTAGCATTTCCTGCAAATCTCCCCTTTCAGCATGAAGCCGAAGCACATGCTCGATGAAAGGCGCCCAGTCTTCCTGTCTCCGTTCACTCTCTAATTTTCTCGCCTGAATCTGCTGCTCAGTGCTAGTGCCTCGATCACTTGTCCTCGTAAGACTCATCAAACTACAATTCTGGCCACTATTGAATGCCTCCTGCATCCGAGGTATCAGGTCAGTGGCTGCAGCATTCAACCAGGTCTGTTCTGGAGTTGGATAGCCTAGACAGGTAGGACGTGACTGCATGCCATCCATTTTCCAGACCACACCCTGATGAGAGAGGTAGGCGACAAAGTGAAAGCCAGCTTCGTCCTCTTCGTCTGCGTCAGATATCGACTTTCGCTTCCTTCGTTGTGTGAAGGTCGTCTTCCCTCTCTTTCGTTTCGTGCTGGTGCTGTTGCCATTGGTTTGTTGTGCAGCTTGCTTGTCACGCTTTGCTTGGGCCTGCATTCTTGCTTTGTGTTTCTGAGCGTCTTCCTTCAGCAAGACATCGACGATCATGCGATCGAGCTGGGTAGAGAAGGAGTTGTGAATATTTCGAAATTGAGGATTTGTGTCAAGAGCTACACCCCGTTGTTTTGCGGAAAGAGACAAGGTGGAGTTTTTGAAGGCGGACAAGATCTCACTAAGATCCTTATCAGCATGATCTGAAGTGGAGTTCATAAGGATGTTCATAAGAGCAACGGTGCCGCAACTGTACTTCGATATTTGATTAGCAAACCATGGTTCCGCTGGACGAGCTGCAGATGTTGGTCGTCCAGTGTCGGCCTCTTCGGGAGGCACGTAACGTGCGAGAAAGATCAGGCCTAGGATATCTGAGGCATTTGCTTCGAAAATGAGTTGTTCGATGGCGGTAACTTCGTTGACCTGTACGTTTGGAACACCCCACTCCTCAAGGATGATGGTGAAGATATCGGGGTCGTTTTCTAGCTCAGCCCAACCCGTCCATGCTGGAAGCTCGGAAAGAGCCTTGTTCTCATCCTCATCCTCATCCTGTCCAGCCTCTTGCGAAGGTTGTAGCACTGATACTTGCTGAACATGTCCTTTCTCTGCAATCTCGATCATAGTGGCAGGTAGATGTGTATCATTACTGTGAACATCGCAGGGCAAAGACTGAACACAGCCGCCACCTCTCAGGTTGGTGTCGGTAGGAACCTGGTCGAAGTTCCAGTTCTGGAAAATGGCGGCTGTTAGTGGCATTGACGCAGCCACTTTGCTATTGAGCTTCAGTGGCTCTGTCGAGTGATCCGGACATGTACTCTGGGCTTGTCTGAAACCACCTTTCGCCCGGCTTCCTACTCTTTCATCGGCCTCGTCCCAGTCACCGCCCATAATGTGACCAGATGTATTGGGGAAACTTTGCGCCAGACTGCTTCATTGGAGTCCTGGGAATTAGAAATCTGGGAAGTATTGTTGGGCGAGAACTTCTTCAAAGTGCAGAATAGTGTGTCAGCCTCGCATAGAATACAGCAAACTCGTTTCACTGGGAGTAGTGATGTAGAGTGAAGTGTGTGGACTAGTAAAATGAAGGCAGGTGCGATTGTTTGTATTGGTACGTCATTTTGTGATAAATTTCGACGCGTAAAGTGTGTACTGACGCGGTCGTGGAGGCTGCAATGTAAAGTACTGAATGCACAATAACACTTTCTACAATCAACAAACACGACCACAAAGTATTTTGCTACACGCACGATCTGTTGTCTTTTCCCTATACTCGACTCAAACCGATAATACAAGCAACTGATTGCCGAACACATCCACGAGTCCTTCCTCTTCCTCCAAATACCATCAACTGCGAGCGAAATTAATCAAGCCTCTTCGAGATCAGCTGCCGCATGAAGAGATGGACAGAACACCCCGACTTCGGTCGACGTTCCCCGAGACACCAAAGACCACACCAGGCTACCAATTTAAAAGTTCACCTTTAGCCACACCGACCCCAGCACAAAAACGACAATCCATAATACGAAAGCCCGTTATCGACGCCAGCCCTAATATTCCATCTATCTTTCGCCGATCTCAGATACCTGAGAACCTCGTCGATGCTCCTACACAACGTTTCTGGGCTGTCAGCCTTTATGTTGCCTGCTTGGCCTGGAAATGCTATGACTGGGCCACCTCAGATGGCTACAGTCCAGCCGACTCGACCTGGCTATTCATGAAATGGTCGCTCCTGGATGGCATGTTCTTTACTGCTCTGCCACTGTTACAGATACCATGGCTGGAGTGGTCCTTCGGGACCTTCGTCCTTGTCTGGCTAGCACATGCAGCTGGCAATTTCTGGTTCATGTTCAACTTCTCCATTCCGTGGGTTGGTCTGCTCACCTACTTTGGCAGGATGGTCTACAATAAAGAGCTCTCGCTGTCCGACACAAGAGTTGATCCTGGCCATCTCGTTGATCAGTCGGAAATCATTCTCGGGAAGCAAATCATTAATCTCCTGCCTGAGGGCTCTGCCATTCTCAACCCAGCTCAACTCTCCTACTGTCTGAATGAGAACACAAGAATCGTAAACATCCCTATCCAGATCAATCAGACTACTCCTGACTCCATCGAGCTGTTGCGCTACGATCTGGAAACCGACGAGGTCGAAACTATCCTGATTGGATCTAAACAGGCTAAGAAGTTAAAGAATGAGGCCGACCGTTCCTTCGACAAGGCCGATGTTTCCACCCCCAGAACATTGCAATACCCAGTCTCGAAGAAAGGCCTGTATCGCTTGCAGAGGGTCATCGATAAGTCCAAGCTCGAAGTCAGGCGCAGAAGTAACGATGTTGCTGTTGTTGCTTGTCCTCGTGCTTCTGTTTCTGCTGCTGCCCCAGACCGTTGTACTGGTGATCTGAGTGGCATCTCCTTGCATGTTACTGGTGTCCCACCTTTCCAGGTCAAATATAGCAAGCAGATCAATCACAGCAAATTTAGCTCCATCACGCAGACTATGCAACCTTCAGAGGCTGAAGACTCTGGTATCGTGTTGGATCCGAAGAGACCACATATGGGCTGGACACAATCGAAAACTCTGTCATTCGAGATCAACGAATCCTTGGCTCAGAACGGTACATGGATGTACTCCATCGAGGAGGTCACCGATGGCTTGAAGAACAAGGTCATCTTTGATACCGAGTCCACCAAGAAGTCGCTCGCTGTCAAGCATTTGCAGGCCATCACCGTTCACAAGCGTCCTGTTGTGAAACTGCACGGCTGCGACGCAGAGCATTATCTGAGAGTAGCAAGGGAGGACACGGTTAGAATGCCGCTCCATATTGCTCCAAGAGGCGAATTGCCCCTCTCGGATTGGCCACTGCGGATGAAATACACCTATACTGCTGAGAGTGAGGAAGTCGCAGCTATTGAGGAGTTCACTCTCGATGTCAAAGATGACAAGGATCTACCCGCAATTAGTAAAGCTGGTCGTTACGAGGTTGTCGCAATCGAGAGTCAGTTCTGCTCGGGTGAGGTCAAGGAACCGTCCTCCTGCCTGCTCTACAACCCACCTCGTCCATCTTTGGCCTATCAAATCGAAGAGATCTTTGACAAATGTGCTGGTCGACCTATTGGAGCTATTGTCAATTTCGACTTTACTGGCACTCCTCCGTTTAAAGTGCGGTACGAGGTCACGAAAGCTGGGGCTGGTACTGTTCCCAAGGTGGCCGAGTTCAAGGGCATGCGAGGTCAGCTGGAGATTCGTGAACGATCCGCTGGATCCTACAAATACCGGTTCAACTCCATCTCTGACGAAGTGTACAGTCCCATCACAATACGCAGCGATGAGAACACCTTCGAGCAGAATATCAGGCCACCTGCTGAAGCATTCTTCCAAAGTGAACCTACCAACAAGCCTTACTGTCTCGGCGCTCCGGTTCCGATCAACGTCAAGCTCCTTGGAGAGGGTCCTTGGACGTTGTATTATGAGCTTGTTCATGCAGGCAAGCGAACAAAATTCACAGCACACTCCGACAGTGACACCTTGGTCATCGAGGTACTGCCGCAAAAGGAGGGTGGCAAATACATAATGGTCTTGACTGGTGTACAGGATTCTTCGAAGTGTAGGACCGCTCTGAAGGAGGAACGTCACGTCGATATCAGACCAGAACAACCACGAGTCGGGTTTGGGACTATTAACAGCAAGAGATTCGTGGAGGCCTTAGAGAGCAAGCAGGTCAAAATGCCACTGCAGCTCAAAGGCTTGGCCCCTTGGACTGTCAAGGTTCAAAACGAACGTGGCGAGCGAGAGCACGTTTTCAATGATGCCAACTCGTACATCATAGCAGACATAGCTGGTCTTCACCAAATCGTGTCCGTTTCTGACAGCTGTCCTGGCATAGTCGACCCTAAAGCAGACAAATTCGAGATATCCTGGATCAAACGACCCGGACTCTCTATTCAGGACAGTACTGTAACAGACCAGGGCAAGCGAATCTTCCTCAAACAGGCAGTCTGTCAAGGTGAAGGTGATAGTCTTAGCCTCGTACTGTCTGGACACTCACCATACCACATCAAATATTCTGTCAAGGCAGAACCTGCCAGGGGTCAAATGGCCATCAGCAACAAACCACTCTCAATCGCTAACAACTATGCTGCCATCAACATGGATACGTCCAAGGCAGGCCATTACACTTACACATTCAACGAGTTGGCAGATGATCGCTATACAGATAACAAGAAGCACTTCTTGCCTTTGACTGTCAAGCAAGAGGTGTACGCTTTGCCAAGTGCACAGTTTGCAAGTGCGGGCAGGACTTACGGTTTCTGTAAGGATGAGTCTGACAGCCCTTCGGAAACCGAACACGAAAACATTCCTATCACACTCACTGGTGTGCCTCCATTCAGTATAGACATAGCTGTTCGCCATCATGGAAAGGCAAAGTTTGAGCCGTCAGTCAAGGTCCGTGAGATCTTGTCAACCTCATACTCCTGGTCCCTCTCACGTGCTTCACTTCCACTAGGCACTCACCACATTCAAATCAAGGGCATAAAGGACGGTCGTGGCTGCGAGACGATCATCGACAATCCGTCTACAATCTCTGCTCGTGTCTCTGCACCTCCTCGTATCGTTCCTCTCGATACACGGACTGACTATTGTGTCGGCGACCATCTAGCTTTTAGCCTCTCAGGCCAAGCTCCCTTCGACATCTTCTACAAATTCCACGGGAAAGAGCGCAAAGCTAACATAAAAGGCAATGAGTTCCGCCGAATCAGCGATCATGCAGGTGAATTTGTCATCACTGCGATTCAGGACTCTGTCACTGTAGCAGGCTCAGCCAGCAAATGCAAAGCCGCACAAGATATACGCAAAACAGTACATCCATTCCCTACTGTGCGGCTAAGTCACGGCAAAACACTGACAACCGACATACACGAAGGTGGTGAAGTAGAGCTCGTGTTCCAATTTACAGGCACACCACCATTCGAATTCACATACATCCGATCCGAGAACGCGAAGAGTGTGAAGGGCAGACAGCCGCGAGTGCTTGAAACAAAAAGCGACACTAGTGTTGATTTCGTGAAGGTGGTGAGAGCTAGAGATGAAGGAACCTACGAAGTGGTGAGCATCAGGGATGCGCACTGTGCATATGCAGCGCCTGGACTGGCGAAGATGAAGACTGAAGGGAGTCAGAAGTTGCTCATGTAGGTAGGAGATCTGAGAGCACAGAGGAGGAAATATGAGTGCAAGACTTAGGAAGAGGCAGGATTGTGTTTGTTGAACCAGTACTTTGGAGCATGACATTATTTGCATATATGATCGATGTTTTACCTAGTCGGCTATACCGAGTTTTATGGGAGGCATTTTCGAACACTGAAAAATTGTAATAGCTGGATCTTTTCTTGGTGTCTACCGTCCTTAATGACGGATGAAATCAATGAACGACGAAAATACAAAACACCAGGATTTCTCCTTTAACAAATACCTCCTTCTCGCAACACGATACATCGGATCAAGACCCGCACTACACAACAGATGTGAAGGCTACAGTCAATCCTCCGGGTACTCAGCCCTAACATTACTGATGAATCTTGCTGTAGTTGGATCAAACCTGCGGAACCATTTCCCTATCGTCACGTCAAATGTCCTTTCTGCGTCTTCTGCTGAGAACTCTTCGGGGCCGAGGGGGACGACGTTTTCTTGAGCGACGTAGCGGAGGCTTTTGTCTTCGACGCTGGAGGAGAAGTTAGTTGGTGCTTGCAAGAGGTAGGAGAGAACGGATAGACTTACTAGGCGTTAAGGAAGGGCTGTGCCCTCCCCTCTGGTAGGCGGTCGACACCATTACCCATGATCCAAGCTTCCTCCATTTCGCACTTCGTGTCCCAGCCGTAGATGACGGCTACATAGCCCTGTCTTCTGTGTCTGAAGACCGTGCCGATGTGGTACTTTACTTCTTGCTGTCCGCGTCGTCCGTCCGCGGCGTAGCCGTTGATCGCTCGTGCCAGACCATTTCTGTATTGTGGAATCGGCATTTGAGAGTCCTGTCGACGGATATCGCGGACGATAGGATCTTGCATGGCGCGGGATCCGCCGAAGACGCCGATGCCACCGGTTAATGGGAGGACGTACGTTTCGTAGTTGCGGATGTCTACTGGGAAGTGCAGCGCGAAATGTGAGCGGAGGTCATTGAGGGAGGCGTTTAGGGCTTCGGCGGAGTGCGCGAAGAGAACTAGGACGAAGAGAGCAGCGTAGGCGGCATCGTAGATTGAGATGTCGACTCCTGGTGTTGTGGCTGGCGATCGGATGGATCGGATTAGATTGTGCGCACTACGTGACAGTAAGGATCGGGTAGTGGCGGGCATAAGGTAGGTGGCCTTGCGACTGTTGGAGGCGGTAGGATCTATGAAATTGAGTTGTTGTTGGAGTGTGTTAAGGCTGATCGGTTCGTGGGTGTTAAATGGGTCGATGTAAAGATGGGTTAGTTCATGCGGTGGCTCCTCGTCCTCGCCCAACTCAGTGTACATCCTGGTCAATCGTTCACGTAAATCTCGCGGTAATGGTTGGCCATCCAGGTCGACTGGTGTTGATTCTGAATCTGCTGGCAAGCCTGGCTGCACGACAGCGTGAACGTGCATCGGAAAGCTGCACGGTTGAGCTCTGAGTCCAAACTGGCGACACACATAGCTATAGATAACACAGCTGACAAGTGGTAGACTGCTTCGATGTGGACTTCGTGTAGCTAGACCGAGGAACTGGTGTTCAATACTATAGTAGTCCCGGCCCTCGTCAATGCCAACCCACTTCTTCTGTCGGAGGTATTTGGCAATGACCACAGCTTTTGTCCGAGGTGTTTGCAGATCAATGTCGGGGCAATCTTGACGAACTGCCGCAGCCATTTCATCAAGGCGTCGAAACGTATCATCGATATCGCCATGAGCTTCGGTACCAAGCATGAACATATCTAGCGCTGCCAACGCTAATTCAGTCGGATTCTGTATATCGCTGCGGTATTTGATTCTGGTCCATGTTTCGAGAGGCAAAGCTCGATTGACACATCCTAGCATGGCATGGCTCCAGTATCTTTGTGCCAGAACACATTCCTCAGGTGCATCGGTATACATGTGTATTAGTGCGTCTTTAATCCCATATCCATGATCTAGGACCTTGTCGGCACATGCAAGTCGACCAACTGGGTCGTCAACCATAAGCCTGATAGCATGCTCCGTAGCAGTATTTGCTGTGTGTCGAACATTATAGAGATCTTTCCAGTCACGAAAGTTAAGGTCGGCCTTGTGAGCTGCGAGCTCATGGCGAGCGTCCCAGTACTTAAAGTCTCGAAGGACCAAATTACGCCAAAGAAGATGGGAGTTGGCTACCGGCTCGAAGCGCTCGTGAACACTGGAGATGTTGCCAAGGCTTGTGGCGTCGAGGTATTGGAAAATGGCTGTCAGAATCTCTTCTGGAAGTGATTCAAATTTCGGGAGTGGTGGGATAATATTCGACATCTGGCGTTGTAGAGACATGACGCGATACAAGAGAAAGAAAACTACAGCTACACGAACAGCTCATACGATGAATGTACCAGTTTATTAAAAAGAAGCAAAAGGTGAAGTGAAGTGAAGTCGACGGTGAAAGTGTAGGTTGGTCGAATGGCTGGTCTTGTACATAAGTTAGGGCCAATACCGGCAAGTAGCTTTGGTTGTATTTGAAAGACGTCACAAGAATAGCAAATGCTCGTTTGCCACTGAGTCGGCAATGCATTCCTATGCCAGTGCACTTGTACAGGGGCGTGCTTGCTATCAACCAAAAGGTGCTTGTGGACATGCTCGTATTGTTTCACTGATACTATACGTCCATTGTTTCAGGACATCTATGGTACTTCAAAACAATCTTCGTGGTGTATACGAGCTCGAAGTTTGAGGTCCTCAAACTGTTCAGATGAGAGTCCTTGCAGAGAACCTTCCTCTATCTGAACAAGGACAGGCTTACCGTGCCAATCTGGTCTATGCAGCTTTTGCCACGATATAGCAAGGAAGTTGGCGACCTCATCCAGAAATTTAGAAAGAGGATAGTGCTTCCGTAGGTATTGTACTGGTCTTCGTGCTTGAGCTTCAGCTTCAGATTCAGTTTCATCCTGCATGGCAGCAAATGTCGCGAGCACCGCATCAAGTGCATCCTGCCGCATCGTGGTCCACTGTGAAAGTTCTCTGGAGGAACGTAGTGTATCATGGCCTTCTCCATTAGTGCCATCATCATAGAACATCTTCCAGCAATCGTCCTCTAAACTCATGACATGTCGTATTCGCTGCGTGAAATCTTCTGTACGATCGCCAATAGCTTCTGGAATTGTCGCTTGCAATTGAGTCGAAATTCGCTGTATAAGCGCGGGGTTATTAGCATATATATTTCTCACGACATAACCCCAGGCGAAACATTCTTCCAACGCCACTTTAGCGACGTCTGACCCATGCTTGAACAGATCGGGAGCGTCGAGAATTTCGATTGCACCCTGCACCATAAAACTGCATGCCAATTCCATCCATTTCTCGCTCAGTCTTGCTTCAGGTGGCTGTATCTTGTGCGAGAGGTGCATGAAGAAGGGCAGTAAGTGATCGCAAAGATGCAGAAACTGTGGCAGAATGTGATGAGCCAAGCACAATTGTGGGTTCTGTGGTATGCTCTTTTGGTTGCTGCCACCGCTTTCTGACGGGAGATCGCCTCGAGAAGCACCCCCTTCTCGAGTACGGAGCCAGCGAACACGGAAAAAATGGTTAATCAGTTGGTCGCACAACAAGTTGAACTTCATCTCCGACGACACTTGTGGCGCTGCGATTTCAAATCCATCTATCTGCTGGTGAAGCCAAATATTAAAAAGAGTCAGAAATCTCAGGAGATCCGCATCGAGCTTCGTACATTCAGATAGCTTATCGAGTCCGTGGTTGTTGCTGAAAAGCTTGACAAGCGCTGCTATATCAGTCTAAGTCACAACCGAGTAATTTGACACAGCCTTACTGTCATAAATCTCAACGAGCCGAAGTGCTGCTTCAGCAGCGTCTTGCACGTTATGTAGGTCATTAGCTGTGCTCGACATCCGTTGGATTCGGTAGAGGGATCTCAATAAGTGGTGTTGTGCTTCGATCGCCTTGTACAGCACATACTCAATCGCCATCACATCTACGTCGAGCTGATATGCGGGATTGACACATCGTGTGTCGACCATTGTTGCAGGCGTTTCTTTTCATCGCTCATTGTCAGAGCAAAGCCTATAGTTCGGGACTTAAGGACTCGAGGCACTTGCTGTGTTGTGCTTTGCGCAAGCTTGGAATTCCCGGGTCGTCTACGTCGAGAGATCACATGAAAATTCAAGGAGGCACAAATCGTTGTCGACAAGTTGAAACACAATCGACCCTCGAGTACACTTACTCTTCCCAACACGCGTTTGCGTTTCGCGCTGTAAGGACGACCGTACACTATTTATACGCGTTTTCGCGCTAACTTCTTAGTCCTTTCGACGAACCCTCCCAACCTGGAAACTACAGCGTCCATTTGTGGCGTGGTGATGTTCGCACGCTTTGGCTTGCTACCGTATGACACTGCAAATCTGTGGTACAAATAGAGTCTCTTGTACTAGTAATATCCTTCGAAGAAAGGTGTAACATAATAGTGGATACCAGGTCTGGCACCATAAAGAAGCAACCTCTGTAGCTGGTATAACACGACTTTCTTCTAGTCCATCAGGTGCACTTTCACATCCCCTGTGAGTCAATGATCGAATCAGGATTGAAACATAGATCTGAAGTCTGCAATCGCATGCTGATGCGTCCGCGACCCCGTGTCTGTCGCTAGTCTTTGAGTTGTTGTTCTTCTCCTGAAACCCTGACCTGGGAAAAGGTGAGATCTACTGCTTTAGAGGTTCATTTCTTTTTCTTCGACTTTCCACCTTTGCCTTCCTTGGTCTGAACCTCATACCTTGGGGCAGTATGACCCTCAGCTCGAATGTGATCGAACAACCCATTTTTCGAGGTAAATTGTTCGCCGCATACAGCGCAGGCGTGTTTTGAAGCTCCGACAGATGCCTGAGCCTGCTGCGCAGCTTTCTTCGCCTTCTTTTGCTTCGCTTTGCCTAGCTTTGGCGTCTCTGTACCAGACGTTGCAGGAGTGTCGTCCAGTATGACTTCGTTCAGCGGTTTGGCAAGGTTATTCGCACTGCTTTCATCTGCCAATCGATCCGCTACGGCCTCGCGAGGAGCGTAGTCGCCGTCGTGAGCTTCTCCTTCTTCATCGTCTTCGCTTGATCCATTTGTGACTGGTTGTACATCTGGTGGCGGAGAATCTTCCTCATCGTGAACACCTAGTGCTTGGGAACCGTCTGCTTCGTCGTCTGACTCTCTATTTCCGTTTGCCGTACCATGCTCTGATGCTTTGTCGTCCCCCTCTGTAACTCGACCTTCCTCAGGTACCCCCTCTCGTGGCATGGTCTCCTGTGGCTGCAAATCCAGGTCTTCACCCTCCTTCCTCATGTCACGTCTCAGCTCTTTCAACAGTTTGATATGCTTTTTACTCTTCTCATGTGCATGGAACTGCTTCTCACTTTTGAAAGTCTTATCACAGACTACACAATCATATTCGTGCTCTTCAATTTCCGACTCGCTGGAGAATCCACCTTCGTACTCGTCTTTAGCAGGTGTATGTGCCCATGAAGAGATACCACCTTGAGCGTTCTTCTCCATCTCAGCTTGCCTCTTTGCTCTCATCCTAGCCGCCTGGGCCTGTGCCGACTCCCGTAATATTTTCTGTCTCTCGGCCTCTGACTTTTGATTTTTCTGCACCCTCGAGTCTCGCTTACGCACGAATGCAACCAGCGACCGTACCGCGTCGTTATACTCAGCTATTGCCTCATCTCGAATCTTCTGGTTCTCCTTCTCCATCAATCGGCGTATGCGGCGATCGGGTGCGTCCGAGAGTCGATACTGGTCTTTCCAGGAATAGTTTTTCTTGGTTGCAAAGCCAGCCCAAGCACCATAGAATGGCCTTACTATATCCTCGTAATCGTCGTCTTTAGCGCCAAATTCCGGATAGTCTGCATAGTCTAGGTCTTGCCATTGACACGATATATCCTCCTCTTTAGCTAGCTGCTTGAAAAAATCGTTCAGACCTCCAAAGAAGCCACTTGGGGAGTCGGTGTATTGTACGTTCTTGTTGAACCTCATCATCAATTTCAGGACTTCATCGGCTGTGGTCAATTTCATGTTATACGAGTACTCTTCACCAGCTGCACCTCCGACCTCTTCTCCTCGAAGCAACACATCGCGATGAGAGTCGTACCAGGCTCGTTCTTGAGGGTCGGATAGAATCTCATAGACTGCCTGGATTTCGGCGAAGAGTTTCGTAGCACCTTCCTCGTTGCCATAGTTGCGGTCGGGATGAAGCTCGAGAGCTTTACGACGATAGGCTTTCTTGATCTCATCGTCGGTGGCTGTCCTCTCTACTCCAAGTAGCTCATAGTAATCCTGCTTGACAGGCGCCTCGTTAGAGGGCGCCTCATGCGCAGAAGACTGTCCTTGGCCCATGTTGATGGACACTTAGATGTCTGCTCTATCCGTGATCGTCGAACAGGAATACTAGGGTCATTGCATCTGCGTCTGCATCTCAGTCGTCCGTCTACGATCACCACGAAGACATCTTGGTGGAACTCCTGGGTTACGACGATATGACAATGACTCAGGAACAACTTTACTAATTGAATCCAGACAAACTCTGTGCCACGCGACCAAGGAATCTTAGTCCGAGTCGTGGGTCTTGCGGCGGTGCCTAGATGCCTGTCAAAAATTACAGTCTGCCCATATCACCTGCCACCATGTGAGAAAATTTCCGCTCCCTAACTATCGTCCATCGCAAGTAGATTTGAATTTTTGATTTGTGCCACCAATTGCAGCTTACGTATTGGGGTGTGGCCAAATCACTCACTTCAATGGTAACCAAAATGCGGGATGGCGGAAATATAGGCGGTGATTTCCTTGGTCAGATCGCATCGCCAGTTCTAGGTTTACAAGGATGAATTTTCGAGGATGACGCTAGCATCGATCTCGTTGAAGTAGTATACATGTCTTCCACATTCGCTTCCTTACCGCTGTCGCACTTCTCATCTTCAACGATGACACCGGGTAGAAAGCAGTTGATTGCAAGCACAGTAAGGATTGACCGTGAACCACCTTGAAACCATGAAGTTCGGCTCCGAGTTCCAAGAAGCTCTACGAAAAGAGGAATTCCCATCACAATGGGTGAACTCGGCCATCAACTACAAGAAGCTCAAGAAGTGTATCAAACGAGTCAGGGAGGAGTTGCACAACCTTGGCCTTGATCCTGAAACGCTTGATGCTTTGTGGCAACATGTAGGCACGAACGTCACAGACTCATCTGCCAATTCTGAGCAGCGGCTTCTGCATTACCAGTTCACTGCAGAATCAGGGCCACGTTTTGTCCCTAAGCTAACAATAGCCCTTGACCCTAAGGATGGTTCGCCAATGGATGCCTGGCTGAGTCCGGACACTAGGAGGGTGTTGCAACAGGTTGGACGAAACAGACGACGCGAAACCAGGAGGCCTTCAGCTCATCCGGATCAGATTCACAGAACGAAAACATCCAACTCAAGTTCAGCCGCCTCGGTTGACACGAGTCCAGATCGTCATCTTGTGGACAATAACAACAAAGACTTCGCGCATGGCACTTCTCTAGAAACCACTTCTGAAGCCAATACAGAAGATGAGGAACAGGTGGAGACAATTGAAATCCCCTTGACCTCGGATTCTGAATTCTTCCAGATCCTACGTGCAGAACTAAAAGCACTAGAGAACCTTCAACACGAGGAGCAACATGTCATCACAACAGATATTGAGTCTCTATCTCGAGATCTACAAGTTCTCAAAGCCTCTGCGCAGAAATCAAAGTGGTCGAAGAAGGAACTCGACATATGGCGAGAAATCTTTCGGCTATACATCGAAAGCGAAGTATTCATGTCCGACCACGAGTCCGACGCAGGCGCACGCACAGCCGAGAAAGCAGAAGAACAACTAGCCCTCTTCCAGAAACAGCTGCGAGACATTAACACCAACCCACCCAAACCCAAAACCAAAGAAGCACACATCGCGCTCGAACGATTCATGAACATCAACACCACTCTCCTACGTCTCCTCAAGTTCCAAGAACTAAATCGCAGAGCCCTCGCGAAGATCATGAAGAAATTCGACAAAAAGACCAGTCTACACGCCATGGCACCAGTCACAAAAGCAGATCTCCTGCGCAACTTCAACACAGATCCTACGGCCGTCGTCTCGCCCCACGACCTCGCTCGTTCAACCGCTTTCACCATCTCACAGAACCTATTAAGTCTAATACCCCAGCTCAGCGACTACCTCTGCCCAATATGCTGCTACATCACCTACAAACCCGTCAGACTACGCTGCAACCACGTCTTCTGTATACGCTGTATGATTCGTATGCAGAGAGATGAAAAAGACGAATGTCCGCTTTGTCGGCAGAGGGTGGTCCTGGAGGCGTCGGAGGACAATCTTGACAAGGACCTCAAGCACTTTTTGAAAAAAGAGTTTAGAGCAGAAGTTGATGAGAAGAAGAAGGAGAATGAGTTGCAGGCTGGGAAGGAGCTTTTTGGTGAGGATTATCAGGGCACGCATAAATGTGTTGTGATGTGAAGATTGAACGTGATGGCGTTAGTCAATCACAGGATTTGAGGTTCTTAGTAGTGTAAAAGCACCACTGCACAATTACGAGAGTCATGGAAGGGTTCATTCTCAACGGCCAGCTCCCGATGCATGTTCCAAGGGAGGTAATCTGTCTCAATCCATGGTGGAATTGATCTACAGGTTTGTGTAGATAGAATGTTCAGTGTTGTATTTACGTTGTGAAAATCTTTACGCCTGCACAAAACGTGCTCAAAACTGCCTTGCCCTCCTTAGCAGTGCTGGGAATCGTAGCGTCATTCGTAACGTCGTCACATCATGTTGCGATGGAAACGTGCTTTGCAGAGTTAACGGCCTCGTGCCTAAAGCAGCAGATGCACCAAACCCACGAGTAGTCCACCGTACTTAGCAGTGTCACTCCTAGAGGCGCTGTCAGTCGATGGAGGATCGTGTAAAGGTGGTGCCGTGGATGTCGAATCAATAGGTGGCGACAGCGTTGTGGGCAGTATTGTGGGATAGGCAATCGTGACATTCGGCATATGTCTAGGTGGCTCCGACTCATTCGCTAGAAGGCCAGTCACGACCTCTAGAGCTGAGAGTTGCTGTCCGAGGCCAGTGAGATTGTCGAAACCATTGATGTACCACTTGGAGCCACAGGCTGTATTTGGTTATTAGGATAACTTGTCACAGATGAAGATGCATCATGCTTACTATTACCATAGGTACCACTAGTACAGGCACTTGCAGCCCCCAAAGCTGACGCTCGAAGTAGTGTGCCAACTCGACCCGCGATGTACGGCGCGACTATCGAGGAGGCTGACATCCATCGTGAAAGATATGCTTTCATGGACAATTGGTCGACGTTGCACACGGATTGCAGTTCGCAGGCAGCCTCGAACATGATGTTGGTGGCATTAGTGAAGGGTGTGAAGAAGGAGTCGGTGGCTGAAAGGAGACCCGTGGTGCGATCGACCCAGACCTGTACGTTGTTCGTATAGTTTGCCATCATCGCTGCACCGTAGAGGAAGACACCCACGTTGTACGTCCATTGGTGATGGTCGACGGCTGAGCAGTTGATCTTCTGCGAGCTGTTAGTGTCTTTATGGAAGACAAAAGTACCTCGAAACTGACCTCATCAGTTCCATCGTATATGTCGTATGTGGTTGACATTAATCCAATATTCTCGACCCAGTCCCAGATCTTCCCAGCCCACTCGACATAAGTTGCGTTACCAGTGAACCTAGCAAGTCGTGCTGAGAGCTGGAAGAATGCACCATTAGAGATGGAATTCTTGTATTCGTAGCCTAGATTAGCTGGGTAGAACTGCCCTAGCAACAGTTAGCTCAGTCTGGAATACTTCTTGCCCTGTCAAGCCCACATTTTAGACCGCCATTACAGAAAGTCGTGTTCCATCTACGAAAATAGTCGTTCCAAGCATTCTCTACGACAACATGCCACGCTGGAGCAGGAGGTGGAGGTGGTGGAAAACCGTACTCGGCAGCAGACATGGCCACAAAGACCCAAAATGCCTGGTCATCGTTTCCAGTATCGAGTGCCTCCTCGACGCGGACGAAGTTGTAATTGGGACCGAGTTGTGAGACTAGTGCTTCCATCATCACCTGGTTATAGCTCTCGTCTCTTGTCCATGCCCAATATTGCATCATGCCACCCCAAGCACCGCCACTTTCCCACCAGTAATATGGAGGATAGTGCCATTTTCCTAACGTGCCTCCGGTTCGGTTTCCATCGTACAACTCTTGAACACCGTGGGCTAGAAGAGCGGTCGCATTGACAATTGATTCGCGATTATTGATGTCGAGGACGATAGACCTGGCAGTAGCAACGAATCCAAGAAGCGACACGAAGTACAAAAGAGGTGAAAACATCTTCTCCGATTCAGAAAATTGTGTATACCAAGCGATGGTAACTGAATTGAGTAGAGACGGAAGCTTTTACAGGAAGGTGCAGAGGGCTCATGCAGGTACAAACCTATGCAATACTAGTCGCATTGTTTTGGTGAGAGTGACAATACACATCTCCAGTTTGACACAACCGGCGAACAGTAAACGCAATTATGTTGAGGAACATAATCTCAGGCCAGTTGGAATTGAAGTGAAGGAGCAGGAAACTTGAATGAAAAGAGTCACCACCACTTCACCACGTGTTGGGCGCGTCGATTGAAGAGTTTCTGGCCGGCGAGAATGGACTATGACCTCATTTGAGCGGCACTACGCTTTGAAAATACTCGTGTTTGTGCTCAGGTGCAGTTACAGCTAAAAACTTCAAGAGCCAAACACATCCTGCAGTGGTTGCACAATTGTAGAAGTCCGGTTTCGAAGAGCAAGCTGGGTCGACTGAATATAATACAGCTTTGTGCTGAAGTGCATGCCTTGATACGCTTTAGCTAATCTCCAAGATATTATTTCCTTCGAGTCAATCGTTTTCACGGTTATTCCTGTCTTGCTCTCTATTCCAGCAGCTGTCTGTGATTCGTGCTGTCGCGGCTCGGAGTCAATCGCCTCTGACTGACATTCATTCGTCCTTTAACGACAAGTCGAGAGATGCCTAAAGCTGTAAGAGGCGCTCTGGTGCAATGCGATCCACCACAAATGGCCATGATACAGGAGATCAATAGAGAATCGGGCAATGCCTACATTATTGAGGAGATAAACGACACCACCTGCTTGGTCAAGGAGGCTAAAGTTGAAGAGCTCAAGCTGCGAGTCAAACAACGTATGGACAAGGCTATGGGAGTCGAAGAAACTGTGGAAGACGACCCGGATTCAGACCTGGATTAGAAGCAGGCAAATCTCCAGACACCTGTGGAGGGAAACAACACGAGCAATGCCACGAGATTCATGATTAACAGACCACTGATCTTAAGCAACAACGGTGCTGCCCAGCTGAAGCCATATAAGCGCTTCACGATCAGGCTTAGGAGTCTAGATCCGAAGTGAGCCGAACTCTCCATCCAGAAGTGGCACCAAGAGAAGCAGAGCAGGTTCGGAAGCAGAGGCGGAAACAGAAGCACATATCTGAGGAAGAGACGATCAATCTACTGCTTACTGGTACAGTATGAGGCCCGGCTCGCTAGCCATGTTGTTGTCAACAATAGAACCGATGGTGAGTTCTCACAACAACAAGGTGGACAACTACGAAACTACCGTCGAGGATGGCAATCATGCATATCGCAAGAAACTCATAGAGATCAGCTCCCGATATCGACGAGGGGCACGCGGATGCTTTCCGTTATACTGTATCCTTGATTTGACCACGGCCTTCTTCGAGCGTTTAGAGTTGCAGATCAGTACTCTCAAACGCTGTATGAGTGGTCAAGCTCTGCTAATAAAATTTGTTTGACATGCGCTCCAGTACGCAACAAGCAGTGATCATCAATGCAATGGCTTCGGTGCAAGCTCTACCATCAAGCGATGCTGCTAATCAGTACTTTCTGCCCTGAACGACTGTCGACATCCTGTCGACCTTACCCGTACTCGAGCACGATGACACCCAGTACGGATGCAAGGTGGCGAGCATCCTTAGATTCATCAATCTAATCTCATTCTGCAATATTAAGTAAGACAGCCCCACTCTGGGGTAATGTCGTATGTAGTTTTCTGAGCTCGTCGAAACCACCGTGTTGGCAGTTACATGGGTCTCGCATTGCAGGCGGCTATTTTCAGGCTGTTGTCCTGGCTAGCTGAACTCTTCTTTCGATTGGCGCGGCTTTGCAAAGTCGAGTCAAAGCACCTGGCACATCGTCCCTTGCTCTTGCCAGGGGAGATTTTGTCGAGCACTGTACTGCAAGAAGCGCGTGCAGTTTCGTCATCCCCTTGAATCGTCCTTGTTCGTCAGTATGCACCTCATCTGCCGATAGTTTGATCTACGTTTCTATGCCACTCGTTATGAAGCACAATGGCATGACCCTGCAGCATTTCTTGATCTGTACGCTATTCGGGCCCCTCCGTGCGCCACCGACTCCGGCATGCAGTCTCCATGATCGTTCATCAATGCTCACGCTTGTTTTTCTCCTTGGAAGCTTATCAAAGCATTCACCATGCAAAGTCCTGCTTCAAGTCACCCCAAGTCAACCCTGTTGCGTTGTCCAATCTTACCAAGCCTTGCTTCTATTGGTGCTGCTTACTGCCGCAGACTGGCCAAATCCATGTAGCTCAAGAAGTTACACTATCTTACGTGCTCTGTCCCGCATCCTCGATAATCGACCTTTTTCTATCTACACCGCCTCTCATGTCCTTTTGTCCAGCCACTCTCCCCTGCGGCACTGGAGGTCGAAGTTACGGCCCAGTCTTACAAGAATCAACTTACTCTGCAAGCAGTTCGATGACGGAATGAGCAATGCTGTTAAGCAGCAAGCACCACTTCTATCAGCTCTCCTGATTCTATAGCATTTCCCTTCTACACGTACAAACTTCTCACAACGGTCCGCAGCTCCTTCTACCCACTATCATGCGCTTCACTAGCTCATGTGTCAGTAATGCTGTTCCCGCCTGCGTCTACGCCGCGAGGCCCGAAAGTCGCTACTAAAAAGGCACTCCTACTTATAGATTTTCAGAACGAGTTTACTGCACCTGCAGGGAAGCTCTACGTGCCGAACACAGCAACTTTCGTGTCGAAATTACCTACTCTGGCTAACAAATTTCGAGAAGATGGCGAAGTGATCTGGGTGAAAACAGTCTTTCAGCATCCGTGTTCATCATTATCGCCCCAGACTGGCGGCTACAGCATTCTTACCAAAAGCTTGGCCGAACATCTAGCACAACGACCTCGCGACGATGTATCCACTACTGACAATAAATCGATCGATGAAACTCGACGACGAAGACGATTACCTGCTGTACAAGACGACGACGAAGCCTTCCTCAGCCCAAGGACGCCTGTATCAGAGAGATGTTGTTTGGCGGGCACCAATGGATCTGAGCTTTCCTCCGAGCTCGTGTCATCTTTGGACCAGCAGAAGGACTTGATACTGAATAAATTCCAATACTCAGCTCTCGCAGACTTTTCGTTCCTCTTAAAGCTTCGAGCTCGCCTTGTGAACGACCTCTATATATGTGGCTCACTAACAAACATTGGCGTTCACGCGACTGTCCTTGACGCTGCACAGCAAGGCTTCAATGTTACACTTATCGAGGACTGCCTGGGATTTCGCAATTATACTTGTCACCTCCAAGCAATGAGACAGATGGCTGATGATCTGGGTGCGAGTGGCATCGATTACCAAGAGCTAATGGACGACTTGCATGGCCTATTGGGCGATGTCATTCCTGCCAACCGATATACCAGAGAATTTCAAACAACTCAACAACAACTTGGAGGTCGGGGTCAGCTGTCACGCTCACAAAAGGTAAGCCAGTGGATTACCACCGTAGAAAGTGACAGCGAGACAGAGAAACAACCAGCTACAATGCAGGACTATAGGAACCGCTCGTCATTTCGAAGTGCAGGCAGCAATGTGACACATGACACCATGCCGCAGCATAATGAGTCATGTATAAGAGATGCAGACGCTCGCCGTCCACCGTCACGCAAGCGTTCAGCGAGTAACAGAGAAGAATCTGAAGAAGTGAATCGACCAAGTTCAAGGACGTCTGCTCCAGACGCCGAACCGCGGGCAGAGCCTGATTCATCAACTAAGACCATATCGGCTTCTAAGTCTTTGGCAGCGCAAAGAAGTATACAAGAAAGCCCGTCTGCGATCTCGAAGCAAAACTGTTCAACACTATCGGCCATGGGACAGGCTCATTCGACAAGTCACATCGAAACGGCACAACACTCGGATCGCAGACCGCCTGCTGCAGATCGCGCCTCGTCGCAGCCTGCCATGACCACGAACTCCAGAAGTCCTAAGGTAGATCACGATGTCAAACGACGCAAAAAGAAGTATGATCCCACATATCTTGAACCGGATGAACAAGTCGGTGACGGAGAGTCAATGGTCATCCACGATGTTCTGTCTAAACAGGAAGCTGATCGAGCCTTTACAAAACTCAAGAATGACGTCACATGGCAGAAGATGTACCACCGTACAGGTGCAGTACCACGTCTCGTTGCTGTACAAGGCACAATCGCCGAGGACGGAAGTATTCCAATCTACAGACATCCAGCAGATGAATCTCCACCTCTGCTACCTTTCGACGAGACGGTCGACCAGCTTCGTCGGGCCTGTGAGCAGAAAGTCGGCCACAAGCTGAACCACGTCCTCATTCAACTCTACCGCAACGGCGAGGACAATATCAGTGAACACAGCGATAAGACATTAGACATCGTCCGTGACTCCAGCATCGTCAATCTGAGTATAGGAGCAATGCGTACAATGACACTGCGAACGAAGAGATCTTCCCAGCCATCCACTACACGTTCTACCAAAAACGGCAACATGGCGCCCACAGCACCCCTACCTCCTGAATCAGAATACCAACCACGAGCAGCTCAACGCATAAAACTACCACACAACAGCATCTTCGTCCTCGGCGAAAAGACAAATGCAAACTGGCTCCATAGTATTCGCGCTGACAAGCGCCCCATGTGCGAAAAATCCGACGACGAGCTCGCGTTCGGCGGCGAGCGCATCAGTCTTACCTTTCGACATATCGGGACATTCGTCGACCTGCAAAACCGGCTTATTTGGGGTCAGGGATCTACTGGCCGCACCAGGGAGGACGCACGAGCGATTCTGAAAGGGAACGAGGCGGGTGTTGTTGGTGAAGAGATGATTATCGGTTTTGGGAAGGAGAATCGTTTGTCAGGTTCCGAGTGGGATTGGAATGCGGTTTATGGGAAGGGGTTTGATGCTGTGAATTGGGATGTTAAGGTAGGTCCTGACGAGAGTAAAGACGATTGCAAGGAGAGGTCGTCTAATATTCTAGCAGGATGAGTGTGTCGTACAGAATGGCTTACTCAGTCTTATTGGCAATAATGAACGTATCCCTTGTGTAGCTTGTCATCATGTTCTATGCCACCTTCAATCTATTTATTTTGGGAATCTCGATTGAGACCTTGAACGGCAAAGTAGTAATCGCTGCCAAAGACCAAGTATTTCTTTCTGTAGGTCATCGTTATCGGCTCGTTACTCATAAGTCATGTCCTTCTGGTCTATACCTTACCAAACCACACGCCTCCTCCCATTCGCTCGTGTTTTATTGCTCACTGAGTATAGCAACAGCCTCGACTAGATCAGCTGGCTCTTTGACTCGATAATAGCCCAGACTTGGCTTGCCATCTCTCGCGATCAAGCACGTGAAAACATTGTCCATCTTGAGTTTGCTGGATAGTAGAGCCCGGAACATGTCTGCCTATCAGTCAGCTTTAGTATTATGGACGATGTGGAATGACTCACCTTCATCAGTGGTATCGTCTCCTGCGCACAGTACGAACCCACTTGTGCCGTTTGCAAAAGTCTCTTGGACCAACCTGGCAGCCATAACTCCTTTGTTGAGAAAACGTGGTCTGACCTCCACGTTGGCTTTGCCAAGCATGACTTCGACGTCCCAGGCTTTAAGGTACTCGCCCTCAAGTAAGGCTTTTGCCTCTACTGCTCTGGCAAGACAAGCATCGTGGTCGATGGCATTACGGTAGTGCCATACTATAGCTACCTCCTTTCGCTCGATCCAAGCGCCATCAGTCTTTTCGCACAAAGACATGAACAACTTGTCTGTTTCGGCCTTCCAACCCATGTCCATGCTTGCAGCGAGATTTTCCCATGTCTCGTCGCCTGGCTTGCGGAGAAAAGATCCGTGCTCAGCTGACAAGCCAAGTCCTTTGATATCGCCGAAGGTTTTGGATAGAAAAGCCCGGCTTCGGCCACTGATGATCCAAACTTTGTTCTGCTTGTTGGATGCTAGCTTCTGCAGTGCCTGTAGTAGTTTTGCAGAAGGGAGAGCAGCGTCGGGGTCACTGACGATAGGTGTGAGGGTACCATCGTAGTCGAACATGAAGAGACGTGTTTGCGAACTTTGGTAGGCCTTCAGAAGGACGGCCTGCTCGAGTTCTGCCGCGTTTTCGTATGGGCAATACTTAGCGAACGATGCACAGGCTTTCGTCAGGAACTCATTCGTAAAAGAGGCGACATTATGTTCTGAGAAGTAATGCAGGAGTGCCTTGTGCTTGGATTGCTTGACTTCGTCGGACATGGCGAGACCATTTCGAATTGTGGTGGCAGTGTTCGCAGCCTGGGCAGATTGGTCTACAGCTGCAGAGCTAGTATCGTCGCTGATGATCGATTTCTCCGAGACAAATAGAGGGCTGAACTTCTCTTGCTGGCAGACGATAAACTCCATGCTCATTGTGCTAACGCCTTCGTAGTCACTCGCGACCACTCCAACATCAGCCAATCTCAGCAGAGCATAATATTCTGGCGCTGGTATCTTGAGGTTGAGGTAAACAATAGGTTGATGGACTAGAGACCCGAAGCGGCTGTTTATGTTCACAACATGTAGCGCAGTATCAGCTCTACTGGTCCGAGACTTCGAAGAATGGTGTATTGACTCTGGATTGCTCAGCAAGACCAGTATAGCTCGCGATTTCCATTCGGGGTATTGTTCTAGAAGGTATTCGAAGGCTCTAAGCAGGAAATCTGTACCCTCTGGTCGGTCTGGATGGATGCGTGCTACAATAAGCTTCTTGTCAGAATATCTGCGTGATATCTCATGCATATATTCCTCCACCTTCGCCTCACCATATGCAGCTTGCTGAACAACAGTAATGTCCATGCCAACAGGTACGTTGATCAAGCTAATGTGGCGGCCACCCGTTTTAACCACTCCATTGCCATCTCCAGTAAGCTTCAGTGAAGAGCGGTAGTAGTCTTCGACGTAGTGACGAAGGCCATCGCTGGCTACACCGACGACGGACGCACCTATTACACCTTTCAATACCTCCGTATGTCGTGGGAGCATTGTGAGGATCTCTTTCGGAGGCAAATTGGTGTGGTGGAAATATGCTATATAAGCTGACGGAATTCGTCTTCGTACAATCTCTGGCAGCAGCATGAGCTGGTAGTCGTGGATCCAGATGATGTCGCCCGGTTTGTAGGCTTTGATGATGCCGTCCGCTACAGACTCGTTCAACCTCTTGTAGTCTGCAAATGTCTGCGCTGTGTCGGCTCTCTCATCTTCGCGATCTATGTTGGAATGGAGATTTTGGTAAAGATCTTCCTCGGCATATCTTTTCCATCGAGTTTGGTCCTTGAGGAGCAAGGTATCGTGTCTGTCATCGGTCCGTTCACCTAGCCAGACCGGGACTATTTTATCTTTGAAAGCGTGCTCCAGCAAAGTCTCCAATTCCAGTCGCCGATCTTTCGTTATGAGGATATCTCGAATGCTGGGTTCATTGTCCTTGAAGTGTTGTATGAATGCACTGTTGAAACCAGAGCCACTAACGTCGTGAACAGCAACACTGCCCAATTGTCTGCCCTCGCCGGTCGGAGATGATGGACCTAGTAAGTCTTTCCGAGTGAGTAGCTCACCAAATTCAGCGCTGAGAGCAGGCAGTACCTCTCCAGTCCACCCAACAACAGTGTGTTTCCATAAGTTTGAGGACGACAAGTACGATAGAGAATCACGCAGCATTGATTTGCCTGGCCGAGGCGTCAGCTCAAATTTGCCATCCTTCGTAATGCCGACAGCATATGGGATGTTTGCGCACGCGCTAATGACATTGCCAGTGAGACCAAGCTTCTCGTACTCTTTGAGTGCCTTCAGATTGAGCGGCTGGGTGGTTTCGGATGGCTTCATTGACTCTCCATTGACATTTGGGGCTGTAGCAGATGCTTGAGTCGTGGCAGGAGGGGGCTGAGATTTGGGGTCTGGAATGTCGAAGTAAGCGTCGGCTGTATGAAGGACAAAGCTGAGCGATGGTGTGTCCGGTATGGATGCTCGACCAGGGATGGCAGCACTAACGGACTGATTAGAGTCCTGAGGCTCATTCCCAGCCATACTTGGTTATTTAGCAGTCCGAGACAAGATAGTTTGACAATAATTTTGCAGAGGGTAGACCTCTTTCGCTGTAGCTCCCGATACCAGCTGAAAGAGCGCCAAAGCACGCATAAAGGCAAACAAATGAATGTAGACAGAGGCTCAACGATCGACGACCTGCTCGACGGCCCTACAGGGCTCTGTGAAACAATTTCGCTCTTCTCGTACTTCAATCAGAGCATGACTACGTTCAGTCAGCACTCCTGTGAAAATGCACAGTCAGCCATATCGTGAAGCGAGAAGTGTGAAGTTTTTAGTTGTTGAGGCAGGGTTTGAAAACACGGTACCGCAACAGGAAAGAGCCACTTAACGGCATGTCAGGAACAACTTTTGAAGGCTACATCGTGACTGGGTAGTTGCAAATCCACGTGCAGTCCCGCCCAATATGCAAGACCCAAGCATTACGTCGATGTTGGGAAAATAGTCCAGCATTGACCAAGAAGTAGGAACATGGATTCAAAACATCAGGGAGAGTCGCTTCAGAAGCAAGTTTTTATTGGTTGGATAGAAGCTGCCGACTGTGGGCGGATGTGTCGGCCGACCTTCCATGCAGCAGCTCATCAGTCTGTTTGGAAAGTCGGAAGTGGTTGTCCTTGAGTTTAAACGGCCTCGCTAGTAACATCACCAGCCAAGGTCATAGTTGTCCATGCGAGCTAGGTCGACATGGAGTGCAATGGCAACAAGGCCATTACGGCGGGTAATACTATTCTCACGTGGTAGTCCTACCTGGCTCGACGCGCACGTGCAACGCTCTTATACTACAGAAACTGAAAACGTCAGCGAGCACAACAGAACGACAGGAGAGCCGCGAAAGGTGGGAACACGCAATCAGCCAGAGGCAGGATGGATTCGCCTCGACGACAGACAAGTCATTCACACACATAGCCTCTCCGATACGTTGCAAGCTCATCGCGAGGCCAATGCAGAGAGTATACCTATCCAGCGCGTTCGTACCGCTGGTGAAGGTCCAGTGAGAACAGAGCGCCATTACAAAACTAAACATCTTGATCTGAATCGTGACGCCTCCAGTGTAGAGGTGACTCGAACCAGAGAAGACTACAAAGGACATGCTCAAGGGTTGGCCTTCGACTGGGTCATCGTTGGAGATGTACACCGTTATCTGCGCCTGCCCTGGATGAAAGAGCTGGATGCGGCTGGACCATCTCGATTGCGTGCTGGGGATAGACTCACAGATGAGATTCGAGCTGCCGACGCCTTTTTCACACCTACCGCACGAGAAGATGCGGCAGTTGCTGCTATTATTGAAGAGCTTGAAACATGGGTGCAAAAGTGCCATCGGAATTTCCTCCGCTTCGATGTAATCGGTTCTCGTGCCACTGGATTGGCAAGTCCACTCTCTGACATTGATGTCAATCTGATGATGAATGGTCAGGATGGAGAGACTTTTAAAACTGTTACTTCAAGGATCATGCATCAACTTTCTAGGGGGATGGGGCGCAGGTCACTGAAAGACACACCATTCATGACTACATTCTTCGCTTCGCGCGCAACTGTACCCATCATCGCAGGCATTCATGGACCATCTGGACTAGAGTTCCAGATTCAGAGTGCCAGCAGCGGCTATCGAAGTCTTCAAGTCACACAGCAAATCGCTTCTGACTACCTCAGTGTCAAGCCCTTGTTTAAAATCTTGAAGCAAATGCTCAAGATGCGAGGCTTGACCCGTGGCTCCAAAGGCGGACTAACTTCATACCCACTTTTCATCATGATTGCTGTTTGCCTGAAGAGGAACGCTCTAGACTCGGATCCGCACAATCTCGGTCACAATCTTATTAAGTTCTTGGAATTCTGGTCGAATATGGACTTCTACAAGACTGGTGTGACTCATGTTCCAGGTGCCCACCTTACTGGTTCACTTATTGGTGACGAGCGATTGTCGAAATACTTCGAAGATGAGGAAACTATCGATAACACAATCTCCGCTGTTGCCCAAGATCCTACTGATGCTCAACCAGTCTTGTTTGACGTGCGCAAAAAATTAGGCCATCTTCATAAATCTAGGAGTGGAGACTTCATGATGGTCCTACACGATCCTGCGGACCTTCGTAATGATCTGGGTCGATCAGCAAGCACAATCAAGCATATACAGGCCACTCTAATGGAAATTCATGCAAGCTTGAAGAAAGATATGGCGGAATGGAATGACACCATTCGGCGTACTGGCCTTTCCGCAAAAGAGCCTCCATCACTGCTGCGCTCGCTGATAGAAGGTGATTACAGCATGTACAATCTCGAACGGAAGAGAGTGCGACCATAGCACTCGAGCAATCTTGATAGCTTTGGCTTCTCTCCTTCAAACATGTCACAGCCACCATATTGTTCAGGTTGTTTCAAGATCCGCTCTAGTCAACAAATCGCCTGTGCCATACAAGGTTGGCTTGAGCTTGAACTCGTTGTTACTCATGAGATCCAGGTATGTGTAGCAGTCAGGTTTATACCAAATTTGTTTTCTGACATTGCTAGCGCCTTTTTGCAGTGGACCGAGCACAACAGGCGCAAGCTTCAGCTTGACCAACTCCACCAAGACTCTTTTAATATCTGCCTCTTCCTTGAAGTCTCTGGTGTATACACAGATCACTTGCGTGGGGCGACCAGGATTGTCTGGACGTGTTGACACCTTTGCAGATATGCCAAGCCTACCTTCGACGGTAGCACTCACTACTTTGGCCCAGTACCTGTCTACCGAGTCGGAAGTTGAAAACAGCATCACTTCCCGGCTATCACGTTGTACCTTCTAGCTGCAAGATCGGTTAGCAGTAGCACAAACACGACTGATGAGCACATCCAGTACCCATTCGGAGCAATCTTACCTGTTTGAATGATGTCTTCCCGAAGTTTATCTCGGTAAGGTCCCAGCATTCGAGTAATGATTCCGGCAGTTTTCGCTGGTTGTATCGATTCAAGCTCATTGCGTTTGGCCGAATACTGGTCAAGCAGTCCGGTGCCTATTTGTCTGTACGATGCAAGATCTGAAGCCTCACCGTGCTCGGCACTGAAGTTGGCACACCAGATCCAGGGCTCACCTGTCGCGCCTGAAGAGGGCACCAATCTTTTTAAGAAGTCGTCTACAGACTCACCAAGTTGCAAGGCGGCTGGGTTGCCCTCATGTATATTGTGTTGTCTTTGAACTGTACTTAATTGATTGACCGGTCTTGCTGTATCCTGACCTTCATTGAGACGTCTTCTTTTCAGGTTGTTTTCACTGCCATCGTTGTTCTTTCGCTTCTTCGTAACCAGTGACTGGTGTTCTCGTTGCATAGCCTTTGCAGCGACAACCTGTACATTCCATTCTTGAATTCGTCCATGATCGCTCTTCTGCCGAGCCTTCTTCTGGTATCTTTGTTTTGTTGCACTATCACCTGGCAGAGTCAATTACTTCGTCATATACTGCATACCCTGTCGAATTCACCCACCGTAGAAGCTCGAGGTGTCAGAGAAGTCATCTTCGTAGGCCCGAGGCGAGTGGAGATTAGTGCTGACTTCACTCATTCTTGACAATGGGGATCGCAGAGAGTAGAAGGCAAGGAGCTATATGGATAAAGAACAGGCATCCTGGTGTGTAGCTACCCACGGGAAGAAGTAGCTCTCGAACAACTGCTTCGCAAAGTAGGCAATCGATAACAACAATTACGGCAAGTGCAAGGCAGAAATCAATTCCCTACTAACGACATCATTCACTAGCGCCAATGATGCTGTGGCAGTCGAGTTCGCATCCTCTCCAAGAACTTGATGCACATCATCAATCCTTGTCTTCAGTCGTGTCTTATTGTGTGTTGAGCCGAAAAGAAAAAGAGCAGATTCAAGCAAAAAGAAATTCGCGTAATGCAAGATGCCCCAAAGGCGGATCGAACGCCTGACCTCCAGATTACTTGGAACTGAAGTTCAAACTTCAGTCTGGCGCTCTCCCAGCTGAGCTATTGGTGCGAACAGACACAAAATTATGGGGTACAAAAATATATTCGTGTTCAACAGCAGCACCACGATTCCACAGGTTGTTGTCTCGGGAGTTCTCGGAGCTTTTTGTGGTACGTTAGGTCTTGAACGCCAAGAAGTTCGAACTTCATCCCCTTCGAGCTGTTGTGAACACAGTATAGTTTGGTTGACTTCGTGTCGTTAGGACATCTGAGTTAGCAAGATCACGATAAAGCACTCTAGCTTTGGAATCACTGGCCAATATGGTCAATCGTACGTTGTTGCTCGCGGAGCTAGAGTACGTTCTTACAACTACATCTTGCGGTCATGAATATGGCGATCGCCCATCCATGCGAGGCTGCGAACTCAACTTCGACCACTTCTACTGCAACTTGACAACAATGTTGTGAGGCCTTGAAGGGACATCAGTAGAGGGCTAGACATGAGCGGTCAGAGATGGTGAATGCTCCTGTAAAGTGCTCCACTGTACAAAATCCTCACCACATCAATCCTTGCTATCGAAGGTTTTGCAAAAACACGTGCAAATCTGATCTAGACCAACTTAGCATTGTTCGTCGAAGCCTTTCACATGCGATACGGCATGATGATGGAAATCACCGTCGTAAGATGTTCGGCGAGGCGTTCAGAGGCTACCCAGCGTACAGATACTGGAAACTCGGTAGTGCCCGAAATGTTCTCGGATAGTTCCTAGCATATCAGAATGGATTCGTGTGCAGCAGTGCCTGGCCTCGTTCTTCTGAAAAGCCTTCAGACCATCAGAACTAATGCGGGACACCATGGTAGCAAAGTCTGCTAGATTGACTAGGCTTGACAAGCATCAAATTGCACATGTCGATTCAGTTTCAGCAACAAGGCAAAAGCTTCTTACCTCGACCAGTTTCCGCTCCCGTTGCTCCGTTAGCCTCAGCTGTGCACGCCAGCTCGTGGCAAGTAGAAACTCTAGTCAGTTGTGTAATGGAATTCCTTCGACGGAGACGTCGTGGATGTGTGTTTCGCAGTTTCATCCTCGCTACAGTCCTCTTGAAGTTTTCGTCCGAAAGTCGATCCACTGCGTTTCGATCAGGAGGAGATCTCGGTGGAATCTGTCCGATAAAGGCTTGGCTGCGCTCAAGCTCAACTGTCGCCGCTACACCGAAGTGTACTACTCGGTAACGTCCAGGAGTGATACGATATTTGAAGATTGTAATCTACGAAAGTGGTTGATAGGATTAATGGATATTGAAACATGCTGACCTTTCAGGCTCGACTAACCTTCTGTCGGGATAGGCGTTGGCAAATCTGCTGTTTCAGGTAAAACACCCTGCCCATGAAGCGGCATGAGATCTTTTCTCTCCGAGGAAAGTACGATGTTCAAAACTTACGAAGGCTGATGACTCTCGGCTTACGGAGCAATGTCCTGCCAATGCCGGGCAGTAGCTCTTCGTTCTGCGGAATTGTCTTGCACGCTTTATCAGCGACGAACGCGATTGGTCAGAATCACTGCCAATGCTCAATCGTGAGTCAGTCGCCGTGGCATGTCGCGTCAGCAAGCCGCCCTGCAACGCACTTAATGTTGCAATAAGCTTTACTTCCTAAACTCCATCTGCATGTCGTGATTGTACAATTACTGTACGTTTGAGGCGACTGCTAATACATATCCGTCATGAGTCCACCTCACAGGAAGTTTTGCAGTCCTATAACAAAAATTTCTCTCGCCATCAGATAGGCAAATTCTTCACGATCTATATTGGGAGCGCAAAATTTCCTCCTTGAAGAAGTACGACCTTGGTCTTGAAAAAGACTGCCAAGTAATCGACCTGCATTGCATCTGCAACCATTCTGCAACAAACCCTATCCTAACAAAAGTGCCGTCTTCCGGTTTAGGTTTATCAACCGCTCAGATTGTTAAACACTAGCGGTGAAGCCTGGGTTTACAGCACATATTATCACTAGACTTGCTGCTGTTTGATCTTGCCATCTCCAACTCTTACAAAAACACCACATCCGTGTTGGAACGTTAAACATGTTCAAAGTACCAACAATGGATATCTCTCAGATGTCTTTAGATCAAACATACAACCTGGCTTCCGTCGCCAGAAGGAAATCCAGTTCAAGCTCATCGAAGTTGGATTTGAGACAGAGATTGGGCACAGCACAACTATTAGAGGCTGTCGAGAATGCCATTCGCAACTCACCTCCACCAAGTCCTCAACCAACATATCACAAACCGAAATCACAGCACATCGCCTGGGCGACGTTAGAAGTGCCGAAACGAGACGCGAGGCCAGAGGTTGACGAATATGGCTTTGCTTACGACGACGAAGACGATGAAGATGGTCTTTCCCTTTGCAGGAGTCAAACACGAGGTCACTGAAAGGAAACACTTACGATTCGAATTCTGTTTTAGCAAAGCGAGCGTGTTCGTTCTTCGATTATGATACCCAATTTTGGTTTCGGTACTGCAATGATTTGAGTACGGTGTTTAGGACATTCAACTCTACGGACTTGAGCATCACTTGTGGGGGAACACAGCACGACATGGATAGGAGGATTGAAGTGAGGTGACCGCAGCAAAGGATGGTGTCAAGCAGTGGTTGGACCAAAAGTGTCACAACTCAAAATTCCACGGAAGCCGCGGTCTTCACCCCGGTATGCTTGGCAGGTGATCTGCACGCACAAGCTTCGCGCTTGTCGTAAGCAAAGAGATCTCCACGTCACGATGGCATTGTTACACAGCGATGCACTCACAATCGCTCTGTTTACTCATCAGTACTACGTGAACTGCTTAGAAATTCATCAAGCAGATATTATGTGGAGGGGAAGGGGGGCTTTTTTGGAGAAAGAGTCAGTAGACATAGTGAGATTGGCCAAGCTTCTGAGCCTCGATATGCGAGACGGAGAACTCCTCTCGTCGCACGCAATGCAATATTCCACTTCTCCAAAAAGACGTGTATACAATTTTCCAGAGGTACGTCCCGTCATAAGTACTGTAACTGCATCGTGTATGGCGCATAGGAGTGGTATCTCTCAGTCGTGGTTGTGCAGATCGAGCTTGTGTTCAGGAAGATCCCAATGCAGTATTATTGAGGTAGGCATACATGTTAACATGCAGACAGAACTGAACATGGAAAGTCTTCCATCAAAGTTGTGGCTTCATTCGGACAAGAAAGTATCCGGATGCCGGTGCCGACCAAGCTTCTGCGGCAGAGCTTCGGTTGATCAAGGGGGACTGATACACTGCCAACACAATCTTATACGATGAAATTTTGAGATATAGACCATCCAACGATTTGTCAACAGTTACGTATTGACTTGTCAACAACTAGACCCTCAGATACAGGAGCACTGTTCTCTTATACCTCGACTATCGCGAAGAAGCTAGGAGGCTCAGGGGCTATTACCGCGCGATATGGCCGTGAAAAAGACATCGACGGCATTATCTTCGAGGCTCGCATATTTTGTGGCACTCGTCGCAGTCATCTACCCGTTATGGCAAATGTTCACGAGCTATCAGGTATATCATGCAACTGTAGCTGAGGTACATACAGCACAGCTAATGTGCTTAGCCCAAATTGTACATCTTCGAGCCACATAAGATGCAAGTACTCTTTGAGGATGCTCTCGTAAAATATCCCAACTCAACCGCTGGAGCAATCAATCACATAGTGACATCTCTTCGCGATACGCATGGTTCCAAGCACATCACTGTCAGCCCCTTTCCAGATGAAATTTCTATGCAGTCAGGTGTTTCACCATATGCCGACGAGTGGTTGTTCAACAATGCAGGAGGTGCCATGGGCTCGATGTACCTGATTCATGCGTCCATTACTGAGTACCTCATCATATTTGGCTCAAGTGTCGGCACCGAAGGCCATACCGGGCGACATACTGCCGATGATTACTTTCACATTCTCGAAGTAAGTTGACTTCTTCCTACTGTGTGCGCACCCCTAACACGTGGCTTAGGGAGCACAGTGGGCAGCGGCAGCTCACTCATTAGTAATGGAGGAATACCCTAAGGGTTCAGTCCACCATTTGCGTCGTGGACAGGTCAAACAATACAAAATGCACAAGGGGTGCTGGGCCTTGGAACTCGCTCAGGGGTTCATTCCTGGGATGCTTCCATTCGGTTTCGCAGACACCTTTTTCAGCACTTTGGACGTGCACACACTGTGGAGGACGGTGTATATTACTGGCAGGGAAATGATCAGGAATCTACTCGCTGGAAAGATATGAGTGGCAGTAATGTCTGCGCAAGAATCGTGTACTACCACGATGCTACTGCGTATAGTCTTCTGTCCAGCGCTAGCCAAATGCGATCTCTCTCATCTGTGTCAATATGTCGTGTGCCTCTAATCCGTGAAGTTCTTTCACAATGTTATCTGTCTAGACAACAATGGAGCCCGAGACTCAATTTGCGAATGGCTATGCATTTTGCTGGCGAGATAGAGTCAGAGGACGATATTGCCTGCGCGACGGGTGGTCCTTCGTGTTTCGGTGGGCTTGTTATGGCAGCTTGCACCACTAGCTTCGAAAGACCAAACCCGTCCGAGTTTAGCGTAGGATATTTTCACGCCAACCACGATGCTTGTTAGAACACATCTAAGCTCGAGCCAGAAGCCCATTCAAAAGCTTCTGAAGCTTATCGCTGTATCCACCATCTCGAATTGATGGAACTTTTTTTCTGCTTACACCAATGAAGTCCTTTCGAAATCGGGATGGTCGTTGTTACCTTCTGCAAGCTGGCGAGATCTGGTCGAAAAGGCCGCAGCTGCCGAGCATGGCGTCGCGATCTTCATTATGGAAGGAGCGGCGCTCAGCAACTGAGTCTCCCATTCTGCCCGATCGTGAACGCAGGTTACCCTTCTTGAGTAAAACTTCAGCAGCAGTATTAGTCTTTGCATGAATACTAGCTAGCATATTACTTACCTACCACAGCTAGTTCAGTTGGTTGATACGACAATGTCTGTCCCAAACGCTGGCATCGCTGCCTCGGCCGAGTATGTCGATGCTGAAGATTCGAAAAACACTGATGCACAGATCGTTGGGCTCAGCGGTGACACAGACCGACCAGTCGCTCCAGATCAGTTCGATCCGAAGCACGAAAGCACGAAGAAAGAGATATGGAGCTACTATTCTTACTACATTGGCAACAACGGCCTCACTCTGTTCAACTTCGGTCCGACCTCATTCCAGAACTTGATGTATGAAGCAGCAGGTGATTCAGAGATACTTTACTTCTGGGGAAGAGACAGAACCATAAATTCTATTGTGCTGCTTACGAATGGCGTCAGCTTTGCCATTCAAGTCGTCTTGTTCTTGCTTCTAGGCGCATTAGCCGACTATGGCAGATGGCGACCCTGGATCTTGGTGTTCTGGTCTGTGATCGCTTTCGCTGTTGGTTATGCTTGGCTTGGAGTCCATACAGAAGACCGATGGCATGCTGGTGTAGGCCTGTATATGGTTGGTCTGATTGCGTATCAAATGTGTATAACCTTTTGGACTGCTGCCTTCCCTGGCCTAGCACGAAACACACCTGAGATGAGACGCAAAGCTGAGGAGTACGAAGCCGGAGAGATCAGTCGAGACGAGTACGACTTTCACGACATGATGCAACGGAATCGGATCTCCAATGTCGCATTCATCGCACAATCTGCTGGCGAAATCATTATACTCGCAATATTGGTGGGCATACTTTTTGCATTGAACGTCAATGCATCACAAGAAAACAACAACTGGGGCTTAAGTGTCTTAATTGCCTATTGCAATAGTTGGTGGATCTTGCTAGCGATACCCTGGTTTCTGTTCGAGAAGCATAGGCCCGGACAGCCTTTACCAGAGGGCTTGAACTACGTTACAGTGCTGCCATGGACGCTGTGGAGAGCGATCGTACAGATCTGGGAGTTGAAACAAACTTTGCTTTACTTGGTAGGGTACTTCCTGCTCGGAGACTCTTTGAACACTACCGTCACTGTGATCGGAACTTTACAGAATAGTGTTGTCGCATACAACACGCTCACCTTAACCTATTTGTACATTGTCGGTATTACCGCACAATTGATTGGCATTTGGGGCTTTTGGACGGTACAGAAGCGCTTCAAGCTTTCTACCAAAGTTATGTTCAATGCGGTCATGGCTGGAATCCTCCTCCTTGACGCGTGGGGCATGATCGGTATCTGGACTCAAAAGTTCGGCTTCCACAATGTGTGGGAGTTCTGGCTCTACCAAGTTGTCTACGGCCTCTTCGTCTGTCCGTGGTACTCATACAGTCAAATCATGATATCAGAGGTCACACCACGAGGCAAGGAATTCCTTTTCTTCTCCCTTTTTAGCATAATGGGCAAAACCTCGGCTTTCATTGGACCTATCGTCTCCTCTGCCATCATCGACGCCTCCCCGACTGGCAATAATTCACTGCCCTTCTACTTTCTCTTCGGTTTGACAGCTCTCAGCCTAGGGCTGCTAGCCTTCTTCGTCGACTTGAAGAAGTCGAGGAAGGAGCAGACAGCTTTCTTGGAACGAGAGAATGTTGCCAGGAAGAGGCGCGCCAGCGTTTTATCCGCTGAGAGGTATCTAGGTAAGGCGGACAATGATCAGCTCTAGAAGCGCAGTTCAGAAGAGGGGAACGCCAATTCAGATACTGCTGACGTTATTGAGGTCAAAGAGGCTGATAAGTTCCAAGTTGGGAAGTATTCTTTTATGTGCTCGCTTCAGTCTCTTGGCGAGATGAACTTTACACGCGAAGTCTTCGATACATGGCGGAAACAGGACAACAGCCGACGAATGGACTCGAGTCAGCTAGGGACTTGGCCAAGAGCAAGATTGTATGAAATGCAACGAAGCGGATCGAGGTATCCTTTGGGATGAAAAGATTAGTAGCTAGTGTTTCGGGAAATGATCATATCATTCACAACTGACTTTCAAAGGCTCACTGCTTGAAATCAAACGCTCAAACGCCTTGTCAAGCCACATCCGATAACTGAATGATCGTGTGTATAATATCCTTCGACGCTCCTGTCTCTTCCTCAGTTGCATTGCAATTTATTCTTGTAATAGAATATCTCGCCTCGCAGCACTTATCTTCTCAAGCACTGGTGTATCTCTCCAGGAGAACCTCTTAAGAAGTCTTCCTTTGAGCCTCAGCAGCAGCACCCTTGGCCTTGCCTGCAATCTCATTTGCCTTTCCCTGAGCTTCAGCCCCCAAATCACCCGCCTTGTACTGTGCATTCTGCGCAGCGTCTTGCGTGGCTTCAGTAGCCTTTGATGCGTTCGTGCCTACAGTGTCTGCGGCTTTGTCTTTGAGTTCAACTATAACAGACATAGCTCGTTAGCTATTCCATTCCTTTCTACACTCAACTAAAAATTGCTGCTGGGACAGGGAAAATAGATAGATGTTTCGTTCTTGCTTTGTTTTGATCTTGAAGTGACGGACTGATTACTTACCACCCTTATCAATACCCTTGACAGCAGCGTCCGAAATCGTACGATCAACGGCCTTCAAGGCATCCTTGCCGGTCTCTATTGGGCCCTTGCGGAGGACGACAGCGGTAGAGAAGAGGCGTGGCGCTTGGTGAGTGAAGCCAGCCTGTCGGAGGAGAGGGGTTGATCGGGAGAGGAAAGACATGTTTGACATGTAGTGGTATGAGCAACTTGAATTTAAGCTGTAGAAGGAAGACGTGTGAGTTGAAGTATGATGAGTCTTCGAATCACTTCTGAAGTCTTTGTGGTTGAGTAGGAGTAGTATTGAAGAGGTTTTGAAAACGAGCTCCGAAGCTTGAAGTTGCTATTTAGATTGCCTGCGACCTTCAGCCAAGGCAAAGCTCTCAGGCTTGCCTCGTGTGGTTCTACGCCTGGAGCTGCTGCGGGTGTGCCGTTGAAACCACATACGTCATTTTCCCGGGGGCCAGCATTTTACGTCAGCCCCCTTCAAGTTTATCTGCTATGAGATTTGCTCTTGAGATGCAGAGCAGCTTGCTAACTATCATCTTAACGCCTAAAGCCAAAGCTTACACTTCTGAAGGTCACGGCACTGTTTCGAAAAGTCGTAGCAGTGAACTCGAGTCATAGATGAATATGCTTGCTCCGAGTCCACAGCACATTGAGACAGTGGTTGGCGCTAGTACTCGGGATGTGGAGACAGCTGGAAATGTCGGCATGGTCTTCCGTTGTCTTTCTGTGCTGAGGAGCAAAGCAATGACGATGTTGTACTTTGCTTACAGTGAAGTACTTGGAGCTGTGGTCGATGTGTTGCTGTGCCACGGGTTACAATAGAGGTTTATCTGCACGGGACGATATCTACTGTTTACTCAAGTGCAGCTCTTGAGAAACACGCGAGCTGGTTAGGGTCGCCGGAGCGTGGCATCAAGTTGATATTCAGAAGTGAACACAGTATGGCCTCTTCACTAGGAAATCGCTAAAGGGTCAGAGAGACTATCGTGCTTGACAAGGCGTTGCATTCTTGTACCTTATGACTGCCATTTTAGTCAATGCAATACCTCTATTGGTATCCCATGATTTGCTCTTCTTTGACCACGAGCAACCACCAGTAGTCTAACATAGACAGTCTTAGCCCCAGCCATGCAGTCGTGCAGTCGATAAACCTTGACGCCGAAACGTTACATTGTTGTTGCTTCTACAAGAGAATAGCGGCAAACGCAGATATAGAAACACACAATAATGTACATACCAGCTCTTCCCTTCCAAACTTTTTGTGCATACGTTCTTGCACAACTGCACCGACAACAACAAACAATAACAGCACTATTAGACGATTGAGTACTCCCTTTATGCCTTTGAAAATTATGAGTGGTATGACGGCATTAACGAGTGCCGTGTATGCAAGAGAATATGGTTGGATGCATTGGGTAGATTGAACCTCACGCTCCTTTAATGTCGAGAATTTTCTGAGATCGTTGCCAACAAGACGACGTGTGTTCGAGCTGTCTGTTATCCTATCCTCGAGCCATTGGTAGTATTTTGTGAGATCGGAGGTGACTGCGGGTTTGGATATATCTTCGACTTTCTGCATCATTTCGAGAGCATGATCTGAGGCTAGATTAGCCAACACGGAAGCAGTCGAATGTTCTACACTTACAATACTGGTCGAGCTGAGCATGAAGTTCTTGATAGATTTCGGTCTCTCGGTTCTTCTTTTCTCGCCTTTGATCTTGTGACGACGATGATGATGAATCGTGGTCGAAGGATTGCTCAGTAGTATCGACCTCGGTATCAAGATCTCTGAGTTCTTCCTCGAGGTCGGCAATGTCATCCTGCATCTGCAACAACAAACGTGTCGACAATTTGCTAAATGATCTGAAGCAAGTCGGCTTGGAGACCTGCCCAGCTGGCTCACGTATATTTATGTATGGTCCTCGTTTTTCGTCTTCCGTGACCCGTGGAGGTGTGGCATAGGGAGGTGTATATGGCGGATATGGATATGGCTGATACATAGGCACATCATACACGACTGCAGGAGGAGGTGGTGGACATGGTGGTGGAATGAATCCGTCAGGATATGGTTGGGGCGATGAAGTTGACCATGTCCAACGAGGATCTATCATGGCTATTTCATTTCCTTGCAAGGGTTCAGATTGATGTCGACTCGGTAACTCTTCGTGAAGAACAGGGAGGTGAGGAGTCAGGCCGGTGATCGAGGAGCATGACCCCATCGAAATGCCCGAATCTGACATACTTCGGTAATATCCTTCAGGTTCTGGTTCAGTCTCGGCTTCAGCTTCATCTAGATGGACGACAATTCCAGGATTATTTGACACAGCCTCGTCTTGGATACTATCGCTATCGTTACCCTCGATCGGTGCAGGAGATTTTCCGTCCTTCATCTCCGATAACGACTCTTGTGACTTGGATTTGTCGTCGACTAAGAAGTCGAAAACATCACCCGAACCGACACCCTCATCATTTTGACGTCGACTTCGTTGGTCTCGCGACCGTCTCTTCTTCGTTCTATGTGATCTATCATATGACTCCTGTGTGATTGTACTGTTACTGCCTCCAGATCCAGTGGTTGAGATGGTAAGAAGAGAGACTTTGGACGATCTAGCGGTCTTGTTATTGCTGTACACTCTATTCCGACGACGAACGCCTGCATCTCGAGTCGTAACGAACATGCTCCGTAGATACGGACAACATCGCCGTCAGAGTCTATCGTGTTGATACCTGACGCTCACGTGTGTGAGTACGATAAGCCAAACTTAGAGATAAGTTGTATATTGCCATCTCGCCGATGAAAGGGGTGGTCAGTGCATTCCTGACGTACGATAAGAGAGGGGAAGGAATGCAGGTAACCGTTGACAGGTCAGAAACCGGGAAGTGCAGCAGGATTGACACCAATAGGGTGGTTGCTGCAATCTGAAACGAGGGATCGCCTGTTCAGCGGGATATTTCTCGAAATCTCAAGAACGCACAAAACGAAGTCGAGAGAAGCTTCAATTTCGTTTGCAGAGGAAGACTCGGCAGAGATTGAGATCTTCCTTTTCTTGTGCAGCAAGCTACCATTATCGGGAGTGTATCACTGCAGTAGTTCGTGCCCAAAATTGTTTGGAAGTGAGGCGGTGGATCTTCAATGGCGTATGAGATTCCGTGAGCCGTCCGATGTCTGTGTGTCACAATTGATGGATTCCGTCAAGACATGCTGTTCGTCGTTTCATCGAGGTCGTCGTGACGAGGCAAGCTCGATCGATATAAGAATCCAAATAGTCGATCATTCTGTAGGAGCTCTATCAATTGTTCTTATGCAGCGTTCACAAGAGCTCGAGTAGATGATTGATCCCTTGGCACGGGATGTTTGTTTGTGAAGGAGCTTATGCGGATGAGGAACTCAAAGCGCGACTTCTCCTGCATCTCTGATAAACGAAAACCGTAGCAAGTACCATGTGTCAAAGCCAGCACAAATCATCTCCGGGTAAGAAGTGCCTGGCGCGACAATAGCCGGAAAGCGCCAGCAGGCACGAACGACCAGCTAATGCAGAGAGGCTCCTGCCGCCGGCCGTGATAAGATTTTATCTAGACTAGAAGCAGCGTAGTAAACTTCTTTGCAACAGGTCGCCATGCTATTGCACACCGATCTTTTAATTCTCGATTTGTCTCTATCAAACTCGTGGCTTGCGTCTTTAAGCTACAGTATTGCTTAAAAACGAAGAAAGATATCCCATGAGAGAACGTGTATGGGGTCCTACATTAACAAAACAACGGCAACCCGATCCCTCTATCGAGAGATTCGAGACATCCGAGAGTTCTGCAGCTAGGAGTATGTGCGATCAAGGGTGAAAGAAATAGGTGTTTAGAGACACAATTGGCCTTCCGACCACACGAAATGGCTGTGGAATGGAGTGGTATGAGTTGTGCATCGACAACTTTGGATGGCAGAAGAACGATCACGACGATATCTTCCTATATCATACATATCTCAGCATCTCTCGTCGTTATATTACAGATGTCACAAAACGTTGTAGACCTGGGCCCGCTAATCCACTGGTGTGTTCTGACCGTCCTGCTCAGCTCTCTTAATGTCACCAATCACAGAACCAGGTCTTCCTATTGGTGGTAACACCTCTTCATGCTTCGAGAAATGCTTGCGATATTGTGATTCCTCCTCCTCCTTCAGACCATATCTAGTCGGATCCCTCCTTTCCAGAAAATGCCGTACCCTATCGTTCTTGTCTAAATTGTTATCGTCAAATTGCGAGGCTCGAGCGGTCATAAATCGAGTCGTCTCCTCTGTAAAAGCCAGCGATTTATCGGCATAAGTGCCGGCTTGCTGCGTTATGCTTGTGGCCTGTAATATGCCACTTAACACGGCAGCAGTGATGACAAACACAGCGAATGCGTTTGGGTTGATATATGTTCCTGTATATGCCTGCCTCTGCCCCTGGTTGGCATGATCTCTGTACCACCTCTCCCAGTCTTCCCAGGTAGCGTTGCCGAAGGGTGACGCGTCGTATCCAGGTGCTTGACCATATTGCATGCCGCTTGCAGTTGAGTAGCCACGAGTATGTCTTGCAGGGTTGGTCTGCTTATTTGCCCAACCTGCACCGTAGGCATCAAAGGCTTGTCGCTTGTTGGGATCGGAGATGATCTCGTGAGCAAGGATGATTAATCGATACTGCATGCATGTTAGCACTTCCAAATCGCAGCTTGATCTTGACCTAAAAACCGTACCCTTTCCAGTCTTTCAATATGACTTAACGTCTCACACCCAGCACCATTTCGATCCGGATGGTATATCTTCACAAGCTCATAGTACTTCAACTTCGTATGTTTCCCATAGATCTCTCGTCTCGACATATTAAAAATCTCGTAAGGGCTCGGGACAAATGGGTTCGACCCAGTCGTGTTCGCTTTCTGTCCATTCCGACACGGCCAGTTCATGTTATCTCGAAAGTCCACATGACTGCCATCTCGCACCGTCGCGTAGGACCTCCTCGAGATCCACGACGAAGGCTCAATAAGTCGTCGGCGCTTGTTGACGCTTCGTGGTTGAGGTCTACATTGCTGAGTCGGCAGGCCATGTGGTGACGTACTCGATAGACATGAGGGCGGTGGACTGCTACAGCAGGATGAGCATTGCTGGAGGCCGGTATACGCACTGGTTAGGTAGGTCTTCTTGAGCATGACTTTGAGGAATGGTGACACATCGTAGGAATCGAGCTGGGGTGAGTAGGCTCGAATTCGTGGTGAGCACGAGATGTGGTTTGGTCGTGGGGCAAAATAAGGCCGATCGCTCCAGTGAATCTATAACCACCAATGAATCGTCAGCTGCCGAGTTGCCGAAGTTGTTCCGTGAGGCAATACGCCAGACGACAACGAGGCGAAGCGAGTCACGATGGCCGATTTTCAGCAGTCCAGTACTAGATGGTTACGAGAATGAGAGTATTCACCTTGATCAACGGTGTAACATTTGGTGATATAGCCTGTTGCCTTAGCTTGATCACAAACACGATATGACTCCAGATGACCTTGTGGTAAAGTACTAGTAATGTGAGAACAATCTACCTATTTAAGGTCTAACAACACATGTCTCATGTATGCAAACTCGCCTGCTCACTCCTGCCCTGTTGTCGTTCATCAAGAGTCATCGCCTCTGCTTTGTAACCAGGCTTTCCGAAGTCTCCTATACCAAGACCTCCTGCCACCAAAGTAATACTAATAACACATTCATCTGATCTGTTGCTTTCGCTGCTGTGATCGCGCACTATGTGCTACCAGGAGGTAGGTACATCAACCCATACATACCACTTCTTATGCCTCCTTGTACACGTTCCAACCTGTTTCACTGCCAAACCAGCTCCTGGCTAGAGCAGCTCCCATGTCAGTAGGTTGGCTGAATGCCACCTCCTCCTTTTCAATATCCAATCCATAAATAAATTGTGTCAAAACACAGTCCAGAAGGTTATTTGCGATGCCTTTCTTCCTAGACGTCTCGGAGGTCCATATTCGCGATACACCGACTACTACTTTCGAAGCAGTGGAGTCCAGCTGAAGATCCGCCGAAGATGGGAAGTGATGATGTGGTGGAGTAGCAGACGTGGGTGTTAGTAGCGTCGAGTCCTCGCGGATGTCAGCGTTCCGCTTTTCCACGTTGACATGGTTCTGAACATCTTCGGCAGGAGGTAGATGTATCGAGTTGACCTTGTACGCCCTTGATATGCGTTCGGCCAGGCAAATAGCCACGCACTTGCCGTCGATGACATGGAGGAAGACTTTGTAGCAGTCAACTTTCTTAGAATCTTCTGCTTCGCCTTCAAGCACTTTTTGACCCCACAACTCGTTCTCAGGAATCTCAACGCTTCCCAGCTCTTTATTGACGACTTCCAACACCTTCTGGACGGTTCGTCTGGCTGGTAACGAGATCTTCCTGTCTACAACGACCACACTTCCCGCAATATTAGGTACTTCATAGCACCATTTCATGGCTGATTTCATAAAAGCTTTGTCGAGCTCAATGCCTGCCTTGTGTCGATTGTGATACATATCATGCAATTTCGCGTCTTCAGGCACCGATGGAGTATAGGACATTTGACATTGATTACACGTCACTGGCGTGTTTGATTGACCAAAATCGAGTACACTTTGCGTGAGGAGCTTCGGCTGGCTTGGTGTCGTTCGTAATGGAGGTTGCACAGGCTGGAATGCGTTTGTACATTGCGGCAACGGTGCGACTGCACGATTGCTAGAATTCATGATCTCCGAAAGTGGCTCCGAAGCATCGCGCATCCCAATATCCTCTTCTTCACGTTTCCGTTTTGCATTCTTGAGGTTTTCTTTCTGCCTCTTCTTCTCGAGCGCGGAAAATGTTGGCTTCCGCTGCTTGTGAACTGGTGGTGTGATTTCGAGCATCGGTGGTGGTGATGATGGTGGTGTGAGCGTGACGGGTTCGTGTAGATCTCCAGCTTCGTAGGAAAAGACTGTACTGTTCTTGCGTGAAGGCGACGATGATAGTGCGGCAACACTTGTCTCTCTGATGGCGCGTTCTAGACTGTCCTCGACCTCGAGGTATATACGGTTCTCGTTATTTGGTGGTCGCGACACGCGCTTTGGCTCTTCCAGCTTCTGACGTTTCGGCAGATGGTAATCGTCTCCATCCCAAGCGCGACGAACATTTCGATTGTAGGTACGCATGAAGAATCCCCTGTCAACGCGTCAATGGCTTGCGTAAGACGAAGAAGAGTGTTGTAACTTACCCTTTCTGACTATTGGTGACAGTATACGGATATAATGATGGCATGATGCGCGTCAACAATGATCGCTATCAACAGGAAGTAGTTGAGAACGAGAACGCGACGGTACAGGGTAGTGTGAGATGAACCAAAGATGCAGAAGCAGCTTAACGCGTCTCTTTAGGTGGGTTGTGATGCGGACGAGATGCAAGTCTGGTTCGAACCAGGGCTCGGCGCGCGGGTCGAACGGTTGGCGGATCGTGGGCCTGTAATTAGCCCTATTGGGGCAAAACTAGGTCACTTCCAGTTGGTTTGGTTGCGGTGCTGACCTTCTCCAGTTTTCGCTGACTTCTGCAAGCCACGATTCGCTCACGAAAACGATGCGCACGCTTGTGTGCAGGGCTCAGCAACGATCCTGAATCCTTTCACTTTGAGGAATGCTGATGCCCTGGTTCTGTCTGATCAAAAGGGTGACGTTTCACAAATGCACTTCTTTCTTGTGTATCGTTGTGGTATCGTTTGTCATAAGCTCGTCTGTCGTGATAGCTGCTTGAGTATGTGCTCAATCCAATGTTATATTAGTGCTAGTAATGCTGAGAATGATGTCAACAACTCTTGGGGTGTGAAACTCTGTAGCTTGGCCGCGGAGTGATGCTGGTTCAATTATCGAGCTGACAAGAAACCTCGAATATGTGTAAAGGAAAGACGAAGACAAAACTCCCACCAGGCTACTTTTGTTGCCTACTCGACGATTACCAAGGCATACGTTGGGCGTGTCGTGTGCTGTTTCGTAATAAAGAGCAGCCAGGCTTATTTCTGTATTTTCGAGCCCTTGGCTGTTGGCTTTCACAGCAATCCTAGGCGAGATTCTTGCCCCTTAAACTGATCTTGTCTGGCCCACGATCTACATCATCGTTCTCAATCCTTCGGCTGTGGCCTGTCAACCAATCGATGAGCTGCTGAGGACCACTGTCAAACAGCAACGACCATCCGTGACGAATCACATGCTCTTGTGTTGGGTGGATTGGTCACTTGGCCTTCGATCATTCGATGTTCGTCGTCAACCTTTTGTGCTGTCACCAGAACGACGAGCGTCGTGTTCGTTGTTGGCTGAATAACCCACCTCGCGTGTCGCCATCCTGATCACACTCCGCGATACCAGCCTACTCTCGAGTATTTCCACACAGGGCAGATGTGAGGCTCGCAGGGCGGCAATGCTGGCTTGTGCCGTGCGTCTAGAAAGTCGTACATACTATCGTAGCTCCACACCTTGAGCCCAAGACGTCCAAACGTGCCGTGAATGCTGGAAGCAAGTCTGCCTAACACAAAGCCGGGGGGGCAACACTCAAGTTGGTCTCGGCGTTGCATGCTCTACATGCTATCATGGGGACAGGCACGTAAGAGTGAACATATGAGACAATGATTTGACTACACTCCAAAGGTTGATTACGTGCTCTGAGCTCTGGTCCACAACAAGTATGCGGAGGGAGTACATCGCTCTTTCTGGCGCGACCGTACAAGGGCGCCTGAATCACGGCCAGAATCAAGATTCTCAATTGGACAAGTGGCAGGCGTGCTCCAGATGAACTCTGTACAAGACAGGAGGCAACAGCAATGGACGAAGGACCATGCTTTATGCGGAACCGAGAGAAACAAGTTATTGGCACGAACGAAACTTTGTGGGGGAGTGCCTAAATGCCTTGTAAACAAGTATGTCCGAGACTGTTCAAAAGTTGTCTATCAACAAGATGGCTTCCCAATTACGAGCTCAAATCCTACTGAATTCCATTAGACTATTTGAGTAGTAAATTTCCCCGGTGCTTCTCGCGTCCTCCGAGCTCAATACGTATAGATAAAGCGTGGCGATCTATCACCCATCTCAGCGACCTCTTCCTCGGTCTTCCCTTCGGCCTTCCAATCCTCTTTGCCAGCCGCTCGCCGTTTGTTTGCATTGGAGAAGTAAAACCACAGGATTGCATAGACAACGACCGCCATCGCCACCATAGCTAGACTGACAGCATGACCGGTGATATACCGTGGCGCGTCTGCAGTCCTGTAGATGAAAGGTGCCATGATGCCGCTGAGATTACCGCAGGTCTAATTGAAGTCAGTAAATCCATCAAAACGAAGATCACCACACATCAACTTACAAGCTGCAGACCGGTGGCTGTTGTCCTTTTGCCGTATCTCGGATTGTTGGAAGGTAGCCAGCCCAAAGGAATGCCGACTACCACGTAGAGTCCAGTTGCGATCAAAAAGCAACCAAAATACTTGGCCCCGTTGCTCGCGTTGCTCAGCATCACAGCATATCCTATACAACTGACGACACCGAAGATGACAGTCACAACACCTCGTTTTTGTAGCCTGTCACTAACCCACGCAGCAACTAAGTAAGTGATTGCTCCAATAGCGTAGCAAGGAATTGTCAGACATTGAACTTCAGCCGTGGTCCACGTGCCTAAACCTCGAATGATGGTCGGCAGGAAGGTTGAATAGCCGTAAAGCATCGTGTCGACGCCAAATTGGCCAAGGCAGAACATCCATATCTTCCAGTCTTTGAGACCAAGTATAACGTCCTCCTTCTGAAACTCGTCTGCCGATTTGCTGTATCCAGATTGGCGCTCTTTGCGAACGATCATCAACTGCTTCTCCTCTGCAGTCAGGTAGTGCGCATGCTCTGGATCGTCAGCTAGCCACCACCACACAGCGATGCCGAGGACGATTGTGGGGAGACCTTCGATGATCCTGTATTTCGTCAGTAGTGGACAGAAAAATCAGAGCTCAACCTTACATAATCCAGCGCCAGCCTCGCTGTCCAGCAACGCCGTCCATATGACCTATTCCATACGCGAGCAGTCCTCCAACAGATCCGCTTATCGCTGCACTGACGAAGAGATATCCAACTCTGAGCGCGATTTCTCGTCGAGTGTAAAACAGAGTCAGATAGATGGTAAGACCTGGGAAAAGTCCACCCTCGAGGGCTCCTGTAACATCATGCGTCAGTTTCACTATCCGCAGAGATCCATTCCACGAGCAGCCTTACCTAGAAAGAGTCGACATGCTAGAAGGCCACCATAGCTTTGAACGATGCCAGTCAATGTCGCTACCAGTCCCCAGGAAGTTGTCAAGAAAGCTAACCAACGACTTGGTCTAAACTTCTTGATCACGAGATTGGAGGGCAATTCCGATAAGATATATGTTACAAAGAGGATGGAAACCTATAGTTTCGTGACTATCAGGACGATATTCTGTAACACGGTCGGAGCAATACATCTCATCGCCACGTCTCAACTTACAGCAGTTTGAAATTGGTCACCACGCATTCCAAGGTCTCGCTAGTTGGGATTAGTCAGACATTCAACGCCATGTCGTTCCATCACCTACCTCCAAGCCATAAAGACGTGCATTGCCGATATTGACTCTGTCCAAGAAGGAGAACAGATAGAGGAGCATCACTGGACTCTTGGTCAGTCAAGAACGGTGGTGCTTGCGTCCATCGTAACGAACCTGGTGGCACAATCCATCGATCGAGCTTGCGAATGAGCTTTCGTTCCGCCACATGGTCGATCTCCAATGAACTATGATCAAATTTCGCATTATCGTGTATAGTCCCATCCTGGGTGTTCTTTTCAGACAGGTCGTGTGTCATGTTGCTGTGCATCTATGTATTCATCAGCACGTGGTACAAGTACTGTGTCTTGTAGGTATACGCACTACGTATCAGAACTATGGCAGCGGAGTCTGGAGAAGTGGCGATGTATAAGTTCTATACTTATACACATCTTGAGTAGTATCCAGCGACCGGGTGATAGTCACTATCTACTCGCACCAAAATCGGCTGTTGGATGCATGACACAATGTTGTACCAGCACTCGAGGATTCGTGGGGTGCCCCTGCCGAATCACCTTCGGAGGTTCGAGCCGCGGAGCCTCTTGGCAGCAAGGATGATGATAGGCACTATTCAAGCACGGCGATGAGGCGCCGACGGAGAACATGATCGGGACGTCCTCCCTATCAAATAGTACCTATACATGCACTCGTAGTCTCAATACATTGAAGCTTGTCTAGAAGTCGCGAATTGTAGTAGTGCGACTGGGTTGCCATGACTGGCGTAGAACGAGTCGTGATACTTTAAACATCACACCACGAACTATTTCCATTCGATCAGTTCAGGCTTTTTGCTACTAGTCCTGGCGATCAAAGCCGACACTTTCCAGAACACGACAAGGAAGATAGGTTCTTGCTCGGGTGACCAAGTTGGTCAAAAGACGAGAATGAAACGCGTCAACGATGAGTGGGTTGGCTGTCAAAGCTGACGTGTCTGACAGATGGACGTGAGTATACTGAGATGTACTTGTAAGCAAGCATTTCAGCAAGATTGGTCTAAACCTATGTAAACACGACATTGACATACCCAAGTGCGTCTCCTATGTATGTACATTTCAATCCCTATGCAAAAACCTTGGACAAATTCGTACCATTTCACTTGCGCCTCGTTATCCGTACATCATGAATCGTGTTGATCCTTTGTCATTTCCACACCAAAAACCACAATGTTGATATCTCAAAAAGGTCATCTTCTCGTTTGCTCCCTGGTGTCTATACCGGAATGTCTAATTTCATATGCCCCTCCACCTGTAATTTGTGCATGACCCACTTACAAAACTCCGTCCAGTCCTGATATATGCAAGAAAGCTACCAACTCTTTACCCACGTCCTCCGCTTGCAAGGCGGCTACCTGGTTGCTTTCAGAAGATTCGCCCAGGATGACTACTGCCTTTGCTGCTGGAAACGACTCGGATCGTTAGGTCCAGGCACGACGACATTCATGTACTCCATGGGTAGTACATGCCTGATTTGCTGCATATTGTCCATGCCTCCACCACTGTTGTCGTCGAGTTGTCCATCCATCATATGATCATCAGGCACAGGGTTTGGCATCATATGTGGCTGTTGTATCGGCGAGATGTATTGACTGCTGGGCTGTGAGATCGATTGTGAATAATCAGTTGGACTGTGGTGTTGCGAGAATGGTCGAGAATCATGATTGTTCTGTGGCATATTGTTTGGATCGCCGAACTGAGGATGGGGGCCAGGATCGGAGTGGATGTCCGGATGCTGTTGCAAAGGTGGGCGTTGAGTATCCACAAAGTGCTGCATGCCTGGATGAGGTATTGGTGGCATTCGAAAGACTTGGTCTTGCTGCCCAAACCCTCCCGCTAATTGCGCCTGTATCTGCTCTATAATCTGAGGATCGATAGCCATGTCATCGTACATCATCTCAGAGTCGGCGCTCTGTATACCGTGCACAAGATCGCCGTCGGTGTGCATGCCTATTTGCTGCTGTATAGCACGATAGTCGTCAGGTGAGATGTGCTCTGAAAAGCTGTCCATATCGTCGCCTTTGTATTCACCTTCGGGTAAGTCGTGATCGTCAATACTGAGGGTCATCTGGTTGGATTGCATGTTGTTTTGAAGTCCTTGGGTCATGCCCGAAAGGTCTTGGACAGACATACTGGTCTCCTGCTGCAAAACGTGTCCATTCTGGTTGTTTCGATCGGGTGTGGGTGTAGCCAGCGAATCCGTCTCATCGTATTGCGTGTCGGAATCACCATTCTCTTGTTTAACAGGTGTCGGAGGTAACGGCGGCAATTCAGATGGCCTTTCTTGACCCTCCAGTGTTTTGCTCCTAGCAGATCTCGTGCCTGCGAGTGGTGGTTTGTTGGTATCTTTGCACTCTATACAGTTTTTGATTACATGACTGACGGTTTCCTTAATTCGAACCCAGTGATACTTGGTAGCTATCACTGCTGTTGTCTTGTTGATTCCACCATGAGCCTGGAGATGGACTTGTTTCGCGATATCGTATTGTGCTTGAGGGTCGGAAATGACCTCTTTGTCTTTCAGCATCAACTTTTCCGCCACGCCGTCGTGGGCGGGGATGAGTTTATAGTGCGTGGCGGCACTTCTTAATCGGCTCTTCTCAGATCTATCAGCACCCTGTGGATAGAGCGAGTGGCGAAGATAGTACCGTATTTTATCGAAGCGTTCTTCGTTTCCAACATTGCCCTCCTCCGCTTTGAGATCTCGACCATAAATAATGGCATCAACAGGCTCGGGGAATGATTTGAGATTGCCGCAAGCAGGCACTCTTCCAATCCGCTTGAAGCCTAACGAATCCCATATTTTGGTTGAAGCGGTATTGGTCTCGTATACAAGATTGAAGACAGAGTAAGTATAACCCTGTCTTGATGTCAACGACTTACAGTTTCACTTACTGAGAAAGAACGACCTACCAGTTGAGGAGCCCAGTCGAGATAACATTGGCCCATGGACTTACCAACACCCTTGTTGCGTGCAGCAGGAGTGACCAAGAAGCCGCCATTACAGACATGGCTGCTTCTGCCAGGATAGTTAGGCTTGATGTAAAAGCTGCCTAAACATAGCTTGTTCCAGTCCGCACCATTCCGTTCCATCTCGCTGGCAGCTTCAACACCACCTATATCCCCCAGTACCATGACGGCGCCAAAGTTACCGAACCAATAATTGCCAAACACATCCAGTGGCAGCGAGTTCATCATAGGATAGGTATTGCCATCCTCGATTTCTTTGTTGAAGCATTCTGACAGATATGCCAACAGCCTAGGAGGCACCGCATCGGGAGAAAAGAACGGTATGAGTGTCGCGATTGTCACGCGATCTCTCAAAGTCACAGTCTTTGGGAAGATCGACGATGGGATTTGCGGGTTGGCTGGCGTCGGGTATGGACCTGGGCCACTAGTTCTATAAATGGTCGGAGATGTCGGGTCTTCCAGTAACGCCGGCATTGCGATTCACGTGGTAATACCTGCGTTCAATCTTCAAAAGACCCGACGACAATTTGAGCGGACTTTTCAGAATGGTTAAAGAACTGGTCACGAGCGTCAGGAACAGAGCAAAGAGTAAATGAAGTAAAAAGAGGCTGAGTTTGAGTAGCGAAGTCCGGCCGTTCAGCCTTTGGTGGCTTCTGTTTCTTGGCACATGGAAGATGAGGCTGGAATAAGCGTTGTGAACCTTAAAATGGAACGATTGCTCGGTTATTCGTTGCTCGTCGGACTCCAGAACGACAAGCATTATGCCCTAATGCAAGGGTCGAGAATTGTCGCTGTTTCATATCACGGTTCATATGCATCGCAGGTCTATACATCACTACGTAACCCATGACGAGAACAACATAGAAGAAGGAATAGAAATGCAAGATCATACTACCTCGAATTGTGCTGAGAGAGTGATTCTCTGCACTCTTCATTTGCCACCCACAATCAGATACTCGGACAATTTATACCAACCAATCGAACACAAAACGCCACCATGCTTCAACCTCATAACACATAACGTCGTAAGTTGTTCTAGCATTGCGACCCAATGTAGGTATCCCATATAATACACCACTGCTTCTTACTCAAGACATCCTTCCCGTCCTAGTTCTATCCTGTTTTACAACTTGTGTTGACCCTCCAAATCCTTCTTCAAGTTACCCAGTAGCACTTTCCAAGTCCCTGCACTGATCCGTCCCATATCCTTCTTAAGTACAGCTCGTTCGAGCACACGATCCACAACGCCGTGTCTGGGGACTTTATTGCTGAACGATCGTATGTTGCTTAGTACACCATGACCTTGTGTTGCAAGCATTTGACGTTGCATAGACGAGCAACCAGTATAGACCATCGGATCGCCTGTCGCAGCGACCAATAACGTAACAGCCAGTGAGAAGACGTCGGACGCCGTTGTTGCGCATGATTTTGGGTTTTTCATGACAGCGCTCGTCAACAATTCTGGAGCTGTGTATTCCATAGTCACAGCTGAGAGTGTGTTTGGTGTTACATCGTCAACGTCGAGTCGTTGACTTGATGAGAAATCGATGAATAAGGGATCGTATGAGAATATGTTTTCTGCATCATTCAGGTCCGACTTTGGTCGAAGCACGATGTTTCCGGGTTTAATATCACCGTGGATCATAGCTGCCTCGTTATGCATCCAGTCTAATGCAGTGATAAGCTTTTCTGCCAGGTTCAGCCATAGCCTTGCGGTGCCGATGACAGGTGAAGTCGAGTAATTTGATGCTGTAGAGGTCTGGGCAGCCCTGGCACATGCTCTGATATGCTCTTCTAGTGACAAGGGGAAAGCAGTGAGGACCAGCGCGGATTCCTGATCGATGATACCGTGAAAAGTAACAACATACTCCTCGTTCAGGTCTAATAGTCGTAGTCTGCTCAATGTCTGTGCTTCGTTGCGTATGATGGCTACACCGTCCTTTCGTGCCGGAGATTTGACTGCAACGAGTAATGGTGGTGTTGGTACAGATGCAGACGGTGGTGTCATCACACCGTTCGATAACGGAGCTGAAATGTGGCACTTTGCTTTGTAAACATTGCTCCAAGCACCATAGCCGAACATTTGTCGCTTGTCGTTCTGGTCCTTGATATACACGACCTCATATGGACAGGAGATAATCCCGTCGTTGGTGTACTTAAATGTTCGTTCTGTATCAACGGACGACCTTAATGTATCAAGTGATTCGTAATCGACGGTTGAGTCAGCTGAGGGTCCAACCCGTTGTGGTGGTGATGAAGGTGGTGTAAGCATGCCTGCTTTTGCCGGTCTGTCTGTTTTGCTCGTGTTTGATGTCTGCTGCTGGGTAGACAGAACGTCGGTTCTAATAGATATGGATGGCCGTTCCCCATCACTGGCCTCAGGCCCACGAGAGACAAGAGTAGACTCCTTTTTATTCATGTTGTCAGACATCAAAGCACTTTGTCGCTAACAATGCTGAGAGATCAATGCTTATTGTTCAACGACCTCTTGGCGGCGTTGTAATCGTTTCTTGCTAATCCTCCAATGTAGCAATAATCAGAGAAGGTTGGACAATTGATTATTGTTCGGTGAAAAGAAGACAAGAAATCGTGATGAGGGAGTGCCATGCTCAGTATCCATACACTATCCTCATGCCCAAAGACGGATACTATGGCTGCTTGTTCAGCAGATTTCCTCCAGTGATAAGTCGCGAAAGTGTGCAAAGGTCCTCAAGTCCTTCCAAAATCTCCTTGTGAGTCAGGGTAACCAATCTCGTAAACCACAGGTCATTGGTGTCCAGAAGTGTGAGCAAGATTTGGGCTCTGGAACCTGATTCGTTTGACCGTAAGCAAACCAATTCTGTGACACTCGCAGAAGTCTTGAATACAAGCGTAGCCAGTGAGGTGATGGAAGGAAGAGTGTTACTAGAAACCTGGAGGGAGCGATTTGGAAGCGGAAATGTCCTGCCACGGTCGTCGCATATCTAGACTATCTGGGCTCGTTTGCATGATGTCAGGCCTCGACGCGCAGGTCAAGAGCGAGGAGAGCCTCAAACTCTGAAAGCACAACAGAAAGTCGCATCATTGGTCGAAAGGCCATACAAGATCGGAATTTGGCGAATCAGAACGCCGCACGGTGCAATGATTGACGCCAAAGTGTGCACGAACATCGCGTGTGTTCGACGATAGGAAGAGAAGATAGCGAGCGGGAAGGGAGGACATGCCAGAACTGTGGTAGGGTTGCAATTCGACTAACCCCTTGTAACGGTAGCACTAGTCTTCATTAAGCACGCACTCTATTACCAAGCTATTCACCGATAGGGCATAGTCTGCAAGTCGATATCCCGAGCCGTTGGCCAGCGCCCGATGCACATGATGTCCTCGAAGCAATACCATTCGTCCATCAGTAATTAACATGATCTGCTGCTTAATTAGCGTGCTTCAGACAGCCAAGCTTTAAATTTAGGTTGTACGGCATGCAGTGCATGAAGATTCTATACCATTTCGGGGATGTGTTAGGGAGTATGATAGCTAGAATAAACGCATACACGATGGATGTGTATGTCTCTCTTGTTAGCAACCATGTTGAGGAATGGGTGCACTGTAGCATTGATTGCAGCTGATTCAATGCTTGAGCAGATAGACTTTGCATTAAGAATGGCGTGAACCGGGTTCTCGTACACTAGCCCTGCTATAAACTCGCAATCGAGTCATGCCTCTGGAAGCGGAGGTCCGCAGCTCAGGAAAGTGCACGAGCTTTTCCAGACATAGAAACAGACTAGATGCTGAAGTAGTTTCAAGCAATGATCTCTCGTGCGCCCTAGGATATTGTACTTTGTGCCCGAAATAGCTCTGAGCTGCAACTTAGATGCACAGCCGACGTCAACCCACTCACGCGGGCAAGCCTGTCGCGGGCGGTATACCAAACTGTGATCATAATAGAAATAAGCAAAGGTTGACGGTGTTATCAGCGACGTCGGTTGGAGTCGAGCGACAAGCTAGTCGATGTGTAGGAAGCTGGAAGCTGCCGAGAATCATCTAGGTCTTCCCAATGATAGGATCGGTTGCCTGTTGTTAGGCAGCTGCAAGTGAGTCAAGTACATCTTTGGGAGAGCCTGTGGGTATTTTGTAATGAGTAAAAAGGCCTATTTGGAGACCGCCAAACCACATCACGGTCGAATTTGATGTTTTGTACGTAAAGCTGCGCAATGGTTCATTTGCAGACCATAGTTTGAACTCTTTGGTAAAATGCTTCGGTATACCAGCCTGACTGAAGCCAGTGTCTCTGTTCATGCGGAATTCGTGCCTAAGTCTTCTATCTCCAGCTTGCTAGCTAAGGCATACTTTGTACCAAAAGAGCCCCTTCTTATGGCTTCGGCACGTGCAAAGTCTTGGAACACATGAGACAGCCATTAATAACGAATATAACTGCTGCCGGATGGAATTCGAACGGCGTGCCTGCCAAGGCGATGCCTAGGGGGATATGGTCGTGGATAGCACCCATCCAAGTCCATAATGCCATGATGGTAGTAGAGGTAAGACATGCGAATGGAATTGGTGTACCCTCGAAATATTTGCTTTTGCCCGTCTCGTCCTTGGGAAGCATTGCAACTGTTACATTGAATCGAGCGAGTCGTGTGAGGCCGCAGAGGACATAGAAGCTCAATATCAGGTGGTCGACGTTGGTTCGTAGGCCCAAGGCGAAGCCAACAGAAGCAGGTGCGACACCGAAAGAGATCAAATCGGCTAACGAATCCAGTTCTTGACCCATGAGAGACGACTTCTTCCTCCATCTTGCAACCTTTCCATCTAGAAAATCAAACATAAGTCCTGCTACTGGAAAGATAAAGGCGGCGTAGAGGTTCGTGAAATGCGAAGGGTCTCCCATGGCGTATCGCATGGCCGAGAGCACGGCCATAAAGCCACAGAATCCTGGTTCTATTAGTGAAGGTTGTGCAAAAACGCGAAGCCCTTACCATTCATCTCGGTGATCGCATCAGCTAGATGTAGCGCTCGTACCAGAGAGAAATGACCTGTATCCTGTGCCAGCAACGTTGCTTGTTTGCTCTGCACTGGATCTTTTGGCTTCACCAGGGCTTTGTCCTTCTCTCTTTCAGCTGAAGTGATTCCTGCTCGCTGCGACATGATGCCGGCCTTTGTCGTCTTTGATGATTTGGGAGACGAGTTCTAGACAATTGTACTGGTATACCGAACGTAGTAAGACCTATATTTGTGTAGATAAGTTTGTAGGATGACTTCAGTAAAGGCAAGGCTAAACGCGAGAAACCTGGTTTGTTGCAAGAAAACCGTGCCTGACATACGGTGACATTTTGAAACTGATCTACGTCATACCTGGGAGTTCAACACATTTTATGGCTGTCTGTGTGAGAGATTACTGGTACTAGTACTATACGCAGAAACTCTGTTAGGATTCGCGTTCGCTACGAGGTAGCTGCGTACCTTAGCTGAGAATTCTCGATCTCCATCTCATCGTAGTCATAGCAAACAGCAGATGACCGCATGTCTGGAGTGTCCCTCTCGAAAAGTTGCTGTTTGCTGGGTTCCTATCTTTACATGAACCTCCTGCAGCATTTGAGCCATGGTTCCAGTTCAAATTGATCTCCGCTAGCAACGATTGTCGACGGTTCCCATGCAAATACCCAATTTTCCACGAACTCGTATACCTGGTGTTCGGGCTCCATCTCTGCCATAGTGCATCAAATGGGTTTGCTTGAGCGACCGTCAGAGGAGAAGAATAGAGTAATCTTGCAGTCGTAGTGAAGTGCAATACTCAGTAACGATGTGAGACCCTCTCGTGCAAGAAATGTCCAGCCAATGTTTTTGCCCATAATCCATTCCCACCCTGTCTTTCCTGAACTCCTCATAGGTATGCGCAACAGCTCTAAGGAGCACAGCTCGTAGACGCAAAAGATCAGCCGCGACCTCTGCCTCTTCCACCAAAGCCACCACCACCAAAGCTTCCACCTCTTCCCCTTGGCGCACCTCGGCCACCAAATCCTCCTCTTGGAGCAAAGCCACCACGACCTCGAGGAGCACCTCTGAAAGGACCACCTCGACCTCTGGGAGCGCCTCGTGGAGCACCGCGACCACCCCGCGCACCACCTGCTGGCTTCTTTTTTGTGATACCTACTGGCTTTGGCCTTGGCAAGAACCTGTATAACTGTATCAGCAACCGAACTCTCTTCGCATCTGTTATGCTCTTACTTTTCTAATGGCAATAGCTTGTCACCACCAATGTAAAACTTATCACCTTGCTTGAACGATGTGGCTTGTATGCCTTCTTGTGGTTTTATTGTGAAGTAGACCTGGTTGATTGGACCCAGTATTTCATCGACTTTTCCTATGGCAGTCTGTCTCCGTCAGCCATGATCCAGAGCATGCTAAGCATCTAAGTCTTCACACACCTTGTTCTCGAGATATATCGGCGCATTGAAGTAGGGAACCTTGGTATTGATCGACTCGCACACTATTTCGCCTTCGCAAGCATGCACGAAACTGCCCATTTCTGTAAAGTGTAAGCGCAAAGCTGAAGTCCGAGCCAGCTAAGAACATACCTAGCACTTGCGCAGGTGGTCCAAAGCTTTGTTGTTGGAAACCACCACCAAATCCACCTCGTCCTACAATTCTCGTTAGGATCCAATTTTGCGCCGGGGACTTTTTTCGACCTTCTTACCACCTCGACCTGCGAACGATCCTCCTCTTGCTCCTCCGCCTCTGCCACCACCCCTCGAATTACCACGAAACGACATCGCGATTGTCTTGTCGCAAGCAAGTCCAGATCGATGTGGGCAGAAAGGTGATAATTTTCTGATGTCGGCAGGCAGGTGGTCGGGGTGCGTGCAGAATTATTTGGCTCGTCGGAAAATCGTTGTGCAATTCTCCGCGTCAAATGCACACCACATTCAATCCAAATTCAGATTTGATACCCACCACCACTTCTCCACTTCACCATATGGACAATTCAGTATGAGCCACAAAAAGAGTGCCCCTTCCCTGGGCTTACGACCTCACAATCTCTGGGGCACCTTGCAAGGCGAAAAGATGACTCAACAAAATGGCGACCATGCTGCTGCTCCTGAGTCACAAACACATGGATTAAAAGGCCAAACTATTACTGCAGTCCAAGGAAACAAGATGGCTACAGGAAAAAAGGACATGTCTGACCAAGCTGCTCCAGCGTCTCAGGCTGGTAAGGAAGGACTACCTGACTTTATTGTTGAACGAAACAGACTCTTCGATGAGCTGAAGAAAAAGTACGACGATGAACTGGCCGCCAAGGAGAAGACCCCAATCAAAATTAGATTCACGCCTGAACCTGGTACTATCAAGGAGATCGAAGGCAACGCCTGGGACACTACTCCAGGCAAGCTCTTGAAGGACGTACCGAAAGAACGTGCTGCCAAGATTGTTGTTGCAAGAGTCGATGGTAAGGAATGGGATCTTGATCGACCTCTCGAGAAAGACTGCTCTGTTGGTTACTACACTTTCGATGACAAAGAAGGACGCTATGTCTTCTGGCACTCTTCAGCACACGTTCTTGGTGAGTGTGCAGAGCACCAATATGGCTGTAGACTGTCTCATGGTCCGCCCACCGATATGGGTTTCTTCTACGATATGGCGCTGGAACCAGGTAGAGCAGTCACCGAAAGTGACTGGCCTTCGCTTGAAGCCAAAGCAAAAAAGTTCACTACCAAGGACAAGCAACCCTTTGTTCGACTGGAAGTTGGAAAAGACGACCTGCTGAAAATGTTCGGCTATTCCAAATACAAGACTCATTACATCAACCAGCTTGTGAAGGACGACAAGTCTACAGTTTATCGAAATGGTGACCTTGTAGATCTCTGCCAAGGTCCTCATATACAAAACACTCGCAAGATTGAGTCTTTCAAGATTATGAAGAACTCCTCTGCATACTTCCTTGGTGACCAAGCCAATGACTCATTGCAACGCATTCATGCCGTCTCCTTTCCTAACAAGCAAGGTCTTAAGGAATGGGAACATATGCTCGAAGAGGCTAAGAAGCGTAACCATCAGCTAATAGGCAAACAGCAAAAATTGTTCTTCTTTTCACAGCAATCGCCTGGCTCACCATTCCTTTTGCCTCACGGTACTCGCATTTTCAATGCTCTCCAATCTATGCTGAGGGACGAGTACTGGAACAGAGGTTATCAAGAAGTACAATCTCCGAATATGTACAACGTCAATCTCTGGAAAACCAGTGGTCATTGGCAGCACTACCAGGACGACATGTTTCGTGTCATAGTAAACGACGAGACCTCCGAGCCACCTCAGCCTATGCCTCTTAGTGATCAAAAACCTTCTGGTGCACCAGTAGCCGATATCAAGAATGACGACAAAGACAAGGGAGTTTTCGCGCTCAAACCGATGAATTGTCCTGGCCACTGCCTTCTCTTCCGAGATGAAGAACGCTCTTACAGAGAACTACCTTGGAGAATCGCAGATTTTGGTGTACTGCACCGTAACGAGGCAAGTGGTGCTCTATCTGGCTTGACCCGTGTCCGCAAATTCCAACAAGATGATACCCACATATTCTGTACCAAAGACCAGATCATGGGTGAAATCAAAGGACTCTTCGACTTCATGAACAGCGTCTACTCTCTCTTCGGCTTCCCTTTCAAACTCAAGCTGTCCACACGACCCGAGGGCTTCATGGGCAAGATCGAAGAGTGGGACGCAGCAGAAGCACAACTCAAGCAAGCCCTACAGGACTTTCGAGGTGATGACTGGGAACTAAACCCCGGCGACGGCGCCTTCTACGGACCCAAGATCGACATTACCATATCCGACGCCCTACGCCGAGAGTACCAATGCGCAACCATCCAGCTCGATTTCCAAGGTCCCCAAAACTTCAAGCTCGAATACCGAACCGGCGAAGCCTCCCAAGAAACCGACAAAGAAGCAAGCGCAAAAGAGAGAGAGAAGGATCCCAATGCCCTCACCACAGGCATGGCTCGACCAGTCATGATCCACCGCGCCATCGTCGGGAGTTTCGAGCGCTTCATCGCCATTCTCTGCGAGCACTTCGCTGGCAAATGGCCCTTTTGGCTCTCCCCACGACAGATCATGATCATCCCCGTCATGCGAGGCGCGGAAGATTATGTCCGAGAACTCCAGCAAATCTTCCACAAAGCAAAGATGTATGTTGATGTTGACTTGAGCGGAAATACCCTACCCAAGAAGATTCGAAACGCGCAAATTGAGCAGTATAATTTTACTTTTGGTAAGTTGACAAAATTCCCTTAGCAAACAACAATACTAACAATACATGTAGTCGTCGGCGCCCAAGAACAAGAAACTCGCACCGTCAATATCCGTAACCGGGATGATCCAGCCACGCAGAAGCAGGGGCAACTTGTGCCGTTGAACAAGGCGCTTGCACAATTGATTGAGTTGAGAGATAATCGGGTGTTGGAGAGTAAGATTGATTTGAGTGAGTAGGCGAGGTAGAGCAGTGAGTCTACTTTGATCACCGCTGATGCGTGTACGCAGGCCAGACTACATGTAGCACTAGTATGTTGATGTCGTGGATGGCAATACTGCTACGGTTGATTGTTGTTGCGATATCTCAGATAGGTGCTCGTGTACTCTAAAGCCTTTTTACACTATTGTGCCTGCTTGTCATGTTATGTTCTTCAGATGATTCGAGACGATATGATAGACTCGTTTATGGTTTCGCAGCATTTCTGGTTCTGCTGCTGATTATGTATTGTAGCTCTGAAGCATACGTGGGCAGCCAGCACATGGTCGTGAAGCAAATTCACAAAAAATGCACTGTTTCTCGTAATAAAGTACAGATGAAGGTATATCAGTGGATGTACAGCTCTCATGTTTTCTGATACTAACGACATACTACTTTTCAGAGTCGTCGAGATTATCCAATACTACTCTCAATGTCTCTTTACACAGCCCGCTCTCCTTCCCCCTCTGCAACCACTGGCTGGCTCAACCCTCTAGCTGGACTTTGCAGGACAAGCTGTTCTTCTCTCCTTGCCCTCAAGAAACCAGATACCGCCCTGATCAGCAGGAACCACCCACATATCATAAGAGCATAGGAGATGAAGTCTGCGCTGCCGAACCCGCCAGACCCGCCACTGACATCACCTCCATTACCTGTAGGATTGTTCGGGTCGAAGTCGTGAGAGTTAGGATCTGATACGCCTCCACTGAATTGTCCAGGATTGGCCGCATCGGGGTTGGCCGCATCCTTGCCTGTTCTCATGTAGAAGCCGTATTGTACAAGCGTCAATCCCAGACCAGCAAGCGAACCGTTCTTCGCAGCGTGGGTTGTGTGGAGTAGGTAAGTAAGTAGGAAACCAGGGAACAGAAAAGACATGCTAATCATGCCGTTCCATATGAATGAGAAGACGCTGCCAACAGGAAGGCCATTAACATATATTTCGTCACTGTTCATGCCTGGTGCTAGGATGGTAGTCTCCCAATAAGGAGGGGCACTATCGGAAGCGGCCGCTTCATATGAGGGAGGCTTATCGTCCAGTGTCTCGCCTGCTGCAGGTTTCGCCGACATGTTTGCGAAGACACCATCTGACGATCGAGGGGCTGTCACGCCCGGTATTACTCGAGAGGATGTAGGAAGTCGAAATGCTGGAATCTCGGTCACACGTCGCTCGATCCTAGGAGCGTCGGTGGTGGCAGTGGGCGCTTGAGCAGCGCTACCAGTATCGGCCAGCGAAATAGATCTCGATGTGTCGGCCCGCATCAGACGCTGTCGATCGTCTGGCTCGTTCTCATCGTCTGAAGCGCCATCGTCTCCGAAGGCATCGGCTAATTCATGATCTGCCGCATTGTTGAGGGGGTCCTGGCGCAGAAGGCGCCTCGATGAAGGAGAGGAGGCACGGGAATGGAACGAGGGAGGCGGCGAGGATGGGACTGCATGCTGTTGATTCGATGAAGGGCTTGTCGGTGAATTGTAGGTCTCATTGTCGTCGTGGTCGTCTTGTTGATTCACCTGTAAAGTCGTCAGTTTGCATGCCACTATCGAGAAATGCTTGCGTCGACTTACAGCAGCATAGCGCTGAGGGCTCATTTTGAGCCGCTAGCAAGGAAGAGAGTACTATGAAGGGGTATGTGGTGGTCAATCGTGGAGGAAGAATAGAACAGGTCGTTAATGTAAAGGAAGACGTTAATCACCTCAGGCTGACTTTCGGCTCAGTAATCGAACCTGCTAGGCGGTCACAATGCGACAATTGACCCTGAACATAGCCCCGAACGGCCGAAGTGGCGAGAGTCTGGAGGGTCAGGTGCTGTTTGCAAACAAGGAAGGTCAAGCGTAAGATCTATTTTGGATTATGTCAGAAGCTCAGCTGCGCGAGTGATGACGCTGTTTTGCAGTGCTGCTATTTTGTATTGCCAGATACATTCACAGTTCTGGGTTGATCCTTTAGCACCACTCTCTACACATCAGTGTGCTATTCACAGATTATCACAGCATGGCAACTAATTCGGTAAGTTTAGAATGCTTTCTTGATTATTGCCGTTTCTAACAACAGACAGATTGCCCTGAGGCACTGGCAGCGAATCATCTCACGATGGCCCATCGACAAAGTGAGACCAGAGGCAGTTTCCTTTCAAGCTTTAATGAAGAAGAGACTCGAAAGGTATCAGAATCCGTCTAGCGCGAATACGATTACGAAGGTGCAAGGTACCGAAGCCAACGCAGCACCAATCAACCTCACATGGAATGAGAACAGAGAAATGAAGCAAACGAACGTCCTCTATGCTCTTCTTGAGAATCGCTTCCAGAAAGAGTCGCCTCTACCAGATAGATTGAGATATCCAGCCAGCGAGGTCAATCACTATGATATGATTATTAAAGAGAGCGAGCGTGCTCCAAGCAGAAGCTTTCTAGACAAGCTTACAAACAGATTGAAGGGCATGATCAGGTTACGATAGGCCTGCAGTATATTGAAAGAAACCATTCTACGACGCGCGGAGGAATGCCTGTGCACTCATACCGCATCAGCCAACGACATCTTCCACAAGTAGCACGCCTCTTCTGCAACCGCTCATGCGCCGGTGCAGTTGCGACTTCGCGCATATGCAGCCGATCCAATTCGAAGTCGATGTGCCTAAAGATAGTGGAAGGACCCTTGGGAGTTATCGCACTACTATGCAACGTCTGCACAAAGGCGGTGCAATACGAAATGCTCGCATATCAAGAGGGTCTAACTACTTCTTTATGCGGCCCTTCTTCATTGACGTTTCCAAGAACGAAGACATCAGAAAGAGATGTCTTGAGGGTGAGGATGTTCTTCGGAGACGATATACAACATATAATCCGGAAACCGAATCAAACTCTTGAATTTATGTCGACCAACTTGCTGCTGAACCGATACTCAATGGCTCCGAGACAGGCAGCAACTAAAAATCGCCGAAACCACTATGTCAACTGTGCAGGGCTTGCATCGCTTTACTGCGCCCGTCTTTCCTGCACCTTTACGTGGTAGAGACGTTCGGATCTGCAAGAGTATTGGAAGTCTCGAATTCGTGGTTGGGAAGTAATAGCTTATTAAAATAGGATATCGAGGGAGGTACTCGTAGGCAATTGACAGAAAGTGATGCTTCCACATATCTCTACAAAATCAATGATGGGAAGTTACTGTGGATCCACTTTTCTGCATGACCTCGGCGCGGAAATCGACGAGATAACTAATTGACATACCTTTTCTCTTGTCTGCTTATTGCAATGTTTTGAGTGTCTTACGCTGTTTCTGACAAGCCTGCTGTGCTCAACATGCCCGTCGCCAACCCAGTCGAGTATACATACACCTCCTCTGATTCCTCCAACACAGGTTCAACAGCCAAGTCGATACCTCATCCACCACCCGTATCAAAAGTCACCCATGTTATCTCCGGCCTCAAGACAATCGTCTACGGCCTCGCTGAAATCTCCTCCAGCGCAACCGACATAGCCTGCCTATGGATGCTACACCCTCGCCTACAAACACAAGAATGCATGGCACCCTTCGCCGCACAATTTATCCACAACTGGAACGCCCGAAATTCTTCAAATCACAAAGGCCTTATCGCCGTAAGCTTCGACCAGCGCAACCATGGCACTAGAGAGATCTCCGCAGTTGCCAACGAAGCCTGGAGAAGCGGTAACGAGAAACACGCTCAGGATATGTTTTCTTGCTTCCATGGCACGAGTACGGATACGAGTCAACTTCTTGACCATATTCCCGGGTATATCTTCCCTGACCCAGCTGATATACGAGCCTTGACGCATAATATTGTGTTTGGTATTTCTCTCGGCGCACATGCGGCATGGCACGTTGTTATGCAGGACCAGCGATTCTCGACAGCGATTATCACGATTGGATGTCCAGATTATACTCGACTGATGAGCGATCGTGCACGTCTGTCGAAACGCAAGACATGGACGGACTCGCAAGGCCGAGATTTTGTCGGTAGTTCGGATTTCCCTTCTGGTCTTGTCGAGGCGGTCAGGCAGTATGATCCTGCTGGCTTACTGTTTGGGACTTTATTGGAGAAGAGTCCTAGGAGGAAGAGGGGACAGGAGCATGTATACAATGACTTGACGGATGAGGAGCGAGAAGTACTCTTACCACTGATGACGAAGACATTGAGTCACAAGCGCATTATTAATCTGTCTGGTGGTGCGGATAAACTTGTACCGTATGCTCGGGGGAAGCCGTTCTTAGACTGGCTTAAGGCGAGTATAGCGCCTGATGGGTTCTTTACGGGGAACGATCTCGTGCTTGAGGATATAGTTGTTAATGGTGCTGGTCATGAGGTGCCGCCTGCGATGGTGGAGCATATGCAGCGTTTTCTGTTTGAGACTCTCGAAAATGAAAGGTGTCTTGCTGGGGCGGGTAAACCGAGTAGACGTGATTCACGGATATAGGTAGCTAGAGCGATGGAGAGAGTCTGACCTGACTTCATGTTGCAGCTGCATTCTTCTACCTTAGGGCTATTGCACATTGTGGACGTACGCCGCTCGATACCTTTAGACGCTGTAGTGGAACCGACAGCTTGGATAGAGATGGCACAAAGGATATGAGAAGGACTCGGAAATGCAGGAACCAAAGATATGGATCAATATGAACTCGTCTTATAGAATTCGATACTGGTGTGTGCGAGATACTGCTATTCTTCTCGCGTCGACATGGAACACAGTACCTGTAGAAGGTCGATTGAATATTTCTGACCAGCGACATGTGGCCGTGCAGCGCTCTTGACGAAGCACGGCTGTATTGGCTCGTAATTGTCTCGCCTTGCTTCTCCTCCCCACGAGCGAATGCACACTTCTTGTCATGTAGACTTGTGCCATTGATATACTATCCTGGTGGTGCTCTTGACAAATTCATCACATTCATAGCCATTTATGCAACAAGCTCGATCTTGCCACCTGCCTCTGTGATCTTTCGCTCTGCCTCCTTGCTGACATACCGAGCTCGAACGACGATTGGGATTTCGGGAATTCGGCCCTTGCCCAAAACTTTGGAGTAGCCGAGTGCCAACAAGTCAAATACAGGAGCAGTATCCTTCTTCGAGCCGGAGATATATTCGTCACGGGTCTCTTGTGGGATCAAAGTCCAAAGCTTCTCGAGGTTGATGGTTGGTTTCCAGAATTGGTTCTGAGTCTTGTGGAAGCTGTGTGATTGTTAATACCTAGCCTGCTAAGAAGTCGGAGCAAGACATACTATCTCATACCAACTTTACCCTGTGACTTGTTAGCATTTCTTCTTGGTCTATGTGAAGGGTTGAACATACGAAGTAACCAGGGTGGTACTTATCGATATTGATTCTATCCACGACATCAGTTGAATTCATAACCAGTGCAGTGAGCATATTTACCTGTGATGGTGCTGACCACCTGCCATACCGCGACCACCAGGGTGCTTTCTGTGCTTTCCGACACGACCATGACCGGCAGATACATGGCCTCGACTATTGTAGAAAAAATATTGTCAGCCTCGACTGATCCTAAATCCATTTGCGATTCAGGTGCCTTCTGGACGCCATGCGTCACAGAAACGAGGTCGCATTATGGTTTATGTGTAAACGTACTGTTTTCTGGTCTTCGACAGACGAGTAGGCATGTTGACGACTGGTTGGCGATAAATAAATGATCGTGGGCAACGAGGACCAAATCGCGAACTTTCGTCGCAGTTTGGCTACGTGAAAGTGTGTCGTGTCACGTGAAGGAAATCTGGCTTGGCAACTACGGAAAAACTTCCGTATTCAGCAGGTGGGTGGTGCGTTCAACCACTCGATCTAGTCTGTGAGAGCTCTTGGGACTGTAGAGTCATACAAGAACTACTACATCGTCTAGGAAGCATCTGTAATGTGTAGCATGTGTCATGCACCAAAGGAATGTATGTACCGGAGGTCCTCTAAATACGCTGAAGACTTCCTTGAGTCTTCTTGGCAAAGAATTGGTTACACTCCTGCTCAACCTGCGGCCACAACTTTTCTGATTCTCGCATGCTACTTCTTAGCCAGGCTGGCAATCTTGACTGTATCTTCGATGTTGCATACCTCTTGTCGATCAGATAGATTGCAGCATAGTCGCTCCTATGTCGGATGGCTCGTCCTATGCTCTGATTTACCGCTCTCATGGCGATGTTGTCAGCATATTCCTTTCCTGCAGCCTGAGCTTTTGCTTTACATCCACTATCAGAAGCTCCTTCCGCTTTGCTTCTATCGTACTTAAGACGCTCAATGTACTCAACCTTTGCTTTCCATTCAGCAGATTTGATGTTAGGATATGGCAAACCAACACATACCACCACTCGTCCAAGCTTGTCAGAGAAGTTGATGCCTTCCGAGAGCTTGCCACCTACAACAGCAAGCATCAGAGCACCTTTGCCTGTATTTATGGCATTCGAGTATTCAGTAAGCAATTCGTCCACATTGACCTCTTTGCTTTCTTGAAAGATCTGTTTTAGTGTGCCTATCCTGCTGAAAGGCGAGCCTGCTTCTGTTGCGATTTTCCATGTATCGGTAATGAACGCTAAGTATTCATAGCTAGGAAAGAAGACCACCATACCGTCTGGTGCTATGGTGCATATCCTTTCCACTAGGAATGACAAGTCGTTGATCATGCGCTTGTTTCGTCGATTATTGAATGTGAAGTCGAATTCGTCGCCAGTGGAACCTCTTGACAAAGGCTGCACTAAAACGTTGCCCTTATCGATGATGTGTCCGAAGCTATACGTTTGGAGCTTGTCGATCTTGACATATGGGAACAGTTGCTCTGACCACTCGTTCATTGGTGACATAGTGCCTCCCGCCAGTATCACTGCTCGGGCTTCTTTTACAATGTCTTCAAAATGTGCCTGGGGATCGAGGAGCGTGTACTTGAGGGCAACTTCCATCGCATTCTGTGTGATGAAGAAGCGGCCTTCAGAAGTTGGATTTGTCAGTGCGATTAGGAGATTCTGGAACTCAGCAAGGACGCCTTTAGGCTGAGGGGCATTTTGCTCGCTGCCTCTGACATTGAGCTGCTGACCACTTTGTTGTTCGAGCAGGACTGCATAGCCTTCAATCTTGTACACGAGCTTGCTCTCTTGGATGTACTTGACCAGCTTGTGTGGCTGTATCTGATCTGTACCAGATGCTGAAATTAGCTCGTTGGCTAGCAGGCTCGTTTCAGTTGTTCTACTCTCTTTTGCCTGCTGTAGTCGAGTTATACATGCTTTGAGGAGGCGAACAATTTGTGCAATGTAAACTCGATTCTTTCCTTTTAGCTTGTTTCGAAATTTCTGACAATAGCCTAGTACTTGCTTGTGAGCTAGTTCAAGATGTGTCAAGGGCACAACAACTGACAACGTATCTGCAATTGCAGAGGCCAAATTATGAGCTTCATCGATAACGACGATGTTATCTTTGACAGCAACTCCAAGCGCCTCCCGTGCATTTCTCTGTAGAAGAAGGGGATAGGGTAGCGTGAGCACCTCTGCTGCTGATATGACCGATCTCGCGGCGTAGTAAGGGCAAATGCTCATCTTTCTGCCTAGGTTCGCAATATCTTCGATGTCCTGAATTCGGGCAATGACATTGTTCTTGAAGTCTTCAAGCCGTTCTGAGTCTTCGCTAAAGACTTTCGATAACAGATACTTGCATTTCTGGTCTTGCGCTGTGCCTGGCTTTTGAAGGTCTAAGCATCGCTCGTTGATTGCTGTCGTTGAGGAAAGTCCCGCTACTTTTAGGTTAATGCATAGATTCTTCCTGGAGCCGAGGGCAAGGTGCTTAACAATTTCTTTTTCCCTCTTGTCTTGTGACGCTCCCGACGAGATAGAGATTTTCCTCAACTCGTTCACAAACTGCGTAAGTTGCGAATGCGTCCGTGAGCAGAAAATGACCTTGGTTCGGTCTTCCTCTCGAACATCCTCTTGCGCAGACTTGACTGGCTTCAATTGCTCAAGCAGAGCTCGAGTGGTAGACGATAAGGATTGATCGCCACCTAGCTTGTTGTTCCCTATCTCGCTATCGCTTTCGTAATCTTCAAGTACCAGATCTTGCTCTTCGATTGTCTCATCAATTTTCTAGGTCTAAGTCAGTCCTTAGACAATACATTGCAGCCTATGCTAAGCAAGAATCCGTTTGTACGCTCCTGAACTCACCACTCTCTTTGCAGCGTGTTTTCGAGATTGGTCTTTAGCATTTCTCAGACGTATAGTGTTCAATTTCTCCTCTAAATCCATATGAGTGTCAAGGAGCTGTTGTCTTCGTGCCTTCATTTCGGCTTGCTCAAGCCAGTCCAGCTCACTTTCATCACCTTGATCTCCAAAGATACGTCGCCTCTCATCATCACGCAGCCAGGTTAGTGCCGCACATATAAGGCTCAGCGACTTTCCGGTACCCGTAGGAGACTCGAATATTCCTACGTTTCCGTCTTCAATGCATTGGTACAAATTCAGCATAAAATCAGCCTGGATATTGTAGGGTTCATAAGGATGATGGAATTTGTGATGGCTTGGTTTCATGTTTGGAGGCAGTGCTTGTCCTAACCGGTTGCTTCAAGAAAATCACACATTCTCACAAAGACTAGCTGCACACGTCGAGTTCGAAAGTGGATCATGGAAATTGAGTGAAGACGCCGCCACCATCAGCAATAATTGAGGATTGTCTTGGAATCGATTGAGCCTGGTGCGATCTCGAGCCTATTGCTCGTAGACGTAGGACAAAGAAAGCCTTACTACAGAAGCCACTGCAGTGTACCAAAAGAGATAGTCTGGCTTGCAGGGGATAAACGAGAAGGCATCTTTGATTAGAGGCTGTACGTGGGGCCCGCGAGGCGCGGCACACGTGCCTTCCGATTCTAGCAAGGACAGCTGAAACACCTGCAGCCTCTGCCTCTAAATTAGGCACACTTAGCTGCTGTACTAGTAAACGACGATGAGGCTGGGCTTTCAGTCATGGCATTGCTTCTTTTGATTCCGATGAAGAGACAGCACAATCATATGTGACCTTTATATATGCACAAAAACTCGTGATTGCCATTTCTGACTTTGAAAGTTGATGGGTATTCACGCAGCTTTTTGATACATCCACATGCCGTGGTCTGAGCACCTCAAGCGCACAAGGTCATAGCCAGCAGTCGTTGTGTAAACGCTAACAATTCTAGATTATTTACCAATATAGCAGTCTACACTGCTTGTGCAAATCGATTGTATGCCGCCAATGGGTCGCGTGAGTGATAGCAGCATGTGGAATAGTAACTGAAGCCGGAACTGCTGTACCACTGTAGAACAGCGACTTTGTCAGTATGTCCTTCGATACAGGCGCAACCTTCGTGCCTGGAGGAGAGGACGCCTATTACATGCCAGAAGTGGTTGCTCCTGCCCCGCAAAGGATCGCGGAAAATCCAACCAGTATGCAACAGAATGTAGCATCTTTCGAACAGCAGGCACAGCGCGATAGACCCTCACAACAATACGGCGGTGGTCAGCAATATGGTGGTGGACCAGCTCCAAATGGCGGATGGCACCAACAACCGCAGCAGCCACAATTGCATGGAGGTGCATCGTCAAACTACAATTCTCACAGCTTACCACAAGTACCAAACTTCAATGGATTGTCCGAAGTACCTAATTTCTCGCCCTTCCCTCTACTCCGTAATCCTGGCCCGAATATACCACCAACAGATGAACAGAAAGAGTTAGTATTGGAGCAGGCGCGAGAGCCAGTGTTGTCCTGTCCAGACCCCGACCAACAATTAACATGGGCCCAGGATGCTCTATCATACTGCGAGATTTCTGTGCAGAATGAAGCAAGAATATCGAGGTCTCAACCAGCAAGACCCAGGACGCCGAGAATAGAGCATGTACTCAAAGAAGATGCTATGAGGGTGATCAACTTTCTCGCCGACCAATTCCATCCTAGAGCACAATTCTTGCGCGGTATGTGGTACGAATTTGGTAAATTTGGCTATCCATTAGACAAACCAGAGTCCTATCAATGCTACAAAAGAGCTTCGGATCGAGGCTGGACTCGCGCTTGGTACAGGATGGGCATGCAATTCGAGAGTGGTAACGATCCATTGACAGCTATTAAATACTACAGGATGGCTGCCGATGCCGGTGATTCTGCTGCATGTTATAGACTTGGTATGATGACTCTGCTTGGACAGCACGGCCAACCACAGAACTTTCAGGAGGGATTGAATCTGGTCTACGCTGCTGCGCACACTGCCGACGACAACGCGCCCCAAGGTGCATATGTACTAGGTATGCTCCAAGCGGGTGAACTGCCGCAAGTTAAAGTGCCAGAAGAGTATCTGACCAAGGACATCCGTCAGGCAAAGATAAATATCGAAAGAGCGGCTTTTCTAGGGTTTGCCAAAGCACAGGTTCGCCTAGGGACTGCCTACGAGTTGGGAGAGCTTGGGTGCTCATTCGATCCGGCTTTATCGCTTCACTACAACGCTTTAGCTGCTCGACAAGGCGAAGTTGAAGCTGAGATGGCTATTAGCAAATGGTTCTTGTGCGGCCACGAAGGTGTCTTCGAAAAGAACGAAGAGTTGGCTTTTATCTACGCTCAAAGGGCTGCTATAGATGGATTAGCTACAGCTCAATTTGCTGTTGGTTATTTCTACGAGGTCGGTATTTACGTGAATATGGACCTGAAAGAGGCAAAAGAATGGTATCGAAAAGCTGCAGAAAATGGCAACAAGGATGCCACACAGAGAATTGAAGCAGTGTCAAGGTCTAAGACCATATCTCGAAAAGATCATGAAAGAGTAGCAGTCCAGAAGATCCGTGAGAAACATGGGAGCGCGGATCGAGAGCCTGCATTGCCTACACTTCCCGAGATATCGACTCCCAGACTGGACATGCCGGATCCATCGAAACTGAGTCTACGTGATCAGTCCCCTTCACACCGGTCGTCGAGCACAGCACCCTATCCTGCTGGACCGAATCTATCACCGCAGGCCTCTATCCCTGACTTCAGACCAACCTCAGCGTTTGGTATAAATCCCAATCTTCGACCAAGATCGTCAGCTACGATGCCTGTGCCTAGAATGACGCCACACCACGATCCTTATCATGGTTCGCCTCCATCTCAAGCAAGACCTTATGCCAATGCATATCCTGAAGACAATTATGGCTCAAGGCCGTCTGTTTCGCCGTCAAGCAACCTTGGCTCACAACCCCGACCATTAGGCCGACCTCCATCGGCATCGCCTCATGTATCGCCACATTTACCACCACATGTTTCGACAAATTCGCAACCACAACGACCTGGTCATCCACCTCAGACGAGTTCGACACCAAACATCAATCTTGGTTTCTCTGCACCAATTGATGTTCAAGGGGCAGACAGGCCAAACTGGACCCCAAAAGCGTCAGGTGCTGGGGAGGGTCCACGGCCTCCACCCCAGGGTCCTGCTCGTCAAGGTCCGCCATCTCAGCAAGGAGGTCGGCCACAACCAAGTCAAGGTTATCAGACCGGCTCTAATAGACCACCACCACAGCAACAACCTTCACAGCCTAGACCGCCTCCGAAGCAGCAAGGAGCAGGAGGCAGGCCGTCCGTGCCAAACGTGCAACCCGCGAACGTTCAGCCGACCAAGCCAAATAAAGCAGCTCCACCTGATAGCCATGCTCCGCAAAGTCCACAGAAAGTCAGTGCAAGCCAAGCCGTCAGCAGGCCTCCAGGCAAAGGACCGAAAACATTTGCAGAAATGGGCATCCCCGAGCAAAAGGATGACAAAGATTGTGTAAGTTCTGAACATCAAAACAGCTATGACTTACTAATGAGTCGGCAGATTGTTATGTGATTGTATCTTTCGTGACGCGGATGCCTGGAGAGCCGGTACTGGATTTCGATAACTGAGGGTTTGCATAGCGTGTAGACAGATGGTTTGGGAACAGAGCATGAATGAATATCTCTATTCATGCTGTCCAGTTGGACGATATGACACACATTCCGAAAAACGAATGACAAGGTAGTGTTCGAATGATTTTGGGTGCAAGCACATATGCCTGATCTCGACTACCTATGAGCCGCGAATCAGCTTGTGCAACGAGGCGCAATGTACTGTCCCACAATAGTACGATTTTTAGAGACAATCCGCAACTTCTATGTCCAGTCAATATATCAGCTACTTAATCCAAAACATTTTTGAGCCATATGAACTGGAGGATGCCTCTATCAGTAATCATACATACTCTTCACAGCGTCAGAGCTCTCCCTGCCCCTGACAATTGTCGCCGCACTAGTATTCACGCTTTTCCGAAGAAGAAGGGGGGGGGAAAAGATTCGTGACGCTGTCGAAAGATCTTAGGACTATTTAACGATGTCCAAAAATGAAATTCTGCTCTCTACTGGAATCGAACCAGTGATCTCATCATCGCTAATGGTACTAGTGATGCGCTTTACCACTAAGCCAAGAGAGCCTGGGAATAGGCACGATCGATGTGCGCTGATTGGTAAACCAGTTTCCAAAATATCAGTATATGTACCATCATGCTGGTCATAATAGATGCCTAGCTTACTTGTCGGCTAGTAGTAAACCGTCGCTCTATCGTCCACCATTGCTAGCAATCAAGTTTGAAACATAAGTCAAAACACGGACACATATCTCAGCCGAAAGGCACTAGAAGAAAGAAAAGGCGACGTGCTCCTTTGTAAATGTTTGCACCTGAGCCATCTAAACAGCAGTAGCCCGTTCGTAGTTACAAATTACAGGGCCTACATAACAGCCCCTCGATCATCCACGAGCACCTTACAGCCATTATAGATAGTGTTGGCTCCGTAACGTGTCCATTGCTCACGAGGATTATCATCATTTACTGTAGATCCGCGGTGACTCTTACAACTTACACGAAAGTTACTCCTTCGATCGTATCTGTGAAACAATTGTAACTAGCGCTAGCCCTTCACTTACTAATCGCGTCCTGATCGGCAAACTCGGCTGATTGGACTGTGTTAGTGTATAACTTTAGTGCTTCCAAAGGTCAGACTTTCACCGAGACTCGGAGTCAACTTTCTGTGACGGTTTGCGCTCGGTGGTTCAACTGTTATGGTACACGTACCTCGCCTCGGTAAAGTGATAATACAATAGACACTGCTCGAGTACACTGAAATGCTAGGTCTTACCATAGATATTTGGTCTTCTCTTAGAGGAGGGCAGTCTTATTGTCATGCACATGATTTTGTAGAAACATAAACAGCTTCATGAGTCACCGTTCTTTTTGGGTAGAAGCGTGAAGCTGGATGAAGTATGGCAAGAAGCCACAGAACACCCAGTTGCTGATCTGTGCTCAGCTGTGCAAAACAGCACCTCAAAATGTGAAGCCCGAAGGACTTTGGCTGGCTGAAACCAGTTCAGCTTCATTCATTCGGTCAAGTGCAAAAGTTTACTAGTCAGTCTCGAACAATCGACGAGCACGTGCATGTGTCTCTTACCAACCACTTGGATATTGCCGGACTGCCAGAAAGCAACTTCGCAATGGCAAGAACTAATGCTCCTTCAAGTCCTCAAGTACGATTATGGCTCGACATACGTGCTTAATAGACAACGACCTCACAAAGGATCAATTGCTCAGGCACGGGCCAAGCTAATTCAGAGTTCGCTGCCTCAGGTTCCAGCCGACGACCAAGTGGAGTATACACAAGACACCACTTCAAGAAAGTTTTTCACTACGATCAGCTCTGGAGGAAATACGAGTCTTAGTGCTTTCAGAAGAACCCTTGAGCCAGTATTGACTTCAACTAGAACAAGAATAGCAGCCATAGAAGATGCTCCCAGTCGCTGCAAAGTTTATACTCAACAAGCGCAGGGAAAGTATGTACCTTCGCGGTCAAGCTACCTTATCATCGACATGAGCTAAGTCCTTAGTGTATGGTCGAGATCGAGGTGAGTAGGAGCGGATGCGACTCAACGAGAAGAATATACATATGGATGATGTGTCAGCTTCTGAGCTGCACGATGTCTTCCTTTCCGTGCAGGTATCTCACAGCATTCTCGTGGTGGCATTGACCTTGCAATAGCAGATTCAGTGGTTCACAATGCATCATACAGTATTACTTTCTATTTTCTCCCTTTGGGTACAGAGTGCTGTGGCAGTCAACCAGCCCACTTGCACTAAGGGTGTCTACGCAGTACTTGTGCCTGCGCTGAGTGCATACGCACCAGCCCAAAGTTACTGCTCTTCAAGATACCCCATCGCTGCTACGACAATTACCGTAGCTGCTGGTGCTGGCCCAAGCAAGCGGAACGACGATGAAAAAAGAGCTATCAGCACTACCACCACGACAACAACCAAGGCTCCTTCGACTACCACTACGACCACAAAGACGACGACCACGACAACGAAGACAACGACCACTACGAAAGCTCCGTCGACTACCACGACAACCAAGGCGTCTTCCAGTACCACGACCTCGTTGAGTGGAAAGGAAGCGCAGTGGTCTAGCGTTGTCTCTCAAGCTGGCTCGATCTTAGCACAACTTTGTACGTGCATAGAGTCTCAAAGCACAAAGACAGTGGTTCCCACAACGACGACGACGACGACGACGACGACGACGACGACCACCACCACCACCACGACAACGACAACGACAACGACAACAACAGGTATGTACACTCCCCAAAACTTGAGCCTCAACTTAGCTTTCCACCCTCACTCCCACCAAAATTCTACATATATCCATGCTAACCTCGCACAGCCGGCCTCACACAATGCTTCCCAGCATATTCAGAGGCCGATGTGGGCACATCCGGCTGCAGCGCAGACTGCATATGTGTATCAAATAACGCCGGTACAAACAACTACTGTGCAAACCAGTATGATTACCCCTTTGTCGACTGTACTGTAGATTCCCAGTGTCCACCTGGAGATTTCTGCTACGTCGGTGGGTGCGTGATCGGAAACAATTGTGCCCAACCAGGAGCGAAAAGAGATTTGTTTAGGATGTCGGGAGCGATGCCGAGGGGTGGCAGGATAGAATTGCCCTCGCGCAAGGAGAAGAGGCAATTCTTTCCACGTCGGCCTGACGAAGAGTAGATGAGAAGAGGACTAGTATCACACGTGTGTGTATAGTGTTGTATCATGACGTTATGATTGTCTATCGGTAGCTTGTATGTTGCATGTGATGAAACTTAGCAATCGATCAACAGCACATTACCCTACCTCTTAAGACTTGATAACTTCATTGGGGACATGTACCAGAAAGAGCCGTAAGCCTCGAACTGCTCGTATAGGCTCAAAGGGTCCATGCGAAGGTATGGACTCCAAGCTGAGCACCCGATATCCCTAGCTTCTGGGTCACTGTTGTGAACTATATCCAATGGAATGCGCGCAGGGTCCAGTCATGCTTCCATCCTGGGAACGAACATAGCATCATCTTCATGTTCGTCAGATGATAGGTCCTAAGGCTCTCTTCCAACCGTATATCGGTGAAACATTCAAAATCTGTTCCAATTTATGGTGGGTCCTGGCAGTTGGAACTCGTAAAGATGGAATGTTTAGTTGTCTAGAAAACTATGGGCAGAGAGAAGGTCTTTATGTAGGCCGATACATAGTGTCGCACACGCTAATGGCGACCCAAACGATGTTGGTGACAAGGTGATCAACACTACTGCGTGTCACTAGGGTGAAGGCGACAACTCTGGCTGGTATACAAACACAAAAATAGCAACAATGAGTAGTCGCTCGTAGTGATATATATTCGTAGTGATATCCATTACACGTTTGACCAGAGTCCATTGATCATATATGCATTACTTTTGAATGTACATTTCTTCATTACTCATCAACTCTATCTACATATACTTCGTGAGCCTCATATCAAATTTTGTTTGCGTCTGAGCTTGAGAACACCATAACTTTTCTTTGCCTTGACCCAATTGCCCGGTAACCTCAGAGTCGCACCTCGTGGCTTCGTGTAGCATCGTATACATCGGAAACAGAGATAGTAAAAACAGGCTAAGGAACATAAGACTTATCCATATTCACGCAATATGCACGGGTATTTTGAAAACAGAATACCGCATCTAAAACCAGCAAATCATGCTTAGAAACCGAGTAAGCGCAGGTCGTGTCAAGGCAGGAATCGTGTTTCGCACACCAGGTTACCGCGCAGAATCTCAATCAAGAAGCCCGAGGCACACCGTAGTGGCGAAATTTTGGCGACTTGCCAGGAGGTGCTGATGTGGACGCACCATTGATTTGGGCCAGAGGGCGAGGAGGTTGAACAGGTTGTGGTGCTGGCAATATATGAGCGTTCGAAGCCGGCAGAGGAGAAGCATTATTTTGAAGTGGTGGTGGACCTTGTGTTTGTGGTGCTAGAGGATTTGCATTATGCTGAGCAGCTGGAGGACCCTGTGATGGTGTTGGCGGAGCATGCTGTTGAAGGGGAGGCAGGACTGATGGCGGAGCGGCATGTTGAGACGCCACAGGCGTGGATGCCGGCTGCCTAGAGAACTCTTGAATACCCGGTAACCTGGGCTGCGTCCGTGTCTTGTCGAGCTGTCCGCACAGAACCATATCAGATTGGCCCATTGGTTGCCACTTAACGTTGGCCAACCGAGTCTGGATGGGTTGTTGACCATCGAAGGCAGTATCTGGGGCAACCTCGACACCACCTTTGCCGAAAAAGGTTGGTGCGATAGTCATAATTATCGAATCGACACAGTGAGCGTACCTGGGCTTCAACAAATCTGACAGAACTTTGCCACCTCCTTCAACCATAATACTCTTGATACCTTCACGGTGGAAAATCGAGAACAAAGCTTCCCAGTCCAGACCGTAATAGGGGTCAATCTCGTTGATCTGCAAAAACTCGCCTCCATGGGCTTTCAAAGTGGTGACAGCTTGTGGTTGCAACTTGATATGAGGCCCAACAACGACCCATGGGCCTTGAGCCTTGCCTTCTCTTACAGCTCGAAGTAAACGCATTTCAGAATGAATATGCAATCTAGCACGAGGGTCGATGACGATTGGTCTTGGCTGCATTGTGCGATCAGGACCACCAAAACCACCAGCTCCAGCAAGTCGACAATTCAAGCCTGGGTCATCTGACATGGCGGTTTTGACACCTATGAGAATCGCGTCATGCTGACTACGCAAGAAATGTGTCATGGCCTTTGTCTCCGGACCAGATATTGCTGTTTGGACACCTGGAAGCAAGGCTACTCGGCTGTCGAGACTTGTGGCCCAAGTGAGAGTAATATGAGGTCTCGACTGAGATGCGATACGAGGAATGTGTGGCAGGTATGGATACAAAAACTCCTTGGCATGCTCAGGATAGTTCAAAGTACCTTGTGGCAAAGAGGTTGGTGCCAGTTGAGCGACAGGTGGTGGTTGAAGAGGAAAAGGAACATAGCTCTGAATTTGCCTCTGGATAGCACCGTTGTTTGGAGTAGGAGGAGCACTGGCTGCTGCCATAGTAGAAGCAAGCTTCGGTTGTCTCGGACCTGTCCGCTGCTGAGTATACCCAACGTGAGCCTTCAATATAGCAGTAGGATTCTGTTGTCTCCAGGGATATTGTACATTTCTGACATCGGAAATCTTCATGTGTTTACCTCCAGCCTCGTCCATCTTGTCAGGCTCTTGCTGCATCTTCCAGAAGATAGAACCTGGCAGAAAACCTCTGACAGCCTCTCTTCTGGCTACATCCATTATAGCAGTGTTGCGCTTGTTATGGTCCATATATTCGAGATCGTGGGAATGCTCAAGGTCGGGAGCCGTAACTCTAGTAACCTTGACCTTCTTAATCGGACTGGCAACGTATGTGACCTTCATCAACATGGGACAAGTTTTCTCCTCCCGTTTGCGCTTAGTTCTTGTCTGCTTGCCCTCGGCCGGCGCTTTGGGAGTGGATGATTTGTGTTGGTTGCTCGGTCTTAAGCGACAGCAAAAAGTCTCGCAGTTGGGATCATTGTCTTTTTGGTCTATCCTGTACTTCCTCCATACATTGTCGACAAAAGGAAAGTACTCTTCGAACTCTTGGGCAGACATTTCGAATTCGTCTTTAACCTCGAAGAGCTGCCTTCTCATGGCTACCAGATTCGGAGGGTTGGAGAACAGACTGTAGCTTGTGTCCGCCTCTTCCTTGTAGTGATCATCGTGGTCTTCCAGCTTCTCTTGCTTGTCTCGGTCCACATCTCCATTGCGATTAACGTCACTATCGTCCTCGCTATGGTCGTCTAGCCTCGAATCCTCCTGGGACTGGCTAACTTCATGGCGGGTAGGAGTTTGTACTGAAGTGGTCATGCTGCTGTCTGAGCAGTTGCCGAGTCATGCGACTTTGTTCTTCCTAGTTGTGAAGCTGGGACTACTTAAGCGATGCTAGCTAGTCGCGTCCTTCGCGTATTGATCGATCGTTACGAAAGACTGTAGACGAGCAAGCTCAAGAGTTATGCGACGACAACATAGGGCTAGACGTGGAGAATGCCATAAGGCAGAGGAGTCGATAGTCGATTCAAGGGTAGAAAAAAAATGAAGTTGAAATGAAAGGTCAGTTTGGCAGGTACGAGCAAGGCCCAAGGTCGAAGCTGATCAGCGAATTATCACCATCAACTCACACCTGCAAAGAATGACTGAAACTGGTAGCACCTCCTAAGCGGCAGAGCTAAGCTCGTTAGTTGGTCTGGCCAGCCCTAGCCATCCTTAACCCGGACGCTAACGATCACTAATGCAAGGGACAGGCCGCTCGAGCGATACGCTACGATCGCCTAAGGGCAACTAAGGGTAACTAAGAGCACTTGGTGTGGATTGAAACGATTCTATGCCAAACTTCTATGCAGCCAGACGGGAAGCTTATCATCTTGTGACAGGTTACATACACCTGCGCCTCCGTCCGCCGTTACATCACGTTGATTATGTGGGCGCTTTGCTTCCTGATCGTCACACAAAGAGTATGCAAGCCGGTGGAAGGGTGTCTATGTGATTTGAGACCATCCCTTCGCGAGATGACATGAGCTAGCAACAAATAGCTCAAACCACGGCTGCTATACCTCACTTCCTGTTGCCGTAGCGCGTCCGACTTGGCGTCCGAGTCCGACTTCTGCTCCGGCTGTAGCTGCTGTACGAGCTATAGCTAACACTACGCTTTCTCCTTCGTGGAGGACTTCGAGCTGGTGCGCCTCTTCGTCGTGGTGGTGGTGTGCGCGAAGGTGAGCGAGAGTATGAATGTGAGCGTTCTCGTCGGCGTGATTGTGAAGGTGACCGAGCATAGTCCCTGCCGTTCCGTGTTGGCTCGTCCCAGTCCCTTGGTCGTCCGTTATAGCCTCCACGTCGGGGTGACGAACCTCTGTATCGTGCAGAAGGCGATCCTCTCGGAGGCCCGTAACGTGACGCTGAGTAGGGTGGACGAGAGCTCTTGACCGGTGGAGGTGACCTGGAGAAGGCACGACGTGGAAGGACAATGCTTACGGTAATGGTTGAGCCATCTAATTGAGCTTCGTGCATGTGTGCGATGGCTGATTCTGAACCAGCGGCACTTTCGTAGACAATATATGCAGTCCCTCTATTGGTCATAAATTGTCGGTTCATAGGCAAGTCGATCGATTCGATTCGACCATAGGAGCTGAAAATTTCTTGCAAGTGTGTTTCATTCACGTTCTTGGTCAACTTTTCCACAACAATTTTCGAACTTTGCGGCCTCCGACCTCGACTACGACTGCTACTGTGACTGTAACTTCGTTCTCTGTATGATCTTCTGCCACCACGGCTGGGGCTTCTACTCCTTGTGCGGCTTCGGGCTCGATCTCGATCACTATAGCCATTGCGCTGTTTTCGAGGTTCGGGAGATCTTGATTGCGAAGGTGTGGGTGAGCGACCGCGACCGTTCCTAGACCTGCTTCTCGTTCTTGATCGTGCTCTGTCTGACGTATGTAGATCTTCTTGCGCTGGCGACGATCCCTCTCGTGCAGCTGGAGGAGGTGTCCTTGACTGGCTTTGCGATCGTCCGCGCGATACTGACCTGGACGAGGCCATTGCAGGAAGCGACTCTCGAATTGGCAAAACGAGCACGTTATATCCTCAGATCGCAGCAACAGCAGGAGGGCTAAGGTATAGGTCAATTCAATGCGAAGAGGGGTTTAAGTTGATTTGGCTGTTTGCGACCTGATTGGGATCTGCTTGGAATGCACCTGGAAAACAAAGAGTTCCAGTTGTCTAAGAATGATGTTTGCTTGTTTTGCCTATGAAGCCCATAAGCTTCACTCCACCACTAGTAGCCAGGAACTTTGCCCAGACATTGTGAACTTCGAAACTCTCCATGCACACACATCTACGCTGTTGTCGTTTGTAAGGCAATCAACCGATTCGAAAATCACGACAGCCACAAGCACATTGCAAAGATGCCTGTGCAAATCTCGTGTCAACAGGCGGCCAAGTTGTGTCACATGGCTAAGCGGCTAGTACAAGCCCAAGAACCTTCAGCCTGGCTTTGAACAACGATCGTTCTGGAGTGACTACAATTTCTCCTTCAGATCTGCGGCCAACCTCTAGCTTTGCTCAACGTACCGTACGGTGTGGCAGTGAAGACAAGTCTGCCGCCAGCTTGCTGATTCCAGAACTAGGTGTCACATTCTCAGCCAATGAGCTTGGCGCCTTACCATTCGACACTTGGCAGCAGTTCTATCTGTTCATCCTTATGATCGTTAGCTGAGAGCATTAACGTCATGTTAGTTACCGATCGTGCCCGAGAAGAGGCTGACCTTGGCCTTGTCCTCTTTCACTTCTTTGGACGGTGAATGAGGCACCGTCTGCCTGCCAACCCAGGTTGTGGGAGTGCAAATGATCCCTGTCAACCGCGCGGTTTCACCATATGGGGCTTTTTGTGGCAAGCATGACTTATTTAGAGATCAGATCATGGCGTCTAACGTCGAGGCTACACACTCCCAGCCGCCATCTATCCATGTTGTGGTAACAAGACATTGCTTATCTAGCCAGAATGAATTCAGCACATCTATCACGTATAGCTCGATCCCCTCAGTTGCCAGATGTCCGGTGGACGTGTTACTGACTCGCCAGCAACGCAACAAAATGAAGGTTTGACAGGACACATCTTCGCGCCTGTAAACGTTTCGGGCAATGGCACGCTTCAGCAAGGCGACATCTACCACTATAGTATCGCTGCAGCAACCCAAAATTGTACGTCTTTTGGAATTTCCGAAAGCAGTATTAACGTTGGCTGCAGCTCTGTTCAAGGCAGTGGACTACGATTCATTTGGCAATCGCGAGGGACAAGTCAAGTCTGCCACAGCGCACACCTGCGAATGGATCTGGTCCACGATTTTCGGCACGTGGATTTCTGACCTTCATGCCCAGATATTCTGGGTTTCTGGCAAGCCTGGTTCCGGCAAGTCGACGCTCATCAAGCATCTGTCGACGTCGTCAAAAACAAAGACAGTCCTTCCTGATACCGATGGTGGTTGGGCAGTAGCGACTTTCTTTTTCGACTTCCGCGAAGGAAACAAAATAGCTAATAGCATTGAGGGACTGCTCAAGGGAGTCATTAAGCAGGTAGCAGAAGCAACATCAAGCGAGGATCCCAGACTCAACAGTAACGAAAAGCTGCTAAACCTAGATCTGCAGCAACTCCTGCACGATCTTCTGAGCCATGCCAAGCAAAATTTCTTTATTCTCCTTGATGGACTTGATGAGTATGGAGACGAATTGTCAGAGTTGTGTACGCTGATACTCTCTCTTGGTGAACACCAGAATATAAAGCTCTGCGTTGCGAGTCGTCGCGAGCCAGCGATAAATCGCAGGTTTGGTCAATTACCTAACTTGCACATGTCGGACTACAATTCCTCTGGTATACTCAGCTACGTCAATGTCGAGATTCAAAAGCTTCGACAGAGCTTGACTGAATGTCAGCCTTTTGATCTGGAAGCGCTCCAACGAATTCTATGCGAACGAGCTGAAGGTGTCTTTTTGTGGGTATATCTTGCCCTGCGGGAGGTCAGATACGCGATCGACCGTAGTCGAACCGCACAGGAGGTCATGTCAATATTAGAAGAGCTGCCATTAGAACTCGAGAAATTGTACCAAAGGATAGTCGATCGCATGGCCGGCGCGCAGAAGAAAGAAGCAGCCGTTCTCTACACTTTACTCGAAGACACAAAGGTCCACCCTGTAACAACTCAAATTTTGTTTGGAGCCTACCAGTTCCTGGCACATGAAATCGGACTTGAGGGTTTCCCTAAGGATATCGTTGACCTCCAACACTTTGAAAGAATATTTGACGGAACACTTGGCGGGATGTTCGAGCTTTGTAAGTCGTCGAAACCAGCCCCAGGGGGTGATACCTCTGTCATTCCTAGGATCATGCATGAGACAGTTCGTAGATTCAGTCGAGATTCACGCTGGAATCAGGAGTGGCAGCCTAACGTTTTCAAACATCACTTCCCAAACCTCGTCTGGTCAAGGCTTGGCTGTTATGCATTAATCGCGGCGGACAAGCGCTTACAAAAAGTACGCTTGAACGATTTGAGAGCCACGTTTACATCGATTACCAACACTGGTCGGTCTTCATCCGGTCTTGCGGGATGTTTGGATTATGCTGAGTTTGCACGATTATTGTCACGACATCTACCTCATGACAGCCTCATGCATTGGTTCCGCCTCTTGCATCTCAGCATGGACACAATATTCCCTTATGCTGAGCAAATCATCCACCAAGCAGACGATGACTTGAAGCTCCGACTACAGAAAGCTATGCGCTCCCAGTGGACCAACCTGCGTCTCGCCTCTTGGCAGCATGATACGACAGCGAGAGTCAACCCCGGCGAGCTCGTACACTGTGGGTTTGCTGACCTCCTTCAAGCTGCTGCGCATCACTGCTATAGCTATTTACTATGGGAACGAAGTTCGATGTCAATGTTATCGGACATCGAGAGAGCTGCCGTGTGCTGTGCAATCTTGTTTGGGTATAGGCTTTCGCCGTTGAAATGGCCAAATTTCACATCGCAAAGAGATGACGATGATCTCAAGCGTGACACAATCAACGAGATACTCTGCCACGACAGACGTCTGTCCGTTCTCCATCTTGCCGTGTATCTATACCTTGGTTACAAAAACGTGCCCAAGTTTCTACGCAAGCATCAGAAAACAGGACGCATCACAAATTGGGCAATAGTCAACCCATTATGGCCTCAAGACACATACCTTTTCGTAGCCACACCAGAAACACCACTGTTCATGTGGGTCTGCGCACGCCACACTCCTGGCGAATCTGGCTACGACCGGCGAGAACAACTGAAGGTCCTGCTTCAATTTAGCGTTGATATTCACGCCAAATCAACAAGAGGAATGAACATTGTCCATTACCTCATCACCGAACATCTCATCAGACACACCTTCCTCGAGCAAGACATGACCTGCTGGCCCGACGACGACACAGCAATCACCATCGAACAGCTGTATTGGCTGGAAGAAGCCGGTGCTGACTTTACCTCCCGCTACAACAATCAGACGCTCCTCGAAGCTCTTCGCACCGGCTTCTACCAGATGAAGCCTATCGACGATGACACGCTTCTCTACCCGCGGACTGACGTGGTCAACACACGGTTTGCCCAGATTAAATTCATGCTTCAGCACATGGAATCGAAGGGGCATCTACCTCAACCGATGATGGGCACGAATGCACGTTTCATTAGTAACTTTCCTGCTCTTCAGCGATACATCAGAACTAAACGTTGTGACTTGTGTTCTGCGACAGCCGACACGAGGAAAGTGCATCGTAAAATCCGGTCTTCTCGTGGCAGGTCAAGTGCTCTTCGAAGTGTAGAGATTGCACCACCTGGGAATTGGATATGAAATGTTGACAGACAAAGCAAGTACACATGAACGCTCGCTAAGTTTGGTATCTACACGCCTGTCTGACATGATAGAGCTGACTCACTCAACTGGGAAACACGAGACCAGCCAGAGTCATTTCTCGCATGCCTCGTTCCACCTCATTACATCGTTGCTGCATCAACATAACATGACATGAGATCTCGTGTTCTGACACCATCCATACAACATGTTCGCATCATGGTTGCCCGATTCTAATCTAGCTCCCTTCTCGCATTATGCATTCATGTATCGAAATCACCATCACGTTTCATTCTCGCTTCCTCCTCTGACCAGAAATTTTGTCACTAGTCCACAAACTCCGCCACAACCCTCATATTCCTCTGTGCCTTCGCCTGCCTCAAGTCCTCATTATTCCGTAACGGCACCGTCGTCCCCTTTGTATCATCACGATACTTCAAACTGATCTTTATGCTCGGGTCGTTCACGACCTTCAGCCTCAGCCGGACTTTCTCCATCAGGCCTTGAAAGTCAGCGTTCAGTTCTAGACGTACAGCTAGGATTTCGGTGTCGTGTTCGAGTTTGAATTTGAAGGAAGGCTCGAGGGATATGTTTTCGTAGTGTGTTGTGCCAGTGGTCGTGCCTGTGGCGGGTGTAGGTGCTGCGGGTTGTGTGACGGTGATGGAGTTGTGGGTGCTTGTTGAGGTTGTGGTTAGGTTTGAGGCCTGAGAATGTAATGGTGGGTATTGCTGCTGCTGCTGTTGGTGTTGCGGATGAGGTTGAGTCTGGCCTTGTGACGATCGAGTCTGTTGGTAACCTCCGTTGAGGCTGCGCATCGAGCTTGCTGGACCTGACGGTGGTGGTGGCATGGTTCCAAAAGTGCTGTTCTGCTGTGAGCTGCCCGCACCACTGCTCTGTCTGCTTTGTGTCTGAGCTATACTATGTCCACTAAATCTATAGTCTACCTCTACTGCCTCTGGGTCGATCTCGTAGTCCTGACCAGGTTTTGGTGCGAACAATTTTCGAACTAGTATATCCTCACGAATGTGATCCGGCTGTTCGACGATTTTCTTGATGTAGTCGTCGAGGTTCTGCCGCCTTCCATTCGATATAGCGTCTGTGACGTGTGCAACTGGTCCGGGCATGAAAGGCAGAGACCTTGCCTTGCCTTTATTTCCTGCTTCGTCCGGAAACTTTTCGAGGAGGGCTATCTGGAAGTCGTAGAAGTCGGCATAGTAGCGTGATAACTCCCACCAACGACCGTCGGACATTTGAGCTTCGATGATGTACCAGTACATGTCATTATCAAAGCAATACCTTGGCACACTGGCTTTTATTGGTGCAAGAAGCTGATCCTCTCGAGGTTGTTGTCGTGACTGGTCGTAACGGGCTTGTTGCTGTTGTGCTTGCTGCCTTTGCTGGCTTTGTAAGCTGCAACTGTTAGTGTTTAGTGTATAACCAAATAAGTGAAACCATACCTCATTCTATCCATGCCCTGTGTTATTTGTTGTGCACCTCCAATCTGAGGAGTATTTATTTGACCCAAACTTATACTGCTATTCTTGTATTCTGCTGCTGTCCTTTTCCACTCTTCTACCCTCGGGACACCAGCAGCCTTGACTGCAGAGACTGGATCGCTGACTGGATCGCCAGTCATGGTATCTCTTATTTGCACAAAAGAGACGGGTATCAGCCCTGGTCCGCCCAGTCGGCCTATTGGCTTCGCGACAAACCATTCTGGGTTCGATTGAGCGACAACTATTATAGCCTCACCAGCTTTTGCATCTAGCTCGTCCGGCCTTTCAGCCTGAAAATCGTACATGACCAAGCCATAGACCATAGTACCTCCTTTTGTGGCACTAAGACCTCTGGCATGCATTATCTTGGGCGCGGTAGTAGTCTCGACAGATTTTGATCGATCATGCAGGCCCGCAGTCAGCCCTTTTTCCGAGAAGCCCGAGTCGTGGCCTGTACCGCCTCCGATCGACTGCCCGCTCTGCCTTTGCTGTTTCCCTATAATCTCAAAGAATGCGACAGGAACCAGTCCTTTTGCAGAGGGCAGCAACGGGTTGCAAGCCTCATACCACTCGGAATCGTCCTCGCGACCAATGACATGGAAGAAGTCGCCCTTGCGAAAAGCTAGCTCGTTGCTGTTGTTATCCTCAGGCTCGTAGTCGTATAGCGCTTTGATGACTTTCTTGGGAGGTATGATGGCTATCGCAGACTTTTGGTGTAGCGACGGGCGTGATTGATGGGAGGATCGGGAGTCGTGCGATTTTTCAGTCTTGAGAGAGCGCCGTATTGCCTGCGCAAGGAAGATTGAGTCAGTATACTTTTGTTACTTTCGCATCAGATGCCTGCGACAAGTCCAGTCCTCACTCCTGGAGAAACTGGCTTGGACGCGTCTCCCGTACCTTCATGCTTCCCTCCACAATGTCGCATCAACCCTCAATCGCCAGACCCCACCTCCAAAGACCGGTTAAGGAACTAGAACGAGGTAGACAAGGTGTATAGTTTGGTACACCAATCGCAGGATGGAACGTGTCCGAGCGGGGCACGAGAAAGGCAATCTGGCAGGCGAGAAAGTGGGTGAAGACCCTGGAGAGCATGCACCTCAAAGGGGCAGTCGCAGTAGATATCGTTCGTTGTGGATGGCAATCACAATTCACGACAGACACACATGTATGCAGAGTGAAGATGGTGAGAGACTCGAGGATCGCGTGTGCCTGCCACTTTTGCAGTCTAATTTTGAGCTGATGCTTCGGCTTTGCGTAGTGGATGTGGCTTTCACAACATTAATTGGCTCGTTTAGTGATTGGTACCTGATCAGCCCTTCTGCAGTAGATCGCGCTTAACATGCACTCTTCCGTCAGTAGGTAAACTCGTCGATCGTGATGCTAGAGCAAAGCACATGATGAATACAATTGTTCTGGCAAGTACGAGAGATAAGCAGTAGCCTGTCATTGTCACCCGGAAGGAGCAACCGTAGTTACCCATCCCGAGGTTTCCCAATGCTGTACCAACGAGAGCCGTAGTGATGCGATTGCGAGATATCGAAAATCTATCTCGACCGCCTTCTTGCTACAAACTAGCTCCCAACTCTTGACCACCAACAAACACTTCAACCACGAGAACACCACGCTAGTAAAAGCCACAAACATTGAAGGCAAAAAATCTGCCAAACGGACAACCTCAAGGCCTTGTCTTCCAACAGACAGCGCCGAGGTTCTGTTGCCTCCTTGCAATAGTTAAACAAATATGAAATGCTGCAGAGGGAACATTGGAAATATAAGGAGGTAGATGTAAAGGTTAAATCTGGCCCTTGATATCGACTGAGCTGAAAGCGGCATTCTTTGCGTCTTCGAAGAGTCGGTTGCCCGTGGCCATTTGTACAAAGTCGTCGCCGTCTTTCTTCACCTCTTTCAACAATTCTTGGCCACCATGGTCGACGATGAATTGTGCAGCTTCCGCATCGGTTTCGAATGCGAGTTCTTCTGTGATGAAGCGTAGCTTGATGGCGGGTTTGTATCTGTAAAAACATTAGTCTTTGCAGATTGAGCGGGGTGTCTGAACTCACACTTTGCTGATGGAAGCTAGTGCCGCCAATCGTTCTCGTCCGATGAACATGTCCATCAGGTAGGCGCCCATGTTAGGAGGGTCAAGGTAGAGCTTGAAGAATTGATGGTAGTTACCTAACGCCAGTGCAGATCGAACTGCAAGCGCGTGCTTAACGGCTTTGGATTGTCTATCTGTTTGGGTCAGTTCGGAAAGCACGTCGTTCATACCAGTTCGGTTGCACGTGTAGATAAAATACAAGATTCGATAAGCCAAAAATTCGGTAGGGTGACCTCCCAGGTTTTGTGCATACAGTGTTTTAAGCTGCGTCTGACACTGGTTATACTCACCGAGGTCACCCTTTTCCAGTGCAATGCGAGCATGTATCTCATATACGTTCGTTGTGAATTCGTTCTTGATGTGCTGTACTGTTAGATCTTGGCGCATCGACTTGAACTGATCGCAAATGTATCCGTAGTTGCCCTGTTCTTTCCACTTCTTTTTCAGAAGGTCTAGGGTTTGCTTTAAGATATCAAGTGGCCGCACGTGATCAGGGTTGGGGGCAGCAGTGAGTCGGAAATAGTTCTTTTCAAGCTTCTGACAGCGACCAATGACTGGACCTAGTGGTTCTGCTGGTGCTGGTGGAGAAGCATGCTTTCGAGGAGAATTCGAGCCGGACCGGCCATCCAGATCGAATCTTCGTCTTCGATGTTCCAGGGTGCTGTTTAACTTACTTGATGTCGGCCCAGATTCTGTCCTTTGTCGTTTATCAGGAGCCGACATGCGATCTTCGAGTGAGCCGCCCTTTTTGGTTCGCCACGGGGGCTGTGACTGGTTATTGTTATCCATATCCACACTCATCTCGGAAGATTTCCTTTTCCTAAGTGTTTCGGATCCAGAATGTGCGGGTAAAACTGGATTAGTGCCAGGAGCATAAGACAGTGGAAGCTGCGGTGGTGGAGGAGGAACAAAATTTGGAGGAAGAGCTTGCAGGCCAAGTGCCGCGCGTTTTCGTTCTTCAGCAATCATTTGTTGGGGCAGAAGCATTGCATCCCACTGGTATGTATACAGCATATTACGCTTTGCGGCGTCAGTAATGACATCCTTGAGCCTTTTCTCCATTTCTTCCCGAGCAACTCCAGGTATCTGCGTTTCTGCAGCAAAACATCTATTGACGTAGTCACGAACAGTCTGCGGCCATTCTACTTTCTGTTTCGCTGAATCTGATGATGCAGGAGATGATGTACCAGGCGCTGACGGAGTTCGGAGCGTGTGGTTAAGTGGTTGTGGGATGTAGGTCGGAGGCGGTGGAAGCGACGAGGCATAAGGATTACGGGTTTGTACTGGGATGTAAGCATGTTGAGCAGTGTGGTGGGCGTAGCCATTAGATGACCACGGCGACGCGCCACTTGCAGAATACATATTTGTCGATTTGAGACCAGGATTCAACGCAAAATAGGACAGTCTTGTGCAGGTACTAGAAGATTTGATACTCGGTGCGCACAGAGATAGGGACGTGATGGTTGGAATTGGTAGTGTACAAAGACGGTGAACGGGCAAGGGAGAAGAGGTTGAAGTTCAAACTGGAAGTTGGCCTGCTGCGCTCAGGCGACTACGACGAAAGAGGCTAGAGCCTTGGCAGAACTCGATTGTCACTAAACTTCGGCAATCTCCATCAACGATACTCGCTTGGAAGAGTGCTTCCGTCTTGATCAACCCCACTAACCAACATATCACTATATCGGCCGTGTCGAGGGTTGATTGTTGCTGGTATGTTGTCGCCGAGACATTCAATGTATTGATGTTCTTCAAAAAGCCAGAGCTCACCGCAGGCTCTCGGCCAATCCTTAAGCAGGATGAAAACCTCCTCTTTGTGCAAAACGGCGTCGGACTTTATGAAGGCAAGTTCAAGATAGCAGATTGTCAGAATGGTCATGCCTATCTTACCTCACACCGGGCTTGCTACATTGATGATCAAAATCCGAAAGATAATTCTTTAGCATTTGATCTCAAGGATGTCGATCGCTACGAGTACGCAGCTGGCTTTTTGCGCTCTTCGGCAAAGGTCACCATTCACCCAAAGCCCTTACGTAGAGGGCCTGGTTCCTTTCGACAGAATGCACCACGATCACAGGGACTCCAACGTCTGCAATCCTCGTCTTCGTCGCCGAGCTCTCGTTCATCGACTCCCTTCCGCCCAAACCAAGTCACTCACACGCAACCTTTGGCACAATCTGCAAGTTGGATCTGTCCGATATGCACCTTCACGAATCCCATACCTTCCAATTTCGATCCTTCAGTCACCACAGAATCCTTCCCTGTTCCGCCTTGTCTGACGTGCGGCATAACGCCTGATTTTGCAGTCATCTTGAAAGCTGCCATTAGTGCTGGAACATCCAGAACTACAAACGGTACCTCACAGGCGTCTCCAACGTCAGCAAAATACAATGCCGACTCACGACATGCCACCAGAGCTGATAGTACCGTCTGTCCACGGTGCACCTTTCACAATCATCCTTCACTGCAATCTTGTGAAATTTGTGGTGCAGCTCTTGCGACCCACCAACCACCGTTCACTGCTGAAGATTCTGTTTTGATCAGACCTGAATCGCCTGCACCAGAGATCAGCCATGCCACCGAATCTGATGAGCCAGTCAGCATGAAATTCTCTTTCCGTACGGGCGGTGATAAAGTCTTCTACGACAAGCTGAAAGCTGCTATGGTGCAGCGTAAGTGGTTAGCCACCGATGCACCGCCTATACCGAAGACGCTCGATAGCCTTCGGACAAGCGAACCTAGCTCACCAACCACATCCAGCTTCGAAAGCAGGAGTTCGCCTCGTTCAAGCCGGGTTGGAATTGCAGGTCTTGAGCAAATAGGAAAACAGAGTCAGAAAGACAATGAGATTGTTATTGGTGCGGCATTCGAAGATCTAGACTCCCTGATGTCACTCAAAAAGGAGGTTTCCAGTCTAGCACAGAAGATTGCCCGAGAGTTTGGGGATGAGGCCAACAGGACGGATTTCGACACTGACATATTGACGGGCTCAGATCCTGGAATGATTGCAACAAGAGACATGCTGAGTAGTACATCCGAAAAGCTCTACATATCCGAGCTATCGCGGAATCTGGCCGAGTACGTGACGGACGAACGACGAGGTCTATTACGCAAACGAGGCGGCACAATGAGTTTGGTCGATCTTTGGGCTACCTTCAATCGCAGTCGCGACGGTGTGGAGCTGGTTAGTCCTTCGGATTTTCACAAAGCAGCTACAATGTGGATAAGTCTTGGTCTACCCGTTCGCCTTCGGCAATTCAAGAGTGGTCTTATGGCGGTGCAATATGCTTATACTAGCGACGAGCGAACGATTGAGCAAGTGAAGAAGTGGCTGGAGTCATTAAGAGCCTTACCGGGTGAAGGTGTGGACTGGAACTGGCAGCGTTATGGTTGTGGTGTTACTGCTCAGGACGCGGCGAAAAAGTTCGGCTGGAGCCTAGGTATTGCTAATGAGGAGTTGGAAATGGCGGAAGAAAAAGGAGCGCTTGTTCGTGAAGATAGCATAGAAGGTCTCAAGTTCTGGTTGAACTTCTTTGATGAGAAGGATGAGGACAACGAAGATGACATTTAGGGTTAGATGATCACTTTGATAATAGCATTGTTGCAATTTTCTTGCGAATTCATCGGATGAGTGGCTGTACACAATCATCTCCCACAACCCCTAACGTGAAAGAATGTAAGCTTCGGCTAACCTACCTTCAACAAATGCTTATTGCGCAACAAATGAGGACCACAAGTGATATACGTGTTCGCGACAATGTAGTTGTGGAGGTAGAATGTACTCAAATCTCACCTTAGTCGCTCCTTTCTGCCTGTTAAGATCATGGCACGGTTAAGCAGAGGAGGATTCCTTTTGCTGGCGGTAGCATTTCACCTGGTATACATCTATTCTATCTTCGACATATACTTCGTCAGTCCCATTGTCCATGGCATGCGATCATATCGAGTCGAAGGATATGATGCACCAGCAAAAAGACTAGTCCTGTTCGTGGGGGATGGCCTTCGTGCCGACAAAGCATTTCAATCCTTCCCAGATCCTACGCCGAAGAACCCAACTGCGAAAGACCTTGTCCCACGGCCACTTGCGCCATTCCTTCGATCTCGGGTCCTAGAACACGGAACATTCGGTGTATCACACACTCGTGTACCTACTGAGTCAAGACCGGGTCATGTTGCGCTTATTGCAGGCTTGTATGAGGATGTCTCTGCGGTAGCAACGGGCTGGAAGTTGAATCCTGTTGGTTTTGACAGTGTTTTCAATCGCAGCAGGCACACTTGGAGTTGGGGGAGTCCGGACATTTTGCCCATGTTTTCTCAAGGTGCAATTCCAGGAAGAGTTGATGCAGATTATTATGATGCTGAGTTCGAGGATTTCACAGCAGATGCTACTCATCTCGATACCTGGGTCTTTGACAAAGTGAAGGCCTTCTTCGAAGAAGCAAGGACAAACACCACATTGAACGAGATCCTGAGACAAGATAAGCTGGTTTTCTTCCTACACCTGCTCGGATTGGACACTACTGGTCACGGATACAGACCCTATTCGAAAGAGTACCTCCACAATATCAAGGTTGTCGACCAGGGTGTAAAAGAGATTCACGATCTTATCCAGAACTTCTACGAAGACGACAACACTGCTTATGTCTTTACGGCTGATCATGGCATGAGTGACTGGGGCAGTCATGGCGACGGCCATCCTGATAATACTCGAACGCCGCTTATCACATGGGGTTCTGGTATCGCTAAGCCTCTCGTAAGACCGGGTCAGATCGCTCCAGGCCATGCGGATAACTTTTCGCACGACTGGGATCTCCAGCACGTGCAGAGACACGATGTTGGACAAGCGGACGTTGCCGCTCTTATGGCTCACTTGGTTGGACTCGATATTCCTGTAAATTCTGTGGGTGAGCTGCCTCTTTCATACTTGAGTGAGCCTCTTGACCGCAAGGCTCATGCCGCGCTAGCCAATGCCAGAGAGGTTCTCGAGATGTATGCTGTCAAGGAGGCCGACAAGCAACGAACAGAACTCCGCTACAAGCCATTTCCAGCATTTGCCGAAGAAGGGAAAACTGTGGCTGATCGCTTCCTCCTGATCGAGACATCCATCTCGCAAGGCCAGCACGAAAAATCAATAACTATGTCGAAGGATCTGCTCCATGAAGGTCTTCGAGGCCTGCGCTACCTCCAGACATACGATTGGTTTTTTCTACGCGTTCTGATAACGCTTGGGTACCTTGGTTGGATTGCTTATGCGACCAGCACCGTCATTGACATCCACGTTCTGCACGGTAGCATTGCCAGCGACAGATCTTCGCTCTCGCTGGTTGCTTTTTCTTCAATTCTTGTATTGCTTTACTCGTCTTTCATCATTAGCGAGTCACCTATTACCTATTATGCTTACGCCTTCTTCCCAGTCTTCTTCTGGGAGGAAGTGTGGTCACGTCGAAGAGGACTTCTTGCTGGGCTGAAAATGCTATTCGGAAACACCCACCACCGTTCGTCTTATTTGGTGTTCGGCCTGGAGTCGCTGGCATTTCTTGGTGTGTTAGAAGCCCTTGTACAGTCTTATTTCCATCGTACCATTTTCACGGCATTGTACATTATCGGAGCATTTTGGCCAGCATACTATGGTTGGGATTTTGTTTCAGCAAACAGAATGATTGTTATACCATGGACTGCTGGTTGTATCACATTAAGTACTTTCACTTTATTGCCAGTCATCAAGGTCGAGAACGCCAACACTATAACCATGGGCGGTCTTCTAATGCTAGCGGCTGGGCTTTTCTATCTGGCCTTTGAGCAATCGATTACCGCGAAGTCTCGATCAGGCAAAGTTGATGCACGCACGAACTCCTTGTCTCGAACCATCATGGGATTTCAAGCAGGAATTGTCGGCCTGACCATTATCGTTACTCGTTCCAGTGTCGCATCTTTACAGGCCAAGGAAGGTCTACCACTGGGCAATCAAATCGTTGGCTGGCTATGTCTGTTAGGATCTCTAATCTTGCCATTTATCCACCGGATAGCGCCGAACGACCACTACCTACATCGTCTGATGGTCATCTTCCTGAGCTTTTCGCCATCCTTCGTTCTCTTTACCATCTCCTACGAAGGCCTGTTTTACTTTGCATTCTGTATAACACTTCTTGTTTGGGTACGCCTTGAGCACGCCGTTCATCTTTACACGACTTCTATTACTTCCACCAACGGCACGATATCTCAGGCCCCGTCTCAGGGAAGCACGATTGTTTCAGCCGCTCCTTCTAACATTGATCTTATCCCACCTTCCCCAAAGCCCAACAAACAGAATTTGGTTCAGCCGCGGACGAGAGCTACACGCACTCTGACAACTTCAGACCTTCGTGTATCACTTTTCTTTCTCTTCCTGCTTCAGTCAGCTTTCTTCAGTACGGGAAATATTGCATCAGTCTCCTCGTTCTCCTTGGAAGCAGTCTATCGTCTCATTCCAATCTTCGATCCTTTCTCTCAAGGTGCTTTACTCATTCTCAAGATTCTCATTCCTTTTGCAGTCATATCTGCCGCTCTCGGTATCCTCAATCGACGACTTGGCCTTCAATCATCTGCCCTCTTCATGGTCGTCATGGCGGTTGGTGATGTTCTAGTCATGAACTTCTTCTGGATGGTGAAAGATGAGGGAAGTTGGTTGGACATTGGGACTACAATCAGTCACTTTGTGATTGGGAGTCTGCTGAGTGTGTTTGTAGCTGGATTGGAAGGAGTAAGTGAGCTGCTGATCTCTGGTGTCGATGTTGCGGAGACCGTCATAGATGACCAGAGTAAAGATGTGGTCGACACTAGGAAGACCAGCAATGGCAGCGTGAAGAGCATGGAGACTATCAAGCCGGACAAGGAGGAGAGACCCGTAATCGATTGAGGTACAGCCTGTAATGGACGATGATACAGACAATGTATGACCATCTCTGAGTTATACAGTACAAATGGAACAGGGTTACTGAGTTCTGAGGTGTGCTTGCCTGACTTGCGGTTCTAACACCTCTCCAGCTCTGGCTTTAGGATGCTCAAATCCAACTTTTCCTTCCCCACGACTTCTCCAGCAACGATCCGAAGCTTTGGTATCCCGTTAGGACGTTCCCAAGTCACGTCGACATCTGTATCTACATCCTGGTGAGAAGACATCGGGCACCTTTGCTTAGGCATATCAGGATGGCGCCGCAAACTTGGCTGGTCACTGAAGTCGCTCAGTCCACTAAAAGGACATACTGAGCCTTGCCGAGTATCTTCATCCGGCAACTGTCCCAGACAATCCTGCTGCTCCGAATCAAACGAGGAAACAGACCTCGACGCCTACGCATCATCGCCCATCTCACCACCACCATCACCACTCTTAATATGCCACCGCGCCATCAAATCATTCTGAATCCAAATCACCTTCGCAATCGCCTTCACAATAGCAATTTTCCTGTCCAACTCTAATCTCGGATGTGACAGTATCGCCTCCAAAAACGCATCCTGTATATACCCCAGACAAGCCCCCAAGAAAATATAATCAACAAACAACGGATACCTCCTCCCCTTCCCCACATGCATCGCCCCAACCATATCCAAATACTCCCAGTACTCCATCTTACTCGGATCAGAATTCAGTCTTGTCAAATACCACCGCAGAAACATCTTCCGGTTCTGGATCTGTGGACTTTCTTCCTTTACCCACATTTCTGGGTCCGTTTCGTTGCGGCTGTCGCGGGTGCTGAAGACGCGGGCGGTGATGTCGTGTCGAAGGAGCTTTTTGTACACCATGTTGACGATTGCGGGGACGATGAGTTTAATATAGCGTTGGCCGGAGGTTAGGGCTGCGATGTCGTCGGGGCCGAATTCGAGGAACTCTTGGAGATAGGCGATACGACATGGAAGAGAGTTATCAAGGTCGTTGCGCGAGATGTGTTGCATGTCTCGTGGAAGGGAATTCATTGTGCACTCAGAATTTTGTATAGACGGTGTGAAACACAGGTTCCCTAGAGAGTAAACAGATTGTTCAAGAGGATATAATCCAGGGAAACAAGTAAACAGAACTTGATGCTTTACAGAATCTAAAATATTGTACAACAATTATGCTCCTTTCGATCCACATTCAGTTCAGCATATCAATCCATGACTTTTGTCTCGTACAGCAACGAGGCTATCAGCCCACCCATACTCAGTGGCATGATATGCGACCTTTTTTTGCGATGTGGCATGACATTGGAACCTCTGCCACATGGCCATCATGTTGCAGGGTTATTTAGCGAAACTCCACTACGCTCACTGTGTATATGGGATGCTTGGCTATGAGGCGAATTGTGTATTTTTCACATCAGACTCGGTCTCAGCTTTTTGGACGTCGCAGTGCAGTCCTCATGCTTGGTATACGCAATAGGGCAGATCTCTCAGAGGTGATCTGTAGTGACAGACAGTAACGACCTCGACATCTAACGCGGTGGTTCCAACAAGCTACGATGCGTGTCATCTGGTACGCACTGACTGCAAGCTTCAGCTAGAGACGCTATTCAGAAACACAGCACATTGGTGGTGGTAGTAGTAGTAGTAGTAGTAGTAGTGGTATATTTGAATCCCTGCAGGATAGTCGTAGCGCGTTCTAGCGCGTCATCGCTAGTGCCGTGCTAGCTCCGAACTAGCTTGGTCTTGGTCCCTACGAGTATTGCTACTAGCCCTTTGAACGTGGTGCTGACAATGGAGCGTTGATTGCATCGGGTAGTGATCACCGGCTGGTAGAGCGTCTACTGAGGGGGCATATCATGTATCACAAACAAGGAAGAATGACATGGACGACACCATTCATGAGTAGATACCAGTATTCTCGCGAAGTAAAGTGTAAAGGTGACAAGATGCGGGTTAACACAGAGATAAAATTCACCATCATGCAAATAAATACAAAAACTGTTGCAAATCATCCAGTCGTTCATCATCATCATATGCTAGTCCAATCAGTCAGATTTTGGATCGTTCAGGTCATTAACATCCTCCTCTTTCTTGGCCACCAGTTCATGCTCTCCTGTTAGTGTTTCCCTCGAAGTTCTCCTGATAAGCGCTGATGCGGCCTGGACGCGTTGAACTCCCTTGCACTATTGCGCCGGTGTTAACAATTTGTCCCTCGTCCGGCAACGAGGCAAGGAGCTGAGATCTTCGCTTGTCCTCATCTGGATTTGGCGGGGGCAGGCTCGGCAAGTTACTGCTGATGCTTGAGACGTTACGTTGATGACTGGGTCTATGCGACAGACTCGAAACTTCTGCGGCTGAGTCATGCTGCAAGGAGGCGACCGGCTTACGGATGATCGGCAATGTTGGAATTAGAGGCAGGAGAGGCTGGACCTGAGATTCTTCGATACTGAAAGACTTTCCTAAGTAGGTATCTTCGTCGATAGCGATGTTTGTGTGAGTACCATGTCTGGTGGCTGGCTCAGATCTTCATTACTTCGATCCTGTGGAAGTTCGTAAGGCGAGACTGGTCCGAGATGACGTGCACCAACTAGGTTTTCTGATGGTCGTGATACGCTAGTCATGTCGCTTATTGCAGAAGTAATGAAATCTCCCTGGATACTACGGGGATAACCTGGATAGTCTCGAATTGACATTGAGCCTCTCAGATCATTGTTCATCATTTCGTGTCTGCTTGTCGCGTCGACTTCGTGTGAACCAGAAAGTGCTGGAGAAATGATGTAAGGACTACCATGACGAGGAGAATGGTAGACGCCAGGAGATGTGACAGTACTGCTCGGGGCTTCGAAGATGTCAGCGTGTATAGCCTTCGGAATGTCATGACTGAAATAGTCGTTCACCATTGTATTGCCGGTGTCTCCCGAAGAGTTCGAGTATTCTGGCTCGGGGTCATGACCGGCACTTGACAATTTGCGGAACCACGATGCCACCTTATTTTGTCGCATGGCTGTCCGTGCAGCGCCTTGCGCCGATTTGTTCCTTCGGTGCCTTCTGTACCACCAAAAGAGTAAGCCAGCGATCACAATGGCGCCTCCAGAAGCAACACACGCGGCAATGATAGTCGTCTTATGTGGTGAAGGTGGTGGAGGTGGTGGCACTGGACTGGAATTGTCACCACAAAGTCGTGGTTCGTATGTCTGCGTTGTCCTTAGATACTTGTGAGCGAATAAGCTCGAGAGAGTGCCAGTCAAAGTCGCGCTAGTAGCGACATTGCTGACTACCTTCTCAAGTACCATGTATGGCTTGGACGAATTGGCTTCGTATATGCCTGTCCATGTGAGAGTGTTAAGGTCGAAGACGTCGATCGCAGTATCAGATTGTAGATACCCGAATTGCTCTGTCATACCTCCTACTGAGATCATCGTCTGAGGTGATGGCAAGAAGCAGCTATGCCATCTACGTCGGTGGTTTTCCTTTCCTCTAGAAACAAGAGTCCATGCGAACGAGGGTATAGACAGACCCAGACCTCGACATTCGCGTTACCGTACCCACCATCATAGCCACCATAAACATAAATCGAAAGAGAGCTGCCATCGTCAGGTGCAGTTGTGACCGTACAAAAGGCTGACAATTGTCTTGGCGTAACGCCTTCTTTGCCTCCGTTGGTCTCTTGGAGGTACCAGGCATCTTGGTGGATGTCATAGACCGCCACCTTTGTCATAAAATCATTTGGAGCTGACTCGGGTGCCTGAATCATCCACAGATCAGCGTGATACTGTGCACCACCTAGAACTATCAAGGCTCCATCGCCACCGAATGGAACCCAGACCATTCACGATTCACCACGGAGCACAACGGCTGGAGGCAAGGTTGTACTTGAGAAACTGGCATTGTTCGGATCCTGCATGTCAATCCTGACGAAGCTTGAAGAAGCATTCGTTACATGCTTGGATGAGCTGTCCATTGCATAATAGTCCAGCTCGCTTCCATTTGCAGAGATCATGCCACTGAAATAGAAGCCTATCCTGTCTTTTGCTGGGCCACTAGCGTAAGCACCTGTGGTGACGCGATCGTTGACATTTGATAAGCGCGACGGCCCAACAGGAGGGTATGCGGAGTCGAATAATTGGCCTCGAGAGTACGGGAAGAGCTTGCCATTGATGATACTGCTTGGACCTTCAGGTGTGTCTTTCGCGGTTAGGCCACTGCTCATGGTTAGCATAAGCGTGGCTTGTGTTACTGAATGCACTTACCTGTAGGTGTAAAATTCAAAATCGTTCGCTACAATTCCACCACCAACCCAGACAGGCGACTTATCGTCCGGAGTCTCTTCTATATAATTGAGCAGCGAAAAAGTATCGATAGCTGTGGTATCGAACGAGTTGCAGAGATTGATCTCGTAAAGCATACCCCGAGGATTCGATACAGCGGTTGTTCCAGAAAATTGCCCATTCTGATCGAAATTTCCTGTTGCCAACGCTCCTCCTTCGAGAGTCAGGGTGTCACGAATAACGGCGCCACGCAGACCGGGGCTTCAGCCAGCAATGCGTGAGCCTCCTAGAACGGCATGGGTAAACGACACCAACATAAGCAGAGCAGATTTGCAGCAGATATTGGGTGCACCCATGGCTGCTGTTGATGTTTGCTGGCCCCAAATGATTCAGTCCTTCTTTCACAAAGCCGGGCCAGCAAGAACGATGTTGAGATCGAATCGAGGAACTACCACTCACTTTCACCGAGGCAAGCGTTTATCGATGGACACGGTGCTTGCGGGTTTAAGATGTCATTGTGTGTGCTAGGTTGTAGAATACTGATTTCTCTCGACCACTCAGACACATAGGGAGAACATAAGCGCTATTAGTGGCAAAAAGAATGTCCCTTGGCAGATAGACAACCACCAGGTCAGTGCTTTTCAAGAGCTAGCCTGCGCTTCCGTGCACAAACTCGCCGTGAGGAGTAGCTGCTTCTGGAAGCTCATCAACGAGGGAAGGGGTGAGTGAGTCGATCAACGATCTCGAATGTGCTATAAACAAGCGTACAATTGTCATTGACTGTAATGCTTCCTATTCCGTAGACGTCTGGCAGAAAGTGGTATAACTAAGGTTGTATGTAAAGCTAGTGAGATATAGAAGTTCGTTCTTTACCCAATATCTCCTAGCACGGCCAACAAAGGTCGAGGCTTACAGCCACAAAACTCGCGGCTTCTTCATTGGATCGAGCGGATCAGCCAGGATGTCTATGTCGACAATCGCCGATGCGACAGCCTGATACGTGCTGCATGTCACGCAAAAGAGGAACGCAGGGCATCCTGCGCTCCATGTTCAGCCTTCAGTAGAAGAGAGTGAGTGAGTGAATGAAAGGGACGTTGAGAAGGTTGGAACTTAAGTACATGATTCGTTGGAACCCATTGTCTCGGATGTCCTCGTCATCCTCCTTCACCACAAAGGTTATGTCACGCAGCAGAAGCTCTGAGGCAACAGGAGATATTGTGCGACAAGTCAAAGAAAGTGCATGGAGGATACGATGCGTGGAGGGTCTTGTTGTACCATGTGCATCGTAACGAATCTTTTCAGGCTCGATGAAGTTGAAAATGAACGCTTCCACTGGTAGTTCTGAGAGACGTGTCATAGTATCTTTTAGTGATGGTACTTAAAAAATTGAAGTAAAGATGAAGTGATGGGCAAGAAAGAGGAAAGGGGAAAATGACGTCACGCGTCAGAACCGAGAACCTGGAAAGCGCGATACGCGTACTTTCTATGCCGATTGCGAGCACTCAGTTCGTAGATGTTGTAAACGTGAAACGGACACCTGCCTTTCAAGACCAAAAAACTTACATTTAGGAGTTCAGTGTCTGATATTACCCACATGAATGAGCAGTTTCTTAATTCAAATTGCTGGTTCTTGTAAACATTAACTGGTGTCGATCATGGTTCAAAAGCGTAAATCAGGCTACAACACACATGATTCCTTCGTCGTCGACGATGACGAGCAGAATGACTCCCCAGCCCCTCAAACAAAACGATCCAAGAAAAACAGCAAACCGGCAGCAATTACTGCTACCTCATTCACCACAGCGCTTCCTGCGCCAAAGCGCGACGCTGACAACAACTTGTACTGGGAGATCAGTAAAGCCAGACGTGTTACAGTCAGCGACTTCAAAGGCAAGAAAATGATAGCCATCCGTGAATATTACGAGAAGGATGGAGACTGGCTACCTGGCAAGAAAGGCATCAGTATGTCTTTGGAACAATATGCTGGACTCGTGAGTGTACTCCCGGGTGTTGAGAATGAACTACGGAGGAGTGGCATTCAGGATGTACCGAGACCGAACTATGAGGCCATTGATGGAGGCGAGAGCGGTCTTAAGCAAGAAGACGAAGAAGCAACCGAGGACTCTGAGGAGGGAGACACTACTGGTAGGGCTAATCATGAGGCTACAAGCGATGAGGAGGAGTGAAGAAGGTCAGGAACCACTCACAGTAACAACAAACTCAAGAAGAAGATCTCCTCTCAGTCAGGCTGTTGGCACTTTGTGTCCGGACCGTAAAGAGGATGCAAAGAAACGGCTCATTTGCAATCGTGCAACCGTCTGAACCACCACATTTCTCGATGAGGGTACGGCACATCTGGCGAGCTGCAAGGTATTGTCCTTTCACAGCATACAGTATTTCTCTGACCTGAACAGGGATCACTTGCTACGGCCTCGTTAGAAGTTTCATCTCACCTTGCTGCGCTCACGATGCTTCGAAAGAGCTGAAAAACACAGCCAAGCGATCAAGATGGTTCAAAAAGAGTTCAGAGTTCTCTCGACAGCGGTTCGCAAGCAGGCTTCTGCTACATGCTACGAGCTGCTTTCCCATTCGGCTAGCCGGTTCGCCAGACTACCCTTTTTCCAATTCTTTTCATAGTCCTCTTTAAGGTCGACTTGGCTCTTTTCACCAGCTTTGCCATATCCACCTCCGCCTGGAGTCATCACAATTATCCTCTCTCCTGGCTGCATGTTTGCAGTGTTCTTTGCACCCATACTGATTCTCCTCTCCTCAAATTGTTCGACATCATCCTCTTTGTCTTCCCTCCTTTGACCTTCATGCTCTCCACCACTACCCTTACTCTTTGCCTTCTTCACCTTTCGCACCCAGATATTCTTGCCGCATTGTGCGTCTTCTCCACCATGCAAACCATAGGGTCTATACACTCTTCTCTCACTGAGGATGCTGACTTGTACAGGAATCCTGAACTCGATGTCTCTTATCACTCCGTCACCGCCCCTATGCTGACCGTTACCACCACTTCCGGCTCTCAGGCCGAATTCTCGGAGGATTACAGGGTAACGTCTCTCGAAGACCTCCGCGTCTGTGATTCTCGTGTTCGTCATGTGAGTATGCACACCACTAGTACCTTCCCAGTCCTTACCAGCTCCGCTTCCACCTGCAATAGTCTCATAATACCCAAACCCTTTCACTTGCTCTTTCTGTCCATCTTTACTGTCCTTTGACACCAGATTGCCACCGAAACCGAACGTCAGATTGTTGCAATCGCCTTGACTTGCGGCACATGCCTCGAAACACCTGAACACAACATCCGTCACTCTCTGACTCGTCAGCACATTACCACCTACCACTGCCGCCTTCTCGCTCGGACTCAGAAAGCTACCCTTCGGTATTTGAACCTTGACCGGCTTCAGACAGCCCTGATTCAGAGGTATGTCCTGGTCAATGAGACATCTCAGACAGTATATGATAGCACTGTATGTCACCGCTTCCGGCGCATTGACATTTCCATATACCTCCGGTCCAGTCCCCTCAAAGTCGAAAACTGCCTCACCCTTCTCCCCATCTATTGTGATCCTCAGCTCAATCGGACTTCCATCGTCCATGTAATCAACTGCATGCAAGTCCTTACCCTCAAAACGCTTATGCACTTCCTTGAGCAGACTACGCACACTCTGCTCAGCATTCTCCTGGATCTGCTTCATGTAGAATGCGATGACCTTTTGTCCATAGTCCTCAATCAGACTCTCGATCAACGTGATACCTTTCTTGTTTGCCGCAATCTGTGCCTTCAGATCATTGAGGTTGTCCGCCAAACATCTCGTGCCGCTACAATCAGGATACTGCGCCGGCTCATCATACAAGAGCTCCGTGATACGCTTCTCATCGAACTGTCCCTGGTGAACGAGAAGTTCAGACTTGATCGCCGCGCCCTCCTGGTAGAGTTCGCGACTGTGCGGAGGCATAGAGCCAGGAAGAATACCGCCAATATCGGCATGGTGAGCACGTGAAGCAACATAGAAGAGAATCTCTTCTTCGCCGTTCTTTCCTACTGGTGCGAATGCGGGTGTGATGACCGTGATATCCGGCAAGTGTGTGCCGCCGTATTCAGGGTGGTTAGAAACCAGAACGTCTCCCTTTTTGAGCTTACCTTTCCAGATCTGCGCTTGTGTTCGGACACAGGTTGACATTGAGCCGAGATGGACGGGGAGATGTGGTGCGTTGGCGACGAGTCCGCCTATACTGTCGAAGAGGGCACAGGAGTAATCTAGGCGTTCTTTGACGTTGGTTGAGACGCTTGTCTTTTGGAGGGCACGACCCATCTGTTCGGCGATGGCCATGAAGCGGTGTGCGAAGATGGATAGGAGGATCGGGTCGGCCTTTTCGGTTGAGACCTGTTGGTTGTTGGAGGAGTTTGAATCGCCGATATTGATTACAACGTGTGTTTCGATGATAATTGCTGCGGCGCCAGGAGGGATGACGATGGTTTGAGTGCCGTCGGCTATGATTGCTGGGCCTGTGATGCGGTCGCCTACATCGGCGTCCTCGAGCTTGTAGATTTGTGTCTTTCGTCGGCCGCCGTCGAAGTAGACGTCCGAGGTTGAGTATGCTTTGGATTGGTCAATGTCTTTCTGCTTGATTTCTTTGAGCTGCTGGTCTGCTGTTTTGGACATGCCACGGAAGGACTTGCCTATTCCTCGGACGCGGACGTCGTCGACTATGATGTCTCGGTCTGGGAGGGTGAATCCAAATTCTTGCTCGTGCTGAGCTACGAAGGCTTTGCCGAATGCGAAGTTGTCGCCTCCGAAATTGTTCTTGGATTCAGACTCTGAAGGTCTGACGATCATGAGAGCTGATTCTGTGCCACGGTATCGCATGTTGAGGTATTCTTCGAACTCGACGGAGTCATCGTCGAAGCCTTGCTCTTTGAGTCGCTTGCCAGAACGTTGTTTGAGCTCGTCTATCTTGCTGCCCAAGGATTTCTTCACCTTGTCATCTTCGTCTTTCCATATCTCGGATTCGGGCACTTGCGACTCATCGACCACATCAGCTAGAGCCATACCGTATGCCGAGAGCACGGAAGAATACCTGTGGACCAGGACTTGACGAATACCCAAGGACTCCGCTATAGCGACAGCATGCTGACCTCCTGCACCACCGAACGTGGCCAGCCTGTGTTTTGATGTGTCGTGTCCTTTCGCTTCTGTTAATGATCGAATTGGGCGTGTCATCGTCTCATCGGCGATTTTGATGAAGCCGTAAGCTACCTCATCTGCTGACATGCTCTTGCCAGTCTTGCTATTGATCTCTTTCGTCAAGTCTTCGAAGAGCTTTTTGCTTGCTTCAGGATCTAGCCCTTCATCTTCGTTCTTACCAAAGATTTTAGGGAAGAAGTCTGGGAGTAATCGACCTAGGAACAAGTTGGCATCAGTAATGGCTAGAGGTCCTCCTTTGCGGTAACAGGCGGGGCCTGGATGAGCACCAGCTGATTCTGGTCCTACAGCAAACAAGCCATTGCGGAAGAAGAGCCTCGAGCCACCTCCAGCAGCTACTGTATTGATGTCGAGCTGTGGCGATTGGATAGTAACACCGGCAGTTGTCGTCTCAAAAACGTGTTCGTATCTTCCAGATCCATATCTGCTGACGTCTGTGCTGGTACCGCCCATATCGAAGCCGATGACTGGGGTTTTTGTCTCTGGATCATATGAAGTCAGAGCATATCCTACTACACCTCCAGCTGGACCTGACAAAATAGCCTTGAGTCCCGAAAACTTGTCAACATCGACCAGACCACCATCCGATTGCATGAATTCACATCGCGCTGCCTTCTCACCACTTGCCTGTTTCGTGGCTTCAGTACCAAGACCACCTTCGAAGCCAGCTTCGAAACCCGCGATGTACTTCTTGATAGCAGGAGTCAGGTAAGCATCGGCACAGGCTGACGTCGCTCGAGGTACAAGCTTGATCATGGGCATCAGTTCGTGACTCAGACTGACATGTTCAAAGCCAATCTCTTGCGCTACCTTTCCTACCAGGGCTTCATGCACTGGAAAAGTGTACCCGTGCATCAAACACACTGCTATGCTGCGAAACCCTTCGTCGTAGAGCTGTTTTAATGATTCCTTGATTTTTGCTTCGTCCGGCCGCTGGAGGACACGAACAGCTTCACCCGAGAGCCCTTGCACCAGTTCGTTGTTCTCAGATTCGGTATGCTTGGCGTCTGTCTTGGTCTGATTCCGAGCTGGGTCCTCAGCATAGTCCTCCAGCGTAACACGTTCGTCAACCTCAATGACTTTTTGGTAAAGCACATCCGGTCGACGAATGGCCAGGTCGAAAATCTTGGGCCGTGACTGATTGCCAATTTCCAAACAATCCTTGAAGCCTTTCGTAACGACCATAGCCATCTTCTCACCCTTCCTCTCGAGAAGCGCATTGGTCGCTACTGTCGTGCCCATGCGTATACTCTCGATTTTCGTCGTGTCTAGAGCTTTACCTCGAGGTATTTCTGTGTTAGTGAATTTCTCCATGAGCCGTCTTATGCCTTCTAGCGGGGCATCTTCGTAGTTTTGAGGATCTTCAGATAACAACTTGATGACGATATCATCCTCCATACGGCCTGTTCCAGGATTGCCTACACAATCTGTGAAGGTACCACCTCGCTGAAGAAATTAGTTTAGCCCTCGAAAAGTAAGGAATTGACCTACATCAATGGCAATTCTGATGCCCTTCTCGGGCACGCCTGCATCACCCATCCTTACGATTTCGATGAACTTCTGGGAACGACCACAACGCTACCTCCCTATTGCTGGTGAATAATGGACATCTAGGTAGAAGTCTGGATAAACCTCGGTAACCCAGACGATGCAGATGGACTGGTATTTATGCTGGATCTCTTCGCGCTTAGGCCTGTTCAAGATTAAGCTTGTAGGAATTTGAAACTGTCAGTCAGAATTGCTGTACACGATGCTGCTTGTCAGAGGGTGTTTTATGAATCTTGCGTCATATTTACGGCAGTAGCACCAGGCAAGCTTGGCACTCGAATTGGAGATCGGCGAGCAGTTCCGATGTTTATTTGCTTCGTAAAAGAGGACGGTCTGTCAATTCTGAATATTCATTACCAAGCAATTCGAACAAGCAACGAGGGAGCAAAGACCGTTCGGACAGTGTGTCTGTCGGGTGTCCGCCAACAACTCCGTCGCATAGAATAAGGTAAGCTCAATAGCTTCGGAAACACCGAGTGGCACAGTAGCACAAACAGACTTGTTTGGCATCGTCGACGTTCGCCATCCGATGCCGACTCTATCTGTCAAGAGAAAGAAATTCGTTCATTCATCATCACTCCGGACCCCTCTAGCCCACCGTTACGAGGAACGATGTGCCGCACGCTCGCCTCCCTTCGCCAGACAATGTTTGAGGATCCACGGATGCTGCTCTACTTCTGTCAGAGGTAAACGTTTCGAAGGATCAAGTACGAGGAGCTGTTATGCTGTTAGCAGAATATCCTGTCGATCAATAGGACTACTCACTTTCTTGATCAGGTCGCGAGCCTCTGGTGAGACGAAGCTCGGTATTGTCATTTCTCCCCTTGCTATTCTGCGCTGTGTCATGACAGGAGTGTCTTCAAATGGAGCTTCGCCGACCAGAAACTCGTACATTAGGACTCCCAAACTCCAGAGGTCAATCTTTTCATCGTAAAAATTATCTTTGCCGCCAGGTTTGACCATCTCCGGTGGAAGATAGTCAAGAGTACCGCACATGGTCTGGCGTCGGTTGTTGGGAGCATGTACACTCCAGCCAAAATCACTAATTTTGATCTCGCCATGGATGCCCACCAGAATATTCTCGGGCTTGATGTCCCGGTGCATGATGTGTTTCTTGTGCAGGTATTTTAATGCGGCAGCCATCTGGGCAATGTATTGAGCTGCTTTCCATTCTTCAAATTTTCCTGCCTTTCGGAGATGCTTGTATAGCTCACCGTGTCCAGCATATTCGAGAACGAGGAAGATTCGTTTTTTGTCGTGGAAGTAGCCGAAGAGTCGCAGAACGTTGGGATGGCGTAGATTGGACTGGATTTCGACCTCTCTTCGCACCTGTTTCTCGACCTTGCCTTGCACTAGTTCTGACTTGTGCAGAACTTTCAACGCACATATGAATCCAGTCGACCTCTCTCGTGCGAGATAGACTCTGCCGAACTTGCCCTTGCCCAACGGCTTCCCAATCTCGAAGTCGTTCAAGGTCAATTCTCGATCTCGAAGACTTGATTGTTGAGGCTGCTGGGGTTGTTGAAGAGCATCAGCATACGAGGTAATGGAGCTCGCAGCTGAGCCGCAGGATCGTTCAGAAGGGTTATTGGTGTCGTCTGAGGACTGAGAGACTTCTCTCCGTACAGGTGAAGGGGGCGCAGGAATCTGGGTAGGTTTTGTGATTGTTGCAACACGACCGCCCTCGTTCTGTCGTGACTCTGAGCTGGCTGTCAAGGCGGTCTTGACCAGGTTCGATCTACTATAGCTATGTGCGAGCTGTCACTCTGTTGGTGAGTACTCAATGCTTGTCGTGTATGCTCATACCTTGGTTTTGGATCCAGTTGGTTGTGGTGCCTGGTTCTCATCGTTAACCGTAAGCTTCTTCAACCCTGATTCGATTTGTCTGATAGACATAATTACTACTTATCGATGCAGCGGATGGTGTCAAGTAGCCTACACCAGAGTGTCCCGAATATTAGGTGATGTGCAAGTATTTGTTCTGCGACGCTAGAGACGAACACAAATGGTGATGCGAATTGTTATGCATGCGTTGCCCCGACAACAATCTGATAGATCCGAGTTGCAGGAAACCTCGTTACACCTTCCCAGTAACACAGTCAGCATAGCGTGTGTTGATAAGTCTGAATAAATTCGCTACTCATATGGTGCAGCTAGAAAGAAAATTGTATGCAGTGAAGCTAATTCCCAAGCATGTTCGAGTTGAAAGCATTTCTGCATCGACCAACTTCGGCAGGCACAAGGCTGGTACTAGCAGTCGCTGTTTCTTGATTGATTAATCGATGCAGAGGAAGGTTCGCAGGCGCGTCTCTTCAACCTCTTCACGTTCTGTGCCTAAGCAACTCATTCTCAGCCTTCGGCATTTTATGTCTATGTAGTCAACAATATCGTCCTCTATCTCGCTCATCTACTTATTTCGCAGTATACAGTAGCGTCCAGGGTTCAGTCATTCACTATCTGAGAAGCAACCAGGCGGTCGATGTGACAGCTGTAGGCCCAGGCCTGTCTCTCACGATACCTAGGGCTGATTGCAGGCGATGATAAAAACTTAGTGCATATGTCACGACTGGCGTACTGCATAAAATGCACTAACCTCGCTGTGCCGGCAAGGTTCAATTGTTTCATGGCTCATCAATGAATTTGCAATCCTCATCTACTGAGCCTCCGACCCGATTCAGAAGGAAACATCAGAAAACAAGGACTGGTTGTGTCACATGCAAAGCCCGACGCCTAAAGTGCGACAAGAGACCAGGTCTATGCCGTCGATGTGAGAGTTCGGGCACGAGATGCTTCTACAGGCCTCAACCCCAAGGCTATCTGACAGGTGTCCAACGTGATGAAAGCATCGATGTACAGTCGGTCCAGCCTGTGCTCGAGCTTGCCATCTCGTCTATTGAGCGGACACCCGAGACGACACAGCTACAGCAATTCTGCATGAGCACCAGCCTCGCCGTATTCAAGAACCTTGGTCGACCCTTTGAGACCTTCTGGACATCAGCGGTACCGAAGCTTAGCATATATGAACCATGTGTGGCACACGTCATGGTTGCTTTGGCCGCCAGACAGCGTGCGTCTTTCTATGCCAACCACTCCGCGGTGGAACGTACACAGCTGGTCAGAGCTTACAACAAACACTACACAAATGCGCTGACTTTGCTTACCAAGTCACAGTCAGCTAGTCGGCCAGAGATTATTCTTCTCTGTTGCCTGATGTTCATCAGCATGGAAAACGTTGAGGATACCATTTCTAACTCGTTTCTCCATCTACGTTCTGGTCTCCAGGTATTGAGAGAATGGAAAGCTTCTCGGCTAGCAGGTCTCCCGGCTCAAAACTCGGCCAAGGACCTGATCGAGAGGACGTTAGAGCCTATTTTCGCACGTTTCGAAGCAGCAGTGAGTCCATCGATATATCATAAAACCATAGGCGAGCCGCCAACTGACCTCCGATGGCCAATGCCTTCATTGCCAGGACGATTCGAGAGTTTGGCTGCAGCGCGCGGAGTGCTCTACGAAATAGCACAGTGGGTATTTAGTCAAGGCCAACACCAGATGATATTTCAGGGCAGGCATACACAGGAGATTGCGCCCACACTCGACCTTTGCCTGAGATGGAAGGAGAGACTAAACAAGTACAATATCGAGCATCCGAGAGAGGCTCAGAGATACAAGACCTCAATCCTAGCTCTCGAGACGAATCATCAGCTCCTCACTTTGTTAACCAATTGCACAGCCCTCCCTAATGAACATCTTTGGACGAGATACTCAGCTATCCACGAAGAAATGTTTAAGAGTATCCAGTATATCGAGCAGCAGGGCCTCACCGAGCTCCCACAACGACGATCCAAGATGAGCCTCCTACCAAGAATGATGCCTGCACTCTTCACCATTGCGGTCATCTATCGGCGGAGGGCAACCCAAAAGCAAGCTCTCGAAATGATCAAGCGGATACATGCAGAAAACCATCCAGATCAATGCTTTGTCGCGGTCATAGCGGAGACTCTAATTCAGCGAGAGGAGGCTTTAGAGCAGGAAAGCATTATGCAGCTCGCGTCTATGGCTACCCGCGTACGACCACTGAAGGCCGAGCTCATTCCTGGATGGCCTGGCCAGATATTACTGACCTATACCAGACCATTTGTTCGATCGCTCGTAGCAGAAGACCCCAATCTTGGCCCGATAGTATCAGGCGCACCCACAACCACGATAGCAGTGCCGTGGCGGTCAGAAGAAGCACCTCCTGCAAGGGTCGTGTGGTTGTGGCCTGTCGTCGAGTTCTTGAGGCTGTCTGGATCTGGTGGACTTGTTGGGCCCAATACTGGTCATTGCCTGTGCAAGACGTATGGAGCGCTGTTTGCATTAATGAGGTAATACCTATGCCAGGAGTATATGATGAAGGGCAACGGTTAAGTCGTCGTCACAAATCCATTGAGTCACTGTACAGAGAAACGATTGACGATATACCTTGGATGAGTGACCCCGACATGATCAATAATGTGTATAATATTGAGGCGCTGGTCTGAGCGAGCGGTATTTGTCGTTCGTTATAGTCCAGGCCAATATCAAAAGTGCGTCTGCAATTGTTCTGTCGCTTCGATCCCTTGCTCGCAGCTCCAGGTTTACAAATCCCAACCAGAAGCGACTCTGACCAGCTCTTCTTTGAGCCATCAGAAGGGATCGATCATTGGCAATTGGAAACCACCCTCAGTAGCTTCGTCCTGAGTAGCCCTTAGATGTTGCAGATCTTTTTCCACGTCCACCACATGCTCGTCCTCGGTCAATTCATCCACACTTGTGATAAAACGCCATCTAACTTTATTGTTCGCTGTATGTTTGGCGGCATCCGTACCAGCAGAATACGACACTCTCCTCTGATAGTATTGCTCAGCCAGAACACTAAGATGCTCATGCTTAGTTATGATATCATGCGCAGCCTGCACAATCATCCTCTCATAACTCTTCACATTCCGCCAGCGCACACTCGTCCCTTGCATATGTCTTATCTTCCACGTCGCCAACTCAATGCACCTCAAGCCAGCCATACCTCTCCGGTACTCATCCTTACCCAGATCCCACGCAAACGTCTGAAGCGCTTCCCAATCTATTATTATATGTCGCATATAAGCAAATCCCCTAGCAGTAATATTATGCAGCAGTAGTTTCGTCGATTCTCTCGCCGTCAGATCGAATGCGCGGAAGGAGTACAGGAACGGGAAAGCTTCTGTCCGCAGCTGCTTACAGACGCGTAGGAGTTGAGAGGAGAGGTCGTGAGGAGTGATTGCCCAGGACTCGAAGTCGGACGGGAAGGTAGTGCCTTCGTTGTATTCGTATTCACGGGCTGGAGCGGCGGTGATTTGGACAGGGGTATGGGGAGTGAATATTATGTCGTAAATTAGTTCGCGGATCTCGAGGGGGATGCCGAGGAAGGTTGAGAGGCGTTCTGCCATGTTAGTAATAGTGCTTCTGGAAGAGGATGAGTCAGCGCGTCGTGTTTGAACGTGGCATGAGATGTTCGTTAAAGCACAAGGTCGATATTGTCGGCATCATCAGCAATGACTAAATACACTTTGAGGGGAAAGCGACAGCACGGGTATGTTGCGAGCATTGCTTGGAGAAGCAAAAGGAGGTATTCAATATGCAGTCATGTTCAGTCACTCGAGCACAAGAAGTTCGTCGATGATGTTCATTTCGTTGACCACTCGTCTGACGATTTGATCTCTACTGCAGTCTTGCTTTTCGGTCGACGAGAATATACTGCAAGGACGGGATTGCTTGGAACTGGTAGATGCATTCACGATCCAGGGTCGCGGCAATAATCGGGCAGTTCCAGCTTGGCAAGCCCAATGACGTTGACCATGGATTCTCAGTATTCGCGTATCAGCAAGGAAATTGTGAGTGTTGCGGGTAACATTGAAGGCAAGTACTACTAGCAGCAGATGCATGCTGTGTAGCACCTTCCCAACATAAAGATTTGTTTTCTATCACTATCGAACGAGTAACACAAGCCTATCTCCTCTGTCCTTGATTCAACCAATCTAACCATTCATTGATCGTCATTTCTGAAAGTCACACAACCTCCTGCGCAAATATGTGCTTCGGCTCCAGCAGAGACGTCGACGAAGCCATTGTTATCAAAACGCGTGTACGGCCTCGCGCGGGCGGTGAGCGCACATACATCCAACAGCCCGCGAGACTTCGAAGGGAAAGGTCGTTGAGCCGGACTCGATACAGTCGGGATTATCACGACCGCGAGGTCAGCAGATATAGTCGGGATGTTGATAGATATGCTCGATACGAGGAGCCTCGCAGGAGCAGTCGCACGTTTACGGAGGAGAGGAGGGTGAGCAGAGTGCATAGAGATTGAGATCGGACGACAATGTGATATGAGTGCAAATATACGATCTGTACAGGAATATGATTACGAATATGGGGACGGTATGGTTTGGGATTTAAGGAAAGGCATAAAGGAAGGATATAGGGCTTGGGTGGCATGGTGGATTGTATTAATACATTTGTTGCTTCGTCTTATGGCAAGTACATTATCGTCGCTGAATACTGTATAAGGACTTGGGGGATTCGACGTCTTTTCTATGCATAACAAACCATTCTGTACCTGCAGATCATTCTTTCGAATTGTCTCTGCGTGAGTTCCACTTTAGTAACAACACGCAATCATTGTGTTTGGGTAGGGGAGGGGTCATTTCTTTGTGTAGTAGTTGTGTACTCCTATGACGTAGTGCATCCGGTGAATGCGCTCGAAAGTCTTAATCTTAGTCTGTTGAACTCTTCGTGAGCAGTCTCAAATTTCTACTGAGCTTGTCGCAGTACTACTTGAGCTTTCCTGAGAACGAAACAAGCTGTAACTTCATATACTCAAACCACATCGCGCGATCGTAGCGACTTCGACTCTACCTTTGTCCTATCTCTAGCCTCACTCCGTCTCCAGCCAACATGAACCGAGCACTGTCTATACGGTCCAAGGGCAGGCACAGCCAGAAGGATGCCCCCAAGCACAACTTTTCCATGACCACCTTCCGTGGCATGAGAGAATCAGACCTTTCCAAGAAGCTTTTCAAGCTGATCAAGACTGAAAACCACGCTATCAGTGCATACGAAACTGCTGGTAGAGAACGAGTTTCAATCGCTTCCCAGCTCTCGGACTGGGGCGAGTCGACTAACGACGACTCGATCTCTGACTTGTCAGACAAGATCGGCGTACTGCTGTCAGAAATTGGTGAACAGGAGGATCTTTTTGCTCAGAACCTCGAGGACTACAGAAGCGTCCTGAAGCAGATCAGAAACACCGAGAGCAGCGTCCAGCCAAGCCGTGACAACAAGGCCAAGATCAGCGACGAGATCGCAAAACTCAAGTACAAGGAACCTAGCAGCCCAAGAATTGTCACTCTTGAGCAGGAACTCGTACGAGCTGAGGCTCAAAACTTGGTCGCAGAAGCACAACTGACCAACATTGTAAGTAATATTGAACATAGAAACGAATATTAGCTAATACCAGACAGACTCGTCAGAAGCTCAAGGAGGCATACGATATCCAATTCGCCGCAACCATCGAACGAGCTGAGAAACAAATCATCCTTGCCAGATACGGCCGCAGGTTGCTGAACTTGCTAGACGACACTCCAGTCGTTCCTGGTGATGTTCGACAGCCATTTGCTAACGCCAGCGAAGCTAAACACATCCTCAACGAAGCCGAAGCCGAGCTGCAATCATGGCATCCATCTGTTGAGCCTATCTCGACTAATGCAAGCGGAATGGGCGCGAACCTGATGCCTGCTGAGGACCAGACTACCACCACTGCATCGGAAGCCCCAATGTCCGATAACCAATCCACCGGTTATCACCAAGCCACGACTGGCCATCACAGTGCCGCTGTCGAAGATCCTAGAAACCCAGTCGCTGGTGAAGGATCACATCTTGAAAAGGCCGTGGCCGCTTAGGGAGATGGCACGTCTATAGCAAGATCACACCAGAAGTTTTCCTACGAGGAGCAAGATGATGACGACGATAATGCTTGGAGATGAGTACAGTCAGATCATGGTGCATGAGGTTGGCATGGTGTGTCGTAGGTTGGGAATTTTGTATGCGTTTTAGAACGAGGCCTCGAGCAGACAATTGATGAACACTTGATACTCGTCCTGCAGACAAGCCGGTGTAGGAAAGAATATGCTAAACAACCCGTCCCAGTCCTTGTGTGATCCATTGAAAAGTAGTATCGCCGACCTGTCTCCACAAAACATCCTCAAAGAGCATGGTTTACGCACTCGATCCCACCTCGAATCCAGTACTAAAGTCAATTACCTGTTCAGGCCTGTATTCGCAATTCTCCTTCCTTATCCTTCATACAATCGTTTTCACCAGTACGTCATGTTCCTCTTTTAGCAGTCGACAAGTCTCCTGCAAGATGGCTTGGTAACTACCTCTTCATATTTGACGACCAAAATACGACATTGTCCTCACGAAGCCGAGCTGGTAACAAGGCAATACGACGCGGCCTTCGCAGCGAAGTAAAACCTCGTTTGCTTCTTGCACCAGTAAGATGATACTACAAACGTTCAGTGCTCTCTGGTGAGGTCATCCACAATGGAATTCGAGCGTTGCTGGTCCACATTTGCTTTCCTTATACTTACCACAATCTATCTCTTCTCCTTTATTATCTGATTCTCAACTGTGAAAGCACGTCGGTATATGATCATGGTGTCCACCATCTCCCTTGTCTTGATCCTCTCTGTTGTTTATTTTGTTGCCAATAACGTGATCTGTCTACGCCGCAATATTAATACAGCCAAGAAATCGGGTATACACTATGTGGTCGTTCCTGTCTATTACCTGAAAAGATGGTGGTTGGCTGGACACCGGCTGCTCCTTCCGTTGTTCAGGCGACTTCCTGCCTCATGGACAAACTGGGTCGACTTCTGTCTTCCAGACTTTGCCTACGATTACCGTCACGAAGTCTTCAAACGTGTTGGCCACGACACTTTTCTGAGCGTTGCTCCTGGTGGCATAGTTCTATACACTTGCGAACCGGCCGTTATCAGTCAGATCACAACCCGGCGTAACGATTTCCCCAAGCCAACCCACATTTACACCAGTTTGGACATCTATGGTAAGAATGTGGTCACCACTGAGCGAGATGCTTGGAGACGACACCGCAAAGCTACTAGCCCTCCTTTCACCGAAAAGAACAACCATCTGGTCTGGGATGAATCGATCCGTCAAGCTAAAGCCATGCTATCCGATTGGCTAGGAAAGGATAGCAAAGGAGGTCAAAAGATTGACCGAGTCATGGATGACACGATGCGCCTCTCGCTCAATGTTATCAGTGCTGCTGGCTTTGGTAGAACCATGGATTGGCCCACTGCTGACACTCTAGCCGCCTCGAAAGAGGCAGATGGATACGTCGACACCTCGAAAATTAAGAACGAAGATCGTGACATTGATCCGGGACACAGCATGTCCTACACATACGCCATTCACTGCCTTCTCGATAATATCCTGTTGCAATTCTTGATACCACGTTGGCTTCTCGTCCGTTTGCCTGGAGCCACACCAAGGAAAGCGAACGAAGCCTACCACGAATGGGGCAACTACATGAAAGAACTTCTTTCGAAGAAGAAGGAAGATATCGAATCTGGTGTAGCGAATGTGGAAACAAACGACATTCTTACTCAGCTTGTAAAGCAGCAGCTTGTCAACCAGTCTCAGGACAAAGACATTAAGAGCAAGAACCAGTTGACAGAAAGCGAAGTCCTGGGAAATATGTTCGTTCTGATTCTGGCTGGTCACGAAACAGCTGCCAACAGCATACACTTCAGCATATTATATCTCGCGCTATATCTTCAGTCTCAGCGACATTTGCAAGCAGATCTGGATAAAATCTTCGCTGGTAAATCACCTGATCAATGGGAGTACGACCGTGATCTACCACATCTCTTCGGTGGTATGGCTGGTGCTGTGCTTGCCGAGGAATTGAGACTTGCACCTCCTGTAATTGGCATTCCAAAGAGTACCCAGGAAGGGGTGGGCCCACAGAAGTTGACGGTAGAGGGCAAAGAGTGTGTTGTACCTGGCGACGCTTACATCTCGCTGTGTACAGGCGCAGCACATCGTAATCCTGGGTACTGGCCAACAAGTAAACCACGGTTGCCTGGTGGACGTCCTGCACATCCAGTTTCGAATCTTGACAACGATCTCGAAGAGTTCAGACCAGAACGATGGCTTCTGAGCGAGGATGATGACGCTGTCACGGATGCGGATGGCATTCCGGTAGAAACACTAGCGAAGGACCAAGGTCTTGGCGTCAACGAATCTTCAGACACCTCTGATCGATTATTCAAGCCTGCCAAAGGTGCCTACTTACCATTTAGTGAGGGTTATCGTGCATGTTTGGGACGACGTTTCGCCCAGGTAGAAGTGCTTGCAGTCTTGGCAATACTGTTCCAGAACCACTCGGTCGAGCTGGACGTGAGTAGGTACGCAACCGACGAGGAAGTGGATAAAATGAGTCTGGACCAGAAGGCGGAAGTATGGCACAAAGCAGCTGAAGACGCACGAGATCTAATGCTAAACGGAATGGGAGTGATCATCACTCTGCAATTGCGAGCAGGCAAGTATCTTCCTCGTTGAAGCTTTAAACCATGCTAATTGGTGTCTTTAGGCACTGTACCATTTCGCTTTGTTCCACGCGGCCAGGAACGCTTTCCTGACAACGTCGATGATATATGGAAGAAGAACCACCCAGATCGAGTCACAGAAAAAGGTATACCGAATTGGAGTTGTTGGGGACGGCACAATCCTGATGCTCCCAAATTTGAAGCGGGACTTAGTCGGCAGGTAGAAAAATAGACGATCTCGTTTGTGAGTCTACTGGTAGGGTTCTATCCAATGTCTCTTGCTTCACCATCTTCAACTAGCCGAAAGTGTATTGAACATACATGTGTGGTGCGCCTACAAGAGGTAACGTCAAAAGATCGAAACGACTAACCATACCATCGTTCACAAATTGTTCACATTAAATCCGTATTCTCCGGCCTTACCTCTACAAAAGTGTCTCCCACTTTATCCTTAAATAGTCCTCCACCCATTCAATCACACTCCGCTTCTGATCCCTCAGCATCTTCTCAACCTCCTTCTGACCCTTTTGCGGCTTCCCCTTCTCGATCGCCTTGGCCATGATCGCATTTATTGTCCGCACGCCTGAGGGTGTCGGACCACGCATCGTCCCAATAGCCAGCCAGGCTCCTTGGTCGGTACACTCATAGGGGTCACGAAGCTCTGTCTTCATGTAGCTGGCGACGGAAGTGATGAGGTTCGGTCGGAGGAGGACCTGGGCATGGCTGTGATGGGAGGCAGGCGGGGCGGTGGTCCGTATAGGAGTACTGTGCGCCGGCTTATTTTTGCTGCTTGCCCGGTAGAGGTAAGGATTTGATTGTGGTGGTGGTGGCACAGATTGTACTCCTTCAGATCTCAGACTTTGTGGCTGAACTGCTGGTCGAACTGGTCCTGAGGCATAGGCACCATCGTGCCTGGGCTGCTGCTGATGCGAGACATGCTCAGGCAAAGTCGCCACCATAACTGGACTAGGACCACGACGTGTCGCAGAGTACGGTGTCGCCACCAACTGCGAAGTCGTACCAGACCTGGAAGGTGGCACGTAAACATTCGCAGGCAATGTCTGCGATGGTTCAGCAGCACCCGAATAAGCCGAACTCCTCATCGGTACCTGTGGTTCAGGCACTGGCGTCTTCTCAAATCTATGTTTCAGCATCGATAAAGGCGAAGAGAATCCCAGGCTTGATTTTCGTCGCTGGCTCTCATGTCTTGCCATCGGCGTTTCCGTAACTCGTTGGGTACCATCTGCCATGACGAACGGCAGAGTCGTCGTGCTCGACCCTGATTCGCGTCTCGTATCCCGTCTCGAAGATGCACCACTCGAACTAAGCGAAAACCGTCGAAAGATCGAACTCACCGTGCCGGTATGTCCTTGAGCTGCTGCTGGTGGAGGCGGCGGCGGTGTCACAGGTTCAATAGGCCTAGGCGTCGCATGTCTTCGTCCCCTCGGTGCCATCGGCGTCTCTACACTCCTCTCCACCACCCCTGACACGCGAGGATGAGTCTGCTGCTGATATGACCCCCAAGACCGATCTTTAAGATACTCACTCATGGCCGTATGCTGCTGCCGTCCTCTCGACGTATCATACCTCGCACTGGCACTGCTCCTGGACGAGTTCTCAGCCGTCCCACCACCAGGCGACTGCGGCTCATCATCTTCCCAGGAATCGACACTTCTTCTTCTGGCGTCTTGAGCAGCGCGCTGCATAGCGGAATCAGAGCTCTTCAGCGCTTCGGAAGTTAATTGATTTTCATCAGTTGAAGCTGTTTGTGGAGCGTAGGGATTCATTTGCCCGTATGGATTACTGTGTACACTTCCAGCAGCAGACGATAACGGCAACGGTGGCGGCGGCATAGGCGATACAGCTGTACTCCCCACCGTACGTTGAGAGTACCAACTTGATCGTCGTCTCGATTGTTGCGGTGGTGGTTGTGGTGTATAAACGGGCTCGGGGCCATTCAATCGCACGGGCGAAGCCTCACCAGCTGGGAAGGACGTGTTTGGATTGGGGTGAGAGTGGTGGTTGATTGATTTGGATTTCCTTCGGAGACTGGGCGTGGGAAATTTGGGGGAGTCGAAGTATCTGGTGGTGGATGGCATTGTGATGGCGTATCTCGACGGGCGTGATATTCGGTAGGTAAAAATTGCTGGTGTTGATGTTTACGTACTCGGATTGCAAGGGTGTTTCTGTGATAGGTAAGCAGCAGTGATACAAATATGACAACAAGTGGTTATACCGGATTAGCAAACTCTGAAGAGCATCATATGTTAGTTGGTCCAACAAGGCAAGCAGAATATCACACAAGACAAAAGGGGCCATTGTGAGAGTTCATTGTTGGTTATGCAGCACTGCCATGGCTTTTTATGCTAATGATAGCAATGAACTTTACTAAGCTCAAAATCCAAAACAAAGATACCAACCGCTATACCTGGCCCAGACCAATACTAGTGCCGTCGTCAAATGCATGTTCGTTCGTCGTGATCGTAACGGTCGTGAGTTTGGTGAGTTCTCATATCTCCCTTGAGGTCGGCTTGATGGCTTTAGTCCTGGCGAGCTCGTCGCCGATACGTCTTGCAGTCTTCCGTTGCTCTCCTAACTTGGTCATTCGTGATGCTGCAATGACACAGAAGACGGCTGCTCGGAATTTTTGTGCAGGTAACAATGACTTCTCATATTTCTTGCGATCGATGTTGATGCCCATCTCTCTCAAGATGCGTAGGTCGATCTGGTTGCACTGTACACGCATCGCCTCTCCGTTCTCAAAGTAAATTTTGCTCCAGGCCAGGTCTTTGCGCAAACGCTCTTCTCGTCTGCATTTGGCCTTTAGCCACAGTATCTCTTTCATGAGGCCTCGGACCTCTTTCTCGCGGACAGATTCATCCCTGGCTGGTCCAGCAGTCATTTTCTCGAGCATACTCTCGTAGCGTGACTGTACTACCTCAAGCTCTTTCTCCACTGTTTCAGCGCGCTGATTAGCTTGACCTCGTTCCTCCTTAAGGCGAAGAAGTTCTTTTTTCATCACGATGGCCTCCTTGCCTCGACTAGCGATCTGTAGAGTAACATTCCGAGCTTCATCTCGCTCACTACGAAGACGTTTCAACTCATTTCGCAGGTCCACACTATCCTCACGATGTACAGCGTTCCGCGCAGCTCTGCGAGCTTCATCACGATCCATTCGAATGCGCGTAATGTCTTGGCGAAGTGTTTCTACTAGCTTGTCTTGAGAGTTGAGCCTGGCTGCTAGATCGTCTACCTCATCGGCTTTGGAGTCGAGCTGAGCTTGAAGGACGGCATGTTGTGTATCGTCTTGCGACAATTTCTTGGCGGTTCGTCGAAGCTGTTGGTTATCATCTCGTAGAGTCTTGAGCTCGGCACGTGCATCGAATACCTCCTGGCGAAGCTGATTGACCTCGCGAGCACCGCCTGACGATACAGACGAAGCTGGCGAGCGTGCTTTAAGTTCTGATAAGCGCGCATCGTGCAATTGTCTTTCCAGGTCGTTCACTTTCGTCTTGAGGTCTCGGTTGGAGGATTTGAGGTCACTTTCCTTCTTGGCGGCAACGGTTTCATTCTTGCGTGCTGCTTCGAGGTCGTGGCGAAGTCCAGAAACATCCACACTAGGAGAAGAGACTTTGCGTGACTGGTTCTCGAGCACATCTTCCAGATCGCGCACGTGTGCCTCGAGCCGAGTTATCTTGTTCTTGGAAGACAAAAGCTCTTTGTCCCTGCTGTCAGTAGACTTCAGCTGTTTGGTACGGAGGTCGTCGAGCTCAATGTTCAACCTGTGCTCTTGCGCTGTGGCTCGATCAATTTCGACCTCAATCTCTTCTTCTAGCTCTTTGTTGCTCTGTGACAAGGTATCTCTTTCGAGCCGAACCTTTTCGAGCTCTTTCTCCAGTCGCTGCCTCTCGCGGCGCAATTCACGTTTCTCTTGCTGCATGTCGAAGGTGTCCTCGTGTGGCTTCTGAGTCTGTTCAAGTCGTGCTTCCATATCGTCTCTTGCAGCTTCAGCTTCTTGTGTGGCTCGCTTCGCAGCATCAAGCTCGGATCTTAGGCTAGCTAACGAGTCTTGTAAATCAGCCTTCTCTTTCTTGAGCTTGGTCATTTGGATATCAGTGGTGGCGAACGAATTCTGCTGTAGCTGTCCAACGAGCTGATGTTCCTGCTCGATATCAGCCTGCAAAACTTCGATCTCATCCTCGAGTTCCACAGTCTTCTGTTTCAGCAGTGCCTGCTCACGTAGTGAGATTCTGAGCTCTTCTCGGGCATTGTTAAGTTCCGAGCGATTGTCCTCTGCCGCAGCACGTTTGTTGGTAAGGTCTTGATTCAGCTCTTCGATCTGATTGTCGAGCACCTTCTCTTCCTGCAGATGTCTTTGCTTCTCACTTTCTAGAGCCTCCTGTAGTTTGAACTCGCGACTTGACAATGTACCTTGTGCATCATTGAGCTTGTCTACTGTTCGTTGCAGCCCATTGGCTTTTTCTTCAGCCTTGACTTTGCCAGCTTCAAGTGTACGTCTTTCTGCTGTCCAATGCTCAACCTCTGCGGCATGCTGTTCATCTCTTTGACTTGCTTCACGATGAAGTGTGTCGATCTGTTCAGTAAGGTGATCTAGCTCGGTTCGATGCTGGAGACGAAGCTGATTCTCAGTTTGCACTGTACGTTGGCTCTCCTGCTCCACTAGCTTTTCAAGACTCGCGATGGTCTTTCGTGCTTGGGCGAGGTCGGTCTGGAGTTGTGCCGATTCAACGGTCAAAGCATCATGTCGTGTCTGGAGGAGATCTTTCTCGTCTGTTTTGACCGCGAGCTCTCTATTTGTAGCGTCAAGTTGTTGTGCCATGTTATTGTACTTTCGATCCGAGGTTTCGATCTTTTGCTGAGAAGCCTCAAGCTCGTGTTGCAAGTGACGCAGCTCGGACGAGCCTGCCTTTCCAGCATTTCTGAGTTGCTCTTGCAGTTTTCGTTCGACTTGCGACTTCTCCTCGAGCGATTGCTGCAGCTCTTGGAACTTATCCTGCAGTGTATGGTAATCGTCCTCGAACTTGGCGGCTCTCTCTTCTAGCTGCTTGCTTAGGCCCTGAGGAACGATTGACTTGTTGGCCATCTCTTCCTGTAGCTCGTGTAACTCGTCTTCTGCACGGGTTTTCTCATCTTCAGCAGTTTTCTTGTTCTCCTTAGCAATCTTCTTGTCCGCATCAGCTTTCTCTAACTCGTCTCTCAACTCGGCGATTTCCTGTTTAGCCGAATTCAGTTCATCCTCCAGATCAGCGACATCGTTTGAGCCTTTGTTGGCATCAGACTTCAGATTATCTATCTCTTCTTCACGTTCTTCTAGCTGACGGTCCCTTTCTCGCAGATCTGCTTGGAGATCCGCAAGCTCATCTCGCAGTTTGTCGACTTCCGAGTCGTTCGCTGCTTTGACCTTGTCGTACTTGGTACGTGTCGCTTCTAGCTCTTGATCTTTCTGCTGCAGCTCAGACTTGAGAGCTGCGAGCTCGACACGAGTAGTCTCATCAATCTTCTTCTGACGCACTCTTTCCTTGTATTCTTCTAGCTGCCGTCGATAAAGCTCGGTATCGCGTTCGGCCTGAACCAAAGTCTTTTTGAATTTGTGTAGCTCGCGTTGCATAGTGATTCGATTCACTTTCAGATCAGTGTTCTCTTTCAGGGCAGCTTGATTGAAGTCGCCGCCACGTTTGGACAAATTTTCCTCCAGAAAGTGAATCTTCATTTTCAAGCCAAAATTCTCCTTCTCAATCTTGTCAATAATGCCTTCCTGTTCTCTCAAGGTCATTACGTTACCGTCATTAACGACAGCACCATCTCTTGCAGGTAGCTGTGCCAGTGGCGTACTAGCTACACTGCTGCTAACCTGTTGAAGCATGGGTGTATAATCGTTACGTGTAGCCGAGCTGTTAGAGACCATAGACTCTTCAAGACGTGGCAGAGCCATGCCCGGAGTGTCTGGAATCGTGGCCTTTCTTCGCGCGGACATGGATAACTTCTTGGACATGTTGTTCTTGGCAGCGCTCTTCATCAATGGTGTGAACTCTGCTCTGCCTGGTCTTGCTTGAGCACCATTAGGTAGAAGCTGGAGAGGACCACGTCCACCTCGCGGCGTTGCGAGATCATATTGACGTCCTCCTCTTGATAGGATATCGTTTTTCTGAGGCGCAACGAAGGAAGCTTCATTGCCTAATTGATTTAGACCATCGAAGTCTTCGGAATTGAATGAGGTCGTTGTCGCGTCCGGTTTTGGTGTACCGATAAAAGGACCGACCATGCTGGGCAGACTGTCCTGTTAAATGCGTCGGACACTCGCTCCGTGGCCGTGACTATTCAAGATCAAAATAATACCGGGCGAAACATGAAGAGTATAGTATATAAGATGCCTTGCTAGAGAACGCGCACTCGAAATACATAACAAAACAAACATTTAACCCTTTTAGGAAAGGTCGCGATGGTAGCCCCACAAGCAGACCAGCGTTTCATCTCAAGAGTGCAAACCAGGCAAAAGGTTTCAAGTATCACCGGCCTTGCTTCTTTGCCTCCCTGTACCAAGACCGTTGACACCGTCAGTCCAAATACTAGACTCTGAGCCTTCCAGCTGTCCAGAGCGAGCTGTCGTATTGGGATACGGCGTCTGGGGAACTACTGGGTGCAGATTCATACCGTCTGCCTTCGCTGTCGTGTCTGATGGCCTCATCAGCAGAAGATATTGCGTGGCTAAAATCGACCTTTCATCCAATTCCTAGACCTGCTCTGCCAGATGATTGTATCGAATACTCTCTTTACGTTGTTGACCCTGCGTTAGACCGTGCCAATGAATCCGAAGTCAAAATTCAGCTTCGAAATATACAAAAATATGCAAACGACTTACAAAAACAGTGGCTGAAGGATTATATCTGGCAGCGACAGTCCTTCAATCTTGAAATGCTGAAAGACAACGGTGAGGTCTGTGTACTTAATCGGAAGGACAATGAAGAAAGATCTAATGCTGCTCTAGGAGTGAACTTTTTGCGAGGACGAACAGAATATGGCGACTCGATTGAGGATGAATGGGTTATTGTCTGGCTTCTGCGAGAACTAACCAAGAAATTCTCGAATTCCTGGGTCAAAGTGACCGATTCTGATGGCGAGTTCTTGCTCATTGAGGCTTCTGGTACTTTACCAGCATGGCTCGAGCCCGAAGTGGCTGAGAATCGTGTCTGGGTTAATGCCGGCCAGCTCAAGATCTTGAAACCAGCAGGAGTGTTGAGGTCTTCCAAGCGGACAGATGAGCGGCTTTCATTCGAAGGCGCGCACCAGATTATTCTGTCGGAGCCGAAGCGCGTCATGCACTCTGTCTCGATGGGGGAGGAGGCTTTCTACCGACTGCGTAATTATCCTGCTCAGATCAAGGAGAACATGCACCATGCGATTCTTACCTTACCACGCAAAGTGGCGTATCTGCTCCTGCAAAAAGCCGCATATGTTGCACCAGCTGTTGAAGCCTTCTATCTTCGAGATCCCATATCGCTAAAGCCGCTGCGAGCTGAAGATGCGGCTGATAAGATGATCTTCTCACCACAGGACATGGTTGATTTCAGCATTACAATTCCTCGAGTGGCGTATGCGCAGCTCAGATCTCAGGACTCTCCTATACTCGATATCTGGAAATCCAAGATGCCTCCACCTAGTGAAGCTGTTGCCAGGGTCCAGACAGAAACAGGGATGAAGCTTGCTATTGGCTTCGAGATACTTTTATCAGACAAGCAGTATCAAGACAGGACTCAAGTTCGCGAAATGAAACTCCTGCTAGAAGATATTGAATCTGGAGATGCTGCCGTACCTACCGATGAAGAATTAGGCAAACTCGAGAAGCGTTCCGATAGTGAGCAATGGCTCGACATCAACTTCGAAGATCTTCAACGAGAATTAAATCCTGGCAAGTCAAATGATCCGGGTCAATCAGGCAGAGCCAAGAAGGCCACCTTCGGAGACCACACTGCTCAGGAAAACTTACAGCGAATCGTCAAGCAGTTCGAGTCCTTCTTGAACGAAGACGATGATCACAAAGGCTCAGGCTTCCTCGACGAGGATGAGGACGAGAACGACACAGATGATCTGGACGACATCGACAGTGATGATCTAGAAGAAGACAAAGATGCCAGTTTCGACGACGACGACCTCACCAATCTTATGCAGGAAATGATGGGGATGCCAGCAGACGCAATGAGAGAGATAATGCACGGTGACATTGATGCGTTGAAGAACGGTGCCCAGCCACAAGCACCTCTAGTCCCTAGCACAGCAGTTGCGGCAGATACCGAAGACACAGATTCGAACTCTGATGAAGAGCAACCAGGACAAGAAAGAGATCTTGAAGAACTAGTTCGACGTATGGATGCAGAGCTGAAGGCATCTGGGGCTCTGAATCTCGACGAGGCGGAAGCTAGCAGCTCAAGAGCTGTTACAGGTCATAACATCAATACTGAGGAAGACGATTCTTCTGATGATGACGACGACGACGAAAGTCCTCTCGACCCTGAGAAAGAGCGGATAGCCAAGCAGCTTCTGGAAAGCCTGCAGGCACAAGGTGGTGCTTCTGGTCCGGCGGCTAACCTTATGGCTCTGATGGCTGAGCAATATGCTGAAGCAGACAGGAGGAAAGCTGAGATAAAAGGGAAGAGCAAGTTTTAGTCTGAGTGATATATTCTTGTGATTGAGCTAAAGGTTCGGATGGGACAAACTCACGTATACCACTGTTGGGATGGTGTACAAGAGTCAAGAAATAATAATCGTACTCAAGCACCTCAACCCGTGGACCTCGTATACAGCCAGCCATGCCGTCACAACACTCAGCTAGCCGGAGACAAGAGACAGCAATACCGTTGATCCATACCCAACTCGCATCCTCTTACATGCAATGCTTAAGACAACACCCCAGCGAGAAGAAAAATAACCAGCTAAACCCGCAGCACATTTTCCCTTGCTTGTTACATCGGTACGCCTGGGGCCCCCACTCTTTTCCATCTATCAAAGTCGCAACCGTCGCGTTACCAGGACCGTATTCATCTGCTGGCAACGAACCATCAATCCCCCACTCTTCTTGCCCACTCTTATAAGTCAGCAGCTGGTCTGGTCTCCGCCCGGCCCAGTCGTCAAATTGTTCTGCCCAAGGTGGAATCTCGGACGTGATCCTACCTCCTAGTCGAGTCGATATTATCTCATGGATCGACGTCGTATTTGTGTTTTCGATAATGTTGGAGGTGTTTGCAGTGGCAAAGACGTGACCTTTGCGCTTAGCGACTTCGTTGTTCAGCCATTCTTCACATTCTGGCTGTTCGAGCCATTTCTGTGATGCTAGGGTGCAGACCCTGGGCGGTTCTGGCACCTTTAACAAGGAGGATAGATAGATGACGGCAGCTGTTTCGATTCTGGTGTTGACAGTTTGGTTGAGCTCAATTCTGATAGGGGTCGCGCCAATCAGGGCTGGAAACGTGGTGGATAGAAAGACGCTTGAGACGAGCATGGTAGATGTGGCGTACATTGTCTCTGGTCTCCTTGAACGTGTAGAGGAAGATATAGGTGGTTCGAGGAGTAACCAGGGAAATGTAGGGATTTATGCAGGAAAGATCATTGAGCCGGGAGGGATCCTTCTGTACCAGCGGGAAAATTGCTCGTATGTATATAATGTGTGGAGACTTGCGTGTCCAGGCTAGACATTTAATACAGAGCGTTGGTATTTGTGCCAGGCTGATGCCCGACCAGAGTTACAAACTCTAGTGTGAAGTCAAAAACTTGCGCAGGCAATATACATAGGCACCACTTAAGGCTTCAAATCACAAGACATCATATTGCCGCGATGCGAACATGGAAGTCCTTCACGTGCAGAAGCTGACTCGATAGAAGAAAGAAGTCGAATCTGCTTTGTGTTTGCAAGAATGGAAGGCTCGATACTCTCGGTGAATACTGCGTGCATTTTGAAAACCACATGCCTCATTCGCATACAAAACGCCGCGTCGTGCTTGCCTGCGCCATGCCTGAACAGAGTAATGAAGTTTGAGAGCGAATGTGCGGCTATGCTCCTTCCGAACCAAACTGCAGATATATTAGTCTTGTATAGCCGTGAAAGTCGATCACTACTTACCTCAGCTGTCCATTCCGAGTTCCTCTTCAAGTCTTCACCACTGACGGTTGGTCTACTAGCCTTGATAGCACGAATAAAATCTTTGACAACTAGTGGTGGTTCGAGTAGCTTTTCTCCATCGACATCCATCCATGTCATTTCTTTCGCTCCTGGTGCGCCTGGTGAGCATGGTGTGAACTTTTCTACGCCATCAACCTCGACCTGTAGAAATCATTAGCGCCAGCTTGTGGGAGTATATAGACATGCTTACCGGTCGATAATGTGTGGCCTGCTGAATTTTCCTCACGGGCTGCATTAGAGCATCCTGCACAGCAATGCTGATATCAGAGCCAGAGTAGCCTTCGGTCATATCTCCCAAAGTCTTGTAATCTTGCTGAGTGAGCTCACATTTTGTGTCGCCGACCGCTAGTTCAAACATGCGCATGCGCGCAGGCTTGTCGGGTAATGAAATATGCACTCTTCTTTGAAAACGTCGCCGTATAGCAGCGTCCAACTGCCAGGGTATATTTGTTGCGCCCAGAATCAGCACTCCTTTCGAATCCTTACCTACACCATCCATTTGTACCAGTAATTCAGTTTTTATTCTCCTTGATGCCTCTGATTCGCCTTCTCCTCTTGGTCCGCAAAGCGCATCTACTTCGTCGATGAATATGATCGCTGGTTTATTTTCTCTTGCCATGTTGAATAACTGTTTGACCAATCGTTCTGACTCACCCATCCATTTGCTTACTAGATCGGAACTGCTCACGGAGAAGAAAGTACTGTTCGCTTCTGTTGCCACCGCCTTTGCGAGATACGACTTTCCCGTTCCTGGCGGGCCGTAGAGTAATATACCTTTCCAGGGTTGTCTCTTTCCTTGAAATAGATGTGGAAACTTGATGGGTAATATGACTGCCTCTTTTAGTGCCTCTTTTGCTCCTTCCAGACCTGCAACATCCTCCCACTTCACATTTGGCTTGTCTGTCAATATGGCGCCTTGTAGCGCACCTCGCAGCTTCTTCGAGTCTGCGTCTTCCTCAGTATCCTCTTTACCAGCACCTGCGCCATTACTGGCTTTGCCATTAGCACCCATCGCCGCAGGTTTTTGCTTGTCTGTTTGATTCTGTATGTGCGCCTTGAGCTTCTCAGCTCGCTCCATATATTCTCCGGTCTTCGCACGGATCATCTCCTTCGACTTTGCATTTTTCTCCCATTTGAGAGCGAGCATGAATAGTTCGAGGGCGGCATAATATTGTTGATATGCTGGCTCGTAGTTTCCTGCGGTGTCTAACTCGATGGCTTTCTTGACTGTATCAATCGCTCGACCTAGGAAGTCGGTGTTCGACATCGTGTCGTGTAGCAGCCCTACAGGGCTGAAATGCAGATGCTAGCAAGGAAGAGATTTCCTGGCTCAGTACTAGCAAGTTTGGTGCTTCGGGTGGTGCTCTTGTGGAACGAGAAACAGGCCGAGGAGGTCAAAGATATGAACAGCAACTGAGATATAAGAGGGCTGAATTTCGAGAAGAGTCCTGATTGCTCGGTCAGTGATCGACCAGGGACGTATAGAGTCTCGTCGTGTTAGTCAGTACCTTGCTTGATACGTCAATATCAATTCGACACAGACAGCGGGCTGGCCGCCGAGCCTGGGCGGCGAGGATTGTCCCGCGGGGCGAAAGTTTTGGGCTCAATGCTGCCTAAACCTATTCAGGACGACGCGTCTCTACTGTAGTAATTAGGCGCGACTGAAATCTTTATTCATTCGGGAAAACCAAGTCATTCGGAACGCACACTTTTTGCAGCCATGGAGCAGGACCAGAAAAAGCTGCAAGGTCTATCGGAGACCTTGCAGAAGTTCCAGGATGGTGGGTTGTGTTCTACGAAACCATATATGGAGGTAATAACAGCGTGCAGACCTCCAAACCGCAATCGAAGCACGTCAACGACTCGAGTCGCAACAGGCAGAGAACAAAGCAGTCCAGAAGGAATTTAAAGGTTTAGCCGAAGATTCCGACATATATCGATTGGTTGGACCAGTCCTTCTAAAGCAGGACAAATCCGAGGCGAATAGCACAGTCGATGGACGACTAGACTTTATTGGCAAGGAAATCACTAGGACAGAGACACGAATTAAGGAAATCCAGCAAGGCAGCGAGAAGAAGAGGGTCGAATTGATTCAGTTACAGCAGCAAATGCAGATGGCCGCGCAAGGACAGGTACAAAGTTGAACTTAGACGGCAAGAAACTATACAGCCATGAATGATTGAACTCGAAGCAAAATCGAGTATGAAGCTCGAGCACACAACAGCTCCGAAAACCAACTAGGGCATTCACGTGTATGTCTCTAGGTAGAAGCAAGCTTGAATCTGTCAGGTCGCCCATAAGTCGTAAGCTACCTGTCTACTTTATGGTATGGGATTCTTGGCAGTTCCCCCTTCAGCACGGTTTCGATTACAGCACAGGGACTCACTTGTTGAGTGCTGGGTCAAGAATTTATGGTGACCTTCGTGGAGCTTTACGGGGGTTTGCGTGCGTGCTGAGTAAGAAGATGGCATCACGAACTAAAAAGGAACTAGAAGAGAATCAAAAAGGTATCAAGAGGAACTCAACAAGAACTAGGTTGCGAAAGGAAGACCGTTCGATCAGTCAATCCTGAAGACGTGAACACTATACGAACAAATCAGCACGCACAGTTATCGAATAGGTCGCACACTGAGCTTCACTTCTTGTGTAACGATAATCGTGACGATATTGATACCTCTATTCCACTCTATCTCAATTATTTTGGACGACCTGCCTCGCTGAGTCTATATCGAACGTGGTCAACTCAATCATCGCTAAGACCAAACCACAACAATAACGATAATTGGCAATTTTGGAACGGGCGTCCTTCCCGACTACTTTTTCACTAACAAACTTTGACCCGTCATGTCGGGGTAGATCTCAAGGCCCATTGCTTCAAGCAGGGTCGGAGCACAATCGCCTAAAACACCTGGGCCTTTCAGACTCCAGCCATCAGGGGCATTGGCCATGACGAACGGTACAAAGTTGGTTGTGTGGGACGTCTTTGGCTTTCCCTCTGGAGTTTTCATTTCTTCGGCATTGCCTAGATTGGTCAGCATCTCCTTGTACAGAGTCAAACGGGGCCTTTACCATGATCTGAGGTTAGGAAGAACATATACCCATGCTGCTTGCAGGCATCATATACGGTTTTGATGGCCTTGTCTGTAGCAGTGCAGGCTTCGATTGCAGCTTCGTATATACCCGTGTGGCCGACCATATCTGGTGCTGTTGTGGCAAAGTTAGCCCCTTTCTGCTTAGAAGAACGCCCGAGGCAGAGTGGCTGGCTGTGGACAATAACTTACGTGCAAAATTAAGCATGAGGAACTCATACTTCCCGCCAGCAATCCTCTCGGCCATCTTATCAGCTACGGCTTGGGCGCTTTAGCAATGTTAGTCACGTCTTCTGGTGCATGTCGGCGTCCGTTCTTACCTCATTGGTGGTTCCTTGTCGTACGTGGCGACTTTGGGTGAGGGGATCATGTCCCGGTCTTCACCCTCGAACTGTTTCTCGACGCCGCCGTTAAAAAAGAAGCTGATATGGGCACCGCAATCCTGTCAGCGACCTACAAGACTAACCAGGACCTAGATAACTCACTATTTCTCTGTTTCTGCGGTATGGTATTGAGCGCAGCCCTGTTTTGACAGCGTTTCAGCCAGTACATCGTCCATCCTCTGTGGGGAAAAGGCGACAGGGAACTTGTAATCAGTTTTGTACTGAGTCATCGTGGTGATGTGCATATTTTTCGGATATGGGAAATCCGGTTTTGGTGACCGATCATAGTCCTGAGACAACGGTCAGCATCAACCTTTCGACAACGAGACATGGCAGACAAACCCCAAGCAGCTGAGTGACTTCTCGGACACGATCACTTCTGTAGTTGAAGAAAAACAGAGTGTCGTTGTCCTGAACCAACCCTTTTTTGTTCACAATGATAGGCTTGAGAAACTCATCGTTCTCTTTCTTGTCGTACCGCTCCTTGATCTTGGCAACTGGATCGTCTGTGTCCTCACCTTCGCCAGTCACGAAACCTTTCATACCAATCTCGACGCGATCCCATCTCTTGTCACGATCCATGATATAGTAACGGCCAACAACAGTGGCCACGGAACCCGTGCCGATCTTCTTCATCTGATCAAGCAGTTGCTGCATGTACTCTGCGGCGCTCTTTGGATCTGTGTCTCGACCATCGCCAAAGAAGTGTACGTAGACCTCCGGCACACCCATCTCCTTGGCTACTTTGAGCAAGGCGTACAGATGCTCTTGATCACTGTGTACGCCGCCGTCACTGACAAGGCCAAGTAGGTGCAGTCTTCCGTTGCCATCAACGGCTCTTTGAAAGCTCTTCTTGATGTTCTCAACACTCTTCATTTCACCTTTCTTGACAGACTGACCAATGCGCACACTGTCCTGCCACACTACTCTTCCAGCTCCAATGTTGAGGTGACCTACCTCGCTGTTGCCCATCAAGCCCTCAGGCAAGCCCACAGCAAGAGAGGAGGCTTCGAGCTCGGTATAGCCTTGGGCAGTGGACGATCCTTTTCGCGCAAACTCGTCCATAGTGGGAGTATCAGCAGCTGCGATCGCGTCGCCATCCTTGGGAGAATCTGCTCCAGGAATTCCCCAACCGTCTATCACGACTATCTCTATCGTTAGCTATTGTTTTTAGTGAGAGGTATCTGCATACCGAGCACGACTTTCTGGTCGACCTTTACCATTTTGGCGACAAGGCTCTTAACTATAATTGGGGCAACAGATCACTCTACTTCGCTTCAAAACGGTGCTGAATCTAGGCTTACACTGAATTCAAGAGAAAGCAATTAATCTCAAGCATCAAGCAAATATCTATCGACATCTCAACAATTGTTTACGATACTGAAATCGTCCGCGGGGCATTGATGTCATTGCGCCAGGCCACAAGGCAGTCCGCAGTCGTTCCACCTTCCTAGAGTGTACCTATTGCACTGAGTCAATACTCTATCATATTGCTGTTCACGTTTTAACATCTCGAACGTGGCTTATCATAGGAAGCAGATCTCAGGCTTGTGCATATGTCAGCTCAGACGAAGGTCCGTATTGTATGGTAAACCTACGAGCTTCCAGAAACCTATTAAGTAAACTTCATGATATTCAGCACGTTCACTGGAAATTCGCTGATTGAGAACCAGAGAATATACCTTGCTGCATCAACCAATTAAGAACATACTATGAGAAACCGTTAAGGCGCAGAATTCCAATGGCTACTAACGCCTGCTCTTCTTCGTAATGGACCATCTCACCATGCATGAGCCTGAAGACTGCGGGTCCTGATGGGCGTTGCCTATTGGAAGACCTCGCACGTCGCTAGAGTGTATCATGCATACAACCTGCAGCATCGCATAGGTTGATCACTCGCGCTTGCCAGCTCATACGTGGCAAGTAGCTTCGTGCATTAGCCGATACTTGGCCTATGCATGTCGGTTTCGAATTTCATACCTCGAGGATGTTCTTCTTCACGACAAGAGCCAAAGCTCTTGCTAGACGCTACCAACCACTCGAACCATGCACGAGCGAACAGATTCGGGGGTGGCATTCGCTGGCAACAGTGACAAAAACCAAGTCGTACCACCTCAATCAGCGGACAGATCAAGCTCCGGACCTGCTGAGATCACTCTCTTCAAGCAGAAGAACACCACAGCATCACAGCAATGTTCGTCTGCCTTAGAAGGGCAAGACCACCTACCAAATCAGTACGAAAGCATTACAGCCATATCGAGCCATGTGAAAGGACCTGAATTTCTAGACAGCATACCTTCCGTATGGGATAACTTCATCGAGTCAGCTACGACATATCCCACGAGTCTTGCAATTTCTTCGATACACCAAAAAGGTGAACTCTATGACCTGCCCAATTTGGCGCTTGACCATGATGGTTATCGAGCTGATCCTTATGTTCGGTGGTCATATGCCACCCTGATCAATGCTGTAACTCGGCTCATGCGAGCTTTGCAGCATATCGGTGCCAAGGAAGGTTTTCCAATCGTGACTTTTCTCGACAATGTCATCGAATTTCCACTAATACTGTGGGCGGCCGCGTCTCTTGGCTGTACTACCGTTCCGCTACATCCACGAACTCTATTAAACCGAGAGGAGGCTGTCCACGTTTTAACGAAAGCTATCTCTACCTCTTCCTTTCAGGAAACCATAATCTTCACTCAGAACGCCCATTTACACGAAAAGATATCGGCACTTGACCTTCCATACACAACACGTGTCATTAGCCTCGAGAGGTTGGACAACACCTCGTGCAGTCCCTTTGCGGAATACCTGCTATCAAGCGAGCCTTTTGATATCATATCGCTTGCTACATATAGAGAGAGAGCTCAGAGTTGGACTTTGATCGTATTCACGAGCGGCACTACCGCACTACCGAAAGGTGTTGTGCTGGACTGCTTCAGGCTCGATCGATGGATGGCAAAAAGAAACAATAAATGTCCATTAAGTCCAGGCGATTCGGCACTCGTCAATCTACCTACTAATCATGCTTTCTGGCATGTAACAGTGCTACACCACGTTCGATCTGGTGGAGCGATTGTTCTATCTGGATCCTCTTTTTCACCTCAGCACTTCCCTGACTTGATGGACATGGAGAATTGTACCGACGTCCCCATGCCACCAGCACTTGTTTACGCTATAGTCGAGGTAGTTCGAGCTCGTGGCATCAGGCTCAAGTCTTTGAAGCGTGTCTCACTTGGTGGAGCTAAGCTTAGTATTGAATTTGTACAGAACTGCTTCGATGTCCTCGGCGCTGCTTCTGTTGACATCATGTACGGTCAGACCGAGAATTTTGTCGCTGCTACGACCAGGGGATTTTCGAATATTGCAGACTTCGTGAGAGGCGACGATATTTCTGTAGGATGGGTCGATCTAGGTGCTGAGCTGAAGATCTGTAGCCCAGGTGACACGTTTGCTCTGCCACGCAACGTTGTTGGTGAGTTGCATTATGGCAGTGTTATCAGGTGCAACGGGTATGCTGGAGAACCTTTGCCTGAGAACTTCTACACCGACAACAATGGACAGACCTGGTTCGGTTCTGGGGACGCCGCTATAATTGACGATGAAGGATTGGTCTTCATCGTTGGCAGAATCAAAGACATGATCATTCGTGGTGGTGTGAATATCTCACCTGCTGCGATCGAGTTCCAACTTGCTCAGGAACCACGAACCAAGTCACTCAACATACAAGTGGTTGGCAAACTTGATCCGATTGCGGGCGAAGTTCCTATTGCTATATCTCAAAAAGCGGTGACTCCATCAGATGTCGATGCTATACAAGATACTATTTCGAAATACAAAGGACCAGTATACCTGCCTGAAGAGGTACTAACCCTAGAACAACTCGGCCTAGAAGACTTCCCTAAAACTATGCTTGGAAAAATACAGAAAGGCAAACTTACCACATTAGTAAGGGAGTACTTTGAGAGAAGAGATTCACCTGAAGTGGATGATCAAATCGAGACAGACGATTTGACTAGGCAAGTGCAAAAGATCTGGAAAAGAACGATTGGTCACGAGGTCGACCTGAATGCAAAATTGTCTGACTTTGCCGACAGTATCACGATCATGAGAGTCCGAGATCGATTCGCAAGAGATCTTGGAGTGAAGCTGACATTCGCAGACATCTTGGGTAACAGGACGGTCAAGGAACAAATTGCCATGATTCGAGAGCAGTCACTAGAGACCATTGTTCCACAAAACATTTCCCAAAATGTCAACCTGACAGCCAAAAATCTAGTCCATCTCGCTGGTACACCTGAGCTATTTCCTACTACGAAAGCCTACATCTCGGATGAGCTTGGCAAAGTCGGTCTCGAATGGGACGATGTCCAGTACATCACCCCAGCCTCTGACTTTACTCAGGTCTTGACCCACGCCGACATCCTCAACACTTCTTGGTCGTGGAAATTCGCGTTTGTAGCGAGAGCGGGTCTCGACAAGCAAGCAGTCCGGAAATCTTGCGAGTTGATGTTAACTAACAATCCGTTCCTCCCATCCTTCCTACTGTCAAACAGGTTAGCTTTCGGCTCAGACATAGCTCTCCATGTTGTACCAAAGTCAAACCAGAAGCTGTTCAACCTTGTCTTCCGCGATTATGGCAACATACCCACAAAAGCCGAGTTTGCAGACCTTGTCTTGAAGCCCTATGAGTACGAGATGGCATTGTTGCCTGGCATACTGTTTCACTTTCTACTTTTCCGCATCGAAGACACGGGCCAGACTGGCATGATTATGGTTTCTCATCATGCTGTCATAGACGCATCGTACATGCAGTTGATTTTCGACGACCTGGACAAGGCTCTTGGAGGTGAAGCATTACCCCAACATATCAGCTACAAGACTTGGGCTGACTCATACTATTCCTTACGCACTACTCATGAAGCTCAAGTCGCCGTCAATTGGCACGTGAATCGACTCGAAGATCTGATGTTTCAGAAACGGTCTGTCTTCCCACAACTACCACGTCCTCATCATTTCTTGTCTTCCCAGATGCACATTCAGCAAGTCGACGACAATGGTTGTCACATCGACTTTCGTGCATCAGGCATGACAAATCTCCGCCGCAAGCATCCACAATTATCAGCACCAGTGATTATCAAGGCAGCCTGGTCACTGATGAATATGCACCGTAACGACACCGACTGTGCCGTGTTCAGCAACCTCCAAGCCGATCGTCGTCGCTTCCCCTTCGTCCCTAAGGCTCTAGAATCACTTTCGCCAGCTCATACTTTCGAAGCTAGTAACGTCGCTGGACTCTGCTTGCAAGACGTGGTGAACATTATTCCACTCCATTCTGAAGAGAATATTCTCGACTTTCTCCACCGCGTGTATAGGGATCAAGAAGAACTTAACCAGTATGCTTCAGCACCACTCAAGACACTCCTGCAAGCTATTGGCCCAGTCAATGCAGAGATCATGCTTGATGTCCTACGAAGCCAAATCTTCAACTGGACACCTGGTCTAGGAGCAATGCAGACGCACAACCCTAACGAAAATTACGAACCTGTCTCTAGCTTTATCAGACCTAGTTTGCGACTTGTGATAAACGTGGATGTTGGCGGTCATGACGACGAGACAGTCTTTGCGCAGATTAAGTCACCTTTATACGACATGGATGGCTTGAGAAGTCTTGCTCGAGATTTTGAGGATTTTGTGCTTTATGTATGCAATGAAGCGAACTGGTACGAAAGGTCTGGCAACTTCAGGTCTGCACTGCGACAACTGGGCAAAGAAGAACCACAAACGAATGGATATCAGACAGCACATATAATGTGAGATTGTGCTTGGTGCACGTACTTGCTGCCAGGGGTCATTGGCTGGCAAGCAGTTGTGCTTCTCTTTCATCTCCCAGCACGGCATCAACTGTGCAATACATACAATGCAATATATACAACGCAATAATCGCATCGATTGTGTCGTTGTCTAGCAAATTGATGGGATGGTGGTTTGGTCAATAGCAACTGACAAGCAGCTGGTTGATGGACGTACGATGGTTTCAGAATGCATAGCTCCAGAGACCTCTCCTCCTACCCAAGCCAGTCCACCAGAGACATCGTCACAACCCAAATCAATCCATCTGCATATCTGATCTCTGTCCAACATCTTACCAAAACATCAACCTCATGACAACTCCCACCATAACCCCCCAATCCACCACCCACTCCAAACTCCTCTCCCAATACCTCACCCCACCCAACCTCCTCACCCTCCTCCACCTCCTCAAAAACGACCTCCCCAACCACCCCCCAAATAAAATCGACGCCTTCGCCTACAAAGTCCGCAAAGGCGACCCCCTCCACACCCAAAAACCACGCAAACTCGGAATTATCTTGAAACCTTCCGGGGACGTCTTACTTTCTGGTCTGCCAGTTGAGGGTGAGGCGGTTTCGAAGCTGGATTGCACGGAGTGGGAGTATGAGGGGTTTGAGAGGTATTTTAGGAAGCATCCGACGAGGGGCGACCGGTGGTATGTCAGTGCTGGGAGGGTGGAGGAGCTTGAGGGTTAGGTGGTGTTGGGATGGAATGATGGAGTGACGGAGTGTTTGTTTGCGTATTTGTGGAGGATGGGTGCAGTGCATACTTGTTACGCCACAGAGCAGTGGAAAGTGGGGATGACAATGTCAGGAAGGCAGAGAGAATGAAACAGCAAAGGTGATGAACGTGGCTAATGAGATAGTATTTGAGGGAGCAAAGGCACATAGTTGAAGTCGCGAAGGAACTAAGAAATTTGCCTTCTCTTCATTCCTTTATACGTACTTACAACACAATACTCAGCTCCGGCCTCGCAACCCCTTCCGACTCAAGATTCGGGTAATAAGGTACAATAGAATCCGCGCCATAAACGTACGCATCATTGAACAACCTCCAATAAGGTGTCCGCACCTTCCTCGCTGGATGGAAGAGGCCTGCCCAAACATAGTTCATCACAACACCTGTACCAACTGCCATACGGACAGCCTCGATAGCTTCGACGATTCTGTCAATGACGTGCGGACTTGTCTCGAACAAGTTCGGATACAGTAGGTTGAGTAGATGGATCATGGCATCTTCGCAGCCGAGACCAACGACACCGAGCGCGACGTGCTTGACTACTGATGCGGCAGTCTGTCGGTGGACTTGGTCACGGTCGATGAGGGCGTCTTCGAGAAGAGGCGTTACCGCGTAGACGTAGTCCTTGGCCATGTCGCCGATGTATTCGAAGAGGAAGGATAGTGATTTCAGGACACCATTCTGCACGTTCAGCTCTGGAACGCGGTACTCGTTCATCAGGGCTGGAAGTACAGTGAAAGGAGCGCAAGTTTCAGCGACGATACCGATCGCAACAGCCGTGCAGACACGAGACTGACGCTCTTGTACTCTCAAGTTGTTCAGCAGAGTTGCCAGTACATCTTGTGGGCCGATTGCTTTGGCGATAAAGCCGAATGTATTGTTGGCTGCTCTGCGAATTCCTTTCTTGTGTGCTTTCAGCATGTCGAGAAGCTCGAAGCAGATACGCATCCATTCTCTTGCGTTGACTTCTTCTGGGCCGCGATCGGCAATTCGTCCGACGAGGTCAATTGTATTTTCTTGCACCTTTTCGTGTCGATTACGAAGGATAGGTGTGAGACGTGGCAAAAGGTCGCGAATAGGTGGCTGCATAGACGTTATGCCCACAACCGTGACGATAGACCGTAAAGCGCCTAGAATGGAGCCTAGAACCTCGGGGTATTCCTCGCCTAAATATTCGTACAGCACCACACCCAGTTTGCCCATCAGAGCGTCTTCACCACACTGTCTCATGACCATTGCAATACGGGAAATGAGGTCGGCTGCTTGTTGACGTACTGTGGCAGACTTGTTGTTTAGCCGCCATAGAATAGTAGACACGATCTGTGGCAGGTAAGGCTTGCAACGTGTGCCGAGGGCGTTGACGACTGTGCCAAAGCCGTTGAGCATTACGATGTCTTCCACGCTTTGTTCTTGGAAGGCAAAGAGCATACCATCAACGAGACGTTCTTCCAGTCGCTCACCGATATCTGCTGCGCCTAGAGAGGCGATGACTTTTTCGATTGTTTCAACCGTCATTTTGCGATAAGCCTCGGACTCATCTTTCAGGTTATTGACAATACGCTCGACAATCTCGGAAACGCCTACCTTCTGGCCCAAGTCGACCGTTGTCTCAACAACTTGTCGGTAATTGCGTTTGTCGAGCGCCATACGACGGACCCAGAAGGACTTGAAAAAATCTTGTAGCACGTTTTCTTTCAAATATGCGGCTGTTACACCATCTGTGGAAGCACATTGGGAAACCACCTTGAGAACTACCTTCTTCATCTCTTCGTCTGGCGATGCAAATTCTCGTAGTAAAATTTCCATAATTTGACTTGTGTAATAATTTGCATATTCTTCGTCCATGAGAGGGATGATGTATCCGACTGCTTTGAGAAAGCCAGCAAGACCTTTGCCTCGTTGCTTTCGAGCACCAGTCCACAATGGATTGAGAATATCGTCGAAACTTTCGATACCGTAAGGATTAGCAGCTTCTGCCAAAGCAGCTATAGCTAGAGATGTGACAGTCCGTACTTTGGCTTGTTCATCGTTGAGGTTGTCAGCAATGCAGTCTACCAGGCCTTTGAGATGAGGCAGTACGGCGCAACCCATAAGAATAGGGACCTGCTGCACAATTTTGACGCCCGTATGTCTGGCCTGCCATGACTTCTTACTCCGACAAACAGCACGTAAGAATGGTAACAGAGCAGGTATGCCAAGTGCAGAGGCAACGACTGCGAACGCTCGAGCTGTTGTATTTCGAACATATTCGTCGACATGATCGATATCTGGTCTCATAGTACTGATCATGTGAGCCAGACCAGCAGCCTTAGACAAATTGGAGATAATTTCGCGACCTTCGACACGTGCATAGTAATCTTGATCAATGAGAAGCGGCTCGATAACAACCAGGATCTTGTGCGTATATGGCCGGACTAAGTCGTCGAGCTTGTATAGCACACGATCAATGACCTTGACGAGCAAATGTCGCTCTTGGTCCTCGAGTGATTTCTCCATCAGTAGGGGTAGAATCTGGTTGAATAAAGCACCAGCACCGAACTGGCGAGCATTGTCTGTGAGCTGTCGAAGGGCAGTCTTACGCATGGGAGGAGTGCCGTTCTTCACTTTGAGCAGTAGTCGCATAATCTTTCGCTCCTTGAGTTCTTCCACAGATAACGTGCTTTCCTCGGCGCCATCAACCAGCTTGCCGAAGTAAGTCATGTCTTCAGCCTTAAAGAACTGCAGGTCGCCGACTCCTGGGATTTCGGTAGGTAATTGCTTACCCATTGACCTTGCACTTTCAGGCTCTTGCATCATAAAGCCACCAATAGTGCCTGTCGACGCCGACGCTAAGGGAACGGCGGCTCTCTTAGCATAATTTCGGATGGGTTCGTAGCCAGGTGGTGGCTCGAGAACTTTGTAGCCTTCACTAGGAAGCATAGCATCGAGCTCTTCGTCGGATAAAGCTGCATTTCGGGAAGATATATCAGTTCCAAAGACCGGAAGCGACTGGGTAGGCGCAACTACAGGACCACCGGACAGAGAGGGTGCTTGATCCCATCGTGAACGTTTGGATGGCGCTGGGGCAGCACCGTCAGGAGCAGGAGTCTTGTCCCATCTCGACTTCTTCTTGTCTTGTGCATCTCCGTCCGGAACAGCTTCACCGGAAACATCCCATCTCTTCTTTCGTTTACGACCTGCAGTTTCGGCTACATCAGCGTCGCCGTTCTCCTTCTCGGGCACGTCTTTCAACAATGGTTTGTGCTCTACACCATCCATGCCATTTGCCTGCTTGTCCTCAATCAGTTTTTTGACTCGTTCCTCCTCTCTTTCAAGATCCTGTATCTGCATGACTTGTCGATACGTTGCGCCATCAGTGGCTCCAGCCTGTGCATCGGCAGCGAAGGGATCGGCTCGAGTGGGCGTGAGAGCGCCACGGTCAAATCGTCGCTTCTGATAATCAGTTTCTCGATCTGCAATCCTGGCAGACTTCTCACGACCAAGCAGGATATCTTCTTCCTCCACACCGTTGCCATGTGCAAACTCGTTTATCTGAGCCTTGGAAGCGGTATACTGGCCAATGAGTCTTCGGCCAGTATCGCTGTCTGGCATCTCCTCGTCGTCGCCATCAGCTGGGAGCGAGGTATGGTAGCCTGCAAATTTGTCGCCATTGCTGTAAAGATCCTTATCAAACGATTCCGTCAATGAAGCCTTGGTTGAAGAGTCAGTCCGTTGATTCGACAGGTCGAACGTCTTTGAACCTTTTTTGCCTGCTGCTTGAGCGTTGCGCTCCGCCTGCAGACGTCGCACTTGCTCAAAATCAGCTGTTATATTTGTTAGCGAAGCACTTTTATCGCCAGTAACTGCATACATACCGTCCGACATTGTCGCGACTCGAAGCGAAGGTGAAAGTTGAAAGACGCGGTACCACAATGTGCCGAACGTTCAGTACTGCATGGGAGGCACCAGTAGATGTTGAACGTCGGGAGAGGAAAGTCTGCCGAGTAGTATATTTCTGGCACATCACATCCACCATCTTACCATACAATCATGACATGAGTAACACTCACTAGCTATATGTGGTCTTCGTTCTTCTTCCGTTCTATATGTATGCTTACACACAAGAGAAGTTTTCTGTCGGACACAATTCTCGTTCTCTACATGATCGTGAGCTATAGCCTGTCAGAGACACGTATAAAATTGTGCATCTGCAATAGCACTAAACATGTGTGACACCAGTTCAACTACATATACACATCTCACATCGAAACCTTGCTTACGCATGTGATGATAGCCATGTTCGTGTGAGTGCTAGTGATATCGATTATGTCGCACGTCAATGTAACCTTCTCAGTTCCCGAACTCTTCGTTGAGCGAGTCCAGTCAAGTCTGGTTCGCATGACTGCATCGTTTCGAGAATCACTGCTGCAAGGGGAGTTCAAGGTCTCGTATGGACCAAAACCAGGAGGTAAATTTTGCAAGACTAACAAGTTAAGAGTCTGAAAAAAATGGGTATTCCTTCAGCTCAACGCTCCTCGTCAATCAAATCCTCTACTCCATGATCGAATGGCGTCTGCTGGTGAAAGCACATTTTCCACACTCCAGCATCGCTTTCTTTCCTCCATACCGAACAAACCAAGGCTCGAAACCTGTCATCTCTGCCATCTGCATCCGGTCGACTTGCCTTGACGCGGTAACTTATCACAGCGCCATTATCACCAACCGATATAACAACCACGTGTGACAATGAGTATGAGCGCCATGGCACAAAGGCGTCGCTGGTCATCACGTCTTGAATTGAGGGTTCTGAAGCGGCTGATATAGACATGCCAAAAGGGAATTGCATGATGCAGTCCTTGCTGAGGTATGGTATTAGCTCTTTACCTGAGCGAGTAAGCACTTTCCAGGTCTCCTCTTCTAGTGCCGCGATGACAGATCTCAAAGGCGCAGGTGTTCCGGCCATGTCGGAGGAGGACTTGATCCTCAAACAATCTCAGACAATTGCAACCTTTGTGATAGTTGTAGACAGATCTTCCAGAGGAAGCATAAAACGATGGTGTGGTCAAGGGTTTGCGCCTCGTCTTGACGGGTTCCGGTGTACAATGTCTTTGCTGCTGGAAAGCCCTCTTATCAAGACATAGAGGCACTAATATTCCGAGTACAATTCAACAACTGTGATCAATATGCTGTTATTTGACAATGAAATCACGTTCTGAACTCCAGCATGGTAGAAGAGTGCCGACGTCATTCCATGGATTCGGCTATTCGCGGTGAAGTTGAGCCGAGCTTATGGTTGTTGCAGCTGCGACAGTTGAGCTCTGCACAAACAAGCAACTTTGAACATGATGCGACCTGTTTTGAGACCGTCCATACTGCGACAACAGCGATTTCGGTCTGGCCAAAAGAGATATTTGCAGGCAGAAGCATCTCCAATAGTGGTAGACCATCATCCAGCACCACATTCAGGCAATATCCGAGTGCTACTACTGGATCGACCAGCTCAAAGAAATGCCTTGTCCAGAAGACTAGTGTCCGATCTCAAGCGGCATATTCAGCACATCAAGGACGAAGGCGGAGTAGGAGGCACTCGGGCATTGATCGTTGCTTCTGGCAACGATGCTGCCTTTTGTGCTGGGGCAGATTTGAAGGAGCGCAAGGGCATGACTCAGGATGAGTGAGCAGGCTACCACGATCTGCTACACAAGTGCTGATTTTGGCAGAACAAAAGCGTTCCTTGCCGACCTCCGATCCACCTTCACCGAGCTTGCGAATCTACCAATACCTACCATCACCGCCATTTCGTCGACCGCTTTGGGAGGAGGACTGGAGTTTGGCTTGTGCACAACATTTCGAGTCTTCGGCTCCTCCGCTATCGTTGGGCTTCCAGAAACAAGACTAGCAATCATACCAGGCGCAGGCGGGACATACCGACTGCCTGCTCTCATCGGTGCCAACCGGGCACGAGATCTGATCTTGACGGGGAGACGGGTTAGTGGGGCGGAAGCATACTTTCTGGGACTATGCGACAGATTGGTGGAAATCTTGCCAGAAGAAGTAAAGGCCGAGGGCGTTGCTCGACAAAAGGTACTCAACGTGAGCATTCAGCTGGCCAAGGACATCTGCGAAGGCGGTCCGGTCGCGCTAAGAGAGGCCATGAAGGCTGTGAACGGTTGGCAAAGAGGAGAAGCTGCCGAGAATGAGGCGTACAACAACATTTTGCAGACTGAAGATCGTGTCGAAGCACTAAAAGCCTTTGCTGAGAAGAGGAAGCCAGTCTTTAAAGGAAGATAAGAACAGGTCAACTCATGGATGCCATATCAGATTTGCTGGCCGCGAATCCGGCGTCACGAGGCAGCAAACAATGTGACGTATCAATTCAGATGCCTCGTGGAATTAGATCTTTGCCGCTTTCCTTGAGGTAACGGTGGCACAGTTGTCGATCTAAGATCTTGTGACCAGTTGCTGTATCGGTGTTGCTCTCGCATTGCTATGTCTTTGTTCTAGAACGACAGGTAGCATGATGGGGCAGAAACCAATGACTCGTCTTTTGGTATGATTGTCTGTCTCGACCATGGCTGATGTCAAGATACAAGCTGTGATTGACTGCCATTGCTGCTGCGTTGAGGGATCTCATCGCCTCGAACCGCTTTTCATTGGTGTGGCGACCTCCGCTGAATAGAGTCAAGAGTTGCGGGAACGGCGGTAGCCCCAATGAGCTAGCCTGATACAACCTAGATCTGAATCTCGAAGCCCAGAGGTCAGGCGCCAATGTGGCTGCGATGAGCTCGAGATGTGCCTGTTGAGCTTCTCGTGCAAGAACAAAGGATGTGGTCGCGGCTTCCAAATTCTGAGAGGAGGACACATCATCATGTGCAGACTGAGTCATGAGTTCCAACAAGCAGGCCGCCAGCTTTACAGAACAACGATGAAGCTTTGAATAACCATTCGTCCCTTTCTTTGCGCTCCCTCTTTGCCTTCTCGAGCTTCAATTCAAAGTGCCGCTGACCGTCTCATGTTTCAGAAGGTTGTGTTAGGCCGGTTTCCTTGTCGCCATAAAATCGTCCATGGTCCTGGCTGAATTCCCATCACATCTCTACTACATGCATAAACCACCATGAGCTACGACAGTGTCATTCCGGTGTCCAGCCTTGGACTCACCGAAGTCTATGCTGCCTCTGATCCTCAAGTTGACGTCGTTTTCGTGCATGGACTCAACGGGCACCCAGAGAAGACATGGACTGCCGACAATGACGTCTTCTGGCCTCGAGACCTCCTCCCGAAGCATGTGGGTGAAGTCCGTCTCAGAGTTCTGATGTATGGCTACGATGCAAGGGTCAGTGCATTTACTGATGGGGTTGGGAAAGATCACATTCACCATCATGCAGAGAATTTAGCAGCGAGACTATACAGCAATAGATCAGTAAGCAGTTGCCCACCAGATCAGCTACACGAAACTAATGTTGTGCAGTCCAACAAGGCAACCGAGCGTCCTATCATCTTTGTCGTCCATTCACTTGGTGGTCTTGTTACCAAGCAATGCCTCATCTATAGCCGAAGCATCGATCACCCAAACTCTGAACATCTCAGGTCAATATTCGTATCGACCTACGGCATTTTGTTCATGGGAACACCTCACCTGGGCTCTGATCTGGCAAAATGGGGCACGTTGCTGCAATCGATAGCATCGGCGACCTTGCCCAGGAAGTTCTTCGACTCGTCCTCACATCTGGTCGAAGCTTTGAAGAGCAACAACGAAACCCTACAGAACATAAACAGACATTTCACTGACATACAACCACAGCTGAAGATATACTTCTTCTACGAAGGCAGACCAATGGATCTCAAAGGCACGAGACAATTTGTGGTCGATGAGGATTCAGCAGCTCCAAACTTCCCAGGCGTAGAGAGAATGGGGATAGAACGTGATCATTCTCACATGTGTAAGTTTGAGGACGAACGAGCGCCTGGATTTGCTGTCGTCTCGGAAGCCATACAGCGCTATGCTCGCGATGCACCTGCCACAACCATCGACCGGTGGGAGGAGGAACATCAAGTCAGAGCTTTTCAACGTCAAAGAAGAGCACGCCGTGACTTACTCCCAGGTGTATCTCAGAACTCCTCACGAGGGACGTCCCCAGATTCGAGATCTCGCAGTTCTGCCACTCCACTGTTGCCAAGTAACGAAAGGCCAGTCGTCCTGCTGGAGAATAGTCCTGCGACATATCAGCCTTACGAGATAGAAGAGCATGAGGGTGACTTGTCAAAAGTTTCGAGTTCGACACGACTACCACACCGTACCTTGGCTGATTCTACCAACTCGTCCACACTTAAAAGTCCTGCTGTATCCTCACCGTCAATGACTTTGCCTAAGCTCATCCGTCCCATGGTCGTTGCTCCTCTTGGTTTCAGGCCAAACACTGATTTTATTGGTTTCGACATCGAGATGGCACGTATAGTCAAGAAGCTCGCGGACGAGCGTAGGGGTCAAATCGGTGCTCGATCGGTCTTATTGCACGGCCCTCCTGGTTGTGGCAAAAGCCATCTAGCTCGGCAATATCTGTGGCAACACGTCGAGCAATATCCAAATGGTATCTTTTGGCTGGACTGCAAAACTCCGGAAAGTCTGATGAAGGGCTTTTGGAACGTATCCCAATCGCTGGGCTGTTACGAAGAAGTGGGCAATATCAGGCCTGACACTTTTGTCGACGCAGTCCGGACTCACCTTGCACAAAAAGATAAATGGCTGATGGTCTTCGATGGCATCACTTTCCCAGGCGAATATGAGCTCGAAGACTTCAAGCGTTTTGTACCAGACGGAAAAGGAAGTAGCATCATTTACACAACAGTTGATCCAACCCTTGCCAACCGGCAGCGCCTTCTTGACCCGCCAGGGATCAAGCTCTATCCGCTTTCAGTTGATCAAGCTTGTCTGCTACTATTCAGAAGCTTGCATTCACGAGAAGATAGGCCGAAGACTTCGGTTCAATTACGAAAAGCCAGAGAATTGGTGAAGCACTATCAATGTCTACCTCTTGGTGTCCATGCTGCAGCACATGCCCTCATAGCCAGCGGACGACCACTTGAGAAGTTTTCAGTTGGACCTTCTGGCCATCGCCTGTCCTCACCTTTCTTGTCCATCCTAGACTCTTTACGACAAACACAGCAAGTCGAGGCAGTCAACTTGTTAATGCTCATGTGCTTCCTCAACCACGAGGTACCTGTGGTAATGCTTCAGCTTGGCCGTAAGATTCTGGCTGACGCTGGAGTTGAGATCCGCACGATGGAGTATGAAGGCAGTACCAGACGTGAACTCGATTTGTCAATATCGACTTTGATCAAGAATGGCCTCATCGAGCGCAGGTTGCAGACACAAGCATCGTCGAGTGGGGGCAGATCATCGCCAGAGGAAACACGCGCCGGTTTGGAGAGGCAGAACTCTGTGCCTGTCGACGATATGCACGATCAGGATGAGAGGGACTCACAGAACTCGCCTGCAACGATTGTTGGCATTGACGTTATTCGTGTGCATACTGTGGTACAAAAGGTGTACCTCGATCATCTCAAATCACAAGCTCGAGCTGACTTCAATGCGTGGCTTGTGATTGCAGCGAAGTTCGTCATAGGTGCTTGGAACGTGAGCTGTAACAAAGCCCAAATGCATAGGACCAGAGCGCTGGTGGCCGATTGTCGTGAGTTCGAGAGCCAAGCAGAGAGTGTGTGGTCACACTTTCCTTCAAGGTCAGATGGAGCGATGCAAGACCTACGTAGAGCTCGCCACGATCTTCACGATATTCGACGCATCATCAAGCGAGAAATCGAGAATCAATCGCCATCTCAGTCTTCCCAGAGTAGTGGCCGCAACCTCTTCGTCTCGATCTTCGAAAGGTCTGGTAGCTCGTCTGATGAGGGTCCAGAGACACCAACGAGTGGTCTAACCAGAAAGTCGACCTGGAGCAATGACCCATTCGCGCCCTCGGTTGAGTCGCCTGTAGATTACCAGGGTCCTCCTCAATCCAATATTCCTATACCACTTGGAGATAGCTGGTACAGCGATACCGGATATCTGAGCGACGACGAGCAGCGCCCAGCAAAAGGAAGGACCACCTCGACGTCAACTGAAAAGGCTCTGGACGAGCGGCAGCTTGCCCTTCGTGCTATCTTTGAAGGTAGAGGCAGTATTGATAGCGAAGCATATCGACCAACTCCTGTCGTGGGAGCAGTATCTGTCACCGACATCGAGCCTCATCACTCTCGGTCGAACTCTACCACGTCGCAAGGTCTATTTCGTCCTGATTCAGCGGGCTCCTTGGCAGAAGCGGCATTATCGGCTGTGCACAGATCTAGCCCTCCTTCGAGCAAAGGTGGAAGCAGAGCTTCGCCACAACGGGAAGAGAGACGACCGCTGTCAGAATTGTCGTCAAATAGTCAACTGAGCCAAAGGCATATTGACTCTAGGCTATCGCGGACCACATCAACCTCACCACATCTGCTCCAAGCTGTGCTTGCCAGCACAGTGCGTCGGGAACAGCCTTTCATTGAGGAAAACATCAGTGTTGCCCGTCGATCAAAGCCGACGATTATCACTGGTAAGCCTTTTGTTCCAACATTGCCAACTCTAGAGTCGCATAGTTTGCCTACAGAGTATGCAATACCAATGGCACGAGATCCGTCGCACGAATCAACCACCTCTGTACAAACAGAACCAGCAGAGCAGAGTGCCGTCCAGCATGTGGATGATGCCTTTCTGACCCCTGCAATGTCTCCACTTGGGCCACAATCACCACTCACCAGCATACGACAACCATCCTGGGCAACGCCAGCCAGGTCAGAGCCATCTGTCATCGATACTTCACATGGTTATCCTCCATATCCTCTGACCGAATCTCAAGAAACCGAGCCACTGTCTATTGTTAGTCCTCGCATAGCCGCAGCGACTGGTTTGGGTATTGTTAGTGAAATGAACACGGGACTGAGACGAGCATGAGGTCTCAGCAAAAGATAGAATACTTGAAGTTTGCATATTCGAATTGTCGTATTTGTGCATAGCGATGGGCTCCAACTGCCTAGTGCTTCGGCAGGAGTTTAGATTGATACAGATTAGCATGTGTGATTATATCTCAGGATAGAGATTGTTGTTAAAAGGTATACTTGTAGTAAGATACCGGCAAGAGCAGAGCTGGCTGACTGTGTACGTACCCTGTGCCATTCGCCAAGAAGAATCCTCCTCTGGATCGTGTGACCACAGGAAATAAAAGCGCTGCATTTTTCAGTCTCGTTGCTGACTGTCGTGCCTTCAACTGTCACAAAGCTGTGCTTCTTTGTTATACGCGGTAACCATGTTACGCGCTCACGATGAACCATCCAGTCCCACGCAAGCAACAGCACCAGAAACACCCCATGCCCGCAGCAAAATGTCGTTCACAAGCTTTACCATCTCACGACCATCTATATCTGTACCAGTAGCAGTCTAGTTCAGTCCCATCCACCAAGTACTACAGTACCTCTTACTTCTTTTACTCCACGATCGACACCCTTCCAGCCCCCCAACCCAAACGTGGAGTCCAGGACCAACGGCAACAGCACCAGTGACAAACCACAACCCAAGAAATCCACGTTACGAGGTACGAGAAACTCTACATGGCTTATGATTGGCGCTTTAATAGTGGAATTGCAGGTAATCTCCAGAGATACATCTCCATTCCCCAGATTTTTTACATATACGAGAGAAGGTTTCGAGGAGGAAGAGCTGGACCAGACGACCAAGATCGGGGTCGGGGGTCGGGTCAGTGGAGATGTGGGTTGGTTGGTTGGTTGGTTTCGCGGTGCCCCATGACTTGCATGCATATTTGTACAGTACATAGACTTCTGAAACGGGATTGTTGTGTTTGTTTTATCTAGCAGTACAGGTTGTGTTACGTGCTGTAATTTTCATGATGGACGGCGTTCGCCTGCTGGTAGCAAGCGCTGCGTGTTGCATCGTAACACAGACAAGTTCATTCAGGTATTTCGGAATGCATGACAAGTCTACTGTACTCCAGTACAATTTGCTGGAGACAATCTTACTCCGGTACACTAGACGCTGCAAGTCAAAAAGTCAGATCTCCAGTCAAAGTTACTTCGCAGTTCCGTACACCCTGCTCCTGAGCCAATGAGCTACTGTTACAAGTCTGTTCCATCTATGCACTTCCAGTTGTAGCTTTGAACTTGTACCAGAGAGGTTTGAGGACTTCGTTTGGCGGATTGGACGAGCTTGGCCGCTAGATGTTCCTGCTCGACGGAGTGAAGCGGTAGCTGCAGAGCTTCGAGGCATGTTTCCGTGAAGCCTTGGAAGCCATAAAGCTTCTTTGCTTACCATAACCGCAAGACCGTGTTATTGATAGTTTGTAGCGCTTGCTAGACAAAATGCGGAGGTAAGTACCCCTTTGCCCGGTATGAAGGAAAATATAAATCCTCTGGCATCTCTCTGACAGGGGCTTGTCGTTTCTCTGTCCACCTGCTTGCTGCTCTAACTTCCACCAACGCAGTCCAACAATCACCATCGAGACGTTTCTACCTGATCAACGCCAGTGTCAGCCAATATGTCGGACTCCAGCGATGACCACAACCTCGAGAAGGGCGGTACCGATGTCAGACACGAAGACATGTTGAAACGCGTTCGAACCGCGGGCAGCGTCACAATCTCTCCTGAGATCTTCGAGTCAATGTTCTTGGCTCCTAAGACTCAGGTAGCTGGTTCCCTCCGAGTAACCTTTGGTAACCCAACTGGCATTGGTATGTCTCCGAAAGCTCGAGTATGGGACAGTTTGCTGACCATTCCCAGCCATCGCTGGTTTCCTCCTCTGCACGACTCCTCTTTCGATGGAACTTCTCGGCTGGCGAGGTGCAGGTGGTCTTGGTGCAGCAACGGTGTAAGTGGAGAGACTGGTTTATTAGACTCAACTGACATTGTTCAGCGGTGCATACTTCTTCCTCGGTGGCCTGATGCTCACACTTGGTGGTATCGGTGAATGGATCCTCGGCAACACATTCCCAGCTATCGTGTTCACTTCATTTGGCGGCTACTGGTTCACATTCGGTGCAACTCTGGTTCCTGGATACGCAGCCTACGCTTCATACGCAACCGATCCGGCCAACCCAGCTTCTGGAATGAATCCAACCTTCTTCGCTTCATTCGCTTTCTTCCTTGTTGCGATGTGCATGCTCTGCTGCGTATACTGTGTTGCAGCACTCAGGACAAATATTGCGTTCTTCCTCATCTTCTTGATGCTGATTCCATGCTGTGAGTATTCTTGCTCTACCTGTAAGGAAATATAACACTGACGTCATATAGTTGGCTGTCTCGCGGCTGCTTTCTTCGCTCTTGCTGATGGCAACACAGCAGGCGCAGTGGTATACCAACACGTCGGGGCTGCACTTCTTCTAGCAGTGACAATCGTCGGTTGGTGGATCTTCATCGCCTTGGTTCTCCTAGCCGTCGATTTCCCATTCTTGATTCCTCTTGGTGATCTGTCGACTCACATCAAGGGTTTCAGTGACCGACAGAAGGCTAAGAGCGGTTAAGATGATTGCAGTGATAGGCAGCAGGAAGAAGACGAGAATCCTCCATGGCCACCATTGATTTGCGTGGACGTGTTATTTCTTCACCTGCATAGCAGTATGGTTGCTCAGAATAGTTTCAAGTAATCGTCTCACCATTCAATGCTATCACCAGCTTGCACAAAATACCTGTCTTTATTAGGTTTTGGGCAACTGGACAACATACTCTCTCCTGCTGTCTCCGAATTTGATCACGTCTTTGTCCTTTACTTCGACGTATTTTGCATCTGGAATTCGCTGCTCGTTGATGAAAGTGCCATTGCTACTTTCCAAGTCAAGCACATAAGGCTTCACTTTTCCAATCTTGTCGCCAAATTCATTTCTCTTTTCGCTGTATCGAAACTGGATGACTGCATGCTGTTTGGAACAGCTAGGGTGCTCGATGGGAATGTCCACGACTGCCATCTCACGACCGAACAACCAGCATGACTGCTCAAAAAGTTGTACTGTGTCAACAATTTCGTCGTTCTTGAAGATGTACATGCGCCATGCGTCTCTTGCGGGTGGCTTGCGTGCTTCAGCAGGCTCGTGGTATTTCAGGACAATGGTTTGGCCAGCTGTTTGCACAGTGTTCGAAGCTGCAGCGAGCTTTCCACTGGGCGCGAAGTTCGGCTTCTGTTTCTCTATTGTAGGTGTTTCCGAGCCTCGCTCCTGCTTGAAAGCTCTATCCTGTGATGGTAATGGTCCTCGTGAACGCTCATACGGCTTAGGAGAAGCGGAACGTGAGTGTCGTCTGGACTTGTGGTGGCTTCGACAAGGGGAACGGTCTCTGTACCTTTCTCTCCGATCATGCTCGGGTTCTGAGTCAGAGCTGTGACTTCTTTGCCGACGTCTTCGTGGTCGCTCATTTACGTCTGGATTCTGAGGCTTGCGATAATTGCTCCGGTCGAGTCGGTGACCGCGGTCCGCTTCTACATCATGGTCGCGGGACCGATGTCGAGTGACCGGACTTCTAGAAAGATCATTGTAGCGCGACATTGCAGGAAATTTACTGTGCAGGCATGGCTGTCACTTCTGAGAGGGAGAAACAATATTCAGAATTGTAGCAGGCAGGTGCGTCATTCTGGTAGCCTCAGGCATATACCCGGCCTCTAAAGAAAGCTTCTACAGCTGAGCTTCAAGTTGTACGAGTAGTATGCAACTACAAGAGTATGCCCAAAACATTGGTCGGACCAGCATATTGCGAATCGAACTTATGATTCAGAAAGATTGGGTGTGCCTGTCGCTCGCGTCTCTGTATAGCCACCATAATAGAATACCTGTCTTGAAGCTGAAGCCTGGAAGCTTGACAGATGCGACGATTGCCGTGGCTATTGACGAGTTCTCGGGTTCCAGCATAGCTCAAGTAGCCTGACATCGTGTCCTGTTACCCAGCCTATACTTAATCCATGCTGGCAGTATCGTCCTCGACGACGAGGCAGTAACGAACTAAGTGCGATCGAAAAATACTGTAGATATTGACCCCACTACAACACCAGATCCTTCTCCACGGTGATCATCTTGTGCCACATGCTTCTCCGCAACGATAACAGTATCGATAAGTACGAGTGATGTACCGTCCCGAAGGGCATGCCACGAAGTCGCAATCCTGACTGAACGAGAAACAACAATCTAAAGATGCACATGGTGACCGGGACTCCGCCCAATGGACATGTTCCTCAAGCAGCACTGCCCAGAAAACGTGCTTGTTTTGGTATGCCCAGCATCGGACTTTCCTGCTATTATGAGATCATGCACCACGGATGATTGGACTTCTCGTGCTTCTTATCGGCGGATTTCGACTCTGACTGTCATGCATAGCCGGACAACGAGATGCAAATAGCAGTATGCCAGCCCACTAATTATGGCCCTGCAGGTTCTAATATGCTGTGTCGCGCATCGACTACGTTGTATATACCTTGAATACGGTGCTTGAATATTCGACTACACAACGTACTGTATGTCAAGTTAGGTGGATACAGACTTAATACAAAAGGACCATCACGATGCAGCTCAACTTCCTTATCGTTATCCTCTGCACGATCGTCGGGCTTGCCACATGCCGCCCGCCAGGAAAATACCCTACCTCGTCTCCGACCACAACGAGCACGACCGCTAGTCCTGAACCTGAAAACATAACACAACTTTGTGTCGAGGATCCAAGAGCGCCACGATGCAGGCTTCAGAAGAGACGGTAAGCCATTTCTGCAAATTTAGTCAATGCTAGACTGACAGAGGTTTAGTGCCATTCCCCGAAAGCGTTTGTCAAAAGAGGACATAGCTCTATATTGCAACGACGACCCCGATCAGTGGCTTTGTCAAAAATTGTGGTCGATGTTCGGACAGACGACCTGGTGAAGACTCAGAAGACCGCAACAATATAACAGCCTTGTGATATAATTCAGCCCTATCAGTATCCTTGAAAGCATGCCTTGGGACATCGTGATCGCTTGCGGAACTTCACTAAATCAGCCTCAAAATCCAACCTCACATATGTACTTGCACCCGTTGCTGCGTCGAATACAGCGTATGTCCATGTCACAAGAGAAAGGAACGACGATGACCATACCCAGATCCACCACCTCTGGTCGGCACTCAATCGTTGGACAATCGTACACCACTATCCGTATATCGAACACCAAAGGAGCAGCAGATCCTCCTTCAATGTGGCCGCAAGCATCTGCGGCACAATGTCAGTACGCCTGGCTATGATTCAGCAACTTCACCCGCCATATATCGTCTACTTAGTATAGATGCCTACCATACTTGGTTAACGAGTCCCAGTGCTCCGAAGTACAGTCCAAGTGGTCACCGCGAAGTTCCAAGAACTCACGCTCAGTCCCGTTACGTCAAAGAAGAGCTGAGTGTAGCATATCCATGACAAAGTTGCCATTCGTCGATCAACCAGTGATGCTAGTCTGACTGAGACCTCCATCGAAGGTGGTGAACTCGGTCCGAGGAGTGGGAACTTCTGCAGGGGATACTTGAGAGGAAAACTATGGACCTGCGAGTACTTGCAGCAGTGCGAGCACCTGTCTTTGCGATACCAGATCGCCTTTCCGAGATTTATGAGCTGCTAGGAGCTGATAGTTGTGGTTCGCACGAGTCTCTACAGGAGAAACAAGTGTAGGGGCTTCCGTGTCATCTCAGTTATGAAGAACATCATGACAAGACCAGTCAGGAAATGTCCAACCTTTGGGGAGTGCGTGAAGACACTTCGGAGTGATTTTAAGAACCATCAATAGGAGGGGTGACTTCGACTTCTTTGCAGATGGTGCAAAGACAATTGTTCTTGAAGTTCACATCTGTCATGCGTGTTACTGATATGCTTGACCTCTGTTAACGTTCTGAAATGCATCGTAGAGAGTTGTAGAGGTGCGAGGGGATAAACCTCTGGCCACACGCGGTAACCAGTCGTCACGTGTTGGCTACTAGCTAAATGGCGTTGTCTCTTCTTCACACGCTCCGATCACTTCTCCTATATGCACGTCCAACGTGAAGGATCTCCTTGTCCGAAAGTAGTGACACGCTGACCATCACGATGTATGGCTGCTCTCAACAGCCAGTCAGTCAGGAGCCCATCACGCATGCGTGACGAGCACGTTATAGCACAACTCTGACATAGCAGCTTGCGAGAAGCTCCGTGTCCCTACCTTACGCCCCCGAGTTCAGTCAATATCGAAAGAGATTAGCAAGATGAATGCGCTGTGCCGTGATCAAGATCAGGAAGAGCATGGTTGAAGTGGTGCGGTGCGAACATGTCATCTTGTATACCGTTCAGCACAAGTACAAGCGTGAACTACGAATCGATCTGTCCTCTGAAGTTATCACGACCTCGTTGCCCACCTCGGCCCAAGATCTACGATAGTCTATTTCATTGACTCGATCTCCTGCTCCTCACCTCTTTTAACCCCCATAACACTGGTGTCATAAGCATGTTGCTCGAGATATTGCTTGAACCTTTCATCCTCTTCCTCTACCATGTCTTGTCCTACGTGCGGCATGCCAAAATAGGCCACACAAGCACTGAAGATACATAGACTGCTGCTGACCCAGAACGGATATTGCCCTTGCTTAGTTGCATCGTCTCCAGCTACATCAATCAGAAGAGGGAAGACATATGTACCGACAAAGGCTCCCACTTTTCCGGCAGCTGCTGCAATGCCATAAAATTGACCACGAATAGGTGTTGAAGAGAGTTTTGAGGCAAGAAGACCGATGTTTGCACCAGGACCGACTATAGCGATTAGCCATGACTTCAATGATGATCTCAGAAGCACATTTTGTGTGAAAATTGCTGACGTGATCTTAAGAGGTACATACCTTCACCCAAAGCCATAAAGAGGCCAGTCAGTATGATGAAACCGGCGACACGAGAAGGCTGATTGAGCTCGCCATAAGCGCCGGTCATGGCGAAGCCCACGATGCCTTGCAAAGTCACTCCGATCACGAGACCTAATCGAGGTCCAATCCAATCAGAGAGGAAGGCACCAAAAAAGGCACCTGGTAGCCAGAAGCTGTTGATGGCTGTGGCCATACCGAATGACTTCCATAGAGGTGCATCGGTTGGCAGAATGAAGACAAGCCAGGAAGAGGCAAAGATGCCGAAAGAGTATGCGGAGAAGTTCTGTTCGAGTCAGACGATAATGATTTAACACAGTGCTGGTAAAGACGTACATAGACGAACCAGATGATCGAGATAGCTAACAAACGTCGCCAATAGAATTTGACGATCAAGCAAATAGGGAATCTGTGCATCTTGTTGCGACGAAACTGCTCCGGATCCTTGAGCTTGACGCTGATGATAGTTTTAGTACTCCCAAATTGGTAGGAGCGAAACGTTTCAACCTACCGCAGATACAACAAGCTCAGGGGTGGGACGGCACCCAAGCCTAGGCATATTCGCCATGCTGCCCTCAAGTGATTCTCTCCTGTTGCAAGCACCACTATCATGGGCACAAAAGCGCTGACGACAAATCCAAGACAGATCTGAAAATCAGTCGCAAAGATGAACCACCTGTTGCGATGGCCTTTTGCAAGTTCGTTGGTGGATTCTGCTGCACCTACTGAGCCTGCAGGGCTAACGTGTTGTTAGCAGGAGCAAAAGAGGAAGAGTTTGTGGATCTTACTACTCTCCCCCAATCCCGAGTCCGATCAGAAAGCGGAAAGCAGCGATAGCAGCAAAGAGACCTTGTGTGCTACCGCCTGCACCATATGCGCCGGCGCAGAGTACAGAGAAGAGGATCAGCACTGTTGCTCGTCTTAGCCACAGCTATCACAACTTGAATCGCATATGAACTCACGAAGAGTGGAGATTAGGAGTGAATGTCGACGAGACCAATGGTCAGAGAGGTAGCCAAACACCAGGTGACCAACGACTGTTCCAGCGAAAGCGATACTGGGCACAGCACTCCGAGCGGATGAGTTGGTATACTGATCGGTATATATGAGCTGTAGCATGGTCGATACTGAGCCAATAACACCATTCAGGTACCCGTCAGAGAACAGGCCAGCGCCACAAGCGATTGTTGGCCACGATCGGTCCCATCTGCTTTTCTTCTCGAGGACTTCTACACCCTCGAGTGTGCCATTTGACGGTGAAGAGACGGTGGTCTCGAGGGTTTCCTTTTTGCGATCCATGTTGTTTGGTAACCAGGGCTGCTGGCGTTCAGCAATTGACGACTAAACCTTTTCGATTCAGCATAGGTTCCAAGAACAATAGACGAGTTTCTCTGACAGGCCTGGGGGCATTCCGCTATGTATATTCACTCGACCACAATCTAGAAATCCCAGTTCATTGCCCAGCCAGTAGCCTGCACTGGGTACCCTACTCGCACACTCCATCTCATGTTCGCAACATCGTTGCTACAGTCGACATGTGCCAGGAACACTCAATCGTATGGTCGTTCGTGGATCAAGACCAATCGGGAGACCTTGTATGAGCACAGAGTTGAAGCAAGAGCTCACATCGAAAGTGAATTCGAAGTCACATGTTCTCGATCTGCAGCCAGTCTAACGCCACTACATCTGCCACGTGCGATACGAGAGGTGCACAACTTTTCTATTCTCGGTAAGATCAACAATTCAATATCCTATTCGAAGGCATCCGAGCGCGATAAGAGGCTGTCTTAACTCGCTTGTTTTCGAGCGTAGAAACTACAGTGAAGACGAGTGATGGTGGAGATGGTCCGCCCGAGACGTGCTGAGCACTAAACATTTGTCCAATCGAACCACCTGTTTGTAGGATGGAACTTTAGGGGTATATTTGATCACCAAGCCCTCATGATTGCCGTCGCAGTCAGCCGAAGAGGCTGCTTCAGGCTGAAAGCCCAGGTGTCTCCGCAATCCGGAATACGTACTTCCTAGCACTGTTCTTACCATCCTTCAGATCTTTCAATGCTTGCTCCACAGCCTCAAGTCCACCAGCTCTGACCTCAACTGGGTGCCCCTTGAATGTACCCGCCTGCAAAGCCTTGGTGAACCATCGACACGTCACCAGACCAAGATCATCGCCAGCATCACTGTGTACTATGCCCACCATTGTTGAAGTTTTGGTCGCCGGTGCAGTGTCCCAGTCAGGTACGCCCAGAACAAGGTCGATGTACCCATCCTTGGCGACGATCTCGGTCAAAACCTTCTTGCACGGCTCGCCGATGCCTGGATCAAGTCCGTGTCGCGGTTGTGGGTAGCCTCCTGATTTGAGGTGATCGCGTATCTGATTGACAACGTTGTCGGCGCCGTCACGGTAGTCAAAGACGACATCACCTTTACTGGTGTCAAGAAGGGATTTGACGTGGTCTTTTTCTGAGCCCGCCACCGATATGATGGGATGGATGTTGCTGTTTCGGGCAAGTTGGATGGCGAAAGATCCGACAGAGGTACTGCCCCCGTAAACTACGAAAGGTGTCGGCTTGGTGGCTGGGTTTCAAGGAGTTGGGAGTTGCAAGTTGCGGAACACAGCGACTGCAGCAGTGAGGGCCGCAAGAGGGATGGTAGCAGCCTCTGTGTTGAGATGGTCAGCATGGGTATCGCATGAGACCCGAGCCTGAATTGTGGTCCATACCTTCAAAGGACATGGCGGGCGGGAGATGAAAAGTCGTGTGATCCGGCGCAATCGCATATTCTGCGTAAGAGCCTCCGTCTGTACCCATCTCGTGGAACGCCGCAACTCGATCTCCTTTCTATACATGTGTCAGCAGCAGCGGCAAAAGCTCACCATCCTCCAGCTTTTTACAGACTTACCTTGAATTCGATTACATCTTTACCGACCTCTTCAACTATTCCCGCTATGTCATCCCCTTGATTGAGACCTTTCTTCGCCTTTGCCATTTGTTTAGCTGCAACGGAATCCCCGTCTGAAGTGTCATATGTCTCTGCCCACAACGGGAGTTTCCAATCCTTGGGGTTGGATCCAGAGACGACGACTTTGATGAGCACTTCTTTCGGGCCTGGCTGAGGAATTAGTTCATCTATGATGTTGACTTTTGGCACAGCACCCGCCAGGTTGATGGCCGACTTCATGTTTCGTGGCTTCGTCCTTGCGTTTTCGACAATTTGTGAGATCCAGGACTCTCAAGTAGGTTCTTTTATGTTATCCATGGCGAAAAGACAAATTGGTACAATGACGTTGTAATTGGTCACCCGCATTGTGAGGAACGCCGTTATAGGAGTGCATGGTTCCGTGGTCGAGTTCTCACAGGTGTGGGAATCGACGAGTACTTCGACAGGACGAGAACCATCTGTTGCGTCATGCTAGTCTTGTTCGTCCGCACTCGTCCGGAAGCATACAACGGCCTGGGAAGCTGTCTCAGCAGCCAGTGTGTATACTTTTCGTATAAATCTGTGCTTTTCTATACATGACAGTTTCGTTGCAAGGGAGTGAATATATCCCGGCAGCGTCCAGGTTCCACTACTGTAGTCAAGCGAGAAAGCTGGCCAAGCAACGTATCCATCGCTGGTGGAGACAAGTCAGGTTTCCACGTGGGACATATCGTAAACAGTAGACCTTTATAGATCTGTTGACAACGACATTCTGTTGCTAGACAGAAGCAGCCGGAAGTTTCGTGTACCTCACCACCTTAATGCAAAACTAGGCAGATGCGGCGGAAGGTATACGTGGTATACCCGAAAGCTAGATGGCTTCCTTCCCATCACAACTATCACCATGATGTTATGCTCAGCTCACCTTTTCAACTCCTCACTCTGCGATGACTACGAACAGCGAACATTCAGTAGAAAACATGTGTTCCAAAGTTACACCCAAACATATACTTGAGGGTATGTATGTCACTCTTGCATACTGACAGTTACCATGCAGCAGGTTACAAAGCCTCCACACCCAGAAGGTCGTGCCTGCATTTCGCCTTTGACCGAAACGTCCTTCTTCATGAGATACGGGACGAGCTCCCTCAGATGGTTCACTACTACCTACCCGTCATGAAATCAATCGACACAAGCCGCAAGGACGAGTGAAAGAGTGCCTGGGTCGATTGCTGCCAACACTTGGTGTTTGCCACGTGAGTTGTTAGACGAATGTCGTGGTGACTGTCGCATTGTTTGCGAAATGAAAAATGCGACACAAGGAAAATTCAAGGGTGACATCAACGTGTTTTCCTGATTGAAGTCCTCTTGCATACCAGCCATGTCAGACCAGAACCAGGAAGCGCGAAATCTGTTACCTTGTCCGTGCTGCAACCAGCTAGTAGAAGAGAGACTTGTCAATGCCCATCTCGATACATGCGTGGTCGTCGAGGAGAAGCAAGAGCGACCGAAGAAGATCAAGCTCGTCTTCAAGCCAGCCTCCAGTGCGCCTTCCCCGAAGAAATCTCTCCGTTTGCTAGCGAAAAAATTCGCCCAAGCCACAAAGGCCATTTGTGACTGTAACGAATATCTTTTGAAATTCCAGAAGGAAAGCGAACACAACCCAGCCGTCCTCGACGATGAAAAGCTTATAGCGACTCAAGCTATACTCGCTGAGGCTGAGATACATCGTGAAGAATTGTTGAGACAGGCGACTGGCTTGAGTCAGCAAGAAAAGATTGAATTCACTAAGATCGCGCAGCAAGAAATGCTCAAACTCAAAAAGCAAACATGGGACGATGAGTCAGCAGCGGAAGAATCGGAATGTGAAGAGTCAAAATCACCCGCACAGCCTCTCCAAGTCCCAGCATGGCTGTCCAGCAGCACGTCAGGAGTTGAGGCACGAACCTTCCAGAATGGATACATGGACAGGCATGTCTTAGCCGGAAGATATGGTCGTAAGATGCAGAGTCTCGCAGACCAAGCACTCAGGCCAGATCTTCGCATCTATCGGGGAGACGACGGAAAAGCTGAGCTAGCCAAAGTAAGGGCGGCTTATACGCAAGCGATGACATTGGTTGCAGATCAGGAGGATTTGGCAAAAAACGAAGAGTTGATGGCTGCTGAAGCCGCCACTTCCACAAGGTCAAGACGGAAGGACGAAGTTGACAGGAATTGGAGAGAAGAATTTCCAGGATGGTATGCTGAGGAGTAGAAGTCTTGAAGAATATCTTGGATAATATGAACAGACCATTTACAACCAACCATATATTGAGTTTCATGCCATATTGTTCAGAGCGCCATCAAAATCACTACTATCTCGATTTGAATTTAGCTGGCCCAGTCGTGAACCCTGTCGTGTATTCAACGGCTCTTTCTTGCTAATAGCAGAATAAAACTCCCATAAGGTGCATGGGACGCATTCCTGCTCGCCCACTTTGCTGTCTCTTTGTAAGAAGTGGCAAACAGCTACTGGTATCAAGTCCATGTTTATAGATCTCTTTCGCACTGTGGAAGACCTTAAGGTTGACACTGCACAGTATCAAGCACTAGATCCTTTTCTAGGGTCACAGGGAGTCGCCTCGCCAACCAAGAGGGAATTCGGGCACATGGTTGGCGTGCACCCGGCATGTTTGCTCTGACACTTCAAAGCGCAACAAATTCGTCCTTGAAGAGATTGATTATCATTAAATCTTTGATATTTAATTAGCCGTAAAATTCTTTATCTCATTACATCTGAGGATTTTCCAACATCCATTTAACCCAGCCAGCAGCCTCATCACTGTAAATATCAAAGTAGTTGAGGTGAGTTTCCACATCAGCTGTCACAGGTGAGTCTGCAGCACATACAGGATCTGTCTCCACACAGTATGAATGTATAATTGGTGCAAACAGGTTCATATGTTGGACTTGTTCAGCGGATCGCGGATTTGCAGCTGAGTAAGGTGCACCAGACAGAATGTTGTATGGTTGATTCGCGACGTGACGGTTGTCGCCGAATAGCAATACTGCTGCAACTGAACGAAAGTTAGTGTGCTGTTATGTGCGATATGTAGAAATCCATGTAATGACTTACGCTTGTTTCCAGGACTCGTAGTAGGGTCAAAACCAGCAGTGGTGTCCACTGTACATGCTTGGTCGCCGAACGAACCACCTCCACCACCGAGTAAATCTCCAGCAACGTTTGCGCCTTGCGAGTAGCCGCTGAGCACAAGTTGAGAGTCGGGGCAGCGGCTAGCATACTCAGACATCTGAGCGTGGCCGTTGTTGTTGCCCTCTGTTATCGAGGCGCAGTAGTCGGCCTCTGGAGCGTTGTAAAACAGGATATCTTCGTAGTCGCAGCTCTCGAGCCCGTAGCATATCGCACCGGCCAGCTTTCCCTGTCGTCCTGGGTAGGTCTCGTTCCATCCTTTAGCGAGAAAGATGTGTACGGCAGCACAACTGGTGTCCTGTCGGGTTTCGACATCGCTCAGTGGTAGCGCGGAAACAGCTGTAGAGACGGCCAGACATAAGGCCGTCAGCCCGGAAAAAGAAGTAGGATACATGGTGAAGTGTGGTAGATACAGCACGATTCAAAGTCTGTGAAATACTTACAAATGCTGCGAAGCGACGACTATATCTAACAGCAGTTTTCCTTTTCGGATCCTGTTCGGATTTTCGCTGTCGAGCGGCTGGTGACGTTCATGTCGTGTGCTTATCATCCTGACTATTTAGTCCACATAGCGTCGTCTTATCAACCAGCCTGCAGTCATACATGGTGCTAGGCGAGGTTCCGAGCGTATCAGTAATGTTTCGTTGAGACAATCCGCCATAAATGTTTCGCGCTGGTGGACTGATTTGACGAAAAGACACTCGAGAGCTGGGATGCGGTTGCCGTTGTGGGCTCCGGTGGTTCCTTGCTTTTCAGGTTCCATCCAAATATCCCAGCCACAAAATCACGCGTATCCACTAGTAGGGTATTGATAAAATTTTGTGTGAGCGCGAGCAGGAGGATTTTGACGCGTTCTCTTCAGAAGCCGGAGTTCGCTGGATTGCCTTGCAGAGCTCAGTCGGCGTTAGCCAGGAGTCTTTGAAATTTTCTCCATGTGTCGATAGAGGTGAGTTCAGCACATGGGTCGCTCTCAAGTTGTTGCTCAAGGTTTCAGTTCCGTACCGGCTTTTGATGCACTACGTAATAGTCCAAGTGGACATTCTCGGCGACCTCAAGTTCCGAGATATCCATCGTAAATATACAAGCTCGATGCCAGGATTTGTACCGGCACACAAGTCGCGTGTTCTTCAGCCCTCCTCGAGTACTTCCGCATAGTTCGGATATTGAGGAACATTCTTTCGCCGTAAAATTCTTGCTGCAGCACAAGATCGTTCCCGGACCCAGACGCACGCCGTTGTCGGCAGAAAGTGTCGGGTTAAAATATATGCAAATCGCATGCAACGACCAGGCACTTCCTGTTAGCCGCTAGGGCACGAAAGCATAAGAATATCCGCCGTTGTACCTGCTTCCGCTAGGCTCGCAGCTTCTTCGAACAATCACGAAAAATGCATCACGTGGATACGCGCACGATTGTACATGTTTCGGGTTCCAAGACAGACTGTATTTGCCGAACTGAGGGCGGTGTCGACCGGCAACCTCAAGGAAGATGACGCGTTCTTAACAAATTCGACTTTTGTGTCCTGTTCCGTCGTGCTGCGCGTTTCTCTAATAAGTGCATTATTGAATGCGAAATGACCAAGGTTGATTACTCATACAGTGAGAGTCAAATTAGAGACCATAATACGGACACAGGCCGGAACTCCATTATAGCGTTGTGAACCTATTTTCGCCATGTCCCTCAGCGACCAAGACAGAGGTCAACAGCAGCACGACATCAGGGCTGCATTGGCTAAATGTGACATCGTAAGCCTGCGCAATCTTTTAGGGAAAGTACTAGCTCACGATGCTACCGGTCTGCACAGGGTAATCTTAGCGGAATGTAAGCACTCGACAGCAATTCGGCAGCAGGTGGAGGCAGAACTCTTCGGTCAAGTCATACCAAGATCCTCTGAAACCGTCACGAGCCAGCTGCATAACTTAGATACTGCCGTCGATGATGAGGATTTTGGCATGTCTTCAGGTGATGAAGCTGATATGCTCCAGCTCTCACAAAGCTACAAGACGCAGCCTATACTAGGTAAGCGCAAAAGTCAAGATCAGCTAAGCAATATCAACAAAAGAACTCGTGACGATGCCTCGTCTGGACCTATTCTGGAAGTAGCAAAGAAAGTCTTGAAAGAAAACTTCAGTATGGATGCATTCAGATTGAAGCAAGAGCAAGCTATTTCGAGGCTACTAGAAGGGGAGAGTTCGGTTGTCGTGTTTCCTACAGGAGGTGGTAAATCCCTCTGCTACCAACTGCCAGCACTATGCTTCAAGGAACTCGACCGAATCGCATCGCAACGACAAGGACATGCCGAAGGTGGGATCACTTTAGTTGTCAGTCCTCTTATCGCCCTTATGAAAGACCAGGTCGATGCACTGAGACGTCGTAATATCCGAGCTGCAGTTTTAGACTCTACCAAGACGCGAGAGGAATACTTGGAAACAGTCGATGCAATGAGGGACGGTAGCCTGGACATCCTCTATTGTGCACCAGAGCGCCTCAACAATGAAGGTTTCGTGGCTTCCATGGCTAACGTGAAAGGAGGTGTAAGATTGCTTGCAGTTGACGAGGCTCACTGTATCTCGGAATGGGGTCATGCTTTCAGACCTGACTATCTGAAGGTGGCTCGATTTGCAAAAGAGATCGAGGCTGAACGAGTTGTATGTCTCACAGCCACGGCGACTCCCAAGGTTGCGCAGGACGTTTGCGATGCATTCAACGTGCCTACTGAGGGGCTTTTCCGCACCACGACCTACCGACCTAACCTGCGCCTGCTGGCTGAATCGTATCAGACCAAGGAGGAATCGTACCCAAAATTGAGAAAATTTTTGAAGGACCATCCAGGTCCGACGATTGTGTATGTGACTTTACAACGTCACACCGAAAAGCTTGCCGAACAGTTACGGGACCATGGCTTTAACGCCTTACATTTTCATGCAGGCATGAACAAAGTCGAGAAAGCACGATGCCAAGATGAATTTATGGCATCGAAGGATATGATAGTAGTAGCTACGATTGCGTTTGGTATGGGCATCGACAAGGCCAACATCCGGAATGTGATACATTATGACATCCCGAGAAGTCTGGAAGGCTATAGTCAGGAGATCGGCAGAGCCGGTCGTGATGGATTACAGAGCTCTTGCATGCTCTACTTGTGCGCGGAAGATATGCACCTAAGAGAGAGTTTCGCAAGAGGAGACCTTCCATCGATGGCTTCTATTAGCAGTCTTCTGAACGAGATCTTCTCTATCACACCTAACACTGGACAAAACTCTTGTATCGAAATCAATCTATACTCTCAAGCGAGAGAACATGACATCAGGGTGAGTTCTACATGTGGTTTTGGGAACATCAATAGCTAACATTTGACAGCCAACTGTGCTCAACAACAGTAAGTACTTTCCGCAAACTCGTGTTGACTTCTACACGGAGTCAGGCACAACGTGATAAGAAGGTCTTGCATATTAACAGCAACAGTCTATGCCCAACTCGAACTACGATTCAGTCTCCTACGTGCTACCACACCTAAATACACCAAATACAGCTACAAATCGATTCGACCTTTCAGTCAAGATCATTCGCCGGCAGCTGTTGCTCTGCAGGCTCACACAAACAAGGCTAAGACGCTTTGCCACGTAGACGTCGAAGCGGCGGCTCGGTCAAGCAAAGTGCCACGAGTCGACCTTGTGGCAAAGCTTAACAATTGGCACGACGAACAATACATCGATCTTCAAGCTGCTGGTGTCGTTAACGTCTTCAGAGTTCTCAAGCCATTTCCAACGTCCTCCAAAGAGCGACAACAAATCATTGACACGTTGTATCACGATCTCGTTCTTCGCGAACAGCAGGATCTTCACCGCATGGAACAGATTACGAACCTTGTTACTGGCAGTGAGTGTTTCTGCAGGACACTTGCACAACACTTTGGCGACACATTGCCGAACGATGCACCGGAATGTGGACATTGTACGTGGTGCGAGAGCAAGACAGCGGTCAAGAGGGTCGCTCCACCGAAGAGAGAGTGGAATGCGGCTGCGTTCTCCAAAGTGCTCAAGTCCTGTCCAGACAGAGACGACCCAAGGTATTTAGCTCGAGTCGCTTTTGGTATCAGTAGCCCTCGTGTGACGCGATCTCAGGCGCAAACGGCCTCGGCCTTTGGGTCAATGGAAGACCACGACTTTATGGTAAGTTCGGAAGATGCTCTGGAGGGGAAGGATGAATGCTAATCAGTTCCGCAGACACTTTTGAAAGCATTCCAGGACGTTTGCGATAGGTAGGTGACTTGCCGGCCGCCTTCACAACATCTCTAACAATGGTGTAGCGACGATACTGAAGACGTGACCAGTCTTCCTTCCCGTTCACCGCCACAGGAGAAGACACGTAAGCAGGTTCGGAGAAGGTGAAAAAGCACTTTTTAGGAATCAATACCTCCCCCTCGCTTCAATCGAGCGGAAAACTTGCTCCCATCTTGCCTGCCTCTCCGCTATACTCTTTACCTAACACGTCTGTCGTTATATGCTATCAGTCGGTGCCACTATCAGACAACATGTAGAATATTCAGCCAAGTTTAAGCACTTGTTCCCGATGTACTTGAGCTGCATGGAACAGATCAGTCCCTACAATTTGCATAGCAAAGAACTCATATCGTTTGCAATGACTCCGCCGCGGCTGCCTGACCCTGTGCTCAATCCAAGTGAGTGCGCTTGATCATGAAAATGCGTGTAACGATGGTTCGGGGATACATTCCGCGTTAGCAATGGAACGCCTGTATATAGAATCTGGTACGCTTGTCGGCAGACTGACCAAACTCGGCCTGTTCATTCTTCAGCCATTATACTCCTCGACACTACTTCGCTCAACATCCACAGTCATTCCAAGTTCCTGCTTCAATATCTCCTCAATAATATCCAGAGTCCGCTGAATAGACGCACCACTATGATAAGCCGCATTCCACTGTATCTGGACATTCAATCTCTTTTTAAAAGTCCACAGCCTCAACACGATACCTGGCATGGTCGAATCAGCCCAGAAAGTGAGATAATTTACCTGAAACCCGCCGTGGTCGGGCACTATTACTTCATTATCTAGCACACCGATACTGGTGAAATATGGCATGGAAATTGGCAGAGGGTAGTCGCTTGCTGGAGGCAACCCCATCTGGACAGGTATTTGACCGATGTCGTCGTAGAGCCATTCGTCCGTGTTTGCTCGAGCGTATTGTGTCTTCAGGTTTTGGGCTCTTGTCAGGAAGTCCTGGTCAGGTGGTGCGGTGAGAAGAAGCATTCGAGCCGAGTCCCAACATCCTTGTTCGCGATATGGTGATGATTTGGGGAGACGCGTTCGAAGTTGTGCTGGCATGATCGAGGCGTAGCTCCGTTTCTCGCTTTCCGGGCTTGCAAGCTGCCAGACTGCACCGAGATACGCTGCATGGACGGCAGCTGTGATTGTGACATTATTGGCTTTACATGAGGCGACCAGGGTTGAAGTCGATGACACTGTGTATGTGCGTTGGTTGACTTTAAGATATGAGGGTGATGCTGTAGGTTCTCTTTGCATAGGGTAGTCCAGCGGTGGGAAGTTAGCATAGTAGTTTGAGAAGTCTTGTGTCACACGAGCCTTAGCCTCGTCAGAGGGTCTTTTTCCTGACATAAAGATATCGTCGAGTGCTGGTGTCAAAAGATTGGCCTCACTTCCCAATACGTGCGTCTCTAGTGCTGCTGCGGTAGATGAACCAGTAAGTAAATCCTCGGCATAGTCGAATATCTGGTCTAGCATCTTGAAAACGCCTGCAGCCTCAGTCCGCCAATGACTAATGAAAAGAATAACCGAGCCGATGAAATTACTCTCTGTTGCAGTCTCTGGTAGTAGGGCAAGCGTAGGAAGAAGTGTTGCTTTGAGCTGCTCATCGCGAACAGCATCCTTGAGGCTAGTGGTTATGTCTTTCAACGTGAACGTATCCTCGAGCCATTTCTCCAGATCCTCTGAATTTGTTACGCTGTAGATTTTCTGGCCATCTTTGAATGTTGTTGCAATGTCAGGAGACCGCAACAACCTCAGGGCCTTCCAAGCACTCCGTAAGGCAGAGACAACTTGCGTTGCAGGGTACGCAGCTGTAAAATTAGCCACACAATGTATTTTGATAAATTCACGATTTGAAGGCAGCAAGCTGGCAAGAGGTGCTATCATTCCAATTTCGGTCAGTGCGAGAGGTCTTCCCCAGATGCCAGGGCTCGACTCGATCCAAGCCATGATTGAGATGCGACGATGGTGATCATCTTGACAAGCACGAGACGTGAAGATGAACCTTGCGATCTGCTTTTTATATCAAGAGCTGAGGTAGTACCAAAAGGTAATAACCAAGTAGCTTCATCATACCTATTTTGGCAAGTGCCGGTCGGACGAATATTATGGCGTAAACTAGCAAGAGGGCCAGGGTTCGTACAATATTATGCATTGTGGTAAATAGCTATACTATCGCGTCTAAGCTCAATCAAGTCTAAATGCCTACTATTGAGCGTGTCCAATGGGTTGAGGACTCTGTAGATAAGACATTTGGGCAACCGAGGCCATCAGGAAGCCAGGTGTGCCACCCGTCTTTGGATCAGCACCAACCTAGAAGAAAATGTTAGTATGTAGTTCTGCATGACCAGAGTGGAATATACGTACAAAGTTGTGAGGGAAGCCAGGCTCGAAGGGAATGACACTTTCCAATGCCTCGATCTGCTTGTCCGACAGATGGATGCTGAGGGCCTTGATGTTGTCCTTGAGATGCTCGACCTTCCTGCCGCCGACGATGGGGAACACGTTGATGGTCTTTTGCATGACGTAGGCCAGCGCGACAGCGGTGATGGAAACGTCGCCAATTTCTTCGGCAACCTTTTCAAGTGTTGCACTGATCTTAGCTTCTGTGTCGGTCTGATCACCACCCATCATGCTCCGAAGGGCTTCCTTGTTCTTCTTTCGTTCCTCTAATTGTTTCTGGGTCTGGAACTTGCCACCGCCGAGCACATCCCATGGAGCAAGAGCCATGCCGTAGTGGCGGGCCATGGGAATGATGTCTCGCTCAAAATCTCTGAGCATGATGTTCCAGCGGCCTTGGTAGACACTGAACTGAGTCTTGCCCCTAGCCTTGGCATACTCGTTGGCTGCGCTCACGATCCAAGCAGGGGTGTCGGAGATACCGAGGTATAGAACCTTGCCTGACTCGACCAGAATTTGTAAAGAGTCCATGATCTCCTCGATCGAGGTGGTGTGGTCCCACCAGTGCAGATAAAGCAAGTCGATGTAGTCGGTCTGTAGTTTGGCGAGAGAATCTCGCACACTCATATGCAAACTGCGCTTGTGGTTGCCACAGAAGTTGACCGTCTGAGGTGCACCTTTGGGAGCGTTTGGACCGATGTCGTAGTTTCGATACGAGGTGGTAAACTTCGTAGCAATCACCATCTGGTCTCTGTTTCCACGCTCTTTCATCCATTCACCAATCCAGCGCTCGGACTCTTCATCTTGGTAGTTGTTGGCTGTGGGTCACAGGAAAGGATTAGATAGGTTTCTCGTCGGTCCAGAATAGAGGGTTTGCGCAGCCGCTTGGGAGCAGGTTGGACTTACCAGTGTCGATGAAATTACCACCCGCCTGCATTCGTCAGCGTGTATCCCAATATTGTCGCGCCTAGCAAGCTGCTTACCTCAAAATAAGCGTCTAACAGAGCGAACGAAGACTCTCTGTTCATGGAACCCATAAAGTCCTTCCATGCTTCTCCAATGCTCATGGCACCTAGCTGCAACGGAGACACACGCACTCCAGCAGTTGAGCTGAGAATGCGGTACCTGCCCAGCTCTGTGGCCGGCTGGGGTGCTGATTTGAACAAGCTAGACATGTTACCGTGTGGTTGTGCAGTTTGGGTATCCTGTCAAATTAGATCTCAAGTTCTTCTCTTGAGGTAGTCCGAAACGAAAGATTATTGATGATGGTAAAAGGATAGCAACTGTCTTGTCTACATATCTACTTGCTAGTCCTTGCTTGCACCGTGCTCTGCCGCTCAATACGTCACGTTTGAGGTTCAGAGTTTGCTGATCAAGCTCATCGTAGGAGTAGGTCCGTCTTGTCTTTCAGGAGTCGTGAGCGCCGTCGCGGTATCCTTCTGTCTCGTTCCTCCACCATCGCGAATTCATTTGTCGTTGACCTGTACTCGATTAAAAATTCCAAGAGAAGATGTCCCCATGAAACGGCTGTCCGAGATGGACTTTGGACGAGTACGGACGACTGAAAAAAGGTACAATTGAGGTTATGCTTTCTAACCGTCGGCCGAAACGCCGGGATTGGTCAGAGCTTCTGCTGGCCCCCCTCAGTAGGGAGATAAGCGATCTTAGCTCCGATGTGCCTCCGACTGCTAGGCAAGTGACCAGGAGTTGCATCATACTATATGACTTTGAATGAGATCACCAATACCAGTGGTCAGTATATATTATTAGAACTCTCGAAACTTTTTAGTACAAAAGACAGACTGTGAATAATCTCGTATCCCTGGTATGAGCTGAAGCGCCTGTTGTGGAGCTCCACAGGCACACATTCAAGATGGAACACCCTCGTAGTCCCATCCACCTTCTCCTCTGCGCCTGATCCGACTATTTCGTGCGTTGCTGCCACATTTAGCGAGTATGGTGAACACAGTTAATATCAGCACGATAAGTGCCGCAATCGTTGGTATCAATATCTGCCGTGAACGCCTGGCACTAGAATCCTGGTAGTATGGACAAGTGCCGTTAAGTCCTGTTGTAACCCAACAACTTTCCACTGATAGCGAGTTGAAATCAATCCATACGCCATTCAGCAAGCCAGCATCGTCACGAGCATCTGTCAGGACTCTGTTGTAGAGATATGTATTCTCCAGACCTGTCCGTGGCACTTCAAACGTCGTATCTCCTGCGCATACTTCATCAGCTAACCTGAATGGAACACTGTGGGTGGAGAGGCGCCATCGATAAGGTGAACCTGGTTCCTTACAGGCCACACGATAATATCGGTCGCAGTACTCAACACGCCAGTGACCACGGTAGTCGTCATTCGCAACCATCAAGGCACAGCGGAAGTCGTCATTGTTCGACGTGTCGTTCTGCGGTTGTCCGTAAGCCCAGCTGAAAATTGCGTTGCTACCAAAATCTTGATATGGCGCAGCATTCTGATCCGCGGTCGCCCCATCGATGGTAACATTCAGCAACTGACTGATGCCACAAGTCGTGAGGTTGTCTGCAACATCGCCCAAAGTGGGTGGGTTGACAGAGTTAATTGGTGCGATCGCCCAAGAATTGTTGACTTGATCGACTGCAAAGTTGTCAACATCGTAGTAGCATCCCGTTGCAAGTTCGCCATTCAACCCAATTGATACACCGCGCAATGAGTAAATATACCCCGGTGCGTATACTCGGTCGCTGTCCATGGAGGTATTGTAGCCTGAAAGACCAGAGTCAATATTACCGAAGCCTACAAGTAGACGTGCGCCCTTCACCAGTTGTATGTAGTTCTCATCGGGCCAACCATCGTTCGTTGCGATATCGCCGTTAGGAAGGGCGTATGTCGTGAAGTAATTCGCGAGTGGCAATTCATCCTGCTGGCCTCGACGATACCAGGAGGAATTAAGATTGCTCCTGTCACTCAACAGTGTAACGGGTGTGTAAAGGACATCACTGACATCGTCGAGATAGGCTCTTATACTCGTGGTTGTGTTGGGGAGTTGTGCTGCGGGTATTTCGTCCCGGACTGTAGCGGGTGCGCCGTATGTAGAAGCCAGGTGCAAGTTCAGAATCCACGACAGCACCTTTCCGTCAATAGTATTGGCTGTCTCCTTAAGGTAGTCACTAAACACAGCTGTAATCGAAGCCAATGTTAGTGTATCGCTACATTGGTAAGGGCCAAGCTGGTATACTTGTGTGTCGCTATTACTGGAGACGATGGTAGGGGATGGCGTACTTGTTGTTGTGCTCGATACTACCACACTACTGGTAGAGTTGGCGACAGTCGTCGTGTTGGCCTGCCTGGCATTTGGAGTGTTGAATGCTCTTGGCGATGCTGTCACATCCGCATTTGCTGCAGCCACTTGACTGCTGTTACCTGACGACCTAGGTAACTCTACAGGACATAGATTGAATCTGTTGTTTGTCGTGTCCCAATAGACGTCTATAACGTAACGTCGAATCTGTGATGCCAGTAGGTTTGACAAACAAGTCTCTGCTGCATTATCCTCATATCTGTTCTGCCCGAAGCATGCTTTGCTTAGATATACAGCAGGATGCGGAACGAAATTAATCGGAACTTGAGAAGAGACATCCCTATCTGACTATGCTAAGTTAGCTCCAATGAAGTATTGATGGAGTAGAGGGCCTCCTACCAAGAACGTGGTATCCCAAGTCTCATTGAAGCCAACCGCAGAGCCTGGGTCGTAATTAAGCGACATGAATGACCGAGAACCTAGCGCAGGAGTCTAGCACCATCGCTCAGACAGTCACGGTTGACCGCGTTCTTTCTGTCATCAGACCTGGAGCGGAAACGAGAAGGAGGCACGTTGCAGGAAGCCGTGGCGCCGAGGTTTTCACGTGACTCGATAGATCTGCCCTGTGGAGATGTACAAGCCCGGAAGATATGGAATACCACTGCCCCCACCACTCATAGCAGGCGTGAACAGGGATGAGGCTGAGCGGTGGCATACATGCAAGCCAAAGCGGTCTCAGAAATGGAGTACCAAGCATCAACAATTCTCCCGAAGCATTTTGGTATGTGGTCAGAAAGGCAGTGTTGACGTGACGAATGAAGTTTACGGTTTCATCCTTGCGTATTGCGATAATCATCTGTGTATTTGCTTTCCAATATAGCATCACTTAACAGACGATGCGACATGGCCGAATCTCAACAGTCTGCTATTTCTATTGTCTTTCAATATTCGACCATTGCGGCAGGGTGTCTGCCACCAGTAGAGGCTCGTTTAGCGTCGACATCTCTATTGTATGAATTGACAGATTTATCTCTCGTCCATAGTATCTTGATCAGTATATTCTTCGTAGTTCAGGGTTGATATGTGCTCATCTATTTCTTCGTCTTCAGCTGCCAGCGTCTCAGCTTCGCTCTCCTCACTCTCCTCCTCATTGTCACTATCGTCAGATAGAAGAACATAGTCATAACTCACCATCGGCTTTGTATGAATTTCCTGCATCGCTGCCCACGCCCTAGCCTGCGCTCTTGCCTTGTCTACTGCGAAACTGTCCTCCCTCTCTTTGTCCCGTAGTTGAGGATGCTTCCTGAGAGTAGCCCCGTGTTTGGCCGGGTTCCAGCATCTATCGTCGAAACAATGTGCCATATAACACTGTTTGCACTGGCTGTGTCTTGGATGACCTGATTTGTATCTGGCAGCAGGATTGGAGTACTCATGTGTGCCGTGGCTGAAGAGGTCCGTGGTTTTGTGAAGGTTTCGCTCAGTACGTGTATGAGAAAAGTATTCGCATTGTTCTGGAGGCTTTCGATTGATGCTGGTCATGGGATTTGGGTTCGTTGATTGAGGTGATGGGACGAGTTCGTCAACCGGTTCTTCCGGAAACTGGATCAATTGTTCGTGGTTCGCTGGGGACGACCGTTCAGTCGTTTCTTCAATGGCCTTGGTATCTGTGGACAAGACCTCATCAGGACGAAGTGAGGTCGCAGTTATTTCTTGCAAGGCAGGCACATCCTGCTTGCCAGTCAATGCGTTTGCCGCGTAAAACTCCATAGACCAGGAATCTTTCATAGCAGGATAGCAACAAGTAGCATTTGACAATCACAACTGACAAGATGCGAAAAGAAGATTCATGAGATGTGCGCAAAAATATTCACTGAAAAGTGTCGGAAGTGGGGTCAGACAAAAAAGAGTGATACCCAGATAGACCGAAGTCACTCTTCCTACGGTCAGCAGAGGACAGCAGATATCCAGCCCTCAGAACGAGAAGACTATTGCCCATAGTGTATTACTCTTCCATACCAGCATCCTTCTCATCGCATCTCGAGGCACTCTCTGCCCGTCCCTTCAAGACACCTTCGTGCTTCTCTACCTCTTTTCTCAACTTACCGAGTTCACTCTCAGCTGCTAACGTACGTGCCCTCCAGTAGATAACGCCTCGCCCTTCGATGTTGTTCTCTTCTGCGACAACTGGTTCGTCCTGTTTCTGCTCTTGCTGATTTGTTGTCAAGGAACGATTGTGTAGATAATGAGTTGCCTCGCGCTGCTTCTTTCTCAGTTCATCTTTTAACTTTTCTGAATACTGTCAGTGGATCGATGTATTGAGCATATACACCAGAGCTCACGGAAATCCGAGGTTGTTGTAAGACTTGCTTGACAAGACTGCTTGCATCTGAATTGTCTGCCATGTCGACTCGTAAAACCAACTGCTAAGAATATTAGAGTTTGTCAGTGACTTGGCAGATGTAAATTGAGAAATACTCGGTGAGCGCAAAGAACAGAAGCAAACAACCAAATCACATGTCACATCCAACCAACAGACACTTCACGTAAGGGTGGTGATTAGGATATAAGTGTCATTCCCAAAAGTTCCTCCACAACCAACACACAAGTCGAGGCTTGAACGCAGCAATAACCAGAAAGATATCTCGGTGAGTAACCACTCAGCATCCCACTCCTTGTTCGATCCCCGAACTATGTATCCCCAAGATCTCTTTCATCTGCGAATCTGAGTGTTCCAGCTGACGCAGAGGTTTGTTCGGGTCGGGCAGACTCCTAGGTTCATATCAACTAATTGAGTTGAGATTTCTTTTTGTCCATTTGCTTGAGCCAGGTGTTCAATTCCAGAGAAGGTAGCATTGAAGAGTCTTCTATTTCCCTTCCTCTATCACTCTCTTCTCTCTTCCGCAGAGCCCAAGTCAGTAATCCTGTCAAATATTTTTTGTTGCGAAAAGACACACAATGATCTGAGAAGGGTCTGGGCAGAGAGGTGCGAATGCTTAGGCTTGGTCAACAATGCCAGCCGCGTCACGATCATTAGTTGACTAGCAGGAGAGTCATCTGCAGTGTGTGTAGAGTGTCTGTGAGGCGGCTGAGGCTTTCAGAAAGGAACTTCTCGAGTTGAACTTCATCTACATGGCTCATTAGGTGCCATGGTCAGTAGCAACACGTTGTGTTATCGGGATTAACGCAGTCAAGTGGTGGAAGTGAAGTAAAAGAGTTGATGTGAAGTTCTGCCTGCAAAATGGTTCACGAGACTATCTGAACAAACACAGCAAACAACACCTTGAATTATCGTCATTCCGTACACATTGATTCTCCCTTGTTCCTAATCATCCGAGCCATGAACTTCTTGACTCATTCTACGTGATATATACATGATAACCGTTGCCACCAGTCAGGTAAATGCTGTGTCACTATCTGCTTGCTCGCAAGTGAGTAAGCCATGTGCCTGAGAACGGGTTTACTTCCTGCCTGTTATGACATCTCTCTTGATGAAAAGCACAAGATAACAGCTTAGCTTGGTAAGTGCTGAATTACCATCTTGCTTACCACAATGAGACTCTCTCCACAAGCCTTCTTCACGACTCAGCTGTCTCTCCTAGAGGCTGAACAGGCCACGGAAGTAGCGGAGACTACCCTACTATTGTCTGCTGCAGCCCCATCAGTTCTCGCACGTGCCGGCCTTGCGATCACAAATTTGTCCGTCAATTCACTTAAGACTGGTCTTGGGGGTCGTACTGTCATAGAGCTTGGTCTAGATCCTGCATATGCTTCTACTAACCTCAAAAACGGAGAGAAAGGCATAGCCAGCAAATCTGAAGGTGCTCTACCTGAACATGGCATTCGGACAGGAGATATTGTGCGCGTTGGGGAGATGCCGAAAGGCAGTGCGAGGAAAAAAGAAGTGACTGATTTGAAGGACAAAGGTATCGAGGGTGTGGTAACCAGGATTGGCGAACGTGCAATTTGGGTCGCAGCTGGAAAAGGAAGTGATCAAGGCAATGATGAGCAGGACGTTGATACCTTGACGAACTCAAGGTTATGGGTTGTCAAGCTTGCAAACGATGTAACCTACAAGAGAATGAACTGGGCATTATCGAAGCTACTCAAAACACCACAGGAAGGATTCACAAGCCTACAGAGAGTGCTGTTAGGACTCGATTCACCATCGATGCCCGATCCATCGGAGCTCACCCAACACCTGGCCTTCACGAACGATAACCTCAACGAGTCTCAAAAGCAGGCCATCAAATTTGCTCTGGCTTCTCCACAAATAGCCCTGATACATGGTCCTCCAGGTACTGGCAAGACTTCTACTATAGTCGAGCTGGTGTTACAGTTTCTCAAGAAAGGCGAAAGAGTACTCGTTTGTGGCCCAAGCAATATCAGTGTTGATAACATTGTCGAAAGGATTGTAGCCTCCTCGCCAGCAACGCCGATTGTCCGCATGGGGCATCCAGCTCGATTATTACCAAGCGTGCTTGACCATTCTCTCGAGGTTCTAACACGAACAAGTGAGGCAGGTGCAATCGTCAAGGACATTAGGGAAGAGATAGACCAGAAAATTGCCAGCACAAAGAAAGCAAAAGGTGGCAAGGAGCGTAAGACAATATGGCAAGAGGTACGTGATTTGAGAAAAGATTTTCGTGTTCGCGAGAACAACTGTATTGATTCATTGGTTGGTGGGAGCGCGGTCGTGCTTGCGACACTGCATGGCGCTGGCAGTAGACAGATCAATGCTGGAAGGTCGCAAGGCAAAGGTGGGTTCGATATTATTGTGATTGATGAGGCTGGCCAAGGCCTTGAAGCCGGATGCTGGGTGCCAATCGTTACTGCTGCTGAGAGTGTAAAGAAACTGGTCTTGGCTGGCGACCACTTGCAGCTACCACCAACTGTAAAAAGTTCTGGCAAGCAGGAGACCTACAAAGACGATGCAGCGGAAAGGCTCAAGGCTCTTGAGCTAGAACTGGAAAAGCTATCGCTGAAACAAACGGAGATCAAGACGGCGAAGAAGTGGGACCTAGAATACACTATGTTCGATCGATTACTGAACGAACACGGCGAAGGTATAAAACGACTGCTCAACACTCAATATCGGATGCACGAGACAATTATGCGGTTCCCGAGCGACCAATTATATGGTGGTAAGCTTCTCGCGGCAGAAAGTGTCAAAGCTCGTTTACTGAAAGATCTCGAATATGGGGTCGAAGACACAGAAGATACACGAGAGTCGCTGGTATACTACGACACACAAGGAGGTGACTTTCCCGAAAACAACGAAGATACCTCTACACCAAAGAAATCGGTACTTCTAGGAGACAGCAAAAGCAACGAGTCAGAAGCAGCAGTAATCAAGTTGCATCTCCAGAAGCTAGTAGCTGCTGGTGTTAGAGTAGAGGACATTGCTGTCATTACTCCCTACAATGCACAACTTGCGATTCTCCAAGGAATGCTGCGTGAGCAATACCCCGGGCTTGAACTAGGCAGTGTCGATGGTTTCCAAGGACGAGAGAAGGAAGCTATCATTGTCAGCTTGGTTAGAAGCAATGATGAGCGAGAGGTCGGCTTCTTGGGAGAAAAGCGACGCTTGAATGTGGCAATGACCCGTCCGAAACGTCACTTGTGCGTGGTTGGCGATTCAGAAACAGTAGGTCATGGCAGCGCCTTCCTCAAGAATTGGATGAAGTTCTTGGAGGAACACGCCGACCTGAGATATCCAACTTTGGACGACTTGTACTGAACGGATGTCTTGGTAGGCTTGCCCTGTGCATGAAGCCGCCTTGATCCGGACGCTGTTCTTACTTCGGAGCATTGTGTCATCTTTTTCGATGCTCTTAGTTCTTGTTGTCTACAGCTTCGACGAACCAACAGCTGTTCTTGCTTTGCTCAACTTCAGTGCTTCTCTAACACCTAGGTCGATCATCACATCCTCCGAACCTCCAGGAACAATCAAGCCAATAACACCACGTGAGATGGCCTCAATCCTCGCACCTTGTCCAGTCTTCGTCAATCCTAGTCCGCCCATTATCTTCACACATTCATCCACAACGTACTTTCCTACCATTCCAGCCTCTACCTTCAGCAATGCGGTTGTCCCGCCCAACATTCTGTTTCCTTCTTTCTCAGTCAGATTATCAAGCTCGTACACAATCTGCTCGGTCCAGGCTTGCAGCGCATCAACCTTTTTCCCACATATACCCAACTTGTGTCTGACGACAGGTTGCGAGATCAGTGTTTGCCCAAAGACCTCTCGCTTCAACGCCCAGTTGAATGCATCTTCCAGACAGATCCTCGCACCTCGAAGCGCTTGGTATACAATCCATATTCTCTCATGATTAAAATTCGACATGATGAACCTAAAGCCACCACCTTCGGCGCCAATCAGCATCTCGGTCGGCACTTTCACGTCCTCGAATGTGATGTAAGTAGTCGCGCTGAGCTTGCCAGCTCCAATCTCGATCTTTCTACAGTTGATGCCTGGCAGATATCGATCGATGAGCAGAAAGCTGAGTCCCTCCGCTCCAGGACCACCAGTACGTACAGCAGCACAGAAATAGTCCGAGAATATGCCGTTGGTGATCCATTTCTTTTCGCCGTTGACGAGGTAATGCTTTCCATCTGCACTCTTCTCAGCCGTGGTCGTGATATTACGCACATCTGATCCAGCAGAAGGCTCGGTAATCGCAAGAGATATCCTCTTCTCTCCTGACAAGATCTGTGGCATGATCTTTGACTGAAGCTCCGCCGACGCATATTGCCTTATTGGTGGTGCACCAACAGTCTATCTAACTTAGCTCTGTCTCTACATCGACATGAAACAACTCACCAGCCCAACAAATATACTCGAAATGGCACCTCCTCGATACAACTCATCCCACGACACCATATCATGAAATCCATCCCATTCCTCCGGCTTAATACCGCCAATAATCGGATATCCATACCATTCCCTCGGTATTCTTCGACCAGCAGCAATTGGCATCAGGAGTCCGTCCTTGGCACATTTCAGGTATACTTCTTTAGGCACTTCGCCTGCTGCCTCCCATTCCTCGGTGCGGACGTTATCCTCGACCCACTGACGAACGACTTTGCGCAGATGTCTGTGCGAGTCTTTGTAGTATGGGCTTGGTCGGCCGGTGTACCAGGGAGGTTCTGCCCAGGGAAGGGTGCTGCCGAAGGTTTCTGTGGACATGTTTTGGTCGCTTTCGTGGGTTCGATCGAATTTCTGTTCCGATAAATAACTTGTGTGTTTCTGAATCTAGTTACTCAAAGCGCTGATCATTTTCTTCCAACCTCTAGAGCATGTTATTAATAAGGCGAGTGAAACCCCAGTAAAAGAAGCCGAGTAGCTTTAGGAGAAAACATGCCGCTGTTGATACATAGTAGACAGTATAAAGTGGCAACTCGATCTATCATGACCTGCCGAGGTAAATGGCTAACCGTTGCACGAATACGAGGAATCGCCTGGGCCCCTCTCTCCGCCTTCTCCTACACTGTACTTTGTTCGGGAATGGATAATGATACGTGGCAAACGTGTTGTTTGAGAAGGAGTGCCTGAGAAAGGTCAGGATCGCTACAGATGATGCTTTTCTTCAGTATTTCAGTTCAGTCATTCACGAAGCTCGTTCTCGTGGTCCAGAATGATTACCAGCAAGCTCGTCCCTGAGCTACTGACAACAACAGCTCCAGTCGTGACTAGGCATGGTCGAGACGGCATTATGTATGGCTAACGTGCTTGGTAGCTGACCACGAACGAGCCATGTACCATAAAAGCTGACTGCGAATATCAATGAGCGTTCAATATTCGACGAACCTCACCCGAAATTGCGCAATTGTGAGTGATGGCTGGAAATGTGCAGCATGAGATAAGGGCGAGGGACCTTCAGTACAACAGGTGTAGCAGGCTTCTGGCTTCGTCCAACCCACGATTTGTTATCAGCGGTACTGATCGACACTCATCTACTCTCCACCACTTCTGCCGCCTCTATTGATATCGCCCATTTCTATTCTCTCTGTTTACCCCAAACTGCCTCCTCATTGTCTGCTGCTCTAAGGATATTCCTGGCTCAACAACTAGAAAGAGTTTCGTAAAATCGAACCAGATGGCCGGATGCTTCTCCGTATAGTGTAACGCCACAGCCCGGCGTCCACGAGGGCCGGCTGGCTGAGAGAAGTTACAGTCTTGTTCTTTACAGCAGTACCTTCCCTGCTGTGCCTGGTCCCAAGGGTTTCCACCTATTGTATTCGAGCTAGTGAAGGACGGTGGCATCTCGTAGTTCTCGAATTGTTGATCTGGCTCATCAAATTGGCTTGCCTTCCTCTTCCCGGGTCGAGCGAGCTTCCGGCTCGAGTTGGGAAGGCGAGGCATTCGCGCTACGTCGTTCATCATAGTGGTCTGCGATGAGGTTTCGGCAGGAGTGAAGGCTACTGGACCCGAGTTCAAGGTTGGAGGTGGGGTGATTGAGCGCCATCCTCCTGTCACAGGGTCGAAGTATTCATTCAGGAAGTCATCGATTGCCGCATCAGGGTCTTCAAATGTGAGAAAGAATCGTGCCGCTGCCTCGAGGGCTTGATTTGGCTCTGGAGTGCGACTTTGAGAGACCGCTGAGGATACTTCATTATTATTTGAAGGCTGTCGCTGGGACGACATGGAGGATACTTAGCAAAAGATCAAAGCGAGGAAACCTTTACACTCGACATATACCTTGCAATGTAAAAGACAATGAAGTTGCGCAAGGTGACAAGGAAGTGTCCATCGATGGGGTGTGCTCGTGGTTGCTTGTGCTTTCCAGTCCATTCATGAGGCAACTGCTACCATGAATCACGAATGACACATTGTGTTTATTGGTCTCGAGTACGACATAGGCGATACAGCAAACGACTTGTTTCCATTGACAAATCTACCCAAGAGTGACAGGTGATGAAGGTAACCTACGTCAAATTGTAATGGCACCGTGCATTTTTAGAGAGCGTCGTAAGAACGGAGCGAATAGCCAACTATCCTGAAATTTAAGCGATAGCATGACGGACGAGCTGTGTCTGTGACCAATGTCTACCCTCGGAACGTAGAAAAGAGGTATGCCGGTTTGCTAAACCTCGATGACAGACAGCTGAAATGAGTGGTCGTACCATCGTGATTCCGTTATGGTTCATTTAAAAGAACCCCTCTTAGCGTTTATGCCTTTAACGACACACTTGATCTGCTGCACGATAGTATTACTGATACAGCCCGTTGCTGAATCGTCTGCAAGAGCGAGCGAATGACTCCGACATAGATGCCTCACATAGTGGTACAATTAGGTCGTGAGTAGTCATCTCCCTTCCCCACATGGTCATCTTCGTCTTCGTCATGCCATCCATTTGTTTGCGTCCCTGTTGGGGAATCAGGACCATTTAACCCCTCGACCGTATCAAGATTTGCAGCTTCAGACGTACCAGAGTTGTCTGTGTCCTCTGGTCCGTCTTCGTCCATGGCAGAGTCTGATTCAGTGGCAGGATCAGGAGCACCTCGGTAAGCACAAGTCAGAAGACCTTGCGTGCTGAATGGTTCGCCGACTCGAACTGCAGCCTCAATGCGGTAAGGATAGTCGGCGAAGATGTTGTAAATGACCACTGCTCTGATAAGACTGCTTCGGGAGTTCGTGTTAAGGGAAAGGGATGAGGATGAATGGCCTCGTGGCACGGACAAGGTTTGATCTTGAAGCGGACCTCGTGGAAGACTGACTTCATATTGTCTCGAACCCGTACTTCGAATTGAATGTGGACTGTTTTCGATTAGTATCGCTCTCATTGGTGGCGAGTATATCCTACTCTTGGCCTGGGTAAATGCACAGCGCTTGGTCTTCGGGAGGAGAAGCCTGATTGCATGACGTGCATACACATGGACCATCACAGTCAAGGTTGTGCAACTAGCAGCGGGCACATTTCGCGCCATGACTAACTGTCCAAACGGCATTGCTGGCCAGAATAGGAGATACGCATTGTTTGATGCAGTCGAGGCACGGGTTTTCGCCGCTGCAATGGTGGCCAGTCTCGAGACAACCGTCACACCTAGGTGGATGACTCATGCCTTTGGAACGATTGAAAGCAATGTGAACGCTAATTCTTTCGAGATTGCCAGTAGATCTCGAAACTAGATTGGGACTCTATACGAGGTGTGGTGAATGAAATCCAAAACGTAGATGCTTGATATGCTGCCCAGTCTCACTCCTCCAGGTTCGACGCAGCGAGACGGGTGGGTAGTACCTGCTGAATGCCATGGTTGAGGTTGCAGGAGGTCATGCCTGCTCAAGCACGACACGTCGAAGAAGAGCTGCTCAGAAAATTGCATGGTTTCATGTTAGAACGTACGACAGCTAGAGCGATTCAGTCTGCTCTCTTCCATCTGTTCAGTCGGGAATCTGCCTTTCCATGTGTTTGTCCTCAATCCAACAACCTGTGCTAATGAATATATAGGTCGATGGAAGAAGTGGTAGAGGCCAGAGCGAGAAGCAGAAAACTGGTCATTCACTGGCGGACCCGTAATGCTGACTCGTGTTCCGTAGATGGTAGCCTTGATCGACCGTAATCGGCCATCAGACAAACAGCCGTCGCATTCTCAACTTTCGTGATTTTTAAAGGCTGCAGCATTCAATTGACCCAGAGGCCCAAAGAATAAGACAATCGACCTGCACCATGCTTCTCGAGGACCAGCGCTTTATACACGAAGACCTCGAACGCTTAGAACAAGCAATCACAGAGCGAATCGGCGAGGATGCGAGGAATATCAAAGATCGCCTAAATCGCGACCACCAAATTAATGGTTTCCTGTCACGAATACAAGAGCAGTCGCAGCGTCTGTTAGATTTATATCGAGATCGAGATGGACAGCTAGCTAAGGAGAAGCAGTCTCTGTTGACGGGAGACCCATTTGAAGAATTTCAGAAGCAGTATGAGCAGATCAAGGATTTCCACAGGAGATATCCTGGCGAACCAGTCGAGAACCTTGAGCGCGCTTACAAGCGTCGAAGACCTGACGAGGGCGAAGTCATCGTGTCGGAAATTGACAACATGTTCACGGGCGAGGAATCCAACGGACGTTTCCTAGACCTGATAGCACAGCACGAGAGCTATTTGAATCTGCCGAATGTGAAGAGGTTGACGTATTTACAATATCTGGACAATTTCGACGCCTTCGAGCCACCACGTATGCCGATAAAGCGACAGAACAAGGTCAATGATACGTATTTGAAATATGTAGGAGCTTTGGCCAGTTACCTCGAAAGTTTTGTCAGAAGAACAAGGCCGCTCGACGACCTGCCGAAACTGTTCCTAAAAATCGATCGGGACTTTGATACTGACTGGCAAGCTGGCTCAGTTCCTGGTTGGCCCAAAGAGTCGGCAACCACGAACGGCGCATCCACTTCCGACCCTGCCACTGAGGGTTCTGGCGAAGGAGTGTGGTGTCCAGATTGTGAAAAGGAGTTTGGCAGTCAAGGGACATACAATGCCCATCTGGTAGGGAAGAAGCACAAGCGCAACGCAGAAGCACGGGCAGCATCGGGTGCTACATCCACATCCACAACGTCAACACCTACTACAAACGGAGTCAAGAACAGTCAAGGTGCAACCTCTCTCAAAGAACGCCTCATTGCCAGCCACGAACATCGCATTCGCACCCTCTCCGATCTCCTCTCAAACGAAAGGTCTAACACTCGGGTCAATGTAGAGCGGAAACAAGGCATGACGGAACGAGAACGACAGGCTGAACTCGACGCCCTCTTTGCAGAGGACAATGCAGCCATTGCTGCATCCCATCGAAATACTGGTGACGGCGATTCTGACGACGAGGACGCCAAATCTGATACAAGCGAGCGAATTTACAACCCGCTCAAGCTACCATTAGCCTGGGACGGCAAGCCTATTCCCTACTGGCTATACAAATTACATGGCCTAGGCGTCGAGTTTCCATGTGAAATATGTGGAAATTTCGTGTACATGGGCCGACGCGCTTTCGACAAACACTTTTCCGAGCAAAGACATATCTATGGCTTAAAATGCCTAGGCATTACAGGTAGTTCGGCAATGGGCGGGTTGAGTTTATTCAGGGAGATCACTGGAATTCAAGATGCATTGACTCTGTGGGAAAAGCTGAAAAAGGAGAAAAGAGAGCGTGAAAGAGATGATGATGGTGTGGTGCAGATGGAAGACGGTGAAGGCAACGTTATGCCTGAGAGGATCTATTTGGATCTGCAAAAGCAGGGTATTCTTTGAGGAAATGTACTAAATAATGGACGGGGAACTGCTCAGGGCGAACTTGCCTCTGTCGCAGCAAGGAACATGAATAAACGTGTCATACCTCATACGTTCTTCAGAATATCATCTCAATCGTGTCCAAGTACATGTCAGGAAGAGCGTTATAACGACTTCGCTAACTCTGCCGCCTAGGCTCTTCAATCTGCTCCTTTCCTCTCGCGTCCGCTACTAATGCAGCCTTCACCTTCGTCAGCAGTTCATAGCCTTTCGTTCCTGCCTCTGTGGCTGCTTCGATAGCCTGCTCAAAGACATCAACTACTTTCTCACCCCCTTCCTCCTCTTCATCTTCTTGATTTGCTTCAACAGGAGCTATCTTCGGCTTGTAAAAGCCACACATCATGAGTTTCGCTACGCACGTCGTGGCAACGGTTTGCACCTCAGCAGAATAGCCGAATGCTTTTACGAACGGACTGAGGTCAACTTGCTCTGCCGCCTGCCCATTATCGGTGTCAGTAGATTTTGTGTGGTGAGTCGTGATACAGTCGCACAGGATCTTCAGACACGAGATCCTCAGCTCGTCGTGACCTTTGCGCATACAGTATACGAACACGCTCCTATTAGCACGTTCTAGTGCTGGTGACAGCAGGCAAGCAAGGCCCAGACATTCGATGGCTCGCTCTCGGAGCGCGGCTTGTTGGTTGTGTAACGCGGGAATGATCAGTGTGTTGATCATCGTGTCCAGAGGAATGTTGGAGGAGAAGTCGCTTGTGATGTTCTGCAGCAGGGTATGTGCAATGTTCAGACACTTGAGTTGAATTAAAACCTCTTTCAAGTGATAGGCTTCTGCTTCCTCTGGTGTCATGTTCTTGGTCCTCAGCTCGGCTTGTGTTTCAACAGGTCGTGCAGTCGCGTCAGATCGAGTACTGAGCTCAGATTGTGCAGACACAAAACTCTCGTCGTCGGCTGGACTATGTTCTCTGTTAGTTCCGTTGTCTTCGTTTGTGCTACTACTCTTATCTTCGGTGAGTACATCCTGGACTTCTGCTATGGCTTCTTGTACCACTGCAATGAACTCTTTTTCACCAGCAATGTCCGACGTGCAAGTCAGTCTCAGTGCTTCGATGGCAAGCTTGGTGATCTCCTCAGGCAGGTCATGCATAGCAATAACGCGTCGCAGACTCTCGAACATCTTTCTCCGTCCGATCTCATCGGTATAGTCGAGGGTGTGCGCAATATGGAGAAGCTGTTCGCAGATAAACTCAGCCTCCTGGATTGCCTCTTCCTCGACTTCGTCCTCAGACAAAGCTTGCATGTTGAGCACGTTGTTCAGACATGTCTGAAGGTGGAAGCCGAACCTCGTAACTTCTGGCAGCTTATTCTCCTCCAATGCAATGAGATGCTGTTCTGGGTTTCGAGCGCAGAAGTCGTAAAACGTCCTAGCCATAAAGGCTGACTCTGGACTCAACTCTGCCAAAAACGTGTCGTCAATAACCACAGCTTGCACATAGTCTGGCCTCAAGTTCCAGAATTCGCTCATAGCCTCTTGACCAGCCCCATCCTCCTGGCCGCAGTTTATCACATCAACTCTTTCAAGCAATTCGAGTAGAGCAGGAATATCGGCATTGTAGAATCCAATGTGTTTCTTCTTCGGCTGTTGAGGTTCTCCGCCTTCTATCGAAGGAACAATACCTTCATTGATTTGTGTCTCGGTCTGTGCGTTTGTCTTCGCGACCTGCTCTATCCACAACGTGCTGAACATCTTAGCCGCTGCCTTGCGCACTCTCTCATCGCGGTCTCGCAATCCCCATCTCAGTAGCTTTTCGCGCATACTCATGCTCAAATGCCGGAAATCACCGAGATTCGGCATGAGTTTCGCATACATGACTCGTCGCACCGCAGCATCCTTGTCCCGTGCTCGCTCAAGAAGATAAGGCAGCGTCTTGGGCTCAATCGGTAAATTCAGCAACAGTGCTTTCCGCACATCTGCGTTCGTATCGTTCTGAAGGACATCAAGCAATTTATCCAGCAAGCTCGCAGACTCCAGCTCCTCGTAATCATCATCATCAAGCATTTCTTCATCTTCACTATTCCGACTCTTCTCCTGCGCAGCTTGCGCCTCCTGATCCATCTCATTCTCCAGAAGCCGACCAAGCGCACAGACTGCCTCGAGACGGATAGCAGGCACCTTGTCGCGAATGCGCTTTGTCAATTCATGCCGTATCGCCTGATATAGCTCATCCTCAATCTCTTGCACAATTCCCATTAACTGACTCACAATCTGCGTTGCTCGGTACCGTAGGACCTTATCTTTCGCCGCCGTGTGCGGCAGGAGCATGATCAGGATCTGACTTGTGACGCTGTTTGTGTCTTCTTCATCATCTCCGTCCTGCTCTTCTTTCTCGGAGATCTGGCTCTGCTCGAAAGCGCAATACGTGCATACGAATTTTACGATATTCTGACCGGCGCGCTCGGATTTTGTGACCTCTAGGCATCGCAGTACGTAATCTTTGATTTCTTCTTCGAAGTCGCTGTGTTTATTTTGTGCTTCGTATTTGGCTTCGAGTTTGTGGAGGCGTTTGGTGAGTGATCTGTGGTTGATGCCGAACTTTTGGGCGTCGTCGAATATGTCAGCGATGGACATCTTGAAAGCGTCTGAGGATTGTATCTCTTTACCATGAGCATTCGGCTCGAAGTGAGTGGACAAATCTGAACATTGCAAGTTGAGTATTGATTACAGACACTAAGCCTAAATTGGTAAAAAGACAACAAATAGTGCTTAGAACACGCTGACGCGACGTGTAATCAGTAAATGCCTGAGGCATGAAAATGGCATATACTCCTTCCACCTTGGACGCGCTGAGCAAGACCAAAACCTAAGCAATTGCGAGAACAGCTCGAACAAGCTAATATGCATGATGTGTCATAATCAGCTAATACAGAAGTCAAGGTAGGAGCTATATGGGTGATGTATCGCGGTCATATCACCCATCCCATCGGAAGTATGGGTCCCATCCAGTGGACTGCCACGACTCACGAACAGCATTCGTGATTCAGCAGTATCGCAGCTTTCCTGTACTCGTTGTTCGCGTTCACAATTTTGTTTGTCCAAAACCAGGACTGTGAATGACTAAGGGTCTGTCATTATCGTCAACATGCGAACAAGGTCTGGCTATGAAACGGACTAATCGTTTCAGCGAAGATTGTCCGTAGCCTCTACTAGGTTCTCCTTTGTATAGGCCAGAATCACCGATAGCGCTCCTGTCATAGTGCTTGTTCAGTCTGCTCAGCCTCCCTATGGGCGGCATATAGCACCATTGATTCGTTATTATCGATGCGTCTTGTGTTTGACTCTTCTAGGCTGTGAGGCCCAGCATCAAGCTCGGAAACTGCTCCGGGCGAGCCCTCAAGTTCGGCTGGGCCCGAGCCAACAGGTGTTTTTGAATCAGGTGCCTCACTGATACCAGGTAGATAACCGACATGAGACGTGAGCATGGTCTGTGTTCCTTCGAGCTCTGAACTGATGCTGGTAGTACTATGTCCGCGATCTTTGTAGGCTGGAGGAGTTCCAACAGGCGTCGAGGCAAGCTCGGGCTTCTTAGACCCATGAAGTAGCGCGGTTGGAGATAGTGGTTGCGCTCCAGTCGACGTCTCAGCCTCCGCAGAGATAGCTCGTCTGCGTCTTTTGAGCAGGTAAAAACAGCCGCTAGCGAGTAAAGCGACACCGAGAAGAGCTGCAACGAGTATCGGGGTTGGTACATCAAATGTCGACCCAGGTCCTGCGCTCGCTGCCTCTTCAACATCCTCAGCCGCTTCCAGCAGTATGATAAGCCCAAGCTCAGCCTTAGATCGTGCATCAGCGACTACAGGCTCTAACAATCCACTATCTGCGAGCGTGACTAAGTCGATTACTCTTCCAGCCAGACCAGTACAAGAACTCCCTTCGCTGACTGGTTCGCTACAACGAGTACAAACGGAAACGGTCAAGACGCCCAGGATATTAAAAATGGTGGCATGCAGAGTGCAGTAATGACGGTCTTAGCGATGCTCGCGGCTATATTGCTATTGTAAGCGAACAATGTAATCACTACACCGTATCAAACTCCCTAAACATATATACTCATCCACAAAGCTACGAGAACAGATACAAATGCCAGAGTAGTAAATGTGATCATGCGCTGTAGGAAACTGGCGTCACTGACCGTCTCCTTCATGTCGCTCCATGTATCATGGTCATTGTCACTACTCATCCCGAGAGGATCGACTCTGTGCTTGGGAGTGAGGTGAAGAGCGAGATCCTATCTCCAGGTATCGCTGACTGTAGCGCTAGCCTGGCAGTCACTAGGTACAGTGAAGCTTCTGTTCGGGTCGCTTTCCCAGCTTATCTGGCCGTCACTGCCGATACGATAGTACTTGTATTCGAAAGTTGTCGTTGGCTGTAGATTCACGGTCACTTGCCACAATGGATCTGAGCTTGTGTATCTATTTGCGGAAAGTGGAATACGGCTTTGCTCGTCGGTTGACCAGGATCCAAGCTGTGAAACGGAGCCAGTAAGGAAGACGGTTTCGCCATAGTATGTCGTTGCACGTTCGTTGAATGTCAAGGCTACCGCGGTCGGACAGGTCGTTGATGTCGTCGAAGTCACGAAGCCACTGGTAGGCGTGGGAGTGTATGTTGGCGAGGCAGTTACAATTACCGAGGAATAGGTTCCTGTAGCGCTGGAAGGCCGACACTGCGAGGGTAGAGTGTTTCCACCAGGAACAAGCCAGGACCCTGGGACTTGTCCGTTGCGCCTGGCATTTGCAGTCAGAAGGGCAGCATATGACCAAGTTAAATCTGCTGCAGATACCGGAACTCCTGTCGTTTTGTCGAACTGTTCTGCCAGGCTACCGTCGGGTGGTGTGAACCTCTGTGCAAAGGACATATAACTGTCGGCATAGATTCTGACGGCCGTGACGATGGACTCAAACGTCGAGGAGCTAGCATCGTATGTACCTGTGCTTATGCCCGCTATCAGATCTTGGAAGAAGGCTTGGTTGACTGAGTCAACTGTGACCGACCCAACCTTGTTCCATTGTAGAAGGGCGCCGTAGAGTTGCTCCGCTGCTGCGAAGTTGGCCAAATACCACGGGTTGCCGTTCATGTAGACGTCTTCAGCGTAACGACCGACAGCTACACCCTGACCGGCTAGTATGCCAGCATTGATCGCATAACCTCGAAAAGAATCCGTCACCTGCTTGTGGTTGGCCAAGGCTCTTGACGAACACGGCTGGAATGTTGAATCATCGCACGTCGCTGCTGGATCAAACATATGGATTGAGGTCAATAGAGAGTTTGCGTCCTTGCCTGTTCGACCGTCATTGACATTGATGTTCGAATCGACGTATTGGTTTGTCCAGAATGACTGCATGAAGCAGAGGCTTTGTGGAGCTTGTGAGTCGCAATAAGGACATGTTTGCCCTATACGGGTTGCGAGCGCACTACCTTCGACGAGAGCTCTATAAGAGCCTGCAATTGTAAAGAATGAACTGCCGTTGATCTCCTCCCACAAATCAAAGCCTGTTTGATTCCAGTATTGTGCAGTGTAGGAGAGATCATTCCGAATGACTGGCCAGACGAGGTCGGTGGCAAGGGACGTTTGGCCAGAAGAGATCAAATAGTTAGCATATGAAATCAGGGTGGTCGCCCGAAGTGCAGGACCATCGCGTTGAGGCCGACCCCATGATCCAGTAAAAGCTGTTCCATCGACGTTGAATTTTGGCTCACCTAGACCCGCGCCATCATCCAGGTTGCCAGAAGGGTTGACAACACCTTGTAGGACTGCTTGTGCTTGGACGTATTCTCTGATGTGTTGCTCGAGCGAGGCGTTACCAGCTATGACCTCGTCGACTAGCATCTTATAGGTCAATGCTGCGTCTCGGGTCCAAGTGTAGTAGTCTAAATATTGGTTGGTAAGCATATGCCGTGTCAGTAGGTGTCTAAGCTCCGCGTACAATTGGGATCATTTTTGCTTGGGCTTGCGACAACAATACCTGCCGCAGCACCCTGCGCTTTTGAGCCACCAGGACCTATATTGTTCAACACTCCTTGCAGCGCAATGGTAGATTCCGAGATAAGCCATGTGTCTAAGGATGAGCTTGCCTGCCGTTCTTGGATTGGTGTCGGTGCAACAGAGGCTAAGCTCGTTACTAATACGAACAGCTTGCTGATATTAAGCATATCGAGCGCTGTTACTGTAGCGTTATGCTACAACTGATGTCAGTGAAGGACTTCGGGTTATGTCTTTTCGTCGAGTGCTGTACCTTTTCTTAGGGCAAACGATGAAAGTACGATGCGTGCCCTCAATCGAATGGGTTGAAGGGCACATAGATCCGGAACAGTGGTGTATGGAATGGCAAGAGCTTACCAATAAGAAGAGATACATTGTGGTGGGTTGTGCGAATGCTAGAGGAGTTTCAAATATGAATGTCCTTTGTAGTACTTAGTGCGGAACCGTGTTGAGATTGCGGTCTTGATATATGGGTTGAAGACAAAAATGCACATGCGCGTCAAAGGTCACACGATTGTAGTAGTGAAGACTCTGAAAGTCTTGTGACAATTTTGCGCTGGAGCAGTGATATTAGTCAGGCGTTGAGACAGCTTGCACGGTTAATCAAGGTTGACAATTCGGCATCGAATATACATGTAGAAGATTTTGAATACGTATGGCAGACAAACATGCCACGAGGCCGGCATTCAGGATCGTTGTCACGCGTTGATAAACAAAGAAAGGGTCGAGACGTATTTTAGTCCAGAATCGGCTTGGAAGCTCGTGGTATCGGGGTTTTGAGGCTCTCCACCTGCAAAGCCGCTATAGATATTCTTGATGAAGACACAGGCTGTAGTGTGCTTGATGAGAGTGGTTAGCCACGAGTTTCGAACGAAATGAAGTGTTGAAACGTCTAGATCCAGTGGTCCAATAAAGATCAAATTCTGGTTGGTGGGGTACTGCTGAAGGCTCCAAGGATAAAATGACGTGGAACACGATCAGCGGATGACGACGAGGTGCTTCTTGCCGATAGAGCTCTGTATAGAAACAATCAACACTCAAGATGCAAGGCAGTCATCACTTCCAATGCCCGACGTCTCATGAGCACGTTCAAAGCGACTACTGCTAAATATACCTTCTGAACTACGCTTAACTTATGATGTGTCGCCAAATGAGCATTTTCTGATGCCTTTGAGGGCCGATTCCAGCAGCTTCGTTCAACTAACAATGTTCCAGCGTGGGTGCCTCATAACTGAGAGGCTACTAACGGGTTGAATCATCAAATGGACATCAGCAATACCTGTCGACCCTCGTATTCTCTTTAGCCACACCTGACGCATGCCAAGAACACGCCCTTTGGATGGCATGTCCTGTATAGAGGACCTTATTGAGTGCAAGGCAGTTCCTCACATTCCAAAGAACTTTGACACTATCACATCAAAGATGGGCAACGAAATAGTGGTTCGCTGTCATTGTGGACAGACGAATATCGCTATGCAACTCCAAGGATCACTACCTCACCAAGGTCCGGTGTGTCACTGCGATAGCTGTCGGCACGTAACTGGAGCATTGACGTTGAGCAGTGGACCACCTCTCCTAGATCCTCCTGTGGACGTGCTCAAGCAGAAGCTAACGCAATACGCTACTTCGCCGAAGATAACACGTTATTTCTGTCAGGAATGTGGCAGTCATGTGGCTTACCATGTGGTGGCCGAGGATAGATGGTGCATTTGCACAGGTGCTATCGACAAAGCCAAACATGGGAAGTTGGAGGCAATAGAAGCTATTACCGGTCACGAGTATCTTGCGGACACAAAAGATGGCGGTCTGAGCTGGTGCTTTCCCAACGTACCCTGCTACCTGGAAGACGATGGACAATCACCAGTCGAGGACCTCAAGGCGGAATTGAAGAAGCCACGCGACGATGAAGCAACAGCCGAAACCCCAGAAAAACTCCGAGCTGAATGCCATTGTGGTAGGGTAAAGTTGTCGATCGACAGGCCTGATAATGGGTAGGTGACCACTATCCTCCTCGACCTTACTAACAATCTCACAGTGATAAATGGGAAGGCGGAATTTGTGTCTGTCGTTCTTGTCGTCTCTCTCTGGGTCAGGCAATAGTGCCGTGGCTCTCCAATGTGCTGTTCGAGAAGGTTTCGTGGCCTGATGGTTCCACGTATTCTGAGGGAGCTACCAAGTACGCGAAGAGATTCAACAGCTCTGAGGGCACTTGGCGGGATTTCTGTCCCGAGTGCGGTGCATCAGTCTCCTGGCATAGTGACAAGGAGGCAGGACAGATGGACATCGCAGCAGGAATACTGAGAGCAGAAGAGGGTGCTTTGGCGAGAAGATGGATCAATTGGCGGACGACAAAGATTCACTTCACTGGGGATGCTGTAGACGCAGCGCAGGTGCAACTGTTGCAAGACAATCTGCACAATTTAGACGCTGCTTGAAAAGAATGAGGCATGTTTTTCAGCACAATCTTTGGATTTTCGTAGACACCTCGAAGAGAAATATTCGTGCCCTCGACTTCGATCACGCTTACCCGTTTTGGCAGGCACGATCGAACGCGTTCCGCGAATATTGAGACGCGTTCTTGCTAACCCCACATGTTCAGTCATTGAGAGCAATAAGTCTAAATCCTATATCTGTTCGTGATGCCTCGGGAGATTATCACGATACAGGCTGGGCAATGTGGCAACAGTATAGCCAGTCAGTTTTGGCAGCACCTGTGCCTAGAGCATGGTATCAGCCGTGATGGGACAATCGAAGACTTCGCAGCGAATGATTCTCACGATCGCAAAGATGTCTTCTTCTACCAGTCAGACGACACACGATACATACCACGGGCGATCCTGGTCGACCTCGAGCCCCGCGTGCTGAATAGCATCCAGACAGGACCATACAAGAACATATATAACCCAGAAAACTTCTTTTTGGGCGAACAAGGGAGCGGAGCAGGAAATAACTGGGCAGCAGGCTATGCGGCTGGCGATAGAGTACAAGAAGAGATCTTTGATATGATTGATCGTGAAGCTGATGGGTCTGACTCGCTTGAGGGGTTCATGCTTCTGCACTCGATCGCTGGTGGTACTGGATCTGGGCTCGGCTCTTACCTCCTGGAAAGAATGAACGATCGATTCCCTAAGAAGATAATACAGACATACTCTGTTTTTCCAGACACTGCAACTGGCGACGTTGTAGTGAACCCTTACAACTCCCTGCTTTCGTTACGACGTCTGACACAGAATGCCGACAGTGTGGTGGTTCTGGATAATGGTGCCCTTACCCGAATAGCTGCGGATAGATTACACGTCCAGGAACCGTCCTTCCAGCAGGTCAATCAGCTAGTCAGCACAGTCATGGCAGCTTCGACCACCACACTACGCTATCCAGGCTACATGCACAACGATCTGGTAGGTATCATAGCCTCCCTCATCCCTACACCACGCTGCCACTTTCTAACAACGTCTTACACACCCTTTACTGGCGACGATGTCTCTCAAGCCAAGACTGTTCGCAAAACAACAGTGCTGGACGTCATGCGACGACTTCTCCAGCCAAAGAATCGCATGGTCTCTATTACACCATCAAAGCAGTCCTGCTACATCAGCATATTAAACATAATACAAGGACAAGACCTCGATCCGACGGATGTGCACAAGTCCTTGCTAAGAATACGAGAACGACGCATGGCGACTTTCATACCCTGGGGCCCTGCATCGATACAGGTTGCTCTGACACGAAAATCTCCCTACCTGCCGAATACACATAGAGTATCGGGGTTGATGCTCGCTAATCACACAAGTGTAGCAACACTTTTCCGCAGGATAGTGGTTCAGTATGAGAAAATGAGAAAGCGCAACGCCTACCTCGAGCAATACAAGAAAGAAGCTCCGTTCGCAGACGGTTTAGGAGAATTTGATGAGGCGAGAGAAGTGGTAGGGGGTCTGATCGCAGAATATGAGGCTGCTGAAAGAGATGACTATCTTGACCCACAAACAGACTCTGGCAAAGCAGAAGGTTCTTGAACTGGCTGTGATGAGCGAAACAACCCTGAACTTTGAACAAGGTTCTGATAAGGCATGATGAAAATGATAACATGAATCTGTACGTAAAGGAAGATGAACGGTAGTCATCTCTCGAGAACACACAAGGAATTACAATGTTCACGAGTACCACCACCAGGTTAGCAGTCAAGGCATGTGAACCTCAACGTGAAAACGCTGTGTTGCACGTTCGCATAGTCGAGAAATGGTTCAGAGACCAGCTTGACACTGACACGAGTTCAAATTAAAAAAACTCGGGATCACGGCAAGTAAGGTGCACAATAGAACTGTCCACGAAGGAAGGAGATCCCGAGCGAACGGCGGAGCAGAAGTGCGCATCCTGCAAAGTCCCATCATAGCACATGGGGAGCAATAAACAGAGGGGGAACTCACCGTGGTCCCAACTGTCTCCAACCATGGACGAGTCTTGGGGTGGTCGAGATCAAAGTGGAACGGGGTCATGGAGGTTCTCGCTGTTTCGAAAGGTTAGCTAGAACAGTCGCATGATCAGATAGATGCCAACTCACGGGTCAAAATTTCATCCCATTTCCATCCCATCATCTCTGTGTTGGTCAATTTAGTATTTGTGCAACTATTATTGTGCACTGCCTTGCTCATCCTCCAACGCCTTGATCGAGGTTCCACAAGTTCTTCTCCATAATCACCGAATCCTGCCCTTTCCCTGACTCGTCTCAAGTAAGCAAATCCGCCACGTTCATCGGCATCTCATCAATCTGCGTACTATAATAAAGCTCGATATCCCTCAAAATCCTCACATCCTCACCCGTCACAAAATTGATCGCCACACCCTTTCGACCAAACCGACCACTCCTTCCAATTCTATGAATGTAGTTCTCTCTGTTACTCGGCAAGTCATAATTAATCACCAAACTAACCTGTTGAACATCTATACCTCGCGCCCAGACATCAGTCGTGATAAGGACTCGAGAATTACCCTGGCGAAAATCGGACATGATGCTGTCGCGCTCTTTCTGGGGCATTTCGCCGTGCATGCTGCTGACTGTGAAATTTGCCTCGCGCATCTTGTCGGTCAGCCACTCGACTTTACGGCGGGTGTTGCAGAAGATGACGGCCTGTGTAATGGTGAGGGTATCGTAGAGATCGCACAGGGTGTCGAATTTCCATTCCTCCTTTTCAACGGCGATGAAGTATTGCTTTAGGCCCTCAAGGGTCAATTCGTCGCGTTTGACGAGGATGCGGACGGGGTCGGTCATGAATTTCGTGGTCATGTCGAGGACGTCGTAAGGGAGAGTGGCGCTGACTACCACGACTTGTGTTGCGGGTGGGAGGTAGCGGTAGACGTCGTAGATTTGTTCGCGGAAGCCACGGTTGAGGAGTTCGTCGGCTTCGTCGAGGACGAGCATTTTGATGTGGCGGGTGCGGAGGTTGCGGCGGCGGATCATGTCTGCGACGCGGCCGGGGGTTCCTGAGACGACGTGTTGGCCGTAGTCGAGTTTGCGGATGTCTTCACCGATGTTGGTGCCACCGATGCAGGCGTGGCATTGGACATTCATGTAGTCGCCTAGGGCCATGATGACGCTTTGTATTTGGGTTGCGAGTTCTCTGGTTGGGCTAAGGACCAGTGCTGTTTGTGGGTGTTAGTCTCTCTCTGCGCTTTCTATACCTTGTCGTGGCAGCCGCAAGATTTGGACAATCCTCACCTTGTGTCTCTCTTACAGTAGTCTCCAAAATCTGCAAAATACTGATCGAAAATGTAGCTGTCTTTCCTGTACCTGATTGCGCCTGCGCAATTGTGTCTCGACCTTTACAGATTTGTACAATAGCCCGCGACTGGACTGCTGAGGGCGATTCGTAACCGTATGCGTAGACTCCTCGTAGAAGATTTTCCTTCAAATGCATGTCTTCGAAAGTCGGTGCGACAGTCACTTCTTTGGAGGTTGAGAACTCCATCTTGGAGTCGTCTAGTGGTTCTGCCATGTTTGAGATCCTCTGATGTTTCGTAAGGTATGGTTAGGTTCGCAACGGTGCGCAAAAAGTGGAATGTTAGGTCGATACTTTTGAATATGATGCTGCAGAACTTGAAGTTGAACCTGAAACTATTGTAGCTCACTACTCTTAATCAGGCTAGCTTCGACGTGCACTCGGACTTTGCATCGGCAACTTAGCCGACCTTGCAAACTCCTCCCACTGCATACTGTGGTGGTATGCCTTCAGTCGTTCGAAGACAGCTACTGTTCGTTGATTACTATCAATTACTCGCACGACTGTAACACCGAGTGTAAATTGAAATTCAAACGTGATCAGAGTTTAAAGCAGCGTCTCAATGACAGCAATCAGTTATGTCCTGAGCAGATACGTTATTGCTAGGAGATAAAGAGGCGCACAACGGCTATATTGAATCGAACTCCTCCTTGTATGGTCATTATGAGTACAATGCTCTATGCGATGTTATCTATGATTCATGTATCTCTGCAGACACCAGCTCTAATATCAACTCCATATTGAAAGTCGGCAGTCACTGGCCATCGTCTATTGCCCCGCCGTCTGCGAGCACTGCAAATTGCTCATGTCATCGTTACAGCACCTGGTCGTGTTATGGCTGAAGATACTTCTCGATCCTACTCGCTTGTCCTCGGAAATTCAAGCCCCTACTGCCTTCTTGACCCAGCGACTATTCTCCGCCTCAGCTGTGGTGTGCTCAGAACAGTTCGTGCCATGGGAGAGATGGAGTTAGTGGTAGTATTGACAGGCATCGTCATATTCATCGGCATAGTCGTGTTAATGACTACAGCCTTTAAATCATCGACCAGAGGAGGGAGCTTGGGACCACCAGTACTTGGAAGGTCGCCTGCGCTAGGAAGGTCTCCGGTATCTGGAAGAACATCCGTCGCAGCCTGTCCGATAGAGAAGATGTTTTGCAGTTGCTTGACGATTCCGTACAGAGCTTGCTCGCATGCTGAGCACTCTTCAGCTCGAACGGTGAGCATATCCATTCCCTCCATGTCGTCCATGTCGTCTTCACTGCTGCTATCATCGTCTTCTTTGCACTCGTCTCCAAGTGAATCTTCGAGTACGCCAAGCACAGCTAGGATCTGTTGCATGGTTGGTTGTTCTCCACTGGCTTCCATGAGCTGAGCACTGATACTAAGTGCTTCGTCGATCTTGGAAATCGCGTCGACGCATGAGGTATCGACACTGGGCGTGTCGTCATTATCGGTGTCAGGAACACCTGGGATGTTTGAGCCTCCACTTCCACTTCCAATGCCGCTGCCAACACCGCCGACGCTGCCAGTCGCGGGCAGTACATCCTTGACGATCTCCAAGATGCCAGTGAGGCCGCCCAACTGTCTCTTGCTGATATGGTTAACTACGTAATCATGGTTAGAGTAAATTCCGAAGACGGCAGAATCATATCTTACCTGGTGACGACAATCCCAATGTGATCAGCAAAGCTGCTGGAGCGATCTTCATGATATACATCTTGTGACTGGCGTACTGTGCTATTCGATGAATTGCCTGAAGACTGAGACAGCTACGTCCTGGTCGACCATGGCGACACTCGCCTTTATGTCTCTTTATCAGGAAGGCTGGGAAGAATGCTCGACATCCTTAATCTCTATGCTGTAGATCCATGTTGAGCATTTGGTGGACCGTGCTCGTCAAATACTAGATCTTGCACTGCGCAACTATGATCTGTGCGGTTTCGCTATGGCGATCTTGCGGCTCCTTGGCTCAAGCTTGCTACTAAAGTCGTTGTCAATGCGCTGTCGTCGTCATAGTTGCACAGTGACCACAACCTCATGTATCTCTGTGGCATTCTTAGTGGTTGGCCATGTATTTAGATTATTGGTATTTCCACCCCAAGATCATCCATCATTCCACGTCCTTCGCAACGATGAGATGATCGATGGTGTATGGTTGTCAAATCAGTCGTGTATGCCGTGAACGCGCCTCTAATATTCCTCAGCATCGTCAGTATCGTTGCTCGTATTGTCGCTTTGGAGCCATTCGACAGTTATCACACCACGAACCTGCGATACGCTGACATCTCGGAAGAGCACTTTGGTAGTACATGGTCAGTCAAACACCTTATATCGATATATGTGATCGTTGCATGCTCATGGTCCGTGCGTAAAAGTAGTAGAGTTGGGCAAGACATCGTCACTGCAGAGTCGACACCGCCTGCGGAAGCATATTTGGAAATTGTAAGCATTAAACCGTGTACGTTTAGGATCTTAAACCTCAAGCAACAACGTTCACACCAGCCTTCTCCAAGATTTGCGCAAACTCCTTCCGTGGCTCATCCGCCAAGAGAGCATATGGCTTCCTGATACCACCAGTTTTCCATCCCCTTAACTCCATACCCGTTTTGACCGCAGACGCATAGTGGTGCGATTCCAAGAATTTGCAGACAGGGAAGATCTTGCTCCACAGTTCTCGTCCTTTCTTGAGATCTTGCTGCACGGCGACTGCCTCCCAGAGTTCTGCTGACAGCTCTGGAATGACGTTGCTTGCACCCCATACCGAGCCCTTCGCTCCTGCTGCCAGACCGTAAAAGGTCAATGTGTCCCAGCCGTTGAAGGTTGTGATCTCGTTCTGTCGTTCAAAGAGCAATTCTGTCAACGCTGGTGCGTTGCCTGAGGTATCCTTCATGTACCTCACACCACTGCCTGACAAGCCGGCGAGCTGTTCTGGGCTGAGTGTGACGCCGCTTGCAGACGGTATGTTGTAATACATGATTGGCAGATTAGAGGCCGAGCTGATCTCGTTAAGCAGTTCCTTCAGTTGCTCATAGTTAACGGCGTCGTAGAATGGCGGAACAACCATGAGTGCATCTGCACCTGCTTGAGAAGCATGACTTGCAAGCTCTACACAATCTTTTGTTGTCAGTGCACCAGTTCCAGCCACGACTGGGATTCGACCAGCACAGTACTCGACGCACAGCTCGATAAGCTGTTTCCTTTCAGCAATACTCAATGCTGTAAATTCGCCGGTCGAGCCACCTGGAACTATGCCATGTATACCACTGTCGACGAGGAAGTCGATGTGGTCTTGAAGTCGCTTGGCGTCGATCTGCGTGCGATCATCCGTGAAAGGTGTAATGAGAGCGACAAAGATGCCTCGAAGATCTCGTGGTGGTGAGTTGATCATTTTTGTTTCTGTGATGTGTCGAAAACCTTCGGGAGGATTGAGTCAAAGTTTGTGGGTAGTCTGTTTATCAAGCTGTATTTCTAGGACGGATTTGCGCTGGATATACTAGCAGGTCTCACCACAGGTAATCACTTCCAACTGCTTCGTATATCTGCAGATCCTTTGCGGTGTTCTGCATCAGGCAGGTGTCGGCGCCAAAGTGGAGCGTGGCATGACTTCCAATTGGTCGATAGTGCTATAGGCAAGGTATTCCGTAGATCTAGGCTTATACCTGGATCCAGCAATGGAGGCGTTGTGAGTGTGGTTGTTCAGCCGCATCGTCGTCTAATAAAACGTTCCTATGATCTGAGACAGTCTGCGAGCACATAACAAGTACGTAAACGAAGTGAGGACAACTCTTGTATCCTTCAATACCATCAACCACTTGAGATAGACGCTTGGGATGGCCAACAGAGCTCAAAACTTAGATGACAAGGTATTCTCGATTGACGACCTGAAGAATGAGGGTAGCAAGAAGTTGGCGAAGCCTTATCGAGGTAAGGCTGGATTTCCCAATGATTGACCGGATATTGAACTCGTGTTGCAGACTTTTACAATGAAGGAGCCATGGACTTGGTAACGTCAGTGTTTCTTCGTGTCCGATTCAGCTCGGCTGACAACCTCCAGACTGCGAGACAATGAGAAGGCATTCGACAAATTCAAGATCCGTCCCCGAGTTTGGAGAAATGTAGCCAACCTTGATATGTCAACCACCATATTTGGTCAAAAGGTACAACAGCTCATTCTCCATTCTCGCAAGCCCGCTGATATTGGCAGATCTCGATGCCACTCGGCATTAGTCCGACAGCGATGCAAAAACTTGCTCATGATGATGGTGAGGTGGCCACCTCACGTGCTGCAGCACGCATGCATCTACCTATGTGCCTCTCTTCATATGGCACGACCTCGTTAGAAGACGTCAAGTTGCAAGGAAACGGTAATCCTTACATCATGCAGATGTGTATCGTAAAAGATCGAAACATTACTCGACAGCTACTCCAGCGGGCTCAAGGTACGTGAATAGACGATCTCTTGTCGAGTGTCAAACTGATTGAACAGCTGCTGGCTATCGAGCCCTATTCATCTCTGTCGACGTGCCTGTACTAGGACGAAGGTTGAATGAAATGAGAAACAACTTCACGCTTCCTCGAGATTTAACCTTTCCAAACATTTTGTCCAGTGGTGGCGACGAATTTGCTGGAGATCAAGAGACAAAATCCGAAGGTCCCCAAGCATTTGGTGAGCGAATATCGTGACGCGGAAGGCCTCGACTGACGGTGACAGATGATACTTTAGAATGGGAGGAAATCATCCCATGGCTCAAGAAGAATTGCGGCGACATGGAGGTGTGGCTGAAAGGAGGTTAGTACAGTAGACTCCTCCCGAATCATCCAATCTAACAACCACCAGTGACGACGCCAGCAGATGTTGAGCTTGCCATCAAATATGGTGCAGACGGAATTGTCATCTCCAATCACGGTGGAAGACAACTTGACGGTATGCCAGCGACCATTGACGCTCTAGCAGAATGTGCTCCGATCGCTCGAGGTCGCATACAGATCGCCATCGATGGAGGCATCCGGAGAGGTTCGGATATATTCAAGGCATTGGCTTTAGGTGCCCAGTATTGCTTCATTGGTCGTATCGCAATCTGGGGTCTTGCGGTAGGTAGAGTCTCTTCCTTGAGAAGGACGTTGCTGACGTGGCGACAGTATGGTGGGCAGAACGGTGTTGAACTAGCTCTGGAGATCCTACGGCACGAGCTGCACACCACAATGGCGTTAGCCGGGTAAGCACACCTTCGAAGCTGAACTAACATTGCTGACATATCTAGTTGTCGATCAATAAATGAGATAAGTCGAGACCACTTAAGTGTATTAGGGCAGAACAATCTTTTGTCCAAGCTGTAGACTAGACCTAGCATAATATAACCCATTCTTTCTTCTCCTTAGAGATCTCAATCCATGTTGTCGCAGGGCCAGCATTTCTCGCAGAGCGTGGAGAGGCAGCGACTTGATCTTTCCTCATGAACACTCCCGACATCATAGTTTCAGCTGCTTTGTAGCTCTGTAAGCCTGTTTTGGCGAAAGCATTGCTCACCCAAGTCGAGAGGTAGTCTCGTCTGGGGCCTGGACTTGCTTCGCAACCAGCAATAAATGCAGGCCAAGCAGTTCCCGGAGACGCAACTTGATATCGAATAAGAGACAAGTCGAAATTGCGTAATGCTTCGATCACCTCATCGACGTGGCTCTGCAAGATGAGGGAATTGACATTGCGGATCCGTCTGTAGAAGTAGAGCACAAGAGCAGCATTCATGGCTTGGAGCATGTAATGACTAGAAGATAGGGGCGTTGCGCTCTGCGCTACTGAGCTTGAACGTGCAGCAAATGAGCATATCATGTCTTCCAGCCGCGTGGCACGCTTTTCTATCGATTTGTGAGCCGTGTGTTGTCCGCACAGACGTCCAGCCTTTTGTGCGTCTACAACATTAGCTAGTCGAGTTGTTTGCGAGAGCAGGCTGAGCCAAGTTTCCGGCAATCCGTATATTTGCAAGTACATCGTGTCCTGATACGTCCTTGAATCTTGAAGATGTATATCGTGGAGACCCACAGCCGGATCCTTCTGTTCTTCGAGGTCGAGATCTTGATCATCAGGACGCTCGATACGTAGAAAATCATCCAAGCGAGCATTATGACCAGCATCAAGCACGAGATTTTGTGCTGAAGGTGGAATTGGTACGTTGCCGAGCACATGGCCTTTGATCTCATGGAGAACATATGTGCTTTCGCCTACAATCCTGAACCACGTATACATGTGGTGCATCAGACGGGCTCTTCTTGATATTTGTCTTTTCGCAAGCCCGCGCACTCGAAGCAACCTTTCCGCATCAATCATGTAACAGCGAGCATCTCTTTGGTGGCCGGCCATGATCGCATAGGTCAAGGTGCATATGAGCGCCATCAACTGATCTTTGTATTTTGCTTTTGCATTACCCTGAGTTTCACTTTGCAACGACTTCTGCAGATGTGCTTTGGCGTAGTTACCAGCTCTCGTTGCGATCGCAAGCCAGTACCCATTGGACGAGTTGCCTAACTCAGGGTCATTTACTGCGAGGTAGTAAGCAGAACAAGCAAGAACACTGCAGAAGTTAGCAGCATTGGCATGCTTTATCGGTCGGCCCAAGTATGTAATATCGGCATATGTTTGTATCGCACTGGTAACATTGAGTATCTCAAACGGTGATTTAGCATTAAAGGGCAGAGCGCCAACAGCTCCAATCACATGATTCGAGAAGTTCTTGATGAGCTTTGCAGCTTGAGCTATCATGTCCGGGTCGTCGATAAGAGCGGACGACGTGGTAGGCAGCTCCGCAGATTCGGCAACACCGATACTCGTGGCCGGCCAACCAAGCTGTGGTTCGGCAGAGTTGGTATTGATACCAAAGTCGTCTGGCTGCGCGCCGAGCCACGTATCAAACTCCAGGTCAAACAGATCAGACCATTGAAGGTAATCCGGAATAGAGGTAGCTAGTCCTTGACTCGAAGGGGTTGTGATACGCAGTGAGTCGTCGATGACAGGTTCATTGAAGGTGTGATCTATGTCAGGGACGATCTCAGCTGGGAGTGAAGGCTGTACACCCGCTTGAGAGACGTTGGTAAAGTCAATAACTCGAAAGGGACCAATCTCAAGTACATCCTTTCGATGGGGACGAAGGCCATCCGACCAAGAATCTATGGTTGCCAAGGACGTATCAATGGATTTTGAGTCTACTTGTTGAACTAGCTGCCTGCTCATCAAATGTCGTGCTTGCTCTGAAACATGGTTAGATCAGTATCACAATGTGGATGTGCCTGCCGACCTGAGTAGAGGTGCCGTCGTGTGCCTGATTTCTCTTCATGTGCGGGAGCCTTGTCATGTGAGACCCACTGTATGCTGGTATCATAGCCTAAACACTGCACTCCGAGTGCTTGGCAGTTAAGACACTTAGGGCGGACCTGATCGCATTTTTGATGACGCCTTCGACAACTTTCACAACCTCCGAGCACATGAGTGCGGCGAGAGGCTCCTCGGTTTGAGACTTTAGGACCCATATGCTGCTGACGACACGCAAGAGTGTCACGTTGTAGCGTTGTCCAACATTGTCGCGCAGTCCTGGTTGCGTTCGCGATTTCGTGGAAACCATTGCACGGAGTCGAAGGAAGCTGAGAGCTGTGGGTCGCTTGTTGTATTCCACGAAAGGAAAGTCTTTCCATCTTCTTATCGCGGACTGTAATTGGCAAATATCTCCTAAAAGACCCACTTCTCCGCAATCCACTCTCGGTGGTCGACGACTTTGTGCTTGGTAAACAGCACAACTCAATCCAGACATGTAGCCGCTTAGAAACAAAAGGGAGGGTCATTAGATTGATGAGTGGTCACTGAGTGAATGAAGATGTCCTCAACTTGAATTTTTATCATCGCCATGTGTGTAGTTTTTGTGGTGCAAAAACCAGACAATAAGCACTGCTTGTTCCAATAGTCGATACTAGTCGTGCAGAACGTTAAGAATGACACTCAAAGTATTCCTGTAAGTACATTCCTAGACATGATGCTGCTGGGGCCTACTGAGCATGCAATAGCACCGGTGCTTCAGGCTATATCGGCGGAGAAGTGTTGAATCAGATCTCACGCCTTGATGCGTCACACCATGTCAGGTGTCTTGTGAGAGACAAAGGCAAGGGCGCTGCTATCAAGGAGACATACCAAAAAGTCGAGGTAGTCGAAGGAGATCTCGATGATGCTAGCTTGATAGAAAGCGAAGCAAAGGCTGCCGATGTCGTTCTGCACCTCGCCAGTACGCGACATGAAGTCAGTACGCGTGCAATTGTTAAAGGATTGAATGATACAGGCCGCCAAAAAGCAGGTTACTGGTTGCAGATCAGTGGTGCATCCATGTTTGCTGGACCCCAGATGAAAGCCGGGACATATGGTGAGGCCGAAGGAAAGACTTATGATGACATTGCCGATGTCGAGGAGATTAGAGCCGTGATCCGAGCAAGCCCAGGTCGGATAGTTGACAATCTGGTTCTTGACCAGGATCAGGAGCAGGTCAAAACAGCCCTTGTACCAGGTCCAATCATATACGGCAAAGGCAGGGGACCAGGCAATACCCGTACCGTGCAAGGGCCAGCAATTGCTGAATACACCATAAAGAACGGCGAGAGCTTCCAGGTTGGCAAAGGCGAGAACGTTTGGAGCACAATCCACGTCGCCGATATTGCCAAGCTTTTCGTCTCCCTCTTAAGTGCTGCAGCTGATGGAAAGAATGATGTGTGGAATGAGGATAGGATCTTCCTTCCAGAGAATGGTCAAATTGTAAGCTGTCCTGAGCCCGCGCCATTTCTTTACTGACCAGAAGTGTAGGCTTTCGGTAAATTCGCTCGACTTATTTCCAAAGCAGCTCGTGACCAGGACCTGATCAAATCAGACAACATCAAATCTTTGTCGGGTAAAGAAATCGATCAGGTTGTGCCTCACGGATCGATAATCCTCGGAACTAATGCAAAGCTCAGTTCCTCTAGAGCTCAGAAATATCTGGATTGGAAGCCGACAGAGGTATCGCTAGAGGAGGACATTCCTCGCATGGTTGCAGAAGAAGCCGAGAGGCTGCGAGATGGGAACAAGAGCACTTCATGATCCTCGATATATGCAGGTTAGGGCTACCCTTGAGCCAAGTTGTAAATCAGGACAGTGAATATGTGTAGGCTGCTGTCGACCAGGCCATGGTCGCTGCTGGACCCTATACCGTCCTGGACCGTCTACCAGGGGTGGCTTCCTATATGTCTTGCCCCGTAGATATTGCAGGCAACCAGAGATATTTCAACAACGTCTGTCTTGACCTGCGCTTCTATCTTAGTTATTGCTAGTCTGGCAATCGATCAGGAATTATTGGATTGTGAGTTATTGAGGGAGTGAGCTCGCGAACAGTCGGTGGTGTATGGTTGTGGGCCGACTACGGCAGCAGAACCATAGGTAACATGGTCGTCCATTTCGAAGATTGAACAGCCTTCCTATGCGGAGGTGCGTAACATTAACAGCTGCGCTCGTGTCAAAGGTCAATCGCATACTAACGATCGCGAGGTCGAGCCGCGCTTTCCTGCTGCATTTTATTCGGGGACTACACTCCGAAGTATACCCGAACTTAGTCGCACGTTTCCCCATACAGAATCCAAAGCTCAAGTGGCTCAGGTCTTGAGATGATGATATGTATGGTATTGTCCTTCTGAAGTACAGTATATGCTAGCTGCTTAGAACCCTTCCAAGAGATCGCTCAACGTGATAGGTTTCCTGACAGCAGTCGAGGATCCCTCGTTGAACGATACCCAGATGCGATCGTCCTCGTTCTCCCCAGATGTGGTTACGCTCAGCGCTTTGCCCTTGGTCGCTGTGCTCTTAGCGATCGAAGATGCGTCAATACCTTTGCCATTCGACGGAGCAGGTGCAGCTATAATGTTCAAGTTCTCGATCGGTCGGCCGAAGAAGTCGCGCCTGACCACGGTAGTCTTCTTCTGGTTCGGATCCTGCCCTTTCGACAAGGGTCTAACATTCTCTCTCTCCTCCCTAGGGGTCTGAACAAACTTCTCTGAAAGAGCTCCGCTGCCTCTAGCTTGTCGAGCTGCTGATGCTTGGAGAACTTTCTCCTTCCGTAGTTCTTGGTCCAGAACTTGGCGTATGGCATAACGTGTAGGCTGCGAAGTGGCTGTCGTCGCCTTCGAACTCGAACTCGATCCCGAGAAGTGGTATGCCGAAAGAGAGTCAATGGGTCTGTATGAAAATTAGTCCTGATCAGCCAAGAGTGGGAAGAGGTGATAACTTACGGCTCCATCCTGAATGCCCACCCTCCATTCATCGTGCCCATGCTAGACCCTTCTCTTTCATTCTCGATTCTCACTTTCTCAAAGCTAACATTGAGCGCACTCATGACACCAACAGATCGACCAACACAATTTCGCTCGCTTTCTTTTCTTACCGAGGCCACAGATGGACCTCCTGCACTGCCTCCCACCACCACAGGTTTGACGTCTGGTGAAATCATACGATACACGTGTGGAACAAGTTCTCCAGCCACATTGTCGATAGAGCTAAACAGACGAAGCAAATCGGCCGAGAAACCACTTTGCATCTCAACCAGGGCAGTGCGGTTCTGCTTCAGTGCCTCGTGCGAAGCAAAGTCAGCTCTTGAACCACTAAATGGATGGGCTAATTCCATATTTTCCTGTTTCTCGACGTCGTTTGATGACGAGGAGGTGCCTTCCATGGAGGCAAACAAATTATGGAATGCGCAAGCACTTGTGCTCAGGTATCCACCAAGCTCCCATTCTTGACCAGAAAATATTCGACCTGACAAGCTGTCGTGAAAGTGCAACCAGTCGTAGCTGGCGTTCGGCTTCGAAAGGAATGTGTCATCTTGAAACACTTGGGAGGTATACGTCTGAAAGCAATCCGTCATAAGTCTGTCATGGTCACCACAAGTATTGGCCATCTCACGTAGAGCATGAATGGCAGATCGTTTTCGAAGGTCAGCAACGCCGAGAGCATGGTTTTCGGACTCCTTGATCTGTCGAGCTTCGTCTGCACTCAGCGCTGTTTGTTGATGTGGCAATCCTGCTCCTTCCAAGAAGATTCTGTCGATAACCTCCCTGATACCACCTCGTCCCAAACCCTTATGGGCCTTGAGAGGAGTTTCGCTAAGCTGGGCCTCGACCCACTTTCTAGTCAGTCTGCTGTCAGCTCCCGAGTCACTTATCCTCAGCTTGCTGGCGAACCACTCTCCTTGCACGAGAACACCCCGAATATCTCCTTCACCAGCTCCCTTGGCAGTATTGGAGTTTTGCTTGCGGCTGCCCATACCCCAACAATCCTCGCACAGTCGCCGGACCGCGTCATTGTCACAGCGAATATTTTCTTTTTCGAACACACTTTTCAGACGAGCAATGACCTTGTCGATGGGTGGTCTGCGCACGTGTACAATTTCCGCCATGGAGGAATTGCGTAGAGGTCGTAGTGAGGGAGCATATACATCGTTGCAGATGAGTATCAACGGTCGCAGCATCTTGAATTTGTCACCCTTCCTCTTGCTTTGAGTGGCTGTTGGTGCTGTAGTGTTCATGGAAGCGTTCTTCTGGTCAAGCTGGACAAGATCGATGAGAGCCTTCATGAAACCACCTTCTCCACCACTACCCCCAGATCCAGTAACCACACCATCGACCTCATCCACCACGACGCAAACAGGGCGACCAGCCTTTCGAGTTTTCCCTTCCTCCTGTATGCCTCGCACAGTCTCTGTCCCTAAGGCATCTTTGATTCGTCCTTTGACCACATCCCTGCTTCGATCGTCGCTGGCATTGATCTCGAGCACTTCGTAACCAGCCTGTTTGGCGCAGACATGAGCTAATGTCGTTTTGCCCAGGCCAGGGGGTCCAGTAAGCAACATAATTTTCCGATGTTGTTGTTCTTGACCATCATTGTTGTCCTCGTACACTTTCTTCGTTTTCTTCTTTGCAGCCCCTGGAAAGACAATATTGTCCCAAGCTTTCAGCCATCGCAGAACAGACCGATGTGTACGCTCGTCGCCGACAAGTTCTGTGAATTTCTTTGCACGGTACTTCTCGGTCCACATCTGATGCTTGCTGACCCTCCTGCCTGTCTCGCTGTGGCTTGACTGTGGTCTTGCAAGCTCAATACTTGGCTGTATATCGATGTCTGCCTCTCTTTGAGCTCTTAATTCCTTCTCTGCTTGATTCAGTTCTCGTTGTATCTTTGCCTCGTTTACGAGCTCATGAATGTCAACACCGTAGTATGCTCTCTTGGCTCTGCCCTCGTTCGTGACAGATCGACCCGCAATCACCTGCTCATACGTCTGAGTGGCTTGCTTCTTTCGTGGTATCACACGAATCGATCCGCCTGAAGTCGTCTGAAGGTTAATGGTTTTACGTGTGAGTCCTCGACCGAGATTTAACGGTAGAGATGCTGAGGACGGCGCATCAAGATGCGAGGATGTTGTGTCTGATAGCAAGAGTAGCTTCGCGGCTATTTCCTGGGGTTGGGGAGGAAGAGAGTTGAGCTGCTCGTCCGAAACAGGACGGCTGTTCGTCGTAGGGGTAACGGTTGAATCGAGGCATTTTTCGACCGCGTTATCGGTCCAGGAGGTTCGAGTGTTTTCTGAGGGCTTGTAATTCGGTTCAGAAAGCCTGGGTTTCTTCAGCAACGGCTGTTGGAAGTCAAACTTCTGAAATAGCTTCCGCTTTGGCTTTGGCGGGTGCACTGATAATGCTGCTGGTGAGCTTGCTGGGTACACAACGGGCGAGGACGAGAGAGACATGGCAGGCACCTCGATCATGTTAAGACTGAACGAGCTCGATAGTACTGGTCAGAAAGATAACCGACTACTACTTAACGCGTTCGACCATTCTTCGATGTAGTTTACGCGACCGTGTTTTTTTCGCGCGTCATAGCGTGCTGGAAAGTTAACCATCATGCCCCGGTAGATCGATAGCAAATTGAGCAAACATTGCTGCAGGTCCAGGGGAGTCGCAGCCAAACTCAGTGAAGCTTGTACCAGAGACCTCCGTCATCCGCTCATCGCGTTCCTGCTCATGCTTGTGCAAGCACACCGTCGCATACCTGCGATGGCGCATTCCTCAGCAATCCAAACACGATCAATACAAGACCTGCTTTTTGCGACATAGTCCTCTCTCTCTCCTCAATGAGCAAGCCAACCACACCATGTCGTCCAGCAGCAACATCTCCGAATTATCGGCAGATACGTTCGCCGAGTAAGCTTCCTCCGTCTCCAGCATCCTTTGCTCGCGCAACTCGCTCAGAGCTGACCGCTGCAAAAAGACTACTCTCCGGTCCTCTCCTCGAGATTACGGTAGGTGCCGAGCGCAAGAGTTGGCACATCCACCATAACCTTTTGCGCCATCACTCGAAATACTTCGATGACGATAACTTGATAAATGGTGAGGAGAAGCGTATCAGAGACGGAAAGGTCGACCTGCCCGAGGAAGATCCAAGCGCTTTTCGCGTCTTTGTGAAGTGGCTATATCAAGGTCGCATCGATGACGTTTCGACCTTAAAGGCAGATCAGAAATGGAACTACGCTTTTGCCTGCCAGAATCTGTACATACTCTGCGAGAAAATAGGCATGCACGAGCTGAAGAATCAGGCAATTGATCAGTTTCGGAAAGGATGTTACGAGACACGACTCGTGCCTGGTGGGGACGAGATACGACCTATCTATAATCGCACTGCTGTCAACTCTCCCTTTCGAAAGCTTGTCAGCAGGATCGCTGCAAGGCAGATCATGGACCCTGATTCCAGAAGAGATGCTTCGATGTATCTCGAGTGCTTCAAGGCTGCTCCCAATTTTGCTGTCGATGTGCTCAATGCGATCAGAGAAGGCACGGAGGGTGTCTTGCTGGACGATCCGACAGAGGGCAACAGTTGCCGCTACCACGAACATGTCAATGGCGAAACATGCTGTAAGACAGTACATTTCAAGGATGGGGTTTGAGCCACTTGACGTCGGACTCGCGTTTATATTAATTCCCTGGTATTCATGTCAGGCAGACTGAGCAGGACGGCGCGTCGTGGCGACGAACGATTGTTTAAGACCAAGACAGGCATATAACAGAGGAAAGAGCGTCGCCACCTCGAAGTCCAGTGTGCAAGCATTGAACACCTTATGGTCCGATCATCTATATCATCAGGAAACTGGCCAGCCCCAGAGTCCCGCCTGTGGCAAGCTTCACTACCCTTGTTCATGTAACAGAGAATTTCGGAATATTGCTTCTCCCTCCTTAGGAGCGTGGACAGTCAACGCAATCAGTGTAGTGCGTGAACAGCTCCTGCATCTGTTCCGCATGCCTACATTCACGACTTCAAAAAGAGCTAAAGTTCTCAGCACATATACTTAAAGCACTTCAGAGGTCTTCTGAGTCAGCCCAATCGGTCTTTCAAATTTAGTTTCTATCTATATCCTCCAGGGTATCACTATAAACAGATAGAAATTTAGTCAACTCGAACATTAAGAGTGTAAGACTATCACATGGCCAGGCAAAATTGCCGCCTCCCCATCTAGATCTTGGGTATCTTTGAACAAAAAATGAAAACAATTCCAAACTTTTCCAACTCTTGGGTTCGATAATCAAAAAAGAAAGGCAAGCCTGCTTGCCACTAAAAAGCGAGACCAACGTTCACTCGTCTATAGCCACCCTGAGCACACATCTCAAACATCATCTTCTCGACGTCCTTGGTTTTTGCGCTCAGTGGTGTCCGTGGACTAGGGCTTGGGCTGGGCGTGCTGCCTCTGAACACGAAGCCTGTGGTCGTTACTGCGATGGTCTTGCCTTCAGGTTTAACCTCCTCTTCTAGGTGGATTGGGATTGTGTCAGGACCGGTGACGACTTGGTGGTATGAGTGTGAAGTGATTGTGCTCTTCATTGTACCTGTGCGGCTTTTCATGTCGACGGTGGTCACGGACTCGGCGTCGTAGGCTCGCCTGGCAGGTTGCTGTGCTGGCTGTCGATCTTCGTGGATCAGCTCGGGTGTCTCGGGCTGCTCGAAGAGCACGTCAGTTGCGACTGTTGAGGCGACTGTTGACGTTGTCTGTGTTCGCGTGTGGGATTTGGCGGAGGAAGATGGAGATCTAGCATGACCACGATCGACGGCATTCGCATTAGTATTGATTGCTTTTTGACGTGGAAATGGTGTGTATAGGTTGAGTGGTGTTGGCGTCTTAATTGGCTTGGCTGCTGCTGACGTGACTTGATCGACCGGAGATGGAGTCTGCGCCTTGTTGTGGTTGAGTTGATAGAATTGAGAACGTTTGCGTCTGTGTTCAGCGAAAGACGATGATGTGGTTGTAGTCTTGACCGTGCTGACCGATGAGTTCCGCGAACGAGTGGTGGCCTCATCTTTGTTGTTGGTGTCATTGTTCAACCACTGGTTGATACGAGTATTAGTCTTGAAGTCTGTGTGAAAGTAGGATCTTGGCTCCTCGGCAGGGGGCGCCTGCTGAAGATCTGCTGGTTGAGGCGAGGTAGCTTGTGCTTGTTCCAGTGTGTTGGTCCGAGTTCTTAGAGCGGTGGAAGATGCAAGCACAATTGATGCTGATTGAGAAATTTTCATCTTGTGTTTGGCGATGATCGTGGTCCTTCTATTTGGGCCAGGATCGACAATCGGAGCAGGAGCTGCTAAATCACTTTCTTGACCTATGGCAGGTGGCAGGAGAGAACGATGTGCCATTTCTGTAGGTATTCTGTGGACGTCAACTTCTGGGAAAGCCAAAACCTTGCCGTTGATCATGACGGCGCCGCTTGGTGGAGGTGTAAACTCTTCCTTCATTGGACTGAGAATTTTCTTGCCCTGATCTGGTGCCATTGCGAATTGCATGGTTGAAGGCAGTCCAGGTAGTGTAGAGTACCATGATATAGGATGACTGTGCAGCGCATCATAGGACGATGGAGGCCTTGAGTTAGAGACGATAGTCGATTCAGTATCGTTCCGAACATGCGACATCCTCCTAGATAGTGTCTGTTCAAACATCGATGCTGGCTTAGCATACGTGGACCGCGGCACTGCTGGTGTATGGCGGGTGAGCATCTCCTCTGACTGAGTTCGAACCAAAGCTCTAGGAGGGAACCTGATCTCGCCAGCTTCGGTGAAGCTCACTTGGTCGAACTCTGGTAGGTCTGACAGGCGTTGTTCGTTATAGATGCTGAGCTGTAAGGGTCGGAAGGATGGGTTGCGCCTCAATTGACAGTCGTCAGCAGCCAGTGCTGGTTGAGGTTTCGCAACGTTCGGTCTTGTGATTGCTTGCTTTCTTGTAACGAAACTAGTTCGGGTCGAGGCTCGTGACAATGACTTCCTGCTCTGATGGACGAACTTCGACACTGTAGCTTGTGCCGTGACTGGTGTAGGAGGCAATACATCGTAAACTGTGAGCTTCATAGGCTCTACCAAATGAGGCTGATGATGTATCACTCGCATAGGACGTTCGACACCTATCTTTGTCAGTCTGGATCCGTACCTCGTCAGAATGACTCGTACCAATGCGCCTCGAGGCACGCTTTTGAGCATAGCTTTCTTTTTTCTCTCGCACAGTCTCCTTCGCGCTCAGACAGTTCAGGATGCCAAAGCATGAGGCCTGGCCTCGTGGCGAGTCTGGCTGTGATTGGGACATGTTGTTGTCTGATCTCTTCACCACAGCCGCAATACTTCCCAAGCCGAAAGAACGTATACAACGACTTTTTCAGCTCCAACTATATTATGATATCTTTGCTCAACTGACCTCCCAACGACCAGCATCAGGGATCTTGTTCACCTCTTCCTTGCCCAACCGGGATATTAATAAAATGGCTCTGCCCTTGGTATCGGAGAATTAAAACGTGGAAAGAAAGAGAGACTAATGCAGGTACATGAGATACCACTGCCAGCGAAGCAGGCACAAGTATCATGTAGTGCAAATGCAGATGGAAAGGAGCGACTAGGGTAACATCATGAAGCTGCAAGCCGCATGGGCAGGGCAGACGAAACAGAAACCCCGAACACCAGAGTTGCAAGTAACATACCTGTAAACGAAACCGTCAGGATGAAATCTGTCAGCAAAATCACGAATCTCTGACATGCTCGATCAGCGCTTCCACCGGGTTGATTGGCCTTCATCATGCCAGCAGTTCAGATGGTGGCTTGCGATCGAGAAGTGTAAGCAGAGCAAGTAGGTATCGCGTGGAAGGAGTCGAGGTTAACAAAGTCGTGTACTCATGGTGGTTGGTTGGACAAGAAGTGATTCCAATCCCAGGCGCGAAGTCTAGGCGCTATGCCTTGACCAATAGAAAACGACCATCGATGGTGGGTACGCGGGAGGGAGTCCCGAACCTGAAAGCCATTGTGCTGCGATGGGTTAGAGGAAATCTGAAACATAACGTGCTGGCAAGTTCGCGAAGAAAGGAATTCTTAATTCACGTACTGAAGCTTCAGAGCTCCCAGTAGCTCCAGCTTGGAAAGAGTTGCTCAGAGCATAGTTTTGAAATTTCGCTTCGAACTAACGTGAGGCTCCGTCATTACTGCAGCTCACCGCTGAACCACTGATCATACAATTCCGCCTTGCTCTCCATAAGTCCATATTAAGTAGAATGCTATAGTTTACAAAGCAGAGTCCCAGGACACCACACACGCTTCTGCTCCATCCTCCACGTATATGATCGAATAGCTGAAACTTGAACGACCTTCCAATAACTTTTACGCCTTGCTCTGAGTTTCAAGCCCAAATTGCTTAATATCGTTGTACATACCGTATTCCACCATCATCCTGTGGTGGTGGGGCATAGATAATCTCTCTGCCTTCAGCGTCGATATATCTCGGTAGTGGCTGCATCTGAGACACTGGCTGGTACGAGGGTTGCTCAATTACCCGATAACGAGACGGTTGCGACTGCTCCATAGGTAAATACTCACGACGCACAGACGCTCGTTCATCAACGAAAACGCTACCTTCACGTTGTTGTGGTGGAGCAGGTCGCACAGAAGTTGCTCGCGGCATTAGCTGCCTAGGTGGCACTTCTTCGTATTGTACAGGAGCGTATGAGGCTTGGGCTTGAGGTTGAACACTAGCCATTCGTGGCGGTGGTCGGATTTCTTCAGGAGCATCCGCATATACGACCTGGCGAGTTGCAGGGCGTTCGAAGACTGCAGCGCTTGGGACTCTGCCACCTGATGTAGGCTCATACGTCTCTCTAGCTGCAGACATGGGTGTGCCAGGCTGAGCAACCACTTGTCGCATGACTCGAGGTGGAGGCATTTCATGTTCAAATCGCGGAGGTGGACCTCGTTCCTCAAACATGACAGAGGCTGCCCGGGTAGGCGTGTAGTCATCGTAGTAACGTGGTATTGGAGCCACGGAGTCCCTCATCGGGTGGGAGGGGGCAGGTTGTGGCGCAGCTGATGCTGATTCCTGCACAATCTCGCGGAAACGACGGCCATATTGATCTACCACAATGCGTTCCCTAGGTGGAGGAGGCATTGGTTCCGGAATATACCGAATCTCAGGTTGTCCATGTGCATAGACCTCGCGATATTCTGGAGCTGGAGTGCGAACAACTCTCACTTCTTGGATTGGTCTCTCGGTATCCGAAGCATAATCACGAGGTGGTTCCCGTAGAGGACTGGCTACCGGCATATAGCTTACTGCTCGCGACCGTGCTGGGTCGTAGTCAGTATACTCGCGTGGCTGCTCCGTAGTACGTAGACTATGCAAGCTAGCAACTCTTCTCAGATCTTGTCCGTCTCGTGGTCGTATTGAGGCTCTTGACACAACCCGTGGCTCGCTCATAGGGACGAGTTCGGTTTGTCGAGGTGCTAGCCGTTGAGGAGTATCAACATAGGTAGGAGCTGGTACGTATGGTATCTCCTGGACTTGAGGAGGCTCATCGATAACAACAGGTCGGTCGTCTGGCTGAGGTTTGTTCGAGCCTAGAGGTTGAATATCGTGGAATGGAGGTGGCGAAATATTCTCTTGCTTGATCCCTCGTCGTGCTCTTTTCTCAGCCTTTCTTTCAAGCTTGCGGCGCTTGTTCTTAGCAGCGAAATTCTCAGGGCTCTGACTTGGGGAATCCGCTCGTTCGCGTTGACGACCGTTTTGGTACTGTCGACCCTGCGAAACAAGTGAATCCTTAGTAAAAGTGAGAGGGGAGACGCGAGATGGTTGAGGGGCAATGGGGGAGGTAATGTGATTTCTTACTATCCTCATGCTGTTTGGATCGGAGGGCGACGCAGCTCTCTTGCCATTATGATCCAAGTCTGAATATCTGCGCATTTGCCTGCTGCGCGGGTCCATGGCTGCTGGCGCATTGGTTCTGATGTTATTGTTGCCGTTCTGAACGACATACTGGTCAGCCTCGGGTGGAGAATACTCCCCCTCCTCCTCTTCGTCATCCGCATCTACCCTGATAACATCTCGCGGCTTGTCGAAGGGGTTTGTTGCGGGCTTGGCGGCGATCGTGGGCTCGGGTTGTGTTCGAGGTGAAGGACGTGCAGGACCTGAAGGTACTGCAGCTGCTGAAGTATCTGCAACTTCAGCTTGTATGCCATCCACGCCATCTTGATCCTGGGAAGAAGTCGACTGCTCACCTCGTTCGGGGGTGGAGTCAGGGGCTCTACTAGAGTAGAATGAGTTCTCGTCAACTGAATCGTTGTCATCCTCCTTCCCAGATTGGTCCTTTGCAAGTGAGATGGGCTTGACGGCGTCCAACGCTTTGGCAAGAAGAGCAGAAATATCAAAATCAGGTTTGGCTTCAGCTGGGGCAGGTCTTTTACGAGAATCTAACCTCTTCTGCTCAAACTGATCGCGTAGCTGTTTCTCAAGTCTCTGTCTATGCAGTGCTGTCTCGGCTCGAACAAGATCTTCTGACTTTGTCAATAGGACAGGGAGGATGCCCGAAGCCGTGCTGGTCGGCTGCGCAGGCGCAGTCGTGGACTTTGGTCGTTGGTGCTCTTCATTCTGAGTAAGGCCTAAGCCTGGCAATTGAATTGATGGCTGCTGTAATGAAACGGAAAGTTGCGCTGAAGAAAGAGAAGACGAAACAGGTGAGACTTTCCTAAGAACATGCGTAGGCACGGTCAGTCGAGGGTGGTTACCTGCAAAGATCTCGTCGCGCAGCTTGAGAATCTTCCCAAACTCTGCTATCGTGTCTGTGGCATCTTGGGCATGAGGTAGAACACCATTGGCAACAGCAGTTGCCGTGACTGACATGCTTATACCTCTGTGATAAAGCCAAGCGCGACAAGTGCAAGAAAGGGGTGTTCGCGAGCTACCAGCACATCGCCAGATATATCTTTTTATGATAGTCAAATCAAAAGAACAGAACAACTATGTCGCCAGTGCGTCTGTTTGCCGAGGGTACGGAGTGATCCAGTAGTGATACTCACAGCGTGAACGAGAGGAAGAGATGAGCACTTGATCGAGTCCTGCGCTTTGAGCTCGCGCACCTGCCAAATCTGACCTGAAGCGGAGTCGACACCAGGAAATCTGTTCGCCGATCCTCCTTCGGTATACCTTCTCTTAAAAGTGCCTTTCTGGTAGTAATAGTAATGACGACCAACCTCGTTGCGATGGTATGATTCATGTGGCCATTCTTTACACTTTAAATAGCGTCGTCATGCTCTTGTCCTTGGCTATCAAACGCTGATCACGAATTAGAATTGCATTGCTGTTTCAAGAAACAATCGCTTCACCAACAACGGTGAGCAAACCTTTCTTTTGTCACCACGCAAAAAGCCCTTGCATTACCACAGGCAGAAGCTTGTCTCTCTTTCCATTGCGATAAACCTAGACTATAGAAACACTCCTTATTCACCTAATTCTGGAAACCCATACGCCATCATCATGGGTTCGATACCGGCAACGCGCGATGAACGTGCTGTCTTCTTCTTTGACATTGACAACTGCCTCTACGCCAAATCCAAGAAAGTCCACGACCACATGGCCAGGTTAATCAACAAGTACTTCGTCAGTCACTTAGACTGCCCAGCAGAGGAAGCGACACGACTTCATCTGCAGTACTACAAGGACTACGGTCTAGCCATAGAGGGTCTGGCGCGCCACCATGAAATTGACCCTCTAGATTTCAATCACGAGGTTGACGATGCGCTTCCGCTCGACGATCTCTTGACACCAGATCCAGATCTACGGAAACTCCTTCAATGCTTCGACAAAACCAAAGTCAAAATGTGGCTCTTCACGAATGCGCATATCACCCATGGCAAACGTGTGGTGAAATTACTAGGAGTTGACGATCTCTTCGAAGGAATTACATACTGTAATTACGCCGAGAGACCACTCGTTCCCAAGCCAGCACCAGCAATGTTCGACAAGGCAGAAAGAGAATCAGGTTGTACTTCCTCGACCAAGAAATACTTTGTGGATGATTCGTGGTTGAATTGCAAAGCTGCTTACGAACGAGGCTGGAACACTGTTCACCTGGTTGAAGAAGGCTGGCCCGGTGATCCGCCCACTCTACCATGCGAGCATCAAATTCAGCACTTGAACGAACTACTCAGGCTCTTTCCAGAAACATTACGAGATGATGTATCTGCGAGCGAATTTCCAAAAAGTGATCTACCGAAATGAAGAATTTAGTCATCTTTACAGCACGCTGCGGAAGGTGCGACAAACGGTTCCAACAACCATAAGTGCGATCTGGTATCTTGCCGTTGTGACCTTCCAATTCTAATAATTCATTCCCTCCATGTTTCTATTCTTGTGCCGCTTATCATAGCCTACATTATTGGCTTTTTTAACTTTTTTAATTCGCTTGTTGCGCTAAATTCGCATAGCCAAGATGTTGCCTGCATGTTATTGCATCCGACCTGCAGACTGTAATCTCCGTATAGTCAACGTACAGATGCATGGGAAGCGACCTTCGGGCTATGATGTTTTTCTCGCAAATGCACTTTGCAGCTGTACGAGTGGATGCGAATGCAAGTGTTGTCGAACTTGAGGTATGTAACCTCGTCTTCGTGGAATCGAGTTGCCGGTGCTGTGATACATTCAGCGCGTATACAGGCCATCTGATATGGGAAGAAAGTGGTGGAACGTAGTTATACTCAATTTATTCGTAGAGAAGAAATCATGATCTTTCTTAATACAGCGTACTAGTGAAAGTACTATCGTTAAAATGTGCAGTCTATAGTCACAGTTCCCACGCTCGCTAATATCCAGCCAAAGAAACAAATTGGTATCATCAAAGGTGTTTTCGCTCATGTTCTGACAACGCGACGCTTGCCGCTGAAGTCACTGGAACAATACCTCATCCAAGCACCGCTATGCCGTCTCGAATGCCATAGCCTGACCATGGTAGCTGTACCCAATGGCAGTCTAGGAAAATTTTGCTCCCTGCGCTGTCCATTGACGCTGAAGTGTCGATCTTGACAACCAACAAGTAGTGCTTTGTCAGTCCACATGTCGAGCTTCGCCGAAAGAGTTTTTTCGAATCTGGTCCATATATGGCTCAGGTGTTCGGGTAGAAGGACTTCTTCGTCAACTAGTGCACTCAGCTGGAAGACCTCGTCATGAAGGTGCTGTACGAGACGGGAGCCAAAGGCACTGATGTGTGCTTGAAGGGCACTGTGGGAGAACTTTCTGTGGACATGTGGATCGTGTATATATTGGCCCCAAGCATGAAACGATGTCTGAAAGGTACGGTCATCGTGTATTGATATTGAGTTGCCAAATATTTGAGACAAGACAAGAGGGTTTCGTACAAGACGTTGAAGATATTGTTGATCCGATTTCAGATGCTGTGATAGAATATTGTACAACGTCTGATTGAAGAATAGAAAGCCAGCCACTTCGTCAGTGCCAATCGTGTTCGCATGATTGTGACAAGAGTTGATGGCTCTGATATAGGTATTGTAGGCATGAGCCATATCGAGTATCGAGCTGATCGCAGGCTTGCTGGTTTCCACTGTGGTGATCAAAGGATAGTGATCGTCAGCATATCTCGAGCTTGATTGGGACGGCGATCGTGAGCTGTGGGTGCTTCTACGTCCAGATACAGCGGTCGGCAACAAGAACGATAATTCTGATAACCGTGAAGATATCGGGACAGAGAGTGCGTCGAGCGATTCACTCGAAGAGTTGGGAGACGTCGAGCAAGATGAGAATCTTGACTCTTCCACTTCGATAGTCGTGATAGTGACAGCTTCGTGCTTTTCAGGCCGGGCACGGTACAAAGGATGTGAGTAACCTGCTCGAGACATAGAGCAAGTAGATCGTAATGACTCAGAAGATGATGTCTTAGATAGAGTTGTGCTGCTTGGCTTGACACAGGTGCTCATGATAGATGCTAGATATGAAATGAGTTGTAGGTGTTTTCTGCTATGTCTGCAAATTACGTGACTGGTAGAGTTTAGGCTAATGGTTAAATACTGTCTTGAATAACAAGAGATATATGTGCAAGACCCCGTCAATAGGAGTTCAGCAGACATATCATAGAGGCAACAACATGAGGCAAGTCCAGAACATCTGATCTGCATCTGCTACGCACCGTGATCGTCGGAACATACTCGTGGCATGACCTGAACTGATGAGGCTTGGGTGAACACGAGGTCAAGTTACTCATGGACCACTGTAGTAAGCCTGTTAGTAGAGGAGTGGATTGTGAGGTTGCTAGTGACCGGAAATGGGATACGCACGGACCTCGAGTAAGGGATCGTCCATCGCATTGTCAGCCAGCTTGGCTCGAGGTACACAACCTCCTTAGCCACGTGCAAAACGCTTCCAGGCCAGAACCTCAGTCTATTGAACACACGTCAAAAGGGTTGCAGCTGCAAGCCCAAGAACGTCGACTGCTCATCGTACGGTTCGTAGTTTTGTATTTGACCCTAAATGATGCCGGAAGATCAATCAAGTTTCATGTCTAGAACTGCGCTCAACCCTTCTCGAATACGACCCACCGAGTATTCATTGTATACGGAACTGGCCACGATAGATCGTTCTAGTGGCACCCACTCGAAGTTCGTGGGAGCGTGCTCTAGACCCATGCGGTGCGCAAGCCACCAAGATCCGTTTCCGGTGTAGTTGACACTCATTGATTGTTTGTGAGGATCGCATACGGAATACTTCTCGACGACAGTAACCAGATGTGAGTTGTATAGGAGAGGCAGAGTTGTGGCTGGCTGCATTGATAACGAGACGGCATGTCCATAACAAGTAGGCGTCGAATTTGAACTAGCTGGTTGTTACCGTCGTGACTTCCGGAGTCGATCCGTTCTTGGCAACAGTAACTTGAAGAGGTAGATTGAAGCTAATCGGGAGCGTTCCTATTGGTTGTGGTTATACAAAAGTCCGCTCCTATTGTTTCGGGTTCATCGCGGCTTTTTCGTGCCGTCTTTATTCCTCCATATGTTGTCAGGCACCAAAGCCACTGAACCCCATGTTTGGTATCTGTTGACGAACAAGCTTTGAGGCTCGAGCAGAATTGCAAGCCCCAGGCCTTCTGACTCGTTCGAAATAAGATTGCAAATCTAGTCCCGGGATGTGCTTTCGGCTTCCTTTTCGATACAAAGGTACGTGCCACCATGACTTGATCTGGTACTAGGTAGTGGTCCGAGCTTATCATCGCAATCAGGCTATTGTATCCGAGGCTGCCACCATCTGCTCATACTGCAACATTCATCCTCGCGCACGAGCCACGTACTTGGCATCGTGCTATGTCAGCAAGCTCGTCCAGGTAATGTTGAACGATTGCACATCCACTACTAGCCTTTCAATTCATTCATGCGTGTCTGCCAGGTCTCAACGCCCCTCAGTTGCGCTAGAATTTCCTCCTTCTCATCTTCTAGCTCAATCCGTCGATCAGCGTCTAGAGGTCCGAAGCCAAACCCACCCTTTCCGTCAAACTGTAGGATGAAGTTGTGATATCGCCAAAGACTTCTGCGATGACTTACAGTCATCAAAGTTGTGCCCAGGCTCTTGGCTGTTTCATACATCTTCCTCTCCATGTCCATAGTCACGGAACTTGTACATTCGTCGAGTATGGCGTACTTTGGCTTGTGGTAAAATAGACGAGCCATAGCAACTCTTTGTTGAAGGCCACCAGAGAAAACATCACGCCATTCTTCGATGGCATCCCAACCGCCAGGCCGATCCACCACTGATTCAACCTCCAGAACACGCAGAATATCGAGCAGGTCATCCTCGGAAACTTTCTTGGCTCTGAACTCGTATAAGCTGTCGGGATAGATGATCTGGTCTCGGAGAGTACCTCTCGATAAATATGGTCGTTGAGGGATGTAGAAGATGCTTTCAAAATTAGGCTTCTTGACCTTTCCGCCGTAGACTGGCCAAAGGCCACCAAGAATGCGGAAGAGTGAAGACTTGCCGCAGCCATTGGGCCCTACGATCAGCATGTGATCACCTGGCTGAATGCGGAAGCTGAGGGCTTTTACGAGTACATCGCCGTTGGGACTGATGATTGGTACTTGGTCAAACTCGATGTTCTCGCTCTCTTCGACCTCACCACGCCCACTGAGTACCTGAGCATTTCCTTCGATACTTGCTGAGCTAACCAGTCGCTTTTGGAAATTTCCTTGTGAAACTTCATCCATTACGTCGAGCAAGCTAGACACTCTTGAGGTGTAGCCAGCCAGCTCGACGATCTCTTTGTAGCTGAACATGACTCGTCCAAAAGCATCAGAACTGCTTAAGAGCAGTCGGCGATTTGTGATAAACGACTCAGTATGGTTGGCGAGCTTTCCGATTGATTGGCCAGGAATCTTGAAGAAGACCGGCACGCTACATAGAAGCAAGCCGAGAGCACCCCAGAAGTACTTGATGACAAAGTCTTCCATGAAGCCGTGATAAAATCTTCTTCTCAGGATGCGATTAACATGCTTGATCAGCGTAAAGTAACCCTTGTCCAAGCCGTCTTTTTCTGCTTCGTGTCCACCATACAAAGCAATCTCCTCACTGTAATCTATCAGTCGAGTATGCTGAAAACGGAACTCTCCTTCTAGTCTTGCCTCTTCAGCTACATACTTGCCAAAGGGAGGTGTGAGAGCGCGCATTATGTTTGCTGATACCTGTACCAGTAGGGCCATTGCAAACAAGCCTTCTCCACCAACCGACCTGGACAAGCTGTAGTTATAGATAACCATGTCTAGTACTGGCTTGGCAAGATTCGAGTAGAGCTCGGCAAGGGAGTTGGAAAATCGAGACACGTCGACGGTAATCAGCTGATCAGCGTTTTTGATTCGATCGTCAAGAGCTGTAAGAGTGTAGAAGGTCATATTATCGAGGTATTTCTGGTGGATGTGGTTCGTGAGCCTTGTTCGATAGGCCAAGGCCAGCTTGCATTGATGATATTGCAGCATGGAGTTAGTAAAGGTTGCAGGAACAGCTACCAACATCCACCACACCAATCCTAGTATGAAGTCCCTCCCTCTGCCCTTGACGAGTGAGGAAACGACCTTTCCGTCGAGCTCGGCAACATACAAGGACAGTAAAGTCCTCACAACCAGAAAAATACTGTGTGATACCAGCAAGCGCAACTCCTTGCTCCTCAAACCTGGAATGCATATCTTAAGCAGCCTGAGTAGGTTCCGGAAGAACTCTCTATTGAGTTCAACGCGCTTCTTCTTGTGCTCTGTTTCTTTGAGGTCCTCACCAGAAGCAGTTTGGCGTGCTCGTAACTCAGCTTGCCCCCTCGCAGCGGCTTTCTGCTCGGATACGGCATTGTAGACGCGATGTGTTAGCGCAACGACAAGTGTGACATAGACGGTTCTGGAGATCTTGGTACGATGCTTGAGGTATCGTTCGGTAAGCTCGGCTATCAGCTGCTTGAGATTGCGACCAGGTGGCAGCAATTTCGACTGCACCGCCATCTGCTTGTAGAACTGATTGTCGCAAACATTTGGATGTGGAAGTTTTCAGATCGACCACGATTCACTCAGGTATCATGACCAACTTGAAGGCAATGGGAGCACATGCGAACTGAACTTCGTCGGCAGGAGCGCAGGCCGCGCTTGTGGTTCGATCTCTAATTGCTGAGTGAACAACTGAATCAATGTGTTTTGGCGGCAACATATTATGGCTCTTCAATCTGGCATGTGAAAGTGTAAGAGTGGCTCGGCAATGTTACTCCAATAGACGCTCAAACGTGATCAGTAATCCGGGCACCAACACGTTGTAAATGGATGCTGGTGAAGAGTGACTTGGTATCAAGCACTTAGAGCTGGTCTCGCTAATGTTTGTAAGATCACGGTGTTCATCACAATGTGTAGATCTAGACGCACGGTTGAGTATACGCTCGACATTCTATTGGCGAGTCCGTGGACTAACATATTGTTGTGATGGTATACCAAATGGAAACAGATCCTTTCTCGTCTGAAGGCATCATAGAATTACAACCTCTGCACCTAGGATCTGCCGATGCATGGTGCGCCGTCGAGTTCGACGCAAGTCCGGAAAATGAATTCTTGCATCTGGCGGAAGTGCCACAAGCTTCCGTACACAAGCTGCAACCTAGCATCTTGAAGTTAGAACTTGCACATGACTCCTTGGAACGAATCGATGTTGACGACTCAACATCAACAGAGCCCGAACACACTCCTTCGCATACAGTAGCTTCTCAATTCTACGAAGACGACGTTAACATTTGGACAGCTGTTTTCACATCTCCAGCCAAATCAAGACACGAGCTTCTGAGCTGGGACCACTTTAATGGCCATAACAACCAGTTACAAAAGCCAATATATTTGACAGAAACGGCGCCAAAAGTATACGACGCGTTCATCAGCAGAGTATGGCGATCCAAACACGATACTCGTCTGAAGTATGCCGATGTTGACCACATGCGCCATGCGCTCGTTAATCTCATGCTTGGCCGAAACTCCCGCTTCTTTATGTGGGACAACACATCATCTACCTTCCGGCTGAGCATTGATGATATTAGTCTGCCGGGACTGACCCCAGAGTTCACACGCACGGTCTGCGGTCGGTTTATTTCTCTAGGGTCTGACATCCGGCGTCTGAAGGACTTCTGTGATTTATTAAGCACTACTTCAACTGTCTGCGCCTTGCAGAGCTCAATCGTTCAGGTTGTCTATGGCATCGAGCAGCATTTTGCAGCACAAGTCGCCGGCACCACTACCATTCTCCAGCTGCACGACAATGCCGAGCTTTATATGGGAATAGTTGGCTTATTGTCAAGACTCACTAGCCTTGTTGGCCGTGCGGTTGACGAGAAGACACTCTTGACAGCAGTCCTCGCGGCTCTTGACGAAGCCTGGTTTTCAGCTAGCGACTTTCAATACACAATCAATCTTTTGGCAGCCGCTATTGTTGAACCTGTTCTACGCAAGATCAGTGAACAGCTCCGCACGCCTTCAGAGCAAACATTTAACACGGCTAGTGTGCTCTTGTCAGATCTACTTCCGCAGGAGATGGATGTTGTCAGCGAAACCACCGAATGCCTTGTCATTGTGTACAAGCATGACCCGCAGTCACAACGCCATGCTGCCAAACCTCTCGAATCCATGACATTGGTGTATAAATGGGGAGACATTGTCGAAATGCAGCGGCTTGCTGATGAGCTTGAGGATAATCTGAAGGCCTTTCCACGTGGATCATACAGCAATGCCATACCACATAGTTTACACGAGGTCTGTTCGATTTCAGGATATCCCTTCCAGGTCGACTTCGACCTGCTGCCGAATAACTTGATGTTTGAGGCTGGCAATAGCGACAAGGAAGAGGCAGCAACTCCGACTATACGGAACTTGGTCTCCGAAGCACTAATGTTGGAGCGTGCAGAGAACGAACCGGACCTCTCACCTCTGCAATCTTTGAAACTGTCCCTGACACCCTCGCTTCAAGCTCAACACCGTGTTGCTACTTACACGCTTCTAAAAACGATGTTCATCGATCACAACCTTACAATGCATCTAGAGGCACTTTATGCATTCCCGCTTCTGGGCAGTGGCTCGTTCGCTACACGATTGAGTAGAGCTTTATTCGACGCTGGCCAGAATAGTGCGACAGGGCTGAATGCTGGACTCGGACTCGATAATAGGGAGACCTGGCCACCCGCAACTTCCGAAATACGACTTGCACTTACTGGTCTTTTCTTAGATTCCGAAAGTCCGGCGCTGAATCGTGAGGTACTCGATTGTCTCTCTTTCGCTATTCGAGATCTATCGGAGGAAGAACTGGAGTGCTGTAGGGACGTTCACTCAATCTACGTACTCGACTTCCTGAAGTTGAATTACAGTCAATCAAACCACATCATCGAGCTCGTCATCACTCCGACAATCCTCGATAGATACGATCGTGTATTCAGATTCCTGCTTATACTGCTTCGACTGCATGCACTGGCTCAGAAAACGCGGTTGAGGCTCGTGCGTAAACGACAACCGCGATACCCATCTACACAGAGCAACAAACTCTGCACGGAGGTCCATCATTTTGTCTCGACCCTTGTTGACTTCGTCCTTAATACAGTGATAAAGCTTCCGGCCATGGTGTTCTTAAACCACACGAAGACGATACATCATCTTCTACTTACAGACAAATACGAGGAGAGTATGAACATCGTAAAAAGCATCAGTCAACTACGCAACTACCACGAGGAGATACTAGACGAAGTTCTTGAAGGACTTCTTCTGGGGGAGAAGCAGACCAAAGCCTATCAGTTGACGTGCTCAATCCTGTCACTTTGTTTGGAGATTCTGTCTGACCTCACTAGCTCAGAAGCCTCCAGTATGAGTCGTTTATCGAAGGAGTTCAGGTCGCAGATGCAAATATGGTTACATGAAATCCGGTTCTTAGCTAAATCTTTAAAGCCAGCGCTACAGAGACTTGAGCACCTCTGCCTTGCCCTCGATCTATCTGGATATTACAAGTCCTGATTAATAACCGACATAGTCCACACTTTCCCTCGAGACACCTGTTAGCTTACTCCAGCATTTTGACTTCGTTCTCAAAGACTTATTTCCCCAGCCAGCCTCCCATCAGGTATGCTACCCACATCACGAACAGGAGGACCAGGCTGCGCTCTATATTCAAATAGTCCATTACAGCGTACTTGAACTGCTTCTGCAGGCTCAGCTTGCCCTCTTTTACTTCCATCTGTCGCCGTTTCCTCATGACTTGATCTTCTGCTCTAGCCTTTTGCTCTAGCTGCCACTCGATACGTTCTTGACGCACGAATAAGGCATCTGGTTTCTTGTTCTGCTTTGCTCGTCGGTCAGCTGCTCGACGTTCTTTGTGGTTGGGTTTGCAGGATGTGTCTGTCATTGCGGGTTTGCCTTGATGGTTACAATATGTCAAGCAGAGGAAATCAGAGGGATGACCGGCTGAATTGAGAACGTATGCAGCTTAGGTATGGGCTCCGTGAAATCTTTCGTCCTCAGCTTTAACTCAGCTGGATTATTACGGTGTGCTAAACTGAGTAGAAGATGCTTTTAGCAGTATAGATACCGATCACATTCTATGCACATTTGCTGCATCTTGTATGTTTCCAAAACCATTGTCACGTGATTGATGGAATTGGCCAGGTGTTCATCGATAGAGATGACGAAAGGTGTCCGCTCACGATCTGACACACACCACGAACGTGGACAGCATGGCTCTTCCAGCATGTTCCATACCGCTGTTGTAAACGGTCGAGCTTTGTGAAGAGGACCCGTAGTTGGACTTTCATATGTAAAGCAGTTGGATGAGCAATATTCACTCGTTGCTCTTTCCCGACGAGACAGCCCTGTCCCATTAGTAGGTACTGACATTGTCCGCTCCTCGGAGAGTTCTCAGGCATAAGGACCGTTCAGGTTTCTCAACCACAGCAATTCTTTATTCGTATTTACCCACGTTTTCAAAGACTCTGAGATATCATGCGTGCTCTTCTTTAGATCCCAAAACTCTTCAGGCAGACCCAATGGAGCTTGAGAGTCAATCTCGGCCAGTGCAGCTCTAAATACAACATCGAGTCTCCTTGCAAGTGGCCAGCGCCTTGCACACATATTGATTGCATGCATAAGTATATCGAAAACTGCTTCGCGGGCGAAACCTGTGCCGCGCTCCAGTGCTAGTCGAAAGCGGATGGCTTGTGCAACGAAATGGGCAAAAGCTGGGCTGTTGATCTCCGTATCTGCATCTGACATGTTACGGACTACGTCGATGATCTGGTGGTAGGACTCCATACATCGATCACGTGCGAGCTGAATGTTCTGGTTCTCATTGTCGAGGACATAACGCTGATAGATCATGATGACGGCAGCATGCGCGAGGAGCCTAGTGAAGATGTGATTGATGTCGAAATCGACGGCGCCATCGGCGAGAATGGTGTATCCCGATGTTGGCATGCCACGAATATAGGACATGGAGTTGTGATATATGTCCTCAGTTGCCGTCATTGTCTCTCCTTCCAGTACCTGATGACGACCTCGTGCAAAGGAGAGGAAGAAGTCATGCACGGGTTGCAGACCGATTGCGGCCAAATGAACGTGGGTGACAAAGGAGTCCCTGAAATCTGGTGCTGTAACGTATGCTATACCCGAAAGATGGTCGATAAGGGCGGCTGTTTTGTCCTGCCAGGATACTCCCAGTGAGGAGGCGGCGTCGAAGGCGAGGATGCCCCATGTCTGGGCAACTTGGGAGTTGCCAGATGTGAAGGTTTCTCGTGATGGCGGACCGACTTGGTGTGGCGACTGTGCTTCGATACGCTGCAGAAGCTGGCGAAAGATGCCAATGTGTTCACCTGTGCGTCGGCACATTGACATGATATTGAATGTGCTAGGTATGTTGTCCGAGCCAAAATCGAGAAGCGCGATGATGAACAATGCCTGTATGGAGCTCAACGATGGATTTGCCATTGCCTCTGTCAGGACTTCGGAACGCAGGTGCAGCGACAATCTTCGTCGCCCTTTATAGCCTAATGAAATTGCTTGAGAAGAATACTCGATTTTGAGTGCGATTACTGCACGTAACACGACATCAGGTATATAGTCGACCGTGTCTGGAAGTTCCGCCAGGCTAGCTTGAATCCTCTCATACTCTAGGATAGGTAGCCAATTGTGATCTTCTTTAAACCAGAAGTCTGCAAGTGTATGGAAGTAAGAGCTCGGCAAAGACATCAGGTCGGCAACAGCACCATTTCTCTCTGCAAGATGTCGCGATGTACCATTTATCGGCTTGCGAGGAAACGAATTTGCGGCAGGAGATATCTCTGGCAGGTGGAACTGTTGCTGAGGCTCGATTATCAACGACGGTGTAGCAGAAGTGGTGACAACCGGAGTCGACGTAAGTGAATTCTTCAGTGCATCAAATTGACCTTGGAGAGACTCTAGGAGCACATCAGTAAGACGTCACAGTTGATGTCTGACTTGGTCATGACAGACAAAACGAAATCGTACAAGATCCGATCAACATACCGATTCGAGACTCGAGTTCTGTGACATAGCCAGCACGCAGACCACGCTTCCTGGGTTGGCCAAGATATTGACATTCGACCTTCGCTTTGACACAGAAGCTACATCTTGGTAGATGGCGGTCGCAACGAGTTTTCCGTTGTCGGCATAAAAGGCAGCTAATCTTGTCAGACCAGGTTGACGAGGATTTGACCGTGCTTATAGATAAAAGGCAATCATGTCCGTGTTAGGGCTTTCGACCGGAAGAAACTCACACGGTCTTGCTCAGTCGCTGGTCATCGCTGTGATCGGACACCTCGCTGCTAGCCATCGAGAGTGACCGTAGTCGCTGAGACTATGATACTGACGAGGTTGTGTTGAAATCGGCAGCGCAATTTCGGACCGCACGTAAGAAGTGGTCCGCTAGCACCACTACTGACGCGTATCTTGCGTCAGGAGCGATCTAAAACCCCGCCGACCTCGTTTGAGATAGTTGCTATAAGAGGGCACATAAGTAGACGAAAATTCAATGCGAGAGAGGCGCGATACTACTAGTAAGCACAGTATCTACCATTGCGGAACGCTGAGAACTTTGAGGCCACCATTGACGGCGTCAGCCTCTGCCAGGCCTGAGAGTAAGCAGTTGTCGCTCGAATGATCGCAGTGTACTCTATGTAATCATTGTCTACACAATACTGGCGAAGACCATCAAGCGCGACTGCTGAATCAGTCGAGATACAGGACGACATTCTAGGCAGGCGCGCCAGGGTATGGGTGTTCCCAGAGTTTCGGACAGTGCATGATCGGCAAGATTGCTGGTTTTCGGATCAGTTCGCTTGGTGGCGTGGGAGAACCACTGTAGCGTGATTGCTGCATGCAGTCTTTTTGAGAGAATCTTTCCGCGCATTGAGATGCGAGATCTTCGGCAATGCACTGACCTCAATCTGGTATTGTGTGCTCGTATTCTGTTGCGTCTAGGCTGGCTCGTCTTTCCGTCGCAGTCGGAATACCCCTGATCATCTTCCATCTGCTTGAACGTTCCTTACCATACTCGAGTATCCGAAGGTGGGTTGCAGTTACATCACGTTGTACGGGCGTGCTAAGGTTCCACGTGTCTCAGCCGACAAACCACATGCGGTCACCAAAGGTCTAACCAGAATGGGGAGTTTCTGTTAAAATAAGAAGCTCAAGTACGTTTTTTTGGGGCGTTGTTGAGTACTTGTAATAGGTACCAGTAATGGAAATATGTCCACGATGACTCTCTGGAACGCGAATCAACGAAGTCGAGGCAGCTATTCTCCGTTTACCAACGCAGCCACATTGCTGAATTCCTTGGCACAAAGCTGCTTCATGGATACACCACGTGTAGTAGCCATGTCTCATTGGTCAAGACCTGCAGCATTCCGGATTCCATGCCGCCATGACCAGATACAAGCGAGTCCACCTCGCCAATCTTCCTGGAGAATCAGATACGGGATCTCGCCCCCGCCTTTACCTGCAAGGATTCTGTACCACAACCGATCCTGCTCTGGCCCACTCTCGACTCTTTCTGACAGAACTCAATGCTTCTCAAGGGGCAATAAGCCTTTCCGGTGCTATTGATCATGGAACGACTTCCTCTTCTTCGTTCCTTCGATCTTTTGCATCTTTGAGTTTGGCCTTGCTGATCCCAAGCAACAATGTTGTATCTCGAGCCTAAAGGTCGAGACTGGGGCTCAATTGTGAACTGGGACGACCTTGGAAAGCTATACGCCGGCATCATCATCACATGGACTTTACTGCTCGTTGCTGGCGCAAGCTGGCTGGTACTCAACAGACAGCTACCGTTCATCAGGATTCGAAACCTGCCGCTCATGATCGCCTCCACCGCTTTTCTTCACGTCTACCTCGTTAAGATATTGTTGGCTTATACCACAAACGGGCACTTTCTATGTTCGGCCGAGTTTTGGATCATGTCCATATACTTGCCCTTTGGTATTGCCCTCTACCAAGCATATCTCGTTCAGCTGCGCAGCATTTGGGAACAGCAACAATCTCTGGTTCTGAGAAGTTCTAGTGGAGAAAGCATTCGCAGTGCTAGCTCAACAGGCTTGATTTCCAGATGGCAACGGCTTTCGAGACTGCACAAGTCGTACCTTGTGATCAGCTGCTTTATGGTCGTGCAGGTATGTTGGTACTCCCGACGACCCGGTCCGTGCTAACAAGGTTGTAGCTTGTCGTCACTGGTGTGTTGTACGCGACCACTCCAACCCTACAAGGCGACTGGACGAGTTATGGCAAAATTTCACACGCCAAAGGTCAAAGTCTATGTCGCAAGTCGCTTCAGTGGATTCCATCCGCATTCTGGCAGCTGTTCTGGAGCTGGTTCTATGGCCCCTACACCTTGTGGGAAGTCCGCCACATACGCGACATTCACTTTTGGCGAGCGCAGGTCATTGTCAGTGTTATTTCCGGCTTGCCTGGAAGTCCACTCTGGTTGGCTGCCCTGTACTCACCAGTGTTCAAGCCGGTGAACAGGCGCTGGGTGCCTCCTATGTGGTTGGCTCCTGGCATCATTGTCATGCAGTTTGTCACAGTCTTCTTCCCCATCTACGAGGCTTGGCTGTCACGACGTGATATGAAACGTACACTTTCGATGCTTCAAGCATGGGACAGGAGTTCCGAGGCAGCGTTCAAAGATGCATATTCTTTTGGCAAATCAACACCAAAGACATCCGTCGACGGATCAGATTGTAGTCGACAGTCAATATCACCAAATAGTGAAACGAGAATCAACACTATGGAATCTATGAGAAAGACGTTGTCGATCAACCCTGTACCACTCCTTGGCTTTGCAGCAACCAAGGACTTCACTGCAGAGAACATTCTTTTCCTGGTGCAAGTCAGACGCTGGCGTCAAGCTTGGGCAACCGCTTTTAATGGTCAATCGGAAGTCGCAGAATCCTCACGTGCAGGCCTCTTCGATATGGCTGCCGAAATATATGAGACGCTTATCAGTGAGCGGACAGCTGACTTTCCTATCAACATTGAAAGCAAAATCAAATTACGACTCGACTCTATTTTCGAGACAACAACTCCAAACTCTCCAAGTCTAAGTGCCACGTCCTTTGACGACGCTCTTAACGACGGTGTCCCACGCGTTCAACGCATGGCATTGCGACATCTGGAGAGCAGTGATTCAGAGAAGACATTATGGAACAAGACTGCTACTGTCACCATTCTCGAGCCTCTATCCGATGAGAAGCCGCTTGTAAAGACGACGACACCGATAAGTGACGGCTTCGACGAGCATGTCTTTGATGATGCAGAGAGAAGCATCGAGTATCTCGTTTTGACAAACACATGGCAAAAGTTTGTTAAGGAAGGTAACGCCAGGAGAATTGATGCTGAGCTGTAGATATTGTACAACATGTCAATTTTGTTCACTTGACGGGATTTCTTCCCTTCCTTCGTTCCTTTGCAGTTACCGAGTTCATGCTTACGCTGTGATTTCAACTTTATTCGATATCAGTAGGAGAATATTGCCTGCAGGGAAAGCGAACAGTGCGCGAAGTTGTGGACAATGGGTCTTGGAATTTACCCACCTATTCTCTGACCTCGTTGGAGCAACATTTCTCGATCTTGCGTCGCAACTGCTGCTTTTCGACCTTTGAGCTTCACCTGTTCAGCCCTGTTTCGCGTTTAATGGCGATTGGGACACAATCGTAAATATGACTGCCGTTGTTCTTGCATACGGTCGATGTTGAGGATGCATTCCCGAGGTATAACGAGTTTCGACCAGCTCCGCTACAATTGGAGATCTTTTCAACTTTCTGAATATACTCACGTTTGGACATAAGGGAAAGGAAAACTAATAGACCCATGAATTTCAGAGACATCCCGCCCCAAACGAAAATCAAACTGGTACCCTCGCAGATTTCATATGGCAGATACTATCCAAGATGAAGGTTTTCGCATCGAGACAGACGCTCTTGGTTCGATGCAAGTCGCCAACGACAAACTATGGGGCTGCCAGACTCAAAGATCCTTGCAGAACTTCGATATCAATCGCCCACGAGACCTCATGCCCCCAACACTGATCAAAGCCTTCGGAATATTGAAAGGAGCTGCAGCTGCAGTCAATGTAAAACACCGAGCCCTTGACTCAAGGCTCGGTGAGGTGATACAGCAAGCTGCAGCAGAGGTGGCCTCTCTAGAGCTGATCGACCACTTTCCCCTGGTGATCTGGCAGACCGGATCAGGAACGCAGACGAACATGAATACGAATGAAGTCATATCGAATAGGGCAAATCAGATCTTAGGACATCCTTTAGGGAAGAAATATCCTGTGCATCCCAACGACCATGTGAATAAGTCGGGTTCATCCAATGACGGTACAGCAACAGCAATGCACATCGCAGCTGTCCTTGATATCGTCCATGTCCTGCTTCCCAGCCTCGCAGAGCTAACAGAAACCATGTGGCAGCGTGCCAAGGACTTCGACGACATCATAAAGGTCGGACGAACTCATCTTCAAGATGCTGTACCTCTATCACTTGGTCAGGAATTCTCCGGATTTGCGACACAGCTGGAATATGGTGACAAGAGAGTGCGGCTTTCCCTTGAAGCCCTACGAGAGCTTGCCATGGGAGGAACTGCCACAGGGACTGGCTTGAACACTTACGCCAAATTCGCTGAAGACTTCTGCGCCGAAGTAAGCAAGATGACGGGCCAGCAGTTTATCACTGCCCCAAACAAAATGGAAGCTATATCCGCCAACGACGCCTTGGTCTTTGCGTCTGGCGCGCTGAATACTCTAGCTTGCTCTCTGTTCAAAATAGCTCAGGACATCCGATTCGAGGGTAGTGGGCCACGATCTGGACTAGGAGAATTACTCCTCCCTGAAAACGAACCTGGTAGCTCATTTATGCCAGGCAAAGTCAATCCAACACAGTGCGAATCAATGACAATGATCTGTGCCAAAGTGATCGGTAATCATACCGCCATCACTCTAGGAGGACTAAGCGGACAATTCCAGCTGAATGCGTTCAAGCCTTTGATCATATCAGATTTTTTGCATTCTGTGCGTCTGCTAGGTGATGGAATGCGCAGTTTTCGCAAGAACCTGTTGGTGGACTTACAAGCGGATCGTAAAAGGATCAAGCAGCTTTTAGATCAGAGGTATGTCATTGAATGTCAAGTACTCCTGGACTCTACTAATGACTGCAGTCTTATGCTCGTGACGTGTTTGCAACCACATATTGGGTACGATATGGCTTCGAAGGTAGCACATCATGCTCACAAGAGAGATTTGACATTGAAAGAAGCTGCTCTAGAGCTGAGTGCTTTGAGTGCCGAAGATTTCGATCGATATGTGAGGCCAGAGCTGATGATCAGGCCTTCGAATGAGCCATCATAGACAGCACTGTTATCAGGCATACCACTAATCGACCTACATACTGTCAGTGACCCCATCACCCGTGCACACAAGCACTTGTGTCTTCAAGCTCGTTTCTCAGAATGAAAACAAGCAGCAGGCCACGTACGGAGGAGACCCGACCAACGTCTTATGTTGATGGCTTGACCTGACCAAGCGGATCAACTATCACTCAAGACAATCGGGCATCATCCTCATTCTCCACGAAAAACGCGATCTCAATTCGGGATTTCCTCTTCTCACGGAGAATAGGGCTTTGCAGTAGCTGCAATGATTCACGACTCACGCGGCTCTCTCGACAAAGACTTGGTTCGAAATCTTGTGTTTCTTCACTGGACCTGTACGAGTGAGTATGTATGCCTGCATAAGCCAAGAACAATGTAATTTCAGCACTTCCATATTACTAGTATTGTACCGTTAATCTCTTAGCGGATCTATCGCTACCGTTTTTGGTATTGCCCGTTCTACTCTTCACGCTGGTTGGAGAAATTCAGGTATAAGAGCAACAACTTGCCAGCAATTCTTGGCATAGCATAGGCATTGACGATGGCCGATACTGCTTCTTCGCCCGGTCACGAAGTCGAAAGATCGTGCTCGCGGAGAAAAGGATACTTTTTAAACGGAAACTCTGCAGGCCTTCCCTCAGCAGTAACATCTGTCCATGAGCCGACCGACCGCGCTCCATAAAAGATCATGCCATCGATCTCGGGTTCGCGTCATTCACATTTGCCGTGACCTCGCTCCTGGGTTGAGTTGATTGGCAGGCTAATTGAGCTCGCGGTGCAGCCTCGTATGCGCATCCTGACGGCCGTGATGTGGATGTCACTCGACGGGATCACGAGGAGAAGAAACAGTGTTGGGGATATCAGGGAATGACACGCGGTGGGCTCTTGCGCCTTAGTGATCAACACAAAGGCTTCCACTGTGTTATGTGGTGTGCTGCAGGATTTCGAGGAACCATAACTCCCAGGAAGAAGTGAGGTAGAGGGACGACGGGAAAGTGGAGAAGAGGTTTGTATATGTTTCGCGAACAGCCGGGGTTTTTGAGAGAATGCTGTATCATGTTAGTAAGAGCAACGTCGCCTGGTATTTGCGTCAGATTGGAGGTAGAACAGCAAATGTAAATCGCCAAGGGGTGTCATGAGATCGACACGATAATTTGATATAGGTCAATTTCCTGCAGCGATGCTTCTCCAGACGCACGACACCACTGGGTTGTTTCGCAAGTGCGGAGAAACACAATGATTGGTCGTGGCCATTGTTTCGATACAGCTCTTGCATCTCGAGATCACTCGATGATTCATCTCGAATGGCCGAATTTGGCCTGGAACAGATGCAAGATAGTTTCGAGATGTCGTCTTTCGGGATAGGACGTTAGGGTTTGCCAATTGGAGAGTGTACGTCTTTTGGTTGCGGAGAAGACATGTCTCGACCATCGAGACCTTGACCCCTCTTTCGAGATATGTGCTGCCATATAAACATTGCGAAATGTCTCGCAGAGATGCGCAAGTATTCTGCCACGAAAGCAGACAAGGTAGAGCCCAAGCAGACAACTTTCCTTGAGTAAAGTCAATATGGCACCATCAGCTCCGGTCATCCTGTTTCATTACCCGTTCTCCCCATGGTCACAAAAGGTCACAGCTTACCTCTCCCTTAGGGGCATACCATACACATCATGTCATCAGCCAGTCATTCAACCACGTCCAGACATGGACGCTTTGGGAGTCAAATATCGACGAATTCCGGTCATGTCAATCGGGCGAGATATATACTGTGACACTCTGCTCATGATCGAGAAGCTGAACGAGCTCTACCCAGTAACAGACGAAGCTCCTGGCATAGCAGCCACCAAGGCGCAGGATCGAGCTCTCGAGAGACTGCTGGAGAAGTGGACAGATGTGGTAGTCTTCAAGTACGCGGCTGCGGCCATTCCGACCTCGAACCCAATCATGAGTGACAAGAACTTCAGGGATGACAGGAAGGAGCTTTGGGGCCGTGAGTGGACGGAGGAGCATCAGGACAGCCTGCGTCCAGAAGCACTTGTAGTATTGAGATCGAACATGGAGCTCTTGGAAAACGATCTCTTGACAGAGGGCCAGGACTTCATTTTCCCAGGCTCACAGCCGTCTCTCTCGGACATACACGCAGCATGGATTTTCACCTGGCTAGCGGATATGGACGATGCTCTTCCCAAAGGCATTTTCTCGGCTAAGGACTTCCCCAAGACGTATGCGTGGTTCGATAGATACAAGGCAGCTATTTCGCAGGCAATGAAAGAGATGGACACGAGTGGAAAGGTTAGGCAGATCGAGGGTCAAGACGCTGTAAAGGAGATTTCTGAAGGTCCGTTTGGTGAAGATCAGCCTGCGATTGATGAGCGAGACCCAACAGGTTTGCAAGGAGGAGAGCAAGTCAATGGCTATCCCACAGATACCGGCTTTTCTCGCAAAGATGCTGGTAAGTTAGTCGGCTTGACATCGCGAGAAGTGGTGATTGCTAGCAAAGCAAAGAACGGTGCTGAGATCAGAGTACATCATCCAAGATGGAACTTTGCCGTAGAGAAGGCGTAGACATCCTTTGTTCCTAGCTGCTTCATAAGATGTGAAACAGACAAAGACTGTTCATCTTCTCCGTGTTATCTTTTGCTGGAAATTCGGAAAGAATGTTTGGAACTGCTAACAGCTTGAGGAAGGTACGACGGCCAAGAAGAAGCATTATTGCTGTGCGTGGTCAACCGTATATATGTCCATCTGCTAGTCAGTCGAGCAATTTGCTAGGACACGTTTCGAGATAGGATTTCTGTTCTAGAAGAACGTGATGCTAAACCACAGGGAACCTCTCAAGCAGTGCCTGGATCGACAGTAATGAATTCAATATGGTCGTAAAGACGTACACGGCTCCTGAAAAGCTTACTTAGCATTGCCAATACTGATGTCATGATCCGATATCTTTAATACCTGTGCTCATGGAAACGTGCTCCAGTAACAGGCTGGAGTTCAGTATCAGTAAGGTATCCATACACTGACAGACCTACTTACATCGCTAGAATGGACGACTGGCAAGATGCAGCGCTCACAACGCGACACATGCACAATCGCCGTGGCGGGCAGAGTACCAGCGGCAAGCAGAAGAATGCCATCTTCGACGTACGAAGGACTTTTGGCACATACGAAGTAAAGTGTCCGGCCGCTGAGAAGATCATTGCAAAGGCGGGTGACAGTGGCGGTCCAGCAAAGCTCGAGATATATGGCCTCAATGCGGGTGGAGATGCAGTGCATGCCGAACTGTTTCTTCCTGGAGCATTGCACGCTGTGGTCATTCTTGCTGCGAGCAGGAAGACAATGAATGCGGTTATTCGACGCTTGGAACGTGCATACACAGCGAAAGAGCGTGTGGGCTCTGCGAATGATCATGTTGTTGACGACGAAGAAGAACCAGACAGGGAAGCACATGACGAAGACGAAAACGAAGACGAAGACGAAGACGATTTTCAGAACCGTAGGGTTCAGCAGTTCGAGAAGAACAGTTTCCGCTCGCCGAAGTTCTGGCTCAGATGGCAAGGACAAGTCACAGGTAAACCTCGAAGTCAAGAGGACGACCAGGAGGTGAATCCCAATACTATGAATACGGATAGTGGTTACTTGGTGTTTTCAGGCAATAGCTGCGACAAATTCGAAGGTACCATCAGCTGCGAGACCTTGGAATGGCGAAACGTGAAATTGAAAGGCTGGAAACTCACGTCAAAATCAGAACGGGATTTCGCTATGGAATGGCATCCCACCACTGAGGAGACTTGACGCCGATTCCCGCCTGACTATCTATTCACGTTTTCTCTGCTAGCACAAGCTCTACCGTTCCAGTACGGGTTTGTCCAGTGGTCTACGACAATATTTGAGGAATTCAAATGATCACATTTCGAGACCGGAAGCTCCGGTTGCGCCCCCCAGCTTAGCAATATGTAACTCCGGTCCTCCGCCGCCATGCTAACACAACCGCACGTCTACCTTCACTATGCTCGTTCAATACTCCTCATCCAGAAACATTGACATTTCGCCTCGCTCTTCGACTCTACCAAGGAAAGCTATCAGAGGACCAAACTCTTCCAGCTCTTCCTTCGTAAGTACAGCTGACGCCTCTAGATCTGGTGATTTCTGATGGCCTGCATCTACTCCTGTTGAAGTTGACCAATTCTCAGGACTTGTGCAAGGACTATCGGCAAACTTGACATACTCATCACTCGAAAGAGTGTGTCCAATGCTAGTGACATCAGTGCTAGTACTAGCGGGAGCAGCAGGGAGGTCAATCACCGATAATCCTTCTGCCGAATCTTGACTCTGGGCAGCAATTGTGGTCTCAAAGAGCTCGTCAAATTCTGTAGCAGGCTCAGTGCTCGAAGTACACGGTGGTGGTGACGACCCCGTGGCAGCAGTACTGGTTCCTGAAAGACGGATGTGCTCTTCTCCAGTTGGAAGTGGTGTTGGCGCTTCTCTGACGCTCGTCTTTCCCTTATCAATCTTTCGCTTCTTCTGCTGCTGTTGGTCCTTACTCACGGGTGGCGACGACGATAGATTCCTGCGATCCTCGCTAGTCCGTTGAAAGGTACGTTTCCGACCAGTGTTAGAAACTGTGGTCGATCGATCGCGATCGAAACCCTCACCAGGCGGCATAGTCTTGGCTACAGTCAAGTTCCCATTGTGATTACCTAGCTGAGAGGAAAGTCTCACTTGGCCTCTAAGTTGAGGTGCCGTCGATGTCGCACAATTCGCCATTCTAGGAGCTTGATCTTGCGGCACTGGAGACGGTGATAATTCAGTAATCCGATTGAAAGCCTGAGCCTGGTTTTCGAGCATTTGTGTTACCTGCGGACGGACAGGTCGGGGCTGATTAAGGAACGGGCTGGGTTGGTACTGTCGAGCTCGGCCTTGCATAACATGTGTCTGGAATTGACCTTGCTGTTGCATGTTGCGGTAATGCTGCTGTTCAGCGGAGGGACGATGTCTAGCCTGTACTTGAAGCACCGGTGTTGGTGCCTGTGGTACTGGGCTTTGAACCATCGGCACCGGATTATGCTGATTGTTTTGAGATGTACGCTGCATTCTTAATATTTCTAACCTTCGTTGTTGTTGTTGCATCCCTTGCAGTCTTGATTGAGTGTTTACGCGAGACCTCGCTCTGGCTTCCTGTCCAGGTGTTTGTGGTCTGACCACTTGTTGTGTCGATGGTCCTGGATCCCCTGTTACTCCACCTCGAAATCCAGTTGCAGGATATTGAGCTAAAGGCGGGCTTATTTGTGGTGATCTGTTAGCAAGTATTGGCTGTTGCTGTTGCTGATACATTGCTTGCTGGAAGTCTGCGTGCTGTTGCTGGCCTGGAACTTGTCGTTGAGGGGTCATGCGTGCCTGTGATTGAGTATGAGCAAGCATCTGAGGATTGACCTGTGGGTTAGGTTGCCGTGGATACATCATTTCCTGTTGGCACGCTCTTCGCTGCTCGAGAATTTGCTGTTGTACAGGCACTTGTTGGCTAAGCCACTGCTGGCGTTGCCTGTATTGTTGGTACTGTTGAGGTGTCAGATTTGTAGGTACTGGCTGGCCCACTGGTGCAGTATAGGGCGTTGCAGCATGTCGATGCATGGGTGTATCACCATTGACATGACCGGGCCTTGCTGAATTGTCCGGGTCAATAGGAGGCCATGAATGATCCATGGCGCGCTCAGCAGGAGCTGATGGTTGTTGCATTGTTCCCGTCTGCGATGGCCACATTGCTGACGCAGAGGATTCAGTCGGTCGATGGAAGACGTCCAGGTAATATATTGTCTCCTCCCTGCGTCGCTGTTTGTTTGCAGAACTCTGGTTACGAACGAAATTTCTGCTCTGATCCACCATGTCGAGGACCTGGGGTGGGGCTCGGCGCACGGTTTGTGAAGGATTGCAGCTGTCTAGACCTCTAGCTGATGTTCTATTGCTAGATTGAGTCATAACTGGAGGACCTGCCCCGACTGTCTCTTCCTGTGTTTCTGCTGCTGGATTCTGGTCGGTCGATTGTGGTGGTTTTCGTCGCTGTTGGAGCTTCTGGCAGTCCTTCACACTAACGTCTTCTTCGGCGAGTCGTTGCAGTTGCTCTGGCTCATATATACTCTCTTTGTGCAAAGAGTATGGTATGCTGTGGGAACTTGCTTTGGTAGATTCAAAATCCGATCGAGGCGTCCGCAATGTTGGTGGTGGTGGCAATCCGTGAGATCTCGTTCGTTTAGTGACAGGTCGAATTAATTGCGATAGTGACTGTAAATGTTGCAAACGATGATCGTGACGAGCTTCAAGGTACTTCAGACCTATAGGTGTTTGGATTATATCTGAAGATGTGGTGTCTCCTTGCTGAACGCCTGCCCAGCTCCCGTTGCTCCAGCTCATGTGCATAGAATTATTGTCGATACAGCCGATCATATTCTACAACCACTATTTATGTGTTTGGGATGGAGTTGCTGTAGTGTAATGGTGTAACTTGAGCTCGCCGTCGCCTTCTCCTCTAGCTGATGCTGCTCTATTAACTCCGTGAACTCAGCACAATCTTTTTCTGATCGAAGTGTGAAACTGCAGGCTACTGCCTGATACGAGGTACTTAGAACTCAAGGATTAGCGGACCAAGATCGCGAGAACTCACGTCGCCTGACCGTGCTAGTTTAAAAGCGTCGTCTTAACATCGGACTGCAGTTGACTGGTATATGCACCTTCACTCGCTATTTTACTGCAAGATAACACTTTCGAGCTTGCTCACAACATATCGCATAGTTACTCAACAGGAATTATTTCGTTCTTTTGCTCTCAAGATGGTTTCTGGACGAGCAGAATTTTTTTTCCCGTCTGACACTTGTGATGGTAACGATCCTGGCTCGAGGTGTGCTTCTTCACGATCTTATCGTTGTTATGGTTCCTCCACTTCCCACATAATTCAATCGCCTCGAATTGCCAGGGTGTAACCATAGTCGCTCGTGCGGCCTTAACATTGTCGCATCGTGGTGATGAGGTAAGTGGTAGGGTTTCGAGTCGTGGGGGTTCGATCGGCATGGTGGTTCTCTGTGGTCGCCTTCGAGGCGATATGTGGTAATCCTTGTTGCAGATAGACTCCCTGGTGGGGCGTCTTGGGCAGCCGAAATTCACACAAGTTGGACATTCGTGGTGGACTAACTATGCAGATAGCTGATGATCGAAGTTATATACGGACGTGCTGGACTTCGAGATTGAGAGACTGGTTAGTGATGTAGGTGTGTTACGTCTGGGGAAGTGACTCGCCAGCGTGAGGACTTCTGTTAGACCACATGTATGTCCTGCCCGGCGGACCAGTTTCACGGGCGTAGATAGAAACTGTACACAAGTGGCAATCGTGACTGCCACTCGTAGCTAATTGCAAAATTCTGATCATTGTCCACCCCGTAGTAACGTCTACACGCACCGCGCGGTGCAACTGTTACCCTCAATGAATGATCTCGAAACACAATCTTAAATGTTCAAACGACTTCCCCTCATAGCTCGAGTCAAAACAATGCTCTTTCTCACAGTCTCAGCACCAGATGTCCTTAAAATGTCGAACCAACCACGCCACTCGTTGCTCTCAATCAAACCTAGAACTCTTCTGAACGCGCGCTCTCAACCACCAAGTCCAGACGCTCGACTCCTCGCCCGAAGCCATTGACTCAACCAGTCAGCCTTGTTCTGATAGCCCAATCCCTCGCACTCATGCCAGTATAGACAATCTCTAAGGTAATCCCAGTTGTTATCCACGAATACTAGATACCAAGCTCGTGCTTTCTCTTGTGCAGACTCTGCCCAGACACTCTCGTCAGCCTGCTTGCCGTATAGAATACAGATGTAAGCAAAAAAGAACTCCTCGACCTCGCGCTCGGTGACCGGCTTGTTCGACATTAGCTTCCGACCTGGTACTTCGTGTTGTCTGGCTCCAAGTTTCCTAGATTCCTGGTCTGACATGCAGGAGAGGACCAACCTCCATACATAACGAAAGAATGCTTTGATCTGTGCATATACTTCCATCCCATCGTTTGACGTGCGGCTGTCTATTGCCCCATTGACCATCTCTTCGAGTATCGGCAGGAGAGATCTGGAGAATGGTGCGTCATACTCGTTGATGAACTTGCGTGTCAATGAGTTCTTTGCCTTCGCAATCTCGTCAGAGGACATTGCATGGATGGTACGTTTCTGTAGATTTGTGCGTGCTTCTCGTGTTAGTTGTGGAGTTGGTGGCATTCGTGGTTGATACTGTCCTTGAAGAGTAGTCTGATCTAGCTCTAGCTCTTCTGAGACCACATCTTGCCGAGATGATGAGTATGTGGCGACAGACTCCAAATCAGCAGAGTCTCCTGGCGCTTTGCGCTTCCTTGTTTGTGTTTGATCTGAACCATCTTGGTGCATCAAAGTTTGCATTGACCGTGTTGTGGCCTCTCCACTGAATGGGGAGGCTTTGGCTGGCTGGTCGATTTCGACATTGCTAGCCCGCAATCCTGTATTTTTTCGGCCAGGTGTAACGTTCCTAGCCCTCGCCTCTGCATACGCTGCAGCAACTTCACCATCATCGAAAGAACATCTGTGAGCTCTATTTGCCTTTTGGCAAGTATCACAGACGGGAGGAGTACCTCTGCATCCTTTCTTGAACTTGATGCATGGCACACAGCGGTAACCCTTCTTTCTGTTGCCCTCCATGCTGAAGACTTGACTTTCAGAATCCATGCCAAGATGACGTTGATGATCTTCACTTGCAGGAAGTTGATTGACCACACCTGCCATGTCAACTGTCAATGTTTCAGTTTTGATCTGTTCCTAGTTTGTTCGTTGTTCTTTTGGTAGACTATTGGAAATATTTGAGCGATCTATGGGAGTGAATTGTGGAAAGAAAATAATTGCTTTTCTACTTTTCTCAAACTGTTGGATGCGGGTCAGCTAAAAGGAAACAAAAGTGCAGCTCGATCGTGACACGCCGTGTTTGTTGTTTCGCCACCTCCACCCTAGCAAGTGACTCTCGTCTCAAAGAGTGCTTGTACTTGACTCTATGTCACTTCAATTCTGAGACCTCCGATCTCTAAATCTCTGTGAAGAGAAAGATCTTGCCAGGATACTCGACCGTCCCTCATCTTCCTCAACATCCAGATCGCAATTGAAACGCTCCTGCCCTCGAGACTCATCCACGTTCCTCGGACCAGATCCATACAAGGCGCCCTCCCGACGTTCCACAGCTTCGCTTCGGTGAGCAGCAAAAGGATTGTTGTGATCATGATGGCCACGATTATCCATACTCGGACCAGAAACTGGTCCAGTCGATGCAGAATTGGATTCCCTCGCATCATACTGCCGATAGAGGCTGGGATGTGAAGAGGTTGTGCTACCACCTCGGTATGTTGCAGGGTGCTGCGTGGTCGACCCTATTCGAGGTGGCGTATATGTCTCAAAGGGTGATGGTTGTGTGGCGGGTCCTAGATATCCTGGTACTCTTTGAGGAGGGCCAGGATGGAACACATGGCCAGCACCACTCTGATGTCCAAAACCCCTACCAGTCAGGGATTCATAACCAGAACCAGCATAAGTCCCATAGCCAGTACCAACATTAGATCCATAGCCAGAACCTGCCTGAGGCTCATAGTCAGCACGAGTATTAGTAACTGGACTCGTCCAATTGCTACCGCCACGATCAGGGCCCAGAAAGTCATACCAGCTGGATTGTTGCACTGGTGGTCGGTTGCCTCGATTTGTTTGACCTGTAGGCGGACCAGGGGGAGGGAAATGAGGTCGTGGACCATTTTCAAAGGTTGGAACCTGGCTATGTGGAGGCTGAGATAAGCCAGGAAAACCGAATGGATGCCGAGGAGGACCGGTGTTCGTGGATGGAGTGTGCTGCTGTGGAGGCGCACCGCGAGGTGGTTGAGGAGGACGAGGGGCAAGAAGTGGTGGCGAACGCATGTTCAAAGGAGATACATGGCCTGGCCCTTGTAGAGGATTGTAGGAAGAGGGTGGCCAAGGCGTATAGGTCGGTGGTGGTCGACGTGTAAACTGATTAGGCGCCAACGGCACACTGCCAGCGGTACCAAACTCTGCTCTGTTTGTCCCATTACTCGATTGGGCGACTTTCTTTACAGGCGGTGCCGCCAACACAGGCTCGTCATCATTATCACCTGGATTCTTTCTCTTTCGGCGACGGGTTGACTGGTTCACGGGTCCCAAGGTGCCAGCATTTCCGGTCCCGGCTGGAGTCGAGGTGGATGGCGGCCGTGTAGATGGTGACTGCTGCCCGCTCTGCGTTGCAGCTGTCAAAGACGACGAAGGTGTGCCGGTACCTGACTGCGAGTTCGAGCTTGGAGGAAGGGTCTGTGGTTGTGTGCTTTGAGGAAGAGGGTGACATTGTTGTGAGCCAGTACCAACAGAACCTGTAGAGGGCGCAGTGCTTGTTGTGTTCTGCGGCTGTGCGACTTGCGTGCTTGGTGGCTGAGCATTGGCAGTATTATCAGACGGTTGTGCCTGTCCTTGTTGACCTACCCCTTGAGTCGCAACTAGTGCGTTCATTACCGGGTACGACTGAGACTGAGCTGGTGATGATGGGAAGAGAACGCTAGGATGTGGAGTAGCAGGAGCATAAAGCCGTGGTATAGTCAGCCGGCTTGCCACGGAGTCTGTCCAGTCGTCCTGATTGAAGGCTTCCAATGTGGCTATATCCGGCAGGTTAGGTGTTGGCTGATCTGCAAGACTACTGTCGGTGTCTTCCTCAACGGGTGAAGGTACCTCTTCTTCTTGGCCTCCTGCTGTGTCCTCAGGGTCTGCACTTGGCAAGTCGTCAGCGTCTTCCTGGTCATCAACGTCTGACTGAGCGTTGTCGACGGTCATGAGATCACGAGGAGAGGATTGAGGCAAGTGGGGATTCGAGGATGTCGAAGCCGCTTCTTGCTCTACGTTATCCTGATTGTTGTTGTCAGGATTTTGATCTGCGAACGACACATTTTCGAGAAAATTGAAGTCCTCTTCACGGAAGGTGGGTGGTAAGTCGTGATCAACAACGTTATCAGTCATCCAGGATTCGTTGTTGGTGTTACCAGCCATTGTTGATGGAAGGTTTGGATTCTTGAACTAACTTCTAGGAGAATGGTAGTCGTTGACGGTATAAGTGATTGACAACAGGAAGGATATGGAAACTGTGCTTCAGGGGTGTAGCAGATCCGATCGCACAACGAGAAGAAGATAGTTTGGGGGGGGAGTTCGACAGAAAGTCGCAGTTTGACAATTGATAAATAATAAATAATAGTTGTGGGTGTGTTTGATCCTGATTGCAACTAGCGCGGTTTGAGTGGAATAGTGAGCTAGGTTGCCTCTGTAGAGTGGGTGTATCACAACAACAACAACAAGCCGGAGTTGCTGAGTGGCAGGGTAGTTTCTGTGGATACAGGAGGAAGAAGCTCGAGGTCGGAGTGTCTGGTTGCATGTGAGTATAGCCGTAAGGTGATGGATGAGCCGAGTAAGGTGTACGGCTTACTGCCTTGGCCCCTGTCACTCCTCAAGGTAAGCACACCTGTAATCAAGGTGATGTTGCACACGGAACTCTGCAACTGACTTCGTAGATGCCTGTGCAAAGCAGCCACACTTCTCGTAGCAGAAAAAATGAGATCGTCGTGTAGAAGATTGACATAATCGAGCTTCGAACGAGGGTTGGAACAATATCTGTATGTACTTCGCGTGCTTTGAGCAGAGTAAAAGAATAACGTTTATCTTTTCCACCACATAGGAAAGTCCTCGATACCCCGTCTTGACCTTTCGAAGCCTTGCAGCCTCTATCGATATCTTTCGAGAATACTACCAGCTGCTCGAACAGCGGACGTCACCTGGTCCTACAGACCCCTTGTGGTGGTGCTAACCTCTGGCAGTTGTGATATTGGATGCACGAAAAGAGACAAGATCACATACCACAGGCATTGGACGCGTCCAGTGATCTCAATAGAGCTGTATTGCTTGCTGGAAATCAATCGGGAACTCCTGACAGACTTCCAGTGAAGCCGTCAGAGCTAGATCCACTGCCCCCCGCGACAAAGGAGAGACACCACCGGTATGACCTTGCGCGTATGTCGTATGCATAATAGTCAACTCCTTCAAATAGCAATTGCGCCTTTGCCATTCTTGAGGCAAAGTATCAACGCTCTCACTACATCTGTCGTGGCAGCAACGTTCTGTGGAGGTTGGTCTACTGGGCCAAGGTCGTGTCTGACGCCTCAAAGATAGTCGGTGCATGATGAAGCATGTCCAATATGAGTTGAACTGCTTCTCATGGAGGACCATGATGATAAGAGACGGCTTCCACACAAGATACGGGTGACCACGTAATGTGCTTTCTACCAGCTTAACCTCCGCTTCGGCTCTTCTCTTTTCTGCTTGCTGAGCAGCACGCCAAGCGTTGTTGGTCTGACGATTCAGCGACGATGCTAGCGTTGAGGTGTGAAGCATACCAGTATGGCCATGTCCTTGGATCTGCTGCTGAGACGAACGGCCATACGAGGCTGGCCAGAAAGTACTGTTCAGGGCCATGACAACGATGAAGAGAGACTTCAGGTGAGGGTAATGCTGAAGCCAAATATCTCAGAGAGTTGAAAGGTTCTCATGCCGTATCAAGCAGTAACAAGCTCGTGCCAATGAGGTCTAAGAAAACTGGCAGCAGACCACAGCTTAAAGGTGCAAGAGGTGGTCAATTATGCGTACACACGTGCTCCGACATGGTGGGGACCTGCAATTTAGAGGAGCACATATCTTGTTGAAAACTCGATCACTCTCAGAGATGTCCATGATTGCACGTCGAATTTTCGACTCAAATCAGAAGTAGAGATGGCACATGGTTCAAGGTGACCATATGCTTCGTGCTTCAAGCCAATGTCTCGCCTCCAGACCAGCTGGCATATCTCCTTGAGATGCGGTTCCATTGCAGGTCCCCAGGTCGTCGATCCCTAGCGTGGCTGCCTGTCATTTGCACATGTTCGATTTGAAGCTATGATCGGTGTACAACCTGCATCGTGTCGAGGTGCGTGGGTTGAGTCACGCCATGACTAGATTCTCACTAAGGATGTATAGTGTCCGAGTCCGATCTCTGGTTGCCAAAACTAAGAGACAGGAGAAGCCTTGCTAAAGAGCAGGTTCTGCTTGCGAATATTGTTCGGCATCGATCTTTCCTCACTGAGTTGGCACAATATATAGTCCTTCTGATTGCTCGGTGTCATTGGATATTGCTATACGTCCATACAATTAGATCCAATCGTTCTATCAGACATGGACCAGGTCGATGGTTCGACAGCAAGAGTTGCTGTCCGATCCAATTCTGCTCAATATCCTTGCGCCAACCTGGACCATGGAAAGACGCGTCTTAATGCAGTTCGTACTCGACTATCGACTCCGCCAAGCCATGGAAGAAGCAGGATAGTCACTGAAACGCATCACAGAGGGCGTCATGATCGCGGGATCGATATCGACGTCGGCACCGATGTCGTGCATTGGTAAAGAAGGAGAGGTAGGGCAAGCAGTGGGAGATACGGAAGGCGTAGGTCGTGTCAGACCCAAGCAGATCAGCCAAGGGCGAATGGCACCTGCTGGCACGAGTCCTGCTTCCGAAAAGTCCGACCCGGGCACGCTAAGGGAAGCTCTGTTCCGGCGAAACGTTTCAACGAGAATTCAGCTCTTCCCACGACTCAGAGGTCATAAAATCAGGAAAGCTGGGAAGAACGTACAAGTCGTGACTGCTTCATTCTGTCGGCATTTACCAGACTTTACAATTGGAGATCTAAGACCCCTCTACAATACCATTGTCCAACAGCAGCACGCATGTCCTAACAAACAAAGAGAATATATTGGACATAACAAGCAAGAGAGAACAAATAATAAATTCCAGGATTACCCTCTTTGTCAGCTACTACTACCAAAAAGCTGAGGGAGGAAAGGACAAGGTGGAAGGAACCGAGATATGGATCGTAGTAGGACAGAATTAGCTTCTGAAAATATACCAAGGACGAAGAAGTATCTATGCCCGAAGAAATGGGTTAAGAGACTCCGTATCACAATGCTCGTATGAAAGAATTACACAGATAGGACAAGATATGTACGAACAAATACTACGAGCCTGCAGAATATGTCGAAAGTTATGATCATTGGATTTTTGCAAATCAAGGCCGAATACTGTGGTCCTTCCTATAAGTGGGTATCATATCGAAATCAAACGCTAAAAATCTGTACAATAGCAAGCTCGAATTTTCGTCCTTGCGCACATTGTTAGTACGCGCAGAGACCACCGCCTTCAGTCTCCATAGACCAACTGCCCGCCAGTCCGACAACAGCTGGCTCGTCGTTGAGGTCGTCGATACCCAGTCTCATCCTCATGCTCTCGGCATTGACTTCGTGATCAGCTTCTGACCTCCGTCCACCAGTCAAAACTCTGCGTGCCCAGTCATCGATTGCAGGTTCGCCAGTCTCATCTCGAGCTTGCTTGAGGAATGGAATAAGTGCTGTACCGCCAGTACCGCGCATCTTCTTCTTACGCTGGCCATCAGCATTGTCTTTGTAGTTGATTGAGGCAATGCCGCGACCACGAGCAGGTGGACCCGCGGGTGAATTGTCTGGACTTTGTGCTTCACCACTTCTTGGTCTACTATGACTTCTGGCTTCTCTGCTCTTGACGATGATATATCTGGAAACCATCTGGATATGCTTATCTCTCAACGATCTGAGCATAGCTAGACAGGCGTCATATGCGATGGTCAAATTTCGATCGCGGTAGTTGGCCTCGACGAAATCGCGAATGTTGGCCACAGATTCGATAGCCTGAAGAAAGCGTCTATGTGGACCTGGCATGTATTGTCTCATGTCATGAATGAAGTTGTGACGTGCCTTTGGCGGCACACCGGGTTCTGCTTCGGACTCCGAGGCGTCTGTTGCTTTTGATCCTGTTGGTCGATGTTCAACCCCGAGGAATATGTCGAACAGCTGGATCAAGCTGCTTTGGGCATTTGAGCCACCACCATATTGTCTCCAGCCTGAACTCCTGCTGCCATCGTCGTAGAAGACGCCGTGTGGAAGGCCTGCGTCTTTCATGTTCTTGCTTCCAGCGAGGAACGGACGAATGCGGTGGTAGAATACGTGAGGATCGCAGTTCTCATACATTCGTGTAAGGATCGATGCAACTTCGTCAATGACCTCAGCTACAACTCTCAGGCACTCTGTAACTGTCTCCTTGTCGTCATCTCTTGCTGCCTGGATGGCCTCTAGCATAACTGGGATTGCTGATCCACCTTTAGCTTCAATGGCCACGCTGACCAGGTAAAACCACTGCTCATCTAGAGAGCCGGTGTATGTGGCAAGGGTAGAGAGGTTCTCGAGGGTCAGGCCATCACGTAGAAAGAGAGGCTTGTAGTTCCACAAGCAGAGTCCGGCGTACGTGGCGACTGGAGGAATTTCAAGATGTTCGCAGACCTGGAGAAGTGGGTAGGTAATAGGTGGCGGTAATCGCTCGGCAGGTTTCTCACCACCCCAAATATAACCATGAGCTAGAAAGATCAAGACAGTATAAGCTCTCCGCCACTCTGCTTCAGTGTACAGATGTGTAGCTGGAATCACAGGAAGTTTATCTATAACAGTCCGCAGTCTTTTGCTCAGAATGAGAGACTGTAAGTTGGCTATTATTTTCTCCCACTTCTCATAAACTGGGTCTGGTAAACATAGGAGAGGCAGTTCGGTGGGAAGGAATCCTGTGGTAGGTGATATTTGGTAGTCGTCGAGACGTGGTAGAGGAGGTAGCATTGTGCTGGAGATTCGCTCGTGGTGTGGGAATGTGAGAAAGACTGGGGAAACGTAGAAAGTAGCGGACGGGAGTCTGTCAAATAGTCAACCAAATTTGAGGAGGGTCTAGACAATAGAATGCGGGAGAAAGTCTTCAGAAGAAAGTATAAGTGGAGGTGTTTGTGGGACTGCGCGTCTCCAGAGTGAAGTTGAACAGAAGTCTCAAAAGCAAACGGATCACTCCAGAATAGGCACTTATGGACGAACGGGCGGCACACGATAGGAGAGCATGAGGCTTTATCGTCAGATCTCACCCATGAGAGATATGTTCTTCAAGCGGTATCTGATCGGATGACCAATCGATGAATTCTGCGAAATGGATGTGTCTGTTCTTGCGCAAGTCCGAGATCAGGTGGGACACAGCCATACCCAGTCCACCGAGAGGCCGAGTTCTGCCGGAGTCGGAAGCTTGAGTTGGAGCATTAATGTCGCTGGGCCTAGAAGGCGGACACAAAATTTGAGAAGACGGCTACGACATGTATATATTGCTGAGTTCACCATGAGCGCATCTACAGGGTCGAAGAACAACGTCTCTGCAGATCATCCGCTTGCAGCCAGCAATGCGAGACGCACTGCTGTGCTCTCTGCGTAATCTTCAGGCATCAAAAGCCAGTCGCTTGGTTGCGGCCTGACAGAAAGTTCAAGAGATTTGGGAAGACTTACAGATCGTAAGTCGTCACTCACATCATGATTATGAGCTGACGGATCAACACCCCGTCACCTTGTAATATGCTTGTATACACTTTGCTAGGAAAAGACGGGGGGTATCTTCATTGAATCTAGCCAAGAGTAGCCTACTATTCTACGCCATCCTAGAATGCCAATACATGCGTCGTAAAATGGGCAAGCTGCTGTAAGGATACTCTAGTCGCAAACAGATCCGTTCAGTCCATGATATGACTCTCATACAATATAGCCATGTGCTCCGTCATTTGCTTTGTGTTATCAGGAAATTCGTGCCCCTGCGTAATGCTGAGGATTATATTGGTGACCTGTCTGCGATGGTCGATTCTGGTTTTCCTTGTTGTCTCCGTGTACCTCTTTCGGTGGCCGTGGTGGTGCTTCGTTATTTGGAAGCTCAGCAGTGAAGCTCTTCGAGCCATAGTCCGGTCTCGGCGACCGCATAGGGTCAGGTGTGGAGTAGTTCGTGGGGCCGGAGTAGGCTGACCCATCGACGCTGCTCTGGTTGTCAGATTGGACACCAGACCATCTGCTCTGCTGAGGGCCAGGAGAATGTCCAGAAGACTGCGACGTGAGTTCCGAGAAAGATGAGTATCTGTTTTGGTTAGGGGGACTCAAGTGTGCGCCGTACTGCGTGTCACCTGGCATCTCCACTGCGAATCCGTTCCGTTGAGGCACGTGGTAGTAGCCCTGCCTGCCTGGAGCTTGGAAGGTGGGTTGTGGACGTGTCGAAAAAGAGCCAGACGATGAGCGCAAATTCATCCCGTTTGGACCATAAACACTCGGAGTGAAAGCTGCTGGTGAACTCGGTTCTCGAGGCTGTGTTCGATCATTCGGATTGCTGGTCATTAACCTGCCAGAATCGTCGAACATGGCCTGCAAAACTCCTGCATCAATCAATTCTGCCTTTTTGAGCATGCGGTCGAGCATGGTCTTGGAAGCGGCCTTCAACTCTTTCTTCACAAAGGACAGCATAGTCACATTACATTTGATCTGAGTATCTGTGCGCAAATATAACCCCTCTGATGGAGCATTACTGCCCAGCTCTTTCGGCTCCGGCGGCTCGCCTGGTTGGTTGCCCTTGATCTGATACTTATGTCTAAGGTCGACTCCAAAGGGTACGTACATGTGCGTCTGCACTCCCCAGGGCATGTCGTGAAAACAGCCACGGAAAGTGATCTTACTCGAGCCCATTTTGCCTAACCCGGGCACGAATTGTACGCGCTCCGTTACCTCATACCACGAACTGTAGAACTCGTCCACAGGCGCGTCTCGTGGGGCCTTGATTGGGTGGTATTCGAGGACGAGAGGATTAAGCGTGATCAGTTCGCCGTGGCTCTGTAATAGTTCAATGGCAAGTTGTCGCGGGATGTGCGACGGTATTGGGTCAATGGTCGTATATAATGTCTTCATCTTGTGGTCGCTCGAGGTTGTACGTCGCCCTGGCACGTAGAATAGATTACTGCCTCGAAATCGGTGCGACCTTGCTACGATACGGTCCTAGAAATGGCAGGAAAAGGTGTCGCGTTGATGTTAAGGCTCTGAGGTTGCCTTGACATCGCTTTGTGACTCGGTGCTGGTTGGAGGGTGTAGAAGTAAGCAGCCCAAGCACCAAGTCTCTTCTCTCCACAGGCGAGCACGACCATTTTCCGCAGGAACAGGATGGTGCAAACTGCGGCTCCCCGACCAGCAGTAGTGCAGAAGCCTGCGTCCGCCATGGCGCGAGCTTCGCAACCAGACTCTCGTGGTTGCCACTAAAGGGCGATCATCAAGCACTCATTGGTGTCTTCTTCTCCGCTGAACCTCGATTGGCAAATCTCTACCCTTTTCTCCTGAAGCTAAACCTCCGCATTCTGGCATGTAGCTATTTCAGATTTAGGCCTCCGACCATATTTGCATTTCAAGTTCCTCGTGTCTTCCTTGCCCGTGTAACGACAAACCTGAGAAGTCCTTCTCTCGAGCTCACCTGAACGTTGTGAGTACGATTACTTGGCCACATCCCGAACATGCTGCCAAGCAGCAAACGCTTGGCAATTGTTTCCCCTGTGAAGTAATAAGAAGTCATGGCGACTTGGCTCGTAGATCCTCTACGAAGTGTCTGGGAGTTGAGGTGTTGTACCCCTTTATTGACCAGCAGACAGTGCGTGTACTATGACAGGCATCGCCTCTAATACTAACACGAGCTACTCGTGAAATCATTCTTTACTGTGAGGCGAAACAATAGACGATCTTCTCCTCGCTCTGAGCCATCGATCCTGGCACAGCACAACATCGCCATCCTCCGAGGAAACTGCCAGATTCACAAGTACCCACACTGGCGGATTGTGCTTTCAGAGCGTGACAGAACGAGAGACCTCTCAGCCAGTGGAACTCCTGCGAGTCCTATTTGACCTGGCCCTGCGTCCTATCGTCGCATCTACACATTATCTAACTGCCAATTCTGCCAATGAAGTGCAGTGGTTTATTGACTTCAATCGCTAAAGCTGCTGCCGCGCGCAAAGACTTCGAGAAATGGCCGGCTTCGGTTTATAACTCCAGCTGGTGCTCCTCAACCAGGAATGTGAGCGCGAAATTCTGAAGATGTGTTCCATTACAAGATCATGGACTCAAGATTGCGTCGTCTTTCTACCTTGTGTGCACAACTAGCAAGACCCGCCGTGCTATGCGTTCTGACTGACACATCTAGGTTTTCATACGAAACGCAAAAAAATGCTGCTTACCAGATAGACGAGGATCAGAAATGAAAAGCCATCAACCTCTGCGCCCTGTATAGCCATTTTGGCTTTTCGATTTTGAATACCAGCCTTGCGAGTCTCCTGACGCTTGAAAGGTCTTGAATAGTATGCGAGCTAACTAACCTCGAGGATCATCGACAGCCACAATTCAGTACGACCATCCAGTCGCTGTCATGAATGAGTGTTTGTCCAGACAAGTCACCTTCCTCTTTTCTTCAGCCATATTCGTTTGCCCTGCACAACAACGAAGATATACCTGTCACTTGTGACGAACGACAAGCAATAATGCAAAGTGTCTTAGTATGTTGCACTCATATCGACAAAGAGCGTCACTGCAGGCCCGTAAGCCCATTACATTTGTATTCAGCGTCCCGAATATCTGGATTCAGCAACTCACATCGAAATTCAAGAATACCCGCTACGATCGACGAATCCTTGACCAGGTTAGACAACGACCTTCCATCTATTGCCTTGCGAACTGTCAAAGAAAGATTACTACTAAATCACAATGGACCAATCTCGAAGATCACAAGTTGGTGGCTGCATACGTCCCAATTGCAGAGAATGCAAGAAAGAAGCTCTTGCAAGGGCTATCGCGGACAAGAAAGCATCGGAAACCGATTCCAGCGAGATTACTCAGAGTCTAAGCACGGCTCCTACTCCTCGATGGCCACCTCGTCGGTCTTCTTTACCTCCTCGCGCCCCCGATGACTCGTCGTCTGGGTATTTTCTAAGTCAAAAATATAGCAATACGTCTGCAGATGATGTGCCAGAAACGATCATAGAGAACCACAACTCGAGCCTCCAGGCGGACACATCTAGACGTGTCTCAGAAAACACTACCTTGGCTAGCAACACACAATTGCCAGACACCTCCTCATCGAAAGACAATGACAGCATAGGGGAACGCACGGTTCCTGAATCAGAATATGATGCTCTACTGCGAAGATACGAGGCTCTGCAGTACAAGCAGAGCAAGATCGAGCAACAGTTGAAAGCCAATGAGGTCCTCGCGAGCAACAAGCGGAGCTCGATCTTACTCACAGAACAGTCCGAGACTGTCGCTATAGGGTATCATGAGATGACGGAAAGCACGACCCTCGATTTTAGCCCAAAGCAAAAGTCTTCTGCTACAGCACTCGTTGTCGATCGTCTCGGCTTCGAGTTTGCGCGTTTGGGCAGGAAAATCAAGGATATAAAGCCAAGTCAAAAAGTGACAAAGCTAGTCGATCGTAGCAGAGAGTTACGGGGACGAGTTAGCGTGCTGCGTCATGTGCCCAGACGCCAGAATACTTTGAGCTCAAGAGCTAGGAAGCTCGTTACGGAAGGAGATGCTGCTGAAAGACCCGAAACGCAAACAGGTGAGGAAGAAGACCTCGTCCGGGAGATGGAGGCATTGACTTTGTCTGCTCCGTTGATCAGGTCGTGGACAAACTGATTGGTCAACACCTTGTACAACTTGGAGCAATCTGCTTCTCGGGGAAAAATCTACGGGGTATTCATTGATAGATGAGGAATTGGTGCCAAAAAGACCAAGTTTCGTGTCAAGTCTCTACATATTTCAGATAATGCATAGACTGTCTAAATTTTGTAACACTGATCCGTTTGTCTTCACTTCTCCTCATGGGCCCTCCCCTAAGCTTTTCTTCGAGACAGGACTGTGAGCATTTTCATTATCACGCAAAACGTAAAACTGCGTGCTTATTTTGAGATACCGCGAGGGTACGTTTTTTGGATCGAAGATAGAACTTTCGGAAGCGAGCTGCGCGGAGGATGCTATGTCGGTTGTACGTACACTGTTTTAGCTGTTTTCGTTATGCTGCAGTAAGTTGGTTGTTCGTATGCAGCTGCCAGCACCGTGCTGACTTCGTGTTGGCAGGTAGTCATGGCTGCACTTGACCCATCGTCGTATTCTTGGACTGCATTTTGTCGGGATCACGGACGGTTATTGACGACCAACAAGCTTTGACAGTGTGCGAAAAGCAAAGCAAATACGTACGTACGGAACTATTGGCCATTGCGTTCGAGAAAACTCAATTTGAGAAGTTTTGCTTTTGTCATCGAGCACGACTCGTGCAAGCCGCGAGACGCTCAGAGATGGCAATTGCGACCTCGTTTTACATGATTGAGCAAGCACGCGTAGAACGTGCCTGCCAGTCATTACCATCACCTCGGGTCACTTACTGTGAACACACCATAGCTTCTCCACTTTCCATATCGAATAATGGCGCAGCCACCAAAAAAGCTTGGCAAACTTGCATTTCGCTCGACAATCACGGGATTGTCACCATTTAATTGCTTCGACCACAATGGACAATCTCTTGGAATCTTTTGTATTTGACAATTGACAGACAAAGATCGGTTTTGGGATTGTCAAGCACATCATTGTCTAACCCATCGACAAGCTATATATCTCAGATCTGCTCACCGATCAGAAGATGCAAAGTCTTTCATCCTTCCACAACAAGACTTACAATTTGGCCTTGATCCACCGCTCAAGAAAGAACAGATCGAAAAAGTTCTTAAAGTATAGTGAGTCGACCTGGTCTCACCTGCAACTGAGTCCATAATTACTAACTAGCACTTTCAGTACAATTAGAATTTCCACTTTCGTGCCTCCACAGCCATGCCTTCAAACCTCACGGCACAGCAGGCTCTAGATGCGGGAGCGATTCGACAACCAGCAGACGCTCCTAATGCCAAGCAGCCTGGGCAAAAGTGCTTGACATGCACCAAATACGATAGCAGCTGTTACGGCAGCGAAGTCCGAGATGGCAAATGCAACCGCTGTCGAGGACTTCTAGATGGAGAACAGCCAGACGAGCACGGTCGAGGCAAACAAGGACGGAAACGAACTTGTGTCTGGCTTGACCCTGCTCGCGGGATTCAGACATATGAGGAGGCACAGCAGAAGCTGAATATGCTTCGCAACACGAAGAACACCGCCGAAGCTCGAGCTGAGAGGGCTGAGGCGGAAGTGAGTTGTGACAACGTTGCTGAGCTTCCTGTGAATTCTCCCGAGCTCAATCTTGTGGGCAGGGTAGTACACGGTCTCATCCAAAGCGAACACTATGTTCCACAGGATTCTGAGACCAATTACCGGACGATGTTCGAAGCCTTGGACGTCATGGCTGCGACAGAGCCTGGTCCTGCCTTACGGAGAGTCTATGACATATTGTCTACGATGCAAGGGCGTGGAGACCGTTTCGAGAAGGTTGAGATGTTCAGCCTCTTGCATGGTGCCCACGCTTGGGCGAAGCTTTCACAATGAATACGAGACATGTTGCGACTGGCTGCGGAGGGATGCTATGTCAAAGAGCTGCAAATTATGTATCTTAGAATGAGCAAGGTGTCTGGCGCATTTTAAGTTTCATTAAGTGTCTTTCACCTTCTTCTTACACGACTGCTCCCTTTCGACACACACTTGATTGTTTTGTGAGAGCTTCTGGTGCCAAGCTTGTAGATCTAGTGAGGCTGGTTGAAGACATAACAACTGACATGCCATTTGAGTTTGTATCCGCAACGAATGATGGTTTCCTGTCTTACAGCAGGTCTAGAGGTACTGCATGATCAGAGTCTACGTCGAAGTTTTTATACCTCCTTTATGCATGCATGTATTTCGTCGACAGGTTGCCTCGTGAGACAATGCACCTCTGAGAGGCCTTCACGAGAGGCTGCTACCCGTGCATGGCTACTCGGAAGTTGTGTCTACTCTTGGACTGGTTCGTGGATGAAGTAATTGTAATTGTATCTTCTGGAGACGCTGAGTCTCCGCATCACCTAAGGTTGGTTCGGCTGGTCTGGTTCGAACGGTCTTAGTGAATGGCTCGGAAAGTCGTTCTTCGGCCTTGCGCTTCGGCAAGGGCTCGTAGGACTCAGGCACGTAAAACGGTGAGGTAGTCGGGACCTCCACGCCAAGGCGCAGTCCGCATCATCCACTCAACCTCGATTTCATGTCTCCCTGCTTGCCCCTCGATTCTGTATAGAGCCACAGAGCAAGCATCCACGGACAGCCATTCCATCTAACGAGATCGTTTGCTTGAAAGCAGCAACCTCCGTGGTGGCTTCGCCTGGTGTCCGAGTCACGAGAACAGTTAAGAGCTCCATAATTCAGAACAAGGAAGAGCAGATACATTTAAAGGGTGAAGAAAAATATAACGTCGGAAAGAGCAAGCTCGAGGTTATAACGAGATCGTGGTACCATGCTCATCCCCAACTCTGGAGATCTGCTGATACGATGGCTCGGGAGTCCCTCAAGTCAAGATATACTGGTCGAGTTCTGGTACGACTTGAAGAAAACATCATATCTTATGTCACTGATCATTGTGGTAGACTAACAACGAAAGGTTTCTCAACTGCTGATTCTTGTCTGCTTAGGTTGTAACTGGAGCTCCAATCTGCATGAAAGGAGGAATCGGATCCAAGAGAACGAGAAAGGACGAGGGTTACAGCGGTACCGTCATATATGCTTGTTTTGCACTCGGAAGACGACTGATAGAGACATTCAGAACAGGAATGATACCCTGCGGACGTCCATAGGGGTGTGTGCTATTGACACCGTACAACTCTCTAGGAGAGCGAGAAATGCAAGGGCTTAAGCCACAGCTTTAATGAAATAATGGCCCACCATTAGTGTATTGCTCAGTGGTATCGTTGGCTCCAAGAGCAGTGTCATTCTCAGGAGAGATGGCTGAATCCATCGTAGAACAGCACATCGCTCGAGGAGCTTACGTTCCTCGCTACAACCGATTTTAATGTGATGCATTGGCTATTTGAGCCACTGAATGCACAGTCTCCAATTGCTTAATTGCCATCATGCTGATCGCTGGGAACCTGAGCAAAACTTCACGCCAAACCGTGCCTCTAGAACTGTGGTTGCAGATTCTGAGCAATCCCACAAGCAAACACCTCATGGCTACAGTTCCAAGGTATATCTTGAACCATATTGCATGCGTAGCACCCTTTGATTCAGCATAAGGAAGACAAGGCTAATCTCACATTGGTATGTTGTGTTGTCTGGACACCTCTCCTAGTACACCTTACTAAATTGCCAAAGCCACCGCACTGTCCCGGGGTGGAATCCACTAGGGTGCAGTCGAGGTCGGCCGAAACAGGAATTGTTGTGGCTGGGTCGTCTTTTCGATGTAATTCGAACGTTCTCCCTCCCCACCAAACCGCAATCTTGAAGTACAACGATTGTAAATCAGCATACTGATATCCAGCAAGGATTTCGTATATTAATATTTCATAATTTTACTCGAAATGTCTGTCGAGGAAGCTGTGCAAGACGTGCTGATGGCTGGGTTCGAAGGTAAGTATGTCAAGATCCGCGATGGTTGAATTCTAATGTGGTACAGATTTCGATACGCCTCGAGCTCAATGATTGGCTGCAAGGGGCTCTGTTACAGGCACAGACATAGTCCTTGCAGCTATTGAAGAGGTTGTAATGGCAGAGCATGAAATTGGCACAGAAACCGAGAATGACCGAAGTCCGCTCCAAGCGTCAGGCTATCCAATCTTGGTACAGCTTGAATTACTCGTAAGTACTATCTCAGCCGGTGCGTTATGGTGAGGTACTGATGAAAGACAGGAGGCGGCACATATCCGCACATCACGCTTGATCAAGGAACATATCCAGAACGATCTTAGAAGCGACTTAAGTTTCACGCTAGAGCACTTGTTGGCAGATAGCCGTCCAATATAGAATGCTGGAATCGACTACACTGCAACACCAACACTCTATGCCGATGACAACCGGCGTATGAATTTAGGGGCGTCCACAACGAATGCTGGAATGCAAGCACCGGCACCGGGTTCACCCCCAACAAATCATCAAGATATAGCCGCTGACTATGAGAGGTTCAGGAAGAGAATGGTGGGCATGGAAAAGTGGCCTCAGCTCACACCAGCAAGGCAGATCAGGGAAGCTTTAAAGGCAGCAGCAGCAGAGTTTGGTGGTGGTCTACCGGAGTTGACTCTCAACCTGTACAAGAGGCCAACTACCGAAGTCAACTATCGGAAGTTGCAACTTCTCGGACCTGTTCTGGGCTGCACGTACCAGGATCTGATCGACGAGAGGCAAGCTATATCTGTGCCTCCATGTCACCTACGAAGAAGAGCCATCGAACTCCAGGCTATCTTCAATCTAGGTATCCTCCACGACGAAGTTTCCTGTGCACTAAGAATGTACAGGATCTCTGATGAACGGCTGCAGCAGGAGAACGACCGCTTGAGGGACCTGGGCGTTGGAGGAACACCAATTCCAGGCATCGATAGACCCTTCAGAGACGAGGAGAAAAAGAGAATATGAGACATGGCAACTGAGGTATGGCAGAGAGCAGGTATTTGCAATCTGATGGCACGAGCTGGAATTCCTGTTGGGCACCCTGATAGCGTGGGCTCATATTACAACCTGCCAAACTTCTTGTGGATGCAGATAGAGTTCATGTGTTCAGGCAGAGTGTACTGTACTGTGAGAGTGTGAAGCAAAAGTCGTTTGATTGCTGAGCGAAGCACAAGTCACAGATAGGAAGAGACAAGACTGTATTGGAGAGAAGACACTCTGACCAAATCTAACATCTCATTGTTCCTGGCTGCGTACCGACAATAAGTCTGCTTTGAGTTGATTGCTGTGTCTCATACCGTATCGAGAATGGCAGCAAGTTCATAGGTCAAGATTGAATCAGGCACATGAGCTTACAGCCTGCCAGCTTGATATGTCCAATTGTCAATTCGTAAGAGGTGAACGCTGAATCTGTACTTGCACACTTAATTCCTTCTCAGCTATTAATACGGGGTCGAGTTTTCTCGTCGCGTGGTATGCGAACAGCTTGATTAAGCATCTAGTATCCAACGCGAACCTTGATTCAAGTTTTCACTACCTCAGGTCGAGATTGCTGTCACGCCGCAGGCAGACACGTGCTCTTGCCCGATGGTGGTTTTTTGAAAGCTCTCAGCTTCTCGAAGTGCTCTTTCCAACTTATGCCATACGCGTTTGTCACGCTTGCCGAATACTTAAGAAGACTGTCACTGGCGGACAATTTGGCAGTACTGAGCTGCTATATGCCCGCAAAGAGCGGTGAACAACGATTGAGGTATGTGGATTCGTCGCAATCTGTTCCACTCAACTGATCATTTGTTGCAGAGCCTCTCACAAGATGAAACTTGTACTCTCGATCCTCGTTCTCGAACGAACAGTGGTTCAAGAGCTCTTCGACACATTTGATCCATTCAACAGTAAGCAAAATCGACTTATCGCTCAACTGCTGCTGGCATTGGCGATGAGGGCTTGATCTCTTCTCTCCGCTATCTCTTCAATTGAACATCAGCAATTAGACTCACAAAACTTGAGGTTGAGTAAACTCAAGGTAGCATTCTTCTCATACCATGGATGCTGAAGCTTACTGACGACCACATCCAGCTCCGTAACCAATCACTGACGACGACCGATCCTATTTCCACATCGTTTACTGCCAATGAGTAGCGTTCGGGGCGAGTGTGTACCGCCAATATCTCTATTACTTCTGGCAGCCCCGTCCCGTGACCAACCACATCCTCTGCCTAAGTCATGTACGACCGACCTCGAGCTTCGCATCTAGAATCTCTGGAGGAACGTCACTATAGCTTCGATTGCAGCAAACTCTTACGCATTGGTAATACAATATGATGCTGGTGAAGTCCTTGTGCTCTCACAGCGATGGCATCTGATCAACAGTGTTCGTACGCTCAAGCTGGTCAGACTTTATGTTTGGACGCAAATGCTGTCGGAGAATAAGGGCAGCAGCCAAGAGATGAAATCCCACGCCGATCCTGGTTGATCAAGTGAGGCATTGGTTCGGGGCCAGACAGGCTTCAAGGTTTCAATATGAAGCAGACACTTTACCCTGTGGTAAGCTGAGAGACAGAGCCTGTTCAGCTACTGTTTAGGAGAGGTCGAAAGAACGTGCTGCTGAGCTCCGTTCCAGTCCGCCTCGTCGAAGCAAACTATGCAGCAGCCACTTTCTGTACGACCTGAAGTGCTGCATGATATGTCCATGTCCCTGAATCGAGCGAGAACTCGCGTGTCTTTGCTGGCTACCCATGGTCAGACGTCTGACATGACGCGCCGAAGGACGGTGTCGAGAACAATGGTATCAGCTTTGGTCGCCCGCTGAACAGGCTGACCATAAGACTTGACAATTCAATGGGCCCTTCCTTGTTTACGGCACAAGAGACTGTGTCAATCTTGGGCCATAGCTTCGACACCAGGCTCCAATCAGTCCGATTCGTGTACGCATGTCATGCGTGAGCCTCGAGACACATATTTCGTCTAATTTGTATTAACAACATAAGGACGAGCATGCGTATGCAGGCTAAGATGACTGATAACGATTCAAACAATGGCATTGGCACAACCAATTCTGAGTCAACGGCACAATGTGACCTTCTTTGTTGCAGCTTTGAAAGAGCTTAGCTGGGCATCAAGCCACTTGCGTCACGGGCACGAAGTCCAGCACTGACTTCCCAAACCTCTACCGCATGGATTGTCTTCTTGATCTGTGACATGAAGCTCTCAATATCAGTGAGCACCTTCCTCCTCTTGATCTATACAGGTTCGGCAGGGACAGGCTCGAAAGCCCTCCTCCGTACTCTGTTGCCATGCAGAACAAAGGTATCGATGAAGACTCCATCTGCGGCATATGGCGAAACGATGGACTTCGCTGAAAAGGTAGCTGATCGTACACGTGGTTCTAAGTTCTTCTTGAAGGTAGCAAGACTTTGCAGTATGCATGGCTCGGCTGTATCTTCGAGACTAGCGATCTCGAGATGTATCGTCAATTCAGCATAGGTCATAGTGACTTAAGGCTGGTGGCTCTTCGGCGAGCTGCTGCTGGACATGTCATATGTCACGACCATATCGACGGAAATACCTCTTCAAGATACAATACGTACACCTACTACCCCATCACAATGTAGGCTGCAGGATAACGCAGCTTGTGCTCACGTGCAAATTGATGTCCACAATTCTTGCCGAAGGCGGACCTAAATCCTATCGCACTTCTACTCTCTCTGGCTGCACTTTGTTTAATCGATCGATTACTTTCAGTACCCAACATATGGCAAATCTATAAGGGTCAAAGTTCGGTGACCCACTGACCTCGTCGTCGCCGTCTACAATCACCCAATCTTCCCAACTCCAGCACGCCTCCCTGGTGCTGCATCCTGCCGCTGTCGTCCTAATTCACTTACGCTCATTGTCAACTTGGTTCAAGACTGCATTAGGTTTCCAACTCTTCAGCTGCATTCGAATTGCATGCCGGACATTTGTGAGCATATATTCTTACATGTACAATCAAATCAGTCCAACAAAAACAAGGCATATACTCAGTACAATGAAGCGATAGCAATGGTACCAACCAACATGGCAGAACCCAACCCAGCTGTTTGACAAATATGCAGAGGGCAGGGTAGCGAAGTCGGTCAACAGGCGTGAAGGCCTTGGGGAGACGCTTCTGCGTTATGAGCGGAACTTGTAGAAAGCTGTAAGTTACTGGGTCGGCTTATAACAGGACCTACGACGTCGAACAGCTGCCGAAAACATCAGAGCAGCTGGTAAGGAAGACGTAATAGGGTTATGGCTGGTATACCTTGTATTTACTTACGAACGCGGAGCTTTGAACACTATTCCGACTTACAAGCGACCATGACATCTTGTACGAAGTTTCGACAAGGGGTGACAAGGCTGAAGAGGAACGAGATGGTCTGCCTGAGGAAAAAGCCTGACACTGTTTGACAGTGACAAAGAAAAAGTCATTGTGAAGGCATATCCACGCAACATAGTGCCAATGGCTACGCTGTCACTTGCTTGCCGAACGGTTTTCAGGCTATGTTGTCAATTGTGCCAACCACTTGAGCAAACAAAACCGTACCAGATCGGTTCTCTTCCTGCTTGAAAATTCACATCGACAAAGACTTTGCGAACTTTCGACACCAAGCCTGTCAAAGGTGCCATCTTCCTACCTGAAGCTAGCCACATTGGCAGGTATTGCCAGTACCTTCTCGACACCACGACCTACACCTCTAATGAGCTCTCGCCTCCCCAGCAACGCCCAGATGCTTCCCGGTAGCTCTGTCTGGCCTCTTGCGGCTTTTCGAGGGAAAGAGTCCAGTGCTGTGCACACAAGACAATTGCGTTCTTTGTCCCGATCTCCTTCTCAATCACCTCCACCACCCTCTGAGTCTTCAGCTGCACAAAGTCGCGCGAGTAGCAGAGCGCGAACTGATGGCTCTGATCTGTATCGTCGTTCAAAAAAGGTGGAAGCTGAGTATATAGCTCTGATGGTGAGAAAGAACAAGTTGAGATTCAATGGCAGAACTGAAGAGAGCAACCTCATCCAGAGTGCGGTGAACGTGGGCATCGTCCTAGCTTGGACAGTAGAAGACGTGATAGACGTGGTAAGACAAGTGGGAGAAGCCATCGAACAGTTGAGGATGGGCCATATATCAGAAAGATATGTTAGGATGACGGAGATGGCGAATGTCATTGCCGAGGAGGAAATTCTGAACACCGATATCATACGGGCGGATTTCGCATGGATGATGAAACTCAGAACGACTTTCGGGCTCCGTGATAAAAAGGCAACGAAGAATCGCTCTGGAGGACAAGTCAGAGACGAGAATACACTGGATATCCACCAAGATGGCGATGCCGCTGCTTGGAGCTTCCACGCTCCATTCCTGCTCATGAAGATTCAAGCTGCACTGGAAATCGCATTTTCAGAGGTATGGGAAAAGGCGAGTGCGATTTCGACCACGCCCCGCGACATTCGCCAGAACCTTGATTGGAGCGGCTTTTACGTCAAAGCTCCTTACCTCCTTCGAATACCCAACCGAGAATGTGGTGCAGCTCTTGAATTTTACCTGCAGAATTCACATACTGGAATCTTGCGGTTTCCACCAGAAGAGAACGACAAACCGATAGAGAGGATCATGCCTGGAATCGAGCGACCACTCACGCAGGTCGAAAAGGCTGACATACTAAGAAAAGTGTCAGCTGATATACAACCGATTGGCAAAGGAAGGGAGATGATCAAGATAGTGTTGGATGTTCTCGGAGATCCTCGACACGCGAACGAGGGGAACGATGATACGCCACGGAACTATGACCTTATGATTCGAGCTCAAGTTGAGCTGCGAGACGAGGCGTTTCTGTTGCTAGCATTCATGTATCGGAAGTGTGTTGGACGTCCACTAACCAGTGCTGATGAGCTCCATGGAGAAGACGAGGTTGAAGAAGAGAGCATGGTGGAGGATAAGATGGACACAGGAGCGTAGAACAAATCATTGTCCGTTATTGTCCAGCCTGTGACGAAGATTGTTACTCGTTCGTATAGATTTCGACCATACCCTATTCCAGATAGCTATGCTAGACTGCTTCGTGACCTGCCGCACATTCTTGGACGAGGTCCTATAGCACCGTCCACTTCAATGGTTGCATCCAAGCAGCCACTTCTCTGTAACTCAAATATGTCCCCAACACGCCCTACGACACAAGCTCGTATCCGTATTCAGCTAGCTTCGAAACTTTTATCACGAGCAGTTTATCATCCAAAAACACACACGCAATTCGATCTCTAATCGTTCTTGTCCTTTGCGACAGCTAGTGTTCAACCATTATTCTGGCAGAGAAGCTGCATGTATCCAGTTATAGTCGTGAGTAATGGGGTATCAAAACAGGAGCGTTCAATCAGCTTCTGACTGGTAGATTTTCCAGGGAAAGATCCGAGATGCGTGAACCAGGACTTGGCGACGGGTGCTGGTTTCGAAGAGATCTGTTCGCCAGCTGGTGCGACCATATTATGGTAATATACAACACTCAACTATGACACGATATGATCAAGGGGCTCGAGGTCACAGCGAGGTTACAGGGGTGGGATGGACTACAAATCGTGCAGAACCGGAGCAGGATCAAAGACAACGACGCAGGCACAACGGAAGCAACAGATGTGGGCGGAATGTCAGAGGTAGGTTGATATTGGTATCATATTGTTTCACGAGCACGTTTGTGAGCAAGAAGGACTTGCAATCCAAGAGAGGTTGATTTAGGCGATCCCTAGGCGAATTATCAGTGAAGAACAAGAAAGGAGATATGAGCCACTCACAGAACCAGATCCTCTCCAAGACATTCCTTGGCACTCGCTCTGGCCACTCGACAGCATCCAAGGCAGCCTTTCCAGTATAGATATCAGCCTCGGCGGATGGTACCCATCTCGACTTGAACAAAATCTTGCCGATCAGGTAGAGGCCGAAGACTGCAGTAACATTAGCAAGAGAAAGAGCTAGACAAAGACGAACTTACAGATGGGCACTCCGATGTAGTCGGTAATGAATCCTTGATAGTTGAAACCTCCTGCAATAACATCGAAGCCATTGAAGAAGATTACGATCGCGAAGAAAATGCCGGCGACATAGCCGAGGATTGGAGCTTTGTCGTTGAGTCTAGTTCGGAATGGCAATTCATGTCGAGCCACTCCTTGAGCTGAACAGGCGTGATGGAATCGCACGTAGGAGAAGCAGATCATGACCCATGTGAACAAGGTGGAGATGGTGGTCAAGTTTTGGAACCAGGCAAAGACTGTGGAAGAGCCTGAAGAGACTGACATGTAGGTGAGGAGACCGATCGACCAGGTGATAAGGACGCAGTAGTATGGAACGCCATTCTTTGAACATTTGAGCAAGAAGCGTGGTGCTTGGCCAGTCTGAGCAAGGGCGAAAAGGTATCGAGAACCAGTGTAGCAGAAGGCATTGCCCGACGAGGTTGCGGATGTCAGAATGACAGCGTTGATGATGGATGGCAGAGCAGCGATATTGGCTCGTTTGATTGCAATGACCCAGGGTGAACGAGCACCACCAGGTTCACCATTCTTGATAGCACTGAGAAGATTGTCGTCGTTATATGGTATGAGCACACCAATAGCCAAAGTTCCTAGGACTGTCGAAATCGTCAGCTTGAAAGATTCTCGTGGCACACAATGGGTACAATTTTTTGGAGCAACTCACCATAAAAGAACAATATACGCCAGAAAACTCGTCGAACAGCCTTGGGAATATTGTGTCGTGGGTTTTCGGCCTCACCAGCAGCAACAGCAACCATTTCCACACCACCATAAGCGAATGCGGCATTAACCATGACAGCCCAGAAACCCAAGAAGCGACCTGTCGCGCCTGTGTCAATGTACTCGGCCATTGCACCAGGAGTTTTCCAGTAGTGGAATCCAAGTCTTTGTTGGCCTGGAACACCACCAACATCGATGATCAGGGCCAAGATCAGGAGACCAACGATTGTCAGAATTTTGATGGATGCGAAAATAAATTCAGCTTCACCATAGATTGCTACAGCAAAGATGTTGAGGAAGAGAATCAACACGAGAACAATGGTGATCCATACCGCTGGGTTGATGTGTCGAGCGCCTTGCCAGTAGTCGATGACTGTTGCAGCAGCAGATATTTCAGCGCACAGGGTGATAGCGTTCGAGTACCATGTGTTCCAGCCCGTTGCGAAGCCGAATGCTGGTTCAATATATCTTGTCGCATACTGAGGAATGGCACCAGGAAGAGGAAGCCATGTTGCCATCTCACCTAGAGACATCATCATGGCGAAAACCATGCAACCAACGAGTGTGTAACCGAGGAGCAGTGACAGAGGACCGCCCGTGCTGAAAGCTCGTCCGATACCTAGGAACAGACCAGTACCAATCGTGCCACCAAGCGCAATGAATTGAATGTGTCGCGATTTCAGACCTCTCTTGACATAGCCATATTCTTCTGCCGTCTGGACATCGCCATAGATATCCTGGGCCTCGTTGGCTTCAGCTGCTTGTCTTGACTACAAAATTTCAGTCGCCATTCAACACGGTCTGGAGCGCATTCACATACCTGGAGCTTGTTGGAAACTGAACCATGTCTGTAACCATGGTTATCTGGGGAATCCGAATCGGAAGACCGATACACGTCGGTAGTCTTCTCCGCCATGACGAATAAAGAGGAGCGAATGAGTATTGATACTGGGTTGCGAGAAAATTGTTCTGTCGACCTTGGAGGGTCTCGCCGCAGGTGAAGGAGATACAATCACAGACAATCTTCACACAGAAGGCGTGCTGGGAGTGATTTGATTGTATAAATACCTATTACGACACGATGCGACCATGAGCTTGTGGCTGGATGGTGCCTCGAGCGAGACAAATTGGGAAAGCCAGATTCGCATGCAACGTCAGAGTCCACTTACAACAAGTGAGTGGCTAGATGGGTGGAATTAGTGTCGAACAGAAGCAAACGCTCGAGGTCTGGAATAGTGAATCAAACAGTGTTTGCTGGAGCAAGCGACAGTCGCGTGCTCGAAAGTAGTGGGTAACTGTTGTTAAAAGAGCCAGTGAAAGTCGAAGGTAATGGTGGATCGACTTTGAAGTGCAAATAATGGCAAGATCAGGCAAGTGGCTGAACGATAACATGCAGCGGGGATTTGCGCGTGGCACAAGCGGCAATATCAAAGTCAGTCACGTTAATCGACAGGATCCGAAGGCTGGCCAGTGGGATGCTCTTTTCTTATCTGAGCAATCGTGGTGCATGAGCTTCGAAAATCAACAAAACATCTCGCCACAGGAACGGCGATCAAGTTTACGATGCTGCTTGGTCCTGTCTTCGAGACGCGTAAAGTCATGGACACAGGCACATTTTCGAGGCAAACGAATGAATACACACAAGAAGACAAGGGGAACAGCATTGATGGAAGCATTACTCGAGAATTACTGGAAGATGTTGCGGGGAAGTGGTGCAATGGTTAAATCAGGAAGTGTTGATGGGTCCAGGCCAAGGCGGTAGCGAGACTCCAAGACTCTTAAGCTTTAAAGCTTACTCTTCGTCGAGATCACGAAGCCTTCAAGGTCCAGCTCTCAAGCACTACCAAGCCTTGGCTGATCTTGCTGCCAATAACATCGATGTCTGCTTCGGTACAAGTGAACGATTCACACTTCGCATTTACACTTCGAACACACGATAACGTGCTTTGCTTTGCGCCAGTAGAAAGCACCATCGCTGCTTAAAGTCTACCACACTTGAACTTTGAGATAACAGTTAGGAAGAAGAGCTAGGACATAATTGGAATGTCGCAATTATGATTATTCAGGCCTGCTGCAATGTCACATCGAGCTCGTGAAGCAACGATCCTTGTGTTGTCGAAGAGCAAGATTGGGCCAATATGCAAGCTAAAGCCACGCCGAACCACACAAGCAATTTCCAGACAAGCGTAAGCGAGCTCCGGGTCATGAGCTTAACCACTCTTGGCTTTACCCGACCCTTGCATCTCCAAACTGTTCGGCTTCAGGTTGCTGAAGCGCAATCGCACAGCTCTTTCGATTGGTCCAGACTTCGAGAAAGAGTCTGTGATACGAGACTGACCTTCGCGGTTCGGTGTTCGAATCCGCCCAATTACGGTCAACTCCATTGAGCTTCAATGGGTCGAGCTCAACGATGACATAGGACACAAGCACGAATGCAGATGTTACCTCTACGGCAGAAGCGTCATGTAAGGCACAAGCACGTCCTGAATGCCAACGCGCAATGTATCTATTTCCTCGGCATGTGCGAAACCTTGATGAGCTGGACATATACTTGGTAATCCCCAGTGTCTGAATAAATGCTCCCACACACTCGACAGTCCTCTGATTCGGGCATGTTGCGACAAGGTGCACGGTATTTTCTTACCGTCAGCGAGATACAGCCAGCCAAGTGTATCGTTCTTGTGCTTCTAACCACGGTAATGATTTCTACTACTTTGCATGTCCAAAAAGCCAGCATGTTCCAACGCGGCTTCATATCTACCTGTTAGTCTTAATTCCACAATAGGATCCAACACCAGATAGCATACCAATGTCCAAGCCCAAGAAGCACTATTTTGTCTGACAATCGCATTGCGATACAATAAATCACTCATATCGCCCGAAATACTGCGACGGAAAACCGGTGGCTGCAAGACATGTTAATCGATACCGTACACGTCCTGTCAAGGATGCATCAACTATGTCGGTGTCTTGGTCGCTTGTACAGCAGCTGACCATTCGCATGGTCATCTTTCGTATACTGCCTGGCGCAACGACCTGTCGTGTTACTGAATTATTCCAGCAGAGACTGTACTGCAACGCCATCATGCACCACTGTAGTTTACACGAAACAGTACGTGCTCGGGCGATTAATGCCGTTGTGCCGACCGGTTAATTTCGACGACGCCACAAATCAGCCACTCAGCATGTATCTTCTTCCATGACCCATGAGTTCATCATGTCCACGGTGGTATGACCAAGCTCAATCGTATGGCACTCTGAGACCGCATCACATTGATTCAGTCAGCGTAGGTCTGAATGAGCTCTACAAACGTTCCCATGGACAACCTTCAGGATGTGGAGAGACCCTTATGGCAAGATCTTAGCATCGTCCTATGAGATGGAGATCCGCATCTGATAACAATCAGAGCCACCACAGTCTCAATCTGCTTCATGGCGTGCCGTGTCTCACGGAATCAGGCCGGCAGCAAACCCCATGCAGCCTGAAATTACGATGCATTACCGAAAGATCGACACATCAAGCTAACCAAAAATAGACGATTGCGACAGCTCCAGTTTGACATATCTGGACGTGTTGAGAGACGTGTCGTGTGGTACCTCCAACGACTTTCTCTTGCTTCCATAGAGTGGCTTGCTTAGTCTTCGACGAAGACGCCCACTCATACTGTGCCTTAACAAGCACATTGTCGAGTCGTGCTTGGTTCCGTTGGATCGGCCTCTAGCTCCGTTTCGACCTCACATCGTAATCTCCGTCGTCCCTCAGCTTCCCTGATGGGCTGCGAATACCCTCTACTATTCTAGCAGGCTGCGGCATCTTCCATAGGGCACAGTATCAGGTCCCTGAAGATCGATGCGGTTATGCCCTCTTTTGGGCCAACCGCAGGCATGAACCTCCTGATCTTACGGCCAAAAACTGTTGACCTTATCTTTGGTATATCACATCTACCGGTTTCTACCACGTTTTGAGCGCGAAGTTGGCGCCATCGCTCCAAATATTAGCATCGAACTCATATCCTCGTCGTTCACGATATCGCTAGCCTTGGAGGCTAACATAAACGCCAGGCAAACGATGAGCCAGATCCGTCCTGCGGAGCAATTGTGATTGGTTCCTTTGTCATTGACTTCTGCTTTTAGGAGCTGCTCGATCAGGTACTGCTGTTTTAGATAATCAGCAAGCATTTTCAGGCACTATCCAAATTTCCATGTTCCATGTTGGCGCAGCGTACATTGTCAAAAGCTTGTTGGTCATCAAACCGTGATGTGTATCTCATCATCGACATGTACACAATGCCCGCTTTGTTGCAAGATGGTCAGTCTCCTCCTCTTAGCAACTTCTAATCAGGTACGACCACATCAGAGATGACCGCTCCTCAACCGGAACAAGGCCAGCATCATGTCCCCTCATACAAATCCTCCGACTCAGAGCTTACTATTGTTCCGTCGCCAGCCTCTCCTGTAACTGGAGCTCAAACACCAACAACATCGCAAAGTCATGATCCTCTCGACCTTGAGGCCAATCAAGCTGCCCAACAATCAGGACCGAAAGGACCGCCAGGAGGATGGCTTGCACAGCATATGTCGAGAAACCAGGAAATAGCCTTCAATATAACCATCTGTTTGGTGCAGCTGTTACCACAGGCATGCCTGACGACATGTTTCCCCATCATCAAGACACTTGTGGAGGACTTTGGCATCAGCGATCCAGCAGTCCTGCCTTGGGTGGTTGCAGCGTATGCTCTTTCTTTTGGTACAACGATCCTGCTCGCTGGTCGACTTGGGGATATCTTTGGTCACAAGAATGTTGTTATGCTTGGCTTCACATGGCTCTCTCTCTTCTCGGTTGTTGCTGGTTTGAGTCGCTACACTAGCTATGAAGTGTTCTTCGCCGCTCGAGCGATGCAAGGTCTGGGCTCTGCAATGATGAACCCCAATGCCTTGGCACTGCTGGGAAGATCGTACCCGCCTAATTCCAAGAGCAAGATCATCGCTTTCTCGGCTTTTGGTCTCTGTGCTCCACTTGGGGCTTACACCGGCATGCTTGGTTCTGCGGTTTTAGGTCAACTGGTTCATTGGTCATGGTCTTTCTACGTAATAGCTATCACGTCCGCTGGGTTGGCCGTTGTGGCTCGTTTCTCATTACCTTCTCCACCAAAGACACCCAAGCAGATGCTTCCATTCTTCAAAAAGCTAGGCTCAATGGACTGGCTAGGAGGTATCACTGGCGTAGGAGGACTTGTTGCAATCCAGATATCGCTTATCTCGGCACCTGTGCAAGGCTGGAATACTCAATGGGTCTACATGCTTTTGATCATCGGGATCATCCTTGTGGCCTTCTTCGTCATCGTCGAGCTCAAGGTATCCATCGAGCCTCTCGTGCCGTTCAGGTTGCTCAACAGCGATGTCGCGTTCGTTCTGGCGGCAGTTGCTTGTGGTTGGGGAACGTTCGGCGTTTGGACCTATTACCTCTGGCGATTTCTACTGGGTGTCTGGAACGACTCGCCCTTGCAAGCCGCTTTGCATGTTCTGCCCATTGTCCCTGTTGCTCTGATTGCAGCGGTCCTTACTGCTTTCCTTATGCGAAAGACTCAACCAGCCTGGATCCTCCTTGGTGCATTGATCGCGTTCACACTTGGACCGACCTTTCTTGCAACGAACACTACCACTTCGCCGTACTGGACTTTCACGTTTCTCTCATTGCTCGTTACACCGTTCGGGATGGATATGTCCTTCCCATCAGCAACATTCGTCATGTCCAACTCTCTACCCATCGACAAACAGGGCGTGGGAGGCTCATTGGTCACGACCGTGGTCAACTACAGCATATCTCTCGGTCTTGGGCTGGCTTCAACAGTTGAAGTGCGCACTAACGACAACGGCCGCGATATGTTCAGAGGGTTTCACAGTGCTTGGATCTTTGGTCTGGGGCTTGGTTTGATCGGTATCGTCGTGTGCGTAGTTTTTGTTCTCAAGTCATATCTCTGGCCGTCACTACCAACGACACCACTTGGACTTGCTACTGTCTCGCGTGTCGCAGAGCAGCCGATCACCAGAATGAAAAGAGCCGAGACTTTTTCAAGTTCAACATCTACAGTGGTAGCGGACAGTGGTAGAGAAAAGATCACACCACCAGGTTTACCGGTGATTCCCGAGGAGTATGTCAAGTCTGGATGACATTGAGATGGTAAAACAGTAACATAGATTCATAGAGCATCTTAGGTACATGCCCAAGAACTACGAAACCCTTCGTAACCAATTCTCTGTTTGTCCTTCAATCAACCAGCTTCATTCACTCCTGCGCGTGCTACATATCGACCCCGTTTCTTCTCCCACATGGGACCACGCCAACCATGACTTTCTGTAATAGATGCCGGTGCCTGAGACCGACCAACCCAAGGAACATATCATCCACGCAGCCACGTCAGCCTTCACCTATCAAAAGAACCACCAGGCAATTGGAGTACGATTTGCAAGGTATTCAGGATGATTTGCCTTCTCATGCTCAGCGACCAGCAGAAGAGTTTGAAGTGGAGGTACAGGGACAACAGAAGGAAGAGGCAAGGGCGAACGAAACAGGTGTAAGAGGAGATTAGACGTTTTCTTCGCTGAGGCAGCTGAAATGAGTATGAGGGTGGTTGTTGGCGAAGCTGGTCGCTAAGAGAGGGGGGCGCAATGGCAAGTTTCTTTGTTGCCGCATCTGCCGCCTGAGTAAATAGCTGATAGCGCAAGTCAGAGCAGTGAAGAGGGCGAGTTCGAGTCTGAGCTTATACTAGGTCTTAGAGATCAGCAATACAATCAACAACAGGTGTGTTTAGTTGTTCATTCAAGGAAACGCAAAGACACAACGAATGGACGAGTCAGATAGGAATGTCCGTAAATATACAATGTTTCTGGAATCAATTGTATTCAAGTTCCATTATGCTACCATAACCAATTCAATTCATAGTGTCCAACAGGACCGCTCGTCCTCCTCTTCTGCAAATAACCGGATTGGGTATAGAGTTTCTGTAGTCGTCTCAAACTGAAAACATTGGGTATCATAGGTGGTATCGGTGTCATAGTATATAGGTGGCAGGTAGTAGTGATTGAGTAGATGTGAACGCTGACAATAATTCTTTTCACTTGTCGGACTTCATTCTGTTGTTTGTGGCAATGATCACCACTTCAAGCGTTCGGCACAATAAGGGTTAGACCCTACTCGTATGCGTCGTACGTGTTTTCCTCCCTCCTCGGCCAGCTCGGCCGCATGTCAAGCATGAGATGATAATGTTGAAGAAGGAAACAATGCCGTTCACAATTGCTGTTATGATTGAGCCGATACCGTTGACGATGGCCATGAGGACATTGCCTATGGTCTGGCAGAGCGAGCGCAGCTGTAGGAAGAATTAGTAAGTGCGGCAGCTTGCGTAGGAGTGAGTAACATACACAAGAAACGACGGCACCCATGTTGAGTATGAGTATTGATTAAACTGTAGGATTGAAGTTTGACTGCGTTCGATCTTGAGTTTGGGGGTGAGTGGAAAGGTGACTTGTGTTGTAGGAAGAGGCGTGGATGCCTATTATTATGCACAGGTCTTTCGTATCACACGAGACAGTCCACAAACGATCCCATGACGTGCGCGGAAAGAGGTCGGTATCAGACGGATTTGGTTGCTAGAGCATTCCAAGATAAGGCAAGAACAACACGCCGCGAAACTCTATAGCAATTGCGACGCGCAAGCTGTTGGCCAATTTCGCTTGGTCAGCGGTGTGTTAAGATTGCCACGACAGCCATGACAACATTTCACGTTGATGCGACAGAGGAAAACAAGGAAACGAGACAACGAGGCAAGAGCTCAACCCTGTCAATTGGCCAGGAACGACAGGGGGCAGATGACCTGCGTTTTTTTCCCGCGCGCCTTGACCATGCACGGACGTCATATTTTACGTAGATCCTTGGATGCTTTTTTGATTTGTGGCTGGTGATGCTGTTAATCGGCGATTTCCATTTGATGGGAGAGATAATGTCTCCAAGTTGTGGCTGCTACCATCTCAGAAAGTTCGGCTGACTGTGAGGCTCAAGTGGCTGGTGCATTTCTAGGCAAAAGTACTCGAGCTGAGCTGATTGTGGGAGTGCAGTCAATGAGGAGCTTGAAGGATGGACGTTCTCAGCCAAGTCATAAGCTTGAAGTCCTCTTCCGCTATTATAACAACTCTCCTTTGTGCCTTGCTTCTGATTCTCGGTTGTTCCTGGCTGCTCGCTGAAGACGTCGCTGCCATCCCCTTCGTCGTCGACCTTCCACCACAACTCCGTGATGGTTATCAATCGGATTTGACATCGACGACTGGCGAGCCTGAAGTTCGGAATGGAAAGATTTACCCTCGGTGTCCTGCTGACGGTCGACCCTTGACTACTGAACCTATCATTCCTGCTACTCGTGCCGATGTCGATACTGCGGTAAGGAGAGCAAGTGAAGCTCAAAAGACGTGGGCAAAAACTACCTTCGCACAACGCAAGAAGTTGCTCAACACATTGCTCAAATATATACTTGACAATCAAGAGGCTATAGTCACAGCTGCGTGTCTCGACTCTGGGAAAACTAAAATCGATGCGAGCTTTGGAGAAATCCTGGTCACTGTCGAGAAGCTACAATGGACTATCAAGCATGGGGAAAGAGCATTGGTACCTTCTGCAAGACCTACAAACCTGTTGATGTGTTATAAGAAGAACTATGTCGTCTACGAGCCTCTCGGTGTTGTCGCTTCATCATTCAGTTGGAACTATCCCTTTCACAGTTGGATCAGTACCGTCATCAGTGCTCTCTTCGCTGGTAACGCTATCGTCAATAAACCAAGTGAGCAGACGTGCTGGTCGAGTTTTTACTTCCTTGATATTGTGCGAACAGCCTTAAACACTCTTGGCCATAGTCCAGACCTAGTGCAGAATGTCATATGTCTGCCAGACGTCGCAGATTACCTGACCTCCCATACAGGCATCTCTCATCTCACCTTCATTGGTTCGCGGCCAGTGGCTCACAAGGTCTGCGCCTCGGCTGCAAAATCGCTTACTCCCGTTACAGTTGAACTAGGCGGTAAGGATCCAGCAATTCTACTCGACGATTCAGCGAGTCTCCAGAGCGTTGATAGCGTCAGTGCACTTCTCCTGCGAGGAACTTTCCAGTCTGCAGGTCAGAATTGTATAGGCATCGAGAGAATCATCGCACTGCCGAACATGCATGATGTTCTAGTGTCCAAGCTGGAAGAAAAGGTTAGGCAAATCAGACTTGGCAGCATTACATTAGCGCGACAAGGTGACCCTGATATTGACATGGGTAGCATGATCTCGCCAGCGTCCTTTGACAGGCTTGAAGCCCTTGTTGCCTCAGCTGTGTCCGCAGGTGCGACTCTACATGCAGGTGGTACTCGATACCATCATCCAAAGCATCCTCATGGGTATTATTTTGCACCCACTCTACTCAGCAAAGTGCTTCCAGACATGGAGATCGCACAGATCGAACTCTTCGCGCCTGTATGCACGGTCATGCGTGCAAACAGCGTCGACCATGCTATCGAGCTTGCCAATGCTACTTCTTACAGCCTAGGTGCTTCCGTCTTTGGCGCACCCACAACGAAGAACTGGCCAATCCTTCAACGCATAGCACGTGAAGTCAAGAGCGGCATGGTGAGCATCAATGACTTTGGTGCTTTCTACGTATGCTCTCTTCCGTTCGGTGGTGTTCGTGGTTCTGGTTATGGCAGATTTGGTGGTGAAGAAGGCCTCAGAGGTTTGTGTAACGTCAAGAGTGTATCCCAAGACACGTGGTGGGCAAGGCTACTAGGGATCAAGACTGAGATACCGGGCATATTGCAGTATCCAGTTGTGGCCGCTAATGGCTACCGGGCATGTGAAGGAATCGTTCGAAGCGGATACTCACAGAACTTTCCAGATATGTTGGCTGGGATAGTCGGTCTTCTAGGGGCTTTGCTGGGGAGCAAAAAGGGTTCAATGTCTAGCAAGCTCTGAATGTCTAGGTAGCTCAGAAAAGCTCTTTCCCTTTTATCCCATGTGAACAAGGTCCACCATTTTATGAAGAGTCAGCACAGCATCTTCGTAGTACTCGTAGATGGTGCCACACATACAGTGATTTTAACGAAAACCTGCCGCTTCTAGCTATATCTTGCCTACCGAGTAAAGCCACTAGTAGAATATTGTACCAGCTGCAGATAAAAGTGCAATTTACAGCGCTTCTCACCTTGCACTTTACCACATGACCCGTACAAACCGATCTCGGCGCTGTTGAGACACTGTCGAGCTACGAGCATCCGTGTATTATCTCCTCGGATCAACGCGGCTGTCATCAGCTCAAACAATGGTCACATTAAGCTCAACAGACCTGCAACACGCTAGATCCCTGCTTCCCAGAAATGTTATGCCACCACGAAGATGTCTAATTACACCACCTGTCCATACTGTGGCAACACAGACTTCGAAGAGGAAGATGGTGTCTTAGTCTGCACATCATGTGGTCGTCAACAAGAAGGATTGCAAATAGCTGAACAAGACGACGCAGATTATGGCACGCAAGGTAAAATCTCTCGTAAAAAGATCGAGAAGACCAAGGTCAAAGTCACAAAGGTCTACCGAGGAGCACAGGCATATCGACTATACTTGCAGGCATGGCAGCATATTATGTGGAAGCAGGCTTATGCACTCATTCATGGATCTGCCAAAGCACCAGCCAGTCTATGGACTGTTGCAAAGGATCTTTGGGCTTTGAGGCTATCGAGCATAACGACTCGGCTGGTAACCACAGCTGATGTTCCGCTAAGCGTAGAAGAGGGAGAACAAAATCTGATCGATTCAGACTCTGAACCGCAAAATACCAAAAGTGTTCTTGGCATTCATCTGGTCCCGAGGCTGTGGGATGCCATTGCTCTGCTGTACCTGGCTGCCCTCCTTGTCCGCTGCCCGCTCACCCTTCAACAGCTCTACGAACGTATTCGCACAGAAGGAATACCCTTCATTCGTGCAATTCGTCATGTGCCACTCGACATCTCGAACAAGCTTCCACCAGAATACCACGAAGCACTCGACACTGCGACAGTCCCCACCTCTCACGAGCTTCATGAGGCAGTCTATCGCACTCTGCAGACATATACCAAGGAATTTGGCATGACACTGCCAGCACTAAACTGGAGAATCATCCTATTTGACTGGATCCAGCACCTGGCCCTACCGATCGAGGTCTATCCTGCTGTAAGACAAATAGCCGGCTTAGTAGGCTACAGCTTTGCATACGAATTACCTCAGCAAGAAGAAGACGATACTAGGGATGGAAAAACACAGCGAAGTCGTCGAAGTCCAGTTGCGATGGCTGAAGTGCAGCTTGCGAGTCTCCTCCTAGTCGCAACCAAAATGCTCTTCCCTTTCGACACCGAAAGTCCCGGTAATGCCTCACTTCGTCTCGACTGGACAGCCTGGCTTCGTATACAGAAATCTTCTGCGTCGGAACATCACGCTCAATCTAAACCCTCCATCGAAAGTGGCAAACACATCGAGTTACACGACAGAGACATCAATAACATGACAACTGAACAACTTGACGATTACATGGACTGGTACCAGCGAACCTTCACCATACCTGAAACAGTACTACAGGCTAAGAAGACGGATTTGGAGAAGAGTATCCTTGATATGTTCACGTTGTCTGAAACACCGCAAATCAGATTACCTAAATCGAGTGATGAAATTAACAAAGAGGATCAAGAGTCTAACCTCGCCGCAAAAGTAACAGCTGAAGCGATTCTACCTGCCAACACAGAACATCCCCAGCATACGAATGACCAACCAGAGGATAATGGCAATGACAACAGCCTACCTGGCTTACAATACCCCATCTATTCCACCGTCGAAGCACTACAAGCAACAAGCAGTGCCTCCAAGGAAACCAACGAAGAAGACAACCCGGTCTTATACCTCCACAACCGTGTAGCTGAGCTTTGTTGCACTGACCTCAAACGCTTACTTCGAGGTATTCGACACACCGAAAAGAGAATCGAAAAGTGGCAGGCAGAGAAGAAGAGGCAGGAGGTGTTTGGTACGGCTGCGGATATAGAGGAGATGGATATGGCTGACTGAAAAACGGCTATGTCTCTGCGAATATATTGCGGCACGATGGTTCGGTAATAGTAAGACAATTCTGCCTCCAAAATGCCCTGAAGGATGTTTGAATCGATATAGCGGAAATCGAACCTGATGCTATTTCGTAATCCTGCAGGTACCACGGGATTGAGTCACATCACTCGGAGAATGTCAAATTATCTAGTGCTCTGAACACTCTCATTTACTACCCATAGCGTTCTTCGCGGCTGCGACGGCGCCCAAGCTGGCTGGAGTCTCTACCTTCGAGTCATTCACGACACTCGACTCCTTCACCTCCTTGTTGACCTGAGTCTGCACCTGTGGAAATGTTGCAGCAGCTCGACTCTCCTGCCACTCCCGACTCTTGTCTTTGGCCCAGCTTCCCCAGCTATTAAGATATGCACCTGCACGTGCTGCGTTCTCTCTGGCCGCAGCTTGCATCTGCACTGTGTCCACGTTCGGCCGCTGAACATTCGCAGCACGACTGCGCAGTGCAGCAGTCCATCCACCTCCATTTGTCGTTTCTTGTGGAGCAGCACTTGCTACACTTGAGGCGCCTGCAGCATTCGCTGTAGTGTGCTCAGTTGAGCGACGGCCTGCATCGAAAACGTCCGGATGCTCAACCAGAACGCCCGAGTCGTCGCTAAGACTGCTCGCCTCCTTCGTAGATAGCTTCTTGTCATTCTCCTGGCGAGATCTGCTGCCCTCTCTCCGCTCCTTGAAATTCTCGACCTCTTTCCAGAATCTTGCTACACCAGCTCCGACTCGCTCACGTCCTACTTCGATGGCTTTGCCTGCTGTCTCTCTTGCCTGGCGCGTGCGATCGTCGATGTGAAGCTCACTGACCGCTGCGCCGACTCGACGCTGTACGTCTTCAATGTTCAAACCACCGGCGGTAGGATGTCGTGGCTCCACGATGTCGAAGATTTGGCTGTCATCAGTCAAGCTATGCCACAATGTATAGTTCGGTGTTTGCTTCCATAAGGCCAAGAAATCGTGATTGAAATCGCCGGCAGTCTCTAGTGGATCAGGGTATCGCTCGTCAGAAACACCTCCGGCCTGCTTCGAAAGGTAGGGATTAGGATGGTTGTCGAAGTGGTTCTTATACGCCACCGAGCTTACGAAGCTCAATATGTACTCTTCAAAACTGAGTCGGATAGCGTCCTCGGATCCTTGATAGCCATGAGTCGTGGGCCGGGACGGGTCAGCGGGATTCCAGGTATCTAGAACTGTTTGGGTAAGATGATCGATCCAGCGCCGATCAGCAGCAGAAAGGGATAGTGCAGATCGTAGGGCGGGGTCGAGGATAGTAATCTTGGACGACAACGAGACTTCATCGAGATTGACAAGGATATCGCAATAGCGGTTCTTCATCTGTTGAGGGTCGCCCGAGTTGACAAGATCCCGTTGTGAGAGAAAGAGGACGTTTGTACTGCCTGCTAGGTACGATTTGGCACTTGGAGACGAGAGGAAGTCCAGCTGCTGAAGTGGTGTGTATGGCGAGAAGAAGGAGTGCTAGATCGTTAGCATAAAGAACACAGAAGATCAACGTGGCATACCTCGCCAAAAACTTGAAGAGGAAGGCCCATATATGCAAGCACTGGCTGGTATTAGTTCATCCGAGAATTTTATCATGACAACATACATGAACTCCTTTCGCTCGTCCTCAGATTCGTTGCACGGCTGACGGTCTTCACATATGTGTTCAATTTAGGCGAAGCACAGTCTTGTAAGTTATCAAGGAGATGGGGAATGAGCGAGACAAGAGCAAATTGCGTCATACATAGTCTCTCACATCTTGTGCCAAAGAACAGAACCTGGAGATACCGTCAGTATGCTGGAGCGGCATTTGTAGGCAGACATACACGTTTCTGCAACAAAAGGCATTTGACCAATATCAGTGTCAAGTGGCGGAGCTCGTGAAGGAGCTCTCGCAGCGACAGTCCTATCCACGTAAGTGCTGTAACTCTTTTCTGGCAGTGCCGGCCTACCAAAGTAAGCATCCTTTTCGTGTTTCTTCGCCTCTGCTTCATGCTGCAGACTGGCTTGGAATTCCTGTTGTCCAAGTTTAGCAACAGACTCGATCCGATGTGTTATTACACAGATTTACCTTCAAGATGTGAATGTCAGAGAAGTCTCTGCAGAAAGTGGTTAGTTCTGACACTTACTTCACAACACTTTGAATAGGAAGAACCTTACTCTTGAGCAAACCACGCCGCAGTCACAGCCGCTAGACGCTCTCGTAGCTGCCCAAGTATACCAGGTCTGTCAACAATCACGACCACAGCCTTCTGCACGAAACTACGCGTGACCTCAGCTGACTTGACTTTCAATTTATCAGCGCGTATCTGACGCGTACATGATATACCGAACAGACTTGTTTCTGGAGTGTCTGTGGTCGTTTGCGAGACGAGCGTGAAGTAGGAGAACTCTTCGTTGCTAGCATGCGCACCATCAGGCAATGCTAGGAAGGCCAGCTGGGTCCAGTCGTTGGTTTGAAACAACTGCTGTCCAGCATCATCTGCCCACAACTCGATTTCTGGTCCTCTTGATAGCGTCAGTCACGACAGAGACACACCCGTAGTCAATTTGTAATGCTCTAGAGTCACCACTTCACCTGATACCTACCTGTGATGGTTGAAGTCAACGACCAATATCTGTGGGATGAACGCTTCTGTCATCTTTGTTTCAACGGCTTTCTCGACCAACAGCGATGCATACTCGAAGATCTGGTCCGTCTGACACGATTTTGGGATGTCGTACTCAATTCTGGAATTATGAACTTCTTACAGCAATGCAAAGCAAGTACGTGATAGTCACGCTCAACAACGTGTCCTTGCTCCACCGTAGTACAGTAGAGGCACGGACAGGTGTACGTTTTGTGGCAGGAACGAACAAACTGTCCAGAGCCAGAAGGTTACTCGAATACATGCCTTGACTTTCTACACTCATTGAAGGAATGCAACTACCGGGAGTAACATGCTTGTGTCTGAATATCCTGTTCCTGATCCAAAGCAACGACTTTAGCTGGGAGTTTCGAAATCCAGTCTCTAAAACCATCTCCAATCACTAATGCTCTCGTACACATTTGTGGCTGCGAATGCTTACGCCAGACGAAGATCCGATTATAACAACACAGATAACTAGTAGCAATTGGCGACGATGTAACGACGAGATGGGCATAAGGGTCAAGTCCAACACCAGGGTCACGTCGCTAAAGAGACAAGGTCGAAGTCTCGTACCCAACGCTCAATGCTTCCAATGACAGACATCTCATAGACTCTTCTGATATGCTTGTGAGTAGCCTTGAAATCAACTGAAAGGACGATTGTTTAAAATTTGCTCTATGAATCACCGGCTTGCTAGAAACATGCTCGCCGCTCGAACTGTCTGCGCCTCCGCTGGCTACTCAGTGCCTGTCAACAGTCCAGTGCATATCTATTCTGTTGCCTCATTTCAACGTGCCGTGCCTGTTTCTTCTTTCTCATCTGCATTCATCATGCCTGGCAAGCCAGATATCAGAAGTCCAGCTTATGCCAGGTCCAATACAGAGAATATACCAAGTCCCAACGATACCACTAAGATCATGCAACAGCCTGTCCATTCATAGCCTGTGCCTGCTCTATCGATAGTGCTTGTGGTTGTTGGTCGTCTGGACCGCCCTCAACATTGTGATAGTCCAGAATTTCAGAGTACATCATAATCTTCCAAGTGTCAACCGGCAGGTCTGCATCGTTGAAGGACCAATCGAACTTCTCTTCAGCAACAGGCTCATCGGTCGGGTCGTGGTATGGAGAAAGGTAGTCGTGCGTCAGGCCTTGGGCGGCTGAGACTCGTTTTCGCGGGTCAAATACCAGCATTTTCTCAAGCAGATCGATGGCAGAAGGATCTGCATTCTTGAATTTGTTCTTCAATGGCTGCCTTTCTCGCTTAGGCAGGGACTGCACGAATCTCAAGGTATTTTCGCTGCAGATAGTCTCGATCACGTCTTGTGGCGGAGTTCCAAGCAATTCTGTTATAATTGAGAACTGATTGACGTGATCCTTTCCGGGAAATAGCGGCTTGCCCTCGAGCATTTCCGCAAAAATGCAACCTGCACTCCAAATATCAACCTCAATATCATATTTCTGCCATGTGAGCATGATCTCGGGGGCGCGGTAGTATCTCGTGGAGACATATCCTGTCATTTGAGGATCTTGAATTCGAGCAAGGCCGAAATCGCATATTTTGAGGTCGCAGTTCTCGTTGACAAGGATATTGCTAGGTTTGAGATCTCGGTGAACAACGCCGGCGCTGTGGACATACTTCAGTCCTCGCTTGAGCACTCATTAGCTTATGTCTTGAGCAGCAGAAGATGTGAACCCACCAAAATTTGGTAGAGGAAGTATTGAATGAACTGTTTCTCGAGCGGTCTGCTGGTCAAGAGGCGGTGTAGATCTGTTCCGAGGAGCTCAGTGACAAAGTAGATGTCCTCGAGAGGAGAGATGAAGATGTCGCTCAGCGAGATGACCTGATTCTCTGTTAGACTCTTTGGTGGTTGTAGTGAATGAGGCTGCTTACGTTTTCGTGTCTGAGATGCTTCAGGAGCTTGAGTTCACGGTACGTTCGTTTCGAAAGGACAGGTGTAGAAAAAGGTTTCATAATCTTCTTCACCGCAACAGCTTGACCTGTCAATTGGTCCTTCGCCGAGCTGGTTGCGCAGTTAGGATTACCATTCTGTGAAATGGGTTGGGCAGACATACCACACCAGGCCAAAGGCGCCCATGCCAACTGGTTGCAGATCTGTGTACCTGATCGACCGTCAATCACCACTACTTGTACCATTTCACGCTTCGCTGTACCTTGACGTGATCTCGAACGTCGTGCCAAATATTTGGGCTCGTACAAACTCCGCCATGGTGTCTGTCGCTTATGCGTCGTCTCCAGGGATATGCAATGAGTTGAGCCGCTGAGGAAAGGTTGGAGGGGTAGTATACTAGGGAAGAAGGAAGTTGCGGTTGTGTAGAGGTGCCGTTTGTGCCAAATACACGTCCTGCAATTCACGAACAAGACCTTTAGTACAACCTGCGTCTAGTGAAATGAGGAACGACTCAGTCTTCGTCCGCCAGAGGTAGAATTTAATCCTCTACCACGTTGAAAGGGGCGTGTCCCAGAAGCGCAAAATGTTCTACACTACTACAGGGAAGATGCGGCGATACTTGGATAGTGGGAGCAGATAGCCTGCACACTGAAAAATGGTCGAATACGGCCCAATCAACCAGGTCAAAATCTATCTGCCATGACAGCTAAGGTTTCGGGTACCAGCGATCCATCAACACGAATCAGCGACGGCCCCAATGACTTCGAGTCCAGTACGAACTCAACCACCGAGAGACGCTGTTCGTTCCTGCCAGCTTTCGACCATCCAGGTACTGACCAGCATTTGTATAAACCATCAGCCGTTTGCTCTACTCCCTCTCGTGTTCTTGGACAACTGACAATTCCTGTATGAGTTGTTCCTAAAGTCCTGACGTCACGTCCGCCTTCAGGCTCTTCGTAGACCAAGGTATCGCCAGGCATGAAGCCGACTCAACCCGGTCAACCAAAGTGTACGAGTACTTCCCAAGCATCAACTAAAGTATTGGACAGCACATACTCGGAAATGTTGCACCGTTTCCACTAATCTCAAGGCACCGAAACTCCTCGAGTTGAGGCTCAAGGAGGCGCGAGTAACTCCGTTTGTTGTGGATACCATAAAACTCTGAGGCAGCAAGCACTGTACAGTGACCAACATGAATGACTTTGAGTCCAAAAAAACTTGAACCCATCGTTCTAATCAATGCTGTTATAACCACGATTTATCGCCGTTTACTGTTTCAGGCAACGGGTTTTTTGCACTATAATCATTGAAGCAGCTCTGTGCTCGAGCCAAGCACGACGGCGCAGCGGGTGTACAGCCTCGTACTTGCCTCAATGTTTTGACCGCCTACACACAAACTAGCCCTTTGGCTACAGTCGTCAACCTCGTAGGTCCTGTTTATTTGTTTCTCAATCGTCCACGACCAGTATTCGAGGAGCACGCCTCAACTCTGATGGCATACGCAACTGTCGTCGAGTGCACGTCGGCAAACCGCTCTATTCCCTTGTTCGCGCAAGCAAAATAGCTGAGTAGAGTGCTCACGAAACAAGCGAACAGACATGGCTACGGAATCCCGAGTTTCGATCAGGATGTCGATCATTGTCCTGGTCGGGTGGTAACTGGAGTCTGATTCCCGATCGAGATTACACGTGGCAGCTCACCCACATTGCGCGCTCAGGCGTGTAGGAGCTTAGGTTTGAGCACTTCCAGCTGTTCAGGTCGAGAGTCAAGGCAATATAGCATGCGTCCTGCCTAGTTGCCTCGCTTGGTTTGCACAAGTTTTTCGGGAAGACTTGTTAGGTGACTATGTCGCTTATATTGCCGAGACATATAGTAGGAAAGTCCAATCATTGAGCTGCAATGCACAAACCCAAGCCGACCACTGGTGAACTCAAATCAGCAGTGCTCAAAATAGTACCAATTTAGCTTGCTTCAATGGCTCGAGCACGCATACATTCGTTGCCGTAAGAGAGTACATGTAGAAACAGACAGAATATCCTGTCAGTAGTTCGTATAAGTAGGTTCTGACTCGTACGTCCTCAGCCGGCTGCAAAGCGTCGCGAGGTCGCGAAGTATTACTGTCAGGCGCATGATGTCGGCTTGCTGGTACAAACGTACTGACTTAGCGTGCTACATATCGTGGTTCTAAACGATCTTTATGACTTTGACACATACCAATATAGTGGCTGCCCATCATTGAATATGATCAACAGACTATCGAGCAGAGCTGCCGTCAACAATCAAAACATCGATCTTGATCTACCCTTTTCAGAAATGTGAGATCGTCGGAGCTAGGCCAAATTCTGGTGCCAATCGCGGAGAAGTTAGCCACGTTTTGGCTCGCTTCAACCACTCAATTTTAAGCACATTCGTAGTGCTGTCAGTGGTGATGCTTGCAAAACCGCCTTGACCTCCGTCACTTGCAGCAGCATACTGGATCGACACCTTGTTGGCTGGATCGTCGCTCAGGCTTTCTCCTCAGATTTACCTCTTCTCCGTCGGCTCGCCTAAGCCTCAACTTGGTCCCAAGTCCCCTCTTATCCGTACAACTCGATTATTGTCCTGCATTTGCGCTCAAAAATTAGTGGCCGTCAGCCAATACGCTTCCGACCCACCTTGATCGACTCCTCCCGACGTTGAACAGCCGTGCACAGCTTCGCAGCTGCTTCTGGCCCACGACCGTCTCCAGCTGATACGCATACCGTCATACAACTCAACACCACGACCTACAACCACAGCTATTTTGTATACGTGGTGAGCGAGCTGAGGAACTACGAGTCAATAATCTGATCGCCTTGATCAAAAGCAACTTCGACCGCGACCCTGTACATAGTGCGCCGCTTTGTCTAGGCTTTTCACACACCTCTCACGCCGACCTCGCCTTGTCTCCGAAACCACGGTTTCGAACGAGCATTCGTAGCTTGCCGATTGCAAACCAAGCGCCGACCTAATTTCACTTGCACCTGAGTGTGCGCGCTTGCGGATCTGCTCAATTAGACCAACGACTGTGGTATTAATTGATACCAATCGACCATACTGCTCATGCACACGGAGACCGCAGTGCATGACAAAGATACTTGGAGGAAATAGGTGACATCTACCTTGCGCTGCTACTGCAGCATTGCTAGGATTCTGGGCCTTCCGACCGGTTTAGCATGGGTGCCTGTGGCAGCAAAGAGGCCGGCGGCGCCAGCGATGTCGATACGGAACAGAAGAAACGCAGTCAGGCGATAGACAGGAAGTTGGAGGAAGACTCGAAAAAATTGAGGCGAGAGTGCAAAATTCTACTTCTAGGTACGAAACGCGAGCAAAGCAAACGTCGGTTAGGCTAACACGACACAGGATCTGGCGAGTCCGGGAAGTCGACGATTGTCAAACAAATGAAGATCATACATCAGAATGGTTATACACAGGAAGAAAGAGCTTTGTACAGATTAACAATATACAAAAACTTGGTAGACTGCATGAAAGCACTGGTCACTGCTATGCAGCAATTCGAGATCGAGCCAGAAAGTGATAGGACGAAAGAAGCAATCAATTTGCTCGAAAAATACAATGTTGATCCCGACCCTGATACAACTCTCGATCCCAAGGTCGCAGACTGGGTTGCCACGATATGGCACGACGATGCTGCGGCAAAAACGATGGAAAGGCAGAGTGAATTCTACTTGATGGATTCCGCAAGATAGTATGTATTGAGAGCACGGTATGAAGAGCTCGCTAATCGTCCTAGCTTCTTTGACGAAGTGAAAAGGATCGCTGCACAGGACTATATACCGGACGAGGCCGATGTGCTAAGAGCACGAACCAAAACCACAGGTATATACGAAACAAGGTTTACAATGGGCCAGCTCAGCATACAGTACGTCAGATGGCTCAATTCGTGTCTTATACAGGCTGACTAGATATAGTATGTTCGATGTTGGTGGCCAAAGGTCAGAACGAAAGAAGTGGATACATTGCTTTGAAAATGTCACTTCGATCATCTTCTGTGTAGCACTAAGTGAGTATGACCAAGTCTTACTCGAGGAAGCAAATCAGGTACGTTGTTGCGAGCTACCAAAAGCGTGGCTGACCCGTCCCAGAACCGCATGATGGAAAGTCTCGTCCTCTTCGATTCTGTAGTCAACTCTAGGTGGTTCATGAGAACGAGTATTATTCTCTTTCTCAACAAAGTGGACTTGTTCAAGGAGAAACTGGAACGTTCACCTTTGGGGAACTATTTCCCAGATTATTCTGGCGGCAACGACGTAAATCGGGCTGCCAAATACCTCCTTTGGCGGTTCAACCAGGTCAACCGCGCTCATCTCAACCTTTATCCTCAGTAAGTGGTATCCTTACAGGTAATTGTTCCTTGAACTAATAAAACCAGCCTCACGCAAGCGACAGATACCACCAACATTCGACTCGTCTTCGCGGCTGTGAAAGAAACCATCCTCCAGAACGCGTTGAAGGACTCTGGAATTTTATGAGACAACGTTCGCACGATTTTGTTTATTTTGACTTGTTCTTGACTTTGAGCATGGTTCGGCGTTCTTGGGTAGGTCTCAAACGTCTTCAAGCGGAAACTGGGGCAAAAGAGATTTCGATTCTCTGCCGATATTCACGATGGGGCGTTGATGTTAGCATGTCAATAAAAGTTTTTGAGAGGTGTGGTAGGATATGACGGGTCCGCTTTGCTCAGATACTAATGGAGTAAGAGGAGGTAGCCATGATGAACATTCTTCATAGTTTCGAAGGATCGCTTGAGCACGAGGGTCCGACATAGGCACAGATTGTGTCTGCACAAGAGTCGCGTGTTCTTTGTGGTACAACAAGTCCGAGAAGCATTCTTAGAGCACCGACACGATTGAACAGGGGGAGATCCAGACAGGACGCACCATAAGAGTAACGATTTATGTTGCCCGCGAAAGAGAACATTTTTGTCAGCTACTATCTACTCGGCTTATATAATTCTGTAAATATTGTCGGCGCTCCGATGACCCCTCGGCCTGCATCAGATAACCAACAGGTACATGCCAAGGCATTCTTCTTGGTTGTGTACCTGCTTCATGCTTCACTCATTACGGATGTGGCTAAAAGCTGCAGAAATCCGGGGTGGTTTGATCTTGGGGCTCTCCACGTTCTGTTCCGCTCAGTTGCGGCGCTAAAGGACAATGGATGTTTTTTATGGCGAATTTGCCATGTGCTGTGAGTCCTTCTTCCACAGCCTCCAATGCATCGCTCATCAGAAATATCTTACATTAACTGTCAGCCGTTGTGAAACTGTCAAGGTCTAGTAGAGAATACATTGCCGCTGCAAGTTCAGACAGCATCTTTCGACGACATTTCTTCCGAGCACGCTGCAACATTGCCGCTGACCGTCTTCCTGCAAGGAGAATACTGTAAACTCTTATCTCGAACATGCATGAGCTCAAATTCCCACAACCTAACTGTGACCAATAGCCACTCGAGAATCGCACCTCACTCACCGCCAGGCGTGTAACTTCCGCTCGATACGAGAGCTGTAGCATCAATCACCCTGGAGAACTTCAATGATGCTTGAAGACAGATGCTTGGACGAATTTCAAGAACAAGCTGCTGATTACAGTGGCAGCCAAGCAGCTCAGCACATGTTCTGTTCCGCGTAAAAACGCGCTAAACACACCGCAGAAGGCCCGAATTGGCGTTCATCCCACTGGCAACTGGCGCTTCGGTGTTGAGATCTGCCCCACCAAAAAAAGAATGGCAGCTAGTGCTCTTACCACGGGCTGCAATCGCAGTCTTTCAGTTGTTCTTTGTTCCTGTTCCTATAATTCTGTCGTATTGTCCTTTTCCCGATCGTTTTTTTACGCATAGCTGTACGAGTGGCCCAACATGGCTTCAGGCACAACAGCAGCTCCTCGGGAGCGCAAGCCCTCGATGGGAGCACCAATCTCGACGTTACAAGGCCCTGTTGGTCCCGGCTTCACTCGACCCAAGCACAAGCGTACCGCCACAGGCTTTGGTGCTCAAGATATCAAATCTGTCGAGTCTAGCATTCCCGAGCCACAGAGGGAAGCGTAAGTAGTAGTCCCTGTGCACAGTTCCTAACAAGCACTGACACTGTCTGCAGATGGAAAAAATACGTACGCGTACAGAAATACTCGAAGTTCACAGCCGTCTGACCATCTGCCAGTCTGCCACAGGTTTCAAATCGAAGGATGATTTTCAGGTTCGTTGAAGTTCCTGTTCAACGCGGCAATCCAAAAGCTGACAGGCCGCAGAAAGAAACTGTCAGACACATCGAGACTACTCTGGCTCGCTCTCTCTTCAACTGCGATGAGAAGTAAGTTTTTGATATGGTCGTCTCCGTCGATCCATGCTAACCTCGTAGGGCTGCTTACTCTGGCACCGCCCTGGCATTTCGAGATCGATTGATTATTGATTGGAACAAGACCCAGCAGAGGCAAACCTTTGCGGACCAGAAGAGAATATACTGTGAGCAAGTCAACGTCTAGCATATCTGCCAGTACTAATCCCCTCGAGATCTGTCTTTGGAATTTTTGATGGGCCGAGCATTGGATAATGCTATGCTCAATGTTGGATTGAAGACCGCAGCTAAAGGTAAGTCTTGCAAGCCTCGACCCTGCCAGAGAATTAACACGTTGCAGAGGGTCTCGGCGAACTTGGTTTCCGTATCGAGGACGTTATCCAACAAGAGCACGATGCCGCTCTCGGAAATGGTGGTCTCGGCCGATTGGCTGCCTGCTTCCTTGACTCGTTGGCCTCACTCAACTACGCAGCCTGGGGTTATGGTCTGCGTTACAGATACGGTATCTTCAAGCAAGAGATTGAAAATGGATACCAGGTCGAGATCCCAGACTACTGGCTCGATTTCAACCCTTGGGAGTTCCCACGAAACGATGTGACGATCGACGTCCAGTTCTATGGATGGGTAAACAAGTACACAGATGATGAAGGAAAGCAGATCACTTCCTGGCAAGATGGAGAGATCGTCACTGCTGTAGCATACGACGTACCAATCCCAGGCTACGGAACTGCCACCGTAAATAACCTGCGTCTCTGGTCTAGCAAGGCTTCAGCTGGCGAGTTCGACTTTGCCAAGTTCAACTCGGGCGAGTATGAGAATGCCGTTGCTGATGAGCAGCGTGCCGAAACCATCTCTGCCGTTCTGTACCCCAATGACAACATGGACCGTGGAAAGGAGCTCAGACTGAAGCAACAGTACTTTTGGTGCGCTGCTTCTCTGCATGATATCATTCGACGATTCAAGAAGTCGAAGCGCCCCTGGAAGGACTTCCCAGAGCAGGTTGCTATTCAGCTGAACGACACCCACCCAACTCTGGCTATCGTCGAGTTACAGCGAATACTTGTCGATCTGGAAGGCATCGAATGGAATGCGGCGTGGGAGATCGTCACTAAGACTTTCGGTTATACGAACCACACTGTTCTGCCAGAGGCTTTAGAGAAGTGGTCGGTTCCATTGATTCAGCATTTGCTTCCTCGACACTTGCAGGTTAGTATTCCTCCATTGCTTTATGCCCACATGTATAGCTGCTCCCTCGCGATGTGGTGCTCCCTATCTCTCTTCGCCCTCCTGCATCAACCATTTTGAAGAATGTTGCTAATACTCGAGATATCAGATAATTTACGACATCAATCTGTACTTCTTGCAGCAGGTTGAGCGACGATTTCCCAAGGACAGGGATATGCTCGGCAGAGTATCCATCATCGAGGAGTCGCAGCCAAAGACAGTCCGCATGGCATACTTGGCTATAATTGGTTCCCACAAGGTCAACGGTGTCGCTGAGCTGCACTCAGATTTGATCAAGACTACTATCTTCAAAGACTTTGTCAAGATCTACGGTCCCGACAAGTTCACCAACGTCACCAACGGTATCACACCAAGAAGATGGCTGCACCAAGCAAATCCAAGGCTGTCTGAGCTGATTGCTTCGAAGCTTGGAAGCTATGAGTTCTTGAAAGACTTGACACTCCTGAACAAGCTAGAGAACTTTGTTGATGACAAGGACTTCAAGAAGGAATGGGCGGAGATCAAGTATGCCAACAAGGTCAGACTTGCACAACACATCCTGTCAGCCACCGGCATCAGCGTCAACCCGAAAGCACTTTTCGATGTCCAGGTCAAGAGAATCCATGAGTACAAGCGACAGCAGCTCAACATCTTTGGTGTCATCCACAGATACCTCGCCATCAAGAACATGTCTGCGGAAGAGCGTAAGAAGCTTGCTCCTCGTGTCTCCATCTTCGGCGGAAAGGCTGCACCGGGTTACTGGATGGCCAAGACCATCATTCACCTGGTCAACAAGGTCGGGGACGTGGTCAACAACGACAAGGACGTTGGAGATCTCTTGAAGGTCGTCTTTATCCCTGATTACAATGTTAGTAAGGCCGAGATCATTATTCCAGCTTCCGATATCAGCGAGCACATCTCCACCGCTGGTACTGAAGCCTCAGGCACATCAAACATGAAGTTCGTGCTCAACGGTGGACTTGTTATCGGCACATTGGATGGTGCCAATATCGAGATCACACGTGAGATTGGCGAGCAGAACGTCTTCCTCTTCGGTAACCTGTCCGAGGACGTCGAGGATCTGCGACACAACCATTTCTATGGTAACCACCAGATCGATCCCGAGCTAAACAAGGTCTTTGATGAGATCAAGAAAGGTACCTTCGGTGACGAAGGTGCTTTCTCCAGCCTAGTCAGTGCTATCCTTGACCACGGTGATTACTATCTTGTCAGCGACGACTTCAATAGCTACTGCAAAACTCAGGACCTTATCGACGAGACATACAAGAATCAAGATGAGTGGGTGTCGAAGTCGATTACATCCGTGGCAAGAATGGGATTCTTCACTTCTGACCGATGCATCAACGAATATGCCGACAGTATCTGGAACATTGAGCCTCTTCAGGTCAAGGAAGAAGCCGAAGTCCGATCTCGAACTGGTTTGGAGACCTAGAAGGATTGCCATCGATTGAGCAAGCATAGTCTTGTAAGTATCGTCTGTCTGTTCAGGGTGAGTTCTTTGCAATGCGCATGAGGAGGAACGAGATTCTTTGAGCCTCGAGTCGCCCTGTTCACCCTAATCACTACACCGTACAAATGTCAACCCTATTCGATTTCGTCCTAGCGCGAGGGAAGGTTTATCAGAAAAGACTGCAACAGACCTAGATGCCTGCCAAGGCTAGAAGGATTATGTTCAAGTTGAGACGAGATTATCGTTATGACAGCAGGCAGAATTGATGTTTGAAATGACGAGTATGAGACCATTGAGCGGCGATAAAGAGGCACAACGAGCATAAACAAAAACGTTAAGAATAGAATCGATACTTTCATTCCACATCCTTTTAGCTACACTACACCACGCACGTGTAACCACGAACAAAGTCGGCCGAAGGTGGGTTGTAAATCCAGTGTTGTTCGGTAAATGAGTGATATCCGCTCACGACTTCCAAGATCTACAGGCCAAACCACTGCCATTCTGCAGCAATCGCTTCTCTTTCTAACGACTAACACAACACCTCGGACGTCTCTAACACCGTAGTCCTTCTCCGCGAACAGCAAGCGTATACGTAGCTTTCCTCCTTGTACCACGTCCGTTGTGGCTACGTTGTTGAGCACTCTCCCTAGCTCTCTACGCACCACTTTCAAGGTCCGAACCGACACTGTTGCAATCATTACAGACAACCTGAATAACCAGTGCCTGCGCTGCCTCGTTTTGTGAAGTAGAGAGTATCCGTTGACCCGTACGCTTGAAGCTTTGCCATGAGACGATTGGGCGTCGCTGGTCAGTAGCGTGTGTTGTGAAGGTCACGAATGACGAATGAGGGTTCACCAGTATCGTGTTGGAGGGGCTTTGCCAACCTGCAGGTTCCACTGATCGTGTGTTGCATTCTAATTCGTCTGGTTGGCGTCAGGTGTGTTGGGAAGAACAGTCGATATTCGGTGGCCGAGTTCAAGGGTAAATATTGTTTCTCATTGGTGTCTGAATACCTTTCCGGCCAGGTAGAAATTAGAATCTATGCGCGATTTCGATAACATCGCAGCAGGTGGTGTGGGTGCAAAGCTTTGAGTGCACAGCCTGCGTCCTGCTTGGTCGGTCGTTCAGGATCATGCAGTACGTCAACCATTATACTGCATGTCGGATGACCACTACCCAGCACGAAATGTACCAATGTCACGTTCATAACGAACCTTGACGTACCTAGACTCCTTCTCGATCGTATCCATTTTCGGCCTTGCTCCTAGTCCTCGTTCTGCACTGAATACTTTCGATGTAAGCACTGTATCGGTGAGAATTGGTCGGACGAAGATATGAGCCAGAGGGGATGATTTCCAGAGATCGTCGCTCCATGACTGCACGATCGTAGCCAAAAAGAAGACCAAACACAAAACTAGCACGGTAATTGTGGGCAAGAGCCAGACCCATCGGACGTGAATGTACAGTTCGTCGATGAATTGTGTGCCCGGTGCGGTTGCTCCACCACAATTGACAAGTGAGCCACGGGCTTGGTTTGTCACGACGTCGGCCATGGATTTGAAGGCTCTCTGAACGCTGGCGAGAGTCCCAATGTCAGGATCCTCCAGACTGGTGCTATTGAATATGCCGTAAAGTGCTTGCATGACATCACTGCTGAGAGCAGGACGGTTGGATGTGATTGCTGAGCCATATCCCTTTGTTAGACCTTCCACAGTATTCCCCAGAGCGATCACAGCTGCCGAGCTGATGTTGTAAGTGCATCGATCACGATCCGCGTCATTCCAGGGCTCGATGATTTCGCTGCCGTTGATGTAGCAAGGCCGTGCGGGAATGACGACGTAATTCTGGAACGTATGATAGTTTAATTGTGTAGCACCATCCAGGTATGATCCGTTCCAGGTTGTCGAAATTGTGTTCTCTCTGAACTGACCACCGCTAACGGAACCTTCATAAGTTTTGACGCAGAGGCGGAGGTCGCACTTAACAGCGCTTGGGGCTGGTTCAGGATTGGAATTTGCTTGCCAATTACGGGCAAGGATTGCATGAAAAGTACTAAAGGTTGTGTTGTCTGTGGCAGCGAGTGCTGGATCAAGCTTACTTGAGGTAGCCCGAGTAGAATTGACCATGCCATAGTTTGATTGCAGTGACAACCCAGCACCGATCCATTGAAGATCACACGTGCTCAATTGTTTGGAGCAGTTAGACTCGACAGATGTGGGATAGGTCAAGTTGGTAGACTTGTCCACGTAGAGGAGTTGACTCGAATGGTCAGAACATTCGTGACAGACACCGAGAGACTGATATCTTGGATAGGTGCAATTACCACTCGGGCAATTTGGGCGAAGAGGCGATTGACTTGATGTCTGAAGGAAGCCATCGTACATGGAACCTATCATCGGTAGGTTGACTCTGTTCAGTCCAGAACCAGATCCAAGCCCAACTACGTCGTAATAAGTGTTGTTGCACACTGGGACATTTGCATTTGTTGGAACTTCGACCTGGCGTATTCTGGTTTCAACCAATTGTTGCACACTGGGTCCAATGACAAATGCTGCAAAGAAGACAAGAGCGCCTAGGTATGCAAGATACCACGACCTGAATGTCAATAAAAGCCGACCAGCGCCCCACGCACCTCGACTGGCGTCATCAATGATTGCCAGATCGATAAGTTTTCGCTCTCGTTTGAACCAGGTCCACTTGATTTGAGACAAGCACTCTGTGATACAAATGCCCATGGCACCCTTCATAACTGTAACAAGAACGGAGAGGACAGCGTTGACGGACAGACCTGACGGCCAATTTGGGGTCTTGTGCTCTCGGAGACTGATCAGTAATCCGATGATAGCTGCGAAGCAAGCAAGAGCAACGCTGAAACTGAGTCCCTCCCAAAGCCAACCACCCGAGCGTTTGGTAGGTAGATGTGACATGACATGATCGTGGTGGTGGTGGTGATGTGAAGTGGTATCCTCATGTTGACTTGGACTTGTAGATCGAGGGCCTAATAGTTCGTACGCCTTCGCAGTCGTCGCGTGTCCTTTCACATCATCGGAATGGGTCATCGCAGTCATGTTGTTCATATCGACAGGCTATTGACTCGAGACCAGAAATTCAAATGAATTCGAAACCCTTAAAAACACTGTATCTCTGGTCCCAGCGCAGTTTACGCCTCCTCTTGAGCACAAACTTCAGAGTGCTAGGCTGAAAATAGTAGGCAAACTATATATGTAATTTAGTAGTCATATCAAGGACTTGCAAGCTATCAGAATAAAACCTAATCACTCATATGGATATAACTGCGACACAGTAATGGCGACAAGCTCGCTTGGTAGTGCTTACCGTTGTAAATTGATCCGATTCAGAACATACTGGCTGAGTTTAAGCAATGCTCTCGCCCAAATCCACAAGTGCGACGTTCGCCAATAGGACATGTAGCAACTCGCCCCATAGTCCATTAAGGAGGAGTGGTCGCAACCGCAGGGCTGTCAATTCACGTTTCAAGGAATCAATCGAAATGCTCTTAGCCAGGGTTGTGCTGGTAAATTGCGTTAGGCAACCAGCACCCACTGGGGCAAGTCTTCTGTCATGCCATCACGTCGTGTAAGCAAGTCGATCGACAATCATACTTTGTTGGCAAGAAGACCAGACTTACGGTCAGAGAACCATGTGTTTCAATTCACAGGACGTTGCTGCAAGTAACAAGAGACAGAAGATCAAGCTCGTGCTGCCCAGGTGTTGAATCAAAAAGTTCAATCGAATATGCTATTTTCATAATCTGAAACGACGCGAACATCGATGGTGTCTTGGCATTAGCATGGAATGAGGACTGCCCGTTGCGTCTGCTCTCGTGCTTTCCATAACCACCCCCCACGTCGTCAATTACTGAGACGGAAGGGAAGCCCGCGTGCGAGCAGCAACAGGCAGATCACTTATGCAGCGGTCAACTTGCACTAAAGCTTCGTGAGCAAAATGGTTATACAGAGACCTGCTCTGGTTCAATATGCATTCAATAAAGAGCCACGAACCACCACTGATAGACTCTGCTGCCAACTATACGGCATTATATATCGTACATTGCCATATCTCGTAAAATCATAACATCTCACCCACTTTCCTTAACTTCAACCGCTCGACTTCGATCAATATGTGGCTGGTTTTGTCCAGTTGCAGCTTCATATCCCTCTACACTCCGCAACAAACTACCATCTGCAAAATGGCTGCTAGCAGACAGATCCAGCAAAGGCTGTCCAGGCTGATTGTTAGCGGCAGACCTCTTCTTCGTCAATGTCCTTTGTACGGACAGTAAACCACCGCCAGTAAAAGCGTCGCTCGTGTTTCGCACAACACCAGGGTTCAGATCCTCAACGTCGAATTTCTTTGTGCTGGTCTTTTCAGAGAGCAGGCCGGCGCCAGTAAATGCATCCCTTGCGTCGTGAATGACTCCAGGGTTTAAGTCCTCTGGGACTCGCTTTCTGACACTCACCTTCCTCGAAAGTAGACCCTTTCCTGTAAATGCATTATCTGTATTTTCCATGAAGGCGGCGGCCTCTTCTGCATGAGCTTTCTTTACGCTAAAAGCGCGAGCTAGGAGGCCCCCACCTGTGAAAGCTGGGTCTGTGTTGCTCTCTGGTACGAGTGGTGGTGCTCGACTTTGCGATGGCTGTGGCGTGTGTTCAGGAGACGAGGATGAAGCTACATCTCGTTTTATGCTTGCATGTCGCCTGGGACTAGGCGAAGTTGTTGCTGTAACAGACTGATTCCGTGAACGATTGACTAGTGTTAGTGAGCGCTTCGGGCTGCCTTCAAGTTTAGGCTCTGCATGTCGTGCAGGTTCTTGACCGCCACTTCCGTACTGGAAAGCATCAGCGTCGAACTCGAGAAGTGGTTTGAAGGTACCCAATTGATAGAGTACCGAGTCTCGTGAACGATCAGTGGAGGGCTCGAGGTGTGTTGTCGTATTTGTTAGAGCAGCTGCAGCAATTGCATCTTTTGGAGGTGCCTTTCCTTTCGTTGTTTGCTCAAGAATGTTGACGAGATACCAACTTCGCCAAGACTGGACAGTATTGTACCACTGGTCTGCAATATTTTTGTCATTGGTTGCGAAGAAATGTACAAAGTTCTCAGTACTTTCAAACATGATGGAACGCTGTTGACTTTTTATGGCGAAACATATCTTCTTGGGCGGCCGCAATCGTTTAAGCTCTTTCTTGGTCGGCATGTACACGTCAAAGTCAGACATGTGAAACACGTTGGTAGCATGTCCGTCGTTAGCTTTTGCAGAAGCAGTGACTTGACCATCCGCTCTGAGGATCATCCAATGTTTATCCCATTTCCCAGGCTTGCGTGAATGATAAAGCTGCATCATGGTAGACGAGGGTTGCTCTTTTGGTGCATCACTTTGTTCTAAACCGACGGCTGCGCAAGCCGACTTGGGAAGGATCATTAGGTGATTTTGCGTGTCACTATCCCACGAATTCATCACTTCTCGTATATGCTCATAGCGTCTCAGAGGACGTTCTAGGCCAAGTGGGAAGTATGTCTCAACCAGCACGGAAGTACGGGGGTCAATAGGTTGCGACAGTACGATAGAAGATGAGTTGAGCAGGTCCTTGACAGTAGTGGAAGGTGTAACTGGTAGTGTTATCCTCGAATTCTCAAACCGGACCTCGACCCGTCGATCACCAGCATTGACAGCTGATACAGGAGCATCAGCGGTCGGTTGAGGACCATTTACGGCAGTCTTGGGAGGTCCGTCGCCTACTCTCGGTTCCCATGTCTGTGATGGAGGTGCTTCGGGAGAACGAGATTGTGTTGGACGTCGCATACGTCTCTTCTTGCTGAAGTCATCACACGAGCGATTAGTCGTAAGCTCTTCGGTATTGTGTTCCTTTTGTTGCCTATGTCTGGCAGGCGGAGTCGTATCGCGACGCCGAATGTTTGGGGGTTCCAGGTTTCGAGTCAACGGCGGCGAGGTCGAAGGAGCAGGAGGTGGTGGTATATTTCTGTCCGGCTCTCTTCCAATCGTCCATTTCCTAGTCCTTGGAGCTTGCGGCAAAGATTTGTCTCTTTGCGCAACAACCTGGGCTTCCACCAAGCTTTCTGATTCGCGATCTCGCTCAGCACGCTGGGCTACGAGCCTCGCTTCTGCCCTGAGCTTGCGCTCCTCTTCGGCTTTCTCTTGCTGTTTCTTCAACCTGGTCAATCGATCATATTCTCCATCCAATATTTGCCGTGCTTCTTCCCGAGCAGCGTCGTACGATCGTCGCAGTGATGGGTGTCTGGGTTGTGGAGACGATGCTGTCTTACTCCTGCGACGAGCAGCCGATGGCGTAACGTATCGTGAGGTCAAAGGGGCTTCGTTATTGCGTAACTGTTGACGAGATGTTACAGAGGTTTGGAGTGTCTGAGCTTGTTCATCTACCGGCGCTTGAACATACGGAGCAACCTGATCTGTCATGTCAGACTCGGGAATTGTTGATGGCTGCTGGAGTTTCTGCCTTCCCTTCTGGTACCTTGATGGCACGTTTGTCGCATGGGTTGTAGAGTTCGTAACTGGTAGCGGAACTGTCGGTAGAGGAACATCGTGACTTTGAGGCGCAACTGTCCGTCGATAACGAGAAGGTGCTCTACTGACTGGACGCTGAGCTTGCTGAAAGTCGGCGTTCGAGGCCAATGCTGGCACAGGTACAGGGGGCTCAAATGGTGCTCCTTGGTTTTCCTGCGCAGCTGCTTTCCTTACAGATCGATACCTCGAGAACCTGGCATGATTTGGCGCAATCGTCGTGGGGACTTCCATGACCACAAGACTCTCGGCGACATGACCTTCCTCTTCCACTGTGTCTACCGACAGAATGTATTTATTTTTCGACGAGTTGATGTTTGTGGGGCTTGCGCGGAGGCGCCTGATTGAGCATAATATTTACGCGAACTTGCGCGTGGTAGCGTGGTTTCGGATCTAAAGTTTGATTGGGTTATGCGGCACAAAAGCAGGAAGCATGGCTACTGGCTCCCAATTTCGCCGAAGGCATTCTGTGTTCCGCATTCTTGAATTGAGTACGCTCCCTGTCACTAACATCCAGAGACCCCTATACTGTCTTGACTGAATACAAGATGATCCCTCCTTGTGGCTCTCCTTGCACGGGCATTTCACCTACTGCAACGCACCACTGTCCGCATACACTCCAATCGATGGCTCGAGAGGTGAAGAACTTCATGTCGGATGCTTCGTTGGACTGCTTGTGGGCTGGAAGCTCTTTGCCAGTTCCATGTAGAGGGTACTTGACTCTATTACGCTCCTTGGCCTCGCTGTAGTCGGAGCCTTGTGCAGGACTGTCAGTCCCTGAATCTGCTGCTTGGTGTGTCAGGAGCTCAGCAGAAGCCTCACGAGATATATCGTTTGACAGAGCTTGGTGTGATGTATCCGATCCTGCTCGCTTGGTGTTCGTCCGATTCATCTTTCGAATAGGTTCTGCTATGCCCTTCTTTTTCTGCCTTGCTAATGCTTTGTTCTGAGCCGGTTTTCGTGCCCCAAGACCCGAGCCGTCGTGCCCCTCGATGAGGGCTTGAATGTCCCAGTGCCGAATCTGCGATAGGTGGTTTCCGACCGTGAGTATGGGTCGCACGTCAGGGAACAGTTTGGATGGCTTCCTTACACTGTACCGCCAGTATATCGAGCTTGAATCTGGATTGCTCAACTCCAGACATCTTCGGTACACTTCTGGACTGGCATAGTCATTATCAGCACGAGTAAAGTCGTCGTCGATTCCCAAATCGGTCCTACGTCGAAATCCGTTCTTGGTTTCCAAATGTTCTTGGCCCTTAACCGTGGTTATCTCTGGTGGTGGTTCTTTTGCTGAGTGGAAGCCGGTTATGGACCAAAGCACAATCTTGTTCTCCGCTGCCGCTCTTGAGATTATGAGGTCGCCCAGAAATATCACGTTATCGACATAGTCGCCGTGGATAGCACTGGTTGCGAAGTGGGGATAGTGAATGACACGGACCTCATCTCGACTGCGTTTTCGTCCCTCTTTAGAAATCTCGTACCAGAACTCTGACATCGGTGCAAAGTCAGGCAGCGTCCAGACACACACTCGGTGATCGTAGCCACCAGAAACTATATACCTTCCTGAATGGTGCCAATCGATTGTTACAAGTCCAGCGACATGACCAGTATTGTGTCCACATATTGCCACGCAGGTGGAGAGCGCTGGCTTATCGGCTCGTCGAAGGTCCCATACGCGTATACTGTGGTCGAGAGACGCGCTGGCTATTATCCATGGGTACTTCGGGTGTGTGCTCAAGTCATTCACAGTACCATTCGAGTGTCCTACCAACGTATGAACTAATCGCCCAGTCATGGCATGGTAAATTGACACATGGCCACTCTCACCTGCAATGGCAAGCAATGGTTCTTGGTCGTCCGTGTAACACCAGGTAGAGCAGTTCATCCAGCTATTCTTTGTTTCTGCTGTGGTCTTGGCTGTATGTTGTGGTTGTTTGAAGACGTGTAGACATTGCAATCCGCATTCCTCCTTGTCTGTCACTTGGTAAATGTACACATTTTGGTAATCAATGGCTGCGAGTATAACCGGGTCATCTCGTGACAGGACATAAGGGTAGAAGTTCACGGTCCAGAACAATTCCTTGAAGCCCTTGAGAGCTGCACGTCGCGTCAGACTGAGACCAGTGCCAGGTTCTGGTAGCACATCGCTTGACATGTTAGTAGATCACTAAGACTCTATATCATGAAAGTAGCACTCCACTTGACCCAGGAGTGTCTCAGCAGAGGTGAAGACCCTCGAGTTCATGCGAAGGCTGGTGAGTGTTTGTTAGTGGAAAGACTTGAGGCATATGGAAGGCGTTTCAGCACATGCGAGAACAGCTGTTAAATGTCAGTGCACCACGCTTACGCATTGCGAACGAGAGTCAGCAGTGAAAGCTGACTTTGCCGTCACGAGCTTTAACGACGAGAGGGCAGCGACGAGGCGATGGAGTTGAATTGAAAGAAGAAGAAAAACTTGGGCACAATTCAGGCAGCTTGGGCAGCTAGCTCAGCAATGGTTCTGGACTTCGGTTACCTGCCTTTACGGTAATATTTTACCGTCTTAGCGTTTTGTTTAGGCGTCACATTCAAGTTCCTCTCGAATATTCCAACACGTCCTACCAACACTGTGATACCTTGAGCACGCGTAACCTCGATGAACTGATACTAAAAATCGAACGAGGAAAAGAACAAAGATTTCTTCAATTACACTACAACATTCTACCACATCTTGATGAATGTGCGACATCAAAACTCCCATGGCCCATCCTCCTTGACATACTCCTTGAAAGTTCCTGCCTTCAACCCCAACGGCTCCAATACCTTGTTACTTTCTGCCTGCTGCTTCTCGGTGCCCACACCGTAATAACTATAGTCCCGAACAAGAACCATGTTTTCAGTCAGCTCCTTTGCAATGTTCTCTGGCAGAAAGCCCTGATACACATCCTCTGGAACTGAGTTGAATTTGATCTCGCGTCCAATAACCTCCGACATCTCGGCCACAATTTCTGCAGGTGTCTTCCATTCACCAACAGCTTGGATCCACTTCCCATCCAATTCCGCAGGATCGGGATAGCTAACTATACCAGCGACGAATGGACCGCCGTCCTTTGAAGGGTTGAAGATCGGGACCTGAGTCTTTTCCAAATCCCATGGTAGAGTCAATGTCGGCACGCCATCATTCACATAAGGGCTGGACCGTGTCATGGTCTTGAAGTTCGATGCGTAGAAGGCCGGCATGAAGAAAGTGGTAATCATGCCCGTTTGCTTTTTGATACTATCCATATAGCGCGCGACCTCGCTCTTACCATCAAAGTGCTCCACGGCTTTCAACTTGCCGCCGGTCAATTCTGTTACATTTGGAAGAGCACTCCAGACCACGTGCTTCACACTAGTTGCGATACATGCATCAGCAATATTCTTGCCTTGTTGAATCTCCTTTGGACTGGACATAGTCTCCCAGTAGTTGGTTACAGCAAAAACTGCGTAACTGCCTTTGATGGCCTCCTTGAGACTTTCGAGGTCATTGAGGTCACCGACTGCGAGGTCAACACCTTGTGAGGCAAGTGCTTTAGCCTTATCCGATGAAGTGTTGCGAGTTATGGCTCGAAGTGAAAATTGTGAGGAGAGAGTAGGATTGCCCAGGAAGGTTTTGATAACTCCTCCTCCCTGATTGCCTGTGGCACCAAAAACTGTGAGGAGATGTTTGGCCATGGTATGGTAGCTGTTTCTGTTGTGGTGTTTGTAGCTCTTGTGGAAGCAATGGATTCCGTGTTTCCGCTTGTATTTCGTTGGATCTTGCTGGTATTTTTTCTGACTACGTTCAGCCGGCGTGACTGTATTACTTATATATCCAGGAATGAGGTGCTGTGATCTGAATCTGCTGAAGCATCAGTTGTCTCGACCTGCGAATCGCTTAGCTAATTGGAGCCCTCCCATGCGACGCTTGACCACTTCTGCCCTAATTCGCTTTCCTTTTTGGGAATGCGCACCATCAACCCTTTGGTCAAGCATTTTCTTCGACCGCTTTGCTGACTTTTAGCTCAGCATGACACAAGCAAAGGAGGGGCCAAAAGAGCTGTCGGACTTGTCGGACTCCATGCATCGACAAGGTAGCCATTGCGTCGTGGCTGCCTTCGTACAATCATAGTGGAATGTAGCTGTAAAGATATTACAAAGTCGCGGTTTTCGATGAGCGCATTGCTTTGTAAGAATTTAGCGCTGCGTTTCGACTTCGTGTCATGATTTTCCGTGTTCATAGCGAAGCTTGAGCAATCAGCCCGTGGCGGCGTTGCCAGTAGGCAGTCAATGATACGACTTTGCAATTTTGCTAAATGACGGTTGGATTACTCGGCTTTACTTCTTGGTGCTGGATTAGTACGTGTGAACAGATAGCTCAGGTATATCCAAGGAGAGACTTGATAGTTCCCGTCATACTATGGTCAGTCTGGACTTCTAACTTGAGAGGATTGCATGACACTGGCAGTCAAATTTAGACAGACTCCAAGATTTGCCCACAGAACGATATGGCCTTGACAGGAAAGTCATTCAGTGTCTGGAAAGAAAGCTCTCCATCTTGTTGTGTCATATTTCTCTCGCACAGGCTCTTCGTGCCTGCTACCTAGCTGCATTTTATGAGTGAATCTTCTTGGACAATCAACATCGAGCGCGTATTTTCGCCTATGGTGTGACATGTTCCTGCGATTTGAGCTCCTTCCATTCGAGACCGATTCAGGCAATGGTATTAGTGCACTGTCTGTTGAGCGAGATTGGAATGACTTGAATACGTAAAGAGGTTGCAGGGGATAAAGGCTGATCGCAACCTGGCAGCTTGACCATTTTATTGTTAGCGTAAGAGAATACTGACCGGGGTCTGGACGTTCTCGACCAGCGATAGCGGCTAGCTTTTTTGGCAACCAGTGACATGGCCGTTCATTATGTTGGCCTTTGTGCGAATTCGTAGTTCTGATCCTTCTTGTTTGTCAGGCAGGACCAGCGTTGGGACATACAGACTCGATTGAACACTGTCAGTAGTTTAGTAAACATATTCACTTGCACAATCGAGCACCTGGTAAGAAATATAAACGTAAACTACGTAGATGCCACTTCAAAAGGGAGGACACAAGATGCTGAAGGCGAAAGCATGGGTAGATTCTTAACCACGAAACATTTTATCACATCAGGATGACATGGTATGATGTGCATTGCATGGCACATCAATGTCATCTGCACAAGTGTTCTATATACGTATACGGTGCATATCAATGTGTTCAATAACATCTATCCAGGCGGCTGCGCCATGGTAGAGACAGGTCCAATACGAACGCCTATAGATTCGTTAAACGACTTCAATTAGGGCTGGTGATGTACGATATTGTCGAGGTAGCCAACCTTCTCCTGGAAATGTGTACTCTTTTGTTCGAAAACAGTCGTTGCGCGTTTGCACGTCGAGCCTTGTAAATCGTCCTCGTCCTCCAGACTGCCGTAGCCGGTGTCGTGACTGGCACTGCTAGGCCGCCTCGAAATATCAGCCTGATTCACAACCCAATTATTGAATACCGTATCCAATGCAGAAGTCAAATGACTTTTGCATCCTTCAGCAGCAGCATTGAGTCTGGATGCCTCAACACGAAGGCAGTGGTAAACTTCCTTTGCCAACAGAGTCAACTGCGGCAGCGGATGAATGTTATCTTCACAATCGGAAGAGGAGCAGTCACTTGCATGCCTAGAAGCCCTAAGTAGCCGTGTAAGCACGAAGAAAAGAGGTGCCACTGATAACATGCTTGGCAGGACGGAAGTGCCGGAGGACGTGAGTCCGAGCTCGGGCCATTTTATCCTTGTCAAGACTTCGACTGCGCCCAACAGATCCTGCTGCTGCTCCAGTTTGAACATAACTTCGGCACAGGATAGACATGTCTCGATTTCAGGTCGTGCAGACTTGGGTGTAGAGGAATCAATAAAAAATGGGAGTCCCGCTTCCGCGATGTTCTCAGTAGTTGCCGTGCTCGTTCTGATTGCATCGGCAGCTCGTAGGTAAAAGTTGTGTCTTCTGCCTGGGCTCAGGACGGCATGAACGGCAAGAGCTCTGGTTTCCGATGCTGATCCGGGTGGTGCGATTTCCAGAGCGGCCTGAATGTGTTCCCGTAGTAGGTCAGTGGCGTCTGGGCTTTGCACTGCTGCGACGAGAGCTTCGTGCAGTAGTGATGTGGATAGCCATGCAGCGATTGCATCCAACGGTGATTTGATAGCATGATCCTCAACCACCACATCATGTAGAATATCCTCAGCATGCTCAGATGTCGGTCGGTCGTACATCATATTGTAGGCCCTCTGCGTGACAACGCTGGTCAGCACATCGTCACAGTCCATCTGCAATAGGTAGTTCAGGTATCCAGGCAATCTGTCGGCGTCTCGAGCTGGCAGGGCTTCGTGTAGTTGACGAGCTCGGCGCCATTGCCGATCTGCTAAATATGAAGCGAGTCGCGAGGCGATATTTGAACTTAGTGTGCCGGCCAGACCAACGTTGTGGAGAACAAGCTTGCAGTGAATCGCTTTCATCATCAACCGTAGAGGTGTAGCTGGAAGTGTACCTGATCCAAAAATGGTGAGTACGACTCTGCTGTGACTGATCTCAGTATCCCCACCAGCGAGCTGGGCGTCAATTGCAATATCCCAGGCCTTCACTCTGGCTGTTTCGTCCTCGGCAGTCTCCCCGCACAACCACAGACAGGCACTAGGACCAAGCCAATACCTGATAGAATAGTTGACCCACTCGGAAGTCACTGCAAACCACTCGGGGAAAAAGCTGTGATGTGGTAAACCAAGGGCTTGCATACTTGTGCTCCATGCCCGCCGCCGCACCTGAATTGGTGAGGCCGGCCGAGCAGGCTCGAGTATTCGCCTCGGCTCATCCTCCTGTTGCTTGGTTGATGCTGGCTTGGAATTGAACATGTAGTAGAAGACGAGAAAGGCCAGAAAGGTCAAAGTCATAAAACCCTTTAACAAAGGTACCACACCGCCAGCACGACAATACTCTGCAAAGGTTGCCAAGTAAAGGCGAGGAGATCTGAGAAACTGCCAGCCGTCAAGGATCTCGAGTGGAATGCCGAAAAGTGCTCGTTTTGTTGAGTCGTCTGCCTGATCTGACTCCGAGATACCTTCCATGATCATTAATCCAGCCACAGACGCGAGCATAATTCTTTGAGGCCACTTGCCTTTGAGGCGTGACTTCTCCAAGGGAGTAGCATAGACATGACCATAGTGTTCTTGTGGCTGAGACTCACGTAAGCGCTTCATGCTGTCAGGCAGTCCGATCAGCCCTTTCACTTCAGGCTTCGCCGTAGTCTCACTGCCTTGTGCACCGACAGGTTGTTCTGAAGACTCCTCAGTTGCAGTGTTACTGGTAAACGCCGTAGCTGGAGTGGCGCCATTTCCCTTGTCAGCAAGCATCTTCTCAAGTTGCTCAACACGATCTTTCAGATAAGTGTTCTCGTCTTCAAGCTTTCTAGAACGAGTTTCCAGGTGATGAATGTATTCGACTGCCTTTGTTAATATTGAGGCCTTGTTGAGTTTATTAGAGGGAGCCAAGCCGTCCAAATCTTCGTCGCCACTACTGGCGCTGCCATCTTTCTTGGTTCTCGCTCTTTTCAAAACTCTTAGAGCGGGCACGCTGTCCCTTAGTTCCGATATCTTCTCGTTCAGGTTCGCACGATATCTCTTTTCTATAACGTTGTGTGGTCTCTTACTGCCGGTCGGCCGTCCAGCAACAGGCTTGTACCCATGCTCCAAATCATCGTCGGCTGATATCTTCCTCTTCAGATTGTTCTGTTGAAGCATCGGCAAGGAACCAACCCGCGCGGTCTCCCTATTCAGTCGGTAAGAATTCAATGCAGTCTCCGGGGAACTGGAGCTGTGGGTCGGCGTTGGCAGGTCATGTATGTAAGAAGCGGTGAGCGATGCTTGGTTGGTGTTGGTACTGAAAGAGTCGCTGTTTGCTGTAGATATAGGGGATATAGGCAGTCCGGACGCTGTTGTAAGCCTCACAGGCTTCACGCAACTATCGTCAACCTCGTCTGCAACAGCGTCCCAATCTAGCCATTTGTCGAACTCCTTCCCAACTATTTCTGGGTCAAGTTGAGGTTCCATGTTTAGTTTGTAGCGGCGAGTCGGTGTCATAAATTGTTCATGTTCGAGAAGGGCTCGTCCGTTATACTTCGGGCACCTAACGAGCGTAGGTCTCAGTTCGAGTTCGAGATCGTAACGAATATCCAAGGTTGCCAGGTATCCCACGAATGGCAGCGTGGTTGGTCCCCGGATGTCGTAAAGCCGAAGCCCTGAACTTGGGCAGTGCTTGCGCTGTGTGATCCTCTGCCAAACCCTTCATCACAGAGGCAGTATGTGTTGGGCAGTGTAAGCAATTGCCGCAAAGTGTACTTGGTCGGCCTACTGCACAAGCAACTCTATGAGCAGACCGACATGGGCAACTCTTTTCCACGAACGATTTCTGCATACATCATTCTGCAGCAAGCATGATTTTGGTCGAATGAGAGCTTCTGCTGGCTTTTCGACCTGCATGGTTTTGTCGCCGAAAACTGTGCCACCTCCGCACACAGCCACATTCGAGCTCGAACCGATCATCTTTACTTTTGTACCTGCATACCTGATTCCTCAATCTGGTAGACAGCGATCATCTTCTGGGAAGTGAAGACATGGAAGAGGACTCAAACAGGTTAAGACGGTGGCAAAATGAACAGTTACGACCAGATGAGGAAGGACGATCACAATGCAGAATGGAGCTAGGCAGGCGTTGTACAGGATATACCAAAGCCGTCTGAGGATGAAGCTTAGGGCCACGTACTTGTCCTCGTTGGCATAGCCTCGAACAACAAGATCGGCACAAGTGAAAGCCGGACGAGCGAAGAGTCGTTAGCGACACTTGACTGCAAGGTGAGGCTAAGATGGTCGAAACGATAAGAGTCCGCCACAACTGATCACAAGCATGCGCAGAATTGGTGTGACACAACGTCTATCAGAACGCCTCACATCAAGCTCGTCTTGGGAGATAGATGCTACTGCTAACTTTACACACAGCACTGTAACAAGTTGTTGATCATGTTTGATGATCAACTCTTACCGTGTCCAATGTTAAACAACCTGTACTTAGATACTAATGAAACAGCAGCACACCACAAACACTGGAAGTTGCAGTACCCATCGAGAGACCATACTGGTCTCTGCAACGAAGCAGATGCTGTCTCATACTCAGCGGTTCCAGGACGACCACTGCCTCACAACTCCCGTGACCAGCTGGGCGGAGTGTACAGGCAGGGAAATTCTCATCAGGTTTGTTGTCTGGTATGTCGCATGACAGAAATCGTCCGTTCGAGCATGACCATCTACGTTTGCAACAGCTCAGTAAACAAATAGCTCCTTGTGGCATCACACTGCACATCGTAAGTACCACATAACGAGGACGGCTCATGAACGCGTCTTAGCCGCTAGACTTCCGTGCTTAGGCCGTTGTCATATGCAAGTGCCAACGCTCTTCATCATTCACAAATCCTTCGGGACACTCATACTGCCATCATCAGGAAGTATACGTTCTAGTGGATGTTCGTTGCTAATGCACCCGAACACTCCTTTTCGTGACTGTGTATGCGCTGAGAATTTATTGCAAAGTATGCTGCAGAGGCCAAGTATACAGATAGCCAAATCTTGGTTGTGTTTCAACTCCATCATATTACCTGCACATATGCCGTACAAACAGTTCCACCGATAAGACCACCACTGAGATTTTCCAAGTCCGAGAAAGAGCCTTTGCGACTGGTGCGACCAAAAAGTATCAGCCTAGATGAATAAGAATGTACCTGATACCCATTCTCGGAAAAAGGATTCGGGAGTCCACGTTGGGGGCAAACATAGGACTACTCGACAGGTATTAATGCTTGAAGAAGTTATCGGGTCATTTCGTCATCTTCCTTTTGATGTTGCGCTTGCCACCCACGAGCCACAGGATAGCAGGCAAGACCATGTAGCACGCAGTACAGGGAGTGGCCGGAGTCGAATCGAGGCAACAATCAAGTATCCAGTTCAAATTGTCCTTGGACAACACCAAGAACGAGCCAAGCAGAACATCATTAATTGCCATAATTACCGTGACCACGTCTACACACCCAGAATAAGGTCAAAAATCAGCCTGTCATGGATTACTTCTGACACGTGTTTGATGTGTTTGACAGTAATATGAGAAATGGTGACTATGACTCCTGTTTTGTTTTTGCAAAGACCGGACTGGTATCACAATTTTCTCTTGAATGTACCTTCACATGATTGATAAGTCAGCACGTCAGAAAGCCTTCGGAAGCAAGCCACCACGTCACAGGAAAAGAAATCCACAGCAAGATCTGGTGGATCTCGAAAAGTGCGCTGTACTGAGGCACTAATGTGAACTCTCCCGCGGTCTGCGAATCAAATGTCTAGAGGTTGTCTGCAATCTATGCTACTAGCCTCTTTTCCGTAAGGTGCGACTCTATCGATGCTCAAACTCCGACTGAGAACAATGTGCTGGAACCACTTTGTTCGGCTTGCTCAAATTTGTGGCAAGATGTCGCTATTGTCGCTAACTCGAATTGGATAGAGTGCTAACGGCCTACTGGTAGAACAAGCCGAGTTTGCGGCTCTTGTCAACGATGTCATTCCAAAGATTGAAAAGCCATAAACTTGCTATTCGCTCCTGCAAAGATGAAGACCTTGCATGCACAACAAAATTGAGGTGTGGTGAGTGATCGACTCCTTGCATGTGATCGCACCGGCTGCACGGAATCTTCTTCGGACCGTCGTGAAAATAAACCCTGCCAGACCCTGAAGTTTTGAACTTCGGGATTTTGAGCACGCTGTCAGATGGACTCTGATGGGTTTGTTGATTCGTCCTTGTCTGGTTTCACGTGTGGCCTATGGATATTTCCGTCTGAGCAATGTGCTTGAACGATGACTTGGCTATACGCGAGTCCAGACGGCGTTACGTTGATCATTTTATGAACAGCCACTGACTTACTGTGGTGCTGCAGATCTCGCCCGCTTGCCTGGGATCCGCGCTTCACCAAGCCCAAACCAAAGCGTTGCGCTTTGTAAGGTCAACCATACTCCTCAGGTTGCATCTCTCGGCTTTACCTTGTCTTCTACGAACAATTGTTCTCGTACATTGACAGATTCGGTTTCTGGAAACTTGACCACTACACCTCTGACTTTCTCACAAACATCACACACTGAACCGATCGGAAGAAGCAGACCTGTTCCTATTCGAATTCCACGTTCAGCACTCAGAGGCCGCGACATCAATCGAATCACAACACCATTGACTGGACGAGGCGAACGTAAAGGACATCTGCTGCCACTCGGTAGGAGTCCTTCACCACGGTCCAACTCTGTGTCCTCATCTGCAAGCTCACCTCTCTCCGATTGCGACGGATTCTTCGGTCGGTTGCAGTTGGAGCGGATCCGGTCGAGTTCTCCAGCCTCTTCGATAAGGGAAAAATTCCGAGGTGAAAGAGCCATGCACAACGAAGCAATGGCTTTCAATCGATATCCGGCATCACCTTTATCACCGAAGCCGCCATCTGGCCCTAGCCTGTCACCTCAGAATTCGCAACGAAGGGGCAACCATGGAAGGCAGTCCTCCAGAAACATGCAGCTTAATCTTGGTCGATTTCATCCTTCGAACTACGAGCAAGCTGATCGCTCTTCAAACACGCCTTCTCGTCCACCACAAATTACATACACGAGGGCTCCGGCACCAGTGCCAACTGTAGTCGAATCTCCACGACTTCTCCGGGAGAAACATCGAGAGTTTCTCGAGAAAGCTAAACTCTCGTCGAAGCTTGCAGCATCACCTCATTCAGACAAGCCAGATGCACCACGGTTAGACCCGCTCGGAAGCCCGAAAGGACCAGTGACACCACTTGCATTGGAAGAAGCTGGTGACTATTTTTCAGTAGCAGGTGCTGGTAAGATCTCTCCAGGAGGCAGCCCAACCACCAGAAGTCCTCGTGCACTCTCAGTCTCGAGTGATGATGAAACCAAGCCAGCCGGCAAGAGTCGAAAGATCGCCTAGCTGAGCCACGATTGTATGAACTAAGGACGTAACGGCCATGAATCACGAATTTCTTTTGTTAAAAGCATCAATGGAGTCGAGCAAGTTTACTCATGAGTCGCATCAGGATTATTTGACACGGTCCGGACAATCCGGAGTCTACAAGGACAATTCTACCAAATGAGTTGGGTTTGTACCATTCGCTTGATACCCAGAATCACTGCCGCAGGACGTCGGCAATGAATGCCTATTGGCACGGTACTGTAACAGTATATCTACGGCATGTTCCATTCGCTAGAAGCTTTTATTTCATTTTGACATTGGAGAGGTTAAACAACGTCGTCTCAGAAGTTTTCTGATTATAGAGACACCACTTATTAGCAGATACACCGCAGATCGTCTACTGGAGAAGACGCAGGCACAAAAGTTAGCATTTGCACCATTACTGTAGTTGAGACAGATATCCCTGTTTACAAAATGAGAATCTCCTGAATAAATTCTACTTGTGTTTTACATCACAACCACACCGATACATTGAGTGATTGCGATCCTTATGTCCCCACTATTCGTATAGTACGGTGTTACACAGACTGCACGAGCGCGGCAAGTATATCCGCAAGGAGACGTAAGCGGTTTCAACCCTGAGAATGAGCACCCCTGACCCGAGCCTTGCGAGACTTGGTAGATTTCCATCCCAGCATTTCGGACTACGTGAATAGAGTGTTGATGGATGTCCGATGCACGCTTTCTCACCACGTCCGGGCTCCTTCGTCGAGATGATGCAATTGCGATAACTGTCTTTGTCGAGTAGAACATTATCCCTGTGCCTAAGTTCAGCGACGACCTGATGAAAGACTCAGCAATGTCGTACTTCCGCCAGACTCGTAGCAGTCGGCCAGCGTTGATTCTGGGAGGATGCGTACTTGTTGTTCTTTTCTACTTCTTTCTCGGCCCTACTACCGACCTCTCTCACACCCTCGATCCTCTGCTACGAGCACGAAAGTCAGCCGCTGCGGCAGCAAATCCTCTCTCTCCTCCAACCTCAGCATTTCGAAAGTCCGCAGCAGGAGATTCTCAGAAACCACTCGGTCCGCCTCCGATTGTACACTACCAATTGAATAACCTGTCCTCTACCGCAAATCCTGCGAAAAACAATGAAAAGGTGCTGATTCTGACACCTCTGGCTCGCTTCTTCGAAGGATACTGGGATAATCTTGCTGCTCTCAGCTATCCACATGAACACATTTCCATAGGTTTCATAATACCTAAGACAAAAGAAGGCAATGAAGCCACCAAAAGCCTGCAAGAGGCAGTAAGCAAGCACCAAGCTGGTCCACTTGACAAGCGCTTCGAGAGCATCATAATTCTACGCCAAGATTTCGAGCCGGCGATTCTAAGTCAGAATGAGAAAGAGCGGCATGCAATGGCTAATCAAGCCGCACGTCGAGCTGGAATGGCAAAGGCAAGAAATAGCTTACTATTCACAACTATCAGCCCGACCACGAGTTGGATTCTGTGGCTGGATGGGGACATAGTTGAGACACCTAACTCTCTCATCGAAGATATGGCCAGCTTCGACAAACCCATCATCGTACCGAATTGTTTCCAGCGATATACAGACGACGATGGAAAAGAATCAATCAGACCATACGACTACAACTCCTGGCGTGATTCCGACACAGCACAAGAGCTTGCGACGAAGATGTCCCAGGACGAGATATTGCTGGAGGGATACGCTGAGATGCCAACGTACCGCACCCTCATGGCTATGCTGGCTGAAACAACTGAGAATAGAGACAAGAAGCGCTTAATGCCGCTCGATGGCGTGGGTGGGACGGCTCTCATGGTGAAGGCTGAAGTTCACAGAGATGGAGCCATGTTCCCTCCTTTTGCATTTTACCACCTGATAGAGACGGAAGGCTTTGCAAAGATGGCTAGACGCTTAGGCTATGAAAGCTGGGGTCTACCAAATTATTTTGTGAGTGGCAGCAACCTGAAAAGTTTAGGGAACGTGCTAACAATTGGATACAGGTGTATCATTACAACGAGTAATCGTCTAAATTTACGAAGCGATCTGATGAGCAAAAGCAAGAACGAAACTTGCATAGATGTATAGACATTGTTTGGGCATTACAGGAGTATTGGGTGATACATGTTTCACATACAGAGATCTGTTAGTGCTAAACACAGGCGCAGGATAAGGATGGGGTGGTACGCCTTGGCAAAATTCGAGGCCATACATCGTGATCTTTGTTGGGACATGTAGGGCATGCATGGCTCGGCTCATTCGAATCTCGAAACATTTCTGCACGAGTGTTTGTATTGAAAGTTCAATACAGGACTCCAGCGTTGCTGAGAACTACTGATAGGTTGAAGTCGATTTCAGGCAGAACAACCACAAACTTGAAGGTCTGGAAGCAGAAAATGAGGGTTTCAGACAGAAAAGGAAACAGCACTCTACGCTTCGATGTCAGATCTACGTCGACGTATAGCTCATGCACACTTCTTTCGCCTTTACTGGCTTCTCGAGCGGCCCTAGTAACATGACCTTGGGAATGCCCGTCCAGCTTATGAGAATGGGAAAGGTGACAGGCTATAGAAGGCACATATGATCAGGACAATGAAGCTGTTGTTCAACAAACAAATCACCTCGTTCTGTCCAATCACCTTGTCAGTTCTGCTTCGATCTCAGAACAATGATTAGCTGTGTTGCAACTACTACCAAATGATGCGTATAGTTTTTTGCGGTAATGAACAGAAGGGAAGGAGCAAGAAGGCATTTTGGCGGCTTGTGGCTAAATCGCCCACCGTAATGCAACCACCAGTAATCCAAACTGAGCCTCGACTCAAACTTCTGACATCAGTCTTTCCAGTCTTCGTCATCACGTTGTAGACCTGCCAACGAGCATGCCCTAGTTTGCTGCACATATCTCATGCCCAATTGCTGTGATGTGTGAGAACACTTATCCAAGAACCACTGCCTTTGCGGCAGGGCAAGATGACAAGCTGCTCGAAGCGAAAGGGTGCTCCCCGCACTAGCTGGAAGAAACCATCGATGGAGGAAGCGAAGAAGGTCGGGCTGTTCGACGCCCATTGTCATCCTACCGACATCATGTCGGCAACCTCAAGGATCAGTGAAATGAATGCCGAAGCTTTGACCGTGATGTCAACACGCGCACAGGACCAAGACCTTGTCCTGGAAACAGCCAAGCAGTATCCCATCCCAGACAACAACACTCAGGCCAATGAAGACAAAAGGAACAATTATATCGTACCTTCTTTTGGCTGGCATCCGTGGTTCACATATCAAATCTTCGACGATAGAGGTGGTCAAGATGAGGTCGACGCAACGCAACACTATCGGGACGTGCTAACACCTGAGCCGGATAAGGCTTTTCTGAAAACTCTGCCCAAACCTCGCAAGCTGTCGAGCTTCCTCCACGAGACCGAAATGCGCTTACAAGAGTTTCCATTGGCTGTGATCGGCGAAATTGGCCTTGACCGCTCCTTTCGTGTACCACATGGCGACTTCAAGAGCGAAGACGATTCCGAGGTCACATCAAGGGACATGACAGCCAAGACTGGTGGACCTAATGAAGGCGAGTATACGCCTGGCAGCAGGGAGGGTCGACCGCTGAGCCCCTACCACGTGAAGTTAGAACATCAGAAAGTGATTCTAAAGGCACAACTTGAGCTTGCAGCCAAGCACAACCGTGCTGTCTCCGTCCACAGTGTCGCTACCCACGGTGCAGTCTTTGATCTTTTGCAATCTCTTTGGAAAGGTCACGAGAAGCCCTCGAAGTCAGCGAAGAAGAAGCAGAACAAGGATGCTGCCAATACACCTCTCGAGTCCGACTATCACAGCGTCGAGGGAGCAAAACCACTCTATCCACCACGTATCTGCATGCACTCATATTCTGGCCCAGCAGATGCGCTCAAGCAATTTCTTGGCGCTCGTGTTCCAGCAGATATCTTCTTCTCCTTCAGTGAGCTCATCAATTTTGGCTCTCATAATTCAGAGAAAGCGGTTGAAGTCATCAAAGCTGTGCCAGATGAGCAGATCCTGATTGAGAGCGATTTGCATTGTGCAGGAGAGAGGATGGATAAACTCTTGGAGGACGTTCTGACCAGAGTGTGTGAAATCAAGGACTGGTCGCTGCCAGGGGGAGCAGAACAACTGAAGAAGAACTGGCATCGGTTCATTTTTGGTGTCGCGCCTGAAGAATGAATCTATTACGGCCGTCTTGTGAAAGACTCAACCCCTCAACATCAGATGTGCTCTGGCATAGACGGATGATGGGCATACCTGGCTCTTGAGAGGCTGCGGGTCTATCGCAAGAGGTCTAAGCATCTCGACAGCGTCTTTCCATCTAGACAGCTAGTATGAAGGACCATTGAAAGAGGTCTCAGCATCCCAAGAAGGGGCGCATAGTGTCCTTGCAAGCAGGGATGGTCACAAGTGGTAAGCACGTTGTTACTCGAACAACCACTTGTTCTCAGATGTGGCGCACAAGGATCATCACCTCAGGCACAAATCCGCATCATCGTTGCGAACATACGCACCACTCCTCTACGCAACCACCTTCAGTCTGATGTTGCCGTCTGTCCACAAGAGTGACGACGACCAGACACCTTGTCTAGTACTACGAAAACCGCTCGTCACTTGCTCTATGTTTGCTGAGCACTTTCCTAGGTAGCTAGTGATATTGGATACCAACGTCAATGAGCCGCAACGGCGTTGATAACACGACACGTCTATGATTTAATTGACACCTCTACTCCTACTCCTCTACTCTTTTCATCATTGCAAGACTATTCGCAGTCGGATTCAGCATTCACCTCATACTTCGGTATTGACTTCTAGTCTCCTATTGCCACAAGGTCCAGTTGTCTTTGTCATCATAACCACAAAGCTTCGCATAGCAAATACACACGCAATCAACCACACAGAGCAATCGATCCCGTGTGCCTATCTATTCTGGTACAGGTGAGCAGAATTTCTACCTCAGTCGTCTCTGGTGAAACGTCTCAACCAATAAACTATCATATTTACTGTCCAAGCACCTGATCTTCGAGGAATAACATGGCTAACGAGGGTCGTGATGTGATGAAGGGAAGTCTCCCAAAACGCTCTGCCAGACGACAGAACCCGCGAACCAACGAGATTTCCGACATCAGCCACATTCAACTCGGACTTCCAACGTACGGAGATACGCAGCTCAGAGATCGATTCCAGAGAATCAGAATGCAGAACACCAACGACCAGTCGCGAAGTCAGAAACCGGGCAATACCTTCCAGCCCTGTACAACATATCCATCCATTGCGCCTGATAATATTACTTCTCTCACTCCAACTCTGCCGAGAAGGAGTCTTCCGACTGCCAACGTTGTGGGGCAAACTGACCGAAGACAGGCCATACCACGTAGCGATGCCCTTCCCATGCCCTCAAATCGAACAAACGTCAATCAACGTCCTGTTCACCAAAATGAGAGCCATAACTCACTTGGTCGTGAACGTTCTGCTGAACCTTTGAGTAACGACGTTCGAGCCTCTGGTTCAGCTGCAATTGATACAGCGAGCTCAGTTGTCACAGGGAGACAGCCAACCTCAAACGTCAGCGACCGGCAGAACGCTCAACGAAATGAACGAGGATGGTTAGGCTTAGGTCGCCGCGCGAATGGTGACGCAATTTTCCTGACCGACGAAGAGCTGGCTGCAGTTTGGGATGAGCTGCCGACCTTGGGAATCACTTTCCACGGCACCATCATGACACGTGCCCATCGACTGGACTTTGACCCAATGGCCGACCACGAGACAGTACAGGAGCGATGGACGGAACACATCGAGGCCTTGAAACCTCTCGGAGATGCACTTCTCGACGCCGTTGCTGACAAGTTCGGGTTTCCACAAAAGCTCTCTAGTGCCCAAAGCCTACAAGTGCTTGAGTTCTGTAAGGCCATCTGGTCAAAGCTGAGGAAGGAGTTTGAAAATGCTACAAGAACATCATTCACCTTATACCCAGGCACTTCCCACCAGCTAGACCAGTGGATATATCTCATGGAAGTCCTTAGACAGGCTCGTCATATGATTCACCGGCCGAGTCGAGAAGAATGGGACAACACAGAAGCGGTTATAGGAATCACGGCTATGCACTGGCAGCGTGATATTATACAAGAGCTGATCGATGCTGTGAGAAATCCTAGCACCGAGAGCACAAATCCGAGCTCCTCGAGCACCTCGAACTTCTCTTCTCCAGATGAGGATGACAACAATCAGCAGGAGAAGCGTAGACCTGGACGCCCCCCTGGGTCGCGCAACAAAGCGACCCTCGCAGCCGAGGCGAAAGCTGCACGACGTGCTCAGCAAGCACAGACTGGCCAATCTCAGGCACAGGTTCTAACGCATAGACAACCTGCATCTCAATTGCAGCCAGCCCAGCAGCAGAACCAATCTCGTCAGCTCCAGCCAGGCGCGCTCCCACAATTGCAGTCTCCTCTCTCTTTGCCACAAGGACAGCTCAATCAAGCTAGGCCAGCCGCGCCATCTTTATTTCCACCTAGGAGTCAATCTTTCACACCTGGTCGACTCCAAGGCTTTTCCAGTGTCGCTCAAGGTGGCCAAGCAGTAAACTCACCACTTGCCTTCCCCACCCCACGGTGGCGACTAAACATTCCCTCGCAGCAGGCAGGGTCGATTTTCGTACCCCCACGACTTCGGCCACCTGTACAGCCTCACCAGTTTTCCAGTCCTCCACCCCAGCAGTCGAACCAACAGCCATCGCCGCAAACACCAGTTCCGGAGGTGATGTGGTTCAAGAAGACGAGCTAAGTACAAGATTGAAGATCCATGAGAAGGGTGGCATAAGCGGCTCGAGAGACTGTCTCTATCTACGGTTGGACGTCGCTTGTGGTGAGCACTAGGACGTAATACATGGAGTTGTGGTACATGGGGGAAATCATAGAGGGAAGGACGAGATCGAGATCGAGTTCGACATGTGCAGAATCTTGTCAGAACATACTAATCTGTCTGAAGTGCCTGAAAGCAAGCGGGATAGTCGGATATCTGCCAAAGTCGGAGAGGTTACGAATCAAGGCTAGCTAGATCAATATTGCAATGTGATTTCTCCTCAAGAGGACGTACTTGACGACCACCATTAAATGCTTTCTTCTATCCCCTCGCTCTATTCCGCCTCTACCCAACCCTGTCTCACCCAAAACCAATACATATCTCAGCCACATCCTCCATCTCAGCATCAAGTCTATGGTCCCATGAATAGTCTCACTCCATTGTAAACCCATTGTTTCGAAATCTCATAATGGTCCTAGACAATGTGTCAGTATTTGGAGATAGATGCGGCTTTGTCTCGTGGTTCCGAAAATAGCTCGGCACAATGAGAAGAGAGTACAGTGATATAGTCGAGTCCAGCTGGATGTCGTGTGAGGACCTCATAGTACGTAAATATTGCCGGCAGATTCAGTTGACTCTGGATGTTCGAGCTTCCCAGAAAATATTGACAGGCACATCAGATCAGACATCATGAGCAACAACAGATTACCACCTTCACCGCCAATGACGGACACTAGCAGTAATGCTTCTTCCGCCTCAGAAACTCTTATCGCGATGCCTCCTGTCTCCGATATCAACACAAATTCAGACGACCCCTCCCACTCCCGCAGCTCAACATCATCACTCAATAGCACGACCTCCTCAACCTCATCACCATCATCAGCTCCCTCCACACCCGAACCACAAATCCCCCTTCCATCAGGCCCCATCCACTTCACAGCCCAACTCCACCACCCCCTAAACCCCTCCGAAGAATCCCTCTCCCGCCAATCCATAACCCTCTTCCGCAGCCCCTTCGACCCCTCCTACAAGTCCACATCCTTTTTCGCCGCCAAAACCGGCCGCCCATTCCCAAACATCTACAACGCCAACGACAAGTACAGACAGGTTCACGATAACGTCGCAAATCGGATCCTGGTCACGTTGGCGACTTGGTACTCGCAGGTTTTAGAGGATGATTTTAAGAGGGAGTTTTGTGGGTCGGAGGGAAATTGTGAGAGGTTTCATTTGAGTGTGCAGGGGTGTTTGACGGAGAATGCGAAGTTGGAGGTTGAGTGGAAGGAGTGGATGCCGGGGAATTTTGAGGTTTATGAGGGGGAGAGGGAGTTGCCGCCGTGGTGGAATGAGTCTTGGTGAGGATTGCTGTTTTGTCGGAGTTTTCTTCGTTCTTTAGCGTTGTATTTGCACATATTGAACAGAGACCCAACCGGGCGCGTTGTTCACCTTAAGGTACTTTTGTATGTTGCGGACTTTATCGCTCTGACTGCATGATTTGCCCGTCTGCTCACATGACGTCGATGCCATTGCACATCTCAGTGGACAAGCCTTGGTCAGCCGACTTATAGCTTCGCACGAATTGAAGCTACGGATGAGGATGCTTGTTGTGGTTGTTTGGCGTGAAGCCCGGTAGTGAAAACATCTGCACGCTGTTAGCCTTGAGGCCATTTGTCGCGAATATGCCATGTATGACCTCGAATATACTCTCTGCGCTACAGCCCCATCCTCGTTCTCCTTCGACTCGATTATCCATACGCCTCCCACTAGTCATACCTACTACTGTTCCAGTCTCCGCATGGACAAGCGGGCCACCAGATGATCCTGGTGTCGGTAATATCGACGTGAGGATGTGAGGAAGTACGCTAGATATGCCGGCCTAAGAAGAGGTTAGATAATATTCCCAAATTTTGAGCACTCTTACCTCGATCTCAACTCCTGTATAGCTTCGGTACCCAAGCATCTGGCCCACGCCCCAGCGCCGCCAAGCGTTATTTTCTAGCCACTGTATCGGCTCCTCGATTGTCGTACTGTTCAGGATCTTTGTTGTTGCCTTTGTCCTGGCGATGGAGTGCTGAACAACGGGTGGATCATTAGAGCCGAAGAGGTGAGTTAGTACAGGCGTCCCGGAGTAGACTGGAAACGGACTGAGTGGTAGGGAGCGAAGCTTGACAGTGGGTGCTAAGGATCTTGCCTCAAGTGCAATAACATCTGAACGTGGCATTGAAGACAGCAATTGGGTGATGATGCGTGGCTTGCCAGATGAAGGAACAATGAATGAGAAGAAGCGCGTGGGCTTCTCGACTTGAGTTATAGTACGCCTGAAATGTCGATACATCTCGTCCAGGGTATGAGCACATGTGATGATAGTGTCGCCTTGCATGTGGTTATCGGCACCACTATTTACCACAAACCCTGTACAGACAGTCGTCTTAGAAAGACGATCAGCTGCTTCGTCAAACTGAGCATGGACGACCAGGACAATACCATCACCAGCTGCATACTGATCAGCTGTCGTCACATCGGCTCGCCTTTTAGCTGAAGGTCGCTCCTCGTAGGGCACGACACGTTTGATTACAGTGCCCGCTTCTTCTTCATATTGCCGATATAACTCGGTCAAAGAGGCGCCTTGTTGGTGGGAGAGCGAGCGCGCCAGATGACCAAGATACCGATCAAGTTGATCAACCTCAGGTGAAATCGGGTGAACGCTTTCCTGCACAGAGGGCGCGTTGTGGCTACTGAAGCGCCATTGCTTTGAGGCTGTCGAGGGCGGGCAAAAAAATAATCGTCCTCGAAGAGTCGTGGAAGTCCTGTGTAAGGCTCGACAGGATGGCACAACCATTACATTGCGACCATGAAGCAGTTGGAAGAGACTATGGGATGTCTAAACAGCATTCGTGGATATAAGGGCCATCGTCCTGTAGGTGTTCAAGCACTGAACGAATCTCATGACGAACATGATCACGAATGTTACTTCACAACTTGCCGCTACAAGGTGACGAACCATTGTAGACCTAAGCAATTAGCTCGAAAAGCTCACATGCTGGTCCACCAAAGATGGACCACGAAGCTTCATTTTCGATACCTTGTATATTGACTTGCATTGCGACGAACCAGGCGCAAAAACCATCATCAATTTGGAATAAGACGTCTTAGCCGCGACTGCCCCTTGTAAAGTCGACTAGTTTTGTATTGGTCCTGACTGAGGATTTCCACTGGTTCTGATCGTGGACGATGTACGCTGGTCCTTAGTGTGAAGCAAGTGATACACTCTTCATTGGTCCTTTAGTTATGAGAACTAAGATTGCGTCTTTCTATATCTACTTGTACAACAGCATGAATGACTCAGTGAAGCGTTAAGCCTTTTCTGTCAACCCTGCAAAACTTGAATGCCTCAGTGCCTCTGGAAACGAGTGGTGTCAATGGTGTAACCACTGCACAAATCAAGAACACGTAGCCCCGTCACAAACCACTCCATACTTCTAACCATACGCCAGAAAATTAGCCAATATACCTGTACAAAGTGTCTTGTTGGAGAGCGCATGCATTACGGCTTGTAATGAGCTCGCCCTATCATCTTCACCTTATGCTTAGAACCACATTCCTGCCACGTGAGTCCTCTTCTTCGCACTTCTGCAATACAATCCTCGCATCTTCTATCGGTCTTTTTGATTTGCATGTACGTCCAGTAAGAATAGACTGCTGAGAAAGGAGCGGTCCAACCGAACGAGGCCACGGCAGTCTCGACACTCCAACACACCTTTCCGCGGAGGAAGTATTTGTTGTCTTCGTAAGCGTGTGTTTCAGCAAGTAGGCCTTTGTCTTCAATCGTGGTGATGTAATGGAAGAAATTTGCGTCTTCGTAGTCCATTGTCGTTGGCATTGTGACCTCGCGTGGTAGTGTCGAGTCGTTCGTAACGATTAAGGTGGTAGAATTTCAAACGTGAGGAGTCAGCACTATCTATGGATAGGATGGTCGTCGATTTTGAGCACGTATGAGAGTCGAAGCGTGGTAGTTGTACTGGAAGATATGATGAGGATGTTCGATGGAGATTTGAGATGAGGCAAGTAGTTCTGCAGGTGAGTAGCTGAGATGTGATCAGATGAGTCTACCACAAGTGAAGCTGGTGAGTGTCCTTTAAGTACTCTCAATGTATCTTGCGTTACACGGATGAGATGACCAACTTCGTGGGCCATGACAATATGTCCGGGCACCATGCCAATGATAGCGAGACTGTAAACACAGCCACCAAGCTCAGCGACGATGTGTTGTGAGAGACCAGGGAGTGGTGGCGCAGAATCTCATCTCTTGCTTTCTGTTCCACGCTCTAGCACATACTCACTTGGGGGCATGCTCAGCCAGGACCAAAGCCTCTAAGTTCCGAAATGTCTCTGACCATACAGGGATTGGTAATGGGAGAACTGTTTATGCAGACATGTAAAGCAAGGCAACATCTGAGACGCCAAGAAGTTCCAAGCATTGAAGAACGCCACGGACCGACCACTAGGTTCCACTTGGAAGCAATCCCAAGAATCCTTGTCAAGTTTTTGGCCCCTCTTTCTTCGTGGATTACAGCGTAGCGGCTGAGTTCATGCAGCTTTGAACACCGCTTTGAGATGATCATAGTTGAGACGTGGCTGTTTCAACGACATGTACTTGCAGATGCAATATTTCGGGGTTGAAGCTGGCCATACTCCAGATCCTTTGTCAACATCCTGCCGACAAACGGAGTAGTTAGACGTCAGTATGATCGAGATCAGCAGCATGACCTTCCGAGTAAAATACCGACTTCTCAGCCTTATAGTCCCTTATCAGTGTCGTACCATTTTGGGTCAGCTGGGAGGTGGATCAGCAAACGACCTGACTTTGTGGAGCTTAGATAGAGTGAGTATCTCCTATTCAGCTCAGGTCCGAAAGAGCCTTGCCTCAAAAGGTTGATACAGACTATATGCACTCTTGGCGATGGCTTGGAAATTAGAAGAACCTTTATTCCGATTCGCTCTACGACTGGCCAGTTAGAAGTGTACCACATGCAGTGAGCCTTCAAGTCCATGTCGAAAATCGTTTCCAAGAATAGCGCTTCAGAGTGCAGTTGGAACAGGCTTTCGAATCAGGACCATGTATTGACGTACGAGTAGATAGTCGATAAGGATACGACACTGGGAATCCCCAGCGAAACACTTTATTACGGACGGTCAAAGCAGGCTCGACTTGACTATAGTGTTATGGTGTCGCTCAAGCTAGATGCTATAATCAGTCATAAACACGTTTTCGCTGTGCCACGCAATGAGACTGGCGAGATGAAGAGGAAAATGGTTGTTGTGCGATTATGTTGCGCTCTTCATCAAACCCTAACTTTCGAGGCTCAAGACTCGCTCGGTAGAGGTGCAGATAGCTGGCAGGTCAAAAGATGAAGGCGCGGCGGGCTGCTCGTCGACCCCGACATCCAGCTGCTGTGCCACACAGTATGTACAGCATACTCGACACCACCAGATACGGTGGTGTTGTTAGATAGCCTCGCTGTGAGTGATGGCGAAAAGCACACTGCGACACCCTGCCCATTTCGATGAAACACGCTATTGCGGTCTTAGGAGCCTGCCAGTTGGGGCTTATAGGCTCGTAGTCGAAATAATTAGAGTACGTTTTCTTTCTCCACTTTCGAACCACTCATTCCTCTAACGCTTAGCTGTCTGCTTTAGGTAGATGACTTCTTACTTCACTTACAAACCTCATCTTTTAATACCACTCTAGCGATCTACTAGCGTATAAAATAGCTTGTTACTTGATACAGCCATTGGAAGGCGAGGTCACTCATCCACCTGGAGCATCTCACGAAGTGGAGAATCCCGCGACGGGGTGAACCTTGCCTGAATCGCGAAATGGCTTTTACCAGATCGACCCAAGTACTCATGTCGTAGTACTGCCACGAGTGTTGTCACTCGTCACAGTAACGAGGTATTTGAGCACAAATGCCACGACGTGAGCATGGCACAAAATACGACGGAACACGTTGATAACACGAACGAGGCCGAGAATGCAGACATCCGCGACATTGAAAAGCGCGAAAACAATATGCCTCCGTTACGCCGAAACGTCCTGACAGCTCTGGTCCAGGACTTTGGTCCATTTTGGTACAACGATACCTTATGCAAGATGTCTGTGGTCTGATTGCTGATGCTTTCTCAGGTTCACATGGTGCATGAACTCAGGCGTACTGGCCATTTTAACCCATCAATGTCCTTACCAATTTCCTGGGCTGAAGGTCATCAGCACTATCTTTTTCGTATTTGATCTGACTCTGTTTGTGCTCTTCAGTGCTGCATTCACTGCACGCTTTGTTATCTTTGGATCCCAGGCTTATGGCGAGATTACAGGCGAGCTCAGCGACCTGATGTTATGCGCCTGTTGGCCTATTGCGTTCATGACCCTGACGAGCCTCACCTCGCTAATTGCAAGTAACGCGTACTGGGGAAGACATGCACTCACTATCGTTGCATATGTGATGTGGTGGGTTGTGTGTTTCTGGGCACTAGCTGTTCTCTTCTGGGTCTTCGGCGACCTGATTGCCAAGCATGAGATTAGTGTACAGGCTGGAGAAGGTGTCAGGGGAAAGAGGTTGCCAATGATGGTCATTATCCCGGCTGTGAGTGTCAGTACGGTGGCAATCACGGGTGCTTTGGTAGCCAGCCACAGTTACGACATTAGTGCGCGCATGGCGGTGCCCGTGATCATTGTCAGCTTCCTGATGGTCGGCGTTGGCATCCTACTGGGATTTATGCTCACCACATATCTGTTTCATGGCCTGTTATCTCAAGGCTGGCCACCTCCTCCACAGACCGCCAGTGTCTTCATTCTCGTCGGACCAATGGGACAAAGCGCGGCAGCACTACAACAGCTCGGCCAAGCTGCAAGGGTATATCGCAAATTCGTGGGTTACGACAAAGGAACATTCTTGACGGGAGAAGCCGCGGTTCCACTCGAAGCGGCCTGTATGCTTATTGCACTTCTGCTGACTGGGCTAGGAATCATCTGGACATTCTTAGGAGTGTACGCGATGGTATCAAGGGCTCTACAGAAACAACTAAAATGGACGCCCAGCTGGAATGCGATCATTTTCCCAGTGGGCACGCTGACAACAAGTACAACTCTACTCGCGACTGAGATGGACTCACCAGCGTGGCGGGTAGTGACCGCGGGCTTAATCATCATCCTGCTATTCTTCTTCCTACTCAATTCAGTTTTCACGTTAAAGGGTATCTGGAAGGGAGAGCTTTTGGTCGTGAGAGAAGATCCAAGAGTGAAGAGGAAGATGCAGGAAGATCATAAGGTGCGATAGAATCTCTGAGAGAATATAGTGAGCTGCAGCGACGTCGCATGGTCGAAATCCTTCGCAGCTGGTCAATTTTTGTGATCATTTTAGCATGTTCACCAGTCTTCGATCCTTGCTATGTCGTGTCGCTCAGCCATGGCCAGTTTAAGGCGAGAATCCGCACCTGAATTGGCCTTGTTGTGTGCTACGCTCGATTGCCTGCACTCTCTGGACTTGTGCGATTACCGTGAACATATCGATTAGCTGCAAGGCGGTAAGTCGCGTAGTCGACAATAGCAGCACAAAAATAACATGCCGAAGAAAGAAAATGGATATGCTTTACCAAAACAGACGTGTTAAACTTGATTTAGAATAGATTCCTGCTCGCTCGCTTGATTTGTTATAGAACAACTTCAAAACCAAGATACTGATGAGCCACGGCTGGTTCACACGAAGTTAAATTTTGTACAAGTTACTGCGCTGCAAAACCGTCTATTTTGGTGGGTTCTCAGCAACGAACTTGACACCCTTCTCAATGTTCTTCTTGAGGTCAGCCAAGCAGGCATCCAAGAGTCCCTCCTCGTGCGAAGTAAGCTTGCCAACATCGTGAATCTCCTGTACACCATCTGGACCTAGAGTAACCTTTGAGGCGAAGAAGTCAACGCCCTTACTCTTGTAAAGTGGGCTGTCGACGAAGGTTGGCTCGACGACACCGGTCTCACCCTGGGAAGCTCGGAGCAAGCTCTCTGCGAAGCGAGCACCAGCCATAGCCATGGACAGAGTGGCAGATCCTGCACCATCCTTGGCTTTGACGACCTCGTCACCACCGAACTGGATTCTGTTGACAAGAGTATCGAGCTTCTCGCCGCTGATGTCGGAGTGACCGGATTGCGAGATCAATGGGACGATCGTCACACCAGAGTGACCACCGACGACAGTGATATTCTCGTTGGCTGGGTCAGATCCCTTGATCTCGGAGACGAATCGCGAAGCTCGGACAACGTCGAGGGTGGTGACACCAAAGAGTCTTTTGGGGTTGTAAACGCCTCTGCTCTTCAAGACCTCCGCGCAAATTGGGACGGTCGAGTTCACCTAGACGCTGTCAGTATTCCGCCTTTTTCATTCTTCAAGGTGTACGTACGGGGTTGGAAATGATCAAAAGATTTGCCTCTGGGCAAGCCTCGGCGCAGGCCTTTGCGAGATCCCGGACGATGCTAGCGTTGGTGTTGAAGAGATCTATCATTTTAGTCATGGTTCGTGATAACTGTCGAGTCTCTTACCATCACGTGTCATGCCTGGCTTTCGAGGAACGCCAGCCGGGATGAGAACAATCTCAGCACCAGTCAAGCACTCTCGCAGACCCGATGGAGTTGGATCATAACCCTTCACCTCGGACTTGGTGTTGATGTGAGAGATATCGGCGGCCACACCTGCTGATCTTAGCATTTGTACAACAATTGCAAACTGCGGTCGAGCGGACCTGGTCCTAGTCGGATATCGTAAAGGGCGAGCTTGGAAACACGAGGGTTCAGCTTCATCAGCAGTGACAACGGCTGACCGATACCACCTGCGGCACCAAGCACAGCGACTTTGGAATTCTGAAGACATCGTTAGTGGTGCTAACACTGTACTGTTGCGGTGATGTATACCTGTCTGCTCGACACCGAGAAAGCTCGGCGCTGCACCTGTCCAAACATCTGTCTAGCGAAGGACATCTTGAAGAGGGTACGCGTGGTGAGAAGAGAAGGTGTCCTTGAAGAAAGCACGATAAGAAAGTGATTGCTTCGAAAGGAAAGTACTTGTCGTTGAAAGGTACTGCTACTCAGGGTTCAAGTTCGAGAATGAGCTTCAACTTCAAACTTTGGGGTCGCAGCTCCAGGTTCACCGGAAACCCCGATTTGGCTTGGCACGCTTAGATGAAATTTAGTGCAACCTAACAGCAGCTTCGATATATCTCGAGCTTGGCAGCTTCAGCATGTTGTGTTCAATCTGTGTCTACTTTCCTCTCCCGTGATTATTGGCCAAGCACGATCTATGTCGCAAGTGTTGCATCACGTTATGTCTGTTTATTCCAAACATATAGCTCGAGTAAAACCTCAATCGGCTCCGAGGCTCTTGGGCAGCTCATTCATCGCTGATTTTCAAGATGGCCTTACCTAGATTATCACCCTTCAGCATGCCCAAAAAGCCTTCAACTGCATTGTCCATACCATCTGTAACGTGATCGTCGGACTTGAAACTACCTTCCTGGATCCACTTGGTAATATTCTCGTCTCGTGCTTTGCTGTGCTGCATGATATTCTGATCGAACACTAGAAAGCCCTGCCATCGAAGCCGCTTCCTTACCATCATCGTTGTGTTTTTCACTCCGTACCCTTGCCCTGGCTGGTTGTTGTATTGCGAGATTGCACCGCACGCGACTGCCATATGTCAGTATGGAACAAACTATACCTCGAATTAAGACTAGCGTACCAATTCTGCCCCCAACTTTGATGTGCTCGAGCGCAATATCGAGCTGCTCACCTCCGACGTTGTCGTAAAAAATATCTATTCCGTCAGGTGCCAACCTCTTGAGAGCACTGCGAGGATCCTCCTTTTTGTAATTGAAGCATTCTGTGATCCCGAGCTCTCTCAAGTGCTCCAACTTCTTGTCATCGCCAACACTACCTATCACTTTCAGTCCTTCTCGAAGAGCGACTTGCGCGACGACGAGACCCACAGCACCAGCCGTGGCCGACACCCAGATTGTCTCTCCTTTCCGCGGTGTACCAATCTCATGGAGGCTACCATAGGCAGTCATACCAGTCATACCCAGAGCGTTGATATAGGCGGTAAATGGCACACCTGAAGCTGGTTCGAAGCGTTGGGCTCTTCTACTGCTCTCAACTTTCTGATCACTCAAGCCGTTGGTGTCTTCTGGGGAGACTTTCGAGTACGTTTCCGTGTAGCTACTCCACAATATTACATGCTCTCCCTCCTTGAACTGCGAGTTGTCTGATTTCAGGACTTTGCCAATTACACTGACTGACTCAACTGGCTTTCCTACCTCCATAGCCTTTGAGTAAGACCAGACTTTGGAATCTCTCATCCTACCTCTTTGGCTGGGATCAAAAGCCGCATACAGATTCTTTGTGATGAAGCCATTTCTGGGAGGAGGTGCCTCGAGGTCGAACTCCTCAGACGCGATATCCAGGTCCTTATTAGGCTCTGGCCATCCGCTAGGGACGGCCTTGTATCGAAAGTACTTGTTCTGCACCATCGTCTATAATGTGATGCGACGACGAAGCGTGTATGTGAACTTCAATCTGGACAACCTCGCTGTGCTCCAAACAGATGATTAGCCTCCACCTCGGTGTAAGTCGATTGGTCGATGCAAACCTCAAGACTGTCAAGCTGTATGCTATAGCACAACAACGCAGACCTTTTTTAAGGACACTGTCTGCACATAGCGATGCGACCATGACCTCGTGTTTCTCTTCTACCTACGTACTTAGTGGTTGCTAGAGATATACCGAATGACTAAACAACCTCGGCTTGAATGCAGTAGAATCTTTACTCCTGAGTCGGATCAAAAAATTACTCTGTCGTGAGCTCGTCTGCTGTCAGCTATCCAAGAACGATTCACACGTAGTCTGTGCACGAGCTGCACGAGCTGCACAGATGCCAATGACTGTCATGGCATATCTTTTCACCGAATCTCGTCAGTCCTCCTTCGCAAATCGCCCAGCGAATCAGTATAAAGTGGGCGGTGTAATTTCATTGACCATGTGTAAGCGATCGAGCGGAGAAACCAGATTGTCTCACAGAGTTCTCTCTCTCGTCTGGGACTTACGCTCTTCATCGTCCTTGCTGTATCGAAAAACGAATTCCAAGCTCGAGCCATCCACTCGTTCTTGATTCGGTCAAATGCATGTATCTACGCGGATGTTGCGCTGGACGCAAGCAATACTCAGTGATAGTGGGCCAATATAGTCGATTGAAGTCCCATGCAAGTTTGCGAATGGACACCTGCAGCATGCAGATGCAGAAGTTGTGGCCGGACTAAACCAATTTCCAACATGTTCTTGCAGGCAAGTCTTTCGTTAAAGCCCAGGACAAAAGGACCGACACGCCAACAAGCGTGTCTGCCTCACACATTTCACGTCCAGTCACCCTCGAACGCGTTTCGACCTGCTTCAATTTGTATTCCACCAACCTTTGAGCATTCCTTTTTCTTGTACTGTATTTTCACAATCATTTGCATTTCAAGGTGTTTTTGACAACGTATGCTAGCATCCAAGACCACTAATACAAACACACTCTCGTCCTTTGTTTTTGTCATTCTTCCAACCCATGGTTTCTACTCAATGCAAGCAACATGAACAATCTAAACAACATGGACCTCTTACAAAAGGTCAATTTATATCGCAGTTTCGATTCAGCCCGTCAAGAAGACCTTCAACACTTTGCACAAGAGTTCGAGGCTATGAAGAATAGAATAGGAACCCTTGAAGCTGATCTAGACGATGAGCGTACTAATCGCAGGAAATGGCGACAGCGTGCAGAAGTCGCCGAATCATCCTTAGGCCGGAACCAATTTGCCGTTGTCCTCATCGATGGAGATAACTACCATTTCAATCGCGATTTCTATATGAGTGCCGATGAGTCGGGAGGCGCTCAGGCGGCTCATGCATTGTATACAGATATTCAGAATTATCTCAAAGCTAGCCAAACCAACTTACTTGAAGGCTCAGAATACAATGAAGACGTGGAAGTCATGGCCATCGTTTATTTCAACAAAGATGTCCCCATGAGGGTATTATTAAATGCCGATATCATACAAGCACCTTTTCATTTCAACGAGTTCATGTGGTCTTTCACGTCCAGCCGTAGTCTCTTTCAAACAATCGACTGTGGACCAGGGAAGGAAAGAGTCGATGCTAAAATACGAGGTAGATGTAACTGACGTTTCTAGGTTCTCGCTAACATCTATCAGACCTATATCGCTTTTATGTGCAGCATGCTCAATGTAAACATATTTTCCTGGCATGTTGTCATGATTCTGGGTACGTCGCCGAATTCGATAAATACCGCCACGATCCCTGCGCAAAGTCGAAAACGGTCCTTGTTCGGATTGGCAATATTCACAGCCATTTCTACAACCTCAACCTACCATTTGCTGAGTTTACCAATACGTTTGAAATGCAACCATTACAGCCCACACGAAGATTTGACAACACACCTAGCTATGTACCTAGAACTGTTTCAGCCACCCCATCGACTAATGATAATGTTTCACGCTCCAGCGAGGCCACACCTGCACAGTCTTCAGTAACTACCTGGTCAACAGTAACTGCTGATGCTGCTCGTGCACCGCCACGAAATACCAGCTTCAAGAGTACGCATGCAGATTCACCTAGCTTCGAGCCAACCAAAGTCTCCAAGCAAGTAACTGGTGACTCAACCTCCGGTATCCCCGTCAACCGTCTCGGCCAACGAATCGATCGACGTCTGCAAGCACCTTCCTCAGCCGAACTTGATCGCTTTAACAATCGTATCATAGATTGCAAGCTCTGCAACAACCATCACTTGGCTGGCGAATGCTATACGTACAACTGCAAATACGACCACGACCCAATTGACAGTGCTATGAAGCAAGTCTTGAAGTACAAAGCTAGAAGTATACCCTGCGCTGCTGGGAGTAAGTGTAGGAAGATTAATTGTTTTTACGGACACCAATGTCCTTGGGCACGAGATATGTGTACAAACGGTAAATGCGCGTTTTACAGGAACGGCATGCACGATCTTGATGATTTTGAGATTGCAAAATTCGCCCCTGCTGCTGGTTAAGACGATGTCAGGAGCATATTTCGCAGTTCTCCTATGCAGTGAAAAGTTAAGACAAGATAAACAGAATTTAAACCAATGTTGCAATACGATCAAATCTCTCCCTTGTTGTCCACGATGCACACAATCTGCGTGGCATGTGGACGAGCATAGAAGAGCAAGATCGCCTGAGGAATAGCTCTAAGGTCAATAGCAGATAGAACCATGTAGCTCGACTAGTTTGCCGACCACATGTGCGAAATGATCTGCACCATTTCTAGGGCCATTGTTTGCGAGGCTGCATCACACTTTCATATCAGAACTAGTGTGTAGTCCCGGGCAGTGCAAGTCCCAACAGAACATCGAGTTCTGGCAGCTCTTCTTCAGCACTCATTCGGTCGCCGAGATTGTCAACGAGATCAACGTAAGTCGGTAGGTGGCAAGTACATTTGTCCTCAGAAGCCTTTGTCAACTTTCCACATTCATAACACCACTCTGCTTTGCAACGACATCTGTCACGGTGTCAACCTTTCACGTGTCTAACAATCTTTCTATCCATTACTTACCTCATTGCAGAACAGCCTGTGCTCTTCTCCGTCAGAGAGAAACATCTTGGACACCTTTTCCACCCCTTATGTTGCGCTATACGGACCAGGCCCTCATCTTCAAGAAATGCTGGACAAATGGCGTGAATGCCCAGATGCTGACTTTTCAACATCTTGCAATCTTTTTTGATACACGTCTTCCTGTGACACATACCACACGTTCCGAACCCAGCACGGATGCCATCTGCAGCAGCACTTTTGGCGACTTCATCGTAAGCCTCCGCAGAAATGAACTCTCCACATTCGGCGCAGTAAACCGGTTCGCTGCTTGTTACTTCCTCGGTCTTGTTCCTATACTGTCTGGCCAAGATCTTCGAAACATGCTTTTCTAGACCGGTAAGGTCGAGTAGGCGTCCACAACACCGTGCTGGAAAGTCATTTGGGGTGAGACCTGCTGTTAGTGCTTCGCTGATGCAGGATTTGCAGTACATGCAACCACAGGTATCCAGTTGAATGAGCTGGCAAGGCTTGCGAGGAGAGAGGCAGATGGGGCATTCAACTGTTTTGAACTTTGGTTTTCGACGAGGATTGGAGGTGGCAGATCGCTTGTGCTTAGAACTCTTGTGAGACGACGAGACTGTGGCTTGCAGGGCTGAGGAGTCTGCCATGGTATAACGCTACGAGGAACACGGAACAATGTAGGGACCATTGAGAGAAGCAACAGGTCGTTCACTTACCTGAAGGTGTTTCATTGACTAATTGAAAGATCGTAGACATTTAGAAGGATAAGTGAGATTCACACACAAGAACGAATGTAATCGAAGACTTCAATCAGGTTCGAGTGACTTTACGCAGCATGTCTGATGTCTTGCGTATGCTTGATAGTGGAAAATTGCTTTTTCCAGAGTCTCTCGGTTTCGAAGCAGAGGCTCGAGAACGTCGCGAATCATCATGTTTTCCTCAGTGCTTGCTATTGAATGCTCACCAGTACAACGTATACCTGCCGAAGGAACTGTAGCAGTCCTCCATGTCGCAAGCATTTTCTTGTGATGAAGTCGTGCTTTCTGAAATGCTCAACCCCAGCCCATGCTCATCTTATCATAGCGCAACACTGTGACAATGACGGGCAGTGAATCACGCGTGTCTTATCGCAATTGCTGCCGAAAGAGGCAATACGACATGCGATGGGATGTTGACGGCGATCTTGGATATGTACCATGGGCAAAAGTACAGTTGCAAATAGGGCCAAATGAGGCTCAAGCACCGTTAAGCTCCAGGATCTGGTGGACATGACGTCGGCACGCCTAAATTGTTGGTCTGCAACCGCGAATCCAGCAAAGGTGAAACGTGCAAGTCGATGTCTGTGAAATGGGAAGGATTGTACCTCAATCATTACGCCGAGAAACCCTTGTTTGCGATATCACCTTCTGTTACTATTCTGGTTAAAACAGCAAAGACCTGAAAGTATTTACCAGCCCGTCTTGTTGCCATTGATGGACGACATGTTTGCAAATGCTCGATGTCGCAACAACTCCAGCCTACCAATGGCATCCATGAATTCAAGAAGCGGATGAAATCGTTCACAAAAATTCCATTCCGCTTGAAAGACGTGGGTGCTCACTTAGTCCTCCTGGTAGTCCTATACTGACTCCATAAAGCTCGAGCCACAAGCCGAAGAATCACGACTATGCGACTACTGTTCTAAACTCAAATTCGAGGTTGACTCATTCGTCGTGAGGTCGCAGGATAGGCAGTTCAGGCGATCAGACGAGAAGCCGACGCAGATCGACACTTCCCATATTGGTGGTCTAGCTGCTGAGTCGTTTGTCAAGCAAGAGCAAAGGAAGAAGAATTTTGAAAACATCCCACGATATCTTGGGAGGCTGTCAAACATACGTCGCAAAAAGTACTGCCCCTTCTGTCGTCTTGTGCTCGAGATTTCAGATCGGCCACTCGATCAGCGTGCACCCAGCCAGTCGCGGAGTGAGGATGCCGCCGTATACGCGAAATGGGTAATTGACGGACAAGAAGAAATCTTCATTGACCAGGCTGGGCCCGAGCAACAATATGTCCCTCGAACGAGAAGGGTACTGATATACAGTGAACCTCAGGCCTTTAAAGATGGCTATGTTGCGTTGCTTAATGAAAGCGCGCCTTTCAAGGAGTTCTTTGGCCGTCGGTTGAAATCTCATGACCTGCTTGAACCTGACGTTCTCCAGAGCTGGATCAGGACGTGTGAGAATGCACATGGACAGGAGTGCGAGGCTTCACTGGTTCACCCAGACCTTATGCTATCTCCTAAGAATGTTCTTAGAGCCATCGATGTCGACAATATGTGTGTTGCTGAGGTGCCACCACATGCTCGCTTCATTGCACTTAGCTATCTTTGGGGCAAGAACTTTGAGCAGTTATTCACAACCAGCGAGAGTTTGCCTCGCTTGTCTAAGCCAGGAGCGCTCCTCAAAGAGCGCTTACCGAGGACCATTAAAGACACAATCAAATTGACTCGTATGCTCGGAGAGAGATACCTCTGGACTGACAGCCTGGCTCTCATACACGATACAGGCTTTCAGTATCACGACGACTGGATATATGCACGAGCACACTTGACTATAGTTGCTGGCTCAGGAAAGGACGCGAACGCTGGCCTGCCTGGTGTAAGGGAAGACTCTCGAATGTGGCATCAAACCATCGAAGAGGTCGTGCCTGGCGTCAAATTAATGGTCTCGCACTTGGCTGAAGATTACATCGCAACCTCACAATGGGATTCAAGAGCGTGGACTTTTCAGGAAAGAATGCTATCTCGTCGCTGTCTGCTCTTTGTCAATGGTCGAGTGTACTTTCAATGTCGCAGGGCAACATTCTGCGAAGACATGGAAATGCCAAGTCCGAATGGCTGGTCACTCGATTCAATCGACATGCCGACCAGGATCTTTCGGGAAAAGCCCTTTGTACAATTTACTTCAGCTGTAGAGTTGTACACACGGCGAGATCTGACGAACGCAGCGGACATTCTCGAGGCCTTTGGCGGAGTCGAGCAAGTGCTCGAGAAGCGACTCAATGTAACCATCTATCAAGGTCTGTTCGAACAACTTATGGACTCATCTCTGATATGGGAGTCCTCGAAAAGGCTGGTCCGGAGACATGGCTTTCCATCATGGTCTTGGGCCGGCTGGATGGGCGAGATCCAATGGAAGTTTACTGAATCAGCTAAGAGCTGGATACAATGGCATTACACGGAGGATAGAGTCGAAGAGCAACACCATTTTCCAGCTCAGCTCGTTTCAAGGATAGAGCCTCCAGTACCATGGCAACGTCATCGCAGGCGAATTGCCAGGAAGCTTGGCAACAACTCAAACGTGGCGCCTCTACTGCACTTCGACACGATAGTCGCGTACTTCAGCTTGATCCATCCTCAACCAGTCCACAAGACTACTATATCACCCTTGCGGAAGAGATTAACAGGTCCGAGTGCCCTGTCAACTGTTCGACCAGCACCAGCTGATCCTGGCCTACTTCGGACCGGTATAGCCGACAAGAACGGGCAGTGGTGTGGTACCATAGATCTGGACGAAGGATGGCAGATTCGAATAGGCGTGCCCTTGAAGTTCCTAGTCATGTCGAGGTTGAGCTGCTTTGCGGAGGAAGAGATATCACTGTGGAGGGATTACCCTTTCTTTCCAGATGCAGCGATGGAAGAGATTGAAAGATTTGACTATGGTGTTTATAACGTCATTTTGGTTAGTGAGCAGAAAGGTATCTGCCACAGGGAGGGACTGGGAAGGATATTGAGCAGCGCACTTCAGAACGCACTGGAACCAGAACCATGCTGGCAGGATGTGTTACTTGGATAAGTAGAATCTGAGCATGGCTAACCATGATCTTACTCATGGTATAAAATATTCCTGTAGAGTGCTCAAACAAGAAATACCACTACAGTGCTGTATTTTCCTAACCTCTTTCCAACCCTAATTCGTTGCTCATACAAAGTTGACTCGCTGCTGCGAAAATGACCGGTTGGTGCCTAAAACGACTCACATTTGGTTGCTATAGCGTAGGCAAAAAGGCGAGTTAAGCACTTTCCAACCAGTAATTATGCGCCTCATTGATAGTTGTGGCCGATGCCTCAAAACTTGGAGAATTCTCTGTGCTGCAAAGTGGAGCCAACTATACCTTCCAGCACAGATTATTCCTTTCTTGTCCAACTACGTTGTTCCTGCCTTCTTGAACCAGAGCATTGGTACCTGTACACGACTGTTTTACGAATCGACGTCCGCCACAAGCACACCATCTACAACCTCATCCACCACACAAATCCACAGTTTACTAGCAATATTCTCTCGAATAATAGCCCTAGGCGACGCGCTACCCTCACCGTCATTCTTTAACCAGACTCGAGGCCCGTTCATCTCAGATCTTGTATAAATACAACATGCCCAATTCTTTTACCACAAGCTTCGCCTCTGCTGCGGCAGGCACATCCTCAGATAACATGAACCGAAGAGACGGAGGGACCGACTGGTAAGAGTTTTGCCTTTTGAACTGGAACATACACCTATTTCGAGTCTCAAAGTACACAACTATACCCTCTTTAGAATTACTCACCGATCTGTCTGCCCTCATTTTGCGTCCAAATTAGCTAGTCTTGGGAGCAGACGCGATATCAAATCTACAGACTAGTTACTGAGTACGAGCTTGAGGCTGACGTTATGCTTGTAGGTCAAGACCTCGTGTTAATGGCACGCAGACCTTCCGAAGACCATCGACCCAATCCCGTGACAACTTACAATTAGCCACTTCCTCCGCAGCCGGACCGTACATTCCTCCACACCTGAACCAGCAAGCAAATGTTTCTAGAAATGGCGCGGCAACAGATGTGCGCTACACACGCGACGAGATGCTGGGCATCTTCAAAACACAGCACGATAACGGTGCATTGGCGAGTGATCTTCCTCGAGTATTCGCAGGACCTTGGGATCTCTCCAACGGCATCCTGCACAAGCCAGATAGTGAGAAGACAGGCGCAGAAATATGTTGGAATAGTCAGCCTACTTCATTGCCCTTAGGCTTGGAAGATATGACCGAAGAAGAGAAACAGGTATGGCATCGATCGAGTCCTCATTACGAAGCATCTGGGCTAATCTCTCTTAGAGCTTCACCACATCCGTTAATTCACCACTTAAATTGAACAACCCGAAAGACGGCCAGTCCTCCAACCCTGGTGCGCGGAAAACTTCTCTGTCCATGGTCAATACTTCTGGAGGGTCGCGACCGGGGGTTCGACGTCGTGAGACGAGCGATTCGTTCGCTGGAAACGGGCCACTTTCACCCACGGAAAACAAGACTTTTCGACTGGACGCTGCTACAAATACCCCTCCTCCGGCTCTCCTACGACGGCGTACAGACCTACAAGAGGAGTCGCAAGATAAAGATGAGCCACGATCGGTGCAAGACAACACTTCGCCCTTTGGCACTCTACGAAGATCGGGCACCGCTGGCCCTCCTAGCGCAGGCTTAAATCCCCCTTTGGCTTCTCCGTGGTCGACTTCTGGACCGCAATCAGCTTTTGGCGCCATGGGTGCGTTCATCAACCATGGCTCTGATCACCCATCTGGCCATGATCCGTCGGCACAGCGACCAGCTTTTGGTAGTGTTAGGAGCACTAGTCGATTCAAAGACATTCTGGGTAAAGCCAACGAGGATATGACTCCCTCGGTAAAAGAGAAAGCGTCTTTCAATGGTTTGGGAAAGTTGTCTGAGGAGGACGATAATATCCAATCACAATCGCACGACCAGATCCGAAATCGACCTGCTCGCAGTGAGACGAACCCCTACGGCGAAGATGCCATGCCTGCAAGGACTGCAAGTACTGGCCTCAGTGCTCATGATGACCCTGGCGTCATGCAGCAGATGGGCTTCAATCCATTTCCTTCGTCTCGAGATGTGCAATCTGTTCAAACTCCTCACCACCGATTCAATCCCGATCCAGCAAGTCCAACGAGCACGAATCCGTACCAGAGTCCACAAGGAGGCCGCATACCTGACGATGAAGGTCAAGAAGGGCCTAATCTGTCGCAACCTTATGGCAGGCGAGACGTTTTCTCTGGCGCCGAACATCGTGGTCAAAATTCTTTTGGCTCGTTAAGGGGTCTTGGAGGTGGCATGGGCGGTTTGGGTGGTTGGACAAATCCTGGCTTTGGCACGGGAACTCCTGGTCGCGATAGACCTGCCGTATCATCTGCCTTTGGTGATTCAGTCTTCAGTCCTTTGAGTGACCTTCAGTCTCCGGGCGCATTTGGCGGCAATACCTTTTTTGGTTCGGGCTTTGCTGGCCCGAGTCGGCAAAGCAAGCTTGGTCTTCCATTTCCACCAGCAATGCAAGAACAAATGAGGTCTGATAGTCGGAACGATGCCTTTGGTGGTCGTCCGGATCCATTCGAGCCTCCCCGTCAGGACAGCGCATTCCGTGCTGCATTCGAAGGAATGGAAAGACCTGGAGAGGACGCTTTTGGTCAGATTGTTCCGAACAGGTCTCCTGTTGGTCCTCCAGGACGCTCGAGTTCAGGTGGTCCGGCTGAAGGTAGTGGCTCCAGCTCACCCAATGGAATTCCCACGGCTCAACAGCGCCAAATGGTTATGCCAGATCGAATGCGATGGGTCTACCGTGACCCTCATGGCAATGTTCAAGGCCCTTGGTCAGGGCTGGAGATGCATGATTGGTTCAAGGCAGGCTTCTTCACGGCAGAGCTGCAAGTCAAAAAGCTTGAAGATGCCGAGTATGAGCCGTTGGCACAGCTTGTGAGGCGCATTGGCAACAGTCGAGAGCCCTTCCTCGTACCACAGATAGGTGTCCCACACGGTCCACCAGCTTCAGGTGGCAACCCTTGGTCTGCAGGTCCAACTGGCTCGGCTCAACCACCATTTGCTAGTGCTTTTCCGAGCTTTGGAACCACTCTGACTGCCGAACAACAGAACGCTCTTGAGCGGCGAAAGCAGGAGGAACAGTTCCTCATGGCTAGACAGAAGGAATATCTAGCACAGCGGCAGATTCAGATGAACGGTCCCCCTCATGGCCCGCCTGGGGCCTATATGCCAGGACTCGTCCATCACTCCAGCGCACACTCTCTGCACAGTCAGCCTAGTTTTGGTAGCATTACCTCACCCGTTGGCTTTGCTCAGCCTTCACCACTGCCAGCTCCTATCGGACAGCCACCGCATTCTGCTAATGCTTTCCGTAGTATGACACCCACGCAGTCTCACGACGATCTCCAAGCGGGTTTCAGTCGTTTGGGTCTTGACAACCGAGGCCCATACAGCAACCTGAACCAGCAATCGTTTGCTGCTCATGAGCGCAACAGGCTCTCTATGGAGAGTCAACAAGGTCAACAGTTCGCACATGAGACGACTTTTTTAGGCCAGCAGGGTCGCAACGAGCGTTTGGACGAGTTCCGCGAGCTCCGCCAGGATTTCGACGAGGATGAACTCGAGGACGAAACACTACCAGCACCTATCGGTAGTCAACGTGATTCCAAGGAAGTTGCGACCCTCAGACAACCACCTGCTCCTGTCGGTGGATCCAGTACAAAACCTGCGGACAATAATGAGCCATTATCTCTTGCACAGCAAGTACAACGAACTGCGGCTGCGCAAGCCGAAGTGAAGGAGAACTCCTACATAGAGTCACCACCAGTCTCAATATCACCACTTCCTGCACCGGCTGCGCAACGATCGAGACCACAAACAGTGGCGGAGCAACTTGCAGCCGAGTCACGCTCCACCACTCAGACTCCTGCTGAGACATCGAGTGCCTCTATTGCGCCATGGGCAGACAAGACCGCAGAAGCCTCCAGAGGACCGTCTCTTAGGGAGATACAGGAGGCCGAGGCCGAACAAGCAGCTAAGCGGGAAGCTATTCGACTTGCTGAGGCTAAACGCGCATTCCTGGAGCAAGAGCGTGCGGCAGCAACACAGGTCGTACCGCCAGCACCTGGACTTCCCGCCACATCTAACTGGGCAACATCAGGTTCACCTGGAACTCCTACTACGCCTGGTGGAAGTGTCTGGAGTGCCAAGCCGATTCCTGCTAAGACAGCTTCCGCCTCTGCCGCCAAGAAGACAATGACCCAAATCTTGAAAGAGGAGGAAACCCGAAAGCAGCGACAACTCGCAACGCAATCGCCGACAGCCACGACTCCTGCTGTACCTGCATCGAGCGGCAAGTACGCTCAGATGGTAAGCAAAGTAACACCTCCTCAGAACGTGTTCGGTAGCGGACCAGGTCAGCAGCAGCAAACCCAAGCAGGAGGTGCAAGTGCCTGGACCACAGTCGGGGCTAGCGGAAAGCCTAAAACACCTGCTACTGTGGTTGCAGCCCCTGCTGTCACACGAACAACCAGCACTTCTACAATTCCACTATCACGACCTCTTGCTACTTCACGCAGCACCAGTATTGCTGGTGGCACCAAGAATCAAGCCAAAGAAGAACTAGTCAAGTGGGCAAAAGCATCTCTCAGCAAAGGTCTCAATCCCGGAACCAATCTTGATACTCTGGTGTCGTCCTTGTTTGAGCTTCCAGCTGAAGTCGACCTTCTAGCCGAAGCTGTATACGGAGTCACTCAGTCGCTCGATTGGAGAAGGTTTGCCGAGGAATTTATCCGCAGACGAAAACTGGCCGACCGTGGCATAATCGAAGCAGATGGCAGCAAGCAGGCAGAGAGCAAGTCCAGTAACAACGGTTGGAGCGAAGTCGCCAAGAAGGGACCTGCACCTGCTCAACAGCAACAGAAGGACGATGGTGTAGCTGGCTTCAAAGTGGTCCCCAGCAAGAAGAAAGGAAAACGCTAAGGGGCGGCATCGAAGGCATCAATACACTCGATATTCTTCGAGTCCTTGACATCTGAAACGACTGGCAGGTCTGGGAAAGGCATCATGTTGTATTCCGTGTTCTTTGTACTAGGTCTGTTTGAGATGTGTCACAGGACGAGAACTTTGGAGGAATATTCCTTCGACTGCTCCTAAGGATGCTCTACACTCTCGCTTCTAGCAAGTTTGAAAGCCAGATGAAGTATTCTCAGCGTCGTTGACAGAAGTGCTGGTCAAATAGTTTCACATCATGTCACTCACTCAGCGGAAGCTCATATGCCACATGAAATATTACTGCACATCCTCCGATTCATCGGTTTTGGTATTGCGCTGCATTCTATTTCTGTCAAGCTATACATCATCGCAATGTCTAGATATCTCTCAAGACTGAAGTGGAAGATGCGTTTGATCTGCTGCCGAGGATGTGGTTGTATGTGCTCAACCGTATCAAACTCCAGAGTTCTACAATCGAGGCAAAAGGATTCAGTTCACCAAACATGCTCTTTACCTATGCGATGAACGACGCTATGTTGGATCTACCAGCATTTCATCACTTTCTAGATGCGCATATCCTCATGACTTACAATAAACAGTCTTCGTCACACCACAGATTGATTGGACGCTTCAGTATGCTTGCTTGTGCTTGAACTCGGCCCCGTGAATTCAAGGTTAATTCGCATTGCTACAGCTACTCCATGACGTATATGCAACTTGGAATGCCATTAACGAAAAGCCACTGAATTCACGAAACCGCATGCCTCGAATCGCCGGACTGTCATTGGAAGCGACTGATTGAGCCTCAGCAGAGCGTTGGAAAGCATGCTTGAGTAAGATATCAAATCTTTGTGCAGATGGCTACGACAAAGTTCAACCTAAAACAAAAAGAAAAGCAGGCTAAGCAGCTACGGGAAAGAGCGACCAAAAATTGCACGGAAATTACTTTTCTACTGGTACACGTCTGGGCATAGGAGAACGATTTCCCAGTAATTCCACAATTATTACCAAAGCAACAGCGATGACTCCAGGATATCCTCGTATATTGTTTCATGGCCCTTGGCTGTTTCGATCGCAGACTGGTCTCGACCATGGCACCTGATCAATGCGCCACCTTCGCAACTCACACCGTCAGCGGCTGAGGCGGCACCGTGGCAGCGGTCAATGACGAAACGGTCGCCGGAAGTGTTGTCCCGATGACCCAGTCCCGCGGACATACTGCACGTTATTGGGTCTGCTCGTACATTTGGTACCTCAATTCCTTTCGCTGTTCTCAAACATTAACATCATTGGTTCGAGGTTTCCTGCCAGCTCTTACTTTTGTGGTCTGGCCGAGATGATCGACAAGCTGCGCGTTGTTGTCTTAGCTCGGTACTTTCCTGATGCTCGCGCAAAGAATGGCTTCACTCCACTGACGTCGATCAGTCTGGGGCTTCTCCTGTCCTGCCATCCACAATGGGTTGACAAGAGGTCCACAGAAGCCATTGTCAAGCAACATGCTCCGAAGCTCAACTAATTGCAGATCTTCCGACAACCAAAACACCCAATAGCAACTATGACTTTCAGCAGTTTTGCAGAAGCAGCCGAACAATACTCCATGAAACAATAACACTCGATGGTTGCGCGCGAACATGGCAGGGCTCGTTCTATCCGACGCAGCCACGCAAGAAGGTGCCAAGAAGCTGCGGAGGATAACTCGCGCCTGTGACTACTGCCACCGACGAAGCATTCGCTGCAGGTTTCCAGGGCAGGAGGACAACAATAGATGTCAGAACTGTGTGGATTTTGACCAGCCATGCCTCTTCGAGCGCGTCGTCAAGCGGAGAGGCGCGAAGCCACGGTCACAGACTCTTACATCGGACAGAGGATCGCCTGAATCGATCAAGCAAGAATATGTGTATGGTGATATCTGTCGGACACCATCAATCGTCAATCCTGTACCATGGCAAGAATGGAAAGCTCCTCGAATCGTCTCCCAGGCTACCGTCATGGACCTGATGAAGATATACCTCGAGATTGTATATCCGGTATTCCCTATATTCCACAGAGCAACCCTCATCCGAAGGGTAGCCAAAGCAGAATACTTGACCAACAAATACAGTTTTGCGGCAGTCATGTCAATTTGCGCCATTGTCACCGCACGTCTTGCGGACCGGGCAGCTTACAACCCTTGTTGGGATGTGCAGGAACTCACCAAAGTCAAATCGGAGGTCTTCTATGCCGCAGCTGTGAAAGAATGTGGAAACGCAGGGGCGCTTGATCGAACACACTTCGATTTGCTTCGAACTTGTGCTTGTCTTGCCCTGACTGCGATACAGTACAGTAAGTTCAGAGAATTCGAAACTCACATGGGCAAATATCATTGTCTCGTCGCTATGGACGGGTTACACGATGAGGCGAATTGGCCAAAGAACATCGGTATTGTAGAGACCGAGGAGCGAAGACGCCTCTTCTGGACGGTTTATTGTCTGGACATATATTCATCGGTTTCGAGAAATGGTGTTATACGCTCGAGAGAACAACAATCGAATGTTGCGTACACTACCGAGCTTGACGACGATTACTTTGACGATACTGGGTATCGAACCGATGCGCCTTCTTCAGGACTTTCGTCGAATAATGCGACGTCGAGTCACAGTCATTCTCTCGTTGCAGCAGATGCAGGCTCGTCTTCGTGGCTTTGTGGCTGGAATTTCATCAACGATCTGTATCGGGTTATGGAGCACGTCATCACGAACTTCCGGGACAAGGGACGCCAGAAACGCAGCTTCGTGAGTGATGTCTTTGGTGAGGCATCAGCTGTGCCTGCTAGTAATGTCCGAGACTCGATCATGAACATGTACAATAACCTGCCGCAATGTTTCAAGGAGACACAGCCAATGACTCTCGACCAAACTCGAGATCGTTATGGTTATCAAGCTGCCAGCATCACTGCGACAGTGCAGCTGCTACGGATGATTCTGTTCAGTAGTGCAGGAGCCACGATCGAGGACCGCTGTAATGTTGCGTCAGAAGTTGTTGATGCCTTTATGCGCATACCGGTACAGTACTTGCAGGCAATGTCTTCGCCGCTCGTTCATCACCTGGCCGCAATAGGTTCAATCTTGGGGTCCGTCTGTTACGAACCACTGTCGGAATCCAGTCATCTACAGGTTCGAATAGTCCTGCTCGCGTTAGCACAGCTATTAGAAAACCTTGATCATGGCATACATTCCACAGCATGTGCGGAAAAGCTCCGCAAACTCGTTATTCGCGTTGACGAGCGGATGGAAAACCAACGTCATGGCATCAACGGCCCGATCGCACAATTTCACGAGAACTCGGGCTCAGCAGGTTCACCCCATCCGTTTAGTCGAAGCAGTTCGGGCGATAAGAGTGATGGTTCCAATTCGATGTCGACAGGCAGTGCTCCAAGCATCGATGGGGTGGTAAGTGCTATACATCCACTGAAGCCTAGCGACCAGAACATGCAGCATATACAGTTTCCTCCCTCCAACGAGATTTTTGATGACTGGCCTTGGAACCACGACTATATGCATTTGCCAGAAAGTTGAGTGGAAAGCATGCTTCCAGCCCACCAAGCTACAATGTACAGAAGCACTTTTTTTGACTTGATTTGAGTCTCCAATCATACAAGAAAGCGTCGCAGCACGCACAGGAGGAAGTCCAAGTAAATGACTGTCCAAAATTTGCTATCCCGGCCGTACTCCTTTTGTCTCGTCAAAGTGTAATGCTGGAGAGTACTGTAACAGAAGACATGAAGAGCCGATATCTCTGAGCCCTTTCGTGTAGCAGATCAGCTATATAACACAAAACGAAACATAAGTCTGTTTCTGTGCAAGCTCAGCCTTTCTCTACATCTTTGACCAGAAACAAAGACTAATGTGGGCAAGATCGATGTTTGGTCTGATGTTTCGATTCCTTACTGAGGTGAGCATCGAGTCTTGAGGTACGACAGCTTGGCTATAGTCTACAACTCCAGGATGATACTGGTGTGGTCGATTTTATCACGTTTACATCCATGTGGCAGCACAAATCTTCTGTCAGGATCTCAAGAAGAAGCTAATGCATTTTCATGACAGACTATGAATACAGGGCTTTTCTCTCTTTTCGAGGTTGCAGGCGAGATGCGACTTTGTTCACAGTGCCCTGGGGTGTCGTAGACTCTCGGCCGGTCTTGATCAAGGCTAAAGACGGCCTGCGGGAATGTGTATAGACTTTGTTAGGCGCGACATATAAGTATTCCACGGTTTGCGCATTCGGTGTCTTTTGGACCAAGCAGGGTCATTTGAGCAGTGAGATGGCGGAAAGTGATTTAGGAGTTGTATTGGAATTTGGATTAAGATCGGGCTAAGGCTTGAAGTAGAGATCAAGATACAAATTTATACGATCCAGCCGCTTGCACAAATACAGTGTTCCGATGAAGTTATAATGAAGTTGCTGGCAATTTCGCGGGTCTGTAGTGCCACAAGCGGCCTCCTCCCTCAGGCTATGCACCTGTCCACCAGTCGCAGAACGTCGTCGTCACCTGCCGTTCTGATCACTCGACCAACAAGCCAGTACACTGTATCTCGTGTAGCATGCCTCATATATGGCTCTACCACTGCCAGGATCTCCAGGATCCAGCTGGCCCACCTTTCGAGAAAGGATGAGACAATTGTTCGCTGGCGCATCACCACGAGTGTGTATATCGTTTTGGCTTTTCGGTAAGCGATAATCAGCTCGAAATACATTGCAAAGAATGACCGGGAACAGGATTGATAAACAACGTCCTCTACGTAATCATCCTGAGCGCTGCCCTCGACCTCGTTGGTCCAGACATACCCAAAGGCGTCGTCCTGCTTGCCGATGTCATACCCAGCTTCATCACCAAACTCGTTGCGCCATATTTCATTCACCTCGTGCCATATGAGGTTCGCATTCTCGCCTTTGCCGCTTTGTCGGCTGGTGGTATGCTCATAATTTCTATGACTCCTAGCTACGTCGATGGAGGGACAACAGCTGCAAAATTAGTGGGTGTGCTGTTGGCAAGTTTGAGCTCCGGTGGAGGAGAACTCAGCTTCCTCGGCCTAGTCCATTACTATGGTCCCTTCTCGTTGGCTGCTTGGGGTAGTGGTACTGGAGGAGCTGGACTGATAGGGGCAGGAGCCTATGCGCTAGCTACAACATCGTTTGGACTGAGCGTCAAGAGCACACTGCTGGCTTCTGCATTCTTGCCTGCAGTTATGCTTGTCAGTTTCTTTATGATATTACCTCTCGAGCCATTGAAACACGGGCGCCGACTTGCTACAATCAAGGACGACGATGATGAAACAAACACCCCAGAAAGAGAAGGCCTACTTGCGCCCGAGGATCAGGACCTGGGCAGCCTGTCAAACAGACGCAGGAAGAGTAGCGGTTGGGTACTCTTCAAGCGAAACTTGACCCGCGCACAATCCTTGTTCTTCCCCTACATGCTGCCCTTGCTGCTCGTCTACATAGCAGAATACACCATCAACCAAGGTGTCTCCCCAACTCTGCTCTTTCCACTCGACCAAACACCCTTCAAGCACTATCGCGCATTCTACCCTACCTACAACGCAATCTACCAGGCTGGTGTGTTCATCTCACGATCTTCGACCCCGTTCTTCAGGATCCACAATCTCTACCTCCCTTCCTTTCTACAAGTCATTAACCTGGTCGTTCTCATCTTCCACTCTTTGTTCACCTTCATCCCGTCCATCTACATCATCTTCGCAATCATCTTCTGGGAAGGGTTGTTGGGCGGACTGGTCTACGTGAACACCTTTGCTGAGATCAGCGACAAGGTGGAGAAGAAGGACCGCGAGTTCAGTCTGAGTGCGACAACGGTCAGCGATAGTGGAGGCATATGTGTGGCGGGTTTCATGAGTATGGCCATCGAGGTTTGGTTGTGCAATTGGCAGGTGCGTGGCGGTCGAGACTACTGTAAAAGACTGTAGCGAACGAGGGAAAGTGAGATATGTTTCAGTAAAGTCCTGTCTCGCAGCGTGCTGTTTCGTCTTGCCCTATTCGTGTACCACCAAACATCTACAGGACATGCATTCTTTCCGTGCACAGCCTGATTCGTTCCTCGTCCTCACAAATACCACGTTTTTATCTTGGTACCTTGTCATGCTCCTATCTGTCTTAGGTCGTTCTCATTACGTATTCAGTGAGACCTTTTCACACAGGAGTTCCAAGTTTGAGCCGAGAGCAATCAGTGTTGTAGCCAGCTGCCGACCCATGATTGCAGTCCAAATATCTCGGCAAGGTGCAGTGGAGCCAGCTTCCTTCGACCTCACCCACAAAGAATCTGCCATGATAGCGTCTCATCTTCTCATGTGTACATCATGGTACCCTCAACGACGTCGCTCCTATTGCTTGTTGAAACGCTTGAGCACGAAGCCTTGACACTACACATCCTTTCCACTAAAAAGCTCCTGCTGACTTGCACACAGACCAGACCAGAGCTACGTTTAGAAACAGACTATCAAGCTCGGACTCGGGACATCCGAGAATCCACTTCTGTCCACCTTTCCATGTGTACATCTACACACCATCCTATAAACTTCTCCGAACCCTTACAAAATGAGACTCCCAGACCGATTGAAAGCTCAGCTAGGTATTGCACTCATACTTTCGTGACTAGTCAACATGTGGACTCTGCTTTCTTTGTTCGATTAGCATTCCAGGACTCTTTGTTACGGGTGCACGGTGATTGATACCAGCATAGTGCCGAGTTCGATACCTTCTTGACAAAGAACGTTAGACAAAAGTGATCATCACCTCCAGCCAAGGAACCTTGAGATGCCTAACGCACCGTACGTCAAGAGCTACGAGATGTTTGCCATTCGCCAGCGCCTTATGCTGCTACACACAAAGCGCCTCTTAACAGTCATAGAATGATTATCAAAGGTAACCTCGTCACTTCTTTCTTCATCTCTGCTTATGCTCCAGAATTCCTTTCTTTGAGACGCTATGGCCTTGTCAGCGCCTCCTCCGTACTCTGCTTTTGACCGTACCCTACCAAAGCCCTCTGCCATGCTACCAAATGCTACAGAAGCCCGGCGAAGTTCATCGTTGCTGCAGCATCACATCTCTCCAGGACAGTTTCTCGCTCCTGTCTCAGACGAGAGTGGAAGAAGAAGCACTGTTTCTTGCTTACCCAGGTTAGTTTTAGAACGAGAGACTGTACACACCGAGGATGAGCTTGTGAATCACCGTCAAGCATCCATCATGTCTGCAGAGTCACCAACAGAATCATCTTCTGAAGGCACAAGTCCACCAGAAACATCGTCTGGCTATTGCTTGTGTGTCCCAGATCCTAAGATTCCTAGACCTCGAAATGGTAGGTTCTGTGGCTCAAGCACGCTTTCGTTGTTGCTGACATGGTCCAAGCTTTTATTCTCTACCGCCAGAGCCAGCATGCCGAGGTCGTGAAAGTCAATCCTGGATTACCAAATCCGGAGATATCAAAGATTATCGGTGAACAATGGCAGAATCTTTCGCCTGGGGAGAAAGACAAGTGGAAAGCGTTTGCAGAGGTAACCCACAAAGCATGCCACTGTCCACAAAGATCGTTGTTCTGACCACTTCAATAGCAAGAGAAAGCTCGACACTCACAACAGTTCCCTGACTATCGCTATCGACCCAAACGAAGCGGGAAATATCAATCTGCAGGTGCTACTCAAGCTTCAACTCAGTCTGCAAACTGTTCAAAGTGTGGTGGTAAAACGATGAATCCTCCTCACACTCCACATTATCCGGCTTATGACCATCATCCGCCTCCAGTCAGCGCGCCGAGGCCACCAAAGCGGCCATATACCGAAGCTCACATCCAGCCTCGCCAACAATCTATGGTTCAAGTAGGACCACCTCCATACCCACCACCAATGCGTTATAGTTATCAACCTAGACACGACTCGGTGCACTATGGGCCACCACCACCTCGAGCACAACATGGTCTACCTCGAATGACTCTTGAAGGTCCTGATGCGAAGAGACGCCGCATCGAATCACCTTATGCGCCAAGACCGTCGTACGACCATCAATATTATGGTAGGGAGAGAGCATCGTACCCTCATCCGGATCAGCATGCTCGACATCCAGTACCTCCTTCAGCTTCTCATAGACCAAGCCAAGCTGCACCTATTCCAATTCGACCGGTTGCAGCTCTGCAACCACGAAGGGACCCAAGTCTGACTTTGCCGCCACTCAAGACGGGCGTTCCACCTCGAGGCTCGATCGCCGCAGTCTCTCAAACACAAAAGGCAGGTGTCGAAACGACGATAATGTCATATCCAGTTCTCAGCAAGTTGAAGATACTGCATTCAATCACGCCAGCGCTAGTAGCTCCAGGACCTAGCTCGCCTTCATATGAAGTCAGAGGTGCAATTATTGCCATTGAGGGCCTTGACCATAAGCAAGTGCTTGACATGACTAACTCTCTGGCTGAGCAGCTTGAGAAAGAAGGCAAGTTTCTGGTCCGAACGTTTCATGGGCCTGACCCACACGAAGCACTTCAGTCGAACGGCCGTCTGAGTGCTCGTGAAGGAGGCGAACTCATCACTACCGAGAAATACCTACGGCTAATCTCGGACTGGCACAAGGTTAGCAAAGATTTGCATCACTTCATTACACACAAGCCAACCTATCTCGAGGAGGGTGAAGTCAAGGACCATGAGATGGTCGATGCTCCGGCACAGTCCGCTCGGAAAGATAAGCTGCCATTCGAGCGAGAAACCAAAAAGGTATTCTCGCCAATCTCAGCAATTAGTCCTGGAACAACGGAGCAGAACAATGAGATGAACTTAGACACTCCGAAGAGAAGTACTCAACCAGATATGTCGCTCCGAATGACCAGATCCCGCATTCCGCAAGTCGCTCAAAATCAGCAACAGGGAACGGTAGAGGCAGCAGCACCTCCTCCACCACCGTCGACAGAGCGACCTCAAACACCGCCTCCTCCTTCAGAGATGGACTCTCGGATGGATGCGGTGGACCGAGCAACATCAGACCTCATTCCTATCGCCCTTGTGCCTAGTTATCAGCTAACGACTGTCGACGCCTGCTCAATAGCTCTTCCCATCTCCGACAACTACGATCCCCTGACCCACTGGCGCTGGCACGCCACCATCTGGCGAGGCTGCATTGGCCCCGATGTCAGCGTCATCATCAGATCAGGCAACGAGCTAACCGACGAAGACGATCCAAAGAAACAAGAGACAGCCGCTCAAGAACATCGTCGCACAGGTAGTGTAGCAACTACCGGTCCCCAACTAATTGATCAACCACCAAAATCAGGTGCACCACCAGCTTCTGCTGCAGCCCCAGCTCCTTCGTCAAGCACTTCGGCACCCACACCATTTGGCGTCGACGTCCGTCTTCAAGATCATAGAGCGGTCGTCGTTCGTGCTGCTCCACCACGTGGCAGTGGCGGTGCTGATGGTGCGATTGATAAGGAAATCGAAAAGGAGAATGAGAACTGGGAGAAGGCTAAGAGACGAGTTGGCTTTGAGGTCGAGGAATGGATGAGGAGATGACTAGGACGGCCACGCAGAACTAGTCTGGCTGATGGGAGAAGGATGTGGTGGATGCTATCGCCTGATGCGCAGATCCCTGTAATCAAGGACTTGCACAAGTTGTCATTAGTGTCGCCTACGAGGAAGAGAGGAAAGGATTTCGTGCAGATATAAGTATCTACATATTGGTATAACTCTGTGATGCAAGGATTCTGCTAAGGTGGTATTACTAAATACTGTATGTATGTATTCAAATTTCTCCTATAGAGGACCACAAATCCATATATCTACAGCAATGTCCCTTCCCTATCTTTCTATTGTAAACCATACCATAACAAAAACCGTCTCTTCGAATTACAGCCCCGCAGCAAGCATGAGTCCATAACCCAAACTGATGATGATCCCAAACGCAATAATACTGCTCGGTATACCCCTAGTCAAGAAATGCTTGACTCGTAGATATCGCACACCTGTCTCGGGAGCTTCCATCATGATCGCAGCTGGATATTATGTTAGCATGACTCTATAGTTCTTGCGGGCCAAGGGGGAGAGAGAAAAGAAGACTTACTCATATTCGGAAATCCAGAAGTCGGCAGGCCCATCGCACCACTCGCCATCAATACCGTTCCCATAACGAGCAGGTTTGGATGTGGCTCATCCATACTCGAGCCGACGCTCGCGACGAGCGGGAGGATGATCAGTGCCGCAACGGTATGAGAGATGAAAGTTGCCACCACGAGGACGAGAGCGCAGAAGACGACGAGGACACCGTAGACGGACATGCCTGCCACGTTTTGGGTTATGGATTTCGCGATGGTGTTTAGGAGGCCGGAGGAGGAGACGGCTTTGCCCAATGTGAGACCTCCTGCCGCGAGGATGATGATCGTCCAGAGAAAATTATTGAAGTCTTCCTTGGTGAGGATGCCGGTGCCGAAGAAGAGGACCATGGGGATGATGGCGATGACGCCCATGTCTCCGAAGACGTTGTCGAGTTGGTGGCTCACGCACCAGAGGACGATGGTGAGTATTGTGACGAAGATGATGAAGTATTGGCGGCCGTTGAGCTTGTCTTTCATTGGTCGGAGGGGTACGATGGTTGTTCCTTTGCCTGGTTTGAAGGTGACGAGGAGGATGAGCCAGATGAAGAAGATGGCTACTATGCATACTGGTAAGGCGATGAAGAACCAGGTGCCCCAGCTGGGTTGTGGTTTCATGTTTTGGAGGGCGATGATGTTCTGGGGTGAAGAGATTGGGGATGCTGCACCGCCCATGTTGGCTGATAGAGCGATGCCAAGAATGAGTGCTTTGGACATATTGCTGTCTGCTGGCAGATTGCGGAGCATGGGCTGGATGATGCTGAAGCATAGCACTGGTGCTGCCACGTTTGAGATCCACATTGACAGAAACAAGCTAACGAACATATTTGTAATTAGTACAGTGCGAGCTTTGGTTCCTGCTTTGCTGAGGATAAAGGTGGCCAATTTCTTGGCGATGAGATACTTGGACAACGCAGCAGCTATCGTGAAGCCACCCAGGAGTAGCATGATGACCGGAGTCCACATCGACGAAAAGACGACCTTTGTGGCTTCTTTAGTCCCGAGTCGTCGGTGGGGCTTGTCGTCTTCCCTCATGATTCGCAGGATGACAGACAAAAATGGCACCAGTAGGGAGGTAACAAATAGTGGTATAACTTCAGTTGCCCACAGAAGAGACACGAAGACGAGCATGGCCAGGCAATTCTGCTGCTCCTCCTTCTTCATAATTGGCACAAATAGCAGCACGAGGAAGACAACGATGATACCGATGAGCGTGAAGAAGGTCGAGCTAAAAAGCCAAGCAGGACAACGGTATCGTCCTACAGGCGTGTCAAGCTCCTTCGTATCATCTTCCTTTTCATCTCCTTGCCGTCCACGGTCATGGTCTTTTGTGCCGCCGAGCAAAGTCTGGCGTATACCCAGGTTCACAGCCTGAGCACGTCGTTCAATACCAATCATTTCTCGCCAGACGGTATTACGCTCCCAAACAACGTGTTCCCTGAGGTGTAACCTGAGCTCCCTCTTAGCAAGCGTCACGTCACCTTTGGTCACCATATCAGCGTATTGCTGCTCAACTTTCTGGATGTTGTTATCGAGCTGTGTCATAGTCTGGTCGCGAAAAGGATAAGAAGGCTCCACACTCTTCTCCAGGTAGTCCTTCCGTATGTCTCGATTGCACACCTTGTCATACTTTTTGGCAGCTTTCTTGAAACCAGTCTGGTTAAGTTGAATGAAAGACTTGAGCTCAGACAGCGAAACATAGACGTTGATGATTCGTTTCTTGAGTGTAATTCCAGTATCAAAGAGGCTTGTAAGCTGACCTGGATCGCTAGCCTCGAGTTCCATAGCCATACTTGAGCGCCTTTTCGTTATTGAAGATGGAGGGGTCGTCAAGCTCTCTCTCGAGCCGTTCATATCTGTGTGATTATGCTGTGGTGGTTGTGCTAGACTTTTGCTCCTCTGTTTCAAGGTCGACGATGGACGGTCCTTCTTCTTGATCATAGCAGCGTTATCGTCGGCGTCGCTGTCGCTATCGTCGTTTTCCTCTTCAATGCTCATGCTCATGGTAGACGCTCTACGTCTCCGTTTCGTTGTTGCAATACCACCAAATATGCTGCCAGACCTAGTAAATCTGCGCCTGTTCTCGATATCGACAACCTCGTCCATGTCCACACCGGCTGTGTCGCTGTGATAAGCCTCGAGGTCCTTCTGAATCTGTTCTAGTTCACTGTAGATTTCCATCTCTTTGAGGCGGTAGAATGAGCAGACCTTCTCGAGTTCCGAGTCAAGCAGACGCCTGAAGGTGGTGTCTGGGTCAAGGCGCTGACCGTCCAGCAGCGATTGTTCCTCATCGTGGCCATCAGCTGCAGAGGACTGGTTGATCTGCTTTTCGAGGGTATATATGGTCTTCTTGAGGTTGCTGTAGGCGATATAGTTGCTCGACCAGTCAGGGACGGCGTTGAACTGAATGCTATGTGAGAACTTCATCTCTTCTGCTTCTATCAGCCGCTGAAGTTTCGCTAACCGCTTCTGCTCGCGACGAGCTGCTCTCGAATCTGTCGCGTCAAAGGCTTGGCTAGGAAGGTATTCTTGAAGTTCGATATCGTTCGAGGGTAGGCTTGATGCTGTGCCGGCGACCGATCTCAAAATTTCTACTGGCCGCCGACTCGAGCTATGAGGCATGAACAATAACTATGCTCATGCACAGTGACAGTTTTGGTCGTCATGTGTAAGTGGGATACAGACGCGCTACTTTCGGGTGAGGGTCTCCCGCGAACGAAGTCGGATGACCACTTGTTAGGCTTGCCCGGGTGTTCACTGTGGTGCTAAACTTAATCTGGTTTCTTAACACACTATTCGAGCAAAAGCAGAAACATGAAGCGAGAGCTTTGCTGGATGGAAGAAAATTACGGGAAGCGATTGACCGATGAGCATCTGGTCTGGCGCGGCATGCCTAAGAGAGGCTCTCTAATTGGTTCACGCAACCACTCTCTGAGCAGGAATTGCAGCGATTGATTTGTGCCTGACAGACAAATACTCATTATCTATACCATGGCACGTTTGCAAGGAAGTCACTTTCAGATAGTGGGCCTCTGCACCGAGCTTTCTATACCCCGGAAAACATTTGCTGGGGAATTCTTCCATAGTCCTTCTTGGACTCATTCTGTGGCCAACAGCTACTCAAGACAGGTCGAAGCCCGCACCAGAATTCGCTGCGTACAGCAATTTCTCCTTCATTATCCTCTCATTAGCATACCTAGGTAATTTCAGCAAGTTCACGCAAGTGCTGGTGCTCGGTAGTCTTGTCTGGTCCTCGCTCGAATCGCGAATACTGAATTTTGGATTGAGGTAGCTGAACCCAAGCAGTGGTGCACGCGGAGTGCTCGTCACAAACTTGAGTACTTTCCTCCGATCGTCATCGTTCATTTCTTTGAGTACTTTCCAGAAGAGCGCTACTGTTGGGTGTTCCATGCCGTCGTCACCGATGACATACAAGCCGCCATATTGAGTGTTGCGTCGTAGGTCTGAAATATCGAGTTCTTGGTTGTCACCACCGACCAGCTTCTGCAGCTCTTTCTGGTTGAACATTGCCAACCACATCGGGGAGATGATCTGACCTAAACCTCGCAAGAAGGCATTCGTGACTGCGCGAGGCTGCTCCTGTAGACGGTAACGCACTATCCGATCAATGTATTTCAGCCTGTTTTCATTGGTAACCGCCAAGTTAGAGCCATCTGGCACTAAGTCGATAGTGACGGTGACATTCTTGCCTTCTACATCGAAAGTGTCCGTCACTGCAAAATTGAGGCCAAAATCCGCTTCCACGTCTCCAGGATAGTTTTTCAATTTCAGCAGCCCTTGGTAAAGTTGATCGTCAAACTCGCGTAGGTCGTTGATGGACGCTCGATAGCCTGACTCATTCGTGGCTGATGTAGTGCCTCCTGTCAATGCCCATTTCAGTAGGAAAAACCCTGCAAAGTTCACATCAATCAGGATACCCTCGTACATACACTTCCCAACCACGCGTCCAAGGAACTCGTATCGCTGCAAGATCTCTCTCCATGCGACTTGAAATCCTTCACTTCCGGGGTTGTTGCCGTCCTTGATCAGGATGTATCTGGCTTGTTGTAGTGCTGTAGGCTTAGGGTAAAGGTAGCGCTGTTCGTTTTCTTCAAACAGTGGCAAATCAGATTGTGGATCGAATGCCTCGCTAGTGACGCTCATCAGGAATTCTTTAGTCACACCTCCACCATCAATGCCTGCTTCAGGTTGTCCAAATTGGTCGATAAAACTGATCTGGATTGGCTCTTTGAGTTCCTCACCAAGTCCGTAGAAGCTGTCGAAAGCATCCTCAAAGACTGATCCTCGGTGGATATTGGCATGATGTCTGCCAATCACATCGTGTCCAGTCCGTCTACCAGAGATGTCTCGAGCTTGTGTTGAGGCTACAGACATCCGCCAATCATCAGCATCGACGAAGCCGTTCCTGCGTCGCTGCTGATCGTGGTAGATGAATGTCCGGAAAATCTGTACTCTGGTTTCGAAAGGAATGAAGAATGGCAAATTTCTCAAAATCTCAAGCCTGGGGTTGAGCGACTGTAGCTGTCTCCTCTTTCTGGCCTTGTCCCGCTGTCTTGCCAAGTGCTCGGCTTGTCGTGTAGTATGCGCACGCGGTGTGTGCGGTGCTCTGATGTTGAAGAGCGATCCAAGTGATGGAAGGTGTAACTCGTCAGAATCGTTCTTAACGTCTTCTTCATCGTCCAGATCCTCGTCGTCATCAGCTTCCTCGATTGCGTCGTGACGTCTTTCCTCTTCAGCCACAACTGCTGGGATGAACGTCTGCATGTCGAAATGCCGAGTCATGAGCCAGTAGTCCTCCGGCAAGAATCTTCTGCGAGAGTCTCGCTCATATACCATCCTCAAAAGCCCGGTCGCCAGACCTTTCATGTAAGTTTGCGACGCATCATTGCCAGCTAAAGTCTTCGACATCGACCTGCTAACTGTAGGGGACTGTGGTGGAGCAGCTTGGCCAAAGATGACGGACAGGCTCGCTGTGTCTTCCACCTCATTGTATTCCGCAAGCTGGTCTGCGTTCCATATCAGAGGAAAAGCTAAGTTTTTTAAGAAATTGCCCAGGCTTGCAATATCCGTTGGTGGAAGCGCCCCTTGTCGAAACTGATATGATACGCTGGAGTCGATAGAGGAACCATTGTCCAAGGCAAAGAACTCCTCATCGTCCATGAGCTTGAGGATAAACGTATACAGCTCGAGAAAGAGAAGGACTATACGCCACTCTTCTTGCCATGTGGCTATTTCCTCCTGCGATGGTGGTCGAGCATTAAACTGGTTGGAGCGTGGCTTGGCTTCGGTGAGTACGGAGATGACTTTGTCTTGATCGTTCCGAATGAGTTGGAAAACAGCAGTAGACTGTGTCGCCCTCCACAAGTATTGTATGGTCGAGGAGGCACCTTTCGTAGACGCCGCAGGAGAATTGCGGAACAGGCACATTCTGATATTGGTAGCGCGTGAAGGAAAAGCACGCAACAGTGCGACGGCATAGTTAGCCAGAGGCTTTGCTACTTCAGCAACGGACGTCGTAGATACCCTAAACTGACTCATAACGTATTGCACACTTTGCATGCTTCCCAAGCTGCTGATCTCGGATAGTAGAAAACTATTGTGGAAAGCCTGTTCCTTGTTGCTGAGAGATATCGACTCCACATCCTGATCGAGGTCGATGTGCTCGGCGATCTGATTTGCACACTTGGTCAACATATGCGATATAGCGGAGATCCATTCAACTGTTTTGTCTTTGGCCTCTATAGTACGCCACAGATGTATTGTGTTCGCCAGTATCCAAAATGAAGCTTCTGGACTTGACACTGCCACAACTCTCTTGACGCTGTCGCAGAAGTTTGTCTGATATTTTGGTACTGCAATAAAATGCAGCATATGCGGTAGAGAAGTGATGGCCATTGTCGATAGCACACAATACAGAAAAGCATCATAAGCCAGAGGGTCGTTTCGTAGTAGAAGCGCTTGGCAGTACTCGGATATCTTTTCGGACACAAGAGGATCCTTTTCAGCAACGTGCTGTAGACTGCGGAACTGAAGACGGTAGTCGAGGGCTATAGGTTTCTGGAGAAGCAGAATGCCTAGCTGGAGAAGGATTACTCGTTGGAGAGTCTCGTGAGATCGCAGCAAGGACATGGCCGTTATATGGGAAAGCTTCGTAAGGTACTGGTTCCATGTCAGCGCATGTGCAGGATGTTGTTCTGTCAAAGTCCATGAAGCGGCCAAAGCATGACCATAATGACATAGTCTCCAACGATCCATGTCATCATGTGTGTCCAGGAAAGACAGAAGAAGACGCATCTGGTAACGTAATTGCTCTTCATTGCTATAGGGCATGGAGGTCCCCTTCTCTTGTGTTGTCTCATAGGACACGGCATGACCACGAGCCGACCTGTGTTGTTCGTTCTGATCCCATTCATTCCTCCACTCCTGCTTCTGACGTTTTCGCGCCGAATGGCCTCTCCACGACCGCTGTATCCTACGAGCCGCGTTCAGCCTGTCTCGGTCCTGTGCTCGTCGCAGTCTTTCGGCCTGGGCCTGCGCCACTGCATTTTGAGTGGTGGGCTGGGATGAAATTGGGCCACCTGACAGCTTCGCCCATGGATTTGGTGTCTTGCCTGATAGATTTACTTGACGAGCTTTTCTTGCATTGCCAGTGAATGATGTATGCATGTCTTGAAATGCTCAGATAGAATGCAGTGGGGACATAGGCTCGAAGGAAACCGACTTCGTGTAGCCGCTGCCGATGGGTATATGGTGACAGGAAGTATATGATGTAGATTTGAGCAGAGTATCAGTGCGAGAGCGCGCCGTCGACGTGGTCCAGTCAGCCAGAAACAGAAAGATCTGGAAGAGGTATGAATAAGTGGCAGTGATACCAGGTGAGGCTGATGCGGTTGAAAGATTTTGTTGCCGCACAAGCAACTATCACACACGTTCGTGTCGGTCACTGGTCTACAAGATTTGCTGACAAGTCAGTTTGCAGCCTGCGAGTAACCATTCTAGATCGACCACCCACGTCACCTGGAGGTGGGCGGGATCTCAAACACTATTTCTCCGACACGTGGGAAGCGCGTCTCCTCCACTGAAGGGCGTGTTGTGAATGCAAGCTTGCCAGATTCGACTATAAATACAACTTGAGATATGACGGCGGACGTGCTAACACAACTTCAGGTTGAGTACAATAAACTTGCCGTGCAGTTCTTCAGCACCTTCTCTTACCTCAACCAGCGACATCCCTTGGTCGCTCCTCCAGAAATTCCAGGTTTTAGATTCACAAGCCAGCAACTAGCACCATCGGGTCCTGGGCCAGAAGACACAGATTGGCCTACCCGAGTATTGGCAGAATTTGTCCTGCGGCCTACTGACGAGAACACATTTAAAGAAGCGCAACAGGAGCTCGCCAATGATCTCATCTTCAAGACCAAACAAATTCAGCAGCTGATTGCTCGACTTCCTGGCATCGACCATGACGAGCAGCAGCAGGCAGAAGAGGTTCAACAATTAGCAGCGCAGGTGCAAGAGATAGAGAAGGCGCGACAGGCCAAGAGAAAAGAAATGCGACAGCTGGTGAAAAAGCTTGACGCTGTCATCGCAGGTACGAGTAGAAGCATCGACACTCCCTAAGATGAGGCTACAGCTCTTTCATGGACGCCATTTGTACGACCGCTCATAGACGGTATGTAGCTCATCCAGTTGCAGCAATCTCTAACACCCATCAGGTCATAATTGCCATCCCTTGGGGTGTTCTTGAACTGCTTTTCTCTACCAGCGTTTCTTCTTGAGAAAGGCGGTGTTTGCGACGAGGACCAGGGAGGCAGGAGCACGACGGGTTAGGAAACGTTGCTGAGTGGAAAGAAGTCACGTCGAAGAGCAAGAGCGGTTTGAATCGTGCTGACAATTCAGACGAAGCAATATTCCCTGCCAAAGGCTAGCATTACCGGCAGGTGCGGAAAGTGGTTGCAGAAGTCGCGCAGGAACAGCCACGATTAACTTTCTGATCGATGCCAAGCATTGCAAATGCGCAACTGCAGAATCTCAGCCACAAGAATCGTCTCCTCACTTTCATGCGACCTCGCCGCCTGTTCTTGTGATGCCTGTAGAATGACGAACTTCGTTGTGTTTCAAGCGAGCAGAAGATTTAGATGCCAATGTATTTGATCCGTTCAATCTTGATCTACCGCTTTGTAGTTTATTAGGACAAGATTGTTACCTCTGATCACCACCACAAGAAGCTACAAAGCTTTGCGACACTGTCGTCATAGGCGATTAGATCAGCCCAGCAGCTCACTGCATCATTCGCACGCCCGCTCGGCTTCGTTTGGCATCCCGGGATCCGCAGCTGTCAGCCAGCGCCGCCTGAAGTTGGACTTTAGTTTCAGTATCAGCAATATTACTATCATCTGTCAAAGCTGGCTTTCTTCGCATCTCCTCTGCTTTACCATCAACCACCTCCTAACGCTCGCGCTCGTCCTACTCACTACGCCCGACGACAATCCGTGGCTGGCACTTCACCGTCGTTCTCGTATCAACTTCCTCCTTACGCTCGTCGTAATACTATCGCTGCAGTTGACAACACAAACGCGACTGCTGAACCGCCAACCCTACTTGAGTCAAGTAGAAGAAACACTGTTACCGACTCTAGTGGTCGGCGAGGTTCTGCAATGTCCAAGGTAGTGAGGAGTGTCAAAAATGTCACCAAGGGCTATAGCAGTGTTCAAGTCAAAGTCCGAAATGGTGCGCATATTCCCGTTGCAGCACTGAATCTATACTGATATCTTCTAGCTACCTCGAATGATCCATGGGGTCCGACTGGCACGGATATGGCGGAAATCGCTGCCCTGACCTTCAACAAGTGAGCAGCCTGCGAAGCTGACAGAGACACTGATAGCTGACCCTTCCCAGCCCCAGCGACTTTTATGAGATCATGGATATGCTCGATAAGCGTTTGAATGACAAAGGCAAGAACTGGCGCCACGTCTTGAAATCACTCAAAGTCCTCGATTACTGTCTGCACGAAGGCTCGGAGCTGGTTGTAACTTGGGCAAGAAAAAACATCTATATCATCAAGACCTTGCGAGAATTCCAGTATGTCGACGAAGACGGACGCGATGTTGGCCAGAACGTTCGTGTCTCCGCCAAAGAGCTCACCTCCCTCATTCTGGACGAGGATCGCTTGCGAAGCGAAAGATCAGATCGGAAACTTTGGAAGACACGCGTTTCGGGTATTGACGAGTACGCGCCACAAGCCATCGCTGGTCCATCAGTAAACAACAAGCCACCAAGACGAAATTCAGCCCGAGTTGACGACAACGACGCAGAATTCCGCCTTGCCTTAGAAGCAAGCAAGTACGAAGAGGATGAACGCAAGAAGCGCGAGAGTCAGAGATTGCCAACTGGGCGCGATGAAGACGACGATCTCGCCAAAGCCATTAAGCTTAGCAAAGAAGAGGAAGAGCTTAGACGACGCGAGTTGGAAAACCAGAACGCTGCCTCTTTGTTCGATGACACACCTGGCCCAAGCCAGCCACAACCCACAGGATACAACCAGGGGTACCAGCAACAGCCAGCTGTAGACTGGTTTGGTAATCCATTACCGCAGCAGCAGCCTCAATCCACCGGCTTCCTGAACAATCAGTATGCTCAACCTACAGGCTATCAGAACGGATACGGCGGGTTCCAGCAGCAACCGACCGGCTTCCCTCAGAACATGACTGGCTTCGAGCAGACAAATAGTCAGCCGTTCTTGCAGCAACAGAACACTCTCCAGCCTCAACAAACTGCTTTCCAGAACAACAACCCTTATGGTCAGCCAAGCTCTGACATCTTTGGCATGCAGTCGCCTCAGTCACAGCAATCTACATTGCAGGCAGGGTCGAACAATCCTTGGGCGGCTCCCTCGAACCAAGCAGATTCACTCAAACCGATGCCGACCGGCTCAAACAACCCTTTCGCACAAAAAACTCAACAAACACAATCTCCGTTCCAAAGACAACCCCCCCAACCATCGCTGGGCACGCTTTTCGAATCACAGCCTGCCACAACCTTTGCTCAACCAACGCAGCCAAATCCTATCTCAAACTTTCAAGCACCACCGCAGCCAGTCCAGCAATCAAGGCAGGAGATGGACCCGAACAGGGCAAGACTCAATGCACTTCTCGCATCTGGTGAGGGCCAGGATACTTTCGGCAACACTGGTGAGATGAGGATACCAGCCCAGCATACTGCACCTGGCACTTTCGTCAATTCTGCTGGTCAAGGCATGGATCGTCTGCGCGCTGCACAAACAGGCACCAATCCTTTCTTCTCAGCACAAGCTACTGGTTTTGCTCAGAACCAAAGTGGATTCGGCCAGCAGGTGCCGGCTCAAACAGGTCCTGCTGGTGGTTATGGCGGTGGGTTTGGACAGCAAAACAATCCATTCGGTTCCAGGCCGCAACAGCAGAGCAATAGTCTGATTGATTTGTAATTTTGCGAAATATAGTCCATGTAGCATTGGGACATAATATGGTCACGAATGAACTAGTTTGCTATCGGAGCATTGCTCAGATGTTCAGCGCCGACATAGTCAGTATCAAGAATAGAAGCGATGCAATAATCAGTTCGTGTCGTCCGAGTCTGTGGAGACAGCCCATGTCCTGCGTGCAAACAGCGGGCTTCTCCAAGCCTAGCACTGGGATCATCACACGAAGCTTCATCGGCAAATGCTTGTGTAATGACCGTTCCTAAATTCAGGCGGCAAACATCCTCTCAAGATTTACAAACATGCTTCCATTCACGATCCTCCACCATATTATAATCAAGTTAACATAAAGGTCTTCAAGACCACTTACATTCGTTTTCATCATGCACGCTCCCTCAATCTATCTCCTTTCCCTAACCGGCTTAGCCAGCGCTACAACCATCTCCACACCAATCAGAACCACAACAGACACTCCAGCTCGGGGCACAGTACAAACAGCCCTCATCGCCTCTAACGTCGCAGGGGAAGACCCATATACTCCTTCCTTCAACTCCCTCTCACATTACACGGACGCCACCAGTCCATCAAGCGCAAGTGGCTTTCCTCCCACCGGCTTCTCAACCAGCACGATCAGCACGAGACGAAGTACTATCAGTGGCGCGTCTTCGACTTCTTCCTCAGCGGGGACCACTACGTCCGCAAATGCGCAACCGAGGTTAGGTAGTGGGAGCAGTGGTCAGATTGTGTTTACTGCTGCGGGACTGCTTGCTGGATTGGCGGCTCTTTTCGCGTGATGGGCCTGGGTAGCGGATCTGATGTTTGAGATATTGATAGAATATCGAAAGGCTCTTGGTCTTTATCTCCGAAGAGGTTTCAGGGTTGAGTCAGTTTAGCATGCTTATGGGCTGCACTTTTTGGTACACACCTGATCGCGACTAAAGATGCCCCTCGTTCCACTGACTCAGCGACCCACTTTGTGACTGGACACCAGACACCGGTAGTTACAGACTGTCATACATGATAGCGCACGACACTTGGCGTCTGCCAGCAGAAAAGCACGGTAGAGAAGAAACCGCGCTCAACAATCAGGAAACCACGCATACCGTGGTAGATAATCTTGTCTGAATGGACGCTATTCGTGCCGTTCTCCTGGACACATTGCAACACGCTGCAGCAGTACTCGTTGATGAATCAGGTACATGCCAGCCACGATACATTGGCACGAAGAGGCTTGGTTCTACCTTTGTGCTGCTGATGTCGGAAGGAGGTGGTGCAAAACCTCCTCGAGTTGAGTCGAGAAGCCAAGTGTATCAGTCAATGCGATTATAGTTTCGGGAATTGAGAAGGTAATACATTTTCAGGAGAACAGTCTCAGAGCAGCGAGGAGCTAGTTGTAATGTAGTCGTACAAGGACTAATTTTACCACATAGAAGAAGCAGCAAGGTTTACTGTCATAGCTCGCTAATAGGTACTGGCTCTCATGCATACATCACTAAATAATCCTTCACAGATCATGTCATACACAAACCCATAGCTCATTCAATGCAGGAGCGGAAGACTAGCGTCTTCTAGCTTCGACCACGACCTCGACCGCCTCCTCGACCTCTGCCAACCGCACCACCGCCTCTTCCCTTGCCTTTGGGTTTTGGTTGCGGCTCGTCTCCTTCACTTTGGTCATCCTCGGACTCATTCTGTGCCTTGTTCGCTTTTCCTTTACCTTTGGCTGTGGCCGTAGCTTTGGCTTTTGGTGCAGCCTTCTTCTTTTTCTCCTTAACATATTTGTCCTTCTTCAGATCCAGCTCTTCGTCATCATCCACTTCTTCAACCTCTGCCTCTGCCAATTCGTCGTCGTCATCGACTGCTTCTTCAAGGTCTGGTTTGTCTTTCTTCGCACCTCCCAGTTTCGTACCCGTTGTTTCTCCAGCCTTCATGTGAGATCGTGGATGGTCTTGAGCATTGTACATCCTGGTAAATGTTGCCTTGGTTTGTGTATCGAGCTTGACGTTCTCCTGATCCATTGGACCAAGACCAAGCTCCAACACGGCATCATAATCATCTTTGTTTAGATAGTATTCGTCCATGAACTTGATCACATCGGGTACAGCTTCTTTACCTTCAGTTTTCATACGGCCTACTGTCTTGTCCCAGATTAGTGGAAGGTACTGCTGTCGAATTTCGTGGCGATCGGCCGAAGTTCGCAGACGCATATGACTCTGTATTTCCTTGACATAGCGTGAGAGCTTGCCTTGCTTGCTGTTGTTGCCAAGCCAGGATGTGAAGCCGACTTGCTGGCCGAAGTTACCGTAGATATAGCTTGCTGGTCGGACAAAGCTGAAGACTGCATGTGTAGGCATCAGCGACCATTGCTGCTGGGAGCCATGAATCATACGATCAATGAGATCGCCATCCGAAATGCTTTCTGCAGCATTGGCCGCCAATTCTAACTCTTTCAGTTTGTGCTGTCCAGGAGATGCGTTAGATACTTGAGCCATCTTTGTTTTCAGATAATTCTCCTGAAGCATTAGGTAGCTGAACTCGTGATCGTTGAAGTATAGCTCAATCTTGTCGTTCAGAGTAGCTTTTGAGGCGCCGGAGAACATCTCAGCACGCAAGATTTTGTTACAGATATCCCATGGCTTCAAGATGACATGTTTCTCCCAAGCTTTCGACATAGCTTTGCCATCATTAAAGAGCATGTCTCTGTTGTCCAGCTTGATAGTAGATATCATGTTTATGATTTGTCGTATGTCGGCATGGCTGCCCTCAATGATAGCATCGATAACCTCTTTTGGCAGCTTCAAGCCTTCTCGAAAGCAGATCGTCAAAATACGTGATCTTATCATGTCAGTAGTTGGTCTGCGGAAAGCAAAATCGGCTGTACAGAAGTCAAACGGCTTCATCTTCGGCAGCCTTCGGTCGTTGCAAATGAGAATCATGGGAATATTGGTCTTTTTAGCGACAGCAGCCATCGCACCAACACCTCCTCTGTCACCAGCTGACATGCCGTCGACCTCGTCCATGATGAGGAGAAGCTTTCTCTTCGTTGGGTCAACCTTTTTGCCATCGCCTGCGAAGTATCCGAGCAGTGAAGTAGTGTCTAGGACACCTTTGAGGCCCACCTCGACCAACTTTTTGCTGCGTGTATCACTGGCATTGTTCTCGACAACGTCGTAACCTTCCAGTTTCGCAACCAAATGAGCTGCCGTTGTTTTGCCAATACCTGGGGGCCCATGCAACATAGCAGCACGATAGATGCCCGAACCATCAGCTCCAGCCTTCTTGAAGCCCTCTGCTTGCCTCTTGGGCCAGGAACGTAACCAATTCTGTAATTTCTCCACAAGACTTTTGTTACCACAGACAGCCTGCATGGTATCTGGCGCATATTTGTCTACCCACAATCGATCTTCCACTCTAGGGACTTTCGGTCGTGCAACGTCGATACCTCGGGCATCAGCAGCAGCCTTGGCCGCTTTCTCGGCCTCTCGTTGCTTCTTCTTTTCAGCTTTTTCCATCTCTTGAGCATCTTCCTGTAATTTCGACTCCGCCTTTGCTTGTTTTTGGGCATGTGCAGCCGCGGCCTTGCCGTCGCCCCCACCAGCTGGCATCTTGCGAATCATCTCAAAGAGGCCATCTTCGTTAATCGTCTTGATGCCGAGTCTTCTGATAGTCTCTAGTTTCTTCGGGCCAGCTTCGGTACCAAGAACAACGTATGATGTTTTCGAGCTGGGAGCACCTGTGATTTTGCCGGCGTATTTCTTGACCAAGTTCTGCCCTTCTTCTCGGCCAAGCGTGTCAAGTACTCCTGTGAAGACAAACGTCAATCCAGCCAAGCAATCCGGTTGACCTTCAGGGAGCTCTTTGGTACCTGCATTGACGGGAACTGTACTTGCGTGACCTCCAGCTATGTTAAAGTCGAATTTCCTAGATTCGTCTCTGGGAGGAGGAGTAGGAGCTCGAACCGTGCTAATAGACTCCAGAATCTTCGCAGCTTCCGAGTTATCAGGCTCCGGCGCTTTCTTCTCTCTTGGTTTTCTGGTAGTTGTGGTACTCTTCTTGGTCTTTTTCTTGGGCGTCTCATCTTCGTCATCCTCATCGTCTTCAACTTTCCGTTTGCGAGATGTGGTTGCTTTCGCCTTCGACTTCGAAGCACTAGCAGTATTCGTGGTGGGAATTTCGGCCATTTCCAAATCACTATCATCAGCAGGGGCGGCTTTCCTACCAACAGCCTTCTTTCGAGGTTGTAATGGTGCATCGTCACTGTCTTCGCTCTCTTCATAGTCATCAGCTTTCCGTCCTGTCTTGAATTCGTCTGCTTGTATGTCATCATCGCCGCCATCCTTACTGTCGTCGAGCTTCACCTTCACATCATCGTCGTCGCTGTGCTCAGCATATGTTGGTTTTTTTGCTGAACCTCTGGCTGAGCGTCGGGCGCTATTCGGTGCAGAGCCATTAATATTAGACTTCTTCGGAGTCACAGCAGAGCCGTTGGTAGCAGATTTGCCATTGGTAGATTTGTTGCTTGCGAAGTAAGCTGAGCTAGTAGTCTCCTCTTCTTTGACGACGTCCTTCGTTGGTTTTCGTTTTTGAGGTGTAGCCTTCTTTGGCTTGACTTCTTCGACATCATCTTCATCGTCCGAAACCACTTTACGAGATCTGCCTTTGGTAGCAGCCTTTTTTGGGTTCTACAATTGTTAGCAAACTCACAGAGATCTGGTGAGAGCATAGAGTATACCGATTCCTGGCTCTGGACCGGAGTTGGAGGTTTGACACCACCACCTCCGCCGAAGAAGCTGCGAATGTCACCAGGCATCGTTGTGAAAGTGAAAATGTCCTGAGGCTTATCGGTTGTCCATGGAAGTTTCTCAGTTAGACTGCCTCGGAGGAAATGAATAAGTAGATAGCTAAGTGTGGCTCTGCTGTTGGCTGTGAAGTGACCACACCTTTTCGAGATTGAGGAGGAGCGATCATGACGCGACACGCGCTCTTCCGACGCGCTCCTGTCGATATTGATTACACTACGAGGCTGCAGCCTTGTCGTGCCTAAAGTGCTACGAAATGCGAAATGGTAGCAACTTGTACTGGCAAAGAACGTTAACCCATACACATTTTGCATCAGCAACCACGCTACAGCAGTCGCAGACCTGAAGAATGCGTGTAGATTGAAGAGTTCCGAGTCCCTCCCGAGATACTATAGAGCCACGACTAAAAACACAATACATCATGCCAGGAGCTTCACTGCGGTCGCTCGGTAAGTACATTTTGGTCTCAGACGATGTCGGCTGATCGATGTTCAGTCGCGAGCCTGGAAGGTCTCATACTGAAACAGGTGTCATCACATCAACCCTTAATAAATCGCACACCCACCCATATAATAACCTCACATTTATCACGACGATCAGCATGGCCATCAAGCTCGCAGCGCACCTTCTCAACGACATCCGTATCGCAAAACTGGTTACGTCCCAACAGACCTGAAAAGAGCAAATCCCGAGTCGGACGACCAAGGATCCAGACCGGCGGCAGTATGCGCGGCACAACTGTTTGCTGGGGTGACTACGGACTACGTATGAAGGACCACGATCGCCGAATATCATCCAAACAGTTACAGCTCGGCTACGATACGATCATGCGCAAATTGAGAGGCTCGGGGCACTTCAAGCTGTACACGAGAGTATCTGCGAATATTGGTGTGTACACGAAGGGAAACGAGCAGCGTATGGGTAAGGGTAAAGGCAAATTCGACTACTGGGCAGCTAGAGTTCCAGTGTCAAGAATAATCTTCGAATTGAGTGGAAACGTGCACGAGAAAGTGGTGCGAGAGGCATTTCGACTCGCTGGGGACAAGCTGCCAGGGCAGTGGGAGACGGTGAAGAAGGGTGATCCGCCGGTAGTAGGAGTGACGAAGTTGAATGCGGAGAAGGGCATAACCTTTGAATCTCTGAAGAGAGCGAGGAAGGATGTTGAGCCGATGAGCAAAGATGCTAGCGATGATGCAATGGTCATAAGTACAATCGAAGGCCCACCAAAGACAGTGAGCACAGATACGGAAACTGTATAGAGTCCAACTGCTGAACTAACTTTGCCGTTCTGTGTTCAGCTTAGAAATCAGATCCTGGCTCAATTCGAGCTCAAGCTCCGACATTATGGTCATGTACGCCACTCTTTGCAGAATATTGCTGCGATGTTCGTGGGTTCTGGTCACTGTCCTCCAACTTCTGTTGTGCTTCTGTGCCGCCATAACCGCCTTCTTGGTTAGCTGAGCCAGTAGAAGTAGTGGTCATACCTCCAACGCCTGACTCTGAGATGTTCTGTCCATATCTGATATTCTCTGTAGTCTGCTTCGCTCGATCACTGTCGACGCCAGAATTGTCATCGACGGTCGTTCCAGGTACATCGCCTAGAGGGAAAAAGTTAGATTATCGACTGGGAGGAGCCAGGCCATACTAACCACCAAGCTGTCCGCTCTGCTTGCTATGCGGTTTGGTGACAGTATGAATACTCTCATATTGAGTCGATTCACCACCTTTCTCAGTGTCCATCATGTTTGAACTCATATTTGCTTTCTCTGCTGCGAGATCTGCGATCGAACCGGATCTGGTCCTGTCTGCACTACTGCCTCTAGAAGTGGATCGACTTGTACTCTTTGAGAGATCTGGTGCAGCGCTCTGGGTTCTGCTTGTAGATGGTGTATTGCTATTGCTTCTTCCTCGTCCGGATTGTTTGAATTCGTTGAGCCAGTGACAAGATATCACGTTCTCGATTTCCTGGGTAAGAGCATGGAATAAGTCCATGAGATTAAACGTTGGGCTCAACCCATGTCTTGCTGAAATGCAGTAGCAGGAGCATTTCGGAAGTTCCACCTACACATGGCTGTCATGTCTGCTCACGCTAGTGACGTCAGGTTGCGGAGACGTCCACCATCCACCATCCTGACAGGAATGCACGAAAATGGTACTCGTGTGTCCATGCGAGCATCTGTGGATGGGAAAGGGTAGCTAGTTGCAATGCAGGCACGATCAACAGACTACTGCTGCGAATCTGCTAGAGTCGAAACCTATACACCAAAACGAAATCAAGTAAGGAAGCAAGGTTCAAGCAGCACAAGGTAAACGTGGATCATTCTGCATCGTGATATTATCAGGTTGTCTTTCTCCCTCCTTTTCTTCTTTTGCTGTACTCCTAGCTAGATGAGCTTCAGTTCCTGGAATCGTTCCAACCGAAATATTGCTAGTCGTTTGGTTTAAGTGTGAATCCTATTTTTCTCTCTCTCTTTATTTCAGAGATTCCACCCGTCCTTTCATTTAGCATCCCCGCCGTCGTCTCCTTCACCTTCACCCTCGTCTTCTCCATCAGTTTCCTTCTTGACTTGCTCCTTCTTGCTTGACTTCTTAGCCTTCTTGGTAGGAGACTCCTCAACATCAGCATCAGCTTTCGTCTCGATCTTCTTGCTGCGTTTTCGGGATTTGGGCGTTTTGCTGTGAGTTGTGGCTGCAGCGTTCTCTTGACCGTCCTCGCGAGAACCATTAGTCTCAACCACCTTCGTAGAATCTTTGCCGCTTTCCAATACGAATTTGTTGTCAGCTTCAACAATGCCCTTGAATCGTCGTTGCGCATTGCCATTCGTGTTGATACCCAGTCTTTGTGCCAGTCCGCCGTAGTTGGGCTTGAATTCGTGGGCTGTTGCAAGTATCTGAAGCAGGAATTCGACCTTTTCTTCAATAGGGAGCGACGCCATATTGGTCGATGGATCTTTGTGTTTGCAAAGAAAGATTTCGCAGGATCTTGACTGGTTGCGCAGTCGACAAGGTAAAGGAAAGCGTTGCCGGAAGAAGAAGCTTCCGACAGGAGGATGCTAGAACATGACAGAATAGTTGAGTGGATTTTTGTTTTGCCGAGTGAAGATTGCGGTAGTGCAGTAATATCTGGTCGGCAGCATCTGTTTTCTCAATTTGTTCTTTACTCATCCTCACTTTATGCTTTGGCTTGCATCCACCGTTGCTCTTCCCGCACACTTGGTCTTTCGACACTGACATTGGGGAAACGCCTCGTAGTGAGCAGATGTGTGCTTTATAGAAACCTTACAAGGGTGCCCTGCTCAGCCATACTTGGTGGCATCGAATAATGCGAAGTTGAAGCCATTGAGAAGGTTATGTCTCAGTCATTGAGACTTCGCATGACTGCTTCAAAGGCCACTAATGCTGCAGCATTGGCAGGGAAAGCTCTTAGGAAGCACGGCAGAAATCCTCTCCAGAACGCTCTGTACCCGCCTTCCTGATAAATTGTTTTGACAGCGTCTTTCCAGTGATAGAATCTTCTAGTGCCATCATTGAGTCCACCTCCTAACGGATCAGTCATAATCCTCTGCTTGACGACGTCAGTCGGATACGTGGTCAGCCAGAAGACTTGAGCACTCAGTCCACCAGCCCAGAAGTTGATGACTGGGGTCGAGAGCTTGGTATGGTTCTTCAATAATTTGGAGAACAAGTCATAGCTGCCCCACCAGAAGAAGAAGAACGATCTGAAGATCAAGGTCGACGTCAATCCATGCCAGAGTCCCGGTATGCCGTGGTGTTTTAGCAGTTTCCTCGCACAATCAATTGGTCCGCTATACAACCTATCCGCTTTCTTGGCGGCGTACTGAATCTGCAAGCGCGCCTTGACATGTTCGACCGGAGCAGCAATGAAGGAGACAGTGCTACCTGCTCCTATCCCAGCCAGTCCATGGCCAAAAGATGACAACGTTCCACTCTTGATCGTCTCTTCACTGACAAACAAAGGATTTTGCCAGACGTGCTCAAGCAGCAGTCTGCGGTATATAGTCAGACTGCCCAGCATTAATGAGTCCATCGCCATCCATCCAAGCAGTGGAGGACTTGCACCTTTGTAGAGTCCTCTTACACCCTCATTCCGCACGGTTTGAAGAACACAGTCCAGAGCACCATGGAATCGACCATGTTCGGCAGTTTGCATGCGCACTTTGATTGTATCGAAAGGATGACCCACTGATAGCTTCGTGACACCAGAAAAGACTCCTGCTACGAAACCCCTGTAGTCTTTGGCTGAGGCTGCCTTGGCCGGCTGGCCCTGCCCGATAGCTTCATTGCTGTGTGAAGATATATCAGGGTTTGCGATGGTGCTATGTTTTGTGAGCGTGCTGATCGCGTACAGTCAAATCTTTCCATCATACCTATCAATGCTGGCCGACATCAATTCTCCTTCAGCTGCAGTCCCTTCGTCAGAAACGAGGCATCTCACCAACGATAGATGGTCCGATAGCGCACCGGGAGCTCATCGTCATGAAAGGAGCCTACACGCAAAGACCATGGCCGAAGATTGGTACTGCATGATTGTTCTTGAATCGGCAGACCTTCGGCAAAGTCAATCGGGGTTCGTGCCAGATCTGCCCGTCACGGATCGACATCTCAGATCGCCCGAACGAAGCTTAAAATGGTTCGAACGAGGAAGGAAGCAAACAGGAGTCAAAGTCAACTCTGTTTAGCGACTACTGGTACGAGAACTATGTGGGATCTTACAAAAACATCTTGATTATCGAGCTCCGGCTCACCCGCAAAAACAGTAATCCCTTCAACCATGTTGGCACCACATCATAAGTCCGCACTGGACAGAATGCATGGTGTTGGTAAGTTTAGACCCCGGGAAGCAACGGAGAACACTGCTGGTGAACCAAAGCGGGTGTGGACATCTTTGATAACAAACACCAAATATCTTTCCGGGCTTATCACCTTGGACTATTCACTCAAGAAGCAAGGCAGCAAGTATCCTCTTATCGCACTCTACACGGACACGTTCCCGGAAGAAGGAAAACAAGCACTCACAGCTCGAGGTATTCCCGCCAGAAGAATCGAGTATCTGCTTCCGTCTGTGCCCAAGGCGTATGCCAACGATCCGCGATTCTACGATTGTTGGAGCAAGCTGGTGCCCTTTAGCCTGACCGAGTATGACCGAGTCGTCCAAATGGACAGTGACATGTTAGTGCTGAAGAACATGGATGAGTTGATGGATCTCGAGCTTGACCCACCAGAGATGGGAGGTGATGGCGATAAGGTGTTTGCGGCCAGCCATGCATGTGCTTGCAATCCTCTGAAGAAACCACACTATCCTAAGGATTGGGTGCCGGCCAATTGTGCCTTCACCAGCCAACACAATGCTCCTGACCAGGCCCAGAAAGAGGGTGCTTCTGCCTTGGCTGGTATAGCATGCCCGAATGGAGGTCTACAGGTGGTCAATCCGAGCAAGGGGGTGTATGATAAGATTCTAGAAACGCTGCAGAACGAAACTTTGACGGCGAGTTATGAGTTTGCAGATCAGAGTTTACTTGGCGAACGCTTCAATGGAAGATGGGTGCCAATTCCTTACGTGTACAACGCCTTGAAAACCATGAGGTGGAAAGGTGTGCACGATGCTATCTGGCGTGATGACGAGGTCAAGAATATGCATTATATTCTCAGCCCCAAGCCATGGGACGAGACGATAGAAACCACGGCCGACGAGTCGCATAAGTGGTGGATTACTACCAATGCTGAACGGTTAGAGGAGGAGAGGGCAAAAGGCATAGAGAAGGGCTTTTAGCGAGGCGCAAAGGACGGTCGAGCTCAAGACAGCAAGATGGCGTGCATGATTAGACTGCACCTTAGATACTTGAATCTTGTTCATTGGATTTCAACACACAGACGTGATGCGAATCGGAGTGATGCAAGTTCTCCGCTGGGTCCTAGGTTTGCACATGAGAACTTTTCAGCCTGATCCACCGCTACAGCTCACGCAAGCCGATAGAGCAGTATTCGATGTAGCCTTACTGCTAAAACCCATTGAGTGTGCTGTAATCAAGTGTTGCTCACCTTGTGCATGGGCCTTACATGCACTCATGTGTTTAGAAGCTGCGATTCGGGTGCTTCGTTTGCCTTCTGCATGCTGCACGGCAGACTGTGTGAAAACCGGTGAGCTTATCCGGTCTATCTCGTTGGTCACTGTCTTGGTGTAGCCTGTGCAGACGGGATTGCAACATGGCACCGCCATATATACTCTTGGTAGTCATGAGGAGTATCTCGGCAGACATAGCTCTCGAGCGTTGATGACAGGATTGATGGAGTTTGTGGAACGTGGGTAACAAGGTTCAGTTGAGACGGAAAGGCTCATGCAGAATATAGGTATTGACAGCCAATGAAGTGAAAGGAAAGACGGAAATCTGCTGGCGATTTGTGTAATAAATGGCAAAGATGTCTCTATTGGAAGCCTCGATACCTGATCCAGCTGCAAGCATGACTGGTCCACCACGTTGAATGGGGTAACCCACACACGCATATGTCGTGGCTAGCCAAGGCCACGCCGGCATAATGCTGCAGTCCAAGGTGAGGCGAGATCGAGTCAGGCAAGACGAAGCTGATGCAGAGTGCAGGAGACTACGGTCGTGCGCACCCAGTGAAAGCGATGCTTCCATCCGTAGCACAGCCGAGCAGAAATACTATGATTGGATAGGCATCGATCGCTTCTGTAGAAATATCTGCAACGAGGAACGTGCGTCTCTGTTAGCGCTTGATGACAGTCAGGTATTGGCTCTTGCGATCAGTCTAGTATCCTCGAGTGTTCGTCCATAACGTGGTCAGTGATACTGCGGACTGAGCGGCTACCTGTCCGCTTGTAACGTTTTACATGACACCAATCACACACTAACATGTTTACTGCCTGCTACTTGGGTCTTCTAAGCCTAGAGCTAGCTATGGTAGACCACACAAGGGCTTCAAGTTCTGGAAGCACAGTATGAATGCGTCCCTTTAGGACAGGGAAGCTAATGCCCACATAGCAGCTGGGTGGCAGACGGAAGGGACGATCCTTTCTCAAACAGGACTCCATCTGTGGGCTCGCTCAATCTCAATCTGTACATGTAGTGTCTGGCTTCCTCTTCACTGCAGCATCTAGTCGTGTGCTTCTTCTCTTCGTCTTCGTTTTCTGCACTTCTCATGAACTCTAACTCGTCTGACAACTCTGTATCAACTAATCGTGCTTGAACTTGAACACTTCTGAAACCCTCGGACGCCTCTCTGCTTGCCGCCCAACGTTTGAGTTGCGTCACGCAGCCACTGCCCCTACCCGAACGATCTCCAGTTGGACAGCAGCTGTCAATCATGAGCGTACATGTTTTGCTATAGCAAACAGACGTCAATTCGCCTGCACAACTACATCATTTTCAGGAGCATCAGGTTCCTGTGTCACCTATACCTTCGACCTGAACAAGAGTAGATCGAAGTGCAGCATTGTAGTGTTCCCACCTGCTCACCGCTTGAACGCTAATTACTCTGTCTGGCTGAACACTACATGACCCTGCTCCTACGACCTCGCTGCAGCTTTTGCCACTGGTTGAGCAGATGTGAGAACAATAGCTAGTTAGGAAGGATTATTTCAGCCAGAATGTGCGTTAGGAGTAAGACCCAGTACGGCTGTGGTCACTGTGTAAAGATTACAGAACCATGCGACATTCAAGATTGCACTACTATGGCCAAATGGAAGTTTCCCGTACACAAAGATTGTCAACAGTGTAGATCTGGCGGCGATACTATCAAAAGAGGCAGAGAAGGTCGTGGCCGATATGCTCGAGAGATCTGTAAACGTGAGGCACAACAATCCTCCTCTGCTGACTCGCTGTCTCCTCCAAGCCTCAGCTCTCCAGTTAGCCCTTGGGCATGCAACGACCCTCCTCAATCACGAGAGAAGAGGTGGGACACCCCTACCCGGCAGAGAGCCGATGAAGCCTGGATCACTGAACATGAGCGTCGTCAATCTGACCTCGAAGAGGCTGTAAGCAAGATATTTCTCAGTAGCCCTCGAAAGTCTCGGAATCAGTACGAGAAAGTCATTGAAGCTGATGAGGTTGAAGAACCTGACGATCTAGAGCTGCTGTCCCCTCTGAGGCTGCGTCCTCTCAAACTCCTAGCATATGAAACGTCACACGGCTCGGACAACTCCCGCTCCTATCACTCCAGTAGAAAGGCTAGTCACGACAGCAATCGAAGCACACAACACAAAGAACTTGTCCTTGAGACACCCAGGAGACAGCTTTACCTTGAGACCACCTGGGCCAGTCACGGTAGAGAGCCAGCACCTCAGCAATTGGTTCGTAAAACCAGAAGGGTCAAAACTGAACCTATCTATCCTCAGTCATGTTCTCTCCAAGCTCCAGTCACGATCCTCCCCACAAGTAATTCCATCATGGGAGCTCATTGGACAAACCAGTACGAAACAATTGTTCAGCCATTACAGCATGATATCTATTACCCAAGGACATACCCAGTTTATTGATCTCAACGTACAGTAGGACGGTTCCATCACGCCCATCAGGAGGCGATTAAGATAGAGATATATTGTACCAGACACGTGTCGTATATACGAAGCAGGAGCGTCGTTTACAGGATTCGCTAAGGGGCGTAGGCGCATTGTTTCTGTGAATAGCATTCACAAGAGCACGCAATGGTTATGTCGTTACCTATTCTTGGTGCAGGTCTCTCGTTCGTTCACAGATCCTGTTCGCACACTCCTTAAACACTAAAAAGGTAGGTGTCAGGTGTACGTCAAAATATGTGCCATCCAACTCGTCTCGAGCTCACGATCAATTTGGATAGTCTTGTGCGGCATTCTTGCTTTCGTTGTTGCCTGAATACAGGGGCACGGAAGCCACGAAGAAGAAGCAGCATCTCAACCATGCCCCACAATGTAGCAATTGCGGCCCCAAACCATCACCTGATTTCATCTTCGCCGAGCTTCCAAGCCTTCTTCACGTATTCGCTTGACTCAATGTGACATTCACTGTTTACAACTACCAATCAAGACGCTGGCTATCCACATGGAGCAATTACGCCTATGCTATTCTCGCTTGTGGTGACTTTCCAGAAGCTTGCCATAAATAGAGCAGACCTGTTGTGCCTTCCATGTTGACAGCACGTCCTGGACAGCCTTGCAAGCTGCGACGCCATGGTTTGGAACGAAGACTTTATGCAGGGCAAGCTCGTGACGCACGAAGCATCACAACTGCCCTTTCAACTTTAAAGATGTCTTCTCATCCTCTGGGTACCACTCAACCTTGTGATGTTGGCTCAAGCTGTACACCTTAGACGAGATTCATGTCGTCTCTGTGGTAATACTGTCTCAATATCGGCTCTGATCTTGATACACTCACTATTGATATAGCGTGACACGACACTGGCTCGAAGTCAAGACTGACTTACACAAGAGATACTGTGTATCCTAGGCAGGAACAAACTGCAAATTCAACAGGATGCCTCGAGCGAAAGAGAAGTCGTCTGGTGGTCTATCAATCGAACTTGACGACAATCGAAAATTCTACACGCCAGGAAGTAAAGTCTCGGGAATAGTCACGTTAAGTACAGCTCAAGATTTTGCAATTGGTTCTGTGAATATTGAGTTCTACGGTAGAGTCAAAGGTAAGCAATACGTCGATTTTGTAATATTGATCCATGCTAAGTCGACTAGTGTTCATGGTATACAGCCACGGTAATGGAGAAACCTACTATCGTGGTCGAGCACCTCTTTTCACACAATCTCAGATGATGTACCAAGGCTATCATAAGAAAGGCGCCGGCACTTTCACCTGGGATTTTTCTTTCGACCTCCCTGTCAATCCTGATGTAGCAACGATCAAGCAAGCGAAGCATCAATGGAAGGACAAGGAACATTTCTTGTCCACGGACGATTACATTCCTGGTCATCAAATGCCACCTACCTTCAAGATGTGGAAGTGGGGCTTTGGCTATAGGTGGCATGCTTTCGTTGAGTATGTGCTGATGGTCGAGGTAAAGGAAGCGCAGGGAGCATCAATGGTCTTACCAGCAGCCTCGAAGAAAGCAGTGAAGCCTTTGGTGGTCAAGCACGTGGCTACCTCTCATGCAGATACACTGTCTCTACCAATGGGAGTGCAGTTCGCACTTCCTGATCAGCTTATAGAGAAGTCACATCTTGGCCGTTCCTCCTTGAAGCAACAACACCTACAATCTTCCAGTAGCAGGCATACTATAAGGACGTCAAGGTTGCACGGCTGGAATCGCGATCAAGGAACCTCATTGTCCTTTTCTAACACTATACGAGACAGAACAAAATCACTCTTTAACTCAAGCAGCCTACCGTGCTTTACATTTGACCTCCGTGTGGACATTCCTGAGGAATTACGCCTCTTACAGCCGGGTTCTATACCTATCCTCGTGAACGTGGTTCCGGTACAGGATGAGTCCCTCACTACGATACAGCCGGACAACTATCCAAACTTACGAGTATCTAGCGTGACGCTGGAGATCTCGGCATCAACGTACATTCGATTCAAGAGTATCCTACCTGCAAAGATAAAAGCGAAGTACGATGTCAAATTGCTCGACCGGCAACCTGTCAACCATACCATCAACATACGACAACGTCAACATCGTTGCCTAACGAACGATCACAATCAGGAGGAGGATGAAGGGCCGAATACAGCACTGGAGCACGGCATTGATCTTTCGACCTTGCCTGGTCTTGCTCCAGCACTAGTATGCGCTAAAATGGGTCTTTCCGGCCTCGAGAAGCCTCTTGTCCCAACGTTCAATACCTATATCATCGCTCGAGAATACACTTTAAGCTGGAAGCTCGAGCTTGAGGTCGCGGGCGAGAAGCTGATCGCCAGTAATGACGACAAGATACGCGTCAGGGTCTTGCCACCAGAAGCGGAAGCACTCGAGGCTATCATGCGGGAATCTGACGCCACAAAAGCAGAGGCTTGCGATGAGGCGGCAGACGAAGAATTAGATCACGACTCAGAAGAGATGAAAGCCGGAAGTACGTGCAGAAAGGCGAAGAGCCACAGGAAGACTTGTAGCAAGAAGAGCAAGTCACAAGAAGCAAGCGAGGAAGCCGCCGCAATAGAATCTTTCACGGCTACTGCTAGCAATTCCAGGTGTGATCAGCACCATGCAGAGGACGTCCTGCCTACATATCAATATCAGAGAGAATTCGTATACCGAAACGAAATTGATGAGCCACCCAGGTACGAAGCACAATGATTTCTTTTGTGTCTCTCTTCCTCGTTCCTCTCTATTAATGGGTGTGGACTGAGTCTTCGCCGACAGTGACGATAGACCTCGATGTTGGGTCGATAGGGTGACGGCAGTATTCAGACGGAGTTCTGGTCACGGTCAGCCTGTTGTTATTGCATAGCACGTTTGGCTTGTGTTTCTGGTTTTTGGGATGTTTCGGAGATATGAGGCTGGAGGCGAGGAGTGTCAGGAGGGCCTATAGGGGTCAGGAGGTACTTGAGCCTGTGACGGTCGGATCCGCTAATGCGGTACCCGGTCTGTGCTGTACTCTCGGATATGGACAACGACGAGCATCAAAAGTAAGAGATAGCGAGTGCGGCTCACCAAAGGCTGCCAGTCCAGACGATCGTTCTCATCATCTCGATATTATCTTGCGCACATGTGCATCTGTATCCCCAACATCGTCATGAGACATTCTCAGCTACTTCGTTCCTCAATGTCCTTCTTTCAATCGAGCAGGGTACCGATTAGTTCCCCGTTATGCTCTTCGCTACCATGCTCACCATCCGCGACCTGCTCTGTAGTCACGATTTCTGGGCAGCGCTTCAGGTGGCTCCGGTGCTCTGTGCTTCCCCAGCCTCTTTCTGCTCTCCTGACGTCTACACGACACCTTCCACTCAACTGCATTGTCTGCAAGAAGGATCAACCCACCATCTTCATCCCCAACCACAATGTGTCATGATCGCTGACTCTGTCCAATCTGTCAGGCAAGAGCAAGAGCAAGGCAAACTATTGCAATCCCCATTCACCAGAAGTCTCGATTTTGTGACCTTTCCCTCGTCCGGACATAACTTAAAGGTTTAGGATATACATACTTTTCTGGCCGAGTAGGATGGTGATGGCTGGTAGTGACTGATGGCTTGCGAGGTTCTCTTCGGTTTGTGTACAGGCTGACATCGTCTCCAAGGTGTAAGTGGTCTGTTTGGATCGAGGCTGGATTATGTGGGTGCGCATACTGATGCATGTTGATGTGATCGTGACACATCGTCGATCGGTTGAGGCTTGGCTCATGCTGTGCTCGACAATCATGATCACAAGAGTGTCTGTTGAGGACTGTCGTGTGAGCAGGAGCAGGCGGAGGATATGCAATTGGAAGGTCTGAGGTCGGTATAGCGTCACCACGAATTCTTGAATCTGTTCCGTGGCAACAGTGGTGATGGAATCGCGCATCTTCGTGCTGGCAGGCTTCGACATGATCGGTTTCGAAGATTTCTGCCTCGAAAGGGAACTGACAATTGTCTTTGCGCATACACCCAAGAATTCTGTGATCGGAGGAAGAGATCTCAGGCTGCAACAAACCACCAGGTTGATACCCAACAATTGGCAAGTAAACCCGGGAGCTCAGATACCGCTCAAAGACAGGCTCAACAGACCTCGCCGGTTCAGGCACCATACTCAGCCACCTTTGCAAATCTTCTTGCGGTATCCCAGCTCGCCGGCTATAGCATAGCTTGCAGGAACAACCCTCTCCATGTGCCGATTCATTCTTATCCCTGGCACGTGTACGACGTAACTCGTAACGATATCCTCCTGTTGAGCGGGCGCGGGCGCGTGGCGTGTCTCGAAGTTTGTGTTGGTAAACCTCCAATGCCAGGGCGTACCAAGAGGGCATCCAAGCTGGATAGGGTCTGGGCTTGGTGGATTTTGTAGTCTTTGTCGGAGTCATGGTGTAGACGCTGACAGCAACGTCAGAGGAATGGGCAGGACTGTATATCGTGATGCAGAGGCATAGTCCCAAGTCGTCTGTGAAATGAGATATTGTTCGCACGACTTAGCTAGTAGCTCATTTGCTAAGCGCAAATATGAGGTTGAGCAAGCATGGTTTTGGTCAACCCGCAATCTGTATGGCAACCGACCCAATTGCATCGTTCACGGTCATTGGCAATTGTGTTTCTGTAATGCGCTTGCGTGGATGTGCTCGTAAAAAGTTGATTGTTTGACACAAATGATTGTGCTGGCAATAGGTTGGTATTAGGTCATGCTTGCTTCGAATCTTCGATCATTGCCTCGATTCTATGGAGTACAACCACGTCTCTCATGCCACATCGCAACAGCGTGTGAGTTTCTCGGAATTGGGCTTGAAATCCGAGTCGTGGCAGGTCTAAGACGTTAAGTCAAAATTTGAAACAAAGGTAGGCTTGGAGCACACATTAATTGTAATGTAATACCAATGTGGACCCCATTCGTGAGGCACCTCAAGTTGATTAGAATAAGTTTATAATGATGACTGTTCTACCACAGCAAGTGCTGGCACAAGTCTCCTGCATGCGAAGACAGAGACGCAGGTATCATGGATCACATTAATAATGGTCAGAGGTTTAGCAATACGATCGCGCTATCAACAAATGCACTGCATAGTAGTGTGGTTGCGCGACTTCAGGGACGTCGTCTTAATACCAGAAGTGACAAAACAGCCTCGGAGGAGGTCCCGTATATACACTATTCTCACCAAGGGTCACCGCCACGCACCCTGACTCAAAGACAACAAACCTTGCACACAATCCAAATCTTCACCTTTCGCTTTTCCATTAGGTGGTCTCCTCACTTGGTTCTTACTGCCCAACGACGTGGGGATGGGATGCGCGTGCTCAGTTCTTGCGCCACTATGCCCTTGAAAAATAGTGTCTCGTTGTTGCGTAGACTGTTGTGATCTTCGAAAATCGTGGACGGCGTGACGTGTTCCTGGTAACCAGTTTTCTTTATCAGAATCAGTGCCGGAGCTGCGGCGGTAGTGTCCGGATTGCAACCTTTTCGCGCTGTCCTCCTCAGATAGTCCATCGGAGCTCTGCAATCTGGCCATGGACGATTGCGCTCTCGGCAGGCCGGGCTTTCCCTTGATGCTAGATGGTGTTCTTCTCATGTTGTTGTGTTTTGCTGCATTTGGAGTTAGTGGCAGTGTACGCTTCGAACTGGCTGAACGCATCAGTCCTAAGGCTCCTACAGCTGAGCCTGATGCCTCTTCTTCCGCACGTGCAGCCAGCGAATGTCGGGCAGATCTGTCACAATAGAATTCCCAGGTTCTTGCGTCTCTCGACCTTCCAATCGCTCCTTTGGCAGAGCCTGGCACGTCTCGAAAATTGAAAGTACTTGCAACATCACTTCGGGCCCTCGCTAAGCCGGACGAACGTGGAGTGACCATGTTCGAAGGGGGTGCGGGTCGCTCTTTCGGAGGAGATGGTGTCATTTCATCATTGACGCGTATTTTGACGGAGCCATCTGCAGAAACGGCTAGACGCACAAACGAGGATGTGCGTCGCAAAGACTTGGAATCTTTTGGTGATTCATCCTGGGGCAGAGGCTGGGAACCATTACCAGTCATCTGTTCGTGGCTTCTCTTCCTTGCGATGGGAGCATTTGAGCTCGGAACCGTAGTCGCACTAGATGGCTGTGATAGTCCGCGGTTCCCTTCAATGGACTGTCCTAGACTTGATGGTGGTGTGAAAAGAACAGCACTTGTGTTTGGCGTTTTCTGCAAGGAGGTAGTAGGGCTGGAAGATGTCGGAGCTTCTGACTCATTGAGTATCTCTTTTATGCTCGGACCACGAGGAGACAGTTGATCCGAGAGAACTTGAGCTGAGGAGGCTCCTCCAACCAAGCTTTCCTGACTGTTCTCAGGTGTAGGCAATTGCTTCACAGCTTCAACAGGCACACCGTTACGGAAATGCGGAATCAGTTCGTGCGGTTGTAAAGGCTTAGCCTTTCTACGATCGTTCTGCCGGCGGTTTTGGAACCATATCTGTGAGGATATTAGTACCGTTGTAGATCGAACAGGCAAACATTATACCTGAACTTCCTTCTCCGTCAATTCTGTCTGCTGAACAAGAGTAGCGCGCTGCTCTTTATCAGGCTTCGAATTCTGTTGATACGCAGACTCGAGTATGGAATGGTCTCGGGGACTACAAGGACAAGTTAGTATAGTCGATTTGGGTTGGAGAATTGATCTGCCCGTTACCTTGTCCTTTTTCTTTTCTGAACCCGAGTAGCTGAGGATGTATCCAGGCGATGTGTGTCCTCAACAGCATTTTCGCTATTAACTCCAGGCGTGTCTTGACCTGGCGCCTCAACAGGCAGCGACAGCACCGAGTTCTCAGACATGCCTTCCAAGACTACCACAAACGCTGACAAAGTTGGTGAACAATACTGAAGAAACCTGGCAAAGTGCAAAGCGAGGCATGAGATGCGGAGAGGTCAAGATCGCGACGCGTTGAGTCGCAGCGTGACGTGATCTTGCCAAGCTTAATCGGAGTAAGAAAAACATCTTCGCCCGTATTGGATCATGCTGCTTCGAAACACGATGTTTTTTCTCTCTGTTGGTTACTGTGTTTGTTACATTCACAACGATCAAGCGCCTCATTCCTTAGGATACTTCTATATCCCAGGCCGCAACAATATGTCCTGACATATCGTTGTTTAAAGAAAGGATTTGTGATTGCCGAGATCATCGGATTCTTATTTGTTACACTTTATCGAGTCTGATATTCTCGCAGAATGCTAATCAGGCCTCCCGAAACTACAGATGAATAGCTCGACGGTGACTCAACCCATGAAATTTCGCGCCTGTCCGTTCGTCCCATTCGTGCCGTTCGTGCCATTCGTATCACAACAGCTATCACCATTGGCCAACCTACTTGCCTCGTTTCTGTTAGTTGGCAGATCGATGCCTGGATTTTCAGTAAAGAAGTCAGCAGGCCGCAATTTCAGTTCGTGAATCTCAACTGGCATGACTGGCCAGTCTTCTACGCGAGGGTTGTGTGTCAGGCCAAACGTGGCCCATACCACTATATCCTCGTTTTCTGTGTCCTCCTTGCGAGCGACCATATCTGCAACTCCACCTTGCTCCCGCGTTGATTGTAGGGTATAGCGGCCTGCGGCATAGAGCTCTCCATCCATGTGCTTTGTGACCCAGACATGGTGCTGTGCGAAGAGAGCCCGTTGAGCTTGGACTGAATCCTGATCAGCTAGGAGGAGCTGGGTGGCCATGGGCGCGAATTTGTACGAGACTGGTCGACCACTTATCGGATTGATACTGCTAGGATTTGTGATTTTGATGACACGGTTCTTGGTAATGTCTGCATCGAGCCAACGAGGCGATTTGATTGGCGTCTTGACAATCTCGTAGTAGTTGCCTCGTGGATTTGTCTTTTCATTCATCTTGACAGGGAGAGATTCTTCGATCACAGCAGTATTTTTGTGACCGTCGACCGCAGGATCTATGCGTATACAGAAGATATGCTGGTGGTTTTGAGCTAGAGCGCCTTCAGACACGACGTTGCCATAGTCCGACTGCTTGCCGGGATCAATGTTGACAACGGATACAATACCCGTAGCTCGAGTCTCGATGTTGATACCACCCATCGTATCAAGCTTGTAGGCAAAGATGTACTCGTAGTTCGCGAGAGTAATGATAAATTGCACGACTAGCTCACGGTTTCGTGCAACGACTGCTCGACCTGTTCGCCAATTCGTGTGTTTCCAGGCGATACCGTTGTCTTGTTCGTGCAGGCATACGACATTCGGTGCCGCTTCCGGTTTGCCTTCTGTGTCTGTGACGACACTGTCAAAATACTTGATCACTCCTAAGCAATCGCAGCCCAAACTTAAGTTGTTTGCGCACGTTCCTGCACCTCCATCACCGAAGTCAAACGCTTGCTTTCGCGCGAACGGATATCGAGCATCAGAGTATGGTACCGTCATCTCGGAAAAGGACAACCGATACATAACTGATCGACCTTTGAAGTGCAGATCGTGAAGAACAGCTCCTTCGCGTGGGTTGAACGAGACACGAAATCTCCACCCTTGCCATTCCACCAGAGAATTATCTGTGACTGTGAATGATGGGCCTTCTGGCTGTGTAACGTTAAGTGGCTTCAAGTCTTTTCGAGGCCCATTTGGCAGAAGCTCCGGCACGTACTCTGACGTCGTACAGTGGTCGACAGGTCGAGGATTGTGCTTGGTAGGTTCCATAGGGTCGTCTTTGCCACCTGTAGCTAATCTGTCCACTCGAATAATCTCTTGTGTAGTTGCGTCCATGACAGGGATGAAAGGTAGCGGGAATGAGTAAAAGTTTGAGTCCGGGTTCTTCGATCTTGTGTCCTGAGCAAAACACAGACCTTGAAAGTACCTTTTGTTGTCCTCGCCAGGTAGCAGACCGCCGTATGGCCATGGCTCAACGACCAGCTCAAATCCTTCTGGAAGCTTGTACTCTTCAAGGCACTCTTTGAACATCTGTGACTTCTCGACAGCTTCCACCAAGCTTCTGAACTCAGGGACCGTGAGAGAGGCATGAAATTCCTTGCCGACGACTTTGTGATCAAGGCGCTTACCGGCTGTGATGTCAACGACCGACTCATTGTAGTATGGTATCTTGTCATCCCCGATCACATCATACATTACCATAGCCCTTCTGTTGAGGGCCTCGGGTGTCTTGCCAGCATGTTCTGCCTCGAGGTACTTCTTAATCTCTGATTTGGGGGCTTCTTCAAGAAAGATGTATCTGAAGAAAATGTGAGTGTTCGGGTGCAGCTTAAGCACAATGTCCCGTGCCTTTTCAGTTTCTTGTGCAGAAAGCTGTTCGAAAGGATGACGTGCCATGTTGCTGTGGTGTGTGAGTCTTGTGTTAGAAGGGACAGAAGGAACAGACATAATGTAGGACGACACCAGGCAGGATATATAGTCCTGGTATGTTTGTCCTCCTCGAGAGCCCTACTCCATTGATATGGGACGTAGTTCAACGCCCCAATCAAAAGCACAATCGCATGCAGCTTCCATTTTGAGTCTAGTGAAGGCGAAAAGACTCCTCCAGATGTGAACACGGAACTTTGCTTCGATATTACAATGTCTGCTCGCCGGACTCCGTGGAGGCCATGGTAAAGTAGCAAAAGCTGAGCATTCATGAGCCCGACCGAGGACATCTCACTGACCATGGCGAAGTCGCTAGATACGTTGGATTGTCGCACTCAATGATGACTAAGTTCGGTCGGAACTAGCCAATCGAAGTAGCACAGGCATGACCTGGCCGATCTTGGCACAATTGTTGGAATAGCACAACTTCAGACAAGAACCAGATAGGTTCGAACGGTTCTGCACATGAGCTCAACCCGATGCATCGTCTTTGACATAGGCAGTCCTTAGACAAGCTGCTCTTGCGTCCGTGATGCGGATTGTTTCCGCTCTGAAGTGGTCGCAGGAATCACGGTAGCTCGACACTTCAGGGTCCACCTGCCTATAAAAGAAATGCAGAGATCTGAGAAAGCAGATGCCAGTGACATATTTCAGGCTTGGAACAGGAGGCCATCCATCGATTCTGGCTAAAGCGTTTCTCGTCGTTACAAGCTGTCCGCAGACTTCCTCGGTATATGTTGAAGTGCATAACAGCCGTAGTTCGACTGGTGACTAGATACTAGGATTCAAAGTGCCATCAGAGCAACGATAGCCCAAGTGTGGAGAGATGCGACGAGTTCGAAAGCAGCTCTGTGAAGTGATAACCGGATCTTTGAATTTGCTGCTTTCCTTGTTGCAGCAGATCCGGAGGTAGTCATGATCAACCATAGTAGATAGAGGATGCCAGATTTTGGGGCTGCAGAAGTGTGGTCCAAGCACAACGTGTGCCATAACCGACTGAGCGATAAAGTCGAACGACATGATAGTTGTTGTTGACCTTCTGCTTTGCCTTCAGGTATTGCCAAACGTACTCGTCCTAACTGATTTCATCCTCCATCGAAGACCTCAAGCTCGGAGACAGATTCTGAATGAGTAGTGCAAAATGCGATTGATGACTGTGGTCGTGTGCCCTAAAAGGACAAATGGTCTTGCACTGACCGCCTGACTCGATCATGCGTGCCCGAACGCGATGGAAGGCACGCGTCGCGGTAGTGCCGATCTTTTTTCTCGTAATCTGGCCATTCTCAACAGCAGTGCATACTCCTGAACAGACGCAGTCCTGAGGTCTGAAGGTGATTACGATCGCACCGGGATGTGGGTAGAACCTTTTCAAGCTGCTGGCTTGCATTAGACCTCGCCATTTCATGACGCCTGCAACTTTTTGACATATTGCTACTGAAAGCTCTGAGGGACCACGCATAATCTTGTAACCATGTCTCGGCGGCCTGTAGGTCAGCGACCACTGACCCTGACAGAAGAGTTAGAAAGGCTGGAGCAGTCGATCACACTAACCCTCCAGGAGATCGATCACAATTTCAGCCGTGCACATCGCATAGTTACCTCTAGTATCCTTCCTGTCGTTGAGCAATATTCGAACCATTCAAGAGAAGTTTGGGAGGGCTCGAAGTTCTGGAAGCAGTTCTTCGAAGCAAGTGCTAACGTGTCCCTGTCTGGCTACGAAGAGCACCAGTTTGCACAAGACATCGATGACCAAACAGGCACAGAAGAGTCGCAAGAAACATCCAACAGCAACTTGGAATCATCAGGGTCATGCCAGACGCCGACTGCTGAGCATGTCTCGAACAACTCAATCCAAGATATCGATCTTTCCAACCTCTCACTTTCTCCCTCCCATAGCACACCACGACAGCCACGACGCACGGGAAACAGAGGGGCATCATCACCCTACAAGAGTTTACAGCGGGATGTGAGCACAGACGTAAAGGAGGATGAGACATATGCTTCAGCTGCGAGAGACCTAAGCACTCCAAGCAAGCAGGCGTCCTCCCTGGTGGACGATGTTGCAATGACACCAGAACATTCGCCGGAAGTGGTGAGGGACCAAATGTCATTTCAGAAGCATCATACTATGCAAAAGAAACAGGATCCACTGCTTCACACGATACTTGACAAGAACTATAGGATACAAGCAACTCCTCTAGCAAGCAATACAACAACACGAAGGACTGCAAGAGTCCTGGGCACCGGAAGCCGCAAGCCAATAGAGGTGCCTCTAGATTCAAGTCCTTTGGCACCGCCAGAGCTGCACGCAGAGATCTTTGACTCCCCAATACGACGGGAAATTACGCAACAACTGCAAAAGCCACGAACACCTGGTGTGTCAGTCCTCAAGCCAGGTCCCTCGAGAGACAATGCGACCAGGCCTACACTAGCGAGTATCTGGGACTCCGACGATGAGGTCATAGACGAGGCAACTGGCCTGCCCTTCGGCGCCTCCCCACCGAAGACAATGCAATTCCATGTTCCTCAAAGCCGGCTACTCAAGACACCAGCCAGGGAAGCATCGAAGCAGATTGTTGACAATATTCTGGCCTCTGCTGGTGTTCGATATGGTGCTTACGGTGAGGACAAATCCGAAGAACTGGACATTGATCTTGACTTGGACGATTACGAAGATGGCAATATGGACGAAAGTAGTCCAAGTGTTGTGAGGAAAGCTGAAGGACTGGATAATGAAACATTTTAGGTTGCAAACCATCAAACAAAGCAGTGAACCAATGAGCATTGCGATTTGTATCTCATCATCGTGCACTCCAAATCGTGAAACCGAAAGCCGTAGCATACAGAGGAGCCCAGTATAAAAGCATTTTGGCTAGCTGGTCCGGCCAACGTAATGACTGTCACAAAGACCATTGTCCTCGAGTGTCGCATCGACCCCGAAGGGGTTTTAATTTATCTCCTACGTGGAGTTCAAGTGAAAGATGATTAAACCTGGGACACCCGCGTCGATCGTTCCGCTCCATTGTACCCGCTTTGCAGGACGAAGCTTGCACAAGTTTCAGACTTACGTGAACGGTGTGACGAGTTTATGCAGGTCAGCTATGTAGTAGCACTTGGCGTGCGATTTGGATGGACATGCTGAAACGACCTTGATCATGCTGGGCTGCTTGACTTGGGAGGCGTTGCGGAAAAGAAAGAATAGGCGAGCGACCTACCCACCTGACGGGTGCGATCACATTCGAGGTTCAAGCTGCTAAGCACGTGTGCAGCGCGTTATGTAGCCAGGAAGCGACAAATAGGGTAAAGAGATCTTGCAACTGCAAAGGGGGTTTCTACAAATCCTAGAACTACAGCTTTTTCGATAAAGGATGCCCTCTACCAAAGGCTTTCTATACTGAAACGTTCTTTAGTAAAGCTAGGATAATTGCAATGGATTCGAGCGACACTGGTGGAAAGTAAATCGACTCCCTGGCACCTCTGGCCTCACCTAGTGGCACTATTTTCTTCATGCAGCTAAACCCATTCCGGTCCCAAAGCACGGACCTTGCCTGCCTGGCGTCCATTACAGTTGTCGAAGAGAGTAGAAGTTGAGCTTGACTTTCGCGAAGCCCCGGACAGTGCATTGGGTGCCGGCTTGCCTAACCCTCGTCCTCTGTATAGCGTAAAGAGGACCCCCGGCTCTAATTTTGCTTACGAGGCTATCCTGGCACTGCCAGTAACACTCATTCGTACAGTGCACACCACATACCACTACTGCATACACAGAGTGCACTGCAGACCTTGCTGTCGATACAGTTCCCAGCAAAGGTTGTGCGTCGGAAGTCGCAGTCGCTTACCAAAGTGTTATTCACTTCGGGGCTCAGTCCTCTGTTCGCGGTCTCGCTATCGGAGTATTTGAGCGCACTGCATTGTGGTTTGGACTATCTACTCACCTGCGACTGGACGATCTCATCTCACCCTGCTTCCCGTGTTGTGTCGCAGCTTCCTCCCAGACCACGTCCTGCATGTGCAGCTGAGCTCTTGCTTCCCTCGCTGGATTGCGCCACTCGCTTGTCACTACGATTACAATAACAGCTACGACCACAGCCGTCAACTATCGGGATATACCTTTCACACCGTTTCCTGTCAACCTCGTTGGGTTGCTGCAGTCAAAGTCTGCCACAGAGGGTTGAGAGTGACGACACATACTCGATTCGATTCACAGCTCTGACCGCGCGAGTTCTACGTATAATCAACACGATCTTGGAGGAGCATTGCCCTGATTCTGTCAAGCAATATCAACGTCACACCTATGCGGTTGTACAAACATACTCAATCTATTTTGTTGCGGCGTTTGGATTGTGACGAAAAGGCCACTGGTTCGAGTCAATTACAGCACGACAAACCTGCGGCTTGAACAAAATGGCGGCCGCTACTATGCTTGACCAAATGCACTACACAGATTCTGCCACAGATCTTGATGAGCAAGCGTATCCGTGCAAGGGTTGTGGAGAGGTATGATCCTTTACATGGTTGCTGGCAGGTCATGGCTGATCATTACTACAGATCTTGGAAGAAGGAAAAGCCTTTGAACTTGGTGCGTTGCTCTATCACCTCTTCTGTACTATACATGCTAATCGTCCATAGCGGGCAACAGATGGCATATCGATTGTTTCCGTTGTAATACCTGCAACTCTCTTCTCGACTCCGACGCGAATCTTCTTCTGCTAGGCGATGGCTCTCTCATTTGCAACAACTGTACCTATAGCTGCAGCAGTTGCGGTGATAAGATCGAGGATCTTGCGATATTGACGGGAGATCAGGCGTTCTGTGCCAACTGCTTCAAATGCAGGAATTGCAAGAGGAAGATTGAGAACCTTCGTTATGCGCGGACTACACAAGGCATCTTCTGCATGGACTGCCACGAAGCCCTAATGGCTAGAAGGAGGAAAAAGACTGCCAAAGGTTCTTCTTCTAAGAAATCAGCCAATATAGACAAATCTCTGCCAGCTATTCCGCCTCCAGAAGCCAGGCATACAGCTTACGTTCCCAACTTTGCCGAGCTTGAAAGTCCACCCATGCCTTCGGTCGAGGTGCCCTCGGTATCGAGGACAATGAGCGAGCTACGACATGACACCGATTCGGACAACAGTCGTCCCCCTACCTCTTCCCAGCAACCAGTCTCCCGAGGCTTGACCTTACCTTCCACTACATACAAGGCAAACAGGAATTCCTTCATCGCACAAAGGTCAGATGCTCCAAGCACGGGAGAGGAATTCCTTATCCCACTTGCCTTCGATCCAAATCCACCAAAGCAGCCCCCAGCCACATCTAGTCAACAAACTACACCACAGATACGTCCTGAGACTGAACGGTCGCACGACTATTTTGCAACCAACAAACCACGTAGCCAAAATGGCTCAGTCTCGCAGTCTGCTAGTCCTCATGTCTCAGACAATAGACCAATCGATCACGCGCGAAAGCAACCAGATATAGTCCCAAGCAGGCAGAGTTCTAATTCTGCTTCCACTCATTTGCTAGCAGAACAGCACCAATCACCACATATATCACAGCTTGCTCGTAACGACTCTTCGAAAAGTGAGAATTTTCATTTGCAAGAAGCGCCAAGAAGCAGGAAAATGGCCTCCAACACGTCCACTCCCAGACAAGATGTAACACCTGCCTTGATCCAGCAGCGCAGCCCAGAAACAAGGGACCAAGCGTTCAAGTCTGACGGAGGTCGAGCTACGCCTCGCCAATCTTACGAAATGAGCCCACAATTCTCCGATGGTTTTGGTTCACCACAGCCGTTACAGTCGGTTGCTCGTGACATCCCAAAGCGAGGTGACTCACTTGCTACCAGTCAAAATTCAATTCCTCGGAAAGCAATCGATCCGGGCAAGCCTCTGAACGATGTCAGCAATGCAAGTCCTGCGCCTCGACAAGCTCCTGCCCAAGTAGATATGGCTAAAGCCAACGGTGGAAAGGTCATCTCAGCGCCAATCAGCTCGCCTGATTCTCAGAGCATCTATGACACGCCCAATATCCCACAATTCGATACTCCGCTTGTGGGCGACAAATTTGTCCAGCCTCGAGTACCACCTTTACCGCCGTTCAGCCACACTCGTTATGAAAGCATTAGCACACTCCAATCAGATGCCCAAAAATCGCCAAAACTGCCACGCTTCTCAAGTGGGGAAGGATTCACTTTGGAAGAAGATATCTCCAGAATCTTGGGCGTCGGGTTTGAAGAGCCAACTGCGAACGAGTCCTTTCTTCGCAGAGTTTCAAATTCCGTCCGCCATGGGCGTAGCTATAGTGATAAGAGCGGCAGGTTTTCGCGCGATCGATGGCCCAAGTCTCCAACTGTGACCGGCTTGGCAAGTCAGGAGATTAGCAGTCCAAGCACCTCATCGCCGGAGCACAGAGAAGAGCTTGCCTGGTTCAAGAACGAGCTGAGGCGAGAACGACAAAAGAATGTGGAAAGAGAAAAGAAGATCACTGAGCTTGAAGCGCAAATTAATGCCGCAGCTGATATCACTCAGGTTGATGTCGAGCTGAAAGAAAAGCGCTCAACAATGGTGGTGCTCGATACTCAGAAAGAAATCGTGGTACGCGAATTGGAAGTTCTGACCGAGCATATTGCCAATACTAAGAGAAGTGGTGAGCCTCTGGATATGAACAAGATGAACAGTGCCGTCTTGCGTGATCTGGCTGAAGCGCTCTCAAAGCTCAAACAATCATATACTCCGCAAATTGAGCAGCTGGTTCATAAAAAGAACGAGTTGACCGAGGAGATCTCAAATCTCAATCAGCAGAAAGACAAGAGCTTTCATGAGTTTGAACAACTCTCAATCAAGAACGCACAGTTGGCAGAATTCAACAACCAGCTCGTGGATCAGATCCAGAATATTTACAAAAGCAATCGTGGTCCAGGTTTAGAGGCTGTCAAACAACCTAGTGGTCTTGGAATTTATTCTCACCACAAAGAGCCATCGAAGGTATCAATTGAGGGTCGTGACACCAAATCTGTGGAAGCCGTACCTACCTTCATAGACCCTGGCCAGACCTATGAGGCAGGCGAAGCTGGTGCCATACAAACAATCGGAGGAGCACAAGTCGTGGAGATGAAAAAGGGTGCAGTCGCGAAAAGGTTCGACTGGAGAAAAGGTCAAAAAATGGCCAAGGGGCTTACCAAAGGTGTCAAAGGGGCGTTCACCTCAGCACAGCAGAATTATGGCCGAGACATGCAGTTCGCTGAGACTGGTGCCTACAATCAGGGGTTGCAGAGTGGCCAAGAATATTCGCAAATTCCAAGGAACGTTTCGGAGTCTCACAAGCAAGCGGGTTGGTTCGTCAACCAAAAGCCGCCTAATAAGAATGGTCTATATGCTAGCTCGAACAATGCGAGCACTCCATCACTGCTGGCGGACGGTTTAAGCACTTTACCACTATTTGGAACCGAACTTGAGGTCAGAGCAGATTACGAAAAGGGAAGTATACCTGGCATAGTCAAGCGCTGCATTGCCGAAGTCGAAGCACGTGGTCTCGACGTTGAAGGTATCTATCGCAAGTCTGGTGGCAACTCACAAGTACAGCAAGTTAAAGAAGGCTTCGAGAAGCAACCCTACGACTACGACATCAGTGATCCCGATCTCGACATACATGCAGTTACCAGTGGACTCAAGCAGTACTTCAGAAAACTACCAACCCCACTCATCACGTATGAAGTTTATGATACGCTCATTGAAGTCACTAAAATTCCCGAAGGACCGAACCAGAAAGAAGAACGAATCGAAGGTCTAAGGAATGCTTTAGCGGAATTACCTCAGGTACACCATGAAATCTTGGACTACTTGATGCAGCATCTTGCAAAGATTGTGGTGCTTGAGAAGGAAAATCTCATGACGCCCATGAACATTGCGGTTGTGTTCGCACCAACCATTATGAGGCCAGAAAGTGTTGCCAGGGAACTCAACGACACCAAAGCGAAGAACGAGGTCGTCATGTGGATGGTACAAGACGTTGAGGCTATCTTTGGGAAGTGATGGCCTAGTATTCGATTGTGATGCACAAGATTGGCGCTTGTCAATAAAAAATGCGTCTCGAAGGGAAACAGTACAGGAAGTCGTTTACAGCACAGCCCGTACGGATATCCTTGCACACCGAGGTCCAGTGGTCATCTTTTGTTTCGTGGTACAGCGTTAAAGCGATGATTAATTCACAGGTTTGTCGCATTTCAATGCAGGCGCATGCAACAAGCATGCTTGGGGTCAGGTTGATCAGGGACTCCATCTTGATTGTTAACTTTTGAGTACTGATATTGGCGAAGAGACGCAGTTTCATCACAACATTCTAGATGTTCATATTATTCATGAAACTAAGACTCAATCACTGTCTGAATTCGATACTGCTCATTAACTTTCCAATAATATATAGGCGCAATTAGCCGCAAGTATTGGCATAGCAAGCGCTCCGGCGCACCTTCCACTTCCCTTGATTTCCCACTAAAAATGTCCACATGAACCACTTCCTTTTCTTCTCTTAGTACCACCTCGCCGTTGTCGTGTGGTGTCGTACCACAATTTGATGACATCCTAGAATCTTCATTGCTCTAGGTCGAGAACAACTGAAGTTCCCCGGGTCTCTGTGAACAACTTTCACTTGCTGCCTTGTGATGCGGGTGATCTTCTGATCGATATTCCGGGACGGCGAAATGGACTTACATCTGTGCTTCTAAGCAAGAAACATTGATTTAGGCTTGAGTCGTGAGGGTAACTCTCAGATAGTTGAGTCATTGTCGCTGACACTCGTGTCAACGACACGACCATGCCCCTTGACGGTGCACATTTGGCCTCTACTGGCATTATTGGCGGCAGCTAGAGACTCTGGTAGAAGTCAAGGACGATATGGAACCAATGCAACATGCACAAGACGTTTTGAACATATGTGATCGTTAGACCACAGAGTGCAAAGTCACTTGACCTGCCTCCTATCATGTGCACAATATATATTTTATACACCAAAAGCCCCATAGGTACAGCTAATCATGCTTGTAGCTCCTCTCATAATAGTACTATCCCTCCCCCGTGCCTCCGAAACACTCCTCCTAGCATTCGCAACGTCCTGCGCGCTCCGTACTTGTTGCGGCACTGGAACTTCTTCTTCGTCATCATCATCTCCAACCCAGATATCTGAAATCGATCCAAGGAGGAGTCTAAACACATTACCCTCCAGGTACTCGTCGTCAAGCGATATTCTGTTCGAGTAGTCTTTTGCTTTGCTAGCTCTCAATCGCGATATGACTTCTTTTCGTCGCTCGGTATAGATGAATTGTATACCTACAGCTTTTTCCGGTGCTCCTTGTGAACGTAGCGTTGTGCCAAGGACATGGAGGTTCTTTTCGAGCTTGACCTCGGTGCCTGCCTGCCAGTTTCCGTCAGTGATTACATAAATTGTGATCTTTTTGAAGCCTGTCGGTGTTCTGTTTGAGCTGCCGATATTTGCAAAAGAGCCACTACGACTACTCCTCACTGGTGTTGCGCCAGTAGAAGCAGTATTCCGATCTCTGTAATCCTGCACGATTTCTGTCAAGCGCGGTACGGGATCACCGATACCTTTGCACACGTCGAGCTGTTTTAGTAAAGGTCTCTGCAAGTCGCTACTGTGGTCTGGTCGGGCGTGTGTCCTTTCACGGCTCTGCATAAAGTACAGATCCATACCGTTTTGATCGTACTTCTTCAGCAGCCACGAGAGAAATCTTATGGCTCGACTTGTCATCTCGCGATGTGCACGCATAGAAGCTGAATCGTCGACTAGGAAGATGCAGTCGCGATGGGCTAGATTGTTCAGATAGCCCTCATCGCGCAGTGTCGCGGAGCTGGCAGCGCCCTTTCTCTGATCTAGCCATTTGAGACCGTCGATGAGTGACAGGTAGGGCTTGTAGATTTGTACTGAGGAGCCACTGGGGATTCGCTGCGCCGAAGTCGATACTTCTGATGAGCTGGGAATCTGGTGACCTGAAGGTGAAGATGGGAAACAGCGAAGATCGGCACTTTTTCGCGAAGGGTTATCTGCTGCTTCGCTGTTTGGTGATGGTAGTGTCCTTCTGAGATTTGGGTCGAGGTTGACTGCAGCGCTCAAGGTGTGCTGTTTCTGTGTTATGGCTGACATGCGTGGATCGTTGTCAGGTCTGATCTCGATAGGTGTATATACTGTCGGCGTCTCCCTTATAAGAGTGGTCATCGGAGTCGGCAGTGGATGGTTCGGTTGTGCCGACGGACGCTCTCTCGTGACCGCAACCTCCTTGTCCTCACCACGTAGTAGAGCTGAACTGAACTGAAACCCTTGACTAACGACTCGTGGAGGCGCGTACACATTGACATCACCACTGTCGAGTTCTTGTATGCTCCCGTTGGCTGAGAGAGTTCGATATACTGGTGGTGGACGAAACTGTCCCAGAGCAGATATTGGGCTGAAAGGCCGAGAGTGTGGATAATCGAACGATGTTTCCTTGTCCCCTCCGACCATTTGTGACGATGCCAGCGATTCTCCTTGGCGCACTGTCGACCTGGAGGTGCTCGTCCCACGGGAACGATCTGGAATTGAACGTGTAGGAATCGAGTCAGCACTGCCACCACTTTTCACAGATGGGCTGTAGGAAAGATGACCTCGCGGAGAAAGGCCTAGACTGGAGTAGCCGCTGCCACTGCTTGCAGCAGAGTCGTTGCGTCGAGGGACAGCAGCATGCTGTTCACGAGCGCGAGCTAGAATCTTGTTGATTTTCATCTTCAGTTGGCGAGTACTTGGTCGCGCATCACTGTCCTCGCAAAGCATTTCCTCAATAAGCTGTTGTACGATAGGATCAGTGACCTTGTCATCACTGCTCCGATTGGCGACTGCTTCGTCATGATATGTTCTTACGCATTGTAGAACGTCCCGCCCATCGTGAAACGCAGCCATGTTTTGCATACTGACCGACTGGCATTCAGCTTCACGCGCTGCTCGATATTCTTTCAGGCCTTGGACCCCTAGGGTTGACCACACAGCGAATTCACTGTAAACACATCCCAATGACCATACATCGGTCATCTGCATGTTAAGATGCTCGATCGATGTGACTCGCACAAGCTCTGGAGCAGCGTAGTTTTTATACGACGAACCGGCGACGTTTGCGCCAAGGTCGAGAATCCTGAAACCATTGCCTTTCCCAGTAGTGGCGGCAATACTCAATGGATTGACGTTTTGATGCCACCCCCCCAACAGCGATTGTGATTTCACGTTAGGTGGATATGGGCCGCTGATGTTGTGAATAACGTGAAGTGCTTCGTGCAGCCCAAGTAAGTCTTCCCATAGCCTGGTCACATCCTCTCCATTTCCGGGAGGTCCTGTATTATTAAAGAAGTCCTCCAAAGTGCCAAGATCTGCATCCTCAAGAATCATGATGAATGTATCTTTGTGCACGAAGCTGCCATAAAAACCAACGACTGTCCTACCGAGGAGCTGGCTGTGCTTTTGCAGATGCAGAAATACTGACAATTCCTCGTCGTAAGAGGCTTTGGATGATGTCCCTCTAAACTCCTTGAAAAGGTATCGATGTGACGAAGGCTTGTCCCCGTTAGACAAACCAATCTCTCGAACTTTGAAACTCACCTTGCTCGTGCTCAATTGCGACGCGACATTAGCGTTGTTGAACGGGTCGTAGTCTGCATGTATTTCGACACGATGTATCACAGCAGTTCCATCGTTGCTGATCTGATCCAAGCGCTTCACAGGGAGGATCTGCTCGGGCTCTATCTGTAAATTTACTGGATCCTTGGGGAAACGAACCGGACAGTACCTCCATTGGGCGTCGACAAACGCGCCAAAAAAGGATGCAGAGTCTGGAAAGAAGCGAGGACATTCGAAGTATGGAAGGCGCTCGTCGTTGTAACCGCGTTCGATAAAACGGTTGAGATAGCGTCCCTTCCCCAAGCTAAGCAATATTGTGAATGTAGCTAGGTAATGTTGCAGAATTGTTTCGCTTGCTGGAAGGGTATCTTGTTCCTCTTTCAAGACTGCTTTCAGTAACCTGTCGAGCGAGCTATAGTCATCCGTGAAGTATTTCAGGAGCACCGATCGTGGAGTATATATGTTGTCAGACGTCTTGCTTGTGCCAATGAAGGCATTCCGAGCTAGACTCAGGTAGACCAAATAGGCCTGAGATTCGTTCGACTGTGAGACCTGGCCATGGGAGGCAGCCATCTATGTCCTGACGGGCGCGGTATGTGCTGTTGCTTCACGCAGTCGGAGAACGGTCTGTTGGATCTCTGGTCGGCTGTTAGCGAGGTAGCAACGTGCCGCGAAACATCACGTTGGGCTCGACAATATTGGCACTGCAGAGAAGTGGGTATGCGAGGTGAATAAAACAGGAGCGGATTCGCGATCAACGGCAGGTCTGAAAGCAATGGATACTTCAAGAGTGAGGTGGTTCACTACCCAAATCCAGCTACCTCACGGTGCCTACACACACGCATACCAATGTGTATGCCGGACGATTGAGTAGAGATCCTGCCTCTGTGCCATCCTGGAGAGGTGATGCAGTCTCGACCGAAAGGACAGGGACTGCTGCAGGTTTCGAGGCTACCAATATCCTGCATACAGTCTAACAATAAGCCAGACCAGCCGAACGACGAAATATAGCTGCAGAAGTGAGAGGTAGAGTTCGTTGCTGGTGTGTCGCGTGCACGAGTCCGCAGCCAGCGAGTCAAGAAGGAGTGTGGGACCACGTGCAGTTACGTAGTCTCTTCTGCTCAGGTCTAGTTACTGTCGCCCACCACTTACCGAGATACCCCACTTGACGAGACGCTCTGATTTTATACTGTTTTCTATACTAATATATCTATATTCTGTTTATCGCAAACTTTTTGTTAGACAACAATATCTTATATTCTATATATGCGTATATGATCTTTAGTTCTTCGTTTTTAGTTTTTCGTACAACTTTCTAAGTTATAGGTAGTGTTAGTATATCTAACCAATGTTTCACCTCGTGCCCGTAGCATTGACTTAGGGAATATCTTCTACACGTTCCCCTCAATTAGCTACGAGTATGACAATGTTCTGCTTATGTTTGGCTCATGTTCGCTGGTGCGTTGGCACAGGAAGAGTGTGTTTCTATGATCTAGCCAGTTAAGAAGTTCAGGAATCAACCAAAGATCCAAAGTCAAGCTTTATTTGTCAGACGCAGTAGATGCCATGAGCGGATCAACGACCACGACTTGGGGTCTACAAGTTTTGGCAGCGTTTAAATGCGATCCCATGGAAAACAAAGCTCATAGCAATGCTGTGATCCCCCATTCCAGCTTCAGGTTGCGCATGCCGTTCGGACCCGTATACTAACACTGCACTTACTGTGGCCATATGCAGTGACTTCGCAATCGCCTTGCACGACGCTTCCGTCATAGCTATAGATGGTTTACAAGCAAGAGTCATATAAGTGTTCCGCGAGGAGCGGATAGAACCAGACAATCAGAGGCTTCTGTTCCAAGTGAAGAGGCGGCTCGAACCACAGAAGTCTTTTCTCACCTTCACTACTGTAAATGCAGAGGATCGCGCCGTGGCTGCTCGGCAGATATACTAGTCTGCCACAAGAAGATGTTGGCGTTCATGCTGTGTCCTGATGCAGCTACACCAATAGTCTGATTCAGGGTGATCATCGAGCTATCGGCCAACGAATGGGCGAATTGGTTCGCAAAGCTGGGGTGAGGATTTCGGTAGCGGTTCATAACACCACCTCTTCGTTTAGCGGCCAGTAAGGCAGGTCACATTATTGTTTCGACTTTGTCGAAGTGATAGGTTTATTACAGTATGTTCTGTAGACCCAAGTTTTCACGGGACTCGACGTAGCGGCAATGTGGATGGCTTTGACATTACGTTACCAACAATGGTTAAAGCCTTCAACTCGATCTCAACAAAGATTGAATGCGAGGAGCGCAGGACAAGAACAATATTCTTATTACACCGACTTCTGGCCCACAAGCTGCAGTCGCTAGCTGTATGGTTCACCATTGGCCCCGTGGTTCGAGCGATGACTTGCATGCGTTTCAGGGGTAACTGTTTCTGATAGGTGAACGCCATGGAGTATCCCGGATCTGCATTTGGACACGACATCTGCACGCTAGTCCCTGAACCACATCGTTCTCGATTTCACTTTTCTCTTTATGGTGGCCGCCAAGAGCTGGAATACGTGCGGTGTGTATCGTGTGCCGGTGAGAGACGCGTAAAAGCCCACCAAAACGCTCATCCATGTCAGATCCCACAAGTTTGCCCAAAGCTGAACAACCATCAAATTCCGTGTGAACTTCTAGCCTAAACAACTTGAGATCCCTCCAACCAATGACAATGCTTCCACGAGGTCGCCGACGAATTCATCCTTATCAAATGTGCTGCATTCTGAGGATATGGCCTCACTACTTGGGCATTGACTCAAGTTATCAGAAAGCTGGATCGAATGGTATCGCAGAAGTTGACTTCTTGGCAAAGGATGGTGTCAGTAGCTTGCATTAGTGGTCATTCTAGTGGCTTCACCATGACCTGCAAGGTCGGCTTCTTCTCTCACACACAACTTTCTACACGCACGTCTTGCTGCATCCTCACTTCGACCACCGCTTCAAGACGCCTCCGAGTGGATTAGGACAAGGATAACATCTCCTGACACGAACTCTATCGGTCATTTCAGATCCATGATGCAGCTCTTCTCGTCTCCTGTTAACGCGTTCTCTCTTTGACTTTTCGGTTATGCACCAGAAGATGGCGACCTGTTGAAACGACTTCGCTGTCACGTTGCTTCCTCTGACCATATTCACACGGATCACGGCAGTCGGCCTCGCATAGCAGATGCCCCTCCGTATGTTCGTGATCCAGCGATGGACTCGGATGTTTTCAATCCTGGATCTCATCCTGTTGTATCCACCACGACCGAGGGAATAGCAAGTGATACTCGACTTGCAACCACCATCCCTGGTCAGGTGGTTTCTTCTTCTATCGACTACTTCCCTCCTTCGTGTTTCCGCCAAATCTTCATTGAAGGCCATTTTCCTCATGCCTCTTCATCCTTGTCATTCCTTTTGAGCACTGCTTTACATTTCATTGCTTCTTAGTGGAGGTTGTTTCGTTTCGTATTGCCTGAGAAAGTCGGAGTCGTGCCTTACCATTATCTCACCACATTGCAGCTCACCAAGAGGAACAACAGGACATAACTACTAGCCTAACCGCGAACCACGATCATGATCTGCATAGATCGCTAGCTTTGGTTGTCCTTCATGCAAATTGGACCTTTTCGAGATGCCTTCTCCACGTCGACATCTGTCAGTCGATGAGTTGAGCCACAGGGCAAGCACAGGCCTAGCCATCCGACGAGGCGATGTTAAGATATCAGAACCAATACCATCCACCTACAGACACAACGGCGCAGAAATGGACGGTGATTTCAGACATTCACACCTGACTCCAGCGTTTGAGGACACTCGATCAGGCAAGAGCAGTGATGGTCCTATGAGTGGAAGGAGCGATGCTCTAGCTCAGCCTATGCATGTTTCTAGCTTGGTAGCACGCACGTCTGCTGGACCATCTCTAGCACCCAGCAATATGTCTTCTACACCCTCAAAAGAGACGAGACCGCAACGGCGGAATACAGGTATGAGGGCGACCATTAAGCGTATATTTAGCAACAAGACAGATAAGCACTCTCTCTCTCAGAAGGGAGCTGGTATAGAAAATGTACGTTCATTGCCTGATACCAATCATCGTGCTGATGATGAACAGGATCTGGGCAGGATACTCTCAATGACTGGCCCCCAGCCTGATGTATTGTCACAGTCTGCGACTACGAACCGTAACAAAGTCTCACCGAACACAGCCCTCCACTCTCATGCTTGCTCGCCTCATCTTCGAGTAGAGTCAGCTGACGTCGGACGATTCGAGCCTACCATCAGTCAGTTAGGACCACGGCGAAACACAGTACCGAGTTTGATGCTTGTGACGGTCGACGAACCTACACAATCAAGCTGCAATGCACAAGAAACACGAGCTAGTCCTCGGACGCCTTCCACTGCTGTAGAGCGACAATTGTCTCCGCTCGTGCACGCTAATCGACGCTCACGTAGCGCCGACGACCTGGCAAACGTTTTACAGAAGCAGTCGAACAACGCCCGTCTGAGGGACCGAGCAGAAGAGATTGCCTTCTGGCGCAATAGTATCGTCATCGAGCCTTTACCTAGTCTGCCTTTGCCAGCTCAAACGACGCCTCAGCAGGTTGCAGAAGTACCAGAAACCCAAAAAGTTCCGACAGCGACAAGGCCATCATTTGAGCCAATACAACATTTTGATTTCGGCTTAGAGCAGTCTAATACTCTGCTGGAAAGAGTCAACACGCTCGAGGTCAAATTGCATGATTTTGAGTTCGCTTTGTGCAAGCTTCAGGGAACCGACATCAACCAACCTGATGAGCCAAAGCAGATATCACCACCAAGGCTAATGACGCAATCCTTTATGCACTCTGTAGATACGTCCAATCAGTCGTATTCCCCGTGCCCTTCTGAGCAGTGGCAACGACGCTCCCCGAAGCAAGGTCACAAGATAGACAGGGCTAGCAAGGTCACAACTATCAAAATTGAACATCAGCGAAGACTCTCTAACAGATCGGAAACCTCGACACCTTCTTCTATCAGGCTGACACAAGACCAGTACGACACACTTTGCGCCATGGTACAGGATGAAAAGATTGCTCGACAGACGTTGGAAGACCAGGTCACGAACCTTCAGAAAGAGGTCGACATGCTAAGATCACCAGTCTATGCCTATGTTAATTATCCCACTCCAAGCCCTGACGATTCCTTTCAGGACATGAATTACGTCTCAACGCCGCGCGTGCTTCGACGCTCCCCACCTCTACAGCCTCGACGCAATCTGAATGAGACCTCCCGATTTAGCATGACAGAGACCGATACAGATACTGAGGTTGGGGACCACTATCCCGAGGTCTACGAAACTCCTCAAGCGAACAATTTTGCATTCCAATCGAGCAGGTTTCCACAATCTGACATGATATGAATATTCACCATACAACATCTTCACCTTCAGCACCTACATTTCAGCACTCTTCTTAATGTACTACATTCCTTCCATGAGGCTCGTTTTGTGGGACTACTCTGTTTCAAGTTCGTCGTTTGTGTTGAATCTAGCAGAGCTGCATAGCAGGTCTCTGGCAGCATCGATTTACAAGTTTTGTGGTTATGACCTTCGTTTGTGGAACAACACATATTGTGCATTATGATACCCGGAGATACGAGACGGTTTAGACGGACACTTTTCATCATGTTATCATTGTATACAGCATCCAAAGCCACTGAAGCTTTGTGACAGGCAATAATTCTAAGCGATGGATGGCCGTCGACTGTCCATCACAATTGCATCTATGAAAGAACATATTAAATCGTGGTCCGATGATCCTCACTCCGTTTCGTGTCCGCGTTGCAACCCTTACTTGTTACCTAGTTGTGCTAGAGTAATCACCATTAAAACAAAGTTTCTCAGGAGGGGCAGGTAAGTCTTGCCTGATCAAGCACGCATTGTGAATTTGGACTTGCATTTGTAAAACCAAACAATCTCAGCCAAACACCATATCTAATCTTGTTTGCGTTGCACTTTCTCTTTCCTTGTTCTCTAAGTTTTGTCGCGCCCACCAAACCGAAGCTGCAATGGTCAACCCGGTGAAAAATTGTGGACAACAGGTCGGTGATAGACCGGACGATGCAATTACCGAACCTTCGACCGAAGGACAAGAAGATGCGTTGTTGATTCTGCGTCCGGGGTTTGGGCCTATGGCAGCTGAGGGTAAACAGTTGGCTCCGTTTCTAGATGTTCACGATTAGCAGAGATTGACGCAAGATAGAAAACAGTAAAAGCCAGATTCATGAACACCAATCTGCGCCTCTACGGCAACCAAAGCCTATCACGTTCCCAGACATGGATCGCATCCTGCAACGACATGGTATCTTGAGAACTTCCAATGCCCAATTTAGCATACCACACCCACCAGCTCAGGAACGGGATATGTATCAACTTAGGCAGGCAACAGATTCTTCATCGTCAAGGTCAAAAAGTCGACCACAACATGGATATCTCTCTTTCCGCCCTCCTCCGAACCATGGAGATCCTGATGGTCCATCAAATCTTCAGCTTCTGGGCTATGCGGGCCTCGAATATGCACCTTTTACAGGCCAGCTTATTAGTACCCCCAAACTGCATAGCGTGTATAAGCAGTACTACGAGTATGACAAGACGACATGTCCAGCAGGCATACTATACTTCGATCCTGTAGGTCGGCAGAGCCGAGAGGCGTGGCTATACGTCAGAGACGAAGGTATGGTAGAATGGAAGAGGGACTTTCTTGCAGAGCGAGGTGGTATGCGGTACTTCGTCTACATAAAGGAGGAGGAAGATGGCTGGGAGTGGAAGCAGGTTCTCGGAGATGTTATAGATGTGGGGGCGGAGGTGAACCTGTTTGTGAAGATGAGAGCTGCTTCTCCCTTGTGGAACTAGCAGTAGCTAGGACAACTTGAAAAGATGAGGAACTTTGGTCAGAGCTGCGGTCAGACAGGTATTGGGCAATTTTGCCGAGTCTGCCCTATCGTCCTCAAGAAAGCTTTGCTAACTATGCCAGCTCGAACTTTCACCCATCTCACGAATAGCATGACTCAGAAGCACAGTCGTGTGCTATCACAACTGTTCTATCGAGTGCTATGATATTACCACCGGTCTTGTTAGTTACTGCATCAGTAGCGGTTCCTTTACCCCAGATATCAAACCCCGACAACCCCTCCGGAGGCTCTGCAGTAGTGTGCTTGGAACATAGAATGCCAAGCACTGTCCCAACTCATCATGAGCGAGCTTCAAGTCGTTCTCTCTGCTCCTTAACAATCATCCTTTGTTGCGGTGAACTGTCAGTTGTGTTGTGACCAGCGACACGTTACGGAACGTTAAGACCAGCTCCAGGTTCAAAAGCTCTCAGTAATTTGGGATTTTGGGGTTGATCACACGTGCATCGACGATCAGCCACCCACGCCATTCGAGATGTGCTGGTGGAGTCTCGGGCACTTCGTTACATTTGCAGGAGACCTTCCCCGGAAGTACAACGGAATCTCGTGGCGAATCACAAAGCCTGGGTGGACTACAGGATGATGGAACTAGAGTGAACAGGCCATTCCTACGCAAAGCTCGTGCTAGCCATATGCTTACATAGTATTCGCCAAGCACGCGTCTCGTGGAGGAAGATCGACAACGATCAAAAGCATGTACGGGGCATACGCCGAGTTCATCTCAATGCGCTTGGTCGTTCTTATAGACGTCCCTGCCTCGTGTTGTGTGCCTTTTCTTTCGTTTTAACTATCACGTACTGGTTGCACGCAGCAGCTTTGACGTCTAGACACCGACACCATGTATCTCAACTTGTACAAACCAGGTCGACCAACGCGATGGTCGATTACCTTCGCATGCCAGCTCGCCTTTGTCTTGTTCGGATATGAGTGAGTACCTTCGTAAACACATATTGGTTCCTGCTCAAAACTGCCCACGAATCTGGCCGGGATGGTTTCTCAACTAACGACTGACAGCCAGGGCGTCTTCAGTGGTATCATCGGCAATGAGCATTTCCTCGATACCATGAACCATCCTAATGACAGTCTCATGGGCATCATTGTCTCAATCTACAATTTGGGCTGCTTCAGTGGATGTATTCTTAACTTCTTCATTGGCGACAAGCTTGGTAGACGCCGATGTATGTGGTTCGCTATGGGTTGGATCATTGTACGTTGGCTTCGTACTTGTTTGAACGATGCTGACCAGAGAAACAGGTTGGAGCAGCTCTTCAAACCTCAGCCTTTGGCGTACCTCATATGATGGTAGGGCGATACATTACAGGCATTGGTACGGGTATCGAGACTTCTACAGGTGAGCATATGAGTTTTTGCTCTGTTCAATTTGTGCTGACCTTGTCAAAGTACCCATGTATCAGGCCGAACTTGCTCCAGCAAACATTCGAGGCATGCTTGTCTGTTCAGAGCCCCTCTTCGTTGGAGTGGGTATAGTCATTTCTTACTTTTTTGACTATGGTTTGAGCTTCGTTGCCAATCCACCAGGAATGGCATGGCGCCTGCCAATTGCTTGTCAGATGATATTCGCTTTCGTGGTTGTATTCATGGTATTCGGCTTGCCAGAATCACCACGTTACTGCTACCAGAAGGGACGAAAGGACGAGGCCTTGCAGATCCTATGCAAAGTATATGATGCGCCACCAGACGATCCTAAAGTTCGTCGTGAAGAGAACGACATTCTCGAGACCATCGAACTCGAACGAGAGCAGGGCGGGTATCAATGGCGCAACGTTCTCAAGCGCGATCGCGTTCAGACTGGTCGTCGAGTGCTTTTGGCATATGGAATGCAGTTCATGAATCAGGTTTGTGACGCACCCTCTTTCGGGATCATACGAGCTAATTCTACGTGAAGATGGGTGGTATCAACCTAGTTGTCTATTATGTGCCAGAAGCTCTTGAGCAAAATGTCGGCCTGACCCGGAATCTGTCCCTGATCATCGGCGGATGCATACAGGTCATGTTTGTTATTGGTTCTTTCTACCCGACCTTTTACTCCGACAAGGTTGGTCGTCGCGCACCCATGCTCTGGGGTTCATTTGGCCTTGGTGTCAGCATGATGATGATTGCTATTCTTCTGAGCTTCAACGGTACCAGCAAGGAGCATGCTACTGCCAGTGCGGCCGTGGCTTTCTTCTTCACCTACATGCTCATCTTCGGCGCCAGTGTGAATTGCATTCCCTGGTGTTACGTCCCTGAGATCCTGCCACTGCATGCGAGGGCGAAGGGAACTGCCATTGGTATGTGTTATTGTTCTTTATGTACTCGGTCTAAACATTTGAGATCAAACGCTAACATCGTGGATAGGTATCTCTAGTAACTGGCTCTGGAACTTCTTCGTAAGTCTACTATTAACCTGGCCACCTACTCTGTTCTAACAAACCTTAGGTCGTGATGATCACTCCCATCTTGTTGAACCGCTTGGCCTGGAAAGGATATCTGGTTTTCATGGTCACGAACTTCCTCTTCGTACCATTGGTATACTTCTGCTATCCTGAAACTGCCAACTTGACATTGGAAGAAATCGACTATATCTTTAGTGATGACACAAAGAATAGCGTGAAATGGAGCTTGGAAATGAGAAAGGAAAGGACGAAGTACGGACGACGAGAGAGCTTCGTCGAGGATGGGGATATGCGACGACGTAGGAGTAGTGCTGGTGATGGAGGGAGTATGGACAACGGGAGGACATTGCGAGACAGTTCTGATGAGGGGAAGATAGCTGGACAGGCTGAGCACTCGGAGAAGATCTGAGATAGTTGGCCGACAGATCATTCGTAAGTGTAGATATTTGCGTCTGATTGGACAGGCAAGTAGAAGGAACCAGTCCTGGTCAGCTCTCATATTCGGATCGCGCGTACAGCACTGCCCATGCTTATCGCAATACAGTCGGTCGCTAGCTGGTGCACACAGGGAAGATCACAAGCATGGAAAAAGTCCATGAATGTGCATTTGCGTAGCCGGGGTTAGAACTCTTGAACAGATGTGTTCTTATAATAGAGGCCAGACGGGTTGGGAAGGTCATTATCGAGGACAAAGTGCTTCGTTATGTATTCATACAGCATGAACGACGATTGCGAAGGCTCAAGTACCGATATAAAAACCTCTTCGTGACGTGTCTCCTTGTTTGCGCAAACTGCTGGCGGCTGTTTGTCTCGAGTGTAAATTGAGGATTTGTGAACGCTCAAGCACTGTATTGGACCTCTATCCTTCGAAGTCCCAAGGTCCTGGACCAGCAGAACACTATTGCTCGATCTTGTGAGCTAGATTCTGTACACCAGAAGCTATTCCGGCCCTCCCTCTTTTCACTCTATATCAAGCTGTACTCTCATGACGACGTCGTATTCGTCTTCTGGGCTTTTTCGTATTCAATGATCTGTCGACTCCAGCTGCTTCTTGTGAGTTTATGAGCTTCCCAGAGTGCCGAATGACTTACTTTCTGCTCGGAAAGAATCTATCCGGCTCTGGCATTCTGTACCTGACTTCTCTTTCTGCGCTCATCCTGAACAGTATGGCGGACAACCCGAATATGACAAGCCCGCAGAAGGCAGTGTTGGCCTTCCAGTTGTGTGGTTGACCATACCAACCACCGGCTGGCGACCAGACGTGTTTTGGATATGGGATCTTGCCTCCACCGCTTCGTCTAAGTCCTGTCGGCTGCATCGTGGATGGCTGAGGTGAAGTGCGGTTAGTATATGTCCATGCGCTTCGTGAATGATGCTGTTCTAGAGTGAAGCTGCGACGGAGTGCATTCACGTGATGTATGCTTTCCCGAAGTGGATCGTGATGCGGACAATTTGGGAAGGAGCGATGTCTCGTGTCGCAGTTTCCAAAAAGTTGTCGAGGACATTAGCCATCAACAACGACCTGTCCCCTGCTCCATTGCTTTATATTCGCTGTTGTGTGATTCTGAGGGTTTTGGTGTTCACTTTGGACTTCTCTTTACTCAATGAAAGCGGCGAGGCTCCTGCGATGGAGCGGTAGCGTGCTCTCACCTTGCACAAGACCAGAATACTGTCATCGCATACCAACTCGTGCAGCCATAATACGATCTCACACACAATTCAGAACGCAAGCTACAGCGGCTGCGACCATTGAACCTCTAGACGACGATGTCGACGATACACGAATATCACACAGTATAATACCAGAAGAAGTTCTTACAAAACTACCATCACCTCCTGTTCAAGCCTCAAAGACCTCAGCGAAGCTCGCAGCTTTACACGCACGCCTCAGCTTGCCATCTCGATTACCAATCGAAACATTAGCAAGAACACTCGTTCATGCATCAGCAGATCAAAATCCTGGTTTCAACAATAGTGCATTCTCTGTATTAGGTGCTGACCTCCTCTCGTATTACACCTCTGAATACATAATATGTCAATTTCCCCGATTGCCACTTGCAGTTGTCTATGCAGCAATGAATGCATACTGCGGCCCAAAAGCACTTGCAGCCATCACAAGAGAATGGGGTATACAGTCCGCTGCTGCGCCAGGAGGAGAAGTTGATCCTGGCCTGTTGCAATTCAAGCATCAACCACCTGGCGAGAAGCATGCTCTACCGAAAGAGGATGTGGTTTCAACTCGGCCGTTACCAGATCCAAAGACTGGGCTACGAAGACACAGCATTAGCTCACGAACCGTATACGAGACTGCCTTCGGCGAAAAGAAGGTTGTGGAAGACCTTTCAAATGGCGTCACACAAGAAACCGCGTCTGCAGAATTTGTGAGGAGCGTTCTAGGCGCAATTTACCTTCACGCTGGCCGTAATGCCGTAAAAACTTTTTATAAAGACCATTTCATGAGCAGGCAGCTCAACATGGCTAGCCTGATCGCCTTCAGAACACCTACCAAAGATCTGTCGCGCCTGTGTGCAAGAGAAGGATTTGAGTCACCAGTCGCAAGAATACTATCCGAAACAGGAAGATTGAGCAGACATCCAGTATTTATTGTCGGCGTCTTTTCTGGTAGGGAAAAGCTAGGAGAGGGGGCGGGCTCAAATCTCGACGAAGCCAGGACAAGAGCTGCTGTTGCAGCACTAAAGGGTTGGTATCTATACAGTCCAGTTGGCTGGCGGCTACCAAGTGATGCTGAAGAGCCCGGTGCAAAGCCATGGGCCAGTCAGCTTGTGGATATGGGAGACGTGGTCGCATAGACGTCAAAACGCCGAATGGCCAGACCTGTAGATAAAAAGCAGCACAAATAGGCTGCACGAATTGTTTAACCACAACATGAAAACTGTACAGCATAGAAAGCTCCACAACCAGGAACAGGGTGGGCAAGATGTAACAGGTGACGGAACCTTACCTTTGAGTAATGTTTGGGATTACATGTACAGGTAGATTACATTCCCGAATGTCATTATTTCTACTTCCATCTCGGTTTTATCTCCAAGCTTCAGGTGGTGCCGCAGCCTGAGCTTGCGAGCCTGACCCCTTTTGGGGTGGAACAGAAGATTCTGGCTACAGAGGGGTTGGCAAAGAAGCATAGCCTGATCCCAGGTATATAGATTGACGTTGTCTAAAAACTCCTCACCACGCGAAGGGGGTCCACCATGAGCGTCGACCCAGGACTACGAATCAACCAGTAGTACGGTGCCCGCCAAGACCATCAACCTCGAATTTTCAGTTTCTCTCAACCTCAGTCTTCTCCTCACCATGCTTCTTATTCAATGACTCCCAGTCCCCCTTGTAAAGGTCCCAGCACTCCTCAACCGATATACCATGCATCACATACTTCCATAAGTCCCCATCAGCCCACTTGGCCTTTCTCATAGCCTCGTTAAGCCGCCCAATACAGCCTTTGCCTCCTATATTGTCTTCGATCCATTCGAGAAACCACGCGGTCTTTTGGTAGCCAGCGTCCCACTTGTCGCCCCTAGTGTCTTTGTTTGCTGGCCATGGCTTCCAGTGAGGTGGGTTGAGGTTCGATTTGAGACGGACGTAGTCTGCGATGCCTTCGATGAGGCCTCCGGGACATGTTGAGGATGCGTTGTGTTGGAAGGCGTGGACCATTTCGTGGGTGATGACGCCTTTGACTTCGTGGCGGAGAGATGCGTTTGATGAGTCTGAGTTTGGCTGGGGTTCTTTTGTGGGTGCTAGGACGTCAGTCGGTGTTGGACGCGAAGTGGTTGTTGTAGATTGTGGGTCTGCGGTCTCCTTGGGCATACTCTTAGTCAGACTGGCTGTTGGAGTATTGTCCCGATGGAATTGGTTGATCTTAGCTTGAAGATAGTCTAGGCTTAGGTGAATTTCTTTGTGTGCCTCATCAAGGGTAGTACCATCTGTGTAAGCGACACCGTCCATCGGTCGAAGTATTAGTGTTACAGATCGGACCTCTTGTGGTTTCCAAACCGGTTGGGACGGAATCGGACGCTGTGGTGGAGGACGTTGATGGACATTAGCAGTAGTATCATCATCTACCATATCATCTGGTGGTGTGAATAAGTGTTTCTGGACGTTGTGAATGGCTACTTCGAGCAAATTTGAAAGGTCTATAGCGACAGTGAACTTGCTAAGAGCTGGATGTGAGATATCGTCTAGATGGATGCGAAGACGTGCTTGAGGACATAAGCCTTGTTTTACCTGGAGACCACTATCCAGATCGCCATCAGCTAGAGATCCCTTTTGGGCGTGCGATTCATGCTGGGACTCTACGCGACTACCAGTATTGTTTAGAGGTGGATTCGCAATGAACGAGGACGCAGCTGCTGTTGGTGCTGAGATGGTGGACGACATATTTCTCTGGACTCGAGATGCGTGAGCTAACACGGCTGCTGGATTGATCGATTGATCGTGATGTACACGAGTCATTCTGCCCTATAGACAGACGATGAGTGGCTTCCAGATGGTAGCTGCGTGTCAAGCCTAGATCGAAGCTCCGACTTGGCACTTTTATTCACACTCTTATCGACGAGAAGCCACACCACGCCTGTATCGAGAATAGCCTACCACAGCATGAGAGTTGAATGAGACAAGCAAGCTGCGGCCGAGACAAGTACGAGCTACTGTCAATCCTTGTCACAGTGATAGGATGCAGACATTAGGACCTGGCGATTGACAACACTCGCCAGTCATATTGCAACTCCTTGCCGGGAGCAAAGCAAGATGCCGTCCTATGGACTCTAGATCGTCAGTCAATGGGTCAATTTCGAAAAACATGATGTTTTGACGACACCCGGCGCTAAAAGTTATCGTCCCGCTAATATCGGTATTTGATTGGTCAAGCGTCGGTTCGAGGCCACCCCACGTGTCGTATTTATCTTAACGTCAATTCTGCTGCGTATCAAAACACCACGACCCGTTCACTATTGGTTATTGCTATACAACCAGTACAGCCATTCACAACGACCTAGACACGTACTAGTCCACCAATATCGCACCACACAGCTCACCTTTTCCGGGTCCATCAGTACCGTGGGCCTTCAGCGACGATGATGCAATAATCAACAGACTAAGCTATAAGTAAGTGGTGCGTCCATCGCTCTTTCCTTCCTTCTTTCTTTCTCTCACCACACCGCGCAATGTCTGTTGTCGCCGCTGGTTTCGCGCCGGGCGACGTCCTGCTGGACGGTAAGTGTTACTATGTTCCCAAGCACGATCATCCCTGAGCATCTCCCTCATGATGCCATCGTCGCGGCAGGTGCGTCCTGTCCATCGCACCTGCCGCATCGTTTACCGAAGCATGCTCTGCGCGTCCTGGATTCTGGATTTTGGATTCTGGATTGAAGCGCCCACACCTTTTGCGAATCGTTCAGTCCTCGATTGCAACAGATATATTACCAGGTTTTTCTGAGAGCAGGGATTGCGACCCCGGCCTGGGGTTGTAACTAGAATCGACTTTCCTCAACTGTTGGGGGCGTCTTTCACCCCCAAGCGACCACACTCAAGCACTAAAAGCGCCTAAAGGATCAACTAGGCAGCTCCTAGAAACGGCACTCCGACCATTTCTTCCACGCTCTATATGCGCATGCTCGAGTCGAGCTCTTTTGTCCATGAAAACCTGCGATATTTTCGAAGCTCTGGTCACAGCCATCAGATCACGCAATTTTTCTATGCACGAGCCTTCAAAAGTCGCATCAGCTATCCGCAGCGCAGACGACGGGAGAGTGATCGACCATGAAAAATATGACTGATTAAGACACTATCACAAGAAACACTTCAATCTGGAATCGAGCTTACCTTGCATTTACAAACTGTAACATAATTTGATCGGAATAATGACAGACTCAGTCCTCGCAGAGCCTCAATCGAACTTCATCAGAACAACCGTAACGAACGGGAGTGGAAGTTGTTCTTGACTCGTAAATTGCACCGGGCTTGCATCCTCGTTTGTTATTTGCGGAAGTGCCAGGTGATCTTCACCTGGCTGCTTCCCACACTCTTCACCTCGCCTTAACACTTCGTTACACCTGCCCGCACTGTCGCTCTTTCCATTTAATTACTTTTGTTTTTGATCAAGCTGACAATTTTCTTCTTCAGTCGCCCACATCACCACCAGCCTCGCCAACGCAACCACGAGCCTGCTCTAGCTTGGCTGCACTCGTGTCTACCAAAAACTCAAGTCCTTAGAACTCATGGACTATACACAAGTCTTGCACTCTGAGAGTGCGAAAGAATTCCGACTTCCAAAGAATGTCACAGAAGACAACTGGAAGTCTCGCATGTCCTTCTGCAGCAATCTCACAGGTAGGAATGCAATACTACTGCTCTTCTATTGTCTGGCGAGTTCGAGCTGACTTTTGGTTGCCTAGATACGATCAATAGCCATGGCAGCGAAGGACTCCCCAAGGACTTCCACGTCCAAATCGAGCCATATCTCAACAATATCCTAGAGTGTGCTCTATCAGAGCGCACACAATTGTCCAACGCAGCATGCAGATTGTTAGAAAGACTGCCAGAAGTGTTAGAAAGAGATATGCATCCACATCTCGACCGAATCTTACCTGTTCTCATCAAACTCTGCGCAAACACAAAACAGGTCACAGTCAAGGTTGCTGCCGCTGCTGCCGCCAGCATTATCAAGCACTCTACCTATAGTCCACGTCTCCTCTTTCACGCCTGCGATGTGTTCGACCAGAAACCGGCAGGACCCAAAATCTATGGCACTGAATGGCTTCAGACCATTCTGAAGCAGTATCACAGACACATTGATTTGAACAAAGATGGCAGGATGGTTTGCAAAGCTATCTTGTTGGCTCTCGAAGATGCAGATGCCACGGTCCGTACCAAGAGTCGTGCTACCTATTGGACATATAGCAGACTCGATCCTGATGGAGCTCATGAAATCATGGACAAGCTCGATCAACACAAGAAAACCGCACTATTGAGTGACCCCAGCAATCCAGACAAGAAAGCTGTTGGCACAAAGAAGGAACCTCCAAGACCTCGCTCAGCACTGGCTGATGTTCGCAAAGAACAAGCCAAGAAGAAACGTGCTGAGGAAGAGGCGCAGAAACAGAAGAAAACTCTCAACACTTCCACGGCTAGCCACGATAACATTGAGGCTCTGGAGCCAAAGAAAGAGAAGCCGAAAAAGGATGAAAGAACACAAGTTACCAAAGCCGTCTCAACTGATAGGACAGTCGACGGTTGGCAACCGGCTCTCAAGAGTAATATCAATCCACCTGCTGCACACAAAAAGACTTTGTCTCAGGACCACGAAGTTGCGAAGCCATCAGCAAGCTCTCGCCTCCTCGCAGCGCCTGTTAGGCGACCAAAATATGCCATCACTCCGATGGCAGCACCTCAAATCAGCCGGCCATCTTCAAGAACTGGTCATGCCACAACACATAAGGAGAAGGATGCACAGAAGGAGTCGAGACCCACATCCTCATCAAGTTGGAAGTCGGCCTCTGTTGGCCCCGGAACAGTAACCTCTCCAAAATCGAAACCTGCATCAACCACGAGTAATACACCACCAAGGCTCGTCCCTAGCAATCGTCGTCCTATTGTGGCTCCCACTGGAGCATCTATCACTACTTCTCCTCCTAAACGGCCAACACAAGACAGTAGCTCTCCTGGAAGTAAGTCCATACCATCGAGAGCAAGAGCGCCATACGTCGCCGAAGGCAAAGAAAATGCAATTGCTCATCTTTTCGCCAATACCAAACCTGTGCAAGGAGACAATCATGGTGAGCTCATTGAAGAGCCTCCCATTGATTGGCAGAAACCCGCCCCTGGAATGGATATAACAGAGGTACGCAATGAGTTTGGACATACGGAACTATACAGGCAGCAAAACCCACCCAGACCTAGTCCACCCGTGAAGGGTCTTACACCCATCGACCGAACACAATTGGAGCACCGTGTATCAGCAAGCGACGCAGAAATGACGGCTCAGTGCAAGAACGGCGCGGTCCTGCCGAGAGAAATGGGGTTCTTTAAACCTCCTATGGATGAATATCCTGAGAGACCTTTGACACCTTTGACAGAGGTGCCACATATACCAGTACGTGAAGTTCGGGCGGACTTGAAGCAAGCACGTCGATTTGTTGCACAGAATCTGCCAAACTTCAGACGCAACAGGCTGGATGTGCTCATGCTTCGAAAATTGAAGAATTATGTCGAGTCTCATCCAGAAGACCTTATCGACGACGCAGGCACTTACAACCAGCTTTTCGAAAACCTGTGCTATGCCATTAGCAAAGCAGACGATCTCGGAGATGACGAGAATCAGCGCAGGACCCTGTATTCTCGAACACTTGTCTTACAACTTACGAGGATGCTGCTCGAGAAGTATCCTGCATATGCCTGGCCTTTCTGGTCTACTTGGATCAAATGCATGATATGGTACAGGTGCATCTTGGACACGGACAACGCAGACAGGCAAGTCCGGTATCTTTTCGAAAACATCAACTTTTGCATCAATCAACACCCTGAACCTTTATCACTTATTGATAGTGTCATGGCCGCCATCAAAGAAGGCGAGTCTACTTTACTCAAAGCTGTCCACGACGAGGAGACAGCTACTCAAAGTGCTCGCGAGCAGGAAGATCTTGCTTTTGATAGTATTGACAGCAACCGTGAATTGCCAACTACCACCACTGAAGCTTCGTTGGACGAGCACAGCTCTTGGAACCCTTACTCTATCAGAAGCCATATGAAAGTGATGGCAGAGATCACCGCCAGCATATACGATGTCGAGAATGCCAAGCATATGAGGGGATATATGATCAAGGCACTTAACGAGCACAATATCAAAACCATCGACCACGAGCGTCCTTATCCTCGGGCTCTACCACAGCTGATTGCCACATCTCTTGAAGCTCTTACAGATATTCTCATCCGAGCCAATATTTTGACTAATACTCTGGACAAGGCCGATGAGACAAGACTATTGGAATTTGCAGAGTACTGCCTAGGTCAATACGACTATATGATCAAGAAGCCTGTCATTGGTTATGTCAAGGCTCTCTACAGTATTATGGAAGACCAGAACACATTCTGGGCTTATTTCGAGAACGAAAACGAGACGGAAAACGGACAACAGAACAAAGAAGAAAAAGCGAAGCGACAGACGTATCGCAACTTGTTGGAGTACTATATCCATACAAGTCGGCGGTAAAGGAACGCCATATCCATGTTGATGAGTGTATTATTAGTTCATTTGAAGGCAATTGTTGGCAGGAAGACACTGTATTGATAGTTTTGGCCATACATGTAGCAGGCTCATGATCCTGAACGTGGCGTATTATAGTTGCAAAGAACTTTGAGAACAACTTCTCGCTGCCTTTCCATCAATACATCACTATGTTGTATCGCGTGGCTGTCTGAAAGTGAAATGCCTGGGGCAGCTTCGCTGGCAGCACTTCAACTTGAACTCTGTAAAGTAATTGATCTTTCCCTAAGTCCTTTTTGCTCCAACTATTTGGCGTCGGTACCATGAGCCAGCTAAACGATTGATCTTAACATAGATTTTTTTTCTTGACTGCTCCCTTCGAACCTGCGAGCATTGCACGCACGACTTAGTCATACTGCCAAATCGCAAATACCTATCTCGATCGAAGCGAACTCGACTACTCCCCGCGCATCCGGCTGTGTGCGAGCTTGCATTCACTTTCTCGAGGCTGGCTTGCACATAGCGTTCGCGACTGGTGATCCAGATGCTCTTGCATCATGACACAAGCATCACCACAGATACAGCTACATAATCTTTCGTCCTCTGACGGCTCTGCCTCATACATTTCTCCATGCTCTCTGCAAAGAATAATAGCAGGAGTCAACTACCCTCTCGAAGTATCCTACCGCAGCAAAGAAGTCCCAGACGACACATATATAGAGGTCAACCTACGTCCTCATAATGCTGTGGCAGGAGTCAAGGAGCATCATGTCGAAGAAGTCGTTAGGAGGGTGTTGAAGAGCATGATTAGAGGCGAGGAGACCCCACGGACGATGCTGCAGTGTACTTTACAGGTTATGGAGGTGGAAAACGACGAAAGTTTACCTGGTGGTGTAAAAGGTGGTGGACAGGGTGAGAGTTATCTGGAAATGCTTTGTGGAGGGCTCAATGCTGCGATTCTGGGTTGTTTGGATGCTGGAGTGCAGATGCGGACTGTGGCAGGAGCAGTGCTCGTGGCTGTGAGTAAGAGCAGGGAGACCAATATATGGCCAAGCTTGAAAGAGAGGAAGATGGCTAAAAGCTTGCATGTGTTCGCGTATGGACGAAATGCTGAAATGTTGCTGTGTGAGTCGGAAGGAGAGTTCATTATGGATGAGTGGGAACGGGCTGCAATGCTTGCTAAGCGCGCTGTACTGGGGACAGATGATGCAGGTCAAGATGGGGATGTTGAAATGGCAGGGGAGGACGACGGCCGATGTCTGATGAGCGAGATCAGAGACGCAGTACAAGCACGAGTCGTCAGAGATGGTATGGGGGGAGACCAATGACACTACACGATGAATTGACGAGATTATGATACCCATGTATTACTAGGACAGGTAGCAGGAGGGGAAAGGACTGTGTCTTCAGTGCCAGCGTCCATTCGTGACCAGCGACCATAGTCCCATGAACCCGTTGAGCTCGATATACTGCTACGCGAGCACTGCTCAAGCGCGCGCATGTACATTAATGTTTTGCAACTGCAGCCGAGAATGCATTATCTCTGGCATTCTGCCATATCTCCTACCTGAGGGTGTCATCGTCAATCAATGCAAAAGGCTACTGCTCGGAACTATCACTTGCACTCCGTACCGTGTTCGACGACCAATATGTATCATATAGCCGCCTGGTGGCAATTAGGATGGTATCACATTTGAGTCTTGGCGCTGTCGCAAAGAGGTCGCATAGAATTCTGCGGCAAAGAGCGCTTCCGCCTTCCTTCGCAAAATGCTTGTCAAAGGGGTTCGGAGGTTTAGAGCTTTTGCAAGCGTTCGCAGAAGCCAACTTGAAGTGTGACACTTTCCGCCATTGGCGTGGTGAAGCTGTTCGTACCCCGTTCGAAACTTCCAACGTTCCGAAGGTTCGGCACCAGTCACGCTCCACGACGTTAGAAGTTTACAAAACATGACTTGAGCCTCCTGTTTGTCATGTGGTTTGGAGCGATATTCTCTGACCGTCAATATGTCTGGTCAAGGGGGTGCTCGTCTTCGATGGATATTACATGATGGCGGCCCCGAGCATGGCCTATATCACCTGCATAGATCCCCATGTCAATCACTATTCCGTGAATTACAGCAGTCAACGTTGACGACTGTCAATCGTGTGCCAATCCGAGCATCAGGAGTTCCGTCACTGTTGTCACCGAATCCGAGTCGCTGAGCAATCTGGGAGCAGCGCTGACCGAAGCCTGCATAAACTCCGGTAGCCGAGAAAAAGCACAGGATTAGCCGTGGATGGATTTGTACACGGAGGACCTGACCATGCAATTCCTTCCACAACCCACATCTCTTCCTAATGATATTGACATCACACCTCATGTTACGGACATCGTGCAAGTTGACAAGCACTCATTAGACGTCAACTACTCCTCCCTACAGGATGTAACACCTCCCCCTGCATATTTTTCTTTACAGCATCAATACCAACATGCAGCCAATCTAAATCAGGGAGGGGCACTTGCTGCTTCGACACCTTCGACACCCGCCCTACAACATGCGAGCACCATGGACTCGTCCATAGCAAAAGCAAAGTCGACCTTGTCCTCCATGTCTTTCATGAACGGAGACCGCAGAACATCGCGCACACGTAGTGTTGGCGACATCCCTCGTCAAACCATCATCAAAGCCATGGCATCGAGACAGCAAGGCGTCTCAGTCACCAGTGCTGGTCTTGGTCTGCACAGCTTCTCCTCTATGTCTCAAGCCCTACAGGAAACGAGCTCGCCCTCTTCGAAACAGCACTCTCCAACTTTGGCAGCTGTTCAAGCCACACTCAGCGCTATGCCTCCGATTACGATTCCAGGCGCGACACTCCCTGCCTCTTTCCTAAGATCGCCCTGCTTCTTTCATCAACGCTTTGAGGGCCTGGTGGACGTTCAAAAGGTCTTGGATGAGATCAATGAGGAAGAGTATAGTCACTCCCGTCTCATGCAGACCGCAACAGGAGTTCGGGAGGTCTCGAAGCAATTGCAACGCAAGCCTTTGAAGCGTGCGGTCAAAAGTGTTATGATAGTCACAAGAGCAAGAGATAACTCTCTGGTTCATCTCACCCGTGATTTGACGGAGTGGTTACTTTCCTGCCCAAGATATGGTCAAGGTATTGGTGTAAATGTCTATGTTGATGCAAAGCTCAAGCACTCGAAGCGCTTCGATGCAGCTGGCCTTACTGCCAAAGACCACCGCTTCCAGAAAATGCTCCGCTACTGGACTCCTGACCTCTGTTGGAGCAGTCCAGAAAAGTTCGACCTCGTGCTAACGCTTGGTGGTGACGGTACTGTGCTCTTCACATCCTGGCTCTTTCAACGTGTTGTACCACCCATCCTGTCGTTCGCACTTGGCTCTCTTGGTTTCCTTACAAACTTCGAATTCTCAAAGTACAAAGAGACCCTAAATTCGATCATGGGTGATGCCGGTATGCGTGTCAATCTTAGGATGCGGTTCACATGCACAGTCTGGCGCAAAGACACTCGACCAAACGCAGAGAAAGGGGCCGTCGAAGAAGGAGAACAATTCGAAGTCCTAAACGAGCTTGTCATCGATCGAGGGCCAAGTGCCTACGTCAGTAATCTGGAGTTATACGGCGACGATGAGCTCTTGACCGTAGTTCAAGCCGACGGCTGCATCTTCAGCACACCCACCGGAAGCACAGCATACTCTCTATCAGCTGGTGGCAGCTTAATACACCCAAGCATACCAGCAATCCTACTTACACCCATCTGCCCCCATACCCTCAGCTTCCGTCCAATGGTCCTAAGCGACGCACTCTCATTGCGCATCGCGGTCCCCAACCGAAGCCGCAGCTCAGCATACTGCTCCTTCGACGGCAAAGGCCGCATAGAACTCAAGCAAGGCGACTACGTCACTCTCGAAGCTTCTCAGTACCCGTTTCCTACCGTCATGACCGGCACAAATGAGTGGGTTGAGTCGGTTCAGCGAGCACTGAGGTGGAACGTCAGAGGCGCAGAGCAGAAAGGGTGGGCGGATGGCGTTGATGGGGAAGACGATAAAGAGGAGCAGGAATGGGATATTGATATTGGCGATAGTAGTGGAGTTTATGCCGAGACGGATTCTGGTATCGATATGTCTGAGGAGGGGAGCACGAGAGGCGGGACACAGAGTCCAAGTAGGAAGGGGACTTTGAACCTGTTGAATATGTGAGTGGGTAGGCCGGTTGTGCCTGGGATAGGAACTCCGGGAGGCGAATGAGCATCAGAAGCATCAAGGATAGAACGACGTTACAGACTTTAGCGGTGGGCAGGGCGTACAAATTGGCACAGTCGGGACAAATATGGGGCGTTCAAGGGAGCACGGTTGTGATGGACTATTTTTTGCACAAAGGTTTAGATGGTCCGGTGGTGGATGCATCGATTCTGTACCTTGTCGAGGTATCAACCTTTTTCAAGATCTAAATCTAAACACGACGGAATTCGCTATTGACTCTAGGGCTGAACTGCTTCGCCATCTGATTGCCTTGCGACGAAAGACATGGTGTGCCGAGCTTCAATGAGACCAGCATCGTTTCTATATGATTGGCTTGCACCTCTGATTCTTTACACAGATACGATCGTGGGGTGCAATGAACCACGTTGCAGCTCAATGACTGTAAAACCTTATGCTTCAACCAGGAATCAAGCTCAACTGTCGTTTGATAGCTTCTGATTCCCGCTGAAGATAAACCTTGAGTCGATCGATGAACGATTGTCCGTTCCAGTATTCGAAGATCTCGGTGAATACTTTTGTTCGATCGAGGTTCGGCACGCCGTGCTGCTCGATGACGAAGCTTGCCGCAACAGTGGCGTAGATCATCGCTGTTGCAACGGTGCTGGCAGTACCGATGTTTTTCTTGATCAGTGCGTAGGTCGGTTGACTCTGCAAAGCGTCCGTCATAGCGATGGCTAGAGCTCCGAGATATGTGTTACCGCCTCCTGTTGGGTCGATGACCAGGCTTTGCATTTCCGAAGTGTGGTATGCTGGAAGATGAACACTAGATATCGTGTCGGTGTGGCGGTGATGGAAATATGCTGTGCTGCCATTGGCTCCTTCCCGAACTATAGGGGTGGTCAAGGTGCTGGGAGACTCGTGGGTCTGCTTCCAACCCATTAGTCGCTTGACCAGGAGCGCCGGTTCTTCATTGTTGGCTACGTCGGCATTGAAGAACGTTTTGAGCTCCTCGTGGTTGGGGCTGACGATGGTGCACCCTTGCATTGCAGACTGCAGAGTGGCCAATTGATCAGGCAAACAAAGGTCGGGGATAGGTTCCCAGACGATGACAGGCATTTGAGCTGGCAGGTTGATCTTCTCCCTGCTAGACTGCAGCTTTGCTGTGATATCAATGCATCTTTCAGGTGAACAAACCATGTGAAAAGACTTGCTGAGCAGCTGTCTCGAGCTCAAGTCCTGAACCTCCAATCTCTTTTTGGGAGTGATGTATTTGAATGATCTGAGCTCATTCTCTCCATAGCCATTCCAGGCGCGAGTGGTAAGTCTTGTGTCGTCGACGCGATAGTTACAGTCTGTGTTCCATTCGTCGATGTTGTTTCTGATCACTGAAGGGAAGTCCGAGCCTACATCAACAATCCAGGATATGTTCTTAGAGATGATTTGACAAGGAGAAGAGGCCAACTTAGCACCAAGGACAGCGTATGTTCCAGCCCCGCCTATGAGGTTTGTTTTTCGCTCCTTTGTGCTTGGTGGCAGCCATTCGATCTCGTCGACTATGAACATGCCAAACGTGACGAAGGAAGCTGGTTTCGTGGCCATCACCTGCCACCTCTTGTGTTACTATGTGGACGAATGTATGTGACTTCTGACCGATGTGTCAATCGTTCACGCCTTAATGTTAGCTCACGGAATATGCAACGCGAAGACGACAGCTACATCTGCAACAAAATGCTCAGTAAGTGGTGTAATGAGGTCGTAAAACTACCTTGACCAAGACGCTAGCCGCTGATGAGAGCGACATGCACACTACAAAACGGCAAAGCTGTATTGAGTGTGTCGGTTCATTGCGAGACCAGTATTTGCGTACTTATTGTCGTATACTGGTAGTCAGTGACCATGTGAAGCATTTCTGCACTCATTGTGAAGTGGTAATGGTTGTTGAGTTTTGGAAGCAGGTAAAGATTCACGGAGTTATGGGCAAGGTTCCACAAGGCAGGACCCTTGTCAAGACGGGACGCCGAAGCATGGAGTGCCGATCGCAGCAGGTCCTGGCATTTATTTACATTGCAACTGCTACTAGTACCTTGCGAACACAACTGAGCACAATCGCATTGCATATTCTGTCTACTGATCTCAAATTCGCTCTTTACAATGGCTGACCAAAACAAGATGCATAATTTGACAACGTTGATCAAGAGGTGCGTTGCTTCCAGAGCTTGAGATGCTCTTGCTCATCGTACTTCAGGCTCGAAGCTGCCACGTCCCGGTTGGAGGATATAGCAGGCTCCGTCGATGGTGCAGCACCAAACGCACTTCAAGCTGCTAACAGTAGAGGAACTGAGACCTCAAGCGTGGCGGCGCAATCACAAACGACCATAACTCCCATCCCCGAAGAGAAACCAGCAGAACCACTACCTAGACAAATAGAAGAGTTTGATGGGCTTATAGAAGGAGATGTCGCAGCTTTCGTTCAAGCAGCGGCTCAAATAGGAGGTCTTCCAGAGCAACAAGTAAGAATTTCCGAAGCTGCAGTAGAGTCCAATTGACACGTCCAGGCCAGAGCCGTACAGAGCGCATTCCAAGCAGAACGAAACTTCCTGCTCATGACTACCAAGGCGAAGAAGCCAGATCCTATGAAGCCGGAAATTATTGCTGAGATTCACAAGTATATTTCGGAGGTTGACGAGCTTAAGGAGACGAACAGAGCCTCACCATTCTTCACCCACCTGAGTATGGTTTCGGAAGGAATCGTTGGTCTGGGATGGATCATGGAGACTAGACCTGCCGACTATGTAGTCTCGGCTTTAGGCGGTGCTCAGTACAACGGCAACAAAGTGCTTAAGGAGTACAAAGAGAAGTACGTAGTTCCATGAGTGATGAGAGTAACGCTGACAGTTCAAAGGGATCCAAACCACGTCAAATATGTTCGAGCTTATGAGAAGGTCTTCAAGTCGTTGGCTACCTACTGCAAGGAGCACTTCAAAACTGGTCTGACATGGAACAACAAGGATGGCATAGATGCTATGGAAGCTCTAAACCAGATACAGTCAGGTGCTCAGACTCCAAAAGCCAGCCAACAAACCAGCGCAGGAGGTCCTCCGCCTCCACCACCGCCACCTCTGCCAGTGTTCGACGACAACGGCATCCCTGGCCCACCACCTCTGCCTGCTGCTGCAACGGCCGCAAAAGGCGGCGATATGACGGCTGTGTTTGATCAGCTAAATCAAGGTGATGGAGTTACGAAAGGCCTCAGAAAGGTCGATAGATCAGAAATGACACACAAAAATCCTTCTCTAAGAGCCGGCAGCGCTGTGCCACAAAGAAGTGCATCCCAGACATCATTAGGCTCCGGCCGATCGAAATCACCCATGCCCGCCAGAAAGCCAGAGAGCCTAAAGGGCAAGAAACCGGGAAAGAAAGAGCTTGATGGTCAGAAATGGATTGTAGAGAACTTTGATAACACTGGCAACGAGATCATCGAGATACCGGCAGAGCTTAACCACAGCATCCTCATCACAAAATGCACCAAATGCATCATAAAAGTCAATGGCAAGGCAAACGCGATCTCTATCGACAATTGCTCAGGCCTGTCTATACTCGTCGAATCTCTGGTGTCGAGCATAGACGTTATCAAATCGCCGAAATTCGCGATTCAGGTCGATGGGGTTTTGCCAACTATCATGCTAGATCAGGTTGATGGAGGTCAAATATACCTTCAAGAGGCAAGTATGAGGGCTCCGCCCGAGATCTTCACCAGCAAGTGCAGCTCGATCAACATCGTCACGCCTCCAACCAACGATCAGGACGACAGCAAGGAATCACCCTTGCCTGAGCAGCTGAGAAGCTACTTTCGAAATGGGAGGTTACACACCGAAATTGTGGAGCATGCTGGTTAGCAGTTTCTCAACCTTCAGCTTTGCATTGGATCATAGACTGGCTGTGTTGTACAATAGACATTTGTATCAACATTCAGAGATCAACAGGGTGTTTGGTTTCAATTTCTGCACACATATATAGCCCCCAGTTGTTTTAGATCTACTACCTAGAAGGAATTTAGGAGGAGTCGATTTGGGCAAGTAGGCCGAAACCTCGTGTATCACCTCTCGACGTGTTCTTTATTGTTGCACTTGTCCCTTGACATGTCATGGGAATATAACAACGCATCTGCATCGTCGTGATGCTGCCTTCGTCATGTCAACGAAGCCAAAGCAGCCCATCAAAGGCGAGTACATCGAGACAGAAACAGGCAACAAGATCTCCCGCCAAGCACAAGTTGTAGGCGCAAAGCACATCGTCCTAGCTGGGAAATGCGTAATCCAAGCTGGCACAATTATCCGTGGTGACCTAATACGACCTCCTCAGCAACCAAAACCGTCTGACAATCTCGATCCAAAATCTGCTGCGGCAAAGAAACCATCTCAGCCCAGTTCCGTACATCTAGGTCGCTACGTCTTCGTAAGCCCGAATTGTACCCTTCATCCACCAAGCCGCCTCGATCGTGGCAGTAGTACGAGCGATGGAAAACAGCAATTGATCTACTACCCGTTACGGATCATGGACTATGTCTTCATTGGTCCAAATAGCAATATTAGAGCAGCTGAGATTCGGTCAAATGTCCATATTGGCAGTAATGTTAATGTTGGCAATTTTTGCGTTATCAAAGAGAATGTAAGAATTCTTGATGGAGCCGTCTTGCCGGCAGGCAGTGTTTGGGCTAGCAATAGTGTTGTTGCAGGAGCGCCAGCGAGAGTTGTGGGGGAACTCGCTGAAGCTTGGGGAGGTGGGTCGAGCGTAGGTGGAAATACAGGTGGTGACGAGCTTGTTGGTGTCAGGAGTCGAGAGCGTTGGGCTAGTGTGGGGAACAAGAGATGAGCACAGATTAAGTCGACCTGTTGCTATTGGAGCATTTCTGGACATGAGCCGTTGGACTCGATTTATCCTTCTTGCTGGTAGGAACATCACAGCTTGCGTTGGATGATATGCCGAGACTGCTGGAGAAACTCCTGACTACATGAGCTCAATATGGATGGGAAGAGCTGGTGGAAGAACTACTGTACGATGAATTTCGAAGGATGCCCATTCGATGATAGCAGGTGGAATACGGCGGTGCGGTCCAACCCTCTCAAAGCCAACCATATATCTACCACCACTCGGCCGAGATTCCTCGTCTCATTTCGGGAGGACTTCCAAAGCTGTATTTTCGAGCTATAGATCTTGGTGAACTCAGGCGACCAGCTCTGCCAAGGAGATAACGCCAAGTCAAGAGTATTCCGACGCACGGATTTTGTGCTGATTGGCTAGGCAATCACTGCACCATCAACTGCGCACCATATACCCCAAGTGGGCAAGGCGTAAAGAGAGTGGTTCAATTATAGCAATTATGATCTACGACTAGGTTGTCGGTGACTAAGCGATACGTCGAATCATATATGCAAGACGCTACGGAAAGTATCATGACTGCGACCACAAATTTTGTTATGGAAGAGGCTCTGGCTTGTGCACAGCCTCTACAGGTTGACCTGGTCCTGGAACAGGCAATGATGAGTTGGGCCTGGCTAAAATACTTAAGGCCATGATTCTAACTCTGTTGACCAACCTACGTCGAATTTGCATGTTGATGGTGATCCAGGACTATTAACAGAATCTCCACTGCACAACTCTACAGCCATCAACAGGTGGGAGACAAGAAGAGCAGCATGTCGTTGCGCAATCTCTTTTCATCTTCCTCAAGCTCACAATCAAAACCGACTCCATTTCTTACCTTCATCGGACCATCTCCATCATCGTCCTCACTCTCATCTCTCTTCTCTTCGGCAAACACTGCCAGCACAATTTCCATCTACAACGCCGACACAAACACTACGATACCTGTCTTCACCGTCTACACCTCCAAACATACCAAGCCGAACCTCGTCATCAACCGTATTTTACCCAACAACGCCGAAGCGCCATTCGCAACTGGCACCTTCTCTTCCATGTCTGGTAATATAGCCATATCGCTCTACAGTCGCACAGGTCAAGAAATACCAATCACGATGGAGTCAGATTGGGCCAGTGCAAGCTCTCGCACGTTTCAGTCGTCGATGGGCAATTTCAGGTGGAAGCACCAAGATAGTGGATTGGGATACAAGATGGTTACTGATGATCAGGAGAGGAGGAAGCTAGCGACTTGGCAGGAGATGAGTGGTTCTGGCTCAACGACAGGCTATCCCAGGCTCGAGTTTTATGTGCAGCCTGCGAGTGACGAGTTTGTCGAGATGGTGCTTGCTACTGGATTGGCGGCGATGAAGGCAGATGAGAAGGAGGCTAAGCAGGTTGGTAATATCTTCGAAGCTTTGGCCGGAGCGTAGTAGCAGCAGCTCGAATTGAATGAGAACGTATTTCTCAATAGCTCTCGGCAATTTGTTTATGCAAAGCCACCTCCTATCACGCCATTGATACCCTTTGTCGCACTGGATCTGCTGACTTTAATCTTCGCTGGCTTGACTAGCTTTCCGTTCGCGTCATAAACCGCCGGTTTCTTCTCCTCAACAGTATGACCCAAGCCATAGAACGTACCTGCTGCATCCTTCTTCGCTTGTTCTGTTTTACCCTTGTACTTCCAATTCCAAATGCATTGAGCTGAGCTAAGCTGTGCCACCACGTGCTGCCCACGACCTTTCGTATTGCTGACTTCATGTCATAGCTTCGTCCTCTTCGTGGAACAGAAAGTCTACGTTGAGACCATGATTGTCCGGATCCTCGTTACTGTGTTTTATATGCAGCGGACTAAGGTCGAAGGTCATTTCGTTCTCTTTCGTTGAGTCGGTATCGACGTCCTTCGTCAAAGTCGACTCACCCTTTGCACAAGCACGAGTGGCGGCCTCTTCGATCGCCTGCATCCGCTTCCTGACATTGGCTTGGGTTGCAAGATCACTGGATTGTTGACGCTCAACGGCAATGCGCTTGTCTTCCACTAGCAACTTCTTCTCGTTATCACTCAGCCAGTCGTGGTTGAATTGCACGAACTTTTCACATCCAGAGATAGGGTCCGCTTCGACAAGAGCAAACCGTGCAACAACCGGAATCTGTGCAGTGCCGCGGTCATCACTAGCAAATTCTCTGGACTGGAGAAAGAATTCACGGAGAGCACAAGCATTGTTGACCAAGACTTTTTTGCCAATCGCGATATACCTCATTCCAACTCTATGCAAAAATCCTGGAGGTTGGCTTGACATGTATCTATAGCCTTTAGCAAACGTGACTTCATACCCAATGATCGCGATTGACTTGTGCTTGATACTGATGCCAATTTCTCTGCCAGTCTTGCCAAAATCGATGTCATTGACAATCAAGTTACTCAGTTGAGCTGGATGGCTAAACTTGTCTAGGGAGATTTTGAAGATCTTGGTGGAGGTGAAGGTGGGAGTGTAGCCGTAGAAGCCGCAGCTGATCTCGATGTTGAGATCGGAAGGACCATGGGCTGCAGGCAGAATATCGTCAACGCGTGCTTTTGCGTAGGGAACTGTCTGCTCGTCGAAGATTTCAGTGACAGCTTTGTCGGAGTCATGCTCTACTTGAAGGGCGAAGAGACGCTTTTGGATCTTGTCCTTTACTGCCTTCAGCTGAAGCTGCTTGTGGTTTTGGTCGTTGAGGTAAGCAGTTTTCTTGTCGAGCTTCTTGGTAGGCTTCTCCTTGGCACGTGATGCGAGACGAGACTTCACGATGGGGTTAGTGCTCAGATGGACAAAACGACCTGGATTTTTTGGATGGTCAAGTGTCGGAAACGCTGGAAAGACTTGTTTCTTGACAGGGATGGCGGCTGCAGCCAATAAATCTGGAAGAAGCTCCTTCCCTTTATTCTTCATCGCATCTTTGAGATGGCTCGTGGGAGCTGATCGGCTGCCAATACGACCAGTATGCATAGGTTTGAGAAGATCGTTGCCGCGCATCGACTTCCTCTTGTCATTGTTCACGTTGCTTTGTTTGTTCTTGGATGCCATGATCGGACAAGGAGGACAGTAGATGGAGCACGGCAAAAGAGCTGTAAGATTGCTATTTGAAGGGTTACAAGATATGGACTTACAGTGCCAACTATTACATTAAGATACGGGCCAGCTAGTTTGCTCGGAGCGAACTTCACTCGTAGTGTCACGTAGTGATATTTTCGACATCGGCACTGACACTTTGCTAGAAAGGGGCATCATGTGGGTGATCTAGCACAGTATTACTCACCAGCATCCTTGGACTTGGCGTAAAACAATGCAAGAAGCTGATCATCTGTTACGTTCATTTTGAGCCGCACAGTTGAGCAACGACTGTGGTGGGAAAGGCAGTGCAATTCTGAATCTAGAAAGTGAACAGATTTTCGGCTTAACTCCGGCTAAAGGCTGGTCCTTGCAGTGTCCATCGTCTCTTTGGCATTTGCGTCAGTATACCATGTGGCCTTGATTCTGCTCCTACTGGACGTCCATCTAGTTAAACATAATATCTTTCCGTATGATCTCATGCATCACAGGTTGCAAGAATGGATATCAACTCTAGGGCTGAGCCCACAAGTAGCACAAATCTTCAAACTGACCCAAATTATCTGACTTTGTCTCGCATGCTCACTCGCTACCAGAACCTGATACTACTTACACCGATCCCAGATGCGAAGCTCGAAGCCAGACTAGCTCCATGGCAGAAGAAGGTGCAGGCCGAGCTGTGGTCGCCACTACCTTTTCATCGTCTGCAATGGCTACGCAGTATCGAAGGAGCGCGATCGTTATTACTCAAGTTAGAACAAAGTGCACAGAGCATTAAGGTGCAACGTACCAGGAGAGAAGTAGTCAGAGATCTGGCTGAGAAGAGGACAGTGATCAAACGCCTGCGAAATCGCGTCGAAGAGATTGGAAGAAGTGTCGAGGCTGAGGGTAGCCAAAAACATACATTCCAATATGTGGATGACGGGCAGAGCGAGACGATGTATGATGTCCTGCAACAGATACGAAGAGAGAATGGCCGATCACAGGACGACGTTCAGTCTCCATCAGCGGAGGCAGACGCATCGGAAATACAAACACACGTGCAGGAACAGGGAGACATACGGAAGCAGCTCCTCGATTCCAATTCCAACATTCGTCGACGGCAGGGTAAAGATCCGGACAGCAACGCTGCGTCGAAAGGGATATCGTCAGGGTTTGCGAATCTGGGAGGAACCGAAAATGCTCTGCTTGCCTCTTCCAGAGAACACGAAGACATCACCACCTCGCTCGTGAGTATGGCCGCCCAGCTCAAGCAACAAGCACGACAGTTTCAATTCACACTTGATCAAGACAAAGGCTTGATTGACAGAGCGCTCGAAGGTCTTGACCAAAACGTGTCGGCTATGGGTCTTGCAAGCAAAGGAATGAAGACCTTACAGCGCATGAGTGAGGAGCAAGGCTGGTGGGGTCGAATGAAGCTACACGCATTGATATTTGGCCTGTGGACTGCGGCTATTCTCTTGGTCTTTGTCGGTCCGAAGTTAAGGTTCTGATATAATGATGAGCTGGCCCATTTCAGTCTTCCGCCGTACGTCTGACACGACTCAAACTTGACCATTCAACAGGTTGACCGCGAGCTCGTTCTCCTGGTTGGTTTGTTGTCTCGTTAATATCACCGTGAAGCCTTGCGTGTTTGGCAGCATATGTGCAATCAATGATGCTCAACAGCTGTTGAATACTGGCGTGCGTGGCGTTCTCCTTGTTGGTTCGTGTCACTACAGATTTGACGAAGGTCAAGATGGTCTTTCTCCAGTCTCTGACCATTGCATCCGCCCAAATCTATCAAGCATAGTCATCACTGATCAGCCATGGCTACTACAACTGCCATATCGTCTTCTGCCGCACCTACCACTACTGTCGTGATCTATTCGGCTCACCCTGTTGAACCTACACAAACAATTATTGGAGACGGCACGGTATCATCGTTGTTGCCTTCTCCATCTCAAGCCACTCAAAACAAGTCGTCGATTACCACAAGTACAGGGGCGCTTGGACCATCGAACTGTACTGCTTACTATTACACTGTTGCAGTTGAGTCCGCTCTGCTAGGAGTTCTACTATTGTGTGCTCCTATCTTTTACCTTTACAAGCCAAGGTGATGGAAGAAGAAGGGCACCGCGTCACAGGAGAGCGAACTTGCAGAATCGAAGAACCACCTACTTGAGAGGGATGGACAAGTGAAAGCTTCATCTCGGATGTCATCAGAGAGGCAATGAAGTGGCTTGATCTGCTCTGGGTGTTGTCAGTGATTATAGCTGGGAAAATCGATCAGAATTGTTCCAACAGCGAAACCTGTCGTGGTGCTGGTCTCATCAAACACGACGAAGACGTCCAATCTGGTATCCCAGTGACAGACTTGTTATCTGCTCGGCAAGAATTAAGGCGATAGTGTAACGATAATTCGTCAGTATCACTTCTCCTTCAAGATGCTTGCTCGAGGGCGTCCACTCAGGCGATATATCGCAGGCAGGCGTGGAAGGAGGATGCGTGTGGCTTTGTCTCATGGCATGTGCAGTGTGGTGTACGGACGTCCACCTGATCCGTCGCTTTTTCTTCTCAATGGAACGTGGTTGCATCCCTTTTTTTGTCTATTGAAGATGACGTCACAGCGCTTTACGCAAGCCTTGAATGTTCTAGTATCTCACGCCTGCTTATTAGAGTCCGCTCAATCTCCCCCCACTTCTTGATCAACTTCACATTTTATATCCACATCCACGTTCTCAATCCACAACTGTCTAAATCGATCCCAAAATGTCCAGTAACGACAACACATCGACTCTCAAGTCCTACGTGGACTCTGCCACCGGCGCAGTTCAGTCGGGCATTGCATCTATCACTGGTAGTGCTGGCGATCGAGCCAATGCTGAGCGAAGCAAGGCCAAGGCAGATGCCGAGAAGGATCTGTCCCATTCTGCGGCAAAGGCAGGACCCTTTACCATCAGCTCATCGGGCACACCAGCCAAAGATAGCTCAGATCGAACCGAAGGTCAATGGGACCAAACAGTCGGTAGCGTCAAGGAAGCTGTTGGCAATCTAACAGGAAGTGAAGATCTAAAACAACAAGGCCGAGAGCAAAACATGCAAGGCCAAGGTCAAGAGGCCAAGGGACAATTGAACGACCTTGGCCAAGGCCTCTCAGATAGAGTTGGAGGCACTATCGGTTCTGCCTACGCTGGTCTGACCGGAAATCAGGCAGCCCAACAAGCTTACCAAGATCAACACGTAAGTACCCGGCGCGGTTCCTATTGTGTATCACGACGCTGACAACAAACAGGATCAGGGCAAGACTCGCCAACGCGGTGTTGAGGTTGACTTGCAGAAACAGGCTGGGGCTGAGCGCAAGTAGGGGACTAGCAAATATAGGTATTGGCCTTTGAGAAGGGCTGAGGAGGATGGAGTGTCGACAGCAGCCACCAGACTGATCACTACATATATGTTGTCGTATCATGATACCCGAGAATAGATCGTTCCTCTCTGACACATTGTTTTATACTCTTAGGCTTTTATAACCTACACTCCAGCGTGGCCCTAGTTTGACTGAGATGTGCTCAACGTTATGTTGCCGTTTGTCGTCTACATCGCGCGTTTAGCTCGGCCACTAGCATTCCTTCGCCGTTGCCTGCGGCGGCCCACCTTCCGAATTGTGGCCGCAGTAGAGTGGTGGGCTCGAGCGAGGTCGTCGTCTTCTCAGCACTATGGCTACAGTGCCTCAGAAAACGTTGAATTGGTTGTGGGGCGTTCTACAAAAGGTCAGTGACTCCAAACAAGGGCCAGGCTTATACTGACGAGCTCCAGGAATATCGCGATCCTCAGCGAACATATTCCGACCTCGCGCAAACACTGGGACAATATCCTGGCTTTGCACCTCGCACAGATGTATACAGTATGTCCTCGAGCTTCGCCTATACCTCCTTCAATTCGACACTAAGAACTCTGTGTAGCTTACGAGAACGGTGTGGCAGCATTATTACTGCATCTCAATGGCACTATTCCCGTCAACTTTCGGGGCACTCAATATCGATTTCCGGTAGCAATATGGATGCCGCACGCCTACCCTCGAGAGTCGCCGATCTTCTACGTAACTCCGACTGATGGTATGGTTATTCGACCTGGGCAGCATGTGAGCCCTTCAGACGGCAGGATATACCATCCATACCTTGCAAGATGGACGGAAGCTTGGGAGGTACGTTAGCATTTGTAGATGGTACTATCAGCTGATTGAGGTAGAGGTCAAGCGTTGTAGACTTTCTGAGAATACTGGCGGACATATTTGCAAGAGAACCGCCTGTCATGGCGAGACCTAATAATCAGGCACAGGCACAGGCACAGGCACGATTTGCTTCGCAACCACAACCACCTCCTCGACCACCCCTCCCAAGCGTGCAACAGCCACCGTCGATCGGGCCACCAGGTCTTGTATCTGGCCCTCCGCCTCCGCCTCCGAAGTCCTCAAATTACATTGATGGCCCGAGACAGGAAGGCATCTCGAGATCAGACTCCCAGCGCTTCAGTCGGTATGACGGTCCTCCTTCCTTACCAGCTCCAGCTGCTACTGCTGGAACGCCCATCTTTGGCTCACCTCCGCCACAAGCCCCATATCAACCACAAGGACGAAGTGTTTCACGACAAAGCTACCACGGTCCGCAACAACATCCACCATCAGCTGTGTATCAACCTCAGAGGCAGTCAATAGCTGGTCCGCCAACGATATTTCATGCCCAACAGCTTGTACCGCAACAAGGAGCTCGACCGCCACAGCAGTTACAAGGCACGAACCTCCAGTCCTATCCACTTTCAACTTCTCAACAAGCACCGCAGCAAACAGTGTTTCAGCATCACTCTCAACAGCAAGCACCCTATCTGCCCCAACCACCACCGCCTTCATCAGCACCTATAGCGGAACCCAGACAACCAAATCTCATGGATGAATCACCCTTCGATGTTTCGCTTCCTGTGTCATCTGCAAACATTCCGACACCCACGATTCCTCCCAATCCTGAAAAGCAGCACATTCTCCAAACATTGCAAACCACCTTGCTTTCGAGTTTGCAAAACCAAATCACCCAGTCGTCCTCTGCTATCGCACCTTTGCAGGCCCAGAATATAGCACTACAGGCGGCTCATCACACCCTGCAGCAAGAGCTTGCTCAACTACAAGCTCAACATTCCCAACTTCAGCAAAACATTACGTCGTTGAACTCCACCATCGCAGCGGCTGATCGTACTATTGACAATGCACGCAATGCGTCCTCGCCTTCCAAGGTACCCAATATTGACGACCTAATCATTCCACCTACAGTCGTTGCACGGCAGCTCTATGATAACGTTGCTGAGCAAAGAGGCTACGAAGCAGCTATATACGCCCTGACTGAAGGCTTCGTAAGAGGTAGGATGTCCTACGACATTTGGGTCAGAAAAGCCAGAGAATGTGCCAGGGAGGAATTTAGGCGGAAATGGCTGGTCCGTCGTGTTGGCCGCGGCATGGGTTTGGAGATGGAAAACTAGTGCTGGCCTAGTCCCGACAGCAATTTGGTCGTTCGTGGGGAACTCTCGTCAAGCTAGGAACCGTTTATGGAAGCCACCGACAGACTCAAACACGCCGCAACTGACTTCTCCTTGGTGTCATTGTACACTATGACCAAACCGAACCTCGTGTGCGTGGCAACGCCGTTGGTTGCCTCGACGTTCTGATCGAACCGTATTAGCACTGCCGTAGTCTATAGGGCACCATGCGCGACCCGCCCCGAAGTCAATCTTTGTGATCCGAACTTTCCGAACCGTGGCCCATTGTTGTGAACAAGAAACGAAGGACAAGACGATAACAATAGACCTCTATTGTATAAAGACATCGATGCTCGACCACACGAACTGTTGTCAAAGTTATTAATTACTAAACACGATCCTCCATCTACAACAAAAGCTCAACAACACCAGAAAATGATGTTGACGAAGATGAGCGTGCTTCGTGAGAAGCGAGATACTTGCGATGTGTGCTATATGGCGGACAACGCTCGCGGACCATGCAAGCCAATACGAGATCTCGGATTGCCGTACACACCCGAATACCTGTCTCTCCCCATAACAACTGCTCACAAGGCTTGTGTCCAAAGATTTGTCATCCAGCAACTCAGACGTATTCGAGAAAGCGGCTACCAAGGAGTGACGCCCACCGTCCAGAAGGATAAACCCAAGATGCAGGCTCATCTTGATGATATGCCCGACAGCACAACCACGTCTGATGATGGAGAGCTCGAAGTCGAGACGTCCAAGAACAGTTCCACAACGACAGCTTCAGACCACGCAACGTCTGAAAGTTCTGCTTCAGAGACCAAAACAGATTACGACGATACCTCAACAGAAGCAGCTCCTAGTGAGAGTCAAGCTCAATCAGGGGTCATCGTGACTAACACAATGGAGCAGAAAGAAGCCTCGTCGGCGGCAGGGCAATCTAACGAGACCACCCTAGCTTTGAGTGAAGATGTTATATCATACTCTTCGTCTCTGAAGCCGGAAGCAGCAATATTTGTGTTCAACCCTAGAACAGCTGCGCCAGCTCTCAACGCTGCGGCTTTGCCGTTCTTCGCGCCATTGACCACATAGCTCAATCGATTCCGATGCAATCAAGACCTTTTCTCTTTTTTCTCTTATTTTGTCTTAATTTCTTTACAAACGCCACCACTCCAAATGATTCTCATGTTGCACTTCATACAAACTTTGCCAAATTCTCCACTTTTCGGACAATATGGAATGTCCCAGATTAGCATGACTTAGGATATGATTTTGTTGTTGGTCTCAGCAACAATGGCTAGTCTGAACTCCCCAGTCCATTGTCTTCGTCCTCCTTGCTGTCCACAAAGATACAGCTATCACCATCACTCATCTTTCATTCGAACCAGTAACGGTAGAGAGATATCATGCTAACAGCAATTAATACCGACAATTCTGCTGCCTGTCGAGTGAAGTCGAGGAGCCTGGCTGAAACTAAGAAGACGGTAAGTCCGATATTGCGTTGAGGTGTAAATACCGTATAGTTCTTCCTGACACCTAGTCGACACTTCAATGAACATGTTGCACCTGCACCATCTGCAGGCTAACAAAAAAGGACTACTTCAGTTTAATGTGTAATGACTAGAATCTTGTCGAAAGTCGATACCTCATGTTGTCTCGTTCCTTCTGATACATGATCTGTCTCGTTGTTCTGCTGGACCTTTATTCAATCTCTGAGTGCTAACCTGCCTGACCTGCTCGCTTCTTAACCTTTGAAAAATCACTGCCTACTTCTTCCAATAGATCATCACCTTCATCACGTTCAACCTTAATCTTCTTCTGAACAAACCACGCCATCACTCACCATGGAAGCATTCTCCATCCGCCAATACCAGCAACATCAACTTTTACAAGGTTCCATCGGACCAGAGTACTGCCCCTGTGGCTGTGGCCGGCGTTACAACTTAGGGACCCGTGAGGTCGATCCACCGACTGAAGGCCTTGATCTTGAGTCTTTGGGTGATGAGGTCGATAACGACCAGGGCTGGAGTGAGAGTGATTGGACCGGCGACTCTGGACAGGTATGGGAGGGGAAAGAGCTCTGTGATGGTTTGATTGGCGATCGCTACACCAGTGAGGTGTATCAGGAGGGAGAGTGGTATGAAGAACGACAGGAAGATTGGGGTCTGTCTGCTCATGGTGAAGAAGTGGAGGAGGGAGACGACCGAGGCTACGACTATTATGAGGATGGAATCTTCGAAAACGATTTGGCGGGACTGGAAGATGAAGAGCTGGAAGATGATGAGGAAGAAAGGGACGATAGTGAAGGTGAAGAGCAGAGTGAGCTTGACGACGATGATGATGACGAGGCTGAACATATGCAGCAGACGAGTTAGTGTGTTCCCCCAAGCAACCTGGATCAGTTGATGTGGTGAGCTGCAATATGTGATGACATATTAGACGAAGCATATCCTGCAAGCATCGGCTCTGGCGTACAATAGAAAATCGGCTTGGCTTGCCTTCATAGTAGAGAATGTCTCAATGCCTGCGATGAGCCTGGACGATACCGAATCGCGACATGGGTATTGAAGGACGATAACACAAGTGCAGGACGGAAAGGATTCGATGCCGAGGAGCCGATGTAGAAAGAAAACGAAAAATGCAAGCTCGAATTCACAATTTAGGTTGTCAACTTGTCACAACCAGACATACGATGACCTACCTTGGTCAAACTCACCGAGTTGCTATTGGATCTATCTCCGCACCTACATTTCTTTCATTTCCACCAGCCGAAGATAAAGCTGCTTTTTGGCGTCTTTGCAGTCCTATGCGACAACGTACTTTGTCGTCGCTGGTTCCAGTAAGTCAACTCCCTGAATGTGTAAGCTGTGTCAGGTGTATCGGGATACATACCGGCCATATTGAGCTGGCTAAAGGGAGTGTCACTGATATCACAAGTGCTTTGTTCGAGCTTGGCAGGTGCTCGATTGTTGACGTTAATAGGCGCCGGACGTTTTGAATGATATTGTGGTGATGGGTATGGTGAGGTGAGGGTGTCATTCGGCCCAGAAGCGTGAAGAGCGAGTGGCTTTGACGCGGGACCACGTATCTTCGCCTCCGTTTCAGTAGTGCCAGTTTTGGCTTCAGGAATTTTGTTAGGTGAGTTTGGTGGTATGGCAAAAACAGGTGTCAATGGGGAGGCAATCATATCCACCATTTCCATTGTTATGTTTGTTGTGTAGGGTCCGGCGCCGGGGTCGGCACCGAGCACGTACGGTAGGAGTTCGCTTTCATTTTTCAGTCGAGGAGAACGGATGGTCTCTCTGAACTTCATGGAGGAAGCAGATAGTCTGTTCAAGCTAGATTTGCGACGTTGAAACCATGCCCTCTCAACAGGGTCGAGTCGAACAATTTGGTGTTGTACGATGGAGTACCTTAGCTTACTATCGCCGTGAGGTTTATGGTTCCGCTTGATTCGAGAGCGGTACGAGAAGGCTGGTGAAGCTGGTGTGCATGGTGGTGTCGGAGCGGGAGAGGTAGTGAGAAGTTCAGGAGGTATGATGCTTGAGGTGGGTTGCTGCTCTTTTGAATTAACCTGTGGCGTTCGGGGTTTTCGTAGTTTATCTCCAAGTCGGCTCAGCCGAGTACGGAGGTGAGTCAGATGTGGCAGAACGGAGAGACCCATTTTCGTATGTAGTGCTTACCTGAAGTTCGACTTCGTTGTTTTCTTAATTCCTGCCTGAGAAACTAGTGCATACCCGTGATAGATTGTGGAAGGACGATGGAAGCTCTGTTGGGAGGAGTTCGAGGATATTTGTTGTCGGCAGAACGTACGCTGACAAAGGATGTACTTATTTTCGGCACATAATCCTGTGTGGTATTGCACAATGCGGGTATGCTTCATACTGATTGTTTAGATAACGCATTAGCTTTGTTCTCTGCTTTGTATGCATTGCTGTGCCACATGTTCCTGTATGACGACAACTGTCAAGTCCGGAGAAGACTCAGTCGTCTGAGAGCGGGTGAGGTGCAATCGCACCTCGCTCCAGGGAACGTGTTCGATAATCCACGATGTCCTGGGCATTTCTTCAAGCAGTAAATTGTGTGATTCTTCGCCCTAACGAAGTGCTTGACAGTCCTCTTCGGACGTCTAGTACATCGCCTGTGTCTTGAAAACGATCAAAGTCACAAAGGTGAGGTCAAGGACAGATTGAATGTAAAGGACCCAGCCACGTGTCCGCCCCGGAAGTTGCAATGCAGTCGGCCAACCTTCTCCATCGCATCATTGAGCCGACCCCCTTTAGCAGCATCGGCTAGACTTTCCTGCCAAATGCGGCTGAAGAAGATCATTCTCAGCTGGACTTACAGCAGTGCTACGATGTCTGCTTATCGCCTGATATGCCCGTTCAGCATCTATACGTCCCGATGCTGTTACCACACTACACAACGCTGCTCAGCTTGCTGACTTGCGGTCATGACGGTCCTGGTACATAGAGATCCGCTGTGAAAGTTGCAGGTCTCAACAACCATGTCCAACGTTCGCGACCGGATCAAGGCTGCAGAAGCCTTAACAGGGCAATCGCACAATGATGGAGGCAGCGAATCTCGTCGTCGCGGTCACAAACTGAGTCTGAAGACCGACGAGCACATAAAAGAAGAATTTCTCAGGAGAGGTGACGGCGGTTGGCACAAGAAGGTAGATATCGGACAGCAGGAGAATTATAAAGTTCCGCCTGCCATGCCTCCCATCATCAAACTTATCGCAGAAACTCCAGTCGTGACATCGTCAAAAGGTGTGCCGGGAAGACTACGCAAGGAGATACCAGGCGCATTTGAACCTGTTCCTGGAGAATCATCCGCTAAGTCAGGGGCTAAACAGGACAGAGAGTGGAGCAGAGTAGAGGAAATGGAGGCAGCGCAACAAGCAGAAATGGATCTCCATACTGTTGATGGCGAGTGGGACCGAGTCGCGCAATTGGAGGCTGAACAGCAGGCTGCCATGGACGCCGAAGCAGCTATGAGGTCAATAGCTGAGTCGTCAAGCAAACCCCGTCGTGAGAAACCTGACAAGCCAGCACGCGGAAAGCTCGACAAGTCGTCGCAAAACAAATCCAGTGATAGTCCTGCAACCAGAAATATTCCTGTAGGACGCTTCGACGATCTCATAGGCAAGACTGATGTGAAGGATACCAAGAACAAATCTCCTGGAAGTAAAAGTCGCCCATCCGTCAAAGCTCGGCATGTCCATATTTCCGATGACGACGACGACGACGACGATGATATGAAACCAGCAGCGACATTCCCAGCCAAGGACGACTTGAGTAGCAGAGAGCAAGTTCTCTTCGATCCAGTCGAGTATGCTGAGAAAAAGCAAGCTCGTCGCGAACGGAGAGCAGCCAGGCAGCAGGATCGAGCTGAGAGGCTAGTAGTGGACGAGCAACCGAGGGAGAGATCTCGAGCCAAATCACCATCAATAAGGTTGTTTCGTGTGAATTACGACGACGACGACGATGACGACAACGACAACGGAGGGAAGGCGCTCAGAAAGTCGCACCGCTTACGTTCGCGTTCGACACACGATTACGTGCCGGAGTCTTACCAGTCGCCTCCAACAAGCGCACGACGTTCGACCAATTCACTCTGGCCGTCTTTTTCAGATTCACAGAGGCGGAGTATGAGTGATGTTTTTGAGAGCAGTGGACGTCGACGCCATAGCCACACCAGAACTCATTCCGACGATCTCTCTACTGCAGACAGCACTCGTTCAACGGTGTCAATCAAAAAGTTAGAATTTGCAGAATATATGGCAGGTAGAAAGCTTGATCACATGCCTCTTTCACCACCCAAATTGCCAAGCAGGCCCATGGGTTTCGTTCGGTCGCTCAGCCATACCGGAGAATATTCTGAAGGCTACACACGAGAAAAGAAGTTATTGAGAAGACCTAGTCGTGACGAGGTGATTGAGGATTTTGATCATGACTGGGATCGGAGAGTCGATCATTCTAGCCGACGTCGTGTCAGTCACAAGAAAGACGAGCCATGGCAGGTAAAGATTTTACAAGAAATAGCTAAACACTAGCAGATTCCCCTTGTCTATAGTGCCCCGGATCCGGGAGCAGCAGTGCCATGAGAAGGACATTCGACCCTCGGTGGCACTTCTAAGCCACGGATTCCTCAACACCACAAGATCAGCAGTCTTGTTGTACAAACGTGGTGTCTCAGAAATGCTCAAATTGCCGACCGGATCCTCCTCGTCCACCTGTAGAAGACGTTACAACTCCGAGCTACCTCCGACCTCTATTGGCATGTCTCGATGTTTCCGTCGTGTGTCTCGTCGTCTCTGATGGTCCTTGGCCTTTCTCGCTCGTCAAACCAGCGATCGAAGTTTTCTTGGATGTGTCTAGGCAAGGCCAAGGTCGTCTCTCGCTTCTCACGACGGTTCTTGTCATCCTCAATTTCCTGTATTGTGCGAACCGAGGCACTATCCATCCCTTCACACCAGTATGAATGAGTATCCAACGCTGAGCTGAATCTTTCGGTAATTCGACAGCCATCAGGCGTTACGTCAGTCATCACATCCTGCAGATTGCTCATCAGTCAAGGTAATAAGGGCGTCGCCAGAGCACCCACCAAGGTAAAAAGATATCGCTCAACTTCGTCACACGATGCGACTCTCAGACTGACGAGAGCTTCTACCTTCAGTCCATGCCCTCCCGCCTCCCTGAGTGCTCGTGCAAGTTTACGTAGCTCGAAGAAACGTAGGGCATGATGCACCACGGCATCGAGATCATCTCTAAAGACAACCTCGACGTATGAGCCATCGTCGTCGGCGAGCTGGAAATCGGGGACGAAACTGTGGTCTGGACAAACAGATCGTAAGAGTGTCAAGTAGACCTCTTGGAGATTAGGACAGGCCTTGACTATAACCAGCCAAAGAAGGTCTGGTACATGCATAGTCTCCTGGTCGACCAGTTCGAGTGAGCGAATGTGCCGTCGTAGCCATGTGAACTGAGGTTCTGTGAATTCGTCCAGACGGTTGAGGTTGAGGAAGGTCCCATCCAGGATGACGAGATGGCGATTGAAGCATTCTTCTCGAATCTTTCTCGCTTGTATGTGTATTTCCCAGCAAGTCAGCTCGAGCGGTAGGATTCGGGAGCCATGAAAATCGAGTTTACCAGAGCATGCGCACAATTTTATGACAACGTCCTCGTAGTATTTTCGATAGATGAGGTACTGAAGCTCAAGAGGTAGATTCAGAAGTGAAAACGATTCACCCTTTTGCGCCTTGCACGCCTTTTGTCGCAGAGAATTTGCGATCCTGGACTTTGAGTCGCCCATACCTGCTTTGTTGTTGCAGAACCCGATGGGTGTTTATTAGATGTGTACCGGTGATTGACCCAGAGTATTGGTCCGAGCTTGTAGATGTGAGGCAGTGAAACGCACAAGCTGCCCATAAAGATATGCATACGCCTGTCCTGTATGTGGTATTGACCAACCTACCGGAGCACAGCATGCAGGATCTTAATATATTCAAAGCTCTTCAGAAATAGGTGGGAACACCGCTGGTATTAGACAAGAACTAGCCGCACTCTAACACAAAGAGGAGTCAATATTGATCTGGAACCATGCTTGGATGTACGTTTGCTTTGATTAGAGTATCATTTTCGTGAAGGCCGTCACGGTCGTGAATGATATATTTTCTGGTTTTTCGAAAAGTTTCGTTCGACAATATGAGTGGAAAGAGTTTCACAAGTATGACCGAGAAAAGGGAAGGATTACCGTTATACTAGTAGCATTGGTTGTGCTGGTGATATGTTGTTGCAGTGGTATGCAGATTGCAGAAGTGAGTAGGGTGGTAGGACGATAAAAGTAATGACCAGTCGCAACTGCTACAGGATATGGTGCTTCCTGCAGGTGCTAATGTGCCCACTGAACAGCCAAAACGTTGTAGGGAGGTGCGGTTATCAAGGCATTCATATACTCGTCGTGCGGTCTCTACAGGTCGAGGACTGGAAGTCTACACAATATCGTAAAAACGTTAGAATCTGAACATCAGAAGATGTACCTCACTTACTGATACTAGTAACTGCAACTCAAACTGGGTATGCTACCAGTTCCGTCATGCCGACAGGGAGCTTCGTGGATGAAACCTTCCAGCGTGATCGCCTCTCGAACTCCAAGATCCCCCAACCATCGAACGGGGTTTTCGTGTATTTGTACCGTGAACCTTAAATTCTCTGGGTTTTCGCGAAAACCCAACATAACCCCCTACCTTCAAATCCTTCCCTCATGCCGTGTTTTCTTGAATTAAATGTGCCTGCGCTGTGGAACGTGTCATCTTGAGCTGAATCATGTTTCAGTTCAGTCTGGTGATGCGAATATCGCCATTTGTGGCACATTAGCAGATCGATCGTGATACAACCCGATATAATTCCATGCTGTGGTCTTCGCTCACGTCCCAATTGCGCGAATTTGACCCTCACAACCATTTTCCTCTAACAACGAAGCCAGCGACATGCTGGACCCCCAGGTTTCGCATAGTTGTCACTCAAGACCATTCAAGTAACACCTTGTTTTGCCCTGCTCTATGTTCCATAACGTACGAAGTTTTTGTGAGAATTATCTTAGATGCCTCGAATTTCGCTGCACGTGGAAAGTCAGATAGGACTAGTGTTCCGCAAAAGCACGTCCTTGTCTCACTCGATCATGGTGTTCAAGCTGCTGGCTAGAAGTAGTGCATGCACAAGCGAGGGGCCTTGAAATCTTTAGAGGCTCTGAGGGAAGACAAGATCTTCCAGGTGTAGAGGAACATCGTAGTTGACAAAGCCAAAGCTCATATGATGTTGGCGAATACTCTGAATTAGCCCGGTCATATCAATATCCGCTGAACATGGGCGATCTTGAAGCAAGAGTCTGCAGAAAGATGTCGAGGCACACTTTCCCACAGTGAGTAAAACGCGTAACGCGAGATTTACACGCTAAGTTATGGCAAGTCGGGCATGCGCATCGATAGTGGGGGATTTTTCCAAGTAGTATCGATTTTCTCAAAGCTGAGTCGACTTCAACTATATTTTATATCACGTTGGCCATTTCCAACCCTTACTACCAACTCTATAGTCCACATGCGGACGTCTGGTGCTTCTCGTAGTAGGCATATTTTGCTTTAGTGGTTGGCCGTGTACCACGTATTCACGAGACGTGCGTTGATCCACAGTTTCATTCTCACCCAAAGGTCCTTCCTCAGCGTTGCAGAACTCGCTGCAGCTACTCGTGGAGGAGTCGGAGCTCGAGTCACTGAATTTTGACCAACTGACATCTTTCCACCAGTCCCTCGAGTGAGATGCCGGAACGACCTCCCTGGCCCACTGTTCACAGCGCTCACTAGTATCCGTGTCTGAGATTCTAGTCTGTTCCTCGAACCCTGACTGGTGCGAACGTGCACTACTTCGTCGCTGTCGAATTTTCTTCTTCACCAGCACCCTTCCGCTACGCTTTGGCGAACCAGAGACACGCATGTTTGCAAATTCTTCGAGTTGTCTAAATTCGTCCACGGACAAGCCCAAGTCGTCTGCAATGAGAAGCCGCCTGAGTGAGTGACTTGCAGACTCGTTCATGCTTGCCTCAGTGACATGTGTGATGGGTGTCAGAGGTGACCAAGGCTGTGGGCTGGTGAAAGTTGATATTGGAGATGGCAGGGTGTGATGCAAGCAGCAAGTTGGAGATACACTTGGACGCGATTGTGGAGGTGTGGGCAGTCCATGAGGTCCAAAACGATGAGATGAGCTCAGACTCGTATCAGGGTGATGATTTGACCCCAGCTGGTCGATTGGTTCGTTCTGATTCTGCGGCACTTGCTGTACCGGAAAGGGAAATTCATCTCGAGCCTGTCCACGAGTATGGATGAGGCTCATGCTTTGATCGGAATCGTCTTCGGCCACGGTGCTCTCTGACTGTCTAGTCACTTTACCTGCGTAACCCAGGCCATTGCATGGTAGGTTCACATCCACGTCTTCTGGAGCTATGTTGTGCTGTGTTTTGACTGTGAGTGCGTCTCGTTTTGCTCGTTGTGCCGGAGCATGGGGAAATGCATGGGAGGAAGAGCCGTTGCGCTTCTTCGAGAGATTTGTCCCGAGCATATTGATCGACGAAAGAATGAAGGACAACTTCGCGTGGTAGCATTAAGCTAAGGAACAGAGCAGTAGCATGTGCCAAAACAAACATATATGCTCGACAGTCGAACTCGATACCTACACTCAATGCCAACATCTCAGTACAGCAAGCCTCGTCTCTCCACGAAACCAAAGCTCGCCTTTTCCACTGCTCCCTCCATCTCCTTGCAGAGAGGTATTGACAGCATCTGGTCTAGCCAATAATCATGGATGACCCAGTCGATCATGTCGAATTGTTTTCGAAACTTCCCGTCGTGCCTCTAGTGCACCGGAACTTCCTGAGCAAGTTTGTGGAACCTCGCTAAATCTTGCTTCTAGCTTCTGACTTGTCCCATAGCTCAACCACCGCATTATTGATCACGATTCTGTCCTTGCTCCCAGCCAGTTCGTCAGCTACCACAATCTGTCTATAAACGACTTTTGTCACGCCACCGTTCGATGAACCTTTCTTTGGTTCCGTCCACATCTCTGTCTGAACACGTTCGCCGATGACGACTGGAGCACTCAACCTCAACCTAACGCTTTTGAAGCGACTAACGTCGCCATTTGCAAAAGTGTCTATGATATGGCGAATGCCTATTCCGACTGTGCAAGAACCGGACAAGATAGGGGCATGAAATCCACCTTCTTTGGCGTGAGCAGGAGAGATGTGCATTGGATTCCATTCAGTTGTAACCGCTCGATACAAAGCTGATTGAGTGTGTGTGGTCTGATGACTTGATACGGCTTCTGCTGGTTTGTTGGGTATTTGAACAGGTGGTGTTTGCGTTGACGGAGTAGCTCCTTTACCGGGTACATGACGAATGAACGAAGTCCACTCGTTGTAGCAGAGCTTTGAATTTGACTTCGCGTCACTCGTCGTGATGCCAACCTTGACAGTAACGCCCTTGCCACGATCAACAACATCGACTATGCGAGCGATAGAGGAGAGCGTCGTGCCAGGAAAGATAGTAGGGAACGGTTGATACTGCTCAAGGTAGTGCTCGCCATGGACGTGGTTGAAGGAGCGAAAGGACGGCAGCCATTCGGGCATAGAATGTGTCACCTTGCCCATCATATCCACGACCGCGAGGAATGCGAAGCATGGTAGAACGTGGAAGTTTGGGTGACCTTCCCAGCATCGAGACAAGTCCGTGCCATTCACACCGATCGAGACGTTGTACGAGACAACGTTTGTTGGCGTATACTGCACTTTGGACGTCCATGATAATTTCTTGATAGCAGGCAGATCAATTGTTGTGGGCTCCATGGCACAAATTTGCACAACGTATGATTTTGACAACAAACCTTCTTCGTTAGCATAGACAACTCTTCGTTTTAGGATGCCTCTTCTCTCAGATCTGCTCAATGTTATACGAGCTACTCAAGTGAGGAGTGATAAAACTGGAAGCAGCATTATGCCGAGGCAAGCTCTTTTGGTACAATCTTCTCATCGGCATGGTTACTCAAGCTGGCTTTCTGCATCCTAAAATGCTTGCCGATATGGGTCTTTAGTCAGTTGCATCTGGTAGCATTGTGCCTGCGGCAGAAAGAGAATAGCTACACCTGCTTCGAAAGGACGGAGAGGAGAATGCCAAGCATAGAGTTCGGACGATCTCCGGGAGGAACGATGGTCGTTCTTGCCTGACTTTGAAGTCGTCCGCAAGCACAGAGAGCAACTCGTTGTGCTTTACAGCATTTAGTGCTCACCTTTATCCAACTACAGTCACTCTTTCGAACTTTCCGGTGGTCAACAATGTCCTCAACGCTTCTCAATCTACTACCCGAGTCTAAACATATTCCAGCTGCGCAACGGTTGCTGAAACCCAAAACATTTGCGATTCCTCTATTGCAGACCGACCTTGCGAAATACTACAGCTATGCACATACTGGCCAAGTGCTGTTATACTCTTACCTCAGGGCAGGTGCATTAGTCGCTGATCCTCTGTCGACCATGATTCAAGATCTCGTTCCTTTGGCCCTCTCGCAGTCTTTGTTTTGCGCTATTTGCCTACCGTCTGTTGGCCATTGGAACAGTGGTACGAGTGATGGAGAGTTTATCAAGGGTAGTGCAGCAGAGAGTTCAAAGAATCAGAAAGGAGGATCGACCAGTGCAAACACATCAAGAAAGAAGCTAGGCGCACCAGGACTGAAATCTGTAGGGAAAACAGTCGCTACGTCTGATACAGCTCGGAATAGTCGAAGCAGCTGGCCTGGCAGGATCTTTCCCACCATACTGGCTCTGGTACTTTCAATAATTATCCCAACAGTGCCACTGATGGTGCTTGCCCTCGTTCTGGGTGCTCCACTCTACCCTTTGTACTTGTTACCCCATACCCTCATCCTGGCCTTGCATGTGTCACTTCTGGGCACGATGCCAATTTTTTACACTCATGGCGTCTCTGGCGCGGCTTGGAGAGACTTCTCGGCAGCATGGCTCCCATTCGATGAGGCAGGCGTTTGGGCCGGTACTGTTGGCGCCATGGTTGGAGGCTGGGTCGGTGCTATCCCTATAGCTCTGGACTGGGATCGTGAGTGGCAGAAATGGCCTTGTACCGTCCTCTGGGGTGTTGTGCTTGGCTGGGCACTCGGACGTCTCATAACGAATGGTTTCAGGTTCGGTATTGGTGCCCGGATTGACCTCAGTGTTAGCGAATATCTTCCATCCGACCCAGCAACTACTGCGACGAGCCAGGAGAAGAAGATAGCTTGACGACCCCTAGATGCAGCGTCGCGAAAGTAGTGTCGTGATGCAGAAAACAGAAGTATCACCACAGCGCGTTGGACAAGTGTCTAAGAGACTTGCGAACACAACGCGTCGCATCACCATATGTCTACCAGTAACGTACCACAACCACCATAACATTCGACTTCAACTCGCAGTCCTGCTCCACCAATCGCATGGACAGCAACATCAATCATTAAAATTGTCGACAATCACGATCCATTCATTATCGCAGAAGAATCGACACCACTACTCTCGAGATGGACATCCGGTCATACAAAAACTCCTTCAAGCCCAGCAAATGCCTGCTTTGCAACGGCGGAAATGTGATGCTGAAAGAAACAATCCTTGTCAGATGCTGCTACAACAAATTCCACACGCATTGTCTCTTCCGGTATATCGCTAAGCTGCAAGTCCAACGCATTGTGGAAGGCGACTTGTCTCGAGACCAGGCCATGGAGCTACCTCGAGGTATGGGCTGTCCCCTACTGGCGTGCGACCAGGAATTCGAAATTCGACATCTCCAGCGTTGGAAGAACGACTTTGGGGTGGTCTGGGCCAGAATATTTGAAAGACAGGTACTTGTGGCGGTCGAAGTCTCGACTAGGTCACGTGACAACAGAGATCCTAATGTCAACACGATCGAGGATCAAGCCCCTTGGCCTAGCAGCGAGACGAAATTGCCAGGGTACCACGACGACGATTCACCTCCGCCATATCCAGAGTGATCTGACTATCGAAGAGCAAGCAAATCGGAGAGTATCGAAAAGTAAGTAAAAAGATGATGTGAAAATTCTAAGTAAATGGCCGTAGAAAAAGGGAATCTCTAGAGGTTGTGGATATATCAAATATGTTGAGGAACAACTGTGGAGTAGCAGATCGAAAGCTAATGGCGTGTATTGATTTCACGATGAAACCGAAAAGAAAGTTGTGTAGTAGTGGTGTACATGAGATAGATGAATGCATTCAATACTCAAGTCATTTCGTTAGACTTCCTGGTACAGCCTCGATTAGCGACTCAAACTAGGCCATCATGACTGCTACAATATAAGGTATTCAATTACTAGAGGTCGCAGGAGAGAAGCGTCAACGAATCCCTCCTTTGTTCCTACTTTAGTTCTTCATCTTCCTCGTTGTCTCCTATTATCCCGCTTTCTGAACCTTCACTGTTGCCTTGTGTGGAGACTGCTGCATCGAGTTCCAATGGTGAGATTTTTGTCTCCTCCACTTGTACGTGCTGCTCTTCCACGACGCTCTCCTTCAAGACGTGGGTTGCTTGAGTTGTGGTGACAAGAGCCAGCTGCGGCTCTTCTTCAGCAAGTCCAGGTGTAGTAGCCGTGACGCTCTGTTCCTCGACAACGGTGGTGCTAACTACTTCATCAAGTTCAATCTCACTGTCTACTGATTCGAACACAGGCTCAAGTTGAGGCTCCGCGCTCGTCCTGCGAGCGGGCGGTGAGTCGTTCTCTGCACTCTTCGATCGGGCAGACCTGGCTGGTGTGGCGCTGCGGACACTCTTATTCGCAGTATACAAGATACTGGTCTCGATAGGTGTGAATTCTTTCTCGAGTCTCTCCTTTAGAGCCCTATTCGATGCGGTCGTGCTCGCGCTGCTGTGCCTGCTTGAGTTCGGGTCGTCAGGTGGCAGTGTTCCGTGTCGAGGTGAAGGTATGGTTGTAGAATTTGAGCGCGAACGCGTCATGACGGTGCTTCCTCTCCTACTTGATCCGGTATCCTGGGCCGCTGACTTAGCGATAGAATTGGACTTTGCGCCACTGGTCTTTCGTCTCTTTGGTTTAGGCTTATCATCCTCCTTAGTAGTCTCTTGATCAGTTGCAGTACTTTCGCAAGCCTTACGCTTCAGACTCTCCTTTATAGGCTTAGTTGGCTGCGCTGATTCGGTCAGTCCCGTCGTAGCATCCGACTCTTGGTCCGTTGTTACGACATGTTCGTCATCTGATGCATCTCCTGCATCTCCTGCATCTCCTGCATCGCTTGCATCCTCAAGTGCTGTTGATGATTGTGCGGTGACCGCTGGCTTGGATTTGCTGGGCCTTGGTGCTGATTTTTTCTTGATTGGAGTTGAAATCAAATTTCCTTGAGAGTCAAAAACAGGTCTGCCTGATGGTTTCTCCCCCGTTCCATCCTTACAACACTTGTCGTTGCATTGTGCTTGGAGGCACTTTGGTTTGAAATGAGCACATTTGTATTTGCCATTCAGCAATTGCCATGTAACCATCCTGCCGTCATGGAGAAAATTCTTCGCAGCGAGGCCTGGAGGGATAGGTCCGATGCCAGATGAGGTGGCTGGCGTGTTGTTGTTCTGCTGCAGGCTGTTAGCTAGCTGTTCACCATCATAGGGCACGAATATGAGGGCTAGAGTACGTAGAAACTCTCCCAGGATATGAAGAAACTTGACTTACCTCGCCTGAACCCTGCTCGCTAGCAGTACTCTCGTCCCCTAGAGGAGCATCGTCTTGATTAGCGTCATTGTCGCCAGAGTTCTTAGGCTCATCAGTTTTGGCAGCAGGCTTCTTGGCTGCTGGTTGAGTCGCCTTCTTTGTTTTCTTTGGCGTGCTTTTGGTCGCCTTCGACGCTTCTGCACCAGTTCGGGACGGCTGCTGCTCAGAACCCTTGGATAAAACATGGGTGTCGATAAGTCGTCGCAACTCCTGATCCTGATCTTGGCCTGCCAAATTTTCGGTGTCTAACATACTAAGCATACGGAGACGCCTGTGCAACCATCTTCTGCTGTCACCATCTAGCTTGCCTACCAGCTTCAACGGCCAGGTGTAGTCAACCGGAGTTGTCTGATTAATGCTGATGTGCACGCCTTCAGCAAATGACAAAATCTTAGAGTCATTTTTAGCAAGTTTGAGGTAAGTTGCGGGCAAGAGATCGGTTCCTTGCTCATCTGCCTCGAAGACAGGCATCGACCACAACTTGTATGCAGATTCAGGGGCGTCATTGCTGAAATCAGGGCCATTAGGGACGATTGGTAAGACATGCAGTCTATTGCTAAAGACAACAGTGATTATTGCTGGTCGCTCAACTACCTCAACAACTCCTGCGTGACTGGTCAGAATTTCCGTCTGACCGACTGCCTGAGATCCTTGGTTTGACTGCTTAAGAGAAGGTGTGAGGTGTGGTATCATGACGACTTGACCTGAGGAGAATGCTCTGTCCACTGCAGCGCCTGGTACTGATTCTGGTGCTGCGACACTTGACGGTTCTTCTGCATGGCCGTCATCGTTTCTACTTCTGGTATCTGTATATATGTCGACGACATCGTTGTGAATGTCATTATCAGTAGAACCTGTAGGTGAGTCCTGTACTGGTACCGGGCTTGATGCCATGGTGAAAGTATGCAGAGGAAGGCAAAAAATAGTCTGATCAGGGGACTATCACGAAAGCAATGGCTGGGCTGTTGGGACAGAAGGAAATGGTAGTAGCAGGGTAAGAAGGATCCTCACGAAGCATGATGAAGAAGGACTGGGTACACGACAGACAAACGTCGAGGTCACTCTGCTGCTCAAACAGCATGGTACAGGGTACTGCCGTTCGCAGCGATCGTAAGCTGGCATTGTTGAAAAAATTCTCGCTTTGCGGTCTATCAAAATGAATACAGCCTTTGTCCGTACACGAATGAGTCGAGGAAATGGAGTTGGTCTGTGAGTTCATCGTGTACCGTCAACCACGAGAACCTTGCTCGTCATGAACACATTGATGAGCTCGAGCTGTTCATATAGCGACTTCGCATGTTCGTGATCGAGAACAAGCACTTAAACTTATTCGAATATCGGTGTCGATGGTTCATCAAAGATGGATCGTTGTGGACAGGACGAACACGTCGAGTGACGGAAAAGGCAAGTGAGTACATGTCACGTGAAGTGATCCAGCGCTCTTGTTCATTGCAGCTCATCTCAATATGCTTAGCGCCATACCTTTGCTGGTGTATCTGTACCGTCCCTGCAAAACACGTATCTCCACTGTCACGAGTCGAAGTCGCTGTTCTGTAGGAATAGGGGGTTGTCCAGCACTGCTGCATAGGCAAGCAAGGCGCCGTCGAGTCAGGCGCCTCACGAGTTCCTTATCAGTACCAGCAAGTCATTGAGTCAAAAATAGCTCGATGCTGTTGTACAGATGCTGCCGTTGAAGCCGCGCTGAAGCGCATTGTCTCTGACTGCTGGCGCGAACAGTGGTCGCTTACAAAAATGCAAGACGTACAAGACCTGCCTCCGTTTTCCTTAGCATTGCGAAACATATTACATTCAGCACGGTGAGATGGTCTTCGAGTGTCCTCAAATCGGCGCAGTAGCCGATAACGATACATTCAGTGAAGCTGTTGAAATTGTTAGCGGTCAATCAGTATCGTCGACCACCACCAATGCCATTGGAAATGATTGCAGACGTTTGATCTGTCCTGCATGACCAGGTTCGACCTTTCTTCACACATTTGTCCTCGATCGCACTCTTTGACACTTGATCAGCAAGAACACTAGCGCCGGGTGACACTCAGAGTGAAAATGGCCTAAGTCTTGATTGAAGCGGACGGTATGCTGAACCGAAGACAAAGGAAGATGGTGACAGCTGCCCAGGGTGAAAGATGAATAGCATTGAAGCTGCTCCTGCTTTAACAAGAAAGAGACTACAACGTCGTACAAGATGTAGTAAGTGGAGCGATTGTCAATAAATACACAAAGAGCAAGGTTCTTTTGAATATCTTTGACCTGGCGGAGCTGATTCAGTGAACTAGTATAGCTAGTACAGGCGAGTGAACACCTCGACAAACCCAATCTTTCTTCGAGGTTGTGCAATTCTATTACTCTGAGAACCACTTGTGCCCAACTCAATACCGTATGTCACGTGAACCTTTGACCTCGCAAATACCAGTCTCATCCTTGTGCTCTGGGCAAAGCAAATCAGCCCTGATCGAGATTCGAATCAACTCCGCACTTTCCTCTTTGGACAAGGATTGTTTGCACTCTGATTTGATTGGATGAGCTACCTCGGCACAACCTCGAAATCGTGCCGAATCCAACGACGGTCGTGGGCAGAGGCTATCAGTTGCGTGGGAGGACAACCAAGTTCAATATCGAAAGATGTAGTGTTCAGGTCCTACACGTCGTAACAGCTTCGCTTAGACAAGCTCGAAGAAACACTAAAACGTTTATCCTTCAATCTGCAAGCTGGACCATCTACCAAAGGCTCGCATTTGGCAGATCTATACACTGATTTCACAAGCCCTACCCGAGCATCAACTGCTCAACAAGAGCTTTAAAGAATTCTCTCACCATGCCCTGGCTTTGTCAAGAACAGCCCAAACTCCCATACGAGGATGTGGTCTCCTTCGCGCTCAACCACTGCGACTATAACCCAGACACTCCAATTTACCACGACCTCGACGATCACAATCGTACCATATCACACCGCCAAGCTAAAGACCATGTCCGACGACTCGTAGCCGGCTTCCGCAAGGCTGGTCTTCGCAGAGGAGATTGCTTCTCCATCACCAGCTTCAACGACATCATGTTCAGCATGTTGTTCCTCGGTGGAGTCGGCGCTGGCGGTATATTCAGTGGCATGAATCCTGCTTACCGCGCAGCCGAAGTTCGCCACCATGTGAAGACTGCAGATGTGAAGTTCTTTATTTGTGAGCCAGAATTCCTTGAGCCGTTGTTGCAGGTATTGCAAGCTGAAATGTCTGATTGGAGGGAGAAATTGTTCGTCTTCGATACGCGTCCAGGGCAAGTCGTACCGTCAGGTTTGAGGTCTTGGAGATGGTTGTTCGAGCAAGGAACCGATAATTGGGATGTACTTGTGGACGAGCAAACTGTAAGGAACACGGAAGTCAGCCGGCTTACCACTTCCGGGACTACAGGACCACCAAAGTTTGCCATGCAAAGCCATTTCAATGGCACGAGCTACCACACTCTGATCAGTGAGGGTAGGGACGTGTCATGGGAGCCAAGGGCTTTATCCGTACTGCCCAGTTTCCATGTTGCTACCGTGCCTGCTGTGCATGTCAGCCCTTTGCATTCCGGTCACAAGATATGGATCATGCGAAGATTTGAGCTGGAAGAATACCTGAAAGCAATTGAGACACATCAGATCACCGATCTTGGCATGGCGCCACCTTTGGTCATCGCCATCATTAATAGTCCCTTAACCAAAAAGTACAGCCTGAAGAGCGTGAGGAGGATAGGATGTGGGGCTGCGCCACTAGACGCAGAGAGCCAGAATAGGTTACAAGCACTGTGTGCGAATGATTGTGTGTTTACTCAGGTCTGGGGCATGACTGAGACGACGAGCGCATTGAGCATCTTTCGCTACCCAGAGATGGACTCGACAGGAAGTGTAGGCAATATTTTCCTGCCCGGAACCGACGTCAAGTGAGTCCCCCTTCCGTGCTTTGATGATGGTGAGGTGAAGCTGAATGTACTTGGTAGACTCGTCGATGATGATGGAAAGGACATTACGGAATTCGACACTCGAGGTGAAATATGTGTAAGAGGGCCAACTATTGTCAAGGGATATCTCAACAATGCCAAGGCCAATGCAGAATCCTGGGACGAAGAAGGCTACTTCCATACAGGTGACATTCTATATTGTGATCGAAGGACGAAGAAGTGGTATGTCGTGGATAGAAAAAAGGTAAGACCAAAACTTCGTAGAGATGAGACTCCTTAGGTGGGATGCTGACCGGGTTTCTAGGAACTTATCAAAGTCCGCGGTTTCCAGGTCGCACCTCCCGAGTTGGAAGGTCTGCTCCTGTCACATCCTGATATCGCAGACTGCGCCGTTATTGGTGTTCCTGGGAAAAGCACGCACGATGAACGACCACGCGCTTATGTAGTCAAGCAGTCGGGAGCCAAACTGAACGAGGAAGTTGTGAGGAGCCTTGTTAAAGAGAATTTGGCGAGCTATAAAGCACTCAGTGGTGGAGTCGTCTTTGTATCTGAAATCCCGAAGAGTCCTAGTGGGAAGATTTTGAAACGTATCCTAAGGGAGCAGGCAGTGATGGAAATGAAGGACGTCCAACAACCGGTGAGCGCAAAGTTGTAGCCATAGCAGCTTGGTTCGGAGCCGAGAATGCTCATATTCCCTGTAATGCTTCATACAAGAGCTCATTCGTGTTTGCCGCGTGGTTATCAAGGCCGTCATTTCTCTCCTGATCGACTGCTGACTCTTCTCGAAGTTTCCTTTTCTGTGACAAAACCAAAGTTCTTTCGTTCACCGAAATTTCTCTATAGTATAGAAGCTCACGTTTATCCGGAAAGGAAATGAGCATTCACTTGCGCTTTACAGCCCCCGAAACCGACGCGAGGAAACTGACCCTCGTTCACTAACGACGTTTAGTGCTTGAGAGAATAAACAACATTTTTCCAAGACAAGGTGAGTACTTTCCAAGCAACCAATCCTGCCAGCTGGCGTTGGCCTAATGCTAGTGATCTGTGCTGTAGTTGTCTCTCGGTAATCCTACGATAGCTCAAAGTTTGATTCCCGTTAACAACGACCCGCCTGCACTCGACAATTCGTGTAATATTGCTATTGTAAATGGCGGGGTCTTCGGAGAGTATGTGCTGTGAGATGTGTCCCAATAAGTTCCAATTGTAACACCAGAAGCAAACAAACATGAAGGGTATTCATTTTGGCCTATATGTCGGTGAGATGACGCTTAAGATGTAGTGAAATGGTTGGCACATGTTATGCTGCAGCGAGCTGTGGACTGAGCAGGTCTGCTCAAGGGAATCACCACGCACCGCGCGAAGTAAGTATGGGCATCGACGTGTGGTCTACTTTCCGCCACCAAAGCACTTGGCCAGTAACCTGAATAGCTGAGAGACGATGCTACTACCTCCTTCTTGTTGCTGAGGCGGTTGCTGCTGGTGAGGTCGGTGAGGCTGCTGTTGATATTGCGGCTGCTGGTGCTGTTGGTAAGTGCTTGGGTGTTGTTGCTGTCCTTGGCCATGGTAACCTTGATGACCTTGAGTGCCTTGCCAGTTATTGAAGTGCTGCATGTCAACCTGGCCGCCCGTCAAGTTGACATATATGCGACCCTCGTTCGGCTCTGTATGATATTGCAGTCCGAGTTCTCTACAGACCCGCTCAACTCGAGGCTTTATCTTCTGGATGTGTCCAGAGCTGTGGTTGCCTTTGCCAACGATGACATGCAAATGGTTCTGCCCTGTGCTTTGAGCGTACCGTATCCTTTCTTCTAGTATGTCTTCTGCTTCCTCCACGAATTGGCCGTGAAGGTCTATAGTGTCTGCCGGTACTCGGTCGGTTGCGTTATTTTCTCGAAAGATGAGTTCACTGGCCTGTTTGTTGTACTTTTCCATCTTAGAACCATGGTCTTTGCCTTGATTGCTCAGCGACTTTGCTGCAGCGCCATCGTCGCTGTTATAGGCGTCCTTGCTGCGCTCAAAGCAGTCCCCACGTTTTTGTGCTTCCTGACGCGCCAGGTCACGTAATCTATCGTACTCTCTTTCTATGTCAGTGGAAGGCGAGTGGTTGAAGGCTGAAGGGTGTTAGTGGTAAACGTGAACATGCGATTGTAGGGACGTACGCGCCGAGCCGATATGAGTACCGCGATTTCCATGGGTTTGCAAATGCGACATCGGGTGCGACATGGCTGTTCGTACAGGCTGGCTAAAATATGAGGTTAGACGTTTACACGAAATATAACGAATACAATAACAAGGTGAAGGTCTCGAGTGACAGCAGATTGACTGGAAACAAGAAGGAGCTCAGTAGCACATCGTGATTAGCGTCAGATGGGCAGATCCGAGCACGATACTAGATCTGATCGCGGAGGCCAGCCACTCCATTTCAAGATCTGGTATAGATGGCGTCTTTCCAGCTTTCGTATTAATTGGGATCAGGTGTACGGTTTGACACTTGGTAAAAAAGGAGATGCAGAAGAAGAAGTCGCATAGGATGCACGTACTTCGAGAGCTTGCTGGTTAGATGAAACTGTATACGATATGAGCTTGACAAGGATCGCGGTTGTTGTAAGAGTCGGGTGCTTGCGTTCCCGCCTCGCTTAGTAAGTAGCCGAATTGTGCTTGATCCTGGTAGTATCCCTGCAAAAGGAGAGATTATCTGAGGTGGCATGATGAAGCGTTCAGCGACCACGAATGCAGGACACGACTTGATTGATAATTCGGCCTCAGCAACAGTCGATCAAGGATGAGCTCGTCGCTTGCAACATCATTTGATTAGCTTGCGGGCGATCAAGAAGTATTGAGTTTCTTCTCGATAAAGACTAGAAGTTCTACCCGGCGCCGGTTGAACTTTCTGTAAATCAAGTAGACGACGAATTCTCGATTTAATTTACGTCCTGGTTAGGGTTGACGTACGCTGAAGCATACCCAACAGGTTGGTCGATCCGTCTAGCAGTATTGTACTATAAATGAAGGATTCAGTTACCCGTATAGAGTAGAGCTCGATGGGTGAAGCTCAATATTATGGATCTAGACTAGAAGTGGATGATGAGTTGACATGAAACCGAATATGATCGACTTTGCAGCAAGAAGGGCGACGTGCGTAACTGGCGCATTTGCGGGACGATTGGCCGGATTGGCACAAAACAACTGACTTGAATGAGGATGTGTCAAATCGAGGTTGTGCGGATCATCAGCTGTCAAAGTCCGATACCCTGTTGATGACCCACTGCCAGATCTCTTTTTGGCAGGCTGTATGCGCGTACTTGGGAAGCTTGTCCAGAGCGGGGAGTGCGAGAAGTTGATTTGGAAGAGACCTCCCCAAGCAGATGCAGTGCTATACAAATACAAGCAACAAGCGAGGATGAGCTCTGCAACGTTCTTGAGTACAAGATTCAGGATTGGTTAGACTATGTTTTGTGTATCCAGCGGCTAGAAACAGATTGAGCCCGAGAAAGCCTTCGGGTCTACCCCTGAGACCCTGCGAAACTTGAACGTTACAAACAGAACAGTGCTCCGATTCCTGTGTCTGTCCTCGTCCACGATATTTATGTAGACAAAAGGTTGGAGGTCATACTCGAGTAAGCAAGCAATTTATCGGATGGCAGCAAACATTGTCGCTTCTGGGATGCCGTTATTGGGCGGCGATATTGCTGTACCTCGTCGATCAATTCGATACTTCGATCGAAAGAGGCTTTTGTGGCAGGGTGCTGATTGCTGGGCAAGCAGATCTTCGCTTTCTTGAGGACAAGGGTCGACCTGTAGCATCCCTGGAAAATATCCACCACGCCCGTCGAAACAGCCTCTGGGCTTGTTTGCAAGGAGCGTCCAGACAGGTTCGAAGCTACCCTAGAAAAATAAAAGAGCGCTAGATCGAAGCTTTATGGGGATAATCTCCCTCTAGCTGGCCGCACTAGACCCCGAGTGGAAAGTACCTTCGTCTGAAGTTCAATGGGAGAATTGGTGCTTGCAGCGGCTCTTCTTGTTACGCACTTGCACTAGCCTCAGAGCAGTCTGGCAGTCTCTGCTCGGGAGTAGCCAACCCTAGTCCTTGAGGTCGTCCATGTCTTTCTTGACAAGCAATCTTTGGCTCAAATCTTATGCTTCGTCGACCACTGTATCTTCTACTCGTATAAGCTGTCCACAAGTCATATCCCCTGGATCGTGAATCAGGCGTATTTGACGACAAACGACAACCTCAGCGAACGAGCGTCGCGGCTTTTCGAGAATCGAGAGTCTTGCGACCAGTCAAAGTTTCCACGGCACAGCTTCTTACATCGCGTCAATTCTTCACTCATTTCTCTGCAACTTCGATCGGCAACCAAGCAGATCGACTGTGTATACCGTACCGCCGCTTCCCATCACTGTGTCACATATCACGTATCTGTCTATAGCCAGGTTTGTGCCCCGAGCCGTAATATCCCTACTCCGTCTTGCGCCCTCACCTTGCTTCAGCAAGCGATTGTCATTGTGTGCATCGAACCTAACAATATCGCAGTTCATTTACCACGTCGATCTCGAATCTACTGCCAACTGTACCCACGAAACGACCCAATCAAACTAGAAGTCAAAAGTCACAATGGGTTGCGGCGCGAGCAAAGAAGATACAGCGGGCAAAGTTCGTAACGATGAGATCGAGAACCAGCTCAAACGCGACAAGATGGCTCAGAGGAATGAAATCAAGATGCTGCTACTTGGTAGGTACCACACTAGCTCAAAACACAATTCTGGCTAACGGGTGTTTCAAGGTGCTGGTGAATCCGGAAAGTCAACCATTCTCAAGCAGATGAAGCTCATCCACGAAGGCGGCTATTCGAGAGACGAGAGAGAGTCCTTCAAGGAGATCATTTACAGCAATACAGTGCAATCGATGAGGGTCATCCTTGAGGCTATGGAGTCCTTAGAACTTCCATTAGACGATCAGCGAGCAGAATACCATGTCCAGACAATATTTATGCAACCACCACAAATCGAAGGTGAAAGCATGCCACCAGAGGTTGGAGCCGCCATCAAGGCTCTATGGCAAGATGCTGGTGTACAAGAATGCTTCAAGCGCTCTCGCGAATACCAATTGAACGACTCGGCTAGATAGTATGTCCCAACACTCTAGGCGAAATGCTGTTTACTAACTGCATTGCAGCTATTTCGACTCAATCGACCGTATCGCCGCTCACGACTACCTTCCAAATGATCAGGACGTTCTCAGGTCGCGTGTGAAGACGACTGGTATCACAGAAACAACCTTCATTATTGGGGACTTAACATACAGAATGTTCGACGTTGGTGGACAAAGATCGGAACGGAAGAAGTGGATTCATTGCTTCGAAAATGTGACGACCATCCTCTTCCTCGTTGCCATTTCCGAGTACGACCAGCTGCTGTTCGAAGACGAAACCGTCAACCGTATGCAGGAAGCCCTCACTCTGTTTGACAGCATCTGCAACTCCAGGTGGTTTATCAAGACCAGCATCATTCTGTTTTTGAACAAGATTGATCGCTTCAAGGAGAAGCTTCCTGTGAGCCCTATGCAAAATTATTTCCCAGACTACGATGGTAGGTCAGGTCTCGAGTCGACTTTACTTTGGCTGACATAGCACAGGTGGTGCCGATTATGCTGCTGCATGCGATTATATCCTGAACAGGTTCGTCTCTCTGAACCAGGCAGAGACCAAGCAAATCTATACACATTTCACTTGTGCCACCGACACGACCCAAATACGTTTCGTCATGGGTGCTGTCAACGACATAATCATTCAGGAGAATTTAAGGCAATGCGGTAATTATCACCAAACTGTTCCCTGCTCTTCAAAATAACTAACCCATCTGCAGGACTGATATGAACACCCTAGTCAGTGACAAAAAGCATCGAGGCCTGGCGTTTCGGTACCAGACCACGACGGTTCTCGAGAAAAGGCAACAGCATAAAACTTGCCATGTACAAAGGATCGACAGTAAACATGCATTGCGCCAGGCGTTTCCGGAGCGCTTGATTGACGATTTTCATACTGTATAACTCAAGCGGCTCGCCCTTGGGACTTAGATGATGAGGGTTTTGAGAATATGCTGAGATACCACCTTCAAATTTTTCCACCACGTTGCACCGAGAAAGCAGCAGATTAATACAGTTGACGTTGCTTTTGGATGATGCCGACACGGATCCTTGAGGTTCGAAAATCGAACGCTCGAAGCACATCTAGCTAAGAAATACTAGTCTAATCAACTGACCTTCACTCACAACTTCTTGCAAGACCTCGAGTTTAATGGTCGTGCTTTCTCATATCAGTAAATTTTGACTCCTCCTGTAGAACTCACTGTAAAACTGCAATAGTGTGGAAGCGTTCTTCTTGGGTCCAAGATTGTCCTTCTTGCTTGACCTTGCACTCATTCAGGTCATTGTGACACTGAATCCGCCGCAATTGTCCACTTACAGCCCGACCTCGAGGTTATCGTGCCTGACCATAAGCGGTACCACGCACCCGAAGCACATATTCGAGCTAGGAAGCTTGCTTGTCCACGATTCGCTGTAAACAAAAGTTGTTCTTCGAAACTTGTAAAGAGTGACAGCTTGCTCTTATAATAAAATTTGAAGGTGAAAGGGGTACTTTTGCACAAGCGATAACTCGAGCAATATTTATTCACCACTACTAGGGATTGCTAGAACGTCATGCGCTTTGCGTAGATGTATTGAGGCATGTCAGTATAGCACCTTGCATAGATATTGTGTATTGAAGGAACTAGACCATTACGTATTACACGAAGTTTCTGTGTACGTATTTAGTTACATCAGACTGGAGCGACTGGAAGCAAAAACATTGACGCAATATTTCGAGGAAAAAAGGAAAATCATGCAATGATAGAAGCGACTGCTTTGTTCTGGACCTGCTATGAACCTGGTCAAATGCCCCGGGGCAAAAGAACATCAATTCATCGAGCACAAAGCCGAAGCATCATCCTACCACCCACCTGCCTCCCAACCTTGCCAACATTGCCCTTGTTCCACCTATATTTCAATTGACAGGCTTAATATTCGTAAAAGAGTGACATTATTCGGAGATGTAGTGGTCGTAAACAGGAAATAAATACAAGTTGTTGCCTCCGAAAATAAACACCAGTATATGCAATTCGTGAGTATGCTTTTTGATCCCAATCTATGTTTCCCGTAGCAATTATTCAAATGAGTGTCGTAAGCCTGTCGTTAAATGAATGTTCGTATCTCGTCATGTGCTGAATTCCATATACGCTAAATAAGATAGGCGGGTTTTTACTCCAGAAGAGCTCGCTAAATTGCAACGTGCTAGCAAGAAGGGCTTCATAGTGCAACGAAGAATCCAAGGATACCGAAAGCAGCGGCGCTCAGAAGGCTGCCGAGTTCTGTACGTCGAGAACCAGCGTTCTGTAGACCTGGGTTGCCAGATGAAGCGGCTTGACCGGCTGCACCTGTCGGTACAGCTGTGGCAGTTACGGGTGCGTTGACGATAATCAAGCTTGTGCTGGTCTGGATTGTTCCATCAGCGGCGGTATAGGTGAAGAGGTGGGTTGATGTGCTTCTTGTGAAGGATACGCCAAGTGCTGACGAAGTCCTTGTGACGAGACCACCACCTTGAGTACTGAAAACAACGCCACCAGGCACGGTTGAGACAGCGACTTCGTTGGGTGCAGTCGAAGGAGCGACTTGGATGGTAGTCGGTGCAGGTAGTGTCGAGGCAGTGATCTGCGAAGCGACGGCCTCCGACACAGTGGCAGCGACTGGGGCGACACTCGTTGAAGATGGAGCTGCTGCAGCCGCTGTACCGTTGTTTTGTCGCTTGGCAATGAAGACCAATTTGCTTGCCATTACTGGGTTTGTAGAATGTATGTGTTCGACGGCTGCTCGGTCTTTGCTAAATACGCCATCGCGGAATTTGGGTGCGAGGTTGTGCAAGACTGAATGCAGAACGTTGTTATCGATGTTATCAATGATGGCAGAAAGTCTACCCCAGTCCACTATCGAATCATCGTGATTGTGAGGCGCCGCTGAGACGGCTGTGGAAATGAGGATGGTTGCGAAAACGAGTGCTTTCTGTAGTCCAAACATGTTTACTGAGGTGATCGGCCAGATGAGAGAAACAGCGAAAGTGGGTGCCGAGGACGTGTAGTGAGCGACGAGATGGTCGTGTATGTGTTGATGAGAGACGATACTCAAGAAAATGGCGCAGGAATATTTGAGCTTTCATCCAAGGCCACGTCTCGTAATGGCTTCTCACTTGGTGGAGTTGGGATGGAGTCTTCCATGCGCAGCCATGAGCAGCGCTATCCGAAGCTAGATCTCAAGTTGGCCAAGTGTAGACTTTGTTGAGCTGTGGGTGGTCGAAAAGCTGTGTGCCGATGCAACGTGTTTCACTTCGTGTCATCAACGTCGATCGGTCTTGTCTTGCTTGATTATTGTGACCGAGAATTTGGAGTGACAAGAAATGCAAAGCATTTGACGTCTTGGCCAAAACCTACGATCCCGTTGCTCATGATGGCGTGTAAGGTGGAAGTGGTCAGCTTAGCTCTCTGGACAACAACCGTTGGACGAAGCTGCAGCAGTTCAGGAAGCCCTGTCCCAAAGCAGTAAGACTCGACCGCCATTTTGGTCGATAGCGTGGTTGGTATCGGGTACGAGCAGGGATCAATGTCAGCATCTGCACGAAGACAGCGAGGTTTTCTGCAGTTTCAAGTACTTCTAAGCGACGAGAAGCACATGTTTTGTGCTTTGGCATGCGATAAATCTGTGGTTGGAAGGTGTACTGTGTGCACACACAGTAAAAGTTATTTTTTTTCCACATATCCAGATCCCTGGTCTTTGAGGACACAGCATAGGCGGATCCATTCAGGCGAGCCTGTTGTGAACTTGGCTACTGTAGTACTTCATCTGGCACCTGCACTACTCCAGCCAGACTTAGCGACACACTTTCAAGGAGCATCTTGTCTTCGCTCATCCAGCCATGCTGACAGCCACTTTCAACCCGTTCAGTCATATTACAGGTGTTCTAGCAGCCAGGAAAGTATTCGGCAGCGGGTGTGTGATTGAGTTCGGCACAAATACACTTTGTACCATCCATGCCGTGCAACGCCACCAACCCGGGCAATACGGCTACTATTTTGAGCAGCGTGACAATGGCAGGACAAAACAATATCAATTGCCGCCCAGCAGAACAATTTAGTCTGTATTGCGGCATTGTGATCTCCATCTCGTCATGATGGAGATCTATCAGCAAAGTTGCTCTCAACGCTTCTGTCTCCACTGATACCATCACATTGGAAAACTGTTGTCGTGCTAGCGTGTAGAGTTCGTGTCGTAAGGTGCTGTCCTCACTCTCGAAGTACGCGTTCTTCTTGTAGCAGCTACATACTAATGTAATTGTTTCTGACCAGCCCAGGCTGGCTGTTCTACAGGTCTTTTCAACAATGTTCATGTGCTGGTCTTTAAATGTTCTTCTCACACTGCCATGACGATGACAGAAGGCTGCTACATATACTTTTTGATCGGCGGCCTCAACCACGAGATTTTGTAAAAGGTATTCTGATTGCACCTCATGGCTGACACTGGTATCCGACCACAATACCGCTGTCACTTCAAGTTTCACAAATAAAGGCGCTTGGCACCCTCGTCCTTTCCTGCTACACAGACTCGGCGTCGAATGGCAATTGAAGCACAACTGACTCTAGATAGTAAAAGCTAGTGGCCTCAAAGAGGTAGGTGTACCTGCTCAGTATCACTAAACCCAACAGCACATCTGCCTTTTTACTCACGCACATGACTACGTCTTAGCACTCCTGCGGAGTGTCAAGGCTGCCACTTGTTCGCATAAATGAATAGTCTTACTTCACACGTCTAATAGCATTCTTCTTATCCACTTTTTTTTTGGACGAAGTCGACACAGAGACAACATTCTGAACGAACTCTTTCATGCACCATGACTGTTCCATCCTCGTCGCCTCACGATGTACGCAAGAAATGGAAGCTGCGTGATGCAACCTACTTGAGTCAGCTTGACCTTAGTCAACCTCCCCGAAGGGACGCAACACTGCAGGATACTGATGAGATTAGCAAATTGCGATCCAGTTCAACGACAGGAAATCATACATCGACAATTTTGCAACGCTCGGCAAGGTATTGAGAAATTCATTTGAAATGCAAGGCCGCTAATTCGAAACTCCAGGTCAAAAAGCGCTGGTGTTCAGCTACCACGATTCACCAAAGCCCATACCTGTAAGAAGAAGAACAAAGAGTCAAAAGCAATACAGGCGGCACAACAATCAGTCAGTACATGCAAGGCACAAATAGCATGGCGAGAAGGCCTCATGCGTACCTCGAATCATATTCCCGTCAATCTGGTCAATATTGATATCGACCTCGCGAGTGAAGCAATTCCTGAACTTCCGCACTGCTCGGCGCTGCTTCAGTTAGGTTTTCTTGGCTTTGACCAACAGTTGCATATCGCATATTTGTCTCTCCCTTACGCAGTTCTTACGGATATGCATGAGCTTGATAAATTTGCGTTGGCTGTATGTGAACGAAAGCTGCGCTCACTTGGTATCTTGGATGATTGCAGAATCCATGGATATGAAGTTCTATACCACAACGGTTTTACTTGGGCCAAAGGTAGAGTCAGACCAGGTGCTCCTACTCTCATTAGGTCGAATCAAGCGATGCTTGAATGGGCGCGTCAGAATCTGGACACGAAAACACACTGGGCAAAGTCGATCACCATTCGACTCGTCAAGAAAGACGGTACCCCCTCCAGCCCCTCGTATCGCACCGAAGAAGAGCGAACCTTGGTTGGGAATGTTACAGCACCACCAACCACAATCGTCAAAACTCGTCACAAGAGTTTGTCAGAAATCGAAGCTGGTGCCTATAGTAGAGCTATCTTCACCATCCTATTCCATACGAAGGATCCGGCGGCGACCAAGCGCAAGAGAGAAGCACGAATCCAGCTTGTTCAGGCTCAGAAGCAGCAGAGAATTGTCGACGAGGTAGCAGAGGCCTTTGCAAACATTAACTTTGGTCATCCGTCACTCGATCCCATTCCCAAATCCAGCGTGGGTGGCCCTCCCGCATCTAGCGAGCGGCGAACAATTTCTGCGCCTGCCATAAGCTTTCCGAGTTCGACAGCAGTAATCGATGTCGACATGGATTGACCTTGAGGTACGAGCAGCAGCTGGGAGAACTGATGAATAGCTACAGCGTGGTGTCAAGTGGTGGCAGCATCAAGGAAGAGCCAGTGCAAGCATGCATGTTTCTTCCCAACCAGAAGCAAAGGTCAGGCGTCGTGCACCAGGTGTTTGTACGTACCAGGAACAGATCTGCGAGTGGCTGGTGCGATTCGGAGTGTCTGCTGCTTGCACCTGATCATATGTGTCTAGTGTTTTAACCCAACATGCACAGTGCCAGTCATCAATTTTCGTATCAAGTCTTGCTTTCCAACCTATCTGATCGAATTTTTCTTTGAATCTTGTTTCTTTAGATCTGCTGAGGTAGCGGTCCTTCTTCCTGTTCACTACAAGACGGAAAACACTGACATATTTCACTCTAAATTAGAACCTGACATGTCCTCTACACTTGCTCCCTCCTCCCGCTCTACAAAGGAGATGCGGAGAACCTTTGCGAATTCCAGGAGAGTCCTAGCATGGCTCCAGCAAATGCCTGACCACGACACGATCAGAGAAGAAGACGGCACAATTACCTTTTTCAGGGGCGTAAAGGACATGGATGCGGAGATTCTTCAGCACGAGATAGACGTTATTAACGACGAGAAGAGTGTTAGAGCGCTGGAGGTACCAGGCTCAACGACTTTGAGGAACGATACATTGCAGGGGGCGAAAGCAGATGTGACTAGATCTGGAACATGTGAGCCAACAGCGAAAGGGTTTGCGAATCACAAAGCTAGGGAGGTTGCGCCAACTGCTAATGCTGTGATTGAGCAGTATAGGAAGGATACTCTGCTGAGGAGAGCGAATGTGGTCAAGACGGTGCAGCTTAGCAAATCTGGCATGCTCGAGGTTAACGGTGCTGGTCATCGGACGCATCCTGGTGGCTGTAAGGTCGGGACGACGGTGAGTGTGATAGATCTGACTCTTGGCGATGATGAGCCAGTCTCTGAAGATGCGATTTGATTGTTGCAGAAGGAGGTATTTTGAGTCGTCTTTGAACATGCCTAGCAATGTTTGACGAGCATAGAGAACAGCGGGAGATGCCAATAGATTGGTCAAACGAGACAGGGCAACACGAGCTGAGGCATTTACTGATAAAACACAGAAATTAGGCTTAGCCTACCTTGGCCAGTACCTTGTCCCAAGTTTTGACGACCAGACCCTGCGCCACTCCTTCACCGCCCTCACCAACGACCATCGCAAACTCGTCCAGACCACCCTGAGCACCGTAGCCCATCCTGCTAGTATAGCCACCAATATTGAACCATTCCTGGCAGCGTGGCGAGCTGAATACCGCACCGTCAGGCGTTGGTGCCATTGAATTAGGATTGTACCTGATCATTCTGTAGCCCTGCAACACTGTTCCCTGCTCTCCTGGCGCAGTCAAGCCACTTGGGTAAAGCCGCAGTTGAGTGTTATTAGCAGTCGTCCTTGCCAGCGCGGCAAAAGCAGTGCGCATGTCGACACCATTGATTGAGTAGTTAGCTACGAGCAGACCAGGACCATCATCAATGCTGAGGACAATCTCGAAAGTATCGGTGCCGTTGCCAGCGGCATTAGGACCAGAAAATGCAAATTCTCCGGTAAATCGTGTGGACGCTTCTTCTCTGGCAGCACTTTCAAAAGCAGGCACGAACGCAGTAGCTGCGATATCTGCCAAAATTCGGCTTACTGATGCAGTTCTCATGCCAGCTGTGAGAATGGTGAAGCCTGCGTCGTAGTCTGGTAGGAGAATGAGGTATGTTGAGTAAGCACCCAAGTCACCAGACTTTGTATACATCCATGTCGTCTTGTTCGTACCAAGTGCCTGGTAAATCTCCCACGGTGCTCCTACGGCTGACTTGCCATCAGGTAGAAAGCTGCTTGGTTTCATCCATTGTCGGGTCAATCGAGGCGAGAGAAGGGTGTGGGAGAGCATCGAACGGCCAATAGCGCTGATGTCGTTCAGAGAGGAGTAGAAGCCACCACCGGGCTGTAGGTAGCTTAGTGATGGTGTGAACACGGCGACGCTGTCGTTGATAGGTATGATTGAGTTAGAAAGATCGGTAGGTGCCTCGGTATATGTCGAAGTGAGGTTGAGTGGCTTGATGAGGTGGTTGGCAAATATGTCGTTGAAAGAGCTTCCAGTAATGTTTTCAAGAGCGAACGCGAGCAAGGAATATGCCATGTCGCTATAGACAGGTAGTGTTTCCGGCGCATAGACGGGATGAGAAACCAGGACCGAGTTGAGGTAGGTCGTTCGTGTGCATGGCAGGAAGGAATAGGTTGTACAGTTGAGGCCTTGCGCGTCGATGGGAAGGTCTACTGGCGATGGCAGGTTCGGGATCGGCGTCAACTGTGTAAAGAGTGCTTTTGGCAGAGCTGGATCTTTCTGGATACCGGAGAGCTGGTTCGCCAGAGCAGCGATTGTGATATCGCTCCATCTGAATTGGTCCAGATGATTTGTGGAGCTGGAACGTTGAGCATCATACGCTTCAAACTCCGGAATGAAATTTGTGATGGGCTCAAACCAGTGTTCATCTCCCACAGCTGCCAGCCAGGTATAAACAGTAAGCAGTTTTGACAAGCTTCCTAGCCGGTACGTTGTGTCGGACGTGACATTCACAACCCCTTCTTCAGGTGCTGCCAGAAGCTCAGCATTGTGATGAAAGTTGTATATCGGTGCTGTTTCGTGAATAGACCATGCTTCGAAGGAGAAAGTTGTGCCGTTCGGATCGAGGGCAAACACGCTTGAACTGTTGGAAAGTGCAGTCGCAACACTTTGCTTGAAGACTTGGACTGCTCTTTGAACGGAAGTTGTATTCGATGGATAATGAGGAGCTTGGAAATCTGGACCGGCTAGAGGGCAAGGTGATGATATCGCAGCGGCAGATGCGCTAATAGAAACGACAGCGAGAAGCGGCAGAGAATAAACGAAATGCATTGTGGACCATCGAGTTATATGGGCGAAGGAGAGTAATCGTGGAACTTACCTGCACATAACTACCCATTTATATGCATTTCTATGATGAGCAACAAGGGCATCACCATGCTAGGAAGAGGCTCCGATACCACATCGTACCGTGGCTTGGTCTGGTCTAGGATGTCTATCCAAGTAGGAAGAGCTCTCAAGGTAGTATGCAATCCGAGCTTTTGAGTCCCGCCATACGAAAGGAGCAGTAGCTTGTTGAGCTTCTGAAGGCAGAATGACACAATTTTGAGGAAGGACAGAACGCTCTTACAACAATAGCAGGGCGTGACCTCGAACTAAGATCAATTAGGAATCGAATGCGAGGTCTTGCAGTCACGTGTCTCAGGTGAATTGGATCAGGCGTTCCAGCGAAGAAATGATCTGCCACGTTCAATCCCAGTACCGTGTGGTTTCGACCATGTCAACATACTGGGGCCGAACATATTGTCATCCGCTGCGCTTGCATTAGTGCCTGCCTCAAAGTCTTTTTGTAGTGAACTCGCCAGGAGACCGCTGGAAAGGCTCAATTGATTCGCTCGAGACATGGATGCTCAATTCTATAGAATCTCCCTGGCCAATGCTACCTACGAATTGAAACAGGATGATCAGTTCAAGATCGAAATATCTGCACGATTCCTTTGATTTCACAAAGCAAAACTTGTTGACAGAATTCAAAGCTAGTTGGACCGCAAAGCGGTGTGGCGACCTTTATGTTCATCGCAGCTCTTGCGTATACATGGACCCTCCCACAATTTTGCGCCATTTCCAATCAGGACTGGATACCTCTTGCCCTGGTAGTCAATGTCAATCCTTCGTAGAGTCACCGGTTTATCCTCGAACTCGTTGGTTGCTCCATCAACCTCACCCATCATTGAGGTCGCTGTGGAAACTGGAACACAGGCTCGCTGTATTGTTGCTTGGGTCCCAGACAGCACAAGCCCATCATTCTCCTCACTGTCGCCCTCCATAAGTGCGTGTAACTTTTGCCTCAGGTCAAGCATACTAATCATGGAATCATGCTCCGGGAGGGCCCTCTCTTCGCCGTCGACTGTTGCGGTTCCATTCCTTCGACTAAACCGCGGTGATGTACCAAGCTCGCCTCCTAGTTGCACTCCCTTTCGCAAGCTCGAATCTCTGCTACAGCATGGTGTTGTCCTCGATCCTTGCTTGGCTTCTGGCCCTCCGCCGTTGTCATCTCTCTCAAGCATTTCTGCTGTGTAAGAATTCTTTTCACACTGCTCTGACTGGAAAATCGTGTCTTCATCATGGTTGGGATTTGATACCAGCAACGACGATCTTATTGGCGATAGGTCAGCATCACCACCCGTGGTTTGTGTCTTTGCCGAACCTCGTACAAGCGCTGTTAAGATTTGCTGCTCAACTTCAGAGACAGTTTGCGACTCGTCCCCGTCATCGTCTGAGATAGACAGAGTAAGCAAGCTGATTTCTGATTTGCCATCGGGCAAGCAAGACGTGTCCTTCTCGTTTTGGCTGCTGCATATTTCATGAGTTCCAAGCACTTCCTGAAGAGTGTGTGATCGTCTGTGGACAGCCTCGGTCACTCTATCTGTGCAACAATCTGAAACCTGCGGAGGTGTAGATGGTGGGGTCACTGGATGGCATTGACTTGTATTGACCTCGTCCGATGAGTAGATTGGAGACCCAGTTCGTGAAGCTGACGTTGTACTAATAATCTGGCATCTGTCTCCACTATGTCTCTGCACAGATGCAGGTTCCTCCTGCATCGTGCATGCCTCTACCGAAGCAGGTCTAAACCGAGACCGCTCAGGAACAAGAGGAGGCTCACCAACAGCCCCGGCTTTCGGAAGACGGAGTGGCGAGGGCTTCAGAGCAGCTACCGAAGCTGTATTGGACAGACTGCGCCGGCTTGGGTGACTCAATTGCAGGTCTACGCTGATTGTTGATTCAGCGGGACTAGCTATGCTGTCGCGGCAATAATCGCATTCTGCAGAGTGTGTCTCATAGACCTCGCCTGTAAGCAAGTAATAAGCATGATCACGATGAGGATCAGTGCTGACTGCTTGATGTGGTGGTGTTCGATACCTTCGTTCACTGCCCTGTATTCGATCACTAACTTCTCGAATGTCCGGCTGCAGCATCTCTGGGCTGTACTGCAACGTCTGCTGCCCGAACAACGGCTCAGCTGGCAGTTGCTCTTGTGGTTCTGGACACTGCGAAGGTGGTGGTCGTTTGGGCCGTGTGGGTGCACGTTGAAATCTCCATCTCCAAGAATTAGACTGGGCATTTTTACCGGCAAGCGATGAGAGAAGAGATGGCTTCGAGGACGAAATAGGCGCGGTAGGAAGTCGTAAGCCCTTGAAATTTCTATTACTGCTCTTTTCAAAAGGCGGAACCCCGGCCTTTATAGGTACGAATGTGGTAGGATGGTATGGATGTTGCTCGTTGGTGTCCGTCAATCTACGAGCATTGGGCGCCTGTTCAAGTTGCGGGACAGGACTTGAAGGCCTCTCGATAGCATGCTGGCAATATACACAATGCTGACAACCTGGGCCTGCCATTTTCGATATAGCCAGCGAAAGATTCAGGAGAGATAGAGAAATTGTCTTATCGCTAGATGAAGGAGGCAAGTAACGACGTGAACAAGTCTGCAAGGTCGTCTGAGTGATCCTAGAGCTTCGATCATCTGCATTACTCGTATTCTTGCTGCCAGTCATGCAAGCCAACACAAGTCTTGGTCGATCAGCAGTGAGAGTCTAGCTCGGGTGCTTAGATTTGCGTATGCCTATGAACGGCAAGCCGAATGACCACCATGTCGCAGTCTGTGGCTGATCCGTCGTGCCCTACGATTGTCGAGCAATGCCCGCCCATATTAGAAGCATAATGGCTGTTCGTCAGATTATGTGACTCAAAGTTGATACAACAAAATCAATGTGGCTGTGTTAACATAATCAGTCAATATGTATCGTCGCGCTGATGACAAGTTCTGAGACGTTTTGTAGTACGAATGGGCGAAAAGTATCACCTACGGTGAGATCGAACGCTGCCGGCAAGAGCGATCGTTGGCGAAGATTGTACCATAATTGCTACTAAGAGGTCGTCAGCAGAGGCAAACCCAGCTCTACCTCTAAAAAAGTATCGAACTATGTCATTCTCACCAACAACGTCTTCTCGTAAAGTTCAGATCAATCTGATACCACATTGGCATTTGTAGGAGTGGCATTTTCCATGTTGTTCGCGACGCCCGTCACGCCAGCGATCTTCATTGATCATCGTGCTCTCAAACACAACCTTGGCATTGATTGGAAAGGAATTCCTTTTAAGTCGTGTCCTGACGGCCAGGTGCTGAAAGGCTTGCCACTGTCCATTGGCAGAGTGTGATGGAAAACACGTAAGGCAACACTGGGAATAACGCTGGGGACGGCGATACATCAGATCGAGGTTCAATACCTGCGATCGTAGTGCGTCATGTATCGCACAGCGCATGCATCCCAAAGAGAAGCGCAGATATGACACAAAGAATGCGCGTCTTTAGCTGTAGCAGGTGCTTGATAGTCAAGGAGGTGTAGTGGGAATGTTAGCTATCCATCAAATTCTACCATAGTAACCGAAATCTGTTTCTGAACCTCGGCATAAAATGGGCTGAAGAATCACAAGTCGCTGACCTTTAATATGAATTCACCACTTTAATCACTCTTGAGAACCAAGATTAGCGCAAGTAGTTCCAGTGTGCTTCTCAACTGTTGATACCATCTCACCAAACTTGACGTCCAGTAGAAAGTATTAGATTGCTGGTTTCCGGCTAATTGTATCACATCACCAGGCCAGCCGTACCGCGATGTCCACCACAGCTAGGCCAAAGGTCTTACTCTTTGATATCGGAGGTGTTTGCGTACGATACCAGATCTGAAAGTGTACGTTCGCATTTACTGACACCTTCACTAGGTAGTATCGCCATTCCAAGCAATTTTAGATTACGAAAAAGCCCACAACATTCCAACAGGCTACGTCAATTTTAGCATATCATTCAGTAAGCCAAACGGAGCATGGCAGAAACTAGAGCGAGGTGAGATACCGTTGGATGAGAACTGGTTTGCAGCTTGGAAGAAGGACATACAAAACCCAAAAGCGTGGGAGACTTTCCACAAATCCAAGGTCGACCAGTCTAACTACAACTCTATTCCACCAATGCCTGATGTCAAAGTAGATGAGTTGTACTGGATGATGATGGGCATCAGTCGACAGCCGGATCCGCACATGGGACCAGCATTGAGAAAGTTGAAAGAGACCGGTAGGTGGAAGCTAGCAGCTTTGAGCAACACCTCGATCTTTCCTCCAGGTCATCCATTCAATGAGCCTCGACCAGATGACGTCCGAGACGTGTTCGAAGTTTTCATCTCTTCAGCTCACGTAGGCATGCGGAAACCTGACCGCAACATATATGAGTTTACTATGAAGAAGCTGAGCGAAAAGTGGCCAGAAGCAGAGATTGAGCCCAAAGATATCGTGTTTTTTGATGATATCGGAGAAAACCTGAAGATGGGCAAGAGTTTTGGGTGGAGGACTGTGAAGGTATGGCTGGGAAAGACTGACGAAACAGTGAAGGAGCTAGAAAGAATTACTGGCGAGCAGCTTCTTGAAACATCACGCGCCAAGCTGTAATTGTGTAGTGAAGGTTTCATTGCACAACAAAAACTCGAACGTGATTGGACGAGTGAAAAAAAGGATTTTTGTTTGCAAGTCGGACCAAAGACTCCAAGAAGAAAACTCTACATCGAGATCACAAAACCAACCACTATGAGCGCTCATCAGCCAGAAGTGATTAGCTTGCTCAGCTCATCACCCATTCCAGAAGAACATTCTAACCATAAGCATGATGAATCCCTACCTGAATTCGACACAAGCGCGTCGCTCGTAGACAATGTACAGGTCGAACATGCACGAGTCTCAGACGGAAATGACTATCCTTCGCCATACACTGCGACGATTCCCAACATACTTGCTTGCGATGCGGCTGGAGCCAGAAAGAGTTTACCAAGGCTACCGGTTGTACGAAAATTCAAGCAAGATCAGTACACGAGTGTGCTCGAGCACGACCTAGCAGTGACGAAGACGAAGCTGGCTCAAGCTAATTACAAGATCCTGGAAATGGAGCGGACGCAGGAGGAGCTGATGCGACTGAAGGATGAGCTGGAGATAGAGGTGCATGCATTGAGGGAAAGCCATCCACAATCTTCGACTCCCGCAAACATGGGACAATGGCCTGGCTTCCCAGTGACCCAATCAAAGCAACCTCAGTTCGTGGCGCCACAACCGATTTGGTATCAGCCCAATCTAACGATGCAATCACCACAATATTCGGCACGGCCAGCAAGCCCATCACCATACGCCAACGTTTGGACAGTCGCGCCGCCAGCCGCAGTCGGGAACGAGTATAGACCTTCTCCGCAGTCCTTCAGTCAGCCTGGGAGAAACAGATAGGGCCGTCTGTGCCACGCACTGTTCGCGTCAAATCATACCAAGACTAACGGCACCAGGCGTTCCACCATATATTCACGATCCTAAGTCAGGGAATAGGGGAGGAAGAAGCTAAATATCGAAACATTCAGTTCGACGCACAGGTGGCAGAGCTATGGCAGAAAGCTAGACACGAAGTCGGAAAGTTACTGGTCGAGGGTTTTACATCTCAGATAGTCCTTGAATAAATGTGAAGCTCAAAACCGATCACGCTCTAAGTAGGATGGAACCATGCATCAAAGACAGAAGAAATATCAACCATCAGTGCGGCAACCTTGATTCAGTAGTCTTTTCAGCGACGCGTCTCGCGTCCCGCGCTTCTTCACTCTCGTGCTCGACCACTTCCCCTCCCCAATGCTTCCATCCCAACTAAACATACACAATGCCTCTCTCCACAGACGCTGCTCAAGCTCTAACATCCTCCAAATCCACCTTCCTAACCTCCCAATTCCGTCTCCTCGACACACCCCTCACAACTCCCACATCCAATATCCCACTCCTCCCTAAACCTATCATAGACAAGACTGTAGCCCAGGTAAACAAGAAAATCTCCCAGCAAAACAAGCTAGTCTACTCACTCGAGTCGAGACGACATGTGCTTGAGCAGATTGATGGTGTCTACTGGCGGGATGTGCTCGCGGCTGGGTTGCCAGTCAGGAAAGCTGAGACGGTGATAAAGAGGGAAGTTGACTTTACGAGTCGTAATTCGCAACATGGTATTGAAGTGCTGCCGGATTCTTGGGAAGATGTCGTGCTTGGTGAACGACCTGCGAAGCGGAGGAGGAGGAGGAGGAGGATGGAAGATCAGGATGGGCAGGGTGAGGGAAGTCAAGAAAAACCAGTACTACCCACCCACAATCCGTCCATCAACTCAGAAGATATCAAGCATGACCAACAAACAGCCAAATACGCAGAGCTGCGCGAACGACTCCTAGCACAATCTCAGCGGAGGAAAGACCTACAACGAAAGATGGCGCAGTACAAGCACCTCCAGACCCTCCTCAGACCGTTGGAAAATCCTCATGTAAACATTCAGCCGAACCTTGTCACTCGAGATAACAAGGAGCTGGAGAGTGAGCTGGTGCGTATGAGGGTGTTGCTGGCTAGGGCAGGGAATGCGTTGCAGCAGAAGTCGACGGTGCGAGAAGCAGGGACGGATAGTCCAGGACCACACAGAGGAGGAGCTACGAACTTACAGAAGTTACAGGCCGTCCTGGAGCTGGGGTGAATCTGGAGAAAGACTTGGGAAGGACAGCACAGATACGTTGTCAACTCAGGCTCAAAATGAGTCGGAGCATGGGATGTCTGATCTCATTAGGGGCACAAGCCGGAGTCAACCGACAGCAGTAGACCACACGGCCGTTCAAAGAAAGCAAGACGGCGCTAATTCATTATCGTGAGATCTCGTACAAGGGAATGACTCCATTGCCTCTTGGTAGTGTTACAGTATCTGCATGAGCAGCTCAATCATCGTCAGCGTCTTCAACCATGGGCGCAGCATGTCGCTTGGTCGCCAAAGCACCCCCAGCGGAAGCAGTAGGTTCACTGCCACTAGTAATAGCGCCACCATTCATGTTTGACGTTGGCACATCTTGACTCGCCTTCTCAGCCGCTTGCTGTCCAGCAGCGATAGCACCACCGTCACCACCCTTCTTGCTCTTCTTTTTCTTCTTCGTTTCCTGCCAACCCCAGACCGGCTTGAAACTGTCAAAAAACCCAACATCCTCGAACAGATTTGGAAACAGCCATAACCCTGGCGGTACTGCGAAAACTGTAACGCAGAAGAGAATGAGTCTGAAAATAGCCATGGCGAAGAATGCACCGAGTAGACCCATTGCGCCGACACTCAGGTACCATACGCCTTGTCGCATGAACATTGGCCAGAGTGGAAAGAGAACAACGGTGAATACAGCGAGCAGAGCCAGTATACTGTAGACTCGTGTCTTAATGCTTGGTACCTCGTAGATCCACATGTAGTGCATCATCGGCTCAAATTCTTGCTGACCTTCGATCTTGACATCCCAAAGACCCTTTACTCGTTTTGGTTTCTTGTGATTGTGGCCTGCATGCTCATCATCTTTCTTTCCCACTCTTAGCGCAAGCATGTTTAGTGGGAGAAGTTGAACAGCGTTGCGGGCTTCAACGTCGTTGGTGACTGGAGGGAGTAAAGGATCTTTCTCACGAGCCTTTTTGTAAGCATCGCTTTGTAGGACTCGAAATGCGCGCTTGACTAAAGCATGTATTAGCACAGTTTTATGAAAAGAAAGAAGAAAGACATACCCTTGAACATCTCTTTCCTCTGTCCATCAAAAATACACGTTCGCAATTTGAGATCTTGAGATCTAAGAAATTTTGCAACAGCAAGCGCATCAGGCTTTGGCTCAACAGGCTTGTTCAGGTCAATCTTCTGTAATTGAGGTTGTCCAGGCTGGGGTTGTGGTGGCTGCCCATTCGCATCAGGTGGTTGACTCTGTTGACCCTGTTGCTGGGCCTGTTGAGCCGCCTGTCTTTGCGCTTGTATTGCTTCCTGCTGCTTCATGGCCAGAAACTGCTGCGGGCTCATTCCTGCCTTGGCTGCCTCTTCTTGTAGCCGCTGCTGTTGCATGGCTATGAATTGTTGCGGTGTCATTCCTGCCTTTGCGGCTTCTGCCTCCAAGCGCTTTTGTTGAATCATCTGGAGTTGCTTGAATTGCTCGAGTGTGAGGCCGTGCTTCTTCGCTTCTTCTGTCATTCTTGCCTCCATTTCTTGTGGTGTGACTTGTCTGCCACCAATGAAGGGACCCCCTCCGGGAGCTGCCATGTTTGGAATTTGATATTATTCTTTCAAGAGTGGTTTCGTGGAAAGTTCGGTCAGTAAGGATCCGTGGTTCTGGGCGTATTCGCGGTGTAGAATACAGAACCAGAACTAACAATTGACAATCGATAAATAATCGAGGATCATAATGGAAGCCACAGTTGCCCGTCCTGTACCCGAAAATGGCAGGTTGGACGATGCGATACGATATCACTCTTCACGGGACACCACGCCATTTCGCATTTCAACTCTGGAAAATACCGAATAAGGACACTTCACAAGCGTTACATCAACAGTATATATAAGAGCTTGTTTCTGCTGCGAATAAGCTCGATAGGTAATCTATCTTCATGCCCGCTCTATTTACTAACAACTCAGAGTGCGCTCTTCAACACTTCTTTCACCTCCTCCTCATTCAGCACAGGCAATCCTAACAGCTCATTGTCAACCTTCCCTGTAAAATCCGGCTTGTTCTCTCTACCAAAAGCGGTATCGATAACAAAATCCCTCATGACACTTCCCATGTTGGCGTTGGGGTTTTGAACTCTTCCCAAGCCCCCTTGGCAATGTCACTGGTGGATTTGACTTCAGTCTCGCATTCCTTCCCATCGATACTCTCGTACAATTGAATCAGCCGCTTCTGCGTCACAACAGCGTCGTGAATAAACACGGCTCGATTCTTGGTTGCCTCCTGATTCTCGATGATTCCAACTACAGCTTTGCCGATCGTCGAAAGTCGAGTAGTGGAGAACGGCACATCACCACCATCATAAAGAGTGCCTTTATGTTTTTTTGGGTTCAAGATGAAGCCGACTTCCAGACCCCAGTCGAAAAAGACATTGTTGTATACCAGCGTGTAAGTAAAGTCCGGATCCGCGGCAGCGAGCTCTTCCAAGTGTTTTTCTACTGCTATCTTGCCTTGCGTGACGGGTAGTGGTCGATTTATTGGGTCACGTCATCTGAGCCAAATCCACTCGGGATGAACCTCTTCACACCAGCCGCCATAGCGGTGTCAATCAGAGGCTTCTGTGTGACGACTAGGCAGATGCTAGCGTCGAGATCACCACTTCCAGACCTTGGAGCGCTGCGATGAGTTCTTGCTGATGTGTGTAGTCCACTTTGACAACGTGCTGATTTACATGCTTGGGCAGATTATCTGTCGTGTTGCTGTCCTTTCTTGACAGGACGATTACCTCGAAGTCTGCGTCGAGGAGTGCTTTCAGGATAGCTGGTCCTAAGTTGCCTGTAGCACCTGCGAACGCGATCTTGGGAGCCATGTCGATTCAACTTGAGTTTCAGAGGCTACGGAAGGTTGTATGAAGTCTGTGTCTTGCTTTGGTATATCGTTTATTTTGCTGCTTGTGCTCGTGCTTATGGTCGAAGCCGGCTATGGTACAAATTTCGCGCTCTAATATACCTTTGACTCAAGAGCCGGCATCCTCACCTCAGGTCTCGGCTCCGGCATCACCTTACTGTAGCTTACATATTCGGCCGCTATAGAATTGACGCAAACATTGCGAATCCTATGTTGTATTATGAAATCAACATCCTTGCCCATGAATCTGAGCTCTATCGGGCAACTACGCTAACCCGTATTTGGGCTACTGCACATCCCTAAAATGGTGTGTTCTCGGCAGGCACTCCTTCATGTTCCTCCTTGAACACGTCCGTCCGTATCATCGTTTGCAACCGTCTATTTTGATCGCACAAGGTTTAGAGCCGAGCATGTTACTGAACTGAACAAGGTATTGACATAGTATATACATCATTATATGTCGTCCGTATAATAACTATCCTTCCTCACTGTACAGTGGTAATTCTTGCTAGTCCAAGCAATGGTCCTTATCCACAAGTGGTTTCTCCTTATCCCGTCCTGTTCAATGCGCCATAACAAATACCTTTAACTAAATTACATATTAGCCAGTTGTTCGTCAATGGCTCTATCCAGGAACGCCCTTCTATCGCCTGCTGGTACCTCCGCTTGCAGTCGCTGTTCGACCAAAGCCCGGACTTGCTTTTTCGTAACACTATCTAGGTCGACCTCGTGTAGCACATCTCTGATCGCTGCCACTATCGACTCGTTCGATGGTCCAGCTGGATGTGCAGTTCTGAAGTCGAAAGCCGAGCCAGGCCGACTCTGGTTGGCATTCAGCCCAAGTAGTGACCTAGAAGCTGCAGCAGACATGTTCGCATTTGTGTTGTAAGGTCCTGGTGATGGTGACTTCATCATTCGTGATATACTGCCAGTACTGAGGAGTGAGTTTTGACGATTATGCAAGGAAACTGGCTGATCCTTGTATGTACCCATGCCAGATACTGCACCTCCACGAGCGTAGGGCATCGGAGAATGTGGTGGTACCATGTATGGAGTGCCATGTTGTTGGTGAAAGTTGTTCAGGATAGTACTCGTCGGCTTGACCGAGGAATATGTACTGTGCATGTCGTCCATCTCCATACCACCGTAGCCAGGTTCGTCAGAGTATGGAGCATATCCTTTCTCTTGATAGCCTCCATTTGGTTCGCCTCTTCTTCCGGGTAGACCGTTGTGCGTAGCATAGTCATCCCACTTTTGCAATGGAATGGATCGAGGGTCGAAGCCTTCTTCTTGCAGTGCAACAACCTTCTTGTCTCCCTTCTCACCAATGACTACACGTGTGTTTCCCCAGGAGAAATCGTCCTGCTTCCAGAAAGAGTAGATAGGGAGGATGAACGAGTAGATAGGATATGCGATGATATAGATAATCATCCATCCCACGTGCTGCCATTGTCGTTTGACAATGAAAATTATCGCTTGTAAACCATAAACAGCCGCAATCATGATGATGGAGATCAGTGGGAACTGGCCGGTCCCGGTGGCCACTATGTAGATGAGATATCCCAGGTAGACACAAGTTGCTGGCAGGATGATCGTACCGAAAAGATCCAGGAAGACGATGAACCGCATGGAGAAGCAACAAAAGCCGCAGAGATCCTTCAGCCAGACAAGTTCAGCTAGATTGTGAACAGTTGAGTTGATCCAGCGACGTCTTTGTGACAGCAAGACTGACCATGTTTCGGGAGCTGCCGTAAGTGCGTAAGCATCAGGAACGAACTTGTAGGACATGTGAGGGAAGTGCTTCGTCATCAAAGTAGTCAAATATCGGTCTTCACCCAAAGCAAGAAGATTCTTCTTGTGTAAAGTGTCGACTTCGCAGTCGGCGTACTCTTGAATGAGCTTATCGGCAATGATGAGCGGCTTGCCCTTGTCAGCGGAGCGTAGACGATACATGCAGAAACTATCAGGAATTAGCAGAGCTTTAATGCGAGAGGGAGGGTAACCTACCATCCAGGCAAGCAGGTAACACTGCCGAACAGGGATTCGAAAGCCTTGGCGAGATGATGCGAAATATAGTACTCGTAGACCTGGATCATAGTCCACCAACTTCGTTCTTCGTTTTCCAGACTGGTCTCGCCACAGATACCAGCAATCTTAGCATCATTTGCACAAGCAGCGACCAGTCGATTGAGTGAGTCTTCGCGCACCATAGTATCAGCATCAACCATAAGAAGGTATTCGTATAGCTCAGGGTCAACGCCGATGATGTTGTTGATCTGATGGAACATTTCCAACTCAAGAGGCGACATGGCAGCGCGGTGATGAACACGATTCAAGAACTGCATCAGCAAGATCTGAGAGTCTCGCTTGCCTCTGTTTCCAGGCTTTGACTTGTTCTGTTCGGATTCTTTGCCAACCTTAACGACGACGATATAAGGTACCACGTTGCCCTCAAACTCGTATAAACCGGAATAGACTTTGCCGTAATTGAGTTGCTGATTGCCAGCTCCTACAGATCTGAAAGGCAGAGCAGGTGGATCGATCTTGGGGTCAACTCCAAGAATATCGAGAACGATCTTAGGGGTCGGCCTGTCATTACCGCCACCAACAATCATGCCATCGCATATGACACAGATAAGCTTACGCTTGTTGTCATATTGCAAGGCAGTCAAAGAATCCAACGACTTCCTCAGATGGTCCTCACCTTCTGTATAGGCGGGTACTTGACAAATGACAAATTTGTCTTGTGGAGAAGGTCTTCTTTTCGAGCCGAGTTGGAGTGCAGCTAGGAACTTCGTCAATATGACGGCACAAAGAATCATTGCAAAGGCAAGCAGGAGGTAGTTGTTGACCTGGCAGCGGGCTGACTCTCGGAAGTCAGTCTCACCCTTGTAGAAGGCATTGTTCAGACAATTAAGACTGTTCTGCCACGTAACGCTTGAGCCCCATCTGTCGGTAACATCGGTTCCTGGATATTTCTGAAACAGTTCCGTGACCTCGTCTGGTAAGAATTTGTATGTAGTGTAGTCGTTCATGCGATCCAGCGTGTAGAGGTAGTCGGTGAGATCGTAGATCTTGTTATTCACCACCACCCAGGAACGCTGGTCCTCGTCGGCTTGCTTGCGAATGTCTTTCCAAGAAACGACTAATGCGCCCTTGTAGTACTGTTTGATGGTAGGTAAGAACTTTGAGCCGAACCAATCCCAAGAGTGTAAAGCAGTGGTGGTGTCGCCCTGAAATCTTTCACCGTTGTAGTGGACACCATTAGTGAATTGCTGAGCTGCAGTGTCATTATATTGTAGTTGCACACTTTCATCGACGTTCAGTCCTGGGCATGCTCGGCTGAGTGGAGGTGGAAAGTAAGCGTCCAGGTTCATGCCAGCGAACGGCATCATGTTCGATGCATCAGTCTTGATGTTAGTATCACTGTGGTCCGTCTTGTAAAATTTGGTCATATCGTAGACTTTGCCAAAGATGCTAACATAGTAGTCGTCAGTACCTTGATGATATCCAACTTGCTTGGCGTTCCAGGCTTTGTCCATGTTGGGGCAGAGCAACTTGCCAAAGACAACGATGTAGAAGATGACTGTCGCGTTGAACAGGAAGATGAGCATATTCAGCACGAGCTTTTCACGCCAGGCCATACGCACGTCTGGTCGTTTCATACGACCAATGCTGCGTAGCAAGATCGAAGGTATGAAAAAGGTTAGAGCCCAGACGATGCTAACCCACGCTTGACGACCTTTGCTGGTCTTCTTGGATTCGATCCTCTTCGTATCTGCAAGTTCGGGATCTATTGCGGTGTACTTGCCGAATTCTGTATCGTAGAACAAGGCATCCTCCTGGCTGTCATCACCTTTAGGTCCGAGACCATAGTCACCTCCAATGGTGTTAACAGTCTTGGCTGCAGTTGGTGCCATAGACTTCGGCCGACCGATCTGATCCAGCAGGTTCTCTCTGCTATCAACCATGCTCATCTGGTCCATTGGCGGGAAGAAACCACTACCATTATGGGGTGTGTTGGCTGAATACGAGCTTGCAAATGGGTTCTCGCCGTATTTCTCATGCATGGGTTTCATGTCAAGCATCGTTTCTGCTTCCCACCAAGCATTTTCTCTCATCCATATTCTTTCCCGACCAAGAACAACTTCGCCATTGCTCCAGCCTCGTTCCAGGATGAAAGTCTCGACACCGTCACGACCATCTTTGCAACCTAATCGAGAGTATCTTGTGACAAATTCCTCGACATCGAAGTCAGCAGTAAAATCGAGATGCCTATTGCGCCTGTTGGCCCATTCCGGTAACCGCCATGCCCGTAATTGACGAGATACAGCACCAGCAGACCAAGCAGATGTTGGTGTTGGCAGAGTGGCAAGACTTGCGAGCGAGTCGTCTGTGGGATGAAGTGACAATTGAAACCAGACTCTGCTACTAGCGAGCGAGGCAGCGAGTTCAAAGCGGCCTTTGGTGCCGAAGCTGAGAACGCCGTCGCCTGTAGGGTAGAGTAATGTCTTCAGGAAGCCACCCTGTTCGGCTTCAATGCCGACGCGCTCCAAGATGCCGTGCCTACGATCCCGGTCATGCTCTCGTTCACGAGCAACCGGCCCACCAGCGATAGCAAGGTCAGCTGCAACATCGGACAATGCAGCTTGCATTTCCTTGAGAACAGAATGGCCAGCCGCTACTACCTCGACACCATCTTCTTTCATTTCAGCATTGATGCCTATTGTATCGTCAAAGACACTGCGTAAAGCGACTGCCTTGCCAAGTGCCTCAGGGGGAATTTCAATTACAGTCACACTGACCTCATCGCCGTTATTTGTGGCATCATCCGAGCTGCTGTCGCCGCTGAGTGGAATCTGGAGACCAACGGTAATGGCAGCATTTGCCTTTAAGATTACCCAATCTACCAACGCTTCGTAGATGCCAGCGATGAGGACTTGACGGTCATCGGTCGAACACTGCCTCAGCAGGATTTCGGGCTCGATACCTAGTAGACTGCCGACATCTTCGCAGATCTCTTCCAGCTGTTCTGCGTCAACAAGAAGACCTAGAGTATCGCCAAGCTTGAGAAGCGCAGCCAGGGCGGATAGGAGACCACGATAAGCTGCGCCCTTGATTCCAATGGCTTTGAGGGCATTGCGGAAATCTTCAGCGGAGGCCGCATCGTCAGCAGTAGGTAGGTAAGAGGGTGGCTCGAAGGTTGCTGAACGGTTGAGCAAGCTGTATTGGTGGAGTGGTTTCAGGCCCAGAGTCTCTCTTTCGCTCGCGCTTGCGGAGGCATGTAAGTAGTAGAAGACGTCAAATGCTCGATAGCCAGGTTCGGAGGGAATGTTTAGCAGGCCTTGGTCTACGTCAATGCCGGATGTCGAAAGTGCCAGTTTGATGGCAGTGAGCTTGCCTGCAAGCGACAGAGTATAGGTCGCTGCAAGAGAAGAGTGTCTACCAGTCTCGACATTGAGTGGCGTCACACATGTGAGGAAAGGGCGCAGTGCAGTAACAGCAGCAAAGAGAACGTCTGGTGCGTCGACAGGCAGGATCCTGAGGAATTGAGTGAATAGAGAGGGAGTGGAAGGATGGGCTGAGGCAAGCACTATGCAACCATCCTCAGCTCTCCTTCTTGCATGTTCCCAAGCCTTGACAGCAGTCTCGTCGTCTACTGTGCCACCAGTCCTGCCTTGTGCATCTGGGTTTTGGGCCGATGACCATGTATTAACCAGAATACTCGTGCTGGCGTCGAGTGAGTATGGTTGACCCGAGGAGTATATCGTATGTAGGGCATTGAGCAGAGTGGTCGTCGAGACTTGCTGCGGCTGCTGAACAGCCTGACGAGCATTTGTAGCGGCTGACAAGCCAGACATCTGGGAATATCTATTTGCAGCCATGTTGCTGGTGTTTCTCAAGAGACCCTGTCAGGTAGGACCGCTGACAGGGCGATTATGCCCTCGTTGCTAAAAGCTTCAAACACTCGATTGCCTCTTTTACTTTGCTGAGATTCTCGATTGTTGTCCCTCTTTGCCTTCTCCTGCTAGATCTCGGAATAGGGAGGCTCTCGATAGTAAGCGGTATTAGTTGGGCAGAATCAACCGGTGCCTGAAGGTATTGTCGAAGCGAATGACAGATGCTGATGAACGATAGACAGTGAAGGGAATGCAGCAAGCCGGACGAACAAGAACGATTCAAAGCAAGTCGACCGTTGAAACAATTGATGCTCTGAGAATGGATGAGGCGTTGGCAACATCCACCAGCGCGACTGCCGTCCACAATACGGGTGAATTACAGCCATCTCGTGTGTCTGACGAGCTTTTCGTGGCGTAGACATGGACAGGGAGGTGGATCACGAGCCGAAAACAAACTTAGCTCAACCTTAGTGATCCTGGGCTGGAAGCTCCTCCCGTGCTGATCGGGCTTGACTTGGCAACGCTAGGTCGCTATGGAGATGTGGCAGGGATCCAATCAGTCATGATTTTCCTCTCCTGAGTACTGGTGTTTCTGGTGTTTGTCGCCATGTAAGCCAGCCGCATCACCGAGTCTACTGCAGCTCAATGTCCGTTGTACGTCCAACATCTGTTGTAGCTCGTACTCGTGGGTGTACACAGTCAAGTAGCACACGGCAACACGGACATTATCGTGAAAGCAGATGCACGACAATCATTCGACGAGTCAAGGCCCTGCTGACGCCACTCAGATTTATTTATCGATACACATGGCAAGATCCGTGAGGAGGCCTGTGAGATGGATGCGTTGAGAAAGGCATTGACCATATTCGTAAACTCTTTGAAACATTGGAGAGTGCACCGACCACCACATGCGAGACATGCACTGATCTATTCAAAAAATGCTGGGCCAATCGCATGTTGAAAAGCTGAAGCTCCGGCTTACATCATCTGCATTACAGTATTCGCCGCAAAACTAATACAACGCCTGCCGATGCTATTGCTCCATTGCAGCCCATATCGTGCATTCAGAGTGAGCAATTCATTCTGGCAAAACTACGCCCTACAATGCCGAACCTGGCTGCAGCACGGAGGCATGAGTTCTCCAGCTAGCCAGATGGCCACACTAATTTCCAAATTGTGTTGGCTATTTCCCCAGAAAAGCCATGACTGGGTAGAAGCGGTGGTCTTGGCTACCTAAAAGCTGAGCTAAACCCAATCTTAGACCTGAACAGGGTTATCCTAGTTGCAATTGTCTGGCCTTCAGCACATCAAATCCATTGCTCACCGTTAAAGACCATCATGAGCCCGGTGGCAACATCACAATTCCGATGCCACAGCACTGCGAAGTGCTGTATTCGAGAAGTCAAGCAAGAGCAATCATGCAGTTAGCAGCGGACAAGCAAGCACAATATCCTATGTCACCACCAGTTTTCGCGTCTCGAGTGTTTGAGGCGAACCTCGATTCGGATCCACATAAACAGTTACTAGAATAGATCCGGCCTGTGGTCATTACAATTCTAGGAATATTTTCATACTGCGCCCCTGGGGATTCCCTCTGCTTCTGAAGCCATGCCGGAGCATTACCTCTTCAGTGCTTGTGTTGTCCTTTGACCTGCGTGCATTCGGCCTGCCTTGCTGTCTTGCTATTCATCACCATCGTCAATCACAGCAGCAACAAGTATACGTTCGTTTCGCATTCTCTCTGTGGCTTGTTGATTACCTGCTGTGCTGTGTAAATCGCTCCTGCTCAACAAAAAAGCAACAAATAACGACTGTTCTATATTGCTCCTAATACAAAAGACCTCAACATTCGTTGCCACGATTATACATTCGAATAAGTGATAGTTCGGAAGACCAGTGTCCGACTGCCATATCAGCATCTACAGCGACTTAGCACGTAACCTCCCTCAGGAGAAGCTCATTATGGCTGCTGCCATCGGCGGCAATGTTCCTGCTCACATGCAGGCTTCATTGCCAGCCCTCCCTGCTCATCTTCAGTCCGACACTCACCTCACTGCCCACCTGGCCAGCAGGTTCCATGTGAATCTACCTACCGCACGATTATCCTCACAAGCACTGTTATGCCTCAATACGTACACCTCATCAACCAGGGGCATGAATGGCAGCAAAGAGGGGAGCGCAATGGCTGAAGCAGAGGATTTGGCTCGCAGGGCTTGGACGAGACTGGGAAGTAGAGGTGAAGACCAGGCTGTTGTGTTTTTGTGAGTTGTTGTCAAAAAACCTAGTCTTGGGTAATTGCTGACTTTTGTACTACAGCGGTGAATCTGGCGCCGGCAAAACGACTGTACGATCCCACCTTCTCTCCTCCTTTCTATCCTTTTCCTCGACTCCTTTGTCTGCGAAACTGTCGCTCGCCGCCTTCGTCTTTGACACCTTAACAACAACTAAATCACACACTACACAAACCGCTTCCAAGGCTGGTTTGTTCTATGAGCTCCAATACGATGGCTCCTCTTCCAAGCCGACACTCATTGGTGGCAAACTGCTGGAACACAGACTCGAGAGAGCGCGACTGGCCGCTGTGCCGACAGGTGAACGAAGTTTTCACGCCCTCTACTACCTAGTGGCTGGTACTAGCGCCGCAGAAAAGCAACATCTAGGACTCAGCAATTCTTCCAGCGCACCCGCAACTGGAGGCGGACTTCATAGGTCGACTTCTGTCAAAGGAGACAAGAGATGGCGTTATTTGGGACATCCAACGCAAATGAAAGTTGGCATAAACGACGCCGAGGGTTTTCAGCACTTCAAGACCGCCTTGCGCAAGCTCGAATTTCCTCGTACTGAGATTGCTGAAATCTGCCAGATTCTTGCTGCCATCTTGCACATCGGTCAGCTTGAGTTCGGTACTGGTCAACGAACCCTGACTGCAGCGGAAGAAAGTGGTGGGTATTCGCACGAAGGTGGCGAGACAATAACAGTGGTCAAGAATCGTGAGACCTTGGAATATGTTGCGGCTTTCCTCGGCTTGAGCGTCCTCGACCTGGAAGAGAGTCTACGTTACAAAACCAACACCATCCACCGAGAACGTGTTACTGTCATGCTTGATCCCAAGGGTGCCAGAGACAACGCAGATGAATTGGCAAAAACTCTCTATTCTTTGCTGGTGGCGTATATCATGGAACAGATTAATTCCAGAACCTGCGCAGTGGAAGAAGCCGTTGTCAACACTATCTCTATCGTCGATTTCCCTGGCTTTTCCGAGACGAGCACGACTGGATCAACCCTAGATCAATTGCTCAACAATGCCGCGACCGAATCTCTTTACAACATTTGCTTGCAGAGTTTCTACGAGAAGCGAGCAGATCAACTTGAGAGTGAAGAAGTAAGTGTCCCTGCCACAAGCTACATGGACAACTCAGAGACTGTGAGAGGTATTCTCAAGCACGGCAATGGCCTCCTTGCTATACTCGACGATCAAACCAAACGAGGTCGAACAGATATGCAACTGCTCGAGTCCTTACGAAAGCGCTTCGAAGGCAAGAACAAAGCTATCTCCGTAAGCAGCGCTACGGCCACTCTGCCCGGCAGCAACTTTGCTACAACCAATTCCAATGCTTCGTTCACCATTAATCACTACGAAGGAGAAGTTGAATACCCTATTAGTGGACTCGTCGAGCAAAACAGCGACATCGTATCGGGTGATTTGATGAACCTGATTAACAGTACAAAAAGTGACTTTGTGGCTGGCCTGTTCGGCCAAGAGGCCCTTAGTACCATTGCTCACCCAAAAGAAAAGACAACCATTGTCCAAGCTCAAGTCAGCTCCAAGCCTACACGCGCACCTAGTGTGTCGAGAAAGAAGTTCCACCAGCTAAACAGAATGGGTAGTCGAAGAGCAGACAGATCTCCGGCCGCAAGTCCTGATGCGGACGACCACTCAACTGAGCGACCAACGTCTAGGCAAGCGAAAGCCAGCGCGACTGGATTGAGTCAAGGTGCTGCTGCTCAATTTCTGACTTCTCTGGACAACATCAATAAGTTCCTCACAGCTTCCAACACAAACACGTATTTTGTCTTCTGTCTCAAGCCGAATGACCGAAGAATTGCCAATCAGTTTGATAGCAAGTGCGTTCGCACCCAAATTCAGACATGGGGTATCGCAGATTTGAGTCAACGCCTACGTGTGGCAGATTTCAGCATCTTCCTGCCTTTCGGAGAGTTCTTGGGCCTGGTGGGTTCCGAAAATTCACTTGTTGGCAGCCAATCCGAGCAAGCTCATCTAGCCATCGAAGAAAAACAATGGCCACCCAATGAAGCTCGAGTTGGCAACACTGGTGTTTTCCTTAGCGAGAGATGCTGGGCAAGCGTTGCAATATCTGGATCGCAAGCTGCGCATTACTTTAACGTTGATGACGATGGTCTCAGTGTTGGCACTCCAGGTAATGGGCCGAACCCGTTCAGTGACTCTAAAGCAAGACTTTACGCATCCACTCAGGAGCTCAGCTATGGTGATGAGACAAAAGGAGGTTACTTTGGCAGCAAAGATCTTGATACACGATCTGACGCTGGCGCCTCGGCCTTTAATGGTGGCGATATGTTTCGAAACCTCGAAACCAAAGAGGAACTCGCTGAGAAGGGCAACAAGAAAAAGATGGTGGAAGTTGACGAAGTGCCTGTCACTGGCAAGAGAAAGCGCTGGCTCTTCCTTGTCTACCTTCTTACCTGGTACTTGCCTGACTTCACGATCCGCTTTGTTGGTCGCATGAAACGAAAGGATATTCGGGTCGCTTGGCGAGAGAAGCTGGCAATCAATCTGCTGATTTGGCTTAGTTGTCTCTCCGCGGCATTCTTCATCGTTATCTTCCCGGAACTTATCTGTCCAAGGCAATATGTCTTCTCAGCTGAAGAGTTGACAGCACACGACGGCGTAGATGGTGCCTCATCCTATATTGCCATTCGTGGAGAAGTCTTCGATCTTGGCGCTTTCATGCCAGCCCATTATCCTTCCATCGTACCGCAATCGAGTCTCAAGAAGTATGCTGGAGTCGATGCAACTTCCCTCTTCCCGGTTCAGGTATCTGCATTGTGCCAGGGTGTGGACGGCACTATCGATCCAACTGTACAACTCGATTATGCCTCAACCAACTATTCTGGTGTCGCTTCAGTGATCAGCACCAATGACCCGAATCGACAGTATCACGATTTCCGCTCATTTACAAATGATTCCCGGCCCGACTGGTTTTTCGAGCAGATGATGGTTCTCCGTGGCCAATACAAAAAGGGCAGCATCGGCTATACCTCTCAATATCTCAAGACTCTTGCTACCAAAGGCAAGCAGATCGGTATCATCAATGAAAGAATTTACGACTTCACTACCTACGTTCAGGGTGGCAGGAATATTGTTGCTCCGCCAGGTCAGTCAGAACCCTCGGGTGTTAGCACTAACTTCATGGATGACTCCGTTGTCGCCTTGTTCCAACAACGATCTGGACAAGACGTTACCAGATACTGGGAGGCTCTTTCCCTCGATTCTGGTCTTCGATCACGAATGCAGGTCTGTCTAGACAACCTATTCTTTGTTGGCGTGCAGGACACTCGCAGCTCGGCACAGTGTCTTTTCGCCCGTTACATTCTCCTGGCTGTCTCGATCCTCATGTGTTCAGTCATCGCCTTCAAGTTCTTTGCAGCCTTGCAATTCGGAGGTAAGAACGTCCCCGAGAATCTTGATAAGTTCGTTATCTGCCAGGTTCCTGCCTATACCGAAGACGAAGACTCATTGCGTCGAGCCATCGATTCAGCTGCCAGAATGAAGTATGACGATAAGAGAAAACTATTGGTCGTTATCTGCGACGGTATGATTATTGGTCAGGGTAACGATAGACCGACGCCACGAATTGTTCTGGATATCCTAGGTGTCTCCGAGACCGTCGACCCCGAGCCATTGAGCTTTGAGTCTCTTGGCGAAGGCATGAAGCAACACAATATGGGAAAAGTCTACTCGGGTCTTTACGAAGTTCAAGGTCACATTGTGCCGTTCTTAGTCATCGTCAAGGTTGGTAAGCCGTCAGAGGTCTCGAAACCTGGAAATCGTGGTAAGCGTGATTCCCAAATGGTTGTCATGAGATTCCTCAATCGTGTGCACTACAACCTACCAATGAGTCCCCTGGAGCTCGAAATTCATCATCAGATTCGAAATATTATCGGCGTTAATCCAACTTTCTACGAATTCATGCTGCAAATCGACGCAGATACTGTTGTAGCACCAGACTCGGCGACACGCATGGTAGCAAGCTTATTACGGGACACACGCATCATTGCCGTGTGTGGTGAGACGTCAATTTCGAATGCCAAGCAGTCGATCATTACCATGATTCAAGTGTACGAATACTACATCTCCCACAACTTGACGAAAGCCTTCGAATCTCTCTTTGGCTCGGTCACATGTTTACCCGGTTGTTTCACCATGTATAGGATCAGAGCTGCCGAAACAGGAAAGCCACTCTTTGTCAGCAAAGAGGTCATCGATGACTATTCAGAGATTCGTGTCGACACATTGCACATGAAGAACTTGTTGCATCTCGGAGAGGACAGATACCTAACAACACTCCTGCTCAAATATCATTCGAAGTACAAGACCAAATACCTCTTCCATGCTCATGCTTGGACAGTTGCACCAGACAGCTGGGCTGTGTTTATGTCACAACGTCGAAGATGGATCAACAGTACAGTACACAACTTGATGGAGCTCATACCCTTGCAACAACTTTGTGGTTTCTGCTGTTTCAGTATGAGATTCGTGGTGTTTATCGACTTGCTGTCTACCATTGTTGCTCCAGTGACGGTTGCCTATATCGCATACCTGATTGTACTGGTATCGATAAATACCGATGTCGTTCCTTTGACGGCGTTTATCCTGCTTGGTGCTATCTACGGTTTGCAGGCTATCATTTTCATCATTCGCAGGAAGTGGGAGATGATCGGCTGGATGATCATATACATCCTTGCCATGCCAGTATTCTCATTCGCGCTACCGCTGTATGCTTTCTGGCACATGGATGATTTCTCCTGGGGTAATACTCGTCTCGTTACCGGAGAACATGGCAAACAAGTTCTTATCTCAGACGAAGGCAAATTCGATCCGGACTCGATACCGAAGAAGAAGTGGGAGGAATATCAGGCCGAGCTTTGGGATGCACAAACACAGAGAGATGACACCAAATCTGAGGTGTCTGGGTATAGCTACGGCACAAAGTCCTATCATCCTGCAGCTTCTGTACACGGTGGCGCCCCACCTGTCTATCATGATGGTCAATACTTACTACCAATGTCGAGGTCCGCTTCAGCCATGGATATGGTTCCACGATCAACATCTCCTTATAATGGCGCCTACAATCAGTCCAGACTATCCATGGCCGCATCTGAGATGATGGCGAGGTCTATGGCTGACATGGAGATGGCTGATCTGACAGGTCTGCCCACTGACGATCAGATTCTGAACGAGATCAGAGACATTCTCAGGACTGCCGATTTAATGACTGTTACGAAGAAGAGTGTCAAGCAGGAATTGGAGAAAAGGTTTGCATGCAATTTGGATGCTAAGCGGGCGTATATTGGTTCTGGTAAGTTCATTTCTGTCTCAACTTTGAGCCTTTACTAACGAGTGTTGCAGCAACTGAAGCCATCCTCTCCGGCCAATTATAAGCCAGCAAAAATACTTCCAGGTTGTAAAAAGCGTAATTTTTAGCGATTTTGTATGACATGAACCTTCTTGTTCGCCTTTACAGTCAGGTACAGATTGTGTATGGACGGCTGGCGTCATTCGGCTTTCGAGTCTATATAGGGATACAAAACGGCAGGAGCATATTCAGTACTCAGGTTGAGACTGTCAGAAATGGTGGCTATTGTGTGTTCGCCTGTTAAGGCCTAATAGCTGGACGTTGTTCCGACTTGATGCACAGAACGAAAGTGCTTCGTGTATAGATAGAGCACAATTAATGGAAGGACTTTTCAGTTTCATATTGATCATGTCATCCTCTGTCGAGAACGATACTTGTTCGTGGGCCTTGCCTACATGTCATTTGCCATGAAAGGTGTTAGCCGACATATTTATTCAAGCACGAGTGTATGGTGGAGGGCCAGCGCAGACAAGCCATACAATGGCCCTGCTTCAGGCGGAACCACCCAGCAGTTGAAAAATCGCGTGATGTAGCCTACGTATACATTCGGAAGATCAAAAGCCGCTTGAGCAGATCCATGCTGGGTGTTCTTATTGTTTTCGTTCATCAGAGCTCTGTAAAACAGAAGTTGCAGTCAATGATTGTTCAGTCTGCCCTATTGGATCCGCACAAGCACGCGGCTGCGGAGTGCAGCGGCGATAAAAGATAAGTGTCTATATATCCGACCTAGACTTTTTCCAGCCGTCGCAGCCACTCAGGCTGTCAGTGAATATTGACATCCTCAACTAGATTTCTCAGTATGTCACGGTGACACCCACTTCCTCCTCAGCACATTCTTAACCATGGACAACCAACAAAATCGGCCTCACCGGGCCTCAAAAGAGAAAAAACCACCTCAAAAAGGGCAAAAGAACCCAAAAGCATTTGCAGTCTCAAACCCAGGCAAGCTCGCCAAACAAGCCGTTCGCTCATCCGACATCCGCGAAAAACGTCTTCATGTCCCTCAGGTCGATCGACTGCCGGAAGAGGCTCCCCCGATAGTCACTGCCGTGGTCGGACCGCCAGGTGTGGGAAAGACGACGCTGATAAAGAGCTTGATTAAGCGCTATAGCAAGCAGACGCTGTCGCATCCCGTTGGGCCACTGACCGTAGTAACGAGCAAGAGAAGGCGACTTACGTTCATGGAATGTCCGAGTGATAGTCTCGCTGCCATGCTGGACGTGGCGAAGATCGCGGATATCGTACTGCTGATGATTGATGGGAATTATGGCTTTGAGATGGAGACTATGGAGTTCTTGAACGCATTGGGAACACATGGCATGCCTGGAAATGTGTTTGGGATCTTGACGCATCTGGATCTATTCAAGAAGCAGAGTACGCTTGCTGCTGCTAAGAAGAGGCTGAAACATCGGTTCTGGAGTGAGCTGTACCAGGGTGCGAAACTGTTCTATTTGAGTGGAGTTATTAATGGTCGGTACCCAGACCGGGAGATACATAACCTGTCGAGGTTTTTGTCTGTAATGAAGAATCCACGACCTTTGGTGTGGCGGAACAGCCATCCTTATGTTCTTGCTGATCGGTTCTTGGATGTGACGCCTCCTACACAAATTGAAGAGAACGAGAAATGTGATCGGCAGATCGCGCTGTATGGGTATCTGAGAGGAACTAACTTTCCTGCGATGGATGCACGTGTTCACATACCAGGTGTGGGAGACCTGACCGTGAAGGAAATCGAACCACTTCCTGACCCATGTCCGACACCGTACTTGGATCAAGCTATGCAAAAAGCGAGTGGAAAAGCGAGCAGGAGGCGGCTAGGAGAGAAGCAGAAAGTGCTGTTTGCACCTATGTCTGACGTGGGAGGCGTGCTCGTTGATAAAGATGCAGTGTATATTGATGTGAAAACGGCTACGTTCGATGCCGATGCTGAGGATGGAGAAGATCGTGGGCTCGGTGAGCAGCTAATGGTTAACCTGCAAGGGGAGAGGAGATTGCTTGGTCATGCGGAGGGTGGAGTGAGACTGTTCAAGGATAGTAATTCACTTGCCCGAACTTCGACTGATGCAGGGAGGAAAGTCAAGCGTACTGTATCTGATGCTGTCGATCAACACATCGAGGAAGATGAAGGCTTTTTTGATGGCGAAACGGATGGTGATGATGAAAGTGAGGGAGACGACATCAATGAATATCCCGAGCACGAAGGATTACCTGGTTTTGCAGCAGAAGCGGAAGAAGTCGATGGCAGTGAAGATCTTGTCTTTGCTGACAGCGACTCCGATATGGGCTCTGATGCAGACGCAGAAGAAGGTCTTGACAGGTCCTTAGACGATCTTGAAGACGAGGACGAGGACGATGGTGGCCTGAGATGGAAAGACAAAATGCTCGAAAATGCTGCTCAGTACCATTCTAAATCGGTTGCTTACCGCACCAGCGATTTAGCCAAGCTGATGTACGACCTCACCCTGACACCGAAAGAAGTAGTACAGAAGTGGTCCGGCCAGAGCACATTCGAAGAGGCTGAGGAACCTACGGAGCCTGAGGACGACTTTTTCAGAAAGACAAACATCGAGAAGGCTGAAAACGACGAGGATCGGCTGATACCGCGCTACAACCACCAGGATTTGGCTGAAAAGTGGCAAGACGAGGAGAACATTCGAGCGCTCAAATCACGATTTACTAAAGACTCTGATGTCACGGGCGCAAATGCTCTCCATCAGGCAGACTCAGATGCTGACTACGATGAAGACGACGACGACGGTGAAGCCGAGGATTCGGAGGGTGACGGTGACTTCGTCGATCTTGAAGCCAACCCAGATGACGAGCCCGAGGATACACCAGTTGGTCAATCTGAGCTCACATTAGAGGAGGAACGAGACAAAAACGCCAAACGCAAAGAAGAGCTTCGTCTTCGATTCGAGGAGGAAGATCGAGAGGGGTTTGCCAATCCTAAGGCCCAAGCTAATGGCAACGCCGAAGAGGAATTTGGCGAGGACGACTGGTATGACGCCCAGAAAGCAATGCTGCAGAAACAAGTCGGCATAAATCGTGCTGAATTCGACGCATTGGATCCTCAGTCTCGGGCTCGGGCAGAAGGGTTCAAGGCTGGCACATATGCACGCATTGTACTTGACAATGTGCCATTCGAGTTCTCCAAGGCATTCAACCCTCGCTATCCAGTCATCATTGGTGGTCTGGCTCCCACGGAAGAGCGCTTCGGCTATGTCCAGATCAGAATCAAGCGACATAGATGGCACAAGAAGATATTGAAAACCAACGATCCACTAATTTTCAGTCTTGGCTGGAGGAGGTTTCAGGCCACGCCTCTCTACTCGATCTCTGACTCTCGCACGAGAAACAGGATGTTGAAATATACACCTGAGCACATGCATTGTTTCGGCACGTTCTGGGGACCCCTCGTCGCGCCGAATACTGGCTTCTGCTGTGTTCAATCGTTCTCTAGCTCGAACCCTGGATTCAGGTTGGCAGCAACAGGTGTCGTGCTCAACGTCGATGAGACCACGGAGATCGTCAAGAAGCTCAAACTGACGGGACATCCTTACAAGATCTTCCGCAATACTGCGTTCATCAAGGACATGTTCAATTCTGCCATTGAGATCGCCAAATTCGAGGGAGCCAGTATCAAGACTGTTTCGGGCATCCGAGGTCAAATCAAGCGAGCATTGGCCAAGCCTGAAGGACACTTCCGAGCCACGTTCGAGGACAAAATCTTGATGTCGGATATTGTGTTCCTCAGGGCCTGGTTTCCTGTTAAACCACATCGATTCTACAATCCAGTAACGAACCTGCTTGATGCGGCGCTAGATGGCGGACAGAACGCCTGGCAAGGTATGCGTCTTACTGGGCAAGTTCGTGCCGCTCTTGGTGAGTCAGCTCCCCAGCTACGCGACTCGCGTTACAGCAAAATCGAGCGGCCAACTCGGCATTTCAACCCTCTAAGAGTTCCTCGACAACTAGCGACGAATCTGCCATTCAAGTCTCAGATCGTGCAGACCAAGGCACGAAAGGCTGGACCGACGTACCTACAAAAACGAGCTGTCGTGCTTGGCGGCGAAGAGCGCAAGGCCAGGGATTTGATGCAGAAGTTGATGACACTGCGAAATGAAAAGGTTGAGAAGAGAGCCAAGAAGCAGGAAGAGCGTAGAGAAGTGTATAGAAAGAAGGTCACGGAGAATCTTGAAAAGAGAGGGGAAAGAGAGAGGAAGGAACGAGACGACTTCTGGGCTAAAGAAGGACGGAAGAGGCAGGCTGGTGCTGAAGGCGGAGGCGGTGGAAAGAGGAGGAAGAGATGACGGCATGGTGAGAGTCTGTTTTTACAGTTATGATACCCTGTTCATGCATTCAATAGCCCGAATTCTCGTAATGAATTTCCTTGATACGTTTTCAAAGGTTGAACGTGATGTCGATTCCTATATTCCTATGAGAAGTGCAGTTTTTAGTCAGGCTGGTACTGAAGACAAAGGACAATGGGTTTGGATTGGTATCGACTCAGTACCGCATGGCTCTTTCACGCATAACAGGCTATGCAGAGACCTTCGTAGACGTTTTTGACGCGTCGCCAACGAGTAAGATAATGATTGGCATATACTATGATTGAGCAAGCGGTGAGGTTGAATTGCTGCAGGCGCGTCTCTGATGGAACTTTTGTTCAGAGCGGACCGCTCGGACTCCACTAAAGAGCTGCCTATTGGTCGCCTGATAGACGAGCCGCGAGCCAGCGCAGCACGAGCAAGAGCACAACTCGTGATACCTCCTCACCGTGCACCTATCATGAAGCTTCTCATGCCTGCATTGCCGATCGTGCTTGCAGAATCAGCCCAGGATGTCCATCGTTATGCCTTCACTAACGCCTGACCTGCTCACTAGCTTGCAGGTCGCAGTTGGTCCTGCTAGGCAGACCATGACTCGATCTGCTTTATACTTCACTCACCTCGACTAATCCAGCACTTTCTAGGAGTCTGTGTGTCCACTGTCCTGGTTCTTTGTCGCTGTTGCCTGATCTATGACTACTTACATGACCAGCAGCACAACTGTACATTATGAGTTCGAGCAACTTGTTCACTTCTGACGCTCTCGAATATAGAAGACAAGCACGAGAGGCTGCCCTTCAAGCATACCTTGCTAAAGAACTATCAGCGTCAACTGACGCCCTCCACAGATCCTCTCACAATACTCTGGCGGACGCTATGAAGCGATCTTCGCAGAGGGACCGCAAGCTTGACTGGGAGGAAGAAGAGTCCGTAACCAGTTCTGATGAACTTTCGTCAACAGAATCCGCCTCAGTCACATCCTCGAATGATGAGAAGGGAAAGAAGAAGAACAAGAAGAGCAAAGAGAAAGCCACTAGAAAGAGAGTCACCAAGAAGAGCAGTAACGAGCCTAATGTGCAGCAGCTGGCCACTTTACTGGCAAGCTTAGGAGGAAAACCGACTGCTACTTCAGTAGACAACAACCTCGTCCTAGACCCTCCTCCTCCACCGTTGGTCTCGGGCACCATCGCGGGCGCAGCTCCCAACGAGGAAGCTATCGCTCAACGAGTCTTTCAGCTGCTCAAGGAGCAGAATGACCAGGCAGGAAAGAAATCAAAGACAACCCCTGGCAAGATTGGCTCCAAAGTAGCCTTCAAACGTGTGGACCAGGTTTATGATCGTAAAATCGGTAATTACAAGCTCAAAGAAACTGTCCACGAGGATCCAAAGAGGAGCGAATGGGATCAGGTATGTATTCTTTCGTACTGACGTGTGCCATAGCTAACAGCAGTAGTATGTCTTCAACATCCGCCGCCAGTTCGATGTCAGCTCCCGCTACCTAGCTACCTACGTCGACATCAAGTCCAAGTATCTGCGCGAGTCTCTGAAAGAAGTTATGGGAGAAATCAAAGGCTTAAATCTGGTCACCGAAAAGCCAGCCATTGACCCCAACATGCTATTTCTATACTTGGAGGAGTTACGGCGCCTGCAGGAGCAACTCACTGCCCAGAGTCAATCCCTTGAGAACAAGAAGGAGAAGAAGATTGCCAAAATCAAGTCACAGCACCTCCAGGTTCTTGTCGACTATCTTGATGAGGACTTTGCAGACACCAAGAAAGCACTCTATCCTATGCTCGAAGCTGGCATTATAACCTTTGACTACCTGTGGGCTCTCTTCAAACCTAATACTATCCTTTACTCCTCCACTTATGGCGACGACGAAGAGCCACGAGCCTTCAAGACAGTTTATAGCAAAGAGAACGCTAGTTTCATGAAGGGCAAATGGTACAGCATCGAATCCCGCTACCTCGACTACGATGGCAAGAACTTTGGTCTCGCTACCGTCCACGGCGAAGTCCCTGCTTTCTCAGGCGCCAGAAAAATCTCTTCTCTGTCGTGCTATCCTATTCAATACCACAAGAATCCCGAGAAGGCCAAGCGCGACTTGATTGATCGGGGGAAGAAGTTCGTCGCTCTTCAAGGCATGAATTACAAGACCTATGCCGGCATGACTTTCGTGAAAAAGGAAGATAAGGTTCTCAAGGTTGATGTCAATGGCCGCATAATGATCGATCCTTCCATCTTCCGAAGAATCAACCCCAACTACCCTCTAAGCACTGTCAAAATAATGGAAGGCGAGGTTGAGGAGATACAGACTACGACCCTTGATGAGTTTGGCAATGTCACAACTGACAGTCAAGGTCAACCTACTCCTGCCTCTGAAGACTTCAACAAGCATAAGCACTTCAAGGTCGTCAAAGACAAGGATAATAAATACACCATTGTCGAGCTAGATTCAGATGAGGCTACCAAGGCAACAATCGAAGAGGGCTCCAAAGATATCTTCACAGAAGAGCAGCTTCTTATCGCCAGCTCTACTGTCGTCGGCTTCTCCTTCTCAGAGAAATTGTGGTTGGAGTTCGCCGTCAGCAAGATTGGTGAGATCTCATGGAACACTGACGCTTTTGATTCCCTCATCCTGCCAGACAATCAGAAAGGCATTGTCAAGGCAATGGTATCCTCTCACGCGTTTCATCCTTCTCGCAGCATTGACGATATCATTGCTGGCAAAGGCAAAGGTCTCGTGGCTGTCTTACATGGTGGTCCTGGTCTCGGCAAGACTCTTACCGTCGAGTCGATTGCCGATTTGCTCAAGCGACCCTTGTACATGGTTTCAGCTGGCGACCTCGGCACGAACAGCAGCACACTCGAACGAGAACTTCAGAATATCCTCGATATTGCTCATGCATGGGGTGCAGTCCTACTGTTGGACGAAGCCGATGTCTTCCTAGAAAAGCGATCGACTCACGACATTCATCGAAATGCACTGGTCAGCATCTTCTTGCGCTTGCTTGAATACTTCCAGGTACGTAGTTCAAACACAATTTATACCATTTCACTGACAATTTCAGGGCATACTTTTCTTGACAACAAATCGCGTTGAAGTCTTCGATGACGCTTTCGTCTCCCGTATCCATCTGTCCCTTCGATACGGTGAGCTTTCCAGTAAGGCTCGCAAGGCGATCTGGAAGACATTCATCACCAAGGTCAAAGATGCCGAAGGTATGAAGATAGAGGACATCCAAGACAAAGACCTAGAAGACCTATCGAGACGAGCACTCAACGGCAGACAAATCAAGAACATCGTCCGAGCTGCTCAAGCTTTGGCTATTCACGAAGATGTCGCGCTGGGCCTAGCACACATTCGAACCGTGCTCGACGTTGCACAGACGTTTGAACGAGATCTAAAAGGTGGCACCGGCTACGAGGATGCCATGAGAGGCTATACATAAGCTGAGTAAGAGGACGTGCTCATTGGGTTGACCATTGTAATGGCGTTGGCGTGGTGTGGTCGAGGAAGACTAAGAATTACATTTTGGCTGTTAGCGGAAAAGGGGAGTTTGTTTAGGTTTGGGTTAGGAGAAGGTATTGGGGTGCATTGCGCAGGTCCGGTAGATGAGGCGTGGTGGCACACTATCTGGACGTTGGGAATGGACAATTGCATGAACGAATAAATTTCTATGAACCAGCAATGCAAATAGGCAGTTCTCCCTTGCTCGCTTTTGCTTGTCCGTTGTCCTACGAAGTTTATTATGCCCTGCCTGCTCACGGAGTACCCCACATCTGATAATGCTTCGGAGATGACCTATCGAGAAACAATTCTATTCACTTCCATTGTGCACACATCCGCGCACTCATCATTGCGCTGCTGGTCTTTTATCTATACGTACCAGCTTACAGTCGAAGCGACAATCGACGAGACAACGAACATGGCAGATCCGGCTGAGCGCCTAGCAGATCGCAAGGCCATACCTACACCCACACCAGCGTACTTGCCTACGGCAGGGAGTGCTCTCACTGTGAACAAGGAGGTATATAACCAAATTCAGCAAGCACCTCGAAAACTTATCGAGGAGTTTACGCTCCCGATCCGTTCTGGTAGAGCTTGGAAAGCGCCTGCGGGAAGTGTTGTGCGGATTAGCACGCCGGAGGGACCACAAGTGGGTAATGAAGCTCTGCGAGGTGTGGCTTCATGGGCCGACTGATGTATGTATAGGTGACTTGAATATCTGGAATGCCCACAATCCTCGAGAGAGGTTCTGGGCGTCAAGAACGAAGCAGCTTCATGCTAGTCATGTCTCGACTCATGATCGATTGTGGTCTTGCTTGCCATATATGAGGCCTCTGTGTACTATTGTCAAAGATACTTTGTCATGGTATGGTGTTGACGAGCATCAAGGACGGGTGCATGATCTGCTAGGGACAAGATGCGATCCTTACGTTAATGTCATGCTCGCTGGGGAGGCGGCAAGCTATGACTATCACTGCCATTCAAATCTGACTCGAGCCGTCCTTCCGTACGGATTGAACGAAGGCGATGTGCATGACGTGATCAACCTGTTCCAAGTAACTGGGCTGGACAAAGAAGGAAGATACTTTATGAACCCTTGCCCAGCGCAGGCGGGTGATCATATTGAGTTTCTTGCCGAACAAGATTTACTGATGGCTCTGAGTACGTGCCCTGGTGGAGACCTCTCATTGTGGGGCTTCGGAAGCGATAGCGAGAAAGAAATGATAAAGTGCTGCCGACCACTCAGGGTTGAAGTGTTCCAACTGGAAGATGAACATCTGTTGGAAAAGCTCGGGTGGAAACCTGCAGAGAGACCAGGATACACAGGAGTTCATGGGATGAGTGTTCCTGTAGGTGAAAGGAGATAGAGTTTGACGAGTGTCACGCTCTTCGAGGAAGTGGTCATCCCACCATTTCCTGTTGTCCCTTAGTTTTCTTGACCTCGTCCGGCTTGGTGAAAACAACAGCCATGGCCTCGTCAAGAATCTCAAGACCTTTGTTGATCTCTTCAGCTGTTATGATGAGAGGGGGGACAATGCGGATGACACCGTCACCTGCTGTGATGATGAGCAAGCCCCTCTCTCGTGCTGCTGTAATGACCTCGGTAGCTTTCGATTTGTGCTCGTCGCTCATCTGGTAGCCCACAATGAGACCACGACCTCGAACAGCAGTCAAAACACCAGGATATTTCTCTTTCATAATATCATAAGCACTAAAGAACAAGGTCGACTTGATCCGAACCTCTTCCTGTAGGTTGGGTTCGGAAAGACGAGTGAACACGTGATGAGCCACTCGGCAAGAGAATGGGTTGCCGCCGAATGTAGTGCCATGATCACCGGTTTTGATATAGGGAGCGACAGTCTCTGAGGACACGAGTGTAGCGCCTACAGGTATGCCATTGCCGAGAGCCTTGGCAGTCGTGAGAACATCAGGATGCACACCACTTGCAGTATGCGCCCACAGATCACCCGTCCTGGATAGGCCACACTGGATCTCGTCGAATATTAGGATGGCTCCAACCTCGTCACACCTCTTCCTCAAGGCCTGCAAAAACTCAGTACTGGCAACATTGATTCCTCCTTCTCCCTGAATCGGCTCAACAATGACACCAGCTGTATCTTTTGTGATAAGGTGGGGAACAGCCTCTACGTCATTGTAGTTTCCATAGCGAAAGCCAGGTAGCATAGGTGCAAATGGTGGCTGGTATTTCTTGTTGGGTGTTGCAGAAAGCGAACCGTATGTCCTGCCATGAAACGAACCGTGGAATGAGACGATGTCTCGCTGAGTAGTATTCGGGTCTTTTTCATATGGCACCTTTCTCGCAAATTTGAGAGCAGCTTCGTTGGCCTCAGAGCCAGAATTCGAAATGAACACTTGACTAAGAGGTGAACCAGGTGATTGCCTTCGTGTCTCTTCCACCATGAGCTTTGACAACTCGGGCGTCCATGGATTATAGTAGAGGTTTGAGGCATGTATCAGCGTTTGGGCTTGGTGCGCGACAATGCGAGCTACTCCAGGATCAGAGTGACCTAACGAGGTAACAGCAATCCCAGCAGTGAAATCGAGGTATGCTCTATTCTCGTTGTCGAAGAGTATGCACCCTTCTCCTTTGGCCATCATAGGTGGAGGACGAACATAGGTGGGAACCATGTACGAGGCTCGATCGTTCAAGAATGTCATGGTAGGTGAATCGGGTCCTGGGTCAGGGTTTGGAACAGAGATTTCATGTCTGATCTCGGCTTCGGGAACAGTCGAGGAGACTGGGACAGCTGCTGGAGAGGCATATCTTCGTGCAAATGTGCGGGATACCTGTTGGGCAGTAAACTGTCGAGGCAAAGCTCGAAGAACAAATCGCTGAGACATGACTATCTGCAAGAAGAGCGATATTGAGGGAAGACAGTGGTATAAAACAAGAGAAGCAAATATTGGGCTTAGTGAAACATCTTTTTGCAGTCAGTTCCTGCGCTTCGAGAAATTGTCTGGTAAGCGCGATAAGATCTTTCTAAAATGAAGACTCATGCAATCGGCAAGAAAATCTTTGGCAGCTCGCGGTCTTCTCCAATGCATCAAATAGTTTTGTAAGCTGCGACCGAACCGAATATTCCCCATGCAGCAGGTACGCAAGAACCGAAGTGCTCTTGTTTCACGAACTGCGTCTGTCCTTCTTCAACTACTTATTGCAGCTCCTGCTTCAAATTGGCAATCGTCCAACCTGGACTCGATCTGTGCCTGGCAGAGTTGAGGAACCAACTCTCCACAATGTCCAGGAGTGGATATAATGTGATCACATCCGGATGGCTATGGAGAGTGCTCTCTTGACTTCTTGGTACGTGGACTGCCTGCAATTGTTCAAAATATTCTCGCTGAGCGAAGATGTATGAGTGAGTATACCTTTAGAAAATAGACCACCATTCTACTCCTCCTTCTGCCCAGCCTTCACATAATTCAATATGATGCAACTCCGCGCTGCATCTGCGGGGTTTGACTTCGACAACTGCCTGATCTATATCAAGGACATGATGTCTTGTGCTGATTCGGAGACCTGTAAGAATTCCATCGTGAAATACTGAGCGATGGCAGACGTGGCAGAAACCTTCGATCACAACGGCAAAGCCGTTAGGCACGGCAGAGCACGAGTGAATGGCATTCGTCTGCATTATATCACAGCTGGCCAAGGACCACCACTTCTTCTGCTGCACGGAACTCCGAAGAACAGCTTTTATTGGTATAAGCTCTTCCCACTACTCACACCTCACTTCACTCTTGTCGCACCAGACCTGCGAGGCTTCGGCTATACCGACAAGCCTCCTGCCACAGATGGCTATGATTCAGGCATGAATGCTCAGGACGTGACGGAGCTCATGACTCAACTCGGACACGAGAAGTTCTACTTGCATGGTGAAGATCGAGGGGCAGACTATGCTGTTGCGGTAGCTGGCCTGTACCGCGATCGAGTCATGAAGCTTTCCTTCTGTGAGATGGTACCATCTGGGCTAGGTCTTGAAGAGACATCTTTCTGGACCCCTGAAAACGTCGGGCGTCAGTTTCGCAAAGAAGGAATTTGGTGCTGGCATCTCGGTTTCTTCTGGATTCCACACATCCCTGAAATGCTGATTCAGGGTCATGAACGAGAGTTCTGGGAAATGTTCATCAAGCAAGAGTGCTACAACCCGACAAAGATTGAACCGAAGGCGTTGGATCACTGGATTGACTGTGTCAAGCAGCCAGGCTGTCTGCGTGGCATATTAGAGACTTACAGGTCTGGCTTCAAGAATGGAGAGATCAACCAACAGATCGCCAAAAACAAATTGACACTTCCTATCATGACAATTGGAGCTCCTGAATTCTTTGGCCCACAAGTCGAAGAGAGCATGTTGAGGATGGCTGAAAAGGTCGACCAGGTCGAAATCTTCGAAGAGTGTGGTCACAGTCTAGCACTCGAAGCTGAAAATCGCCTAGCCGCTTCCTTGAAGAGGTTCATGCTCGGCATCAAGGATTAAAAATTCCTGAGTTCAAACTTCGTGCATTGTAAACTGCCTGTCATACTAGTACATATATCTGAAGTTAGGATTCTCCCGATCAGTCAGATCTTCAAAGGCGTGAACCATTCTTTCATCCTTCGCTTCCCTCACGCCAGCAGCAGCAAGCTCATCCTTCTTCTTGTTCTGCCGCTTCAGATGCCATCTCAAGAAGATAATTACAAGCACAAGGAGCGCATAGCATCCCATGTGTGTCGCGAACGCGATGAAATATCTTGGCGCGTCGAACGCTAGAAAGACTTGTGGCCCAATTGAGTTGCCTGCACACCACGCACAAAAGTTAGCAGCCACGACCACCGTCTTCTTGGTTGCTCCAGCGACGTTGCGAGAAATCATAGACATGGAGATTGTCTGTGCAGCCCAGAAGGTGAGAACAACATAGTAGGAGATCAAGAGGCCAGCTCGTGTTGCAATATCGTGGTTCTGCACTGTCATCAGTACGATCGTGCCAATGAAAGAAGGAATGACAAAGATGCCCATCGTCAGACAGTTCTGGTTGTACTTCTTGACGAGCCAGGCACTGGAGAGCAGAATGAGGATGATGACGACACCAAGAACCATGGCCAGCAGTTGAGTTTCGAGAACGCTGAAGCCCAAAGAATTGACAACGATACCGTAAAAAGCTCCCAGGCCGCTCGTGGGTAAAGTTGTGCATATTGCGATGAGCATGTAACAATACATTTGAGGGTCGAGGAAGGCTTCTTTGACTTGTTCAGATCGGAACTTGCGGTTTTGAAGACCGGTCTGGTTGGATCGCACTCGTTCGACCATGAGCTTCTTATCCTCCTCACTGAAGCATTTGGCTCTCATGGGGCTATCAGGCATGTAGAATATGACGAAGACGCCCCACAAGACGCTGAAGCCGCCATACGTGATGAACAGAGCCTGCCAGGATTTGAGTGCCTGCCCTTTGATGAGCGAGAAGCAGTAGGCGAGCAGACCACCAACGATCTGTTGTCCACCATTCCTATCAAAGAGTTAGTTCAAGAGTCCGTTTCACTCGAATACGTGTCCAGCTCCTGCGAGGAACCAGTATCTATTCATGAAAGTACTCACATGCAATACCACAAAGCGACGGTTTGTGCCTGCTCTTCTCTCTTATACCACATCGAACTGAGGACCAAAAAGGCGGGCTGGCAGACACACTCGAAGATACCTAACAGAGTTCGCACGGCGACGAGTTGCGGAAAGTTTGTGCAGGCGGCATGGCAGGCTAGGACGATGCCCCAGAGGATGATGTTAAGACCGAGGTATTTGGCTATTGGCACTCGCTGAATTATCCAGTTGGTTGGATACTCAACGACAAGAACAGCGATGTAAATGCAGGTTGTGAGCCCTGGATACGATTAGCTCGATCGGCCAAAAGAGAAGAGAAATTCCTGAGTCTGAGTAAACACTATGGTTGTGAAGACTTACATGAATACTGCTGACCAACAAGGTGAGTATCTGTTCGAATGCCCATGATTGCAGCAAAGCTCATGGTTCCCTTGTCAAGAGCCTGGAGGAAGTATGTGGCAACCATGATTGTCAATACTCGCTTATCGATCGCCCTTTTCAATCTCTTGTTTTCCTCTGGTGTGATCTCGATCACTGAGTCGGAGGCATATTTTGCAACCTCGTTGTCTATACGGTTGTAGTCCTGGTGGTCTTTCTCGACTGAAGGGTCAATCGAAGTTGTGGAAATCGTGCGCTCAATTTGAGCAATGTCGCCAGACTTTGCATCGGCTGTGGGCACATCGTCCTTGGGCATGACTGCCCTGGCTGTGGTATGCATGTTGGCTGTCGGTCCAAGAATAGGAAGAGAGCGTTGCGAAGTGGATGCAGCAGGCAAAAACACCTATTTACTATGCTGGACACTAAGGTGGTGTGCTGTACTCCTTGTCAACAGGTTCAGGAGAGTGAGGCCTTGAGAGATGCGAAGCTGGTAGGCCCTTCTTTTAACTCTTCCATGGCTACCCTGCAGTCCTGTCCATATCTTGACTCACCCATGCCTCCGCGTTATGCACCACCTTACTCGTAAGCACTACACTGCGGAGTGTCGCCTGTCGAATTGGGTTCCGGGGAAACACACAATTCGCTGGGGCAAAGAAGTGAACGTGGGGAAGTTCCCCAGACGAGGCAAGCGGCAGACTTACACTTCCCTCAGCCTCTAATTTCCGCCTGCCCCACGCATATTCCACGCAAACATATATCGGTGCATCTCGGTACGATGTTCCTCAATTGTCTTGGAAGCAGAGGAGAGCTGAAGTTCGAAGCAGCGGTACTTGTGCACGTTTATTCTGGCCAATATCTGCTATTTCCGAGGATTTCGAGAGTACCTGAAACGAAGAGGCGGAGATATCCACCAGAAGAGAACTCGGCACTAACATTCCGCCCCCAGACAAATGTCTCGGGAGGTCCCACAGCGAAGTGCAGCATGTTCGTATGCTTGTCGTGGCGGACGTCTAGTCAAGCGACGCTGCTCTCGCCAGCTTTGACGATTCGCAAGCGAAGTCATTCTGTTGGAGAGACATGTGCAAAGCCATAACACCTTTACCTCAAAACGACCACTTCCAATTTAGAGGAACATTGCGACAACCCTCACACAGCTGAGACTCAGAATGCCTTCACCACTCACCATAGCAAATTTCAAAGCTGCCGAAATCCACGAAAAGATCCACGCCCTGGCACACAACCTCGTCAACATCAAAGACGAAACAGGTAAATTCCTACTCAAATTACCCGACGGCAGAGTCATCGATACCAAAGGCTGGAACGACTGGGAATGGACCCACGGCATCGGCCTTTACGGCCTATACCAGTGCTACTCCCTCACTTCATCACCTGAAACCCTCAACATCATAACATCCTGGTTTAAAAACCGCTTCGCCGAAGGAACCACAAAGAACATCAACACCATGTCCCCGTTCCTGACCCTCGCATATCTCTACGAAGACACCCACGAACGAAGCTACCTCCCCTGGCTCGACTCCTGGGCCGAATGGGCCATGCACGAGCTTCCCCGGACGAAATACGGCGGCTTCCAGCACATGACTTATCTTGAATACAACGACAACGAACTCTGGGACGACACGCTAATGATGACTGTCATGCCCCTCGCGAAAATCGGCCTCGTGTTAAACCGCCCGCATTACGTCGAAGAAGCGAAGCGCCAGTTTCTGCTGCATGTGCAATACCTGCAGGACAAGGAGACTGGATTGTGGTTTCACGGCTGGAAATTCGACAGTGCTGCTAAAGGTGGAGTAGGTCATAATTTCGGAAGGGCAAGGTGGGCGAGAGGGAATAGCTGGATTACTATTGCGATACCTGATTTTATTGAGCTGTTGGATTTGCCGCCGAACGATCATCTAAGGATGTATCTTGAGTCCGTGCTTGAGCAGCAGGTACTTGCTTTGAGGAGGTTACAGGCAGATGGTGGGTTGTGGTTTACGCTCTTGGATATACCCGAACAGCCTGGCAATTATGTTGAGTCTTCGGCGACGGCTGGGTTTGCGTACGGGATACTGAAGGCTGTGCGGAAGCGTTACTTGGCACTGGAGTACAAGGAGGTCGGGCTGAAAGCTGTGCAAGCGGTGGTGAAGAAGATCAACAGTAATGGTGAGCTAATAGACACGAGTTTTGGAACTGGCATGGGTCACGATTTGCAGCACTATTTGAACATTGAGAGGACGAGTATGCCGTATGGTCAAGCAATGGCAATCATGGCCTTGGTTGAATTTCTGAGAGAGTATTTGGGGTATCGTGATTTCAGCCATCTCGACATAAGGAAGTAGGCCACGACAAACTTGCAAATGCTCTTTGCCTGCTCTTTCAGCTTGTCAAGTATTGATACGAGCCCAACGCCCTTTTCAAGGCGTGCATGACAGAGTTTGACAACCGACCAGCATGCAGCTGCAGGCCATTCAAGAGGCGCGAACGGTATCCATTGTGCATAGATATGAAGGGACGGGTTTGCTTCTGCTAGCGATTGCTTTAGACCTCCTATTTGTCATTCTCTTTCTCGTACAAGCTCGCGGTGTATGCTCGAGAATCGGGTTTTCGCTCTCCGGGTTGTTAGTGAAAGCCATATCGGCGTGGTGCATCGGGAGTTTCATTGGTGTGATCGTGTTCCTCCTCATCTAATTGCGTCTTAGCTACCAACCTAGCATGTGACTTGTAATCGTCCATATCGTGTAGATGCGTTGCACGCATTGCGGAGAGTGCTTGGCAACATCATCGAAAATTGAGAAGCTCGAGATACGTGGCGCAGGGGTCATCGTGCTGCTAAGTGGGAAAGCTCTTCCCTACTGGAGTTAGATGTGGACATGTCGTCAATTAGAGCTCCCCATGTGTACAATCAAATCTCTCCACACAGCCAACAAAATGGCTCCGAACAGAGCAGAATATATGCCGACACCAATATGGTGGCTTATTGACAGGCTGTACACCACTCTAACAAGATATCGAATAGAGCGCTCATATGTACAAGAAACAAGAAACAAAAAGTCGTTCAGGTGGCAAGTTTCGTGGCATGATGTCGGTCTAGCAGCTTCAAGGCCTCGTCCAAGTCAGCATCACCCTCATCGTCCAGTCTTTCGACTAGCGATGCAATGATTTCGTTTTTGTCGCGACCATAAGGCGCAGTGTAGCCGTTAGTCAACCCCCGAGCCACACTGCGTGGAGAAGCTGTGAAGGTATTTCGTAAAGGTGAAGTTTGTGAAGGAGGAAAGTTGTAGACGGACGGCGCCGACGTGATAGGAGAGAATTGAGAGGAGTTTTTGCCGGTGCCAGAGTTGTTTGGACTTGCCATGAAGAGAAGTGTCTCCACGGCATCGGCTTCCATAGCAGCACTTTGACTAGGTGTTCGATAGGTCATATTCGGTCTAGTAGATAGAGGTTGTCCGGGCGCATATCCATTATTTAGAGTTGGACGTCGACGTTCTTGCGAAGGCCGCGACACTATGTTCGCGGGTGGAGCGAGAGATTTCTTGCCAGGTGGAGGACTCGATATGGTAGGAATCGTATGTGGTGGTGGTGAGTGCGAACGACGCGGTTCGCTACTAGTATCGCTGCTATCCCGACTTATATGGGCTACCATGGCAGTCCGTGGTGATAGCAGGTGACGATTTTGGGAATAATGATTGAAAGTAGTTGAGCGGGGTGACGCACTGGCCAACGACTCGACCTCCTCCAGGGACCTGTGATGCCAACCGTTCTGGACTTTGACCATAGCATATGCGAGTCTGGTCCGAAGCTGCTGCGACAGCTACAGAATATCAGTGGCTGCTAGTTCGATCATAGATTGTGTGCTCACCTCGTGCATCGACGCGGTACTGGTATTCGAGAGACTACTGGCAGTCCTCGAATGCCCAGTCTTTGTCAGCCCAGCCTCGTCCAGTGGCTTCGTCGTTGGCTCTTTGAAGTCTCCATTGGCAGACCGTTTCTTTCCAGCAACAGCACTCCGTGGCGATGTATGGGTGCTCAATGGGTCTTGCAATTCTGTGTCTGGCCCATGGGCAGATAGAGGAGAGGAAAAGACTTGCTTTTCGACGTTCTCCGGTACAGGCGGAGACTTGTTCTCCTTCGAAGATGTCCGGCTATCCGCATATTTAGTGGGACGTTGAATGTGGTCGAGATACGGGTTTGATTGGGACGGACGTGTATCGGACACGGGGAAAGATGGCGGCAGAACAGCCGTTTGCATCTCGACGAGGGTCATGTTTGAGAAAAGGTATATGCAATATAGGTTAAGCAGAATATGTCATGTCGGAAGAGGTGAGGTCGAGCATGGTAGTATCACGAGGACGTGCTCGAGCACCAGTCACCAGCTGGACGAGATTGTGGACGCGCCTGAGAGCCCGTGGTGCGTGGTCGCCATGCTTCCCCACTACGGCTGACGTCGAAGCAGCAGACGACGCGACTGCTACGCGTAAAGCTAGTGATCGCCACTGCCAAATGTTCACCCGCAGAGTCGCTCGTGTAACTTGGGCACTGCCAACTTATTAAAGCGTGCAACAGAATTGACCCATTGCAATTCACTTCTCGCATTTTAGTTGCTGGACTATCCCAGGCTTCGTGCCGACGATTTTCAGTCGGACGAAACGCTGATACGTAGTTCCTAACTCCTGAGCCTTCTTCAAACTCGCTCGAGTCCAACTGCTCGAGTCAGTACCTGGCTGCGTCAACCTGCAGGACGCAAAATTGCGGGCTCGTTCGATCGATCGCGTGCACGACACGTTTGTCCCGCTTTAATGCAGCCGATGTCGCGAATTCATATATGCTTTCTGTACCATTATTGAATGGTTTATCAGGGCCCGTTTCCTGACATTGTCCGAGGCTACCAATCCTCCTAGAAAGATGCTAATCCACAGCATTTTCTCTTGTGTCTGAACGTGTACCAAATGAGCTATCGCATGACACTCCAAGTATGTAACACCAGAGCTGTCACGAGAACCCTGGAGCTGCAGAACAAGAACTCCAACGTCGTGTACCAATCATGTTGGTCTACCTCGGAGGATACATTCTCCCCGCAAGGCAAGCCCGAAAGGCTATCTTGTTTTACCGGCAGCATTCTGATCACAGAGGTGTTAAAAGGGGAGCCTGAGCCTGAGCTCGATCACACTCAGTCTACGATTAACACCTGCAGTAGCTGTCTGATACTGTTGAACTAACACCATGAGCTCCAATGGTACCCAAGCACCGCCTGCCCCAGCTACAATGTCGGGCAATGATGGCGCGACCCTTAGTGGTCAATCTCTAGCTCAAATACAGCATATTGGCGACTTGTCCAACAAGATTGCACTGATCACAGGCGCTTCCTCGGGCTTGGGACGTGCTATGTCACAAGCTTTTGCAGCAGCTGGTGCCTTCATAGTGAACGCGGACCTCACACCGAATCCCCCCAAAGCGCCTCTGCTCGAGAAGACCATGGCAGGCAGAGGTATCAACTTCGATATGCCAACCGTTGACCTAGTCAACAGTCAATTTCCAAGCCAGGACGGCAGACCACGAATGGCATATGTACAATGTGACGTTACTAAAACTGCTAGTGTCGAGGCTGCTGTAGCTTTCGCAGTGCAGACTTACGGTAGACTCGATATTATGATCAACAATGCTGGTGTGACTGCTCAACCGCCAGGCGGACGCAATCTGCGAACTCATGAGATGTCGGAGAAAGTCTACGATATTGGCATGGACGTGAATGTTCGTGGTGTTTGGCTAGGCATCAAACATGCCACAGCACAGATGCTAAAGCAGGAAGCACATACTAGTGGCGACCGTGGTTGGATCATCAACCTCTGTTCCATCATGGGCGTAGTTGGGCTACCTGGCGCAGCAATATATTGTGCCACAAAAGGTAACCTGAAACAATCAAGACAAATGAAGCATCGCCGACTGACTTGAATCAGGTGCTGTATTACAATTGACCCGAACTTGCGCAATGGAATATGCCGAGGATCGAATTCATATCAATTGTATCAATCCCGGATTTGCAGAAACCAGTCTGCTCGAGGATGCAAGGACTGAACTTGGTGAAGGATTCAGTCCTTTTCTCAATTCCTTGCATCCATGGGGAAGGTGAGTGTTCTCCACGAGCCTGCAAGACTTTACTAACACGTATAGGCTCGCGATGCCAGAGGATATTGCCAAGATGGCCGTGTTTCTTTCCGGTCCAGGAGCATCTTTCATCACAGGCCAGCCATTTTTTGTTGACGGCGGGTACACTGCCAGATGAGGTGCAAAGCGCTTACCGTTATCTTGAGCAATTTCAAAGGTGCTTGCTCGGCCCACTATTCCCGCTTCTGTACACCACAAGTGCTGAGCGATACTTCATGCCAGAGAAAAGGATCCGGCTTGTAGCATCTTGCATTTGAGTCAGTACACGCTCACGACAGGTTACGAGTAGAACCTAGGCGATTATGTATGTTCGTAGCGTGCCAGGCCACGGCTTTAGCCGGGCGAAATTCATGCTAACGTTTGGAAAGTCATCACCCCAATTGCGTCATTAGCCTCGTGGATGCCACATGTAAAGGCGCAACGGACTGCGCGGGTTGAGCGTGGGATACCTTAATCACATTAACAAGTCGTATTGCTTTCTGCTGTTCCTGCACTGTCGGTCAGATCGAAAAAGTTCCTTATAACAAGAACCAGAGACACCTTTCCCACTACAAGAAGAAAGAAGCGACCACAAAATGCCTGTTTTCAACGTGAGGCGTTTGGATAATTTAAGCCAATACCCACTGACTCACTTAGGTCACTCTGAAAGAGAATGCTCCAGCCGCTGAGCTCGAGAAGGCGAAGCAAGCGTACAAGGACAACGGTGGTGAGATCAAGCATGAGTTCACATTGATCAAAGGCTTCACGTATGTTTCCCGACCATAGTTCAGCCAGCGCTCGAACGAAGCCATAGCTGTTATCAGTCTGAGTAAACACTGACTCTTCTCAGTGTTGAGGTTCCTGATGACAAGGTTGGAGTCTTCCAATCTAACGAGCACATCCACGTCGAGCAGGATGGAGAAGTGAGGACTCAGTAGAGACAATGTCCGGGTCGTAAAAGGATGAGATGACGAAGCATGAATGCATGGTCAGGTATTGGAGTATGACTTTGCAACGATACCACGAGGACTGCACATTGGTCCATAACAGGGTGATATAGGCCTACACATCGAAGAAGTGCTCTCTTCTCACAGCGGGTAGCATGCCCTGTATTTATTTCCTTGGTCACTTTTGGGACACTTCGAGCTGCAAATATATCCCACAGAGACTAGAAATCAGTCGCTCTTCCATTATAGCTCCATTCCCCAGAAGCACCCCATCTCAACGGCTCATTCTTTGGTCCTCCAACCTCGCCTGTTTTGGGATTCACGTCACCCTCAAACTCTGGCAATGCTCCCCTCCTCACATTGGGATGCAACTCCTCGCCCTTTCCTTGCGCTTGTATTCTCGCATCCAACACCCTCTCAAACTCTTTCTTAAACTCCTTCTGCTGCGCCTTTGTAGCCATGTTGCCTGCACGACTGGCGCTTTCTTCTTCGGCTTCATCAACCTCTGAAGGTGTCGAGTCTGGACTTTGATTGATCTTTGGTGGTGCTCGAGGCGTGCTGAAGGCACCTGTTGACTGGCGCTGGAGAGCTTCGAAGATCTCTTGTTCCTCCTTTGGCAGACGGGGTGGAGCTGCGCCGCCACCGAAGAAGGAAGAGTTGTTTGAGTCTGAGTGTCGTGTGCTTGTGGTGGTGAGAGAGCGGCGAGTTATTTGGACGGCAGTGGAACGGGTGAAGAGGTAGTGGCGTGGAGCTGCTGAGAGAGCAGGTACTGCTGTTCGTAGATGTGCCATGTTGTTTTGGTGGATCTGTTGCGTTGTGCAAGCAATTAACGTGCCAGTCGAAGTGTGTGTTGAGTAGCTGAGATGTGTGGTACGAGAGTACGAAAAGAACTTATGTTGAGAACTGTCGCAGGAAAGCGAGGGAAATGGCTCAGATTCTGGTCGCTTCGCATGAAATCATCGTCCTCCCAAGGGTGGTTGCAGTCCGTTCCCGAAACTCTATCTCTTGCCAATGATCTTGGAGAAGGGCTCCAGCACGAATGGCCGCTTACAAACTCGAAAAACGCTTCAAAAATAAGCTAGTTTGTGGATCATCACAAGAGGCCTTCCTTTTCTATCTCTTCAATCTGTACGACAATATCTCCTGTTGCTTCGAGCACAATCTCGTCGCACTAGTTGTCCGTATAACCAATTTAACACTTGCTGTCCGACATCTGTGTACGCTGTATTATCTCCCTATCAATCTTGCTGATGGGATTCCTCAACTCGATGAAGCTGTTATCTCGACTCGATTTAGGACCAAGTAGAAGACGAAGTAACCACAATCGAAGTTGTAGTCGAAGGATTACCTGAACAGGTTTCTGTACGTAGGAGAATATGACTCGCATTTCCGAGGATCTCAAATCGTGTCCTCATAACCCTACCCCTGCAACCAACGAACGAGCTCGAACCATGCAGCGTCTGGGCCGTGCCAAACTGCCCAACATCGCCATTGTTGGTGCAGGTGTATCAGGTCTGAGATGTGCAGATGTACTCACTCGAGCTGGAGCGAAGGTCACCATCTTTGAAGCCCGCGATCGAATTGGAGGACGAGTCCACCAAGTCAAGAATGGTGGCTATCTGGTCGATACTGGTTCCAACTGGATCCATGGCACTGAAGGTAACCCGATCATGAAGCTGGCCGAGCGAACCAACACCGATGTCATGGATCCAGAACGATCGGAAGCCGTCTTCAACAACCACGGCAAACGATTGCCCAAGGACGAAGCCGAGTTCCTCATGCAGGAGTTTTGGAATCAGGTTCTTCATGCCTTCAAGTACAGCGACGAGAACTTTGCCAATATTGACAGCAAAACAAGCCTCTTGGACAGGTTGAAAGAGAAGTGGTCTAAAGAGCCATTGCAGCATGACCTTATCGAAACGTCGCGTGTATGGGGCCAATTTGTCGGTAGTCCTATCGAAAGGCAGTCACTTCGGTTCTTCTTTCTTGAAGATGGTTTAGATGGTGGAAACGTGTTTGTGGCAAGTACTTACAAGAAGATACTAGACGAGGTTGCCAAACCGGCACTTTCACGGGCCGATATTCGCATGAATACAGAGGTAAAGAGTATACGATATCGCGCTACTGACCATGGTGAGGACAGTGTGAGCGTTTCATTTAGTCATGGACCTAGTCTAGAGTATGATGAAGTCGTGGTTACATGCCCACTAGGATGGTTGAAACAGTATGCGGCCGATGTCTTTGAACCAGCACTTCCGGAAAGACTTCTGCAAGCTATCGAGAACATTGGCTATGGGGCGCTCGAGAAACTTTACGTGACGTTTCCTAACGCTTTTTGGCTTACCGACAACGACAAAGACTCTTACACCTGCTTTACCAATTTTCACAATCCTACTGGTTACCATCCAATCCTTGCTGCCGAAAATATCGAGACAGTCTCCTGGCATCAGAGTGTAGTGTCGCTCGCTCACCTTCCTGGCAAATCAGCACAACCTACACTTCTCTTCTACATGACAGGTGATAGCGGCGCCTATGTCAACGCCAAGCTGAAAGACCTTCCTACACATAGCAATGAGTACAACGAGGTCCTAAGAACCGTTGCGGAGCCTTTCTACAGCCGCTTGCCTAATTACGACTCGTTGCGACCCGAGTGCACACCCACGAGTTTCTACCAGACCTTGTGGCAGACCGATCGGTATGCCGGCAACGGTTCATACTCGACCTTTCGCACAGGTCTAGAGCATGGTGACACGGATATCGAGATCATGAGAGCAGCCGGTGGACTCGCTGAAGCTGGTCGCGGTCTGTGGTTGGCTGGTGAGCACACTGCCCCTTTCGTAGCACTAGGCACGACTACCGGCGCTTTCTGGTCCGGTGAAGGTGTTGCCAGACGTATTGCCAAGCAGTATGACCTGGACGTACCCTCCGATGAGCTCCACGAAGCGAGTGCGGACGTCTCGATCGAGGCTGGTGGTGTAAAGGAAGACGTACAGGATTTAGCAGGAACTAAGACTATCAATCCTGGCAAAAACCAGAATGAACCTGTGACGCAAAAGGATTTTACACAGAATCTGCACAAGATCTAGCTCATATGTTTTGCACATCTACAAGGCAGGTACTTTACATGAGTTGGCTAGATGGTATTGACGCTTGTCAGGCTAATACTCAATGCTAATTGAGAAGAACACTGAAGACCTTGGTGCTGTTTATGAGCTGCAGAATATACTCGGGTAACAGATAGACTCGGAAGGGAACGTAAGGCAGCCTTTGTTGCTGCACATCCTATAGTAGCTACGGGGTATTTTGGAATTCAGTTGTCTCGTCGCTACTTCCTCGTTGTCCATGTTTCAGCCTCACGCTATGTAGGAGCCTTGCGGGTTGTGCCTGCACTTCGATTCGAATCTTGTAAAAGACAGCTTCCGCTTCGTTCTGCCACACAACCAATTGATACCAGGAAGAAAATCACAGTGTGTTTGTGGCCGCTATAGCTTTTCGAGTATGTGCTTGAGAAGTACCACAAACACTACGGGCTCAAAACAGGTAGCTGCTCGCACTGGAGCTTTCGTGTGTTGGCAAACTTAAGACCGGAAAATATCACCCCAGTCTCGAAAAACGCGAACCTGACGCGTTATCGCCAGATTTATGACAGCCATTACTACGCTGCCTATCGAGCTCCGTCTCAGAATTTATGAGCTCACGCTTGCTACCTCTCATATTCAGTCTTTCCGACCTCAACGCAAGGTAGGATGGAACAGACCACACGCTGACCTCTCTAATCCAATCGTACTCTTTGAGTCTGAATGTCACCCAGTATTAAAGCAATTATTTCACAGCAAGCTCACGAAAGGCGATGCAGCTGTGGCTCTAACCGCGTTGCTACATCATGCCAAAGTATTGTGCCTGACTTTCAACGACTTTGCTGCGGTGCAGCGACTGGTCTCCGTCAATAACAGTCTATCTTCACAAGCACGAAATTTTGCATCGATCGTCCGCGAACACCTACGCACAATTGACTTTAGCGACAAGCTCGATGAGATCATATGCCAACCTACTGATTTGATCAAGTTGTTGGTGTCCCTGCCGGGTCTAAAAAGTTTATGTTTAACCAGCAAGCATTTTCATCGCTACAGTGGAAGTATAGAAGATCACATTGACTTTGCAAAGTCTAGAGCGAACAAAGAGCTACTTGGCACTAATGCTGTACAGAAGGCGGCTGACAATGCTGTTCATACTTCTGATGAGCTTCGCCGTTTGAGCTTACGTAGTCCAATGACAGATGGGACAAGAATGTTGATCTCCCCTGTACCATGGGCCCAGAGCAGGAGCCCTGGAAATGCCTGGGTTGTCGTTGATCTTAGTCTGCTTGTCTGGCAGCACTTCCTCTATTCTGGCGCACCATATCGAGACCATTGGCGATGCGCGAAAATGCAAACGTTGTTTGAGACTGCAGCTAGCAAGGGCATCAGTGTGGTCTTGAACTTTCGGACAGTAGAATTCGATCCCGTATTAACGACTAACAGAAACGCTCGTCATCTACGGCAAGAGTCACGGCACTCAAAGGATTGGCAGCACTCGGGCACGTTCAGAGGCGAAATGAGCACAAAAGACTGGATATTGAGACTGTGGCACCGAAGCCATGGCACTGAATACTGCATCAAACAGAGGATACAGCACGACGTGGTGGTGAACCAGGAGTCATCAGGCGTCACAAGGTGTAGACATAGAGGGGTCGAGGGTGGTGTATGTGCTGATTGCACGATGAAAAGCAGAAACTGATTGGAGCTTTCTCGCAATCAGTCAACGTCCACATCTGTTTCGTCGCTTTCAACCATTGCATCCTCTGACGATTGATGAAGCCGGCAGGCAAAACAAGATTGAGAGAGCTCGTCTCACATTGCTACGCTCGGATATATTGACACCCTCAACCTGAATGATCCCAATACAGAAGGCCGCAGGAAACATTTTGGTCTTCAGTGTAATGGAACGATAGGTGCCAGGTGGTTAGCCCCTAAGGGTACTGCGTTCCTAGCACTACTTGTAGTTATAGTCGATGAAGCTTAAGATAACACCCATCCCTATATCGGGAAAGTGTAACGAGGTTCATACGCATTCCGTAACTGCCCTGGTTGTGTGGAAGGAATGCTCAACCGCTTTTGATATAGTATTCATCACTGTGCTTGTTGACAGAGCGTTCAATGGGATGATGAAGGCGCTCATAGGCAGTACTTCTTGTTTCTCTGCTTCTGAGTATGCTTGAGTGCTTGGGCGCTGAGCCTAAGTATGGTGACGAGAAGCACGAAGCACGAAAGGGGGGCGCCTCGACACAAATGACCACGAAGTGGACGTTGCCACAGTCACTCAGGAACGACCTGGACCGAATTGTCGTGGTCTATTGCGATTCATTCCACCTACTCATGAAAGTAATCTCGGTTGCAGTCCAACGCTGTGCCTGCGGCGAGCACGCACTGTGAAGGCTGTGTCGCGACGTGTCACCCCAAATGATATGCACTACTCCTGCAACATGCAGCACGGCTGCATCGTGATGCATGAATGACAGGGAACAGGCAATCGAGAACCGCTTCTGCACAAGTGAGCTGGCAGGTTGTTCATACTACCCCTGCAATCCAGAGCGAATGAGGCATGCACAGCTCACAGTTGAACTCGACGGCTACCGTAAGTGTTCATACTGTACATATTGTACTCTAGGACGTGCTTGCATTGGATTTCTGGCATTTCACTCATATCACTGTCACTATGGCACCTAATAAATATCAGCAGCACCCCCCTTTCAGCCCAAACGCTAAGCTCCTGCAACGCTTCTACGCACCACTGATACTTCTTAGTGTCTACGATCCGACTCGAGGAAGAACAAATGAGGAGACGTTGGATGACGTAGTTACCGACCAACTGACTGAGCTTTGGCATAAATTCCTTGACAGTATCTTGTTGTTGTGCGACTTCGAGAAAGGTGGTGATACTGTGGCTGCAATAGGTGCCCAAACGACCCCGGAAAGTCCTATATACTGGCTCGCGTCAAACTCGGGGAAAGTCAAGCGATCTCGCGAACACCTCGTCTGGATATTTGAGCAACTGAATAGGATGTGTGCAGATGAAGGTATTTCTTACAAGGTACAAGAGGGCATCGTGAAAGAGTCGATCAGTTTTTGCTCGAAACGAATCAACGATCAGAGTCGGTGGTTATCGAAGGATATCCAGCATGCACGACAAGCCGCTGGGGCGTCCACCACGAACGAAGGTAAGCCAAATCAACATCTCTAATGTTTTTGTGTTGAAGCCACCTAGAAGTCCGTCTGCTCGAAAGTCTTGTGCAATTCACCTCATTGGCAGGACTTGGCGACAATCACTGTCTCTGCTTGTTCGCCTACAAGTTTCGCAAAACTTCGGAAATGAAATGGCTGACTGAGAAACATCACGCAAATCCAGGGAGCATTTGGTCAAGTATTCGACATCACATCGGTCGACTTGGAGTCTGGGAGAAAGCAGCTGCAGTTCTTGTGCGTGGCACAAAACGCTTCCCACAAAGAGTAGAGAAGGCCAGCATTGAGCTCGTGACGCCTGCTCCATACGTTGATTTGCCATGCAGAGATGACGAACAAATACCCAGCCTGGATCGGGTCATGAAAACCATGTTTGATGCAAACAATCGAAATGTGGCGCGGCAGCTCAATGATGCCTTGGAGGAAACGAACATCGTCGCAGAGATCAAAGCGCCCTTTCGACAACGTTACACGCAATTTGACCCCAGACCACATGCAGAATTGCTGGTGTTAGAGCATTTCAATACCAAGAAATTAGAGTTTGTGGCTGATGATCCGTATATTGGCTGTAGCAAACCTTCGTGCTACTGCTGTGATCTGTACATGCGATGTCATCCGATGAAACTTGCACGACGACCGACTCATGGCAACCTGTGGATCAACTGGGCGCCGCCTATGCCGCTCCAGCCTAGTGAGAGAAAGGCGATTACAGGAGTACGTCCACAAGAGCATCACACCTTCATCATCTTACAAAATATGCTTACGGAGATCCGGCGTGATTTACGAAAGCAGATCGAATCAAGAAGACCCAGAGGAAGACGGCTGCCAGACTCTACGACAGGTATGATGAGCACTCAGGAAGGTTCACAATTGATACTAGACAAAGTGGTTGGAGAGATGCTGAACTTGAGCGTTATTCGAGACGTGCCTAAACATTCGGAGCTGTATAGCAGGAGCCAAGTTCCGCCAGAAGGAAACGGTCCAGACTCGATTGCCCAGGTGTTGATCGCACAGTCAGCAGGAACAGCCATGAAATCGAAGCTGCCCAATGATGAGGTGCCTGAGCATCGTGCGTCGCACCTGCTCCACGTTTTCACCACAAGCAGACAATCGGACCTTCGACGAACTGGTTTGCCAATCAGGCAGCAAAATGATCTGCTCGACCAGTCCCAACACAAAGATGGTCAGTCTGATGATGTGGTGGTCTTCGGTGGCAGACGTATCCGGTCAACTTGATCAAGACAAGGCAACATAATCTTTAATGCCCTCTACAGTGATACGTGTAAGAGGTTAGCTGTTCGTTCGATAACATCTAATAGCGAAAAAAGTTCCCAATGCTCCCTAGATAGTTTGGTCCAGTCATTTGCAGATGGAAAGCACCTCTAAAGGCGAAGATGTGTTGTCAAATCAGTGAAATACACGTTCGCAACCCAATGCTATTAAGATGTAATGCAGTATGCATGGACTTTTGAAATAACGCAACCCTGCAAGGTGCATACAACCAATCACATACAAGATTGTGGTTCAAAGCTATCTCGATCAGATACGGTAGAGCAGGGGTCATCACGGTTTGAGAAGGACACAAATAGGTACAAATCCCGGCACATGTTCGATTTCCTTCTACTTCTCTGTTCACCTCGAAGCGAATTTGAGGGTTCGTTTCTGGGCAGTGATGGATTACTATCCAGATATCGGAGCTATGATGACTGGCAATCGAGATGAGGTGAGTACTTGTCTAATTAGGCAGTGCTTCGGATGTGAATGACTCGTATAGGATGCTAACCTCGTCAACCATGTTCTTGGACAGATTTGGGGCATTATGGATGGCGATAAGGCTCTTGCAAAAAGGACTTGGTATCGGGTCAACAAGGTGAGATCGGCAGAAGAGGCGCAGCTGAACTCGCTTTCCAAGCTCACAGAAGTCGATCCATCCACCAAGTCTCTACTAGAGCAGGAGGAATCTATATGGTCTCATGATCCGTCCGCTTTCTGGGGTCGAACTCAACTAGGTCAGGCTCGAAGACTTGACCCACAAGGGCAAATTGTTCAATTCTACATGCAAAGGAGCACAGATGACGCGTAGTCACGCATTGCTCGGAGAGCTGCATGTCTGTTACTTGACGACTACCGCGTTGAGTATAGTCAATTTGACCCCGAGAAACTGGCAGGCAGCTTGGTTGCATGTGGTGCGGTCGATGACCTAGGCTTGGTCCTCAAGACGATCGAGCTCATGGTCGAAGCCGGATCCAGGTATAAGAACTTGGAGAAGTCACTCGGCAAAGGAGCAATATTTGTCCTGGGATGCAAGACTTCTGAGACCATGTAAGCTCTTGTTGTCACCCTCACTACCACAAGCATGCACTGACCTTAGTATGCAGCTGGACAAGGACTCTGCCCAAGAAAGGACAAATCTTCGAAGGTGTCATCAAACACCTGAAGAGTAACGAGATCGGCAGACTTGCAGGCGACGCTAAGTTTGCACGATTGCGTGAGACTCTCATTGGTGATAGGATGGCATTCTTTCGCCGAACTATGCATGAGTATACATCAACAACATTCCCTGACCTGTATCTGACTGAGGCGGATAGTTTCATGAATTGGCAATGATAGACATCAAGAAACAATATGCGCCAGGAAACCGAATGAGAAACGAATGCAATTGCTTTGACACTGACACCTGTCAAAAGAGATCCCGTCTGCTTTTATGTGATGCTCTCTGCAAGTGCCTTGTCGTGCGCGAACACATACCAGCCACGCTGATATCCTTCCGAACGACGACGTCGTATCGTCCTGTCCTGCCTCAGCTCGAAGCCAGCATGGTAGAACACCCCGATTGGGCTTAGTAGCACTATAGAAACGACGCTAATTTACATTTCTGCATTTTAGCGCGATGCACAGCAACTCACGTGCAGAAATGCATGCCCACCCCATGTTCACAAAGACAGCACGTCAACGCTTCTTCCTGCTCCGTTGCTGACCCGCTCGTCGACCATGGTATGTGCCCGTGATCTCACGAAGCAAAAACCTCAGGAGTCCACCAGCATATGCATCCTCTTTAGGAAAGAACCGTCCCGTACTCCTGGTATACTGAGCAAGCTCGACCTGAGTGTCAAAGATCCTGAGCACAACTCCTGAGCGGTTATTGTCAAGCAAATCTGCCAGATTGACGTGTGTGGATTTCACAGCCTTGATCATACGTATCAGTGAATGTCATTGTGTATTGAGTTTGGACAGACTGACCGCCTTCATTGCTTGCATGCTTTCTGGAAGTGGCTCAATGCCGAGAACAACACACATGTGTTCCCAGGCTTGCAGGTCATCGACATCAGTGCCAAAATGGTCATTGAAGTTCTCCACCATGGCACGTCTGAAGTCTTCTTGTGCTTGTAATCGTTCTGCTGGGTATTCGTCTCTGCTGTTCTTGCCCCAGTCGAAGAAATCGCACATCCGGTAAAATTCTCTGGGTGATGACTCAGTTCTGTTGTAGTCGAAGTCAGGATAGTAAGCGAAGAAGCGATCAATCTTGTCCATCTTTGGGGTGCGATTCTTGGACTTCTTGCTTTTTTCTTGCCCATGTTGTGATAGGAGAGATTGTTGCAGGAGTGTTGGTTGTGTGCGTGCTGATGCAGAGCATTTAACTTGCTCAGAAACCCCTGCTTGACGCAAGGTATATGCAACAGGGTGATCGTGCACTTCCGAGGGTGCTTGCATCAAGCATGGCTAGACCGAGACAGGTTCTGAATTCTGACCAGTTTCAGAGCCTGCCTAGGTCAGTGCAGTGTGATATCAGCAAAACCTATGGATCTGACGATACGATCAATACCGATCACTTCGTGTCAGGTGAGGTACTCCGTGACAGCGAAAAGACTTAAATATGACCTCGACGTCCACCTCGAGTTCAAAAGTCTCATAAGTCAACAACAACCACGCAGCAGACTGACAGATCATATCATCATTCACCCACCACAGCATCGACATGCCTTCCGATCAGAAGTCATACATGAGCCAGGCTGATGCCTCTCGGATTCAGTCATCGCAGGTGAGTCGTGGCTCGTACCAGATGGTAGCTTGCCCTAACGAAAACAGGCCAAATCTGGTGGTGATATGAGTTCGGGCGGGTTTGCTTCTCGTGCGCAAAGTGCCGGAGCACGTAACGCGAACTCTGGAACTAGTACTGGTAGCAATAGCGGGTCCAACAACTCCAGCTCGAAACCATCCTCGGAGAAATGATTCGGGAGGAGGGCAGGTACAGATACGGATGCCCTCCAAAGTTGTTGGTCGGGAGCGAGGAAGGCCGGAAGGATATCAAGTTTGACTACTTGATTGAAGTTGTATGAGAAGGGCTGATGAGATGGCAAGATATGTAGAGATGTTCAGTCTACTCGGCCATCCTAGTAGGCAAGGGTGGCTGACCGCGACCCTGGAAGGTCTCCAGCTTTGTGCTAATCATGAAAGTGAATGGATTGGGTATATAATCAGCCAGAATATGGTCAGCTCCTCGACAAAGCTTTGCGAACAGACTGTACTAGGACACTTCTTTTCCTGTCAAACGTTCGTTCATGTCGACGTTGTGGTTGTTGGAAGACCGTTCTTATCTTCATTTATGTCTCCCACAACCTTTTCATCTTCCTTTTCGATGTCCTCCTTGACTTCAGTGACCTCGTTGGTCGGTTCTTCCAGATTCTCTTCAGGTCCCTGCTTGGCACTCCTCTCAGCTTCTATTTGAGGGGCCTTAGTAATATCGTCACGGTCTAGTGTCTTTGGCTTCACGTCTTCCGCAGGCTTTGGTTTTGGTGGCCAGACTACATTCACGGTGAGATCAGGTTGTTTGCTGTAGACACGTAGTCCAACCACACAGGCTGCATTCCAAGGCTCTTTTTCGTCCTCCTCCTCGTCGTCGGAATATGAATCTTGAGCTTTTGGAGCCTCAACAATGACAACTGGAAGAGGATTTGGCAAGGGTGCAGCCTTGACATCAATGGAAAGTGGCACTGCTGGTCCAGACTCGCCAGCGTCCTTCTGCTCGGGCTCTGATAAATTACCTTCACCACTTGTGACCTTTTGGTTGCTAGTATCATCACTACCTTCTTCTGCTGGGGGTTGGCCTTTCTGATGTGCTAGGTCGTACAGACGTCCAATGGTAATAACCTTCTCCTTGCGGTCTGGAAGATTACCTTTGATAACGTCTTCAGCATTTGGACGACCCCAATCTTGGGCTTCGATTTTGACGAACACAGTATATCTGCCTTTAACCAAGAAAAGCTCGACATTGGTAGACCTTCTGAGCTCATAGTTCGGCCTACTGCGAGCGATATACTCGTTTTCGTTGTTTACCGTACTGACTCGAAACTGTAGACGGTAGCCATATCGGCCTTCCAAGCCCTGCCAATAGCGATCGTCCAACTGAGAAAGCACGATGACTGTCTCGGTGTCCTCCGGCACATCTATGATGAATTTTGTCTGCTGGTATTCAAGGTTGCTAAAGGGTACTTGCATGGACGCCCATGTTTGTGATGTATACCAGGAATCATCGAATAGGCGTGTCCTGTCGATGTGTTTGAAATGGTTGAGGAAATCGGAATAACTCATCCAAAAGACACCATCATCACCAAACTTGTGACCCACTCTCTGTAGCCATTCTGCAGTCCATTGAGACGAACCATCAGCCCAGGCTCCAGACCACTCAGCACGGCCCCAAGGGTTACGGACTTTGACTAGACGCTCTCCGAAGTCATCGTAGGTATCGAGCACAGCATAAGCATGGCGATCAATTAGGCTGTTCCTTCGTTCTTTGCGCAGATCAGCCAAATATGGGTGGTCCTCAGAATAGCCGCGCCATTCACGGTAGAGAGCATCGCTGGCGCCGAACAAGAATTCCTTACCCATTTGGCGAAGCTCGTTCGTCCAGAACTTGTCCTTGTTAAGAATGTTGGTAGTATAGATCTCTGTGGTGACTCCACCAGTTAGATCCTCGACGCCCTCCCCAGTCTGACCGCCCTGAATCTCAGCATACCCGGCATGTGCCTTGGCGAAAGCTTTTTCGAGAAGTGGAACCCATGTCTCATTCTCGTCCCTGCACTTGGCAAAGTAGAGAGCTCGTGAGCCTCGTTGAAACAGTTCTGTATACTTTTGCTCTTGTTCTTTACCCCAGGTTGCAAGCATATCGTTGACACCTTCGTCGAATGCCTCGGCACCGAGGTAGAGCTTGTCGTCGATGATAGTAGGATGCCATTCACCATCGCGATAGAAAACAAAGCCATACACGCCGACTGAAGGAGGTTATCGAGCCGCAAATTGACTATGGAAGTCTTTCACTTACCATCTTGATCTCGTATAACACAAACTTTTTCCACAAGTTCTTTCGAACAGCTGAGTATGGAAAAGGCAGACATCAACCAACAGTCGCCGTTGGCACCTTGGATGATGTCGTCGGAGGTAGCGCCATTAGAGAAGAAGGTTGGCTTGTCAAAAATATCCTAGGGGTGTATCAGCACACGCCAAACCTGGTAAGTGGTTCATCTTACTGATACTCTCTTCACATCACTCGGCTCAAAACGATTATCGGGATCTTGTAACAAACCGTCGAGGAAGTCTCTTCTTCTATTGACCTTGAGGTCTGCCTCAATGTTGAAGAGGTCACTGTATTTCGTGTTTGAAGCAATACATTCTGCCACGATCCTTTTCACAGCATCTTCGCAACGAGATCTTGCTTCGTTGTAGGTGTTGGTCGCATTGAGACTTCCTTTGGGTTTTCTGGTCTGGTCCACGCTGGGAACCGTGTCAGGCAAGATCTTCGTAATTTTCCCGAGATGTTCTGGGCCAAAATTCGCCCACAGCTGGTTTATGCGCTCCTGAGGGTGCAGCTTAGGCTTGTTCTTCTTTTTCCCTTGAGTGTCGGGTCTTTTATCTGCAAGAGGAGCTTCGGACCCACTATCTGACTGACCCTGTCTAGCTTCTTCACCTTCGTTCAGCTCTTCTCCTGTACGATCGCCGTTGGCCAGTTTGCGTGCGCGTCCAGCTCGAGCTCGAAGGGATGGCGGCTTTCCGCGTATAGGTAACTGATGGTATTTCAAGCTAGAATTTGTGCACTGCGAAGTGAGCTGCTTGACCCTGTAAGAAGTGGCTTTTTGTGACCTTGAAGCAGGCATAATTGGGTAGGTATGTTAGAAACGGGCATGGAGAGGAGCAGCAGATAGACGAACAAGGACGATTAATTAGTTATCAGCAAAGGTAAACATTGTGCTGGCGATACGCCGTCACACTCTCAGAAGCTCGCTCGTGCATACGCACCAATGTCCAGGCTAACAAGCTTGAAGCTCGCTACTAGGTTTCACAGATGAGCAGTGATGCAGTCGCAGGTGTGTGCGACCGCGTAGGACTCCAGTTTAGGCGTCCAATAAATAACTTAGCAGGATTGTACATAACAAGCTCGTATCGTTCACCGGTTTGGTTGGACCCAGACAAGTGCCGGTAGAGGACATCGTACTCGCTTGCAGCGACTGGGAGGCACTTGCAAGAAAGGAAAGTCACAAGTAACCGTGCACGTTTGCACTCCTGTATGGGCCAGTGGGATTTACCCAATCAAGAGCGCAAACTCAATCAACTGCGGAGATTGTAAAGGACTGTCGAGAGTCGAGAACTACCTCGATATGTCCTGGTTTTGCAGTAACGCGAACGCTCGTGAATAGGACGCGTAATGTATAGAGTGTCTTTCTCACCTGCCTCTATCCTACTCCACGATTTTTGAACAATCTGTTGCCACGTTCGGGGAACCACGTTCAAGTTGTGACTGAGCTCTCCCATATCGAATTGCTCCGTCAGATATGGAACACGCTGATCTGAGGCATGCACATCTCATTCAGGTCTTTCCATTTATTCCATGTTCAAGGTGGGTCCAACATAGGGGATGGCTCGCCATCACTGCATGCTGGTCTTAAGACCTACTACTTCACTGTAGTAAGTGAAGCCAGCACCTGCGTAACTCTCGCTCGCTTGTCGGAGGAACTCAGAGGACGATGTCGCGACTCATTCTTGTGTTGGCGGCAACAACAGCATCAACAGCATTAACCTCAGCGCAATCAGCTAGTCCTATCCCAACCACAACGCAGGTCTTCTTCCCATATCCTGAGGGCAACATACCTCTCAACGCATTCGTCATAGCGCAAGTGAGTCATCCGAAGCTCCCATGTTCGCGTACTGATTCTCAATCACCTAGGACGCCACCGCCACGACCCTTGCCATTCAGTGTGCGCCCCAAGCTACGACAGAGTGCGACTTTCCAAGCCCAATCACCGTGACGGTCGGCCCTTCGACCTTTCACCTCGACCCGACTGGCATATACTATCCCCTAGGCTTGGTTGATTGCACGTTGAGTGGCACCACCGCAGCGGTCTGTGCAGTTACCGCAGGCATCTACGACGACCCAGACATCGGTTACAGGTCGGACAATGGTTGGCTCGATGTGACCACACCTGCCGCAAGCAGCACCACAAATACAGCAACATTTGCAGAGACCGATCTGGGCTATATCACTGTCACTATTCCTGCTGCATTGCTTCAGTCAGAAAGCAGTACAAGCAGTGGACACACCAATACAGCAAGCAGAACAAATCCGTTAGCAAGTACACCTATGCCTACCGGAGCCAGTGACAGCAGTGTAAACACTGCGACGACACCTATGATCACTGCCACTGGAGCTGCTAATTTACTTTCGAATACACTCACCTATGCTGGTTTGCTTGTCAGTCTCGTTACAACATTTTTACTCTCGTAACCTATACCACAAACTTCAGAACCACCATGCTCTTGCTATTTCTCTTAGGTACGTATCTAGCAAGCACCATGTGCACTACAAGACTTTCCTCCCTCCTTGTTTGGATTCTCCCACACACTTTATACATGCTTGTTCTTGTCTGTCTGTCGTCTGCCTCATATCTTAGCACTTGATGAATTCGAACAACGTGTCATGCCCTTTGGGCGTACCTCATGGAGCGCTCAAATGAATCATCGGCATCAGCAAAGCAAAGGGTTGCATCAGCCAAGTTAAAAAGTGAAGTTCTGACACTTTTGGTGACTATTCAAAAATACACCTGCACTCTCATTCCTGTTGTCACCTTCACCCATGCGGACAAACAAACACGCGGTAAGCTAGAACTATCACTGACTGACACAAATAATGCCTGATTCCAAACCCGCTTCTCTTAATTACGTCCTTCTATCTTTCGCACGCTTTCTCTTTTCCCTACCATCTTTCTTCACCTAACACCCGTGCCGGTTCTTACCTTCGTGCAACCGTTGAATCCTTGAGATCAATACCTTGCACAGTTGCAAAGAGGTCCCCAAAATGTATTCCCTATCTATCATTCTCACTGTCCTTGCGACATATTTCCTCTCTTCATATCTACCAGAACCTACCACCATCATTCCCTGGATCGCTCAATCAGCTTCTCCTCTCGAACTTCTCACACAAACCGTTGTCCCTTCGATCACCAGCCGTGTCGTCGATGCCCTCGAATCAATTTCAGGGTTACCCGAACCACCTAGATTGGACCGCAATATCTGCGAGCCTGTGATGTTCGACTCGTCTGACCATGCTACTCATGACTCAATATACAGAAAAACAGTTTGCCAACCTATCCCGCTACCTTCTAGATCAGAGAAGCTAGTAGCTTATACCAAGTATGCAATCCGGTTACTGAAATATGCCAAAGATGTAGCTCTTTCGACAAGCAGTAACTCTTTCCTGGCTGACCTCTCTCTTTCTGTCATCCTCAATATACTCTTCGGGGCCACATTCTCCTCATTGTGGTATCGCTCAAGCAAGCGAGCCACTCGAATTAGCCATCTCGAAGACACGAACGTGAAGCTCAACAAAAACGAGGCTGCCCTCAAGAAACAGGTAGAAGCACTCAAGGGAAATCCTAAGGAACGTCAAACGGAAGTTCATAGTAGTCAAAGAATACTACAGCTGACCATGGAACGAGATGATTTGAAATACAAGTGCAGTAGTCTTTCCCTCACTTGTGGCAATCTGCGAGCGGAGAGACAGGAGCTGCGCAACAGTACCATTCGTCGATCGTGCTTCGAGCGACGACTTGAAGTGTTTGAAAGAGCCAAGGCTGCTGCAAGAGAAAAGCAAATCAAGACTGAGGAACTGGAGAAGTCGCTGCAAGACCAGATAGCAATCGTTCGCGAACAGAACGTGAACCTACAAGCCCGGGATGAGACCATTGGGGTCACAGTGACCGATCTCGAGACTGCCAAAGAGACAATGCGAAGACAGAGAACAGCCTTGGCACGAGAGCAGCAGAAAATTCAGTCCTTAGCAGCTGAGCTCTCGGCTCTTCAGGATGAGCTGAAGACTGAACGCGAGGCCTGTGCGACTGAAAAGACCGCTTTGATGGTTGCACATGAGAAGGAGTTGAGAAAGGAACGTAGAGGCTTCGCCACGAAGAAGGCGACCTTGATTGCTGCACATCGGAAAGAGCTGCAGGAGTTACAGACAGAGAAGATCGAGCTCCTAGCATACAAAACTGAGTGTCTTGAGCTCAGAGATGTGTCGTCGAAGAAACAAGAGGAGCTCGACGCCCTTCTTTCTCAAAATACTGTTCTGGACAACAAGAACCAGACATTGCGGCAGGAGCTCTCACAGATGAAGAAGAACCAAGAAAAGTCTGAAGAGAGGACACAGAAGCTGCAAAAAGAGTCGAAGACAATTCGGGAAGAGCGAGATGCTGAACAGGAAGAACTCACAGCAGCTTACGAGGAAATGGACAAGCTCGAGAACGATCGAAACAGCATGTCGCGGACGCTCGAAGGAGTCAAGGCTGTGTGCTGCGAGGCCGCATCCTTTGTGTATGTCGAGTCTTATGCTCGTCAATTCTTTGCTTCGCTTTCAGGAACGCAGCCTGGCCGTCGTTCTAGACTTACTCGCGTTCGACGCGCCGATCGTGTCGTCCCTGTACCCAACCCACGAGACGCGGAAGACGATGTTGCTGGCAACGCAGTAAATAGGCCAGCCTCTAGCACTGTATGCTCGCAAGCCGTCATCCACATCCCCACAAGCTCGCGAGCTCTTGTCTTAGTACCTCGAAAGCTTTGTCCTTCAAAGGATGTGGCATTTAGCTCCTGGTCGTTACACATTGAGACGACAACAACGCCACGAAAGATCATGGCTCTGCTCATGATTGAGCATAAGAAAGCCGCCTTGAGCAAATATCGCTTGTCGCCACAAACTCATATTAAACGCATACAGCTCCCACTGTCTTTGGATTGCATGCTAAGCACCACTGCTCTTGCCTCAGCTGCTACTCCGTTTATAGGTCCTGTCCGGGCTCCGTCAGACGATGCGTAACCTCAGGATGAGAGCGATCGTAAAGAAATTTCAGAAGATTCAGCTATTGACCAAGGCGTGGTGGAGGAGTCTGAGCTCAAGAATTGTCAAGATGCGAGCAACAAGAGCGAAGCACACAGTGAGCAGACCTCTTCATCGAAAGATGCTGCTAGAGAATCCGACGATACTCCAAAGATGGTGCCCGATGGCGACATGACTGCGACCAGTGCTTCGGCCACGGCTCCTCAGCCTGCTGGCCTTGCAGAAGCTTCACCTTCGGAGCCCAAGACTACACTTCCACTGGTGGCTGAAGCTCTTGAAGTACCAGAACAAGAGACCCAGTCGCCACTTATGCCACAATCTAGTGCAAGTGAAGATGCAGGCCCAGTGCACGAAGAATCCTCCTCTGAAGCCCAGACACCAAGTCCCAAGGATGGGCCTGTCGTTTTGATAGCCGATCAGCAGAGTGACGCGATAGTCGAGTCAAGTGCTGCTGCAAACCAGTTGCCGTTGCTGTCAACGCCGCAGGAGCCACGAACTCTGTCGCAGCAAGATCGTTGGCAACCGCCACAGCAAATGACACAGCAAGAGAACTTAGGTGCCCAGACATCTGAGACTCCGAGCAACACCGATGACAATTCGGCTTCTGGAAGTCCTCCTCGACGAAGTCTAAAAAGAAAAAGCAGGGACACGACGCCATGGAACGAGCGAAAAGCCAAAAAGCGGAGCGCAGATTCAAGCCCAAGTTCGTGCACTTCCCGCCAAGATGTCCAGCAAATTACGTCCCCTCCAGAAAGCCAGCAGTTACAACCACAGAATGTGGTCCTCAACAATGGCCAATCGTCGGCGACTGCTGAACAAGCTCCAATCTTCCCTCCACTACGAGCTGAGGAGACTGTGCACCAAGCGCAAACAACAGAGCGGCCAATGGGTACTGAACACGTTGCGAAGCCGACGCAGTCAGATGCGCAACCAATGGGGGTCGTTGAAGGCACCGTGCCACAACAAGCAGACGAGCAACTCATGGATCTAGATCAGACCGCAGAGTCACAACATCCAGAGTCTCAAGCCATGGAGCTCGACGAGGAGACACACTCACGTCAAGACGAGTCAGATACCAACGTTTTCGGGCTGAACTCACAGGATCAGCCATACACGCCGCGCTTCGAACCGGATAGTCCAATGTCAGATCCGGAACCACAAAGCGTTCCATCGCTGAGTTCGTCTCCAACGTTCAACCGCGTCATGAACAACACCACGTTCACTCCTACCAGGCGCGTCGTACCTCAATTCGGCGTGACAACTCCTTTATCAGCCTCAGCTGCACAACAGGAGTCCCCGCCATCGAACCAATCCGAATCGCCCTCGAGCTTTGGTGGGTTGACTCTTTGACACGGCTCATACCACATCGTCTCGGACGACTCCGGTTCAATTGGCAACGTCTGGGGAACGACTGCGCCATACGAGAAGACGTGGATGTGGGTTTTAGTGAAGGACGAATGGGATGATAGACGAGCAGTACTGGTGCATGGAATATAATAAGTTGAATTCGAGTGAGATGGTTGGACTATGTTCTGCTATTGGGTAGACTAGGTTGGTCGAGGGTCAAGAGCAAAAAGTTTTCGCGACGAATGAGAACGAAGAAGGCGAAAATCAGGTATCCGAAGCCTCAAGTGCTATCCGCAATGTCTGACCACAAAGGAAATGTGCTCGTGGGTTGTCTCGCCACTACACTGCCCGTCTGGTCTCGCCCTCAGTGGCTTTGAGCGAAGGTACGCAGGCGTAGTGATTCGTAGCTCCCACAGCACAGGTCCGATGTGCAGTACGTAGCAGCATTGTCAGAGCCACACAGGAACGTCAGGACTTTTCTCTCGACGGAGCGAGTGTGTGTTGAGAACTACACGGATAATGGCTACAAATGACAGCAGGGAGTTCAAGAGAAGGTATTGATTGCAATAGAAGAAGAACCATTGCAGAGACATTTTTGGTAGTGCAGAGATTGTCCTTGAACGACCACTATGAAGGATGAAGGCATCGTCGTTCAGAACGATTGAGTAACTAGGAAGAAAAAAGAAAGAAAGAAACACATTACAATTGACACATGACAATCTCGTCTTTCTATTGCGATGTGTGCGCCTGGATCATAGTCCAGATTGCACAGCTACTCTATCTGCTTGTTCCAAATCTACACCTTTCCAATGCTTAGAGCCACGTCGTCTTCACATTGACTCGTTTCGCAGAGAGCTCGATCGAGGTTTCCACTGCAGCCGGTGCGTAGTCAACAGCTTCTGCCTGTCCTCGAAACTCGGATCCAAATCTCTCTCCTCGTAAGCGCGAAGTGCCACGACTTTATCATGTTGCGGTTTGACGACATATCTATCACTGAGAAGACCAGCCTCATACCTTTCGCAGTCGGCTCTTGCGGACGTGCTTAGTGTGTCGGGCGCGAAAGATTTAAGGTCTACGTCTCCCACAATAATGGCTGGTCGTGAATTGTGCCTACCAACATCAACGTCTTCGAAACATTTCGACGAGGCGGTTCCCCCGTGAATCGTTTTAGGATGGAGGAGGATAGGCGAGAAGACTTGATTTAAAGGACAAGCTGATCTTCCAGTGACGTCGTCAGTCACGGTCTGAACAGCATTTCCCGTACAGTAAGTGCTCTCTGTTGGGTTCTCTGGGTAGTTGTTGTAGGATCCCTCGAAGTGTGGATGCGACTGTTCTTCAGCCTCTGTAAACTGCTCTGCAAGATTCAGTAGCACACAGCTGTCTGGCCAAAACTGAAGAAGCAGCTGCATATGGTACGGAGCTTCGTGGCTCAGATAATCCACCTTACACACTTGTGTATTGATATTTGGGGAGTCTTCTATCCACTCCTGCAGTGCTTCAAGAACAGCCTCGGTTAGCCATCGGTCTCCCTCAAAACACTGGTCTGGCCGAGAATACTGGCCTGGTTGACAATGTTGGTCTGGCTGAGGATATGAAGAAGAATAAACAGACACATCATATTGAAAATCAGCGTTGCCTCCCAAGTAGTAGGATTCGCAGAATGATTGGGAAGCAGCGTCGTAGACATAGTACTCAGATGGGAAGAAATTGTCCATGTCTGCAATGAAGATGCTTGAGAAGGCTGACGCCCCATGCATGAGTAGACATGACTGATATAGCTCGCAACTAAAGCACGGTTGCGTGTCGTGAAAACAGCCTCACTCTGGAATCTGATTGTTGGAATGAAACTGTACGAAACCTGGTCTTACAAGAGACAAAGGTCTGGGCTCTCCGAGACGACTATCTTGAATTTCATGGAACTGCTTTGGGGAAGAAGCTTCTCAGGCTGGACGTCGAACTTCCTTGTGGTGTCTCACGAGAACAAAGGGGTCCGCCTCATCTCGTCTTGAAGTCTCGGACTAGGTTGCTGAAATATTCATTCTGTTCCTCGGCCAACTTTCCTTGTGTGTCGCTAATGATGGTCATGACAAGAGTATAATTGTTGAACAGAAAGCGATTGCGCTTACTGGCGTCTCCAGCTCCTTTCGCCAACTTGCCCATCAACGCCTCATACTCAGTACGCAATCTTGTCAGACTGTGAGCGAGTGGCTCATCATCGCCAGTGGTAGGGCTCAAAGTTAGCAAACCATGCAGGAATTGACCAAAACGCTGAGTGATTGGGTGAGGTGCAACAGTATTTGACGTGCTGGCGGCACCACCAACGAGGGAAAAGGCTGCGGCAGCTCCGCGGTTTGCAGAAGTTGGCGCTTTCTTTAAGGAATCAACATGCATATCCATTGCTTTTTGAAAGCGCGGCCAGAGAAGGATGTTAGTATAGTTTACATAGTCGTCCATGACAGGCACTTTGCGTCGTTGTGCTTCGAAGGCATATTGCTGATTCAGACGAATACAAATCAATATACCCAGGCAGTCGGTCGTTGTTTCGATAAGACGCTTGGTCAAATGGTTGCCTAAAGTGAAGGTAGGCTCGAAAATCTCTGCAACACGTCTCGCAACTTGGTGGTAAGAGCTAGTTGAGAAGAGTTCAGTCACAGCGGAGTACTCAGCCGACAGGTTGTCAAGGAGGACTTGATTGAAATTGCGGAAAGGGACTTCTATGTAAGAGGTTGTCTTGCCGTCTTCAGCAAGATGAGAGGGAAGTGCTCTGTCGTCCTTAAACTTTAGGTAATCAGCTCGGCGGCCGAGATTGAAGGCATCGTATTGTGGCTGTGATCCTTTAGACGATCCGAGAACATTTTGTTTTCGTGGCGTGGGTTCAGAAGCCAGCAAGTCATTCTGATCTATGTTGTGGAGTGGCATTTTTTCAAGAGCAGCATTGTACCGAGCAAAATTGCTACTATAGTACCACTTCATTGTGTTGACATAAGCTTGGCCAATATCGCTGGCAAGCTGAGAATTAGCTCTCGCCAGAAAAGGGTATAGTTCCTTGTATTTGAGAAATGACTGCTGCTGGATAACTTGAGCATTGATGTTCGGAGAGCGTAGCGACTTGATCTGGGTTACCAGGTAGTCACGAATTCTTTCTACTGCCTTAGACTTCAGGTCTTCCAGTAAGGGTTTGATGTCCTCAGCTGCCTTTGTTTGGCCACGGCTCTTTATTTTCTCGTCAACATTGAGCTGTCTGGCTTCTATCTCTGTTAACGCTTTCGCGAAAGTGTCGTCGATGAGTCCCTCAGAGATGGCACGGATCGTACGGGGAGACAAGCTGATATCTTCGACAGCCGGGCCGAGCAACTGCTCGACTTTTCGGCGGTTATCAAGCTGCGCATTGAGATGAATCGAACGGGCTTGTAGAGACTCGATTTCGGCGGAGACCTGGCCTAATTCGGCCTTGAAATCGGAAAGATAGGACTCGACAGAATTGAGGAGGGCATCGACTGCGAAGACCGAGGTCTGGAAATCCTCCAATACCTTTCTTTCGACTTTGGGTCTGGCAGCAGGAGTGACGACTTTCGGCGTAATCTCCTCGCCATCTTGCCCTATGTAGTCCTGTAGACTCAATCCATTAAATTCGATCTCAGCTTCTGGCTCTGACCCATGGCCACCTTGTGCTTCGGAACCCTGATGTCTTCTTGCTGGCCCAAGTATATGCTGCAAGACGTCGACTGGATCTATCACATCTTCTGGTGGTGGCTTGTGCTCTTGCCGTAGATTTGAGGCCGTCAGTTGCCTCTGGAGCAACGGGAGGGAAACATTGGACGAGTTCGGGGAGAAACCAAGATCTAGAGAAGTACTGGAGTTTGTCCTGCCAACACCAATACCTAGCCCATTTCCTTGAGGTTGTGCTAGTTGACTTGGTTGTCGTGGGCCGGGTGAGCGATACCGGCTTGGAGTGCTTGAGTTCGAGGTCGACGCGTTCGAGAAGCGGTCTAGCCACATAGTCAGACTACATGGTCGGGTTATTGAACATTTGTCGTTAACAGCTTGCTCCCTGACTGTATAGTATCTGATCTGACAGACAGCTATCAATAATTGCCGCAGACGACGTTGCTATTAGTGCTCTATATGGGCAAGTGCCTCAAACCCCTTGCACCAGGTCAGGCTGCTCTTACCAATGCATCCAGATCAGGCAGAATTTTTCACGTGTCACTGAACTGCAGTTTGCCAATCCGAACGAGACGAGAGGTGCTCCACAACTTCCCCTCCCCACTACTCTCTTTGGTCTGCGTTTTGTGCCTTCCGAAATCCCACTGCGATTTGTGCTTGTTTTACTCGAACTTGACGGGTTGCAGTCCATTGATTTTGCTTTCTCTCCCTTTGAAACCTATCTTCGCTGTATCGTCAGCTCTTCAAAACTTTTCCCACCTCGCAAAAGTACCACCATCATCATGGCGTCTGATGTAAGTTTAAAACACTCCCACCACTTTCTTTGCGCTTTCGAAATTCTGCACCTACACGCCACTCATCCGATTTTCGTACTGGTCAGCAAGGAAGAAGGGCGGCAGTTGGAAGACTACTGCGAAAAATCATTGGCGAAGAACACTGTGGGAACGGCATTCTGGGTAACTCAATGGAACACTCGTCGAAAGTCTTTGGAAAAGCCGCCTAAGCGATAGCTTTGTTTTCGCAGAAGAGGCTTTCGATAGATTCACAAAAGAGCCATCTGAGGAAGAGAGTTAGGACATTGTCGAGAGAAAGACTAAAGACTACATGAAAGTGTTGCTGTAAAGACCACCGAAAAGACGACGAGAAACCTGCTGGAAATGTCACACAGAATATTCCTGAACTCAAGCTAACCCCGAACAGGCTGATTTCACCTTCGAGTCCGCCGATGCTGGTGCCTCTGAGACCTATCCTATGCAATGCTCAGCTCTCCGAAAGAACGGTTTCGTCGTAATTAACAACCGACCATGCAAGATCGTCGACATGTCCACCTCCAAGACTGGCAAGCACGGTCACGCCAAGGTCCACATTGTCGCTCTTGACATCTTTACTGGCAAGAAACTCGAAGATCTCTCTCCTTCCACTCACAACATGAACGTTCCCAACGTCAGCCGACGAGAATATACTCTGGTAAGAGCTTGTGCTATGTTCTGGATAGGTCAAGATTTCTAATAGGATTGTGTAGCTGGATATCAAGGAAGACGGTTTCCTCGAGCTTATGGATGATTCTGGAGACACCAGGGAGGATGTCAAGGCTGAAGGTGATGTTTTGACCAAGTGCGAGAAAATGAAGGCAGACCCCGATGCCGACGTCAGTAAGTATACCTCCCAGTCATGTTCGAGGCTTATAAGACTGACGACTTTCAGCTGTTATCGTCCTCAAGGCTATGGGTGAGGAGATTGCTATGGACGTCAAGACTGGTACCGCTAAATAGATGGCCTAGGGCTTGGCCGTGCTTTCAGCGTGACTTCCACCAAGCGTATCGATATTTCCACGCAGTCGACAAGCCAGGTGAACCTAAATCCCAGCTTCACTGTTTGGGACCTGCGATGCCCTCAGAGCACGTAGTGGGCAGAATCATGGTTGTCAGCTCTACAAAGATAAGAAGTTCATTGGCACATTAGACGTTGAGCCATGTAACCAAAAGCTCAATAGCTTAGATTTGGTTTCAAACTCACAAAATCTTTCTGCAAAAAAAGTCATGTACCAGAATTTTGCACGTTGGTCTTTTGACTGAGAATTTGCGACTCCCTCTCTCATTGCTTTTTCTGCATTAGTTGTACCCCTGAAATCATTACTCGCAAGTTCCCAACCATGTATGTCGCCCGCCTCGCAGCGAAGCCTTCCTACTTCGTGTGACTCTCCGTGCACAAAGCGTTTCACGTATAGCCGACAAAGCTGACTGGTACCACGAGATTGCAATCACAAAACCTGGGAGTATCTGTGCAGCTTGAGGCTGACGACGATCCGCTGCTGCGAGCAATAGAAACGATCGTGTCTAAGTACTGATCGAGCCTACATAGGGTAGAGATATTAACAATTCAGCGTTGCTCGAAGTTGCGATGCTTCGAGCGACATGACAGTCTTGCGTTCGTGCGAAGTTTGCATGGCAGCATGTCGAAATCATAGGTCTGTGTGACTCACGATCCTTAACGACTTGACCGTTGCTCAAGTCGCCAACTATTGTCTCGTCCAAGGATTCGTGCAAGACAAGCAGGAAGAACAGTATGAATTGATGTATACTACAGAAAGCAACCACTTTTATATGTATCACCGAGAACAGCCCAAGTTCCAACGTCAGGGAAGGTCTATCTCAATGTTATTGCTGAAACAAGCCTGCCGAGTAATGCTCGAACTCGTCTAAACTCCGAATCAGTTCTATGTACGCCATACAGTTCCTCCTGTGTATATCACATCACATTCTATTCCAATGACAGGTTTGCTGGTCAGCCCAGACACATACTCCTGTTCATGGACTACAACAGGCTAGCTCCAAAGAGGCTTGAGAGGACAACAAATCCAGCACATACAAGAGGTGCCAAGGAGATCTCTGAAGCTCTGAGCACACCAGCAGCATTGCTGCCTGTGGAGGAGGAAGAAGATCCGGTCTTGGAAGCCTGACCACTACCAGCACTGGCAGTGCCAGTTGAAGCGCCTCCAGCGTTCTGTGAACCTGTCCCAGCAAGACCAGGCCCAGTACCTGCACCTTTGGTCATAAATGCTTTGGCACCATCGGGTATAGCCGGAAGACTATCGTCTTTGACAAGCCAGTTTGGCTCCGAGTACGAAGGACAACCGGAAGCGCCACCAGTAGAGTTGTAGCCACCATCACCGCTTGGACTCTGTGTACCACTAAGAGCAGTTTGCAGGGCGTCAAAGTCTGGTCGAGTGGAGACGGAGCTACCTGAAATCTCTACCAGTCCGTAATTAGAAGGTTCCTGAGAATACTCGTAGACAAGACCGCCAGAGTAGACCGCTGTCATGTCTGTGCTATAGAGAGAAGCGACCTCTTCAAACTTGCGGGTATTGATGTTGCAACCATACTCAGACAGAAAGATCGGCAGGCCGTATCCAGTAAAATTCTTGACCTTCTGATCCCAGCCAGAGACAGTGAAGCTGCTTGGGTCACACCACGAATAGTCATTGAAAGCGAAGAAGTCGGATCTCTCGTCGTCTGAACCGCAGTTCATATATTCAGCCATCTCAAGTCTATTCTCGGCGACATCAGCAGCCGAGTAGCCGACAGGAATTGTCCTATAGCCTCTGTTCCGGATATACTGACGAATGTCTCGGGTGACGGCTTTGACGTAGGGTGCGGCTGCAGAAGATGGTGGGTCGTTGATAACCTCGTTTCCAGAGAAGAAAGCAAGGGTATTGCTGTAACCTTGGAACTTGTCGACAGTTGCGAAAACACTCTGTAGGTAGACGGCATTATATGATGGATTGGGATCTGCTCGGTTGATCGAGTATTTTGGTGTATTGACATCCAAAATGAGGTATATTCCTGCATCTGCCAATGCATTCATGCATTCATCATGATCAGCTGTATTGTCTACTGTGTAGACTCGAATTGCGTTTAGGCCCAGTTGTTTGAAGTACTCAATGTCTCTCTTGCAGCCATTAGTATCTGCGATAGGATCCGCGACATCGGAGGAACCGCCAGGCTGGTAGTCGACTCCACGAATGTAGAATCGATTGTTCCCCTGGAAGAAGGCTACCTCATATTAGCATCGATGGAATATATAGGATGGTGCCAACTCTTACCATTGCCCTTGACTGTGATGGGAGTCACGCTGCTAGCACGTGGCTGCAGAGCAGAACCAGCAGCTAAGGCTGTAAATGGCAGAATTGCTGCAATGTTCTTCATGATGGAAATATTGATCTGATTAATTCGAAAGGATGAGAGGAAGAAACACTCCAAAAACGAATGGCTTGAAGTCGATTGTTGAACCGACGTGGCGTCCAAGCTTGAGACACAGATTAAAAAGGTTTTCGTAAGTTGTCCAAAGAAAAGGTGGCAGGATGACTGAAACGAGAGGCAGTCGCAACCTGTACCAGAGCGATTTGAATGGAGATGGTTAGAAACGAGAGAAGTGACAGTGAAGAAGATGCAGAAAGTAAAGGGATGAGGCAGGTGCGTCTTACGTCTTGACCCAACACTCACATGCAGTAAACAGCCAGCCAGACGCGGCTTCCATATTGAATGGAGAAAAGTTTAACATCGGAATTTTTGTTCAGCCACTTGAGATGCCCTTGAGGGCCCACTCCTGTTTCCGGTGGCTCTTTTTGAATTTGTGATATTCTGTGTACTCGTGCTCACGCCACTACACGTAAAGCTCCAGGTTTATCGCAATATTGTGGGTGCCCAACCTCAAACAAGACAATCATAGACCGCAGCGCAAAGCTGGCCACCCACCGGACCACAGGTCTAAGATTGTGAGACAATATCGGTGATACGACTTTATGTGGTTCGTTACACTTCGAGAAAGCGGAGAAGGTAATCAAATGCTTGTCGGCAAGCCAATATCGTTAGCGTCCCACCACCACCCTGAAATACGGTCGTCCAGAGTGCTTGGTACTGCTTGTCGAGCTTGTCGGTGGATAGAGCGCCCTCCCTTAATCCCAAATATATCGCATAAGACGCGACGATATACTTCTGCTACATCTCTCGTCAGCTTCCGCTCCTGTACATACCGGCAAGCTCTCTTCATGATGGTGTCGCTGGATCGAATGATATGCTGGCAGGATCGTGCTATAAGTCAATCGTGGAACTGTGCTCATCGTCAAAGAGGCGTGCATGCTGGTATGATCGTGTTTATATGTTTACTTGAGCGAGCAAACAGCATCAATCGCAGTCAAATGCAATGCTTGAAGATAGAGGTAATGGTTGTGAAATATGCGCTCGCATAGGTTCTAGTCAAAAGCGATCATTGTGATCTATTCTAGAACGTCAATCATAGTATCATTTCTCGTTCTGGGATGCGGAGACATCGCTGGTTGTGCCTACTCTAGACACAGAAACACATGTTGCTGGATATCTCGTCATATCTCCTCGTGCGATAGGAACGTCTTCCGCAGCAAGTTCGTAACTCGGCGGGACCGCCTGCATCTCGTGCCGTCCTTGTCCATCTATCTCAGCTGACGCAAACGTTGTACCTGTACCTTGCGTGCCAAGGTGGTTGGTGGGTGTGTCCAGCTCCGTTGCCGTACCAGGCGATAGCGGTGAGACCAGACTTTGCCGTTGTGCTTGCTTCTCGTCGCCAGTCGTGACGGCATATGCTGAGTCTGCATTCGGAGCAGAACGTCGATCGCTGAGGGCTCGTCGACCACCACTGATGAACGCCATTATTGGTGATCGTGGCACGGTATCTCCAGACATCCTCCTTTGCTTCTGACGACGTCTACGGAACCACAAAAGGCCAGCAACTAGCGCTATGAGAGCAAGGAGACCGATTACAATTCCTGCAATCGCTCCTCCACTCAAGCCGCTTCTACTCGGTATTGATGGCACAGGATTTACTGTTGGTTCAGAACTTGCTGTCGTGCCCATTGTGGTCGTGAAAGTTGCTCCAGCAGACACAAAGGTGAGTGTTTCGACTCCTGTCATACTGTTACTAGCAGCTGGTGGACTGATGGTCGTGGTGAACGTATAGACGCTTTGAGCGGACGTGAACGTAACAGTCTCTGCTCTTGATGCTGATGCCGACGCTGATGCCGGTGCGGATGCTGGAGCGAATGCTGAGGATGATCCTGATGCTGATTGTGAAGCGGATGCCGGCGCTGATGCCGGTGCTGAAGACGCCACGTTTGTGCTTGCAGCAGATGCTGGTGGTGCCACAGTTGGCGCAGCAGCAGACACGAGGCCTGACGATGCAGGTCCATTTGCAACAGACGCGTAAATTACTTGGCCATTAACATTGAGACCATCCTCGTCTTCGATGACCCAAATTGCGCCGGATACTATGTTCGCTGGCGCCGCTCCACCGACAACAATCTGAAGGGCGTAGTTCGTTCCAGCATCGTCATCGTCCTCTGTTTGCCACGTGAAGGTGTTACCAGCGCCGGTATATAACGTTTGTTGCTGTGCACCATTTTGTAGAAGGTTAATCGTGACCGTAGCACCATTTGCTTCCCAAAAAACTGGATATGCTAGACCAGAGACGACTTGAGTGGGATATTGTGTAAAGCCAACGTTCTGAGCGCTCGCAAAGCTGCAAAGCAGCAATGCTAGCACTATCCAGACGCGAGGTGGTAAACCCTTCATGTCGGTGTACAAAATGATGGTTGTTCACGAGTGATAATGTACATATCGGTAGAGATGACGATGAGTATGTGAAGGAGTGCTGTCCCTAAGCAATTGAAAGACATCGCGAAGGTTGTGGCTATGCGGATCGCGCGAAATGCTATCTGGCAGACGTTTACGCAGTCCCCAATCGTTCAGGATCCGCGTGGTCCACTCATCGAAGTGTGATTCCTTGCTTCGCTTTCTGGGCGGAGTGGACAGGATGGATCGGCGGACTTGGAAGTCTTGGAAGTCTTGGAATTTGTCTCAGTCTCCTCTTCGCTGTTCTATTTCGGCCTGTCACTGCCCCGGGACGGGAAATTAAGTGTGCTCGGCAGTTTGTTCATATCAGCTTGGGACCAAGATTTAAAGATAGACTCTCGCTATCGTACTGTACCACGTCAGGGTATAAAGGCGTTGCACATTGAAATGACGTAAATCACTTCATGCTGCTGTGTTCGAGCTGTCGCTTCTCTTGTCAGTGCTCTGAAAGTTTTTGGCAGGTCATAGACGTGTTTATGGTTCGAAGCTTAGGCAACCATGACCACATTCTACTGTGTCGACCTCATAAAGTTGATCATGCTTGGCGTCCGGTATCCGGCAAGCAACCGATCTTGGCCCTACACGTTTTGGGCACTTTGTATTGAGTTGTTCGGAAGAGGACGGACATGATGTGTGGTGGCGGCATCGCATCGTTGCTGGCGCTCATACACCAAAGAGAAGTACTCGAGTATCATTGAGTGGTCGCGGGGCACGTGGTGGTCACCAGAACCGGGGCTTGAGATTGCCGATGCTACATCAGACTCATGGACTTGCACACGGCGGAATCGATTGTCTGAACTATCAAAACCTGCCTCATATCTCTTGTATATACGCTGCGGGCACTATTCTCTTCTCTCCGTTCTTCTCGACATCAGCCCAACCGTCGCCTGTACCCATCGAAATTAGAACAAACTTCTCACCTTCGTCCATGTCGAACTCTGCATCAGATTGAGCTGTATATGGATATAGTGCTTCACAATACTTGATCTTTTTGGCTCCTCTTCGTGGAGCTACTGCCGGCCCTTGTTTCTTGGACGCATTGGTGGATGCTAACGATGCTGATGAGTTGGAGTAGGTTGATGCCGAGCGATTGTGGGTTGGCCGTACTGAAGCCGCAGGCGCCGAAGCAATTTCTTCGAAGTATGCGGTTGGAACAAGTCCCTCTTGACCGAAACCTATATTGATTTTTGTCCAGCCACCAGCTGCATCATGTTAGTCGGCTAACCTTTGATAACATAGAGTACTTACCATCTGGTTCGAGAATCTCAAATTCTTTGCCTTCTGAAATGGTTAATTCACTACTGTCTCGTGCTTCATAAGGATAGAGCATTCTTCCCCTCTTGCTAGAGGGTGACGATGTAATGTCGTCGGTGGACGGGCTGATGTATGCAGCGGGCGGTGGAGCCACGATTCGATTGCGGCGAGCGCCTGTGCTGCTCGATGTACTTGGACTGCTTGTAGGACCGGACCCGTTGTTCGGTGTGGTTGGCTCTGGCACGGGTTTTATGGCACCTGAGACAGATCTCGTAGCTGTAGCGGCATAACCTGAACTCAGGCTATTCATAGTGTCCTGCCTGCTCAGAGCTGGCAAGGTTGACCCATTGGATATCGTTGGAGGCGTATCGCTCGCTTGTGCCGCGGCAGCTTGCCTGTCCGCCTTCAGGCGTTTTCTTTCTTCTTTGGTTTGCTCTCCAGGACACTCTGCAGGCACTTTCATCTGGCATTTACTATGACAAGTAAAGCCGCAATCAGTGCACAAAAAGCCTTTGGCACTTAAGCCCCATATACGATCACCACATAGATCGCAGTTGGTAGGTATTTTGAAAGTCTCCGACTTGAACGGATGACTCTTACCTCGCAAGCTCAAATCCCCTACCACGGAAGTTATTGTAGATGTCTCGACCTCGGCAGTCATTCGTTGCCTTTCAACAGCATGGAGCTCTTCTTGGACTGCGAACTGCGAACGAACACAATCAACCTCATCTCGCTTGTCCTTACCAGCACGGATGTTTTCTCGTGCACGTTTGACGTTCTCAAGTTCCTTCCTCTTCTGCTGGGCTTGAGCTTTCATCTCATTGATCAAAGGTTTGCTCTTCGTGAGTATGTTTCGGAGGAAGATTTTCGCCGTCTCGTCAGTGGCCATAGCATCGGTATCAAGCCAGACAGGTGAAGGTTCAAAGACAAAATCAGGCGGATCTTGCCATTGCACAGCGTTGTGACGCAAGAACATGGTGCTGTCAAGTACGGGATCGTTCCTAGGTATCTCAGCAGTCAAATGCTTCATATGCTCGGTACTCTTGGTGAGGGCACTCGTCTCGAGTGCCGAAGCCAGCGTCCAGATGGCGTTGAGTTTGATTACCCTCGTCTCATTTAAATCCTGCAGCGAGTCCAGTAGGTCTGGCACGTATTCGTGGTAATAACACTCCTTCAACTTGTTTGTTACGTTAATATTGATCAGATATGTATTTTTGGCATTATTCATTTCAACAACATGCTGGTTGTAAGCCTGAGCCGCCTTTGATTTGCCAAAGTCCATTGCTGAATCCTGCTTCTTGCGCCTGCTCTCCACGTCGGCACATACTGAATCATATTTGGCCTTCAGCTTCTTGAGGTCAGTATACTGGTTGTCCCTTTCCTTGACCAATTTGTTCTGATATTCGGCATGGCTGTTACGCAACTCTTCCAGCTTCTTCTGGTTATAGTTAAGAGGGCCAGCAACCTTGTTGACAAAGTCTGAAGCAAGTTGATTGTGCTCCGCTGCGCGTGCTTCGACAGTGTTCAACTGTGTAGTCCATGTGGTAAGAGAAGCGGATTCTAGAGATCCTGGGGTCAACGCTGGTGTATCCCCTACACTGAGATTGCTCGACCTCTTTGCTTTCTTGTCATAGTATCTTTTTGCTAACGCGGTTAACTTGTCACTATATTCTTTCTCGATCGTACTGCGTTCGCGGTAGAATTGTTCGATCTCGCCTAGCCAAGTGATTCCGTTGGAAATCCAGGTATCGACAGGTTTGTATGCATCTTTGAGCTCCGCACCAAAACTTATAGCTGCTACCTGTGCCATTGCGAGATTGGGCCTTCCACTTGCGACTTCATAGGTGCGACCGGATTGCTGCTGCAATGGCCTGATGGCTCTACTTACGGTGGACGAGAATGCGCCGTCAGAGAATACAGTACAGTTCAGTATTGCAGGAGAAAAGTACACACATCAAGCATAAGAAGAAGTCTTGACAGCTACCAAGGTTACCTTGCAAAGTAGTAGTAGCATTCTGCACACTGTGGTTGCGCAATGTCCAGGACTGATTCGACTCTGGCGTGTCTGGGCACGAGCAGGGCGCCCCGTGTAATTACCTATGCTCCGTTTACCGCTGGCGGGGTCGGCTCCGGCCTCTGACTGGACTCGAGTAGCAAGCCCACATGTATTTAGTCGAAGGAGGCAAGTGCGGCGAAAAAGTGGTAGGTACTGCCAGGTACCAGGCATCGGCAATACGAACCTCAAAATTCATGACTGTCACTTTGCAAGGCTGCACTCGAAATACCTGTCGTTTTCTCGGTTACTTTACTATGTACACGACGTCCCAACTGTGAAATATACGAGAGTTGCCTCCACCTATCTACAGTTCTTGATCACTACCATTCCTTACCTATCTATCTTGTCTACGTTCGTGGACCAGCATAAGAAATTGTACCCGTTTCTTAACGCGCCGGTAATATGTCGTCCGAGCCAGCAGCTACGCCTTCATTGGCCGATCGCATAACGAAGGACGAACCCAAACAGTCGTGGGCCGACGAGGTCAATTCGCCTGTAGCTGAAGAGCCTCCCTCCACCAAACCAGAAAATGGTATTTCCCAAACCGACGGAGCTAGTGGTCCATTTGGCGGCTCAAACCTGCACGAGCCGGATTACGAAGTGCAGGTCAAGCTCGCAGATTTACAAGAAGACCCCAACAACCCTTTATTCTCTGCCCAGTCATTCGAGCAGTTAAACCTCAAGCCCGAAATCCTCAAAGGTGTAGTTGGAATGAACTTTAGAAAGCCATCTAAGGTTCAAGAAAAGACTCTACCACTACTCCTGATGAACCCTCCAAAAAACCTCATAGGCCAGTCACAATCGGGAACTGGCAAGACGGCAGCCTTTGTTTTGAACATCTTGAGCAGAATCGATATCAGCACTCCAGAGCTGCAAAAGACACCTCAAGCCCTCGTTTTGGCACCCAGTCGAGAATTGGCTCGTCAGATCTGCGGAGTCGTGAGATTGATGGGTCATTTTATGGAAGGCTTGGTGGTGGACGCTGCTGTTCCTGTCGATGCCTCCCAACGTGGTCGCAAGATTGAGGCTTCCGTTATTGTCGGCACTCCAGGCACTGTTCAGGATCTTATCAAACGAAGATCGATGAACGTCACAAAGATGCGCATTCTTGTTCTTGATGAAGCAGATAATATGCTCGATCAGCAGGGTCTTGGTGACCAATGTAGTCGAGTCAAGGCGTAAGGTTCTCGAGTGTCGTAGGTCAAATGATCGAACTAACCTTCACTAGTATGCTTCCAAAAGATCTCCAGGTAGTCCTTTTCTCGGCCACCTTTCCCGAGAATGTCGTTCGATATGCACACACGTTTGCACCAAACGCAAATGAGATGACCCTAAAGCACGAAGACCTGACGGTCGAAGGAATCAAACAGGTGTACTTGGACTGCGACAACGACGATGCCAAGTATGAGACTCTAGTCAAATTCTATGGCATGCTTACAATAGGATCTTCGATTATCTTCGTCAAGGTGAGCTTCAAAGGCGTTTTACATGTTATATTAGGACTAATCTCTCGTCAGCGCAAGGAAACTGCTACGAAGCTGGAACAACGAATGACCGCTGAGGGCCACAAAGTCGTTGCTCTGACCTCAAACTATGAGGGCTCCCAACGAGATATCGTTATCGACGCCTTTCGACTCGGACACGCCAAAGTCCTCATTGCCACGAATGTCCTCGCTCGAGGTATTGACGTATCTTCTGTTTCAATGGTCGTCAACTATGATGTCCCTGATACGCAAACCGGTCCTCGAACTCCTACCGTCGCTGATCCGCAGACATATCTACATCGTATAGGTCGAACAGGTCGATTTGGCCGTGTCGGCGTCGCGGTCACCTTTGTTAGTAGCAAGGCTGATTGGGAGAAGCTGATGGCTATTCAAAATTACTTCGGATGTGAGATTGTCAGACTCGATACTCAGGATTGGGATGACCTCGAAGAACAAATTACTAAGATTATCAAGAGCTCGAGAGCAGGCACGAATCTGCAGGGAAGCGCTAATGCGATCACGACTTGAGGAACGGGCGAGTAGACAGAGTCGAGCTAAGGACGTCGCCTTCCTCTATGCATGGCAGGGCGTTACATTCTGAAGCCTAAGCTTAGGCACATGGCTAAATGGCTAAATGGCTAAATGCCAAAGGACAAAAAGCAGGGGCAATAATGAATGAATGAGTACTGATACCCACAAGCTCAAAAGCTTGCAACACGCGATAAAGAATAATGTGGTGTTATGGAAATGTAAACGACAATGGATGCCATCGTACAAAGTGATTGGCTGATTGAGATGGTATATTACCGAATTTCAATCACTTCCCCAATCACAAGCATCGCTCAATAACCTAGCAACAACCTCCAGCCCTTGCCGGTCCTCCTCATCGAACCCGTTGAGCTCTGTACAATCAATGTCTATCACACCTATACACTAATCACAACTTAGCTTTTTCCTCCCCACGGCATGACCAGCACAAGACAGGCCACAGACTCACCTTTCCCTGCCTCGTTAAAATCGGCACCACAATCTCACTCTTCGTCTCCCCGTCACAAGCAATATGCCCCGGGAAAGCTTCTACATCCGCCACGACCTGCGTCTCTTTCTTCTCCGCCGCAGTCCCACAAACGCCCTTACCAACGCGGATTTTCTGGCATGCGACTTTCCCCATAAACGGTCCTAGTAACAATTCTCCTCCCTGGTTGTGGGACTCGTGAAGAGTATCAGAGACGTAGAACCCAGCCCAGTTGACGGCGTTACTTGGCGCTGGAAGGGAGTGGAAGAAGTGCCAGAGTAGAGAGGCTGTGTTCGCGAGGTTGGTTGGCCAGAAACGGGTATCGGAAAATAGTGATCTTAAACTATCGAGGAGTTGAACGTAGGCTTCTGGTTTGGTGAGATGAGGTTGGAATGAGGTTGCGTCGGCGTGAGGCTGGTTAGAGACGAGTTAGTCATCCTGATGTACTAGATACTAGTCTACCAATTGCAGATTGTACCATATCGAAGTGTGTGGATCTTGGATGTCAAGGCACAGAGTGTAGGTGTTCAAGTTGTAAATTTTTGTCAGCGACGAGCTATTACACAACTGTTTGCAAACAGTCGTCGTGCTGTATATTCTTGTAGGAAATGTCAAGTTTATACCGTTTGTGGAGTTCGGAAATGTCGTGCTTATTCGCCGCCTGTATTTAACCATGCCACAACGAATATATCTGCTGCGACCACTTCGAAGCGACGAAAGAGGCCGCCTGTGAGTTGAATGCGTTGATTTTATGCCGTCGAACTTGTCTAGCTGTGAGGCACGAGGGAGGTCAAATTTCGGATCTTGCTAAGCCTACAATAAGCAGGAACATCTACAGCCAACAACAGGTACAGGAAGAAACCTTGTAGGGCACAAGCAGAATTTATTCACATTCAGTCATATTACAAGGAAGCTACACGTCTTCCTTGACTCACATAGTTCTCATCACCATAAACATATTTCTGTGAGAAGACCACCATCATATCTACTCGATGAACAAAACCTCCTCCTTCATATCAACAACCCAAATCGTGATATCTTCCCCCTCCCAAACAGAAGAAAACAAACGCTATGTTGCTAGGTGCAGGCTATGCTTTTGAACGAATGTATGCAGTAGTAAAGCTGCGAAAGAAGCCGCAAACAAGATGGTGCTGAGTCGAGATTGCAAAATGCAATGCACAAGCTTCGAGAGCAGATATTGCCCAGTCCTCTCCGTAAGCATATTCGAAATACCATATACGCCTGCTGTCATAAAAGGTCATTAAAAGTTTGTTGTTCGTCATAGGATGCGCCAAAGGGCTCCTTCCCGTGCTTATGTATTTGCCTTGCTCTCGGATTCCTTGGACCGCCAGAACTTCATCAGCTTACTGAGCCTGTTTGTCTTCTTTTTGGTCTTTTCTTCATCACCACACGATACTTGTTCGAGTCGTAGCTTACTACCGTGCGATGAGCCAGGTATAAGTCTGTTCAGACTGGCTAGACTCGATCGCTTCCAATTCTCGTGTATCCTTGATGACCCTGGTACGAACATCGAGTTGGATCTTTGCTCGAGGGATGGTCGAACACGACCACTACTCGAGGCTCGCGTAAAAGCATTGCTCGATGCACTGTCGCTCAAGGAAGGCAGATCCTCCGTGGAAGGGCGAACAGAATCTGTGTGTGATTCGAATCGACGAGATCGTGCTTGAAGATCAAAAGATGCATGGTCAACATCCGGTGAGGAGATGAGCGACGCAGATGTTGTGCGGCCTTCTGTTGAGGATGCGTAGAGGGATTGAGGATTCGGGTACGTGAATGGCATCGGCGAAGTTGCAGGCCGTTTCGGTAGACTCCCCACCGTCATGTTAGGTGCCCCGATCGTGGACTTTGACGAGCAGATGTCGTCGGCGTCTACTTCGTTGTCCGAATCCACTATGACTACTCCATCGACTCGACTTGGTATATTCGAAAGACCCAACCCGCCCTCAATTTCTGTAGGCACCGGCAGATTCACGGATGTCGTTGACTGATGATTCGAATGCAGCTTGACCTCTTCTTCATGAGCGAGAAAGTTGTCTTCTTCCTGCTCATCAAATACGTCCTCGCTTAGGCTGGCGTTGCTGTTCTGATGACGCATACCGAACAAGGCAGAGCGATTGACTGGAGACAGTGCGGGTGCACTCTCAGTTCGGCGGTGACTAACTCCAAAGGCATCGACAGTGGCTCTCCGTTCACTGCTGTGAAGCTTCGCAATTCTGGCTGTCGTGCTGCGAACGTGGTCCTCAGAGAACCTTCTGTCGTCGACGAAAGGGTCCATTGCAACATCGAGGTCGAGAACGGGTCGGGATAGCTCTGTAGACGGACTTTCAGGTGGTGCAGGTGCTGGGAGTTGTTGTTTCAGTGTCATTTGCTTGCGTGCACTGACAGGAGAATCTTCTCGCAAGACCACTGTGTTATCAGCGTCGAACACATCCTTCAACGTGTCACTGTCTCTTCTGAAAAGATTCGGTGGTGTTGGCGACCTCCGAGATTTCTTCTTAAAATGAGGCTTCGACTTCTTCGGAAACACACCTACGCTCCAGGTGTAGAACTTATGGTGCTTGAGACTGGACGGCCTTCTTGATCCTGTCTTCGTCCGAGTCTGTGCATTGTCAATAGCTGGGCGCGAGTCTACTGAATCGAAGGCGAAAGGATTCGAGATCTCCTCTTTCGGCGTATGTGTAGGTGTGGTATCAGGTCCGTACGGAAACCACGAATGCTTCTTGCGGGGTGGCAGAGTACCGCTTTGTGAGACTGCTGGCGAACCGGAAGCGGAAAAAGGCCTTTTTGGTACTGGGTGTAGCTCTTCGGCTTTAATCGATGTCGCGTCTGAGAGAAGGAAGGAGGCGTCAGCGGTGTTGGGTCGTCGAGCAGTCGCAGTCTCTGCAGGAGGAAAGCCTATTGTTGTCATTAAATCTGCAGGCATCACATGTGTCGGGCTAGCTATGGAATTAATACTGTTGGTCACGGAATGGCCACGGATTGTCGAATTACTGCGTTCTGTTTCTGAAGAAATCATAGACAAGGGCCGTGGTATCACGTCGACCTTCTCTGAAAAATCGACTGTACGTGGCCTGTAATTAGACACACTTCCTCCTCTTTGCGGTGATTCAGGTGGTGATCGCGAAGTCGACGGAGTGTATCGATGGCTGGGACTAGCTCTTGTGAACCCAAAGTTTCCGTCTTGTGGTGTGGAAGGATTAGAAGGATTGCGCGCTTTGGCCAGAGCATGTTGTTTGATCAGGTCAGACGTGTCAATGTCTGAGATCGAGATTGCCTGAGACCTTCTATGAGTGTGTCCTTTGTAGGCTGACGAGGAGACAGGTGGGCCACTGGGTTTCGTTTCGTGTTTTGAAGGACTGGTCGTAATAAGTTGCACACCATCTGCTTTTCCACCGACAAACTCACTTCCTCCTCTTCTGTGTCCAGTGCCGTTGCTGGACTCATTGCTAACTTCGAGTTTGGTTGGGCTTGTAGATCCTGTAGGAGCACTTGGGTTGAAAGTAAACGCAGGCAACGGTGCCGGCCTAGCTGACTTGCTGACCCGCTGCTGATTCAGAGCCATTTCCTCTAGGATCGGGTGCGATGGACTAGGCGTCCGTTGCACAGGTATATCTGCACCAGGATTGAAGGTGAAATCAGGTAGAGGAGCAGGTTTCGAAGACCGTCGCATATGACCTAGACCCATGTCCAGTGGCTCCCCTTCCATCTCTTTCATATTCTCTTTCTCGGCTTCCGCTGCATCCTGTTTGCTGGAAGGTGAACCCGGGTTGAAAGTGAAGGCAGGCAGCGGTGCAGCGGCTGTAGGATGTCGTGAATGCTTTCGTGCATGGCGTGGAGGTCCACGAGCAAACCCAGATTCAAATTCCACAGGCGCCGACAGGGACAGCGACGCCATGTCCAGGTAGGACCACGTACGTTTTGTCGACCAAAACCGTTCCAATTGGAAGTTTGTGATACTTTATTGCTTCGGCATCCCCCACAACGTGATTCTTGATTGATAAGGACAATGATGCAAGGACAGAAATATGCCGACCCAGAATGAATGATTGCCCAGACCACCAAAGCTCTAGCCTAGTTGCATCTGCTCAAAGATAACGTCTGATGTTTAGTACTCGAGTGTGGTTTTGTGTTGAAGGAGTGGACGGCTACCTGGAGGAATGATCTTGTGAAGACCAATCCTCGAACAGGAGCCAGATAAGAGCAACGACAATATCTATGTGTTGGACCTGCGACAAGGAAGTGACGGCCTCGAGTTCGTCGAAGGTTGTCACAGAATGAGCCCTACTGACATCGAGATAAGAGGCAGAACAGTCTGTGCAGAGAATGAATAGCCAGACTCTTTGACAGACACAATAGGCACTAAGAACCAACTCTGTAGCCAAGTCAGCAATGGAGTCACCTGCACAGCCAAGTGGTTGAACTTTGTCCATTCAGAGAGCGTCCTCCGGCTTGTGCATCGCTTTGAATTTCAGCCCAAGTCTACCTCCACTTAATTAGTGCTGTGGTCGTTGTCCTTTCTAGGCATGGCTGGCTCACTCAGTGGATCTCAAGCACGCGTACAGATTATCGTTGGCACGCTAAAGACGCATCTACTTTCAGGTACTCCTGCTTGTTCAGGAACAGATCTCGTATCGATGACCGCGGTGCTGAAAGCTGCATGAAGCACACAGCACGTCTCCCGGCAATCACGAGGCAAACTGCGCAGAGTAACCTGTGCGCTACTTCCCAATTCTGGCGCATTTGTAACTTGCCAGGCACGTAGCAGAACCTGGCACCTGCGCCGTCCCGCTAATTACAGGTGGACTTGGCTCAATTCTGCAGTCTATTCAGAGATTGCGAATCTTACTTCCGATGGGCAGGATATGAATATCTTGAATTGAAGTTGTCGCTCAATATGAAGCACAAGGGAGTCATGCCCGTGTGGTCTCGACACGCTCGTCTCCTGAGAAGCAGAAGTATCCAACGCATGCGGTCTATCATGCAGGATGCACAAGCGGCCGCTTCGGCCAGCCAACAGAAGCTTTCATTCCCATGCCCCTGCAGCTGCGAGATCTGCATGTTTCTTGGAAGGGGCAACTTGTACAAACTATGCAATAAAGGTACTGTACAGTATGTTGACTGTCCAAAGCTGCTTTGCTCTGCTGCTGGTGACTTCCCAGTCGCAATGAAGATGATGAGCTGCACCGTGGCGTGCTCCGCACTTTGTCTGTCTATCGTTCATTGTCACAAGACGCTCGTTGCGTCACCATGAAAGGCGTTGAAATTAGCAAAGTACTATCTTTTGCCGAAAGCACGCAAGTCTGATCTCCCAGACAACGACCAGGCTATGGCGTTAGGAACCAGTGCTGCTAGCGAGCGGATGAACCTCATCAATCGAGCTTCGCTTGACCAAGTACGATCGAGGTCTTTGTCAATGATTGCGAGGCCAACTTCTCTATACCTTGCATCAAACATTCTCTAGCTTACTGTTATTTGGTAGATGATCCTATGGCGCTACGGTACGTAGTAGTAGACTGCAACTGATCGTAACTAATTTAAACCCATCCAAATTCTGCGAGCCAGCGAGCGACTTTGAAGCACTTCACTCACGACCACAAAATCTCATCCTGGTAGACACTATTGACACTTACTGACAATTTCATGGTATCACCGCTGTCAAGACTCAGGCGAATAAACTTGATGAGCTTGATTCTTCTGTGCTCGCAGCTCCAAACAATCGCGTGAAGTTCCTTGGTGATTCCTGCAAGTGCAGTGCCAGGTCCGTACCATACCTTCCTCACACCTTATCGACCATAGGCTCTACTGTCCTGCATGAAACTCTTGCCTTCCGTAAATGTATGTTCGCCATGTTGTAACCAGAAAGAGGATACGCTAGTCCTCGATCTCAAACTTGCAGGCATTCGTACGGCCAATCAGTGAAAGTCGGAACAATCTATCTAAACTATTGGAGTGTGGACCTCAACTAGTACTGTAGTGTTTCGTTCTTTCAAGTGCTAATACAGCTGTCTGGCTCCAGACGACTAGTAGCGAGAATGTCAACCAAGAAGAGCACGAGACATGCCAACCAGCTAAGGAAGAAAACGCAGAGTAATACTGACCAAAAACCGAGACAGACTGTGAGTTGCGATCAAGATGCGAGCAACGAACAGCCCGTCCTTCCTATTGAGGTACAGCAGATCGTCCTGAATGTATTCAGAACAGCGTTTCCCACTTCTCAGGACACGGAAGAGTTGAAAACAATTATACGAGAGGTAAAACGCCATTTATTCAACCGCGACTTTTCTGCTGCATTCTCAAGTCAGTCGTTTCTGCAGGCTTATGCGCTGCGATGGAGTGCTGCTCGTGCTTTAGGGTATACAGAGTTGTTGACGAATGCAAGAACGAAATATCTGTTCGACAGCAGTGAGACAGACAATGGACACTTAGAGCCCGATACTCAAACGACAACTTCACAGAGCCTTGATTCCCCTAACCATCATCACCGCCCAGCAAATCGAGTCGTCTGCATCGGTGGAGGAGCTGGAGCGGAAATCGTTGCTCTCGCAGCGTCGAACCGTACATCATCGAAACCACTTCAGGTTGTTGCCATCGACAGCGCCGACTGGTCCGATCCTGTGCAAAAGTTGGCGTCAGCACTCACTGTTCCGCCAACACTCTCGATATATGCAAGTGAGGCCTTTAGGAAGCGACCTGAGAACCAGCCACTTGTCGTGCACCCTATGCAAGTCGATGTCTCGTTTATGCATCAAGATGTGCTTTCCTGGTCTAGGGATAGCTTGCGTGAAAGCCTTTCAGGCACCACCCTATGCACAATTATGTTTACCTTAAACGAGCTCTTTAGTACGTCGATACCGAAGACGACAGCGTTCCTGCTTGATCTTACCAGTGCCATGCCTCAAGGTAGTCACCTTCTCGTCGTGGATAGTCCTGGCAGCTATTCTGAAGTCCAACTCGGGAAGAAGAGTGTTCCTACCAACACTGCTGCTGCCAACTCAGAGGGCACGAAGAGGTATCCGATGAAATGGCTACTCGACCATACACTTTTGGTAGTCGCAAAGGGTGAATCTGAAGCAGTCTGGGTAAAGGTCGAGAACGAGGATTCGTTGTGGTTCAGAATCGAGCAGAAAGATCGAGAAAAGCTGGAATATCCAGTTGAGCTGGAAAATATGAGGTATCAATTACATTCATACCGTCGAATATGAAACGTTCTCTATTCTTTATGATAACTACTGATTCTACTGCAATCAATCGATCCCAACAGCATTTCCTGGACGTGCTTGCTCGAGCCTGATTCAAAATGTGTGTTTCCTGCACCCTTGTACTGTGCCGTGAAGCTATTTCTACGATGACACATTCTAAGAAAGCAAAATTTTTCGATAAAAGGGCACTAAACAAAGACAGGCTAAGGCTGACTTCAATGGTTCAGAGACAGTGGCTGTCAGGACAGACTGTATGGTTTCCAGGAGCAGAAAAGATATAATCAATTTAAAAATTCGCAAAGTGACGGTTCCATATTCGTGCGCCTCTTCTAGATGGTCGGAGCCATGCTATTCACATTTGGCTTTCAAGAGACTGCTTGGGAGTCAGCCCATGGCATGCGACCTCGACCCATACACATAAAAAGTGCCCTCTTTGTCGACTCGCTGCCACTACATGAAGGGCTATGTGATGACCATCGAAGCCATGTCCCGTGAAGTCTAATACATCATCCTTGGATCGAGAAGGGTCGCTTGGCCAAGCATTTCAAGTAGATAATCTTTTCCTGAACTGAATCATGCCATCTATTCCTCATCGTCATCACCCTCATCGTTAACGACATTGAAGAATCGAAGCTCATAGACACCCTTGCTTGTCGACACAACTCGGAGCCAGTCTCGGAGCTGCTGCTTCTTGAGGAACTTCTTAGTCCTATTATTGCATGTTAGCACCAAGCCACCACCTTTCCGCAAACTTTGAGACATACAAATATTTCAGGTATCTTCCAGAGAAAGGAATATGGCTGACAACCTCGATCTTGCCATCTCCAGCCTGGGAGATCGAGATTTGATCACCCAAGTTGCCAGTTCGGCCCTCGATCTTAATCTTATCGTGGAGGAACTTCTCGAAAGCGCTCAGATCAAAGATCTTATCGCTGACTGGCTGCGAGCAGTTGATGGTGTACTATATCTCGTTAGTAAAACGACATACACAGGCTGGAAGTATAAGAGCTCACTTTCTTGGTAACCTTTCCCTTTTGGACTTTTCCTCGTTGAGCACCGGCAGTCTGTATTGCAGAAAAAACTTAGCCTACTGTTCGATATAGATGGATATGACCTCGCCTGCTACATGAGCGAGACGCGAACAGCAAAGCGATTTGTTCTCGACAAATTGTTTCATGTTCCCGAACTCTTTGCATTTGATTTTCATGTCCTCCGACATTGCGCGGGTCGTGGTCGGAATTGACTTACAGCCTTTGGTGCGACGGTTCGTGTAGGAGCCATTTCGAATAAGTAGTGATGAGGTACTTGTGGTATAGGTATGTCGGTTGCTGGTCGCAAAGAAGTTTGATCCTGCGCCTTTGGTCGTGCTAGTAAGGAATGGTCGAACTGCGACGGGCACTTTCTTCTCATACCCACAAAACCTGACGGCCTTAAGGTGCGAAGCTTGGCGCTTTCATGCCTGAAGAAATTGTGGATCTTGTCCGATCGCCTTTTTACAACGACGCGGCGGTTTCGTGTTTTTACTTTCCAGATCTTAATCAGGAATATGTAGTAGGGGAGCACTTAGATTGACCAGGGTTGGCTCTGCTGTAAAGGAGAAACACAGGCCAGCTGGCTCTTTTCTCATACACGATAAGAAAATCCAGTACAAGATTTACTTGATAATGTGTACACTTATTGTATTTCTCAAATGCTAGTAGTAGGCATTTGGTACAGCTGCTCATCTACAGTGAGCAATGCTTTTGGGTATATCGTAATACTTCATCAAATGAGTGTCAAGAAAAAGAAAAGATGCCTAGCCCTGTATACCCAACCGATGCTTTCCCCGTGCCATGAACGTCATTAAGGTTACCCTTCCCAACTTGGTGTGTAATCCCTTTCGAAATCGTAGTAATGAAACAGCTTAGCAGATATTGCCCTTATAGAGCTGCGACAGCAAACACAAGGGCAAGACCCGCATAGAGGCTGTTGTCCATTGCCAGTGGTGCGGCAACACCTGTGAAGGTAGATATTGGCACTGTTGTCGTGGTTGTGCTTGGCCTGACTGAAGACGGAGTAGCTGGAGGTGCAGGCGGTGCAGTAGCGGAAGTTGTTACTGGTTGAGGTGTAGTCGTTGGTGGCGCCGGAGGTGGTACAACTGAGCTGCTGCTGCTCTGTAAACTCGAAGCAGAAGATGCAGGTGGAGCTGGTGGAGGCACCACTGAGGTCGTGCTTACAGAAGGGACACTCGAAGTCCATTGAGACCAAGTGGTCTGAACTGGAGGAGCTGGAGGCGGGACCACCGAGGTAGTAGTGACTGAAGGGACGCTGGAGGTGGTCCAAACCGACGATGAGCTCGCTGGGACAGCTGGCACGGTTGTGGAAGACGTTGGAACAGGAGGCACTGTAGTAGAGGTTGTTGAGACGAAAGGCACAGAAACTGTTGAGGTCCACGGTGACCACTTGCTTGTGCTGGTAACGATAGCGGGGGTAGTCGTCGATGTTGTCTCTTTAGCTGGCACTGAAGATGTGGTAGCCCATGTTCCCCACGAATGGCCAGCGCTCGACGTAGTCACTTTGACTGGAGTTGAAGTAGTCGTTGAAACAGCTGGAGTTGAAGAGGTTGTTGGTACAACTGGAGTTGTGGTTGTGGTCGTAGTGGAGACCCAAGTGCCCCAAGAGCTCTCCTTTGTCGAGGTGGAAAGGACTGGTGTGGTGCTAACTAATGGTAGAGGAGTTGGAGTTGTCGATGGCCATGCCCCCCATCCTCCATCGTTGGACTTCTCGCCATTTTTGTCGCCGCCCCAGTTGCTCCAGCCGTTATCGCTAGCGGTTTTGCTGCTGCTGTCATCACCCCGATTGCCGTTGCCTCCAGAAGGTTTGCCATGACCTTGACCACCCTGGCTGTTCCAACTGTCCCAACCTTGGGGAGCAGCGTATGCAACGGTCAATGTCGCAGCGAAGAAGAGTGTGGTTCTCATGATGGACAGTGATGAAGTTGGGGTCAGAAATGTGGTAAAATAGGAGTGAAGGTAGTGCTTGAAGCGAATGGAAATGCTCTGGTATTTGTAGAGCTTGCAAGCGAATGTTATGAGCAACTTGTGACAGATGTCTCGACCGTTTGATGGAAGGATGCAAAAGAGAGAGTCACAGAGGTTGGAAACAGGGCCGGGCTATATACCGCTGACTTACCTTTGTGATACTGCCTCTTCGAGGTTGCAGTTCGACCAAACGCATTACTTGACTCCAGCATCGTATCTTCCTTGCCATTTGTCAGGGGCAATCAGCGCGAGTGACGGAGCAACCTGTTGGAAGGAGGTAGCGTCAAGTCTGGGGTGGATCGGAAGTCAACAGGAGTTCTGCAAACGTCGAGGAGGCCTCGGTCACTGGAAGGATCGGTTGCATTGTGCCAACCCTCATGCTCTTTGCGCAAACCGCCCGACCCAACATATCGCATGTGGGTGATGGAGCTCATGACCACGGATGTATGCATGAGTTGCTGAAAAGGAAGAACCTTACAGCGGGTTCGAAGGAGACGAGTTCATGCTGAAACGTGTGACAACCAATAAGCGGGGAGAAAGCTGACGTTCCAGGCAATTGTCGCTGAAACACTGGGTTCTGCATCTTTAGGGGGTAACCTTGGCTTAGTGGCTTGGCCAAGAATCCTCGTTAACGCAGACAGCCAAAGCCGGCCACCAGCTCACCCGCCCGGCCAACCAGCCGATCTGACAGCATCTCTTTTTCCTTGCTGGTATTCATGCTTTCCCGATTCGAAAACTTCAAACAAGCAATCATGTCGATCACGTTAGAAGAAGGTCAGCCTGTCCGTTTACTTGACCATACAGAATGAAATTGCCAGGCACTGCGAACTGAATGTGAACACTATGCCTGCTCTACGCTCTTGCTCGTTTCTTTGCTTGAGCCTGGTGAGGTCATCTTGGAGTTGTGTAACGTCCTCTCCGCATCATCAGCGTCGCATGAATGGATTTTTTGATCGAACGTCGAAGCGTGCCGAAATTCCAGAGCCATGTGTGCATAGCTTGACAGCTCGTGTTACTCCTGCTTGTAACACGACCATCCGGAACCAACCTGTCAAAAGCAGACTATCCAAGACATTGTCGATGCGACCAGAACGTGGGGACTGTCAATAGCAACACGTTTAGCACCTGCACCACAACGCCGGGCATCGTCCATCCTGAAATCTTGCGCTGTTGCTACTGACAACGAGTAACACAGAAGCAGGCAGATTGATCAAAGATGACATCATACGAGAGCCAGATATCATTTGCTTTGGACACCATATGTCGTAAGGTGACCGTCTGCTGACCAGGTGAGGCAATTTTGTGGCTAACTAATTCGGTCGACAGCTTGGACATATCTGGCAAAGAGGGTTCGTCATTTCTGTTTCAGATGCGTCTCACGGCCTTGATTACTGACGTTTGCTACAGAGATTGGATGAAGGTAGGTCAATCTAACACCACACTCCGCTCAGGGTACTATACACGAACACTTCGATATAAACATCACCCAGTGTTTGCCGAAGAATATAATGGCTGATCGGAATACACATGAGCAGCACTCAGACGTTTTCGAGCTTCCGAAGATAGCAAGGCGGTGAATTTTACTGTAAAGTACATACCATTCCAGCTATATCCTGAGGCCAGTAAGGAAGGTCAAGACAAGTATGAATGGTATCGCAAAAGCAGATATGGTGATTCGGACGAGAAGATGAAGATGTACGAAACCTTGATGTCAGCATACGGCACAGGTGTAGGAATTGACTTCAAGTTTCATGGAGTCGTGGCGAACACTCTCGATGCTCACCGAGTTGTCCAGTACTTTCAGGAAGAAAAGGGACCTGAAATTGCCGATAAGCTGATCAATTGTTCGTTGAAGTGGGAAGTAAACTGGATCTTTTGCTAATCTATTTGAAGCTCTCTATTCACAATATTTCGAAAACGAAAAGCACCCCTCTAGTCCGGAGACTTTGTTCAAAGCGACTTCTGATGCCGGCATCCCTGAGGCTGAAGCAAAAGCTGTTATCGACAACGAAAAGGAGTTCTTGAGGGACACGAACAACTTGATCCGCGAGACAAAATCCAATGGAATTGATGCAGTCCCGAACATAATGGTAAGTTCTTGTAAGCCTGCTCTGGTACTTTACCTGAAGAATTTCTTCTTTAGTTCGAAGGCAAACGCAGGGATATCACTTTGGAGGGTGCTAAAGAGATTGAAGAGTACGAAAAGGCATTGCACCAGATTGCGAAGGAAAGCAAGTAGCTGGGAAATTTAGTCGAGAAGAGACTGATCTTGCATCTCTCAATCATGATCAATCCAAGCTACCGACCTCATATCTCGAGTCTATAAAGTTGTCTGGTTTCTATTTTTTGACCTCATCCCCACCCCAGCCAGTCTATGGAGCTTGTTAGCTTTCACATCACATCTCTATTGATGAAATGCTTACCAGATTCACTACCTCCGGCGTCCCGCCTGGTGCTCTGCAGATCACCCAAACGACCTATCGACGACAGTCAATGTTTTGCCCTTCTGCAAAACGCCAACTTTTTTGGTACGTACCTCTTCATCTCCCTCATTGACTTCCTGATGCTCTCTTCCTTTAGGAATCAACGCCCAGTCTCCAGGCTCGAGTTTGTGAACTTGCTCTCCCCCTTCCGACACTATTGCTCCACGTCCGCTTACTGCATAGACGATAGTGTCCTGATTACCATGATGATGAATAGCTGAAGACGAATGAGATTGCGCTCGCATGAGTGTGCCGACTATTTGCTGGGGTGTTATCAAGTTGACGATTGCAGACTGCCGGATCATGCCGTCCTGTAAATTGAGGTGTGGTTAGTGATCTGGTTCACGCGCTTCTCCGGCCTATAGAGACACAGTAGAAGTGTGTCGGAAACAGTCTGTATGCGCCTACCTACAGTTTGACCACTTGAAACATCCTCGACCTCTGATGCCCTTGTGACTCGGACTGACTCGGGCATGTTGAATTTTTGTAGTGCGTGTTTGAAGCTTTTTATTGCTCGGTTGAGTCCTTCTAGCACTACCTGTCAAAATTGCGATTCGTATATCTTGTCCAAGGACTTCACGGAGCATAAGAGCACACAAGTGGGAATTTCACCACGAATGTTCAATCTAATCACAGTCGTGTCCATACGTCATCTGGTATATCGACAGTCAGAACTCTGTTCATATCTGAGTGCGGAGAAGTAATTTCGATGTTAGGTAGCATTTGATTCATCACTTTGGCATTGCGGGCGTCCTCCAGCAACAGACGTGTCCACAGTCTGTTTTCGTTCTCTGCTCGAGCTAGATAGCGCCTCTACTCTTCCGACAACAGCTTTAAGGATGCTGACACCGCCTCATTTTTAGAATTCGTCTGACATGATGCTTCGTCAATGCATCCAGCCCACCTCTATCGAAGACAATACCCAACGCCGAGCGTGCAAATTATCCCGCAAATCTGGGAATATGAATTTACTTTTTTGAAAGAAGATGACTGATGGCTCATCCTTAAACAGCTCCTGCTTGTACCATCTTCTTTCTCAAGTAGTTCTTGTATTCACCGATTGAGCCTTCCCATCTAGTGATGGTCTTGTTCTCACACACCATGATCTCCTTGGCAATTTTGTCGAGTAATCTACATGCACCAGTTAGCATATATATTAATAAGATCAATAGAGAAGTACGTACCTGAAATCGTGAGAGACAACGACGACACCACCCTCAAATGCATTGATGGCATCTGCCAGAGAGTCAATAGTTGGAATATCCAGACCGTTGGTCGGTTCGTCGAGCAGTAACATGTTCGGACTCTCGATAGCTAGAAGAGCAAAGACAACACGACTCCGCTGACCTTCGGAAAGGGTGCCCATCAGCGCTGTTTGTGAATCACCAGAAAGGCCATATCTGCCGAGCTGTTGTCGCCAGTATTGGTAGTCCTGGGACTTATTTGGATACTTGTCACGAACGAAATCAAGAGAGGATTTCGTCAGATCGAGCTGTTCAGCAGAGTGCTGTGAATACATGCCAAGCTTCAAATGTGTGTGTCGGTTGATGTTGCCAGAGTTTGGTGAGACCTTGCCAGTCATAAGTCTGAGTAAAGTGGATTTACCAACACCATTGGGGCCAACCAGTGCTGTTCGGCTGTCCATGTCGACGCCGAAGTCTAGATGCTCGTACAGTGTATCATCTGGCCTGCCGGAGTAGCTAAAGGTCACGTCGTCGAATGCCATCACGGGCGGAGGCAACTTCTCAACATCTGCAAATCTGAAGGTGAATACTCGATCCTGGTGAACAGGTTGAATGAAGCCGTCTGCTTCCATCTTGTCGAGAATCTTTTGTCGAGATTTGGCTTGCTTGACTAGATTGGCATATGTACCTGCGGAAGCGATGAACTTCTTGATATGCGCAATTTCGTCCTGCTGTTTGACGTATGCCTTCTGTTGATTCGTTTCCTGCTCAGATCGTGTCTTGATGTACGAGTCGTAGTTACCACCGTAGTACATCAAAGACTTTTGTCTCATATCGATCATGTTTGTGCAGACACCATTCAAGAAATCCATAGAGTGCGAAACCAATATCAGTGTTTTGTCCCACTTCTTCAAATACTCTTCGAGCCACACACATGCCTCGAGATCCAAATGTGCGGTAGGGTCATCGAGTAGGAGCAGCGATGGCTTCACGAACAGTGCTTTGGCTAAAGCGACTCTCATCCTCCAGCCACCTGACATGTCCTTGGTCTTCTTATTGATTGTCTTCTTATTGAAACCTAGACCAGTCAGAATCAGGGATGCCCTGACTTCGAAAGTGCTTGGGTCCATGGCTTCTGATCTTTCGTAGACGTCCATGAGCTGGGGCGATTCCGGGCCGTCTTGTTCCAGAATTTGCTCGGCGAGTGTATCTAATCGATCCACTTCTTTCTGCGCCTCCTTAACAACCCATTCTAAAGCACCCTGATCTGTGGGAGGCGCACCTTCGTTCAATAGGTAAATATCGACGTGGTCGGGGAAGGGGTATTCGCGCTTATCAATCGCCTTGAGCAATGTTGACTTTCCACAACCGTTTTCTCCCAAGAGTCCATATCTGCGGCCATAATTGATTTCGAGTGTAGAGTCTGTAATTAAAACCTTGCCATGGAACACAAGCGATGTGGAAGTGATCTTGACATCTTTGCTCGCCTCCATGGAAGCCAAAACACCAGTGGTAACCCGATCGGAAAGACCGAATTTGTCCATTTGTTCGCCCAACTGTCGGACCTTGTCCATCTTCTCACCGTCTCCGGCCTCCTCGTCTGCGTCGACCATTGGTGGGTCATCGTCACCGTTTACCGAGGAAGCCTCGCTGTTGACTTGTGATGCAGACTTCGAAGTGGCTTTCGATGACAACTTGGATGCGGCGGTCTTGGGCTTCTCTCCCTTCTCTGCGGCCTTCTCAGCCTTCTTAGCCAACCGAGCGGCCTTCGATGATGAGACAGGCATAATGAAGGATCTAGTCGAGAACAAGGGAAACAATCTATGGTCGTGGGACTCCGTAAAATTGGTGCCCAGCCAGAGAGGGGCAGTTTGCGCTTTTAACGGAAAAAACAAGTCAGTATTCTGCAATGCAGATTCTGCAAAGCCTCGAATGATATTTGTGTCGGCGAAAACAGAGCGGACCACGAGTACCGCTTTGTGTTTGGAATATTAACAGAATGTTGGGGCAAAGGGATGTGACTCTCTTTGCTGGACAACTGCAAAATTCAGAACTTTCGTTCTTCATGCCGGGGACAACGTCATTGGTGCTTAACACAAACAGCCCCACGACGAACATCGTGACGCGCTATAAGCCTAGCTTCGGACGGCTCTTCATCGGGATACGCGCTCAATGTGTCACGTGAGTGTTCGTAACGAGCTCGGAAGATATGCTCATCCTTTCTAACTTGTCGTCAGGTGTGCTTCTGGCTATTCTCGTGCTGGTCTTCGCAGTCATGCTCGGTATGATATTCAGCCCTAAGACAAACGGCCTCAAGAACCTCGATACTCCTCGAACAGCGGAGCTCTATGTGTCCGCTGCTGCTGACAGTTGAGTACGCGTGCCAGCTATCTGTGCCGAAGTCTTTCTGCCTAGAACTACATAATCGTTCAGCATACGAGTAAGAATGAAGTGTCACGGTATGAGAGATTCGAGAAACTGTCGTTTCCATCTGTCGGACGATCATCGTGGCATGGTGTACTTGCTGAAGCACGATTCTGAAATCCAGCAGTCCGTTCTACGCGTGCAAGACTACAGGAAATCGTTCACCTCTAGACACAGTATGGCATGGTACACTGACCCTTCTGTCGTGCAGCGTCGCCTCCGTCTGATCGTTTGAACTGATTGGCAATGCGCAGCAGAAACTAAAACTGACCAACAGAATATCTGGCTTGGACGGACGTGATGCTGATGTTGTTGGGGTATTCGTTGACTCGCCCTAGGAACTTCTCTAATGTTGGTACTCGCACGGTCGTGATACAAATTGGTCACCACTCAACTCTACCCCGGACTCTGGCTTCTCTTGGCCTCTGACAATATTGAGAAAATCTTTCTTTGTGCATATCTCTGGATTTCATGGCTCTACAACAAAACACAACGTCACTTTTGTGAAAATTGTGAACACCAAGCTCCAGACGAAACCCGACCTATCGTACGAGTTTTCACGTGGGTGTCTAAGCACGATTAGGATGCATCACTATATAGATGTATAGGATTTTGCAACCACTAAAGGCCGCAGGCTACATCTTGGGAAATTGCCTAGGTGTTGATAACTTTCACAGTTCGACTTAGCATTATGTATGACCTCTAGATTAGCAAGAGACACGACTCGGGTGCGAGAGATTGGAGGCTGAATCAGGACCAGACTCGATTCCACAGTTTTCGCCCCGAACATTGTCACACGATGTAGAATCTAGCGGTCTTACTACCCATCAGAGATCATTCCCCAAGGTCAACGTCAAGGAGCCAAGACCGGATCCTCTTATTCGAAACTTATCACGCAAATAGTTGCGACATCTCATGAAGTCACACCGTCATGTGTTACTTAGTCCACCACGTTGCCAAGAGCTGTTCTTCCTTGTTCACATCCTTCCTGGTCGCTGGTTAATGGCCCAGCTGGTACACGCATGGTTCATGGATTGCTCTTCTGCACGCAGGACACATTTCCCCGATCAAGCCGTCTGTTTGACTCTGACTACAGTATAACAAGAATTGAGAGCAGTACCTAGTTCCTGATGGACATCTTCCCGACATGCACGCTGTCATTGACCTCCAACACACTGAGTCGTTAAGGCGTACGTTACACAGGTCTCGGCCAGCTACCTGTCTCCACTAAACGGTCATTCCACCCACTACCAGAATTTTCCACGTTGGGAGACGCATCTAAGCGGAAGTTCTGTCAACACGGTGCCGCCAGTCAATGAGCTGTGTACTTCTCCGCCACCGGTTACAGGAGAACAATATTCCTATTGTTACCTGGCTATGGTTCATGAGAAACGATTGATGGAGACAAGAACTAATTGCTCAACGTGAAGCATGGGCAAAGCATATCAACCACCTTATGCTTTCCAGTACGACTGAAAGATTTGTGTACTTCCAGGGGTGGGCCACAGGATCTCTTTAGTCGAGTGGTCCAACACACTAAAAACTCAAAGTATCTGCTTTGTACCATGCTGATCTTTTGCAGCCATGCGTGGCCGTCCTCACCGCTGATGTCGGGAAGAAACATTTGCTGTCAACACAGTCCTTACCATACCACGAATATCGGAGGTTGGGCCAACGAAAGAATCCATGTTCAGCACGGTACCCATAACTATACGTTGTCTTGCATGGTTGAGCTAGTACTTGCATATGCTGTCATGCATCGCTACTTTCTTCTGTGGACTGTTCCTGGAACTTGAGTTTCGCTACGCTCGATATAGATCTCATCAAGGTCGTTCCTGCATAGTATCGCAGCTACATCGGCGAATTTGGTCCAGCGAACGCGCTCCATCCAGCCTCCACGAAAAGATTGGTTGGGTTACAAGACATGCTGCAAAAGTCTCATGCTACTTCCTTGCTAAGCAAGCAACGATGCTCAGATTCGCGATGATCCTGGAACACTGCATATCGCTTTGCAGTACAGGTTCAGGAATGGTGAGCACGATTGAACTTGTTTGTGTGCCAATCTCGAGATGATCCTAAGCTTTGCAAGACAATCCCAAGGTATATAACGGACAGTGGTCCTCCTTGCTGAGGTAGGATTATGAGAGCAATCTTGAACGATCAAGTCATTCGTTTTACCATTACCGACTCTTTCACTCAGTTCAGAAGCATCATGTGCACCACCAGTCTATATCGCATTCTGCTTATGAGCTCAGCACTGAGGTATAACGTTACCACTCTTGCTTCAATGTAATATGCTGACCAGCTACAGCTTGCTTGCCAAAGCAAATCCTGTTGCTCTGTTTCCCCGAGATGACACTACGACCTGGAGTGCTTGGGTCGGCACAGGGTCAACCTCTGTTGGTGGCATCGGTACTTGCCCTACAGCAGGTACCGTAACCAGCTTCAGCATTGTGACAGGTACCTGCACTCAGGTCGGCCCAATTGGTACTACTACCTGCCCTACTTTAGCCACGTCAACCGTTACTGTCACGTCACCGCCCACATGTACTGATAGCAATGGCGCTCCGACCCCATGTGGCAGCGGATCCACAGTTACCGTCACATCACCATCTGAATGTCCAAACTCACTGCCTTCTACCATAACCATTACTCCTCCTCCATGCACTGACAGTAACGGTATTCCTACCCCTTGCGGACAAGGCTCTACAGTCACTGTTACGACTCCATCACAATGTCCAAATTCGGCGATAGCTACAATCACCATCACTACAGCTCCAGTGTGCACTAATAGTCAAGGAGTTCCAACTCCCTGTGGTGGTGCTACCATCACTATCACGTCACCGTCAGAATGTCCTATCACACCACCATCCACGACCACGGTCACAGTATCCCCACTTTGCACTGACAATAACAGTCAGCCCACTTCTTGTGGCACATCCACGATTACCGTCACTACACCAGATCAGCCTTCAGAGTGCCCAACTACTCCAGCAGGCTGTCGAGATGAGAACGGTAGCCCTGTCCCGTGCACTCTACCTCCAGCCACAAGCACAATTACCATTACATCCCCTGTTGGTCCGACTCAGTGTCCAACTCTTCCTCCATACCAATGCACTGATAACAGCGGTCAGCCTGGGCCATGCACAACCACGGTGACCACGCCTGCTGGTGCCACTGCTTGCCCGACACCTCCACCATCTCAATGTACCGATGTCAATGGCCAGCCTATACCATGTACTGTCACGATCACTGGAGGTCCAACCGAGTGCCCGCCTGCTCCTACGTCTACATTCACTGTTACTGCAGGTGGTGAGACAACCACTGTAGCAACTACTATCCGCGAGACGACGACTTTGTCTTGTGCCCCACCAGCAACAGTCACTATTACGGGTGACGTTTATACTACTACAGTCATAGACATCAGCACAAGCACAGTAATCAGCACTATTGCAACCACTGCAACAATAGAAATCCTAGTCCCTGGCCCTACTTCCACAACTAATTTCGCAGAGACAGTGACACAGACAGAGACCAGTGTTATCCCAACCACAGTCGTCGAAACCAGTGTAAGCACCGAGATCAGCACCGTTGCTACCACGATCGTTGAGGTCAGCACGACCACAGTGCAAATCCCAGGTCCAGCAACCGTAACCACGATCATTAGCACTGTGGAAGTGCCCGTCCCGACCACAGTCGTCAGCACTATCGAAGTCCCCATCCCGACCACAGTAACCTCTCTAACCACCTCTACCATTGTCTCAGTCTCCACGGCCCCAGGCACAACAAACATAATCACAGCACCATGCACCTCAATCAGCATCAGCACTACCACCACCACTAAGACCGTGAGTCCAACAGCGACTTGGGGCAAATGGCTCGGGGGCTGCAGAAACTAGCCAGACCGCCCAGTAAGGATCCTGTGCCAAAAAAGAAAAGTGATGTTACGCAACGACAAGGACGGATTTATGGGTTCGCCACGAAGCGATGATTTTTAATGACCGATACACGACACCGACTTATGTCTTTCCTTTCCCTTTCACTTCTATACATAGGTAGCGATGCGGTGTACAGTGCACAGCATGTCTCACATTGGTAGACTACCGGTTCCGTAGCTTGTTCTGACGAAATAAAAATGATGATTGATGAGCTCAGATTATTTTTCTCCTGCTCTTGTTTGGAGGTCTCCTATCGTTTCAGTGAAGACTAATTTATCCAGTGTATTGTCATCGAATTGAGGCAGGTCTCATCCGTGGTGCGACCATCAATATGAATTCCAGCAGTCCTTGAATGCCATGTAACAGCTGCAACTAACACAACTTTTGACCAAAGGGTTTCTGTTGAAGAAGTATAACGTGATACAGCATTATTATCTTCACTAACACCACAGGCAGTACAGTATAAGCCACCGATATTGCACCTGTCACTACTTTTCCAAATTCACAAGGTCCCCACCGCCAGCTGCCAGTTGCAGATATTTCCCGATTTTTATGTATTCCAACATCAAAATCATAAAAACGCCAATCCATACTCTGACATATGCTTTCCTGAAAGTTGCCCAGCACCAAAATTTTTCTTGCAACGCCATCCGCCAGGAAAATGCTCCTGCGGCTGCCAATATGCTAAAATGTGTTAATGTTTGTCTCGTGGTATTAGTGTGTAATCGAATTGTTGAACTGCGTGTCGTTCGTAGTCGTGATGTGTAGCATCGAAAAAATACAGTTCTTTGAAGCTATCGAAAGTACGATGTGGGTTCGTTGAAGGGCCGGCCAACTCAATCTTTTGCAGGAGTAGCTGGAGCCGTACTCATTGCTGATGGAGGTGCTCTCGAAGGTGTAGGCGAGACAATAGTGGTGCTTGGAGCTTTTGCTGGGGTTTTGGAAGGCGTGCTCATTGAAGATTCCTTCTTGAGACCACGAATAACGCCTTCTAAGCGTCTTCGTTCTTCTTGCTCGGCCTTTGGAAGTTAGTATGAGTCGAGCACAGGAATTCATTGTATGCTTACCTTTATCACCTTCAAGCTCTCAGCACGACTATCACGCATCATCTTCTTGAATTCGCTCTTCAGCACCATCGTACTAGTCGTCTCGGGTGGCAGATTGCCTGAATTCTTTACTCCAATCCATTTGACTTGATCTTCGTTCAATTGGGCTTTGAGTGAATCGCAATGCGCACGTAATTCGTCAACCGTTGCTTCTAGCCGGTCCCGTTCTTTTTCAGCGTCAATGTTGGCTTTTGTCATGACTTCATAATCCTCAATTGTATCCTTGAGCTCCTTCTGCAAAGAGTTGACCTTGTTTTGCAATTCGGCACTACCAACACCTTTGGTTTCGTGAGCTTGAGAGAGGAGGTCGAGTTCTTGTGTAAGCTCGGTATTTCTGGCTACAAGCTCATCAATTTGTTTCTTAATGTCAGGGTTCATCGAAACATCAGCCGCACGTTGGGCTCGACTACCATAAGCGCTGTCCAATTCTGCACGAGCCATGGTAAGCTCTGTTTGAGACTGCACAACTTGAGTTTCCATTGACTGCAGCTCCTTCTGTAACGCCTCGAGTTCTTCGTTTTTCTGTTTCAATTCTAGCTCGGCTTGATCCTTTGTAGTGGTCGCATCGTTTAGCTGTCGAGTATGGTGCTGGAGTTTGAGCTCAAAATCATTCTGCATTTTAGCATGGTCCGCTTGTAACTCAGACAGGGTGTGGTGCTGCAATTCGAGTTCTTGTATCAATTTAGCTTCGCTTTCTTTCCTAGCATTCCTTTCACTTTCAAGCGCTTGATTGTCCTGCATGGACATCTGTTTTTCTGATAGCTCTTCGCGGTGTTTGGCCTGGTCAAGTTGCTCCATCAATAGATTTACTTGTGCTTGTGTCTGCTGCATCTCTTTTTCACTCATAGCCTGCAGATTCTTTGCCTCTTCCAATTCTTCAGTCAGATCTCGGATATGAGCATCACGTTGCGCATCTGATTTGGAGTTTAGCTCTCTTTGCTGCTGTATCTGTCTTGTGAGAATGTCCTTCTGCTCTAGCAAAGTGCCTACTCGCTGGTCTAGGCGGTCAAGCACCGTGGCAGAATATGCTAATTGTGATTGTAAATCATCGCCCTGTCGAGGATCCTGTTCTATAATCGGACTCCTGCTTACCGAGTTTGTGCTTTCTAGCATGCCCTCAAGTCTGCTTGTAAGCTCATTGAGCTGGTCAACCGAGTCCTCGTGCGAGTCATGTACTACTGACTGCTGAGCAGTACTTAGAGCTTCAAGACCCTGCGCGAGATAGGTCAAGTGCGCTTGGATCTGAGCTCCTAGCTTTCCCTGCAGCCTTCCGTCATTCGCTTCTGGGGGAGGCTCGAAGTACTCAGTAAGGGCGACCTGCTGTAACATACCGTGTACCTGGGTATTGATGGTATGCAGCCGCAGAGCGACATCTTCGATAGGCTGGATGTCACGAGTCAATCTACGACTCGCTCTTGAGGTAGCTGCATACTCATGTACATAGTCTGGGACCTGGTAAAGGCTATTTTCATCGAAATCGCTTGTGCCGTCCGACCTAGACATCCTGCGCGACTGGCTGGCCATACTTTCTGGACTTCTCGGTAATTCGTTCTTACGTATATTCTTCTTCAAACCTCGATGAGTGAATTGCAGTATACCAGCAGTATGTTGCATGATCCGCGCATCCACCTCCTGTAACCTTGTCTGTATGATAGTGACCTCTTGCGCGAGGTGTTCCAGCTTCTCGCTGCTGGCACTCAAATCCTCATTAGGTGTGGCAGTACTACTAGGTTTTCTGCTGAATATGCTCGATTGTCGTTTTGCCCGATCGTTCGAAGTAGGAGGAGTGAGTTTGTTCATGAGCAGTCCTGCCTCGTGCATTTTTTTCTCCAGTGCATATTGTCGCTTCGCACCCTCGACCTTTTTTCTCAGGAACAGCCGTTCTGTTTTCAATTGCTCCAACTCTTCGAAGGAAAGTATCTCAAATTCTTTACTGTCATGAATCGCGGTTTCCATCAGTAGGTGCATCGAAACAGGATCGTTGACGTTGAGCATGGTGGAAGCACGCAGCTGCTGCGCCGGTCTCTGGTCGAACCTCTGTTCGTATGGCATGTATGCGCTCATCTGACTGAGCATTATGTGGGGAGTTCCATTTCCATTTCCATTTCCATTTCCATTTCCATTTCCATTTCCATTTCCATTTCCATTTCCATTTCCATTTCCATTGACGTAGAACGGATGCTGTGGATGAGCAGGGAGAGGTGATTCCTCTGCCGGCCCTGGCCCGCTGTAGATGGAACTCGGGACATAGCGACTTCGGGTGTCATCGACACTGGGAGTGGTCGAATTCCGAATGTCGAAATTAAATGCCTGCATGTTCGATGCTACTTTCCTGCTCGATCGTCTTAGGTCTGCTGCACACTGGTGACATTCGAATCTCTATCTTCTTGGCTCGAGCATGATCATGGCATTCAACTACGAGTCTTGCAAACGTCGGTCAGTACCTGCAGCGGTGATGTCGGCACTCTGATTATGCAGTGGTCTTCTTCGGAGGTCCGTAAATGTGGTGATTGAAGCAATTGATGTGCCGGATGGTGGTCAGCTGAGCACAATGCGACTCAAGTAGTGGTAAGCCAAATATCGGGAAGCGACAAGGAAGTCATCCTAGACTCTACAATCAACCAGTGCTTGAATGTTGGCTTGAGGACTGACTGCCGTGAGCATGGCCCCCTAGACAAGACGTGTCCAGGCGGGAGCACGTTCTCCTGGTCCCGCCGCAGGAACCGATTCGGCGCCAGTATCAATGCTAGCGCCAGATTCCGAAGCTTGATCAGGTCTCTAACCTCCATCAAGTCTAGGTCGACACTGGCACATTCCATCCTAGACCAATCACGAAAATGAACGAGTTGCATAAAGTAAGCTCAAGCCTGACCTCGAGACTTGTGCTTACTGTATTCAGGAGCTGACGTGACCATATACGCTCAGCAGGTACTATTCCCGCCTGTCCAGCAATGGGTATGATCAGACAATCACGATTTTGCGTCGAGCAAAGATATCGTCTATTAGATTACGGTGAAACATGACATCAAGGAAACGATAGTCAATTCCTAAGGCTTAGGATCGACTCGACTCGGAGAGCCAAATGACGCCAATTCTTGGTAGGCTCCAGGTGCTCTAAACGTCGCGGAGTCACGCTTCCTGGACATTGACGCTGCCCGCGTCGATGGTTGAACACATTACACCTTGAAGATGCGATACGTATGAGCGAAGGTGGTAAACACATCAACACGGACGTGCGAGCTCGTCAAAGAGTTCAGGAGAAACCAAGACCACCGTCTCTTATACAAACGACGAACCCGATAAATACAGATACATAAGCTATGTGTACAATATGAGTAAAAGTGCTGTAATCCATGTTGATCCGACGATGGACACAGGTCGTGCTCCGGCAGACAACCGTGACGATGCGGCCTCTACCACGAATCTGAGAAGGACCATTACACGGACGCTATCAACAAACTCTCAGATACAGTTCAAAGTCTACAGACGACGATTCTTTGGCCTCTTCCAGCTCATACTGCTCAATATCGTGGTCAGTTGGGACTGGATCGCTTTAGCACCAGTATCAACAACAGCAGCAACATATTTCGATACCACAGAAAGTGTCATCAATTGGTTGTCCACAGCCTTTCTATTCGCGTTCGTCATCGCTACCCCATTCACCTTTTGGGCATTGGCCAAACATGGCCCAAAGATGTCTATCGTGATATCTTCCCTCCTGCTGTTGATAGGAAATTGGATAAAGTATGGAGGTGCCAGGTCCAATACATTCAGTGTTGTTATGTTTGGCCAGCTACTCATTGGTTTTGCTCAACCGTTCGTCCTGGCTGCTCCGACTACATACTCAGACTTGTGGTTCAGCCCTGCTGGACGCACAACAGCAACAGCTGTAGCGTCTCTAGCAAACCCCTTTGGTGCAGCTCTTGGTCAGCTCATATCGCCTTTTTGGGTTTCTGATCCATCTGACATTCCTTACTCTATCCTCTGGGTCAGTATAATAGCCACAGTTGCGACCATTCCATCCTTCTTCATCCCACGGAAACCACCGAGCCCTCCAGCACCTAACTCTGGCCCGATCGCTACCCTGGATCAGACGTCGACGAATTCGATCAAAGAAGATCTGAGGGTACTGTTGACTTCACTAGAATTCTACCTTATCTTCATACCATTTGCTGTGTACGTGGGCTTCTTCAACGCGTTTTCTAGTCTCTTGAACCAGATCCTGGAGCCATATGGTTTCAGCGAGGACGACGCCGGCATAGCAGGTGCCGTTCTCATCGTCGTCGGCCTGGTCACAGCAGCAATCACCTCACCCCTGAACGATAAATACAAATTCTACATTTGGTTCGTGAAGATCTCGGTACCGCTGATTGCGCTTAGCTACCTGATCTTTATCTTTGCTCCGCCGACAAGGAGTATACCCTATGTTTACGTCGTCTGCGCTCTGTTGGGATCCGCTTCGTTCGGTCTGGTACCAGTTGTCTTGGAATTTTTGGTTGAGATCCTGCACCCATTGAGTCCGGCTGTAGGTAGTTCTCTGTGTTGGTCAGGCGGACAACTTCTTGGAGGGTGTTTCATTGTGATAATGGATGCGCTGAAAGCTGGCGACAATGGCAGACCAGCTGGCAATATGAAAAGGGCTTTGATTTTTCAAGCTGTCGTAGGATTGGTGGCGATGCCGTTACCACTGTTTTTAGGGCTATTTGGCAGACAAGGAATGGTTAGATTGAAGAGGTGGGAGGCGGAAAAGCAAAGCAGTAGTGAAGTGGATACAGAGGCAGAGGCAGATGTGACGAGATACTGTGATAGTCCGTCGGAGACCGAGATACAGTGATGGGGTGAGGCCAAAGACCACAGTATTGGTATTTGAAGAGCGCGGGAAGCTTGACCACGAAGTCATGCGGCTGTCGAACACGTCCCACCACCACCCTCATGCGCATTACCTCACTCAGGGATAGCTGGGAAGTTGGATATCATTACGTTGTAGTAGCGCTGGTCAAAGCGCTACAGTCATATTGGAAACTGCAAGCTTGACATCACTGTTATGCATGATATAACTCTTCATACGGGAGCGTCCAGATGATTGCAACAAAAAGATGCCGCAACAAGCGCGAGGTTCAACGCAACTTCAAAATTCTATTTTTCGTACGCATCTGCTTCTGTACATTGGAGCCATTCATATCACGGCACAGGCTGAAGACTTTCGGGCTCCATGTTGCCAGCTGCCTGACTCGTTTTGATCACCGCAACACTCGGTGGGAGGGAAAATGTTGTCTTTGTGGTGTGCGATCGCGATCGTGGCTCACTTGAGGATTTTAAATAGCTTGGGCGCGGCACATGCTGTGGCGCAATGCGTGAGGTGGAAGACTAGAAGACTGTCAGCAGGCCAAATTCACATAGGGTGACAGTCAACTCACATTCTTCAACACAATCCTCTTTGGGACCCTTGTAGTTTTCATCTTCATGCTGAGCAGTGACTCGCTCGACACACTCCTCGTAGTGATGCTTGTAACCGATACATTGGGCTGATCGAGCACATTCTGTAACACGCATTAGTCAAGCTCAGGACAAGCACCCCAGAGACGCTCTGCATATTCAAGAACACGCACCTGCTTCTAGCTTTGGCTTGGGGTCTTCTGGCTCTTCTTCCTCTTCCTCCTCCTCTTCTTCCTCTTCATCGTCACCTCCATCTGCTTCCTTCTCATCGTCGCCACCTTCTGCCTGTTCGTCGCCACCTTCTTCTTTTTCCTCTGACTTCTCTTCGCTCTCACCCTCACCCTCAGCCTGACTTTCGTCCTTGCTCTCCTCCTCGTCTTCAGCAGGAGCTTCGGCGTGTACGTCTTGCGGCCATGGCAATGACTCTAGGATCTCCGAAAACCACTCGGTAACACCCATCTTGACTAGCTGCGTCGTAGACGAACGGTCGAAGCTAGGCTGATGGTAGCGAACGTGGATGTGAATGGGTGAGGTGTTTATCGTGGCTGGCAATTGCGAGTTGCAGCTTCCGAAAAACGAGCAACTAAGCTAGCGTGCTGATTGGTCGAAGCTCCCCTGAGTCTGGACTTGGCAACACGTCCTCCACTTCCTCAATCCTGTCTCTATGTTCACCACGCACCATCGACCACATCTTCTTTACTGAGTCGATGCCCTCTGCGCAGCTTGTCGCTTGCCAGGAAGTATGCACATTCTCATAAGTATGCTTGGACCTATGGGAAACTATAACTGTGGGTCCTCACTATCGACGTTCTTTGTGCAAATGAGGAATGTCTGTGTTCAGCGACCAGCATTCCTCTCACGATGTCAGTTGGCGAGTTGGTTGATACAGCTGTCGAGCACGGTCGCCGTGACTGCACAGATCATGTGCTGAATTCGTTGTTTTTCTGACCTTGATACGGTTGCGGCTGCACTTGCATTACAACATGTTTAGAACGTTTCTATGTTGACAACACAGTCCTCGATTGCCGTGTAGCTATACAGCTTCGGTATTGCCATCTCATAAGTGCAGTCTGAATCTACGAAGGTCCTAACAGAAGATACAATGCAGTGGCTGTCTTGGACAATCGCATTAGCCAGCTTACAGATTACCCTCACCAATGCACAAGCAGGGAATTCTGCAGCCCTGGCAGCGGCCAGCGCAGCCGCTGGTGTGAACGTAGCTAACGTTCCAGAATGTGCGGTAAGATAAGTTACCATCGCCAGATTGTATCGGTTAGCTGACCACCACCCAGCGAGTGTGCCTAGCCAATTCGACACAGTATGCCACCGACTGCGCGCAGATCGATGTGAAGTGCTTGTGTACAAGCTCGAATTATGTTAGCGCCTTGTCTTGTTGTCTAGCTACCAATTGCAACAATGAGGACCAGCAAAGTACGTCACTGAACTCTGAGACGAGAAAATGGTCACTAACACGATTCAGCCGCCATACAGTTTAATGTCCAAGAATGTGCAGCCGTTAACTCATCAGCCCCTAACTTCGTGGGATGCTCCCCTTTCAGTCTGACAACTGGCGGTACAAGTGCCAGACCTGCTTCTACGGCGTCAACAGGTGCAAGTGGATCGACATTGGGAGGTGATCTAGCGTCCATACCCACAGCGTATACAAACACAAGGATTGGCACAGCTAGCTTCGGAGGAAATGCACTGCTCACCGGCTCGTGTACTGTTCCTGTGTTCGCACAAGTGACAGAAACATCTGGTGCGGTTCTCCAATTTCCGCAAGTTGGGTGTGCCTTGAATCGAGGCAATTGCTGTCCCTACGACCCCAGCGAATTTGCAGGGTTGACCAAATGTCCTTCGGATTACACTACAACCGCTGGAGCATGTTGTCCAAAGTAAGTTAAAGCAATACCGGAGGTGAAGATTTCAACTAACCACGAGCAGCGGATATTCGATATACTCAACCGCTATCGGCGCGGAAACGCCGTGTTATTCGAAGCCAAGTCAAACGTATCTCCCCGCTTCGACAACATCGGACGGCCAGACAACGCTGATTACGGACACTCTCTTCAGCAGGAGATATACTTTGACCAAGCCTGCGGGTGAACAGTTTCCTAAAGGTGCCATTGCTGGCATTGTGATAGGCGTTTTGGTCGCTCTTGCTACTCCTCCTCTGATTGTGTTGTTTATCCGCCGCATGAAGACGAAGAGTGCCAATAAATCAGAAGGTGTAGAAAAGGACGGAGCTGGTGCAACATTCCCTTCAATCGAGCCCACATTAGACGCGAATCAGCAGATCAGTGAAGTGGCAGCTTTGTCGCCTCAAGAGCTTGCAAGTCCTGACTCAGGTATTCAAACGCCAGCAACGTACAAGAGCATGCCTTTCCAATCACCGTTTGTCAGATCACCACCGGCATATGAGGCTCCGGCTTCAGTACCTGTTGAAATGCCAGGAAGCATTTTCATGAACGAACATCATCCAGCATATACAGGCTCACAAACAGAGTTGACGCCCCGGACACCGCCTAGAAGTCCTCCACACTCTCCTTCACAGACCGCAAGCACAAGGTCACCAGTGCTGTCCCCCTCATCTCCCTTCAGGACAGATAGTCCTTCGGATACCAACACGTTTATCGTTACGCCATTAGGTTCCCCGAGATTTCGGGAGGACATGACATAATGCTGCGTGTTTCATAGCAACGATATAGTTCTACTTTCTCAATGTAATAGCTTTATATCTGTTGTACTACTACTCCTACAGACCTCGTGCTTGCCGCGATGGGAGGTTGCCGGTAAATTTACCTTACGTAGGAGATACTCGTGGCAGCTTAATGTTGAATCTGCAAAGGCAGCAAGATCGCGGTAAAGGCATATTGAGTGGGGCGATCGGAAGGCGAAATGTCGATTCAACCCGAGTGGCCACCAGCAAGTGTGAGAAATGGTCTCCGATACTTCTGGAACTCAATATCGTCCTCGCGTTCGCTAATATCGATTATATCACATTCATCACTATCTTCGTTCAAGCGCTGTAATCGTGTCGTTCAGAAGAGCTGTTTGCGCCTCCTTGCGCAGTGGCGATGTCGTTTTAGGTTTTCACTAGGTAGCAAGCGATTCGTTCATTCTGTCATTGCCTGGTCTTTCTTTATTCATTTCGCGGCCTGGTGCCGCCTACACTCTAACGATGGTGTTGTTACCTGCAATCAATGCTTTACCTGTAAGAAATACCAGATCTTCGATGAAGGCAAATACCTAACTACTATCTTCTAGAGCGCATCTGCAGCCCTTGCGCCTGATGTGTGGCAATCAGTTCAACACAGTCTCCCATCTCTGAAGAACATCCGCAAGCAAAGGCTCTCTCGCTCGGTTTCAACAAGCAGTAAACCAGGCGAAATGACGACTCCGAGGTCGTTGTCGCAGATCGTGAGTAGCAACAGGTCTTCAGTTAGGTCAGCAGCTCACAGAATCCAGGTCAATCACCGTCCACATCTTCCGGACTGCCTCGCCTTGACCCCAATGAACAGCCTGCGACCACTGGCGACGCGGCACTATTCGACTACAAGATTGCCCTCGACATTTGTAGGACTGCGAAGTCTCTCCTCTCAACCGACCGATGTATCGAGGAACGCATCGGCACCTCTGTCCAGGCCGAGCTCGTCATGTTCCTTCAGTGCATGCACGACCTTGCCATCTCTACTACTCGGACACCAGAGGCGAATGTCCCAACCTCTAGCATCCCAGATACGTGCTTTCTCGAGTACTCCTGCATCATGGAACCAGAACCAGCTTGCTCATGCCGAACGCACTGCTAATAACAACCCTACGAGCGCTACCGCACAAGGAACATTCTACACTGCCCTCCTCCGAGCAAATATGCCAAAACTGGTTATTGAACGCTACGAGACAGGAAGATATGCTAGTAATGCTGCCTGCGATTCCTCCTACCTCAAGGCGTTACAACTGACCGGCAGTACACCGGCCAGCAACTTCGCGCTGGGTCAACAAAGCAGTGGCTTAAGCTCAGACAAGTTGCAGGCTGTGGGGCAAGCAATAGCTGGTCAAGTCAAAGGTGGCCAGATGGTCCGTCCCGGCAACACTGCTGGCACGGGTGCAAAAGAGGCACCTCTGTATGTCGTGGTAGAAGAGTCTTGGGGTTCCACTATACTGAAATGGGTGAAGACTCTCCTTTGGGTTGGCCTTGCTGGTTATTTCATGCTTGTGATCCTGACCATGGTCGTTGAAATGACTGGCAATTTCCGGACACGTGCAGGTCAGAGCAACGAGGTTCAGCCGCAGCACCAGACTGTTCGATTCACCGATGTTCACGGCTGTGACGAGGCCAAGGAAGAACTGCAAGAACTTGTCGAATTTCTGATCAATCCAGAACGTTTCAATCAGCTCGGTGGCAAGCTGCCTAAAGGTGTTCTCTTGACCGGTCCACCAGGTACTGGTAAAACTATGCTTGCTCGTGCAGTCGCTGGTGAGGCAGGTTGCCCCGTCTTCTACATGTCTGGTTCGGAATTCGACGAACTCTACGTTGGTGTTGGTGCTAAACGTGTACGTGATCTCTTTGCACAAGCTCGAAACAAGGCACCTAGCATCATCTTCATCGATGAGTTGGATGCTGTAGGTGGCAAGCGAAATGCAAGAGATCCAGCATATGCGAAGCAGACCCTCAACCAGCTTTTGACCGAATTGGATGGTTTCAGCCCAAGTACTGGTGTCATTCTTATTGCGGCGACCAACTATCCGGAAGCTCTTGACAAAGCACTGACTCGACCTGGAAGATTCGACAGACGTGTAGTTGTCCCACTACCAGATGTACGAGGCCGTATGGAAATCCTAAAGCATCACATGAAGAACGTCCCCATTACTGGTGATGTTGAAGTCACGAATCTAGCACGAGCAACCAGCGGTATGTCTGGCGCCGATCTTGCAAACTTGGTCAACCAGGCTGCAGTGCATGCATCTCGAATGAAGTACAAGAAGGTTGGACCTATGGACTTTGAATGGGCCAAGGACAAGATATTGATGGGTGCCGAGGTCAAGTCGAGAATGGTACGTGAGAAGGACAAGATCATGACAGCCTACCACGAAGCTGGACATTGTCTTGTCAATCTTTTCACAGCCAACACAGATCAGCTTTACAAGATGACTATTATTCCTCGTGGTCAAGCACTTGGTGTCACACACATGTTGCCTCCTATGGATGAAGTCAGCAGAGGCTACGACCAATATATCGCTCACATCGATGTGGCCATGGGTGGTCGTGCAGCTGAAGAACTTATTTTTGGAGCAGAAAAGGTCACGAGTGGAATCACTTCCGATTTGTCGTCGGCGACACAGATAGCCCACCATCTCATCACGAGATGTGGTTACTCGAAAACATTGGGTAATATTGACTACAGCCAGGATTATGACAAGCTCTCAAGTGATACAAAGCAGCAGATCGAAAGAGAGGTGCGCGAGCTCGTAGAGGGTGCAAGACAAAGAGCGGACAAGCTTCTTCAAGATAAGAGGAAAGAGCTTGAAGCTCTGAAAGACGCGTTGTTGGAATGGGAAACTCTCGATAAGGCGCAAATTGAGAAAGTGCTAAGGGGTGAAAAGCTGGAAAAGATTGAAGTTGAGTTAAGGAAGGACGATGATAATAACAATAACAATGACCCGCCGAGGGGGAATGCTCCCCAGGAGAAGAAGAGGAAGGAGACGAGTCAACCAGGAGGACTTGGTATAAAACTACCTGATGTTTTGTTACCTCCAGGAGCAGGCCCGAGAGGAAATGAGCCTGAGGCGCCGACGAGAAACGCCAGTAGATGACAGTGATAGATGTCTAGTTAGTTCTTTTGTGGTAAATTGAAAGCGTCCTGAGCCATTAAGGTGAACTACTTTTCTCCGTGTAGTTTTCCTAAAGCCCCGTGAAACCTGACGTGTCCACGGCAAATGTCAGGCACCCGGGCAATGCGGCTGGGATCGCTCAGCTGATGCCGATCTCATTGGGGAAGGGTCAAGGGTGACGTTGCGCTGCATCTCAAGCCACGAATTGCTTGCGTCGCTTGCCCAAAAAGTTTCTTGGGACTGGACAGGTGTGCAATATATCGCGAACACGAGCGCGGTCGTCGTTGCCAGCAGTATTCCCGAACATGATCGCACTAAATTGATCAAGCGCTCAAACGCCTTATCCTTCACTCGTTACCTGAAGCAACCTATAGAGCCAAGCTATACAATTCCTCCCGCTTAACACAGTCTCACCATATACTATTCCTACGACTTTTAGAGAAAGCTCACGATGGCTAGCAAACAGCTGTCGACTATTCGCAAATGGGTCCTCTCCTCGCCGCCCGCCGAGTGGGCTCTCAATCAACTTCGTGAGCTCTTAATAGGAGCCATCAAGCAGGGCGAAGTCCCCAGACATGTGGCATTCGTGATGGACGGAAATAGAAGATATGCACGAAGTCGTAGGATAGAAACAGTCGAGGGTCACAACCTAGGCTTTGAGGCTCTGGCTAGGGTGCGCAAGTTTGTCCTTGGCCATGTACTCGCTAACAACAAGATAGATCTTAGAGGTCTGCTACAAATCAGGCGTCCACACGGTTACCATCTACGCCTTCAGCATAGAGAACTTCAAGCGCAGCCGATACGAAGTCGACGCCCTGATGGATATGGCAAAGATTAAGCTCACTCAGCTTTCGCAACACGGTGAGCTGCTGGACCGATATGGTGCCAGAATCCGAATTCTAGGCCAAAGAGAGCTCCTGAAGCCGGATGTACTGGAAGCTATGGATCGTGCTTGCGATATGACTAAACATAACACCGAGACTGTGCTAAATGTCTGTTTTCCGTATACGAGTCGGGACGAGATAACAACCGCTATCAGGCGGACGGTTCAAGAGTACAGTAAACCAGTGAAGCGTCCACGGACCGAGCAGAAGAGATTGAGTCCATTCACAGAAGAAAGAATTACCCAGACGCTCAAAACGCAACACAGAGATAGCTTTCAAGCAGAAGAGCGTTTGCAGGACCTTGAACCAAAAACACTGAGCTCGCCCTCCTTAAGCTCGGCTTCATTGTCAGACTTCCAGACACGCCTATCACGATCTCAGTCGCTAGATGCAAAAGACCACGACCACGAAGCAGATACATCCTCTGAATCCTCCTCAGCAACAACGAACTTACATTACGAACTCCTCTCGCCTTCATCGGCCTCCTCACCACCTACGTCCTATGCAGGTTCCCCGCAGTCGAAGCCTCAACTCAGACCTTCCAATACCACATCTCCCGAACACTCGCAGAAAGAGCTTTCATCATATCCTAGTCCTGAATCGATCACCTCTGGGACCATAACATCCCATCTATTCACTGCTGATGACCCACCGCTTGATCTCATGATTCGCACGTCGGGCGTCGAACGTTTGTCGGATTTCATGCTCTGGCAGTGCCACGAGGAAACTCGTGTCGTGTTCTTAGATGTATTATGGCCAGAATTTGACCTTTGGCAGTTCTTGCCGGTGCTGTGGGAGTGGCAGTGGAGAGGACGGAAGGAGGAGCAAAGGCGGAGGCTTATAGAGGGAAGACTGGTCTAAAACCTGGATTCGAGTCGTCTTCTTAAATTTTGAGATTGTATAGCGTATAGCGTTGTTAGAAGGCATCTGTAGGCGCTGGTCAGAAGTTTTTTCTTTGTTGAGCGTCGAGCGTGCATATAGAGCATGGAAGAGATCTATCCTTTACCCCTCTCGTTACTGATTCATTTACGTCGTCCTGTCGCGTATCTATTCCACAAATCTACCACAAATGGTAGAGGCAACTAAAGTAAGCATTTTGTGCCATGAGGACTTGAAACACGAGGTGGCTGCTTGGATCGGGACATCTAAGCAAGACCAGTCGGTTAACACGAATAATGAACTTATATCATTGCATCTCAATGAGGAGGAGACATTCGTGCATGGCTGCTTCTTCGACAGTATACCATAAAGGTCAGAGGATTCGCCTTTCAAATCATTCCCAAAGCCCCAATATCTGGGAACCCAAGCAGAGAGATGCGTACCAAGTCATGATCACCCAACGCCACAAGTCCTCGCATCTTAAGCCCCCCCCGAAGCCGTCATCACAGCCCTCTCCCTCACCACTCCTCCACCGCCGTCTCTGCACACACAAAACCCCACTTCCTCTGCTCTCCTCTTTCCGTGTGATCAACAACCCGCATTCTTCCCACCAGGAAACAAATACGGACAAACAACATTCCCATCCCCAGGATGTCCCTCCACACCAACATTCTCACAGTCGAGACCCAAACCAGTAACTTCTTTGTAAATTGGATAGATGTATTTCGACAAGTGACCAAAGAGCAGAGGCAGGTTGAATGTGATACATGCGGTGTTTGCAGGGCCGTAGTGGCATTGCCTTAAACCCCATCACAGTGATTAGCTTAAAATCTTGAGAGAGAGAAAAGATTCCTTCTCTTAGTACTAGGAAGGAAGACTAAGAATAGAGTCTTACCACTCCGTAATCGCTGCCCCCTTCGCTCTCAATTTCTGTTTGAAGAGTCCCCCACATTTACATTTCGGATCTATGCCGTCTTCTGATGCGCTGCCGTCTTTTGGGATGACGATGGCGTAGGAGTTGGAGATGCCGTTTTCTTGCCAGATGCACCAGGCGTCGTCGAGGTCGTAGGTTGGGGTGGAGAGAATGGGAGTTGCGAGGAGGAAGAGGGAGAGTGGTAGGGTTAAGGGATGCATCGTTATTGGTTGTCGTTGTTGGAGTTATGGGTCAGGAGGCAGTTCTTGAGGGTAAATTCGATTATAGGAGTTGCTTCCAAAGGGTATGAAAGATTGAGGATCGGTAGTAGTCCTGTTGGCAGACCGTTCGTTTGCAAAGGTTCGTAATCGTCAGACTCAATGTGAGGCGCTAGTAAAAAGGTATAAATTGAAGCATCATCACAAACACGACTGAGCAGACACCTTCGGTTCTTGGCGCAAACACTCTCATTCATGCCTGCCAGACAGATCTCCTGATTCATGCTATGGCTCAAAGTAGTATCGTTAATACGTCTTGAACTCCGACTCGACCGTAATGGCGACAGATGAGAAATGGGTGCCTCGGAATCGGGAAAATAGCGTGGCTGACAGAGATCAGAACTCGATTGTTTAGTTGTAAATACATCCTCAATGATCAAACTTCGCCTGCTTGTCCTTCAGCGCCATTCAACCCTATAAGCAGAGAAGAGAAGAAAACAAAGGGAAACAGGATCGCTGGCAACAGGTCTCATACGACACAGGTATATCTTTAGCTCTTTTGTACAAATCATTTTAGCACAAACTCCATATCAGTCTCCACTCCGTAACTTTTCCAGCTCTGTTAATGACCGCCGAACAACGATCCAAGATCGCTAGTTTTAGCGTTGTCTGGAAGTACATAGAATGCAAGGGCAATGATGAAGTACATTCCCAAGCATAGTAATCCTTCCAAGTAGTTGGACTTGCCATCCTGGATCAGGAGAATAACCACCAAGCTGGCCAGGAAAAAGGAAACGGTCTCGAAAGTTTCGAAATGTAGAGTCATGGGCTGTCCCATCATCCAGCCAAGGATGACCAAGAAAGGCGTGACAAAGATAGCGATCTGCAAGCTTGAACCAATGGCGACACCAATAGCCAAGTCCATCTTGTTCTTGTAGGCGACAATAACAGCCGTAACGTGTTCTGCAGCATTTCCGACAATAGGAATCAGGATGAGACCAATAAAAGTCTTGGAAATATGGGCTTTCTCGACAATGGCATCAATACTGTCGACAAGGTAGTCAGCGCAAACGGAGACGAGGATAGTGACCAAGACCAAGGCTGCACCTGCAGCCCAGGGGCCGAGGACTTCGGGTCCTCCTTGGTCCTCCTGTTCGCCTTCCGGCTCTTCGAAAAGGTCTGCGTGAGTCTTGAGCTGAAAGAAAAGATATGCAACGTATATCACCAGGAGGATAATCGAGGTGCCGTGTGAAAGAATACTAATCTTTCCTTCTTCATGGTCCCCATCGTCCATAACTGAATAGAGTGTAGCAGGAATGATCAATGATGCAGTTGCGACAGCCATCAAGGAAGACATTGTACTTGCTACGGTCGAGTTGAAGCTTTGTTCACGATATCTCAGACCACCAGCGAAGAAGCAGCAACCAAGGACGAGAAGGATGTTCGAGAGGATGGAGCCGAGCATACTCGATTGAACAATGCGAATCTCGCCATTGCGAAGGGCGATAATGCTGACCTGTTGCTTGTTAGTCTATCACCATGAATGGAGAAGAATATACTCACAATTAATTCGACTGCATTCCCGAAAGTTGCGTTGAGAAGACCTCCAATGGTCTGACCAAGAGGGATTGCCAGCTCTTCTGTAGCAAATGCCAACAACGAGGCCAAAGGGATGATCGCGATGAAGTTGAGGACGAACTGTAAAACTGGATCCCAGTCGCATGCGCCTGCGATTATGCCAATTGGTACAAATACCAGCAACACGTTGACATAGTTCGTCTTCAGCACCTTCCAGATCGTGGACGTCACCAAGGCTGGATATCTCACAGCTGGATTAGGATGCTTGTCATATGGTGTGCCTGAGCTCGTCCTTGTAATTCTTTGTACATGTTGATCGACATGGTTCAATAGAGCAGATCGTTCGTTAGGGTTCGCCGTGCCATTCGGACCATTCTCGACGTCGTTATGGGCAGTAGGTCGCGACATTGAAGCCTTTCGCATAGCACCCTTCAGTCCCTGCGCTGTTCCCGACATTAGTACGACTGACAATGGGATTGCACAGTCAAGCTCGGTGAACAAGGAGTACTGAAAGTTCAGCGGCACAGCCGAGCGAAGAGAAGGGAGTCAAAAGAAGGTTGTACTTACGCCAACGCATTTGTAGCTTCGATTCCTGGTATTTGACCAGTAACCGCTGTCTGGAGAATGCTTGACTTGTGAAATGAAGTGGTCAGTGAGCTTTCACGCCAATGTAGCCAAGCCCAATGACGGAGACACTTGGCACAGAGAATCAAGCACTTCCGGCCAGACAACTATCGATGGCTTCGAAATTGAGGGGAACTATAGTCAAGCTTCTCGATTTGCGCGAAGGAAATAAGCACAACTCGCGTGGACGGTGCAAGTGGTTCTTTGCAAAGTCAGCAAATGATACTGAAGGATGGTCGAGGCAGTGCATAAGCCTCTAGCATTTTGGAAGGAGTGGCATCATGGACGTCTACCAATTAGTGAGCGTCAGTAATACCCATCAGCACTTGGAGACACGTTTTCGTGGCTGCAGCCAATCGAGGTCACCATGGTTATGCACTATATCCCTTGGCCCAGTCTCGCTCGCCGAAGTTCAACACGAACTCAGCCACCTCTTCCACTCGTGCCAAGAGCGTCAATGCAGACACCCGAGATCTTAGCCTGTCCCAGTTTTCGTCTCACTCCGTGCTCCAACAAAGAACCGGTATTGGTGCGATCAATCCAGGTTTCAGGATCTGACCTTCCTCGCACGAACGATGGCCATGGCAGATGTGTAGGTGACTTGTGTGCCTCGCTGGGTGTAGTAACCTCCAGGCATGGCCTTCGTTCCAGATCGCACTACACTTCACTGCTAAATGACAGGTACGTCGCTGGGACCATGTAAGAGGCACACACTGTGATGACATGCTGGTAGCAGAACAGTCTTGTGAACGGAGATATCATCTCCTTAGTGAGTAAGATTAAAGACCATTCCTTACTGCCCGGTCGTCTTACCACGTGGCGGAGGTACAAAGACAAGCGAAGGAGTACCGCGTGGACTGGTTGCCAGCACAAGAGGCTTGTCACATCCAAGCATTTTTATCATGATGTCTTCGTCAGATCCACCTCCCCTTCCTCGACGACTTACAGTACATAAGTCCTTCTTCGATTAGGTATGAACGAATTTGCAGGACCGTTTGGTCTACACAAAGTTAAGGCAGCTGCGCGATTCTGTTTCCTTTTACTACAACACCAAAATCCAAGCCTTACGACGACGACTTCTGAGTATATATTTCAGCTACGGGGATATAACGCGTATAGAGGGAGGGAGCAACGGTCTACCGTGATTTACATTTTGGTATCTCAAGACCAGAAACGAATTGTTCATGGCGAATTGGCTGAACACCACCCTTGAAAACAGGTCTGCCTAGCAATTTCGCCATCATCTATGCAAGGCTATCTCTGAGAACGCCAGACTCAAGCCAGCCGCGAAAATCATGCCGGCGTTATAAAGACTCGAAATGTGATTCCGAACATCATGCAACGTCAATCCTCGTGTTCGTGTGTCTCGTCTTCTATGCAATATATGCCAACTCGTCATTGTCCAGTCGCTCAATGTAGTCCTTCTCCATGAGGATGTCAATGTTCTTCTTGATGTCGGACACCTTGGGTGGAAATCTGTTCTTGACTTGGGTAATGACCTCTTCGACAAGTTGCACGTGGCGCAACTTCTTTCTGCCTTTCATGATACGTACAATGACAGCTTGCAGAAGAAGCTTACGATCCTCCTCAACGGTCTTGTGGGTTTCATCGGATTCTGTCTTTTGTTCAGATTTGATAGGCACATTCAAGTTGACCTTCAACTTCTTGTTCTTGAAGCCTCGGTTCAGGGTGTACTTGGTGCCAGCCTCTGGCTTACCACCTTCTGGTGTGGCAGTGACCACTCTAGCCTTCTGGAAAACACCCATAACCGCTGTATCAAGGATGTCGTCAGAAAGTTGGGTATATTCCTTGATATCAGCGTAGTCCAACGTTTCCTGCTCATTGAAGAGCAATAATACCGCCATTTGATAAGTGGATACCATGAAAGTATATGGTACCTTCCCTTGCTTGACATAATTGGCACGAACCTCTCCCTTGCATAATTGCCACAACCATGTCAGTTTTCGGCCAGTGTGTTTACCGTCGTAGAAGCGCTTGAAAGCATCAATAGCTTCATTGACTTCGGTTGGTGGCGAGAAAGGTGAGTTGGGAGGATTTAAAGGCCAGAAGCTGGTACCCAAGATTTGATATGTCGAGTCAATGGTGCGCTTCTTTGAGCTATCCTCCATGACTTTGTCATACCAATCCTTGTAAGCTGAATTAAGATCCTTCGATACCTGAATGTCCTGGAACATACGTTGAAGCTTGTTGGTGTATTCGAAACCACAAGCCTCCTTCAATTTGCTGATCATGCTGGTTTCGGCATCGTCAGAGACTGAGCTGACGTTGACCAAACGTTTTGCCAGCATTCGTGAGTAAAACTTTTGGAAGACATCTTTGTCCTCAATGTACTTGAATACAACCATTATCTGCAGTAGCAGGTCTTCCAGCTCGGACTCGTCAGCAGCCTTTGCGCCTTTCTTAAGCAATTGGTCGGTGTACTTGGCGAGTAACTCGGGTGAGCGTGAGGAGTTTGATTTGCAAACCTCATTGCGATTCACAAATTCTTTGCAGGCATTATCAAGAGACCGGACAAATTCAGACTCGCCAGTAAAAGCGACGGTAACGAGCTGTTGGTACTTAGAGTGGATATCGAGAAGTGCGTCGATGTATACTTTTGGTTCAAAGTTGTCTCCACTGCTGGCCACCTTGTCGACAGAAGCCAGACCAGCTTTTCGTACATGAGCTTCGAAGCGGTTTCGGAGCGGGTCCAGACCATCCTTTATTCTGGAGAGCAATTTGTACATACGTGTTAAGTCATCGACACGCTCGTTGTCAAGTAGAACTTGGAACTCGTCGCGGAGCAGCAGAGAGTGGTCCGTAATAAGGGCCTCATTGCATGCATCCATCAACTTCTTCATAATATCGGGGTGTAGATAGAGGCCGACACGCTCCTTCTCTTCGTCCAATCTAGCCTCTGCCTTCTTCATGTACTCAACCACGCTGTTCTCAGCAACAAAGAGTTTCGATTCTCTCTGGTAGTAATCTTTGGTAGCTGTGAGGAAAGGAGCTTCGAAGTATCTTCGGTAGACATCGAGAGTAGACTTGGTAGGATCGTTTTCGTCGAGGCCTAAAGATACAAAAGAGTCAACGATGGCCTTGACCTGTAGCTGTTCAATTGTTTCTCCGTTCCTCTGCTTTTCAACCAGTTTCAGCACAGCCTGCATGACTCGCTCCTGTACCTTCTGGAAGAAGTCGTCTTTCCATTTGACCAGATGCAGGGTATAAATGTCGTAGATGTTCTTCTTGCCCTCGTCCATCTCTCGTTTTACCCAGTGACGGTTCAGGTATTTAAACAAGTGATTGTTGTATTTTGCGGCATCGGTATATCTCTTCCATTCTCGAATGTAAAAGGACAAAAGCGCTTCGTCAGTATGAGTATCCGCACGGGCGTTGACCTCTGCCAAGTGCTTGGACAGATATTCACCTAGTTTGTCGTAAATCTCTTGACCCAGTAAATGAGCACCACGCGAGGCGCTATGAGCAGCACCTGCCGGCGATGTGGTCGTAGGTTTCTGGGAGGTGCAAAAGTTGTGGACTCTAGTGTAGACACCCATGTAGGTCTTCATGTCGACTCCTTCTCTCAGCTTCGTCATGACCTTCTCCACGTTCTCCTCTAAGTAAGCCCATGTCGACTCGAGGTTATCACGGCCACGATTGGCAGGATTTGAGGCTGCGACGGGCGCCATGTCTACTGTGAAGGACCGACCGATACCTCTAGGGTGGGAGGATGATGTAAGCCTCTATAGTTTCAGCAAGCGATTGTATTAGCAAGCGTATTTGGAAGTCGCACCCGGGCCGTAGTGCTGCTGTTTGTGTCTTTGTATCGTTTCGAGGAGTAGGCCGGGCTGTTACAAGTGGCGGGCCAAAGATAAATGTATTCTCGACCCTTCGTTCGAAGTAAAAGAACTAGCCACGGGTTGAAGTGAAGTTATTATGTGAGAATTGATAATAGAGATGCGGCGCAAGGCAGGCGCAGAACAGAAGTGTAGCAAGGTATCACTGCATTGAGGAATTAACTTCGATAAACGACCTGGCTTACCGGTGACCGGCAGGAATGATGGAAGTGATACCGTGGAAGCCTGCAGGCAAAAGTCTTGATGCCTGACAAACCCAATCGCTTTTGGCATGGTCGCATCTGAGCGCGTGGTCACGTCATATCCTAAATCGCCTACTGAAACTACTCCACGATCATCACCACGATGTATCAAACGAGGTCAGAGTGTTTTGAGTGTAACAATATCATTCATTGATTGTATCTTAAGCATCTTACAATACGAAGATGTCATTGAAGCCGTTGAGTTCACTCAGAGTCTCGAAGCACTTCGTGCCTGCTTGGAAGCAAATTCCAAACACATCAGTCCAAAACAAACCATTGCTCATATATCATGGCGCCTTCGACAATTCATCTGCCTCTAAAATTGAGTCACACCTGAAATCAGTAGGTGTCGTCGAGCCGCAGTGGAGATATACAATGTACTCTCGGTCACATTTCCACTCTACCTCACATGAAGTTCTCTGTGTTGCAAATGGCTCGGCGAAGTGCTGTTTTGGTCATGAGGATAATCCGGATAGGGTTGAACCCACACTCTCTGCGGGAGATGTCATAATCGTCCCAGCTGGTGTCTCGCATCGACTCTTAGAGGACCTCGGAGGTTTTCAGATGGTGGGAAGCTATCCTTATGGCTTCAATTGGGACATGTGTTACGGCAAGCCAGGAGAAGAAGACAAAGTGAAAGCCATTGCCGGCCTGAGCTGGTTTGAAAAAGATCCAATTTACGGCGAAAAGGGTCCTGCCCTCGACTTCTGAGGCCAAATCATGGAGATCGCGAAGCTGTTCGTTATCCAGGCAAGGAGTGTACGTCTGGAGTGATCAAGCAAGGCATTTTCATCGGGGGTTGATTTGCTCAACAAGTCTGCTAATGTCAGCTTTCAATTGAGGAATACTCAGCGCGGAACGTACCTTAGTATACTGATAGAAAAAGTAAGCAGCCACGCGACCAAAGAAATAAGAAGGACGCTGCTCAAAGCTTCTGCTCTGCGGCAGACTTGGTCAAAGGTGAAGTCTGTGCCTGGTGTTGACCCAATCTCGCAAGGCCCTTGTCCAATCTCGATCGAGTTGAAGGCCAGACTCAGATTAGCTGACTGAAAAACAATAAAGAAGAGGTCCAATAAGACGAGTCGAACCTTCGCGGCCGCTCGTCGTAATCCCAAAGGCTTTGAGAAGTATTCGTCATAGGTGATGTAGACAGTGTAGACTATTGCGACAACATCCACAATGATGGCCATCAAGGCAGATGGATCTTCTCGTTCGTAATTGACGTTGCCTTGACTGACCCTGGCGGCACAATAAGAGTCCCTAGAACCTACTGGCTGCTCAATACATCTCGTGAGGATGTTGTTTTCGTGGAAAATTGAAGCGCCTAGCCCCATGGCTATCGCTGCAAAAGAAATGACAGTAAAGCGAAAGACCAAAGGAATGAAAGGATTACGCATGATGGCAATGTGCAGACGCTGATACCAGGCACGCCTCTTTCGCCGGAAAGCACGATATTTGTCGCTGCCGTCCTCAACATCGTCGTCGTCGTGGTCGGCTAACCAAGGCTTAGAGTAGTCAGTGAAGTTTTCGTTCAACCATTCCGCATCCACCTTCTCGCTGGCGAAGTTCTCTCGAGGGTAAGCACTAGCACGAGCGAAGGAAACCCATCGTGAAGTTGGCTCGCTTCGAGGAGCGCCCGACGAAGTTGAATAGCCACGTTGTAAGTTGGAGGGTGTGTGGTTGTGTGCTGCTACAAGCGCATTGCCAGGAGCATGTGGTATGAGGAGACCAGCTTCCCCGGCTTCTACCACATCGTCCTCATCCGCATCCTGAATCCAGGCTGGGATTGTCCTCACTGGTATACGTTTGATAGGCTCTCGTGCACGTGGAGGTTCAGACTGAAAGCGTGTATTTGGCCTTGCTATGGCTCCTTTTTTGACCGAGTCGGCGCGCTTCTTGCTGGTCGTATGTGTGCCTTTGTGCTTGTTGTCTACCGATGTCGAGTTGACTTTGTTATTTGTAGAATCTACCAATGCGTTGTCGGTCGAGGGAGCCGCCAGTCGACTGTCTTTCTCAGAACTCTGAGTGGCCCCGTGGATCCGAGACTGCGCATGCCATGGAAAGCCGACCTGTGCCATACCCTGCCAACAGGTTCTGGCTCAGGATGGCGTATGGTATTACTGTTATTGCCGATGCGGCATAATGTTGATTTTGAGGAGAAGGAAAAGTCGCGATGATACTGCTCGTCGTTGTCGATGCGTCGTTATGCTGTGTAATACAATTGTACCAAAAGAGAGAATAGGCAAGAGCGCCTCAGCACCGGATTTGCTGGTGTCAGCTGAAGTCAGTAAAGCTGCTCTTGGTGTCTTGTTTCTGGGGAACCTCGTGCGAGATTGTGATTGAAAGACGTTGCTCCGCCTCATTCCCTGCTCAGACCAGCGAATTTGTGGCTAGGGACTCCAGTGTTAGGTGTGGCTTTCAGGCCCAGAAGCAGAAATCCGGCGCAATCTTCGGGCCACCAAATGACGCATCGATTCTAATTTCAAGAATGCGCCTGCACGAGCTGCTGGCACCAGCTATTTGTTTTCAGTTGAGCTTCTTCTGTTCGATTCAATTCTGCCTCATAACTATATGTCTTTATTTCGTCACGATTGCGCAATGAGACAAGCTAGGTAGAAGACAGGCATGACTCTGCTCGTGAACAAACCAGAAGCACTGCTGCTATGCGCATTTTCCTCCTGCCTCTGACGACCAGGCAAGCTCTCGTCTATTGCCAACGCGCAGCGAAACCCGTCTCGGAGAGAACCATTCTCGACAAGATCACCCAGAAGACGACGGACACCTGGGCCAAGTGGGAGACCTTTGAGAAAGGATGGCAGAAGCAGGTCGTCACGTATGGTAATCGTGCTCTACAGCGCATACCGTACCAGGAATGGGGGTTAAAGAGCTTTCCATCCTCGAACGCAAATCTACAGGCCGAACAAATCACGGATGAGACCAAGTTCGATGTTGTCTATCCCGCAAATTTTGTGAAGGAAGCGGATGTCCCCAAAGTGCTGAGCAGGCTTGCTAGAGAGCGCAAGCAGCTGCACTTCAACCGTTTTGTTGGCAGTCTGGTCGCTATACCTTTCACCATCCCTTTTGCCCTGATTCCTGTGTATGTCCTCCAACCAGAACCAAATCGTTGGTTCACACAACTGACACTGTGTAGCATCCCGAATTTACCTTTCTTCTACGTTGCCTATCGTGCTTGGTCGCATTGGAAAGGTACACTGCCCTTAGCCTGGGTCCCAAGCTTACTGACGGCTAACACAAAATAGCATTGAAAGGCTCTGATCACCTCGACTTCATCTTGGACCACCGCTTGTTTCGACCCATAACCACGGACGCTGTCCAGAGTCTCTACAAACGTTTCTGCCCGCATCCAGCTCGGAACTTCGAGTTTGTCACGAGATCGCAGGTCGACTCTGGTGAGGTACAAAAAGAGGAGCTTTTGCTAAGTGCAGGTGCTCACAACGAGGTAGCGAAGCTACTTGAAGTGCCAGAACTCAGTGGTGAAATCGAGCGCGCTGTTTGGCAAGTTGAGCAGGAATTTCGCAAACAAGAGCAAGAGAAGGAGAAGTTACAGCTTCCTTCACGTCAGAATCCCTCTGGTGAAGAGAACGAGAAACGTCCATGAGACTCAGTAATCGCAAGCTACCACAAAATGTCCTTGCTCTTGTATCGAAACAAATATCTACAACTCAACTCGTTCAGCACTACCCTGTATATGGGGTACTATAACCTACGTCCAGTCTCGAATTACGTACAGTACCTTCCTTGCAATGACCATGAGTTCAAATGTCGATGTCCTGACAGTATCTGTATCGTCACGTGTGCATGATATTTCCGCAAACACATACATTCCTGCCACTTCACTCTGTTGTCAACTAATCTGCAGATGTTCTTGCTGTGACAGGCCCATGTTGCGGTCAATATGTTTGTTGCCATGTTCTCTGAGTGCACGATGATTGCAGTCAAGCATCCTGCAATTGTAGCGCGAAAGTGCAGCCTGCGATGAAGCCAAACGCGGTTGACGAATCTGCACACTGTTAAGCAGTCAAAGTCACTCATCAGATATCATTCATTTGACACGCTACCCGTTTCTCGCTCCGTAACCAGGCTGTTTCTGTCGGGGGTGCTACCTGCCCGAACAAGTAGTCACCCATTCACCAAAACTGCCTCGAAGAAGGTGACTGCCTCCTCTATCACCTCGAGCCACCCTCCGAGATTAATCGAGCACCGGTTTAGATCTAGCTTTGCACCAATTCCATATCGCAACTTCTCTCGACCTACGCCAGTGGCACGATGGCGACGATGAACGGACTCTCATACATCCCCAACCAGCCGTACAACCACAACGAAGCATACCACCCTCATTCTACAGTTCTCGAGCCGGCTGACTTTGATAGCGAAAGCGGAAACCTGAAGCTTACTTGCAGACCTTTTTGTCTTCCGTCTAATACATGCGGCGACCATGACTTCCTGCGAGCCATATCTCTCACACGTTTGGCACCTACTGCTTATGCCACGAATAAATGTGCTTGGAAGTACAATGCACGTCACAGTGCCCAATCAATTTTGCCTTTTCTCTACCTTGGACCTGCCTCCGTCGCTCGCGATTCTGCTTATATCAAGGACAAAAATATTACTATGGCCATAGTGGTTCGCAGCGCCCAGTCAGCAAGAACTCAACCAAAGTGGCTTGATCCTTCTCGATTCCAGTCTTGTGCAAATATACAGACAGCTACTTTCGACATTGATGGGCCTTACGACCTGATCAGGAGAATAAAACCGATGCTTAAGACAATGACAGACCACCTACAGAGCTTGACGACAACTTCGCAGCTGAATACTGTCAACGACGTTGGTGGCAGGATCCTTGTCTTCTGCGAGAACGGCAATGATCGATCCCCTGTGCTTGTAGCTGCTTACATAATGCTTGTCTACGGCATCAGCTGGCACGAGAGCTTAAACTTTATCCACGCCTTTCGGTTCTCTGTGTCACTGAATGGTGGATTGAACGATATGCTGAGGACCTGGCAAGGGATTCTGCAAGCAGAGTCCGACACTGCAACTTTTCCTAGCAACAATGGGACTTCTACATCAACATGCAATGCACCACGCAGGGTCAAGCGGTCCATCGAAGACGCCTACGATTCCGACGAGACAATGACGGAAGACATTGAGGTTGCAACACGTCCCGGTGTAGAACCTTTTGCTGATATACGACGATAGGGCAAAATCGATGTTCGTGGTCCCAGGCTATATGCATGCATGGCATATGAGTGGCAGCTACCACTTTGACAATCACGGGACTGACCGCAGGGAACGCTTGAGGCACTACACCTGCTTTGTGGAACAACAAAGACTTGAATGAGCATACACGCATCTCCTAGCACGAATTATGAGCCAAAGCTGAAGTCAGTGAGATTAAGTTAAATTCAAGGAACACGATGTGATACACACAATAAACTTACTTTAAGTATTGACACCTTACCTTTCACTTTTTTCCAGAGCCTGACCTTCCGTCGACAACTACAACTTTCTTTATCACCACGTAGTACGAAAAATTGTTTGCCGCTTTCGTGCTTATGACAGACAGCTCCGAATTACTACCTACAACCACTCGTACGCAACAGAGAAGATGCAACTTCGAAAGACCATTAAGAGACCTGGCCGGTTTGATGAGGAGGTCTTTGAGGCCGGACATGCAGATGTCACGATGACGACCGGTATGCCATCTGAGGACTATACGGTCCCCAGGCGACTGGTCACCGAGCCCGCTTTCCTGCCTACAGCAGCAGCTTTTCCCTCCGTATCTCTGTCAGGGGCTCCAGAATCCCCTTCAAGGAAGAATTGGCTTGCGGAGGCTATTCAAAAAAGTAACGAGACTCGGTCAGTCGATCCTGCCTTATTCAGTGAAGGTTCTGAGGGTGACGATGATGGCGAAGATGGATACACCAGCCAACAGAACTCTCCTGACGTTGACACATCGCGCTACTCCAATATATCGCTTGAGATGGAAACGAGTCCTGTGCGAAGTGATGAGAACCATAATGCTTCGAATGTTACATGGTCGATGCTTGAGCCAAGCATACAACTGTATATCTTCGAGAGTCTCTTCGTCAGTCTAAAGCGTGCCAACACAGTGGCAGAGGTTTTAGCCTTGGATGCAGAACAGCTCGAAAATGTGGCTTATCTACGCAACTTACGACACATCCATCCCATGAGTACTGACCTACTATGGAAACATTGCGCCAAACGTGGCACAGGTGCGACGACTGGCGTTTACGACGGTAGCGCACCACCGGTTGAGCCCGAGATTTTGCGTCAATACATGAAGTATTTTACCTTCGCTGAACAGCTTAGTACTGCGTCCGAACCGCAGAGACTCCTTGGTTTGCACTTTCTTCGCAAGCGTGGTATCGACGGCGACTTCGTCGATGCGTTGCTCAGAAATCAGCAAGGTATTTGGTCAAGACCTCCAGAACAAGCGAGCATAGGTTCTAAGGATGTAGGCGACCATGCGCATTTCCACGAGACAACTTTCCGAGATGAGAATACTGTCCAGGGAGGTACGACACATACGAGCCACAACTCAGCGTTTCCCAGACCATCGTCTCGATGCTGCTATTTCCCATCAGACTTTCGGCAGACTTTTCTGTCCAAGCCCTTGTTGGACATTAGTGCTGCTGTACCACATCTTCGCTTTAGCCTAGATAGTGTCGGCTCAGAGGGCGAGATATCGTCCACGGCGCAGAGTCACCAAACTGGTACTTACGGCCCTGGTGCTAAAGCAGCACCAGATACGACAGTCGTCGCGGCTGAGGATCCTGAACGTCGTGCTTCGCAAACTATGCACCAACCAACCACGAACTCAGCGAAAGATGGCAGCACAAACACGACTGCAGATACGGGTTGGGTCTGTCTGTTGATGCACTTGATCACCGCTTTTGACGCCCAGAACGAGCTTATCTTGAAGAAAGTGGCGGACATGCCTTTATCTAACCAGGATCGAGCAATCCTTCTCGAGGCAAGTAAAGCTCAATGCGAAAAGAACATCCTCAAGGCATTTCGAGAGAAGATCACAGAGTATAGTCGTGTTTTCTCGAGATCGATCACTCAGGAAAACGCAATCAAAGCCTCTGCTGCGTCAGGAAAAGATCTCCCTGTTCAATTCGACGGAAGAGCTGGTGAAGCGGCTGTAGCCCTGCAGTCGACTCTGGCAGGCATTGCGGACGATGATACAATCGGGGTCCGTCACGTTGAAGGTGTAAAGCATAAGAATATTCTCAGTAGTATTGTGAGCACTAAGAGTCCGACTTCTACACATGACGGAAGCACTGGTCGTCGGAAGGTGGTTGGCTTTTCGGATAATATGACGGTGGCCAGAAGGCTGAAGTTAACGACAAGAAAACGGCTTGAAAATACCGCAGGCCTAGAGAATGATGGTATGTTAGAGACACCACGTCGTGCAACACCTCCAGAACAAAAATCGCCTATTGCACCACCATGGTCACCTCTAGTTGACCGGGATTTCTCAGATCGAGAAGACCTGCAGCTTCCGCCTCCTCCACTGCGACCAAAGCAGCCCTACAGTAATCTTGCCACGAGCAACCTTCGAAGCTCGACCCCATGGAAATCCAGAGCCGTATCTACCGCCCAACCTCAACAACCGCCGCTCGATCAGCCCAACGTCCAAACACAAGAGCAGTCCAAACCTGAACGCCTAAAAATTAAGTTCAGGATGGCACCCTCGCAACCTCCATCCCGCTCGTCATTGCTAGCCAACAATACCGCCTCCTTTGGAGACACTGATATATCTGACCGCTCGCGGCGATCCTCTTTTCTGCCACTGAACACTACTGAACTTGGAGTATCTTTACCTCCAGCCCTGCCTCCTCCTCAGCAGTCGAGATCACCACTAGAGGATAAGGGAAAGAAGAGAGCGCCGTATCAGACCAAGGCACGAAAGGCAGCAGCTGAAGCCGCGAACAAATCAGAGCAACCACCACCTCTATCTGCTTAGACGGAGAGCAGGCTTGGGGCAGTTCACAGATGTTGTCAAGCTGGAGACAGGACTTTGCTGGCATGACTCGATACTGGGTAAGCATGGGTTATTTCAATGACTGATCCATTGACTGATTTATCGTTGATCGAATATAAGCAGGACATAGGGTAGCAAAGCTGACTTCAAGGAGAAAATCTTCAGATCTAGGACACGATTAGCACAGTGGATAAGAAGTTGAGGAGCTAATCTTCGATTCCTACTAGGCAGCTCTGCCGTCCTTCTATAACATAAGATCCAGGGGTATCTCCTATAACCTCTATCATCACTAAGTAGCTCGCTTCTTCACTCCCAGCCACAGTCGGATGCGTCTGTGGAACGTTCCAAAGAGGTTCGACTGACCATGACTTCCTTGTAGAGCAGCAGGTCTTTCACGTTGCAGTTCCGACCTCTAGTCAGCAACACTATCTCCCGCTTTACTGCCATCCGCCGCATCCGTGTCCTGCGGCTTTTCTTTCAATATCTTTGCCTCTTCTGTGCCAGTCGCGCTGATTTTTGCTGCAGGGTTTTTCGTCTCGTCCTCTTCTGCCGTGTCCTCGTCTTCTTCTTGAGCACCTGAGGTGTCCCCTTCCACAGTATGTGATTCGTCTATCGAGGTAGTCTTGGCTAGGGAGGAGCCTTTGTTGGGTACGGAAGATTGTCGGCGCTTTTCGATGATCTGTGCTGGGGTCGACTGAGCTGCGTTCGATGCTATACATGCAAAGTTAGAGAGTTGAAACGTGGATGCTGTATAATTTGACTTACAGTCAGAAGCTCCATCAGAATTCGAGTTGACCTTGTCGATACTGACGCCTCTCGATACACCCTCCTTACTCAGCTGTTCCGGTGTCTTGGCTTCTGTATTCAGTGTGCCAGGCTCTTCAGCATCGGGATCTATCGCAGAAGCAGGTATCGATGGAGGAGGCATGCTTGATTCTGGCGCAGCTGTCGCTTTCGGCGTCACTGTCGCGGCTGCACCACTTGAACTCATTGACACGTTCTTCTGGCCAGCTTTTGCTGCAGCTTCGTGCCCAGCCTGCTTCATAGCCATGCTCAGTGGAGTATCCTTCTTATCGCTCATATTATGTTCCTGAGGCTGCTGTGCGTCGACGCTCTTATTCCGCTGATCTTTGTCTCTTTGCGGTTCGCTGATGGAGATATGCCTCGTCTCACTGGCTGTACGACCTAAGCCAGCAGCCGCAGATTGGCGAGCTTGTTCTTGGGCCTGGGAGCGAGCAGCAGCAGCGGCGTGAGCTTGTTCGGAAGTTGCACTTATGGGTACGTCGCCGAAGATATCAATTTGGTCTTCTATCTGGTCTTCAAGCTCGCCATGTTCATTCCATTCCTCGACTTGTTCGAGGTCCTGTGTTCAAGATCATATTAGCATAATAAAATGAATGGAGGAAGGATAGTCGTACGGCAATAACGTCGTTGAACTTGACGAGACCTGGAATCTTCCTGCCTTTGGACCGTCTGGTCCAGAGCATACGAGCTTTCTCATCTGTGGCACAATCGACTGCTTTGAAAGGTATTTTATTTGCCTTTAATATTGTTTCTATGCGCGAGGTTGCGGTTATGATGTGTGACGATCCCGCGGTCAGAGACGTATACAAGTAGACAGTTGGATCTGAAGGCATATTGAGTCAATCTCACTGGTCTTGAGCGGATTGTAGAGGTGGTGAAGGGTGTTGGTAGAAAGGGTAGAGCGAGAGATATGAGTTTGATTCACTAGCGATGCAACTACTTGTCCAGTTCTTGACTGAGTGTGTAGTTGATACTGCTTGTAGAATTTCGACCTTGAAGTATATTGAACACCTGCAAATGTATGTGAAAGAGTGCTGTCCGCGCAAGAGCGAGCATAATTGTTTGAATCCACGAGTAGCATGAAAGAGATGCCTACTACGTCATGTTCAGGGTAGCACCAGAAGTGGTGGAGGAAAAGACCCACCTGTCTGATAGATTGTGTCTTCCTTTGCGACTTGACGACCCATTATAGAAGTTGTTCGCAACATGGAGAGATAGATGCAGAGTCAATTGGTACTGTATACTAGCAGGCGCTAACTGAGAACAACGATTACTTAGGTAAAACAGGTTCATGCTCGTCAAGGTGTTCAGCATGACAAGCAGGAACTGCATTCAGTCTTTTGTTCCATACACTCTTGAACACCATTCGATATCCAAACAATGCCACCAGAACTCCCAATAACGATCCAAAAACCACATCATAGCCGTGATGGTGATAGTTGAGCACCAATGTGCTAGCAAGATATGTTGCCAGCAAGGTGGGCAGTACGCATGCTACCATTCGCCAATATCCAGCTCGATATCGACTCTGTATTTTCAGGTGCGTGAACAGGTAGATTGACAAGTAAAAGAAGCCAGCGAAAGCAATTTCCGAGTGCCCAGATGGAAACGACTCGACCCCATTACGGATTTTGCTTTTGTCGATACCGGTGCAGACCTGTTCTATGGTGAACATGATGTTCTGAAAGCCGGTGCCAATCGCGTCTTGTGGTAACACAGGTTGGCAGACGCTGAGAAAATGTGGTCGTAAGCCACCGATGGTCTTCTTGATGATTACCACGATGAACGTTCCTGTCAGCAACGAATACGCTAACCCCAGCAAAGCATTCGATGCGTCGCAAAAGCTTCGTACCCAGATCTGGGCTAAGAGGATAACGCCAACCGGTACGAGAATTGCGACGAGCGCGGCGGCCAGGGATGAGAATATGGGCTCTTGGTAGGGGTAAGCAAATTGAGTCCAAACAATATCGCCGGACGTGGAGAAGTATGTGACAGGAAAGAGTCGAGTGAAAGCATGGTTTTTCGCGGTCCAGACCTGCGGAACGTTAGCTACGATGTGTCGATTGCGATAGGAATGACTCACGGCAGCAGTAATGGCGCCCATAACAACTAGAGTAAGGAGGCTTCTCCAGACTTCCTTGAAGAAGCGCAGAAGATTGTGTCCAAACCTGGATATGAATCCGCTACCTCTCCGTCCTGACTTTTCATTTGCGACATACTGTCTAGGGATTTCTTGTCCAGAAGGTGTCAAAGTATCTCCAGAATTGTGTCTCAGGTTGGAACTCATATTGTAAATAGGTGAGGAATGGATACAAGGAGCGAGCTATTAGGAATGACCGAATCAAACGAAATAACAACAGCGACGGATTCCTTGCGCACCGCAACGACAGTGCGGATGAGGGAGAAGGCGCGACAGTAACAGATCGTGTATGAAGGAGGAAGGAGGTTGCGAGGTGGTCTCGTGTGCCCAAGGACTACGTGTGGCTGCTCGCAACCAGGCTTATAAGCAAACAGGGACGTCAACTTACGAGGTAGTCATAGTGCACTTCATACCTGTTGTCCTGTCATTTTGTTAATTTGCGTTCGTTAGCGACAGCTATCCAACCCATCCCATGCCGTGGTACCGACCAGTGGCATACGACCACATTCCAAGAATTCTAAAATCAGTACGAGCCAAGCCCATAACAAGGCGCATGGCCAAGGCCTGCGCGATAGTTCAGCGAATAGGAGGTTGGTTTAGTCCAACTATGTGGTCAGTGGCAAACATGCCAAGTTCTTGATATTCCGGCAAGACGGTCTCTGCCCTGCTGATGTTCCTGCCAAGTGATGTGACCGTAGCTTGAGACAAGTGCTGAGCAGCTCGGAAGTTATTTAAGACGATTTGAAATTATAGTTTTGTAACCTTTTGCTCGAGTTTAAAGAAAAAGAATAGACAGTGACATTGCTTGAACATACCTGCCAGCCAGGCCAACTACAAGCTTACCAGTTACTGCAAGACTGGGAAATGCTTGGGAAGCTCATTATTCCCGAACCAGGAACGAGGCTTATACGAATAAATATAGTACGACTAGATCTTTCGATCGCCGCACCAGCCACTGATGCACCGCCGATCAGTAAGTCAAAAATCTGCAGCATGCTTAGAATAAGCCTTTCAACTTAGGCATGAATGACATCTTGAACATGAGGGTACTGCGACACCGTTAGTTCGAGGTCGTGCCGTTAGAAGTGTTCTTGGAGCTTACCACTTGAACTAGTTTCTGCCAGAATTCTGGATGCTCCCGCACCGCGACATCAGGATCCCAACCCATCGCTACGAAAATAGTGTCTATGCCGGAACTGATAGGAGTCATGAAGATCTGACAAATTTGCAACCCGATCAAAAATGAAAACGCCATGATGACTGGAGTGAATGTCCTGCTTTCGTTGTATGCCGGGTGTGTGAACTCAAGGTAGAGGTAGGACAGCAGTGCACAAACATACGCCACAAAGATACTACCCATGCTCAGTACAGGTCCAGTCAGGCAGTCGTTGATAAGCGCATCAAGGCCTCGATCCTTCATCATCCTCCAGGTGTCCTTCGCAGCAGGAATGTATGCTTTCCCATAGAGGGCGATATGTGAGAATGCGTATCTGTTCAGGAATTCCACCAGCCAATTCAAGATACCGATCAAACAACCTAAGATACAGAAAAAGATTGTCCCAATGATGTTACCGTCTTGTGCAGACTGATTTTGAGCAATACTGCAAGCTTGTCGAAGCATGTTGATTAGGGCAACGACAAGACTTCCAAGAGAGATCGAGCCGAAGGAGTAGGTGGTTGCCCTCTTGAACGAGCCCATCGTGGCACCTCTCGGAATACCACCAGGCTTTCCAGCGCAGAAGTACCACGAACCGTACACTCCAGCAATAACAGTATGTACTGTATTTTTAATCCATTCGGAGATCCAGTAAGCAGCGAACGTCACGAATACAACCAAACCAATGACCTTGCCACTGCTGCAGCCGCCCAATTGGGTGCAGGCGGGGTTGGATGTCGCATTGGCATTAGAAGGCATATAAGCTGTATAAATACCAACCAAGGTAATAGAAAACCATGCGGCGAATACCGTGGCAACTAGTCCACCAACGAAGCTGACCATGAAGACATGTACTCTTTTCATTCGCGCGACGTCTTGCGCCTGTTGAAGCATAACCACTGCGAAAGGTATACGTGGTATCCATGAAATAAAGCAGAAGATTGCGAACACGGCGAAGATGGCAAAAACAATACCCGCGCCCCAGAGTCGTCGATAAAGGTAGTATACCGCAGTGCCGACAGCAATGACACAGTTGAGAATACCAGTTATCCAGATGAATTGTTTGGTGAACGCCCTTGCGAGGAGGAAGTACGCCCACGACAATACGAACGCGACAACGATGACGAATATAAACAGTACCAGGGTGTTTGTGTTCAAAGAGAAGTCGTTGCCTGCGCCATATATGCCTCCTCCGTTGAACCCTTGATAGCGCGAGTAACGGTACAGTGATAGGCCCGAGACAGCAACGAAGCCGAAAAAAGTTGCTAATAAGAGCAGTCCAGCCCACAGATCATTCCATTTCGGCTTCTGAATCTTGAATGTGTCTTGAAAGGTTTGCTTGTCATCCATGGGTGGAACGAAACTTTCGCCATACATAGGAGGATTTTGTTGCCCAATCTGCTTTCCATCATACGGTCCCTGCTGCATCGGAGGAAAAGGTTGTGCAGGACCTTGTTGGAATTGTTGGTAATTCTGAGGAGGTCCGGTGGGTGGCTGGTATTGCGCATAACCTTGAGGTTGTTGTTGCTGGTATGGCTGATTGTAGTACGCGCCGGCTTCGCCCTGCTGCGCCATTGTAAAGGTCGCCCGCTGTTTTTGTGGAATTAGTACAATACGCTTCAAGCTGTCATAGCATGTTGTATACAGAGAAATCAACAGTAGGAGACGAAATGCGACAAAGACTCAAGCTATACAAGGGACCACATGCGACGTCGTGCAATTTGAAATGAATCGCGATGGTGTTGAAAATGGGCCATCATGCGTGGTTACGCATGCTCAACGCGCAATCTCCCTCTTGCCGTCAACAGGTGGGCCGAAAGCGCTGCTCCAAGCGAATTAGAAGATAGACGAGCTCACTAACAGTTCGGAAGTCGCTTCCACAAGCTTTTCGACGAGCTCGGCAGCTGAGTCTAAACATCACTCACTCAGCTGAAGCGATCCAGTAAAGATAGCCAAACGATGTAGACCAGACCATCGCAAAGTCTGTCGAAGAGATACACCTCAACCGTCAACGACGACAATGTCCCTGGTCTCATGCACTCTCGTGGCCGAAACACGACCAAATGAGCCGAAAAGCTTGGCTAATATTATCTCGGTTTCGCTGACGTGCCATACTACGGCTGACCACAAGGAGATGCAATGCACCCTCAACAGAAGCTCAAGATTTCTACGCCTAAAAACGCACATGCCTTAAACCTTGATTAAGCTCAGAGCTTTTTGAAGACAGTACAAAATCTCAGGCAGTATCGATTTGGCTTGTGCACATTTTCAAGATGGGGATACGTACATATTGACAACATATATTCGAACACGACACCTGCTAACAGCACGTTCATAAGGCTGCGCATTGCAGATAGTTCGCATCATGGCGCCAGCGTCCACTTCTGAACGTTACAGGATCTTACTGGCGATATTGGTGGTCGTGACACTGCCTATTACAACTTGCCTTCTGTGGTTCAACTATGCTGCTGTTGTGCTGGTTGAACAACGAAAGAGGTTAACAGCTTCTAAGCTAAGGCAACCGGAGAATAGAACAATTCTGATCACGGGCACTGATAACGCCTTCGGCCTGAATCTGGCTCGTGCTTTCCACAAAGCTGGCTACAAGGTGATCGGGGCAGACTCCAGGGCTGGATCACCATCAAGTATCGCGAAACGATCCCGGGCTGTTTCTAAACACTATGACCTACCACGGCGGTTTGCCGGAGATGAGGCTCCCTATGTGGCACGCTCCCTGTTCGTGATAGCTCGGAGAGAAGCGCCATGCCTTTGGATCGACTGCTCGAATGACCTGAGTCAAGAGATCGTTGCGGATGCTCGGTCAGAAATCGAAAGTGGCATGTCATGCAAATGTCTGGTCCTCGACAGCACAATCAGTGATCGGCTCTCGAAGCGAGATACTCTTCTGGAGTTGCTCAGCACGAATGGTCTTCCAAGTCCGGAGTTCCACAAGGTAAAGAGTCGCGCTCAGATACACAAAATATTGAACCATGCTCCAGGTCAGAAAAAGTACCTCCTTGGTTCACCAGAACGGGATGGGTCACCCACTCCTCGTACATTGCTCCCACAACGAACTCTGAGCCAAACATACAATAAAGTTTCTTTAGTCAAAGTTGCCGAGCAATCGCCTATGGTCCTGGAGGAGTCGACAGAATCGCTCAAAATCTACCAGTGTCTGGCTGTTGTGGTTCGTGGCAGTGTCGATTTCTTTGTGGCTCGTCCTAAGTCGGAGCTGCGCCATGAGCCACTCTTGCCAGACTCTGGACTCTGGCGAGCAATGCGAACATACACTAACTCCATGGCACGCTTGTTGGATCTCTCGTCCAGCCACCTGGTTCTGCACTTTGGCCTGAACGAACAGGTGACACAAGCGGGTGTGTTACAACAAATTCTTCTTATCGAATGCAACACACGTGTGGACCCAACCTTTGTGCTCTCCATAGCACGAAAAGATTTCGATGATCTATCGAGAGTTTATCGGACCCTGCTGGAGAGCCATACCAATGGAAACATCAAGTCGTCAAGTGGCGATTTTGCGAAGTCGGCAATCACTTTTACGGCTGACCAGTCACGGATTTCGAGGCAGCAATACCTCCTTCCAGACGAGTTGATAACACAGCTGATCAGGCCATGCATAGAATTCATATATCATCCTACCAGGCCTCGGCATGTGTTGAGCTCTTTGTACATTTTTATGTACAGATTGTTGCTATGGGATGAAGCATACTACGACTTCTGGGATCCTTTGCCCGCATTCTGGCATTACTCACTTGCGTTTCTATGGAAGACCTTTCTACGGTAAGTGCCTGCTCCATTTGGTATGATGGGGGGCATGCTTTCGATTTCTTCTGGGTCGACAGTATCTACCAGCTTGGTTGTTGCACCACAGTATATTGAAGAGCGGCGTTGCGAAAGCCGCATGAGACGCTTATATACCACATAACGAGACCAGAATTCTGCATACCAGAAGCCGCCGAGTGTCTAATTAGCAACACGCAGGCATAACGGCTGCCTGTCAAGCATAGTGCTTAAATGCACTCATGGGTCCTTCTTACTTTTGTTGAAGGTCGCATCTCAGAAGGCGATGCACATGGGTGAAGCACTTCGTCCAAGTCTATAAAGAGATGGGATAGTGTTGTCCTTGGGAATGCAGGAGCACACGAACAAGAGTCAAGCAAGGCGCAAGTGCTTGTGAGTCCTCGAAATTCAACGTGAACTCGCTTGCCGAGACCGTTGAACTGGCAAGGAGCATTGCGGAGCCGCCCCCACGTGAACAATATTACGGAAGCACTCTGAAGATCATGGCAGTGTAGTGACGTCGCTAGCTCGCTTGACCCCGGAGCATGTCGTGCAGCCTGTACGAACCACTCCAACCTTAAAGGTCGCTTTCCTCTTGAGATTCTCCGAGTCATTGGCCACTGTTTATCGTTTAGACATGTCTCCTCAAGGCCATAAGGCGCAGGGAGTACACACGAGTAGTGTTCAGACAGCGAAAGCAAAGTCTGCCTGGTTTCTACAAACAGGATGTGGTCGACAATAAGACTGGCAATCTGCTGGAACTTTCGTAAGGCGAAGTCAGGAGCACGCACAAGGCGTTCAAAGCTGCTTCTGCGCATGACTGATGTAAGCAAAAGCGTCATGCAAAGATCTTTGACCTTTTGACTTTGCCTGGGCATCATGAATCGTCCTAAAACTTTTCCGTCAAATGACCATTTCCGTTCTCCGCCTGCCAAACTTAGCCAAGCACTTGGACGCCGTGCAGCCTATGTTGGACTATATAAGAGATCGAGCCTGCTCAGCAACTGCGTTGCTACCTAGTTTGGCCCGTAATATTTACCAGAATGGCAGCAGCTGAATATTTCTCGAACGTGCCAATGGCTCATCCTAGCCCCTCTCCATATACGCAGGGTGGACCTATGTCACACCCTCAATCAAGTCCGCAAGTGCCTCAGGTACAGATGCAACAGCCACCACCACCACCACCTTACCAGGAACATCAGGAGCACAAGCCTGGTGTTCACTTCGCTCCTACACCCGTCGACCTTCCTCAGAGACATTCTTTCTCTGGTCCCAGGCCATCGCAACCATGGAACCAGCAATCTTATCAGAATCCTTATCAGCAGCAACTAATTCGACCACAAAACGGGTATGGTACACCTCCGAACAACGCATATGATCAACCTAGACCTCAGTATCTCAGCCCACACATGCAGCCGTACGCACATCCCAATCCCTCTCGATACTCGATAGACAATGGGGGATATTCGTCCGATCCCGAACAACGTAGGAGGCGGCACGAGCACAGAACACGACGTGACAGTGGCGAAAGCCGTGACCTCAAGTCAAGCAAGCACAAATCCAGGTCCGCCAACGCGGACGCCTTCTTGGGCGCAGCTGGAGGTGGCCTGATTGGCGACCTCATCTTTCCTGGTCTGGGTACAATTGGTGGTGCAGCAATTGGCTGGCTCGGCGGCAAAGATTACGCACACCACAGGAAAGGAAGAGAAGACAAGAGAGCAGGCGAACAGAGGCGGTGGGAGGAGAAATACGGGCCTGAACATCATCGTAGGAGCAGAAGTCGAGAGCGAAGCAGTGGCAGGAGCTCACAATTAGGCGAGAAAGATGGTTACGACAGACACAGCCGACATTAAATTGTATAGTGATCGAGAGGCCTTTGATGATAATGAGCGACGAGTCACGATGTAACATGATCATGAACAGCTGGTCTGTTCGTGTGATAACAATCTAATATATAGTATGAAAGATATGTTCTGGGCTCTTGAAGCCAATCAGATTGAAACTCCCGTATACAGCTTGTTGCTACATTGAGAGAAACGAATTCGCTTCCGCAAATATTATCTCTCACACCAATATCATGGACTACCCTTGTAATAAGATGCTGATATCATTTCACTCAACTCCGGGGACTTTCCTACTGCCTGGATGCCTGGACGAGATAATGTAGTGTTTCTTTTCATGCATCTTTCTATACATTACCCAATCACGATGTATGTGCTTCGCCAGCACTATAACAAGTGACAGTGGCGTGGCCTACTGTATGCTTTCAATGCTGAGAGCGTGAGCATGGTGCAACCTCTGAGCTCTTGACCTCTGCGACAATCATCTCGAAGAACTCAAAGAGGTAAGAAAGACAACCTGCGAATTACCACGATGAAGGATAATGCCGTCACTGTAAAGCACAATCGCAACAGAGCACTCGCACCAGAAAGGCCTTCTCGGCAGAGAGGTAGACCCTTGAGAAGTTCAGCGTACCTAGAGCGCAACAGAAAGCACCACATCATCAACAAGTTACGAAAACATCACGCGAAAGTACAAGCCGAGATGGAGAAGGCGGCGGACAGACTGTCGACGTTCGAAAAGCTTCCTGTCGAGCTAATCCAGCAGATATTCTTCTATGCACTCGAGGTCAATTTGCCTAGTGCATCAAGACACCTACGACAGGTACTCTCGGACGATCTGATATATAATGCTCTGATCATTCTTGCCTACTTTGACGATGATCTACGCAACCCAGTCGAAAGTAAACATTTCTTGCCTGCAGAATACCGCAGGCTCAGCTGTGACGGGAAGGTAAGTCTGCAGAAAAGCATTTTCACCTGTCGATGGTGTACATATCAACGAATCGTGTCATGTCTGCCCGCTCTTTCTAGATTGGCAATGGTTCAAGCATGGCACTCGGAGCATAGTCAAGATGACTCACACGAGCCAGGCGTGGATACAACAGGTCAAGATACTCCAATCGTTGCAAACCAAGCTATTCGAGAGCTTGCGCCTTTGCCGAAACTAGATGAGCTGGAGAAGCTCGAACAGCATTACTTGGCGCGAGCAACTCTAGGAAAACTAGGCACCTGGGACGCCTCGAACGTCCACCAGAATGGTTATCTTCCGCGTATTGTCACGTGGTCCTCGACACTAGACAAGCAGGGAGGCATCCACAAGGGCATCGACCGGTCTGTCACAATTCTAGGGGCTCGTCACATTTCAAGCTGGCTACTAGGCTGCAGTGTCTGGACGACTGATCGACTGTCGTTGCTTCAATTGCTTCGACAAGGCTATACTTTTATTCAAGATGATCACGTCATGAGCATATCTGTACCAGCCGTCTTCGAAGGCATGCGAAATGCTATCAGGACTGGTCACGCCATTGCGTTGAAGACCTTGTTAGAGCTTCATAGCGCCTTCTTCAAGACTGGAGCGTCGACCTTCCGAAGCATGATGTTTGTTCAATTGACTCCGCCTACACTACACTCTCTACCTCTTGACCTATTCCACCTAGCCGCTGAGCAGGGAACGCTTGCGACTGAACTTCTGACGCTGCTGCTTCGTGCAGGTATTGACGCGTTGCCGCACGACGATGAAGTGGTCACGACGTGGGCCGTGCACGAGTCTCACAACGGGAATGCTCTTGCAGTGTGGCTATTGAAACATATGGAAGGGACGGCCAACTATGGACTACCTAGACGTAGCCACCTTTTTGTCGATGGCTGCCTCTCATGGCGGGCTAGAGGAGACTTCCCGTTCCCAGAAACCACTTTTGCCTTTGAATTAGACTATATTGCAGGTACACCTGTAGCCCCTCTACTGAAGCCTGCAGACTAAGAGACGAGCGCTATGCGGCTACAGGCAGGATAAAGCCTGCGGTTTGCAGCCTGTCTCGTGATGAGCAAGTGTCAAAAATGAGCTTTCTTGGCTCATTGTGTTTGGGCGCAATCGACGCAGGATGCGAGCCAGGACGAAACTGACGGTGCTGCAGGAAGGTAGTTATTAATATCTCGACAGCAGTAGGCTTAGAACTTCGGCCGGATGTGCGTCACTATGAATCCTTCCGGTCGTGCAAAGGCTGCCCAACGATCATGCGATTGGTGCCCGAGTCACCAAACACGAAGGCACCTGAAGAGGCCTCAAGTCACCTGAAGCGATGAATCAGGCTCGTTTCACGCGCTGACTCGGATTGCGAGGCGACGCCGATACAAACGCGAGAGTTTCTGGTGGCTAAGCTGGGACCTGCACATCTAGCATAGACCTGACCTACAATGACACGACAATGAGGCAGCTCCGTGTACGGTCATTCTATTAGTGTATCCAACTAGTACATTCTGCGTCTATTTGGGAGAGCCGCGTGATTTAAACCTTACGCTTCACCACGTCGGTGTGTCGTCTTTGAGCTTGAGTACAGCGATCTGGCTGGCTGAATTGCTCAGCGTCAAGCAACACGGTGCGCTGATTGCGCTTACAATAACCATTCGTTTTGTAGTTTCGCCTTGGTCTCAGCTTGGATCAAGTGACATGAAAGTGATGTGGTGTGAAGGAGCGCAAATCGCCTGGATTTAGTGCAAGATGAGGGATGCAATAATGATCTCGTGGCTAGCTCGGATCAGGATTGGTGCACAGAAGAGATTCAAAAAGCGTGTCTGGTGCGAGCCTGAGGCCATATTGCGTGCCTGCCATTGGTTTACCAGGCAGCACAAAACAAACTAATTCTGGGAAATGGCGCAGCAGCCTTGGTATTCAGGCTCCACTGTACGAGCTCAAATTTTAGCGTGTCGGAAAGTGCTGCTATATAATGTGGCCTGAGGCCGTCATCGTCGTTCACGTTGAACTTGCCTTTCTTTTCACCCTTCCGTGCCGTTCGCTTTCCGTGAAATTTGATGGTGCACTACTGTGGCAAGTTTCAGCTGCTAGTTCAGCAATTTTTCCAACTGTGTTTACGCAAGCCTTTTGGCCTGAACACCTCAAAGTCATAAATCCCCAAGTCCGCGCTTTCGTTTTTGCCTCTCCAAGGCATCTTCGATTTTCACCATTCCCAGCCACAAGCCAACGTACCTCGTGGCCTAGGTTGAATTGAATCAAGACGACAATAGATATCACGCGTTGGTCGCGCGCGCGATTTTGAGTTATCACTTCCTGAGGATATTCACATATCGCTATCAACCCTCGACCGTATCATCAAACTCACATACTCTTCACCTTCTTATAGCTCAACCACATCTCCGGCAGCTGTACTTCTCGCTGGAGACCTTTGATAATGGCACCGCACGCTCATGTACCGGCGCCACGCAACACAATAGAGACCTATTCGGCACGACCAGAACGAGAGCCGCCTCGAAATGAGAAGGGCGAGATCATCTGCCAACATGAAGCCTGCCAAGGCAAAACGGAGACTTTCAGACGGCCTTGTGAATGGAACAAACATATGGACAAACATGAGCGACCGTATAAGTGCAATGAGCCAACTTGCGAGCAAAATCCTGGCTTTACCTACTCTGGTGGTCTTTTGCGACACATGCGAGAAGTACACAAGAAAGGCGTCGGTCCGACTAGAAAGCCACTTTATTGTCCTCACGCGAACTGTATCCGGAGCACCGGCGAGGGTTTCACACGAAGAGAGAACTTGGAGGAGCATCTACGAAGAAGGCATTCTTACACTGGTCACTATTCGCCTCCCCCTCAATCGATTTCATCTCAAAACGAAGACGGACAGGATCAGCCACGCAAACGACGCAAGACTGCAGAGCCAGACTCGCCACTCGATGGACAGCAAGTCCAACTTGATCAGAACCAGATCCAGCACCTCACCGAGTCGAGGCGCGATTCTCAGACCCTTCGAACTGATCCACAACTCCTAGCAGCAGACAGAAGCCACACTAATGGCAACGATGCAGACCTTGACCGAGCGGAAGCTATTCGCCAATTAGCTCTAGCTCGTCAAACGATCACAGATCAGCAGGAAATTATCAGACAGCAAGACTATGAATTGCAGCATCTTCGTCTGGCGGTACAAAATTCCGCACCCGGCGCACCATACTCTACGAGATCATCAGAAAGAAGTCTGACAGCTCTTGCTGATGCTCCTGGGGCTTTACCTGTTCATCTCCCACAGCATGAGCTCTACGAGGCTGTTCAAGCTATTGCAGATTCCCAGGCCAATGGAAATACACATGTTTCAGGGCCTATTGCCCAGGCGTTGCAGGCGAGTCAGGGCATACAGACACTCGAGCAGCAAGCAAGAGACGAAGAAGGCAATCCAGAAAATGGTCAGGATACTTCTGGGCGAATTGAAATTGGCAGAGATCCTATCGCCGAGAGGCAAGTAGCTGCATAGGCATCCTGAGCAGGCATTGCAGGCAGCATCTGTGATCGACGTGTATGGATACCTGGGCAAACTCTACCACCTTTGCCACACGGCAAGTCCGACCAGAAATTACGAGGAACCTGTCGTGCACAATCATTCTCGTGACCATATGGCCTGCAGGTCGCCACCGCCACGCGAGAATATTCTAGGCTTTTCCAATAGAGCTCATCTATACAAATGTATGTCGTACGCAACAACCGCGACACTGCTGATACTGGTGTCTTGACTAATGACGGAGTCGGAACGACATCCTGGGACACGGACTACGAAACACATCACAGAGGTAGCATGTGCTAGACACAGCAAGAACGGGCTTGAGAAAGCATTTGAATTCTACCATATCAAGTTCTAACCTTCTACGGGTTGCTGCTAACATCAATTGTGGCCATTCATACTGGAGGCAATGCTAGATCCTTTGTGCATTACTTCACAATCCACAAGACTGCGAGACTATGTTGTATCTGCCGCCGACATCATTGCAGAAGTAGGACTTTATTCCGCATACACAATGCATTTGCTACAAAGCGTGGGAGGGTTGCGGCAGCAAAACAAAGCAATCTTAACACAGCGCAGCTGCCTACACTCACAAAGCTGGTAGGGCTATGCGTCGAGGCCATAGAGATCAGTCAGAACAAGCTGTAGAAAATCACGACTCTCTGACAAGCTTGTTACTGTTCCTCAGTCTATCAGTACTGGGGTACAGGTGTAACATTGTACATGCCCTAGGACCACATCAGAGATTGTCGTGTACTACTTACAGCAACCTTGCAGCTACATCAATTACGTGCTATTCTGTATTACAATATCCTATGGATTCGCTCTTGTCGCACTTCCTTAATAGTTTTCTATTCACTACACATCTGCCTCCAAGCAACCATTCACTCATTCTAGACTATACCTGTGCTCTTGTGTTTAACCTTACCAGGTCGACTCTGTCGCAAATATAGCCCGAGCCTGCTCTAAACGCCTGATGCCAAGCCGTCCGTCCTGTCCTAAGATGACCAACCAACTAACCAACGTATCAAATTGAAGCTGATATCCCGCTAGAGTAGCTGAACTCGAAGTATCGACTATGTACTGACTGTTTCGTTTGGATCCGGACAGAAGCGACGTGCAGCGTGCAGTATCCGGGGCAAGGCACTGCTATAATTGGCTCGTTCGCTTGAAAAGCACACGCGGTACCGCGAGCTGCTAGTTTATTCGACGTGTTTTGAGCCTTTTCAGCTTGCATGGTCACTTGGACGGACTACTTCGTATGTACTTCAGTCAATGAACGAGGGAAAGAGGAATCATGAGATTGTTTTCATATTTCAACAACCGTTCTGCATTTAAAATCCATGCGAAGATTACTTTCTATTCCGTGCGGAAACCAAACTTGTTGGCCATCGGTCCCGAGGAGGGCGCATTGGGCTGTTTTCAGTAGATGCACAGAACCAATGCCATTCGTCCTCGTCGCGACGGAAGGCGTCTTTATGTCGCACAATCAACCTCGAGAACGTGGCGCAAGCGTTGCCACATCACGGCAGCCGTCCTTGGCTCAGGTGATTGGAAGATATCGCGTGATTTCGTGCTTGGTCATGGTTGACGTACTCAATGTTGAGGCGAGAATGACACATGTTGTTAGACAGAAGTCTCAACGGCAAGTTAGCATCGAGGAGATAGTCATAGCTCAACGCAGACAAAATGGCTTCTATCCTAGTGATTATCATCCAGAGGTATTCCCCCTAAGTCCACCCCCCATCAACAACAACATTCTGATTCGTAACACCACCACTATCATCTGCAACAAGCCACAACGCTGTCCTCGCAATATCCGCCGGCTCTATCAGCCTATTCAACGCCTGCCTTTGCATAATCATCGCAAGATACTCCGGCGTATGAACATCGCGCACCTCCGCCTCCGTAGCCACAGAACCAGGCATGATACTATTGACCCTGATACCCCTAGATCCAAACTCATGAGCCAACGTCCGCGTTAAGCCGACGACTGCTGCTTTGCACGTGGCGTATGCTAGTGACCCTGTAGATGGGATTGCCCAGGTTATGCTGCCCATGTTGATGATGGACGCGGACCCTGCGGCCAGTAGACCGGGCAGTAGTGCTTGAGTAAGAAAGAACTGGTGGCTGAGGTTGACAGCGAGGCTGGCGTTCCAGATGTCGGATGTAATATCCTGAGTTGGCATCCTTTGCGCTTTGGCACTCCCTGCAGCGTTGTTGATCAGACCGTGGATCTGAGGATACTCAGCTAGTATCTTGGCTGCGACTGGCTTGAGCGCTCCATCGATATCTGTAAGATCGCACTGGTGGAATATCGGAGCGTGAGTGACTTTGAGGCCAACGACCTTTTGTATCAGGTCGTTGGCGGCGTCTGCTGAGATGTCGAGGAAGATGACGCGGCAGCCTTGTAGTGAGAAGTGCTCGACCATAGAGGCACCGACTGTTTCAACAATCAGCTTGAGAAGAACTCACATAAGTGTATGTAGGCCACGATTAGGACTGTTGACGAGCTGTGAGCTTACTTACTGCCCATCGCACCACCTGAGATGACCACAACCCTATCAGCGAGGCTAGGGTAGACCGCATATCTATGCTTGGACGCCATTTTCACCTTGTCCTGTTTCCGGGAGGTCGAGGATTTGGGTAAATTCGATACCTTCAACACACATGGGCATATCCTACTCACTGAGTGTAGAAGTCCACCTTTTGGATTTCTCATGAATCTGAGACAAGCCACAAATAGGGTAGACGTGGCCTAGAATACGGTTGACAATTGCGGGCTCATGTTCCGCATTGGTCTCGAGTACGAAGGTAATTGCTTATTATTTTGGTGGAATGAATGCTATTAAGCAATTAGATACAAATTGGGGCTGCCCATTCACTGCGCCAACACAAAGCAGAAGCCCAAGTGTTACATCAAACGCCTCTTGCTTCGATACGGACCATTGTTGCTTGATTGCAGACAGGTAACCCACCAAGGCTTGCATAGCACAAGCTGTTGTGCCGCCAAAACCAATTCCCTATCCATATCCTATGCGGCTTATCACCACTTCCTGTGATACGATATCTAAAAGACTGTCTGTGATTTCGACAACTCCACCACATAATTTGTCCCTAAATACCCAAGTGAGCATGGACAACTTCTTTACTTATGGACCGATGAAGAATTTAGCGCATTCTTCGATCTCTGGATCACCATTGGCAAAATCCCAGCCGATGATGCGACTGTCCTGACTACAACACACGATTCGGCGGGCATCGAACTGGAGTTTGAAGACCCTGCTCACACTCTGCCCCTGAGCTTGCTGCTGTTGCTGCGGTGCTGTGTTGGTTTGAGTATTTTGGGGCTGCGTTCTGGTAGCGGTCGCTTGTTGACTGCGAGCGTTCGAGCTTCCCAACGGTTCACCCGAGGTGTTGTTTGGATGCGCCTCTCTGGTGGCAGTACTGGAGGCACTGTTAGTGGTGCTTTGCATTTGCGTCGTGATTTGATTGACTGCAGTTTGAACAGCTGGACGAGTTGAGCTACCACCAAGCATAGTGCTAATGTTGGTAATATTCCGCACACCAGTCTGCACACTTGCGAGAGATGTGTTCATGGCAGCTTGCATGATTTGTGAAGCAGTCATCACATTGCCATTTCCCAAGCTTGCAGTATTGCTCACAGCTACATGATCAGGAGCAGTATTAGGTCGCCGCAGGCCAAAAGGGTCATTTAGTAATGGCCGTTCGGCAGTATCTTCAGGTCGAGGTCTTGTTCGTCGTGAGGTGCGTGCTGCTGTTGTATGAGCATTTGCATTGCCATCAATACTGCTTTGTGTATTCTCGTCTTGCTTAAGAGTTTGCCCGACTACCCAATGACCAAGCGAGTCTTTCTTCCAGATGATGATCGATTCGTCGTAGGATCCAGACACGATCCGTGCCCATTTGCTGCCGCCTCCGCCAGGAGGTAGGCGCGATCCGATGGTAAGTCGTGATGTTCCAAAATCTCCGTTACGCAAGCGGCGACTATACAAGCGATCTTCGACGAGTCTCCCAGACTCGACATCTTCTTCGTACTTTTGCTCCGCTGCTCGAGCAGCAGCGAGCTCCTCTGCTTCGATGCCGGGACCGTCACCAAACCCGGCTTGCACGGTCCGCACAAGGTTGGTATGGCCGAGCAAGGTAGCAACCTCGGTGCTCGTAGTGGCGTCATATATGCGAACAGTATTGTCACTGCTGCCACTGACTATTCTTCTACCATCGTACTGTACACAAGCAATACCTTTCTGATGACCAGGGACAGCCTTTGTACAATGACCAGTAGAGAGATCCCAAATTCGGATAAGTCTATCGCCACTGGCGGAGACGATCGTATTGCCGTGAATCTGAATAGCATTAACGGCCGCGTTGTGACCATCGAGAGTCATAAGATGCGTGTATGGCTTCAGACTTTTGTAGACACCACTAGCCATGCCTGCTTCAAGCAGATTGATATCTAACCTCCTGATGTCAATGATATGTGTAGGTACAAAGACACCTGAACCGGTCCTTGCAGTTGGATAATCCGGATCAGTAGGCAGGAGAGCATGTCGATTCCAAATTTTGATGTTCTTGTCCTTCGAGCACGTCACCAAGTATCGACGGTCGAAACGTAAGTTGAGTACAGATTCGTCATGAGCGTGCTGGATTGTTTGGACTTTCTGACCAGTGGAGAACTTCCAGATAATGATGCTAGAGTCACTGCTTCCAGAAACAATGATGTCTTCTTGTGGTGTCGGGTCGAATTGTAGACATAGGACGGATTGAGAATGGCCCACAAGTGGCTTGCCACGTAGTCGCCGCGTGTCCAAGTCCCAGACCCTTAGTGTCTTGTCTCGACTACCACTCACTAACCATTTGCCGAAAAATTGTATGGTATACACACACTCGCTGTGAGCTTCGTGCGAATAGTTGGGGTGTGGGAGGGAAAAGTTGGTGAAGCGGCCTTTGAGCCAATTGTTTTCCAGCTTTTGACGTTGCTTGTAAAGGTATGCCCAGTCCATACGGCCATATCCGGAATCGTCAAGCAGGATCAAATTAGATGCAGGTAGAGGGTCAATCGGTGGGCTGGAATTATGGTCAAGATACATCTCATCACCCGAATCTTGACTTGATCGCTTGTTCGGCCTTTGAGGCGACTGTGCAGTCACATCGGCCATGATCTCATCCTCTTTCTCGTGAGCAGTATCCATGTCAGCCTCGACGATGCCATGTTGTTCTTTCCAGCCCGCGACGTCTGTAGAGACACGTCTCGGAGTAGACTTCAGCCAGTCTGAGGTAGCTCTTCGCTTGAATAGTGATTGGCCTTTTTGTGCAGAAGGTCTTCTCCTCTCACCCGTTCCTCTCTTGAACTCATTGTGTGCAGAATCTGAATATGCCTCTTCGAAGCGTCTGACCTCTTGCGCGTCAATACCCCAACCTTCTGACTTATAAAGATCCTGCCATAACCTCGGATCGAGTATTCTCTCCCGCCATGTAGATGATGCCAGAGAAGCCGTGAGCAGAGTCGAAGCGTCGAGGTGCGAGAAGACGTGCGAGATGATCTCGGGCGGTAGTTTCTCGATAGGGTCCATGTGTAGGAGGGGATTAAGCCTTTCGACAACCGCTGCTATGTCGGTTGAGCGCAGAGTGCGCAGGATCTCGTAGGCTATGTCAGCCTTTGCTTCGTCGGATTGAGTGTTCAACCATGCTACGAAACTGTTCTGTATCTGGTCTCCATGTTGCTGTGAATCTTCAGCGAATCCTTCGTCGAGTTTGAAAGAGCTTGAGGTTGAGTTAAGCCGGGAGTCTTGTTGCATATGCAAATCGTCCATGGCCGTAGTGTTTCCGTAATTGGGGTTGTACTGCTCTTACTCTTTTTCAAAGTGCAACAGTAACATGGTAGGTGTAACAGGAAGCGACTGTCGGTAGATAATGACATTCGGGTCTTTCTGTCGACGGTGCAACTACTAAGCGAGAGGGCAAGGCAGCATTGAAAGGCAAGAACAAGGCACAGATGCACGAGGAGCCGAGCGAATCGTCATTGTGTTGTGATGGGCAGGCGTGGTTCGCACTTGCCGCAAGCCACGCACCGGCATGGTCGGAGGGGCTAATTACTTTCTCAGGCGCAGCACACTGGCCCTTTCGCACTGAAGCTTGGGCAGTCTTCAAAAACCGCTTCGGGCCCTGAGCATATTCACTTTCAATTGCAGTGTGTGGTAGCTTCTAGCGCTGTTGTACAGCCAAGCACTCAGCCATGTTCCGACTAGAACGAATGCGAATTGTTGTCTATCTCAACTTAGGGTATCTCTGAAAGATCATGAATTCGTACGCCATGCTGCGACCTCACTTCTGCTTTTTTGCTTCCTCGTCGTCACTATCCGCCATGTCCCAACTACCTTCCGTAGTCTCACCTTCACTTTCCCGTTTGCGACCTCGTTCTTTCATGGCTCCCCTAATGCGTTTGCTAACCTCATCCATGCTTACTTTCGAGTCGATGCTACTAAAAGCCTTCATGCCGTTGTCCCTGCTATTCAGAGCCCCTCCAGCGGAGCTACTACGACTCCGAGACTTTGGCGTATGCGGCCTCGAGGCGAAGAAACCGAACGACCCGATATCAGCAAAATCTGCGTTCTTCGGAAGCAGTCCGAAGGACTTCCCAGTCGGTGTTCTAGGTTCTTTATCCTCAAAGTTTAGGGACGTGGGTGTTGATGGTTCTGTGGCCTCATCTATCTTTACGTTGTCAGGCAGCTCCCTGTACTTTGACTGATACGCGCCCTCCTTGTAAGGATCGGCTACTATCCTGTTGGCATCGAAGTCAGGATATACCTCAGGTCCTAACTCGTTGACCAGATCTGTAACTTTCTTTGCTAGTGCCTCTCGCCGCAATCGTACTTTTGCTAGGGCGCCTGCGGAGCGAGGATCAAGAGCAGCAAAAAGTGGTGGCAGTGACTTGAGGACGTCCATGCCGATCTCTCCAATCCTCAACGCAGCGAATGTGAGTGCAACGTACAAAGCCAAAGAACAGACAGCAAACAACTTGAGGGGCACCCAATCAGGCACGTAGCTCCTGGTTCTCATCCACCAAGGAACTCGATATGTGTAGTAGCCATCATTCCTGTTGTATGCTAGCCATGCGGTGATGATGGCCATGTAATAGATATAGAGAGCCGGGGTGAATGCCATTGCGACGAGCAATTTCCAGGTTGTGACGACATCTCGGCCTTGCAGCTTCACCGTGGACGCTGCCAGTGCTTCCCTCTGCTTTTTGACAGAGATGACCTTGGTGACGACAAAGACAGGCCAAAACATAGCCAGGCCTGGCAGAGTCCCGGCAAAGAGTACTAGTAGCTCACCCAGGCGGTACAGCAGGACACCGAGAATGTAGTACCATGGACGTTCCTTTACGTTGCCCCACTGGACTTGATGATCTGCCACGTGAAGCGTCCTTAAGCGGCGGTTGTATTCCAGGACATCCTTCCTCAACCCGATCACTCGAGGGTCATCTTTGTACTTTGTGTAGCCTTGAATGAGCCGACGATTCAGTTCTACCACCACAGGGAGTGGCAGCTTTTTCCCGTGAGGATTGTAGAGCCTTCTGGCAGCTTGTGCCAACATGAGTGTGTCATAGTCTGGGCTAGATTGGGTAACGGAAAGCAAACCCTGGAAGACAGTCTCAAGTAAGGAACCAACCGCGTTTCTACGGTCGCCTGCTTTGTATTTTGCAACTTGCTCAGGGTGGACTTCAATAGGGTGGCCAAACTCGATTACTGCTCGTGACCGGAATTTATTGGCGTTAAAGTAATTCATGCCAACTGGGATGATTTTGACATCGCAATCAGGATCCTTTGCCAACGCGCCCAATGCCATGATTGCAACACCAGCTTTCAGTGGCAGCAGATCAGGTCGATCATGGCTACCACCTTCGGGGAAGATACCGATACAGCCCCCTGCCGAGAGCTCATCGAAAACTTCCTCGTAGACTTTTGATTGATCAACGAACGGAGCTACTTTGAAAGATGTGCCCTTGGTCTTTGTGTCGTCGCCCTGGTTCAAAGCATTGGTTTCAGTAAGCATATCGATAGCTTCCCTTGTCTTAAAAGGCTTCTTCAAACGCAGTTCAGTCGGCGAGATGATCTCTGCAATTTCTGTACTCGGTGTCTGATTTCCAACCTTGGGCAGCACTATCAGTCCACCAAGCTCGCAGTCCTTCTGGAAATTTGTGTCGATTCCCCGTAACAAGGTTGGATCAGAGTCCTGATCTGGCAGGAAAACCTTCCCTTGTACAGTTTTGACCTTGTCTAGAGCCCGACCGACTGGTATCGCGCCAATGCCAGTAGACAGTGTCCCAATAAACTTTCTCTTGGTAGACTTCTCCGCAATCAGGTATGATATCCGGCGCTTCGCCTCTTGTTTCATGATTCGCATTAGGATAAGGGAATCGACGAACTGACGAAGATTAGCCTAAGCACTAGCTATGTCGGTGGGATAACAGTACCTGATTCGCATGAGGAGCCGCGACGAGAATGATGGGACCCTGCCGTGGCACTTTCCATGCCCCTCGCGGATGAACCTCCCTGAAGAATAAGTCAACCAGTACAGACATTGCCCAAAGCACAAAGTCGTAAAGCCATGGTATCATACGCGCATTGTGCTTGGTTTTGCCTGCCATATCTGCGCCAATGTTTCGTATACGACTCTCGGCGCCGTTGTTGCAGATTGTGTTGTCAGATGTTATGATGTCTGCCGTGTGCCAGTGGTATTGAATATGTCAACGCGTGTTTGCTCACAGTGGTGGTAAAGAACGAATGAGAAGCTGGCAGAAGCAATTACAGAGTTCGTAACATCGTCAACAGACCATTTGAACAATTTGTATTCTCTGTACATATATTAAGAATTGTATATACAGTATCAATGAAGAAGTCGGCTGCAATATTGACACATGTAAAAATGTTGGGCAAGTTCAAGTTGTTGCGAGTCTGCAGCACCCACGCATGACGAAAGTCCAAACTCCTTGAGGCTGCCACTCGTTCCTGGAGAAGGCGAGGGGCAGCCCGAGGATTCCCCACAAGTTAGCGGCTCCTAGGCCAAGAGACCCACCAAATTGAACTTGCCCGAGCCAGCGACTGTGTTTTTGTGAAACCACATGAGTGTAAATATCGTTCTTTCTAATCATAGTCTCCTTATCAATGGACAGCCCGTATCTCTTGACACTGGTATATTCATTACTGGGACTCGTATGGGCTAGCATATACACTAATGTCATTGTGTATCGGGCATAATTGATCAACCAATCTTGCCATTTGACTACGTGTAGATTACCTAGATGAAGACAACTCGTCAGCACAACTCGAACCGGACAGACACGACTGGCAAGGAAGGAAGACAGAAAGCGACTTACCTCCGTCACGCTGTTCACTTGCACACCCCATTTTGCCATTTCTTCTTCGCACAAGAAGTCTAATGGCATCCAGACAAGGTGTCCCCTGATTTTATCCATCTCCTTCTTCACTGTGTCGACAGGCATGTAAGGATCGTGCAGATGGCCTTGTTTCACTGTATCACGAGGCGAGAATCTGTCGTAGTCCTTCCATGTTTTGATGTGATCGTCAGGATCAGCTCTGAACAGGTATCTGTATACTTGTGTGTTCGTACTCGCCTGGGTGCACCATAGATCCCACAGATGGTCGTTCAATGGATCAGCTACTGCATCCCATTCCTCACCACTATATTCCTCGTTCATGGCATGTGTTGGCGGCTGAGCATTCGGGTCGTTCGTTCCATCCAACTCTTGAGCTTCGATGATACCCAGGTGTTCGCGCCAAAGATGGCGACGAAGGCTCGCGGCATGATAACCAGCTTGGTACGGCTGTCCATCCATTGTCGATTCAAGCACACGACGATCTTCCATCACTATTGACAGCTCGGAATCATGATATCCAAGTTGTGATCGATCATTCAAGTTGGAACTGCCGCACACAACAATGCGGTCATCCACAATTAGTAGTTTGGCGTGGATGTAAAGCTCCTCCTGGACAAAATGTTGCTTCTCTCCTTCTTTATCCTCGCCCTCCCAAACTTCCTCTGTCACCGTACCTCCGCGTGCCATCGCATCTTCCGCGATAGAATCGGCCGAGTGAATTGGGTCTTCGACGTCCATGTTATTCCTGGATTCTTCAAATCTTCGCTTTCGGTCAATAATTCGCTGACGTTCATCATCGCTGATTTTTTGACCAGCGGTCTTTGAACCTTTCGACTCTTTCTCTTCCTTCTCCCCTTCGTAACCGTGAATGCCAGTGCCCATAATCTCTTCAGCTTCTGCACGTTGAAGTTGTTGATAGGTGACACCTGATTCTTCCTCTTGTTTTACAAGCGCAGGAGTCTTGTTGATACGATCATAGGCTCGGAGATTGAAGCAGAAGATATATTTACTGGGATCATAACCTGCTTTGGCAATTTGACCCATAATACTGTGCTCTCCCCGATTGATGGACTTGTACTGGTAGTTCATAATGGCTCGGGTGCCTGCTGCAGCATCTTGACGCAGATCACCAGCAAATCCAGGGATCGCAGGTATGATAATAATCACTCTGAACTTTCGATTCTCCTTTGCCGCTCTGATACACGCATTCACGATTGCGCGGCCGATCGTGTTCTCGACTGGTTTCTGCTGATCACCTGTTGCCGTTATGAAAAACTGGTTTTCAATGTACACGAAGTGTTCTGCCTTTTCAATGATTTCCGCATAAGCGTTCTGTATACTGTGATCAGTCAATATTCCACTGGACCAATCCGCACTACTTCGGACAATCTGTGCCTTGACCGAGCCCTGACCTTGAAGATTCTTGGTCTCCAATGGACTTAGAGGATGTTCCACATATCTACCGACTGGATGTTTGGGTCTTTGCACGCCAGTCAGGTCCTCGTCTGGGCTGTGGCCGTTAGCTCTAGACAACGGAGTAAAACATATCCAGTCAACTGTTTCGTCGCGCTTGTACTTGTCACGCTTGATGAAGTTCCAACGAAGGACAAAGTGTTCGGCTATATCCAGAACACACTCGCCAATGAGTCCCATCGCCACGTCGTGCCAAGGCATTCGGCCAAAGTCAGTCTTTTCGAGCTCGTTGGCAGCCCAATCCTGGACAGATTGAAAGTCCATGATTCTGTTGTTGTTGTAGTCTTGGCCAGGCCAGACCTCATTCTGCACGCCTGAGGGGTGAACATCTGCTAGCATGTGATGACGAACATCCCATCTTCCATAGCACATATCAAGACCACCAATGAAAGCCATGTGGTAGTCAATCACAATGAATTTCTCGTGATGAGCCCAATAAAAGGTCATATCGCCTAAATTCTCGAACAAGTTATGGTCAGGATGTCGCATAACGTGAATCTTGCCGTGTCCAGGAGTGCCTGGGGGACACAGTGCTCTCAAAGCATGCTTTGTGTGCGCGGAGTTGCATGTCAATGCTTGCGCAACTTCTTTGTAGACACAGACATAGACCTCAACACCTCTTTCGGCGGCTCGCTTAATGGTCTGATCTAAACGCCATTCTTGATTGAAGAAGGCAGGTCGACGAAGAAATAGCTCTGGCGACAACCACCAATCAGCGATGTAGATGACCTCCTTGGCCTCCTCTATGGCTATGGACACAGCCCAGAAGTAATCGCGACCATCTACATACCACTTGATTTTGTTGTCGTCGCGCTCAGGGAAGTACGAGTGGAATCGATGCTGGTCACACACCGAAGTACGTTTGCGATCGGTCTCTTTCTCATGCTCTTCATCGTGACGATGGTTAGGATTGATCACGTTGCCCAATTTACCAACCTTGTTCTTGAAGTGAAGTGCCTCGATCTTTGCATCATGGAGTTTGGAATCTTGTCAAGGTGTTAAGGCTTTAGATATGCACTCGCCAAGGGGCCACTCACCTCGGAGCTTCTCACGTAGTTTCTGCATCTCACCTGAGGCGTGCTATGGTGCCACCTGTACGTTGAGAGAATTGATGTTGAACGCGACCAAGATCCCAAATTCACGTCCCTGGGTGGGGGTGTGACAACACAGGCCAACTTTCAGTGAAGCAACAACTTTGAGGTACCAAGACACAGCTCACAACCTCGAACGCGCGTGGTTAATTTGCAAATGCAAGCACGACGACTAGAGCAGCAAATATACTCGTGCTTAGACAACAAATCCTGAAAGTGCACGCGCGGCTTCCACTGTCCACATGCAGTGGTTTCAGTGTCTGTATGACGCACTTCGATGTAACTTATGACTTGGCTACAGGACGCCAAAGCTTGGTACATGATTACAGATTTACAAATACTTCGCTTCTCACCCTCACGTATTAACTTCGATTATGTGCTCACTTATAACTCTTCCCATTCATGTTCTTGCTAACGAATGCTACAAGACAGATGTTACATCTCCACCATTATCACCATTGCGCTGTTTGGTCCCAGCTCAAATTGAAACGCACTTGTATCCACCTGCTCTCACGTTCTTCTTGCTATACTTCGGCAATATCGCTGCAAATGCTTCGAAAGCATTGGCACCTTGACCAGGGGTGAACGCTTTTGTGGCATACCCCTGGCAGTTTCCTGCCGAGTACCATGTACATTTACCATTGAAATTCTCGCCGATCTGCAAATGTTGTTAGCTGTTACTCGAACCACGATAGAGGCTCTTGAACCCAATATCGTCGTGCGCGTGTCCTTCAGGATCCAACACTAATGAATCGAACTTACCAGGAAACTATTCCCACCCTTCCAGACGTCAAGCCAATAACATTTGCCAAGTTCTGGAATTATATCTGCGCAGTTACGAAGGTCTGGCAGACCACAATTCCTGACCCAGTTTTCTTCGGCCACGGCAGCAGGTGCTAGGGCTGCTGCACAGAGCAGGACATTGAATTTGGTCAAAAGCATCTTTCGTTATGAATTATGTTGATCAGCGAAAATTGTGATTGAGTGTTGGTTTCTCAGCTGGTTGATTGAATTCTGTTCGTCTCGATCGAGGGTGGTATATGACTGAAATCCTCGCCTTTGTCTGCATGATAGACCGAAAGCACAAAGAACCCCAATGCATTGTGTGCGGCGCGGTGACGAGTTCACTCGTCTGTGTTTATCTTGATATGCACATGACATGAGCCGGTCCGTGTTCATCATGTGCACGGACATCACACAATGACTGCTTGTGATGGCCGCGGATGGCGTTTCAACGAGCTGCATTTTTCTGAGGGAGAATGAAACTGAGACGTTCCCTCGTTGTGGCAGCAGTTCTGTTGTAGACTTAGTCTTTGTGGTCGATGCTGTGGATCGCAAAGTCTGGAGATAGTCGTTGCGGCCATCACGAACTTGTCCACTCCTTGACTCGTCCAGGACCTTATCACACATAATCAACAAGACCTGTAGATTACCTGTGCACCAGGTTACAGCCATGAGATATTCAAGCTTTGCTCGTCAAACCTCGATAGCTGCTGTGCGTCAATGAGTATAATACTGTTCTTGCGTTCCTGACTCACAGGTTTTCGGAAAGCACACAGGTTTCGCTATCGAGCTGCAACCATTGAGCAATAGAAAACGTAGGACGAGTACACGAATTGAGGTCGAGCTGCGATCGTCTATCAGAGCTCGGACACCGTCAATCGGCGAGAACGAGTTGGACGCAGTTTACCAGAATAAAATCCTCGTAATTATGGGAGTAAGACGTTCGGAAATTTGGGAACAGTAGGTCAAGCATTGCCATATAGCAAAGATTAGCAAAGCCAACTTAGAAGAACACTGTCGTCTAGTTCCTGTACTGCTGTGCGGAAATGCCTGACTGAAATAACCTTCGCGGTGAGCCACGAAAAATTAGAGCACAGTATGCCGCGATTAATCAGTCGTTGACGTGCTGTCATCATTTCGTAGTCACGAAGTCACCTAAACGCTCAGCGCTCAATACTCGACTCATAGTTCCAGAGATGTTCATGCAGGCAGTAGCATGTCATGTCAGTCTGCACGAAAGTTCCGTCCTCTGTAGACACACCATGACACATAGGCAAAAGCTGTTAGTTGATGAAGATTGAAAAGCTGGCACTACGTAATTATGCTGACATCTGGTTTTATGGACAAACGGCGGCAGTGATATCTCGATTTACTGCAACAAAACGTTCTCTTAATACGTGGCGGTAGTTCTCATTGCCCACGATACAAATCTTTGCAGACTCCATCCATTTGATCCACCTCAGCTACTCCCTTATATTTCAAATCCCCAGATGTTCTCCGCTGCAAATCGACAACGGGTCCAGTATATCACCTTCGCCGACCCCTAGACTGCTAAGGAGAAACTGGTCAGACTCACCACTATCCTGCGCGATCCTCCATCCCATCATATGTGCGTAGTAATTTGGCTCGAAGCACTGACGTGTGGGCAGATTTGCAACTTCATCACCCTGAGCTAATTCACAGTATGGAAAGTCCGTACCGACCTACACATCATCAGTTCGCCGGCTGAGCCAAGCCCGTCAACTCTCACTTACGTTCGTCGATGGTTGCAAGCGTATTGCACTCCCTTGACATCCTCCTGCTTTCTGTGTCTCGTCTAGGGCTGATGTGGCCGCAGCGAATGAGATACTTGAGTAACGAGTTTTTGGACTCCCAAGTATTTGACAACTCTCTTGTACCTCTGCAGAGGGCATTGAGATAAGGCCCTTTCGGAGGCAATAGCGGATGAGTCCGCTACACGATGCATTGGTAGGCGTGGGCGATTGTGCTATTCCAACTTCGGAGCGTTCGAGAACATCACCTCTACGGATCCAACCATATCGTTCGAGATACTGAGATGGCGGCACAATAGGGACAACTTGAGCCGCTACAGAAAGAAAGTCGTCGAGTGAAACCTCGTCGCTAGCGTAGTTGTCCCTTATGTGACTGAAAGCAGCGCTCAAAAGCTCCCAGATTCCATGGTTTAAGTCGTGCTTCCACAGCAGTGCCAGCATTGGTGAGCGGGCTTTCTGTGGCAAGTCCTTGATCAGGCGTGAGTAATACGCTGATGCTGTCAGGACCCAACTATGTCGCAGACATACAGTGAGTACTTACAGCGGAAGGCCATCCACGAATTCACCACTTTGCGTGCTTTTCTTGTGGCATGCTGGCTGTGAATCTTTGTGACAGATGGGTTGACAGAATCAAGCGTTTTCTTTCGCTCGTGAGGAGTTCCATCGAGGGATGTCCGAAAGAGAGCACCGACCACATCTGGACTGATCAGGTCAGGATTTTGCAGCAGAAATTGGCGTTGAAAATTCGATAACGATCGCTCGAATCTCGCAAAGAGAACGATCTTGTTGTCGGCAGCGTCTAAGCCGGCCATCTTGACAAAGCGAGGTATCCTGCTAGACGAGGGCTGGTCGCTGGGGATCATGATACGGCAGCTGCTGGTAGGTTGAGAGGCATTGAGTTACTGACTATCACTAGGTGTCAATTCCTGACCGAAGCTGATTTCGTGAGGCGAAAGCGAGCGTGGCAGGGAAAGTTTCAGACTGAGACCCACCAATCTCAGATTGTTCGTTCGCGAATAATTGAAAGTCCTTTGTTTAGTGACAACAAAGATCCGACGGCTTTGTGGCTTGAATATCCTGCGCACAATCATCTCCTCTGGACAGAAGCAATGCTGTCGATCTTCAATCTCCATAAACTCAAAGAACAGATCGATACGCTTTCGATCTTTATCTAATCAACTATTTGGTGGCGAAGCAAGATGTATATCTATGGTAGGGGTACAGTGGATAGTAAGTATTCAGTCGTGGTCTGATCACACCCAACATTAACTGAAATAACTAGATGCTACAGCATGCATCAGACGGCGATGTTCCTTACAATATCTCCACGGACTGTACCTTGAGCTCTCTCGGGCAAGATCCTTCATGTTTCTCAGCACACCTAGCAGGTCCGAACGCATCAAGCAGTCTGAGAGACTCGACTTTGTAGCACATGAGCTTCAGCGCCTGGTGCTGCATCCTGGTCTCTACCCATCAATTGCTGTCAAAGTAAGATTCGTCAATATATGCTTTCATTTGGATTCTGAATACAACTTCCTGAAGACGTGCCGAAATTTACTGGTCAATAACGAAGTGCGACATATTGCTAGAATATCTCACAATTGCATGACACGAACAAGCTACCTGCATGAAGGATATGGCTGGGAAAATTTTCTGCTTCCGAACAGCCCAGGACTGAGGATCAGCCATAAGCAAACAGAACCTGCCTCAGCGTTCCAAGTTCTCCCCGGCACTGGCATGCGAATATGCTCAGATCTTGCAAAAGACGAAAACGATATACATCTTTCGGTACAGGCATAGTGCTTGAGTTGATGTCGTGGACTTCGCTGACCTTGATAGGCAATCGACCGCAATAAAAAGAAGAACCTGAAGAACCTGCCATTCAATATGGTAAGCACTTTTATCTCCAGACATAGCTTGGGTTGACTATGAAACAGGCGACGCAAGGTCAAAGATGCGCAGTGTTCTCATATCCTGGGCAGTGGCCGACGAGCAGGCTAAGGTATCACTCTCAGAATGTATGTACAGTCAAATTGGGTTCTGTATCAGGCACTGACATTGTTGACTAGATTGTCCTGCAGCCCAGTCCGTTTAGAGAGGTACGCACAAGTCCATTGTATCGTACTACGAATGCTAATCGGTGCTCAGGAAGTTGAAAACCGGCTCGATATTCAGACAAAACAGCCCAGTTCACTGGAGCACTTCTCTCAAATGCTATGTAATTACAGTGATCCACTTCAAAAGAGCTATGACTGACATTGGCCAGATAGATTAGAGCAGCACATGCCTTTCACTAATGCTCCTGCTGCAGCCTTAAACGCCCCTAACGCCTTTCCTATCATGGCACTGCGCTCGTGGCCAAAGCCATTCCGCCACCGCAGTATCAATTACCATGCTTGTTGCCGACAGGCATATAATGCTGCCGGTAGCAGAAATTGGCGACGAGATAAGATTAAGCGATACAGTACAGAAACGGGTTCGAAGAGATGATACATGCAGGAGGTTGCTCGGGAAGTACTACGCTCGAGAACCCAAGGGCATCTCACCCAGCCATCAATCCACCATCCTGCGTTCTACAGATTCATACAACCTCCACTTTTCACTTTGAGACACATTCTCCCTCTTACCCCAACCCTTCGAAACAGACAAGGAAGCATACCCAGCAACCAAGCAACGAAACGACAAGAACACGCATGCCAGCGGAAAGTCAGCTCCATTTCAGAAGTCACAACAACAGTCTATACCTTCCGACATTATATCGTCCTGCAGCATCGCCGGAACGGAACAAAGCAAGGATCCCTGAATCTGACCCACGCCGATCTCATCTCACCGTGCACTCACACGTCGACCAATATCAGAAAGACGGGACCTTCTACCATTCCAACCACACACCATTTTAAATCTTTTTTTTTTAGACCCAATCTTCCACCATGTTATAACCAGGTACAAGGGATGTATGTGCCTGGAGCACGATGAAAAAATGGGACAGACATTGAGCTATGAGGAGGAAGATATCGGACCAAAAAAGTATATTGCAAGACGGTTGTACATAGCTAGTATAGCAAACGAGTCTACATTAATGAAGTCGAGAGGATTGCACGCGGTGCCACGTTGAGGTTGGGACCTACTGGTAGACAAGTTGTTCTGAGGATGCATCTCGCGCATGCAGTAGAGCGCGAGGCATGCGATGAACATGCGTGCGGAGGTGAAATCATGTCAAACTGTTCTATACTTGCGGCACAAAATTCGTGATCACTTCCGTGCCAGCACACTAAACTCCTGCGTCTCTATCTTCATTCTCTTAATGTCAGGCTCTCTGTCTTCACCAGAAACGATAATGTCTTCTGCAGGACTCGGCCACTACCAAGCGGCAAGACTGCCTTTTTGAGAAAATCGAGGTGGTTGGTCATGGTGACAAAGGTGGACGGTCACAGAAGTAAGTGACAAGCCAAGCCGCGAGCAGATGCGACAACTTTGGATAGCAATGCATGGAACAGTGAATATACTGTCAAGGAGCGAGGTGTCTTGGGGGGTAGGTGATCGTACGGTTGTAGAAGATCGTGGAAGGTCGAGGAGACACATCGGAAGGAGGAAGTCTGGCACTAGACGGGGCTCAGTATAAAGGCGAGGGAATTATTGTGTAGATCTTCAATTCTAATTGATTACTACACACTACCACACCGTGGGTGGTGGACAGGCTTGTCTCGTTCGAGGCAAGGAGTCAGATCATACATAGGCTCTGCCATGTCTGTACTCTGATCATCACCGACCATGCAGCTAGAGCTTTGTTCTAGCTGTAAATGATGCAAATAAGCATAATCTGTGCCTGATCGTCCACCTTCGTGAGGGGGCAAGCGCTTGGCCTCCAAGATCGTCTACCCTCTTTGATAGGCCTTCAGTCAAGCATAATGCACCTTTTCGTCTTCGTTGCTGCACTCGCAACAGCATGGCGTAAAAGTGTAGACACCGATCCACCTGGTTTCGATGGTTGCGAGCGATCTTGGGATTTGTACTAGGCTCAGTAGCTTGTAACCTGGCTATACGCGCCTCGAGGCTGTGCGTACTGGTATGCCTTTTGATGGCAAGCCTATCCGTTACCTTATGAAGCTCGAATTGGTGTGATGTGATGTGTTATGTTATCGTCGTGTCGACATCGACGAGCAAATACGTGATAGATGTGTGTGTTCGTGGTTGTTTTCATATACTTGAACGTAAGCAAATCATCGAGGCTCTTGTCTTGTGTCCCAATCACTGGCCCAGATGAAGGTGCAACACCTCCATTGTGTACCACGTTCTTTCGATCCGCTCGGACCGAGGGGTCGATTACACATCCAGAACGAGCGACCACAGTTCACACCCGGCTTTTTGGTGAGCATGGTTTTGCATGGCTCGTCATGCTCACATTTAGGCGCAACAGGCCTTGCAAACAGTTTATCCCAGCTCTTCTTGGCTTCAAAGCTTGCAGCGAGTTCATCCTCTACTGATCGCTCTGTTCTGGCTGGAGACGGCGTTGGTACTGGGAGCAACGCTGTTGCAGTCTGTTCTTTTTCGGGAGATGAAACGGGAGATTGTAGAGGTGCCTCCAACTTCGGGGCTTGTGTTGTGAAAAAACCTTTGAGGCTCTTCTGTCCCTTCGAAATACTTGCTTCAGGCTTCGTCTTCTTCGCAGCAGGACCAGGATTAGTAGAGGAGAAACTCCGCTTCAGACCATTGGATTTTGAAACACTCTGTTTGCTTGTTTGAGCTGCAATAATTTGAGAACCGGAAACATTGGTGGCGTTCGGGATCGGACTCGCAAGCAACGGTGCCCTGACTGGCGATAGGCTCTCCTTCGAAGGGGCTGGAGGAGTAGAGCTCACAAGTGGAGTTGCCGACCATCTCTTCGTGAACATGTCCTTGATGTTACGTCTTCCGTCAAATTCTTCAATAAGCTTTCCCGACATTGGCAGCAGATTTTTCGTGGACCATGGCACCTTTCGGATACCATTTTCGAACATGCCAGGCGGATTTACCAGATCTAATATGTGTTTCTCTTCGCCTTGTATAGTCACTTTATCCTTGAACACTGCATAGACTGGACAATGATCTGAACCCATCAATCCTTCCTGAATATTCGAATCACTCCACCATTCTTTCATGTCGTGGCTGCAGACCACATAATCGATTCTTGCACCGTAGTTACCAGGTCGAGCATTGACCTTTGTCTCCCAGCACGTATACATGCCCTTTCTTCCTGGATGAAAGTCACGACAAACGTCCCACAAGATCTGTTCTTCTCGTCCTTCGTCTCTTTCTCCATAGACCTTGCCTTCTACCAGCAGTTGATTAAACAGACGTCTAGCAGGAGACGACATCCATCCTACATGGTCAACCTCGTTTTTTCGCTGCGACTCTTCTGCCATCGCTGTATCAATCTCTTCTCGTGAAATATTCAGATCTCCTACCCACACAACTCTTTTCCCCATCTTAGCCAGGTTCCTGATCCTTGCATCAAGCACTTTGAGGAAGGCAGTTCGGAAATGGGTTCGGGTTTCATCTCGCTCAGCTGGACAATAGGTTCCAATTAGGACGAAAGCCGGAAATTCAAGGATGACACAACGACCTTCTGCGTCGAGGGTAGCTGCGTCAAATTCAGTCTCAGACAACTGTTCCATGGTTGGATATCCACCAATCTGCTCCTCTTCTAGTAGATCGCGAAATGGTGTGGTACTGTTCGGTGGACAGAGGCCTCCAGCTATACCTTCTTCTGCCCGTACTGGTGCGCACTTGGAATTTCGAGTATAGATAACCACACCAGAATAACCTTTCTTGTACCGTGGCAAGCTCCAATAGCAATCAAATCCAGGCACAAGTACCATGTCATCTCGGAGGTCTTTGCGTTGTATTTTGGTCTCCTGAAAGCAGATTATGTCTGCTTCTAGGATGTCGAACATTGCCTCGAACGATCTTTTGTCTCGCCATGGTTGGTAACCAAATGGATTGCGTATACCGTTGACATTCCATGTCGTTATTCGCAGCGCCATAGTGGCTGTTGAAGCGCGCTAGGTTGCAAGCGCATGCCTTCTGGCAGCACTGAGGTCGCTACAAGAGCGCAATGCAACGGTCCAGCTTCACATTGTCTGCATCCTTGGTAGTCACGCCAAACGGTGACCTCACTTGCCTTCGACTTCAAGTTCGCGTGCAGCACCTCGCGCAGTCACGTTCGTTCAAGATAGCACAATCTGGTGGTATACCTCACCCAAGCATACGCTAGCTTGTTCGGTTTAGCTTCCGAGCTGTCTTCGATTACTGCAGTCAACAGCATCAGTCCACCAAACCCCGACCTCAATATACAGCTCAGTTACCCTGTAACCTCTCCTCTCCCCAAACCGCGACCATGTCATTCCACAGACTCGGTCTGCGCATGGCGCAACAGACTCTACGACGACAACCACCTACACCTGCCTTCCGAAGCTTCGTGCGACGACTATCACTTGAAGAGATGCCAGGAGGCTCAAAGAAACTGGTCGGAACAGCCGATAATGCTTTCAACCGGGAGCGAGCAGCCGTCAAGGCTCACGCTGCAGCTACATCTGGTTAGTCGATGAATCAACAGGAGATGTGGTGTTGGACTGCGTAGGGGTTGCGAAGACGAAGACAAGATGCTAACAGGTCGTGTCCATAGGTCTCTGGCGCCGCCTGTCGATATACGTCGTCATTCCTTGCCTGATCCTTGCTTCGCTCAATGCTTGGAATCTCTGGAGCGAGCATTGGGAACATTGGGAGCACCTTCCTCCTCTCGAAGAACGAGTCGAATACCCATACCAGAACATCAGGACCAAGAACTATTTCTTTGGCGACGGAGACAAGGTATGGATATTATTGAAAGGTTTTATACTGGTTTACTAATCTGTGGCAGACACTGTTCTGGAATGACAAGGTCAACTATCACAACAAGGACAAGGTGACGTAAATGCTGCTGGGTTTGCGAGCAAGAGACTATTCCTATATCCGGGCGAACATTACTTATCGCGATGGTCTGTACGGAGAGCGCAGGAGTAGAAGACGATATGGTGCGGCTGTGAGTAGGTTGCAGTAACACGTTCGGTTTGGTACGACCACAAGTAAATTGGCCAACATTCACGACCAGATTAACCATTGATATACTTCATTTTGCAGTTTGCGGCACCTCTTCTTCTCTGCCATGTTCATCACAGTCACTACAACTTGGTTGAGTTTCCTGCATATTATGTCCGAGCCCACCATGCAGCTTGTGTGAGCACATATGTCCTGCTTGAACGCTGCATTTGCTATGCGTCGAGTTACGACTAAGCAAACGTGTGGATGTTGGTCTGAAGCTGCTACAAAATCTTACTTCTTGCTAGAAGCCTTTGCCAGATCAGCCAAAGCCTCCTTTCTCTTATACCTCGCATCCTGAATCACATCTGCTCCAGCATCATTCGAGAAGTTGGCAGTCCACACCACAAACGTCTGGCCCTCGTTGCTACCCGTAGTGATCTCGTGCAGGCGGATTGTAGAGAGGACGCTAGTGTAAGAGATATCTGTGCTTGCAGAGACAACACTATATGTGATGAAATGATTGATTGTCTAGGAGAGTCAGTATGGCTGTGAACTTGTGGGCAGTTCAGATGTAAGCCTGAATGCATGCCCGACTTACAGAATGCTCTTCCTGCTTGATGTCAAATGATGTACCATCTGTGAATGTCCATCTCACAACGTCTGTTTCAGGTGAAGTTGATCCTTCAAGTGTTTCGCTCTTGGACAGTGCAGACCACCTAGCCATATTTGTCAATTGTTTGCTCACAATACTTCATTAAGCATTCAGCTTACCATTTCGAGAAGTCCTGCAACTTGATCAAGTGCCATACATCAGAGAAATGGGCTGGAATAACAGCTGATTCTGACACCGAGGTGGAAGTTGGAATTGCAGACATTGTTGTGAAGTTTGTGCTTGACTTAGTGCTGTTAAATCGACCAGGTTACAGAGTGTCTTTTCTGAACTTGTCAATTGCTGTTATAGTCTCGCAAATTCAGCAGCAAACGTGCCCGCATCTGCAATGCATTGAGGGCAATCACTTTCTGAATATGAGGTCATTGCTGCAGTCGAGCTGCCTGAGGCAGCAACAGAGGAGCTTAGACCATTGATCTTCACCATCAAATCTGTTCGCTTGCGTAACTGTTCTTCAAACTCATATACTTGTCCCCGATCTCAGCTGCCAACCCGGTATCTCCACGCCAGGAAGATATTGCACTTAATTTGGCGAGTATCTCTAGCTGACCCTCAAGCTCTTCGATCCAGCGGAGTTGCTCTGCGGCCTTTTCAAGCATATCAGTCGCGTTACTCATCAACAGTTTGACCTCTGTGTTTTGCTTTCCATTGCTCGTAGCATTCTGCAAACCTGCCAAGCCCATGTACGCGTCTGCTAGAAGCATGTAGCATCGTCCTGCAATATCGCAATCCAAGCATTCTAATACGTGCGGCAAGGCTGCTGTCAACAAATCTCTTGCAGCAGCGAATTCATAGCTTGCGTTCAGAATGTGCGAGAGCGCGAGTACGGCATCCCACATGGCAGGAAGCACTCTTGACCGATATGACATGTGGACCGCTCGCATGGCAAGGCTAAATCCTTGGTGCGCTTTGTCGCTTTTGGCATACAGCTGTGCTTTCATCGTCAGAAGTTTGGCCATGAGTAGCACGTCATTGTTTTCCACCAAGACTTTATCAGCCAGAATCTCTATCTTCTCGAGTGCCCGCAGAAACTCGCGTTGACGTATGAGCAGATCGATCTCGAGAAGGCTGACTTGCGTTGAAGTATCAACCTCAGAATGTGGCTGCTGTGATACGAGTTGTCCAACGATGTGACTTGCAGCAGTCAGGTTGTCCCTATGCAGCAGTCGACGCGCCCGCAGAATGAGTGTCGATACTGTGTGGTATGTCCTGTATTTGAGAACATTGGTAACCTTGCTTGGTATGCTTGCAAGCACGCGTTCGGATTCGTATAAGCGACCCATTTGTGCAAGAAAACCAGCTTGTCGGGTAGTACATTTCAATGTATCTTCTAAAGGTGCTTCGTGAGAATGACACAACAGAAATCGTTCTCCACTAGATTGAGCAAGACGAGTCTGGCCTATGCGAGAAAAAAGAGCGGTCTTCATGAGCAGTGCTAGACCGGTACTGTTGGGCACCGCTTTGATGATGTTGATATGTGCAGCTTTCACAATGTTCTCGAAGCACACCGCAATACTTTCACCGTGCTGCAGTGAGAGCTTTGCCTCAGAAAGGTGTGATGTACTGAGAAGTGTCCACATCTCGGCCTCCTTGGCTCTACTCTTCAAGAAGTTCAGACCCTCGCTTTCGTTCGCTAATATGCCAGTGTCACGGATTGCTTGCATCTGAGAGGGAAATGCGCGACCAAAGTGGTAGAGCCATGACATACAGTAATTGAGGCAGACTGTGTCCCTGTTCTCACGAGCGGTAGAGATAGCTTCTTGCATGGCTGGTATAGCTTCGTCATAGCAGCCGAAGTCGGCTTGCAGTATTGCAAGGTTTAGGAGGGCGTACTGGTAGAAGGTTCGATCGCGGGCTTGTATCGTGTAATCAAAATAACGATGTAAATTGTCGAAGGCAGAAGTGAAATCACCTGCTCGCCATGAATCCAGAAAAGCGAGATAATGAGCAAGCTTTGGCGCAGAAGTACCGGCTGCTGCCATCCTCTTCATTGTCGTCTTCATCATTTCTGGCAATCTTCCACCGTAGCCTGTCACTGTTAGATACGTAAGACTTAATTGGATTACCCTTACCCTGCATTTCCGAGACTTGAAACTCCATAAGCTTCTCCACGTCGTACGTGCTGGCGGATGTCTGAGTGGTGTCGCCATCGTCAACCAAAGATCTATACATCAAAGATGCGAGAGGATGTGATATATCGATGTCCAGATCAGCCAGATTAACGTCAAATGCGTTATGGAGAGCGTGTGGGTTCCTCCTCGTAAATGCTGCTTTGGAAGGCATACGGTAGGCGACGAAGTCGGTCCATAATGCCACGCTGTCCTGGAACTGCAATCTCACGTACTCGAGCGAGCAGCGTCGAATGAAAGTGCCAAGCGGAGAAGTTCTGACGACTTTGCCAGCAGGTTCTGGGACAACTCCCTTATCACGCTCCCTGAGCAAGTCCTCGCGTGTTTTACCAAGTAGTAAAGGGGTTTGGGTGATGAAGTCATCAAGTGCATCAACACAATCAATTGTCCACATGTCTTTCAAGAGCAAATCCCAGATGCTTCTGCCTGGTATGGCTGATTGTTCTCTCGCTAGAGCCTTCTCCAGGTCAAGTATATCCTCACCATCTTGCTGCTGCACCGAGTCATCTCGGTCGCTTGCATCAGGCAAGATTTTGCTCATCAATACATCGAGAACTTTGGTGGTGCCTGAGAACGGTACCGAATTCTTCAAGTAAAGCCGTGCTAAGATCAGGATCACGACTTTGGATGGTGTGACGAAACGACCCATCTTGACGTTGATTTGACTTTCATCTCGTTGCTGCGCAGCAGACACTCACCATGTCTCTCTCTCAAACACCGACCTCTACAGACAAGCAGAAACTGAAAAGTTCATGTCATTTGCATTGTCTTTCGAATATATGGTATTGTCGGAACAAACGCGCTCGGGTAGACACTCGCACCAAGTCGCGTCGGTCAATCAAGTGACATGATTGGTCACTCGTTTCTGCAACACTTGAATTTCTACGACTCGGAGTACAAATACAGTACGCCAAACTTATTCATCCATAACTTTCTTCATTCAGATACTTTCTACATATTTACCTACTTACACGATGGCATTCACTAGACCTGATCTTGGTGAAGAACTACCACTCCTGGCTTCTGGAAAGGTCAGAGAATTGTACGAGGTGGACAGTAAGACCCTGTTGTTCGTCGCATCAGATCGAATATCAGCGTACGATGTGATCATGCAAAACGTGAGTTCTCTTGTATAACAGAAAAGGTCTGACACACTAACCTTTCCAGGGCATACCCAACAAGGGCAAAATTTTGACATTGATGACAGCCTTCTGGTTCGAGTATCTTCAGAAGCACGTTCCTGGCTTGAAGACACACTTTCTCGGTCTCAAAGTGCCTGACATTGTTCCAGATGCTGCGAAAGCACAGCTAGTCAACCGAAGCATGCTGGTTCGCAAACTCAAAATATTTCCTATAGAAGCCATCGTGCGTGGCTATATCACAGGTTCTGCGTGGTCGTCCTATAAGAAAACAGGCGCGGTCAATGGCAAGAGGATGCCGGAAGGTCTGCAGGAATCGCAGGAATTCCCGGAACCAATATATACCCCGAGCACAAAAGCTGAATTAGGCCAGCACGACGAAAACATCTCCACAGAAGAAGCTGCCAAGATCGTCGGCGATAAGTATGCCAAGCGGATCGAGGAACTGGCTCTGCAAATCTACTCTACCGCGAAAGAGTATGCCAAGCAGCAGGGTATTGTCATCGCCGACACCAAGTTTGAGTTTGGTCTTGATGAAGAGACTGACGAGGTCGTGCTGGTGGACGAGGTTTTGACTCCAGATAGTTCACGGTTCTGGTCAGCAAGGACATACCAGATAGGCAAATCCCAAGACAGCTTCGACAAGCAGTACCTGCGAGACTGGTTGACCAGCAACGGCTTGAAAGGCAAAGAAGGTGTATCGATGCCACAGAATATAGCGGAAGAGACTAGCTCGAAGTACGAGGAGGCCTTCCACATATTGACGGGCCAGACATTGGCGGAAGCCAAAAGCTGATCTGTCTGGTTATAATCAACGGATTGAGATTAGCATAAGGGCAATCAGGTTGCCCTCCTCTTCTCCTTATCGTAATCGCTCATTGTGTCGCGCTTGACTTTCTCGTCCCAATCTGGCATTGCCCGTCGCTCCTCTGCTTTTTGTCTCATCGCTTCGACGGTAACTTCACTGAGCCTGGCACTGCCCTGGTCGCCCTCTTGCCATCCTGTTCTTCCATCCAGCTGACCTCTTTCGTTCAGATTTGTCGCCCACATAGCTGATACCGAAAGGTCAAACGCACCTGGCTCTCTGTCGATCAGACCAATGCCAAAACTTTTAATCTTCTGTCGTAGCATTTCAGATTGAGGTTCAGTAATGAAACCCTGGTTTGTTCGTACGAAATCATGAAATCTTATCAGGACGGTCTCCCATTCAGCAGGGCTATTCGGCCCGTTCGCGCCCTTGTGACGTTTCGTGAGCAGTTTGTGTTGATGAATGTCGGACTCCACGATTGAATCTGTTTGGATATTGACAAAGTATCTTCTTCCATCACTCTTGACACGTAGTGCGAGGTACGAGTACGGCTCGATGTTCCAAAATAGCTCGCCAAACAACGTCCTTCCTCGATCGTGGTTTCGGAACGCGGCATATCCAGTCTTCATCACATCCGGACGGTCGTGAGGAAGCTTCGTCGAGATGTTCCCATGAAACCGTACATGAGCAGGAGTGTCGCTCGCAGCATCAGCAGGCATTTGCGTCAACTTGGCTTCCGAAAAGCCCCCTACAGTCTGATCTGTCATCATCTTCATCCATGTTGCTGTTTGTGGTTCCTCGAAATCGAGCAATGGTTGAGGTATCGTTGTGATGGTTAGTGCTTCAAGGTTGATGGCTTACAACTGTCAGCTACTATGGTTGGTGGTATTCAAGACAACACATACTGAATTTAGCCTGCCGCTGGAATTCTTGGTTTGTTCTCGTCCAGAAACCTGGAGCGGCATATCGTCGTAGTGTTGCCCGGAACATCTTGACCTGTCGCAAGCTTAGAACAGAGTATTGTTTACTCTATCATGCTTCAACATGGCGGTGAATTAACATCAATTCGACACGACCATAACGATTCCTGTGCGAGAAATGCTCTCAACATCTGTCGCTGCATCGGAGCAGATGAGCACGAGCCCATGTCATTGCCACCACCGGATGTTACACGTAGAACCGAAGCTTTGCCGAGCAACATCAAGCTCTTCGGGTCCATGAGACCACATGCAGCCTGTCCTTCCACTTCTTTTCAGCGATCTTTCTGTAAACCATATGACCGTCATCCAGAAAGCACAAAGCCATGTCAAGGTTTGGTTCAAGCAGATGTCCTCGAGCAATGGAACAAGTATAGGTTCCAGCCGTATCAAGGACTTTGTTTTGCTGTCATACTTCAGAGCTCGAAAAAGGGGCTTCGCTTACATGACCGAATTTATGAGTTGAAACTGAGCGGGTTGATTGTATCCAGTTCTGGTTGAGCATTCAGCAATGAGCCTTGCCCGACCACGAGGGCGTGGCACAGATCTCGCAACCAATACTGTGCTGCAGGCACTTCGCAGCATTTCAGTAATCAGTCATTCTACGAAGTCTTCCGGATTCTGCTACCTCCAACCTACTACTCTATCTAACACTCAGATGGCAAAGCTCGTGTGTCGTGGCTAACATATCTTTGTGAGCTGGGTTAGCTTTGACTGACTCAGGGGAACATGGTATGTCAGTATAGCTTAGTTCATGTCGAATAATTATTACGGCAACCACATGCACTGGCGATGGGCAGGTACAGGAGATGGCGAATGAATGCTTTAACCTATTTGAGGAGCTCTGGGTGCAAGAATTGATATTAGTGATGCGACCACGTTGAGACCTTGACGACTAACCGCGTCTCTGGATTAACAGGTAGTATGCTTACATGAAACCATAGAAACAATTCTTTCTCGACAAGACCGACGCCGAACCCCAAACTTTGATGTGCAGATATGTCAATCAGTCAGTGCTTGCGATGGAGCGCCTTCACTTGTCCACTTTCACCACACGTTCAGCTTACCAACTCTCAAGTTTGTGCAAACACTGTCACTCACCGAGAAAACAACAGTAGAATTCTGAAGGCATTCTCAGCCTGCACTATCTTGCTCGGTGAAGTAGCAAGTGACGAGACTTACTATTTAATACAGTCAGCGAGTTCCAAATGTTCTCAGCATCGCACCTTCCACATTCTTTCCAGCAATCTCCCTCAACCTTCAACAACCACATCTTCTAGACATTCTCCTACACCCTACAGTGCTGAGTGACGCATCGACTTAGCTTTGCGACAGTTTGCGCTTATCTGCAACTTGACCAGCTCAGAAAATCTAACAAAGAATATCGAAGGCTCTTGTCGTCTTGAATACTGGTATCTGAAACAGCCTTGTTACAGGTCAACGCAATCAGTAAGTGATACTCTGGCGCTGTGACTACTTTCCGTTTGTCCATCCGTCACAGAAATTGCTAACGAGTATAAAGTGAGCAATTCTACCGCCATTCCCAGATCTCGCTACCTTTGGGGAGATATTTATCCTTCCCAATTTTCCCATCCACCATCGCCTGATCGGTCTCAGCAATCAACGCCCAGACCTGATTCGCTTCGACAGCCAATTCGACACTCACTCGCAGCGATGCAGTCTTCACGTAGCCACAACAATCTGGCTGACTTGCCCAGCGCGCTCGAGAACCTCAACCTTGAGTCACGAACCGCTGCCTCCACACCAGCACCTAGACACAAACTTGGTAACACAACCCTCCTGCTGGTATTCTTTGAAATCACTAACTCTTGCTCAGCAGGATCATCTCGAAGCTCGTTGCTGACGCCACCTGTGGACGCTAATTCAGACTCCTTCCCCGATATCCAGCATGCAAAGAACAATGGCGGCAAAGATCGAACTATCTATCTCGAGTCAAAGTCAGATGACGATGTCTTTGGAGGTGGTGCCAAGTTGCAGTCCGACACCAGCGATCGATCCACAGCAGCAGTACCTGAAGACACTATTTCTCCTACCACGAAGATCACCCCTCGATCCGACCGCTTGACCGAACCTATCACTCCTGAGAATGCTCAAGGACTCCTTCCGCACGAGGCTTGTGTGTTTGTTGCAAAGTACGTATGGCCATATGTGAAGGAGGACAATAGCTTACCAAGACTAGTCTTTCTGTACACCGCACTGATGCGCAGCTCGAAGAATCAGTTCGCCAGCTTTTCGAAGAATACGGCCCCTGCATCATCAAGATTCGACGAGACAGACACAAGCATCCCTTCGCGATTGTGCAGTACTATGTAAGTCTTCAGAGATCCTGTGGCTGCTGCTTTACTAAATCTAGCAAGAACATCGAGGATGCCTCCCGAGCCATCGAAGAGGGCCGTGACATGATCGTGGATGATCGGAAGGTTCGTACTGAGCGCTCGGCAGCCCGATGTGAGTATATCCTCCGAACCGGTGACACCGGCTTATCTTCTGGGTCAGGCACGGTCATCCTCAGTCGAGTTGGTGGTGGTTCTGTTTCCAAGCAAGAAGCTCAAGAGGAGCTCGGTCCCTTCGGCGCCATCTCAGAGACGAGTCCGACTACTCACTCAGATGCCATTCACCACGGAATTCCTGAAGGCACATACGTAAAATTTGTGTATTGGCAGGATTTTGACGACTGTCTTAAGGTACCGCCACTCTTGATGGTCTTACCCGACTTAGCTAACATTGGTCCAGCAATACAACAATACGAGCACTGTCTTCCGAGTTGTTGAAGCTCCCAAGATCGAGGCTCGGATTCGACTCGGTCCTACTCCGGTCGGCTTTGTAACTCGACGTCCGCGAACACCTCCATCAACAGGTCTATCACCGACTGATGAGAAGTCTATCTACTGTGGTAATCTACCCGAAGACATTAGCGAAGCGGAGCTGCAAAAACTATTCGAGAGCTATGGACAGATCCTAAGTTGCAACGTCATCCGCAAGCCAATTATGGGTATGTCGTGGAAACTCACACCGCTTGGAAAGTCAGCTAACGCATTCTAGGTGGTCAAGGCTTCAACATCTTCGGTTTCATCGAGTTCTCCAGTAAAGCGGAAGCTAAAGCAGCTGCATTGGTCGAAATGGACATCCGTGGAAAACGAATTCGAGTGGAGCGAAAGGAGTACTCTGGCCGACGATTAGCTCGACTCCAACCTGCTTTTCAGCCGGCTTTTGAAGAGCGACCACGAACACGTGCCTGGGGACGACCACCCAACGTCTACCAACCACCTGGTGCTCATCTGCCTTATGGTTTTCAGCCGTTCTACATGCAACAGCCTCCGTCTGGCTATTCTCCGTACCACCAGGGTTACGGTTGGCCTGTGAGTCCTCCCCACTCGGCCTTGCGCCGTCGTGGCAACACCTCTGGTAACTACCTTACTGGTGCCCCTCAGGTTGCTCAACCATATGCTCCTGCTAGCCATTCTGTCTTCGGTGCTCTAGCTCAGCAGATGCGAGATATTGAAGCTGAGAACAATCAGTACTCTGCTCGACGCTATCTGTAGGACACACAATCACTGGCCATGTATCTTTCGAGTCGGTATTGGCTTGCTTTGGTGACAACAGTCCGATCTCGCGATGGACAATTGTAAGGTTGTCTTCACTCGCCTGCGATACTCGATCACATATTCACACAGTCGTGCAAGTGAGCCTTGCATTAAAGCATATAATCTTATGATACCCTCTCCGAAAATAATGAACAGAGATGATTGCTATAATCAATGGTTGAGCTCAGACATAGTTTCTTCAATGTTGATAGAAAATTGAGAAATGCCAAAAAATTATGTTTCGATCTCTCAGACTGGGTACTTGGACGCTTAGATTTCATAGGAATTGGTTCTTGATTCTTGGATCGTGGAGGTGTTCCTCTAGGCACTTTCCTCCCGCAATCCAGGACATTTAATCAAATTCTTCACACCTTGTCCTCCAACATTTCCATCCCTAGTCGCCTTCCAAGCCTCCTCAAACTCTTCAAATTCCCAGACCTTATTTATCAATCTCTCGACGTTTCTAATCACTCCTCGCGCGAGTAGATCCCGTGCCGTCTCAAAGTCGCCGCTTTTGTACCGGAACGCTCCGTGGAGGTGAATTTCTTTTTCGCTTAGGTCCGTGATGGGGAAGCCGTCCATAGCTGCGGTCTTGCTTAGACCTGTTTGGACCATGTGTCCACCTGGTCGCAGGGCGTGGATGCATAGACGTGTTGCTAGAGGGGAGCCGGTGGCTTCTATTGCGGCGTCAGCGCCGGTGCCTGTGTTGATGTTTTCGTCTTGTTTGATGGTCGTGGCTGTTTCAGCTGGACTGTTGCCAATATGCGAGGAATTGATGGTATGTACCGTTGTTGCTGTATTGATTGCTGTTCCTGACATCTGTCCATTCTCGTGGCCACTACCGAGGAGCCATTCTTTTGCAAGGCTGAGCTTTTTATCGTCTATGTCGACCAAGATGAGCTTGTTAGCACCATATGAACAGGCTATCGCTGCTAGTGCGAGACCGATGGTGCCTGCTCCCGTCACAAGGACAGATTTTGTCATTGGATTGATGCCCGCTAGTCTGACAGCGTGGACTGCAACGGCAAGAGGTTCGATGAACACACCCTCCTTGAGGCTGATGTGTTCGGGAAGTTTGTAGCATAATGATTCCGGAAGCACGTAGTATTCTGACAACGTGCCAGGCGTGCTGCGTATAAATGGGACTTTGGTTGCCTGTCCGTTGTTGTTTGTCACCGTCGTCGTGATTTCTGCATCCTCGTAAAAAGAAGCAGCGAAGCGCATATCGAAGCAGAGATTGTACATGCCTTCTGCGCATCGAATGCAAGTTCGACATGGGATTGCTGGTTCAATAGCAACATTATCTCCTACGATAAGAGATCTGACTGCTGGACCGATCTGATACACGGTCGCTGTTGCTTCATGACCCATGACAAGACCATTTGAACTGTCCTTGCCAATACCAGGTTGCGAGACGTAATACTGCGCGTACTTTCGCTTGTCGCTACCAATACCGCCGTGGAGGTGGAAGTGTTCATCGCTGCCACATACACCAGTGTAGGCTATTTGCAGGAGTACGTGATCTGCAGGATAGTCTGAGAGCTTTGGAACCGGAATTGTGCCTAGGCATGCTGATTCTGGACCATGAAGCAGGACGCAAGGATTTTCAGATTTGCTGATGTTCGCCATATGCAAATGCCTTCGACTGTGAATTGTATTGTGTAGATTGCTAGGTATTGTTAAGGTGTGGGATTCTTTACAGTGTTACCTTCATCCTTGGATACGGCGCACATATATATGATAACAACCACATCTTGGTCGACAAAATTGGGAGGCCTGATGTGACTGATGCCCATTCATTTGGCTCGTCGAAGTCCAGACCACTACTCGAGCAACGTATAACCACTGAGAATCGAATCGTAGCCTGAACCCTGGGACGGCATCGTGTTCCTCCATCGGGCCATGTTTTACCGATGGGACTGTCAATAAGTCATGTGTTGTCAGTATCGACCATCAATGCAATATCCGGCTGGTTAATGACCAATCATAGAGTATCGCCTGTCAGTCTTGCATAAACACTAAAGAGAAGCTTCGGTTTGTTGATGCAATGCGTTGTGATTACATTGCGCATCACATCTGGTAGATACTTTGTGGAAATTCCAACGCTAGCAAGAACGCGTTTCAATATCAACCACATACAGTACGTTCAATGCTGGCTCCACTCGATCGTATTCAGATCGACGCCCTCCTGTACAAGCTCCCACAGAGGACTTAGCTCCCGCAGGAACTGTACTCGCTCGCTTACAGCCTTGAGCACATAGTCCACCTCACTTTTGGTAGTGAATCGACCAATACCGAATCTTATACTGCTGTGTGCACTCTCGTCGCTGCTACCAAGTGCCCGTAGGACATACGACGGCTCCAAAGAAGCAGATGTGCAAGCTGAACCTGACGATAAAGCGATATCTTTCAACGCCATAAGCAGAGACTCACCCTCAACATAGGCAAACGAAACATTGACGCAGCCAGGATAGTGTTTCTCCTTGTCTCCGTTCAGTGTCGTGTGCTCCATAGCCATCAGACCATCCAGAAGGTGCTTTGAAAGTGATGAAATGCGCTTGTGATCATACTGGAAATGTGGTTAGCTGAAATCCAGATTAAAGCTGAGGATAAAAGATGTGTATGAAGGTAGAATCATAACCCCTGCTTTGTAATCAAAGCGAATGACAAGAAGCTTATGTCAAACGCTCAGAAAGCCATGCATGTTTTAAGCAGCAATATAATCATGGAAGGGAAAGTGTAAGGTAAGGAAGGCAGGGACTTACAGTCATCTCTTCGTTTGCAATTTTGCACGCCTCACCAAAGCCGACAACAAGATGTGGCGCGAGAGTGCCACTTCGCAAACCTCTTTCCTGACCACCACCCGAGATGATAGGGTCGATTCTGACACGAGGTCGTCGTCGTACGTAGCAGGCGCCAATGCCTTTTGGTCCGTAGATCTTGTGCGACGATATCGACATAAGATCCACATTCCACTTATTGACGTCTATTGGAATCTTGCCAACTGCTTGGGCACCGTCGGTGTGGAAATAGATCTTCTTCGACCGGCACAACTGGCCAATCTCTTCCATCGGCTGAATGACTCCGATTTCGTTGTTGACAGTCATGATACTGACCATCATTGTATCTGGGCGAATGGCATCCTTGAGCTGTTGCATATCGACCAAGCCGTTGTTTCCGACAGGAAGATATGTGACTTCGAAACCGTCGTCTTGCAGACGCCTGCAGCTATCTAGGACACACTTGTGTTCGGTCTGGCATGTAATGATATGCTTCTTCTTGCCACCTCGACCGAAGAAACGAGCGACACCCTTTATGCTCATATTGTTGCTCTCAGTAGCGCCGCTTGTGAAAATGATCTCTTTTGGGTCAGCTCCGATGAGCTTTGCCACATGCTCTCTTGCTTGGTCTGCCGCCTTTTCTGATTCCCAGCCGTACGCGTGAGTCCTCGAATGGGGGTTTCCGTACATGCCGGTGAGGTAGGGCATCATCGCGTCTAAGACTCGTGGGTCGACGGGAGTCGTCGCTTGTGCGTCTAAATAGATTGGTCTTGTGCCTTGGTCCATGATGGTCGCCTGTCCAAGAATCCCGGCAGTAGGGCTCATAGCTATGTCGCCAGACAGGCCACCCGACAACGATGACTGTGAGGGTGATTGGCCACTCTGCTGAACGAACTTTTTCTGATCTACTCTGATAGCTGACTCAATATCTTGTACTTGTGCATTTTGTGGCTTGGACTGTGAAACATAACTGCGTCTTTGGCCGACAATGAGGCTTGATCGTTGTGCTGGTCGGAGTTGGGATGTATGGATTGAGGAAGATGCTCGCCGAGAGCATAATCTGGAGGCATGCCTCACTGCTATTTTAGCTGATCCAGACATTGTGGTGGTTTGTTGCCTGAAAGCTCAACGAAGAGTTCCAAGATCGCGATTCTATAGGAAATAGATCAATAGTTTGGAGGCAGTGTACAAGTCGTGAATGATGACGGGAAGACAACGATGGCGATAAGTCGACCTCTGGAGAATCGACAATCAAGAAGGTTCTTCCATGGACAGTTCTACCCCATAACTCGGTCATACTTTTTTGAACGTGACCCGACCTCGGCAGGCCTTCCGTTTTGAGCGGTGTTGCCATTGATGCCTCAGGCTATAAACCCACCCTGTCCGAGTACTGCGACGATGTATGAATTGTTGGATTGGGAATGATATGATAAATTGGACATCCGTATAGCTTGCACGAAGATTTTCGAAATGACACAGTGTATAGCAATTTGGATGTCGTCGCAGCCAGCAGCACATTGTAATTTTAGTGTGGCAAACATCCCACGTGCTTTATATGAGCATAACTTATGCGAGAAGTATATCTTATGCAGGAGCGTAAGGTAGAAACTCGGACGCCAGTCAGTACCAGCACTGGCATTACAATGTTGTACGGATCACATTGCAGCAACCTGAACCTACTGTAGGTGTTCAGGACTTACCAAGAACGAGGTAGGCAGAACAATTCACAAGACTCATGCATAATCGACGCGACACGCATTTCGGCACAGCCACGGGCTTGGACATGCGTCATCTTGCTTAGACTAATTCGGGGTAGCCAGGACCATCTTGGGTGCAACGACGTGTGAGCATGCGAGGATTCTTATTAGAGGATGATTACGGCAAACAGTCTTGGGACCTCATGTACATATTGTAAAAGATCCACCGATGCCCATACCCTACTAGCTGCTTCTTGCAGACAGCATCTTTCTTCTCTATCCTAGTTTCCTCGTATACCTGCAATTAATCCTAGATCTTTGAATATACTAATACCTCATTTCTTGACCGGCGCATTCAACCCACTTCTTCCTAAGCGGTCCTCGGAGGGGCAGGATGTCAATCAAAGGGTTTACCAAAGGAATAACAAGAACTCCTCAGCAGTTCAAGCAGAGATTCAATATCGGAGACATCACTAAGGATGCTATCTTCATCGATGCCGAACGGCGCTTTGAAGAACTCGAAAGAGAAACAAAAAAGTTGCACGACGAGTCTAAGAAATACTTCGAGGCAATTAATGGTGGACATAGTTGAGCTGTCGAGTATGAACGCGCGCTAATGTCTACAGGCATGCTCGACCACCAAATTGAGTTCTCGCAAGGCATAGCCGAAATATACAAGCCAATATCCGGTCGCATGTCTGATCCGAACTCTCTGATACCGGAAGGGAACCCAGAAGGCATACGTGCATGCGAAGAGTACGAGAGCATAGTACGGGATTTGAAAGCTACTCTACAGCCCGAGCTAGAGATGATTGAGCAGAGAGTTATTGCGCCTGCGGACCAGCTGCTAGAGGTCGTTAAGGTCATTCGCAAGATTGTCCTCAAGAGACAGCACAAACAGCTCGATTACGACCGGCATCGCGCGGTTTTGAAGAAGTTACAAGATAAAAAGGAAAAGACCTTGAAGGATGAAAAGGCCATGTTCAAGGCAGAGAACGACGTGGAACAAGCAACACAGGACTTCGAATATTTTAACAACCTCCTCAAGGACGAGCTGCCTAAACTCTTCGGCCTCGAAGCCGAGTTCATCCGACCTCTCTTCCAATCGTTTTACTACATGCAGTTGAACGTTTTCTACACCTTGCATGAGAAAATGCAAGCTATAAACATTGGTTACTTTGACCTAACGCTCGATATCGAAGCAGCCTTCGAGAAGAAGCGAGGAGATATCAAAGAACAAGCCGAAGCCTTGTCAATAGTCCATTTCAAAGCAGCAGGTGTGAAGAGAACAAACACACTGCAATCCAAGTTTGGTGGCTCAAAATATGCACAAAAAGCAGAAGAAGCGAAAGCGGCACGTATCGGTGGCCGCCACCACGACCCAGAAGCAGGCGAAGCTAACCCACCTCCACCATACTCTCCAGGTTTGGCGAGCACAACCACTTCTACACCAGCCAGCCCTTCATTAAGCGCAGCGATAGCAGCAAAGGGAAAGCCACCGCCACCAAAACCAAAGCCTAGCAGATTGAGTGGTGTGCCAGCTGCAGAGACTGTGACTGCGCTGTACGATTATGAGGCACAAGCGGAAGGTGATCTAAGCTTTGTTACAGGCGAGACCATTGAGATCATTTCGAGAACACAAAACGAGAACGAATGGTGGACGGGCAGGGTAGGTGGGAGACAGGGGCAGTTTCCAGGTAAGTTTACAGTTGAGTCTTGGGACTACTTCTGGAGCTTGCCTAACACATTCTTCACAGGCAACTATGTACGCCTCAACTAATTCTCCCTTATGACCACGAGAGATGCGTGCATTCCTCCACAGCATAGAGCCATCTACAAAGAGACCATGTTATAGATACGCGTGGCTGCTATTGTATAGACGTGACAGCTTACCATAATGCATGTATATCATAAAAGCTTGCAGAGGGCGTTGATCGGCCTGGTGCACGTTCACAGCTCAAGTTGGCTTGTCTGTCTCTCAACTCATGCGTCTAGGCACAAGATACTCTTCAGTACACTCTCGACTTTCGCGCTGGGATTCTCGGCCATGCCATGACTACGCCATGCCACAAATCGATCTGGTCTAACGAGGACGCAACCATCATCCCCAACTTCTCTCCTCTCTTCCCAGTCAAAATATACGTCCTGCCACTCACAACCATACCCTATGCTAACGCACTTAATCTCGATATCCAATTTCTTACTCACATTTTCCGCAGCTTTATGCCATTTTCCTCTCCCTTGGCCTGCGCCCTCGTCTCCTGGACCACTAAAGATCGTAAAATGCCCGTGACCAGCCAGATCATGGGTGCTGATTTGTGGCTGATTCGGGACGTACGTGTTGACCCATGCGTGTGGCAGTCGAGCGCCAGGATATGTGCTGATCTGGTGTTCTAAAACAGCGTCCCCTGGTAGAGGCGGCCGAGGCTGCGTCTCATCCTCAAAGTAGATTGCTGGCGAGCCATCGTAACGCTGATTCATTTCCTGGCCGACAGCGTGGAACTCGTGCGCTGTGCCCGAAATTGCCTCGCGCAAAGCTTTCCGTCGTTTTGCACCAGCAGGTGTCGCTGCTTTGAGCTCATTGAATGCACGGGTCGAAGATTCCAGGGTCTCTTCGTTCACTCCTAAGGCTTCCCAGCACGCATAGTGGTCTCGAAAGCCCTGGTTGGCACGGGTGATGACGCCTAGACCGACTGGCTGACGCTCGATGCTATAGGAGGTCAGCATCTTTTGGCTGGCCTGGCCTCGCATTACATATGCGATTTTCCAAGCTAGGTTGTAGGCGTCTTGTACGCAGGTATTGGAACCTAAGCCGTTAAAGGGTGGGTGGCGATGGACGGCATCACCGAGGCAGTGGATGTTTCCGTTCTCGCTAGAGTAATTCTCGGCCACGATCTCGTTGATTGCCCATTTGGACACGTTGATTAGTTTGGCGGGTATTTTGTCGTCGCCTATGAATTCACGGACTCGACTCATGTATTCTTCTTCTGTTGGCTCTCCGTCTCGAGTAATATCCCAGCCTGGAACCGGAAAGACGATGAACATCCACTCGTGCCAGGGCTTGACCATTCGGACGAGACCCATTCGAGCCCATCTCGGGTGTGGTCGATCTGGTTGAATTACCCAATGGAGATTGCCATTTCGAGTCTCAACGAGGTGAGAAAGATCAGTTTCGACCAGAACATTTAATGCTAAACCGCTGCCAGGCTTCTTTATTAGTGGAAAGTCGAGTTGCCGTACGACTTGGCTGCGAGCACCATCGGCTCCGAACAGAAATCGAGAAAGAATAGTGTACTCGTGGCCTGACTTGGTGTCCTTGATTGTGCTGAGAATTCCTTTGCCTACACCTCGGTCGTCGAAGGACACCAGTGCGGTGTTGAAACGGACATCCCAACCTCTATCTTTCGCCCGATTGACGAAGATTGGCTCAGCGAGTGTTTGTGGGAGGTCGACGTGAGTGCAAGGACTGGCGTCGGCATAATCACCGTGGCGATGCGGATCGTGGCCCCAGCTATGTATACGAGCGTACTCTTCACCCGCCATGCTGTGGCACCAGCGAGTGTGTTCCATGTTCTGTGAGGATGTAGACTTGGCAAGACATTCCTCCTCGAGACCAATATCGCGTAGGCACTCAAGAGCTGCCATGTTAGTGATGTGAGCTCGTGGTGTGTCCGCTGTACCAGGTGCTGCAGCTATCAGAATGCCCTTGAGGCCATATTCTGCAAGGAAACATGCTAATGAGGCCCCAGCAGGGCCAGCGCCGACGATGAGAAGGTCAGTTTCCTCGTTGGTGGTGATGTTTTCTGCGATCATGTTGTCGATCTGCTGACGTTACGCCTTATGCTTGTGTAGAGTATTGTTGTGGCAAGACCTAGCCGAATTGAGCAACTCTTTCAGTGTGCTGCTATGAGGCTTTCATGTAATATAATAAAAGATCCTACTAGGGCCACTGCCGACTCAGTCTTGGAAGGTGACCAGCACCTTTTGATATATCTGATCCGAATGGCACATGGATCGCAATTGAGCATTGGCATTGCGTTGATTGGATGTTTGATACGTGTAATGCGTCTGGACTGGGGTAGGCCGGCATGGAGTATACTTTGCATTGGCAACTTTTGGAGACACATATTTCCAATTCCTGACTGATCAAAGAATAGTCAGCACTGACTGTCAGAAGCTGTATCCGGTGATCGGTTCGTGCACTGGTTGAAAACTAAATCAATATCGCACTTGAGGCACAACGACCAATGCCGACCTGTAATCAGAGATTAAAAGTGAATCCGTTTGCCCATCCAGCAATAGAGGGGTCGATGTACAAGGACGTGTTGCTTCCGCGGAAGGTGGAGTTCGGAGGCATTGAATGTCGCTATTCAAATGCAAGCAATTCAAGAGCTTCAACTGGACCTGTGGTTCGTTCACGCTCAACTATTCTCACCAAGACACTGACAGTATCTCTGTTGGCTGTGAATCCGGCACAAGTTGTGAACGTACCCAAGGCCATACCAGAAGCCCTCATAAACATGATCGGATATTTCAGGAAGAACGATAGGTGATTGATTGACATTTTTATTCATGACATGGTAAAACCGCGCTCATCTACGTTATCGCGGCACGATTGACCCGCGTAATGCGTATCATTCTGAACGTCTTTCGATTGCATCTTCTCCTTCCAGTGCAATGCTTCACAACAGCTGTCTTGTTGCCATTATGATTTTCAGATAGTACCTGCGATCGTACTACTAACGCAATGGCTGTGTCCGATCACAAAAGAAGGCGGCTGATCTCTGTTGTCGCGGCGACAGTGATCGCACTTGCTTGCGGGACCAACGTGAGTAGTTACTACTGAGAACGCGCTGCTGTACTGACCGTTAGCAGTATGTATATTCAGCATGGGCTCCCCAATATGCTCAAAGGCTCAAGCTATCATCGACCCAGACCAACCTCATCGTGCGTTACCTCTTCGCTGGCATGTGTGCCTCAATCTGATCAAGAGAACAGGGCACTATGGGCAACCTGGGCATGTATGCCACTGGCATTCCTGCTGGCATGCTTATTGATGCACGAAGTCCCAGATGGGGCGTAGCTGTTGGGACTGTGTTCTTTGCAGGAGGCTACTATCCAATTGCAAAAGGTACGTCGCCTGTCGGTCGACACTTAGATTGGGGCTGATACGATTCAGCTTTTGATGCTGGGCCGGGAGTGTACAGTATGGCATCTCTATGCTTCTTTTCGTTCTTGACTGGGGCTGGTAGCTGTTCAGCATTTACTGCAGCTATCAAAGCTGCAGCACTCAACTTTCCAGATCATCGAGGAACGTCCACAGCCTTCCCGCTTGCCGCGTTCGGGCTGAGTGCCTTCGTCTTTGCGACCATCGCCTTGGCCTTACTTCACGACGAGTCACACTTCCTCTTACTCCTGGCAACCGGGACTGTTGTCCTGCCAGCTGTCTCCTTCTTTTTCCTTGATACGCCTCCAACACACACTTCATATGAACAGCTTCCACAACATCAGAGACTGCATCGGACACAGTTGCGGGACGAACGTACAGAAACGAATGGCCCTAATACAGGTACGCCGAATAAACAGTCCTCATCTAATACCTTTCCACAAGATTCCACTTCAGAATCGTACTCAGACTCTGATGTTGCTCCAGAAGGTGATTCTGAGCAGAGTTCTCTGTTGTCAACTCCTCCATCGGATACCCCGAACCCCGAAAACAGAAAATCGATAGACGCTCCAGCTGACACTCCTCCTCCCGACTTAGATATACGTGGCTGGAAGCTGCTGCCTCATAAAGAGTTCTGGCTTCTGTTCGGTCTTTTAGCCTTGATGTGCGGTATCGGTTTGATGACTATCAACAATATTGGTAACATGGCTCAAGCGCTTTGGCTCTCCTATGACCTCAAGACACCAGATTCCTTCATCGCAAAGCGACAAGTTTTGCACGTCAGCATTCTTTCTGTCATGTCCTTCAGCGGACGCCTCACTTCTGGTATCGGTTCTGACGTCCTTATCAAGCGCTTTTCGATGAGCAGGTTTTGGTGCCTACTTGCCGCAAGCATTGTCTTTATCCTTGCGCAAATCTCAGCTCTGACAATTACAAAGCCTTCTTTGCTTGTTCTTGTCTCAGGACTTTCAGGATTCGCCTATGGTATGCTTTTCGGTGTTTACCCTAGCTTAGTGGCACATACCTTTGGCGTGCATGGCTTGAGTCAGAATTGGGGTACAATGACTCTTGCTCCTGTCATCTCTGGCAATATATTCAACCTGATATACGGCAGAATCTACGACACTCATTCAGTGGTAGACGGTGAAAATGGCGATAGAAAGTGCCTCGAGGGAAAGACTTGCTATCAAGGCGCATTCTGGATGACACTAGTCGCCAGTTTAGGAGCTTTGCTGCTTTGCTTGTACAGCATCTGGCACGACAATGCAGCAAGTCGGAAGCGTATGCACAAAAATAGGAGGAAGAGCCATACGAGCACTATAGACTGATGAATTTAGTTGCAGAAAACACTATTTCAGCGAGTTCATCATATAGATTACTTGAGCAATGTAAGAGCTGCTCGTTTTGTGTGCTTTCTAAAGTCATTCTCAGGCTCGATACCGTGTCACCGCCTAGTGATCACGCGAAATTTTCTTGCTCACGGGCTGTACGACAGGGGAGTCGGTATCTGCATCCATTAACGAAGTTTACACATAAAAGCATAGCCACATTGATCGCCACATCATCTGTTTCAGGCACGCTCAGAAGTTCCTTCCAACTCTTCGTCTCCGATCTGGGCTTCCTCCATCTCAGCCTCTTCATCTTCAGCTGGCAGGCCGCGTCGCTTCCTAAGATTTTCCAGGCCGTAAATGAGTTCTCCTATGAAACTATATGGCTTCTCATACTTTTTCCATCGTGTATCATTCTCTAGTGGTTCATCTTGTCTAGTGGTTTGACTGGCAGGGATTGGTCTGATCTGATGTTTCACAGCTCTCTTGGACGGTAATAATTGGACAATGGCGCTTGTCTTTGCATCTTCGTCGATGCGACTGTTGCCATTGTCTGTGTGCTCCGTCGTGGTGGCAGTGAAGGTGTCGATACGAGCTGTGTCTAGAGTATCACCAGGTCGAAACTCCTTGCAGGAGCCACTCGCATGAATGGTGTCAATACTGATCAGAACCTCTTCCTGGGCCGTCTGTACAACATCCAGGACATTTCCGTCGAGGACTACAGTCTGTATGTGCCGTAGCTCGAAGCCGGACATCTGGAACCCAAATAGCACTGGCAAACCCTCAAGCGCAACGAGAAGGCTACTTGCCGTAGTATTTGATTGTGCATATGATACAGTCACAGGCCAGATTCCAGAAACACAGAGCTTTTCACGACTCTGAGTTCCTGTTGTTGCGATAGTGTCAATTTCGCCTCGCAGATTGTCACGAAGATCGAATCGGGACATCTGGCAGCCGCTTTGCCAGTCATAAACACAAAGACTTGGCTCTCCATTTCCTGCAACAAGAACTTCTGGGGCCCAAGGCACAATACAGAGCTTGCTAATGAACTCTGTATGACCAAGACAGAAGGCGTGAATGACGTGTGTTTGTGGCATGCCTCTCGAAACGCGAATATGCTCGTCGCGATCTGCAGTCAGGATGAAAGGACGCAGCTTTCCACCCACCGAACCTTGAGCAACGACAAGATCAGTCAGCAACGAGACATGGCCTAGGAGAAGCTTGTGTTCGAAGTCCGGGCCTTCTTTCCTGCCTTGCTTCTGTTTCTGCTTCTGCTGTTGTTTCAAGGCGTCCAGATTGCGTTTCGTATGGACAGTCAGCGCTGAGGCCGATGGCTCGAATAATCCGTCCGGCTGAGGTTGTTCAACTTTGCGCTGATAATCTGCGCGTGGATGTAGTGGCAGCGAATACACATCACCAAATTTGTCAGCAGTAAGTATTATCTGTTCATCGGGCGACAAGATAATGGCACACGACTTTTTGGGCATTGACCTACTTTCACTTAGCCTTACATTCGACTAAACGTCTGACAGAAGCACTACCTTAACGATTCCTGACGTAATCGACCTCGAGGAGATATGCTAAGAACTCGAACAGCCTTGTCTTCTGCAGTAATAGCGACTGCATGCTTGCCATCCGAGGCCACCACAAGATGTGTTATATGTGGCAGAGTTGTGTCTGGTATCTTTGGGCGTCTTCGCTCTCCCTTCTGTCGCTGCTTTCCTTCTGCCACAATCTCAATTGAAGCTTCCGATAGCTCGGAAACTTCACGACCCAGACTCGGGTTGTCTGCATGGCCCAGCTTCACCCTTTTGCTCGGTCGTTCGTTTTCCTCATCGTTCTCACTGCTTGAGTCTTCGGGTGAAACACGAGGCCATACATCCAATAACTCGCCGTTGGAACGTGAAAGTGACTGAATGCATGTGCCTGTGACTGCTAATAGAAAGTCGTTGTCGTTGCCACGAACACAACAGAGCTTGTGAGCAGGAAAGGTCAAAGTCGCCATCATATTCACTTTCGCGAGATGCGCCTGGCCACGTACTCTCTCACAGATCGCTGGGTTTAAGATGAGACAAACTTCACTTTCTAGTTTGGGACATGGATTAAGATATGTGAGAGAGCTTTCAATCTTCCCGGTCAGTCTGGGCATCATTAGTCATTTCCCCGGCATGTTTCAGAAAAGCCTACAGACACTGGCTCGGAGGAAATCTTGGCGCACTAATTTCAAAACAGTTAGTGCGTCCACAGATCGTTCCTTCCTGCGCTTCTTGTCGCATTTCGCAACTCATCCACGATCTATCTCGACACTAAATACAACATTCTTACCAATTTACAAATTTGCCCTTAAACATCCTAACTTCATCCTCTAAGAAGTCATGGGGGGCAAATCCGGCACAAAAGCTGTCTACTTCGACAAGCTGAAGGGCTTGCTCGACGAGTACAAGTCGATCTTCATCGTCAGCGTTGACAATGTTTCCTCCCAGCAAATGCACGAGATTCGAAGCTCTCTCCGAGGTGATGCTGTTGTCTTGATGGGAAAGAACACTATGGTTCGACGAGCTCTCAAGGGTTTCATTACCGATTCTCCAGAATACGAGCGTCTCCTACCTCACGTGAAGGGTATGTGTATCCTGCAAGGCGGAAAAGGATATTGTATTGACAAGATGCGTAGGCAATGTCGGTTTCATCTTCACCAATGGCGAGCTTAAGGAGATTCGAGACAAGATCCTTGCCAACAAGGTCGCTGCTCCGGCCCGTGCTGGTGCTGTCGCTCCTGGTGATGTCTACGTTCCAGCTGGCAACACTGGTATGGAACCTGGCAAGACCTCTTTCTTCCAGGCACTTGGTGTCCCAACCAAGATTGCTCGTGGTACTATCGAAATCACAACCGATCTCAAGCTTGTCGAGGCTGGCGCAAAGGTCGGCGCTTCCGAGGCCACTCTGCTGAACATGTTGAACATTTCTCCTTTTACCTACGGCATGAAGGTCGTCCAGGTCTATGAGGAGGGCAACACATTCAGCCCCGATGTCCTTGATATTGAGGAGTCGCAATTGCTAAAGGCATTGACCTCCGCTATTGCCACTATAACCACTATCTCCCTAGCCGCCAATTATCCAACTCTCCCATCCGTCATCCACAGCGTTGTCAACAGTTACAAGAAGCTCATCTCTGCTGCCATCCCTATCGACTACGAATGGGACGCTATTCACGAGCTCAAGGACCGCATCGCAAACCCCGACGCCTATGCTTCCGCTGCTCCAGCTGCCGCAGCTGCAGACGATGCCGCACCAGCTGAGGCTGCCAAGGAGGAAGAGAAGGAAGAGGAGAAGGAGGAGTCCGAGGACGAAGGTAGGCATAACTCCAGAATTTCCGTGCGTTATACAGTACTAATCTCCTTCCAGGTTTCGGTGGTCTCTTCGACTAAATGCTTCGTATCACGCATAGTCGTGTTCTTGTCCCACGACGTCTCATATGCAGTCACGAAGTCAAGAGAGAAATGCATGTATGAAGATACCCAATCAATAACACTTCATGCCACAAGTCACAAAACTTCCGTCTTGCCTTCCTGCGCTCCGTTCTAGCTCGTTCATGTGTAAATGTTCATATGGCGACCTCCTCAACCTGCATTTGTAAGTTTCCATGTTCTCCTCCACACACCTTACCCTTCCAAATGATGATCAATTTTTAACCCCAAGACCTTCGCGTCAATGAAGATCAAAAACACAAACAACTTTATACACTCTAATTTTTTACTGATACTCCTGTCTACGTTCAATATGCTCATTAGTCTTGTGAACAAGGACACATCAGCTAACGTCCTTCTCAAGGTCGACTCTGGAACTTCTGGCGCAAGCAATTGTGTGTACTCAATTGGCACACTTGCTTGGTGGGACATGGAGTGTAGACACCCCTTCGCTTGCCTCATTAGGTGTATGCGACATTCCAGGACCGCAATGCGCTACCTCGACCCTTGCATGATCCTCATGCTCTACGAGTTGAAAGTAGTGGTGCAAACGTTCCTTGCTACCAGGATTGTGCTGTGCAACCTGCTATAGTCTCGACTTCGGCCATTGAGCCTGTTCAAAGCCAGTTCTTCTCTTCCCCAACACCATGCTATCACGACAATTTATGAAACCAGCCCTACTTGTTATAATTCACTGTTCCTGCTCTTGTGCCTTGCGCCTGCAGATCGCTAACAGAAGCCCGAATGAAGTGTGGGTAAATGGACAGGAACGAATAGCAAAGCACACCTCGTATCGACCTCGTTGTGGAGACATGCTCGAGCCAAATTCTTTTCGTGGCGCACAAGCCTCTTCTACCATAACCATAAGCCCATAGCAGTATCGTAGTCAGAGGCGATGCAGTGGTTTGCAGCCTTTTGAGCCGACCTGCGGCTCGAAGGACATCGCTGGGCAGTGTAGTCTACCAAGCAACGGTGCCGAGCCCTCTGTATGGGCGATGTTCCTTCTTTCAAAATGCTAGAAGTCCTGCTCTACCTGTTCTTTTCAGTGCTTTAACCTGGTAATAGAAACGCATCTGTAGTCTGCTACATCGCAAATGCTCTCTCTTGCTTCACTTCCGTCACAGGTAAAGCACCCCAATCATGAGTCAAATGCATGTGGTGGTTGAAGTTATTGTTTGGATTCCGTGTAGAACGTAAGCTCCAGTCTTCTGGTTCAGTGCTCTGTGGTCTTCGCATCCCATTGCCTGGAAAGAACATTTGCTGACCATATGCAGGATCGGGATAAGTCCCAAAATCCATGGGGTTCGGACTAGGTAGACCGTTGTTAGGTGACCCCCAGCCAAGATTTGTCATATGTGGTGAAGCTGCTCCACTAGCTGTGCCATTCGCTGGAGGCTCGAGGGGCTGTGGATGGCCAAAAGCTGTCGGATTCGATGTTATGTTTGGTCGTATCAGAGGCATTCCGGTGTAACTCTGTACTGAGTGAGTGCTCATTGAGGGATGATGTCGTAGAGGGACACCGTACTCGCTGCGTATGTGCGGTGGTAAGGACTGGTTCTGCATCATGTATTGAAGATCTGAAGACTGTCGCTGGAGAGGTATTGCTGGTATTTCAGTATCTGGATTTGTTGAAGACTGATTCTCGGCTGAGGGTGTGGTGGAGGTTCCTGACGATTGGGCATCCGAATAACTCTCGTCCAGTGTAGACTGTGGTACCTTTATATCCTCAGCTGCATCATCTTCTCCACCCCCCGTGTGATATTGTTGATGTCTCGTCAAGGTAGTGCGTCTAGTGAACGCCTTCTGGCAGGTTGGGTGATGACATTTGTAGGGTCTTGTGCCGGAGTGTATCCTTCGGTGCCTCGCCAGTGAGCTAGAGTCACTGAATGGCTGCTTACAGTCAGAGTCTTGATCCTTCCTTCTCATATGCATTCACTGTGCCTACCTTGTTACAAATTTCACACTTATGTGGCTTCTCACCTGTATGCACTCTGGAATGCACAGTCAATGCAGATCGCTGAATAAATCCCTTCCCACAATTCGGGAAGTCACATATATGAGGACGATGACCGGTATGTATGCGTTCTTTATCGACGTCAATTAGCAGGATGCAAAGAGTCACAAGCTGGATTGCCTTACCATGACGAATAAGATCACTTTTTCTTGCGAAAGTTTTGTTACAGTCTGGAAAACTGCAAAGACAACTCTTTATCGCTGGTTCCGACTTCACTTTTGAACTGTTTGCTTCAGGATCGGTAGGGCTATGAGAGCTCACTGGACTTATATTGTGCTGCATTGACTGAATTTGATGCCCGCCACTGAAAAGGGAGAAGTTCGTAGCTCCTGGCTGCGTCATATGATACTGAAGTTGGTGATGGCTCATATCTCCGTGATGGCCCATAGCGAAGTTGGTGTCCATGGTCAGGCCGTGCTGCATCTGACGTCGAAAGTGAGCTTCTGCATTGGTACTATGTCGCGCATTTCCAGCTAGTAGACCGTCAATCTCCATGGGCCCTTTGTTCGAGACTATAGCTCTATTGTTCCACGACCAACTTGGAGCTGGTTCAATAGGATGAATGGAGTTGTAGATGCCGTAGGCGTGACGATTCGGGTCCTGCATCGCGGATGGTCAGCTCAATGTGTAGGTGTTCAGGATAGCAAAGAGCTGAGAGGACATTGACCCTTGACAGATCAATGCAGAGCGGATTGGCCAAAGCGTAAGTGGACGTTGATGATATGTTGGGAAGGCTAAGAGAACAGATAACAAAAGTAGAATGGAACATGGAAGTAAAAGCAGTTCTCACCTCAACAAAGATAGCAGCGGCCAGTAAGGTAGTTGAAGAGCCGTGTTATGTCTCGCTACGATGTTGCGTTAGAATAGGAATGTAGCGAGCCAGGGTAATTCCACTTCTGGTATGCCTTGGCATATACTTCTACCCTTACCCGAGACTTCGACTTCTTTCAACGACGGCGCAAGTTGCGGGCGCCGATTGTGCTGCAGTATGTATCAACGAACTTGATGTAGATGAGGATTTGTGTGTTCTAAGACGACCTCGTAGCCGACTGGTTGATGCAAAGCGTGGATTCTTTGTATCTACGTCCTTGTATGTGATCAAGTCGAATTCTGAGCTTGGTGGAACCGTAGGAAGTGTTTCAGCAGTCCTTTGTCCAAATTCGATGGTGAGTGTTAGGCTTGGATGAAGGTCCGCAGCCTGCTATTTTCTTGTGACCATTCCGTCGCCCAGTCTTACGAGCTTGCCGCTACCTACGACAAGCCCTGTTCCCAGCTCGTTCTCTTAACTTCCGGTTTCTTGTATGGACAGGTATTTAGGCGACGATCGTTCGCTTTAATGAGGGCCGGAGTCACTGAGGCACCTGCACTCAAGTTATAATAGTGGTTTTCCTGAAAATTGACTGTACTGATTCTCAACGATTAGGTATACATGCATCTGAATTCGCGACGAAAGACTCAATCCGGACCAAACTTCTTGAGGCTACAAATGCTGCTTGCTCTTGAGAGCTTTCGACCTTTGCGATTTGATGGTTGTCGCAGATGGTGTGAACAGGCGACAGTAAGCGGACGAGGCACGGATCTGGGTCTAATGGTTATGATATCGAGTTTGCTGCATCCAGGAGCCTAGAAATAGTTGTGTGAAGGTTTGTGAGCACCACGAATACTATGGCAACGACGAAGCAGGTAACAAGAACGTTCAACTTGGGTTTCTCCTGACCTGACGTTGAATACCAAGCCGGTTGGGCTGCATGCAAGGGCTTCCGACAAGTGAAGTTCTGTTTGGATAAATCCACGCAGCGGATTGAGCCAAGACCTAGCAGTTCAGGCGTCTTTGTAGGCCTACCATTACAGAGCAGGCAATCGTCCCGCGTCAGAATTGCTCAACAGATCGGCTCTTGATAGGGTTGATTGACAGTTACACACCGAGAGTCGTAGAAGAGTGATCAACTACCAAGGTTCAAGCAGAGTTTATTTCGCGATCCTCGTCCCGATCATTTATGCATTAGCGTCCGCTCCCCACACGCTGAGCGAGTAACCCCTGCTGGATCGCCCAGACGGATACGAGTGGTGTTGATGCTACAACAATTTTTTCATACAGTGTTTCGAGGTACACCAACGTTATACCAGAGCTTCTACCATAGCGCAGCATTCACAAACTGACGGGACAAAGCGCATGTGCCCTGTGGCAGAGCATCGCATTAAGGGCCCCGAAGACTACAACCTTGTGATACTACGTTCAGACTGCGCCTGAACATATTCTGTTCCACGCGCTACCAGTAATAACACCATGCAACTCACTTGCCATCTGAACAAGTACTTGAGTGGAAGCCCTCTAGCTCAGGTTGAATGACTTACACATGTTTGTAGAAGGACAATATCACAGGCAGTCGGTGGGTTACAAGGACGGAGGCGTTCCTGCACAATGACAGTATCTGCCTTCTCAGGCAATACCGTGAGGCGCCTGTACCGGAACCTCCTGATCGAGCAAGGTGTCTGCTTCATAGTCAGCTTCGGCATTATGAATGCTCAAGCAACACGAAAAGCGCAACACCCTAGTTTAGCATCAACCATCCCCAATAAGCACTGGACGGCAGCTTTTCCAAAAATAGAGCTCGGAGTTTTGTGGACGGTAAATGCGTTGGTGCGGTCATTTTTGAAGGTCAAGCGGGGCCTTGAAGACAACAATCGAGTCTATAATCGTTGTGGGAGCCTTGCTATCCAGCAGCCAGCATCAAAACGTGGTACTTCATTTACCACTCGTAGCCGAGCCTTCTCGATGATAGCTCAATCAAAAGGAATGGGGCGAAGTCCTCCAGCTGTGCCCATTCTCTTGCGCATCTCCTCTCCTGCTGCTACCGTGCTTGGTACCTTAATTCCACAGCAGTCTCCCCAGTAGTCTGGCTCGTGCCCCTGCTCTTTAATATGAGACATTCTTTCTGACTGTAATCGAAGTGCTTCTACGTCTAGCTCGCCCATACCATCCGCAGCTGGTATTAAAGAGCCGAACAAAAAGTGCTGCATGATAGGAAGCTTGCCAAGTATCTCCTTCACAAACATCTTGCGCATACCATCCTCAACTTTCTGCCAATTTTTGGCACTGGAAATATCATCCAGCATTGGACTATGCCAGCGTATACCTTTCACTGTTTTCACGCTGTCTACCCACCGTACCTGGTTGAGATAGAGGTACTTGTCACCTTCTTCATCCAATATGACACTGTTGTGGATTGCTCGTGGTGTGATATATGGATGTGCAATAAGTTGGCTTGCGCCGAACAAGAATGGTAGAAACTGGTAGTCATCAAGACCCCATACTCCATGACTGCCAGCCGGTTCAAGATAGTAGGTGCTCTGGATCCTCCGCATGAGCTGCCAGTAGTGAGGGAAAACACGAAGCACAATTGGTGGGAAGTCGGCCTCCTGGATGAATCCAAGTTGATACAAGCACAACAGCCACAGGGCAAAGTTCAGTTCGTGACCTGAGCCATAGTCCAATCTCTCCTCAGAGCCCAGACAATTGCAAAGGTAGGCTGCTACCTCTTGGCATATCTCAAATGGAAGCCCGAATAGATCCTTGTGCACATGAACCGCGTCAGAGACCACTGCACAGTGAAAATCTCGAAATGCGGGATTGCCAAATCTCGAACCAGTATCTAAAGCAGGATGTTTGTCAAGCGTCTGTGTGAGCCTGTCGAGTATCGTTTCGATATGTCGGACTGTCCTTGAAACAGCTGGACCGTCCACAAATTCAGTACTTTTGCCACGAACTGACTCAGCCAAATTGAATATCCATGCCTGAATAAGTTGATTAGTTGGGCAGGACAGAAATCTCTGGTGGTCCGCAGGAGACAGTATCCTTCGTGTAGGCAACCTGGGTGAGAGCTTATCGTCTATGGGTGGTGCAGGCAAGATAGGCGTGGAGGGTGGAGGCTCAATATGCGTGGTACTAGACTTGCGTTGTGAGCCTGGCACAAGGGTTGGAATCCTCTTTGCATTGCTGTCTTGTGGTAATGATTGCGTCGAGTGCAACAGTGACATTCGGCCTAGCTCACTGTCTCGCGCCATGATACACAGTTGAAGGCGATTTAAGGTATGTCTTCGATCAACGACAGTAACAACAAATTCACATACGTAACTAGGGTCTTGTGAAGGGATGTGCTCTCTCGTTTGCAGATATCGAATGCTGACAAAGATCCCAGATTCGCCGGTACGTGGAAGTTTTTTAGGCGTCACCAGCTCAAGCTACTCCCCTCGCCAGTTTGGAGCCGCCAAAAAGCGCTAAAGTTTAAACTCCGTCCAGCATTTCGCGGATGGTAGTCACTTTTCAGACCAGACCTCGCATTATTCCTGATTCATGCAGCATATCATCATCGTCAAGCAGACATAACCTCGCTTGTGTTTTGGCAAGAACCAAAGCTCAACTGATTATGAAGTCCAACCGGACACGAGCGTGAACCCAAATTGATCTTCCATGTATCATACTTCAGACTGTGTCAATATGCTTTCGGACCGTCGCTAGCACATCATCCATATTGTGTCTATTAGACTTGCTCTTGCATGTGTACTAAGGCATGGATGTCCGAAATGGAAAACAGCCGCATGGTTCAACTACGCCTCCTCTTTCCTCTGAACCTGAATCGATAGACGATACCAACAGTGATCCGAGACTTTACACTCTACCTCAGCAAAGCCTTTCGAAGAGGTCTTCCAGCGTTCGTTTCGCCGACGATACCTTTGGGGACCTACCTTCAATGTCGCGAGGGACCACACAGCCAGATCCTGACGAGATCGTCCCTATCAGGAGTGCCGATGGCCACGCAGATAGAAGCTACAGCACCACAGAATCTCCTACAGCGGCGTCGGACAGGCGCAAGACCCAGAGCGCAGCAGGAACAAGAGTTTCAGATCAGAATGAAGAACGAGCATCATGGTTCAAGAAAATGGCAGAGAGGTACGGATCAGTTACATTAGAGAACAAAGGTTCTGTTGCACGAGACCATCTCGCCTTGGAAAGAACCTTTCTGGCATGGTTACGTACCAGTCTGGCGTTTGCTAGTATTGGCATTGCTGTAACTCAGCTCTTCAGACTCAACGTTAGCACTCAGAACCATTCTCGAAGTCTGATTGCCACAACGGCTCCTTCCACATTACCTCTTTCGCCCCTTCTAGGACACGGTCTTCCTGCAGAACTCATACCACTTCTGCAGCAACTTGCGTCATCAGCAGTACAAACGATGCCGGTAGTTGCGCATGCGGACACTCTGTTAGATCAGCTGTTATCTATGTCTGCACCCAATCTGAGGTCTAGTATGCTTGTCGATGAGCAAGCATTCGACGATCATGCTGCGGCAAGGCTGAGGCGTATTGGCAAGCCGCTCGGAGCTACGTTCATTGGTATCTCTATTGTCGTGATCCTTGTGGGCTTTCATCGGTACTTCGAGGCACAATACTGGATAGTTCGTGGTAAATTCCCAGCCAGTCGCGGCAGCATTGCCTTTGTTGGACTGATAGCTGGTGCGTTGATTGTGGCGAGCTTCGTCGTTGTTCTCGTCGTCGCGCCGATCAGTTACCAAAAAGCGTAAAAGTTTACACAGTCCACAACCACGTTGTGACCTTCAGGCTGTCTATCGTCTCGACTAGTACAGCAAGCGCTACGGCAGCCCTCGATAGCCCATATCGAGGTAACAGCTCAATTCAACTTGCTCGCGACATGATTAGTTGTAGTACGACAGCGACCACGAACTTTGTGTTCTGTCAGGGATTGTGTTATGAGATCAAAGAAAGTGTATATATGGAAGAGCACCGCTCAAAATGCTGAAAGGCCAAGAGTACGGGATCTTTTTCAAGACGAGGCCGTCCTTCAAAGCTTCTGTTTGCCTGCATAGGTACTGTGCCAAGCCTATTGTACTACAGCAAAGGCAAGGTCTTGAAGTGGGGACCCGAAGTTGTCCTACTCCATTTGCAAGAGATCATGTCTTCTTTCGGTACAAGCATCAGCGTATTTCTGCAGCTTGTTCCGAGGTGATCGGACCAGTATGGAGCGAAGATACGGGAGCTGCTCGACTCGGTTCCGAGAGCTGTTCGTAACTACCTGCAACTTGTCGTGCAACCGAAGGCAGGGTGAACGTCTTTGATTGGCAAGGCAACGGAAAGCCGGGCTGTATGCTGCAATACTGCGAGTCAAGATACTTGCGGGCGGAACAAGATCGTCGCGAGTCAATAGACAGATCCGTTTCACCTGAATCGCCAAAAACAATAATAGTCGATCCTCCATCTCTCTAATTTGCCAGTGAGGCTCATCCCTGTCACACGTCCTACGTAACGCTTACGCAGGCCTTCTCTCTCTCGCTTGTGAAGTTCGCCTGCAGGAACACGACGGCGTGAACAAGTGGCCTAGAAATATGTCGCGTGCGAGGTGAGGAAGTGCGTGGCACAATCTTATCGTTCTCCAGCAAGCACGGTGGCTAGACGACACATGTGTGATAACAAGAACATAACTCCACCACTTGGAAGGCACTGCAATGTCTTAGTCAAAGCCGCCACACTACTACCAACGGAAAGCAAAACTAATGTCCAGGCGAGATGTAAAGCATGGCAAGTTGTGATCATGATCGGCCATCCAGTCTGTCAATGGCGAAAGCATTACAGTAAGGTATAGCAAAGTTGCTGTAGACCTGATAGGTGTTTCAGCATAATTACGACTGCCAATAAAAGTGCATGGTTGCAAGGAAGAGCAACAATATGTCTTGCCAAAGCGCCGAGTGGTTGCATTATGGGTCAAGCCGTCGATCGCTGCAGCTCTTAGCGCAACCTGTGCGAGATTGCACTTGGCAGGAACGCTCCGGCATCGAATCACGCTTAGCGCAAACCCGCAATTCCCCTTTCGTCGCTCCCTTGAATACAACTGCAAGCCTCGTTTTGAAGTGAACCTTCCCCAGCTGCGATAGTTCTTGTCGAGTTTTACCTCGTCGTTGCTTCTACGTTCAGAGAGTTCTGCTCTCGTGCCATTCCTTTGTCCCTCTCTATCGAGTCATTCATTCAAGCCTGCAAGATCTGGCTAACAACAAGAACAATAACACATTCCAGCACAGACTCCTGCTGCGATCATATGATCTTTGAGCGTTGTATGTACAGATACGGGCGGTTCCTTTGTCCGACCTTTGTTACCCTTCACCAACCACTCAATTCTTTGGCTGCGGTCGTCCGCTCCCTACCTTTGTCGCTCGTTTGAAACTAATACCTTCTCGAACATACAGACTGCACGAATTCGTTACGACCCTTGTCCAGTTGAGTTTTCGCTGTATGATACATATTTGAGACCTGCAAAAGAGCACGGAGGGAAGGAACGTGCAAGATGAAAGTGTCAACACTCGCCTTGACGGCAGTCACTACTGCCGGTGTTGCCCTCGCACAGCCACACAAGCACCAACATGGTCATTTACACGGAATAAACAAGCGAACACAAACAGAAACTACCTGGGTATCCGGTCCCACTGCTTACGCCTTCGTCCTGGATGGAAAGACGCTGTCAGTGGATGAGGTTTGCAGCGGTATCGCAAACAACAAGTTGAAATGGGCTGATGATGCCCCAGAGGGAATCTGTTCTTCTACCAGCTCGCCTGCTGCGCCTTCTCCATCGCCCTCTTCTTCCGCTCCATCGTCTTCTGCGGCTCCAACGACTACATCCGCTGGCGCCACGACTTCACCTGCGGCTAGCTCTGCTGCAGCTGCTTTTTACCAGAAATCTTCTTCATCAGACGCACCTTCCTCATCCACAAGTTCTGCACCAGCCTCGACCGGCGCTTGGTCCTCTTGGAGTGGCAACAGTGGAGGTGGCGGCCTCGACAGCGAGTTCCCAGATGGCCAATTAGATTGCTCGACTTTTCCTTCGCAATATGGCGCTATTCCCCTCGATTACCTTGGCTTAAGTGGATGGTCAGGTCTACAGGCTGTGACCTTCGGCAATAGCGCTATTACACATATCGTGACTGGCATTGCTGGCGATTCCTGCAAAGAGGGAATGATGTGCTCCTACGCCTGTCCTCCAGGTTATCAGAAGTCGCAGTGGCCTGCAACACAAGGCGCTACTGGTCAATCTATCGGAGGAATCCAGTGCAAAGGTGGTAAGCTGCATTTGACGAACCCAGGTCTATCGAAGTCACTTTGCATGCCTGGGCAAGGAGGTGTCATGGCTAAGAACAGTGCTACTGGGACTGTCGCCATCTGCCGAACCGACTACCCAGGTACTGAGTCAGAGACAATCCCAGTCGAACTTCAGCCAGGTGCCAGCGATCAGCTTACTAATCCTAACGCTGCATCTTACTACGTGTGGCAAGGAAAGTCGACCTCGGCACAATACTACCTCAACCCGATAGGCACTTCTGCACAGGAAGGCTGCCAGTGGGGCACACCAGGCTCTAACAAGGGCAACTATGCTCCCATCAATTTCGGTGTTGGTTACAAGGATGGCAAGACTTGGCTGTCAATCTTCCAGAACAAACCAACAACCAGCACGCTTTATCAAGGCACAGTTGAGATTCAAGGTGACGTGTCAGCGAAGTGTATCTACCAGAATGGCCAATACTGTGGTGCAAGTGGCTGCAACTCTGATGGTTGCACTGTGAGTCCATACCATTTGGTCGTCCGAAAAATTGTCACTAACTGTCTTCTTAGGTATCCGTCAACTCTGGTACAGCCACATTTGTTGTATCAAACTAGAAAACTTGTCATGTCTTACAGGATCGAATCGTGTGGTCTTGCATTCTTGCGCATATTGTACTGCGTCTATATCTTGTCATCGTCTTGGCTACAGAATCTAGATGGCACTCGGTGCCGAAGAAATAGTTAGAACTCTTCATGGAGCTTGAGATCCTACCTAGCGGGATTCGCGGGTCGAAATTTGTTATCCGAGTGATCTACTGAGCTATCGGCTAAATCTTGCGACTTGGAAGATTGTCTTGGAAGCAGCTGTCCATCTGTATATAGAGCGATATGACGGTTCGGACCGACGAATTAGATTCGATGGTGAGATATTGTCACAGGTTGATATTTGCTCATCATGTGTGAGCAAGATTGGTATTTAGCAGGCCTAGCTGCCAACTCAATTCGTATCATGCCAATTGCTTCGACTTCATCATCACCTTCTTCATAGATCCACTATCAACAGCCGGTACAAGAGGTACATTCCCATTCTGGTTCTATTGGTCCGTACATCATGGCCCAGCAGCCGTGCTCATGGCTTGCCTGACCCTGGTAAAGCCACAAGCTCGTATAGATCGGTCCAGCTCGGGCACTCGATCGTGCTCCACCACCAGCCCGATACTCGACGACGGCTTGCATACGCCACTTGCGGTGTGGCGTACGGCGCCCAAACCTTGCAGTGGATGTCCACAGATTAACGTGAAACCCCGATACAAAAATACGAAGAGTAGTGCCTTGAGGACGACTGTGACCACAGTGATTCTACGCATTCTACGCCATGGTAACCAGGCTAGCTTTCACATGAATCAAGTGGCAGCATGGGGAAGTCTACCAAGACAATAGGAAGTGAAGGTAAATACAATATTTCGGATGGAATAATTGAGTAGAGTGTTGTGTCCTACTCGACAACTCAAGAAGTATTCACCCGCTAACAGAATCACAACCTGTAACCAATGACTATAGCGACAGCAGTTGCTCACGACCGATGATTGGCAACCTGGTCCTCAATAAAGACCCCTGGAGTTGAGTGGGTTCCGTTAGCGGGTGAATACTTCTTGAGTTGTCAAAGTAATAAGAACGTCAATCGTTGAAAAATCATGATGTCATTAATGCCTTGGAGCCATATTTTCTCTCGTCGCGGTTGTTCTTCGTACCCCTCAGCTCCGAGTCTGACACGCGTCGACCATCTGTGTCTGCTTCCATTTCCGGATTCACTATATAGCAGCTCAAATGCCTCCTGACTTTGCGCCGCTGAAAAATGACCGCATATTACGTGCCGCCAGAGGTTTGTCTGCCTGATCACTTCCTCGGCTCAGAAACAAAAAAGCTGATGGCATGATTAGGCCAAACGGTCGACCGACCGCCTATGTGGGTAATGCGACAAGGTGAGCCATCTTAACGGCGCATGGTTAGTGCCTTGCTATGTATTCCGGTACTATTTGGCTTACGAGAGAATTCAAGCTGGTCGTTACCTTCCAGAGTACCACGAAGCGAAAGGCAAGAACGATTTCTTCGCTTGCTGCCGCTCACCTGAAATCGCGTCTACCTTGACCCTGCAACCTATCGACCGTTACGATGGCTTCATCGATGCTGCAATCATATTCAGCGACATTCTAGTGATACCACAGGCTATGGGCATGGAAGTGCTCATGGTGGATGGTGTGGGCCCACGGTTCCCAAATCCTTTGAGAAGTCCATCCGACCAGCAGTATGCAGACTTGTTAGCAAAAGAGGTCGATGTCAAGAAGGAGTTGGACTATGTCTACAAAGCGATTACACTCACACGTCAGAAGCTGGATGGCCGCGTTCCACTCATCGGTTTTTGTGGCGCGCCTTGGACATTATTGTGCTACATGGTGGAAGGTGGTGGAACCAAGATGTTTCGTGAGGCGAAGACATGGGTCTTCAAGTATGGTGAAGAAGGCAAGAAGTTGCTGCAGAAAATTAGTGAGATATGCGTGGAGTACCTGGTCCTACAGGTTGAAGCAGGTGCCCAGATGCTGCAAGTGTTCGACTCTTGGGCTGGTGAGCTCACTCCTGCCAGTTTTGAGGTGATGAGCTTGCCATACTTGAGGTATATTTCCAAGCATACAAAGGAACGATTGAAAGAGAGAGGACTAGATGTGGTACCTATGACAGTATTTGCCAAAGGTGCATGGTATGCTTTGGACCAATTGTGCGAGTCCGGCTACGAAGTTGTAGGCTTGGACTGGTTACACGATCCTGCACAAGCGGTTGAGATTGCAAATGGAAGGGTCACGTTGCAAGGCAATGCTGATCCTGGTGTTCTATATGGAAGCAATGCTTCGATAACAAACGTCGTGGAACACATGGTACAGGGCTTCGGCGGAGGGAAGCAGAGATGGATCGTGAACTTGGGCCATGGAATTACGCCAGGCGTTGATCCCGAGAAGCTTAAGCTCTTCTTCCAGGAGATTGTGAGACATACAACATGACTCGATCTTCGATGGTGTTGTAAGCCTAGCCTATAGATATTGTACAGAATCGACGAATCACTGTTCACCAATATCTTCGTTCCTAGACGTCTGTGAGTTCAACTTCCACAGGTGTCTCGGTCAAATTGCACTCACCAGACATCAGGCTTCTCATTGATAAATTTTCGCATAAGTTCTTTACAAGTTTCATCATCCAGCACCACCACCTCAATGCCTCGGTGCTTCAAATATTCCTCACCACCGACAAACGTCTTATTCTCGCCAATCACAACTCGACTTACCTTGTACAGAATGCAAGCTCCAGTACACATGTCACAAGGCGAGAGTGAGGTATACATGGTAGCTCCCTGATATGCTGTTGCTGGAAGTCTTCCAGAGTTTTCGAGCGCAGATATTTCGGCCTGATGACAAAGAGAAGGATCAGAGCGGAACTTCCTACTGATAATTCTCTGTGAACCGAGCTTGTACTCATCCGCAAAGGTGTAGAGGAAAATGTTCAGTGATGCAGACCTACATGGAGGGTAGCACTTCCTTTCTGAACTCGTAGATTGTGCCCTTTTCCGATGATCGTGCCATCTTTTGCGACCAGACATGCGCCTATGGGCACGCCGCCTTCATCGTAGCCGGCTTGCGCTTCTTCCACCGCAGCTCTAAATCCCGGGTCGGATGCTGACATGATGTTGAAGGGTAGATACACTGATGAGAGGAGCTACACGTCTGTGTTTGTCCAGCTCTTTTGGATATATACACGAAAGAATATTAGGGCTTGTTCGGCATGGGTTGAGCTGATGTGCTTGGATAACTTTGAAACAGGAGTCAGTAATAGCTACGTTGATAAGGATTGCAGAATTGGTGCCCGTCGGTCAAATCCGGTTTCCAGTTGTATACTGGTTCACTTCGGATGCTCTCACAGTATCGCTAATCGCGCATAGGGCTGCCACGCAATACGACAATGGTCACTGGTATATAAATTCAATGAATGGCAAAAGAGATCCCAATCTGCCAGTTTCTGTTCATGGGCAGTGACATTCGACGTAGACTGCTCAGTGCAGGAGCCTATTGTTATGAGGCTCAACTCTCTATATCTTCCGGTGTTGCCCTTTCAGATGCGGTACAGGTCGACGCCTTTAGTGACACTGATATAGAGCTGACTCTATCCAAGATGTTTGCAGATACTTGTGTTTAAGATCTCATCATTGACTGAAGTGGATTGCCGAGAGCTGTCAGGCAAACACCTCCCGTATCAGGGACAATTTTAGCTGAAACTGGGGAGCAACTGAGAATCTGATTGGACAACGCTTCAACAGAACCCGCTAGAATTCAGAAGAAGATGATCATCCGGATGAGGATCGTGAGGCTGCAAGGTTTGCCTGCATTACAGATAACACAAATTTCCAATAGGCGACGGCTCAGCCGAAGTAAAAGGCAAACATTGAAAACACCGTGAATTCGCATCTGCGACTGCAACACTCGATTGTCTGATTATTTTGTACTGCGCCGATCTTTCTACCTCAGAACATACCATCCGTTGAGTTCAGTCAACTGTTACACCTGCGCTTGACGACTTCCCACACACGATCAAAGGATTTGTCGCTTGCCGTTTGCCCGCTTGAAACCTCTTACAGCCAGTCAAGATGCCTAAAGAAACGAAGTATTATGAGATGCTGGGGGTCAGTGTTATAGTCCTACTAAAGACATGATCACTGTCTAACATCTGACAGATCTCGCACACCTTACAGGGCGAGGAGTTCCAAGCAAAGTTAAGGACTTGCTACAAGAAAGCTGCACTCCGATTCCACCCTGGTTAGTCATCTCACTTGCGCAGGCTTACCACTCTTTACTAACAATTGAGAAGACAAGAACAAGGGCGACGATGCTGCAGCCGAGAAATTCAAGGAAGTCTCAAAGGCGTACGAAGTTCTCAAAGAAGACCGATCACGAATGATATACGACCAATATGGTGAAGAAGGTCTTGAGCAGCAAGGTGGTATGCCTGGTGGCGGTATGGCTGCGGAAGATTTATTCGCACAATTCTTCGGTGGCAGTGGCTTTGGTGGTGGTCTGGGTGGTATGTTTGGTGGTGGCATGAGGGATACAGGCCCAAAGAAAGCACGCACGATTCACCACGTCCACAAAGTCTCCCTCGAGGATATCTACAAGGGCAAAATTTCGAAACTTGCGCTACAGAAATCCATAATTTGTCCTGGTTGTGATGGTCGAGGAGGTAAAGAGGGCGCAGTCAAGAAATGTGCAGGCTGCGACGGTCAAGGTGTCAAGACTATGCTGCGACAAATGGGTCCTATGATCCAACGTTTTCAGACAGTTTGCTCGGATTGCCAAGGAGAGGGCGAGACCATGCGGGATAAGGACCGCTGCAAACGCTGCCAGGGCAAGAAGACAGTCGTGGAAAGGAAAGTGCTGCATGTTCACGTCGACAAAGGTGTCAAGAATGGTCACAAGATCGACTTCCGAGGAGAAGGCGATCAAATGCCTGGAGTACTTCCTGGTGACGTCCAATTTGAGATCGAACAGAAACCACATGCACGATTTCAGAGAAAAGACGACGATCTTTTCTACCACGCCGAGATCGATCTTCTGACCGCAATCGCTGGTGGTCAAATCTACATCGAACATCTCGACGACCGCTGGCTGACAGTAAATATCTTCCCTGGAGACCCAATTACGCCAGGTGCAGTCAAAGTCATCAAGGGTCAAGGTATGCCGTCTCTGAGACATCATGACCATGGCAACCTTTACATTCAGTTCGACGTCAAGTTCCCGGACAAGACACAATTACAGAATCTGCACCTGCTTGAGCAAGTCCTTCCACCACGAATACACCAACAGGCTCCGTCTCCAGACGCTATGCAAGAAGACTTCGATTTAGAGGATGTTGATCCTCGAAACCAAGCTCGTGCGCAAGGAGCAGCATATGGCGAAGATGAAGAAGATGAGATGCATCCTGGTGCTGAGCGCGTACAGTGTGCTTCGCAGTAAGCAACCAACGACGAGGTTGACGAGTTTCATGAGTCAAACGAGAGGAGAACCATAGACCGCGGCGGCGTTCGGAGTAGTCTCTACTAGGCAGGCCACTGGGTGACCGTAAGCATGGTAGGCACCGGAGTTGAGGAGGCATGTTGGTGCCATTCATTTTGTTGTGGAAGAACACAAATCAGTGTCAAAGAAGTGCTGCTCGATGCAGATCTTTAACTCACAACAACTACTATAGGTTAATGCAAGCATGCTTCTAGATCGACGCCCTCTATCCCGACCACACCAGGCACTAGCTCGTTGGATTTGCTTCTGGCATTTGGCAACTCGACGGCTCTCTTTGCACAAAAGCTTCACGGATCTTGGGCATCTTGACTTCAGGGCGTCTCGAACGTTCTCGAGCTAGTGCTCCGCTCGTTGTTGCGCTGCATGAGGTGCTCGCGACAAGCCGACTCTTCAGGCGGAACCATCTTGCTCGCCAGAGTCCAAAGGATCCAGGAATGCCCAGTCACTAATCGAGTATTGGTCACTTGCCTTGACCTCGATCGTTCGCCCAAACTCTCGGTTCGACCTCGACAGAATAGGGGGCCCATCGGTTCGAGTCGTTTGCAGACCAGACACCTTAGCTGAGTCTAGGTTAGCGATGGTGAGTACACACGGTTCGATCCCGCTTAAGAATGCAAGGCAAATGAATCAGCTTCAGTCACTGACTGGGCGTGTCTACCACAGTAGAGATGGACGTCTGCGTATCCTGTATAGGACGTCGGATCATCGTTCAATGGCACGACGATCATATTGCTTGAATGCTGTGAACATCGAGCTTGGCCTTCGCGCAACGTCGTTAACGTGAATTTGAACAGCAGGGATCAAAATGAAAACCTTCTCTTGGAAATGGTTGTCGAAGTTTTATGTTTCCTGCCTACATCCAAACTTGCTGCCCTTGTACGAGTACCGCTGACAATAGCGGCCATGAATTACCCAGACACGAAGGCTGCATTGTGTGCATTAATTTGCAGACATCTACAATTGTTAGTTTACGGATATAAGAACCAATCTACTCACGCTTTCACTAACTCATTTTCTCGACGGACTTTGCAAATTAATGCACCCAGAACCTCTTCTTCGTAGCATTTCCACAAACTCAAGAACGACTTCCGACTTGCGTCATGTCACATCTCCGTCGCTTGGTAATTGCACCATCGCGTGGATCTCCCGCTTCGTCGGGAACACGATTGACTGGAGAACTTTAAAGAGCTTCTTTGTTTCCGTGCTTCCACTTCACTCGCCTCAACCATGTTCTTTCTGCACGATCACCGTGATGGCGGCGTCATTATCACGAAAAAGATACTATCGTTTTTCTCTTGGTACGACCAGCGCGAAGTCTGTTGAACTAATCTTTCAAAAATGGTATCCGCCCGAGCAGGGGTCTATCTCGGTCAAAGGCATGCACGCCTCTCATGCTCAGTTTTGCTTGTCCTAAGAGAAGATCGAGCCACATGGAGCTTGACTAGCTCGTGTGATGCTTGCGCTGTCGGCTAGATTTTGAGGTCCTAATGTGTCAAAGGCAATGGCTAGAGGGTTGCGCCCACTGCATATATCAGAATCCGCAGAATGTTTAAATGTCTGGCAAAAAATCAACTTGGTTCTGTGATATAAGTTCATTGTAAGTCCTTGCGGTATCGAATCTCTCCGCAGGCAGTTCCTACCCATACACCTTTGTTGGCGGAAACTAGCAACGACACTGCAGTGCTGTATCACCTTGGCGCTACTCGAGGAGCACGTACCATATATCGACCGATAACAGGTTCGAGCTGTAACGGCTACACGTAGTTGGGGCGAAGACTCCTACGTGTGCCTCTGTATCTCCGGTTTCGACATCGAATTGCAATATGGCTTCTACCTCGTCGAAAGTCGGGCATGGTCTGGCTAAGGTTCTGGGTATCAAGCTTGATCAACACAACCCCCCAGAGGAAGTTTTGACTCGGGGTGAATCAGCCTATTCTGTCGATACTGCCGACACATACTACGATTCAGAGCCCACAACGGCAGAGTGGCTACATGACCTCGTTCCTGGTCGCTCAGCCGTAATCAGCTATTTCAGAGACCTCTTCCCATTTACGAGATGGATTATGCGATACAATTTAGTATGGTTGACAGGAGACTTGGTGGCAGGTATCACCGTTGGCTGTGTTGTCGTTCCACAATCTATGGCATATGCCAGGTTAGCTGAGCTACCTGTCGAGTTCGGCTTGTACTCTTCCTTCATGGGAGTCCTTATCTATTGGTTCTTCGCTACTTCAAAAGATATCACGATCGGTCCTGTCGCAGTCATGTCGACACTAGTCGGCAACATTGTCGTGCGAGTCCAGGACCAACGTCCTGATATCCCTGCTTGGCAAGTTGCTAGTGCTCTAGCCATTGTCGCTGGTGGTATCATTTGTTTCTTGGGCCTTATTCGTTGTGGCTGGCTCGTTGAGTTCATTCCGCTTACTGCTATTTGTGCCTTCATGACAGGATCGGCCATTAACATCGCTGCCGGTCAAGTTCCTGGTATGATGGGTATCTCAGTCAAAGGATTCAACACTCGCGATTCAACTTACAGGGTCATCATCAACACACTCCGATACCTTGGCCATACAAAACTCGATGCCGCTATGGGTCTTAGTGCTTTGGTAATGCTCTATCTGATTAGAGGCTTCTGCAACTTCATGGCAAGGAAACAACCTCAAAGACAGAAGGCATGGTTCTTCACCGCAACCTTACGAACAGCTTTTGTCCTTCTGTTGTACACTATGATTAGTTGGCTCGTACAACGGCATCATAGAAAGAGCCCAACCTTCAAAATCCTGGGCAAAGTTCCACGAGGCTTCCAACACGCGCAGGTTCCCGTTGTCAATAGCGAAATCATCTCACTCTTTGTAAGTGAGTTGCCTGCCACCGTCATTGTCCTATTGATCGAGCACATCGCCATCTCTAAGTCTTTCGGTCGCATCAACAACTACACTATCGATCCTTCGCAGGAGCTCGTTGCAATTGGTGTTACGAATCTTCTCGGCCCATTCCTCGGTGGCTATCCATCGACAGGATCCTTTTCACGAACCGCAATCAAATCTAAGGCTGGTGTCCGTACTCCACTTGCCGGTGTCATAACCGCTGTCGTGGTCTTGCTTGCAATTTACGCCCTGACTGCTGTGTTCTTCTACATACCGAGCTCGGCACTCTCTGCAGTCATCATTCACGCAGTGCTGGATTTGATCACTCCACCTAACACCGTCTACCAATTCTGGCGAGTCAACCCACTCGAGACGATCATCTTCTTTGCAGGTGTTCTAGTCACAATCTTCACCACCATCGAGAATGGTATCTACACCACAGTCTGTATTAGTGTCTTTGTCCTGCTGTTCCGTGTCGTCAAGGCACGAGGACAGTTTGTCGGCAAGGTCAAGATCCACTCTGTCATTGGCGATCAATACTTGGAAGACAAGACACAAACGAACTCAACAGACCCCGCCAAGTTCTACGATGACGATGTTGCCATCAGAGACACCTTCCTGCCCATTGACCACACTGACGGCAGCAATCCCTCAATTCAGGTCGAATCACCGTACCCAGGTGTCTTTATCTATAGATTCACCGAAGGTTTCAACTACCCCAATGCTAACCACTACCTCGATTATCTTTCACAATATATCTTCCAGCATACCCGACGTACCAATCCAGCTGCTTGGGGACGTCCTGGCGATAGACCATGGAATAATCCTGGTCCTAGACGAGGAAAGACTGAGGATGATCGTTCTCACCTTCCCACACTCAAGGCTGTGATCCTTGACCTGTCCGCGGTCAACAACGTCGACGTCACTAGCATTCAGATCCTGATCGACGTACGCAATCAGCTTCAACGTTATGCTGCACCAGACGTCGTACAGTGGCATTTCGCTTCAGTCCGCAACCGATGGACCAAGCGTGCCTTGGCATCCGCAGGCTTCGGCTTCCACACTGGACCGAACGATGAGACCCACCGATGGACTCCGATCTTCAGTGTTGCTGAGATCGGTGGCTCTTCTTCAGCTGCTGCTCAAGCTGACCGAGAAGCACATCAAGGCATCTCTGGAATCCGTACTCGCGATGAAGAGGCCAACAACAAAATCACCGATGAAAAGATCGCCCCTGCTAGTTCTAGCAGCTCTAGTGACGACCTTCAGAAGGAGGTTGGAAAGAGCAAGGTGTACAGCGCACCACGTAAGGCGGTCGTACATGGTCTGAATAGGCCCTTCTTCCATCTTGACCTTACCAGCGCTTTACAAGCAGCCATTGCCAACGTTGAAGCAGACAAACAGGCTGGTCGGACTTACAGCACAAGCATTGGTCTGCGGTAGTAGGAATCGAAATTTGGTATAGATGGTCGAAGGATGGCGCAGTAAGCACCTGTGACATCAGGATGATGGACGCCAAAATGGACCTTCAAGGAGACGGAAAATTGATACCCATATGAATAATGTGATCATAACACATAATGCAATTATATTCAGCAGTGAACTCTTCCTCTTTTTTCTTCCCCTCATGCCACCTAGGAAGCACGATCATCAAGATGTCTGTGCTGCCGGTCGTTCACCACACCCGCAATAAACTTACAATAATCGCAGACCTTCACAGCTGCCCACTCCAATGATTTCGCCCCTTGTCTTCCTCGGTTTCTCGGTTTCTCGGTTTAAATTCTGAAGTCATGCGACAGGGTTAGCGAACCGAGTTAGAAGCCACAAATTTCACGGACACAGCAGCACCTCGGTTTCCTGAAGCAGCGAAGATACCAGCGTAGAAGACGCGCACAGAAACGAGATTGTTCTTTTGCAACGAAATTCAGCAGAAATGCGAATCATCGTATAGAATTAGACAAGTCCGGAACGGGCATTGATTCACCTCAAATCTTCCACAGATTCTTGCTTCACCTCTACCTTCTCTTCATGTAAAACACCACCACCATCCAATTTAATCTCCGCCTCCTCCTTCTCGACCTCAACATCCACACCCTCCTTCTTGACTCTCTTCCTCTTCTTCTCTTCCTTCTTCACCCACCCCTTAACCTCGCCTTTACATAACCTTCTTCCAGCAAGCGGACACTCACCACACCTCCTCCCAATAGGCAAACACACAGTTTGCCCCAGCCCGACCAGCATCTTGTTGATCTCATGCCACTTATCATGCGGGAGCCATCCCTCAAGCCATTCCCTCGTCTGCTCTGGTGTCTTGGTGGTATGCCAGCCCCACAGATTCGTGATCCGATGAACATGTACGTCAACGCCTATCCCGACGTCCTGCTTCCATGCTGCACTCATACAGAGATATGCCATTTTGGGACCGACGCCTGGTAGGGAGACTAGTCCTTCAATGGTATCGGGTATATCATTTTTATATTGAGATTGCAGGATCTGCGCGACTTGCTTGATGTGTTTTGTCTTTGTGTTGTGGAAGCCTACTTTGCCTATTAGGCTGTCGAGGTGGACGGGATCGGCTTTGAGGATATTCGCGACCGTTAGACAGGACGTGAGAACCTTGCCTGTCGTTGGGTCTGTAGGAGCATGGGATGCGAGCTCTGTGTGTAGTCTTTGCATTGCTGCGGCAGTGACTGTGTCTTTTGTCTGAGAGGACAGCATGAGGGCTGTGAGGGTGTGATAGCGTTGTTCGTGGGAAGGAGATGCTTGGTGGTACAGGTCCTCACAGCCCATTGTGTCGACGGGGGCTATAGGATTCGCAGCGCGAAAGTCTCTGATAAGGTCATATATCGTGTCCCAGTTTGAGGGAGGTTTGTAGCGCAGCGTTCCTCCTGGCGAGGTTGAGCGTTTTGCTGGAAGTTTCGGTAACGATTTAGATGGGGAGCCGGTCTCTTCTGCAAAGTCTTCATCCTCCGAGGCTGCGACATCGTCTTCGTGTTCTTCGTGTTTTACTGCTTTCCGTCTGGGTGTTCTCGAGGGAGTCTTCCGTTCAGTCTTGATGATAGTTTTTGGAATTGCGGGCGAAGCAGCTACCCCATTCCTCTTTCGCTTCTTCGAGGACCCCGGAAGACTTCCAACATCCTCTATATCGCTTGCTGGCGGCGGAGTTGAGTCCAAAGTGGTAAGCTGTTCCTCCTCTTTGACCTCAACTGTACCATCATAACCCAGTGCAAAGGTGGCGATACTCTTTCCTGCAGTCCTCGAGCTCCTCGTTGATCTTGTATTGGTCGTTATCGCATTGAATATACGACCCGTATCTCGCGAAAGCTTGGAAGTGCGCATTCTTGCTGTGATGCTGCTTGAACGACCTTCAGTGGACGCAGTCGGTATCTAATCGAGCTGGAGCTCGGGGAACTTTTCGAGCTTGAGGACCCCTTATCGATCGAGGTGGATCTACCCCGGATCTTGTCGCGCTAGGCACGCTCAGTGCCTGCATTAGCGATGACTCTAGGCGCGAGGTCGGAACAGCAGCTGACCGTGGCCGGACAATGCAGCTGCGAAAGTCGTGTGGCTGGTTCGGGATATCAGCCAAAATTGAATGTGCTGAGTTTCTCAGCAAGCGACCTCGTTTTCGACTTCAGCTACATCGGATTCCTCGATACAACACTCACACAAAGCAGCAAACATGTCACGCACCTCCTCCCGCGCCTCAGCTCCACGCAGCTCACGCGCAAGCCCATCCAATCCCCTCAAACGCCTCACCAACGAAATCAACGACCTCCGCAGCTCTCCCAACGATGCAGTCCTCCACCTCGGCCCAGCCAACGACGACGACCTCTTCCACTGGGAAGCTGTCCTCAAAGGTCCACGCGACCAGTCCTCACCCTACGCTGGCGGCCTCTGGCTCCTCTCCATAGAAATCGCATCAAACTACCCTCTCAGCCCACCAAAAGTCCGCTTCGTCACGGCTATATGCCATCCCAATGTACATTTCCAGACGGGTGAGATTTGTCTGACTCTGTTGACGACGGAGCACTGGGCGCCGAGCTACACTCTGAGCAGTACGATGAGTGCGATACAGCAGTTGCTGAGTGATCCAGGACTGGACAGTCCTTTGAATGTGGATATTGCGAATTTGTATAGAGAGGACGATGCTGTGGGGTGGGAGAGCTTGATTAGATTTTGGACGGCAGAGAAGAGGTGGCAGGGAGAAGGGAGTGCTGGTTGGATCACGCAGATGGGACCTGGCACGGGTGGTTATTCTGGGCAGCAGAGTCAGTATGCAGGAATCTAGCATGATCTGGTCCCTCACTCAAGTCAGTATTATTGTGGACATCTATGCTCGAGATATTAATGGTTGCCAGTAAGTGTTCGTGTGTTTGGAAGATATGTCAAGCTTTTTCAAATTAAGCAATTATGAACATTCTGAAAGATCATGGCGTGTGAATGCCAGCAGACCATGCTAAATCTCCGACGTCGTACCAAGTCCTGTGCTGATTTGACCTCTTCTTCCAGAGTGAATACAAAAGACCATCACGCTAACGGCGGAAAGAAGCATTCTCCCACAAATGAAATCGTCACTGTTCAATAGACATTTTTGGCGATGCAGGAGCCTTTTCCGAGAGAGTGTTTGCCCTCTTCCTGCCAAAGAAACTCCTCGTCTTGCTTTTGCTCCGTGGCTTCTTCTTTTCACCTTCATTGATCGCCAATCCTCTCGACCTTGTAATTTTGTCGTCATTATTATCGTTGTATTTCTCCTTGTATATCCAACTATTTCCAATCATACTCACACCCTGGTCGGCTGCTAGGCGGTAGAATTTGGCTGCTCGTTTGAGGTCTTTCTTGCATCCGACACCCTCTGCATAGCAGAAACCTGCTTCTGTCATGGCATCGACATCGCCCCAAGTTCCCGCTATCTCGAAACAGCGAAGGGCTAGAGCTTTGTCCTGCTCCACTCCCCATCCGTTGAGGTGACTTATTCCTAGCTCGTAGATAGCTAATGCAAATTGAGCACGGTGAGCTTTCTTCTCCTGGAAGTCGGCCTTGGGCAAGGGACTTGCACCATTCTCGTCTTCGGCCACCTCTAGCATACCAATGTCAACAGCTTTGCGCAACAGTGCCACACCTTCCTGAGGGTTTGCTCGCATACCCCAGCCGTGCCGACACGCCAGAGCGTACAGCAGCATTCCAGTCGGGTGGTTCTGCTTTGCAGCTATCCTCAGGTGATACGTCGATTCCTTCAAGCTACCATTCTGGTGCAGGGATATAGCTTTCTCAACGTGCTCGTCTGCACTCAGAGCCTGATAGTCGCTATGTGATCGTGCAGTCGTCGGCCTAATAGTGCTAGCTGATCTCTCTGTCGAAGTAGTAGGTCTGGACGATCTTAATGACATGTCGTCCACGGTCGAGCCAGGTATTGTGGGCAAAGTCGGCATAAATGATTTATTCGTGGGAGAGCTGTCATGTAGGGATTTAGACCGTGGTTCTACTACAGCAACTGCGGTATCGGGTATCTGTGTGGATCTTGAGGAAGATGATCTTTCAGGTTGCTCCGTAGCTCGAAAATTGTTCTGTTCAAATCCAAATGCGAAATCAGTACGGGCAGACATTGGGGTCTGCTGCGCATAGCTCGGCTTTACGAGATCGACACTTGACCGACCAGGATGGAAACCAAGCCTAGCAGATGGAGAGCCATTTACCAGAGGATCGTCCTTGTCGGCAGGAGACTGTGGTAGAGGCATACCAGGAAAAACCGGTTCTTTCCATTCGAGGGTTGGACCAGATAATTCAGAAAATAGTTGCGAAACGCGCTGTACCGCTTTATCGGAGAACTTCCCCCTTGGTAAAGTAAATTTATTATGCGTGTACGGAGAATCTGATGAAACAATGGATCCGTCTGACAAGACAGACCTGTCGTCTTCGAAAGAAGTCAGGCTCCTGGCCTGTTCCGATAAGTGCGAGGATTTCCGCTCCAGCGAATGACCTGGTCGAGTTGGAGAGTCGACCTTCAGATTCATAGTTGCTGGACTCATAGGCCGAGAAAAGTTGAACTGATTTCTAGCTTTAGTCAAGCTTGCAACAGAAATCTCTGATCTGTTCGAAGGGGTCCGCTCGTGCTGAGAAGGCAGTGCTGGAGAGACAGGGAAAGACATGCCACTGCTATTGGACAATTTCCGAGGTTGTGAAAACGTAGATCCAGCATTGGAGCTTGTATAGTCGTCATCTGAACTTTCGGGATATGGTCTACTCTTCGTAAATGGCGCAGAAGGAGGGACTAAACCACTGGAATACGTCGTTTGAGGGATGCTCGATAATGCTTGGTGCATGCCTGAAGGACGAATAAACTGTTCGTTTACGGGCTCAGGTGACGATGTCCTTTGCAAGTCAAAGTAATCCTGAGTATGTAAGGTGGAAGGGTGCTCCTGGGGAGTCTTGAATACCTGGTTGTGTGAATGATCTTCGTTTGGTGCAATAGCACCCAATCGTGGATACGAGGACGTTGGCCTCTGTAGAGGTTCATTGTATTCTGGATTAAATCCTGACGACTGGAGATCTTGCCTCTGTGGAATCGGAGGAACAGTCTCGTCGGACTGAGCTGAAAGAGAACGAAAACATGCTGGTCTATTGGCCTGGTGTTGGGAAAGCGATTTAGTGATCACAGCTGGTGGCAATCTGCTCATCCGCCGTTCTCCTGCAATCCTTGTTGCCTCCAATTCTTTCGCCAGACGTCGACTCTCTGCGGCAATGGCATCGAGTGGTGAAAGAAGGGGAGGAATCTCGCCATCAAAATGCTGAATACGAGGTGATGGGTGGGCTGAACGTGCTGTACCAGCAGCACCAAAGGCGCGCGAACCTGTCGCTGATAAGTCTATGTACATCGGCCGCTCCATGACTTTCACAGCGGTCGTCCCTGCATCGGATGGTTTTCTGTCGGACAAAGAGATATGCGAGTTGCAGGCATAAGACAGTGGGCTGTGTTTAGTTACGTGGTGAAACTGTTGTACAGAACTCGTTTGTGATACAGAAAATTACTGCATGCAAGCCACGCTGCTTACTTGGAACGGCGGATTAAGTCGACGACGATATGGTACAGAACACGAAAGGAAGTCTGACTGCACGTCTGGTTGAGGATACACAGTTTCAGATGCAACATGTACTGAGCAGAAATTGACCGCGACGCACCAAGTTTGGAAGTTTACAAGGATGCTCCTAGTCGAAGTTGCAGGCGTGACACCTCTAGTGCTGGGGAGGAGGAGCTCTTTGGTGGGTTTCTGTCGCGACAACGCTGTTTGCCGAAGCTAACGAGCTTGGCGACTGCAGGTCGCAGTTTTCCCCCGTAAAAGGACATGCAGCATGGGGCTGGCTATTCATTGTGGCTACTCCGTACACGAAGTAGTGCCCTGAAAATCACAAGTACCTGTACAGGCTCTGTTCATGTGTTGCTACGAGCACCAAGACAGCTGTATGGCTTGTATTATCAAAGCTGCGAGCTCTTACATCTTCGCCTTGAACGGTTGGATCACCTTCCTGCGATCATCCGTGCCGAGATAACCATGTCGAGATCTTTCTAACTTAAAATTGTGTCACCAACATCAAGAGTGAAGTTTTTGGCGAGCTGGTTTTTTTCCTGAGATAAAACCCTAAATTGCCAGCAGCATTTAGTTTTGATCAGCACGACTTAACGCCGCACCAAGTCTTGACCGGCAAGCGTCTTCGTACCAACGCAATCCTAGATGGGCAGTGCGTAGTTTCTCAGGCTGATAACCTGCGAACGAACAAACAGAAAAGGTCTTGCAGAGCGGCACTGGATAACAGGCAAGCTTGCAGACACAACTGAGACAAGCATGATCAACGAACCATGCTGTGCTTTGGTTTTCGTTTGTTGAGACTTCTCCAAATGTTTGGATTTGATCAGATCCTGACGGACTGGTGGAGGCCTGGACGATGATCATTGATTCCACCAGAGTACGAGGATCAGAAAGATGCTGATTCGCTACCTTTTTGTTGCTAAATTCATCCTCACCTTCATCTCGAATAATGTCTATCACCTCAAGTGGTAGCTGGCCAAATGATGACAGGCTCAGCTGTTCTCGATGATACTTTCCTGGCTCCTACTTAGTTGTTGCTCAAGCAATAGCAGCACCAGATGGCAGCAAGAGCGCAACTCCAAAATCAGTCAGCCACAGCCATGGCTTCGTTGAGTTAGTGCCGTGGCGCTCGTAAGCTCCAGCTAGCAAGGCAAATTTAGCGATCATTTCGACACCTAATTACTTGACGGCTGACTCTAGGAGGTAAGTGACGATACCTTGCCTGGCTCGTTATGCGTGTTGAAGGTGATGCTCAATTACACCCATTGGATATACCTGAGGTTTCGCAATAGCGATTAAGTACAGTTGGGATACTTGACCAACATGGCGACTTTCTATAAGTTGATGGGCGTGGCATCAGACGGCTTCGACCCTGAACAACGATTTGTAACGTCCTGGTTACTTCCACCGTCGCTACTCGCTGCCTATCGTCTTCTGTTTGCCCTCTTCGATTGGGCCACCATAATCACCATTTTTATCTGGGACGGGATCAATGACCCTGATGAGATCGCTAGGGACTTCAGCTACTTCACAGCATTGACATGGTGGGGACTTACAACTTACTTGACAATATCGGGGCTGCATACGCTTGTTTATTCTAGCAAAGGGTACACCTGGTTGCATCGAAGCTGGCCCCGTCCTTTGCAGGTGCTTCACAGCTTGTTCTATACGACTATTGTGGTGTTTCCTTTTATTGTTACAATTGTTTACTGGGCGATCTTGTACGATGGGCCGTGGTTCTCTGTCAAAATGAGTGCTTTCGCAAATGTGAGTTCCACAACAACCCAGATGTTTCTGCTAACACTGGTAGGTATCGAGGCACGCCTTGAACTCGTTAGCTGCACTTCTCGAGATAATCCTTCCGGCTACGAGCCCTCCACCTTGGCTACATGTCCTCTTCCTCATTGTTCTGTTGGCAATGTACTTGGGTCTTGCTTACGTGACACATGTAACACAAGGCTTCTATGTCTACAGCTTCTTGAACCCGGCGCGTGGGGCTGGTCAACTTGCAGGATACATTGTTGGAATTGCGGTTGCGTGTGTCGTGATCTTCCTGCTCGCTCGGAGCCTTGTTTGGGCTAGAAAACGCTTTACCGGTCCTGGAAAGAGAAGCAAGAATGATATGCCTAGACACAACGATCCGTACACTGATCAACAACTGGAGATGAGTGCGAAGTAAACGGATGCGCCAACTTCGTGTATCGACCCAGTGCGACAATTGCAAACCTACGTAAAACGAGCCAGCACAAATCTGGTCAACGTCTTTGCATGCTGTGCGTCATGGCACAGTTGAGGTGCATGAACGGTCCCCACCAACCTGAATAAGAGGCTAAATTCGGACACGAACAAAAGCTATCAATTACCTGCATCAAGCTAATTCTCGTGGAATTGCTACACGTCCAACCATTTTATCGATGAAGCTGATGGATATGCTACTCACGCAAGCTGCTCCAAACACACCAAGCATTAAGACCATTCGCGATGTCGATGCATTTCTCAATCAATTGCTCGTACCACACCTACCTTGGAGTCTTCCATTGCTTGAAAGATGTCAGTTTCACCGCAAGCACAAACAATCTGCGCCTAATGCAGAAATTTGGTTTGCAGCCACATCAGAAGCGCAATCGCACTCAGAATCGACTTGGATAGCTACGTATATCGATCTGACCAATTCGGGTGAGACCCAGATCTGGATCTTTGCTTCATGGGAATCAGAGTTTAGCACCAGAGCAAATCCAAGGCTTGCGATTCAGGAATCACCGAAATTTCCTATTTACCAAATGCTAATTGAGGCACTATTTCGACATTTGAAGCAGAATCACATCCCCAACTTAAGCCATAATCCTCCTCCACAATGGCTGCGTCTTAAAGCTGAAGGCAAAATCGTTTCAGAGCCTTTTTCAAGGTCCAAGGTGTTATTCGGCACGATAGCAGAATGTAATTGGCCTTTTCTCGACGAGTACGAACGCAAAGACCCCAATAGTGCAATATCAAGGGCGGACAGATCTTATCTGAAGTACATAGTGAGCTCAAAGCCTGATTCATTACCGCCGAGGAATATTCCGGAAACTCTGCACTTCGCGCCTATGCAGGACAGACACCTGCAGACCATTGTCGACCGTACAAACATTCCACGAACGCTCGAAACTTTGAAGCAATTGCCTAATATTGTATCTTCGATCGTGCTAACACACCTGTAGCCTGGGGCTTGCTAGGCAAAGACGGAAGTCTCAGCAGTTTGCATATGGAACCAGAATATCGACGACGCGGGCTTGCCGCACTGGTCGCAAGACGGCTGATTGCAGCTCAGACAAGTCTTTTCGATGAGGCCACTAGGAACCACGAGACATCCAAGGACACCACTATCCTTCCTCAGACCATTTACTCGCATGCTGATGTCTCGGACAAGAACGTGGCTAGTCAGAAGGTTATGGAAAACGTAGGCGGGAAGGCTATGTGGCGGACTGCATGGATCGAGATAGATATTGGCGAAACGTAGCCAATTTGAGCAATAGCAGGATGAATAGAGCGGTGCTTGATGCAACCATTTTGTTCGCGATACGGCTGAAAAGACTACGCGTACCCACCTACGCGATGTAGCCAGATTCGACGCGTCAAGTTCGCGTGTCGATCGCGTTCTCAGATCCGAACACGATCTTCCAAACCAATGAAGTCATCATAACTTTTCTCCGTTCAAAGGGCATGCGGTGCTGCCCCTGTATGAGCCGCTCTCCAGCGGTACTCGAGTGGCAATACACGTCCTCGAGATCTTTCGCGTTTGTGTGTTGATTACTACTGTTCGACAGGCAGGATTTTGTTTGCACCTTTGAAAAATTGCATAGCTCCAATCTAGATCTTACACTCCCGGAATATGTCTGTGGCTTAATCTCCTTCACTCCATCGATCGCAGCACCTTTGCCTTGCTTTCGAACCGAGCTGGTCAGCAGATCAACATGGCGACTGCTGTTATCCCGCGGGATGTGCACATGAAAAACGCAGACGAAGCGGACATGCAAGATCGAAAGACAGCGGCGACAAAGGCAATGCAGGAGGAAGACGAGGATGTTGAGGATGTGGACTTGAAATCAAAAGCCCTGACCAATCTTCTGAAGACGAGTGGAGTATTTGTTGCAATCATGGCAGACAAGATGAAAGAGCAACAGAGGCAGAACGCTGAAAAAGCACGGCGCGAGGCGACGAGGAAGAAGAACGCCGAGGCTAGGACGCAGGAAGTAAAAGGAACCACGAGGCGGTCTACCAGAGTACAGGTTGATGGGGAGCACGACGAAAACGAGGTCAAGAGAGACGACGACCCGAAAGAGGCTCAGACGTCTAAGAAAAGTCGTGGCAGACCAAAGCGCGAGGACTCCAAGAAACAGAACGGTAGCATTGTGGACTTTTTAGATAAAGATCAACTCAAGAATGCTGAAGAAGGCCCAACAGTCCAAGAAGCGCTCGCGGATGCTGCCGACGAGATCGAGGAAAAAGGTGAGGGACTTGGTGCTCAGGATCTCGTTGCGACCGAACAGCCAAAATTGGTTACTGGCGGCAAAATGCGTGAATATCAGCTTGAAGGTCTAGAGTGGCTCAAAACGTTATGGATGAATGGCCTCTGTGGCATTCTCGCAGACGAAATGGGTCTAGGAAAGACTGTGCAGGCGATATCACTAATTGCATTCTTCAAGGAGAACAATATTGCAGGACCATTCCTCATCGCAGCGCCATTGAGTACGGTAAGAAATTGGATTGAGGAGTTCAAAAGGTGGACCCCTGAGATCAACACTGTGCTCTACCACGGCAGCAAAGAGGAACGAGCTGAAATCAGAAAGAAGCACATGAAAATCCAGCAACAAGGTAAATTCGAGTTTCCGGTAGTTGTGACCAGCTACGAGATCTGTATGAACGACAAGCAGTTTCTTGGCAATTACAAATGGAGATACATCGTGGTTGATGAAGGGCATCGCTTGAAGAATATGAATTGTAAGCTGATCAAGGAATTAATGACCTATAATTCTGCAAATCGTCTACTCATAACGGGTACTCCATTGCAAAACAACATCGCTGAGCTTTGGTCGCTGCTACACTTTCTGTTGCCTGAGGTCTTCAACGATCTAGACAGCTTTGAACGTTGGTTTGACTTTTCAACTGTTCTTGACGACAAGGAGGAAGGAGATGGCAAGTCCAAGAAGCGCAAGAACAACCTTGTTTCTACTATGCATGCAATCCTCAAACCGTTCTTGTTGCGAAGAGTCAAGACGGATGTAGAGTCCAGTCTTCCACCTAAAAGAGAATACATACTTTACGCTCCTCTCACAACTGAACAGAAGGAGATCTACAAGGAGATTCTGGCTGGAACGGCACGATCGTACCTCGAAGACAAGGCAGTTGAGCGGATAGAGGCTCGGTCGAGGACAGCATCCCTCAAGCGCAAGGCAGATGACAGTGGCAGGAACACACCTATGAAGTCCATCAAGACCGGCAGGGCTGCTACTCCAGCAACCAACGCCTCGCGTGCAGGTACACCAAACTCCGTAGCATCAGTTTCTTCGACGAGACGAGGTCGGCAGAACGCACGCCGTAACTATGAAGAGATAGGAGATGGAGAGTTCGACAGACGTCTGAGACAGATCGAGAAAGGACAAGATGCCGACTTGAATGGCAACAATGCGTCTTCCGAGGAGCCGGACTCTGACGAAGAAGCACTACAACAACGATCCCGCACACTCAAACTCGCGAAGCAGGAGATTGCGTCCAAAAAACTTCAAAATCCCATCATGCAGGCTCGACTTGCTTGCAATAGCCCTCACAACTTCTACTGGCCATTCGCATCCCACGATCCTGATATCGACGATGAGCTGGATTTGACGCCTGTCGACGAGACCTTGGTGACATCTTCTGGCAAGCTTCTTCTTCTCGATACCCTTCTTCCACAGCTTCTAGCATCTAAACACAAAGTCTTGATTTTCTCCCAGTTCAAAACAACCCTGGATATCCTTCAAGCATATTGCGAAGAGCTGCGCAATTGGTCGGTATGTCGTATCGATGGCTCTATCTCTCAAGATGAGCGCTATGAGCAGATCACCTCTTTCAATTCACCCAAGTCGAAGAACAATGTCTTCCTTCTTAGCACCCGAGCGGGCGGTCAGGGAATCAATCTCACTGCTGCTGATACTGTGATTCTTTTTGACTCAGACTGGAATCCACAGCAAGACCTTCAGGCTATGGACCGAGCTCATCGAATCGGCCAAACCAGGCCAGTTATCGTATACCGCTTCGCCAGCCGGGGCACAGTCGAGGAAACTCTACTCCTCAAAGCAGACGCCAAGCGCAGGCTCGAAAAGCTCGTCATCCAGAAGGGCAAGTTCAAGTCCCTCGTTGACGGTGTAGATGCCAAATCTCGCAAATTGAAGGCTGGGGATGTTGCAGTCGAGGACTTCAAATCCGCTCTTGGTGCAGCAGGTGACGACTATGACTTTGAGAAATACGATATCTCTGACTTGGTGGCTGAGAAGGGCGGGAAACTACTTAGTGACGAGGAGTTGAAGATTCTGACTGATCGAAGACCTGAGGCATACGAGAAGATTGCAAGAGGCGAGAACATTGGTGGCAGGGACCAAGCTTGGAAGGTTGCTGAGACGAAAAGCGATGGTTTGGAAGAGCTAACGACGAGGAAGAACCCTAAATAAGAGTGCCGATATTCAGTAGCATGTCGTCGATAGATCTTGGACTGTGCTTGTCTTGGCTACGTAGCATGATAGTTTTGTACACGCCTGACAAAGTCAGCCGTTTGCCATAATAGATCACTTCACAAGACGCCTCGATTCTGCTAGGAAGCTCATCCTCCTGACGAATACACCTTTTGCATTTCTGTTGGCATGCCTCTTACCAGGAGAACAGTACCACCAAGGTTTAATCGAAACTGGCCACCGGGTCTTTCTGCAAGGTTAGCTCAACAAACAGGTATTAAATGGTGACGCTGGTGAACGAGTTGCAAGCATGAAAAGCGGTAGTGTTTGTTCCACATCCTTTTTGTACACAGAACATCCATGTGGTGCTACAGAGCGGAATATACCTTGCCCCAGCATATGTCACTACCAGGCATATGTTTTTTTTAATTACTTAGACACTCGCTCCATTCTGTCCTGCTCACGTCCTCAAACCAAGCAGTAAGCTCGTGCTCTTGCCTTTACCCTCACCACCAGCGTCGCCACCACCTGGCAGATAGGTGACATTGGGATTCGCCGCTAAAGTCTGTGCAATCTCTCTACTGGCTTCAATTCTTCTGATCTGCACTAGACCATCACCAGCCTTTGCGATCGCCTTGCTAATGATATCAGCGGATTCAGCTTCACCCTCAGCTCGGATAACATTTGCTTGTCTCTCCTGCTCGGACTTCTCGACGGTGAACCTGGCTCTCTCTGCGTCTTGCTGTGCGATCTGCTTCTGCTCTACAGCTCTTGTAAACTCTCGGCCGAAAGTCATATGTGTGATTGAGACATCTTCAAGGGCAATGTTGAATTCTTGAGCTCGCTTAAGCAAGTCGGTTCGTATCCTGTTTGAGACGGCTTCTCGCTGTGTGATCAGCTCTGCGGCGTCGAATTGTGCGATAACGGATTTGAGAACTTCGTTGCCGATGGAGGGCAGGACTCTTTCGTCGTAATCTTGTCCGAGGGACTATGAAGCTCGTTAGTATCTCGTTCGGTCCGCAGATATGTCATAGTAGCTAACCTGGTAGATCTTAGGCAGTCTCTGCACCTCAGGACGATGTAACACTCTAAGTGTCAAGCTAACCATCTGCAAATCCTTGCTACCGGTCGTGGTCGAAATATTTCTCGGCTTTGTCCTGACATCGTATATGATAGCTTTTTGTAGCCATGGAACCAGGAAATGCGTTCCCTCATTGACCACCTGATCCTTGACTCCTGACAGTCTGTCGAAGATGACTGCGCGAGAACCGCCTCTTACATCGTAGATGGCGGCTTGTCCGAAGGAAATGCCGATGAAGACTGGGATCGCCCATCGCGAGACGGCGTTGAGGACGTTTGGAGCAGCCATATTGACGACTGTTGCGAGATGGAACGGAGGACCAGGCACAAAAGATAGGATGGCAAGATTAAAGGTTGTGCCGCGATGACTTTCAGTTGCCTTAGGAAATAGATCATGATACGTACGAGTACGCGCTAGCAGGAATCCGCCTAATTCTATGCCTCAGGCTGCCAAGTATCGACCTTCCTGAGCTCGATTCATTAACTTCACTTCCTGGCTTCCTCACCTCTACAATGCTTAGGTTATGGCATCAGCATTCTTGCCTCTAAGCCATTGTTTGAATGAATACAGGGAAGCAACTTTAGCATCCACACCTATCAGAGAATGCAGCAGTGAGATCTGTTTGCATAGTACACATAGATACATAAGGAAAGCCTTATTGAACTTTGATCCTTCCAGGAGACGAGCAGTAGATTTGGTCCATGGTCGTAATACTATAGCTCCAGACAGGTAACCAATATTAATAGTCGACTCTGGTTATGCGAGATACTACAACTGCGTACCTAGGCAACTGGCACGTGAACATGTGATTACACCAATTGGCCATTCCAAGCTCTTCTAGAAATGGACTATTCGCCTCGGAGCGGGTCTTGGCAGGCAGGTACATTTCATCCTATATCCTTGTCTGTAACTTTCATCATCTTTCCACCTATACCAGACTATACATCGCACTCAGAAATCGTCGATAACCTCCGTCCATCCTAGCCGTTTAACCTCTCAACAAACTCATCAAGATGCCACGATCAAGAGGCGGCGCAGCTCCAGCTCGCAGTGCTCCTACCCGACCACAAGCTGCACCTCCAGCGCGATCATCAGCTCCTCAGCAGCAACAGCGTCCCATGTCGACCGCACCTGCTCAGCAGGCTCCTCCTCAAGCTCAACAAAGCTCAGGTCTATTCGGCCAGATGGCAAGCACCGCAGCGTAAGTTAGACTATACCTACCTACCTGTCCATCCCAGGCCATCAAGTGGCAATGAAAGAGCATTTCCCAAGTTATTCCTACCACATCTCATCATCTTCAAGTGCAGAGACCAGTCACTAACTCGTCACAGTGGTGTTGCAGTAGGCTCCTCAATAGGCCACGCCATCGGCGGTTTCTTTGGCGGTGGTTCGTCTGCAGCTCCTGCCGAGCAACAGCCAACCCAACAGCCTATCGACAACTACGCTCCAGCTGGCCAGTACAGCGCTCAGCAAGCTGGTGGTCAAGACATCCCTGACGCCTGCTCGGTAGACCTTAAGAACTTCACGAGCTGTATGAATCAGAACCGTGGTAGCATGGATATCTGCGGGTGGTACTTTGAGCAATTGAAGGCTTGCAAGCGGGCTGCTTCGGAGTATTAGAGATGTGTGGAAGAGCAAGAGAATACAAGAGCCTGTTGTCAGGCACGTATGCCCTGCTTGTGCCCTAGCTTTAGCCGCGACGTGAGCAGGGATGAAGAGACTTGCTACCATGCATAGCCCGCCGTAAATACTAGTGGAATTAGATCTCCATCTCACCCATCGGCTAACCAATCTCCTATCGATATCGTTGCGAACCTGTGCTATGGGTCTCCTTCGTGCAGATCACAACTATGCCAGAGCGGAAAACCCAAGAATTTGATGAATCAGTTTCATGCACTATCGCTCTCCTACAACTCGGATGATCACCACACCTACTCTATCGACGACATCTTCTTCCGTCTGACCACCCTCACCCACCGTCGTCTCCTCCACTCGCCTGTCCTCCCCCTGCTCCCAAGGCTGATCTGTTCCTCCCAGTCCTTCTCCCCTTTCGCATCCTTGTCTTTCTTCCCCTTCTTCGCCCCTGTCTTGCCTTTCTCCTCCTCGCCAAAATGATAATCCCCATACGCCAACCATACCTCATCATCACGTTCCAATCCACTCGCTGTACTCGATGGCGGAGGTAAATCCCACACCCAACCACCGAAATCCGCATTGACACTATCTCGCCGCTCAACCTGCCAAGCCGCGGGATCGTAGGAAGTGACGTCGAACTCGACTCCCACAATCAGACGATCGTGAACCCACTCGCCAGCTTCGAGGTCTAGCTCCCATTTGGGGGTGTGCCAGGTCCAGCCAGTGGGCGGTTGTACGTCCTCGAAGAAGCGGGTGCCTTGAGGACGAGACCCTGAGATGCGGTGAGGTGAGAGAGGGTCGCAGGGTGTGGGTGTGTAGAGATGGTGTTGCCATTCTTGAGCTGGGGATGACCGGCCTATTGGTAGGAGTGGGCGGTGTTGAAGCTCGAACATTTCGACCTCGGCTGTTTCTGGGCTTGTGCTTAAGGTGATCTCGGATAAGGAGGTGAGTGTGCTTGAGATGGTACGGGTAGTCGAGTTGTTTGGTATAGGCAGGCCGTAGAGGTTTGGACGAGGTTCAGCTTTTATTGCTGGTTGTTTTGAGGTGTTGGGTTGTAACGTATCGGAATATTGTGCTGCTTTACGTTCGGCTTTCTTGTGTTGTTTTACCAGCCAAACTTGAGCCGTGGGGTGGCCTGAGACGATCATAGACCAGCCGGAGATGAGAAAGATGGTTCGGAAGGGTAGCAAGTGTGCTGAGATGAAGAGAATGCAACTGAGGAGGAACAGGTAGAGGAAGATCATGGAGGAATAGACCTCGTCGGAGAAGTTGGTCGCTGGTGCAATGTACTGTACCATGAGATCGTGAATGGCAGAGAAGTCAGCCATAGAGTTTTGAAGATCGCGCATATTTCGGAAGAAGTCTTTCGAAGTCTCGGCCGCAGGACGTATCGTGCGAGCTGGAGCAATGGGCGGACCCGCGTAGCTATACTTGTTGATCTGATCTATTTGCGTGGCAGTCGCCGCTCTTGGTGCTGGAGGTGGTGGTGGATGTCGTGCTAGAAATGCCGGAACCATAATGAAAAGTAGTGCGATGGCTAAAGGTAAGACTATGATGAGGTAAGGATCAAGGCAGATGAATGTATAAACAGCCAGAAACGAAAGTGTATGTGTAGTTGTTCTCCAAGTGAATAGCCTGATGAGACGATCCTGGAAGACGAAGACAATGCCTATACGTGCATTGAATTTTCGGAAGTTGTTAGACATTGTGCCCAGGCTAAAAGCAGGACGACTGACATTGCTTGACGAGCGTCGATCTTCTGTCTCTTCCTGACCTTCATAGTCTTCTATAGGGATGACTTGCTCAAGAAGTTTGTTGAACAGCCGATCTTGAATTGAAGCACGTCCAGGACTTAAGACGACTTTGCTAGAGGTAGTGGCATGTAGCTCCTGGGCTTTTCCTTTGACTCTCTCCCTGCTTGCGTTGAGACGTCGACCTAAGCGTTTCCTACGAGAGTCTCGAGTAGCATCGGTATCTGAGCCACTTTCCTCGATGTCATCAGAAGTCACAGTGAGTAGAGGCAAGGGTTCCTCGCGATTCGCGAAAGCGTCGGCTGTATATTCGTCCATTCTGAAGCATTTCAATTTCAGATGTTTTCCCTGATCATCATTTAGTCATCTAGAGGTCCTGTAAAAGCACTGACACGTAATAAAGTCGTTATTTGGCGGACATGTGACAAGGCCGTTGGGAATACCTCTCCGTCATCAGGACGAAAGCAAGGCGCACAGTGTTTCGTGCGTGGAGACTCGAAAATCGGACACAGACATCTTCAAGTTTGCACCAGCAGTCTAGCCCGAACCACGCCTGCTGTGAACCATCGTTTTGAAGGTTTACAAGAATAATGCTGTATACGTAGTTTCAGTGCGAGCAGTACAAAGTTCAACAAGTCTACGTTCGATAGGAGAAGGCCTGCGGTGGTTCATCTCATCCGATTGATGATTAGTAGTAGCACGATTATGCTTCTTCTCTCAAGTTGTGACTCCAGGCTTTGGAACATCTCTGCAGCTATGATCGAAGCGCGAATTGCGTTGGAATTTCAGGTACATGGCCAGAAGATCAAGGCCAGAAGACCGACAACTTAGCGACCTGTGTAGCTAGACCTTATACCTGCAACAGACGAGCAAAGGCCACTGCTCATGATTGCAGGTATACAATTAGCACTGGGACATTCTGCATAGAGCTGAAGACAAGGTCTGACTTGCAAGCTGCAGGAACCGATATATTGGCGACTATCGATGGCAACACGAATGTTAATTGATCAATGGTACCCCTATGGCCGTGCCGGTCTGACCCCAAATTGAGGCCTCGCAGGCACTAAAGGTCCCAGACCCCGTGCCGGATAACCAGTAGAAAGAGTCAACCAAAGCCCAAGTGGATGCCCGTCAGTTCTCCCTTGTGTTTGGTAGGCCAGAATTTGTGCTAAGACAACCTTGTTTTTGATCACCGCTTCGACTTCACCGGGGTCCTTTCTGTGCAATTCTTTATACGTCAAACCTACCACTGGTTGCTTCTGAACGTTTTGGTACTCCTATCACACGTGCGCTACCGAAATACGTTCTGTCAGTATTCTAATAGCACGTACAATGAACCCGTGATCAGAAAGCTTGAGCTCCAGTACTTTGAGGCCAGCATGATCCCTGCAGTCGCGGTTCCTTGACCAATTCAAATTCTACGACACGCTGTCTTGTGAAACTTATGGCATGAGAACAAGCATCAACGAGCTCACTGCTAGTGATAGCAGTGAATAAGCTCTTGTCTCTCGACCAGTGGCCATGTCGTTCAGATCGTCCGCACCCAAAGTCACTGGTACCAGCATGCCTGCAAACTCGGACCAGTCAAGGGCGTCCAACAGTGGTAGACGAGGTCAGGATGTTGATGCTGGTGGCACAGCCCCTCCTAAAAGATCCACGAGATTTCGGATATCTGCAGCCATGAATCCAGCACCGACCGACATCGACGATCCAGCGACCTCTATGCATGCTTCACCAGCGCAAGCACAGGCACAGGCACAGGCACGAAAACCACCTCCTTCCTCCTTTGCCCAACCTGGTGTGAGCAACAACGAGCATTCTGGTATAGAAAACAGTCAGAATGCTGGGCCTCGGTCGTTTCTGCAGACGAGAAGGAGGCAGCCTTCGACAAATACTGCGAAATTACCTCTGGGTCCGCGCTCGATCGAACTACACTCACTCAGTAACAGGTAAGTCGACCGCACCTTCTCGGATGCTGATCACTAATGAGATGTCGTTTAGAGCCAACACTATTGCCATGAACGCCACGTTTAGCAGTTTCAGCGATACTCCTCCTTCTGACGATACCCTCTCCTTCGAACCTACCATGAACGATGTAAACGATTTCAACTTCGCAGTAATAGACCCTGTCAAGACCGTGCCTCAAGATGGACAAGGTATGGCCGCTATGCAAGCTTCAGCATTTCAAGAACCGACTTTCAACTTTGACGATTTTCACGACAACATAACGACTACTCCAAACCTCAGCCACTTCCCACTTCCTGGTAGCGTCCCGTCCTTACAACCTCACGACCTTTCTGCATTGTCGCAAGCGGAACAGAGGAAAGCTTCATCGCATACCACCATTCCTAAACCCACACGTAAGGTGTCAGGAGCTGGAGCCGCAGCCCTGGCTCGCAAAACTTCCTCTGCATCGACTACGAACAGGACATACGTCGCCAAGACAGATCAACCAGGAGTCGTAACCCCAAATTCGGGCTCTGCTGCTCGAGGAAGACGTCAAAGCCATTTCCCACCGAATGCGTTCAACAACGCCAACCCTCCTGTAAAAGCATCCAGAAAGTCTATCGGACCTGGAACAGTCGCTCCACCAGATGACAACGAGACTGATGTGAGACGGCACTTGAGCAATGGCGGCAGCAAGTCGAGCGCAGAAAGCAAAAGTCATAAGCAGCAGGCACAACCAGGTCGGGAGGGTTCCAACTCGCCTAAAGATGGAAAGACAAGACAGGCCCTGCTTCCTCACAGAACTCCATCTAAAGACCTACTGACACCCTCACGAACGCCAGATCCACAAAAGGCGGCGCCTTCACTTGGTCAAACAACACCTGGCAAACAAGCTGCAGTCCCATCTGGCACTGCGACGCCAGGAGGCTCAAAAAGGATGTCCATGGCTACAGGTCTGGGCGCTAGGACCATCAGTCCGACCGATGCAAGACGCATGAAACGCATGTCGACGATGCCAATCGCCCCTCCTGTACCAAATAGACGTATCTCTCAGGCTCCTCCTACCCCCCAACCAGAACCTGTGGTGTTACGACCCAGGTCGACCGCTCAGTCTCCGGCAGTTCAGCACCGAAAAAGTGTGACAACCCCGTCATCGTCAAGGACTACCCCAGATCCGAATCGTAAATCTTATAGCTCTGGCCAGTCTCTTTCCTCAAATACCAGCTACAACTCAACAAGGAACTCTGCCCACGTGACACCCAGAGCTCATGTTCATGGCTCAACTTCAAGACTGCCTACGCCAAAGCCGAGAGCCGAAAACGAGGACGAAGTTCCTCCTGTGCCAGCTATACCAAAATCTTATGATTCACCAGCCAGCGAGATTGATCAACCATTCTTTTCTGCTCGCTCGTCTGGTATGCACGCCTCGAGTAACACGCCTGCAGAAATCGTGGCTGCTATTGACCTTGCGAATGCTATGTCGATTCTAGAGCCTCCTATGTCTTCGCCTGAGTCATCACCGTCGTCACATCTCAGTGATCAACCGGCGTATCCTGATCAGGTCCGGACAATTGATGTCCCTGTACTGCAGCCAGATGAGCCACCGGTATATCCTGAGCCGCCGCAGGAGCATCTGCCGAAGACCCATGACCGACAGAAACGAAGTCAGCCAAACCTGAGATTACCTCCGCTCAACTTGTTGCCATTGAGTACTCCGACGACGGCGAGGATACAATCTTTGAAGGACTCAAGAGCTGGAACTATCGACACGCCATCGACACCTCCAGGAGCTCGGAATATGAAGACACCTAGCACACCTATGACAGCTTCAAAAGCGACATTTTTCGCTCGGAACAACAGGCCGGCCGAGGAGCAATCAAACACGATTCGCAGCAGTACTTCTCATTATGCATTGCGACATGAAACTCATCCGCTTGATGCTGGAAGTCCGGTCTTGCCGGCGTTCAACTTTGAAGCTGATAGTTCGAGCCACCGAAGCATATCACCTTTCATCTCCTCTTCCCTGCCGAAGGACACGGGCGAATTTGGCAATTTTATGCGGCCTAACTTTAGTACAGAATTAAAACGCACAGCAACACTGCAAAAGCCCAACGGTCCTAGGGCGCCGAGCTATTCGATCTCTGTGAAACCGGACTCCTCAACCCCAATAACTGACAATTCAGGGAACAGCACGCCTTTAACAATTGTAAACACATTCAGTCAAAACGTGCAAAGGAAAAAGAGTGATGCGAAATTAGCCGATCTGTCAGGAAATGATTCGGAAGCGGCCCGTTACGACAACATGCCTCCGCCAAAGCTACCGGCTTCTGCAACCTGGTCTAACCTCTCGTCTAAAGCTTCTGCAAGCCCGACACAGAAACCAGGCTTCTTTAGGTCAAGAAGAAAGACTTCGGGCTCAAGCAATCACACGCTAGATCGCCAAGAGAGTATGGATGGTATAACGAACCGTACCACCGATACACGGTCATCCCTCGAATCTGCACGTACGTCTCTGATGGCACATACTAACAGGTCAGGCTCTATTCTCGGCCAGAGTGCTACTATGAGTTTAAAACCAAATATACGGCAAGATTCGCCGGCTCCAGAAGATCTTCTGGATAAGGATGATCTTATTGCTGAAGATGAAATGCGGAAACTGGCCTCTAAGCGCAGGGATTTGGAAGCAGCCGCAAGGAAGCTAGACTCATTGCGCGTCAGGGCAAAACCGGTGAAGCGTATTTCTGCCTCCGCAGCTCTACAGACAATCAATCTGAACATTTTCGAGCGTGGGGAAATCATCGACTTTCCAGATGTCTACTTTGTAGGCACAAGGCATGCTAAAAAGGTCATTGGCGACCTGTCCTCTGCAGCCACCAATTTCGGATATGACGATGAACGTGGAGACTACAATATCGTGGAAGGCGATCACCTGTTGTATCGATATGAAGTGATAGATCTACTCGGAAAGGGCAGTTTCGGACAGGTCGTTCGATGCATCGACCACAAGACTGGCCAGCTCGTCGCTATCAAAATCATCAGGAACAAGAAGCGCTTTCATCAACAAGCCTTAGTTGAGGTCGATATCCTACAGAAACTGAAGGAATGGGATCCAAACAAGAAGCATAATGTCGTAAACTTTGACCAGAGCTTTTATTTCCGACAACATCTATGCATCTCAACCGACCTGCTAGATATGAATCTTTACGAATTCATTAAGATACATGATTTCAGGGGCTTCTCACTGAAGCTCATTCGACGCTTCACGAAACAGATGCTTGCAAGTTTGATTCTGCTGCACCACAAGAGGGTGATACACTGCGATCTGAAACCGGAGAACATTTTACTTGCCCATCCTGCACACGCTGATATCAAGGTCATCGACTTTGGTTCTAGTTGTTTCGAGAACGAGAAGGTGTATACGTACATCCAATCACGATTCTATCGTTCTCCTGAAGTTATTCTTGGAATGTCATATGGCATGCCGATCGATGTGTGGAGTTTAGGATGCATATTGGCTGAGTTATACACTGGCTATCCGATATTCCCGGGCGAGAACGAACAAGAGCAATTGGCTTGTATCATGGAAGTTTTTGGTCCACCAGAGAAGCACCTCATTGAAAAGAGTACCAGGAAAAAGCTGTTCTTCGATTCGATGGGCAAGCCACGTCTGACAGTCTCTTCCAAGGGGAAACGGCGTAGACCTAGCTCCAAGGATCTCCGTACAGTGCTCAAATGCGACGACGAAAATTTCCTTGACTTCATCACTCGATGTTTGAGATGGGATCCTGCGCGACGCATGAACCCTCAAGAAGCCTTACACCATGAGTTCATTACTGGAGTCAAGAAAGCTCCGGTCGCCAACAGGCGAACTGTCGTGAGTGCTGTCAACTCGCCCATGAAACGTGGAAACACCACTGTTGTTAATGGTGCTGTGCGACCACTACCACAACCTCCAGCCACAGGAGGTCTCAGGCCACTAACATTGGGCTCTCTTGCTAGCACCTCTCCAAGTAAGGCAGGTCCGCGACGACAATCAACGACGGCTAATAGTGGCCCTATCAACGCAAAACGAACATCGAACACGATGGGAGGCACGAACGTCGGACGAATTGCAGTGAAAACGGTTAATGGAAGGACGGATATGGCTACGGCTGCTGCTGCCGCAAGCCTAGTGAGGTAAAACGATGTTCAGAGCTTTTGCGACCAGTCAATAACGGGAATTTGAGCTAGACCATGGTGCCACCAAAAGCATTATTAGTGAGCGAATGATTGATTGCGTCTGCTATTTCTACGAAAGTATGTATGTTTGCCTGCATTTTTGTCATTGTATGGACTATCTCGATCACTGCGTTGATCATCGTCGCGGCGCTATCGGTTTTGTGGTTGCAGGCGCAGGAGGTCAAGCTGCACGAGTAGCGGCGATGTCGAGGAATAGCATCTGCACAAAATATCATGAAATCTTAGGATTCGAACAAAAGAGAGAAACAGCCTCCAGCCTGTTATGGTTATGGTAGTTCAAAGCACAATATTATGAAGTAATGACAGAATTGTCTATGAATTTATAGACGTGGTTGAGAGTCATTGTGTTTTGCCCACGTCCACGCATTGCCCTTAGATAGCCCGTGCAAATGGCCTAGTTGGCACTCGTACTTGTAACAGATGCAGCTAAATACTGAGCACGAGGTATTGCAGGTCAGTCTTCACAACGAGCTCATATTACTGGAGATGATCAGATGTAGCATAGAAACCAAGAGCAGATCAACATTTTATCTCTTGCCAGGTGGCCCAAAGGACATAGGTTCACCGTATCGATCCTGCCGAGAAAATCTGTTTGTCGCAGCATCCCCTTTGAACATTTAGGTTGCCTAAGGAGACTGACCAGGTCGTAGGCCACTTTCAGCAATACACCGCTCACAGCGACAGATTCCTCCCAGAACCTCTCTTAAACGGTCTCTGCGATCTTGTACGGATAACTCGATATCTGTATAGTGACTGAAGATCTCCTCTCCAGCTTTGATCCCCGTCCATGCCTCTTGACTCGCAGACTCGGGCTGCCACTTTCGTTCTTCCGCGGTGCGCACGAAGAATTCGCGGACACCCTTGGGCGTCCATGTAACATTGGGAGCACAAGAGTGGTTCGCTAAGCACCACAAAGGATGTACTGAAGCGATCTCAGGCTTGCCGTCGAAGGTGCTCTGCGTTGCGTTTGCTACACCGCGAAATTTCGAGAAGAGGATTTGCAGGATCCAGAAGTCAAAGTTTTGCAGCCAATGAGCTGAATAAGGCGTTGCGTTGGCGCAAGAGAGCGAGAGTGTCGAAAAGTAGTCGAGTACGTATTGTAGGTTGTGTAAGAATGAGAATGGTAGTGTGCGTGGAGGTGGCTCATAGGAATTGTCGTGACAGGCTGAGAGGAGGGAACAGGGGTTAAAATCACCCCAAAGATATTTGATCTCTTTCAGCTGTAGTGGGTGCCTCTGTTGTGTTATCGACATCGCAATCGTGCGTGTTAGTAGTAGGAAGTACAGATCCCACTCCGGGGTATCAGTGTTTGTTGGTCGCCCAATCGTGCTGAGGTCGTGATTACCGCAAATTGGAGCACCTTTGAAGTCTCCTTCTATCGAATCTGGCGTCTGATCTTCGTCGATACTGTCCCTGCTCTTGAGATCACGATTTGTGGTACTCTCATCCTCTGAGTAAGAAGTTGCGTCTTCATCGGACTGATCTTCTTCGTCGTCGTCAATAGCAGGCTGATGGTATTCTGAAACAGCTCTTGCTCTACAATCTTCGGAGCAGAAAGTGATGTCGCAGTCGCTACCAACACATTGTCGGATATCTTCGAACGGTATGCCTTCGAGCTCTTGACCGCACGCATCACAGATGGCATCCTCAAGGGGTCTAATGGCAGTAAGGATAGACTTCTCGGCCAACACTTGCGTGCCTGGTTGTAGGTCGGTCTTTGCGAACAGTCCAAGTTGATAGGAGAGCTCCTCTGTCTCGGCACCGAAGGTATCGAACGCCGGTAATGCTGTGATTTTAGCTTCGAGGTCACCGGAAACCCGTGACAACGACTCGTTGATTTCGTATATTGACTCTGATGAGTTTCGATCTGGCTCGTGCCTCGACCAGGGGTAAATTTCTCTGCGCGACTTGCCAAAACGAGACGAGTCAACAGACTCTGACTCTTGTTTATCTACACCAACAGCCTGGTCGTTTCGGATAGATGTTTTGCATTGACCTAGGTCATATTTCTGCTGCTCGACTGGAATCGAGGAGAGGCTTTCTGACAATCTCTGTTCTTGCACAAGCTCTGTATGTAATGACCGTGCGTCTTTGACAGCCCCAAGCCTATACAGACATCTTATCAGGACTGTAAGGGATCGAACTCTCAATTGTTGAACCGTGTCCATGTCCTGATCGTCGTCAGAACAAACAACCCAGGGCGAGCCGTCTAGATTGTGGGCCTCGAGGTCAGTGACAAACTCGTCGCTGATTGCTTTCTGGCAAAGAGTGTAAACAACAAAAGCATCAAATGCCGCCAGATCGTCGTAGTCCAAGGCTTCGTATACAAGTGCTCGCTGTAATATCAGAGGCGGATGGCACTTCCCATGTTGTACCAGCCTTGCAGTGAGCCATTCTCGATGTAGAAGGAGCTGAAAAATCCTGATTGCGGAAGATTCTTCTTCGAGCTTATCCAGAGGAATGATCTGTATAGAAGATGCTTTCTCCTTTAAATCCTCCGATGTGTTACTGGCAAAATACAACTCTGTACTGTCAGCTTCTCAACATTTTGATGTGGACAGCGAACGCTCGTTCAGGGTCATACACCTTCCTGCGACTACTCGCATCTGCGCATACGACCATCTTGTGTCCCGTCCATCCAACTCACCTTGAAGATGATCTGGAAGCACAGAGACGTTGATTTCTTGCCCCAGCTCTATGTTTGGAAGAGCGTAGTCACTAGCAGACGCCTTCGACATGCCGCTTCAAAGCCTGCAATGTGACCTACAACATGCACAAATTTGATCAAAAAAGTTATTACCGGTGAACTGGTGGGTTGGAAAACATCTATCTCCGACATAAAATTTGCTGGTGGACTTCCCAGGGATGATATTGCCTGTTCACTGAGCAAACAAGTCGGCAGTATCGGCATCCCACTGAAATCAAGAGCAAGTCTTGCGTTGACGTTCTTTTGGTTCGCGTTCAGTGAACACTTGCACGAAGTCAGTTCCCATGAAGTCTTGAGTTCTATACGAGTCTAATGGGCGAAGTCATGGTTACAGAGAAAGAGAATGACGATCATAGATTCGAGTGCTAGGCAGCTACAGCCACTTGTGCGACCATGTAAGCTGGATCTACGTCGATCTTGTCGCCGCGGTCTTCGAACGACTGCTTCCAGCCTTCCTCTTTTGATTCTGCAAACGCATACTGTCGCGCCCGTTCTGCTGTGTGGCGTCCATTTACTGGACCTTGAGGCAGGACGAGCTCAAGCTGCCGAAGATGCTGATAATCCACATCGCTTTCGACGAGACTGGCAAGCAAATCATGTGTGACATTTTTGCACATCCACAAACTCAATAGGTCGACCCTGTGTTTGTTCAGATCCTTCAGCCACGTGAAATGCTCCAATTGCTGCATAATCAGCCTTGGACAATTCTCGAGCTCGATACTGTTAAGACACGTCGTCTCAGATGCACAATATCTCCCCAGCCAAGCAACAAATTCTCGATCGACTCCAGTCACGTTGTTCAGGTGCAGTTCTCTTAATCTTGGATTGGCCTCGATAAACCTGCGTAATTGTGTGGATGTGAGACCTGCCCGCTGGATTTTCAGCGATCGAAGTCCTCGCATCCGCAATGCTTGCTGATTATCTGAACCTAAGCCAACAAGAGCATTCCAGCAGGAGCTCCCCTGTGGCGCTTTTTGCCAATAGCTCGAGGGTAGAGGTGAGCCATGAATGTACGGGTGGCAGAAGTTCAAGTCCAGATGTTGAAGTTTGGACAAATTTTGTGCCATGGCCGTGGTAAGTTCAGTCGATCGTATATCATACATAGACAACGATAGCGATTTCAGGTTCCGCAGTGCCTGTTTCTCGATAAGATCAGCAGCAATCCGATTCTGAGCTAGAACGTGCTGGTCGAGCACTAATGCTGGATTCTGTTCTTTCCTTGACTTAAGACCAGGACATTCTGAAGCCTTGGCGATATTGATCTGAGAGCAATCCTGTCGATCCAGCTGATAATTTGTCTGCAACATCAGTGCAAGTTGACAATGAATATCTCGCGGTAGGACGGCTAAATTGAGATGCTGCAGCAATCGATATGCCTGTGCACAGCTTGTTCGACTAGTGGCAGAAAAGGCCAGTAAGGAATGAAATGGCAGATTTGTGAGTATCAAGTCTACCAACTCAGATGGCAGCGAAGTCAACGAGGTCGTCATGCTTTCTTTTTGTTGGTTAGACGTATGCTAGACTACCAGAGACTTGGAATGGTATCCAATGGTGCCTGTATGGCTGTGAGGCTTTCTGCTCAAGCACCAAGATGATCAGCCACAATCAGGGGCGAAATGCAGACAGGGTCAAGAACAGGTCTGTCACAACATGAGTGATTGACATCTTTCATTCCGCTTGTGGAAGCCATGGTAGTAATATGCGAGTTGGGACGATACTGCCCACAATCAATCTAGCTCATCTGGCAAAACATTCCTTCCACGTCCGAGCTAGAAAAGGGCTAGAAGTAACAATGGCACACATGTGTTGGTCTAGGCCCTGCATCTGAGCACCTTCACATCTGGTTTCGCCGGGCGGGAAAACTTCGTTACCAGTACGTCGGATAAGGTGGATCCCGGATTCCAGGCTGGGTTAACCCAGAAACCTGGAAAAGACTCTTCGACGTTTTTTTCGATCGCGATCGATAATCTGAGGAGTCCACCCAGTGTGGCGTTTCTGTAAGGTGCCTCCGCGCCACGTGGTGCAACAGTAAATGGCCTGTTTCGTGTTGGTCGCACAGACACAAGATCGATCGGAACAACGAGTCTCACGTCTGATTGCGTACGACAGATGTTAGGGGAACACTGTAAGTATGCGGTTGTAGTTATCAGGTCCCAGCATTATCTTTGCTTGCACTTGAGTACAACGAAGCCTCCACACGTCCTTGGTTGCTTATACGCAGGCAGGTCACAGTCAAAACATTTGATGTGAACAAGGTATCACCTTGAAGGTATAATTTATCTAGTATCAAGGAACTTCAAGGTGCAGGAACGACTGTACCGGTGGTTCTTGCTATACAAACATGCGGACGCAAGACAATCCAACTCTGCCTTCATCAGCGTCTAAACCTTGTCTCCATTCCCGTGTTTTGATTCCATGCAACTTCAAGCAGACATCGTCTTTGTGGCTCGTAGCAATACCATTGGTTCAGTAGGACACCTCATCTGCTTCTTGCTGTTCGTACGTAACTTGATAGCCAAGCTGCTTCAGTGCACGTACTGGATTCTGTACTGCAGGATTCAGCAATTTCATCAACGACTGTACAGCCTCTGCCGAGGACTTTAAGTTGGCATGTTGGTGAAAGAGCTGATTGGCAGTTATGGAACGGGGTCCTTCTTTTGACATGTCTAAGGCTTTAACAAGCATGAGACTCTTCAAGATCGTCTTGCTGCCCAGATCGTTGCAGGAGACACCAGTACCAGCAGACTTGAAGTGAGGCTCCTCGTGTCGAAGTAGATAAGAGTCAATGGAATTGGATAGCGCTCTGCGCCTGTCGAGTAGCAGAGGAATGGGTTTGCATGCTCGGTTGGCTGGCGCACAAGGCTGTCTCTCTGCCACGACCACGAGTGCAGCTTCTAATAAATCGTTGTCATAGTTATCCAACCAGAAGCCCAAAAATTGGCGTTTAAGTTCGACGTCGCGTGTAACGTTGTGTATCCACAATATAGATTCGTAAGATAGGCTCAAGGTGCCATAAAGCAGCGCAGCTTGAACATGACTTTGAAGCAAATTGATTTCGGGACTTTGGTACTTCTTCAACAATTGTGATCGCAACATATCGTGGTCCAGAGTTGCAAATTCCTCTATTAGCTTGGTCGTTGCTTGAGAGGCGGCGACATCTTGGGGCCCCTGCCAGAGTTCTTCGCAGGTCGTGGACTGCTCTACATGGTCCAGGAGAGGCGTTCGAGAATTCACCTCGACGTGGTCCTCGGGCATAGGCTGCAAAACTTCATCGACGTTGGTCAAAGCTGAAGTAGCTGCTGGTCCTTGGTCTCCGTCACAAGCAGCTGTGTCTGGAACATCTTCGTACAGAGACTCTTGGCCTCGACGTTCGAGAGTGGTGGGCCCGGATTTCCTGACGGCTTTTGTTCTTGGTGACTGCTGATATTCGTGCCGCCTTCTGCCAACCTCGTACATCATGTCTACAGAGCTGCATTGCGTCTGAGACCCAGTCTTCGACAGCTTTTCAAGACGTGCTTGGGAGATGAATTTCTTTCTCTGCAGATCCTTATCGTTCGGAGCGTCGTGAGATTGCAACTGCGTTACTGTTTCTCCTTCCTTAGAGTCCCTAGTATGTAAAGGTGGGAAGTTTTCCTTGCCAGTAGGTGCACCGGCTCGATCTACTCGATCTGATTCCTCTTGTGCAGCATGAATCTGTTTCAAAGGGGCACGCCTGGGCTTAGCCAAATTTGAGGCCTGTTTCTTTGCTTTCTCAGCCATTCGCGCAGCGATTCCAGTGAGCTCTATTTGCTCTTCTAGTAGCCCATTCTCAACTGAAAAGAAGGCACCCATCCACATTTTTGGCTGTGTGGTATCCTCAGAAGGTATATACAAAGTCTTCCTTCGGGCAACATGTCGTTCGACTGCAATTCTTCGCGGTTCAGGGATTCCGTCCACAGCATCTTCTTGCCTGACTACTTCTTCAGATGTTCTTGAAGACGGTAGACATGAACGTCTAGCCGCTCGGCAAGCTCTTTGCGGTTGTTTTCCGTTGTATCTCCGTACTTCGGCCTTAAGGACAGGCTCTAGGCTGTTGATCGGTTCTCTGGTCTGCGTAGCAACGCGTCTGGCGGGTTTTACAAGCCCTGACGATGCTGTCACTTTTTGCGCTCCTTCATTTACACCTGTTCTCTGTGCTTCATCGTTTCCGTCCTCGTGTATCACGAAATTGCTGTTCCCTCGACGCGCAAATCCAGCTCTTTTAGGTTTCACGTTGCGAAAAGATGCTTGAAAGGCAGTTGTGTATTCGAACTCCGTGCTTGTGTCTTCGTTGTAGGTGTCGTCAAAATTCGCGAAGGAGCCTATCGGTACAGGACAAGGTGTCGCAAGCGATCGTCTCATTGTGTGGTTGATTTCGGTCCCGCTGTAGTAGGGTGAGAGTGACTGTGAAAAGGTAAGATTTCCTGACTGCTGCCCCTATGGAGCACTGAACTTGAATGTGGGACGCGTCGGACTAGTCGTTGCCACGGCAACAAGGCAAGGGCGTCAGCCCCAGCTCGCTTCTTCGCATGCCATGTTCTTCGATCCGAAGTGCTGGACCGTACAGTATGTATGTCATGACCTATCGTCACGCTGTGACGAAAAACGACATCATTGAATCAGCCTCAGTACTGATGAACATACAATCGACGAGCGTGTCTCTTTACGCTCACCAGCATGCGAGCCATGACGCGTCTCTGCCATCCCCACCGAGATCAAGAAGCGTGGCAGCAGACTTGACAAAGTGACGTGACTCTTGGTGTGATGGTTCAATGTTACAGCTTGCCAAAGTCTCGGGAGCAGGTTCTCGCCGACCACTACACAGTTGAGGAAGCTTTAAGGAAGGCAAAGATAATGTAAGTCGTTTTGAACAGGTATGTGAGCAATATTACCAACGTCTTTGATTTCATCTAGAATTGTATTGTGTTACCATCGAATACGTGCGTCCCATCGAACCTTGCTGGCAGACAACCAAGTATCCTCGTTCTCTGGACCGACTCTAGAGGCATAGCAAGCTTAGATCATGGTTTTTGCATCCTCATCGCAGCGTTTCTGCCGAGTGCGGTCGCTTACCTGGACGTTTTGGAACATGTTACCCGTCTTGCCCGTCTTCAACTTAAAGTCTTGATCTCAATCCACCTCCATCAGTACAGAGAGGATCCAGCTAAGCGGCATCGCAGTGAGTCAGTAACCCTGTGATAGTTCAATGTTCGAGCTAGTATCCAGCACAATGTAGCATTGTTGCCGAACAGAGGACCTTGTCCTCTTCCTCGAGCATCTCCTTGTGGACCCTTTGTTCATGAACATCTACAATGCAGAGTCTACCTTTGTGCTGGTCTCAGGACGTAGTGCATAGGATGGTACATTTCATATAGAGGTCGACGTCCAGGCGATTACTGCATGATCAGAGTACATACCTGCAAAAACTGATCTCCGAACATTCATACAAGTACCTGTCATACACCACGATTCAAAACCAGTATCAACCGCGCTCATCCCATTCCAGGAACGACAAAATGCATTCACAACAGCCAACAGGCTTGAGCAACCGTAAGTTAAAACCTTCCTCTACTGACATGCTTCCACAACTACCACTTGTCGGGATGTACAAACCTTTTCGACCTGACATTAAGGCCGTCACCGAGCAGAGTGGTACACGCCACGGTCTGTACTCGCGTGTCACACCGAGCATGTATCTTATGCTTCCTGACGCTTATATTCGCAGGGACACGGAATCATCTGAGGCATCATCAACGAAGGCCAAGGATGTACAACCAGACCAATACAGAAGTTTCGCCTACCAAGCCTTCCGCTGTGGGTGGAACGAGGAGAGGCTACCCACCTGGTCGGTAAGTCGCACGATCTCGCAGGAAACCGAGCTATTTCTTACGGTCACAGATGTCCTTGACGAAGCAAGTCCTTCAGTGGACGAACACTTCAGCGATCCTTCAAGCACGAAACGACAAGAGCCGAGTCTTAAGGTCTCAAATGAAGATGCAGACTACACCCTCGAAGATACGATAGATCCCGACCTATCCACCGTCCCTTTAAACTCGCAGCGGAAGTTCTCATTCGACGCAGATGCACTAGCAGATTGGACAATAGTCGAGAACTCCTACCGTTCCTACAAACGATCACAATCGAGGAGAATCCCAGAAGTGGGTCGCACGTCTACGACATCCAACTCAGTAACTACCTACGAAGTCAGTCACTTGGTGAATGATAACCCTACTTACCTCCCATACAATCCCAAACAGCACAAGGCTGCGACACGCATCACATCCGATGCTGACAAAGCACACACTACACCAGTGGCACTGCCAACAACGAGGTTCTACTCTGGAGCCGTCCACGCCTTCGGGCGTTTTACTTCTCGACGTATAACACCTCGTGGCACAATCTCGTTGCGGCATCCAGCTGAGAGTGGCGGTGATGACGAAGAGCAGTTTGAGATGGATCATTCTTCCAGCGAGAAGAAGCATAGCAAGACGGGTTATCTAACTCTCTGAGTGAATAGATCGACGTGAAGTTATAAATCATAGAAATTGATATCCAATATCATGATCAGACACAACTCTAGCCTTTCGTTTTTAGGCTACCTGACTCCAAACCCATGTATGCAAGTACAATAGAACGCTCCAACCTGCATCAGTCCGCCCTGTCCCTGTTTATTTATGCTAATTCTAACGTGTTGTTTCCCATAACTCCAGGGAGGGGAAAAAACCACACCACAATCCATACCTTGTAGCTAAGGTCTTCGCCCTTCTATAACTCATCCCTACGAGGAGGTGTCGGAAACTCAATTGCCCAGCTCCTTGGTGGTACAGGTAGACCCAACCAATAACTCCATAACCTGTTTAATTCCATAATTGCTATTCTGCTTAGCTTGAAAGGCATATGCCACCAACTCTTTAGAACCATGACATGCGTCTTCCAGACCAGCGTACACTCAACTTTGACTTCTTCCCAGAACGTTCTTTGTGGACGCCGCCTCTTGACTGGTTGTGCTTCCGATGTGCTCCTCTGCGGCTTTGCTGGCTCCCGAGCCTCAGCTCCATCTTTGGAATCAGAACGCATGAGTTCTTGTGGCGAACGGTGAGAAGACTTCGCCGAGGACAGCGCGGCGGGTGCTGTAGTGACTGATTTCGAGCCTTCAGATACAGCTACCATCGACCTAAAATCTCCGACTGCTTTCATGCTGTGGCTCAGTCTACCGAAAGTGTTGATGAGAGCCACAAGCTCTGTCCGACGCAAGGATGGATTGTCTGCGGCATTTTGTTCATCAAATTCGAAGAGAACTTTAAGTGCTGCTCCGTAGCCTGCTGTTTGGAGTTTGCCCCAGAGGCGGCATTTGTCGCAGCCAACGCAGTCCATAATCCGCGAGACGTTGCGGAATCGTTGCTTGAAATCATCTTTCAGGTCAATCATGGATGGATCCTGGAACATGATTGATTCATCGAAGGTACTGGGAATTGATGCAAGCTCAGAAGTCAGCCGAGCCACCTTCTGCTTCGTTTCAAAGTCCTGGGCAGGATCTCCAGAGCAGAAAGTGTATGACTGTAAGGACTTGTCGAGTTTAGCGATTGCTCGTGTTACAAGAGCATAGTTGAAGTAAAGATTGGATATGCGATCAGGATAGTTATGCAGTCTCTCCTTGTAGCATTCCAGGTTCTTGAACCACTCGCCAGAACTCTGATTGAAGTAATCCCAGCAGAGATGGGTTGAGATGGACGCATGCATGCCGCTGATTATCCTGTAAAATGCTCGCTGTTCGATGCACTGATCGTTGAGTGAGTAATCGTCTTTGGACTCGACATGTTGTCTGCCATATTCTTGAAAGATATTTTTTAATTCCTTAGACGCATGTCGTCCGGTTTGTGCAGGTATTGACGCAGTGACGGACTTGCTGAAGCAGTTCTCCTTGTAGATTGCATCCCATACCTGTCTTGCACCTGGTCCGGCATATCCTGTAAATCTCTCGGTGTTGTTCACGAGACTCACATAGTCTCCCTTCGTAGCAGCACCTTCATCTTCTGGCACGCAATAATCTCGCTCGTCGCATTCATCATCGGCTTCAAAAACACAACTTTCATCAACGTTCTGTCCTAATTGATATTGTAGGGGTCTTTGTTCCGGACGTTCTCTCCTTTGCTTTGGACCTGGGTGCTGGGCTCGTGCACCCTCGAGTTTACTCAACTCTTCTGCTCGCCATATTGGAGGTATGTCGCCTTCGTCTTCTATTGTGTCCACAGCGCATGCTCGATTGCCACATATGGAATTTTCATCGTTCCAGAAAGGACACACTTTGTTATACAGGTTCAAACGATAATAGGCGAAGAAGTCGGCTTGCGTTAAATCATCGAGTATTGGCCGTATCGCCCTGTTCAAAGAGTCCAGATTCGAGTAGGATGTGCAGGCATCTGTGACAGTTGATTTCGGGTCTATTGCACACTGAGGGTCTGCGCTGATAAAATGGGGAATCTGTAGTAATGCAAAGCAGGTCGAATAAAAGTGTCCAGCATGTAAGCGCATATTGCAGAGAACAGTGAACGTGTGCCTCGTTCAGAGGAGGATCGTAGGGAGGTGAAAGGGCAACAGGTGCGACTCGATTTGGCTATTGAATCTCTTTCACAGAGGATTCATATTGCGAATGTAGACCAGGATCAGTCGTACTTCAGGGTAGTTTACTTAGTAGTTGTTGCTTCCACAAAATTGAAAAAGTTCCAGGACAAGGTGGCCTCGTTGGAATTTGGCCTTTGCTGCGGCGATGGTCTGACAAAGCCAGAACCTAATAGTTTTTGTCCGAGGGCTAACTACGTCACATTCAGCAATGATCTTCAGGCACTCGAAGCCTGCAGTTTACGGAGTATTGCTTGCAGAAAATATGCGCCCCAACAAATGCTTCTGTCGCAAACCAAGATTGCTTGCGTTGAATATGTGAAAGCATAAATGAGACATGTTTTTCAAGCAAGATGTTCCTCGCTTCCTCGGAAAGTACTACCAAAATGTTTATGACTAATTGTTATGCAATGTACGATAAAAGATGCGATGCTTCCTTGTGCTTGCCGCCTCAAAGTGCTTGAACAAACTGAATCTCCCTGGAACCCTCCACGCGGTCAGTCTGTTGAGTAGGTAAGCGTGTCACAAGCACCAAATCTACAGCTCCTAGGCGTACGAACCAGACACTTCACTTTCTTCGGGCACTACTTTCCAAGTACCGCTACACGAAACCTATCGAGCTGCATAGAGGAGGGTAAAACACAAGTCAAGTCTGGGTCTAGTGAGGAATAAGAGCCAATCGCGTCATTAGCGATAAGTAAGGGGTTTTGCAAGCTGGCAAGATTGGGATGATGGACAAGACCATGATCTATACGTATTGAATGTGAACCAGATGATTGGAAGAGTTGTCCAGAGACTTCATGAGACCACAACGGTAGGTTATCTCGGAAGGAAAACGACACGTTTCCGAATGCTAAGAAGATTAACCACTGCCCTCGAGTAACACGAAATCATGAGCTGCATGCTAAGGCTGAAGCCAGGCAATACTACTATAGATTTCAACAACATGTCACAGTTTTTTTCTTCAGCGAGGAAATTTGCACGTTAATGCACAGATTCGGGCATCGAATGTATTCGTTTGCGGTAGTAGGTACTGTACGGGATCAGACCTGTCAACACTTGGTCATATCTTACGGAGGGAACTATCTGCTTAGTATATTCGTAGTGATCAGGCTTGTAAGGGATCTCACGAATTGGTCTCAAGCGATGATTCTTTTTACCTTCCAAGACGTGCAGCTGAGCTTGACGCGAGAAGCTCTGTACACGAATCTCGAAGACGATGGCGTCCTGTATTGTGGCCGTCGCCTCCTCAGTTCGCCCTTCTCCCTCAATTGTCCAAAGTTCGTGTGCGGTACAAGGATTTTAATGCGCTATGCGGATGCACAATCGTCTGGGGACTGGTTGTACTTCACTCCCAGGGTCCCCAGGGGGTATCTTCTTGGCGAGTGATCGAGCACGGACCAGAGATGCTAGCTTCTCAGCTCGCCACCATAAGCTAGTGGTAATACTTTGCAACTAGGCAGGTCTTGATCTCATAGCTCTGAAAGCCAAGTCGTGGGGACGACGATAACCTGAAAGCAGCAAGGCGTGGTTGGTCTCCTGCAATGTACGTTGTCAAGCTTGAAATTTAGTCCCTAAGTTTCAAGTACTGGCCGAGTAACAGACGGGATTTGCCATCGTCCTTACAGACTCAAGAACAAAGATCTCGCATGGCAGTCATTGTCAATGCATGTGGAGCGAAAAAGCTCTTTAGCAGGAAGGTGGGATATGAGAGACCCCAACAAGGTGGCCGCATCAAGTACTGTATTCATGTGTTTGCACGTGGTGTGGTCGAAAATGAGACAAAGAGGGCTAATCTGGATAGCACCCTAGACAGGTGTTCACAATATGAGGCGCTATTGCTGGTGGTTAAGTCCTTAGCGTAGTACTGGAATCTGGGGTACTAGCTGAATGGTTAGATCCTTGTCGTACAATTTCGCTAACCACATACTCCGCAAGACCAGAAGGTCGACCTATGAAACGCCTCTCTCGTTAAGACGAGGGCTAGACGCATGGTGGCAATGGAAGGCGGACGGCAGCGTACATAGATTCTGCTCGGCGGAACACATGAGTTGCGACTGGAAGAAATTCACCTCTCTGAGCGTACCGAGTGCACGCTTCCAGTACATGCTTCAATATGTCATATACGGGATATCGTGTACTAAAGTTCGTATCGTTTCCTGTTCAAGGTAAGCTCGATCTTGTCAATCAGAGACGGCTTCATCCAAAAGCTTCTCCAGCGCCAAAGCGATCGTGAAGTCAAAGCGAACCCTGCGCTGTGAGCTCCGTAGTGTCCGAGAGCACCGTCTCATTGGCTCTCAGCTATTTGTCCTCAATTAGACTTCCTGTGCACATGACGGCCCATACTCGAGTCGGAGCATAATGTGAAACTTACAGTACAGTAGTTTGCAGCACAGGTACGAAGTGGTGACGACAAAGATAGGCTATACTCACCTTGTATTTCCTATCTTTTCTCCTTGCGGCAGGTTGAGTCTAATGCTCGAAGATGCATTTCCGGCCACAAAGACAACGTGGCCTGCATGAGGACGTACCAGCACATCGTCGTAAGTACGGGCCCATCGGCACTGCAGACATCTGACCCACCACGATCGCCCGCCTGGTACCGGACGGAAAAATCTGCCTGTGGGTGCATCTTGTGACGAGTCGTGAGGTGATTGCCATCAAATCAAGATAACACAAAGCAATATAGCCTGACTATTGTCACACCAGAGCAGTGTCATCTGTCAATAGTGGAGAATTTTATGTAAACTCTGTTCTCAAAGTGTGGGAGGACACCCGGACAGCCAGCCGCTTGTCTCATGAGCATCATGCGAGCTTTTGGCTAATACTCGCTAATGAAGAAATTCGTGTTTGAAGCCTTTTCGGGAGTAAGAGAGTACAAAAGGGGAGGACCATGAATTATAAGCGTGACAGGGTTCGCCACGCCCAATAGACTCTGGAGCACGTGCCGCTGGAAGCTAGGCAGGTACCGAATTTTGACTTTACCAAACAGAAAGGTCATGACACGAACATTGTGGGGATGCTTCGGGTAATTTCAATGACGACTCAAAGACAGAAATTGATGGACTGCGATAAAAGCAAAAGCAATATGTGGAGGCTATGAAGCCACTAACAGTTTTGTCTCATATTGTATGATGAGATGAGATGAGCACTAGCTGTAGTGATGACCACTTAGTCGATTCCTAACTCTAGCACTTGCAGATGAGTCTGTAGGACGAGAATGAGAAGCCCAACCAACTTCCAAGTAACAAAGCAAGAGAGATAGCACCCAGCACCTGTAGCCCAAATCCCCTTCTCAACACCACGTTCCATACAGAGCTTAACCTGCCCATGTTCCATACCATGTCCTGTTGTCCTATGCCAAAGAGCACACAGTAGATCCCATTTCGATTCCTGGTGTTGTATCGTTGTAGGCAATAAAACGAAAACAAAACTCCTGATATAGCCGCTAAATGCTTGATCCCTTCCTCAACGAGGCTTTATACCTGAAACTCCGAAATGCACAGACTTGTTCTTGTCACAATGTATGTGCATGTGCTCATGCCCATTGCCTGATTTTCAACTGAACTTGCACTGACCACAGGTCTATCTCTCCAAAACCACTCTTGTGTCTTCGTTGCTTTGCATCGATATCCTTCGACGCAATGTTCGAGTCTGATCGAATGAGGTGACGTAGTCATTCAAATCATTTCTTGCTTGTTCAGAGATCTTAGATCGTGTGTGCCTAGTACTTTTCACACTTTCAAGAAAGGTTGGAGACGGCGACCGATAGACTGAGAAGTCAATGGCAGGTGGAAGAAACAGACCCGAGCTTGAGCTGGTGGACTGCCGATGGATGGTCTGAGGATCGCAGTACGATGGGGAGGATGGTGCAGAGCTTGTATAGTTGTCGAGTTCAGTCAATCGGCATGCTTGAGAGCAGAAGACCGATCCATTTGTCTGTGCGTCACACGTCAGACAGAAATCTCCGAAGAAGTCCATGGCTCGACAGTGTTTGTTGGTGCTGGATTGAACAGGGTATGGTCCTCTTAGTGGCAGGGCAATACAATCTCAATAGCAAGGAGATAGTGTGGTGAGGAGATGTCGTCCTTGATGAGGAAAGAAGTTCGTCGTGGTTTGGATGAAGAGAAGAATTCAGTGATGAAGACAGGATGTGAGTTTATCAAAGAGACGAAAAGCAAAATGTATGGCTCAAACTTGGCCAGGTGAACTGGGCACCAAAGTTCCATCGTGTGGAGTGCAGTGGTGCTTGCATGGATTGTCTCAATCGGATGGAGTCCTCACTAAGTCGGTCCACTGCGTCTGGCGCCAGATAGTGGTTCGCGCTTTCGTGATTCACACTGGCAGACCATCACGCAAGAATGCCCCACTGCGTTTTACGAAACCATTGCCCGTCTGTGCCGCTGGTAGTTACGTTTAGTGCGTGCAATCTGTATCTCAGTAAAGTGGTATTGGAGGACCCTCTACACTCACTCGCTTGAGCACTGGCTTTCCTTTACTTGCGCAACACACGAGGTGGCCGGCTATATTCGGACACACCTATACGACAACGTGAGAATGAACCACATGGTCAATAGAATCCAAGATCAAACACTTGTTGAAAGCCGCTAACGACCGTGATGCGTAATCTCAGATGAGACCTTCAAGTCAGACGCTGATAGGTTACTCTTTGCAGATCTTTCATATCAGCTGTGCTGGACAAATGTGTGGAGCGTGCAGGGTGGTGGTCTGCCAGGTAGCATGCTGATCAAGAGAACCCCTCTCGCACCTACACGAACTCGCTTACACCCTCCTCAATCTTATGGTGGTTTGATATTCGAACAGTAGCGTGGGGTACTCATATTAGCCAGCGCGACAAATATTGATACAACTTCTACCTGTGCTATTTGTGTGCGAAAATATTTGCCGGTTCCTGGAGGGCACCTTCCTTCTCTACTCCTCACATCGTGTTGTCAAAGCGCCTCCATCCGGCACAAACGCTTGAAGAATGATGCAAGGGGGAAGAACGTGGTAGCCGCAACATAGTCCTCAACGACGAGCGCAGGCTCCAACACACCACCTTCAACTGGCTGATCATGCAAACCTGATTCAAGACCAAAATAAACGAGGTTTGAACCTGCCTTTGCCTCAAATAAAGCTCCCTTATTCGAGCGGAGCTTTCCACACCCTGCTAGGGTAAGACTTGTTTACTCCATGCCAACAAGTCGCCCTTGCGTTCTTAGCAAACGGCAGCTTCCGCTCAGATTGCTGAACCTGCTTTAGTGCTGAACGGTTTGTTATTGTCAACTGCTCATACCATCTGCTTGTTCAAATACTATACTGAACCATGAGCATCTAGGTGTCTCCAGACAGATCGATGGGAAATTGAGTCGAGTGAATTGAGATAAAAGCTATGGAAAGCATATAGTCGGACCGGTTTGACCACGATCATCCTTGCGAGTCAGCACACCACCTTTTATCAAAAGACGTTGAGATTTTGCGCCAATTGCCACTTTCTGGGATTCACGAACAGTCGCTGAAGTCCAGTGAACCTGATACGCTTGTTGGAGAAGTCCTAGGTTCACATCCATGCCAGTGTAGATCATGACTTACGATCTGTGCCCCTCTTGTCATGCCACCAAGGTCAAGCTGTTGTTAATGACTCAATTGTGACACTCGAGATATGGCACCCTGGTCAAGGCGAGTGAATTCTCGTACCCTACAGAGCAGCAACGTGACATATAGTCCAGATAGCCATTTGTGCTTGATACCCAGAATGCACATTTTTGATCCATCGACAGTTTATCACGAGATGGGTAACAACGCGTTCTGCCCCTGCGTGGAGTCTCTCATGGCAGATCTCCAATGCAGACAACTTTTCGTTCACGCACTCAATTTAGTCCGGCGATAGCAGATGTCTTCAGCACGTGTCGACAAGCATCCGATTCCCGAAGACTTCGAAGACACAAAGCCAGTGCACAACTATTCTGTTACACGACCATCACGACGTCGATGCCAGCGTCAATCAAAATATGGTGGCATGACCCTGTTACACAACATTACGTACCACGCCACGAACAGTTACACAAGTCTCGAGGATCAGCCTAGCACAATCGATCAATCCCGTTTGGCTGTAAAGAGCCCGAGTGTGGAGAAGACGTGTCTGGCACTGGCTACATACCTTTCATTGGTTTGGTTCTAGGATAGTAGCATGCCAGTACCCTGACAGTGGCCTCTTCGCCGACATCATCGCTGGTGCTCACTGAAGTGGGATATACCAAGCTAGACATAGTGGTGTAGCAAGCCAGCCAGCCAGCCATCAAATTGAAGATTATAGCTAGGTAATTTGTGAATACTAGAGACTAGTGGTTCGCCCGCTTTTCACAGGAAGCAGGAAGAACTACAATGTTGCAAATACGCGTGATATGCTCTGCCAACCGTAATTCAGAGCCCGTAACTAACAATAGTCTAAAGACAGGGTATATCAGCATAATCCAGCCCGTAAAGAATACCTACAACACCATGCTCAAACACAAATTCATCAAGTCGTCAAATCGCTGCGCCAAACCCTCCAAGCAATTCGTCCAATTGTTTTCATATCGCTGCCATTGCCGTAGCTGTCTCTCCAGTCATCACACCAGGCAATTTGTCCATGTCCACAAAGTCAGGGTACTTCATGGCGAACTCTTTGAGCCCAGCAAATACATCAGAGCCAGTAAAAGTGATCGTCAGTGGTGCGCGCTCAGTATCAGCAACCTCGTCGCTGCACATCTTTCGTTTTTTCGTCTTTCCTCTGTGTGAGGCAGACAGGTCGATAATCCTTAATTGTAGCTTATCTAGTTTTGCGTGGTTGGGACCCTCCGTATGCCCAAATCGTCTGTCCACATTTCTGTCGCGCTCTGCTTGTTGTTGGTCGGTACTCTGCATTGTCCCGCCTTCCTCGAAGGTCGGTAAGATCTTGGAGTTGCCTTGCGAGCAGGCTTCTGGCTGTGTGAATTGCGATAGAGGGCCACCACAACTTCCGACTAGACCACTACCTCGCAACAGCGTCATAGCACGTAAACTCTTTGCTGTCAGCTTCGTCGTCTCAAGACTCCATCTTCGCTGTGGTCGTGAAAGTGCTTTGGGAATAGCCTCGAGCACAATTCTTTTCGTTGCAAGAATGTCAACCTTGATTGGCGCTTTCTCGTGCTTGTCCTTCAGTCTCGGGGCCGTGGATGCCGAGATCGAGACGTAGACATAGGGACAACTGTCTGGTAGGGCAATGTACATGGTCCGTGCCAGATCAGTAGGATGCTTCTGATTTCGTGGTACATTGATGCTTAGCGGGCGGAAAGGTGCGTTGGGGCTGACATATAGTCTTACTATCGATAGATTCAGCGACGGTATGCGATGTATGTGATAGCAGGCTTTCACAAGAGGGGCTATATGTTGCTTGAGATTTTGTACGAAAATGGCAGCGTTCATATCTGGATAGCGTGGTTGGATCGACGTGCTTCGATCATGGCTGACCTTCCTCCTCTTGGTCGACCCATTATCGTTGTCGTCGATCAAGGGAACAAGCTTAAGCGCTGACCATCGTATGCTCGTGTCTTTCTCTTCCAACACCGCAAAGTCAATTTGTGCGAACTGTTCGTGCGATAGACCTCGTCGCCAATCTCCATCCACAATCCGGTCGACAACATCTTTCTTACTTAGAGCTTGAAGTTCTACGTTGTCTTCTTTGTAAGACTTGTATATTTGCTTCAGGTCTGTTCGTGTCTGTGCGGGTTCGTGCAAATAGTCTTCCTCTTCTGCCTCGAGATTCTCGCGATTCGACGCTAGGTAAGGATCGCATCTAGATGATTTCGACCATGCGATGCACAATTCAATTAGCTTTTCACGCGATAGACGTGACAGCGATTTTGCGACAGCCGTTGACATCGTGAAGGCTTTGTAAGTTCATGTACCAGTACGAACATGCTGCTATGCTGCTATGCTGCTTTCGAAGTAATTGCGTTCGTCGCTCCATTTTTGGAGCGAGCGAAAACAAAGCCGCGTTGTCCCGACAACCACGAAGTTAGTGCATACAAGGTCATCTTGACGAGATCTCCTTCAGATTGACCATGCGTGACATGGCTCATTGGAATGGTGAACCAACGTATCGATTCGCAAAGACCTACCACAACATGTAGCAGGTACAAGTACCTGGTACTTGTATCAATTGATCAACAATGAGTGATATAGGACATGACTTTCTTGCGTAAGCATGATTTGTGCAATCAAGGTTGTTCTAGCTAGGTGTCGAAGCCTTTCAATGAGCTATGTAATCTGCCAACGGCTTGTAGACTGTCTGTCAATACTGCGGTGCGACTTTGCGATTATTGCTGGACATTGCTGCTATAGCCGTGGGCCTCGTTGCAGCATGTAAAGCTCGCAAATCAAACAAACGAGTCCAGGCAGGTATGAGTAGTAAAGCAGCGTGTTGCCGTTCCCAGTATAGCGCAACAAAGAAGTATTGCCACTTCATTCATCCGGCCATGGGCTTGTCATGCTTTATTGGTCGGCTGAAACAAAGTCGAGAGCATCGGCAAGCCATGTAATTCCGCCGGCAATGATGATAATCATGACGCTGCAAAGAAAGTCTGCCTCTCCCGCTCATCGCGGCTCAACCGAACAGCACACTGCAATGAGGTACTGTGAACCTGCCCACGCCGTACTCGAGTGGTAATCCTGTACATTTCCGGTGTGCGCACATTCGTCGTGTCATCAATCCTTGGCCTCGAGGTTTTGTTCACTGCTCGATGTATTGGTAATCAAGAGCTCTAGCAATTCACGCCGACCCACGCCCTGACGCCACGCTAATTTCTGGCTCATCTCGGCCAACCACGGCTTGCGTACCCAAACGTGGAAGCCTTTACCTGTGCAAATTCAGCTTCGGACAAGAACCCCGCCAGATCGCACTTGCGTTCACCCGTCCAAACTTGCACGACTCATCACCACTCTCGTTAGCGATTGACGTGTGTCGCACCTCTCGTCGTTACGGATTGTTCTTTCTACACCACCAGGTCTACAGCGTCGACGCATGACTTGCGAAGCGTTGCCAGCCAGACGAGGTCATTGCCGATCCGCTTAACGCAAGAATTATATGGCCAGCCCGTAATCGAAACATCGTCCTATACAATCAAAAATGTCTGGCTATCGAGGCCGCACCGGCCCCAATTTTTCACAGTATCTCAACGATCTCAACACATTAAGTCCTCCTGAGCAGCAATTCGTTGAAGATGCCGATTTAAGCAATGATCTTGCCATGTATACCAATACTGATTTCACCAATCTTGACATGCCATTCGGAGAAGACTCTGCATTCAATTTCGATTTGTCGCCCGAAGCACAAGGACACGAAGGTCTGAAATATGAAGAATTGTTGTCCGCCTCTACAGCACCTACGGACTTCTCAGAGATTGTGCCGATAGACACCACAACCCCTACCCAATCACAACCCTATTACTCGACATACAACACCCCGATACAACCGGCTCCATCTGGAGGATTTCCGCCCAGCAATCAGATACAGCAAAGCCCGATCCCGCGCGACACTAGAAGAGCAAGGACAGATACTATACCACCCGTCGACCATATGTCACCAGATGACAAGTCTCGGATGGCGGCAGAGGAGGACAAGCGACGCAGGAATACCGCCGCTAGCGCACGCTTCCGAGTAAAAAAGAAGCAGCGGGAACAAGCTTTGGAACGTACGTTAAAAGACTCGCAGGACAAAAGTCAAAAACTTGAAATGAGAGTACAGCAACTGGAGCAGGAGAATAAGTGGTTGAGGGACCTGATCACAGACAAGAACGGCCTGCAGTCGAAGGAGGAGATGGCAGCTGCTTACGAAAAGCACCGAAAAGAAAATGAGGAGCGTGATCTGAAACAAGAGCCAGGTCGTACCAGCGGTGTGGGTACCGACTAGACGGGTTCAAGCGAAAGCAAAAGCGATTTTTGACGATTTATGCATTCAACCACTTTCAAAGATACCACCTAAGAGGTAGACCACAGATAGTCTGTCTTCGGCAACAGTTGGCCAAGTTCTATTTCTTGAATTCTCGCTTCAATCCTGCAATCATGCCCTGGTGACTTACTGGCATCCCTTCGTAGTCTGCTGGCCACCAGAAGATCACAAGGGTGGCTTGATAGTAAAGGTACATCTAACACGAGCTAGGACGGTACTTGAAAGGGATGTAAAATACGTATTTTTAATCACCGCGCAGACGTGCTTGTAGGCAGCAACCACGACCACAGAAAACAAACCAGACACTGGTATAACCACAAGCAGAAGTTATAGTAGCCGGCAAGGCGCATTTTTACATGATTAAATGAGGCTACTAAGTGTGTGAAAGACGCGCTATTCCATCCCGCTCCATATCGGCGTGAGTGCGGAACAAGGCTGCCCTACCAGATTGATCTTCAATATACGAACACTGCACTAGCTTTCTGTCTACCTCAACGCGTTTTCCACAGCCTGGCGTTTCTTCGAACAGTTCCTCTAGATTTGCCCTCATCCTCCAGCACTGAATCTCATCCAGACTAACGCACATTTACCGCAAGGCCGAGCAATTCCCCGCCACCATTTGCGACTGGTTCACCACCTCGGATCATCTGCGCTCACAGAGCGTTGAAGACTAGCAAATCAACGCAATCATGTCGATCACCGTCACCGAACTTGACAACACTGTCAAGGCCTTCCAGGAAGGAAAAGGCGACGTACAGAAACAAGCACAACAACAGCTCAACGAGTTCAAACAAAACCCTGATGCATGGTTGATGGTAGATAAGATTCTGCAAGAGGCTCAGTATATGCCAACAAAATACCTTGGTCTACAAGTTCTAGACGACGTCGTAAACACAAGATGGAAGATCCTACCACGAGATCAATGCTTGGGCATCAGAAATTTTGTCATCAACCAGATCCTCGAAGCCTCCACAACCGAAGAGAGCCTCAAGGCAAACCGCGTGTTCGTCAACAAACTAGATTTGACCCTAGTCACAATCTTGAAACAGGAATGGCCGCAGCACTGGCCAAACTTCATCAACGAAATCATCACCTCGTGTCATAGCAGTCTTTCCGTCTGCGAGAATAATATGACAATTCTGCGGTTGCTATCAGAGGAGGTCTTCGACTTTTCAGCAGAACAACTAACGTCCAGCAAGGCTAAGAGCTTGAAACAGTCTATGTGCCACGAGTTTTCAAACATCTTCTCGCTGTGCAATGAGGTTCTTACCACGGCCAACTCGATACCGCTAGTCAAGGCCACACTCGAGACGTTGTTGCGCTTTCTCAACTGGATCCCTCTTGGCTTCATCTTCGAAACGACTCTCATCGACACACTGATCACTCGTTTCCTCGAAGTTGATCACTTCCGAAACGTGACTCTCAAATGCCTTACAGAGATCGGCAGTCTACAGCTAGGCCAGCAACGCCAATACGACGAGAAATTGGTACAGATGTTTACAGAAACTCTGACAGTTGTTGCGAGGACAATACCAGTCGACTCAAACTTTAGAGAATTGTATGCAAAGAGTCGTTCAAGCGAGCAAGAATACATCCTGAATCTAGCGATATTCTTATGCAACTATTTTGGCGCTCACGTTAATCTCGTCGAGAAGCTCCCAAATCCAGATTACCTCGTACACGGCCATTTCTACCTCATAAAAATCAGCTTGATCGACGACCGTGAAATCTTCAAGATTTGTCTTGAATATTGGACCAAATTGGTACAGGAACTATACGAAGAGATGCAACAGTTGCCGATGACAGACATAAACCCGCTTGTCAACATGGGTGTCAGTGGATTAGCAAATGGTAGTGCCTCTCATCCTAGCTCTCTTGCCAATTATCCTCTACGAAAGAACAAGTACAACCAAATCTTGTCGAACCTACGAATGGTCATGGTTGAGAAGATGGTGCGACCTGAAGAAGTTCTGATTGTCGAGAACGACGAGGGTGAAATTGTTCGTGAATTTGTGAAAGAGAGCGACACGATTCAACTATACAAGACTACGAGAGAGTGCTTAGTCTACCTGACACATCTGGACGTTGCCGACACAGAAAACATCATGAATGAAAAGCTGCAGCGGCAAGTCGATGGTACTGAATGGTCATGGAACAACTGCAATACCCTCTGCTGGGCAATTGGTTCTATATCTGGCGCCATGAACGAAGAAACCGAGAAACGATTCCTTGTGACAGTCATCAAGGATCTCCTCGGTCTTACGGAAATGAAACGAGGCAAGGACAACAAAGCTGTGGTGGCCTCTAACATTATGTATATTGTTGGACAATACCCACGTTTCCTCAAGGCGCACTGGAAGTTTCTGAAGACTGTCGTCAACAAGCTATTTGAGTTTATGCACGAGTCTCACGAGGGCGTCCAGGATATGGCTTGTGATACATTCATCAAGATTGCTAACAAGTGCAAGCGACATTTTGTCGTACTGCAAGCTGGAGAGGGTGAGCCTTTTATCGACGAGATTATTCGCAACATGCGCAAGATCACATGTGATCTGTCGCCACAGCAGGTTCACACATTCTATGAAGCTTGTGGATTCATGATTTCAGCACAGGGACAGAAACCCATTCAGGATCGCCTGATCGAGAATCTGATGTCGTTACCTAATCAAGCATGGGACAGCATCATCGAGCAGGCGAACAAGGACCCCTCTATATTGCAAGACGCAGAGACAATCAAAGTCATTGGCAACATCATGAAGACTAACGTAGCAGCCTGTTCCTCGATTGGAAGTTATTTCTACACACAGATTGGTCGAATTTACCTCGATATGCTCAATATGTACCGAGCCTCTAGTTCGTTGATTTCGGATGCAGTGGCTAGCGGAGGTGAGTCTCTTCCAAGTCTGGTCTCACACACAACTAACAGGATTCTAGGTAATGTCCAGACGAAAACACCGAAGGTGCGCGGTCTTCGCACAATCAAGAAGGAGATTCTGAAGCTCGTCGATATCTATGTTCAGAAAGCCGAGGATCTGCAGATGGTGAATGAGAGCATGGTACCGCCATTGCTAGATGCCATTCTCCTCGACTACCAACGTAATGTTCCTGATGCTCGAGACGCAGAAGTGCTTAGCGTTACAACTACGATCATTCACAAACTTCATGTACGTTGGACCCCCAAGCGTTCTCGGCATATGGTCAGAGGCGACTCTTCTTACGTGATCTATGTACTGACGTTTCGTAGCAATTGATGGAAGACAAGGTCGCGCCAATCTTCGACAGCATATTCGAATGCACACTCGACATGATCAACAAGGATTTCCACGAGTACCCCGAGTTCCGAGTCGAGTTTTTCAAGCTTTTGCAAGCGATCAACTTGTTCTGCTTCGGTGCGTTACTCAAGCTCGATGGCCGACAATTCAAACTCATCATCGATTCGTGCATGTGGGCCAGCAAGCACGATAATCGAGAAGTCGAAAATACTGGTCTTGCCATGTGCCTTGAGCTCATTAACAACATGGCAGAAGTCGAGCCACAAACCTCAGCCATGTTCTTCCAGCAATTCTACACTTCCATTCTGCAAGATGTCTTCTATGTTGTCACTGATTCTGACCACAAGTCTGGTTTCAAATCACAGTGCATGCTTCTGGCACGCATGTTTCAGCTTGTGGAGCAGAACAGAATAACGCAACCACTTTACAAGCCGGACCAAGCAGCACCTGGTACGTCCAACAAGCAGTTCGTATCGGAATACACTGCCAATCTGCTGCAACAGGCCTTCCAAAATCTTCAAGCGCCACAGATTCAACACTTTGTGTCAGGACTGTTCGCACTTAACGAGGACCCGAACAAGTTCAAGACTCATGTGCGTGACTTCTTGATCTCACTCAAGGAATTCGCTGGAGACAACGCGGATCTCTTTGCAGAAGATCGTGAGCAGGAGAAGCAGGAGCTGGCAGAAGCAGAAAGAGAGCGAAACAAGAAAGTGGGCGGACTAATCAAACCAGCAGATCTCGACCAGGATGATGATCTGTGACTGGATCAGGAACTTCCTTACGATTACAACAAAGACCAAGAAACAAGTGGTCCTTCTGTTGAGCACTACGCGACTGAAGAGACTGAAGAACATGGAAATGCTTACACGGATGGCTGGCTGTTCTACAAAGTTTAGGATACAGCTGAGGTTGGCAACTATTGTTCTTACAAGTCACGGACGTTGCCAATAGCATGAAGTACAGCTTCGTGCTATCTTTTCTGCAACAAAATGACGTTTAAATGTGTTTTTGAGATACCAAAAAGCAATGGCAGGATAGAATTATGCTGTGCAGCATTTCTAGCGGGCTGGCGAATGGCGCATGTACTCTAGCAAGCAGATACAGACACACAAGAGACGTGTTTGCAATGAATGGGAAATGGAAATATGATTCAAGGGTCATCGCTGATAAGTGTAGTGCTTCGACTTAAATATCATCAGTTGTTGCTTCCCGCGGCTGCGGACCTGTGGTCGTGATTTTTATTTGGAAGTGACGATGTATGCGGGGCAGTAGATATGCCCCGGTGAGTCTTGCGCATCTGCCCAAAGCTATTCCCATGACTCCCACAGTAGGCGTCCCTATCGCTGAAAAGTGTCCAACGTCAGGTCGCTACCGTGCCGGATTTGCTGGTGCGGCACGAAAGTTTCACGTGGGACGGATGACATACTGTACGTATCGATAACTCGAAAGTTCTGGAGATCGCCGTCATTGCGTTGCCAAAGTTTCATTGTTTTTGCCTGACTGCATTGCGACTTTGTACGTATTTGCGAACCTCTTCTCGTGTAAAGAAGCAGCCTCGATACGCGAGTCTCCGCTCGTGACTATCAAAGCGTACCACCAAGCGTTCTGCCCACGTTACTGCACGGAATTTGAGCGGCAGTACTGCAATTCAAGAGTGTTGTTGGACTCAAGAGCCTGCGCCAATAGAGTGGTTTCATAACGTGTTGAAACCAAGGCGATCAGGCCATAGCAGCGCGTTCCACATTTACTGACTACTACACGATGTCTATGTCCCCAGCCCGTCGGGGTCCTCCCCGCCGCTTAGCACCAGCCTCGTCTCAGCAGACACGCTTGCGTGGTGGTGGTAGCGGTACCGCAACACCCGCAGAAGGCAGCGCAACCACAACCATAACGTCCACACCCTCTCATCCCCTTCCTGACGGCCTTGTCCTTCGCCTACGAGGTGCACATTCTCCATCAGCCTCAGCCGCGGACGACAGCACAAATCAAGAACAATCGGCAGAGGACGCGCAAACTGGCAACAGGAGACGTATACAGTGGGCTGAAGACGTGGTCGACAATGAAGGGCTGGGAAGAAAGAAGAGTAAAGTGTGTTGCATATTTCATAAAACGAGAGAGGTGGGAGAGAGCAGTAGTGAGGACGATTCTAGTGATGATAGCTCGGGTGAGAGTAGTGTGAGTTCTGGAGACGATGATGGGAGTGCGAAGCCTAGTGGGGGGAGGAAGAAGATGGGTAGAGGGAGAAAGAAGCATAGACGTGGTCATGAGCATGGGAAGGATTGTGGTCATGGAGATGAGCAGGGGGCGGGAGGGCAGAGGAAGCCGAGTCCGAATGCGTATGAGAAGATGCCGAAGTACGATGTTAAGCCCTTGCAGCAACAGCCTGGGAGGGTGTAGGCTTTGAACAGTGCCATTCAGAGTGAGGATAGGTGTATGATGTTCACGCAGCGCCTGCAGCAGTTTGTATTGGTATTTGGGAAAAGCAATATATGGACCTGCTTCAAAGCTCGTTGTGGTATCAATTGAGCTACATGTTTATTCACCTACTCTTGTGTGTGACGTTCAGTTTGGGTTATCCTATGCCTTAGCGAATCGCTGCTCAGCTGCCTTCCAGTTGACAACGTCCCAGACAGCATTGAAATACTCAGCCTTGCGATTCTGGTACTGGAGGTAGTACTAATAGGTTGTTAGTATGACATCGATCTCGACACCTGAGGACTCACAGCGTGCTCCCAAGCATCAATACCCAACAATGGCTTGAAAGGGCCAACCACAGGATCTTGATTAGCATAGGTCCTGATCCCAATGTTTCCAGTCTGAGTATCCTTGACCAACCAAGCCCAGCCGCTTCCCTGAACACCTGCCATAGCAGCATTGAACTTCTTCTTCATCTCCTCGAGACTTCCATACGTGCTGTCGATCGCCTTGGCCAGCTCGCCAGATGGCGGCTCACCACCCCCCTGATTCTTTGGTGCCAGGTTCTCCCAAAACAGGGTGTGGTTGATGTGACCACCTCCGTGGAAGTTGACAAGTGGCTGCAGGGTGATTTTGGTAGCGATATCGTCGTTGGCTTCTGCGGCGGCCATCTTATCGGCGGCATCGTTGTAGGAGTTTACGTATGTTTGGTGGTGCTTGCTGTGGTGCAGCTCCATGATTTGGCCGCTGATGGCTGGTTCGAGTGCGCCATAGTCGTCTTTAAGCGTCAGTGACTGTGTTACCTGGACTAAAGGAGCGTATACATTTAAGGTCTGGTAGTGAAGCCTTCCTCCTCACGAACGTCGTCTGAGCTGTGCCCGAGATGCATCGGAGAGGGCCCGCAGCTGCGGTTGCTCGAAAGACAGGGCGGGCAACTGTTCGAAGTGCTGAACTGACCATTTTTGCTGATTTACAATAGAATCTGGAGACTCAAAATTCGTAGCTTCGGTAAGCATCAGAACAGCTTCGAGTTGATATGGCATTCAGTCGAGCTGCGACCTCGCGACGTCATCCCTGGACACTGTCCGTCGTCCCGTGGCTCTATGCCTGATTCGTGCCGCGGGTGCAATAATCCTGGGTCAGCCAAGCCTGGAGGATTGTAGATCTGGCGGCCTGCCTTTTTTTACGAGTCGCAACTTCTCCATACAGAACACAACCACAGGCGGTCTCGCAGGCGCCAAATGGATTCATCAGACGATGAAAGACCTTTCCACATTCGCGACGACTTGGAGGAGGAGAGCGACGAGGATTCGCTGAGACCCAGCAAACGGCGTAAGACTACTGGCTCGACTTTGCGAACTCGTGGCTTAGCTTTTGTACAGAAACAGGCTGAAGACAACGACAACGACCAAGATGGCGAGGAAGACGAAGACATGGACGACGAACGGCCGACGATGGGTGGATTTCAAGGATTCGGTCTTGGGCAGTACCCTCCACAGGACGACCCTCGCTCGCCTAGTCCCGAAGTACAGGAAGATCGTGAGCCTGCTAAGCCTGTTGGCGGTGGTCAGTCGGCCTTCGGAAGAGGTGGAAAGGTCAATCAGAACTCTTTCGCTGCTCGAATGATGGCAAAGATGGGTCACGTAGAGGGTCAAGGTCTTGGAAGGTCAGGACAGGGTATTGCGGCTCCTGTACAGGCAGTCAAGGTCGAAGCTGGTAAAGGTCTAGGGTTTGGCGATCAACAAGAACCTAAGCGACCGACGAAGAACATCAAGGACAAACAGCAGAACAAGATCCATTCAGGCGCAAGCACTCCACGACTAAAGGCACCACCGAAGAAGAAGTACGAAGTTACAGCCATAGAGTCAAGAGGTTTACAAGTTCCCGATGTGTTGAAGAACATTATCGATGCTACAGGTGCGGAAACGAAGAAACTCGAGAGCCTTTCTGGCTACTCGACACCTACTAGCGATACGGCCAGGCCAGCTAGTGAGGAAGAGAAGAAGCAGGCACGTCTCAGGCGAGATCTACAGCTGTTTGCTGATGCGTGGGATGGTCAAATTCGAGAGGCCGAAGCACTAAACCAGGAATTGCTGCAGCGCGACGCCGAGCTTGAGCAGTCTGAAAATCAAATCCAGCTGTTTGAGAACATGGCCTTCGCCTTTGAGCATGTATCAGTCGACGATTCGCAGACGCTACGGGCTTTCGATCAAGTTGTCTTTCGTCTGCAGGCCATTCAAACTGAGTATGCAGAGTTCATCGAGCCTCTAGAGCTCCCAGAAATTGCTGCCGCTGCACTCTCCCAGCCGTTGCAGGCCGCATGTCAGGCCTGGCAGGACCCACTAAGTGATACAGGAAAAGTCATTGTTAATCAGCTACAGTCCCTATCTCGAATTCTGGAAGTCGCCAGAACGACTAGATCTCGTCACCGTCGACGTACTACACCTTTTGAATCACTTTTGCTCAAGACGGTCTACACTCACATACGAGACACGCTCCGTTCCTCTTGGTTAATCTACGATCCTTTGCCCGCGACGGCTCTCCTAGAAACCTGGTTTCCAGCAATTCTTCCTTCGTGGATGCTCTACAAGCTGCTTAATGAGGTTGTCGTGCCACGCCTGATCGAAGCAATCAAGAAATTTAAGCCTCGTAAACACAACCACAAACGAAAGCACGATGTGCCAGATCTTCATGAATGGCTCTTCGACTGGTGGAGCCTCCTTAGCTCTTCCACATTGTGTCTTGAATCATTTACGCAGCTCAAGATTGAAATCAAATCAAAGGTTCGCTTCGATGATCGTGTTTGGCCGCAATGGGAGCCCTTGCTTGGGTCGCGACACAAACCTTCGAAACCTGCAGTCGTACAGCCAGTTCAGGTCGAAACACCACCGCCAACGATCGAGGAAGAGATCTCTTTCAAGGACATCCTCGAAGAGTGGTGTATCGAGAATGATCTAATGTTAAGGAATACCGGAACTGCCGATTCTTTGGGCAGAAGACTGATGCGCCTCATGCCGGCAGGACAGAACAGTGGTGGTTTGCTGATATACGTACAGAGTGATATCGTCTTTGATAGTGCCAGTGGCGATCCTTACATGCTCGACGAGGAGCTGGTTGAAAAGGTCCGAGGTGGTAGATGAGAAACATGCCAAGTCAAAGCCTTGCTGTCAGTCACAAGCGTTCGCTCTTAGAATTGAGGAATCTTCATGGGAATTACTGTGCCCGTGTGTACGGTATCTTTGATTACCAACACAATCGGTCATCACTTCTAATACCACTTCCCGCCACTATCAGCAATACAAATATATGTATTGGTTCTCAAGTTGATTTGCTTAGGTAATCGTGGCACGTACCACACTATTTTGTTCCCTCAACAACAGTGGTCTTGAACATCTACCGACGGACGTAGTTCGGGGATTTTGAGATCGAAGAAGAGCAAGAGGGTCTCGAACACGGTTCCGTACAGTTGTTAGTGAAGCATTCCAGGGTTGACCTGCAGAATCAACACAAATCAGATCTTGCAGCAATTCGACGGATGAAACGGCACAGCGGGTGTTTTCGTAGACCTCTAAAGACTCCTCAATGATCGGTAGAAAGCGGGGATGAGCCGTGTTGGAAGGTACAATTCTGGCACAGATGTTGCTAGCCAAGAAACCAAGACAGCTAAGGCCTGGCTTTGGTCCACAAATCGAAGTCTTCGCTGAGCTTCTTGAGTCTTGTTTTCTTCCACTCACGTCATGCAGATGCAGTCCTTTCGCACCATCAATTGCAGTGACAGCCCACTCGTCCGGCTCAATTGGGTATTACTGTATTGCGCTCTGGTTCGTCTTTCCTTTGACGAAAATTGTGCGATAACAGGCGCTCTTGCTCTGCTTCTAATACGATTTCAACACAATCAACGTGCAGGAAAGCTGCGCTAGTCCACTGACACAATCCTTGCCAGTGTTTTAGCTGAAGTATTTCCTGAGAGGCACTGTTAGCAAATTGTTCATGCGGTCTCGCAATTGCACGTTGCGGGGCCTGATCTGCCGGACGTCGTATGCCATTCACGGCATATCACGCACGCTTTTCCAGTGCGAGTATAGCCCATGCTGACCTCTGCAAGTCAGCTTTTCTCGTTTTCGTGTCTCGTCAATAGCCGATTCATTCCCCAAAGCCACATTGCAAATCATACAGTACCTCCACAATCGCCCTCCAGCTCACTTTCTGGAGATAGTTTGGGAGCTCTTAGTCGGAGTTTCCAGCCGTTATGTGACGAACTCATGCATGATGGAAGGACGATGTTACCTAGCCCCTCTGCGAAGGGCAACTATATCAAGCTGTCCATGCCTGATGTTGCTTTTCTCACACTCAGGCAGTTCTACTAACTCGACAATATGGCTGACACTCAAGGCTACTTAAACAAGGAGCTGCGTGAGCAGTCTCCAGATATGTCGGAATACTCTGACAGGCAACACATGTCGATTGGTCGATATTGTGCCACACGTATAACTACTCTCAAGCCTGCGATGCGACCGATTGCCAACGCCTTCAAGGTTTTATCACTTCTCAACCTTCAGCAATGGCTATTCTTCCTGGTGGCATTCTTTGCTTGGACGTGGGATGCCTTCGACTTTTTCACAGTCTCACTTGTAGTCCCAGATCTTGCTGCGACTTTTGGCAAGACAAATAAAGACATAACCTGGGGTATAACTTTGGTATTGATGCTTCGTTCGGTTGGAGCGATCACATTCGGCCTCGCTGCCGATCGCTATGGTCGAAAATGGTACGTTCCGTCTCACTATGTTAGAACGTCTGGCTGACACGTTCCAGGCCTTTTGTGGTCAACAACGTCCTTTTCATCATCCTCGAGCTCGGTACCGGATTCGTTTCTGACTATAACTCCTTCCTTGGCGTTCGAGCCATCTATGGTATTGCTATGGGTGGTATGTGATACGAAAAGCTGCCAGAAGATCTAGCTAACATGTTTGCAAGGCTTGTATGGAAACGCAGCCGCAACTGCCCTTGAAGACTGTCCAGCAGAAGCACGTGGTATCATATCCGGTATGCTACAACAAGGTTACGCTTTTGGTTACCTGCTCGCGACAGCCTTCGCACGAGGTCTTGTCAATACCACGCCCCACGGCTGGCGTCCTTTGTTCTGGTTCGGCGCCTGCCCACCAATCTTGATCATCGCTTTTCGGTTGTGCTTGCCAGAAACCAGGACATTCCGTGAGAGGCAAGCCCTCCGAGCAGAGTCAGGTGGGCTGGCTGGAAGCTTTGCGTCTGAGGGCAAAGTTGCATTGAAGCGACACTGGCTTCTTCTAATCTACATGGTCAGTGCCACGGCTCCCAAACCACCTAGCTATCAGCGTGTGCTGTCTGGAACCAACATGCTAATTCGCGATAGGTCCTGCTCATGGCTGGTTTCAACTTCATGTCGCATGGTTCCCAGGACTTGTACCCGACAATGCTCACCAATCGTAAGTCTTCCCGAAGATCCAACAGGCGTCCGCTAACCATGTCTAGAATATCGCTTCTCTGCAAACAGAGTAACGGTCACCCAAGTCGTTGCAAACCTCGGTGCCATGACAGGTGGTACACTAGTTGGCTACACTTCTCAAGCTGTAGGCCGCAGACTCAGTATCATAGTCATTTGCATCATCGGCGGCGCACTTCTGTACCCTTACACTTTTACCAGCTCGAACGCCGTCATCGCGGCTGCCTTTTTCGAACAGTTCTGTGTCCAAGGCGCCTGGGGTGTCATTCCAGTCCACCTTATGGAACTGGCACCTGGCTCACTAAGAACCTTTGTGGTCGGTACAAGCTACCAGCTGGGCAACCTGGTGTCCTCCGCATCAAGCACCATCGAGGCCACGATCGGCGAGCAATACCCTCTACCACCGCTTGTGAACGCCAAGACTGGTAAGAGGACCCCGAGATACGAGTATGGTATTGTGATGTGCATCTTCCTTGGATGTGTCTTTGCCTATGTCATTATTCTCACATTCATTGGACCCGAGAGATTGGGCAGAAATCTGGATGTCAGCCATGACTCTGATGTGGCGGAGACCACGCATCGCGACCTTAGGCACGAGCAGCACGTTGGGCATGGCGACAGCATCGACGAGGAGAAACGGGCCGCTGCAAAGGGTGTTGAGAATGTACCTTGAAAAACCTCGACTGAGAATGTATAGGTTTCTGAAACAGGGTAAATAGCAATATGCCTTGGACCTGTGCGGTACCAGCTCTTCCAGAAAGGGTTCGCAAGTATAGTCTGCACCCTCGCACGTAACTAGCCATTTACTTTTAACACAATATCAAGTTCACAATCGCAATACGGGGTACGTTTGTCTGGGTTCTTAGGAGCCCATTCAGGGATCTGCAACTTGGAAAAGAAAGCTTTCCGACGCGTCGGGTCAAGTCGTGTGCTCTTTTCCATGCAGCCCCCTAGAGTCGGAGCAAATCTCCGTGCTCGCCGTTATGATCCACTCACGTCTTGGGTACTATTCGAGCAGTGACTTTCTGTTTTGGAATTCTGAAGATTGATGGTTCATGTATGGTACGCGTAGAAGAAGTACTGGATACTGCTCTAGCATGGATTTTTTTTAAGGGGCATGTGAGGCTGCGTGCAGAGCATGATAGATAGATTGGACCGGGCTGGAGCAATACACTCACGACACTGTGCATGGAAACACACGTAGTCAGATCTAGAAGCATATTTGAATAGTGAAGGAGCAAAGCAAAATGTGGGGTTTCGCATGTGTTACTATTGTCAGCTATCAATCACAAGTGGACAATACATTAGATAGTAGCTAAATCCGGAGGTCTTGCACCGGACCCCGATGGTATCGAAGTTTCTCCCTGATTGTGACGGAGGCCAATACCATGGCCTCTGGATCTCTCTTGCGAGGAAGTGCGTGTCAATTCGGTTCCATCTTTTGGTGCTTCCTCTTCGTCTTTTAGCGGCTCTTCATAGCACTGATCGTGTGTGACGGGCGAGCAGACCAGTCCGTTCTCATTGATCACATGTGAGGACTCGACCGTCGCTGCTGAGTCCGTGGATTTGAGAGTCCATTGCCATTTCCGCCGCTTGGATGTTCGAGTCGTCGTTGATGAAGTGGTCCTTTGACTGGTTGGTTTCTTCTCAGTCGACGGCGCACTAATGTAGATGTTGCTATCACGTCTGTTCTTGCGCTTGAGGGATGGAGGTGGTGAATGCAAGCCGATAGTGTTGTCGTCTATTGCTCGTGACGAGGAACTATTGACATGTTCATCGCCAGATTCGTTTTCATCAGAAGAGCTGAGATCATAATGCCGAGCAGTATACTCCTTCGTCTCTATGATCTCCTCCAGATTTCTACTGAACACAACCTTCTTCGGCTGAGGAAAGAAAACCTTTCTTCTGGAATCCCTCGGACTGGCACTGACGGATGGCTGGCGTAAGTCGAGAGGGGAATTCCTCAATATTGACCTGACTCCAAATGGCAGCGATAAACTGTAAGGATATTGTGATGTTTGACTCTTAGTCGGCCTTGGTGACTCTGTCCTCAACACCGGCGATGGTCTGATAGATAAGTCCCATGTGTTTGTGATGGTGTTAGCTGTGGTGGGAGTGTATGTAGTATGGGCAGCGTTATGACTGAGGCCTCGCGTCAATGAACCGTAGGTGGTGCTCAAGGAAGCTGTCTGCAACGACAATTTCGGTCTCTTGCTGCTTGCTTGTGTAGCAACGTTTGACGGCAGGGCGGACAGCCCGGATTGTCCATTCGTCATGTGATCGTGTAGCAGTAGTGGTAAGAGTTCAGCCATAGGATACGATATGTATGTGGGATATCGTGATTAGATAATCGAGTCGACAGTAAGCCCTTGCTAGGCAGCACACGGTATTGTAAGTTGGCCCAGGCGAGGCTCACAGATGTATTATCTGTGCGACCGGTCGAGGTAAGCCACCACCTTACTCGGACAATGTCTTGCTCTGTAAGTGCAAGGCGCTAAAGTTCGACTCCGCGTATGCCTTGTTATCGGTACCGGCAAGTGCTGCGCTTCGAGAGGGGACGCGGGGCCGGACCCAAAGTGTCAGAAATGAGGTTCAGTCATTCAGGTTGGCGAACTTTCACAGAAGGTAGTGCTCAATTCTGCAGAAGGAACGAAGCGTGGCAAAGGCTTGCTTGGCTTACTAGAAAGGCGAAAGTCGATGCAAATGCCGCTTCCGCAAAATGAAGATGTGACTTGCCATTATTTCTACGTCTCTCTTGGCCAACAGGAGTACTCTTGTTGCGCGTCTAGCCTCGTAATGCCGACAGGGAGGGCCACCATTTTCAAATTTGCTGCTGCGCTGTAGTCGAGGACTATTTGAAACATAGGAGCCGAGCATTGGCTCTTCAGCAGGAGAGATCAAGCAAGATCAAGACGCTAGAAGACAAGCATCCGCAAGGAGTCAAAAGCGTTGTTCTACTTGTGGGTCTCAACCCGAGTGAAAGACGACAAATAGTCGCCACGCTAAAAATAACCATTTACCATGCACATGCAAGTCAGGCTTGGCAGACTGGCCGTAGCGCTCACAATTCGGCCTCGGGCCCAACAGAAATCGAGCATCGAGCCTAATCCTTGTAGCGGTGCTTTTCGCTTCCTTCAACACAACCGAAAGCTACGGGTGGTCTTGTTTTTTTTTTTTTTCTTTTTCAATCATCTGAAAGGCCCTGAGGGCGACTGCCTACCATATCGTGAAATCTCATATGTGCTGGATAGGCGAAGGTTGGGATTTCTTGGCCGCACGATTGACAAACGTAAACTTGACCAGCCTCGATCTCGTCGCCAGACGATTGCCAGTCGTCGTCCTCGTTCCATTCTGCTGAGCCTTGCATTGCCTGGGGTGGCAACGGATCGGTCTCGCATTGCGCCTCGAAATTTATGCTGGAAACGTTTTCCGGCTCGGTGATTTTGAAGTCCTTCAACACCTCTTCTTGCCGCTGGAACATACGACCAATGTCTCTACCTGCACTGTCTTTGGTGTCAGCAGCTGTCTCTGCCATATTGGTGACAGCGATATTGACAAGGCTCAAGTTCCAGCCATTCCTCTCAGGATGTAACTTTCTAAACATGTTAGTCAGCGTAGTGTCAACCAGCCTGTCAGCCAACAAGGATGGTGGTTCTGTCAGACTGAAAACGAAGGTCGGCAGGGGCGCAGAGTGTGAGATGCGATTGAACGATCGCAAGCGCGTACCCTCTGGGTTGAGAGGTGGCCTTGGTCTGGTGGTTAGGCGAAGAGTGCGCGGGTGAGCTAGCCACCTTCGTCGCGTAGTGTCTGTGTCAGCCTCAGTATCGTCATCGTCTTCCATAAGATCGATATGCATGCGACGGATGAGTCTCTCTGACAGAAGGAACAGCTGGTGACGCACCTGGTCGAAATTATGCAGATATTTCATGTAAGAATCCTCTTGGCTGATCTGGGCAGGAACGCGCTTGGCTTTGCCTACCTCAGCATCATCGTAACCATGCAGTAGTGACCAGATACGGCCACCAATGCCTCGCTGCGACCCCGGACCTCCGAGTATCTGCTCAAGCTTCTCAGGATTCAGAGCAGGATGCAGACGAACATCACGAACTGTAATGTTTTCTTTGGTTCCACCATAAACAAGACCTTGATCGTGAGCAGGTTCTCTATCCAGTATGAAGGCTCGGATCTTGTGTGCTAACTTGAAACCGATACCTGGAACCTTTCCAATATCGTGGGCATCCATGAAAGCATGTATTGCTCCTTCCTTGCCATCGTCATCATACAGTGGTGGCATAAGCACTGTCTGATTCTTTGGCTTATTCGCGTTACCCACTAGCTTGGACAGTGTCTTGTTGGTTGCAATACCGACTGTTGCTGTGTAATTCTTTTGCGACTCAAGCTCGTGCCGAAGGTGTCTAGCCAAATGCGAGCCAAGTATGAGTCGTGTATGCAGTATCCGATCCTGGTCATTCAGCTCGTAACCGGCTGCTGCATGGACAGGGAAGGTAGGTCCGAAGACCTGGTGTGAGTCGTACTCGAAGCCACATGTTGGATCGTTCCTGTCCATGCAGAAAAAAGAATGCTGCAGATCGTTCAGGTTCAGCAGTTCAACATTGTAGTCAATCATGTCAGTACAATCCAGCCAAACCTCGTCAAATCCAAGTCTCTCAGCTCGGTCACTCCATATCCTTTCCCGAAGGAAATTCCACAATTCTTTCGAGGCATTGCGAAACCTTGTAAGGTCTTCTCCCAGAATGATAACAGCATCAGGACAGACTCGCTTAGCTTCAGTGATTAGTTGCAGCTTGTGGAGACCTCTTTTACGAGCTTCGTAGTTGCAGGTGACCACGATCTGCTTCTGTTGAATAGCGAGCGGTACACTTTTTAAGGCCGGATTCTCGTTTTCGACCACACTTGCGTAAAATGCATCATAATCAAAGTGAATGATTATCCTGCCATCATCTCGCTTCTGAGCACGTCCCTGCTGCATGATTTGATATCACCCATGATGGAGTTGGCACTTTCCAAATTGATGTGTCTTTAGTCTCAATGTCAGGCGATAAGTCCTGAATTGTCAAAGAAAGGAAGAGTGATGTATAAGTACAAGAAAACGGATACAGCAAAATCTTGGCATTAATTAAGTGGAGTAGAGGAATGCGACGCGTCGAAGCGCGTGGGAAGACTGTTTTCATCGAGTGCTCGTCTCGGAACGTGTCAACAAAGCAAAACCCACAAATCGAGTCTTCGTCGCATCTTTTACGTCAATAGCAACGTACCATGCAGCGATATACAACAGAAACACGATCGCATTGCAGGTGACAAGCATACTTCTGATGCGCCAGTCTCATGTCGCAAGGACATCCCTTCACTTCCCGCGCTGGCTTTTCCACCAAACTCCCTGATCGAGCTACGTCTTCTCTACACCCTCAACAGCCTCAATTCGGTCAATCTGCGCCTACGTTTCCGCGACGAGCAGAGCCATCACAAACCACGAATTACGGGAACTACTCGAATGCACCGCCTCCACCAGTATCGCAACAGCAGCAGCCGTACAACGCGACAGGGACAGGCGCGGCACCTTCAGCTTACAGACAATACCCAGAGAAAGACTCAAACGTCCTCCACGAACTCAGTGATGAGCAAAAGGCCGAGATAAACGAGGCTGTAAGCGCACCTTTTACCAAGCCACAAAAAAATGAAGAACCACCACTAACTCCTCTCCCCATAGTTCTCCCTCTTCGACGTCGACAAAGACCGCCACCTAGACTACCACGAACTCCGCGTCGCCCTCCGCGCCCTCGGCTTCACCATTTCCAAACAAGAAGCGCTCCAAATCATCCAGACAAACGGCGTCCCAAAACCGACAGCCCAGCGCCTTCCACCAAATCGCGCCCAACCAGGCCAACCTCAACCGCAATACCACGCCTCACAGCTCCTCATTCCTCAAAACGCGTTCACGCGCATCGCCGCGCAGAAGATCCACGATCGAGATCCTAGAGAGGAGGTCGAAAGGGCTTTTTACCTGTTCGATGTGGATCATAAGGAGTATATTAACCTCGAGGATTTGAGGAGGGTTACGAGGGAGTTGGGGGAGAATAGTCTCGAAGAGCAGGAGTTGCAGAATATGATTGAGGAGTTTGATTACGATGGGATAGGAGGTGTTAGTAAGGATGCTTTTTTTGGGATTTGCTTGCAATAAATAAAGTCTTGGTTGGAGGCGGAAAAAGGCCTTGAAGCGAGCGAGCGATATTTACACGACTGTTTGTGCGTGAAATGAATTGAATGATGACTACCACTTTGGTTCGCGTGTTTCGCTTGAGATTACGTGAAGGCAGAGGTTGCGATGATGCCCGAGAGTACTTTGAATTCTTTGTTACACGATCCACATCAGACGACCTATCGAGGACTCTACATTACTGACGGTTCCAACTTCCATATCGCCTCCAGTCAGCATACAAGTCTTTCCAAATCGCCCTTTGACTTTCATTCATACCAGCATTTACACCTCGCAAGACCTCGATGTCTGTTGCTTCAATCACGGCGTATAGACCTGGCATTAGCTTGTCCTTAGCTTCAAGCGCTATATATCCATCGAGCATAGCCTGACAGTATGTCTGTAGAAGATATTGAGTATGCTGCGATACTTGCCGACGGAGAATTCGTGTCTCATCAGTGAGATTGAGGTTTGTTTGGGCAATGGAAGGATCGTGGCGACGTCTGACTGTGCGTCTTGCTGTGGACGCAGATGGGTCACACAGTGTTTGCAACACGCGTGAGTAGCTCGCTGCCGACGAAGGTGGAAGTGTGAGGTTACTTGTTCGACTGCCTGGATTGAGCCATTGAGGAAGTGAGTTGAGAAAAGCCGCTTTCGTAGGGTACGTAGATGGTGTCATGTTGAGCTGATTTCGTGTTGGTGGGTAGAACAGGCACTTAAGCATGTTCTGCAAGCCAGGAACAAGCAAGTCGTATCGACCTGTAAGTCGCTTCCGGTACCGCGTCAGAAGAACGAACAGTATGGTACACAAACGATCATAGATGTGGTTCGGTCGCGGGTCGTGACTATTGCTTGTCAAGACTGCTTTGCTGGCAGATGAAGCAAGCAGTGTAATAGAGCTGAGCGTGCAATCTATGACGTTCTGATTGACGATGTCTCCATGTTGCTCATACAGCAGCTTACTAACGTCGAGTCGTAGGAGTAGAGCTGTCAGGCTGGTCTCGTTCAGTGCTGATTGAAGAATTGCCAGTTGACCTAATCCGGGTATCAAACGTGGTGTAACAGATAGTGTTTTTGAGTCCAAGCATCTGATAAATATCGCCAGTGATACGTACTGCTCAATCAATTTGCCGATGCTTATACCATTGGTGTCTTGACACATTTGAGAGACTATTCTCAGGAGTCGATCATGCATGAACTCAGGTCTGCCAGCACGATCCCTTTCCAAATTGGTTTGGACATTCGCGATCGCGGTGTCCATCTCATCAGGCGAGTCTGACATCGCGCGTAGGCTCTCAACAGAGGTGCTACTAGCACCAATTCGAGCGGGTGACGTTGTGGAATTTCCAAGGAGTTCAAGTGCACTGTTCGAAAGGTAGTCTGGAGACGGAGCTAGCGTCCCAATGTCATCGACTGAATTAGCAACTTCGTCTATACGTGCAGAAAGGTCGAGCAGTTCCCGACTATTTGCTTCAGCACACAGCCCGTCTCCACCGAGAGTCTGTAGAACATTCACGAGTTCCCATGCTACAACACATGAATTTCTGCTCGGCTCCTTGTCCAGATACCTTCGTACGATAGTTGTGGCATTTTTTTGCAGTAGCTCGGTGACCTTGGCCAGATTGTTACTGAGGTCGGTATTGTGTTTTGCTTTGTCGTGTTGTACAAGCACTTTCACGATAGATAGACACAGAAGCCCATTGTACGTCTGGAATAGCTTTCTCTTTTTGCTTGTAGAAGCCTTCTTGAGTCTTCGCTTCGCCAATTCAAGCATCTGATCAAGTACGGTATCACTTCCCTCAGTCTCAACCATAAGAGCTTGTGTAACGAAGATGGATGTAGTCTTTCGTATTAGGTTGGAAGCGACCACTAATTTTTCTGGTGTCGCTCTGCTAGTGGAACACTCGAGACTTTGGCGGTAATGTTCCCAGTATTCTGCATTAGCCACGGCTGGGTGCGCTGAGAAGATGTTGTATAAGGCATCAAGACAGTCAAGAAATCTGGCATCATCCTCCAAGTCATTGTCATTTCTCATGGTAGTCAGCAAAATTCGTGCAAGCTTTTTTGCTTCACGTTTCTTCGTGGGACGATCACAGCAGTACCGCATAGTAGAACGACGTATCGGCAGCTGCCCGACTTCGTCCTTGGTCGCTGTGTCCTGGAACATGTCCATGACGTCCAGATCTGTGCTTGCAGTCAAAGTAGCCAGGCAAGCTTCCACTAGGTCCGTCAAGCTAGTCAGGCTAGTGTCTGATGCTGAAGGGCTACAGAGCAATTTTAGCATGTTCTTCAGAAGTGGCTGCACAACTGCCTGTGAAGTCCATGCCGTTGGCATTTTTGTCCACCTCATCAGACAAGCTGAAAGCAATTTGCTGTCACTATCCATATCCTCAACTGATCCGTTCCATAGACACGTTGCATCTTTCGCCGCGGGTCCTTCTTCGATGCAGATGTGGAGGAGCATATCTAATACCGAAACCGATTCTGCGAATAACGCCTCGAATGTTGTCGCTTCACCCCGCACACAGGCAGTCATGAGCGACGAAAAGCAATAGTACAACTCGAGATACTGTGCTCGAGTTAAAAGTGCTGTCTTCATGCTTGTTTCACTGATGTGGAGGATCGGCCAGGAAAAGTCGGTATCTGACAATACTTTCGACTGGGGCAGGTCAGGATCTGCTACAAACAGCTGTTCCAGTAGCCTCCATAGCTGCCATCGCTGTCCCTGGTAGTCATTCGATGGTTTGAGAGAATCACAAACAAGCTTCAGCAGGGTACCACTATACTCGTGCAAAATTGCCTTGCCAGCAACAGAGCTAGTAAGTGGTCGAAGTGCCTGGGTAACAACCGTGACTCGGGCGAAGACTTGGTTCGTTGGGCCTGCATTATCCGGCAAAGCTTCAAGATCTGCTTTTAACCTCTCAAGCATATCCCTGTAAAGTGGAAATGGTGCGAATTGCTGGCAGACAGAACTAAAGACACTCAATAACTTTGGATCATCCCATATCTGATTCAAGGACTCCTCATCTGATAGATCCTGAGTTGTGGCTGATCGCTGATGTATCACATTTGACAATTTGGATTCCCAGAAGTGGACGAACGCTTGAAGCTGCCTCGCTTTGCCAATTGCTTGAAGAATAGGTTGCAGAACTCCGTCTATACAGAGGTCGACGTCATCGGGATGCCCTGAAGCAGCAGCCTGAAGTTTTGCACTGATCGTGTCCAGGAAATTGTCTTGCTCACTGTTTTGCGGCGGCACAAAAATAGCTGGGTTGAGTTTTACGACTTGCGCAAGCACTCTGCACTCAATGTCACCGTCCAAGATTTGGTCCCTAACGTAAGATCGCCAGACTTCAGTAGATGGCTCGATCTCTGCTGCATCTAGTGCACCAAGAAGTAAATCTTGTGACGAGGCCGAGAGTTGTCTTTCTGTCGCGTTTGTACCCGACTCCACACCATTGGTTCTGGACTTTTGCTCTGTATCAAGGCTAACTCGAACAAGGGCGTAGAATAGGGCTTCCAGCCACGGAGTCTCAGCCTTTCGTCTACTCACATCACTGCGTGGTATTATTCGACTGGCTATACCTAGTAGAACAGCACCATTGGCAGGACTGAGAACCTTGATCGCAAGACCCCAATGTTTTATGATTTCTTGGGCTAGGAGCTCTGGCTCCTTCTGTGCAGACTTGTCAGATCTGGACTTCTTGCTAGGCAGCGTCTGCTTGTAAAAAGTTTCTCTGGCTGGCAAGATGGTATGTACAGCCACTAGCCTTTCAATCGCCCGCAATAGAGCTTTAGGAAGTCTTGCAGGCGACTCTAGCAATCCCAACGCATGTGGTAAGATGTATTCGTTGAAATGTAGATGGACTTTTGGTACAGTCGATTTATTCGAGTCCTGATTACTCGAGCCCCAGAGACCAAGGCATACACCGACAGCGTCGTTTAGACCATTGGATTCAGACTCCAATACAGAAGCCAGGTCTTGATAATCGGTCACGACAAGGACCGCAAAGCTCAGTAGCTGACCCGCAGTTTGTGCCGCTAGTTCGGAAGTATCCAATGATCCTTGAAACAGAGCAGACGACCGAGTCTGCATGGTCCCATTGGCCTTCGTGAATATCTTCGTCAGCTGAACGACGACTTGGACCAGCTGCTCGACAACGTCTGCCGAATTAGAAACCGATGTGTGCATCGACATCCGCATTCTTTTGGCTGGTGGACCACTTTCTGCGTCCATTTGTCGAGCATTTTGACTGGTAGATTCTTGAATTGCTCCATGAGATACAAAGTATTGTACTTTCTTGAGACATTTGCCAAATACTTGCCAAAAATTCCTTTCGACCAGAACACCTTGTAAGATCTGAACAGGGATAGTCTCAACCAGGAAATTTAGCAAACTCCACGTTCTGCCGTCCTGTAGTATGTCGTGCTTCGAGGACTGACTCTCGATGGAGGTGGCTTGAGTGAGCTTTTTTATCAACCATCTCAATATCCATTGCTCACGGAAGCGAGAAACATCTGACTTAGAAGAAGTGCTATCAAGAACAGTGTAAGATTTCGCATGGGGTGAAGGACGGAGACCAACGATTCTTGCAGCCTCATCCAATAGTTCTATGGCTGGTGCTGGAGAATGCTCAAGGCTGGAAAGAATTTGTTCGGAATTTTGACCGGACATGTTGCAGGTATGCAAGGTCAACCTTCATCCTCGTAACTTCTCTCAAAAGCTTTGTGTGATTTGCTCGATGCACGGCAGTACCCTTGGTCGCTGTTTCCTCATAAGATGTTACTTCTGCGAGGCGTATTGTCGAGGAATTATTTTGGAAAGAAGAGATGGAGTACCTGCACTAGCTCGAACTTCGGATATGGCTTCTCCGATTGGCCGTTCATCCAGGGCAGAGCTTGAGCTTTGGCAACTGCAATTCACTCCGAAACCTGCAAAAAGTGCATCCGGACACAGACCGCGAAACCACTGGTCTTACGAACTTTGTCGACGCGATCCTCTCTCAAGTCTGTTCCTAGCTCTTAACCACCAACACCATGGCTGACAAGAACGTTTCCGATCCTCCTACAGTCGTCCCTAAAATCACAAAGCCAGTGAGCGAGTCGCTGTTGAATGAAAAGGTACGCACAACAACGTCCAAAGGAACGACGGATACCTAGCGGTCGTCGTCCAGGAGGTGCCGTAAGGCGATCAATTCTCACCTCAAGACGTCCTTCCAAGCATGCTCATGGCGTGAAAAAGGCACGTGCTGACAGATTTTCAATAGTGGGATCGAGCACTATCGAGCGCAGTGATAAGGGGAGGACTAGGCTTGTCCTTTGGCGTCATCTTCTCAGTGTTATTATTTAAGCGAAGAGCGTGGCCAGTATGGCTAGGCACAGGCTTTGGCGTTGGTAGGGCTTGGGAGGAGGCCGATGGTACGATAGTCAGGAGCAGGACGGAACCATTCAGCTAATCATCTCACAGCAAACTTTCGACGGGGTGATAGACCACCAGTACAGGATGGCCTTCGGCGCATACGCAACGAAAGATGAACACGCATTCATAGTCGACCTTAGCTATTTCTCGATCGCAGACTCAGGAGAGGCTGTACATTGTACTTGCGAAAGGCTCTTAGAAAGCACGCCATATTTACAAAAGAGGAGCAGCCTTGGAGTATGTGGTATACATTGATCACTCTAGAGCGATATACCCTACCGACTCGTCTTCTCGTGCTCGACTTCCTGGCGAATGTTGTCCAGGTCGGCCTGCCGTTTCCTGAGATGTGCCTCCAATCCTTCTATTTGGTCTCGTACAAGATTTAGATCGTCGCGCAATCGATTAAGGTCATTCCCGGCCTGGTTTCCGCCCTCTTTGTTCAAGTCAACATACTGTCTCTGCTTATATTCGAGCAGTTGTTGAGCTTCTCTCTTGACCAGTGTCCAGTTTGTTTTGCCGGTTTGTCTTGGACCATTGTTCTCCTGCTTCTGCTTCCGTCGTCGGTCTGCTGCAGCGGTCGCAGATTCGTGTTGCTGTTCAAGGTCGTGCAGCTCACGGAGCAGACGTACCTTCTCCAGCTCTTCGTCTTCAGTGACTGTGCTGAAGTCTGTTCCCTTAGGCTCGTATGCATTTCCGCCTCGTCCACCAATTCTAGATAGATAGGCATCGCCGAACTTGGCTTTTCGACCTGAAGTAGTATCTTCATCGTATTTGCTCGGCTTGTTCCGCATGCTGTCCAGTTGGTAGTCGATCTGGTTTTGTTCAAAGCTGGACCGCAGACTGGCAGGCACAGTTCGAGGTATCCTGTAGCCTTCATGTCTGTAGTTGAGAATGTGTAAGAAAGCTAGGGAAGCGTCCTTCCCTATCGTACTTCGTCCGCTCGTGTTGATCAAGTTCCATGCCGACCGAATATCTGTATCTGGCACATCGAGACTCGAGTATAGATTGTGCAAGCTCTCGAAGCTGATCTCGCCCCGTCTATCCTTATTGGCAGAGTATATCTCCTCGTATTTCCTCTTGTCCCCAGGCTTCATATACCAGTCGAATCCATCTTTGAGTCCTGCGTCCTCCTCGTCATCTTCTATCCTCTCAAATCTGTCTGCGCCAGTTCTCACCGCGCGATTTGCTGCAACGAGATGAGCTTTGCTCTCTGGAACTAACCATTCCGGAAGCTGCGGAGGTACGTCCTGGTATTCGCCATTCACTAAGTCGAAAATCAAGCGCATTGCGACGCAAAACTCCTCAAAGTCCAGCTCTCCGTCGCCGTCCACGTCTGATAAGTCCCATACTCTTTCGAGCTGATCGTCTCGGAGCTGTGAGTTTCGAAGTACAGATGCTGCTGCTACGCTTGAGAGGCGTGAGGATTGTGTTGCTGGTTGCGGTACGAGGGAGGAGAAGATTTCCCAGTATCTATCTATCTCCCACTTTTCTATCCTCTTAGCCATACTTGCGAATAGTTGACTGAAATAGTGGTTGATTAAGCTAGATCGACGCAGATAATGGCTGGCTATTGCATGTGTAGAACAGGAATCTAGTTGGTTTTAGAGGTACCAATGCGCAATCTCGGGAGGACACCAGTCAATAGAATACTCAGTTATATGAAGTCAAGGTATCGAGCACCACGGGTGACAGCATACTACTAATGTGCTGGGGGCGGCCTAAGTGCCTGAGCCTAGCTTGCCTCAAGGGTGAGGTTCAGCGAATCCATGAATCCTTGTCCGGATTTATACCTGCATTGGGCCTGATGTCGGCACCTTGTTCACAAAACATCCCACCGCCTTCACTCCTAAGCGTCTTACTATTGCTTCAATATTCTATCGTATAATATTGGTTTTTGCAGTGAAAGTGAGGACAGTGTAAACCTAACATTGACTTACCTCTCGGTCACATACGCCTCATTCCACAATGTCGCAAGATCTAAGCACTTTGATCTGTTCTGTCGTGGTTACCGCGCTAACCAGGCGATCAACACATTGAGAGATATACAAGACTCTTCGGTCCAAGAACAGGATATACACTGAGTTTCGTTAGAGAATCAAATGAAAAGATTATGGTTTGCTTGAGCCTCAAGTCGTATAACGTTGGTAAGCATGAACCAATGGACAAAGCAAGAAGGTAAGGGGATTCAATTGGTAATAGTAAGCGTCCACTGCGTTGCAGTACAGTCTCCTTAAAAGACAAATAGATCATGACCAGATGAAAATTCTCAGAAGTTCTCTGCAGACTCGTGTGCTTCAGGCAAAGTGAATGGCTGACTGCAGTCATATGGTCCTCAGTGCTGGACCTAATGGTCCAGTATCTGCAGCTATGGCGCCTTAATCGTATACCTCGAAGCGATCTCTTAAGGAGAGGGGTAACCAACGCGAATCGTTCTGAAGACCAGGATACATGATCCACAGCTTGAGGATCAATCGGGTTTTGTTGTCCCCTAAAACTCCTTATGCGCCCATGAATGACAACAGCAGTGGTGTCATCTGCCAGTCACTAGATCATTCTCCCAGGACTCAGAGACGGACTTTGTTGTTGATTGGAACACCTGTACGTTTTTCGAGAGTGAGAAAGGCCGTGGTGGACGTTTACATGTCAAGACAGCACTCGCAACACTTTAGGACCATCAGCGATATCGACAACAGCATGATCCATTAGAACTTACGTCTGCACAACACTCGCAGCCCTCCTCGGCTACAAAGCAGCAGCATAGCGCTGCAAGACTAGGAAGTGTCAGTATAGTGCCAGGACTGAGAAAATCCCGTGTTTACCATGCGCCAAGGCAACCTCTATCTTTCTTCTGTTTTACGATGACTGGCTGCTGCTGAGGCTGCTGATACATCATCTGACCTTGAGGAGGACCATAGTATTGACCTTGTGGAGGACCATACTGTCCTGGTGGTGGTCCGTAGCTGCGAAACAATCAGCGTTCGCTCGCTTCAAAGTCGCAAAGTGGAGCTAACCTCTGTTGAGGATATTGAGGACCACTCTGTTGATAGTAACCTTGAGCCGACATTGTGTATTAATTAAATGTTTGATGTAAGGATATAGTAGATGCGACGCGAAGGTATTTGGTGTAGGACGTACAGAGTGGTTGGGGTGAGATGGAAATGATGACAGGGAAGGAGCGCGAAGAAGTCTTAAGCTGCCGAGACCTGAGCTTAATCGAAATAAGCCTGTGGCCTCGTCACCTAGGGCTGAATTTAGACAAGGGTTTGTTCTCGACTCCAGCACGTGCCGCCACTGCAGCGACACTGTGCGGAGTAAAGGTTCTTCACTGCATCTGTGTGGACGAATCTGCTTTGTCTTCGTATTTGATGTAGCGGCAATAGCGCAACGAATCGTGTTGAGCAAATCAGAAAGGTCTTTGCCATGGTCTTTTCAGCTTCGTTGTTTCGACAGCAGTACAAATATTGAGAAGTGACCATTGCTCGCCCTGCTCTCCAGCATTAGAGTTGCCAAAGAGTCACATGGTCATGCATCTCACAAAATCGTTGTATTGAATTTGAGGCTGGGAGAACAACCTCAGCCACAGGCTATTCGAAGGTTTCGTTAGTCTATATCTCCGCCTCGGCCGCGCGTTCCTGCGCAAAATCATTTTCCCGTTTCGTCCACAACGATCCCGTGTCGCTCAACAATCTTGTCCCTTTGCACCAGCGTTGGTGACAACCATTCGCAATACGAATACACTGCTACATCTCAGCCCATGCGGTGGCACGTGGAGATTCAACTATACCACGAGCTCATATCAAATACCGAGAATCTGTGCCTGCAGCCGCTTTAATCCACCATAGTGCTAATCCCCTACTTAAACACCTTCTCAAAGCACGATCGAACCAGCCGTTATGGCGCATCACTCGCTGTGTCCATTGGTGTCCGGACTCAACTCGTCAAGAGGCCGCTAGATGCCACAAGCATGCATCGTCCTTCTCTGCCAACGCCTGCCAGTTTGTGTGTCGTGCTCACGCCTTCTCGCATCATACCTCAATTGTTGGTTATCAGTATCGTCATAAGAGAATCTCCGCCACCGTCCCTGTACTGGACTATACGGTGAGGACTCATGGCTGTCCGAAAGAGGCTCTTTTGTGGTATGGTCAAGTATCAACTCGTTTGGATAGCCGCGTGTCAAGATGTGATCAGCTGCCTCGAAGACGATAATTCCTGGACCAAGAGGAGGTGACTCTGTTATTGCATTATGTCCTAGATAAGCGTAGAACGCCGGATCTTGCATGGCCTTCTTGTCGATGTTTGGAAGGTGATCTTCCAATTGTCTGTTCAGAGCCTGACTTTTCCAGGTTCGCCATGAATATATAAGACCTTTCACAATAACCAGAACGAAGATCAGAATCACCCAGAAGTAGGCTGAGCTACCAAAACGATGTATGTGCCCCGTGATCGTGCTACCACTCGATACCCTCATCATGACTTCACCTCTTCTGAGAATACCCATGGTGCTTTGATCTGCGTCCAAGAATTCTGTTAGTAAATTGGGTTGATAGAGCAGTCTAGCTCAACATGACTCCCTTTAGATTCTATATATCAGCAAGGATAATTGTTTTCTGCTATCGTGCCTACCTGTTCGTGTGTCAACCCATCGCATGACCGAATGAGGTATTATTGATGTGTGCTATACGAAGAAAACATGAAATTGACATAGTCATGAACATCAAGTACGAGAAAGGAGCAAGGTTCACCAGCCAGCCCACAGATATGAAACGTTCGTTTCCGGACTTTGACAAACCCATCGCTGGTATGGTTGGTGAAAATGGCTTAATTGCACGTCGGCTAGAAGTAATGGAAGGAGGGTTTACAGCTGGCATGAGGTACGCCATTGATTTTGCAGTGGTATCAGCCTGCTCGTGGCCGAAGAAGGTTCTGCATGATCACTTTTCCAAGCAGGAACCTGGTGGAATTCGTATTCTACTCGAGGAGTGTAGGCAGGGTCAAAACGAAACTATTGTAGTCAAAGAACACCTAAATCCCGATGTCAGCTTGCTTTGAACGTCGCCTCCGACTGTTCACGAAGTATTATTGATAGTAGATCGACATCAAAGAGCTTGTCCCGTGCTTTTAGGTCAAATGTGTTTGATTTGAATAGGTTTGAGGGTAGAGGAGGAAGTTTGTTAGGTGCCTTTCAGCTGGGATGGTTAACGCCAAAGGAAGTGGCTCCACATTAGCGGCCATACTTTCTTCTTCAGATTCGTATTTCTGCGTCTAGTTCTGTCCGTTCAGCTGCCACAATTCCGGGACGGATGTGTGCACGCTTGTGCGGACTCCATATTCTCAAGAGCAGGCAAGAATGAGCCAGCCACAAATGTATGTCGTTGTCGGTTTTTGCCCATCAGGTAAGGGCTACTATCGCTCTATACGCGTTTAACGGCGTCTCCGGTTGTGACTACACATATCCTGAACTTTAATTTGCTACAAAGTCCCATATACCTCTATTTTTCAACCTATCACGCCAGCCCAGAGCAACACTCCAGCCCCTGCGTGTAATCCATTCATTGCAGTGTCATAACGACCATCAGGCGAGATGTCCTCTTTCAGTCATGAATCGTAATGTGTTTCCTCATAAAATGTACAAAAAGAATAGCTGAAAATCTTCAGTCTTGACATCAAACACGGCCATGGCGGACGACTTCAGCGTAGATGTCCTCGGGCAAGTCGCGCACAATGAGCAAGGTCCCCTTGATGATCTCCTCTGCATTGAGGTTGGGGAAACTTCTCAACAGTTTTCCAGGGCTCGGACTTTCCAAGAGCTTGTCCTTCATCATCATGATCTGAGCTACAATGCAGAGAACATTTAGGTGAGTGCCGAATGCGAACAGAAAGTCCCATAGTTTGAGGACCTCAGGCAGAGGTGGTGTGCATGCGCATAGTGTCAAGACCGGTGCGAAAGCATAGATCTTGGCTGGAAGTGAGTTCGATAATAGGAACTGTGACAGTTTAGGAGAGATGGTAGCCAGAATCTTGTCAATGAGTTCCAGCCCAGCATGCACGCCAGACATGGTCGATGTTACATAAGTCGGAATATGCTCACTTAACAGGCAGGTAAGTAGAGCATAAGCTTGCGCTTCAGATCTGGCTGCGTACAGAAATGGTGCAGAAAGCACGTTCATGCCTTGGATGTAAGTGGACTGAATGACAGGCGATTCGGATGGGATAGCTTTCTGCGAGTCAAGTATGCGCCATGCCGTTGCGTTGAGCACCCTGGTCAAGCTTGCATCACTGACCCGTCTCTTGAAGAGTGCATCTGTTGCTAATGTACGAAACACGTCGTTGGCAATCTTTTCGTGGGCTGGCGATCGGCCTCGATGGATTTGGGTCAGATAGTTGTCGGTCGGCAGAGGTCCAAGATTGAGAAGCGTCAACCATAGATATATTCGGTAGTCTGACATTCCTTCTTTGGTTGCTTGTACGCCAGACATCAGGATGGAGTGCCGCAACAGACCCAGTGACGCTGCAGGCTTTGTTCCTGGTGCAGGTCCATCCCTCAAGGTCACTTCCAAACTCGATTTTCGTGCATGTCCATTGCTGGGTTGTAAGATGGTCTGGAGAGGTTTTCTTTGCAGTCGAGTACGTTCGAAAGGGACTGGCGCATCGCTACTAGCTCGCGTTCGTGTAGGCAATGAATCCGTCGTCTTCGCTTGAGGCAGCAGTTGATCACGAGCGGGTCGAACACTCGAAGTGTTCTTCAAGCTGGTCTGGTACGAATTTCGAGCAGCGCTGGACAATTGCTGATGCGACCGCAATCGTCGTATGTTCTTGTCTGGTGAGGCATTCATGTTGTCGGTTACGAAATCACACTAAATACCACTGGCTGCTTTGCGACAAGGCGTCGGCAGCAAGACGAACGCACAGTTCTTCGTAGCCTCGCACATGCGATGATACCCAGCCTCTTTCGGGATTACATGCCCACCTTGACGCGCCTGAGACGCGTCGGACAGGGAACTACCCGTGTAAACCTTGTTAGGCCAGTGAGACCGCTGACCTCTGTCGGTTTATTAGAACAATGCTGAACGTACTATCGTCCTCTTCAAGAAGCCAGACGATCTCACGCACTGTGTGAGCTTTCACGGCATTGTATGATGCATTGATTGAGTGCATTTGAGGTCTCTTCGCATTGCTAGCCACTGAGGCGCTGAAAGCAATGCCCACACTCCGAACTCGCCAGTCCCGCATCAAGCTCTAAATTAATTGCTGCCATTCGTCACAATATCCACACCAGGATTCAACCAGATATGCATCGAATTTGTCGTTAATGGTCGAATATCGACAAAGATGTCATGCTAACAGCTGTCAAAACGACTGACCACCGCCTTTTGCTCTCAAAGGAAGTCAAACACGATTCACTAGTTCACCACTGCACAATGAATGTGACCTGCAGGACTTGCTGGCAGTATTATTCGAACAGCGTCCATGGCCGCCTTGTCAGAAACTTCACCACTTTTGCAGCAAACGTCCACAGTCAAATCTTACGATCATGACTCGCATGAGCCTGGCACACCAGGTGCGGAGGTTACCTTAGTAGGGGCCCCGAAAACATCATGGAGGAGGGAGACGACGCTGCTCGCTCGATATTCTGCTCCGCTCGTCGTCACCTATGTCCTACAGTACGTCTCTACGGGACAGCCCAGCGTTGGTCTTTTATGTTGAAGTGCTATTGCAGATACTCGTACACGTTCGTCACAGTGCTGGTTGCCGGTAGGTTGGGGACAAGTCAATTGGCAGCAGCTTCACTGGCTACGATGACTTCCAACATCACGGGTCTTGCCATCTACGAGGGGCTTGCAACAAGTCTGGACACTTTGACCTCGCAGGCTTTTGGTGCAGGTAAGAAACAACTGGTTGGGCTACATGTTCAGCGCATGATAGCATTGTCCTTGCTTATGACCATCCCCATCGGTGCTATATGGATCTTTTCGCCCTGGATCTTGGCCCCGATCATTCCACAGAAAGACGTGGCTTATCTGGCCGGCGACTTTCTGCGCTTTTTCCTCATCGGTGCACCAGGTTACGGTGTTTTTGAAGCAATCAAGAGGTTTACACAGGCACAAGGTGACTTTGTTGCCCCTTTGATTACTGCCTTGATTTGCGCGCCTCTAAATCTTTTCTGGAACTGGTTACTAGTGTTTGTAAGTATTGCTCGATGTGTATCAACTCTCACTGGGACTGACTATACAAGCGACTAGAGCTTGGTTTCAGGGGTGCAGGTATTGCCTACTCGATCACACTACTGTCTCAGCCTGTTGTCTTCCTCGCGTACATCTATTTCTTCGCAGCAGATGCCCTGCAATGCTGGCCTGGGCTTGACGTGAAACGAGCAACCGAAAATTGGGGACCAATGATTAGGCTGGCAATTCCAGGTGTGCTCATGGTTTTGTCTGAGTGGATGTACGTGCCTGCACACCATTCATATCGTCACTAATGTGTACAGTGCTTTCGATATCCTTACCTTGAGCACAAGCTATCTGGGCGAAGACTTCCTAGCCGCTCAGTCGGTCCTGATGACCGTTGCAGTAATGATGTACCATATTCCCTTTCCAATCTCTATCGCAGGCTCGACGAGGTTCGGCAATCTCATCGGGCTTAGTGACTTGGACTCAGCTCGGATTGCTTTCAATACGTACTACACCATATTTCTGGGCATTGGCGTCTTCGACATTGTTCTATTGACCTCACTAAGGCATGTCATCGCACGTGTCTTCACAGACGAAGAGTCCGTGCGTTTGATCATCATCGAAGTTTTACCCATAGTGGCTGCAGCTCAATTGTTCGATGCTATGTGCGCATTGTCGAATGGTCTGACACGAGGCCTGGGACGCCAAAGGATTGCGGGTTGGACCAACTTGGGTGTTTACTATCTCTTTGGTGTCCCACTATCCCTGTTGCTGACTTTCGGGCCACCGAGGATGGACTTGGTCGGCCTATGGATAGGTCCATTAATTGGACTTGGAATGACATCGAGCATTCTGTGCGTCTACATGAAGTATGCTGACTGGGACAAAGCCGTCGAGGAGGCAAGAGGGCGGGAAGAATAGTGTTCTTTTATAGTAGGATATGTAGGATGTGCAGGCAGTGTATCAAGTGGAACCAAGTAGTCAAATCGGTATACACCGGAATATGGTTTGATAGGTTGATCAAGCTTGCACTTAGAATGGCTTCTTGATTGTGACCAATAGACAAAAGTGTCAGCAGTTCTCTTCAAATATTTTTGTGCATTGCAGATCTCATTCAATTACACGTCGCGGACTCGACGGCGTTTCAAACATTGCTACTCAAGTCTGGAGTCCGGCCTGTTTCAAGTACACAAACTAATCTGATATCACAAACAAAGATCAAGATCCACTCTGTACGGTCATGCAGGCAAGAGCCACAGGCATGATTGCACCTGGAGCAAACTAGATATATTCATTCATCCTTACTCACGACAAGACCTGTTCCGCTATCTGCACGATCAATCAAGATGCAATACGAACAATTGCCGTCGTAACCGTAGATATCCTTGACTGATAACAAGGACATTCTGGAAGTGTAGCCAAGTGCTAGTAGCGCTGAACAATTTAGCTTTGGCACGGAATTCCGTCCGCATTTGAATATCGAGACTGACGAGCCGCAGGTAACCGATATCCAACTACGTATCGCTTCTGATGTGTTTGTGAAGAAGCAGGCAGTAATGAAACAAATGAGGCACTTTCGTGGGGCACTTCTTGTAGATACAAACGGAATGTACATGTTTGCAGGTCTTACCATCTTGCCCCGTGCACACACTTTTCAGCATCATTCTTCCCCATCTCTCTCTACCACCTTCCTTCGTCTCACGTCCTCTTTGCGCTTCCAACATGAGTGAGCAGGTTCACCTAGCAGAGTACCTCTTCGTCAGACTCAAGCAGCTTGGGGTCGATTCCATCCATGGCGTTCCTGGCGACTACAACTTACAGGCCTTAGATTACATCGAGCCCGCAGGTATCAATTGGGTCGGCAACGCCAGCGAGCTTACTGCAGGATATGCAGCAGATGGCTATGGACGCATCAAAGGCGTATCTGCGTTGATTACAGCATTTGGTGTGGGCGAGTTATCAGCGATCAATGCCATCGGCGGCGCATATGCAGAAATGTCACCTGTCGTTCATGTTGTTGGGACACCACCAACGGCAGCACAGAATGCAGGAGTAGTTCTACACCACTCTCTAGGAGATGGAAATTTCCGGATTTTCGCAGACATGTATGCTAAGGTTACAGTGGCTCAAGCAAACTTGACGGACGCCTCAACAGCAACTTCCATGATCGACCGAACGCTACGAGAATGTGTTCTACAAAGCAGACCTGTTTACATTGAGCTGCCGACGAACATGGTGTCTACTAAAGTCTCTGCAAGGCCTCTTCAACGTCCTCTCGATCTGTCGATACCTCACAACGACGAAGGCTTCGAAGACGCTGAAGTCGAGCTAATACTAGCTAAAATCTACGCCTCTAAACAACCCTTCATCATCGTCGATGGTTTTACTGCAGCACTCGATATCACGAAAGAAGCAGATGAATTGGTTAGAATAACAGGCTTTCCAACTTCGACAACGAGTTTTGGCAAAGGCATCGTCAATGAGACATATTCGAATTTCCATGGCATTTATGCTGGTGAAGCAGGAAAGCAGGTATATCGACCCTGGGTAGAGTCTTGCGACCTGATCCTCCGAATTGGCCCTCTAGCCTCAGACGTAAACACGTACGGCTTTACAACTCTACCGAATCCCAAGAAGACGATTTCATTCCATCGTAACACCGTGGAGATTGGCGATTCCAACAGCTTTAACAACGTTCACGTAAAGCCACTCCTCCGTAAGATCCTCAACCGACTAGACAAGTCCAATCTACCTCAATATGATCCATACCCCGACCTAGGCGACCCAGCAGAACAGCTTAGACTCCTTCCACCCACCAAACCTGATGGAATAATTGACCAAGAGACCTTCTGGCAACGCATCTCGACCTTCTTCCGCTGCGGCGACATCATTCTCACAGAAACAGGTACCCCCTCCATAGGCGGCCGTGACTTCGTCCTCCCTCCCCAAACCACCCTCATCAATTCCGGCATATGGCTCTCAATCGGCTACATGGCAGGCGCAGCTCAAGGCGCAGCCCTCGCACATCGCGACATCGTGCACTCAATCAGCAAACTCTCCTCCACCACCATCGACGCCAACAGCAGCGCCGTCATAGCTGCCAACCCACCAACAAGCCGATCTTCCCAACAAACCTTCAGTAAGCGAACCATCCTCTTCATCGGCGACGGGTCCCTCCAAATGACCGTCCAAGCAATCAGCGACATCATCCGCAACAAACTCGCCCTCACCATCTTCGTCATCAACAACGACGGCTACACGATCGAGCGATGGATCCACGGCATGAAAGCAAAGTACAACGACATCCAGCCCTGGCGATATCTCCTCGCTCCAGCCTTCTTCGGCGCAGACATGGATTCTGCCGATTATCCTATCGTTACACATCGAGCAGAAGTATGGGGACAACTATGGGATTTGCTAGAGAAGAAAGAGGTCCAGGAATGTAAAGGTTTGACGATTATCGAGGTCATGATGCAGCGTGAAGATGCGCCTGATGCTCTGAAGAAATTGGTTGCGAATGCGGCTCGGCGAAATAGTGGGATTAAGCAGGAGTTGGCGAATGGTCATGGTACGAGTGAGAAGGCCATCTCGGCGGCTGGTTAGGGACTGCCGCTTTGATGGTCTTGATGCTCGATCCGGAAATTCTTATAGACTGTATAATTTTTCATGAATAATGGTTGTCGGCGTTTCGGGGTTAAGCAAGCTGGCAGAGTCGAGTTGAATTTATCACGAAACGAATAAAATTGCAACGATTTTGCGCGAAAATGCGAACTACCATTTTCGACCCTACGTTATCAGAACGATAGAACTCAATTTTCGCCGTGCATGAGACTTACTGTTGTATTTCGTACAAACAGCCGTAGAGTAATAGTGTCATCATATTCGATACAATCTATATGTAGCTTCTCACACGGGATTTGAAAGTACATTGTCTAAAGTCTAATCACGAAACCATCAGCACCAACCTCCTTTGCACCATCCCAAGCCTCAAACTCCTCCTTCTGCCTCAGCACTTGCCACCTTGTGGTCTCCTTCACACTCCTCCACTTATCCTCTTTGCGCAAGGTATTCTTCAACTTAACTGGTCTCATGTGCATGCTCTTTGATATTGCTAGCAAAGAATCTAGTGTATCACTGCGTTCAGCGTGCGTCTGAAGTTTGGCGTTGGTCTTCGTCTTCGATGGTTTGAGGTGGCGAGGGTCCAGCCATGCTTGGTTGGCAGCTGTGAATTTAACCTCCGACACTGGAATACTAAGCTCGCGATTCTCCCATTTGAGATGACGGATGCTGGCTTGAAGTGTGGCTATTTCGGCTAGAAGAGTCTGATTGTGGATGGACAGATAGTTGCTGGTGGCAGGGTCGAGCGATCGAGCACTAGGTGGCGCGGATGTACCTTTAGCAACGTTCTCTGCAGGCTGTGCTTGCAACTTCGCAAGTTCTTCCTTGTCTTTCTGGGTTTGTTCTTGTAACGCTATGAGTTCACTTCTCGAGTTCGAGAGCTCAGCTTCGAGTTCAGCCAACTCTGTCTTGAGCTTCTCGGATTCTTCCTTGAGTGCTTTGTCATGTACCTCTCTTGCCTTGTTTTCTCGGACACGCTTCTCTGCCAGCTCTGCTCGGATAGCCGTCTCCTCGATAGTCCGTTCCCTGTCCGCTAGGATAGCGGACAGTTCCTGATTCTTACGATGTGATTGAGTAAGCTCTTCATGCACATCGGTGGAGATGAGTCGTTGGGCCTTAATTTCTTTAGCACGAAGTACCCATGGTGCTGGTCCTGGCTCAAATGAAAGTGCCTTCGCAACGTCGTTTGTCCTGTTCAATAAATGTTCAGTTTGCTCATGCAAAGTCTTCAAGTCATCTAGTATTGTGGAGAGCATATCATTGTCATCGTGGGTGAAGGTGTTTGATAGGGCAGTATAGGATAAGTCGTCTTCGTCCTCGACCTGATTAAGGTATGCAAGGACAACTTGAGACAACTGTCGTAGGTTGTTGTTGATTCCTGATGCTTCATGCTCAATATCAGCAAAGAGCGGCCAAGCAGTCTCATCCAGACAAATATGCTTCAGCCTCATCTTTTCGAGCTCGCCGACAAGTCTGTTAGCAACGGTCCTTATCGTCCTTGCCAATCTGCTGATCCGATCAAACTTCCGATCAAGGTCAATAGATTCTGGATCTTCGTCATTGGGATCGCCAAGTCTCAATCTGATAATTTTTGCTAGCCAGTCAGATATCGAGGCTGCCACCTCGACGTAGCTGGAAACCATTCGTGACTCAGCAAGTAAATGCATAGCCTCCGTTTCTGGACTTGAAACAAGCAGCTTGTCCGCTAGATCACTCAGGATACTCTCCATACGTTTTAGGTTATCTGGACCATCTGCACCCAGCTCATCGTTCTTCAGCGATTCGAGCCAATTGGTGACAGCTCGTTCCACCGGCTCAACCTCTTGTCCTGCGTTGCTAAAAGCTGCAAATTCGTCAGACGAGCATACCGACATGAACCTTTCGAAACGATCAGCTGTCATATGGATAGACTGCATGGATTCGACAATTCTATGACCCAGCAGAATCTCCTCGCCAGACATTACACTGGCCCTGTCACGCAATTTTTCCCCGAGCATATTTGCAACTATACCAGCTTTAGTTCTCAATTGTGAGAACGTAAGCATTGCTAAAATCGGATTTCTCAGAGTGTCAAAACTGTCTGGCAGGAATAGAGATAGAATATCGACGTGTGATTTTGATGATAATGCTTGGGCTTTAACTAGCTCGAGCTCAATAGCTTTTGTAGTAGATTTCGAGGCACTGTTTTGCAGACGCACATTCAACTCCATTATGGCCTTAGACCTCGAATTCATCTCCTGAGCCTGAGCAGCTGAAATCTCTCGTGTTCGTCGCGCGTCGTCAATATCGCTTTGCAAGCCTTGCGTGATGGTCCGAAACTTGCTCAGCGTAAATTCCAGATCTTCGATAGCCTGATCTCTGTCATTGACTTGACGAGTTCGCTCGTTGACCTCGGCCTCTTGTTCGTCAATCTTAGAGAGCAGTCCCTTTTCTGTGTCTAGGTAGAACTTCTCCAGATCCTCGTTCGTTTGAGCCAGCTCCTCTAATTCAGAAAGGGTGACCCGTAAGTCTTCTATCTGTGCTAGATGTCGATCTCTTTCCTGCATCATGGTTGAAATGACTTCTTCCTGGTTTTCTGCTGCTTCAAGTTGTTCTCTTAGGTGTTCGTTGGTGTCCTGTACACGTTGTAGCTGTTCAGCCGTCTCGACGTACTTGGCCGCATCTTCCTCAGTTTCATTCAACGTCTCCTGTAGGTGATGAATCTCTTCCTTGTAATCTGCTTCTATCTCATTCTTGTGATCGCGCAGCATGAGCAAAGCAGCTTTCAATCGATCGCGCTCACGCTCAAGATGAAGCCATCCAGATCCAGCCTTTTCTTCCTCGGTCATGGTGGAAGCCAGCTCCTTATTCTCTTCTCTCAAGATCTCTGCCTCAAGCTCCGACTCCTCTAGTTTCGCCCTTAAGGACTTCAACTCCTCTTCTAGGGCATCTGCCTTCTCCTCCGCCGTCTCTTTGTCTAAAGTGGCCATTTCGAGCATACTTTCCAACTCAGCAGATCCTTCGGGCTCTGCTTCTTTCGCTCGCTCAAGCTCCTGAGCTCGAAGCAGTGCAGCCTGTTTGTCCTGGTTCACCTCCTTGACCTTCGTGGATAGTCCTTGAATTATGGTCTTCATGCGGTCATTCTCGCTCTTCAGAGTCTCAACCTGCTTGATTGTATCACGATCTTCCATTCTCTTCTTCTCCATGGCTCGTAACTTCACTTTAAGCTGTTCAATTTCTCGAGAAGCCTGCAGAGCCACCATGCTAGATTGTCCGGTAGAGGTTCGGGTCGATGCAGATGGCACTGCTGGCTCGTTCCTGGGAGGCGGCGCCATAGGTGTTGCTTCAGGAACATGGCTTCCATTGTCTTCCTCGTGTTGCTGGTCGCCTTCGCTCTCATGCCCATCTGTGTTATCCTCCTCTCCAGTCCCAGATTCTTCTTGTGGTATATCATTCAGGATCTGCTTCTCAGGTGACAAGACTCGTGGTGTACCTGGAACACTCGATCGACCGGCTCTCGACGGAATGGACTCTCGGAGGATAACTTGAGATGATGGTCGTGAAGCAGTCAATTTTTGCACAGGTGCAACATTAGATATAGATTGCCGGATGGACGAGGGTCTCGAAGCTGGCACATTGCTGGTCCTTCTTGAAGCGACAGTTGCTGGGGCTGTCCTCGAGACAGACGGGCTAGGGGCTATAGTAGATACACGCTTCGCTGTGGGCTTTGTCGCTGCGGTTGGCACTACCACGTCTTTCTTCACAAAGACGCCATGATTGGGCGAACATTGGAAGTAGCGGCGACCTTTTGCACTGCCATCGTTCTTGCCTGTGGCCTCTGGTAGTTCGATACCGCAGTATGTGCCCGCGGGACCACCTTCGATCGGACCGATATATCGTAGGATGCCATGGTAAGGATCTTTACCAGTGGATTTTACATGTTGGCCAATCTTCAGGGCTGGAGTTGTCATATTCGTTTCCGTAGCGCGAACGGGAAGAAGTTTATCATTGTGAATGATCAACGAGGTTGGTGTGGGGATTACTGTCGAGATTTGTTAAAGACCTGGGAAGGTACGAAACAATGATCACGCGCCGTTCCACTTTGAGGGCCGCAACTGACGCGTTGGACCTCTCTCCTCTACGTGTTTCACGTGACCATCCTCTGAATCGAGTAGCTACTGAAGTATCATGCATATATAGTAGATCGTTTGGCAACAAGGATACGACGCTTTGCATATTTTGATATACCTTGTTAGCCATACGCTTTTTTATTGGTCAAATTTTCGTCAACACACTTCCGCCGCACGAACCCAGCTCATTCTTAACACATCGAGTTCAACATCGGCCTTCTATAGCCTAACCGTTATTCAATCGTTCCTTCGTGCCGTGCAAAGTGGTATCTCAAAATAAAAAGCAAACAATCCAGGTTCAACAATGGCAAAGCACGCCAACAAGAACTCCCCTTCAACCAAATCAAAATCTGCATGTTTCCAGCAAAAGGGTATCTTGCTTCGTTTCAAACATATAATCGTTTCATCCATAGCACTACTCATGCTTTTCGACTGTGGGTATCACTTTGGTATCGTTGACATTCCGAGAAAATCGCAAAACTTATTGGGTATATCATCGTAAAGGCAAATGTAAATTTGGTGCCGATCCAACCACCTCATTGTGGTGAACTTTTTTGTTGTTAGTGTTGTTGTAAGGAAACAAGTTGTTCTGTTGAACATGCGATGCCGGGACTTGCATGGGCGCGGGGAGGTTCGAGAACGAATGAGAGGTAGGTGGACGTCCTGAATCAAAACTGGCTCTCGGTTCGTGACGTGGCGTCTTGTCTCCTGGTGTGCTCGTGTTTGTCCCAAATGGAAATTTGTTCTCAGAGTATCTGGCAGGCCAGCCGCCATTCTTTGAAGAAATTGATGCCGCGTCCTCTTCAGGAAGGTTGACTCCAGAGTCGTTCCAGAAATTCCTATACCCGCTTTCACGACTCTCTAAAGAGATAAGAGAAGCCTTGCTCGCATTAGAAGAAGGGTATCTGTAGAAGTTACCGGGTGTGTTGTTAGTGTTCTTTCGGCTCATGAAAGATGAGAATGAGCCGATGCTTCCAGGCTTCCGTAGTTTGTCGAAAATTGATGACCTCTCTGATACAGGTGTTACATCCCCATCGTGGAAGAGCGATCGTGTCGGGGAATCATTAAGGTGTAGCGAGGGTGCGTTTTGCAGTAACTTTGATTCGAAGAACGGTAGCGAATCCTCGAAGGAGTCGGACTTGGGTCTGGCAATAGCACCCTTAACAGTAGAAGCCTCGAGACCATGAGGAACGAGTTGTGATATGAGAAAGTCGATGGCATCTTTGAGTCCTCCGGCATTGTTTCTGGTGTAAGTCAATACCAGTCGTCCTTCTGTTGCTGTTACAATGCGCTCAACCGAAGCAGTTGCTGACTTGGGCAGGCTTCCAAAAACTGGGTTAAGGTGGACGTCGACCTCGTATTGACTGCGCATCTTATGTCGTAAATCGTTGCTGAACTCGTTGGAGTCAAAAAATTGCTCGAGAGATCCTGATTTCTGAAATGCAATCTCGTGACTTTCCGGGACCATGCCAAGAAAGGCATCTACTGCTTGAGGCACTTGATATTCGGGTCCCGAGATCGTGACTATGTCGCTGGCTTGTTCTGTGCTTGGGAAATCGACTTTGCAGTTCCACTTCTTTTCCAGTCCTTCGATCTCAGACATGCGGGAAATGAGCTCTCGGTGATAGAGTCTGTTGATCACGACGGTTTCAGATACAAACTCGGCATCCTGTTTGGCTCATGTCAGCGGACAACTTGTGGTTGAGATACAGTATCACTTACGACTTTCTCAACCATATCCATGATCTCTTGTTTCACAGCGTCGAGGCTCTGCGCGTTACGTGCTGGTGTCCGGCATATCACGTTGTCGATTTTGACGTCCTCGTCGTCTTTGCCGACGCCACCGCGGTCCATAGCGTTAGAAAACTTCACAAAGACCGAGTATTTTTTCATGATGCGCTGAATGTGTTGGCCACCAATGCCAATGATGCGCTTGTGATACTGATCAGGCACGTGAAAGGATATCGAAGCCGGCATCTCTTGCTCGACGAGGTCGAGTCCGTTCTTGGTGGCTTCGTATTGATTGCCCACTACATCGATGTAGAAGTTGTACTCGTTGAAGCCGTCGAAAATGATCTGCACGTTGCCTGCAATTGTCAGATGGATTTCGAGCTCTCAGTAACACAACTTACTCTGACCCATGATCTTGTTTATTTTCCCGTTCTTTTTGCCACTCACAAACTCCTTGTGCTCGTTGGCCAGTTCAATTTTCACCCTGATCTGGTAAGGGTACCTCTTGACGAATGGGATTTGGTTGATCACCATCATAGCGTCCTTGACTGCGTCGTCAGAACCATTAATGGCAAAATTCATTTTGTCGAAGCTCAGGTCAGCTCCGGAATTCGTACAAATGTCGCTAAGCATAACGCGAATCTCACTTGCAGAAGGTGGCCGTAAGCTAGGTGTCTGAGCTGGGTCGGTCACCATAAGCCACCAGGATGCACTATAGAACTGGCCGGCAAGAGTCATAATCTCCTTGACAGTACGTTCGACGTGAAGGACGTCGGTGCCTTGCACACGTACGAGACCCCTTTGGCTTGCAAGTTGTGGAAACAATACTTGAGAAGCATTAGCCTCCATGATCTTCCGGACTTTGTCAAGACGATCAAGTAGTATGCTGTCAACTTTCGAAGCAGAGACCATCACATCTCTCGAGAACAGCTTGATACTCATGACCAGTTCGCGAAGCTTCTGTTTGGCGTGGTTGATGCGTTCTTGTGTTTCGCCCGTGACGAAGATCTCGTCAGGAGCTCTTCTCGTTGCGCCGGGCGGAACGTAACCGAAGACGCCTGGAAAAGGAGGGGGAAAATAGATGGCCGTCTTGGTTGCAGACTCAATCAGCTTGATATTCTTGCCTGTACGACCGGACACCAAGGTGTGCATGGTCAAGTCCAGCTTGATAACATCAATCTTGTGCTTGAGCTGATACGTGTTAGCTCTGGATCGAACAAAAGCACCATTTTATACGCACGATCTGATCAATCATCATCAGCGTCCTGGTCTTCGCATGCTCAACGCTTTCTGTGTCACCAAATATATTTACCCTGTATCGCTGATCCAAGCCACTATCGACCGCGTTCACGAAAGGCTGAGTGTTGGGCTGAGGGTTCGCTTCCGCACGAGATCTCAGAAGGAATATATCAGTGCCGGTATACTTGGCGCACAAATCAATGTGGCTAAGCACGCTGGACCTGATAGACGTTTCGGCAGGATCGAGAATGAGATTCGGATCGATGTCGACGACAGCAGATTTCTGAATACTCGTTAGCGATATGTGCTTGTGTTCCATTCTACAATGTGGTGAGAATTACCATCATAATCGGTGTTTCATTGAGCACTTTAGCCCGCATCTTGTGCACCACATCGTGGTCTCCAGATATGCATACGTTCGTAATCAGCCCTTGAGCTTTGGAGTGCATTGCCTGAGATGTCTTGGACTCGGAAGAAGTGACCAAGGCTTCGATTCGACCGCCACTGGAATCACCAATATACTGGCACAGATTGCGCAACCTCTCTTCATTTTGTACATGGACAGGAAGCTTGTATATAGGAGTGCCTTCAGCCGTGCCCACAGGAAACGTCCACCTTTGAACGGCACCTGGACTTGCATGAAGGACATCGTCAGGTTCAGGTCCTGGCAAGCTGGATGCGAAGGGTACATTGAAGGAGAGGTTGATGATGGAATAGTCGGAATGACCAGGCGGGACCACGCTCGACGAAGGGGGTGGGCGTCTCAATGGTTGCGGCTGTTGAGGTATCTCTTGATGAAATCTGGAGATGCCAAAAGCCGCTGGAGTCATCCGACTGAAGTTGTTGCTGATCTTGTGCATGTTGGATGGCTCCCCAGGTCATCGACGCCGTGGCAGGAAGTGAAGCAAAAGAATTAAAGCACAAGTCTAATGCATTGAGCGTGGCGGAAGCTTGCAGACAATGAGAATAGCTATTCAAGGTCGAGCAACGTGCAGCTTCGAAGATCTCATAATCCTGCGAGGTGCATGTGAGCGACATGCAATGGTTTCAAGGTTGTGTTCTTGGACATGCCTGGTGCGCAGTTCTGTGATGGCTTAGTAGCACGCCTATCACATTGCTCCAGGTGGACTCTTTTAAGCCATAGCCCGACACCTCAGCTCGAGGGCACGAATCAGCTCTTTGCAACAACAGTTGGCACATGAGCAACTACCCTCCTCTTGGTTAGAGCGAAGATCATAGTACACCCTTAGACCTCTTAAAAAGAAGGCTCAAGCTTGCAAATGCAGCCAGCCGCCTGGTCTACGGACGGATTTTATGAACCGTGGTCTAAATGCTTGATTCTTGTTTATTTGGTAACATCCGTCATTGCTTTTAGCCTCAAATACACTACGTATACTCCATACACATTCTGGATATGTCGTTAGAAGAAACGCGAAGCCGACACTGTTGATTTCGTTCAAAAGCTTACGTTGAAGAGTTCGTTAATTCGGGAATAAGCGTGGGCTTTTTCACAAGCTCGGCATGCGGGCATGATCCTAAGAGAATCTTATTTTTACCTGCCATATATTCCAGATCTACCAGACGACTTCGTCTCGCACATTCTGAGCATAGAATGGTTTTATCTCAGATGGTTCATCATGCTTTGCAGTTCTGAAATGTGCTTCTCATCCGCCTCCCGAGTCCAGCAAACCCTACCTGCACCACCTTCCAACCTGCAAGCTCGATCGCAAATGCCAGCTTTTGCTGTAATGACCAAGGATGCATAAAACCAAAGAGTATGCCTGCAATGAAAGTATCACCAGCACCAACTGTGTCGACAACACACTGGTTCGTTGTAACAAATGCTGTACTGCTAGCAGTATCCACTGAATCATAGACAATCTTACCTTGCTGGCATGTATATCTTAACGCTGCGGCACCTTTGTCACCCCAAGTACAAATAAGTGTACGTTCATACTCGTCGTCGTATTTTTCCGGTCTCGTGGAGTCGGCGTCTGCAATTACTTTGACCTGAGATTCGAGACAAGCCATAGCGGATGGATGTCCTTCGGCTTCGGCCCAGCCCCTCGAGTAAAACACTACATCTGCCTCGTAGACCAGATCTTGCAGACCCTCCCTGCGGGGTTTCTCAATTTCCACCGATACTCTGAGCTTGGGCTTTGGGTTGGCGTGGGTGTACCGCTGGCGCAGACCCTGTATGCACGTCAATGTGGTCTGTGGAATTCGTCCTTCGAAATGAAACCATATTTGATCCTGATCGTCTTCCATTGCAGATTGCACAAGCGTTGCCGCAATGGCATCGAATTCTTCGGCTGTCATTTCGGGAAGCTCGTTGTGGTTCACGATCGTCCGTGTTCCAGCCGCTTCGGAGGAGATTATGTAGGAAGAGATAGGGTCGATATGAGTCTCACGATATATACAGTGGCGTAGATCAACACGTGTCGAGCCAGTAGAATTAGCTAAAGATTGCCGGATGAAAGGTATAGATGGCGACGATGGTGATGGCAAAACAGCTATGAGCACCGGTTCAGAGATTTTATTTGTCACCAGGTCGAATAATTGTGTTATGACCTCGAAGGAATTTGAGGTATTCCCGCCACGCCGTCGCGAACAAGATGTTGCTCGAAGTTTTGAGTCCTCTTCAGGAAAATAAGGCACTATAATTCAATAGCTGCGTCCATCAGCCAGCGAAATCCACTTACCAGTAAGGATCGTGTCGACAGCGCAAGCCCCTATTGCAACCAATTGTATTCTCTTCATACTGCCAGCCATTGCATTGCACTTAATCTTTTGTATACGACGGTCTCGACTATACGCCCTGGCGTTCAAGTCCTAGCACAGGCCGCAGCAAAGGTTCGACTTTCACACTTTTTCGTCTCAGCTGGCATGCATCTCTCAAGGAGACCATGAACGTGAATTGCTATTGTGAACCAAAGTAAAGAAGGAGACCAAGAGAGCACTCCTAGCTAATCTAGTGTTTGCAACATTAGAAGTGGAGTGGTCTCTGGATACAATAGCTCAGGCTGAGTGTCTGACGTGCACGATTCTGATGTACAGATCACTCTGCCTCCTTATTCAACTAGAGCATTAGATATCGTACTTCACGATGTCTCAAGCTTATATTACGAGGATGTCTTCGTGCGCAGCAGAAGGCAAAGGCGAGGACTCGTCGTGCCAAGCTCCTAAGAACCTCGGAAAGAACCACAGAGTATCATATGGAAGTTGTGGTTCGAATAGTATTCTGAAGGGTTGTATTGAACATTGATAAAAACAAATTGAACTATGCTACAGTATATGCAGGGCTTGATGGTAGCACATCACTCGAGCCACGAACCATACGTCATAAGCCCTCTATGGCGAGTGCCAGATTGACACATTGGGCAGTCGCGATAGACTCGGCTGTCCAACGTGCGTCTTCGAGTATGTTTGAATGACCACGTTTGCAGATGGTGCATTCCGTCTACGAAAATCAATGTTTGTGAAATCATGACCCGAGTGTAGCTATGTCTATGGCGGAAAGATATTTGGCACACTCTTCCACCCACGACCATGTCCTTCAGCGCATACCTCTACGTGTACCTTTTCGGGGGCGTAACCTTTTTACCAGTCGTTCTCAGCCTATCACTCTTGTATGTGTATCTTACGCTACCTAGCACGAGTAGTGGCCGTAGGCTCGCTGGGGACCGTGGCTCGAGTCTACTCAGGAATGGGGATGAGAAGGCTGTGTTGAGGTCTGGTACGGACGACCTTGCGGAAAAGTTCCTGCGCAAGCATGAGTCGGATGTTGCGGCGGGATATTTCGCAGTATGTCGCGAATATGTACCCGGGGGCGTCAATGGTAAGCCTCCAGAAAGGCTGTCTCCCGCAGGCGAAACTGTGGCGTCCGAATCACCAAGTGTCTACCAGACCATGTACCGAAGCATATTCGACAGGGTGAACAAACCATCTATAGAGCCGAACAAGGACGGAGCGGGAAAGTCTGTCAAGCGAACCAACAATGTCTTCTATGTCGTGTTGAGGTAGGCTGGTTGTTGTATGTCACGAAAAGAATATGGCTGATTGGAACAGGCACGGCCATCTCATGCTTTACGACGATATCCAGCAGCTCGAAGTTCGTCACGTAATATCCTTAGAGTACCACGACGTCGACATCTACGGCGGCAGTGATGAGGCAATTCCCGAGCCAGAGCTATGGATCAAGCGGAATGCGATACGGCTTAAGAGAAAGAAGGTGCACATCGGCGACAAATCATCCCTTCCTTTCTACCTGTTTAGCGAGAATCTTTCGGAGAAGGAAGACTTCTATTTCGCACTTTTAAACAACATGCAGAAGAATCTGGGCGAGAGTTCACCACTGCCGCAGGAGTTCGACACATCTCACATTATCGCTCTGGTACAAAGGCTGCACTCTTCCGAAGAGCAGCTGCAAACACGCTGGCTGAACGCCCTTCTCGGCAGACTCTTCCTATCAGTATACAAGACGCCGGAAGTTGAAGCGATTATTCGGCAGAGACTGACCAAGAAAATAGCTCGCGTTAAAAAGCCAGACTTCATCACCAAGCTCGCTTTACAAAAGATAGATACAGGGACCGGAGCACCGTTCTTCACCAACCTTCGGCTTAAAGACCTCACTGTCAACGGCGACTGTACGGTCGAAGCAGATGTTGAGTATTCGGGAAGCTTCCGGGTCGAGCTTGCTGCTACTGTCCGCATCGACCTAGGCAAGCGGTTGGGCGCGAGAGAGGTTGACATCGTCCTGGCTGCAACGTGCAAAAAGCTATCGGGTCATGTTCTGGGCCGGCTGAAGCCACCACCCAGTAATCGTTTGTGGGTGAGCTTCGACAAGGTGCCAAAGGTCGAATTAAAGCTTGAACCAATTGTCAGTTCCCGACAGATTACGTATGGTTTCATCCTTCGAGCTATCGAAAACAGGATTTTGGAGGTCATTGCTGAGACGATTGTACTGCCCTTCTGGGACGATATTCCCTTCACACAAACTACAGGCGAACGCTTCAGAGGCGGGATCTGGAAGAAAGATATTTCACCAGATGAAAGCACGGAGATAAAGGACGAGGTAGCTGAAGACGAAGCCGAGGCAGGGGCGGAGGCCAAAGAGCATTCGATTAACAAAGACGAACGCATAATGAGCATGCCGGTGCTCGCTGATAGTGCACAGGCAGCAAAGACAGCAGCGAAACAATCCCTGGCGTCCTTAAGGGATAGTCTGCCGGAGAGTCGTGATGTCAACAAGACACCAGACCGTATACCTCGACAAGCACCACCTCGAATCTTGCGCTCGTCTTCTTTCGCAAGTGCCGCAGACCCGAAATTGTCGCCAAGCCATGCCCCTGCCGAGTCTGCGCCGATTGACATGAAGGCAGCGTCAAAAAGAGATAGTATGCTGAAAGACCTGTCTGCCCGCTCTCTAGGCACCTCACCCGAGCTGACAGGGCAGTCACCACCGAAAGATGGACAGACATATGTCGACGATACACGCAACGGGGCTGACAGTACAACTCCCAACCTTCTCAGCGAGTTTGGGCAAAATCTTCGTCGCGACACTGCCGATACAGACTCGACACTAATTGGAAGCACAATTTCTACAACTGCTGATGAGGGTTCAGATGCTAAGCGTCTTTCCTTGCACGAAGATGCCAAAGCTCATGCTTCGCCTGGTACCACTAGATATGACCACCAAAAGACTATCGCGAGTATCAACGCTGCCAAGGAGGCTGCCCAGAAATGGAGCTGGGGTGTCCTCGCACGTAACCGGCAAAAGGAGGCTGAAACACGCTCAATACACGGTACGATTGATAGCGTAGATACTTCACAGCCGATGGGCAGGGGACAACCGTTGCCGCCACCTGGCATGCCTCTGCCTCGACCAACGAAGCCAAGCATCTTTTCATTGCCAAAGAAGAAGCCTACAGTTTCTGGCTCGTCACATGCGGACGAAAGCTCCACTAACACCACCAGTACGCCGAGCGACTCACCACCAAAACCGCCTGCATTGCCAGAGCGCCGAAGACGACAGAGTCAGCTCAATCTGCAGAACACGGATGGCCACGACGAGGATTTACTTGTGGTTGAGGCACCGCAGGAGTCTGCCCCAACAAGTCCTCTTCCTGCGGGAAGTGAGCATCATGATGATTTCTTTGGACACGGCGAAGACTCTCTAAAACAGCACGTCGATGACACAAAGCCACCAGCATATGCTCCTCCATTACCTGAACGACCGCAAACACGAGAGGGACAAGGGGCAAGTACTACCTAGACATGTCACAACATGGTCATCACCCCGAGGATACTGAAATGTGCAGCGAGGAAGCTCGAGGCGCAACAATATTGCCATTGGACCGAAGTTGGGGTATTGACTGTGGATTACATCATGAGCCTAGGAACCTCCAACCTAGATACTATAGGCTCCTGGAGAAACCAAGAAATTTAGTTCACCTGTCGCAATACAAGCATCGTGATTGATGTCAAGATGGACAGCAACGGGACAAACAAAGCTGACCAGGCCGGCAAAAGAAATGGCGCAGCCAGAAATTCTCGGGGAACGCCAAATATTGTTATTGTTGGAGGGTCGTTGAGTGGACTTTGCGCTGGTATAGCCCTCAAAAGCCATGGCTATAATACTACCCTTCTCGAGCGAACACCGGAGAATTTGTTGCATAATCAAGGGGCAGGCATTGTGGCAGGAGGCGACACCATTGAGTTCTTCAGGCGCTATGATCGGACAGGCAAGCCTGTTGCTGTACCCAGCCACAAACGGCTATATCTAAACAAGAAGGGAGATGTCATTCATGAAGAGCTTAACCGTCAGAACATGACAAGTTGGGATTTGGCATACTACTTGCTTCGAGCGAACTATGACCGTGTTGACAGTCCTTACTTATCTGATGCCAAGCTGCCAGAGGTACGACGCGGAGACGGTGAAGTCACTTACCGCTACGGTTGCACAGTGACAAGTATCAAAGATGAAGGCGATAAGGTTCGGGTGCACTTTCAGCGGCGACAGCCCGATGGAAAACAGATTGACGATGAGATGGTAGCAGATCTTGTTGTGGCTGCAGACGGACCAAGCTCAACCATACGAGGTATGTTCGAACCAGAAATCAAGCGCAAGTATGCAGGGTATTGTGTGATTCGAGGTACTGTCCCAGAGCTTGAAGCAACACAGATGGCTCGGGAAGTCTTCACAGAACGCTTCTGCTTTTATCACGCCCCAGGTATACAGAATCTGACATACACGATTGCTGGTGAAAATGGCAACACCAAGCCAGGTCATCGACTGCTGAACTTCGTTTGGTATGCCAACTTTCCGGAAGGTTCCGATAACCTTGAGAAGCTCATGACGGATAAAGAGGGACGAAGAAGACACATCACTATACCGCCAGGCATGATCGCGTGGGACGCATGGGAGATGGTCAAGCGCCTAGGTCGTGACAGGCTGCCACCACAGATGGCGGAAATGGCTGAGAAGACCAAAGCTCCATTTGTACAGTGTATCACAGATGTGATCACTCCGAAGAACCTGTACATGAACGACAAAGTCATACTGATTGGGGATGCGTTAGCAGGATTTAGACCACATACTGTCGCAAGCACTAGTCAGGGAGCTTTCAACGCCATGAGTTTGGTCGACTGGCTGGATGGGAAGATCGATCGAGAGCAGTTTGTGAAACAGACAATGCAATTTGCCAGGGAAATCCAAGCAATGGGAGTGAGAATTGGCAACCGAAGTCAGTTCGAAGAATTGCCAGTAGAGGAGTACATTGCAGACAGGAATTTTGCAAGCATTAAGAGGCAAGACAGAGTCTATCCAGAATGGACGCTCGAGGGTCTTGACAAGATATGAATAAACAGCATGATACCACCAATCCATCTCGCACCATCTATCGATCACGGACTTCGAAGACAGTAAAAAGAGGAGTGTTGTTTATACACATATACCTCTGCGTAGCACCAAGCCAATGAGCTCGCCAATAGTACATGTATCCGTAGCACCGATCACTGTATGAAAGAGCGTCTCGGCAGTGAGCCTCACAAACGCCCTTCATTCAATACCTACTAGTAGGTAGTGTACCCGATCTAGTTACGTAGTTGGTACAAATGTTTCTCCCTATTGGGGTGGCCAGCACTTGCGTCGCCAATGTGGCTTGGTGGATTGAGCGCGACGCAGCAACGTCAGACTGCGGACCTCTCAATGCGCGACCTACAGCCTACAGTATATTGCAGGCACCACCGTTTGAACCAATTGGCGAACTATATTCGCTCAAACAAATTTCCCGAACCCAGCCGCGTGTCACCGCTCAGACAATTCAGCTCTTCATTCCCTCGACTCTCTTCTACATACCTGCAAACTGGCGCGCCGAGGCGCAGGAGGAGTCTTAAACGGCTTTGGTAGGACCGTTGATACTCAGAACCACGATACAAATTCCACCAGCAATATGTCGTACGGAAATCACTATGGTTCCGGCACGAGGAATATCGATCTTACCAAGACTGAGGCTGATCTTGCTATCAATATTCGCAAGGCAACGAGTATAGGTGCGTCTGGATCGTACAATCTGAGTGGTAACATGCTAAACCATTTCAATAGAGGAGACTGCGCCTAAACGAAAGCACGTACGAGCATGCATAGTGTACACATGGGACCACAAGTCTTCCATGTCCTTTTGGGCAGGCATGAAGGTGCAGCCGGTTATGGCGGATGAGGTCCAGACATTCAAAGCTCTACAGGTCATTCACAAAGTGTTGCAGGAAGGTCACCCAGCCGTAGTGAAAGAGGCACAGCAAAATGTCAACTGGGTTGAAACACTTGCAAGAGGTGCTGGTGGAGGTGATGGTCTGCGAGGATATGGCCCATTGATCCGCGAATACGTCTTTTTCCTCCTTGCGAAGCTTGCCTTTCACCGTCAGCATGTCGAGTTTAATGGCCTCTTCGAGTATGAGGAATATATCAGCTTAAAATCTATCAACGATCCGAACGAAGGCTACGAGACCATTTCCGATCTCATGACCCTGCAAGATCAGATAGACACTTTCCAGAAGCTCATTTTCTCTCACTTTCGTAATGGAAACAACAACGAATGCAGAATCGCTGCTCTCGTACCCTTAGTACAAGAGAGCTATGGTATCTACAAATTCATCACGAGCATGCTCAGAGCTATGCACACCACTACCGGCGATGACGATGCCCTCGAGCCCCTGCGCACGCGTTATGACGGCCAGCATTACAGACTTGTCAAGTTCTACTACGAGTGCTCGAACCTGCGGTATCTAACGAGTCTTATTACGATTCCTAAGTTACCACAAGAACCACCGAGTCTGCTGTCCGACGAGGAGAAGCCGGCCCTGCCACGAAGACCAGTAAAAGAGATCGAGAAGCCACCTTCCCCTGTTGCAAAGAACGGTACGCCTGACCCAACCGATATGCAGGACTTTTGGTCGCGAGAAGCTCAGAGACAACAAGACGAATATGAGGCGGAACAGAGACGTCTCGCGCAGCAACTGGAAGAACAACAACGACAGCAGATGCTTGCTCAGCAGCAAGCTCAAAGAGATTTTGAGGATTCACAAAGACGAGCTCAAGAACAAGCTATGATGCAGCAAGAACAACTACGACAGCAGCAAATGAGTATGCAGACTCAAGGACGTATGGCCGAGCTTGAGCAGGAAAATCTACGAGCTAGAGCACAATACGAGCAAGACCAGCTTATGCTGCAACAGTATGACCAGCGGATGAAAGCGCTCGAGGAGCAATACAACCAATTACAAGGGAATTTTCACCTTCAGAACCAGTCCAAGGACGATCAGATCAATTCTCTCCAGGAGCAGGTCAATACGTGGCGATCTAAATACGAAGCTTTAGCTAAGCTCTACTCACAACTGCGACAAGAGCATCTCGATCTTCTCCAGACTACAAAATCACTGAAGCTGAAGGCTGCCTCCGCTCAGGAGGCAATAGATGCCCGGGAGCGCCTGCAGCGAGAGATGAAGACCAAGAACCTGGAATTAGCAGATATGATCAGGGAGCGCGATCGAGCTTTGCACGAAAAGGACAGAAGTCAGGGTGGCCACAAAGACGAGCTAGAAAAAGTGAGACGAGAACTGCGTTTAGCTATAGAAAGAGCTGAAAATGCCGAAAGAGCCAAGGGGTCCGAATTGTCGTCACTTATGGCCAAATACAACCGAGAAATGGCTGATCTCGAGGAGGCTATGCGTGCCAAAACGCGACAGCTTGACGATATCCGATCTAAGCACGGCGAGCGCAATCTCGACCACGATGCTGCTCTCAGAGAAAAGGATGATGAGATCGAGATCTACAAGTCTGGCATGGAACAAGCCCTTGAAGAGCTTGAGGAACTTAAACTAGGTTCCCGCGAAACTGATGGTGGACTTGATGAAGCCATCGACGAGGTCATTAAAGGCAACATTGTGAAGATTAATGACATGATTGATTCAGTGCTTCAATCTGGTGTGCAGCGAGTCGACGACGCTATTTACGAGTTGGACTCGCCTATGCAGGCCGGTAACCAGAACGCAACTGCTCCTTATGTCCTTTCGCAGGTCGAGAAGGCCTCTTCCAGCGCCACAGAGTTCTCGACCGCGTTTAACAACTTCATCGCAGATGGACCGAACAGCAACCATGCTGAAATTATCAAGACTGTATCCGTGTTTGCAGCATCGATAGCGGATGTTCTTACGAACACGAAAGGTCTACTGCGATTTGCTACAGACGACAAGAAGGGTGATGAACTGACCAACGCTGCTCGTCAGTCTGCTCTTAGCACAATTAACTTCTTCCGAGGTCTGCAGTCTTTCCGCCTAGAAGGTTTGGAGGCGATGCAGAAGTCGGATGTTGTAATCAACAGTAACCACGATGTCCTAATGAAGCTGCAGAAGTTGTCGAAATTGGCAGATGCGTTCGCACCAAAATCGACCAAGCTTAGCACAAAAGGCGATCTGGGTGACCTTGTTGATGACGAACTCACCAAGGCGGCAAACGCGATCGAGGCTGCTGCGCAAAGACTCGCCAAGCTGAAGAACAAGCCAAGAGAAGGGTACAGCACCTACGAATTACGCGTCAACGACATGATATTGGACGCTGCAGTAGCAGTCACAAATGCGATCTCTCAGCTCATCAAGGCAGCCACCGAGTCGCAGAATGAGATCGTGCAAAGTGGCCGCGGTTCCAGCTCCCGCACAGCATTCTACAAGAAGAACAACCGATGGACCGAGGGTCTGATATCGGCAGCTAAAGCTGTTGCATCGAGTACGAATACACTCATTGAAACTGCCGACGGAGTCATATCTGGAAGGAACTCTCCTGAGCAACTGATCGTGGCATCTAACGATGTTGCTGCTTCTACTGCACAGCTAGTGGCCGCCAGTCGTGTGAAAGCAACTTTCATGTCCAAGACGCAAGACCGACTGGAACAGGCATCGAAAGCTGTTGGTGCAGCTTGCAGAGCGCTAGTGCGGCAAGTACAAGCAATCATTAAAGAAAGACAGAAGGAGGAAGGCAGTGGAGAAGACTATACATCATTGAGCTCGCATGAGTTCAAGGTAAGAGAAATGGAGCAACAGGTGAGTACTGAGCCTCTTCTCGATTCTCGATCTTTTGTGCTGACAATAGTTATAGGTCGAAATTTTGAAGCTCAACAATGCGCTGGAGGCTGCTAGGGGGCGTCTAGCCGAAATGCGCAAGCTAAGTTATAGAGAAGACTAAACGTTTGCATGTTCCTATCTGACATGCTGTTTGGATATCGGCTGTGTAAGTACATTCCCTGGTTCACTTGGGCAGGTCTGTGCCGGTCAGTGCTTTGTAGAAATATTGTATCCAAGTTGTGACAGAGATTATTCTGCAGGACTCTACAGACCATATTCAATTTGATTTTTGGAGAAGTTGTTACTCCAATGTCCCTCATTACACGAGTACACAATGTGACTGACATCAATCCTACTTCAACTGTGACATAATTGCTCAGATTAGACTTCTGAAAGTTGTTTAGTTCTCATAAACTTCTCACGTCGACTAGAAGCTCGATTTCACCGTCCTTGGATCCTAATAAAGCCCAGTCAGACTTGTGGTAGAGAGGTAGCTTCACCACAAGCACTGTCGAAGGCACCCATCAGTGCCCAGTAGAGCTCACCTTTCTTGACCACTTGACATAAGCTCTTTATCACAGCATAGCACAACACCCACAGAAAGATGCCCAAATCAGCATGCTTCGACGTCCTAGGGACATGCTTCCACTTCCAACCCCTCATAGACATCATCCACGAAATCCTCAGCAGAAACACCTCCCCCAAAACTACAATCGACGCAACCACCCTCTTCCACTCCTGGTTCTATGCCGCCCAACGCGATTTCACCTACGTCTCCATCTGCGGCTCGTACACGCCCATCGCCCAGATCCTCAAACAGACTTTTCGCCGGGCCTGCGCGATTGTCGATTTTCCCGATCCAAACAAACACATCACGGACAAGGATCTCGAAAACATCATGACGGAGATTAAGCGGCTGCCTCCACGACCGGGGCTCAAGGAGATCTTCGACGGGTTGAGAGATGATGGCTGGGATGTTTATGCCGTTACTAATGGTGGTAAGGAGTCGTCATTGAAGTACTTTGAGTTGGGCAGTGTTCAGCTTGATGGCGATCATTTATTGTCTTGTGATGACATTAAGGTTGCGAAGCCGGATATGAAGGTCTATGAGAATGCCGGGAGTTGGTTGGAGGGGAGGGGGTGCGAGAAGAGTCAGAGGTGGTTTGTGGCGGCGCATAGTTGGGATCTGATTGCGGCGAGGAAGGCTGGGTTTAGGACGGCGTGGGTTGCGCATGAGGAGAGGGATCCGGTTAGGGAGGTGTTTGGGGATTTCGATGTTGTGGCGAAGGATTTGAGGGAGTGTTTGGAGATGATGAAGAAGGCTGCGTGATTTCCGTTCTGTAAACGTTGGACGGAATGTCTAGGGAAGATGACTGAGTGTGACTTCGCACGTTTTGCTGAGTCTAAGCTAAACTGTGGCTACATCTATCAGAGTATATATATTATACAAGTACAGTCTTCTTTCGCAATCGACCATAGGGTTAGGAAAATAGGGGTTCCCGTTCGATCACCCGTACTCAAGCCTGGCGCCGACGAGTTAGTAGTTGGGTTGGAGACAACCAGCGAATCCTCGCTGTTGATTGTTTTGCGTTTTTGCTGTGCTGTTTATTGTTGAAGCTGAAGAACTGTAGAGTAATTTCTTGATCATTTTTACTGAGCTTGCAATGCGCTTCAAGGGTCGTAAAGCGTCAGAGTGGTAGTGCTTCTGTTGTTGACCAACCGACAGTGGAAGATATACATCTTGCTGATGAGAACATAAGAGAATTGCTGGTTACACGGTATATGTAAGTACAGCAAGCGGCACTTCTACAATCGCATCATGAATTCCTCACTTCTTCGACTATCAGCTCTACTCTGTTTTCCAAATGCTTTCTTCGTCTCATCGTCGAGTTAAGAGAACTGCGGGACCAGAGCAGACGATCCTGGAACGATTCTTACTGTATGGCATAAATTACTACTTCGACTGTCAGGATGCAACAGGCATGGCTCACATGTACTAACGCTTAATGCAACAGTTCTGTATATCATTGTACACCAGACCGAGATATTATAAAGCTCTAATATTAATTTATATTCCTTGATGTTTGCACCGACTGGAAGCGGTTGATTCGAGATGAGACGCGGTTGCCCGCTCTGTGTATAGATCCAAACACGAACACACCTTGATGCCCGATCAAGGCAGCCCACAACCATGATGTTATCTGGTTGCTGTGAGGGATACTCGGGCTCTTTTGGCGTTGCGTAACAGTGATGCCTCGACTTCATGCAAGTTTTCCGGCTTATGGTATGTTCGCTCCGTTGCCACTATCTACTGTGTTTTTGCTGAAGTGTAGCTGGGAATTGAAATGCACATATAATCACCGAAAGATGACCAGGTCATGGCTGGCCAGGGTATGTTGCTTTATGCTGCTTTGATGTAGGTGCTGCATGCAGGTCACCGAGCAACATTCCGTTGATGTTCACTGAACAGATAATGTGTAGCCTGAGGAGGGTTTGTTGAGGAGTGAAAAGGCTTATCATGCTCAGTCAGTCCCTTTGCCTCTAGGGTATTCAGGTTTCGGTATATTGAACACTGGTGCTGCACCTGGCACATACACCATCGTGTCTGCTGTATCCTTCTGAGAATGAGTTTTGCAATAGTGACAGCGTTTCTTGTCACAATGCATGCATTCATACCAGTTGTCTTGGCCATTGAGCGTACATCCTTGACATATGAGCAACGTATAACCCTGACCTCCGGCATATGGTGATTTCACCCTATACATGACATGCTTGTGACCGTCATTCTGTCGGAGGAGTTTGGGAGATCTAGTGTTGGCAGGGTTGCCTTGTTCATGAGGTTGTTGGGTCGACATAATACAACTTGAAGCTGCAGAGCAGCTTTGCATAGGGGAAGAGAGCCTTGACTGGAGGGTCGACGAGGAACTTTGATGCTATGTAAGTTTCAAGGCCCTAGTAAATCTGGTAGATCTTGTATGAGCAAACAAGGATGAGCTGGCTTGCGGATTGCTGGTTGTCGATCCTGAAACATGTCCTTTACGAACGCTGTCTTGCAATTGCACCAGCTGACTATAGGCTAACGATGCCCGTGAATGCATACACGTCAGTCCAATGCTCATCACCTGTTCAGCCAACTTGACCCAATTTGGCGAAGTCTCCTGTTGTTGAGCGCGTTGATGCCAGATTTACCGCCATACATTGGAAAAGCAAGTAACGAAGGTGGATGAGGATGATCAGGAAGGCAGAAGGCCGTTGGAGAATTGCCTTAGTAGGATCAATAGTAGCGTTGCTTTCTTGAAAGAACATGTCAAGCATCACTGCCAAACGCTCACCGTCTGGTAACATGACTCAAGAAACTCCATGCAATGTGCAGCATGTCGCTCCACGATCACGATGTGACACTCATCCAGATCCAGATCTATTTCCCAAATCGCCTTCTTGCAGTAGCGACGGCGATACCCTGGGTCTCCATAGGATCATAACAGGAATCTGTAGACGAAGGATCTGGTCGTAGGTCTTTGTTCAGGATGGTGAGTGGACAATGACAAGAAGTATCTTCTCGCGGAACATTCTCCACGCGAGGCTAAGGACGACGGTAGTGCCCTTGAAGCACGATCTGACAACCCGCTCGTCGGCAAGAAGCACATGGTTCCTTCCATTAAGGGTAAGAGCCACTGTAAGGAATCAGTGTCTGACTGCATTTCTCATGCATTCTAGTTGGTATGAGACAGGGATCTACATACTGGGGTGGATCTGTGTGCTTGTAGAGGAATCGACGCGATACGAGTAGCGGGATCTCTGTGTATTTAGGTTCTGCGATCTACTTTTCCAGCAGTCTGGAGCTATCCACAAAAGACATGGGGCTAGTTACCACGATTTCGGCGCTTGCAGCATGCGACAGGTGCATTAGCGAATTGTGGAACCTGCAGACGCACGCTTTCGTCGTCCAGATGACCGCATGATCCCGCAAGATTTGCGTTTAGAGTGCAAGCCAGGACGCACATTTGCAGATCATAGACTAATTCGTGTTTACAATCGGGGCGGACAAATATAGTTGACACAGTGGACAAGGAATATACGGGCTTCTGCTTGTCATTCGCTGGAAAAGGCTCGGTGGAAGGCTCCATGTCGCCTTCCTTCCTCTGACGAACGTGTGAAAGTAGGTTGCGATAAGCGAAAGATAATCTCAGATCGGTGTCCTGGCTGGCGCGTTCATGAGTCAAATCCCGACACTCTGGGAAATGATTTGTGAAGAGCAACGACTGACATACCAATCAGGCAAGCGTAGTCGTGGTTGGGAAGCACTTCCGTTTCGCCTAAGTCGCAATCGTGATTACTCAACCAGGGGAGAAGAAGTAATGGATTATATAGTGAGCTTTCAAGGTAGAGGGAGCAGCTTGTTTTTGAGAAGTCAAAGACTCGTGGTGTGCACTCTGACAGATACAGCGGTTGGCTGGTCCCCGCTACAGACTGTGAAGAAAAGATTGGAGGAGCTCGACGAAATCCGAGAATCACTCTGGGAAAGTGTCAGTGTCATGCAGAGTACATGGATCATGGGTCATGATGTGAGCCTGACGCCTAGCTAATTATCTAAGCCTTCTCAACACTAGCTCTACGTGTCCCAGGACAGACGTGCTTGGCCAATGTGTGTGGTCAAGCACTTCGTTGTTCACTGCTCATGTCGTCCTTGCTATGCGCTGCGAAATCCACTTCAGAGAAATCAAGATAAAGCCTTGTATTGTAGAGCGAACACCCGCCAACGCCACCATTATTAAGGCTCATCGATAATAGGAGATACAGTAGACTGCGTTTGTTGAGACGGAGACGAATGACCATAAGCAAACTACCATACTTGGGCGCAGCTGGCTCTCGGAACAGAAACGGAAGCTGGATCAGGTGCTAGAAACGGCAAAGATCGTAGTAGTGTATTTGTCACGTACATTTGTGTGGGGTGTAATGAGCTAGACCATTGCCTGAAAGTACCACATGCCAACCCCGACATCGAGACACAGACGGCTGTCGGCGATAGTGGGCTGTAGTCACATTGTAGCAGTGCTGGCTGACTGAAAGTCGCAGGCAACAAACGTGATCTGGGCATGTTCGTGTGACTGTCGTACAGAGTACGATTTGGCACTAATTTGCATTATGCAGAACGATCAAGTGGCAGTGGCCAATCTAATCCTGCATGAAAAGGCTCGAGACGCTTTCTGCAGATGATCAGCTTGCGCCAATTCACGAAAAATTGAAGGACCTACCGCCGTGATGGTTGCGACGAATTGCTTCGGACAGCAAGTTCGACAGATCGATTACTACAAGCTTCTTAGAGATCCCCGATAAATCCGGCGGTATTGGGAAAGTATTCGTAACGACGATATGGTCGATGCAGTCACATGCATCCAACTCCTCGAGTGCGCCCTCACCGAGAAGAGCATGTATGCTGATGCAGTAGACCTTCTTAGCGCCTCCAATTTTGACGCAAGTCTCTGCTGCTGCAACCCAAGACCCCGACTTATCCATGATATCGTCCATAATAATAGCTGTCTTGCCGCGAACATTTCCGACGAGTGTTACGGTATGTTCAAGTGTTGTTATCTCGTCTTCCTCATCTTCAGAAGATGCAGCCGCATCAAACGTGCCACCAAGAGCATGACCTTCCTGTACCGAAGAAGTAGTCGACATAAAGGAGGAAGTCATTGGATCCATTGCGGGGCCTTCGAGAGAGTCACGTTCAGCGAAGCCAAAGCCGGACAGAGCCGATAGCGCAGGAGATGGGTGATCATCGTCTACTATGTGTCCCTGCACAAGACGTCCGATCACCACGTCCCGGGCTTTCTCGTCATGGAATCCGGCTTGCGCTTCGTATTCTGAGGGTCTGCGTGCACTAGGTGCTGTGTCCACACGGAGTAGACCACGATCGGGCGACGAGGAAGGTGAGGCAGACTCTTGTCTAGTGGTATGGACCAAAGGGCTGGAGTTAATGGTTACCACTCTTGGCCTTGTGGATCTTTGTGGACTACTCGTATGCGAGGTGTCGGCATGATTTGCAGATGCCCTCCGTTGCGAGAGCCGAGGGCTATCTGTATGTTGATCGGTATTTCCGCTGCTCACTCCATTTTGATATTGACCTGCTTGTTTGACACGAATTCCCTGCGGCTCGATAGCATCGAAGAAGACCACACTGTCTGTCATGTTCGAGTTGGTGTGGTGTGCACCTCGCGAACGGTTAGTAGAACACAAAGCGAAGCTGAGACGAAGAATATCGGCTAGAGCGGTCACTCGTTTGCTTCCACCTACATTCTTGCTGACAATGACTGCGTTCTGCCAGTCTGGTATACTTCCTTTGATCCAACGTACGAGGAGTGGCTCACAGTGAAGATTATCTATACCATGGTGGAAAAAGCCTTGCATCTGAGCTGCATGAAGATCCACTGTGATGAGATGAGTTACTCCTGCGACTGCCATCAGATTCGCCAGCAACTTCGCGGTGATGGCACCTCGATGGCTCTTCTTTTTCGATGAACGCGCGTATGGAAAGTAGGGCATAACAGCAGTTATTGATTTGGCGGAGCCGCCTTTGCAAGCAGCGATCATGATCAACAGCTCCATCACGGAGTCGTTGATATTTTTGCTACCACTCTGGACAATGAAGACATCCTCGTTGCGTATCGAAGTGTTGAGCTGTACTCTCGTCTCTCCGTTGGCAAAGTAGCCCAGGTCGCATTTGCCAGGCTGTGTCCCTAATCGTTCGCATATCGCAGCAGCAAGGTCGGGATGCGAGCGCCCAGCAAAAACCTTGACACCTCTCATGATGGCTGTTCACTGCTTTTGCAGAGTGCAAAGCCGGCTATTGCATCTCAGATATGATACAAAGACGAATTTGGTTATTCCTGTTAATCGTTGAGTTATTGAAGTACGTTCAATGCTGCAAATCTCTAGTGACGAATCAGGAACCGCATTGCGCCTCAGGCGCGAGACTCGGACTACCTGCCACATTATCGTGTCACGTGGAGCGCGTTTTTTTGAACGAACGCCACGCGCCGAGGAAGCGCGGAAAAAGTGAAGGCAGAAGCTTATCGGCTTATCATTGAGGTCATTGGCGGCGGTAGAGGTTTCTTTGCATACAACTCAGAAGAACGTTCTCGTTGGCGATGTCTGTTCAATTGTTCCCGCAATGGTTGCCAGCTATCCAGAAGTTCAAGGTGGAGGCTCTCTGATCCTTGCCTGGCAGATCAAGAACAAGAATGTATTAGTGGTAGGCGGTGGTGAGGTCAGCAGATTCCGTCGCGGCATGACAGCATCTTACTGACCACGCGTTACAGGTTGCTGCTGGTCGTGTACTTAACCTCCTCAATGCCGATGCGCGGGTAACTGTGGTATGCCCGAAGGAAGGATTGAATGATGAGGTGGCTTTCAGAATACAGCAAGGGCAGGTGCAACACTTGAATCGTGTGTTCTTGCCCATTGACCTTGAGCCGGAGAAGAACGTTGCCATGGTCCTTACTGCTATAGACGACCCAGATGCGTCAACCAGAATATGGAAATATTGCAAGAAGGTGAAAGTTCCAGCAAATATCGCAGATGTACCACCCGAATGCGACTTCTATTTTGGGAGTGTGCATCGCGACGGCCCTCTTCAGATCATGGTATCTACAAACGGCAATGGCCCGAGGTTAGCAGCAGCTATTCGCAGGCAAATCGGAGATATGCTTCCTGCAGGCACTGGTGACAGCATAAAAAAGGTTGGCCAGCTGAGGCGGAAGTTGCGCAGGATTGCACCTGGAAAAGGCACCGAGGACATTAGCAGTCGTATGACATGGATGAGCAAAGTATGTGATCAGTGGTCAACTGAGGAATTTAACGCTATGGACGATGAAGACATGGATGAGCTTGTCAGCTACTACACAGAAGGCACTGTGCCATCCTTCGAAAGTATACGTCTTGGTTCGAAGGATGAAGCTGTGGTATGGGAGTTTGATGGCTCCTTTGGCTGGATGTGAAGTGCACATCTTTGACACAATCAAAGCGCAAAGTGCTTGCCGGGTAAACCTCTGCCTTCTGTTCACGACGCTTACTGACAAATGTGCCTTCTTCAGTGAGACACATGCGCCGAAGAGGAAGGCTTACCACTTTGACATACCGTCCTTGCACGTCTCCCTGAAATCTGGTACAAACCGCTCTTGCCATCGAAAGTAGATTCGTCCAGTGGCGGCTGCCTCTACGAGGCCAGGCGTGGTTCTCTCAGAGTGGTCCTGCCTGGATTGCTCTTCATGGCTCGTTTCAAGCAGTATCTGCTTAGACCAATATTCATTCTTACAATTACACAAATTCAGCACTCGTTTCACCATGTCTGAACATCAGCAACATCGCACGCACGCCCGAGCTCGTTCAGAAAAAGGGCAATGCGGCTTGTCCTCCTCCGATACTGCAAATAGTGGACACTATCGCTCATTCTCCCTGAACGATCTAGATTGTACTCATCAGCCAAAAACCCCCTATGGAAAAAAGGATCACACACGATCATCATCTTCGGCGGAAGCATTACAAGCTGCGGCTTGTACCCCAACTTATCCACATATACCCTGCTGGCCACCAATAGCCGGTACTGTCACGCCTCCCGGTTTGCCCTCCTTTGGCACAGCAGAAGCCCAGCAACTACGCCTAGCACCACTCTCGCGTTTTGATCGACTTGGCCAGTCTCTTCAGCAATATTTTATGCCTGCTGCGGTAGAGCAAGGGGTGGGTACGAACCAAGGTGTCGAAGAACAAGTGGGGAGATCTGACGAGAATGACTCATTCCATAATTCCCGCCTCGAGGGTCCTGCCGATATGCTGCGACGGGTGATTGGTACGAACAGACCCATAACATTCTCGCCTGGCGTTCTGAAGCCACGGAGAACGGGGCTACCGAAGGGTGTGGTAAGAGCATCGCATCTTGGTCCCCTGGCTCTAGCAGAAGATGGGTCTCAAGTTAGGGGTCGCTTTGGAAACAGAGCAAGCGGCCATGGTGTTGGTAGCCGTGCCATCAACACACACCCTCTAGCTCATCTACGAGATGTAAATGTTGTTCGTGATACAATCGAGCAGTCTGAGAAAGCCGGTACGAGGGAACGGCAAATACAACATAGTCAATCAGCCTCAGGCCCACCTCCCCAATCTTTGCTAACTAGTGCAAATTCTCATGTTGACGCTATGGCCACACATACGCATAGTTCCAATCGACCAGCAGAGGCAAACACTGTGGTGCAGGGATCTACAATCATGGCTAGTATCGATGCCACTGCTGCTAGGCTAGCCCTGGAGAGCGAACGATGTGCTATGAAAGCTTTGCAGGCACAGATGACAGAGAATGCAAGGCTACGTGCTGCACTAGCAGAATTACAACCTCCTCCTCAACACCATACATCTGTACCCGCAGGCGACCACGAGATGCTTCCAGGCAGACCAGAAGGTCTCACGGTGGAGAACAATCCGTCGCAAGTGAATCCCACGACAACTCGACAGTTGCAGGATTAGAGAACCAGCGACCTATTTAGCCACGATCGATCCTCGGTCTCTGCGGCTAGCAGTCATGCGCAGACACGAATCAGGAACGAGCTAGTTGCTTCTTACTGTATGACTGAGCCTAGCCTCTATTCATCATATTCTTCCTCCTCGTCTTCTTCCTCTGACCCCGAACCAGCCGTCATTCCAACTTTCAGTCCATCATCCAGGTCACAACGGCAAACAGGCACGTGCGGTGCTGCTGCAACAGTAGAAAGTATGCTTGTGCAACAGGAGCGTGACCATGCTGAACGACTGGTGGAGCAGCAGCGACAGCAATCGACTAGACGTAGTCCTGAAATCTGCTAGGAATGGACTTGTGGCACATCCTGCTGCTGCTTGACGTTCGGTAAGTCCATGAGGGACGACCGGATAGACTTGCACAGCGATGCTGCTTGAAATAATATATGGTACGCGCAGACCAAGTGGTCGCTAGAGGAAGGAGGCGAATCTCCTTGTGTACTAAATATGTCAAAATGGATCTTCCGTCCGGTTGCGTTTTCTCCTTTCCATGTCCTCTGCTTGAAAGTCAGTACCCTTTCTCTTCTTCTCGTCTATGGTTTCAGCATGGTCCTCTTCTAAGTGGTTTGCATGTTGCTCCTCGAGCAGGTCCCTTCCTTTACGCCTCGCCTCCTCTGCTTCAAATCCTTGTTTGCCCTCCTCACCTGTGCAATAGCTGTTCTTTACAAAACTGTGACAACACTGATAACCCCACTGGCCATTCCTCCACCAGCTGCCAAAGACCGACGTATGATTACCAGGGAAAACATCCTCGGGGTATTTGCTTCTTGCTATAGGCTTGATGCGTGGCTTGTTGGTGTCAGGATCGAGCTCTTTGCCTGTCTCAGGGTCATATGTCGTGTATGCTGAATTTGATACTGCCAGAGGTCTTTTCAGTGCTGGTGCACTGGAAGTGCCATAGTTAGATTCTAGGTATTTCCTTTGCGCTTCCTTCTTGGCAGCAAGCTCTCCGGCGTGCTTCTTCAGAGCCAGTGCGGAGGCGGTGGGATTTGCTTCGAGATGGACCTGCATGTCTGCGTTTTGTATCTGTGCAGCTGTTGGGGTTGAGGCGTGAGGAGTTGATGACTGGTTCTGAGCATCCCAAGCATAGCGCTGGGCTTTTTCAAAGGCTGCTGCATCGGTGGCTGGGTCGTGCGCGGGTCGCACGAATCCTTCTGATGCTAGATCATCACCTGCTTTGTTGTTGTTCAATGCTAAGGCCGTGGTATCCATCGACCGGGTTTTCGGATCATATTTAGCTGAGTCGAGGTCGAGATTTAGGAGATATTTGGCCGTATCCTCACGCAATCTCAGCTGGCGAGTAGACGTAGGTTGATTTCGACCCATATCTGTTTCCTCAGCATAATGATCTCCATCAACTTCATCCTCCTTTCCATCAACCTCCCCATTTGCAGGCGTTACACTTTTCGCAGCCACCTTCCTCAGATTTTCCATATCTTCGTAGTCTTTGACCACAGAGTCGTACTCCCTTACATCATAGCCGTTCCATCGGTCCCGCTTCGCATCCCAACCTAGTTTCACGTCGTCCACGATCTCATCGGCCTGGATATCCCGTCCTGTCCACTTCGCGCCTGTCTTTCGTGGTCGCGACAGACAATCCTTGGTCTTGTGTGTCATGGCGCCACAATTTTCACAGGCACCTTTACGATACTTGGTGGCTGCTGGTCCCTTTTTGGCACCACGTTCGTACCATTTCGCCTTGTCGATTGTGTCTTTTTGCTCGGCCTTTGAGCGTTGATGTGTTAGGTAGTCATCGTCCTTGAGGAGATCCTCGGCGTAGAAGGGTTTTGCAGAGATGTACTGTGGGATGTACTCGTTGCGGCCATTGTTGGTGTTTTGAGGGGGTGGTGGAGGGTTTCGAGACATGATGGTGATGACTGATACCAGGCGTTACAAAAGAGAGATTCAAAGAGGTCCAGAACGCGTTTAGCAAACACTATTACCAATTCTTTAATGCAGCCAAGAAAGGGTCGTAAGACTCGTTACACGCCAGAAATCATGCTTGTTCAGTAATCAACAAGAGAGTCGCGCAATTATAGCCCGGTTGTTGCCTCCAATCCAAGTCGATCCAGCTTGAGTATTTTCGCAGATGAAACCGGTTCAAAGCCTTGTGAAAGTCACCACAGGCTTTCAACACAGACAGACAGGAAGATCTGTTTCCTGGAAAGTACGTAGGACTAATATGTTATGCTTGTGCAGACATGTGACCGTGATTTAGTGAAGGCTTTCTCGAATTCGAAGTGATATTGCGCTAGCTCTAAATCGGCCTAGTCTGCGCAAGCAGGCAGTCGCTCCTGACTTTGCGGACAAATCTCTGGCTACTTTCTTCCACGTCCTGAACAACCATTCATCGATTGGGACTCCAAGCTACAAAATGTCGTGGCGCAATCAGGGCATCACAGGATCCAACAACATCCCCCTTGGTAATCGCCGTCGGTTCGGGGGTGACGAAAGGGAGGACTCGCGAAATGGTAGTAGCTCGTTCGACTCGCATTATGCGAATGACTCGGGCAAGCGAGGCCGCAGTCCTGCCAGAGGTCAGTATCACCCGCTGAATTTACCAAACGTTGCTAACACTGATGAAGCTGAACCTGCTGCCGACGGTGTGAAGCGTCGTAAGAAGCGCAACCGATGGGGTGATGCTACCGACAACAAGGCCGCTGGACTCATGGGATTGCCAACCATGATCCAGGCCAACATGACCTCTGAACAGCTTGAAGCTTACACGTTGCATTTGCGAATCGAGGAGATCAGTCAAAAGTTGCGCATTAACGATGTTGTTCCCAGTGATGGTGACAGGTATGTCTTGCAGCTCCCCAAATTCAATCCTTTCAGATGCTTACTGTCTTAGGTCGCCATCGCCTCCTCCGCAGTACGACAATTTCGGTCGTCGTGTGAATACTCGAGAATATCGCTATCGCAAGAGACTTGAAGATGAACGACATAAACTCGTGGAGAAGGCGATGAAAGTGATTCCTAACTATCACCCACCTTCCGACTATCGCCGTCCTACTAAGACACAGGAGAAGGTCTATGTGCCTGTTAACGATTATCCAGAGATTAACTTCAGTATGCTTGCTAACCTCCTAACACTTCTCCCAGCACTATGTGGCTCTGCTGTCTCCGCTGTGTTGACCATTTCTCGTGGTTGATCCAGCGGCCTGTGCTAACCTCATTCCCCTGCTATTGCCCATGTCGTTTGAAGGACTCACATACTAACACTTAGCTCTTTCTCTAACAAGTTGGTCTACTGATTGGACCTCGTGGTAACACTCTCAAGAAAATGGAAACTGAATCGGGCGCCAAAATCGCCATTAGAGGAAAGGGATCCGTCAAAGAAGGAAAAGGCCGATCCGATGCAGCTCATACTAGCAATCAAGAGGAAGACCTCCATTGCCTCATTATGGCAGATACTGAAGAGAAGGTCAACAAGGCTAAACAGCTCGTCCACAATGTCATCGAGACTGCTGCCTCCATTCCCGAAGGTCAGAACGAGCTCAAGCGAAACCAGCTCCGAGAACTGGCTGCTCTCAACGGTACTCTTCGAGATGACGAGAATCAAGCCTGCCAGAATTGTAAGACCCTTCCATTCACGATTCGTCACATTCAGCTAATCCTCACTCTAGGTGGTCAAATTGGACACAGAAAGTACGACTGTCCAGAGCAGCGCAACTTTACTGCGAACATTATCTGCCGAGTCTGTGGGAACGCTGGTCACATGGCCAGAGATTGTCCCGACAGACAACGAGGATCCGACTCTCGAAACGCCCTGCCTGGACCACCCGGAGGTCCACAACGACGAATTGGCGATGCCGTCGATCAGGAGATGGAGAACTTCATGCAAGAGTTGTCTGGCAATCCTTCTGCTGGTGGGCCTGCAGGCTATCTTGAAAGTGGACAAGGAGGTTATGACCCGGCTGGCTACGGCGCTCCCAAGAATCCATGGGACAGACCTGCTCCTGGTGCTGGTGGTGCCGCTCCTTGGAAAGCTGGTGGACAAGAAAGAGGAGGCTACGACTCTGGTGCTTCAGCTGCTCCTTGGCAACAACAGCAGTCTCGTGGAAATGATTACAACAGCTATGCACCTCCTGGTGGAAGTGCTGCTCCATGGGGACAGCAAGCACCTCCACCTCCACCACCACAGGACTATGGTTACGGAGGCTATCAATCCAATGGCTACGGACAGCAAAACGGGTACGATCAGCCGCCTCCGCCACCACCAGCAGGTCTCTCGTCCTTCCTGCAACAGTATGGTCAAAACCCTCCACCACCTCCTAGCGACTCGAATGCTCCTCCTCCACCACCCTCTGGAGACTATCCACCCCCACCGCCACCAGCTTAGTCGATTTCGCATGGTCATGTTGTACTTGTGAGTTGACCACAGATACGACGGCGAAAAGAGGATTACTGTCAGGCATGGATTGACGCAGCAAGTTCAATGGGATGGAGAAATTGTGTAACAGAAGCCATACCATGATGCGTGTGTTGGAGTGGTATTCCTCTGTGTGAAGGGATTTTTCTACTAACTAACAGATGGCCATGCATTGGCTCGAGTTCAACTAAATTGTAATTCCGTCTGCCCACTGGTCATACAAGAGATTGTAAGCGTTGTTTTGGTTATTGTACGTGGTATAGTTCTCTCTAAATACGTAGCAACTTTGGTTTGCCTGGTATCGATGCTTTTGTGATTTTCATTAGTCCGCAGTTGCATCGCAAATGCCGTGTCCGGTCTCGCGTCTACAAATGCTTGAGCTGCCACGATCGCCTATTTTGACCTGCTATCTTCCATGCTACATCTCTTGCTTCCAAACATGCCCATGATCCTGCTTCTTTCTCCTTCCACTCTCCTCAAATAACATATGCCTACCCTTCTTCTGAACCACTCTTTTGCTCGAGGACCACGGCACACCCAGCTCTGCCTCTTTCGCCTTCGCCTTCATGAAATCTAGCTTCGCATGGTGCAATCTCGTTAGAAGTTTCCCACCAGAAGAGAAAGAAGACGTGCCATCGTCGTTGTTCCTCTCACTGGCAACATCATACGGCGGATTAGGTTGATTCGTTGTAGTGTTATACGTTGCATTCATCGGCAGAACTTCATAAGTCACTGTCGCGTTCCCATTGATATAAGTCGAGTCCACTGGGCCCTTCGTGAAATAGTCCGAGGTCAGTGGTGTTGTGCCCGTAGCGATATCATACCCTTGGATAGTTCTGTTGAGCATCTCGAGACTCACGAGGGGCTGGTAGAAGGGGACTTCGTGGCCTGCCTCGAAGATGCGGACGAAACTGAATTTTCCTGCGGTCTTGACTTGTCCGTGGGTGATGCCGTCTGTGGTGGTGATGTTGGCGAAGCCGGCGGAGCCGTTATTGTAGGTGCCGGTGTTGGTGAGGGTTTTGCTGAACGCTTCGCCGCCGAACCAGTTGCTGAGATGAGTTGTTAGTTGTTGGTAAATAGTGATAGAGGGTTGATGTCACTCACCAGTTGAAATCTGCGTCGCCAAAGTACATTACGAACGTGACGTTGTGATCGAGGATGTACTCCACCGCAGCGGTCACCCCAGTCTCTCTTGCGTCGTCACCCGTGCCGCTGAAGGCCGTGGATGTTATGCTTGAGCCTTGGGTGAAGTTCGTGAATGCACCAATGGCGCTTTGCACGTCCGCCCGGTTGAGGTAGTCGACATAGAACGAGTATGGAAAAGGATCGGGAGTCAGGTACCGGATGTCGTATTCATCGCGACCAAGGACATTATCGTATGGCAGCTCAACTTGATTGTAGCACCAGCTGTCTGCTGCGCTACAGACTTGGTTGCCTGTGCCGTCGCTAGCATTAGTTGCGTAAGGATAAGTATTGCAGTCCAAAAGTTGGTCGAGACAGTTGTGAGCACCATACATGTTGTTGAAGACGTAGGCGTCGATACTAGCATTGTAGTGTAGCCCGTATGTATTTCCTCCTTGATGTAGCTGAGTGCTATAGTTTGAGGTGAAATTATAGTAAGCTTGATATTGTAGAATTGGGTTGAACCAGCCATTGCCGACCAGGACCTGAGAGAAAGTTTATCAGTAGATGTTCGTACGCTAGATTTACTCGACCCACAGACTTACTGCTCTAAGATCAATGAAAGCCGTGCCAGTCGTGTTCAGCTCATTCTGCTCAAGGATGTACCTGCTGAAGATTGGCGCATAGTGTCCGCCATAGCTTTCTGTGGCAAAGAAGACTCCGTGCGAAGAGTACTGAGGAAAAGCTCCTGTAAATGCTTGAAGCGTAAGATAGAAATTTGGGGCTGCTGCCACTGTTGAGTTGGCTGTTAACGAGGTATTGTAAACATTGTATGTTCCGCACGTAGTGGTATCAGCATAGTCGGGACAAGTAGCATTAGGCAAGGCCACGATCTCGTTGGTGGAGCTGTCTTGGAATCCCGGAATAGGGATTGAATATGAAAAACCTGTAGTTGTTGGCTGATCAATGAAAACCATGTTCGAAACATTCGACCATGAATAAGGGTTGTCGTAGACATTGCCTTCGATATTCACCCCACAAGGGCCTAGCTCTTGGAATAGACCGATCATCGATGAACTACCAGGACCGCCATTGATCCAAATGGTCAATGGTGCTGTGGTAGGATCGACATTCCTGGCTTCGAAGAACCACCAAAAGATATGCTCATTTTCAGAAACATCAGCGAATCCAGAGAAGCTTCTAACGTTGGGATTCTGTTCACAAATGCCAGCTGGAACCTGCTTGTAGCGAACATTAATGCCGGCATATCCTCTTTTGGTCGTCAGATTTGAGGGTTGAGCAACGAATTGAGTGATCACTAGTTGAGTGAAGAGCAATAGTGCTGTGAACATGGCTGCTGCTGTTTTACAGAGGCCTACGACAGCATGCTCCTACTCTCAAGGAAATGCTTGACATCCTTATTATCTCAATTAGCCTTCGTACAACAGAGCTTGCAGACAGAGAGTGTGACAAGGTGACGTTGGATGTGACCCTCGCCATCAAATTGGTGGATACGAACACATAGACGTTACTGTGTTGGGAAGGTCGACAAGTATTCAAAACGCGTCAAGCTTTCTCGAAGCTAACTTTGAGATAAGAGAAGCTTTTGTACTTCACAAGATGCGACTCCTCACGCGATCGTGTCAAAAATCAAGACAACCCAGCTGTACAGCAAATGCAGTGGTGCAAGAACACCGTTAAATAGACGTACCAGGTGCACATAACCTTTCTGTTTCACCTCAAGATCGCGCAATATGTCAGGCTACGCGTGGAAACCAACGCTCATCGCGATTGAAGTGACGACTTGTATACCTGAGTCGTTGACCAAGCGTGCGCATTCACAAGCAGGCCCCTTTCAGAACATCAACCTCTGTGAATTTAGAGAACGATGATTGGTCACGGCAGGGCAGTGCCCGTTCTAATTTGCTTGCAGAAAACTAATCAACATCCCATTGATACAAATTTGATATGCTGACGATGCTTGAAGAGCATCAGACACGATTCTGATGCCTGTACAAGTCGATATAGTATGTGGTATAAGTACTGCACAACCGCATCGAACTGAGCTTTGCATTAATGAACACTTACCACATCGGGAACCCTGCATTATCTGTATAAGCTTCTTCCTCATGGCAGACGAACATCGTATACGCTCGCTCCCATCCCATCAAGCGGTCATGACGACGACAAGCTTTTGCTTCACGACGGCATTTGACTCACTGCTTGCATGGTCTGGTTGGTGGCAATGTCGACGGCGTTGTTCTGAGCGGACCACTTGTGCCTCTGCCTTCCCTCTAAAACCGCTTTTGCATATTCATACGTGACCGCAACGTCTTTATCCATAACATCGTCTCTTTCCCACCTGAACCGAGGGAACTGGTCAACCTTGCCCCACTCCTCCATAAACGTGTTGTCCATAGGCCGAAATTCCCATAGTAAATAACCAGCTGCCACAACATCCTCGACCTGCTCTTCAGGAACTTCTTCGAAGCGAATAGACTGTCTTCTCAGGTCAAGCTTCTTTTGTTTCTTCTTGTTTGATGTAGTTGATGACGAGTGAAGAGAAGTATCTGACTGGCTACCTTCGCTCTTACCATCGAGAGGTGTCTTGACATCAGTTTCGGCACGTCTTTTAGCTTGTTTGAAGAAGGACTCTATCGTTCTGTTTCTTAGTTTCGGCGTGCTGACTGACGATGGTGGTGAGGTGCCTCCCTGCAAGACTTCCTCTTTCATCACATCTTTCATTTCTGCATCTCGTTCCTTAGTCTCGGTGTTTCCAGCCCTGGCTTGTAACAATTGCAGTTTGTACCTATTGCCCCATCTCTTCTCTAAGGATGGCAAGAGTTTGGTCAAGGGACAATGCGCCAACATCGCCTCGGCGTCACTGCCCTGAGGTGGTGGATTGGCACCACAGACACCACATATCATAGCTCGTGATCCTGAGACACGATTGTTTTCGTTCGCGCAATGCGTCCATATCTGATTGTGAAGATCATATTTGATGTCGTCAGGCACAACGGCGTGTAGGAACATAGCTGCCTCGTTGACGTTGTTGCACTGCTGAGGAACCCAGCCTAGTGACCTGCTCATTCTTAAGACGTGAGTATCGACCACGAAGATTGGCCTTTTAAGGGCGAAGGCTAGTATACATGACGCACTCTTCAACCCTATGCCGCCTATATCTGTCAGTCGACCAATCAAGGCTTCATCTGAGTTGTCCTCCTGTTCGGTAAGATAGTCCATGGAGAGCATGCCGGGTACGAATTCGATGGAACCAGGAGGATTGCCGTCGTGTTCGAAACCCGAGATGCCCTTCTTTCTCCGATCGAGGTTCTTGTCATAGACGTCGTTTAGAAATTGGGAAATCCACTTCGCCCTATTTTCCTTGAGACCCCCTGATTTAAGAGCTGTCTCCAACTCTTCAGGAGGTATATGACGCACGTCATGCCAATTCGGTATCTTGCCGACATATTTCCTGCCATCGACGGCCGTGTAGGGAAATGCATTGCAGAGCCTCGAATGCACGTCGATTGCAATGGCATTATCAGTTGACTGTGCGAACATGGTTTGAATGATCACATCCACGGTGCACACCGATTTGGTGGCGTGTGCAGGCATGTCGACATAACGATCGAACTCGAATTTAGCGTGGTGGTCTGTAAGAAGCTCGTGTACATGTCGTACTTGCTCTTCTGTGGGACCACTCCAATTCAGGTGCTGCCACGCGTTATGCCCAAGTTTGAGTCGAGGATATCTTGGCCATGGCCAATAGTCGTTTGCCTTCTTGGGAGGGTTGATCTTGAACTTGCGTATCACGTTGTAAGAGAGTTGACTGTATAGGATTTTGAGTGTAATCTTGAGCTTTGGCGGTCTAGCGGCCACCTTCTTTAGGACTGTCTTTTTGACGACACGGCTTTGACTCTTTACCGCCTTGCTTGTGACGATGACTCTCTTCTTCGTAAGTCGTGGTTTGGCTTTACATGTGGACTTGCGGGTAGATTCTTCACGCAAACTTGCCTGAATTGCCTTCTCAAGCTCTTCCTCTTCAAGTCGAGTTTGTCGTCGTGTCGCCGGCATTTTTGTACGTTCTCAGAAACCCATAGACCTCAACCACTGCGTCGAGAAGTCGATACTGCTCTCGATCGAAAGCGAATTACTGTTCGCAGAGGCCGTAGGGATTGTTGAGATTGGTCTGTATTGCTAGAAGGCTCATTAGCAGATCGATACCAAAGCCCTAATTTGGTAGTGACAAGACATGGACAACCATCTAAGAGGTTGGGTAAACACTGTGAATGCTATTCTGATCAATCGTCGAGGAAGTTGGAGACTGAATGGCAAGGACATTCACGATATATTGTCGAGCGGGTATATATGTAAGTGATGTTCAGGTGAGAAGAATATGATTGTACGTTCAGCAATCATCGTGGTTGTTGCTGCTCATGGTAGATAAGAATGAGGATGTTCTCCTAGCCAAAATGCTTGTGTGTCCGCGTACAGAGGAGGCCAGGTGGATTGGGAAATATTCTTATACGGACGTACCGTTAGAACTGCTTCGTGCTTCCTTGAACTTGTTCACGACGATGTATCTCGAATGTGAAGAGCTTGTGAACATATCTGGATCTCGGAAGTTCTGTATGTTGGGTTCGTGGACATTGAATGAGGAAAACCTTTGTAACCTGATCTCGCCGCATGGAAGTTGCGTATCGAACCACGAATCGCACTTGCCCTATGAGCTTTTCGTGCTCTTCAACACTTATTGCCGAGACTGCCTTCATGTTACTCATCATACATCTCATGGTGCTGCTTCAATACAAGCTACCAGCCACACACTAGCAGTTTTATGCTTGTACTGATAGCTGTCAGGCATGTGGTGTAGCTGTGTTGACTCATGAGCAGAACTGAGTCGTTTCGTCGAATTTTAGAATGGAGTTTGGAGATTTATCCGATTCTCACCTGCGAATACGATGCAACAAACTCACAGAGATTTGCCATCTGACAAATAACGTGACCCATCGATACTGACCACTGTAGGAGCGCTGTAGCACAGTACAATGTGTTGCTACTGGGCTTTTACTGTATCTGTACGTGTGGCATATGAGTATTGCTTTGATATTGTCCACGGCCTTAAACCATTCATTTCTGAATCTTGGTGAACGTTTCGTGCCGACTGTCATAGGATCAATCCTGTATGTTTGCAATTGCAGCTGCTTTTACTCGATCTGAATAGCAGGAGACCTTCATCCGTGCTTCTGCTTCCATTTCTTCAACCGCTTTTTTATGTCACCTTCACTTTGTTGCATTGGATTGAGTTTTCGATCTCGGCTCATGGCTATTGTATCGTCACCATGGGCTTTGACTAGATTGGCCAGCCACTCCTCTTCTCTCGCGCTTTGTTGTCTTGGTCGTTTTCTCTTAGCCTCAAGTTCAGCCTCTTGCGCAGCCTGTGCCTCTAATTGAGCTATGATGTTGTCTTCGTTGCCATAATCCGCTCCATCTTGGCCATCATCTTCTTCGTCAGAGAGCTCGTTGAGAGGGTCATTCAATGGATTGCGGTAGGCCTCGTCCTGCTCAGGCTGTATCACTTTCGTGATTTTTCCTGTTTCGGGATCTCGCTCGACTCGGACTTCTTGCGGTTTAGCTGTCGCTTGCGAGTTGGTGGCTGCGATAGCAAGACTGTCATACTTGGCCTCTTCTGTAATATCGCGTCTTCGACCTTTAATTTTTACTGGTCCTATCGCGCCAGAGTTCAGTTTCGTGGAGAGTCCTAAGCGTTTGTAGTTCTGCTCGAGGGTCTGACTGCGATCCCTAGGTCATGTTAGGCATATCACATCGAAATCATGACATGAAGCGTACCAGTTCTTTGCGATGGTCTCATTGCCCAGGAAATTGACCTTCTTTTTTCCAGCTTTTGTTCTCCCAATGGTCCTTGGCCTCACTTTCGGCCTCGAAGATCTGTTCTTGCGCTTTTGCAATTCTCTACCCATATTTTCGACTTTGAGAATGTTTCCTGGGACGCGACAACTTTGGCAAGTAAACTCGACAGTAAAGGCGACGACCTCTTCCTTTGGACATTGGAGTTCCTTCGGAGGTTTTCGAGAAAACCCTTATCGATAAGATCGAGACTTTTGGCGAAAGCAGGGAAGCAGAACACTAGGAAACCTTCCCCACCAAGTTACGTGACAAAGTCATTACGATAAACATGTCGCGTGCTCGCACTTTATTCCTGTTGGTTGTTCTATGACAGAGCACAAGAGCTAAGATGGCATTCACAATCTCGCGTCGAGTGCTAACAGGCATTCTGTTCTTTACACTATTCACACTAGCTGTAGGGGATGTACTGGAACAGATCAAGGAAAGCCCCTCTCACACGTTCGACTCGATCAAGGACAAGATATCTATTAGCACAGAAGACCTACAGCATATCCTGCGTCTGGCAACACAGAAGCAAGCAGATTTTCTGAAAGATCGATCATGGACTACCAAAATATTCGGCATACTCTTCCCATCCTCCAGACCTGCCGTTAATGCCTTGCTAGCGACAGCCTATATCTCTGGGCCACCTAACTTCCTTCTAGCACTATGTCCACCCAACATTGACCCCAGCTCTTTGAGCATAATGGTGGCCTTTGCTGTGGGCGGTCTCCTTGGTGACACTTTCTTCCACCTGTTACCAGAAATCTTCCTCGGCGAAGATGATGATGGGTCCAAAGTCCGGCTCGTCCATCTAGAGCCAAATCGTAACACTCTTCTAGGTGTCTTCATATTCATCGGCCTAGCAACCTTCATGGCCATGGACAAAGCACTTCGTATAGCAACTGGAGGAGCACATAGTCACAGTCACACCGGCGAGCACAACATCCGGGAGCAAGCCCAAAAATTCGATGTCGGCGACTACCGCCTTCTAGACGATCTCTCCGAGCTAGCCAAGAAAGAGAGTAGAGAAGAACAACGTGAACGTCTCTCAAACAAACCCTACAACGATACAAGAGTCAACGGCAAGAAAACCCGAGACATCATCGCGCACATTGCATCGACTAATCAGGAGATCCGGAGGCGAAACACTGGCACGTCCGAAAACCAGCAGCAGTCCCAGCAAAAACCCAAAGAAGTAAGCATCTACGCAGACGAAGACGACAACAACAACAATGATACCGGCCTCGAAGCAACCCGAACCACCTCCCCAACCCAATCCAAATCATCCCCTCCCACAACCAAAGAAAAGAAAGACCTCAACCCCAGCGTCAAGCTCGCCGGCCTCCTAAACCTGGTCGCCGACTTCACCCACAACATCACCGACGGCCTCGCCCTCGCAACCTCCTTCTACTCCTCCCCCACTCTCGGCGCCACAACCACTATGGCCGTTTTCTTCCACGAAATCCCCCACGAAGTCGGCGACTTCGCGCTCCTGATTCAATCCGGCTTCTCGAAGCACAAAGCCATGGGCGCGCAGTTCCTGACTGCGGTCGGTGCTTTCTTGGGCACGATCATCGGGATACTAGTGCAGGAATATGGAAGTGGTGAGGACAAGCCTGTTGTGGGAGGGATGAGGGAGGGGTTATTTGGAACGAGTTTGCAATGGAGCGATATGCTGCTTCCTTTTACTGCTGGGACTTTTTTGTTCGTGGGAACTGTAGGTGTGATTCCGGAGTTGCTTGAGAATGAGAGGGGGAGTACTAGGGTGCAGGAGTTGAAGAGGACTTTGTCGCAGTTTGTGGCTATGGCTGTTGGAGCTTTGATTATGGTTGCTATTTCTTGGCATTGACGAGGATCAGAAGACCCTGACAAAAAGGAGCAGAAGTGGGTGACTTCATTGGCATTGCTGACTGGAGGATTGGGTTGTGTATGTATTTGTATAGAAATAGGTTTGGAAGCCCAGCAGTGATTCAGAAGACACGTCGTTTGGGCGCTTGCTCAAGCTCATCGTGGCAAGAAGGCGAGCGTAGACCATTCACATAGCCTAGTTCCCCACGTACAAATCGACGCATACCAGTAACATCTGCATCCTCAATCTATGGATCGTCGATGATTTCAACGTACTGCCCAAAGTTGTCGTAATTCAGAAATTCATGGTAGTCGATCTCTGCCCACTTTGCCTTCTGGTTCTCTACATATTGCCTTCGTTTGCTCTCATCTTCGGTCTCCTTGCCGTCCACGCCGTATTCAATTTGGTCAATGCTTGACTGAGCTAGTACCCATTTCTGACCTGTGTCAGTTTTTGCGTCGCTAGAGTTGACCAAAGTCGACGTTGAAGTCCGTGTTGGCACCTCGTGTTTCAGCGTAGTTTTCGTTGTCGCTTTGGGAGCGACGGCATCCATTGGTATGGAGTCCTGCTGATTATCAGACCAATTCAGATCAATGTCTTTCGTTTGGTCGTTACTTTGTGTTAGGAACAGCCCTCCCTCGAAGCCGAAGCTATGAGAACTACTGTTGAGACTGTCCTTGCGTGGTATGGTGTCGAGTTCGGATGTTGCAAAGGCATCCGGAAGCTTGGGTTCAGACCGCACTTTATGGGTAGTATTGCGCTTGTCCAATTGAACGACAAGCTCATCAATCGCTTGCCAGTCACACTCATCAAAGTCGGAACTTCCTGGGAGTACAGGTTTCACATCCCGAACAGCATCAAGCACGTCGGTGCTTGTTTGTGAGAGTTTATGAAAGTCATCTGTTGACTGCTGGGTTCTCTTACTGGTGATGATCTGCCCTGACTCTCGCTGTATCTTCGATACGCCTAGCAACCTATCAAGTGGTCCTTGTTTGTTCACTTGTTTACGTTTGCTCGACTCTTCTCTCTTGCTCTTGTCACCCACTCTTCTGGTTTCTTGTTCTTTCTCCTTTCTTTGCCGCTTCGTTGATGATTTCATTGGCTTCTTCACTCCTTCCTTGCAACATTTGTGTTTGCAATCCTTGGCCTCATCCGCACATGCATGCTGACACGTCCAATTGCCATTGGGCAGTTCCCGAGGCTCACGCCACTGGTCGTTTTCTCTAATGGACGGCGCTGAGCGCTTCTTGCTTCCAGCTGGCGTCTCTCTCTCCTCTTGGTCATCAAGAATCTCATCAATATCCAGGACATCTGTATTGAACCTAGGTTCGGATGCGATGGCGAGCAAATCAGAATCATTGAGTCCATCGCTTTCGAACTCGTCTAGTACTTGAGTTGGGTTCGTCAAGACGCCCGGCCCTTCGGACGATATGTCTATAGGTGGTTGCTCCAGGAATGATCGGTGTGAACACTCAACTTCAAACTCTGCAATCCGATGCGTGCCAGCCAGATCATCACACATAGTGTGACAACGTACTTTGGTGCCTTTCTGTTTGACCAGGACGGTAAGAAGTATTTCCTCCGTCTGCTCCAAGCGGGCTGGACTAAATCGGCGAAAGTCAACGAGTTCTCCGTGAGAGGTCTCACATATGAATAGAACGCTGTATGGTCTTCTATTGAACTTCATCGGTACCACCCGATTGAGGAAGCCAATCTGACACCTCAGCTTCACCTCTGTGCCCTTCGAAGGTTTGGACTTCTTCTCAATTGCCTGAGCGGAAATGTGCAGCATTGGAAACTCAGCGGCCTTTTGATGCAGCTCATTACCAAATGGTGCATGCTTACTCATTACAACCTCGATGCGACTCGGCTCAGTATTGAAGAGGGTGTCGATGCTTTTGATGTTTGCTGCTGCAAGTTTCCGCATTGACACGTCACCAATTCCGGGTATTTGCTTGAGCTGCATGGCAGTATCATCCCAGACGCCAGCTACAATACTTCGAGCAAGCTCAAGAGCACTTTTTACTCCAATCGAATCTCCTCTCTGTATGAGCATGTCGACCATACAACGGATGAGCCGCCTGACGTGAGCAATGACACCATTTGTATCCAACTGAAGCTGGCGTACTTGAGATCCAGTGAACTTGTTCTTGGGGTTCTTGCCAACAGGAGCAGAACCTAATCTTGCCTGGATGAGTATGGAAACTTTGTGCTCAGTAAGAGCAACATCCACTTTGACAGGATAGCGAATCTCGTTGGCCTGGTTGAGTTCCTTGTAGAAGGCCTTTTCATTGTGTTTCAACCTGAAGTCTTTGAGTTCAAATGCTTGGACGAGGGTGCTCAGAACTTGAGAGACTTTAGCTTTCACAGGTAGGTTCATGAAAGACTTCATGGTTTCAAACTTTGTGCAGTAGCGAGCCATTGCCTGGCCGTATTCTGTAGAGCGTAATCTGCCGTTGTCTTCGATGAATTGGGCATCTTTGAGAAGCGCCAAGTCTTTTTCGCAGCACTTGAGCAGCACGTTATCCAGGTCATTGACCTCGTTGTTCATGTCGACATCGTAATATTTCGGATTCTGTTTCAGGCGAATGTTGAGAAAGGTGCTCGAAAGCCACTGCTTAGCGGTCGATATACTCGTAATCGTCCCGATACCAATCTCAGCATTAAGGTGTTCAATGAGGTTCTGGTGGAGAGAGCTCTCGAGCACTTCCTCTCCAGCTACCATCTCCTCATACTTCTTGACTCGCTCATTCAAACACAAGACAACGGCACATGCCTCTGTCTCGTGTTGAGGACGACCGGCACGACCAAGCATTTGCATGACTTCTAGGCTGGAGTATTCCTGCAACCCTGCGTCAGAGTAGGCCTGAGTTCCTTTGAGAATGACAAGATAACAAGGTAGATTGATCCCAACAGCTAGAGTCGACGTGGAGCATATAATCATGATCTCTCCGTTCAAATATCCTCGCTCGACTGCATGCCGATCCTGTATGCTTAGAGAAGCATTATGAAAGGCAACGCCTGACGCAACCACTTTCTGGAGCTGTTCGTTTTCAACCTGAATGGCGTGTCTCGGTGCACTCCACGCACGTATTCCACTAGCTGTATGCTGCCAGCTGTCAACCAACCTATTTGCTGTTTTTATTGTTGACTCTTTCGTCGGACAGAATACCATGACAGGCTTCCTTTTGCCATAGCGTGCTACCACATCCGGTATTCTCTCTGTCATTGCTGCGTCAAATGCCCAGGGATTATATGGTCCCTCGTGGCCAAGGATGTGTTTCTTCAGTTGCACCGGACGAAAACTGTCGTCGAAGAGCTCTCTCTGTGCAGGCAAGTAGCGAGCATGTTCACCCCTTGTAAGCCAGGCTGCAATGTCTTCAGAGTTGGGTATAGTAGCACTGAGCGCCATGAACCTGATCTTGCTGCCAGCAGACTTCATACGTGACACTATGGCCTCCAATGTTGCGCCACGACTATCTCTGAGAATATGCACTTCGTCGATCAAGAATAGTCGAATCATGTCCATCAGTTTGGCATGATCTTTCCACTTTCTTGTAACGCTGTCCCACTTCTCGGGTGTAGTGATGATAATGCCTGCATTCGCGACACTACGAAGACTTGAAGCATCAGTGTCGCCAGTCAGCTCAGCGCACTGCACATCAAAGACACTGAACTTTGCTTGCCAGTCGCGATATCGCTCACTACACAAGGACTTGGTGGGTGCCTGGTACACGACTTTGACACTTCCACTCCTCATCTGCGGAAGAATTCTGAGAATGCCTAATTCCATAACAACAGTCTTTCCACTTCCTGTAGGGGCAGAAACGACCAGGTTATCGTCCGATTCATATGCACAGGTAAAACACTGTGACTGGACAGCATTGAAGATTGGGAAGCTGAAGACGGTCTTCTGCATGTCATGTAGGCGTGTGGTAGGTATCAGTCGAATGCCTCTAACGACAGGAGGCTCGTTCTCGGATCGTCTGATATTCAAATCTGCTCCACTGTTTTGATTATCTCGCTGCGCACGCTGCTGCTGAATTTCTGCAATTCGAGAGTGAAAAGAATTCCTTGCTAGTAGCGAAGACTGCGCTTGAGGCATTTTGTGCTTGTTACGGAGCACCTTTACACTTGGACTGGAGAACGGAATCGAGTCAGATGAGGTAGACAGGGGTCGTGGAGATATTTTGCAGGAATCTGTGAATGAAAATATCAGCAGCGGACACCCAAGCAGTGCGTAAGACCGTGCCCAAATCGTGTTTTACTGGCCGACCCTGAGTATAAAGTCGGCTGGGTTGTGCTTGAAGGACTTCCATGCTTCTGTTGTTGTCCCAGGGGTGACGTCCATATCGTCTCGTATTGCTACTTTCGGCGAGAAGCTGGCGATCTGACTCGTGAATTAGAAACAGTTTTGATATGCAATCAATTGTGCCCACCAAAATCGTCCAGTAGCACGCCCTCTTCCAATTGCGCGCTGAGTGCGTCCCGTCGATAGGGATCTTGGTATGGCATCGAGAAGTGCTGGGCGAAATGCCGGGAACGGTCTGACCTGTCCATGATGTAGAATACGGGTTCTTCTCAAGCTCGTGAGTTGGAATGTATGTTATCTGGCGTAATCCAAGAGGATTGCCACAGCTTCAGATGCGGTTGTGTCATTGCTATCTCTCAATAAACCAGGCCGAAGTTGTGGTTGGGTTAGATGAGCAGATGAATGAGGCAGGTACGCGTACAGTCGTGACTGCTTCAAAGAAGGAACATCAGCAACACTAGCGGTTTCATTACGTATCAATGAGCTGTTACAAGTCTTGAAGGATGAGTAATAATATTTGCATTTTGTTTCGTTACAATGATCACGGTAGTATGTGTCAGTAATGGGGTCTCGCAAAATACCCTAGGGATTCATTTTTCCTCTTCTTATGAGGTGCGGGTGATCCTGGTCGTGAAGTCGTAATCGTGGTATCGTCAAGGCTGAGAGGTGTCTTAGGTATAGATATTGAGTGGTCTCTCAGTTCTGCGGAATTGGTTAATATGTCCTTCTCTTGTTCCGAATTGATCTTGATTAGAGGTGGTCTTGAAGGTTGAGCACCCTGCAAGGTGTACATATATGTTGAGGTAAGGACGATGGCTGTGCCAACCACAAACTAGGTATTGGTCAAAGGTAAATTCCGTCGATTGTGACTTGTTCGAACTTACATTTGTAGTGGCCCGAAAATCGAAGAAGAAGACGCTGGCGAGAGCACTCAGCACCATGCTAATGCTGATGGCAAAGTTTTTTGAGATGTTGTCTGCATAGAACATGCAGAATGCAGCGACCACAGCTCCAAAGGTTTGGACAAGAATCGAGATGTACACAACCGAGTTGTAGCCAGCGAAGAATCCGTTCTTCGCAACCGTTTCTCCATCCAAAAAGATGACTCCAATGAAAAATGCTGGAAAAAGGGAGTATAGGGATAACTGCACGTTTCGAATCCACATAGAGGTTGGCCGAGGCGATTCTTTGATGACCTTTTCGAAATATACGCCTGCTAGCCCTGAACAGAGACAAACACACAAGACAGCCAGCAAGCCAATTGAAGCATCCATTCCTGGTCCATAGATGGCCATCTCGTCTTCCTCAATTCCCTCGTAGGTTGCGGATCTCTTCTTCAATTTCTGCACTACGTTACTTTTCCCAAAATGCTCGGCTATAGGGTTTAGTGCTCGAGGCACGTAGACCCGGGTGTGGTGACTCGAAGCGAGCCGGTGCTCTTCTTGTGGCATAGACACAATAGCGACCCCAACCATTAACAGGACTAGGGAGAGCCATTGTCTGCCATTGATTGATCTTTTTAGCATGTACACGCTCAAAATAGCTGTAACAATAATTTTGAACTGATAAGTGACATGAAAGGTAGCTGCATCCAGATTTGAAATCGCCACGTATTGAAGGCTGTTTGCGAGAGTGTATAATCCTGCCGGCATGGCTATTTTCCAACTATCTCCTGAGAAGATGGCATTACCAAGCACGCTGAAGAGAGAGGTGGCAGGCATCGACCGTGGTATCGTTTGCGACACCTCGTACAACGCTATTGTAAGACATACTGCGAGCCTTAACAGCTCGACAAGGAAAACTGCGGTTGAAGGAAGGTATCGATGGCCATCCGGTGTAGGCATAACTCGGGACCAGTGTAACAACTATGGTACTGTCAGCGCAACTTCCAGGTCGACATCTAGGTTGCCTACCAATATGAAAGCGGAGAACTGAAAGGTCAACTGCGCAGCTGTTGTTAGTTTTACCACGGCCTATACATTCTGAGCCTTGCTTACCACCACCAATGTAAGTATCTTTAAGGGTATCCCCCATATCGCTGGCGTTCCATCTATACGCCTTTCCATGGCGACCACTATGTCGGCCAGGAACTTTTGGTAAGGGGATGCGCGTTTGGAAGCAGGCTCAAAATTTTAGGACATGCGAGGCTATGAAGGCAGATGTGTGTTGGTTCGTTTCGTAAGGACAGGTCTCTTCCTTCCAAGAGCAACGGATAGCACGAATGTTTCAGTGAATAAGCTTGTGAATCTAAAGGAGTGTGTGATCACCAAAAGCATGAATTGAGTGTGTATGGATGTGGGCTTGTGATCAAAAAGCATGCAGATGTTGGACGGGCCGCAAGTAGATTATGACGGAGCCCGACTGGGCTGACGGCTCCGCATTGAACAAATCAAGGATGTGAATCCCCAAGTGACAAGCTGATGCTGAAACTTCAAATCGCGTTGACTGGTGCACCACGTATTGGCACCAGCACACTCGCTCCATCACAAGGCTCCGAAGTCTGGAAAACACGGCTCAGCTGCCTCTTCCTGTCGACTTGGCTCTTGCTCACGTCTCGGCATGCTTTGCCAGGCTAGACACGAAGTCTTATCTGCTGGCTGGCCGGCTGACCCGGAGCTTATCCCTCAATAGGATATCGATCTCAAACCAAGAACTTGAAAGAGTGAACAGAGTAAAGAGAAGCTTTGCAAGCTCAAAAGATTGAGCAATTAATATGTTTACACTACGGTGAACGTTACAAAGAAAATACAGCCAAAATGTTCATACGCGATCAAGCACGTTAAAATGGCAGATATCATGGAGTGTCCTGACCTGCAGAGCTTCTCATCCTTGTGTGCAAAATTTTAATGAGTCACTTGGATATTCGCCCTTGCCTCCCATCCGAGGAAGGGACTCTCTAGGAAGAGCTGTGAAGGTATCTCGTCTCTCAGCAGCTGCCGCTCCAGTGGGTCTAGTGTCATCACGTGTCTGTTTTGACCATTGCTTTTTGGTGACTGCTCTTGAGGTGAGGCTACATGAGACAAGGCAGAGTCTGTTGTCGTTTCGGATAGAAAGGTATCCCTCGTCCCTCGCCGTAGCTCTGCCTTCGCTCGGTGCTTTGGCGAGACCACTGACGAGCCTAATGACAATCTATCCAGGCTCGAGTACGGGAGCTGCAAATCTTCCGATCCTTCGCTGAGATATGTTACAACCGAGCTCCTGGCGCTTGGCTGCCTGGTGGATTCTGTCTGAATTGTCGTTACTGAGTTGCTTTTTGACTCGTCTCTTCGAGCCTTGCGCAATTCCGCTGGCGGCAGGTAAGACATCCTGCGAGCTGCAGTGACGGCCACCTGATCACTTGAAAATTCTGCACGTGCGTTGCTCGAGACCACCTCTTGTTCGCTTCGAGCATTGTTTGCGTCAAGCACTCTCAATGCTCCTGCGCGATGAGCTGCTGCTTGTGCTCTTTTCATGGCAATTCTCCTCAGTCTCATGGCTGCGATCAAGTTCTCTTCCTGTCGCGTAACAGTCATGAGTTTCGTACTTACAACACTCTCGTTATCCGAGACCACAGATTCTCTGCCCGATGCAGTCCGAGCGGCAGGAGCAGACCCTAGCCTTGGACTAGCTTCAGTGGGTGTTGACGGAAACGACGTGATGATATCCTTGTTTCGAGTCAATGTTTCCGTCGATTTGTCATCCAGGTAGGTCAAAAACCTGCTGGCGGCACGATTTGGAATCGCTGGCTTTGTGACTTGTCTTCTCGAACGCTCCTGGAGAATCTCATTGGCTTTCTTCGTATTAACCGCGAGTGCTTGGCCGTATTCTACGTCTGTACTTTCCCAACCAGTGCTCATCAACGACGCCCTGATCTCTTTCCTCGCAAGCTCTTGATGCTTTGCAGGCACGGCGGCGTTGTCGTCTTCCTCATCATCAGAAGAGCTTAAACTCAGCACACTCTGGACAGTGAGGTCAACTTTGGCAAAAAGGCTGGTCTCTGTTTTGTTGGTATTCTTCGTTAGGTTTGGCTTGTTGGTATTCCTACTGTCTTGCTGTACCTGCTCGCTGTTGGTGTAGGTGTCATGTGCCGCTTGCAGTTCAGCGGTGGCTTCTGGCACCACAGCAAGTCTCTTCGAAGAGCAGCGTGGTGGATGTTTGTCTGCACGACCAGCTACAGAAGCTGTCTTAACTTCTAAAGCGAGGTCACTGTACAATTGGGGTTCTGAGGAGTCGTCCTCATCTTCACTCGAGTCACTTTCAAGATTGTCGAACCAATTCTTAGTACCGACCTTAGGTCGTCTGACGTTAATTTTAGCTCTCGTGGGCTCCGTTAATGATGTCGCTTGTGAGGATGGCTGTTGCGCTTTCTGCGAACGTTTCTTGGACATCATAGACTTGGGAGTATCTAGCAGTGAGCCTCTTGTGGTCGAGATACGAGATATGGCCGGAGAGGGTGCTACGGAGTCGGCGGTGCCTGGAGTCACTGAAATAATGGAAAATCGAGAGGACGTCGTCACATCTGGCTGTACGGAGTAGGATAGTCTTTTGTCATTGTCGGGCCCCATTTTGCTCGAGGATGTTGTCAGAGAGCGTAGCTGTTTGTGATGCTCCACCTGCTGACTGGGCACACTAATGACTGGCGTTGCGTCTTTTCTTAGCCCAAAGTCACGACTTGAAGAATCAGACGTCTGCTGCGATACACTGAGCGGAGCACGGCTTTTGTCATAGTAGGACAAGTTTGGAGTTGAGGCTTTGAGCTGACTCAAGTCGGCCTTACAATTTTGTTTCAGTAACACGGGGGAATCCTCGCTACTGCCTTTGGACGCATCTCCCTCGCTCAAGTCCGTGACACTTCCAATTGAAACTGCTGCAGTGGTTGCGTCCGAGAAAGTGACAACTCGTGGCTTACTGGTGGATGTGGAACTCGCAACACTGTGGTTACGGCTGGCCACATATGCTGTGTCCAAGCCTAATATGTGTCGAGCTTTCTTGTCGTTACCATCATTTAGTTGTTGTGTGTGTGCATCGTCAAATGACCTAAAACATTTGCTGCTTCTGAAGGCTTTTTTCACGTCCGACCCAATTGTCATTCTCGAGTAAACTCGGCGTTGTGCAAAGTCTAGAAGAAGAGTGGCTTCCGTAGTCACTGGACTTGCGATCGTGCCAGACGCGATAATGATAACTTCAACGCTTGTGAGGCGGATCGTGTAGTATTCGTCGAACAATAAAGGCTGATACCAGTTGTTTGTGGTCGACACCAGCCACGCGATTTGGCTTACAGCGTACTGGAGGCAGTGATGCACTGTCGGATTGAGTAGATAACGCGACTGAGGAGTGTACGGACTATAGAGTGCGTATGATTCAGCTGGTCAGGTAAGATACCAACCTTCACATGCGCACACTGTCAACATCGAAGGGCAGGTCGCTCTGGGTCGAACACTTTGAGTGAACAGCAAGGTGGACGCTAACTGGCAAGGTGCTATCGAGTCGTGTGGGAGATGATGAGGTAGATGAGCTCCATTCAGCTCGAACTAAGGAGGATGGCTGCATCGTATAGAATCTGCGGCGTCTGGATAGTGCAAGGACTAGCAGCGCTAGGATCTTGGAATGATTCCGTAAACCTCCACTCGACGCTACCGTGCTGCCAGAAGTTGTTCTGCGCTGCGTGATCATAGGCCTGCTGCATTGACACCCGGTCTGATGCTGGATGCCTAAGATAGACCTTGCAACTTTGATCAAGAGTAGTATACAAGAGCAGTTGGTCGGACCATCAATGGCGTGCTTCATGAGATACTGTTGTGTTGGGTTGCAGCACTTCCTGGGTAGGCAAGACGATTGCGACATGGAACCCCACGACACTATTTAGAGTTAATCACTCGTTACTTTCGTGCCGTGCAGTGACCGATCGAACTCTGGCACGTACAAGTACGGAGTAGAGATGCCGCAAGAAGGACGCGAATAAGCACTTTGTGGGCGCACAAGCATGACGAGGTGGTATAGCGCCAAAACTTTCACAGAAGAAATTGCTTCTTCTTTCACAACGTGGTTTTGATCAGAGTGTCCTCCACACTGCCGTTTCATTCAGTCTGGGACTGCAGATGAGGGCGCAGCTGTGTACGACAGCAGACTAGCAGCCAGTACAATTGGCCATTTGCGGAAATCGCAGATGCTGATCGCTTCAGTATTAGCTTGCAGTACCTGTTCTAGCGTAGGAATTGGTGCATTGGATGCATTTAGGCTGTTTCGGCAATGTTCTTTGGGACGAATTCTCTCAAGAATAAACCCCTGATCGTGGTCACTTCCTTAGTGGAGATCTAAGCATGAGCGATCTCTGCCGAGCATGGAACCATGGTCGCTGGTCGTTTCGGCATGGTCCTGTTACAGATTTCCAGCTGCAACTATAAAATAAAATGGTTGCTTCGTACCAAAGGCCGATCAAGACTTTGCTGGGTGGTCTCTTTCCACAAGAATGGCAAATCTGGTTGAAGAAGAATGTCCGAATGCTTACCGAGACGGGTCGCCTGTTTCAACCAGGATCGGCTCAGGTCCTGTGCTATAAAAGGTACAGGGACAAGCGATGACGTCTTTCATGGAGCAGTACAACAAATCTGTAACCAGTCTACCATTTACAGTAGTTGTGTGAAACCATGGTTCGGTAAACGGAAACTAAATTCTTCTACCATTCTTCCTTACAATAGCCTATTTGACCTCTCACTAAACTGCGGCTATTGAGTGCATAGCAGGAAGGCATTACGTCAGGTGCGAACACGTCTAACTTCTCTTCACGGCGGCAACGACTATGGTAAGGCCTTGGCAGATTGAAGGCAATCGTCTCCTTAAGGTATATCTTCTATCAATATATTGCCAGTCCGTTGATCTGCCCTACGCAATCGACCATAGGGTTAGGAAAATAGGGGTTCCCGTTCGATCACCCGTACTCAAGCCTGGCGCCGACGAGTTAGTAGTTGGGTTGGAGACAACCAGCGAATCCTCGCTGTTGATTGTTTTTGTTTTGTTGTAACCCTCGCCCGCAGTCGACGGAGACGACACGGAGATCATATCGCTATGCTGCGTCGAATCACCACACGTGGCTCTTGAAAGAGACTGCTCACTAGTCCTGAAGTTGTAAACTGTGTACTTCTTCTAGGCATACCTAAAGATGTCAATGGTGTAGAACCCAATCAACGTGCTCCGCTAATAGACGATGAGGTGAGCAATCAAAACCGACACAGCAAAATTATGTATCTGTATCGAGCCGTACACTTGTGCACTTCAATTGTCGTGAGGTCTATGGGCGCTCGGGTAGTGTGACGAAGACGATCTTGACGGCAATTGTGCTTTTCTCTTTCTCCTCGAAGTTCTCGACAGCTCCTAGATGAGTTCGCGTATTCTTCGCATAAAATCGTGGACCAAGAGGGAGAGAATCTCCAGTCCTTCAAGGAGAACTTTGGCATCTATGGTTGAGTTAGATCATCTATGCTGATGTCTGGAGACACATCTGTGTCAAATTGACACAGCACAAAGAGTTTCGTTCCATGATCAGATCAGGCAAAGCCCCTCAATCGGCTATACGGATGTCGCTGCTGACGCTGACCTTGCTGAACACGCTCTTCGAGAGATACGATAGGCTCTCTGAATATATCGTTCATGTTGGTAAGGACGAGTATAGATAACTTTCATAACCCGCAGTCACGGCACGGTGAAAGCCTCTACCTTGCAAATCAGCTCACACACATCCAGCTACGTCTTCATCGGAGAGGCAGTCCGGGTACAACGCATGAGGGCCTCCACTAAAGCAATGGATGTTTCTGATGGGAAAGTGCCAGCATTGGATGGATAGCACCGCAGCATCGTTGACCTACAGACGTGGCCAGCAGGCTTTAGATTCATTGAAGGATTTCAAAACTTCCAACAGAACCGCTGAAGAATATCAAAACGACGTCTTGAATTGATCGTGCATATAGGTACGACAATTTTCGGCTGGCCACACTATATTACAACATCAGCGGCAGACAGACTGTGTAGCTCACCAATATACCGACACATGCGACAGTACATTGGGCTGTAACCAGCGACGAGATCCATTAGGTCGACAATGAGAACCGACCAGAGGGAAATATCTGTGTAGGTGCATTCGTGTGTGACTCGAGTGGTTGTAGTAATACACTATTAGTGGCAAGAAGAATCGACGTTGGCTTGGACCAGGCATTGCAGCCCAAGCATCATTGGCATCGCTGGGGGCGTTCTGCATCGGCCTTTCCCATTCAATGGCCACGCGTGCATACCAATCCAAATGTTCAAGTTGTCAAGAAAGTAATAGTTTTCAATAGCAGAAGACCTTAGCGATATCGTTCACACACAATGAATCTTTTGACGTGCACTATTTGTTTGTGATATGGAAACATCCAGGTGAAATCAAGTTGGTGCGGTCGCCTTTTGAAATCCACGCCCCGAATTTGCCGCCTTAGGAGCCTCGCCCTAACACATTGGCGCGGCCCCACTGACTGCCTCCAAAAAGACAGTGTCCAATGATTCAGGCAGGCTTGGAAGCACGTCTCAACTTGAACTCTCCTCTACGACAAACAATCATTTGTGACCAAACGCGAGCACAATAGCCGCAGCTCACTCACTTGCAAACAACATTGTCTGTCACGACCGCTGCGTACCTATCAAAGTGTTGCTCGTCCTCCCTTCCGCCCCTTCAATAACGAGCACATCCTTGACACGCCCGGCCTTGATAAGCGGAACAGTAAGGACTCGGCTAGATGATCGACCAAGTCTTTCGCGATATTGTGAGCTGTGTCCGTTCGAGTTCAATATAGGGTGGAACGATGGCCGAGCCTGCAGATACGTTGCTAGTTAGCTCACGAGATGGCGACACGAAGAAGCGAAAAGGTTTCAGCAAAGAGTTGAGAACGAAGAGAATGCGAGACGGAAATCCTATTCACAGTACTCTTGGTCAATTCTCGTTTGGTCCAACAACCCAGACCACTGTCGTGACAACGACCACGACAACCACCACGAAATTTCCCTCGCTGATTATGCCTAGCCCTGAACATGCCACTGACCTCGACCCGAAGTTGTATCCTCTGGCTGCGATACCTACGCCTGTCGCCCTACGAAATGTCGAATTCGCTCTGGGAGGGAAATCAGTGGTCTTCCGGGAGGCATCTGACACAATGGCAGAGCTTGAACAAATAGCCGAGGAGGAGAGCCTGCTGCAGAGAAACCATGGCTTGATTTCCAATCTGAGAGACACTACTCCCCTCCCACTCGTTGAGCAAGAGAAGAACGTCCTTCGAAATCCTTTAAGCCCGTCGGCGCAACTGCTTTCTGGCTTAGGAGAAAGACCCGCCTCGCCTGAATCAGCAGCGGAGATAGATTCACAGGCAGACGCCGCCGCCGCCGCCAGCTCACAGGAAAGACAGACACTAGTACGTCGAAACGGGAAACAAAGAGCAGCGCTACCGAACCCTAGATCTCATCCTCGTCTACGAGCTGTTCAGAGATCAACCCCAGTCACTCCAGAGACACGACCTGAACGCACTCTCAGACGACGACCCCGACCTGTTCCTGCTCAGACAGATATCGCTCAGAATGTGCTGCCTTCCCCAGTAATAGAGCAACACCCCTTTCCTAGTCGAGGCGACAGCCACTCGTTGGCAGCAAATCAGGAAGCAAGCGGACTCTCTCTCGGGCCACGAAATGTCTTGCCATCTAGCAGAACGATATCCAGGGCTTCATATGACAGTGTTGTGCCTACACCACCAATTGAGCCCGAGGACGTACCTCTGCAAGAACGCAGACTCAGTTCGAGGGCTTTATCCTCCATCCCAACACGACTTCACGTTTCAGAAAGTCCTTCTGTACAGGATGGCACACTACCTAGTCCCAGTTTGTCGCCTGTTACAGGGGGAACGAACACACAACCCAACGAATACTTCGCCGATGTGGATTCCAATTCGGACTTCAGTGGCGCATGGGGTCTTCGACGCTCTCAGTTCGAGGAAACTCCATCTCATGGTCGGTATGAATCCCCAGCCATGACTGACGCAGCACCCTCAGACGATGGACATTCAGACGTCAGAAGGGGTGCTACCCCTTCCTTACGCGATATTCCGTCCATGCTGAACTTCTTCGAAGCCCTTCCTGAAGCCATGAAAAGTTATGTCATGCATCAATTATTGCGAAGGTGCCCAAAGTCTACACTTCGTGTCGTTGCAGATGCAGTTAATCCTGCTCTCAAATATGATTTTTTGACACTCTTACCACCCGAGCTTGGCCAGAACATACTTCAATACCTTGATGTACAGTCTTTATGTCATGCTTCACAGGTTTCGAAAAAGTGGAGACAGATTATCAACAGTGATGAGAGGGCCTGGAAAGCTCTTTTGGATGCTGATGGCTATGTCCTTCCTGAAGGCGAACTTCAACAAGCCATTGGGCAAGGCTGGGGATGGCAGGATCCTTCTGGTCCCGAGGGTCGAGAGGTGGATATGAGCCGTCCATCCTCAATCAAAACTGACAGTGAATTCGGATCTCCTGGACCATCTACTACTCGAAGACCTGTTGCAACAACATCATTGCGTCGATCGAAGCGAAAAGCTGCCTCACAGCTGACCAACCGCAGTAAACTAGCTAAGCGCCAAGCCACGTCTAGAGAAGCATCTGTGGACATGGAATCTGGCGACTGGATGGCCCAGATGTCAACAGCGGAGGGCCCTTACAATGCCGCAAATGCCGCGATCCTTGCTGTGCCTAACCCACAACTTCCTCTGCCTGGCTTAAAAGGTTTACATCTATACAAATCACTATATCGTCGACACCATCTCATCCGACGTAATTGGATGTCGGATGAGACTGAACCTCATCATCTCGCCTTCCGGGCACATGGCAGCCATGTTGTGACTTGTTTGCAATTCGATACAGACAAAATCCTGACTGGCAGTGATGACAGCAACATCAACGTATACGATACCAAGACTGGCAAACTCAGGAAACTGCTCCAGGGTCATGAGGGCGGGGTGTGGGCTTTACAATACATGGGCAATACTCTTGTCTCCGGCTCGACAGATAGATCTGTGAGAGTATGGGATGTTGAAGCAGGTGTAGAAACACATGTCTTTCGAGGACATACTTCTACTGTCAGATGCCTGCAAATACTCATGCCCGCCAAAGTAGGTGAGACTATCCATGGCAAGGATATTATGATGCCAAAACAACCGCTCATCATTACTGGCTCACGAGATTCTACCTTGAGAGTTTGGAGGTTACCAAAGCCTACAGACAACAAGCACATACAGGCCGAAACAGATGCAGATGCAGAAGACAGTCCGTTCTTCGTACGTACACTTACTGGTCATCAACACTCTGTTAGAGCTATAGCGGCTCATGCGGACACCCTCGTAAGTGGCAGTTACGACTGCTCTGTCCGAGTGTGGAAAATATCGACAGGCGAAACGATACATCGACTTGTTGGCCACAACCAGAAAGTGTACAGCGTCGTCCTGGATCATACACGCAATCGGTGCATCAGCGGGTCAATGGACTATCTAGTCAAGATATGGTCTTTGGAGACCGGGTCTGCCTTATACACCTTGGAAGGCCATTCATCGCTCGTGGGTCTGCTCGATCTTAATGGTGATCGACTAGTCTCGGCGGCGGCGGACAGTACGCTGCGGATCTGGGATCCGGAGAACGGTCAATGCAAATCGACGTTGACCGCTCATACTGGTGCTATTACGTGCTTCCAACACGACTCACAGAAGGTGATCAGCGGGTCTGATCGAACACTCAAGCTTTGGGACATCAAGACTGGAGAGTGCAAGAAGGATTTACTGTCGGATCTAAGTGGTGTCTGGCAGGTCAAGTTCAACGATCGTAGATGCGTGGCTGCTGTGCAGAGAGGAAGCATGACGTTCATTGAGGTGTGTGAAATTGCCGATTTTCCTCTTCGTTATACTGACAAATTCGCAGGTCTTGGACTTTGGCGCAGCCAGAGACGGCATATCCCAAAGAGATCGAGGCACCCGGATCGTGGTCGACGAATTTGGTGACCCAGTCTCTGCGAAAGATGATGTTGCCGATGTCGTTAATGTCTAGGCATCCTTTAGCCAGGTGCCAAGATACGAACACCTCGAGGTCGAATTTCCTGATAATCACAACACCACTACGAGAACATCACCATTGCACATACCGGGAGATCCTCTCTGTGGGCTCAATATTCATCATGAAACTTTTACAAGAATAACGATCAGCAGATTCAAAAGCATAGCGTTGGAGTGTCAAGGGGATACTATCTGTGAAAGGATATGTTTTTGTTACGGCCAAACTCAATTACCACCTGCTGCAGGTCCAATATCTCAATTGGCGGTGTCGAAGAAAGGAGTAGCACAGCAAGTCTGAAACGACTATCGTGTGAAGAGTGGGTGTTACTGGATAACAACAACGTGTCTGGATTCAAGGTGTCAGACATCTGGAATTGTGTAATTGCGTCACTCATCGATAACACGGAAAGGAGCATTTTTGAACAGCATGAGCAAGTGGCGTATTTACCAAATGGTTTTTTGTTGTTGGGGGCTCTCATGATATAGCTAGTATTTAGCTTACGATTTGCATAGATAGGCGTGACAGCGAACTGAATCGTAATTTTGTTCTACAAAGTCGTGACCATTATTGTTCCAGCTATATTACACAGCAATAACTGACAGGGAAGAATCCAGACTGGTATAGCAGGATTCCACATGTCGTTGCTGCTTCAAGTTGAAGATTATCGCGATGGTGCCTGCGGTGCAGCTGAATCGTGTCTAGAAAGTTTGGTGGCGACTCCTCAAATAGATACTGTCTTCGTGTTGAAAGGGAAAGCCTCATTTGGCCCCTGCTCTCATGCGCTGTCTGCGAGTAGTGGATACACCTGTCGTGGACGACTCTTTCGGGCTTGGTCCCGCAGTAGGACGTCCAGATGAAGCGGGTATGGTCATTGCCATAAGTTCCTCGATACCGATGCCTATACTGGGTGCAGGTTTCGGCTGAACTGGTCGTTGCGGTGGTTCTTTGCTGCTGGCAACCGATGCAAGCTGCAACGGCGCCACCTCGACGTCCTCTCGTGGTGAGACTGTGACTGCGTTTTGCGGGCTATTGAGCATCTTCTGTTTAGGAGGAAGTCCTCCATTTTGTAGAATAGATTTGGCGTATTGTTCTAATCCCGCAGCACGAAGTACGGCCCATTGCACTTCTTGCACACCACGCATGTTACTGTCGTTGAGCTTTTTGTTGGACTTGCCGTCACCGAGACCACCGACTGCAAGGATATCATTGATGGTCAGGATCGTAGGTCCATGTCGTTTAGCTTTATCGCCAAATTTCGTTTCAAGTTGCATCTCGATCTCGTAGAGCGCTTCGCGCAAGTTGGTAGCCGACAGAGAGTCAGACTTGCAGGCGATGAGCTGATGAGATATTCCCTGAGTCTTCAAGAGCTCGAGTATCTGCAAATCGGATGTTTTCAGTCCATGCTTGGGGTTGACTAGCACAAAAGCTCGACGAAGCTGACGTCGACTCCGAAGGTATTTCATAATCTGCTCTCCCCACTCATGGTGACTGCCATGTCCCCAGCCAGGTGTATCAAGCACGGTCAATTTGGGCGCTCTGTCACCATTATTCACTTTTTTGATTCCTCTTTTATCCAGTTCGACTGCGCTCAAACTCCACGCATGCATAGTGCTTGTCTTGCCTGGCTTCGGTCCAACACGACAGAGCTGAGGGTTTTGGAGGACTGCATTCAGCAGGGAGGACTTGCCACTGTTACTGCGACCCAAGAAGACAACTTCGGGCGTTAGCAGACCGGAATTTGAACCAGAAGGATCTACTTGACGCCATTCTGTTGCAGTCCAAGCCTTGGTGGGAAGATGTGTCTCGAAGAACTTGCGTGCAGCTAGAGTCTCGTGCTCTGACGGCGGAACTGTGTCGATGTAGACTGATTGCACTGCATCCTTGCTTCGAAATGGGCTAGAGAGCGAAGGAGCGGCGTGGTATTGTCTGACAATGGGACAAATGCGAACTTGACAGCTAGCTGATGAGCCTCGGTACCACAGACATCTTGATCCAAGCATCAGACTTGGACGAGTGCTGTGGTGAATTGACAGAAGCGTTCGAATGTTGGTGTTGGTAAAGTCAATTCAATAAAATCACTTGCGACAGCCAAATTTCTGAGTCCCGAAATCTTTCCAGCTTGGGCAAGTGTTCGGGGATGTTAGCGTTGACCATGAGTAATATTCCCCACGTTTTCGATGGTTTCATCGTCGAATACAATCGTTCTGGCATTGTAATCAATAGACGAAGCCATTGAAAGATGATCAATGCCGTCCTGGTGTTCAACAATAATGGGCAGCCGCGACTGACCAAATTTTACACTCAGCTAGCAAGTCGCTCGATAGAGGTGGGCAAACATTGTCTAACGAGAGGCAGGATACAGCAACACAACAGACATTGCTACGCCAGATATTTGACTTGGTATCTGCAAGACCATCGTCGGCTTGCAACTTCCTGCCTTTGCCTCCTCTTCTCGCTCCTGCTGGTGTCAGTTCCTCGCCTGATGCGCCAACACAAATCACGTATCGACACTACGCTACACTGTACTTCATTTTGATCTCAACTTCTACAGAGTCACCGTTAGCCTTACTGGACTTCATCCAGGTCTTCGTTGAAGCGCTGGACAGACTATTTGAAAATGTTTGCGAGCTCGATCTAATCTTCGGCTTCGAGACGATGCATGCTGTTCTTGGTGAGATGATTGTCGGAGGAGTGGTTATAGAAACTTCCCTGGAGAAGATCGTGGCTGGTGTGAAGGAGTCTGAAGGACTAAAGGGCAAGCGACGGGCAGTCAATGCCTCTTCGTCCTCGAGTTTGGGTAAAGGTTCTGGTTTTGCTGGTCTAGGCTGGCCCACAGGAAGTGGTGGCTCCTGGAGATGATACTTGTCGTTTCTCGAAGGTTGAGGTTGCTGTCCTGAAACTCGCAGGTTCCGAAAACCTGCCAGCAACTATCGTACATCCTGTCCAGAGGCCTTCAGGGCGCGCATCGTTGCAACCGACGTTACAAGCACACTCGGATCTCACAGAGACCCTTCGATACAAATCCACAATAAGCGCCGGCATACTCGCATATGTAGGACATGATCGAGTAACCTCTTGGTGCCAAGTTTGAGCGGATGTTACCAATACGAGAAAGAGCTTCATTCGATGAGCTCTGCGTGCAACCATATGTCACAGTCTCATCGCACATCACATCCTGTGACATGCTCGTTTCCTCGAGTGACGGTCACGCTTATTCGAGGCAGAATTCGAGTAAGGAATTTAAGCCATAAGAGCCGAAGCTGTGCTGACAGAGAGCATTCCCAAACAGCATCGAACGAGGTACCACAAGCCTGGATTTTGCCAAGGGCGCTTATACCCTCCACGCTACCGCTCGCTTGGGTATCGTGCCTGAACCATAATGGACACCAATGGGTTCGCTAATTCGTAGCTTCGACAGCTCGACCCTTGCCTTTCTTCTCATTTGTCGCAGGAAGTGCTCCCACCGTCAGACCTTGCATTGCATTCACAACTGACTGCACCCAATCACCTTGACCGTCACTTCTCAACCTCCCTCCATCCCAAGCCCTCAAACATTATGGAATGGCTTCTTACTTTATCTATGTTGCGGCACACAGCAAAAGCGCTTGCTTCATCGTCAGGGGTACCTGTAGTTTCAATAGACGCAGGATAATCTATTGTGATTGAGACCTCATAAGATTGACCTTCCTTCCAACATGTTGACGATTGCCTCGTCGCTCTTCACGGTCTTTCTTCTTGTTGATTTCTCAAGTGCTGCTCCTACCGAGAAAAAGAGTATTTGGACTATCTCCATCTTCCGTGATCCAGCTCCTTCGCCCGAAGAAGGTCCTCCCGCCTCTGCCAACGCTCTACGTGACTCAAGCAAGCTAAAGTACGAGATCGTCGGCATCGTTTGCGCCTACCTCTTCTGGCTGACCCTCACTGCCATCGGCCTTGTCATAGTTGGAGCTAGGTACAGGAGAAGGCAACAGCAGTCTGACCGCACACTCAAGATGGAGTCAATCATGAAGCCAACTGGCAGAGTGACATTGAGAGAAATAGAGGCTGGACCGAAAAGTCCGCTTGGTCCTTTGAGTCCCAAGAGTCCCGGTAAAATGATGAGCATCAAGTCGTGGGCAAGGAGCCATAGGGGTCAGCCGTCTGAAGTCAGTCTCTCCACGCTGAATTCACGAATCGATGATAGAGTGGTGGAGGCCGATAGGGCCAGAAACATGGATGATATGGCCAAACTCTACGCCGCTGTCATGGTACACGATCAAGAGAGGAAATCCAACAGAGGACACAGCAGTTCCGACTCTTCCCCTGTCCTAGAAGACAATTTACCTCCAACTCCACGAACACCAAGGACCCCTCGATCTCCTAGGTCACCTCAATATCCACCTCAGATGGCACATCCAGCATATATCCCACCTGTACCAGAAGTCTACCCTCAAGAATACTACGAGCCAATGCCTCATCCGCCGATCGCAGAGTCGGATGAGTCCTCGTTGCTCGACAATCCCACCCAGAAGTCCAAAGCCATGTCGATAACATCAATGACATCTCGCATCGGCTCCTCTCACTCGAACAAGAAAGAAAGGTCTAGACCAAGTGCAATCACTGTCGGTGGTCGGGTGATTTCCAAGCCTCTTGGTTCTGCAGATCTAAGACAATCGGCTTGGAATGGTTCTCAAGCCTCCTTGCAGCCAAGTGTTTACAGCCCTGGCCCACCTCCACCAACACCTGGCCGAGCTCAGAAGGTCGAAGAGATCGAAATGCACGGTCGTGCTCAACCCACTGGCATTACAAGCGCCGACACGGTCAATACCGTTAACTCGAATGCAAAAGTTCTCCCTTTCCGGCAGTTTTACGGCGAGTCGATGAAGAGCGCGCCACCAACAAAAACGACCTTTGTGGACAGGAGGCAAAGTGTCATGAACGGACCGAAGACAGGCGTGCCAAAGACACCATATTCGCCATATTGCCCTTCTACCCCTATGACGCCAATCACACCAAGAAGGCTGCTGAACAAGCAAGAGATCAAGCAGAACAAGAAGCAGTATTCGCTAAAGGTGGTTGCTGAGAACGACATGGTAAAAGGTAACGAGGATATGTGGGGGACGTAGATGATGAGGTTGGCTGAGTTCGAGGTCGACATCACTTTCTTTTTCCTTTAGCAATATTCGGGGCAGGAATTCTGTACCACCATAGCTTGCGATGTGATACCCCTTTCTGTTGTCCTTGACCGTCCTTGTTCAGTAATGACTTCTCAGGTTGCGGCAGAGACGTGAATTTCACGCATTACCATGAGATGAACTGATTCCAACCACTTCAATCGATAAGCACTAGTCAATGTCGTTGTGCATTAGCGCGCTATGGCAGTGGGATAGTATCATGACCTTGTACTGCATGACTCGAAGGAACCATCATCACTGTCGCAGATGTCGTTTTCTCTAGTACGAGGGTGTGAGTACCGACAGTGTGCCACTACGTGAGCAGTCTTGCAACATGGCTAACTCGTACGGGTATTGCCCGATCTGCTCGGCACATGGCTTATAAATATCGAAGTTTGCGGAACTCAAAAATGAGCAGCTTAGTCACAACCGAAGAATGGCGAGGCTTACCGCTTCAAGTCACATCTATGATTCGAGTTAGCACAGTAGTCCTGTTTATCTAACATACATCAACCATTTGAATGAACGACTATCAATGCCTGTGGTCGTTGTTCAAATAAAACGAGGAAAAATCCGTGCCAGACGTGACCTACGCTTCTAACAGACGTCAAATCCATCAGCGCAATAAATCAGCATGCCTCTCTCGGTCTTGTCAGACTCGGATGTCCGAGAGATATTGCTAGGTCTGACATACCAGGATGTTGTTGATCTTGGACTCAGTCTCGGATCTGCCCTCCATGACTATTCAACTGGCGACACCAACGCGTCATGCTGTGCCAGTTTCCAGCCTACCAGGACGATCGTAAAGAGACACAATGCAACCTCTTTATTCATGCCGGCTACGAGTAGCACCGCGGTGGGCGTCAAGGTCGTGACCTTGGAGCAACCACAAGATAGATCAAGCAACGCCAGCATAGCTAGCAAGAAGTCATCAGTCAGCTCAGCATCGACTGGGATTGAGGCACTACAACTAACGCCAGCACAATCGACGTCAAGCTCAGATGCAACTTCAATTTCAGGCGAGTCTTTTCGACCTCCCTCCTCAGTTGCCAGCTCGCAGTCCACAACACCCAAAGGTATAATCACGATAATGGACTCTGTGGGCAACCCGCAAGGCATCCTCAATGCAGAAGAGCTCACGGCTTTCCGGACCGCACTGGGAGCCACATTCATGCTTCAGAGGAGGACCAATGTGCACACTATCACTATTTTTGGTGCAGGAAAGCAGGCTTACTGGCACATCCGGCTCGCACTGATTCTAAGGGCATCCGAAATACACCATGTCAATATTGTCAACCGAAGTTTTGACGGCGCGATTCGGCTGATGAAGCTGTTCCAACCAGGCCATGGTGGCGAAGAAGAATGGAAACATGTCAAATTCAGTATTGTCACGCCCGAGTTCGGTGAGTATGGTCGCTTGTTGAAGGATGAAGTGCGTAAAGCAGATGTTATATTCTGCTGCACACCATCAACAGAACCACTCTTTCCACACGAGTTCTTGACCAGTCATGAAGGACGTAGGAAGGGACGATACATATCAGCTATAGGCTCGTATGCGCCACACATGATCGAGTTACACCCAGAAATTATCAAGTCGGCAGTCAAAGCGGACCAAGGACACAGACATTACCACAAACATGCACGGCAAGAAGGAGTGATCATTGTCGATACTTTAGACGGTTGCTTGAAGGAGGCAGGAGAAATCATCCAAGCCAAGATCACACCTGAACAGCTGGTGGAAGTGGGCGAGTTGATCATGGTGAAGAGGTCAGTCCACAAAGAGATTGAAGCTGGCGGTGAAGGCGAAAGAGGATTACTGGACTGGTTGCAAAAAGGAAACGTGATATACAAAAGCGTTGGATTAGGGTTGATGGATCTTGTCGTCGGTGGTGAGCTGATAAGATTAGGCAAGGAGAGGTCCATTGGCACAGTTATCCAGGACTTCTAGCCATATTTTGATTGCAGTATGCGCTCTTCCGACATACTATCAACATGTTAGGGGAAAACCTGGCGACCATCAAATAGTCATTTGGCCGATATCTTGGTGGAGGTTGAAGCTGAAATGTTGAAAAAAGTGATCCAATCTCAACAGTGACGAAAGGAGAGGTAAAACTGGCCGAAGGCTGCGGCGGAGAATTGTCGAGGGCTCCTTCGGCACAACGCAAGCTTTCAGGAACGCGTTTTTTTTTTTGCAAGTTTGGTGGACCATTGACCAAAATACTTTTCCTAGCTTTGGTGGTACCGAATAACGACCACGATGACACCGACGATACGATGAGAGAGCCTCCAATACAGAAGCGTTTTCCCGCCTGGGAGAATTACCTCTTCTTCGAGTACATGAGCTCGCTATACCCTTCTATTCCACGGATCTATAGACAGTGGCAGTAGTAAGCGGCTTTTGATCTCACGCTAGGCTCGCTAACGATCCCACTCGCGTGCCAGTGCGGGGTGTCGTTCTGCTACCAGCTGGTGAGTATGCCCACACCTATGGCAGAAATGATATTACTGTACAGGGCTGACGCTCGGGATTGAAGGATATCTGTAGGCGAGCAATGTGGTTTGTGCTATAGAAAGGTGCATCCTGTCCACCTCATCATCCTACCACACAGCTGTGCACCTGGCCGAGGGCTGCTACATGCCGATTCTACCAGTACGTCATTCTGCAGCTTGAATCGTGCACAAGAAATAAACCGTCGCTGAGATCAAGAGCCCTGCTGTCTGGCGCATCATAATACGACCATTGTTTGAGATACTGCTTATTAGACCACTAATTTTTCCCGTAGAGACGTCCTGACCCAAGGCCTTATCACAAGGCAGCTACAACCACAAACATACTGTTGTGCCATGGTCGCGTCAAGCCCAAGATGCCAGCACAGACCGTCCACCTACCTAATGGGCAGACCTATACGGTGACTCCTATCTTCGGCGGATATACCTTCAAATCTCATGACCTCGACCTACACCACTCCGCGATGCCTCCTGGCTGGACGGTGAATATCATGACGGAGGATGAAGTCGAGGACGACGAGGAGCGCATCAGACACAGGAGCAAAATATACATTGGAACAGGAGAAGAGCCACCAGAGCCTACCCACCAAAAACACACCGTCTCACATCGCTTCACAAGACCGACCTTACGCAACGACAGTCTTTTCATCTCCTCGGTTTCAATTCCCTCAAGCAGCGATTTCAAGACCCCGACTTCTCCCACTCGACACATTGCCATGATGCTATGGGCTACATTGAGCTGGTATTTTCACAAAGATCCACCTTCGCCACAGCTGGACAATCCTTTTCTCTCCGAACTACCTCAAGCAGGCAGACCCAAGGGCGATTGGCGCATAAAGATTCGCAGAGAAGGCATTTTCAAATCTCGGAATACTCTACCGAAGCTGGAGCGCATGGGCTTGGTGACTTCTGAAGATTCTTCCGTTGGGACCGATACCGATCTACGCAGCCCAGATGGCTGGACCGATTGCTTTGTCTCGAGGCGTGCCTTCTGGCAAATTGACGCACGCCTCTTCCTGTTCACTCTTGCCCCTGTTCAGCACAGTCCTATGCCTGCACAGTCACCTTATCCGTCTCGTCCAGGATCACCTGAGCGAGGTCAAGTAGGGAGCAATAATCGAAGCAGTCCTCGTCCGCCTCTATCTTCAGATATGAGCTCAGCTGCTGCTCTCATAGACATTGCCCACACTCCAGGCGTCTCCTCACCTGGTGGGCCGTTTACATCCGGCTCTCATCTGCCCACGTATTATCCTGCTCCGCCCACACAATACACTTTCAGCAACTACATCCGGCATCCCATACGTCCGAAGCCTCCTAGGCAAAGCGAAACCTTTTACAACCGATATATTCCTTCCCTTGACAGCTGGCTCTCTTTTCGTGTACCTTGTCTCTCTTCGAAACCTGTCCCCTACCTCGGTCCAGGTGCTCCTCGCCTATCAGCATCCACAAATCCAGCCAATGCAGCTACCCAATCGAATTCCATTTCCAGCATCAGCATCGCAACGCTACCTACCCTAGCAAACTTCACCGAGCGACTCCCAGACACCGAGATCCTGAATAAGTGGATGAACGACCCTCGAGTCAACGCAAGTTGGGGCGAAGCTGGGCCATTATCACATACCATCCAGTTTCTCACCAACGCATTATCATCAAGACACTCCTTTCCAGTATTTGGCTGCTTCGACGGCAAACCGTTCGGCTATTTCGAAATCTACTGGGTCAAGGAGGATAAATTCGGCAGATTCCTGGGCGGAGAAGTCGGCAATTGGACTAGAGGTCTTCATTGCCTTGTTGGCGAGCAAGACTTCCGTGGTCGACATAGAGTAAAAGTATGGCTTAGTGCGCTTGTGCACTATTGCTGGTTGGCAGATATGAGAACTGACCAGATTATGCTTGAACCGAGGACGGACAATGAAAAGTAGGTCAAGATCCAGCGCGATCAGGGTTGAGAAGCATGCTAACGACTGTTCAGGTTTATTGACTATTTGCACGATGTGGGATTCTACAAAAAAGGTGAAGTCTCGTTTCCGCACAAGCAAAGTGCGGTGATGAAGATCGATCGAGACATTTGGGAGGCACCCTTCCTATGAAGAGACACCGTCTCGTTCTTGGACATAAACTTAGTACATGCTCCATTCACCCTGCCTAATCATCTTGATGGAGTTGGTTTGGCTAGAGTCTTGAGTTGAGACTCGACACAGTGTGCAGTAACATTTCTCTCACCTTATGAGTTCGCAACGTTCTTACGAAGGCAGGCACTGTGAACTCTGGCCTTGAGACCAACCGCCTGCCGCCTCGAACCATTGCTTTGAGTCTACATTTGCGGCATGTGGCGATAGTTCTACCGAAAGGATCTGCTATGCAACGGCACCAGGGTGTCAAGGTCGAACACTATCAGCAGCCGAGACGCAATCGACCGATTGAGTGACTTACTTTGAATCTTCCATAACGGTCACTATCATTGACCAATGATGAAGTTGCCACAACACAATATGAAACAGCGATAAGGAATTTCGATCACGCTTGCTCAACAGTGCACGAAATAAATCATGACTTGCTGATTCAACAGCTACGAAATTGGAAATTCTCCTGTCTAGTATACAAAAACGTATGTCGTTGATATGCCTATTTCCGGGTACGAGGCAGTGACCAAGCGATTCTCAGTCCGGCTTCGTGACATGTCCAGAATCACCTAGCGATCCTCCTGTGCACAATAGTGGACCCTTGCCTCCTATCCAGCTCTTGGCTCGACCAGGTTTGAGACGGAAAACTGGCATACCATCTACAGCATGGACTCTAAAGAAGATTGAGCTACGGGAAAGAAAAAGTCTTTGTGATTCTACTTTTGGTATAGCAAGCGTGTTGGCCTAAATTTCGACCTTTCAAGGCCTAGTTAAAAAAGGATGTAGCCGCAACATACCCAGCGAGACTTGGCTGAAGCACACGCAATAATCTAGTGCGTATTCTGGACGCGTACATCGTCGCTTGATGCCACCTTTGACTATCATTCACTCTTCCTCTTGCAGATCTTGCACAATCTCGCACCAGAACGCATCTCTACTCCTTACCCTTTTCGTCATCGTCATTCATGAACACCTCCTCGATCATCTTCACGTCTGAATATTCTCAAACTGAAACGTCGGCTTTCCCGGCTCAGCAGCATGCGCCTGCCCAGGCAGATCCTTAGCCTCAGGCGTAACCTTCACAACCTGCAACTCCTGACATCCAGTCTGCTTCTTGAGACCCTTGACCATCTGTTCCAGTGCCTTCACCTCATCAAACTGTATCTCCCTCTCAAACAACGCCGCCTTATCTCCGTTAAGGACCTTTTTCCTCAACTCCTGCACAAATGGCATGACTTTCTTCATGTCCTTGCCTGCTGCCTTGGCGACATTCTGGTTGATGGCCTTGTCGTCATTGATCGTGGCTTTTTCCAGCGCGTCTTTGAGAAGGTCGATGTACTTGTCCTGCCATTGTGGAAATTGAGCAGCGACGAAGATGGTGAGTTTTTTGGGTTGGCGGGGGTCGAAGGAGGCGGCTTTGCCTTTGGCCATCCGGCGACCTGCTAGGGCTTCGGCGGATGTGATGTTTGAGGAGGTGGCTTTGATGTATTCTCGCTGAGAGGTGAGGGCTTTGTCTGCTTCGCGAACAACTGGCCATAGTTGAGTCTGGATGCTGGCGGGTTTGTGAAGGATTTCGATCCACATGTATTCTGCCCAGTGAGGAGCTATAGTGCTGATGACGAGGGCTTGTAGTTCGATGTATTTGAGAATCAGCGCTCGAGACATGGAAACGCCAGCTGAGACGCAGGCTTCACGGTAGAAATCTCTTGCGGACTGGAAGTCGTAGAGACCAGCTTTGAGAGCCAATTTGTAGTTTGTGTCTGCGTAGTGGCCATATGCTTCGTGGACCAGGAGATGCATTTCGTCCTCGAACAGATCATCCCATAGGACACGGTCGTCTGACTCGGATCGAAGCGACTTGTCAGCGACTGTTTGTTCTACCCATTCTTTGAGCGTGTACATTCGCATGATCGCCGCATTGGCTCCTTTCTCCTCGAAATTGGCGTCCTCCATGCCATCACCTGCATCTGCGAGTGCTATTCTTGTGGCATCTGCGCCAAACTTGGATACTGCTTGTGAGATAGTGAGGAAATTACCTGTTGACTTGGACATCTTGTCACCATTGAGGAGAAGATGACCATTGCTGCGAACAGAGCGAGGCCAGTACTCTCGAGGGAAGAGGGCAAGATGAATGTATAGGAAGAAGGTCAGGTGATTGGGTATCAGATCTTTGCCGGAGGATCGTAGGTCAAGAGGATACCAGTACTCGAAGGATTTGCGCAGAGTCTTGAGATCTTGTTCGGAGATGCCAGATTTCTTCGAGGTCGCTTCTACGTCATTCGTACGTGTATAAACGTAGTCCCATACCTCGTCGATCATCTGATCAGCTTTGATATTGAGCTTGCCAGACGTCTTGCCGAATCTGTCACCATGCAAAAAGTGTGAGATAGTGTAGTACGACATGTAAACTGTGCTGTCGCTAAGAGACTCGACCAGAAACTGTTGATCCCATGGCAGTTTCGAACCAAGTCCGTATGTTCTTGCGCATGCCCACTGATTAAGCCATTCCAGATTCGCCACAAATTGGTTTTCTGTTTCTTGTGTATATGTGTTGAGTCCGTCCTTGGCTGTAACATATTCAAGAACAGTCTTTTGCCACTCCTTATCGTTCTCGCCATAGTTGAGGAACCACTGTGGGATGTAAGCGACAACGCATTCATCAGCACTTCGACTGATGACTTCACCAGAAGGATCAGCGAAGGGAAAGCCATCTCCAGAATTGAGAATCTGCTGTCTAACCTTTTCCTTAGCATCTTGCACCTTCTCTCCAGCAAAATCGCCAACCAGCATTGTTCCAGTATAGAACCCTTCTTTGTAGGCTATATCTTTGGCCTCGGCAAGCTGCTTGTCGTCCTTGGGAGAATTGATCTTCATCTTTTCAACCAAAGTCTTGGCAATAAGATTTCCATAGTTGGGTGTCTCGATCAAGGGTATTATCTCAAGCTCTGCCCATTCTTTCTGTATCTTGTAGTATTCAGCCTTCTTGGCCAGTTCTCGAATGGTGGCATAGTCATCTGGCGAATCAGAAGGTACACATGTAACAACACCAGTACCTTTAGTGGCCAAGACGGTATCCATAGGTAGGATACGAACACCTTCTTTGTACATAGAAAGAGGAGCATTGACGAGAGTGCCAACGAAAGCAGAGCCGGGTAATTCAGCTATGGTCTCAAGTTGGTTCTGGTCTTTGGGAAAGTTGTCAAGGTCGAAGAACTTGCCTTGAAAGCACATGTTCCAAGCAGCTCGTTTTGTGCATACGAAGTATTCTTTATCTGAAACTTTGAAGATACCGTACTTGATAGCAGGACCGACGAAGCAGCAGGTCTGGCCGTACATAGTCTCTGGCCGTAGTGTAGCTGGGACGAAGTAGACGCTAGCATCTTGTGGTATCTTGCCTTCAATAGCTTTTGCAGCTTCTGGAGACCATTCTTTCACCTTCAATTTCAGCGCAGTATATTCCGTGGGTCCAACGCCTTCACCCTTTGCTCTGTCATGGTCCATACATGGCTGTCCATCTTTCGGGCTGTATATGGTGTATCGTTTGCCATAGAGAATCTTGTTCAACTCTTTGAGTCTATTCATCTGCCATCGGACAAAGGCATCGTAATAAGGATTTGCGTCCGTGGTCACAAACTGCCTCCGCCAGTCCATGCGAGCACCAAGGTTTATGAGATCGGACTTCCAGATAGGTGGGAAATACTCGAGCCAGTAGTATGGGTCTGCGAATTTGTGAATCTCCTCCTTCGGTATTCCCATTGCTAGCATAGACTGAAATTGGTAGTTTGTTTTGACATTCTTAGCAGTAGCTTTGCTCTTACTGCTGGAGAACTTTGTAATGTCTTCCTTCTTATTAATACCCTGGACTGGTGCAGGCACGGGTGTACCATTCGTTTGCTCGTCTTGTGCCTGGTAATCTTCGAAACGTTCAAAGTTCTGGCCAAACTTCTCAATGTCTCCAATCAGCTTGTCGGCGCATGCTTTAATTGGCATACCTGTACAGTGGAAACCAAGAGGGAAGAGTGTGCGCTTTCCAGTCAGTCGTTGAAAGCCTATAGTGAACTCAACTTTCGACACAGTGAACAAGTGACCAGCATGACCAGAGCCATTCATGTAAGGGTACGCGAAAGTACCAAAGTACTTCGGGTACTTTTCTCGCAATTCCGCAGGAGGCAGATCATCTTCAGGGAAGTCGGACTCGAAAACATGGTCATCCTGCCATTTTTGCTGGTATTTCTTCTCAATGGCTATGAGAACGTCGCGATTATGGGTGTTCTCGAGCTGCAACGCCATCTTCAGCGCTTGTGCTTGAGGCACACAATATCATGAACAATTTCGAGGATTCACGACTTACGCGTGGGTAAACATCGGCTCGTCGCGTGTTGAATGTGGCTGCTGTCCCGCACTGCTTGTTGTTGCCTCAGGCTTTTACCGAGCCGTCTGCGGCGAATGGCCACGGTTTTGAAGTAGACTCAACCCGAAGAACTCATCAGGTGTATGCCAACTTAGCCTCAAGTTCCTGGTAGATGGCGGCATGAGCTCAGCATGGCTTACTCGAAGCCGTGTACATGCCATCAGGCCTGCTTGGGGCGGCCGGAACTTGTTCGCTTCTGTATATCGAGTTGAGGTCACCACAACATATACCTCCATACCTATATCTACCTATCGAAGAGCATACTCACAGAGTGTAAGCTCGCGGGATGGCCCTACACCACGAGTTGCCATCGTTGGATCCGGTCCGGCAGGCTTCTACACTGCCCGCAAACTGATGCGAGAAATTCACGGGACCAAGATCGATATGTACGAGCAATTACCTGTTCCTTTTGGTCTTGTGAGATTCGGTGTAGCACCAGATCATCCGGAAGTAAAAAAGTGCCAGGAAGAGTTCGAGCAGGTCGCGTCTTCACCCGAGTTTAACTTCGTCGGCAATATCCAGCTAGGCCATGATCTTCCTCTACCTATACTTGCAAAACATTATGATGCGGTTGTGTTTGCCTACGGCGCTTCTAAGGACAAAGAGCTAGGACTGGAAGGAGAGGATAAGCCAAATGTCTACTCAGCACGATCCTTCGTCGGCTGGTACAATGGCCTTCCAGAATATCGCAATCTCGATCCTGATCTGAGCACAGGTGAGGTTGCAACTGTAATTGGTCAAGGCAACGTTGCTCTAGACGTCGCACGTATTCTGTTGAGCAAATTGGATAAACTCAAGAAGACGGACTTGACAGAGTACGCTGTTGATACCCTTGAGAAGAGCAAAATTAAGCACGTCCATGTCGTGGGCAGAAGAGGTCCAATGCAAGCAGCTTTCACAATCAAAGAAGTTAGGGAGCTGCTACAGCTTGAAGGCGTCAACTTTCAGTCGATCCCGCCTGAGCTCTTTCCACCAGATTTGAAAAAGCTTGAACGCCCCAAACGTCGTCTGATGGAGCTGCTGCAGAAGGGCAAGCCCAATGACCCCAACGCTACCAGATCCTGGTCGTTGCAATTCCTATTGTCGCCAAACGCTTTGATCAGAGACAAGAATAACCCCGATGTTCTCAAAGGTGTAAGCTATTCTGAAAACGTGCTTGAAGATATATCCGATCCAGCCTCAAGAGTTAGTGCGAAAGGCAAGGACAAAAACGTGACCCTCGAAACATCACTCCTCTTCCGGTCCATTGGCTACCGCGCTGAAGCAATCCCTGGCATGGAGCTAGTAGGTGCAAACTTCAACACGAGAAGCGGCATTTTACATCACGATGGTGTTGGACGCATTCTACCTATTGACGTACCTGAGCATAAAAACGAGGCCCCAACCACAAACACGAATATTACCCAGCAACCGCAAGCAGTAGCGCCCGCGAAAGCACATCTCTACTGCGCTGGTTGGGTGAAACGAGGTCCTACTGGCGTAATAGCCAGCACCATGAGCGATGCCTTTCAGACCGCTGAAGCCATTGTTCAGGACTGGCGAAATGCAATTACGAAGAGCGACGACGTTTCTACCGAAGCCGGACTTGGTATGCGTGGCTGGCCAGCGGTCAAGGCCGAAGCTGAGAGTCAAGGGTATGATCTTACTAAAGTCGTCAATTGGGACGGTTGGCGTCGCATCGATGCTGTTGAGAAAGAGACAGGGAAAGGAAGAGGTAAGCCTCGAGAGAAGTTTGGCACGGTGTCCGAGATGGCGAATGTTGCTAGTGTTCCAATTTAAAGTACTCTATCTGGAGTACACTGATAATAGGACTTGCATCTTGTTCATCAGGTGCTGAGTCGTGTCACGCAATGTATTGATGTTGTAGTCTTTATATACTTCTCCTCCTGAACACAGGCATATCCGCCATTGTTAGCTCCAACGCCACACTTCTGCCGCCCTTATAATCACCCGTAGTATTCACACCATCCTCGATCTTGCTGGTATCTAGCAACGACCACTTCGTCCCACCAGGCAAGTATACCTTCCTCGTTTTTGCACCTGCCTCCATAACAGGAGCTACCAAATACTCAGCTCCAAACATACATTGATCTTCAACCTCCCAACATATCTTGTCTGCCGAAAATTCCAAAAACAAACCGGTGTACCCTTCTCACTACCTTCCTGCATCAGACCCCTAATATACGGTCTCAACACCTCCCTCAGCTTCATATACTTGACCAAAATCGGATAGTTATCGCCCCCAAAGCTCCACGGCTCATTATCCGCTCCACTCCTAAAATCACTACTTCCCCCCTCACCGAGCTTCGATTGTTTAGGTTCTCGATCGCCATGTAACCTCATCACTGGACAGAAGCACCCCCACTGGAACCAGCGGACGAGCAGTTCTCGGAAGAAAGGGTCTTCAGTCACACCACTGTGGAAGCCTCCGATGTCTGTAGCCAACTAGGGAATCCCACTCATGCCCATGTTGAGGCCTGCTGCGAGCTGGGAGCGAAAAATCGACCAGGACGACGCGATGTCGCCGGACCAGACGAGAGTGCCGAATTTTTGGCTTCCTGCCCAGGCACAGCGGATCAGGTTTACGATCTCGCCGGATTTCTGGCCTGCTTTCTGCTGGCCTTCCCAGAAGGCTTGGGCGTATTTTAGAGGATGGATGTTTCCGATGGCAAGGTTGGGGCCGAGGTGGTAGCGGTATTGTGAGAAGTCGTACTTTGAGTATTCGGGTTCTGCCTCGTCTAGTCAGAAAGTACGGGCACCGAGGTCCCAGTAATTCTTCTTGACTATATCCCAGACGTAATCGCTTGTGGATGGGTTGGTAAAGTCTGCGTAGACTGTATTGCCCATGACATCCATTGCGATTCTGATACCACGATCGACCGTAGTCAGCATACCGAGTTCTGTCATTTTGGCGTAGTTCTCTGAACGTGGATCGACTGTTGGCCATATGCTCACGAGCAATTTGACGTTCATGCTGTCTAGCTCCTCTATCATCTTTTTGGGGTCAGGGAAGAAATTCCTGTCGAACCTGCAATCGCCTTGTGTTGGCCAGTGAAAAGTATCGACAAAAATCACAGCTAGCGACAGCTTTCTCCTCTGGAATTCACGTGCGACTGTCAAAATTTCGTCTTGTGTCCTGTACCTCAATTTGCACTGCCAAAACCCTAAAGCATAGTCCGGCATCATAGGACTGTGGCCTGTGGCGTCCGCATACAGCTTCAAAATCTCTTTTGCAAAATTCTCGCATGATGAATTGGGCGGACATACAAGCCAAACATCAAGATTTTCCGCAGCTTGTGCCTCGAAAGTCGTGCCGTTCCATGCGAAGGAGACTCGACCGATCGACGGATTGTTTCAAAGAATGCCATAGCCGAGACTCGACACGAAGAACGGGACACTGGCCTGAGAGTTCCGCTGTGCTAGCTCGAGCTCGCTACCTTTCAGGTTCAGGATAGGTTGTTGATACTGTCCTCCGCCGTAGATCTTCTCTTCCGGATCGAGGCTTTCGAGGCGGTAGCTCAGGTTATAGTAGTTTGACGCTGTGATGGGTGTGAAGTCTCGAGCTGGGATCTCAAGTGCGGATGCTGAGGGTGCCATTGGGTCTATTCGTGTCCGATGCTTTTCGATTAGGATAGGTCGGCCCTCGGCATTATGAACGCTGAGGTAGCCGAGAGGAGACAAGGCGGCTGTCAGGTTGCCGTGAGTGAGCGTTGCTGGCGGACATAGTGGTAGGGGCTCGAGGTTGACTTGCCCAGGAGGTGGAAGTGTATGTTGATCATCCAGCTTCGTACAATTGATTACGGGTGAAGTGTCGACAGCGACCTCTTCGGTGAAGGCCCATGGTTTGGATTCAGATGGAGAAAGTAGAGGATTGACAGAGGCGTGAATTCGAAGTGCGTGTGGGCCATGAGGTTCTACAAAAAGGGTGTGACCATCGGCAGTGAAGGTCAAAGATCTGTCGGTTGATATAAGCATCTTCGATCCTAGATGCCGCTCAAGCTGGTGAGTCGTCTATCAGTAGTCAAGTGTACTGTGCTTAAGCTGAAATGAGCGACCTTGAACTTGCTGAGATTGCTGTATGATTTGAGTACAGCTGCTGATGGAGCATAACTGTATTGTCTAGCTCCTGCCCGCTTTCAATGAGGACTGGCAGCCTTCACGTAGAAGACTTTCACGAACCCAGTCGGGAGACACTGCACAATAATCGAGTCGGCTTACCTGTTGAGATTGATATAGCTGTCTAGGAGCAGAGTGTCTTCATGCTGCTCGTAAGTCTTCGCATGCGCATCATAAAGCTATTGTCCATACTATAGCCGTGACGCGCGTACTTAGTCTTGTACTTGCGAATACTTCCATACAGGCTACACTCCGTTCTTGGTCGATCACATCTGGCAACGTAGTCATGCCGATCTTGGAGGGACTTGGAAAAATCACTTAGCGAAATACGTGAAAGAGCGGAAGGGGTGAATGGACCTGGCGAGTCTTGTTGGAGTCTTTGGCCCTCCAGCGTGCTCTCCACTCTTTTGCGAATAGAGGTTTCTAAGAGAGGCTCGAAATGTAAAGCTCTGCTGGATTGTTGATATCAAGGAATAAATCCAGGAGCATAGCCATCTACGTAGAACTCAGGTCCTAAGACGGCGTAACTCGTGATAGGCGGGTGCGTATTCGTTACTGCTTTTGCAGGTCGCCAAGCAGACACGCTAGTCTTTCGCTCTCGCCTCGTGCGTCTCAAGTATGATAGACTTAGTGGTAGAGTAAGAGAACAATGCGTCTTCATTGAAACGCACCAGCCATTCCGCCAAATGCTAGTATCGAAGCCAGATAGATATACAGAACAAGGATAATGACGCAATTATTCGAGTACAACTTGCTCGTCTTGCATGCTCGTCAGCTCGTCCAAACCCTTCAGTCTGACCTCCATGACCTTGAGAACAGTATATTTGTGCTTGCTTGTAACTGTCTTCGTCCTCCGAATCCGCCTCTTCTTCTTCTCCATAGTCATCATTGGGGTAGAATCTAGCCCCATAACCCGCATACGACATTCGAATAGTCTCTCGTCTATGTAGTTCGGCTCGCCAGTCCTGCGTTTGTTTGTAAAGGGTTCGCCTCTAACGTGAGGAGGAGAAGTGTGCTGCGGCGATGAATTGCCAGCTTTCAGTGTGAAGTCGCGAGAGCCAATGATAGTCGCACGGTTGAAGCGAAGAACATCGCCGATGGAAACACCGTGCATACGAAACGGCAGGCGGAGAGTGTCACCTTCGGTAAGTAGGTAGGGGAAGGAATGTATATGAGCAGTAATGTAGTGTGGTCTTTGAGCCACGAGAAGTGGAAGTTGTTGTTGTAATGATTTTGAAAGCACCAATGGCTTACTGGGGGTTATTTCTTGTGCTTCTGGGACCTGTGTTGTGGTGGTAGTCGTGGCCGTAGAGGTTGCTCCCATCGAAAAAAGCACAGACGGTGGCAGAACAGCCGCAGTTTCCTTGGGGGTCGGTATTGAGGGCTCGACCGTTGCTTTCCTGGAGGTGGAAGTGTGCAATTGTGATCGGAGAGGTAGACGTATCGTGACGGGTGATCTCTGTTTCGAAAGAAGGAACGATTGAACTTGCGAAGCCACTAGAGCTTTGCATTGTGTGCTTGGTATCTGCGCAGTCTTGCGACATGTACTCGAAACGAATCTTCTGCTGGGCTGCGATATTGTTCTTGATGGCATGGTGTCAAAGATGCATCGCACCATCCGTCCACATATTCGACACATCTTGCTTGCCCTCTGATTGACCGATGTACAGCCAAGTCCCGTTGAAAGCGTAGATGGTATTCTGAACTGTGATCTAGATGAAAGAACTCCGTCCTGTGTTCGTTCTGGAGCTGGATACTTAGGATGCGCTAGATCACGTGAGGAGAGGCCCTTCCGAAACTTTTTTGCTGCCGCCGAAAGTTTGGGCTGGACGAGTGCCTCTAACCTACAGTCAATCCCTCTCCTCACAACTAACGGCCGCAGAGCAGCCGATAACGACGAGATGCCTCAGAACGAGTATATCGAGCGGTGGACGAAGCAACACGGCAAGCGTCTCGACCACGATGAGCGAGTCCGAAAACGTGAGGCCCGCGAGGGCCACCAGATGTCTCAGAAAGCCCAGGAACTGCGTGGTCTAAGAGCCAAACTACACCAAAAGAAGCGCCATGCAGAGAAGATTCAAATGAAGAAACAGATCAAGGCGCAGGAAGAAAGAGACGTCAAGTCCGCTGCTCCTTCAGAACCATCATCTACGCCACTGCCAAACTACTTGCTCGATCGGTCACAGGCGAACAATGCAAAGGCTCTTTCTAGTGCGATCAAAAACAAGCGTGCTGAGAAAGCTGCCAAGTTTTCGGTCCCGTTGCCAAAGGTCAAGGGTATTAGTGAGGAAGAGATGTTCAAGGTGGTAAAGACAGGAAAGAAGACGGCAAAAAAAGGTTGGAAGAGAATGATCACAAAGCCTACTTTTGTAGGGCCAGATTTTACACGACGGCCTGTCAAGTACGAGAGATTCATTCGTCCTATGGGTCTGAGATACAAGAAGGCCAATGTAACACATCCAGAACTCGGCGTGACTGTTCAGCTACCTATACTTGGTGTTAAGAAGAATCCCCAAAACCCGCTCTATACACAATTAGGTGTTCTGACGAAAGGTACCATAGTGGAAGTGAATGTGTCGGAGATGGGCTTGGTCACAGCTGGTGGTAAGGTCGTCTGGGGCAAATGGGCTCAGATCACCAACAATCCGGAGAATGATGGTTGTCTCAACGCTGTGCTGTTAGTGTAGAGACAGATCTCATCTTGCTACGAATTGTATGGAGGAAGGAATGATACCCACGATAATACGGAGTTGATCTGCAGTATGGCGTTTGGTGGTGTTTTATGTCCGAAGGTTATTGGTCTTAGAAGACTCGGCTGTGTGCATGGTAATAGAAAGACAAATGTCGTCAAGTCATGGGCCGGCAGCCATTTCAGAGCTCAGTGTGCTTGTGAGGTCAATTACAAGTCCGATATCAGGCAGTGTACAGCGTTCAGAAGTCTGACACCACACTACGAAGGCACATAATCATGATCTATCAGTTCCACAAATAGAAGAATTGACCTTGTCCGGCACTGAAGCGTTAGTGGCCTTCTTTCTGACTTCTAGCTTTGCTGCATTTGTTGTCGAGATTCTGTTCAAGGATGTTAGAGGTACAAGATCAGCACGAGCACTGCGGCATCTGAGCCTTTTGACAAGCATCGCAGGGCCATGATCTTAGCTCTTAACAACTCGAAAGTGTCTGAGCTCTGCCAGTGTCTAGCAAACATTCACAGCCGAGTCATGAGCCCGCTTATCCCTTTGAGTATCTCCGTTGCGAAAGTCCAGCGTACTGCTTCCGTGCTATCACATACACAATGCAAGAGGTGCTGATGTTGAGCTAGCTGTCTAGGCTCTGTTCGTGGAGTCAAGGACAAACCATGGCCGGAAGCAGAAGGGAGCCTAGAATTCCTCAGATGATGGAAAGCATTTGATATTTGTGCAGTATTGCGGTCGACTGAGGTCCGAGTGATAAACTCCAACAATCCAGACCACACCTTTACTATTCCAGGTCTTGCAACCTTCAGAATCAGATTCTCCTAGGTTGGAGTTGTAACCAATACCAGCACGTCCATGAGACTCTACTACCGGAAAAGGTTACCAGCTCCGGTAAATGACAAAGTAGTTTGCAGCTGAGTCATTCTTGTCCTGCAACGGCATCCCTGTCCATTAGCATCTCACTGGCCAGAATGCAAGGTATCAGTGCCAAGGACAAGCTGCCGAAGCTGCATGCCTGAGATGCAGATGATATGCTGTACGACTGGAAACGACGGCAGTGCTGCATTGATAAAAACGCCTTCAGTAAGTCAGCTGATATCGTGTTAAGTCGCGCCTTCGCTAAAGTACTGTCGTACTCTAGTAGTGAAAATGCCGCGTCACATGCAGTGGCCACTTCGACCATGTTGAGAGTACGTACTGTAGGCAGCAGCGAAGGCAGACAACAAACCGTTAGTTTCGGTCGAAGTTAAATACCTGTGCAAGTCGATACGGAGCAGAACCGTTTCTGCTTGGCTCCGAGTTTGGTGATCCGGTTTTACGTGACGAATCGAGCTTGCCTGTTGGTCGGCATGGCCACCCATCCAAGCATGCTTGGAGTGGTGGAGAAGTCGTTTGTGCCGCTTGCATTTCGTTCATCTGCTTGGGAGAGCACGACTCCAACATACTCTGGCTTCTCTTAAGCCACTCTGTCAATTCGATTTTGCTGTGTTGGGGGGACTACGGACTTATGCCTATGCACTCGGAAAGCAGGCAGTGCATACATTTTGCCAGGTGAGTATCCCTGCTGATCGCAACAATCACAGGTAGTGGTGCATGCTGCTTTACAGAAAATTACGGATGAGAGCCAATGCATTATTCGTTGACTCACGTCCGATGCATCTTAAGCAGTGAAATTCAATTTGAGCGCACTCATTCACGATATCCGTGCTTCTATCGCGAATAAGTAGTGACAGCTTAGCAGTTGTATGGTCATTCCATATCTGGGTTTTGCTGTCTGTGTCTCAGACGGATCATGCATAATGCATGCAGTAGTTGTCTGATAAGCAATATAATGTACAAGTGAGCACTTCCGGTGCTTTCAGAGGTACCATGAAAGGGTACTGTATAGTCATGCTTCATAGAGCCAATAGGCAGCATGAATTTAATGATACAAGTTAATCCGCTTGAGCGCCCGCCTGCCCGACATCGTTGTGAACATGTGAGAATACAAGAAAGAGATTCGTAATAGGTTGTTGCTGATGGTGTTGAGAGCTGTTATTGGTCATGTAATGATGGAGCAAGCAGACGTAACCGTTGACAAGCTGTTTAGCGTGAAAATGGTGAGCGTACAGTTTGCAGGTCGTCCATATGCTATGCATCGTTAGGGAAAGATTCAGTAACCACGGTGCATGCCTATCATAGCGATACACTGCCTGAAGGACTTACCGAGCACATCGTAACGAAGAGGTCGAAGTAGAGCTGACCCCCTTGTTCCATCTCAGCTTGCATGGTTGAACTCTTCTTGAAATTGTTGCGGTTACGAATGATGACAGCAAGATAGTGACTGCGAAGGTCACGCTCGGTGCTCGGAGTATGATCGTAGACCCATCGAGCTGAAGCTAGGATGCTACTGATGTGAACACCACTTTGTAGGCCCTGCTTGCGAAGAGCAAACTTCTTCAGCTCCTCGAGGCCGTATAGATCAGCCGAACAACTGCAAGAAGGTCAGTAAGCAGTCATCAAGGTATCATCTTATACTCACTAGATCGCAGTATCCTTGAGGATGGGCACCTTCGAGAGATGGTGATTCACTGTTGCAACCCCGACCGTGCCAGTGTCCTCAAGGTCCCAGGTGTCTCTCTTCTTGTTGTGTACTAGCCTCGGAGAGTAATCACCTTTGTAGAGATACTCAAGGACAGCAGAGAGTACTTCGGGTGACTCGTCAGGCAAGTTGATGACACGAGAACCCTCGAAGAACTGTGCTTTCAATGCAGATTGAAAATAAGATGAACGACTTAGCACGTCTTCATGTCCAGCAAAGAGTCGTTGGTCAGGGCCGACACACAGGGTGACGATTGCAGACGTTAACGAACTGGAAGACCATTAGCTATACTCGACCTGAAGGCAGGTGAGTAACTTACGCTGGCGAATTTGGTGTACTGTGATCACTCTTCGGTGATCTCACTGACTGTGAGCGTTGAAGTCCTGCATTGAAGGACTGTGAGTTGAAGGACTTCTTGACTTTGGTCGACTTGTTGGCACCATATCTGGATGAAAAGCTTTCAGAAGGACGATGTCTCGAGAACATGGTGCGAGGTTTCAGATTGACGCTGGAGACTAGTATTTGGTTGGCTGAGAGGGCTCGAAAGACAACGACAATGCAGTAGTCGAAGCGTCAGGCTCGAGAATAGTACACAATTCGATAGTGCTGCTGTTTTAGTTAGTACAATGAAGGGAGACAACACTGAGTTCTACATCAATAAAGACGAGAAAACCAACAGTTGAATCAGGCGGCGAGAGGCAAAGAAAGGCTCAGGTAGAGCAGGCATAAGCTGCTTATCTATCAGGAGGCAGCACATGTCCTTCCGGAGCGAGAGCTTTCTGTTGGTCATGGTGGGATGGCATTGACTGTGATTCGTTGATAACTTTCAAGGCATCCAGACACGTCGAACGCGATAGCACATTAGCTCGTCGCGGAAGTAACACGGTTGAATGTGATTCAGTCACAGTGCTTGCATGCGGGTCGGATTGACAGCCAAGTGCAGTCGGAACAGGGTTGTTCAAGCCATGGTGTGGATATCGACTTTCGGGGGCCAGGGACATTCGCCATAGCTTCGAGACAAACCTCCAACGGCGTGTTCTCGTGGACGTTGATGAATTTCGTGAGTCATATTGTGTACCTGCTGAGATCTGATCCGAGCCTGCTCAGCCATTTCTTTCCAGCAATCTTCCAATGTAGCTCTCACCATGTGATTAGCATATGGAATGACTTGATCACTCAGTCGAAATCCGGAATTTCTAAGGACATTTAGCTTGCAGTTGACTAGCTCCAGGCGCTATACGATCTACGGTAAGCTCGAACTTAGACGAGCAGCAAGCTGTTACGAGACTCCACAAGCTTGTAACAGGCGATGGAGATGTGCTACTGCATGCTGTGCAGGTCAGCTTGAGAGCTGATGTGGTGTCGGTCGTGGACGTGAGCTCATGATTTGCTAATGTGATCGGTACCTCACAGCAGTGGCTCGCTAGTGCGTGATATGAAACGCATCAAGCTATTTCGAGGGGAAGTTGCAGTTTGCATGTCCGGGTCACTTACTTGGACATCAGTCCAAAAGTTGAGAATGCATCCGGATTGCTGGATATGACCTGCAGCGCCACCTGTCAGTACATTTTCGCGGTCCACCCTTCTTGTTTCGATTGGATATTTTCTTCAGGATCTCTCGTTTGTCGTCGAGACCGGGCTTGTACTTTAGCGTATTCACAAGATTATTCTAGTGGCTTGCGTAGGAGAACTTTCACTCGGACAGTAGGGGCACTTGAACTTAGAGCCCTTAGCCAGCCGGGTAAGTGAATCTTGACAGATAACATGACCACATGGCATCATCATAGGCGGGTTCTGATCAGTTGATTGCTCTTTTGATACAGGACAAACAAAGATGGAGTGGAATTGGTAGTTTGAAGGCAAGGGCGTCTCAACTGGCAATTCGTTTGCTGATGTCCAGGAAGCATTTTTCTGTTTCTGTATGGCTTGCAACTTCAGCAATGGAGGCAGTGCAATAGCTCCAGCCGTCGAGGTGATGTAAAGTGGAGAATCTGCCGACAGCTCGAGCAGTGCACAGAACTCTCGAGTAAACGATGAGGCGACTTCATCCCACGCGACTGTAGTGTTTAGGCGAGCATGGTAGGGTGATTGATTGAGATTTGAAAAGAAGGCGATAGCACCCATCAGCTCCTGTATCTCGTGCAAGTAATTCGTCTGGAATGGTTGAAAGGCTGACTGTGCGTATTCCATAGCTTTCACCATACTGGACATCGAGAGAAATCCATTTTGGGAATCCTCAAATAGGATTCTGGCGTATTGAAGCCTGCAGAGCTCGAAGCCAAGGTTGCTACCTCGATCCTGCAGGTCTGCACTGTTGGTCTGCGCCCATTCCATTGCAGGTTGTAGGTTGTGGTTCAGCCTCAACTCATCTAGAATGCGATGCATGCTCTGGAATTTGTCAAGCATACCATCAGGCAAGCCTTGATCCATCCCGATAGGATCTTCAATAGAGATATCCAAACCATTCGATTGTTGGAGATCACGTTGTACGGTAGCTCTCCGCGAGGCTTCGTCTTGCATGGTGGACGCGACATCAAAAAGGCCTTCCCTCAATAAGTGCAGATACACAGCTCGATTGATCAGGTTAGATTGCTGAGATAGGGCATCGATCTCGTTACTAGGTAGAGGCTTATCTCGAAACAGCTTGTCAAGGGCTTTCTGGTAGTTGTTCTGTCCACCTCTTGTCGTCTTCAGACTTGCAGTCATATCATCGAAGGCCGCTTTGACTGGGGCCTGTAGCTTTACGAGCGTGATCTGTGCCGAGGCGGGATCAGATGCTATTGACTCTCTGGCTTTCCTGAGCTGGTCGATTATGCTTTGCGTCGCATCAATCGTTTTGGCCTTACGACAACCCTCCCACGCCTTCTCATGTTCCCTTTGTACAGCCTCCATGGCTCCTTCCAACTAAGTACCGTTGGCGTGCCCTCATAGATGTACGACGAGTCAATGAATTAGGTCGCAGGTTGGTGTGGTATTCCAGTTATGACATGCTGGGAAGGCCCTGGCTGATGAATGAGTCCTCTAAGTTGTGTAGTAACGTGAGAGATGAGGTGGGTGTCTTGAATATATATCACGAGATACAGATGCGGTTTTGCATGCACATGCGCTTGGGTGGTTTGCTATCAGTTGTGGGGAAGAACATGGCTCTACAGCGGAAGGACCAAACTGGCGTCATAGGCGCGACTAGCATCCCTGACATTTGGATCTGGCTCATTCCAGCAATACGCTTGTTAGTAAGACGAGCAACAATACAAACGCGAGCCGAACACAATTTTTGGCAAATAGTCTGAAACGCACACGAACACTATGTTCCCCAACCATTCCCGACGATCAGAGCTGATTGCTGAAAACACATCAAGGCTGTTAGGATGAATGGTGTATCACTGGCTCAGCGATTTCAACTCTGGGCCAGTCCTTTAAATAGTGACAGAATATGGCTGGTCACTTCCCTGTGCTAGCAGCGTACAGTCCTTTTGCTGGTCAAGGGAACGATTTGTACAGGATATCTACAAATTCAGCAACCAAGTCAGACCTCGACGAGAAGGGCTCAAGTACAGGACAAACGAGTGAGGCTTTTCGGGGGCGTCCACGTGGAGGCTCCAAGTCGTACAGAAAGCTGGTCTTCACAGATCCTGTTGCTTTCAGGTATCTCGAAGAAGATGAGTCAACTACAGTGCTTGCACGAAGGCACAAGCTAGAAGGTTACGAACTTTACATCGTCGAGCAATGGGTTATTTCAAGGTCGCATGCTACTTTCACGATTTGTACACACACAGGCGACTCCAACCATTCGATACTCGTCAATGTACTGGCAGTGCCACACGATCAATCGACCTGGTCAAAGAGGCTTCAGATATATTTTGGAGCGGTATCTCAGTCGTACGCGAAGGAAAAAGAAACTCACCTTGGCACCCTTATGGTAACAAACCTGAGTGGATTTCCGTCAGCGTTGAATGTGATTGCAGTTCCTGATGGAGACGTGAGAAAGCATCGTGAAGACTTCATCGTCAATGAGAACCTCAAACGGATGGGTTGTACGGGCCGTGCAGCAATGAATCTGCAGTACCCACCAACAAGCACGGTTCAAAAATTCCATCGCATTTACAGGACTAGTGAGAGAGTTCCATTGTACTCGTCGGTCATGGAGCTTGTAAGGTTCTGTCAGATGTCGCTAGTCCTATATGGCAAACTGGACCCAACGTATGCGGATGGGCTTCTGTGTGATATCACCGAAAAGGCGACCAATGCATGGTGGAACGAAGTTGGAATTGACTTTCACAATTTTGAACCCAGCGATGGTGTGCTCGGGCCTACCACGGTAGCTGCTCTGATAGGACTGATAATTGGTGGTTACAACAGACTGAAAGAAACAGGTGCGCCAGTCGGAAAGGACCCCCTGGATCTCCCAACCATGAAAAGAGCCATCGGACACTTTCAGAAGATGAACAGGATGGAAAGAAGTCGTCGACTGGATCGTGCAACACTGGACCGTCTACATCGTGTGACGGCTAACAAAGCTGAAGATGAGGGATTGGCAGTTACACGAGCCTTGAAGTCGACCGTTGGAGCTTTCAGTGGGAAGGGTGGTGAGATGATAGCCAGGGGACTAGGCGGCGGTAAAGAGAAGGCCGGAATAGCAGAAGTCGAAACTCTAGACATCGAGAGGTTTGCGCAGCTGGTGATCGGACGCAGCATGAAATGGCTATGGCAGGGAAAGGACAAAGGCCAACCTAATGTGGGTGCAGGCGCGCCTGTTGATGAGCTGAATGGAAGGGTCTTCTCGACGGACGACCAAGGTAACTTCATCTGGACCAGCGAGACGAAGAACGATGGAAATGATGTTACTTTTGTTGGTGGTCCGGATCCTGAAGAGAAAGGAAGACGAACTGGAAGGTTGAGAGACGCTGTAGGGCTCAGTAGTAACAGGAACCACGGTCCACGATCACAGCATACCGATGATGAAGGTACGAAACACGACCGTCTTGCCATGATACCAGCACCTAGCAACGTTAGAAGAAAAGGTCTGAGCCACCAGTCTTCACACAGTACTCTGCCTAGCGAGTTTCCTCCACTTGTCCAAGATCTAGCAAATGCACCAATCACTACGACCAAGCCTGAGATACCGAAAGACTCTGGTCAAACTCAAGCCATGGCCAGCACGAACCTTACAGCACATCGACAAGCATTACGAGGAATTGATCACAAGGGTAGAGAGTCTCCATCGAAAAGGCGGGTACATGAAGTACTTTCGAGAATCCGGGACGAACTAAGGGACGACCGCTATCAGAACTTTTCGGCCAACTTCAGATTCGAGCAGCCCCAAACGACAGGACTCAAGCGCTCACTAAGCACGATTAACCTTCGTACCATTCAAGAAGCACGAACAGCCAAGTTGCCTAGACATCTATCCTATAGCATTCTCACAGATGCTATAGACTATCAGAAACACCTCGCCGAAGATACTGACGTGGACGACGAGGAGAAGAAGGGCGTCACCAAGTCTGTATCATCGCTGATCAAAATCCGCAAGGAGCAGCTCCGAAGATCCCAAGAGCTGGGAGTCAAGGTATTCGGCATCAGTCGAGGTATCGCACCCTTTGCACAGACAAGGATTGGAAGAGTGGAGAAGGTGGAGCGAGAAGCTGTGGCACAACTCGAAGAACTCAACAATGTCTATTATGGACACTTGGAAGAATATCAGACTCTTCAGGCCACATCCACCGATCTCGTGGCCCGTGAGAAGGCGTCCTTGAACGAGGCAATGCGGAGTATAGATATGCTAGGACAGAAGCTGGACTACGAGATTGATTCTCTACAATCCCGCATGCATGAGGTCGAAGAGAGCATTGACGACTTTGAGCGACGAGTGATGGATATTGAGGCCAGTATCAGAGTATTGGTGGCGCAAGAAGAGAAACCACGACAGGCATCGTGGTACGAGCGCTGGTTGACCTTTGGAAGGACAACGAAGATGGTGGAGCAAGAAAGGAAGGAAGTGTCAATCGCCGAAGAGCCAAGGGCGTTTATTAGGTCTTCTGCACGGCCTGATGTACATAATGCCGGACCAAGTCATAACATATAATGTGTAATATACAATGCCCATAAGCTGGACAATCCGTCAGATTGACCTCTGGCTACAGACTGACTTTTTTCTTGCCATACATTTTCATATCCAAGCTACCGCCGGGCAATCGTGGGAAGATGCCTCGACGATCTCAACGTCGGCTGCGCCCGCTTTATGATCGACTCGCCTCGAGGAACACAATCTCGAATGAAGAAAACGTGAATTCGACCTCTTACATACCAAACATGCCTCCGCCTACACCGCCGCTCCCTTGCCGACCAGCAGCCTCGCTCTGCATCTTTTCTGAGACTTTCATGTTGACTTCGAAGAACTTTGCGACACATCGATCTATGCAGACACTCTCGGCCTTGTTAAGGTCTCCCTCCCTATAGTCGGCTGGTATACATTTCTTCAAACAGGATTGTGATAGTCTGGAGATTAGACTGTCAGCATTGCCTCGAACGACCTCTGTACTGATGTAAATGCCCCTTACCTATTGAACATATCCGACACGAGCTCGAGCTCTGTTTCTGCGGCCTCGATCTTTTGCGCTGAGCTGAGCTGCGGACGGCCGCCGCCGAAGAGGAAGGACATCTTGAGATATAGGACTCAGAGATGTGATTTGAATATCGTTGTTGTGGGTGTTGTATCTTCTTCGTTCTTCTTGGAAAGCGACTGTGTATCGCGCCTGCTGCTGTGAATTGTTGCAACTTGTGCTTGACTGAATGTCGCGAATGTATGTGCCCAAATAGGAAGTCATCCAAAAGTTCGGCGAGGCTGCGGCGCACCTTCCCGCAATCACAAATCGCGAAACATTATCGAGTCTACGAGAGCAATGTGCTGAGCGTTTCGACTTTGTACACCAAGTTCTGGGAATGCCAAACCTGGAGACATCGTAGCTTCCAAGCTGATGTTGTCAGCGCTAACATGCCTGCGACAATGTCTGTCACCTTCAAGGCGCTCTGCGCAGTAAGTGCACCATTCGTGTTCCACGTACAAGCAACTGTTCCATTTCCCATATGATGAGACATCGAGAACCGCTGCGAGTGACTGCTGTGGTGACTTCAAATCTTTACAGCTATGATCACGACCACTCAAAGCTTCAAGCTGCCTGATCTTTGCACGTCCGAACGCGTCCACTGGAAATTATTCAGCACGATTGCATAGCTGATTGAAAGCCAGGATCAACAGGCTCACGCGAGTATCTGAACCATTGTGGTACCGGCCATGTGATAAACACGCCACATTCACAATCCTACGTTACAGCAGCTCGAGTACTGGACATGGAGATCATGGATCTAAGCGAAACGTGTCAAACGTGTCGCCAGAGAAGCGTCAACATGATCTTTACTCAACAGGCTTTCATTACTACCCACGAGCTCCTTCTCGTGAACCGATGAGCATCAGTGCTTTCTACGAGAGAAGCAGGATTAGCCTCGAGCATGGTCTACACGCAAATACAGTTGGTGAAGGTGTAGAACCCAATGGAGACGGGACTGCAGTATCCATACACCATTCGTCTACCCTCGAGGGTTTCGTCAGCACTTCCAGCAAAGACGATATTGCCTTTGACATGGAGCAATCGTCATCTAGGTCCTTCGAAAAGAGTAGCAGATCAACGGACACGCAGACTAAACATACTACTGACCATGCATGGGCCGTCGAGCCAAATGTTGTCACTGGTGAGTTTTTAGGTCCAGTTGACTTGACCCGCTTCTGATACTAATAGTGTCTGGCCGTATTCAAGCCATACGTTCTGCTGGAACAAAGCTCTTATTCATCGATATCGTCGATCAACCTGGTGCCAAACTTCAGGTCGTGGTAGATGCGAACAAGCTATATATAGGTGGTATGTCAGAGTCACCAAACCCAGTAAAGGCGTTTAGAAAATTAATCCAGCGTGGTGACACTATTCGTAAGCACCCGAGCCTCTCTTCGGGTTGCCTTGCTGATTCCTCTAGATGTTACTGGCTCCCCATATACGACTACTGCTGGCGAATTGTCATTACGAGCTGTGCAGCTGCCACGTCTTACGAGTCCGTGCCTACACCAAATTCCTGAAACATCGTTTGGCGTTGACTCAGACTTCGCTCATGACCGCCACGTGCAGATGCTTACCGATCCTGCCGTGGTCAAAGGCTTGATCGCCCGTGCTCGGATAATCGAAGGGATGTCTGATTTCCTGCGTGGGCTACAATTCGTCAATGTGCAAACTCCTATACTAGCGGCGTCAGCTGGCGGTGCCAACGCACGGTCTTTTGAGACCTCTGCAACAGAATTCCCAGATCGCAAGCTTGCTTTGCGCATTGCACCAGAGTTGTGGTTGAAGAGACTGATCGTTGGTGGCATGCAAAAAGTCTTTGAGATTGGACCGTCTTTCCGGAATGAAGGTTTGGACAAAACACACAACCCCGAGTTCACTACCTGTGAGTTCTATGCTGTCAACTGGTCGTTAGAAACTCTGCAACGGGAAACGACGAAGATGATAAGGTCCATTGTCCGAAGTTTGGGTAATTCTACCTCGCCGAGTTTTGTCAATAGTATTGGAGATGCACATACTATAGATGAGCCTTCACCTTGGCCAAGCATCGACTTTATTCCAGCTCTGAACAAAGTGCTTGAGCTCGACCTACCTGACCTCTCGTATCCCTCTGCTCGTGAGCAGATCGTGGAAATATTCAAGACCCGGAGTCTAACACTACCTACCACACCAACCCTGCCTCGCCTCCTTGACAAGCTCTCCTCTATCTACCTCGAGCCACAATGCCGGACCGCAACCTGGATTATCAATATGCCAGAATGTATGTCTCCGCTAGCCAAGTCATTTTCACACCCTCAGCTACCTCACCAACAAGTCTCGGCTCGCGCTGAGCTCTTCATCGACCACAAAGAAGTCGTGAATTGCTATGAAGAAGAGAACAGCCCTATTGAACAACGAAGAAAACTCATCGATCAGCAGGGATATGCGCGACTTGGCCAAGAGGTGGACGAAGAAGCTATGAAGATCGATGAAGATTATATTCGTGCATTGGAGTGGGGACTGCCAACGACGGGTGGTTGGGGCTGTGGCATCGATAGACTGTGTATGTTGATGTTGGGCAAGGACAACATTAGCGATGTTTTAGCCTTTGGGAATTTGAGGTCTGTGACTAGGGGTGCTGGGAAGTGGGAGAAGTCGCATGGTTAATAACAAATTAAGTTCCCAGTTGATAGTGCATCGGTAGTCGACGCAAGGCCTACGCATCAATGTATTCAGTCGCCCGTCTCTATAGAGCGTTTTCAGAATAAAAAAATACCCGTCCCTTGTGATGTCTACTGAAGATCTCGATTGCTGTTGCGATTGCGGTCATAGGAAAATGCTAAAAAGCGGACCATGAATAAATTTCAGCTCGGCGTTAACATGTCGTAAGGTGGTTCGCCGTCCTGGTACCCGTAGTAAATCCCCTATTGCCTACTTTACTGAGCGATACAATATGGACATCTATGACCCGGACTAGCGAAAGAGCTCTGCTGCACTATATATAGAAGAAGGTAAGAATAGTAGAAGAACGCTTCCTCTTCTACTTCTCCTAAGAACGAGTTATTCGATCTACAATAAGGACAGTACAGCTCTATTGTCGTAAATCATTAATTTTAGCTATGCTCTCGTCTCTGTGCAATCCAAAGCAGCCATGTAGGTAAGATGCAGAATAGCTAGAGCTCTAAGATTCTCGTCGTATTTTGTAGTTATCAGATGTTGAGTGATTTTTCTCCTTAGCTAGAATGTTAGACCATTTTATCTCCGTGTTCCTTAGCATGATCGACTCTAGAAGTTATAAGAACGTAAAGCCCTCTCTTACTTAGGAGAACTTCTGTCGTCCTGTCTTCCTATCCGCCTATCGTTCCGTCTTTTTGTACTTTTACCCTCCTATACTTATACTGTAGAGATAGTGCTCTGTTGTCATACCATCGGACCGCTAACCCTAGCAGATGGCACGTAACTATCGACCCTGGTAGTAGTGACCTCGTCGCCTTCCGCTAGAGTCCGGCTGAGGTTCACCTCTTTGAAACCCTCGAAGATATCCCTGGTCATGAAGTCTCTGGAGCCGAAAGCTCCAAATTTGCCTCTCTTCCTTCATGGGTGTCTTGCCAACGACCTTGTAGAGTCCATCGTACCGGTAGCCCTTGCTTGGTTTATTAGAAACGATACTATGCATATTGCAAGATCGAATCACGCGCACAGGGATTTGGGTATCGAAAGACCTCATCATGGCTTGTGTAGCTGCGGTTGGGTCTCGAACAGGATTCCAAGAGCCAGGATTGTGCATGTGCGGATCTTCAGTGTTAGTTTCTCCCGAATCTGCTTTGTCGGGAAGGGCAGTGCCCATGTACTCAATGACCTCGCCCATGTCGATGTCAGCATAACCTTTGTTTTTGGACTCGTCGAATTCGCCGAGGACGATCGACCTTGCACCACCTGCGATAGTGCCACTGATACCTGCGATGGGAGGCGCATGCACTCCATCCCTTCTGAGCTCGAGCCTCGACATCCAGATTTGGCCATTGACCAAATCTCCAGCTCCGAAGTATTTGGCGTCAACGAGGAACCCGTACGTCCTGTCGAGTTCATATCGAATTGATCGTCTGATACCATTTCGATCAAACGTGTCCACAGCAACAATGCCACGCCTAATAGCTCCCAAGAAATCACCCCTACCCCACTTACGTTGAAGTACCGTCAGCTCTTCTTCAATATAGCCTGGCAGCTCTCCTCGACGTCGAACGGCCTGGTTCTGGGGCGAGAGAAACTGCGTTAGCCGTGGGACGATCTGAGTACTGGCCACACCTTGTTGTTCATCTCCTGCAAGCGTCACGTCTTCCATTTCCAGAATCCATTTCTCCATTCGTCTCGCCTCTGCTCTGTATTGGGCCGGCCCAGAAGCTTTTTCAAAAGCATCTACTATACCAAGGATCGTCTGCAGTGTCTCGTTTGTTGTAAAGCGCTCACCCTGTAGGCCGAGAGTGTGATGCCTAAGCTAGTAAGTACAAGGTTTCAACCAAGCACGTGTAATGGCATACCTTTGAAAGTCTTCCTGGTCACGTTCTTCCCATTTCGGCATGGGCTCTAGTATCAATGGCCTGCAGTCTAGCTTATCTGCACTTCTGTGAGAGCAGTTGTAGCTTATCGGACAGGTGCATCGGAATCCTACCGCCTCTGAAGAACTAAAAGTTGCTCGATGATTGGTACCACTTGGTGACTGGTTGCCAGTCGGGGTCCGACTATCTCTAACACTGGACTCAGAGGAGCGGCTTTCTCTTCGCCGCCTGCTCTCCGGAAAAAACATCGGAGTCGGTCTTCTAGGAGAGTGTAACGGACTGAGAGGGCTGCGACTACGATCTCGTGTGCTGGAATTCCTGGCTCGATCTCGATCTCTCACAGGGCCGCTATAGGCGCGTTGCCGTCGTGAAGTATCCGAGTTGCTCCTCGAGCCTCTGTTGTGGTCGGCAAACATCCGCTGAAAGTCAGTGAAATAGTTTTCTGAGAGCTCCGAGAGCTGAGCGTCCTCGGTGGATTCATCGAGGCCTATCTCTCTCTCTTTGTCAGCAATAGAACTCGGCTCGCGCTCGACGCCTGGCACAGTCGCATGGTCGTCGTCCATGGGTTCGGCTTTGATATTCACGAAATCATTATCTATTCCTTGTGAAATTAGTGACGAAGTCATGCCTATGTCTTCATTCTCAGCGCTTGAACCTGTTTGTACACGAACTGCTCTTCTCTGCCAAGAGGGTCCTCCAGGTACTTTGCCAACACCAGGTACGAAACCGTGCCTCCATGCATTGTGTGCGTGGGAATTATTGCCAGACATGATCGCTACGAGCAGTGACTGGTGAAGATTGGATTTGGAAGTAAGATTTCGATCGCGAAGATAGCAGTAGATATCTCAGCTCCCAAGAATGACAAATTCCGTTGAAGCTGTGCCAATTTCAAGGGACTTGGAAGATTGCTTGAAGTGTATGCGTAAACGATGATGGAACGCATTCGAGAAGGAAGGAGCACGGTTTATACATACAGTCATATCGCTATCTGATGAGCGTTGTGATGCAGGAGTGAGGACGTGATGAATACTCTACCTTTAGGCTCGCTTCATTCTCGATATCTAAGGAGTAACAGAGGTGATTCTCAGCATTTCGCAAGGTCGGATAATTCAGTCGCGATACAGAGGTTCGTGGACCCGAAGCTTCGCAACTACGATACGTGTTGTGCTTCGAATGTGCTTGTATTGGTTGCAAAAAGACAGGCCTTGAAACCAGGTCCAGTTGAGCCTTACGGTTCGTAATTTTGAATCGTATGTATTGTTGTCCAAACACATGTTGCGAAGCAGCTCGATACATCTAGGACTGCTTTATGGGTTCGTTGTTCTTACCTTCACATGTCTGTACTTAACGCATGTCCGTCCAACTATCTTACCAAGAAGGGTGAACAGGCAGGATCAGCGCTCAAGGTCTCTTCTGTCATGTCGCAAGTATCGTGTGAGACGTAGCTTGGGATACTGAATAACATGGTGGAATAAATCGAGGTGATGAAGAGTGACATCGTATAGGCTTGCTTGGCATTCGCTCCCAGGCAGCACCTTCCTCTTTCGAGCATTCCCTCCACCACTTCAAGTGTTACTCGAGTATTCCGAGTCAACATATCAGAGTGCGAACATCAGGCATTACTATTAGCAGTGAACTTCAAGTTATCAATCGACGCCTAATCACAAGAGTTTGACCCTTTATGCGAGATTCTGTGCATAGATGCAATGTAGTCGAACATTCCGGAAGCTAAAGCTACACACTTTGTCTTATCACCCAAAATCTGATCAAATATCGAGTCTATCTGCAAAGCGCCCAGCATCTCGATCACTTTGGCACCATGGAGGAACGGCACGACGATGCATACAAGCACGATATTTTGGGCTCTCCAGCATTCCAACTGTCCTTCTCCCTCCAGTTGTCTTCGGCGGTCTCCTGATCACACTCTGGACTTACAAATGCCTGATGATGATCCTATTTCAAAACAAGATCATTTACATGCCTTCTATGCCACCGTTCTCGAGATCAGAAAAGCTTGAAGATTACCTGAACGAATCTAAGCCCGTCAAGTGGACCGAGCACTCGATAAGGTCGCTTGATGGTACCAAGCTCAAACTACTTGAGGGGTATGTGCCTAATGGAGTTTCTCCTATAGACACGAAACACGTTGTCGTTGTATACTTTCAGGGCAACGCTTCATCCTTGCCACCACGACTGCCATATCTGTCGGGCATTGTGAAGTCACTACAGACATCTGCGGCTGATACTCATTACCGCATCGTGGCTCTTTCTTACAGAGGTTTCTGGCGATCAAGCGGAAGACCCAATCAGAAAGGTATTGAGCTTGACGCTCAAGCAACATTAGAATGGGTTACAGAGACCTATGGCCACCTGCCAAATGTTGAGTTTGTTCTTTGGGGTCAATCGATTGGCGCTGGCGTAGCCACGACGTCTTTAGCTACATGGCTTCGTGGGGACCAAAGGAAGACCAGAATTTCAGGCCTCTTACTTGAAACCCCATTTTCCTCTCTTCGGGCAATGCTGATCGCCCTCTATCCACAAAGGTTTCTCCCATACAGATATCTAGGTCCGTTTCTCATGTCCACGTGGGACTCTGAAGCAGCATTCATGAGCATTGGCCACGATTTAGCTCGTGAGCTTCAGGACGCTGGCGATGGGAAGGAACCAGAAGATCGGCTTCGTGTTCTTCTGCTTGAAGCTGGAGAAGATGAATTGGTACCTGAAGGAGACGCCGCTGGTCTCCTTGAAGTGTGTAATAGATCTGCTAGCATTTCTGCGGAGCACAAGGTTGTTACAGGTGCTTTGCATACTAATGTGATGATGAAGAGCGACGGAAAGAGGCAGATAGTGGATTTCCTGAAGAAATTCAACAGAAAAGGTGTGTAGCAAAGAGAAATAGTTGACAGCACAATGAAAGACCTGCTATACTGGTGGTGCTAGACGTACTCTAGCCAGTGTGCTGTAGACATCCTGGAATCTATGAAAGGAGTCTGAAGCTTTTGATTATGCTTCAGAAATTGGCTTCATTATGAGGTGTACGAGGAGTATTTGGGCAGGTCTTTCGGATAGTCCAGACGCCCAAGCAGTTGTGGAAAGGTGCCTATTGACATTTGTAAGGTAGAGTCATAGGCGTTGATTAGAAACAATCTGGGAGCACTGGAAGGACTGGGTTGTTGGAGCATACATGTAGTTAGATAGTTTACAACCAGACCTACAGCACGTCGGGCTGATAAAAACTGCCAGAGACACTGGTATCCAGTATTGGATAAAGGATGAATACGCATGTCAGTCTCGGTCTGTAAAGACAAGCGCCATCATGACTCTAAGACCTTACACCGTGGCAACGTTGTGAAGTCCAGTCCAAGGCTGTTGAGCGCTCGATGGGCGGCGAGTGGGGCTTGTGGAGGAAGTCAAAATACGGTATTTCATCGTTACACAAGAATTTCAACGTTACAAAGTTTCAGCTCTGCCCAATTCGAGGTCATAGATGTAATTAATCACGGCGAAAGATGCTGGCAGGCACCGATCTCACAGCGGCGAAATAGGCGATGTGGTTGGTTGTTCCTTTTCCTTTGTCGATGAGAAGTTGGAGCTTGAAGCTCCAGCTGCCGCTGAACGATCGTTGATCAGTCCACCCAGATTCTGGGCACAAACTTGGAAGGCCGACCGATAGCCGCTGTGTTCCCATAATAAATCTCAACTTTCAGCTTGAGGAAATGCTGACGTTAGCCATCGATTAATGCCCAGGACTGGTCTTATCCTCAGCTGTGTGCAGCATACTGCAGCTTTTCGTGAGGAAAACTCTGTTGGGTCGTTGTTACCTTCCATGCTGCGTGATGAAAGCAAAGCAGCTTCTAACATTGTGTCACTTGATCACTTCAGATCTACACAACTGACCAGCCAAAATGCTACTACGGAGGACACCAGAGCAACCAAAGTTGTAGACGCAGGCAAAGATTCTCGTCGACATGCCACAGTTGTCAAGCAAAAATCAGTTTAGAGCTCCCACGCTCGTGACGTGTTTGAGAAGAGGCACGTTTCAGAGCCAGACGCAGCATGGGCAGCAGTACGATTGAGAACGCGCTCATACAATGCATGTTGAGAGAGAGCAGCAGCACCGGGGGCTCTAGCTCAAAACAATAGCTAAAGACTGGGCGACTTTGAGGCGAGGTGCAGCAGGTGAAAGCCAATAACAGGACGCGAAGAGGCAGCACAGTGGGGACTGGTAGTGCTAAACTCGGCGGCAGGTCTCGGTAGTGAAAATAAGTGGTGACTGCCCGATGAAATTTTGACAGGTTGATCTGGATGTGGTGGTCTGTCGCGCTGCCTAGCTTAAATCACGTATCCCCATCGCCCCTCGATGTCCTCTGCCTAAATTTCTTTCCACACCTACGTTCACTGCCCAACACGCCCCGACCACCACCCATATTTCCGTTCAATCACGTTTGTAGCCGGCTACAATGGCCAAAACCAAAGCTGAGCCTGAGGCTGGCACAGTGAACGTCAACATTGCAGACTTCCAGCGAACTCGCGACTCTGTAAGTCATCGGCGCCCCCATGCCAGCATTATTGCTTGTCATCTATTCTGCACAGCACCTATCCACAACGATATACCGACTGGTCACTATGGGTCAGACTACCATCTTTCGAGGTGACATCCTGCCATCAGTCCACCATATGCACCCCGCATTATGTCTGTCGACAAAGCTTTGTCTCAACCACGATACCAGTGGCTGATGCACCTGCATCGTGGTTGCCGTTGTCGAGCTCCATCACTTTCCAGGGCTGCGTTCCACACCACAACCCCGTGCAATAACTTCGTGACATTTACTATGAGGGTAAAGTGACTAACCATCCATCATAGGTCATTGTTGCTCTCGCTACTCTACAGTCTAGTGTTAAAGAACTCTCTAAAGCATACATCAACCATGCAAACACTGTGCTTGCCCCTGGCAAAGTCGGGTCACTCGACTCGAATCTTACTGAGGTTCTTACCGAGTCGAACCTCTTGGGGGGTGGTACCATTCCAGGACTGACGGCTCCTCAAGATGTCGCCGAAGAGGGCAAGAAGAAGAGGAAGCGAGCTCCACATGATCCAAACGCACCCAAGCGTGCCTTGACTCCCTACTTCCTATATATGCAAAACGCTAGGGCTCAAATACATCGAGAGCTTGGTGACCAAGCAAGACCGAAGGAGGTTGCTGACGAAGGCACACGACGATGGGGTGACATGTCTGCTGCTGAGAAGAGTGTAAGTTGACTGGCTAAGCGTAACGTGACTACTCTAACACAGTACTAGATCTGGGACGACAAGTACCAGAAGAATCTTGCCGCATACCGGGTAAGAATGGCTGCATACAAGGCTGGTCAACCAGTCCCTTCTGAAGAAGAGGCTCTCCACCTCGTCGAGGCGGGTAAAGCCCCAGAGCATGTGCCTGGAATTGACGGCCCTGAAGAGTCAGAAGTAGAGGAGGCTGCTGCTCCAGTCGAAGAAGTTGCCGTTGCTGCTGAGGAATCAGAGGAAGAGGATTCACCTGAGCCGGAGAAGGAGCCAACTCCACCGAAGTCGAAACGAAGAAAGTCTGACAAGAAGGTTGAGGAGACCCCCAAGGAGACCCCCAAGACAAAAGGTAAGGAGCGAAAGGCTAAGAAGGAGGCTACACCTCCTCCTCCTGCTGCTAAGCCCGCCAGCGAAAAGCGGAAGAAGACACGCAAAGGATAGGAAGCTTTGAACGATGTCAATGGTAGTCTCGATGTCATTGTCGGAGATCAAAACCCAAGTATATAAGGAGACTGGGGATCACTGCTGATCAACATGTCATATAAAACTAAGCGCTACGGTCTCTGCGTCGCTGCGAACTGTCAACATGCACGTTAATGTGAGGCATAGAGTGGTACAGCTACGGGGCACAGCCACTATGAAGCTGGTACAGGTGTTGTGTATGATGGGATTGCATTTACACTGATGAAAGGAACAAATTCTGATAGTTGCGTTGCTTCGACTCACTGGTTCGCATCTGCCATCAATATATACTGATGGTACTACCGCCTCAGTGAGCTCTGGTGCTTTTGTCAACGCGTGCAGATTGCTCCTGCCTATAATCACGAGCATTTTACACCCCGCACCGTGCCCGCATCCTTTGCTGATATGCAACGATAAGAGTCGTTTTACGAGAAGCTATTTACCTTGTCTAGAGCTATACTATTGGCTGGCCATGTCGTTCCAGAACTTCATAATTGAGATTGATCTCTACAAAGAAGGCCTTTATCGAGGCAGGTACTTCTTGCCATCGTGAATTGAGCTGCCAGCAAGTATGCAACTCGTCCCAAGAGAAGTACGTGTTCTGCAGTGTAACCACATACAGCTCTTGACTGACACGCTGGTAGCTCGATAAACTAGTCACGGCCCAGGTGGGCTTCTTGGCTCAGAGGAGACTCGCACGTGGTGTGAAGCTCAATCATTCCGAAGCTACCGTATGAAGTTACTATCGATGCTGCTGAGGAGGAACCACTGACATTCCTGTAAGGGACTGGTTGCGAGTGTCTTGCAAGAGCTCATTCGTGATGGCAATCACTCCGTTGCAGATCTTATGTCGCTTGGCAAGACCATGCTTGGGAGGAGACATGTGTTGCCATCAGTCACATCGACTCTGACCGAACTTCAGGTGGAGGGCACCTTTCCAAGTGGTACTTACCTAGTTACTGTGCACCATCCGGTCAGTAGTGACGACGGCAACCTCGAGCGAGCGCTATATGGGTCTTTTCTACCCATACCATCCAACGATCTCTTTCCCCTTGAAGATGCCAGTGTGTACGAGAGTGACAAGATGCCTGGCGCCGTCGTCGTAGCGAAACAAAGCAAACCGATTGTGCTTACCGAAGGTCGCAAACGAGTCAAACTGAAGGTGACGAGTAAGGGTGACCGACCGATACAGGTTGGGAGTCATTACCACTTTGTCGAAACGAATCCTCAGCTCGATTTCGACCGTGGCAAGGCCTATGGGTGTAGGCTAGACATACCTGCTGGAACTTCTGTCAGATTTGAGCCCGGTGACAGCAAGACCGTCACATTAGTCGAGATAGGAGGAAACAAGGTTATTCATGGTGGCAATTACCTTGCAACTGGAAAGGTCGACACCTCAAACATCGACTCCATTCTTGAAAAGATTCAGAAGGCTGGCTTTGCACATACACCTGATCCATCTACTGATACAACGCATATCTCTGGGTACGAAATGACTAGAGCAGACTATGCGGGAATGTTTGGCCCCACGACTGGCGACCTGGTGAGACTGGGAGCTACAGATTTATGGATCAAGGTCGAGAAGGATATGACAGTATATGGAGATGAGTGCAAATTTGGTGGTGGTAAAACACTGCGAGAGGGAATGGGACAGGCATCAGGTCGCAAAGACGAGGATGTATTGGACACAGTTATCACGAACGCCTTGATAGTCGACTGGTCAGGAATCTACAAAGCTGACGTTGGCATCAAGAACGGATTCATTCGAGGCATTGGAAAGGCCGGCAATCCAGATGTTATGGACGGAGTAGATCCTAACATGATTGTTGGTGCAAGCACCGATGTTATTGCTGGTGAACATGATATCCTCACAGCAGGCGGTATTGATACTCACATCCACTTCATCTGCCCACAGCAAGCCCAAGAATCTCTTGCCGCCGGTATCACCTCTTTTCTTGGTGGGGGTACAGGACCAAGCACAGGAACCAATGCTACTACTTGCACCCCTGGTAAGCAGCATCTTAAGCAAATGTTACAAGCCGTTGATGTACTACCAATCAATTACGGTATTACTGGCAAAGGCAATGATAGTTCTCCAATATCCTTGCGCGAACAGGCCGAGGCTGGAGCTTGTGGATTGAAACTTCACGAAGATTGGGGATCTACACCAGCCGCTATCGACACCTGCTTAGGAGTCTGTGATGAATACGATATCCAAACACTGATTCACACGGACACATTGAACGAGTCTGGCTTTGTTGAAACAACACTAGCCGCGTTTAAGGGTCGAACTATTCACACGTATCATACTGAGGGAGCAGGAGGTGGTCATGCCCCCGACATCATTTCAGTCGTGGAGCAACCCAATGTGCTTCCTTCCAGTACAAATCCTACTAGGCCATACACCCGAAACACGTTGGACGAGCATCTGGATATGTTGATGGTCTGCCATCACCTGTCCAAGAATATTCCTGAAGACGTGGCTTTTGCCGAGTCTCGCATTCGAGCGGAAACGATTGCTGCGGAAGACGTGCTTCACGATCTGGGGGCAATCAGCATGATGTCTTCAGATAGTCAAGCGATGGGTCGCTGCGGCGAAGTCATTCTTCGCACATGGAACACAGCACATAAGAATAAAATGCAGAGAGGGCCACTACCCGAAGACAAAGACAGTGGCGCAGACAATTTCCGTGTTAAGCGGTATATCTCCAAGTATACTGTCAATCCAGCCCTGACTCAGGGTTGGGGACATATCATCGGCAGTGTTGAGGTTGGTAAATTCGCTGATTTGTGTCTATGGAAGCCGGCCATGTTTGGTACAAAGCCTAGCCTGGTCATCAAGGGAGGTATGATCAGCTCTGCTTTTATGGTAAGTACACCTGATTTCTTGTCTTCATTTTCGATTCTGACATTCTTTCAGGGTGATCCCAATGCGTCCATCCCAACCATCGAGCCGATAATCGTTCGACCACAATTTGGAGCACTTGCACCACAAACGACTTGCATTACATTTGTGTCGAAAGCTTCGATCGACAACGGTGCAATTGAGTCGTATGGACTTAAGAAGCGCATCGAGGCAGTAAAAGACTGCAGAAAAGTGGGCAAAAAGGACATGAAGTTCAACGACGTGATGCCTAAGATGAAAGTTGACCCTGAAAGTTATCGGGTCGAGGCTGACGGCATGCACTGTACTGCTGAGCCAGCGGAGACATTGCCACTCGGGAGTGGATATTTCCTCTTTTAGAGAATCATACTGATATCGAGAAGGACTGAAGGTTGTGTCTTGATGAATGGACTGTTATCAGGTGTATCTAGCCATTTCATGGATATTATTGGCCTCAAGTGTCCAGTCCTTCCTCTGTTGGTGACACATTGTCAAAGCCTGATCAGGCTGAGCGTCATGTACATGCCTATCTCGTACAACGGCACTGTATCTGCTTCTCAAGTGACCTGTATCTTCTGCACCGGAAATATGATCGATGCAGGTGGCCTGCTGGGACATGGATCCGGGAGGTCGTCGGGTCAAGGCTTCAAAACCATTTGCCGAAACGTGTTCTGTACAAACTGATCCAGGCATCATCGGAACAGCAGTTTATCTGACAGACAGCCTATTTGACATTACTATCTCGATCATCTGACTGCCAAATCGAGTCACTGTGGCTGCGCAAGCATCCAGATCTGACTGCGCTTTTCGGGGTGATCGGTCTGAAGTGGAGCTCAAGGTGGGCAAGGATGCGGCAAGCCACCAAGGAAAGCACGAGTTGGCGGTGAGCTTGAGCAACTGACGCAAGAGTCACTGGTCACAGGTACAGCGACGACTGGATATACTTCCACATCTCTTCACCTTGACCTCGTGTTTGGGTGCATTTGTATATCCGCCATCAATCACCTCGTCACCACTGTATGCGCTGGATCTTGCCACTGACGACGAAGCTGACCTTCGTCGCACCCACCTTCTCTTGTCCTACGACCTCCAGAAGATCGCTCGTTCGCTTCGTATCACCCTCGAATAGACGGTGCTGTTTCACGACAACGTTGCACGAATGACGGCTTATTTGCGTTTGTTTGCTACCCAGACTTGCGCCTTGCATTCGTGATGAGAATAGCCATCGTGGTTGATTGAACAATCCGCTTAGGCACGAGCTAATAGCGACAATGAGCCGAGTACCAAACCAGAATGGAAGCGATTGCAGTATAAACTGGGAGTACTTCATAGGCCACAACAAAGCTGCCTCACCCCAGTTCGACGAGCTGTGTCGCGGATTAGCCTCCGTCATTGTGAGTCGAAGTTCTGCAACAAACCCATATGAACATTTGACTAACAACGTGCCCTGCAGCGTAAGCTTGAGCCTGCCCGCGATTTCGATCTTTCTCCGAACCGCCTAGCCAACTTCTATCGCGCCTGCGGTGCCGACTTTGACGAACTGTTCAAAAATACTGGCGAACACGGCTTGTCCTTTCTGTACCGAACCTTGGGCTGCTATCACAGTCTGCAGCCTACACGAAATGCTTTTGAGGCTCCTTCTATCCCTTGTTTGACTGAAGATGGCTACGTACGGTGGCAGACGTTACAGCTTTTATTATGTCCAGACGAGCATGCAGCAATTGTTCAAAAGGCGGTCGAACTGTACGATGTGCCTCGCAGAGCAGGCATTGCTTTCCCTAAAACTGTCCCTCGAGAATGTTTTCCTGCCCGACCAGATGCCGACATGGAGAAATGGCATCGATTTGTCACTTCCCAAATCAACGCTGATCACTACCAGCGACGTCTGAAGTTCTCGCCTTACCAATCACCAAATATAGACGGTATCAACAGTTCTGGAGGCTATTTTCCGAAAGCACCGCCAGTGAGACGTCCTTCCAATGTTCGGAGGGGTGAGTCTCGATCCGACGAAGAGCTAGCACGACTTGAAGCTGCAAGAGAAGCTGCACGTCGGCGCAGCAGTGTTCCGGACATCGCTTCTCCCGGAGGCACCCTCTACAGCGAGAAAGAGGCTGCAAGAAAGACCCGCAGTCGTTCTGCTAATCGTCCTGTTAGTGATGGACATCGCTATCAACCCCCACCTGGTCCAGACAAAGTCTATACTCCAGCCTCCAACCATAGGTCGTCCCATAGTGTGTCATCTCATCGACATAGTAGCAGCAGTGTTTCTGTTGATCGCTCCTCCGGACGCAACCGACGCTCCCGTCGAGATGCTTCCTCTGGGTCTCGAGTCGATACAGCAAGCGACGTGAGCTCAGAAGACTCTTATCATGCACGACCTCCTCGCCCTGCAGAAGAAGAGAACTCGCAAAGACGAACACGTTGGGGCACTTCGCTCATGCCAAGTTTCTTCCTATCCAACAGTAAGCGACGTCACTCCAGTGATGGACGTGTACCGACGCTCCAGGATCAGAAAAGATCACCACGACGAGGTAATTCTATTCGTAAGTATAGGACTGAAGCAGTAGAACAACCACCTCCAAATCGCCAGTTTGATCCTCCTCAAGACCGAGCATCAAGCAATGTTCGCTTTGTCAAAGTTCCCAGCAACAGTGGTCCTGCCCAAAGACCGTCCGAAACGGCGCACCAACAACCAATTCCGCCACCAAGCTCTTACAGATATCCCGAACCACAACCATATTTTCCTCCTCCACAGGCGCCTGGCTCTAACGTACCAAATATACATTACATACAGCCGACACCACCTCCACTACCTCTGCAAACTGGCCCCGGGCAACCTGTCTCAATGACTTCGAATCACTTCGAAGCACGAAAGCAGGGAGTCCCCACACGCCTCTCTACAGTCAGTGGCGTGAACGGTCGAAGATATGCACCCTCTGACGCCCGAAATAATGTCGATCCAAGCCCAGTCATGACCAATAGAAGACATCGGACTTCGAGTATGAGACAGCCAGCAATGAGCACTACGATGTAGATTACGGTCAATGCTATTAAGAGCCCATTTACGAACGATATACCCGCGATACAGCAGATTTGATGGCGTTACGGTGGCTTTTTTGTCGAAACTTAACATAGCAGGATGAAAACAGCTCATTCATAATTCGAACATTGGAAACGATATGGTGAAGCATGGCGTTATACTTGGAGTCTTAGAAGACAATTTCGTGCGCAAGCATAAATGGTATTCTGCTTGTTGGAGACTTCCAGCATTCGTGAACTGTTCCTAGGATGGCCTCCAGGTCTCACATAATTACCATTTAAACAGTGGGTAGCACCACACTCTATGAGACTCATTCGCCAAATTTGACCTTTACCAGTTCCTTCTTCATGCCTGCTTGGGGATATCCATCTCTTCACGCCTTTTCAGATTGTTCACCTAACTTCGAGACCACTATAATTTTGCGCTCTTGCTGTTCTTTGATCTACCGTATTACTGTTTTGTGCGTCGGCTCCTTCCGGGCTTCAGCTTTAGAGCTCGACGGGACTTTACCACTGAGCTGATAGAGTGAAAACGATCGGTGGGCACCAGCTTACCACCAGTCCTGTCCATTGAGCGTGATGTACCAAAGCAGGCAGAACGGGTCGTAAGCGCGAAAAAGAGCATAGAGAGCACATGGATAAACAGCAGATCAATTTCTCTCTATTGCATCTACCTCACAACTCTTTCTCGTCTTGTTCTCATTCATGGTCTCCGCTGCCTCAGTCCCTTCTACCTGCATCAAACGGCCCACTATCAGCTCCGACAGCACTCATTCCCTTATTATCTTCCCAGTTGTTTCTCAACCTATTATCGTAGACTGTGCTTGACTCTGCCTCTCCATTTGTGTCTACCCAGAAGGATCCAAGCTTCGCGAAAACACGTACAACACCGTCATGGTCAGCAAGGCTATGATCACGGTCGCTCGATCATCAGGACCAACCTGAACATGACTCTGAACGACTTGCTCCGCTCGTTGTGGTTGTTGCTGTTGAAATGATCCAACGAGCAGTATAGCAGATTTTGTCGGCAACTGTAGTGGGGCGGGAGCTGGAACTGGGTCTTCAGCGACATCACCCCAGCCGGGGTCATCGCCAACGGTGTGTCTAGGATCGTCCTAGGTGGCTGGGCCCCAGTCGTTAAGATCGGGTTGTCGCGGTGGCTGCGCGGCAACCTCGTCGGGAAGTATCTGTAATCGCACTAGAGGTCGAACATCGGCTGCGCGATCCTGAAGAGACAAAGCGCCCCACAGTGGGATTGCTGGGAAAGATGGGAGCAATCGACCGCTGTAGGTGAGTCGTTGGCGGTCTGGAGGAGGATGACTTGGGTGTACACCCTGGATCCGAAGTCGTAGATCATGAACTGTGTGTCTGGATGAAAGGACCAATGGGTAGCCTGCGTCAATGGTGGGATCTCTTTCCTCATCCAGCACGGTTACGGCCAGTACCCCACTGGGGTTACCAGGTAGATTATCCAGGTAATCGGGAGGATCGGATTCGACGTCGTTGTCTGCGTTCGCCGCATGCTGCGATTCATGCGTTTCAGCTGAATGAACTGACCGATCTGCATTTGTGCCTGGCGCCGCCGGCGGCGGTATAGCTGGATCAGCGTTGTTCTCTATCATGGTGTCGCCAGAAGAGTCAAAGGTCCACGGTCGATCCTCCTATTCAGGAAGTAAGTTGGCAATCTTTCCAGGAGATGAAGCAAATGTAGGAATAGGTACTTACATTTTCTGCCACGGCTTCTGCCTGTATCATAAACAGTGCTTTCTCTCTAGCTCTAGCAAGATTGAGAATTGTCGACTCTTCCTGGATGCGAGCAGCGAGAACAAGCACAAGGCCTAAGCAACGCTTTGTGCGGGATGTTTGTCGCTGAATCACCAGCAAACAGACTATGTGGTGGCTTGGTTTGGGTGTTAGTGTTTGAGCAAACAATACACTGCTGCTGGCTTGAAAGCAAAGATTCCATCAATCTTGGAAGCAGTAAGCCGGAAATGTCAGATGTCTTAGGACAAACACAACATATTCAGTTTCTGAACAAGCCCGTATTTTCTCTTTGAGCGTTGCGTCAGACAGGAATAGCCATGAGTGACAAGGCGTGGCTTTGTCCAGAGTATTGAGAACGACTGGCTGAATATGTCAGCACGTCCAAATCGACAGTCCAGATCGACAGACGATCCTCCTGTCAAACAGCCAGGCCTAGCTCATCGCAAGCCTTCACGGTATCTCCAACACCAAGTTGGTCGCATGACATCAGCAAATCTTCGAAACGCAGTAGCTGCAGCACCTCTAAACAATGGAAGTGCTCAGGTGAAATGCCAGTCAGGACAGTCCTGACACTCGAAGTCTTCCACACACTCAGGAACTCCGTCATATACCTCAAGAACATTCTCGATGACATAGTTGATGCGATGATTTGTCACACTGACTCGCCAACCTTTGTCCTTGACCGTGTCGTACGTGCATTTCTTGCCACTATGGCAACGACTTTCCAAGCTAAGTCCCCAGAATGCGCATAGTGAGAATAATCCAGTGCAGGAACCTTCGAAAATCGGGTCGGCCGTATTTCCAATGTGATACATTGTTGGTCGCCGGACTCTGTCAGTTACGTCCCAAGGTAGCAGTCCCATTCGCTGAGCAGCGAGGCGTTCGCCTGGGGCCTCATAACTGACGGAAGGTATGTCGAGTGTCAGGCCAACCAAAGAGGCTAAAGCACCACCAAGTGAGTGCCCAACCAGCCAGAAGGTTGCTTTAGGGTATAGTCCCTGGATCTGACCAACCACGAACATTGCAGCATCGTAGTATGAATCATTTTGAAGCAGCGAGGTCGCCAAACAGTTCGAGTCGCACTGAAATTGGCCTGTTGAACAATTGCATACCGGCGCATAGTGATATGGATTTTGCTATTAATTGTCAGCTTCGCAAATATGTGAGGATGATATCACTGATCAGGCATGCGTTGGGACTTCACAAGCACTTACTGCTCCGCAACAGCAGCTGAACAATTTGTTGTCATTTATCTGGTCTTGTCCCGAAATTTTGTCACGTGGATCAATAGTGGTACCCTTGAAAGCCACGATGACATTGCCATAATCCTCAGTAGTGAATACATGGCCTCTGATACCATCTCCTTCCCAGCCAAAACGGGATGTGAAGTTGTAGCCAAGACTTGTGTTCAGCCAGCTGGGTTCTCTGGGGTCGAACAGGTACGCGTCGCTCGTCATCTTTGCCAGATTTACCACGGTCTCTTTATCAGATGTGTTCGGAACAAGATTTGAGGCTTTGTCAATACGTAGATTAACCTGCTGCAGTTTGCCTACTTGTAGATCGTTCTCGTGCTCGACATTGTTTCCATCATGAGCTCTCACCTTCAGAGTTGCAAATGGTTGACTTGATGGATGCGAATCGACCATCTCAATGCTGTCCTTGATGTCAAGGGGGGTCGAGTAAGCTGCATGCTGGCCTAGCCTGTAATTGAAGACATGCCGGAGCCTAAAACCGGCCGCCCTCGTATCTGAATCGCGATCCGAGCCTGCATTCAAGGATGACTTTGCAATGCCACTGAGCAGAAGGTAGAGCAAAGCTCTTATTAATGTCTGAGCTGGAAGCATCTTATCTCGCGACCGTGCGGTGACTGTCGCTGCGAGTCGCTGTAATTATCTGAAGTAGAAGTCTCAGGGAACCTCAGCTCATTGATAGGCAGCCATCAGTACGATACGCGTATTATTGTCCTTATCGTGAGCCGATTGATGGCTGTAAGCTAGAACACAGGTAGTATAGTGCATACTATGGCATGCAAGGAACAGAGCTCGCCATGTTTGGCAATCGTTCGAAAGGGTCAACTCTCTTAAATCGTGACATGAAGTGAAGACGTGAATACTGTTGTCGTCCAGGATACCTACGTCGTTGGAACGTTCGGTCAACAGTAGAGCACTGCAACCATGGCTTACAGAATGCCATTGAGACATATAGCGCTAGTGCTGGCTAATCTCGACACGGGTCGGGAATCTGAATCTTTGGCGCAGTTTAAGCATAAACCTTATCTGGTACTAGTGATCTTCCGAGAAGTGTTGACGTTAATGCTGGAAGCACTTGGGAGAGGACACGGCTGGGTTTTGGTTTCGGATTATCCATCTCGTCCCACGATATAGTGCTTCATCAGCGTGCGCATTTGCTATGCGCTTCGAGAATTCATGCTTGAAGTCTGGTAATCATCAGATGAAGAATGTCCCACAGCATCTACTCATAGTGAACAGTCAAGGCGTCATGCCACGCCAGATATCAATTTCCGTTCTTGCCCAGCCTCTTGAAATATGCGATCGTGGTCGATCTGGGCGTTCGTATGCGCTAGCATAGTTGGCTCGAAATATTTGCCAATCGTTATCGATCTTGGTGACTAGTACCTGAATATGCAGGAACGACCTCGCTGGAAAGGTGTTGAGTTTCGATCTACTATCTGGCACTATGACATGGATGGCGGGTTTGGTGAGGTCAACATGGCGCTGTGCTTCGCAGCAGTGCAAGGGCAGACGTGTATAGTGCTTGCATATATTCGTGTTGGACCATACCTACCTCCTGCTTGTTCTCACAATCTGTCCAATCTTCCAGTATGAGCGCAGCTGCCGGTCACAGACAGCCTAAGTGCCATGTCCTTAATTTCTCCTATGACAAGAAGGAGAACTGCGAGTTGACGGTTTTTATCAACAGTGTCCGAGTTCACATTGATGTTAATGCTGAGAAGTTCAAGGCAGGCTCAGGTCCTGCTGCCAAGCTGGGCCGCGAGTACAGGGAGCTTCTGTCAAAGGTAAAGGAGGCGGACGAAGACTTCTCAAGACCGTGTTCGAAGGAGAATCTGAGAAATGGAGGCAAGAAGCAGGATTCCGGAACGAGGGACACAGATGGCGACAACGACAGTGGCATCGACATGAGTGAAGGTCACGACAAGATTGCCTACCCTGTAAAGCAAGCACCAGAAGATCCAGAGAAGACGTTAAGTGATTGGATGCTAAAGCCGTTCGGAGCTATCTTCGCTGAGAAAGCTCCTGCATCTGGCGTAGTAAGAGAGCAGTCTGTGCAAGATTGGTATAGAACCGCGACGTTGTTCTTTGATCTCGAGTTTGAGAATGGACAACTTGTTGCTAGAGAGTTAGAAGCGACAATCGAGCTTGAACAGCGAATGAGCGATATCGTCCCGAGAATGCACGCGCCCAAATACATCAGGACTGACAACATACTGTGGTACCGGGCCGAACAGCTGACCGTCTTGGAAGAAGATGATATGCCACCACCGTATCACCCCAGTCTCGTGAAAGTCGGCGAAGAGACCTTTTTCTTGAAGATGATTGATCCAACACAACCACAACCCTTCAAGCGTGAGATACAAATAATGAGGAAAATCGAAAAGCTGGGTTTGCATGAGAAGTTGAGGGTTCCGTTAGTGAAGGGTCTCGTAGGATTTGAAGACAGCAAAACAGAAATGATGGGCTTTCTCCAGACCGTGGTCGAGGATCCTATACCATTAACCAAACTGTTGGACGACGATGTACCACAACGCAAACGCGATTTATGGGCTAAGGAGTCAGAACGTATGAAGAACTTGCTGCACGAGCACAAAATAATCTGGGGAGATGCTAAAGCTGACAACTTTCTTGTTGACAAGCATGATAACCTATGGATCATCGACTTTGGAGGTAGTTTCACCGAAGGATGGGTGGATGAGGAGCTCATGGAGACTGAGGAAGGGGACGATATGGGTGTGGCGAGGATAGTAAACGCCTTACATGATCCGAGTGCCAACACTTTTGATCCGGATGAAGGTATGCCACCCGCACATGCTGCATCCCTAGCACCACACGGACGAAAGCGCAAGACGTCTCAAACGACCGAAGACGATACCAATAGTGAAGCCGGAGAACAGGCTGAGGAAGAGGCAATCCCGAGAAAGCGTGTGCGAACAGGGACCGCGACTGAGTTGAAGCACGAGCAATCTGAGAGCGAGGAAGAGGAAGAAGGTACAGATCAAGATCGTTACTGCTTCTGCAATGGGCCAAGCACTGGCAATATGGTCGCTTGCGATGGCAAGTGCGACCTAGGATGGTTCCACTTCGATTGCGTGGGTTTGCAAGAAGCACCGAAGTCCAAATACTGGTACTGCAATAAGTGCAAGCAACAATAGATCGGCGTGTTCATGGAGTGTAATACTAGTAATGTCTTTCCCAACGTCTCCCAGCGGACTGGGAAATGTGTATATATATCAGCTTGTTGAAGAGGGCAGTCGTGACCCCAATTTTACAGGACCTTGGCCATCACTGCAAACGTGGAAATCGAAGCTCGTTACAGTAGCAAGTACCTCAGTCTCGTATTCAGACATAAGGTATTGTTGCGGACGAGCCGACTCTGTCCTTCATCTCAAACAATCACTTTCTTAACGAAGTAAACTCGATCAGCCAACAACATAAATGCACAGCTCCGAACACGATCAGAATAAATTTGGTACACTTCGCCAGTCTGCAAAAACAATAAGGTTCGGTAAGACGCGTCGATACGTACACTAGCGTCCGTGTATCGATGACGCGTGGTAATTACATCGCGTGGCGGCGAACAAGCTGTATACGTCATTCGTAAAGAGCTTACAGCAAGTGCTAACAGCGGTAAAGGGCCTCATGGCTGGACATGTGTTTTGATTAGAACTCGCTAACTCGCGCCGAGTCTTATCTCCTTGTTTGAGTATGCATCGTTGAGAAGCTACCTAAGAGAACTGTATCAGTCGAAATACCGCTTTGAGCTGTCTGTAAATCTATACAAGACTATTGAATTTGCCTTCGAGCGACATTCCAGAAGAAGTGACGCTAGGTTGGGAAACACCCTTCGCCACACTTTGGTCAGCACATAGAGGTCTCAATAAATTGAACCCTCACTGTCAACACTATTGTTGAGACTACGATGAAGACCCACGGTATAGTGGTGGAAAGCCCAGGTGCACCATTCAAGTACCAAGACCTGGAACTCGATGACAGTCTGCGCCCAGACGAGGCACATGTACGCATCAAAGCTACAGGAATATGTCCCGACGACATGATGTTTGCCACGCAAGACAAATTACCGGACATGTTCCCATGTGTTATGGGCCACGAAGGTGCAGGGATCGTGCAAGCAGTCGGTGACAAAGTTACGGCAGTACAACCTGGCGACCATGTTGTGATAGTGACAGCAAGCTGTGGCGAGTGCGAATACTGTGAACGAAAGCTACCTGCCTATTGCGACGAATGGTTTCAGCACAACTGTGGTATGGGTAGAGCAGATGGGTCTAAGTCTTTCCGTCTTCCCAAAAGCGGCAGGAGAGTGTGCAGCCACTTCTTTGGACAGAGCAGCTTCGCACAAGATATCTATGTGAAGCAAACTGGGCTAGTAAAAGTACCCAAAGATGTGCCCTTCGAGAAGCTAGCACCTCTAGCTTGTGGCTTCATGGTCGGAGCGGGCGCAATGCTGAACGTGGTACAGCCAATAAGCAGGATGACTGTCGTGGTCGCCGGTACAGGATCTGTCGGTCTTGGTGCCATCATGGCATTGAAGATGTTACCGAAGCCACCGAAAAAGATCATTGCTGTCGACATCTTACCTTCCAGGCTAGAAGTCGCGAGATCCATGGGCGCTACTCATGGAGTGAACAACAAAGCACACAAAGACCTAATGCAAGTATTAATGCACATCACAGGTGGTGCAGGCATTGACGCCTCAATCGACACGACAGGGGAGAACGATGTCATACAGAGTCTGGTGCATGCGACAGCCCGAAAAGGAAAGGTCGTTACAATAGGTACTGGAGATACAAAAGCAGAAGTCACCCTGAACCTTTTCGAACTAGTCCAAGCTGGCTGCACCTACATTGGTACTCAACAAGGAGACGCATACCCCCGAGAGCTCGTACCAAGGTTGATTACGGCCTACAACGAAGGGAAGTTTCCCTATGATAAACTCACCAGGACCTACCCAGCAAAGGACGTTGAACAAGCTATACTCGACATGCGAAGTGGTAAGACTATCAAGCCTGTGTTGCTGTGGGACTGAAAGCAACGAGTCTGTTCTTGGCTTTGATGCCATCTTCCCCTGACCAAAGCCAGAAGTGACCGAAGGCTTGTCGCCTCGCACAAGCTCCAAACTCACAATTCGCCAAGTTGTTGACGTCGCCGACGTAGCTCAAGTGATCAGTCAGAATAGCTTGCGTTTGGCCCCCGCCAAGAATGCTATCTCGGACTTCTTACTACTTAGGCAGCAACAAATTGAGAGATGCTGCGATGCAACACCTTTCGACCAGGGCGTCAACCACTTCGCGATCACAAGTCACGAGCAATGGTATATAACAAAAGGTTACATTACAACTATGGTGGTGCACAAAAGCGTAAACGATCACAGGACCGTGGATTGAGAGTGAAATACCACCACTGGCTACAAATAGACATCTCGCAGTATACGCGAAGGGCACAACGTGCACTAACCATCGCGCAATCAGTGGTAGTGGATGTTCCATCATCCACACCAGGATATACTTCACGTCCAACAGAGAATGGAAGGGGCGTATGGCGATGGAAGTGTGGTTCAGTGGTATGAGGTTCTCGAACAAATATTCTGGTGGAGGGTGGGAAGGATAATATATAATGGTACTGCAGTAGATGTACGTATGTAATGATATATCACGACTTACGAATAGCGATTGGACTCTTGTCATGGCGCAACGAAAAAAAAAGGTATACATTATCGATCTGCATAATGTGTGTTGAATTGTATTCCCAACAGAGATCCCGCACCTGAAAGCGAACATGGCTGATATGTCGCAGAGCCTGTACAGCCCCTAACCACAGCGCCATCGCTAAATTTGGACGATTTCAATTATCCTCAACACCGTCAGTTCCTTGTGTCTTCCTAGACATCCAACCCGCGAACAAGCACAATAGAATTCCCATTCAACATCCTTTGGCTAACCTTCTCACTAAACTCGAGCACCTCACCACTCTCAACGTGGTAAACCCTCAATATCCTATCAGACCCCTGCGCCGAATTATTCAAATTCTCAACACCTAACTTGGTAGCAACCAGATCCAGTATTCGCCCAACCTTCCACTCATTATTAAACCACATCGCAGCCTCCTTCGGCTTCCCATCCTTGGTGACTTTATCAGTCGCCGAGCAATGCAGGTATAGCCTCTTATCAGTCGGGACTTTCGCGTCGCCCGTCGCGCTCTGCTTGAGTTTATTGAGATTCGCAATCTGTGCCGCTTTACTCGTCGGCTTTGGCTTGGGGCTAACTTGCTTGACGACCTCGTCTTGTTTTTGACGACCCCAGCTCTTTAATCGCCCAAAGCCTAGTTTTAGTTTATCTTTGTTCTGTTGAAAGGCGATGTCTGCTGGTCTGGCTCCGAGAGGGACTAAGTTCTTGCAATCGTGTTCTTCTGGAAAGCGGTGTTTGAGACAGTATGTTCTGTTGCAGGTGCTGCAGTGGACGCCTAGGTTCTGGCTAGTGTTTACGAAGGTCTTGCAGATGGGACTACTGCATTGTTGGGTTGTCAGTAGTGATGGCTTCTCAGTGCTCGGTAGTGCTCCTGTAGAGCTTAGTGATTGATTTTCTCGCCGCCGACGTGCCCATGCTCCTTTATTCGCGCAGTGGTGACCGTCTTCGGTGCGGTGGTCGAGGCAGTACTTGCCGCCGCAGGATTGACATTTGAATGGGAGGAAGTCGAGCTGGTGACAGTACTCGTAGCCGCAGTGGGCGCCTATCGCTTCGACGTCGCCGGCTTCGTACATGCTGTAGGAGGAGTCCTCTGGAGGTGGAGTTGAGGTAGCCATGGCATGCAACGGGTAGTGATAAGCTCTTTATAGAATTGGGAGAGCTGCTGTGTTGTGGCAAAAGACTCCTTGTTGCGTCAAGGAGTGCTTGGTGAGTAGTGATAATCAGGCTACTTTGGCGTATCGCAATCCAGATTGTTAGTGTTTGTAAGACAAGAAGCTTCGAGAGTCACCAGAATCGATAAGGCAATTGCGCGTCCATGCAAGCACTATAGAGCTCCACTGCTGCGCATTTCTGGAGCCTAAACGACAGTGGCTTTTAGTGTCTCTGCTGTAGTATTACAAACAATGACTTTGTATAGTCTGAAGAAAGTGTCAATATCGATATGCTCTCACTATAGTACCTATGCAGGGTTAGAAAGAAATATATTCTAGTAGCACCTATTCACATAACATAACATAACAAGCAGGCCATAATTATTGGTTCATACACTCATCTTCATCTTCACCCCAGCATGAGGTTTATAATTCAGAATTTCGAAATCCTGCAAACTCCATCCATCCACATTTCCATGTCCTCGATCATCTCTCTTTATCCTCAAGCCGGGAAATGGTCTCGGCTCTCGCCGTATCTGTTCTTTCAGTGCATCAATATGATCCATATACACATGCGCATCTCCTAACACCATGTTGAAAGTCTCAGGCACCAGATCACATGCATAGGCAAGCATATGTGTCAGGAGTGCATACGAGGCGATATTGAAAGGTACACCAAGTCCGGTATCGGCGCTGCGCTGATATAGTGTACAACTCAATCTGCCTCTTGATGGTGATAAGGATGCGCTACCATGGGATGCCCCGTTTTGCTGCTCTGCCTGCCACCGTCTGAAAGCTTCCTCACCTTTTGGTGCATCAGGAAAGCTGACATAAAATTGCGCAAGTAGATGACATGGCGGTAGTGCCATGCTTCCCAGATCGCCCACATTCCATGCACTTAGAATAATCCTCCGATCGTACGGCTTGTTCTTGAGTTTCTGTATTACTTCCCGCAATTGGTCAACTCCCTGTCCTTCGTAATTCGTGTGACAGTCTTTGTACTCGGCTCCGAAATATCGCCATTGAAAACCATATACAGGGCCTAAATCTCCTTCTTCACGCAGCGACTGTGGAGGGCCAAGTTTATCAAGAAATTCCCTGCTACCGTTGCCATCCCAAATATGTACGCCTTGATTTGAAAGCTCTTTTGAGTTTGTAGAACCCTTGATAAACCAGAGTAACTCAGCTATGACTGCTTTCGTGAAGACACGTTTGGTCGTTAGGAGAGGTAGGACATGGCTGTATCCTGACGGAGATGTAGGATCGACCTTGGAGAGGCTAAAGCGCATGGTAGGGGGACAGAAGACTGACAGCGTACCAGTGCCAGTACGGTCTGGACGGTGTTCGCCCTGTGCTAGAATCGTGCGGATCAGGTCGAGGTATTGGTGCTCCTCATGAGCAGGGTCATGAACCTCAGTTATCTGGGCTGGAGGTAATGTGCTGGGACTAGCAATGTTGGATAAAGGCACACCCGGTTCTAGAGTAGAGTGGGAGGTTTTGTTGTCGAAGTGGCTCGTATCATGCGTCTTCGTGTTTCCTGGTTCGTTCGTCGCGCTGCTATTGTTTACTGTGAGATTCTCCCGTATGAAGCCATTTGCATGGACTTCAGCTGGGATAGTAGTGGCATCGAGGAGTGCTTGCGTTGGTACGGACGCCATGATAGAGCTTTCAACGGAGGGTGTAATCTAGACCAGGAAAAAACGACCTTGCACTTAGGACAGTACTAGGGACAATGTGCATCGCACACGAAGGCCCAGGGAAATGTAATTCTGGCACGCGTTTCGAGTCTCCCCAACACGCGACACGCGACGGCCTATGACGTAGATAGATACGGCTTCAGGCATGATCTTCCGGACATGATGGAACTGAACTGCATTCCGGAGAAGCATTTCCTATACAAGCTATTTTCAATAGGCAGTCCGCCATCTGAGTCATTTAGTCCACCTGTTCGGATCTGTCCTTTATGGCACTTTTGAGAAGCGGAAGCACGCCATATAATATGAGCTCGAATTGTCGTAAAACGTCGTTGTACCCCCATACCTTACAAGGTGCCTGAGTATATCCCTGTAACAACACCTTTAGTCACATAGCCACTGTCAGCGTCTAGCAGCATACAAGTATGCCTGGTGCATTTTCGCAAAACTCCCCGTGAATTGTTTGATCTGAAGGCCTCTTAATCCTCCTCTGCTTCTTCCTCTGGTTGAAGCATTGATTTCGACTTACCTTTCAATCGAGGCAGCAGTCCCTTCAGGGGTTCCTCCATGACCAAAGCTTTCTTCGTCCGCAGCCCTTTCGCCTTGGCTCCCAGATTCCAGACCTGGATACCTCGATCAGTAAGAATGACCAGCTCATCCTCTGTGATTCTTATTTTGTGCTTCGACGACGTGTCTACCTTGTCATCAACTTGAGTGCTTTCGCCATTCTCGTCTTCGTCAGTTTCGTTCCTTTCATCGGGATACGGTGTTGCTGTAGCCTTGCTATGGCTCGAACTCTGCACCTCTTCGTTATCTGCTACGACGATAGGCAATGGTGCAGCAGATACCGGCTCCTCACTCGCAGACAAACCAGAATCAATCGCCGAAGAGGAGGTTGGTATCCCACTTGAAGCGGTCTGCTCGGAGACACTAGGGGCGAGAGCTGAATGCAAAGCCACAAGTTTGACAAACGAATTTTCCTCTGTGTATGTCGTTGCTTTCTTTGGTCCCAATTCCATCTCAGTGATGTTGACTTCCGGCCCTTTATCCTTCTTCCTTGCAGAGGGCTTCGCTACGGAGCCGTTGTTGTTGATTGGTGTCTGAGATTGATTGTTGTCCGCTTCCGTAAGTTGTGCTGTAGATGCAGCGGATTCTTCTTGCTGTACCATACTTGGTAAGGTCGCTGATGCTGCCTGTTCGACCTCGTCAGATGTGACAGCCTCGCCGGGCTTGTCATCGTTTGGCTGTACAAGATTTGAAGATTCACTTGCTGGAATTGGCTGCGTTGTACTTGACTGAGGCTGGACCTCTGTTGACGAAGATGGTAAAGTTTCAGGCGCTTCCACTGGTGGCGCGGCCGGCATTGTAGTCTGTTCACTCGATGCACTACCTTCAGTCTGAACATTGGTGTCTACAGAAGATTGTTCAGACGAAACCTCTGCTTCCGCGTTCACCTCTTTGGTCTGCACAGCCGTATCAGTTATGACACCGCTCGGAGCGGACCAACTCATTCTATGCGCCACAGCACCATCGAGGTCGATCACGATTGGTCTCAGTTCTGCAATATTCCAATCCAACAGGTTCTTGTCCTTCATTCGATGGTAGTAGTCACTAGCAGGGCATTGCCAAGGCTTTTTCGTTTTCTTCTTTTTCTTCTTCTTGCTAACTTCGTCATCACTATCTTCAACAACGACCTCATCGCATAAGATCCTGGGATTCAAAGCGTAGATATAGACCTTCTTCCACATTGCAATCGCAATTCTTGTGCCTCCATCACTTACAGCAACGACTTCTTTGCCTGTCAAATTGGTATGTAACTCCTCCCAACCCCACAAACGAGCAACGACGGTTGCATTTCCTGCGCTGACATGGGACATTCGCTGCAGGTTGACACGGTGGTCACAGTCCTCTGGATAGTATCTGGTTTGGCTGCGCAAGATGCACAGAACTCTCACCTCCTTTTCGTCCCAATCATGCTCGTCAGAAATATCAATTGTCGTTGTGCCAAGACATAGATGTGTTTGAAAGCACATCTCTTGACTCCCGTAAACGCGGTATTTAGCATGAGTACCGTAGAAGGGCGTATCTACGTTGAAGGTCAAGTCTTCGAATTGGATAGTGTTGGTGGAGGCATATCTATCAAAGTCGTTTGAAGAGACCGAAACGACTTGACACGGCACGATACCTCCCGCATCATAAATCTTGATACGTCTGCCTTCCTTGAAAAACTCGATACGCGCAGCCATATGCTCGGGAGCTTCCTCCTCTAGGGTTGCTGCAGATTCACTCGCGTTGCTACCACGTCTGCTTCTAGGCTTGTCCTTAGGCCATACTTTCCTGCCAATATAATGGAAAGGATAATACAACTCAGCTCTTGGTGCAGTGTAGTAAAACACCATTGCCCGTTCTGTCGGCAGTCCATGTGCAGTGTCTTGGTCCCATAGGATAGCGCATTGTGTTATACTGTAAACGCAGAAGTCTCGAGGAACCAAGTCGAGAGTCCCATAGACTGTGAAAGTCTCCGAGTCTTCCAGCGTGTAGATGTCATAGTGACAGACACGATAATTGTACTTATTGGAAATTGGTTTTGTCTGCTTTGCTGTACCTATCTTGCAATCCATGTGCTGGTGATATTGTTTTGTCAACTGAGTACTTGCCGTTGGCTTGAAAGGAGTTTCGTCCAGAACTTCTGCCTCGGACTCTGAATTGAGACCGTCCAGAGCTTCGCCATCTAAAGGTTCGCTGTCGGGGTCTGGTGATTTCCAAGCACTCAATACCGAAATATACCGCTGCCATTGCACAAGCTTTAGGACTTTCATCGTTGGGGACTGCTGGATCTTCTCTTTGACATGACCATCACCGGTGAATTGCCTGATGTCGGTGCTATCTTTGAAGACCAGAGCACTTCGTACGTAGTCAGCGTCCAATCCACTGATTGCACAAGCTGCTGGATTTAGTGTGGCATTTCTGGCAAGGTATTCGGTCAAATTGGCAGTAAAGTTCAGGCCGTAGAGGCTGTTTGTAGCACGCTGTCGTAGAAGACGAAAGAGCGCTGCATTACTACGAGATGTATCATCGAGGTCAGCTTTGTATCCAGGGATCTGTCGGAGATGGTGTAGTAATATTGGTCGAGTCTGTAGGGCAAGATCGTAGAATTCACGTGAAGTTCGTATTAGCTGGAGGAATGTGGGGGTTGATACCGTGAGGAGGATATCGTGGACGGTCAGATTAGGCAGGCTGACGGTGTTTGCATTTGCTGATGCAACAGTATCTTGTGATTGGGACGCCATTGCCGTGAGCGCTGAGTGGTGAAGGGAAATGTCTCATCTACGCATGTATGAGTGAGAAACTGTCGATTACAGAATGTTACGAGACAGTGAGCGCTAGGTTGCGAAGTAATATCATGCCGAGTCGCGGTTGGTTTTAGTCACAACGACAAGCTTGCTGGCGGTGTCGCAAGGAGGATGATATGCGAAAAGGTACAGTACACTTGGTTGGCAGGACAAGAAATGAGTCAATCAAGTCTCATCATGTCGTAACAAGTGTCAGACAGAAAAGACCAGAAGACTTCATGCACAGGCACCGGTTTGCGAAAGTGCCAGATCCTCACACGAGACTGAGGAGACGTCGTGGCAGTGACTGGTGAAGCAAGGTTGTCCCTGATCAGAAGTGCCTCCAGAAGGCACCATTGAGGAGCCTCTAAGCCTACCTGGGCAGCCTTGAGGCTTTGTAGCCGCCTGCGACAAAGTTCGACCAATTCTAGTAGTAGTAGTTCGTGCACAAAGCACTAAATGATATTTGCTCGTCTCTTATTGAATAGCGCTCTACATTGGTTGTTAGACTTCATATGCCAGAAATGGGATGAATCTAGAAGAGCCGAACAAGCTGGGGACATGCACGCCTCAACAACAGCGGATGAGAGAATCGCCTGGAAGAGCATATGCAAAAGGTATCCTGTCCGCCTCACTAGCAAATATTTTCTACGTAGAATGCAATCTATCTGGATTGTGAGTGTTGTACTGTCTGTTTCCTCCTATTGTTGCGCCTACTTGGAAACACTGGAGGGATCACTTCGTGTTCTCATCGTGCAGCCATTGGAGAATGCTTTCATAGCATAGCACGAATTGCCGGAGATTTTGCACCATGCTTAATCTTTGGCCTCTAAAATCTTCGACGGCTTTAGCAACGAGGTCGATATCATCCCGCTTGGTCCAGTCGTCCTCGGTGTCGATGTCCATATCATCTCTACCTCGACTCTGGTTAAGGCGCTGACGTTTGAGCATGTCGATGACTGAATCAATCGTGCAAAACGTGCCAGTTCTGCCGCAGCCAGCGCTACAATGCACGACAATAGGCCTCTGCCGCGCATTAACGGGTTCACTGGGTGAAGTCATAGACGACGGACTGCATGCGTCCCTCTGAAACTTGTCCACCAGTTTTATGAGACTCAATATCGACGTTGGACTTGCTGGAGCACCAAAATCCGGCCATTGTGTATAGTGTATTTGTGTAATCTCTCGAGCAGGTTGTGAAAGCTGTGCAGAATGAGAGATGGTAAATTGCCTGATGATAGCTGCTGGTTCCTCCTCAGGCTTTGGCGTGCTTGCTTTGATGTCTGACGGCTCGAAGTTGAACCTCTTTTCAGTCCCTGGAGTGGCACTTGTTGTGGTCTGTCTTCTGAGAGTGGCCGGTCTCTTCAGCGTACTATCCGCAGATGAGGCAGACTTGCGAGTCAGCGAAACCTTCTGCTCCCTTAATTGCTTCACCTTCAGTTGCCCGTAATCTCCTGTCTTCCAGTATGCATGACTTTTGACTTGACCACCCTCGGCCTCGGCGGTCAGCATCACAATGACACGAGCATCCTGTTCCCATATTACTCTCCAAAAGTCATCGAACGTCTGCGGTATTGGCGCCTGAGTAGCGATATACTTCCTGTCTGAATAGCTTGTCTTGACGTAGCTCGCATTGACGTAATCACATCCGTGTGAAGGTACATTCTGCAGTCGTACTCGAGAATGCTCATAAGGAAAGATGTTGTTGTACCTGTTCTTTGAGCCTTTTTCAATTCCAGCAACTTGTACCTCGTCCGATCTTTTCTGCTGAGACGTGTTTCCGTACTGGACTGAGCCCGAAAGAGCCTTCTGCATCCTTTTCTGCTCGAGTTTCTCGATGCTGAGGAACTTGTTAGACACGTCTTTGCCTTCGTTCGACGACGATGCAGCTCTTCTGAGCCAACCCGGCAGCCTCTTCTCCTCGGATGCTTGTACTCCTGCCGGCTTCTTGATAGGTATCTGTCCCACACCGTCCAATAGGTCCATGTTCTGTCGTATGTTGCCAAAGAAAGGATTTGCCGCGTTCTTGGTGGCGGGCATAGCACAACCCCCTGCAACAGGCAGTTGAGGTAGGCCAGGTTGCGGAGCGGCTGCCACTGGACCACTTGGATGTATATTGGACTTGCTTTCTGTGTCGACCAGTTGTGGAGTGAGCTTCTGAACACCTCCAAAACCTCCCTTAATCACGTAGCCTGCACCCTTCCAACCTTCAACGTTGAACTTCTTGAGAACAGTAAACGAGGTGATAGCCTCTTTTGGCTGGGACGAAGAAGCATCATAGACTATAATGTATTGAGCAGAGCGCCATTTGCTGAAGGAGTTTTTGTCTGCATCTGTGGTGAAGGTGTCTGCCAGCTTCTGTATAGTGAAAGCTGGTCGTTTCAGCAAAGTGGTGGGTATGCAAAGGTTGAGAGCACCCCGAACTCTAGATGCGGCATATTGAGGATAAACCCGCAGGTCGAGAATGATAACATTGTCCGGATTCTGTTCTACAAGTCTTGCCACCTCTTGAGGAGCCACCATAGCATGCACTTCTTTTGTTGCCGATGGTGGCAACGTATCTGACCTTTGCACTTTCGACTTTTCCAGTGACCTTTGAATTTCATGCGCTGGCAGCGACAAGCGAGCTTGGCTGGCGTCAGCAACATTGTGACGAGGCGACATGGATAGGGGAGAATCTTGTCTCTGAATACCGAGAAAGAAGGGGTTGTCAGCTTGATTAGCTATTGCGGCTTTGCTGCTGGGCTTGTCGCTCGAGCTCGCATCTCTTGGAGAAACAGGAGACTCGATGTTTTGATCCTGTGAAGCTGGATCGACAGAGCTCGGGCGTGTCAACGGAAGACTACCCAGTGAGAAGGAAACGTTCTTCTCAGATTGACGACGGAAGCCTTCGTAGTCGACTTTGCGCTCATCGTGGGTCACCGGCCTCGACGTATCTCTCGCAGCAGCATCCCAATTCTGCCGTGTGTGCGGACCAGGGCCTGAATCTCGTGGAATTGACTCTTCACCAACGACAAACCCAAAATAGCTCGGGCTAGGACTCTTGACATCTCTAATTGTCTGAGGTGTTTTTAGGCTGGGAGTGAATGGCGATCTCATATGGGTTGATGGCGAGGTTACGGCAAGATTGGGGCGAGGGGTGGTAAGAGGCCGTGAGGAACGAGGGCCGGCATGAGAGTGTGATTGGGAATGGGAATGGGAATGGCCCTTCCAGGTGGAAGGTGTCGCCGTCGTGGCCATTGTTCGATGAAATGGAGGTCAGTCACGATTCAGACCAAGTTATGGACTTTCTGACCGCAGTTCTAGACCGCATTACTCATGGTTATCGGACGCTTGCGATACGTTGTGCGACAAAGGACATCATTGCTGCGTGGGCGAGGGCTTTATGTACAAGACTGAAGTTGTACGACTGTGGGGAGAGATTCGAAGAACGTGTGTTTGTAATAGCAAGAAATTTACTGTAGGTATAGTGAGATGATTTTAAGTGGCAGTGTGCAGAGTCGAAAGGAGCGCAGGTTGGAGCAAAAAGGCGCTTCCACTTCTGGCCTTGCGTGTTCTCGACAATCTGCAGCCAATGACGTAGTATAGGCAATGCAGCTCCAGTCGCGAATGTGCTCGTTAAGTTAGAGTCACGGTACTGTGGTACTTCAGCCACAAGCCACGAGGCACGATCGTTCCAAGCTGGAAACAAAGAAGTCGAGAGTCTAGACTGTATATACTTCCTCATGGTCACTCATCCTTCTTGAGCAATGATGCTGCTCCGGCTCGTCGTTTAACTTGATCTCGTGTTCGCCCCAAGAGCTTCCCAAAATGGACTACTCTAAAGTTAGTCTTTTGTTTGCACGCCGTCCTTGGCAGATGAGCCCTGAGCTGACAAAGCTAAATATCTGTTGTGGTGGAATCGGACTTACAGTATCATCGTTCGAAGTCACAATCTATGAATTACTTGTAGTACCTGATTGCTTACCAGCTCATGGCAGGCAGAAATGTCACGCAAACAACCAAAAAGTAACAAAGAACCCGTATACCACGGTCACATTTGCAGTCTCGTCGAACAAAGGACCTGTTCTCCATCGAGACTTTCAATCATGCAGGGTCTATCTGGGCCTTCTCAGAGAAGTCGTGACGGATCTCGCCCGCAATTCGTCACTTTAATTAGTGGTGTGATAACATCCCCACGCTAGTTGCTCACCAACAAGCAAGTGCCGACTGGGAGTCATTTCCGTAGTGCAGTAATTCTCAACGTTACTGTCTTGTTCAGCTGTGAAGACAAACTCTTTTCCAACCTGGCCACAAGTGTCATGGAGTCATCGACCCACTCAAATCTGACGCTGGGCGTCATTGTGCTCGGATCTGCTCACAATATCGAACGAGCTCATCCTAGGTGCCATCTCAAGTCAAGCTGAACCTACTAGACTCAACATTGTCAGACGTACTTAGCATGTGAATGGGTGGACTAGAATCACCACGATGTTGTGTACTCGAGTCGTACTATAGTGGTATAGGTATGATGGCTGGTAAGTGGTATGTAGGTCGCTAAGTGGAGGTGACGTGTCTAGGCATTGACTGAGTCGTACCTGCCCCAGAATGGATGAGTATACGCCTTCACGCTCCACGGCAGTTCGTGGTGCTGTATATCCAGAGCCTGCAGACGTACTCATTGAATGGCGGCTGCAATATGCCCGATCCACTTTGCTCAGTGCGTGCCGATGTGTAAGCCTTGAAGGCAGCGGTTGAGGAATTCATCCTGAAAACTGCGTATGACTTCCAGGCTCGCTCTGATGCGACAGGCTGATCGTAATGAAGAGGTAATCAAGGAGTTGCTCTCATCTCAGATTCGACCATCCGGTTCACCTTTCCACCTCTCAACCCGCTTCTGTTCCCAACTGTCCAGATCTTTGGCCATGAGTCTGTAGTATTCGTCTCGTTCGGATGTTTGACCCTTCTGGATGACTCGCCGTCGAGGGTTGTAACTCAATGGACCTTCGCCAGTTGCGCCGCCTTTGAGACCAATCTCCATCGCTTCACTCTGACTAAGTTCTTTGTGCTTACGGTCGTGTCTTTCGTAGCGCAAAGCCGTTGCAGGAGTAAGGATAAAAGATGCGGCCACCATAATGGAGAGGAAGGGAAAGCCAAACATCAGAAAAGGCCTGCGGTGGACTTGTCGACGGTAGAATTCGGTCACCTTCTCTTCCCAGCTCAGCCCCGACTTGTTCGAGCCCCTGAAGGGTTTCGATTCAAATGCAGGCATATCGCTGATATTTGCTGGTTAGTTAAAAGGAACGAACTGAGAGGTGGCGCTGCAGGATATTGGATGATGCGGAAGGACGTGCCAAGGCTGCGCGTCGCGCCTACTGCTTATTGACGCGACTTTTGAGCGGGAAAGCTCCAAATGCAAGCACGGACACCGTACTGGTCGTGCCTGCACCTGTGGCATTCGACGTGCTTCGTTTTCTGCTATGTCACTATTTGGAAAGCCCGCCGGAAGTAGCAGCCTGTTTGGAAGTTTGAATCTCGATACTTCCGTGCCCTCTACGGCTGATGCATCCTCGAAGCGCAAATCTGTATTTGAACCCAGTTCCACAACAGAAGCAAGATCAACAGCAAACATGTTCACAAATCTACCAAGCTCGCAGCCTGCTGCGCCCATCTTCAACCTTTCAACTGCCCAAAATACGCCTGCGACTTCTGGGACTAGAGCAGGAGGCATGTTTGACAGCACAGCTGCGACACGCACAAGTAGTGGTTTGAACTTCTCATTTGCGAAGCCAGCTGCTACGTCAGCCGCCTCTACTACAGGCAATGCAGCTACTGCCCCTAACCCAGGCATCTTCAACTTGAACTCTACGACTACTCAAGCACCGAAACCTAGTCTTTTCGCTCAGACTACGGTTTCGACAACGGCACCTGCCAACCAGGGCATCTTTGCTTCAGCCAATCCACAACCAGCTGCCACTTCCATGTTCGGTGCATCAACTGCAACGCAAGCACAGAACACAGCACAGCAGCATGACGCCCCTCCGCAAAACAGAGAATCCGCATACTTCAATGGCCTGTTGGAGCGACAGAAGAAGAAGATCAAATTCAATGCCGCAGACCAGAGTGGTCGTTTAGGTCAACTTCCGAGCATGAACATGGATTTAGGTGACCTGGCAAGGAAGGCGCAAGAGCTGAATCAGAAGAGTCAGAGGTATGGTCAGTCTACTGCTAGAGACAGTAGAGCCCACTACCTACTCTCCGGCTCTGGTGTTACACCTGGTCAGGCTTACAAAGAGTTTCAGAAACTGGACACGGACACTGTTCCTGCAGCTACACCTGCTCCAAGAGATTTTGCCGAGGAAGGAACTGCTTATCTCAAAGGCATGCAAGCCAAGGGTCGTGAAGCTATGCTTCGCGAAAGCATGGATCGTGTATACCACGACGTCGACAAGTTTATCGAAGAAAGTCTAGGTATCGATTTCGACGAGCAGAAACAGCGAATCATGCAGCATTTTGGTCTAATGGCAAAAGACGAAAACGACCTTTCGGCCTCTACCAGCAGGAGTCGTCAGTCCAGGCAGTCCAAGACGAGAAGAAGTGTTTTCGGCAGATCGGGCTTGGAAAAATCAATTATTGGTGCCTCAAATTCAGTTGCAGGAAGTGCATCTTTCTTTGGCGGTCCGGGACCAAATCCTCCCACTAATCTGACTAAGAATCAGACAGTCCGAGACTTGCGCGACAAAGAGAGACTCTTCATGCAGAAGGTCGAAACCTTGAACAGAAAGCGCCTGGATCAAGAACAATATAACATCTTCAACGAATTTCAAGAGGTGGAGAAGGCCGTGCCAGGAGACGTTCCCAAGCAATTAATCGACGCATATTCGGCTCTGAAGGAGATTGCGAAGGAAGGTCCTCCAAGCAAGCCTCTGAGGGAACGCTCATACGCCGCTGAGTACGCTCAGTCAGACCAGGGTAGTAGTTCCTCGAAACTTAAGCGCCAGATTCTCGATGGTGCTCGTACTTTTCTGGAGAAATCTTTCTATCAAGAGTTGGGCGAGCTTGTTGATAGAAATCCACATTCAGCGAGAATTGGTGGCATGCCGACCGTCATCAACACAGTCAGAGCATATATACGCGTCCGAACCGAGAAACATGATCTGGCCCCAGATGGTGCTGTCCTTGAGCAGGCTGGAGACAACAACGACTACTACTGGATAATAGTCTTCTACCTGCTAAGGTCTGGCCATGTTAAAGAAGCAGTCGACTACGTGAATGGTGATCCTGCCTTCCTGTCCCTAGATCGCAGGTTCGTGTCCTACCTTACCGCTTATGCCAATAGTCCTGATAGAACCTTGTCGCGGAAATTCCAGGAAATGATTAATGGCGAGTACCAACAGCGGACCAGAGTTGCACCGAAAGGCACAATCGATCCATACCGAATAGCATGCCTCAAAGTCATTGGTAGATGTGATTTATCTCAACGTAACTTGGAGTCGATAGGCCAGGGTGTGGAAGATTGGATATGGCTGCAGTTCGCCCTAGCTCGAGAGAGCGGGTCACTCGACGATGCTCTCACCGATGTCTTTGGTCTAGAGCAAATAGCTGAGACAGTGACTGAGATAGGCCAAAAACATTTCCAGAAGAGTCAGGTCGAGAACCTGAATTCATACGGCACGTTCTTTCTCATGCAGATTCTAGCAGGCATGTTCGAGCGGGCTGTCGACTATCTTCATAGCTTCAACCCTGTCAGCGCTGTGCATGCTGCCATCGCCCTCGACTACTATGGCCTACTCCGGGTGTCGGACTTTCACACTGCTGGTAACGAACTTTGTAAGTTGAAACTTCGAGTTGCAGATGTGATTTTTCGTACTAATCATTCACAGTGACCTATTCCACAACACAACAAGCACAGATCAACTTCGTGCCGTTGGTGGCATATTATACAACCACGTTTCGAGCAGCTCTGCCTGTACAAGCAGTTGACTACCTGGTATTGATCTGCCTGAACTCTGATCTGACAAGGCCTCTCGGAGAGATCATGACTAATGCATGTCATGAGTGTCTTCGAGAACTTTGTCTGGAAACCAGGGAATTTGCAGCTCTGCTCGGCGATATCAGAGGAGATGGAAGCAGGATAGCGGGAGCAATTGAGCAGCGCGCAAGCATCATCCGACTAGATAATCACGAGCAGTTTCTTCGCTTCATCACCAGTCAAGCTGCAGCAGTCGCGGATGCTCGCGGTCAAACTGCTGACGCTGTACTCTTATACCACCTATGTGATGATTTCGACAACGTCATAGTTGTTCTCAATCGAGCACTCGCAGACGCGGTAGCGGTCGAGCTCGGTGACGAGCCTATGTCCTTGCAACCTCTGAAGCCACGAAATTCCGGTGGTTCTACCTCTGATACTGCTTCGCAGGCGTCTCAGTCTAATTCGTCGTTGTCTCTGACGCAAAGCACTTCGTCACCACTGGAACTAGCGCACGGTATAACAGCCCTCTACAATTCGAATGCGGCATATTTCGGTCGCATTAGCAACCAGAACCGAGATACAAGCGAGAGACTAATGATCATGCTATCAGCTCGAGCAAAAATCGAGAGTGCAACCAATCCTGAATACCTTACTGCGTTGGAAGAACTCAATAGCATGAAGGTGCTGCCACTCAACACGAATGGCGACATTGCTGCAATCAGACAACTTGCCACGAACTTCTCGACATTGTCCCAGCTAGTCGCTCGATGTTCTGGTTTGGTCATTCTTTGGTGTGTAAAAGCGATTTCGGCCGAACGAGAACGAATTGCACGAGAAGGTACATGGGGCATTCCTGGCAACGAGGATATTAGCAGACTTAAGTATCAACTCAATCAGATGGCGAAGGACCTTATGGTCTTTGCTGGTTTGGTGAGATACAAGCTGCCTGGACGTGTTTACGATATGCTTACTAGAGCTGGTGGTGATGTTGGAGACTATTGAGAGACGGTAGACTAGATCGTATATCAGTACACCTGCTTGGTGCAATGTTTCAAGCCATTCGTACTATGCACACGCTTGAATAGGCTGGCTCGTTCTGCTAAGGCATGGCCACGGAGACTCGTCATGGTATACTATTCTTGAATAAAGAAAGCAGCAGATCGTAAATACATTGCCCCAACGTATTTGCGATTTTCCACGGCCTGTATCACAAAACGCATTGGGCTCACCCCTAACCATGGTAGTGAACGACACCAATATCAGTATCAATATCAGTATACACGCACACACACACACCTAAATACATCCACCACGAGGAGACGTCGAATATGGCGCAGCAACGACCATCTACCATGCACCCTACTCTACTTCAAAACTTTTGCAAATGCGCTGTGGTACGGATCATCGAGTACAAAAGTATCGGGAGGATAACTGCATCAAGGCGATCCAACCCCACTCTTCGCGTGAGTCGCTCGTTAGTGCGCGAAGCCAGGCAATTTGAACTCCACCTGGGGCGGATCGACGCGAAAGCTACGAAGTTGAGCGTGGTTATGGTTCTCGGAAGCTGTTGTTGCTCTATTGTGAGGAAACTTGTGTGAACTTGTGTGAAGGTAAGGAAGCGTAGGCTCAGATGACTGTTACTATCACAGGGTTGTTTTCGAGGGTATAGAGCATATATGCCGTCAGATGGCAGACGATTGTTTTTCAGGCATGCGAAATCGTTCTCTTCGAGGTACATGGTCACTTTTTTAGTTGTCGGAACGTTGGCTCATCTCAACACAGCCCAAAAGTCCTGTAACATTTCGATATATGTAGTTCTTTCGTACGACGTGTAAAATGGCAACTATGGGATGTTGTAACACGCATTTCAGTTTAACGTGATATCGAAGCGTGGCATTATGGGTCCGCAAATTGTGGTCATACGACAATGTGAAAGACGCGATACTCGCGGTTTTCAGCTCTTGCTTTCAGCGACGCATGTCTTCTCTGTGGGCATAAATATGTCAGCTCGAGTATGCGAGGTTTTCAAATTCCTGCTGAGAGGATCCTGTTTAGTACACGTGAGCAATCTCAGTAAAAATCATTCCCTGCACTTTTTGGTATCCAGATGACGAACGAATCAGCTTCCAGATCTGCTGGCACCACGAGGTTGCATCTGGACTTGTGCATTCGAAAGATGAGTGAGTACACAAGGGAATATCGAAGGGTGTGCAAATCCTGACCAGACGTGTTAGATAGTGTGTCTTCAACAATTGTTCAGTGTCAGTCATGTGCTGGGTGTCAATACCGCCAGGCACAAGCAAGGACTCAGCGTAAACTGAAAAGTGTACTCCGCACACCAGATCAAGTCACTGAGGACTTTCGTGGTATAGGAGGACGATTCGATTGACTGTAGGTCTCTTGGGGGGTCGATTCGCACAATTTTCATCGCTGGTCATGTATGTTTTCTCGATCGCAGTTGCGTTGCTTCGAGATGAGGACTCCGAGCAGATTGCTGCGGAAGCTGCAGTTCACGTCTTGGAACGGTGAGATACTCATCTGGTTCATTGTGACTGCTTGGCGCTTCTATAGTCCATTATTCTGGTGCTTGTGGAATAGGTGAAGAGGAACCCGAACAACAAGTAGGGAAAAGCAGGCGTTTCAATCTGCATAAGGTGGCTTGATTTAACCCTGAAACTATGTCTATCATGGACATTCGCTTGCGAAGAAGGCGATGAGGTCGGTGGCGCGGACGAGAAGTGAGCTGGCGTACGGGCACGTGACTGGATACTGATGACGAGTTTCCCAGTTCTACTCCATTCATGCCCCTCCTCGACCCTCACCGCCGTCTCTTTGGTACAGAGAAATCATGTAACACCATTGAGGAATGTCTGAATTTTGACTATATTTTGGTTCATGCTAAGTGTCAGACGATCAGGTCACAAGAGACCATCATCGTCAGGAATTTGCATCGTCGTAAGAGACCGTGTTGCATCCTGCACAACTGCTGGAACCACTCTGATATTCTGCAAGTCACACCAGAGTCCGACCATCATGCCATGCCTCGTTCGAAGATCTGTTTCACTTCCATGCCATCCTTGCCCCTGAGCAAACTCTGCACGTTGACCAAGCTCTTCAGCCACTGTAGCAGCAAGACGAGCTAAATTCTGGATCTCGAGTTGTGAGGCATAAGGTGCTCGGTTCAACCATTGCAGGAAGCTGCTTCCTAGATCTGCACGTCCAAGCTCAATAGCCTTTACCATATTCTGCGTAAATGGTGGCGATGCAAAGTTGAACTCGATAAGCCGGTCGACAATCTCTTTGTTTCCCGAAGCGAGAGCGAGGTCCAGTAGTCGTGGTCCGGCCTCTGTAACGGACGGAACATCTGGTCGAATCTCTAGCATGAAATTGCAACATTCAGGAGATCCTCGGGCGATCGTCAAAGCAAATACCGTCAGTCCACGAAGGTCTGCCCCTGCATATCTTAGAGCCCTTGGACAAATGGCGTATATTTCCTGCATCATTTTCAAGTCACCTGCCTCTGCCACGACGTGAGCGAATGTCCTGCCAAGAATGTCAATGTCGCAAGAGGTTTGCTTCCATAGTTCAACGGCAGCTTGCTTGTCACCATTCCAATAAGCAATATGACATGCTGGAAAGGAGCTTTTCAGTTGTACAACGGCACTAAGTTGAGCTACGGAAGCGAGAGCCACTCCAATATACCGAGATTGAAGGAAGTGGTTCACATTCCACTCGGTTTTCCGGTATCTTTCGATACGTTGGTGCAGAGACGATTGATGAGGTTGATAAGGGAAATTAGCACCTTGACTTGGGTTCAAAATGTGCCGCACGCAAGAGTATATATCTGCAGCATTAGCTGTTGATATGGCTTCTGCTGATCGATGCGGGTGATAGGCCAGGTTCTGATGGAGTTGACGGAAGAAAACTCCCGTCCAGATGGCATACTGACTCATGAGCACGTGCTGTGAGATGAAACCGAACACACTGTTTTGTATCCGAATTGCGCTTGCGACGCTTCGAAGCGAGCTACTCAATGCCCAGCTCTGACTGAGAAAGGCCGAGGTCAGGTCGAAGGGATTCACACATGGAAAGGGGTAGATGATGCTATAAATCTTGTCACACTGAAGTTGACAGAGATTGAGAAGGCCCAGAATCGCGAATATAGTTGCGGTGAACTCGGAGCCGTTACCACTGCTTGTAGTTTCACTTCCTGCTCGTATCCGCGCGCTGCATGAACGACCCTTCTTGACGCATAACCTGCACCGCCAGTCCGTCTCGTGGTCCACGCACTTTGCGTGGTCTTTCTTGCATTGAGAACAACGATGATTGTCGTTGATCGCTTGGTTTGATTGTCCTGCACTCGTCACGTTGTTGTCCATATTGTCATGAGTATAGGAAAGGCTCGCTGGTAACACTATGTGCTTGAGGACAGAAATGCTGCGATGCAATGTTCTTCACCTTAGACCAGATGAATTGATTGTGGTTGACGGTTTTGGAAGGAATGCTCCGGCTTATGGAGGTCTGCACATCGGATTATCTGGTAAACCATACCTTAAGGATGATAACAGATTACTTCCTCGTTCTGCCAAGATGTCCATTGGTTCTGTTACTTCGTTGAAGCGTGGCCAACAAGAACACTGTGAGCATGCAGCACCAAATTTTAGCCACTTTTGCTGGTGGATCATTTCTTGGAAAGGCAGGCCTTGTGTGGTATGGCGGTGGCTGCTTATGATACTGACGACGACTTCGTGCAGACGGCTTTGAACGGGCTATGCCAGAGCTAGTCTCTGAAAGTACTCGCTCCAAACCTTAGCATCGCGACTTTCGCGAACTAATGTGCCGCTTGCAAGGTTGTTTGGGCACGTATTTTGCCTTGCGCCAACCATTGCCTTGTCTGAATCTGCAAAGCACTATTGTTGTTCTCCATGGATCGAAAGCAACGAGCTAGACGAAGTGCTACGGCGGACTGTGCGGTCCTCACAAGGTCGGCTCCAGGATGGACTGTATGTCGCTATGACATGAAGCTTATTTGCAATTCGCGTATTCCTGCCTTGCATCCGAGGATGAGCTGCAGCTGATACACTGGCGACAAGTCTGCAAAATTTCCAAAGAGCCCTTCTTCCCCTCTGCTGTCCTATTCCATTTTTTTGGTTGACATTTTGATCCGATAATGCCCTCTTGACCATGGGAATGGTAACCAAAACAAACTCGTCGCATGTGGTGCGAAAGCATTTGATGAAATGTGAGCAATGTCGAGAACACAAGAAGGGATGTAACCCAGCAAATCGCGATTGGAGAAGCAAGAAGGAGAAATGTGACAGGTGCAGTCGTCTTGGGCATGCTTGTGGGCCTCCTGAAAGAGCTTCGAGAACGAGCCAGGGAAAGAGTACAACAATCGGCTTTTGTGTGAAAACAACTTCTAGTGCACAAGTCTTGACGAAACATAAACAATCCAAGTTTCTGCGAGATGACTGCTTTGAAGCTGAAACTGATCGATCTAGCAGGAGCTCATCGTCATGGCAGAGTCCTGCATCGAGCAGTTGTGTACCTCCGTTCCAGTGTCCTATGGTGCCCGCAAAGTGCACCTTAGCAAAACTCGGCGACTTGCACGCAACGCGGCAGCTGCTCCGAACAGATCTTCTTTTCTGTGAACGAGTTGGGCGGTTATTGGATGACCCGGTCTTGATCGACAGCATAAGAGCTGCGCTCACAGCGAGCGTACACGCTGTTGAGGTTATGTTTCGGGTTGGTGTACGAGAAGTACGAGCGAGTATGGAGAATGGTGATGACTTAGGGTGCTCGCGAGAATTTATCTTGTCAGAACTATTGCGTGTCCTGTGCCAGTTCGTCAATTCGCCAACAAGCTCATCCTCAGGACCCTTACCAGATCAGCCGGGACGTCTCGATCTGGCACTGCTGCAGGAAACGCCGCAGAATTCACGACAGGATAAAAGTCTTCACTCAGAAGCCGAGTTTCTCAGTGGTGGGCTTAAGGACATGCTCAGCGAAAATGCATCGCGCGCACGATCCACTTCGAGACAACCGAGATCATATGTAAAAGCAAGTCAAGCTATCAGCCGCATACTGTCTGAAATCGTGCTCGACAGTCGTGAACAGAGACGTCTGTTGTATGAATGGACGTACCCGCCAGGTCATCTTGCATACATGTCTGGCGACGATGATGCAGCGTTTGAATTGTGGCAGAACCCTTACAACGAGGCTAGAATTGATGTCCTGAAGCGAGACCTGGTACACCTGGCGGTCTACACGTCTGACGCACAAATGCTTCAGCGTATGTTCCGATACGATGACAAGGCTGCAGCGAAGGTGACTTCTGACCTCTTCGGGTTGACTCCACTTCGAATTGCAGCATGTCGTAACGATATCTTGTGCTTCTCGTTGGTGTGGCAGTACGATAGTGACAGCGCTCTGAGAGATGAGATCGGACAAAGTGTGCTCAGGCTTGCTGCCAAGAATGGTAGCTGTCAAGTCGCAGCTTTGATTCTGGGCTACAGTCCTCGACGACCCGCCCTTCTACCAGCACTTCGTGCGGCGATCAACGCTGGGAATGAGGAAATCTCGAGCATCATTGTATCCCACTTTAACGACAAAACGTGTCTGGATATTACACAGCTACGACTGACGCTTCGGGAGGCTCAAAAAGCTGGATTCGTTGAAATTGCGTCCAAGCTCGAACTCATAAAGCAAAGATCACCTGCAACGGCAATAGCACAAACTGTGGTAGACCCTGCGGTCTTCGGCGGTTGGAATTGTAACTGGTATTCAGCAAGCACAGACGAAGTATTTGCTGACTTGACAGACACCTCCTATTGTGACATGTTGCAAACAACAAACATGAACGAGGAACTTCTTTATCAATTTCCCACACCGATTGACCACGGCTGCAGCTACTTACACCCAGATCTGACGCCAACATATACGTATAGGGATGCAGTGAACGGACTGTTGATAAGATGAGCTCTTTGCTTTCTGTTTCCATCTCAAGCCATTCACAATGTCCAAATAGTCGAACTAAACTTGTCGGACGACAGGAAAAGCTTGGTCACTAAGGTCGAGTTCCGCTGTGAAGATTAGCACCCAGGCAGATGGAAAGCTGTGTATGGTGCAGCACAATACCCGTCACATAAGCGTCCTGGAAATACTATCCAGGCATGCACACGTTTAGCGAGCGCAGCAAACACGCCAATACGTTATCTCGATGCAGCTTCCAAGAAGGCAATGCTGCTGCGAGGAAGGACGCGATGATATCTCTGAAGAGGAGTCTGATTCGTGTAGTGGCATTGACGTCGATGGAGCTCGTCTGTCGATCGTGAAGGAAGATTCTCGTGCTTGTTTGCTTGTCTTCCGTCATCTCGTGATCCAAATAGAGCAGGCTGAGAACCAGGCAAGTAGCCTGCGTGTTGTGGACATATATACCGAAGCATAAAGATTAGTGTCCATGTTTCTGTGTCTCGCTTAGTACTGCCAGGCAAATGCCACTTTCGCAACATGAGTCAGCCACAAAGATGTTGTGCCATTCAGATTGCCTAAGTAAGTGTGGTTGAAAAGCGACCACCCAATCCAGACTCCAGACATCTGAGTCGCACAACAAGGCGTGGTACATACGTATATATAGTCGTGCTCATGCTCAATTTGCCTGAAGCAGAGACCTAGTGGAATTTGCTAGTCAGCCTCTGCATCGTTCATGGTTTCAGCGAGCAGATTAGCTGTTGTCCGACACTAGCAGAAACGTTTGGTCGCAAAAGAGCAGATACGCTGAAATCGCGTTGTAAGGCACGAGTCGCACTCGCAGTCGCATTTCGGTCGCAACTGCCCAACAGCTAGCTGCAGAGAGCTAGCCTGATTCGAACAAGTGTCTCTTCGCATTAAGCTTCGTATTGATTTCTGATTGACGATCGTACGAACTGGAACCACATTCTGAAACGAAATAGGCCCGATCGCAAGACAGCCGTCTAAGGTTCTCACGTCCTGCCTTCCCAGGTGCAGCTCAGCGCACCGGTCGCAAAGCATGGGAAGTGCAACCTTATGCGATCTATCTTGCTTGCGAACAATGGGTTAGCCTCAATGCTCCTCAACGACCATAGTATTCAAGTTCGTTCTGTGATGGATCAAGTATATTTGCCAGCCGAGCGGTATCATGCTAATAAGCAAATAAGGCTCAAGCTATTACACAGATATTCCCAGCCTTGGTTCTGAACACCCTTGGCTCCGCCACGGAGCTCTTCGACTCCTCTTCAATTCCGGGTCCTGTTGTTATTCGGTCCCAGATACGGTCACAAATTGAGCCACATCAAAATGTCGTGTCACTTTTGCGACCGCAGTGTCAGGCGATATGTACTGTGTAGACGCCCCCGGCTCTATTGCAAGTGCTCAGACCTACTTCACTGATATGTTATCCTTGTGAAGCATACTTAACACACTTTCTCACCACGAAGATGTACGACTCGTCTCTGTCATTTCTCTCACTTATGTTGCAGCCAAATGTCCTCAAGTGCATCTCCGTCTCCTTGGCATACTGATGGGTTTCCACGGACCCATATTGCCGAAGAGCAGGATACAACCGCATTCACAAGCGCATGCCGACACGCTGCTCAAAGGTCATCGTCAAGCAAGAGTTACAGAATTCCAGACCTTCGTCGTCACCGGTGTCGGCTTAGTGATCGGTCCTCCCCAGATCCACCACCACAACGTCCATATCATCGACAAGGACATGCTCGGTCACATCCTGAACGTCCACACCACATCACCAGTACTAGCTTGGAGCAGTGCCGAGAAGCTCTTCTTAAAGTCTTCCGCTACTGTACGGATCATGATTTTCGCCAAGTATCTTGCGTGATATCATGTGTGCTAACAGCTAGAAGACCACTCCGGGTTCATGAGCTGGAGGATGCTGTAACACTATCAACCTGGATGCTGCTGCAGCAATTTCCATCAACGATACCTCCATCAAGTCCAGAAGATAATTCGACGTGGTTGCGCTACTTCGAACTCCTGCTGAAAACGAACGTAGAAGGACAGGTTTCCTTCAAGCAACACGCCATGGCCTTCTTCTTGCAACGCTTTCGCATTGAGGGCATCGATACTAGTCATCGCACCATAGCATTACTTTGCAACGAATTGAACGAGCTTGAAGGCTTTGTGCCCGATACTGGAATCAATGGCCAGCCTGTGTCCCAGCGCACCACTTCGTCATTCGCTACCTATGCAAGCAAACACTCGCAATACCATTACCATATTGCCAGCAAATCGAGCTTATGTTTGAGGACTGACAGCTCGTGGAAGGACATTTCAACCATTCGAAGACCGAGCTTTCTTGTGCCAAATCCCACGTCACGAGCCGAGGACGAGAGTGACTTCGAAGTCATCGAGAAAGATTTTAGACAGTTGAAAATTGACGCTGAGAGTCAGGACTGGATTTTTGTAGACAGCGCGTGACATCAACTCTTGATCTAGCCACGATACATGTACGTTGTGTTCATAGCCTGGTTGGGCTATATAGCACGAAATTACGTTTCAATCGCATTGATTCAGCTTTTGGAAATACTGGCATGGCATGTCTGCAGTCGTTCATCAGAAACTCATCAGCCTATATTCATGGTATCGTCGCCGTCGTCCTTTGCACCACCATCAATGTCCATCTCAGTTGGAGCGGTGCCTCTATCACGACCAGCCACAAGCTCTCGCCGTATCTCCGGTCCGATCTGCGCATGTCCGCGAGCTAGGATCAGGTCCAAGAGAGCTTCTCTTTGGTCTTCTGTAATCTCGTTTCGATAGGTCTGAGCAAATACCAGCAAGCTCTGATGCCACAAAACAGGCAGTTTCGCTTCATTAGCACCCAGAGCTTCCTCGTCTTTGCTTCCCCTGAATCTCAGGAAATGAAAGACTAGCGCATCCACAACTTTGTAAGGCAGTGCGTACTTCTTGCCTAACAAGACGCGAATGAACATGTTTGCGGCACCTGCTGCTTCGCTGTTGATCATCGATGTCTGTTCGGCGCAGATCTCGCAGAGGCGCAGAAGAGCGGCGGCTGAATGCAGTGCTGGTACTTTTATCTTCGCGAGGACAGATGAGACGATAGTTGCTTCTTTCAAGGTACAGCCCGAATTGACTAGGGGGAAGAGAAAGCCCTTGAAGAAGGCCGCCGGTCTGTAGAAGCATGCTTTTATGGCATTATAGAGATGTACGTTTAATTTCTTCGTTTCACCAATCTCTTCTCGTACGCGATCTAGCAGGACCGTCTCAATGAAGTATTGTCCTGTTGAGGTGTTGGCACTGACGAAGATCTTAGTCGCTCGATATATGGCATGAGGTGTCCATCGTTCGGGCTGAGATATCGCTAGCAGATCTGGCCATTGTGGAAGTGTTGGCAGGACTTTGAAGGGTTTCGGCAACGGACCAGATTTGTACCTTGACAAGATCTGGCCTACCTTTTCAAAAGTCTCAGCTACTCTTGCGGGAATTTCCACTGCATCTTCTGGTGCACCTCCACCTCTTACTGGGCCTAGTCCTGCAGCTTCTCTGTCTTCCTCGGCCTCTTTCTCAGCGATACGTTGTAGGATGAGTGCAGTAAGATTCGTTCCTGGTCCAGTCGCTTCCTCTTCGTTTCGTCGTGCATTAGAGTCACCAGTTGTGCTCAGACCTGCTAGCGACGAACCGAAGCCTTCGAATTCTTCGCCTTCAGGAAGGAATTTTTTGTAGACTGCCATTTCTTCAGGATTTACCTCTTCCTCCACTACCTCCTCTTCCTCTTCGGGCACCCATTCATCCTCGTCGTCACCACCTTGCGGGTACTTTTCCTCCTCGTTATCGTCAAACCGCGAGTCGAATTCGAACGTGCCCTTTGGCTGTCGTGGTTGTGCTGCGCTCCTCTCCGCAGATTCTTCGTCTGCAAGGTCTTGTGCCATGGCAAGGATCTTCTTCGACGACCGTGCGTCTACGAAACCATCTCCTTTGGTCTCCTCATCTGATCGGGATTTCCTCTTGCCAGTTATCGACTTCGTGCGCAATCGGCCTCCAGCCATTTCGATATCTTGTGCCAGTGGCACATGCCGCCTCGCGCTCGCAAGTGAGGCCATTGTAGGGTTGTCTAATTTATTGATTCTTCGCTCGTTATATTCCACACTGTGACACCAGGATCTTTACAAGGACCAAGATTAACTGTTCGCGGGGCAAAGTTTGGTAAGCGATATGTGCTAGTATATTTCCAACATTTTTATTTTGAAATCGGCATGGAGATCTCTAGAGTGCCGAAGTTGAACCGATACAACTCACCTCAGCGTGGCGTCCATCAACATCTACTAAAGCGAGGTCTGACAAGCATTACTTCGGATCCCAATGTTTCATGATTTGCATTGATGATGGTATCTTGGAATTGCGGCCAGGTATTCATACCATTGTATACAAGCATTTGTTTGTGTATATGACCAATACTCATCTTTATCGAGTCTGAACTGCCTCAGCTGGTACTTTTGATTGAAGGACAAACAGCCTGTATTCTCACTTCCAAGTTGGCAGCATTGACGTCCATGAATTCCCTCTCGGAATTATTTGTCACAGTCATCTTCGTTTGAGACTGATATATCGATGACTGTCTTCATTTGCTGGAGATCAACATGCCAAATTCTCTTCACTTGGTCAATTACACGTACTTAGTGACGACTGATTTTACATCTAGAGGTTGATTGAGTCGACAAGCACAGAAGCAATCAGCGGAAGAGGACTAGCGACATGGTCGTTGTCGCACAGAGACTATACAACAATAGAATCCCGAGCGATCATATTCTTCGAACATCTCGATTGAACCCCATCAAGTATCGTCCCAATGCTTCAGAAGATCCACGCTCGCCACGTCTTGGCTGAGGGACAGACGCGAGCGATACGTGCCACTGACAGCTTGACGCCAAGTTGATTTGACTGATTATCCCCTACGTCGGGATCAGTATGAACCCTTCAGTATAGTCATTGAAGGAATGCGCTGAAAGGTGTGTCATTTTGAGCAGCGGTAACGAATCTACTCAAACCAGACACATGGAGTTTCTATGTAGCGATCGCCATCGCTGTCGACGAGGTAAACACTAACAGAAGAGATACTGTGGTTCCAACAGACAATCATGTCTCAATTGAGAGACGTCTGGTGTGATGCTCTATGCGTCCCGAAGATAGTGGGTAGGAAGCATCGAAGCCTATATTTGTTCGGTAGATACGGGAACAGGCATTGTCGTATGACAGCTGATCTGAGACAACAAACAGGTCGCACGAGGTGTAAGGCCGGGTGGCTTATGGCCCTATGTCGTCTACCGAAAGGCGTATCTCCTGAAGCCACCACTAGCGCGACCAGACATCTGGGACCTATGCTTGGAAGCGTTAGGACGACTCTAGAGCTTTCGACTACCCTGACTCAATCGTGATGACGGAACCTGGGTGCCAGCATAACCTAGGCTGACCAAGAGAACCTCTCAGTGTTTCCGCTGGTTTTACTGTATTGATTCTGAGCTACAACTTGTGCCAATGAGAATTGATAACTCCAGCAGAACAGCCACGACCTTGTCGGCTGGCATAGCCTTCTGGACTAGGATCTGGTAAGAATAACTACTGATATATCGAGACATTCGACAAATTGCCACATAGGCATGTGCATCATAGCTGACCCATCGTCTTCATTCACTTGAGGATTGATAACATTGTTGCTGACACGATAAGCCAAATCACTAAAGCGACATCTGCATGCCGACAGGTGCCCAGGCACCCATTTACCTAGCGGCGCTGGATGCTTGTTTCACGAACGTGATGGAGTTTGGCGAGGACGGGAGATCAACTGTCCACGCCAAAGCTGAAAGTTGCGTCAACATGAACAAGCCTAATCAAAGCAAGTACTTTCACTCATGTGGGATTGAGGTACAAACTGGTACCAAAGCTTTGGAAAGAGACTGAGCTAACCTATTCGAAGCAATGTCAGGCAACCACAATAGACGTGGTGGAACAAAGGAAGTGTCCAGACAGGATGCATCAACCCCGACTTCAAATCTCGGCATTCTTTCTATTGCACATGTCGGCCGCGTCTCCTGCTTTCGACCGGCTAGCACCACACGCAATCGAGGCTCGACAGGTACTTCTGTAAATGTTTCGAGTTTAAACATTTTGACTACGACTGCTAGACCTCAACAATGGAGCGAAGTCGTGGACATCAAAGTGCTATTGGCGTGAATTGCGAGGTTTGCAGATCCACTGCCTAGTCATCTAACTATTGAGTTTTGCCTGGACAGACGGCGGAATAGGAGACTAAGAGCCAGACCAGCCAATTTACCTGCGACCAGGTTCTGTGCTTCGCTTTGTAGACTTCCTGTCAATAAGCCCAGCAGCTTCTTAGTGCCACTCCTCTTCAATAGACCACAACTACAAAGCGCTCTATATGCTACCACACTACTTGTAGAGTGCTTCCAAACAACCCGGACTAAGGTAGCTTCTGCCACCGGGTCATTGCGTTCGCCTAGCAAATTACCCACGTTCGGGTCGCGCTTAGGGGCGTGGACGGAGCTTGTTGGAACCCCTCGGCATCTGGAACAACGCCCATGAGATCCGTTCGAGAGCAACCCGAGCCGCAGCCAGTCTACTATCTTTTCGACGATTCATGTCCTGTACTGCATCTCACGAGCTCTACCCGAGGCCCTCACCACGACTCGTAAAGTATTCGTGGCATACTTTGTTGCTGGAGCTTAGACAAATCTGTCAACAATAAGCAATAACAACATCGAGCAATAACCATCCTTCTGCGACACCAAAAGTGTATCGTTGCGACCTTTCTCCGCCCTCCTTTCATAATCTTTCAGTCCATTGCTCAATTGTGAAAGCTCGCATACTCGCTTCCATATCACTCATCGGAATTTGCACGATTCAACGCGACCTGAAGAAACCTATCACAAAAACCATTTCATGTACAATTTGTTACTGGAAATTGCGGCGAGAGTGTCGCGAAATCCCGAATGCGCGAAGACATGAGCACCTTATTACAGAACAGGAGTCCGTTCGATAGTCCTTTCAACCAGAATCCAAGAGTGCTCCCCTTGCACACGGGCTCGCCTAGATCCGAACATACCTCGACGGCATCCCCTTCTGCGAGTATGGGGCCACCTTCGAATAATAGTCCCGAAGTCGAGCAACGCTTAGATGGAATGAACGGAAGCAGTCCGAAACATGCAAGAGAGCAAGGGCACATAGGTGCCGCGGCCATGAACGCTGCCCAAGGGCCTAAGGTGGTGCAAACGGCCTTTATACACAAGCTATACAGTATGCTCGAGGATAGAAGCATCGAGCATCTGATATCCTGGTCGAATAATGGAGACAGCTTCGTCATGTCACCTTCGAACGAGTTTTCCAAGGTGCTCGCGCAGTATTTCAAACACACCAATATATCGTCGTTTGTGCGCCAGCTGAACATGTACGGCTTCCATAAAGTCAGCGATGTCTTTCACACTGGATCATCTGAATCGGCTCTCTGGGAGTTCCGGCACGGAAATGGAAACTTCAAGAAAGGCGATCTACTAGGGTTGAGAGAGATCAAAAGGAGGGCCTCCCGTCACGCCCTCATACAGCGAGACTCGTTCACGCAACCATTAGTAAAACCAGTTTCGACACAACCAGGCACGCCATCAGAAGCCATGCCTGACCCCGACCAAAGGCTAGCATATTTGGAAAGTATGCTACACGATGTATATACTCGGTTAGCAAGAACCGAAGACAGCTGTGCATTAATGACATCCAGGTGTCAAAATCTGACAGAAAATATTGGAAAGTGTCATCAATGGATTCGACAGCTGTCACAAACAGTGCATACTGCTTTACCTCCAGATTCTGCTCTACGAGTTGATCTTTCAAATGTTCAAAAAGAGGTAGATCGACAACAGGAGATGCTGAGAGAGGCAGAGCCTACAGCAAATGGTAGAGGGACTTTTTACCCACCAACTATGATGCTTGATCCTCCAGTTTCACCACGAGGCTATGCCTTCAATGATAGTCGTCGTTCGTCGATACAGATGGAGCCGCCTCCACATTTTGGCGGACGTCCACCCGTACCACCAATACCACCTCACTTTACGTCCCCCACCGCTCGGCGCTTTGGCTCGATAAGCGCAGCTCATACTTCTCCTGGTTTCAGCAAGCCAGCATTACCCACTCCAGTGCAACCACATCCGCTCTCGAATGTGAGCGAGCCTTCACCTAGCCTCTTGCGACGACATACATCAGCTGATATCCGGGAGCATTGGCCTCCGAATGCAAATATGAACGGGTCGCCTTTCACATCCGGTGCAAACTCGGTCACGTGGCAGCCATCCTCCCCTAATCAATTGCCAGATACCAGTGGTGATCAAGCACTGCAGAACCAGCTGGCGAGCTACCAAATAAATGGCTCTTCACGACGGACAACAATAACCGCAGCGGATCCTCCAGAGTCGATCCCACCTGCACACCGTTCAGATGAACTCCCACCACCATCCGGACTAGGTGTTGGAAACGTCAGCTGGGGGGTGGGAGTTAGCAAATTTCCCAGGTCCAACTTCGATCTACATTCCGCACCTGCTACAAGACGAAGTAGTATGGTGCACTCGTTGTTGAATCCCGCCGATACGGCTGAGCAGGATAACGAGGACGAAGGGGGACCACTCGATGACCGGAAACGAAAAAGAATTGTGTAGAATACTTGCTTCTGGAGCAGGCAATGGAAGATACCCGAGAGTATCCCGTTCAAGGCTGTATGTGCCTAGATCAAAATTTGACTTAGCATTTCCAAATCTCAACCTGCTTTACTCTTCTTCTTGCCACGTTCTGCGAGAAGTTGATCGAGGTAGCTTCCAGGACGTTTCTTGCCTCTAGACGGTACAGTAGTTGCAGATACTCCCTGCCGCTGTAAATCATTTGCCTCTGTGTCCGACACCTCTACGGTCCGCTTCACCTGATTATTGTTACGTGATCGTCCTTTGCCCTCTTCCTCGCTTTCGGAATCTGCTGTTCTCTTGGACACCGCAGATTTCGCCATTGCCGTGTTAGGTCTAACCTTTCGACTTGATTGATACTTGCCATAAGCTTCCTTGCTTAGTAATTTTCTTCGTAAAGCATCGTTCGCGCTCAGAAGCTGGCGGTTCAGGATATCGTCGTCTTCGACATTCGACTTCGGTGCACCAACTCCAGAAAGATCATCGTCACCTCGAACCTCTGTCAAATCTTCATCCTTGTCAGTTTGTGACTGGTCATCTTGTGCCTCCTCTGGTAGAGCCGCTGCCAGCCATGATTTGGCTTTGCTTTGGTTTCCAGCTCTGTTAAGCAGTATCTTGTTGATCAAAGCATCATCGTCGTTACCATCAGCCATACTCGGGCGTATGACTGTCGACTTCAGGTAGGAGAAAAGAAGTTTCACGTGCTTGTCTTCAACAAGGCTGGGACAAAAAGTTCATGTTGTGGCTTAGGAGGCTTTGCGGCGGAAATACCCGAGCTCTTTCGGTTAACTGCACCCTGAGACGGGCACAGCTTTGGCCGCAGGTGCAGCCGCGACAACTGCTTGTAAACTTGAGGAGCAGCGACGACTTGCTTCGTCTTTGTCTACAGCACAAATTGACCATGTTCAAGCTTGCAGCACGTCGCAGCTTGGGTGTCGCCCTTAGGGGTACACACTTGCAGGTAGGTTCGAACCAGGACACTATGAGTACAGGCAAAGCGATACTGATAAGCTGAAACCAGGATACTGCCGTTCGAAGCTCATTTACACAGCAGCAGAGGAGGAACTTGTCTATACACGAGTACCTCTCTGCTGGCCTACTTCAGTCTGTACGTTGTCGACCATATCCTCCACACGCCGCGTTCTAATCTTGTGCAGTATGGCATTGGTGTGCCTAAAGGTGAAGTCGCAAAGACAGCAGAGGAAGCGGAGGCTATTGCGAAAAGAATCGGTAGGATGTCTCTGCAATTTGTTGGACTGGAAGCTGACGGCAACAGGCGGCGATGATATGGTCATTAAGGCTCAGGTGCTCGCTGGTGGTCGAGGAAAAGGTACCTTCGACAATGGCCTAAAAGGTGGTGTCAGGGTGATCTATTCGTATGTCCACAATTTCTACTAAGCTATACACGGGATCTGACACGATCTCCAGCCCAACAGAAGCCAAGATGTTTGCTGGCCAAATGATAGGCCACAAGCTCATTACCAAGCAGACTGGTGAACGAGGTCGCATTTGCAACTCGGTCTACATCTGCGAGCGCAAGTTCGCTAGACGAGAGTTCTACCTCGCTATCCTCATGGATCGATCGACCCAGTCGCCTGTTATCGTCGCTTCCTCGCAAGGTGGTATGGATATTGAGACTGTCGCAAAAGAGCAGCCAGATGCAATCATGACCACTCGAGTCGATATAAACCAGGGTGTGACAGACGAGATTGCGAGAAATATCGCTACCGAGCTGGGCTTCAGTGAACAATGCATCAAGGACGCTAAGACCACGATCCAGAAGCTGTACCAGGTCTTTATGGAGAAGGACGCTACTCAGATTGAGATCAACCCCCTATCTGAAACCAGCGACCACCAGGTCCTGTGTATGGATGCTAAGCTCAATTTCGACGACAATGCCGACTACAGACAAAAAGAAGTCTTTGCATGGAGAGACCCATCGCAAGAAGATGCTGATGAGGTTAAGGCTGCCGAGTATGTTTCACAATCCACCCTATGTTCTTCACTAACCTTCGATAGATACGGCCTGAACTTCATCAAACTCGACGGCGATATCGGCTGTCTGGTCAATGGTGCCGGTCTTGCTATGGCTACCATGGATATCATCAAGCTGAATGGAGGCTCACCTGCGAACTTCCTCGATGTCGGTGGTGGTGCCACTCCAGAAGCCATCCGATCTGCTTTCGATCTCATCACTAGTGACCCCAAGGTAACAGCTATATTTGTTAACATTTTCGGTGGTATCGTACGATGTGACGCTATCGCCCAAGGATTGATCAACGTGGTAGAGCAGATGAATCTCAGGTTACCGATCGTGTGTCGACTACAGGGCACCAACATGGAGAAGGCAGCCGAGTTGGTCAATAACTCTGGTCTCAAGATTTTCAGCATTATAGATTTGCAAGAGGCGGCTGAGAAGGCAGTCGACTTCAGCAAGATCGTGAAGATGGCCAGGTCGATTGATGTCGGTGTTGAGTTCAACTTGGGCTTATAAGCCGCTTCGGTAATGTTAACAATACATTGTGACGGTAAGCCGAGATTTACGTCACACCTGCACCTGCCGATATGCTTTCAGGACAACAAGCAAATACATGATTCATTTTCGCAGCCCGAGTCGTGGCCTCCCTGTCTCTCTCGATCCTCTCTCCTCTAAGTACAGGAACTGATAGTGCTTTCGAGTGTTTCGAAACTTCTTTATTACCTCTTGTCATTTTTGAACATCTACAAATATCTACATCCACAACATTTGTCTACTAAAAAGTGTACCACGCACCTGACTATCGTTATCGTTCCTGTGCTCGAATCTTGCCTTGGCCAGTATCTCCCCTCCTTTCCTCTCACAGTCAAGATACGACGCGATACGACGCCTTGACACTTCGCCCGTCTGACGGATCAGGACAGGTCATCTCCACCATCGACGACGGCGCTCGATCGTACCTATCTACAATGACCCGCTTACAGCTATAAGGCCTTGCAGCGCATGCAGAGATAAGGCTTGACTATCAACACTTTCAGCTCTGCTCAAATTCTCGGACCCTTCATCAGCAAAATGTCTCACATCGCCAACACCTCCACCGACTCAGGCTCTACGCTCATTCAACCTGCATCGCCTCCATCTAGCAATTCTTCCGAAACGAGACAGCTTTCACAACGACAGGATGATGATCCCGTGGGAATGTAGCGCGAAGTACCCGGTAGTCTTTCACACAAGCATGTCATGGCAACCACCGTTATCACGAGTACGCAAGGGAATCCTGCAGCCCTTGGAAACGGAGCACATTGGTGGGATTAGGTGTTCCTAGAGGAGCACAAGTTCATTCTCGTGCCAGTGGGTTTGGTAGCTATGATTCTAATCGTGGTGATAGGTGTGACAGCAGTTTGTGCTGTTCGGGATTGTTAAGCACCGCATGTAGAAACGGTGCTTGGCTCAAGTCGAATTTGATACCTTGAAGAAGTGCGACTGGGGAAAATTGATTGCTGTATAGAGTCGTTGTGTTGGGTATGGTATGATAACGTACTCCTGCCAGGAGAGCGATACAGATAGTGAAAGGAATTGCGTTATATTCTATCTACCATGACTGAACTTTCACGCCTCTAAGCTTCGTGGATTTCTGCTTTATGCTGGGCCGTTTTATTTGCTGCCGTCACCCTGCTCCTAGAGTCCGTGCAGGTATAGCTTACGCAAAAGTGAGCTACAAGACTTCGAACTCTTGAGAAGGTCGATGTGGAGTGGCTGGTCATAGTCGTCATGTAGTTTGATGCTTGACGTCCACTTTCTCCGGGTGTACGCCGTGTGATGCATCTCTGGAGGTATATTACTGCGTTCCTCGAAAGTACATGCAATTGATGTGGCGGTTGAGTCTATCTGTCGCTCCTGCACACATGACTCCCGTTCATTCGAAAAATGCCTGGCTGGAGGCTGTAGGTGGTTGCAACCGTCGGTGTATGATTGAGAACGGAGTCCGTACGAGTACTGGTACTCGAGCGTGGTGCTGCGAGAGTGGAGCGTCCGATATTTGTTCTTATTGATTCGAATGACAGACCGAATGAGGTCAAGGCTGTTCTGTAGCGTCTTGCAAAGAGGTCGTCCGTGAAGATTGCTTTCCAGAGCTGAGCCTCGGCATTTCTTAGCTGCATTCTTTTGCAGGGTGTTACGGCCTCATTCTTGGAAGGAAATCGCTTCGATATTGGTTCTGGTACCATTGTCTGGCCATCTGTCCTGGTCTGCAACGATCATCTGAGTCAGACAGAAGTCAATCTTCCAACAGTGATGGTGAGTCATGAGTGTCTGTGCTAAGACCGGTACTGCTTTGGATATTGATGAGTCCGGTAATGCTCAATGGTTTTCTCGGGCCACGAAATGCAGCATGTCAGGTCGTTCACCCCTTCCCAACGTTTCCCCTGCTACGTCGTTTGCTCTTCGGCTTACTAATTCTGTAGTTAGACAGTCGTCGCTGTGATGCTGCAATCTGCTTCCTTTCTTCCACACTTTGTTGCTTAATCTTGGCGGAGCTATGCTTCTCCGTCGAAGCTGGTTGCCATCGGTGCTCCTCGCCTAACTGAAAGTCTTGTCGCTGGTGCAATAGAGCCGTCTGTTATAGGTTAGTAATCAGAGAGTTTAGGTAATATGAGCTGCACATGCGCAATACTAACCTGAAGCCGCTTGAGCATGTAGTCGGATGTGCTCAGGAGCCACTCATCCTGTGTTGCGAGAAGCTGGGATGTGAAGTAATCATCTTCAAGAGTACTTTCGTCAACTTTTTCCTCAAGTGTGACCTTCGTGAGCCAGTCGTTAATTGAGTCTTGTGTCACACTTCGAGGCTTGGTTCCTCTGCTACGGTTCGATCCAGTCATGAAAGCCCCCGTAATGGTGGGAGAGTAGCTTGCTGAATTTATCCTCGAACAAGAGTCTCATGAGAACGATCTGAAGTAAATACCTTGCCATTAAAACGATCAGCTACTTGGGTGACAGATACGTTGAGCCAAAAAGGTAAAAGCAAGGGTATCGGGCAGGATGAGCATTATCGACGTGCGGATCCCGCAGATCTGTAGAGACGGTTCGTGTCTTGCGACTTCCTTTTCTGGATTGTATTCCGTTCATGCATGGAAGGAAAGTTTGCCGTAGAGCTGGCCTTTGGACGTTTTTGGGCAAGTGCTCGTTCATTTGCAGATCATCTCGCATAAACACTTCACCGTCAGTACCCGCGCAAGTCAAGATCTAGATCTCGGAGCACTAAAAAGCACTTTAAGTCACAGTTAAATCTTAAATACATGCTTTGTTTGTTATCGCTGTTCAGGGTTCGCGTGTCGTTCGTTAGTCGTACTGATCTCTGGTGCGTCCTGAATCTCGAGCGCTTCTGGCTATAGACTCAGTTATGTTTCTTGCTGTTGACCAGCCCGTGTGGTAGCCATCATCATCGACGGGAGCACCTTCACCATATCTGGGGCTTCGACGTTCTCTGGGCATGTCCCGATCTTCCCTATCTCGTCTGTCGTATTCGTCTCTGTCTCTGTAAGTGCCCTCTCGCGGACTACCACCTAACCAATTGCCGAGACTGTCTGCAACCCAGTTGCTCGAAGTTGACCTGCGATCCTGGCCCGAGGTTTGTCGCATAGTTGGTGGAGTAGAGTGCTGACTGGGGTATCCACTGCCACTACCACCGACCGAATGGAGATCGTCGTAGTCAATGTTGTCAAAAGACATCTGTGAGCGTGATTTCGCGAATTCGCCGCCTTGAGACGAGGGTGACCGTCGAGAGTTTGAAGGTCTTGAGTCACCATAAGCTAGATCTAGGGTTTGCTGTTCTCGGTCCAGCGCCTTGAGCATACCATTCAACCTATCACGTTGTGTACCAATAAAGGATGCCTTCTGCTCGTTAGACATGCTGCTGAGGCCGGAAAGCAAGGAGTCAGGGATATTAGCAGCTTGAGCAGAGACAGGCATCGAACGGGACGATCCAGTATTGGCAGCAGACAGAGCCGCACCAGCGGCAGCTGAGAGAATATTGAGGACAGCTCCTGAGTTGCCTGCAACGGAAGGTGCAGCCTGAGCTCTTGCAGCTGGCATAGCAAATCGTGACAATAGATCGGTAGCATAGCTTGCGTAACCCTGTGCACCTGGTGGGATAGCACTAGCAGCATGTGGCTGTGGTGAAGCCTGTCCCAATATCTTTTCACGAATCCACTCCACAAGGATGTTCATATAACCCAATCCCATCTGTTCAAGTCGTCGATGTGTTTGTCCAATAAAATCGTCAATCTGCCTTTCATGATGTGAAATGAATGGTTCGAGATAGGTTAAGTAGAGAAGCTTTGCACCCTGTGTCTGGGGCAGGACGAGGTAGAGTAGAAAGAACAGCCTAAACCATGAATAGAAAGGTAGCCAGCCGATGATGAACACAGTCCAGCTTTCGGCAAGCAGGGCAAGAGAAAGTACCACGAAGTAGAGAAGCCATGGTTGAATTTGTGCTGGATCTCCGATTCGCAGAGCCTTGAAAGATAGATATGCCGGAAGGAGGACAGTAGTGACAGATCTGTTGGCATGTTAACGAAGTTGAGATACGTATAGGGAACCACTCCAGCGTACGCAATGAAGTCAGCAATGAAACCAAACATTTTGAGCTACCAAGTATTTCACCTTCCAGCACACAAGTGGCATAGGAGGAGGTTACGACACGAATACCATGGAAGGACGGGGGCCGCCAGCAACAGGTACGAAAAGTAGACCAATAGTAATGATGTGCCTGAAGTATGAGAATATGTACAAAGATTACTATAGTGCTGACAACTGTTGGTATCGAGCACAAGACCAGCAAACAAATCGTGCCTGAAATCCACGGCTACTGACGTATTGTGGTACACCCTTATCGATAAAGCTTGGTACTGGTTCAAGGTCTTGTGCAACTGGATATTAAACTTTCCGCTGGGTGGAGATTGCAATTCCCAGTAGATCCTGCAGTTGCCCTGTCTGAACCCATCTCAATATTTCTGCCCCGTGACCCAATCATTCAACGTACGTTCAATTCATCGACGTCTATCTTTAATACGAGCTCGACACTTTTCTTTTAGAGAGTCCTGTGACGGTACCAAATTAGGTGCAAGGTGCACATGAGGTGGTCGTATTACACGGCAACAGATCCTCTTTGAGCAGCCCTTCCCTAATCGACCCCAGACAATCGCATGGACCACAAGACTAGGCTATCTCCTTCGCTGCTAAACGTCCTTACCGTTCCAGTCATCACTGACATCTTATATCAATATCTGCCACGTTCCTCAATCTTTCGGCTCTCGCAGACGTCGCGTATTTACCAGGATATCGTGCTCAACACACCAAGAATCTTTCGATATCTGGACCTATCTAAATGCAGAGGTGCTTATACACCCCTTATCCCACGTATCGACAATGGAGGTCATTCGTGGCGAGCTGAGCGTATGGATGAGAACCTGACCGAGGATGAGTTCTTAAGTGGGCCACTTCGCAGTGTGCTGAATAAGTGCGAGCGTCGACGAATCCTCCGAGATGTGCAAGTACTTGTCCTGGATGGCCTAGGTTCAGTTACACATGACCTGATCTACGATATCGTAGCAGCAGACGAGCGGTACAATGTCCGACTCCTTAGCATTCGTCAATGTCCTAATGTGAACCAATCGAGACTACAGAAGCTACTAACGCATATCTGTCGACCGTCCAGACCGCAGGGCACACCAAGGCTTCAAGGGCTGTATTTCTTCACAGACCCAGTTGAAGACCATCGCTCCGGACTCCCAACCGATGCATTCGGAGGCGTTACAAGCACAGACGGCGCTACTCTGGGTTTACTGCCTTCAGACAAAGCACAATGCTCTGCCGATAATGCCAGCCGGTGGTATCAGCCTTCAGGTCGTATCATGTCTATTGGAGCAGACAGCCGTACCTCGTGGGAAGAAACACTACAAGCGTGTGACGGGATAATTTTGTTCGACGCGGTATTGTGCAAAGCTATGCATCTGCATGCGTCCTCTTCGTTACACGATGCATCCAAAGACGTCATTGACAAGAAGCCAGGAGTACCGACACTGGCCACCATAGCATTGGGCCAGGAAGGTTGTGCTGGGTGTGGTAAACTACCTGAAAATACTCCTGTTTGGGGAGAAAGTGAAAGATCACAGTTCCCATTACTCGCACCACCTCCGTGGTCCGGCAAACTTCTCGATGCCATAACGCCCCCGACGACATCAAAGTCGAATCCGCAACGACTTTTGGTATCGTGTACATGGTGCTTAGTCAACCGGCATTGCGATAGTTGCCAGAGATGGTGGTGCACAGATTGCTACAATCCCAAGCAAACCAACAAACTCCGAGACCTCGAGGCTCTGAGCAACGCAGGACTCATATATGTTCCAGTCCCCGAAGACTTTGGATCACGTGATGGACTGGAGAGGACAAACGGGCATAGCATCAAGGTATTTAATGGCTTCTGTGTTGAGAACTGTCTTGTTGGTGAGATGATGGCTGGCGCGGGATCGAATGGCATGTGGGCGTGAAGCTACACGAAAGACCATGTCCGAATGCATGTAAAAATGGGTTCGGATGTGAAAGCTTGAAAAGTGCGCATACCGGTTGCTCCTCTCCCCGTTCAAATCATCATCGCACTGGCTGACTTTGCTTCTACATTACTTGGAGAACTACCGAGCTAACATAGTCTTCGTAGGAACACGATCGCAGTCTTCATTACCTTAGCGGCCTCTCCACGAAAGCTGTGGTAACCCGACCATGCTTCGAATGTGGCAGAGTTTGCGCGCCTTGTGCGTCTCGATCGGCCAAAACCTGCAAGCGATGCAAAGGCTCATACTGTTTCTGGCATGATACCGGCTGTGACGAGAATCATTGTGATTGGTGCCAGTTTCGAGGAGGAAATGCGCGTCTTCGTGAACAGTACTGAGCATGCTCTCGTACTGTCTCATTCGAGAGCTATGCTTGCACTTTCACGAGCCACGACTGATGCCGTATATCGCTAGAAATTGAGGACCTTCTTCGCGTTCTTGATATAGCAAGTGATCTCCACTCTCATCTTGCCATGGAGGAATGTTACACTCTGTTAATGCTCTAAAATCCACTCTGCGGACCAGCCTGATCTCTTCCATGGTCTACTCAGCCAGATCAAGTATTGAGCGCCACAAGTTCCCATCGGTGGTACTGGACTTCTCGACTCATTTCCAAGCGTGAGCACTAAGGAGTCGACCACCTCCCGTACTGATGTTGAGACCACCAGCCTCGAATTGACGATCTCTGGACTGTTCGTTGGTAGACTCAGTCCTACTGAATTTTGTCCTGCTTTGAACAGGAGTATCTGCGTCTGAGAGAGGCTCGGGTTCGTCTTCCAACTCTACAGGTTCCTGCACTAGCCGTACCTGACCACCACCACCAGTATTTGTGCGCCTGCCTTCTCTCCTTCTTTGCATATCCTCGGCTTTTCGCTTCTCGACTTCAGCAACCAGGTTTCGAAAGTAGACGTCAGCTTGCACGCTTAGACTGTAGGCGTCGGGTTTCCAGCCTGCGTTGTTCGAGGCTAGTGGATCTGCACCAGCTTGTACCAGCACTCTTGCGGTCTTCAGGTTGCCCCAAGCACAAGCTTGGTGCAGACAGGTGTCTCCTTGATGATCCCTAGCTCTGACATTGGCACCGTGACGCAATAGAGCCTCAACGACTCCTACGTCTTCATTGGACTGAAGTGTATTCTTCCTTCCTCGAACAACCTTGGTAGTGACAGGTGCTTGCGCGCCTGCAGCTAGCAGAAGAGGCGTGCGACCGCGATGGTCAGGTCGGTCGATTGTGTTTGGGAACTCGGTACAGAGAAGTTCGACCGTGTCGACTCGCAAGGAACTTGCAGCCAAATGCAGCGCAGTTTGGCCATCAGTGTTTACCGAAACACCAAGGTTGTTGCCTGCAGAACTATAGATGTAGTCGGTGACTTCGGGCGACTGGTCGTGACCTTCTGAGATCAATAGTTCCTGTTCTATGTAAGCTCTGAATGACTTTGAATTGCGAATAAACATACTACGAGCTCGGTATAGCCAGCTTTCGCAGCCAAGTGGAGCGATGTGTTACTTTTGTCATTGTAATCTGGATTGTGCACGAGATGAGGGTATGCTTTCAGCAGTCTCTCTACCAACGGAACATCGTTGGACAATATAGCGTGTCGAAGCTGAAGTGAAGCAGTACTAGCAGTGGTACCAGTAAGAGTACTGCTAACTGGGCCTGGCATAATGAGGGAAGAAGCTGCGACGTCGAGCCTTTGTCTTTGCTGACATTCTTTTCTTTGAGGTCAGAACACTACCAGGAAAGTAGTGCTGGCTTCCGAGAAGTCGAATAGTCTTCAGATTCGAGCAGTGACAATAGCTAACGGAGCTGGATTGTTTTCCTCTATGAGCTCATCGACGTGCACCGCAACGACTCCAGATTCCAACGGGCCAGACCACTTTGATATTTGCTCCACTATTCAGTTTAGGTTCCATCCAGTAGTAAACGAAATGAATACTCATGTACAAGCCTTTTCGCCCATGAAGCACTTTTGTTGTATCTCTTTCGTTCCATATGCAGGTTTCCCATGCTGTACGGAGACCTGCCTCATACTGAAGGTTGTTCTGTTCTGCCCAGGTTGGTCATGGTACCAGCAGTGGCATACCAGCAACAAATTGCCAAGAACATTGTTTCCTAAGCTTCAATAAAAGTGTTACGAGACTGATCCTCAGCTGGCCAGTTCAAAAGCACGAATGTTCATCATGGGCCATATTCCTGCCTTGTGGAGTTTGCCATGCATTAAATGTGCAGCACGGCTGACAGGAAAGAACCAAAAGTTACAGCTGGATAGCAGGGACCAGTCAGGCCCGCAGAACGGAACTTGTGCCTCCATATGCTTGGAGATGGTCTTTGCGGTGAGAAAGTGTCAGTATCGAATCCGCGTGCGTCGCAGCCGAATTGACGATCTCAACACCACCTCATAGACCATCCATGCTCCTTCCTGTATCTGTTATCTAACCTGTACAATATCTGCACCTTTCTCGCTCCGTCCAACGTCCTTTCCTGACCGACCTCGTCTCGTCGTACCCCGCATTCCTCCTGCTCGAGCCTCTCAATCTGCCCGTATATCACCTTAGTGCCCAGCGAACACCATAAAGGAGTCAGCTGGAGACTGCCAGTCACATACAGCATGGCTCAGTCTGGACAGAAACCAGTGATTCAGCCATGTAGATACAAGACGGGCAAAACACTAGGCGCAGGCTCCTACTCTGTCGTCAAAGAATGTGTTCATATCGATACCGGTCGCTACTATGCTGCCAAAGTGATCAACAAGAGATTGATGGCTGGAAGAGAGCATATGGTTCGGAACGAGATAGCAGTCTTGAAGAGAGTCTCTGTGGGCCACCGAAACATCTTGACCTTGGTCGACTACTTCGAGACCATGAACAACCGTCAGACTTATCGTTCTAGAGCATATCGTCACTGCTGACATGTGGTAGTCTACCTTGTTACCGACCTGGCTCTAGGCGGAGAGCTATTCGACCGTATATGTCGCAAAGGCTCATACTACGAATCAGATGCTGCGGATCTCATCAGAGCCACACTGTCCGCTGTTGCTTATCTACATGACCACGGCATTGTGCACAGAGATTTGAAGCCTGAGAATCTGCTCTTCAGAACTCCAGAAGATAATGCAGATCTCCTTATTGCAGACTTCGGCCTGTCCAGGATCATGGACGAAGAGCAATTCCATGTCTTGACCACGACTTGCGGCACTCCTGGATATATGGCTCCGGAGATTTTCAAGAAGACTGGACATGGAAAGCCTGTGTAAGACCAGAAAGCTACACGTTTGTCAAATTTGCTAACTTTGTCGTAGGGACATTTGGGCTATTGGAGTCATTACCTACTTTCTCCTGTGTGGCTACACCCCCTTCGACCGTGACTCTAATTTAGAGGAAATGCAAGCAATCCTACAAGCTGATTACGACTTCACACCCTACGAATACTGGCGCAACGTATCGAAAACTGCTCGCGACTTCATCAACAAGTGTCTCACCGTTGACCCTCGCCAACGTATGACCGCTCACGAGGCCTTACAACACCCTTGGATCAACAGCGACGATCCCATGTCACCCGAACGACAGAAGAACGGAGACGATCTGCTACCAATCGTCAAAAAGAACTTCAACGCCAGAAGAACACTCCACAAAGCCATTGACACCGTACGTGCGATTAACAAACTGCGTGAAGGCGGTGGCCTAATGGCTGGCATCATGGAGGGTCAGATGAGCCTCGATCCAAAACCGAAGACTGAAGATGTGCATGGCAGCAGAGTCATGGACGGCTCAGGTACTCCCGTCGATGGGGGTGCTCGAGGTGGAGGTTTACACGATGACGATGCCATGGATATCGATTCCAGGGGCAATGGACACGGACAGACACAAGACCAGATTGAGCGTCAACAGATGAAAGTCCAGAAGCAGATCAATGAAACCTACCAGCGTAGTCGTGGTTTGAAATAGAAGGCGAACTCGAAGTTGTGATGAGATCAATACTCCGGCTCTGAGCAAATCTAAGGACTATAGCGGAGAACTTCACAGCGACCTCATTCTCATGGGCCCAGTTGAACAACTTCTGAATTCGGCGCGTCCGTCACATCGAAATGACCTGCTCCGTCACATCAGAGAGAGCATCTGTGGAAGTATCGGTGTAAGACTGAACGGGCCGGATGTACTATTGCTCTGCCGAGGTGACATGGAATCTGCCGCCTATTCAACCGCTCTGCTGCCAAAGAGATGGTGTGCCTTTAGCCTATTACCACTGAAATTCATGAGCTCACCACTCACAGCTGTATGTTCTGCACCTTGAAAGGTTCGTGCATGATTCTGTTAGAAAGGTGACGACAGCTGGCGCGATGAGACACCAAGAATCAGTGCGCTCCTATGGTGCTTACTCCGATTAATGGTATGCATCTATTGCCGTAACAGAACCCCGGAACACGAGCAATTTGGAAGCCTTAGGGAGCATGGCGCCTGCTACCTCACTCGACGTACATCTGGCTTTCGAGGATGGAACACGACTAGATAGACATGATATCCGTTTTTGATACACTCAATCTATGATTTTAAAGTGAATAGCATTGCGCATGCAATAACCTGTGCTGGTACGTTCAATGATTGCATTTCTCATCGCTCAATACGTATTGATAGGGTATCATGCCAGAGAGGCGCCATTTTACCAGTTTCTTCTTGTGTTCACTTTTTCATGCTTTCTTTCATCTGCTTCGTGTCATGCCATATCACATTATGCTATGCATAAAACGCTCAAACATGTCAGCCATCAAGTCTACTCCTCACCACCTCCGCCGGGCGCGCCCTGTCTGCCCATCTGTCTTGCCTTGAGCAACTCATCACAAAGCAACAGATTGCTCGCAATACCCTGACTCGACGCTATACAATTCCTTAGCACTCTATACGAATCAAACACGCCTTCTTGTACAGGGTCCATCGGCTCTCCGGTCTTCAAGTCCAGACCCACAGGCTGTCCTTCCGAGTCTGCGAATTCGTCTTGTAACTTGGCTAGGGATTCCTGTATATCGTGGCCAGAATTTGCAGCGAGTTGTTTCGGTATTACTAGCAGAGCATCAGCGAATGCGGCCACTCCATACTTGGTTTTGCCTTTGAGAGTCTTTCGGAAGGCGTCCGAGGAGAGGTGGTTTGCTGCTGCGAGTTGGAAGGAGCCAGCGCCTGGGATGACGCAGTTGTCGACGATGGTATTGTAGACTGATCTTAGACCGTCGCGTACGGCATCGGAGACTTGTGTTATGGTGTGTTGGTTTGGGCCTTTGATGAGGAGGGTGACGGACTTGGGGTCTTTGACTTCTTCGACGAAGGTGTATTTCTCCTCGCCGAGGGTTTGTTCGTATACGAGGCCGGCCCAGCCAAGGACGCTTGGATCTAGATCTTCGACGCTATTCTGTGCTTGGCCGCCGCAGACGAGTTGTAGTCGTTCCATGTTTCTTCTCTTGGCTCGTCGTAGTGCGAGGATGCCGTTCTTGACGAGGACGTCGAGGGAGAGAGGGTCGATGCCTTTTTGATTGATTACGACGAAGAATTTCTTTGGGTCTGAGCCGCAGACTTCGTTCTTGAGCTCGACGATCTTGCGCAGCTTCTCATCAACGAATCTGCGTTCGCTAGCAACGAGTTTGTCTCTTTGCTCGGCGCTGCTGTAGTAGAATCCGCTGTTTATTTCGCTCTTCTCATATTCTAGACTGACATTAAGGGTGAGGATATACGCATTTTCTACACGCTTGGGCATGTCTGGATGTCGAGCACCATGATCCAAAGCCAGACCACGGATTAACTGTGTGTCTGCTGCGGTTCTGTGCTGCATCTTCATGATCTCGATCATGTGTAGGTCGGGTTTCTCGTTGGGTCGATTGATTGCGAGTACAGCGTCAACGATAGAGGCAGTGAGAGACTCGGCTAGGGCAGGGTTGATTTTCGTGGACAAACTCGTTCGGGCTACAGACAGTAGCAGTTCTCGATCGACATCTCTTGTGATCTTGAATGTGTCCAGGAATTTTAATGTTTCAGTCTTTGCGATCTCGTATCCGTCCGTTACTATCCTCGGGTGTAGGCCTTCTGAGATGTATCTGTCTGCCTGCTTCAATAACTCTCCTACCATGAGCACCACGCTGGTTGTACCGTCCCCACAGATATCGTCCTGCGCTGTCGCTGCCCGAGCGATCATAACAGCTGTCGGATTTTGTATCTGCATCTCTTTCAGGAGAACTGCTCCATCCTTGGTCAATTTAATTGCGCCTGCGCCATCAACAAGCATCTTGATCGTGCCTGATGGACCTAGATTCGACTTGAGCACATCCTGGAGACCTTCACCAGCTGATATGTTGACTCGAAGTGCCTCACCACGCCGACGGGATTCAGCTTTTGGATTAAGAAGTTGTGTTGCAGACATAATGCAGGGTAGTGCACCTCACGGTGCTGCTTGCTGGAAAGATTGTCTTCAGAGATGCGGGACTTCTGTCTTTTTCACGTTCGGCGAATACACCTGATTAGACTTCTCGAAACAATTCGTATAGACGACAGTGCTATAGAAAGATCGAGAGTCAAAGGTCAGACTCTCTGGATGCTGCGGGCTTGCAAGATTATTACGCGAGTATGGAACTCAAAGGCATGACAGAAAAGTTTTGCCAAGACAAATTCCCGCTCTCTCGGTCACGCTTGCTGACTCGCTATCATTCTTCGTGTTCGCATTTGACTGCACCTTACTTCCTAATGGTCTATGTTATGCAGAAGGCACGCAACATTTCTGCGATTTGCTCTCAAGGACAGCACTGATGCACTCAATGCATCATGGTGTTGTTCATATTACGAAATCTCGTCTGGACAATGAAGTCTTCCACTCCTTGTTCAATTTTATCATCCTATTCGCCCTCGAGCGCATTTGAGGAATCCCACGCGAAGGCACCACGTCAGAGGTAAAGCACGCCGTTTGAATTCAGAACTGAATACCAGCAAAACCATCCCCGAACACCATGGCCTATTAATCACAGTTGGTGCAGCATGTGATGTCTTCAGTTCCTCAAGTCGTCCGCTAGTGACTCGACAGTGAGACACGACTCCGGGGTTCGTCTTTATCAATTGGTCAGACAATAGCCTCGAGGTCGTCTCCGGCTTTCTTTCGCTCGTGTCAGTACGCCATACCATTCAGTACGTCCTGGTCGAAAGCTCGGATCTGATCCTGCACTTTCCGAATTTCACCTGCGTTTGACAATCTATCGACGACCAGAGCTCGTGCAACGCCACGTGTGATGTCGCGACGAATCTCTGCACCTTGCTCGTAGTGGTTGTAAACACATTCGATGTCTCCAGGTTTTACCTTGAGCCAGGGGCGGAAAGGTTTGGAAACAGCATGCTGCGAATTCGTCGTTCCATATCAACCTCATGTGATTTCATCCCGAGGTGATGCGCAGCGACGCTGATGGCTTTGTACGAGCTTATTGGCTTTGCGAAGATGCGAGGAATATTGATTCGCCAGCCTCCGTTGATTGACTGGTTCAGATTCTTCAAGAGTTCGCTCGCGGCTTCGATGTCGTTTGTTGGAAGGACGATATACTCAATCTTCCAGTCAGGAAGTCCGGACTGCTTAATGGCATGCTTGATTGCCAGGCTTCCTGCCTTAAGCCCTGCAAGCGAGTAGTAATCGTCGCTTACTGGTACCAGTTCGTCGTTCTCGGAAGTCATGACCTTGACGCGCTCGCCGTTGTAGAGTCTGTTGATCAATTAGCTTTGTTCTTTTTTAGGTCCGTTGGTGTGTGGCTCACTGCTTCAATTGCTTGGGGTTCATGGTTGAGACATCTGAAACAGGGACACTGCTAAGAGTCGTGGCAGAGGGGACAGTGACCGTCTGGAAGCAGTCAGGTTCAGGGACAGTTACCCATTCTCGAATGCTGGACATCTTGAAGGTACTGTTGATGGTGAGTTAGCTTGGCCTACCAGCCTTGAAGTGATTCGATTTACCGGATTTATAGATCGAGTTTCCGACAAAAATCGTTGATGGAAAGACTCTTTTCTTAGGACTTGTGGTGGGCAGAAGTTGTTTCCCGATCTCAAGATCGCGCTCGAGACTGCTTTTGCAAGACTGATGAGATATGTTAGGACGAGAAGGAGAAGAAGAGTTGGTGAAACGAGAAGATCCATGCAGCGCTCCTGACATTCCGCACAATCAATCATATCACTTACGTGGCTCAGGAGTGGTGCTGGCAACACAGCTGACCCGACTTGTTGGTGTTTCAAAACCAACAACGGGCCAGTACCGTACACTCTACTGTGCCGATAATCTGATGAGCCCCGGAAAGCAACACACGGTCTTCAGGTCGAACATTGAACCAAGTTCGATATAAATTTGGGAGCGGCATGTTATGGATTCACCGCTCCGCATCCACCTTGCGAAACTCCATCGTCAGGTAGTGAGCAGCAATGCTGACAGCATAAGTTGAGCTCACCGATTCCATATGTTATATACCCAACTCGTGTTGATTTCTGGACGACACTCGAGCTTGAGTAATTGTGGCGCGTGCGAGACGCCTTCCACAAGATGCTCACTGTCTATCAACTTCTTTTGCCAACAACATTGGTTCACAACCTTGCAGCCCGAGCGATTGCACAGACAAGCAATTGCTGTATGCGTGGACAAACTATTCATCAGCTCTATGCACCGACAATTTGGATAAGTACGGTTTCGTGCAAGGCCATGCCGATCTGAGAGGCTGAGAGTAGGTAATTCGAATCGCCGTTCAATTTTCTGTGCTTACGCCACAGTCTATATCTCTGGCTCTCGTCGTTTCTTCTTGACAAAGCACGAGCAGAAACTGAAACTCCTTGTATCGATTCTACTTTATGGCTGAACCTGATCAGATTATCAACGTTCTAGACACTATGCTATTGCACCTGAGTATCATCCAATCTCGGAATCGCCGAATCTTCTTCAAAGCAGTCGTTACCAGCACGACTGGCAAGAGCATTCTCCATGTTCTTTATTCAATGTACAACAACTCCTCCGCCATCAGTGCTATGTCGGTGAAACCCCGCCTCTCTAAGTCAGTCGAGCATAAAATTTGACATCAATACCAGCATCCTGACGTTCCCACCAAAAGACCATTGCCTTCATCACCTCATCATGGAACTTGCGGTTCTTGTGCAGTATTTTACCAATTTCTTTTCGTTCACCTAACCGATCGACTACCAAAGCTCGAGCAATAGCCTTTGCAACCACAGTACGAACCTGAGAACCTTCTTCAGTGCACTGGCAGAGAGCTGCGACATCTTCAGCTTGTATCTTGAGTTCGCTATAGTGCAGATTTGGTGTGGTCATCTTATCGATGCGTGACTCCATATCTGTCACAATGGGCTTTATACTCAAATCCGTGGCGAGCTTGGCGATCACGGAGTAGGAGGTAATAGGCTTGGTTTCGATGAATCGGATCTTCTCTCGCCATCTGTTCAACATGACTCGTTCGTGGTTCTTCGCTAGCTCTTCGGCTGCTTCACGGTTACAAGTTGGCAGAACTATGCTGATTATTTGAGTTTCGGGAATGCCTGATTTCCTGATGGCTAGTGAAACTCCTGGCATTGCTGCCTTCAGGCCTGGAATAGACATTCGATTCGTCGAGACAGGTGTGTAGCCGTCATCTTTCTGGATGCAGAGATAGGCGCTGTTTCTCGAGCTAAGGCTGTCGACTGATCAGCTATGTTGTGAGACTTCACCTATCAATGACTTACTGTGAGATTTGACGCGGATTCATTGAATAGATGTCCGGTGTTAAGAGTTGGTCAACAGCTGGTACGAACAGAACCTTATCGGAGTTGGAGTCGGAGGCAGGAACCCACGGCTCATTCGAGGCCGCCATTTTGAGGTCCTGGTCATTGTCAGTCAAACGTTGAGGATCAGTAATAGGTTGACTCACTTGCTAAGATTTGATGAGATGGGACAGGGCTCTCTCTTCGAGGAGTATGTATCGGTACAACGAGTTAATACCAAGGAAGATCGGTAGAGTTGTGATATAAAGGAAGGGTATCTGGGAATCAGAAGGAGAAGAACAGGTAGGTTCTTAAGTACTCCATGTGATTCTACTGATCTGCCTGCACTATTAACCATATCACTTGCGTCGTTGAGGAGGCTGGTGTCAAAAACACAACCGCTGCGGCCTGTTGTTGTTCGGGAGACGAGGCACCAGCACCGCAAACTCTGCTGTGTCGAGGAAGGAGACACATTTCGACAACCGGAGGTGGGTCTCGTGTCACAGCAGACGACACAATCCACTCCTGAACCTGAATGAGATAGCTTGCCTTCCTGTCTAGGGGCATTAGCCTTGAACAGAACTCAAGTAAGTGAAAAAACCTCAAGTCTTGTGCTGTTTCTTTGACTGGATTGCAGAACTGACACCACAGGTTCAAGCTCGAAGTGAATGTGCTACGAATGATCGCAAATCCATGAGGAGCTCAGTCGCTCCTGAAGAGATGCTCGCCATATCGGCCCTCCTGTCACGGAAATGCTCAGAGATATCTGGACCGTCAATAAGCAGAGATATTTGTTCGCGTTTCCTGTATGACTTACATTATACATCTATTTATCTTGTGCTACATATCTTGTGGTCGATGCGGTTCGTGAGGTATGAAGGTTTGACGAGGAAGGGAAGAGGATATGATAAGTGGCAAGGCTATATTCTCGTGTTTAAGTATGAGACCAGCAGTTTGTCATTAATTTGCCTTCCCATGTATACACAATTGCTCGGCGAACAGGAGGACAGACTGTGCGCATGGCTTTGCTAAGACACGAAGAAATGCAGGGGAAAAACATCCTGGAGGCTGTAAATGGCGAAGTGTTATAGAAGCAATCGAGTATGGATTGAAAAAGATATCAATGCTTAAGATTTTGTACTTTCATGACACACATCACGCTTCTAGGTATTTCGTGGCCTTGATGTCTTTGCATTGGTTCATGAGCTTGGTCCATGGATCCAGTGCTGAAACTACCTCTCGATCGAATCGTGGGTGCTGGTTCAGGGCAGCGAAAACCATGTTGTGCTTGCCTAGTCGGTCAGCTACAGTGGCCTCAGCGATAGCAGAGACCACTGCCATGCGTAGAGGAGAGTTCCCGTCCTGGTGAAGGCAGATGATGTCAAGCTCTTCCTCAAGGTGTTTTGTAAAGGTTGGAATAGAGCACGCAGTCTATCTTCTTCTTATAGTCTTTGAGCCAGACCTGGAACTTGAGCTGCGAAGCGAGTGTAGCAGTCGCCTATAAAGAAGTGCTTAGCAGATCGGCACTCTCGTTGTATCTGTATGAATACCCAGATATCGTTTTGATGTTGGGTTGCAGACTTACCAACTCACATGTCGTCTATGGCTTGTGATACATATCTACGTATGCCCTCTGGAGAGCCTGGCTGTCGACGAACCGATCGTGCCTGGAATATGAAGAGATACTAAGAAGGAACAGAGTATATTGTTTAGAGAGAGACACATTATTGCGATCAGTAGGAGTACAAGTTTGACGTCAATTGCTCTTCTATACACAATTAATTGCTCACTAGATCGAAGGACAAGCTAGAAATAGAGCAGCTTTTAACAAATCTTCTATCAGAAACTACGTAGCTACGAAACCCCAAGTGGTACACAGTAGATGTAATAGAGCATAGTTTGTGTAAATTCTGGTATTCTAGACCTTGCAGTACATGCGCATTGCGCTAATGTACAGAGAGCTTCAACTTGAAGAAACAGAAAATCAAACATGCAGTCATTGCAAAGGCTGATGCAGCAGTGTGCAAATTAAACCAAACTGTGCACTGGCAACTATCATGCCGTGCTTCTTAGCTTCCTCTTAGTGTCCATCCCTATTTTCCTTGCCTGGCATCGTAGCAGGCAGCCTTACCATGGCTCTAGACACCAGCTACCCTGATGTCTTCACCCAGGTTCATCTTCAGAGCCCAGGGTCCCATGGCAGCCACGATTTCCTGGTCGAAATCCCGATACTGTCTTCGGACAGTCCAGACGTCATCGGCGTTGCCGAGTCGCTCAGCCATATTTGCTCGAGCGATTGCCGACACCACCGCTATACGCAAGGCCGATGACTTGTCAGGGTGTACACAGACAGTTTCCAACTCCTCCTTGGGAATCTGGAGACGTGTTTTATAAAGATCAGGCTTTAGCAGACGGCTAATCTTCTTCTGATAGTCTTCCCTTATGTCTGTCATGCCCATCGCACATGCAGCTTCTGCGTTTCGTGCATACACAGATAGAGGTGCGAACTCAACAATTGGTGTTGGCTTCCGCCAAGCAGTAGTGACCGTATCCTTGAGGTGTCCAAATATGTCTCTAATTGCCTGGTAATCCGTCGTAGGGAGAACGACAGCACGAATAGTCGTATCCGAGATAGCCTTCTGCTTGATTATCAAATCGAGAGCTGGCATAGCTGCTCGTAAGACCTTGATCGGCACGTTGACATACACAGATGTATAGCCTGGAGGGTCGTTTGATGGATAGCCGATCCCGACTTGGTGGCCGCCATTGATTCTGAAGTACTGTTAGCGTATATTGACCATGACCTAGCAAAGAAGAACAGCACTCACTCTCGAAGTTGGTAAGGGTTCATACGTTTGATCCGGGGTTCGGGCAGTGTAGTGAAGGTATTGGCATTGGGCACCACTAAGGTGGTTTTCGGTACACTCATGTTGACGGGTTGAAATACTGAACTGCTCGGTGACGGTTAGCTTGGTGTTTCAAAAACCGGGGCAACGACTCACCTGGAACTGTTTTCAATGCCTTGTCTGAGCCAAAAGTTCTTCGACTTCAATGGTCTGGACAGTAAAGATTCAAAAACGGTTAACCTCGAATATGGTGTGGAGGAGAAATTCAATTGAGAATGAAGGATGAAGAGCTTATGTAGACTCAAGAAACCTTAGTGACCATCTGGCCCGCATGGGCATTTCTCATATCACCAACACGAACACTCCTCTGAAATGTTCGTGCGTGTCTGCAGAACATGACCGATATCACCAGGCTCGTTTGCCCCACAGAATTTAGACCGCTTTCACTTGCCAAACCCAACCTCTCTGATACAATTCACTACTCAAACAGAGCGTGACCAGAAGAGTGTTGGCACAGTTCTGAGGCTGGGGTCCGTGTCTGCTCGTTCATCATGGCTAGCTCCATCGTCAGGGTTGGTATGCCGCTTCGAGAGCTTGTCATGAGTATGCTGCTAGCTTTCCCAGACGTTCGGGACAACATCCTTGAATGCTTTGTTTCCAGTGCGGCGTTGTCATCATGAAACCGATATATCATATATTATACCATTATGTTGCAGTTTAAGATTTGCTTCGGAAGACGTGTTGTTCTGACTGGGGATGAAGCGGACAGTGAGGGCTTCAAGTGTGAGTGAAAGGGAAGAAACAGGTGAGCTGCTACATGTCTGTTAATTGTGTAGGATGCCGTAACTCGACAAACAGTATCCTCAAGCAAGCATTCGTTCAATCTCCTGTCTTTGGCACGTTGCCACGCCGTGGGCGAGTTTGCAGACAATTGCAAACCAACAATGCTTAGAACGACGTATCTGGTAGATGATTGGTTCCGGTGGTGCAGCAGTCAGCATACGTTTGCTGCCATGCCTCGCAAAGGATGCCACATCGTGAGTAGCTGGCTGGTTGTAATTGCCAGTAAGCCAACAAGCTTTGAGTACGAAGCTTGAGGTTTCGATTTGAAGATCTTCGAAAACACCCTCCTGCGCTAAACTTGGATAGGCAGGTGCCATATGATCGAGTCCGCATAACTCTTGTACTTCGGATTGTCCTGTTGAGTGTTCCTATTCCCCTATATTTTCGTCTGAAGTGTCGCGACACAACTTGCTATTAGCGGTCATGGGACAACTTGAGGCTAAGGGGTCGCTGCCGCTGGCACAGCCATATCTCACTACCACACAACATGAGTCTCGGCATGCCACACGGTCCAGCAAGCGGATAGTTATGCTCAGTATTCTCGCATGCTCAGTCATGTGGGTGTTGCTCAGCTCCATTGGAGGTTCAGCTTGGTTGCCTGCAGTAGAGCAAGACAAGTCCGAGACCGTGACGAGTTGTCATCAGGTACCAGCTCTCTCACCACAAAATCCACCTAGCTGGATGGTGGGAATGGACAGATACCTCGAATCAGATGTGTTCCGCAATGGAAGCATACAAAAGCTCTCTGGTGCAGTACGACTTGCGACTGAGAGCTTTGACGATCTGGGCAAGCTGGGGGAGGACAAGAGGTGGGACGTCATGTACGATTTTGCAGAATATCTGAACAAGACATTCCCAAATGTCCATGCTAAGCTTTTCCTCGAAAAGATCAACACTCATGGCCTCCTGTATACATGGCAAGGTGAAGACGAAGAGCTTAAGCCAACTCTGCTTATGGCACACCAGGACGTCGTACCTGTCCCTAAGTCGACCGTTGATGCCTGGACACATCCGCCATTTTCTGGTTACTTTGATGGTAAGTTTATCTGGGGTCGTGGTGCATCTGATTGCAAGAACCAACTTATTGGTATTCTCGAGGCTGTTGAAGAACTTCTCAAATCTGATTTCAAGCCAAGGCGCACCGTTCTGCTATCCTTCGGTTTTGACGAAGAGATCAGTGGTCCACAAGGTGCAGGACACCTGGCACCATTTATACTTGAGCGATATGGTAAGGATGGCGTGGCAGCTGTGGTCGATGAAGGAGCTGGATTTGCTGGTCCTTGGGGAATGCGAGTTGCTCTACCCGGGGTCGGAGAGAAGGGCTACACTGATGTCCACATTATCGTCCGAATGCCTGGAGGTCATTCTTCGATACCGCCAGACCACACTGGCATTGGCGTTATGAGTGAGCTCATCAACCTGATTGAAGCACACCCATACCAGACTCGCCTCGATGACGCAAACCCTTACCTAGGTCTTTTGACGTGTGGTGCGGAACACGCTCCAGACTTTCCATCCAAGCTCAGGAAGCTACTCCACCGAAGACAGAAGAGTATACACAGCTGTAAAGCCAAGCAGGATCACCTCGCTATCGAAGCTGCTAAGCAAGGACCTGGCACCAAGTATCTCATGCAGACATCTGTTGCGGCTGATCTGATTGAAGGTGGAGTGAAGGTCAACGCCCTTCCTGAGCGCACAACAGCAATCATTAACCACAGGATCAATATTGGAGAGCATGCTTCTGACATTCATACCAAGATCGCACACCTCGCCAAGAAAGTTGCAGACAAGTATAATCTGACCCTACATGCTTTCGACAACCACACCGAAACACCAAGTAGCATTACACTATATCCTGGATCTGAAGTACTGGAACCTGCACCGGTCACACCTTCTGATGCATCAACTCTGACGCCTTGGTCAGTACTTGCCGGGACAACAAGAGCTTTGTATGGCGAAGACCTGATTGTTGCGCCAGGACTGATGACCGGAAACACTGATACCAGGTACTATTGGAACGTGACCAAACACATTTTCCGCTTCACAGCTGGTTGGGATGGTGAATCGAATGGATTGGGCAACATCCATACCGTGGATGAACGAATATCAGTCAAATCGCACATTAACATGGTTAGGTGGATGAGCTTGTTCATAAGAAATATGGATGCAAGCCATTTGGCCTGAACTTTCTACAGAAAAGTGAGCCATACCCGACATGTTGAAAGGAATCTGGTGAGTTTGTCGATGCGCCAAACACATACAGAGTTATATTCCGGCCTCCTGCAAGTCCTACCGGCTATCATGAGATGCTCGACCAACAGATCACGCGTCTATGGACAGTTCCACCTGCCTGAAATGATTATCACTTGAAGCTCACTTCTCTTGTTTCGGCTCGCAATCTGATCCGGGATAAGGGCTTCTGGTACAGCACCGATCCTGGCACAAGGTTAGCCCGGACCCGTAATATGGCCACGTCGAATAATGCCGATAATGTGCATGAGTGGCCCATGCAATCGGTGCATATTTCTGGTGTGGTTTTGGATCTGGAATTGAAAAATCGTTCGAGGAAAGTAGCCAGCAGTAATGCTATTCAATGCATTCTACGCCGCTTGGTATGAGGCGAAGGCTGATATTAAAACCTGTCTTATGTAGAATTGGAAAGTGCTTGCTGGTTCATTGTACAGTGAAGATACACAACCAAGAAGGCCACACGCTCGAAAGCTAGTTAGGCCCCATTATTTAATAATCTCCTTGCGCCGTCTCACCATCCGGTATCTTCTTCATCACGTTCCGAATGAGCTCTATCAATTCATCGATGTCTGGCCGTTCACTAGCCTCGACAGCTAGACATTTTCTGACCACATCTCGCACCTCTTCGCACGGGTATTTGTCCCTTCTGTCGCCTCCTGCTGCTTGACCATCTCCCTCAACAATAGTCCCTTGCCTCTTCGGCTTCGGAGCATTTTCATCTGGCCATTTCCAGTCTCCACCAAGGACACATATTGACAATGATCCACCAGTTTCATCTGATCTTGCCTCGAAAGGTGATTTTCCGATCAAACAGGCATACATCGTACAGCCCAACGACCAGATGTCGACTTTTGTGTCAATTACTGAGCCGGTTTTTACATCAAAGAGTTCAGGTGCACGGTAAGGCATGGTACTGTGCTCAGCGGCTGTATCCTGAACTGCGAGAGCTTGGCTTCGACTCGTGATGGGTGTTGGGCTTGGCGCAATAGATCCTAAATCCATGAGAATTGGTTTCGGATCACCGCTTCCACTTGTGCTCGGGTCGTCATCGTCCAGCATGATGTTTGCGGGTTTAATGTCGCGGTGTGCATATGCATGAGCATCGCCAGATTTCTTCTTAGCTTGACTAGCTGTGATTTCACCACCAGCACTTTCTGGCATGAGAGGCTGCTCAGCCTCGCCATCTTCATCTGCGCTTCGTTGCGCACTTGCAGTCATCGTTCGTGACTTATTCCTTGCCTGACGTCTCGCGTCCTCGTCCTCGTTTGCGGCCTGGTTACGTATCGTCTGTGCTTCTCTTCTCGCTGCGCTGGCAGATCCATTCCCACTTGGGATCTTGTAGTGATGCATTGCTTTCAACCCTTTGCACACCCCAAGCATAATCTTCATCAGCCGCCTCTCACTGAAGCGCGTCCGATTCACCAGATTCGCATTGATCTCATCCTGCAGATTCCCCCTCCTATAATACGGCAACAGTATGTAAACCGTCTTTTGCCCTCCAGCTTCTCCCGAATTACCAATTCCCGAGACCTTCCCCCCCTCATCTTTGACCTGGTGGTCAATCGAGTGTATAATAAAATCACCACCCGTTACACCAGAGAACAAACTGTATGCTTCCACCTCCTTCAGCGCCAGGGCAACACTCTCCTGACCAAAGGGACAGCGGATCTTTTTCAGCGCGTAGAGCGCGGATGTGCTTGTATCTTGGACGAGGTAGACGTAGCTGAAGCCACCTTCGCCAAGGAGCCGGAGGAGTCGTAGGGTTCGGGAGTTGATCTTGAGGTTTGGAGAGGAGGGGAAGCAGAAGAGACAGTTTGTGAAGTTTGATATTAGGTCCATGAGTGTGGTTGCCATGGCTGTGCTATGGGCGTGTATTTATGGGAGTGGTCGAGGTGATCGAGTGAGGAATTGCAGTGTAGTGTTGAGTTGATGCGCCAACGACTATAGAGCACCTGTAGTTTTAAGAGCTTGCGTGTGGTGTGGTGTAGCAACCAGTATCGACAACACTCCGTTAGTATGAAGCGTCTGTGACAGTTATATCGTGGTACAGGTTGTGTCAGGGGAGTCGCATTGGCTGGTAGTTTCAAGGTGAATTCAACGGTGAGAATGAGGGAAAGAGACAATATGTCCGTACACGAGCAGTCGTTTACGTCGTCGCACAAGAGGTTGGACTATGTCAAGCAGGTTGAAGCGCGAAAGGTGGTGCTGCGCGATGCTGACCTGGAGGTCAGAGTTCCCCCGTTCACGGTAGAGGCAGAAACATTTATGCGAGGCACTGATCGCCAGTGCTAGTCTGATCAAGGATGGATAATCGACTTCAGCACATATACTCGAGTCAATACGGAACAGAGCTGTATCTGCTTACTGGTTTTGAACAGATTACATATTTAGGGCTCTATATCATGCTCTATCGACCCCCCGACTGGGCTGCTAGTCCTGTAGACCTGTGTACCACCCCATCATTACTCGCTATCGTACAGTCTAGCTTCGTCTATTCGTAAGCTCTATTAATCTCGTAAACCATAACGCCATGCTCTTTTACGCCTCATGCTTTCAATGGTGAAGCAGAAGACCATTACTCGAGTTGTCCCATCAGTTTGCTCCTCATTTGACCGTTAGCCACGCCACCTACTCCGAAGGCAGGGACAATGCGGCCCATTCTTGCGAAGGAACACACAGCCCAGTTCTTGGTGACTTGTAGTGCTCTTTCGCTAAAGCCAAGTTGTCCTTGTCTGTTAAATAGATCAAGACCCAGAAGGTGTAGGGGTGTACTGAATATCTGCATGGCTGCTGGAGCTAGAAACTGAGCTGTATTGGTTCGGCCGGACTCAGTCGACAGTATTCTTGAGAACCTGTCTTTAATTGAAGGGGGCAATTCAGCCAGTCGTGGCGAAATTATCGTGGGTAGGTTGAATGACGCGAAGATGGTGAGTGAGTCTCGACACGCAAAAAGCGCGTAGCTGAGTTTCGGTATCCTCGCAGCAGGTCCAGAGGAATTGCCAAAGAGTTTGGCAAATTGGCTATCTTTGTATACACATATGCTCATATTCACAGCGCTTGTGGCTGCGAATTTGGTTGGACCAGACGTTACGGTGCTTGCTCTTTTATTCTCCACCGTCGAGGTTAACGTGTCGATGCTGTTGGCAGTGAAATAGGTCGAGAAGTAAAGCGAGAAGATTAAGAGGAAGGGTCGGGAGAATAGGAAGCCATGAGGTCGTAGCAAAGCAGATTTAGATGCTTTCAGTGCAGATTCGGATATGCTTGTGCCGGTTGCTGCCTTTCGAACAATCGACCTATGTCGGGTTAGCTATCGAGAACACTACTGACATCCGGACAGTGATCATACTGGTCAATGATACATATTACAGGGGCCACCATTGAGGAAGCAGTAGCCGCCGAAGCTGCATCAGCTCCGAGTCGTAACCCAAGCCGTGTGGTATTCCAGCCCTCTGCTGGTTTCGTTTGCAGTCTACCTTCCTTAACATCCGGCACAACTATCTGTGCATTACTTAAGATTGACGATGGCTGCTGCTGACTCATATTCGCGAAGGTTGGTAGGAATGAAGGTGAAGCGCCATGTAATTGGCACAGAAGCTGTCACCGAAGTGAATGCCCTGACAATATGTTGTAGATATACTCTTGGTGGATTGATCACTTCTCAAGGATCCAGCGCTGTCACCTTCTGCAGATGGACGTTGTGTTGTATGGGGATGTAGAGATAGTAACAAAAGTCCGTCATGGCGCAGCTTCTTGCGAAAATGCGTTCCGTGGAGTGTCGTCCGAGCCGAAGGGCTGACGGGCAATTCCGCCGCCGAAGCCGCAGTCGGCCGGAGCCAAGGTCGACGGTTTGTTTCCCGCAGTCCAAGTTGGAAACTCCTGTCATGCAGTCAGCATCCAGTAATTATTCAGTGGCAGCTTCAGAAGCTTTGCGAGCAGTTAAGAGATCCCCAAAACCAGCAGATAATTGTCGTAAGTGTTATTCGCTTATAGGCTCCCGTGTATGTTGGTGAGAAAGAGTCGGGAAGTGTATATTAACAAAGAGTGAGCGAATGCATAGGCACAGGTAGTCGTACTATAATTCCTTCTCCTTTAGTACCTTGGTGACCTCCTTGGTGAGTGCTTCCGACCTCCCTGTAGAATGCCTCGGGTTTACTGCTCCCTCACCACCAATAGCCTTGAAACCCTGATAGAATATCCACTCGACTGCCTCTTCAACTGGCTTGTCGAACATGAAAGGCAAAGCAGGCACGGCTGCGAGACCCAGCTATTACACACGTCAGTACCAGGTTAGGTAATGATGGTATATTGACTTACGCCTATTGGTGCCCATGTTCTCACTGTGGCATTTTTGGCATTTTTGAGTGCCTTACCAGAATACCTAACAATGCTGTGAATTGTGAAAGCTGGAAGACCCATACTGGCAACACTCTGGAAGACGGCTCGCTGAGCTGCCACTGCCCTCCAGTCTTCTATTGCTGGTATCTTGGTTGGGGTCTGTGTTATATTTTGCTTTTCCGGACCTTCGTTAATCAGAGCTTGCATATGTTGGTCGGTAGTAGGGCTCAACAGCCTCTGGTTGCGCTTGTGTGCCTTCCAGCCTTCATGGGTCACATCACCTATCAGATATGCCCACGAGACCGCATATGCTCCTCGGACGAGGTAAGGATGTGCTACAGGCCTGAATGACTCCCCTATGTCCGATGTATATGCCACGTATCGATGTGCGCTGAGTAGTATCGTTCGAATTCGCGTCGCATAAGCTGCATATCGCACCGAGGTGTCGGTAGTATCACCCGTGCTTGACACGACGTTAGCTATTACTCATGAACGGTGTAGAAGCCATCCGTACTAGCCATCATATAGGTCGTCGAAGAAGCTATCGTCTTTGTCAATTAGGTTCTGCAAATCTGTTGACAGCTTTTCTCTGGGAATCTTGTCTGTGACAGAGGATGGAGCTCCCTCCGCAATCAGCTTTTTGAGCTGGTCTTTCGTGGAATCCTCCGGCATGGTGAAATGAGCTCGAGAAACCACCAGCGCAATTGTGAGAGGATTTCTGGTCACTTCAGCACATCAAGCGAGAAGTAGTTCCGCATCACGAGTGTTTCTCGGAACAGAACGCAGGCCTCTCTCTAGCTCACGCGAGAGGCAGCCATGTGCTGGGAGATCCGGGGTCTGAGGTTCCAGAATGACGTTGTGCTCGAGCTTGCCATGACCGTCCCTACCTACGGTTAGATTTAGAGGCGAGCAGCTTACCGTAGAACCCGCGCTAATTCGTTATGGTTAGCTTAGGATTGCAAGCTCCTGCGGCAGCTGCAGCGAAAGTCGAAGAGCGACATTCAACATAGCAGTTGAACCAGACACTTCGATTGCACAAAGTTCTTCGGACGACTCCATATAAACAGCAGCCGCAGCAGTTCACCTTTCGATCGAAGAAATGGTTGCTTACTATACAATTGCAGGCCGCCAGGTCGGGTCTCACGTTGTATGTCTCCTCAAGCTCACTACAACATCGGGTGTATGTTTCTAACAACGACTATAGCTAGCAATCACAACGTTGAACTCACTGGCCACAATCTCTTGGTTGGCAACAAGAAACGGCAGCAAGCAACCACAGACAACACCTCCACTCAATGCTGGCAGCAAAGATGAGGAGAACTTCATTCAGTTCGAGCACCCCTGGTAAAAATCTGCTCAATCACTGACCTTTGTACAGGGAATTCCTACAGCAAGTAGAGCAGGAAGACAAGAAAAACAAAATCTCAGGCAAGGAGGCGCATTAGCACGAAGATGATTCAAACAACGCCCGAGACGTGTAAATACAATGGACTGGAATGACAAGGAGCATTAAACCACGCGGTGACCCTACGGTCAAGGCCTCAATTCGAGCTCTTCTCCTCCCTCTGTGGGTCTACCCATTTTGACCACCGCGCACCGATTCTGCAAGTCCATCACGATCGAGAACAAGGTCTGAATCGTCGCTTTCTCGGTTGGGGATCTATTGATAGCACAAGGAGAATTCTTGTCGTCCTTGAGTATGTCACGAAGCTGTTGCATCGACGGTTCTGGTCCTGCCGATTTCAAAAGTTCCTTGATCCGCTCTAGCCGGAACGGTGAATCTGCGAGCATACCTTTGTCTTCAACGCCAGGACGCTGCACTGTTATATGGTTCGTATGCATATTGAGCCCATCCTTCATATGCAGTTCTATTTGGTCAACTGCTGTGTTTTCGAAGCCGATACTACCAGTCTCAGCATCAGCCACTGTGATGTGGCATGCGGATGCCAGCCCAGCCTTGTTCAATTTCTGCTTTGCCTCTTGCAGTGAAGTGCTTTCTAACACTATTCGCAAAGCAAAGTGGCATGGCAGCTTATCAAATGAGACACCTTTCGCTGCAATAGCGTTCAGTGTTACTCCAACGCCAGCACTGTTCATGCCAATTTTGCCAATGATGCCTGCTTCAGTCATCATGTGAATCGTTGGCTTGTCCTTCTGAACCACTCTGACGCACATGATGTTGTCCTTCTGCTGACCTTCCCAGTCCCAGTTCTGTGCAATGAAGCTAGCCGTCTTTGTCTTCCAAGCGAATGCTGTGCAGCCGTCATTGAGCATACCGAATCCTATCTCTGTGCGCACATTGAGTGCCAGGATTGACTCAAATGGCACGCCAGCTCCATCAGCTATGCCTCGTACTTCTTCTAGGTAAGAAGGCCATGTCGAGGTAAGATATGGCAAGAACTGCTTCGCGACTTCCTGGACCTCGGGCCACGACTTTCCTGTCTTTCGCTTGAAATAGTCATCGTAAAAGGCTATGCTGCCATAGACCTGACTGCTGGCTTGCTCGCCATGTTGCCGACCAATCTAGATCAACGTCAGTAATCCTCGCTTCGGTTCACCGAGAAGGAGAAGGAGAACCCATACCTCATATGGACTACCGGAACATGAGACGTGAAGCATATTATCCGACATGGCTCCTAGATCTTGTTCGATTTATGAAAAGCTAGCTTCAATTCAGGGATACTCGTTCTCCAGGGATATTGTCAATCGCTGGAACAGCGTATACTCCGCAGTCTATATAATGCTCAATCCTTAGGTTCTGTAGAGCGCGCATCGGCAGTCTCTCGAAGCAAGGCGGAGAAGAGCGGCAGCAGATTGTTTCGAGCTTGTCGATCGCCATTACTTCGCTTTGTCCCCCAGATGCCTGACGTGCTTGTCTCGTGCAACGACACCAATCGCAGACACGACCATACACCGGTGTTCGACGACACATGGTGACATTGTCGTCGTTAGGAACAGAATGCGGCGGATCTTAACGTGTGGTGGAAAGAAGTCATTTTAGTCAGCGATCACTCCTGGCTTGCCTGGTCTTTGTAACAGGGGCAATATTTCTTCTGGCTTGAGAACTTTGGAATATACCGAGCAATCCGCAACGCTTCGCAACCTCCATTCCAGCATAGATTATTTTCATGAAGCCCTTCCCTTTTGTGCTAGGGACAGATATTGTGCATCTCGTGCGTTGGGAGGTAGCGGGCAGCCCAATCAGAATCGTGCGCCTTGCTCAGCGTATCCTCCATCCGAAAGAATATGCTTCTTTGCGCGAGCGACATCCAGACGTCTGGGGCTTCTTGAAGCAAGCAGGACTGAACGACAACAATGTTCACCAAGCATGTTGTGAAGCACAGGAGAAGCCTGCCACTGATGCATATGACAACCGTCACATTTCGCCAAAAACATTACGAAAAGTACGGAACTATTTGGGTGGACGATGGGCAGCTAAAGAAGCAGCAAGGAAAGCCTGGGGAGCCACTTTACTCGGGTTCAAGGACATAAGAGTCACATCCGACAATGAAGGCAGCGAGCGAAGTACAGCGACTAGTGCTGTTAAAGTCTTATGCCAACCATGCACATTCATGCCTGATAACGGAGCCACATTGCCAAGTCAAGAAGGTCGTTTGAGCATCAGTCACGATGGCGATTATGCTGTTGCCACAGTCATAGCCGAGCCTTTGAGCGAAGAAATAAAGGGTTATCTTCAGGCGAGACTGCGGTCGACGAGTTCAGCACTACCTTCAAGCTGAACCAACAATCGGAACCATAGTCACAATCAGTCTTGGTCACGGCCTCACGAACAATAACGATTGAATGCTACCAACACCAGATGCACATTCTCTATGAGCCTTGATGATTATCCAGCACTCAACCCTTGGATACATCGGTCACTGTTTGTGGTTTGTGACTGACTTTCTTGTTGTTTTGATCAACACCAACAACTACTGGAGGCTTAATAGCACCCTTTGCTCCTTCGTCTCGAGCTTCTCCTTCATCGTTGATGACCTTATCGACCTGAAGTAATCCATCAGATTGGCGACTGAGAATCCTTAATTGAACTGCTCACCTGGAATTCATGCTTACCGCCTCGATATGGAGTTTCTACTGTATCACCAACCTCAATCGCTTCGCCATTCTTGGATTGCACTTCTTCGGACATCGCGAAGAATGGCAGATCTGCTCTCAGAGAAGAATCTTTGAAATGATCGAAGCCAATCTATTGGTTTTTCTGCACAATACACTCGCTATCAGCCCTGAGAAGTTGAAGTGGTCGCTCTTTGATGTAGACCTCACATTGGGCCGTGGCATTTGGCTATTGCGATCAGACTGGTCTAAACCGGATGAGGAACGCGTTCCTGTGGATCTGTGAAGTCATTTTGGGATCGTGCTCATCCCGCCCTGACTCCTTCCTCCATGACGTCAATCAAGCACACGACTGCTTCAAATTTGTAGAAATTGCTGTTTACTATTCTGCTACCTCTTGAAAGCTCCAATCTTATATACTGCGACTCAAGGAACTCTACTGAAACCCATAACTTACACTATACAACCAAACATCATGGCGGACAAGCAAGCAACCAGCTTCAACCCGGATTCGATGAACAACAAGCAAGGAGAATTCCAGCCAACGAAGCCCCGCAGTGAACCTATGGAGAAAGGAGGTGTAAGTATAGCACACTCGTGTCGAAGCTTTAACTAACAACTCGATAGCACCAGCCAGGCCAGCTAGTCGGAAACGACGCAGCTCCAGAGTTCAGTGCAAAGACATTACCTCCAGGCACTGCTCCCAAAGAATCCACCTTCAAACCAAACCCAGTGAACGAGATCCCAGGTCAAGCCAACAACCCAGACGTCGAAAGTGCTCCTGATATGTCAGGCGCCTCCAAAGCTCTGGATATGCCGGGAGCTACGTCTGCAGATGTGCACACCGGTCTCGGTCACCCAGGTCAAGGTCAGACAAGCTCAGAGTTGAAGGAGTCTGGAAAGAGTTCCAATAAGGGACAGGGAACTGGTGAGGGTGGTACAGGTATGCAGGGCCCAGAGAGCGAGGAGGCAAAGAAGCTTCAGCAAGATCACGTGCCTGGACCTAAGACAACTAGAGAGCACAACATTTCGCTTGATGGTGCTGAGAGCAAAGAGCCAGTCCATGCTGAGGAGGTGTCGGCTTTGGGCCAGCAGACGAGAAAGGGTGACTATGATCGGGCTGCGGAGAAGCCTCCAGGCAGCAACTCATAGATCGTTGATGGAGTCGACGTGTGTTGAGCATGCTCTAGCAGCTGAGGTTCAATAGCATTGCTTAAACCAAGTAGCACCTGATGAATAGCATGCTGTTCCAAGAGGAACGACAACCTGTACTGTATCTAAGGAAAGCGAAGTGCTGATAGTTGTATGATCGAGCGCAACAATACGTGGATCTTACATATGTGTCCTTCGCAGGTACAATACCTACCTGCTTCGACCCCAAATGACTTATCTCCCGAACGAAACACTGTCAAAGGAGGGCAAACAACAATATTCGTAGCTTCTTAGAATCAGCGATTCTCCAATGACTTGATTCAAATGGCCGAATTTGACAGCCACCCGTCCTCATTGAACCTGTTCACTCTGTTGACGGGTGCTCATTGTTACTCAATACTTTGGCACAGGAGCAGTGCAAGCGAAGGCGAGTAGCCATATGTGAAGAAATGGCTTGCTAAGATGATTTGGCGAGATAGGGTACAGAAGGCATTAAAGAGTACTAGCTATAGAAACAAGAGGAGTGAGATGTGTTTGATATGGTTAAAATTGAATAACAATACAGAAATAGAATTGAATGCTTGCCTGTTTGTGATTGCTTGCAACATTTTAGAAGTCAATTAGTGGCATAGCCGAAGCAATTCTTGACAGCCTTCATCAGACCACCTACCATGATCTTGACTTGGGTAGCGATGCTGATTTCGACAGGCCATTCTTCGCCGCACGATGGGCAAGGTACACCAGTATCCAGAGTACCGATGTTCTTCTTAATGTACTCTGCAGCACATTCCATGTGGTAGACTCCGCCACAATGGTTCACAGTCTTGTTTTGATTGTTGGAACTCGTCTGGTCTCCGCACCCATGCTAGCGGTGGGATTCAGCACTCTGGGGGATGTAGTGGCCCAGGGTAGGTGTACATGTGTACCCGATTTCTTTGCAGCAGAGCCAGCATGTTGCGCCAAATTTTCCTGCACCCTCTCCGTGTGTTAGTGTCTTTGAGAGCAAGGTAATTCCGTGGCTGGACTTGAAGCACTTACATGTCTTTCGCTCGGCGGCGACTTCTTCTGTTGAGGGTCGCTCGTGCATAATGTTGTCATATGGGCATCCAGTGTGCCATTCTGCGTAGACTGCTGCGTGATGAGCATTGACTTCTTGTGTTTGAGATCGTGTGAAAGAGGATGTGTGACCGTAGTAGAATAGGTTGCTGTTTGTATGGGTAAGCGGAAGAGCCTCTTCGGCTGGGAGAGTGGGTGTGTTTCGAAGGAGTTCTCTTGCGTGCCTCAGGGACGCGGTTGCCCTCTCTCGTGTGCTAGGATCGTTTTCCATAAAAGCTGCCGCATAAGCATTCATAACTGTAAGTTGTGCTGGCGCTGACTTTTGGGCGTTGGATGTAAGAGTATCAGGTACGGCTAGACTCAAAGATCGAGGTTTGCTCATAGTTTGACTCGGCGGCTTGGTGCCGGGCGCGAAGGTCACTCGTCGACGCTTGATATTTGCAAGGTGGGATCGCTCAAGTGCTTCTGGACGCTTGCCTTTCTTCATGGCGCTTCGCTTCGTGGGTTCTGGCCCTGCCGAGAGGATGGGATTGGTGTCAAGTTGTAACATGTTGTCTTTCTGTGCAAGCTTCGAATCATGTTCGCAAACATCCACACAGTGCAAGTCGCGACATCTAGGCTGTGCGGCGCAACATGAACAATCAGTGACACTGCTGGGACAATGACCCTTGAACATTAGGACAAGGCAGGATTGTTGCAGGTTCGTCGCCTGGACTTTGTCCGTTACAGTTGCTTGTTTGCTTTTGACAATGCCTCGCCGTCATTTTGTTGTATACGGACAATAGGTGTACATACACGAGGCTTGCGGATAGATCGGCCAGGTCGAAAGAGAAGCAGGGTAGCATCATAAATGTGACGATCGAGGCTGTATATTGACAACTTAGATTAGTAATGTGGGTGCCCTGGGGCTCATGGAGTGTGCATCAGCATTTTCACAAAGAGTAACTCCTGCATATTGATGGAGCTGGGGTAGGACTGATGACAGTTGCTTCGTGAAAAGCACGTTCGAATGACTCTGCTCCCCTCTAGATCAGCCAGGTCGCTCTGTGAGCGTCATTCGCCTGCAAACAGTGGCTTGCCAGATTCCGAAGCGGAAAACTGTCTTTCATCGAGCTTTGATAGCAATGGTTCGCCAACAAGTATTCTCGTTCACTGACCTTTTCCCCCCGAAAATCAATGGCTCACGGTGCGTTGCAGCAGAGGCCAGATCCGCTCGATGATATCTACAAAACTCCATCTCGTCGCGTTCGCAATCTTGTAGCGAGAGTTGAATCAATGGTATAACCTCAACTATCTTGCCTCTTCATTGTTCCTGTGTCAGCGTTCCCCAGATCAATAAAGATTATGATTACTCGCAAGAAACCAAACGGCCAGCGGGACTATGCTTGGTAGACATAGGCCAGAGGCGCAATCATGCCACTTACACTGAAAGTCTCAATTTCTTCACCTATCTCCATCACTTACTTCACGAAGAGGATGATGTCTGTTGTGGTGTTCCTGACTAAACCTTGAGTTGAATTCATCTGTAGATGAGCCATCGTGTCCCACTACGAGAGCCTCTAGATTTCTTAATGGTGTGAAGGGCTCTTCTTGTGTAAAGGTCGACAGGTTCAGAACACATTCACGTCAGTCGCAACGCGGGAGTTCACTTCGTCGCAGAATGGTTAGGTTGTCAGCATGTGACAACAAAACGCGTGCAGTATAGAATGCAGATCGTTTTTCTGCTCGGTTCTCGCCGTCAAAGCAAGTGCAGCTTCGTAGCTAACTGGGTACAGAGTTCGAATTCGTCTTTCGCGAACATAAATGCAGGTCAATAGATCCGAGCAGCGTATAGTTGAGTGCTTAGAGACCATATCGCTCAGGTGGAAAGCAGAGACATATGCATGGTTATCAGCCATGACAAAGAGAACATTTGAGCAAGTTCGAGCCAGCGGTTGACGATAAGCTGAGCCGCCCAAGGTTTACTTTCAGCCGCAGATCGTCTATAGATTGCTACAAGGCTGTCAATTGCTCGATCTCATCGAGTCACATTATGCTAACAAACCTCTCCTGATTGGTTCTTTGGAAGAGCTCTTCCTCTTATCGTGCGCCCAGCCCCGCCAAACTTTCAAGGTCTCGGCATGTGACCTTTTGAGTCTGGAGGATTACTCGACCACGCGATCAGCTCGGGACTGCCCACTGCACGCGCACAATATTGTCTACGCTAGCAACCTAGTATGCAGGGATGTTTACTGTGGTACTCGCTGGAAGACTTCCTCGTGCACCTCCGCAACGTTTCTTCTTGCTGTATGATGCAACTTTGCACACAAGGACAAGCTTCTTTGCTACGCGATCGAGGCCTTGTCCGGGATACTCCTGTTAATTCTTCGGATCCTGACACAACTTTTGGGTCAGCTAGACCGAACACACATGCGCAATGAGTGGTTCTTTCTTGCGCAAGCGCGATTAGCACTGCAGGAAAGCTGAGCCAGATAAGGCTACTCGAAAACATGCAAAAGGTTACGTATCTATCGCATGAACGTACTCAAAGTCCACCCCACCCATGCCGCGGATCAGATCCATTACGGTTCCTGGGTATATATGCTGCACAACCGTTTCTCTGACACACGAACTGCCATTCTTGGGTTTCTATCGAGTAAACATCGAGTAATCCAAGGTCCCAGCTACGAACTCTTACCAGTTGAAGCTACCACGTTTGACCAGAGCAGTCACAATCCTTGGTCCGATACTAGCTTTCGGGGCGGCAGTAGGCACGTCCCTTCTTCCAGGATGGATAAGAGGGCGGGATTCTGGAAGCGCATCGTGAGTTAGGACAGCTCTTCACTACTTCACTGTCACATTAACAGAACCCTAGGAATGTGAAGCTGAACCGGGTCTCACCAACAAGCAATTGTTCCTTACCAATCATGACCTGAAACCGGTTGAGCCTGCACGACGAGTATGGAAGCACCGCAATTTCGTCACTTTCTGGATTGCGGACTCCTTCAACATAAACACATGGATGATAGCGGCAAGCTCACTTGAGCAGGGATTGAGTTGGTGGCAGGCATGGATTTGTGTCTGGATTGGCTATTCCATCGCAGGTTTCTTTGTCGTCCTCACTGGTCGCATTGGCGCAACTTATCACATTGGCTTTCCTGTGGTAAACAGAGCGTCCTTCGGCATTTGGGGATCTCTGTGGCCAGTGCTTAATCGATCCGTGATGGCCATGGTGAGCCGTTTTGCAATTGTTTACGTCCACAGCTAATCTCGAGCAGGTCTGGTACGGAGTACAGTCATGGATAGGTGGACAATGTGTTTTTCTTATGATTGCTGCTATCTGGCCATCTTTCGGTCACAGTGAATACATGAATCGACCTCTGGGGTTGGGCGCCAACGTCAACTACATGATCTCGTTCGTTCTCTTCTGGGCAGGTCAGTCTCTACTCCTTCCACTTCGCCTGCTGCTGGACTTCCTTGTTGGTTGTGCTGACTTCTTCATTCACAGGTTCGCTACCATTCTTGTGGTTTGCACCGCAGGTAAGTATCCCGAGGCACAGAGCGAAGTTTCCTGGCTAATATATGATAGCAAATGAGGCATTTGTTCACTGTCAAAGCATTCGTGGCTCCTGCCGGAGGCATCGCCCTATTCGCTTGGTCCATCGCTCGTGCCGGAGGCGTCGGTCCAATCGTCCACCAAGGCGCCACTGCATCCGGATCTAAACTTGCTTGGGGTATTGTTGCTGGTATTATGTCAGCTATTAGCAACTTTGCTACACTCATTGTCAACGATCCGGACTTTGCACGTTTCGCCAAAACCCCTGGAGCCGCGATATGGCCACAAGGTCTGACTATTCCTCTGGGCTTCGGTCTCACCTCCTTTATTGGGATCATTGCTGGTTCATCTTCAGCTGTGATATACCCAGATATTGGCGCGGTTTGGAATCCTCTCGATCTGCTTCGCAACTTCGCCATCGGACGAGTCGGCACAGTTGATGAGCGTGGATCTGCAGGAGCTAGAGCCGGTGTTTTCATCATTGCGGCAACCTTTGTCGTTGCACAGCTTGGAGTGAATATTGCAGCCAACTCAATCTCGGCAGGTACTGACTTGACGGCTCTACTTCCACGCTACCTCAACATCCGACGTGGTAGTTACATCTGCGCAATTGTCGGCATTGCAATCTGCCCATGGCAATTCTTAACTTCGTCCTCCAACTTTACGACATATCTCTCGGCATATAGCGTCTTCCTCAGCTCGATCGCCGGACCGATGATCGCAGATTACTACTTCGTTCGCAAAGGTTATCTGCAGATCCGAGACCTGTACAACGCTGAAAGTTCTGGTCCATACTTTGGAATTCTTGGTATTCAGTGGCGAGGTTGGGTAGCCTACATTTGTGGCATCATCATCAACGTTGTAGGATTTGCTGGTGCCGTCGGTACGCCTGTGCCTATTGGCGCCGATTACATCTACAGACTGAACTTCTTCTCTGGCTTCATTGTCTCTGCTGGAGTATACTGGCTGCTGGCTAAATTTTTCCCAATGCCAGCTCTCAGCCCCACTGGAAGTTGGTTTGAGGTTGGCGATGAGGTTAGAAACCCGAGCTTGGTATATGGTAGTGATGCTGATGCGCACGAAGCTCGCGAGCGTATGGGTTACGCCACTGAAGAAAGTATGGAGTCTGGGGAGAAAAGAGGTTGGTTTAGGGCTGGCAAGTTTTGAAGTCGTGGAGGATATTTATGACTGTATTGGCGTCAACACACTGCGTTATTTGACTCAGATGAAATTGTGAGTATAGAAGCAGAAGGACTCCTTGTCTTATGATATGTATACCTTCGCATACCGGGATGGTGATTCTTAATCTTCTCGCCCCAACTTCAACCGCGAACGGCCATGACCCTCAAACTCTCTATGCTATCTCCGACCCAGAAATTAAACAGATTTACCATACTCTCACGGAGCAGGATTGGATTCAAGATCTTGAATTCCCATGCTGGTATCGAACAATCGCCAGTTTATAGCTGGTTTGTAACCCACAGTGCTCGAAAGAATTGTTCTTGCGCGAAGATGCTCCTCCGGCTTTACGGTATTTGTACGAGATAGTGGCCGTCTAAGCCCCCATCGGGGTTTTCAAGGCGGCAAGTGTATTGACCTTCCATCGTGCTATCTCCTCGCACTTATATCCTATATCCGGTACTAGCTGGCTTGTGCTCCCTCTCGATTCAATATATATTCTCGTGTTTGCCAAAGTGTATATAAACGCTGTTTGGCCAGAATTCGTGTCATCATTCTTGTCGTTGTCGATGATAATAAAAATCGCTTTCAGTAATACAGTCAGGAACAACTCGCTCACTTCGAAGTAACAGCAAAAGTACTCATTCGAATCTTCACCATGGGTTTCTTATACTCGCAGTTGTTCGTAACTCCCAAATACCCTACCCGCTCATTCACTGGCGAAACTTGCATCGTCACCGGCTCTAACGTCGGTCTTGGAAAAGAGTGCGCTCGTCACCTTGCTCGTCTAGGTGCCGCCAAGATCATTCTCGCCGTCCGCAACACCTCAGCCGGCGAGCAAGCTCGGCAAGATATTGTCAAGACCACCAAAGTCGACCCATCGGTTGTCGAAGTCTGGGAGCTAGATCTCGGGGACTACTCCTCGGTCAAAGCATTCGCCAAGCGTTGTGAAAGCCTCGACCGCATCGATGCAGTCATCGAGAATGCCGGTATAGCCGCGATAGATTTCAAGCTCGTTGAGGGGCATGAGTCAACCGTTACTGTCAATGTTGTCAGCACCTTTCTCCTTGCGCTCTTACTTTTGCCAAAACTGAAAGAAGTTTCCAGAAAGTTCAATATCACTCCGCGCCTCACCATTGTCTCGAGCGAGGTCCATGGCTTCAGCGGCATAGCCGAGCAAATCAAGGACGCAGATTCCATCTTCCCAATGATCGACGACCCGAAGAAATCCGACATGTCGAAACGCTATCCTCTCTCCAAACTCCTCGAGGTCCTCGTTGTGCGCGAGATTGCTCCTAAGATCAATAGCGGCCAGGTAACCCTGAACATGTTAAACCCAGGTCTGTGTCATTCCAGCTTGACACGGGACGTATCGGGTTTCCAATTATTGACTTATACCCTCATGAAAGCAATACTGGCACGTACGACGGAGGTGGGCAGCCGGACGTTGGTCGCTGCTGCGTCTGTTGGCGAGGAGAGTCATGGGAGATACATGCACGATGGTATGGTGAATGAAGGCGAAGTGTCAGCTTTTGCGAAAAGTGACGAAGGAAGGAAGGTTGGTCAGAAGGTTTGGGCTGAGCTTGCGGGTATTCTGGAAAAGATAGAACCTGGTGTTACACAGAATATATGACTTTGCAAGATAGCTACTCAGGTGCGTTGAATGTTTAAGCCAATATATTACATCGATTGAAATTTGCGTGCATTGATGTTTGCTGTGAATGAGTCAACGCAACACTCGTTGCTTTGATTGCAAGATATGTAGGATCGCTCAGCCTGTGCCTCATATGCGAAGTATTGTAACCTCTGTCGTTCCTAATTCCTGATTTTCGATCATGATAATGTACAAGCTGTAGTCTGAGTATTGCCCCTGCCTACATATGGCCTCGCGTGACCGGGACGTGCCTGCGTATGCTGTAGATAAAAGTTAGATTTATCTCCCATAAAGGCCTAGTCAATCTCCTCGACAAGCCCTTCGTCTCGAACTCCTTCTATGACTCTTGACGGCCTCCAGCCTAACTTTCTAGCACCAGTGTAGATGTTCGAGGACTCGATCATGTCCACAGATGATATACCAAAAACACCTTGGGTGATAGCTCTGCTGGCAGCAGCTTTCTGTACCTGCATATCTTTATTCCGAAGCTGTTGTTGGTGAGCGAATTTCGTTTGTGCATCCATCGGCATTAACCTATGCTGAAAGACCGAAGGCCATTCTACCGCCTGGTAGTTGAGCTCTGCGATCTCGTGAATGAGGTAACCAGGATGTACGAGCACGACTTTCTGCTTGGCAGCATCGACAGAAGCGTATTGTTCGAGAAGTCTTGCAAAGCCATTATCGACTGCTGCAGCAAGGAAGATAGTGTGACAATGAGGGTTTGCGATGAACAGGTGGAAGGTTTCTGTATACGTCAATTAACCCGTACCAGGAAGCATACTCAGTTTAACGGTGGACTGTCGCAGTACTGATAGCTAAGAGTATTTTCGGGACTAAACATACCTTGAATCTTGGAATCTGCTCTCTCTTTACCCCGACCACAATCTGTGTAATCAAACAGGGGCATACTCTCAGTGAAGTCGACAGCGAAGTCAGAAAGTCTATGCCTTGCATGCTGTGTACGTGCCTCCTGATGTCTTAGTCCGTCTGCAGGTTGTCAGTACAAAAAACATATCTTGGTGGAGGAAATTTATAGGTCACTAACGTGCATTATGGAACACTCTTGTAACGATTTTGGATTGTAAAGGTGCTCGATCAGTACTGGCAAGCAGGTATTGCTGCACCTCGAGTCTAATCGCTTGCGCTGCATGAGCGCCCGCTGGTCGCAAATTTTGAGTGAAGTGATTGCCGGCCCAAATGTATGCATCTCCATCGACAAGTACAAGGACGAAAGGAGATGCCAATGCTGAAAAGGTAGATTCGCTGGCTTTGGTAACGGGTGGTGCTGGTGACATAGGACTCTTGAGGAGTTCATTTTCGAGTTGCAGGTCGATAATGAATTTCCGGGTTTCTTCAAGTCTCGTTTGTGTGGCTTGTAAAGCTCCCGCTGTAGCTGATAACTGCTTACATGTCGCCGTGTATGCTTGGTTGGTATTAGCCTCTCGCATTGAGGCTGCGGTAATCTGCTGTTGAATTGTGTTGAATTGTTGTTGCATCCCCATAGCTTTGGATCTTTCAGCTTTCAGCCATTTGTTTCCCTGAGAGCATTGTTGCTCTAGTCTTTGAACCAGGGAACCTCGTTTCGCATGCTGTTCGTCTTGTTGAATGATTCTAGATCCTTGTGCTGAAATCTTGGCCTCCGCTCTTTCGACGTCTTTACGGAGCTTTGTATTAGTACTCCGCAGAATCTCAAGCTCTTGTCTATCCTTTTTGATTCGCTCAACAAGGTCATTACAGGACTGACTATCTCTAGCTGTCTGTTCCCGAAAGAACTTTACTATCCGAAGCACCACAATCACAAATGGTTGGTGAACGAAGGCTAACAAGACAACAGAGGACGCAATCAGAACAGATAGCAGTGAATAGCCACTGATCATGGCGGGAACTTCCATGGCTTGTGGTAGGACCAAATCCAGCCTTACTGTCTCGAATAAGGCAATGGTCGGACTCGACATTGCTTTAGCCCACGGTTTGTGAAGATCTTCCCAAGACGTTGATGCACTAGCGTACAAAGCCACGCCAAAGAAACATAAATTGGTGAAGAAAGTGACAACGAGAAGTGATTTGTGTAGCCTGATGGCATATCGGTATACCGGACTTTCAGGCAGTGACCAGGAATGAGTATTGGCAGGAGCAGGCTTTGTCTGCGTGGGTATCGTGCTAGTTGAAGCTGGAGATCCAGCAAGACTCAGATTGTTTGACATCGTTCTTGAAGAGTGAAGGTTGGATGCAGTGAAGTTTGTCCCATCCCGATACTAGCACGTTGGGATGCCAGGACGGAAAGCTCGATGTGACCAATACCCCAGTTTGTCTAGTGATTGTACTACCATATTGCTGAAATGCCAACGGCGCAACAGAGTAATACCAAGGTGCGATTGTCGTGTCACTATATATGAGGCGCCGCGAGCGATTAGTTATGAAGAAGGTGGAGGTAGTGAAGACTAATGACCACTAGAAATATCTTGAGCTCATTATTTGTGGCGGTCGAGGTCGGGTATCGAATAGTGATTCTCCGATAATTGCTCATTGGTTCCCTCGCGTCAGTTTCTCGCTCTGTTGTGCAGCAGCGACCAGGAGCGTTGTCACAGCCACTTCCGTTATCTGCGAATCCTTTTTGAGAGTGGTGGTCAAGCGTAACCGTGTTTCACGAAACTACTTCGGAAGGAGCTGATGAACTGCCCGAAAGGCGTACACTCTTAGACAACCACACGATGTTGAGTGTCTAGACTAGCAGTACTCATCTCAGAAATAAATAACCTCGACTTGATATATGAAGACAACCACTATGTCCCAGCTCAGTTCTGGGAACAAGCTCAGTCAATGCAACACCAAAATACGACAAGGCAGATAACGAGTCGTGAAGGGTCATCGAGAAAGAAAACCAAAGCGCTTGAAACGAAACGTCCTTCGACTAGGTACAAGGAGACGATTGCACGAGTCTTGCTTTTTTAAATCTCTGGTAATTGGTATCTCTTTACTGCTTTAGCCACTAACCTGGTTGCCAAGGCATCATCTGATTCACCAGAACACGAAATTCGTGAATGTCCACCCATATGCATCTATCTGCAAGTGTAACCACCATCGATGAGTAGATCAGCACCAGTAGTGTAAGTGCTGGCATCGCTCAAGAAATAGACGTAGGCACCCTTCAACTCCTTAGCGTCACCGTTTCGGCCCATTGGAATCATGCTCATCCACAGATCCTGAATATCTTTCTCCACAAAGTCCGAGAGACCAGTATCGATATAGCCTGGAGAAATTGAGTTGACACGGGCAAAGTCTCGCCATTCATTGGCAAGAGATTTGGCCATGTGGATGCAGCCAGCCTTTGCAACGTTGTATGAGGTCTGCTCTTGTGGGAAGTTGGCAATGTGGCCTGACATGGAGGATGTGATGACAAAGGAACCAGTACCTCGCTCCTTGAAGTGAGCACCAACAGCCTTTGCACAGTATGCAGTTCCGAGCAAGTCGACAGTAATGACCTCATTCAGACGCTCGACAGTACCGTCAATGATACCAGCATCAGCTGTAGCACCGGCATTGGCCACAAAGCCGTCAATCTTGCCAAAGTCCTGAACAACATCCTTGACGAGCTGCTCGACAGAGCTAAAGTCTGATACCTGGCACTTGTATGCTTTGGCCTTGACGCCATAGTCTTTCTGGATTCTTGCGACGTTCTCCTCCGCGCCCTTCGATCTTGAGTTGTATGTGATGGCAACGTCCGCACCCATTTCAGCACAACCTAGCGCAGCTTCGATACCCATGCCTCGTGGGCCGGAGGCACCAGTAACGACGACGACCTTGCCCTTGAGGGACAGGAGGTCGAGAAGGTGGTTTGCTTTTGGGATGGAGATAGGCATTTTAACGGTTGCTATGAGCAAGTGAAGGGTTCGTGAGTCAGTAGTACTCGAGTAAGGCTTCTATCAGTGGATTGAAGTTTGAAAATATTTCCAGCAGCAGTAATGAGGGGTGTTGGGAACGGAGGAAATATATGGCGCGCTCGCCAGATCTTGCTCCGTTCCTGTAACAGCTGAAGAAAGAGCTATGCTGTCATTCACCATATCATTGCGGGGCATCGTTGATTTCCTGCATGCACAGTGCTGACAATCAAAAGTATGGTTTTCCTATCCAGGTGTTGCGTTGCTGACTACACGTTCCGAATCCATCCTCTGGGCTCGGACTGCTTTGCTCGCCATTTTCTACCCTAGCGCAGAGAGCCTGCAGCTAACAGCTCGAACTTCAAGTTGAACTGGGCAGCCGGACGATAACGAACGACTGCGGGCTGTTTCCTTTCAGAGTTGGCCGTTTACCCATATCATCTCGGACGTATGCCGCCGAACGTGTGCCCCTCTAGGAAAGCCACGGTCGTCCCTCGCACAGGTCCACCAACCCGAATAGGTTTAGTTAGCAGTCTGTTCTACTGGATACGCGTGACGACCTACCAACAAGTTGTCAGCCACGATGAGAAGAGCTCGAATTATGTTGTACTTCCAGAAAACATCACTAGTCGTGCTGTACCAAATGGTGGCTCATCTGTTGTTTTACTGGAACCAGGACCATCCATTGGTATGAGAAGCTGACATGAGTGTCGCGTTGCTGACGTGCAATGTGACTCGAAATGCATACGATGCCTCTTTTTAGAGCACGAAGACAAGCGAGCATCACTACATGCAAAGCGGACTGAGAAACAGGAGGGCCAAGTTTTACAAATGCTCGAGAGATGCTGTAGCATTATCGAGAACTTCTATCGCACATGTCGGAATAGGAAGAAGGACAGCCTTCAGGAGTCGCCTCACCGATTGATCTCTGTACGGCACTATCATACAAAGTTTCAGCCTCTATTCACAAGACGTTCGACAGAACAACACCCTTGTCGTGTGCGAGAGAGTGATAACCTTCCCCTAACCACCAATCTAAGCTATGAACATACGGAACCAATTGACTATTCACTGTCACATCGATGCTGGAGTCATTAGTTTCTCACATTACTTGGCAAAGACACATCATTTAGCTAAAACGGAAAATGCTACGAGTCACGATCTTGTCGTATCGGGTCGTTCATTTTGACGCAGCCACTGCTATCTAGTGACGACGTGCGGCGCCCTTTACGTACTCGAGGCATCAGCTCAACTTCAATCCAGGAGACGATGCGATATGATATCCACATGTTCGGATAGCTGTGCTGGGGCAGGGGCAACGTGCACGCTATGTTACAGCTGAGTGATGGTTCTCGCGTATCGGACGGTGACGCTGCTTGGGCAGCAGAAAGTGAAGGAAGAACAGAGTGATCCAGGCTGAGGAGTCTCCAACATTTGCAACAACGAACATTGCATCACGTGGCTCGTTTACCAAAGCGACACACTCGCCTGTATTCTCGGCGTCAATATTTCACTATTATCTGGGTCATGACTACTGTTGTACAACCCCGCAAAATCCGTGGTGACACAGCATATATATATGCTGCCTCGTGAGTGGTGAGACATTCTGGTTCCTGCCAATCGTCAACCTCGCCTGAGTAAAGCCTCACTCCCTTCGGGCTTGAATCCTGGTGGAACAATTAGTGAAACGGATGTGATCGCTATTTGTGTACGTTTGCAAGAAGCTCCCCAACACATTTGGTGGCTTGCATTGTTGGTCGCTCAAATGTCAACACTCTTATCCAACCAACTTTGTTTCAATGAAGCCTTTCACTCAACCACGAGAACATTTGAATTCTACCAAACTCTCCGAGTCGAGATCTACTTCTGACCCTGAACCTATCTTCTCTGCACCTACTTCTCAACCTCAAAGAGCCCAAGTCGACAACCCATCATGTGTACCAAAATCTTCAAGCAACAGTACTGCGATAGCTGTCGCAAACAGCCAACAAGTAAGTTTTCTATTATCAATTGGAAGATAGCGACAAGGTACTGACGCAGAAATGTAGCTCACAAGATCGAGGAAATAATCTCATGCAGTGACCTCAATTGCGGTTTCCGACTGTCTGGCCACTACACATATGCTGATACTAGCAAAATCGACCTTGTCAACCATCCTGGTTGTGTCTGTCGCATCCCAGGCCGTCATGCTTCTGGACGGTTGTCCTCCACACCAACAGTACTCACCTAGAAAAGACATTGGCTCGAGCAGCATCTTTATAGGGCGAATATCAGAAGTCCAGCGACGGTGAGAGAATGCTCAATCACCTACTATATGGTACACAAGATCGCAAGCAGAGCTTTGGCTGTATATATGCAGTGGAGCTATACTGCGCCCAGGATCAGCGAACAATACTTAAGCAAGATTGCACAAGCAACAACGGTGGATTTCGAGAGATTGCTACGTAGGGCTCGCCTCTGCTGTCCTCGATCTCCTTGGTGAATAGGTGAATGCACTGCCTATCAAGTCATCGCTGTCTCTCCCTTCCATTCTGTATACCATCTAACCACAATTGATCTAGCTCCAAATATCATTGGAATGACGTAGATCTGGTCAACTCGACTGCTCGTGGACGAACAGCTCAACCACGTTACTTCAGCAAGACCGTAGAATATTTCAGTTCAGCTGTTCTGTACACGTCCTATCAGGAGCATGTTTACGCTCTCGAATGGATGAAACGTCAGTCAACCTTGAGATTCTAATATGCAATGCTGCAAACTGACTCCGGCGCACCCCACCTTCTCATAAACAATGTTGCATCGTTGACAGTTTCTGTTTTCCACCAGTTTTCCGCCAGCGTTATATTGTTGAGCAGTCGCAGTCGTACCTCGCGGCTAGAGATATATAGCTCCTCTACTCTCCTTCTTCTCTACGTGGTCAACTACCTGTTATCTTTCTCCTAGTCTCTGTGCTTGCTTATATCCACGACTGTCACAATATACAGATACGATGCCGAACGAAATCTTGAACGAGATCTCGCATCGTCGATACAATCCACTGCGCGATACATGGGTTCTCGTCTCACCTCACCGCACCAAACGTCCCTGGCAGGGCCAGCAGGAGTCGCCAGGCGTTATTGACCTCCCTCAATACGACGAGAAGTGCTACCTCTGCCCGAAGAACAAGCGTGCCAGTGGTGATTCGAATCCAGATTATACAGACTGTTATGCATTTGTGAACGACTTTAGTGCTGTGAAAGAGGTGCAGGATGATCAAGATTACAAGCCAGACGGTGCGGGTCCTGCGGGTATTGAGGCTGAACTGTTACAAGCAAAGCCAGAACGGGGCAAATGCTATGTATTGACCTTCTCGAGGAGGCACGACCTTACACTAGCGGATATGAGTGCTGAGGAGATCAGGAAGGTAGTCAAGATGTGGACAGATATCTATACCTCGCACCTGAGCCCGAAATCACCGCTGGCAGGTCTGAGGAGAACCATTTTCACGCCTCCACAAAGTCCAAGCAACGATGGCAAGGCACAGCCCGAGCAGTATCGACATATGCAGATCTTCGAGAACAAGGGCGCAGCCATGGGCTGTTCGAATCCTCATCCCCACGGTCAGATCTGGACCCAAACCAACGTGCCCGAAGAGCCAGGAAGCGAACTCCTGAACCTGATAAAGTACAAGAAAGAGAAGGGACGGCATATGCTCGTTGATTACGCAGCTCTTGAGATCATGAAGGAGGAACGGGTGGTGTACCAGAACAATAGCTTCTTGGTCTTGTGTCCATGGTGGGCGACTTGGCCGTTCGAAGTCATGCTTCTGCCCAAGCGCCATATTCGGGCTCTAGTCGATCTCGATGACACAGAGCAGGCCGAGCTCGCGAGTTGTATCGCAGAGATAACAAGAAGATACGACAATCTATTTGAGACGAGTTTCCCTTACAGTATGGGTATACACCAGGCGCCTCTCGAAGGTCCGGAAGACGAGATCGAGAGCTCGAGCTTACACGTTCACTTCTATCCTCCACTCCTGCGGAGCGCAACTGTGAGGAAGTTCCTTGTGGGCTACGAGATGTTGGCTGAACCACAGAGGGACATTACGCCTGAGCAGGCTGCCAGTCGATTGAGAGATTGTGGCGGAGAATTGTATAGGAAGAAGTTGAAGAGCACAGAAGCTAAGCAGGTCGAGGTGTCACCGTCCGGTTTCAAAGCTACGTCTCAGCCAGCATCTTGATCCGTTCACACAGCTAGAATCTCATTTGACATAATTACCGAACTGGGTCAGGTGCCACACCAGACCTATGGTTGCAAAGGAAACAGGGGCCAGCCAGGGTCCTTGTGGTTTGGCAGTCCTGTATACAAATGCTTCGGTCCCAAAGTGGACAAGACCAATGACGTTTGTCCATATCGACATCGAGTACCAAGACCGCTCATCCAGGTGATATGCAGCAATAACTCTTGCGATTCCGACCGCCAAGTTCCAAGTGCCGAATGTGCGGGCTGACAAAGGGGTGACCGGAGATTCCACACCAGCGGTAGCTGTTGTGACAACAGATGGCCTGCGCCCCTCTGGAATTGTCGCAGTATCCAACACTACAGTCTGAATTATACGAGTACTCTTTGATATGCCAGCACTTTGTGAGGATGAAGGTAATGGTGGACTATAGATTCGTTGCAGGTAGGAAGTATCGTTGTAGCATTGTAGCGCATTTGTGATAGCCGTCACACCTACCTAGGTTATGGTCAGCAAGCGCTATTGAATGAGCGTTAAGAAAATTTCTTACGAAGAGAACGAAGAGTGGCAGGTAGCCATCCGCTGTACTTGGGACGTAATCCATTCTCTGTGTCACCAGGATTATCGAAAGTGATCCTTGGATGATTGTGACCGGCAACAGTTTGGCATGTGATTGCCGTAGAGTGCGAAGCAATGAATGCGAGTGTTGTTCAGTCTATTAAAATACCAAGAACCATTCTGTACGCAAGTAGAAGCATATCTGAGCCAAGCGCTTCACAGCTCGCTACGTCGTACGGCGTACTACCACGTTGCGAGTACTAGTGGCAGGCGATCAACAATGATTGACTTCCAGTGTGTTCGAGCTTCACGCAAACGAGGTGTGGACCATCCGTAAAAGGAATACGGCCTTCCGAACCAGGCTCTCGAAGTTTACGTGAAGGAATAGGCATCTCGCGACTTGCTTTTCATGAAATTGCATGTTTGCTTGGCGATGGATGCTTTAGCTAGACTCACAGTATAATATATCATCTTTACCCTTGGAACTTTATCAATTATCTAGCCAGCAGCGCAACTCCCTTACCAAATCATTCTTGTACTACTGCTACGAGCACTAGCTTGTCGAAAAGGTCGGGTTTGTACTAGTGACTAGCGGCTGCCGCAACGTCTGGAGAATCGCGTTTCGCAATTGCCAGAAAACGAACCATCCAGATCAGAGCAAGGTTCATTCGTGGTCCAGGCTGTTCAACGGCAGAATTGTGGTCATATTCCGTTCGTCGACGATATGGCTTACGACTTAGGCTCTCTAGGTCAACAGACGACTCTCTCAATAGCACTGTTAGGGATAGGAGTATTTTCTTTAGCGTCTGTGATCTACACGTTAACACGGACCCTCCTCAGCACTTTCGTACTGCCAGGTAAATCTGTGAGTGCCTTTGTCCCAAACTCCCCCATCCCACACGTGCTGACTACATTGCCAACAGCTTTCTACATTCGGACCTCAAGGATCTTGGGCCATCGTTACAGGTGCTTCCGATGGCCTAGGTAAAGAGTTCGCTTCTCAACTTGCTGCAAGAGGATTCAACCTGATACTTGCCTCCCGCACTCAAAGTAAGCTTGACGATGTCGCAAAGACGATCAAGAGCAAGCATGCCTCTACCCAGGTCGAAACACTGGCGATCGACTTCTCCAAGCCAACAGCAGACGACTACAGGAAATTTGAGGCTCTACTGGTTGGGAGAACAGTCGCAATATTGATCAACAATGTGGGACAAAGTCATAGTATTCCTGTGCCCTTTGCAGAAACTGAGAGTCAAGAGATTGAGAATATCATCAACATCAACTGCCAGGCGACATTGCGAGTCACTCAGCTTGTCCTACCACAGATGCTGCCAAACAAAAAAGGCCTGATCCTGACAATGGGCAGCTTCGGTGGTCTGACACCGACACCACTTCTAGCTACCTACTCCGGTAGTAAAGCATTTCTGCAACAGTGGTCGAATGCGCTTGCATCTGAGCTGGAGGACAAGGGCATTACAGTGCACTTTGTTCAGGCCTATTTGATCACTTCTGCAATGAGCAAGATCAAACGTGCAAGTCTGATTGTGCCTAGTGAGAGAGCATTCGTCAAGTCCGCACTTTCCAAAATTGGGAGAAGAGGTGGAAGCGTTGGATACAGCTATAGCGGAAGCCCTTACTGGAGCCATGCCGTTGCCGCATTCGGTATCACGTATCTGCTTGGTCCGATGAATGGCTTCCTGCTTGGTATCAACAAGAGCATGCACGTCGATATTAGGAAGAGAGCGTTACGAAAAGCTGAGAGAGATCGACAACAGGGGAAGAAGGTGAGTTAGGAGGAATAGAAGCCATGGTCTTCCAGAAACGACGTTCGAGCTGTGCTTCTCAGCTTTATTCATGTTGACGAGTGAATTATAGAATAATACAATGCATTGTAAGCAATCTCTGTTCATAGTGCCGGTCTTTCCAGGCCCAAGTGCCACTATAACAATGCATTGTTGTTCAGACGTCAAGCATGTGAATGCCGGGACGAGTATGACGTGGTCGCCTGGAAACTCAGGCACAAACTTTTCAACTTCTAAGATTTGTGAGGGAACGTGAATATCGACACACTTTACCTGGGAGGACTATTACTTCGATCACTCAACTAGAGGTAGATCAGCCAACTATATCGATACTTCGTGATGCATGAAATCTTGACCCTTCAATTCGGTCAACGAGCCAATTTCGTTGCCACACATTTCTGGAATATACAGGTAGGTACGTATCCATCGTCTTCGTGACCAAGGTCCACATCCACTTCTACTCATGCATACGAGACTGTTTGAGAGGACGCAATACGCCGACTTAGCATCACTGCAGCTTCTGACCTCATCAGGAATCATACTTTACATATGCTCCTAACACACAGCCAAGCATCATCGATCACGATGTGCACTTCCGTCCTGGAATCGGCAGTGATGGTCGTACAGAGACTTATACCCCGAGAACCATAATCTACGACCTAAAAGGAGGCTTCGGCACGTTGAGGCAACGAAATGTGCTCTACGATGACATACCGGCAAATCAACAACAAACATCAACCTCTGCGTGGAGTGAGAACGGATTTACTACAATCAAGCAGCAGCCAATCCAGCAGAATCGATACCAACAAGATCTAGATGCCGGGCTACCTACCAGACAGCTGAAGAGCAGCGACGTGCGATATTGGAGCGACTTCAACAGAGTCTTCTTTCATCCGAGGAGTATCGTACAGTTAAGCGAGTATACACTCAACGACTCAATACGACCATTCGAGAACTGGGCCGCGGGAGAAGACCTGTGGCGAGACATAGACAGAGGAAGTGGAGGATTGCTCGATCGAGATGTGAGGCTCTTTGTGGAAGAATGTGATAGTCTCCAGGGGTTTCAGCTTTATTCCGGAGTGGACGATGCGTGGGGTGGGTGGTGTTCGAGATATGTCGATGCGCTTCGAGACGAGTTTGGGAAGAAAAGCGTCTGGGTCTGGGCACTAGAAGACAATGAAGAGCAGCAACGAGAGAAAAGAATAGCGAGCAAGGCCAATGCGGCGAGATCGATGAGTGGGATGAGGGATCTGGTCAACGGATACATTGGTTTATCTTCACGGCCAGAAAATTTGCCTGGCTATACCAGGCTGGGCAAGAGCGAGTGGGAATCAACAGGACTTATAGCAGCTGCGGTGGAAAGTGTCACATTAGCTATGAGGCTACGTTCAGATGCGCCCAGGACAAGCTCGATGGCACACTTTGAGCAGGTACTTGGTGCAAACGAGGAAAGGAATATGTGGCAGTTGGGTGTGAGGGTCGATTCAGATGACAGGAAACAGCAGACCACCAATGGACAGACGGCCGCATCGCAGGAGAAGGCAGAAGATGAGGCGGATGCTGAAGACACCACAACTTTTGACATTAACTTTATGCCCAACATCTCGTCTTTAATGCCGAATACTTTAGCTCAAGGCAGTCGGCGAACAGGACGCAAACATATTTTCGCTCAGATCAACACTTCCAGAACATCGCGCGACCAGCACAACGATCCACATCCCTCCGCACTCAGCCAGGAGGAGCTGTTGCGCAGGCGATACAACGAGGAGGCCATTGTCGAGTCCTTCCATGTGCCCTTGGGGTTCCCGCGGCTGGATGCATATCCAGCTGGTTTGTTCGACTTCCCGGAGGACCAGACAACAGGTGATAGGCGGAAAATTTCCTTGACTGCTGGCTTTACGACTAGCTCAAAGGCGAACGAGAGAATATTGAATTTGAGAGATCTGGTAACGAGACACAGTAGAGCTGTCGCTGTGGACGATAGGGAAGAGCTGTATAACGGACTTACGGAGGTTGCACAGCGATATGCTCATGGATGGGATAGTGGTAGTGAAAGTGAGGATGACTGAGGGTGTATAAATTCCAATCATTTCATCTGGCTCCGCAGATGCACAATCAGAATTCCGCTCCAGTATGGCAGCTTGCAAGCCCTAATAAAATTGTCAGGGTTGGTAGCCAGTTATTGGATTACCAAAGTACTCGCAGGTCGTGTATACTCGTACAAGTACTGCGGTACCAGGAGAAGTGCTGATCACTCTCAGGGGTAGCCAGACCAGCCAATGGGAAAGATCTTCGCGTGCTCTTCGGCTCCGGGAGCCAACTGAGCTCCAACTGCTGTTTCAGGGCTGTTTGGGTTCACGCAACGGTTATCATAGCCCGATTGTGGACCCTGGGCTTGCAGAAGCCGATCCTTTTGGAGCACGCGTTACGAAATCAAAGACTTCGAAAGCTTTTTCGTGTGTCAACACTTCCGTTCAGCTGCTGAAAATTCTTGAACGTTAGGTGGAGGTTCATGATGGAATCGTGGACTTTTTGTTCTTTCGCCATCCTCTTGCTTCGTTTCTTTTTTTGGTACCAATTGTAAAATACCCTCAACCTGTTCGGCTGGTCTGTATATCTTCTACAGGCACAATTCTGGGAAAAGCGTGGGCAGACCAAGCGTTGTGAATACATTGTCAAACGAGCGAACACAGATCCACGTCATTCGTTTTCACGAGAGGGGGTTGTTGAGGTCCGTGCCGCTGTCACTATCGTCCTACTTAGCAATTGTATTTGTTCATCGGTGAGGATCGACGCGCAATTGACACCACCCTCGTTTTCTTATTTCTGCGTTACGATTCATTTCTTGGCTGGTTCCGCGACCTGATCGATCTTCGTCCTATTATGCCCACGAGTAAAAGGTTCTCTCGAGAGGGATTCAAACGGTTGGCACGTTCCAATTCTGACGAGAACAATATGGCTCCCTCACATCCCTCAAGAGGGCAAGGCAACCCCAACGATGTTACGATCGATATTCCTCTTACAAAAGTACAAACGTCACGGAGTACAGGTGCTCGCAAGAACCAGACCCTTGCTTCCAATATAGAAGATAATGACAAGACTGAAGTCCTGGACGAGAAGCAGAATGTACACTTCAATAGAGGCGCAGGAAGGAGGAAGAAATTTGAAGAGCAAGGAAAGAAGGCTGTCAAGAACGAGGATGGCACCCTTACTATGATGGGCAAGATTTACGACAAGATTTACCACTTCTCTGTTGTCACTCGATATCTTCTTTACGTCGCTCCAGTCGCATTGTGTATTGCAGTGCCTATTATCGTTGGAGCCACCGCCACACCGAACGCTCGCATCGGCGGCACAAGAATCACCTGGTTCTTCACCTGGATCGAGATTGTGTGGTGCTCTATCTGGGCGTCCAAGCTAGTGGTACATTTCCTGCCATACCTCTTCCAGTTCATCGTTGGTGTCATCAGTTCTGGTACTCGAAAATATGCCCTGATTTTGGCCGCTTTAGAGATTCCTTTGTCGCTGGTCGGCTGGGCTGTCGTCAACCTGGTAACCTTCAGACCTCTTATGACTAGGACTCCTGGCCGCGCTGAAGCAAATTACAATTGGATTGGCGTTATGGAGAAGATCCTTGCTGCCTGCGTCTTTGCTACGCTCATTCTACTAGTCGAGAAAGTGTTGATTCAGCTCATCTCGATCAGCTACCACCGCAAGCAATTCGATGCGAAGATTCAAGATTCTAAGAGAAACATCTTCCTCCTTACGCAACTCTACGATGCCTCCAAAGCTATGTTCCCAACATACTGCCCCGACTTCGCTGAGGAGGACTACATCATTAGTGATGTGCTTGGTATTACCAGCATCGGCACTCCAGGCAAGCGCAAGTCAGGTACAATCACTCCCATGCGCTTGATCCAGAATGTACAGAGGGTTGGCGAGCAAGTCACCTCGGCTTTTGGACACATGGCTGCTGATCTCACTGGCAAGCAGATCTTCAATCCAACGGCTTCCCACTCAACCGTTATTTTGGCTCTAGAAAAGAGGAGGTCCTCGGAAGCACTTGCTCGCAGATTGTGGTTGTCCTTCGTCCTCGAGGGTAAGGAAGCTCTTTACCTCGAAGATGTTATTGACGTTCTGGGCCACGATCGTGAGGAAGAAGCCGAAGAGATCTTTACCGCGCTCGACATTGACGGCAACGGTGATATCAGCCTCGACGAAATGGTTCTCCGAGTCAGCGAATTTGGTCGTGAACGTGCAGCATTGGCTAATAGCATGCGAGATGTTGACCAAGCCATTTATGTCCTCGACAATCTGCTTATGACCGTTGTCTTTGTCATGGTTGTGTTCGTCTTTGTCGCTTGGTTGAATCAGAGTTTTACTACAACTCTAGCAACAGCTGGTACTGCCCTGCTGTCTCTCTCGTTCGTCTTCTCGGCTACTGCTCAAGAACTACTTGGCTCTTGCATTTTTCTATTCGTCAAGCATCCTTATGACGTCGGAGACCGAGTCGATATCAGCAATGAGCAGCTCGTTGTTGAAAGAATCAGCTTGCTTTACACCATGTTTCGCCGAGTCAAGGATCACAAACGTACACAAGTACCAAATATTGTTCTCAACTCATTGTGGGTCGACAATGTCAGCCGTTCCAAAGCAATGCGCGAACAAGTCACCCTGGCAATCAGCTTTGATACTACCTTCGAGGATATCGAGCTGCTTCGCGAGGAGATGCAGAAATTCGTTCGCGAAAATGGTCGAGACTATCAACCAGAAATTGATATCGAAGTCCTTGATCTTCCAGATATGGCCAAGCTGTCACTCAAAATCGAATGTCGCCACAAGAGTAATTGGTCGATCGAGTCTGTCCGTGCCGCCAGACGCAGCAAGTTCATGTGTGCCCTTGTTCAAGCTCTAAGAAGGGTTCCTATCTATGCTCCTGGCGGTGGTGCTGCTGTGCTTGGGGACAAGGCTAACCCGTCCTACTCGGTGGCTATCAGTGATCCTGAAGCTCGTGAGAACGCTGAGCAATATAGTAAGGACAAAGAAGCAAAGAGAATGACTCCGACAGAGAAGGCCGAAGAAGCGACTGCAACCTCGAGCTCTGTCGACTTCTTCGGTGATTCGTCAAATGAAACTCGAGAGCGGGTCAATGCTGATGCCCTGAAATCGACGAAGGTGGTCGTTGATCCATCAGGTCAAGGTCGCGAGGATTATGCAGCATCAGCCCTAACGCGCCAGCGAACATCCATTGACCGACAACGCTCGTCCCTTGACAGACAGCGCTCATCCCATGACCGCCAACGTACATCTCTTGATCGACAGCGGACGAACGACCTTGAAGAAGTCAAGAACATCATGCGAAGAGAATCGACCCGAGGCCGCCGCAAGATTACTCAACACGTATCTTATTCTCCAATCGCAGAGGTACCGACACCCAGCTACGAACCACCTAGTGGTCTCTCTGGCTCTACAGCGCAAAACCAGTCATCAGCACCACAGGTAAACTATTTTCCAGAATTTCCCACAACCAGCTCCTCGACATCTTATCCAGCACAATTAAATACAGAAAGTGCTGGAAGGGTTAGAGCAGACAGTAATGCATTGACGCCACCCACATACGAAGGTCCTGTTCCAGGTAATGCTTTCTCCCAAAAACAGTCATCTACAAGACAACCAGTCTCAGGCGTCGGACAGATGAAGGGTGCTTTGAGACAACCACAATCAGAACCTGGTCAAGCAGGGCCATCCAGTCAGAGATAGAATGCTCTAGACTCGAGATACCGAGGCAGAAACAGAGCCCGAGATCGAAGCTCGAGCTTGCGAAGGACGAGCATCGGTGGATGTGATGTAGATGACGGGTATTATTGGGACGCATGAGCCTTGGATAGGTTGGCTAATTGAGACTTATTGCGAGGCGTTTGACAGAATAGATTGCAGATCTGTATGATATGCACATAGTCATACTGCATGAAACATTGTACGCTTTAGATACACGTACAAACAAATATCGTCCACCTAGGCGTGGAAGTGAATAAGAGGCTTGATGGTGTCGAGCATGAATATTTTACAAGAAGATGCTGCAATCTCGCAAATGCTATGACCTTGATTCCAATTTCGCCACTCAACCTCTCGACTGCTATATACCATACACGTTACTATACAAGTAGTACATTCAAGGCATTACGGATCGTGCTCACAGCCAGTGTTCGTGTTACGGTATAAACTATCGACGGCGTTTGAATACAGGCATCGCATAGTGTTATGACGGATAACGTTGAAATTACCGGGAACTCGAATTGTAAAAGTTTCGATTGATTACAAAAACGTATACATACGTGTATCGATACATAGCTTTTTCTGCCAAGCTGTAACGAAGCTCGTCATCCTTACAGGAACCTCAGATTCTCTTTTTCTCCTTTCTCACGTATCAAAGCTCAGCCATGAGCAAGACATTGACAAGACCGCTCTTCAGATTACAATAATGTGATTGCAAACTCGAGGAAAAACTTCATCTCAACACGTCTCACAATTGTGTCTTTGCGAAAGATCTGAGCTATGCACTGGTCAGCGACTCATAAGCAGAGTCATGATCTCATTGTTTCTAACGCCAAATATTGAACCACTTCTTGCTATGTTTGACGTTACTTACCCTGATCCTGACGGTTCTTATGTACACAGTATAGCCCTTTCTGTTCGCATCAAGTTTCTGCTTACCATCCAATGACTATGACTAGCATACTCCGCCACCCCCTACTTGGCCTCATCCGAGGCAACAAGCTCACATCTACAGATCTCGTCCAATACTGTGGCTTGCCATACGGCACAATCCCACAACGGTTTAGCCGTTCGACGACGTTACAAGAGCTTCCGACGACCTCTTCTTCAGAGACATTCGACGCAACCAAAACAGGACCAGAATGTATTCAGCCTGAAGGAGCGGTTAAGCTGGACTGCGAAAGCAACCAATTCCCTAATCAGGATTTCGAAGAGCCGCCTCAATCTGAGAACTGCCTGTATCTAAACGTGGTTGCTCCGGAGAGTCAATCGACAACGCCACTGCCAGTTCTGGTCTTTCTTCATGGAGGTGCCTTCCTGATCGGCTCGTCCTCGCGACCATATTACACGCCCACGAATTTCGTCAAACACGCCTTCAGCACGAATCGTCCACACATCTTTGTCTCAATAAATTTCCGCCTCGGCGCTTTGGGCTTCCTTCACTCTTCAGAAGTATCTTCTCTCATTCCACCAAACAACGGCCTCCACGATCAGTTACGAGCCTTCGAGTGGATTCACCGTAACATATCTGGGTTTAATGGCGATCCAGAGCGAATCACAGCGATTGGTCAGTCTGCAGGTGGTGAATCTGTATCTCTTCACACAATCAGCGGCAATGAAACGCCCCTCTTCAAGCAAGTCATCGCCTTCTCCGGTTCTCCAGTCACAATGCCCAGCAAAACACCTGAAGGACACCAAGAAAACTTTCTCGAGTTAGCAGACAAGCTCGGTGTCAAGGACATTAAGACCAAAACATCCGAACAAATTGCTCAAGAATTCATCGACGCACCTATCTCGAAGATTCGAGAGCTCAGCTTCGTCGGCGCACCATGCAGCTCCAGCGAAATGCTACCCTACGACAAACCAACTATGGCACTCACCTACTCCAAGCCAGAAAGCAATGTAAAATGGCTCAAACGCGCAATATACAGCTCCTGCACCTACGACGGAAGCATCTCCTACAACATGATGTCCAAATCCGGCAAAAAAGACAACGCAAAGTCATTCATCGACAACGCCAACGAAAATATGTCAAAAGCTGGTGCGCAAGAACTCTCTTCAATATACGGCATCGAAGAAAACGACAGCGATCCCGCCGCCCTCAAAAAAGGCTGCCAATTTGAGTCCGACATTGGCTTTTTCGCCGCGAGTCTGGCTGAAGTCCAAGGCTCACCGGCAGAAAAGCGATTTCTACAACTCTTCGACTTGAAGAACCCCTTTAAAGCTGGTGGAGCATTACCGGAGAAGGAAGCTGCGTCTCACACCTGGGACATTGTGGCGTTACTAGGCAAGTACGACGATTTACTCGATGAGAAAACACTGAAAATCGTCAAAGAATGGAGAGGGAGGATTCTGAATTTCGTCTGTGAGGAGGATGATCCGTGGATTGAATGGGATGAGGAGACGGGTAATGCATTGAGGATCGGGGATGAGGACTTGAAGATGCAGCAGAAGAGTGAGTACATGGATGAGGATGGTCAGAGGAGAAAGAGGCTTCTTGAACTGGCGGAACGGGAAAAGGGAGAGCAGGGCTGGGATCATTTGTGGGAAGGTGTTTGTCGGAAGTGGTTGGATTGATGGATTGATGGATTACCGTGATTATCCATTCAGAGAACTATAGAACTAATCTTCTGAACACGGTGTTGTGTCATATCCGTTTCAGCCATGAAAAGATGTCCTTGAGCTTTCATGCAGGGAAGACCTGACTTCGTCCATGAAGTGTTATATATCATTCATTGCCTGTGTGCTTGGTGACTATCACCCAGCCACTTTTCCCTCGTACATATTCGCTTGCTGTATCGATATGCACGGGTGTGGCTGAAACTCATTCGCAGTTCAACAAACCGTAGGATATCTCCACTCATATACAAAACCAACCGAGACCTCAATCAGCAGGCTTCTTACTATCAGCCCAACTAGGCATCACACCCCTGCACACACTTTCATACCCCTTAAACACCTCACCTCCCCTCTCCACACCAGGCGTCGTCCAAAACATCGTCCAATTCTGCCCAGGTAACTTCCACGTCCCCCGACTGCGTTCGAAATACCACTTATTCACGGGGTTGTCCTTTCGAGACCTCCAGCATACACCATTGGGGAAGCAGGAACGCACCATGCCGTTGAAGACGATATCTGCTACGCCACCGGCGCCTTGTGAACGTTTTAGGACGGCGAATTTGTCGAGGTAGGGGACAGGTTGGGTGTTTGATGTGCCGGATGGTGTTTCCCAGGTAAGGATTGCGCCGCCTTCGTATTCGCCTGCTATGACGACACCTGCGATGCGGTTGTTGACGCGATTAAGATAGTGTCCGACGTCGAGCTTGCGGTTGAAGCTGTCCTCGATCAGATGCACTAAACGTGGGAGGTCGATTCGCGGGTCGGTCAGTTTGAGCCGTGGTGCTGTAGGAGTCCAGGGTGTTTCGAATGGGTTGGGAAAGATGGTAAGTGGCATTCCACGTTTGATAAAGCTCGAATGTGACACTGACGGTTCGGCTGCGGCTAAGCTGTTCTTCGCAAGACGGCCCAGAGGCAGAGAAGAGGAATACGCGGGCTTATCGGTCAGAAGATTGTGTATTAGTGCATTTTTTGATCGTCGTGTGCCCACGTTAGATGCGGAGCGGCTCTGAGATGCTTTATTGGAATTTGCAGCCTCCTCATAGGTTGTCATGAGGCCAGAAGAAGAATGAGGGAGGAGGTCGAGGGCCTGCTTGAGGAGGTCGAGATTTGAAGAATGTAATATAGCTGATGCAGTATCGCCTTTTGCCTGCAGACTAGATCGTACAACTTCGTACTCTTGGTCGAGGTTAAGGAAGACGTGTCTGCCGTCTGCAGCTTTCGTATTCGGAATGCCTCCTGCTGAGTCAATCGTGATTATCCTGTCAAGTGAGACCTGTTTCTGGACGTCTCTAGTGGTAGAGGTGTCTGCTAGATTGTCTTCGTCCACTGGAGGTTTGACGTTCAAACCAGCAAGCTCTTTGATCAAAGCTAATACGGCGCTGTTGGCCGTAACCAAGCACATACTCTGCTCGTCTTCATTATACGCCACATTTCCTATCACTGGTATCTTGCTCTTTCTTAGTGGCCTGAACAGTAAGTTGCTATTTGTAATCCTTAGCTGCCCAGTGTTGCGAGTGCTGAAGAGGTTGTCCACTGGTCTTGCGATATCGCCGGACTTGTTGATTACATTCACTAATCTGTCAATTCCCTCACTGAGCTGTTTACGGTCTTGCGTCGATGGCTCAATGACCACACATGGACTAATACTAAGCCTGTTCAGCTGATTCAGAGTCTCTGCAATACCGTCAAGCATCTCTTGTGCCAGATTCGTCAAATCTTTAATCTTGACCAAAGCAACGTGCAACGTTTCTGTTTCTTGAAATTCCATTTCTACTGTAGGACTCTGAGAGAAGACGGGACTCATCTCAGCAGCTCGGCTGCCTCGAAAGAGATTGCCTACATTGACGTAACTTCCCGGCTTCGAGGGCCTGGACTTCGAGGGTATAGATTTGGTCTTAGCTGGGCTCTTCAGACGGTTCAAGTATGCTTTAGCATCTCGTTTTGTGGCAGCACTGCTGAGGACATCTGCGAAGAATTCCTGTCAAGATTAGCTTTCGTGAAAGGCACGAGACAAACACCACATACTCGATCCGCTTGTTTTTGTTGTGCCTGTAGACCTAGAGGACCTGTTGCTCCAGAATGACTGCCTCGCTGGACATATTCCTGAACTTGTCTAGCTGGTGCAGCTGCGGCACTTGAGGTGTGCCGCCGATACTGCGAGGTGCTCGTCCTCTTGCAGCATTGCAAACTGGTGAGCTCGACTGAGGAGGTTCTGCGATGTAGACAGTTGCACATTGAGTGCCCTCTATGGCACAACTTCAGACTCATTGTTAGGTTTCGTCCCGCACGAACAGCGAAGACGAGTAACAAGGATACAAATGCATAGTATGGAGAGTGTCAATTGACTCAATCCTTGCACCACACAATATCCATTTCAGAGGTTGATCACAGCAGAGAACATTGCAGAAAGGGTTTGCACGTTAGCGAGTCATGGTCGTGCAGGTACGGTTCGAGGTCATAGGATTACACGAGGGATCTGACCAAAAGTTGGAGAGGAAGCACATTTATTCAGCAAGTGCCAAGCCACTAGAAGTGGCAGTTGCATCCTCTTCACAAAGTCGAAGGGAGACTTCAAGCCTTGCTCTGAGGATAGGATTAACAAATGATGCATACACGTGCTTTAGATGATCTCTACAAACATCTAGGTACCAGATCAAGAGTACAAGAGCCAATGTCTAAAACCCTTCCATCAACGCCTTCCTCACAGTCCACATCCTTGCTCTTTTACCGAAAATGTACATAGGTATCGTAAGTAACATGCAGCCAAGCTGTATTCCACCTATGGCCACAAAAACAGTCTTTGAGCCATCAGCTTCCAACCACTGGGGAAAGAACAAACTCCAGACCAGACCATGAAAGATGTTCTTGCTGAAGTTGAGTGTGACCAGTGCCTCTCCAGCATACTGTCGGTATGAATCAACACAAAAGGTAATGGCTGTCGTCGAGCCCAAGGAGCAGCCAAACGAAATGATCCCAAAGAAAACGGTTGGCACGATCCATGCGTCACGCTCTTCTGCAGACCAGCCAAAGCCCATCAGTCCGATAGCCGTACTGATTGCGATGGGTATAGCCATGATTAAACGATACTCTGGCTCGTAAATACCGTCATTGCGACGAGCCATGAACCTGACAAGGACATCTGACACTTTCCCTGCTACTGCCGTACCAAGAACACCCCCAATGAAAGGCGACAGATAGACCAATCCAATTTGAAGCGAGTTGAAATTGTATGAGTCACGAGTAGAGAAGATGTGGGAGATTGACTCGGATAGCACAATCAGCCAACCCACAGACAACGAATAGACCATAGCAGACCACAAGACGGCCGGATAGGCAAAAAGAATACCTGGCCGGATTGCTGCCCTCCACCATGACACCTTAGTGAGTCGACCGTTCCATGGCTTCAGCGACTTTGCCCATGGCTTGGCGGGCTGTACTCGAAGTCCAGTGGTGTAGCTTTGACTGGTCGCCTGCCTGAAGAGTGTTTGTTCAGGACTTGTGGGAGCTGAAGCTGAAGCTGTAGCTGAAGAGGTTGGTGCACGGAGCACTGGCGAATCTTGCTTCTCAACGTCTTCGAATATTGGATCCGGAAACCTCGTCGGCTCTTTCTTGGCAGGAAAACTGAGGTAGTTGTCATTTTTCTCGAGCTCTAAGTAATAGGGTGAGTTCAGGCTATGCAGTTGAGGCATGTTCGAATCGTCCTGTGCAGGTTCAGGAGTCAGATTACCAAGATGGAGCTTAGGCTTTCCCCTGGCAGTGCCGTCCAGGCTCGTGCCAACACGGGGAGCTGACTTGCCATGAAAGAGAGAATGTGCAGTATCTGCTGATATGGTGCTCGGCTTTCGTGGGTCAGCCTCGCTCAAATCTACTGACGGATCTGTCCATGCTACTTCTGGCTGGCGAGTGGCAATTGGGCTCTGCCTGTTGGCCTTTGAAAGCGATCCACGAGGCCCTGAGATAGAGCTGCGGGCTAAACCTTTGGGTCGTGGAGTTCTGTCCCAGAAAGTCTCTGGGACAAACAAGAACAAAAGCATAGCTCCGAGAGCGACCAAGATAGTGATGACCCAGAAGACCCACCTCCAACTCAACGCTTGTATAATTACAGCACTGATCAGCGGAACCAAGTTCTTTCCACCTAGAAGGAGCAACGTGTATATGCCGATTCTGAATGCTCTCTCATGGAGAAAGAAGACCTCGGCGATTGTGGCAGATGGCAAGCACTCGACAGGACTTACAGCGATGCCTTGGAAGATGCGTGCAACGACAAGATTAGCATAATCAGGCGAAAGGGCACACCATATACTTGACACGATGAAGGTGACAGCAGATAGAAGATAGACGGGGCGTTTGCCGAAGATAATGGCAGTGGGAGAAAAGATGACGGATCCCAGACCCAAGCCCATCATGTACAAGCCAGTGGTTCGAGCCACCTCGGCGTACGAGACGTCCAAGTCGGCAGCGACCTGGTTGAAGCCAGCTGCTAGTATAGGTGTCATGCCTCCACCGAGCATGCAGTAGAAGCCAAGAGACCACAGAGCAGCGTCCCGTCTCCATTGTTGCCAGTTGAGCGGATCGTTCGCTGAATCATCTGGTTGCGGATTTAGGATGATCTGACCATCAGCAGTTCTCTTCTTGCTTTCCAACGAGCGACGCCGGTCTGCCTCTCCAGAAATGGACCCTCTAGAGCGTGATCTACCTCTAGCCGTTTCGTGCTGCAGACCCAGAGGTATGTTTCTGATTGAGAATTTGGAAAGTAACAACACTGTGCCAGGAACCTCGTCTGTCTGTTGATCAGCCAGGATACCCAAAGTCCACCTCTTGGGCCTGTCAGCCAGTCTGTGTTTCTCATCTTGACTGCTCCGCGAGGCTGTCGAATTACCACGGACAGGGTCTTCCTTGTATGACTCGTCGTGAGCAGACGCACTTGACGTATCCTGGCCAATGCGTACCTGCTTCGGAGTGGCCATGGTGCTCAGATTTCGAGAACGCCGTAGTTGCAGGCTGTCGATAGGCTTGATGGGCCGAGGACAGTCTCACAGGAAGACTTCGATCGAAGGGTTCGTACAAATCAACGATTGTTCGTCTGAGCCATAGTTTCAGGAACGATGCACTATCTATACTGATGTGCTTGATATTGGTAAACACTATCGATAGAGTTAGGAGCTAGAAGGTTGTTATCTTGATGTTGAAGAAAACATGTCTGCGAGAATCAGGTCAGCAAACAGGTCGACTGGAGCACTTGCGAACTCTGGCGAAGGCAGGTGCGGTTCAGATAAATTGTCGCGTTCTGTCTGAGATACAGGAAGGTCCGATGATGCGGGAAGAGCGTTGTCCCACAGCCATTTCGACCGTGCAATATCTGCTGGATTTCCTGTTGTGAAGGAAGTCCCGCTGATCATTGCTGATAATGCATCACACGGATGCATTCATAGTGCATGGCTTCAACTCGTGTTCATGCGCGACCAAAAGACCAAGGGTTTGAGTTCAACGTCATGCAAGCTGCCGAGCCTGCAGGAGAGACTTTTTCCGCCAGAGTTGTTCTTGGCAGTCCCAACCTCGAGTCGGTGGATAGCACCACAGATAGAGGCTTCATTCAAAGTAGGTAAACATCTTGATTCAAATGCTATGCTAAATGTAGACAACCATAAACCCATAATGCCGCTTGCAATGTCTTCAAAATATAGCTGTGCAGTAATCCAACGATTGACGTCTATGTTGCCAACTTTAGCGCCTTGTTCTGACATCGTTCATCAAAATATCAGGTCTTGAAGTACCCCCCCAAAATACGCCCTTAAATGCTTCCCATCCTCTTTGCACCGAATAAACCTAATCCAAGACACGTGTCATTCTCTTTCCCTCCACCACTCTCAAGCATTTCCCATGGTCTTGGCCGGAATTCGCTTACAAACCCTTTTGTTTCGTGCATAATCGAAAGTCCATGTCCAGCAGGGTTGTTGACATTATTGTACGTGGTCATACTGCCCACTAGCCACATTGTTCGTTCGTCTCGAAGTCGATCTTTGAGTATTCGTGTGCAAATATGTCGTGCTTCATCTGATAGATCATCTGCCAGTCGCGCCGCTACATCGAGTGAGAACTCAATGATCGCCCGCACTTTGACGGTTACTGCCTCCTCAAGGCCCGACTGTAGTAGTTGAGTCAATGAGGGTTGCGTCGCGATACTTGCCAGCAAGGCGATGAGCTTGATCTGCTCGTGTTGGTGCGCTTTTGGAGTCGTTAGACCGTTTTTGTGGCTGAAGAAGCTTGCCCTTAGACCGACAACTATCAGGAACATATTTAAATATTCCAATACATGCACAATGTTGTCCCGATAGCGGTTGTCCCCGTGAGGACCTGGTAGAGCAATTTGCAGGGCCTGATACGCCGGAGACAGAAGAGACGAGGCGTTCGCTGAGGTAGAATTGCTTGCAGCTGCCGTTGCCTCGTTCCGAGACCCAAGCATCTTGGCCACAACAGTTAGCTTCTCAATCATCGTACCGTTTTCGTCCATCGAGCCTTGTCCTGTCCGAGCTGGGCCAAGCGAGACAATCTTTTGCACAGCGCTGAAGCTTCTTTGTTTTTCCTCAGAGGTAGCATGTAGAGGCTGCGAACTTGTTTTGCCATGAAATAGCCTGGGCAGTGTATCAAAAAATTGCTGCTCAACCATATTTCTGACTCGGTCGCTGACTCCTGCCGGCATAACATCAAGCATTGCTTGCACAATTTCAGGAGCCATAGTGTCCTCGTTGACGCTGAGGTGCAGACCACGAAACATCTGCAAAGACTTGTGTGCTAATTCTGCTTCGTCAGTCGATGACGGTGTCTTTCCACTGAGAGTTGAAACACGGAACTGGACAAAGGGCAGCGACAGAAAACCAATGCGCGATAGCATCTGATCAAGGTCGAGAGCACCCTGGTGAGGATGTCCTAGTAGCTCATCAACCACTGTGATCAAATTCTTGCTTGCCGAACTTGTCAAGCCATTCAAATTGGGATCTTGACTAAGCCCGCGAAAGAGTATTGATATCAGATCGCTGAAAATCCCCGGCACCGAAAGTGGTACCCCAAGCAGAAGCTCAAGAGCATGCAGAGGGCTTGAGGCAAAGAAACGCTGAGCGGCAACCTTAACCACATATGAGCGTTCGGTGTCGGTATTGAGTCGGCCTGAGCAGGAAGCAACTATCAGATCTCGGATACCATCTTGGGACATAGATACCTGGGGGCTTTGTAAGACTACTTCAAGAAGCGTCTCGATCGTGGCACAACGGTTGTACAGAAGCTCAATCACCACATTGAACTGCACCTCAGACCAGGTTGCAGAGAACAGTTGAATGAGCCACTTCCTGATCAGCATATCAGCCTGAGCCGTTCTGAACAGTCTCAGTCGAGCTAGAAGCTGGTACAATTGAGGCTGTCCTTGCCTCTGCGTGTCGCCCCCGTCCTTGGTGATTCGGCTTACGAGAAGTGTGAGGAGCGACGTCATGGCTTGCTCGTTCATGTTGGGTTCACCTTGGAGAATTGCTTCGAAATCATCGACGAAAGTTGCCCCAGCCTGTTGCAAGGATTCCGCCACTCCGTCACTGAACGGAGAGCACGCAGCGAGGGCTCTTCCTCTGTCGCCACGGATCAGGTCCTGGTGAAGTGCTCGTAAAGGGGTGATGGGACAGGGAAAGTCGCGACACAGGTCCACCAGAGCAGTAGCGAGATGTAAGATACACGGCCTTACTGTTCGTAGGACAATATACGCTCGTCCCAAGCTCTTCTGAAGTGGTTCAAGGGCCCCAATGGCTGACAGGGAGGCAGCATGATAGTGGACGGTGTCGGCCATCGCAGCCAGTATGCATTCCTGCTTTGTGTTTGAAAGCAGATGCAAAACATCAGCCAACAGTGCGATGTCGTCCATCGCCTCGAGAGTATCACGCACGACCAGGAATTGGCGCAGGGTCAATTGCCTACTTCCTGGTAGAGGCGGTCTTCCAGCCACTTCTACAGCTGCAAGCTTCGATAATGAAGCTGTTTCAGCCCGCAGAAATGCTGACAGATTGAAGCGATCGGCCCAGTCTAGACGTTGAAGAGTCTCAAGAGGCACTTCAGTCTTCTTGTAAGCACCTTCATCCGACGTGTCCTCATGTAACACCTGTTTCAATGCATACTTTATGAGCTCGATCTCTCCGTTATCCTGGAATGATGAATCTTGTTGCCTCTTTAGTAAATGGCTACGAAGGTGCAGCATGTGATCATCTGAATCTGCTAAGCACAAATCTCGTAGAAGGAAGGAGCAATCTTGTGATGATTCTGTTGTCGATCGAGACGCACTTGAACCCTTGATGCTCAAGGATTGAAGGAATCGACTATTCGAGAACGTTTTGCTTCGTGACAATTCGGCAAACAAGTGCCTATAGCTATCCGGATCGAGCAAGGACAGGTCTCGCTCACAGGTGAAGAAGGCAAGCATCACTGTGTCAATATGACTGCCCATGCGATGCCACCGTCTCAACAGTCTCGCAATCAGGAAGACTCTAGCTTTTTCACCTCGGAACCTTGATGTCGCCCATTGTAGGCAGAATCCGGTCAACTCGGCACGATTTGTGGTGATGTTGTCTAGGGACTGAGACAAGAAATCTAGGTCGAACGGTGCGACAGCGCTGTCGAGAACCTCAAAGACTGCTTTGTCGACTCTTGGAGAGGCTTCCTCTTTTGAATCAGTGCCCAGAAGTCGGCGATTCCTGCTTGCAATATGATCATAGATCCGCTGCTCTTTCTCATCTGCGGGATTGAGACATGCCTGCAACGGGGCGGCGTAGCCTCGCCACTGATCTGGCATCAGAAAACAGGCTGGTTGTAGGATTAAGAGTCCACGAACAGTGTTCTGCAACCTCTCCCACAACACATTGTGGGTTGCACCTAGATCTGAGAGCTCCGTCAGACGCGACAGTAATGCCCCGGCTGTAGATCTGGCCCTTTTTCTGAAACGAACCAGGTCTTGTCTGTAAAGCTGGACAAGTGGCAGCCAAGCCGCAAGCAGTTCCAATTTGCATGTTGCAAAACTTTTGACGATCCAGTCGAGAAAATGGTCTTTCTCTAGTAGATTTTCCTGATAGAGTCTTGTGCACAACTGAAGGCTATATCTCAGGTTCGCGGACCACTTCTCTTTACCACAATGATTGACAGCAGCCTCTAGAAATTGCTCAACGCTGCTAGTCCATTCCTTCAGCCATTTACTTTCTGCACTAGCGGCCACGTTGGCGGTTATGCCCTTCCTCTTTAATATCCGAATCTCATTGGCTCCTACACATTTTGCGAACCACAATGCCCGGTTTGCTGGCACCGCATTGATTAGACACTGCTCAAGCAATGGAAGGCCCTTAATTCCTTGGGGAATGGTCCTGCTCAACCGTCGAAGTGGTACACCTCCATCAGCCAAATCAGCAATCCACGACCTCCTCTTAGCTTCAGTTAATGTCACACGAGGTGGGGGTCGGAAGGTGGTACTTGAGTCCAGAGCTCCGTGCTTAGATTTCTGGTCCAGTACAAGCGAGAACAGTGCCGACAGGCTTTGCAGTCCCTGACGATGCTTGAAGGCGTTGTAGAGAGCGGGCTTGGCTGTATTGGACTCCCTTTCCGGAGGCTGTGGTGCTCTGTCCCAATAGCCTGCTTTTACGTTGTTCTCATTGGTAGCGTCTTCAGGATGATTGCCAGCCCAAACATAGTAGTCGGCAGGCTTCTTCGGCTCCAAGGTGGGAGCATTAGAAGGACACTGGAGTGAGTCTGGAGTATTGGACACCTTTGCATCCACCCTGTACCTGCAAGAAGTTCTGACTCTAGCTGGCGGAAGATTTGAAGCAGATGATGCAGACCACGGCATTCGTGGAAGGGGAATTGTCTTCTCGGAATAAGCCCCAACTGAAGCCTGGGCCCCATCGTGCGCTGCAAGCGCAGTAACCCAGCTAGCACCAACATACTTCCTCTGATCTATTTGTTGGGGTTCGTCACTGCCATCTAGGTTTGTGATCGCAGACTTCGGACTCGTATCGGTACTGTCTACCTTCCGTCTCTTCACTGGTCTGATATCGAGCTCGGATGTCATGTGCACGTCTTGAGGTCCATCCTGGGTGGGAAAGAATGGACCTGATACTCGAGGAGAGGAGGAGGTCGTAGGCAATGCGTTGTAACTGCGCTGCCTTCCCCAGCCAGTGACGATGTTAGTTGAAGGCGGCGGCCGGGGTTGCGCCGGAAGGTTCGAGGTCATGACAGGGACATGTCGCCGTACTTGGATGTCCTCGAGAAAGGACCGGTACTCGTGCAGTTGGTGCTCTGCCCCACCGCTGCTAGATAGATTGTGGCCAGACTGGTGAGCCAAGTCCAAGCTGGCTGATTTTCAGGATCAATTAGTGTGAGGTCGATATCGGCTATTCCCTCGGCTTCTGCTGATTGTTCGCGCTCGAGTGTCAAGTACGTAAAGCACGAGTTTTGGGACTTTGTGTCAATGTATAGGAGGTTACCAAGTCGAGCATGATGTTTTGCTGTGGTGCAACAATCAAGATTGACAGTAAGTGAGTTGAGTTGAGTTCAGCACAGGCCGCAGCTGAGGTCGCACCTACCACTTGTCTCCGATACGGACACCGGAATTTGTAGGCGAGAATGAGATGATTAGGCTTTGAGGTCTACCACTCGCCGGCTGAATGAACCCTCTTTATCGGTGGGTCATCACCAAGCACGCCTTATCCAGCTTAGCTACGCACGAAATCGCCGGGGCCGCTCCTTCCGCATAGAATTGGGTACACTAACTATGGAATCCGATAAAGCGCGATCGTTATTGAGGCTGACCTGGCCTGGACATCAGAAAATCCCTCTTTAGGAAAGCCAATGCAGATAAAATCCTTTCTTGTGATAGGCGAAGGTGAAAGCACGTTGGTCTGGTCGGCATTCGATGGTTGGTTCTCGTGTCAGGTCTCAACACCACCCGACGCTCCTATGAGGCAATGTTATTCACCTGTGAGAAACACTGTTTGTTGATCACATTAAACATCGAACGATTGTGCAAGAAGCTATCAGTAGGCTGGTGCCTTGATGAACGTCTTTGTACACTGGAGTCAAATCTCTAATTCAAATCTAGGTCTTCGTAGCAATACCGAGTCCTGCCAGTTATCACCAAACCAGATCTCGGAGTGCGACAGGATCAGTAGCCGCCTCGCTTGACACACCACTCATCTCCCAAAGTCTCCTTACCTCGGCACATTCACCTGTCTGAATTCGCTTGCTCTACCTGGTTATCGAGAAGAGGTTCCGTGTCTGCTTCGCTCAACCAGGACTCCAATGCCAATGAGTTGAGTCTACTTACAATGCTCTGCACTATGTTACTTCCTCGACGCGAAGCAGGACTAATGTTGGCTGAACTTTTCCTACGACTGTGACTGCTGGAACCTAACAAGCTGCCTGGATGTGGTCGAAGAGCGTTCTGTGCTGGTGCTTTGCCTTTGAATTGTGAGCCGTTGGGCTGCAGCATCTCGCTCAAAGGCTGCGTTGCTGCAATGCTAGCTCTGCGACTCGCAAGTGGAGGGAAGAAGTCCATCGTGAACATAGACGCTTTCCGATCACTGTTAGCTGGAAGCGTCTGCTGTGCAGAATTGTCCACGGTAATGCTGCACAGAGTACTGCTTCTTCCTCTTTGACTGCCACGGGAGCGGGGTAGGTCTCGGAGTCCTGTTTTGTGTTGCAAACGTGCGAAAAGGTGCTCCACTTTGCTATGGCTCAACACTTGTTCTTGAAACATATCAGACGAGCTTCGAGAGGCTCTTTCAGGAGCTGATAGCACTTCTTCTGGTGCGCGTCGTGTACTTGGGCTGCTGCGAACAAGTTGGGCCTCCAATTTCGCCACTGCAAGTGAAGGCCGTCGATGGTCGACAGTCGACGATCTGGATTGATCGCCTGTAGTCGTGCTGTCGTTCTCGTCCCATATTATTTCATAGGTTGTGCTAACAGAGATGTACTTGGTGGAGCACCTCCGCAGTGGCTGGCTCTGTTGCTCGGTCCCCGGCATAGACAAACTTGCGTCAACAGCAAGCTCGGTGCGAACCGTAGCAGCAGGGTAGGTCATGGTTGGGTGAGCAGCATCGTTGTCGACAGATGTTGGTTTCGAAATTTTTCTCGGACTTGGAAGTAAGTGATTTGTTCTTTCGTCCTCTGCGCTAGTAAGCGAGAACGTCGAGACAAGATACGATAGCAGGCCATTCTTTTCGTGGGAGAAAGTGGCTTCAGGAAAGAAGGTTAGTTCTGTTGTTTTGGGCGATCTCCTGGTTGTTGCTCGACGCAACGTGATCATCGCAGGACTCTCAGAACTGTCGCTGACCGTGGTTTGCTTGACTGTAGACCGTAGTGGTGTCAGGCCTCTGGTAGCCTCTGACTTGGAGGGCAGGGTCCATCGCCTTATGTAGTTGGCACCCTGAGGATCGATGGAGGTCGGCGATACCGAGATCGATGCCCTGTAGCGTGCATAGCTCATTGATTTGTTCCTAAGGAGTTCCGATTGACTTAGATCCGAGTCTTGGACATTCTCCTCCTTCGCAAGCTGTTCATCAACGATATCCCATTTGTTGTGCCTATGATGTTTCTTCTTCATGTTGAGACTGGCACGGTCCGCGCTCGAGGGTCGCCATGGCACATCATGTGCTTGGAGAGGTGTCAACGGTGGCGTCAATAATGAAGGGTGAAAACTGTTTCCATCTGTTGGGACTTCACTGTAGGTTGGGAATGGTGAAGACATTCTTAGTTCGGAGGTTTGTTTAAGAATAGTGTATGCTGCGTGAATAAGGATATTATCGAGCGAAAATCCTAGATGTGTGGTTGATTGATAGTTTAGAAAGTCAACCACATCTAAATTGCACATCTGACAAAGTTAGTACCTCGTGGCGGATCGCACCTTCCAGCCCTGACCAATTTCATACCCCATGAGTTGTCGCTCAACACTACTGTGCAGGCACATTGCATCACTCGAGTCCGACTTCCTTCTTGGGCCACGCCAAAATATCGTCCCATGATCTATCAAGCAAGGACATAGCATCTTCGATAAGTCGGTAAGACCACCCTTTAGCCCACCAAAGATGCTCAAGGCAGCGGAAGCATGCAGCCCAGTGTATGAACAAAGCAATGGCGGTTGGATCAAGACATCGGATAAGATCAATATAGGGAGTTTCCGAAGTGACTGGCCAGGCGAATATTTGTTGATCGTATTCTAGGACAGTACGAGAGCGTGACACATACATCAAGCTCTCCAAGCGCTCCATATATATGTCTTTCCTTTCTTTCAAGTCCTGTTCCGAAGCACTTTGATCGCGAGCATTGGGATGCTCAATCCTATAACGCAGTTTCTGAAAGGACGTCTGTATGTCTGGAGGGTTCGGAGGCAGATCTGAGTCTCGTGGAGGCTTCAGGAGCGGCTCAATTTCTCCACCACGAAGCCATTGCCTGGTTTGCTTGATCACAGCGTTTATGCCTTGCACTAAGGTCAGAATCTCAAGAAAATCCGGGGTTTTTTCTTCCTCGTGTCCGGTCCTCATCACGCGTGGCAGGAAGTTTGGCGAAGCTGTGAGGTTTACACCATTGAGAGCTTCGGGGAGTTTCTTTGAGCCAAACAGCCATATTGTCAGCAATGCAGAAAGTATGAACAGGGCGATGGCGTTCTCTTCGTTTGGACGACTCAACTCCGGTATGTAGCCTGCAAGCGCAAGATTTTGATACTGAAATGCTACTTTGATGTATGCTGCGTGAGTGTCGGTATCTTCGGCATGATTTGTTGCCTTGTGCAGAGCGGCCGTAGCCATCAGAGCATGAAGCAAAAATTTGTGCTTCAGGCCTTGGTGAAAGACGATATCACGCCAAACAAAGTGAGCCTCGAGTTTCGACGTCAACGTCATATAAGTCTGTGTTGAATAGTAGTGTATCAGCTCTAGATCTAGGTGGCTGAAAGTCTGCTGGTGGGATGAAAGGGCACCAGGAAGAGTGTCTGAAGTCTGATCGCTCGAAGATCCTGGCGTCGACGCATTGTTGTTGGGCAGCGGTCCTGGAAATACTGTCGACGGCGTCAGGTCGGCATTGCTTTGATCTCTGACAGCACTGGCTGTTGGCGACGGATACGAGACAGGAGCATGACCCATGAAAGAGCATGGCATCTGACGTCTGGTACAGCGCTGGCATTGTGGTAAACTCTCATCGCACTGGTTTCGCTTAGCGGCAATACTATACGAACATTATATACCTACTTTTACCCGACGTTGTTTGCATTGAAGACAGCCGTGATGAGACTTGGTGTGCGACCTGCGCGAAGGCATGGCTATGTGAGCGAGCTCGCTGAATGGTAGTGGAGATCCGCGGCATCACGACCTCAAAAGAGCACAGTTCGCAGACGACGTTGTAAGCATCATTCTCAGCGCCTTACTTAGCGAACGATCAACCAACAGTAAAGACGAGGACGGAGTCAGAATTAGACATTAACCTCATTAGCTTGAGAGAGAACGACTCAAAGATAAAAAGGATCTCATTCTCGTACTCATCCGCCTACTCTTGTCCACTTTTGTACAGATCGAGAAAGGTGAACCGAGAGCCGCTGGAGTCCTAGCTTCGGTGGGGGGTGCTTCCGCCATGTGGCTAGAACAATTAAAGTTCAATTCTACGATATGTTTTCATCGCTGTCTATGTGGAAATCGTCTACTCCAGAAATCCTGGGTCTGTGCTTGCAATCTCACGGAAAGCACGCAGTAAGAAATTCTCCAAAGCAACCCTACTTTTCCTGGCTTTGCACTGACTGCTCCAGGCTGTCCGGGATCTTCTTCGTTGCAAATCTCCTCATTGGCTGAAAGAAAATCCCTGGATGGGCAGCAGTTAAAGCAAGGGCGGCAATGGCGATCATCCTTCTGATGTCAGTCATAAAAAGCTCAAACACATTCGAAAGGTCACAACTCACATGCCGTCCAAAAGTAAAAACTCATTTTCCTTCTGCATGAGTGGATTGCCCCAACCACCAGCCATCTCAGGCAACTTGAAAAAGTCAGCTACGAACGTTACTGATAACCAAGCAGACTCACTCTGTAAATGCATCTGATCAGGACCGTCAGGTAGGCAATGACTATAGCACAGCAAAACGTTTTGAGACTCGTCATCTTCTTTGCGTCCCCTAGATCCATCTGATATGCAGTCTTTTCGGGGGTGAGAGTATCGCTAGCATGGCCTGGTTTCGAGCGCCAGAAACGTATCGCAAAGTCCAGAATTAGGAGGCCACAGATACTCATAGTGAAAACCTGAAAGGCTATTCCTGCAACGATAAGTCCGTTACCAGCGTCCAACAGTAGTGCGCTTCCCTGCCTGCCCGCGCTTGCAGCGATACCGCCACCTGCAGCCTGCAGCATGTTAGAGAGTGGGAAACAATATGGACATGCACCAACCTGTAGCAGAATCGACCCAAGATCGCACCCCACGAAGATCCAGGGATAGAGTCGTGCTCGAAGTTTTGAGTATCTTGATCCACAATAGAGCACCAAGTGCTTGGCCGTGAGATATATTGCGCCAGCGATAAAGGAAGGTGCTAGGACAAGACAGCATATTTGCATCTACACCGGTCAACATCTTGCAGACTCGGGTAAAATAGACACTATCGTCTCACCTGGAATGCTCCTGAGTTCCAAGGATTCGAGTTCATCAAGATGCGACCAACATAGCCCAAGAGTTCAGCAAGAAGACCAACGCACAAGAAAGCAGTATATGACCATGTCTTCGTCCGTACACCAAGAAAGAGGGCTACACAGAAACATACACCGAACCAGGCAGCGAAAAAAGTGTTAGGTCCGAGTTGAGGGTAGTAAGCGTAGGTCGTCGCCTCGACCGGACATCGAGCAGTGACTTCGGTGCATGTTCTGTAAGAAGGCCGGAAGGTTTCTTGCGAGGACATTGTCGTTTGTCAGCGTGTCACCACTGAGATGAGTGTCGAGAACCTCCGTCCTGCGCCAATGAGTATGTACGTAAATGCTTTAGTTATCAGGTTCCGAGATACTGGCTTAGTCTTTTAGGGAAACATTTTGGGAAGGATGGTTGAATTTTGAAGAGGAAAAAACATATGGCAGAGAATACTTGGGAAAGCCATTGTAGTGGCCCCACGACAATCCTTATGTCGCTTCGGTATTGCCAGATGAACGATAATGATGGATACTTAAGTACCTTTGGTGACCACATTCCAGACTTGCCACGCCTCAAATGGGTATAGATCACGAATTTGCGAGCAAAGTATCCACCAAGTCTCCAATCATGCTGAGGAACCTCGTTTTCAATATCTTGGGCTGCTTGGCACCAAGTACGAGCACCTCGCTTGCGACGCGTCAAATAAGCCTCAACACTTTGAGCTCTTGGATTTTGTCGGGCAAGACGTCAATAATATTGGCCCAGGTTTAGCGTTGTGAAAGTTGAATAGCCTTTAAATATTGCAAAATGTAAGCTTAGCAAGCACAAATAAGTACCAGTCATCAAAGGTCGAAAACGAGAATTCGAACTGGAAAGCTTGGAGTACGACAATACCTATTTGGCCAGCTCGTAAGTCTGATTTACCTGTGCAATTTCCGAGGTAAAATATCGTCACTATGCGCAGTCGTCCTATAACTTACCGTTCAATGCTTGAAATTGGAGGAGATAGGCATCATCAGCCGGTTGTCAGGTGTCGTTATCGCTTGACATAATCGTAGAGAGAAAGCCTGGCCGGCTTGAAGTTTGAGCCCGATGTTTCGTTCCCGACCTTTGCACTGCCATCCACTTTCATTGCTGAGAGCAGGAGTATATATCAGAACCTTAGCACGGGCTGAAGGAAGAGGTCAGGTGAAGTATATGCTAAGACAAAGACAGCATACTTGATGAGCATATGAGCATAAACTGCTTTCCCATTGCGACACTGTAGATGTACAGTATTGACCCGATCGTTCACACAACTTTGAAGCAAGCTCAGCCTGATGCGGGCTTGGCGAAGCTCGGAGGCCAAGGCTGTCGCGTCCCCCGTTAATGCTTTCGTGGCAGGATCAGAAAGTGGAATTTAAGTATGCCTATGGCGACGAACACAAACGACTATAGTTAAGGAACGACTTTTGCAAGGGTCGAACCAGGGCTCAGAATCTTTCATATGTATCTCCATCGCTGTTAGGAACACTCCCGCTGCCTGAGCATGAGCGTCAACATATGAACATTCCCTCCCTTCTACTCTAGCCTGTGACCCCAAGGTTCAACCTCCAGTATGAGGCTCGATGTGAAGGTACACCATTGATGTCGCACCTCTAGTCTGCTACAATACTGACTGTGCAAATAGCGCCAGCTTTTTGCGCGCTCCGAACGTGTGAAAGGCATTGACTTTCACCCTACCGAGCCATGGATCCTCACGACATTGTACAGTGGCCATGCCTACATTTGGTCCTATGAGACACAGGCGATTGTCAAGACCTTCGAGCTGACAGATGTTCCCGTTCGAGCTGGTAGGTTCATCGCCAGAAAGAATTGGATCGTCTGTGGTTCGGACGACTTTCAGCTTCGTGTGTACAATTACAACACTTCTGAGAAGATCACCTCCTTCGAAGCCCATCCCGACTACATTCGTTCGATAGTCGTGCACCCTACGCAACCTTTCGTCCTCACAGCCTCAGATGACATGACGATAAAGTTATGGGATTGGGACAAGGCATGGAAGTGCGTTCAAGTATTCGAGGGTCATTCACATTATGTGATGGGCTTGGCCATTAATCCTAAAGACACAAACACATTTGCGTCCGCATGTCTGGATCGGACGGTCAAGATATGGAACTTGGGTTCGGGCCATGCCAATTTTACCCTCGAAGCACACGAAGCCAAGGGTGTCAACCACGTCGATTACTACCCGCAGGCTGACAAGCCATACATCCTAACTACCTCGGACGATAAGACTGTCAAGGTTTGGGACTACACAACAAAAGCACTGATAGCCACATTGGAGGGACACACTAGCAACGTCTCCTTTGCTTGTTACCATCCCGAACTACCCGTCATAATATCCGGCTCTGAGGACGGCACTGTGAAGATATGGCATGCAAACACTTACAGGCTAGAACAATCGCTGAGCTACGGCCTGGAAAGAGCATGGTGCGTCAGCTACCAGAGAGGTCGACAAGGCATAGCTATGGGTTTCGACGATGGCGCCGTGGTGGTAAAGATGGGTCGAGAAGAACCTGCAGTTTCCATGCATGAAGGCAAGATGGTATGGGCGCGTCACAACGAAGTCATTTCTGCAGTCATCAAAGGCGACGTTTCCGTGAAAGATGGACAGCCGCTGAATCTGCCCACAAAGGATCTCGGATCGTGCGAGATCTACCCCCAGACTCTTTCGCATTCACCAAATGGTAGGTTCGTTGCTGTTTGTGGTGATGGCGAGTTCATTGTCTACACCGCCATCGCATGGAGAAATCAAGCCTTCGGCTCCGCCCTGGATTTTGCTTGGGGCTCAAAAGACAACAATACCGACTATGCCATCCGTGAGTCCGCTACATCAGTGAAGATCTTCCGGAAGATGAAAGAGGCTCCAGGCGGACTCGACGTGGGCTTTCAAGCTGAAGGTCTGAGTGGTGGCGTCTTGCTTGGTGTAAAAGGCCAAGGCGGTATCGGCATGTTTGATTGGGCTACCGGAAACCTCGTACGACGTATCGAAGTTGAGCCACGTGAAGTTTATTGGTCGGAATCAGGAGAGTTGGTGGCTCTTGCTTGCAACGACACAACATACGTGCTTCGATATAGTCGAGAAGCATACCTAGAAGGCCTCAATGCAGGCCTGGCCGATGAAGATGGCGTCGAATCTGCCTTTGAGGTCGTCACAGATATCAACGAGAGTATCACGACTGGAGAATGGGTTGGAGATTGCTTTATTTATACAAACTCAACCAACAGACTCAATTATCTAGTTGGTGAGCAGACATACACTATATCACATTTCGACCAGCCGATGTACTTGCTAGGATACCTGCAAAGAGATGGTAGATTATACGTGTGCGACAAAGATGTGCAAGTCATCTCCTTTGCATTGTCTCTCACGGTTGTCGAGTACCAAACGCTGGTCCTTCGAGGTGAGGTCGATGCTGCGCAGGGCTTGCTCAGTGAGATCCCTGATGGCGAAATGAACAAGATTGCCCGCTTTTTGGAAGGTCAAGGATACAAAGAGATGGCTCTAGAGGTAGCGACGGATCCAGAACATCGATTTGAGCTTGCTCTGAGTTTGAACAATCTGGCAGTCGCACTCGAGCTTGCTAAGACTTCTGATCAGGAGCACAAGTGGAAGACTGTTGGTGACGCAGCAATGGTGGCCTGGGACGTGCGGTTAGCTCAAGAATGTTTCACACAGGCGAAGGACCTTGGCAGTTTGCTATTGCTATACTCAAGTTCGGGTGATAAGACAGGTTTAAAAAGTCTAGCCAACCAGGCAGAGGAAAGTGGCAGCAACAATATCGCATTCTCAAGTTTGTGGTTGAGTGGTGATGTCGACGCTGCCATTGAGCTGCTCACGCGAACAGGACGAACGAGTGAAGCTGTACTATTCAGTCAAACATACAAACCAAGCCGGACCGCTTCTCTAGTGAAGCAATGGAAAGAGAGTCTCGAAAAACAAGGCAAGACGAAGGTTTCAAAACTGATAGGTGTGCCAGGAGAGGACGAAGAGCTCTTTCCAGACTGGGACGAATATCTGAGGCTGGAGAAGGACGGCGCTCAGGAGTCCTCAGTAGATCTGAATGGCTCGGCAGACGAGGTAGCATCAGGGGAGATCAATGGCGAGACGGCGGAAGCTGACGTTGAAGCTGCCGAAGAGGTTGAGGCATGATATAACGACTGACGAACAGTGCGCGACGCACACTTGCTTTGCGGCTCAGCCGAGAGTATCTGCATTGACCCTGTGCAATACCAGATTAACAATGCCTGGCATGCCTGGATGAAGAACCATTTCAAGGATATGGTCTCCGTTTCCATCCGGCGCAAATGACGTAGTTGGTGTATAGATTGTCTCAGAGGCTATTTACTTTTGGTTTCTATAGAACCATCGAGGACTACACCTTCAACCCGTGTTTGCTTTGAACCAGTCAGCTGTCGTACGACCCGAGTGCTACGCTGAAGCTTCGAGATCCTAATCGACTCAACCCTTATTACGGTACTCTATCAAGTACGATAGCGCTTATTCCATAGTTGAGGTTGCGTAGCCTTCAGTCACCTTCCATTTGTGTTCGACAAAGGATCCCTACATCACCATTCTGAATAGCTCGATTGCTAGAACATACCATCTGCGTCATGTCTGAAGCTTCGGAAACTTATGACCTGATATACTGGCCAGGACTGCCAGGTCGTGGTGAATTTATCAGACTTGTTCTGGAACAGGCTGGTGCAAACTACACTGACACTGCACACGTCGAAGATGGTATGAGGATTGTCCTCTCCTACAGCAGCACCGACAACCATGGTAGTCCTGTCAACCCACCACCTTTTGCACCACCAATGCTAAAACACGGAAAACACACCATTAGTCAAACACCGAACATCCTGCTTTATCTCGGGCCCAGACTGGGACTCGCACCTAGTACGGAAGATGACCCGATCGGGATATACCACGTCAATGCACTTACTCTGACAGCTCTCGATGGCTTGAGTAACGAGCCGCATGACACGCATCACCCGATCGCTGTGGGGGATTACTACGAAGATCAGAAAGGGGAAGCATTGAAGAGGGCCAAAAATTATCGAGAGCAAAGACTGCCCAAATTTCTGGAATATTTCCAACGAGTACTGTCTAGCGAAACGTCCAGGGGCGGAGAGTATCTGTACGGTGGTCAACTCACATATGCGGATCTTGTGCTATTTCAGACCATTGACGGAGTGAGTTTCGCGTTTCCCAAGCGGATGAGCAGTCTGAAGGAGAGTGGGAAATACGACAAGGTGTTCGCGTTGCACGAGCGTGTCAAGGCTTTGGATAAGATTGCGGCCTATCTTAAAAGCGGAAAAAGGCAAAAATACTTGATGGGCATCTATCGGTTAGTAAAGCTTTACAACATTACTGTTACCAATGTTAATTGTTTTATAGACATTATCCTGAGTTGGACGACGAATAAAATAGCTCTTGCGTGTCACTGCTTGGCAAAAAGACACGATAGAGTATATCCTTCCATTGCCGATAACTACGACCTATTGCTTCTCATACTTTTTCCTGTAGACTCAATATTTCGTCGCATTTCTGCAAGCGGTACTCGTTGTAGTACAGGCTGCAAGTTCTACTCCATAAACTACATGTCAACCAGCCGACTTGGCACAGGATTAAAATAGCTCACCGTCATGCCGATCACTCAAATTTATCTGACCCTGTTGTGTGACTATGCTGGCCATGATGAACGTTCAATACAGAAGACATTGTTACATATTCGTGAGTCGAATTGGACGTATGAGCAGCAAATTCACATGCAGTAAAACACATCGATGGTGGTTTAGTACTGAAGGTAAAGAGCAGTGAAAAAAATATGATTCAGCGTCTCGAAGATCGATTATCGTAAAGATCGAAACCAGAAAATAGTGCCAAGAGCCACTCTTCCCAAGCAGGTGGACAGTACCTATCGACAAAAAAACTCCCTATTAGCAGAGATGGGAAAACTATACGCCATCTCAGACGTGCACATCTCCCACAAATTCAACCACGAAGCCATCCACCTCCTCAAACCCCACCCAGACGACGCCCTCATCCTAGCCGGCGACGTTGGCGAAAAACTCGAGCACCTCCACGAATGCTTCTCATTAACGACCAGACTCTTCAAGCAAGTCTTTTGGGTGCCCGGGAACCACGAGCTGTACACTCTACCACACCCCAATGATGTCGCACATGAAGACAACGCGATGAGCCCGCACACGCCGGCCACAACGCATATACCGGAGCCAGACAACTTGAGAGGCGAGGCGAAGTACTTTGAGTGTGTCAAGGTTGCTAATGAGTATGGAGTTATTACGCCCGAAGACGAGTATGTGACCTGGCATTCGGATGAGTCAGCGAACGCGGTGAAGGCATTGATATGTCCTATGTTTCTGCTTTATGACTACTCGTTTCGTCCTCCTGATGTGAGTCGAGAGCAGGCGCTGGACTGGGCAATGGAGCATAATATACGAGCTACGGATGAGGCACTGCTGCATAGTGACCCTTATAAGAGTCGCGATGCGTGGTGTGATGCGTTGGTCACCGAGACGGAAAATAGATTGAAGATTGCGCTGGATAAGAAGGATGCAGACACGAAAGTTGTTCTTATCAATCACTGGCCGTTACGCGAAGACACGATTTGCATACCGAGCATTCCACGCTTTAGTCTATGGTGTGGTACGAAGAGGACTGAGGATTGGCATGTTCGGCACAAAGCGGATGTTGTCGTGACTGGTCATCTGCACGTGAGACGGACAGATTGGATTGATGGAGTTAGGTTTGAGGAGGTTTCTCTCGGCTATCCTAAGCAGTGGGAGGATGCGAGAGGGAAAGGGAAAGGCGTCAATGAGATGTTGAGGGAGATCCTACCTGATCCGCGTGAGCAAATAGATAGGAATGGAGATCAGGCTTCAGAGGGACGCAAGACTCAATGGAGACGGTATGGGTGATTGGTTGCAAGGACTCAGCAGTTCTTTCAATAAAATATCACAGTCTCTAATTGCAGCTGCCTCAGGTCGTACTTCAAACGAGATCACTATCATGTGGTCCCTCCCTATAGGAGCTAAATTTTGTCCCGCAATGTTCTTGATACTCGTTGTCTTATTGCAATATTTGGTCGCCCGATTTTTGTCTTAGGTGGGAACTATCCTGTTTACTGAGCCGGACAGCCATTGAAGGCACGTTTTGTCTTTTTCGTCTCAGTGTTCTCTGACACTAGCTGACCTGTCTACGACCGTGCTCGAATCGCGACATGAACACACGTTTCGACTAGGTGGTCGAGAAGGTTCAATAGAGTTCGAACTTGAGGACGTTGATATGCGCAGGTCAAGGTTGGGATGTGCGGGAATGATCAGTATCAACAAGACTTTGCCTCTCCTATCTCAGTAGCCTTTTCTTTGCGACCTCTAAGTCCCAAAGACAGCTCAGACCACAGTCTCGGTATCGACTGCACTGGTAAGACACTGTCGTGCTTCGAAGGCTTCAGGAATCTGTGAACAGCGTCAAATAGCAGTAGGAGTCCAGCGTTCGATGCGTAGTGACAATCCGACCTTGTTACTCTTTACACGTCCATGGCATGCACTACCCCCTACTTTATGAGTTCACCCCAATGCTTTCGACTCCTGCACTCAAGCAGGATTCCCACCAGGAGCAGTGCTCGCATCAGCATTGGTTTTGCTGTTGCTATGTGTCGTCCCCGTGATTTGATCGTTGTCGATCTGCACAGGATCTGTGAGGTCAGGAACTTCGTCGGTGTTCGTGGTGGAGTGTGCTTGTCCGGCTGGCTCGTGGTCCCCTAGAAGGGTCTGGATGGCCTTCTGGTCACCTTCCTTGGCTTTAGAGGATGGGTCGGTGTCAGGCATGCTCCGGGTCGTGGAAATGGATTCGAGTATTGGGACGATTGAGCTGAAGGATTGTGTGTGTGAGGGACGATGAATGCTAAGCAGCTACGTGTAGATCGTGGTAAGGGACGTGGTTGTCGCGCTGTGCTGCGGTGATACAACGCCGGCTTGGATTTGCGCCGTGCCCGAACTTGAATCGTCATTGTCTACGGCAATCGGTAAGCATACCAACGATCCTTGCTTGAATATACGCACGATATGACAAATGAAATTGTTGACCTATTGTACTTAGAAATGTTTACGGTTTCTATTGCCCACTTATAAGAAGATTGTTCGGAACGTGGTTCAGATATAGCCCCGAAAGGCAGAAGATGCTGTTTCATTCCTATTCAAATAGTACTGCTGACTGATACCTGCCCTCAAAACCTGGAAGGTCTACTTAACAGGACATGTTTTGATGAGGTGAAGGAATCATGTTGACCGCCAACAATCAACTCACGTCCGTACGCCTGTCTTTCTAACTCCTTGAAGAATATCCTTCTGTCTCTCTCTGTTTGCCAAGCACTTGGGTCCATGAAACGCCTTTCCCATAGTCGTTGATCTTCTATGCATTTGAACCATAATAGCTAGCGCTTGCAGTCGTGTGATGTCCAAGCAGGTAGCAGATCGTCATGTTAGTACCACGTCTCGATGCTGACAGCCAAGGGACAATGTCCTTCAAACCATACTGAAGATGACTCTGCCGTCAACAAAGGTTAAATAGATCGATAGCCAGATAGGTTGCTGAGGTCCTTGAAACTGCTTTTACAGCCAGTGCAGGTACCAGGCTTTGTCGACAACTGCTTAGGAGATCCGCGCTCTTCCTTCCTGTACACCTTGTAATAAACAACATTTCTCTCAATGCGTGAACTAGCTCTCTCAACTGCTCATGCTCGAATTTCGTCTGAAGAGTCTTGCTACTAGAGCCCTTGTCGATCTCGAACGATCTGAATTAGTCGACGCGGTGCTATCCGAGCTATTATTGCGTTGCACAATTTCAGGTCTTGAATGACTGCTATACAAAGCTGGTCTTGCATCTGGTGAGTATGAGCGCCGATGAATCCTTTGAGCTTCGTCTTCGTTTCTAGGATGGCACGGACAGCCCCTAGCGTACGTGATCTCTCGAAGTGTTATCGTTGTGAAGCGGCTGGGCCGCGTCCATATATGAGGAGACGTTGTTGTATGCTCTTCTGTGTAGGCAGGCAGGATACTAGGTACAGCCACGTCAGGAAGGCTGGAGATGCTAGAAGAACTTGACATGTCGTGTGAGATGAAGTCTTTTCTGTAGCAAACGTGACCTGTATTCGACTTCACGAGGATCGATAGTGACGCTAAAGTGTTGTGCAGACGAGGGAGCTGCGATGAATAGATGAGAGGATCTTGTAGGAATAGAAGGAGCGAAGAGACCAGTTAGAAGTAAGGCGCCCGGGCCATGAATAAGCTGATCAAGAGTCCATGATTGGGATGAACTACTAATAATGTCATTTTGAAGGTCTCCATTTTTGAACCATCAGCACGCATCTGGTATAAGAGTACGACGTGCACCGGAAGGTGTCGGATGTTAAACCACGGAGCACGTTTTCTCACTGTGCAATTGAACTGTGGTTTTAATACGTCAAAGAGCACGGCCTCCACAAACCATAAATTGTCCGAGCATGTTCACAGGATATTAGTCATGATTGACGGTATATCCGTGTCTGTGCTACTTGACAGTTTGCTTTGACATTTCGCACAATCCTGCTGCTACACACTCGTTGCTCGATTTTGAACAATTCCAGCGAACAGTGGGCCTGCATTTGCCATCCTGCGTAATAGTGAGGTTGGAAAAGGCTGCGCGGGAATGAGGATCAGCAGAATAGAAATGGGGTTTGGAGCCATGATGATGACTGTTCGTGCCCTGCGTCGGCTGCAAGACAAGTGGACAGAAGCCATGCACGGCAGAGCCAATGGCACATACACAACTTTAAATTGTGCAAGTGAAGCATTCCAAGGTTTCTGTCGACGCGACGCGACTGGTCATGCTGGAGTCGTTTCAGCACAAACCTTGGCCGCTACAAGAAGCAGACTTCGGAGAGCGGCAGGCACAGAAGCGCATATGAATCACGTGGAACACTAGTACTTGTTGGCTTAGCGGTAGAGCTTAGCTCTCGATGTTGACGACTTGACATTCAGCTACAACGACATGGACTCTGCTCCAGCATACGAAAATCACGTCGTCTGAGGTACAGATCGTTCATTGAGGTATCAAGCCGCCTCACTTGGTTTTTTGGTAGCTTGTGTTTCGCGGGAAAGAGACACTCGACCCTGAATGTTCGCATTGCAAGAAGTTTCCAAACATGGCCTGAAACGTATCTGTGTGGCTCACAATTGTGCACGTTATACTGTAACATGCCTGTACCTCATCTCCGACCACTCGGGGCGACCATGCCCCGAGTCATTCAACCGACAAGGCAATTTCTTTCAAGTCAGAGGAATTCTGCCTGTTTTAGGCGTACCTGGAGACAACATCAGTTCACAGCTCAGACCACGCGTCGACATGCCTCAACCGATCCTGCTACCGTACCAGCGGGTTCTCATGTCTTCAATTTCTTTTACGGTACGACTTTGCTTCTGGGTCTCGGCCTGATCTTTGTGTATGTTACAGACACTCGAGCAAGCGTACATCGTTGGGTAGTGATTCCAGCTTTGCGTACCATCTACAAAGACCCTGAAGAAGCGCACGAAATTGGTAACAGATCATTGAAGCAACTATATACGTTTGGTCTACATCCCAGGGAAAGAGGCGATCCTGACCAGCAAGGTGATCTGGCGATCGAGGTGTTCGGACAAGTTCTGAGAAACCCAATAGGGACATCAGCTGGGATCGATAAGCATGCTGAAATTCCAGACCCGCTTTTTGCTATAGGTCCTGCTATCATTGAACTTGGAGGAACAACACCACAACCACAGTCCGGTAACCAAAAGCCTCGGGTGTTCCGATTAGAATCCCAAAACGCTCTCATAAATCGATATGGACTCAACTCTGAGGGCGCTGATCATGTGGTCAACCAGTTGCGACACCGAGTAAGACGATTTGCTGAGAAATGCGGGTTTGGTCATGATGCTCAAGGCGAAATCTTAGTGCTCGATGGTCATGCGGGTGTGCCGCCTGGCAGTCTTACGCCTGGAAAGCTGCTCGCTATCAACATAGCCAAGAACAAGGCCACACCAGAAAATGATATTCAAGCTGTAACAAAAGACTACACATACTGTGCTGAGCGACTAGCACCATATGCAGATATCCTCGTCGTCAATGTCTCGAGCCCCAATACTCCTGGTCTGTGTGGTCTACAAAACCAGGAATCACTAACTCAGATCTTGACGTCCGTCGTCAAAGCTGCACGCTCTGTTCAAAGGACTAACAAGCCTGCAGTAATGGTCAAGGTCAGCCCAGACGAGGATTCTGACGATCAAGTGAACGGTATCTGTCAAGCAATCTGGGAGTCCGACGTCGACGGGGTCATAGTCGGAAATACTACAAACCAACGTCCCGAGCCAATGCCTCATCTCAAACCACTCACTCCAATAGAAGAACAACGTCTACTCGAAACCGGCGGCTTTTCTGGCCCACACCTATTTGAGAAGACATTGTCAATGGTCAAGAAATACAAAAGTTCACTTGGCGACAGCCCACCACCCAACATCGGCAACACCCCTGCCCCTGCCAGTACACCTTCCCGATCAGGCGGTGCAGTCAGTTCACTGAAGGAGCAAATGCAAAAGGATCTGGCAGAAGCACCCGCAAAGGCCGGACCACACGGAGACGCAGTGACGGACTCAATCCAAACAGAATCCATTCCTCTACAAAACCTCTCGGAAAAGGCCGAATCCGAGAAGTTGCCGTTGATCAACCTTCCCACAGCTAGATTCTACGACAAGTCACGACCTGAACAAGACAAACTACGGTCCAGTCCTGATGGTCCCGAGTCTGAGCAGTCGAAGAAAGACAACGAGCGGGCTGAGGAGAAGAGAGAGCAGATAAGGAAAGAGCAGGAGGAGGCGAAGAAAGCACGACAAGAGACAAAACAAAGCGTAGGAGCGCAAGATAAGCGTGCACCTGATACTGGTCGTCGAGATCAGCCAAAGGTCATCTTTGCGACTGGTGGTATCACGAACGGTAAACAGGCACTCGAGATCTTGAACGCTGGCGCGAGTGTAGCGATGGTCTATACTGCTCTCGTGTATGGAGGTGTAGGAACCATTTCGAGGATCAAGGACGAGATGAGGTATGAGTTGAAGAGTAAGAAGGAAGAAAGGCGAGGAGCCACTCCTAGGGAGATCAAATCTGCCTAACGTGTTGTTCCCTGTATTGAAATATCGCGTGCATATTAAAACACAAGCTCATCAGTCTTCCACAATAGCTACCTTGCTTCTGACTGGAATGTTGTGCTTGACCTTGCCAGGCTCAGGGAAACCACTAACCTTAACACCCTTCCTGAACATCAAGCAGTGAGTTGAGCCGCCAAAATGGAACATGCCAAGTTGTTCGCCTTTCTTGATCTTCTGGCCTTCTTTCACTGTGACATCGTTACTGCTTACCTCGCTCATGCCAATAAGGACAACACACATCAGTCCGATCTTTGGGTTGTCCGCCTCAATGAATACTAGTGCGCGTGCCGCCGCAGCAGTCAGGTACCCTTGAGACTCCGTCTCACCTTCCTCATTCGCGTGTTCTGGGTGACGACCGAAGTCCTCGAACAATGGTTCAGAATAGTATGTTCCTTCGACATGTGTTATCTTCTTCACCGTGCCGTCTACAGGAGTGTGCCAGCGATGGTAGCTCAATGCGCTGAGAAAGGCCTGATATATCGTGCCGCCGACGAATTGTTCGTAGTTCGGGTCGTTCTGTAGGATGTCTTTGACGGAATACGGCATGCCTTTGAGCCAGAACTTGTCTCGAGCTTTGACGTCGCGAGCTACTCGATAAGCTGTACTTTCACAGGCATTCGCGATGACGTTCTGGTTCTCAGGCTCTGCAACAGGTCTCTTATCCCAATGGAACTCGCGCGTGAAAAAGTCGTCCCAGGATTTGTAGCCATGGTAAGGCTTGGAGGGGTCACATTGAAACATCTGCTCGAAAGGAAGTGCTTTGTCGGACTCTTCACCTAGATTGGCGACAGTTGCAAGATCCTTGCGTCCCGAATCAGTAAACCAGCCGAACTTGTCTGATAAAGAAGGCTCCCTCGAGTCCTCGGATTTGAGGTATTCGCCCCAGACGTTCAAGATCTTCTTCAAAAGACCGTTGACTTGCGGATCGAGGAAGAATGAGAAGCCAAAAGTCGTGCCCATTGGCCAGTCGAAGAGAGCATAGATTGGCAGACCGACCAAGCCAACGTTCTCAGACTGCTTGCTCCAGCCAGGCGAAGTGGTAATCAGATGGTTGAGAATGGCTAGCATATGCTTGCAACCACGAATGCTCATCTTGCCCGAAGGATCCTTGTTATAGGGGTGTTTGTCTGGGATCTCGTCGAACATGCCTTGAGCAAGCATGTGGATTCGGGAATTGTTTTCGATCAGCTCTTCCAGCTCACGAACAGCTGGGTGAAAATCCTTAGGGTTCTCGTCAACGTGGTTGACTGTGTCTTGGAGCCATTTCTGGTGAGCTCGGTGGTCTTCGGGTAGCCAAAGACCTGGTCGCTGTACGCGGTGACCATCTGGCACGTGTGAGGAATTTATTGGCATCTTTGCTAGAGTGTTAGTGGAAGCACGAGTGAGCAGATGAGTAAACAAATTATCCTCGAACAGGCTTCAAGTAAGTCCATTTAATTGAGTATGTGCCGCGTCATCTACACGTGTTGCTTATAGCAATCCAGACCAGGCACAAAAAGTAAAGCATTGGAAGGAGCAGGGTTTTCAGCGTCACAACAACGTCACAAGCGGCGTCTGATTCCGACATGATAAACGAGCCTGCATAGGAGCCAAGACAACGACTTGCATGTGTATGTAGCCTGACAATTTTGAAGACTGACAACCATCAACATAAGAGCCCCAAACAAAGTCTCACATGGAAAGCCAAGCAAAGTTGAAAAGAAAGGAGGACTGTGCCAGTTGTGGCCTTGGTGGCCTACGGAGCGGGATTCCACCCTTATCGCACGTGATGTTGAGATAACGAATGTTCGGCTCTAAGAAACCAAAAAAATTAAGGTGTGGGCCTGAGGAATCACTTGGGTCTTCGCCGTTCAAAGTCTTTGCTCAAGGGTTTTGTATAGCTATTGTCGTAGTGATTTCCAGAGCACTAAGTCACGATGAAGACGACGTGGAAAGAGGTGAGATAGACTGGAAATTCTGCTACAGAGCACGAACTAACGTGCAGTCAGATTGCGCCTGTGCCAACGTCGCAAGAATTTATCGATATTGTGCTTAGTCGTACACAGAGGCGACTACCTACCCAGATCAGAGCCGGCTTCAAAATCTCGAGAATAAGAGCTTTTTACACAAGAAAAGTCAAATACACGGCAGAGACATTCGCAGAGAAATTCCAGGCTATCCTAGATGGCTTCCCTCGATTGCAGGACATCCACCCGTTTCACAAAGATCTTATGAACACACTTTACGATGCCGACCACTTCAGAATAGCCCTAGGAACATTGTCGACTGCAAAGAGATTGATAGAGACTGTGTCAAGAGACTATGTACGACTGCTCAAGTATGCGCAGTCACTATTTCAATGCAAGAACTTGAAGAAAGCCGCTCTAGGTCGTATGGCCACAATATGTAGGAGACTACGAGATCCCTTGGTTTACCTCGAACAAGTACGACAGCATCTGGGTAGATTACCGAGCATCGACCCCAACACGAGAACGCTGTTGATCTGCGGCTATCCCAATGTTGGCAAGTCAAGCTTTTTGAAACAGATTACAAGAGCCGATGTCGATGTGCAGCCATATGCTTTCACCACAAAATCCCTCTTTGTGGGCCACTTTGACTATAAATATCTAAGGTTTCAAGCAGTTGATACTCCTGGTATTTTGGACCACCCACTAGAAGAGATGAACACAATCGAAATGCAGTCGATTACTGCTATTGCACATCTTCGGTCGGCTGTATTATACTTCATGGATCTATCAGAACAGTGTGGGTACTCCGTCGAGGCCCAGATTGGTCTGTTCTCCTCGATACGACCGCTGTTTGCAAACAAATTGGTCTTCCTCGTGGTAAACAAGACCGATGTGACCAAGCCGGAAGACTTGTCAGAAGATCTGCAGAAACAACTGTCAGATCTAGTCACCCAAAATTCCAATACAGAACTGCTCCAATTGTCTTGCATAACGAATGAGGGTGTTCAGAATGTCAAAAACATAGTCTGTGATCGTTTGATCGAAGAACGCGTCGCATCCAAACTCAAGGCTGGCCAGGCCTCACAACCTGCACTTGGAGATGCTCCAACCGGACGACTTGGTGATCTTCTTGCTCGAATTCATGTGGCGAGACCGCTTGCGGGATCGCACAGCGAAACGTATATCCCAGAAGCAGTTTTGAATGGCACCCACAAGAGAATTGATAAGAATGACCCAGAACGAAGAAAGCTCGAACGCGACATCGAAGAAGAAGAAGGCGGTGCGGGTGTCTACAACGTCGATCTCAAGAAATGGTACGATCTTGGAGATTCAGACTGGAACCATGACAAGGTACCCGAATTTTTCAATGGCAGAAACGTGGCAGACTTTGTGGATCCCGATATTGAAGAGAAACTAGCAGCTCTCGAGGCCGAGGAAGAGCGTCTGGAAGGAGAAGGATACTACGACGAGTCCGAAAGTATGGAAGATGAGGAAGACGCCGATATCAGAATGCGAGCAGACATGATTCGAGACAAACGAGCACTAATGATGAGCGAAGCTCGTACCAAGAGGTCGCTGAAGAACAAGGCACAAATCCCACGTTCGAAGAAAGCCAGAACGACATCACAGATGGCGGCTCACTTCAACAAGATCGGTCTTGATGGCTCAGCACCAGTTGATAGAGCACGGGCACAGATCCGAAACGCGCCTGCTGAGTCGAGGTCGAATGCTGGATCAGCTATGGACATCGACACCCCATCTGCCCGAGCACGATCTGTCTCCCGAGCACCTAAGACGAATAGATTGACTGATGGTATTACGAAGACAACAGCTACTGGTATTGCGGATCCTATCACTGAGGAGAAGGTGGAGAGAATGGCCAAGCTCAGTCAGAGGAAGATGAACAGAATGGCTAGGCAAGGTGAGGCTGATAGGCACGAAACAGCCAGCTTGCCAAAGCATTTGCTTGCCGGCAAGAGAGGTATGGGCAAGACAAGAAGCAGATAAATGGAGCATTTCGAGGCGTGGAAATTGTCTACAAGATTGTCGAGTACTCAGTGGTGTTTCATGGCGCGCGAAGCATGGGGCTTCTTGTCTGGGTCAAGCATGAAGAGATTTCTATTCCGTTAGAGTTTGTGGTGAAAAGGCGTATAGATGCGTTACGATACCGATGATAACAGGCAGAGCCTTCTGGCTACTCCTCGTATTTATAGCAATCTTGATGGCAAAACTGCAAAAGTAAAACCCTGTACCTCTTCAGCAGTTTAGACAAGGGGCTGGGTGCCGTTATACCAGGTTTGTGCAATGACTTTTCTCTTGGCGTGGTGCAGTCGAAGCTTTATAGTACGATTACGTGTAGAGCTCGAGGCAGTTTACGAAAAGCGAAACGAGAAAAGTATCTATCGAATTTAAAGAGACAAACATAATAAATTAAAGACCAAGTAGAGATGATGAATACGTCTTTCTGTACTATAAAGCCTGTAGATATTTGAGAACCACCTACCTGTTAGATCAATCTTGCCAACCTCGATAGGACTTACCATCGATCATTACTCTGCTGGCGTGACCGATAAGGCTCTGGAGCCTGCTCTCGATGGTCGCGCGACCTCGAAACGTCACTATCCCGTCGTGACCTACCTGGGTCCCGACGATCGTCTGGATATCGCCCATGCTGGGTATCAGACCGACGACTGCTGCTGGTGCGCAGTAGACTCGGCGATGGGTCTCGCCGGCTGTGAGCTCGCGGTCGACTGTCATCTCGCCTCTCCGACTGCAGTCGTGAGAACATATCAAGTCGAGACTCCGAACGAGACCTACTGCTGCTTGGCCGCCTCGACGATGGCCGAGCAGCCTCTAATAATCGCCCATCCCTATCTGTACGATGTGAGCGATCTCGACTTTCAGACCGTCGAGAATGGCCATGGTGACGGTCGTCCCGATCAAGAGCTGGATAGTCTCGGTCACGACGGGACCGATAACTGGAAGCACTAGAGGCATTGTCAATGTATCCAGAGTCTCGGTCACGACGAGACGACTGATGGTGAGATGTGCTGCTCGATCGGGGCCGTGATACACCGCCGCCCGAGCTATAGTCCCCACAACGGCTGCACCGGGAACGATACTCGTACTGACCGAAGCTCGGAAAATCGGGCATTGAGGGCATGCGGATATCGACTGATATCGAAGGAAATCCCATTGGCATATCGAACAAGCTTGGCATGTCGAATAAGCTCGACATTGCGCCGGGGCAATGGCAGCAATGGCCGTGTCGAGACATATCAATATATGGATAAGTGTATTGGTGACTTTGCGGTAGTGGTGTTATCTGGTTCTTATTTGCGTGAATCTCGCGTGTAGTCAGATGATTGTATGCCGTAATCTGTAAGTTGTAGTAAATTGTAAGTTGTGCGTTGCAAGTTCTAAGTTATAGTAAGTTGTATGTTAGTGTTCTGGAACATGTCGATGGTAGTCGAGGGCAGAGCTCTATCTTATAGTGTATTAACCACAAAAGAAAGCAGCGAACAACGACTGCATTGTGATCAGGGCCAGAAAGAAGTCGTTGTGCTAACAGAAGATAATGCTTTTGCACGTCAGACGTGTTGTCCTCAGCGCCAATCATTGTTCAACAGGACCCTGTATGAACAGTGCCTCTTCCCGTGTATCCAGGTCTTCTGCTCTGCAATAGCTCGGTGCATAACTCGTTCCTTCGGTGTAGCCATCATTGCGCAGCATATAATGTACTTGGAGGGCCTGATCCTCACGAAGTCCTCTATGTAGCCATATCTCGGAATCAGACATAGACTCGCACTATCTCAAAAGCAAACAGAGGCTCTTCTCGCAGGCTCATTCTGTTGCAAGATCTTGCATGCGTTTCAGCAATCCAATACCTGCAGATTATTTACCTCGGATGACTGAATCCTCATCTCTTGCGTCTAATACTTGCTTGAGCAGACCCATTCGATTAGAAACCCAAAGGGACATTGTGTACTGATGTGAAAGGTGAAAGAGGTCGCGGAAGTGAAGCACGATTCTGAACTGCTTATTCTCTCATGGTGATCGTCGAGGACTTGCGATCGGTCAGCATGCTCGCCTTTTTGGTAGATGCCTATACAAGATCCTGCTAGTACGTGAATACTTAGAAGTGTTTTCGGACAACACTGCTGACATGCTGATACACAATGTACCTCTATGAGACGCGTAAGGAACGCGTTCAGTAGCCACACGTGGAATAATTAGAGCTCCACCTTAGCAGCAGCTAAGCACGACCCCGCCTGGAACGGCTCAACGCCAGGCTTCTTCGTATTGCTTCTTCTGACTTGCACGTTTAGCCTTATTCGCGTCTGCACATACTGGCTTCTGTCAGCTTCCACTTGCATTCCCTCGTGCTTGACCCATGCGTTAGTTTGCGTTAACTTTACATGGGTTTAGCGAGGTTAGTCAAGAATAGAGACACCAACTGGAATGCACCTTCCAATATAAGCTATATGCCTCCTGTCAGCCCACCATAAAAATAGGATTTTCTATCAGCCTTGTTTCATCAATGCGCGAATGAACGCCATCTCGCTTGTTCAGGATGGTGGCGTCTGCATGCTGGTGGTGTCGACAAGCACGTGTGAACAGCATGCAGTCCAGACCTTCTCATGAGCAAAGTCAGCCTGATGAGAACCATACGAAGGATATATCTCAATGGAGGTTCTCTTTCTTCTTCAGTCTCTACGACCATAGCTCGAGGTAAGCCACAAAGATGCCCTTCGATTTCGTCAAATATGATGCCAAATGCGCAGCCATGTCTGCTGAAGAACTGCAACGCGAGTGGGAACACTACACACGTCTTATCTCAGGTTCAGCTACATCTACAGCAGTCAGTGGTCTCGCTATGCCATTCACCCTAGGAGTTTCTTCCATTGGTGTTGGCCTTGCGTCAATGAGCATCCATAATGCACGGAAGAAGAGAGAGATCATCGACAGGCATCTCGGCCAAAGAGGTGCCTTGCACAATACAAGGAAGCGAGACGTCTTCGCGCCTATCTGTGTCTCTGGCACTGTAGGCATCGTGACCCTTGGTGTTGGAGCCTTCGCTGCTGATGTCATCACCACGCAAGCAACCGAGCACGCCTTTACCACTATTGCTGAGAACGAGCTGGCAGTAAAGGTGACCACTCACCTTGCCCTTGATGCGGCTGTCATGGCTGGTGAAGAGGAGCATATGAAGAACAAGAAGACACAAGAAGCTGCCAAGACAGCGCGGAAGGTACCATCACAGGTCAAAGAAACAGCCACCCAGTATGCTCCTTCCGCCGTCGAGTTGCAACCACCGGAGAAACCGCCCCGACCGTCTTCTTACACCCCTTCTTCTTACGTCGATGGTTCGATGGATGATGACCTTCAATCTCAGTTCAAAGGCCTCAATGTATCAGCACCAGAAGCAGAAATACCACGTGGGGTGACTCCTGCTCCACCATATGCTCCAAACCCAGTGTTTTTTGCAAACGATATGGGAAAGCCAACAGATACTACCACGATCTATCTGCCGCCACTTCCACCACGCGCAAACAAGATGTGTCAGCCCAGTGAACATGGCGATACTCGACCAGCACCAGCAGAACCACATGCAAGCTATTTCCCTCCAGCACCTCCGATTGGGAACTACCCTTCAGCGACGTTTGTGACAGCCAATGCAGTGTATCCTGCTGGTCAGTTTGTAACACTGCCACCTACACCATGCTCATTCAGTTCAAGCCCAACGCCGACTGACCACGGAAGGGCTTCAAGTTCGTCGAGCAGCTATTTCCCTCACGCTGTACCTACTGCTACAGGTCTTTTGACACCTCTTTCTCCACCTTCCATGAACAATAGGCACTCAGTTGGCCCGGATGCTTGCTATTTTCAGGCCTCACATTCAGAACAGCAGTACAGCCCAATACCTGCTGTATATGTGAACAACCTTGCAGACTCGGGAAACTCGCAGTACTACTTTCTACCACCAGGTCCACCACCTTCGATAGCGCCACCAACCATAGCATATACATCTCCACATCAATCATACTTCGCTGCAAGCTACAACCCTCCTCGGCCAGCTGTACAAATATCTGCGTCTCCTCCAATGTACTTTGGTCCACCTCCTACTAGTCATTGACATTGGACGTGCAAACTAGCTTAGAAGCACAACTGGGCACTGAGCTCAATTTGTTACAAAGATACCAAACACGTATCATACGCACGAGCGGAAGGAACCAATACACGTTCAATGACAGTCATCGAGACTGGCGGTAAAGTTAAACCAAGATCCCATGACTGCCTGCTTTGGGAACAAAAGGCAGCCTCTTTTTGACTAAGGTTTAGCGTTCACTGGGTGTATTCGCATGAAATAATCACGTTAAGTGAGGTGTCGAGGACAAGCTCTGTGGCGTGCCGATATTGATTTTGATGATGTTTCATGTACATATTCTAATTTCTGGCTATAGAAAGTCTTCAGCGTCTTCTGGCTTTTATTGAACCAGTTACCTCGAGCTAGTATACACTTCCCGTCATAGCCACGTTCTTGAGCTCGACAATATTCCCAAGCACAGATAAGACAGACCACTTCTCCTTGTACACACGTAAATGTCCTCGTAGAAAAGGGGTTTAAGTGTGATTAGCATAAAGGCCGATTATCGACTTAGTGTCTTGCTATAACGTTCGCAACCTGGCCCTACTGCCAAGCCCAACACCATGGCTGAATGATCAGCACCACGGAGCGCTAAGCTATTTCGACCCAACTCGAATCTGACGATCGTCTGGCCCTCGCCGACCAAACTCGATCGTAACGTTTTCAGCCTGTTTTCAGGTTACGAGCAGCTTTTGCAGAATGTTACCAATCGCGTTCCCTTTACAGAAATAGCTCACAATGCAACGACTTACTTTGATCGCATAGCTACGAGGCAACCATGCACGACCACGGAAATAGAACGCGTCAGCATCACGCTGCTCGTGTTATTCACAGCGAACCATCTGTCTCGTCCGTGATTATGTCGAAGTGCATGTGCAAGGAATAATTGTGCTCACGTTGGCGCGTCAAGTATGCACGTGAAATGACAGCGGAACAATCTCAGACACCATGAATCATAGCTATACTCAGCTTACAACATTGACAGCATCTGCATGTGTCTCGGGGTGTCAAACTTCGAAGTTCGACACGTCTTGACACGCCTCGGACACCGCTCGTTCCTGCAGCTTCACAAATACGGGCTCTACCTCGTCATGATCAAATCGCACCTGAATAGCTGGCGAGGCATATCTGCAGGCACAATGTCAAGGGTGAACGATGCTTATGCCAAGAGCGATAATTACATCTGAGTACTACCTTGAGAGGTTCAGCATTGGGGTAGGAACGTCTTTACCATATCTGAGCAAAGAAAGGCTGCCAGGTTACTACCCCTACACGTTCCATGCGCATTATGGTAACATGCACCTATGCTTGGATATCACGTTGAGTCTCATACTAGTTGGTGAATTGCCCGCAGTTCAGCCAAAAAAGGCATTTTCGAGAACGGCTTGAAAACTCGTCCGAGCTCTACATACTTTACAAACAAGCACTTCAAGTGCATTAAGGTATTCCTGATATGACTTTCTATCAGAAAGCAGTCTACCTCCTTCGTGCCATGCGCATCTATACATGACATGTGTTGATACTAGGGACTGCCAGGCACTGCGCAGAAGGTAAGGCGGTCAATGATCGAGCAAGGCACACGGCAGTCGCCTGACAAGGAGGCTAGCTTGCCATAGAAAGAGAATTTACAAGGTAGTGATGGCTCTTGGCATGATCTTGAAACCCTTGGGGCACAGCACAAGATGCGGCAGGTACGGTGACGGCCGCTGTGTGCTACCTCGACTTACACCAAGGATTCCGATTTACCGCTCTCGTTACAGATGATATCTGGAGTGCCTTCCTGCTTTAATACACAAGAACTGGTGAGCACTTGCGGCGACCCCAAACTCAGGTACGTATCTACGAACGACTTGTATCACTCTACGCTATTTACATGCTCTTGTTGATGTTGCACCTATCGGGGCGAAGTGACTATGGCCCTATATCTACAGAGTATAAGTTGGCTGATGGTATGCGGACGACCCGAAGACATGCTAAATATATGTCGTCGACCAAAATTTGTTGAGGTCAGGAAACCTTTTCCAGTTTGATTCATTTGACGACCTCGGCTCTCTTGGTCAGCCGACTTTGTACGAAGAGATATATTCGGAGAGGGATAGCATCAATATAGCTTCAAGGATGAGAGCGAGGAAGCTGTGGACAATTGAAGAAGATCAAGTCTTGAGGCAAGCTGCGAACACACAAGGTAAATACTGGCCGACAAGTTGATCTACGAGCTTAGAGCTGAGTCGAATGCGTAGTCACTACTGGTGGCGCCGTGAAGGACTGGAACCGCATAGCCAGGCAGCTAGAGGACAGAACGAACAAGGACTGTCGGAAAAGATGGAGCAAGATATCCAAGGTGGTCAATCGTGGTGCATGGTATGAGCTCAAGCCGGGAAGAAGTGGTTCTCGAAAGCTAACATGAGATCAAGGAGTGCCGAAGAAAACTCCCGTCTACTTCAAGCAACGAAGCTTTTTGGGCTTCGGTAAGTTTTGGCAACCACATCGGCTTTCTGATGGTCAGTGCTGAGATGTGATCATAGCTGGACCAAAATCGCTGAATATGTCGCAACTCGTCATGCTGATCGTAAGTGCTTCTTGTTGAGCTCCTCGTGCCTCATACATGATTGCTGGCAATATCCCGCAAGTATGGTTCATAGCTAATCAATATCTATGCATAGAATGCGCCAAAAGATGGGTTCATGGCCTCAGCGATGAGCAAAAAGCCGACTTCACAGAAGGCGCAAGTTTCGAAGATTATTCCCTCAGTACCACGCCGGGTACAGGCAACAATTCTGAAGATTCCGAGGACCCTGCAGATTTGACGGAAGACGATACGATAGCTTTCAGACTAAATGAGAACTCTTTCTACGACCAGGAAGTCGACAGTGCCCTTTGGATAGCAACGTCAGATTATTGCAATGCTGCAGCATCCCAGGTTGCGATCCAGGAAGACAGCCCTCCTAGAATCACGGACATGACGATGACAGATGATTCATCAATATTTTATCCACAAGCTATGAACGCTCGTTTCCCTTCACATGCGGCATACATGCAAGGCCATCGGCCCTGCGACCATCACCACTTTCATGCTCCTGACCAACTACCTTCTCCAACAGAAGCATTTTCGCCAGACAACCAGTCAATACTCGTGGATATGACATCTTTGTACGATTCGTCTGATGTTGGAGCGTTGCCTCCCTCGGACATATGTTATCACAATATCCAACCAGAATTCCAAGGCTCATATTTCCCATCACCATCAATACCACCTAACCAGGGTAAAACAGTTTTAGAAATGGAGAATCTGCCACTGAGCGCGCTGTCCAGGATCATGGATATTGCTTTTCAGAACAGGTCCAATGTCAAATTGCGCTGGGCATCGGACGAGCGATGAACCACGTCAGAAGTGTCGTTGTGTCGTAACAAGGACAAAGATGCAGAATAGCGTGCAGAACAGACAGTAATATCCAAAGATTCAAGCTAGCGCAAGTGGAGAACAATATCCAAATCCCACGTTCACAGCTTCATCGCGGCCCGAGACATTGAGCGACCAATTGATGCAGCCTCCATCGTGTGATGCACCATAGCCTTCAATACTATACGGCAGTATTTCTCGAGGGCTCTATTTCACCTTCTCGGCGGGTGCCATCACTTCCGGAAGGACAAAGAGTCGAAGTTGTAGGCGTCCCCTGCCCATCCCATTCTCCTCCAAGCTCATGGACCTTTACGCGATTTTCCACTTCATATCTCGGACCACTCTTCGCCTCCATCTCTGGCCGTGAACCTACTCCTTGGGCTTCAATAGCCGCAGGAGACTGGTGCAACTTATTTTTGGCATACCGTTTCTTGAAGATATACCATGCGAGCAGCCCGCCCAACGAGACAGCGACGGGTATACAAATTCCAAAGCCGATTTTTGTGGCAGTTGAGAGACCAGGATTGTCGTTGGTTGTTGTGGATGAACTCGGTACGGATGATGCAGTTGAGTTTGCGATAGATGATGAGGTCGAACTTGGCATGGATGATGTGGTTGAGTCCGCAGAAGGAGCAGGCACGTCTCTCGAGGGGCAATCGACGCTGAACTGGTTTATGCTGGTATCATTACCAACGCAGCTGTCAAGGAAGATGTCGAAACTGCGACCAAGGCCGCAGTACTGGTTATCTCTTGCGTATACTGTTACTATACACAAAACAAACATCAGTATACACCTCGATTTCTCCCATCTAAAGTGTGCTTGACAAGTGTGAGCGTGCCAGGCAGTCGGGATGGGTAAAGCAGGCTCTCGACATGCATCAACTCCTCAGAAACAAGTCTACTGAAATTAAACTTACCAGTACAGCCAGGATCCAGAGTCACCATCTTAAAAGACCAAAACGAATTCGTTAACTGTGTGCAAAGACCATCCTCTCCTCCCCACACATAAATCGGGTTCGGATCTGAGCATGACGAGCCCGAATAAAGTGCTATCGAGCCGTTGCTCGCCTCAGATGGTCTTGAGAACAACAAGGACACGAGAACGAAACAGAGAAGGCAGTATGTACGATACATTATTGCTGCTGGTGTAACTTTGTCCAGTCGTGCTGGAGACCTGAAGGGAAACAAAGCAAGAAGAAGAAGAGGCAGAACTGCTGCCTACAACTATTACACAAAATCAACTTGAAAGGCTGAAAGAATTTCCTCGTTCTACCATGCTTGACCAGCATACTACACACGCATCAAGCTAAAGCACTCTTCAACCCTAGTAGCACAAGGCTGTCAAATTCAACATATCATTGGCTTCTTCCCATGTGATAAATGCCACATCCTAGCTTGATTACCCATCTTCACATGTCAGAAGTGAAGTGAAAGAAAAAAGCGGCTGAGACCTCTATGCACACGGAGTATTGGCTACCATGTAAAATGGCTGCGAGAAGTATGGCGACCTCGTAAGTCGTAAATGTCGTGAAACATTGGCTGAGGTCGAGGACGAATTGTACTCGCTTATTTCGCGAGATGATATCGTGTGGCGGAGGGCTGGAGCCTTGGCTTGATACTGGGGGGCTTGGCTTGGCGTAAATTTTCCAAGGATCAGCAGAGTCTTCACATACTTTTGCTTTGCTTGGGTATGGTAGAGAAAGGTCTTGGTGCGTTCTGTCTGATACGAATCATTGAAATCGTAATCTGAAGAACAGCTCTTGCTTGTATTCATGAATAATACTGCCTCGACTGTGAAATCCATAAATCCCGCGGGATGTTGTAACAAGAACACCAAACGCCATCGCTATGCACAAGCTCTTTTCCTTTGTCAAAGCCCATCTGCACGTCGATCGCCTCAAACGAATTGTCAATAAATAATACAAAGGCGTCCTCTTCAGTCCGCTTTACCATCCGGTGCACTTCCACCGAGCAATCCAAGACCTTTTTCATTGCCATTCAGATGGAAGTAGCCTTTACCTTTTTCTCCTGTCAGACCCCATGCATTCGGCACGTTAATTCTTCGTCCCTTGAAGACTCCTGTAACTCTAGCTACGTAGAGAACGATCGAGAGGAAAGCGAGCATTCCAGCACTACTTTCATATGGATGATAGATCCAGCTGTTTTTGATCTGGAAGAATATGTTTTCGATGAAGCCGATGGAAGACTTTGATTGCAGCTTGGGTGGATCGGAGGTGATTTTAGAGAGAGTTTCGAGGATCGAGACGCGTGAAGGAGTGATGTAGTTGCCGGTTTCGGTAACATCCCAGTAACGGCGGCTCTGTGAAGATAGTCAGTACTGCTTCTTATTATGACTGAACGTCGAAAGTGGTCTTACCTCTTCATCGTTAATGATGACCCGCTCGCCATGCGTGAAGTCAACACCAAAAGTGCTTCTAAGCCAACGCTCCCAGAAGATACCATCTATCCAGGCAAAACGAACCTGCTTTCGGAAAGTGTCTTCAGTGATTGAGATGGCGACAGACTTAGCCTGTCTCAGTGCCCGCTGGTCGTTTCGATCCTGAGCCTCTTCAATACGTAGCTGTTTGCTATCACGCATCTCTTGCCGTTCGAGCTGAAACAACTGTGTCATCTTGTCCATCCATTCTATTGCAGCGTTCTGTAACTCTCGTCGACTCTCCTTGAATTCGTCCGGGTTCTCCCTGTTCAATACACCTAGCACTGTGAATTTGTGGTCCATGATTTCGTGGGCATTCGTAGCCGTAAGCTCAGGCACGAGGGGCAACCAAACGCTTTGCATCCAGCTCAGAACTCTTCTGAAATCGCGCATGTCCTTGGGTGCGAGCGCAGTATAATAGCTTGGTCTACCACTTCTGCTAACCAACAACTTTGGCCATGTGTGAATCTTGAAACGAGCTGCCAAGATCTCGCTATCAGTCTTTACGATTCGTGCGTGACCAATCAGACTCAACGTCAGCCTGTCGAGAGCAGCAAAATCCTCCGAGGTGGTGGCATGGTCGAAGAAATACACAAAAATGACTTCTTCGGTCTCTTCGAGTTCTCGGAAAGCAGCTGCGTCCACATATTTGACGTCGCTGTCAAGAGCGGTCTGTGTGAAAGAGAGCAGATCGCCGAGACCACGAAGGCCCTCGTACTCGACCCGTTCGCCACCTCGGAAATAGTATAGTGTTGGATATGCTGAGACCCTGGCGTCCTTGCAGAGACGTGGTTCTGCGTCACAGTTGACCTCACCGATGTTTAGTCTACCTTGCATTTCCCTAGCTAACTGCGACCACGTTGGTGCCAGATGCTGACAATGCCCACACCAAGGAGCGTAGAACTTGATGAACCAAGGCTCCTGGGAAGTAGTAACCAGTTTCTGGAACGATTCCGCTGTCAGAGGAACTGAGCCTCCCTGTATATTTGGCGTTGAGCCGGCCTTGGGACGCTCTTTGCGACCAGCTTTGGCAGTTTCTGAAGCAAGTTCCGAGGTAGTGGTCTGTACAGCCTTCTCATTCTGCTTCTCTCCAGCTTCTTTGCCTTTGTCGAGGTTCTTGCTCTTGTCTTCAGCATACAAGGGAGTTGCGCCACGATCGACACTCTTCGCGCCAGCCTTGGGAACTTTGACACCCTTTACAGGCCGCGAACCTGGTCTTATCGATTCTAGCTTCTCTTCAACGTAGCCACTGAACTCTTCCATAGCTCGACCGCCCTTGTACTTCTCGACCATTTTGCCGTCTTTGAAAAGAAGAAAGGTAGGCCACGCTTGTACACCATTCTTTTGACACACATCACCGTATGCTATACAGTTGACTTCTGCAAAGTGGAAGTTGTAGTAGCCATGAAAGCTGTTTGGCCCTTCGAAGTCCATTGTGGCCTGTTGAGTCTTCCCAGCCAGAGGTGATTCAGTGTAGTAAAACTCGTATAAGGTCTGCCAATGTGGCTTAATGGCATTACAGTGGCCACAATAGGGAGAGTAGTGTTTCACCCACCTGCACAGTTAGTATTATGTTTGTGCACAAGACGATTAAGCCTTACCAGTAGCCGTCTTTTATCGTTTCCGCAAATTCCTCGCCCTTGATGTCTTTCATTGGAGGCACCTTGATATCATTAAATATGGTATAGTCAACAGCCTCTTTCGTGTTCGCAGGAGTATCGCCCTTGACGGCTTCTTCAGCCAATAATTCTGCTTTCGCCGGCTCGAAGTCGTTTGCGCTGACCAGCGCCAGGCTGGTCATGGCCCATGCCAGTAAGAAGGGCCTCATCGTAGAAATGAGAGAGTACTTAGGACGACAGCTGATTTGCAGACGTGATCAAGCGAAGAGGAAGATGTGTCTCACTTGAATTGCATACATCAGAACCGACTTTTCGCGACCACGTATGAGGGTATCGGTGAGCAGAAGGATCTTTATGTCGCAGAATGCGGGCTTCTGTATTACCGCAGGACCGTGCAGACAGAAACGTGGCGTAAGGGATTGACGATTATAGACTCCCTGCTCCATACTGTAGTCAGGGACTTGCCGTTCAACGAGCCATTTTGAGGCCTCAGGCATCAACTGTCATGCAGTGCGTCAGGATACTGGCAGCAACTTCCTTAATAAGCTAAGAACATCTGTACCTGCAACTTCTACACATACGCCAAAGTCGCACCAGCATTCTAAGCATACAGTAGACTGCATCGGACCTACGTCTTTCCGTCTGGAAGTTCTTACCACCATGCGACCGACCACACGCCTGTATGCGACCGTCAAGTCGGCGGCGCGGTACCTTGAAGGAAATACACCTACAGGACTGACAGGCCTACCAACACACCCTTCACCTCGACCAGCCCTACTTTACACATATAGCAAGACGCTTCAAAAACTGCAGGAGCTTCCCGCAAGCTCGGTATATCGTCAGTCGAGTGAAGCTCTGACGAGACATCGCATGAAGATTGTGGAGGATACAAAACCTCCAGGTCACGCTGAGTGGCTCGAGCGAGTGCAGAAGATTATCAGCTCGGAGCCAGGATACTCTAGATTCAGAGGTGAAGACGGAAGTTTAATACACGAAGAAGTATACAAAGAGCCTAAAGAAACCTGGGATGGAGCCTACACAAAGCAGGATGCTAGGAAAGAGGGCAGCAACAATAAGACCGAAGCTGAGGCCAAGCTTGCATACATACGCGCCGACCTAGAGAGAGTCGATAAGGAGAAGAAGGAGGGCAAGCTACCAGCCGTCAAAGATCTTGAGGTTGAGCCTGCCTTGACTGCCGACCAGTATGTATCCCAAGCTATCCACGCAGAGTGTCTCTAACATGTGGTGCAGAGTCAGTGAAATCGAGCATAAAATTGGTGCTGGCTTGATCGAGGAGGTCGTTCAGGTTGCCGAAGGTGAGCTTATATTGGTTGAGGAAATGCTAGCTTCAAGAGCGTAAGTCAATGCCTGTGCTTATGGATGAGACAGCGAGCTAACTTTTCTGTAGCTGGGAGGATTTGGAAGAGAAGGCACCAGCTGGCCAGTGGGAGTACTTCGACAGGGGTGACAGAGTATAGCCAGCCTCATTCGTGAATGATGCTTATAATTCGATTGCTCCCAAGCTAGAGTCTACGTTTTCGTCGTTCTTTCTGCGTAACCCAGAAGAGGCTTAACATTGTCTACCACCGTTTGGTTTGCGCGGCTTTTCTAGCAGTTGGTTCCTGCTCTGTCTAGCTCGGAAAGAACAATTCCTGACGGCACAACGATGACCTTTTTTGTTTTTGACGACATCAAAACAGCTGCGTCTCCATGGTCACCATGATGCGACGATCTCCCGGGCAGACAATTTAGGTGTAGATTCCAGATTGCTTGCGCACGGCTGGTGGCGGGCTAAGTTGTGATCCTAAAACGTCAACTGTCGTGTTTAGTATGGCGTGCAACAAGATAGCATTGGTCGGGAAAGATGAACATAAACTGCGAGATGTGTTCGTTGTAGCCTCCCAAGAAATTTACACTCGCGCCTCTATAAGAACATACGCATCATGTGTGTAACAATTTTCCATAATCCCTGACCAGCTCGTCCCATTCCTCCGCAAGCCTAGAAGGGATTGTCCTCAGGAGGGATTTCTCTTACGTAGTATTCTCCAATAATTGGGAACTTGCTCAATATATCGTTCCTGACTTTTGGAATCTCGCCAAAGAAGAACAATGCAAAGATGACTGTAGCCATACCGAATCCTGCTGAGATCGTGCCGTATGTGTATGCCTTGCCTGGCGAAAGCCCCATCAGATTGGGAATGTGTTTAGTTCTAGAAAAAATGTCAAGTCAGCCACAGTCTCTTCCGCAGTTCCTTTGAAGTGTAGTGCAGCTATCATTCGAAGTGTAGGGCCGTCCTAAAGTTTTGAGGTAGATATGACATACTTTGGGCCATAAGGCGAGACATAGGCTTCATATTTTGGCTGTTCGTCCAGAGTTAGTGGTGCGACGGGCAACAAACCAGCAAGTAACACACCTGGGGACCATACACCGTGAGTGGTGTTCTTCCCATGCCCGAGTTACCGGTTCGCGCCTATTACATCCAGTCAATTGTAATTCATCTAAGTCGTCGAGCTGCCGCATACCGTCAGGCGCCTTGCTGTAGGTCTGAACATCGTGTCTGTAGGGATGTGTGCTTGGTAGAGCTGATGCTGGAAGTTCTCCTCTGCTTCAATAGAGCTGATCTCATTCGAGGTTGAATCGTTCCAGAATCGGAAGGTGCAGCGTGCCCCTAGCTTGCAGCAGGAAGGTCTAGTTGTTGCCGTACTACGGCTCTTCAACGGTATGCAAATGCCATCAGGTCCCGAGCTTCCTTCCGCCCTCAGCACAACCAATAATCAAGCTCACGCAGCGACGCGACGAATCGGAGCAGACTCGACAGGACGCCTGACTTACGACTCCCCTGTAACTCGATATCTGCAATCGAGTTTAGTCAAATTCAAGTCTGTCTAGAAGCCATGGCGGACACAACTCGGGCTTCTTCTGGTCCGCAAAGGGAACACGACGTCTTCATGCGCATGCACGATCACGCATGCTCTTCAAACGAATCAGGCTGATGGCATGTGTCAGTCCTGCTGGAAAGGACACAGCGTATTGAGTTGAGTCTCTGACCTCGCAGCATGAGACCCAAGTTGGGTTGCAAGACGTGTCGGTACGCTATCTCACTGTACTCCTGTTTCCGGAGAAAATGTTCGGCTTACTCACTGGTTTTAATAGACTTCGTAAGATACGTTGCGATAAGGATTGGCCGATCTGCCAAAGGTGCATATCTACCGGCCGCACATGTGACGGTTATGGCATCTGGGGTGGCGGTGGAAACACCTATGCTGAACGGTATCGGTCTGCTCGGACTGAAGTCGTTGCTCATGAACCATCTTTCAGGTTATTGGGTATATTGCCGAGTAGCTCATTCGATGCAGACGAGCAGCAGCACTTCGAGTTGTTTTGGCTTCGAACCGCCAGAAAGTTACCTGGAGCCTTCTACTCGGACGACGTAAATGCTGTCCTGTTTCAAACGAGCATCAGCGTACCAGCTGTGAGGCACGCGCTTCTGGCGTTGACCTCGGTCCACAAATATGCAGATGTGTACGTGCGTTATGCATGCTCGAGCGTGTCTACCCAAGAGGAGACTTTCTCCTTGGTTCAGTATAACAAGGCTATCAGACACTTGCAGCAAGGCAGTCTCATAGACAGAGACCCTTCTGTCGGGATATTTCTCGTCTCTGCGTTGTTGTTCATCTTCATAGAATATTTCAGAGGCCGCTATCGAGCTGCTGAACTTCACCTGGAACACGCGCTCAAATTAGTGAGTGATAACGAGGTGTACCTAGAGGAACGAGCCCTGAGCACTTTCAAGCGATTATATGTGCAATATCTCTTGTTTCAACGGCCACGATTTTCCTGGTCGTTTGTGGACAAAACAACAGACATTTCAGAGCTTTCGATTTTTAGCTCTACTCACCAAGCAAGAAGCTACCTGGAGAACCTGCTACTCAGAATCTACGGATCTGGCAGAACAACCCCAATTTCTTCTACAGGTTCATCTTCCCGAACTAGCTGCTCCTTGAAACCATCAACCGCTATAAAGAATGATCTCAGGTCATGGAGCCGAATCTACGACCAAACCATGGCAGATTCACGGACTACGAAGAATCCATACGAACACCTCGCTTATAGGCTACTACAGATTTACCACACAATGGCTGAGATAATGGCATACACAATGGATGAAGAGAACGAGAGCAGATTTGACTGCCACACTCCACATTTCGTCTCTATGCTTCACCAAATATTGGCAGCTAAAATTATCAGCTCGAACGGTGCGCTTCACCTTGGTGCACAAGATGAAGTCTCCCATTCCATTGCAGATATTGGTCTTATTGGTCCCCTCTACTATGTCGCCTTGAAATGCCGTGTGTACCGTCTTCGGTTGCACGCGATCAGGCTGCTCGAGGAATCACCTCACAAAGAAGGTATCTGGGACTCAACGCTGGCCGCGAAAATAGCCACGAAGGTGATGCATCTCGAGCATCTTACACTTTGTACAGAAGATTCCGAAAACGACAGTTTTGACCTGACAGATGTGCCCAATGAAAGCGATATGGAACAGGCATCCGTGCCGGACGCTTGCAGACTACAACAAGTCGAAGTCGTTATCTCTGATGATCCGGCATGCGTCGAATTGCACTGTAGATGGCAAGCCAGCAGTGGAGGTTTTGAGGTCAACATACGATAAACGTGGATCTACGTACAATTTTCATCGGCCAGAGAGGATTACATTGACCCTTTGATCAAACATCAAAGCTCAAATCCATATATTACTCGGAGATGAAACGTTGAACAACAAGAGCACGACAACTCGGATCATGCTAGCAGTTCCATCGGTGCAGTCGAACAGAGAAATAGACCACTTAGAGCGGAGAAAATCAACACGAACCAATCAAACAGAGGCAATACCGAGTCGACCAATTAGCGCTAGGCATATGCTTATAGCACGGTATCCTATCTTGAGACACAACCTCTGCATGCAACCCTGACAGAAAGCCTTACTGAAGGTTTAGAACATTATAGTGGATCGAGTATGCTGGTGGACTGTTTCAGTAGTGAAGATCTGCGTTCAGCTAAGACTCATACTATTGAATCTGGCTGAAAGGTAGGGTATAAAGTCGTGGCCGATTCACACGTCCTTCCCAACGTCTACCATCGATTGCAAAGTTGAGAGCCCTTAAAGACGCAACGCATCGTTTCCATACCATGCCTTCAATCACGCCTCCAGACTTTGACCAAACCACCGAAGCACGCACTGTAGCCGCTGCTTTCCCGGAACACATCCAAAACCGTGTCATCCTCATCACAGGCGTGAACAGAAAAGGCATCGGCTACGCCACCGCCGAAGCATTCACCTCTCAGCAGCCCGCAACGTTAATCCTCGCTGGCCGCTCACCCCCCAAGGTCCAAGAATGCATGGATGCCCTCAAGCAGAACTACCCCAGAGTCAATTACCGCTCACTTATCGTCGATCTCAGCTCCCAACACTCCGTCCGTTCAGCAGCCACTGAAGTCCTGAACTGGAACGACACCCCAACCATCGATCTGCTCGTCAACAACGCAGCAGCGATGTGGATCCCACAACGCACTCTAACCCCCGAAGGCATCGAACTAACCCTAGCCACCAACCACGTCGGGCACTTCCTCCTCACCAACCTCATCATGCCTAAACTCCTCGCCGCAGCCAAGACATCACCGCCAGGCGCAGTCCGCATCGTCAACGTCAGCAGTAGCGCAACCTGGGTGTCTCCGCCACGCTGGAGCGACCTCTCATGGTCAAACCCAGCGCTGGACATCCCTGAGAACGAACGACAGGTCTTTCAGCACATAAAAGCAGCTGGAATCAAGCAGGACGGAGAGGTAGTCAATGAAGCTATGTCTTATATCCCCATCGCAGCATATGCTCACTCAAAGACTGCGAATATCCTGTTCACCGTGGGGCTTAACCAGAGACTTCACGCGCAACATGGTATATTGAGCGTCGCGTTGAATCCGGGAGAAGTACAGACAGAACTAGCTCGGAACTTTGGCGAGCAAGAGTGGTTCTTGGAGGCGAGACAGCGGTTTTTGGTTAAGACGCCTGAAGTGGGTGCGGCTACTAGTGTGGTGGCTGCTTTGGATCCAGGACTGAACGAGGCTTCGAAGGACATTGCTACTGCTTTGTTTCTGTCAGATTGTCGGCCGGGTAAGGCGCCGGCATATGCGGTCGACGCTGAAAATGCGGAGAGGCTGTGGAAGATTACGGAGGATTGGGTTGGGGAGGAGTTTACTTTCTCATGAGCGCGATCACAGGCTTAGAATTGGGCGTCTTGTCTTAGTGTACGAACGTCTGCATAGTCGTGAAGTCCTTGTCCAGGTTAGGTGTTTCGTCCGTGGAACACAGGTCGCCAATAGCGGGCGATAGTGGTTTTCCAATATGTCCATGAAATTTCCGAACAAGAGAAGTAGAAGTTATAGCATGTCCTCGCGCCAACGTGATCTGACCCTTCCCCAACCTTCCTTCTGGTTGACACTCTCCATACCCAAATTGCGCTCGATCCACTCCTGACTTCCCATCTCACTCAGTCGACTCAAGGCTCTTGCAAAAGCGAATCGTTCTTCGTCGCCACTGAAGAGACTACTCTGTTTCATCATACCCATACTCAAGCCGAGGTCGTCCATCATCATGCGCATGACATCGTCGACATCGTTTCCTTCTTCCTTTCTCTTTGTCGCTTCTTTTGCAACTTGCTTCTCGTTGGAGTCAGTAGTGCTAGGCGCGCTATTATTCTTCTCGGTGACTTTGTCGAGAGACTCATCAATCTCATCTTTGGACATGAAGAGTTGCGAAAGAGGAACTGCAGTGGTAAGCACGAGCTTTGCCTGAGACTCGTATACAGCGTCGATAAAGGTGATGAACCTGCGAGCCCAGTCACGTTGGCGATGTGACATTCCGGGAATGTCGGTGATGACGAATGCGTTGAAGTGCCGCATCATTTCAATGTAATCAGCCGCACCAGTAGCTCGGCCAATAAGCTCGTTGAAGGTAAAGCGCGCGCACGAGCCACTCACCAAAGGAATCTGAACGTCGCGGCCCCATACTGAGATAGTGGTAGGATGAGGAGGGTCATTCTTGGGATCGCCGAGAAAGGAAAACCACTTGTCGGCGTGGGTTGAAGCGGCTCGGTCGAGTGGGTGGTGGTAGACTCCTGATGGCGGGCGTGGGAGCTTACGATAGTCGGTCGATGAGTCAAGGTTGATTACTCGAAGTTGACGTTTGAGGAGGTTTATGCAGGGAATAAAGCTCTCACGTTGAATGCCGTTCTTGTAGAGATCGTCTGGATGGCGATTGGAAGTGGTGACCACGACCACACCGTGGGACATGAGAGCTTGCATCAGACGACGCAGAATCATAGCATCAGCCACGTCTGTACACTGAAACTCGTCGAAGCAGAGCAGAGAGGCAGTCTTGGCTATCTCAGCAGCGACAAATGGTACTGCATCGAGGTCGTTACCGTGCTGCAGCCGTACCTTGTGCAGGCGTTTGTGCACATCTTGCATGAAATTGTGGAAGTGTATCCTCGTCTTGTGCTTGATGTTTGGCGGGGTGGTGTCATAGAACAGATCCATAAGCATAGTCTTGCCGCTGCCCACATCACCAAACATGTACAAGCCCTTGGGCAAATTCTCAGACAATTCAAGAGAAGGACCTTCCTTCTTAGCTCGGCCGAACAGACTAGCGAAGAAGGAATTGGAGGGGGGTTGTAGTTCCTCTATCGTGGGTGGTTTGACCTCGGGAGGATTGTATTCAGCAAGGGTTTCGTACAGATCTTGCAGGTTCTCGATAATAGCTGATAGTGGTCAGTGCCAGGACTATGCATTGCTTTGCTGGTATCTACTTCTTTGGTGTTCATCCTCCCTCAATCTGCCATTATGTACGCGCTCATTATATTCCTTCAGAGGACCGTAGTCCTCTCGGTCAACGATAGTTGCGAACCCTCGGCAGCGCTGCAGACATGGCTGAGCAGCCTGCTGGCCATGAGCATGTTGCTTCTGTCGACGTTGCGCGAGCGTTACAGTTGAACTCAGCCTCTGTTGTGGTCGTCTTGAGGGTTTGTTGCAGCTTGGGTCAGGTTGTCGGTGCTTAGTGAGGGGAGCTTGGTCAGCAACGAGGACTCGCCTGAGATATGCTTGGAATGCGTTGTGGATGGGTGGTGGTGGTCGCTTCATTGCTATGTGTGTCTAGATTCGTTTTGTGCATAGCACTGGATACTGATCATAGTATGTGTATGCTCGAACGAAACAGCAAGCATTGGTACTCCCATTGTTACTGCTTGCTCGTGGCGGAGCTTCTCCGATCCCAGTCGCACGTTGCTGCATGGCCAAGCGAGGCACCTAAATTATTTGCCGATTTTCAGAATAGTGCCTCAGGCTAACAACGTGGGAAGCCCATGCAATCGCTCTATGAGGACTGTGGTCTTCGTGCTTGTCTCTTGTGGCAGGGTACAGTACTATGAAGACTTGCGAGGACTTCGATGAAGAGGCTTAGATAGCGGGATGAACAGCAGCGTGGTCAATGACACTGTCATTCTATCACACGAGAAAATGTGGAAACTCGGTAAAGGACATAAAGATACACTTTCGGAAAGAGGGTGGTCCACATTGTTGTCGAGCGTAGTTTAATTAGAAAGGACGACCTTCAGCTGCCGGCCTTGTCCTTCGCGACAGCTCCGCGGGTCTGCGACATTGTACACTGAACCGCAAAACTCCCATTCGCCTATGCGGACGAAGGCGGTGAGATAGATACAGAGAAAAGGGTTGGAACATCGAGCTGTTAATAGCTACAATCACGCCTAAGATTGACATTGGCCACGCTCAATCAGCACCATATCAACATGTCTAGCCGAAACAATTCTTTTCTTGAGGTCGAAGGCTGTCATGTCTTCATCACAGGTGCTGCTGGTGGTATAGGTACTGCCACTATGAAAGAATTTTTAGGTAGGGCAGTTTAAGATGAGGTCCGCTAATGTAAGCTGAGACGTGAAATTAGTAAATGGCTGCAAAGTCACTGCTTTCGATAGGAAGAATGTAAGTGAATCGGTGTTGGAGGGTGATACAGGTAATAACAACAAGAACCTGTACTTTGTCAGGGGCGACCTCAAAGACGAAGCATCTATCGAGGCAGCCTTTCAGAAGGCAAGAGCAAAGTTTGGCCCTGTGCAGATCCTCATCGCGAACGCAGGCATCACTGACGAGAGTGTACACACTCCAATATGGGACTTGACTGCGGATCGTTGGGACGAAGTCAACAACAATAATGTTAGGGGCACATTTCTTACAATCAAGCATTTTTTAAAGCAAGTCAAGAATGCACAAGATGTTTCTGGTCAGGAACTGCACAATGTTTCCATTGTCGTTACAGGCTCCGAAACCGGAGTTTTTGGGCAGGAGTTGCATGCTGAATATGCGACAGGAAAGGCTGGCCTGCAGTACGGTTTGGTCAAGACGGTCAAGAATGAAATCATCCGACTGAATGCAAAAGGACGGATCAATGCCGTCGCTCCAGGCTGGGTAGATACGCCACTTATTGGGGACAGACTGCACGAGCCCAAAGAAATGTGGGCTGAGGCACAGGCGACCGTAGCGTTGAAGAAGATCGCCCGTCCAGAAGATGTCGCCTGTTGCATGGCGTTTCTAGCTTCCCATAGAACGGCTGGGCACATATCTGGACAATGTATATCCGTCGATGGTGGCCAGGAGGGTCGTCTATTGTGGCGGGAAGAACAAATTCTTGGAAGTGATCACCAGCTTTCGACAACCACATCGATTCCGAGGCAGCTAAAAGCACCAACAAGGAAGCGACGTCTCAGGATATGTCTATCAGTCGACTTCGACGCGCTTAGTGGCTATTTGGGAACCGGGCACGACCCCCATAATGGTATGTCTGATTACTCGGCTGGTGTATTCAGTGCCAACGTTGGAGTGGACAGACTGCTCAAGGTACTCGCCAAGCACGGCATATCTGACAAGCTCACTTGGTTCCTGCCTGGCCACAGCATCGAAACATTTCCAGAGCAAACTGCTGCTATTGTCGCTAGTGGTGCCGAAATTGGTCTTCACGGCTACAGTCATGAAGGAGCATACGCGATGACTGTGGATCAAGAGAAGGACGTACTGGAGAAGTGTATAGCGCTGGCGGCAAAACTGAAGAAGGGTAAGAAGCCTGTCGGCTATCGTGCTCCACTGTATCAGATCCGTGAAACCACAGTCAAACTGCTTCAAGAGCATGACTTTCTATACGACAGCAGCATGACCGCGCACGATGCTCTGCCCTATTTTCTTCCCAGACCATTTCCTGATGAGCAGCCGCACGTTCCTGACTATACTCAGCCAGCAAAGACTTGGATGAAGCCTACCAAAATACCACAACAGCCAAAATTCGGCACGCAAGAAGCGAAGACTGCCATGGTCGAAATACCAGGTAGCTGGTATACTGAAGATCTGACACCATTAGGATTCTACCCTTACCTTGCCTCTACACAGGGTTATGTCAGTGTCGATGTGGTTGAGAAAATATGGTTGGACAGACTTGAATGGTTATGGGAGAACGAGAGTTGGCTTGATGAAGACCCTGGTAGGGACTATGGAAGTATCTATCCCCTCATCTGGCATCCAGAAGGCACTGGTCGTGCCCATATTATCGGCATGATTGACAAGTTTATTGGCAAACTGGTGTCGAGAGCCGCAGCAGCTGGACCTGGCGAGATCACATTCGAGACAATGGAATCGGTAGCAACCAGCTGGAAAAGCAGATAGCTGCTAAGCTTGATAGAACGTCTTAAGTCACAGAATGATTTTGTATAGTGTGCTGTACTGAGAAGAGGCTCATGTGCTTGTCCTCTTTGAGACGGTAGTTGTAAATCGGCTACTTGGGCAGATGATGTCAGCCAGCATTCTTGTCCCAAGTACGCATGTCCCGGATGATCCATTGATAAACACGCTGCCTAGGAAGTTTCCAAGCACTGGAGCGAATACCAGCTTCAAAAACCTGTGAGACGCGTCACCTTGTAGGCAAGACTCGTCGCAGTATCACTTGGAAAGAAATGAGAGTTCTTACGCCTCCTCGTGCACCCAACGTTTCACAGGAGAAGAGGCATGCTTTTCGTTTGCTTCCTCGATTGAGCTGACTATAGACGATCAGCTTGACATTAATACAGGGATACTCACATTCAATGAGCCAAAAAATACGGCCTTCGCCGTTGTCGACCAAGTCTTTCACTCGCTATGAGCCTGCAAGCTCACCAGTCTCGTCAACCAGAAGCCGTGCCAGTACCATAGCATCCCCAACCTTCACAAGGAAATCGTTGGATGAAGAAAGGCAAGATGTGTTTAACAAGAAACAGGCTGACGATGACGATGACTCGCTGTCCAAGCCGGAGAAGGTCGAGGACTTGTCCGACCAACTCGATGAGCTCCCTATCGAGCTAGTTAGCTTGATAGATAGGTAGGCAGACCGGACTGCAAGGATCGAATTATGCTAACGTAATTCAGATTCATCGAGTCTTTGGGTACTAAGGCTTTCTCTGAGCCACCAAGAATTGAACAGATCGCGGACCTGTTCCAAGAATTTTATATACGGGCATCCGCAAGCATTTCTATCCACATAGCCTCACTACGATCGAAGCTGAATCGGGCAGCCTCTCCCACCCCTGCAAAGTTATCCGCACGCTCGAGAACCCTGTCTTACAAGAAGAGCACCGACTCCCTAGCACCTCCCGGTCGTGATGGCTCTCAGCAAATGCTTACAGCCACAGAGGTGGCCGAGAAGCGTAAGCAACGCAGAATGCTCGATTACAAAAAGCTGTTGCTAGAGGAGGCCGTCGAGAAAAGAGCCTGTGCAACAATATACGATAAGCTTTGGAGGCACAAGAGCACTCTCGATGAGGTAGAGGACGAGAAATTGAGGTCCAAGACCGCCGCACTAGCTCTGGTAGGCATTGGTCTGAAGGATCTCGGTATTGAGCTTGACGAGAAGACCGGGAAAACAGTCGAGGACATTCAAGAAGCGTTAACCCCAGCAAGAGAAGGTCTAATGAAGATGAACGACGAACACTACCCACTGGGCAAACTGGAGCATCTCACAAGTGCACACAAAGTCATAGTAGATACTCTCTACGCTGTTCACGGTTCCTCATCCTCAGCCGACGAAATCCTCCCAACTCTGATCTATACCCTCATAACTGCGCCTGTGGAAGGTATCAACATCATTAGCAATCTGAAGTTCATACAACGTTTCCGAGCAAGTTTGAAAATAGACGGAGAAGCTGCTTACTGCATGACCAACTTGGAGGCTGCGATCGGCTTTCTGGAGGACGTGGATCTGTCGTCTTTGCGCGCTGATGAAGCCCCTGAAGGCCCAAAGAAGATCCCCTCTGGTCAGGAGACTCCTGCAATCGAAAAACCCGAACCTTTCCCAAGCTCGCCTGAGTCGGTCGCACCTGCGATAGTTGCTACATCAATGGAGTCAGTCTCAGCATCTGACAGATCTACACCACAGGATAAGTCGACAAAGCCTCTAATTCGACCTCCACCTTCACCAAGACATCAGAGAACTATATCCGATCTGCTAAAGCCAGTACAGAACGCCAATGAAGCTGTACGGGCTACTGCACGAGAAGGACTAGATAACATATCCACCACACTGGACAATAGCATGAAGTTTCTCTTTGGCAGACTGAGGGAACAGGCCGCTGATCCAGCTCGAGCTGAAGACTTGACAGTGCCTAAGACTTTGGACGAGGCCAGACAGCTGGTCAGCAAACCACCTACTCCAGTCCTCGGTGACGATGGTACAGCAGTCAGCGAAACTAGCTCTATAGCCGACGTTACTGAGAGTCCGGACGGCTCAGAGAAAGAGAAGCTCAAAATACCGAGTGAGGACAAATTGCTTGGATTGTTTGGTGGCAAACGTGCCGCATCAAATCCGATCAGGGATCGCAGCATCGACCGGGAGAGCTTGCGGAGCAATTCTAGCACGAAGAAGGTGGCATTTGCTGCGGAAGACGCAAGTGCAGATGCCACTCCACCAAAAACGACCGCAACACCGTCACCTGCCACGAATCCGCTCGATGCAATGAAGAATCTGAACCCACTGGGCCACGTGGGTAATGCCTTCAATGCCTTTGGCAGTACTTTCAAAGGTTTTGGTCGACCAGCACCAGCACCTTCGCCACCTCAGGCTGTCGTAGCAGGCAGAAAGGACGTGAAGCCCGCGATGTCGTCGGTCGACGGTTCTGCCACGACGCCAGATGCAGAGTCAAAACTCGCCATATTCATGGATAAACCCAAGAAACTTGCTGCGAAGATCAAGTCTGTGCCACCGCCTATTCAAAAATTTGTGGAGATCGAGGATGCTGAAGATCTGCAGCTTAAAGACATTCCCAAATTATTGGCTGATTATCAACGATTGGCTTTGTTGTTGAACGAGCTAGCCTCGCAGAATCCTGAGGCCTAGCAATACCAAGACATAACAGATCATGCAGATTTACTCATATCTTGTAGAGATCAATCATCTACCAAGTATTTACACCTCGAAGTGCACATGCCGTAACACACCATATAATACAGAAAGTCGTACAGTACATAGCGCAAAGTTCAGGGTGTAATCACCAAATGGTCAACATCGTCAGCCAAAATCGAAGTCACAAGGTCGGATGAGGCCGATGGCCGTGCTAGCCTTCGGTTACATCCCGGCCAAAGATGTACACCTTGGCGCATGTCGATTCGACGACTCTTCACCCCATGATTACTCACCAGTGTGACATGGACGACATACCGAAGATACAAGTAGCTCGTACGTGGTCATAACCGCAGCTTTGTCAATCAACGTGTCTTCGGAAACCGTGAGAGCTCGCCGATTGCGCATTCTCGTGCAGTCACCAGCTTGAACCTTGTGGTACCTAGCTATCCTAAGATTCCATTTCACATCAAAAGGTCAGAGACTGTCAACTGATTGTTCGGCCGACCTATGGCTGTAGTGATATGCACCACAAGAGTAGCTGTAAGCCAACCAATTGTATCAATACTACGGCTTCCAACTTCTACACCATTAGTCCCATTCCGGCATTATCAGACCTCACAACCACGTCCATGCACCAAAAACATCCTTCCTCTGAAACACTTGAGAAGCGTTACGACCCACACTCAACGACTGGCACAACGTTCAATTTTGTCTGTATATTCTCATCACCGTTCTCCTGGTAAGATGGCATTCTCTACAAGTACCATACCAGTAACCTGTCGACTATCGAAACCTCTTCCTTCAGGTACCATTGACTCTCATATGCACATAATCCCTCCTAACTTTGAGAAATTCCCTGTTCTGCCTACAGCACAATACAAGCCAACTCCTCATACCTTAGCAGATGCCGAGCGCTTCTACCGCCAGGACTCTGGTCTAGGTATAGCCACGCCTCGCCTTGTTCTGACACAAGTAAGCGTCTACGGGCACGATAACTCTGCCCTGCTCGATAGTGTGGCAAAACTTGGATCGAATGCTCGGGGAGTGATCGAATGTGACCCAAACAGCATCACAGTGGACGATTTAGAATCCTGGTGGAGTCAGGGTGTCCGAGGTGTAAGGATAAATCTTGTCAGTGTAGGACGTTCGATGACCGAGGACGAACTTCGAGAGACTCTTCAAGCATATGTCGACAAGCTTGCGCGGCATGAGTTGAGAGCTGACAAGAAATGGGTGGTCGAAATGTTCCTACCCTTAAAAATGATACCACTCTTAGCCAACGTTCTGCCTGATATTCGCAATGGCAGGCAAGTACGTTGGTGCCTTGACCATTTCGGTGGCCTGAAGATGGCATCTGATGCAGCCAATTTCGGTCCCAGTGATGATCCGCACACAATACCTGGGTTCACCGAGCTGGTCAGGGTGATAAGCGATAAAGCCATGCCAGAGGTCTATCTGAAAATCTCGGCTCCATATCGAATCGACCCAGAGTACCCGTCATCCAAAGCTCTCAAAAAGCTTGATCGAATTGGGATGGAGTTAGTCGCTAAAGCAGAGGACAGGCTGATGTGGGCAAGTGATTGGCCTCATACCAGGTTCGAGAACATTGACAGTAAACCTTTCGTCGAAAGTTGTTATTCATGGTGTGGAGAAGGACAAGAGGGTGAAGAGAGACGATTGAAGCTGTTCAGACTGAACTCAGAGTTGTTGTGGGATATGGCCTCAAGCTAGGCTATTTGTGCTCATTTCCTGCATTGCTACCAAACTATGAGCCATCAGAGCAGAGTACTGTGTGGTCTTCGCGAGTCACACGCTACGCTCGAAGAAGGCAATATGCTAGATGGAGACTGGCGAGCACAATTTGGGCGAACGAGAAGTCCTCACTTCCGTTGGTTCTTCACCGATACACCGAAGCTAGAGCATAATGCTTCTTTTGGAATAGCCTGGATGAGTTGCCAAGCCCTGAGCTGTTTTGCACGAGACCCAATGCCGAAGCTACGAGGAAAGGTATAAGATGACCAGCCAGGCCTGCATGCTATCAGGATTGAAAAACATGGACAGAAAGACGACCGTCGAATGAAGAGGGAGTCCAATCACACCTTCATTTATTTAGCAGACTCCAGAGCTCATTGCAACCCATCCCTTCGGAGAACATTGTACTGCCCTATACACCACCATGGCATCCAAATCTATTTCGATCGGTGTTCTTCTTCATCCAGTTCAAGCACTCGATATCGTCGGGCCGCTCGACATTCTCTCCACTGTCAGTCACGAAGCACTTTCGGGCTATGGACCTCCAGGTTTAGCGGACAGGCTGAACCCTCCTCGTATTCAGTTTCACTACATAGGTCCGACAAAGGAACCTGCTCTTTTGACAGCCAACATCCGTATGGTGCCCAACTGCACTATCGCCGACTGTCCCAAGCTTGATGTGTTGCTCATTGGCGGGCCCATGCCAGATTATGCCAAAAACCTGCCACAAGATATCAACGAGTTTCTTTTGGCTAAAAGCAAAGAGGTATCGATTATCTTGACGACCTGCACAGGTGCTTTAGTCCTTGCAGCAACTGGTGTCTTAGATGGACTCGAAGCAACTGTGAACCATATGGCGATTGACATGAAGCTCGCAAGTGAAATAGCACCTAGAACTAAATGGGACCGAACTCGTTACTGGGTAGTCGCCGAAAAGGACGGTACCAAGATCTGGACGGCTGCAGGTGCTGGAGCGGGCATGGACATGACTGCACAATGGGTCAGGGAGAGCTTTGAACACGGTCCGGAACTTATAGATTTCGCAACTCAAGGTTTGGAATGGCAACCTAGAGATGTGAAGGGCAAGCCAATGAAGTATGTCAATGGTCGAGGAGAGACTATTGAAGCGTAAAGAACAATGGCATCCTTGCCTCCGGTCTATCAATCCAATTACCTAGTATAAACTCGCCTCCTAGTATCTGGTAGCAAGCATGCTACGAATCTGTGTTTCGCCGAGGAATGTTTCGGTACATAAACAACATTAAGCATTTTCTAACATAAGTAACCTTTCCCACTACTGAGATGTGGACGCACTGATCGACAGATTTGGAGTAATATTTTTCCACAAGCAATAGGATCATGCAAGGCCGAGCCCGTACGGTTACAGCCTGCCAATTAGCAACAGCCCTGAGCCCATGATCACCTCACGATTGGTTGTTTTGAACATGTTGAGATAGGAGTTTGATGTGCTGGGCTAATAGTGCATTCTGACGTAAGTCGTGGATGATAACCATTCTGCAAATTTTATCTTTCTTATGTATCATCTATTCATGTCTCATATCGTCTCTCAAAAGTAGTCCGTAGAGGAGTTTCCAGCGTTAACAGCCATATGCTGAGCTTATCTGTACACCATGTCGCTCCTTATCCACCGAAATCCGCCATTCTTGCGCCGTAGGGCAAACTCAGCGGCTGCGATCACCGTCGAAAATGTCAAAGCCGCAGCAAATCGCCTGGAAACTGTGCTGTTTGAGGATCTCCCAGAATGGCTTCAGGACAACGAACACATCAGATCGGGATACCGGCGACCAATGAACTCAACTTTGGCATGCGTTAGATCTTGTGCAATGTTACATAACGAGACGCTGAATATTTACACTCATCTCATTCCTGCCGCGGCTCTGGCCATCTTCCAAGTCTACATACAGATCAAGATCACACAATACTTCCCGGAGGCCTCTACTCTGGACCGGATCGTCATTGGAGCGAACGTAATCGCTGCCATAGTCACCTTCGGCCTTTCTGCTTCCTACCATACTCTGAATAGCCACTCGCCTCAGATTTCGTCCTTGTGGCTTCGAATAGACTATGTTGGAATATTGACCTTGATTCTGGGTTCTTTCTTTTCTGGAATTTATGTGGGGTTTTATTGCTTGCCTACACCACGAACCATTCACTGGTGTATGATAACTACCCTGAGCTTCGGCACGGCCTTGCTTGTGCTTCACCCTAAACTGCAGGAACACAAATATCGCGCCCTGAAAGCTTATGCATTCGTCGCGACGGCATTGACCGGCTTTGCTCCCATCGGCCATGGTCTCTACCTCTACGGCTGGCATGAGATGTGGATTAGATCGGGCATGCCGTATTACCTGCTAGAAGGTGTCATATATGGTGCTGGAGCGACGGTGTTCATTACGAGGTTTCCTGAATCAATCTGGCCTGGGTATTTTGACATTTGGTGGTCTTCTCATCAAATTTGGCATTTACTAGTGGTACTTGCAGCTGCCACACACATGTATGGTGTGTGGCAGGCATTCGCATGGAACTACGAACACCTAGGGACTTGTCCAGCGAACTTCTCATGAAGCTCGCAGCACACAAACACACCGTAGAATTCTGAAGTTGTTGTCCACATCATGGTAATTAAGCCGTACCTTCTCAATTTGGCGTTGACGCGCTAGAACGTAGCTGCCAAGAAGACGCGTTTTCTCGCGCGAAGATCTGAACGAGGCTTTACATTTCTCTTCCTTCATTTGTATCCCATGATAGTCAGAATCATCATGGTAACACCATGGCTCTGGCAAATGGAGCGTCGAACGCTCGAGACTTCCAACCTCCCCCGTCTTCAATGCTCGCAACCCATGTCGTAAACAGTCGCGGTCCTCCAAGGCTAAATGCACACGACTTTGCTGAGCTTCTCCAAGAGTCACTGAGCACGAATGAGAAAGGCGAATCTAACATAGGCACTGATGCTGAGGTCAATCGCAAGCTGCTCAATGTCGTGCTCTCGATCGGTGTCCAGCCACTAATTGAACCTCAGACAGATGATCCATTTCGAAGACGCATCGATCAAGGTAGGAACGCAAACCAGCTGAAAGACTGCCTAGATGTGCTCAATTTGACTCTTCAACGTACACCCGAGATTGTCTTCCAACATGCTGGTTCAAACACGCACGAGACTGAAAATGCACGACCTATTCACATCGTACTCCTCGCCGCGGCAGTCAAGCTAGTACTGCAATCGCAGAAGGTGGACCTGTCGAAGAAGTGTGCCGATATACTACAGGCATGCTTAAACGCTGATAAGAATTGCGCTTGCGGCTCTTGTGGCACCATCGTTGATTGCTATAGAGAGATTATAGCTGGTTAGTTGTCTTCACTTGCATTCCGATGTCATCTGACCTACAATAGTACTTGCAAAGAGGGCCTCGCTAGCCGTTCTGACACCAAAGTCTTCCTCGGAGACCTCCCTACCGAAAGATGATACTCTTGCGCATGCCTCGCTCCCGTGTAGATTGTTCTTTACTCGGCTGAATGTTCTGCGTCAACAGGACTTTGTTTCCGCTGGCATCTTCATTGTCCAGGCTTTGCTTCACCAGCAGCTTCCCCGAATAGTCACACTGCAGCTAAAGAAGCATCTCAGGCAGTTTGAAGTGGCTATACAGAGTCCACGCCCAAGTGAGAACAGTGATCACGATATTGAGGTTGATTTTTGCTGTACCTTATTGTGTCGAACTCATACGCTGACATTGGTAGGGCTTGAAGTCAAGATTGGCGGGCCTTGCGTTGTCCTCTCACCTCGGTCTGACAGACGACAAAGTTGAAGCCGAACACGATTTTCTAGATAGCCCTCGCTTGCGTAAGCGCCCTCGCCTTAGTACAGATCAACAGGATAACGCCGAATCCGACACAGATCTAGTCGCCTCGATTGCATTCGTCGTCACAAGACAGCTTACCGGCCATAGCGTTGCTGATTTCGACAGTGTCGCGGCAAATTGCTCCTCAAACTTCAGACGGCTGTCTGAACTCAAGCAAGCTGAAGCTGTGCAGTTATTGGGCACCAGTGCCTGTCAATTGGCACGGGACTCGAGGTCGACGACTTGTCATTTCTGCGACACCAGGCTTCCACAGCCACATCATGGTGCACACTCAACCGAGGTTGAGAAGATAATTGATACGCTAGAAGCATTACAACCACATCTCGAGCGTGGGAACACCACGCGTCTGGCAGCTTTGGAAGCTTATCGAAGAGTGCTTAATCATCTTGCAAGCTCTCCGCGTCTCGACCTTACACGATCAGTTGCAGGCAGGTTCGGCTTAAACATGCTTCGCAGTTCAAGTCGTGACGCAAGGATCAAAGCAGTAAACTTACTGCAGGTCTTCCTTCGCGAGCTTCCGAACGACGCGGAGGCCATAACGCGAAGCAATCGTGTTGCCATGCTAGAGTATCTACAAACTCTGTGGCAAAGCGGTCGTCTGGTTGCTCAAGAAGGTGTTGTACTGGCTTTGTTCAGACTTGCGACCTTTGTAGGCGATGAAGAGCTTAACATCGTATTACTCCGCCTTATTGAGTATCTGGGCCATCCAAACGCCTACATCGCAGGCTTAATTGCTGCAGAGTTTGTACAGCTAGCCCAAGCACTCCAAACCAGCATGCAGGGACTGCTTCGGCCTTTCTGGAGAACAATCAGTGTGGTTATTGTCAAACACATCACGTCACGACCTGCTGTTGCACAGCAAGTGTGCGAGTTACTAGGTATGAACATTACAGGCCTGTTACCAATCATGGAGGAGGACGCTGTTCCATATCTAGTTGTAACCGGACAGGTTGATGCCCTTCAGAAGATAGCTTCTTCCAACAATTCACCTATGAATGCCTTTGAGCTGTGCGTCCAGCCAAACATCTTGCCAAAAGTCCTCGCGGCGCTTCTCGCGCAAGGCTACGCCGAGCCACAAGACAAAATACTGGAAATGCTTGAGAAAGTCTCCGAGGACTTCGGTGAGCAGAAGCTCGCCACCTGGCTTGGTATCAACCACAGTAAGATCGCATGCGAGCTGCTCAAATTGGCAGGCGATGAAGGGCATGGTAAGAGTATCAAGGCCCTTCCAGGATTGCAATTGCTTGCTCAGCTGGCATACCGGAAATCCCCAGGTGCAAACGCCGGCCGCCGCAGCGACTGGATACCATCCTTTCTGGAAACCAATGCTTGGGAGATCGTCACCATCTTCACCTCTGTCTTTGCCGATTCTGTTACCCGAGAAAAGAACGTAGAACGACGAAGGTGCTTGATGGCTTTGTGTGAGGTTGCAACACTCGCAAAAGGACGTGTTAGCTTTGTGATACCTTCCATCTGTGCTTGTCTACGCTCAGCCATGAACGATGACGCCTTGCGTGACGCGGCATATTTGGCTTGGAGTCACATGGCTCTTGGGCTCGAGAAGGAGGAAATAGGTGATCTACTCGATCAAACCTTTTCAATCACAATCAAACATTGGCCGGACCTTAAAAGTAATACCAGACGTGTGGGACAATCCGTGATCATACACCTTATCACAAAACAGCGAGCATATGTCCAGGAATGGATCGACCTCCTGCCCTCCCTGAAATCTATACCAGCTCTCGCTACAGCCGAGAAAGAGCTCCAAGGAATGAGACAACCAAAGGACGAGATGAGCCAGCTACAGAGTTTCATCCCACGACTCAAGCACGAGACTATGGTTGTTGCCGAGTGCGCTATGGCCGAGCTTGTAGAAGTGCTTCGAGCTAAAAGTGATTTTGTTCAGAGATCGTTGATGCGCGAGCAGCCTGACCCTGTCTTTGCGGAGTTGATACGTGCCATACTGGATTGTCAAGTGAGATTCGAACATGATAGAGAGGTCGTTCTGTACGCTTCGCAGTGCCTCGGAGCCATGGGTCGAGTTGACACGAGTCGCGTCGAGCTAGCACGTGAGAAACTGACACTGACTGTTGTGACGAACTTTGCAATAGCTGCAGAAACTACGGATTTCCTCATGTTCTTCATGGAACGGGTAGTTGTCAAAGAGTACCTTTCAGCTTCCAGTCTGCGATCTAAAAATTTCCTAGGCTGGGCTCTGCAGGAACTGTTACTTCTTTGCGAGATAACACCGGAAATAGCAGCCAGGACTCGTGTCCAAGGGGCTAGTGGCAGAGACCGCCAATGGCTGAACCTTGCTGAAGAGACACGCCTAATCCTAACACCATTTCTCACTTCTAAATTCTTAGCTCCTGGAAAGCGTGTCACAGAGCCACCCGAATATCCGATCTTCAAGCCGAATTTGCCTTTCGAAACCTGGTTGACTGCTCTGACCCTGGATCTGCTCACGAAAGGTCCTGCTCAAAATGTGAACTTCGTCTTCGACGTCTGCTGGAAGATAGTGCATTTCAGCCGTGGGGTAGCTATCGCTTCTTTCTTGTTGCCCTATGCAGCTCTGAACTTACTACTCAACGGCACAGCAAAGGAGATCAAGGATTTTCAAGGAGAGATTTTGTGCATCCTTGGGCAGCCCTATCATGATATGGACAGCACGAACCAGGAGACTGTGCGTCAATGTAGTCAAAGTGTATTCGATATACTGGACTACATGTCGACATGGTTGCAGAGCAAGAGGAAATGGTTTGCAGGAGCTCAGAGCCGAGCTGAGCGTGGGCTGCGAGATATTCTGCTAGATACAGCAGTGCCTCACATTGAAGCAGTAGATTCATTGCTAAGGTCTATTCCGCCAGACATGATTACACAACGATCTATCGAGTGCAGGTCATATGCACGAGCATTACTTCACTGGGAAGAACACATTCATGCCACGAAGGATCCATCTGACGACGACTATCGCAGACTACAAGACATCTACGCACAGATCGACGAGCCTGATGGTATCGACGGTATATCATCGTGCATGCGTGTCCTCAATGTCGAGTCGCAAATCCTGGAGCACAGAAAAGCTGGACGTTGGCAGGCTGCACAGAATTGGTATGAGATGCAGATGACAGAGTCTCCTAACGACGGTGATGTCCGGGTCAACCTGCTCCATGCTTTGAAAGAGTCCGGTCAGTACGATGTGTTATTGCATCATTTCAATGGTATTAGAGAGAAGGACGCCTCAATCGAGTCAAGACTGCTACCTTTCGCCGCTGAAGCTGCTTGGGCAACGGCTCAGTTCGACACACTAAGACATTTAGTTGACCTTGGCAAGAACGACGATTTCAATCTTCACCTTGGGTCCAAGCTAGCTGCGTTAAGCTCATCAAGTGACCGAACAGTAGATGGCGCGTTGTGGTTCAATTCTACGAAGGGTCTTTCCTTGAACACAACGTCAACAATTGCTGCTAGCAGCGACATGATACTTAGGGCTCATGTCGTGGAGGATCTCCGTCTCATGACATGCGCTACCCCCGAGACAAAGACAAAAGTTATCGAAGCCCTGGATAGACGTCTGGATATACTTGGAACCGATCTGAATGCGAAACACTACGTTTTGAACGTCCATAGAGCCATCATGCATTTGAGGAAAGATGTTTTCGACAACAACGACATGGCATCTTCATGGCTCACTACTGCTAAGCTCGCTCGAAAGGCTCGTTTGCCTAATCAGGCATTTGATGCCGCTATGCGAGCGTCGTCGCTAGGCAGCCAGTCCGTGATCATTGAGCAGTCGAAATTGATGTGGCTAGAGGGCCGCCCTCGTAAAGCAATCAAAACTCTGGAGAAGGCGATTGAATCAGGGGCTTTCAATGCGAGTACTTACCTGGCTAACAGAGACCCAACACTCTCTCGTTCTGAAACGCAAGAGCAAAACGACATGACAGCTAAAGCGCATGTTCTCCTAGGAAAGTGGCTTGATCAAGCTGGTCAGACCCAATCAGACGTCATTATCAAGACCTTCAGAAAGTCAACGGAACAGAACAGAACGTGGGAGCGCGGCTGGTACCATCTAGGGCGACATTACAACAAGATCCTGGAATCAGAGCGACAAAAACCGCCTGGTAAGGAGAGCCAGCAGTTTCTAACAGGTGAGGCAGCAAGGGTTGTCATTGACAACTTTCTACGTGCGTTAGCTTGTGGCAACAAATACCTCTTCCAGACTCTACCAAAAATGCTTACGTTGTGGCTGGAACTGGTTTCACGACCTGAGCTCGAGCACGATGCCAGAAGGGGAAACGTCAAATTTCACGAACACCTCGCTGCGCAACGCAAGCGAATCATCACCGAGGTGAACGCATACGTGAAAAAGTACGTTGAACGATTTCAACCCGTGGCGTTGTATACCATTTTGCCTCAGCTTGTTGCTCGAATAACGTATCAGAATCAGGCGATTCACGAAATTTTGCAGAACATGATTGCAAAGGTTGTCTACAGTTTTCCACAACAAGCCTTGTGGACATTGATGGCAGTGACAAAGTCAATCGATAAAACAAGAGCTCAAAGAGGACTTCAAGTCATCAACAAGGTGGTTGACATACAGAAAAAGGTTACGAAGAACGCATCAAGTACCGAACTACGTGCGATGATCTCAAATGCCCAACGCTTTACAGACGAGCTCCTCAGAGTGGCTGATTACCAGATTGAGGGCAAAGTCAGCAAGATCAGCCTTGCTAGAGATCTTGGTTTTAACCATAAAGTCGCACCATCGAAGTTAGTGGTACCAGCAGAATCGTGTCTCATTCCTAACATCCCCACGACCATGGATCCTGCAAATATGAAAGCATTCCGTGCCTTCCCGAACGAGCCAGTGACAATCTCGTCATTTGTGGACGACGCGCTGGTCCTATCATCACTCCAGAAACCACGAAAGATGATTGTTAGAGGATCTGATGGACATTCATATGCTATTCTTGCGAAACCGAAAGATGACCTACGCAAGGATCAACGATTGATGGAATTTGACACCATGATTAATCGGTTCCTAAAGCGCGACATTGACGCGGCAAAACGAAGACTGTACATCAGAACTTATGCAGTAATCCCTCTCAACGAGGAATGTGGTGTCATTGAGTGGGTTAACAGCCTCAAAACAATGAGAGATGTGCTCTTGAAGCTCTATCGCGAACGCAACGTCGCCATTGATTATGGGAAGTTGAGAACCACCCTCGACGATATTTGCGCCACCTCAACAGACAAAGCAAAGGATTTCACCGATCGAGTCTTGCCCTTTTTCATGCCCGTCCTTCGCTACTGGTTTGTCGAAACATTCCCCGACCCAAGTACATGGCTCAACGCACGAATACGCTACACACGTTCCGCAGCCGTCATGTCCATAGTTGGACATATACTCGGTCTCGGCGACCGTCACGGTGAAAACATCCTTTTCGAAGAAGACAACGGCGGCGTCATGCACGTCGACTTCAATTGCCTCTTCGATAAAGGCCTCACATTCGACAAACCCGAATGCGTTCCCTTCCGCCTCACCCACAACATGATCGACGCATTCGGCACCTTTGGCGTCGAAGGTCCCTTCCGCCGCTCCTGCGAAGTCACGATGCAACTCCTGCGGAACAACGAAGATGGCCTAATGACCATCCTCGAGACATTCCTACACGATCCTACCACCGATTTTCAGACTGCGGGCAAGAGACGAAAGGGCCGAGATCCTGACGGCTTGGTCCCGGATACTGCTGAGAAAATGCTCGAGGGCGTAAAGGGGAAGCTTCGGGGAATGCTGGTGGGAGAGTCTGTGCCGCTGAGTGTGGGTGGATATGTAGAGGCGACGATCAAGCAGGCGGCTGATCGGGAAAATCTGGCGAGGATGTATATTGGGTGGTGTGCTTTTTTGTAAGGAAATGAACGTCGTCGGTTGCTAGTGGACAATGTATCGTTATGGATCCGGAATTTAGTTCGTGATAGCGACATTAAAGTTTAAACGGGATTCGCTTGCTTGCCTGCTTACTTACAACTAAAACGCCTTTTGGATAACGAGAAACGATATATACCTCCCCACATCATTAAACTGCGTATCTACTCCCTCTCCAAACCCGCACCCCTCCCAGGCGAATTCCTCCCAGCAGGACTCCAGCTCTTCCTCGACTTAACCCTCTCCAACAACTTTCTCGGAGTCCCCATCATCCAGCCCTTCTTCTCCTTCTCCGCAGTCTCACTGCCAGGCGTGCTAAGGACACTAATACTGACGTTTCTCGGGCTTTGAGGGGTTTGCTGTTGTTCCGATTGTACAGCAGGTGGTGCACTGAGAACGCTGATACTGATGTTTCTCAGCGTTCTCTCAGTTTTCTGCTGTAGGTTCAGAGGTACAGGGGCGCTGAAACTGTGACTTCGGCGCTGGTGGTCGGTATTTTCCACACCGCCGCTGCTGAGGATGACGGCTTCCATGCTCTTTTTGCGCTTGTTCGCGGCGATGACTTCTATGGGGTGGTGGCGGAGTCTTTCGCGGCTAAGGATGGCGTCGGTGCATGATCGGCCAAGAAGGGTTGAGATGTTTGGACTAGTGGCGTGTTCTCGTAGGCGCTCGATGCTGATTTGGCGTTGGTTCTCCTAAAATCGCTTTTCGCTCTTCTAGAACGCGTCTTCGATGGGACAGTCGACACTTTCGTGGCCGTCTTTCTCGCAGAGGGCGCACCATCTGTTAGGATCAATGATACCGCTGGTTTTACCGGCTATCATGCCTGCTTGGTCGCCGGTGCCTTCGATTAGGGCATATTTTGTGGGGGTGGCGGTAGTGGATGAGGTGGTCTGTGCGGATCCAGCTGGGGTGGCGGAGGAGCGGTTGCTGCCAGTGCCGTTGCCGTTGGCATAGGAGGTGGGCGGAGCTGGTAAGGGGGCATTCGGTGGTGGGTGTGGAGGGTCATGTGTACTGCTTCTTCTTAATGGAGCAGGTTTTTCGGAGAGGTAGTTGTTATTCGAGCGTCTCAAGCCTTCCCTGACTGCGTCTTTGCCAGTGCGAAACTCGGGTTGAGGGCTTGGCTCTCGATGTGTGGATGAGCCCATCATGTTTGCACAATTGAGGATGTCGTGCCCAGGTTCTTCGCATATCTCGCACCACAATGCCGCGGTTGAGGTCTCAGAGACTGATGGTGCTTCCTGCGGCTTTTTGTATGCTCCTGCACTTCTCCTTCGTCGCTCTTCATTTGCTTCTTCCGAGCCTTCTGTATCGATGCCAAAGGCGTCCTTTAATGGAGAATTTCGACCACCAAGGTTATCAGCATCGTGATCTCGAGAAAGGTCTGGTATTGTCGAGTCCTTTCGTTGGTGGCCGGGAGTTTGTTGACCAACGATAGTTCGTTGACTACCACTACTATTGTGCTTTTCGTTCTGGCTATCTGATCTACGATGACCAAGACTGAGGCCTAAGGCTGCTGCAGCACCTCCTGGGAAATAGCCTTTGCTGCCGCTGAGGTTGACTGAATTGCGCAGTTGGCGAACTTCTTCCTGTAAAGCGACTTCATGGTGTGATTTCTGTTGCAGCAGAGACTCCAGATCATTTATCTGACGCTGAAGAACATCACCTGAATTCGAATCATCAGAAATGGAATTGTTGCCAGCTGGTTTCTGTTTTGCATGACTGACACCATTAGCTTTTGGTGTGGCAGGTCCATATGAGTCGCGGTGTGGTGGCGCCGTGCCCTGCAAACTTTGGATGATAGTCTTGAGTCCTCGAATCTCATCCTCTTTCTGCTGAAGAGTGGTTTGGATCTCTTCAAGCTCTTCAATGGTAGGACCGCCATTATCTCCGCCTTCCAGCGCAGCATGAGTGGCCGCACGCTCCTTTTCTCGTCTCAGCTCGCTCTTGCTACGTTCCACCTCACCCCTCAAGAACTCGACTTCAGATCTTGCTTCGGCCTCGGCTCTTCTCGACTCCTCCAATCCCTCTTCAAGCTCCTGCACAAGCTCCTCGAGCTGTTTGAACTGCTGCGCGACACTCTCGACATCCTCATTGCGTTCTTGTAGATGCTGAACTTGCTGTAATAAATCTTCGACCCTCTGCTCGTAGACTCTTTCCGTCTCTGTGCTGGCCATCTCGAGGGTGTCAATGGTGCTCCTGAAATCTGCTCGATTGTTGTCAAACTCAGCCGAGAGCTGTTTTACTTTCTCGTTGTTCTCGCGCAGCTGGGCACGCAAGGTGTGGACGTCGCTAGGCAGATCCGACTCGTCTTGTGGAATGTTCTGTTGATCGTCGATCAGACTCTGCAACTCGGACAGACTGCGCTCCATATCGGCGATGCTCTTAGCCTGGTCTGCAAGCTGCTTATCTCTTTGCGACAATTCGTCTCTCAACCTTTGTGTTTCTTGTGTTAATCTTTCGGTACTGGCAGCCACTTCACGATCGATGTTTCTAGCAGAAGGGGTGGGAGTGGTTTCGGGTTCGTTTTGTTCCAGGATGGTATCGTCTTCGTCGAACCGGTCGTCAGGACCAAGTGGTGTAGTAGAAGACTGTACGGAAGGGGCAGCTCGTAATCTACTAGGCGTTTGGCTGGTACTCTGTCTCAAACTCTGGCTGAACTTGTTAGGCCCACCATTAGTATGACTGGGTGCTCGTAGACCGGTCTTTGGTGCAGTGGTAGCTGGGACGCCCATCGTACTACGTGCCAGTCCTATGCTAGGTCTTGTCTTAGGTGTGGTCAATCGTCCGGCAGCAGGAGTCTGGGATTGAGATGGCTGTTGAGCTTTTCTTAATGGACTGGTTGGTCGCTGCTGTCTCGCAGGACTTGTTGGCCTAGCTAGACTGTCCCTCCTCAGTGACGGCTTCAATGCGGTCGGGCTCATGGTGCGCTGTTGCAGGCTCGGACCTACACTCTGACTGAAACTGGGCTTGATGATGCTCGGGCGCGGCGTGGATCGAGTAGTAGTAGAAACGGCAGAAGTGGTGGGACTACCAGACACACTTGTCGCTCTGGTACCGGGTTTATTGTTGTTGCTCGTAGTGCTGCTGCCCGACAGTCTAGCCTCAGCTTTGTCGACAGGAAGAAAGATGCCACCACGAGGATTTGCGGTGCGAAAGTAGTGTTTCCCATCGACATCACCGTTGTTCTTCCCTCTTGAAGCAAACTCTTGTGCCAGTTCGACGCCTGCGAATGTCCCCTTCTTGCCATCTACCGGTCCGACGAACTTGACTGTGCCGTACATGTCGCCTGGCACATTGACCGTGTCGCCAACCCGTAATGGCGCCATTGCGATTGTCTCGTACTGTGAATCGTACAATACAGGCTTAGGTGCTGCGAGTCGTCATTAACAATCGCGCGGTATATTATGCAGCTACCGAAGACTGTTGAGCGCAAAGCGCTGGGGGATACGGTCGCGGAGATATAACTGTCATGTAAGGCTCATGCAACTAATTGGTGGATAGGTGTAGTTGTACCAGAAATACAGGTGCGATATTGCTGTGGGAACGGGATCGGGAAACAGTGTAATAAACTCCTCCCTGACGATCTGTCCAACGGGACTGGAGCACCACGCGGAAGTTGCTTCGTAAGATACGACAGGATTGCACCTGCCTAGCTTAGTTAGAATAAGGTATGGGTTGTGACTACGAAGACTTAACAAAGTGTTGGAAATGAAGAGCTACAATGTTTAACAACACTGGTCATATGTTTCTCGAGCAATTGTGTATGCTGTAAACAATCAACGGCACCATCCATGCATGAAACCCTCGCTACCGATCCTCAGTGGTTCGTTCTTCGCATCGCGTTAGACCTACTCAGGCCTAGACGATCAATAACCTTAAGATGATCTCATGCCCACTACGGCCCAAAGATTCGAGTGCAAGATAATAAACAAATTCGTTCTGTCTGCATTTATCGCATACTTTCGCTATCGATAATGGTACCATAACGATACCTATGCTATACTGTGATCTACCATCTCACGACGAAAGCTGCAATCGATATGTCACAACCTCAAAAGGCCGCAGCTCAATCTCTACCTCTCCCGAGGCGAGCTTCAATTCTTGCAGATCATCCTCAAGCACGTTGGTTTTGAACACCTTGTCGACAGACAACGTCGTCCTGATGGTGCCTCGGCTCTTCCCACCCATCGACTCGTAGATGCGCAAGATGACACTTCTGCCCTTGCGCTTGTCGAACTCGCCTCGAGAGACATCCTCATCATCTTCACCTCGCTTCACACAGTCCAGTACTAACGAGGAAGAGCCAGTCACGACAATAGACGTAAAGATATCCTCGTCTGGTTCTTGCTCGTTGTTGATCGTGACCAGACTCAAAGGATTGTTGAAGTTGTGGGCAGCATGCACTGTCTCTGCTGATAAAGCCCCAGCGTGTGGCATGATTGCCCATTTGATCGTATGATGCCCCATGTCAGCGTGTGCATCGGGAGCCTTTGGTGCTCGCAGTAGAGATAGCCTCATTAGGTTGCCACATGTCGCAAAGCCATACTTGCTGTCGTTGAGCACTGATACTCCATAGTTGGCCTCGGATAGATCAGCAAACTTGTGACAGCAGACCTCAAACTTGGCCATGTCCCAGCTGGTATTGTAGTGCGTCGGTCGCCTGACAAGTCCATACTGTGTTTCATATGTGGCCTCGGTATTGAACACATCAACCGGAAATTCGACCTTCAAGAACTTCATCGTCTCATGCCATTCTACATCCGCCTCGACCGAGACATAGCTGGGGCTGTCCGTCTCGCCTGTCGCTGCGTCAAGGCTGATCGTCGTCTTCACCCAGCTCTGATCGCTGATCTTGGTCTTGGTCGCCACGCTCACTCGGTATGGTCCTGTGTCCACGATCTCGGTTCGTCCAGAGGGGAGCTCTTTCCTCGAGTTCAGGTGGAATACTTCGACATCCCACGCCTGCCAATACAGCGGCTTGTCATCGAACAAAACAAGTTGGTTGCCCTTGCCACCATGTGCAATGACCTCTCGCTTGACCTTCTTGTCAAATAGAGATGTGATGACCCCGTTCTCGACTTCGACAGCAAACCTGCTGTTGGCAAGAATGAACACACCGTCCTTCTTTTCCGTCACCGTAGCCTTTTCTGAGGCCAGCAGTTCAATCTTGTCAGTTGAGTTGATTCCTGTCTCTGCATGGACGACTGTATATCCATCCCCAGGCGTCTTGACAATTTCTGTGCGGTCCCAAGGTAAAGTGTTGATAGCCACAGTCTCACAATCTCGCGATGCTGTCCTGGACTTTGACATTCCTAATGCAGCCAAGGCATTGTCTTTCAACTTCGTGCCAACCACATCGTTATGTGCATAAAGCTCATCCGAGTCGTCGTAACACATTTCGATCGAACTTCCTGGTAAGCAATCGTGGAATTGACAGAGCAAGATGTTCTCCCATAGCTCGTCAATCTCCTTCTTCGGATATTGGTACTTTTTACTGGACAAGCTTGCCAATGTAGCCAGATATTCAATGTCGTGCATCATAATCTCCTGCTTTCGGTTGTTCCGTTTGTTGTTGGCTTGTGTTGTGTACGTACCTCGATGGAGCTCAAAGTAAAGCTCACCATACCAAGTAACCAAATCGGTACCTGACGCGACTTTGTCCTCTAATCTTTTGAAGAAGTCATCCACAGTGTTGCCCATATGTACTCGTGGTAGCACACCACCTGCAGTCGTGTCAGCCATACCTCTTAGTCGTCTCAATTTTTCCAGCATATCTCTGGTTGGACCGCCTCCACCGTCACCCTTGCCGAAAACAAGCAACGAAGTATTGTCTTGGTCCAGTGATTTGTGCTGGGACACACTTCTTACAACGTCTCCAAAGTCAGCATCAGCCGTATAGGTCTCACTGGGCGCCATATGACAGATGACCTGGCTGCCGTCCAAAGCAACCCAATTGAAAGTGGTATGTGGGAAGTTGTTGATATTGTTCCAGCTCAATTTTTGGGTGAAGAAGCGCGACATGCCTGCCAAGCGACATATCTGTGGCAGCTGACTCGAGTATCCAAATGTATCCGGAAGCCAGAAGGTCTGACATCGCTCGCCGAAATGCGACTCGAAAAACCTCTGGCCATACAAGAATTGACGGACAAGTGACTCGCCCGACGGCATATTTGTATCGTGTTCGACCCAACTGCCTCCGATGGGCTGAAATTGACCACGCTTGACCTTTTCCTTGACGCGGTCGAATGCAAAGGGATAGTACTCCTTCAGCCACTTGTACTGCTGAGCTTGACTGCAAGCAAAACGGTGCTCAGGGTAGCGATCCATGAGATCACACTGACTCGACCAAGAGCGCACGACTTTTCTTTTTGTCTCTGCCCACGGCCACAGCCAGCACGTGTCGATGTGACAGTGTCCGATAGCATACACAATCGATTCTTCCTTCGAGTCGTAGACAGTAGGCGAACTGACGTGCTTTCCAATGTACTCTTGTGCGATTTTTCGACCTTTTAGTATTGACTCTTGTGAGCCGTCTCCAGCAATGAAGGCGTCCATAATAGCATTGCATACTTGCAGAGCTTTGTGTCTCTGCCAGCCATCCTCAGGAAACTCCCTGGCTGCGTCTCCGATCTCCCAGAAGTCAACGTAGAGACCTCGAACGGCAAGATTGACGTCCATAATATCAGCCTGACTCAGCGTGTAGTATGTATTCGGGTCAGGTGGCTGTATAGTGTCACCGCCTGGTGCATTTCCAAACATCTTGTTACAGGCCATCTCAACATAGAAGGTATGCTCTTTCCCATTCTGCCAGTCTTGAGGCAATATCCACTCGACACGTTCACCGCCACCAGTCAACCCTTGAAGAGGCTTTCCGTCTTCCGACCAGACAAGACCTTCATTGCCGGCATCCCAGTGAAACTCCAGATGCTCTGCATTCAGCATATTCTTGGGTACGGTGAGCTGGACCTTGAACCAGTGAGTGCTCCATGACGGACCAAATGTGTCGCCGAGCCTTGCAGGCTTGAACTTTTGAGAAGTAGCTTCTTTGAAGGTCGGACGGGTGAGGTCAGGAGGAGAGTAGACGGACAGCTGAGAAATAAGTTAGCTGTGCCCTTGGATGAGCTGGAAGAAGATTTCGACCTTGATATATTTTGAGTCGTTGGTCTGATTGTGATAGAGCTTGGCCAGCAAGCCCTGGTGGTAGTATTGACCTCGATCTGTGAATTGGCGTAGTCTGCCGGTGTAGATGCTCTCGATCTGCTTGCCCACTGGTCGTTCGACCAGCTTGGGGTAAGATGAGCTCAAGGGAGTGCTTCTGCCACCCATGGCTGCAATCCTGTCGATCTTGTCTTGCTTGTGAAGAAAGAGCAAGGAGTAGCTCGAGAACAGACTCAAATATACATGCCGGTACTTGGTACTATCCTGCAGTAGCAATACACGGCGCGGTGGTGATCACTTGATTGCTCCAACTGCATTTGCGGGGTTCCATGATCAAATCGAACGTATCAGGTGCCACTAACATGGGTCAGCTTGGCTCTAGTTCCGGGTGCTCTTACCACGGGCACGTGTTCCAGTGCATCTTCGAGCTTCGTCGAACTGTTTCTTCACCTCACTTTTGTCACTTCATTCCATAGTTATGGGAATTACATTGAGGCATCAAATCCAGTAAGTGACTGCCTTGCCACAATCACTCTACCTTTCACATGATGAACCATTTTAGCCTAAACGATAACTGCTTAACCTCGACTTGAGGTCATGTAGTGAACTTTTATTCGAGCTCTGACACACAAACGACCTTGTTACCATCGCAACACAGAACTTTTGTGCACTTGCTAACAGACCACAACTTCAGGAATTACAGCAAGACAGAATCGGGAAGTTCGAATGCCTAACTTGACATCGTTCTCCAAGTACCAAGTAACATATATTCGCCAAAAAGAAGTACGGTTTGTGGGTCCAACAGCCCGAATTAATCGTTCAGGGATCATATCTATCGAAGTTCTATATCTTTACCAGCCCCTTTCCTCCTTCTTTTCCCATTTTGCCACCACCCACTACGACGATGCTCTCCTTCACCTTCTGCTTTCTTTTCTCTTCACTGCTCATCATCAACCGACTGGCGAACCCACTGCGTTTCTTGGCTCCGCCACTTGCTTCGAACAAGTCATTATTGTAGCTAGACATGCCTCCACCTGACCTCCGCGCATTACTGCTCGCGAAGCTGGCAGATGACCCAGGTCTTGAGCTCGGTCTCATATCCATACTCTGCTGTGAATCTTGCGTGGAATCTGAAGTGTTATGCGCGTGACCAGGTCCTGCTTTGGACGAAGGTCGTGCATAGAAGTTCGTTTGGAATCTATCCGCGGCTGCTACCGAAGGCTGAGCCGGAGTCGGAGCTGGTGCCGTTCCAAGGTTCGTGACACCGTGCAGAAACATATTCAGGGACAATCGATGCTGCGAAGTCTTCGAGGTATGTGCTGCCTCCGCCTTTGCCGCCACCTTCTGTGCCTTGGCTGCAGCTTTAGCGGATTCTTTTTCTGCCTTCTCAGCTGCTTTTCGTGCTGCTTGTTGCTCTTTCTCACGCTTTTTCTTGGCACTTTCCGACCAAATCTCCGACCCGTATTTCTGGTACTCCGTCAAGGGGATCGCAGGAGACGGCTGCCGTCTCTGCAAGGGAGGCGAAGATGTGGCGAGGTGTTGATTCCTCATGTCAGGCGGTTGTGGACTACCGCTGACGAATGGACCGGGTCCGGATTGTACGGAGCCATTCTGAGCTTGTTCCAACGGCTCGTTTTGCGCAACATCAGTCTCAGATGCCTGGATCGGATCAACAGGCAGAGTGGTATACTGCGAAGGTCCAGATGCTCGCGATTTCCAGTAGGATGTCTTGTAGCTTTCCGGGTCATCCTCAAAACTACTTCTCGTTTTGCTGCCAGTCGCGTTAGTGGTATGTCGAGTCTTGATCTCTGGTCTAGCCCTTGTCTTGTCCTTCTCCTTGTCCTTCTTCTTGCCGAACTTTCCTCGGAAAGCCTGCTTCAAGTGTCCGCCGAACGTGTCGTGGATGGGAGACGATTCAGAAGAGTCTGAAAATGCAGAATTAGGTCGATAGATCTCTTCAATGTCAACTGGTGGCCTACTTGACGCGTTAGAACCGCCCGATAGTCTTCTTGGTGGTGGAGGAGTAAGGTACGTTCGCATAGGTCCTTCTATCGGATCGTGTGCGACCAGATCCAGACTTGCATGCTGAGACTTCAGTCCACCATCTACTGCTGATTCTGATATATGTAGCTCGGCTTGATGGACAGGTGCTGAGCCTTCCGGCACCTTACTCAAAGGTCTACCCTTGGTCAGATCTAGTGCCGGTGGTATCATGCTATGTTCTGTGTTTGCCGATGCTGTTGCCGAGGAAATACCGAAGTCAAAGTAGTCGCTCACAACACTAACCGGATGTACATTAGGGGACTGCTTCGGCTTTGGAGGGCCAAGACTCTCGAATGTTATAGCTCGATGGTAGTCGACGTTCCCCTCGGGCGATACAGCTGACATCTGAGAATCACGAAACCGACCTTCCACCTCTTCGGGCGAGACAGGAGAAAGTGGCTGATCGTACCAGGAGTCCGCATCTCGAACGTCTGGCACTTCGAGCGCTATCTTGCGTTCCACTAGACTCTGTGAGTACTCTTGGAAGCTCGGTACTATTGGTTGTAGAGGTGGTGACATGTCTGGGGTAATTTGAATCGAGCTGTGGGATGCATTCGACTCGTGGCCAATACTTGGCTGTAAGTTCGGCGAAGCCTCTGGTGTCAAATGTAACGAAGGCACCGAAGCGCTGGCATGTGGATGCAATAACATTGGCATCGAGGCGATGGACATGGGTGAAGGTACAGGCGGTACGGTCGGTCCGTCTCCGCTAAATTGATGTTCCAGGAGGGGTGCGATAGTGTCTCTATAGGCTTTGGGTTGATGCACTCGTGGTATGTCTGGTCGCTCTTCGTCTGAGTCGTCCGAGTATGGTGACATCTCCTCATACTCGGACCGCAAACTCTGCTTGGATGTACTGCCTTCACCCGTGTACAGCCTCAATATATTCGTCACTGTTGTCTCTGCACTTCCTGCACTCGACGGTCTTCTACGACTTCGGTATCTCCGAGGAGCTGGTGAGGGCGACTTTTGAAGTTGAGAAGGCGTCGATGAGATCGACAGAGGCGATATACATAGGTCATTATCCTGCGCACCATTGGATTGTGGTGATATCGATATCCTTCTTGTTGTCGGGAGCTCAAGGCCTCTTTCTTGTAGCGCGAGTAGCGCAGCTGAAGGTTCAGGCGCCTTTTTACGGTGGATTTGTAGAGCTGGTGGAACGAGAGGTGCAGACATGTTGAAGGTCAGCTTGCTGCGAATTGCTCAAGCACGGAAACGCCCAGCCAACATTGAGGTCGGGTTGGCGACGATGTCGATTTCGCAGCAAAAGCCATACCTTCTGCACAAAGCCTCGATAGACCTTAGCCATGTTTGATGGGTGCGTAAGACTTGTTGCGTCGTTGAACAAAGGTGTCCCAGTGTGTCTGCGCTATCTTTAGGAACAAAGGATGGTGCCATCTTAGAATGGCCAGTGCGACACTAGCCGAATATAGTTGCCGTTGTGTGTTATCAGAGTACTGTTATCATCGGCATATTGAACAATATATCCCGATGAACGCAAGCAGGAGTTTGGATGGTGGTACGCAAAGCCACTTCTCACAAGTTTGCTGCTTTCCTCAAAATGTCACCTGTCAATTCTTCCCCTCGTTTCCTTATCTCTCCCAGACGACCAAGTCTTTGCAAGCGCTTGATCATGTCTTCGTCGCCGAAATGACTGTTGTGTTCGAATTCCGGTTCCTGAGCGTAGGCCTGGCGAGCAGCATCGGTCAAAATTCGAGCGGTCATACCAAAGACTCTATATCGTTCTAGGCCCTCGAGGTGGTCGGCTGCAGCCTTTTGTGTATCCGTCCTTTTGGGTTTGGTCACATTTTGGTTTGTGACAGGAACGAAGAAGTTGTGCATGCGCCATCTATGTTGGTGCCAGTCAGTCCATGACCCCCTGTACCAGTCTGATGGCTTTCCAGGAAGATTAGGCTCATTGGGTAAATCCTGCTTGTAGAGCAGGTTCTTTAGAGGCAGTGAAAACACAGCAGCGACCTCACGAGCATCGAGTCGAGGCAACAGTTGTTCCCCAGCATTTGCACTCTGGCCTGTGTTTTCGTCGTAGGAGTGGAGAAAAGCGATACATGGCCGGACAACAAGTTCAGTCTTGGCAAGGTTGGTGGGCATTTCCGTTAAGTGCTCGATTCGAAAGGGCTTAGGAATCTTGTCGTCGCGTTGGGGAAGTCCAATCTCCTCGGAGGCCTCACGTCTAGCACACTCCCAAGCACTCTCTCCTTGTTCGGCTTTACCACCAGGTAGTGCTGCTTGGCCTGAGTAGGAGCTCAGCGATGAAGCTCGCATGGTGACGACAACGCGGAGGTCACCTTTCTGGTCGGCAAACAGTAAAATCAAGACAGCTGCCTTTCTCGACAAAGGCATGTCCTGCCATATCGTAGGAGGTGGTTTGTAGGCTCGTAGCCGGTCCAAGGCGTCCTAGCATTTGTGTCAGACCCTGTGGCCATAGCCAAGAATAGCCACTCTCTTACCTTCGACTCAGCTGTCAACGTCGCCATTCTGTACAAAGGGCCTTGCAGATATGTTGCTAGACTTCTCAGGCTCCTCGATGCGCCATTGCGATGTATTGCGCGAGTGATCAGCATACGTTAAGTCCTGCCTCGATTCTGGTCGTTTGCTGTTCGTTTCAAAGAAATCACAGAACCGAGGTGCTCGGGATGACTGACGAACAGCGATTGAATTATGGAGTCTTGATGCCTGGAGCTAACCTGCTCTGTAAGCTCATTGAGCTCCTGCAGGTGCTTTCCATTAGGCACTAATTTCGTGGGCTTTGAGGGCTGTGCTACTGTCCAAGGAGCGACAACTTTGTAGATCGTGCACCTTGGCGCTCATCACCATGTTCGTCGCGAACATTAGCTCCAATAATTGAAAGCTGTGGTGATGTCAATGCTGGAGCTGGTCAGAGTGTAAATAGCTTCACGAGGGTGGAAAGACGTCGTGAGCTTTATCCAGTGCTGTGCTACGCTTCGTCTATACCAACGTCCTTGCGAAAAGTACAACAGAGAAGGAACGAAGATGAAAACCTTGATCGCGCTTGCTCTATTTGCAGCGTATACAACAGCTGTACCGCCTGCTTCTTTCGGGTTTCCTCAAAGCGAGGGTAACACACCCCTGTCAGTCGTTTACCAAGCCAACGGATCTGCTCTTCCTGTACAGCCTGGTAACCTCTTTGGCATCAATGGTGAGTTCTCCATCTGTCTGATACTCATGCTCCGCCTGCTCGACTTGCAGTTCTGGTCCAGTCTTTTAAGTCTAGCTAACACTCATGCAGTCCCTGCCGAGGCGCCTTCTATCGCCGTCAATGAATCTTACCAGTCTCTCGGTTCTGCTTATACAGGTCAATATGTGTTCTTCATGCTAGATCCCGATGCCTCGTACCCAGAGAATCCACAGAATCGATGGGTCATTCATTGGTGGCAGCAAGGCCTCACCAAGTCTACTTCGCAGGTCAATGACTCGGGTATCGGCGGTACATTGCTTCAAAATAACACACAGCCTCGAGTGGCATATCGCAGGCCTCGCCCTCCTACTAACAGTTCAGCCCACAGATATATCCAATATCTCTTTGAACAGCCTCCCAATTTTTCGATTCCAGCAATCTACTCTGGCTACAACAACACCAACGCTTCCAGGTTTCCTTTCGAGCAATTTGTAGCTGATGCAGGCTTGAATCAGCCTGTTGCTGCCAACTATTTCTATTGCTCCAACCAGACGGCTGTTCCAGCCACTTTTGTTGCGGCTCCCGGGGGTCAATATCCAGGTGGTAATGGTGCTATGATCACTCAGGGCACGAATTTACCCTCCGCAACAAGCACAATGGTAGGCCCCACATCTGCTACCTCACCAGCAGTCTATACTGGATCTGCAGCCTCAGTTGAGCCTGGAAGCTATGTGGCACACTTCCTTCTGGCATTCGGTGCTTCGTGGGCATTCATAATGTAGCTCCGCTGGCAAGAGGTCCGCTTTAATTGCTCCGTCTCAAAGAGTCGTTAAGGTTTGTTGAGCTTGTGTGCAGACGTGTTTGGAAAATCAGGCTTGCCAATCTTGCACGAGAATATTGGTAGCTAGCGCACAAACGAGCAACGACTCGGTACCAAAATGCCAAGTTATTCAGCATAGGCTGCCTCCATCGGCAGCCACATTGGCGAGGACTGTGTGTTCGGGGTCAATTTACCAGACCACGAAATGTACGCGTTAACTGCCTTAGTAGCCTAATACCAAGCTTGCATCAAGTTGCCGTCCTCCAATCATGTTTACGCCGATGGCTACGTCTTGCCGCGTGTATCTCGTGGTCAGCCTCCAAATTCCATGGACAGAAAGAGGACCGGTACCCATCCGTGAGGTGTCAGTCCTGGCGGGATCCACATCCCGAAGAAGTCACAAGGCAGCATCAAGAGAGAGGAGCAATATCGACCGGTCGGCCACCCGGGCCTATTGCAGCTTCTGGCTTCGAACACTTGAGTCTTCACAGTAAGAGTGCCGGCACACTGATACGCATCTTGCTGCAGTAAGTACTGTCTCATCCCAACAAGGTCGACATTTTTACAAGCAGAGAGAAGATATCGTGCACAAGGGTCTCCGCCAACAATGTATGCACATTGTGCTCCGTGATAACACCCCAAGCGCGTTCGACAATTGAAGATCTCTGGTGTGATTCTCTACCCCCATTGGATATTGTGTTGGAGATTATGCATGCCTGTTACATCTTCGCAAGCCAAGAATGGATCCATGAGCCATCATTCCGCGCCAACCATAGAACACTGAGCCTGGACTAGTCGATTGGAAAGTTGAGAAGGTGTGAGAAAACGAGCAGATTTGGTCTAAATGCTACATCGCGACTTCTCCCAAATGCACCACGACATGCTCCGCGAGCTCATCATCAACACAGCGGGTAATCAAAGTGGAGCTTTCGAGAAAGAACACATTAGTGGGACTCAACCAACACCTCGACAGCCTTCAATATACATAAAATTCGAGCAATGACGGGGATCTGGAACATCCTGCACATCCGGTGGTGTCGTTGCCATATACTGACTGCAAACTGTGACCACAACTCTGCACAAGTGTGATAGGAGCTTTGGCGCGTCAGAACACCTCCCGGATTACCAAAAGTTCCGTTGTAAACTCAGCAGTCTATGCCTTTTCGAGCCAAAGTGTCCGACTTGGTCTTCATTAGCCACCTCGGAATCTGTTTAAGTGGCAACTTAGCGTTGAATCCTTGTCGCCTTCCCACGGGCCGTTGAGTTCTGCCTAGTCGCACAATGACTTTGTTTTCAGGACAACGTTGACGAGTAGGCTATTTGTGCATGGCGCCACGTTCTGGTGACAATCTTGGAGGACACTTAGCATCTTCTTGCTCGTGACGCATTAGCCACGCTCGAGCTACAATGCTTACCGAAGTGCCAGCCTGGTAGATCCCGACGCATGACTTTGTGGATTTTGGCATCCAACCTCTCTAGGTGCAGAAAACTTCAGCAGAAGAGTACCAAAGTGGACATCATATGTGCTAATGAACCCTCACTTCAGTCTTGTATCAGAAACCACGGTGGATCTGCAAAAGCCATGTACATCATTGAGCTCCATATCAGCCGCAGCTCGACTACTGTCATATCACTTGATAGTGCAGCACTCATCAAGTCCCTTCCGCACAAAGATGCATACCGCGTTTCAGACGCCGACAACACTGTACACAACGACGAGCTGTTTGGCAGTGCATTCGACGTGGAGTCTGTTCAATGTTCTGATTGGACTCTCTCATTACCCTGGCTTTGTTTTCGTGAGGTGTCGACCAGATCGCCTTACTGGTCGTGCTGAATTGTCTACTATCAGCAAAGATGAACAGAGTGGAGGGTCATATATATGCGCTCCCCTTCGAGGACGGCGGTATGATCATCAATAGCATTCAGACATTCGCAATATCTCGTCCATTGACCAACTAGCTTCGAAGTACTCGGTATCGGCACTCACCAAAGACACAGCCTTACGTCTACAAGATGATTCGGACTATACCCAATGACTTGAATATATGGACATCGTACTCCCCTATTCGTCTTGGTTTCGTTAGTGATACCTTGACTGTCGGTTCTTTACCTGAGGATGAGTCTGACATTCCAATGTTCTCTCAGCATGCTGTTTCTTTACTCGACCACGACTGGAGCCGTCTCTCTGAGTGTGCAGCCAGAACCAACAACGAATCGTATCTACTAAATGAAACGCATGCACTATCTACAGATGTTAGCGGTCGATTTTTATCGGAAGGTACACTCCACGATTGTATAAACGTCTTGATGTGCCTTCTAATAGGGTTACTAGGAACAGCTTCCACGAGGGCGCATCCTGCATCCACGCAACGGCGAATGGTTAGTGATGCAAGCGACGACCTCAATGAACAAATGCAAAACACGAATGAAAACGTTGGAGACCTGATGTTGGAGTACCACGATCGCCCTAGATTAGAGTTGTGCTCGTCACAAATCGATTGGTGGTTTGATACTCAGCTGGTGGGCGCTGGCAGTCAATTCACTCAAACATTGCAGTCTCGGAGCAGTAGGACAACCACACTAAGTACAACAGACTCCGAGGCAGACTTTTGGATTGGAGCACAGTGTTCCGCTCCTAGCAGTCTGCACTCCACGAATCTGAGCAGTGTATCAGCTTGCTCCAGTGGGAGCTACGTGAATGTCTCTCGAGGCGGACGTATCAAGGGCTCGAGCCGCGCCTCCCGTGCCAGTTTCGTTTACGACTGCACCTTCTGCGAGGTCAAAGGATTTGCTGACTACTTCACATGGCACAGACATGAGAGAGAGCAACACGTGCCTGATAAGTTGTGGGAGTGCAGGTTGGCGGCGCCGGATAGTCATGGCCGAGTACGGTGCCTAATCTGTTCTATTGATCTTCAGACCTACAACTGCGCTCACATGCACTTGAATTGTTTCCCCCTGCAACCGCAGGTGAAGGTCTTCCCTCGCAAAGACAACCTCCAGCGCCACATGATCAAGCAGCACCACCTCAATAAAGAAGAAGCTAGAAGATTGGTGGTCTCGGCGTACACTGTTGTGCCAACTATAGAGTTGGAGCAACTTCTGATATGCACCATCTGTGGTCATATCAGTCAGAAATGGGAAGACCGAGCTCGACACATTGCATCTACGCATTTTCGAGTCGAGGAGAACTCCATGCGAGATTGAGTATGCCTATACAATATGAGCAAGAAGGAATACTGGTCCTCAACGTCTTCGGACACACCTGATTCAACTCAGGGTATCGTTTGGTCTAAGAAGGAGAATTTCTACAATCAACATCTACGCTGGTACGTGATGAAGTTTCGTGGACAAGAAAAGATCTCGGGTAAAATTCGCAAAGAAGTTAGGTTTCGCGATCGGATTGGCCTCGCATTAAATATCAGTTCGTTTGCTCAAAAATCACAGCCTTCGTCCATACTTGATGTCGAACTTCGTTCTTCCTCGAATATCGTTGCTACGCGGCCGGTTTACCTCTCAAGTCTTCTATCGCAAACAAGCATGACAGCAAGGTCAAACTCTAGATACACTGTGCACTGTCCTTCTTTGAGCTCAACCTAATCAATACAGAGACATAAGTCTAGTCACCAACACCTGAAGCACAATGTGAAACAAAATACCCATATTGAACACTATGCGCTTTGGACGCTTAAAAAAAACTAAAAATTCGTAATGCATACATACTCGTACATCAACCCTCAGCAGAACCATCTATGAAGCCAGAACCCAGTCTCATGACCACACCTGCACATGCTGGTACATCTTCATTTCTCCTTCCAGACTCCGCGCCTTGAGTTCTATACGAGAAGCTTGGTCCGGCGTGTCTGTGCCTGCAGCTATAGCTCCTCTCTGCCTCGATGACCTGAGGATCTTCGACTCCAGATCAAAGCAATCAGTATAGATCCCAGCATCGCACAGAGGCCACAGGATCTTCTCAGCCATGTCACAAAATAGCCCTTCCACAACACCCACAAAATCCGGTCCAGCTGATGTGCGACTCTCGCAGACCTCGCGAGCACTATGAGACGTGACGTTGCTCACGACCAGATGATCGTGAAGTGGCTGTAGAGGACTCCGTCGGGCTCGTCGTCGTTTACTAGGTCCTAACTCGACGATAGGTCCTCCCAGGAGCGCGGAAGGACCATCCGCGACGCCGAGTTTCGTGCCGGTTGGATCGTTCGGCGCTGTTGTCTGGCTTTGCATCATTTTCGGGTTGAGAATTTTGTCGAGGTCTTTGTCAGAACCGTCGTCGTTGTATTGTAGCTGGTCTTTGTAGTAGACTGGTAGAGTCATGTGAACAGATCGAGTGGTCCACATCGAGAAGCGTGGCAGGCTCTTGCATAGGGTGTCGATGTTATCGTTGTACTCTTGGGCCAGGCCTTCGCCTGCACCGGTAAAACTTGGCAGGTGCATGGTCATGCCTGTGTGAGGGTGGTTATTGCTGCCATCTTGGTCGATCCATACACATGCAGGTCGTGCTTGTGGACCGGAGCCTTCGATTACTAAGTTGCTGGGGTACCAGGGCGCGCCGCACTTCATGCCTACATCTCCTAACCATCCTGCCTGGTATCCTGTTGGACTTGTGACGGCGACCGCGGCTATACACAGTCCATCTTTTCCAAATGCCGCGACTGACAGATATTCTGCCGAAGCCTTCTTGCCTTTGACTGTCAGGTCGTAGAATGACCCGTCCTCAATGACATAATTGTAAATGCCCATGGCCTTCCCGATGAAAGCGCCAGCAGAGTCCCACAATGCTACGCCAGGAATGTTGCCACTCGTACTCGTGCCAACAGTGCCAGACAGCCCAGCATAGACGCGAACCTTCGTGCTGCTGCGGTGCACAGGTGGTGCGAAAGATGTGCTGGGAATGTTGATGTTTGCGAAGAGAGAGGAGACCAGCCCGATAATGGAAAGAGTGTTGGCCATTGTGGTTGAAGGGCAAATGAATTATCTCAAACAAGATGTTCTCGCACGACTAGAAGTCGGAAATACTCTGTCCAGCAGAGTCGCAAAGAACGTCGTCGTGGTACTGAAGTTCATTGAGCGACAAGATCGGTAAGCGATCAGGCGATAAGCGAGCGCGGCATCGTAGGAATTAGTAGCTGCTCCAGCAGCTGTTGATAACCACGTCAACAGATAAGTGTGAGTGAAAGACGTGATCCCTGGGGCATTGTTCAAGAGAACAACGGTTCAAGTATCTGTGGTCCTCATGTGAGTGGCCGTATCTGTGATCCACAGACGCTGCGAGACAGCGCCTAATTTCTTGGCACGAGCTTGACTGCTTCAATTTCAGGTCAGCGGCAAAGAGCCCAAACACAGACGGTATTCCTACCAAGCTCAAAATGTGATAGTGAACGTTGTTAGTAGTTTTAAGGGCGGACGCTTACCTTGTGCAGTACTTAGTCTCGTGCTTCGCTAGTTCGTATTCGTCACATGCTTGGGGATGGACTTGAATGCCAGCAGGAGCTCTGACACACTTACAGCGATGACGGCTTTGAAGCCAGAATAAGACTTGAGGTGAAGTGCTCTGCACGGTAAGCTCATGATGCAGTCAGCGAACACATAAAATATCTCGTTATTGGCTGAGGGTTACCGTCATCGTCATCGAGCAGTGACACTGTTCCTTGACCCTATTATCCTACCAGAGCAGGATTTCTCGACAGCGAAGGGTTGTCGAGGCGTGAAAGAAGGATTGTAAGTCAAGGGTTTGAAGGTGAAATGGATAATGTAGCAAATGTTGTCGCATTACAAGAAGGGTCAACTTTCTGATGTTGATGGCGTCTCGTCACAGCAAGAGCAGTCATAATGCGTTTCTAGGCTGTCACAACACTTACCGAGTTCGTCGTACAGAGCGAACGATGATCGTTGTTTGACGATTGTTTGACATTCAGAAGGAAATGTCGTTGCTCGCAAACCAAGCTTGTCCCTGCCAAGTTCATGCCTGAGGCATGAAGTCAGTGCTCAATCAACAGTAGGAAAGAGCCTGGGGTCTAAGTTATCATTGCACGAGTCAAAACTACATGTTGCTCTTCGTGCAGTAAATAGTGGGTTGCATACCTGGGCTTGATCACGGTCACGAACCTCTGACGGGGCTTTTGTGGTATCTGAACATTGACTGATATCGATTGTCATGAAATACACGGATGTCTCAAAACGGCTCAACATTTGAGATCGCAGTAATTGAAATATCGCAGGTATACCGCTACACGGAATGCATATCTCTCTCAAGAGACCGGGGTCTTCTCTCTCTTTGGCGTCCACCAGATCGACCGGTTTGTCCATTTTGACCTGCTTGGCCTGCTTGAGCCCCCTGTTCTCCCTGACCTGCATTGTCGTTACCACCAGCAGCAGCGTTGTTGTTGTTGTTGCCACCATTACCGGCGTTATTACCACCAGCGGCGTTCTCGCCACTGCCAGCAGCTGCGTTGTTATTGTTGTTGTTGTTTCCAGCGTTGTTGTTGTTGGCACCAGCACCAGCATTATTGCCGGCGTTGCCTCCGTTTCCGCCAACAGTGAACTTCTGGCAATCGTCCTGTGCGCCTCTCTGAGCTACAGGCATAAGCACTGGTTGATGGTTGGAAGAACTCGTCATGGTACAAACACGGTAATTACCTGCTGGCAGACCACCAGTAACTGTCGCCGACAGCTCACCTTGACCATTGCCATTGTCGTTGACACCTTTGAAGAAAGCAAATACTCCTGGATTGGGCGGGTTGTTCGGTGCAAGGCTGTTTCCGAGGTCCTGCACTGTGATGTGAGTATGCCCAATGACCTTTCCACCTTGGAGCTGTTGAGGAGCGGCATAATATGTGTTGTCAGGGTTTGTGAAAGTGCCAGCTACAAGGTTGGTGGTCTGGACTGTGATCTCGAAGTCGGTATTTGCTTGGATATTGTCACCGGGACCAGGATTAGTGATGATCGAGGATATCATGTTGTTCTGTGATGGGATGTCGCCCATAACTGCAAATGGTCAGCACAAGTGGAACACATCAACTACACTGAAGTCAACCTACCAATGCCATTACACGAGCCAGCTGTGTTTTGGAGGCCGTTTGTAGTGGTTTTGCCTGAGCAGAAGTTTATGAAGTTCGCAGTGTCCGTTTCTGAAGGCGATTGTCCTTCTTCTACGTCGGCTCCACCGTCCGAGGCAGATGCATCTTGAATATTGGCAGCAAGGAGAGTAGTGCCTCCGTTGCCTCCACCGTTGTTGTTGTTGTTATTGTTGTTGCCTTCATTTGCACCATTTCCTGCATTGGCGTCATTGCCGGCGTTTGCATTGTTTCCAGCATTTGCGTTGTTGTTACCTCCTCGCTGAGGAGCTGCAAAGGCGGTACCGAGCACTGCAAGTAGCATGAAAAGGTTTCTTAGATTGTTCAAATACATGGCGAGAAAAGAAAGCTGCAAGACGAGTGAAATGAGAGTGGTCGATGCACGTCCAGCGTGTATCTTTGCAACAGCAAGAAGGAGACAACTGACTTGCAGTGAGAGGCTTGGTAAGGAACGACGGTATTGTGGTGTGTACGTGGATGGGTCTACATTTCATGGAAGGGCAAGGCACCACGTCTATATTGGACTTACTTGGCAATACTGCAGATCAAACACGATCCATCACCCATCTTACCTGATGCTCGAAGTGTCGCTGATTGTAACTCAGTACGAGCCAGCTCGATAGCTGAAGCTGCCTCAGTCGCGCCATGTGAGCTTGATGCTTATCGTAAACACTGAGTAGAACGTCACATAAGTTGAAGTTTCGTATTGCTATAACACCCGCCTGGGGTTGGTCGCGATAGTGAGGTCGATATGAGGCCAGGAGTGTTTGGAGAGTCACCTCGAAGAACACCATCTTGAAACATGTCTTCGTCTCGTCGTGATCAAAACATCCTACCATAAGCGACTCAACATGGCAGATGCGGCCAGTTCAGACCGGAGTGAGCTTGGCAACGGAGATTTACCGGCGCTAAGAGTACGTCATACGCGAAACAATCATTGCATCAAGTGGTCGACTCGAGGTCTCAACTTCTCGCGAGCTTCCTCCTACAACCGCACCATAATCCAACGGACTTGGTCATCACCTTCCGAGTATGGGTTCGTAGACCTCGAGACTCACATCGATACTCGAATTCAACAGTGGACACGGGACATGTTTGCGCACGAGCTGGTCGATTGTCACCATAGTTGCTATCCCGCGCTCGATATGCTTTCAGAGCCCCAACGACGTCTAGGGGTGTGCCGCCAGCTGTCCTGACGCAAAGAAATTCGCTCGTCCAGAAAGTGTGATGTTTACGATCTTTTTCGAGCCATCAGCCTGGATTTCTAGATCGACCTCTACCGCGATCGTGCATAGGCGACCCATCTCCACGCCTTGCTGCACTGCATAAACATGCCGTTCATGAGAACTCTCTTTTTTGTCCTCAAGTCTGATTTCTTCAGTCTTCTTCGTCAAGTCGTCGTCTTCAGATGATGCCTCTTTGGCTTTTGGCTCCAGGTCCTTCATCTCATTCGTTGCGAGATAGCCAGCAAGAGCACAGCATGCACTGCCTGTTCCTGGGTCCTCGATATTTTGTGCGATCATTCTCGCCTGTATGGTATGTATGGTCGGTTCTTTGTCCTGGACCAAAGAGTCGAGCCTCTTGTAGTACAGTGCTCCGGTGAAGCTGGGCGCCCACTCCGCATCGAGTTCACACTCTGGTGCCTCGCTAGTTTTCAAAGCGCCGAGGATATCAGGTGCATCACTAAGGTCTATCAGCGCAAAAGTCATGCCCTTGACTCCAGATACGACAGGGAATGTTTTCTCCTTGAGCTTGTCGTAGGTTGGCACGATCTGTATTTGAGGCTGTCGGACTAGCACTTGCTCCATCGAGACACGACTCTTGTGCAGGTGCATGTTATGCGGCACCGCACATGCTGCCAGACGTTAGCATGGGCTGACTTGTAGATATCTGTGACTGACCTGCAACGTTTCTGTATGGATTGTAGAAGACAGGTACCGGTCCAGCCTTAGGAACTCGTCAGCATGCTGTATTGAAAATTTTGGGTACACAAGCCTTTGTCATGAAGACAGCAGTTTGCCTCTCGTACTCTCCTTTGCTGCCACCCGAAGGCGGTACAAATCGCTCACATTCATGGAATATCTTTTAGATTAGCTATAAGCAGTCAACCCGCTCGGGTCCCACATACATAGTGAGCAGCACCTATGACCTTTTCCAGATTAGCCTTATGCAATAGCTGAAGTTATACTACTCACGGGATGACCAGCGAAAGGGATTTCATCGCCTGTTTCCGTGAATATGTCAAGTTTGCGAGGAAGGCCAGGTCCAACTGAGTCATGAATGAATACGGTTTCCGAATAGCCAAACTCTTTTGCAATTAAAGACTTTCGTTGCTGAGGTATGGCATTGCCTCGTACTGACACAATAGCCAGAGGATTGCCTTTGAACCTCTCAGGCGAGAATACCTATAGGTCGTCATTCATGTTAGGTTTCTGCCTGAGTCCAATCACGGCTGTGAATTGATGATAAAACAGCAATACAAGACAAGCAGAGCACGCACAGTGACGATTGTGAATGTGTGCGGACCTGAAGCCATCGAAGCTAGTTTACGGTCTTTGGACTCGCAATTTGGTCGATAGTAGATTCTATACTATCTGGCAGCATCGACCAAGAAGTTCGAAGAGACATAGTAGGCGAGTCTTGGTCACAAGGCTGAGCTCATACAGCGGCAAGGCTGTTCCACGAACGACAATGTTTTACATCCTACCACCCACGAATTGTTAGGATTGTACTTTGTATGACACTGATAGATCAACCTGTATACAACTTCCACGCCTTCTCCAAATAGGCCATCCAGCAATACACGTCATTGATCATCGTTCCCCTGAGAAATATTGAGTCGCTGCCGGAACGGTTTTAGCCACTAAGTCGGAGGCAAAACAGGTAGCATACATCTCAGGGTTGGTGTTCGTGAGCGTCTTGAACAGGATAGCTCGAAGGACGAGAGCGGATATCGATAGAGAACCGGACAAAGCACAAGAGACGCCGATAAGTGAACAGACGCCGTAACTCCTTCACGCTGTACAGATACACTCCGAACAAGCCCAGCTATTCGCTGCTCTTCGACTTTCTCTTTTTCTTCTTCGACTCTTCCCCATGTCCGTTAACCTGTTCATCGAGTTTCCGCTTTACTTTCTCTTTTGTAGCAGCGTCGTCAGTGGCGGCTTCTGACTTCCGCTTCTTTTCTTTCTCCTTTTTCTCCTTCTTGTCTTTCTTCTCTTTGCGCTCCTTCTTCTCCTTGCTGACAGGGGCAACATCAGCCATTTCGGCATCTACAGTAGGGTCCTCGTCCGGATCGTCAATGTCCATCTGACTTAGGACTTGGTCCATGGCGGATTTCTATTGCTGTTAGCACAAGTCAAACGACCAGCCCGGAGGCACTTACCATAGCGACTTCATTCTTAGTTGGTTGCGTACCACTGGAATAGAAGTCTAATCTTTCTTCAACCTGCTTCTTCAACGCGAGACCAAAGGCAGTGGATGGTGTTTCTGAGAAGTTGTCAATCCTCGAGGCTATCGAACACTTGTTGGCTAGAAATCTTGATATTCGACCCTTGTTCTTCTGACCAGCTCGACCTATGTAGGACGAATGGTAGAGTAGTCCGTATTTTGGTGTGTTACCCTTCGTTTTCAAAGCTCTGAACAGGGCTTTCTCAGCTCCCAAGATCTGTACTGTTGATGCAGGATATTTCGACAAGTTGGTCAAGCTGCCTGCATGCGAAATGAGACGAGCGCCAACAATCTCGCCAATCAATGCCGCTAGATTAGGAGCAACAACGCCCATCTTCGAGACCAAGTACGTATGCAGTGTTTTCCTGTAGTTAGCCAAGCTCGCTACCCTCTGAGCAAATAGCGTAACATTTTCCATATCCGATACTGAGATTTCCTGGCCCATACTTGTCTTTGCAGCGTCAATAATCGATCTGGCAATCTCCTCGTCGTCTTCTACCTGAGCAGCAAGATCGTGCAGACTGTCCTCAGATAACGTCTTCTTGTCCTTTACATATAGTGCGACCTTGGCGTATTTCTGGTTCTCTGAGACAATCTTCACCAACTCTGGAAAATGCCACGAGTACCATTCGCGCACTCTCATGGAAAACGTGTTGATAGCTTTGTCCAATTGGTCGAGAATAGCGATTGCTTGTATGATATGGTTGTCGTTCTTCTGTACTGAAAACTTTACCTTGGCTCTTGAGTATGCGTGGCCCAGGCCAAGTTGCGCCGTGCCTGTATCTCCTTCGCGCAATTGCTTCAGCAGTTTCTCTGAGTGTAATCGAAGACCTCGTAACATGTCTTGTACAACCTCGCTGGTATCGCCTGTCTCACATTCGAGGCCTGGCATAGCGCTCTTGATCGACCCAGCCAGTATTTTGTCTGCTACGCCCAGCGAGATTTTACTCTTCTTGCCAGCCTTCGGTAGGTTCAATTCGAGGAATGAGCGTAAAAATTGCGAAGCAATACCTTCCGAGACATCGTGCAGCTCTTCTAATGCTTGCTTGCCATTCCTGACCAGATTAGCGCTGTGAATCCAATCTTGCAGAACAACGATCATACTCAAAAGGCAGAAAACTCTGCAGTTGAACCATCTTCCCAAATTTCGACAAGTCTTGCACGCCGTCTTGTACCTCTTTCAACCTATTGCCTACCGACTCAGGCTGGTGCACTACCTTGAATAACGAGTAGCCCATAGGGCCCTCGTGCAGAAGGAAATCAGTCATTGTCGCATATGGCTACTTCTGTCACAGATTCGATCGCCAGGTGTCTCGGGTTCGTCGAGGAAGTTCTGTATGCAACTCCAGAGGAAATTAATGATATTATTCCACAAACAACCTGGAGCACGTTGTATAGCTCAAAAAAAGAGCGCCGCAAATTCAGCATTCGGAAATTTTTGCTTGGTTTGCTTTTTTCGCTGGAATAGCTTGGCTTCGGTTGACCTTCCATGCCTGCCCCAGGAGCAACTTCCCTCAGTCATAGCTACCCCTACCAGACTCCATGGAAATGAAGAGATGCAACACATTTAGACACGAACTCTCCATATAAAGCTATCTGGAGGAACAATATCGAAGAAATTGACTCCCCACGACTACCTACATCTGAAATTCTGTGACCTCCCAGATTGTGTCATTGTATTCCAGCTTTTGTCCAACTTGCTTGACTGACATGCACAACCAGCTACAAGGTAGTGAACCGTTGCTTCGAATGTCCTTCGACCATTCTCGAAGGAAATCTTCATCAACTGTATGCTGCGGCTTACCACGAACCCACCTTTCCACTTCAATAGACTCACTACCATCTTCTTTGCGAATTGACATGATTCCCTGCACGTTACCTCCCAACCTGATCATGATGCCCTTGACCGATGCCGATTCAGTGACCTTTGCCACAACACAAGTTGTAGAGTCATCGACATCGTCCGATCTAGGGACTGCACTGGCGCTACACCAGTATTCCTTATAGAGCTCGTCTTTACCAGTAGCCGGATTTAGCATGACGCCCATTTCAAGACAATCTCCATTTGTCAATATAAACATGTCACCTTCATCGGATATCCCTGGTCCTCGAGAGTCAATGTCATGGAGGAATTTGCAATGTGCAGTATATGGCATTGCGACTGCATGCATCCCATCGGTAGCATCATGAAATGTGGTCTCAGCCCGACCAGAGAAAGCCCAGAAACTTGGGTGCTTCGATGTATCTGCAATCGAACGTGTATCTTTCGGAAAGCGAATATCAACAAACTCGCCAGATGGTGCTGTCAAAACCAAAGTATCTGTGTCTTCGTAGGGCGGTTTAAATCCCTTCTCAGATATGTCTGGTCAGTATCGCATTCACCCTACCTGTCAAAGTATCGAGGCGCCAGTAACTCGTGATGCTCAAGGTGTAATAGCGACTCACCCAAGCGATACCACGTCGCACGGAAGCGGAGGGTTTTGACAGAAAATCCTGTTTCCAAGCTGGAAGCTTTGAAGACGAATCACCAGACTCCTTGCCTATCACACCAAGGCTCTCGCCTGACATGCCATACATCTGCATCGTGACACCGTCGCATTCGTGGGCAGCAAGCTCAGCTATTCACTGCTTACAAGAAAAAGAGTGATGGCCAGTCAGTGGTATCAGTTTCTTGCTTCACGTGACAAACATGCTGTCTAGCTTGGCATTCGCGGGGATTTTGAACTTGTCCGCCTTCACTATCCGCTTTCTCTCTCAGCACTCATGTGACAGAGCATATTTTTGCTTAGTTACCAAGCGCGCGACGAGCACAGTTGTGTTCATACCTATATTTCAAGGCTCGGCAGCAGTGAAAAGAAGTTTGGCCGCAACACGCCGAATATAATTCCGTCGGTGCACGTTAAAGCCAACTATGGGGAACCCTCGCTTGCGATGGCCCCGGTAATTTGTGGAGGTGGGGTTGATCGTGCTCATCAGGAGCTATCTCTGGCGCCACAATCATCATGAATCAGCCGATTCCACTGCTAGTACCTCGCCGAGGCTCTTACTACATGGCTCTAGCTGCCTCTGCACGACTGCACCTTCCTGTGAGGGAGCAGCCTTCCACACGATGCTCGCCATGCGTTTAGCCACGGGACCACCTCTATTCGCATGCGCAATTGTACTACTGCTCCCCAAGCTTTCTTGCCTTTTGCAACATCTGCATCCCTCCACCATGTGCTGGCTCTGAAGCAGGGTCGCAAGATGCTGCCATCTCGTTGATGGCTTCCATGCGATCCTCCTCACCGAGTTTCAATCGCCTACATGGACGATCGGTCATCTAAAGGTACATTGAGGCGCAATGATGGCAGTCTGGACAAGGTCCACCCATCTGAACTACTCGAATTTGCGACGGTAGCAGACTCTGGGAGGATTGAGACAGCACCAACATTCGGGAGCGCCACCAATCATGCCACTAAAGAAAGGTTGGATAGAGGCGACGTTCGGAGAGAGAGCGTCACACGCTCGAACGATGATCTCTTCCGCGGTATGTCGGTCGCTATACCAGACTTGCGACGACTCTCCGCAGATGCACGAGCGCATACCGAAGCCGAGCACAAGATGACCTTTGTCCAAGGTTGCAGACTGTACCCAAAAGCTATAGCATGGTCAGTGTTATTGTCGGCAACGATTATAATGGAAGGTTTCGATCTCACCTTGATCTCCTCTTTCCAGGCCTTCCCGATTTTCAGGCGAACGTATGGTGAACCAGCTGACCCCAACGGTCGCAATCACCAAATCTCGCCTGCATGGCAGACTGGACTACAAAATGGTGCTATAGCTGGTGAGATAATCGGACTCTTTTTGAACGGATGGATAACCGATCGCCTGGGATACCAGCGCACAATGCTTGTCACGCTCGTGTGGATGTGTTTGTTCGTCTTTTTGGCATTCTTTGCCTTCAATATCGAGCTACTGATGGCCAGCCAAGTCCTTTGCGGGATACCTTGGGGTATTTTCCAGACTCTGTCCATGACCTATGCAGCTGAGATTATGCCTATAGCCCTGAGGGCATACCTTCTGGCGAATGTGAATATGTGTTGGTTGATTGGTCAGATCACGGCTGTGGGTATACTTAGAGGCTTCATCACTCTCCCTACACAATGGTCTTACCGCATACCTTTCTCTCTGGTAAGTGAAGCTTTGCGCACACATTTCCTCAGGAGATGGCCTTTGAATATTCCAACATCTTGGTTCGAGCTAACACCTAGTAGCAATGGGCATTTGCTGTGCCAATCTTGATCGGAGTACTCTTCGCTCCCGATAGTCCTTGGTGGCTAGTTCGACATGGTCGATATGACGCCGCCAAGAAAGCCATGTTACGCCTAACTTCTCGGAATGCCGGACAGCAATTCAATGTTGACGAGGCAATATCCATGTTGCGACACACGAATGAGGTGGAAAAATATCTCAACACCGAGTCAATGACATACCTTGATTGTTTCAAAGGTGTAAATCTAAGAAGAACAGAAATTGCTTGCATGGTATGGGCAGCACAGGCATTATGTGGTCTATCCCTCACAGGATGGGCGGCATACTATTACGAACAAGCCGGCTTCGCTGTGGACAACGCTTTCAATCTCTCCATCGGAATGTACGGACTGGGCATCATAGGTGGCATGTTGGCATGGGCATTGTTGCCCCGTGTCGGTCGTCGAAGACTCTATCTTGTCGGACTGATCGTCATGCAGCTAATCTTGATAGCGTCAGGCACGATAGGCGCTACACTTGTCGGTAAGAGGGGGTCGTGGGCGGTTGGCACCTTGCTGATTGTTCTCACCGGCATCTACGACGTCACAGTCGGCCCAGTATGCTACGTTCTTGTCGCAGAAATACCTTCAACCCGACTTCGAGTGAAGACTGTTGTCCTCGCACGTGTTGCCTACAACCTATTGAGCCTCGTGACCAACATCTTGACGGCAAGAATGCTCAATCCAACAGCTTGGAATTGGGCAGGGAAAGCGAACTTTGTCTACGCTGGCACAAACTTAATATGTTTGATATGGTGCTATTTCAGGCTACCTGAGACTATGGGGTTGAGCTATCTTGAGCTGGATATTCTGTTCGAGAAGAAGGCTAAGACGAAGAAGTTCAGGGAGTTCCAGGTGAATCTGGCAAACACAGGTTACTTCAGCTTGACGAGGCCAGAAAGAAGTGGTAGCGTGTGGAGAGGTTATTGAGCTTCATCAAACCAAATACATTGACTCGTCTTCTAGGTACTTGCCTTGTTCTGCTTCTGAAGTTTTCGTGTATCTCGTAGCGAGCTTCGTTCTCTTGGCCGCCGAATCCCTTGAAATGCAATCTTCGGAACTGTCGTTTGGTATTAGGTACTGGATGGACATACCTTGCGTTCAGAATTTCGTTACGTTGAGGCATGCACGAGTCTTCCTTGAAGGGTCATGACTGGGCGGTGTGTCTCAAGGTGGTATTGAAAATCCTTCTACGAGGCTCGTTGATCTTGCGTAACATGCAAGCCACAAGCACGTGAAGTGTCAGACATTTAATTTTGCATCGTCAATACATGTATCAGATCCTTGCTGTCCTAGGAAGACAGTCATGGTACGCCTACACTGTCTCACACCCTCCATGACCAGCGAAATCCATAACCATGCGTCTCATCAATACCTCCACCCTCGCCCTCGAAGACTTTACCGGCCATCTCAAGATCCCAGCCTACGCAACCCTCTCACACAGATGGCAGACCCGCGACCAAGAAGTCTCCTACCACGACTTCTTGTCCGGCGCGAAACGCAACACAAGTGGCTGGGCTAAGATTGTCGAGTGTTGTCGTGTCGCATTACTCCACGACCTTAGATACTGCTGGATTGACACCTGCTGCATTAATAAGGAAAGTAGTGCTGAAGAAAGCAGATCGATCAACAGTATGTTTACGTGGTACGAGCGGTCCAGGAAGGCTTTTGTTTACCTAGACGATGCGCATTGTGAAGACATCTCCACTATTCACAGTCTTAGGGGCGAGGAGGATTTCGCAGCGAGTCAATGGTTTACGCGTGGATGGACGCTTCAGGAGCTCATCGCACCAAGTAACATGACATTCTTCAATAGTAGATGGGAAGCGATTGGCACCAAGTACTCATTAGCTGAACTCATTTCCAGAATCACCAATATTCCCACCGATGTACTGCGAGGTGAACGCAGTCACCTAAGCTGTTCAGTAGCTCAAAGAATGTTTTGGATTGGGGACAGAGTGACTACAGTGATCGAAGACCAGGCATATTCGCTGCTTGGCTTGTTCAATGTAAACATGCCACTGATTTATGGCGAAGGCGAGAAGGCTTTCATGAGACTACAGGAGGAGATTATTCAGCGCTCGACCGACCAGACTATCTTCGCTTGGTCAGACCACAGCATGGAGAAAGGTGTTCTTGCTCCATCGCCAAAGTGCTTCCAGACACAGTATAGCAGTGGTCTCAGAGAAGTACCTGATTACTTCCCAGATGACCCTGCCTCCGATAGCTTTAACTTGGGAAATGCTGGCTTGTTGGTCGAATTTGTGCTCATTCCCTGGTCAATGAACACGTACCTGGCGCCCTTGCGCTGTTATGCATCCTCCACCTCTGGCTCGGATCAGCGTGTCTGTCTCATCCTCCGTCGCACGAAAGTCGCCAACCGTTTTGTCCGGATCAAGGTCAGCGACGAGGATCTTGTCCTACACAGGTATCTTCGTGTCCCTACTGATCCCAACCCTTCTTATTGGGACCGATCGCGCCTCTACAGACAGATCGTCATTGCTAGAGAGCCACTGATGAAGGTTGAAGATTGCTTCTATGGCTTCCATTTTGATTTCTTGTGTCCAAGCATGTTCGAGGCAGGATCGAGGCCGGACGCCACGGACGTGATTTGTGAATGTTCCTGGAATCGCAATATGCCCCGTCTTCAAATCAGTCACGGCACTTACCGCATTGCCGGTATTTTTCGCTTGAGCAAGAAACGATTCGGTACATCGTTTCTAGTCATGGGCTTTGATGCCGACTTCAACCCGTTCTGTTTCATTGCATCGCCACCATTCGGGCTGATGAAGACTTATCTCCCTTTGCTCAACGTGAAACGTGATATTATAGATCCCAAAGACGTCTCGGCCATGAGTGTCTGGGAGCGCTCCAGCTGGTTAGATGCCATGTATCTGCACAAGTACATCGATGAACTAATCAGGATGTCAAAAGAATCGGCGTTCGACTGGCAGGGACGTGCTGTGTCCCAGGGCCTCCTGCTTGGTGACCGCAACACATCGGAGGAAGTCTTTCAGGTCCCAAGATTTCAGTTGATGGTCATATTTAAGCTCGTAGAATCGCACCCAGAGAATAACTGGAAAATCACATTCAAGGACTTGCCACAGCCAGGAATGATGTTCTTACATGTCAGCTAACCACTTGTCGAAGTGCTACCATCTGATGGAATGCAAGTCGCCACTTTTCAGTCTCATGGTCATATTCCCTGATACAGCTGTGACCGTGCCTTGTACAAGATGGTTGATTTGTTCTTCCTTGACGCCTTCCCCCAGAGAAAGACAGCTCACCAGGCCCACATCAACTTGCTAGCCAATACTCGTTCACCTAACCTCTCATACAAGAAGGGGGTGACCCAGCTGTCGTTTGTTTTACTCATTCTTCCGAAAACAGCACCGCCTTTCCATGTCACAACTTCGGGGTCTAACTCTCTTGGTGGACGACTCACAACCACTTCTCTACTGTAGCCAGTCTCAGCGAGTATTCCCTGTAATGTGATCTCCATATGAGCACCCATGCCGGCAGTCTTTGAAGCACCGCCAACAAGGAGAAGAGAATTGTATAGGTCTTTCGTCTTGGCGGGACTACCACGAGCAGCGTGGTTGATAGAGCTTGTTATGGCATACGCAAGAGGGTATATCGGAAGGATATCGTCGCGTCGTTCGAGGTAGAAAGGATCTTGCTGTTGTGGTGTCGGATAGTGGTGTTCTGTAGTGTCCATCATTGTATCATCGCCCCCAGGCCTGAGCAGCGAGTCATCGCCAGGCATCGGAGTTCCGTTCTCGGTATGGCGTGGAGTACCGTTGTCAATCGGAGGAGTAGCTCTACGAATTGGTGAACTTGCACCAGATGGCGTTGGAGTGCCGTTCTCCAGCTCTTGAATACGTGCTATCGAAGGACGTCGAGAGTCAGTCTCGTCTCTGACAAGACCGTTTATACCGTTGGGCCTGGGTTTCAGAGCTTCGGGAACTGGTTCGGGTGGAACCAACGCTTTGAGAATCTCGCCTTGTGCGGTCGAAGTCGGGTCGTTAGCTTTTCCATCGTAGGTGTCATAGGATTTGCTAATGAGTCGCCGCCGTCCATCAAGCTTGCCTTTGTGGTCGAATAATTCGGGTCTGAAAAGAGTTAGACTCGGCAAAGCAACCTCATCGTAAATCTTGAAGCTATATTTACGAGTGTCCTGGCGCGGAGCTCGTAGGTGAAAGTCATATAGCTGCACTGAGATATCTGGCTCTACTATTGTACTGTATTTCTTCTTCAGCTCATTAGCTAACAGCCAGTCGTACCTTCGCTTGAGGTTGACGTCGGCATATGGGAAATGGTTGTAAATGATCATCTTGACAAACTGATCCGTAACATCATGTCCACCAAATTTGAGGTTGACACGTGAGTTTTCGATCACCATGCCATCCTCGACACAACAAACAGATGTCTTCTGAGCACCGATATCTACCACACAAGTTGTGGTGTACCCGGCGCCGAAGGAGGCAGCCAAGCTTTCCTGGATGAAGCAAACACGTGCGAGGCCGAGATCTTGAATCGCTAGGTCAAGTAGATGGGTAACATACGTCCTCTCGTAGTAGTCTGGAATTACGATGACACAGTTGTATTGAGCCCAATCCTTGCGCGTCCTGATCTCAAGTTTGAGCTCTGTGCGCACGGAATCCTCAATGATCAGACCAATGTCATTGTAGAGATTCCGTGTTGAGTCGTAGTCCTTCTCGTTGACCCATCCATGCCGTATAGGCCAGTGAAGTTTGTATCTAGGTTTTGATTCGTCTGGTATGCGCAAAGCTGCATTTCCTGCCACATAGGTTGGTTCTTTGCTTACGTCGGTCCAATCGATATGCATAGTATCGTTGTGCTCGTTGATGGTCTCATATGTCGCCCTTCTGTTGTAGCTGACCACCATGTCTCGTGACTGTGGAAGGACCTTGAGCTTGTTCATGCGCATTCGCACTTTGAGTTCGTTTGAAGCCGCCACAAACTTAGCTGCAAAGGCTTCGCCAAACCTCTTCTCGGGTACCGGCTCAACAAGGCCACTGTCAAGTTTCCGTCGTTTCGGCGCAGGTTCACCATCGTCCTCCTCCATTTCACTCATTTGTGCTCTCCGAGCGATAACCATGGGCACAGTCTTCGGCAAAAGGTCGCTCGCGAGTCCAATCCGTAAGTTCTCGCTTCCAGGATGTATTACAATAGTTCTGTTTCCGGCGGAGATTTCATCCTCCTCTTCTTCATCGTCCTCGTCCATATCCACGTCCCCATCTTCGTTCACCTTGCCGCCGTGAGCAAGAGCCCGATCTCGATCTTTCGCATTCTTAATCATCCGTAATCGTGCTTCATCTTGTTGCGTTCTGACCGCAAGGAACTGCTCATCTCGCTTGAGGAAATCGACGTAGTAATTCTTTTGGTTAATAGGCTGTATGACTGGCCACGAACTTTGTTCCATATTGTTGTCAGTACGCTCGAGGCCTAAGTTTCTGGTCAGTCTGGCACGGGGATATTTGCTACGAGAAAATATACCTTCCTCCCTTAGGAGAGCCTGCTCAAATTAGTATAAACTCGTTTTATGTCTCATATTAATGTGATCACTCACCTTCCCACTCTTCTTACCCACCATCTTGGCTGAACAGCGAGTCCGTCTCCTCTACGATCCAATACTCGAGATCAGACAATTCGACGCAATTAGCGACGAGGCAATAATTCACAGCAATTGTCGTGCATACGTGGTAGATGACGCGCTACGCGTCAGTAAGGTGAAATCCTGACTCATTATCCAACGTTCATACTCTGGTAAATGACTCGTTCTGTGGTTGGCCTTTTGATATATGGCAGACTTGCCTCTTCGGGAAGCTCTTCCATCGCACCTGCATCTTCCTACGTCACTTGTCGATCCTCATTCAACAGCTACTCGATTTTCTTATACGTTGATTACCCCTCCCCGAATGACCTTGGTGGGCCGATGAAACTTCGTGGGAAACTCTCGGGCTGCCTCGTGCAATGTCCCTGCAGTAGCAGTTCCATATGCCTTGGAACTCGTAATCATTCTGCGTGTCCAATGATGAACGCTGAGGGGCACTCAACGCTTCAGAGACAGAAGCGTTCAGAACGTATGTGTTGACGAGTGGTAGGTAGGCTATATCATCTTCGTGTCCTGTGTAACACTGCAGTTTCGAAAGTTCAAGTCCAGTGCCTAGCGCATGATCTTTACCCTCAAATTCACATTGTAGCATCTAGGTTTGACCATGGCTGCGTCCACTGCCTCCAGTTCTGTCCTGCAAGATCCTAATCGAAAAGATTCACTCGATCCCAGGAACGACATAGTAGTTCAAGAAGACCACTACATCGGCATCGATGTAGGAACAGGAAGCGCAAGAGCCTGTATCATAAATTCAAAGGGCGACATTGTGGGATTGGCATCGAAGAATATTGGATTGTGGCAGCCCCAAACAGGTTACTATGTATGACCTTCTCGACAAGGAAAAGAGCTGCTGCTTACTACTTCAATAGGAACAATCTACAAGTGATATATGGCGTTGCATCTGTGACAGCGTCAAGCAAGCCGTTACTCAGAACAACGTCAATGTCAACTCGATAAAGGGTATTGGCTTTGATGCTACCTGCTCCCTCGCTGTCTTCACCCACGACACAGACGAACCAGTCTCAGTGAGTGGGCCGAATTTCGACAAGTCCGGCAACGACCACAATGTGGTACTTTGGCTAGATCATCGACCTGACGAAGAGACCAAGAAGATAAACGCCACGAAACATAACCTCCTGAGATATGTCGGTGGGACCATGAGTATAGAGATGGAAATACCAAAAGTTTTGTGGCTGAAGAACAATATGCCCCGAGAGCTGTTCGACCGCTGCAAATTTTACGACCTGACCGATGCTCTGGAGCACTTGGCCACTGGCAACGAGAAGAGGAGCTACTGCAGTGTGGTCTGCAAACAAGGTTTTGTGCCTGTAGGCGTAGATGGCAGTGTGAAAGGTTGGCAGGAAGACTTCTTAAAGGAAGTTGGTCTTGAAGACCTCTGTGAGGACAACTTTAAGCGCCTGGGAGGTGTCGATGGAGTAGTAAGCCTGAATCCTGTGCAAAGCCGGACGATCTTCTAACTGTTGCAGAACGGAGAGTATCTCTCCGCTGGTGAACTCGCTGGCGTCCTATGCGAACGAGCAGCAACAGAGCTTGGTCTGCCTCCTGGCATCGCAATCGGTTCTGGAGTCATCGATGCCTATGCTGGCTGGATCGGCACTGTGGGAGCCAAGGTAAAGTTGTCAGATGACCAGCTCGACACCGACATTCCTAAAAACGACCAAGCACAAGCCTTCCACAGATTAGCGGCGGTAGCAGGCACCTCGACCTGCCATCTCGTCATGTCCAAAGAGCCAGTCTTCGTCAACGGTGTCTGGGGTCCATACCGAGACAGCATCATACCCGATTACTGGATGGCCGAGGGTGGCCAGTCTGCCACTGGTGAACTTCTCAAACATGTGCTAGAAACACACCCTGCATATTCCCAAGCACTTTCGTCCGCCGAGTCACTCAACACGAACGTCTACGATTATCTGAACCAACATCTTCTCGACCTAAAAGAAGCTCGCAACGCTCCGTCGTTAGCACATCTCGGCAAGCACTTCTTCTTCTACGGCGATCTATTCGGCAACAGGTCTCCAATCGCCGATCCAAGCATGTCAGGCAGCGTGGTCGGTCTATCCTCAGATAAATCCATCGACGGCCTCGCCCTCTACTACTATGGCACAATGGAGTTCATAGCTCTGCAAACACTCCAGATCGTCTCAACCATGAACAAAGCTGGCCACCAAATCACATCCATCTTCATGTCCGGCTCGCAATGCCAGAACGAGGTCCTCATGTCCCTCATCAGCACAGCATGTGATATGCCAGTCCTGATACCGAGATACGTACACGCGGCTGTCTGTCACGGCGCTGCTATGCTAGGTGCCAAGGCCGCTTCGGCTGATGCAAATGGCAAGACTGAAGATTTGTGGAGTATCATGGATCGCATGAGTAAACCTGGTAAGACTGTGAAGCCTACGCCGACGAAGGGTGTCAAGGAGTTGTTGGATGTTAAGTATACTGTCTTTTTGGAGCAGTGTGAGCGACAGAGGGAGTTCAGGAAAATGGTGGACGATGTTGTCAGTAAGACGACTTAAAAGCATGAATGAATTTTGAGTCTCTTCTTGCAAGGACAGTACTACTGAACACATAGACTGATTTCGGACGCCTCATCAACCAAAGATTATATCTGGTACAGGTAAGGTAGAGAACAGGAGCAAGCTTAATAAAAATCACAAGGTGGAATTCTACTCGTGTGTGATGCTCTTATCATGGAATGCTTCGTATTGTGCGCCTGCTCAAACTATTCGAGATAACAATCTACTCATCAGCCACCTGCAATCCCTCTCTCAATCCCTCAACCTTCAGCTCTTCCCCAGTCGCTCTCCTATAGATGTCCTTGACGTCATCCGTAGTCGTCTCAAAATGCGACGTAGCATCATAAGACTTGCTAATATAAATGCCATCCTTGCTACCATCCTCAACAGGCTCATACAACGGAATCGGTGGACCCATGAACTTCTCCTCAATTCTGCCCAATCTATCCAGACCTGGCTGCAACTCAAGGTGATGGTTGGCGCTGCTCTCTGCTATCGTCGACACGATCGCGATGTAGTACCCTTTGGGACAGACGTTGTGTGCAGATGAAACCATGGCGATGTAAATGTCGCGCTTGCGGCCAACTTGGCTTTGAGGGATGATGAGTTGGAGGGAGTCGGAGTCGGCGGTGCGCTCGATAGGGTGGTTGAGGATACATATGCATTTGAGGAGGTAACCTGTGACCCTTGTCTTGCCTGGGAAGTAAGATGGGTCACCCAGGATCATCTTGGTCTTGGTCTCAAATTTCATGGCTTGGTCCTCGTTGCCACGCTCGAGCATGGTGGCCTTGATGCCGGAGACTTTGTTGCCGTCGTAGAGGATGTCGTCGACGGATGTGTTGAGCATGTAGGTGCCGCCGTAGATGGCAGAGAGTCGGGCGAAGCCTTGGGGGAGCTCGCCGAGACCATAGAGTGGGTAGATGTATGGGGATTTGCCGTATCGGGCCATGGAGTTGGCGTATAGACGGATGCGCTCTATTGTTTCCATTGCTTGTCCTTTGTTGTTGATGTACTCGTCGGATTGGTAGAGGGCCATGCTGTGACCGATGAAGTCGCGGGTGGTGGCTTCGAGGCCGAATTTGTCGTAGACGTCCTTCATGCTGCAAGCTGGTATGTTGAGACCTGGCATGGCATGTTAGTATCCTGTTGTCTGCTCTTCATGTTCTACGTCCACGTACCTTGATGCGTGCTAGGATTGTTTGCATCGAAATTGCCTACCCACTGCAGGAAATTCTTTGCCCGTCTCTTTTCAAACAACCCCATCAAAGGACTCGACAGTGCTTCCGACGCAGAGGAAGGAACTTTCGCAACTGTTGCTCTGGAGCCTGTGCCTTGCTGTACAAAGGAGCCTGCAATCTGTCTGAATTCGAGGTAGCGGGTGACATCGGTCGAAACAAGGATGTTGGTCAACTCGCCGTTGGCCATAAGCAGTTTGGGTACTAGGTCGACGTTCCAGTCGTTGACTCTGCCGTACTTCTTCCATGGCTCGCTGCCCTGGCCTTGGTTGCCATATTTCTTGAAAAGCTGCGATGTTGTTAGGACTCGGATGGCACAACGTTCTTTCGAGACGCATACGTACAGCTTCGATGTTTAGAGATGCTGATTCACTGCACATATGGTCAGCCACTAGTTGTCTCAATGGTCGAGCAAGACCTACCCTCCATAGTGGTCGTTGCGGTCAATGTGTAAGACTTTCTTGCCCTTGACACTCAGCACACTAGCATTCAGTCAGTACACAAGGGCTTTAGGAGATTGAAGACCGTACACACCCAGACAAGACACACTCGGTCAAGCCTGTTATAAGATCAGGTCAACGTTGCTCGTGTTTACAGCGACCATTGCGGGGTTGAATTACCTGTTCCAAGCACTACAACGTCGTATTCTGGTGCGATTTCATCCATACTGAGTAGTATTGCCAGGTAGAGACGAAGGTTTCTGGAAATGCTCAAACGTTGGCTGAAAGCTTGACGACAGTATATCTCGTACAAAGTGGCCAGTCGGTGAGGATTAAGTCATATGTGCCTGGTGGAGCATGCGGGCGAAATGCAGGCCTTCACCAGAAAGGGAAGGATTCGCAGTCTCCAAACATGCTTTATATACAACAGAAGATTAGATAAGGATTGAAAGAGTTTCGTTGTCTTTACTAGAGACTAAGGCCTCCACGATTGCTCACAATTAAAGACGACCTGTAAGTTAGACGTTGATGCCATGCCCAAGAGCTCATGAGGCTTCCGATCAACTCCAATCCAGCACCAATCGCTTCTTAGATTCAAGACCACCACATTAAACCTGACCTGACGCCTTGTTATAACGTACACCATTTATGGGAAGCCTGTTTGAGAAGCAAATGACACATGTTTGCCCTTGGCCTTTTCCTTCCTTCTCTCTTCAGCCAGACGTTTCCTAGCCTGCTCAACCTCCAGCTCACGCTTCGCACGACGTTCCTCCTAGGTACTGCCGCTCGTAGTTGCTGCGCCAACGTTGGCAACACCAGCACCACCTCCACTCCCATTCATCAACTTCGCAGCTTGTACAGCACTGACTTTGTGCGCCCATCCGGCAGCTGGTTGATTCTTCCGCACGGTTCGTACTTCGTCGGTGGAAAAGCCTGGTATCCGCATATTGTATTGTCTTTCAAGCACAACCATGCAGTCGCGCGGTTCGAGAGAAGTTGCACCTCGTAGCTTCGCGAGTCGACAACCAGAGGTGATGACGTCTTCGACAAAATCGTCAAGCAGGTTCAGACAAATCTGTGTTCATGTTAGCGGAGCTTCTAATGGTGAGGGTATGCAACTTACCTCCTCGGCTTCAGGTGTGAGCTGATCGTCAGAATTGGGGCCCACTACTTCTCGTACCAAATCGTGCAACTTTTTCTTAGATAATAAATGACCGTCTTCACTCTGTTCCAGGACATAACCCGGAAATGTTGTGAGTGCTGGCTGAGCAATCTGACCAGGGAGACCAACGTTTGCACCACCATTCAAAGTGGGTCGAGAAGGTGGCATTTGAACAGGTGTAGGATCCGCAACTTGTAGATTCTTGGGGATGGGTGGAGGATGTGCTTTCATACCATTCACAGCGCTACTAAGTGGGTGGGCGTTGGCTGTCACGTTAGGATGTGCGTGCGAAGCCTGCACGCCAGTTTGTACAGAAGGATGAATCGCGCTTGGTGGTCCTGGTTGCGTGGCAGTAGAAGGTCGACTTGCGTTGGGTTGGGCAATCATCATTGGGTTTTGCTGAACTTGTTCAATAGGTGTTGATTGCGAACCAGACGTCACTGTGCCTGCGGGTTGTGACGCGCCTGGAGCAGTCACTGAGTTCGTAGCGTTAGCGCGAGCAGCAGCTTGCGCTGTGGCGATACTGTACGCCTGAGGTCCCGCTTGCACTTGCTGACCCGCACCTTGACCTTCACTTTGGTTTTCACCACCTGTCACTACTGGCTGTGCACCAGGCTGGGTGAATTTCTGTTGCGGCCTATTGTTTTTGAATTGCTCCTGCTGTTCCTTGAACTTCTCCATGAAACTTTGAGCTTCTCGTATTGCTTTGTCGCATTGTGCAAGCTTATGGGATAATCCATTATGTTCGTCTTGTGTGAGCGGATTTCCAGTCGCAGCTCGACTCTGCGCAGCTCGCTGCAATTCGGTCTTCTTGTTCTTGGCCATTTGGGCTCTTTGAATGGCTTGGCCGTATCTAGCTTTGGCTTCTTGCAGCCACTGAGTGGCTTGAGCAGAGCCTTCGGTCATCGCTGGAGGATAACAAAAGGTTTGCTGGTTAACTCTTTGCTGAACCTCGGGGAGGAGTTGTGCGAACGAAAGTGCGCTGTTTGCTTGTTGTGCCTGAGTCGCACCAGTCGCCTGCTGGCCTTGACCTTGACTTTGGTTCTGACCTTGGGTTTGACCTTGACTCGCCTGTTTAGCTTGTGCCTGTGCCTGCTGTCGTTCCTTGAACTGTTTCATGCCCTGCATCAGCTGAGCAGACAGCCTCGTCAATTCCTGCAGCGCTTGTTGATATCTCGGATCGTTCGAATTACTGCCAGAATTTGTTATGAATTCCCAGAGTCTCGATACTTTGCCCTCGGTTTCCTGCTTCTGTGCAGTTGTGAGGTGAGGCAGCCTGGCCACTTGTTCTGGTCTTATCAGATTCTGAAGGCTCTGTCCACCTGGCCGAGGGGCCTGCGCCTGGGCAGGTGCGCCTCCGTTCATAACTGCGGCGCTCAAAATGTTTCCTGCCTTCCCATGCAAGGCGTCCAAAGATCGCTTCGGTTGTGTGCAGCTGTGTGGTACAGAAGGGTCGATACGTCAGAACGCTGTCAGGCAGATGATTGTTGTGGCACCAATGAATTCTATCAGCTAGATAACGACAGGTACGTTCCGATCTATGTTATGTGACAGATCCGATGGTCGCGTGGTGATTAGCAAGAATAGATCGGGTATAAAGTAGATTTCTAGGTGAACAATTTCAATGGTTTCCGACTCTGAGTCAATTCAAGCAGTAATAATACAAACAGATCGAAAGACGTGAGCAGACTGTGGTACAGTTCAAGTTGAAGTTAGCAGGCAGGCACGACCTTTGGTTCAGACTCCCCATTCCGTGGTCTCTACTCTTTATTCCGTCAACTCCTTATCAGGCAAGTCGACCGAACTCGTTCATCTCGAAAGTGATGTACAATCGTGAGATCTGTCTCAGTCTCAGCATGCACACGCATTACTGTGAAAATCCCAACCTTTATCACTTCGAAGCCCTAATAGCTCATCAAGGCTTGATCACGGCGAGGTGTGCGTTGTGGACAGAACAACCAAAAGGATGTATAGCAAGTTCTCGAGAACACTCTCCAGCTTCGACCTAGAGTTCTATCCTCATAGCCCAAATCGTGCTCGCATACCCAGAATCTCGTATTCCATTTGGAGTAGAACAAAATCATCGAGATGACCATCACGAAGGTTCAACGACCAAGACGAATCACCAGGACTTATCGGAGAAATCCACCTTGCGTTGTCGCGTGCTCTGTGTGGCTTGCGAATGTCAAAAGGATCCGTCGCAGGCCAGACCTTCTTACCGTCATTTGAGTCAACTTCTTGGCTGTCTGTCTCATTCATTTGGTATTAAGGTATTCTCTCATCCTGTTGTACATGTTCTGTGTCTGCTCTGTGCTGATAGCTACCAGGACCTAAAAATGCAGCTGGCCAAAAGGAAGGTTGACTGGCAGCATCTGGAAACATGAAGGACGGCTGTGCGAGTGGAGAAGGTTGTGTCGCGGCCATCATATCGTCGTCCGTTGTCGCTTGAAGCGTTGTTGGCTGTACGTTCTGTCCTGGTCTTCGATCAGTTGTCCTCAACTCCGCACTCGCATTGGCTTGAGCAGGAAGGCCATCATCCTGCGAAGTCCATCTCTGCTCATACGACTCTATGAATCTGTTCCTCCCTTCTGTATCCAGACTTGGACTGGTACGTGGAGCCCCTTGAGCTGAAAGTGAGATCGAGCTATGTGCCGCTAGAGCCTTCAACCGCAGAATGTGAGCTGACAACTCTGCCCACTCAGGTCCAACCTGACCTCGAAGATTAACGGCATCTATGAGTGCCTTCACGTGGCTATCTGTGCCGTATTGTGATCTCAAAATTGATAGAGTGCTAGCATCGACCTTTTCTGTACCTCTGTACCGCTAGTGCCCCCAGGAGGCAGTAGTGGCTCAATTGCTAGCGCTGGCACCTCTATTGAGCCTGATGGTATGTCTCTTGTTCTCTCTATGATGGCGTCGATCGAACCGTTCTGCAAGCTACAGTGCTGATGGTAGCCCTTGGTGGTCTTTGCTCCAGCACTTTGTTCAGGATGAGCTTCGTGCAATGGAAGTGGATTTCGTCTTCGACTTCAGGTGTACCCACTGCGCTCGTATCGGCCCGTGTCTCTGATACAAATTCGCTATCCTCATCGGACCCTGCGTCAAAAGGCTCATCATGATGTACACCGCTCTTGTAATAGACTCTTCTTTCCCACTGATACTGCACACTTTCCCACCCACCGGGACTGTTCTTGATCTGAGGATGCTTGTCTTTGATGTGTTTCAGCAGACTTGATGCGCGAGGCGATGCACGCCCTGGAGTTCGCACTTTAAAGTGAACACCAGGACATAAACGACATCCCCAACGCAGCACTTTCTGGCATACTTGTCCTCGAGTTGGCGATACGACCTCTACTTTGCTGGGATTGAGGTCGCTTGGTCACACCGTTGAGATTTTTGGACTCCAACATGCGGTGACGGTGAAGAGACAGATTTGGATCCATGATCTAAGAAATGTCAATATTCAAGGTTGGAAAGTCGCAGAAAATGCGATAAATTAGAAGAATACGTCAAATATGCTGTGAGAGGTAAACAAAGGCGGGTGTTTGATGGAATCATAGTGAGGGTCAGGAGTGACATAGTGAAAAGATGTAATAGTCTATTTTCCAGTTGTCTTCTTCACTAATTACTGTCAGTTTCCCATGTTTTTAAGCAGCTGATAGCAACTTCCACGAGTACTGAAGAGACGCCATAGGCAGAAGCATAGAAGGCTTCGGAAATGCTTCAGGGTATGTGGATCATCTAGACATGCTAAATAGTCCAGATTGAAAACAACAAGGTTGCCCTGCTTCTTCTGCTCAAAATACTGCATGTTCGGAATCATCGATGTGAAAGTAGTGTAGAAACACGTTGCGATTTTGAAAGCCAGCCGAGCTTCGAGAACGACGTGGACTGTCAGGTCTCCATCGCTCAGACGCGGTCACCTTGGACATCGATGCGTGACCACACATGACATTAGTCGATCCAGCTCGATGTGCAGTTCTGCAACTTATGAGATGTAGTGATTGCGTTGTGAGACCACGCGACACTGACAGCGATCTTGAGATGCATCGGAAATAAAATTGACCCGAGAGGTTAAAAATGGGGTTTTATGGAAACCCTAGAAAGCCTGCCCCTCGGTATCATCCTCAACACCACGCCGCCATAGTCGTTCAGGCTATCGTCCGATGTCTTTACCATATACTAGTAAGTCACACAGGACATACTGATAACAACACATCGCAGATTCACAAGGAGCTTATTCGATTACTCCGGCGCCCTGCGTGTGCTTCACACCAATACCTCGCATGATGTATCGTAGTATTCATACACCCGCTGGGTCCAGGGCATCAAGTTTCAAGTAATTCAACATTCGGAGGTCATTGAGGTAGCGTTGCAAAAGAGAACGATCCTCTGCAGGACCTCATGAGATCCCATGTTCAGTGAGAGTCTTTACTGAAATGTGGCCGTCATACATGGTCGTTGTCTTCAGCCAGGATTGTATAGCAAGCCCGTTCGTGTTTGTTACCATTGACCTGTCTGACACTTTTGTCTAATCGTGACAGGTTTACAAGTCAATCATGTGTCTACATACCACTATCACTACCCAGATGATATCTTGTTGGTTTGATTGTCTTTGCCACAATAGTGGTTCACAAACATCTGCGGAACGATGGCAATATGGGTCTATCATTGAGAACCTACACCGATTTCTCTTCAACACAAAAGGTTGAGAATTCGCTTTGTTGTATCCTCCTGAAAAACACCAGCACTGACTGCCAACTGTTCACATTGCAGAATAGAATGTTACTCGATACTAATGCTCAGCATGACACAAACCTCTTATCAACAGAATATTCACATGCCGACCTGGAGCTCTTGGCCAAGACTGCCTCTGATGTATTAGCACAATTGCAAAGTTTCAGAGAGAGTGTACTAGAGACAAGAGAAGATCGAAAACCCGGAGAACAGTTCGAACAGGGATCGAGTGCATTACTTCAGCGGGTCTCCGAGACTTTCGAGGCAAAGGACTGGACGACCCTCGATCGCAACCAGCTGAAGCACGAATGCAAAATACGCGGGATCAACATAAACGGCTTCAGGCGCAACGAGCAGTATGTCCGCAAACTTCAGGAGTATATAGATGCACAGAACAAAAGAGTGGTACCTGCTCAACCCACGAACGATGTGCAAGCTTCCACCTCAAGCCTACCATCGACTGTACAGCCAAAAACACTGCCAGCCATAGGAAGGACCTTGACAGAAGCAGCTGACTATCTCACTCTCGTTCGGAGTCGATTTGAAGGTCAGGCCGATTCCAGCGAATACATCCGTCTTCTCGAGATTATGAGAAACTTCAAACACCGCACGATTGACACTCCGGGTGTTATTGCTGGAATCTCGGAGCTCTTCTAGGGTCATGGTGACCTTCTCGCGGGAATTAAACCGTTCTTGCCTGCCGATTATCAACACATGCTCGTGGTTCCAGAATGAGCTACACGTCTACACGTAGCAAGACGGAAGCGCTTGGCCGAAACTCTTGAGAGCTCGTTGACAGGCTGTTCGTGCCTTCCGTGTCCAGTCACGAGGACGCGAAGATCCTCTTCTCGTTGCACTTGCCAACCTCAGTTCTTGAAGCGTCCGTGTTTGATCGTCTCCATTTGCGGTCCTGCCGGGGTTTCATCGTCCTCTGTGTTCTCTTCCTCTTCGTCATCTCATAACTCCGCGGACCGTCAAAAACATCGGTCACCAAAAACATCAATATTAGCCATTACTTGGTGTTGTTATATATTGCTATATAGCTGAATAATAGCTGCATTTATATGAGGATCTAAAACGTATACTTCTTCCTCTTTCTCTTCCACCTCTTCCACCTCGTTATCGTCGTCGTCGTCGCTGCTGTCGTCGCGTACGGGCACTAGAGGACTATATGACCCTAGCTGAACGTCGACAAGATCAATAAATCGCTTATTGACATTGACTGCTTGTCGACGAGTGTTTTTACCAGCTGCCTCAGCCAGCTTGCTGGCGAGTGTGTTCCTCTCTTATTCCGCAGTCGCTAGCTTAAATATAGTATGTTCCAATCTCTTACCTATTTTATTAACCATAGTACGTACTGCGCGAGGGACGGTCGTCGTCGCAGCGATAGTCAATAAGGCTTAAACAGCTTGGGCATGGTTGCGTGGTGTAAGCTATATATTCCACTCGGACGACGGGTCAGCAATTGGTGGTTTAGGCGTAGAAGGTCGCTGGGTCAGTTGTGACAATATCCAGCGAGTTTCGACCACTTTAGACGGTTTATATGGCCACAGCCCTGTCGCCCTAAAACCTAATTTAATATTAGACGATATAATAGCGTCCTTACGCGCCTATACGAAGCGTTTTATAAATATAGCTTTCACGTAGGGCGACCAGTTATTATATACCGTTTCCCTAGCGACTAATATACGAAACTTACGCTTAAGCGACGAGAATATAGTTATATTAAGCGGCTACGTAAAATAGCTTATATAGGCAATAAGGTAGACGATATATATACGATTAGTAATCGTATATCGCATAAACTCGTCCGTTATATATAATTTATAACCGTTATAGACTAGCAGTCGCTATTAACCGTTAAGGAGGTTAATAGCCGTCTAAGGGACGAATATACACTTTAGCTATTAAAGCGTTACCTTATTCGTCGTAAAGGTATAGTTAATAACAGTATAGTACTAGTTAGGCGTCTCTTCAGCGATAAACCACTACTGTTGTATATACTTGCCCTTAAAGATTAACAATAGTTAGATTAACCGACCGTCTATACAGACATACTTAATAGACGTTGCCTATTTATATTCATAAGGACGTTTAATAATAGATATATTAGTATCGTAGCGACTAACTATATTCTAGTTACTACACCTATTTAAAGCAGTACCAACTTCGTCTATATTCTAAATATACGACTCTTAAATATTCTTACTATTGTATATAGTAAACAGCTCGTTAAACCACCGTAGTATACTGTCACGACCAATATACAACCACGGCACAAAGTGTACTAATTAAGAAAGGGCGTTCAGACTAGCCTAGCTAGGGGAAGGTTTAGCGAAGTTACGAGCGACGGACGACCCGGTTTAGGTATAATGTTAGAATATTAGTAATATTAGGTTAAGACCTGATATTATAATATTATAAATATACTAGAAGAAATATAGGATATATATATATCGTAGGTTAGGCGTAACTAATATTTTATAGTTATTCTATAATTAATCTCTCTTACTAATTCTACTAGTACCTTTTAAGTACCTTTCTATCGTGTTTACACTTCTTATTATTAACTAGCTAATATACCACTCCACTACCTATGATTAGACCTACTTACCCTAGGCCTAGGAACTTACGTAATATATACCCTCTTTTATAATATACTATACTCTTCTATAATTAATAGACTTACCTACTTTAGTTTTAACAGCTAGCGTCCGTATAATATATCGTCGTACCTATCTCTTTCTAATATAGCTATTACGTCCGTTAAGGCTTATAATAAAGGACGCAGTTTCTCGTAAATACTAATAGCTAATAGCCTAGCCCGTTACTTCTATCTCGATTATTATCTAGGTAAGCCGTTCCTCTTATATATCGGTAAGTTTCCGCTATAACTGTCGCGACTTCGTAATTATTATACGACCTTTAATTCTGCTACCTAGCGTACTATAGTGGACGCTAAATGCAGTCGCAGTCGCTCGAATCGACTTATACATACCTTTATTATATACTGCGATAGCAGCTGTTAAATTCTGCTTATTTACTTTACCCATATTGCGTGGTGTTGTTGAATGCGACAAGAATAACAAAAAAAAGTTGGCGCAGAAAAAAGTGATGTTTTTGGTGACCGATGTTTTTGACGGTCTGCGGAGTTACTTGTAGTCCATTTCCATCCACTATCTTCTCGTCCCGCGATTTGGCTGCATGACCAGTCCAAAACCCCATGTGGTCTTCTCTCAAAGTCTCGAGACTTCTACTATTCGTGTAGGGTCTATGTATTTTGGCTCTTACTGGTGAAAACGTCCTATTTGTGGTTGCATTCTTTATGATAAACCACAACTAACGACTAAGCTCAATATTCTGGCAGGTCGTGCATTTTTAACAAACACCAAGCACTTTTGTATAGTCAACGAGGTAGACTGACCTCGTCGTTCCTCCGACCAGTATACAACATAGACTTCCATTGCTGCAGTTGCTCAGTATCTACTCAGCCACATTGAGGCTATGTCTTCATAGTAAGATTGACGCGATCTTCACAGCGCTAAACTATGGTGGACAAATAGCTGACTGTTGATCATCCTGTTCGGCCCCCCATCCTGTGGATCAATCACTCACAAGCTCAATACCACAGGTCTGGAACTACGCGCGCAGCCTTTGGGGGCCAACCTGCCAGCATCACGATGAGAAGTTTCAGTTTCGGCTGTGACGCTTGTGCCTACAGGTTAACTACTTGCAGACATACTGCTAGTCATGCTGCATCTGACTTCTTGACAATCCACGTTCCTTCTGACGATGACTGAACTCCTCTTCATCTCTGATGCACTGCTGTATTGACTGATGGTCGAAGTCCGGTTATTGTCTGCGTGCGCTGTTCTTGCTAACGTGCCGACATGGATCCGATATCCATCACTGCGGCATGTGTCGGTTTATTGAGCGGCTTGACTGCAATATCGACCAAGATTCGAAACCTCACAGTTGATGCGAAGAACAGGAACAAAGAGGTTCTGGCCCTCCATAGCGAACTCGACTCATTTCAGCGAAGTCTGGGCTTGTTCTACGGCAGTGGTCAAGCAGACCGATATCCAGAGCACCTTTGCGCCGACCTAGAAAAGATTATCCGAGGAAGCAGGTATGTCGTCGAAGAGATCGACGGCCTGTTAGAGAAGGTCGCTGGTACTGGTCTTACCCAGCAGCTACAATGGTCAATATCCATACGAGATGAGGTATCAAGATTGCACCGCAACCTCGAAGGGCACAAATCAGCAATCACGATCGCCATCGCAGCTACGTCGATGTCGATGACGAGGGGGATCAAGAGTGATACGTCAAGTATTAGAAGCAAGGCAGCTCGAATACCTCAAATCCAACAACAACTAGCAGCATTTCTGGAAGCGCTTCAGATTGAACCTCTTGACGATGACGGGGTGTCCGAGGCTACACAGCTTGGCGTAGTCATGCAGCGGTTTCTGGAAGAGACATATTCGGGGAGTGTCAACGGCAGTGTTGTGAGAAGGAACACATTTAGGAGTCAGACCAATGCACCCTCGGTCTTCAACAACCTTTATGAAGAGCAACAGCCACTGGTGGATGTCACCTTTATCGAGAAATCTTTCCATAAACATACTGATATCCTTCGGGCAAAGAGCCCTGACGCACTCCCTGAGATACCCTCCAGTGCAACTCTTACCGCACCCTTGTCACACGACGAGTATCTTACATCTCTCACCAAGTCCTTTAGCGACAGCACACTTGTTAGCAGTACCTTATCCCAGCCTATTCAAAACCAGCACGACTCATGGAAAGAACTGAGCTTTCCTCTACGGCACCCACATACACAAGACTCCGGAACCGAGACAAAGGTCGCGCGCCGTAAACGCCTCCGCTCCTGGATCCAAGCCTCCAAAAACCCACCCATCAAAACCAATCCGCCTAAACCAGCTCCGCCCGAAACAACCACTCACATCTCAGAAGCACTACTACGTGAAATAGCCTCCCTCCTAGCCACAGACCCCCGCGGTTTCAAAAAAGACCCAACATACGACGAATACCAGCGCGAAGCCCAAGACCTCTACGAAAACACTCTCCTCAAGGCGTCTCTAGCCGCCAGCGACCAAGTCCAAGTAACAACAACCCTCTTTGAAGAAGCTGTGTCGCTTCACAACTCCGGTCGCATCGCCCTCGCCACATCAAAAGCAAAAAGCCTGGCTGAGAACGGCCATACTGCTTCACAAATCATGTACGCGCTCGCTCTGCGCTATGGCAGGGGGTGCCGATGCGACCCGAAGCAGGCCCTTGCGTATTTGTACAGTGCTGCTCGAGTAGCTATCACTCTTGCATTGAACAAGTCAAAGTCAGAGACAGGGCCGCACTATTTCGCAGACAACGCAGCGGGCCTCGACGAGTTGGGCCTGGCGCTATTCGAGATTGCTGAAACTTTTCGATATACGTGGGCTGAGCCGGTGAGTGCGGGGGATGCTCGGATCTTTTATCAGGCGGCGGCGAAACTAGGGGATGTCAGGGCTATGCGGGAGCTGGCCTGGTGTTTTATTGAAGGCATAGGAGGAGAGATTTCGAAATATGCGGCTGCGCAGGTGTTACGAGTGGCATCGGCTCAGGGACATGAACGACCGATTGACGGCTGGATATGGAAGGAGAAGTACAACAATGATTGATAGGGTTGCCGAGTTCGGAATATTATGGTTCGATTACTTAGGATAAGCGACAGCTCATCATCTCTATTCACTCCCATCGTGACTGGCGCGGACTTTGGGAAGCCTGGAAACTTGATGAGGCGAGTTGAGGCAGGGCGGCATCCCAGCATAACTGTAGAAAAGGGCAATATGGTATGCTAACATACCCGCAACTGTGGTGAGATGTGCATACATAGTGTGGTTTCCAACTATAACTTTCTTACACAAGCGTTGTAGAGTTGGTCCAACTGCAAATGAGCCCTACGGTCATGTTTCTGCCTGAACGCAGAAACGCGGAGACGATCAATCGAACCACGCCCCGAACATCAAAAGTGTTCGGTCAATCTGGTGAAGGGTCTCGTGAATTTGGTGTGATTCGCATACCTTTGGCAGAACCCTTTCGAATTCTAAGCCATGGCGAATGTAGATTGTAGCGGATCAGATCACCACGCAGCTTGTCGCTTTCTCCTTCTTGAATCCCGAGAGAACGTTCTTGTTGGCCTGTCTTGCAATGAAGGACATCGAAGCAAAGACTGCGACCACGGAGAATTTGAATTGAGCCGTACATTGAGAAACAGCTAGTCGACGGAGTACTAGGACTGGGTGACGATTCCATAAGATTCTCTGTACTGAGATGCGAACCAGGTTTCCATCAGTGTGTCCAAGTTCACAATGGGGACACATGCATGTTGTCTCCATCGAGCTGTTAGTGCAGATGGTGAAGGTAGCGAAATTCCCATCCGGTTCGAGTTCAGAGCCAAAGCGATTCAAAGTGACGAGCTTGGCAGACCTTTCGGAGGAGTTTGTTGAGCGGATTCGTATCAGTAGATTAACATGCGCGAGGGAGATAGAAGTCGACATCGAGTTATCTGCAATATAGTGAAGGCGCAAGAATCTCCTCACCAGATTATTGCGACACGAGAAGGGGATGCTATTGAAGTTTGTGAAAGTTCATCATCACATCCATTTGTCTATAAGTACAATAAAATTCTTTTTGAAACAGCGAATTCTTGAATGAGATGTTCACTTGCTGCTGTATTTCGCTTTGCCAACAGAAAATGGAACATATCGGTACTTGATCATATGCTGTATTTGCCGTCGCACTACACGATTGTCAGCAAAATTTCCGAACCTTCGCAGAGGATGCTTACTCGTCAGTGCGAAAAGTACAAGCCAATACATAACAAGCACAGGCCAGAAAACTGGTAAATCGAAGACGGAGAACCAGCTGCAGATGAAGCTGATCAGAACAGCTCTCGTAGCAGCATGCCAGAATTTGAATTCTGGTAATCTTCGAACAAAAGGCCTGAACTCTTGATCCTGCTTGGTCGGCAGACTGCTCTCTCCGTCTTCTAGTCCTTCGTCCTGTGTGAGGCTAGGGTCGAATTTCGGTTGTAAAAATGCAAGGAAGAGGTTTAGGAGGTAAATTCCTAGGCAGTAGGCGACAATATACCAGCCCTGTGCGAACACTATTCGTAAAAAGAAACAGATGAGTAAGACGACAGTCCCAACCCAACGATAGGTCACGTATGGTGTGGATTTGTCGAGGTAGGCTTGGTATGTCTGTGAATCTCATTAGTCGTCGACAGATACATCGCTTCAAATAACGTACTCGCAGGAACCTGTTCGACTGCGTGCTGATCGCATCGAAAGGGGTCGTATCTGGCTCTGGGCCATCCATAGCGAGCGGTAAATTAGTCGAAATGTAAGGTTTGCGCATTCAAGGAGAGGTAGAGTTTTGGGAATGTATCGACTTGACGCAGTATGGCTTGAGGATATTCGGCGAACGTTGTGGGTGAATTAGTCAATCAGGTGCAGCGTTGAATGTTGTGAAATGTTATCGCCTTTATTGGTGAAGCCACAGTTTTCTCGAGGGCAGGCAATCGCAATCTGGCGAGTCCGAAAGGAGTAACCGCAGCCGTTGGAGCCTCAGGTTTCCAGGCACAATTATTGGGGGCAAGTGCGGCGAGTGCTGTCCAGCATGCGCCGAGGTCGAGCAAGCTGTGCTGGAGAAGTGACTGCTTTGATTGTGCATATGCGAAGTAAATACTGAAAGTCTGTACTTCTTGCATGTTGGACTCATAGCAACAACATGAATATATTCAGGGCAATATCACGGCCAACGAGTCATGTCTGCCGTGGCTTTACGCAACCTACGCTGCCTCGAGTCGTGCGCAGTCTATCAACACAGAAATCGTATGAGAACATATTGATCGAGGACAGCCAGAAGCCAGGTGTCGCTTTGAGTAGGGTCTAGTCGTATATCGATGGCTGGTGCTGATCCAAGTAGTCAGATTGAACAGACCAAAGGCTCTCAATGCGCTCTCGAGTGCTCTCTTCGTGGAACTCAATGAAGCCCTTAAAGAATGCGAGGAAGACTCTGAAATCGGCGCAATCGTCTTGACCGGCAGCGACAAAGCATTCGCAGCAGGTGCAGATATCAAAGAGATGGCATCCCTGACATTTGCTGAGGCCTACTCCAAGAACTTCATTGCCTCGTGGTCCTTCATGTCCTCGTTAAGAACACCAGTCATAGCTGCCGTGTCTGGCCACGCTCTAGGCGGCGGTTGTGAGCTGGCAATGATGTGCGATATTATCTATGCCACTAAGACAGCGAACTTTGGGCAGCCTGAGATCAAGTTGGGCACGATACCCGGCGCAGGTGGTTCACAGAGATTGACCAAGGCCATTGGCAAGAGCAAGGCCATGGAGCTGATACTTACTGGCAATAACTACTCGGGTGAGCAGGCCGAGAAGGATGGTCTTGTTGCCAAAGCCGTGGAGGGCGGAAACAAGGAAGTCGTTGACCAGGCTCTAGCCACTGCTGCCAAGATCGCGAGCTATTCACGTGTTGCCGTTGTGGCGGCCAAGGAAGTCGTTAACAAGTCACAGGATCTAGGTATTCGAGAAGGCGTTGAGTACGAGAGAAGAATATTCCATGCACTTTTTGGCAGCCAGGATCAAAAAATAGGCATGAAGGCCTTCGCTGAAAAGAAAAAGGCCGAGTGGTCACATTTATAGATAAAGATAAGTAGGATACTTTACCCTTACTGCCTCAGCCTATTGATTTGGTTGATCCAGTATTGACGGTACGTGCCATGCTCCGCACGAATAGTCAACGCTCCTGTTCCTGCTCTACGTGAACTTTTATCCGTGAATGTCTCGACATTGAGACCTCATCACTAACGCCTTGCTATACACTGACGACAACACGTATAGTGGATCCTACCACCACTCTTGACTTTCATGTCTCCAAACCAAAGCTGTTCGCATCACCATGAATGCCGAAAAACTGGAACCAATCTTCCACATTCAAGGTTGTAGGCACAATTGGTGCGCCAGTGCTGCTGTTGCTCCATCTATCCTGGTCAATGTCTCCGCCTGTCATGTCCATACTAGCACCCATCATTCCGTTCAACCCTGGCGGCCAGGAGCCATTGATGTGCTGATGATTGGGCCCCATCTGTTGCACAAGCGAAGGTGACTGGTGCCCAGCTGCATTTGTGATCGAGGGATCCAAGGACGAGTTTTGCAAGCGAGGATCTACAACGGCATGATTCAAGGTGGGTGACGAGAAGTTGATCGTGGCAGGATCGATGGAGCCGTCTGGGAAGAGCTGGTCTGGTTGAAAATTTTCCCAGAGTTGTTGAGAGATTGGTGGGCTATTGCGTGTGACGAGGAAAAGATCTGGTGGAGTTGCAGGGCCGAACCCATTGAACGGACTGTTTGCTCTTGTGCCTATCCTTGAGTGCATCCTAGATCCTCCGCGCGACTTGGTGATTGGCAAAAAGTGGTCGTTCTGCAATGGTGGTGAACCGAGCAAGTTGATATTCTGGTTGGTCTGGTGTTGATTCAGCTCCCTTGAAGGCGTAAGTGCAGGTGTTTGCGGTCTCGATCGCTCGTAAGACACTTGGGGTGCTGGAGGCCCGACCGAAAAGGCAAGGTCGATGTCGTCAAATTTACGCTTGTTTGATGGAGGTGGAGGTAAAGGTGTGACGGATTGCGAGTGACTGACGTTGTTACTGGTGCTGGTCTGGTTGTTTGAATCGCGGTTCTTCTGCGCTCGCGGTGCCTTACGTCCTGTTGCCTTTTGCAACCGTTCCGACATCACTTTATTCCCCAAGATAGACTCGAACAAAGTGTGCACCATCTTTGCCACAAGCCATACCTTACTGACCTCTTTCAAAGCATTCATGCAAACGTTGATCCTTTCCTGGCTAGCACTAACGACAGAGGCGACAGACGATCGCATTTGATAGACATGCATGATGAGGGCGGAGAACAAGCTATACACGATGAAAGCAGGTGTATACTTGATCTGATTATGCTGTAGAAGGTTTTCGATGATTGAGGTGATCATGCCGGCAGCTTGGAAAGCGATCGTCCTTGATGGATAAGCCATGTCGATATAGTCGTGATTCTGGTTGGAAGTAGCGGGCGGCATGTGAGCTCGATGAAGGAGGCAAAGAGTCGTACTTCATGTGTTAGTATCATCCCAACCAAAAGCGAACGCACTTACTAGTAGTTCGAGTGAAGCAGGGCCGACCAGAAGTGGTGTCGTGACCTCTCCCAATAGACTTCTCGTGGACAATTCTGCAGCCAATCTGCAAGAGCCATGTCACTATGCGTAAGGTCTATCGCATTTGTTCTTCTTGATTTCGAAGCGACTGAATATTGCTGTGATAATACTAGGCCCATGATTTCGCACAGCTTCACATATTGCAAGAAGAATTGCACGTGGATGGTATCTGGTGCATACTCGTTGTTCATATCGCCTTCGTCCTCAATGAAGTCCTCTTCGGAAACCATCTCTACATCGGTATCGTCTGTATTGATGGAGACTGGTCTGCCCAGTGCCACAGCGACAGAGCGGTCACGGGTGAACAGAGTCCACCAAACGCGCTTCCAAAGCCTTTTGTCAGTGCGACTGAGCTGAGAAGCCTCGACACTACGGTGCATGCCGGAGCCTTGAGCAACGACGATAGCCACTCTCGTCCAGTAGAAGACGTTCTTAGTGACATCTTCTGGACCTTCCCAGTACCAACCCATTAGAATCAGAGCTTGTACAATAGTGATCCTGTCATCTTCATAGTTGGCATCGTACAGAGCTTTGGCACGTTTGTAAAAGGTCATCGCGGCAGGTGTGGTCGAACCGCTAGCGTCCATGAGTTGAGGGTTTGTACAGACTCGTGACCCGGCGAGCAGGATGGCTTGTATCAACAAGAGTGAAGGTGGGTTCTTGGGATCCTTGTAGCGTTTCATGAAGCGAGTTCGACTAATAATGGGCACCACAGGGGCAACCCATTTGAAATAGGACTCAATAAGTTCATCACAGAGATTGCGAGGAGGAAGCAGGAAAGCACCTCGTTGCTGCAAGATGTCGATCTCGATTTGATCTGGTTCCGTAAGTCGAGCTCTGGCACCTCTTATGTTCTCTGGTAAGGGGTAATGGACGACATCAGTAGTGCCGTGCCGGTCATGGACGAGCAAAGATAGATTCGAGGATTCTCCAAGATATGCAACTCTGCCGGCTTCCTTGATTGGGGCTCGAGCAAACTTCGGCTTCATAAACTGTGCCATCACCCCTTGACTAGAATTCTGGTGGGTGGCAGTAGCCTCGACTTGCTGAGAAGAGGGTAAGCCATCTGGACCAGGGGGTGGAATGGTTGGCTTCGAATTTTGTCGAACTAGTCGAGGATCTGAAGGTGTTGGTGGTTGTTGGGGTTCACTCGTCTCACTGTATTCGTAAATGTTATGCTTGGCACACAGAAGGTGGTTAACAGACCTTGCGGCATCATCTTTGATCTTTGAAGCATTTGTTCGTTTCCGCTTAGGAACCGGAATCCGGCATTCTATCGAGAAAGCAACACAGTTTGTGCATGGCACACTTGGATGTTGTTAGCCATCGTACTTGATCGATCTTGATACACCTACCCGAGTGAAGCAGCGTCACATCGGACCTGAAGATATTGGTGTCAGTTGAGGACTATGAGTCCGGTGATATGAATGTATACCTTGCGAGAATGGCACGTTTCTGTAAGAGTAAATTGTCAGCGACGAGGCTCATACAGGCTTTGGACAACGCGATCACTATCAATAACCACCTCTGTAGCGGCACTAGGTATTTGCTGATGGATTTCGAGGTATTGCCAGATTTCATCCAACACAACCGAGGATCTCGGCATTTTGGTGAAAGTAATAATTGTGGATGTGAACAGTATATATTGCGAATGTTTTCGTAATCGACGGAACTTGTCTTCCTTATAGCACGAATATCTGAGTAATCTTGGTCGTTTACTCGCGACAAATGCAATCCGGACAGGCACGAGGGCAGAGGTAGATTTCAGGATCTGGCTTACCACACGCTCTAGATGCACGTTGCCTGAGCGCAATCAGTATATACACCTTTCACATCCGCGAATTGGCTTCCTACCTTCGAAAACTGGGGTTTCCAGGTTGATTCAGTGCCGCCGCTGCACTTGATGGCGACTGCGCACTGTCCGCATCTTGAGACGGAGACTGCTGAGGTTGAAGAGGAGTAGCACTCGACTGCGCGTCCATGAATTCCAGCTCTAGGCGGCGAGGGGTCGTAGCATGTACAATGAGGACGGCGACATTTACAGTTTGTCCTTAATGTGCTTGAATTGGACCAGCGAAGAGCTCGACGAGAAGCATGAACGAGGAATCATAGACTTGCGCGTGCCTGCGCAGTTTCCCCAGGAGTAGAACATCGTGGGCCGCTGTTAGTGCCTGGCTCGGGTACAAATTCCATCAAGGTTGGAGAACCCTGCAGCTGCGAAAGTCTCACTTCCTGTCGTTTTTCGAGGCCATGTGACAGAGCCACGATTTGGTATTGTGACCTGCTGTTTATGTCTGGTTACCTTGCAAGCATGTGAATCAGTATTGTGGAAGTTGACCCAGTAGAACAACAGCCATGTCAACGATCGAGTTAGTTGTATGATTATTATGTGTTCGTCTACATATTTATATGTTCCTGTTTGGCATTTACCCCGGAGTTTTCCAATCATGCCTCGGCTCAAACGCCTTGAATTCTCGTCAAATCGTTACAGGTACTCGAACAGGAAGCACAAGCAAAGTCGTGAAGGTCTTGCATCTCACATGCTGTGGCCAGACCTAGTCCAACCTCTCATTCTCGGGAGCAGGGGACGACGATGCTGTGCTCCATTCTTCTTTCTCTTCTGCGGCTGTAACAGTCGCAGGAGTTTTCTTGGGGTTTGCGAAGAAATCGTCAGTCTTCAAGCCGCGCACCTCTTTAGCACGAACTTCGTTCATACGCCTGCCATTACTTCTCTGTTCGCGTATCATCTCTCGTACGGGTACCATCGCCGCGTCCCTGCATGACTCTTTGATATCGCTGCCGGACATACCATCCATGACCCTGGCAACGTATGGCAGATCCAAGTTCGCATGATCCACCTTGGTATCCTTCAGCATCAATTTGAGTATTTTTAACCTTTGCGAGGCATTGGGGAGGTGTATCGGAAATTTTTTAGGCATTCGTCTTAATATCGCGTCGTCAATGTCATTGATTCTGTTGGTTGCTCCTAGCACTAGTATTCGCTGTGCCTGTCCAGACCCGTCTGCTGACTTGAGACCATCCCACCATGTCATGAATTCTGCTTTTACCATACCGCTTGCTTCGTGCTCGCCGCTATGTCTTGTACCCAGGACTGCGTCTATCTCGTCGATGAAGATGATTGCTGGTTGGAGCTTCCGTGCTAACGAGAAGACTGCATTGACCAGTTTGTTAGAATCGCCGAACCATTTTTCCGTTAAGGTGGAGATGTGCAGGTTGATGAAACATGCGCCGGATTCGTGCGCCAGTGCTTTGCAAATCATCGTCTTCCCGCATCCTGGTGGACCGTACAGTAATACCCCGGACGGCGCCGCAAGTAATGAGGAGGAATGCGTGTAGAGTTCGGGCATGGTGAGAGGGTAGATGACCGATTCTTTCAGCTCTTCTATTATGTTTGATAATCCTCCAATGTCGTCGAACCCCACTGGTATGTCTTCTGGGAAGACCAAATCTTGAAGGATGACCTGCTCGTACTGGTTCAACTTCAGCTCCTCCCTTTGGGGTCGAGCATACGGATCAGGTTCGGCGGCTTCGTACGATGGCGGGCCGTCCAGTCGCTTCAAAATTGCTGCTGACTCTAGACGTGCGCGCTCCTGGTCAGGGTCTGAATTGATCTGTTTGAGAAGATAGCGAATGAGGACATATCCAGCCAGTGTCTGGCAGGGTCAGCACACGTAGCACAGTTGTATCAGCGTCGGACATACTGCGCCTGATGCCAGGAGCACTTCTCGCACCGCCCGAGTTACAGACCCTCTATCTGGTGCCATGACCGCCATTACCACCTTCGCGCCCAAGTACTAATGTGAAAGGAAGGATGTGAGAAAGCCAAAGGCATGTGTTTGATATGCGACTGACGTGCTGCTCGATTTTCGTTGCCGACTTTTAAGTGTTCAGCACTCTCTGAAACATGCAACTTTGGTCACGAAACGTGTCAGATGTTGGTCTATGTGTTTGGAGCAACTGCCAGCTTTAACGCGTATCCAAGTGGTCGAAACGGCCAGTTGTATTTGCTTAGATCAAGCCTGCCAATGACTCGGCAATCTCAGGCAGACGCTAGCTGAATCTGGTTGTTGACAAAACTCCCAATATGGGAACTGCTTCTCTGCAGTGTCTACACTCTACTGTTCTTACAGACTACAACAAGTACAAATCGAGAGCTTGATACGTCGATTCCAAGATGCCTGGTATTTCCGCATTGCTCGATTACGAGACGGAGGAACCTACATCCAATTTCGTTGACGAAAATTCGCTCATTTCGTCAGTATCGGAAGATACTCTGGCATCGCTTCCACAAACCAAGCCTGCCGTCGCGAAATCGCGAAAGCGCAAATGCGTTACGATTCCCAAGAAACCTCGCGCAAAGGCCGCACCAAAAGCCGAGAAGAAGACTACCACAAAGTCAGCTGGCGCGAAGCGAAAGGCCGCCGAAATCGACGCGGTCGAAGATGAGGACAGTGAGCTCGTCGAACCTGCAGTTCCGCAGCCAAAAAAGAAGCCAACCAGGAAGAAGACAGTCGCGGTGAACAGGGATGATGACAGTGAAGTTGCTGAGAACCATGCGCCCCAGGCAAGTAAAGCTCTCAAGGAGAAGGATGCCAATATAAAACCTGTAAAGGCTAGAGGAAACAAGAAAACCAGCGTTCAAAACACCGACGAGACTGAAGAGGAGGTTGTGCAGGTCCGGTCTGATTTTGCACAAACGAAATTGACCAAACCACTACCAAAGCCGGTATCTGGACTGAAGTCGAAGCCAGCGACGAAGCGGCCAGTCAGCTCAGCACCAGAAGTAACCGAAGTTGTTTCAGACGAAGATGCTGAGGAAAACGCCGAGCCTGTTGAGCAACAGCCACCTAAGAAGAAGACGCGGACCGAGATTCGACCTCGACAGGAACATAGTTATTGTCGACGAGCTGGCAGTGTCTCAGACACAGAACGAGGTGATCCAATGCTGCGAAGAAAGCTTGGTGACATGACCAGGAAGTACGAAAGCATTGATCTGAAATATCGAAGCTTAAAAGACGTGGCCGTCACGGAAGCCAATGCTAACGTCGAGAAGCTGCGCAAGCAGTGCGAAGCTATTACCGAAGCATCAGACAGACTGATCGCCTCGCTCAAGAAGCAACTAGCACAACAAACACTCCTAGTTCAGGAATCCAGAAAGCAGAAGCAAGAATCCCGGACACAAGAGGCTGAGACCAGCAAGCTCAGGACGGAGAACAATAGTCTTTCGGCTGAGCTGTCAGCAGCAAAGATAGAGCTCAAGTCGCTCCAAGCTAAACTCGCAACTGCACGAGCCACTCCAGTGCCAGCTGAGACCAAGCAACAACCTACCAACGCGAAGACAGCCGTGGCAACAAGGATACCGATCTCATCTCAGGCTCAGCACGCCAAAGAGGCACAACTACAGCTCAAGATTGACTTGTATGGCGATTTGACAGGATTGATTGTGCAAAGCGTCAAGCAATCTGAAGAAGGCGATACATATGATTGTCTCCAGACAGGCAGAAACGGTAGTAAGTACTTTTCGAATCCTCCTTACAAACAGACCGCTAACACGTAGTAGCCTTACACTTCAAGCTGTTCGTCGATCGAGAGAACGCAAAGACTGCCGGTTTTGAACAAACAGAATTTCTCTACTCACCACAACTCGACACGAACCGCGATCGAGAGCTCTTGGAGATAATGCCTGACTACCTCACCGAAGACATTACGTTTGTGCGAGATGTTGCAGAAAAGTTTTATGCTCGAGTTGTTAGGACTTTGACGGAGAAGCCTGAGCCTATGGAAGAAGAGGCAGTTTGAGTATACATGAGAAGCGCAGCTCAGACGGTCTGGCGAGAACGATGAGATGACTTGACAATAACGATGTGGCGCAATTTGATACAAGGGAGTTCTTGGTATACGTGTCGAGCACAGGTATCGACTGAGAGTGAGATTTCGAATTCTCTGATCTTCATGCAGGCATTCATGGGGGTCGACGCGTCTCGGACGTGTTCGAGTCATCAGTCCGAGGTGCGGGGTAGACTATGCATCTAGATAGCCCTATCGCCGTCTCGACTACATCCCTACCTGCTACAGAGCAGTCCTATCCTTCAACTCTTGTTATCGTCGAGCTTTCAGATACTTTGTTTCTGTGATTTCGTGATCTTTGCTAACCATCGTGCCAGTATATCAACTGACCATTGATTACACATCACAGTCGAAGCAGTTTCTCCGCACCATTCCCTACCAAGACCATTGATAAGCACGACTGCCTCACACCGACTCGTCCAAACATCACTTCCAACAGCACATTCCGTCGTTCCTTTGTCCGATCGTATTTGGACATGTCGTAGCTCTTCACAAATCCGATTGCTGCTTGCGCGTCCCCAACGAACATACACTTTCGATTGCAGGCATCATGGCAGTAATGCGTACTACTCAGTCTGCAGCCACTTTGCATCGCAATCTGGTTGCTGGTCGTCTACATCGAAATCGAGGTACAATCCATGTGCGTAATCTGTGGTGGTGGGGAAGAAGAGACAGGTCTTCTCAGTCCTATGTCGATGATATGGAAGAGCGTCTTCGCAGGCATCATGCTCTCATGATGCACAGGTATACCAAGGCAGTGAGGCGGAGGGCGCTCTGGGAGAGAGATGGTAGCCCCAGATACTACGGCTGGGGTCACCTCCGTTGTAGAATGCGAGGCATGTCCTCTACTGAGCCACTACGGGCCAAGGTTGAGGAACCGAAGTCGAAAGATACAACCCCACCAGATGCGTGGCAGGAATACCATAAGAACTTTGAGTCTTTCAAGAAAGCTGTTGATCAAGCTATCGAACGCGACCCATATGGCACTCTCTTTGGTCGGAGATGGAGGGGCCCCGATACTGGTAATAATTCTGCATGGACAGCTTGGTCACGAATCTTTGACCCAAGTCAAATCAAGGAGGAACCTAAAGTAGAGTCTCAAACACAATCACCTAACAGAGCGCCCGAGTCTGCAACTGTTAGGTCAGCGCCAATAAAGGAGCATTCAACAGCCACGGGAACACAACCATCAGTAGAACATTCGTCGTCCTCCAGCAAGACGACCACCACTATCAGGTCGTCCCGGTCAATTGTCTTTCAGAACAGTTCCTCTGCAACTACCGAGTACATTTACGATCCCATCTCTGGTCGGAAAGTGCCACCGTCAATCTCTGCGACTATACCAATGCAATCGACCACTTCTACATTCGAGACCCAAACCTCCACACCCCACAAATCTACCACAAGCAGGAATGAGCCAATCGAGCCCAAGCAGACTATAGCCATATCGACTCCAAAGACCTCCGCATCAACCATACAAGTTACCTCACTCCCGAAGAGCAACCATACATCAGAGCAAAAGCCACTTCAGTCCGAGAAGAGGAAGGTAGAACCAAAGGGATTTCTGGAGACCATGTTTGGGGAGCATGGTGTCGATATCCCAGTCAAGACATATAAACCACACAAGGTTTATGGTTATACTGGAGACCCGAAGTCATCCAGCAAAGCTGAAGATTCTTCTGGACGTGGAATCAAGGGCTCACCAGAAAATTCAAGGAAACACGAGTACGAACAGTTGAGGCTGAGAACTCTCGGAAATAACATCGATGCCACAAACTTCAGCTGTGAGCCATGGAATGCCAAAAATGAGGACAATTTGCCAGTCTACGGCGCTGCCAAGTCCCTACAGGTCGAAGAGCCCGTGACAAAGAAGGCTCGTACTGCGCCTGCGCCTGACGAGGACGCGCCTCTGTTCTCAGGAACCACGTACGAGACGAAGAAAGATGAAATTGCTGCCAGAACAGGCGATTGGCTTGCAAAAGAAGGTTTCAGGACACGACAGGGAATGACAATTCCATCACTTAGGACAGAGCAGTCACCTAATACAGGCACAGCATTACCTGCCGAGCGTATGCAGCCAGCACTTGATAGAGCTCAGCGCACAACATCCACAGAAATTCCAGTCAAGAAGTTTGGCACTAGGCTACAGCCTGCTGTGGACAGAGTCACTACCAGATCTAGACTTGCCTCAACATCAGAGAACAACGTTATGCTGGCTCAATCTCCCAAGGAAGCTGAAGTTCAAAAGCTAGAGAAGCATGAAGATATTGACCTTCTTCGTGCAAGTGATATCAGAGCGGCCTCAAAGGTGGCTCGCATGACCAAGCAAGATATGGAGGAGAAAAAGCGACAGGATCGCAAGGACTTTGAGAAAGACTACGAAGCTCGAGGACGGACTGACCACTCTATTGACGTAAGCGACAAGTCTCCGAGTCAGTCTGTTTATGCCTCCAATATGAACAACGTTTGGAACCATATCAAGCAGCATCCTACCGGGATCGTTGCAAAGACAATGCAGAATTTGGGACTGACAGCATCTGATAAGAAAATTGCCCAACCTGCTGTCATACCTGCGGCCAGCCAGAAAGAAACGAGTCTGGTACCAAATGTCTCGACAGCAACGATCCAGGCGACAAGCACATCTGATAAGCAATTGCAACGACTGGGAGCTGAAATCAAGAGCATATATGAACAGCACAATGGCAAGATTGACGACAGAGCTCTTTCTCTTGCTGAAGCACGTCCTGCAAAGCGTGCCAGTTTCGCGGAACCGACTGTAAAAGCGGGCGTTGTGCGAGACCTGGACATGGAAAGACATACTCAGACTTTCGAGCCTAAGTTGGCAGATATTGTGGACAAAGCTAAAGCTGTCAAGCGAGCGTTACAGGTTGTCGAGGTTGAGACTGATCTGGTCCGGAAAAGTCGAACAGATGCGGCAGCCGAGCAGCCACCAGCACGAGCAGAGTCAGCGATGCCCCCCACTCACGAACAAGCACGTCCAGCAGCAGCTCTAGCAGAAGATGCTGAGGTGGATGAAACGTTCGAAGCACCTATGATTGTGCTCCGCCGAGAAGGCAGCAAAGTACAACTCGAACCATATCACGACACTTTTGTCACTGAGAAGCTAAAGATCCACAACTTTACTAAATTCCTAGCCTCTTTGCCTAATCCTGGCTCATTACTAGAGCATTTCCCGAAGCTCGACAAGATGGGCTACGAATTAACTCATGGCGATGAAAGTGACCTGTTCTTCAAGAAACGAGGACTAATCGAAATAGCAAAACCTGATCGTGCAAGCATGAGGAAAAATCTCGGACGCAAGATTGCTGCTGAAGAAGCTGCAGCACAACCGAACTCTCCACCAACAGTGTCAAGAAGTGCAGCGAACGTGCTTGATGAAATCCCATCATCAATCCCTTCGCCAGGCCCTGCACCATCAACCGCACCTACAGCTGGTGTATCACAACAACCAGCAACACCCTCGCAGCCATCCGTTCAGCCCACATCTGCGTCTATACCACAACCCGAGGCCCAAGCAGAGTCTACATCACAGCAACCACGCAAAAAGTCTCGCTCACCACGTGTATCACGCCAGGAACAGGTCTTCTCTGGCCAGCAACGCCTCAAACCACAAACCACCAGCCTACCTGACCCCGAACACTTCCAGAAGCAAAACCCGATCACATCCTCAGCAAACTCATACCAATACCAGCAGGACAGTGAACCTCGTCTTTCCTGGTTCGCCAGATTCAGGCGCTTCGTCAAGCGAACTATCTTGACTGGACTGGCGTTTGGCGCGGGTGCCTACGGCATAGGTGTCATTGCTGAGGCGTTGCACGTGAAGGCACAGATCGCACAGGGTGACACGGGTGGACCGATGAAGCGGTTAGTGATGGATAGTGAGGCGAGGAAGCAGGGCGAGCGACAACGAGCAGGTATTTTTAGCACAGAGAGCTCAAGGTAGTGAGAATTTTCGGTCTTTCATGCGGTTAGTTTGACATATAGCACTGCGGGATTTTGCGCGAGGTTGTGGGCGTTGGTATACGTAACATCTCCTCTTTCGTAACTTTGCCATTTGATTGACATATTAGCATATGAACCTAAGTGTGTTTGCTGGCTCTTTCTTTATCCATAGTCATTCTCAATGTAAATGCCCACAATGTTTGTTGTACGACAGAGTCCATCCACGATAGGATTTCCTCGTAATAGGTAGGTATTTATTTGTATCCCAGACCAGTATCCTGCTCCTGCTTCTCTTGAGGTCGTTGTAGCCGACTACTATGAGTACGTGATGCGACAGAAACTCTTCGGCACGACTTAAGGGAGGTTCGAATTCCACGAAGAACAAATCACTCGAAGCAACTTGAGCATAATGAAGTCATTTGACGGTGGTATTTTCGTGTCAATATGCAGAAAGCAAGTTTCGATGGCTGAGAAGTTGCGGGGAAGCCCTAAGAGACTTAGCAAGGAAGGGAGTCTGGTATCGACAAAGCGACGACACAGGCGCTTCAACACCGTGGTCTAAGCGTGGAGGATGTGTTGAAGCTCTATTTTTCACGTATTTTGGCGGTTGCGTACGATGGTGTGCCTTGAACAATAGCACAAGAAGTGATGTGGTAGAACTCGGAAGTGATGGTAGTCGTGGCAGGAGTGATTACTCCTGGTTGGTCATAATGGGCGTGCCTCGTTGTCGTCGAAGGTATATCGCAGGTGGAAGCGATAGGAACACGTGAAAGTGCAAACAAAAAGATCACACAATTATTATTGCCAGGCTTCAGCGCAAGGGGAGAAAGGATTTGTGATTTGGAAAAATAGGTGACGCAGTTGGATCAAGTGCTCGGCCAATTATTTTGGGCTCAATCATGCTAAGCTTTTCGAAGCCTAATAAGCCTGACCAAGACGCTCAATCAGATGGAGCAAGGAGCCCGTATCATGCTTGATTAGTGGAGCAGGATTTCCACATCAGAAAGGAGATGAGGGATGTCCTTCCCAATAAACCCAACGCGTGGCCAGCCCAAACCAAAGATTTAATGAGGTCTAACAGAGCCTGTCTCACAGTGTCAGCAAACGTGCAAATGTGGCGAGCGCAATGAGATCAACTTCTGTGCAGCAATCAAAAGCTCACAATGCGCGCCTGCACGAGTTGACCATACTCCGCATGGAGGCCCAGCTCTCCAACGAGAACGTCGGTGATACGTCAGTAGCGAGTAGTGTTCCGTTCTAACAGAAAGTCTGAGCATGGATTACGCGGTGTGGTTGATTGTGTCTAGAATGAGTGGGTTGTTCTTTCCTACTCTCTACAATTTCGATATTTCACTTACCTTTCAAACCCTTCCTGTGAGGCGCTAACGTACACTTCAGCCTCTTTCCGATCTCCTCTGCTTACGCTCTGTATCTGGCACAAACGTTCATCTCTTCCCTATGTGATGCTTTGCGACACCAATATGCTCGTTCTGCTGTTCGCCGCGCTCACCGCGGCGATCCAACTCAATGTTCAATCCGATTCAGATGTCAAATCAGTGGCGTCTACAATAGCTTACGATATGATGACCGTTTACACTGGCAATCAATCTGGACAAGTACCTGGATTATTACCTGGAGGCCTCAACTGTAATCCAAACAATATCGGCACTTACTGCTGGTGGGAAGCTGGTGCTATGTTTGGCGCATTGATTAACTACTGGCAATACACAGGCGATTCTTCCTACAATGATGTCGTATCACAAGCATTACAATGGCAAAAAGGCGCCGATTCCAACTTCAATCCCGCGAACCAATCTAGGAGTATGGGCGTGGATGATCAAGGATTTTGGGCTTTCTCTGCCATGGATGCTGTTGAAGCAAACTTCCCCGAGGCAGGTGGCAATGCACCATCTTGGCTGTCGCTGGCTCAAGCTGTGTATAATTTCCAGCTTGACCTGTGGGATCCCGACACATGTGGAGGTGGCTTCAGATGGCAGGTTTTTGCGGTCAATGCCGGATACAACCTGAAGAATGCTGTCTCCAATGGTGGCAACTTTCAACTAGCTGCACGATTGGCTTATGTGACCGGCAACTCCAGCTACGCAGACTGGGCTAACAAGGTCTACGACTGGATGGCTCAGAGCAAACTGATGCAGGTTGATGATGCTACTGGTATTTTGTACATCTGGGACAACACTGACACCAACAATAACTGCATCGATCAGACAAATTACGTCTGGACCTACAACTATGGTATCATGCTCGCAGGCGCTGCGTACATGTACGCCTACACAAACGGAGAGCAAGTCTGGCTTGATCGAGTCAACCTCATCCTCAAGAGTACCTTCTCCCTATTCTTCCCAGCCAAATATGGCGGAAACGTTCTCTACGAGCTCCAATGTGAAGAGGCGCTGAACTGCAACGAAGACCAGAAGAGTTTCAAAGCCTACCTTTCGAGATGGTTGGCCGTAACCGCCCTCCTCGTTCCCAGCACAGCCGCCGAGATAAACCCCAAACTACTCGCAAGCGCACAAGGCGCAGCAGGACAATGCGACGGCGGCAGCACAGGTCGAGCTTGTGGATTGCAATGGTGGTCAACTACATGGGACGGCACGACCGGGGTGGGCCAACAGGTAAGCTCAACTTTTCTCAATTTCAACCCCCAGCAAATACTGACTTTAGCACTAAGATGGCAGCACTCTCCGCAATAGGCGCAACACTTAACAGACAGGATCTAGTACCATTAACGACGAATACTGGCGCAACATCAAAGAGTGACCCGAATGCAGGCTCAACCGCGGCCAAAGACCCAACCACCGAGCATAGCCCGATTACTACAGGCGATAAGGCCGGAGTAGCCATCTTCACCATTGCTATTGTGATATTGGTCATTGGTGGCGCTATCTGGATCGTGTTATAGTAGGAACGATCCATTAGTAAACTTCATGTAGCGCGTCATGCACGACCAAACAAGCATGTTGTGGTTCAGGAGTTCCGGGTTGTATACGTAGATTTACCATCATGGACGGCGTTGTAAATATGAGAATCCAAACCAATCTACTGCAGATACGACGTCAGTGACGATACCTGATTTCGAGTTGGGGTCCGATCATACATCATAAAACGAGAGAAAAATGCTCTGATGTGAGTTTCGTGTACAGGGCAATATGAGTTAATAGTACTGACGCTATGTGTGCTCAAACACAAGTTGAAGGGCAGGTTCTTTGCTCCTAAACGATGAGCTTACCACGCCGTCACCTGTCAATATACCACGCCAAATCCGCCTCGTCATCAAACTCAAAATCCATAAACCCATTCCCCATAAAAGCAAACCTATTCCTCTCACGGTACTCGATCTCAAAGTCCTCCGTTCTCAGCTCGCTGATCAATTGCTTATACAGCATCGCACTCCCGCCAAAAGCCGCTGTCACACGACCATCCACTCGATTCTTCTTATACCACGACGAGCAGTTGTCAGTCCATACAAGACTTTGATGAACTGCTTCACCATACGCGACGAACTCGTCGATCGCGTCTTGTTTCGGAGTCACGGACTTGAGGCCCTCGGTGGCCATTTTACGAAGCCATTTGACCATGTAGTCGGCGGTCCAGTTGAAGGCTTCAATGAGGGAGCCGTGGGCGATGACGGCGTTGGGGCCGCCAAAGGAGAAGTAATTGGGCATGTGCGGGGCGCAGATGGACATGTAGGATTCTGCTTCGTCTTTCCAGAGGTCGCCGAGCTCGAAGGGTTCGGAGGTGGAGGGGTCGATGGTGCCGAAGAGCTTGAATTGGGGTTGGAAGGAGACTTCGAAACCTGTTGCACAGGCGATCACGTCGACTGGGTATTCTTGGCCATCTTCTGTGATGACGGAGTTGGAGGTGATCTTGCTGATTGGGCTTTGTGTCAGATGTACGTTGGGAAGGAGAAAAGATTCGAGGTAGCCTTCACCTGGAGTGATGCGTCGACAACCTAGTGACCATTCGGGTATGAGTTTTCTGCACAGGTCGGGATCGTGGTTTAGTTTCTGGGCCATCTGTTCGCGAGCTGAGCGTGATGCTTCAACAGATTGTGGAGAGTCCTTTACAAACATCTTGAAGGCTTTGTTGATTCGGTGCACTAACATGCGTCGATGAGCCCTGTGCTCGGCAGGATTTTCGCGAAAACGTTTTTTATCCTCCTCGTTATATTCGGGATTGCCTGAAATATTCGGTCTGTTAAGTAATTTGGAGGGTGGCATTCGATAGTATATATAGGTCGGTTTCCTTTGGAAGCTGATGACTTGAGTACCTTGGAGCCTGGCCATCTGCGGCACAATTTGGATGCCAGAAGAACCATTTCCGATCACCGCAATGCGTTTATGTGCATAGTCAAAGTTATGGTCCCAATTCGCAGAGTGGCATTTATGACCTTCGAAAGTGTCCAGACCTGGTATTGCAGGCCATTTCCAGCTGTTGAGGATGCCTTGACCGGAAACAAGGACATCGGCATACTCGATTTCGCGCTTGCCATTATAGAGGATAGTTAGCTTGTACTGTCCCGAATCAGGCTGCCAACGTGCCTCTTGCAGTCGAGTACCGAAACGGATATCCCGATCGAGGTTCCACTTCTTTGTTGTCTTGACGAGATAGTCGTGGATTTCCTTTCCAGACGCATAGAAGTGACTCCAGTCCGGATTAGGATCGAACGGGAAGGCGTATATATGAGCAGGCACATCACATTGTATACCTGGATAAGTGTTTACAAGCCATGTGCCACCAAGCTCAGTGCGACTTTCCAGGATGTTGTGTTCGATCAAATTTTGCATTTCAGGATACTGATGCTGCAATTTGTGGGCGAACAGAAGGCCGGAAAAGCCAGCCCCAACAGTGACGACCTTGAGTTTGCGTGCTGGTGTATAAGCTGGAACATCGCTGAATAGATCTGAACATACACGGGTGTCGAGGTCTGGACGATGCTTCGGGAGGGTGTCGGAAGGCTTGGCTCGTTCTGTGCCAAGGCCGTCCTGAGTTTCGGCAGACCTTTTGGCTTCGTACTGGGACATCGTGTCTATTTCTTGTCTATCCGCCGTAGCGCTATTACCAGGCTGAAGCATATCTGGACAGTTTCACTACTCGGGGATCAGTCTCCACGAATGTTCAAGGAAGCACTTCAGATGACTAGGGAGGAGAATATTCGACTATGCAAAAAGAGGTACTCATGTGAAAGGGATAGGTCCTCGGCTCATACTCATCAATCAGAATTGCCACTGTTTGCACAAGGAACCCGAAAATCTGTGTATTCCTGAGGAATAGGGCCAGATATCTGGCAGGACAATTTGATGCGGAGAGCTGGGGCTCAAATTTGGGGATTATCGGGGAAGATAGTTGTGAAAAATAAATCAGGCACACCGCACTCCAGACTCTCAAAGATTGTGCTTGTTTGCCGTGCAGTCAGCTCTCATGTCGCGTTGTCGATAACGATCTGGTCGCGGAGAAGGAGGGCCATCATCTTGGGGCTTGCAGTCTTGAAGGCGCATCTGACATCGTAAAAGTCTCCTGTAGAGGTGGTCACGTCAGCAGCAAGACTGGAGCGATCGTACGGGACGAAGCACAATGGCAACCCATGGCGTTAGCAAGAGAAAAGGTCACATTTCCTTGATAAAAGGCACCAGGGTGACAAGTGCCTGTGAATTTCCATAGAGTCTCAAGTTGTGTAGACTGGTGTTATGGAAGGTCTGTCGCTCTTGCACCGGAAAGGTAAAGACTGGCACTTGGATTCAAAGAGTAAGAGGAGAGAGCTTCTTTCAGATAAGAGATGAGGGTAGGTGTGAGCGTGCCAGATAGATGGGTAACTTCACGATGAGCATGTCAAGCACCCTCGCCTTCAGACGGGCTGATCTCAAGGAGAGCCATATCTCGCCGACACGAGGGTTGATGACGTGGGAGAGAGTAGGTGAACACATGTGTGTGACCAAGTCTGTAAATACGAGGTGTGGTATGAAGGTAGGATGGAACTGACGAGCTCATCGAGGATCAAGTCCGCCATACAAAATCGGCATAGCTCTGTCGCGTCTAACACGCCAAACTCGAGTGCATGGCACTGGCACGTTCATTTCTGCCTCCACATCCACGCTTCACCCACGAAATAACATAAGTATCTACGGTTCGATTTTTGATTGCCTGATCTACAACCTAGCAGTTTGCAATACCAGGAACCAACGACAAGGTTGAGTGATGCAGAACTTCGCAAATTCTTCATGCTCAGAACAAGCTGATCGTCATGCAATATATATGTGACCAAAAGTCATCACCACCACGTGCGGCTCTTGCGTCCCAAAACGCTGGCATTTTCGGACGCTACACCACAACCCTGCGAACCGTGAAACTTTTCAGCATTTAAGGAGTCACCACAATTCAACAGATTCTTTGCTGGGACATATACATGCGTTGACTACCCTCATAATGATTCTGACTGTGAACTATTGCCTCACAGAAGGGCTTGTTTACCCCAAGCCGTATTGTGTACAACTCTCTTCCTTGTATCTTTGAATTATCCAGTTTGTCGTCTTCAACCAGTTTTCATCATTGTGCATCTCACTCCCAGGATATTCCAGACTCTTTCAGAGCAGGGGTGTGAAAGCATATCCTGCAGTGGCGGGTACAGCACCCGACGCGTACTTTGGGACCAAGCAAAGCTAACGATGACGATGCGCCGAGCTTGATCTTAGCACCAGCCACTGACCACATGGCCCCTACTTTAATGCCTTTTGAGACAGGAATTGTTTGAGTGTTCCCGAGTCCAGCTTTCTTTTCAAGTCATCTTCACTTTATCACTTCTACATTCATTCGATTTTCATATTTGCCCTCTCAAGATGCCCAGCTCATACCCACCAGTCTCAGTCGGAAGGGCGAATCACCACCACCACAGTAGATCGCGATCGAACTCGGGACACCGAGGTCATCGTGGTGATGTACGGCACCATCCATTCGCAGGGCAAGGGCAAGAGCCTGAAACCAGATCAAGCAAAATTCGGACACATTTGTGCGCCATGTTCAGCGAATTCATCGGCACTGTTTTGTTCTTGTGGTTCGCTTTCGCTGGTACACAAGCCGCTGCTCAGATCAGCCCTGAAATGACCCCCCAAAGACTGGTTTTCATATGTCTTAGCTTTGGAATGAGTTTGCTGGTCAGTGTATGGGCACACTATAGGATATCAGGAGGGCTCTTCAATCCTGCCGTATGTACAATGCTACCCTGGTCCAGCTCGATTTGCTAATTTGATAGGTTACTCTCGCCCTTGTGATTACCAAGAACATGCCGTGGTTACGAGGGATCCTACTCCTTCCTGCTCAGATCCTTGCCGGAATCGTTGCTGCAGCTCTCGTTCAATGCATGTTTCCAGGTCCAATCGCAACAGTTACTACACTATCACTTGGAACTTCAGTCGCCCAGGGCATCTTCATCGAGGCATTCGGAACCGCACTACTCGTGTTTACCATCCTCATGCTTGCAGCCGAAAAGCACGAAGCCACTCCCATTGCACCGGTTGGTATTGGTCTAGCACTTTTCGTGGCCGAACTAGCCTGTGTCCTCTATACTGGTGGTGCGGTCAATCCAGCGAGAGCATTGGGACCAAGCGTCGTTGCGCCTGACTTTCCAGGCTACCATTACATCTACTGGTGAGTAGGGTAGGTTGATCCAATGTGTAGTACTAATTCACTTTACAGGGTTGGACCTTTAATTGGATCCTTGATGGCTTCAGGATATTATGGATGGTGCCGATCTGTCAATTACTGGGAAGTTAACCCAGGTCAAGATGCAAAGCGCCAGTAAGGATGCATCGGATTTTGTCATGGTCAGCAGGGGAGATCACGGATAGGGATGCTTGCAGGCTGGGTAAAGCAGGCACAGGAAATGGGAGGGATTTGTGTTAACCAGCGCTACGTATACATAAGGATGGGAAGGTTCAAAAGTTTGGACTCGTGACGAAACGCGCATCAGCATGGAATTGGGATTTGGAATTCATTGGGAGCGTTCACGCACACACGTTGGATGATTAGGAACAGCTAGCATATAACATTAGACACCATACTCGCGGCCTCTTGGGTATCGCGGCCCCCTCAACGTACGAACTTATCGTTGTATAAGTATGATTTTCAGTACTAGCACAATGATAGGCTTCGACAGCGTTGTATCTGCCCTGATGTTCACCCGTCTTGTCTCAACTGACATTCGACCAGTTGTTGGTGATCGATACGATCGTTGTTCGTCCACCAATTTATCCTTTAAGCTTAATCCCGGAGGTTGGCGCGGCAATGCTACACGAGGTGTTCAGCCACGGGTCGAAGCTGCGGCAACAGAACTCAACGAGACACTACTACAGCACTACGTTGTTAATGAGTTATTTGAGTTTGATGCGTGTACAGTACCCCCCGAGCACGCGGTGGTCGGCAAAAGCTACCCATTGCATTCTCGTACCCTTTTTGAAAACGCCAGCGATCCCAGCAACGGATACTCGACCACGTTGTAACATACACCGTTCGATAGCGCAGCTTCAGCGCTATACAGCTGTATAAGTTTTGTTAGTAGTAGATGACTGGATGTGGGTAAATGAGGTAACGTTGCGACGTTGGTATAAATCAATGGGGTCGCTTTTGCCGAACCACTGCGTGCCCGACATAAGTCTTGGACCAAGATACTTCACCTCACCAAATTCGTGGTTTTTGAATAGCTGATTTCTCAACAATTAGAGAGATAAGGTATATATCTCTTCGTCCTAGTGCATACAGCGATCGATACATGAGATATTGTATATATAGACTATCACCCTGTACCTATCATCTAATAAGTAAGAATAATTTGAAAAGATCGACTCTATACAGTTGTGCCTTAAGCATTTAGCCAAGTACAATATGTAAAGTTACTCCCTTCAAATTCTGCTTGCTCGACGATCAATTCAAAGTATCTATCGCTTTCGCCTACTGAAATACAGAACAGTAACTAAGCTATCTAATCATACGATGATTAATAGTTATTAGCCCCGAGGGTTGGGTACTCATTAGCAGTACAGACAGTACGAATTTGGTGAGGTGAAGCAGCTTGGTCCAAGACTTATGTTGGGGTACTGTAGCAACGAGCTGTAGAACAAACCTTCCACCTTCAGTCGAACGGAGTGCTGTTAAAAACTAGAAAAGCACTGCGAGAGTCGCGAACCCGAATTGCTTTGATGCGAAACTACAGGTGGGTCGTGCTTTATCATGCTGGTTGCCCAGTTTTCTATTCTTTTAGGATAAAGGTATCTTGGTTTCTATATTCGATGTGAACGAGTATCTAAGCAGATTCAATGTCGAAGGCTCAAGAGGAATAGATCATCTATTTCCTCGTTTTCCACCCCTCTTCCCACGTTCAACGTGCATCCTCAGAACTTTTTGATGGTCGACCAAACTCCTCTTGCCCTTACTTTTAGCCTTTCCCAGTGTCATCAAGAAGTTCTTCTTTCTCGCCTTTTCTTTGTTTGTCGTGCTCTTGCCTTGCTCCTGTTTTCTATCCTTCTTGCGCTGCGCCTTGGACTTGTGCTCTGAGTGCTCCTCCTTGGACTCAGCTAACTTTGCAATTTTCTCTAGACGGGAGAGCTTGCCAGCGGAAAGATGAGCAAGACCGGATATGTCGTCGGCTGTTAGAGCGTCGTCGATGTGTCGTTGGGAATGTGTAAGTTGAGCTTTGTTCGCATGGTGTTTGTGGTGGCCAGATATTTGAGAGGACACAGCAGCTGTTGTACGAAGTTCTTGTAGCTTGGCCAGATCGGCAGGGGTCAATATTCGGGTAGTGGCGAGTTTCGATTGTGCCGTGGAAAGGTTTGTCGCAGTCGATGGTGCTTCCGAGGCGGCCTTGGTATCGTGCTCTTCATTTTGTCCTAGATCAAATTTGACCTTCTTGTTTGCTGGAGTTGGTTTCTCATCGTCGCTGTCTGAGATATTGATCTCATCGTCGGACTCAACGTTGATCCAGCCACCTGAATCGTCGCTGTCTTCTTCTTCAATGTTCCATGCATCCCAGCCTGCTCCATCATCCTCGTCCTCAGTATCGATATCGGACGCATCAGGATCTAGACCCTTCTCTATTCGTCTCCTCTGCCTCTCCTCTTCTTTCCATTTTTCCAGCAGGTCAAGACCTTCAATTTCACCAATTGACTCCTCGCCATAGCGCTGCTGCTTGAGCTCGCCAGAACGGAGACCAAGAGCTGCATCCTTGCCACGATCTCTACTCTTTAACATTTCAGGATTCACTTGTCTGTACAACCCAAGGAGTCCCTTAGCAGCCATCATGACACCCTTGTCCTTGCTCTTTCGATACATGATCAAGTCATGCAGTAAGGTCTGACTCATGCACAACGGTTGCCGCACGCAAATTTCTCGGATTGCATTCAGACCGCTGGCAGCCACCTCCCCAGCGGCAGCTTCACTTACGAACTCGTTGGCTATAGTCTGAATGACAGTTTCCAGGTCTCCTGGCGGCACATGACTATGCGTGCCTTGAGCTAGGCAGGCTAGAAAGGTTGTGACAGAAGGCTGCTTGGGTTTCAAAAACTTCAGGAAATAACTGTAGAAAGGCACGATGATCAGTTTGTGCAGACCGATCAATCTGCTGACCAGCTGTAGGACCTGGAGTTTCTGTTCCAGATTCAGCTTGCTCTTTGCACCCTGTAAGTGCTTGCTAAATAACTCTTCAGCGAAGCCCTGAGGATTGTGTAGTAGGTGTAGCGCAGAGAAGTTCAGTGGATGTGCTTGGCTCTTCTTCTTCTCCTTCCTCTTTACAGTTGCTGCAGCCTTCTTCAGCCGCGAATCCCCACTCTTGCTCTTTTTGTTGATGCCAATCTGATGTCGTAATTTAGCCATGTCGACCTCCTCGTCCTCATCGCTTTCTCCCTCGTGCTCTTCTCGTTCCTTATCACCGCCAAGAAAGAAACGGACGCCACCCACAATGACCTTCTCGTTGTCAGCAAGAGCACATTCTTTCATGATCTCGACTGCTTTTGCATCGGTCCAGATTTGCCTCTTCCACATCTCTCTTGTGACCTTTACCGCCCATAGTGCTTTGGGAGAGGATCGGTCTGCAAGAACGAGGTTGTGGAGCAGTGTTTGAACAGTACGGTTCAGCTTGTGGTTTGTGGTCTTCGAGTTCGAGTTACGCAGGTCGCTAAGGATCTTTTGCAGAAGGAGGGCACGTAAGGTCTTGCTCGTAGTTGTGGTCAGGATAGGGAATAGAGATTGTAGCAGCGTATTGGAATCGATCAACTCTTTCTTGCGCACAATGACTAGACTCCCCACGATCTTCTCTCGCAGCTCTGGTTCCAGTACTTCATGGTGCGAGGACAAAATACTGATTAATTGGGACGCAAATTCCTTGGTTTGAGACTTGTAACAATCCGATACCTGGGCAACAAATTCGAGAAGTTCTCTGAAGGAAGAAGCGCCATTGTCGGCTGTGACACTGGGATTGGCCAGGAAGATGTCTCGTTGTGTCAGATATTGCCCGTATTGTGCTTCAAATTCTGCTTCGTAGGACTTTGGGTCTCGGCGGATTTTGTATTGCAGGTTCGTAAGGTCAGCATCAACCTTCTCTAGCGCTGCGAGTTTGCGTTTAGGCATTGCGATGAGCGCTGCTGATAGCCTTGTCGTCGCCACCAAAAGCAGTGAAGTTCGGTGTTTGAGTGCTGCAGACACCAAAATTGTTCAGGCTGCTTATCGATAAGAAACTACTGCCGACCAGGTTTTCGGGTCCAGAACTTTGGACCTTTGCAATCTTTCAAGCATGTAACAAACCTCTGACACTATAGTCTTAATTTTCGTTGTACTCGCATCAGACCGCGGCTTTTCATTGTGAAAGTAATAATTGTATATGTATGGGTAAGTGGTACGATGACCTGATCTGAAATCATGATAGCCTGCTTCTACCGTACCTCCTAGAAAACCAACATTCACTGCAAGTCTATTTACGGGCCTGGTGCGTACACAGAGTCTAATGTCATGCAATCTCTCCTATTGACTAGAGTGTGATCTTCGTGGACAATTCCAAGTTACGTTTATATGCTGAAAACGTATCTTATCGAGGTTGCTAAATTCCGAACCCATCAACGACGCTTCCATCCCTCACAAACTCCTCGATCCAACCAATAGTCATCCTGTCACAGATCAGTGCATGCTTAAACCGACCGGTACACACTGCAGGATTATTGCTTACATGCTCCTCTTAGTATCGGCGAATTGCTCGTGGTCACTGACCAGATGCTCTTTATACCAAGGATCCTGCTTCATACTCTTATAGTCTTCGAGGCTTTCGAACACTACTTGGCTGAAGCAGTCAAAATCGGCAATGTTGCACATCTGGTGGTCGAAAAGCTGGTACATCAGGGCGCGGGTTGATGTTTGATTATGGACCTTCTCAGCTCAGCAATTGGACATTGACACAGGGTCGACATTACGTGCTTGTCTCCAAGATTTGACCCCATGCTTGACCATCAAGTGCTTTGTCATGGGCGCAGATACATTTACCATGTGATTGCGGTAGGCTTCTTCGCTCATGCCAGGTCTGCGGTAGCCACAGATTGTTAGACAGAGATAATTGCGGATTCCTTCGGTTGCTGGAGGTGATGGGGGAATCTCTGGGTCTGTGAGATGAGACATGGCTAGATCCAGGCTATTGAATACGTCAATGAGAATGGAGAGGGTGACTTGGTAGAGTCTGGATGAAGTGCAAAGTGAGGAATACTCATGAAGATGCCCGTTGGAAAGTGAATGGGATCGTTCGAGATAGTTCTGACTCTTCCGGGGACACTCCCTCCAACGACGACAGGGTGCTGAAGCTTTCCTAATGTGATTGCGGGCCAACGTATTCCATCCGAAAGTTTGTATGAAGGATAATCTCAAGCATCGGAGCATTATCGCGGTCCGGCATCGAGGAGGAAAATGGCAGATGGACGTCAGATTGCCCAATATAAGTTCCGTTCCCTGCTTTTCTAGAGGGTAGTCACGAACCGACAGCACAGCCAACTATACCCAACTCCGGCAGTTCTTCGCCATGGGACGACCAGCTCAGGCCCAGAAACCGAGAATAGGCGTCCAGACAGCAGCCTTCACGGCCGGCACTTTCCTCGCAGGCAAGCCTCAACTCAACTCTACTTTTGACAAGCTAACACCTTCGTAGGAGCCATGCTGAGCCTATCCGCAATCTCAATTCCTGTCTTGCTCGACACAAACACCGACCCTGCGCACTCAATTCGCCAATGGGCTCGACTCTACTACTACGGCCACATTGAGCTGCCGTTCCTGTGCATCACGACAACGTTGCTCTACGCCTATGCAGCACTCAGCAAACAGCCAGTCGAGGCCGGGCAGTGGCTTGTCTATGCCATGGCAGGCTTGACTACGATTACTATGGTGCCTTTCACGTGGGTCTTCATGGCGAGGACCAATAATCAGCTGTTCCGCTTGAATGACTTGCCATCTGGAAGTTCAGGTGATATTGATCCGGGCGTGGTCGGAGGGTTGTTAGTGAGATGGGCGTTTCTGCATGTCGCAAGGTCGGTGTTCCCTTTGATTGGCGCAGGTTTGGGGTTGGTGGGCGTTGCAAAGGAGCTCGGTATTCTGTAGATCATATACAAATGGATATTTGACCTTAAGATTGCGTCATTCTGAGTCGCAGAAGTACGGGTTATGAGCAGTTCCTAAATCCCATGGAGACTTCGATGAAGAAATTGCCCGGAAACCCAGACATTACGGTTCCGCTTTCCTCGGAAGGTTTCCAAGTCACCAATCACGACCTGTACAGTAATTAGATTGCCCGCACGTTATGGTATAGCAATAAAAAGTTATTACTACCACAGGTTCGTTGTTTTGATCGTGTATACAGAGTATGTCTTCAGGGTATCTATGTCTAGCATATTTGTAAGCTAAGTGGCGTACATCTTGATTTCTTGAATATCAAGGATTGTAATTATGGAATCCTCCCTATCACAAAACACTCCTATTCTGCATCGCCGCTTCCACTGAATACCACTTCTTTTGTCCGCCCCTCATCTCGAATCCAACTTGGCTGTCACCACTCAACTTCCGCAGTACCTCATCAGTGAATGGCTCCAGGGCAAGTGTACGTGTAGACTCCTCCAATGAGTTGCCATAGATCAGAGTGACAATTTCGCCAATGGGAGCACTCTTTTCGCCACGGCTGCTCACCTTGTGAAGGGCTTGCATGACTTGTTTTTCGCGGCGGGTCTTCTGACTCAGATCTCCTGCAACCTTGGCTGGCAAGTTCTTGAGAGTTACACCATGAGCTGGGTATCCGATGCGACAGTTCTGCGCCTTCATTTTTCCCAGGCTCTCCATGAAGGTACCTAAATCTTCGACCGCGCTAGTGCCGTGGCCTAGGATATTATCACCGGTGAACATGGCTTGCTCTTCCTCGAGAACAAAACACATATGGTCTTCGGAGTGTCCAGGGGTGTGAACTGCTCGTACAGTTGCGCCCTCGACTTTGAAGACCTGATCGTCAGCGATATCTTGCTGACCTTTGTCAGGGTCGTTCTTGTAGATGGAGTTCCGAAGGTGTGGATACAGGCGCAGAAGATCAGGAACGCCACCAGTGTGATCGCCGTGCCAGTGAGTGAGCAATACATGCGATAGGCTGATGCCCATCGATTCGAGCGCAGATGAGATGAGGCTTGCCCATTCTGGCTCTCCTCCAGAAGTGTCGATGAGGAGTCGGCGCTTGCCACTTCCAACGATGAAGGTATTTGTTCCTTGAAAAGTGAACTATGAACAAAGCAAAGTCAGCCAAGGAAATTTAGCGATCTCGAGGCCATCGCACTCACCTTCCCAGGATTCTGACCTAGTACGCGCAGAACGAGGGGAGTGAGTTGCTCAACATTTTGCAACGTTGGTAAATGCGCTTTTTGTCCTTCAAGGTATTCAGTAAAAGCGCAAATATTCAGCGATTTATTGATTTGTCGGTAACCGCCTTTTTCGTCTGCCATGCTGAAGAGAGACAAACCAAAAGACTCGAATTGGTAGTGCTCTTTGCAACATATAGTAGTGGTGCTCGTGTCGATAATAAAGGACCTACTTCTTGCTGGTACGGCATTCTGTCTTTTTCGACACTCTCGGACTCCGATTCTGACCGACTTGGACTTCTGTAATGTAGCAGAAACGCTTTGAGTTTTGTTCCGATCGTATGCTCTGTTACAGATGGGTCCGGTTAGTGATTTGACACGTGCGCTATGAGTCGTGATATCCTTGTCAACAATGCCGACAATTGCTTCGGCACAGGGCTGAGAATATCGGACCCTATTCGAGGAGTACACCAGAGAAGAGTTCGAACTGTGTGCTGACAAGTGCTATACCATAAGTATGCGATTCATGAATCCTGATATCTCGGACTGCGACTTTCTTCTGCTTCCGGACTGATGGTTATACATATGAGGAATCTGTATCTCTAACCTTCTCGCACACTTCTTGTGTTTCAGAACCACATACTTTGTAGCATCTGAGAGAGTGCTCAATCAATGTCTGCAAAGTCTCCATCTGTTTTATTTTGAACACCATGTACAGTCCTACTTCGAGCTCGGAGTCTGAAGAGGACTTGCGCAAGATGGAGCTTGTCTACTTCAGCAACGAGTTCCCCAAGGAGGACTTGGTGGACATTTTTCGTCGCCTGCACAACCACAGCAAGGACAGAAACCATTCGCTGTTGGCACAGTTCCTGGACGAAGCTACGTTAGCAGTCAAAGATGAAGTGAAGCGGTTACCGATGGAAACGAAGAGACAATTTCCCCCCTTCTCAACCATCTTTAGCTGGGCCGAGAATGTCGAGCTTCGCCAAGGATTGATGTGTGGGGCAGTAGATGGAGTTCTCCTCGTTGTTAGTCAACTAGCAGCTTATATTGGGTGAGTTTTTATCTCAGTCACGATATGCCAGATCTCGAGACCTGACTCAAATACTAGGTACCATGAAGGATACCTCGAGCAGAACAGCAGTTATGCCAAAAAGTCTCTGGCTGCCCTGGGCGTTGGCCTACTGTCAGCAGCGGCTGTTGCGCAATCATCCACCTTGAGTGAGCTGCCGCAGGCAGGCGCAGATGCTGCTCGTCTCGCCTTTCGCATGGGCGTTCACGTCCAGAGCGTCTCCGAGAATCTCGAAGCCCGCGATCTATCAGAACCTGCAGACACATGGGCATATGTTGTTCCCAATATTGACCCAGCCGCTGCCCAAGAAGAACTCGATGTCGTACACTCCAGTGAAGACATGCCCGAATCCGGCAAGGTATTCGTGAGCGCTGTCAGCCGGACTTCAGTGACTATCAGTGGTCCACCATCGAAGCTAAAGTCTCTTTTCAACAAATCTGAGTTCTTCCGCGACACGCGATCGATTGCCCTGCCAGTTTACGGCGGCTTGTGCCACGCACCGCATATCTACAGTCAGGAGGATGTGCAGAGTATCATCAACGTCTCCGCCTTGACCAATGCCAGCAGTAGACCAGCAATGCCAGTGTACTCAACCAGTACAGGTCTTCCGTACCAAGTCAAGACTGCAGGAGGGCTCCTCGAATGCGTTGTGTCTGAACTCCTGACGAAGGCAATCTACTGGGACAACGCCATTCAAGGAATCGTGGATCAGGCAAGCTGCGGTCTTGCTACGGAGGCGGTGCTGCACTGCTTCGGTAACTCTATTCCACTCAACGATCTTAATATCGCGTTGAAGGCGAGTATACCGCAGCTTCACACTTCTGTCAACAATCTCATGCAGTGGCCATTTGAAGCTGCGCCGAAGGATAATACTCCTCGCAGCACAGCACAAGCCAAGCTAGCCATCGTTGGTATGTCTTGCAGGCTTCCAGGTGGTGCGACGAGCACTGAAGCATTTTGGAATATCCTGGAACAAGGTTTGGATGTCTCGCGGAGAATCCCATCTGACCGATTCGATGTTGAAACCCATTTCGACCCTACTGGCAAACAGCTGAACAAGACCATGACCCAGTATGGCTGTTTTATTGATGAGCCAGGCCTGTTTGATGCGCCGTTCTTCAATATGTCTCCACGCGAGGCACAGGTCGTCGACCCGCAGATGCGTCTGGCGCTTGTTACTGCATACGAGGCCTTGGAGCGTTCAGGTTATGTATCTAACCGAACCGCTGCCACCATGCTTCAACGCATTGGTACTTGGTATGGCCAAGCTGCTGATGATTACCGTGAGGTCAATCAAGGCCAGGAAGTCAGCACTTACTACATCCCAGGAGGTTGTAGGGCATTCGGCCCTGGCCGCATCAATTACTTCTTCAAGTTTGCAGGTCCTAGCTATTCAATTGATACTGCTTGCTCCTCTGGGCTTGCAGCAATCGAGGTTGCCTGCCAGGCACTCTGGAACGGAGAAGTGGACACCGCGGTCACAGGTGGTATGAATATTCTGACCAACCCGGATGGTTTCGCGGGTTTGTGCAACGGACATTTCCTCACCAAAGGCCATAATGCTTGCAAGACGTGGGATGCTACTGCTGATGGATACTGCCGTGCCGACGGTATTGGATCTCTCGTGATCAAGAGGCTGGAGGACGCAGAAGCAGACAACGACAACATCCTCGGCGTAATCCTTGGTACCTCAACTAATCATTCCGCCGAAGCTGTTTCTATTACTCATCCACATGCTGGTCACCAAGCCTATCTTTCTCGCCAGGTCCTTCGTCACGCTGGCGTTGATCCACTGGACGTCTCATACGTCGAGCTTCATGGAACCGGCACCCAGGCTGGCGACCACGAAGAAATGCAGGGCATTATGGACGTATATGCGCCACTTACCAAGCGTCGCAACAAGAACCAGCCACTACACATTGGAGCTGTCAAGGCCAATGTCGGGCATGGTGAGTCTGTGGCCGGCACAACCGCACTGATCAAGGTACTTCTCATGCTTCAACATAATGCCATTCCACCTCATATCGGCATCAAAACTGAGATTAATCCGAAATTCCCTAAGGACTTTGATAAGCGCAACCTCCACATTGCCTTCGAGCAGACGGATTGGCCTCAATTACCGGGAAAGAAGCGACTTGCAGCCGTTAACAATTTTGGTGCTGCTGGTGGAAACACGACTATGCTTCTAGAAGAAGCGCCGTTCCGTGTCATCACAGAAGCTGATCCTCGTCAGACCCATATCATCGCTGTCTCTGCCAAGACCAAATCGTCACTGGCCGGAAATATTGAGCGCCTGATCGCATACTTGGACAGTAATTCGAACGTCAACCTTGCAGACCTTGCATACACAACTACTGCACGCCGCTACCAACACACACATCGTGTAACAGTTGCTGCCAATGATATGGCTCAGCTAAAGAAGCAGTTGGCTTCACGCTTGGAAAAGATCGACTCGGTTCAGCCTGTTGCAAAGTCTGGTCCTCCGCCCGTCTGCTTCGCCTTTACTGGCCAAGGCGCTTCTCACAAGTCGATGAATCTGGAGCTATACCGAGATGTCCCTACTTTTCGTCAGCAGATTCAGCACCTCAATGCCCTGGCTATGCGTCAAGGCTTCCCTTCTTTCATCCATGCCCTTGATGGATCTCACCACAAGGATCATGCACACCCGCCTGTCGTGACTCAACTTGCTCTGGTCTGCACTGAGATTGCTCTGGCCAAGTATTGGGCGTCTATGGGAGTCAAGCCGGACGTCATCATAGGCCACAGCCTAGGCGAGTACGCTGCCATGCACATTGCTGGTGTGACTACTGCTAGTGACACGATATTCATGGTTGGACGTCGAGCGCAGATGCTGCAGGACAAGTGCCAGATTGGTAGCCACACCATGATGGCAGTAAGGGCCTCTCTTTCGCAAATTGCAGAGAGCTCAGGTGGCAGACCTTACACGATCGCCTGTTCTAATGGGCCGTCAGATACCGTCCTCAGCGGTACCAAAGCGCAGATGGAGGAGGTTGCCAAGCCATTGCAGTCTGCGGGCTATCGATGCATCAACTTGGACGTTGCTTTCGCCTTCCACTCGGAGCAGACTGATCCAATTTTGAGTGACTTCAGAGCTGTTGCAAAGACTGGTGTTGTGTTCAAGGAGCCCAAGCTGCCAGTCATTTCGCCACTGCTTGGCAAGGTTGTGTTCGACGGCAAAACACTGAATGCCAACTATGTTGCTCGAGCCACGAGAGAGTCTGTGGACTTCCTATCTGCTTTGCAAAACGCTCAGAAGATATCTACAATCAGCGATGAGACTATCTGGGTGGAGATCGGACCGCATCCTGTATGCACTGGCTTCGTGAAATCCACCATTTCGTCCACTAAAATCGCCGTGCCATCTATACGCCGTGACGACGACAACTGGAAGACCATGGCTGAGAGTATGGCCACTCTGCACCTTGCTGGTGTTGCTGTTGACTGGAATGAGTTTCATCGTCCGTTTGAGAGCAGACTTCGTCTTCTTGATCTGCCGACGTATGCTTGGAACGAGAAAAACTACTGGCTGCAATACGAGGGCGATTGGGCACTCACTAAGGGCAATAAGTTCTATACTGCTGAGAAAGATGCTTCGAGTGCGAAAGTTGCTGCACCAAGAGCCATTCACAGCAGCATCAAGACTTCTACTGTGCAGCACATTGTCGAAGAGAGCTTCCAGGATGGAGCTGGTCTAGTGGCTATGGAATCCGACTTGATGGAGCCAGACTTTCTTGCTGCAGCGCATGGTCACCGAATGAATGGTTGTGGTGTTGTAACATCAGTGAGTGCCACGCTTCTACAAACCCTATATCCGACCCACTAACGTTGAATACAGTCTATCCATGCAGACATCGCATACACCCTTGGCGAATACCTCTTCAAGAAGCTAAACCCAAGTGCCAAGTCTGTGCACATGAACGTAGCAGATCTTGTGGTTACTAAGGGTTTGGTCGCCAATCAAGACACGTCTCAGTCACAATGCATTCGTGTTACTGCCAAGATCGAAGATATTGCCTATCGAAGTGCCTCCTTGTGCTGGCAAAATGCGGAAGCCAGTGGTGAAGCTGGCGAAGCATTCGCGACAGCAACGCTTTACTTCGGCGACTCCACGGAATGGATCCGGTCCTGGATTCCAATGACACACTTCGTCCAGAGTCGCATTCAAGCTTTGGAACAGCTGGTCGTTGAGGGCAAAGCCAATCGTTATTCAAGGAAGATGGCCTATCTCATGTTTGCAAACAACCTCGTCAACTATGCCGACAAGTACCGTGGCATGCAGGCCGTCACAATTCATGAGCTTGAAGCTTTCGCGGACGTGCAGCTTTCAACAGAGAAGGGAGGAATCTGGACAGTACCACCTTATTTCATCGACAGTGTCGCCCACCTCGCAGGCTTTGTGATGAATTGTTCCGATGCTATTGACACACAGAAAGACTTCTGTGTTACTCCTGGCTGGCAGTCCATGCGCTTTGCAAAGCCACTCGTCCCGGGAGCCAAGTATCGATCCTACGTCAAGATGATACCCACCGAAGATGATCCAACGATCTATCTCGGCGACGTTTACATTCTACAAGACGATGCTATCATGGGAGTTGTTGGTAGTATCCAGTTCCGCCGCTATCCTCGCGTCCTGCTCAACCGATTCTTCTCGGCTCCAGACAAGCCTAAAAGATCAGAACAGAAGGCAAAAGCGGCTACTCCTCCAGTGCCAAAAGCACTCGAACTCCCTAAGCCAACCGCATCAGCTCCGGCACCATCAACACCTGAAGATAACAATAAATCAGCACAACCTGAGCCCCAGTCTGCGAAAGAGCCGGCGGCCAAGGCCACTGTAACGAAGGAAGTCGAGACCGCAACCCCAGCGACCGATTCGAACAGCATAGCCGCGAGAGCAGTGCAGTTGATCGCGAACGAAGCTGCTCTTGATACTGCCGACCTTGGTGATGAAGCGAGCATGGCGGACCTGGGCATCGACAGCCTCATGTCCCTGGTCATCTCAGAGAAATTCGGATCAGAGCTAAATGTCAAGGTTTCTGGGAGCTTGTTCATTGACTTTCCCACTATCGGAGGGTTGAAGAATTGGTTGACGGAGAGCTATGGCTAAGGCCTTGGACTCGATGAATGGAACTCATATATGTCAGCATAGGTACTGGAGGGCACCAGCGGCGTTAGGTTTAGATCGAGACATCTCATCAACGAATTCACGATTTCAACGCTCACTCTCTTTTTCACAGCGACAGCTTGCCTTCTTTGTGATGCTGTATGCAACTTGAACGACTGCTGGCATTCTGACAAGCAACGTGCAAAAGGCATCTCTAGTATATCTGTTTGCTCCGGCATCACGTCGACCCGCCTTCGGGTTGCGCAGAGCACTGGCAGTGTGATATCGAATGTGGACATCGTTCTCTTTTACCCATGAGCAGCCTACAGTACTAGGTAGCTTCGGGGGGGATGATCCTGGCATGTCTAAGCCTGTGCATGGCAAATCTAAGCATGGACCACAGGTGGAAGGGCCTAGTATCGTGCCTATGGCCAAAAAGGGAATGTGTGGCGACGCTCATGAACAAGGTCGCTGAGCCAGATATGAGCTTCTGATGACAGTAATCTTACCATGAACCGTTGATATTGTATTTATCGAATCTGGACTTTCCTCCATATTTACTGTTGTTCTCCAAGTCTGCGTACTTGGATTCCTCTGCTACAGGCTTACAGAGATCATGTGAGTGAAGCACTCCTCGTGCCTGCTTATCAAGCTTCGAGATCTTGTCAGTACGTAAGAAATGACATAACGCGACCGTATGAAATGATCAATATGTACTGTCGTGGGCGAAATTTGCCCGAGTTGAATCGTGACTATAACATCGAAGAAACGCTTTCACTTATGAGGGCTTGCATTGCATCATAAAATGTGTGGTAGATTTATAGATTATGTGTTTACCTTCTATGATAAGTCCGATACCAATAAAACACACAGAAAACATGCTTCAAGCGGCGCCGCCATCGACCGGAATGATCTTGCCATTAACCCACTCACCCTCCTTGCTCGCCAGAAATACTACAGCATGAGCAACATCGAGTGGGTAGCCGCAGCGGGTTAGAGGTGAGGCATGTGCGGCACACTGGCGTGATGGTCAGCAACATGGCATTTAGCCAACAAAGGAAGTAGTCTTGACGTACCTCCTTAAGCTGCTCAATGCTCAACTTCTCACCTCCAGGGATGTAATGATGTGCCACATCAACAAACATATCCGTGACTGTGCCACCAGGTGCCACAGCGTTCACGGTGATTCGCTTGCTGCCACAGTCCTTGGCCATGACAGGGACAAAGCTCTCGATTGCACCCTTCGAGCCAGAGTAAATGGCATGTTTTGGCACGACGAAATTTCTGGCGGTATTGGAGCTGGTGAGGATGATACGACCGCCATGTTCGACGTATTTGGAAGCTTCGCGGGCAACGAAGAACTGGCCTCGAGTGTTGATGCGGAACACACGGTCGAATTCTTCCTATTGGGAAGAGTTTAGAATACGAATTTCGGGATGTAGATATAGATGGAGCTTCTTACCTCGGACACTTCACTGAGATGGCCAAACGAGACGACTCCAGCGTTGGAGCTAACAATGTCGAGATGACCGAAGTAGTCCAGTGCCTCCTTGAACAACCGGGTGGTTTCTGACACATCGCTCACGTCTGCTTTGATGGCGATAGCTTCGGAGCCGAGAGTTTTGATCTCCTGTACGACCTTCTGAGCTGGACCAGCTGCACGAGAGTAGTTAACGACAACGTTGGCACCACAACGGGCCAATTCAATGGCGATGGCGGCACCAATGCCTCGGCCACTTCCTGTCACGAGCGCAACTTTTCCATCTAGGCGGAAGGGTAAGTGTGGTGCCGACATTGTTGGGCCTATTGAACCCATAACTTCTGCTGTTTTTGTGAAGATGGAGAGCTTGAGGATCTTGAGAAGTCACTACTTAAGTCAGATACTGAATGCAAGTAGGAAATGATGCTGCGATTTCGAATATCATTGTGCTTGGTCTGTGGCAGATGGCCATTGATAAAGATCGGGTTCATTGATGCCGTCCACCATAGAACCCTAGACGGACACAGTGCCCTCCTCAGGAGTGCGCTTTGTGGTCGTTGAGTTAAGTGCAACGTCCCGGATTCCGACCTTCGTGATCCGAAGAGGTGAGCTTGTTGAGTCCAGCATGTTGGTTGTTATTAGTTCTCCGTGTTGGGTAAATCGTGCCAACGGGCCACCGTAGATCACCCATCACGGAGAATCTGTGGGCTCTAGGCATCTCTTTAGGGTTACTCCGGGCACAGTCTCTTGCAAGAGTGACGCTGATACGCATAAGTGGTGCCTGGAAGCCCCCTAAGATCGGTGAAGCTACAGCAAGGAGGACGTTGGCGCCTATTTTCAAACTTTGCAGAGAGGATGAGACAGAGAAAGTGAGAGCAACGACTTTCTTCCTATTGGAAAACATAGAGAGAAACATAGGTCGTAATCAGTGAGTCTGCTCATTGAGAGCTACAGACCAGGCAATTTTAGCCAGTTTTTAAGCCCAGGATACGTAATTCCTGAGGCTACTGCAAGCTCGCTTCAAACTGGCTTCACGGTGCCGAATCAGATTTCTTCTCACCTCCGAACATGCTATCATAATCATATTCATGCCACCTAATGTTCGGTTCTAGTCCTCCAAACTTCCACACCCCATCGACTTTCTTGTACTCCATGGTTGCCGTTCCGTGCGCATGACCTTTCAGAGTCACTGTCTTCAAAGATTCATCCGTGTACCGTTGATGCGCAACTCGCAGCTGATGATGTCCGACGATCTTCTCGTCGGACTCCTGCACGAATCTACTCCCACCAATGAAGTGTTGAGTTTTGAGGGTCGCGTCGCCGAGAAAGTGTGGGTTGGATGCCAGAGCGACGAGTTGGTCTTTTGGCATTTCTTCCCATAGGCGATTGAGCACTGTTCGATAGTCGACCTGATTGGATTACAGCGTCAGTCAATGCTCTAAGCAGTCGAGGGAATCATTGTGGTTGCACTCGCCCTCAGCGTGGGTGCCAGGCACTGGCGGAGTCGTTCCCAGTCTTTCGAGTCGTAGCTGTCTGCCCATTCATACAAGACAGCTTGGCAGCCCAATACATCTGTCTTCTGTCAGCTTGAGATGCTCACGCTCTCACCTATGGCTTCTCTGTCTTGCCTTGTGCTCTAGGTAAGTCAGCCATTGTGATTCCTGCTACACACAGACTCTAGAATCAGAGGCATGGGAGACATTGGTCACTTTATATTGACAGGTTAAGGACAGGAAATGTTCGCTTTTTCTGAGGTCACCATCTTGACGCAAGAGCTGAAACGGCACACGACACAAAAGCAGTGCTCGGAGTCCGATCATACACTTTCCAGAAGAAGTGTCCTCGAAAGGAGGAAAGCTGCTGAAGATCGGTTTCTATTGACTCCATTGTCCAAGAACATCACGTACCCCCTGCGTCATCTGTATGGTCCCTTAAAGGTGATTCCAGTAGCTGCTGTTTACAGTCTGCTTTGTGTCATGTTGGAGGGATGCCATCGTACGCCCTTGATGTCAGATCCTGTTTGCTGGTCGGAGTAGTCGATACTGTGTCTTCGCCCTTGTTGTCCTGCTTTCAAGTAGCAACATCGACGTCGCTTGCACGGCATCTGCGAATGTCAATCTTCTATGTACACTGTAGCTGCTATCTGAAGCTTTCGCTTCCTCGAATCTGCATGCAGCACTGAGGGGATCAAGCAAGTATGTGGCTGGTGGGACGAGGGTATGCTTATTCATATTTTAGTACATTTGAGATTGAGATAGAACTCGAAGAAAAGACACAAAAGTGAGGTAGATAGTTTGTTACCCTGTAAAGTCATGATTTCTATTCGGCTACAACGGCAGTATCCTCTTTGACTAGATCCTGATCTAGACAGGGCAAAGACCCATGCTTCCAGGTCTAAAATATTATCAAACCATCTGCGACGGCGATATCTATTGCCGCGCGGTGTCCAATCGCGTATGCCATCGACTGTATAGGACAGGTCGTGATAGTCGGTGCAGAACTAGATCCAACCACACGAATTCCTTGCAAGCCTTTCACTCTCCAATTGGGGTCCAGGACACTCCCAATAGCCGTAGTTCCAACAGGATGATGCCAACTGGCTGAGCCTCCCTGAATTGCCGCCCAAAATTCCTCATCGTCCTCAATATCATCACCAGGATAGAGCTCTCGGACAAAGAATTGACTCAACTCATCTGACCTCATCATGCTTCGCAACTGCTTGTATCCGTACATGATTGCAGCACGATCGGCAGGCGTTCCCCAGTAATTTGCGTATATCTGAGGTGGATCGAGATAGTCAGACGAGTTGATGGACACACTCCCTCTGCCTTCAGGCTGCACAACCGCAGCAAAGGCAGCGACCACACTAACATTGTTCGTCTGTAGGAATGGCGTCGCTGCATACTCATACACTAGTTGTGGACGATCCGTGGGAAGACTGACATGATATCCTCCAAGGCCGTCGAACACTGAATCGGGAATCCGCAGACCACCGGCCACGTCACCATTCTGCATGCCCAAGAGCCCGTCACCGTTGGCTTGGTATTGCAGCTCTGCAAGCTCGTAGTGCGTACGATTTTGCTGCCACTGCCAGCTGGTATCGACCTCGGCCTTGGCCTCGTACTGCAAGACGGCCATGTGATGGTCGATCATGTTCTGACCAACTTGTGGTGCATCCAGCACGACCGGAATGCCTAGTGGTTCCAACATCTCTGCCGGTCCCACGCCAGAAAGCATGAGTAGTTGTGGGTTGTTGATAGCGCCAGCGGCTAGAACAATCTCGTCCGCCGAAACGGTATGTTCCTCTTGTGTGATGGTATCCGTGTAAGTCACATCACGCGCAGTTGTGTGTTGGAACCCAACTTTTGACACCCAAGCATTGCTACGAAGCTCAAAATTTGGTCTTGCAACGGCCAGGTAGCCAAAAGAATTGGTAGCGTAGGATCGTGTTCTGTTGCTGACTCGAATAGACTCCAATCCTTGACTGACACCAATACCATCGCCAGAAACATAGTCAACGATTGGCAGACCCAGCTCGGATACTAGTTTGTTCGCAAAGGGCTCGTCGAATGTAAGAAATTGACGTTGACGGCTGATCTCCAACGGCCCATCACCGAAGGACGTCGTGTTGACTGGTTGATCATATGTGATTGATGGTTCGTCGGCCCAGTGTGTGGTGGCTTTGAAGGATTCGAATATCGAGTTCCAAGCTAGGCCTTGATTTCCACTGATCTCGGCCCATTCATCGAAGACCGATGAAGACCCTCGACAATACAACATGGCATTGGTTGCACTGCCTCCCCCCAGAGCCTTCCCTTGATAAAGGTCGGGTGTACGCCCACCCAGGTTCTTGTCTGGCTCGACATGGTAGGGCCACATGTAGGGTTGTGTGAAAAAGAATTGAGAAGGCGCTGTTGAGAACACAATTAGTATTACTGCCTTGGCACTAATCCAAAGGAGACATACTCGTAATGTTGGGATTTGTGTCCTCATTGGTACCAGCGTCAAGCAATAGTACATGGGCTGAGGGATCACGAGTGAGATATTCGGCAACGACAAAGCCTGAAGGACCTCCGCCAACAACAACATAGGAAGTGCGCTTTGGTGCTGGCGCGGCAGATACAACTGCTGCCAGGACAAGCAAGTCTCTGAGTAGTATTTGCAGACGAACCATGGCTGTCAGTCTAGCTTCTCGATGATAGTCCAACGATGAGATGGTATGGCGAAGTGTGGTCTGTCAGAAAAAGCAGTCCTCTTTCTACACAGGCATCCGCCATCTTTAACACAACAAACACACCGCATGCCTGGCAAGCGCCACAACATTCCTTGTCCAGTCTAGAGACATCTGAACGCTGCAGAACTCCATGGTTCGCTCGAAGGCCTTACCCCGAATGTGTCGCAACGTGCCGAACAACATGTAGGTGTCGCGAATGCCGAAGAAAGGTCACGTTCATCCACGTGCAACAAGCTGGCGTAGCAACACATGGGTGTGGATATGTCCATGCAGACCTCGACTTTGGACCAGTGATTGCGAATTGTCAACTGTTCAAGTCCGAAGTGTCATGTCTGTGTCTCGGAGTCTTCGTGTGAGGATGGAATGGATATGTTTGCAGTTGTAAGATAGAGACTGACAACTTTCAGCCCGACAACGAACCACGTGATTCTATTTTGGCACTTGGCCGCAGGCTCATCTTCTCAATCTACTAGTAATTACTGCTCCTTCTCGCAGATGCAATACTCAGCCATGCATGCGAAGCCAGCTCTGACCAACTTAATTTTCATGCAACTCCAGTATTTCAAGCGCCTGAAAATGTTCGGTCTATTTCTCGTATACTCATCGAAGAGCAAAGCTCCGACCTGGACTGAAAATCCTCCGAACTGGTTTCTGGTGAGGTCGTTGAACTCAAGAGCAAAGCACCAATGAGGAATCTTCACACGTATCTATGCATTACTTCAGTATGGTCTTGAGCATAGTCTACTCACCGTCTTCCATTTTTCGCCTCGATGTTTCCAATGGCATGGCTCATAGTGATAGCAACGTACTTAATCTATTGTATAGGGGTGGGAGTCTATCGGTTGTACCTCAGCCCGCTTTCCAAATTTCCCGGCCCAAGGCTTGCTGCTGTGTCGTGGGGATATGAGTTCTACTACGATTTTGTGAAGGTAAGTCGGCTGTACAAAAATAGACCCTGTAGGGTCTGACATGAAATCTTTGGCAGCGTGGGCAGTTCTACAAACATACTGAACGTCTGCACGATATCTATGGTTTGTGACATATCGTGTCAGCCATATTCTGTATACTGATAGCTGCAGGTCCGGTTGTACGCATCAATCCCGTCGAGATCCATGTGCGAGACCATGAGTGGTATTCCGAGCTGTATACATCGGTCAACCATCCTCGAGACAAACCCAGCTGGTTCCTTGGGCCCACTGGGGGACAGTCGGTTTTCAGTACAGAGCCGCATGCCCTCCATCGCAGAAGGAGAGCTGCGCTGAACCCTTTCTTTTCTCAAAAAGCCGTGGCCTTCTTGGAGCCTATCATCCAGAGTAATGTTGAGAAGCTCTGTCAACGAATCGAGCGCAACGCTAGCACAGGTAGGCTTCTCGAGATGCGACTGCTCTATTTCGCGTTCGCGATGGATACGTTCAGTCATTATGCATTCGGAGCAGCGTTTGGCTCGCTGGACCGAGAAGATCTAGGCGAGGAGCACGAGGCGACCTTGAGAGCAGCGACAGAATCCAACATCGTTGCGAGGCACCTGCCTTTCCTAGTCCATATCATCAACATGCTCCCTGAGAGAGTTGCGGCTTCTTTTAGTACTCCGATTGCTGGACTGTTGAAGATGCGAAGGGTAAGGCTTGCGGTTTCGTCGCTATCAGTCCAAGATTAGTCCAACTGACTCTGCCGCATAGGAGATTCTAGCAAAAATGGAGGCTGCCTTTGCGAAAGGAGAAGGTGAAAAATCCACGACACATCGAACAATATTCGAGGATATCCGAGACAGCAACCTTCCAATTCAAGAGAAGACAACGCAACGACTTCTAGATGAAGCAGTAGTCATGGTAGGAGCTGCGGGAGAGCCACCGGCATTCACCTTAGCAACCTTGACTTTTCACCTTCTCAACACTCCAACCGTGCTTGAAAGACTGGTGTCAGAGCTCGACGCCCTCATGCCGGATCCCAATGCATCGATATCGTTGCAAGCTCTCGAACAGCTACCATATCTCGTGAGTTACAGATCCACATGCCAGTAATGTCGCTGGAGCTGACAGGTATCTGCAGCGAGCTACCGTTTTAGAAGCACACCGTATCACGTCCTTCTTCACAGCTCGAATGATACGCACTGCCCCCAATGAAGTACTGCGCTACAAGGACTGGGAAATATTACCGGGTACGCAAATCAGCATGACACAGCACTGGACACACTTCAACCCTAATATTTTCCCTGATCCATATTCGTTCCGTCCAGATCGTTTCCTTGCCGAGGACTCTGCAGAGGTCGAAAAGTACCTCCTGCCCTTCTCCAAAGGCAGCCGATCGTGCATTGGTTTGAAGTAAGTGGCTATTACCTATCACTAGATCACACAAAGCCCAAAAACACTAGCTAACACGATTTTGTGCTGCACAGCTTGGCTCGCGCCGAACTCTACCTTGCGGTTGCATACATCTTTCGCCGATTTGACTTACGGTTGTTCGACACAACGTTTGAGGATGTGGAGATTACGTGGGATAGATTCACGGGTGGTACGAGGCCGGACTCGAAGGGTGTAAGAGTTCAAGCTGTTCGTCTGCGATCGTAAGGTTGAGATGTGTCAAATACATGAATAGTAATTGAAAAGACGAGTACTTGTTGTAGTCTGGAGTATAATATCATGGCATCCTTGTTCCTAGATGGTCCAAGACATTACAGCGTACCAATTTATTTAACATGTATATCCTCTGCCCGTGCAAGTATTGATGGAATAAAGTCCCGACACCTGGGGGCGGAAAAACATTGGCCACTTTTGAGGTTGGGTGCGGCTAACATGAATTAGGGCTAATTAGGCACTAACTACGCGTGGTTAGAGCCGACTGAATGCTGATAAGCATGCCTAAACGTTCCGAGGCGGAACTGGTAATTAAAAGCAGCCACTTTTTTTCGCCCCGGCCATCAGCTGCTGGTTCGGAACTCGTAATGCTAGAACATCTGTCCTATGGATATTATTCTGGACAATTCGAGAGCTCTTGGAGGAGACATGGCATTAGCAACTCGGAACCAATACATCTCTCATGAATCTCTGGTGGGAAGTCGTAGATTTGTCACGTTGCAATCTACATGGAAGAACAAGTCATATCAAGTGCGTGGATGATGCCCATCAAAAGTTTTCTTTGTAACGTGCCAAACTCGTATTGTATTGTACTGTATTGTGCAGTGTAATATAGTTTGCTTCGCGATTCCCATTGCGCCGTGGCGCCTCACAGCATGTACCGGTAGTCTGGACTCTGACTTCCCATGTCTTCCTTCTCCTGCTCTGTTAGATTGTTGGGTAACATTCGATCTCGTTTCTTGTTCGACATCCAGCAAGAGAAGGCATAAGCCAAAGAGGTGACCGCACTGAGACAGATGAACGCGAAGCACAGCACGTAACCAGTGGTATAGTGAGGCGCATCCCTCTCGAGGAAGGCGAAGATCGAGATGATGCCGGCAGTATTGGCACTAGCAATCTGCCATGCTGAACCAATCGCACGTTGTCGATGGCCACCAAGATTCATGTTGAACCAGCAGATCACCAGCGGCATTGCAGAGTAGGTGCCCATCGCCAGGAGGAAGAGTGCGCCGTATTGAAGGGATGTGTTGTCTCTGACTGAGACCAAGATACCCAGCCCGGCGACCGCAACAGAAATGGTCAGTAAGACAAACAACAGTCGGTGTCTGAAATAGTCCGAAAGGGTCGCCGTGACCATGCAGAAGACGAACGCCGCAGCCCATGGAGGCACTGTATAGAGTTGGGTCTGGATGGAGGAATATCCCCACTCACGTATGATGCTGGGAGCAAAATACGCATATGGGTAAGCAGGGACGATCAAGCCAAAGTACATCAGTCCGCCAAGGACCATTTTGACGTCCCGCAAGAGCCTGCCAGTATCTTTGATGGTTATCTTGTGGTCCAACTGCGACTTCCCTTGCTCGACTTGAAGACGTGCTGTAACGTATTGTTTTTCTTCCGTCGTAAGCCACTTGGAATCCTCGGGAAAGTCTGGCAGAAGGTAAAAAAGAACAATGCCAACCAAAGCTGTGAATGCACCCTCGACAATGAAGATCTGAGGTTATGGTATAAGTAACAGGCCAAATACGAAGTTGGGGGAGAAGCTGCTTACCCATCTCCAGCCTGCATAACCTTGCACACCATCGAGCTTGCCGATAGCAGCAGCCAGGAGGCCTCCAAACCCTCCTGCGAGGATTGTTGAGCCAAAGAAGAAAGAGTACCTTTTCTGAGCTTCAGGTCTTCGGTACCAGCAGCCGATCAGATAGAAACAACCAGGATACATTCCTGATTCGAAGACGCCTAGGAAGAACCGCACTGCGAGAAGTCCAGAATAGTTTTGTACAAAGCCCTGGATGAGGCTGATCAGACCAAAACCGACGGTATTGATAGAAAGCCAGACATGAGGTTTGAATTTCTTCAAGAGGAGATTTGATGGTATCTCGCATAGAATGTATGGTATGAAGAATATTACCAGGGCAACATTGAAGCGATTGTCATGGCCCAAGTCCAAATCTCGCTCAAGTCCGAACACCCTTGCATTGCCAATGTTGACGCGATCGAGAAACGCCAGTAAGTACATAATGCATAGCCATGGTAATACGTGAAGATCGATGCGATTTAAAAGACGCTGGTCTGTGGTGTGTGGTGGGCACACCGGTTGAGCGTCCTCAATCGGCGGTTGGACCTCATCCTGAAAGCCCGACTCTAGCTCAGTACTTTTGGTACCTGTATTTCTGTGTGTTAGCAGGTCAAAGAATGCTTTGCGTGGCTGAATCAATTCTTTGTGAGGTGGCATGTCGTTGCTAGGAGGTTATTATCTGTGGAGGACAAACAACTCAATGACGTCAGAACAGTGAAGGTCAAACTCGATTCCTAACCTTCGACTAGTTGTGCTACACATGGGAAATATCAGTCTCGATATCAACGGCTCACAGCTCAACGTCCGGCTCTTTATTCTCAAGAGTATATTGTCCACGAAGACGTGACAGCTCCAGGTCTGAGTTTCAACGCCGCAAGCATGATGGTCGATTCACTCTTCTCGGAATCCGAGAAGCATTATGGTGGGCACAAGGAAGGAAAGAAGGAGCGAAAGCCCGTCGAGGTTCCAAAAATCGGCTCCTGAAATTGCATTGCGATGAAGTCTACCGAGATTCAGAGCCTCTCGACATCTTTTGCGGCGGGCAACGCCTCTTCTGCATCCACCTCATTAATCAATGATCTAAGGATAAACTTGATAACTTCATTCTTCGAGCCGCACAACACATATCGACAATGGCGAACGACAACAACAATATTTCAGAGACTTCCAAAACGCTATCGGTTCAGTCAACAAGAAACCCTACAAGCGATAAAGATGTCGAGCTCGACGATTGTAGCGACACCGTCAACGAAACTACAGAGCATGATTCCAGTACAGTGGACTGGGATGGTCCGCAGGACCCGAACAATCCGCTCAATTGGACTCTTACTGTCAAATGGGTTCACATTATCATCGTATCGATAATGACTCTCTTCTCGCCTCTGGCGTCTACCATGTTCGCACCAGGTGCGCCACAAGTCTCCGAGGAGTTCCACAACACGAATTCAACGGTGTCGGCACTTTTTGTCTGTGTATACCTTCTTGGATGGACTGTTGGGCCCCTCGTAATTGCACCTTGCAGCGAGTTGTATGGACGGACGGTAGTGTATCACGTTAGCAACATCTTTTTCATCATTTTCAGTGTGGCTTGTGCTCTTTCAGCTAGCACAGGAATGTTGATTGCTTTCCGCTTCCTGGCTGGCTGCGCTGGTATTGCGCCTGTCACAAATGGCGCGGGAACTATTGCCGATCTTATGCCTATGAACCAGCGAGGAGCTGCCATGGCCCTATGGACTTTAGGTCCTGTGATTGGACCTATCATTGGACCTGTTGCTGGTGGCTTTCTAGCAGAGTCTTTGGGTTGGCGTTGGATTCTATGGGTGTTCACAATCGCATATGGACTTTGTGTCTTGCTTGGGTTTGTCTTCCTCCGAGAGACATATGCCCCAGTACTCCTGCAGAGGAGAGTCCTAAGGCTACGAAGGACGACGGGCAATGCAGACCTTCGTTCGAAACTCGACAATCAGCTCTCTGCACGAGTACAATTCCTCCGGGCCATTGTGCGTCCCTTAAAGCTCATGTGCACTTCTGTCATCTGCGGATTGCTGTCACTCTACAACGCCATCCTCTATGGCATCATGTTCCTCCTTTTCACGACCTTCCCACAGGTCTTCCAAGAGGGTTTCGGCTTCTCAGAGAGTTCAGCTGGACTGGCCTATATCGGCGTCGGCGTCGGACTATTAATTGGTTTGGCCATCAACGGGTTAGCATCCGATCGCATCTTGAAACGACTTGCTAAGAGGAAAAATCATGGCGAAAGTAAGCCTGAGTCCCGCCTACTCATTATGGGATTCCTTGGTCCATTGGCTCCTGTCGGACTAGTTATCTATGGCTGGACCGCTGAACATATGGTGAGTTCGTGGCACATTCTCGTCTTGTGACTAAATCAATGCTGTTGCTAATACTATATCTTATTCACAGCTTCATTGGATCGTACCACTTTTCGGAACAGCCCTCGTCGGCATCGGGCTCATATCGAGCTTCTTGGGCATTATGACATACATCGTGGTTAGTGAATTGACAACCTTCGAAGGGTACAACCTCTAATTGAGCAATAGGACATCTACACTCAATATGCTGTCTCAGCCGTAGCAGTCAATGCAATTCTTCGATCAATCTTTGGAGGGACGATACCTCTCTTCGGGCTGCAGATGTATCGAGCTCTTGGTTTGGGATGGGGGAATACCTTGTTGGCTTTTGCAGCACTATTGCTCTACCCTACGTCCTGGATCTTTTACACATATGGTGCAAGATTACGGTCGAGCAAGCGTTTTCAGGTAGCGCTGTAGAGGAGATGGATTTTACGAGGATATCACTACATAGAATGAAAGGAATTCGAGTGCTTTCAAATCTTACTCAAATGAGACGATTTCGACTTCAGTCCACTTATCTGTGCCAGGACTCGTTAGGTTCTCGTTAAACTCGAGTAGCAGATAATATCCTATGTTGGAGGCTGAAACAGATCCTGGAGGATGGGGTGTACTACCGACGACATTGACCTCAAGAAAGCGAGTGCCAGTGACTTTCGCGGAGGTCTGGGATGACCCAGCTTTCGTCCTGCTAGAGATGTGGGCTGTCCTGCCAGAGTAGTGTGCGTTCGTAGCTGCCGTCTTCCCTGGGATTTCCAAGACGCGGTTGATATTAGACAGGATTCAACAAGGAATTATTCATGTAATCTATCCACATTTCACTCTATCCACAACTCACTCCTCGTCCTCCTCAAATTTTGCTAATGCCTGGATGAATCTTCTCAAGCTTCTGCATCAATTCATCCCAAACACGGTCCTGTGCTTGCCTTCCTTCAGCGCTCATGACAAAGGGACTTGGCAGTGTAATCTGACAATCCGTGACATAATGACCGTGTGACTCTGGGCCCAACGAAGCCGCATGCACTAAAGTCCTGCTACCCTGTTCCGTGCTGCGAGCTAGAATGGTCTTGATGACAGTCATGGCGAACCCAGCGTGACGCGAAAGTTCACTGTTTTATTGGTCAGTTCTCTTCTAGACTCTTTTTGGTGATGCAAGACATAGACTTACGAATGACACAACCCTGGGTTGACGCAGTTAAGCGTGACAGGGAACGCGTGAGCAGGGTGTCTTTCGGCAAAGGCTCTGACACCGAACACCTCGAGGAGCTTGGAGACTGGATATCGATCGTCCATGTCTGCAGTGGCCTCGTCGTTCAAAGATTTGAAGATCTGGCCTTCAGCAGCTGACTTTTGCGGGAATGTGGTGTGACCGTGAACTTCAGATGAGGTAATGGTCAACGTTGGCTTGACCCCAAATTTGCGGGCTGTTTCTTCTAGTTTGGGCATCATCAAGAGCGAAAGAAGGAAGGTGCTGATAACGTTGACAGTGATCATCTCTTCTTCACCTTCCACGCGAGTGAATTTGACAGGAGCAACACCAGCATTGGCGATGAAGATGTCAATGCGTGGCAGATCGCTCTCGGCGCGTTTTGCGAATCGTTGAACGCTGTCATAGCTGCTCATGTCGAGTTTCCATACCTGGATGAAGTCTTTTTCATTGTCGCGGCGTGTGGTCCGGAGAATGTCCTCCGCTGCGGCCTGGCCTTTCTCCACGTTACGAACAGCGAGGATGATTCTTTGAGCGCCCAGGCGTGCAAAGTGCCGAGCTGCCTCCTTGCCTAGTCCGACATTGCTGCCAGTAACAACAACAGTTTTGCCGACGTAGGAACCCTTTGGATAGGGAAGAGAAGTGACGAGCTGACTGTACAGGAAACCCATGACTGTGACTGTGTATGGTATCTTCGATATGTGCTAGAGGTTGAATTTTTGAATTGATGGGTTGAGTTTTAAGAAGACGAGCATCAGTGGCAGGACCAATTTTGTCCTTTTGTTCCGACCTGACATGCAACAACAATTGATCGACATAGTGCTAACCCTCCGATGCCCACTGACAACGGATTTAGGTGAAGCAGCTTGATTGGCAGGTTCCAACGTGTCACCTTTGTATTATGGAGTAAGAAGATAGCATTACATTCACCACGTGACAGAAGATCCGGCTTTAGAGAAACTCCGAAACTCGTCAGGCGAGTAAAGGAGACACTATCTTTTGCCAAGCACGAGGCAGGAAGTAAATCTTCCGATCTCCGACGAAGTGTAGGAAGGATTGAAATGTTGCAGGTCGGACCGCAGGCATGTGCACAGGAAGGAACACAACGACTTACAACATGGAGAGCAAAGAAGATCCGAGTGTAACGAAATATGAGTCCGGAGTCAACACATATAATGCAGTGCTTATGGACAATCAGCAGCGACGATGCAGTGTTCACCATACCTCCCTTGAGTCCATTGTCTTTTCCACACGATGGCTGCCCCAAACACATACGCCGTTCTGGGATCCACAGGCAATTGCGGCAGCGCACTGATCCAGAACTTGTTGGAGAGGCCCAATGTGAAGGTGAACGCGTATTGTCGCAACCGCAATAAGCTCTTCCGCCTTCTGCCCGAGGTGGTTGACAACAAGCGAGTCAAGGTGTTTGAGGGCAACATCAACGATGCTCAACTCATGGCAAACTGCGTCCGAGGATGCAAAGTCGTCTACATGACCGTTACGTCCAATGACAACATCCCCGGTTGCAGTCTCAGCGAAGACACTGCTCGGGCAGTCATTGCTGGTCTCGAGAAGATCAAGGCGGAAGGGAAAGCGGGAGTCGTCATGCCTAAGGTCGTCCTGCTTTCTTCGGCGACCATTGACGACCATCTGGCTCGAAAGATGCCATGGTGGTTTCGCCCTATTATGCTTACGGCTGCTTCTTATGTCTACGATGATCTCCGCCGGACTGAAAACTTTCTCCGCTCTCATGCCGACTGGGTGACAACCATCTTCATCAAACCGGGCGGCTTGTCCATCGACATCAAGCGTGGCCACAGACTTAGTTTCGACGAGGAAGACACATTCATCTCCTACTACGACTTGGCAGGGGCAATGATGGAGGCTGGCGATGATCCCGAAGGTCGGTACGACATGAGAAATGTGGGGGTCAAGAATTCGGGCAAGGAAGGGGCCAAGTTCCCTGCAGGCACACCCCAGTGTATCCTTATGGGTCTTGTTCGCCACTATTTTCCATTCATGCATCCATATCTGCCAGTCGGTGGACCAGCATGAATTCACACAGTATGTATGCAGCCGAAGGTGTACGTGGTTGATGTTCCTCTGTTGGTAGGCTAATAGACTGGGAACTGTTTGTCTATCGTCTCCTCACATCGTCGTGGTTAGGGAACAAAGAAATGATATTCAGAAGCTGAAAGAAACCCTCCATAGACCAGATTCGACTTGTGCCAGATGCTTGATTTGATGCTGCATCCAAGAGTTCTTGGCCGTGAATCTCGTCTTACCTGTCTTTTATCGACTTCAAGTATAGCCACATCTTGAATCTTGCGTTTTTGCACTCCTCATGACCTGCCGCTGGTGCCTGAAGGTTGTGAGCCAACTAAAGCAACTGCGTACTAGTCTTCTGCATTAAACCTCTAACAATGAAGCAATCGTGAGCTCAATTCCGTAGTGTATTCGAGGCCGTTAAGGTCATTGAGATCGTCTGATTGAGGGGTTACTTAGGATGTAGTTAGCACGGCACAACTCAGGAAACGATGTTGTAATTTGTCCTCACCACGATGAGGCCACGTCCTATTCAGCAAAAGTGCTGGGGGCACGCCCGCAGTTTTGCTGCTGTGGTATGCCCGACACTCTTGCTACCTGGATAGGGAACATCTCCCAGGGCGCTGTTTAACGGAAGCTGGATCGAGATGCAAGTTAGTGCCTCCGGTTTAGTCTTTCTGAACGTCAGGTAATCGTTGGTATGACGGAAGTGCGCTCAATTGTCTCATCTGAGCCAGTATCGAGGGAGACTTGAAAAGGTGGATGTAACGATGAATCTCGTAGCTTCGCACCACTGAGCTCACGAGGATAGCCTAGTGCCAAAGAGAATTGAGATTGCTACATTGCGCGGAAAGGTAGCTAAAGCAGACTGACGAAGGAGAAGACAATGAGAACAGCGGGCAGCGATGAGTGAGAAGATGAGGTCACTAACATCAGGAAATGGCCTAGGTAGACATTTGGAAACATGTAGATGACTTTGCAACTGACATTTTCTAAATCCTTGACCGTAACATAATCAATTGCAGCGATACCTGAAGGTACATAGAAATCGATGTGAGGTACAAGGACGACGACAAGATGCAGGAAGGACTCAATGTATATGCCTGAGGCGTCAACATCTTTTGCCAGGAGGATTTCCTCCGAAGGGTTGAATGCCTCAGGCAGATCTGCTGAGTCCCCTGCGCGCCTTCAAGTTGCCATCCTCTTCGTAACTGGTGATATGGTCTCAGACGGAAGACTCGTCTCATTCTGGTGTGAACTATGCACCCACGATTCAATGATTTACGGTTGCCTAATACAGCTGGTCAGGGATCAAAGGGGCGCGGAGTTCACAAAGCGCCGATCTCCTCGAGCTCTGCAATTCTTCGGGATTCGGAGCATTGTTTGAAGCAACCATGGAGATCGGTCTTGTTGTCTTCCTCAACGTTTCGACGTACGCTGTGAGAAGCCGCGAGGCTGATGATCTTACCTAACAAGTGACGACTTATTGTGAAGAGTGAATAAGGTCTCAAACTGATGACGTCCATTATACTATGCGATTAGACCACAGGATACATGGTTTGTGCAACGTGGTCAAACACAAATGCCCTACAACAAATCTGGTCGTTTCCATGCCTGATCAAACCCGGTACCAAAGACCCACTTTTGATCCTTGGGTAAATCCTTGGTCGTGTCAAGAGACATGCAAGCCACCTTAAGCCACATGTCGCCATTGACAGGGAAAGCGTCAGCCCATTCGCCCTTTTCGTATGCTTGACTAATCTCTTCACCATGCTTGACAGCACGGATAAACTTGGCGATGTGTCCATCATCATGCTCTTTCCGCACGGCTGCAAAGAGGTTATCCCAACCCATGTCCTTAGTGAGAGGACCCTCGTACTCAGTCATGGCATTACGATCGAGCGCAGCACAACCACTGAATGCATACCAAGCAAGGTCTGCCCGGCCCTTCCACTCCACCAGTCGCATCTTGTCCTCCAGGCTGATCCATGACTGACGAAGCACGACGGGGAGGAAAATAGAGCTCGTTACGGCATGCATGTAGAAGAAATCGATCTTGTTCTTCTTGCCTGGTCTCTGGGCGGCAGCAGCCATGTATGCACAAGTGCTCATCATCTCAGCTGTACGCCGCTCCAGGTTATCAGAAGTCACGGTAAATTGCTTCGCGATGGCTGTCATATCAGGGGTGGCTCCAGCAACGATGCCGTCTCTCATCTTGAACGGGAATTGCTCCCATTTTGGAGCATAGCGAATTGTCTCATTCTTTCGCACTTCGTGCAAAAGTTCGATCAGAGGCCTCTGGACTGCTGGCTTTCCTGACTTGGCCGCAGCAGCCTCGCATTCAAACAGCAGCCGGCCGATGTGGCTGTCGTCATCGACTGCCGCTTGTGCTAAGCCTTCGGCGATGATAGCAGGCTGCTCAAACTCCATTCCCAGCCCCAAGTGAATGATTGGATGATACGCGCCATCGTACATGCGGGAGAAGATGACTTCAGCAAGCCATGTTTTACTAAACACGTACTGATGCACAACTTCTCTCCAGGACGTCTCATCGATTCTTCGCCGAAAGAACGTCAAGAAGTTACCATATTGGGCTGGGTTGCCCATATTTGAGCGGAACACTTCATCGTTGTATAGTCGGTCGACAAGAGCATGATCAACGGGAGGAATGACGCGCTGAATGGGTAGGAGATCGTCGTGGGCACGTTGTATCTCTTCAGGCGTGGCACCAAGAGCGAGGCAAGTGAGTATACTGTGCGCCATGTGATTGTGACCCGCTTTGTCCTGGAAGAGCACATGCCATTCGTTGTGGTTCTTCTGCAGGAGTTCGTTCGCTTTGGAAATTGCTCCAGGCGCTGGCTCAGCTGTTGCTCGACATATCCCGAGATGATAAGGCGAAAGCTTGACAAGAGAGGATGAACACGATGTTCGCACAGATGTGGGAGCAGCAATGGTCTCCGTGGTAGTTACAGCCATGGTTGTGTAGAAAGAGCAGGTTAGGCTGCTTGATGCTAATGATCATGACATTCCACAGGAAAGAATGCATATTGATCATTGAAACCATACAAGGTCTTGTATATAGCTTGTCTCTGCATTGCTCTCGGAAAATTGCATGATATCTATTCGGAGTATTCTTCACAACATCACATTCCGATCTGTTTGTTTTGATACGCTAATCACTGTGTGTATGGAAGTAGACACTTCTCAACCAAAGATCAACTCGGAATGTATGCTTCTGACAACGCAGTGATAAGAAACTGCGTTCGGACGAAGGACTATGACACAATGTAAGCATGAGCTTCGTCGAGGATGTACTCGACTATACACGGAGTTCGAGACCATGGTATCGAACTGCGAGTCTTGTCTATCGCGCATGTTCGCTAGACCAAGCTGATTCGAGTTCACATTGCAAACATCTCGTGTCTCTTGATCAAACTTACTGCAATGCCCGCTAAGCAAAACTGTGGTCAAGGTATCAATGTCATATACAGTGAATTGTTCGAGTAGGGGCTTGGTGGCGGAAAACGTGACTCTCGTCACACCTCCCCAATTCAACTACAGCCATGGCTTCAGGCTTCACAATTAGAGCAAGACCACTTATCTTCCAAACAGGCAGGTGTAACAGGGTTCGCTTTTCCTCCTCTACTGCCTCGAGCGAACCTAGAAATGTCTTGGATCACAAATGTGACTACGACGCCTCCCATTAACATAACCCGTGTGCCTTACAAAACGTCTGCTACTTCTGCAAAGTTCCCACAGTGCGCAGTGAGACTGTTCGCAAACGCTTGTTGATATCTGATTGCAATAGCTTCATCGTCTGGGCAGAGATGAACGATATGCCGCTACCACCTTCAGCATCATCCAATTCCATCGCACCAGCAGAGACTTGTTGATCTGTCAATTCAGGGCTAGTGAGTCCTGATGGATTGTTCAACTTGCTAGTCAATTTATTGACAATATAATGCACGTTGTGAAGCTCACTGAGCACGAGTTGCGCCGCCATTCGATCGTTGTCACCACCATCGAGATGGTAGCCATCTATCGTAGTGGGTAATTTGAGGACCTGCTCTTGAGAAGAATGAGACTTGGGAGAACCAGTACCGTTAGACATCTCATCATCGGACTTGGACTGGTCTGAAACGATAGCTGCATACCACATCAAGATCTGCATCATGGTCAAGTGAAAGATGACCATCAGTACCTCATCGGTAACGCAGCTGCAATCTAAAAGCTTCTTAGTGGACTCCAGTATGTTTCTATTTCGAACAATGACAGTATCTGTAGTTGGCACACAGATGGACGTTTGTCGAATGGAGGACTTAGAGACCGACCGTAATTCCGCAAGAAATCCCATAGCCTTGCTTAAGCAGTCACACTTTTGAGTGCAACCGGCCGAGTCGTTCTGGATGGCAGTAGCGATTGGCATCGTGCATTGGCTGTTGAAGAGGTCTTGCATGGGCAGAGGGTCGATACTGTTGGAGAGGTCGTCGACAAAAGTGGAAGAGCCATCCAGTAATGGAAAAGGGTCGATGGTAAAGGTTTCAAAAGGCTCAAATGTATTGAAAGCGCCATCCCAGTCTGGAGCAAGGTCGCCACTCGAGCACATGTGAGGAGTGTTGGAAAGATCTGCGGCTTTCGATGTAGAGGGGAGGTCATTGGTCGTTGATCTTATTGCCGTTGGTGCTGGTGTCTCTTTTCCCGCCACATTCGAGAGTTGGGTTGGAGGGCTACCAAGCGTGCTGCTGTTGCTCTGTGGCCGACTGGTGGAGGTCGTAGAGTCTGACGACTTTTTGGACTGACAAGGCCGGCCAGCTCGCCTGCTGGCAACATAGTCGCATGTCAACCCACGTTCCTTACATCGTGTACATACAGGCTTGTCGCGACTGCACTTTATTTTGGACGCAGCGCACGAAGTGCATGTAGGTTTCAAGCTCGGTGGCTTCTGTGATGACTTGGAGGTGATATTGACAGGAGACATGACGATGACGAATGTTTGCTAGTATTATGGTAAAAGCCGCTGAGCAGACCTCTAGGTCATCGTCGATGAGGTCCTACCAGCTCTAAGGCTGCTGGAGGGGATTAAGCTGGCAGCAGAGAGATTTGCTTGGTTCTTGATAGAGATCCAGAGTATCCCTAATGGCTACGTCAATGGCATGCAGGTTCATATATAGTCGTGGGCATTGATCTGCAAGTCATTGGACAAGGATAATCTTCCTAACTCAGAACACGACAGCCAATGCACAATGCCTGCATGTTAGCTTGCCTACGCCCACTGAGTGCGCACAACCCTGCCTCGTGAAAAGACGATCAAGCATTCTATCAATTCCAACATGAAACTATGAGAACCCGACATCGATAAGAGCAGACGTTGTGGTGTCATTATGCATGATGGAATTGTGAATAGTACAGCTTGTAAATCTCTTCCATACCTTGTAGTATGTTATAAAGTAAAATGGAAAGTGATGAGAATTATCAGGAACGGGCGATCTGCAAAACAAGGGTTTATCCGGGTAGTCCCCGAAGAGCACCGAAAAGGTTGCCTTGTTAATCAAGTCAGCCTTGCTCCTCACACATTTCCAATCCTCTATCGGATATCATCGTATCTCTTGCCTCAGTCATACACATCTTGCTCCCGTCATCTGGAATCAATTCAATATCAGAAGTGTGTCAATCTGGCGTTGTTCTGCTGTCCATACCATACGAGCTTGCAAATTAGACCATGCCAACGTATCACTCTCTCTGTCTAAAGTTTCGGATGACGAAGTATCTACCAGGAAAAGATGTCGTCTCTTGATTCAGATGCGGTCCTATAATTGTCCCTTAGAAGATCATCCTATTTCTTTCTATAGGAGTCAATACCATCCTCAGAACAATAGGATCACGCAGAGATATACCCTGTGCCTACGCCTGTCCAGAAACAATCTCACATGTAAGCTCGTTACACGAAAAAATCAAGCTCTGCTTGGAAGATTGTGCTTTGTGCCGAATTTCTTCACACAAGGATCCTCTCATTCGGCGACTGCTCACACAGTATCCACTGCGACAGGTTATTCAACATCCTAGTGGCGGTTAAAGCCGGAATGATCGACCGCCCTACGATGCTTGAACCTCTTCTGCCTAGGCGAATCTCGCCTACCAGTGACGATCTTAGTTGTAATCAGCAGTCGTACCTGCCCAACAACATGATATTACTCGGAGTCCGACGCTGCTTCCTTTCTGGTCTCTTATCTTTCCATACACCCGCGCCACGTCGGATTTCACAATAGCACTTCGTTTCCATCGGACAAGCATTCACAGACCAGAGCTTCATTTGACATTCCCCCAACGCAAACACCGAGGAGCACATCAGGTAGGACCGGATTGGTTTACTTTTATCATGTCGGCCCTAAAATGTTCGTCCTCGATGGTTCTTTGACATAGCTTCTTCTTGCTCACCTTTTATACGGTGGCTAAGTACGACAGTCACTTTGACTTCGTCCTTCCCATGTGGTATGACTGCTGGCATGTTTCTCTCCATGCAACTTAAGGTTCAGCTAACGAATGTTGTCTACCATTCGCATACAGCGTAACGGATAAGGCAAGTCGAGACGAGCTCTAGGTCGAACTCTATACGTCTTTTGGCCATGAATACTGTCGAGCTTTGCCTAACTCATCGCCTTTGACTGACCACAGCTTGAGTATGGACTTTACGTGAAGCAAACCGGTGGACAATAACATGTGGCCTTGATAACTTCGGGCCTCCCAAGTATGTCTAGTCAAGACCTTGAGCGACCATTCTATTCTCCTATATCCGGTATCTTGTAACCTAAGTGCACTGTGTACCTTCGCCCACTTACTCAGAGTCTACCGTTAAAGCTGAGCTAGGCTCTTCCCAGACGATGGACGATCCCATGAACTTGCTCATACTCGATGGATCTAGCAGTATAACACAAGACTCTCCTCCTTCTGTCGATCCTGTCGGGTTTCTACACGAGCTAGCCGAACGGGTATGCTTCCTTCCCGCTTACCAATTCATCGAGTCTTAGTACTGACGTCTCGTTCTTGCCTTGCAAAGACTCAACTATTGGCTTGCCTACGATGGCTCGGAGAATTTCATGTCCTCGCCTGTGTTCCTCTGAAGACTTCCGTCCCACTCAAAGACGTAGCACACCTGGTTAACATTCCTGAGTCACAGCTTATACCCGTGATACGTTTCACGGCCACTGCAGGTTTCCTTTGCGAGCCTCAGCCTGGCCATGTAGCACATACCATCCTCTCAGCACATTTTGTGACCAGCCCGACACTGCTCGATACGCTGATGTTCCTGACGCAAGTGGCCGTGCCGAGCTCGATGCAAATGTCTGCGGCCACCAAGCGAACTGGTGGAACCTTTGGTTCTACCGACAGCTCCTGTTACAATATTGCTTTCAATACGGCGACCACCTTCGCTACCACATGTTCGGGCTGTGGGAAAACGCAGCGGCAGGCCGCCGCATTCGAGCAGCTTACTGGAGACGGATCTGACAATGGTGACATCATGGACATTCTGCCTTGCCTCGACTGGCTTCACCTTAACGACGTTACTATTGTCGAGGTACGTCTTCTTACTACTCCAGCATGATCATGGAGCTAACGTAGGATATTAAGGTTAATGCACGATCGACGGCTACAGCCGACAGTCTATCGAGTTTGCTCCCGAGCTTGTCGTTCATCGTCCAGTACCACGAGCCCGAAGACACCGGACTTTCACGAATCCGACCTCAGCGATCTCTTTCGGCAGCCCCGCTTCCCCATCAGCCGTTGAGCTCCACAGGCTCGCATCCTCGAGTTAGCATTCAGTACAGGACGCCTGGCACGCCACAAATTGTGGAGGGCGCGGCAGTGTATATCATCCACTTACCCCAAGCATCTTTGTCCCGGCCTGTACAGTCAGTGATCAATGAATCGGTTGTAGAACTGAAAGCCCATTTTGCTGCTCTCCGAGCACATCCGAACTCAGTCGTCATCCTAGTGGCAAGGGTCCTTCCAGAGCCAGGGACTGTCAATTCTGACGTGGAGAGAGCCGCAAGACTACGCAACCTGTCCATGCACCAGATTGCAAAAGTCCAGGATCCGGGTGTACATGACATAACCGAGGTGTTGAACAAAGCAAGTGATGGCTCTTTCAGGTTGTTCTTGGTTAACAAGTACATCAGCCGCAAAAGCTCGGTCATGGCTTTCGAAGCGCGGTGTTGGGCATTGTGAAATTCTCCGGGGGAAAGACTTCGGAATACATAGGCGTTGAACAATCATCCGAAGGTCAACTTACGTCAAGGACTAAATACGGAAGAATTAAGACACGTAATCTGATCTCCCATACTCCCAAGCGCCTCTTGAATGTGACTCACAACTCGACATTTTGCACCCACAGCTCTTTCCAAAATGTCTGGCTCTAACCAAACGCAGCGAAATACCCTCGAGACGTTCATCCAAGGATGGAGAGGGTGGACTCCCGAAGGCATGATGGCAACATTCTCAGACGACTGCACCCAGTCCGCTCTCCCCTTCACCATGCACCAGCCACAACGAAACATGCAAGACATCAAGGCAGCACTACCCAAGCTCATCCGAGTCGTCGACAACTACGAGGTAAGCAAGCACGCAAGCAACCAAACCCCCTCTTCATCAACCACAATACACTTACTTACCATTATTCACCTCTCTCTCTCTCTTACACGCACACACAGCTCAAAATCCACAACATCGTACACGACACCACGAACGGCAAAGCCGCCATCTACGCGATTTCGAAAGGAGACACCCCGTTCGGAGATTGGAATATGGAATATGCGGTGTTCGTCGAGTTCAATGAGGACGGAGACAAGATTGTTAAGCTGGAGGAGATGCTGGATTCGGGGTTTATGAGGGAGTTTGCTCCGAAGTTTGGGTCGTTTTTGATGGAGAATCCGGATTGGTAAAAGAAGGAGGAGGAGGAGGAGGAGGAGAGAGGTTTGGGTATATGCAGACAGCAATCTAATTCTCATTTCCACGTATATTTTTAAGATCTTACCGCGATCGTTTATGTGTAGAGCAGCCTCACCAGTAAGTGATGCTTTCGAGGCTTATAATATGAGATCAAGAAGTTGACTTGACTTACGTGGCTACGAATGGTGACATGGCATGCGTGAGACTAGTATAGGAGTACACTATCTCCAGACCGTATGTTGTCTTGCAAGCTTGTGTCTATAGTCAGATACACTACTCGGATTCCGAAGTTTTTCTGCCCTATCAAATCCATTGATGGTTCAATCAGCCGCTTGATGTCAGCCGGTTCCACCCTACTTCTGAGGTCGATTAAAGTATAGCTCGGGAGTCCACCCGGGATCGAATTGTGTTTGATCCAGACTTGATGCGGGAGAGTCCCCAATTGAGCCTGAGTCGGTTCCTGCCTCGCACGATCCCGAGTCGACTTGCTGGGCACGGGGGCTGGCATGATCGATTCTCGCCTCATTGCTTTCCTCGCCCTGACTACATATAAGTCAGAGTATATATGAGAGCTTAGTCAAGCTTGCTTTTCGCAGGAATTTCGTAGCCAGTGATAACGAGTATAAAGTCGGACTGGGAATTTCTGCGACTGTATGGGATACACCCACTCTCAACCTTGAATTCTCGCCAAGTCATGTTATCAATCTGACTGAGACACTTGATTCCCGATCGTCTGTCGGGTGATTTAAGGAATGAGTTGTGATGTGACTACCTGGATACTCCGAAATGATATGTCATGTGTTTCCAGAGGGATGTCATCGTTTCATCTTCGATCGTTCAATCTCCGCCAGACTTAAAGACCAGGTTGATTGATCACGGACGATGTCTTGTCAGAGAGTTCGATCGAAGACAGAAGACAGTGCTTGATTGTTGCTCTCAGGACAACTACCACCACACTTATTGCACAATATCATCTTCCTCTACCTGTCAGTATGGTTTCTCAAAGTCTCACGCAGAAGGCGAACTTCCTGACCTGGCTGACATCGTCGACTTCGGTGCTTTTTCTGTGGCTAGCAACGACAATCGACCCTAAATGCCTTGGGAAGATCCCACGAAGACATCTCAAAGCCGACTCGGGTCAGGAAAAGCTGGCTGAGATCGATGGTGGCCCAATCGAAGCCGCCAAATCAGTATTTGAACACATCGAAGAAGGTCTCATCAAAAATCCGGACCAAAAGGCAGTAATCTGTTTACACCAGGATAAGAACCACCTCTCACAACTGATTGCGACAGGAGATCCATCTGTATCACCTGCTGAGGAGCCACGCGACCAATCTGACGAGTGTCTAACGTTGACATATCGGCAGCTCCATCATACGGCTCAGACGTTGGCGGCAGGTATACTTGCCAACAATGTCAAGCCAAATTCGAGCATGTTAATGATCATCCCAAATGGTGGTGAGTATGCTTTGTTAGTCTGGATTTGCGCAATATTGCGGATCACATATGTATGCGTTGATGAGTCGATGGGAGATTCTTCCTCTTACCGAAAGCTTCGAGAGATCATGAAGACAGTGAAGCCATCTCTGATTGTGGTTTCAAGTGAAAATCGTGCCCTTGCAGTGGACTTTGCTATTGCAGATTTGAACTTGGCCACTCCAGTCAAAATTTGTTTGGCTGATATATGTCAAGTGGGCTGGAAGTCACTCCTGCAGATCATGAAGGATTCTCCTTGGTGTGCTGTGGATCCGGGAGTCCTGCTTGATAATGCAAGGAACGACGATCCAACCCGGATCAATTCAATAATATTCACGTCTGGTACTAGTGGAACACCAAAGGGATGCCCGCTCCGAGTAAGCAGTATGTCGCACATTCTCAGCTCTCAGTCCTGGCTCATCAACAAGGATAATTGTGCCCGCGCACTACAAGCAGCTCACAACTCGCGAGGGATTGCGCCAGCGCAGACTTTGCAGACTTGGAAAGCTGGTGGAGCAGTAATGATGACCAGTAAGAGTTGTGATGTTGGAGAGATTGTGGAAGCCCTTCAGCTACACAAACCAAGTTTTATTGCTCTTTCGCCAGCAATGGTTTCAGCCATCCGGCAGAGGATGCAGGTAAATCCGTTCGAGACGGGCTCTGTCCGATCTGTTCAGGTTGGGGGTGAAGCAACGACGAGAACTTGTTTATCAGAATGCACTGCTCTATTCAATAACGCCAAAGTTTTCGCAAACCACGGAATGACCGAAGGCGGGGGATCTTTCTTGTGGCCTTTCTTTGACACGCCTCTGGAGGCGTTACCTCGTTTTGGGGAGCTCTGTCCGATTGGAAAGGTGGCAGCAGGATCGACTGTGCGGATATGGAGAGGATGCAATGTTGCGAGAAGGTGTGAGTTGGGCGATCTGCATATTAAAGGATCAAGTCTGCTGAGACAGTACATGTCTGGGGAGTCTGGAGCTTCGTTCCTGGATGACGAGCAGGGTCGTTGGTTTGTGACCGGAGACACGGCCATGATCGATAATGATGGAGTGGTATTCATCCTGGGCCGAACGAAAGACATGATTTCGAAAGGAGGATCTATTGTCGTTCCTGCTGCTATCGAGAGTTTTCTACAGAGGCGGCTAAAGCTACAGGTTGGTGTTCGAAATTGTTTCCTCACGTATTCACTGACCGGCTTAAACTAGGTTGTGGTTGTCTCGATACCATGTAAGAATGGTGGTTACGAGTCTTGTGTGATAGTTGAAGATCAAGCCGATGGTGAGATTTCTTCGTGGTTGGTGGAGGAGTTCGGGGCGTCGTACGCTGTCCGACATGTCTTCGCTATCACCGAACTTGGGCTCGATGGAATGCCAAGGAGCGGCACTGGCAAGATGGACAAGCTTGCATTGCAGGATGCAGTGATGAGGAGGTTGGAGGAGTCAGTATCTTGACCATCTCGTCGTACTCAGTGTATCGGTCGGCGACGAAACAAGTCCTGTGTTCCAATTCGAACTTTCTGCTTAACATACCTGAGACCTGCCGTAAAACTCTGCCTCCTTTCATGAGGGCACTGTGAAGAAACAGAAAGGACTCTTAACTCACAAGCGAAGGCGACCAGACCGAACACCCCGGGGTCTTTCCTGAGAACATCCCCGCAAACTGGGATAATTAGCTCCCCTTTGACGGAATAGCCCTATTTATTTGCCATACAGCCTCCTTCCATTGCAATCGTGAACATTATGAGTCGCGACTACGTAGGTAGAGCGGCGTCCGATTCAACGAGGACTTTTTGGCACCTTCCTGACACGATGATGGGTAGTCGCCCCAAAAGCACTGCTAACAGTTCTAGCACTACTACGTAGTACTTGAAAAATGCAATGCCCCAAGAAACCTCTGTTGCCATGTCAGGCAGGTATGACGAGGGTCACGTTGCAGCCCACACCGCCTTGCTTTGGAAGAGTTTCTACGTCCACCACACCACAGGCATAAAGCGCTAAAGGTTGACACTGAACAATGGCAAACGAGACCGAGACGGATCCGAGCGAGCGAGCTTTTTGCTACAACCCAGAAGTGTTTTTGGTTGGCAAGAAATATTTTAAAGAAACTATCAGCTTGATACGCACACTGACGTCCACCCCTACAACTCCAACTAAAGCCTAAAATACTCCACAAGCGCCTGGTCCAACCTCTTTAAGCTCACCGGCTTGACAAAATACTCATCCGCGCCCGCCTCCAGTGAATTCCTCCGATCCGCCACCGAGTCCTGCCCAGTAATCATAAATATCACAGACCGTTTCAGTCCATTATCCTGCTCAAGCTGCCTGATCTGTCTACACGCCTCGATCCCGTCGCACTCGGGCATTTGCAGATCCATGAGGATGAGGTTGTATGGTTTGTAAGGCGAGTCGAGGTCGATCATGGCGGCTTTGTAGGAGGAGACAGCTTCGTTGCCGTTGCTGGCTTTGCCGAAGGGGAGAATACGTTTTTTGCAGTACATTTCGAGGACTTTGAGGTTGACGTGGTTGTCGTCGACGAGGAGAACACGAAAGATGGCTTTGCTTCTGGTGTGAGTGGTGGTGGTGGTGGTGAAGGTGAGGGTATCGGAAAGGATTTGAGACGTGTTTGAGATGACTTTGCTGAGGGTGTCGCTCGGTGTGATCGTGATCGTGCTGTAGGATGGATTGTTTGATTTATTGGATATATGAATACCGAATGCGTGGTCGGCTTCGAGCATGATTTCGTCAAGTCGAGATTTGTAAAAGGGTCCGTGAATGTACCACGCTAAATGTGGTTTCATGTCGTCTGCCATAGAGGTTTGGTAGGCACTACTGAGTGGACCTTCAGTAACCGTAATGACCATAAGTGGCGTTTCAATCTGGCTGAGGCCAGTGTAGCATGGCTGAAATGGTTCGGCTTGGTTCGTGATGATGACTGATCCACGAGGACCATCTGCTTTTTCGAATCCACGAGAAATCAAATGTGTTTCAAGGTGGGAGAGCAAGTGCTCGTTGCGTGCTGATTGTCGAATTTTGTAAAATCTTAAAGGTAAGTCGCCAAAAGTGGGTGACTTGTGGCAGAACACGGAGTGGCTGTTAACTGCTCTGGAGTATGGTAGCTTGAGTTGAAAGTGGCTGCCTTTTCCTAACTCAGACCATATGAGAGATAAGGAGCCGCCAAGCGAGGTGGCCATTTGAACTGCTAAACTCAAACCAAGACCAGCGCCTGTACTGTGGGTGTTACCCTTCTCGAAAGGCAGGAATACACGTTCCTGGTCGCATCCTGCTATACCCATACCAGTGTCGATTACGTCAAGCTGCGAGCACGAACCCAGCAAAGTCGTACGTACCAGTATCCTGCCACGGGAGGTTGCGCTGATAGAGTTGGTTAACAACGACTTCAAGAGCTCCTTCAGCACATTCGCATCCACGTTTATTATGGTGTTTTCGTCTGGCAGATGGTATTCGAACAGGATTGACAAACCCTGTAGCTGATTGCTAGCATAGCTTGGTAGTACATCATCAAGCACTGTGTCCTCCAAATCCCGAATGTCGTACTCGGTCGGCCTGATAATCATTGTATCATCCGCAAAGGCATTGAACTTCAATATCGAGTTAATGGACGTCATAAGCTCTCTGCCAGATCGTTTGATCGAGGAAAGACATGCCGGAAAGGAGAACTCGTCACTGAAGAGTGCTTGTAGACCTTTGACCTCACGAATCCTCAATTCCTCGTCCATTAATTCGGCACTGCTGAGAATACCATGCAACGGAGTTCTCAGCTCGTGAGTGATACTACGTAGGAACAGATCCTTGGCGCAAAGAGCTTCTCTAAGTAGACGGTCTTGCAACGTGGAATTGATGAACTGCGCGCATTGATCGACAAACCAGGCATCTAAAGAGTCGAAGATACACCGAAGCTTTCCTGAAGCTACGATCAATGCTCTCTCTCCTTGTCTTAGGTATGCAAAGACTGCCCTAATAGGACGTCGTGCATCACTGAAAGCGTCTGTGTCTTGCATGCCGTGTTTGATGAACTCGGTGTCCTCCCACAAGCCATCAGTGAATTTGGAGCATTCGATCCGAACAGAAGTTCCACTGATCTTCACAGCATTGGAAACGACTGGCTCAAGCGAGACATTCACTCCTCCATACAGTGTTGTCAAAAGTCGTATGACTGCTGCCTGTGGATCGTCGCTGTCTGCTGCCCGCAAATGACTCAGATGGTTCAGCATGTTCTGACGCTCGTTGAGGCGACGCATTCTTGTTCTCGATACAAGCTCTGCTGCAATGGTGTCGGCAGCCCGTAGCAAACCGCGTTTCTGGTCCTCGGTCAGACGCTCCTCGACCGTGTTGGAAGCGATGCAAAGACTGCCAAGAGCAATCTCTATACCATCCGCCAGCATAATTCGCAACTGAGTACCAGCATAGCTTCGAAGTCCACCAATGGCTACGTGTGGGGAATTCTGAAAACGCCAGTCTTTTGACATATCGGTAATCATGAAGACAGTCCCAGGGGACATGTTTACGGTATGAGAGCATGTACTCTCGCGACGCGGAAGATTTAGTATGGGCAGATTCGCCGTGACTAGTCGGGTATAGTGATCATTGTCCAGGATGCCGACGATGGCAAATTCCCATCGGATTGAGTCCTTGAGCATGCCGAGCAAATTGCTGATCCTCCATAGAAAGTCCTTGTCCTCGGTCAAACCCTGGGTGTGATACCACAGCGTGGTAAGGCGGACATACTCATTCCCGGTCAATACAGGATATAGATAGGGGTCACGAAAATCGGTTGGGGGTGAAGGTGGTGAGAAAGTCTCGGCGTCCAAACCAGTGGATAAGCCATATGTATCTGGGCCTATGGTGTTGCGAGGTGCGAGTGGTTCTTTGTGCTTTTGTTCGTCAAAGATGGGATTGATATCCGTTGGGCGGCTTGGCAGGGACAGAGAATTGATAGGTGCACAGCCGAAGGCATCCGCGATATGAGGCACGGACAAGTACATGTGCGCACGACCGGTTGAATATCTTCCCATGATCATGGCCTGTCAAGCACCTTCCAAGGCGCCCACGACGCGTAGCCTGCTGTAGTGACAGCAAAGGGGGTGTGTGTGTGTGTGTCAGATGGATTGTGGCTACGCCAGCATCAGAAGAAAACATCCCCTTCCATTTGGGTCTCACCAAACCAGATAACTCAGCTGTGCAGACGTGACGGAGAAGAAGTCACGACTTTGCAGTCAAAGAGGCAAGGACGAGGTATGGTATGCACGGAAGCAGGTGACTATGGTATCATTGAAGTCGCTAATTCACACCTGATCTGGCTGCGAAAAAGTGAGGTCGACCAGATGGCAAAAAAGTAGTGTTGACGGTGGAGATTAGGCGGCAATCTAGAACGATCGAGTGCTATTTGGTGAATGGCATGCACTGGGACCCAGAGGCCGCAGATGATATGCTTCTGCTTCTTAAAGGCGGTTATTGCACCACCGCTTGTTACTGCTTCCAAGTACAGTATAGGGTGTCTTGATCTATCTAAATTGACAGGGTGACATAGAATTGGGTGTGGAGATCGATCGCCAGTCCTTGTCCCAATTCCCATTTGTTTCACTGGATAACTGAGCGTTTGTCATCACTGGCGCGGAGTACTTGAATTCGAACAACAACGTCTGCTATACAGAAATTCTTAAAGCAGCCTCGGTCATGTAATAATATGGAGGATGTGCCCGTGATTTCCTTAGCCAGACCAGCTTGACTCGTTGGTCTGTGTAGCGGCTCGGTTTCGCCAAAGGGCATCGTGGTATCAATGCAAACGCGGACACGGACATGGGATGGAAATACATTACCGACCTCAAGCTATCCTGTTGGACCTCGTCCGGCTTCTGGCTACGTTTGGGAGTCGCTAAATGGCCGACTTTGTTCCCATGCTTTAAGGTGGATAATATTTTGAAGCCCAATTGGATTTTCTCGGCTTTATGGTTCCTAGGGGGCAGAGATCGTGTCCTCATTTCTCAGTCATCTACATATTGCTTGTTGAAACAACCGACCCAGGTGCTAAGTTTCCGACAGTATCAGGACGCCACGCTCAGACACTACACAAATCAAACCCGCATATACGCTCAAAGTACCAACATCCTCTCTAGCAATGGCTCATCTCCCTGTCATCACCATATTACTGCATGATACTGACCACACTTGTTCCTTCAGAGAACCGAATTCTGAAAACTCGGTTTGCGTTCTGAAACATGCCATCCTTGAGACTCACAACTATGAATTGACTGCCCTTGAATCTTGTCTTGATCAATCGACCAATATTCTGTGTATGGCTCAAGTCCAGTGCAGCATCTACTTCGTCCAAGATGTACATTGGCGCTGGTTTGAACTGCAACAATGCCATAATGAGCGACAGTGCAATCAGGGAACGTTGACCACCCGAGAGCTCATTGAGGGAGGATTTCCAAACCTTGCCCAGACAGACTTTGACTTCGAGACCTTCCTGAATGTGGCTGACATCATCGTCGAGCGGCACAAGTTTGGCAGTATTGTTCCCAGGCAGGAGGTCGGAGAAGATGTTGCCAAAATCTTCGGTGACCTTCCGCCACGTCTTCAGCAATGCCTCCTTTTTGTACTCGTCCAGGGAGACGATTGTCTCTTCGATCTTGCGTTTGTCCTTGATGACTGTACGTAGCATGTTTTTGAGAGCAGTCTCTTTCTTCTCGACACTATCAATCATGGGCATTACCTTTGGATTAATCTTTTTCTTCATGCCTGCGAATTGTTCAGAGAGGTTCTTGAGGGTGCTGCGAGCTTCGTTGAGGTTACGAGATGTAAAGTCGTATGGGGTTCCGGCTCGTCCAAATTGATCACGATTGTCGGCAATCCAGTCGTGATCTTTCTCAAGCAGCGACACGGTTTGTTGTGCGGCTTGAGCATCTTTGGCCAGCTTCTCGACAGCATGAGCAAGTTTTTGTGCTTCGAGAGACTCTTCGGTTATTTGCTTGCTTTTTTTCGATTTGGTCTGTTCAAGTTCTTTGACTTCGTCGTCAAAAGAAGAGAGTTTGGCCTGTTCGTCTGCCAACTCGGCCGCAGCAATGTCATGTTGTCCCTGCACTTCAGCTTGCTCCTGCTGAGAACTTTCCAGCTCCGCGTTTGCTGCTTGGATATTAGAGTCGATCTCACCGAGTTGCTCTTCTGCGCCAGAAATGTCCAACGTAGCTTGTTCAGATTCAAGCCGTGCGTCCTGCAACTCCTTTTGCAAAGTCTTCACAGATGCTGAGGTCTCGGTCAGGGTCTTCTTGAGACGTGACAAGGAGGTCTCCAGTTCCTGTAATTTCCCATCCTTGTTGTTGCTAAAATCTGCCATATCCTTTTCGATCCTCTTCACATCCTTTTCAGCGACTGCCTGCGCGGCTTTGGCTGTATTTAGCACTTCTTTGAGCTCAATGATCTGTCGCCTCATGTCTTCAATGGCAAGGATAATCGACGAGGCTGCGTTGCCATTAATCTGGTCTTCTGTAAGCTTGATCTCGTGCAACTTGAGATCAAGCTCCTGCTTTCGAGTCTTGATCGACTTCATCCTCTCTGCCTCAGCTTCCATAGCAGCTTGCAACTCCGATAATTCCTGCTCCTGCAACTTTAGATTCTGTGTTATCTCGTTCAATTGTTGTAAGACAACCAACATGCCACTGGAGTTTGGTGAGCTGCCACCAGAGAGTGTACCTGAAGGATCGTAGACATCACCTTCCAAGGTAACACTCTTCAGCCGTACAGCAGCATCGAAGGTAACTTTCTTAGCAGTTTCAGCATTATGACAGATCAGAGTTGTGCCGAAAACATAGTCCATAGCCGCTGAGACCTCATGATCATAGCCAATAAGCGATAGCGCTAGATCAACCTTGCCAGGTGCTACTTTCTGTGCTGCGCCGATTTTTTCTGCTGATGCTCGAGAGGACGAAATCTTGTTTAGGGGAATGATGGTGACCCTTTTCTTCAGCTTGCCATTTTGCAACAATTGTGTGCCGGTTTGGGCAGTGTCGACAACCACGTTATATAACCTGCCACCAGCACATATCTCTAGAGCTGTACCAGCTACACTCTTGTCCTTGTTCAAAGTAAACAGCTGTGCCACCAAACCTTTTACCTTTGAGCGGTCGAAATTTGGCGAGGGATCTTGATAATTGAAGTCGACGTTCGATACCTTCTTCCTCAGTGAATCAGCTTGCTCTCGAAGTCGTCGGACACTCGTTCGTAGAGCAGCTTCCCTCTCACGCATGGCCTCTTCTTTACCAGGCTCGAAGCCTAGCCGAGTTAATTCTTGTTCGAGTTGTCGAGCCCCTTTCTTCAATGATTCAAGACCATTGAGAAGGCCAGAATTTTCTTTCTTCGCTTTCTCAGCACGTGGCTCTTCTTCCTTGATTCGCTTCTCGAGATGAGCAATTTTCATTTTTGATTGTTCGATTTCAGTAGAAGTATTATTGGCTCTACTTCTCGCCTCAGATAGTTGTCCTTGATAACCACTCTCTTGGCCTTCCTTAGATGCGACACCAGTCTGTAGCGTCGACAACAGCTCCTCCTTCTTCTCGACTTCGGCATTTTGAGCATCTAGGTCTGCTTTGGCGACAGTAAACTTCTCTTGCAATCTGTCGTATTGATCTTGTCGATCCGCGGCAGTTTTCTGCAAACCCTTTACAGTTTTCAGCACGTCCTTCTTTCTTTGCTCCTCTTCGAGCACACTACTTTTTCTAAGATCTAGAAGTGTAGACAGCCTCACGAGCTCATGGCTGTACTGCTTGACCTTCTCCTCTAGAGCCTGGAAACGACCACCCTTGCGTATTTCCTTGTCCCTTGTTCCTCTAACACGTTGAAGGTCGTTGTCTATGTGGTCAATCTCCCTCTTCAACTTCTTCTCGTTATTGTGTAGATGGTCGACTCTAGCTCGCTTCGTTTCGTGCTCAGTGTTGGTGGACTTCATTCTTTCGCCAGCTCGAACGTAATCGGCAGCAACAACGATCCTGGTCAACCTTTCGACATCGCCCTGGGTTTTCTGGTAATCTAACCATGCCCTCTTCTCTCCTCTCAACTTTTCTAGTTTTGGCTCGATCTCCTCGCGGAGTAAGGATTCAATTTCTTGTACTTTGGTCTCTTTTTTAGTCATGGTCTTGTGCGCCTTCTCTTTCCGATCCTCGAACATTCGTGTCCCAGCAGCTTCCTCAATCATGGCCAAGATCTCGGCGGGCTTCATGTTCAAGACCTTAGTAACGCGGCCTTGCATGATGATAAAGTTGGGATTGTTGATGTTCAAACCAACACTTTGAAACAGGTTTTGCACTGTGGCTTGCTGCGCTCGATGTCCATTGATCAGGTACTTGCTTGTACCTCCCATAACTATCTGTCTCGTGACGCTTATTTGCTGGTATTCTTCGAAGCCGATTGGACTCTTGCTCTTGTCGCTGTTGTCGAAAACTATTGTGACACTTGCTTTGGTGACACCAGCCTGGCCGCGCTTGTAGATGAGATCTTGCAAGTTCTGAGCCCGTACTACACCCATGTTCTGGATGCCAAGCACAAAACATATCGCATCGAGAATGTTAGATTTTCCGGAGCCATTGAGGCCAGTGATGGCGTTGAATGAGTCGTCCCAACTGTTGATTACTGTGCGCACAGCGTACGACTTGTACCCGTCGAGAACAAGCTCGACGACCCTCATATTGGGCACAGACCAGTTGTGTAGTGCAGAGGATAGTTAGTTGAACAGATTTCAGTTGTTATACGCGATCATTTTGTATATGTATTAGTGTTGCTGTCGGTGTGCATTTAATCTGTGGCAGTTGCGACTGTTTGTTGTTCCTTCCCAATTTGGCTCTCGGTAAACGAGCAAAGTACGAGGGCTAACCCGCTAATCACGTTGGACGAACTCGCCGCACCTTCCTTTCTGCACAGATCTGTAAAGCCTCTGGATGTGCCGATGAGTCTTCCTGAATACGAGTACGTCGCATTCATCCAGCTTCACCACAACCTGTCGCTCCCTATCCCTATCTCCAACGAAAGAAGACTAGAAATGAACAGAACTCAAATACCCCTCTTTCTGGCGCCTGCCTTTGCAGAAGCAACAACCACTTCATCCTTCTCGATAAGAACTCGCGCCTTTAGCACTTCAACATGCCTCGAGGCTCGACATCGAAATCCTCGTTCCGGAAACCGTGACAGCAACAAATGGCGTGGAGTCTCTGCCATGCGTAGTACTGGATGGAGGCAGAGATTGGGCGTAGAGCAGCACTATCCTGAGTTGCCTCGGCCACGAACTGAAGCAGAACGTCGCAAGTCTGCAGATGATGCCCTGCCAATATCAGAAGATCACGGCTTGCTAGGGTTCTTCCACAAAGGACGGAACGATGAGACCGTCAGCACTGTCCTTGCACCAGACCTTGAAGAATCACACGGCCGCGCCTGGACCTACCATGAACTCGTTTTCAAGAGTTTCGAAGACTTGCATGCTATCTATTGGCAATGTGTACTCGAGATCAATCGAATAGGATCAAGACATCTGGAGATGTCGAGCTTGCGCCTCGGTTATGGTGAGCAGGAGAATCAAGAGCGTGCTCGAGCAGTAAGTGGGCTTCCTGTCATCTTGTAATTGCTTTCTGGGATGAGATTCTTTTCACTCGCCGATATGAGTTCAATGGTTCGCTCAAGGAGAAACATATGAGATTATATTACTTGTCTGAGAACGTCAGGAGCATTATCAAGCGTGTCCTCAAGATCACACTTGGGTACTGATGGCTAATTTTGCTAGGTGAAACGAACCATGTTTACTATTCGAAAAGTCCTACTCGCCCGGCAGCAAGCTTACGATGAAGCTCAACTTCTTGTTCAGCAAGAGGGCCTACTTGAATTAGATGAGAAGCTTGATAAGATGCGGTTCGATCAGCCAAAAGAGACGTCAGCAGAACATCAATCCCAGTCAGAAACGACGCACTGATTTCGCAGCCGGAGTGAAGAGGTCCGCCCTCCTTGCAACAGCAAGAGATGACTTGAGTCAAGGTTGGTACTGATCGACGGACAGTCCACACGTAAATATCGCGAGCAAGTCATGTACATGTTTTGGAGTTGTCTTAATTCTAATGCATGGATTCGAACCTTGGGCGACAGTATAACCCAGCTTCTGGCTACAATCCTCTCCAGTCTGCCGTTCATCCCTTTGTGGTCACTTCTCCGCAGCACAAGATTGTTCGAGCTTTCATTGTGCAGGATCATAAGCAACAACCTCAATTTCCACGTTCATGCCATCGGCCCCCAGCTGCCTCACACCAACCTGGGTCCAGATTGGCATGTGATCTGGCATCCACTTCCTGAAATTCTCAACCATTAATCCGGTGACCTGTAGCTACTATCAGCTTTTTTCCTCATGCTACCTTAGGATATAGGTTATCTTACCTCAGGTGTTAAATCAATGTGGTAACTGTTCACTCGGAAGACCTGACTCCATCCTTTCCCACCTGCATCTTTCAGAGCCAGGTCCACATTCGAGAAAGCTTGGACAATCTCTTCGTCGATGCTAGTCGGAAACTTTGGCAGGCCGTCTGCTGAGAGATTCTGCTGCCAACCGCCTTGTCCCGAGCATTGTATCTGGTCGCCTATTCGGACAGCTTGGGAATAATTTAGGTGTTTACGCGCCCACTCGCCTAGACCGGAATATGCATAATATTGAAGTGAGGACATCTTGTTATGTTACTCGAATAAACGTAGATGGTGGTATGGCTCGGCGTACAAATAGCTACAGTCATACGGTAGTAGACCCTGCTGAGCGCATCAAGCAAGTATTGACACTCTTTGGTATTGGTTGCATGGCCAAGCTTATATTTGACCTCTTGATGATATATCGACAAAGCCTTCCAAGGGCCTCGTGTCAGGTAGATTTGCTGACATCTTGCCGCACTCAGCACGCAAAAGGGTTGGCACAATCGGTTCCGCCGATCACCGTGTTGCGAGCGCAGTGGAACGAGCGGATTGAACCGTGAAGCAGGGCGGAGATGACCACGCCAAGAAAAGCTTAGTAATCATTTCTTCGATGTGCTGGTAATTCCGCCTACCTTGCCCACGCCACTCCTTCGAGGCCTAGCCTCAATCAACGCTCCCTTAGGCGATGGCATGAGTCGCAGATCTTAGGATCAGCTCATAGCAGGCAATCATCCAACGACCACGGCAGTATCACTAACTACATATTTGGGAGCCAGTAGGTACAAAAGCACCGGCTAAGGCGCCCTCCTGAGCCTTTCGAAGAAATCCGCCGGCTCCATTCTCTTCCTTATCGTTGTTTTGCAGCTTTGCACAGCGAGTGAATAAGATGATGATGACTCCCAAGAAGACGCTACAACTCACGATCATGGACCGGATCCACCGAAGTCTGGAACAAGCGGATCGTCCAACAACGCGATTGGCTGACCCCTGACCGTTGTCAGCTCCTAAAATCAAGCCTTTGAATCCGCTTCCCTGCACGATTTTGTTATCATCTTCTCTATTCATCGCAGCTCGTCCATATCACCGCCGGCCTCTTCGTGCACCACTTTCTGTCGATCATGGCGCCGAACGAACGATACGCTCGCGTTTCGGACGACGAAACCGAAAACATTGGCATGATCAGCTCAGCAACAACTACGCGAACTCCTGAATGGGCTGACAATGCCGAGAAGAATGAGAAGAATCCTTGGTGGAAATATTTTGCCGTTGCCGGTGTCTTCTTTGCCCTCCTGATACCTTCTGTCAGCTACACCTCTTCAGTCATGCTTGAGAATCGCGTTGCGCAGGCTGTGCAGGAAGCGCAAGCAACGCGAGTAAGCAATATTAGTCTGCCAGCTTCAACATCCGGCACTCCAGCACCAGTCAAGGTCGCAAACAACAGAATTTACGTACCTCTCGATGAAGAAGAGATCACTGGAAAGCCACTACTCCTTTCCAATGGTACCACAATCCTAGCAGGTAACCCTATGGCCGGGAAGACCTTCGAGATCCACGACTGCGGCCACAACGCGGATGAGGCACGAGCCAAAGGATGTGCCTACGATGTGATGATGCAAGAATGGACAAGTCCTGAATGCATCGACTGGACTCTAGCTGAGAAGTTCCTGGCTGCGGGAAATTGGACATGGTTCGCCAACCCATCGGCGTCAGAGGTGTACGACGACATCGAGATAGCAAAAGGAAATCATGATGTCGTTTATGTGGATCAATCATACCACAGGCACCATTGCATTTTCACATGGGAGAGACTGGTCCGCGCAATGCGGACGCAAAGACCACTTGTGGAGAAACTGGTTGACTACGATCATGTCATGCATTGCAGGATGAACACGCTGAAGACGTTTGAGGAGGGAGCCCAGCCGGTGAGAGGTGTCGTTGCGCCAACTGTTTTCACAAAGTGTGCCAGTCTGGATGTTTGGTTGACACACCTTCCTGGAAACAAGCACTCTTCGGTGGATAGGATGTTGCAAATGAGGGACTGGCATGGTAAGGCTATGGACATGGATCCTTGGGATGTCTGAAGCGATTTTTAAGCAAACATCAGCACTTTATCAGTTTATTTTAGTTAAGCAATTCAAGACTCTTCCAGCTTCCAGCTACGAATTCACTCTTGAGGAAACATGCCTAGTCACGATCGCTGTGTCGAGTTTTACTGCCTAGTTGAAACCACGCATGTCGTTGTTCTGCTATTGTAGTTGCGTCCAATACTACGTCGGCTCGCGATCAGCTACAACACTCATCTCTTCAGCGAGGATTTTGTGAGCTCAAGTCCTTGCCCAGTGCTGCTTCAGAGGAGTTGAGAAGATTCGCCAATTTTGGTTAGCAGCTCGCTACACAGCTTGCCCGGGCCAACTTGAATTTGAGCTGAATGATAAAAGTGGGGTAACCAGGCCGGGCTGGCCGAGCATGTAGAATATATACAAGTCGTCTTGAACAGCAACTCAATATCTTACACGAATCTCAAAATGTCGATGCCCACGATCCCAACACTTTACAAAACAGCCGCGCTTTTATATGGCGTTACAGCGCCTGGGCACATTGTAAGCATTTTCTCCGCATGTTAGATGACTTGCAGCTAACGTAAACACAACTACCAGCTGATGGGCTATCAAGTCGTATACAAAGCGCTTGAAAAAATCCCTAAAACCGCCTCCGAGGATAGAATAGCAGAACGAGGAGCTGCAAACTGCTGGAACTTTCTCACAACCTCGCTTGCCGCAAGCGGTATGTCGCTCTAAGCCAATACATGGTTTCGTGCTCGTCAGCTAATACGCTCAAATTCAGCTCTACTAAATTGGCAATTTGCTAGGACTGCTGGGCCTAGAACCTTGGAGGAGACCGTGGTTCTCAACATCATGAACATTCATACATTGTACAACGGTTGGCGATATCTTCAAGTTGGGGAATTTAAGGCGGGGTTAGCTATTAGTGTGCCGTCAGCGATCACGCTAGTTGCTTTCGTGTTAGGACGTCTTTGATTGAAAGTTGAAGTTGAACAGCAGGGTAGAATATTCACAATTTATTACAGTGGAAAGTTCCGTACAACGAACCATAAAGGCTCAGCTATACTCCGCACGCGGTTAGAATTCGGAGGCCACGTATTTCTTCGACAGCTGGAAGGCGTGCTCCGTGGCAAGCGCGTGAAGCGTAGCTTCCCACAAGTGTTCTCGAACAATTCTTACCCGTGCCTGCCAACCAAGACCATCGTCGGTTAATGTCAACCATCACGCTCATCTCAACGTCCTATGGTCGACGCTTTGTGTGTATACGTATGCCAATACAGCACAGAAAAGTAAGTGGTTACGATATTTGGTAGCGCTGACACGACAAAAGACCTCGAGCTTCTGCCCAATTCTCCTCTTGCACTGCAAGGCCAGTCCAGAAAACTTCGTTGGGAGACACGGTGTAGACTGGCACATATAGCCTTGGTCCTCGTCTCATCATGCCTCTTCGAGCTCGAGCCATCTTTAAGATGGACTGTCCTCTGAACCAATAAATATAGCATAACCTCACTAGTATCTACGTACTCACCATCGTCGGCAGGACAGTCTTAGTGGTACTACACTCCCGAAAATGCTAGAAGCTGCTCCTGCCTCGAGACACGAACACTGCTCTGTCGATCCTAGCCGAAGAGGCAGTCGATATCAGCCACGACTGACAACCATGAAAAGACGAGAGAGTGAATGGATGACACGAGGCACCAAATCTGGCCTCGAGAGAGTGCTTCGTTCGAACGAACGCTTGTCTCCTCACCAAGAAATCATCACAGGCCGCACGATATACTCGTCGCATTCATTTGTCAACGCGGGTGTACTCCCTGACCTTATGTTGCTGTCACCCACGGTACTAGTCCCAAGTCTTATCCATCTCGTACCCGACAACAATTGAAACTGGCGAAAAAGGCTGAGTGTGCTCGAGGCAACACAAGAAGGAAATATATATTGCTGACCACAATGATAATGAGTGAACACCGAGAGGTTACTGTAACAGCAGAGCTGAAAACCCGGAGCGAGTTAAGAGAGCAAGTGAGAGACCACACACGCTGTATCTCTGTTTTGTGTGGTCACGCATTAATTCACGAAAGGCAGTCCGCCTATGGCGACAACACAATGAAGGCAGCAAGAGAGTCTTGCACATCTCTACTGGCTGCATCACCGACCGATGTACTCAGTACCTACGATCACAGTCATTCTGTTCTCGATTGCGAAGAATTAAATGGTAATACGGACCGTCTACCATGTTGGAGAGTGTGGAGCGATAACGGGTGCCACGCATATGCCCCCACTAAAGGCGGATTCAATAGCGGTCCGTGCCGAGCATATGGCTGCCCCACTAATTGCTAATGTGGTCGTCGTCATTCCGGGACAAAAATCGTCTGCTATTGCATCGCCTGTTGTCAAAGTGTATATACTGATGTGGCTCACAGGCACCTTCTTCCACTGTGCTTTCGGATACGGAACGTTATTTGAGCTGTTTCCGAGCAGCTCAGTACGTTATGATCGTACTTTGCAATGCGACTAGCCAGCAACCTGTGGCTGGTGGCATCCTAGAATCTAGTCACCTCGCGGCCTCGAAGAAGCCTCTTAGTTGCCAGTCACGATGAAGTCGAGTACGTACTCAATAACTGCGCGAGATTGTTACCCTTTATACAGCATCCATCAAATTTACCCTAACGGCAACACAACCAACACGTAGCTCGAGCTCGAAGATCGTATTGACCCTGGAAATCTCGGAGTTCAATCTCGAAACGTTTGCACAACACCATACGAATCTCATTCGGTTAACAGAACAATACAGTATATCTTTGCATGACCGTCGTTGCGCGTGTAATGTGTGCACCAGCTCGTGCCGTAAACTTGTCACTCATAAAGGTTTGCGACTGAAAGAGAGAACGTTCGGTTGTTGAACCCAAAAAGCAACTCCGGCACGTAGCAACGAGACTTTTCGCTGCCTATACGTAATTGTCACTTCTGGAGGCGTCTCAAGTTGTGCTCCAAGCACTCCGCATTTCGTTTTCCAAGTCGATCACGCGTTTCGAACTTTAATGTCCGTGCAGCAGACTTACGTTTGTACTATTACATTGCGCGATATACCTAGGCACGTACAAGTATGCACGGCGTCCTTCAAACATGCTGAATATCTATGTTATTCGAGTCTATCTATTTCCAGAAATGTTGGTCGATAGCGAACGAGTGCATCGAGTATATTTCTCGGTACGCAAGTCGTGTCAGCATACTGCCAGAACCATGTCAACATTGTGTTGAAGCAGTTTCGATGCTATATCACCATCTTGTTAATATCGTATTAAACATGTATCAGTACTGTGTCGAGTAAGATAAACAGATTCTGAAATGATATAGCTCGCTATTTTACACAGGCTGTAATGGCAGTATGTGTATATGGTACGTACCACAAAGGTCAAGCTTAGGACGAGATCCGCAGCCTCGACCCGTCTTGTTACGCAGCACTACGTAGAGAGCGACAGATCATCGACTTCTATATCTACAAAGGTACGGTACGGTTAGTTCAGGAGCTAATCGTGCACCAGATGTTTCATGGGTTGAAATGACCATCTGGTTCGTTGATACGTACGTATTGCGTATGTAGTGTATACATACGTAATATCACGCAGGTGTATTGTACATTACGTCTGTGTTCGCCGGTACCGCCGTACGCAAAATACACGAACCATCTCCCACAGCCTTCTTATCCAAGAACGACATTCTGGCCAGTTGTTGTTGAGGTATATGATGAAATTCCCGAAGCCGTGTAAGGGTTGGAGGATTGCACCAACAAAGTAGAGCCCGAAGACTGGATTATTTCGATGGACATGGCCATTATACACTCGGTTGACGCTGGCAGGCACCCATGTGACGAACAGCACAAGAGTGCAGAGTAAGGCGAACCTGGCATATTTCCAGTGTATTGATTCCCAACGTGAGTGTGTCCGAGTAATTTCAGTGAGAGAGGATGACGAGGAGGACGCCTGTGCTGCTTTGATTTCAGCTCGGATTGATAGGATGCATCTGCTGGTGATGACGATGAATAATAGAGAGCATATTAGCGATAACCTACAGAAAGAGTCAGTACGTACTGTTGCTGGTGTACCAAGCTTCGGAGGACGATTAACTCGTCGGATACGTGCTTACCAGACCAGGGTGAAGAACGTTATCATGCGCAAAGTCTCAAACTCATTCGAGATAAAGGACCAGACCCCCGCTTGACCATAGATAGACCTCCCATGTGGTCGCCAGGCCAGTATGACAATGCCTAGAAGAAGAGGCACGGAACAGCCAGATCCGATGCCGATATTCTCGAACAGCCGTACCGTATCCTCGCTTCGTCCTCCTCTTGTCCTTAGCCACAAGCTCGCAAGCATTACAAGCACTAGCAATGGGTCTGTCATTGCGAAGACATATACCAAAAATCCCTGTGTTTGGCAAAAGGTTGAGGTACCTCCTGCTTCTAGTGCATGGACGCCCCAACTAAGCGCAAGGCAAAGAAAGAAATTGCTGATGGCAATGCAAAAGGCCAGACGGTTGATTGGCGTTCATAGAGGTTGGTACGACAGGTAACTCGTCAGGGTGAACAAGGAGCCGAAGAGCGAGAGACCGGCTGAGACTCTTGTCGCTATGTCAATAGCATGAAGCTGTGCAGGGGTGGTCATTATTGCAGTTTGGATATTCGGCCTTCCTGAAAGACAGTTGGAGGAGCGGCTGTAGAGGTGATGGGAGTCCTCCCTACCAGGGTAGTAAGTATTGTGTTTACTGCTGCCATCGTGGTATACAGTCGCGAACAGACACAAAGTGATAGTATGTGGTCGTGGCTGAGGAGGGCGAAGGTGATAATCGGTGGTGATATGCTTGAAGTTCTAAAAACACAGTACTAGTTGCTAAGGGAAGTGAGAACTTGTCACCGCAGCACTATGGGATCTTGCTTACGTAGTGTAACCTTTCTGTACGACTTAGTTTATACATTGAGGGGTGAAGGGATTATTGTCCCAAAATAGCATCTTCGAAGACAAGCCGCATTTTGCAATGGACAATGAGTCGTGCAAATCTTCACGTATTGGACGTAGGACAGTGCTGGTCCCGTCAGGTACGTAGAAAATTGTGCAGACGGAACATACAATCTTCGTGCGAGATGAGGGCGTCCTCCCGAACCAAAAATCGTTCAAAAAGTATTGAGCAATGTCGTTGCGACAGTTTCGATGGTGGTGGAAGATCGTATTGTGGCAAATGGTTTCGCAGCGTCAATAGCTTGGCTGCTTGATAGCGTACAAGAGAAACGCTTGAAATATTGTAAGATAGGCAAGCAGGTGGTGAGAGCAACAGAGGTAGATGATCAGGTTGTCTTCGGAGGTGAGGATCGAGGAGTTTTGAGTCTGCTGTATATTGAGCAACCGCCGGAATGAATTTGTTGGATCCTAACCAGCGTGAGGCGACCGCAGTCGGTTGCTGGTGGTCATTGTCAAACACACTGATAGCCGATACATACATAGTAACTCGAAGGTGGACGAAAGAGTCAACATGGATGAATTTAAATTAATGCGTTATCGTTTCATGATCATTTCAAGTCACCACCAAAGCCCACAGGTCGTCGTTGTCCACCGTTCTCAGGCAAAACGGCCATGACTTTGTATGCTTTGCCCATTCCTGTTGGGCCACCCTCGACAAGTCTTCTCCACCCACTTGCGATATCCTTCTTTTTCTGTTCATCAACATTCTTCATCAAACGTGCTGCACGATCTTGAACACCTAACTGACTCAACCACAACCCTTGCTCGACCGGACCATGTACTTCGACACCTTCGCTAGCTTCGACAGCTGCATCCGCAAGTGCACCAAAATCGACATCGGCTGAAACATCGGCTTGTCCAGCAAAGGAGAAAGGAGAAACGATTTTGTGTTCTTTTATGCCGCGGAAAGAGTTGACAGGTACCGTGTCCGGTGGACCATAGTCAATGACCAATGCTGCACCGGCTGGCTTCCCACCAGACAAGTTCCCACCTATACGTTTTGAAAAGTCCTGCATGTATCTATAACTTTCAGGCGATACTTCAATTCGCGATTGAGGTTGCTGCTTCAGTTTTCGATAGCGTGGACGTTCAGGAATCACAATCGAATTCGGGTTACTTGCTTTGGCAATCGTGAGATGGAAGTCTGTTTCTGGTTGTTTCTGCTGAAGACCACCTGCCTTGGCTGGTGCGAAGAGGTCGAATTTAGCTTGGGTTGGGGCAACAAGGAGTTCTCTCCATTGAGGGACTTTGCTGGCTGGATTGGGCCGTACCATAGGTCGACCATGTTTGTCCAGTAGTTCGACCTTCTCTGACTCTGGCGCGGCCGCAACTGACTCGAAGGCATGGATTGGAAGAGCGTCGAAGAATTCGTGAGCAACGATGAAAGGCATTTTCTGGGTACTACCCTGATTCTCGGGTAGCAAAGCAATATCTTCAACCCATCTTATAGGGATATCGTTGCCATGTTTGCTCATAGCTTCCCAGTAAAGCGTCTGGCCTTTCTCTTGCACTTGGTTCATCCTTGCCTCTTCTCCGCAGAGTAACTTGCGTTGATGTTCTCGTAGACCTTCTCCTGCCTCAACAAGCCAAACAGCTTCGATCGCCTGCACAAAGCTCTTGAACTGTGCAGCAGTCCTCAATATATCACTCATGAGCGTTCCACGACCCGGCCCTACTTCCATAAATTGAACGCCAGTTGCTGGCCGACCCTGACCCATCCATTCTGTCAGGAACCAAACCCCAACCAGCTCACCAAAGACTTGCGATATCTCGGGAGATGTGATGAAGTCACCTCGCCGTCCGAACTGATCGGACGTTGGTCGGGTCGTGGTGTAGTAGCCTCCGTCTGGAGATGTGAGGCATTGTCGCATATACGAGGCTATCGAGATCGGACCAGTTACCTGAAAGTGGTCAGTCCGAGTGTAAGTACATTCAATAGTGTTGAGAGCCTGACCTCTATAGCTTTGGCAATGGTCTCAGCTAGTGGTGTAGACCATCGCCGCTGTGGTTTCAGAGCTGGAGCTACTGTTGACTCCCATCTTCGGAGCTGGAAGAACGGTGCAGCTATTGCACGCCTGTTCGATCGTAGGGCATGCTTACTGGCGACGACTATGCCATTTCGCATGACGAGCAGGAATCGACAGGAACGAGATGTGAACGAGGGTCATGCTTGATCTGACCTGTACAGCGATTTCCTCGATGCTGTCAGGATTGTGACGACAACACACCCCGACGCGCTCTCGCTAATCGGAGCATTGTGACCCGAGGGAAGGAGCAACTGGCACACAGCCCAGAGCTCTCTCTACACTCGTACAGTACACCACTCATGCGACCAGCTGATCTGACTTATGCTGTTTTGCGAGAAAAACGTTTCAATCCATGGCGACGTTTGCAACTAGAAGTAGAATTTCGGCGACGACTTCGCGAAATGGAAGTGGGCACCAATCAACCTCCTGCTATAAGCGAGGAACACGACCAGCTGCAACATTCACTCTTGATTGATATGGGCAGCAGCACATTTTTGATCAAAGATGTCTCCGAAAAGTGACGGTGTCCCGTATAGCTGACCTTTCTCTTGATCTACTCCTATAAATATTTACTCAGCCAAGATGTTGACGCCTGCTTCGCGATCATGGGACGGAGAACGATGTTCTCGAATGGAAAGACGACTGCAGTGCTCCAAGCCCAGTACGCTGTCCCTACAAAGCCTCGACTCTGACTGGTGAGTATGAGATCCAGATACTTAGCCAAGCAAATGAGCCCAAGAGGCAGCACGCATTGTAGCTCTTCCTTGCTCCTAGCTCTTCGAATGTTTGCAGATAAGTTTGTCTCCTACAAGAATTTGTGAATCGCTCCTCTATTCAAGCAAAGACATACATCACGTCTCAACCCAATTTGATAGGAACGCCTCAAGTACGTTGTATCCTGCTCAGCTCTTTGACTCACAGGACAAACATGGCAACCATACTGGTCTCTGATCTCCCCAGAGACGCCACGATTGCAGCCGACCGCATCAGATCACTTGTGTGGATAGGAGACGCTACTGGAAACTTCGCTTCTCTGGACCTCGCTGACGCTGCTTCTGGTGTTCACCAGCATCAGAACGTGGGGTTCGCAATTAGAGCTCTCGCTGTTGGTCAAAAGGTTCTTGTTGTCGTCGGTATTGACGGGCAAATTCTGCTTCTTAATCCAGACCTCCCTACAGACACTGGAAATGATCTGGGTCTCCTACTTGCAAAGCCTAGACAGGCTGTACTGAACTCAGCAGGCACGTTTGTGTACGTTGTGGCAGGAGCAACAGACACTGGCCCATCAGGTGGCACACTCATTGAGATTGAATTGACTTTAGACCAGGGCCACAGAAGACAAGAGTATGCTGTCCCGGGCATTTCCGGCGTCACTGAAATGGCAGGCTCGATCTGGGTAGCCTGTAACACTGCTGAGGACTACTCGAGAGGTCAGGTTTACAACCTCAATGCTGGGAATCTCGTGCTGCTCCTTGGCAATTTACCACTTATCAGCAGGATTGGTGCTTTGCTGTCGACTGATACTATTGTGGCTGTCCATCCCAATCTGAATGTACTATCTCTCATCGACACAGCTAGTTCAGGAACACGGACTGTCCAGATCGATGGCATTCTAGACAATACTCTCGAAGTTGCTGGTATCTCCGACACCACCTTCGTAGCGACGACCAATAGCTCCCTTATTCTTATTCCGACCACCTCGATCATCACGAGCTCGCCCTTCATCGAACCTGTAAAGCCGATATTCGTTGGATCCTGGACACGACTGTTCTTCAATCTGGGTGACACTGGGCTGGACACGGATCAAATCCATTTTGGGGTCAGTGAACCACGAGCAGCATTCGTGTCGTTTACAACGGAGTCAGACAAAGACGAGCCTGTACCCTTGCTGATTGTTGGAGGTCGCACAGGAGGCTACGAAATCTCAATGATGGAGACTGCCACAAATAGAGTTCTGGCCACACAAAAGTTCTCTATATCTGACGAGTGGCTCGACGACATCAACGGCCCTCCCGGTACTTATTTCACCGACACTTTACCTCGTGGAGAGAGCAGTTGGGGAGGTGGTCCCAATAGTCCTCAAAACCTCAACACTAATCCACATACTGGCACATGGAATCTCCTAGTCATTCTCGTGGATACATCAAGTGCTCGTTGGCCTGATGAAGAAATTGATTCGGCCAAGGAGAACATATTAAAGAACATTACTACTGGCGTGGATGTTGGCGCGAAGTCATACTCTGTGAAGAAATACTACGAAGAGAATTCAGCCAACCAGTTGACTATCAGCGTGCACAAGGATACTGCTTTCGGAGTCCTAAACCTGCCCAATGCATGGGAGGACTACTTTGCTCAAACGAAAGACAAAGACGATAACGTGACCGATGATCGTTGGTGGAACAAGAACGGTTCTGTTCGTCAAACCATAGTTACTGCTGCAAACCAGAACAATATTGTCACTACTGAAGACCTCCAGGCTGTCGATACTGTGGTGTTCTTCGTGTTTCCTGCCGATACTGACTTCGTGGCGGGAGCTCGATTTGCTTGGCCTGTCCAATGGGATTCCAGCGAGTATTCAGTTGGCGACTGGTTCTGGCAAAAGGCCAATTTTTCACAGATTTACATGACCTCAGATTGGGAATCGAGAGACGGCAGAAAGATATATGCAACGCTAAGCCACGAGGTTGGACACAGTCTTGGTCTCCCTGACCTCTACGAGAAGCCTGAATACGCGTCGGAAACAGTGAAAAGGATCGTGTACGATTGGGATATGATGGCGGGAAGTCGCGACCATCTTCCACATTTCTCACTTTCCAACAAGATGCGCATGGGATGGGTCAACGCATCTGCGTTGAAATTGTTCAACTTCCAGGTCTCAGGGGCAGTTTCGGAGACAGTCATTCTACGTGCTGCTGAGGTCGGTACTGTAGCCACGAATCAATCTAGAGGTATTGAGATACGACTTGCCGATGGGTGGAATCTATACATTGAATATCGAGCTGAGCAAATCGGGTTCATCAGTGACGACTTGATACACGATCAACGTGTCATGATCACTGATGTAGTCTGTACAAGCTTTCGCCCAGTGTCTTCGAGACCAGTCATTCTCTTCGTGCGCGATGATCCAGCCACCCCGGGGATCGACGAACATTTGCTTGCCAGGAATGATTCTCTGATACAAATCGAACCAGCTACTCAGATGAGACTCGCCGCGAAGGTGCTGAGTACTGATACGAATACCGCTCAGGTGCAAGTGACGTACTCGAGTGGTCAAAGGCCAGAGCCTGGCATTCGAGATTGGGAAGGTAGCAAATCAAATTGGCAAAGCCCAGACATTGAAGTTCGCAACGAAAGATCTCTCGCAAAGCCCGATCGATATTACAACGTTCCATGGTTGGGGCACCGAAATCAGATTGTAGCGAAGATACGTAACTCAGGCGACCTACAGGCAACTGGAGTTACCGTTGACTTCTTTGTCACAAGATTCACAACCGGAGACGGACCAGAAACACCAATGGGATCTGCAACGGGAGACATCTTGCCGAGCAGCACCACTGAGTTCATTGCTAGTGAGGAATGGTCGCCACCAGAGGATGGCCATTACTGTATGATCGTCCGCATTCGTCAGTATCAAGATCCGGCAGATCCTTTAATTTTGGATAGAAACCCTTACAACCAAGTGGCCAGATCAAACTACACCTCATTCATTTCCGCCTCTCAATCGCCTTCAAGTCGAGTAAACACCACTATCAATCTATCGAATCCCTTTCCACAACGGTCTATCGTGTTCGCTCGTGTCACGAAACAACATCGTTACCACCGCGTCTTCACTAGCCACCAATGGCGTCGCGTATCTGGCAAATCGCAGCTTCCGATAAAAGTCTGGGACGAATCTATCTTCGGCACACCTGAGTGGGACGCCCTCGAACAGAAGGACGAGGGTCTCTTGTACAAACTGCCCAACCAGGTCAGCGTCGAGGGACACGTTACACGAGTCATCCCAGAGATACCACACATAACTCGATCAATCACAGGTGGAGTAGGAATCCGCATCGACGCCGGACGCGCAACTCGCATCGACATCCGCGATATCAATCGTGCAGCCGTAGCAGGCAGTGTGTTCTACCTCGATAGTGGTAGACGTCTGGGGGGTGGAGGCATTGTCCTCTTCGAAATATATCCTAGCAGGGGAGGAGATTATATCGTTGGAGACGACACACTGAACAGTGATGGGTTCTTCGCATTCAAATTCGCTAGGGTTGACGCGGAACCAGCGAAAGCAGTAGTCGTGCATTATCTGGGGGATTTCGATGCTGCACCGAGCACTACCAGAGTACTCCAGACAAGATCTGCTCGATTGTGATATTATTTATTGTTGTATGTCTTTTTGAAATGAGATGCTAACTGCTGCCTCTATGCAATAGCGTACCCGCATATTTGTGAGAGATGCGACAGGTATATGGTTCTACTACTACCCGAATTCATGGCTGGTCCTTCCACACAGAAGCAAAATGCCACATATAGTAGAAATATGTGAAGGAAAACATCAGTTGATTAAACTATTTACAATGGTGCAAAACACGACGCTTATAAGCACAATGTGCGCCCGCGTCACTAGCGGCTAAACCTCGCCGCACATAGATGCCTGAGGCAGATCTCGGAAATTCAACACATATCGAACAGCCCTCTCCACTTCCTCCGATAATTTATGCCCGAACAACTCGCCCTTATATGCCTTTCACAGCTCAATCTCCCGACTCTGGTTGTGTACGTATCTTTGCGATTCGAGGATTACGCAAATCACTATGCTTTGTCAATTGCTTCCACTCTATATAGGTCCTCTGAGTTATGGAGATATTGTTTCGGAAAGATTCCTTGAGTACCTAATATGCTGCGTACCTATTACTTCACCATATGGTATGCGCCGAATCACCCGCCAGGACCCTGTTTTCGAATTTTCACGTCGGTACTTTGGGTATGGGAGACGTCGGATACATGTGCTCGACGGCTCTCTTCCTTTTCGACGTGAGTCACGATATCTTTGATGGCGGGATCGGACCAGTGCTGATGGCTTTACACCTATCGCGAGAGGTAGCGTCGTCCGCCCGATACGCGGAGAACCTAAAGCCTAAGCTGTTGCCCGAAGACAACAGCTCGAGACGGGATACCTAGCGAAGACAGAATAGGGGGGAGAACATTTGGCTAGGACAGTTGAGTGGCCATGTGCTCAGAGGAGCTTAGCTGTCTTGGGTAGAATGGTGTTTAATTGGTCTGAGCCTGGCTGCTAGACAGGTACATTGCTGGTCTGGACAATTGCAGGCCGTCGAATGTCCACCCACAGCCAAATAGCGACTATGGCCATGTCCCTAAACGGGCCTGCTTTCAAGTAACCACCCTTAGCAGGAAATAGTCTTGTATCATGTGCACCCAGAGAACCCAAACCACATGGTTTGAGTTTACTTCCATAACTTGCCCAATGAGACTTCCTTGTCGTCGTGCTTGTTCAGTACTTTGGCTGTTGCCAGGTCAAAGTCCTCTTGTGTTACATGCACTCTTCTTTCTCTCAGCGCAAACATACCAGCCTCCGTACAGACACCTTTCAGCTCTGCACCGGAGCAACCATTCATCTTCTCGGCAATCTTCTTCAGATCAATACCCCTGGTCAAGTTCATACTTCTGGAATGTATCCTCAAGATATCAGCTCTGGCGTCCACGGATGGTGGAGGAAACTCAATCTTTCGGTCTATTCGTCCAGGCCGTAACAGGGCAGGATCCAGGATGTCGAGTCGATTTGTTGCCATTATGACTTTAATATTTTTGTGAGATTCGAAGCCGTCCAGCTGATTCAGCAGTTCCAACATAGTTCTCTGCACCTCGGAATCACCACCACTGCTGCCTTCCACTCGCGAAGAGCCAATACTGTCGATTTCGTCCATAAAGATGATACTTGGTGCGTGTTCTCTAGCCATAACGAACAATTCTCTGACCATCCTACTACCTTCACCAATGTATTTCTGCACCAGTTCCGAGCCCGAGACTCTGATGAATTTACAGTCTGCATGATGTGCGACAGCTCTTGCTAATAACGTTTTCCCTGTACCTGGTGGACCGTAGAGAAGAACACCCTTAGGCTGTGCTATTCCCAACGACTCGAAAAGTTCTGGATGATTGAGGCCGAGTTCGATGACTTCCTTGATTTCCTTGATCTGCTGGTCCAACCCACCAATCATGTCGTAGGTACTGTCTGGTACCTTCTCTACCATCATGAGGGATACGAGTGGATCGACGGACGATGGCATCATCTTTTCGAGTTTGTAGGAATCGCTTAATAGGGAGACTCGCTTGCCGACTGTGAGTTTCGAGATATCGACATCGTCCGCAATGTCGACGACTGTAGAAAGTCGTTAGTACAAAATTCATTTCCGAGCACGAGCTGAGACCTACCATATTTGCCCTCAGGATGTACTTTGACTAAGACCTTCTTGGTGCCCATGACCTTGACGACTTCTCCCACGTATGATCCAGGTTGCTGTAGAAGACCTAGCTCCTCTCTGAGCAGTCGTACTCTCGAGTTGTAATCATTCCTCTGAGCCTCCAAACGTCTGAGAACTGCCTGGCCTTTAATGATCTCGAGCTTCAGACTCTCGATCTTGTTGTTGTAGAAACTGTCCAATGCCATAGTGACTGTGCTAGTTGGGTAGGCGGATGTGATCGTCGGGGCGGCACCAGTACGGGTATTTTCACGTCTAGAGAGGTGTCTGCAAGCGAGTAGAGCGGTTCGTTAGTCGACGAGTGGAATACGAAGCGACGATGATTATGCGGCGGCGCGACCTTGAAAGGCGGAAGGAGCAATCGTCACCTGCACAAGCGGCCTATAAGTCGGTCCGTAACTAGGTCTGCCCAGGCGGCAATTTGCGCAGCTTTAGTGAAGCTTGCAAAGTTGGCAGCGGTAGCATTACACGCAGACCATATCTCAGAAACAGCGTCCTGCACCCTTGTGTCGCTGTGCAGCTCTAATGGCCGCGGCTTCTCCCGAGGGGAGTAGCCTCTATGATCAGATTAGACGTGCAGACCCAGAAGATGTCAAGAAGCGGCAGCAAGCCATCAACGAACGAATTCATGCGACCTTCCAGCAGAGTCAGAAGCGGTTGGCAAGCCTGATAGACGAGAACTCGACCCTCCCTACGACAGTCTCTTCAGTCACTGTACTTGGCGCACCTAACACGCGGCACTCGTTCCTCAAGGGCATAGTCGATCCTCTGCTGACCGCGAACCGAGATCGACCTTACACCCAGTCAGAACTTGTACAAGAAGCTTCGAAAGCTGCCTCCAAGCTCAGCAAATTTGGTAAGATGCACGCTCGGTTCAAGCCAATATTATGCTGATGTATTTAGACATCTTCCACCCTCCCATATCTGTCTATATTGACAAAGCTGAGAAAAGTGATCCGAATACCACACCAACCGATGTCGCTATTTACTATTCAGTGAAGGAAAAGAGCAAAGTTTTTGCAAAGACCGGTACAGATGTGGGCAACGCCGAAGGATCTGCTTATGCGAATGTGCAATGGCGGAATCTGTTTGGTGGTGCTGAAGCTCTTGACCTAAACGCATCGCTTGGTACAAGGACAAGATCCTCATATCAAGGTAGCCTGGATACACCAGTTAACGGTAACCCAAATTTGAAGTTTCAGGTTGGGGGTGTTCAGAGCACAGTTCAGAAGGTCTTTGCCAGCCACGAAGAGATGCAACGAGGAGGGTGGGGCAAGCTCAGGTATCTAAGTCCATCAGGTTCTCTGCACGAGTTTGGCTACAATGGTTATTGGAGGCAACTCACAGGCTTAGCACAAAATGCTTCACCTACCGTGCGTAACGATGCTGGTGACACTTTCAAGAGCAGTCTGAGCCATACTTGGATCAATGATCGAAGAGACAACCCTATCTTACCGACATCCGGCTACTACACAAAAACAAACAACGAGATTGCGGGTCTTGGTCCGTTGGCAGGAGATGTAGCCTTTCTCAAATCAGAAATAGAAACACAACAAGCTCTATCAATTCCAATACCTGGTGTCAAGGGTCACAGTGGGGTGAGCTTGACCACAGGGTTTCGAGCAGGCATGCTTTACCCATTGACCTTGAACGGAGCCAGCAATCCTTCAATGTCTAGAATAAACGACCGATTTCAGCTTGGTGGCCCAACCGACGTTCGAGGATTCAGGTTATCAGGACTGGGACCTCGAGACGGACTTGATGCTGTTGGTGGAGATGTGTATGCCGCGGCCAGCGCCAACTTGCTCCTGCCGATACCCAAGGTGGGAATCGATAAGCCTCTGCGCTTACAAGCTTTCGTCAATGGTGGTAGACTACTAGCGCTGCGATCGAAAGAGAAAGAAGGAGCCATGTCCAGTGAAGAAGTGCAGCAGACTATGAAGGCCACTTTCAGTGAGCTGGGTAATGGACTGCCAAGCATGTCTGCTGGCGTTGGACTCGTATATGCTCATCCTGCTGCGAGGTTTGAGCTGAACTTTTCTCTGCCGTTAGTACTGAGGAAAGGAGAAGAAGGTCGCAAGGGATTGCAATTCGGTATCGGTATAAACTTCTTGTAGAACACAATACAGATATGTAAAGTTCAATATTCTTGCAGATGCACGTCAGGAGTGTACCAGGTACTGTATAGCAGAACTGAGTTGTCCGTCTGTGTGCGAATCTCTTGTATGAGTCTTGCCTGTCGCCGTGGTTCTGAGGCGACCACAGCCGGCCAGATGATATCTACTAACGATTGATTGTACCTGAATGTAATGCATGTGCAACTTCCAGTAAAATGGACACATTTGCCAGACCACAATATTGAAGGACAACTTGCACTTACTGCCATAGAACGACTCACGCTCAGCCCGTGGCCACGAATCCGACACGACATTACCTGCGTAGCACATCCCTTCACCGAACCACTACACCGCCGGTAGAGCGAGCACAATCTGCACGCTTCTGCCAGGTTTGGCACAATCGTCCGCATTCGCTGACCTACAATCTTCTTACTTCACCATGGCGTACTACAACCAAGGCTACCAGCCTCAGCCCAGCTCGACGCCTTCCAATGCAGCCAACCTCCAATTCTACTCTTCCTCATACGGCCAAGGTGTAAGCGGCCACACTACCCCTTCGCAAGCAGCTTATGGTAGTTATCCTGCTGCTCCTGCTTCAAACGCATACCCTGCATATGGATCAGGTGCTCCTGCAAGCTTTGGCGCGCCGCCTGTGTCAGGACGCATGGGAGAGCAGGGTGGATTGAGGACTGGTTGGATTGCTGCTTTTTCAACTGAAGGTTACGAGGGAGAACCTGGACTTATGGAAGAGTTAGGTGTGAATTTTGGACACATAAAAACGAAGGTGAGCACAAAAGCATAGAGATACAGTGGCAGATCCAGCGACCTGCAATAGCTGAGTGACTGCGAGCCACTATACAAGTTCAGAATGTAGGCAGTACTAACTCAAATTCTGTAGACACAAGCAGTTCTCAACCCCCTCTCTCGACCCTCCCCACATATCATGGACGATTCTGACCTCTGGGGTGCCCTCATCTATGTCTGCTCTTACGGAGCTTTCCTTGCTTTATCCGGAAAATTCGCCTGGGGCTACATCTATGGCATAGCTCTTTTCGGCAGCATAGCACTACACTGGATCTTCGCCCTCATGACTCCGCCAATAGACCCAAGTGAGCAACAGCAAGATCAATATCAGCAATCACAAGGTCTACGAGACCATGCCGACAGGTCTGGGTCTTTCTCCGCAACCCTGACATACAGCCGCAGCGCAAGTGTGCTCGGGTACTGTTTCCTGCCTCTGAGTCTCATCGCTCTGTTTGGTGTCCTGTTGCCAATGGATTCGTTTTGGGGCTACTGTTTGACTGCCGCTGCCGTTGGCTGGTGCACGTACAGCAGTAGTGGTATGTTTGTATCCGTTGGTAGAATGAGTGGGATGAGAGGCTTGGTAGCATATCCACTTGCCTTGTTCTACTGTGGGTTCGGTATTATGGGTATCTTCTCCAGTCGAGGCATAGGACCGCTTGAGGGTAAGCTAGGCTGAAGGAATGACAAATACATGATCACTTAACTACTATCACACTCCACTTCTTGCCGCATCAGCTCACTGGAGGTCTCGAAGAAGTATATGGCTACTTCCGTATGGCGTTTTGATTGACGACACACAAACAGCCTGTGGTCTTTGAGCCGATTGCGCCGCGTTTCGCCAACAGCAATCCCTTACATATAATGTCACGCATTCCTATTGCGTGGGCTGAGCAGTGCCTTACGTCCTCGTAATATGTCACCAATAAGTATGAAACACCAAACCCAATCGACTTTTGGAATATAAAGGCAGGTCTACTGGCCTCTTTAGCAACATTCTCAGCATCTACATGACTCTTGCGGTTGCACTCAACACCACAAATTCAGAATAGGATGGCCCAATTCAAGTTTGCAGGACAACCTGGTTCAGCCGCACATCCATCCTTCACGACATCCAAGCGGCAGGTACGCCGTCTCCTCGAGCTCGTAGACTCTGCGTCAAATTGGCCGAACCACCCCAATGAACAGTTCCGCGATCTTGCGAAGATTGAGCGGGCACTCTACGCCCTGGCAAATTCTGTTATCTTGATGGCGAGTGTTATGCCCATAGAAGAGAACTGCATGATTATCGACGAAATTGAGGGTGGTCTCCAATCTATCCACGACCATAGCATCGATGTCTCCCGCGCTATTAGAAGCCTGAAACGCACCCTGGTCGATCCTTACGAACGTGATTACGTTCGCATCATGCTCGACAACTTCGACCAACTTGAGGCGCGCTTCCAGACGATAAAAGACCACGTACGGAATGTGGAATTCGGACTTGAAGACATCCAAATGGGAAGCAAAGAATGGATCAAAGACTGTAATGATTTTATGTACCACGGCTGTGATATCCTCATGGAGACGACCAAAAAGTGTAAGGCGATCCTTGCGATTGATTGCTTCAGACTCGCGGCTCACGACCAAAGCTCCAACCCGCTTCGGAATTTTCGACCTTCGGGAGACGGAAATGCTGCTGACTTTGAGGGAGCTATATCCCGGAGCACGCCCGTCTATCCAGCGGCTCCTGTAGTGGCGCGTTCAGATCTCGAACCTCAACCCAGAGCACCAGTAAAGACCAGAAGTCGTGTCGATGCTGCTGAGCCGACCTCGGCAAGTTCTACATCTCATGCTGGTAGCCAGCCTCGTGGATACGTCCGAGGCGATTCGGAGCTGTCTCCCAAATCTAGCGCAAATTCCTCTGACTGGCCACCACGCAAGAAGCAAGTTGGCGAGCAGGAAGGTAAGAAAGAGTCTGGTATTTCGTCGGACACCGCAACCGCTGTCGAGCAAGCTATAAGGTACGGTCTTGCTCTCGAGCTTGACGCCAAGTCAGGACCCGAGATCGTGAGGATAGGCTCGGGAGGAGCACGACCAGTTTCGAAGGTGAGAGATGCAACAGTGGGAGAGTCTGTTAACGACGAGAATTCGCGTCATGACTCGGGAGGTGAATCTGTCAAGAAAGCACGGTCATCACTAATGGACGCCATATGACAAGAAACCGTGATCAGATTCTGTACTTTGAAGGTTCATTTACACTGTTTTCTCTACATGTGCTTTTGTGCAGGGGCGCCCACCAGAGGAGCGAATAGCTTCGCGGACTATACATACATACTATCGTACCCCACGCTCAGTAGCTAACTACTAGTCAAATTGTACCTAATGTTCAATTAAGATTAAGTCACTTTTTGAGAGACACTACTACTCCTCGTGAAGTCAATGTTCCGAAGTCAAGCAAGCGCAAACACGAAGAGGCTTCGGAAAATCCGAAAAGAAAGACGATAGCTTCAGACAACTGTGAACCATTGGCTGCGACTTATTGATACTACGTATCCAAATAACCAGACGTACAAGAACCCAGAAGCGAGTTGATTATTACGCAGCCAATCATTCTACCGAATAAGAGAATGGAGCACTGGACGAACAGTGAACAGAACCACACGGAGGAATGTCGCTGTCGCTGGAGAAACAGAATTCTTTCGGTCAACGATACGTAGTACTTTGCAGTTTCGTGGTGGTATCTATTACAGTGTGTACGTTGTCTGCATGCTTTCACCAAACAAGGTGAAGATCTAGACAGAAAGGTTGATATACGTACATGAACACACATAATTAGACTACATGACTCGAATCCTTCTTCGTGTGCTTACTTTCTTTGAATGAAGGAGAAATAGAAATATATATATATATATGTGTGTGTGTATATCTGTCCAGTGCCTTTTCGAGGAGGCCGCTGGTTAAGGGATCACGGGTGATGGGATACGTAACACACACATCTTTAACAGTCACCAACTTCGTGCATGAGTCCTTGAACAGAAGGTTTCACGGATACTTCGCTCTACAAGGGTATCGCGCTGAGATCAGCTTTTCTGACGCTGGGGAGTGCAGCCTTATCATGTTAATACTTGTCATGTCAATCTCTTTTGCCATGTGTCATGTCGTGCCACGATTTTCTCGAGTGTACTCTAGTAAGCTCATTCTGTCTCTCCTCTACCAAGGTGTCCTCCCCACAAGTCTATCCTTCTTCTCATACCTCGCCCACCTATTACCACCCGGCCAAATGGGCCTTGGCACTGACGAACCTGTACCCGCCGCGCTCGCCGAGCTCGCACTCGCAGTCCCTATAGCCTCTCCTCCACTTGCCGAACTCGTTGTGCTTGGTAGTGGCGGCGCACTAGCAGTATGCGTCGACCGTGCTGTGCCATTCGTGCTCAAGTCTGCAGTCACTTTCTTCGTGCCCGTGGCTGTATCGAAACCATTGATCGTTCGGTTGAAGAGCTGGAGGGATGCGAGGGGCTGGTAGTATGGGATTTCGTGACCGGCTTCGTAGATGCGGGTGAAGGAGAAGTTGCCGTATTCGCGGGTTTCGCCGTATTGGACACCGTTGGCGGTCATAGGGACATAGCCTGCTGCGTTGAATTCGGCTGTATGCGTGTAGTTGACCTGTTTGGAGACTGCTTCGCCACCAAACCAGTTACTGTGAGTATATTAGCAGATGTACGATGTAAAAGCAGCATTTTAACCTCCCAGATATAGTCCGCGTCGCCGTAGAGAAGTGACACTCTAACGCCTGAATTTAGGATGCGCTCCAAGTCGTCTAAGAAGTTTGGGTATACAAAGTCACCGGTCTGTTGAAAAGCATAGTAGATGTTTGTATTGGAGAAACTTGTGTAGTTTGTGTCAACACCGAGGGCTTCCTGTGTGCTAGCTAGGTTAAGGAAGTCAATCATGTAGTCTGGTGGTGTTGGATCGTCGTATGGATGGCGGATGTCGTATACACCCCGACCTCCGAAGGCGTAGTATGGCGACTCGACATTGTCCCGACACTGGTTAGCAGCTTCTGTGCAAACTGCTTGACCGACCAGCGTGCTCTGGTTAGCATAGTAGCAGTACTCGATTTGAGTCAAACAGCCGAAGACGGGAGAGTATAGGGCGATCTGAGTATAGTCGTAGATCGACTGGTTGTAGGCCTGAATACCGTAGGTGTTTTTTGTCGCAAATTCTGGGTAGTATGGAGCCTGAATATACTCGTCAATGATGCCGTTTATGATGGTGAGTGAGCCGAATTCTAATGGTACACCTTGTCGAGAACCGTTCGAGATAAAACTACTTTGTTGTTGGAAGTAGTTAAAATATGCCGGCCCGTAATGACCTATCGAGATTAGCTTCTACTCTGAGACTTGTGCAACTAGCGAGGCTTTGATCGAGGAAGACAAAAACAAGGGCTGTGGCGGACACCCATGTCCCAGTATACCTGTATCGTTCTTCTCTCTTCTCAGTCCGCGTGCAAGCTATTTGCTTACCTCCATAACTCTCAGTAGCGAGATTGAAAACTCTTGATGTTATATTCGAGTTGAGCTGTGGCAATTCTGCAAGAAACGCCTGAATGATATCCCAGGCTGCGACCGCGGCCAAGTCAGTGGTATCAATCTTTGTATTGTTGATGACCGGGTAACGTCCATCGACCGGTGCTTCGGAGGCATTCAAGAAGGCACCAAAGAATGGATCAAGCGAACCAGGCTCCTTAGCACCATATGAGAAACCCACGCCAACCTAGTGTCTCGTCAATATGCCCACCTTGTTTATAATGAGTCTTTTATTAACGTACTGGTTGTGAAAGGAATAGCATATTTGATACCTCATTCCAGGAGTATGGGTTCAATTGCGTGGTCAGATTCTGTGTGACGTTACATGGACCGAGTTCTTGGAAGAGGCCGATAAGACTGTCACTGCCAGGGCCACCGTTGAGCCATAGAGTAATGGGATCGGTGGAGGGATCATTTCTGCTCTCGAAGAAGTAAAACTGTGACGTCTCAGCGAAAAAGCCTGTTCAATGACAAAGCGGACCCACGAAGCTGTGAACATCTGGTGCTAGATTGATAAAACCAGCATACGAAGCGACACCTGGCGTTGTCTCGCATATGCCTTCTTGACCTGGGTTCTTGTAGGTGATATTGAAATTGGGTCCTGTGATGGTTTGAATACCGACAGGCTCAGCAGGTAGCTGTCTTTTAGTGATCTGTGCTGATCTTTTCCAACCAGGCTTCTGCACCTTGGGACCAGGAAGGAATGCAGAGGTCACACCTAACCATGCTGTGGCTGCTACGAGCACTTCGCCACTAAGACGCATGGTAGACGCGCTTCAAAGTGACGAGGGGGAAACAGGCAGAGAGCAGGTAGAAACGATGCGGAGAACACGATGGAGAGTGAAGTAAAGATAGCCAAGCAACACAAGAAAGTGGAAGGAGTAGACAAGCTCGTTCCGCATGAGCTTGACCATGCTTTTGTACTTTACCTTGCAACATGCAAGCACACGACTGGCAAGCTAGTAACGACCAGCGATCTCCTGCGGAATTTGTGACCGCCAGTAACGACTTGTAGGAGACAACCATGTGGGATAGATCAACTGTCTGGATACACCAGCGTGCGAGCATCCACTGGAGCCGTCGCTTTTCGATCAGAACCTGAGTATCATGGTCCCTAGCCGCAAACGGAAGGGTTCAATTGGAAGAATGTGCGTGAAGCTCAAGATTGTTCCCCACGAGCAGAACCCCGGTGTCACCAGGGACGGCCCCGTTCAGGTTGTACATATACCTTGATCCATCTTGTGTATCTCAAGGCTCGAACCAATTGCGTCCTCTGATTGTCGACGTGTCCTTGACTCATGACGAGGTCAGTGTGGTAGTGAAGTGAAGGATGGAGGAAAAGCAAGTCGCGTGAAGTTAGACCGCAAAGGCTAGACCGGGAACGGCAGGTTAGATTTTGCGAAGCTTCGTGGAGGTCACCACAAAGCTTATCTCCTCCCTCACTATCAGGTGGGAGGGTGTCATTGAAAGTGGAACGGTTCGACCCCATGGTTGGAGCAACGTCGTGATTTCCTGGCAGGTATTGCGCAACCACAAGCAGTACTGAGCTACAGTAGTATAATTGTAAGTGACACCCTGAGCTCTCGCAACCTACACTACCACGCCGGGTTGAGTGAGTCCTCGTGTATGCATGTGTTAATGAGAACGACTTTTGCGGACACGTTTGGTCTATAGCGTACTGTATGAACAGTTATCAGCTCCGAGCAGAATATCCGGGTTTGTTGTTCTGGATAAGGTCGGGGTACTCATTGTGACAGGACCACCAACATTGTGCCTGATATCTGTTGACTTATTCAGGGGGGACACTTGTGTGGTTAATGCTTTCTTCGATTGAAAACATTCCAGCTGCATGCCTAAAGTTCCGCACCAGCAAACTTGATATACGAAGAAGTCAAATTCTGGTCTGAGCCACAGTAGTTCAGTCGACGTCGCCGAACACCCGTAGGGCAATAACGTAGAGCATGAATGCGCCTAAGGCGTAGTATAGACCTCTCTTCCCAAACCAATTTTGCCCAGCGTCCCTCACCGCTTCACCACCCTGCACAAGTGCACCAGACGAATGAATTCCACCCAACCTTCTTCGCAAGGCTGCAGTTTCTGGAGAGCACTGAACGGTTTGACCCGGAGGATCAGGCAAACACTTGCCAGTTCTCGGGTCTATCCTATTCTCAGTAATCCATTTCCAGTTCTCCGCATCTTCGTCTGGCCATTCTGAGCGGAATTTGACACCTCCATCACCAGCCTTGATGTTGCCCAGACCTCTCACGGTTTGTTGCACTCCAGGTGTTGGACTGGTCGCCGAGCCACCACCAGTTGAATTCCACCACCGTGATCTGGCAGCGTAGAACCTTCTTTCAGCAGGATTATTACTTATACTTCCGGCGGTCATCTCTTCACTGTTCATGAACGACAATAGGCCGTTCAGTATAGTCGCAACAGACCAGGCTGGATTGAAAGATTTTGGATGGAAATCGCTTATGCTCAAGCATAGTCTTTCGGAAGGACGAAAGCGACCACTGGGAGTATGCATTCGTATGGCGGGAGGAGCGAATGGGTAATCAGAAGGGAAAACGAGCGAGCCCCAGTACTGGCCACCTTCGTAAGGAGTGTTGGGCGCACCAGTCAGGATGTAGTGCCATTCGAGGATGTTCGATTCTGATGGGTGTGCAACAATGTATGGAGGAGGGTCTTTTTGTATGTTTTGATATTCTCTCGTCAGTCGTTTATGCGCTCCAGGAGTCGCCATGGTGAGATTCAGAACGAGCGTGAGTTTACAGACAGCCTATGCAGTGTGATCTGAGGATGTGGAAGTTAGTGTAGATCAAATGAGTGCGACCAAATTTCTATCAGTAAGATGTTTGTAGTATAAGGGTTACTAAATAGTGAATGTTAGTGAATCGCGGAAGTGATGACTTGTTCATTTCAGTGTTTGTGGTTGTGGTTCAGGCAGTAAATCGCCCAACCCAGATTCGCCGCAGACGACCAGGATTAACTGCTAGGAAGGTACCAAGCTTTTTAGAGGCCATAAATGGGCACAGTTAGGGATCCCGCACTTTCCCTCAGGCAGGATGGCTAGCTGCAGCATGACCTAAAGTTGGATTTGAGATTCTCGTGACGCGGTCGCTGACGCAAATCATACCGAAGAGATCGCACAGGGATCATGTAGTCTGCAAATGATAGAAATGATTGAAATCGGTCTCAAACGCCTGGTCAAAGGGAGCCTCAGGACATTCAAGGAGTAAGCTGATGTTGTCGTTGAGCTCACATCCTGGCCCAGCTACTTTCGTGGCTGCCAGCTTACCGAGACGCGCCTTCCATGGCAGATCCCGGTCTGGAGATCTCTGCGCATAATGGATGCACGTGCGTTTACAATCATCGCTCAATTAAGCACAGACTCGAATCGATACTTCATAGCAGCCCTTTGATCCTCGCTAATGATATTGAAGTCATCTGACGCGTGCTTGTGCAATTGTCAGGATTGTTGTGAAGTCGGATCCAGTCTCAAATCATAGATACAACAACAAGCACAACGATATTTGCCCATATTTCCACTACCACCCTGCCACAGTGAATGCCCGGCATGAACTCGAATTATGTTTCATGATTGAGACCTGAGCGACACTCCATCTACTCAAGATGGTACCAGATCCACGACCGAAACCTTCGGAAAGGCCTCCATCTTATCCTCCTTCGATACGTGAAGAGGCTCAAGAGGAGGGTACTTCCTCAGAAACCGTCAGACCTTCGACTTCCACAAGAGGGAATTCCACTTTGGACTCCAGCAGAGAATATGGTAGCTTCATATCTCCCGTTCGGTTATTTCGAGGAAACTCACAGACTATACAGGAACCCTCGATACACCTGATGCAGGCACCGTTATACGAAGGAAGAATCCAGTCTCTCGTGCGCCTAGTTCGCCTGCCATTCGGAGAGACCGCTTAGACCTCGAGAGCACACTCCCGCTGGCTGGCAACCCTCGTATGCCAGTCCCTCGGAGACCTTCTACTGCTCGCAGGCGATCCACTCACAAGAAGCCCCTGCCCTACCGAGGCGAGCATTTCTCCGTCGACGATGATGCTTCCGAAGTCGAGGAGGATCGAGGCCAATTGCAAAATCCTGAACGAGCTGGTAGTGACGGATTTCCACATTTGCCACGTACAAATACTATTCGCCGCCGCACTATACAGGTGCCTAACCTCCCTCGTGTCGACTCCGGTGAAGAGGATGAAGATGGTGGTCGAATAGAAAGAATACCTACTGCAGACCTTGCCCACGATGATACAGAAACTCCAGATGTCGATGCAGAAGGTGAGTCAACAGCAGCTGAAGAGGACGAATTGAGTGATGCCGAAAGCTTCACCCTTAAGGACAGGCAATTGGCAATCAATGAGACCCATCCCTTTGGCATCAGGATATGGAAGCCGGCCTTGTACAAGAAGAACAGATCCGTCGAGAAAACTGCTGAAGACGACATCCACTCTTCGCCTTCTCAGATCGTCAGCACATGGTTATGGGCCTTCAATATCTTGTGGACCCTCCTCTTCGGATGGTGGTTGGCCACGGCTGCAGCTCTCTCTGGCCTCGTTTGCTGCCTCTTCTTTTTCGAATCTAGTGCTCTCGCTTATGCAAGGACTTTCTTTGGTTTGGCTAATTACCTTTTCTGGCCGTTTGGTAAATTCGTTAAGCTCGAACAAGACGAACATTATGCCGACGAGGACGAAGGTGAGGGCAGAAGCATCAGTGAGTACGAGAGATGGCAGAGTGGTGACCTCGAATACGGTCGCCTCATGTTTGGTGCCCATACTCCTCACATTAGCTCCATCGTTGGCAGACATCGAGACAGCATCGATTCTGCTACTGAACAAGACAGCTTGCTGGGCCGCAGCGTCAGGCCCGATCGCATCGAAACTGATCTCACCGCCAGAAAGCGCAGACTCTTCGGTCGCGGCCAGTGGACCTTGGGCCGCATTATCTTTTTCACCTTCTTCTACTTCTTCGTCGCTCCTCTTATGCTCGTCGTTGCACTCACCTGCTGGCTGCTGGTTTTCTGGATCCCCATGAGCAGAGTTCTGACCATCCTGTTCCACCACGTACGGAAGCGACCACTAGCTCTTACCTTTCACCCTGACGTAGCCTACGCTCGGGACACCACTAAACCATCGTCAATCATTCTATGTACTTATCGGGCTGCTGGGCTGAAATACTGGAAGTACACAGTTGATGGCACAAACATCTTTCTCATAAACTTCCTGGCTGTCGTCGCTTTCGTCATTTTCGACTACTTTTTCGTTCGAGAAATCTTTGGTGTCGAAACATGGATCACGAGTCCTGGCCTGCTATTCATCCTAGGTCTCATCTCGATCATTCCTCTGGCCTACTTTATCGGTCAAGCTGTGGCATCCATCTCTGCACAATCTTCCATGGGTCTTGGTGCCGTCATCAATGCACTCTTTTCAACAATCGTTGAGGTCTTCTTGTACTGCGTTGCCCTGAGACAGGGCAAAGGTCGACTTGTCGAAGGCAGTATCGTCGGTAGCATCTTTGCAGGCATTCTTCTCATGCCTGGCCTGTCAATGTGTTTCGGTGCCATCCGGAGAAAGACACAACGTTTCAACGTCAAATCCGCTGGTGCAACCTCGACCATGTTATTGTTCGCAATGATTGCCGCTTTCGGCCCAACATTATTCTACAAAATCTATGGTGCTCATGAGCTCATATGCAAGACTTGTTCGCACGATCAGCTGGATGAACCTCGAGACTGTCGCCAGTGCTACTTTCGCCAGGTTACTGCATTAGATGACCCTTTCTTTATAGACGCAGTTCGGCCATATTGTTGGATTGCTGCGGTACTGCTCTTCCTGTCCTATGTCATCGGCCTACTTTTCACCCTCAGAACTCATGCTGCCGTCATTTGGGAGACTGAAGTCAATGAGAAAAAGCCGCTTCCAATTCCTGTGGCTCCCACGACCGACATTAGCCCAGCTGATACCCGTGGTCAAAGTATGTATGCGTCACAGGTGCTTCCCAGCGGTGATTTGCAGACACCCAAGACAGCGATCAGAGATTCACAGATGTATAAGCGGATTCTAGGCCAATCCCTTCGAGCTGCAGGCCTCGATCCTGGTCTACCCGACGGCAACGCTGACGGTAATTCAACACTTGCTCGAGATGAACATGGTGTAGCTACTCATGACCAGGCAACCAACGATACCCTACCTCATGTCGTACCTCCGAAGGTAGCCACGCCCAAGAGTGTCTTGAGTCCTAACATGCAACCTGTTGTGCCAGGTCTGTCCGAGCAAGAGAACCAGAACCTACTTCGCCAAGTCGCAGCCCTAGCTTCTACAGCCGCGACAGCTGCTGCCCGAGATGTGGTCAATAATCCACGACAAACCTCATATATGACCTCACATTCAGCCAAGGTCGACAAGCACAGACCTTCGACAGCACGCTTGGACACCATTTTCGACGCATCCCGAATGAACGATCATAGTGCAACACCACTAGCCGAAAATCATGAAGGTGGTCATGGTGGTGGACACGATGCACCAAATTGGTCTCGTGGAAAATCTGCTGCCATACTTCTTATCGCTACTGTGGCCTATGCAGCTGTGGCGGAGGTTTTGGTCGACACTGTGGACGTCATCCTATCATCTATCGATATTGATGAAAAATTCTTGGGAATCACGCTTTTTGCACTAGTTCCAAATACTACCGAATTCCTAAACGCCATATCGTTCGCTATGAACGGCAATATTGCATTGTCGATGGAGATTGGATCTGCATATGTGCTTCAAGTGGCTCTTCTTCAAATACCAGCGCTGGTCTTGTTCAGTGCGGTATGGCAGTCCCGTGTTACTGGTGACCTTACAGATTACACCTTCAACCTCATCTTTCCACAATGGGACATGGTCACCGTCATCCTCTGCGTCTTTCTGCTCAGCTATGTCAGCACGGAAGGAAAGAGCAACTATTTCAAGGGCAGCATTCTCGTCATGGCATACCTTGTCATCTTGATGGGGTTCTATTATAGTGGTCTTACTGGCGTCGATCTACTTGGTATCAACCCTGATAACACATTAGCACTAACAGTGCATTCTATGCAGAGTCTTCAAGCAAAGAGTGCTCGAGGCAGGTCTGAGCTCTAAGACTATCAGCATATTATTCTCAAGCATGGCGTAAGGAGTGGTTTTGGATACAAGCATGGCACAACGAATCGTGCAACTCAAAGCAGGTGTATTCAGTCTCAATTTAGCATTTTGAAACAGGTGAGGTATTCTACAGGTGGTCTTGCCTTCTTTGCATGGAAGGCAAGTCGATCTATATTTTAGAAGATATGAATTCGATCATCAATCCAAATGAGCCATCAGCGAAAGTGTTACAGATTTCAATCGATTCTACACCTACAACAACTAGTCATGTTCGGCATGATACCTGCCGTGGAGAAGTAGCCGAGGTTACAAACATGGTACACTTTCACACAAACTTTCTTGCTGCTTGAACACCACCCCTCACGATGATGCTCTGCTGCTGAATACCACAGCACGAACGTGATTGCTATGTGCACGCCTGTCCGGCCAAAGCATCGGACTTCAAATTCAAACTGTAATGACCTGCGACCACAGACTATTTTTCTTTTTGTGATACTGCCAAATCTGGTGGCTGAACTGAAATTTAGACCTCTAACTACTGTATAACATGAGATAGGAACGAACATCCAGATACTGACAATACTTCACCAGTGTATAGACTCTACAGCCACGCCTGATCGATTGTCTGCCTACTAAGCGCAATCAGCACGTCGATACAGTCTTGGAGTATTCTCATAGCATATCACCTCCCACGCAGCTATGAGCTTTCCCGACCACTACGGTGTCAATTTCACCAAGACAACCCACGAGAAGGCTGAAGGTACGTCTTAGCCATACTCCATAGTCTTCGAACCTCTCCATTCTCAGCAATATGAAAAGCTAATTCGCACTTCTCCCCCTTTCCAGGCCCAACACTCCCGGAGAACAACAAACCCCCAGCAGGCCAGCACTTCAATGTCGTCGTCACAGGAGCAGGAAAAGGCCTAGGCTATGCTATCAGTATCGCTTATGCCAAAGCAGGAGCAACCGGTAAGCTCCCAAGCAACACCCCTCCTACTTGCTGTTATCAGCAATCCATCCTCTCTTCCCCTCCCATCACTACTAACACACACTCACCCACCCTTAACTCAGGAATCTGCATATCCTCCCGCACCCAATCCGACCTCGATGCCCTCTCCACCGACCTAAAACGCATCAACCCAAACCTCACCATCCTCTCCCAACGCTGCGACACCTCCGATCCAAAATCCGTAGCTGCCCTCGCGACCGCCACGACAGAAACCTTCGGAACACATCTCGATGTTGTCGTTGCGAACGCGGGGATCATCAGCAAGTATATCGAGAATGAGGTGAATCCGAAGACCGGGAAGGTGCAGGCGAGGCGGCTGCCGGAAGGTGTGATCGAGGATGAGGATTATTTGAGGGTGACGAGTGTGAATTATTTGGGAGTTTATTATACGGCCAAGTATTTTGTGCCGGGGCTTGTGGGGAGGCAGGTGTGTATTTTGTTTCTTTTGTTGTTTTATGCCACGCTGCTCCTTTTTAGGACTTACATTCAATTCGACATGATGCTAACTACTCAATCACGTTCTTAGAACCAATCCTCTATTCGCGCTTTCATTGCCATAACTTCTTTGGCCGGGCACTTCCCCGTCTCAACTTTCACACCCATCGCCTACAACGTGTCCAAAATCGCCGTCAATCGCCTCATCGAGTGCATGGCGAACGACCATGCTGCTGACTCCCTCCTCGCTTTCTCTGTGCATCCCGGTGAGGTCATTACGCCACAGACCGAGGGACACAGTAATGAGTCCGGCGATGACTGGGAAAAGCTTTTACAGACAGATGTTGGGCTTGTAGGTGGATTTTGTACATGGTTGACCCACACGAGAAAGGAGTGGTTGAGCGGCAGGTATTTGAGTGTGCATTGGGATGTAAATGAATTGGAGGCGAAGAAGGAGGAGATTGTGGAGAAAGATGCATTAAAGTTTAGAATGGTTGTCTAAGGAAGACGCCTGATGTAGTATCGCAGACTCTTGCACGCGGCTTGCACTTTGTCGTCGTAAAGATATTCAACTTTACGCAGAACTATGGTCTTCTGTTCGACCAGTCTTGGCATCTTGTGACTCAAGGTCCTCGTGTCCAGTTTCCATATTCAGGCGTATTGATTCTGCCTGATCCATGAGCACTTTATTCGAAGAACCTGCTACTCCGCCTCGAAGAAGATTGAGAACCTTCGGCCCCCAAGTGCGACCGAGAACTTTGTCGCGAAGACTTCAGCCCTTTGAACTCATCTCTATGCATAATCGGCCGTACTGGAAATACCCATCGCTGTAGGTCGTGATCGTATACTGGCGTGACTATGCGCATCTCAGCCATGTTGGGTGGTCGGTCTCGAGATGGTAGACGGAGAACTTGCTTCAGGGCAGTGCCTGTGCCGTGAACGATTGCGTGAAGGAAAGATTGAGCTTCGTGGTCTCTCATGGTGGTGGTGGTGGTGGTTTGTTGGATTGAGATCGATGACTTGGTGTTTTGACTGTATTTTACTGCCAGACTCGTGTTGAAGATTGCTATCTCGGTTATCGTAGAAGGACTGTACTCGAGAGCCAAAGTATAGAACTATATGACAATGCCAGATAGCGAGACAATGCGGCACGGATGAAAATAGAGAAGCTCTTTATATCTCTTGTAATTTTTGTTATGTGCTCATTGTGGAAAACAACGAACAGGTCCTCGCCATAGAATGAGCTTGTTACCAGATCCTAAACTCAGGATAACATTGCTTCAGAACGAGATCCAACCATGGAGAAACAGTCTTGGCGTAGTAGTGTGAGCAGTATCACTAACTCGCTGCACTTCGTTTGCCACTAGGCGTCAGGACTCGAGTCAATGGACAATTTGTTCATGCCTTGCTCGAGCAAATTCTCGAGCCAGGGATCGGGTTCGTTTCGCTGAGGGCTTAAGTTGGGAGACATTGCCAGACGGGGTCTGCTCTTGAAGACGCTGTCGTAGTCAGCCTCGACGTCGAAATTGTCGTCCTTGGTAGCAGTAGATGCAAGCGACTCTTCTGACCACGCTCTTTCCAGTCTTGGTTTGTGGCTTGTAATCTTGATTGCGGTTCTACTTCTTGTGTGAGTCGGTCGCTTAGCGGATGTGCTGGGCCGACTTCGATAGCTGTCGTCAAGCGCGTCGTTGAGCATGGACATCGATTGACGTGTTCGCTCGGCCAACGAGAGTCTGTCCAGTGGCAACCTCGGCTGTGACGCGATCACGATAGAGGGCTGCTCGGTGGAGGGCTGCTCGGTGGAGGTACTAGGTCTGTGGTTCTTTAGTACGGGCTGGTTCGGTGTCTCAAAACGTGCCATTGAAGCTCGTGTTCTTTCCATTAGGGAAGGCTCTGGAGGAGTTTCTGGATGCGGTTTTAATATCTGCTGCGTGAAAGGTTCTGGTAATCCAGCATTAACGACAGGTTTTTCTAATGAGATTGACTGAAACGGTGTCAACCGATGCCTGCCAGGTTCTATTCCATGTCCGAGAGAATCGTCATTCCGGAAGGACAAGCTGCTTGTTGTAGTTTGTGTTCTTGGATTTGAGAGATTGTCGTTTTTCGATCCACCAAGGTAAATCATATTGACGTTGGATTTGTTGTTGTCAGCTTTGGTCAAGCTGCCAGATGACTGAGCTTTGTGGTGTAGACTTGCGGTTCTCAAGCTTAATTCCTTTTCTAAAGACTCAAGTAGTATGGCATGCTTGGGCACAAGCATCTCAGCAGCGGTAGAACTCACGTTATCTGAAACATGCTCCAGGTCCTTATGCCGAGTAAACAACGGAGGTCGAACACTTCGTTGATTCGTATTCGGTACTGACGCAGTATGCTTGTGGGTATCCCGGTGGTGCAAATCTTCAAAATAGGACTGCCATTTCGCCAAACGTACGTTTTGATTCTGGAGTCGTGATTGAAGGTCTTCGAGCAATGAAGACGCATTGTCGTCGACGTCACCTTTATAGGTCACAATGTGATTCAAAGTACGGCTGGGGACGCCATGTAGAATAGTGTCGACCCAAGCAGGATCGCCAATCCAGTTCTCACGGAGGACGCCTTTGATGTGAGTTGCATGGTTGGGAAGCTGAGGCACTTTCTTGGACTGGAGAGCTCTCGTCTCCTTCGATAGCACCTCGATCGAGTGTTCAATATTGTGCTGCTCCTGCTTCGTCGTCCAATCAAGTTCTTTCTTTTCATCGAGGTTTCGTTGTATACCAGCGCGACGGGCTAAAACCAGTGGTAACAAGTTTTCAGGCTGTGCGACTCCTTCAACATTGAGAACTTTCTTGAGCACAACGATAGAGAAAGCAGCAAGTAGTTCCTCAACCTTGTCTCCTTTGCACTCATCCAGCATAGTCTTCCGCAATATAACGTTGGGACCGAGCACGCCATCTTTTTTCAGCTCCGTGAGTTGTCGCAAAAGAGCAGCACGAAGATTCACAGATTGCAGGGAGGTTGCGGGAGGAAAGAAAGGTCGTAGTTTCTACATGACTTAGCAGCAGGATACTTTGACTCGTCTCGCACATACGTCTCTTGTGGCTCGTGCGTCGAACAGCTCGAACAGGCAATAGAGCGACCATTCCACACAGCGAATTCGATGCTGGAGGCTCGACTTCACGTCAAAGGTATGTAGAGTGACCTCCGGCCAATCCTCTCGTGCATTGAGGTTGAGCAGGTGCAGACTGTGCACGAAGACTGATACATGGCTTCTGCCATTCCAGCTGGTCATGATGTAGCAATGTCTAGATATTCTAGGTACGTTGTAGGAATGAGAAAGGTGCCAAGGTCCGAATCTCTGGCAGGTGCAGCCAATCGGAGTTGCTTAGTACCTGACGATCGATCTCAACGTGTAACAAGCCACCCATGTAATTCTACTGCAGGTAAGCAGTATCGTGCCGTGCACGCGTGGCAATCGCGTTCTGCTTGGTGATCGCTCCTACCTGTTTGTGACTTTATCTGTGCGTGTCTTTTTGAATTTGGAGTTCTGAAGCAAGCGAGCAAACATTGCTATCATACCGGTCTGGAATAAAGTGGTTCTTATCTTTTTATTCCTAGTTCCAGTACTAGGAAGACATCAGCACTCATCCTCCGTGTCAACTCGTCCATGTTCCGTTCTACTCAACTATTAAGAACACTTCCATCCAGATTTCGCAACGAATATAATCAGGCCAAAAATATGCAACATACCTCGCTGCTTCCAAAACCTGATCCTTGGACCGTCGAGGCTGTCGTAAAAGACCTGCCTTCGAACACTTCAGACCTTACCGCAAAGTCTAGCTCTTCCTCTCCCGTACAGTTCTTTCACTATGTCGAACGACTAAAGATCGAGAAACGTGAGGGATGGCGACGATTTGGCATTTCTCGTGGCGAATCGATCGCAGACCACATGTATCGAATGTCTATCATTACCATGCTCGCACCACCTGACTTAGCAAAGAAGCTCGATATTCCTCGCTGTACAAAGATGGCACTAATACACGACATGGCTGAAGGTCTGGTTGGTGACCTGACACCTGTTGACGGTGTACCGAAAATCGAAAAGAGCAGACGAGAAGCCGACACGATCGATTGGGTTGCAAAGAGTTTGTTAGGCAAGGTCCATGGTGGAATCGCTGGCCAAGATCTGAAGGCAGTCTGGCAAGAGTACGAAGACGCTGAGACGTTGGAGTCGATTTTTGTCCACGACGTAGACAAGGTCGAACTCTTATTGCAAATGGTTGAGTACGAGAGAGCCAACGACTGCCAAATCGACTTGAGTGAGTTCAGTTGGGTCGCAAAGAAGATCAAGTTGGACGAGATGAAGCAGTGGGCGGAGGACATCCTGCAAGAGCGAACCAATCTTTGGGCAAAGTATGAGCTTTCTCCTCGTGACCCGACCGCTGCCGATACGATACAAAAACAGCAAGACGACTATTACGATAGGGGTGAAAAAGTACAAGCGAACGGGCACGCTGGATAAAGTCAAAAGAGGGTAAACTATCATCGTGTCACTGTGAGCTCCCTCAATCTCTGTCCCAGTACTCCTCTTCTAGACTGCTGCCACTCTCCACCATGCTTGAGGAACAGGAGGGTGTCATGCGCACCAAGATAAGGTATTCTTGAATGTGAAATGTGAAATATCGCAAGGGCGCGTCAAGTCTTAAAAACCAATACGCTTCTTCGCGGCTTCGATTGGCGTAAGGATATGCTCCAGCACACAGGCGCTCATGAGTGCTTGCGTAAGGAGTGTCCACCAAAGCACTCACCTCTCTGGTCGAGACGTCCGCGCGTGTTGAGTTGCACTACTTCGTTTCTTGCCTCACACGGGATCTCATACTAAACACCCGCAAGCTTCCATCATACTACAGCTTCGTTATGCGAAGTAGACGCCCTCAATCCCTATATGAGAAGCCTCGGGTCATGAAGTACGCGTCCCTTTTCCTCTTCTCCTCGTCACCTTTCTGCGTATAGAGGGATCGTATCGTCTCGGTATCGTTGGATAGTCGCTGCTTCTTCTTTTCCACTTCCTCCTGGATCACCCGTTGTGTCAAACCAGCAGTCGCGGCATTCTTGATACCTGTCAATTTTGAGTCACTGCCTCCCTTCTTCACTGCTTTTACCGCCTGGCCATCCGATTTGTTCTCTTCAACATCATGTGCTTTCCTCTTTTTCGATTTCGAACCTTTGACCGGTTTCAGTGAGTGTGAAAGCCCTAGTTCGCGCAGGGTCTCTATCCTGGTCAGAATCGTGTGCTTTTCAGCTTCTGTGGTTGGTAAGATCGGAATGATGTCTCTCGGCGATTCGAACGTCTGACTGCATTGCGGGCACTCGTTGCTCTTCATCTCAACGATAGCTTCCTGGCTGAAAGCATGACCACAAGGTACAATGTAGACAGCTTTGGTTGAGTGTCCAAGCTCTTTACCAGTCACCGGGCACACCCACTTCCCATCAGCCTCTTCGAACTGCACTTCCACAACATCCTTGAGACTCTTGACTCGTCCTTGCACGAATTCCTCGGCTTCCTGTTTACTGAGAGTTGAAATCTCTTCCGGCAGTAGGAATTGTATTATCGCATCTTTGTTGTATAGATCCCCGCTATAGTCGGCTACAACAGGTATCTTGAGCTGAGATTTTGAAAGGGGACATTGTGTCCATCGATGCGCGAGGTGTTCTTTCTGTTTCTCTTTGACCTCGGTCAATGTTTTGGCTTTCGACGACTCTTTCACGAGCTCTCTGCGGGTGGGTATACTGCCTGAATTGTGAGAAGTGAACTAAAACAATGTTTCTCTTTCGACAAACTACTTACCACCATCATTACCCATGTTGTGGTGAAGCACTACCCGGACTGGTCTCTTGTCAGTGGTAATTATGTCGGCACTAGACTGAAGTTTCGGAAACGTGCATCGACTGCAGCTCCGATATTGTGTTCAACTTATGCATCGTACGTGTAAGAAGCTGGATGCGGTGGTGAAATAGTCAGGCACGTCGAACTAAATCGAACGATTGCCTCAGGCATCTAGGATGATATCAGTTTCTGCCTGAATATCGTGGCCGCCGCGGGGCGATACAGAATGGTCTTGTCATCAAATGCATTCGTGGTCTCGCAGACACACTCTCACCAACAGGATACTCTTCAGAGTGCTGCTGGCTCTCAACTCGGTTATCTCACCGAATCTCACTGATCATGAGCTGTCGTGTTGTACGAGCTGCGATTTGTGGGGATTCCAGTCAAGTCTACACACCCACTCACGATACGCGTCGTGATCTCGAGAACATCCTTACTCGTACCTGATATGGTAGATCATATCATTGGTCAAGGTCGGTCCTATAATCGGAGTTTACAGCATATGTTGAAATCTGTTCGAATCACCTTTGCACCAGGCCAGAAAGTTTTGGAAAATGCCATGACGACATAATGGAGATTCGAATGCCTTTCGGCAGATGGTGCTATATGAATACAAACGTTAGCCCATTCTAACGTGCTCAGTAAGGAGAACGTGATAAAGATTTTGCTTTCCGGACACGACTTTTCGATCTAACACACTTCAACGTATTACAAATACTGATATATTGCCAATACTTACAAAATATCACGATGAAGGTTCTCGTCACCGGAGGCAGTGGGTTTATCGCAGCACACGTTATAGATTCGCTGCTTCAAGGCGGCCATAACGTTGTGTTCACAGCTCGCACTGCCAGCAAGGCAGACCACATTTTGCAGAATCACCAAAACATACCCAAGGACCGATTGAGTTATGTCATAGTCGAAGATATTGCAAAAGAGAACGCCTTCGATGAGGCTGTCAAGTCGGATCCGCCATTCGATGCTGTCCTCCATACAGCCTCACCGTTCCACTTCAACGTGACTGACCCTAAGAAGGTAACCGAGCACTCGTCGCAAGCATACCCCCTACGAAAAATACTAATGCGGCCAGGATCTCCTCGACCCGGCAATCGTGGGAACAACAGGTATCCTCAAATCAATCAAGAGCTACGCACCCAGTGTCAAGCGTGTAGTAGTCACATCCTCTTTCGCGGCTATCGTGAATCCAAAACAGACTCCAGAAGTCTACGATGAATCCTGTTGGAACCCAGTAACGATGGAGGAAGCGCTCAAAACAGATCCTTCAACCGCCTACCGAGGCAGTAAGACCTTTGCTGAGAAAGCCGCCTGGGACTTTGTCGAAAAGGAGAAGCCAAACTTTGACTTATGTACCGCCAACCCACCTCTGGTAATCGGACCAGTTGTTCACCAATTCGATTCCCTGACTTCACTAAACACGTCCAATGAAAACGTGAGAGATATGATGTAAGTCCATACCTCGGAAGACACAGCGGCACTATCTTCAACATTCAGAGACATCAAACTAACCTCTAACAGCCAAGGAAAATTTAAAGACGGCCTCCCACCCACACGAGTCGCGCTCTGGGTCGACGTCAGAGATATAGCACTCGCACACGTCAGAGCCATGGAACGACCCGACGCCGGCGGCAAGCGATTCTTCGTCACAGCCGGCTTTTTCACGAACAGCGAAGTCGCAGACATAATCAAGAAGAACTTTCCGGATTTGGTAAGCAAGTTGCCGGATAATTACGATGCTCAGTCAAAGGAGTTTCCGTATAAGATCGACAATTCGAGGAGTAAGGAGGTACTCGGGTTACAGTACAGATCGTTAGAGGAAAGTATTACTGATTTAGTTAAGAGCCTGAAGGCTGCTGGAGCGTAGAGCATGTTTGGATTCCGAGCGGAACTAGACGGATGTACAGATAGAACTCGCCGTGTCATGTAGATTCCAAGCAGGTTTCAAAACACTATTTGTATAGAACTGACACAATGTATGCCACAGACAAGCAACGAAGTTACAGAACGAAGCAAGAAGTCCCTCTGGTTAAGCTTTTAGGTTGGTTCGTCTCGCGGCCCTCAGTATTAATCGCAAGTGAAGGTAATCTCCTCGCTTCACGTTATCTGATGGCGAGTCGTGAGATGTCGGCTGAAGGTTTCCTGCCTATTAGCAATTCAGCCATGACCAGGCCAGTTCCCAGGCTCAAACTTATGCCCCAGGGTCCATGACCCGTGGCGACAAACACACCACCATCCTCTTCCATTTCAATATCTTTTCCCAGCGCATTTGCAGGAACTTTCGAGATGATAGGATATCCAGATCTCGAGATTGGACGAAAACATAACCCCTCTCGCTTGGTTTCAAGATCATCAACTTGTAAATTATCTCCCTGACGCGACAAGCCCGTCATCGCGACCATAGCTTTTCTCATCTCTTCAGACTTGTTTTTGTCCCTGAGTGAAGCTGCGCCATTGGCAGTATCTGGCAGTTGAAGCCCAGCATCGTTGAGACCTCCAATCCAGATCTCCGGCTTTCCGTCAGCAGATAGTCGGGAAAATGCTTCCGGAGCAAATGCCCAATTTGGCGAAGGATTGCAATAGATAACATGTGAGATTCCTACTGGCGTAACTCCTGAGTGCTGGGAAAGGTCGAGTATTGGTTTTGTCAATCTCGGAGATCGCACCACAATACTATAGCCAGCTAGTGGAGTGACTGGAATTCGAAATTTGCTATCATGGAATATTGATTGGAAGACTTTCGGGGTCCATGCTCCAGCTGCCAGGACAATATTCTTCGCGTGTTTCTCGTACTGCGGAATGTCAGTACAAGAGTGTGCATACTTGCTATGGTCGGCTTTGCGGGATAGTAAATTCAGGTTCTGGTACTTACAATTTCCATGTCCTTCCTGACCTTTATACCCGCAACTTTACCCTCTGCATTCTTGAAAATACTGCAGGCGATACAACCAGTATGAATCTGAACACCTCTTTCCTTGCACCTCTCAATCAACCATTGACAAAGTTGTCTCGGTTCTACCTGTGCACAATTTCCCTCGTCGTCAAGCACTTCCAGGGCGCCATTCCTTTGTCTTGTAAACCATGCCGGACTACCGTCGTCATTTACCATCTCGTGCCTGTCTGCCCCAGGACCTGTTGCGCCGTCAGCCGAGGAGGGCGCCACACCTGAACGACTTGTGCCTGATTGCAGCCAATGCTCGTCCTTCGCCTGCTTGCCCATGCCTCTAGAATCTATAGCAAGGCTGTACACCTTGCTTGGAGCGTAACCCCATTTCCTGGCGCCGTCGTGTTTAGCTGCAAGCTCTTTGTGGAGGTTGAAAGACAATTCGCCGAGTGACGCTGATGCAGGACTGAACCAGTCTTTCGCAAGAAATCCTCCAGCATACCCGGATGCTGAGAGAAGCAGTTCTGAAGCAGAGTCAACAACGTGTATCTGGTGCGATGCAGCGAGGTCCGGCTTCAGTTCAGAAAAATGATAGGCGATACTGAGGCCAATAATGCCACCTCCTAGAATCACAGTCGCCATCTCATTTGGTAGTGAAGGTTACCACTTGAAGTAATGGTGTATATGTGATTGATACGACTCAGGCGAGGGTGGCAAAAGGGACACTGTGTTGTACCGTGTCGATCCCCAACAAGTAAGGATCCTCTCGATGTCTTCGGTCTCGACCCGTTATCTTTGCCGTGGAGGATTCGTGGCTCTATACAACAGCACGGGACTACGTACTTTCGTAGTCAGTCGAACGGGAACCACGGATCAGATAAAGACGCTCTCCATTTCGGACATTCGAGACGTGTTTGATGAATCAAGTGGTGGCATAACCGCCTGTACCGGTGTATACTTGACCCTGGTTGATGGTTTACAAAGCCTGACACTGCCGTAGGTTGTCAAAATGCAAGCGTGGCCGCGTAGAAATTGGGCAGCTGATGTCTGAGTGTGAGGGTGAGCTCGCGGGGAAGATCCTCATTATCAATCACGCAGCCAGGGCTTGTCTCTGCACAGTTCGTGAACGACGTATATGTTGAACGACCATAGCACACCGAGCCAGGGTTGTTTCCTTCACGATACTCAAACGTATCGGCTTCACGATGTTGCCTTGTCTCGAGCGCGGGTCTTTCTGACGAAGGAAAGCATGTACATATGGGTAGTCAGGCACAACGGTCTCAGATGACGCAAGTCTATTCAAGTCAAAAGTTCTTGCGAATAATATTGCTCTCTGCACAATCACCGTTTGCTGCCCAGAAACCCAGCAACCCAATTCACACGACTCTAGCAATAACATGGCGACTAGCAAGGTAGTACTCGTAACAGGCGCGTCTCGAGGCATTGGTCAAGCAATCGCACGTTTTCTAATTGAAGCACCTCCCCAACACAAACTTGTGCTAACTGCACGAACTTCGCAACCTCTGGAAGAGCTCAAGTCACTCGCGCCCGATCGTGTAGACTACGTGGCAGGCGACATTTCCGATGCAGCAGTGATCGAGAAAGCAGTGAACACAGCCGTGAGGAAGTTTGGTGGACTGGACGGTTTGATTTTGAACCATGGCACGCTAGGACATGTGAAGAGTATATCTGAGCTGTCTATAGCTGATTGGCAAGAAGACTTTACGACCAACTTCTTCTCTGCTGCTTATGCTGCCAAGGTAGCAATTCCCGAATTAAGAAAGACGAAAGGCAGGATAGTAATAACGAGCTCGGGAGCAGCCCAAGGAGCATATCGTGGATGGGCTGTCTATGGCGCATCAAAAGCAGCGCAGAACCATCTGTGCCTTTCCCTCAGAGCTGAAGAGGCCGACATCACGACAATCGCGGTTCGACCAGGCATGGTAGATACTAATATGCAACGTTCAATTCGAGAGCAGCATGTTGAGAACATGGACGCAGAAGACATGAAAAAATTCCAAGGCGCATTCGACGAAGGTAAACTCGTTAAGCCGGAACAATGTGGACATGTAATTGCGAAGTTGGCGGTAGCGGCAACGCCTGACCTGAGTGGCATGTTCCTGTCGTGGAACGATGAGAGACTTACAGACTACCAGCTGAGGAAGTGAACGGTTGCAGGATTAGCGTCCCGAAGGAACTCACAGCATCAAACGGCGTACGTCTGGAGTGACCATCGCAAGTCTGTTCGAGAGCAATGAAATTAGCGAGGCTCACGAAGATGACTGAAAAGAGGTATTGCGACATAGAAGGTCAGGCGAAAGATGAATACATTAAATTTCAACATATGGTCATAAACCATTGAGTTTTAGCAATGGAATAGTGATTTAGTCATCACAAAAAGAAAAGACAAACGCATGGCTGGACTTACTCTTAGCAAGGCACGATAGAAAGACCGAGTTGGTCAAGCATTCACGAACTGGACGTGTCTAGTCAGTGACAACTGGACGTGTCTAGTCAGTGACAACTGAACACGACAACCTCATGAATTTCCTTGCGGTCTGAGAGGCTCAGGTGTTTACAGATTGGTATCGACAGAGGTGATTAGGAATTTGATAGTACTTTGTGGTTCTTGTTCATCATATGGTTGAACCTGGAAAGACCATGGCTTAACGTACCAATAGTTACTCGATCGCGAAGTAAGGCGTTGGGAACATCCTGATCGACACATATTAGCATTGGTTTACTAACTGTGGCTGACGATTGTAGTGAGATTCAAATTTTCAGAAAGTCCTTTGGCTGGACAGTGTGAGTTCGCATGGTTTTCTCAATTAGGGGCGACAAACAAAGTTCCATCATTCGCATATGACATGTGGTGAAGGAGTTTGACTTACAACTTGGGGCAAGACGTATATTCGATGAGTTGAGCATTGCTGATTGACGAAGGAAACACAAGACATGTTTGAGTAAACAGAGCTTTAAAAGAAAAGTCGAGTTGCGAAAAATCACGCTAGTAGCACTTGCAGGAGCCAAGTCTACATGCCTGAGGCAAGAACAGGGCGGTGTCATTCAACCACCTGCAAACAGGTCTGAGGGTATTTGAAGACCGTTGTCCAGGGCTGGCGCTCATGGTGCTGGCATCATGATGCGTCGCACCTTCTATAGAGTGCTCAAAGACTGAAGCAATAATACATACTCTTTTCTAAAATGTCGGACAAGGAATTGGGCGGTGGTGAGTCTACCATAATCGCATCCGAATCGAGATTCGCGCTGACAACGATACCAGGGAACGAAGAGCTTTCGTTACCAAAAGGTTGGCAACTACAGATTAAGCCCGTTCAGTTACTAAGTGAGATCAGCGACGGTTCAGAAGATCATTTCAGAGATCCTACCTCAACTGCCGCCAGAGGTGTCCCTCGGAAATGACATGACATTTACCAAAGGTGCTCGAGACATGCTTATACAATGCTCAATGGAGTTCCTGCGTATGTTAAGTTCTGAAGCCAACGATGTGAGCGAAAAAGGTATATTGCTGCTGCACCGCATAGTCGCGACCGCGCTGATTCTCCGCAGAGAGCAAGAAGACCATCGCTGTGGAGCACGTCGAGGCGGCCCTCAAAGATCTCGGATTCGGCGACTATATCGGAGGCATCCGTGGCGTGGTGGGAGAATGGAAAGAAGTTCAGACCAAACGTGTCAACCGAGGTGAACGTATGAAGAATTGGGGAGGACTCAATGTCTCGGAAGAAGAGCTAGAGAAGATGCAAGCAGCGCTGTTCGGCGAAGCGAAGGAGAAGATGGAAGGACACGATACTCAGAACACGAATTAATAATTGACGTACAACATATACCGCCCTCTGGCAGATTATGTTTCGCCAAAGACAAAGACACCCTTACCTGCTCGAAAGCCGCCAAGGGTACCTTGAACCGCCGATTTCAGCATATCAAGGTCTGTGTCTCGGTCCCATTTACATTCTTGGACCGGTATATCTTTAAACTTCCCCGAGCGGGTCAAACGTAACACATCATCGACAGTCTGCTTCTTCTGATCCGGGTGCTTGTCGCTCCACTTGCTCACCCAGAAGCCGGTAAAGTTGATGTTCTTAAAAATCAATAACGAAGCTGGAAGTTCGAGTGGCTTTTTGCTCATGGCACCATAGGTGATCATAGAAGCCTCAGGGCTCAAGAATTTTGCAAGAGCCGTGCCAGGCTTTCCACCTACACAATTCAAGCCAACCTTGATTTGTTCCCGACCACCTCTTGTCCACTCTTTGACTTTGTCTCTGATCTCTCTCCCGAGCAACTCTTCCTCGGTAATCACATGAGTGGCTCCAAGATCATACAGATCTTTCTTCAGCTTCTCCTCCTCGGTCTTGTCCTCTCGACCTCGAATTACGTTGATGCTTTTGAACCCCCACTCTCGCCCAAGCTGAATAGCAGCCCGACCAACACCACTATTGGCACCGTTCTGAATGAACCACTCATCTTCTCTGAAACTCCATTTGCCATAATCAAGCAGCATTCGATATGCCGTGCATGGATTGACGGAGACAGTGCCCACCTGTAAAGGAGTCAGGCCTTCCTTGTCATCGATCTTTAGGAGTTGGCTCTCATCGAGTGCCTTGTGGGTGCACCAAGTTCCTTGCCCCGTATGCTTCATGATCACCCAATCGCCTTTCTGAACCGATGTGACTGCAGAACCCGTACTTACGACTTCTGCGACACCTTCGTTTCCTGCAACGGCTGAAGGCTCTGGTGTGCCCAGCAGAGTGTTCATTTCTGGCTTCGAAGGGTAGACGCCCTGGATCTGATTGATATCGGCAGGATTGATGGGACTTGTGAGGAATCGAACAACGACTTGTCTACCAGAAGGTGCCGAGATGGAGTGGCCGTGTAATTGCAGGACGTCCTGGGGCTCTCCATTTTTCGAGTATACTAAAGCTTTGGATTGCGTATATCCATATGCAGTTATGCTCCTCCTAGACTCTATTGGCAGCAACGAACGTAAGGATCTATGCCGGCTGGTTACTGTGCTGATTCGTGGTCGAGGTGTCAGGCAGCTAGGTATCGTACGAAGCTGTGCTCGCGGCGCCATGAGCTCAAGATGCGCCATTACTCGGCTGTTCACTCATCGGAGACTCAAAGGTAACATCTAAGTAACTGTTGCCAGTCTATCACTCTGTCTCTCACTTCTCTAAAGTACCAACATAGTTGTTGTAGTTCTGACTTCTACTTCGCCGCACCTTCCTTCTAGGCTCGACATATAGTATCTCACCTTAACCAACTTGACTTCTGATCCGCTATAGCACTTGTGATGCTTCAGCATCTTCCAGTTGTCAGCTGTTGATGAATCCCGCTGCGACTGCGCGACGACTCAAATCACCAGGTGAAATTCGTAGATACTCTACGATTTACCATGATCGGCTGAGGAGTGCTCGAGGGACTCGAGCTGTCCTTAGTGGCCTTGAGAACCTCGTGCTTACCGGTAGTCCATATCGTGAGTAAAGGTCTTCATGAATTACAGCATCACTAACACAGCTCAGCAAGTGGTCGCAACATTGCCAATGACGAGGTAATTGTCCTCAAAGACAACTTCCTGACCACCGATCTCCCAACGACATGTGCTTCTCACATCCTCGAAGGGTTTCGCGGTTCTGCGACATCCATGGTTGGTCGACTTCTACAGGATGCTGGAATTCACATTGTGGCCAAGACCAACATGGATGAATTCGGCATGGGCTCGTATTCTACCAACTCGGCACGGGGGCCTGTCAAGCATGGATTCGATTCACTTGAACAATCTGTTGGAGGAAGTTCGGGTGGCAGCGCGTTAGTGGTCGCCGGAGGTCTCGCACGCTTTGCTATTGGCTCAGATACCGGAGGCTCGGTCAGGCTACCTGCCGCCTACACTGGCATACTTGGTTTCAAGCCGTCGTATGGACGAATCTCTAGGAACGGTCTTATTCCTTATGCAAATTCACTGGATACTGTGGGTATTATGTCTACCTCCGTCAAAGATGCCATATCCATCTATCGTATCTTGAACAAACATGATCCGGCCGATCCAACCTCGTTGGACCTAAATAGTCGAGCCCGAATCGAGCATGCAAAATTAAGTCGGTCTCGGGTCCCTGATCATGCGGCAAGCGATCAAGTGAGTGTCAGGGTTATCGGTCTGAGGGATAAAAAGGAGAGTGCTAGACTCTCACTCGAAGCGGGAATGAGATGGAAAGCGTATGGAAGACAATATTTTACCAAGCGGTCTTGGAGAATAGGTGTGCCAGACGAGTATAATATTCAGGAAATGCATCCCTGGATCCGCATTGCATGGCTGAAGACTCTGAGTGTACTGCAGGACATGGGCAATGATATTGTGCACATATCGCTCCCGACTACTCAATCAGCTCTTTCCGCGTACTACGTCCTCGCCCCAGCTGAGGCATCTTCTAACTTGGCAAAGTACGACGGTGTGCGATATGGTATTCCACGTGACGCTGAGTTAGCCGATAACCATGAAGGGGTGCTCTATGCGCATCATCGAGGTCAGCATTTTGGAGACGAAGTCAAACGCCGTATCCTCCTCGGAACCTTTTCATTATCAGCAGGAGCCATGGACAACTATTTCATACAAGCACAAAAGGTCCGTCGCCTTGTGCAGCAAGATTTCAACAACGTTTTCACCGTTCCTCATCCACTCCTCGAAGCATCTACAGGCAATCCTGAAGGCGTCGATTTCATCGTTGTGCCAACTGCACCAACACTTCCACCTTTGCTTTCGGAGCTCAAACATCAATCACCTCTAGATTCATACGTCAACGACATCTTCACGGTCCCAGCTTCACTTGCAGGCTTACCAGCGATTAGTGTGCCGGTTGTCGCCGACGATGACTTGCCGCCGACCTCTGACAAGAACATCGGTATGCAGATCATTGGACAATTCGGTGAAGATATGCCTCTGTTGAACTTTGTCAGAGATACCGTGGAAGCAATAGATCCACCCAGACCCCGCGAGACTGATTCCAGGATATGGACAGCACGTAGGTTCTGATATTGCAGCGCTTTGCCCGCCTGCAGAAATAGATGTACCTCGTTTTGCAAGTGTCTCTGTGCAGGCACGTCACGGTCAAAATAATTCGCCGGCCTAATGTGTGTAAGCCCATATATCTGACCAGCGAGTCAACTCGACACCCACGCGGCAGAAATGCTCAGTTACCGAGATCTTGTATCACGAGGCTTAGGACCTCATGGATTGAATAGTAGTCGGTAGCATTCAGATATATCCAGATCGAAATTGGTATTACTTGACCGACGACAGGGTAGTATCCTTCATGAACGCGAGTATATTAGCTCTACGCCAATATCTTTTCTGTTCATAGTTTACTAGGACGATGTTTGGAGAGCTACTACGTAGGCATGCGAGAGCTGTCTGTATGTCAAAAAGGCTTTGATGCCACATACTACATCACTAAGTAATAAGCTTCGAAGTATTGACCATCATCGATCGGCAAGGTTCGGAGGGGGTCGGGTTTTCGACATAGATGTATAAGCATCGCGAAGTGAATATTGAGGCACAATGGATGAGTCACAGGGATACACTTCATCTTCGGTCGTAAAGGCACAGGTATATGTATAAGTCAATCCAACTTACGACACGTTATATTAAGTCGTGTCGACCCGAGAAAGTTACACAAAATCACATCAACTTATGTAGAAGGAAAAAACCATGAACCAACAACAACCCAAAGCAATCCTCTTCGACCTCCTCACCGGCCTCCTAAACAGCTGGTTAATCTGGGACACCGTAATTCCCACCGCAGAACGCACTGTGACAGACGGCCAAACCTGGCGCAAACAATACCTCCACCTCGCCTTTTCCTGCGGCCCCTACAAACCCTACGAAGACCTCGTCCACCAAGCCGCCGTGAACGTGGGGCTATCTCAGACCTGCGCAGCAGCACTCCTAGACCGGTACGATGAGATTGGAGATAATCCCTGGCCAGAGGTTCCGGAGGTCTTGGCGAGGTTACAAGCGAAGGGGTATAAACTAGGTGTTGTCACGAATATCTCGCATGAATTGGGGTTGAGGACGGTGAGGAATGTTGAGGGGTTAGTGAGGGAGCGGACTGGGGTAAAGGAGTTTGCGTTTGATGCGGTGGTGACGGCGGAGGAGGCTGGGTATTATAAGCCGGAGCAGAAGCCGTATCGGGATGGGTTGAGGAAGTTGGGTGTTGGGGCTGAGGAGGCGTTATTTGTGGCGGGGAGTCCTTCGGATATTACGGGGGCGACGAGGGTGGGGATGAGAGTGGTTTGGAACAATCATATTGGGCTTGCGAGGAGGGATAATGCATTGCCGTTGAAGGAGGGAAAGTCGTTGGACGAGGCGTTAGAGGACTTTCTACATTGAGGGACAGCAGCTGTAGTAGGTCGTGACGAGAAGTGTGCCACGAGCAGTACCGAATGGGAACAACAGCTTCAGGTGAACCAGAAATTCAGAGGCGATCCAATACGGTGTGTGAGACAACACGTTTTTGCCATTTCTTAACGCCGTTCAAGAGCACCATATCTACCTTTACACATGGTATCTCAAGTTGACGAAGTACAATTTTTCCTTCCTAGCTTACAGTAGTCTTCACTTCAGCCTCGCCGAAATCTTAGAACGTTGATTGTTCAATCGGCCTGTCTCCGACAAGATTTTGGTTGCTTAGTTGTTCTCAGGTCGAAGACCTCTGACAGCCTTTCCGGCTCGCTGCGTAATGATTAGCATAAAGCGTACAAGGAGCGATATGAACTTACCCAGATTTCCAATTCCCTGATTTCCTGCATCTCCTTCTCATATCTCTCTCTGTAATCTGGTGCGCTGTTGTATTCCAGCGATCGTTTCGTCTCACTGCCGTCCTTTACACTATCGTAAAGGTCGTTGAACAATGGTTTCAGTGTATCCTTGAATTTTGCACTCCAATCAATGGCACCTCTTCTCGCGGTTGTGGAGCAAGCGGCATACATGTAGTCCATGCCATTCGCTGCGATCAAAGGATACAAACTCTGAGTAGCCTCTTCCACAGTCTCGTTGAAGGCTTCGCTTGGAGTGTGTCCTCGCTCTCTTAGCACTTCGTATTGTGCAAGGAACATGCCATGGATACCACCCATCAGGCAACCTCGCTCACCGTACAGATCAGAGTAGACCTCCTTCTCGAAAGTGGTCTTGTAGAGGTAGCCGGAGCCAACAGCGACACCCATGGCGATAGCCTTCTCTTCTGCCTTGCCAGTAACGTCCTGGTAAACAGCAAAGGAGGAATTGATGCCTCGACCTTCCTTGAAAAGAGATCGTACAGTACGGCCTGAACCTTTTGGAGCAACAAGGATGACATCGATATCGGTCGGCACGTCGACCTTGGTGAGATCTTTGAAGACGGGGGAGAAGCCGTGAGAGAAGTAAAGAGTCTGTTGCACATGGGTATCAGCTCACCAGGTAAACTTTCATGGGGAATCAGATCTTGTACGTACTTTGCCCTTAGTCAACTGTGGCTTGATAGCAGGCCAGGTCTCGCTTTGAGCGGCATCACTCAGCAAGTTCATGACGATGGTACCTTTGCTGATGGCCTCGTCGACCTCGAACAGATTTGTGCCTGGAATCCATCCATCTTGCTGTGCTTCCTTCCACGAGGCACCGTTCTTTCTGACACCAATGATTACGTTCATACCATTGTCTCTCAGATTCAGACCTTGGCCGTGCCCTTGAGAGCCATAACCGATCAAAGCTAGAGTGTCGTTCTTGAAGTATTCATGAAGCTTCTCACGAGGCCAGTCCGATCGCTCTGAATCCGTCAGTAAGAGCGCTTCACTAAGAACAAGTACACGGTGACTAACCGTAGACGTCCTCCTTGGTTCCGGCAAAGTCGATGGTCTTCACACCTCGAGTCTGTTGCTGGACAGGAGCGACAGCAGCTCTCTTTGTCTGCGCAACGACAGGTCTCGAAGCAGGTGCGGAGACGAAGCTGCGTTTTGGTACAGCTGGAGCTGGAATTTTCTGCTTAGTAGCTCGAAGAGCTGTTCGAGCGAAAGATTTAGAAGCCATTTTCTAGCAGTGAGATCAATTCAGAATGAGAAAGCACTCTATAGGTGAGTCAAATGGCTGTCGCAAGATCTGGGGAAAATTATTTTGGCTCCAAGAAGCAGGCATAGTGAGCAACCAAGCTGACTGGTGCTCTGGAGCTGCAGCAAGACCAGCCTCATTTCTTGGCAGCCTCCGAAGTCGGCCAACCAGATGATCCTCGCTACAAAGACGTACTGGGATGAGCACTACCAGGTCTCAAAGGCATTCAAGTTTGTGGTGAACCATTTTGACCACTACTAAGTCTCGAACAAATAGATTCGAGGATATCAATCTACCTGTATGATCCCTCTTCCAGCCTCTAGAATGTAAATCGCTGCGTGGTATCATAAAATATTGCTAGACATGGACTCTTCGTTCTTGTTATCCTTCCATCCAGCTTGAAACCCATCCTTGAATATGGCATGTCACGCCGAAATGATTAGGTTCTTCATGTTGTTGCCATGGAGCCTGTCCTGTTATCACAGGCCAAGGCTAATGACCAGTGGTTCGTCTCTCAAAACACCAAGCCATAAGGTCGACTGAAGTAATAGTTACTGATCCGTTGTGTAATTCGTCTTGCCTGTAGGTTCGGGGTTTATCTGGTGAGCACTCGATCGTAAGTGATGCCCTTCACACTCCCACCTGTCATGCTTGTTTTGACATTCCGTCTGAAGTTCTCCCGGTTCGTCCTCAAATCCTCAGCTGCCTCTTTGTTCAGCGGATCCGATGCGTTTGGTTCGAGGAAGAGAAACTGTAGGCTTGTTAGTATGCATAATTTCGTCTGTGAAGCGCGGTCTGAAGTGTGCTCACCTGCATGCCCACAATCACGGCGTTCAGATTTAGCACCGGCTTCCAGTCTTCTCTCAAAATGTTCAGACAGACGTTGCCTTCCAGATCAATGTTCGGATGGTAGATTTTCTGTGTGCATTTGACTTTCGGCGGATCGTGAGGGTAGTTGTTGGAGATAACGAACGTGAATTTGAAACTGCCTCCTTTGTACATGCCCTCGTCTGGCTCGATGGTAAGAGAGAAGTTGAGAATATCGTCCGGATTTTCGAAATCAGTGCGCATTGTGCTGCCAAGGGCCAATTCACTGAGATCTGGGATAGGTTGTCAGTGAATTGTCGACGTGCTCTATCGAGGTTGAGATCATACCTTTTTGAACACGTAGTTGGGCTGCGGTGACCTTCTTCTTCTTCTGCCCTTGACCCTCGGCCTGCGCATCTTTCTGCTGTTGCTGTTTCATACTCCATACTTTCAACATCTTGACGTCGCCTCGCCTGGATAGGCACTTGAGCTGAAGTCGTGGACAGTGGACGACGAATTATAAGCGATTTGACGGACCGGGCCCGCGGAAGGGGAGAGATTTGCCGTAGAGAAACGTGGTATGGTGGTAGTGGGATTGGAGGATTTGAATCAGTGCACGCGAGGACCAAAGGTCAATGTACTACTATACCTATCGCTGGCGTCATAGCAATGCCTGCGACTAAAACAATCTCAGCCTCGGAAGAGTTGCTTTGATCGTGCAGGAACCCTGGCCATAAAATATTCACAATCGTTGCGGTGCAAGCACTTTATCTTGAATGAACCTATATTGGTGGTCATATTACACCATGCTTGTAGAAAATATCGATCGTCTGTTGACAGACCTTTCTTCACATGAAACTTGTAGTCTAGAAAACTCCTAAGTTGTTTTTGACCTTCCACCACCAGACTACCTCTTCAAATGCAACCGGAGAACCCAAACAACTCTGACGCGCCTGCGATGGTACATGTATTGCAAGCGTGAGCTGCTTACCTCCTAGCGAAGCAGCACAGAAGACCCGTCTTGCCTAGAAACCATAAACATCCGAAAAATCGTACAAGTGACAACGCCGCCGTAATGTACAGTAGAGTTGAGAAGAATGTGATCGAACGCTCAGTTGCGGTAGACTAGTGTCAACGGTTAGCTTGTACTGTAATGAAGGGTTGATTTGACTTACTGTAAATCCAAAAGTCGACAAACTGCCAGAGGTGATACCAGCTGCCAGCAGTGCATTAGTAAATATCCACGTAGATACCAGCCGAGTTCTGAAGTTCCGATACGAGTCCTCCAGATTTTTTTCGTTCTTTTCTTTAGGTGGATTGTATGGTGACAGTGCTCGTCGCACAGTAGCTTCAAACTGCGCATCGATGTCGGCTTGTGGCTTATCAATTTCCTCTATGACTGCCGACTTCCCTTTCTCGTCTTTCTTCGTCTGAGCAGAAGGCAGTACATCCGCCTTGTCCGCACCCTTAGTACCCCACGAGACATCGTGCCAGTTAGAGAAGGCGTAGATCATGAGGATGTTGATAAAGGAAGGCATGAGCGCAAGGTACTGAAAGAATGACGTGAACATGTGCCACGGGTCCAAATAGAGGAAAGATGCCACGTAGTACAAGCCGAAGGTTGCCGCAAGCGCGATGATGATAATGCCAGACCCAGCTCCCGAGAAAAAGGATTCAAAGAACGCGTCTGCTCCCTCATTGAGCTGAATGCCTTGGCCGTATCTGAATCCTCGATAGACCAAGTAGAAAGCATCAACGATGACATATGCCTGAATGATGCCGAACACCACAAAGGACATCATGTAGGCGACACGCGAACCCTTCGGTCGATTTCCCAGGGCTAAGATAAATTGCAGGAGGAGGAAACCTAGATAGCCATACTGGAGCAGTGTATTGACGATAGGTGTGACCTTGTTGCCAAAAGGGAAAGCATTTCCTTGTTGAGCTGGGTTATCAGCTCCTGGAGGTTGACCGACTAAATCCATGATGACCTTTGTCGTCAGCCAGTAGGAAGCCAGGGCGAACCAAGACATGAGCACGGTGACCATATTGTAGATCATCTGGATGTGAAAGAAGAACATTCTGATGATGTTGTGACCTGACTTGTACATTCGTCCAAAATGCATCAAAGAATAGAGCGAGGCTGCAAAAGACCCATTAAGCCATCGACGGCGTTGGCCAATGAATTCAGCTGCACCTTCGGGCACATCAGTCTCACCCTTTGATGCTTTGACGTAGGTTAGATGCCATTTTGATCCGGCCTTGGCCACCAGTTCGAAACAGAGGATACGATCCTCGGCCAAAAACATATTCTTCTTGAAGATGTTCATGCCTTCGATACCTTTCTTGCCAAGTCGAGCGGAAAGAGTGTGATCGCCGTGAAAGTATTGCTCAAGAGGCCGGCCCATGATAGCTCGATATCTGTAGGCTGAGAAAGCGCCAGGAAGCACCGAAACGTAACCAAAGGAGGATTCGAGTGGTTTATCCAGAATGTTTGAGATCTTGTACTCGAAATTCTGCGCTGCGACCAAAGGATTGAGCAATTTCTTCCAGCCATGACCCAACATGGCGTGAATCTCACCACAAGAACCACCAAGATCTTTGTCGTTGTAAAATGATTCCCACAATGCGAGAAGCGATTTCGGGCCAGGTTTGGTACCAGCATCTAGGAGGATACAGACTTCTGGGTTTAGAATTCGTCCAAACCCATTGAACAACCATCTGTGAGAATTAATCTTCTTGCTGTTCTTCTGTTTCAAGCAGAATATCATCTGTACTGGAGGCAGATCGGTCGCATCGTTGTTTGTGGGTCGGATGAGTTGCTGGTTCGGTGTCACTGAGAGCTGTGTGGTATATTCGAAGATGTGTACCACAGTATCTTTGCCGTCGACATCTTTCTTCATCACGCCATCTTGGTAGATACCAACTGTAGCAAGCAGATCAAGAGTCTCTTTATCGCAGGGATCGATACCATCGAAGACCAAGCACACCACGATCTTCTGCCACGCAGGACCGCCTTTGTTCCAGAACTCAGTCTTCTTCAGGTTGACAATTTCTCGAATGTTTTGCATGACTCCGTGGAGAGTTCTGGCTGTGAGAACCTTGTCTTCGTTGTAATAGGTAATGGCAATCAGAAGCTCGGTGTGTCTGTTATACATTGCCGGCCTCAAGTTGTAACCGTTCTTCAAAGTGAACTCATCCGGATCGCAGGTTGCTGCGGTGTATCGCATGTGTGTGAATTCTTCGCTTCCACCCTCGAGGTCCGATCGGTACTTTGGCTGGATCGCGTTCTGAATGGCCGAGGGTACAGGGTAATCAATACTGAGAACGTTGCCCTGGACAAGCTTTACTTTTCGAGTGGCATAGCGCTTTATCTGTGTCTGATTTTGCCGCGCTCGCCATGCTTCCGTTGAGTCGCTTCGTACATAGGGGTTCGGGGTGGTGCCGCCCTGCGGAAAACCACCTTGATTTGGATCATGAGCGTTATTGTACGAGACATCTGGCCCTTTTGGTGGTTCGGAGCCCATGTAAGATTCGCTCAAATTATACACAGAGTCGTTGTTCCGGGTCAAGTTTCGACCCGAGTCGTCATAATGCCCGGGATATGCTTGACCGCCCATTAAAGAGCGCTCGGCTTCATCGTCATCTGGATGTCTAGTATAACCCTAAATATCGTTAGTAGTGCTCGTCTAGCTTCTTGAATGGTTGACTGCTTACACTTCCATTGTGGTCTTGCAACGGGTACCCACCGGCACCCTGGTAATTACCTGCCATATTCAGCAGTCAATGATCGCGAACCACTCTTCACAAGGATTGTATGCTTCAAAGTGAGCGGAAATGGTAGAGCGAGAGTAGGGTGGAAGGGTGCCCTTGAAGTTCTAAGGAATGCGGAGGTGACAAAGAGACTCGCTAGGGCAAGCCTCAAAGAAATCGCTCAGCGATGACTGCCGCTTCAACAAAGAACGACTTGGTTGATTATACAAGGCCGTGACGTCTTACGGCAGACGTGATACCAGGAAGGAAAAGGTGAAAATCCAAAAGCACGAGACAAGGTAAGGATAAGCAGGACGCAGGAGAGCAAGCAGCATGTATGTTTCAGATGGCTTCAGGGTCTTTCTGCTCGCGATCCACGTTTGGCATCCTGGCTGTGAGTCTGCGGTTACTGGCTCATGTTGGGGTAACAACGACCAATCAAATGCTTGTCGGATTGTTCAAAAATCCATTGAACACAGCCGCGCCATGTTCACTCGTCACTCGTCCTCTTGACGATCTGCGCTTCGTGCTGTTGTGTTCAGCTTGGTCTTGTTGCGCGCCTCAGCAGCGCCCGAACAGTGGCTGCAACCATTCCAGCCATAAATTCGGATTTTCCCCAATACCAAAAATACACCACTGCCTAAGATGCACATAGCGAGAGCTTGTTTCAGCCTGTTTGATACTACTGTACAAGGAGTGCATGGCAGAGAAGCACTCTAATGTCACTATTTGGACATGGGCAGCCATTCTACCTCTTATATTTGCGGCAATATTCATCTGGTCGAGTGTCATTGCTGTCACGGCTATGATCATAGACGTCTAGACGATTGAGATCAGAAAAGACTATTCTTACCAGTCCGACACGATCGCACCCAGTCGTCGATGTTCTTTGTCTAGCATGCACGATAAAAGTTGGTCGCTCACATGATTCTTGTGAATTAATCAAGTATACAGATTCAAACCTGTAAAGACAGAGGTCCAAGCTTATGAGAAACCACTACGCCTCCAACATCTGAGTCAATTCTACAACAGCAGTATTCAACGTCAATCTTTCTGAGACGTCCCCAAGATAGCACTTCCACCACGGCACTTTGACCACACTTTGTAGCACCTACTGCAACAGTGCAAGTGGAATGCAGAACACGTGAGCCATCCATTCAGCTATGTCTCCGGCCTAGAAGCTACAACTGTCGTGTCAGCACTAACACTAGTCATGGTTGACGACGTCCACATGGCTAATCACTGAATAAAATTGTGTTACCACAGTTCTGGCTTCGGTACTACATATCGTCTTGCTTGTGGCCACCACACGCCACATGGTCGGTGTCGACGATGTAACACAATACGGCACATTCTACACAGTTTGATGTCACACAGTCGCAGATTGGGTACAAAATACTTGAATTGGCGCATGTATAACGAGACTACAGTCAGCATCTTATCAACAGTCAGCACTACCGCCATAAAGTAGGGCAATTACTTTGGATCACGAAAGGTTAGTCTCATCGGTACGCATGCTGAATGTCGTCTCGAACGACACAAGGCTAGAAGACTCCCAACTATTGAGAGTGAAAAAGAATGTCCTCCATTAGCTTGCAGATACTATACTGTAGATGATGTCTTTCCTATGAACACGAAGTCATCCCAACAAGTTGGAATTCCCGTACACATGCTCTTTATGGATCGTGAGGCCTCAAGCCTTGCTTCGAGACTATTTTCACGTTGTAGCTGCGTCAATTAACGTACATACCGCCAATGTACCATATCAACCTGTTGTAGATTGTCAGTAATTTACCATTCGTATCCTGCGAGCAGGACTTTAACAGAATAAATGTGGATGGTTACAGTGCAGGGGTTTGGCCCGCGTTTTGTGCGCCCGAAGCATTCAGCAACATTCTGTGGTCGAACCCACCGAGCTAGTACTTGCCACTAAACCCAACCCGGAATCGATTGCTCCAGGCACACTCGGGGCTGTCGCCACGATGTGACACGAATCAGAAGGCCTTGTGTGCCCCTTCAATCTCGTCGACTCCGCTTTCAGTCGAACGTGTGTCGCAGCCGACTCCTCTACTGCTGTGCTGTAGGACTTCCACCATCGACTGCTTCACGACAATTGACTATTGCTCAAGTGCTAGACACAACAACTCGCCGCTCGTTAATCTTTACTCAACAATATCGCCGACCCTCATTTTGCTTCAGAACAAACAACGTTCAGCACGACATTCTCTCGAATTTGACATTAACTCTTCTGCAATACGTATAGTTACGACTTTGACAATCAACCTTGGGATGCTCACGTAGAGCCTGGCGATTATCTCAAGGCGAAACCTCTTACACCATACAAACTTTGGAGCCAATCCTCGGGGCGACTTTGTGCTTGGATAAGCCATTAGGATAGACAACAAATCGTTTGAGCGCACGATCACGAAGGGAAACAGCGAACCGTCGTGGCGATCGCCCGCAACATTTAGTTCTGAGCCATGACTCAATCAAGTGGTAGGCAGCATAGACCGTTAACCATTGCTCACGTTTCTGACGGACCAATTCAGCCAGAGAAGCCCTCAACATCCTCCTTCGACGCTGCGTAGAATGCCCGTCCACACAGCCGAGTTGTCCATCATGCGGGTCTGATGAGAGCTGCTCCTTGGTTCCACAGTCATGCACTTCCTGTGCATCGACGACTTGTATGAAACTCAATGAACTGCCTGGTCAGGTCACAGAATCCAAACCTTCGACTCCTGTGGGCCCGATCGTCGGAGGCGTGTTAGGTGCTGTTGCCGTGATTGCGGTAGGTGTGTTTTGTTTATGGGTTTTCTGCGTCAAGCCGCGAAGGCGCAAAGACACGTGGGATCCGCCAGAGAAAAGAGATCAATCGAACCTGGCCAGAGACGGTAGCCGGACACATTCTATTGCTTCCACGGTCCTTACCAGAGCATCAAACGTCATCCAGATTGCATATATACCAGGCGTCACAGGTCGCTCACCACCTGTTTCTCCTGGAGTACCACCGCCAATGCCGACTATCGCTGGAACGGCGAACAGCACCCCACAACCTGACACCCACTTCTTCATGGCCGATGATCTACGTAACTCAACTTGGTCGGACACTTCTGTCGATCCTCGGATCAGTCTTGCTCCAAGTCTAGCGAGGGCCAGCAGCGGTACTACTGTCTATTATGAGAACGCTGTTATGCCTCCGATCCCAGCTCAGCACGCTATGCGTGCACAAGCAAACATGGTAAACGTCAAACAGATTGGAATTCCAAACACGAGCACAACGGTGACACCAACCAGGCCTTCACCGCTCTCAGGTGGTGGGTCAAAAGCTATCAACATCAACAACAGCTCAATTGTGGCCCGCAATGTTACTGCGCGACCGATCGAAGTCAAGAAGACCGCTTCAGGAAACCGGGTTCCGACTCTTGGTAACCTAGTAAAGGCGAACTCACAAAGGTCAGCAACCGCTGTAAACACTGCAAGAACTGAACCCATCCTGGACGAAAAGGAGGTCGTTTTCAGTCCTGTCACTGATATCGATGATTCTCCCACCTCGCCGCTTGCACCTTTGAGAGCAAGGCAGTCAGATATGAGCTTGGGTGGAATGGATGCATCCGGGACCAGCGCTTTGTTACCACCTGATGGTCCCCTAGGACCGCAGAGACCTGATAGTGGCGGCCTCACAGCTATGATTGAAGACGCAATCAAGAGCGCCTCCGCCGACACCAGGAGATCACCTCGGCCTGGCGCCGCAAGGAACGATTCTGGGCCATTTTCCGATATTCATGAGCTCCCAAGTAGTGGCTCGCCATGAGAGAACTGCCGGCTTCTTCAGACGTAAAGATTTTATCTGCGAAGATTAGAGAAGCTTGTTCAGCAGCTGGGCCTAAGTTAGAATCGCACGGATCTTCTTCGCATATTGTTTTATATAGAGATATGTCGCCTTCGAATCTATCCTTGTCTGAACACAATGAAAGTCTCCACCATGCGCCATCGTTGCATACGCCAAAGACTGCACTCGCGACCGGCTGCAGAAAGACGTGTTGTGTTTCGGCTACCAGCTAGTTGCCCTCACGCGCATGTTCTCGTGCTGTCACTTGTCTATCCTGTTTTGAGATTGTCATGCTGATACGCTACACCTTGTAAGGACAGCTGTAATAACCAGGCGTTGGATAGTGGCCAAGATGACACCTCGTTCCCCGTGCTGGGCGCTGAAATGACCTCTAGCGTCACGAGGACGACCCTCGAACTTTCGTCCACCACTTAAAGAGCTTTACGTATTACTCGAAGGTCAGAAGTTATGCTTTCGTTTCCCTGTGTGCTAGTGCAGCGTTCCAGGTCAGGTGTTGCCGTGCCTGACAAGTCAGCGGTAACACATTGATCGCTCCTGACTACATCGATGCTTCTGATGCCTGCTCAATCTCTCTCAGCTGTCTTACTGTTGTGACCATTGTTTGCTTTTAGACATCACTATCTCATCCTAACATACCAATAATCACAATCCTACTGCAAGTCATCCTTAGCAAGATCAGCTGTACAGTCACAATACCCTAAAGCCAGGACGCTACCATCACCAGCGCACTCGCAACCATGGACTTCCTGCGAGGACAAAAGATGGAGGAAGATCCTCTAGAAGCACAAGGTCGTGAGAAGGCCAACTTCGCACGGGTGGAAACTATGCTGTTCGAAAAACTTACCAAAGCTGGTGTTTCCTCCATCTCTTCCACAGCGGCACTGAAACTTCCCGGCGCTGCTATAGAAGGTCTGTTCGGCTGGCTGGGAATCAAAAATCCTCTGATCAGGAATGCAAGAGCTGATCGAAATGAGGTCTGGATACTTGACAATACAGCCTTCAAGACGTCGAATTCAGCTGCCTGGGAAGCTGAATTCGTCACCGCCTTTTTCCAACACGGTAGAGGAGACCTGACCATGGCAGCAGCAGCTATAGTAGACGCAGTTGGGCTCGATGGGAACCCGGGTGCCGACAAGGACAAGAAGGCGATCATCGAGGAAAGGCTGAAGCCATTCATCGATGCTATCGCGCCTGCGAGGACACTGCCTGTTGTCATTCAGCCACAAGGCGGAGAAACAACACGTCAAATTTTGGGCCCCTCCAATACAAACGGCATCAGCAGTCAGATCCTAGAGGTCGCAGACAGTAGTCAACAGGACGGTGCTACCATAAGAGTAGAGTCCGATACTGGAGTCAGACATTTGCCTAAAGCCACAGGCGCAACAAGACTCGTTAGCCCTGAGGGTTGGGCCGTCATCAGCGACATCGACGACACAATAAAGATCACTCAGGTAAGGCTGATATGTGAAAAGTCTTGAGTGGCTACTAATAGAGAAACAGACGCCTGATCCTGTCGGCATTCTTCGCACGACGTTTACTGAACCAGCACAGTTCACGAGCCATATGCCAGCATTCTACAAGATCCTCGATGAGCAGTTGCAGAAACCAGCTTGGTTCTATCTTTCGGCTTCTCCGTACAACCTGTACCCTTTCCTCCATCAGTTCATCTCAGACTATTTCCCACCAGGAACAATCATCCTTCGTGATGCATCCTGGCAAACGCTTGGTGGTCTACTGAGCTCGCTTACCCAAGGTGTGAAAGAGTATAAGTCAAGTCGAATCGACAAAATACATGGCTGGCTACCTGATCGTAAAGTCATATGTGTGGGCGACTCGACCCAGATGGATCCCGAGACATATGCCGCCATGTACAGAAAGCATCCCGGGTGGATCAAGGCCATCTACATTCGCAAAGTGCTTGACGCGCCGTTCATGGAGGAGAAGAATCAACCAGAACGCTTCGAAAAAGCATTTGAAGGTATACCACAACAAGTGTGGAAGGTCTTTGTACTGCCGGATGAGCTGAAGGACCACGTCGCTACTATGGTTGGAGAACAGCATCAAGGCGTACTAAGTACTCTATCGAGTTTCTTCTGTGGCGAGCAAAGAGAGCATCAACAATTGGAGCAGGACAAGGTCAAGCATTAGTGGAACTTTGGATCGTGACGGAAAGAGCACGGCATACAGTGATTCGGTCCTCTGAGAAGGGCGTTGGCGGCGATGTTAGATTGGTTGACTGGTATCTTCATGGCGTACTAGGTTGCGAGAATCTAATCAGCGAACCTCCTGTTACTCTTCACCTAGGTATACCTGAACCTGACCTTTCATTCGAAACGAAGTGCTGTGGTATTTAGTAGTAGATTTAGCAAGTGGGGTGTGTTTGCATAGCATATTGCACGTCATTGGGCAGAACCACGCACGAAGTTTCGTGATCCGAGCCTGCAGAAGGACTGCGACACAAGTAGCCAATTCCTCCACTTCGATCCAATACTGTTCTCTCTTCGTACGCACATCCAATATGCCTTACGCCTTCGACAAGTGTCCTGAGCGGCCAGCGAACATCGACGCGATCCTCAACGGTTTAGACAGATACAACCCAGAGACGACAACGATATTTCAAGAATATGTCACACAACAATGCGAAGAGAAATTCTTCGACTGCTATGCTTGTTTAGCACTGCTTAAACTGTATGTCAAGACTCTCTGTCGATGACTTGCACATTTCGCACATGATGCAAGAATCTAAATTCTTACCACGTTTCCTATTACCTGACGATTCCGTGGAGATTGAATATTATTTCTATCTGAGTGCGCAACTGCCAATGGCACTAAAGGCACAACAGACAGTTTTTCATTGTGGACTGCAAGCTGACATTATGTTCTGCTAGATACCAATTTAACCCACACCTCCTACACCCCGAAACAGTGACCAACATTCTCGTCAAGTCGTTGACCATCTTCCCCTCTCCAGCTTTCAGTCTTGCGCTCGCCCTCCTCCCACCTTCCACCGTTCCCTTTGGCTCGAGCAACTCCGGCCTTCCTACTACAGAACTTACTGAATCGATTCAAAAACTCACACATCTCTCTTCGCTGCTGGAATCAGCACAATACGATGCCTTCTGGTCCACATTGGACTCCGATGATCTCTATGCCGATCTATATAGTGACGTCGCAGGTTTTGAGGATCTGGTGAGGATCAGAATTGCTGGAGAAGTAGGCAAATGCTTTAGAGAAGTGGACATGAAGGTCTTGAGTGCCTGGTTGGATCTGAGAGGAGATCAGTTGAGTAAATTCGTGAATACGGCTTGTGGGTGGCAGGTTACTGGTGAGGAGGTGAAGATTCCAAGTAATAGCGAGAACGAGGCGAGGAGTGAGGTCAAGGGGGAGAGGGTAGGAGTGGAGCAATTCGGACGAGTGTTTAGAAGGGGGTTTGAAAGTGCTTGAATGGATGTCTAGGAAATGAGATCATGAGGGACGACGAACACGACGAATTATCACGAAATTCGAATTCAACTTGATCGGCAGATCAGTGCAGGAGCTGATACGAGCTGTGAAGGTAATGCCTCAGAGCTATGGTTTTGTGGCGCTCAGACAGAACCTACGGCTACAAAAAAGTAGATCCGGAACTGAGTCCACTTCTTCGGTACAGCCTTTGCAAGTTGAAGAAAGAAGCAGCCACTTGTGATTACGCGAAGGAAGCAACGGTTTCGAAATAGCAGGTCGTTGCGCATCCTTTGCGTCGTGCACGTTCACAGACTTGTCCTGCACCTAAGAAATATGATCACTGGCTGGTCCTTGACATCACTTAGATCTGGCCGAGTGGAAGGTCGAGGAAGGCCGCTCTGACCGAGAAGCGAGTGAGTCCTCGCAGGTTATAGCAATTGGGCAATACCAGTCGCCAGATAGACGACGTTGTGATAGTACAATCGACGCTTCATTACCGTGGCAGAATACTTCCCAACTAACAACCACAAGCAGCTTTCGATCGAAGTCAACCATGTCCATAAGCGTTATTCATCATCCTGAGCAGGGTTTGATTTGTATACCTGTCAAGTCAGTAAGAAGGAAGGGCTACATAGCACATACTCAATATCTCTACCTCAGGTTCCGGCACCTGGGATGAGCACACAGTCTCACCCATCCAATCCGGCTCCTGTCAGAATGAAAGAGGTTTTATCCTCGAGTTGATCATGCACGTCTTGCTGACTGAGCTTGCCCTGCAGGACTCCTCGAACCAATCGCACGCCAGTAATTTTTATAGAAACATGTATGCTAGTGTTTCCAGAAATAGCTTGATTATGGGCCGATGTAATTGGGTTGTTTGTTTTGTCAATGCAGCGGTTCCTTCAAAGCTGGAAAGTTCCTTCCACAAATCTGGGCAAGATCAGAGACTTAACCTTTGCTGCACTCGAACACCTTTCGTTCGCACAACACTTTTCGACCCAAACTGATGATCGACACGAAATATCGGACAGATGTGTGTTGTTTGATGCGAGTCACTGCGAGTAACGTTTCAACCGAGTGCGAGTCGATGACCATACTTTCCACGACAACAGCTGTGGACACTCTTACAGTCTTGGAACTTTCTGTACAAACCCAATGACGTCCTTCTACTGGCAATCATACGGAAGAGGAGTTCGAACACATGCACAAACGTGGTGCAAAATCCCTTGTGTCCGAAGTCCACCACTTGCCTCATCGATCGGTAGTGTTTGGTCATCTTCAGAACAACGAACACACAGTGCAATGATATACAGTAAGTTCGGAGGCTCGTCTCTTCCGGAACAAGAGCGAACTACTGGATGGGAAAGAACAAACCCAAGAAAGTTTTCGTGCACCTGTACCTTTTCGCCAGATCATCCTTGCTTCTGATTCTGTTGAGGCTTTCATAGGTGTAGTCACCCGACATAGCATGCTTAGCTATCTACAAAATTGCAGGCAGTTCAGACGTCGAGCCGCGTAGCCCCTCGACAGACACAACGTGGACGCGAAGACACTACTTTAAGGGGACCCTCGATGGAGTATGGCGGAACACTGGCAACGTGAGCCTCAAGTGGAGCCTCCCAAGTCTCTTGTGAGAACGAGTCAGACGTAATTCTTCCGTGAACCTTCTGTGCATGAACCCAGCATACGTAATATTCCACTATTCTACAACAGTCATCACAAGCGAGGCTTACTGATATGTGCCCTGCACTCTCATCAAAGCTACTGAATGTATCAGCAATCATCGAACTGATTTGAGGTTAGGCGTCTTGCAGATCCTGCCCTCGTGCCAGCTATCTCGAGCGATCCGAGCGATTGACAGTACTGTGACATCGGCTCGCACCATGTTTGAACGCGAAGCGGATGTCACTCGCTTGAACGTTAGTAAACATGGAGCAGTCCCCATCGAGCAACGAACCATTTGACGTCGGTCAAAAGTTAAGCATCAAATTTAAGGCCTTCCTCCCTGCTTGAGCTAGGCTTGAAACGGATGCTGACCACGAATTCTCGCACCAACGGGATCACGGCAGCAGAAGGTTACGAATATTGCACAACTTATGAGAACATGCTCACCATGAGCTTCATGAAGGCACAAGGTGCCAAAGTATATGTACGTCTCAGTTTCACCACAGATGTAGAGCTCTTTCTATATCAAAAAACCGAATGAACGAACGAACGAACGGTAGCAACAACTTGAACTGACAATAGCTCAGCCTCTTTACACATAGCACATTATTCGTGTGGATACAATTCTATTACCAACATTATCAAATGCCTGCCTCTTCTCAAATGGCAACTTCTAGACAAATCAGCTCCTTAGCAAGAAGCAAGGCAGCACGAGAATGCAGTCGACCTGAACATGACCTTCGAATCCTTCTTGGTCACATACAAGTTCTCGATCACGTAGAACGTCACCCAGCAGATCTCTATCAGCAGCAGCGCTCAACACGACAACCGCCCCCAGTAACACACCACGAGCCAGTAGACGTGGTAAAACAACCAGAAACGCCTAAACTCATCAACAGTGCCCCTGTTACATCAGGGGCAATTGCTCTAAACGATGGCGTCTCATTGTCAGCAGTGTCGGCAGTACCGACATTAGTGACTGTCGAAGAGCTCATCGACGATGATTGGGATGCATGAAAAACAACATGAACTTGTCAAAAACTTCAAGACTACGCAGCACTATACTGCAAAGATTATGCAAGAAAATGCCAAGACCGGTATTACCTCACAATTGCCTTTCCGGAGCAGCCGCAAGAAGCGAAAGTTTTCACAGAAAACACAACTGCATGACATGAAACATGCAGGGTCTTCGTGCCTTTCAAAGTTGTGGAACTGCTCGTCATCTTTCGAAACGGAAGCACAATTGAGGGCCACAAATGCTGGCTCAAGAGGTCCACTCACCTTCACGTTTAAGCACGTGACAGTTCGCGAGGAGATCAAGTTTGTTCCTTGTAGAGTTCCACCAGAACAGGAACGGAAACGAAACCTATGGTCACATCGTATTGATAGGAAGGCCAAAGTGTCTATCAGGCGCTTAAATAATAGAAGTTTGTAGTAAGATTAGCGTGCGATTGCGGAGTTAATGAGGCGTGCAATATTGTCACGTTGAAATTACAGAAGTAGTGTTAAGATATCGAAAGATTGAGGGAGAAGGGTCTTCGACCCCGTGTCGATAGAAGAAAAATGGAATCAAACACTTCAGTCAATTCAGTCATCTTTCGTGCTGCTTCTGATGATCTTTCTTCTCTTTGTCGATTGACCATATACTGGATCTTAGCACAACGTTGTCTTCCTTAGCCGTTGACCCTAACTCCTAAAAACAGGAGCTGCTCGAAAATGCCCAGCAGGCATTGCCGAGAATGGAATTATGACTGACTCCGAACCCACATATACGGTGTGAGAAGGAACGACAGAGTCGGCACATATTTGGTCTTCACATAAACCTAGTCTTCCAAGCATGACCATCCACGTTATTCAACGGGCACATGTCGCTTTTGACCTTGTAAAGCTCGAAGCCAAATCGTCATTACCCATTTCAAGGACCAGCTCGCGTCAGTGAAGGTGCACGCGTGTGCTAAAGTCTCCCGACAAGCTTCTCGTCGTCATCTCGAGATGAACGGGATGAATGACTGTGAGTGCAACCGGTCAACCTGTCAGTGAGTGTTGGTACTGCAGTTGCCCCGTAGAGAGAATTGAGCTCGTCAAACAGCGGGGGTGGCGGGGTATTAAGCGAGAATAATCACACGCGCATGTGACACGTTAATCGTCATCGGCTGGTTACTAATCGCGAGCCAGCTACAGGCTCCATACATAAGCTCAAACGAAAAGCTTGGTACTGCCGAAAGCACAACATCAGGGCCTGGAGCTGAGATTCTGTCAGCCACCATTTGCTAGTTAGCGAAGCTCGTCTTGGTGGTCAATGTCACATGCAGCGGTACACCTCGAGCTGAAGGGATCAAGCCAATCATTATCTGCCTGGACGACACGCCAGAGACACATTGCGGCGATGGACCTCGTAATCTTATTGCTCGAATGCACATGTGTACGAAGCTTATAACTAGAGCTGAAAACGAGGCTGATAAGCGATGCTTTTCTGCGGTGAACATCGTCCAGAGGCATCGACCGGTTCATTCGTGTGATCAAGTGAAATTTAGTAATACGAGATGGAAACTGGGAAGAGCTGAGGTCTTGCTTGCATACAAAGGGCAGCATGTTTCGCACGTTATTTCTCGAAGATTTCAGCCATTACTCTGCACGATCAAGTTCTCCAAGTTAAAAGTGTACAATTTATACTTACTTCAGCTTTCATCAGCATGTCACAATCAACGAAGCCTTGCTTAGTGGTACGTATGGTTACAGGTTCGCCGTAACGTCCTCAGCTTGTTCTTCCCTACTCACGTAGAGGCCCTCATCGAACCATTCTCAATACTGGAGCTGACGACCACAACAGCATTATGGCGACTGGGACGAGGTTACCGATAGCCATCCTGCCATGAAATACATGCGAACATATACCGAGATGTACGATAAAGTAAGTACGACCACACCACAGCCAGCCATTGCTATGCCTGCCACATAATCAACAGCTTCAGGCAATAATACAGCCCTTACTATCCTCGCTTTGCTTACCGCACCATATCAGCGCGACCTCGATAACCTCTACGAAAACTACATCGCCTCCGACTTCACCTACTCAAAGTCAACCGGACAGATCTTCCCTTCCGGCAAAGAATCATGGGACGCCGTCACCGGAGATTACCGACTCTTCACAGTATATCGCCACGAGCCATACATGCTCACCTGCTGGGAGACAGACGACGGCTCCGGCTGGGAAATGCTAGGCAATGCCTGGCTGTTCGCGAACCTACCTGGTGATGGGAGTGCTGCAAAGGTCTATCAAGATCTCACCGGGAAGGAATGGGAGATCAGAGTGAGTTTGCTTTTGTGTTTCACGCACGAGTTGGAAGGGCAATTTTACTGATTCTTGGCCCTAGATTCCAGCCGGCTTTTTCTTCAAGTACAGAAAGGAGGGGGGCGAGATTAAGGTGGCGTCGATTGCGATCACGAGCGATAGTGGACCCGTCGTCGTTGAGTTGCTGAAAAGGGGTGTTATGAAACCATCCGATCTAGGACTATAGGAGGTGCGAAGCATACTGAAAGTCAAATCCCAAAGTTGCGGAAAATGTCGTGGCAAGCACGCACCCAGAAACTGAATGGATAAATCACCTGAATTCTTTTGAAATTCTAATTCTAGTGGCTGTAAATCACTATCGACATTTGAACTCCTAAATTCAATCATCTAACATCTACAACGCCATCGCCATGCAAAGTGGTATCACAATACAATCCCTCCATTCCATGCAACTTGAATACTCGAACAACAAATCCAAACGCCTCCAACACTGTGTTAATAAATGCCAAGCTAAGTGAGTGGTGGTGCATAAGCTGAAAAGTCATGCACATCATAAAGGTCATAAAGTTCTTTTGAAGTAACGTAACGCTCATCCGTGTCGTAGTAAATGCCAGAAAAATGAATGTCCCTCCTCTTCCTGTCTAGGTCGTGAAAAAGGGGAAGCAGAGAATGTGAATAATGAAAAGGACTTCTGCTTTAAGCTTTGTGAAAGTGGTGTTGGAAGGAAGCGTGCTTGTGTGGGCTGTGAATGAGTCGAGTACCAAAGATGTACAGTGCCACAGATATATTCAATTAGCAGGAGCCTGTACGTTGATCAGAACATGTTGTTTCGACCCTCAGCTAATCGTGCAAGGACCTGTTCGGCGTCGTCCATCAAACCGCCCACGATTCGCTTAGCTCCAATCTTATAGATGCGGATAGCATCGAGGACGCCTCTGGTGCGGCCAAGAATACTTGGATCTAAAGCTTCTAGGTCTTTTATCGTGGGTACATCCGTCAGTGCTAGATATGTTCTTAGCTCAGCGATAGCACCGTCCGTGGGCGGCAAATGCACGGTAGCAGCTGTTGTTGCTCGACTTGACTGTGATTGTGGAGTGTTGGTGGCCGTGCGTGTCGGTCCTGTTGCAGGTGTGGAGATAGTGTATACTGAAGATTCTGCAGTCGAAGCAGAGTCACTATGAGCGTGGTAAGCCAGCAGGGGATCGTAGTAAGCATTCTCGTTCCAGGAAGATGGGATTGGGTCAGCATGTCCGTATGTAAACCAAGTCCGAGTATCGTCCAATGTGGTCGGAATTGAATGTGGAATTCGGATTGCTCGAGCTGCGGAAGAGGGTGCGAACAAAGTGTTAGAGAAAGGTTGTGTATGCGCTTGACGTTTTCGAGAAGGTGTATCTTCCTGTATTGCCTTCCGTTTCTCAGCAGCTGGCAGAGGATTCGTTGCTAGGGTTGGCGCAGCTCGGACTGTGCTTTGCACTTTCCCGCTGTGCCCGTAGCCGCGAATCCAGCAGACGAGTGTTGCCAGATAGACGGCCCAATCTTCATGCAGCATGTGCGTGGTTCGAAATGGTGCTTTCTCATCTTCGAGGTTAATGGTCATTCTCAGCACTTTCAGAGCATGCCAGTGCGCTCTGATACAGTCTGCAACTTGCTCCGAAGGCGTTGCAGTTTTTGTCATATTGACCCATCCACGGACCACGCTCTTGGCCTGGTCATAATCTGATTCAGATTCGATCTTTTTGCCAAGCAACCATGAATCTCCTGCCACTGCCAGGATCGCTCGTACTGGCATATACTTTGCCATTTGGAACACATGATAATTAAACCGTGTTCTGCCAAGTAGTCCAGATCCCTGTGTAGGACTGCACTCCTCGTCCAAGCATCTCTGAGGAGCAGTGGAATCGGCATAGATGATTTGATGCTGGAAGAAGGAGAAGTCGTCAAGAGTCGTGGTTCTGTAATTCTTACGAGCTGTGCTAATATTCATAGGGCTTGCGATTGAGGCGTTGGCAGCCCACTCCTCGAATGGGCAATTCCAAAGCGCTTCGCCGCAAGGCAATTCGAGACCTTCTTGAGCATTGAAATCCTGACCGACTGCGGGTACGTGAGTGATGATTGTGGGTCGTTCACCGAATAGCACCACTTGCTGCATGTCAAGGATGCTGCACGCATGAAAGATCCTTCTTCCAGCCTCGTTTTCCAACCAAAACGTGTGAGCCCGCTTCAGGTCGTTGTCGGTTCTTGTCGCCTTTAAAGTTTTGAAGACTGACAAGGAATTCTGACTAATTTTCTGTCGAGTTTCATGCAAGCTGGCAAATAGAGCTCTGAAACGTGCCGATGTTGCGGGTGAAGTATGTCTGGCGCAGTATCTGCTCAAGATTTCGAGAAGTAGAACGGTCTGCAGGTCTGCGATGCGAGATTTCGCCGTGATATTTTCTCGCTGTCGGAGAAGCTTTGTTGCGATCTCCTGTAGAGCCAAAGAGTACAGCCGAGCATCTGGACGCGAATCATAGAAGGAGCCTGTGGCTAGGACAGCACTAAGAAGCAGAGGTGGTGGTGTATTCATGACAAAGTTGGGCTTGTACACGATTGGAAATGAAGGATGAAAGTACTTCCAATATAGTTCTAGACAATCGAATCGTATATATCTGGGTAATTCGGGACTAGGTGAGTCGAAAATGAGTCCGGGTACCATGGATAGCTCTCGCTGTATCGTGGCGAACTCATGTCCATCCAGTTCGCGGAGGTGTTGTGGCACGGGATTGACTGTAGAAGACTGATCAGCCTCAGTAGGGGCACAGGCACAAAAGAAAAATGCTCACTTACTGAAAGATACGGAACTTGGCCATCGTCGTAAGCGCTGGATGTCAAGGCTACTGGTGGAGTGGAGACAGAAGGTATCCACGTGCCAGGTATCAATGCAGACATGTTGGGAGATGTTGAGTGGGGTTCAAAGGCAATGACTGAAGAAGCTGAGGAGATGCTTGGACGGTGGGCACGACCAAAATGGTCAGAAGCTGGAGAATGACTCCCTTCAGAGCCGTAGTAATATGGGTCAACTGCATGTGAAAAGGTAGGCATATACGTCCCAAAGCCAAGGGTAGGATCTGATGTGTTGTATTGTGATTGGGGAGGATGAATCAGGGAGCCTATCGATACTCCGCTAGATGTCGTTCTCGACACGTTCTCGGACGCTGTACTGACCAAAGGTGTTGAGGGAAGAACAGATGGTGGTGAAGTATAGATGTTGCTATGTTGTGGCCTCGACGCTGACAACAACGGCGAGGCCTCTGTTTCACTGAGCTAGGTTAGTACGAGATGGAGATGGTTCCAGTACTGGAAGTAACTTACTGTCTCTCTTGATGTCTTTGCAATAGATCCAGCCTGTGGAATGCCTTTCCGCAACTGGGCTGCTGGCATCTGAACACTGCGTCTGGGTTATGGTTCAGTTCATGCCGCCTCCTGTGTTCTGCCCGGGTGAAGACCTACTTTGTTAGTGGGATCATGACAACGACAATATCGTGCTTACCTTTCCGCATCCCGGAAACTCACAAGCATGAACACGCTTGCCCTTTTTGGCCTTGCTGACTCTACCTGTAGGAGTTGAGGCAGGAGCGACGTGCTCAAAAGTCGTGCTTGCGTTCCTCATGCTTGATGAACTGTGCCGTCGGCTTCGGCCCGACGGCAGATCTGCGACGTGAGGTTGAGGTGGCAAAGACGAAGAGTCAGTAGCAAGAGTTGGAGCCTGCAGGATCGTCTGGCTATATGTTGGTTGAGACAGGAAGGGAAGTTCTCCAGGTATAGGATAAACAGACTGTATTGGCTGTGGTGGAGGAGTCTCTGCAGGATCGGCAGGGACGGTCGGTGCTAGTGACGATAGGAATTGGCGAGATATTGAGCGCGCACCTTCGACATTGGATGAAGGCTGTCTGGGCATGGTGGTATGGGGTGTGTATATATTGATTGTAGGGAGGTATGTTCGAGGCTAGAGACATGGGTTCGCCTAGACTTCTTTGGTTACAGGACCACCGCCCCGTTGCTGAGGCACAGTCAATTTGGCGTGTTTGATAAGGTTGTTGCATCAACGACATAGATGCTGTACAAGACAAGGGAGGTAAATGACGAAGGTCTGGAAGTTCGTGATTATTGGCAGGGCTGAGGTCCATTCACACGTGGAGCCAGGAACCATAAAGGTACGAGCAGGGTGTTCTGATCGAATAGACCTAGGACTCACTAATTTAGAGCCTTGGTGACAATGAGTCGCCGATGCAGGAAAGAGTGTAAACCATACCCGGGAGGACACCCATCAGCGAATCACAGAACTGGGGCTGAGTCGATGAGGCTCAATGTGGTCGCTTGACGTGTGAGCAAGAGGCATGCATCGCAAATCACAGATGCTATACACGAAGCTAATACCAGCACCCAACCATCCATGATGCAGCAAAGATTGCTGGACGACTCAAAGGTTGTTCACATGGCGTACTAGGGGAGCGGTCGACGTGCCGAAGCTCGCACTAGGACAGTTTGACGAGTCGGAACACTGTGATTTTAGAAAAGGCGGAGTCACTGCTTGCTTGCCTAAGTATCACCAGAGCCAAAGAAGACAAGCTTGGACGACGGTACCTTGCGATCACGACAGAACCACGAATGAAGAAACTGCGGGAAGAGTAGTTGGCTGAATTGGACGAGAAGAATCTTGGAATAGTAACATCGTGCTGAACGAAGGATGAACAAGGTGCCCACCAGGCTATACCGAAGCTGGAACATGGGACATGGTGATTTGGCGCAAGTGAACGCTAAGAATTATTTTTGGAAACCGAGCTATCTTAGTACTACACTTGTCTTTTAGCTCTGCATTACCTTACGTTAGCTTACCTGCATGACCATATGAGGTACCCGGTCGCAAGTTTCTGTGCAGAGTCTGCCTCATCGATCTCTCTGCTGAGCTCACTTCGAGCTTGAGTTAATTTGAGTCGTGATTGAATACTGGCGAATGGTAATTCGTTTTTCAATGTGCTACTTTGGAAGTACGCCCAGCGTGTTTCAGATTGATGCGGTTGAAGCAGTTTATTCTTCCACATTCCAACATTGACGACCCCTGCCGACCACGTTTTATGCGGATGCTCGAGTCTGCCTTGCGCTGACAATGATGCCAAATTGGGTTTCGAGTGACGATTGTCGCAGGTTCGTCTCTAATCGTGCAACCCATGAGAGTGTATGCGTCATATTCATGCCCTTCAATACCTGATCGCATCAGGCACACTCAAGGCACGTATTGTATCTCATTATGTATCGAGTTATTTTGGGTGGTGAGCTCAACGCGGTCGATGTCTTGATGGAAATCTGATGTAGGACGTACCGAGTGTTCGTTTTTGGGTCGCCTTTGGAAGATATCATCAGAGATCAGTCCCTGCGATATCATTGACATGTACTGCAAATTTTGAGAACGCAGGAGTTTCGGTGGTAGCATGGTGGAAATTACAGGATTTATGCAGTTGGCATTCGTCTGTCCCTTACTCGAGCTGAGTTGAGCTGTCGCCGCACCGCATACATTGTCCAGTTCTGGTTGTCTGTTCACAGCTGATCAAGCCTCAGACAACTGCCATTGCATCGAGTTTAAGCTAGAAGGGGTTTGTCCAAGCGAGCAACCTGGAGTCGACCGGCTTTGATCATAGCCAGAAAGGGTGCGTCATCATAGTAACCGCTTATCCCGGTGAACAAAGCATTAAGAGCGGCAATCTGTATATTAACGAATTCTGGTCTTTCCATCTTTTGATTATTCAAGCATAGAATACAATACAATCTCACCGGCACACCACGAGCACCAGAACCGAGAGGATTCATAGAACTATGTCGATCACTTGAACAGTACAAACTTCCCTCTGATGAGCATATTGTAACGACTTCATCCTCACGCCAGCCATGCGCCACTATACTTGCCAAATCAAATACTCAGAATTGAGTGCTTCGTGTTGAGGCATGACACACGCAATGGTACAACTTTTCCAGGCAGCGCAACACGAAAGCAAAAAGGCGGAAAATAGTAGAGGGTGAATATATCTCGTTTATTCACATTCAATACTCAGTACAAACGTACTGTTGGAGACTATTGATGATATAACTACTAAAAGTACTACCAATAATTTGGTAATGGGTATCTCGTAACTTGATTCGAAGTTGATTGGTTCCTTAACCAAACCCTTGTGATGCCGCCTGCCGCCAAAAATCGAAAAAGGCAGTATGCACGCCCCCTCGAACCGTTTTTCTGGATCCCGTAAAGCGCCTTCGCTAATTGAAACTCGATAAGAATTGATTGCTCCGTGAAACCATGGTCCCGTATGATGTGCAGGTGTTGAATGCAAATCGCTAAAGTGCTAGTGAAGAAGGTCGAACTTGATAGTATAGTAAGCAGGTCTCCTTGCTTAGAACACACCAGCCAATTTCTTGAAACCCTTCTTCAAATTGCGAGTTGCGATGTCGGCACCTGACTCTGTAGATGAGGCTGAGCTTGAGGAGTCCTTGCTAACACGTCTTTGAAGAGCATAAGATGTTGGGGTGGATGGAGATGATCGGTGAAGGTTTCCAGCTCCACCTCGGCCGACATGGTAGACAGGAGCGATATGCTTGGACTGCTGCATCTGCTGGTTGAGTTCCTCGTCGAAGGAGAACATTCGCGGTGATTCGCGAATATGGTTGCCGGCACCACCTCGTCCTGAGATGAAGCTGCGACGTGAAACATTCAAAGAAGCATTGCTTGCTCTGGCTGCTGGTCCTGAAGCATCAGATCCTCGGGTCACAGCAGCTGGTGCCTTGATTGCATTGCCTGCTCCTCCTCGCCCTGTGGTGATGTATTGCTGTCTTGGAGTGACTGTTGGATGTGGTTCGACGATGCTGTACCTAGATGAGACAGACATGGTGATTCTGGGTGGTGAAGTTTCTGAGGTAAGATGATAGACCAAGAGACTGGATGAGTTACGTAGAAGGTAGTGTTTTGCTTGCTTGTTCGTTTGTTACGTGATTTACTCGTACTTTGAGCAGGAACTACTGTGTCACTTCAGGGCACAAAGGTACCTTATATTTACACATCATGAAAATCTTGACGATGAGCAATCAGGGGAGATTGCCTGATCGAGTGGCTGTTCTTTCGAGTCGTGACACAAGCAGTACGACGGTACAGTCGATTATGTTATGAGAATCCAGCAACTTCTTGGAGGCTACCCGTTAACTGCAACGCGCGACACTAAATCTCAAAACTTCAGATCATGCGGAAGCAAAGTAAGCAGGAAAGATTTTCAAGCTAGATCTTCTATGTCATAAGGTTTCTGGAACTGAATTTTCCATCACTAAAATTTACTTTAGTGCATGGCTTCGAGACACCTGACAGTGCCACCTGCCTGGCAGCGGGCGTTTTGATTGGTTGCATAGCCATAAAACTCTGCGTAATGCCAACTTGCCGCGTGTTGACTTTTTCAGCTCCTGGCTCCAATGACAGGTTGGCTCTGCAAGGAAAGGACCGAAGTGGAAACTATTACCCCCAGGAAATTGACCCCTCTGCTGTTTCCGCTCACTACCCGCCAGCAAGTGACGCCAGCACCGCAATACCAGAAACGGCTACCTTAACCATTTACCCCAGACGTCCTCAAGCTCGTTCTGTAGCAAAGTCGTGGTGGCGTCACGTCACGATCACGACTACTGGTGTGCTATGTGATGGCCTGTGCTTGTATCACGAGTAGCAGTGAGAAGCACAGGCTGATGCATACAAGATCCCCGAAAGACAATCTGAGCCAGTGCTTGACGATCCAGTGTCCTCTCGTACTCAGGATTGGCAGAAGAGCTTCCCTTTTGGTGGTAGCGCTACCCCGGATTTCCAACTCGCATGGTTATCCACAATGAAGATGTGGGTTTGATCCTGTGGTTCGAGGTGTCACGGCATCCTATCACAGCATTTGTTGTCAGGAGAAAGGCTTCAGATGAAAAAGTCTCTTTCTCGGGAAGCCGAACCTTGTTTCTGAGCCGGATACTTGAGGTCGAAGTTGTGAGATTACTTGTCCAATGCTTTCGTGATAATGTGCTCAGGTGAATTTCGTGTGGAGTATGTCCGGGTTTTCATGCCAGTCACTGACGCTAACCCACATCTGATTCAAACGGATTAGCAACCATAAATAGTTGGGCAGCCGAACTTACTCTTCGAAAAGTGCTTAACCCAGCCAGAATGCTTCCACCAATCCAAGTGCTGTACTTCCGTTCTGGAGGAGCAAATATCTTTATTTTCATGTCTTTGACCGCAAGTCTCTGAATCTCGTGAAGCAGGCGGTCACCAAAGCCCTTGGTCAGAGTGGTACCCCCACTGAGGACAATGCTGCCATACAGATTCTTGCGAAGGTCTAGGTCAGTTCTTGTGATGGCATCCACGACCATCTGATGTACACCTTGATATTCGAGACCAACCAATTCGGGCTCGAACAAGATTTCAGAAGCTCTGAAACGTTCAGGACCTAGCTTGATGCGATGTCCATCAGGTAGCACATATTCAATGTCCTTCTTCTCAACCTTCCACGTTCCTTGTTCGAGGTCTCTCTCTTCCTTGCGTGGATCTAGAGCAACATAGGCTGTCTTCTCTTTCATGATGCGAACAATTTCCTTTTCTGCACTTGTATGGAACACATGGCCAGCCTTCCTCAACTGCAGTTGCATGTTCTCTGTTACATCACGACCAGCTACATCGATTCTGCGAATGCTACTCGGGATTGCAAAACCCTCGTAGACAGGCACAGCATGACTAACACCATCACCACAATCCAGGACGACTCCTGTTGTTCGTCCGCTGGCGTACAAGCTCAACACAGCTTGGATGGACATAAATACAGCTGGAACGTTGAAGGTCTCGAACAGGATTTGGGCAGCGGTATCGCGGTTGGCTCGAGGATTCAGGGGCGGTTCGGTAAGGAGGACAGGATGCTCTTCAGGTAGGGTCCTCAATTCGTGTTCGTAAACGTAGGACCATATTCTTTCCATGTCATCCCAATCTGTAACAATTCCATGTTCTAAAGGATATCGTATCTTCAGTAAACCCCTCAGCTCTTGTGCTCGTGAACCAATAAAGGTGTCGCCTTCTAGTGCTCCAGCAAGGGCTCTCACATGTTTAGGTCGACCGACGTATGCGGGAAAATAGACTTGAGGCTGATCTGCACCTGCGAAGCCAGCTCGTATGTTACCACTGCCATTGTCTAATACAAGCGGCACATTATGAAGAGAGCCACCGTCAGCCATGCTTGGTGAATTAGCGGGTCGAACGTATTGTCATCGTCGACAAATACACGAGTGGATGATCACAACAAGGTGAACCCTCCTTCTCCACGTTGTGCTGTTGTTGTTACAAGGGTGTTGATTACTAGTAGGCGGTTGAAAATCTTTGGCACGCGTCTGCGGGTAGTCAGCCCCGGAACGTGTCGTGGTAAAATCGTGGCGTCGGCACTTGTCCAAAATCGTACATCGCGTTGTGTATGTGCCTGACTGCCTAATCAGCCTCTGAATGTGGATGTGTCTTTGACCTCGTCCATGTTCCCATACCTTGTAAGTGGCATTGCACTTCTGTTGAACAGCTTCAAACTTGAATACCGCCACAACTAGTATCGCCGAGATATCGCAACAGTGCCATTTCTGCCACTCGAAAATGCCCAAATTCTTCTGCGACTATTGCGATGTATACCTCACGCACGATTCCATGTCGGTGCGCAAGTCGCACAATACTGGCCGTAACCACTTGAGGAACGTTACCGATTACTATCAGCAGATTGGACATGAGAAGGCGCAGTCGGTCATCGATTCGATCACGAACTCGTACGCGGCAGAAGGGCTTCAACAACCAAATCCTATGCTACAGCACGCTGGTGCTCCTCCAGGTTTTCCTCCTATGGGATTTCCTGGTAAGTATTTTGCTCCTGCATGTACTTCCAAAACTAATCTCGATAGGAATGCCACCACCTCCGTTTGCTGGTCCTCCAGGTCAACCTGGTATGATGCCGCCAGGCGGACGAGGCATGCCTTTTCCTCCATTCGCGCCTAATGGTGCTCCACCAAATATGCCAAACGGTATGCCCTTTAATCCTCCTCAAGGCTTTCCACCCAATTTTCAACCACAATTTCCTTCTGGAGGCTTCAACATGAACCAGCAGCCTAGCCAGATGGGCCAGCACGGTCCACCTGGTGGTTCTGTTCCTCCGCCTGGTCAAGTCCAGAGTCCTCCCCCGGGATATGGCGCACCACCTGGTTCTGCACCACCACCGGGCATGAACAGACGTTAGCAGCGATCGAATATGCAAGGAGGCTACGACGAAACAAATCCTCACAAGAACGAGAACAGACATGCGGTCAAGCGAACGTTCGAGCGTGCTCCAAATGAAATGGGTGATGCAAAAAGAGCTCGCTTCAGTCGCTAAGTCCTTGTAGCATAAATTGCAGAAATTTGAAGTGTTCAGAAGCACAAGCAAATCGAAGCGATGGGGATCGTGGCTTGCTGCAAGCCGTCGAAGATCACAAGAAAATTTATAGGTTGCGGCCTCGGTCGAACCCATAGGCATAGCAGGCAAGGATATTTCAGTGGGCAGGTACGAAGGTACGGCCCACTTGCCAGTCCCACCAAAGTCCTACCAGCTGACTTGCCTCACCAGCAATCGTGCCTCCCGAACCAGCTCTATCATTCTGGCTGATAGTGTTGATCTCATCATTCTTCTAGGCCCTATAAATCATGAGCTGGTTAGAGGCCCTCGCATTCGTACTCGGATATTTGGTCACCCCTGTCCTTGCTGTTGGTGCAGCTGCGCTTGTTATCCATATCATCCTGATCATTCAGAATTACCGCTTTCAACGTGCTTTACGTGCAGATTCCTATGTCACGATTGTATGATTCGCTCGAGCTTGTTCACCATGAGAGAAAATACCAATTCAGACATCGGCCAACTTAACAGGTCGGCGACTGTCCTCTCGCGGTTCAGCGAACGCTTCAGTGACGAATCCGATCATCCTTCAATATGTGCGACGTTCGTCCCTCCCTCCAACATAGTCAGAGCGCTCAGAATCGAACGCGACCTACAGGGGAAGCGGACAAAAAAGTCTCTAGACAAATGCTGCAGCCTTGGAAGATCGATTTGTGAAGATCGACAGAGACGACGTTCGACAGCTTCAGCACTTGCCCGCGAGCGTCGTCGAGCCAGTGCAGAGACAACCTACGAGAAGCACCGACAAGCGAAGAGGGTCCGTCGAGGACAGGAGAAGAAGCACAAGCAGAGGAGCCGGTGGAGTGGCACAATCTGGGGGTATGATTCCATGGCAGGCTGTGTTCCAGAATCTGTGGAAAAGGGTCGTGAATTTGAAGGCTGCTACGTCTTTCGAGGTATTAAAGACAGTAGCGATGAGTATGGTGCTGATGAGCTGGATGCGCTTGGACGGCGAACTGGCAGGCAGTGGCTTCATGGTAGCAAGTGGGGCATTGAATTTGGTGGACCGAGCCGCCTATCTTTTGTTGAGCCTTTCGATGTGAACCAGATTCCATCCACGAAGCAGGAGATTGAAAATGCAACAGAGAAGGGCAAGGCAGTACCTCATGAGTGACAGGCCTACACCATGACATCGCCGTCCTGGTTTGGCTCTAATGTCTCGAATGCATGCTCACTATCTCCTATATTTCGACTACGCTTCGGTCACGGAAGCTGTGGCTGCTGGATCTTTCCCAAGGTTTGGCCACTTTCTGTTTGACGGGTTTACGACCACCACTGTCCCTAGATAGAGCCTAAACCCTATACAAACAGTCGTCGGTATGCTTGCGAATATCAGTGAATTTCGTATGCATCTTGTAGTAGGGCGTTTAAATTTACTCGACTCCACCTGTGGTTTGCGCCGTTGCAATGGTCCAAAATAACAGCAGACCTCGAGGAGTGACTACATGCGTTGATATCACGATACGATCGGTCACGGTCGTTTGTCGTGTCGGCACGCTCAACATCATGATGCCAGACATTTCTTGAGAAAAATGCTGTTGCTGAACTTCATGTCTACCAGCTCGCCAGCACCCTTCGACCCTAAACGCTCTTGATTAGAATGTCAACGACATTAGCATCGCGATTAAAGGACGAGCTTTCATCGCGCTACTCGCTCATTCCATCAGATCAATGGCTTAACGCTTTCCTGTCAACTATACACAATACATCACAACCACTACCCGCATTGACGTCAACCGCTCAATTCCGTCTTGTCCTAACAGACTTCACAACTAGCCTTTCACCTGTGCAAAGACAGGTCCTTACAGCAGGTATACAGAACCGAGAAGTCAAGGAACAAACGCTGGTTACAGATGTACCTGTCCAAGTGCTCGACATACAAGACACCAGCACTTCCAAGTGGTCGCAAATTGAAGCAATTGAGCGGGTTGAGCGTGGCGAAGAGATACGTGGCCGTGAGGTGATTCGAAATGTTCCGGGGATCGTTGATGAGGATTCAAGCACTGTAACTGCTGCGACTGAAGACCAGAGCTCGAGTAACACCAATACCGGCCCTTCTTCAGCATCGAGTCGATCTGGCAATACGGCTCGCAAGGGTTCCACTGGACCGCATAAGCTCCTGCTACAAGATGCCGCAGGTACAAAGGTCTGGGCATTCGAGTTGTCACGCATCGAGAGGATTACTATCGTTAATCAGGATCCGCCACTACCGGGATCAGCTGGAGTTTCATCTATGATTCCTAGGGTTGTGGAGGGCATGCAGATTGGATGCAAGCTCTTACTTAAGAAGGGCACGAAAGTAAGACGAGGCATGGTCATGTTAACTTTGATTCAGACTACTGTCATAGGTGGGAAAGTTGAAACCTGGGATCAGAAGTGGAGAGAAGGGAGGAAAGCTAGACTTCGACAGGACTTGGAGTCAGAATCTAATGGTTGAACTTGCTGGCAAAAATGATTGCCAGCATGAACAAGATCTGTCTTCGAGGCCTTGACGTATGTGGTTACACACCTCAAATACAAGACGGCTTCATCACATGTCTGAGAAATCGACACATCCCCAAATCTCCCGAGTATGAACACGAAGCGTGAAGATTCAAATGGCGCAGGTAATGCTGCTGTCTATGCTTCCATTCAATGTTCGCCAGCTATCTAGATTCAGAGATCATATCACTTCCATCAAATCGAAGCGCTGCCTTCACCACTTTCATCCCCAGTCAAAGGCATGCCAGTGCAACGTTTGAGTTGTGCTTCTTGCTCAGTTGCACAACCATCGATGCCTTCTTAACCAAGAAAGATCTTTGTGGCCAACCTGTAGTATACGAGATCTACGATTGTTCTCCTGCCACACTTTCCGTACCTGTAATGATAGTCTGCGCACGACGGCCTCGTCAATAGAGCCGTTTCCCGAAAATGCCTCCGTACCTCCTCAAGAAGACGAGATAGTACACAACGCCAAATACACCCCCGCCAATGTGAGCGGCGTGTCCTACACCAGTTTCCTTTCCACTTCGCATTGCATACGAATCAATAAGGAAATAACCTACTGTAGCCATCCACAGTGGCATTGGGACAAACAACATCGTTCGTACCGGTAGCGTTGGGGCGAACATTGTACATGTCGCCAGCACACCCGATACAATGCCACTCGATCCAAGCGCACTGGCGTACGGTGTTTTACGCACAACTCTCCTCTCATATAGCCATGTCGCCGACGCTACAATACTGCTACCAAAGACAAGAGCTGCAAAATGTGGCGTGGGCAGCCGAGATAGCATGGGCGCAAAAGACCACAGAGCGAGTAGGTTAAAGGCACAGTGAACGGGGTCCTTGTGGCTGAAAGAGCTGCCGATCCAGCTTAGGAGATTTTTCGGGTCATCGGCTTTCAGGAGAAAGTACTCTCGTAGCTGTTGCGCGACTGTGTTTGGTTTGGGGATTGAGAGTCCCAACTCCGAGAGTACGTTGTAGGTTGCGCCACGGTCTGCGTAGTTCCAAGCACCGAAGACGCCAATGGCTGTTCCGATGCAGCCTCGCGTTATGAAGCTGTTGATGCGAATGTTCTGCACAGACATACTGACTCAAAGGAAGAGAGTCGAGTTTGAAATGTAATGTATGACAGAGTCTCTATGTTGAAGCTTTTAGGCTGTCGAGCAAGAGACGTGACTGATTGAATGGGTGATTAAGCGATCGACCTGTCTCCCGTTCCTCAAGGTAAACGGTTCTCGAAAGAAAAAATCCTGTGACTGTTGATCGTCCTGCAAATTGGTTATAGCGAATTCTTTGTGTCGAGAGGATGATATGTTTTACCCATAAAGCAGCACTTGATGTCTCACGTCAGCAAGGCGGTTGCGCGTCAAGTGAAAACCTCGTCGTACCTGCTCTGTTTGGCGATAGTTACCATGCACGGCCATGTTAGCCTCTGCCAGCTATAGACAGTCCCGTAACTTCATTGGCTTGTGGATGGACCGATTGTAGCTCAGCTTGGAAGGTATGACGGCGTTCGCAACTTGAACTGACGAGCAACCAGCCTGGTCAGGGGTAAGTGCTCATTGCGAAGAGATGGGAAAAGAGTGCCCAATAGTGATCGACATTTTGGAACAAATTTATTCGCAGACGCACTTCATTGCAGATGGACGCTAGCTTACTCTTGTAACGAATAGATAAAGTTCTAGGCGAAAAATGGTGTAACACGACGGACGCCACAATGCCAGGAACAATGCAGGGACAGGGCAATTGTTGCTGATACTTGCAATCACGACTTAGGACTTGAGGATACGGCCTCACTCTGCACTTGTCCAGCTCGGCTCTGAGCACATGATTTGATGTTGATAAAGTCTTCAAGGCGAAGAAAGCAAACACAAATTTAGAGTAAACATGAAGCAAGAGTAAAGCTCGAACGCGAGGGGCATAGGAGTAGAAGAGACCTTCCAATGAGAAGGCACTAGACGCCGATGCTGGAGTCGGGAAAACCTGAGATTGGCTGAAAAATCGTTCGGATGCCGTGGGTTAGGGTTTCAGGATGACCCGCAGGCGGCGATGGCGGGCAGATCTCAGAATCTGTTCAAGATAGCCGCAAAGTGTATCATCCTGCATTGTTCTTCCATTCTTGTCCAGGTGACCTTTACACCGCAGTTTCTCAACGACGGGGTGCCCGGTCACACAAAGCAAAATTCCCAACGATCGACTCTCTTTGTTGTCTACTGGTCATGGTCGAGGCCTGTGTGATCCGAAGGAAGGCAGAGGACGAGTACTTCACAAGTTCCTCGAAAATCCCTGTTATCAGACCTGCGGAGTCAACGATCGAGAAATTGATAAGTTCACCGCTTCGCTGATCTCACAATCTTTTCACTTCTCTGTCTTTTGCAGCTGCTGGGCATGCCAATTGTTCCTGCCTGTCTTTCCTACGTAACCTACTAGTACCTGCCTTCATTAAGGCACTGCAGCATTGCACCACCTGCCAAATCTGCACGTCCAATCGATTTCAAATCTTTCACGTTTTTGTTTTTCGACACCTACAACCACTACTGTTACCGACCAACTTGGCACTGTCCTATAGATTCTCGTTATCTAGTTCACCTATTGATTCAGCCAGCAAGTATTCCACCGGCTCATCCCTGCATGAGCATGAGCGTGCTAGGAAGAGCCTCCACATCGTCTGTCCGACGAAGCCTCTCCATCGAACGAAAAGACCCATTTGCTCCAATTGAGACATACTACGATGAGACCTTCCTACAAAAGAAGTTGTTAGGGGACAAGCAGCGGGCAATATCGTCGTACACCAAGCAAGCACCGACCACATCCCTCGTTGCTGGCTCGAACTTCCTGCCTAGACGGCGAGGTAGTCATGACGAGTTCACTCAAGCTAATCAAGAACTGCTTGTCAATGTTGAGAGCACCATTAACGACCTTCTAGATCGGGAGGACAAAGACAGGAACTACCAGATCACGATTGAAGACAATGGTCCTAAACATATTTCCGTTGGCACTCTTGGCTCTGCAGGATACAGATCGACTGACCTTCGAGGAAACTATGTCATTAGTAACCTGCTACAAGAGTTGACGTTGGCACAAGATCTGGGCAAGAAAGTGGTCAAAATACACAGATCTAGACTCAACGAGAACCCAGTCACTCGTCTCGACAGACGTATACGCGATGAGTTCTGGAAGAACCTCGAACGCAGCCTAGATGCCAATACGATCGAGAAAGCTGGCAAGGATCCAAAAGACTGGACTGATAATCCCAGGCCACGTATCTACGTGCCTCATGGCTGTCCCGAACAGTATGAATATTATACACAGGTTGCCAAAGACAAGCCGGAGATGAGACTCGATGTTAGGTGGCTTCCAAAAGGTGGTGCCACTGCCGAGTTCGTGAAAGGTCTGAATGATGCTCCTGGCATTCTGGCGCTGGCCATGCGGAAAGAGATCGTCAATGGCAAAGAAACCTTGAAAGGAGAACCGTTCACTGTACCAGGAGGGCGTTTCAACGAGCTCTACGGCTGGGACAGTTACATGGTTGCCATCGGTCTGCTAGAACATGGCAGAGTCGCTATGGCCAAAAGCATGGCCATCAACTTCGCCTTCTGTATTCAGCACTACGGCAAGATACTCAACGCCAACAGATCCTACTACCTCAGTCGATCGCAGCCACCTTTCCTTACTGACTTTGCCTTGCAAATCTACGAACATATCAGTCATGAACCCGACGCTCTCGACTTCCTGAAATTCATCATACAAGCAGCCATCAAGGAGTACTACAACGTGTGGATGTCCGCACCTCGCTATGACCCTGTATCCGGTCTCTCCAGATACCGACCAGATGGTCTGGGTGTACCTCCAGAGACGGAAGCCACTCACTTTGTGCACGTCATTACACCTTACGCGGAAAAGCTGGGTATCACTTTCGAAGAGTATGTCAAAGGCTACAACAGCGGCGACATCAAGGAGCCGGAGCTCGACGACTACTTTCTGCATGATCGTGCTGTTCGGGAGTCTGGTCATGATACCTCTTATCGCCTCGAGGGTTGTGCTGCAAACCTGGCTACTGTCGACCTGAACTCGCTCCTGTACAAGTACGAATGCGATATCGCTAATTGCATCCGTACTCACTTCCGCGACCATTTGACCATGCATCCCGACTTCCAGACCGAAGCCAATCGAATCGATGGATACGAATCCTCTGCTGTCTGGCATCGTCGCGCCAGGATGAGAAAGGCACGAATGGACAAATACATGTGGAATGCCAAAGCAGGCATGTACTTTGACTACGATACGGTCAACAAAAAGATGACCGACTACGAAAGTGCTACTACCTTCTGGGCTATGTGGGCTGGTCTTGCTAGTCCAAAACAAGCTGCTGCTCTGGTGCTTAAAGGTCTTCCCAAGTTCGAGGAGTTTGGAGGACTCGTATCGGGAACCGAAAAGTCTCGAGGCGAAATCCATATCGCTAGGCCCAATCGACAATGGGATTATCCTTTCGGCTGGGCACCTCAGCAAATTCTTGCATGGGGTGGCCTCCTGAATTATGGTTACACAGAGGAGGCTCACCGTTTGTGCTACAAATGGTTGTATATGGTCATCAAAGCTTTCGTCGATTTCAACGGTGTTGTGGTCGAGAAGTACGATGTGACCAGGCAGAAAGACCCTCACACTGTCGAGGCCGAATATGGCAACCAAGGTGCTGATTTCAAAGGTGTTCCTCGAGAAGGATTTGGCTGGGTCAATGCAAGCTTTGTCTATGGTCTGTCGTTTCTTCCGACGCACATGAAGCGAGCGCTGGGTACGCTCACGCCATGGACCTTATTCGAGGAGAAGACAGCCATTAAGCTGGATCAACATGACGAGTTGACGATTCATGAAGAAGACGAAGAGTTTAAGAATTCTGATGTCGTTGTTTGAGCGTTCGCCTGAGCTTATGGAAGACTTGTTTTCGCGATGGAGGTTTGGCGATATCAAATGACTCGCTGGCAAAGACAATAGTATACCCTAATCACGATCGGGCAGTTTCCGATGAGGTGGTGGCGCTAGTGGTTTACCAGCTTCTTTTTTCATTTTTTTTTTCAACTCTGCATCGGAGACATGGACGTGGGAGCATAGCTAGTTATCGTTAGCAGTCACGATATGCGTGCATCGGTTATCAACATAGTGGTTTTGCGAGGTCTTCTCCTCGAGCGGGCATCAATATCAACGAAGTTGTGCAGGCGAAGGTCTGATCTTGGCATTCGATATCCGCTTGCCAATAGCCATTTCTTACGTGCATTCAAGGCCCTCACCTTTTTTGAAATTACCTTGACTTTCCTTTTCAAATAGCATGCCACATCGGCTCGTGTACTCACTTCATCTGTCTTCCATCTCTCGCTTCCGAGCTGGTCGCCGACACACGCAGTCAAACTCTCTCGCTTGAGCTGCCGAAAATGTGTCGGATATATCCAAAGACCTGACATGAAACTCAGACCGAGGCTGTTCGGTCACAGTCCGAGAGTTGAAGGGCGGGAACAGTATGCGACATGTGGACGCTCAATATGCAGCTGCATATGTCTAGATGTGAAAGAGCTCAATTGTCTGACTTTTTACTGAATATCAATGTCCTATTGGTGAAATGAGCTCGCGGTAGTTGAGGACTACGATGCTCAAGCATGGTGTTTCGTGGAGAAGCGGAGACGCGGCTCTTGAGCGAGCGGACATGGCTGGTCTGGGCTGATCTTGTCCACTTTAGCACTTCCTTTCAGCCAACTGGTGATTACTCCGTCATTGCTCAGGAATCAAATCATCCAAATAGCTTCACATATGTCGCTAGATCATGATGTCCCATCTCTGCTTTTCTCTCCGCTTCACCATCCTTACGCAAGCTATATCGTTTACCATCCTTCCTGACTGATCTTCTCACTCACGAAGTGTTTGTCTTGCCTATCAATCACAGCAGAGTTATTCTTTCTGTCTTCCACATCACCCATCTTACCAGGACAAGCTGGAGTTAATACAGAAGGCCAAAGGTCTATTCAATATGGGTGCACTCGACGCAGAAGAGCAGGCCTACCAGCAAGAGGTCGCTGCTGTCAAGCAGTGGTGGCAGGATTCGAGATGGAGACACACCAAGAGGCCGTACACAGCCGAATCGATCGTGCAGAAGCGAGGAAACTTGAAGATACAGTACCCTAGTGCTGTTCAGGCAAAGAAGTTATGGCAGTTGGTTGAGGAGAGATTTGCAAACAAGCAAGCTACTCCCACGTACGGTTGTCTCGATCCTACTATGGTGACTCAGATGGCTCCCTTCTTGGAAACAGTCTATGTTTCTGGCTGGCAGACATCCTCGACCGCTTCCTCGTCTGACGAACCATCCCCCGATCTAGCAGACTATCCTATGGATAGTGTTCCCAAGAAGGTGAACCATCTGTTCATGGCTCAGCTCTTCCACGATCGAAAGCAACGAGAAGAAAGATTGACAACTCCAAAGGAGAGCAGAAGCAAGTGCCCCAGCGTTGATTACCTTAGACCCATCATTGCCGATGCGGATACGGGCCACGGTGGCTTGACTGCGGTCATGAAGCTCACCAAACTATTTGTCGAGCGAGGTGCTGCTGGCATTCATATTGAAGACCAGTCACCCGGCACCAAGAAGTGCGGCCACATGGCTGGCAAGGTGTTGGTACCAATTTCAGAGCACATTAATCGACTTGTGGCCATACGTGCTCAGGCGGACATCATGGGCACTGACCTGCTAGCTGTTGCGAGAACTGACGCCGAAGCTGCGACCTTGATTGCTTCCAACATCGATCACCGTGATCATGCCTTCATCCTAGGAAGCACGAACGCCAACCTGCAACCACTCAACGATCTGATGATCGCAGCCGAGCAGTCAGGCAAGGTCGGCGAGCAGCTCCAAGCCATCGAGGATACCTGGACTAGCCAGGCCGGTTTGAAGCTCTTCGACGATGCTGTCGTAGATGCTATCAATGCAGGCGTTCACGTCAACAAGCAAGATTTGATCAAGCAGTACAAAGCTGCTGCTGCGGGCAAGTCTAATCCAGAGTGCCGAGCTATCGCAAAGGGCATAACTGGAGTTGACGTCCACTGGGACTGGGACGCGCCACGTACACGAGAGGGTTATTACAGACTTCAGGGCGGATGTCGCTGCGCCATCAACCGAGCTATTGCATACGCTCCATACGCCGATATGATCTGGATGGAAAGCAAACTACCAGACTACAACCAAGCAGTTGAGTTTGCTGAAGGCGTGCACGCTGTCTGGCCTGAACAAAAGTAAGTCTTTTCTCTTCTCAGTGGCTCTCCTAAAAGAAGCTAACAATGCTTAGACTCGCATATAATCTCTCTCCATCTTTCAACTGGAAGACCGCCATGAATGCCTCAGATCAAGAAACCTACATTGAGCGTCTAGGCAAGCTCGGCTATACTTGGCAATTCATTACCCTCGCTGGTCTGCATTCAACTGCCCTGATCTCCAACAAATTCAGCAAAGAGTTCGCTAAGCGTGGTATGCGCGCTTATGGTGAGCTTATCCAGGAGCCCGAGATGGAGAACAAGGTCGACGTCGTTACGCATCAAAAGTGGTCTGGTGCGAACTTGGTAGATCACACGCTCCAGATGGTAAGTTCATGTCCAGTATCGATTCGAGACTGTATGCTAACAATGTTCTATAGCTTACCGGTGGTATCAGCAGCACATCTGCCATGGGTAAGGGTGTGACCGAGGACCAATTTCACTGAAGACACGATGCGATATTGGAGAGATATTGGACTATATACAGCACTTCAAATGTTGTCAGAGCCGCTGCCGTGCCAAAATTTATCCACGATTTGCATGAGACGATTTAAGTGGGAAATTCATTTGTTGGAACATCTGATGTACACCAATTTAGTAGTTATCTTTCAGCGATTTTGACAGCTTATTAAAAATCTAGTCGTTGTTATATCTGACCCCTAGCCAAGCACTTTACCACAACATCCACAGCGATAGTCATACAACTCCAGAGTACTATATTAAAACGTCGCCATGTGTGTCCGGTTTAGTTTCAAGAGTACTGTTGCTGTGTGATTGTGTTCGACAAGGCGGCTCTTTCGGGTGGATCTGTCGTTCTGTAGCAGTTCCGCTCCAATGCGGCACATCTTCGGAAGAACGACCCGAGTGGGATATTGCACCTTTCTCGCTTCCATTTTACACGTGCGTTGGTGTGCTTCACAAGTGGTGCATGCACTTTCTTCAAACTTCACCATGCTATCATTCCAGGAAACCCTGAGCTAGGACCAGCTCGAGCGTGAACTATGAGCGGTCCTGCTTACCAAGATCCATGCCCTTTGTGGGACTCTCATCCTCCATAGCCGCAAACATGGCAGCAGAACTTACTGCTCCTCTCCAAGCCTCTCTGGCTTCTTCCATATCAGTCATTAATGCCACAGCAACAGCTCTTACCACCGCCAATCCGGGACAAGGCCTCTTTGGCACGACTGGACATGTTCTAGCGACTATGAAAGTCGTGCCTACGTTTCTAGTATGGCTGGCAGCGTTCGCTACATTCACCCTTCCAGCATGGCTATATGCGGGTTTGTCCACAAGCCTGACTGTCACGATCAACGCTACTACCTTGTATGTCTCTCACTCAGCTGGTCCGTTGAGACGCTAACGGAATAGAATTGTCATCGCGCTTCTCTTCGTCTCTGGTATCAGTTGGTTTATTCGCTATAGATTCCTCAATGTATACACTCGTTTGCCGCAGGAGCCACCTAGGAAAGAGCCTCAGATCGATATCTTCCCCGATACCTCAGATGGGGACTCAAAGCCTGGCCTTGGCCAATACTTCGACGAGATATTGAGCGCAATCAAAGTCTTCGGCTACCTCGAGCGACCTGTATTCCATGAGCTTACGAGGACAATGCAAACCAAAAAGCTAATAGCTGGGGAGACGCTGCTTCTAGAAGAAGAGAAAGGATTCTGCCTGGTGGTCGACGGATTGGTACAAATTTTCGTAAAGAGCTTGAGGGAGGACACTAACGTATCTGGTGAATCACACGGGTTTCTGGACGATGAGAATGGTTACCATGATGGCAGTCAAGGGTATCAACTGCTCACTGAAGTTAAGAACGGTGCGTCAATGTCGTCCCTTTTCTCCATCCTTTCTCTGTTCACAGAGGACGTGAGGTTGAGGTTCGATGAGTCGTCTCGACCAGCATCTAGCAATGGCTTTGTGAACCCTCCAACACCTGGCTTTATGCAAAGCTCTACTGGACCGTCAACACCTATCCATGAGACCACATCCAGCAAACATGTTCTATCAGATGGTGTGAAAAGCTCGAAACTTGCCAAGGTTCCACCTCTTACTCTTGAGACGCCCTTTGAGGAGGACTATTTCAGACAGAAAGTGCGTTCCAAAAGAGAAGATCGGAAACCAAAGTCAGTTCATCCAGACATTGTAGCTCGCGCCGTGGTAGACACGACCATCGCTATCATTCCCGCCAGCGCTTTCCGAAGATTGACCCGCACATATCCTCAGGCTACTGCTCATATCATACAAGTTATCATCGCCAGACTACAACGAGTTACATTGTCGACCGCGCATCAATACCTAGGTCTTACATCAGAGGTCTTGCAGATCGAGAAGCTGATGAACAAATATACCAGCTATGACCTGCCAAACATGCTTCGAGGAGGCGCGCTCGATCGATTGAGGGATAAATTTGCTAAAGAGATAGAACGTCTCGGCAATGAAGATATCACGAAAGGTATTGCACTTCACAACCCCGTAACAAATCGGCGACGATCCTCCACTGGGCTGAGAAAAGAAGCTGCGCTTGCTGCACGGATCGCTGCCGCCCGTCAAAGTTCTGGTGACCCGGTTGAGAGTGCTGGAACAGATGTCAATGCAGGTGACCTTGCCACCAATGTCTCAACTGCTAGACTCATCGGTCGTGCTGGCAGCTTGAGTTCTCGCAATCCACCCTGGAACCTGATGTCGGAACTGAACAGTAGTCGAGCTGGTGGCCTTTCAAGTCCGCTAGGCATTCGAGAAAAGACGACAGCACGACCTCCCTCTCAAAATGGACCTATTTTACGTCAAGACTCCAGCAGTGAGGATACTCTACTGAGGGAGTCTGTGTTGGATTGTATGGTAAAAGCGCTTGGCTTGGACATGAATGCCAGAGACATCCATCGTAGGACAGGAGCTGGTGGTGTATCTGTGGAACAGTCACCTCGGCTGGTCTCATACGATGCGCGCAGGCAGACAGCCGTTTTCAGTAATGCTTTCGGTATGATCGATCCGTACGGAGGCTCTGTTGATGGCGATACTGAATCAGTGGTTTCATCTGTGGCCAGCTTGGTCGGTCAAGGTGCCAGAAATATGCACGATGAATTAATAGACGACGTAGAGATCGTCTTTTTCCCGAAGGGATCTGTTCTGGTAGAACAAGGTGAACGAAATCCGGGAGTCTACTACGTTATTGATGGATTCCTCGATGTCAGTATCCCAGTTGAAGATAAACCTAACAAACATGCTACGACTACCACTAATGGCCCGCCTCAAGAGAAGCGTGCACCAGCCCTGCGCAGGACGAAAACTGCTTCCAGCAGAGCCTCTTCCATTCCGGGATTGAGTCAGGAACCACTGAAGAAACAAGTGCAAAAGTCGTTGTTCCTGGTCAAGCCGGGAGGCATCGCAGGCTATATCGGCACATTATCTTTTCATCGGTCTCTGACAGATGTCACAGCTAAAACTGACGTATACGTTGGCTTTCTGCCACGGCAGTCCCTCGAAAGAGTAGCGGAAAGATATCCTATCCTTCTCCTTACCATAGCCAAGCGCCTGACCAATCTGCTGCCCCGACTGATCTTGCACATAGACTTTGCGCTCGAATGGGTCCAGATTGATGCTGGTCAAATCATCCATCGCCAAGGCGATGATAGTGATGCTATCTATATTGTGCTCAACGGTAGGCTTCGTGCTATTAGAGAAAACTCAGATGGTAGTCTGCAAGCGACTGCTGAGTATGGCCAAGGCGAAAGCATCGGAGAACTCGAAGTAATGACTGAAGGCACGCGACCTGCAACATTGCATGCAATACGTGATACAGAACTTTGCAGGTTTCCGCGGTCTCTCTTCAACAGTCTTGCTCAAGAGCATCCATCAATCACGATCCAGATTTCGAAACTGATCGCACAAAGAATGAGAGCCCTGATCGAAAACCCAGTTATTGACGATATGAAGGAGCGAAAAGGCAAGGCAGGAATCGCAGATGGCTCATCCAGCCTCAATCTACGAACTATTGCTATCTTGCCTGTCACAACTGGGGTGCCTGTCGTTGAGTTTAGTCACAGGCTGTTAAGTGCACTGACGCAGGTCGGTATACCAAATGGTGCCACATCTCTCAATCAAGCTGTGGTCCTCAATCACCTGGGCCGCCACGCTTTTAGTAGAATGGGCAAGCTGAAATTATCACAATATCTTACGGACCTGGAGGAGAAGTATGGTATGGTACTATATGTCGCAGATACGACTGTTTCTTCCCCATGGACCCAGACATGCATTAAGCAAGCAGACTGCATACTCCTTGTTGGTCTCGCTGAGAGCTCGCCCAGTATGGGTGAGTATGAACGTTTCTTGCTCAGCATGAAAACAACGGCTCGGAAAGACCTTGTACTGTTACACATGGAAAAGTTCTCGAAACCTGGATTGACTGCGAAGTGGTTGAGAAATAGGGGTTGGGTCAATGGCGGTCATCACCACGTCCATATGTCCTATCGAATTCAATCACACGCGATTCCGCCACAACCCCGACGTCTTGGCACAGCGATCAAGAAGAGGGTGGAAGTAATCCAAGCTGAGATCCAAAAATATACGTCACGTCGTGTCCGGCAGCAACCTCTATTCTCTGCAGAAACACCATTCAAGGGCGATTTCCATCGGCTTGCGCGACGACTATGTGGTCGTTCGGTAGGCTTGGTTCTTGGTGGTGGAGGTGCTCGAGGCCTTGCTCATATTGGTGTTATCCGGGCTATTGAGGAAGCCGGTATACCGGTCGATCTTATTGGTGGTACCTCAATTGGAGCCTTCATTGGCGGCCTTTATGCACGTGACGCAGAGGTTGTGAGCATGTATGGTCGTGCGAAACGATTCGCTGGCAGAATGGGTAGTATCTGGCGCTTTGCGTTAGACCTCACCTATCCTTCTGTCTCCTACACGACAGGTCACGAGTTCAACAGAGGCATCTACAAAACGTTTGGTAATTCTCAAATTGAGGACTTCTGGATCAACTTCTACTGCAACACAACGAACATCAGCAAGTCGCGAGCTGAGTTTCATACTAGTGGTTATGCGTGGCGGTACATCCGAGCAAGTATGACACTAGCCGGTCTCATACCACCAATCTGCGATCAAGGTAGCATGCTTCTTGACGGTGGTTACATCGATAATCTCACCGTCGCCCATATGAAATCTCTAGGTGCGGATTTAGTGCTCGCAGTTGACGTTGGTGCGATAGACGACGATACTCCACAAGAATTCGGCGATTCGCTCTCTGGTGTCTGGGCAGTTCTACAGCGCTGGAATCCATTCAGCACTGCGCCAAGTCCGCCTACATCCTCTGAGATACAAGGACGCCTTGCATATGTGAGTAGCGTCGATGCGCTGGAGCGAGCTAAGACAACACCAGGCGTGGTGTACATGCGGCCACCTGTTGTTGCTTATGCGACTCTCGACTTCGCCAAATTCGACGAAATCTGCAATATCGGGTATTCTTTCGCCAAGGAGTTCTTGAGCACCTTGAAAGCAAAAGGCGAGCTGCAGGGAATTTCCGAAGGGAACATTGGGGTTGAAGGTGCTGGTGAGGAAGCCCGATTGAGAAGGACCATGGCTCCCAGAAGAGCAAGTATATAGCCATCAAACAAAGAACTCAGTCAACGTGCCCGTGCCTCTGTACTCTCACTACCCGTACTGTCCTCGTCCTTGTCGCCACTGACACCCATGTCAGCAATACCCTTTCCTACTCCATCAACCTCATCCTGTATCCCTTCCCCCTTCCCATCCCAATTCTTCGTCACAAGCACATCCTCCCCATCCCCATCCCCAAGCCTCACCAAAACCATCACTTCTCCTTCCTCCCCCTTCTCCTCCCCATCAAACCCACTCATCCTCATCAACACATCCACAAACCTCAACTCCTCACCCACCTCCTCCGGATCCGCATCAGCACCGAAATCTCCAATCGTAAATGGGCGTTGTGCTAGCCGCCAGGTTCTGTAGGTTGTATCAGTAGGGTTTAATTCGATCTCCATGCTGTAGGCGCCGCCTTGGAGAGGTGGGAGGCGGGAGATGTCGGTAAGGTAGCAGTCATATTCGGGAGGGGAAGGAGTGGTGGAGATACGGGTTATTACTATGGTTAGGAGGAGGGGTTTGGGGTGAGGGTGGGATCGGCCTGAGAGGGAGTGGGTGAGGGGGAGGGTGTATTGTTTGTAGTCGCCTATTGGCATTGCAGTGTATCGAGGTGGAGGAGGTGGGTTATGGTGTGTGGCAGGGTTATGTTTGAGTTGCTGACTTTTTAGTGTGCGGTATTATCACTTCTCTATGATTTGGCGGTTGAAGTGTTGATTCCGGATATCAAAGCTGGCTAGTGACGGCCATACGGTATTGTGGTTGGAGCACAATTTTCCCGAGAGGATGTGGTACGATGTCACATATGTAGGTGTTCAATTCCTGGATTTCCAAAAAGGGTTTTGATTCTAGGATCATCAGACTATATTCAGAGTTGTCTATATGGTCGCTAAATTCCATGCGTTTCAACCACACGAAGCAAGAACGCTCTATTTGCCTGAATGTACCATCCTACCACCAACCCATACATTCTTGACATTTCTATCATCACCGTTCCAGACCCATTTATCTATCCTCTCGTCCCATTTTTCCCAGCCAAATATGTCGACCGGGCTGTTCTCCCCGCTCAAATCAATCTCCTGAACATCGAAAAGCATCCCAGGCTCAAATCCACCCAAGCGACCTTCCATACCCACGCACTTTGCGCCACCGACAGTCGCTAACCATAAGCCCTCGGTAACGCCAATATTCCATTTCTTGTCGCCTCCATTCACGTAGCCTAGCTGTCTGCTGACCAGGCAAGCTTGCCTGACTGAATCTAGTATGCTGACACTATATCCACCACTGACATCGGTACCCAAACTGACATCTATTCCATTATCTAGTAATTTCCGTACTGGACAGAAGCCACTGCCGAGCGCACTATTACTGGCTGGACAGTGAGAGATTTTGCTTCCTTGAGTACGGATCGTCTCTAACTCCCGATCGTCGAGATGGATCCCGTGGGCGAGGATTGTGCGGGAAGTCAGAAGACCGGTTTGATGGTATACATCCGTGTAGCTCTTGTATTGAGGGAAAAGATGCTTCACCAGCGCTAGTTCGCCTATGTTTTCGCTGATATGGGTCTGTACCCTCAGCTTTCGGTCCGTAGCAAGTTGACCGAGTAGAGAGAGTGTTTCGGTTTGACAGGAAGGTGCAAAGCGTGGGGTGACGATCGGAGCGAGCAGCTCACCCTTGGAGTCGAGTTTCTGGATATGTTCGATGCTTGCGATTGCGTTCGCAAGGCTTTGATCAGGTGTTTCGTCGCGGTAGTAGGTTGGGCAGGTATCTGGGTGGTCCATACACACGCGTCCTATGTAGGCTCGTTGTCCAAATTTGAATGCTAGGTCGGCCAGTAGGTTTGTGGCAGGTACTGAAATGGTTGCGAAGTATGAGGCTGTGGTGGTCCCGTAAGATAACGTTCGTCTGATGACTTTGGTATAGACTGCATCTGCCTTGGATAAAGGATTGGATGTGCTGTGGTTGACTGTTTCAGTACCTCTGTCACCCTCATATGCTCCGTTGGTGTCTGCTAGTGGTTCTTTTCCACCAAGACTGGCCTCTAGTGGGAATGTGTACGTGGTTAGCCAATCTAAAAGAGTTGATTTACCAAAGATACCAACGTTGGGATATTGCGAGGCGTGTATGTGTGTATCGATGAAGCCAGGGAAGAAAAACCCATTGTTCATCGTTTGGTGGAAGTCGACGTCCTGTTCTTCGACACCGAATGCTTCGAACGCTGCTGCTGGTGTAGTCAGTGTCCAGTCCGTCTTCTCGATTACCCCATGGCCATTTGAGCTCGACACCAGGACAGCTCCCTGCCTTATCAAGAGGGATTCAGGTCCTGGGGCCGAGATGAAGCGTCCAAAGAAGATGGCTTTGCGTCCGTCATCCGCGGCTGCCATTTATGCTCTAGCAACTGTTAAAATTCAATCAAGTTGCGGCAGGTGCACTCTAGAGGGTCGCAGTATGAGTAGCACCACACATCAACCTAGATCAAAAGCACGAAAAGGAGAACGACGTCGAAAGAGACAATCTCAGTAGCCATACTGTCTTATCTATATGGTTTGCTATGTCGCTATGAGGCAAGCAGAGCAAAAGCAGAAAGTCTAGACGATTGACTGGACTATAGCACAAGCACCAATAGCCGGATAGAATTACATCTCATATTAGCATTGGCATGAGGCATCGCTCAGGATCTGCATTGGTGCTTGATACAGGTACGATAGCTGTTTCGAACAACGTGCGTCGGAAACCGCCGACATTGCAGGAATAGACGAACGGGGCTCAGTTTTGAGCCTTGTGAATAAAATGCGCTGTCCTGCGGGCAGATTTTGGTTGGAGGGTGTAAGAGTGTTCTTCAATGAAAGGTCCGCTCGTAGAAACCAATCTTGCAAGCAAAGCTCGAAGTTATTCATTGACAAATCTATATAACGATGTATCTATGACGATGAACGCCAGCTGAGCACTGTTCTACAGCAGTCACGGCACATAGTCGACCGTAACTAGTCTGAATACATCTACAACGATCCCGAAGCTGAGGTAGGCTCGACCTATGTTGATCTTAATCTGCTGGGGCACAGCGCTGTCGTGTCATGTCGTTGCAAACCTCGCAAGGCCGGTGCACTGGAATTTCGTTGTTGGCTCGTTTTCGTCTGAAATATTGTTGGAGATGTGGAGAATATCGCAATATATGGTGTAGAGATCGTACCCATCACAGCTAGGCAGTCTCCTGGAGAACGAGTGTTTGCTAGAGGCACGTCTGACTCCTTCGAAGTGGCAGGAGAAAGACATCACTTGTACTCGTAGAAGCCCTTTCCACTCTTCTTTCCTAGCCACCCAGCATCCACGTATTGCCGTAGGAGAGGACTTGGCCTGTACTTGGAATCTCCCAAACCACTATGGAGTGTTTCCATAATCGCGAGGCAGGTATCGAGTCCGATAAAATCGGCTAGGGCAAGAGGGCCCATAGGGACGTTGGTCCCGTTTTTCATAATGTTATCAATATCCTCTTTCTGTCCCACACCAGTTTCTAGGCAGATGACAGCTTCGTTAATGTAGGGCATGAGGATTCTGTTCGCAAGAAATCCCGGAGAGTCAGCCGATACCGAGGGAACCTTGCCCATCTTTTCACAAAAAGCGACAGCTGTTTTCAGGGTGTCATCCGAGGTTTGCAGACCAGAGATGATCTCGACACCCTTCTGTACAGGAACAGGATTCATGAAATGGGTTGACACTACACGACTTGAGGCCTGAGTATCGGTCGGGTTCTTAGTGGTGGCAGCAGCAATCTTTGTTATACTAATGCTACTGGTGTTCGTGGCTAGAATAGCGTGTTTAGGACATATCTCTGCTAGCTGAGCAAAGATCTCCTGCTTCAGTTTAGGGATTTCTGGCACCGCCTCGATTACCATGTCCACATCACTCAGGTCGGACATATTTACAGTCGTGGTGATCCTTTTCTTGGTGGCATCTGCAATTTCCTGTGTGATTCTCTGCTTCGACACATCCTTGGCTAAAAGCTTGTCCGCAAATGCCATACCTTTGTCCAAAGACTGCTGCGAGTTGTCGACAACCGTGACCAGGACCTGAGCTTTCTGCGCTGCAACAAGAGCAATTCCAAGACCCATCTGACCCGCACCCACGACACCCAGCTTTTTGATCTCGGCCGGCATGGCTGAAGTAGCTGAGAAGTGCCTGGATAAAGAGCTCAGTCGTTGTGCTGCTGTCGATGATCCTGGAGACGGCATTGCTTTACGAAAAGCCAGTCGTGTAAAAGATGCCATTTCAGGCTATATGGGCTGGAACGGGAGAATACAAGCGGATGCAACAAGCATATTTGACCTGAACTGCACTCCAAAGCATGACAGTTGCATGCGCTCCAAGTCCTGCTCGGTTGGCCTCGGCTTTGAGTAGAACACGCTAGCGACGCTATGACGATCTTCGCGAGCTCAAGCTCCGCAAATCGAGCAAACTTATCGCGTAAAGTCGCGCTCAACGCGTCTCCTACCAGCCCGCGCATAGTGGAGATGTTCGTGCATCTTTGTGAATAGTATGCATAGCTATGCTTCTTGGTTTGAGGTGACGTTGAGTGCGACTCGTCAGTAGGGAAAATGGAGGACGAAAATCCTTTCAGCAAATCGAAGACGATCGATCCCGAAGTACGAGCATATGTATACAGTCTTGTTAACGCGCTTGGAGGTACTGGATCGGATGAGACAGGCAGATATGTGCTGGGAGACGATGCCATTGCTGTACTTCGAGACTTGAAGAGATGGCTGAAGCTCTATGACGAGAAGACCAACCGGCTAGATGTGGCCAGGTGTATGGCAGAAGCGAACTTGGTTCGAGGTGATTTACTACCCATCCTATCGCTATGGAAAGAGAACGGAAAGAATGAGAAATCCAGGTCAAGGCTCGCGCTTGCTGCTCTCGAACTTCTGGTTCCTCTCACCTGGCCAATCGAGCACGAGGAGATGACACTCAACCATCATCGTCATACTCCATACATCCTTCAAGCCCAAGTCAAATATAAAGCCGCAGTATTGCATTGGGACACAACGAGCGTGCTGAGACAGGCAATCAGAACAGCTCTGCCGGCTCTAGCTGTGAGGAGGGACGAACGCACACCACGAGACGAAGCTATCATCAAGCTAATGCTCTACTTCATCCGGAACATTGCAACTATTCGCCAGACCCCGAACCTACCCTCCCAAGGCCTCGACAACGAAGTCTCGCGATCAGCAACGATTGAGACCTTCCGAGCTCAAGACGTCTTTGCCCTCCTTCTGACAATGTGCTCGAACATGGGTGAAGACTACAATCTGATGGACGTGGTCATTCTCGAAATTATGTTCAACCTTATCAAGGGGGTCGACGTTGAAAAGCTGTGGATGAACCAGGTACAACGCAAGAAAGTCGCGATTGACGATCTCAGAGAAACTTTGACAGCTGAAAAGAGCATGCATACACAAGCAAAGAAGAAAGAATGGAGTAGGCATGGCCGTTTCGGAACCATGATCTGGGTTAAGGGTAACGACAAGCAGATGAAGGCTGTCTCCGGTCAGGACAATTTGAAGAGCGACAAGACTGCGATGTTCAACGTAGACAACAACAAAAAGTGGAACAAGCCTATGAGAAAGCGCAAGGACATGGAATACAGCATGCACGACTTTGATCAAAAAGAGTACTTGTCAACAACAGCATCTGAGCAACTACGAAACTTCGTGGAAGAATTCTTGGACTCTGGTTTCAACCCTCTATTTACACATCTACGCAAAGCCATTGAGCGAGAAGCCGAACGACTACTACCAATCAATTATCGACAGTTCTTTTATGTGGTCGCCTGGTTCTTGAAAGCAGAACGAGCAAGACGTGAGCACAAACAGAAAGACGCCAGCGCTTCCAAAGCACAGACCGAGTTCGACCCTGAAAGCTATGCTCTGGTTGCCTGCGTGTTGAATCAGGAGACATTCATCACTCTCAATCGCTATATGCAGATGTCTTGGGACGACAAAGCCTGGCAGGACCTCAACGCAAGCATGCGATGTTTCACCGAAATTTTGCTTATGGTTCAAGACATGGCTCAAAGTCCGCTGGAAGAAGATCAAGAAATAGCCGAGAACATTCAGAACCGGATTTTCTACGAAGAGACAACGCACGATCGTGTAAGGCTTCTCTTGAATGGTTATAAGGATCAAGGTCTCGGCTACCTCGATGCGTGTACAGAACTTGCTCATGTCTTCCTGAGGTTACTCGAGAGGTACTCCAAAGAAAACGTTGATTTACAGATCAAGTCAAAGCGTAAAGCACGCCATAAAAGGAGAGAAGCACAACGGCAGCAGAGATCGCCAGATGAGGCAACGGGTGAGAACGAGGATGAAGAGTCGGAGCATGAGGACATAATGGACGTTGTCCAGGTCACCAAAGAAAGAAAGTTCGACTTTAAACGGTTTGCTGCCAAATTCGTGACCCAGTCTTCGATCGACACGTACATCTCCCAACTCACATTCTACAAGGATCTAAGTATAGAGCAGCTGAAACGAATCCATCGTTTCCTTTACCGGGCCGCATTCAAGCAGGACCAGGCGATCTTGCTTTACCGTCTTGATATAATCAGCCTGTTGTACAAATTACTTCAAGGGCCTGAGGCTCTTCCCGAGACCCATGCCATGTTCAATGAGTGGCAGGAGCTTACGAAACAGCTCTTCAGGAAGATGCTCAAGAAAGTCGATCAGAGGCCGGACCTTCTCGTTGAAGTTCTTTTCAGCAAAGTCCCTGCCACAACATACTACCTGGAACATGGGTACGACAAGCAGACATCCACAAGCACCAGATCACCAGCTGAGCTTGAGGTCAGGAACGCTTCGGCTCGAGATCGAAAAGAGCAGATAGCCATCATTGTCACTGTATTACTAAGAGATCAAAAGAATGCTCTGGTTGATTGGGTCAATACTATCGTCTGCAGAGCTTTTGACGAACGGCACGCCTGGGAGGCCGAAGCTGAAGCTCGAGAAGCGGAAACCATAGCTGCAGCAACAGCTGATGGAGATCCCTTAGCTGATAAGAAGCTTACTACGACTACTGACATGCCACCAGCAGCACCATCATACATATCTGTGACTGCAGGTAGGGACGAAATTAAGATCGCAACGTTCAAGAATGCTCGTTTGAAGCTGTTGATGAAGCTCGTCGGTATGGTGGAAGAGATCAACGACAAATCCGACACACCAGATGCTACCTGGATCGTTCCTTCCACTGTATCAGCCTCGCACTTGCGAGATTCGAAAGAAGCTATCACACAATACTCAATTACACATTGGCAGCCAGAGAATGAGGACGATCAACCGGAAGACCTACTTCGTCGTATTCGCAAAGACAATCGTGTGACTCGGAGTTATGAAGATGTCAACGAGGATGGAGAAGCTCCAAGGGACAACTTTATTGATGATTCTGAAGGTGATGACGGCCCTCTACCAGAAGAAAGTGAATTTCTATTCCCTGACAATCCACGCCGGAGTAAATCAGCATTGGATCAGCTTCGCGAAAAACGAGCCGCAAAAAGCAAGAAGCGTAAGCAGAGGTCAGATGATGAAAATGACAATAGTGAGGATGACGCAGCACGTCAAGAACGTCGCAGGCGAAGACAAGAGGCCGTACTTGCTCGACGGCAGAAGTTCAAATCTGAAGCTTATATCCGAGATTCAGACGATGAGACCGATGAGGAAGCCGACAAGTTATTCTTTGCTAAAGAAGAAGAGCTTCGCAAAGCACAAGCTGCGAAGGTCAAGGGCCAGATGATCTCTAGTGGTGCAGCTGAAGAGGTAGATGAAGCGACTTTGACGAAGCGGCGCAAGATCATGGCGAGGTTGCAAGGTGAAGATGGTAGTGACGAGGAGGACGAAAACGTGGAGATGGATGAAGCACCTGAGCAAGGTAGTGCTCTGCCGTCTTCACTTCCATCCAGGAACACGGACGTTGAGTCAGACCAGGATGAGGATACTCCGCCATCGTCACCGCCACCTACAAAGTCATCTACTCAGGCACGGCGCAAAGCTTTGCAGGAATTGCGTCAGGGCAAACAGGTGAAAGTGCCGGCTCCGGGAGGCAAAATAGGTGCAGTGGACGAAGACGCTTCAGATTCTGATCTTGACATTGAGGACGAGGAGGACACTATCGTTCCCGCTTCACAACTTGCTACAGCTAGACGATCTCGCGGAGGTTTCGTTGTTGAGGATGATGAGGAGGAGGAGGATTGAAATGGCAATAGTAGAGCCTTTAGACTTCATTATTCTTGTTAATCAGAGAGGCAAATTAGTTCACTCGTCAATCTTCAATCTCGCTCTACTTAGTACATCTTCGATCAAACTATTAAAGTGAAGTCGTGTCACGCTACAATGTATGCAGTCTGCGTAGTCGAAAGGTTCAGAATTGAGGGGAAGGCATCACATGCTCAACTGCGGCAAGCGAATGCCATAGTGCAGCGTCACTAATCCGCGGCACTTCAGGTAAGCTTCACACTGACAGCTCACAGGCATATTTCAATTCTAAGTAGAACTTGCTGTCGACAGAGTCTGTAAGGTTCCCTAGGCGTGTGGAGTTCATCTCAGCCATCGTCAGAATGAAGATTCACATCGCCCAGATTTCTGCTAGAGACGACCAAAACGGCCTTCGAGCAAGAGTCAATGGTGACTCGAGTTCTATTGAGAATAATTTGGACAAGGACGAGGCATCCAAGAGATTGTCTCAGAACAATGTCAATCACTAATAGGGTGACAATGAGATGATTGAGCAAGCCAGAATCTACTTTGCATGACTTCACGTTCACTTCAAGGTGTGACCGCTGAACACTCAGCGATATAAGATCCCAGGCGCACTCAGATAACAGACTTTAATTTCTGAGATTTCCGTCTTAAAGCACAGTAGTGATAACTCTTCGTCAGCCAATATGGACCCCTCTCCTGTCGAAGCAGGTCAAACAGGCGTGGGCAAAATGAAGGACTCGAACACTGCTTTGAAAGCGGAGACAACCACTCTTCGGGAGCAGAAAGAGAGACAGAAGGCGAAAGACCAGTCAATTCGACCTTCAAGAACTCAAGCTCAAAAGAGCGAGCAGATCGAAGCAAGACCAAAAGCAAGGCTTAGAGCCAGGCATAAGTACAAGCCAGAATAAAAACCTCGACAAGACACACCACGTAAGAAGTTCAGATCAGCAGCTCATGATCACGACAAGATTCACCATTTCCCAATCCGCAAGAGGAGGAGTTTCAGCGGAAGGATCTCGAACGTGAAAAAGATGAGGCTGTAAGAGAGGAGTACGCGGATCATGTCCAGCTCGTTTGTAACTACAAGAAGGGAGGGGAGGGTGAAGAAGCTCGACACCACACGCTCGGTAGCAACAACAGCAATGCTTGCAACACCGTTGTACAATCGATTGAATCTGCCGAGACCAATGAGCTTCACCTTCAACGGGCATCGATCGTCGGAAGTTAGCGCCTCACTAGCTGTGTATCGGGGTAAAGATGATTGGAAGTGAAGAGATGAGATGAGCAGGAGCCAGTAGGTCTTGCAAAGAAACATGGAAGACGAAGGTATGGCGTACATGCAATGGCCCACTATGCAACACACGCCGAGGTCTTCACGACCTGAGGCTAGTGCTAAGGGACAACAGACGTACTTGAACGATTAATCCAGTTTGGAAAGTGTTATTAAGCGAATGAAGTTTTGGTTTACCTGCTTGACTAGTGCAGCCAGACATGACTGGCCAGCGCCGCATTACTTCGTATCACTTCGAACATGCTGGTTTTGTGACGACACAAACGCAATTACCTTACCCAGAGGCCATTTTGAGATCCTTACACAACGACTCCATAAGTTCTCCCATATTCTGCTTCAACGAACTAGAATGAATCCATACCAAATCCTCGGCGTCGCAAGCTCGAGCACAGAGAGTGAAGTCAAACAGGCGTACCGAAAATCAGCCCTACTGCATCACCCAGACAAAGCAGGGCCAGAATCGACAGCAAGATTCCAGACTCTTCGGACCGCATACGAGCAGATCATCGAGAAGGGCTTTGCGACCATTAAAACGAGCTCTGCAACTCAGACACCAGAGCGAAGCCATCAATCCGAGAACGAAAGATGGGGTTCGCATGCATATGAGCGATGGGTCGAAAGCAGGACAGCAAAGCCTGTACAAAGAAAGTGGGCAGGTTCTTTCAAGAGATCTCGATGTGGAAAATCGGAGGTAAATGCTAGTGATGCACCTTCAGATATGTATTCTTCTTCCAAGAAACCGCCGTCGAGAGGAACGGCAGCCAAGGCGACTCGAGTGAAAGAGAGCCTGGCGGATGATGAGTGGCAGACAGGCTGGGAGGGTTTCAAGCGCAAACCTTAGCACTTTAGGTCATACATGAAGACTCTTAGAAGGATGCTCATCTCTTGTATGTTGCGCTCCTCAAAGAACCTTGAGGTTGATTTCTTGTCAGCCGCGGCAGCTGCATCCCAATAGCTTTCTTTGTCTTTGGCGAGATGACTGTAAAACTATCGGCGATATTCCGGATCTGCGGCTGGACAAGACGCGATAGGTTGTGATATTGCTGCTGGTGAACATGTAGCATTATCGAATGGAGGTATGAGAAGAACTTGGTGATTCGTGCCATTTTTGCTTCTGCTCGTTATCGAAGGAAGTCGCGAGGTATTATCAACTTTTTGGTATGTAACGTGTCCCGGTTCAATTCGTGCTCGATTGAGATGGTAGAGAAGGAGGTTGGTCGTGTGACACGCGATAAGACGTGACTGCGTGGTAGGATATTGGTGAAATTTTCTCGAACGATGCTACTAAGCCGCGTTGTCATACCACTTGCTTGGTGTTCGTGTTGTAAAACTTTAGAAGAAAATTGCGTTGTCTGTAGAGAGGAATGCAAACATCACAGTTCTACTCTGCGATAACAGGCCCCAGAGGCGGCAATGATTCCGTTCACCGCTCTGCCGCCTTCCGACGATGAGCGCCAAAGATTTTCTTAGCATTTGCCGGCTCATAGACTCTGTACAGCTTCGGAAGGGGTCAATTCTCACAAGCCACGATCGATCCTTCCTTCCACCTCCTTTCGCGCCCCAGAACTTGCTGACTACCTTCGCTCCTTTTATTGGCCAAGTCGTGCTCTCTATCTGTCTGCAAACATGTCCGAAAAGCCTTCGATCCGCTGGGGCATTATCGCTGTCGGCTTGATCTCATCATGGTTCGTTGAGGACCTCTTGATTGAGCGACCTGACGCCCCTATCAAGCATATCATTCAGAGTATTGGCGGGAGAGACCTGAAGAGATGTGATGAATTCGCGCAGAAGTACTGCCCGAACGCCTCCCCGAAGCTCTACGACAGCTACGAAGCTGTATACTCTGACCCTGATGTAGACGTGGTTTACATCGGCACTCCACATGCGTTTCACAAGCAGAACATGCTGGATGCTATTGCTGCTGGTAAGAACATACTTTGTGAAAAGGCATTTACGATAAATGCCAAGGAAGCTAGGGAGGTATTCGATGCCGCCAAGGCCAAGGGAGTATATGTTATGGAAGCAATGTGGCTGCGTTTTCGACCCCTGATACATCGCCTAAGAAAGCTGTTGTTTGAGGAGAAAGTCATCGGTGACGTGTATCGTACTTTCGCCGATTTTGCTATTGAAATTGATATCGAGTCCTTGCCCCAATCCTCTAGATACAAAGACTTGTCTCTGGGCGCGGGCACCCTACTCGACACAGGCATTTACTCCTTGACGTGGGCGCTACTTACTTTGGATCCCGGCTCACCTGGCCATTCAGAGAAGCCCATCGCCTTGGGCATCCAAAGCCACGAAGACGGAATCGAAGTGACCACGAGCATTCTCCTCCAATACCCCTCTACCGGCAGACAGGGAATCGTAACCTCCAGCTCAAAATCTAATGGCCACCCCAATGTCTTCTGCACCATTTGGGGCACAAATGGCCTAATAGAAGTCGAAGGCCCAACAACGTCTCTGCCTCTCTCGTTCACTGTCTACCCCAAGATGGAGGGAGATCCAAATTCGGGATCGCTGCAAAGAGGAGAAGGTACGAAACATGATTTTGCGCAGATTGGCAGAGGTTTCATCTATGAGGCCGACAGCACAGCATTGGATGTGCTAGCTGGCAGGAAAGAAAATGCAATCATGCCCTGGTCCGAAACTCTACATGTACTAGATATAATGGATTCAATCAGGAAGCAAGGAGACACTTGCTATCCAGGTCACGATGAGTCATTATAGATGAAATACCCTTGCGCAGTGAGAGAGGCACATACACGACACATCACATAAACTTATACACAGAGAGCGGATCAGTGAGAAACACGACTGTCTTCTACGACACTGGAGCCTGCGAAAGAGTAGCAAGCAAGAAGCTTTGTTCGATATGCTAAAGCTAGATGAGACGATGGCGAAGCTCTCCTGAGTCTTCATCTATATGCTGGTACCTGGTCCCGATTGTCTACCAGACAAGGCTATACAATTCTGTAGTAACCTTGGCCAATGTCCCATGTATAATCAGATGCTGTTTTTAGCCCAAGCCACCCAATGACCCAGCAAGACGCTCGTGTACGTCAACTCCGGCACAGCCCAACCTACAACGCCTTTGACTCCTCATGATATTTCCCTATCGCAGCTCAGTCGAAATGCTGGTAATGTCCTCTTCTTCGTTGATGGCCTCCTCGAGTTCGGGTTCGAGTCCAGCCTGTTGATGTTGCTGCCGCGGTTGGGCTTGCGGCTGGTGTCGTTGCCTTTGTAGGAGCTTGGCTTGGTTGCTGGACTGCAGAAGTAGATGGAGCTGGTGTATCGTCGCTGTCTGTGGCGCTGCTCGCTGGTGGAGCAGCACTGTTGGAGGGTGGAGCAGCACTACCGCCGCCAGGACAAAGAGTGAAGATGAGATCGGCATTGTCAGGGCAGACTTTTGTCCGGACGTCATCAGGCAGGTTGTATGCTGCATCGCAATAGTCCTGACCAGCAGGGCAATCCACAGTAACACAACTTGGGAAAGCGTCGGGAGTCGCAATCGACGGTGCGAGTGACATTCCCTGCATGGCGAATGGGTTGCCGTCGATGTTGGAGATATCATAGGCGACCATCTTGTTGCCCTTTGTCCATGTATACTCAAATTGTGTCACGGGAGCGCCATTGGCATTCGGGGACAGCTTGATCGAAATGCCGACGTTGTCGAGATTGTAAGACTCTGAATAACCACCGGCCGGCAGAGGTTGAAAGGCAGCATGAACGCTTTGCTTGATCGAAGCAAAGTAGACTGTGCTGCCGCAATTGTTCTTCACGATCGCAGTACCTGCGAGAGTTGTGGTAACGAACGTCAGCAGAAGTGCTGTAAGAGACAATGATTGTCGCATTGTTGTGTCAGTTAAATGCTGATCGATGTCTAAAATCTAACGAAGTATGAAATTTAACGAGTGTCAGTGGTGTGTACAATCAAGGTAAAAGAAGATGTGCAAGAAATTGGGCATATTCTATAGTACTAGTACAGCAGTGATTCACGACAAAGGACAGCCGGGGCGTCATGACCTTATTGTCACCTTTGCTGGGTCCGCGTCCAGTGAGCGAGATTCATCCCCTTTGTTTGCAACATGCCCTGACTCCAGACCCTCATCGGAATCGAGAGACTGGGGCTTTGTCTTTACCGTTCAACCACAAATCAGCAGTATACGTTAGGGGTCTACGTGGTAGGTTTGTTTCACGCTACTCGGCCGCAAGTCGTCATAGGTTGCCGAACTTTGACTCCACGATCGAAGCATAAGGCGGTTTTATTATACTCTTCTCCGCTCCTGTTTCAGCCCCCTATTTTTGCTCGATTCTTTGCGCTCCTCAGATCCGTAAATTTTCCGGTTCGTATGGCTCGATACCATGCGAAACACTGGATGGATGGTTTGAAAACTCTCTCTATATACTCAAGGTCAAGGGGATATGATTTGGTTTTGTAGACGCTTGCGATATATCTGCATCATCATTTGCTACACCAACGTGATATACTGTACTGCTGCGTTCTGTCTTTCCGTTAACCTTTTCGATCCGACAGAGTCCACTTCTCCACATATTGCTCCTTTACTCTGATATTTGAATATGGATTGCGCTCTCATTGGTGCGCATGGTTGTAGAAATGTTGAGCAGTCGCGATGTTTGTGAAGACGTTCGGATTCGTCGTCAGGATATGGTCTCTCAAGCATCCGAGCGCTTGCCAATCTCCTAGGTGTGGCATTGAGCTTATCGATATACTTTCGGATAGTGACGGCGACAACCTAGACTTCAGGAGATTGCCAGAAAATGACAGACTGATCGACAAACTCTTGATGTGCTTATGGGGATTCCTCCACCACCATGATGGGGAGAGATCGTACTCGAGTAGCAGTCGGGCTTGATGTGTTCTTCTCGAGTATACCACTTAGACCCCGACGTATCAAAGTATGGAAGGCACTTATTGCCTTGTGTTCACAGGCTGACTGCTCTTTCCATTCGTACAATACCTTCTTAACATGCCTAGCAGTTTCTCAGCTTCAACGAAGAGTTCACGATTATGACATATAGTGTGCTTCAATACTTCACGTCAGAGTCTTCCAGGAGCAGTTTTCAATTTGTCAAGTACGTAGAGCTTGTGAAGAGGCAGCGCACTCGCTGAGGTTATGCAAAGCACTGCTCGCATTCAAGTCTTGGCGCTCCTCCGAGAAAGACGAACAATCTTTTCTTCATCGCGGGAAAGAACAATCACAATCATATTGCCAACGTTCTTTTCCACAGTCTGCTCTTTTGATTTTATTTCTCGTCATTGAGTTCAGGTTGAGAAGATATCGCCTAAGTGCCGAATGACCTGCAAGCTGTTGGTCAACGCAATCCCGGGTTTTGATGATAATCCTACTATACCCAGAAATTTTTGCTAACACAAGTCGGGCTTGTATTGTTTTCTGAGCTATCTGGATGTGATTGCAGACATTTTATTACTAAAGACTAATTGCAGAAGGCTGCCAGGGAATGACTATTCCATAGACGCACAATGGACGAAATGGATTCTCTCCTCGACTCCCTGCTGGAGCAGCGGAAGGGTACGAGTGTTTCTTACATTGATGTTAGGTATGCGAATGTGCTAAGGCTCGAAAAAGTGCCCTCGAGAGGTGAAGGAGTGACAACGTTGAAGGCTTTACCTGTCACGGAGCCCATCTGCTCGTTGAAATACCCTACGATGATGGCAATGGATCCAGAATTTCTCCCAACAACCTGCTATCATTGCCTCGTCATCACGTCAAATCCTTTGCCACTTCCCGGATATGGATACACGTCGATGGATCTCAAGACGTGTAATGGTTGTCATATTGCTCGCTTCTGTGGCAGGGATTGCCAAGTGAAGTCCTGGCATGCTTACCACAAATACGAATGCAAAGTGTTTAAGAAGGTACAAAACAATTTGCCATCCTCTATGATGAGGGCAGTACTGCGGATGGTACTCCTCAAAGATCGAGGTCTAGTGTCAGACGAAGAGTGGGATCGTGTAATAGGTCTGGACTCACATGAACAGATACTCGCGGGAAGAGGTCGATCGAACCTTACAGACATGGCGGAAACCATTAAACATCTGGCCACATCAGGTATGAGCGTGACAATGATCCAAAGACTCATCTTCATTATGAAATCGAATGCCAATGAGCTTCCGACACCCATCTATGGAGGTATAGGCGTCATGCTTGATCCTCTAATAGGAAAGCTTAATCATTCCTGCGAACCCAATATATCAATTCATAGACCTCAACACACGATGGCTAGTGGCTGGATGGACTCGACGAATCTTTCAGAAGACGAACGGAAGACTTTCATCCAAATCATCCCACTGAGAGAAATCAAAGAGGGTGAGGAACTTCTCAACTGCTATATTGTTCCTACAGTGGCAGTTGAGGCACGCAGAGCAAAGTTGATGGAAGACTACTTCTTCCACTGTGAGTGTGGAAAGTGTCAGTGCGATGTCAAGGCTGCGGCACAGCTCATAGAATCACATCCAGACTTATCAGCACAATTTGGACAATGGGCACAAAAGACAATACGTTCTGTCCCTCAGCAGGTCAAGAAGCAGGGTGGGAACTCTCTGAGCAAAGCCATGGCAGCAATGGATCATTCCGAGCGATTTCTCGAGCATCCCACCCTGTACACAACGGGCGACTACCCGCAAATAGCTATGAGATTGACACTGCTGGGGTTGCAAAGCCAAGCATTTGACATAGCACTGATTAATATGCTCTGGGTGTATTTTCTCGTCAATCCGCAGCGCTTCGTTGGTGGACACACGCCGACTGAGATCTACACAATCTTCCTCTTGCTCGATATATTGGATGGAATTCTGCGGATCTCGATGCCACCAGGTGTTGAAACAGTCGATGCGGAAAAGTGGTCAAAAAATCTCACGACTCGAGGGTTGACGCTGGATGATCTTCTCCATTGGCGTGATAGGATCTGCTCAGATCTGGAAAGGAGGCTCGCAGGAAGTGCAGCAAAGGATCTGCTGAGTTTAGTTGAGAAGCGAAAAGAAAAGCGACGCGTTTCTCCAGCTCAAGGAAAAGATAAAGCGCAAGAGCAAAGCATGACAAATGCTGAAGCGGGAATGAGAAGTGCACTGAGACTGAAAGAGCCACTATGGAAGCTAGCATTGCACGAAACTGGGTGTTAGACGGCCACGCTTTGCGAGTACAAACGTATCACTCCGTTCCACCAACAACCTGTACAGTGTTTACGTTGCGGTTGCGTTAAGAGCTTGAAGGTACGTCCGCCTTGGAAGGAGCTCACGTGTCGTGGCAGCTACGGATCGGATCGAGCAGCACATTGTCCGCCGCTGAATCAATGGCCGGTATAGCTGTAGCTTCCGGCCAGTGATCGGCCACACATCCAGGGGAAGATCCAGGAATGCGGAAACTTGCGTTAGAGTCACGATTCGTGATGAAATTGAGAAATTTGCATCGGATGTGCTGAAGTGCAGTTTCGACAGGTTTATGTTCGAAATGCTTGCTCTGCTGTCTGTTGGTGCTCGACACGCGGCTCCAAGTAGTGCATAGAAACTTTTGATCGTCATAAGATGCGAGCCTTCGTCCGAGTATCGACCCTTAGACAACGATCGTCCGAACAATTTTCTTCCCCTCATCCAATATTCAAATATTCTCCTCGTGCTCGTTCTCGAGCCCTGTCGTATAAAACCTGTACCCAAACCCTACATAGGATACTGAGCCGACCTTCGCTGTCAGATAGAAGCTGTCAGCATATACGGGGACCCTCCCGTCGCTCAATCTCCGGCACAACCATGACAGGCACGAAGATCGATGGCACGGCCATAGCAAAAAGTATTCGAGAAAAATTGCATGCACAGATAGAAGAAACTCAGAAGAGCAATCCTAGATTCAAGCCATGTTTAAAAATCATTCAGGTTGGCGATCGACCAGATTCATCCACCTATGTTCGAATGAAGCTGAAGGCAGCTGAAGAGGCTTCGATTGACTGCGAACTCGTCCACCTACCTGATACCGTCACTGAACCAGAGATCCTGCAGCAGATCTATACGTACAACAACGACTCTTCCGTGCATGGCATCCTGGTTCAGCTACCCTTACCGAAGCACCTGTCCGAGCACACGATCACTTCCGCTGTCCTTGACGAGAAAGATGTAGATGGCTTCGGTGCCACAAATATTGGTGAACTAGCTAAAAGAGGAGGCAAGCCATTCTTCATTCCCTGTACACCAAAGGGTGTTATGGTCTTGCTGAAGGAGGCCAACATAGATCCTAAGGGCAAGACTGCTGTTGTGCTTGGAAGAAGTGACATTGTCGGCAGTCCTGTCAGCTATCTGCTTAAGAACGCTGACGCAACTGTCACTGTGTGCCATTCGAAGACAGCCAATCTGCCAGAAGTCATTAAGCAAGCTGATATTCTGGTAGCTGCAATAGGGAAGCCTCATTTCGTCAAGGGCGATTGGCTAAAGCCTGGTGCTGTGGTTATCGACGTCGGTACAAATTACATTCCGGACGACTCGAAAAAGTCTGGTCAGAGACTGGTTGGTGACGTCGACTACGAATCTGCTGTAGAGGTTGCGTCGTACGTAACGCCTGTGCCAGGTGGTGTTGGTCCTATGACTGTCGCTATGCTGCTACAGAACGTTGTCGAAGCTGCCACGACTTACTTCGAGAACCTCAAATCCAGAAAGGTCACCTCTCTCCCAATCAATATCAAGCAGCCTGTACCTTCTGACATCGCCATCTCACGGTCTCAGCACCCCAAACAGATCACACAAGTGGCCACCGAGGTCGGTATTGCACCGCATGAGCTCGAACCATATGGTGCATACAAAGCCAAAGTAGATCTGTCGTTGCTCAAGCGACTCGAGCACCGCAAAAATGGCAAGTACATTCTGATAGCTGGTATAACACCTACGCCACTGGGTGAAGGCAAATCCACTACAACTATGGGTCTATCGCAGGCAATGGGAGCTCATCTAGGCAAGATCACCTTCGCAAATGTGAGACAGCCCTCCATGGGTCCAACCTTCGGCATCAAAGGCGGTGCTGCAGGTGGCGGCTACAGTCAAGTCATTCCTATGGATGAGTTCAACCTTCATCTTACAGGTGACATACATGCCGTTACCGCTGCAAACAATCTGCTGGCAGCTGCTATCGAAACAAGAATGTTCCACGAAAACACCCAGAAGGATGGTCCATTATATCGGCGCTTGGTCCCCGCGAAGAAGGGCAAACGCGAATTCGCTCCAGTCATGTTCCGAAGATTGAAGAAGCTTGGCATCGACAAGACTGACCCTGATGTCCTGACTCCAGAGGAGGTAACTCGGTTTGCAAGACTTGATATTGACCCTGAAACTATCACCTGGCGAAGAGTATTGGATGTGAACGACCGCCACCTTCGAGGCATTACTGTTGGCCAGGCATCGACCGAAAAGGGCCACACTCGAGAAACTGGCTTCGACATCTCGGTTGCAAGTGAATGCATGGCAGTCCTTGCACTCAGCAACGACCTCAGAGACATGAGAGAAAGACTTGGAAAAATGGTTATAGGTACCTCCAAGGCCGGTGATCCAGTGACTTGTGACGATCTTGGCGTTGGTGGCGCGCTTACAGCTCTTATGAAAGATGCTATCAAACCTAATCTCATGCAGTCTCTCGAAGGTACACCAGTTTTTGTCCATGCAGGGCCCTTCGCCAATATCTCGATTGGAAACAGCTCTATTCTGGCGGATAAACTTGCCCTGAAATTGGCAGGCACTGAGCCAAACGAGGATCCCGCCGAGAAAGCGGGCTACGTTATCACAGAAGCTGGTTTCGACTTCACCATGGGCGGCGAGCGCTTCTTCAACATTAAATGCCGTGCGTCTGGTCTTGTGCCTGATGTTGTGGTAATTGTCGCCACAATCAGAGCACTCAAAGTTCACGGTGGCGGCCCCGAGATTTCACCTGGCGCAGCACTGGCCGAGGAATATCGCACTGAAAACGTTGACTTACTCAAGAAAGGCTGCGTCAACTTGGCCAAGCACATTTCGAATGCCAAGAGCTACGGTGTCCCAGTCGTGGTGGCCATCAACAAATTTGAAACTGACACCGACGCAGAAGTTAAGGTCATCCAGGAAGCTGCACTAGAAGCCGGTGCAGAGTCCGCCATCCTCGCAAACCACTGGGCAGAAGGCGGCAAAGGTGCAGTAGACCTTGCCAAAGGTGTCGTCGCCGCAGCAAACAGCAAGCCAAATGGTCAAGATTTCAACTTCCTCTACGACACCACAGAGTCATCATCTATCCAATCTCGCATCGAAGCCATCGCTCAAAAAATGTACGGTGCAGCCTCCGTCTCATTCTCCGACCTAGCACAGAAGAAAATTGATACATACACCAAGCAGGGCTTCGGCCACTTACCGATATGCATCGCCAAGACACAATACTCTTTATCGCACGATCCTGCACTCAAGGGTGCGCCGACTGGTTTTGATGTCCCTATTCGAGATGTACGACTTGCCGTGGGTGCAGGCTACCTGTATGCGCTCGCTGCGGACATTCAGACAATTCCCGGTCTACCGACTGCGCCAGGGTACTTGAATGTCGATGTGGACCCGGAGACTGGCGAGATTGACGGTCTCTTCTAGATGTGTTGAGCAGACAATGCATTTTCATAGAGCAGGCAATGTCATCATGGGAGTAGATAGATGAGAATCGTGTACGGAGTTGTGGTTGATTTGTACTTATTCAACATTATGATACCCCTTCAATAGTTCAACAGGGCAGGCAGGCAAGCAGGCGAGTTACGTTTAGACAAGACGTTGATAGAAAGTTTCTTGTGCCTGAAGTAGTCAAACTACCAGATGACAATAGAATGTTAGTTGTCAGTATTGAGCTTTCGGTGATTTATTGAGTTTGTCACAGTGGTTCAATTCTTGACATGCACTTGGCAATCACGCAACGTAGACATGTGCGGCTTAAGCATAGCACTTCTACAGGCGATACAAAGCTATAGGCGGTGTCAAGCTCGGCGCTTACGCATTTGTAGGCAAAAGACGAAAACGAGTATTGTGTAGGAATGGATCTTCATTCTATGTACAGACCCATCGACACCTGGACAGAGGTGCAGTGTACTGCTGTCGTATGGACAGAAAACTAGTATTAGCTAGTAGTGACGACAGAACTGCGAGCTTGTCGAAATGTTCCAGCCCTACCATTGCTAGTCACCTCGGTGAGGAGCGACAATACGCGGTTGTATGGTAGGGTTTGGAGAAGGCATGCATCATGGCTCTTCACCCACTGCATAGGAAGAGATGAAGTCGATCATGATGTCGCCCAGTATTGAAGGTTTTCCTCCTCTTCAGGAGGCAAATCTTACTCCTTGTCCACATCCACCTAAAGGCTGACGAAGATGTCCCCTCTATCTTCTTCTCCGCTCAGTCGTGGCGGCATGTCGAGCGCTGCGTTCTGACTGTGGTGCAGCTTTGGTACTGACGGCATGCCTCGACTGAGCTTGTGCTGGTGCGCCTCTAGCAGCATTCTTGGCTCGTTCAGTTTCCAGGCGTGCTCTTGCTCTTCGCCTCAACTCGGCTTCGCGCTCGTCTTCTTCTGATTCATCACTGCTTGAAGTATCGCCAGCTTCATCACCATCACTGCTGGCTCCGCAGCTGCTTGAATCACTGTCTGCGTAACCACATCTCTTCCCACCACAGTCTAGCATGACTCTTTGTCCAGCTCTTGTCAGACCGTATCGGTTGCAACGGCAACGATTGGCATGTTCGCTGTCGCTACCTGAGGTGGCAGAGCTCGCGGAGCCGGATGTGGTAGAGAAGACAGTGCCGGAGCTGTCGGAACATTCGGAAAGCTCAGACGGTGAAGAAGCATATCGAGCATGACGATCCGAAAGGGACGTACCAGCAAAACGTTCTTCAAGGTCATCGATAGGTGACGCATCGTAATCTGCTTCACGAAGCCCACGACTAGCGTAAGGCTTTTGAGGTTTTGGATGGAGAATTTTGCCAGGAGAAAGGGCACGACCTTGAGGCACTCTGGTCGAGGTGGGTGTCTTTGGGGCTTGAGTGTCGAGCTTAGAGAGCTCAGGTTTACTAGTCGACGAGGCTGGTGCTGGTTTTGGCTTGCTGCCACCTGCAGGCACGTTCAGAACGTTCAGCTTTCGCCCCGTAGTCTTTTCCACGACATGTTCCTTGGCAGGATCGTGGGAAACATGGTAGCCATCGACGATGTAATAGTACCAGTACCGACTTCCGAGCTTCAGCGCATGAGCTCCCTGGAATCGAAAAGTTCCTTTCCAGGAACCTGGTTTAGCTTCTGGGTCTTTAGCCACGGCCAAAGGTAGTTGCGACTTGTAGCCATCCCATGAGCCAAGAAGGTGGACCGTGCGAACATTAGGTGAGGTGCGGAGAGTGAAAGTAAGCTGAACAGCCGGAGACGACATTCTGTTGGTTGAATATTTACTAAGCTCAAATGAAAATCGTGCGTTGCGTCGTGGACCGTGATCGTTTTACTCGCCAAGAGTATTGTATTAGTAGTTGTATGAAAAATAAAATCAGATACTAAATTATCGACTTCGAGGACTACGTATTGTCGAGAGCGTGGTTGAATTAGATTATGGACGACCGGCCAGCAGTCGTTGTCGATTAGAATTGAAGGACAGTAAGGTGACCTGGGATTGGATTGTCGTAAAATGTGAAGGTAGGTGCCAGACCTAACGGGATGTCCAAGGTGGAAGGAAGCAAGTCCAAGATAGAGACCCGAAGAGCTGGATATGTTCTGAAGTGCCAAGACAGAAGGGAAGGAAGCGCTGGACAGGTTAGTCTTCCTGAGGCGGAGGTGAATGAGACTGCTTATGAGTACAGTGTTTCAAGTACTCATGACAGGCTCTGGGAGCAGTCGGCTTACCTGAGATGCGGCACTGCAGATTGCCTACCACAATTAGATATTCACACTGAACTGGCCAGGAGTCTTTGACGCAGTGAGGTTTGCCGAAGTCGACTAAAGGGAAAAGAAAGTAAAGAGGTAATGTTGGGCAGCAAGTGCGATACGCGATGAGGGACTATTGATAGAACTATTGACCAGCAACAGAACTGAATTGTCGAATGGGAACCCGGTTGGAGAGGCTGTATTGTGTCTGTAGAGGTCGAATTGCCGCCGTCACGTATCAAAGCTGAAGCAGTATGCAGAATGATATGCAGATGATTATTAGTGGTAGGCGTTAATTATGGGATGCTCCAGGCACAGACAGCAGAGACCGTTCCGGACGGGTGAATTAGAGGAATAGTATCAAGCGCGTATCGGAAATAAACAAGACTTGCTTGCTGGAGGAAGAAAAGAGAAGTGATTCTAGGGCGATGTTTGCGGCACCTATATCTGATTTGGAACTCAACCAAGCTCAATGAAGAAGGCGAAGAGCCTCCACTTCTGAGAAGGTTGAAGCAGGCCAGCAGGAAATGCACATGGCTGCTGTATCACAAAGGCGACCCTCTGCAATGCAGTGCTGGGCATGGAAGTGGCAGGCGGCTTTCAGAGAGCACGAGCGAATGAGGTGGCGTCAAGGCTCAAGCAGGCGCGAAGGGAACCAAAGAAAGAACAACTCGAGGAAGGAGGAGAAGAAGAGGTGTGAATGGTGATCAAGTTCAGCTCCAAAGATGGGCGGCTAGAAGAGATGGTATGATTGGCTACATAGGCATAGGAAATAAGTGACCGATCAACCTCGACTCTCGACGTACAAGGATGGCCATATTTCCTTTTGTGTGATGCATCCATCATGACTTGCAGCTCGCTAGCGGTTCTTCGTTGTAGCCAATCACAAAAGAATGTTGTCGCTGGTTGTGCGGTCGTCAACAATAGTCTCATAGTGTTCATCCACATATGGACATGCTATGGGGTTGTTGCAACACAATATAGTAAGACGACAGTCGCTGCATCAAGCACATCCCTGTCAGCAACCCGAATATCATGGTGTAAAATATGTACAAGTGTAGGCACTTTCGCTGTTTAGTTGCCACAAACAGCCACACCTCCGAGTGTTTGGCGAAATCTATTCCGATCACAGGTGAACCTACAGAGAAGGAACAACCATAACCACGGATAACCATGTAGACTGCCACCCGAGGAGTGACGCACGATTGACGTTCAGGAGAGTTCAAGAGACAAAGAAAAGTGATATTGATAAATATGCTTTGTACAAAATCCGAATGTAGTCGTCAAGGCAAGCCGCATCCATGATACCTTGAGAAATCTTTACCCAATGTGCTCACGGATTGTCAAGGTATCTGTCACTCTAGAACCACTCTTTCATGATCCATCTGTTGAAGAATTCTAGCGACGCTTCGGGTTGGTCCAGAGGAACCATGTGACCACCAGCATGTAGTCGCATGAAAGTGAAGTTGCCATGAGACTTGACCTCACCAATCTTTCTGCCACTCTTCTCGCCGTCAATCCGAAGGTCCTCCATCTTGGCGGCTTTGAATTCCTTGTGACCTGGCCAGTCGAGAGCCTCGCTCCAGGCCTTGTTGCCGAGCCAGTTGCAAATGAAGTCAGCATCGCCTGCGTAGATCAAGACTGGGATCTTCTCCAGGATACCTGGGACTAGTCTGTGGAACGGCTTCATCCAGTCGCCTTGGAAGAGAAAGTTGCGGTTGATATCGAAGTTGCAAGAGTCGTAGCCTTCAACCTCCACACCAAGTGCCTTCATGACCTTTCGGTCGTTCAAGAACTTGGTGATCCAGCCGAGTTCAGGGTAGCAGAGGTTGCTGCTGTCCTTGCATTTGCCACGGACATCATAGACATTCTGGCCAGTGCGTTGGTATGGTGCCAAGAGTGCGTTATTGCAGTAGATGGATGCTGGAACACACGACCAGACACTCTCACTATCATAACAGTTCTGGATCAAGGACTGGCATCGTGGAAGAGCATTGTCCATAGACTGGCACGATTGTTCATCTAGGACTGCTGGCCAACCGCCATCACCACAAGCCATTGGACGATAGTACTCGTACTGAGTGAGACCATCTGTCAAGCCGTTGCCGATAAGGACCGACTTGAGATTGATGTTTGTATTCTTGTGAGACTGGATTTCAGAGGCGAAGACTGGAATGTAGTGGCCAGCATACGACTCGCCAGCAATGTGGAAGTCCTGGGTTGCGTATTCCGGGAACTGCTTGAAGAACAAGGTAAGGAGAGCATAGACGTCCTTGCTGGCTGCGACAGTATTGGATACGCTCGAGCCTGAGTAGGAGAACCCGACATTGACGGGCTGATCCAAGAAGATAACGCTTGCGTTACGATTCCAAGAGTAAGGGTTATAGACAAGGTTGAGGTTCTTGTCAATTCTTGAAGGACCAAGCTCAAGGAAGAGGCCGGTCAACGATGAGCAGCCTGGACCACCGTTCAACCACAGGACAACGGGGTCGTTCTTTGGATCGTTCCGTGACTCGAAGAACCAGTAGAACAAGTGCTTGTCGTTCTCATTGTCATCGAGATAACCGGAGTACTGCTTGACGTCTGGATCGACCTTGAGCGCACTTGGGTCCACAGCTTTCACACGAAGATCGTATGTGTCGAGCTTGCCACTAATCTCACGCTCTTTCTCGCCATCTGCGTTCTCGATCCACAGGTCCTGAACATCAGCGCCATGGATGATGTGGTCCCAATCGTGTCGTCGTTGGTGCTTCTTTGGAAGCGAGAAGTAGCTGGCTGCAGCCATATCCTCTGGGTAGAGCCTGCAGCTATTAGTACTGAAGATGCTACGTAGTGCTGGACGTAACTCACATGGAAACCTCATCCCAAACTGCTGCAGCTTCAGCTGATAGACCTTTCAAGGCATCTTGCATGTTGTGCAACTGCCTTTCAAGAGCATCTTTCGCCTTCGCTGGGAAGCTCTTTGGCAACTGTAGAGGCTGTTGATCGATGACACTGGCAGTGGCAGCGCCCACCAGGGCTGCTGATAAGAGTCTCATACCTGCAGACCTGAATAGTGTCTGAGATTTGACAAGATATACGACAATGGAAGAGTATCAAGTAACTTACTAGTCTAATGGGTAGAAGGACCAGTTATCAGAGATACCAGAGGTGGAGGAGGGCGAGACACGAATGTCTCTGCCTGCGGCGCACCGGTTGCTCTCCACGACCGAGGTGGCACCTGTCGGAATCGTGGCTGGTGTGTCACTTGATCCATGTCGACAGTCTGCTATTGGTCATTCTCAGCCGAGATCTTGCTGCGGAACCACTGACGCAAGGTACCGCTCTGATCTGAATGTCTTGATTGCACAACTGTAAATCTAAAACTGCCGGATGGGAGTGCTCGTATATCGTTGTAAGCGGCAAGTAATCATAGCTTCTGCCGGAGCTTCGCTTCATATGCGTGATACGGAGCAACCTTACAAACCATGCGACAAGATGGTGTTCACGCGAGAATATCCCATGATACTCTCACAAGCAGCATTACGTACTTATATACGTTGTCGCTCCTTTGAAAGTCGTTGAGATCGATAAGCGCAAGGAGCTGGATTCTTTTAAGCACTCACAACGTACTATCTCGCGCAGTGTTCAGCCAGATAGAGAGTTATCGTTCCAGGTCACCACCTTACTTCGTACCCACTCATCCAATCCCTCGCGCATCGAGAAGCGGCCGAACCCGGACTTCTTCACGCCTCCATGAGGCCTATACAAAAGTCAGAACAAGAAGCAAAAAGCAGTATCAACCACATAAAGCATTAGCAGAAGGAAAGAGTGCACTTACAAGCCTGCTTCATCATGAACCGACATGGAGTTCAAATGGACCGCTGCTCTACGTTAGCCTAAGCAACCACGTCGGTCAAAGTGCAAACTTACCTCCTGTCTCGATACCCTTCGCAAGCCTAAGCCCTTTCCTCAGATCCTCCGTGAATACAGCACTGGCTAGGCCATAGTCAGTGTCGTTAGCCAGCTCCAGCGCCTTTTCCTCGAAATCCGGACCAGCAGGTATCGAGTAGAGTGAAACAGTAGGACCAAAGGACTCTGTGTGATATATCGACATGTCTTTGTTGACGTTCTCAACAATGACTGGACGCATACGTGTATTCGAGGCTTCTTCGGCATTGGCATCACCGTAGATAGCTCTTGCTCCCTTGGAGAGTGCATCGCTGAGCAGTTCCTTGTTCTTTTTTACACCGGGTGAGCTAACAAGTACAGGTGCAGGACCCTCTTTGCCAAACACTTGGTCCATTGTACCACATAGCTTCTTCTTGAACTCCTCGACAACCGACGATTCGACGATAATTCGCTCGGTGGCCATGCAGATTTGTCCGGCATGTAGGAAGGCTCCCAATGCGCACTGTAGGGCTGCGTTATCAAGGTTTGCATCCCCACAGACGATCGAAGGCGCTTTCCCGCCTAATTCCATGAGACAGGGTTTCAACATCTTGCCACATCGAGCAGCGATGATGGAGCCAACATTGGTGGAACCCGTAAAGTTGACCTTTTTGACCGCAGGATGATCGATGAGGGCGTTCGTGATCGGAGCAGCATCTTTAGGATCGTGATAGATAGTGTTCAAGACACCCGGAGGCAAGCCAGCTTGCTGCATGATCTGAGCAAAGTTCCAATATGTTGCTGGCGATGCCTCGGGTCCCTTGAGCACCACAGTGTTGCCCATGGCTATGGCTCCGAGGCTACTCAGGTGTTAGTTCAAGGTTGCGCATCGCGGAACTACCATATTCATCCTGAAAAGACACTGGCATGTTCATGAGGAGACTTACAACGATCGCATGCCTAGCACATGTGGTGCATTCCAAGGCGCTATGGCAAGCACGACGCCATATGGTTCTCGCCACAGCAAAGCCGACTTGCCTTCTCCGCTAGGAGTGAGCACAGAGCCTTGCACAGTAGGTATGAGACCAGCTATCGTCAAGCAGCCTTCATAAGCTGCATTGAACTCAAATTGAAACATAGAGTTTGCTGCTCCAGTCTCTGTGTTTGTGTACAGAAAGGCATCCTTCTCTTTCTCCTTCAATAGCTGCGCGGCTTTTAACAGGATGTCTCTTCTCTGTGCAGGCTTGCTCTTGCTCCATGTCTTGAACGCCTTCTCGGCCGAAGCCACCGCGTTCAGAGCGTCTTGCTCACTTGCGGCTGAACACTTCCAGCAGACTTTGTTGTCGTTCGGTGATACCACATCGAAAGTCCTGTCTGTTGTGATAGTCTTGCCATCAAGGAATAAAGGTACAGGATCGGATGAGGGATCGAACGCTGCATGAGCCGCTCCGTTCGTCGTCGCCATTTTTCAGTAGTGTCAGAGGACCAACTGTGCGCAGGGAAGTGGACTAGGAGACCGTGAGACGAAACACCGGTTCAAGAACACAGCTAGAAATTCTATGTAACCATCAATTGTATTAGCAACCAAACTTAGTTAAGTATTCTAGAGTCGATCGACTTCGGATGTGGGCAGCTTACTGTGGGGAAGTTACAGAGTTTCGTCGGGGCAGATCACGGCTGCTGGAGAGTGATTGTCGCCATTTTTTCAGCACCTCGCCTTCAGAGGAAAGTGGCTCGTTCCTGCATCGATTTCGCGCATAACGTCCAGCAACCCCTGAATATCGGCTAGTACTGGTCGCAGCACAAAACATAGTAGTTTGACCAGTCTGATGTTGAGAAATCGCAGAGCTCGATGTGAAGGACTACGAACTGCTCTGTCCAGATGAGCCTCAATAAATAATGTTTGGTGACTCGTCTGATTTCTGATGAGTCGTCCCTCCACTTTGCCGAAGAAGCTTCCACCTGAAGTCTTGTCAATGCCTGGACTTTTGCACGGTAGACACCATTGCATAAGTTCGTACTTCCGCATTACTCTTGATTCTTGTGTGAGCTGGAAATGCTTGTACAACCTGCTCACGTCGTGAAATCTGCAGAAGGATGGGTCGCTAAATGGCTCGACGCTTATCCGCAAGGAAAGGTTTCTGCGATCGAATCCTCCTTTTAGGATCGCTTGAGCTTGTGATGTGCAGTGGGATCCGCCTTATGCTATCAGCATTAATGAGTGGTGGTGCCTGTGCAGGCAACTCGATCAGGTTGACATTCCCCTCGTCTACATGACCAGGTGATGCATGCTAGACTCCGAGCTGACTTGTGGTCATAACGAAGCTGCTCAGGTCATGCTCGTGTTCGTACATGGCCGCTGGCTGATCTAATGGTCGACTGGCCTTTCAGAGGAGGATTCGGTCCGCTTACTAGGAGGTTCGTCCATGATGATGCCTCCTTCATCGTACATCGTGCTTGGTGAAGGTCTGCTGCACTATGCTTCAGCATCTTGTCTCGAAAATTAAAATCCTGTTTTAAGTAGGTATCTTGGGTCTCTCTCTGTCGCAGTACGGCTCACGACGTTGAAGGGCCGATGCTGTCACTCCAGTCATGCTTTGACGCACTATCTTCGCACATTTCTGAAACCAGCTCGAGGCAAAATGCCAAACTTTACCGTCTTTCGATGCTGCTTTGCCTTCCACCATTGAAGGTAAACCTTGAATTTGCAAATAGTAGAGCATCGAGCTTCGTCGGCAAGTCGTCTCAATTCTCCAGCTTACTGCTGCAATTTTTGATGCCGCAGCAGTTCATCGCCGGTGTTTTGCTTTAAAAGACGCGTGTTTCGTATCAACTCGCTGCTGTCGTCGACGTGTTTACTGATGTTGATCGTCCGTGATTAGACTCGTAAGCTCGCTGATAGGACATCCCATCAACATACTTGGTAACAACGCCGACCCGATCACCAATCTCTCTATCCTAGCTTCCATCGGCTCCATGAGAGTCCATTTCATGGTCGGACACTCGAATCACCACTTTTGTGCTTTGCTCGAGGGACGCGTTTTGACTCGTGCGGGGTAGAATTATCGTGGCGGAGATTCAGGTTCCATAACTAGCTTGAATGCATGACAGGTACAAAGCTCCGCTCATGCTGCAATGAAGCGAACTGCTGTTGGTCACAGTTCGTCCTTAGTCACGCCACAACTCCATGGTAGCATCTTGTGATTCAGGAATTGGTCCGCGCCTCCTTTTGGCCAGACCAATAATGGACAGAAGTGATAAGTGTTCTCAAAGCTCCAGCGCTCAGAAGGACAAGATGTGGTAAATAGTGTCGAACTGAAATCTTGTGCAGATATCCGGCCTTGGTACCGTGTAAGATAGCCCTGACAAGCATCCACTGTTCCCCGCTTTCGTGCCCCTCGAGCACCATCATTGTTTACATGCTGTGCCAAAGCTGTGCAAGGCGAGCCAGAACGACGACGGAGGAACCTAGACCGTTGCCATTCTATACTTTGACTTGCCTAATTGACAAGACCACCTCACTGGCTTCAACCACGCCAGATCTTGCAAGTAACAGTAGCAAGCCCACCTCGTAGATTGGAGGCCGAGACGACTACTGTATCTTGCTAAGCAAACCATCCAAAGCAGTTCCCTCCTGTCCGTGAGCTGCACGCAGAATGTCCCCCTCTCATGCCACGGGTCGAGGCGGCTTCTTGACCATTCAACGTCCAGATCGAGCTAACCGTAGCGTGTGAATTGTACCATTTCCACAAGGATCTACGCCTGGTGGATTCCATTGGCCTCAGGTCCGCATCTTCGGGCTATCGAGGTCCTTGTGAGGTTCGACACCATGCAGACCACTCCTTCCCTTACTCCGTTTGCCCTCGTTACCACCAAACAAGGACTAGAGTCCCCATTGCCGGATGGATCGTAAGCTTTTTCTTCGCCATGGGTCTCGAACGAGGGCAGGGAAGTTGAGGGGCATTCCCTTTCATCCTGTCTGGAGACAAGGATAGACAAGGACGGACAGGGAAGAATCGATCCTGCAGAAGGATACAAATATGCAGCTGCGCTCCGAGAAGCGAGGGTGTTTCTTTCTCTCTCACAGTCACAGACAACAACAACATATTTCCTCATCTTCAAATCTATCACCATGCCTAACATTCCAACCGAGCAGTGGGCTCAAGTCATCGAGAAGGTCGGTGGACCAGTCGAGTACAAGAAGATCCCAGTCGCAAAGCCAGGCCCTGGTGAGGTCCTCGTCAACATCAAGTACTCTGGTGTCTGCCACACCGATCTCCACGCCGTCAACGGTGACTGGCCCATCCCGACCAAGCTACCACTTGTTGGTGGTCACGAAGGTGCCGGTATCGTCGTTGCCCGAGGTGACGATGTCACCGACGACGTCTGCAAGATTGGTGAGGCTGTCGGTGTCAAGTGGTTGAACGACTCCTGCTTGTCTTGCACTTTCTGCCAGCAGGCTGACGAGCCTCTGTGCTTGACTCCTAAGCTCTCTGGTTACACTGTCGATGGATCCTTTCAACAGTATGCCATCGCGTCGGCTAAGCAGTATGTGTTACTCCCCTCGAGCTCAGACTATTGGTAGCTAACCTTGCAATAGCGTTGCACACATTCCAGACGGAGTACCTCTAGATGAAGTATCCCCAGTCCTCTGTGCCGGTATCACTGTCTACAAGGGTCTGAAAGAGTCTGGAGTACGACCAGGTCAATCCGTTGCCATCGTCGGTGCGGGTGGTGGTCTTGGTTCCCTTGCCCAGCAATACGCCAAGGCTATGGGCTTGAAGGTCATTGCCATCGACTCCGGCGAGGAGAAGAAGAGCATGTCCGAGAAGATGGGCTGCGATGTAAGATTTTTGAGAAACTTACAAGTGTCACACTAACAAGAGCTCAGGCTTTCATCGACTTCGCCAAGTCCAGCGACATCACCAAGGACGTCCGAGCCGCCACTAATGATGGTCTCGGCCCACACGCCGTCATCTTGGTCGCCGTCAACGAGAAGCCATTCCAGCAAGCTGCCGAGTACGTCCGACCAAGAGGTACCGTCATTGTCATCGGTCTCCCAGCCAATGCATACATCCGTGCACCAGTCTTCGAGTCCGTGCTCAAGATGGTTAGGATCCAGGCCTCATACGTCGGTAACCGACAAGACTCTGCTGAAGCACTCGACTTCTTCGCACGAGGCCTCATCCACGCTCCGTTCAAGACAGTTGACCTTAAGGATCTTCCAGATGTTTACGAGAAGATGCACAAGGGACAGATCGCAGGACGATATGTGCTCAAGATGCCAGACCCAGAATAGATGGCTCGCCCATGTTGATACCCATTTCAAACAAGATAGCAGAATTGATCATGTTAAAAAACAATCGTCTCTCAATTCCTTGTAAGGCGACGGTGGAATTTAGTACTTCCTGTATTGGTTATGTGTAACAGCGCAGTAGTGGTAGGAAGAAAGGCGCCAAGATCAGTATATTAACCAAACTCGGAGTGGCTTGTGCAATTCAGGTAATTTGCCTCAGGCTGTGCCTACCATACCAGTAGATGCGGCAAATATTTGAGCGCGAAAGTGCTGTGGAAGGCTAGCAGCATATACACAGGCTAATTAGACTTGGAACATAGCAAAGGGATAAAAGGAAATCTAAGTTCCGAACAAGATACATATTCAAACTAGAATGCGAAGATGGTAAGCTTCGTAAGGACGTAGGAGGCGTCGAGATTTTGCCGATCTCGCCAGAACCCCATGTAGCTCTGTGGCTCTTTCGCCGCCTCAACCACCAACAAGCCTCGCACTTTACACGTACGCGTGGATGCCGAAGTCTCGAGAAGATCACTGGAAGTTGTTCCCATTCTAATATCTCCTGCAAGAGATCGTCGCACAATGATAGGTACTGGCTCAACAAATAGCCACAGTACACTCACGTGTCCATTAGCCGATCCTCGGTGCTTCCTCTGCTCATTCTTGTGTGTTCCTTCAAAAAGCGGATCTTCTGTCTACCCATCTCAATGTGTTGCATCGCAAGAGAATGTACAGTTTTCTCGTACCTCCTGCATTCCCTTGAGTCGATGCCTCCATTTACCGTCCAGGTATCAGATTTTTAAAGCACCTCAAGCTGTGCTTCGTCCATGGTAGCACATGACAGATTGTCTGAATAGACCTCACCATATTCGGCATGCCTTTTTGTAGCTCATCATAGCTCTCAATGCACCTTATATTGATAATCGCCTTGTTGGAGCTTCCACCTGCCTGCACTTCAGTTCTGACTCCCCGAGCCGTCTCATTTGACGGCTGAAAAGACGTGTAGGCAACACCAAACTTGCGCCGTAATGCTTCACTTGTGTGAAACATCAGAATTGAACAGAGACAGATCAGACAACATGAGGATTCCAGCTTCCATATTTTTGAAAATGCTGGCTACGTGGCCTCCTGAAATGCACGCCGTGCCTTCCTCGACAGTCACCCTGCGTATCCTGTATCCTACTCATGCCTGCTTGTAGCAGTACAAATCCGCACAACTACTCGAACCGGCAGGCTTTGGCTGAACAAATCTGGCTCCAGCGAAGTATTCCCGTGAAGCTCAGACATGGTAGCCAAGCAGACTGAGAATGATGGGCATAGTATCTGTGCTGTGTCAGGGCTTACCTGCACTATGGACTGACGGTAGTTTAGTCGCTATCCTCGGGACATGTTACCTATAGCTATCGCGACGAATTGCAAGCACTTTCGAAACAGACATGTCTTCTTAGAACTATAACCTGGCTTCGAGCAGCTAGTCGTCATTTATCAACGACTTCGCATGTCTGGCCAGCTTCGCTTGCCTCGCGATCTCACGTGATGAAGAACTACCAAGCGCATGTCGCGTTCGAGCTTTCAATAGTCCGCACCCCAGTCTTCGGTTCTGAAAACCGAGCAAGCACGCGAACGGCTTCCTCGTTCTCTCGCTGTAGCCAATGATGGAGATCGGAAAACGAGCTGACACGGAACAGACGCCGACTCCATGCACACAGCTGCACCGAGGTGCGCCGACAGAACTTTCGTGCTTGGAGTCGAAACGTGGGGCGCGCATGCTGTCGAGGTTTCAAGCAAAAGATACAATCATGGAGAATGTGTCATGGGACACTCTTACACAGTCAATCTAGCTAAATAGCAACACGAACTAGCCGTTGCGGGAAGAACATTCGTTACTTCTCAAGAAGCACGCAAGAGTGTCCTATCAATCCAGTTGTGTGAAGCGGAAGGCAAACATGGATACCAAAACAGGTGGTTTTCAAGAGCCTCGTTACCTTGAATTCAAAAAGTCGAACAAGACAGTCAATGGTCAACCTATACTGAACAAATATTCCACCGATCTAACCAACCACCATGACTTCCCAGGAGCAAAGGTAGGAGCTGATTCACATCGCGCAAGCACGCGCTAAGTATCTCAGGCTATGTTGTACGCTGCTGGAATCCCTGACAGTGATGCTATGCACAATCAACCTCACGTCGGAATTTGCTCCAACTTCTGGGAAGGCAATCCATGTAATATGCACTTACACGACTTAGGCAAAGAGGTCAAGAAGGCGGTGATAAATAAAGGCATGCTTGGATGGCAGTATAACACCATTGGTGTTTCTGATGGTATTTCCATGGGGTCAGATCGCATGCGATTTTCCTTGCAGTCTCGAGAGGTCATTGCGGACTCGGTCGAGACGGTCACATGTGCTCAAGCGCACGATGCGTGTATCACGATTCCTGGATGTGACAAGAATATGCCTGGTGTAATCATGGGGATATCAAGACATAACCGACCGAGCTTGATGATCTATGGTGGCTCAATAGACAAGGGGTATTCCAAGGTTCTGAGACGACCCATCAATATTGCGACCTGCTACGAAGCTTTCGGCGCCTACCAATACAACACCCTCAAACAGCCATCCGATGGTGGTGATCAATCAGCCACCAAAGACGAAATTATCGAGGACATTGAGAAACATGCTTGTCCTGGGCAAGGAGCTTGTGGTGGAATGTACACTGCGAACACTATGGCAGTAGCTATCGAGTCCATGGGTCTGTCCCTTCCAGGTTCGAGCTCGACATTGGCGAACTCACCCGCGAAGCTAAGAGAGTGCGTAAAAGCCGCAGATGCAATCAAGATATGTATGGAGCAAGATATTACACCTGACAAGCTAATCACCAAGCGTTCTTTCGAAAATGCTCTTGTAATCACTATGGCTCTTGGAGGTAGCACCAATGCTGTGCTTCATTTTCTTGCTATGGCAGTAACTGCACGGGTTACTTTGACTCTAGACGACTTTCAGAGAGTCTCAGACAAGATACCATTCATTGCAGATATGGCACCGTCTGGAAAGTATCTCATGGCGGATCTGTTCGACATTGGCGGCATCCCAGCTGTGCATAAGTATCTCATTGCTGCTGGACTTCTTGACGGTGGCATTCCGACAGTTACGGGCAAGACGCTTGCTGAGAATGTAGCAAGCTGTCCTTCCTTACCTCAAGACCAGCTGATTATTCGCGATCTGAAGTCGCCCATCAAGCGAACAGGACACATCCAGATTCTGCGTGGCAATATCGCACCAGCAGGCTCTGTTGCCAAGATAACAGGCAAGGAAGGTCTCAAGTTCACTGGTAAGGCCATGTGCTTCGACAAGGAGTACCTGTTGAACGAAGCGCTTAACAATGGTGCAATTCCGGATCATCCAAATCTTGTCATTGTAGTACGCTATGAGGGACCAAAAGGAGGGCCTGGTATGCCCGAGCAACTGAAGGCTTCGGCAGCTATCATGGGGTCTGGTTTGAAAAACGTGAGCATGATAACCGACGGACGATACTCGGGGGCCAGTCACGGCTTCATCGTTGGCCACATCACGCCAGAAGCGGCTGTCGGAGGTCCAATTGCTCTGCTCCAAAATGGAGATGAGATCACAATCGATGCAGAAACCAGGACTCTCAGTGTCAACCTCAGCGATGAAGAGTTGGATGCTAGACGAGCGAAATGGACACCTCCTCGGATGCCAGTAACACGTGGTGTAATGGGTAAGTATTCTTTCCAATTGTGCAGCCAAAAGCTAATTATTTCTACAGCCAAATATGCTGCGTTAGTCTCGGATGCTTCGCATGGTGCTGTGACAGATCTCTTTTAAGATGTCATATAGACTTGCAGCTTCACGGCCTATGCGTATATTCCGCACACCTCACCTCTAGCTGCAAACCTTCCTCTCCTTATAGATCGATCGTCTTCCAGGTGGCATAGCTCGTGTTGAATGACTTTGCTACGATGTGTCTGATGGTACTGAGCACGCAATGACGCGCGTGATGAAACGCACAGTTCCCGAAGAGTGTTGGCTTATTTGTGTTAACCAGCTCGTACGACCAAAGGTTAATAAAATTGACTGTAGAACGATATGAGAAAACAAATGACGTTGTTGGAGAAGACAACCCGACACAAAGATAGTTGTTGTTCTTATGTAACTCGTGCACCTTGACTCTGTCTTGTATTACAGACGTCCTTGGCCTCCGTCAAACGTGTTATTGTTGCAGGCCACAGTGAGCATTTTCGAAAGAGGAATCAGTTATATCGAACTCAAGCTCGTCATTGATTCTAGTGAATCGCTACATTAACCACGATCACGTATGATCCATATTGACCCGTGGTGACCACTACTCGTCAGCCAAGTGAAAGTCACAAATCATGTCAAAAAGTGTAGAGGCTACGCTCGAGGGAAAGTATCCAGCGAAGGCGCACTGTCGTCGGGTAGCGCAATATCTCCTTGATCAAAACTTGTCTCGTGATGGTGTTATCTATCTGGAAGCACAGAAGACTCGCATGGTCGAAGATGACGATCAAGCCATGCACTTTCGCCAGCGGCGCTACTTTTTCTACTTGTCGGGTTGCAAATTGCCAGACGCTTACCTGTTATACAGTATCCCGCTCGAAAAGCTCACCTTGTTTATTCCTCCTGTTGTCCAAGAAGAGGTCATCTGGTCAGGTCTGCCTGAATCAAAGGAGGAGGCATTGGCAAAGTACGATGTGGATGATGTGAAGTACACGAACGAAGTGAACGCGGCTTTGGCTGCGTATGGGCCGTCGAAAAGCACGACCGTTTATGCTATACCAGAGCAAATAGCTGAGCATATCACTTTTCTGCCCTTCGCTGCCACAAATGTCGATACCCTCCGTACCGCGATTGACGAGTGCCGAGTAGTCAAGGATAGCTATGAGGTGGCATTGATCAGGAAGGCCAACCAGATCTCGACTAAAGCACATATTGAAGTACAGCAAGTTGCCCGGCATGCTCAGAATGAGGAGGAACTCTATGGTGCTTTCATTGGAAGTTGCATAAGTAATGGCGCCCATGAACAGGCATACCATTCTATATGTGCAAGTGGAACCTCTTGCGCGACACTGCACTACGTGCGGAACGATCGACCATTGAGGAACAGGCTGAATGTGCTAATGGACGCGGGCGCAGAATATGATTGCTATTGTGCTGATATTACACGAACGTTTCCCCTCAGCGGCACGTTTACCCCCGAGTCTCAAACGATATATGACATAGTGAAAGACATGCAAGAGGCAGCCTTCAAGATGCTTCATGCGAACGTGCAGTGGGAGGACGTTCATGCCGAAACCCATAGAGTTGCTATCAGAGGACTTGTCAAGGCTGGTATCCTGGTTGGAGACGAGAAAGAGCTCTTCGATAGTCGTGTTTCAGTGGCTTTTTATCCTCACGGGCTTGGACACTATCTTGGGATGGACACTCACGACACAGGTGGGCACGCTAACTACGCCGACAAGGATAGCATGTTCCAGTACCTCCGTGTCAGAGGTCGCGTGCCTGCTGGTGCTGTTATCACCGTCGAGCCTGGCGTCTATTTCTGCAAATTCATAATTGAGCCAATACTCGACAAAGAGGTGGGCAAGCACATTAACAAGGAAGTGTTAGAAAAGTTTTGGGACGTTGGAGGTGTGAGAATTGAAGATGATGTGTTAATTACGGACGAAGGTTTCGAAAACTTAACCGACACGCCGAAGTTATAGGCTCCTGCCAGTTGTCCATGGCTCTGGACCGCCATGCTAGCAAGATAGCTTGAAGACACCTGATGCACTGCATAGAGAGGAAGCCGATATGTCGCGTCTCTCGACGAAGGTACCAGACTCTGTCGTTGTTTCTGAGCTCAGAAGCCACGCTATCGATGCTCCTGGATATTGCCTAATAGATACTTTGGCACAGTACCAGCACTACAGGTACTCCACACACGTAGTACTAGTGCGATCAAGCGCACTAGTCCACTCCAAGTAATGAAATGTCTGTGGAGGGGTCTGGAGTTCATTCGGCCACAGCCGACTGGATCTGTCAACATCGAGTTTGATGAGAGCTGGTCGCGTGGAGAGCCAAGCGCAAGGGCAAATGCACCCCAGATCCAGTCGATCGTATTCCCCACGAATCACAAATCTCCGGCTCTTTTCTTTGGAGCCAAGCAAGTTGAATCTTACAAGCAGATCCACAAATGGATCAAACACTCTTCTGGGTCGCGAATTCCACATTCCAATCCAAGCTCATGGTTGCTGTCGAACCTCCTTGCTGCAGACCGTCAGGCAGCCTTGTAGGAAATGTGCAAATTAGACCTTCAAAGTGCTCAATGCGTCTGTTTGTCGTACTCGTGATATAAACAGCAAGAATGTCCATTCACATCTCTTTTCGTCGTTATCCCATCCGCTACAGGTGAAAATATTGGTCACTTCGGCAGTCGATAATTAGACTTCTCACCACAAACTCTAGCCACCAGCTGCATTAAGCACGTGCACAACAAAATACGAATACTTGTGCGGCTGAAGAAGCAGCTGTCGACTTTCAGTACTTCTATCGATCTACCACAACTGCGGATTTCCACAGGCGCAAAACTGGCCATAGCACTCTTCATAACCAACACAGATACAGACTCGGTTCAGTCCAAACGACCAGGGCTCGATATGGAGTGTTTAAGGACCCTTTTCAGACGACCTGGCAAGTCGAGGCACAGTCGTAGAGAAGGCGTCGGTGCACAGAGGTTATATGAAAAAGACTCGGCCTCTGATACAATTGGCGCTATGCAAGTAGCAGGTATGCAAAGATCAAAGCAGGGAACATTTGTCACATCATATACGAACACACCAATCATCCCAGTCACACACGGACAGAATACACAATCCTCATCTATAAGTGACTCCTCCAAAACAGCCGTCGATACATCCTTCGTGTCGCGGCACGGTGAAAGTCAGTGGAAGGGAAAGCCAAACGGTAGACCTTACGATCGAAGAGAAGAGTTGTCGCCGGAAGATGAGGATATGTGGGCAAAGATGTCAATGTGAGAAAAGGTCTGAAAGAAACCTGACTTTGATCGTTCATATTGAATTTTGGCTTCGAGATTAAGAAATACCAATCTAAGCAGGACATGAACATGATACCATATGCAAAGCCAAAGCTAAGATACAGAGCCACGCATGAAGACTATTGGCAAGTCAGACTTAATCTCGATTGTAAAGAACAGTGTGCTACTCATACTACTGGTAGATGATTCGACTCTATCAAATTTCCAATCACAGTTGCGTTGGCAGGGTTAATTTTCACGATTCGATAAGCGAAACAATCCCAGTAGAGCATGACCAATATCCAATTTCGGAGGTTCCACCCTACTAACAACTCGCTGGGGACGCCGCGTGAAAACGAGTTTTCGGACTTTACTTCCACTTGCGCTCTGGCTCATCTCACAGTCACGCTGTGCTGCGACACTACCCAGTGTTCGTTGCTTCCAAATATCAGACACTGAACAATATTTTACTTGCACACCTCGAGTTTATACATTGGGTAGGTAATGGGGTTGATTTGTGCCCACTGCACTGTTAGTAACGCGAACTCCGATCGTGTTTCCCCGCACTCTCGATCACAGCTGACCTGCGGAAGAGCCATTTATGTTCGATGAACTCAAAGTTATATTGATATTGAGATGGATACCACCACCGATCGTACCTGACAAGACAACTGCTCAGGTACCACGATGGACCACACGTGAATGTGGAAATGTTATGCATGAGAAACAGAATTCATAACTCCTCTGAAGTCGTGACATCAGAGAATCGACATCATAATCAAGTCGCTAACCGAAGCACTTGGTGTTGACCTCATGATCAGTGAAGGAATAGAAATTGGAGTCCTGCAGCCCAATGACGAAGGCAACTCATGATGCAACAGGTCCATTCTGTCTTCACGTGCGATTACTTCATATTTTGACATTGCAGGACTGACGATGGAAATTCAAACGTGGCCTCACTTTGAATCTTAGAGTTATAACAATACCTTCAAGCCATCATGACACCCAACATTGTCAAAGGATCTAACTCCCTCCCTTCAGACCGGTACGACGACCCGAATCATCCAGCAAATCAAGCCTCTTTTCAAGCAAATAAGACAGAAAAGTCACAGGAGAGCGATATGTCTTCAGGAGGAATGGATGGAGACCATGCTGGCAAGACTATGGATCGTGGCGCGAACGCAGCCACAAACTTGACTGAAATGTCCGAGGGTATACATGAGGACGCAAAACAAACAGTACGAGAAATGCAGGAACCTGCTTACCGATCCTGATATTGACATGTATATACAGGCTGGTGCTGGTCAGAAGGAGACCGGACAGGGTACCTCCGTCTTCGACGCCAACAAGGGTTCGATAGGGTCTGCATTCGCAAAAGACGGAAGTATTGGTCAGATTGGTGAGAAGGTTGGAGGACCGTTCTCTTCAGAGGGCATGATTGGTAGGTTAGACCTCGTGTTGGACTGAAAGAGCCAGCTGACAATACTCCATAGGCAAGAACTTCACTCAGGGCGGTTCGATCGGAGGGACATTCCAGAAGCTTGCGGACAAGAACCAGGAGCATTGATATGCCTCACCCAATATTGAGTCATTATGTTGCACCATAACACCGGCAGCATGACTGTCGACTCAGTCAAAATATGAATCTATCACATCAGCCCTCGTCGCCCTTGACCATCTACCTATTGATTTCTCCCACCGATATGCTCTGGTCGTGTCCAGTCTAGCGGCTCGGAAAGATCTCCCTTGAAAGCGACGTTCTTGATCACGTGTGTATCTCGTTAGTGAGTTCATGCTGGTTTTCGAGCATGTCGCACAAGTTGAGCCTCGATTGTTTGCTCTGTTGAAACAACAGCGCACCAGCATGTCAACCAGGCATCTCACCGACATAGCCGGGGGCTACTGGTTTCAGGCTGGCTTTCTGGTTGCACTTGGCGTTGTCAATGCCTGCTTCTCCTCACGCAGCAAACTCCATCTTACAAAGAAAGGTCACTGTGTCTCCCACTCACATGTCTGCGAAGGCGTGTAAGCTGCACGAAGTACTGAAGATGTGTCCTTGGTTTCACGACTATGCTGCGTGCTGCCGCAATATCCAATTATTATTCAAGAATGTTACGATTAGCTTTGTTCTTGTTCTTAAGCATTTCAGTTAATCATGAGCACTAATCGGGCTATGCACAGCATATACAGATTATTACTACCAATCCACTGACTATAGATACTCTATGGCACGTTGTATGTCCAGAGAATCGCAATGTCCTTCCAGCTGAACTTTTACAAAGACCATCTCATCAACAAACTCTGCGGAGCGAAAGACAGAGCCTCTGCCGTTCTCAGACAACTCGACAATTGTGAAGTCAAGCTCAATATCATATCCTCAACGAACCAAACTGAGCACGATAGCAAGATGCCTCACAAGAACATGGTCCGCAGCCGTTCCAGATCCAAGTGCAGGACTTCCTGCTCTCATTCACACGAGAGGGAGAGATTTTACAAGGAGAAGCCACGCTACATCTTAAATTGGGACGACGATGAGTCTGACGACGACTCTGTCTGCTCCTGCGACGACAACTGCCATTCGACTCGAGGCCGATCACCCTTCCCAGTCTATATAGACGGCCGCAACACTAGTCAGCAAAACATCCAGATCCACGGCGGTGGTGCCAGAGATATCCACAAGCAGCACCGTGGACGATTCCGACGTCGTCCTCGCGGCATCCTCGTCAATTGTGATGATGGCTGTAAATGTGGCGGGTTCAGTGGTTACAGACGTCCTTGTCATCCAGACTATATCAAAGTTGCCCCAGCCTCGCGAGCGCCACAGGAATATCACATGATCTGCAACGAGGATGGCAAGGTCGACCTTTACGAGCGTGAGAAACTCAATAGGCACATCTTTGATCAATTCAAGGCCATCGAGAAAGCACAGAAGGAGGAGAAAGAGGCAGCGAAGAAAGTTCAGAACGATGCAGTCGATCTGTTCAACAAACTGCAGGGCCAACAGTGCCCTCCTCGATTCGGTTGTGGTGGAGGATGCGGATTGTGGTCGTGTGGATGCAATGGTCTTGGAGGAAGTTATGGAAGCTCTAGGTCAGCAGAAGCAATTCGGTCTGAGTTGGCGAAGCTGAAGGCTAACAAGCAACAGCTGTATTCCGAGGCTCTTCTAGAAGGCCAGCAGCGAGCACGGCAGAATGAAATTGAGGTAGCACTGGATGGTGTAGAGATGATGTGCAGTGGAGCATTGCAAGATACTGATTCAAGGGATGATCTGAAATCGAGGGATACTAGAAAGACAACGAAGGGTATATTGATGAAGTCTAAGGTACATTTCTTGGTCGAAGAGGCAGAAGGGATTTCAGGCAGGGTGGAGGAAGTCGACGATACTGATGGGGAGGAGAGGCGTGGTGAGCATTGTTGCAGTGGCTGTTCATGAATAGGCAGGAGAATTACATGACGAGGTACATGAAATGAACACAACTTAATATTGTGAGCACTTGTCGTGTTCACGCAATAAGCATTCCGAAGATAGACCTAAGTCCGCTAATCTGTTGAGTTTCGTTCAACTTGAACTTGAAGTTGGCAAGTGATACTTGCGCAGAACGTACTTGAATCGGGCGCTCGAGCATGGCTTCCAGTACTCCTATTGGAAGAGCAATGGGTGCGCCGTACACGGTAAATGAAAAGATCCTTCCGCTTCTTTTGCTTGCATAAGTCTTTAACCTCTCGGACATCATACGTCCGGCGCTTTATCTCTTTCTCGTCGGGTCAAGCACGAGGCAACTGCGACTCCATCTCCTGCTGCACCATCCAACATATCAACCCAAGCTTGAAGAAGCCATATATTGACACTTCATAGCGCTCTTACAGCATCTCTCGCCTCTTCGTTGCCTTCATGCCATCCTGCAAGCATCTTTTCTAACAATTTCAAAATGGCACAGTGGTGTAACATCGCCGATGCAGCATCTTGTACCCTTGAAGTTGCTGCCCAGCCTGTCGCCATCCAGCTCAGGGATGAATTGCCTGCCGATGTCTCTTCGAAGAGCGTGCCCATCCATGCCTCTACCTGTTTCACATGTTCTTGCTTCAGGAACTCTCGTATCGCTTTGGCTTCTTCGATGTACGTTTGCACGATTGTGACAATAACGCTGGGAAAGCGCTCGGCGATCATCATTATCCATCTCCAGCTCTCTCTGCGGAGCGCACAGCCTGGTGCTGTAAGAAATTAGCTGTCACGCACAAACAGGTTGGAGCTCTAAGCAGACTCCTTACGTTGTATCAAGGTCCATGCAAGGTTTTTTCGGTAAGTTGCCAGCTGCCTGCCAGCTTCATTGGTGTCGTCTAAGTGTTCGCTCTTTTGTAGTGTGAGGAGTACCTTCAAGGCGATCACCTCTGGTCTTGGTAAGTTTTGTCCAAGCAAGAGGTAGGATATCGTGCTTACCTTTGGCAGCTTCGAAGGTGGAGATCTCTTTCGGTATCGTGGCCACAGTGAATGGCTCAATCTGAGACATGATGGAGGATCGACGACTAGATTTTTTCGTGAAATAGAACGAGGAAATAGAAGATGAATTGCTTGCAGTTGAGAAGTAAACGGTTGTTTGATTGCCTCAATCGGTGTTCAATCGAAAGGGAAGTGCTTTAGGAAGTGACTTTCTGAAATCTTGAAGGTGTTTCCAGGCGCTTGTGATTCTTTCCGCCATGACCATGAAGAGTGTTAGAACCTTCACTCGCATTGTCTTATCTCAAAGACCTGTCTCACCGCAGAAAGCAATGGAAACGGACAGATCATTCAAGCAATCATGCAAGGCTTTCTCAAATAGGACAATGACTTCACGACATGGGTCGACCTCGATGTTTTTTTTAATACTAGAGTTTTGAAAACATCTGCTCCTTCATAGGTCGCGCATCCAGTTCATGCGTCCATGCACTCCTCGGCTGAGTATGCAGAAACCAATACGTGTGCGCCAGGTCCGCAGGCTGAAGAAGGTGCGCATCAATGTCCTCAAGTTTCTCCTTCGCATCCTCTCGCGCCCATTGCCTCCTTCTCACGCCACCAATTAACTTCCCATCAACGGGAGCATCAATAATGATGTGTGCTGCATGTATTCCTTGCGCTTGATATTCTCGTGTGATGACTTGACACAAAGACCTTAGACCAAACTTTCCTGGGCTGAAGCTCGATAGGCCAGGAGTCCCTCTCAGAGCCCCTGTAGCACCCGTGAAGAGAATGGTGCCCTTCCCAGCAGCTAGCATGTCAGGAAGAACGCACTTCGTAGACCAAAAAGCCCCGAAGAGGTTGATCTTGGTGAAATTCTCAAACTCTTCACTCGTTGTATCCAGGATTGATCTGCCGTTGACTCTTCGAGCACCTGCGTTGTAGACGAGCACGTTGACGGGTCCTAGCTCATTGCGAATCTTGCGGAAACTCGAGCTGACTGATTCTTCGACTCGAAGGTCTGTGATGTAGTACTGTGCTGTGTCTTTCCCATAATCCTTATCTATACCTTGTGCCATTGTTTGGAGCTTTTCCTCTGTCCTGGCTAGTAGAGCGACTGCAAAGCCTTCGGCTACGAAGCGTCGGGCGATGGCTTCACCCATGCCTGGGCCTGCAGAACGGGCATGTTAATCGAGACCCCGATTCGCTTGTGAAGGCAAGGACTAACCTGCACCCACCACGGCGATCACAGGCTTCTTAGTTCCATTCAGAGACATGTTAACAATATGAAATTTCAGTTACAGGGCGCGAATGAAGTGACAGTAGCAGACCTCTATGTTCTCACTACTCGCGGCGACACTGTTCACTCGATCATAGTGACTCTAAGATCATACCAAACTCATGAGGAAGAAGTACTCACGACCTCACACGCTGCTTTTACCACAATTGAGCTAATCGTACAGTACGAAAGCTTACATTTCCGTGCAATGTACTGTACCTCGGCAAGTATGATCGTCCGCTCATCACAAATGCTGCTTTGAGACCTGCCTGTCCTTGACAAAGCACACACGAAGATGTAGGATATTGCATTCGATAAAGTTGAAGATCACTATAGTCACGACTCTTTCAGTATACGTTACTGCTGAGGCAGTAAATGCATGCTTCTACAATCTAGCGATGACCGGATGTGGAGAATTGAGCATAGGTTCCGCGATCTCACGTGCACAGATTGACGCGAAGAATTTGAATCCACTATGATCGGACAGGGTACGGACGATAAGATGAGCAGAAAGAACGTGGTGAGCATCGGGAGTGACGATCGGAAGTTTATGGACCCCCTCGAAATACAAGGATGAAAATGTGCTCCAGTAAGCAGTCTTGTGATCTGGCGTGATATGCCAACAGCATAAAGATATACAGGATTAGGATATGTTCATACTTGATACTCGCAGCACTGTCACAAGCCATGCGGTGTGCTATGTTCGATGAGATGGCATTGAGTTGAGCCTCAATTCGCCGGAGATATGTAATCTCGATGTGCACTATGGTATAGATAGATATTCTAAATCTGGAAGGTGCGGAAGATTCTGTGAACAGTTCGAGCTCCTGTATTTGTGTATCTGCGAGTGGGGACGGCTTGCACCTGATAGATGCCACTCACGAAACAGATCCAGGATATAGTAATCTCTGACTCGTACTGGTATATTCCTGCTTCCCCTTTGCTGAGGATCCCGTCAGTCTGGGCTGAAAATAATGTTCCTAGCTTGGGCTGGATCGGACGCCTCAAGCCTCAGGACCGAACCTAAACCCGACTCCGTGGTGAGGGGCGGAGTAGTTGTTATCTCACAATGCCAATGTCGTGCGACCTTTCCTGACTGCAGGCATCACGAACGGACCATCAAAGCGAAGAAAATAGCACGTCTGATGCACGACAAGGTAAGAGACCAACATCTGTTCTTGCTGAGAGCGAATGTATCAACCTCAACGGCAGTCATAACGTGGTCAACACTTTCAGCCTAGTGTCGCCAAGCATTAAGAGTTAGCAGCAGACCATTTGATTAGTGGCGCGAGTCGAGATGCACCTTTGATACCCCTGAAGGGAGCGAGGTAGTGTGTGCAACGAGATAGATATCTTCGTGATGGACCTGAATGATGGATTCCGAAGTCCTTGCTGTCTCTGCAGGTTGATCTGGAAATAGCCCTGTTGTGCTCTTGTACATTCCACCACACTCTTTTGACCAACTCATAGCCTCTCTGTTCTGCTACTGAGTCCTCGGAGCTCTTCACTTTTGGAATACATCCCCAAGCGTTACTTCTCTCCATCCGGCAAAATGACGACGTACAACATTCATTTCATCAACAAATATTCACAGGCGGGCAGCAACCAAGATTATGCCATCTTCAGTGACCTGCCGAAGCTGTCTCATAACCCTTCCAGCTCACCATTATACAGCAACGTCTTTCGTGCTACATCATTGACAAGAGGTGAAAGCTGGAATATCGGCATCTCCAATAGGCACTACGCCTGGTGCGGCACAGTCGATCGAAAGCTCTCTGCCTTCGCTAAAGTCGTAGTGGATTCTGGCAAGCTTGCAGTTCTCGGTACTCAAGCAGCACCTGGATGTGAGTTGATGTGGTACGGAGTTCATGTGCAAGGACTAAATCACCACAGCTCTGATCGAGGTAGTCAACAAGAACGGACGCCCCTCATTCACCTCCAAGTCGGCTCTCACAAGCAAGTCAGACTCTTTTGCTCTACAGACAGATCCCGATGTAAGCCTCAAGTCGGAGAGTGTGGTTGGTGTCGCCACCGTCGATGATGAGGGTAATCTACGACCACTTGCTACGGTAAGCCATCTCACTTCGTAGCATGGCTGTCTCACAAATGCTGATTTTCGCTAGATGAATGCGCCATTCAATGCAACCATTGATATTACACCAAGCGGCACGTTCTACATTGCTGCCAAGTCAGCCAGCGCCGGTACTGTGATTGATCCCACTACCGAGTCACACAATGCTGCAACCATCAACTTCGCGGCTTACCAAGGAAGTTATGGTGCTATCGTGACACACGAGGCTAACGGCGATTTTGCGGTCGAGTATGTCACACAACAAGCTTACAACAGTGCCATCTCCATGGCACAGGCCAGTGGTCTCGATACAGAGACAGTGCCCCGTGTGACAGAGGATGTTCGTGATAGTGAAATTGCAAAGCTGAGACAGCAGATGTAAGTCATAGGCATAATAGCGGGAAAATCCTTGCATACTAACAATACCCCAGCCAACAAATGCAGCTTCTCCTAGACACCCAATCCCGCCAAGAACAACATGATCCTGCGACTGAAACTGCCGCCGCTCAGCCCTCGATGCAGTTCCCAACGATAGAAGATACGCCTGCCAAGACAGTCACATCCATCGCCAATGCTCCTAAATCCGCCGTTGCCGCTACTCGTCCTACCACCGATGTCGTCGCAGATCCCTATCCTTGCAAGCAGCCTACCACCTGGTACAAGGTCACCATGCCATTCCGCAACAGCCCTGGTCAATCTCGTCGACGCGAGATCCGTGATCGCCTGATTAGCCTCATGCAAGCCATCGGCTACAACTACGAAGGTGCAACCATCGACAACGCCATGATCGCTCTATTCAGCCATAATGCTGGTACCTACGGCAACTGGCACTCTGTCCTCAAAGCCAACGAGGACTGGAACGAAGCATACAACAGCCTCTCAAGAAGCCTACGAGGATTCGTCGGTACCGCCGAAGAACTGACCGTCGAGCGTGTCCAGGAGTCAAAAGGCCTATGGAGAGCTCGTGGTGAAACAGAGAGCCGGGCGAAAGACACCACAGAACCAACCGACAGAATCGCCGGCACTGTCGCCAGCCTCGGAAACACTTCAAGCAACAGTGCACGACCGTCGGCCCCCAACAGCAGCACATCATCCAAGCCTCTCACAAACGTCGTCCACCACGACCGCACCCACAGCAAGACAACAGCTAAACCCGTCACGAACGGCGTCAACGGCATGCACCGCGACCACTCCCGCGCCAGCAGCAGATCCGCCTCCCCAGTCTGGACCAACGGCATCAGCACCACGACAAACGGTGTCCAAAGCCACAGTCACGGCCGAACATCCTCCAAGACTACCTCGAAGCCACCGACCAACGGTGTACATATCGCACCCAATGGAGCTATTGCAAACGGAATCAACGGCACAACACTCAACACCACGACGAAGAAGTACGACTACCCGCGAGCAGAGGAGACGGCGATCGAGGCCGCGAAGCGACGTGCTAGAGCTGTGCTGGAGGCGGAGGGGTTAATCGAGCTTGCGAGTGGGTGGAAGGTATCCGGTCGATAGGCTGCGATAGTTTGTGGTTTTGGATGCAGGTTCTGATCTGCTGCTGGATGTTGACCGGTCTGATCACGGCTGAATGTGGTATGTCCGATGAGTGATGGTTGTTTTCCTATTTTCATACATATGTTCCTATGTGCGTGTAATCAGGTCTGGGTCTAGTACTTCGTGTCTAGGAGGCGGTTTGGGTTATCTTAGATAAGGTAGAGTGTTTAGCTAGAACGAGACAATGGTAATTTTTTGATGAAAAGTGGGAACAAACAACTCCATGAAACTGATACGTGGTCAAGTACGCTTATTTATAATTAGCTTGGACCTGGAGGGTATTGTATCAAGGCAGGAAGATAGGTAAACCTTTTTTTTTTCTTCTCGATGATGGTTGTCATGCCCAATCTCGAAGTCCATATGTATAGGTGACGTTGCTCGTGTCTCTCGCGCAAATTCTTGTCTCTTCATCTCTTCATATTGACCATTTTGTCTCAGAGCATATCTCCATGAGATCACACAACAGCATTTGGTATCGTGGCTTTGTCCTTGCTTGAACGGTCCTAGCCAATAGCTAGGTATACCGGTGCAGTGATGGTTGTGTTGACACGTTGCAAGCACACAGCATTTTCGACGTCACAATCGTAATTTGGTGTCTCTGGGTGCGTAAGGTTGACGGCCGCATATTTCGTTAGATGGCAGTATTGAGGACATGGACCCAGTCTTCCTAGCATTAGTATCTTGAAGTCAAACTAATGGAGGTTTGACTTGCTCAGTATCGATCGTAGTGTGGGCCAGTTGCAGTTGAAAGTTGCCAACGCCTCGAAAGGTATTCTTGGGAAACCAGACTCGCAAAGTATTGTTCTCGCATTGGTGTTGAGCTGAGTCTGGTGTGCTAACGCCAGCCTTCCACTCGATTTGGCAGCGTTTGGGTGTCTCGTCAAGATGGTCCTCATCAATGACGATCACTTCAGAGTTAGCGTCGAGAAAGACCTGGAAGACAGTCAACATACCACTCGTAGTAGCGTTATAGCTTGAGGTTGGGTCCGCTTCGAAAGGGTTCGAGATAAACAGGTCTTTGATGAGCAGGTCACCTTTGAAGGCTTGTGATCTGGTAGCAGTCAAAGTGGTGGGCATCCCAGCTACTACCGTAGCAAGAACAACGGCCAGACATTGGATAAATATACCCATCGTGTTTACACTGCAGTCTCAATCAGCAAAGTAAGGTAGATTGGCACGGTACAAGCCTGGAAGAGAAGAACCAGGAAGCCAAAGGCAGCGATGAGTTTTGAATGCCGAACATGTTGCAGTTCTTCAAGAGGCAGGAGCGACCCAATGAAGGTAATGCAACAGAGCCTCAACACAGTTGTCGTCATTTCCGACCAGTGTGTGCACGTGCTACCGAACGACTGTGGCATGATGAGTGGTTGATGAGTGGTTGATGAAGTTTTGAGAAGAGTCTGTGCGTGTGAGCTATGGCCACGATAAAGGGAATTTGGCAGCGTATAAGATCAGAGGCCAACTTCTCCATATGAAGAAAGCACATTGATTGGGGCTCGTGCAAATGCCCCATATCACAACAATCATAAATGTCATAAATGGGTGTAGTGGGCTAACTTCTTCGACGACATCAAGGACGACAACCATACGCCTGTGAGAAGGGTTCCTCGCATAACCGGCGAGCATTTGTGTACCGTCTCTTCGAGATTAGGCCTGGGCTGGGTAGATCTGTGTAGAGCATGATGGACAAACAACGACGAGCTTGTCGATGATCGGAAGATATAAGATACTATTCGGTTAGCTGAGAACAACTATACCGTGAACTGACTTGCGAAAGGCGTTAGACTTGGCCTGTATGCCGCGCAAGTTGGACCGCACATTATATCAAAGTAGAAGGATCAATCCTTGGTCCTGCTAAACTTTCAACCTCATGTATTGTATGCGCATCCTGCAATATGTGCCCACAACGTCTGCAGTTGGTTGTGCCTACCACTCAGCACCTCGATTGCGACTCGTTCCGCCTGTGCAAAAGTATATCATCAGGTACGCGCTCTTCATCGTAATAAATCTGGAAGCATATGGCTGATCTTGCCAGTGCCAGGAGAGACGTCCGGCTGAGTCCAATCCACCTGGTAACCCATGCATTCATGCTTGATCGCTTAACCCTTCTTCTTGCTGACACCGACAGTTCTTCCTCTTCGGCCAGTGGTCTTCGAGTGTTGACCTCGAACTCTCAGACCCCAGTAGTGTCGCAGACCCCGATGAGCTCGGATCTTCTTCAGTCTTTCCAAATCCTCACGAAGCTTGCTCTCCATAGCGTTGGCCAAAACCTGAGAGTCCTTGCCATCAACGATATCTCGTTGTCTGTTGAGGAACCACGATGGAATCTTGTACTGTGTCGGGTTTTGAATGATCGTGACGATGCGCTCCAGTTCTTCGGATGTAATTTCACCAGCTCTGTACTTTATTAATTTCCAAACTCTTCATTCAACCTGTCCACTACATACCGCTTGTTTAGGTCAACATCGGCCTTCTTGCAAACCAAGTTGGAGTATCGTCGACCTACACCCTTGATCCGGGTCAGGGCGTACATGATCTTTTGCTTGCCATCGACGTTGGTATTGAGGAGACGCAGAATGAACTGGACTATTCGTTGTTAGTCGGTCGCACTACCTTCCAATATATTTGCTCACAGTTCGACTTCTCTCCACTGACGAGAGACATGATGGGTGGTGGTGCTCGTGGTGTATTCGTGTCGAGACTGACGGCGACGATTTTCAATAAGTTCTGTGTGCAGCCGAAAGAGAACCAAGGCAGGTTAGGCGGACAATGCCAAGCGTGCAACTCGTCCAGCCAGCGTTGGGTAAATAGTGGGGTAAACAGTCAGTCTTGGCACAAGCGTCAAAAGTTCAGTCTGAAAGATGAAAGCGTCGAATAGTAATAGAGTGATGGATGTGGTTCACAGCGCCTGAAGTGAAGCGTCTCTTGTGATCGGTATTGAGACGAGGCTAGAATTTTCGTCAACGTTTGGAAGTTCGAGCCTAGTGGTGCACGAAGAGAAGCTCATTCTAACAAAACTATAACCGCCGCCTGGGGTATCATATATGTCCTCGCTGGATACTGTACAACATAACGAAACCCGTTTCGTCGTCAAAAGTTCATGAACAGCTACACTCAAGCTCCGAGCCCTTCCGTTTTCGTCATTTGCAGACACGAGATGTCATCACATCGAACAAATATCTAACTGGGCAAATATCAAGAAGGTAGTACGTGAGGATGAGGCGGTTCGAGTCCTTCTTCAATCACAGGTGGCAGAGACCCCAGTTCCCTTTCACCGCTGCTCTCGTGCTTGATTCGAGTCTTTGTTGGTGTACCACTGCTATTGCGAGAAGGCTCGTTCGACAACGATGCCGGATTCGGTTTCGCATTCGTCTCAGTACTACTCTCCTTGCTACCAGCTTGGTTGTTTATTTGTTGTCCGAGATGTACTGGTGAGGCTGATTTGTCCGATTTTCGAGGTGATACACGACCGATCTAGACTTCTTGTTAGGACAACGGTTGATAAATCAATTGGTGATTGCTTACCTGCTTGGCCCATCTAAGGCCACAACTATTACACAGATCTCTTTGACCACTTGGACCCCTTCGCCATTCCGGCGTGACTCGTGTGTGACAGTTCGCGCAGTCTTTGTCAAGATTACCTAAGCCTTTCCTCCGCTTTCGTTTCTTCTTCCTGCTCATTAATGTTTGCAGGTCTTCGGCGAGCAGTCTGTTCTGTCTTTCCATCTGCCTCAACTCAAATTGCCAACTTGTACTTCGGGTTGTCTTGAGTTCGTCAAAAATATTCGTCTCACTCGCGAGCGCTTCGTCCTGAGAGCCAATAGGAACACCACCTGAGCCAGCCTCTGTCAAGATACCGGAGGAGCTCACGAACGCTTCATTCCCAGTAGGTGGATTGGTGCCGATTTGACGATGGTTAGGCACTTGAGATGGAACAGCTGGTGTGAGCGGTGTTACTGGGGTATCCGGGCCCATAGAAGCATCCGACCGAGGTATTGGACCTGCGCTTTTGTGATTTAGCAACATCGCACGCGTCATCTTGAGTAGACGAGTTTGGCCAAGAAGAAAGGTAGGTTTCAAACCCTTTTTAGCATCACCAGGGTAGATTGTGGTTTGTGCTTGCAATACTTGTCCTCTTCGATTCTGCAAGTCGTGTTTGAAGGTGGATTTTTCACCCATACGAGCAAGCTCAAGCACTCTGCCAAATTCTTTTCTCGAGTCTGGTCGCATTAAAGCTTGCATACTCGTGCCAAGAAGATCATCTGGGATACGATCAAGCATGGTTCTTGACGTGGATGATACGTATAGAAACATGCCAGTCGTTGATAATTTCGTCCAGAGCTCGGCATCCCCAGCATTATCACCGGGATCGATGTCGCTTCTTTCTAGGGCGTATACAGGTCGCTGCCGACCGACCAGTATGATGCATTTCCTGCCTTTGCCTTGTTCTGTGTGTAGGGAACCGTGTGCCTCGAACCAGGTATAGCCACTGTTTTTTCGGCGAATCCGGTAAACGACATTGACGGCTGAACCATTGGACGAGTCCTTCAGCTCTCTCGTAACAGGCACGATATCGGAGGGATGGCACACAGATGACAAAGCTGTGCCGACGAGTTCACTCGGTTCGTATTCGAGGACGGTCTTGCATGCCGGCGATAGGTAGAGGAACAGACCCTTCAAGGACAACACATGGACTACATCGTCGGTGTTTTCCAGCAGGACTTTATCCCAAATCCTTCGTGAGGTCTCGTTGTCACCACTACCGATCGTTGCTAGGACTTGAGATATTTCGTCCTTGGAGATTGTTTGGCCACCCATATTCTCGAGAGCGCTGCTCGTGTCTGGTGCCGGCAATCGATAAGCAGGAAGCGCACTTCTGTTGTAGTTGATCTCGTAGGTACCATCTGCACTCTGTTAGCGTCAAAAGCATGAATGTAACAATGCCACCCACCTGGATTTTTGGCAGACACAGAGTTTGGCTGTTCCACCAAATCTACCTGGAAACCAACGAAATACTTTAGTTCTTCCGTATCCCAAGCGATAGGAATCATAGTTAGTAGATTCATGAAAGGCTGACCACCTTTTTTGTAATTGATAAGCGACAGCTGTGCCTCTTCCCTTTTGACGACCTGATTCTTCAAATAGAGCACGGACTTATCATCGACGTATTTTCTTTTGATGCCTGACTGTACTTTGCCGTCAGGAGCCTGGAGGAAGCGGCAGTTGCGCCCAAGAATATCATGTCTAGAATATCCCGTCAAGCGCTCGAACATGTCAGAGCAATACACTATCGGCAAATCATGCTTCGCAATATCGCACACCACAAATGCGCACGAGAGATCAACAGGTCCTATGTTTATTTGTGGGTCTTTACGCGTTGCTACTCGCATTAGAATAGCAAGCATATCAAAGCCTGTAGTAGAGTACGCATTGGCCCACCTTGACTTGTAAGCCTGAGTCGGTGGATGTCTGCTGTCCATCTGTGCATCGTGACCAGGCTGGTTTATATAGGGCGAGCCCATTTCCATAGAAGAACGACGAGACTGTGTGTGCGATGGCTGGTGTTGAGCTGCAGTCGAGCCGGGTGGCACATGGGCTGATGACTGCGAATTGTTATGCACATTAGTCTGGACAAGGGGGTTTTGAGCAGACCGAGACAACGGACTGGGCATCATTGGTTGCCTACGCATCTGATTCTGAGGGTTTGCAAGATACCGTTGAGGAGATGAAGCGTTGGAATTGGCCGCTTGAGAGAGCCGTATCATTGTGCTGTTTGCCGGACTCCCGCCACCCCCTGGGTCGTGATTGTTAGGAAAGTTCATGGGATAACTGGTCGTTGCCGGAGAGGTCGTGTATATAGATTGGTGCGTGGGGTTTTGTGTCATGTTCATGGACATCAAATCGGCGGTTGTGTCATCATAATTGTTGCTCGTCTCCATGCTTTGAGGTAAAAAGGAATTCGGCATGTCCATCCTTGCCCCTGTGTTGGGTATCATCGAAGCTGGGTATGCACTCATTGAACCTCCATCATAGCTGGACATCTGCGAGAACCTTGTATCGAGTGACAGATCCTCCTTCGAGCGCACCTTGCGGGGGTCGAGCGGTCTTTGGGGCGTGTTGGTCGTGTTGCTCGCTACCCGACTCGACATGGCAGCGTGTTGGGGATTCGGATCGAACTGAAAATCTGCAAGATCGCCGTTGGTTGTTGAACTAAATTCAAGCATCGATGCACGGCGTTCGGGATCGTGTTGCGAATGAGCTTGCGGTGAATCTGCTTGAAAACGAGGCCCGAATGTCTGCCTTCTCCTCATCAACTCCTGGTTGTTATGACTGATCATTTGGTCGAGTGTCTGAACAGGGCCGTATTGCATCATGTTGGCATCCATGCGGGTAGCCGCCAACCCCTCCATACCATCGTCCTGCGTATAGCCGTTATCTGAGCCCATGCCAGAGAAGGGCATATTGTACATATTCTGCATAACGGGCGGTTATTGTGAGCTAGTCCCCGGACCGTGTTTCGTGGATGAGCAATGGCAGATCGGCGAGAATTCATCGCAGAGTAGGTATCGAAGCTGAAGACTGGTCGCATACATGAACAGTATGGAGAGGACACCGGGGAAAGCACATCAAGGCAGTCGGTATCATAATTGACGCGCTGCGCCTGACTTCCATACCGTCGTCTTCATGGTAGATGAATGTATGGTCAAAAAGAAGAGACGTTAGCATGGAACAATCATTGTCGACTGCTCTCCAAGCGTGCTTGCTGGGCAAGGACGAATAGCCTTTCCGATGTGGTCCTGGTGCTCATACTGACAGCCAATTGTTGTCAGACAAGCCTGGAGCAAAGCGGCGGGCCTCGACGCGCGAGATAGGACTGTCCCAATTCGTGAGCCACCCTAACAGCGATTCAAAAAGCCACATCTTTGGGTCAACTCGCCCTTGGTGTCGATTAGTGTGCATAAGCGGACGCCGCTTTCGTCATTGACCATCCAAGCATTGACCAGGAATATGGCATTCTCAGCAGTAAGACCATCATTTCAATAGCTTTTCGAATGCCGATGCTTGAACCCTGACTGGCAGGTTCAATTCATCAATATGAGAGATCAAGTTGCGAGTTTCAAACCACTGCAAGAGGACCCAACCAAAAAAATGTCAGCAAGGATAGACTTCGTTAACGTCCTTTTTTGATATACTCTAGCATGCACAATAGCTGCGACTATTTAAGAACTATCAGGCTACTGTTAGGGTGCCAGAGTTGGACCTCAAATATATGGATACAAGGATAGACACTCGTCGTCATGTATCTAGATCTGTGATCTTCCCGTCATGTGAATTCAGACGCATCAGTTTGAGATCGAGCCACGTCCTGTTGAGTTGAGACGATTATGCGTTAGGGTTAAACTTGCGGGCAAGAATTTATTTTACAGAAAGTACAAGTGACAACCCAGCTCGTATGATTTAAATAAGAAATAGACACTTTTCAAAGCACAATCTATGGCTCTGACAATGTCAATTCAGATGATATCACATTCTTCACAGGAGCTATCATCCAGAACGGCGAACTCCCCTGCAACAGCAGTGCTCTCGAAATGCTTAGCAGAAGATGCATCCTGTCACAAAGATGGTGAAGGATTAATACTGCGATATGATCTCCAGGACGCTGGAGAGCGATACAAAAGACCTACCGCTATACCGCGGCGACTGGTGGCTTAGTCGACAGGGCTGATTCAGCTTGCTCTCTGTGCTTCTTTTCCAGCTCCCGTTGCTGTCTCTCCGCCTTCGTGATTCGTGGCTTTCGGGTAGTACCACCTCCTCGCGAGGCAGGCCCTGCACCTTTGGTGGTGCCCTCACTACCAGCGCCAGATGCAGCGCCACCACGACCACCTCTGGAACCTACTCCGCCACCTCTGCCTCGACCCCTACCTCCCCTCTTGGAAGTACCTTCGACTTTGTCTGCTGGTGGCTTCTCCTCTGTCACGAGGGAACCCATATAGACGAAGAATCCATCGCGACTGGCAGCAGCTTGTGCTTCCCACAGAGCCTCGCTATCGTCTACGAAAGGATCCTCCATATCATAGTCGTCTTTGCGCTTGCGTCGCTGCTTCGGTGCTGGGCCATCAGTGCCGCTATTCTCATTAGTGCCATTCATTCCAGTCATGTGGATGTCTCCATCATTCTCGGAATCAATATCGACGCTGAGATCTTCTTCCCCACTTTCGGCGACTGAAACCTCGCCTCTTTTGTTGCCGGAGCCCGCTCGCTCAAGAGCAGCTCCTGCGGCTGCAACTCTGGCGAGTTTCTCCTTCTGAGCCGCCTGCCTTGGATATACTGCGGCAAAGCCGTATTTCTCTTCAGCTAGACGTGCGAAGTTGAAAATCTTGTTCTCGTCCTTCTTCAGATCGATCTGCAGGACAATATTAATGCCCTTCTCAACCTTATCTGATTTCTCGACCATCGAATCACCCCCAAAGAAGGAAGAGCTTAGAAGACCAGAACCTACAGGCATAGGTGGAGGTTGTTCCTTTGACCGCTTGGGTTTGTTCTCGGAATCAACTACAGGCTTCTCAGGTGGCGAGGCCCGACTTGGAACTATATCAGCGGAAAATGCACCAACATCGTTGTGCTTGTACGAGTTTGTGCCATTAGATGTAGGTTCTGCCTCAAAGGTCTGCCTGACTTGAGGCTTCGGCATGGACACTGCGGATGAAGGAACGTGTCCATCGCTTTCTGGATGGTTGATGATACTTGAAATAGCGGGTGACGCGCTAGGTCTAAAGGTCTGTCGCGGCGGCGTTGCAGAAAGCGAAGGATAAGTCACGGTTTGTATGGATTCTGAGGAGCGTTCTATGCCTCTGACAGGATCAAAAATATTACGTAATCGCGGAGCTGCAGGTTGTGGCTGCGGTGTTGTCTGATAGCGTGTTGAACTTGGTGATTGAGGTTGCGAGTGCATCGCGGAAGTTTGGTTCGAAAACCCATTTTGGGTAGTCTTGGCATCCTCATTCAAGAATGTAGGCCTTGTATCGGACGCGAAAGATAACGGTTGAACCAGACGCGATGTACTGAGGTGTGCAGATTGTGCCGTTTGTTGCGAAATAGTTGAGACTGGTGGAGTGTCTTCTGTCTTCTGTTTCTTACTGGCACGAGCACCGGTAGCAGGAGCTTTACGTGGTTTAGGAACGCTTTTCTCCTTCTCAGATGCTGGTGGAGCATTAGGGTCGACTTTCTTCTTGCGGGCTTTACTTGGCTTTGGAGGTGCACCATCTTGGCGAGTGGCTGGAGAGCGGGCAGCGACCCGATCACTTTTGGCAATCGCAACACTTGATGGCAACGATGTAGTAGAAGTGCTTTGAGCGACGACGATAGTATTTGGATGTGCCGATGTCGACTGCAAAAGATTTGAACCTTCGTCGCCACTGCTAGGAGCGCTCGAAAGGTCGTTGCTAGAACTTCGGTCTGCTACCTCCATCTTCCGAACCTAGACTGGGTAACTTTCGCTGGTGCTGCACCTCAAATAATGCTTTTGTGATCAATCCACCCAGGTTTATCAGTTTCTTCTCTGATCGAATAATCGTATATGATTTTGATAGAGTTTCCGTGCTCGACTTGTCGAAGTGATGGATGAGTCGTGGTTGAAGACGCCGCAACGACGATGACAGTGAGTCAGGACAATGGACGAGCGACGAAAGGGTCGAACAAGCAAAGGATACCAAAGACGATGCAGGCGTTCTTACTATTGACCACGCGGCCAGACTGCATTGGTTGTGACGGAAATAGATGAATGCGAACGAAACGCTTGAATCAGATACTACAGATCCTTGAGCAGTATAATGCAGTGCTACGAAGGAGGAAAAAGAGAAGAAAAAGATGGGAAGAAGGAAGAAAGACGGCAGTAGTAATTTACGGGACAGTAGCAACACAATAACTGAACCCACTATGAATGAACGGGACAAGCAGAAACGCAAGCAAGCGTCAGCAAGAGCCAACGGAGGATGCGAGAGAAAGCGAAGAACGAAGGGGACCAGCGCCGGAAGAGCAATAGAACACGAGCACTGATGGCACGCGTAAACCGACAATAAAGAAGCTGAAGCGCAGCAGGACAGGCAAGATTGGTGCGGCGACATCAGGCTAGAAAAGCACCTGAGCGTAAAGGTCACCATGTGAATCAGGAGCAAGCAGAGTGCCAGGAGGCCTCAGTAAAAGTCAAAGCATCAAAGATCGAGTTCGCAGCTTCGGGAAAGAAACAACCACCACATATCGAAAAAGGCATCAATTATGGCTGCGATTGAAGACTTGCAGCAGATTCGTAGATGCCTGGCTTCGGTATAATATCCACATGCCACGCTTGGTATGCCGGCTGCAGCTGGAACGCCGATCCTGGAGTCCCTAGCGTCTCTCAGCCTGGCTTTCCCTGTTTCAGAAATCTTCAATTACGTGAGGCTTGCGACTTCTTGCACTGCACCCAACAAGTGTAATGGCGGTTCATGGTCAACGATTCAACCTTGATTTGGATGCGGATAACTGGCAATTCGACCTGCGTGAGCATGAACAGGATTCGACCTCCGCCAGTGTTATCAAAGAGATCTACGAACGTGACACTAACAATGTTCCAGCTGCGCCAACTTTGAGGAGCACAAAAAGCGGCTTCCCAGAGCATCGTCCGAAGAAGGTTCAATCTGCTTTCAAAAAGCAGAATGCCAGAAAGGCGACTGATTCTACGATAGCACATCCTGGTCCTTCCGACCGTGCTATCCTAAATCATGTGGCGCAGAAGCAGGGTGTGGATCTGGCCACAGCAAGAACCAAAGCCGACATTGACGCTGAGAACAGGGACAGAATCAACCACATGTCATTGGAAGAGATAGAGGATGCCAGGTCCGAGTTGATGGCACAAATAAATCCAGAAGCACTAAAGAAGTTCTTGCAAAGAGCTAATGTGGACGACGAAAATCAGCAGCAGCAGAAAGACTGGGAAGATCACGAGGCTGGTAGACCGCAAGATTCCTCGAAGAAGAATGTCACATTCGCAGAGCCGAAGGAGGAGTTACTTGAAGAAGACCATCAACAAGTTGCAGTTGAAGAACACATCAATCCCGACAAAGTAGCAGAAACTGCGCAGCTGGAACATGGCCACATCCCAGATCCAATACCAAATCCTCCAAGTGTTCATTTTCCAGCTCCGCCTCGACGCAAAGAAGACTACAAACCACTCGATCCATCCTCAGACACCTTCCTCAAAGATTTACGAGAACACTACTTCCCAGACCTGCCTCACGATCCTAATGCGCTTTCGTGGCTGCAAGACCCCTCACCCGAAGAAGACAAAAATTCGTCATACAATCCAGAACGGACCGGCTTTGTACCGTCAGCAATTCGATTTGACTTCAGCGGCAAACTCATACCTCCCTCCCAGTCTTTAGACATACCAACCACGAAAGGCCTGCATCACCACGGAGAGGCTCCTAGCAGTGCAGGCTATACTGTCCCGGAATTAGCTTTACTTGCGCGGTCAACGCTGTCGAGTCAAAGAGCTGTGGCATATCAGGTAATGGGACGAATACTGTACAGACTAGGCAGAGGTGACTTCGGAGCCAGAGGCAGCGACCTGAACGAAGGGCTCTGGACTTGCATCGAGCGAGAAAGAATTGTCGAGGTTATGATGGTTGAGGCAAATCGTGACAAGGGCCATCTTTCGGCAAAGGCATATGCTACAGAAGCACTGTGGCTCTGGAGACGAGGTGGTGGTGGCGATAGAGGCGTGCTGAAAGAAGGAGAAAGAAGAGCACTGTAGAAATATTGAGTCAAAATACACGCTGACCACAAAAGCTTGAGTGCTTCAAGTTGGGTGATCAAGGAGGCAGACTCGATCTGGCCACCGCCCAGCGACATTGGCATAAAAGCCGCTGCTTGGGCACAAGAATAGTGCACGCTTCATAATAGGCAAGCTTAAAGTCACAAACTGATCCAGATATCCTAGAAGCAGTGTACCTATTCTCACATCATGAACATATCGTTCGTATACTAAGATAACAGTGCTCTAACCTCCTCAATAGTCCTGGGATAGACATCTCTAATACGCGGCATTTCTTCCTCCAGCCCACGCTCTTCGTCACTATCGTCTTCCTCCGATTCACCATCAATCCGTTCCCTGCCACCACCCATACGCCTCGCAAGCTGTTCTCGCTCAACGCCTTCGTCAACATCACTCAAATACCTCACTGTCTTCTCAAATCTCGAACGAAATATCTCCACTGCATCCCTGAGCACATCCGCCGAAAGAGCCTTATCAATCAGACGCGAAAGCGAGTCCTGCGCATCCATCAATGCAGACGCAAGGAAATTGTCGAGCTGTTGCGCCAGGACTTCGAGCAGTAATGCGCCTTGGTCACCGTTACTGCTATCTTCCGGCGTACGATGTGCAGGTTGTAGGAAGAATCTATACCGTTTCTTTGCAGATGTCGTTTTCAAGGATGGAGACCGCTCAATCAGTGAATCCAGGGCCGTGAGACCAGAAGAACGAGAAAAGGAGTCGGCGAGGACGTCGGTTAGATTGGATGAAAGTGAGTCAATTTCGTCCTGAGCTGACTCGAGTGGTTGGTTGGCTAGTTCGAGCTTCGTCTTCCCGGGACCAGATCCTGTTGCGATAGTCACGAGTGCTTGTTGGACTTGGTGCATATAGTTCAATTTGTAGATGAATGTGCTTGATTCGGTACTGTTAGGCTGCTCACTGCATTTCTCTGCTAGTGCTGCGCAGGCTTCCAATACAGGGGCGAGTAGCGTGCCGTACAATTTACTGAATTCAGGCATTGTTAGAGACGGGCCACGTGTGTATGCAATAGCGGTAAATGCGTTCAAAGAGTCTTTGAGGGCAGTTGGTGGGTGGAGATCCGTGGAAGGCTGCTCGTCAATGTCGCTGTGAAGTGTGTCAGTGGCCGCAGATGCAAATTGAGTATATGCTTGGGATTGCAAGGTTGTGAGGGCTGTAAGGAGGGTGTTCTCGGCGTCCGTTTCGTCGGTCTCTCTCGGTCGTGAGTTTGATTCAGCTCTGGTGGGGTACCAAATGAGTTTTTGAAACATGTCGTGGTAGAATGAAAGTACGTTGTAAGCTTTGTATATATCAACTGGATCAGTGAGATTACGAATCGCCGTGGAAATTCTCTGAGTCAAAGTATGTGCTACCAGAGCCATATTTCGGCTGATAAGGGCATTAAGGGCAGCGCGACCGTCAAAGGGACGCTGTTCAGCGTTTCCGTCGTCAAGTGACATGGCGAACGGATCGGCCGCTTTGCCCTGCTGAAGTGCTCGAGAGAGTTCTTCTGCATCAGACACAAACAGTCCTTCGAGAGCTTCCATTTCTGAGACTGTGGCAGAATGAGTCCACGCAAGCATGTCCCCTAAATACCGAAAGGGGTCATGCGTCGAAAACTCGATTGCACGAGCAGCGCCAATGGAGTCTGTCAATGCTCTTTGAAATGCTTCTGCAACAGTGGCCTGCCGTGCCTCTGCAAAAGAGTCCAAGCAGTTCTGAAAGAGTGCAGGACGTTCCGAAAGTGCTCGCAGCGAACGACGTACCGAACCACTGATGTGAGGATCCTCTAGGTCGAGACTCCTGAACTGTTTGGTCGTCCAATTGAACAATTTTTTGTACGCGGCATTTAGGTCTCGTGTTGTCTGCTCCATCAGCTCTAAACCCATGCGCTGGTTCTCATACCCAAGTAAGAGCTCGCAATCCTTGTTGATCCGGTTCATCCGAGCGAGCAGTTCGAAGAAGCGTCCATCAACTGGTTCAGCCGAGCTGGTGAGCACTGCAAGGTCTTCTTCCGAAACCAAAAAGTGCTCACGGAATGAGTCAAGGAGCTGCTGCTTTTGTTCTGTTTCCTTCTTCTGTGATAGCAGGGTTGACGCTTCGTCGAGCATAGGCGCCACTTCTTGTCTCGCAGCGACGACATGCTTGCGAATATTGTTGCAGGTCTGATTTAGGCTTGCGATCAATGTGCCGACTCGATCAAGTTGCTATGGTGGACGTCAGTCAGGTTTGTGCATGACTGTATGTTCTTCTTACTTCGGCGACCCTGGAGAAGTCGTTGACAATCTGCGCATTGGCTTCGATCATCTCCCGTTGTGCTTCATATCTTAAGTCAAGGTCATCATCGCCTCCCTTGTGCCCATAACGGGCATCGAATAGGCGGAGGGCATCTCGTATTTCCGTGTCCGCATAGGAGGAGGATAGAACGCGCGTGAGTTTGTTAGTCAATGCATTGCCACGTCTATCCAGGCTATTGTCGTCCACTGTAGCATCGAACCCGGTAGCAGGCAGGTCGTAATGTGTGGAGGTTGAGCCCATATCGGTGTTGGATTTATAGTCAAGGATGGAATAAAATCGCGTGTCATGCCGCATCTGCGCGGGGTCCGCCAACGTGCACGTCCCTGGATTCCTCCAGAATGCCCTCTTCTAATCTGCACAGTATGGTTACATGACTGTATACGAACACCTGAAAAGCAGCGACGATGGACCAGAGAGACATTGCATTCGAAAGGGGTCGCTCAGCTGAGTCGATGTATCCATTTACAGGCCACCTAACACTATCGCAAGGGAAGCTTCGACGTACAGCCATGCCTGCAGGATTGGCTATTGCTCATGTATCCTGATCGAGCTCATCACTAACACGACACGCAAGAATGCTTTGCAAACTGGGATAGCAAGATCATCTGGCTCCAGATTGCTAAAATTCAAGCAATGCCTCAACCGAGCCTCGTTTGATTAGAATCATCCAGCCCTAACCCTTCCAAATCACATCTGAGATTGAAGCCATCCGATCCCACCTAGCAGATTAGCTACATATCCCTGTGCTTCCGGAATGCCAGGAAAAATCCAGAAGTAGTGAGGCAAGCCTTTATAGTGGTCATGTTTGGTATTGACACCAGCCTCCTTGAGAGCTGCTTCAAGCACGTACGCATCATCCCTCAGAGGGTCGAACTCACAGGAAGTGAAATATACTGGTGGGAATTTCTTATGGTTCTCGGTAGCGAGTAATGTGAAGAGGGAAGAGTCGTCCTTGTCTCCTCCGAGGTGACTAAGAAAGATATCCATAGACTCCTTGTTGATTATTGGTGCATCCACAGCATTGTCTTTGTACGCAGTGTACATCGACTGATACTTTTCCGGACAATTCTCATAATGCGTAGTGCTGGGTACCATCGCTGCCACGCCCTTAATGCTGTCTTTGAGGGAGCTGTCTTTGAGTACAGCATTGGCGGTCTGCAGCGCAAGCTGTGTCAAAAATTAGCCCAAGCACCATCTTATGAAGCCCATGCCTTTCGACATTAATACGGGTCTCATCAGATCACTTACAGCACCACCCGCACTGCCACCAATCGTGTACATCTTATGAGCATCGCCCTGGAACGAGCTAGCGTTGTCGTGCGCCCACCGATAGACCTTCAGACACTCGTTCAGCTGTGTCGGCCATTTGTGCTCGGGTGTCAAGCTGTAATCAATATTCACAACTATCGACTTGGTATGCTCGCATACCACACGGCACAGAACATCGTCAGAGTTCAAGTCACCTGTCATGTATCCTCCTCCATGAGTCCACATGGCAATAGGGAGTGACCCGTCAACTCCTTTAGGAGTATAGATCCTGTACTTCACACCATCTACGGACCCGTCTTCGCTTTTCACATTCTCCGAAGGTTGAGGCATATGAGGAATAAGCATCTGAACAAGGTCGTCATATTGTTTCTTGATGTCTTCTGGACTGCCTCGCAGTACGATGCCTGAACACAGTTAGCTACCCAGTTGCTTGCCTGACCAGCTGCTTGGCATTGGGGCTACGAAGCGTGAAGGCTCAGGTATACTCACGGCCACCCGTCGCCTTCTCGAAATTTAGCCATGATTCTGTCAGCGACATCGCGTGTATCAAGAAACTGAAGACGTAGTGCCTGAAAAAGTATGATAACGAGACTCAAGGGAAGGGGGATGACTGAAATAATATGATCAATCCATGCTGTTCCTTGGCGTCAGCAGCAATGAGGGGCAGTTTCCATGCCACATGCTTCGTGTTCTTGATTTTATTATACACTCACTAACCCGGAATGTTCACTACTTAGCCTTTCAGTAAGGTCAGAGCCAGAATCCGACATCAGGGGCCGAGGTAGATCTCGTATTACCAGTGGCGCTGCAAGTGTCCAGACTCCAGATCACATCCCGAATGCTCCACGGCAAATGTGGGGTGCATTCGCTATAACTTGCAGGTGTCCACTTACCACATGGTTGCACATCTGATGCCATTACGTGGGTAGCGAAGATATCGCTAAGCAGATGTGATAAGCGTAGATCGTTCTATATCCATATGTGATAAGTACTCGAGTAAGGCAGGGACCAGAGACATATACACACGTGATCAGGAGAGAAGGGTTGACAACCACGAAGCCATTTTATAGTGAATTCAGATCGAGATACTCTGTAAGTATTTTTAGTTGTGTGCATGAGGTAAAATTCCGACATGTATAGCGTCAGCTTGAGATCGACTCGGACCAAGTGGAGCTTGCAGACCTGCTACTCAGCTTCTCCAAAGTTGTAATGTCCAGTCGCTGCAGCATGTTCCTGAGCACCTTTCTCTCCTACCAGCTTGGCGCCACAGTCTGTGCACCTCAGCTGAAACCCTGAAGTGTCCGTAAAATAATGCTGGTCTTGTAGCTTCTTGCATAACTCTACAGCTTTTGGCAGCACCTCGTCCTTGATAAAGTCCTCAAACTGTTTGAGGTCTCTCTCCGGTGGCTCATTCGGAAAGGACAGAGCAATAGTATCATAGTGGATGCCCGAGTAGACAACGATACACCTTTTGCTTGCGCCTTCATTGTATTTGTCGACTCTCAGGGTCTGAACGTCTATGCTGCAGATCTCGACGCCGAAATGCTGAGATAATATAAGCAACTCGACTTGACCACCCCAGCTGTCTTGCGATCGGATCCACTGACAATACTTATTGGGATCCTTGTTGTCTAATACGGCTCTATTGAAAGTGATCGGGTCTTGCTGTATGGTCTCGGCAATTATCGAACGGAGCTCTGTCACGGCATCAAGGTCAGACAGAACAGCCAGAGAGATTGCACGAAAGAGGCATGAATTATCATCAGGCATAATCCGAATCACAATCGTTCCACCAAGTTCGGGTGCAAACACTTCTGGAGGATCCATATCTTTTCGTTCCTTGCGGGCAAGAGTCAGCGGAGCGTCTGGTTTTCTCGAACCGGGTTGACTAGAGGATGATTGCGTTGCTGAAGTCGAACTTTGAACTTTGCGAGGTGTCTTGCCTATCGTTTGGCTGCGCGTATTGTTTGCTTGTGTCTCAGAAACTGAGCTTGACACCGGCGAAGTTGTGGCATCTTCAGCTCGAGTCACAAGCAGTTGTTCGCCATTTAGCTTAATGTCCAGCTCTGTAAGAAGCTTGGTTGCCGGGTAGTCATCCAAGCTAAGAGGCTTCGGTGGATAACCACATTTCACGTGGAATCTCGGCAGTGCAGTAACTTCCGCTATCTGCTTGCGTAGGGCATCAACTGTGGCATTGTCGTCGAATGATGCAGTAGACTGTCCCATCGGACCCCGAATTCTGACACGTAGAGGCATCCTGCCAACACCCACTTCTCGTCGTTCTGAATACGGATCTTAGCCCAATCTAATGAGATGTGAATGCGGATCAGTGGTTCTCAGCGTGATGAAGTACGTATTACTAGCAGATGACACGAACTCTTAGATTCGGGAATGGTCTGTAGATCCAGAGATACTTCTTCACCACCAAATTAAGAGGACAAAGTGATAAGAAGCTCGGGCGAAAAGACCCACGTAATGCTTTCTGAACTGGCGACTTTAGCAAAGTGAAATTTTGATTGCTGATAATGCGTTCAGATTTCTAGCACAATGAACAGACTGCAGTTGCACTTGCCACAAATATCGTAGCACTTGTGGTGGAGAATATCATGGAAGATGCAAGAGCAGTGATCGTCTGGGGCGGACACAACACAGGGAACCACTAACTCAAAGTGCGTAGCGCAGCCATACCCCTGCATTTAGGCTTACATAAGGCACACGTCAAGGAGTGGTTGTGGATTTGACGCGAAACGAATTACACGTGAATCAAGATGTGCCTACCATTTTCGACGCGCCGATGATAGACTTTTTCTTGTGCGAGGATGGCGAGTGATGATAGGCCGGCAAGAGTGTCTCCTGTGCCACCTCCGGTAGAGTCGATCGAAGTTGATGAGCAGCCTAAAGTGAAGGAAGATGCTGCCGTTGAGGAAGCAGTCGCTGAAGGGGAGAGAGGAGGGGAGGGGTCGGACAACGATGCGCCAGGTGAAGTGGATGATGAGATGGTCGATGTGACGGACTTGGTTTCGGATGGCAAAGTGTCTAACGATCTCTACAAAGAGTTCAAAGCCATCACTGAGGTCCTGCTCGAGTATAAAGTCAAGAGCAAGAATAATGAAGAACACCTACCCTCCAGCCTGTTCAAGCGGCTACCCAACAAGCGATTACTGCCCGATTATTATGAAGTGATCAAGGAGCCATCTGCAATCAGCACTCTTCGAGGCAAAATCCAGCGAAAGCAGTATTCTGGCGTTCCAGAATTCGTCCGCGATTTCGCGCTTATCGTCCACAATGCTCAACTCTACAACCGACCAAACTCGCAACCAGTGCGAGATGTGCTGAAGTTGGATGAGTTGTTCAAGGCTGAATTACAAAGACTGGTAGCACAAGGTTATGCGACCGAAGAAGACGCCAAATACCCTGACCTTGGCGAGATCCCCTACGCCAGTCCTGAACCCGATCCGATTACCGAGGAAGATGACATTGACGATGACGACGAGGATGACGATGAGGACGCAGATGAATCTGACGACGACAAGCGCAAGAGAAAAGGTCGTCGGGGAACACGGCCAACAGGCAAGAAAGGTGAGGAAGAGGAGGACGATGAAAAGGGAGGCGATGCAGAGCAAAAGCGAAGAGGTCGACCACCGAAAGTAGCTACACCCATGGAGCATAGGATTGATAGGATCTTGAAAAGCCTGAAGAAGCTCAAAGCACAGGACGGTGTTGCAATGATCTCACCTTTTGAGCGATTGCCAGACAAATCCGAATTGCCTGACTACTACCAAGTCATTAAAGAGCCCATGGCATACGATACACTGAAGAAGAAAGCCAAAAGAAAGAAGTACCAATCCATCGCCGAGTTCATGAAAGACGTCGAGCTTATGTTTAAGAACGCGTTGATGTACAATGAGGATGGCAGTGATATTCACAAGTGGGCACAAGAGCTGCTAGATGAGGCCAAGCGTCTCGAGACAGAAGAACTTGCTAAGCCAGACTCAGAATACCTCTTGGCGGCCGACGGTCGCATTCCCTTACAACAAATCACATACAAGAATGATACGTGGAAAGTAGGTGACTGGATACATATCCAGAACCCTAACGATATCACCAAGCCTATTGTTGCACAGATTTACAGGACTTGGAAGACTGCCAGCGAGGAAGAGTGGATCAACGCTTGCTGGTATTACCGACCTGACCAGACTGTACACCAATACGAAAAGCACTTTTATCCAAATGAGGTTGTCAAGACTGGCCAGTATCGTGATCACAAAATCGACGAGGTCCTCAATAAGTGCTTCGTCATGTTCTACACCAGGTACAGTCGCGGCAGACCACGAAACCTGCCACCAGATACTGAGGTATATGTCTGCGAAGCGAGATACAATGAGGACAAATTCAAATTCAATAAGATCAAAACCTGGGCTAGCTGCCTACCCGATGAGGTTCGAGACAAAGACTACGAGATGGATCTGTTTGATACGCCACGAAAGATCAAAAAGGTACCTAGCCCTTTGCTAAGTCGCCTCAAAGAAGATGCAAAGAGCACTGATGAGTTGCCACAACCGGAATGGAATCATGCCAATGCACCACCACTAGTAGGTGGCATCCACAAACGTCCAAGAGACGAGAATGTAAGTACAAAGTGTGGTTCACGTCACGATCTGTTGTTCAGTCCAAGATCAATATTGCTAACACTTTCTCAGCAATCGCCTCCTCCGGAGCCAACACCTCCAGCACAGCCTGCGCCTCCTCCCGTTCTTCGAACGCCTTCCATAAATCGCACAGACAGTGCGAAGATATCCAATCACCCGCATGCAAATTCTAGCACGAACATACAGATGCAGCACGTTCGACCTGCACCATCGATGACACCACAAGCCTCTTTCAACACCACCAATGCGAATCCATATTCCCGACAGCCAAGCTTTTCGGCAACACCACAAGCCTACATCACACAAAGCCAGAATGGGTCGCGAGAGCAGTCTCAGCCTCAGCAGCACCAGTATACACCTCAACCTGCTCAGCCGACTCCATTGCTGGCAGCGGCACAACCTGGTAACCACGGCATCACCACGCCCAATCCTGCTTTCAATCGTCCAGCCCCGAGCGTTGTTCAACCTGTTCAGTACCACGTCCAACAAGCCATTGGTGCTTCTCACCAGCGAACAGCCGATACCTATGTATTATCTGACGCGGCTAATGCATCTATTCCTTCCGAGATACGTTCTCAGTTCCCACGGGATGATCAGGGACGTGTTCTCTTCTTTACGACTCCTCCACTCGATACTCGACACGTTGTTACAGGTTCATCGAGCCACGAAACATCACGACCGCTCGAACACACGGCTGACTTCACACAAGCGATACTTGCTAAGAAGCGCAAGTTGCAAGCGTCAAACATGTCTGATGTATTCATGCAGGATGAGAACGTGGCAAAGAGAAGGCAACCTGAAGTTGGTGCAGAACAAGAGCAGTCACGCGAACGCTTGCTAGAACGAGGGATAAACGTTCTGACAGACCAGATGAAGCATGCTATCTACAAAGAACATGAAGGTCAATACGGCAACGAGTGGAGGGCAACCTTGTTGGCTGATACGAATCTCGCACAGGAACATTACAAGAAGGCATTACAGGAAGCGAAGGTAAAAGAGGAAAGGCGGAAAGCGTTCACCACTGCTCATCTGGAGAGATCTAATGTTCAATACGGCATAAACTCACAGGGCTACATTACAGGTTGGCAGAAGGACTTTTTCACGGGCACGTATCTAGATGATTGGGATGCACGCCTGCCGTGATCCAGACAGGCTTCGCGATTCAAGTTTAGCGATGGCGTTGGTGGGAGAAACCAGAATTACAGCTGCTGATGTCACCTTTAATGAGCACAATGAAGTATGGTCTTTCAGCAGGAGTATTGAAACCACTTTCTCATGTCAATATGAGGATGATATCAGGGGAAACTTGAACCGGCAATGCTACTGGCAGTATGATGCTCGAATTGAGTTCGCAATTGCTTCAATTCGGGAATTCAGGCTATTGCCTCATGTGAGTTCATCGCACCTGCGGCTAACATATACTACTGCTACAAGTAAGCACGCTCCTGGTGCTTTCCCAATGTCAACAACTTGAAGCTGTTTTTGTTGATTCCATTTCGCCTCGCCATTCTCAACTTCTCTTCTTCACGTCCAAACGCTTGAAATATCCACAACTCAACCACAGTCTTTGCCCATCATACATACCATTATCTTAACGCTTACACATCTTCCACACTTTGGAAAATCACTCTTCTTCCATCAAGATGGGCTATTTCAACTGGCTTCCAAAATGGCTCGGTGCCAAAGCTGTTCAGACCAAAGCAAAAGGTGAAGCGGAAGCTGCTGCCGTCAAGGCTGATGTCTCGCATGTAAAGAACTCAACATCTCAAAGTGTTGGTCATGCTGTTGGGTAGGTTCATTTCCCTAAGTACTTGCACCATCTGACACCTGCTCTTTAGATCGACCAAGGATGACACCAAAGCCATTGGCCAAGGTGCAGAGGCGAGAGTCGGAGATGCGGCCGGTACTGTTGGGCAAGGAGCACCATCGACGGTCGACTCTGTCACCGACACCGCTGGATCTGCTGCAAATGCCACTGCAGATACAGCTAGTAAGCAAAGACCAAAAGCTGCACATTCTGAGAGCACGTGAGTTGACCAAGCTCCGTCCTGCTGCCATCACTAACGGTTCCCAGCCAGAAGATCATGGCTGCCCTCCATCTCGACCACAAACATCCTCGGCCTCGTGTGGCCTAAGCAATCGAACAATCTCCTCATCCTAAGAACCTAAATGTCGTGTCTCGATCAGCTTTCTCTGTTTTGGTGCATGGCTATTGAAGGGAATGCTCTGCAAAGAGTACAATGCTCTCATGGTGACCACAGAGGTCTGCTGGTATGCAAGAGTTGGATGAGCTATTGATCGATTAGTATTCACGAGTCCTACAAGTTTGATCAAACTGGATTATTGAGCCACCATGCCATTTGTCTATTGCCAATCAGAGTGCAAATTGTTGTTGTCTCCTCCTCCATACCCTCAAGTTTGTTGGCCACTCTGATGACCTTGCTCGTGTTGGGGCAGGCTCATGAGGATTTTCCGAATGCAGCTAATCGTACTTGTAGAGCTTGAACATGAGAGGTACGCTCTAACACACGTTTATGAACATCAAGGACATGTTGAACTCTTGGGTGGACATTTCGCAAGGTGGAAAGTTGTCTCTCTATGCCCTTGATTCTTTCCTCGTACTCCATTACCTTGAGATTGATCTGCTTGGTGTCCCGATTCATTTGTGCCGTCTGTACACGGGTATGATCAAATTCCTCATCGTGCGTGTCCTCCATATCCCCGCTTTTAGAGTACTGAAAGTGCGTTGTTGCGCTGGCCGTCCTTGCCAGCACTTGCAGCTCTTCAACCTGTTGCCGGAGCACTAGCTGACGTTGTGCATGATTGAAGAGTCTTGCTGTAACAAGGCCCGCCAGATCTTCGCCATTTTCGCATTCAGACTCATTCAGATCAACCCCAAGCATAACGACACTAGAACTCAGTGCGTTCAATGCATCCTGTCCCTCACATGCTAGACCGTTCCGTAAACCAGCCATGAGAAGTCTAGCAGGCATACCCTCATTCTTCTGCTGCTCCGCTAGGTCCTGCTCACGTTGACGCCATTGCACCTCCTCAGCCTTCACATTATCGACGAGTGACTTCAAGTGATCCGCCGCCAGATTCACCTGCCTTAGAGCTTTCAGCGCCACCAGCACCTCACTTGTCTCACGTCCCATCGTAGAGCTTACACCACCTATCCCAGCACGACCACTTCCAAACCCCAACAATCCGACATCCGCACCACTCGAAGCGCTTGATACCTCATCCTGCCACTTGAGTAGATGCGCCGGCACTTCTCCAGGCGCTGTACCTAGAAGATCTTCCAGCCATGATGTGATTTGAGTGATTTCGTGTTGGACTTGTTGTTGGACTCGTGCTTTTGTTGGGGAGATGTGGATGATGGCTTCGTCGTGGGAGATGTAGTCGGGAACTTGGGCGCGGTCTGGTATTGGGGTGCTTGGGAAGGATGCTGCTGGTGTTGAGGCGGTGTGGCTTTGGGTGCGGTGTGGTTTGCGAGGTGGGATTGAATGAGACATTAGCTTGTGTGATTAGATAGCGAGAGCGAGGTGCGACAATGGATAATAGAGAGTCGATGTTGACTCGAAGAATTTCATGTGAAAAGTAGAGCTCTTGGCAAGTATATGTCACAGCCTCAAAGGTCATCTATGTAGCAGTGTACGATTTAGTCACAAGTGTAGTTGCGGTCACGAGTATTTCATATCGAAAAATCCGACGTGACAAGGATTAAACATTGGAATAAGATCGATTAATCACTATATGCTACGAGTCAAGTTTCTTGTCCTTCTTCTTCTTCTTCTTGTGGCTACGCTCCTTTCCTTCCACTGGTGTAACATTCACAATAGACGACACTTGCAAATTTCTCCTCGAGGTTGGCGACATTTCCTGGACTTCACTCCCAATATTCACGGCTTTTTCCTTCTTCCTATGAGATTTCTTCGAAGACTTTGGTGTCTGCTCGGTATTCCCGCCTTGCGCTTCCGAGATGCCAAGAACCACTCCTTCCATTGCTGAGCCCGCATCAGGCGCAGTGCTGTTACCGAGCGTGCCTGGTGTGGTGCTTTCCTGGACACCGAATGGGGTATATCGTGGTCGCAGGTTCTCAGGCTGTTGACGTGGCGGCTTTTTCTGACCCGTTTGTGTTGCGAAGAAAGTGGTTGCTGTCGTAGAGTCGTCGTTGTCATGCTGACCATTAACAAGAGCTGCGCCATTACTTGTAGGGACAAATTCTTGAATCTGGAAAGATTGAGCTATCGAGGAACCGGTGGGAGCGTACTCGTTGCGTGTACCTGCTGGCAACAACACGACAGCGTTGCCGATGTGACCTTGGCTAAGATTGTATCGCACACCTTTGTGCTCTAGTATCGGCGCACCTTTCAATGCTTCTGAGACGTTCAATGACTTTAGTTTCGAGATGTCCATCGAGCTATGTGCGCTTATGTGCCAGAGTTGCTTGCCTTCCAGATCATTGAACATGCCATTCGTCTCAGATGGAAAGTCAGTCACCTTGGCCTTGGTAGTCGACCAGCCTTGAAGAGGCACGTAGTTGGTTGATTCGATGCGCTTGACGTTAGAGTAGTCTACTCTCGTCCGTTTTGGTGAAGGTTTCTGTACAGGCTTGGGGTCGTCAGTAGCCTTGCGCTTCTTTCGTAAACTAGACGTCGAGCTTGAAGTCTTCGAGCTCGTTGAAGCCTTGGACGAGGCGTTGCTTTCTGTGTCTGAGCTGTCACTTTCCGATGACTGATCAGTAGGTTTTTGTCGTTGCGCTGGCAGTGCACTAATTTTCTGTTGAAGGGTCTGTGTAGATGTCGATGTGCTGGAGTCTTCATCACTCGAGTCTTCGACCCGTTCACTACTTAGAACTTTTGGAGGCATTTCTTGTTGGCGCTTTACAAGGCGATTTGAAACATGTAAACGATAGCTGATCGAACGTCGTTGATGCGCTACTGGGTTGAGTCACAACGGACTGTGCAGGTACGATCAAACTTATTCTAGAAGGTTGGAACCAGATTTCTACAGTCCTAGGAACTCGTGCACTTCTACTGTCAAAAAATCTTATTTCAGTTTCGACGCGTCGCGGCTAAACCTGCCTACCCCAGGGTGCGTGGATACAACGTGAGAAGACTTATGGAAGCCGCAATTTCTGTGTGTTAGCCTGATTCTTCCGGCAGATTCATGTTGGCTGCATGGCAAGCGCGTATCTCGACGATCGAAAGTTTTCGCTTGGTAACAGCATGTCGTTTGATAATGTCTTCAGGTGAGTAACTTCTATCGGATCTCATGCGACTGTGCACTAATTCTACCAGAGACACGCGTCAGTGCTTTTGCGAAGAGGCGACGGCTCAATGATGGTAGTGGTGCATTGTCGGCAGATTCGAGCGCTTCGATACCAGCAAAGCCAGCCAAGAAATTGAAGAAAGAGAAAATTGTGGACAATGAGCTGCAACCAGCACTATCAGTCTCGGACATCACCAACGACGAAAATTTAGTCTCAGGAACAACGGAGGAGAGCAGTAACAGTTTCGAGCCACTCGTTGAAGCTAGAGCTGTCAAATTTACGGGCAGTCGCGAGATCGAGCAGCTCGACGGTAATGCTTTCAAGTTTCGCCTTTCACGAGGTCAAGTAAGTCTTGTGCAGTTTCCGGGCGCTTTATGTTGTCTAACGGTTGGTAGAAATGTTCAATATCTGGCATTGCACGTTTGTGGGTGAGAGACGGTTGTGTCACCTGTTACGGTGCCCATATACACGCATCTGAGGCAGTGCATACACTTTTCGCTGCTGTTTCAGACAAGCTCGTCGACATAGAGCCTACCACAAAGATAGCTGAATTCCAACTCGAGGCCATATCACAATCAGACCTTGCATTTCCATCACCCCTGAACATCCCTGGTAAAGTCGGTCGCGAAGCTCGGGCAGGACCGACCTCCTTCCGTATTGTCGACGCAGACACAGCTGGGCCACCTAGAACGCAGCAGCACGAAGCTATGCGTGCATTACTTCTGGCTGCTCTAGGCGAAGGAGATACTCGAACACGCCGCGGGACAGCCGAGGGCCAATTTACATCCAGAGAGCCCCACCGGATCATTGTCTGTGGCAAGCGTTCATCTGACACCACGCTAGCATCGATTATATGCATCAATTCTTTACTGTCTGAGATCGCCCAGGCTGATCACAGCAAAGGTGTAACCTTTTTGGACCTGGATGCAGCGGCTCCAGCCTTCTCGTCTCCAGGCACAATCAGCTTGTGCACGTTTCATAACTTCGTGCTCGGACCTTCATACGCATTTCCTACACAAGTACACAAGGATGCAGTGAAAGACCTCATTGCTGCATACTTTGTAGGAGCTGTGCATCAAGAGATCAACTTCGACACTATTCTCAGAATGGTCAACGAGCTTCTGAATCAGAACAGGAGGAACAGGGATCAGCCACTCGTGGTGAGGTTGGGCGAGTGGTTGACCTCAGTGGGAAAATATAAGCTAACACAACTCAAAAAGGTCCTACAGTCAAACTTGGTACTTTGTACGGATCGCCCCAAGTCATCTAGATACCACGATGTTGTGTCTGCAGTCTCATCGCCCGAGCTTGACAACGTGGTCTATATGGACCAAGCGACGTACACCACGAGCTCCAGCCTGCTCGAGCACAGGAACTTATTACAGTCACATGTTCAGCTCTGTCAGTATGTGAATGGTACACCTCTATGGGATCCTCATGCCACAATGCTTGCAAGCTTCAAGCATATATCTTTGTCGACCAGTAATGGACCAAACAGTATATCGTTCGTGATTGTTCGAGGAGGCATGTTGCGACCACAAGACTTATTCGAAGCACTTTCCGGAGCGTTGGTCACACTGGTCGCAGTCACGAGAAGGGAGGGAAGAGGCTCGGCATCCTCAAACCTCATCATTTGCGACTTTTCAGATGATCTAGAACTCGTTCATATCGGTGTTGCGATCGTAGATCGAACCGATGAAATGAAACAGGAGATCTTGGTTGCCGGTTCTGTGACTGGGGCTCAGATCGAAGCAGCGTCTGACAAAGGTTTAGAGATAGGGCTGGTCCTTGAGAAGTCTGGAGTTGATGGTCGATATAGCCGTGAGTTGGCCTTAGGATAGCAGAACTCTTGTTGTTCCATGCTAGTGTGGATGAGAGCTCATGCTGACTTCATCTACTGTATGCCCGACAATCCAAGCTGGAAATTATTCCTGCCAAGTGCCAATCGAGGAAATTGGTTGACTACTGACCAACAGACAAGAGGTGCACAAGTGTTGCGTAGTCGGGGTGTAACTAGTTCTCGATGTGCCGGGGTGGTATCCTCTAGCAGACAGGCTGTACACATGGACTATTGATTTGTAGCGTCATGTTCTTCCCTCGGACAGCTTAGCTAGTCTTCATTGTGAACCTTTGGCGTGTTGACCCCGGATGAGTGCCTTGTATCTTCGCTGTCCATCTGTAGCGTCACAGGACCGTCGTTGACCAACGCGACCTGCATCATCGCCTGGAATACACCATCCTTGACTCGATCCGCATGATAAGTCGTTCGAATCGTCGTCACAAAGTGATCGTACAACTCCTTGGCAATCTCTGGCTTTGCGGCACCATGGAAGTCTGGTTTAGTCCCCTTACGTGTGGAGGCATAGAGTGTAAATTGTGACACGCAAAGTATTTCGCCTTGGATGTCCTGAACGTTCTGCTTCCATTGTGCTCCGGATTCATCTGGCCAGAGCCGCATCTTTAAAATCCTGCCAGCCATTGTTTCCACGGATTTAGTGGTGTCAGCTGGACCGATGGCGGCCAAGACTACCACGCCTTTGCCGATGGAAGAGACAACATTGGATTCGACAGTCACTGATCCTGAAAGACATCTCTGGAGCACGGCTGACGACTATCAGTACTGCAAACGTTCTCGGCCGTGGTCCTTCATACCCTTCATTCTCGTATCTAGCAGTCGGCTCTCTCCACAAGGTCGACCACCCAGAACACTATCAAATCATATGATTGCAAGAAGCTGAGACAGATATGTATGATACTGTCAACTGTGCTGTACCAATATCGACCTGTAACACTAGTATTTCGCTTACAACAAAGCAGGGACTCGGACTTGGCCATAGCTAGTGGCTAAGCAAGCCCATGATGCGGCAAATCTCTACTGGATCCCTTTTTCGATTTGCCCAATCAGATCAATCGGCGGAAGGATAATCCGACGCCGCATCTCTTTGAGGTCAGCCGCATTGTACCAGCAGAACAAACACCTCGCGCATATCAATACACAACACGGCGATCGCATCCTCCCTCCTATATGTGTAGATGAGAATTCATGAGCAATCAACACAATGAGTTCGCGGAAACTTCAACAAGAAATGCAAGCGCCCTTAAACATCCTCCGGATCCAGGCTGACTCTTGCGCAGTGACAAGACATTCAAGAAGGTGGATGAGGGCATTGAGGAGTTCAACTCGATATACGACAAGATATACTCCTCTCAAAACGCATCACAGAAGGACAAACAAGAAGAACACCTCAAGCGCGAAATCAAGAAACTACAGAAGCACAGAGACCAGATCAAGTCATGGGCAGCCGGAAACGAGATCAAGGACAAGTCAGGCTTGCTCGAGCAGAGAAAACGCATAGAAAAAGTCGGTACCCATTGAGCCTGCCTAGTGGTGAGACTGACCAGAGTGTAGTGCATGGAGTCTTTCAAAGCAGTAGAAAAGGAGATGAAGACCAAGGCATTCTCTAAAGAAGGACTGTCGCAGAATACCAAACAAGACCCGAAGGAGAAAGAGCGAGATGAGTTGTGCGATTTCCTGAACGAGAAGCTCGAGGAGATCAACCAATTCTTGACCGAAGAACTGGACGCCGAAGCCACAGCATTGCAAGCTGGCATGAAGAAGAAGCAGAAAGATAACCAGAAAGCAGAACGTCTGGCAGAAATCGAAGCAATCTCAGAACGCTACAAATGGCATGAATCGAGGTTACAATTATTGTTGCGGTCATTGCAAAACGGAAATGTCGATAATCAGTCAGTGCTGGACATCAAAAGTGATATTGAGGAAGTTGTAAGAGATGGCCGTGATCCTGAGTTTGATGGTGACGCCTACGAGGGCATATACGACGACTGCAACCTGGATAGTGAAGAGGCGCAGTTTGGTCTGATAAACGAGCTCGATCACATATCCTCCCAAGACGCCCAATCATTACAAGACGAACCTCCTGAGCCCGAGCAGCCTCCTGTGCAACCAAAGAAGCCACGGCCAGACCCTCCTGTAGCGGTAAGAAGACCGTCAACACAACTCAAATCACCTCTACCAGCGCTGGCGTTGCTAAACTCAATGCCACCACCTCCTCCTGTTCCGAAAGACACGAACATGAAGCCTGCACCATTACCTGCGCAGTCGACCCTAAAGTATGCATCTGCGGCTGCAGCTGCAGCTGCAAGCGACAAGAGCGGTGTCGGTATTGCTCCTCTACCTCCCCCTCCTGGCTTGTCTGCTGGTCAGCCATCTCCAGCGATAGCCAGGGCCTCCTTGACCACATCTCCCAATTCTATAGAAGCACAGCCAGAGGAAAGACCTCCTACCCCAGCTGCAGCACCTATCGAAGAAGTGCTTTCCATGGAACAGCAACGTCCTAAATCACCCTCACTTAGCTCCTCGAGCGCACCTGCCCCGAGTCAGCCTAGCAGTGTTCCGGTCACTCCAGCGATGGACAAAACAGAAGCAATCACCGAGCCCGTGATAGTGGATGAAGTGCCAGCTACTAATGGTGAGGCACAAGAGGAAGTCGAGTCCATTTACCACTTACCACCAGGCCTACAAGATTTACTCGACTCATTCGAAGCAACAAAGACCCGGGCTACACAACAACCAGCGCAACTAGCACGAATCCTGCAAGCTTCACACGAGTCTTGTCCGGAGCCACAGGATCTGGATCGTCCCCAGCACTATCGCCCGTCATACAAATACGCTACACCAGCGCATTACCCTCAGGATATTCTTCCAATATTTGATGATCCAGCATTGTACGAGAACCAACGCATGGAGCCCGATACTCTGTTCTACATCTTCTATTACAAGCAGGACACTTATCAGCAATATCTCGCGGCAAAAGCCTTGAAGAATCAGAGCTGGCGGTTCCACAAGCAGTATCAGACGTGGTTCCAGAGGCATGAGGAACCGAAGCAGATAACAGAGGAGTACGAGCAGGGCACATACCGGTTTTTCGACTACGAAAGCACATGGTAAGTTCTGATATCACTTCCGCGCGGTTTTCGACACATGGCTAACCCAATTCGTTTTATAGGATGAATCGGCGCAAAGCTGATTTCAAGTTTGTCTACAAATTTCTAGAAGACGACCTGTAGATTTGCTGTAGGAATAGTCCTATCATAACTCAGCCGTGACCAAATAGGAGCTCAAGCATCGTTTCCCGGTGGGACAGACCCTGTTTGCGGTACAACATCCACAGCATCGGCAGCAGGTCACCTGAAAGGCTTTGCGCATCATGACCAGCAAATAGAATGCTGAAAGTTGAGCATTTCGTCCTACTACAGAGGCGCTCGTGATACTTGACAGGATTGGATAAGCGGATGTGCTAGGCGTGTACTACTCCGTACTGCCAGTGCGCAAAGCAACCACGGCACGCTAAATGCCTTCGCCCACTTCAACCAGGCTCGTTGTTTGTTATTCCTTCGTCAATACTGTCATCCGCTGCTGCCTGTTCTTCACCCTTTTCGCTTGTCCTTTCTTTTGGTGGGTTTGGGTTATTTCCGGCATTAGCACATCCTATATGGCGCTTTACTTCGGCTTAGACCACCGAGGCCTTTGAAGAAGAGTAGCCTCTTCTTCATCAAGGCGAATTCAAGCGTAAGACCAACCAATACAGATGAGCCATTGTTTCACGGTGAGTCGCCTTCGAAGCGGTTGTTCGGGCCGTGGTCAGGTGCTTCCGTCCCTTGCAAATGTTCTCTGCTTTCTTACCACCCTGCAAGGGCACCTCAGTCACTAGATGCAGACCCAGCCAGTCTCTTCTCCTCAGATCAACCACGCCGTGGTATTCGTTACATAGTCTGTGTACGTTCTAGCAGGTCTGTGGATCGCGGACCTGGTCTATGACTTCCCTTGTCCCAAGCCAGATCTCTACCAGCATAGCCTTGGCAGACACATCAAAGATTTGCTGGCAACACCTCATCTGATTCTGTGCCCTCTTGATCGCTTGTATCAATTTGGAAGAGCCAGAAAATTACATCGCGAGGTCATTGACTGTGCTACGTGGATTCCATTCTGTCGAGGTCACTTATTACATAGAACATAGGATGGGGGTTTGCATGAGAGCATTGATCGACGACCATTCTCGGGATGCGCTTTATTGGTGGCATCATTTCCTAGCGGGCGTCACGAAGTCAGCCCTCTTTTGTCTTGTAGGACACTTTGGTACCCTTGACTTGCCAAGATGCTGCGTTCAGCAAACAGACCTTATGCATTGCCTACCACTTTGCAAGATGCATAAGAAGTCAGCCGGTGAGTGCTTGTCATCTCATGTCTCTCCGTGTTCAACGGAATATCAGATCTTGACTCTACATCTTTTGTCGAAAGTATATCACTGCTATCCCTACCTGGTAAAGTCCTGGTTAGCACCGAATCAGACAATCAATCAATCGACATGGCGGACTCGAGAATGATCTTCGACTACACACTACCTATCAGTGATTTTGAAGCAACTCAGTACGGGTATTGTGAGCAACGACACACTTATGCTGGCGCAGCGTCACATCAGAACAATGTGCCTCGATCTGCTCGACACGATGGGACTATCGCTCCGCGAGATCTATTGTGCGCACCAGCTAACAGATGGGTCTCGTCAGGCTATGGCCAAAATACCAGGAATCGAAGCACGAGGAGTAGCATGGACAGTTCGATACATACTGCTTCGTCACAGTCCTCGCCAGATATGCAATTCAGCCGGACCTCTTTCACGTAAGTCGTTGTGTGAAACTATACTTTGCAGCTCAGATGCTGACCTGATGCTTAAGACAACCTTACTATCAGCCGGCTGTCGAATACCATGAGTTCAATAGCAACATGAGAAATCCCAACATCGAGATAACCCACAAAACCGTTAAGTCTTCACCTAGATATCAATGTGATCTCGAGAACTGCATTGATCCGGACAGTGGCAAGCGCAAAAGTGTCGGTCGCAAGGCCGACCTCAAGCGACACATGAGATCCGTACATGGTCGGCCGACGATCGATTGCAAATACCCGAAATGCTGGCGACGAGGTGAAGACGGCTTTCGTCGCGAAGACCACTACATAGGGCATCTACGAGGCTACCATCTTGAACAAGTGCCAGCCCTGTCAACGAAAAGGACGTAGCACTGCATATACAGATGCACCACCACTTTCCAGGCATGCAGAACTCATGCTTGTTCCCTTCATGCGACGATATTAAAGAATTTTGTTGCCTGTTTTTTGATAGACTGTATTGAATTAGTGTACCACGAGCGCCAGGAACCTTATCGGAGATGCATGCATCTGGCGATACTGAGCAAAGGAAGGAAGGAGAAAGAGAACGGAGTTTTGCAGCAGCCGTCTGTGTCTAGAGGCAAATACTGAATGCTGAACAATTACTGGCAGATCAAAATTGCCTACAAACGTTTCAACGACTTGACGGCATGCATCAGATGATCTCTTCATTTTAAGCCGAAGTAGCCTCAAAGCGGCCACAATGTCAAAGCCACAGTCAAGTTTCACGTACGAGTTGCGACATAGTATGAGCAGTACTCTTGCTCCGCCCTCCCACACCTGCCTCATTCCATCGGGGGACACCCTGGTTGGCTCTGAGGACCTTTTGCACACTAGCGTCTCTGGATAAGCACAGCCTCGATTTTGCCTGATTGGCTCCACTTTGCCTTGAGCTAGCGGGATTCCTGCTGTGCACTACTAGGTCGGGGCTTGCGGAATGACATTCTTGTGTCGATCCCCTCACGATTCCACGGGGATATTCTTCGCAGATCTGACCCCCTTAGCCAACCTCTGTGGCGACTCATGCACTACGTGCATCCTCGTCCTTCGACGGCCATTTGGGGGATCTTCGTATTGAGGCTGGCCAGGCGACAGAAAGAGGGACGGCACTTCATCGATGGTCCTGCAAAGGACTTGCTGAACGACGCTGATGGAACGATGGAATAAATCCTTCAGAACGCCTTGAGCTTATGGTTACCGGCTTATCCAGGAACTTTGGCGAGCGCAAGATGGCAACGATCAAATAGTTTCCAGGCAAGATCGACAACGTATTTGCCTTTCTTTGAGTTGTTCCCACCATCGCCATGCTTTTTAGCTAGCCATTGTTACCTGATTGACTTTCGCATATTGTTGCACGCCCAGGTGACTGATGATGTTAATGGTGACCACCAGTTCATGGGTAGAAGGATGCTTCCACACAGCTTGTGTAGATGCCGGCATTTGAATCAATGTTTTGGGTCGGTGGCATGAAACACATACTGCCACATCAAGGAGTGTATCCATGTTCGTATTTGCCATGATAAATACCCTGCTTCAACAGCCGAGGAGGAAGAAGTTTACGATCGGCTCGACGCGCCGAGAGAAGCGATGCTGGCTACGGTGTTGTGAGCGGGCTGGCATGTCTCGAGCACTCTTGTCCCCTCTTCCGTTCGACTTCGGATCATATCCTTCTGTTCCTTCGTAACTATCACGATGTGCGCTGAGGTGTGTTCTGGATTCGGGTTCCATTTCCTGGTGGACATGAGAAGTAAGGAATGCGTTTAACCTTCTTCCTCTATTCAGATAGTAGTATTCAATGCATTACTGCGGAATTTTTCGTGGTGTGCTCTTTTTCGATCTGCCTTTTGTCCTGATCTGGCCTCTCATGTAGATATTATCAACGATTCCGAACGCGACTGGACGCCGATACGATTGGCGTCAGACGCGGATACGCTGACCCGCCACTTTTCTCGAGGTATACCATTTGCTGGGGTTGAGCACAGCCTGTCGTCCATCATTTGACACGTGCATCAGATCCGGCTGGATTAATGCTTCTTCACAATTCTAGTTTCGTTCACAGGTTTCCCTGAGCGTGGTTGTGTGTACCATGAGACCCAGACATTGCAAAGACACTATACTGTCCACTCTTGACCTTTATTCAAGCATCAACCATCACCTCCTCTTTCCTCCTTCCGTCATCCGTGCTCAGTCCGATTGCAGCCTCTGCAGCCTTTTGTGTATGTGCCTCCGCTCTCAATTCTTTGATTCGTCTCTTGTGGTTTTTGCCCCTCCTATGTGCAGCCATATTGTGCTCGCCCTCGAACCATTTTGCGCATTCTATACAGTAGAATTCACCTAGTCCTGGCAGATCTTCAGCAGCTTTGGTTGATTTGTAGTTGGTAAGGTGTTTGGGGTTAGTGAGGTCTGCCTGGACTTGGTCGAGACCACGTGTCAGGCGTTTTGTCTTGATACGACGAATTGAGCCCATCTTTGTGGTATTCGAGTGTATGTAAAGCAGTAGAAATAGTAGAAGGGCTCCATTCGAGAAATTGTTAATTATTGTGAAGAAACTTTTGGAGTGCTAAACAGCCAATGAAGTGGCCGCTTCTTCTGGATTGTGAGCTAGTGACTAGGCTACTATCTTGCACAGTGTGTGCCGCCTACGAGTACCAGTCTGTCTGTACTACTCACGCTACTGTATAGACGAAGTTCTACGCGTTTCGAGCATCGACCCTATAGCTGTTTCGTTGATGTACATTCCGTTAGGACTTTCGCGAGTTGTGGCTGATGCTTCGAAGATGGTACTGCCACCGCTTCGTGAGCACAGCTCGCTTGTATACCAGCTCGCTCTGCGCTCAGCGTAAATGTTTCAGCACCAGCACGCATTGCCGCTTTCATGCCACTGCCGTTGATGAAGCGGAGGTAGCGCCTCTGCGGAAGCAGCTGAAAGATGCTGCTCGCGCCAGCAGACATCAACAAGTGTCCGACACGAACGGGAAAGATCAGCTGCGCCGAGAGCGACTCAAGGACTGGGAGTTGACTGTTGGCATTGAGATTCATGCGCAGCTCAACACATCCAGCAAGCTATTTTCACGTATGGCAAATTCCTAACGCGTTCCCAATGTGTCGTCTGACCGTATTCAGGTGCGAGCGCAGACTGGACCGATGTTCCCAATGCAGCATTATGGCCATTTGATATGGCTGTGCCAGGCAGCCAACCATTATTCCAACCACCTGTGCTTATCCCGGCTCTGCGCGCTGCTATTGCTCTCGATTGTGATATTCGGCCGCGTAGCAAGTTCGATCGCAAACACTACTTCTACCACGATCAGCCAGCAGGCTACCAGATTACGCAGTATTACGAGCCCTTTGCGGTAAATGGCCGTGTCACATTGACACAACAAGACGGTCTGGCTCCAGAAGAAGGCACACTACATATTGGCATAAAGCAGGTTCAGCTCGAGCAGGATACTGCAAGGACGCAGCAGCACGACGAGGAAACAAGTTTGATTGATTTTAATAGGTCAGGCCATGCTCTTGTAGAGATCATATCACTCCCCCAGCTTCACTCTCCACAAGCTGCGGCGGCGTATGTGCGCAAGGTGCAGTCCATTTTGTATGCTGTCGACGCCGCAACTACAGGAATGGAGCTTGGTGGACTGCGAGCTGACGTCAACGTCTCTGTCCGCAGGTTCGATGGCGCCACAGGTAACCACTCTTACAGTGGAGTGACAGGTCTAGGACAACGGACAGAGATCAAGAACTTGAGCTCGTTTAAGAGTGTTGAAGACGCAGTTTGCGCTGAAAGAGATCGCCAGATTGACATTCTCGAAGCTGGTGGTAAGATTGAGGGAGAAACTCGAGGCTGGTCGCTCTCAAATCCAGGAGCTACTCGACGCCTCCGCGGTAAAGAAGGTGAGGTCGATTACAGATATATGCCCGATCCCGACATATTGCCTTTGCATATCGACAATGACCTCGTCGCTCATTTTCGGTCCACTCTACCACCCGTGCCAGATCAACTGCTGGATATGCTGCGCTTGTCTTATGGTTTGACTGCAGATGACGCTGGTGCTCTGCTGAACTTAGACAACGGGACACGACTGCTGTACTATCAGGATGTTGTCTCTCGCTTGACTCCCTCCTCCAACAACAACAAGACAGCCTTTGGCGTGCACGTCGGGAACTGGATCCTACACGAGTTAGGCGCTCTTCTGACTACGACAGAAACAGAATGGCATCCGGATCTGATCCATGCTCAGCAAATGTCTGATCTCATCTCTCTACAGCTAAAGGGTCAGCTCACTGGTCCGTCAGCCAAAAAATTGCTACGTATCCTCTTCGCAGGAGAGAAGGAACCGGTCTCAGTTATAGCTGAACGTGAGAACCTGCTATTTCAATCGATGAACGATCAAGAATATGTCGAGCTTGCAAATCGCGTCATTCAAGACCATCCAAAAGAAGTTGAAATCGTCCAAAAAAACAGCAAGCAGGCTCAAGGCAAACTAAAATTCCTGCTAGGACAGATGATGCGACATGGCGACAGGAACCGTATGGAAGCGCAACGAGCTGAAAAGACTTTGAGATCGATTTTGATGCCGTAAGACTTGGCTAATGTCAAGAACTGTCAATGCGATCTTTGATAGTGCAATGACTCCCAGCACTAACGGTAGAATCGTCGTGGTCCTGGTCTTTGAAATGTTGTCCACAGCAATAATATACCTGGAACCTGACGGTTCGAAGAAACATGGCCTAATCAAAAGAACGCAAAAGAGTACACTGTCGTGCTGATGTATACTTTAGGGAAGCTGTAAGCAAGGCATCCATGGTCACATATCGTGTCTAATCCTAAGGCAGTGATTCCTGCAAGTAACAACCGCCAGTGCAGTATCACTGGACCGCTCGAACGCGTGTAGATAGATTGATGGTAACTGACTCTCATGCATCGAGCTCGACACCAGAGGTGTCAACTCATGCCTAGGTTCGAAAGCGCGAAGAGATCTGAGATGCAACCACTCACAGTCAGTGGTTACAAACATTTTGGCTTTCAATCCCCACACTTCATTCACTTCTCCGCAAATCTTGCCATTGGCTTCTCGAACCACTCTGTTTGTCAGTTCAAGTTGTGTATGCAGGAAGCTAATCGAAGCTCAGTCAATTCAACCTTCAAGAGGTCGACACGGCATGCTCGAATTTGAGCTGTTGATGTTTGCTAGCTTCCTTCAGCATAAAGTATGAGGTTGTTCGAGTACTTAAGGTCAGGTGCTCGCATGTCTTCTGAGCCTTGACACCGTGTCTGCCTTTGACCATATCACCACGCCGACATTATGTCTGACTCTTATACTGTGCCCCTCGGAGCTTTGACTCTAGGATCCCTTTCTTATTGGGTAGGTAGTTTCCTGGTCGCACCACTGACCGAAATCTTTACTGGATAGCAAGCTGAATTGTCCTAGACATATTTCCAGCGCGGCGAGCATTTCCTGTATGCAGTCCAGTACATACAGGGATTTGCCATAACGGTCCTAGCTGGTGCCATCTTCTTCTCACAACAGGCCGATATCTCTTTCCTTGCATCCCTGTCACACAGCATTCGATTATCAGCTATCTTCCTCGCTGGCCTATATGCCAATTGTGCTTTTTACCGGCTCTTTCTGAATCCACTAAACAAGTTCCCTGGTCCATACTTCGCTCGTTTGACTAAATTTAATCACTGTTTTCGCAACGCTGGTCTTGATGCTTACAAACAGTTTCTCAACGACCACCAGAAGTACAATACCAAATTCTTGCGCATCGGTCCAAATGATCTGTCTGTAGTGGACGTCCGAGCCGTTCAGATCGTGTCTGCTGCAGACTCGAAATGTGTCAAAAGCCCTTGGTATCAAAACGACTATCCTTTGATCTCACTGCACACAACAAGAGACCGAGCCATGCACCACCGCCGCCGACGAGTCTGGGCGCCAGCCTTCAGCGATAAGGCACTCAGAGGCTACGAGCAGAGAGTACAGAGACTTAACGATCTGTTGATTACAAAGCTCGACGAAAGTAAAGGAAGTCCCCTGGATGCAACCAACCTGCTCAACCTATACTCATTTGACACCATGGGAGATCTAGCCTTCGGTAACGATTTCGGTATGCTAGAGAGTGGGAAGCCACATTGGGCGATCAAGCTCTTGAATGAAGGCATGGATCCCCTAGGCCTGCAACTACCTGTGTGGTTCTTTAGAACGTTGGCTGCTATACCTGGTCTCGCAGCTGGGTACTGGAAATTTATCGCCTTCTGTACACAACAACTGGAGAACCGTATTGCAGTACACGGCAAGACTGACCCTAACAAGCCTGATATTACACAGTCGTTGATTGATCACTACCTCAAGTCGTCACCTGAAAACAAGAAGGAACTTTGGCCTATGCTTTGTGGTGACTCGCGGCTCATCATCGTAGCGGGAAGTGATACTACGGCAGCTACCTTGTCGTACTTGTTCTACCACATCGCTAGCAAAAAGGATTGGCAGGAGAAGTTGCGGAAAGAGATACAAGACATAAAGGCGTCGACAAAGTCTACAGAGCGAACTATCGCTGATCAATCACTTAAGGACGCTCCCGTCCTCAATGGCATGATCAATGAAGCCCTAAGGTGCGTCGTGCCGTTGTTGTCCCTATCAATGACTGAGATTTCCAGGTTGAATCCACCCGTGCCGTCTGGTGTGTTCAGGCAGACTCCACCTGAAGGTGTCACCATTGGGGAAACCTTTATTCCAGGCAATAGTGTCATCCAGATCCCTACCTACGTTATGTCGCGGTGTAAGTATAATGTTACCCCGTTTCATGCATGCATCTATCTAATGCTTCTTAGCCGAGGACAACTACGTCGAGCCTGCGCAGTTTATGCCAGAACGATGGTCCTCGAGACCAGAGCTCATCAAGGAGAAAGACGCATTCATTCCCTTCTCGACTGGACCTTTTGGCTGCATCGGCAAGAATCTGGCGTACATGGTATGTGCCGTGTTACCATTGTTGTAGTATGAGCAAGCTGACCCCTTCATAGGAAATCCGAACAATTACTAGCCAAATAATTGATCAGTTTGACGTCAGTCTAGCGCCAGGCGAAGATGGCAGAAAGTTGGTTGAAGAAGCGGTGGATCATTTTACTCTAGGACTGAAGCCTCTAATGCTTGAGTTCAGGAGGAGAAATTGATGATAAATGGTTGCTCGGCCATCATGTTCATCTCATGTGGGAGGCTGAACCGCCGCATGAGAAGTAGAGAAGAGCTACGATTATTAAGTACCAACCGGTTTCTGTAGGAGGATGCGGACTTCTACACAGACTATCTCAAGTCCCTTCGCGTGGCTAAGGTTTCGCTTCGGTGCTTGGCTTCCTGCTTGGGTCGGAAGTGTTATATAGTATGCCTGTTTCTTCGTTGAGCTCCTCCTGCTTTCGTAGTTTTTGTCTTCACTATCCAAGGTATGCAGCTTCTTCAGCATGTCAACGGGTCGCAAGTCACCAAGGTGCAGAATATAGTAGGTTGCTATTGCATGATTGGCGAATGATGTCCTTATCCTATGCAGGTAAAGTGGCCGGTAGATTTGCAATCGTCTTTTTCGGAACAAAGAATATTCGTCGCTAACCACAGAAAAAAATCAATTGACGTTCATTCTGGACGCGAATGTCAGTGGTCGTTTGCGCGCGGCACCATGATAGAAGACTTGCCATCCGAGTGTCCTCGATGGTTGAAGCTGATTGCAATTCAGTAGCGTTTTGCTCGACACTCCAGGAGTGAAGAAACCAGCGAACAATCTGACACTACACACTTTTTGTTATCTAGTACACCTAGTATGCAAGAAAGAAGAATTCACGCACGCAGCTTCTCTTTTCTGTACACCGAGTTCTTCGCCAATTAAAATCGGAACACTACCATGCCTGCCTTTTTGTCAGCCCTAGTGACCGTCAGTGTCCTCATACTCGCGCCTGGATACCTCTATTACAAGAATCGCAGAACACGACAGACTCAGCAACTGCATAGAGCCGAAGATGAACTTCATCCTCTGCTCAAGGAATACACTAGCTTCAGGACCTACACCACATCTTTTGCTCACTACCCACGAATCAGGACGTTCTATCGTCCTCACTCCCATGAGGGTAAGCATACAGACATAGCAGGATTGCCACTGCTAGTTTTCATACACGGTCTGGGTGGGGTACTACCTCAATTTGCGCCGTTGATGCAGAGTCTGACGAATATCGCTCCTTGCTTTGGGATTGAGCTACCTGGTCACGGTAGATCGACCTTCGCACCAAAGGACTATCAAGCATACACAATCGAGGCTAACGCCGCTCTCTGGAAGGCTGCCATTGAGGAGATTTGCCGGCTGAAAGGTCATAAGTCGGTTGTGCTTATTGGTATTTAGTCTTCCCGTACCAGAATCTTGCATGGCTAATATTCCTCGATAGGCCACAGCATGGGATGCTCTATCTCAGTCCTTCTTGCCTCGAGCACATCAAGCGCTGTCCCTTTGTCAGTGCCCGTGTCAGCTGTAGTAAGCATCTGTCCTCGTGCTCGTCCATTTTCCGATCACGACCTGAAAACCGCCAGTCGATTGTGCAAATTACCTGACCCAATCATCAACATACTACGATGGTTCGATAGACGTGGTGGGGTCAACAGTACCAGCGTTAACCGAGTGATAGGTGACATGAAAGAGCCTGACTTGAGACGAATGCAGCTGCAGTGGAATCGTCAATACCGAACTCCCGTGCTCAAGCGAATAACATCTGGTCTGCTACCTCAGAGCACATTACCACAAGGTGGCTATCCCTCAGCGGAGGTATGGAAAGGTTTACGGATACCTTTATTTCTGATTGCTGGCGAGTCTGATCGTGTCACACCTACGCAGGAAGTCGATACCATTGTTCGCTACGTTACCGAACAGTCCTTCGAACAGTGGAAGGTCAAACAGCAAGTAGATCAGAACGATCCTAATCTGGCATCAACAAATGGATTGGTACCGCTTACGATCAGGTATTCCCCGAATGAAGATGGAAGAAAACAATCTGTCATTCAGGTTATCACGCTACCCTCCCCAGCAGCCCATGCTCTGCTGTATGCTCATACCACGTATCGACTAGTTTCAGCACTAGTAGAATCTTTCTTGGCAAATCATGTCTCTTCAAAGCTTGATTTCAGCTACCAGTTACGGCTTCTCACGACTGCTGGAAAGTGGGATGTGAAGAATTACCTCAAATGGCGGTCAGTACTTCCAGTCAGCGATCCTATAAATACAGACGACCGACATGGTGGATTTCCTAACGGTACGTTCCGAGCACTCAAGACAATGCGAGAGCAAGACGATGAACACAACCCTACGATCTTCTTGCAAAAATGGGCAGACAAGATTTACGCTGTCATTGACATATCTCATGATGTACCAGTTTACAACAGCAAGGTATTAGATAGTGGGGGTGTTGAGTATCACAAGTTTCCCACTGTGAGCAAGATACCACCAACGCCACTTGAGGTACAAGACTTCTGCTCCCTCGTAGATACTCTGATCGCCGAGAAGAATGCCAAAGAGGCTGCTCATGAAGCGAAACGAAGCATTGCAGTCCATTGCCATTATGGCTACAATCGTACAGGCTTCTTCATAGCTTCATACCTCATCTCTCGTTGTGACTATACTGTTCAACAAGCGATTGACGAGTTCGCTCGTGCCAAACCTCCAGGTATTAGGCACGAACACTTTAAAGATACGTTGTGGCTGCGATTCGCTAGTGGCAGTATTCAGCAACACACCAGGGTGTCTATAATTGCAAAAAGAAGCGAGACCATAACCGGTAAGCATAATGCGTCAAGCACGATACCAGAACAGGATGAAGATATAGGAAATATCACAGAAGGCGATTTCAACTGACAATCTAGACCTGGTATGAAATATGATCATCCCAAGTCGATGTCGAAACAATCGGGCCTATTCGTGCCTGCTGATGCCTGAGGCTAGCTCAGTGTAAGAGTGTCCGAACCTTTCGGGTTGGTCAGGCCCCCCAGCGTCATTAGGACGTTCGAGTATTCTTCTCACGAGTTGTCCACTTTTGTGCACGATCTTCCCACGAGCTCGTTCTTCCACCTATTCAAGGAACATTAAAAAGCAAGAGACTTCATGGGCTACTCCGAGGTAGTATGCCATATCTGTGGTGTCTCTTTCACCATCAGTCGCATTCGGACCAAGGATGAATCACGATCATGTAGTTGGGCTGATAGCACGAAGCGTCGAGGCCTAGAATTCATCGCCGCCGGTAATACTGGCTGGGCTAAGCTTTGTCCGCCAACCGCCGGGTGTATGTCTGCATTTCGCGAAGACGTAGACAGAGCACAGGATCACATGTTCAATGAAGGACAAGCTGGACGCGTTAATGACGAGATAAAAAATGCAGGATTTGAGGAAGCCGAAGACGATAGCAAGAACTATGCTCCGTCAATAGGCGACGGAGACGACCCAACCGATGATGAAAGCAACGACCTTAATGACCAGTCCAGGGACTGCGAAGACATCGAGACACCAGACTACGATCAGGACGGCGATGAGACTTATGAAGCTGCAGGGTCACCAAATATGGTCGTGGGTGATGACTATGCACACTTTGTTCGCAGCATAGCGCAGCCAGATATGGCAAGGGCTTTGGAAGTTGGTATTGTCCGGTACGGTAATCAGATGTGAGAGGTCTGTACGAAGCTGATTTGTTGGAAGACCCGAGGACGAGATCATGCTTCCTATGTACACGAAAGATGCTGCTTTCTTCCAAACACAATCAGCTAACATGAATGAGTGCGACCAGGACCTTCTGGAAGCCAATCTATCATATAAAGCTTACTCAATAACAGAAGGGAACGAGAATAGGAGGAACGCCATAATTAACAGCGACGAGGTCTGGGAACATATAGCGGGGCCTGAGTGCACTAACGCGGCAGGCTACCATGGGCACCGGATCAGCGTGGAAGAGATGGCCGGTATCACTACCGCACAAGCCTTGTGTTTTAAGATCGAAGACGAAGAAGCAATGGAGGAATCTGACGATGAAGCATGGGAACGCGACATAAAGTGGTTCTTGAGTGGTCTTGGCGACGTCATGCCCAGCCGTGACTGCTCAGATCTGACCGTATACCCTGCGCGGCGTGGCAGAGAACAAGTTCATGCCGAGAACTACGTCTTCGAACTCGATAGTGACAGTATAAATACGTATGCCATGGCGTTCCATCCCGCATGCTTAGAGGTTTTCAAGCGAGCCAGTATCAACAAGACAGGGACCTGGGACGCGACAGAACTAGGAGAATGGTGGAAGATGCAGGGAGAAGATCAGTCGCTTTGGAAAGAACTCCCGGAAGACGAGGCTCTCGAAAGAGGCCGCGAACAATGGTGGTTCCATCAACCTGGTGACGAGTGGCTTGCCGCGAACCCTTGCTTGATTCCAAAATTCACGAAGATCCTGGCAGACTGTCGTGGTCCGAACGCAGTTCGTCGAAGTGACAGCCGTGTACATCGACCGACTTCTCTGACAGCACTACCACGAGAGCTCCGCCACAACATCCTCAGCCATCTAGACACCATCGACATCGCTCGCGCCAGCCTAGCCATCCCAAGCCTGCACGACCTAGCCCAACCAATCCTCGAGCAACGATGTCTGGCAGAACGACCCTACCTCTGGGAACTATGGTGCAAAATGCCCTACTCAAAATGGACAGGCACGACTGAAACCGAACTAAAGACAACGCAAGACTCTCTTGACAGACAAGAAGAAGAGATTAAAAGAGCACTAGAGATCCTAGAAGAAGAAGGTCATGAAGAGGCATATGTGGCTTGCAAGGAGTTCTGGACAGCTTCGATGGAGGACAGGTATAGGGAGACGTGTGGTTCGGCTTGGGGAGAGAAGCCAGCGTTTGTGATTGATAGGAATCTAACTGATTTTACAAAGTTAGTGATTGAGCTTGATAGGGTGATGAAGCGTGGGGAGTTGAAGGGCCTACGGAATCGAGAGAGGATATGGAGACGTTGTGGTGGGATACTTGATAGTATTGTGGCGACAAGAGGCCAGACGGTCGTGTGAGTGTTAGGGTCTTGAGTCATGCGATGGGATGCCTGCGAAGGCTCTCTCACCTAGACCGGGATTGTGTTATGCACCATCGAGAGCAGGACACTGAACGTAAAAAGGAACTGTTTGACATGTATAGTTCAGCACGGGTTCTGAAGATACCATTCAAGCTCGCATTCAGACGCAGGCCTCGACGCCGAGCCCGTAGGTACTGGTTGTTGACACAACATGATGTAAACCCAATCGTTCAATCTCAACTCATTGTCCAACTTCGCTACTTTTCAAATATGCAAATATGTGTCCTTGCTTCAACAAAATTCTTGAATCAGGTCAATCGTGCCTACATCTTCTACGAAAGGATTGGCGAGGAAAGTTGAGGAAATGATAGTGTTGAATCGATAGGCGAGGACGGTTTCCGTGACAAAACAGTTCCGACTACTATCCAAAATTCCTGTGAACCACGAGGGGAGGTAGCAGCCAAGCTAAGGGGATCAGCCCCATCCCGGGTGGGAATCCGTAACTAAAGTACTTGAGTTGCTCTAGGCCGAGTGTCGAGTAATCTGCTGATGTGGGTGAATAGTGGGTTTGTTGTGTGGAGATTTTATGCTGTTCGGACGGAAAGGAGAGCACTGGCATACGACGGATTTTGAAAAGTACTGGATAGATTGATAGATCTTGCGTCTAAACGCAAACTCTAGGTTAGAACTCGTGCTCTGTGTAGCGATGTATCGAAGAGGTCGTATCTAGTGCATTCATAGTAGAGCGCCATGCTATTCGTTTGTCTTCCGTTTTCCACACCACCTGGCCAGCGCTCATGTAATTATAGCACCAACTATAGCAGCTGCGATACTACTCACTGAGATAGCTGTAGGTAACCTCTAGTTATTTGAGCTTTTACTAACACCCTGTGCTACTTTGTCAAGACTTGCAGCAACTTCTTCAGTCGAGTGTTCAAGAGCATCTGCTTTGTCTTCGAGGGCTTCGGCAATTTCGTTGGCTGTGTCTTTGAGATCTTCACCGATTTCGTAGGTAGCGTTTGCCTTATCTCTGAATGCGTCTGCAACGACATCGCCCCAGTATCTGGTAGCATTGGCCATCGAACTTATTGGATCATCGACGCTTTCGAATAGTTAGCTAAACAGTTTCTGATTTAGATCTTTGTAAACGTACACTGGCACTGGATGTGCAAAGCAGATGACGAAGAGGGATAGAAGTAGTAGCGGCATCAATGTTGGATACATGTTGTATTTAGCCAACGGTGTTGTGAGTAGTAATACTGGTGTAGTAATGAAACAGTGTGGTGAGTATTGATGATGGTGTAGCAATGAAGTATTAATACTGATAGTAGTAGTGTGTAAGGAAAAGAACTCAAGTTGAGCAGGTTGAGCAGATTTAAGTAAATGTAATATCGCGCCGAGCAAGCAGGCACGCTTTCAAAATTAGCAGTCACCATTCTCACTGATGCCTACAGTGAGACTCCTGCCTCCATGTAGAGGATCCAAGAGGTCAACCGCGAGCTCTCAGTGTGCACAGAGATATTCTGCGAGTAGTTGTTGTCCTGAAACGGCAGAAGGGTATCACGTTCGACTATGCCACTGGTTCTTACAAGGTGAACCCAGCTGGAGTACTGTACAGTGACATGGTCTAACCTGATCGATAGACACTATGTACAGTGCTACAGATGACACTGGCAAGAAAGAAAGTGTTGGAAACGTGTTGCAATTGAGGTCTAATAGAGCCATGTTCAGGATTTGTGAATATTAGCCGTTGACAAAGCGCGATATCGACCTGATGAGGGCTAGTTCTCGCGCACCATCGGAATAAATCGCTTACAGTTGGCAAGTACTTGCGGCGGTGCTGAGCTAATGAGAAGCTTCAATGGCGTGGCGCTTTCAGTTGAGGAGCTTCCGCATAGTATAGCATTATTCTCTTGATGATCCCTCCTACCTTGCCTGTTCTTCCTACTACACCCTCGCCTTCTCTCGTACACCAACTTGTTTTCCTGCATTGGCCAAAGCTAGCATGATGCAGAAAGCAATCCTCCCGACCAGTCGCTCAGTCCTCCGAACGGTAGGGAGCCGCGCAGGCCCTTCGAGCTTAAGACGATCACCACAATGGCAGATTAGGACGTACGCTTCCGAGGCAAAGGATTACGATGTAATATTTATTGGAGGTGGTGTTGCTGGTTATGTCGGCGCCATTAAGGCTGGACAAGAAGGACTAAAGACCGCATGTATAGAGAAACGAGGAATGTTGGGTGGCACTTGTCTCAATGTCGGATGTATACCTTCAAAATCACTCCTGAACAACTCGCATCTTTACCATCAGATATTGCACGACACGAAAAAACGAGGCATCGACATTGGCGACGTGAAGCTGAACCTGAAACAGATGATGAAGGCCAAAGATGAATCAGTAGCAGGTTTGACCAAAGGTGTTGAATTCCTCTTCAAGAAGAACGGTGTCGATTACATTAAAGGCGCTGGCGCTTTTGTAAACGAGCATGAAGTTGCAGTCAACCTGGTTGATGGTGGCCAAACTCAGATCAAGGGCAAGAATATCGTTATCGCGACTGGCAGTGAAACAACTCCTTTCCCTGGCCTGACAATTGATGAGAAGAAGGTTATCACATCGACCGGTGCCATTGCACTTGAGCAAGTGCCCAAGCGTATGGTCGTCATTGGTGGCGGTATCATTGGTCTCGAAATGGTAAGCAGATTCACAGATTTTTTAGCTTATGAATAAAACGCTAATGGCTACTAGGCATCTGTGTGGTCACGTCTCGGTTCCGATGTTACCGTTGTCGAATTCCTCGGACAAATTGGCGGGCCCGGTATGGACGCAGATATCGCTAAACAAGCACACAAGATCCTCGCGAAGCAAGGTATCAAGTTCAAGCTGGGCACCAAAGTAACAAAAGGTGACGCCAGCGGCGATATTGTCAAGCTTGATGTGGAAGCTGCCAAAGGCGGCAAGCAAGAGACTCTTGAGGCTGAGGTCGTCCTCTGTGCTATCGGTCGCAGGCCATACCATGAGGGTCTGGGCCTGGAGAATATCGGTGTCGAGGTTGACGAGCGCAAGAGAATTGTCATCGACCAGGAGTACCGGACAAATATTCCACATATCAGAGTAGTGGGCGATTGCACGTTCGGACCTATGCTTGCTCACAAAGCTGAAGAAGAGGCTGTCGCCGTCGTCGAGTTTATCAAGCACGGTACTGGTCACGTCAACTACGGCGCTATCCCATCCGTCATGTACACACATCCTGAGGTTGCCTGGGTTGGGCAGAATGAGAAAGAGTTGAAGGATGCCGGAATCAAATACAACGTCGGCTCATTCCCATTCACTGCCAACTCTAGAGCCAAGACAAACCTGGACACTGATGGCATGGTAAAGTTCCTGAGTGATGCTGAGACAGATCGCATCTTGGGTGTACACATTATCGGCGCCAATGCTGGAGAAATGATTGCGGAAGGAACGCTGGCACTTGAATATGGCGCCAGTAGCGAGGATGTGGCGAGAACATGCCACGCTCATCCAACGCTGGCGGAAGCTTTCAAGGAGGCTGCCATGGCTACCTACAGCAAGGCCATCCACTTTTAGATAGCTGTACGTTTATATTGAGGGTCTGACGGTTTCAGCGATTTTATAGGCTATTGAGCGTCGCAACACATTTCGATTGTCTTTGATCAACATGCCTATGCAAAAAGCAGTGTACAGCTAATAGAATTCGATGTTTTCAAGCTGTCTGTTAGCAAAGTATGTATCACAACGTTTGACAGAGTCGTGAATCGGCAAAGCGGCACGTGTGCCATGCAGGCGCTCGGCCAGCCTGAGGCGTGACCGCAGTTTTCCGTGCTTCTCTCCATACTTTTGAATCTCGAACACCAATCACAAAACAGCAAATACATCGAGGGAAGTCCTAGTGTCGAAACTTGTGACACGCATGATGAGTCTCAGAGCTGTTTCGACCGCGTGAATCTCGAATGCAAACGTGTTGAGGAAGGCGAAAAGATACTATCAAAGGCGGTTCGAGGTGCTCGCGATCTTGCGATATGACAAGCCCACAAACCCTCATCCTTTCCAGGTAAAAGACCAGCGAGAAGTAACTCAATATCGTCGGAGTTTATGTACCTATCTTCCTCGTGTTTTCAATACACGCTACGTCGTCCATGCATGGTCGGATCGTCACCGTCCGCCTATCGGCAAAGGACCTATCCACCTACAAACTTTCATGGTAATTGGCAAAAACCAACCACGCCCCTTTGCTAATTATGTGACTTGACTCATCTTGCAGTGCTACTGATGTATAGCTTACGAGGAGCTTGGTTGATCGGACAGTTGTGCCATGTGCTTACTTAGAGAACAGGACTTCCCTGCTGCCATCAGAAACACGCTTAGTTTCTAGTCAAGCTTCAGGACGGAAACGACATACAGTTGTAACACATCAGACACTTCAACCTTGACGCCCAACGAGATGGAAGAGAAGAACGACCTCGGATTGACCGAGAGCGTACCAGAACGTGATATAGAACACGACGCGGTCGACGCGTTTGGTGGCGATCCTTTGACCACTATCAAGACTGCTGCTTCCAAAAATGTCCGACCATCCACCTTATCGAGGACCATATCAAAGGTCAGGACATCCGACGAACTAGATCCAGGGCCACCTCCAGACGGGGGTGTTGTAGCATGGACTCAAGCAGTGTTGACACATGGTATCATCTTCGTGACCTGGGGCTTTATCAACTCCTTTGGCTTATTTCAGTCTTACTATGTGGACAACATGGCGATCGGATCCCCCTCAGCTGTTGCATGGATTGGCACAATTCAAGTGTGGATTCTTTTCAACGTTGGAACATTCTCCGGTCGAGCCACAGATGCTGGGTTCTTCCGAGTCGTGTTTGTATCTGGCGCTGTTATCTCACTGATTGGCATTTTCACACTCAGTTGGTGCAAAACGTACTGGCAGGTCTTCCTAGCGCAAGGAGTATGCATGGGCCTTGGTTTCGGACTCGTTTTTGTTCCCTCCATTGCCATTGTCAGCACGTACTTCCTCAAGAAGCGATCAGCAGCGTTGGGAATTACCGTCACAGGCTCTGCAACGGGTGGATTGGTCTTTCCAGCAATTGCTCAACAGATGCTGCCGAGCGCAGGATTTGCGTGGACGGTACGCACAATGGGCTTCGTACAGCTTGCGATACTTGTTATCTGTGCGATATTCCTTAAACCACGACTTCCACCTCGCAAGACTGGGTCGATTGTCGAGTGGGCTGCTTTCAAGGAGACGGCATATTCTCTGTATTTACTCTGCGGGTTCTTTTTCTTCTGGTCGGTATACATTGGCTTCTTCTACGTTACCAGTTTTGGCCGCAATGTGCTTGGCGTCAGCCAGGAGACATCGCTGAATCTTCTCTTAGCAATGAACGGTGTTGGTGTGGTCGGACGAATGGCTGTCAATGTGGTGGCCGTGTACACTGGACCTATCAACATGCTCTTCCCCTTCATCGTTGCCACAGGGATAATGGGCTTCGGTTGGATTGGAGTGCATGATATTACAGGCTTGTGGGTTTTCACCTGTATTTACGGAATCACCGCTGCTGCGTTGCAGGGCCTGTGGCCCGTGGTGCTTACTAGTCTGACATCTGACCCAAAGAAAGCTGGTGTGAGAGCTGGGATGGGATTTGCGTTCGTTGGGTGGGCCGTCCTCACGGGACCGCCGATAGGCGGCGCTTTGATCGAGACGATGCACGGAGACTTCTTAGGCTGCCAGATCTTTGCGGGTACGACCATGTTTATCTCTGCAGCATTGTTGGCGGCAACGAGGTGGGCAGTGCTAAGGAAAAGAGAGATCAGTTGGAAGCAAATAGTAAAGGTATGACGAAAGTCACGATGGATAGACTCCGGCACATATAGATGTGGAATCGAGTTATCGCCCTTTTTTAACAGCAATGCAGAGAAGCCATTATTGCGCGATGCATATGGAGTCCTGGTGCCGTGCAGCACATTGATTGGTTTCTGACGAAGCGGGAGATGAGCAGCAGTGCTCTTTCCTTGGAAGCGCTGCCCAATAAATGTCGCTCTATTTCCTGAGTCAAAAGGTGGTCTCCCAGCAGAATCATTTTTGAACCATCGTTGTGATTACCACTCTCTCAATCATCTTTCAGCTGTTTGGTTCGTTTGATCTCAGTCCCGGATGGCTACGTCATAAGTGGTTGTAAAGTCGACCCGTGAAGCATAAATTTGCAGGCATTCATATCACAAGCGGAGAGCCAACACCAAGGTCAAATTGCGGTCAAGAAGTACGAAACAAACAGGCAGACAACAGTAATACGCCAGACGCCACCATACTATCCTTTCTATCTTACGCACACCCAACAAATCGAACCTGATTTCGCTTTGTTTCCCAATACCCCGCCTTTACCCACCCACCTCATTATCACTCTCAACTTCCTTCCAGTTGTTGTTTGTCGGTTGAAGTCGATAAGTCTAACCGACTAGACCAATTCATACACCATGGCACCGAGAGGCAGAGGCGGGAAGTTCTCCAAGCCTTCACGAGGTGGCGGCAAACACTTCTCTCGCGATCTTCAACCTCTAGACAAGGAGGGAAATCCTCTGGGCATGTGGCGCGATCCAGCAGACAAGAAGGAAGAATCATCTTCCGAAGAAGAGGATGAGTCTAGCGAGGAAGAGTCTGACGAGGAGGAGGATGCACCATCTGGCTCCGCGGCCGCTGCAGCCCAAGAATTGAGTCGAGAACAGCGCAGGGAGTTGGCACGGAAGAAGAAAGCTGCAGCAATCGCAAAGAAGAACAAGAAAGTGGCTGAAGTTGGCGACATGCCTACAGATTCAGAGGAAGAGTCATCGGAGGAGGACGAAGGCGATCTACCTGCCAATCCGAATCATACTTCCAAGGCGCGAAACCAGGCCCGTGCTGTCACTGGTGCTGCTAACGAGGCTCCATTGCCTCGACGAGACCAGAAGGAGAACCTAAGTCGTCGAGAGAAGGAGGCTATTGCTGCTCAGGCCGCCAAAGAGCGATATCAAAAGCTGCACGCTGAGGGCAAGACTGACGAAGCAAAAGCTGATTTGGCACGGTTGAGACTCATCAAGGAGCAGAGAGAAGAGGCCGCTGCTAGAAAGCAAGCTGAGAAGGAAGAGCGGGAAGAGCGAGAGAGGGAGAACAAGGAGAAGCTCGACAAAGAGGACAAGAAGCGGGCTGATGCTATGGGCAACACTAGTGCAAAGAAACCTTTGAAGTCGCGAGTTGAGGTGAAGGGCAAAAAGTGAAGTGATTGAGCGAGACGAGAATTCTATCAATACCCTTGGCATAGAGACAGCTTCGAGCACAGCTGGTCTTTTGGGTTGTATAGGAGATGGACACAAGAACAGTATAGTACTACAGTCAGAAGCAGCCTCGTACAACCTATTTTATCGGACATGCCTTGTAAGAGCCACCTCTCTGCTGCTCGGCACGTGCCGTGGTGCCTCTAGCGCTCAGCTACGTAATTTCCGTCGAGTCGATCAAACTGCGACGCCTATTTTGGGCTTTTATCCTTCTTAAAGTTCTTTACGCGATCATTTCAGTTCGGAGGCTTGTGAGGCACATATGGTGTACTAACCCTCTTCTCAGTAACGCTTCTCGATGAGTACACCTCGACTCTCCTCTCCGACCTCTCGATATGGCGACCGATTCGGGCCAACCGAGCGGAGACGCTCGGAATACAAGATGCCCAGGTTCTTTAAGAGGTAGGGGAGAGGAGCCTTCATACTGTAAGAGCACAGACTGAGGTACAGCAGACTTTTCAAGTTCCCGCAGATGGATTTCGAGACGGCAGTATGGGAAATGACCCATTTACTTATTGCGCCTAAGAAAGTGTTCAAATCCATATTCTACCAGAAGCGTACGACAACTCCCACAAAGTTTCAAGGCTAAAGAAAGAGTATGGCTAATACGAACTGCAGAAATGCGAAATTCATGGCATCGACCCGATCCCGCCTTCACCTACCTCCTCTCCTTCTTTCTCCTCCTCACCTCGTTCGCCTGGTCTCTCGCCTACACTCCTCATGTGACTAGTGTCCTCAAGCTCGCCTTCATGTTCGTTTTCGTTCACTTCCTCCTCGGCTCTCTACTTCTCTCTACCGCCTTCTACTTCCTCGTCGGCCGTTACTTAGGCCCAGGCGTGGCCGGTCTGCCTGGCCGTCGGCGCCAGCAAGGACTCTTTGGTCCTTCTGGTAGCACATCTGGCGAAGCGCTGGAGTTTGGGTACTGCTTCGACGTCAGCACGCGCGCCTTCTTTCCACCCTATGTCCTGCTGTATATTGTACAGTACATCCTCATGCCAGCGATCGATCACAAGAATAGCGCGAGTGCGTTTTTGGCCAATTCGCTATATCTGGTCGCGGGAGTATACTGGAGTTTAATCACGTTCTTAGGCTTCAACAGTTTGACGTTTTTACATCACACTCAGCTTCTGCTGGCGCCTATAGGAGTATTTACGGTTTTATGGTTGGCGTTTACAGGACTGGGGGTCAATCTGGAGAGGTGGGGAATCGGTTGGATGTTTTGGGGAGTCGACATATCGAAGTGAAAGAGAGGCGAAATATTCAAAGGGAACTATTGCTACACATACAGTGCTGTACTAGCTCGAACACCAGAAGCAGCAACAACGAAGCACATCACGTCAGGGCTATATGGGTATGTCAGATACGATACTGTCTTGTGGTACACATGAATCGAAAACTCTCTGTTCAAACACAATCGACAAGCAGCATAGAGACCCTGGACTGAGAAGGCAGCACCAACGTCTTACCTGAACAGATAAAAGGAACACTAGCACGACGCACATGAGAATTGGCAGAAGTCGAGTCTTTGGCGAGCGACCGACCAGCTGGAGAGAAATCGGTTTCGACTCAAGTCGAACCGGTGTGACTGCTAGTAGTGACTGGCGAGAGGACGTACTGAACGACGACGCAATGACTCGTCGTTGCTGTCATGGACCACACCGAATTATTCCGACAATCTTGCAACATTGATGTTTCAACGTGGCAGTTTCGAAAGCATTCTGTAACTGCATGGGAACGATTGCAAAACGGTTATGTAGGTACCTGTATAGATTGCATTCAAGCGAGATCCTGGCAAAGTGGATGATCGTGGCTGCAAGTCTATCGTGTTTTCGTTGGTGCGGAGCATACGCAAAGAAACATGATTCATGATTGTCGCAGACTGGATTCTCGAAATGAACGAGGCGACAAGGCATCAACTCAAGCTAGTTTAATTTAGTATCGGCAGGAAAGTACGATTTTGAGCTGAATTGATGTCGAGATTGGGTCTGAGGGGAAAGTTGTCTTGCAATCTGCAACCTGCACGTTTCAAGTACTTTTATGCAGGCCGTCGCAGAATCAAAGCAGGTATAATGTACATTACCTTCCGACGTGCTTTATTCATTGCCTGATGCGAATTCCCCTCTTTCACGTCCCATTGCAGCATCCCTGTTCCTGAGCTAAGCTCCCATCCACAACCCACGCGCCAGATTGCGCCTAAACTATTTCCAGACATTTTAGTGCAGCAATACAAGCTTGGACAGCCTGCAGATCTCTTTCTCCTGATCTGTGCATCTACATCCAGTGTGAACGTGGAGCATTTTTCTTGTGTGGGACAACTTTTGAATGCTTTCCAGTATCGATTCCACGCAGACCCTAGTCCTTCAGTGCATGTTATCTCATGCAAAGAGGGCGATGTTGCTTGGTTTTCTGTCTTGATGTGGCTATGTTTGGTGTTGAGCGTGCTCGACTAGCATGAACAGCAGGCACGATCAGCAGCCTCCATGTGCACAGTTGCAACACCAAGGACAACACCGAAACTGTGCTGGCAGCAGACAATCCACTAGTCTGCGAATAGTGTGCTTAGTGGCCTTTCAGAACGAATATAGAGCATCCTCCGACCTCTAGGTGCATCGAGGGATCATCAATCAATCTCGAACCTGCTGTGTCACCAGTATGCCACCAGAAACATCTCGCAGCACGACTCCAACCAAGAGGACGAACATGACTGCCAACTACTTGGCAGAAGCGATAATCAAGGATACCAATCGTCCAAAGAATCTTTCGCCGCCACAAACTCCACCACGAAGAAGGAAAGATCCTCCCTCCAGCTACCCAAGATCGGCTCGCCTTGCTGCAGTCGTAGGTTCGACTACCTTCTTCGACGATACACATGGTTACGACAGGGACTCAGCGACCGACGAAGATGGGGACGACCACCACGACCTGACGTATTCCTCCAAGCACATTCCCCGAGCCTCGCTTGTCGACCATATGGTGATGGCCCTTGACCAGTACTCGATTGCTTCGTCCGAGCCCAAACATTACGAGGAAGACCTCCTGTCATATCGGCGCAGAGGCCATACGTTTTCGTCCTCGATCTCCTCAGAAAGCGACGTTCGCACCATACAAGCACAGTCTTTGCAGATGTCGGCGCCCAAGATCATGCGTCGAAGCAGTGCAAGATATACAAGGGATCCGGCCAAATTGCCTAGCATCTTTGGTGAAGACGAAGAAAATACCCGTGTCCGTGTTTATGAAGCGCAACGAGCAGCACCACCTTCCACTGTACGGAAACCGCGAAATAGAGGAGATGATTACAAGAAGAAAAGCGGTGGCAGTGCATCCAGTGTCGACCTGTCGCAATTTAAACAGGTCTCAGGCAGATTGGGTCCTGCAGGCAATAGAAGGTCACAAAGCTTTGATTTCGGTCGTCACCGCCATGAAGTTGAACACAACGAAGAGGCGCAAGATACTGCACCTCATCCCGTGATTTACTCAGGTCCTAAGGCGCAGAGAACACCGGCTTCACCACCCTTGTTGCCCACTACGCTAAGCAGACGGGATAGCATGAAGTCATCGAAGAACATCAGAAGCAAGTCCTCCAACACACTAGCCGCAAGCACTGTATATGAAAACCCACTACCACCAGTGCCACCAACACTTACTTCTACACCTTCGCTCAACAAGCTTATCACTACTGACGAGCCACAGACCGCTTCACGACCAGGACTGTTCAAAAGATTCTTTGGCTCTTCAAAGAGCAGTGTGCCTGGCACACCGACTGCGGCTACGACTCCTCAGGACAGTAACACTTACTTTGGTGCTCAGCCTGCCACAAACAAGCTTCACAAGCAGACACTGAAAGAGACTGCTGAGGATCACGACAAAGAAAATGTACGACCACCTCTACAGAAGAAGCCCTCTTCCTTCTTCAGACGACGGAAAAAGTCCACAACAAGTATCGCTGTACCTCCACTACCTCTCACCTTGACTTCAAGTATCACTGGCTCAGAGATTACCCCAGGTCAACCTAGTCCTGTCTCGAGTCTGAAGGCATTCATGGATCCATACTTGACCGACGACAGTAAGAGGAATAACAGAAGGTCACAGATTTCCACAAGTCCTCTGCAAACTTTTTATTCTCCAACAGAAGGCTTTGCTGGCGCGGAACTTTCGCAAGTAGAGTCCCCAATGGACATTTATTCGTCACAGCACAATTCAGCTAGGCTGTCAGTGCCACAGAAAGAGACATTCTTCACCGATAACAGCAGTGTTGAAGATGGTAGCAATAGTGCAGCAAGTGATACAGATGAGCCCTCAAAGCCCATGCATAGCAGGACTCAGCCAGTTGCTCTGCGCACAGCCACTGCACCAGCTGCTCTCCCGACAACAAGACCGGTGCTAGGGCCAAGGTCAAGCTCATGGCATTCTGAGCATCTTGCCATTCCTCCCAGATCAGACTCGTTGTCCAAGAATAGACAATCGAGGATGATTAGTTCTACCAGTCCTGGACCCAGCAAGAGTGTTCTCTCCATACATCATCGCAGGACGTCCGGTTCGGAAACGTCTGAATACAGGTCTGCCCCAAGCACTCCGGGCGTGCAGAACATTACAAGCGCAAAATCTAACACATCTCCACACCTTCACATCTCGCATCCAAGCATGAATCTGGATCTTAATGTGGTAGAGCTCGACAAAGCGCAGGATATCTACAACAACGGTGAGGACGATGTGGATGGACGTAGTGCTGCAGCTTGGCTTGGTGAGACGAGCAGCGAACACGAGCGTGTCAGGAAGGCGTATATGCAGCTTTTCGACTGGACTGGTCAGACAATTCTACAAGCACTGCGTGGCTTGTGTAAAAGATTAGTGCTCAAGGCTGAGTCGCAGCTCATCGATCGAATCCTCGATGCTTTTGCTAGGAGGTGGTGTGATTGCAACCCCAACCACGGCTTCAAGTCTGAGGACGTGGTGCACACGCTGTGCTATTCTATCCTGCTGTTAAACACGGATTTGCACATGGCCGACATTGTATCCAAGATGACACGCAGTCAATTTGTGAAGAACGTGATGTCGACGATCCGGACTGTGGTGGCCGAGGCAAGTGAGAGCAGTAAGTCATTATTGGATACAAAAACAAACTCCCATTCCGGTAGAATATCTGTCGACCGTGCTTCCTCTCGTGCTGGCAGTATGCTTGAGCATCGCCCTTCAGACCAGACGGCCCGTATTGATTCGGGGGATCTGAAAGGTGAAGCCAAACTCCTTGTCGATGCGCCATATACAGGCTCCCGAATGGGCTGGGAAATGCAGATCGAGCTTGTTCTAAAAGACTTTTACCTCTCGATTCAGCGAGAGCCTCTACCACTCCTTGGGTCAGACTGCGTTCCTCGCTACCCGCCAAGCGCATCCAACAACAATCTTCTCTCCCTTAGCGGCCTGCGGCGAACTCCCAGTGTGCTAAGCAAAGCACAATCTGATAGCAACCGGAGTCGTTATGGTGACAGTAGGTCGCTCGGGTCGAAGTGGAACACTAAAGGGCGTTCCCGACCTCGGCTTACTTCTACACCAGGGTTTGGGTCTAGTAAGAACAGCTTGGAAGATCAATCGTCTGCTTGGAGTCCTAGCATATCCAGCACGTGGAGTAAGGCCAGTCTCGGCAAGACGCTGACTTCGCTATCGGTTGACTCATTTGCTACAAGCGCAGGTCCAGGAAAAGGAGATTTTCAGTCTTCGATTGGATTTGCAAATGCACTCAGTCAGGCTATCATCCGCGAAGATCAATTAGAAACGCAGACTGAAGATGGAACGAAAAGTACACCATTACTTGAAGATGAGAGCCTCGAGCTTGAGGGCGCTCCATGGGCCAAGGAAGGTATCTTGAAGCACAAATGTCATCTTGATGGTGTTGATAAGCGTTCGAAAGATCGCAACTGGAACGACTGTTTCGCAGTGATTGAGAAGGGATGGATGAGGCTGTTCTCTTTCTCGGTCACGGCCAAGTCATTGAGAAACAGGGCACGCAGTCAGAAGCCTAGTGGTGTTGTTGGTGGAGGCAATTGGCAGGAGAATGCTGAAGAGGTATGGAAATTCATGCTTCGGCACACCATCGCTAGCAGCCTGCCACCGCCCGGATACTCGAAGCAGCGGCCGTTCGTGTGGGCATTGAGTCTACCCACAGGAGCGGTGCACCTCTTCTCAGTCGGAACTCCTGACATTGTGAAGGAATTTGTTTCAACAGCCAATTTCTGGAGTGCTCGGCTTTCGAAGGAGCCCATGATTGGTGGTGTCAGCAGCATGGAGTACGGCTGGAGTGACAATGTAATCGACCGGGCGGTGACAGGACCTGAGGTACGACCATCCTTTACTTCTTCAGACGCAGCCACGGCAAGACCCAGCACGCAAATGTCGATGCGATCATCCATTGACCATGGTGGCAACACGAGACCTCGCTTGCCAGGCGACAGAGTTCATGTCAGTGATTGGACACCTCCACAACAGTCTCTGCTAGCTTCTCAGCTCTTGGAGGTGGACCAGCTAAAAGCGCTGCAGCTTTATGTCCAGAACATTGAAGAGGATCTGCAGCGTCACAATGAGCTGCGTGGGCCGATGTTATTGGCATTCTCGTCGAAGCACACCAACTACAGCAGGGCCATGACCAATTGGGAGAAGAAGAGCGCGTATCTGCTACGAGAAATCGTCAAATTCAAGAATTATATTGACGCGCTGCAGGGAGCACAACAGACGAAAGAGCGGATATATAGATTGAGACAGGAGGACGATAGACAGAGACAGGCTGATGATGACAGTATGGCTTTGCAGCAGAGCTCGAATATGGGAGCCAGTCCGAGTTAGTTGTGACGACCAGAGGAGCTAGAACAGCAGATTACGAGGAACACGACCACTATTCACTTCTTAATGTATATTTTCAGGACGGGTATATGAGGGCACAAAATGGGGACGGAGCAGTGAAGTATTCTCAGCGTACTGAGCAGGCATTGGCCATCTTTAGATGTGTATTCATAGTTGCAACGTGATTAATGAACATGACAGTGATCTACAGTTCTTCACAAAGTAATTAGGACATGACCTTGCCTGACTCATCGTTAAGCTGTGTTCACAGTTTCGAGCACAATCATGTGCAGAACAATCAGACCTATTCCTCACAGCTGTTCCAGGACGATTATCTATTGTAATTGTGAGATCGAATACTCATATCGGAATTGGTGAAACTTGACAGGGTACAAGCATTAGCTTTATTTTGATATGCACGAGATGCAGCTCGGCAAACGAGGTACCACGGAAACGCGAAGCCTAAAGCCCCTAGTGCATCACTTCATCAGGTGCCTGACACACCCGAAGCGGGCAAGCAGCAATACTTGTGAGGTCAGACGGTTTAGGGGACGCAGTCGGAACGTGTTTGTGTAGCGAATGTTGCGATCATCGAGTACGGCGATTGACGATTGGACTCCTGTTACCTCCTGCAACTCGACTACGCTGTACAATTACTTGTATTGTATTGCTGCAGGCAGCGAGCACGATACACGTATACACTGATCGTTCGCGACAAGAGCATCGTATTATCACTGCTGTAATACTACGTTTGGTGCTGGACAACCAAGGAATACACTTATGAACGCGACAATAAACAATCACATTGACAAGAGGTCGAATACTTGATACCAGACGATGCAGAGGCAATTACCAATTACAACTAGCCAGTTGTGCATGCTCGACCGACCAGTGCCCAACTGATACCACAACCCGTTGTGAGAATGGCGACTCCCTCCTCTTTCCGCCCACGACCAGGACCTGCACCTCGTCGATCCTCTTCGCGAATGGCCGGCGCTTTCGAGCCTGGATCCGACATTAGAGATGACGTCTCTTCGGCTGGTAGCGTCCACGAGAACGAAGGAAAAGAGAACAGACCACCTCAGAGGCAGTATCGTTCGACCGAGCAGGATGATTCCTCATTACTCCCAGCGCAGTTCGACGTCCCAAGCAGTCTGCTCGACGATTCTCGCGCGCAGGATAGCCAGCTCTCCGAAGGACGCTATGACCTACCTGGCGTCACGAATACCGTGCTTGAAGAGGAGGAGATGAAGAAGAGGCTAGCAGACTTCGAATCGAGCTTCCTACCTGAACCTTCCACCTTGTCTGAGCAGGTCGATAGTACCTCTGCTTCTCTGCCGGCCGACATCTTTGATCCGAAGTTGCACGATAGTCAGACAACTGGTGGAGTTCCTACTTATGGACGAAGTGACCCTCAAGAGCCTCAAGAGCAATTTATCGCAACCTCTACACATTCTCCTATGGATTCGAGTGTCAAGACACCTGTGACAGACCAGTTTCCGGACGTGCAAGAGGAGGAAGAAACAGTCAAGAAGAATGATCGTACACCAAACACTTCGGCCCTCGAGCAGATGTCTTCTTCTCCCACTGCCGCTCGTACTGTTTCTCGAGCTCAGTCCATGGCTAGTATGGGTGGATATGAAACGGCCACAGAAAGAGAATACCCAGACTCTCCTACACGAAAGCGCGCGCACAGCGTGGGTCAAGACCCAGATGCAACACCTCGAAAGGATAGAGGAAACACTCTTTCCAGTCTGGGTACCTCCGGCACGATAGAGGTGAAAGTCGAAGACTTTGATGCAGCGCCACTGAACGTTACTCGGAGACGACCACAGTATCTAAGTAAGAGATCGTCTAATGCGCGCCTGTCCTATGATTCCATGACCAGCTCTGCTACAGAGACCAGCGAAGCGACGTTGGGTGCGGATTATGCCTTACAGACTGGAGGAGCTGCGCCTGAGAGTACTAGATTGAGGAGGAGGCCGAACATGACACTTAGTCGAAGCACGAGCCTAGGCAGCCTAGCCAGTGGCGTGAGCAACATCAGCGACGATGAAGGTATTACAGTTCAAAAACGATCTGGTATGGGCATTCCTCCTGAATTGAGCACCCTGCAAGAGGAAAGCCCGTCCGTATCAAAACACATCCGAACAGGATCGCCCAACCTCACCATCACCCCACGAGCTTCGACAATGCGCTTGAGCATGCCTACAGATAGTGTCATCGCAAATCACGTGCGAGATCTGGAGGTTCCAGACACTGTCGCTCGTCAATTCAGAAGTGAGCGGAGCCGAAGCCCCGAGAAGAACCTATTTATGGCTACCATGACTCCTGGCCCTAAGAGGGGTTTGACATTGAAGGAGCACAGATCTACTGTTGAAAAACTCGGCAAAGAAAACTTCGATCTGAAGATGAAGATTCACTTTTTGGATCAGGCACTACAGAAGAGATCGGAAGATGGCATCAAGGAGATGATTACTGAAAATGTCCAGCTGAAATCTGATCGATTGCGACTCGAAAAGGACAACCACAATTTACGGAAGCAGATTAGGGACTTACAACGTAAACTGGAGGAAGCCACTGGCAAGAACGAAACTGACGACCAGGGTTATGCCACTGATGAAGAGCGCAGCCCGACTGTCGAGGAGGAAGTGCTCTACCTCAGAGAGAGAACTGAAATTATGGAGACTGAGATGGAGAAGTTGAGGCAAGAAAATATCAACAAGGAAAGCGATAAGAGACGACTTGCTGAGATGATGCGGAATCTAGGTGATTCCAGACCTGGCGGGAGTGAAGTTGGCAGTAGAGAGGAGCGCGACATGTGGAAGGATATGCTTGAGGCTGAGACTATTGCTCGAGAACAAGCCGAGGACGATGCTCGAAAGCTGCGGGAAGAGCTCGCAAAACTCAAGCAGGATTCTTCAAGACCTGGCAGCAAATTGCGTGTTGTGAATGGTCTAATCGTTTCGAGGTCGAGTAGTGTCGATACTTCAAAGCACAAGGCTGACAACGCAGAACTCGAACGATTAAGGCACGAATGTTCTGAATTACAAAAGACAATTGGTGCACAGGCATCAGCACTAACGAGCAGGAACAAGGAGAAAGAAATGCTCTACCAGGAGATCGAGAACCTCAAACTCGGCAGAATGGGAGGTCTTCGGTCCGTCGCAGGCGACAGCATCCTTGAACGGTCCGCTTCACGTGCTCGGTCGAACTCTCGAGCCAGTAACGGCACCAGGTATACTCGCTTGAGCGATGGCGAAAGAGAGACACTGGAAAACAAGATCGATCAGCTTCGTGATGAAGTCTCTCAGCTCAAACTTGATAAACAGAATCTGCAGAACCAGTTTGACGAGGCGCTGACAGAGCTTGATGCTGTGGATGCTCAGGCGCAAGCCGATGCAGACCAGTTTAACGAGGAGCTAAGTATAATAGCACACGAACGAGACAATGCTGTTCGAGATGCTGAAGAGCAAGACCAAGCTTTCCAACAGCTCAAGAACGAAGCTCAAGAAGAGATTGATGGGCTTGGAGATGAACTCGATGCCAAGATCGAGGAATGTAATAGGCTTGAGCACGATCTTAAAGCGCAGGCAGATAACGTCAAGGAACTTCAAGCCGAGATGCGATCTGCTACCGAGGGTCTGATACGGCTCGAGGAGGATGCTCAACAAAATCTTGCCAGGTATCAGGCTGTAAAGGCTGAGCTTGATGACTCAAACCGCGAGCTTGAGAACTTGGAGAGGAACCTGCATGATGCTCAGAACAAGAACAAGCACCTGACGGTTCAACAAGAAAGCAGCCAGAACGAAATCGCATTCTTGAGAGAGGAACAGGACGCCAACAATATCAAGATTGGTGATCTGGAATCCCTTCTAAAGAAGACGCACCTTAACTTGGATGCGGAGCGAGATCGAGTTAGAGAACTCGAGCGACGTCTCAACGAAGAGCGGACCCAGCACGAGTCGATAGCTAACCAAGAGAAGCAGGAGATCCAACGGACGATCAACGAATTGAACCGAGAAGCATCAACCTCGAAGAATGAGCTTCGACAAGTACGCAAAATGCTGTCCCAACGAGAGATCGAAGTGAGCGGTTTCAAGGAAAAATTGACACACCTCGAAGACAGCCTTCGAGAAACCCTAGGCATTCCGCAGAGCACAAGCCCTCACCTCGTCGGTGCTGTTACGAAGTTGATGCAGGAGCTGGAGCAAGCCAATCACGATTTGGGATCCACTCGTCAACATTTGGACGAGCACAAGCGACTGCTCAACGATCGTGATCTTCTCCTAGAAGATGCTATGCACGACACTAAACGTCTGGAAGACCTTCTCGATAAAGAGCGATCATTCCGTCGACAAGACAAGCACTCTTTCGAGCAGGCTCTTCGATCACATGAGCAGGCAACGCTAATACAGAGCAAGAGCAACGTCAGGCTTGCCGAGCTGGAGCAAGCACGACTCGCCCATCGACAGCAGCTTTCGAAGGTTGAAGCACAGTACAAAGATCAACTTGCCGAGCGCAACCAAGTACTGCTGACAATTTGGAGGAAATTGTCTGTTATGTGTGGTCCCGATTGGGCACACAACCATTCGCTCATCAACGGCAATCTCCCCTCGCAGGAAGTGATTGGCAATACTCTCTTCTGGCCTGGGTTCAGCAGAAACTTGTTGCTTGCAGCCAAGCAGGTAGAAGGTGTGCTCTCCAGCTTCAAAGACAAGATCAAGACTGTTGAGCGAGATCTCTATCGCAACTACAATTCCCTGGAGAAAGAATTTGAAGCTAGGAACAAGAAATTGGAGCGTGTCGAACAGCACTGGGAAGCCATCAAGCTGCGTGAACGTGAAATTGAGGCCGGCCTTGCCACGTCACAGGGGATCCGCCCATTTAGGACACTGGGGATGCAGAAGCTGCGCAATGAGAACAAATTGCTGAAAGCTGAGTTGCGATTGTACCAGGACTCTTTACATGGCAGTCATCCTGGACATGCCAAATCGCATGAACGAACTGCAGGTACTGAGTCACGAGGCTCGAATGTTAGTGGAGGTCAGATTTATCAACATGATGGTGCCTACACCCCAACCGATACTGCTTCTATGTCGGTTACTGGAGCTGCCGGCATACCAACTCGACGCTCAAGCATGCAAGGACAAAAGCGAAGTACGAATTCGTCAGTCACCTTATCCAGGCATAACTCTACAAACGCAGTCGAAACACTTTCCAATCGATCTGAGTCTGCCAATGGTAGAAACAGCAGCTTTGGATTCACAATAGGCAATCCTGGAACTGCACTTGCCGCATCGTCGGTGCAAAGTCAAAGCTCTACGACTGAGTCAAATACTAGCAAGAGCAAGGAAGACACGAGACGATCTTTGGTCGTGCCTTCTGCACCGACGCAGTATCCAGTCAATGGTAACTTCGGCGTACCTCCTGGATCTTCGCATAGTAATCGTTCTTCTGAAGCAGGAACGGCAGGGGCAACTTCAGCCACAGGCAAGGGCGACGACAACAAGTGGATTCATCGTCTCCGCGAGCTAGAACGCCGTCTCAAAGTCGAACGCGAGCAGCGACTTGTTGATCGCGATGGAGCACGTCGACGCCTGGAAGAACGTGATGAACAGAATGACCACTTGAAGCGACAGCTAGAACGAGAACGTCTCGGCCGAGGCTGGCGACAAGATCACGAGGAACGAGGAGGCTACTTGGTCGCGGACGAACCCATGCTTAACGAAGTCGTTGGACAGCTGAACGCGCCGCAGACTATTAGCTCTCAAACACGCGAGGAATATGTTCCAGAGACTCCCGATGAGCGAATGGACCCCATGGACCAACAGGACGAAGACGAGGGTCTGCGCACCAGCGAAGAAGACAGGCTAATGAGCCAAGCCCAATTTCCGAGCGTTGGCTCTTCACACGCGCAGCGAGTAGCATTGAAACAGCAAGGTCGCACCTCAAGACCAGAGAGTCTACGCACAGTCAGCCGAGGAAGCATCGTGAACCTAGTTCGCAATGGCAGCTACGGCTCAACACAAGCATTCAGCAATACTGGCGCCCAACGTCCCAGCGATACTACCGGACGGACAAACTCTGGCTCTGGCTCCGCAGACCGAGAAACTGATCGAGGTCGAGATCGAGCTCGCGACCGAACAAGCATCGCCTCTGGATCTACGTCCGGTGAGCGCTGGGGCAAGAACGGCTGCGAGAAGGACGCTATTCCTCCCACCAACCCTAGGATGGCTGCGGGTGAGGGCGAGAACACAGGTATGAGACGTGCGTTGAGGACTGCATCGTCCATGGCGGGTATCTCTGGGCTGTAGGGAGCTCGATTGCAATCTCGGCTTCAGAGGTCTGGGAGGGCGAAACGGTTGATGGGTTTTATTACTGTTGGAAAGAGGCAGGTATATAATAATGTGGGGAGTTTCACGGAGTTGGATTGTCCGTATCGTTATAATCAGTCTGAGGGACAAGTTATCAGGATTGAAGAGACTTCATCTGTAGAAGAGCTTGAGGAGGATGACGGCGCTCGACTTGAACATGGGCATGATATTGCGGACACGAGTATAGGTGGACAAGAGTGCCAAGAGGCAAGTAATCCTTAGGGTACAGGGGGTTTGTTGCCGTATACCGTCTTAGCTGTATATGTACATGCATACTTGCTTGATCGTGAATAACGGATGCGGTTCGCTGGCTGAACTCGGAACTCGGAACTGTAATACTTACTGTACATGCTTGGCCTTCTTCCGTTCCTCGTAGGTCCTGATTCCGATAAAGCCTGAGCCGCCACAGCCGGGATACATGTATGTTTCTGGACATGAGTCGTGGTATACTCAAGTACTGAGTCAGTTGGGTGGGTTATCGCGGGTTTTTATGAAAACCAGGAACTACCTACGTGAAGCTCCAATGGTTCTCATTAAGCTTTGGAACGAGACGTACAGTAGACAGTACAGAAGACGACCTGAGATGAACAGGTCTTACTTGATGCCTGATATGTGACAAGTATACATTTTCTCTGCAGGCTTTGTATTGCAAGCTTACTAGATTCGGAACTAACTCTACATGCGTACACACATGGGCCTGAGATCACCTCGGTCGCCCACCGGCTGTCCTCCAACACACTGCGCAATCGCAGACGAGTGCGGTCGCACTCGATACATACATACTCAGCGAGAGTCATGCTTAAGTAACCCCGAACACCATGCTAATTTCATCAAAATTCGCTCATTGATGTCAAATCGTTCGTTCGTTCATTCGTTCGTTTTGTCTTTCTCTCCGTTGTCCATCTACAATTTTGCGTGTGCATAACACCAGAATCTCGTGAATAGGAATGATGCTCTTTCACACCCTCGCAAATACCCGGTCAAGCTTACTGAGAGCCATTTTGTCTTCTCTAAATCCCAGCTTTTCGCTCGGAATATCCTGGGGTGGAACGGTTCGTGTGCCGCCTGGACTTACACTGCCTGCTCGGTCAGTGTCGCTGTTGCCATTCGTGTCTGCTGGTTTTGAGTTCGTGGGAAGTGGGGAAGCTTGAGCAGCGGCGTTGACGAGAGACGTGATGGAAGGTGCTGCGAGTGATAGACTTGATTGAGGATCGCTTTGTTGATATTGATGATGAGGATGTTGTTGATGGTGAAGCGGTTGAGGCTGTAGCTGATATTGTTTCGGTGAAGGGGCTGTTCCGTTTGTAGGCGGTTGAGACTGAGTAGTAGGGTGGCCTTGACTGTCTGTCAGACGTGGGTCGATCTGCACAGACGATGAACGTTCGGGGCCTGGTGTGATTGGATAGGCTTGAGTGTTGGTAGTTGGAATCTTGTCTTGAGAGTGATAAGGGGGCACGACCTGAGGCATACGGTTGTGCATGGCGTATGGATGTTCGTGCGGGCTGTGAGGCAGCGGCATCGGCCCCCTCAGCTGTGGCCGCTGGTCGTAGGACGACGGCGGGGCGCCATTGATGAGGTGGTGTGGTGGTGGGTGGTGGACTGGCGCACCAAATGCCGCAGGGTGATAGTAGCCTGGAGGTAAATGTGCATAGTGTATTGGAAAATGACCCGGTGGAGTATGCAATGGACTGAGTGGGTAGACATAGCCAGGATGTGGGATGTACCCCGGCAGGAAGGCGGGTGGAGGAGCAGGAGTAGCTCGATGGAAGCCAGCGCCAGTCGCCATGACATAGTTGGGTGCTCCTGGCATAGGCGAGCGTGTTACGGCAGGAGTATTCGAAGCATCGGCTACTGTTGACTCTGGGTACATGCCCTTCGGTATCTGAATTTGTGTCAAGGTCGGATCGTTGCTAGGTTGTCTCAGGACCTGAGCAGTAGGTTGTGCTCGAGAGAAGTAGCTTATCAAATGTAAATGTTGGCCGGTTGAGGTTGTCAAGCTGAAAGACTGCTTCATCAGACCGTCTGGCTTGTAACGATATCCATCAGGACCTTCCTCGCCATCTGCTGCGTCATCTGCATCTTCAGGTGTCCTATTTCCAGGTTGACTACTGCCGTTCACTGGTTGAACAAAGTTGTTTCCACCACGCTTGCCCTCCATTTCACGATACGTGAGGAAGCTTCCTGATACCCGACTTGCACTCCAGCTCTTCCCGTCGGTCCACCTCCTCATGCCAGCTTCCCGCTCATCCCAGACGAATACTGAACCAGATCTGATGGATTGTCTTTCCTTCTCAGAGAGTCGTCGCTGCACACGAGGTAGTAACCCTAGCCGACAAGCCTCAAATAATATGATCGCATCGTTGGGTGTGCGCACATGACCGTTGTAGGTCTCCATTTTGGTATGTTGTTGTAAGAAACACCGAGTCGAATATTCGGTGGACTGAGCGAGGTAGAGAACGAGGCTAGTTGTCCAGTCCTAGGCTTGTTCCTCTACCTTGAGCTAGTGCCCTTGAACAATGTGGCTAGTGGTTTCTTTTTACCATAGATGTCTAGTATAATGCTTGTATAGGCTCATAACATTGACAATCCTGCAGAGATTGAGATTTGAACAACAGGTATGCCGGGGCTGACGCTTAGCTGGGCACTAGGCTCGACTAGAGTAATGTATAGCGGCCGAACAGGTAAGTAAGTGGTGTTGCAAATTGGTTGACAGAACTGCAATGGTTGATATCCGAGTTTCGTCTCAATTTAGGCTTCGCAGAACCGATTGAGCACACTTGTACAAGCAGAAGAACAAAAAGCGAGAACGAAAGAACAGAAATGGCTATGTGAGGGTCTACCCTCATGACCAGGTCCAAAGCCATGTGTCTTTCCTGGTCAAGCATCCCGGTAGTGGAAATCTTTTAGGGCTCCACAGGCGGGCTTGGGCTGATGATAGGCAATTGCAGGGTTAAGCCTTCTCCCTTGGTTTGACATTTCTGGTGACAGCGGGGTCTATGCATTACGCTTCTATGCTATGCTTAAAGCAGCCGAAGTCAAATGCGCTCACACTACCTCTACAAATGGTTCGGTTGTCCAGCTTCTTCGGTTCCTACTTACGATTCTTGCATCGTAAGAAGTTGCAATAACAGAGCAGCCTATTTTCCAGTCCAAAAAGCAGGAATATATGATGTGTACCGTGCTGAGGCGTTCCACAAGCTGTGGAGTCCTCGGACCTATGAAGTTGGTAAATATATTGCGTGCCTAGACTCGGCCAAGACGCAGACAGATGAGTTCTTGGAAGGACAAGACATTTCCAAGCCTTGGCAGGACACCGTGTACACTGTCGAGCGAGTCAGACACGCGTGACAAGAAAAAAAGCCAAAGCGTTTTTCGCCAGTCCGAAGCAGGTCAAACAAGCCTTAACACAAACAAACTTCGATTGCTCCCTTGCTGCTTATTGCTCCAAGGTCCCACTTTGCTTTCTCACTTTGTCAAGCCAAGAATTATTATCACAACTGTTTCAAATCACTTTCGTGCGTGCCAGCTGCGAACATTTAACCTTACGAAAGAAGAATTGTGGCCCTCTGCTAAGTCTGTCGATAAAGTAACTTGACACATCGCACTCGGGTACGCAAGGGATACCCTGCTGAGTTGGCCAACGAGCCGAATTGTGCATTTTGGGCTTGTGTGGATCGGTCGACAAGACTTTTGGCGTCGCAATCATCGGCCTTGGCCTTGGCTTGGCGCTTTTGCGATGCACAGTATGTCGCCAGTGTAATTTGAGCTACCCCTCTTCGTGTCCAGCTTATCTTTTCGGATCTGCTGTTAATCTGATAGCCAGAATGCAGAGCTTTCCTTTAGAGTCAGCTACTGATCTCGATCTACCATCTATCCAGCCAAGATATTCCTTCTCACGACAAGAAATATCTTTGCAAGATTCTCCGAGCATAGTTGGTTGTGTCACAGTGCAATGCAATGACCATATCTCAACCAGATAGCATTTATCTCCCTAGGACAAGTGACATAATTCGATCGGGATATATTGTGCACTCGAGATTTTGAGACTAGATTTATTCTCTCTATCAAGCATCGCAGTTGCATGGCAAGCTCAAGCGAACAAGCTTGTTAAGCATCAACAGCCACCTAAAAGTTTGCATCGTGCGATACGGAGATCCACTCGCTAGTGTTTTTTTGGCTTTTTATTTAACGACTTGGCAGACAAGGAGGAGTCTCTCCACTCTCAGTTCAAGTCGCTAAGCGAAGCTCATGCAAATTGTGTCGACACCATGAAATGGGAACTTCTGAGCGACCTTGACGCCTGCTCGAAAGCAGCGACCTGGACGATAATGTAACCTCTTCACGGTGGTCGTGACTCAATGCACGAAAGCAGTGAACAACAGTTCCTGGCAATAGCTCTGTTTTAAAGACCGAGAGATTGAATGTCGATTTCGCTAATTAAACAATATGCTCCGACGTGGACAAGCACTTAACGACTGATGAACAAGGGAGTAGAACAACATCTACAGAACGTCTCGGTGGCAATCTAATGTGGATTATCATCGACCATACCCAAGATGGACTGGTGAGTAGTGTACATCATGTTGCTTTTCAGCGTCTTGGTGTAATGAGCGTCATCCTCATGAAGCTGCCGCACTCTATTCCGACACGACTTGTGATACAGCGTACAAGAGCCTCTTCGTCCTCAGCGACCAGATCGCATACTGGTGTCCGCTGGTGTCCGCTGGTGTCCTCGACAGCAGAGATTAAAACTCCATGGACCCGCGAGTTGCCCAAGAAATAGACTGAGGAAACACACAAATGGTAATTTCCTGATTTTGTGCGACTATCGGCTTCACTCAAGCAACGACTCAGTCCTGCCAAGTCGAGCTTGGTCAAGCAATACATGCCAAGGTCGTATCTAAACGCTCCGCTGAGTCTTGAACGCAATGTATTCCGAGGCTTGGTACTGTACCAAGTCTGGTCGGATGGATCGCGAGCTGACATGTGCTGGGATACTTGGCAAAAGCTCAGAGACAGCTCTGTGGCTGGATAGAACGGCTTGGCGCATCTTGGCCAAGTCTACGAAGTGCTTTGCCGGTTTTGATTGGCATCTGCCGTGCTCGTGCGTTCATCCGTGATGCTTCGCTCCAACTCAAAGTCTTGGCCAAGTGTAACTTCCTGAGCAGACCAAAGCTCCGCATACAGGCCTTTTTTCTCCAGGAGCTCAGAGTGTGTGCCTTGCTCGGCCACGACACCATCTCTGAGCACAAAAATGATATCACTATCAAAGATAGTTCGCAAACGATGAGCCACGAAAAGACTTGTACGGCCCTTCTCTCTGAGTATGCTGTTAATGTTCTGCATCACAGTCTGTTCAGTATACGTATCGAGGGCACTTGTGGCTTCGTCGAAGAAGAGAAGTGGTGGATCCTTAAGGAGTAGGCGAGAGACTGCTAATCGTTGTTTCTCCCCTCCAGATATCATCATGCCTCTTTCCCCCACTTTGGTGTTGTAACCTTCAGGTAGTCTTTCGATGTGATCGTGTATCCGAGCTCTTTGTGCAGCTTTCTTTACATCCTCGGAGCTTGCATCTATACGGCCATAGCGTATATTATGCTCGATTGTGGCGTTGAACAGTGGCGTATCTTGTGGGACCACACCGATACTTTGTCTAAGACTTTCAAGACTGACTTCCTTAATATCCTGACCGTCAATGAATATTCTCCCACTTTGTACATCGTAAGAACGGAAAAGCAGTCTTAGAATGGTGGACTTGCCGCATCCACTCGGTCCAACAATGGCGACCTTCTTTCCAGCTGGTATGGTCATGCTTAAGTCTTTTAATATAGGACGATTAGGATTGTAGCCAAAATGCACATTTTCGAATCTAATCTCGCCACCCCGGGTGAGTGAAAGGGGTCGCGGATTAGCAACCTCTTTCACAGTGACATTGACTTTTTGCAAACTGAAGAGCGTCTCCATGTCAAGCAAAGATTGTCTGAGCTCACGGTATACCGAACCAAGGAAGTTCAGAGGCACGGATAACTGGAAGACAAGTTGATTGACCATAACGAGATCGCCTACCGTCAACGAGCCCTGAGCAACGCCATTAGCTGCCATGTACATCATCGCAGCTAAAGCGCTGGAAAAGATGATGTTTTGTCCACTATTCAACAATGCCAAAGATGTTGTAACCTTGATCGAGGCATCCTCGTACTTCTTCAAAGCCTGGTCATATCTGTTGACCTCGTATTTTTCGTTGTTGAAGTACTTAACAGCTTCGTAGTTAATCAACGTATCTACAGCGACGGTTGCTCCTTGATTGTCTGCGGCATTGGCTTGCCGTCTAAACTTGGTTCGCCAGCTTGTGGTTGTAATTGTAAATGCACTATATGCAGCCATGGTGGCAGCCGTCACTGCAGCGAAAGATGCGCCATAATTCCAGGTCAGGATACCACATACCAGAGATATTTCGAGCAGAGTGGGAAATATGTGGAAGAGCATTGAGGTCAGGAGAAAACTGATACCCTTAGTACCTCTGTCCAGAGCTCTGGTAAGACCTCCTGTTTGGCGAGACAGGTGAAAGTTGAGGTCGAGCCTTAGTAGATGTGCGAAAACATTACGAGCCACGTTCCGAATGGCTTTTTGTGCCACACTGGCAAACACAGCATTGCGAAGCTCGGTAAAGATCGTGGCGCTAATCCTGGTAATACCATATGCGACTATCATCGACCCAGCAACAGTCCAAGCAGTACCGCCGACAGCCATGAAGTCGATGTTCATGGAGTCGACGATGCTTTTGAAATAAAAAGGTACCTGCACATTGAGGACTTTGGCTCCTACTAGGAATGCTAGAGCTGTACCAACGCGGAGCTTTGTACCAAAATCTCCTTTAGGCCAAAGGTAACGAACCATTTCCTTCATTATTGCGAAGTCTACTGCTCGTTGTTCCTTCTTCGACAAGTCCTTGGTGGAATCCAGGTTCGTAGCTGATAGTGCATTAGAGACAGCTGGCTGTGGCTTCTCTGCTGATTCCGGTTTGAACAGCTGAGATGCCTCAGCCTTGACAGGTGCATCATCTGGAATCTTGACCTGTTTGTTCGAAATCTGATGCTCCTGCCGCTGCCTTTGGAAGGCATGTTTAGTGAAGTATCGGTGTCGAACAGATAGACCAGCTGTCTGTCGGATGTATGGCAGGGTACAACTCTGACGAAGGGGATAGTGTCCGGCGCAAAGACGCGTGGTAAACGCTCGAGCCAGCATGTTGCTCCAGATGTTCGGTTCCTTATATAATTGACAAAGAGAGCAGGCACGATTTGCCTGCTCTCGCTCCTCCTTCCGATAACATCAAATACTTGACCTCTTTCAAAGTGACAATTTGCAAGTCGCTCCCTTCTACAAGCGCGACCAGACTTCGAGATGAGGCAACCTGATGAGATATTGCGTATGGCTGCACCATACCACTTTCAGCCTAGGTGGTTCGGAAGGAAGCGATGTGTAATGCCTGAGCATTGAGGCTGCTAGAGCTCGACGCGGCTTTTTTCGAGCTTCGATGCGCGTGCATTTGAATTTGGTACAGCATAGAGCAACAATAGCAAGCAGACCTGGAGCTCTTTCTTTCCTGAGCGCAAAGTGCTTCTTCGAGTCGCGAAGCTCAAAGATGCCACTCGTTTCGTCCAAATCTTTACGACCACTTCTTACCCAACCTGGACGATGGGCTTTGCCAGCTCATCTTATCGCAGGTCGAAGAGTCGGAGGATATAAATACATTTCACTCCAGCAGACACCTTCAACTCCAACAAGCACCATAGATGTCAAAGCCAATTCTGTTTCAGCCTCAAGTCCAGGTATGCAGCTCTTCCTCGTAGAAATGCCAGGCTGACCCAGCTAGATGCAACCTTTGAGGTCCTGGGAAGCCCATATTCTATGCTCAGCGTGACACTTTCACCTTCTCAGCCTCTACATACTCGCCGTGGTACCCTCACAGGCTTGTCGGGCGATCCATCGAATGTTGTCTCAACCCTTCGAACGCTCAATCCTGTTCGTCGTGCTTTGGTCGGCATACCTTTCCTCTACCAACGCACGACTTCGACGACCCCTGTGTCCGTCCTCATTTCCCCGAAGCAGATAAATACAACTCTTTCAGTCTTGCAGTTAGATGGCACGTCAGACTGGAAACTTGCACAGCGTGCAGCACTTCTTGCTTGGACTGGATCAAGCCTGTCTATAACACCAACCATATCCTCCAAACTCTCCCTCACTCACTGGGGTACCAGTAACGTAACAGGTCGAGGCCTCCTTGCCTTGTCTGCAAAAGGTCACACGTTTGCGCTCGATGTTGCAAGAGGAGAAAGCTATATCGCTCACCCGAGCAACATACTGGCGTACACGACCACCAACTGTCCAGCTCCACAACCTTTCCGCTTTCGTTCTTCCGAACCTCGATTTCAGATTCCACTTCAGCTTGGGAATTGGTTCCCAGACAGTCGCTTCAGTCGCGCTCTGAAGACGAGTAATACCTACAAATTCCTGCAAGGTGTCTCTCTTCGCATCAAGACATGGTCACGAAGGACGATATGGGGCGACAGACTCTTCCTCCGCTTCGAAGGCCCTACCACCATCCTCCTACAAAGTCGAGGCAACCGTGTCAATGAGATCTTAACAAGCGAGCAGATCAATGAGATTGCGGATGCACCAGCAGGAGAAGTGGACAGAACGATACGTAACGTCAGGATTTCGCAGGAAGATCCATACCATAAGCTCGCTCAACGACAAGCACAAGGTGGGAAGGCGATAGTGGCAGCCACATCAGCTGCAGAAGGAGTTGGTGCAGGAAGAAGTCTTTCTGACAAATCGGACAACGAGCGCATGGGTGTGGCAGGCAGTACACCAAGTGCGCAGACCACAAAAGCAGCTGAAGAGACCGCACCTCAGGTAGTGGCTGCTGATAGTGGGCCAGGCAAACAAAACGCTGCTTAGCAAGCGGCGACGGACCAATACTGCTTGTGACATGTGTGAGTATACTACAGTGGTACGGCTCAACATACACAGTTTCTACCATGACTTCTAGCTCGTATGCTACGCAGCCACTCCCATATTGCAGAATAGAATGCATGACAGATCTCAGCTCTATTACCACACTTTGAAAACTAAATTGAATCCGAAACGGTCCTGCTCGAAGAAAAAATTTATTAATGCATCAAGACCATATTTGCCCATTCGTACCCAGCAGAATCTCTCATTTATCAATCTCAATATGCGAAATAGAAAGACTCAGCTCCCCATCCCATCACCAACACAACGCACCATTCTTTGCCTAATCTCATCTTCTGAAAGTTCCTTCCGTCTTCCTAGCCGTTCAAAGAAACTCTTCTTGGCTTTCAGAGTATCCTCTTTCGAAGAGCCTGACACTTGAGCCGTCGGCACCGTGTCAAATGAGATTGTGTTTGTAGTGATAGCCGAAGGTCGTGAGATTGATGTTGACGCAGCGGTCGTAGTGGCGCTCAATCGCTGGCTCGAATCTGTCAAGGACGCGATACCTTGACTTTGCATGTTGGATAGAGACCGCTGCAAGGAGTCTCTTGGCTCTGGTACCACGAAGGACATAGCCATCACGCCGTACATGGACATTGCTGCGGATTTTGGAATGGTAGATGAGTGGTGTTTGGATGCGTTTCTAGGCAAGGTTGGTGTTTTGCTGGGTCCTGCTTCTGAAGGTGGGAATGCGCCTGGGATGCGGTCTGAGACCGTTCCGGATCGAGAGTTTCTCGAAAGAGGCGGGCTGGCGTTTGTGGTTGCGGAAGTAGTAGTGGGTCGGAATGAGGAGGAGCCCGAAAGCTCGAAGAAATCCTGAGATGCACCGTAGAGATCCTCTGTCTCGACGACTTGTGGTGGAAGCTGTGCCGGTGTGGCGTCGCTATCAACAAAACCATACCTCGATCCTGACGACTCAGGCTGGCCGTCGTCTTCATCGTCAGTGTCATCAATTCGTGGCAGAGGCTGAAGTCCACTTGCCACATCCTCAGTCAGACCAATTGGCTCTTGTCCCGTACCGACCTGTTCAATCACGATCAGCTCATGCTTTGTGAGCATCTGCACTCGTCTTTCGCTGATGACCTCGAACCATCGACGATCACATCCTATCTGGTTGCCGAGAGTCCTCAGGGTAGCCTTTGAACGAATTTCGATCGGTTCCATCTTAGTTTGCACCGACTTCCGTAGCCCTTCGTATTCATGTTCTGTTCCCGTGGCGAGCTTGTCACGTTCTTGTTTGTGTTTGTTAATGAGCTGTTCTTGCTTATCTTGTTGTTGTTTTTGAAAAGTTTCTCTCATCTTGCTTTCTCTTTGGGCTCTGTTGGGTTTATCGCGGAGGTACATTGTCATCTCCATGAATAAGTCGTCTTCTTCCTGTTCAACTTGCTGGATCATCTGCTCCCGTTCTTGGTTGTGCCTGTTGTGTAGAGCTTCTTGACGTCTTCTGACGTTCTGGTCAAGCCAGGCTGATAATCTGTTATTCTCCTTGGTGATCTCTAGCATCCTTGCTTGTTGCTCATTGGTGATAGCCCGCTCACGCCGCATGTGAGTCGACGAGAGCGCCGCGCGCTGGAAGTTAATTATCTGCTGCAGTTTGTCTGCCATCGAGCCCAATTCTTCTTTCGACGAGTGCAATAAGATTTCTAGAAGCTGTCGCTCTGCTTCCTCCTCGGCTTCTCGTCTAGCAATCTCTGCAAGCAGTCTTTCTTCTTCGAGTCGTGCGAGAATTAGTTCTTCCTCGATTTGTCTTCGCCTCTCCTCTTCAGCGAGTCGGATGCTTTCCTGTCGTTCAAATTCTTCGATCTGTCCAATTGCTTCTGCTATCTCCTCTGCCTCAGCCTGAGCTGCAGCAGCGTCTTCTTGTTGACGTTGCTCTGTCTCACGCTCGTGACGCTCTCTATCTTGTCGTCGTGTGCGGAGCTCCTGCAGTCGTCTGTCTTTGTCAGCTTCCGTACAGCTACATGTCCGCCACCGTGCGTTGCAAACATAACAGAACTCAGCACCACATCTGCAAGTAATGTGTCGACACCCCGTAGTGAGCTCGACTAATGTGTGGCAGCCTTGACATCTCTGATATCCTTCGGCTTCGGCGACCTCGAGTGTAGATTGTAAACCAAAATCTTGAGGACAATCCTGGCTTCCATCGTGGGCGAGGCTTCGACACATGCTGCAGATTTTAGCTTTGCAATGTGGACAGGTCTGATGCGAGCGACGGTCTCGATGCAGTGTTTCAGGCCTGATCCATTTACTACATGTGGGTTGTGGACAGTACCATCGATGACCAGCAGGAATCTGTTGTATCAGATGTCAGCCTTATTCAGGCAGAGAACGGTGGGAAGAAGTAGAAAATATGGGTCTAGTCTGCAACTCACCGAGTATTCAGCTGATTTGTTCTTGTATTGTTCTCGTTGTTTGTCGTCCAGGCAGGTCAGGATAGTTTTAAGTGGTATTTCATTTAGACAACATTTTGAGGGAAACGCGGATTCATTTGTCATCGCCGTCAGAACCATTGCTCTCAGGCATGACCTGCAATAATCATGGGAACATCCTAGCCTCACCAAATTGTCCTTCATGAATTCATCGAAGCAGCTTATGCACTCTCTGTTCTCAGCAACCTCATTCGAACCAGTTGAAGCATAGTCGTCCGTAACACGAGCTTTACCCTGATCTTTCGAGGCGATTTTGGTTGCTATATCTTGTCGTATTTGCTTCAGTCGAGAACGAAAGCCACCTGCAGTATTGGATTTAGGTGAGAATGTAGTGCTAGATGCATCACTACCATCCGTCACGGGTAAGTCTGATGTGTAATTTGTTTCTGACTGGTCGGTATGTGGTTTTGTAGGGACAGCCTCTCCAATATTGTCTGCGAACGTGAGGCCAGATTTTGTTTGTAATACTTGGTCTTCTGGCCGCTGTAGAGACCACGATAAGATCTGTTGCAGCTTCCTGTTTAGGGTCAAATTATCTGGTATGTTTTCGAGAATCTGTGGTATCGGACTCTTGTGCCATCCACGTTCATGAACGTGAGGGTTAATGGGGCTCGGATCGATCGGTATAGGCATACTGCCGGTCGTCACGAACCTAGGCGAGTTTGCACAACTCGTATCTCTTATCTGTTATATCTGAGAGCACATCAGCCGTTCAATGAAGGAGTTTGAGATTAAATGTCAATGTCGAAGTGGGTCATAGGCACGTACGGATCACACCAGACAGGCGAGATAAAGCTTGTACAAAGTGGCACTCACTGGTATAGGCCTTGTTTAGCATGTAAGGCTGAACCGTGATCATGAGCTAACAGCAATCGGTACTGCGCCTTGCCAACGACCTGTCGCGCACCAGCTAGAAAGTAGCTTACTCAAGCTATGCTACCACGCATCTCGAGCCAGTGAATCTCCTGGAGGGCACTGTCAAAGAATAGAAGTACATCCTCCCTATCGGTTGAGTCTCCCGAAACTAAGAAGCTAACCCCGACTAGTGAAGCAGAGGCGAGTTGGGGCCGAAACACGGTTGAGGATGCATGTGGAGGACTTCGAGGCTGAAAGTCAGTACGTTGCCTCGTGATATTGGATGGAACGAGGTTGAGAGGAGCATGTTAGCCTCCGTCTAACGACGAAGGATCCATGTGCCCTTTGATGTGGCAGATTTTTGGCCAGAGAGTGCTCTCGAGGTATGCAAGCTGGAGTAGTCCTTCGTCAAGGCAACATGGGTCTCAGTACAAACCATGCACAAAGCGAGCCGTTTTTTGCAACATAGCCTGACGGAATACAACATAGAGACAGATGAGTTCGTGACGTGCAACAAAACAAGCATCAAGGAGGGTGCTTTGCTTGTCACTGGACGATTGGAAGATGGGTTTGCGTGGTCGGTGGAAGCACGCTATACCCTTCTTGACTTTTGAGTTTCCGCGAGGCTGTTTCGCGTGCTTCACGTGTTGAGTACTCAAAATGCCTGTAAAATTGTTCTGGCAGTTAACCGCGTCAGACACCGCCAGGACTCCTGGCAGTAGTACTTGCAAACGCCGTCGTGTGTGCACGAGAAATTACCCAGGAAGTTGTCAGTTTGTGCCAAAAAGAGAAAGTGATCATGGAGCGGTTTTAGCCTCATCAACGCAGAACAACTCTCTGTCAGTCGTCCAGATCATCACTATCGTTCCTACGTATTGCTCGCAGGTTGACACTATAGCCTGGCAGGCATAGACGTGAGCAATGACAAAGAGCTTCCAGAAAGAGGCGATAGTGGCCCATCGTTCACTACTTCTTCTTACCTTTCCCAGTACGACCTCTGAAGCTACCTTCAAAGCCTGGTCTCTTGACCTTTTTGGGACCACTCTTCTTTCCGAGCTTCTCATCTTTTCTCTTCTGAATGTTCTCGGTACGCTTCTTCTGTTTTGCTTCTTGAGATGAGCGGACACCTTCCACACGGGTTTCCCAGTCCTTCCCACTACGCTGCTTTTGTTTCTCCTGTCTTTTTAGTGCCTTCTTCAACAAGGAAGTGTCGTCTTTGACCCGTTCTCCATGTGCCCGTTTCCTTGCGTTTAGCCACATATCTTTGTCGGCAATATCTTGCTTCTTTCCCTCATCTAGGCCTGCTATCCTTGCGTCTTTGGCTTGAGCAGCCTTTAGTGCTGACGCAGCGTCCGAGGGTCCTTTGTGTCTTTTTGGGGCTGCAGCAGAACTGGTAGAGGGGTCGAACTGAGTGCCATCCTCGAACGCAATCCTGCCAAACGAGAAAGAGCTTCCACCGTCGTCTGCCATTGGCGATCTCGGGGATGCGAGTAGTGAGCCAGATCCTCCTGGAGAAAAACGCCTAGCTATCTCCTCGTCCTGACGTTTTGCCTCTTCTTCTCTCTCCTTTTGGCGCTGTTCCTTCTTGGCTGCCTTTCGTTCTTGCTCCTTTCTCCTTCTTTGCTCAAGTAAATCTGCTCGGGACCTTATGGGTCTATCGTCCGCTTTTCGCTGAGATCTAAATTGTGATATCTGTTGCTGGAGACGTTCTCGTGCAGCCTCTCGATCCGAGTCAGTCTGAAGTGGTGTTGGATTGTTAGAAGCTTGGGATACTTGTTCTGCCACAGCGGGTTTTGGCTTCTTTGGGTTTGATGGTCCAGACTGAATCAGTGGTAGAATTGAGGATACCGAGGACGAAGCTGAATCTTGGGGAGGAGAAAGTACGTCCGAGATGCCGTCAGTGGATGTTGCTGTCGATTGGTCATCTTGTAAGTCTTGGTTCTCCCCAGCATTGACCTCAATATCTTCGTCCGTAGATTTTTCGATGTCATTTTCCACCGACTCATCGACGTCTGCCATTTCGATATCGTGGATATCCTCTGGCTCCAGATCATGCTCTTCTGAGTCTTTCTGTTTTCGGTTTGTGTTTGGGAATAGCGATATTGGGTCAACTTCCTCCTTAGCTTTTTTCATCGCATTGATTACCTTCTTGCTGGATGATTGATCAATCTGCTTTCGAGTATGTTGTTGCTGATTGACATGTGCCGTCGCCTGCGCAGCTTCTGTACCAGATGACTGTTGACCTCCTTCACCAGCCTTGACTTCCTCCGTCTCTCTTCTTTTCTGTGCGTTCTTCTCGCTCCGATGGGCTCGTTTCTTCAGCTTTTTCTTCAGATTCGGATTGATCACATCCTCGATAGCGATTTCGCCTATTGGTCCCGTAGGTGCATCTCTCTTCTCTGGCTGAGCATTATCCTTCTTTTGCCTCTTCGAAGTGTGATCCGACTCAGTCGAGGTTGTTTGTTGTATACTTGCGTTTGTGGTATCGTCCAGCTTCCGCTTTTTTGCCGCCTCTGCACTGCGTTCATCGTAAACATCTTTAGCAGTCTTCCAGTTTGCGGGATCGAGCTTTGCCATTCTTGCTGCCTTCTTCTGTTCTGGCGTCTGTTTCTTGCGTTTCCATTGATCACTGACGTCCTCGCCGAACATGTTCTTGGCCGGTGTGAGTGCTAGCAGACTATCCAGGCTTCGAGCCTGCTGTCGCAGAAAATCCTCGTATGGGTTAGCCACTATGATTCCGAAATTAACAATAGCAACTCACTTTCAGGTCCGAATCCGCCATGCTGGACGACTAAGCTGGCAAGACGTAATTTACTTGTACCACCAGGTGTACATTGAATGCTCACAGACACTTCTTGCGGTCTATAATTTTTGACTCCACCATCGTAGCGGGCTGCAGATCGTTAGCCGAGGATAAGCCGTGCATATTATGATGAATTCATGCTTGCTTGCTGTTTTCATCGCAACATGCATTAACTACGCTGGTGATTGCACTACCACAATCACTCTCACGTCGAGAAACGAAGCCTAACCCGCTGAGATAGTAATCAACGGACCAGTAGTCGTCCCTGACAAATTGGCGGCTGGCTCTTCCAGGCACGTGGTGGACTAAGCTCTTCAACTATGCTGAGAATGAAAACCAAGCCAGCAATGTTCTCATGGATTATGCAAACACTTGTTACCACAATGCCAGAAGCAGGATACGTTGTGCGCGGCAAACCACTCCCACATGACTGATACACTGCCTTTTACTCGCTACGATGGTTTTACACTACCACCAACGCCTGCAGTCCGTTCAAAAGACTGGTACTGCGTACCAAAAGTGTAGCATGCGCCCCTATGCAGGGACTCTCAAGCAAGGGTAGCTGCATTCTACTCCGGCTAGCAATCACCTCTTGCACTCTGACATCAGCATAGGCATCCATCGTTCTGTTCGAGACTGATCTTACGCCGACCATGAATATGACTGATACACGTGGTAGATTTTTGGCGCCAGCGTTGCCCAGTAACAGTATCCGCACCAGCATATACGGTTCCCACTCAACCAGCCAGATGAAGTGCCTCTATAATGTTCGTGGTTGTTACCATTCTCCAAAATTTGGAATAGCATTAGCTCTGATATGGTATGCAGAGTATTGACAAGAGACTGAGAGACGGCTTGGAACATGGAACATATGTTCGGAGGTCACCGAATCGTACGAACAGGTGCTGTCCTGTCAAAACAGCTGAACCACATTCCAGTAAGTCTCGATCTGATTCGGAGATTCTCGAAATACTGCAGCAGCTTGACGGATAGAACTTCAGGTCTGACGTCGACGGTTTCGTCCACGATGACAATTCTGAGGAGGAAAAGCTAGAAAAAACGTTTCTATCGAGTAAGACGAACCTTATAGGAGATATTCATCGAGTAACGCAAGGTACGCGGATTGGAACACATCGGACCGACGCTATGACGCAAACGGACTGGCGCGTCCCAACCAAGTTCCTTGCTCCTTCGCGAACCTCCCACTTTCTTATCTACGCCCACATATCAGATGCTATCGAGTAACTGATACGAGGCAACTTTCCATCAACTCTATTCTAGCCGACCTCGCCAATCAAACCGTGCTATCAGATGCCTACCTACCCTACGTCTTCCGACTTCGTTTCGAGCCGCGCTCTCTCGCTCTCATTCCGCCTGCATCATCCCCGACTTATGCTTTAGCAATCCGGGGTATGCGTCGCCTCTCGTTATGCCAGATCGCGCCGATGTGCGTGGGTGAGGAATTGTGTGCGCCACGTTTGTGTTCGGTAAAGTTCAATGGAAATGCGATACAGTTTGCCCTACTCCTTCTTTGTTTCGTCTTGTGTTACCTGCCGGATCTGCCCAAGTCTGCTTATCTTTTGTTGATAAGACCCAACTATCTCGATTCACATGCCAGCAACTGACCCTCTCTTCCTTTCCTGATCTTACACCGTTCCCTGTCCAGTACTGTTCGATAACTTACAGCAGCCCTATTTTGGCGGTATCGACTACTCAATAGCAGCATGAACGCCATGCATCCTTATCCAACTCCACCTAGATCGCCTTTGGGGGGGTTCATAAACGCGAGTGATGCTGCTACGTGCGTCATTGCATCTTCGCGAGTGGTGAAGGACGGAATTCTGACAGCAGCCACCATCGTGATAGATAATGCCACTGGCAAAATCTCAGCTGTGTTCGACTCTGTACTTCCACCGACAGATTTTCCGATAGGCACACCATATCGAGACTACTCCCCACAAGTCATCCTTCCGGGGCTTGTGGATGCTCATGTCCACCTCAATGAGCCGGGCAGAACAGAATGGGAGGGATTTTATACCGGCACACAGGCGGCAGCGTTTGGTGGCGTAACCACAGTCATTGACATGCCACTCAATGCCATTCCTCCGACAACGACAGTCGAGAACCTGCTCGTCAAGATCAAGGCAGCTCAAGGCAAATGTTGGGTCGATGTTGGATTCTATGGCGGCATTATTCCGGGCAATGACCAGGAGCTCAAAGCTCTTGTTCGAGAGGGCGTGCGGGGCTTCAAGGGCTTCCTCATCGACAGTGGTGTAGAGGAGTTCCCAGCCGTGTCTGCAATCGACATTGAGAAGGTCTTTGCTGAACTTGCTGATGAACCAACGACGGTGATGTTTCATGCTGAAATGCTGCCACCAATAGCAGACTCTGTTGGTGACGACGTACAAGTGTCGTTGCCTCCACTCGCACCTCGCGGAGCTCTCAGCGAATACAATACCTTCTTGCAGTCACGACCGCCAGCATTCGAGACTTACGCCATTGAGGAGATTCTCTCGATGGCGCACCTTGCTCCAAACTTGGCCCTACATATTGTGCATCTGTCAGCCATGGAGGGCATACCACTTCTACGGAAGGCACGTGAGCAGGGTATCAATGTCACAGCCGAGACGTGTCCACATTATTTGTCGTTAGCTGCAGAACAGATCCTCGACGGCGATACACGTCACAAGTGCTGTCCACCAATTCGCAGTCAGAAGAATCAGGACAAGCTATGGGCTGAACTTCTCGAGTATGCCAACGAGGGTGTAATCAAGACTATCGTTTCAGACCACTCACCATGCACACCAGATCTTAAGCTCCTGCCATCTCACATACCTGGTCATTGCTCGCCAGCTAAGGGCACAGTTCAGACCGATATGGTCGAGGTGGAGTCCGGAGACTTCTTCTCTGCGTGGGGCGGCATTTCTTCGGTCGGTCTCGGCTTGCCTATTCTATGGACAGAAATGACTCGCCGTGGCCTTACGACACCGGAGAAAGTCGAGACAGCTCTCATGAGCCTGGTTCAATGGTGTTGCATCAATACAGCCGCCCAGGTCGGCCTCGAGAAACAGAAAGGCAGTATCAGTGTGGGCTTCGATGCTGATTTTTGTGTATTCGACGACGAAAGCGATTGGATTGTCGAACCTAGCACGATGCTCTTCAGAAACAAATGTTCACCTTACCAAGGGAAGACAATGAACGGTATGGTCAAAGAGACTTGGTTACGGGGCAGACCCATCTTTGTCAAAGGTGCGCAGAACGAGGGATTCGTTGGCACAAAATGCAGTGGACAGTTACTCCTGGAGCCGCGACAGAAGGAATTGAAGAAGGTGAAAAGTTGGTTTTCGAAATGGATTGGACAAGCATTTGGTTATTGATGGATTTGTTCTTGTTTGGCGTTCTAGCGTAAATTACATTGAAGATGGAGTGGATGATGAAGAAGTCTATACGTACAGAAGTCGGAAGGCAATGTCGCAGCAAAACACATTTACATTTCTGATTCCCTGGATCCCATATTTGCCATTTCGTGCTCTCAAAGACGCCTATTTTGGGTTGCAACGAGTTTTTGCCTATTCTCAGGCCTGCGTCAAGAAGTACCCGAGCCGCGACGTTTCAGACAAGCAGTCGACACTCATGTCTGGCTTCCTGGACTCCAAGACAGGAGAACCTAGAAAGGGTTACATGCCCTGGTCGATTGCACAAGCTGGCCATGGATTTATGTAAGTCAAGTTCCCAGTTAGGAACTGGCACAACAGAGTGCCCACAGCTCTGATAGTAAGATGGCGAAAGCTTGCTAACGAGACGTGTGTTCTCAGAATTGCTGGCTCAGAGGCATCATCCATCACTCTCATATACTTGCTTTAAGTGCTCATCAAGAACCCCCTACATTGAGCAGAAATTGCGCAGCGAACTGTCAAGCCTGCCTGCATCATATGGAAGTACGGATCTTGCAACACTGCCTTATCTCGACGCGTTGATACGAGAGACGTTCCCAAGAAATGACTAGAGAGTCTCACACGTGTTGCCCTATCAGGAAGGTGCGATGAGGTCCACGTTCAGATACTACAGAGTAGCGTGCGCTCCGCTAAGCATGAAGTGCGCGGATTTGAAACAGCTACGCAGCCGTATAGGGTGGGCAATAATGGTCCGTGTTTGCAGGGCTATTTTGTTAGCGAGCTGTGTACTCGCAGAGTGATAAGGGTGGTGAACTCACTGAGAAAGAGCTTTCAGTGTTCGAGAACAAAAAGTGATGACGCACAAAGAGCTGGCTGCGAAGCGTTGGTCGTTGCCGCACGAGCTGCGATACGTGGATGTTGGTCCAGCAATTACATATCAGGCACTCACTGTACTTTGTGCCTGAGGGCGATGCGAGCAGGGTTTCTCTGGTGGATTGCTCGATCTTGCATGGTGGCGCAGGTTCTCGGATGCTTGGATCGATGACTGTGCTTTATAGAAAGTCCCAGCTTGTTACCTTATTTCCTTTTCCACACATTCTACATACACCTGACAATCTGGAAACCTCATTACCTATCACGATTCTTCAAACACGTAGCCATGAGAATCATATCCACAGCCACTTCCCTGACTCTACCACCATCATTGAACCCGATCTAACAACGACTCCCAAAGTTGCTTCCGCAACAGCCACAACAATGGTCGACCTAGCTCCTAACGATGACTCGGCATGGACCTCCGACTTCGATAGCGATATGATCGAGTCCGATCTAGAGGTTCACGCACAACCAGATCCACCATCAGTACTACTTCCTTCGCAAGAACGTGGTAGTACAGGTGGCTATTTGGGTGACTTCTCTGAAGTCTGGAAAGAGCTGGGCTTGCAACCTGAACACTTGTTGACTTCCCCAACACAACAACCTGACCTGCTTGCTAGCCACGAATTTGCACAGTTGGTCAAAGGTGTAAAGTGGCGTGACGAGTACGATGGAGCTGATTTAGAGGACAATGCCGAGCCAGAAACTGTATCTGCTGCTAACCTGCGTACTCGCAAGCGTGCTGCCAGAAGAGCTCGGGCAAGAGAAAGAGAGCTGAAAGAGCAGGCGACCAAAGAAGCTAGTGCTGAATATCCTGACACTACGACTGACAGCGAGTCTGGCCAGGAGCTCGAGGTTTTGAGACGTTCACCGGATCGACGGTCGCTCATTGCAAGTCTGCTAGGGCGCCCTCGACCGTCTGAGAACGTCTCTCCACCCACATCTCCTTCACCTCCCAAGGAACGAGCTACGTTGAAGACGCCGACCAAGAAAGATTGGCCTGTAGCAAATCCCTTCCTCTGGGCAGCACCTCTGCCTTCAACGCCATCGAAGTTCAATATTACACCTACTGACGGTCTGACACCTAGACTGCGGAAAATAAATTTAATTAACCAGCTAGCTCATCAATATCCGAGTGAAGCTAAATATCTAAAGAATCAAGGATTACAGGAGCCGGCTTTCAGCCCTCTTAATACCTCGCCCATAGGCATTCATGTTTTCATCGACATGTCTAACATCTCCATTGGCTTCCACGACTGTTTGAAGGTTGCTAGAGGCATACCTATTGAAACAAGAGTGAGGCGCATACCAATGGACTTTCACAATCTGTCTCTCATCCTCGAAAGAGGCCGACCTGCTGCAAAACGTGTGTTGTCCGGCTCGGATCACACTCCCGCAGTTGAGCAAGCAGAATCCTGCGGCTACGAAACAAACATCCTCGATCGCGTTCACAAAGCCAAGACACCCACCCCAAAGAGGAAGAACCAACCCAGCAGAAATGGCTCGGGTTACGCTTCTGGTCTCTCCCATGGCGAAACCAGTGGCTCCGAAACACCTTTTAAAGCTGTCACGTACAAGTACAGTGAGCAAGCTGTCGACGAAATACTCGTAAGCTCAACTCCTTATCCAGTTCATTTCTAAACCTTTACTGACACCTCTTCCCAGCATCTCAAAATTTCTCACTCCATTCTCGACGCAGAGAAACCCTCCACCATTGTTCTCGCGACTGGCGATGCTGCCGAAGCAGAATATTCGGACGGGTTCCTGCGCATGGTCGAGAGGGCTCTGAGCAAAGGTTGGATGGTCGAACTTGTGAGCTTCAAGCTCAACACTAGCTCTTTGTATCGCAGACGCGACTTTCGAGCAAAATGGGGAAACATGTTCAAGTGGGTTGTACTAGACGACTTTGTTGAGAGTCTCTTAGCAGAGGCTTGAGTACTGTGCTATGAGGGAAAGGTCTCATTACTATCTTCTCGCTGCTCAGAAAGCCTTCTGGCATCCAGTTCAGGAACTTAACCTGTAGCTATTCCCTAGTCGCGGGCTATAGCTTCACATCCAACATGTCTTTTGATGTACTTTTTATCGCTTTCCAACGATCATATTTCGGGTTAAACCCGACATGGATTAATTTCGACTTTTTGAAACATCAGGTAGCGTATCACCTGCTGCTGCCAAGCACTGTCAGAACGATATATAATTCAGCTACAGGAAAAAAATGTGATTTATTCGTTACGCGTTCATCATAACAGAAGTGAAGATCTTCGAATTCTCTTGATACAGCTAATACTACAAAGGCTTGGAATCACCAACATTTACAGCCTGACGCCATCGCTCCTCCACAGGTATCTTCGACCAATCGGTTTCATAGAGCAGCGCATGAGTAGCCTCTTCGAAAGCCGGCAGAAGAGCCTCCTTCATCTCCTCAGAGACCAGTTCTTTACCCTGAGCTTTAGCGTTGCGCGTCCAGTCGAGCAAAGCATTTAGGCTGTACTTGGTCCCCCATTCGAACATGTCTTGTGGTGACCTCTTCGTCCATCCCCCTTCTCGGCTGATCATGGTGGCTTCGGCGAGAAGCTCAGTGCCGTGTTGAGCGAGTTTCGACCTGGCGCTGGCGATGAGGTAGGATCGTAGGATGGGAATTTGGCTCTCTGTTGGACGTGGGTAGAAGCCGTATCTGTAGAGTTTGAGGAGATCGATGCTCTGTTGGGATTTGGTGGTGTCGGTGGTCAATTCCTGTTTCTCGGAGATGGATTTGGAGGTGTCGATGCCGTGGCGCAGTTCGGCGGACTTCTGCTCGTAGATCTCGAACCGTCGAAGCATTTTTTGTATGTCGTTCTCTTGCTGTTTGGGGATGACACAGGTGCCTGGGACGACTTTTGAGCCAAGGGCGACAATGAGTAGAGGAGTGAACTCGCCGCATATGATGAAGATGAGGCCGAAGGGGATGAATTTGCGGAGGTCTCGTCGTGTTCTAAGGATCAATTCGTACTCGTTGTAGGATAGTTTGGGACTCTCTGGATCTAGTGCAGCAGCGTTGAGACCTGTGCCCTTCAGTCGCTCCTTGATCTGTTTCATGGTGGTCCAGTTGTTCCATACATTTTTGACACCGGTTTTGTAGAGGGCCAGGTAGGCTTTCCCCAGAGAAAAGAGGTAGCGGAAGTCCCAGTCTTTTGGGTTTAAGCTCTCCTCGCTGGGCCAGGCAAGAGGGTGAGGCGGCTCGGGGGCATTTAGAGGGATTGGCCTGGTGGTGCTGAGGTCTGTGACGATGCCTGACACTGCATACTTGGGGTCTAAGGCGAGAGGAGCATAGCTCTCGAGCCGTGACACTGATCGACCTTGCGGTTCATCATCAGAAGCAGTGGGAACGATCCCTGTCGTGGCTTGACTGGATCTTAGCCGTATGCTGCTAGGAGGATGCTGTATACTGGTAACAAGCGAGTTCAAGCGCCATGGCTGATGGGTGGGAAGGCCACTGATGCCTCTACAAGCAGCATAGCTTTGCCGCAGAAGGTACTCCTTCATAACAAGTACGACTCACTGACCAAAAACATCACTCTTGAGGTAGAAGGGCGAGTGATGGACGAAGAGGGACTTGAGCGGAATGAAGACGCCGAATGATTAAAATTGTTGCATCATGGATTTTTATCCGCGACGCGTGCCACGTTTTCGGAGTATCGAAGCGCATGCATGCGTATTTTTGTGGACATCTGTCTTGTCCCTACCAACGATTACATTTTCGCTGTGGTCGCCAGTACTGAATCTGACTGCTCGTATGAGTGAACTGACGAGCTAACATCATGGTCCGGCTGTACATGTTCAGGCTGTTTTTGAGTTTTTCTACTTCACAAGTCTGGTGTGTATGAGCAGCGACTCGTCCTACTCGTACTTTGCTTTACAGCCATCATGAGGCCTACAAACCTCTCTGCGCTGCTGGCAGCTGCACTGAGTTTTCTGTCGATATCTCTGCCGTCTGCTACCGCGGACCAAGATTCGTCCATTAATGTTGCCCTGAAGGCATCTTTCCAGCCTGCTCCCTATCTAGTCGAGCTCCTGTACGCCTATAGTTGAGTTGATCTCGTGTGACAGACTAGCTGATTCACAGACAGAGAAACTGCAGCTCTCGAGAACTCATCATGCTACTTCCCTCTACTCGATCGTATAGCGGACGGCACCTTCGCTCACCTCCATTCCGATCAGGAACTTTACACTAAATTTCTCGATGTCTTACAGCAGGATGGCCATCTCGGGGAGCAGGGCTCGCTGTCCTCCTTCAAGCTTGCCTTGTCCCTGCACGCAGCTGCACCAAGGATCGAGGCTCACTACCAGTACTACAAGTCGGCCGTCGAGCCTTCTATGATGGCGGCTCAGGACGCCGCTTGTCCAGTCTGGGTACATTTGGATGGTCAACAATACTGTTCACCAGAGCTAGAAAGAGCACAGCAACCAGTTGACAATGACAATCTCGAGGCTGAGTTACCTTTTGACCACACCTTGAGCTCTGCCGATTCGTCACTCCTGTCCACCATCTACGCAGATATTACACACCCGCTCTTTGGTCAGTTCCACCAAATCGTGAGTGCTACTGCTAAGGATGGCAAAAGCGCATATCGTGTTCGCTATCGGCCCAACACACAAGACTCGAGCCAACCACTATATGTGAGCGGCTATGGTGTCGAATTGGTCCTAAAGCGAACAGATTATATCGTTATTGACGATCGTGATGCTGCTCACCAACCTGGTAGCACTGACGAGGCTTCATCGGCCACTGCCGTTGCTGAAATCAAGCCTTTGACCAGCGCAGAGGTGTCCAAGCTTGGTCTCAATGCTGCTAGCTACATCATGGCTAGCGACGATCCTATGATCACACTGCTTGAGGTGTCCGCTAATTTCCCAAAGTATGCCTCAACTATTGCCTCTCATAACGCTTCGAGCGCTTTGGTGATTGAACACAAACAGAATCGGGACAAGCTCCTGCCTGCTGGTTACAATGTCATCTGGATGAATGGCCTACAGGTTCAGAATCGAGAGGTCGATGCGTATTCTCTCATCGACGTCCTCAGAAAAGAAAGACAACTCATCAAAAGGCTGAAGGACATAGGATTATCTTCCACTGAGGCTATCGATCTGCTCTCTCATGAGGTTCTGGCGCTATCCCAAACCGACGATCAACCACAGCGGTACGACTGGCGCTCACCTGCTGACTCCCGTGAGATTATCATATGGCTTAATAATATCGAGAAAGATACAAGATACGCTAGGTGGCCCACTTCCTTGAACATGTTGCTGCAACGCACATACCCTGGTCAGTTACCGCAGGTTCGTCGAGATATACACAACGTTATCGTGCCAATAGACTTTCATAACGTGAGACATTTGGATCTAATCGTCAACACCCTGCAGACCCTCGTGAAGAGGTCATTTCCCCTCCAGCTTGGCCTCGTACCCATTGGTACTGACGAACCCTCACGGCAAGCCGCAAAATTGTCTTACCACATCCTTGACACATATGGCCTTGGACGTCTGCTGACCTTTTATCAAAATATCGTCACCTCCAAAAAAGGTGTTTCTGCCGTCGCAACAGTCTTTGAGTCCCTGACAGGAGCTTTGACTGCGAAAGAAGGCACGAGTCCACTGTCTTATAACCAAGTCCAGCAAGACGAAGAGCTCCGGGAAACGCTCAAGAATGCAGATGCATATGCATCACGTCTTGCTTTGAACAACAAAAACCCTCCTGTCCTTGTTAACGGTGTTGCAATCCCTCGTACTGAAACGTGGTTTGAGACACTAAGTCAACGCATCTACATGGATCACCGTGCTCTTCAAGTTGCAGTGTATGAAGGCAACATAGCTGAGGGGACATGGATCCCAGATTTCTTCTTGCAACGAGCTGCTACAAGACGCAACTCTCTCGTCGTGCCGGAGAACAAGAAGGAGGTTCGGGTCGTGAATGTTGCAGAAATCACAACCAAGCACGCTTCTAGCTACAATACCTTGCCACGCATACCTGGAGAAAATTCGGCTTTGCTGAGCAGCTGTGCACATCTTTTGTTAGCCCTTGATCTAGATAGTCCTCATGGGCGAGATTTGCTCGCAGAAGCTCTTGCATTTCACGAGAAACGTCCTGAGGTTGAAGTTCTACTTCTACATAGTCAAAGACCAGGAGAACCTCTATCAGCCCTTCCTATTGAGCTCTACCACAATGTGAGAGATGGTTCCAGAGACCTACCCCGAGCACAGCTGAAAGTACTCGTCAATGAAAAAGGCGATGATGTGCCGCCGACTAGTCAGGACCAGGAAAAGGCAATGGACTACTGGCTTTCTCATGAAGATCTAATTCGCGCGATAGGCCTCACTCCTGGAGATAATGCTATTAGCCTGAATGGACGTGTCGTGGGACCTCTCGTCGATGCTTTCACAGGTGAAGACTTTGAGAGTCTACTGGACTATGAGATCTCAGAGAGGATCGCTCCTGTCACCACTGCCATCACTGCACTCTCTCTCGAGGACAAGTTCAGTCATCCTCTGGATGTTGCTAAAGTGACCTCAATCGTGGCAAGCTCTCTGATATCAGATATTCCTGAAGGTATATACGAGGCTGCCCCTCTCATCAGACTAGACAAGTTCAAGCAATGGAAAAATGAGTCAACCATGATTCATCTGCCATCAGACACCGAGCCTTCGATACAGATCGTCGCAGCGATTGATCCGGCTTCCGAGACAGCACAGAACTGGTTGCCTATCTTGAAAACCTTGGCGGACTTAGACGGGGTGGATGTAAAGTTGTTCCTCAATCCTCGCGAACAACTTTCTGAACTGCCAGTGAAGCGCTTCTATCGCAATGTTATTGCGCCATCTCCTACCTTTTCTGCCAATGGCAGTCTTGCGGCACCTCAAGCTGTCTTCTCTACCATTCCGCCAGACGTACTGTTCAATCTGGGCATGGTCGTTCCGCCAGCTTGGCTCGTCTCGCCGGAGGAGTCTATCTATGATTTGGACAACATCAAGTTGAGCAGTGTACCAGCTGGCCAGAATGTAGACGCACTCTACGAACTCGAGCACATCCTGATCGAAGGTCATTCGAGGGATATCACAAAAGGCACACCACCACGAGGTGCTCAGCTCTTACTTGGGACGGAGCAGAACCCTCATTTTACCGACACAATCATAATGGCGAACGTAGGCTACTTTCAATTCAAAGCCAATCCTGGCCATTGGCAATTGACTCTGAAGCCTGGAAGATCTTCCAGAATTTTCGATATCGATAGTGTGGGCTCAAGAGGCTACGCACCACAACCGGGCGACGAAGGCAATCAGGTGACGCTGATGTCTTTCCAAGGGGTAACTCTCTTTCCGCGATTATCTCGCAAAGCTGGTATGGAGGATGAAGACGTCCTCGAAGTGGGTAGTCTGGCCGACACTGCTGCGTCATATCTTAAGAAGGGTCAGTCACTACTGTCATCTATCGGGCTAGGCAAGAAAACTGCCTCTGGCAGCGTTCAGGCAGATATCAACATTTTCTCTGTGGCTTCGGGCCATCTCTATGAGCGTATGCTCAACATCATGATGCTGTCCGTGGTCAAGCACACTTCACACTCCGTCAAATTCTGGTTCATAGAGCAATTCCTATCACCTTCATTCAAGCGCTCTCTACCCTACCTCGCAGAACACTACGGCTTCCAGTTCGAAATGGTAACCTACAAATGGCCACACTGGCTCCGTGGGCAAAAAGAAAAACAAAGAGAAATATGGGGCTACAAAATCCTCTTCCTAGACGTGCTCTTCCCCCTCGATCTCGAAAAAGTAATCTTCGTCGACGCCGACCAAATCGTCCGCACCGACATGATCGAACTAAACAAAGTCGACCTCCACGGAGCCCCCTACGGCTTCACTCCCATGTGCGACTCCCGCACCGAAATGGAAGGCTTCCGATTCTGGAAACAAGGATATTGGGCAAACTTCCTCGAAGGCAAACCCTATCACATCTCCGCCCTCTACGTCGTCGACCTCAAACGCTTCCGCGAACTGGCGGCCGGCGACCGGTTACGCGGGCAATACCACGCCCTCTCAGCTGATCCCAACAGCCTCTCGAATCTCGACCAAGATCTCCCCAACCACATGCAGCATAACCTGCCCATCCACAGTCTTGATCAGGACTGGCTGTGGTGCGAGACGTGGTGTGCTGACGAAGCGCTCGGCACAGCGCGCACGATCGATTTGTGTAATAATCCTATGACTAAGGAGCCGAAACTCGATAGAGCAAGACGTCAGGTGCCGGAGTGGACGGAGTATGACAATGAGATTGCGGAGGTGCTGAAGGGTGCGATGAAGGATGAGGGAGAGGTGGATTTGAAGGCTGGTTCGGAGAAGCAGAATGATGAATTGTATGGGAGGAGGAAGGAAAAGGTTAAAGATGAATTATGAGGGGTATGTACTGTATGTAGATGAATAGATGGATGAGTGGGACTTGTGTTTTGCGATAGAAATGATAGAATGAATAGGTAGACAAAGCTTTACTGCTCCGCCATCTTCTTCATGATAGTGCTTGGTCTCATGGACGGGAAAAGGGACTGGAACCCATGAATATCTAGAAGTGTGAATGATATATTACATTGCGTACGTACAGCAGGCAGCTATGATTCAGCAGAAGGCCTGATATTGGCTTGTAATACTGGTAACTAATAAAACATTTTCGGAAGTCGTGCCGTTGTTTACTTCAAAAGCCTTTTGATTCTCTTCGATCCACCGCAAGGAGTTGCACTTCTGACTCAGTCGCTGCTTCAAATGCAGCAGTTGCATGTATCAAACTAAGCCTTTCTGGCTTCATTCATTCAAGCTTCCTGTTGTGTACACGGCTCCATCTAAGCCTGCGACTGTGATTTGGTCGTAAGCCTCGTCTTGCGTATAAGCGGTCTGAGTCTGTGGCGAAGTCCGTACCAGAGAATTTTGCCTGGTGCTTCGTCGGTTGCCCTTTCTCGGCGTGCGCGGTGTGATCACGTCACTTCCTATGCGTGGTGGAGGCATCAACGCCTGTTGCGTCTCGGGATGAGATTGGGAGAGATCAGTGTATCCCGAAGTCTGGGTTTCATATGGTGGTGACTTTCGTCCTGCTGCTCGAGTGCGTCTTGACGAACGGCGCTGAATCCCTGGCGGCGGTTTTAGCTGGGGTGTTGCTAGTGAACTGGTATTTTGCTGGCTTGGCACTGCATTATGAATGCTCATATTTGAAGCGGTCGTAGGTGGGTGATGCAGCTGTGTCGCAGGCACATCGGATAGATATCCGAGATTTGAAAAATGGGGCACATTTCTGTCTCCGGTCTGGCCCCTGGTCCGTAGGAGTCGTTGAGGGTTCACTAGTCCTGGTAGAGAGCCTATCTGCTGACCAGGAGTGCTTTCGATAGCCTGCCCGAATGGGTTAGGCTGCTCAGCCCCTAGTGGTCGTAGGCCCTGGGAGAGAAGCCAATTATTCAGATGTTGCTCTTTCGCATTCGCATCACCACCTCTTAGGCTTGTATCACTGGAGGAGATCGCAGTGACTGCGCCAAACAGATTGCGCATAGACTCCTAGGCTTGCGCAGGCGCTGCTGGCGTAGGCTGGGGAGTGACTGTCGTCCTTTGCTGTGCGGCTTGTGTCGTGTAGGCAGCTAGACCATTCGCAGCGTTGGTAACAACACTCTGTCCCGGTTGTGTAGCTTGTACAGACTGATTCTGGATATAGCTTTGAGCATTTTGCTGTGGCTGTGGCGTTCCTGAAGCCTGCCGCTGCTGCTGGATATGCTGTACACTTTGTGGTTGTGGACTTTGGCTGCCGGTGTATTGGTTCTGACCTTGTTGTTGTGCAGCCTTGATTTGCTGTATGGTGGCATGTGTATTAGCCTGAGCATAAGCTCCTTGCAGCAGGTTCGGGTTCGATTGGGCTGGTGTCGAATACTGGTTACGTTGAGGCTGTATATTCGGAGGCTGCACTGTCTGCTGAGCATAGCTATGACCGTTCACCAAAGGCTTTGCGGGTGAGGCGCTGCGGTTGTATTGTGCGTTGTTCTGCGCCTGTCCATAACCGTTCTGTAGTCGTTGGTACTGCTGTATTGTGGCTCCCGGATATGGCTGCTGAGGACGATTGAAAGCAGGCGTCTGAGTGTATGGAGCTGCAGCCACGTTGGGACGAGGAGTGTTGTACATTTGCACATTCCTCTGAGCGTAACCGGGGAGTGTGGGAGGTTGGGTCGCGGAAGTACCATAGCTTCTTGCTTGTGTGTTGTAGCCGGTGTTAGGAGCAGGACCAGTATAACTGGCCCGAGCAGGAGTTGGATTAGTCGCCCGAGTAGCAGCAATTTGTTGAGACTGAGCGACACGCTGACGGTGAAGGGTGCCTTCGTCAGGCTGAGCTGTTCCAGACACGTCAGGCGTGCGAACTATTATGTTGGTGCTTACATTGAGAGCTTTCAACTGCTCGCCGTCCAACTTGGCTACTGCGAAGGGAGGCAAGGAAGCCACAAGTATCTTTAATTGTTGTCGCAGGAGGTCAAAAGTGTCGAGTTCCAAGCTGTCAGGCTTGTTAGAGTGATCGGTGGTGCCAGATTTATCGAGATCGCGAAGATTCTGACACGAGCTAAGAGTCTGTAACAGATCGGAGACCTCGTTTAGCATGTCGTCTGCGTCTTGTGTATGTTCTTCTGCGTCAGGCTGAGCATCCTGTATGCTTACGGGAACATAATCGTCTATAACCTGTTGGAAATCATCGTCAATGTGTGGATAATCGGAGCTGCTCAGACTATTGTGTTTGCCGGGAAGAGGTATGATGCGTTGCATTGCCTGTTGACCGTGCTTTCTGTACCACAGACGACCACGATCTGAGCGAGGTATTACAGCAGTAGTATTATCTTCGGATGGCGCAAACGAAGAGAACACAGTATTGAACAAAGCCTCGGGATCGTCGTTGATCTTGTTTCTGCGACTCGGAGGTTTTGTGACATTGGTCTCGTTGTTGGAATACTCAAGCCAAGAGCCAGCAGTCAGTGGAGTAGCACGATAGTCGTCTTTGCTCGTAGTAGTGACGTTCTCGAAGGGCTTGGTGAACTTCAGCGTAGATGTGTGTGTGTGCCTCGAAGGCTTAGGCGATTCCAATTGTCGCGCGTTACGCTGCTGTTGAAAGACTTCGCCAAAGGTTCTTGCAACTGTCTGAGCAGATAAGTGGCCTGGGTCAACTGTAGCGGCTTCAACGATGTCAAACCCACTAGGGAGCTTCTTGAGGTCAATTTCTTGCTGCCTGACGTTGGACGAAGGCTGTATGCGAAGACCGGTAAACAACTGCTTGACTGCTCCACCTTCCACGTTGCTTCGTACAGTCAAAACTTGACCAGCACGAGTAAGGAGGGTCCCTTGGGAAGAAGGCGAGGGTCGCAGGCTACCACGTGTGTATTGCGCTACGACATCGTCGATTCTGTCGAGTTGAGAGAGTGTATCGTCTCCATCAGATTTATGTGTTTTTCCATTCGGTAGCGGCTGGGATTGCCTCAACTCGGTCACAACCTGCCGCAAGTCTGCTAGAAGAGCATCTGAGGAGGAGTATAGTCCCAGATTTACGCGAGCTTCTACGGTATTGTCCTGAAAGTCTGTTCGCAGCTTTTTCGCGACCGGCGCATCATCAGGTTGGCCGGGAACAGGATATTGAAGGATGGACGAGGCGATATCGTACCTACATGGCCAGTTAGTATAAGTCGAGGTTTTGTGGATAGGCGCAGTTACTTCTTAATCTCGCGGATTATGCTGTCAATATCTGAGTCATCATTATGAGAATGGCTGTTGACAATTGGCTTTTCTGGCGATAGTGACCGTTTGCGCTTGCCAAGGTAGACTGAGGGGGTAATGGATCGTTGCTGTTCTGTAACAAGCGTGGTACCGTTCATGGTGACTGATATTTTGTAGCCATGCGGCTCAATCGAAGACTCAAACAGGGCGGTCACAATGTACTGAGCAGAGTTTGCAGATCAGTTGAGGACCCAGCTCGCTTCTTTTAGTTCCGTCTTTGTGCCTCCTTACAAGTGTTGCATGGCTTGGTGGGAGAATACAGCGGAGAGACCAATTCGCGATCGCGCCGAAGTAGAGATAGTAGAATTCGTCGAAAGGGAGTAGTAGGCGCGTCACAACTTTTGGCAAGTACAGTTCGGAGCGGAAAATAGGCCTGCAATAAATTATTACTGTGCGCGTCACTAAGCTGGAAGTGCTAAAGTGAATGTGCAGCAGGTGTGTGTTGAGGCAGGCGCAAAATGGTGGGTTTGATGGTCTCGTCGATACGAGTCGCAGTTGCGTCGTTGGAGCGTCGTCCCTTCTCCCACTGGGACCGCACTCGCCTTACATGCCTTTTTTGGGATACTGACTTTGGGCTCTCTGCCACGGTTGCGGTGAATAGGCGGTTTCTAGTTGTGAAATAACTCTGGCCTGACTACTGTTCCTCTCGTCTATTCTTGGGTTGCTGCGTAGACGAGTTGTCGTTATCTTTGCCTATCAGTGTCAGCTCTAGGATCGCCAGATGGATGTACAGAACCCCATCTCTTGCAGCTGCACGTAGTTTGACACGGGCAGTGCTTTCAAGAGCTGCCTCCTTCAGCTCCTACAATGGACATGTCTCTTCTCAAACCTTGCGCCGTTCCTCACGTCGAAGTGTGAGGACAAGAAGGACGCTCGGGCCGCGCGATGGGAAAGAGCGTTCCATCAGTACCGCAGTCAATGTAATTGCGCCGCCTTTAGCAGAAGACACTGATGAGGACATAAGCGCGAGCAAAGAGAAGCAAATCAACCAGAACGCTTTCTTGGTCGGAGGCGCTGTCGCGTTCGAAGAGCCGTATTTTCCCTCTGCGTCTCACTCTGCAGATGAGACTTCCGACGACATTCCAGCACAGCAGTCTGTACCACTAACTAAAGCTACCTTCCAGCCCGCGTGCCGTTCCTTTCGAGATGTTTGGACAGCTCTGCCACCACTCCGAAAACCGGACCTCTCCCACTGGCATCCTGTGAAAGGAAAGAGAAGAGGTACTCCTCGGCCTATAATCTCATATGCTGGACAAGAACATCCATTTCGTGGAGATTTGGGGAGTACTTCTCAACGTAGGATCACAAAACTGTTTATGCAGCATGTCTACCCTCATACCACCACATCACAGCTCGGGTCAGATGAGACTATCGTGTGTGCACTGCGTCGCGTCTACCCACATGACATGCGACGCTTTTACGACCAGGCAGAAGATGTTCTCACCTGGAGCTGGATCCTGCTTGCTCCTTCTGCCACAAGGAGCATTCTACGGCTGACTCACTGGTCTGACCATCTGGAAAGAGCTGGTCTACCTCCGGTTCCCCTATGGGTGAGTCTGCAAATGTTGAGGTTGCAGCACATTGATGCCGAGAGTCTGAGCCGTCTTATAGCTCTGATATCTCGTAATCGCCGTGCCTATCGGTGGTGGGGAGACTCGGCCATACTACTCATCGTTCGAATGCTACGACATGCCCGCATTGCTTCTCCCTCCTCCTTTGAAAAGATAACGACTCTCTTCCTAGACGTGCTTGATGCTCACCTCAATCAACAGAGGAGGACCCTGCATAGCCGTCTACCAATCATTACCTACTGGTGCAATCGTGTTCTCAGCCTCATGTCCCTGCCAGTGTCTCTGCATCCGTTCAGATCCATGAGCTTTCAGCAGGCCGCACAGTTGACTCTGATGCGCTATATGCAAAACCACGTGCCAACGATCCCTCTCAACCGCGAGGGCTATCGCGCCATTGCTGCCCTGCAAACTATGCACCGGAAGACAGCTACAGAGAAGGACTGGGCACGACTCAAATCAATCAATTGGCCGCCATGGGAGCAAAAAGTTCTGATGGGAGCCATTATCAGGCCACGCATATACTCAGGAAGATTCAGTCGTGTCATCAAAGTGTTGCAACGAACACAAGAAAGTGGTTATCCTTTGCGAAATGCAGAAATTGCTATGCAGGTTTTGGCTGGCTGGGATACTGATCGATCTCCTACCATTCAAATGAGGCGCAAAATATCTTTACACAATTCCAGCGCTCTTTTCCGACCAACTTCTGTCGACGATCCTGTCGTTTGGGCTGCCAGGGTCGAAGCCACGAGGACTGTGCGGGAGGCCTGGATGTGTTTCTGTAGCTACTCTACTACCGTTCCTGTCGGGCGTCAGGTGGCACAGGTCTACCACGTCATGTTTACCAAGTTGTTTGCAAAAGTTAGTCCTAATCGTTCGGAACGTGGTACAATGCCAGGCGATGGCCTTGAGACCTATCCTGACCCTGAATCAGCTCGTGAGAGAGTTTGGGTGCCTGAAGAAATCCCGTCAATCGAAGACTTCTTCTCAAGAATGGTCAAGAACAATGTCCGTCCTTCCCTGAGGTTGTTGAGCGATCTGTTGGACCATCCTGAGACCTCGCTCGACAAAGGCTTGCAGTATGTATCTTGTGCCTACATAACAAGCGGACACCAGTGCATCCTTACGAAACCCGAGGAACAGAACTTTCAGAACCTGATTCGCGTCTTGAAAGTCATGCCGAATCACTTCTCCCGAGCTTATATCGGGCTTCTAGCTCGTCCTAACACCCCGAAAGGTGCTCCGTGGCGCTTCTTTGGAGAAGCCATGGGCAGGAGGTTGGTCGGGCCTGTCTTTGTTGGAAGTCTCCTCGAGAAATCTGGCATTCGCGAGCCCTCGATTTGGAATGCTTATTTTGCAGCCTTGTTTCAGCATGCTCACGACAAGTTTGACTCCTTTCGTAAGTTGCAGCTCACGACGATATGGATGAGGGCATGTCAAGCTCTATGCAGCGTCTGGCATACGGTACCGTTGAACTACATGACTTTCGAGTCTGTCGCGCATCTGGCCTTCGTGACGGAGACGATGTCGAAAGCCACGCAGCTAGCGGATGCGCCCACGGATCCTGGTCGTCTGATGATCTCAAAGAAAATGTTCATGGTGGCCGCTTCAGGCAGTTCAAGACGTGAGTTTTGCAGTTTCACTGCTAGCACGAACATACTGCACAGCGTTCCGCGAGGTGATGCCATCGAGGCAATGGTATGGGTACTTGCCACGGCACAGAATTCGAGCTCGGTAGATGATATGGTACAGCTGTTGAGATGGACGCGTCACCACCTAGAGCAGATCAAACTTCACGGTCACGGGTTGAGTAAACACAATCTAGCTGCGTTCAAGACTTTCCTCACAGGAGTGTGGGCACTCAAAGACGAAGACCTTTTCGATGAAGTCTACGTTGCTACCGAGGAGCAAATGCAAGAGGTAGAACAGCTTGCTGGAGACATGGGAGGTTGGCCCGATGACGAGTACATCGCAACGTACATGATGTTCCAGAGAGGGAAAATTGAGAGAATTCGAAGACTGCTCAGATCCAGAGTGAGGCTCAGGATTGGAAAGGAAGAGGTTGCCGTGCCAGAAGAGAGATAGAAGGAGGCTCAGCACTGAACAAATAACCACAATGCAACGTACGTACTGAATTTGGTCCGTGTTCCATCTTAGATCCTAGCTTCTTTGCAAAGAGAACTGAAACATTCGCACTGTGCATGTAGTTGAGACGGAACTGCCAAGCACGATCCAGTCTTGCGAATTGGCAATCACGAGTTCACTTTTCAGCCATGATGTAACACAAAGGATGCCGGTTGGTCCTTATCAGGTTTCGACTTGGTAATTTTCGCTTCTTGAATAATGATTACCTGTACCTTCGCCATAACTTGTACTTAGCGGAATGAAGAACACACAAGAAACTCCGCCCCGCGTCTGACTGCACTTAGCGGACGGTGGAGAAAGAGCGACCCCCACGTCAACGTGTCTCATGTATGGCCGAGCGTTGCTGAGTTTGGCTCCCAACCATTCAGATCTGCTCCTGAGAACAAATGCAACCACGACCACAGCGGATGTTCATGGTTCGCAGGGGCTGGCTAGATAAGATGCCGGGACCAGGTCAATGCGCGGCAGTGATGCCACTTCAGTGTTAAGTAATACTATCGAGTCTTCTTTGTTTACTTTATTTACTCTGCCAGTTTCATTTCCTCATCCTGTTCTCTCCGTTTGCTATTCAAGTCCCTTACTGCTCTATTGTGAGATCACCTTGTAGCACATTAACAAGTTGAGACTTTGCATAATCCTACAACCTACACTCGCTGCTACGCACTCTCTTCCGAGTAGTTGAAGCACAGCAATGCCTTCTGCTGACCCCCAGAGCAGTGGTTACAGCCACACAGATGGCCAATACATCAATGGTCACAGCTCAGCCAAGTCCAGCACATCTAAGACACCACCTACCTCCTCAGTCCCTCAAAGGTTTCTCTCTCGTCCATCAGAATTAGGCATAACCCTTGTTGGATTCAGTGGTGGTCAATGTCGTCCAGGCACAGAATCTGGTCCCGCAGTTCTTACAGAAGCTGGTCTGCTCACGCAGTTGTCCGAGGAGCTTGGCTACACTCTTCACGGCGATGAACAAGTGCGGAATTTCGACGAATATCAGCCTACTGTCACCGGTCGAGATGCAACTGTCAGCAACTCGACTCCAAAATTCGACGACCCTGATGTCAGAGGAATGAAGAATCCGCGCAGTGTCAGTGCCGTTACCGAGCAGATCTCGGAACTTGTTTACCAGCAAGCACGACAAGGCCGACTAGCACTTACTCTAGGCGGAGACCACAGCATCGCAATTGGAACCGTGAGCGGTGTTGCTCGTGCTGTACGGGAACGGTGTGCAGCTGATGGAACTCTTCCTGAATCCACAACCCCTGAAATTGCAGTAATCTGGGTAGACGCTCATGCCGACATCAACACTCCAGAAACAAGTGACAGCGGCAACATTCATGGTATGCCTGTCTCCTTCCTCACTGGCCTTGCCACCTCTTCTGAAAAAGGTGTTTTCGACTGGTTGAGATCAGAGCATATTCTCAACCTCAACAAACTCGTCTACATCGGTCTCCGGGACGTCGATGCTGGCGAGAAGAAAATACTTAGAGACAATAAGATCAAGGCATTCAGCATGCACGATATTGACAGATATGGAATCGGCAAGGTGATGGACATGGCACTTGAATATATTGGCTCAGAAACACCGATACACCTGTCTTTCGACGTTGATGCACTGGATCCGATGTGGGCGCCCAGCACGGGAACGCCTGTAAGAGGTGGTCTAACGCTGAGGGAGGGTGATTTTATTTGCGAGGCTGTTGCGGAATCGGGTCAATGTGTGGGTGTCGACCTTGTTGAGGTCAATCCACGCTTGGTAGAGGGAGGAGTTAGTGATACTGTTAGAGCCGGTGTCAGTCTCGTCAGGTGTGCATTGGGCGATACACTGCTCTGAACGGATCACGTTTCATGCTTTCGAACGACTTTGAACAGAAAATCTGGACCATAGACAGGAAAAGCAGGCCGGATGCCTTTTCATGATTGCATAGCGATGTAGGTCGTCATTGCATCAGTAGACAATACTACATCTCTATTACCGTCTATCGTCAAGCCATCATCTAGACCACCTCTTTCCAACCATTGTTCCATTGCCCAAGCTCCCATCAGTATAGAAACTAACATTGTCCGTACTGTTACTATACGAAACATTACACCTCTCACTAAACCCCTCAAATATCGCCGCCCGTCCAGCAAGATAACTCTGCAATCCACTTGCAGAACAAGACTCAGCCGGTCCACCGTGACAATCCGGTAAAGTCTGCGGCGCATCGTTGACCATGACACGATAGAACGTTGACCCGTCCGTAGCACTACTACTGCCATTGTTCGCGAGCTGGGATTTCACATAGTAGTTCTGCGAGCAGTCCATCTTCTCGATCGCGATATTGCTCAGGAACGGGAGGACGTAGCTTGAAACCCAGGCGCGGTTATAGTTTATCTGATCTAAGGGCATGGTGGCGTTGATGTCGCTGCCGGGGGAGAACTGTGTGTTGTTGAAGAGGCCCATTGCGACGAGGACGGTGGGCGGAAGTTCGCGGTGGGTGAAGGAGATGTAGAGATCCTGGGAGTTGGCTGGGGTCGTGCTTGTGAGAAGGTTCAGAGTTGCGTTCAGCCAGGGGAAGCCGATAACACCCGAGATGGGGTTTCCGTAGCCGGTGTTGTAGTGGTACATGATGTCGTTGGCGTACTCGAAGGATAGCCATTCGTCGGGGGAGAATAGGTCGAGGGAGCAGAAAGGGGAGGAGCCGCGGATGACGGTTTCGTAGCCGCACAGTTCTTGCATGGCGAAGATGTCGTCGGCGGTGAAATTGAAGTCTGGGGCGAGGGCGTTGAGGCGGCTGATGATAGGAGCGCTGTATAGGGATTGGTATTGGGAGGATTGTTTGGAGCCGGCGGAGGAGCTGTACGCTGGACAGCTGCTGTATGGTGTGAGAGTGTTTGCGCCTGCTTGTTTGCCTTCGTAGACTTGGACCATGTCTATTTGGTTGTCGTCTAGTTCGAGACCGCGGATGAGGCCTTCTGCGCTCTTGACTGTTCTTTCTGCTGTGGATGTCCATACTCTTTGTGGAAGGCGGAGGTTAGGGTACTTGTACGAGATTGTGACGCCGAGCTGAGCAGATTGTAGCCTGCCTGTTCTTGTTACTAGTTCTTGTTCGGTGAGCTGTGGTGGCATCCAGTCTCTCAGGAAGGCCAATTCTGGCACGATGACCCAGTTCACGTTGCTGTGATTCTGGTGCTTTTGAATGAATGGCTCCAAGTACTCTTCATAGTCGAAGTCGTTTGCATTGATGGCGGCATGACGAACGAGGTATGCTGCCTGGGTGACATTGCAACCTTGTGGTGGGCTAGGATTCCTGGGAGGATCTTGAGGTTCAAAGTACGGGGCAATTCCTGCAAGGTGCTCTAATGGATCGAATGTGTAGGATTCATACAACGTTCGCGCAAACGATGTGCTTGTGAAGGCAGGGAATAGTATGAATATGTTCGACTTCATGTTTGAGATAATGCGCACGTATCAGAGGAACAGATCAGGGAAAAGGGAGTGGATGTGACATCTTTTATGCACAGAACAAGTTGAGGCTTACCTTATGTGTGTACAGCGAGGCCGCATGGTCAGCCAGCGTAATAGCTCATTTGGTGGAAGAACTAAACCTCAATGGAATGCCAGTAAGCCATAATCAAGCTCAGGATGAAGCCACCAGAAAAGCTTGACGGGCTTGACTTGCGTGCATGAAGCAAGGAATAGGAACTCCACATATGCCCAAAAGGAAGAAAGAGAGTTGAGATGACGGTATGGTACGAGCAGGAGAAGCTAGCTGATGTTCAGCTTCAAGTTCGGGTTCAAGATGAACTTTTCTGGAAATCACAACAATGCGTCATTTCATGGAACGCGACCAGGATTGCGAGGATGCCCAAGGCAACAAATCTTTCACGTGAAAAGTCGCTGGGTCTTCGGCACGGATTTTAAAAGGCAGAATCGTACTTCGACGGCGATTGCTACTCGCTGCTATCGGAGCTATCCGATCGGGCTCGAGGAATTGACAGCCAGGTCCTGGCCTCCGGGTCTCCGCCTGCAACACGAGTGCTTCGTGGTCAATGTTGCGCATCTTTGCCACGCTTTTCGGAAGTAACCATTGCGGAGGATTTTTTCTTAATTGGTTGTTATGTTTACCAAATCGACAAACCATGAGCTCCGACCAATTGAATGAGAGGTAAAAAAAATTCCTGGGTGTCTGCAGACTCGAGAGAAACTTCCATGCCTGTAAACTACCAAGTCAGACAAGCTATCAACGCAATAGCGATGATATTGACAATGGCAGCAAGATGCGGCGAGAGGCTATTTGCCTGATCGTGTAGAAAATCACTTCAATCAGTATTCGTTATGAGCTTCTTGTGATTGGACAGACATTGATAGCATATCGATGGAAAAGAGGCTTTGCTCTTTCGAGGCCGAGGCTGTAATCGCAGCACAAAGAAGTGGATCTCCCAGAAAGGCCAAAGAGTGTTCATAGACCAATGACAGTAAGGCCTCGTGCCCGCAAAGCAAGAGCTGTTGCTGGCCACAGGCGCACCAATCAACGAGGGTCAAAAGCACACTCCATTTCTACCTCTTCTATCCGCAGCTCGAATTCACACTTCCTCTTTATTAAAGCACCCTCTTCTCTCCACTCAACGTGTGAATCTGCAGCTGGGTCTGCGGTGAATATACACAGTACTGACAGAGCTACTGAGAGACCACAGCCAGCATGCTGTCCTCCAAGCTCTTCGGGCGAGTGTGCTCGGTAAGTACTGAATGCTGGTTGACATCATACCAAGTTCGTTATCAGCTCGCATGCCAGACTCGACCACTACGAGCTGAAGCATGGCGCAGTTGTTATTCGAATGCGAATGATGACTTAATGTTACTCATGGCTAACAAATCTTTTGCAGCAGGGAGCCCGCATGGGTAGCGTAAGCAGCTATATCGACCACAATCCGTGAAGCAGAGGAGCTAACACAGTAAGCCTTTCAAGAGCCGAGCTACGTATGCCACCGTCGGCGATCACCCGTTGGACCAGAAGGTTGAGATGACCAACTGGGAGAAGGTGAGCATGATTAGGGTTGCTTGAAATACGAAGCTGGACTAATCAGTTCTAGGGTCACTATATCAATTACAAGTAAGCAGTTCCGCGGATCCAGGTTTCATCAAAATACGAATTGGTTTTGGACATTCTTGAAGAGTAGAATTAATAGTGGAACAGGAAAATGTCAGAAAACCTCGCAATAGTACGAAAGAGGCTGAATAGGCCACTCACATACGGCGAGAAAATTTTATACTCGCATCTGGACGATCCAGAAGGTCAAGACATCGAGCGTGGAGCGTCCTACCTCAAATTACGACCCGATCGAGTGGCTTGCCAGGATGCTACAGCTCAGATGGCCATCTTGCAGTTCATGTCCGCTGGTATGCCTTCTGTTGCGACTCCAACTACCGTCCATTGTGACCATTTGATCGAAGCTCAAATCGGAGGCGATAAGGATTTGGATCGAGCAAAGAGCATCAACAAAGAGGTTTACGATTTCTTGTCATCTTCATGCGCCAAGTACAACATCGGTTTCTGGAAACCAGGTTCTGGCATCATCCACCAAAGTGAGTTTGTCCTTCCATACTGCTATGATCTTCTGCTGATTTTCCGCCAGTTGTCCTAGAGAACTACGCCTTCCCAGGTGGTCTTATGATTGGTACCGATTCTCACACGCCCAATGCTGGTGGTCTTGGTATGGTCGCTATTGGAGTCGGTGGTGCTGATGCTGTCGATGTCATGGCCAATCTTCCGTGGGAACTAAAAGCTCCCAAGTATATTGGTGTGAAGCTCACCGGCGAACTAAGTGGCTGGACTGCTCCAAAGGATATCATTCTCAAAGTTGCTGGTATCCTAACTGTCAAGGGTGGCACAGGCGCTATCGTTGAGTATCATGGTAAGTCGTTCTGTTCCCTTGTTCGTTCCGTCTCAATTCCAATACTTTCTGGCAACCTTGTCCAAAATTGCAGCCATGTTTCAAGATTTCTGGAGCACGCCAGTCGTCATTCAATCGTGACAAGTCTTTCTGCATCGCGAGAAGGTCTGAAGACTCGGGCCTACTCCTCAACTTTGTTTCAGAAGATACCAACCCATCAACCCCACACGAGGTCCAGAAAGAGCTCGGCCTCAATTCATATACCCTGTTGCATTACTCAAAGTTTTGCGTCGAACAATCCGCTTACCACTCATTAGGTCCCGGTACGAACAGCTTGTCATGCACGGGTATGGCCACGATTTGCAACATGGTAAGTGCCCTTCTTGTTGCTATTATCCTTCCTTTAATTGACGTTTTTAGGGCGCTGAAATTGGTGCTACAACCTCACTCTTCCCGTTCAACGACCGCATGTACGACTACCTCAACGCAACCAAGAGACAGCATATCGGAGACTTCGCACGAAAGTACGCCAACGAGCTACACGAGGATGAAGGTTGTGAATACGACCAGTTGATCGAAATCAACCTGTCCGAGCTCGAGCCACACATCAACGGTCCATTCACTCCCGATCTAGCCACTCCTATCTCCAAGTTCAAGCAGGCTGTCATTGACAACAAATGGCCTGACGAGCTCAAGGTTGGTCTAATCGGATCCTGCACGAACTCGTCCTACGAGGACATGTCGCGAGGTGCCTCCATCGCAGAGGACGCTATGGCCCATGGAATTAAGTCGAAAGCCCTGTTCACTGTCACTCCTGGCTCCGAGCAGATCCGTGCAACCATCGAACGAGACGGACAACTGAAGACCTTCGAGGACTTTGGTGGTATCGTTCTTGCCAATGCTTGTGGCCCATGTATCGGTCAATGGGATCGAAAGGATGTCAAGAAGGGAGAGCCAAATTCTATCCTATCCTCTTACAACAGAAACTTGTAAGAGATGCTCGCCAGTCATATAGACTTGAAGCTGACCGTCTTTCTAGCACCGGACGTAACGACGCCAACCCTGCCACTCACTCGTTCGTCACATCACCAGACCTTGTCGTCGCCATGTCGATTGCAGGAAGCCTCAGTTTCAACCCATTGACAGACACTCTGAAGGTACGTTCACCACCGTTGTCAATTGGTTCCTTTCGCTGACATAATGCAGGACAAGGATGGCAACGACTTCAAGCTCAAAGCTCCTACTGGTGATGGTCTTCCGAAGAATGGTTATGATCCTGGTCAGGACACATATCAACATCCGCCCGAATCTCGAGACTCCGTTGAGGTCCAGGTATCACCTTCTTCTGACCGTCTACAAATCCTCCAGCCATTCGATGCCTGGGATGGAAAGGATGCCACTGATTTGCCAATTTTGATCAAGGCCCAGGGCAAGACTACAACCGATCATATCTCTATGGCTGGTCCTTGGCTCAAGTATCGAGGTCATCTGGACAACATTTCGAACAACATGCTGATTGGCGCTATCAATGCTGCTAACGGTGAAGCCAACAAAGTTCAAAACTTCAAGTCTGGTGACTGGGACGCTGTCCCAGCCACTGCTAGACAGTACAAGAAGGACGGTATCAAGTGGGTCGTCATCGGCGACTGGAACTACGGCGAGGGTTCGTCACGAGAGCACGCCGCTCTTGAGCCAAGACACTTGGGTGGTTTGGCTATCATTACACGATCGTTCGCTCGTATCCACGAGACCAACTTGAAGAAGCAGGGTATGCTTCCTCTTACTTTCGCCAACCCAGAAGACTATGACAAGATCAACCCAGATGATAAGGTCGACATTATGTGCACTGAACTTGCAGTCGGTAAGCCGATCACGATGAAGGTTCATCCTAAGGACGGTCAGTCTTGGGATTGTCAACTAAACCAGACCTTCAACGAGGGTCAGATTGAATGGTTCAAGAATGGTTCTGCGCTGAACACTATGGCTAAGAAGCACAACTCATGAGCATCCAGAGATGTTGCGTAGAGATGAGCATTGTGTGTGGGATAGCTATATTGTGTATTGGCGGAGGAAAACCAAAATCCTTCGGTGAGACTACGAAGCCTGTTTGTTGTGGCAGATGTGTTATCCGGGTCCTTGTGAGCGCGTCTAGCACTGACCTGAATCTGTATCTCGTTTAAGCGCATGTTTGGACGACATTGTCTTGTGTGAAATACAATTATTGACAAAACTGCCGGTTGCATATACGCTCTTTCGTAAAATGATATTCGCTTCGTGGTTGGGTAACCTTTCTTACATTCGAGTCTGGATGATCGCCGTCACAAACTGCCGCGATCCGGGTCAGCAAATTTATTTACCATATTTTTTGTATGTACTAGAGATCCTTTTGCGATACGAACACTCCATATGTCGGTGGCATATAATTACCAGTGCATCAAAGGGTCGACCATGATCTGATGCTGTTCAAAAGGCCCGCGAATTTGTCAGATTCTCTGAAATCTTGCTGGTCACAAGTCTTGCTCATACTGACCGAAAACAAACGTGCTTGGCACAATCAGTCTGCCATACAAGCACAAGAATGCGCTTCACTACACTGTTAGTCTGTAGAGAGGCGTTATTAGCTAACGAATCATAAACTTCGAGGTCGATACCATGACATCCACTCAGACCCTGAAAGAACCCTTCCTCAATCCTGCATGCACGACAATCCTCGTCACTGGTGCGTCAGGCTACATTGCCAGTCATATTGTCAATGAGGCACTCTTACTAGGGTACAGTGTCCGCGGCACAGCGAGGACCCAGGAGAAAGCCACGAAGACTCACAAGACTTTTCAAGATAACCCGCGCTACTCGACGGTCATAGTGTCGGACTTTGGTCATGCCAGCGAAGAGGTTGACGATGCGGTCAAAGGCGTCGATGCTATCGTACATGTGGCTGCTGATATGACGTTCTCGGGCGACCCGGAATCGATTCAGGGTGTGGTGAGAGGAACAGAATTGCTTCTTCAAGCTGCTGCGAAGGAGGAAAGTGTGAGGAGGTTTGTGCTGACGAGTAGTAGCACGGCTGCTTTGTGTAAGTTCTAGATGGAGCGTGCACGGCACGAGTTGCAAATCAGAATGCTCTGTAACTAATTAACAAACTCGTAGTACCACTACCCAGTACCGAGTTCACCGTCACCTGGGACACATGGAACGACATCGCTGTCGAGACCGCTTACAACAAGCGTGGCGAATCAATCGGACCAAACTCATATCCCTTCGTTGTCTACGCAGCCATGAAGACTCAAAGCGAAAAAGCTCTCTGGAAGTTTATGAAGGAGCAAAATCCACCTTTCACTGCAAATGCTATTCTACCTAATATGAACTTCGGTCGCATTCTGGATTCACCTGGTGCAACTGGCTCGATTGTCCCATTCATTTTCGAAAAAGGGGAACGACCACCTCTCACTCCGCAATACTTTATTGATGTGATTGATGATGCGAGGTTGCATCTCATTGCTGCTGTGCTGGATGAGAGTATCGTGAATCAGAGAATATTTGCCTTTGCGGAACCGTTCAATCTGAATGATTGTGTTGAGGCGATCAGGCGTGTGAGGCCGGACGTCAAGAGTGAGATGAAAATTGACGAAGCCGAAGGTAGAGATCTGAGCAAGGTGGCGACTGAGAAGGGCGCCGAGTTATTGCGGGCTTGGTATGGACAAAATGGATACAAGATGTTCGATCAGAGTGTGGCTGAGAATTTGGAGGGCTATTGAAGACGGTGATGTGGTGCACTGTTTAGGGAGCCTTCTTTAAGCATTAAGGCATGGTTGCGCGCCTACTAAAACGTGAGGATCTCAGGAGCAAGGAGCATACCGACTCCGACAAGGGAGAATTGCCACAAGATTGAAAAGAGAAGCACCATACTGACCAAAGCTACGAGCAACAGGAGCTCGAGCTTGTGCACCATCTCACGTCCACTTCTTGCGCTGACCTTAGAAGCGGTTGACGGTGTGCCTAGATAGTTGCTGGTTTCCGTGCCTTGCAGACTCGAGTTCTTTCCACAACTCTTGAGTGTTGATGACGGAATGCTGTAGGTATCCCCAAAAGGCAGACAGCTTGTCGCTATAATACTAGAAGAGTGAATATAGATCTCTCCATTTCTAGCGTATTGTTCGACGCTTGTTGTCCTCCACGTTGTGTGCTTCTGTCTGCAGATACCCGGTTCGGTTTGCGCCTTGGTTTGTAGTTCCAAAGTTTTGTGCTGTATTTCGAAGCCGACGAACAAACGTGGGTGGGGCTTCCGTGCCTTAAGGCAATAAAAGCTCTGAGTAAAGTGGTAAAAGTGAGATTCTTGTGATTTTCAGCCATTTTTACTCAACTTGGGTGTAAGAAATTTCATAGCCTCTTCATAGAGGTACCACTGCCGAAGAATACCGTTAGCTGCATTGACACTAAAACAAGGGAACAACTCACCTGGGCTGCATTGACGATGAATGCTCTCAAACTGCAAATGCCCAATCCGCGATAGAATCCAGTCGCGCCTTCAACACCAGCAATCTCACGCGCTATCTGCCAGGATGATTTCCGTCTGAGCGAAGTTTGATCTTCAGCATGTAGTATTGCAGTAGCTTCATCCACTAGCTGGGATTGAGTCTGCACTCTAGTCTTTATGACGTCCAGAGGGAATACACTTGCCCATGTTACGACCCCAGCTATTCCACCTGCAATCAGAACATCAAAAGCGGTTGGATCATGGAAAGGATCAATTTGTCTTGATAACAACATTCGCTTGGAAAGTTCGTACGACCAGAAATACCAAGCATATCCGAATGAATCACGCATGCTTGTGATAGTGCCTCCTAGGTATAAACCTCGAATCCCACTCTGCCTAAGCACGTGCATTGTTGTTGCATAAGACGAGCTATGGCCATCAATGTTCAATTGCGTTCGGCACTTGATAAGCTCGGTCGGTGCGGATACTACCCAGCATGCAAGCCCACCAATAGCACCAGCAAGCCAGATATTTCCAAGATCAACTCCTGCAAGCTTGGTTGGATCAAAGATTGAAGGGTCCATGAACTTCAGCGACCTGTTGAAAGTCATGAACAGCACTGAGTTTAAAGCTCCATACCCGAGCACAGGAGCTGCGGCACCCCGAAAGAGTGTAGTGAATCGTTTCAGCACATTGTCTTGCACATGTACTGCTGGGGAGGTGAAGATTCGATTTCCTGCCTGCAACTCGGTCTTTAGAATATCCAAGCGATTGCCTATACATATTCCTAAAGCACCGGAGCCATACGAGGCCCAGAAGTCAGCGGACATCTCTGATATAGCAAGCACGGCGTTAAGTAAGTAAGAGAGCTTCTATACGTAGCAAGAAGATACGTTGAGAAGGGTATAGTCACGTGCAAACGCGTCGCCTCAGAACGCGTGCCTGGGCGCGTTGAGTATTTCATGTACTTTCCGCCACACTTCTGGGCTGGAACTTCCTCAACTGGCAGTATGTCTGAGTGATCCTTGCTGGCTACTCAATACCGATTCCTCTTTTTTGGTGGTCTGCAATTCGTGTACCTGCTACACTTACACTCGTTGGTGCCCAGCATGTAAGGCTTGCATTTGCTACCTTCTTCTTTGCCTGAAACTGACTTGATAGGATACGTACCAAGATCATAGAGATCGATAGCAACAAAGAGAATCTACCACCAAACGCACGATCTGGTCGATTGACCGCTAGCTCAGTAACAGCTCTAGACCGATTGAGCAAGCCGTTCAAATGCCCAGGTTCACAGAACGCCCGCAAGTCAAATGGCGAGCCAGCGAGGAAGAGAAGAAAGGTCAACTATTCCGAGGATGCTGTGGCTGGCGATGACAAGGATACTGGCTACACAGAAGGAGGCGTTGTGCTTGTCAAGAAGTTCCCGGTTTTCCAGGTGAAAGATCGAGACACAATCTTCCGAGCACGATTCGCTGTACCATTGATCAACAAGAATGAAGGCGGTTGGGACGCCTCACGGCCTGCTCCTAGCTTGGGCATGCGCCGTGGCAATGGCTTTGTCAACAAACCTCTTCACGACCCAAGTGGTGAGTTCGCCATTGTCCTCTACGACCCTACCATCGATGAAAGGCCCGATCCTACGAAGGAGGAAGGAAAACTGAAAGAGCAAGAAAAGCCAAAGTTGGACGTTCCTATAATGCACAAGAGTCTGGCGGAGATCCTGGGTATCAAGAAACAAGTCGAAGGAGAGCAACCGAAAGTACCAGTAGTGATTGATCCTCGTCTGGCCAAAGTCCTAAGACCACATCAAGTTGAAGGCGTTAAGTTTTTGTACCGCTGTACGACTGGAATGATCGACGAGAATGCTAAGGGTTGCATTATGGCAGATGAGATGGGTCTCGGCAAGACGTTACAGTGCATTGCTCTGATGTGGACTCTACTCAAGCAGTCTTCACAGGCTGGCAAGTCCACAATTCAGAAATGTGTCATTGCTTGTCCAGCTAGTTTGGTCAAGAATTGGGCGAACGAGCTTACCAAGTGGCTCGGAGCAGGAGCACCAACACCATTTGCTATTGACGGCAAAGCGTCCAAGGAAGAGCTTACAGCTCAACTACGCCAGTGGGCAATGGCGTCTGGTAGGCAGGTAACTCGGCCTGTACTCATCGTGTCGTATGAGTCACTGCGACTCAATATCGAAGAGCTCAAAGACGTACAGATTGGTCTAATGCTCTGTGACGAAGGTCACCGACTTAAGAATGCAGACAGCAACACATATATGGCTCTGACAGGCCTCAAGGTCGATCGAAGAGTCATCTTGTCCGGAACACCTATTCAGAACGACTTGACAGAATACTACTCATTGTTGGATTTTGCAAACCCTGGCTATCTAGGGACCAAAGCCGATTTCAGAAAGAAATTCGAAATACCAATTCTCCGAGGTCGAGATGCGGCCGGCTCGGATACCGACAAACAAAAGGGACAAGCAGCAAATGCAGAACTCAGCAGTTTGGTTAAAAAGTTCATCATTCGCCGGACAAACGACATTCTGTCAAAGTACTTGCCTGTAAAATACGAGCATGTCGTCTTCTGCGAGCTAGCTCCATTCCAAATGGCTCTGTACAATCACTTCATCCAAAGCCCCGATATCAAGAGTCTTCTACGTGGTAAAGGCAGTCAACCTCTGAAAGCCATCGGCATTCTGAAGAAATTGTGCAATCATCCAGATCTGCTTGATCTGGCGACAGATCTACCAGGCAGCGAACATTGCTGGCCTGATGATTACGTTCCCAAAGAGTCTCGTGGGCGTGATCGAGATGTGAACCCTTGGTATTCGGGCAAGTTCATGGTCCTCGAACGGATGCTGGCACGGATCCGACAGGATACCAACGACAAAATTGTGCTCATCAGTAACTACACTCAAACTCTTGATGTCTTCGAAAAGATGTGTCGAGCTCGAAGCTACGGCTGCCTACGTCTGGATGGTACCATGAATGTGAACAAGCGGCAGAAACTCGTTGACAGGTTCAATGATCCCAATGGCGACGAATTCATCTTCTTGCTCAGCAGTAAAGCTGGTGGTTGTGGTATCAACCTTATAGGTGCTAACAGACTGATTCTGTTCGATCCTGATTGGAATCCAGCTGCTGATCAGCAAGCTCTGGCCCGAGTCTGGCGTGACGGACAGAAGAAGGACTGTTTCGTATACCGGTTCATGGGCACTGGCACCATCGAGGAGAAGATATTTCAGCGACAATCACACAAGCAGGCTTTGTCTTCAACAGTTGTGGACTCGGCAGAAGACGTTGAGCGGCATTTCACTCTCGAGTCGTTACGTGAGCTCTTCCAGTTCAAGCCGACCACAAAGAGTGATACTCATGACACCTTCAAGTGCAAGCGTTGCAATTCGGACGGTACACAGACCACCAAGGCACCAGCAATGCTTTATGGTGATACCAGTAGCTGGAACCATTTTGTGAATAGTGGGGATGCAGGGCCACTTGGTAAGATCCAGGACTTGTTATTGCGGCAAGAGGCATCGGAGAACGCTGTTACTGCTGTATTCCAGTATATCAGCCACTGATTTTCTTGTGACCCGAGCTCGATGAGATCATGAACATAGATAGCTTAGACATGCTTTCACCGCAGCAAATACAGCGAGTTTGGTACAAACCCTCACATAATACAACTTAGAACACAAGTCTGGGTGCCTCGTGACCTACTATTGCGCTTTCTGTACTCGCCGCACACCAAGTTTGGTAGGCTTGTCGTATCCATGAACCCTGTTTGTTGTGTTGCAGGAGCGCCGACAAGCGACCTTGCCCGATGAGGCAGACATGAACCACTCAACTTGAAACGCATTGTTTTTGTCCATGGTCATGTTTGATCGACCCCATTACTACCAGTACTTGATTCCATTATTGTAACACCAGATCTACCCGGCCAACATAACATTGGTCACATATCTTAGATACTCAATACTATCGACTGTTTGCCAACATACTGATATCGATGATTTCGTGTCTACCTCTGCATCATGGACGCCAACGTCCAACGCTTGCTAACAGATAAGCTCTACGACAAGCGGAAACAGGGGGCTCTCGAGTAATCGACCTGCACAATTTTTGTAGACAATCGCTAACTCGAATAGACTAGAAAAGCTGATCCGAGAATCACTCGCAACAAAGGACCATGAGAGAATACGAAAAATTGTCGATCAGTTGTGCCATGAATATGCCTATGCTGTTCACCAGCCGTATGCACGCAATGGCGGCCTCATCGGCCTCGCCGCAGCCTCTATAGCACTTGGTTCGGTTCGTGAGCCTCCATGTCAACATTGGCAAAGCTTACGGCGATTAGGACGAGGTTGCCAGATATCTGAACGAAATCGTACCGCCGGTACTCGCGTGCTTCACAGATCAAGATGCACGGGTCAGGTACTATGCGTGTGAGGCCATGTACAACATTTCCAAGGTGGCTAAAGGCGAAGTCTTGGTATATTTTAATCTAATATTTGACGCTCTATGCAAGGTAATGCTCATGCTCTGACATCTCTGGCCTAGCTGACAGGGATAGCTGTCCGCCGATTCTGAACTCTCAGTAAAGAATGGTGCTGAGTTACTGGACCGTTTAATCAAGGACATCGTTTCTGAATCGGCCGCTCATTATGTATCAATACTCAACTACGATGAACAAAGGCAAGAGAAGGTGGACAACGACCGGTCCTCACAACAATCGAGTGACGATATAACGCCGGCCTTCTCGCTCGCTAGATTCGTGCCGCTTCTCGAAGAGCGCATCCACGTTCTCAATCCTTTCACAAGGCAATTCCTTGTGGCTTGGCTATCTCTCCTCGATACAATACCCGACTTAGAGCTTGTTCACTATCTGCCATCCTTCCTTGGAGGTCTCTTCAAATTCCTTGGCGACCAGAACAGGGATGTGAACATTGCAACCCAAGGACTCCTAGAACGTCTACTCGCAGAGATTGTCAAAATTGCTAAGATCAAAAGAGACGTTGCGGAGAGCCGGAGAAGTCGTCAATTTGCTCGAGTGAGAAGGGATTCTGCAAGCCAAACTCAAGCTACATCTTCAGACGGTAGTGCCGTTGATGACAACGCTGTCGAGTCAATTTCTGATAGTGACGGAGAATCCAACGGGGACTGGATCCCTGGCCAAGACGTGGAGATTGATCATGCTGCAATCCTCGATATTCTTCTCAAGTTCGTTGATCCTTCGTCCAATGACGAGTCTTCGTCACTCCTGCGAATAGAGGGATTGCCGAAGCAGAAAGAAGAGGAAATTGGGATTGTGGCTCTGAGATGGATTGAGACTTTCTTCGAAGTTGCCTCTGACGATATCTTGACGTTTATTCCTAGGTTATTGGGACAGGTATTGCCTGCCTTAGCCTCTCAATCAGAAGCGTTCTCCACACAAGCCGGAAGCGTCAACCGAGCCCTGATAGACTATGTGATGGCTTACGAAGACCAGAACAAACATATTGAAACTCCTCCAGAGAACACGAAGGAGGTGGCGACGACCGGCACAACTGGCCACGGACATCAGAAGTCAATTGCTTCGATTACTGATCAGGACATAGCACAAATAGCGCCATCCGAGAACACAGAGCAGCCTAAAAGTGAAGAGAGGTCACCCGAGGCTGAAGAAACACAGTCCATCGAATTCAAGCACGAGCTAGATTACGCCGAGGCGGTGAGAGTGTTGCAGCTGCAGCTCCTTCACGAGAGAGAAGAGACGCGAGTTGCTGCTATCAACTGGCTCCGCCTCCTACACAAGAAGGCACCGGAGAAAGTGCTAGCTCTGCACGACGGCACTTTCCCTGTGCTGCTAAAAACGCTGTCAGATGCGGCCGAAGCAGTTGTTATACAGGACCTGCAGCTATTGTCTCAGCTCTCGAAGCACAGTGAGGACAACTATTTTTCATCATTCATGATAGCATTGCTGCAGCTTTTCTCAACAGATCGTAAACTGCTCGAAATTAGAGGCAACCTGATTATTCGGCAACTATGCATCAATCTCAAGCCAGAACGAATTTATCGAACCTTTGCAGATTGCATCGAGAAAGACGAAGACATTGAGTTCTCGAGCATCATGGTCCAGAATTTGAACAACAATCTTATCACCGCACCTGAGCTCGCGGAGCTACGAAAAAGGCTTCGAAACATTGACAACAAAGATGGACAGGCATTTTTCGTGGCGTTGTTCAAGGCGTGGTCGCACAATGCAGTGGCAACATTCTCGTTATGCTTGCTCGCGCAGGCTTACGAGCAAGCGTACAATCTTCTCCAGATCTTCGCTGATCTGGAAATGACTGTGAACATGCTGATACAAATTGACAAATTAGTACAGCTGCTCGAAAGCCCAGTCTTCACATGTGAGTCCGAACCATGTGATGCTTGAAGTATTTACTGATCTGAGCAAGTTCTTCGTATTCAGCTTCTTGAGCCAGAGAAATACCCTTACCTCTACAAATGTCTCTATGGTCTTTTGATGCTCCTTCCGCAGTCGTCGGCATTTGCAGCATTGAAGAACAGACTCAACAGCGTGAATGCGATCGCACTCCTACATGTGCCTCCAACACAGCCAACATCGGCTAGAACTTCGTATGTACTTCTACAAAAGCCCTACCTCACCCCTTTTCGCAAATCGTGGCATTGGTATTGAGTGCCTACTTACGAGCGCGACCACGTTGAAGTTTTGATGGCTAACGTCTTTTCCGCGAGCAGTGTTGCTGCCGGGTCTAGCATACCCGGATCATCGACAAGTACGGTAGGACGCTTGGCAGGCCGACGCGAGCCTGGACCAGGAAACATCAATACCACGGGAGAGGTCAGATGGCCTGAACTGCTAGACAAGTTCCGAGGCACACAAGAGAAAGCCAGAAAAAGGAATGAGAGACTGCTGCGAGGCGGAGATGATGACGACGACGAGTTCGAGAGTATGCCCAAAATAGAAAGACGAACCAGGGCTCCAACTCAATCAGCAGATACAGATGGTCAGCAAGGTAGGATGAGTGGTAACAGTGGTCGGCAGAGTGTTGACATTGGCCGACCGGGAAGTCGCTTGAGCATGGAGCGAGGAATGGTGGGCACAGGTGCAGGCTTCGGGTTGAGGCAGGCACCTAACAACAGCTCACAACGACCAGTTGGCACTAGAATTGAGAGACGACCTGACACAGTTCCGGCAGCGGGAAATAATGATATATACAGGCCAGCTCACAAGAGTCGGCACAGCTTGATTGGCAAGTTTGGGATTAGGAGTACAAGCAAGGACAAGGACAAGAAAGAGGAAAGGCCTGGAGGACAAGGAGGCGCTGGGACTGGATTTGGCGGAAGTGCATTGAAAAAGGGGCCTTGAACTCACCTGGATGATCAAGCTGGAAGGTAACAAGGAGCTAGGGTGTTCGGGAACTCGATGTAGCTTAGTCGCAACAGCAGCAAGCATCACTCTTTGCTGACCAGAGCCTCCTGCTCTCTTTCCCATTTCTCCCTAACTCTTCTTCTCATGCCTCCATGCACACCTCGACCCCAGATCTCACTTTGCTCAACTTCGGTGTCGTCTGTGGAAACCTTTCCGCCTCGTGATCCCCATGCATCAACAGCATCACCTTCGTCGGTATACTCGCCAATGACTTCTTTCTTCTCTCTTTTGCGCCGTTCCTTCCGCCGGCTTTCCTCCACCTTCCTCAAATACGCAGCGTAAACAGCAACTTCCGCAATGCCCACAACCAGTGCAGTCCCCAAAGCCACTAGTACCCTGATGCCATCATTTGGCCACCATCTCGTGACATGCCACGCGACCCACGCGCACATGGCCACACTGAGAGACATATTCAGCACGAGTGAAGGCGAAATATCGTCTGAACCATCTTCGTCCTCGACACCGATCTTCCCTGACAGAGCCTGCTGTGATTGTTCCTCGCGCTGTTTAATAAGCAGATTGTATTCCTTTCGTTCCTGCTCGACGCGCAATCTTTCCATTAGAGCCTTGTATTCCTCTGATGGTTCGGGTTTCGGCTCTGGCGGAGGTTTGTAGATGCTTGTTCCGCGGAGGAGGGTGTTTAGAGTCTTGCCGCTGTGTTTTGAGAGAGTGATGAGTGCATTGTGGGAAATTGAGTTGGCTGGTGTGGATGGGGTGGATGGGGACGACGGGTACTGGGAGTGGAAAGTTGAGTTGGGAGGGAGGGTGGAAATGGTTTCGAGGATTAGAGGGGTGGTGGTTAGGAGGACCATTGTGGATGAGTGAGATCAATACTGACCACTATGGGTCAGAGTATTGTGTGTATAAGGATGTGAGTGAGAGACTTGTTGACCATGTACTGGAAATATATGAGGTGAAGGTCAAAGTGAGGCAGTCGTGACCTGACCCAGTATTTTGGGGGTGGCTCAGGGCAAGCGCAGCCTAAAGCACAATTAGTTAGTGAGCAGTAAAGGAAGGTTCCTATGCTTAATCGTTGTAGAAGTGGTTATCGATTAGCGACGTCGCTGCCTCCACAATTTCGCAAACACCGACTGGAAGTACTCGTGCTCGTCGCGTCGGCCATGAATAGTTCCCAGTCGCAGTGCTGTGTTACATGATCAGAGCCTCTGTCTTCGACGATACTGGTCATTCAGACTGGTGACTACCACGCGATCATGCTCAGACGCACCTGCCAGATTGTGCGCGTAGATAGCAATTGCTGTCTGGACCGGCAGCGACTTTCCTCACCAACTTGAAACTTGACCAGTCCACAAGATGGCAAAGCTTTCCAAGGATAGAGCTGTTACCTCGCAACAAGACAGCTCTCACTTGAGTACTCCTCTGGTGAGCCGACCTCCTCCAGCCACAAAACCCAACTCGATGCTACCACCAAAGTCGCGACCGAATACAGTACCGAGCAAGCGACCACAACCCAACAATGCGGAGGGGAGTCCTGCGGTAGGATCGAATCAGAAGAAACGCAGGCGACGTGGAAGAAAGTCTAGCTCAAGAGGATCGTTCAGCGAAAATGCTACTACAGCTAGTGAAGATACTGCTACCACCCGGAGCACGAGGTCTCTTGGTAAAGATGCTCAACCAAAGGGCTTCTCCGTGATAAATCCAGCTCTCAATGAACTCCGCCAGCAAACATTGCGCGACAAGGAGCCGGAGATGTTTGGTGAGTATGCAATGAGCGTCGCTAGTGAATCCGAGACGGATGCAGCAACACCTGTTCCTTCACGCAAACGCAAATCAAGCCCACCCCTCAGCGTAAATTATAGAGCAGCTCAGAAAAAGCCCGCAGACAATCAGAATGAAGCTCTCGTTAAAGACATACCTCATCCTGCAGTCAAACCGCAAGTCATTTCTGATGTGGCCTCTTCAATACCAGTGGTGTCCGAGAGTCCAAGTGTTGAAATTACGTCTCAACCTGCCCCTGTATCAAGAAAGCAACCCCAGAAATTGTCCAGCAACAGACATCCATGTCCTCTTCGGGCGGAGCATAATTGCACACGAACTTTCGCCGACCTTGAAAATGCCCAGCGTCATGCTCGGGTGCATAGCCAATCTCTGACTTGTCACATCTGTCAGAAGACTTTGTCACGAAAAGACAAGCTCAAAGCACATCTTAAAAACGTCCACACCCCTGAAGAAAGAGCTGCTGCCTCAAATCAAACAAGTGCGGGTGGCCAGCTTGTGGCCAATAACGGCACCAATGGCACCTCGACCACTTCGCTGGTCGCAAATGGCAGCAAAGAGGTTGAGCACTCGCCTTCCAAAGACGAGAGTATCAGATCAGATCCATCGCGTGATGTGCCCGTTAGCACCGTTGAGCTTGCCGGTGAAGTTACCGATGCCGAGTCTGAGACTGAGACAGATTCTGGTAAACAAGAGACACACTCCGAAAAAACAAGAGACACCACTGTTTCCTCAGTAGCGACGAATCGTGCCTCACAAGAGGAGTCCAGCCAGGATGCATCGAAGCAGGATTCACCGGAGATGGAGGACGATGCCTCTCCTATAAACTCCACTATTCCTGATATGCCTAATTCATCTTCTGCCACTGATAGGTCATCTTCCGTAACCAAGCTGTACAATACTACCTCGGCGTCATCCAAGGCCATCAACGGCGTCAAAAGAAAAAGGCATACGTCGTCATCAACGGCTTCGGGGTCGAATTCAGATAGACCAAGCAAACGCCCAAGATCGGAAACCACACCATTGCCGGGCAACAATTTGTCCAATGCTAATCAAGAATCCGACACGAACCACTCGTCACCAGCAGAAGCCAGTACAAGATTGCAGAACCAACCATCCTCCGCGGTAAACCAACAAAGTTTGCAAAGCAAGGCCGGCTCGACTATCTCCGTGGCTCAACCTAAAGAACGTAATATCCGCACTTCATCCTCTTGTAGTAATAGCACAGCACACGAGGGTGGTTTGCAGGATGGAAACACGGATTCGGAATCATCTGTGCAATCCGACGCTGAGGCTTCAGAGGCAGAAGATAAGACACGAAGACTTAGCACCAAAAAGAAACGGCTTGTTGGAAACCTCAACAATGCCTTGTCGCGGCGTCAATCGTCGTTCGACAGCCATGTTGAGCGCTCTGAGACTGGGTCGAATCATACAAATGCAGGCACGTCAAGTCGGAAGGAATTGACTATCAATGTGCCTCATCCTCCTCCTCCTAAGAAACATAAGTTTCTACCTGCTGCTACCAGACACCCTACTGCATCTGCCCAGCAACCGGAAAAGAGACGGCCTAGCCCAACCTTAACACAAAAGGGCAAAGAAGCTGCTGATCAGCGAAGGTGTTTCAGATGTTGGTGTAAATCGTCGCGGTGTGACAACGCAAAGCCTAGATGTAATCACTGTGCAAAAGGAGGCAGGAATTGTCAATTTTATAGCATGACTAGAGAGGCTTTCGAGAACGAGAAAGCAGATCGAAAGGCGGCTAAGTCAAATACAGCAAAGGCAACTGCCACCTCGTCACCTAAGCCTAAACGGAAAGTGAAGGACAAGGGTCTGTCGGCTGTGAGTGCATCCGCTGCCAACAAAGATAGCAAGTCTATCGAGGAATTACAGCAAACCTTGGATGAAGAGAATGATGACACTGACCACGAGCCTAATACAGGACCAAATGTTCGTCACAAAGCAACAACCGTAGCTCGACGGACCGCAAGCTTGTCATCAAACAAGAAAAAGAGTGCCACCATTCGCAGCGAGTCTAGCGTCAACAACAATTCTGTTGCGGTCAGCAGCGATGATTCTGCCTCTGAGGCATTCAGCAAAGATCGAAAAAACACCCGCCGTCCACCTAACTCAGAGTACAACTTCAAAGAGCTGGCGAAAATAGGTGAAACAGGAAGGATGAGTGACGAGGAAGTTCATATTCTGCTCTCTTGGCGAGACTCATTCTGTGAGGAGCATGGTTTGTCTCACCATGAGTTTAATGAAATGATGGAAGTATCTTGTCATCGAGGCACAACTAGTTGGCGCTACAACTTCATCAATAAAGATGAGTTCATGAGACAATACTATGATCAGCTACCACATCGCAATCGTCGGTCTCTGCTTCGCTTTCGTGAACGCCGTTTTCAGAACGTTGAACGAGGAAGCTGGACAGAGGACGACAATAAAGAGCTTCGACAGCTTGTCGCACAATTCGGACCAAAGTGGGTTGAGATAGGCAGGATGATGGGTCGGACTGCGGATGATGTAAGCCAGCGTTGGCGGCACAGACTAAATTATGGCCATGAAATGCGCTCAGGCGAATGGACTGATGACGAGATGCAGCAACTGGAGAATGAAGTAGAAGCTTTTGCGGTTTCTAAGAACACGACTACCGACGATACAGATCTAGTTATCCCTTGGCAGGCCATCAGCACAAAACTTGGTAATGGCAGGACTGCACAACAATGTGCGAACAGATGGAGACTTAGTACGACAAAACTGGTTGGCAGTACGTACGTGAAAGTTCCCCATAGCGGTCGTATCCCTAAGTCTGTCACCAAGGCACCGAGAACACCAAGCAAGATGGAACAACGTCTATCTGGCCACAAGAAAACCTTCAAGTCAAAAGCAAGGATTGGAGACCGGTCGAGCTCGGCTAGATCGCAACCGAACGATCGGTATAAGTCTGCGGAGCGTATTGTGGAATCAGATGAGTCAGAAGAGGATGTTAATGATGAGGATACCAAGGATGAGGGTGATGCCAGAAACGAGGACTCCAGTCCAGAAGACGAAGCAAATCAAGGTTCTCGTCAATCGGAGCAGTCAGACACAGATGCTGAAGAAGCATCGCCAGCCAACCAGGAAGACGATGAACAATCGGACGATGGTTCAGACCTTATAGAGGTCCAGGAGTCGTCTCCTCAGCCGCGGCCGTCGAGTGCAAGACTCTCACAAAAAAGCAAGCCTAGATTTACGGCAAAGATGATGCCACCTCCATCTCCTCCTAATCGACCCCAGCAAAGTGCCGATAAAGACACCCAAGAACTCATAGTACAAAAGTCAAATCAATCAACTCCTGTCAAATCTCGGAATCCATTTCAAGGTGTCAAGCCTCAAGGCAATCAGCCGAGTCTCTCCCAGGTATTTGCAGACACCCAAGCTCAGTCTAGTCAGCGAACTATAGGTGGACGTTCTGTCAGATCCCGTGTTCCTGATAGCATTGCTGAGCGACCTAGTCCAGATACAAGTATTCGGCATCGACCTCTTTCGTCACAATCAAAGCAGGCGGAGTCCGACAGCTCTGAAGAAGATACAGAGGAGGACGAGTCTGAAGGTGCTGATGATGAACTCAAGAGTCCAAACTCTTTCAGATCTGCTAGGGAACAGTCTGAAGGGTCCAAACATGAGGTCGATGGAACAACCAAGGACAACTCGAAGCAAGGTCAGGATACTCCGTCGAACTCTGAGAGTAGCAGTGACCCAGACAATTCTGGTTCTTCATCCTCGGACGAAGACAACGCTGCTCCAAACAATACCAACGGGCTATCACAGAACGCGTTCTGGACTGCAGTCAACTCCTTCACCAGCAGGTTCATACCTGGCAGTCAGCGAAGCATGACAGAAACACAGAAGGACAATATGCGAAAGAACAAAAGAAGATCTCTTGCTGACGCATTGAACCAGAGACATGATGAAGACGAGAGTGATGAGGATAGTGATGATGGATGATTAGTACAATTGCTATTTCACTCGCACGTGCTTCACGTACATTACGTATCCGTAGCATTCGATTACATAGCTTTTGAGACGATATGATACCCATTGTATGATACCAATGGTCCTCTCGTGACCTGCCAAGCTGTTCAACATGATGTTAAGCGAGTGTATGCATCAAGCGATTGGCGATGTTCCTCTTTATCAATAGTTGCATGCATATACGAAGCACAAAGCCCTTCCAAGCAAGGACTGGTCATGATGTCTTCTCGTCGCAAGGTCACGGTCACGTAAAGATTATCATGCACCATCCGAGCATATAAATTCGTGGCATTATGTATATGCCTTGACCTCTATCGACGCTCGAATGACTACGTTATTTGATGACTCACACAGCATAGAAATTCCAAACACCTCAACACATACACATGTACACACTGTCCGATCTTAGTCCCTTGATCTCAGAGCATAAAGAAGAAAATGGCACCCCTCATCCTAAACTACAACACCCTCGACGTCTTCACCATAACCCCCTTCACTGGTAACCAACTCGGCCTCGTCCACCTTCCCTCTTCCCCTTCCCTCTCCCAAGCCCAAAAACAACAAATCGCTGTAGAATTCAATTATAGCGAGACAGTCTTCTTGCACCACAAAGACTCCTCCAATGATGATGGAATCTACGAAGCACAAATCTTCACCCCGAAATCCGAGCACCCGTTCGCTGGACACCCGACCATCGGGACCGCAGTGTGGGTTTTCGAGAATTTAGAACCGCGAAGAGAGGAGATTGTGATTAGATTGAAAGCTGGGGATGTGAAGTGTCGGTATGAGAGGGGGAGGGGGTTGGCAGGTGCGAGGATTCCGTTCGATGTGCGGGTTCATGGGAGGGGCGTGGGGTGGGACAGAGTTGTGGAGGTTCAGGAGGGTTCGAAGTGGAGAGATACTAGTATGGGTGAGGGAAGTACAGTGCCATTAGTGAGTATCGTCAAGGGTATGAACTTCGCACTTGTAGATCTAAGCGCAAATCAAAAGTTACTGGATCAAGTCAAAGTCACGAAAGATGATATCCTGCGATATGAGGACTTGGATGAAGGTTGGCAGCAGGAGGGATTACTAGGGAATGTGTTTTACTATGTACGTCCGGAACAAGACGACAGGGTTGTAAGGATCGCGCAGCGGGTCATTGTGATTGAACTTGAGGATCCGGCTACTGGGGCGGCCAGTGCGGCGTTGACTGCGTACTTGGCGTTGAAGCGTGGTGGTGCAGGGAAGAATTATAGTTTTGAAATTGATCAGGGGGTGGAGATGGGGCGAGCGGGCAAGATATTTGTGGAGGTGGGGTTGAATAAGGCTGGGGATGGGGTTGAAAGCGTTGAGTTGAAGGGACAGGCGGTCGAAGTTATGAAGGGGACTTTGAGGATGCAGGTATGAGGAGGTATAACGGGCACCTCATTGTGCTGTGGCGTCTATCCCGGAAACAAGCTGGGGAAACACATGATCAAAACGTGCAGATCGTGCAAGGGGCTCATAGGCAATGTTTGTTGCTTCAAAGGGTATCGTAATTTGATCATCTGGCTACCTCTTGCCACTGGCTTGTGCCTAATTCCGACTCCAGAGCATCATTTGTATCAGCTTCTTGGACGCCGTCAGCGTCATGTGAAGTTTCCTCAGCTTCATCGTCACGTCCATCACTCACATCTTCTTCAGCAAAACCTACTGTCTTTCTTCCTGCTCCGTCTTTATTCTTCGCAGGCTCAATGAGCACATCTCCTCTCCAAGGCCGACATCTGGTCACAGTCTCACCACATCTCAGACAAGACCAGCCAGATCCTTCTTCGCCTTCGATCTTAGTGGCTAAGCATACGTAGCAATAAATACACGCACAGGGCATCGTCTCGTAAGGATTCACAATATCTGTCTGCACACTGCCGATAATGCCACCACCTGCGCCAACATTAGCGCCCAGGACTTCTGCTTCGGAGGTTGTGCCAGGATTCTGCTCAGCGTAGCAGATGGCACAGGTGCGCTCTGGTAGGAAGGCAAGCGGGCCGTGCTTCTCCTTTTCCGCGTGATCATGAGGGCTATCCGGATCAGATGTGACTGATGTCTTAAATTTCCGCCAGGCGCGCGACAACATGCGTCGCCAGCGCGTTATGCCGACGAGGGGAAGCAGGAAAAGGAGGAATTCGGTGAAAGCGTGCCAAACTAGTTGGCGATTGAGGTACTCAAAGCTAACTTCTCGGTGTGTCTGGCTATTTGGCGTGACTAGACGTAATCGTAGTAGACGATCTACAAGAGTTCGGTAACGGCCGTTGATGAGGAAGACGAGGAAGGAGGTGAATGCTGCAATATTGTGGATTGTGCTGAGTTGAGAGGATATGCGGCTCAAGCGCTGGACAAGAGGGCTTGGTCCGGTGTATGAGGACTCAGCCTCGACCAAATAGTCGTTGTATTTGTCCCAAGCATACCGACCTAGCACTGTTATGAGACCATGAAGACTCTTCTGCGCTCGCGAAGGTTTAGCAAGTGTACCAGTAGACGTTATCTTGCGGGCGTCTGTATAGCGTAAACCCTGCAACGAGGCACCATAAGAGGCGTCATTGTCCCATATGCTCAACTTGAACAATATCGCCCTCAACACGAGTAAGGTTTCGTGCGCATAGTCATCTTGTAAATGGGGATTGAAGTATTTGAGCGCATCGGCGATCTGTGACTTGAGTAGAGTAAGGAGCTCTTCGTCGAGGAGTTCAGCATCCACCTGACCAACCCGAACAGTAGGTTGAGTGCCTCGACTGTCAACAAGAACGGTCCATAACGAGGTAAGAGGTTCGGCAGTGCGATTGAGAGGAAACGGAAGACGGCCGAGGGCTGAGTCGTTGGCGAGCCTCTGTTGCACTTGATGCGCTGCTGTCGCTTCCTGCCGACGTGCTTCTTGCCGAGCTTGTATACGTTGTTGAGCTGCGGCAAAACTGCCTCCAGAGGACATCACGATACCATTGTTGAGTGAATGGTAACGAAATGGAAGTAGAAGCAGGAAACAGATTAATCACAATCACATGCCGAGGCAGGCGGCACAAAACAAGTAGCTGAAGTGAGACCCATCTTACGGGTAGATAGCGGTAACTTTCACTTGCTTCACATCCGCTTAACGGTGAACGCGTCGCGAAATTTGCCCTGAGGCATCTAGAAAACAATACAGTCTGACCTGTGGTACGAGCCCTCCAGGAATATGCAACAATTGAGGGTTCTGATTGACGTGCAGACTCGAAATCAAGGAAGTTGAAATGATAACTTCTGAACATGCCTTCGTTCGCGATAGAGGCTGAAGGTGAGACGGTACCTCTTTCTGTCCAGGACATCTATCAGACCTTAGTGAAGACTGCTGGCTCCCAGGCAACACAGCAATCTCTTCAAGTTTCAGCCAAGCAGCTCACCAACTGGGAGAAGACACCGGGATACTACTCTCTGCTGCAAGAGGTCTACTCCGATTTTAGCCTCGACGAAGGAGTTCGCTTTCAAGCCATAATCCAGCTCAAGAACGGCATAGACAGACACTGGAGGAAGACTTCTCATCATGCAATTCAGAAACAGGAGAAACAAAAGATAAGGCTGAAGGGCATTGAAATTGGTGTTCAGGAGCCCAAACCTACATTAGCCCTCCAGAATGCTCTTATGCTCGCTAAGATTGTCCGGATTGAATTCCCTCACGATTGGCCAGACGTTATTTCTATCTTGATACAGCATTTACGAAATACTGGAGATCAGAGTGCAAGTCCAATCTATGTCCGCAACACCCTGAATATCGTACTCCAGATTATCAAAGAACTTGCCACAGGAGCATTAATAAGGACGAGAAAGAGTTTACAGTCAGTGGCTTCGGAACTGCTGCATGTGCTTGGTCAGCTCTACTTTGGTCTGGTGGAGAAGTGGAGGTCTATTCCTGACAGCTCTACTATGCTGAATAGTCATGCCGCATTGAAGACCTTGAGGAGATTGTTGGTTTTTGGCTTTGAGCACCCGCATCGTGAAGGTTCCGTCAAGCAGCTCTGGCAAGTACTACAGGAACATAGTGATTATTTCCTGTCGTCATGGAATACAGATCTGTCTAATATACTGTTGGTTAAACACCTCTTCCAAATCAACAAGCTCTGGCTTGACATGTCCAAGCAACATCCAGCCTCCTTCGTACTGCTTGGTTGCATGGACATTCTTAGACGTTCTTGGACCCTCGTGAATGGCAACAATGCAAAGGAAGCATTGAATCCCAATTTCGACTGGTCCGTGCACAGCAACGGTGATTCCAGTGATGAGCAACTACCTATTGAGAAGATGGCCTTGAAAGCGTTGTTACTCTTCCGGTCGTGTATCAAGATGGTCTTTAATCCAGTGCACACCTTCAAATACCAGTATCCTGACGATAAGGAGGATAGAAAGCAAGCTGTTGATCAGATTAGGTCTCAAGTCTTCACCAACGATTTTGTCTTACAGCTTATGGAAATTCTAGTAACGCAATATTTCGTCTTACGACCATCCGATCTTCGAGACTGGGAAGAAGAACCCGACGAATGGGAGAAACGCGAGGAAGAGATCGCAGATGCATGGGAGTTCTCCATACGATCCTGCTCAGAAAAGCTATTTCTCGATCTTGTCATACACTTCAAAGAATTGCTCGTTCCACGGCTACTCCAGGTATTCCAACAGTATGCAAACGTGGACAACCATGAGGTCCTCTTGAAAGACAGCCTGTACTCTGCCATTGGAACTGCCGCCGCGTGTGTAGAGGATGTGCTTGACTTCAATAGCTTCATCCGCAACACACTTGTGCCAGAAGTGCAGATGGACCAGCCGAATTACAATCTACTGAGACGACGTACTGCTATGGTACTAGGTCAATGGGTGCCCATACAGCCTGAACGTCTAGATCGAGTGGCTGTTTACCAAATATTTGCTTACCTTCTCAACCCTACAGACAAATTGAACGATCATGTGGTTCGTGTCACTGCTGCGCGCCAGCTAAAATTAGTCTTGGAGCCTTTTGAGTTCTCAGTTCAGGATTTCCAGCCGTACGCAACCACTATTCTTGAAAATATTATGCGCTTGATCCAGGAGACTGAGCTATCAGAGACAAAGATGGCCTTGCTAGAAACAGTTCGAGTCGCTGTCACCAAGCTCGAAGATCAAGTCGAACCATATGCAGGAGGCATTATGTCGATACTGCCATCGTTGTGGGCAGAAAGTGGCGAGGAGCATCTGATGAAGCAGGCCATCTTGACCATGATCACAGCCATAATCAATAGCCTGCGTCAGAAAGGGACATCTTATCATCGACCTATCTATCCTTTGATTCACGACTCGGTACAGCCCGAATCAGAAGCCAGCGTGTACTTACTGGAAGAAGCGCTTGAGTTGTGGTCAGCACTCATAGCACAGACACCTACAGAGAATCCTCCCACTGAGCTGCTGGCCTTGTCCATTGACCTTCTGCCTTTGCTTGAACTTGGTTCGGATCACTTACGCCAGTGCTTTGAAATTTTAGAGTCATATGTCGTTCTCTCGCCCGCCACCATTCTTGATCCTCAAGTGTTAACACCACTTCTTGTTTCACAGAAATCAATGCTGCCAATGCTCAACTCCTCGAGAGCGCGCGATGCAAGCATGTCGCCACGTATAATACAAACTCTTGTCCAAACACTATCTGTTCCGGGATATTACACCAACGAAACACAGCAAAATGCCCTGCAGCACATTTTGACCAGCATGGCACACACAGACTACCTGCGCTCGCTAATCGCAAGTTTGCATGAAGCCTATATTTACCATCAGAATCCACGGCCCGATCGAAGGCCACCAGAAATCATTGGAATAGGAGAGACGTCACTATTCACCCTTCTCAGCCATATTATCCTTGCAGATCCATCGTTGTTCCTGTCTGTGCTTGGTTCAATTCATAATCCAGAGAATACCGGAGATGGGATATTATCATGGCTATTAACAGAGTGGTTCCATCAGTACGACAGCACGCCAGACACCCTAAGACGTAAAGTGCAAGTCTTGGCACTTACGTCTCTTCTTTCTGTTGATCCAGCTCCAATGCCTCTGCTAGCCTCTCTGCAATCGCTTTTCAGTATCTATACAGATACGCTAACCGAGCTAGCTGAAGGGACCGCAGAAGAGAATCGTGGCGATTATCTGTACTCGCCGGCCCAGCCAGGAGGGATGCTTCCGAACTGGCCAGAGACAGATAGCCCAGAGGATGTTCGTAAGAGACACATGACAAATTGGGAGGTAGTCTATGTTATCAATACCAGAGAATTTGTGGCAGAGAGACTGAAACATGCAATACAGAACTGTGGTGGGCAGGAGGCGTTTCAGCAGCAGTGGATCACGGAAAGGATAGATCAAGATGTGGTCAAAGGATTTACCAACCTGGGTCTTCTTTGATCGACGGTGCTGTACTTGAAGCATTAGCTAGGTTCAAGATCCAGGAACAGCGGTGGGTATGAGACATCCAACAGTAACAACTTGTGAGTTTGGCCGGAGTTCGATATAGGATGGGACCTTCTCCTGCGTGAGCACAAAGGCAAGGACAAGAGGTCGTGCCCTCCTTCCAATACTACCTACAGCTTTAGAAACCATTTTGAACTAATCTCATGACCACCGACAAGCCGTCTCTATTGCTTCAAAAAGCTTGTGCCTGCGGGTATCCTGAGATCTCGTTCCACAGCACACATTTGGGTCCGATCGTGCATTGTTGTCATTGCACCATTACTCTGATAGGCCAGATACATTCTAGCCCTGGTCAAATATTTTCTCTGACACCTCATTCCTTCAATCTTCGAAAGACTCAGTATGCTCTACAAACATCATATGCTTTCGTGCTCACAACACTTTCAGGCACAAGGGTGAAGGTTCCAGATCTGGTGTAGAAACGGACAGAATGGACATATATACTCGATTGGTACAACGCGTCCTGGAAAGCTCCGAGCTCGGCCAAGCACGCCTGCGGAAGGTTGACGCGGGGTTACCAAAAATGTTGCGAAACTTTCCAGACACAAAAGCACCGAATTTATCCTTGCCTCTGCTCAAAGATTGACATTTCTCTATATTGAATTGCTTTGAGAATTGTGCTTCAGATATTGCAAAGCAGATCTACAACAAACATGGGTTCTATCGACACAAGCAAGACATATGCTCTTCCTGAGAGCCACAAGGATGTATGTGACTCGGTCCGAGAAAGCTGAGAACAGACGTGCTAATATCTGACCAGCTCATGGAGAAGCACTTACCTGAGCTTGACCCGGAGGTCGCTGAAATCATGGTATGAATACCCCAGACTCAATGAGACCATATACTAAGCGGACTACAGAAAAAGGAAATTCAGCGACAACGAGAGTCGATTGTGCTCATTGCCTCTGAGAACTTTACCTCTCGAGCCGTCTTCGATGCGCTTGGTTCACCCATGTCGAATAAGTACTCTGAAGGATATCCAGGAGCAAGATATTACGGTGGCAACCAGCACATTGACGCCATTGAGCTGCTATGCCAGGCGAGAGCATTGAAAGCATTCAGCCTGGACTCCGAGAAATGGGGTGTCAATGTTCAGTGTCTTTCTGGCAGCCCAGCCAACTTACAGGTCTACCAAGCTATCATGAGGCCGCACGACCGATTGATGGGTCTCGACCTGCCTCATGGAGGTCACTTGTCTCACGGTTACCAGACACCACAGAAAAAGTGAGTAGAGAAAGGACTCAGACGTGTATCATGGCTAACCAGATGCTCTAGGATCTCCGCTGTTTCTACCTACTTCGAGACCTTTCCATATCGAGTCAACCTCGAAACCGGCATCATCGACTACGACAGATTGGAAGAGAATGCTATGATGTATAGACCCAAGGTGCTCGTGGCAGGAACCAGTGCATACTGCCGCCTGATCGACTACGCTCGTATGCGCCAGATCGCAGACAAGGTCGGTGCTTACCTCGTGGTCGACATGGCCCATATCTCCGGTCTGATCGCTGCCGGCGTAATCCCGTCTCCATTCGAGCACGCTGACATCGTCACAACTACAACCCACAAGTCCCTCCGTGGCCCCCGAGGCGCCATGATCTTCTTCCGCAAAGGTGTACGCAGCACTGACGCCAAAACCGGCAAGGAGATCCTCTACGACCTCGAAGGCCCCATTAACTTCTCCGTCTTCCCTGGCCACCAAGGTGGTCCCCACAACCACACTATCACCGCCCTAGCCGTCGCCCTCAAGCAAGCAGACACCTCCGAATTCAAGCAATATCAAGAGCAGGTCATCAAGAACGCCAAATCCCTCGAAAACGAATTCAAGAAACTGAACATCAAGCTCGTAGCCGACGGAACAGACTCCCACATGGTCCTTCTCGACCTCCGTCCACAATCCCTAGATGGTGCTCGTGTCGAAGCCGTCCTGGAACAAATCAACATCGCCTGCAACAAGAACTCCATCCCAGGCGATAAGTCAGCCCTAACGCCATGCGGTATCCGAATCGGCGCTCCAGCTATGACATCTCGTGGCTTTTCCGAGGACGATTTTAAGAGGGTAGCGCGCTACATCGTGCAGAGCATCGACTTGTGCAAGAAGGTTCAGAGTGAGTTGCCTAAGGAGGCGAACAAGCTGAAGGACTTCAAGGCCAAGGTTGCCAGCGAGAGTGTACCTGAGATACTGGAGTTGAGAAAGGAGATTGCTTCGTGGGCTAGCTCGTTCCCTCTCCCAGTGTAAGTGAATTGTGCAGCACGAAAACAGTACAGGTTTGATGAAGATTTTTATAATGTGGTATGAAGATTCAACATGAGGTGATTGAACATTATAGGACTATGACATATCAGTGGGCAGGCGTTACTCAGACAGGTGCAATGGTGTACAGGCGCCTGAGTCAAAAGTTTACCTTCGACTTGCGTCCTAAAGGTAGCTCAGGCAGATCTTTCAACATATAGATGTGTCTTTGCTTGAGACAAAATTTGAATATCGTGTGAGCTACACCGGTAGCTTCAGGTCGAAGAATTAGAATCTACGCGATGCAGGGTTGCACAATATAAATGCTACATCCAGGGTCTGTCGATACTCGCGATCGAATCTCCCAGACACCTCGAGGAAAGCATGGGATATCTTACAATTGCCTCTCTGTACATAACTCTTTTTACCAACATACATGTTTTGATCAGTCGTCTTTATCTTTCTCGCCTCTACTGCGTCCACCCTGTCGCCCACCCTGCACGTCCTTGATACCCGCTATCAAACTAAGTTGTTGCAAAAAGTCCTTGGCTCTCTGTGCCGGATATGTCAACTTGCCCTGTTGAGCCGCCTCTTTTCTCAGTCTCTGACCTTCCTGCGCAGCTTTTGAAAGGACGCCACTGATCAGGGCCACTGAACGCGGCGAGTCGTCGTTTCCTGGTATGGGGTATGTCACCCAGGCGGGGTTGACGTTGGTGTCGACGATGCCAATGGTGGGTATATTGTAGATGCCGCACTCGTGCAGGCAGACCTCGTTTTCGACTGGATTGAGGACGATGACGAGGTCTGGTCTTAGAACGCTGCGGTTCTCGTTCTCTAGTGCTTCGGCGTATTGACTTAGCTCTTCGTCTTGGCCGTTGACTACTTTGATGTTGGCTCTGTCGAGGATTTGCTGGCCGTTGGTCAGGCTGCCGGGGATCCAGCGGGAGAAAATGTGGTATGCTTCGGCGCGCAGGGCGGAGGTGACGACCACGTCTTTGGTGTTCTTCTTTGTGCCGACGAAGAGGATGATGCCACCTCGGCGGGCGACTTCTTGGACGACGCGAGCGGCGCGACGGAGGTAGGAGAGGGTTATCTCGAGGCTAATGATGTGGATGCCGTTGCGGATGCCAAAGATGTAGGAGCTGTTTCCAGGGTGCCACAGCTGGGTGGCATGGCCGAGGTGGCACTGGTTTGCGAGGAGCATTTCGAGGGTAACGGTGGAGGGCATGGGAGGATCTTCAATGATGGTGCTGGGATGGTAGACACCTAGCATTTCTGTACCATGAGCCGTGGCTTCTTCCTGAGCTGCTAGAGCGGAATTCATCGCTGCGAGACTAGGGTATGGAGCTGGAGGCAGCGCGTCCTGTCCAAGGTATTGCGGCGACTTGTCAACGGGAATGGCGCCATCGTGCTGTGCTGCTTGCATGGACAGTACCTGGCCATGGAGAGAATTGAGTTTCTCAGCTGCTTCGCCTACACTCTCCTCAATCCCAGCCGTGTTTGGAGTACTTTTGTGGCCAACAGCATCGAGAAGAGATGATGGTTCATCAGGATGGCCTGGTATCGATCGTATTGCTTGGTGGTCTGTAGTAGAAGGTCTGTGTACGCGACTGTCTATATTGATCGTGTTTGCGTAGAATCTCCTCCACTCCTGTTTCGTCGACCTTGGTATCGCTGTTCGGCCTGCTTCACAATCAATTTTGAGACTTTTCCAATGAGTTATGGTACATACCATGCCGTACGACAAGCTGCCGTAATATCATTGTGCCGTTTATGCTACCACTCGAGACTGATGCTCTTCATTATTGGGAACTTTCGCAGCGCCAGTCCGCAAGTGAGCAAACAGAGCAAACACCGAGCAGGGCACTCGGTCCCTAGTATTCGAGTCAATTCATGCACTTGACCACTAATCCTACGGCACCAATGTTCTCATAATACCACGAACGCTGTCTTCTACATCGTATTACATCGACCTTGATATTCCTGTATAGTGATGAAATGCTTTATGTTTCAAGAAACCCAGTCGCACATGTCGACAGCAGTCACTACCTGATCAGGATGAGTCGTGCCTGCCTGATAAGCACATATTGACCCGTCGCAAATTCAGCTGATCGCAAATAAGAAACCCTTCACTCTGACCGTCACGCTTTGTTCCATTCCGTGTTTTCCTGCCTTCACCCGCTATACCTTATCACTGATCCGATGACCTACCTAACCAAGATGCCTTTCCTCAACCATGATGCCGATTCTCCTTTCTGAAGCAAACAAATGTCTTCCAAGAAGAGGTGTTCTTACTTTTACGCTACCAATCTTGGTTCTACAAAAACACGGTTATGCTCACTCCGTTGACTCTGACGCCCTTGCAGTCTCAACCACTGACTCATATGCCTCTAATCCAGCAGGCTGGTCTTCCGCATTCGACGCCACAGATGGCATCTATTTATCCCTCCTATCAGGTACGTTTAACATTGAGAATCCCAGCACAGGAAGCCAATACTGAACCGAGCAGCAGAATTCCCAGCGGCGCAAAATACGGAGGTCGTTCAACCCTGAATTTTCCAAACGCTATGGCCGAGCTACCTTTCCACCAGAGAAACTCGTCAAGTACAGTCCGAGATGGGGCTACGCTAGACTTTTCAACTTCCCTTATCCTGGTTCTTCGTTTCGTCCACGGATGAATACAATTGTTGTTCAAGTCCATGGTGTTGCAATTCCTAACAGCAGGACTGATCCTACTGGTCGAGCTGGGGCAGGAATCTACTTCGGTCGAGACGACTGTCCTCACAACATGAACTTCGCTCTTCAGCCTTATATGGTGCAGACAGCTAACAGAGCTATTCTCGAGGCTGTTCGTACCGCCCTCAGCGAGCTCATTTCGATGCGTCACACAAAGCTTGATCCTAGGTGGAAAGAGGTTCTGATCATGACCAACAACGATTATGTGAAACAAAGCCTTGACAAATGGGTATGGGAGTGGGAGCACAATGGTTGGCAACGTATGGGCAGACTCGACAACATCAAGAATTTGGAGACCATGAAGGAAGTACACAATCTGCTAACCTACATCGAAACCATGTTAAACATGGCCGTTCGCTTCTGGAAGGTCGATCGCAAGGATATCTTTGGTGCTGATCGTTTGGCAACCCAGGCTCTCTCCTTGTTGCCTTGACACGACACGCGGGAATAAAAACCATGAGAGTCAGCAAGTGATCTTGTAGCGAACCTTGTCGCTCTGGGATGGGCTTCCCTATTGTCTTCCTCGAGACTGAACGGGAGATAAGGTGTTGCCAGGCAGTTCGTACCATCGTCTCGATGAAATGATTTTCGTTTTCACCTGGCCAGTGTAGGCATCGGTTTGAATATTTATACCCCCACAGACGCAAGATAAAAGAACCAGTGTACGGTGTGGTCCTGTGCTCCATGTCCTTCGCAGATGTCCTTGTGATACGCGCCCTTGCACTTCGTGCAATTCAGCCGTCAGGTGATCAGTATGAGCAGTAGCAACCCTGCTCAAACGATTGGCTGGAACGTCCTCGCCAAACGTAAAAATTCCCTGTGCGCCAATCACAGCTTTGCTTGCGACATCGTCCTCAGCTGGCCTCAGTTCTGCTTCTTACGATTTCTAGAATATCAATCAGTCTCTCTTGTCACACATTACATCTTACTACCTTTTGACATTCTCTAGATCATCTCGTGACATACTGTTGTCTTTGAGTGTTTAGCATGCATCGGTGTTTACAGGGTCAATAAAAGCAAACAGAATAAAAATCGGCGTTTAACAATCCAGACCGTCGTTTCTGTTATATAATAAGCAGAAAAGACTAGATCTTTATCAAAAAGGATTTAAGCGAAGGGAACAGTAGACAATATCTTGGGATTCTGGCCTCGATCAGTCAACCACCATGACGGATACACCAGGTTCACAGGATGACATTCAAAGTGCCAGGGTAGTCTCAGAACACCTTCCCACTGGCTACACTGCTCAATTTGATGGACTACGTGACGATACGAGGCAAAATGCATCTGCTTCAGCACCAGACTTGACAGAGACTCAAGAAGAGTCATCACTGAAGCTACAAGGTGGCGACATTCATCGGGAGCTATTCAGGATAGATCAAAGAGCGAAACTTGCCAAACGGGCGGCAACATTTTCACATCCGCGGGCCAAAACATCAACGACAGGAGATGAGGAGCAACTTACTGCTACTGAGCAGCGTTTGCCAGGTGGGTTTCGTCGAGACTTCATCCAACGCCAGAAAGCACCGATTCTGGCAGCGCGTATACCAGTTACACGAAATTTTGTGGAGTTCCTGAGCTTATATGGTGACTTCGCTGGTGAAGATCTGGCCGATACAGATGATGAAGCTATCGAGAGTGACGAAGAGGAAGAAGAAGAGCAGAACCAGCAACCTGATGAACGTCGACCGCTTCTTCGTCGTGCCACCACTACTCGCAGAAGCAAGAGGGGAGCTGCACAAGGTGACGCAGGTACGACCAAAACCTTCTTTACTCTTCTGAAAGCCTTCATTGGCACTGGTATCATGTTTCTGCCCAAAGCCTTCAACAACGGCGGTATTGTCTTCAGCAGCATGGCTCTCGTCGCTGTTTCTCTAATTAGCATGCTGGCTTTTCACCTGCTTCTGCAATGCCGTCGGCAGATTGGCGGAGGAGGCTACGGTGAGATCGGTGAAGCCGTCGGCGGCTCGAAGATGCGTGGCATCATCCTTGGCTCAATCACTCTTTCTCAGCTCGGCTTCGTCTGCGCGGGTATCGTCTTCGTTGCGCAGAATCTTTACTCCTTCGCCAGCGCCATCTCCAAACAATCAGAATCTCCCATCCACACCAACGTCCTCATCGCTCTCCAACTCCTAGTCATCATCCCACTTTCCTTCATCCGCAACATCAGCAAACTCGGGCCTGCAGCTCTCCTCGCCGACGTCTTCATCCTCATCGGCCTCGTCTACATTTACTGGTACGACATCGGCACCCTCGCCCAACAAGGCATCCACGAATCCGTCGTCCTCTTCAACCCATCCCACTACACCCTAACCATCGGCTCCTGCATCTTCACCTTCGAAGGCATCGGTCTCATCCTCCCCATCCAATCCTCTATGCGTAACCCCGCCCGTTTCGAGCCTCTCCTCGGCATCGTCATGCTCCTAATCACCATCATCTTCACCAGCGTCGGCGCTCTCTGCTACGCCACCTTCGGCATCGACACCAAAATCGAAGTCATCAACAATTTCCCCCAGAGTTCCAAACTCGTCAACGCAGTGCAATTCCTCTACAGCGTCGCGGTCCTCGTCGGCAACCCTGTCCAACTCTTCCCCGCCATCCGTATCCTCGAAAACAGGATGTTCAGAAAGGCCACGCCTGGCTCGAAAAGCACGGCTACGAAGTGGAAAAAGAATGCCTTCCGTGCTCTTCTTGCTGTCTTCTGTGGCGGGATTGGGATTTTGGGCGCGAGTGACCTCGATCGCTTTGTGGCGTTGATTGGCAGTGTTGCTTGTGTGCCGTTGGTGTATATCTACCCGCCGCTGTTGCATTACTGGGGTGTGGCGGATAAAAAGTGGACTAGGGCGGGGGATTTGTTGTTTGTTGTTTTGGGAGTTGGGGCGTGTGTGTATACGACTGTGGTTACGGTTATCAATAGCTTTTTGCAATGAGCTGGCGTGAGCAGTGATTAGGGTCTGAGTAGTTGTACTGGGTGGATAGGCAGGTGTGGTGGTAGCATAGCAGAAGAGTGATAAGTCGTGTCGGCATGAGCAGGATGGACTGAGTCGTAAGCTCTAGTGCTTGTACGGTTTGTACTGGTCAGAACATATATGCTATACTGTACTTGTAGAATATGTCACGGCATAGTGAAAGCACATCGACCTTCGACCTGTCCACGGCACTCTCCTTGGCTCGCAAATGTGTATTCGGCATATATACGCAACAATTCTGTTGTCATAAGCTACTTCAAAGTACTTCATCACCACCACCTTCTCATCACCTATGTAAAGACCTTAGCCTGCGCAACCAGATTCTCAAAAGTCTCCTTGTCGTGACCCGGAATAACCTGACCTCTCGTAGTACGTTCCAGCTGCTTCAATCGCTGTGTGCTCCTGAACCAAGCGGGATGATCTCTAGCAAGCCAACCCTGTGGAATACCGTCTCGCCACTATTTGACTCTGAATTAGTACTGTCTCTCTTTGTTTCGTCTGCGATTTTTCATGGTAGAGACTTACATTCTCGATGACGTGGCAGTGGTCCGAGATGAATAGATATGTTCCCATGACTGGCATGTTGATTTGCATACCGATTAAGCCATCGGTGTGGCCCGGGAGGTGGTGTAGTGTGATGCCCTGGCAGAAATCGAAGGTTCGTTCGTCGAAGGTCTTCCAGTTCCTAGGGGTTGTGTTAGCTGTTTTCTTCCTGTTGTATTTTGGGATCTTGACGTACAAGCCGAGCTTTAGGTAGTGTTCTAGATAGACACCGACGTCGGCACCTGTAGCTACACTCCAAAAGGCACTTCTTAGCTCCAGATCGTGTACCCAGATCTCAACATCTTTTCTGTCCATGAACTCGTCTAAACCGCCCGCATGATCGAGATGTAAATGTCCGATGATGATCTTCTTGATGTCCTCAATCTTGTTACCTGTAGCTTCGACAGCGGCTCGAAGTTCGTGCTGAGGTTCGTAGCGGACTCGGGAGAAGATGTCGCTGACCACTGGACCCCAGACTTCCGGATAGTCTTTCCCGCAGCCTGTTTCCCAGAGGATGAGACCTTCGTGAGGGTGTTCAATAAGGATGCAGTACCTATATAGCAGTGTTAGCTTGGGCTAGTTAGCAGAATTATAAAAGGGCCGTACATGGGCAGTTCTCGTCGCCTGTTCGCGAAGCTCTCGCCCTCCTTGCTCTTGACTGAAGTGTTCCCACCTCGAATGACGAAACCTTCATCGGCTTCGAGCCAACCTACACATAGGACATGAAACTTGGTGCCCTCGGGACAGACGTTTGTTACGTGGCTATTGATCGCGCCCCTGTCGACTTGGCCTTGTATGCCTTTCGGTAGACCTTGAGGGTATGACATGGTGAGTTTTTGTGCTGTTGCTGTCTTGTTGTGGTATCGTCTTTCGAAGTCCTCTACTGCTCAGCTATAATGGTGCGGGATAGAGGAAGCCCTCGGCTGCTCCGACGAGCGTACTATACCCTTCATGACCACCGCTTGTACCTTGTCCCCGCACTTCGTCTGATGAGGTACATTTTGCAGTCTCAAGATGTGGAGGAGCAGTCGAGATCAGTCGTCACGTTGGTGCGGATTACAGTTTCTGTGAGGAGATGGGGAAGTAGCGACGTATCTGCGGAGTCGAGCGATCCTTCTCTTTTTTCGGTACCGAATTAGATTCGAGGCGTCTGTCTCGAGTGTCGCGAGAACGACGTGGAGAGGCCAGAGATCGGGTAAAAGCTAATGACTGAACGATGAACTGTAGTTCAGGCAGCGACGTTGCAGGCACTAGTGTCTGACAATACAGCAGATTTGGAGAAAGGCTCGTTGGCAACGCGACGCGAGAAAAATCATGGATTCAAAAGTGTATGAAGCATGTGTGTTTCAAAAGTGTTTTTGTATGCTATTACTACAATGTATGTTGTCTCAATTCAATTGTCACTCAGTGTGAGGTTTCTAGCACAAGTAGCCGCGGACCTCAAACACATGTCTCGACTGTATCAGCGTCCTCAACAATATGTTGTCCTTGATCACGTCCCGAAGGCTAAGAAACTGCTGAGCAACTCGAGGAGTTCAACCCAGTCCGGACTATGAGTCGGAACTGGTAAGCACTCTCCTGATGAGACGCATGTTTGCTATCTCGCGAGGAATACTGAGCTAATATCAAGGTATTGATCTCACCTTGTGCTCCACCTTGCATCGCGATCACGAACGGAAAGAGGAAAAGACAACGAGTGTTCGAAGGCGAGATTTCATGTAGAGGCCGCGACTGCGATCGTCTAGTTGTAACTCTAGTTTCTGTCTGTAGTGCAATCCATGCCTTTTCAACCAAATAGTTCTTCTGCACCATTGCCATTCTTGTCCACGAAGAGTCTTGACTTTGAAGCTTTGGTCGGTGTAGAAGAAGCAGCTTTTGACCTCAAGGCCGAACGTGGTGCTGTCGACGAGGATCTGGACGCAGGAGCGTGCTTCGCTGAGGCGTGAATGGTTGCCCCGAGTGTATTTGCATCCATGGTGTCCATCATCTTGTCCATCGCATCTAGATCTAGCGACTGATCGTTGGTTTTTGCGACTGCAGTAGCCTCAAGGTTGCTTCGTGTTCTGGAGGGTAGATTGAGATTGAAGGGATCGTGGCTTGGCTTAGTACGAGACTTGCCATGGATGATTAGTCGGGAATCAGTCACGACAAGCAGAGTTGGGTTCTGGCTGAAGGACGTAAAAAGACCACCATTCTCAGCCGACTTCGAGACGAGCTTGCCAATGCTCTGTTGGCGCTCCCCAGCCGATCTTATCACGGGCAGAGCCTGAAGACGTGTCTTACTGCTGGACTCTGATCGTCTTAAGAAATCCAGTGATGGAACAAATTCACTAACGGCGTCATGCGACAATATATATGCCTCATCCAGAGACGATGCGGAGGACTGTGGGCAGACTGTGATTTGACCTGTCCGTGGTGAAGGAGAGTGCGAAGACGTAGACGAAAGGCTACCACTGAACGAGAACTTATCAGGCCGGGTAGCTAATTGAACAGTGGCATGGTTTGCACGTGTCTGCGAAGTCAAACCGTCGATGTCCCATACACCCCATTGGGCGTGCTCTAGCAGAGCCAATATACCTTTGCCTTGTGTGCACCACTGTGCATCAAGAATCTGCTTTGGTCGTGGCAAGACTAGGTCGGATAAACAGCCAGCATGCAAGGTCAGTATATTTTGGATGGGGATAGAGGTTGGGTACTCCTTGACAGTGTTTGTATCGTACATCTCTTTCTTTCTGTTTACAACGCCACTTCCAGTAGTATTGAAGATCTTTACCAGGCCCAGGGTTGGGACGGCGATTAGTAGCAAGCCATGTCGGGTGGAAGGGTAAGTGGCAGGTGAGAATGCAACGGTGCTATTCAGTAAAGGCACACGCAGAAATTGCCGTGCTAACAGTGTAGTGCCTACTTCCTGATCTCCAGCATGCTTTTGTAGAGGCAGACGATGTACTGCAAGCAAACCACTACCAGTAGTTGAGGTGGACGCCATCAGAAGTGAATGTGACAATTGGTCCAATCTGGCTCGACTGTGCGATCTTGCACCATCTGCCTTCTCGTTGTACGTGTCTCCTGTCCATGTGACAGCGAGACCAGATATGAAATCATGATGCAATTCACTGCTGGCGACTGGGGTGATTGTGGGAGCCTGTTTTCGTCCTCTTCGTTTGGTGTCATGATCGAGGCTGAGGGACACACAACTTATGGACGAGTCAGCGCAGGCAACGACCACAACCAAATTTGACTCGAGAAACTCGGGTGCTCGAGTCGCTGCGGTTATAGGGGGAAATGCTAGACACACAACGGGAGTATCGTAGCCAACTTCGAGCCAGGTGCTCACGGTGGTTGTTGTCTGGGTGTCGGGCTCATCCTCCCGCTCCAGCGCGGCGTTCAGGTGGTCATTGTCAGCGAAGACCTTGAGTACACTCAATCCCTGGTTGTGACCGCAGACCACGATTGTTGCACCGTCAGTGGACAAGAGCGGATATATTGAGGACGTAAGAGGCTGAAAAGAAAGGTTGAAGCTGATAGGCGTCGTCAATAAATGGCTGGACTGCTAAGGTGCTGGACTTTGGCGCCGATCATCTCCAAATCCAACTCAAGAACAAGCACTCACCTTAGTTGTACACTTTCTTGTGTCCTACGAATTTGAGAACTCATCGTGTTTAAAATTACTTTCAGACTTCGGGTGGCAGATACAGCCACTGGCACGAGCCTAGAATTTGGTCAGTGGAAAAACCAGGCTGGAATGTGTTTGCTGATCAGGAAGCTGCTACTCTACTGTCCCAACGCGTCAAGACGCGCCTGCCGCAATCAAAATACTTCACTTTGTCGTTGTTTCCATTGATCTGTAAAGAACTGCCACAGCACGTCTCAGGTCATGGATGATCTTACATTGCTCGAAAAATTGCACTTCCTGACAGAGATGAAGTATGGCAAGCTTGCAATCCATCGGCCTTCATGAACCAACTGGTTACAAATATCTGGTTTCCGAGGGATTCCTGCCTCAAGACACCGACTCGTCAAAGTATCACTGGACTCAACAGCCATATATTAACGACCAAGGCTGCTGTGCTATAGATGAAGTTGTGAGATTCGAGCATTGTGTTGTGTGGTCGCGCAATGGCTCCATCGAGAGGGTCTTCAATCTCGATATTGAGGGAGAAACCATCCTTCATGCACTTACCACTTGTTTTCCATCTACATCCATTAACGACAGAGGATCTTCAAACCACACAACCAAACAGCCAATCGAGGATAAAGAACCAGCGTTGGTCGTGATCTTGAGAACACAAGCTCATATCTTCTGCCTCTCAGGAGCTATCCATGTGATACCTTTGCATTTCGAGGTTGCGAGAGCCCTGCCTTGCTCTTATGGTTGCATGTTGCAGCCACTCGTTCCCTCGAACGAGAGGCTTGGTCTTGGTCACCCTACAGTCCCGCCTTCAGCTTCACAAACTACCTCTATAACACCTCGGCAAGTTTCCCATCTGTTTGCATCTGGCAATGGTTTCACTCACGCAGGAGATGCCCAACCCAAGGTCGCACCGACCTATTGCATCACTGACTTGCTTTCAGAGATGGGTGTTGTTGCTACTAGTCGATCAAAAAAGATGCGTGATAATGCTGATTGTCCTCTGCTTTCAACAAATGAGGAAGTGCTTTTTTTATCAACAGATGGACATTTACCAGCGACAGGGTTCAACGATGTTTGCATAGCAGTCACTCTCAATAGGATCACTTCGACCTTGACTATCTGGCAGGTCGATTTTTCCAAGTCTTCCATTGCCTCGTCCCGAGCTAAGACATCCGCTACCAACTATCGAAAGAGACAAAGCTCTAATGTGCACGACCTGCCCAGAACTGCAAGTGGAAGAGCTCCGGTCGATGATCCCCGTAAGAGCTTCGGCGGAGTCGTGCAGTCCTTCGTTGATGATGAGCCTAAGCCACAATCTTCTCAGCTCTCCAACATCGAGCATCTCGCTGCTGAGCTCGGTCAAGATTTCGAGCCAGCTGGTGTTCAGACCAGATCAGCAAGGCGTATTAGCTCTATGCTTGCCAGGACGGACCTTGCCCCAGCAACCGATCGTTCGACCTTCAACGATACTAATGTCGCCAGTCGCAAGAGTCTGTCGAGAAATCTCCGGAAAGAAGGCTCTATCGCCAGTTTTACGGAAAGAAATAGCTTTGCGGGTCGCAAGTCCTTTCCTGCGAGGGCATCGTTCGTCTCAAACACGACTTCTTTCCTGGAAAGTGGCATGCGCCTATCTTTCAGCGAGGGTATTGCAGGTATGAATATGGAAGACACTGATCTTGAAGACACTGCCGGCAAGTTTGACAAGGATATGAACATGATCAAGTTGAAGTCATTCACATGTCACAGCTCGTCAGCCGCCAATGGCGTCAACGTCTCTAGAGTGCTTGTCATTCCACATCCCAATGTGTTACAACAGGAAAACTCCCTCCAACGGCAACTGTCGGTGTGCGTGCTAGAAGTTCAACCCCAACTCATGACCGTCGTGACTATAGGCATCCGGAATGACTCTCCCAAAGATTTGCAGCAACCTCTGCTATCGAGGCGCCCAGAGCTGAAGGCCATTCAGATGCACAAAGGCACGAATATTGCAGATGCGTGTCTCGTGTCCGATGGTATTGTGTCCAGGCTTCTTGTACTTTCAAAGACGTCACAAGGGGACGACGTCCTCCATCTGGAAGCTCCTTGGAGTCCATCGTTCCGCATCAATCTGCCCAAGCACTACTTTGTTCACAAACAAGATGGTTCTCTCGACGCCACGAATCGTAGCAAGCACGATGTAGGGCTTCACCATGTCCTCCCAGCAGACCAAATCAACGTCTCGTGCTTCAAGGCAACATTCAACACTTCTCGCCTGGTATTTGCAGACACTTTGCAACGCGACCATGAGCTCCGAGTTGTGTTGCAACCTGAACAATTCCTTGCCCGACGTGTCATCCAGCTTGGCAGATTTTATCTGCCTACGCAGTTACAAGATAGCTTGCTAGTCGCATACTGGGAAGTGGAGTCGTGGCTCGAATCTCAGGACGCCTCAGCAACATCCGACCTAGCTCTCGCTGTCGTGCTCTTCACAATGGCAGTTCCATTTATCAGTACACTACAGACCAAATCGACCACTCCTGGTCGCAAGAAAAAGACGAGGATGAGCAGTGGCTCGTCGGTCGATACTACTAATCTGATGCAAATGCAAGCCCTTGAGAGAAGGCGGGGCACATCTCCTTGGATGCAGAACGCAGCATGGTGCTGGATCAGTAACGATGTGACGCCAAGCGAGAAAAGAACTTCTTCGGCACGTCAGACCCCACTAACAGCCATCGATCTTTTCCAGCCATTCGAGCTGCGATCGTGGCTACTCAAAGCTACTGATCTAACGCGAGACTTTTTACAAAGCCCATCTGGAGAAAGCATGATAGGGCCGGAGGGCTATCTGCCAACAGCGATCAACCAGGACTGGAACGTCCGTCGTACGACTCTCGCAAACATGGTGGTCGCTCTCTATTTGTTGTTAGAAGAGTTGAGGCTGGGACCTGTGACCAATACCGCCATCGTTGACGACAGAGTGACTCTGTTGGCTCTTCTCTGGCAATTGTGCTCTTGGATGCAGTGGCAGACGTGGAAGGACTTTATGCAAGCCCAGCTTACTGCACAAGGATTTGACCTTATCGAATCTGATATTGACAAATCAACCATCGACAACTTGAAAGTGCCACCTGAACCCTTTTCACCGTTACTAATATTCGATCATATCGACAGCAATTTAAGGTCACATCCATCCACTTATCATACCCTGGTGGAACTCGTCCATGCTGCTGGAGAAGCAACGGCTGATGGCAGCCTACTCATCGAGTCTGCAAGACTGCTGCCACATACAGCCAAAGTCCTGGCTATGATAGAAGGTAATAGCCCGCGCATGGAAATACTTCCTGGAAACAAGCATCAAGCTCCCAGCATAGTATTACCTGAAGTGCTAAAAAAGAGTGTTCTTTCGAGTCAACCACGCACTATTAACTCAGGAATCGTAACAACATTCACAAGCAAATACACTCCCACTAAAAGTAGCAATAACCACGCGGCCAATCCTGTATCACATATTGCCTCCCGTGACATGCACGCGATTTGCACCCAAGCACTCGATACTGAGACCATGGGCAAATGGGATGTAGTGACTGAAAACGACCGACAGGCAGTCACAAGGTCAATATTCAGTGAAGACCGACGGTTTCAAGAAGCGGCGAGACTCGTCAATCAGGCACGACCTCCTGAAGTAGAGTACGATCCACAGCCGAATTGGACTGAAGCGGATGCTCTTGAGGCACAGAAACTGTTGGCACAGTATGCCACCAGGAGAACGTTCGCTGTTGTCTCTGGCCGCGGACTAATGTTTTTCAATGCCCGAACACCATTGCTCACGGAGATGGTTCCTCGAGCGCAATTCAGCATGCAATGTGTACTGCGGCCAAAATCAGACACTGAAGGCGGCCAGACAATGACGTTCAGCGCAGACAGGGCTCTGTTCACTGAGGATAAAGTGAGCTGGGCCTTCTTCCATAATGGAGCGTCCGCTGGGTTGACACTTTCGAAGTCGGCACATTTTATTGACACATCTTGGATCCTGTACAACAAGCCCGCAGAATTGACAAATCGTTATGCTGGTTTCCTGTTGGCTCTTGGACTTAACGGTCATTTGAAAACACTGGCAAAATGGGTGGCCTTTAAGTACCTGACGCCAAAGCACACGATGACTTCGATCGGTCTTCTACTTGGCCTTGCAGCATCATACCGAGGTACTGCTGACACGTTGACCACACGGCTTCTGTCGGTCCATGTCACTTGTCTACTTCCTCCAGGAGCTGCTGAGCTCAACTTGTCCCCCTTGACCCAGACAACTGGCTTGATTGGCATTGGACTGCTCTACCATGATACGCAACATCGTCGAATGTCTGACGTGATGGTAGCCGAGATTGAGAATCAGGAGCCTGAGGAACGATCAGGAGATGAACCAATTTTGCGTGATGAAGGCTACCGACTCGCGGCTGGCCTAGCTTTGGGACTCATCAACCTAGGCCATGGACTTCGCCTCCAGAGTTTGCACAGCATGAGAGTTGTTGAGCGACTTTTAGCGATTGCCATTGGGACCAAAAATGTTCACCTCGTGCATGTGCTTGACCGAGCCACAGCAGGGGCAGTCATCGCAACTGCTTTCATGTTCTTGAAGACGAACGATGCGTCAATAGCTCGCAAAATTGACGTTCCCGACACACAGAACCAGTTCGAGTATGTTCGACCTGACGTCTTTCTTCTCCGAACCCTTGCCCGGCACTTGATTATGTGGGACTCGATGCGTCCAGAACAGACCTTCATCAAAGAAAGCTTACCCCAACAGCATCAATTTAGGTTCGACTTGCAGACAGTGAAGAGGCTAGTCACCAACGATTTGCCCTTCTTCCACATCGTTGCAGGTATCTGCTTTGCTTTGGCCCTTAAGTTCGCGGGTTCGCAAAGACCTGACGTGAGGGACTTGTTGCTGAATTATCTGGATCAATTCCTGCGTCTCTCACGCATGACCGCTCTCAGCTACGATGCCAAGGTTACACTCAATGGCATCAGAAATTGTCTTGACATCTTGGCCCTATCGTGTTCAACTGTCATGGCAGGTTCCGGTGATCTCGAGGTCTATCGACGTCTTAGAGCACTCCACGGCCGTATTGATAAAGACACCCCTTATGGTTCGCATTTGGCTTCGCACATGGCTATCGGATCACTCTTCTTGAGTGGTGGCATGGCAACGTTTGGTACATCTAATCTTGCTGTTGCAAGTCTTGTGATAGCTTTCTATCCTCTTTTCCCTGTGGATGTGCTTGACAATCGTGCTCACTTACAGGCGCTCAGGCACTTGTGGGTCCTTGCCGTCGAACATAGATGCTTGATACTGCGTGATGCAGACAACGGGCAGGTGCTTAGCGGTATAGAGGCCTCGATTCAGTTGGAAGATGGGTCGATTTCCAGTCTTCGGACTCCTTGCCTGTTATCCGACCTAGACATCATTAGGGCGATTTATATTGCCCAAGAAAGTTACTGGCCAGTCACGCGAGTCCTTGATGAACTTGTCGTAGCGCCGAATGATGACCAGGCCGACCGTCCAAAACCGCAGACACTCAGAGACATCTACAAGGCCTCATCTTCAGGTATCTCAATCACTCTTCATCGTCTGGCCTCATACGACAAAGCAGATGTTGATTCGTTTGAGGCAAGATTGCAGGCCGAGGACCAAGCACATGGTCTGCCATCCACATCCGCTCCGGGTACCACAGTTACAAGAATGACGCATGACACGTCTTCTCTGCCTACTGTGAATAACCTGACCGGCTGGATTTTTGACCAGGCCGCTTTCAGAAGGCTTGATCATGCTGAGCGGGAGCTTGCATTGTCGAATGCAGCAACGCCAATTAGTGAACAAGATGACTCTGCAGTGATCGTCAAGCAAGGTAAAACCCTACTTGCCACAACGCCTCTTGATACACACTTGGAACTTGACTTAGGGACGCTTGGACCGGATAGGCTGCACGAGCTCATGCGGCGGCCACTCAGTTACGACAAAGTGTGGCAGGTCAAACTGTTACTGTCATGGGCTGACCGGATGGCTAGAGAGAAAGAGCTTGACCAGGATGTGGTGATGGACAAGGACAAAAGTAGCGAGGACGTGCCGGATGCTGGACAGGCGATATGGCTTAAAGAGGATGTTATTGACATACTGAGATGGAAGATCTGGAAGTTATGTCAACCACAGACAAACGATGAGCAGACAGCCGAAGTTGAGTGACACGCTTGGACGAAGATAGGTGAGCAGTCACCTTAAATATTGATTAGGTAGCAGCGAAACTCCTATTACTACCCAAGCATGCGCATGTATAAACGAGCACGAGACGCTACGAGCAGCGACGCATGTACATTAACAAGTCAAAGCCATCCCTCCTTGAAAGCCAGCAAGTTGTAAGTATGTCGAAGTTTCTATCATGCTTTAATTCCTAGTGAGTGGTGGTTGCTAAGCATGATGCTACATATATCTTATCAACACAAATATGTTCTGCATTCGACCATAGGGTTTGGAAAACAGGGGTTCCCGTTCGATCACCCGTACTTAAGCCAGGCGCCGACGAGTTAGTAGTTGGGTTGGAGACAACCAGCGAATCCTCGCTGTTGAATGTTTTGCTTTTTTTTGTGTTCTTAGTGTCCTTATCTCGAAGGTGGTGATTAATATGAGGACGAGGATTTTAGTTTGTTGTGTGAGTACAATGCATAGGATTTTCATTTGAGGATGTGGTTGAAAGGAACTGGGTCGAGGCTACGGCAGAGCATATGTGGAGAGAAAGCTGCGGTTGATCATCGTGGTATCATTACGCATGGGTTACAATCTTACAAATGCGCTTCAACGTCTTTTCACCTAGCGCCTGGTTGCTATGTTTTTTGTGGAAGATGGAGTATCGAGCGCGAAGTTGTTCATAAAAAGATGATTACGATGTGATTGAAGCTACGCCCCACCCCAGGGCCAGGGAACCACGATACTCGGCTCGAATAAATGAAAATTAGACCCCAGGAATGATGTCTCAAGCATGAAAACATGGTCTCTGGTGTAGATTAAACGGTACAACGATATGAGCTTGCCGCCTTCGCCTGTACTCGAGTAATTAGCGGCATACACCTGTTAACGAAGGGGCTAACGGTCACTAGTTACAGATCGAAGTGGAAGCCGCTGCGCCACACTTCGGATTACTAGGCACTTCCTGGTCTACCGAAGCAACAAGCATAGTCGCCCTGTTCTGCTCTACCATATCTTGTTTCACACTCTTACTGTCCTGGTCATCTGCACGACCACTGCACAATATCGTTAGTCCCGTTGCTGAACCGTGGATTGAGAGATATTATTGGTGAGCTCGTAACGGGTCAATTTGATTCCTCCAAGACTTGGTCGATGAGTACCTCTGTGGATCGAGTCGTCGAGGGGTCGCAAGCGAAGCAGATGTATATGCTGGCTGCGATATTGTCCTATCGCTTAATTCTGGTGTCGTGTTGGTGATTTGATCATTGGCTTAAGAGGCATCGGAAGACATTCCAGATCAATGAAATCAAGGAGAAGACGTTGTGGTAAGATGCCAGAAGTATCACTCCACTCTTGTGGTCTCGGAAACAGAGAAGCTGAATGATCTGCCACGGGTCGTGCTAGGTAAAGAACGTGGTCAGTCAGTGAGTAGGCAGGTATACACGAATTCATTGACGAGCTCTTGCCAGTCACATTGGAAAGAACTCGAGGCCACAACTTGCAGCCACGAACCACAGCATTACTCGCGATAAAGCGGTCCAATTTTCTTCCAGCTGTTTCGAAGGTCGAACGCCTTGGAACGAGTAACTCACGCTTCCTTCTAGGAGTAATTCACAATTCAGGGACGTGGCGGACTCATCGCTAGGAAGTTGGACATCTCCAATAGATCCAGCGCTTGCAAATACTGCTCAGACACGCTTTCGTCGCAACGATTCAGGGCATTGATGGTATCGAGCTTGCCGTGATCTTCAGTTGCACTGAAGGATACGAGACAAATTTAGACTGCTAATAACAGTGCTCACGAGCTTGAAAATGGCTGGAACACTGACTCTGGTGGAGTAGTACTGCAGCAACACGATTGCACTTGTGCTCTGAGCGATCCTTACCGTTGCTGTGCCGGAAATTCCCTTGGGATATGGCATGGTCAGTAGACCAGTGCTTGAGGGGAAAGTTGACGAGGCGATAAGGAGAGTACTATGGGGAGCCAATCAGAACTTAGAGCGCTCTTCGAGTGCAACTGGGACGTAGTTGAGGTAGTCGCTCATGAGATCTTAGGCTCACTGCTAGGTGATGGACAGAACGCACCTCGTATTGCCCTTACTCAATTCTAAGATACACTGCCAAATTCTCGAGTATTGTTCTAGTTCATTTAGCAAATGCTTGGGACTTAGAGAAGAGCGAACTTTTCCCTAAGGTTGCAAGACTCATCACTTGCGATCGAGCTCTTCTCATGTTCCTTGAACTATAATAGAAGAACAATGAGTACATCATTCCGTAGGTACATGCCATGGTATATTGATAGTTAGCTGCGTACATTCCAGATCCCAAATTGTCTCTTATGCCATGATACAGATGCTTAGAAGGCCATCCTTTCTTCATCCCTGTTCGAGCACTAGCGGCTTCAAGTTGCTCTTGTGGATGGATAATATGCTGGCAGGCACGCCTGGAGTGCGGTCGACACGAACGATTGCAGGCTAACGACCAACTTAGCCAGAAGAAGAACGTGGAAAAGAGCGGCAAAACAAATATTCAAGCTTAGTCAGGTACGCCTGCGAACCAGTGCAGAGACTGATCATCAGTTGGAAGTTCTGATCGAGAAGCGCAATCACGTTGTTGACCAGCGTCGTGACAACTCACCTGCGCATGACGAATTGGGAAAGCAAACTCCATGTTGCTGAAAGGAGCATCAAGACGCGCTGAATGCAGTTGCTATCGTTGACCTCCTTTCAATGATCTTTCTATAGATGCTTGGGTCCGAGACATGCAGGGCCACAACCAAGCACAGATCAGAGTGGATGGGTCTGCCAGTGATGTGAAAGCTGTTCCATATTCACAGCCGTGGACAATGCGCCACCAAGATCTGGTGGTATCTGAATGTGGTTCTACACGACACCTCACGTGTGCCAGTCGTGGAAAATATCCGGCTGACCGTAAGACAGCAACACAAGTCGAGACTAGAGCGTCGTGGTCTTGGCCAAAAACGTCAACGTCGACGCTGCATCACATCTGGAAGCACACGATGGGTGGCGGACTCACTACCTGACGACTTTCGATATTGGTCACTTATTTCTGGATCCTGCTAAAAACGATCAAGTCTCAGCCAATTTTTGTAAACCTTGGACGAATGATAAACGCTCCTGCAACAACGGGCCTTGCCAGATGCACCTGGTTGAATAAGTCAAGGATTCCACCTCGTGTTTCATAGACAAGTTCTTCCAAACACGGCCAAATTCAGGGGCAGATCTCCCCGCTTAGTTCAAAAAGACATATATCTTGGCAAGATATTTTCTGGGACATTGCCAAGACGATGGAAGGCTCCGAGATGCTAGAGCTCGGGGACGTAGAATCAACATTCATCAATGCACGTGGGCAACGACACTTCCACCAGACACTTTTCGCGATTACGTCTATGCCACGAAGACACACCATGAGCATATGAAGGCTTAAGTACTATGTTGATAGCTAATAATTCAGTGGGCAGGTGCAGACCCTCTCCGCGCTTCGATCCAAAGCTACGCGCTGTCTGTGTGATCGAATACAGCATCTGATCATTAGTACAAGAAGGAAAGCCATAAGCTGTCTCTCCACCCGAACTCCACTGCACAGACCCAATCATCCCTGCATACTCAGCCAATGGTGGACCTCAGCATCGGTCTGATCTATTCGACTAAACCTCGTCGGATATGGCAAGGAACACAAATCTTAGTTCAGTGGACAACTCTCATTCGCTAGAAAGTACGCAGTATAGCACACATGTTTGCCCGCAAAAGTGGCATACCTGAAATACAACGACGCCATGCTTGAGCCAAGCAGTTCTGGCTCAATTGCTGACACGACTTTCACCATGCTGACGGATATCAGATCCTACTGCATCGGAATACCCGCCTTCACATTCTCGCTTCTGCGCCGCAAGCATGACTTGACATGAAGAGGTGCTTGTTGATATTGTTTTCGTACTCCTGCAATTCAGCCTCAGACCTGATTGAGACGTATGGCTTGAAGAAATGTTTTGATGGCTTTCCTGTCTCTTGGCTAATTTCAGAGAACACTCCCGCCACCGCCCTCGACAGCTTCATAGAGCAGCTGAAAGCCTGATCTGGCCCGAAGTTGCTCAGGGGCTATACTTGCTATCCTGCTTGCTGATGTTTCGGTCGTTGAGTTGACAGTAGGGAGTAATGGAGGAGTATGGCGACTTCTTTATAAAGGGACCGAAGTCATGGGTCAAACAACTGGAAACTTTCTATCTCGCTAATCAAGTCACTCTTTCGACCTAGGTAGACAGGCCGACTCGTTAGGTCCTGCTCACCATGCGTTCTTTACCATTCCTTTTCTTCTCGCTCGCTGCTACTGCCTCCATTGAAAACCGCGACAGCACACCTGTCACGACAGCCACCGACTCACCTTGTGCTGGTGGTATTGCTCCTAGTCGGACCATCAAGACTTTGAACAATGACGTCTGGGGAGTTTGCGAGGCAACCAACTTCGATGCTGATATTACCGTCTTGAAGAATGGAGTCAAAAGTATTGATGCACTGGCACAAGCTTGCTCGCAGCAATCAGGTTGTAAATATGCTACACTCAAGGGCGCCAAAGGTCATCTGAAAGAGAAGAAAGGAAGTGCCAAATCTAATACGCTCTTCACTGCTGTCTACAGAATGTCCAAGGGGGACACAGGTCCTTGTGCTGGTAACGCTCCCCCAACCGAGACTTTCCAGACCATTAACGGAGACGTCTGGGGTCTTTGCAAAGATACAACATTTGTTGGTATGGACATTGGATCGAAGAAGCCTCTTGCAAGCATTCATGAGGTAGCTGAGCTGTGTTCGAAACACACAGGTTGTGCTGCAGCTACACTCAACAAGAACAACAAAGGCCTCCTGAAGTCTGCTGGCACTACTGGTCAATACAAGCAAGGTTTCGATTCCTGCTACAAGATTTCGAGTGCTAACCCCTCCACCTCGTCCACTACTACTACTACAACACAGACCACTGTCCCAACCACAAGATCAACTGTGTCTTCTGAACCAACTACAACGCTCTCGACGACAACGACAACAACGACATCGTCCACAACTGATACGCCTAGCACGACGTCCGCGAGCTCAACAACAACTACTGCATCGACTACTACATCCGCATCAATTCTATTCGGCTCAACTTGTGTCATCCCTAATTTGAATTTGGGAGCTCTTTATCTAGCAGGATGTGAGAGTGGCAGCCTGTGCGCTGTCAGAAGCGGGCATGGCATTACGGGCAGTTGTGCGTCCTGTGTACCATTTGATTCCATCTGTATGGATACCGAGGAATGTTGTGCTGGGTATACATGCCATAACCGCCCAGGAGGCTTTGGGTTTTGTGTATCACAACCAGACACCACCACCACTACCACCACCACTACCGATTTTGCTGGAGCCACGAGTAGCTCAAGCACGGAAAGCATCACTACCACCAGAACAGAAACTGCTCTTAGTACAACCACCACTATCGTCGATCAAAGCACCACTTCGAGCACTACTGATCAGGGCACTACCACAACCAATATAGATCAAACCACTACATCTACTGTCATTATCATCGACACTACTACATCTGATACTTCTTCAACGACCGCGGCAGACCCACAGACATCGAGCACAACAATGGAAACGAGCGCGCTTGAAACAACCACTGCTACCACAACCACTTCGCAATCATCTGCGACCCTGCAGACATTCTCGACCACCTCAGACCTGTCCTCGACAACCCAGCAAGAAGATTTCACGAGTACTAGCTCTACCTCTGCTCCCAGCACGACCAGCCCGTTCGATGAAATTACAACGAGTTCTACCTTTACCACCACCACGACCACCTCATTTGAGGATATCCAGACTATCTCTACCTCTGTTACTAGCACGGCCACCTCGCTCGAGGAAGTTCCAACAAGTTCTACCATCACCACCAGCACAACGGAGGAACCTATTGTTACTAGTTCTACCTCTCTGACCACTTCACTTGAGGAAGTTGTCACTAGTTCTACATCGACTGTTTCTGAGGTATCTAGCACAACATTGAGCACTTCGGCTGCTGCAACGACTACTGCCGTACCAGTCTGCGAAGGTGGAGATTATTGCTCGGGTCAGGGCGACAATTGGATTAAGCAGTGTCAGTACAATTATAACGGTGGTGAGAACATCATCTTCTGGACCCAGGGCGTTGCATCACTTGAAGCTTGTATTGAGTTGTGTGAGACCTATGACCAGTGCTCTGTGGTGGATTTCTATCGTGAGGCAATAGGAGTTGGGCCCAATGAGCTCGCTGGAAACTGCTTCCTGTTGTCACATGATCAATACGGTGGAGGCTCTCACTCAGCTATTGATGCTGCATTTAGGTCCGGATCGTGCCAATCTACAACGACAACGACGTCAACCGCAACAACTACGACGTCCTCTGATCAAGTTGTTACTACAACTACCAGTACCGAGTCGAATAATCCAGCCATCGAGACCACCTCAACTAGTACTATTACCACGACAAGCGACGTTGTAACAACCACCAGTGGTCCAGAGACTAGCAAGACCGCTGAGATTACATCGACCTCTACAGCTGAAACTTCGACGTTAACCACTTCTTCGCTCACAACCGTTTCCACAACCTCGTCACCAGAGCCGACGTCGTCGACCACTACAGTCGATGCAAGTAGTTCGACGTCCTTCGCTGAATCTACTTCGGTAACGACCACTGCTTTGAACGGAGTCACTTCTACAAGTTCTTCTGAAAATTCAGATGCTTCGACCACATCCACTCTTTTGGATGTGACCAGCTCGACGACTACTGCGGCAGATTCAACGAGTACCTTGACCACCAGCGAAAGTGAATCGACAACCAGCAGCACAGCCATGTTTCAGAGCACCACATCTGAAATGCAATCGAGTACGACTACCATGACTTCAGCGCCGGCACCAGAGACCACAACAACACATACAACTAGTTTCACAACGTCTACTGTGAGTCCAGACGTCCCAACAACAACAGCTTCCTTAGATACAACCAGCGCCACGAGTTCTACAGCAGCGCTAATCACCACCACGTCTACGAGCGAGAGTGAACCAATAGCTAGCAGCACGGCCACCTCTGAGAGCACGACGTCTGAAATGCAATCCAGCACGACTACCGCAAGTTCAGTCTTCACCACTACTACCACATCGGACCTCGAAGGGATTATCACGACCACTGCTACTACCTCAGGCATCGAAGAGGCCACCACAACCAGTAGCAGTGAGCCCCTTAGTAGCAGCACTCAGTCTCAGACAAGTACCGAGCCAACAACTACAACTTCGGATGTTCTGACGACAAGCACAACCTCGAGCTTGACCACTTCAACAACGGCCCAGATACAGCCGACGACTGCAGTGACGACAGTCGACACGACCACATCTGAGAGCACGACGACCATGCTGTCTTCAACTACTGCCTCGCCTCTTCCAGCCACGACACCGACCACAAGTAGCACTACCACAACCACGACGACAACCACGACGACAACAACATTACCAGCCAATTGCCCAACAAGTGTCAAGGGCGCCAAGACCAAGTACAACCAGCTATACATGGGCACAGGTCGTAAGTATCACTCATCAACCACATCATGAAACCACCAACTAACATACTCACAGATCGAGTCGATTCATCATGGACAGAAGCCGACTACACCGACCAAGGCTACCCAGCAGGCAAAACCACCTTCCCCAAGAAGAGGAAGGAGTGCGACGCCATCGCCCGATGCGCCGAATTCACCACGAACTACCAGGCCGATCCGAGCCACAAGGAGAAATACTGGTCCTTCGACTTGCACTTCGACAACACTGCTGATATGTGGTCATGCACGGCATACTTCGACTATATCCAATACGGCGATTTCCACGCTGACAGCACTGTGGGCGTGGCGTATGGTTATGGTCTGGCCACGAAGGCACGAACTGGTGGTAGTACCATCAACACGGTCAAGAAACGAGTGGTTCGGGAGGAGTAGTGAGTGTGTAGTGACACAGTGGGTACGATCGTATAAATGAAGGATTTGGATTGAAGCGACTGACTTCTTTCGTGTCATTGGATATATTCTCTCTTTTGGTAATATTTCAGGTTAGCCAGCACATAGGCAAAATAAACAGGCAGAATACTACAAGCTTGTGTTTTGCAAACGGTGTTTTCGTAACCTTTAGCTATGGGTATCACTTGAAAGTCACTCTGCTCGTTATCTGGACCAGGTGCTGACCGTGCGATAGACCATTCATAGGGGTGTAGTGTGTCCCTCGGCACTGACAGAAAAATCACGAACATGGGCTTGATCGACTGTGTTTGCGATATTGCCTGTGAAATCTGCAGATCAGGCTTGGAGAAGATAGGCTAATGCTCTATGATAAGCTCGTTGTTCTCTTGGAGTTAGCATGAATTTCGTGTGGCAAAAGTGGAGGCAATGAAACAGACACGGCTAAGCACTTTTCGAGAGCGATGAAGCTCGTCAGTCAGTAGACGATGACTCTCATAATGGCGTCAGTGAATATCTGTTCATGCAATACCGCTCGAACGAATGTTCTCACCTTGTCGGCTTTACCTGGTATGGAATATGTTTCCAGAAGCATTAGCTATACAATCTAATCCGCACCCTCATCATTACTGTCGCGGAAGCAACGGCTGTATGCAACATGAAAAATGCGGAACACTTGGAATCCTATTTCCGAGTCCTGTTGTTAGTCAACGGACGAGGATATCCGCTGTCAGACCCTCGTAACTGCATATTCGTAGGGTTGTGCGATGATCACACGTCTATCATGTGCTCAGAAGTACAATGGATAGAAGCCTGACAGGGTTGCTGCTAGAGCCTGCGGGCTAGACGTAGCTCTTGGCAGAATTCATAGAGTGAAACAGCCATGAATCACAAAAAAGAATGGACGTGAGGTTTCAGTGATCATTGTGACTGGAACGAATACGCAACGGACGCACGAACAGGCAAAGAACAATCTATGCAGTCTGTAATGTAGTATGCGCATCATTGATGAAGAGCGGACCGTTGGTGACAGCCAGGTCGGGTATGAGTCTTCTCTCTTGTCGGGGAAAGGAGAAGCACACAACGAGGACTGGAGAGTACTCACCCCAAGATTGTGATCAAATCACACAACTCTTCGCTGGCCGATGAAATGACCTCGAAAGTTTGCTCGTGTTAAGCTTACGACAACTTGAAATCGCAAGTACATGATAGAAGAGTCCTTCTAGCCCTAAGAAAAGTGTTCGATGAAGCTGCACTGCCACATCGAAATGCAGATCATGCCTCGAAATGTCAGTGGCTTGAACTTACAGCACAGTACTGACAAGCCATGATTTGCCACAGCACGGGTAATGATTATCTCGCTACTGCTGAGTGGGATTGATAAGTTGGAGCTTTCGCGGAAAGTCGATGGGAGAGCCGCATCTCGTGAGGTGGCGTATTTAGTCCAGCCATCGAGCGACTCGGCTCCTCACCTGGTGAGCACAAGCCTGCAGTGCAAAGCCACTTATCAGCCCAAGTCTGCAGAAGTGGATCAAAAGTATGTTTCACGGCAAGAGTTGTTGTGGCTGGGAAATGCGATGACCTATTATGCAGTAGCCTCCTTCGCTAAAAGCCTCCAATTAAGATGTTCGATCGTTGTGGCAGGTGCGTCATGCGCTGGCACGGTTTCATCAGTGAGGGTCGGAAGTGCAAATGCGGCTCTTTCTTTATGCTCGTTTAGTCTTCCTGTCACTCAACTTAATGCGCTTGGGCAGTATGACGATTGCTCGAGCAGCAAAACTGTCACAATGAGAGAGAAAGTGAGTCCAGGCTCAGAATCGTTGCCGTGCATACACATCCCACAGGATTGCATGCTCTGTGCTAACCTACCTGGGCATGTGTTCTCCGCGTGGCCGTCGATCGATGCACAAGATACTTCTGTCACCGCTATCTCTACTCTAAATTTGGAACTTGTTCCGGATCTCCCCTTGGACAACAACTTGCTACTCCTCACTGGCGTGACTGGTGGCAAGCTTTCAATCATCGGTGACAGGCGCCGTTTGCTTGTCTGTTTGCTGTTGAGATAACAACTCAGACATTTACGTGGAATCCACGAAACAACTTCGTACTGGTACTTGTGAATAGCAAATTTTAGTCGATGTAGCCGAGCATCTGCTTGATTTCAACTTCACACCAATCACATGATTGTTTCGTGGTATCAATTAGCGCTACGGTTTTTGACGCAGATGCATATGTTCTCATTGTGCATGACCCGTGGAATGGGAAAACATGAATGCAGAAGTGGAAAACTGAAAACACCATTCGGGATAACAACTTGGATAAGTGATTGAAAAGTTACAGCAATGTCCTGTAAGACTGGTAATGAAATCGCTTCTTTCGGTATGTGCGTGACCCGCGGATGCGCCTTCCAGAGCACATACAGAACCAGTTTCTGCATGAGGCAGGAGTCGCTACATACTTGCCGAGCAAAATGACCATCACCAGGATCGAACATGTTCCAATAGGAATAGTTTGCTAGTGACAATGCCACCAATGAGGGTATCCAGAATGTTCGTGTATCTCATCGCAAATGAAAATTAACTAATCCTGTCCCATGAGTTCAACCGGGAGCGTGGGCCTTGTTCAACGTCCTCTATTAGACCGCACGCTCGACCTGGAATGTAACTGCTTGTGAAGCTCCCGACACCCATGTGGGCATCGATTTTGACAAAATTGCACACCTTAATTGTACTGTATAGAGTGGCTTAGCCATGGGGTATCATAAAATGCCAGGTGTCTGGCTGAAAATCAGAAAGGATATCATAAAAATGCCGTCCATGTGTATCGTGTTCGTAAAGAGATTATGCTGTCAATATATGATACAATCTGAGGGGTCGTAAAATCGTATCGCGGAACTAATAGTTGAGCCACATTTCGAGAGGATCGGGTATCGTGGTATTCGGAGGAGGAGAATCACCGTCAATTCCCGCACTTAGTAGGGGGTCTGAATCGTGCTTGTCTATTACTTCGCTTTTCGCAGGAGCAAATTCGACAATCATGTCTTGTCCTTCCTGCATCTCACGGACAACATCTTCGTCGACGATGATCTGCAGACCTTTGGAATTGACATGCGTCACTCTCGTAATTCTGTTCGGATCAATGCCGAACTTTTCGGATATGCAATGTATCAAATCTTCGACGGTTCTTCGCGCAAGATAAACAGCGCGGTAGTAGGGTATTGCAGCTTCCTTGTCTTTGACGTAAAAGCATGCCACTAATTACATGTTAGCTGAGTTTCCTCGAACCGAATTTGACTTCTTACCTGGCTTGACGGGCCTCTCAGGAGGTGGATCGTAAGTACTGTCGACATCGAGAGCGTAGAGATCTTGCCGACCTATATCAACCTCACGCTTGATCATTTTTGCCGGTCTTTCCGGTGAGGCGCTGCGAGCCTTAGCAGTCTTTTTCTCCTCTGGCTCTTCCTCTTCCTCCTCAATAATGGACTGCTGTAATTCGGAGAATTTTCTCTTCGGTGTGAGCGAGACGGAGCTTGGTGTTGGTGACCCAGGACCCGATGTTGGGGACTCGCTCCCGGACTGCCTTGACTCCCATGTTTTGGCTCGCTCGATTGGTCTTGGCGCATCGCCTCCAGCCAGCTTGACCGGAAAGAGGTCCGGATCGTCCTCAGGATCACCTTTAAGGTACAGGACGCTCATTGGCCGCGTCGAAGAGAACATGTCTTGCAATCCGACAAGCTTCATGTGGAGATCTTCTTCCGCGGAAAGTCTTCCTCCCTCTGCGTCAGAGTCAGCAGACCAACTTCTTTTATGCTTCTGCGTTCTGGAGCGCGAGGAGGCACCTTTTGCCATTGATCCACTACGTTTCCTCTTTCCCACGTTACCAACACCAGCCTCAGCCTGAGCAATCTGCTGCTTGAGCTTTTCGATGGACTTCTTGACATGCGCAATGTCGTTGGAAAGCTTTCTCTCCGCACCATGATCACGGAACAGCTTCACCTTTGCAAAGCAGACTTCTGGTTCATTGTTCGACTTCTCTGGTAAAGTCGTGAGGAGCTCCGTCTTGGAGCACAGCCGGACAGGGATTCCTTTGACGCCTTTCGAGTGACTGAAATCGGTCGACAGAAAGTTAAATCGCACAGATATTGAGCAATCCGCAACACCATTCGTGCGATCATTGGGATGCCAATTTACGATAAAGCCGTCGAATGATGCTCTTTCTAGCTCGATTTGCGGCTTTCTTGTGGTGTCGTCGCCCCCTTGGTTCGGATCCACATACTCAACAGCCAGAAGTTTTCCACCTCTTTGATGGGCCTCATTGGAACCACGACCTTCTCGCCAAAGTTGCCAACAAGCACCAGATTTTGCTCGTTGTTGCTCGTCTTCGAAGCTCACTCTTACGTAAGTCCTATACCTGAGATTCTGGGTAGATGTTGGAGGATTTGTATCGTAGACGGACATAGTATATGCTTGGCCTTTGTTCAAGTATGTGACGGGAATTTCGTCGGAATTACGAACCATGGCAGTAGGCGCATTGAGAGTGGTGTGAAACCGAAATCTACTCATATTGTCAGGAGAGCTTGATGATTGCATTGATTGCACAAACTTTTCACCAGAAGTGTAGCCTGAGACCGAGACACCACTATCATGCTGCTGGATGGGTGGTGGTGCAAGACCCGGCTGTACCTCTTGATTTGGGGTGGGGTTCTTTGACGAATCATCAATTGCCGCATATCCAGAATCTTCATGCTGAAGTCCAATGTAATTACCTGGGTGTGGGAAATTCTGTTGTTGTTGTTGTTGAAGGTGATGATGATGCGATTGTGCATGGAATGGATCGTGGAAAGCTTGTTGTGGATGCAGCAGTTGTGGGTTGAAATGTGTGTACTGCAAGTTTTGATCGCTGGCGTGGAAGGCGTGCATTGATTGTGGCAGAGATAAAGGTGTGTTGAGACCAAGGGCACCCGGAGTGTGAAGATCGCCTGCAGCAGAACTATGCCAGAGAGTGTTGAAGCCACCAGGCGTCGGTGTGTAATATCCTGGAGGCTGGTTGGCGAAGGCGGAAAAGGCGTAGGAACTAGGATCCAACAATGAAGGCGTCAATCGCCATTGATCAGTAAATGGTTTCGGCGTTGTGCCAGTCCCTTTCGGAGCATTGGCGACATTGTCGAAGTTTGATCTACTGAAGTAATCGTCAGTTATGGCTGGTCGATCCGTTTGAGTCGCAAAGGGACTATGCTCATGACTGGATGCCATGACTGCAATGTGTTGACCATGAGATGGAAAGGCAGGAAGCGAAGAGCTGGAAGTTAGAGGTTGGACATACCTATGAATATCAGGAGGATCCACGATGTTGGAATCATCGATAGACGAGGTTCCGAGTTGGGAAGTGACCGGCACACCAGGGCCTGTACCGGCTGAAGAGGTGCCTGGTCCGACTTCAGGGAAAGTCTGTCTGAACGCCGCGTACAGCCCCTCGTCTGGCTTTTGTGAAGAACGTCTATTCGCGAACATAGTTGTTAGTTTCCCTATGCCGGAGAAACGAAGTTGAAGAGCCTATGAGAGCGTAAAGAGAACGGACCGCTTGCGAAACATCTGATGTAGCAGGCTGTACGTCTCAGATGAAATTGCGCTCGAAGTGCCAGTCGATCGTCCAGGCGTTGTCCTGCTTGACGACGAGCCTCAGTTTAAAGATGCCATGAATCAGGCATCACACTATAACTGGTCGTTTAGTAGCGAGTAAAGATAAACAGCCGGGATAGAGTGAGTCTGGGTCGTCTGCACAATGCTGCGCCTACTCGAACGCGTGTGATTGTTAGGGTGGGAGTCGGTTGGCCTGCTCAAGGGGAACGTGCGAATGTCTAGGGAATGAATGGTGGTCGATGAAAACGTTGAAGTTGAATATGGGAAAACAGATCGGCAAACATGCACTTGAAGAGTGAGGTAATGGGAGACCACGTTCTAGGTGAGCTAGATTGGAAAGGTGCTTCAGGTCAGGCATAAGGTAAACGGGATAATTTAGCAGCCCTTGCAAGTGGAGTGTGGCAGAGAACAAGCCTAGCCAGGATGTTACGAGAGGCCAGATGAAAGACACGACTTGCTAAAGCAGTAAGAGAGACAAGGATGCATCGGCTTGTGAGAGCAAGAGCGTGACGAGGTAGGCCGGGCACCCTGGCACCTGTGGCTCGGATTGTGGTCTCTTTGGGTTTGGTGCCTTCTCTTGGGCTGATTGGAGCGACTAGGATCATCCGTCTGAGCGCCACGCAGCTCAAAAATTGCTTCGTGGCTAGTGAACGCCAAATTTGAAGGTGGGTCTTGCAAGCCAAGAGGAGGACGCGCAACTTGAAGAGGCAGTTTCGGATCCGTGAACGCAGTCTAGTCGTGTGGACTACCCCTCGTCGTAGACCGAAGTCTCCTCTCACCGGCAACTCCTCATCATTGTGTAATGATCAGCACACCTGCGCCACAGGGTCTCTAGCCACATTCCAGCCACATTTGCCACACTGTCGTCCTCGATTCGAAGGGTGCAATCGGAGCGCACGAGTATTCGTAGAACCAAGGGCGATGGATGCCAGACGTTCGCATTACGATCTTTGGCCGTTGTGATTGAACTTCTGTTGTGAAGTGCAATCGGTGGGTGATACTGCGTTACCCGCGCTCCTGCCCTAAGGGCCCAATCTCAAACTCGATAGGCTGAAACATTAGGCTGCTAGTAAGGTGAAATGAGGCAGTCCTGAGATCTGGAGAGAAACGTCATTTGCTCGCACATTTGATCACATTTTGTGAGATAGCAGCGCTATGTGCCTGAATTGTGGTAATTTCAGTGTCTTCGAGTGGGAAGCACGTCGACGACCGTTGTTGTGGCTCGGTTTCTGTGCTCAATGGTCCGCAGTGGGTAGCCATTGAAACGGGTGGAAGCTTCAATCCTACGATTTCATTATTGCCTCACGGAACGTGTTGGACGCACTTGCTGGAACATCTGACTGCAAAATCACTGTCCATTTACAAATTTACTCGTCTATGAACACCCTGAATGTCATCTGCAGGTGTCCTGATCTCATACATGGCCGGTTGCAATAGTAACACGTCCTCACCGTCCTCGATCACATTGACGTCAAAGCAGATACAACTTCGGCAGAACCGGCAGTGCTGAGAAGTCGAAACCTATGCCGCAAGAATAACTTTTTACAATGTTTATAAGGTGGATTTGCAGACGATGATACCGTACGCCGATCATCCAAAGCATCTTGACGTCCCCGCCGCATGGGACTGTCGGTAAGGTACGTGCACACACATATCGTGATCAATTTGCAATCTCCGATTATGCGAGTCGGAGCTCGATGCAACAACATAGCTATCGTCTTGCTCTATAACTTTCAATCTGTCTTCAATCTGACAGGTCGGGGAATCGACTCCAACACAAGCAGTTTCACGGAAAATCCCACGATCAAATGAGATTTTGATTCAGATGCTGTACACGCCTAGGCTCTCCAGGTCGCGTCGCTATTACGCGCTGCTATGAAAGACTATGCACTTGAGAACGTATCGGTGGACTTGTCATATTGTAGCCATTTACGGTAGTCAGTAAGCATTCGAGAGATCACTGAGTAAATCTTCAGACTTCAGCCAACAGTAACCTTGTTCTCTGCCGCGGACCAGTAGTTGACGCTACCCAAAACTCTCACCGAAATTATGCGTTTTCCTGTTTCAGGCGTGGCACACATCAGACCACCATTTTTTAGCGACCCATCTGAAGCTTCTGTCAGTGTCGCACTCGTCCTACCATCAGCTGTGAGAATTTGTGTATAGTGCTACAGGGTACTTCAAACACATCACTCTGAGTTCAGGAGATACTGACGTGGGTCCATAGTATTGACGACACCGGCACAGCTTGCTCTCAAAGAAAGTCGGCTATTTCAGCAAATCACTTGAACTCCTCACGCGTCGTGATCGTGCACTGGGGTAGGGATAACGTTCATGACGGGTGTTGACATCGACAAAGGCACAACTCGCGGCAAAACACAAGTGCAATTTTGGCACCGCCACACACACTATGGAACCGACCCTGAAGCACTGTGGCATTCGGTTGTGGCACAGGAGCTGGAATGTTGTCCGGGCTTCCTGGTGTGCAAATGCTGTACCTGACAGCCCTTGAGCGAGCCAGTCGGTAATGCACAGTCTTCGAGTATCCGCAACAGCACCTTCGTGCGGGGTGCAAGGACAGGCGTACAAAGGTAAAGATCGTCTCTGTGCATGTGGCAGGTGACCAGCAACGTAAACATGTTGGATCCTGTCTAACGAATGAATCGCTACTTCAAGGGAGGGGTATGCATAAGCGTGGGTCTATCTGTGGCGCGACCACATGGGAGCAAGCCACAGTGGCTTCTGCAATTCTCAGAACGGTGATCTGCAAAGAGTGTGGTTCAGCTATTAGAGTTCGTACTGGTAGCTTGTGTATTTTTGGCTTTCTGGCCGCGTAATGTCTAGATGTTACTCCGACCATCGCAAATCGGTCTGTTATGTGTATCTGCAAGTGGACACACATCGTTACGAGTACGACTCCTTTTCAACCCTATGTTTACCGAGGGTCGTTTACTATCGTACTTGTGTAGTGGTGAGAATAAGGTGGATTGAGCCGGAACGAGTGTCATAAACCGATGGCAACCTGATCTCTCCTTTATGGAGTGTCTGGCCTGAAACCTCATACTACTGGAGGATTGTCACTGGCCGTGGTGTCTCACAGACATTTGGTGATTTGATTCGTGTCGAGAAACTGCTCATACTTTATTGTCAGGCTCTACGTTCAATCTCGCGTCCTCCTCAATCCAATGCTTTGATCTTCAATCTCTCGGACAAGCGAGGTACCAATTGTGACAAGTTCGCCAATCAGTCTGCTTGCTGTTTCTTGAATCGTCGATATGTTGATCACCACTCTGAAGAAAATACCACGATCTTCTTGACCTTCGAGTGCTGGGGCGAAATCTATCATGAAGCCTCTGGGAATCAAAGCTTTGGATATGGAAGCGGTCATCCTCGAATTGAGCTTTCCTAACCGAGCTCTCGAGCGAGACCCCTGGGAGTAGTGTCTGATCTCTGCTGTACCGTTAAGCAGTCCTTCTGACGGGTTTATTATGCCTTCCTGATCGAGCAGACCATAAGTGAATCTGCCGTTGGGCGTAAAGTAGAAGCACACTTGGAGACAGCTGGGGTCTTTCTCACGACTCAAAAGTGTTAAGTGTTTGTTGTCCTTGACTAGCCTCGACATGTAGCACGCGACATCATAAGCATTATCCACCATTTCAGAGTAGCCTTTAGTGCCATAGTACTGCCAGCACAGGAAGAGCTTGAGAGCGTCGCCTCTGCGCCCACACTGTAGTGTCAAGTCGGCCAAGTCATATGGTGATGCCCAAAGGTCGTCGTCTTCGGACGATCGATGGTCATGGGCATCATCCAGCAGGCTTTCGAACTTATCTATGTCATTGTCCGACTCAGTCTCGTCGTGAAACAAATAACCGGCTTTGAGAGTATTTGCTCTCTGGAATTGCTCTAGATCCTTCCCAAGCAGAAAACTGCAAGTCATTGGAACACCAAGCATCTTATGCGGATTGATCGCAATACTGTCAGCTAATTCAGTACCTTGCAGTCTGTTTCTAATCTGCTCTCGGTTTGAGAAGACAAACCCTCCACCCCAAGCACCATCTATATGAAGCCATAAATTATGCTTGCGAGCAACGTTTGCTATCTCCTCGAACGGGTCAAAGGATCCCAGTACGGTTGTGCCAGCAGTTGCGTTGACATAGAAAGGAAAGTCACCTCTAGACTTTGCCTCCGCAACCATTCTTGAAAGCTCTTCAGGTAGCATCCTTCCGTCTTCGTCCACAGGAACTGTGATGACACTACTGCTACCGAACCCCAATGACTGTGCAGCTTTCTCGATGCTGTAGTGACCGTGAGCAGATGTGAAAAGTATCAATCTACCCTTTACTGCACTATTACCATACGTTCTTGTTTCAGGAAATACAGTATTGCGCGCGATCACGATGGAGGTCATGTTACTTGCTGAACCTCCTTGGACACTGATACCGCCACTTCTTGGACCTCTCAAGCCGAACAAGTGTGCAAGATGTCGCGCCACGTACTTTTCGATCAGGGTAAGAACAGGACTGACCTGGTAGACATGCACGTTGGTATTCAAAACACCAAGAATCAGTTCCGCGAGAATACCTGGAGGCAATGGTGCTGCATACAGCTTATCTAGGAAACCAGGAGCCGAAGTATTGACACTGTATTCTAGAATGGTTTCGATCAATTTGGGTAGACCTTCTAAGCCAGCCCCTGTATCACGTATATTCAGGAAGCTTTCGAGACTGGATTCAAGGTCGTGTTGAGATGAGGATTGAGGATGTACCAGACAAGAATGTGGTCCACGTTCCGAATCGACGGCCCTAGCGAGATGCTGGTTGCGCTCGACATCAGCCTTGTTGACAAAGTCGATAAGTTCGACACCTGCTATCTTGAGCAAGTTGTCGAGCTCCTCAGCTCTACCGAGGGACAAATTCGACATGGTAGCGTTCCCTGGCGAATTGCGTTGATTCAGGCAATAACCTCAACAAGGTATTCACGTGAACTTCTCGACGCTGATGGCCGCAGGAGCAAATCGTATACCTATTTGCAGCAAAAGCCACAGCTCGTTGACCAGGATATTAATGTATAGACTGCTTTTGCGTGTGTGTATTTGCTTGGACTCAATTTCGGCTCTAGCCAAAAACTTTTTCGATGACGCAACTAGAGCATCTTGCTGGCGTTACTATGTAAGAATGGAAGGTATGTCGAGCCATCCTTCAGCCGTTAGCTTTCACTGTTGAAACGTTGTTTCGTTGTGTGCCTCGCTGGTGCATGTGTCGCTCCCGCGCAAGCTCGATCGCTGTTTTCTTTGGTTTGTCGCTTTCTGCTTTCTGCTCAATGTTTTCTTGTCTCTTGGCAAGAGCCTGCCATTCGCCCCTTCGTCGCTGATATACGTCCATGGCCCAGTTCTTCCAAACTGATCTCCCATACTTAGAGTCCCTGAGTCCGTGTTCATGTGCTTGCAAAAGGCTAGCCAGTCGCTCTTTCATAAAATGCGAGCCTTCGGTTGCATGCCAAAGCGCGTCGACAACATGTGAACCAGAGGGATCAACAGCAAGATCTGATACAATATTGTAGAACTTCGGCACAAATTGACGCAAAAATTTGTTTGGGGACTTATCAGATGTCAGAGCAACCTGTATGACATGAGACGAAGTTGCGTTCTTGGCCATTTGCAAGAGGACGTCTTGTTCTTGAGCCAGCAGGCTGTCGTGCACCATAGCACTCAGCTGTCTAGTACGCAACATGGCCTGAGCAAGCAGGGATCCCTGTATATCAGGACTGTGCTTCTGTTGTTTCCGAGCTGCATCGTCAGCTGCACCGTTAGTGGCCGTACCATTAAGCTTAAGCATTTTCTGCAGTAGCTCCGCTTGGTCACTGCCATATATCGTTAGCAAGGCCTTTCCAACCTCTCCGAGATCACCACCTCGCACTTCACAGCGTTCAACAAGGCTTCTTATCACAGCCAAACGATTTCGCTCCACCAGATTCTCTAACTCAGGGACCATGGCAGCAGCCGCATGTGCAAGATCGTCCTTGCCGACACGTTCGAAGATGCTTACGGCAACGTACGACGCGATCTCGTTCTTCGCCAGTTTTCCAATACGGTCTCGGAACAGATTTTTGTACATCTTTTTGAACATCTTTCCAGGGAGGTATCGGACCAGCGTCTGTACCAGATAAGCACCTGTGGAGTCGTAAACCAGACTAGAAACAAACTTGCTACTATCAGACTCTGGCTCGAAGTCCTGATCAGGAATCAGTTTTTGGAGGAACAATTGTTGTTGCTCATGGTCTTCTTCATTTTGTACAAGCTCTAACCTCGTCAGGAGCTGCAGGACAGGACTTCCCGTTGGCGAAGTTGCAAGAGCACGAAGATAGTTCGTGTCAAGGCTTGATATAGCTGAATGCACAAAGGCTCTTAATGCTTTCTTAAAGCTTTTGGGCACCTTCCTGGGCTCACTAGATGCAGCATCAGGGGCGTGTTCAAGCTTCAGCTCCTCCTTGTTGCGACTTGCGATAACGTCTTTGGCTGATGCGTCCTCGAGTGGCTGGCCTGATAGAACGAGCAACAGTACTCTAACAGTATGAGAGGCGAAGCGTTCAGTAAGTAGGAAACCGCTATTAGCCCGGAGCTTTTCCTCGACTTCTAGGAACAACGATTCGAAGGACGTGTCAAGGTCATTTTCCGCTTGAGGCTTAGCTTGAACGTACTTTGCAGCTTGTAGGAAGAGTGTCTCGACACAGTGACTGCCAAATCGATGTTGAATTAGATAGTCCATGTCTTGTTGAAATGCCTGAAAAAGCGATCTGAGTTGACTTGGCGTAGATAGACGAATAATTTTCTCCATATACCTTGAACACGACTGACTTGAAGCGACCTTAATCTCTTTCCCAGACGTCTCTTGATGCACCGCTTCAATGAACCTGTTTCGGTCTGACTCGTCCTCAAAATCGTTGGCGATGATCTTGTTATTGACGTTGGCGTAATATTCTTGTTCTTCCTCGGTAAGTAACCCATAGAAAGTGGTGGTCTGCTCAGAATGGCCAGTCTCGTCCTGCACATCCTGCTCAAAGGGAATGTAGTCATCGCCTGCACCTCCACTTGGCGCGAATGCTTGCTGCTCGTAGTCGATTTTCCTTCGTTTGGCTGGTGAATCTTCCTGTACTTCTGCTTGCCTTCTCTGGTTTTCGGCGCGACGACCGCGCTTCTTCAGTTCTTTCGGCATGCTAAACTGAAACGTCTTACAACAGTTTTATCTTCTAAGGTCGCTCAAATCATTGTGAAGGAAAACAAGGCCACAATGCTAAGTTGAATAAAATATCATGAAGAAATCCGGCGGTTTTCTTTTTGAGCTAGTCAAACAGGCTAACGCGTTTTAGGTATAGTAAGAATTTATGTGAAGCCCCGTAGCTCACGCCCTAAACAGCTCTTTCTCGATATCCGGAGATTTTTGGACAGTAGAGAATGTATCAGTCAAAGAATGAAACAAGAGCAGGCGAGCTGCTATGACAGAAAGAAACCCTGTGCATCTAATATCACATTTGAGCCCGCTACCTCTCAATCGCATCCCACGGGCCCGGAAGAATCTCAACTCTTTCCTCACCCTCAGTAATCACCTCTGAGATCCACTTTACATAGCCTGGAATCGCCGGAAATCGACCAAGTTTGGACATCATCAGTGCTCTCGCAGATCGATCCCAAATATCTTGATGGCTAATAAAAACATCTCTAGGTTTGCTGCTCCTTTTCATGTCGAATCGCAACTCTTTGCTTTGCGCGTATCCGTCAATATGGTGAATGGAGCCGAGCGTCAACCTCTCCTGTACCAATCGAGGCAGTCTACGTAAAGAGGCAATATCTTGACTAAATGATCTCAAAATCGTGTCTTGTTGTGTTTGACTACAATCCGGAGCTAGAAGTTTTCCAAAAGGTGCTAGACCTTTGTGAACCAGAATCTGCCTTACCGATGCGAAAGGAAAAGTGTGCACTTTGAGATGAAAAGGTAGGTTGCGAGCTTTGCATATCGATTTGAATATGCCAAAGACTGCTGTCACGTCAGTGAAGTCATTTTCTGAAAGTCCTGACATGTGCTCAGATAGAGTTTGTTGTTGATCAAGATCAAAGATATTGTGAAGGCTGATGTAATCACTGTCAGGAAGCGCCTCTAGGAGACGTTCATTTTTGATAATGATTTCCTTGAAGAGGTCGAGGTATTGTTGTAAGATCAGGAGAGCCCTAAGTAGTTTTCTCTCGAGCCTCCTGACCTTCTTGCGCCTCCATTGTTCGAGTATATCTTTAGTATCGCTGCGATCCTTGACTGTCAACCGGCCACCAACCTGGTCTGCAAGTACTTTAGCTAAGTCACATAGCGAGACGTATCGATTTGAAATTTGACATAAAGATGAGAAGCTGTGGACTCTGATCGGGATGTTCGTCAGGTCATTTAGCTTTGTGAGATGGTCCGCGAAGTCAATGCATATTGGTCGCTCGCTGGCATGTACCTGGTTGTGCCAAGTCCGATCCGTCATTCGCAGGTTCAACAAGTCTCTCGGTTCCAGCCAGCCGAAAATTAAGTGACGGATTTCGAGAGGCTGTTGAAGTAGAAGATTCAGTACGTCGTGATAGCTGTGATCTGACATTTCTGCTTCGGTTGTGGTGGACAAGGATGTCACACAAGATGTGATTCTGCTCAGCAGCTGAAGATAGTTATAGGGACCATGGCCTGGCACAACACTGTGCGACAGTGGAAGTTGGGGGTTAGCTTGTCCGTGTAATTGTGTTTGTGATCGGGAAACGTGCTCAGTTTGAGGCTGCATTGTTGTTGCAGTCGTGTCCATGAAAGCACAGCTGCCTGCAAATACGACAATGAAGTCGACGAGAGTCTCAGATTGCTATAGGTTTGCTTCTAAGGACACAATGATGGAACATATAGACTCTAATATACAGCATCGCCCTTTGTGAGTTGCTAGGCTGCCAGACTTCAGCCTCAATTTCTACTCGAGTACTCACTCCTCATGACGGTGGAGTATCGTAGCGAAGCGCCGGTGGTGGGTCTGAAGCCAGAAGACGCTAAGATAAGGGCTTATCAATCCTGCGCAAAAAGTTCACGAAGTCGAGGTTCGTAAGTAGATCACTTCACGATATTTCAGCTACATACACAAGCTTGAGCTGCACATCTCCGAGATCATGGCTTCATACGACAGCGACTCATCTGCTGACGACAGTCTTGACGTTCAGACGAACGTAACTCTAGGCTATGCGGCCGAAGCACCAGCTGGCGACGAGATCAGCCATGTTGGCGGTCACCCGACTTGGCTGGACGGGAGTGTCAAACCCTCAGCAGACTTTGCGAAATGCAAGGTTTGCAACAACTACATGTCGCTATTGTTACAGCTTCAAGCAGATCTCCAGCAACAGTTTCCAGATGATGAGCGTAGGCTATTTGTATGGTGCTGCAGGAAAAAGCAATGTTGGAGAAAGAATGGAAGTGTCAAGGCATTTAGAGAAGTAAAGAAGGCGAAACCCAGGAAGACACAAACTCCGCGACCACAGCAGCAGGCGAATGCTAGTCAGCCACAAACGAACCTTGGGAATCAGCTATTCTCAAGCCCATCTTCACCACCTCCGAGCCAGAATCTCAATCCATTTGCAACTTCCTCCAGTCCTATGAACCCCTTCTCAGTCCAGCCTGCCACGAACAGCAATCACCTGTCCGATCTCGCAGCAAAATCACCTCAACCACCAATTCAATCCTTCGCGCAAAAGCTTACAATCTCCTCCTCAAAACCAGAATCACAACCACAGCCGAATTCAGATCCTTGGCCGCCAAACTCCTCCTTTCCACCCCCACTACCACATTTCTACCTAGACGCCGAAGCCGAATACCTCGAACCCGATACAAGACCGACGGCAGAATCCTCCTCCTCAAACACAGGCTACAATTCCCGCATAACAGAGCTAGAAGACGACGGCCCCAGCTCTGCCGCCGCAGAAAAAGATCTATACGAATCACCACATGATAAGACCTTCTCGCATTTCACCAAGATACTCGCTCAGAATCCTGAACAGATACTGCGGTATGAGTTCGGTGGGTCTCCGTTACTGTACAGCTCGGCAGATCAGGTAGCGACACATTTCGTCTTGCCGGGACACCAGCTGCACCAGAAGGTGAAAATGGCTGGACCGGTGAAAGGGATCCCGAATTGTCGATACTGTGGTGCAGCACGGGTATTTGAGATGCAGCTAGTGCCGTGTTTGATCTTTGAATTGGAGAAGGATAATGAAGAGGCTTTGAAGCTTGATGGTCAGGAGGGGATGGAATGGGGCACCATTATTGTTGGGTGCTGTAGTAAAAATTGTGGTGACGAGGCGGAGGGTAAGGTTGTGTTCAGAGAAGAATGGGTGGGTGTGCAATGGGAGGAGAACGTGGATAAGAAGCAGAGGCAATAATACGCGGTCAGGGGAGTTCATACTGCTGACAGAATAAATACTTGCTGGATGTGAATCAGACTCTACACTGCCAGCTGCACTGCTTCTGTAAAAGCTTCGAATACGATGATATCATGCGGCCAGATCTCTCATATTCTATCTCATATGCTTAGAACTGCTCAATATCTATTATAGGTGTTTCCCATCTATGCCGTCTATTTACTGCTCATAATCTCGTTACATGCCTACTGTCCTATTCGTACTCAGACTCTCATTCCTGCACTGCAATCGCACAGATGCGCTGAGCAACATGAAGCCAGTTATATGTCCCCCCTTTGAGAAAAGTGGTTGCAATATGTCCGTTAAAGTTGCAATTATGAATAAGAAACTTGCTTTTCCTGCTGCCTGCAACAAATCATGTGCTGCACGCCGTTGCTCATCCCATCAGGCAATAAGCAACAAGCCATTGTACTCCGCGCTGTGTAAATGCTGGGTATCTATATTGTAGGTTTCGTGGTTGAAAATTTTGTGTGGAATCAGAAATATTATCGTGTGATGATGATTTGCAAACCGTCAATCCATGGACCGCAAGAACCGGATAGGCCGGCTAGTTGATAGCCTCGAGGGGCCATCAGAGTATGTCTAGAAACGTGTCAGCATTGACTAGGTGGGAAATGGTTGGACTTACGCAGAGCCACCTTTTGCGTTTCCAAACATGCCAGATCTGCGGCCTGTGCTTGTGAGGAATTCAATTCCATCTACCCAAGCCCCTGCTCGAACAGCAAAGCCTAGTATGGTTTCGCCTCGTCTGGTATCTACGGTTGTCAGTACGACCGTAGAGAACCGTATTATTCACTTGCCTAGTTGAAACTCAGAAACACTACCACCAGACTTTCCAAAGAGCTGTGAAGATCCGTCCTCGTAGCAGAATTCGATACCGTCCAGAGCCATGCCAGCCCAGACTTTGACAGAAAGCAGTAACTTGTTCTGGTAGATACAGCTTTGCAGGATGATTTCTTGAGGTTTGCTGCCGTTCATGCTTGAATGACCCAGCTTCTTACTCTTAAACCCATATCTTTTGTCCCCAAAGCTCTTTCCAACCATATTCATCATCATACCGTCACTCGGCGCAAGCTTGACGGGAGGCAGGACGATGATATTCTTCTGCGAAAGGACCTCTGCCAAATCATTGATCTCTGTTGAGGTAGAGCTGCCTGACCAGATCTGTAGGGAAACCTTGCTCTTCTTTTTGTCCTCAGGAAGCTTGGATCGGATCTCAGCCTCTGTGATAATGACTTGTCGAGGCAGTACTGCATTACGTGGATCGGCGTTCAGGTATTCTGTCCAATGATGGCATAGATCTGCTCCATCGATTCGAATCTCGATGAAAGCGACGCCAGTCGAAGCCAAGACGATCAATCTACCGCCATCAATGCCATAGTATTGTATGCTGTTGTCGGTCGTGTTGAACGGCTCGTCGCCAGGGGTCCGGAAACAGGGATGATATCTGAAACGCAAGATGTCGAGTCTATGCCAACCACATTCGTCTTCTTGCTTGCATACTCTCATACCAGGAGATTTTGTTCGTGTCGAGTAAGGTTCTCGTATGCAAAAGGTGCGATTAAGGCGAACATAATCTCTCAGCATGACACCTGTCTCTTGATGAGGTGATCCAAGCAGATGACCGACTTCATGTAGATGTGCACCAATGCCAATATTGGCTGCTTCCCAACTGCTTCCAGACTCGTTGCAATCATTCGCAACGTGGCTGGTATCAGTCTTTGTACAATCCGTAAAGGCAGGCACAACCTCCTCGATACAGGAAGGGTAACTTTGCAAAGCATGTGAACCAAATATCGCAAGCTTTAGATCATCACCTCCACCTCCTAGTGCAGCGTGGGCAGTAATGGTCCCAGCTTGCTTGTCCCAATGGGAGTCAAGTATCAAGCAGGCAACATACTGTTTCTGACCGGGTTTGATATTGAAATGTTTGCTAATGGTATCGCCAGCAATACTGAACAAGTCTCCCTTCTTCGAGGCTTGATTATTCTGCTGGGCAAGATTGAGGTCTCTGAGCTCGGCTACGGTCCGATCGCAGCGGACAACATGCACTCTTGTCTCGTTCTTTTGCACGCCAGTCTCCCAGTCCTGGATCGACAGTGTGCCAGTCTGCCATTCCTCGTCGAACCTGAAAGCTCTACGTCCGAACTTGTGTCTGTACATTTGTTCAGCTGTGAAGGCCTGCCATAGGTGTGCAGCCATGCGGAACTTGCGGATAGCCATGCTCAGATCATTTCCCTCGTTCTGTATTCTTGAAGGGGTGGCGTCGAATGTCCCAGGCGAGTCCTTCCCTAGGAGAACCACTAGCTGTAGCGGAGGTGCACTATTTAGAGGTAGGTAGTTGACCATGATATATGATGAATGCACCGAAGGAGGACCGTTACTGGATGAACTCAGCTTAGGAGAAGTAAAATCAAATCGCAGTTTGTTCCAGCCTGGGGAAAGATAGACCAAAGCCTTGAAGTACGAGTCTGACACGGGCCAATTGGTAGATGGAAATGCTTGCCCGTCCTTGTCGTGTTGTACAGCTATATTGCCGTCCATCGGCCTGAGTTGCGGCTCATTAATTTCTCCACTGACGACAATTATTTTTGAATGCACTATAGAACCATCGGAGATCGAGGTGATCTTCGGCGCAAAAGGAGATGTAGGTTGAGTCAATTTCATGACACTAGAAGAGCCAGAAGGAGACATAGCCTGCGAGCAAGAGATTAGCAGGTGTTATGTTGCAGCTGTCTGCCATTGCTCACTATCATGCTGTTTCTGTTCGATTGTAATCCTGCCATGCTAGGTCGTGGTGGCACTGGCGGCACACCATTCACACCGTTCGTCTTGAGGCCTGGTAGATTGGTGTGCGAAGAGGTAGCGGGATGACTCGAAGGGGGTGTGGAACTTGCGTAAGCGGAATTCAAAGTCGAGGAAGATTTCTGAGAAGGAACGCTACTGTTTGAATTCTTGGACGAGTCCGAGGTGCGAAAGCTCGCCCTCGAACGGCGACGAAGGTCTTTGAGAAATGCCATTAGTATTACTGATTAGACGAGTGAACTTCGAGAATAGTTTTTGCAAAGCTGTCCTGCAGCTCAAAGCCGCACGTCTAGCGGTTGGAAGGTTGTTGTAGAAATCCAGAAGCGCTGCTCTCCTCAACTGCTCTTCGTCTAGGTTGCCTCGAGATTAATGCCTCAGTGCTTTGGACAGGCGCAATTGCTCTTTGGCAGGAACGAGTGTGGAAGTTGAGGAAAGCGCATATGGGAGCGCGGATTAGTTGCAAGAACGATAGTAATGCTGGAAGCGACGACGGGTAATGTTCTATCACGACAAGACCAGAGCAGACACTTCCATGAAGCAGAGTAGTCGACAAACCAGCACCACAGTATCACCTTCAGCTGCAAGCGCAGGAAACAGGTTACAGCAGTCTCTGAAAGGCTTGCAAGCGGCATCACCAAGGTCCGCGTTGGCCGCCGAAAGATAACGACTTGCAAGCGCATCTGGGCTCGAAAACTACCACATGCTCTCGCTTCAATTGGTTGAGCCGCTGAGGAAGCAAACAAGCTTTGTTCCTCCAGCAGTTGGGTTGCGGATTTCATGGTACTAAGCCGCCAACCACGGGAGTTAACTTGAATCGATTTAGTTAAACTACTATCATAGTATGGTCGCGCTGAGCACTCCAGCTGATGACGTCTATTCGGATCTATACGTTCCGTCGGTGTTCCATTGCTATCGAGACTGCGTTAGCAACAGCTACATTTAAGCCCCTTCAGGAGCTGATTCAGCGACAGACCTATTTGGCAGGAAGGAAGCGGGAGGAAAAAGGACATCGGCTGTTTGACTAGATTGACGCGATGACTAAGTTCACAAATCTACCTGAGCAAGTATTGGACAGGGGATAGTTGTGAATGAGTATCCTTATCTGGGCGTCCATTTTAGATCCGATCCAATTTCGACATACATTTCATGATACCCATGCACACAAAACTAAGAACACCAGTAGAGATGATGATGCCAGCGACCATCTACGCGCCGATATCCGATTTCACCTTTTCTTTCCCGAAAGGTCCGAAATAAAGATTCTACTTCGATGTTTGCAAGTCAACTGAACGAAGTACCTCAGCAAACACCTTAATATTTTGCCAAGCCTTTACTGTTCCTTCCCCAGTCCAAGTTAGGCTTGCAGAGATTATATCCGCTCAAATGTATTGGTTCAGCAACTTTGACCGATAGTGTCAGACGCAAGTGTGGTGAACTATACGTGCTTCCTAAGTTGAACAGGCTAGAATTTGTCGATGGCTCGACATAGCTGTTATATACTGCCGTGTAGATAGATATGTACTTACGCTGATGAGGTCAGTGCACTAAGAATAGTGTGCTTCAATCATACTGTAACCCAGCGACGGTACTTCTCGGTACGGACAACATTTGCTCTCTCGTCATTGACTCTCCCACGAAGGACTATTCGAGCCATTAACGGAACCTTGACAGGGAAAGGCCTTGCGACAAACAATGGAAATTTTCTCCTGTAAAGTGCATACTTTGATTATTGGCAGCAGCAACAAGTGCAGGTACCTCCTTATAGGCACCTCTCAAATCGTGAGCAGGATTATCTCTGTAGTCGGGTTTTCACAGCCGGAGATCTATAAACCTGCAGCTAATGCATAAGCGAATTCCCAAGAAAATCGCGATAGCCAAACCAATCTGGTATCGTACTTCTCTTCAAGCCGGACGAGAGATTACCTCCGCAAGCTGATCGGCCGATACACCATCTTTTAAGTTACTTTTGAACGCGTTCAAGGCGTCGAAGCGTGACGCTTGGAGCCAATCGGGCACTCGTTGCTGGGCTGCCAGGGCATGGCGTGCGCTGCAGTCTTTCACGCCTACACTGACTCCTCCCAGCCCACCTAGCAAGCGTGTTCTACATCTGTCTGTGCGCGCCTTGGTGCCGTGGTATTACAGCTCTCCTCGATCTGGCCTTGATTATGCCTGTAATTCGTAGCTCCATCTGACCTTCACAACCACATTTTCCGACAGTTCGTGCCTGGCTTTCCTTAATTCATACCGTTATCCACATTCGGTTACCACAGCATGCTCCGTCACTGACAATCTTCTATGTCTCTTTGCGAAATCCTTGTCTTTCACTCATGACCATTTTCACTTGTCTCGGATAGTTGCTGCTTGCTTGACCTGAGCGGCTAACTGCTCCAATACCTCCAACTCTCTTCGAAGCCCCAATGTTGGCAGCCAGTCTCTCCTCCCTTGACACAATGGGCATGAACATGGCTCCTACGCATCAACAAGAGCATACCGCTCACGTGGCAGAGAAGGTGATGAGGAGGATCGAAATAGCAAAGGTACAAACGACCGGCTGCCCTCATACTTCGTTCGCTGACTGTTTCAGGTTGCCAGGAATCTTCAGGATTGCCTCGCTTTTGCAAGCTTTAAAGCTCAAAATGGCTGGCAGGACCGCACTTTGAGCACAATCGAACCAGAATTAGCAGAAAAGCTTGGAAAGAGAAAGAGACCTTTTCCCGACGACCTTCATGCATCGGATTCTTCATCGGGTATCTCGACGACCACTACAACCTCACATCATCCTACCCATTCAATCCCTGCACAGTCCTATGCCGAATCAAGAAAAAGAGCTCGTGCCTTTTCCAACTCCGGAGCATCAAAGCTCGAAGATCAAAGCAACTGGAGACAGACCAATGGACTGACACAAGCTTCACCTATGCTTGAAAGACCCACCACCATAGACTCATCCTTCCCATCGTTGGAGGACTCGCCTATGTTTGATGCTCCCTCTGCTTCGGACGATGAAGACCAAGACTACATGGTACCTTCCATACAGGAACCGTCGAGTAGTATCATCTCGTCATCACCTCCGCGTACCCCTCCACCAGCCCGCCGTAGCCTTGCAAGCACAAAGCAAGCTGGTGCCGATTTGCTGCTCTATCTCGCACACTCACCTCGCACTCCTGCTGTGCATGTACACCATATCTCCAGCGTCACCAAAGGCATGCCTTCTACCCCTCCTCATCAACATACAAATCTACCTTCTTCTGTCATGCAAACTCCCGGCACCCTTGGACTCTTCAATGGCGCCTTGCAGACCCCTGGCAATTTCAATCTTGCTGAGTTCTGCAACGTCACACCATCCCCTGCCCAGACGCAGTTCACCCGTTACGAAACTCCGGCTCTAGGCCCAACTCCGTGCCGCTCGACTAGACGAAGCTTGAATTTTGACACTCTACTTCCACCCTCACCATCAGGTCAAAGAAGGCAAGGCTTTGCACTACAACTTGGCGAGGAGCTTGAAAGACAACGAATTTAACACAGCTCTCTCAGTCAAGTCAATGACTTCTGATGTTAGGAACCTGCTACTGACACAGAGTTCTCTACATCTAATGGTGTCTTTTCTCTTATTGCTTTTACGAGATACGAAATGCCTGTTGTGTCGATCGAAACATGAAGGGGAGGACGATATGTAAGCTATGGAAAGGTGCCTGAAGGCGCAAGGATTTCTTGATTTCTTTGAGCAAGCGTTAGCATTGATGATTTGTACCGAGCAGTGCATAGTGAGCGAAAAGAATGACATGCAGTATGAATGTGGCACTTTCTGTTGCTTCGTCTGCAGCGTAGCGATCGAGTACATAGGATCAAAATGCAAAACAATTATGGAAATGAAGTGGAAGGCTGTCGTAAGCCACCTGGCCGTATCGAGCTCTTGGTCGTGCAATTCCATTTAGAGATCATCGACGTAATAGCAAGTGCTCCAGTATTGCTCGAACACTTGCGCCATAGGCCTTCACGCTGCCAGTGCTATGGTTTTGCGAGTGGGGTCCTTCTATCTTAACAAGATACCTACAGTACTCGAATTGCGATAACTTGCTGCATTTTGTACAATTGCACAGTAATAAATACACGGATGAGGCCATCGACGAATTGCATCACCCAGGACCAATTCTACAGCATTGTGAAGTGTCTCGTGTCCCTGCACGCACTATGTAGCGAAGTGAGGTTTCGTATCATCCTAGAAAGATCACGAAATGCACGCGTTCTACAGCTAGCCATGCGATTTATCATCAACGCCAAACTCCACGATATTCGGGCGTGCTGCATGGAGACTAGGCTGAGAGGAGGAAAGACAACTCTTTGACTTTGTTTTTGATCCAATCGAATTCGTGGTCTCCGATGGGCACCTTGTTTGATGGAGTTGAATCATCCGCGTAAGTCAGGTCGTGAGACCAGGACGCGTATTTTCGCGAAGTGCATTATTGCTCTTCGTGGTATGCCGTAGCTTCTCCGGTCATGCTGATGTGAGCATGGGTTTCGTCATTCCTGTTGAATGATTGTTATCCACTATCGCTGTTACAGCCAAACAGTGGTTGAAGTGGCCTGAACAAATTCACTGTTGTCAGGCCATTAGCATCAATGTTGCACGGTCAAAAGGCACATTTCATGGGGCTGACGAACGTACTGATGGTGAATCCGCTGGTTATGACACATCTTGGCTAGATTCGGTCGTGTTATGGAAAGATTCAAGTCCGAGAAAGCCTTCGAAGTACATTTGTAACATTTCCTAGGTGTCTGTGAGTGCTTGGATCAGTCTTGGGTTTGGAGTGAAATACAGCCTCTCGATATAGCCAAAACCACTGCAATGGCAGAGCCATCAACATGCCTTCCCCTAACACCGGACTCGATCCGACAAACTCATAATCGGATCAAACCCTACATCCACCGCACCCCTGTCCTCACATCACGATCCATCGACAAGATTGCCAGCAGTCCGAATCCTCGCGCCTATCTCGCTGACGACCCTCCAGGCATCTGGGCTGATGACAGCCACTCAACTTCCAATGGCAACGTCGACGGAGTGCCGAAATTCCACTTGTACTTCAAGATGGAATCAACGCAACGCATCGGCGCATTCAAGACTCGCGGTGCGTTCAGTGCCGTCACACATCTGATCGAGGAGCTAGGTCTCGACACTCTCCGGAAGCGAGGTGTGATTACTCATAGTTCTGGAAACCATGCACAGGCCCTTGCGCTTGCTGCGAGTACGTATGAAATTCCTGGCTTCATTGTCATGCCGAGCATCAGTACGAAGAGCAAGATTAGCGGCACAAAAGGCAATAAGGGTGTCGAGGTGATTTTTTCGGGTAGTACGGCCCCAGAACGGGAGAAGGTTGTGAACGAGGTCATTGAGCGGGAGAAGGAGAGAAAGGGGGGTGGGGGGCCAATTCTGATACCGCCGTATGACCATCCAGATATCGTGTTGGGACAGGGCACTGCGGGGCTGGAGATGGAAGAGCAGTTTCAAGCGATGAAACGTAGCGGAAGTGTGAAAGGATGTAGCAGTGCTGTTGAGGGAAGCACTATCGAGGGTGGTAACGAGCGATTCGATGCAGTCTTAACGCCTCTCGGTGGTGGTGGTCTGCTTAGTGGCACAGCTACGTGGTTTTCTCGCACTGACGACAAACAAGGGAAGCGCACACTAGTGTTCGGTGCAGAGCCCAGTTTTCAAGGAGCTAATGATGGCGAACGAGGATTAGCTTCAAGCCCACCCAAACGAATCGAGCACGTCAAATCTCTCACAATCGCTGACGGAGTACGGACGCCAGTAGGTGTGATACCATGGAGCGTTATCTCTGACAAGTCGAAGTTGGAGAGTGTATATTCCGTCACGGAAGTTGAGATAAAAATGGCACTGAAACTGATATTGGAAAGAGTCAAGGTTGTGATTGAGCCTAGTTCTGCTGTTCCGATTGCGGTCGTGCTCTTCAACGAGCGATTCAGGAAATTCGTTGCAGAGAAACAGAAGGACGAAGGTAGCGGTATACCTTGGGATGTAGGTATTGTAATTTCTGGTGGAAACACGACTGTGGAGGCACTAAGTAAATTCTTCTCTGAGGGTTGGATGACGGAGACGGAGGACACGAATTTCGAATCTGAAAGGCAGACAGGCCAAGTTACGATCGATGGCAGTAAGAAAGTCGAGGATGTGGCAGGTTAGAGTGTCTTGGAATCATTGCGAGGCTAAGAGTCTTGTGGTTGCTCGAGGCCTGCTTGCAACGACAACAAATTGGATTCTAGGTCGACGTCGCTTGCCCTCAGTGAATGAGCATAAACGGTACGATGATAGGCTCGTCCTGCAAAAACACTTTGGCTGATTCGTCAATTCCGATGATGTCCACCTCCTCATTCAGGAGCAACCGGTGGCTGCAAAACGGATTTCCAATTGAGTACGGATGCATCCAAGGCGATGAGCGGATCATTGAACCATTGGCAACATAACGTGAAAATTCTTGCACTAACATGACAATCCAATCCACGCCCGAAGAAGCACTACAAACCAAGCTCACTCATCATCCCACCACAAAAATCCTCTACCACGACCGGTCTCGAACCGCCGCCCGCATCCTCAGCAAAAAGGCCAAAAAACTCTACACAGACCAACATCCCTACTCAATTCAGGAAGGGCCATATACTGGCGGAGGGACACCCATGACCACGGCTCGGAGGAGTGTTTGACGTTCTTACCACATGCTCCGCTTCCAGAGGAATCCGGTTTCATTTTTAGATGGAGACCTTTTCAGGGACTCATCTGGAAGGAAATATGTTTGTTGAAATATATGTAGGAAGGAAGAAATATTCGTGACGTTTTGTGCGGTGGGGTGTGCTTGAATTGGGTTGGGTTACACGCGTTCGAGTAAGTGACAGGCGTGAGTGAAGGGATGATGGATAAGGGGGTGTTAGATCGATTGTGCTACAAGCTCTGATGAAAGTCCACCTGCACGGACAGGTCTCACAACTTGAACGCTACTGCTATGGCTACGGTTGGAGTCAGTGGACGAGACGTGATGTGAACAGGGGAGACGAGGGGAGGAAATTCGATCTAGCAGTGGTACAGAGTTGAAGCTGCAGTAGACCACCAGACTTTTTGATGATGTTTGCAGGTATATAAGCACCTCTACATAGCTAAATTTGAGGTCAGCTATTCTGAATGAGACAAAGCTGGTCCACCACCGGGCATGACTACAGCAGAGCCTCATCAGCTTTGATGCCGTTACCAATCCTTGATCAGCACAATGTTGTTTCGACTAACCTTTTCGTGTCTCCTTCCTGACTTCCTCCTTGTCCGCCTGCAAAATTTCAGTAAAGGTCAGGACTGAGTTGGACTAATAGCATTTGATTGATCGGTAGATTGTGGTGCGAGGAGTGCCATCCTGGTTGATGACGGGAATGCGAATCCTAGCGCCCTTCAAAGATTTAAGGGTGTTACGGTCGCTCTCACATTGTTCATCCTCCCACATTGTGCACGTACGAGGATAGACCCAGTCTGTGACCTCAGCGCAAGATCCTGCATCGCCCTTTGCGTTCCAATCCGGAACCACAGTACACTTGCCAAGTTCCATTTCCATGTCGATGCATCAAGCGTCTTTAGCAGGGCAGGCCCAAGTGGTGTCGTCTGGATGTCCACTGAAATCGTCACAGAATTTAATGTGTGTGTTGGCAGCGTAGACGCCGAGGTTGTTAGGCAGGGCCATGGCTGATGCCAGTAGTAGGAGAGCGAATATGGTGTACATTGTAGTTTTCTATTTCGAGTGAAGGTCGTGCTTTGGTAGTAAGTAGATAGGTCGAGATTTGTCAGTTGGGTTGAGACTTGGGAAGAGGTAGAGTGGAAGAGTATGAGATTCAATGAAGACTGTCCTGCAGTCTTGAAACTCTTTGTTCGTTTGTTGCAAACCGATAATAAAGGTGAGTCGAGCTGGAGTTGGCGCTTTTGGTGGCTCATGCTCAGAGAACCTGCAACAATCAGATCTTCTGAAACGTGATTGTGACGACATCTGTGTATGTGGCAGTCAGTAGTCATTGTCTGGAAATCCAGGACATAAGTTTAGTAACTGCTCGTGACGACAAAGTGCACCTCCTTCCTGCATCCTCGTTCTTGTGAAAGGTGGCGTCGACGTGGTAGAGGTTATATGATAGTATAACAAAGCCTTCGCAGCACTCACGAAGCTGCGTATCGTAACGCGCATGATGCTAACCATGTGAATTCTGTGTGTTTGCAAACATGACACGTGAAAAATTCACAGATTCTGACACACGTCAATCGGATGTGCAGATTAGTGGCCATGCTAGGAACTGTCGATCTCGCCCATCAATGATTTTGAGAGTGTCCAGACCATGTGCTGAGTCTTTCGTAAGCTCTGGCTTCTTACTCTATGTATAGAGAGTTCGTCACGTTCAACGGCATCTGCAAAGCCTAGAATAATGTTAACGGTCCTAGAAGAGACTGGAAATCAGTAAGTGGATATCTGGTACTTAGGCTCAGAAAGACATGAGTTCGCATTCGACGAGAGACAAGCGATCCTGGATGTATTGGCAAGGCTGCGCCTTCTACCTCGCCTCCGTACCTGATATGGCTCACACAGATACTGTTAGCTATGTCAGTGTCGCCCAGACTCCACTCGATTCCTGGAGGTAGAACAAAGCTCGAAAGGACGATGCCAATTACTCGATTTGCTGGCTGCAGTTTGGACAACATATTCTTTTGCTTTGCAGTCGCTCGAATTGTGGATCGATGAGTAAATACTCTCACCAATACGGCAGTGGCTTTCATTTGAACACGGGATGCTTCCGCGTATGGTACAATGACTGCCTATTTCAGTGGATTATTGCTAGTGGTAGAGATGAATGAGAACTGTCTAGATGATAATACGTATGTGGTGCTCGTTGGCTGCCGCATCATCACGTGTCTCCTTCGTTTTGCATGGACCGATAGCGCTCTGCTCCAAACGGCATCGCAGCTGGCGGCATGCTCGAGCGACAAGTGAAATGACCAGCAGCCCGTGCGAGTATACCTGCAGAGTCTTGCGTAACCTATATCGGCGTCTTTCCTGCTTCAACAAGTCTGTCGAGCATGGTCGTCCGTGCTCGAATCCTAACACATACTCGTATATCATCTGATTGTCAAAGACTCCGACAGTTTCTTGAGAGATAGACCAATCTCCCTGTCTGAATCTCTAGTTGCTTGTCCTCTATACGTATTGTTTGTGGTATTTGCATCGTTGTTTGGTCTGTCCAACATCGAGGTGGCGATCACGTTACCATCAAGCCGTTTGAGCATGATCGAGTAGTTAAGACAAAGCGCCGACACTTTGGCTGCAACACTAAACTTGGTTCGTCGCCTTAGGAGGCTAGTTTCGACCTGCACTCGTTCATGAACTGGATATAGCTTGGCATTTGATCTGCTCTGTCCTCGACCAGCATGGTTTGAGCCCACAACTTCAACCCAGGCTCACCATCCCTATAGAAATTGTTAGTCTGTTCATACGTGGTACAAGAAACGGACGTTACGCACTCTTTGACGACATAAAGATGTGGCACCGTAATACTGCCCACACCCTTTGCCCTATGGTCCTTGCTCTTCGCAACTACAGCGCGTACACGCTCGTTGAAGTCGTTATCGAGCTCGGGGAGACGCTGCTTGCCGACCTTCAATTGACTTTTGTCCGGTACTCCGAATACATCTAGGATAAGTTGAGGAACCGATTCTCTGTAAGATGTTAGTATTGTACTTGAACACATCGCCGGATCATGCTAGGCAAGCTGAACAGGCAATGCAGTCCGAGATGAAACTAACCTTCCGACCCAAAGGAATTGGGTCTGTCCATCATCAATCAAGTACAACCCATAAGGTACAAGCTTTGAGGACTCAAGAGATTGTGGTGGTGGGAGAACGATCTCACCGGTGTTGGGGTCTGGCGTGCCAACATCATCGAGCATGTCATGTAGTGAGAACATTTTCGGGTAAATGTACTGAATCAAGAGAGGCAATGGCAGGGTGGAGAGCAGATCCAGGGCCGCGGAGCGCATATCGGAGGGAATTTGACTGGACTTTCGTAGTCCAAGATTTTTCATCAAGCCCAAGAAGAGTACAGGCAGTGCGCGCATGTTCGCAGGGAACTGTAGGCCAGAAGCACCGCCCATGCTACCACCAGCAAGCTCCTTCTTGTACGTGGACAGAAGCTCGATAAGCTTATTTTGAGCAAGGTCACGTGCCGAGTCCAGACCACTATTAAGGACTCGTTCGACAGCACGGTGGGAGTAGTATGTTGTGATTGCTTGCTGGTCAGCACTTGCGTAAACATCGCTCAACGATTGTGTGGTAGGTAGAGCTAACGTCATCACACGAATCCGTCTTTCACCGTTGCAGGTGGTGTGCAGGACCGCAGTCTGCATGCAGACAACTGGCTTGGTAATGGTCTCATCGATAGCGACTTCAACAACGTAGCACTGATCTCTTGGGAAAGCTGGGAAGGCGCAGAGATCGGACGAGCGGTTGAAAAAATTGCCATAGAAGGTGTTCATGCGCAATCCTGTCGTGGCTCGCACACGAAGTACAGCTTCAAGACCGATCTCAGCTGATAAGTAGTCGGAGAACTCCTTAGCGAATTTCATAGCGTCATCCTCTCTCGCAGCATTCCAGCCTGGATAGAACCATGTTTGTCCACCTGTGTAGCGTGGTAGATTGCTGAGAGAGGCGACGTCTTGGTACTGTGAGGAGAAGAGGAACATATCAACAGACACTTGCTGCTTCGAGCACTCCACAGCAAAGCTCTTGTAGAAGCTGTTACCGGTCGTGAGAAGACTGCTTTCTTTTGAGGTGCCGAGTAACTTCTTGTCCTCACGCATCTCAAGCTTGCCGTGCCCAACATTTGGCAACGATGCAGTCACCACAGTCATCTTACCACCAACAGGTGAGATGAGTTTGTGACCGGCTCTGAGAGCAGAACCCATAGCTGAAGCACCATTCTGAGTATTCTGGAACATTTCCTGTAACTTGTCAAGGAAGTTCTCGATGTTCTCTCTGCATTCGACCAGAGTCACCAGTAGATCCTGTGGAGTTGGCAGGAATGCTTCCTCCAAGTCCGAAACCACGAGCATCTTGGTATCAGCATTTTCCGTGCCATCCCTGGGAATATTGAAGAAATGCAGACTGGAGTCAACAGCAACGAAGCCCATTCTTGTCCTTCGGTCGGCGTTGGGTATCCTGTCTAATGACTCTTTTATTGTCCTTGCTGTCGTTGCCAGTAATCCACTGGTAACACTAGCATAGCTGACGTCGATCAAGAAGAGGTACACCAGCGGTTGTGGTGGTCGGACCATGTACTCTTGTGGTGCGATGAACTCAACCACTGCATGATTCAAGTCAGGACGCTGCCACCTGTCCATTGACTTCTGTGCTGCGGGATCCCAGTCGAAGGCCTGTGGGACATCGTTTGTCAGGTTGCACATGTTGCATCTCCACCTGTGACCGTGGTCAAGAAAGGTCACGAATGGGTTGATGTATGAACGACATCTTCGACATCGACTAATGACCTGATCTGGAACAACTGGTATTGGGTCTTCTGCGTCATGGAGAGATGTGTATGGTTGGATAACGAGAGCAAAGGGCAGTTTGGACTTCTTGAGCAACGAATGTGTGGTAGGTACAGCATTGAGGGTCGATCGGACGTATTTTGGAGGGCAATTGGCGTAAGGCGACGGCGTAACGGACGTCTGCTCGATGTTAGTGGATAAAATCAGTAGAGCATATGGACTTACGTTGGCAGGTAAAATCGCAGGTGGAGGAGGATAGTCGAGTTCGGCCACATTCAGAGGCTGATTTTGCAGATCTGTGGGATACAGTTGATTCAACACAGGTGGCCTTCCTGCTTGCTGCTGAGGTTGAGGCTGCTGTTGTGGCTGTGGCTTCTGCGACATGTCCATCTGACCGAATTGCTGGGTCAGGCCGGCGACTGGCTGCTGCGCTGGCTGCATAGGATACTGTGGTCCTGGTGGTTGGTAACCTCCTACCCCAGCATCTTGACCACCATACATTGGAGTCGGAGTAGGTTGCACGGCTGCTGGGTTTTGCGCGTACCCTCCCTGTGGGTAGCCTGCAGCATCTTGCTGTAACGAATATCCGCTTACAGGAGCACCCTGCCCTGCAGGCGTGGCTGCAGCATTTCCTCCAGCTCCAAACTCGTATGCTTGTCCCGCGTAATCACGCCTCTTCTTACGGCCAAGTGCAGGACCAGGAGCAGGACCGGGACCTACGCCAGGTGGGGAGGTAGCCTCGTAATCTTGATAGTCTTGTTGCTGCTGTGGTTGCTGCGCATAGCCATCCTGAGGCGCCTGTTGAGGATACTGCGACATGCTTGCCAGTTCACGGTGGTCGGAAGTGTACGTGGAAATGCAGACTTTGACCTGGTCCTCTTTTACTGAGAATGCCCTCTGTATGCAGAGTCTTAAAGAATGGCGGAGAGCAGAGGGATGTCAATTTATGGTAGTAATATCAGCATGCTTCAAGCCATAAAAGACGAGACTTCGGTGACAGCAGATCGTACTTCGCTTTTTGGAGGTACAGTCCTCACGATGCAGGCTAATAACTTGTCAAGCTGTCCTCACCACGTCTCCAGGCTGGTACGGCCATTGTGTCAATTCCACCAAGAACACTCTTGTGGCTCCGCTATCGTCGTGTCACGTGATGAGTTGGTCAAGCTCGGCATGTGAATGGGAAGTTCACTACCATCGTCGTTCTACAGATTACAGACACAGATTTAACTTCAAGCTTGAAGAGAGCGCCCAAGGGCCTGCTTTGCGTTGCGCTCGCCTCCTTACAGTATCTATCTCTGCGTATCTACTATTTTACTTCATTATTGTGACCGATTAACGCCAATGTGATGGTTTCATCTCGGAAATGTGAATCTGCATAAATTATCAATTCAAGCTGCTAATCTAGACTGTGAAGACTCTTATATGTTGTTGTTGGCATAGGCGGCCTTTCTCTCCACCGCATCATCTCGACGCCTCAACAGCACACTACCGCATGCACTACTCTACTAGTGCTTGATGATTTGGACCAAGTATGCTTCTTCGTGGGGTCAAGCTCCCAACCATATGTCGTCTCAAGCCTTAGCTTGTGGTTCTTATCGAGCTTCGCTATTCTGAATGTTCGATACACGTGGAATGTATTCGTCTTTCGGGTCGTCCACCAATGGCTGCTCTGCTCTTATCATTTTCGGTGCTAACATTCCGCCGAGAAGCAGGATTGTAGCTGCGACGATCTCCATAGTGACGGCTAGGAGTGCTCTTACTACAACAACTGTGACTGTGGTTGACCTGAGGCTGAAGGTCGTCGAAGTTGGCTCAAATGCCACGCAGGTCGAGTAGATAATTCTTATCAGCACAAGTGGGGAAGCCGCACAAGCTGCGAAGAACAGCTTCCTGTCGGAGTCCTTGACAGCTCGTATGTGCCTCGCGGAGCAGGACAGAATGAACATAGAGGCTAGGTATTGCACCAAGACAAGGAGGATAGCGACCTTGACATAGGTATAACCGCTACTTTGTGTTTCCGGATCTGAGGAAGCCACTTCACTACCACCATAGCTGCCCAGTACGATAGCCAGCAGACCAATGATCTGAAGGTATCTCCTGACTCGGGCTGGCAGATGTGATTGTTGTGACCCCGTTTCTATTCTGTTGACAATTGCTGATAGGCCTGCTACCAGGAACGTCGAGCCAATACTAGCTAGCACGAAAGCTGCCGTGACCAGTCCTGTAGTTGGGTTCCTATTCGCAGCGATGGCAGTTGCAGCTCCAGCGATACGGATAGCGCAGAGCAGTGGAAGGAAGATCCAGCCAGTTTCTCTGCTGAACCCATGTCGGAAGCACACATAGAGTGAGACTGGCAGAGCTGGTGCAAAGTATACGATCTCGACGATCTCGAGAACCTCACTGGCAGTAGGCATCTGGAAGTGCTATCGAATAATGTCTCTTCACAATGAAGTCACAATCGGAGGTGAGGTTCAGGTGGTTGCAGATGTCGAGGTTAATTCTGTTGTTCTGTTGTCTCGTCACAACATGCTTGGAAATCCAGTGGTCACATTGACCGTTATAAGTACACCTCGACATCTCGTTTTGTTACCTTCTATTATTGTCTTCGCGAAGATGCCTCGAAAGGACCTAGTGAATTGGATATGGCTCGCACAAAACCCCGAGCTTAAGCTTAAGCTTGTGAGGCTTCATTATCGCTTGGCCACTAGTCCCACTTTTACATCTCGCGAAATTCGACCTGAAACAGATTGGCGCTTGGTCGAGCTCGTGCTTTTGCAACATTTCAGGCACAATCGCGAGACCAAAAGCCCTAGAGATCGTCAACAATGCCTCGTGGGTCCCCTGGCTTCATTTAGGCTTGTGGGCATGTCATCATCGAATTGAGAAGGCGTTCAAGTTATTCTAGGTACATTACGCACGCATATCGCAACTTGTCAACGTTAGTGGCACGATCCATTGACTGAGCTGTGGAACTTTCTCGACAGCAAAAGCTGTAGTGTTTTGGTGATGTTTTGTCGTGAGTCTCGACACCTATTAGACAGTACTTTGATCCTCGAGCAAAAATCTCAATAGCAATCACCACATTGTACGGAAACCCTTCTTCTGTAGAGCTGGAGCATATACCAACGGTCTCAGGAGCTGTGTGATTCCGGATTTGATTCTTCCCTTCGGGCCCGTTCTGTAGCGCTATCGAGACCTTGATGCTATTCACACTGAGTAGTCGTAGTGCAGACGAAACATGTAAGTAATCCGAGCAGTTGGCCTGCCTTAAATTCAATATGATTTCAGCATTGGTCGTGTATACTTCGAGCCCGATAACCTTAGTATCAGCTGGTTAGCATTTCGATGACGCCGATGAATAGGTAACTTGGGGCAAGTCTCAAGGCTCAGCGTCGCATTAGTAGTTAGAAAGGAAAGATCGATTGTTAGCGACGATTCGCCATGCTGCGATAGATATTTCTGAAAGAGAGCACGTGTAACAGATGCTAGCATTGATCTTCCTAGAAGACATAAAGTCGAGGCTACTGTAAAAAAAACAACGTCGAGCGATGGACCAGCACTCGTGAAGAGTACGGAGAGAGAGAAGAGGATCGGCAAGGAAGAAGGCATGGAAGGAACTATGGTGAACAAGGCTAAGTTCAGCCTTGTTGCCGCCGAAACTGCGTCAGTGACAGGCAATTGCACCGCGCACGCATGCTGTACCAGCACTCATCTAAGCACCTACAGACCTATTTTACACCCTTTTTCAAAGAAGATCAGTACTTCAAAGAACTACGAGATTGTGCCAGACCGCAGACTTCTCAGTCAGTGCAACCGAGCTGACAAGTCCTTGAGCACAAAAACCACCATGCCTTCAGCAGTTGGAGGGATCTCGCTGGAACAAGTACAACACAATCTACAACAATGTCTGGCAAGGAAAGACGCAGCAGGCGCTCAAGCACAACTACAGAAAGCCAAATTGATACTGTTACAGCAGAATTCTCTAGTACCAAGTGAGGGCGTCCCAGTAGGACAACTAAAGACAGCAAGATCAGTGCTAGAAGTTGGGGCACTTTTGGCTATACGCAGACGCGATCCAGACTCCTTCGTTCGATATTACTCTCAATTACAGCCTTTCTACGAGTTCTCGGGCCTGCAGTCTTCTCCTTCGCCGAACAAGTCACAGGTGACAGGACTGTATTTGCTCCTGCTGTTGAGTCAGGGTGACTATGCTGGTTTCCACACCCTGCTAGAGAGCTTGATCGTGTCGGAAGGAATCAATGGCGGGAAGTCAGTGGAGGATGACATATACATCAAGTACCCTGTCGACCTGGAGAGGAGCCTGATGGAGGGTAGCTATGATCAAGTGTGGCGCAAGACCAATGGTAGAGATGTGCCTGGGGAAGAATTTGCTTTGTTCTCAGAGGTATGTTGCACTCGCTGTGCGAGATTGACAGTGGCTGACTATTTTAGATCCTCGTTCACACAATCAGATCCGAAATTGCTTCGTGTGCAGCGCGATCATATCCTTCACTGTCTATTGCGTCGGCAAAGAACCTCCTCTTCCTCGACTCGGAAGGTGCCGTATCCGAATTTGCACAGGAGCAAGGATGGAGTTTAGAGGAGGGACGGATACACTTTCCAGGTTTACCTGAGGAGAAGAAGGGACAAGAAGGTGATCAGAAAGAGGTTATTAGTCATATGGTACAATATGCAAAAGACCTGGAATCTATTGTCTAGGTGCATCTACATACAGCGAACGATCGTCAAGAAGCATAGCGAAGGAGTCTTTGGCGGTGTTATATGCTTGTGCATTCTGACTTGATGTCAGTAGACAGAAGTGGCACATGATCAGCCTCGAGTCCGGTGTTGATTCTGAAGACGGTCGGCCTGTGTTGCGGTAAAATGCCTATGCATAACGAATGTTTCGGCCGCAGTTTCTCAAGCCAGAGACACGCCAAACCGCGAAGTGGTTCAGGTAACAACAATGACAGCAACCTCCCTCACTTAAGTTATACTGTAGCAGTAGTGGTCTTCCTTATGCAACAAACCACCGCACGCCTGTGGTCCTGGTAATCGTCTCCATTCCGTTGCCGAGCACTCTCTATCGCTCGAGCTCTTCGAAGATCATTTCCACGCTAAATAGGGATGATCTATTGAATGAGTTGCTTGCAGTTGAACCCGAACATGAAGCAGAAAGGCAAAGCCATTCGCTACTGGTTCCTCCCTGGAAGGTCACTGAGATACCGGGCTCAGCGTGGCAAGCTCTTGCAAAGCCGGTAGTCGACAGGACATGCCAGTCTTCGAGGTAATGTGAAGAAGGCATTCGTTCTGGGAGAAAGAGACGAGCAATATACGACGAGCCTTGTGAGCGAAGGAGGATTCCTTTGTGCTTATGCTGTGTCTTGTATGCTCTTACTAGCGACGATTGTTGAGGTTTAAGCACTTCCACAGCGCCCAAACCAGATTTTAGAAGAGTTTTGCCTTGCCGTACCAATCTACCTATTACTCTTCTCCGACAAAAACGCCTTCACACCCTCCAACCTACTCACAAAGAAACACCGCTTTTTGTCATCCTTCCATACTAAAACACCCGTCTCATCAGCATACCGACAAGCATCCAGATACTCCGCCTGGCTCACAAACTGATGCAAGTAAAACCCAGGCGTAGACATGATTCGATCCCGCTCCATCTGCCACAACCTGATCTGGTCGAGAATAGTCTGGGGTATGACCGTGAACTTGTCGTCTTCTTCATTCGCCTCTGTGTCGTCAGCAGCTGCTATTCGCCGTGCTTGTTTTCGAGCCCATTCTGCTGCTGCGGTTCGGCGCATGACGGGATGGGCGTGGCTGGAGAGGTAGGCGCAGAGCTGTTCGGCTGTGATGCCTTGTTGGATTGCTTTTTGTACGGATTGTTTTGTGAGTTTGCCGGTTACCATGTTTGGATGGCGGGAGCGGAGGTAGACGAAGGTGGAGAGTAGTGCGATTTGTAGAGGTGAAGAGGTATACGCATAGAGGCGAAAATTGGTTTCGATGATGATGAAGCCTGATCCTGGTGTTTGGTGCGGGCTCGTGCTATGAGCGGCTGATAGAACGCTGTTCGACTGTAGCGAGGATCCTAGTGTTTGCGACGCGGCGGTCAACGCTGTGCTACTCGAGGATGTGAGTGTGGTTGCCAGTCGCGTTGGGTAGAAGAACTGTGCTTCTTCATCTGGTTGATAGACAATGCCAAGGTTGAGCAGGTGTCCAAGCATCAGTATTTGTGAAGATGAAAACGACTCGGTCGTGTAGGCAAGCCCGAGCTCGAGTGAGGCAACGAAGAAAATGAACGAAAGAATCTCAATTTTTTCGAGTTCAAGACGTTCAGCATTCTCTACAAACAGGAATAGAAGTTCCCATATCTGCGTGTTCACATCCTTGAGAACAAATGCAAATCCTTCTTTGGTGACTTGAGTCCGCTGACCTCGCGAGACTGTGCCTGAAACTTCGACAAGATGGCCAATTTTGAGGAGTTCGATGACACTCGAATCGGGTGGAGGCAACTCATCTTCAGGCTCCTGCAACTGCGCAAGAGCTTGAGATCCGACGGTATAACCCAGAATGCCCTCCCATCGCATACGAGCAAAGTTGTCCAAGTCTTCGACAGTAACGGACTCGGCTTTTGGAGGATGGGTGACACGACCGAAGGAATATTCAGAACCTCCACCGCTCAAAATTCGGCGCAGTGATGTAGCAAAAGCTGGAACTAGTACGATCGCCTTGCTAGCCTTGGAATTCACGTCTTTGACGATGTGGTAACGTCGCAGCTGCTCAATAGCCTCATGCCTGTCTCTACTGTGGCTGGCTTTTACCATCAGCTCAAGTTCGGACAGGGTCGTTGGCCGGGGTGAATAGAGCATCGACATGACAAAGTGCTTGGCCAAACCAGATAACACTTTTCGAAATACTGCTAATGCGCTTGGAGGACTCTTGTAGAGCTTGTGCAGTTCAACGCCACGTAACCCTTCGAGATATTCCCATGATCGCGTGGGTTCCACCATGTCGATGAAAGGTGACTGTTGAAGCCCAGAGGGCGAACACTTTGCGTCAAGTCATCAAGAGAATCAGATAGATGTCGCAAACGACCCTAAAAGATTGCATAACGACTTCGAGAATGGGTGATCTGAGATAGAGTTGAATAGCGCCTGAGAAAGTCGGTTCAGGCGTCAATCAGGCATTCATTGCCAAGTTTGCAGGCATCTCGTAGCCCTGGATGTGTTACTAACTCGATGACAATATCTCACGAACTGCCGAAGTGATATTGTCTCATATTGGTTTTCTCAAGCTTGAAATCATTCTAAATTTATTCTTTCCTATCAAAAGTAACCTGGGCAGGCTTGCGTGACTCGATTTGAGCCACCGCAAAGGTACATTTTGTAGGATAACATCTCGATTGTGATGTTCGAGGCTCGTTTTTCCATCATGGCGCCCTTGCCAATCCTCGAAACATGCCATTGTTTGTACTACATATTCCCAAACACCTTGCATTGATCTTCAAAAGTGAACAGACTTCCAATTCAAACGACCGATTTAGGTCAATACTCTCACTACCAGGGACCTGGATAAATCAAACTGCTTCCAAGTCACCTCATATGTTTTGTTCATCAATACCTCACAGGCTCAACATACACTGTCCTCCGTTTCGAGATGACATACCAGGCATCTGTAAACCAGTCAGCTTGGCGTTCCTGTTTGGACCTTCAGAGAGGAAACGTACGAATGACGCCTGGAATCCAGCCAAGTATCGACAAGCAGATGTTGATGAAGAAGTCTGCGTTGCAACCAGTTTTGAAAAATACAGCCAGTGGTGGCAAGAAGAGTGCCAAGAAGTAGAGGCAGATATCGGACTAGACGCAGTACCTGTTAGTACAGAGCAAAACACCTTGGAGGGGTCCAATTTGCGACAGCGGGAGCCTTTTGTATTCCATCGTGCAACGCATCAGCTTGTGAAGCACGCAGGATTGCAGTATGATTGCGCAGGTACAGCTTTTCTCTCGAACCCCTTCCCCAGCCAGCACACAATGTCACCACAGACAGGAGAGAAGCTCTGCCCTCAACATGTTCTCGCATCCCAAAACCGCAACGTGAAGCACTCAAACTTACCGTTGAACTGACTTCTTTCCCCATCTTTGGTTGTCGTCGTGCTCCTGCAGTCGATAAAGTTGACGTATGTTTCAATGTGGTCGCATCGGCCAGATCTCCTAGTGCCATGATGAGAAGGAGGACTTTTGAGTCCTTATGTATACCAAGCACTCGTAACTTGCCAAAATTGCAGCAGGAGAATTGAGCTTGGCTGTTCCGGAATACGCCGTAATGCTAAGCGTGCGAGCTGCGTAAAGGACGTGGCGTAACCCACAGAGCGTGAATAGTAAGCACCAGTTTGACCTTTTGGTTCGAATGGTCAGACTAAACGTTGATTAAATTTACACATGACAAAATGACGCGTAAGCAAACAAGTGAGTGTAACGAGATGGAAATGCCAATCAAAAAGAAGACGTTTTCCCAGCAGTCAAAGGCTTAGAATAAGCTTCATAGCCGAGAACTTTGTGCCACAAAACGTTCACTCCAAGGGTTGTCATTGGCAGCAGCAGCTGTGGCAGTTGCTTGGCCCAAAGTTTACCTGGAGCATGACGTTACCTATTGCGGTGGCATTGATCGCTCCGTTAGATCCCACGTGCAATAGTAGCTCGCTGACCTGACCACGACGTTGGTGTCCTGCTTTGGTAAAAGTCCCTTTCCTTGTTATTGGCCTCACTTAGTCACGAAGACTCTGTTTTTCTTTCTCTTGAGCTTGGTACTTAACTTGTCTGGCCCTGCTAACGCCGCGGGGAATGTGGATTTCCGACCTTGATCAGCTAGCTCTTCCGACATGCTCCTGCTTATTAAAAATTGGGCGACACAAAGACGCTGGTGCCTCGCTTGTATATAGATGTAGTGACTTATGGCCTCTATCCAGCCTCTGTGTCCTAGATAGCTGCGTTGAGCCGTGTTGTGGTAGTGGACAACAACTTCGAGGATGAGTCTCGTGCGATTTGGGAACAAGCTTGCTATCGGTATTGCGAACAAGAGACTGCATGTCGTACCCTGCGTTGATGCGGATCAGCTGTAAATTCAATCCCTCCCACAAAAGCCCTTCTCAAGCACATCAGCAAGCTCATCCAACCTCGATATACTCAAATCAACACGTCTCGGCCACTCCGTCGCTTCCAGCAAGTGCTTGTTCTCCTCATTCACAAGCAACACAGTCGCAGCTCCTGCTCGTGCCCCAGCCTCAATATCATCAACGCTGTCTCCAACCATAATCACACCTTCACATGATTTGACCTTGTCCTGCTCAGATGTGCTCCCAAGATACTCCTGCAAAGCCTCCCTCGACTTAATAGCGTCTTCTATCTCATTATCCCATGCATGTACACACGCCCAGATCCCCTCTGGACTTGGCTTCGGCTGTATGCCCTGTGCCTCCCTCGTGACCAACGGGTGAAAGTGTGAACGTGCATCTTCATTGACGAATTTCTCCAATAGATGTTTTACAGGTAATTCGAAGTTTCGCGTACACAGTGAAATACGTAGATTGTTTTTAGCTAGATATGTGATCAATTCGTTAAGGCCGGGTTGAGGTTGTTGACGGTCCATGGCTTCACGCTCGATGTCCTTGATAGCTTCTTGAGCTCGTGACCGTGGCGATGACGATGAGCTCGAGTCATCTGGTTTGTCGGAAAGACTCAGGATGTGCTCGAGAATATCTACGGATTTCGGTATGCCGAGCTTTGAGCGCATTTCTTTAAACATGTAGTTTTGAGGTAAGCAGAGGGTGCCGTCCATATCGAAAACAATCCCTCGGAGTCTTGGCGCATCGTGAACTTGGGACGATGAGGCACTCAATGGTGCGAACCTTCGAGGAGGTTTAGGTGCTTGCGATGTGGTCGACATACTTCTAAGATATATGCTGGATACAAGTTGCGTTCTAATGCTTGCATATCGAGCCGCACCGGATGTTGGAATCATGTGAGAGCCACGGAATAAGAAGCTAAATGCAACACTGTCTTTGAACCAAGCTCTCCTGAGATCAAGGACGTTGAGGTGGTGAATGGAATAAAAAGTGCATTTCTTGTGTAACGCGATGACAATATACGCGTCTCTTACGCGATTTGTTTATATTTTTGAAGTAGAGGATCATCCAATTACAAACCTGTGATTGTATTGAGTAGGCACAGTTGAATGATTTCAGCTTGTACCTGATCGAGATACTGATAGATTTCTGAGTCGTGACGAGATATAGTACACACGCCCAAGCACATGCGATAAGATAAAGCACTCGGAGTAAAAACTGACCGTACCAACAGCAACCATAACCGTCCGCCTGCTAGGGTATCATTCGCTAATAGTACAAACAGTTCAATAAACAGACCGACTCAGGCTTCGCATCATGCGGAAACAGCTTTCAATCGTGCTGCGCGAGCTGCCTTCCTGCGAGCCTTTTCTTGCAAGTGCAATTCGTACTCTCTCTCATTCTGCTCTTGCTCTTCTCGCTCGATGCGCTCCTCCTCGTCCTCTATAGGATTTGTAAAGAATTCGTGCTCTAGAGCTTGCCTTGCGCTCAGTCTCTTGTGAGGGTCAAGCTCGAGCAGACCTGCCAACAGATTGACAGCTTGAGCCTCACCAATATGAAGGGCATCGTCGGTCTTCTCTCGGCAGCTAGCCCAGAGCACAATCTTCTCAAGAGTAAAGCCTTTTTCGCCGATGGTCTCGATGTTTGTCTCGAAGACAGAGCCGTGCATGGCAGCGACGCCTTGCATCTTCTTCTTGCCAAAGATGGAGGCTATCTCGATCATGGCGTCAATATCATCTGCGCTGTTGAAGAAAGGAAATCGGCGACCCAACAGAGTCAAGAGAATGACACCAACCGACCATATATCAATCTTGGTTGTCTGGGCAGTGCATTTGAGTAGGACCTCGGGGGCTCGAAAGCCTCTGGTACCGGCTCTATTTGCGCGACGACTAGGCCGAGCATCGTTCTTCGGATAGCCTCCAGACAACAGATCTGGCTGGCTCTGCAGATGTTGGACGGCATAAGAAGTCAGAAAGCGCTCTCTCCGCTCTTCCTTGGTTCTCTGACATAGACATGGTTGCCAATCCGTGCCTTGTCTTTCTGCCAGACCAAAATCGACCAGTACGCCCTGCTTCTTGCTGTGATCGTATAGGAAGTTTGTGGGTTTGATGTCTCTGTGTATAATGCCCGCCTTGTGCACGTAAGCCAGTCCACTAAACAAGCTCAGAAAGTAGTGCCGTAGATCGTTGGTCAAGAATTCGCGATAGTACAATCGAAAGTCGAGGTGGCGGAAATAAGGCAAGACAGCAACGACCTGGTCTAGATGTCTGAAAGCTGTCAACAGAGGACAGATATGAGGGCAATTTCGGAGTTCGTAGAGTAGTTCAAGCTCATTGAGAATGCGACTGGGTGAGGATGTGACATAGATCTTTTTTAGGGCAACGAATCGAGATCGGTTCGGGTCAGGGTGTTTTCGTTTCCTCGTGAGCGGCATACCGAATTCAGCCTCCTGGTTCTGATTCTCGGCATCGTCTTCTAGAGAGAGGCCGAGTTGCTCGGCTTTATACACGGTCGAGAAGGTACCTGCAAAGTGTCAGGAAGTGGACGGGTGTTTCAGGTAGGACAAGCATACCCTCGCCGATGCGGTTAATTAGTCTATACTTTTCTGAGATGCCTGTAAAATTCTCCTCCAACTTTTGCATGTCCTCAGCCACTGTCTCGTCGACTTCGTCTTCACTTCCATCGTCGTCATCGTCATCTGCGCCCGAGTACTGAGCATTGTCGTCCACCTCTGTCATGATCTGATATTCCGGTTGCTGCAGACGTTGTGACACTGACTCAGTTGCACTATTATCTTCGTGAATAGCAATGTCATTGTAGCCCATATCGAAGCATGTCCTCTTGACGGAGCGGTGTGCTGCTGGATATACTGTGTCAGGCACTACTGACGCTGCTGTTGCTGGTGCTTGTCGATCGCGTCGCGCCTTCGTTGGTGTTGACGATAGCTCGAGCTCTCCTTCCTCGTCGGGCTTCTTTCGCTCTAGGAGGCAACGACCAGCATTACGAAGAACACCCTGAAGTATACTTTGTTTATGGCCTCTGCGTCCGTTTGGCAGATTGGCCACGATCTGGCCGTATCCGCCGGTACGAGTCGCAGGCTTGCCCACAGCCATCACCCTGGCTCGCTCTAGTACACTTTGAGCAAAAATAAACATTCACTCATAACGTTAGCCAATCACAAGTTGCAATGTTCGGCCAGATGTTGATATGCGATACGACTCATCTTACCTTGCACTATCGAATTGGATGATCATGTCGTCGCTGGTCTGAGGCTTGTGTTACGCGCAAATTGTCGTCCGGATGTTACTTTTCTGTTTTTGTGTCTGTTGTGCCTTTCTGTGGTTACAAGAATAACACTTATTGTCTATTCCTGGTTAGCACGTCACGAAAATCACCAATACCATGTGCACGCAATAATCTCTGAACCCCTCCTAATCCATTGCGATTCGCATCCTACTCCCAGGCAGTTGTAGGTCCCTCGTACCAACATGGAATTCGATATCAACCAGTCGCTGAAGCTGTATCTCAACGATCCAGCTTCTTTACCGACTCCAGACGCAGCCCAAGAGATCACAGATACAGACGGAGACAGTCCCAACCAGGCAACACTTACAGACACTTTGGATCTTATTCGCGATTCAATTCGTGAGAGTCCCGATGCCTTGATGCGTTCCTCTTCCTGGGACACTCTCCAATGTATACTCAAGTACGTATAAAAGTTATGACAACCCAACCACGACTGACAATTCTAGAACTTCACAATCGATCCCAGGCCTTATCATAGGCAAAATATTGGAACTAGTCACCTCAGGCTTGTCGAACGAGGCAGAAGCTGCTCATCAAGATGTGGAAAACGACGAACAAGACTCTCTGCCTCACCACAAGCAACTGTTGGAAATGTATGGCTTCCTGCTGCAGTGGTCCATTTCAGCTGTCGAGCTCAAGGCCGCCGAAAAGCCTGCTGCTCCTGCTCGCAAAGGCACAAAAACAACCAAGAAATCTGCGACAAAAGATGGTTCATGGGACTCGACTCCTCAGATACAAACAGCTATGGACGTTATGTGCAGGCTCATGAAGCTCAAGCTCAACAGAATCTTTGCTACAACCTCCGACCGAGACACGTTTGTTAACCTGCTCACCAGGCCTGTCTATCTGATCATGGAGAGCGAAGCTAGGATGAAGATTACCTCGGTGCGCATGTTTTGTTTCAAGGTCCTTTGCATTGCAATCAAGCACAATGGTCATGCCCTAGGCGCTCAAACCTCCATCATTCAGAACTTGACTTATTATGAACATCTCTCAGAACCTATGGCCGAGCTTCTGCACATCTTGTCAGAACAGTACGATCATTCACAACTATCTTCCGATGTCCTACGCGAACTGGCTGCGAAAGAGTTCAGCCCCACTGATGCTAAAGGACCCAAGGCTGTCTCCATATTCCTCACTAAACTATCCGAGCTCGAGCCACGTCTGGTTGGTAAAGAGCTTGGTCAATTAGCCAAATTCTTGGACAGTGAAGCATATACCCTGCGTTGTGCCATCATTGAAGTCTGTGGGAACCTCTTGTCCGATCTCAGTAAGCTCGAAGAGCAAGATGATTCCACCAGCGTCCAGATCAATGCCTTTTTCGACGTGCTAGAGCAGCGCTTCCTCGACACCAATCCTTACTGTAGGTGTCGTGCCATCCAGGTCTTCACCAAGCTATGTTCGCTTGAGCAGAAGTATCCGAAACGAAGACAGAATGCCGCTGAACTAGCTGTACAGAGCTTGCAGGATAAAAGCAGTAACGTCAGAAGAAACGCAATCAAGTTGATTGGCAAACTAGTTTCTACTCATCCCTTCAGTGTCATGCACGGTGGTGATCTATCGATAACAGAGTGGGAGGCACGGCTGCAAGCGCTCGAGCAGCAGATCTCCGCTCTTCAGCCAGCACCAGAAGAAGCAGCGACGGCACAGACTGCGGACGGGGAACAGCCTGTTGATAGTGGCCTGCTCGACGACGCGACGGAAACAACGCACGAAACAGAAGAATTGTCAGAAGAGCAACGCAGGGGCATACTAGAAAAAGCCGAGAAAGATGCTGCCACTCAAGAAGTTCTAGCTAAGCTCAAGCTGACCAGGAAATATTACATGGAGGCTCTCAAGTTCATCGAAGTTGTACACGATGCCTCCGATATTGCTTGTCAACTATTGTCAGCCAAGAACAAGAGCGAAGTTATTGAAGCCATGGATTTCTTCGTCGTCACAGATGCTTACAGAATCGAAATTGCACGAACCGGTATTAGAAGGATGCTACGTCTTATTTGGACCAAAGGCAATAGCGACGAGGGAAAGGGAGTTCAGACCCACCTTCTGGACTGCTACAGAGGTCTGTTCTTCGATGCTCCTGACACCTTTAACCCCAACGACTCGGCAAATTTCATTGCTAGGAACATGATCAGTCTGACCTTCGGGGCGTCGCCAGCAGAACTGACTTCTCTCGAACAACTTCTTGCCACAATGATGACTGCCGGACACATCTCGCCCCTTGTCGTTGCTAAGCTGTGGCAGGTTTATGGTGTCAATAAGGACATCTCGAGAGCTCAGCGAAGAGGTGCTATAATTGTTCTTGGTATGATTGCGACTGCCGATCCTGCCATCGTTATCAAAGATACCGAGACCATGCTCAGAGTAGGACTGGGTCCAGCTGGGCGGAAGGACCTTGTTCTAGCACGTTATACATGCGTTGCTTTACGGAGGATGATTCCTCCAGCTAAAAAAGCTCAGGACAAAACAAACAAAGGTATCGGGCGAATGCAAAACGATAGTCCAGTCCTTCGCCTGCTTGCATCGATGCTGCTTTTGCCTTCGACCAGTCAAGATTGGTATGGCATGGCCGAACAAGCTATTTCGGCTATCTACCTGCTCTCCGAACATCCAGATGTATTGTGCTCGGAAGTGCTGCGGCAGAAGACGAAGAAGGTATTCTCACATACACATGATAGACAATCAATTCCCACATCTCCGCCTCCAGAGGCGGATGAAGGAGCTGATGCGGACCCCATGGATGTTGATCAGCCAGAGAACTCCACACATAACAATATGACATTTCAACCAGAAACTCAACAAAGCATGCCACAAGAAGCAGAAACAAATCCAAAAGACGCGGCATTGGCTCTGTCACAATTGCTCTTCTCTGTTGGTCATGTTGCCATTAAGCAGATTGTGCATCTCGAGCTGTGCGAGCTGGACTTTAAGCGTCGGAAGCAAGATCAGGAGAAAGACAATGCTAACTCATCGCTAGAGGATACAGCTCAAACTCCTGCTGCTCGAAAGAAAAAGGGCAATCGACCAGAATCAGCAAAAGATGACGAGAAAGATGAGCTTGATATGATTGGCGGTACGACTGAAGACGATTTTACAGAAGCCATAACGCACGTTCGTGAACGTGAACTTCTTTATGGCCGTCAATCTCTACTCGCTCTTTTCGGCCCGCTCGTCACCGAAGTGTGTGCAAATAATACTCTATACGCCTCACGCCACCTCCAAGCACAAGCAACTCTATGTCTCGCCAAACTAATGTGTGTCTCATCCGAGTACTGCGAAGCCAATCTCCCTCTCCTCATCACCATCCTCGAACGCTCTCCCGACCCAATAGTCCGCTCCAACGCAGTCATCGCCCTAGGCGACATGGCCGTTTGCTTCAACCACCTCATCGACGAAAACACCGACTTCCTCTACCGCCGCCTCCAAGACCCCGACGATTCCGTCAAACGCACCTGCCTCATGACCCTAACCTTCCTCATCCTCGCCGGCCAAGTCAAAGTCAAAGGTCAACTAGGCGAAATGGCCAAATGCCTCGAAGATTCGGACCGCAAAATCTCAGACCTGGCGCGTATGTTCTTCACCGAACTCGCCACAAAGGACAACGCCGTCTACAACCAGTTCATCGACATGTTTTCCATTCTTACACAGCCAGGAAATTTCGAAGGCGGGATACTCGAGGACGAAGCACTACGACGTATCCTCAAGTTTCTGTGCGGATTCATTGAGAAGGACAAACATGCCAAGAATCTGGCTGAGAAGCTCGCAGCCAGGCTTGCGAGGTGTGAGAGTGAGAGGCAGTGGAATGATACGGCGTTTGCGTTGGGTTTGTTGAATAATGGGAAGAACGAGGAGATTGAGCGCAAGGTTAAGGAGGGGTATCGGGTCGTGGATGGTGCAGCTGCTTAGGTACAACAAAGTAGGTGTGGTTCTGGGCGTACATTTTACGAGTTAGGTCATTGGTCAGCGTTACGCGGGTGGTTCAATGTTTCAAATACGTGTATGAGTGTACAGTATGTTACGAGATATGACATGTAATGCGAAGCTACCCAGTTTGTCTCTCTGCTTTCGGATACAGCTTTGTGGCAAATTCCGTACTGCAAGTCAGCTTTACTCGTGCCAGCGTTTTTGTGCATGAAGGAACCCAAGAAGGAATATTGTGGTCAGGCATTAAGTTTGAAGCGACAACTGAGGATGCTGGTTCCACCTTCTCGATTACTCGGTGAGTCGGGCCTATCTATCTTATGTATTCCACATTTCACCACGATATACAGGCCCATATACAACGCGCCTGTTCAAGATCGTGAGATGTTGTCCCACTTTTAAACATCATTCTACTTTTGTCCTTCGCTGTTCCCAAGCTTTTCCTTAATTACAGGTCGTATCATTCGTTAATTACATAGTTGTTTCCTGGCTAATATCCCACATACTCAAGCTTGTGATCTTGATATGCACCAGTGTCAGTATCTTAGATTTCCATTACTTCCAACGCTCTGCACGGGGCTATCAACAAACCTTGCTCGCTTCTGTGTTTCCTTGTTGCTGCTCGAACTCAATGGTCTTGGCCCACTTGGTTTTCGTCCAATGTTATCGCCGCCTGGCGACCTCAATGCGGCGGCTGGACTCTTGTCGTAAATCGGACTTCCGGCTCTTGCTGCACGGACATCATCGACATAAGTACTTGGGGACATTGGTAGCTTGGGTGGACGCTGAGGGACGAGTGGCTCGTTGAGGTCGCTTTCTCTATCAGACATTTTGGGTGGTCTTGGTGGACCGCGTGTCCGTCGGGTGATCGAGGATGTGGATGCGCTGCCTGGACGATCCTGAAACGAACCGCCGTCAGATATCGGGCTGAGAGTACGTGGAATGTGAATCTGCTGTGACTGCTGCTGATTGGTGGTCTCCCATCGTTGATGTGAGGAAATCTGCGATATGGGAGATACAGCTCCACCAGCCTGGCCATCATTGTGGTAACTCCGTGCAGCATTTTCAAGGGTGTACTGATACCTTCCTGTTGGTCCTTGGCGAGGTTGCGGATGTTGCAAATTTTGGCTATTTCGATGGGCCTGGTATTTTGGATTATCTGATATGGCGCTAGGTACGAGAGGTGATGGTGGACGATTCTCATCTCCTTGCTCGGGACGATAACGATCGTCTGGCAAGGATGTTGCTGACCGAAAGCGGTCATCTGGGTTGTTTTCGTACGTGTACTCTTGTATGTTAGAGCCAGAGCGGGATACTTGAGAATATGGTCTTGGTTTGTCCTGACCACTGTGCCTGAAATCTGGATCTGTCGATGTTGTGGTCTTTGACCATCTCGACACAAACTTATTGGGCAAGATTGAGGAGAAAGTCTTGTGCTTCTTGTCTGTGGAGTTGTATGTGGTCGGTGTAATTTCCTCAGCATCATGCATTCGGGGCGGGGTATGCAATGGCTCAGATTGTCCTCGTCTGTAGTAGTCGTTTGATGGAGAAGCCGCTCTCGGTGTACGCTGATGGTCCGATACCCGCTCTGTACGCTCGTAGTTGTAGTTGTCCTCATCTCCTTCCATGACCGTACTAACCCTGTTCTCGGGCATTCTTCGTGCCGCACTGAACTGGCCTTGACGAGAAGAATTGTTAGAATGGTACAAAGAACGCTCTCCTCCAGAAGACGCGGTGCCTGCCCTGCCTTCAGGTTCGTACCCTGTATCAGTTGGTGGTCGTGCAGCATCCTCGGAGGCAAGACTGTCTGTTCGAGTTTGAGAGAGTAGAGGCTGCGACGCTTGCTGTGAACGTAGAGCTTCTACTTCATCTAGCAGTTGCATCAACATAGATTCGATATTTTGGAGTTCAGTGGAGTTCTTCGATCCCAAGCCTTGCAAAGCTCTTTTGAAGACATTACGTCGCTTGGTAGGGAGATCATCCTGAGGAGTTAATGTTCGCGTAGTACGGGCTCCAGTGGGCATTTGTCTTGGTCCACCAACAATCCTTTGAGTCTGAGCATGCTGGTCATCAGCTGTTTTTACGATCATGGCATCCTGGTCTGTAATAAAGTTCTTCATCTCCTCGAACGACTCTCTCATTTCAGCTGCGCTACGCACCAAAGTAAAGAGTATCTCTGTATCACGCGCGTTTCGCTGAGCGTCTCTGACAGTCAGATGTTCCATCAAATGGATGATGTCTTTGGACTGGATACGCTCGACACCTTTACCAGTAGCTGTGTCATAGAGCGGTGACATACCTTGAGACAGACCACTGATATACTGGTTCTTCTTAGATGTGAAAGGATCGTCGGCCCCTGCATCGAGCTCATGGTTGAACTCATATGCAGTCATGGCTGTAGGGCCAGCTTTTGTGATTGACGCAGGAGATGGATAATGGTCACCTTCACCTGTGGCATAGCCTTCATCCTTGAGGGCCAATGGTGCTGCAGCAGATGACCCGATCACATATGTCTTGGGCTTTGCATCGTAGGTGTGACGCTGGCTCACATTGAGTCCTTCAGGTATGAGATCTATTGCCCCCGAGCTGAAATCTCTGCTCAAGCCACCAGTAGGAGTGGCTACGTCGCCCATCCATGGATCTGTATGAGCACCAAGGCCACCGATAGGTCCTTGTATCACGGATGGGTTGGTCGTGATCTCGGACTGCGGTGACCCTTTGTCTAGGTTTTCTTGAGGCAAAGGTGATCGAGAGCTATGTATCCGTGGAGTTTGCCCAATATAGTCTTCCTGCTGCTCTTCGTAAGAATGCGCAGGGCTTTGTGGAGGAGAAAAATTGACCTGATGTGCGTACTGTGGCTGCTGTATACTAGCCTGGCTCTTCACAGACAGATGATCCTTCACAGGGCTCGCCATTCGGGCACCTACCATGTCTCGTGGTAAGGAATGAGTGCTGTGTCTCTCCTGCACAAAGGAGCCCTTGTATGAAGGTTGAGACTCACGCGTACTGAGTACAGAGGGCTCGACGAGAGATGCAACTCCCGACTCGACTCCAAAAGGCACAGGCACAATCTCTGGTCTAGCGCCTCGAACTGGCACGACATTTTGACCAGCAACTACCTTGTCGACATATTGTACGTCAGACGAAGCATCGGTGAGACCCGAGAGGCGCTTGTTGTCGACGCTTTGTTCTGACGCGGCATACGAATCTCGATAATGGTCATGGTCGTCTTCAATGAAGCGATCGTGAATGCCGACGGATTGAAACTCTGGTGACCTGATCGATTGAGCATCGTGTTGACCCATGATCTCGCTTCTGTTCTCAAGACTTATACCCTGAGGTCGGGGGGTCTTCTTTGGGTGAGGGCTTGCAGAGGTAAAAGAGCTGATGGATACCTCTTCCTTCAATTGCTGCTGTCGTTGCTTGGTGGAGGCAAGAGAATCAACACTTCGGCGCATCAGTGAATTTCGATTGTGGTCGTTGGTCTGATAACTCGCCACACTTTGGATCGGGCTCAGTCCACGTCTTATCGGATGTTGAGTATGTAAATTGCGCTCATACTGACGCATACGCTCTGGGTCCTCTAGCAGGTCTTCTGCGGAGAAAGAGTGGTAGTGATCGCTCTCAGCGGTATGTTCCTCTTTTTCGTCGTATGCTAGCTTCTGAGAGCTCAAGTTATGTTCGGAGAAGTTTCCATGGTGTAGACCTAACGTTTGTCTCAAATCGCTAGAGTGCCTAGGTGGAGTGTTGGATGCAGGAGACAACAGCTCTCGTGGAGCACCACGGGCGACATGTTTGACTTCAGGTTGTGTAGGGGTCTGAGAAGTTGCAGTATTCGAAGACAGTATGGAACTTCGAGTGATTTCTGAACCTAGATCGCTCTGCATGGGCATAGGAGGAACCTTGTGCTTCTGAAAGACCTCTTCACTTTCAGCAACACTAGCACTGCGACTACTTCTGCTCTTGCTACGCTTCCTTCTACGTTTTTTGTGGAGGCTTTCTTCGGAGTCTCTTGACTTCAATGCCGCAGCGGTCAAACCGGCACCAGCAAGCCCTGCTGCGGTCAGATCCCTGTTTCGACGGCTCTTGGAGACCTTTTTGGGATCCTCAGCACTGAGACTGGACACAGAAGCTTCGCGCCGAGAACTGCTATCGGATAACGAGTCATAATCATCGTGATGGTGATGGTTGCTTCTTCGTCTCCGGGAAGTAGATGTTTCGGCGTGATCTCTGCTCGACCTCCTTCGGCGAGGTTTGTCGCCGAAGACGGAACGGCGAGCTGACTTCTCGCGGACTATGCTACTTTCTGATAGATCTGAGTAGGTTTTGTCATGATTCGGGCGGGTTTGTTGTCGCTGATCCTTCTTGAGCTCCTTAAGCTCGGGCAGGATCAGACGTCGGATGGCGTCCTCCACAGTCTGAAGCAATTTAGGGTTATTGATTGAATTATTGGAAATAGCAGAACGTGCAGAGTCAGGGGATCTGGCGGACAGGACTGAGTTGCTTAGTAGGCTCGGTTCAGTAGGGCTCAAAGTGCTGTCAGTTTCGCGGAAGCTTTTGGGCTCAGTGGCGGCTCGGTTGTATGAAGCAGGGACTACGTCACGGCTGCCACTTCTGCTGGAAGTCTTGGAAGATTGTCCGTGAGTAATCTTGACCTCTCCACGCGGCCTATTATTTAATTTCTCTATCACTTTTTGTGTAAGTCTCTCATTGCTGAGATTTCGCTCTCGTGGCACGACTGGTGGTTTTAAGCCGGCAGACTCCTTGAGCTCGGGGCCGCTAAGGATCGAATCCTCGGCAGGGAGAGAACTGATACTAGAGGCTTCCAAAACCCTTGGAGCGAACAATGTCGATTGTTGTACACCAAGCATGGAGTCAGCTGGCATGGAGGAAATATCGGAGGACGCGACAATATATCGGGCCTCAGGCGAGGTGCTCATTTCGGAGTGGTCGCTGTGTTGTTGAATCTCGATATCGAGAGGGGCGGACTTGCGAGGATCTGGAACGTGCAAAGACTCCAACACGCTCACGTCGCTGTCAGCGGGCACAAAGGGTGGATTGCTAGAAGATAATGAGAAGCGGCTAGTGGTGGAGCGCCTTCTGCCAGCAGTATTTGTAGCTTCGGTCAAGACAAGATGACTTTCCGGATTGTCCTTGGTTTTGTTTTTAGACGAGGGAACGACCTTGACACGCACACTAGGACGCCTGTTGGGGTCGGACCCTTTCCCTCCCTCAAAGTATTCGATAAGGAGCGAGGTTTGAGAGTTCTGAGTGGTCTTGGTGATTTTGCTCAGCTTGGACGTGGGCTTTTTGGTAGATATTGTGATCGGGCTGCCGTCTTCGGGAATGGTATGGTGGGTTCGGTCGCTGCGCTGGGACAAATCTGTAGCTCCTTCCTCAGGCACTTCTGGCTCGACAACAGGTTCTTCTGCTGTCGAATCGTCAACCAATGACTCCGTGGGCGCAGGTAGTATAGGCTTACGACCAGCAAGGCCCATCATGAGACCTGACTGGACTGTGTGCAGCACATGGACTAGGCTGGCAAAGCCGAAGCTTCAGCACAGGTGACAAGAGTGGTTCCGATCTGGTAAGTCGTGTTTGCAGAACGAATTGTCGCATTCATAGAAACATGGTAGTGATGCAAGAGCAATTTCGATCTGGTCGTGGATGCTTGATATGGATCTGCCGTGTAGGCGATAGGAAGTGTATGGAAAACGTCTGCGATTGAGACTCAGCCCCAGTCTCCCAGGAAAGTAAGGTCTGCTTCTGGAAACTGTGCTTGCCGTACAGCGTCCAGGATTTGGACGGCCAGGATATGACTGCAACGCTCAATGCCGTTCAGATCGCAGGCGAGAGAAGGTGGGAGGCTGGTTTGGTGATAGGGCAGATAGCTGGAAACGTGCAAGAAAGTTGCAGGTGCAGATGGTGGCTGGGCCGGTAAGTAGCCTGGGACAGGGGCGTTGCGACCTGGACCAGGGTGCTAGTGATACACGACTCCAAAATTATCGTTCTCGTATGGACATGCACCACAAGCGACAGAAATAGGTGCGCATGAGCACAGCGACAACGTGGTTCGAACAGACTACAAACACTGCTCAACAGGCGGACCGTGTCCTTCATGGCGCTTTTCGTCGATGGCCATCTTGACCCACAACTGTGGGCTAGCTCCACACGATAATTATACAGATTCAAGCCAACGTGCGGATATGATGCAGAGATGCTGCAAGCGCCAACTCAAAAGAGAGTTGTCCGAAGCCTACCAAGAATCGAACCTCGTCAATGATGAGGATGAGCAGCAGGAATAAGCTGTTCGTACCTGCTCCGACAAGCGACCAGTATCGTGCAACTCTCGTGTTTTGGCCCTACTACGGACTATCAGACCATCATCGATCGGAACGTTTGACCATGTGCACAGGGTACCCTTATCGTGCTGCTGTGCTGTTGTAGCCAACGGCTCAATAAGGCGTTCTTTCAGCTTTCAGCAGCGATTTTCCAACTACACTTTACTTTTTTTTTCTTCTAAAGATGGCGTCTGCAACTTCTTCACTGTATCTCGCAGACTCATATGCGTTAGGCTTTAGCTCGTAGAACAAGCCACTTTGCACACAAACACATATCCCCATTTGGAACAGCTCATGGCTTCGGGGGTTACTAGATGGTTGGCTAGGAAAATAGCTTGGAGTGACGATCTTTGGGTATCACCCGCAGGGCCGGCACAGTAGCCGCGAGGCGACTAGCAAGCAGATAGCCGTTCTTTTCCTCCAATCCACGCCCCGATCGACCCAGTCACCTGGGTGATGGTCGACTTACTACCCTTGTTTCAGACTCCGATTCGTTCCTTTGCTGCTTCCACTCGCCAACGCATATGAATGATTCTATATTGAAGGAAAGTTCACCGAGAAAGCCCGTCAATCTGCAAAATGAGCGAGTGTAGGCTTGACTCAAGAGTAGGCTTGACTCAAGATGAGAAAGAATACGAAGGCCACTGTCTTTCCGTTGTACTCTATCTATGTATGTGCTCTGTTCTGCGCCAAACTTGGTTTGGTCTCCAATTCCTGCATGTTTTGCTTCTGCTTGTAAGGCCTACTCAGCGAAGAATAGTTGCCTCGGGCTACTGCAACAGCGACTCAAAGTCATAGCCCTTAGTACAGGAAGACGCGTCCTCGTGTAGCAGGTGATAGTCGAACATCTCCTTTCTGTGCATATGCTAAGTGCAAATGCATCTTCTGCACTTTCTGATCCTGTAACATCGTGGTCTTCGCGAAAGAAAAAAAACACGGCGCTTACTTCAGGCAGATATTTGTTTACTAAATCCACATTAGGAAAGGTGCGACCTGGTCGTTCGCGACTTCTTGTTCTGTGTACTGGGTTGCGACTGCTTCGGACGTAGGCAGTGAATTCATTGCGAATACAGTATTTACTCCCACACGATCACAACCGTACACATGAAGCGACCAGCCATGGAGTCGCCCGCACGACCGCTGCGTCGGGCAGCACGCAAAACAATAGTTTTAGAGGAGGAGTCTGACGATGAGCTGAGCCTGGTCCATGAAGCGAGGGACGACGAATTCACGCCTGCACCTGTGAAAACTCCACGTAGGACAGTGCGTAGACAGACCACAGCCAACACAGACGTCTCACCCAGAAAGAGTGTCCGAACAAGAAAAGCCAGAAGCGGCGACAGCGTCGAACCATCAATCATACTTGAGCACAATCCGAGCATCGTGCCCGCCCTTCCAGAGTCAGTATCACCAACGAAACCAGGACCTTCACGCAAGCGCCAAAGCACCGTTCCAAGAACAAGTCGCAGAAGTTCTGTAGCCCCTCCAACGTCTGCTCTGCCCACTCCAGCCCCGTCTGCCTCTCCCGAAGCCGCTAGCCAGGTGAAATCGAAGCCACTGGCAGACATTACCACAAAAGTCCTGAATCGCAGGCCGGAACCTGTACAGAATGGCAGGGATCCTGCGAAGTTGCAGGCACAAATCCATACACAAGAGGCTGTCCTCGAAAGACCCATGGATATCGCTCTGCGAGCGAAAGCCGAGGCTGCTACAGCACCCCTGGTCGAATTGGATACTATCCCCAAGTCAAGAATGGTCATCAAACAATTAGTCATGACCAACTTCAAAAGCTATGCCGGAAGACAGGTTGTTGGGCCCTTTCACCACTCCTTTTCATCCGTAGTTGGCCCTAATGGCTCCGGCAAGTCAAACGTCATTGACTCATTGCTGTTCGTGTTTGGCTTCCGAGCCAGCAAAATGAGACAAGGAAAAATCTCTGCCCTCATTCACAACTCGGCTCAGCACCAAAATCTTGATTTTTGTGAAGTAGAGGTTCATTTTCAGGAAGTGGTAGACCTGCCTGGTGGAAAATGTGACATCGTGCCCGACTCGACCATGGTCGTTTCACGCAAAGCTTTCAAGAACAATTCGAGCAATTACTACCTCAATGGCAGGACCACTAATTTCACAACCGTCACCACTTTACTAAAAGACAGGGGCATTGATCTCGATCACAAGCGTTTCTTAATCTTGCAGGGCGAAGTTGAATCTATCGCTCAGATGAAGCCAAAAGCTGCAAACGAGCACGAAGACGGTTTGCTCGAGTATCTTGAAGATATCATTGGCACTTCCAAGTACAAGACTCCTATCGAAGAAGCAGTCGTCGAACTTGAAAGCTTGAATGAGATATGTGTCGAGAAACAGGCTCGTGTACAGCACGTGGAGAAGGAGAAAAACGCCCTCGAAGACAAGAAGAACAAAGCTATTGCCTTTATCCAACAGGAGAATGAGCTGGCTGAGAAACAATCGGCCTTGTATCAAATCTACCTTGCAGAATGTGCCGACAACGTGCAGGTCACCGAGGAGGCCATCACGCAGATGCAGGCACATCTTGACGCGGAGCTGGAGAAACACACTGGTAATGAATCCAGTATCAAAGAACTGGAGAAGGAGTACAAAAGGGCCTTCAAACATTTCGATGCACTCGAGAAGCAGACCCAAGATTTTCTGAAAGAGCTGGCTAGGTTTGACAAGGAAAGTGTCAAATTTGACGAGAAACGCAAGTTCATTGTCGGCAAGCAGAAGAAATCAGAGAAAACGATTACCAGTAGTAGACTGGCCGGCTCGGAGGCGACGAGCCTCGTGCATAAATATACCGATGACATTGAGAAGAAGACAAAACAAATCGAAGAGTTGGAACGCGACGTACGAACAGAAGAAGCGGAGCTTGCCAAAATTCGAGACGATTTAAGAGGCAAGACTCAAGGTCTTTCCGAAGAGATTGCAGTGAAACAGAAATCGCTCGAACCTTGGCAAGGCAAGATCAACCAGAAAGAGTCAACCCTTTCCGTGGCTCAGTCCGAACTTGATATTTTGCTCGAGCGAGCCAGTGCTGGACAGAAAGCACTCGACGATGCCAAAAACAGGGCGGAAGAGATCAAGGCTCAAAAGGCCCAGAAGGAAGGGGAGATCGAAGAACGACGGCATGAGTTGAAGCGCCTTCAAAAAGACTGCCGCAAGCTCAACGATGCCCTTCAGAAACTCGCTAACAGTGAGCCTGAAGTTCGAAATCAGATCTCAAGCGCTAGACAGAAGGCCGAAGAAGCAAGAGGTAGTTTGGCTGCCACTCAAAACCAGGGCAACGTACTGAAAGGTCTCTTGCGATTGCGGGATTCTGGTAGAGTTGATGGCTTCCACGGCCGCCTAGGTGACCTCGGTACCATCGACGAGAAGTACGATGTTGCTATATCGACTGCATGTGCATCTCTGGAAAACATGGTTGTCGACACCGTCGAAGCTGGTCAGCAGTGTATTGAGTACCTGCGTAAGAACAATCTGGGTCGTGCGAATTTCATCTGTCTTGATAAGCTAGCGAGGAAGGATCTGCCACCAATCGATACTCCGGAGGACGCCCCTCGTCTCTTCGACCTGATCAAGACTAAGGACGACAAGTTCAAGCCTGCTTTTTACAGCATCATGCACAATACTTTGGTGGCCAAGGACCTCGAGCAGGCCAATAGAATCGCGTATGGTGCTAGAAGATGGAGAGTGGTAACACTCGACGGCCAGCTTATAGATATTTCTGGCACGATGAGTGGTGGCGGCACTCGTGTCGCTCGAGGAGCTATGTCATCTAAACAAGTCGCAGATGTCACCAAAAATCAGGTCGACGAGCTCGAGGCTGAGCGCGATGAACTCGAAAGCCAATTCAAGGCCTTCCTTGACAAGCAAAAGGAGCTTGAACAGACCTTGCGAGAGAAGCAAGAGCATATCCCCCAAGTCGGAACAGCTATCCAAAAGCTGCAACTGGAGATTGATGCTTGTGAACGCAATAAGGCAGACGCTGAGAAGCAATGCGATGACCTGGTAAAAGATTTGGCAGACGCGAAGACTGATGACTCTGCTATCAAGGCTCTCCAGAAGCAAATGGCCGCTACTGCGAAAGAGATCCAGAAACTTCACGCAGAAACTGCCACGGTCGAGAAGGAGATACAAGAACTTCAGAACAAAATTATGGAGGTTGGTGGTGTTCGGCTGAGAAGCCAAAAAGGCAAAGTTGATAGTCTGAAAGAACAGATCAGCCTGTTGACTGATGAGGTCTCTACAGCTGAGGTGGCCAAATCGAAGAACGAGAAGCTCATAATCAAGCACGAAAAAGCCAAAAATGATGCCGAGAAAGAGCTTGCTAACTTGGCCAAAGATGCTGAAAAGCTTGAAGAAGACATTCAGCTGCAGCGGTCCGAAGCTGGAGAAGCCAAAGAACGTACCGAACAAGCTCAAGAAGAGCTGGAAACAAAGAAGGACGAATTGGCGACCATGAAGAAGGACCTCGATGAACAAAACGCAGAGCTCAACAAGAGCAGAGCACAAGAGATTGAGATGAAGAACAAGCTTGAGGAGAATCAGAAAATTCTTGCAGACAACCAGAAGAAGAGCAAGTACTGGACAGAGAAGTTATCCAAGCTCACTTTGCATGACATCAAAGATCTTGACGTGCCAATCGCACCGAAACAGATACCCGAGCAGGAAATTGCACAGGCTGAAGAACATGGGCCGATTAAAGGAGAAATAGTGCAAGACACAGAGCCAGAGAGGGATAATATGAATATTAATAATTCAGAAGAAAATGCTGAGCCACCGGCACAAGAGGAGGAAGAGGAAGACCAGCAAAATCAGCTTCCACGATACTCCAGAGACGAACTTGCAGACATGTCGAAAGATCATCTCGTCGCTATCATCGCCGCGCTCGAGGAGAAAATTGCAAATACCTCGAATATCGACCTCGCGGTCATTGCAGAGTATCGCAAAAGGTGTCAGGATCTGGCAGTACGCACAGTCGACCTCAACGGAGCGCTGAAGACACGCGATTCGGCAAAGAACAGGCTGACAGACCTTCGAACTTTGCGATTGACACAATTCATGACTGGTTTCACAACAATCTCGCAGCATCTCAAGCAGATGTATCAGCTCATCACTCTTGGAGGTAACGCCGAGCTCGAATTAGTCGACAGCTTGGATCCTTTCTCAGAAGGGATACTGTTCAGTGTCATGCCGCCTAAAAAGAGCTGGAAGAACATTGGCAACTTATCTGGTGGCGAGAAAACGCTTAGTTCGCTCGCTCTGGTGTTTGCGCTGCATGTATACCGACCGACACCGTTGTACGTGATGGATGAAATTGACGCCGCATTAGATTTCAGAAACGTAAGTCTGCCTGACCCCTCGGATTCCTACTTGTCGTACTAACCTTTCTGCAGGTATCGATTGTTGCAGGCTACATCAAGGAAAGAACGAAAAATGCACAATTCATCGTCATTAGTTTGCGAAACAACATGTTCGAACTCGCTGAACGGCTGATTGGTATTTACAAGGTCAATCATATGACGAAAAGTGTTACGGTTGACAACAAAGATTACATCCAACGACAGTAGTGGGGACTGTCGGGTCCGTAGAGATATTGATGTTTGTATTTATGATGTTACGTACGATGATGCTCTCAAACTACCCAAGGCAGAGCCCAGTCATGGTTCATCAGAGTACTATCAACTAGATTCTTGATAAGTTATATCAATATCTACTGATCTAGGAAATCGAATGACTGGTTAACATTTCTTTGGTTGGTGTTTCAAGTTGTTTTGTGGTATGGTATCAAAAAGTAACTTGCAAGTCACAAACCTTCGCGCACGCCCGCTAAGCGCTGGAACCCTCTAAGTTAATAAACTGGCCTTGAGAACCACCAACCATCTTCCAGTAGCAATTGCTCGCTAACACAGCTGCCGCACTCTCGAACACGATGACTGCTTCTGAGAGACATGCTCTGCCGACATTACTGACGCTACCAACTGAAATCAGACTTCAGATATGGAAATATGCCTTCGGTCAAAGACACTTGCCTGTATACAGTCATCATACAGAGACAAGATACTCGAAACAAGACGATCCGAGCCGTTCGTGTGAGGCATGCAAAACCAGTTCACTACCTGCTGGGGTTCGCAGTCCTCACGAGATTTATAACCATGCATTGAACCAACTACTCGCGTCAAAAACAGTTTTCAACGAAGCGATTGACACTTTTCAGTCAACTCTAACGCTACACGTCAAGACACCAGAAACGATAGCATATGTTCGCTCTACAGCGTCCTCCCTCCTACGAGAACGGATCAAGAGAATCGTTCTGTACATCCATTTCGACCATGACAACCATTTCTTGTGGTGCATGCGACTCTTTGAGCTACAGGCCGTGCTTCCGGCCTTGACTCACATCAACGTCGAATATCATATGCGGCCACCATCCAGCTACAACAATGTTCTAGACGTTGTCCTGTTCTACATGCCTATTCTGGAACTTGGTCCGAGCCTCAGTCCACCTCGATTTGTGGCCAAGTCGGACAGTCGATTGGATCATACTCGGTTCTACCTCGATCAAGCTAATTCCAACAGCGTGATACCATGCACTGATCATGCTGCTGGTCTGACGATACATACCAGCTACATGAAGCATGAACGTCTGTTTGATGCAGAGTGGCTTGGCGAGATTTGGACAAATGATGCAATCGACGAGCACACTGGGGTAGTTCGCGATCTCTTCCACGATGCGAGATTTGTCGCTGCTGCTCATCATGTCGTGATGTCGAATCGCCAAGCGATAGACGCTTGGGTGTCCGCCTCGTATCCACCTGATGAGTATTCTAGCACTGTGATCGAGCGCGGTCTTCCGGACAAAACTTATGTTCCCGCTCTTCACGAAGCTCTTGTTCAGGTAGCGCGGCGACACGAAAGACCGTTCTTTGAGAAACTACAAAAACGTCGCATAGTCGAGATATATAGGATACGCAGCGGCATGACCAGAGCAGAGGCTGAGAGGTTGCTTGACCGGCAGTTGCAATCCTTACCTGAAGGTCAGGGTATTGAGAATTTCATCGAGAGGATGATGAATAACGATGAAACTGAAGATCCTTGGCAGGCAATGGACTTTGATGCAGATGCTGAATTGCAGCGATAAGAGGAATGCAGCCAATATCGCGGTTTCCCAGGAAGGAGACAGCCCCTGCTATGCCAATTCGTTGATCGGCTTACGACGATCAATCAAATTCCAAGATGGTTGCGCCGGCGCGATTGGAAGCTCGATCGGTTGGTCGAGGATATCTATTAGGTTGTTTTCGTGATGATTCTTGTTTGACCTCTCCATCGTACTTTGGCTGTGACCTTGTTCATCAGACGATCCAGTATTCAGCAAATGGTCCCTCTTTCGCCGCCTGTACCAAAGGAAGACAACAGTGATCACGATCAATACTGGGATGCCAACACCAACTCCAGTACCCGCCTTTGCCGCAGTAGAGAGACCGTGGCTATCGCCAGCTGTAACACTAGAAGTACTGGGGAGAGGAGTCGTTGCTGTCGGGCTGGCGTCGGCAGAAGCACTGTTACTGGGTTGGCTCGTTATCTGCTCACCAGTAGCATAGTCGATGAAGACTCCTTGACCTTGCGAACAACACCCGTTGTTGCCAGAACCATAGCAGAAGCTGCCGTCATAGCAGGCGGTCACTTGGACATCGGCAATCGCATCTCCGTCGGCTGCATCATATTGCTCATTAGCAAGGAGATCCTGACACGTACGTACAACATTATCAATTCTTTGCTTGGTCTGGACAGGAAGAGTTTGAGGCATGCAGGATCCTGCCAGGTTGGATCCGTGCAGCTCAGCCTCCAAAGAACTGCATCTTTTCCACGACATATACCCTTCGGAAGACATTCATCGGAGTTGTTGAATCATGCTACTCGAAGAGGTCCAGTACCGCAACACATTGAATGTTTTGCTAAAACAGAAAAAGAGTCAGCAGGGGCAGTCCGGAAGCAACGCAATCTGGATGAGAGTGCACATACCGGTAGGATTGCATGGTTGGTAGTATTCGCCGTCAGACCTATCAAAGTATGCGTTTCTGTTCGCTCCATCTGGACTATAACACGGAGGATCTGCTGCTAGAGCGACCTTAAGGACAAGTATGGCACACAGGACAGCCACGAGGCAGACATGGTTGACCAGCATTGTTGATATCTAATTCTTCTCGACAGAGTACTGTGCACCACCACGAAGAAGCAAGAAACGCTACAGATCAAAAAGAGGTTGGGCACAGCGATAAGAGGACTCCAAGCATGTCACCTGGTGGTCACCAAAAGGTGTCCGATGCAGTGAAGACCCAGGTCTTAGCTAAAGCGCACTAGCTCGAGCTTGTGGTTTGTGATCCCAGCCGCTGCAGAAGAACCTATCCATCATCGTACATACTGTAGAGAAGGACTATTGTCAGCGGTTGTTCCGTGACAGACAAAAACATCTATGCACTAATAAGCGCCGGCCTTTCTGATCCATCCAAAGCGCGGAAGGCAAGAAAATTATAATTCTTCAAGAGTACAGCAGAATAGGGTTGAGGAAGGTTAGAGCTGAACATCGGCATGGCCTTGATCCCTGTTGGAGCTCTAGACCCAAGGCTCTCTACTGTGCCTCACCCGTCATTCCAGGTTGCGATTGTAGCTTTATTTGTATTGAGTACATCCGGCCACCTTCACGAAGCCGCGCTATTTCCAGATAGCCAACTCAATCCCCACTACCCGAGTGCTAAGTACGTAGCTGCGTCGTGGCTGCTTCCTCTCTGAATAGTGGCGGGTCGACACGCCGTCCTTCTGATCGCCACTTTCCCCTTGGCGCATACCATAGTAGCTTGGTTTCGTGTTGCCCTGCCGGCATGCCTTATCTCACTTGGGTAGTCGATCAACCAACGACAGCTGACAGCTGCTGGGATAGTCTGGCTCTCGAGCTGTGGAAACAGTGATTGTTTCAATTAGCTTTCCAAGCTTGAGAACAAGGTGAAGGCTAACGGTGTGCCGTCCCTTGTCTTGACTCAATAGATCGACAACCCCATGCAAGCCTCTAGTCGTCAGCCGAAGTACATATCGGAGCAATCGAAGCAATCTAAACGTAGTATTGCTTCAGGCCAGACTCGAGACTCTGGCTTGTTTCTTCGAGGCGATTTATTCAGCCGATGGACCTCGAGATATTGATAAAGGGCCGCCAGAAATTCAGCAAAAATTGTTATATATCCAGAGTTCGTCAAACCGTTGATCCAAATTTGCTCCTTTAGCCTAAGATACCTCCTTCGCACATTGAACAATGCTAACCTCAGATTTTCATCAGTCATAGCCAAGTTCGTCGTCCATAACGTTCACTAACGCTTGTCTTGGTGTTTTCTCCTTTGTACCTACTACGGGTGGCCAAGCCTTCATTTTCTGGCGTAACTGCTCGACTTGTGGTAGCGCTTCACTCAAGTTTCTATTCTCTAGTGAGCTCGTGCTCACTGTCTTGCAACAATATATGTGTTGACTTACTTCAAGTTTCCGTGGACCACATAATTTTGCTCTGCCAGTGCTTCGGCCAATTCTAGTTGGTGGTTGTCCAATAAATCTGTGTTCGGAACCACAATAATGGGCACCTCTATCCGCAGCGCGTCGAGGATGGAACCTGAGCCTGCCTACCATTAGCAGCTTCTTCTCAGATCAGATTTGAGCGATCTCCTTACCAGCATGGCTTATTACACAGCCCTCAGCGCCCTGTTGCCCTCCGCCCTTTCTGGCAGCCAGCATTTCTTCCCTGAGACCGTCCTTCCTAAAATCAAAGCCGGTAATTTCAATCTGGACCTTTTGCTTCAGATCATCGGGAAGCACCCAGATGTAGTCTTCGAAGATCTTCTTGCCATCTTTGCCATACTGTATGCGTAATTCTGTATATTTCTGGGCATGAAGAGTTTCGAGAAAGGCGGGCTCCAAAACAGCACGAATCAGGCTTGTAAATGAGGCTGTTGCACCTACGGTCACGAAGCAACGTTTACTGAGGCTCGATGACATTTCAACTCCGCGAGACACTTCAGAAGTAGCATTTTGAAGATAGACAATGATGGAGCAAGACCCAGACATTTGAACTTGATGTAGAGGAAATACGGCGCTCGGTAATTGAGGGTAGCACATTGTACGGCAGTGCGAGCGGCACTTCGTGTACGTGCACCTTCCTCATCCTCATTTTCGAAATAGCACCATCGAGCTCGCGAGTCGTATTTCGCATTGGTCTATCAAGACAATGGCAACAGCATCGCGACATCTCTGCCGCACTTTGCTCCGAATATCAAGCCGTCCACCAACGAGGCGGAAATGTCAACGGATAATACCAAGCAGGATACAGCCATCTCCTTTCCGACAGCTCAGTACAACCTCGTACAGACAAGCAGATTCCTCTCAATCCCAATCAAACGAAGACGATACAGTCGATCCAGACGATCAATTCCCAGATGACGAGTTACAAGTTCCAACTCAACCCTACAAGCTTTCCGACCTTGATGCTGAGGACCGTGCTCATTATGAAACTCTTTCAAAGCCAGAACAGACACGATATATGGCCTTGCAGAACCATTTCAAAGCTATAGCGGAAGGTGAAGAGATGTCGATAGTAGACGATGAAGAACTTGAACAATATGCCGCTGACTTGGAACGTAATGGGCCTTTGGCTGGGGAAAACTTCATGGAGCCACCGCCCCCACGAGAGGCATTGAACGATGCATTCTGGGCTCTAGGCGAAGAGGACGATGATTTCACGCAGATCCCTGATGACGATGACGATTGGGATCCCAGCATGATGACTAGTGTAGCAGAAAGTGAACTGGAGGTCCATAGAGAGACTAGAGAGTATACTCGAATTGCTGCTTGGGATTTGCCGTTACTTCTGCGTAAGTCACGATCTGCTGACGCACAAACACATGCGACACTGCTGACCATCGAGTAGAATACGCGAAGCCTTGGACGGTACCTGATATGAAAAAGCAACCTCTTCGCTTTCGATATACAACCTATATGGGCGAGACACACCCCGCGCAGAACAAAGTCGTCGTCGAATTTACGACGAAAGATTTAGCAAGTGCTACTTCTCTGTCCGAAGCACAACGTACAAAATTGATCAAATTGGTTGGTGTGCGATACAATCCCGATCGAGATTCCGTCCGCATTTCCTGCGAAAACTTCGAGAACGCGGCTCAGAACAAACGCTATCTGGGAGACTTGGTACAGAAATTGGTCAAGGAGGCGAAAGACAGTACTGATACATTCGAGGATGTGCCACTAGATTTTAGACATCACAAACCACGCAAGGTTGCGATTTTCCCAGATAGTTGGAAAATTGATGGGCAACAGGGTGTGCAGAGCTTGACGGAAAGACGCGGAGCAACGAAACTGCTCGAGGAAGGGGAAGCGGCTACCGCGCAACAACAAAAGAAACCAGTCGACGGTAGGGAAATGGTTGCTATGTATGTGGCTGCGAAGAGCATGATGCCCCAAGCACAGAGGTCGAATGCAATGATGCGGTAGTCTCACAAGATCAAGACTTACACGATACAAGAAAAGAGCCACGACGAAGCTGCTCCCAGGATCGGATCGAAGTCAAGGAGGTTCGTGAAGGCGCCTACAACCTGCAGAAGCAAGCAATATCCGTTGTCAACGCTCGAATGCAACGACACTTGTGAGAAGCCCTCGGCCGTGTCAGCTTACCAGGACTCTTTAGCAGCCCTTCCACATACATACAGACGAGCCACATTATTTCACTTGCACAGGATATGCACGCGAGATTAGTGATCGCAAGACACGAACTATCTTCATGCATAATACATCGCCACAAGCTTCACGACGTGCAGAACAATTTACATATTACGAGGCTATCCCTCAGTCGTGTGTCTCGAATCTGTACATTCTCTCGAAGATTGCATAGCAAAATCTATATTTCAATTCTCCACCGCGACGCTCTCTTCCAGAACAAATCTATGTCCAAGCCCTGTAGCTTGACCACATCTCGGCCTGGAGGAAGAATTTGGATTTGAGCTCAGAGAAGACGCTAGCACCATTTCATCTAGCGTGTACTGTGGAGCTACGCGAATCTCGCACATTGGAAACTTGAGTCTGCATGCACATAAATCGCAGCAGGAGGCTACAGGGACCATTTGCATCAAGAACCACCTGTGCTGTCTATGGCATCACTGCTGGTGCCACGGTCAAGACTACCATTACTAACGCGAAGCACGAGTTTGTGGCTAACACTACAGACTTGCTGTCGATCAACTCGAGTCGCGCTCTCGCCTATCACTGGTCCGGACAGCTACCAGCCTTGGCACCGACCATATACAACTTCCACCTCCTGCCTCAGCCGACGGGCTCACACACCCAACAAAGTCGACATGCCACTCGCAAACGACTACATACTGACCTTGTCATGCCCCGACAAATCAGGTATAGTCCACGCAGTAACCGGCCTCCTAGCACAAAACAACCTCAACATCGTAGACCTACAACAATTCTCCGACCCATCTTCCCAAAAGTTCTTCATGAGAATCCATTTCGGCCCAGCAGACTCAACACAGCAACTCACAGACTCCTTCGCAACTCTCCAAAAAGACCTACAATGCGGCCACTGGAACCTCAGACCAGTGGCTCAGAAACCCAGAGTTCTGATCATGGTCAGCAAGATCGGGCATTGTCTAAACGACCTCCTCTTCCGTGTAAAGACTGGCCAATTACAGATCGAAGTTCCAGTGATAGTATCCAACCACTCAGACTTCAAAGACCTCGCAGCAAGCTATAACATCCCCTTTCACCATCTTCCCATCACCAAAGACACGAAATCACAACAAGAAGCACAGATCTTAGAGCTGATCAAGACCGAGAAAATCGACCTCGTGGTTCTAGCGCGATACATGCAAGTCCTCTCCTCGACGTTATGCACCGCCATGTCTGGCAAAATAATCAATATCCACCACTCGTTCTTGCCGTCTTTCAAAGGTGCGAAGCCTTACCATCAAGCTCATGAAAGAGGCGTGAAGATCATTGGTGCCACGGCTCATTTTGTTACCGCGGATCTGGATGAAGGGCCAATTATTGAGCAGAGGGTTGCAAGGGTAGATCATGGTATGGGTCCGAAGGAGTTGGTGGAGGAAGGGAGTAATGTGGAGAGTCAGGTGTTGGCCGCAGCTGTGAAGTGGTGGAGTGAGGAGAGGGTGTTGTTGAATGAGGTTAAGACTGTGGTGTTTAATTAGAATGGATTGTATTGTATTGTTAGGTACTAGATGGATACTATCTATACTCAGCAGCTATCTGGCCTCGTGCAAGATATGGCTGGATCATGCTTTTCTAGAGGATGCTGTGCCTGTTTGCCAAACTCCATATTCTCCCTATACAGGTCTTGATTCTCTGATCGTACCTCTATTGCTCTTTTCCTTGCATTCGCCCATAGGATACCGCCATAGTCAACCATACACAGGGTATCTCCAATTACACTTCATTCTTCATTCCCGCGATACACATCGTACCACTGGGAGGCGTACTGGCAACCCGTCATCTAGGCCTCGTCTTTCTTACCAGCATCGACCTTCTTCGAATAGATTCGCCGACTCTTAGTTCGAGCAGGTCCAACTCGAGTACCATGCTTCGCAGGTGCAGACAGAGGAGCTTGCTTTTTGTCAGCCTCGCGAACATCCGCTCGACCTCGGAGTGTGGACTTTGCTTGAGCAAGAGCCTGTTCCTGCATCTTGTTCAAATTGGCTTGCTCTTGCTGACTTGTGGCACGTGCCTCGCTCTCTGCATCTGCTGCTGCTTCTCGTGCATCTTGTTCCTCCTGCTCACGGACGAGTCCTGTCTCGTAGTCAGTGGCGACGGAGTCTCTTCTCGACGTTGTACTATCGCAATGACTTGCATCTGCATAAGCTTGCCATTTCTGAAGACCTTCGGAAGGCTGAAGGGTCTGCTGTTCTTTCGAGTGAGCTGAGGCGTCATCTGAACCCGCCGACGTGGGCGTAGAGCTGCCAGATTCAGCAATATTGCTTGAGACCGAACGACCAGTGTCTGACGTAGTCGACGCAGATGAAAAGCTTTTGCGGTCAGTATCGCCAACAGGGCCCGGAGCGGGTTTCAGTGGAGCGAACTTGCTGTTCAGTAGACCGTTCACTGGCTTGTTGGTAGCAGCTGGGGTAGGAGGTCTTGATTCTAGGTCAAGCAGGTTTGGCTGGGTTTTGGCATGAAGTGGTCGTGGTGCAGCAGTGATGAGAGCTCTGTTTGGGCCGCTTCGAAGCTGATGGAGGGAGGAGTTGACGGCTCGAAGCATTGGAGTAGGGATAGAAGCTCGGCCATTTCGTGCACCAGTTCTCCAATTGGCTTGCATTGGGGAAGGCGATGGCGAGAAGCTTCGATAATGAGCACCACTTCCGGGAACAGCGTTCATTCTACCAATACCGTGCTTCTCTCGGAACCATTTTGGAATGTCCTGGAATCCTAGGTGGTTAAGTGTATCCAAGTCCAATGGCATTATATGCTTGTACAGACATCCTTGCTGGGCGTAGTCGCACTCTCCAGTGCTCATCCAGTGAGAGCAATACACCTTCTTGCCTTTCGGAGGTAGCCGTGAGTCACTATCAGACATGCTTTGCCATTGCGAAAGTGGTCCGAATTTGCTGAATGGTTCCTCAGACTGCTCGTTGACAGGAGTAGATATAGGCTGAAATCCTGTGCTTCCAGGTTTTTGCCCTGCGACACCATAAGACTTTCCTGGAGCCGTCAAATCGGTGTCCGCAGCCGGAGGTTGTGTCTTGCTCCCAACGAATTCTGCAGCTGCTGGATTTAAGCAGTCATGAGATTGTCTCTGGTTAAAGGCAGAGAGAGCAGAATTCTTGTTTATGTCGATGATGCGGTGGAGTTCGTGTCTTGCTTCGTGTTTGCCTGGTGCAGCGACCATGTTGGTCTGGGCGATGTCCTCAACACTCAAAATTCTGGGAACGCCTTCAATCTGGATGCTTTGAGGTACCTCGTCCATAGCTATGAGTGGAACTGGACAGCCATCGGACCTCAGAAAGTAGAAGCGCGCTCTAAGTGGTTCTGCCATACTCTTGAATTCGGAGATCCAGCAAAATAGGTGATAGCGCTTGTTGATGTTGTACTAATATATGTCGCCCCAACTAGAGGTTGTCCCAGATCTAATAGAGCTATTGGATAGGTCTGATGTCTGAGCTAAGTATAGAAGTTGAGGACGAAGTAGTCGTATATTTGTAGATCTAGGCGAAGCAGATCCGTTTGCACTGGATTGTCGTTTTCAAGGCGCAGAGCTACCGTTTGTGCTTGAAACAATGCTTGTTGGCGACAATCTTCAAGATTGACACAACTGTTGTGTCAGCTTTTGCAAGTGTTGGCTGCTCGAGGTATCAGTTCAGTGGATCATATGGTATTTAAGTGCAATAATAATTTCAAGGCTGGATCAGGTAAGGAAACGGAACGTGGAAGTTGTTAAGAACTCAAAATTTATGGCAAAGATCCGAGATGCACATCAAAGAACGTGATAGATTGGCCTGGACGACACAGGCAACACCCACAAGGAAGGACAGCTCTGTCAAAACACTTTCAGTAGTTTGCTGTGTAGGGTCCTTGCTTCTATCAAAGAAGACCAAGGACGGGAATACCCGCATCTTGCTTGCATAATTCAACAAGGTCGTCTTTTCAAACAGACAAGGATAGCGCTTGACGCGTTTGTCAAGTCGTAGATGTTGAAAGTGTTTGTTATGGTTGAGTCGACATCGACAGGATTGTAGGAATAATGGTAATAGAAGACGTTTGTGTTTTGCCCGTGGTGGGATGCCGGCAAACCTGCCCGTTTGGTAATCAGCTTGAGCCAGCAAGGCAGTCACGATCCTAACAAAAAGCAGTTAGGGTTGACGTGTTGGCTGCAAGGGGGATGTCTGACGTCCGCTCGTCAGGGACAATGGACTTTTGCTTGGGAGAGCGTTGTCTGACTCAATGTCTATCTAAGATCTTGTCGTGTCTGTTCTTGTCTCATATCACATGCTTCTCATATCATTGCAGTCCTTTCACCCAAAGCCTCAACCCACTGGCCGCAGCACCAATCTCACAGACTTCACATACTCTGCAAGTTTGTCCTTTGTACTCTGTTTGATACTTTGAGCCATCGTAGGGACAGCTCACACTCTGACTTCCGCTATATATGGGTGTGTAAGAAGCAGCACAGATATCAAAATCGGCGAATTGGTCGTATTCAATGTCGATCTGGTCCTGCGAACCAGCTCGTTCTGCTTGTTGTTTGGTTTTCTTGGCCTGGAGAAGCAGTTAGTACCACAGTTCAGAGACAACTCAGCATTGACGACGTACCTGATCGAGAAGTTTGGCTGCGCCACTATTGTTCGCCAAGACTCTATTGGCGAAGGACAGAGCGCTGGAATACTGCTTGTTTGTGAAAGCCAACCTCATCGCTGCCATCAGAGCCAATTGACGATGTGAGACATCGAGCTTAGGCACTGTGAAGTAAGCGGAAAGCTCTAGTTGTCTCTTAAGATCACCTTCCCCGCTAGAGGCTGCTAGTGTTCTTCTCTCAAGCTCAATGTTCATAGCTAGGGCATATTCCATCGATTTTGTTATTAGGGCTTTGGCATCGTCGACTTGCGACTGTGAGCTGACCACATTGACAAGCAGTGCCTGCAACATGCGTTTGAAGATGACTACACCGTCTTCAAGTTTGTTGGTACGCATTGCGACGTAACCTTCCTGCAAGTCGTTTGACGTTAAGGATTCAAGATTTCGTGGTATGATTGGTAATACTTTGCGTGAATCTATTTCGTCGATATTTCTTCGGACATGATTGACGATTGATGTCAAGCCTGTACTGGCAGGCAAGAATGTTCGCGATGCTTGGTAGATCTCCATGAATCTTGGTTTCAGAGGCGTAAAAGAGACTGCACCGACTTGTCTGTTTAGCAGCTGCATGGCAGAATCGAATGAGCCGCCGGCAACGTGATCTGCTGCGAGTGGAGAGTTCCTCGACCAGATATCTGCCTCTGAAGTGCCTGGACCTGTAGTATCAGTAGGCACATCAGGGTTGTCTACATTGACAAAATCGGAATCATCGCCTGCAGGCTCGAGCCCGGCGTCATCACCCATATCCCAAGCATCGCCAGGGTCTTCGTCATCGCCTGCAACAACGCCATCTTGATCGCGGGTCGCAACGGGTAGGTCTTCCTCTAATAGGTTTGGTTCAGCATCGTCAACTGGGCCACTAACCTCGCCTAGAAGTGCTTTCTCGAAAGACGAATGTGCGGCTTCCTTGACAGGCCAATTTGATTTGAAAGTTGGTGCAACAGCACTAGGAGCCTTGAGCCCTCCCTCAACACTTGGCATTGAGATCTCGGCGTCAGTCAGACCAGTCATCTCGAGGATCGTTTCGCACTCTTCGACGAGACCGTGCGATTTCGCCGTCAGATACGCTAATGGGTAAAGGTCGATTTCCTTGAACATTTGTATCCTACTTTCCACATCACCGAGATAAAGTGCATTCTGAAATCGAGAAACAAAATCACCACGATGCTCAGCAATCTTAGCCATACGAGTCAGCTTTTCACCATCACCGGTGCACAAGTACAGAAAAGATAGTTTGTCGAAGTTGCGCATTTTCTGATATGTCATTTCGACAATTTGATGGTTGCCGTGTATTAGAGCTTCCGACCCGAGTCGTTGCCAGAGTTTGGGTTTGTCGATTTGCTTGGCCATTTCTGTAGCCACTTCAAGATTGCCACATTCGATGGCCAGCTCAAAACGCGTTTGTGGGTCTTGTACAAATTGGAGGGCAATTTCCGGGTAGCCCTTCTTTTGCAGGTATGAGATTATGCTCTGTCCAACGAGGCTCGAAGTCTTGATAATCTGCAGCATTTCGTCATAGTTTCGCTTGACCAGGGCAAGCTTGAACCGATATTCGGTAGGGTCGATGGTGAGTACCCGTGGCTTCGCTGCGCGATCCAAGCAATAGACGCTTCTACCTTTGACCTTGACCAGATACATGGTTTGGTCGAGTGTCCTCACAATACCATTATCTCCATTGAGAAGGGTGTATTTGATGTGATTGAGTGTGGAGTAGAGCAGGACCCCGGAATCGTCCCAGGTGGCGCTTTTGATTCGGATGGTCTCATGTAACGTGCTTACTTGTTCCAACGATTTGGTGATTATGGTGGCGTTGTGTTTGCTAAGAAGTGCAGCGTACATGCCATCGTTCGACCATGAGACATACTTCACACCAGCTACAGCCAGCTCGGCTAACTGCTTCTTCTGCTGTATATCGTAGAGTACCACATGTGTTGGTGTGAGACAAAGAATACAGCCAGTGCCGCCGAAGACGACGTCTGTCGTACCAGAAGGTGCCTTGAAAGATTTTGTGGTTGAGTTGCTTAGGTCCTTGATATCAATGTTCTGTGTCGCAGTACTGAATACAGCGAACCTGTTGCGAGCGACGAAAACGGCAGAAGTGCCAGTGCCTTTCTTCATGTCTGTGGGATCCGATGCGCCTATAGCATCCTTGGGTAGACCTATGAGTTCGTAAGTACCGTTGTCGACAGGTGAGGTCACCAGTATTGATCTTTCTGCGGGATTATAGGATAATGTTCGTGGTGGTACCCAGCTGTTACCGAATTTGCGTAAGGAGAGTAAGGAAGGGGATTCGGCGTTCTTGGTGAAGTCGTAGGACTTGACGTGCTTGTCCTTGGTGACGTAGAAGAGGGTGTTCTGATACAGCGATGAGGCAGGTCTCTCACGCTCAAGCTTGAAGACCATGACACCATTATCGTGGCCAGCAGCAAAAAGGTTGATTTCGGGATGGGCAGCGATAACCCAGAATCGGTCGTTTTCTCTTTTGAAAGATTGTACAGCTGTCCTTCTGTTGAGATCCCAGACTCGAACAGTCTTGTCCTCACCAACTGAAAGGATCAAGTCTTGGTGTGGATGAAACAAGCAAGCCGAGGCATTCTGGAAGTGGCCTCTACATGTATCAACTTCCCAAGCTTTTGTCTCGCTCATACGCCAGAGCTTGATGAGTCTATCATCTCCAGCAGAGACAATCAGGGGCAGTGTTGGATGAAAAGCGACCCAATTGACACCTCGATCGTGACCTTCGAGTACAAACTTGACGACAGCATCTGTGTTTCCAAACATGTCGGCCTGTTGCTGGTTCGCCCTGGCCATCTGATCTTCGAAGCTCATTGAGGTAGGAGCCGAGTGCTTCTTTCTCAACCCAGAGATGTCCCATACTCTTACCGACTGATCCAGAGAAGCGGATACAATCAAATCCTCCTTGGGGTGGAATTGCGCGCACATGGCGTAGTGGTTGTGACCAGTCATTGTGCAGATCAGCGATCTATTTTGCCAATTCCATATTCGTATAGTCTGATCGTCGGATGCAGACAGGATCCAGGGTAGCTCATGGTGGAAGAAAACAGTTCGGACGTAGTCAAGGTGACCATTCAAGGTAAACAAGCAACGCCTCGTCTGATACGACCACACTTTGATCTTATAATCATCTCCTCCGGAAACGAACAGTGGTTGTGTAGGATGGAAATCGATTCCTCGTACCGGTCCATCGTGCTCTTCGAACCGATCGATCAACGTGCCCATGCGATAGTCCCATAGTTGAATAGTCGAGGAATGTAATGAAACGAGGATCCAAGGCCTGCAAGTTGCTGGTCAGTTATGGTTATACACACAAGGTTTGCCAGGGACGAACCTCTTCGGATGAAATGCTATGCCCTTCGCTCTCGACGACTTGGACTCAAACTGTACTAGGGTCAGAAGTTGTGCTTGAGGGTGGTATGCAACAGTATCGTACTTTTGTGAGCATGCTCGGTGAGGAAGCCATGCTGGCTTTGATGTGAGGAATAGCCACTCAACTTTTTCTAGTGAAGGAAGTTGTGTTCGCTACCGTGTCATCCTTTTGGTCGCGCAATCTCCTGCTCAAACCACCTGTCAGAACCTTTGCTACGACTGACTATTGCCCTGTTGACACTCTGGTTCATAGGGACATGCCGCACAGCCTTGTGGGTGGCTCCTTCCTTCCCGGTATGCCAAGCCACAAGGCTGCCGGCATCATCGATCTTGAACTCGAGTTCAAATTCAAAAGCGAACTGTTGTCACTACTTCTGGGTTTCGTGAACACTGCCAAAGGATTACTGCGGTAGTAGTCTGGACAACAAAAATTAGTGTCTGACCACTCTCCACGTGCGCTTTTTGCAAGACATGGACGTTCTTGCTTTTCTACATGCATGCATGGGAATATCTAGGTTGGTGACATGACTTTACTCTTACACAGGACATGGATCGAGCAATTGTCAGAGCCATACATGCGAACTCTCATGTAGACGATGTTGGGACTATCCAACGTAGACGCAGCAACCGGTTGCGTCAAAACTCATCAAGTGAGCTTTCGATCGAAGAGCTTCTTCCAGATGATATGGGTTATGATGCGGACGTGGAAACTGTGCATCCGGACACCTATGAAGAACCTGAATCTGATGCTGATACACTTCCATTGCCAAGGAGGAGATTCTTTACTGTCGATGAAGAGCTAGCTGCTCGTATGAAGCATCTCGGGAGCGAGCGATCAGGTTCAGATACGCCGCAGACACCTACTGTTATCCGTGGCCGAAAGAGACGAAGCTTGCATGAAGATGTTGCGCAGTTGAAACAGGGTCGATCATCCGATTTGGAGGTTACTGAACTTGTTGAACGCTGCCACTCAAATCCATCTCCACCAAGGAAAAAAAGGAAGCCAAGTCAACGAAGCAGCTCTGTCCTGAAGCCTGACACTGCAAAGACTCTCGCTGAAAGCACGGTGGCTACGGATAGTGCGAAGCAGACTGACGATAACATGGACATGACTTGATCGCTAACAGCAACGATGTCCTGCCTGTTGCAAGTGCAAGCGTGATTTCATCGACGCTAAGAAAACGCGTCAGGGGCATCTGCAGCTTTGCGGGGACGCGCATCCACCGTTAGCCAGTGACGTAACGCGTCGCGCGAAGGTTGATCCGCTCGCTCCCAAGCCTATGCTGGCGACCCCAAGCAATTATATTCCCTGCTTTGCTGACCTACCTTTACCATTACATATCTTCAACCGATCTGTTGTCTTCATCTCGTGCCTGTTCTCCCAAGCCAATCTCCCAATCGATCTTCTTACCTTTAACCGATCATGGCTCGTCGATCAGCAAGAATCGCGTCCTCGCAAGAGTCGCAGCCACCATCAAGTCCTCCTTCGACTTCTCAGAGCTCTTCACCCGCTACGGGGAGGAAGCGCAAAGCTGAGAGTGGAACTTCGCCTGTCGCAAAGCGTGGCAAACAAGATGACAAGCAGCAAACGACTATTGAAGAATCTATGGACGTTGAGAAGTAGGTGATTCAAAACTACTTAGATATCGTGCTGATCGCATAATTAGAGACGATGCCCAGCCACCAAAGCCTCAAGTCGCAGAAGAAGAGCCGCAAGAACCAGCAGAAACCAAGGATGCCCCTGTTAACAATGACGAGGCTGCGCCAGCAAAGGACGAAGAGCAAATCGACGACAAGAAAAACGACACCAATGGTCACGCCACACACGAAGCTGACACCGAGAAGACTGATACTCAAGACCAGGCACAATCAGAGCAGCCTAAAGAACCCCAGTCCGACGAGAAACAACCTGCGCAACAGGAAGACAAGCCATCTACTTCAGACGGTGACAATGCTGTCCAGCCCTCTGCCCGAGATGACGAGGTGCCTTCTTCGATTCAGGAAAAGGGAATAATATACTTCCTCTACCGAGGTCGAGTCAACATTGAGTCTCCAAATAGCGTACAGGATATAGCTCGTTCATATCTCCTCCTACGACCTCTCCCTCACGGCGCCAAGATTGGTGATGGCACTATCGGAGACGAGCACAACTGCCGACTCATTGTTATTCCCAAGAAGATGTTGCCAGTATCAGGTCGGGACAAGTGGACGGCATTTGTTGAAAAATCGAACACATCGTTTAAAGAGCTTAAGGACACCTTCATGAAAGGTGATGACAGACAGACACAAGCTGGCGCAAGCCATTCACCTGCTGCAACACCAGCTGCTGAAGGTGTATACGCTATCACTTCCACTGGTCGCGATAGTCATCTAGCATATATCCTCACGCTTCCAGAGAAGCTTGGCGATGTTCAAAACGACCTGGGTCTTCGACCTCAAGGCTCGTTCGTGGTTTCTGTAAAGAACCCCAAAGCTCCTGGTCCAGCAAATGCCAATATTGGTATCGACCCTGGCTACAGCAAGGACATCCAGAGTATATTTGGTGGTCTCCGGTGGGCACCTATGAGGTCAGATATGCTCAACTACGAAGGCTGTCAATTTTTGATGATTGGCGAAGATGGAGGACTGGATAGCGCTACCGAGGCTCAGGCTGGTGATGAAAACAAAAAAGATGCCAAAGAAGAGTTGGAGAAGCTTGAAGGAGAAGATGAAGTCCGAATTGAACATCTAAAAGGTAAATTCCATCTTCTAGTTGCACATCATCGTCGTTCTAACATCGTATTTCACAGGTGACGATGCAATCTTCGCAGACTTGGGCACAAACGCCAAAGACTACCCCAGTCTCCAGACAACATGGTAGGGCATTTGTAGGATGACGGGCAGATGGCGTTTCTGTACATGCTCGAGACTAGGTGAAACTCTGCTGGAACAGGGTCGATCTGACTATAACATCTATGGCATTACTGGACGAAGTGGCTGCAGGCTCAAAACACACAGAGATAAGGAGTGTGGACCGCTTGTCCCGTGGTCAGAGTCCTTTTCGTGTACATGGAAATCTATTGAGCCACAGCCTGTGGAGAATCTTCTGGACTCTGTATTTCTACCAAAGCCATACTAACCTGGAACGGGTGATGAGTGGTGTCTAGGAGGTATCTGGCTATGAACGTGTATGGAGATCAGCTGAAGTAGATGGGCTGGTGGCTGCCCATTAGACACAATATGTACACATAGTATTGAACATTTTCCCGCAATAACACGACTCGATGGTTGTGCTGATAAGACCAGATTTATTCAAGTCAGGATTTGTTTGCGTTACTTAATAGGGCATGGTAGGGGCCACCAGTTAATCTCCGTGCTAGCATTCTGATCTCACACCTATTCCAGCACACACGAAACTCTCACATCCAAAGCAGATCAAGCGAACAAGAAATCAGCTGAAGAACAAAGCTAACACAGCTCAAAAGCAACGACATTAATAATGATAGTTATGCAACCTGCTATGCTATGTACAGACCGGTCGCAAGAAAAATCATCCTTTTCGTCTGATGCAATGACGGTAGGTAATGCACTACAATGCTGCCACGACTACTACACCTGCAAGCACAGCCAACAGAATTTCAAAAATCTTCCAACCTGATTTGTGCTTTGCTGAAAATAAATAAGGGGTATCAATAGAAGAAGAGGCACCACTGGTAGTCGTGTTCGAGTTGCTGGTTGAGAGGCCGAAAGGCAGTCCTTGGTAACTAAAGGTGACGTTCTGAGGGATGGAGCTATTGTAGCACTGGCCGTTGACGATGTCTAGACCTTTGAGGTCGTCGGGAACTTTGAAGAACATATACATCTGCTGGTTGAGGTCTTGAAAACCTTCGGTGTTGTAGGGGAAGTGATTGGATGGGTCGGTTGCTGAGGTGTTTCGGAGGAAGATACATTGAACCTGACCTGGATACTGTTTGGCCATTTCAGGATAATCGCGCATGACGTCTGGGTTGCTGGTATCGGCGACCAAGATGAACTTCCTGGTTGGGAAGGTTTGGAATATTCTGTCCAACAGGTATTTTCGAATTGAAAGCGTTGCGGAAACGTCGCTGAAATTGAGGGGTCGAGTGTCGAAGCTGCCACCAGGATAGGTCTTGTAGATGAAGTCCATGTAGTTCCGTGTGACCTGCTCAGGAGTTGTTGTTAGGTAGTGGAAGTGCATATTGGGAAGGCTCTGAGACCAGTTGCGATAGATGTCTGGCATGTTCATGAATTGAGTGAAAGGTCGAGCGAAGGAGTTGAGAAGACCTTCTTTTGGCTGGTAGATCTTGGTAACCCTCAGGATGTCGTCGATGTCGCTAATGACGGTCAAGCCGTTGTTGGAGACCAGGTAGGAAGTGGCATTTCCCGTGTCGGTACCTTGTGCATAGACATTGAGCCGCTGGGCAGGGATTTCGCCGGTACCAGGGGTCAGGTTTGAGTTGGAATCAACAGGAATGAAGACGTCAAAATCTCCCAGTTCAGTAGTGGGATATGGAAGTTGAGTGGTCTGGTTGATGCCACCAGCAGTCTGGCCTCCACCTCCTTGTGGTTCGCCATCACCACCGAACATGGGACCTGGCAAGATATTGACTGTGACATTCACGTCATCTTGCTGAACGACATATATAGATCTCGTCAGGTTTCGGGCCATGTCTTGCTCGGAAGGTTGCAGCTGTGCGACGCTCGTGTCAATCAGGAAGACGTTGGCAAGGTCGTCGATTGTATTATTGGATATGTCCGGCAGTTTATAGACATTCCCGTGCACTCTCAGGTTCCAATTCGAGCCTGTCCAATTGCCATAGCCTGGGATGTTCAGGACTTGTGTTGGCTTTGCATCCAGATCTGTGCTGCTGACACCAGCACTACTCAGCACCTGGGTGCCGGTTGGCAGATCAACCTGGTTAGGGAGGATTCCATCTGTGACATACGACGGTATAGCTGAGCCAAGGTCACTCAACAAAGAGTTCGCATAGCTACCGACCTGGGATGTGAGGCTGTCAATGATGTCCCTCCGTCGATGGTAGGCATGCTCGGGCTGTTGTATCGCTGGGGCTGGAGTGATGAGGGCGCGTTCCACATGGGCTGCGGTAGGATGCGCATCTGCGTGGATTACAAGTGCTAGCAGGCTGGTCGCCAGCAGCTCGATCGGCAGCATATTGTTCTGTCTGGCCGTATACTACAGAAGAAAAACGATGGGAAGATGCAGCGTATCATAAACTGAGCGAGTGTGGGAGTAGAATAATTACTATCGCAAGCAGGGAACTTGGAAGCATACAAAACTGTAAACACGCAAGCGAAACGCGAATTGACGTCAATTCGGGCCGGCTTCCAGGACACTTTCACACGCAAGCCACTGTACAATGTACCACTGCATAGTAATTCTCTCAACCCTCGTATCGTCCGGAAGCTGAATGATTTGACTTTCAGACTGACCACATATGTATTTCTTTACTTGAGAAATGGTTAAAACTCATCCATTGTGGCTGTAAGATAACCTCTAGCCTGGTCGTGGGTGTGCTGACACATGAAGGTTCATCTGCAGAGTGCCACAAATGGCGGATAGAAGCCGAAGATAGGCACGTTCTGGACATGCGACCCCTGGCATATCGAGCCCAAGAGCCTGCAATTGGTTGATTGCGCCACGATCGTGATCAAGCATTGTCACTGCAGGACCAAGCTTGAACCTTATTATCAGCTCGACTTGGTCTCGTGTTCCCTCGATGTGATTCTCCCACGTCCCAGGAGAACATCTCAATCCTCAGCGCGGTCCCAAACGTACCGACATGATTTCTGGCCATTCTTCAGAAGGAGTCTACCCGATGTGTGATCATTGCAGGACTCTCCGTCAGTCGACACCTTACCTCAAGAATACCCACGGTCGCGTGAATACGGATGGTTCGTCTCTTCGCACAAGGACTATGGCGTCAGCTATAGCATCACCAATAACAGCATGGCCTTGATGGCAAAACCGTAGGCTCTTAAGCCTTGCAACTCTGTAAGAGAAAGGCCTGTGCTCATACTGCTGATTGGACACTTCCTCTACATAACAGCAGCAGATTGCTCTACTGCCAATGCCATGAGCACGGACGACAACATGCGCGAACCAAAATCATTCTGGTCTAAGACCCTTGCAAGCTGTGAGGAATGCTACATTTTATCTGCATTGTTGTTATGATCCCAAGGATTTCCTACGGCTTCAAAAATCATGCCTCTGCTCTTCTCAACGCACCCTTCTCGTCTCATCCTCTCCAACTGAGTCGTCATTCGTTTCTCCTTTCAAAGGATTGATTGTCACTCTTTTAGACACCATGAAGCCCTCCACCTCTGGCGCGTTGCTCTCTGCCGCAGCTTTGCTGCCCACCATCTTTGCTCAACCCCCAATGGTACCAGGTACTGGCCTCGATCCAGAATGTATCGACCCTGCCATGCAAACCATCATTTACGAATATCCTGCATATTTCAGTACAGTGTATGAATCTGTCGGAACGATTTTCAATTTCATGGGTGGAACGAACTCTCTCGTCATTAACGACCCCCCACAGACCATCGTCACCTCCACGACGTTGACCACAACTGTAGTCACCACAGCCACGAGGACTACTACAGTCACTGAGACTGCAGGAGTCGGAGTCACTGCCACTCTGGGTGCAGGTATCGCCAGTGGCACCGTCACTAGCATTCCTTCAACTTCTCCGTTCGCACTGGCATTCATACTCGATTCAGTAGGCGGCCGTCGTCCACAGGGTTTCGCAAGCGCCGATGGCACTGAGACTGATCCAAATGATGCCGACTACTTCTCTCTGCGGAGTGGAGAACTGCGGTCATTGAGTGGCGCAAAGGTTGGACGCAACGAGTCTGATACATACGCATCCCTTGTGCCATCAGAGTACGACAACGAAATCACTGGAGATTTCTATATGGTCGATGGAGAGCTGCGTTGGGATTCCAGCGATCGTGGTCAAGCTACTTTCTATGAGTGTGGCGATGGCTTATTTGCCGGCTTTCCTGCTGCGCCTTTTAGCAATTGCACCGAGGTGACTATTGGTGGTATCTCTCAAGCCGCTTTGGAAGATGCGGGCGACATTAGCACCTCCTCAACGTCTATGACCCGCACCAGCACTTCTCGATCGGCGAGCAGGAACAGCACCAGCACTTCAACGTCTATGTCCGACTCTTCGACAAGGTCTGGCACAAGCTCTTCCAGCTCTTCCAGCTCTTCCGGGCCATCTTCCTCTTCGAGTTCCTCTAGCTCTTCTAGCTCATCTGGAGGACCTTCGGGATCCGGTGACAGCTTTACCACTTCTAGCAGGTCCAGCAGCACTTCCTCCAGCAGTTCCACTAGCAGTGTCACCGGCATTTCAACCGGATCTTCGACAACTCGTGTTGGAGGTGGAACGAGCACAACCACCTCATCAACCTCTTCCACGACGACTAGCGCTGTCAGCACTCCTGCTTCGTGCCCCGCCGATGACGGTCTCGTTGTACTCGACCTCTTCAAGATCTTCTGCGCCACTGCTCTCGATGGCCTGGGTGTTGGCACAGCGACAGAAGAAGTTGATCTGCAGGCTTGTATCGATCTCTGCGCCGATACCGAGGGATGTGTGAGCGTATCTTTCAACCGGGAAACCAAATTCTGCTATCGCCACTCCTCTGCACCAACAGCTGAAGGCACTACGACTGGCGGTCCTTTCGACAGTGCACTGGTCATTGAGCCGAATGACACCACGACCACTACCACTACCAGCAGCGGTACTTCGTCTACCACATCTGGCACAACTACTCTTACAAGCACGACCTCTGGCATTACCTCAACTTCAACAACCACAATGACCATGACCTCAAGCACCACAACCGCTGCAACCACGACGAGCGCCGGTTCTGGTGGCTCACTCACAAATGACTCACCTTGCCCTGTAGCATCAGGTACTGTTATTGACGGCTTTGAGATTTACTGCAACTTCGCTGTGGACAACGAATTTGGGATCAGCTATAATGTGCCACCACCGGTCGACGTTACCTTCCAAGAGTGCTTGGATCTGTGCGAGACAGATGAACGTTGTGTAGGATTATCTTATCTGGCCGCTTCGACCACGTGCTATCTTCACGAGGGTGAGAGCCAGGAGCCGGTGCCACGTCAAGGTGTCCACGGTGCTGTCAAAGTTGGCACTGGACCAGCACTACCAGTTGATGTTACAACCTCGACCACAACTACCAGCACGACCACTGCCACCTCCACGACCACGATTACTTCCACAGCTACTAGCACGAGCACAGGCACAAGCACAAGCACCACTACGGCTACAACAACGACTGTGGCTAGCGGTTCCCAGTACACCGGAGGTACCGTTCCAGATGTGAACAACGACGGTTGCACCGCATGCCCAGACGCAGATGACCCAATTGAGAACTTCGGCGGTGCTGACTATCTCATGATCCGGGACAGTGGCATTGACGGTCTCAATTTCGTCAGCTACCCTGACGGTGATGATTTCCCCCAGACTTTCGAAGAATGTGTCGAAACCTGCAACTTTATCACGGATGACGCTGCTGAAGGTGAACCTTGTGTCAGCGTCTCGTGGCAGACCGATGCAGCCCTATGCTACTACCACAAGAGCTGCTATGCCAACAAGACAAGTCCTGCCTTCCAGAGCGCCCAGAGGGTTCCGGAGGCTTGCCTGAACGAGGCACTTCCAAAGCGTCTGTTCCGAAGGAAGTGAGATCGTTCAGTGACATACTGAACTTACAGTCTCAGCAGCACGACTCCAGGAGAGATGCTTTTGGATAAGTAAGTCTGCTCACACCTTGAGCTAGACTATCATGGCATTTTTCGACTATCAAGCAGTAAGAGCCTGTCTTTTCACAGCGAGGTACATGAAGCAGAAAGTGGCGAAGTAGCGGTTAGTTGATTGGTGTAATCGAAGCACGAGAACGGGTGATCATGGTTCATTTTGAAGGGGTTTTGTGTGTTGTCAACAAGTTTTCACGTTTCTGCACTTTTTTAGAATGAGTCAAGATGCAATGATTGAAAATGAAAATGAAAATGAAAATGATCTTTTCAAAATGTTGCCACCCTCACAGAGTACCCTCCCTCGTAGCTGTATTACTAAAACGAATCTATGCATCCCCACTACCACCATCCTTCGCTAGTCTTCCCCTCCTTAACGGCTCCGGCTCTCCATTCCTCTTACTTCCTCCACTATTGCCACCATCTTTTCCCAATCTGCCCTCTCTGAGTGGCTCTGGCTCTGGGACAGCTTCTCTCTTCCCATTCCCACTACCGCCGAGATGGCCCTTTCCAATAGGCTCGGGTAGTGCCTCTCGAGTGTCGAGATCCCGGACTTGGTTTACGGGAGTTGTTGGGATCGCGGCTACAATGGCAGTGGAGAGGATGGTATTGATGTGCACATTGATTGGTAGGTGAAATGGTAGATTTCTTGGAGGGTTTCGTGGTGGTTGAGTTTGGTGTTGTGGAGGATGGTGTGGTATTGGAGTGAAGTGCTGTTCACAATGTAGGGGATAAGTCCGGAAAGGATATAGCAGGTCTTGATAGCTAGGAGAACAGCAACCGAAGAGAGATTCTTTACTATGTCAATAATCTCTGCGTGAAGGGAGAGCATCAGTGTAAGTAAGTAACACATATACTCGGACATCTCGACCGCCGAATCAGCCTCACTATACGCATTTCCGCACGAAATCACAAACTTATTAAGACCGAAGCGAATACACGGGACTTGTCGACCTTTTGAGGATTTACGAGAGAAGAGAGGTTCATAAGGAGATCGGTGGCTTGCGAAATCGGTCTCGGACTGGTCAATTAGGTTGAAAAACTCCTTGGCAAGGGTGGTTGTACCTGTTGTGCTCGTATTGGTGAGAGTTTGGGGCCCCCTGAACGGCAAGATAGAGGCGACTTGTGAGTCGCTTGAGGACAGGCGGCGCGACACATGCACATCCTCTCGAAGATATGCGATCATTTTATTTCATCTCCGTGTAAGTTCACCAAGCTACGACTTAGCAAGAAGACGTGGCTTACCGATGTGATTGAAAGATAGCTGTGTGATGGCTTATGACCTGCAGTAGAGGAAGAGAACCATAATCTTCTGAAAGAAGTAGTCCAGGCACATTAGGTGTGTCTCAAATTTGCCTAACGATTCGTGTTGTGGCGTGCCTTATCCTGTTTCGGCCTGTTTGCCAGGATTTCAGGCTAAGCTTGCAGAAGCTTTTGCCTGGCCTTCGCGTCACAGCGCTTAGCTAACAACTACCAAGAAACTGTGCACCCTTCCTCCGAACCTCTATCAAAGCAGCGAGAATCGGGGCGCCGTCGCACTCTTGTGCTCTTCCCTAGGCTGCTTTCGGAGCAGCAGCTGCCATCTGAGTGATCCTAGCATCCATCGCTTTGACCATGTAACCAATTGACAATTTCTCAGCAACAGTCTTGACCTCCTGATACATTCGCAAAGCGGATCTGTCAACTCTGACGGGGCGAAGCACATGACCTGCGAGTATCGATGCCCAGATCCAACCAAAGAGCTTGTTATACGCAGACACAAGGTGGTTCGGCAATACAACGTCTGTGATAAAGGCTCCGTTATTCGATTTGTGCGATCGAACAGCTCGGGCAATGGCAGGAATGAAGGCACAGAGAGCTCGGAGAGTCAGTTTGGGCTTGAGCAGTCGTGGTGCATGTTCACCAGAACCTTCAACGTGGAGGTTGACTTTGTATCCCTTGCTTAGACTATGAACGTTTAGCATCATATCTCTGGAGGCTTTTCCAGCATGACTCACGCAAGAATATCTTCCTCTGACATTCTGTAAACCCGCATAGCCTTTTGTTCTCCCTTGACTTCAGGCGATACAAACAGGAAGCCGGATGTGTCGGGCTGCGACTGCGCTGGAGTTTCGGAAGCCATTTCGCTGTGCTATCCTGATTAATGTTGACCCTGGGTGATGTGTTAGTCTGCCCAACAGGCGGGTTTGAACTCTCCTGAACTGTGGCAGGACGGATGGATCGAGGAGAGCTTGTTGAGAGACAAGAACAAATGTGTACATGAGATAGAACAATTGAGAGATCTCCTCGTCAGACTTCAAGGCAATAGGTATTTGCGTGTGAGTGACAAATCAACGCAACCTGCATCAATCAGCTCCACACGTGGTGCGTTAGGTTGTTTGCATGATCACTTCGAACCGATTCGCAGGTGTGCTCGGACTAAAGAAAGAAAAAGCCTCGTAGCGATATCATACCTCATCGATATAGAGCATGAAGTGGCAGGGAGAAAGAAGAACAAAAGGGATGTACTATTGGCCGTGATTGAGAGGCTGTGATCCATCTGCGTCGCAGCACTGTGGTAGAAACCCTGGCCTGCTGCTAAGCTCATCTAGCCACTTTGGTAGCCGTTAAGCGGGTGTAATGCTCAGGATTGATACATGAAGAGCGATCCTCTCCTGCAATTGTTATCAGGCGCAGAGCTGGCATGAAATGCGTCGTTCATTTTGTCGCACTCATATGCTTGGACGATGACTGCGGCCACGTCGTTGAACTTGGGGACAGTCTGAAAGCAGATTGCCGAAGTTTGATGCAAGTGTACTTCCAGCTGCATGATGGCTGATAATAGTCATTGGATATGATGGTTGAAGCAAACACGAAGGAGCGACACAGACTTGAATAGGCAGTCAGTATATGGCACAATTTTGTTGACTTACACTTATGGTTCGAATGTGTGGACGTAGCACCAGTAGCTCACCAGCCTCAATAACGAAACATGGCGTTTCTTAGCACTCATCTCGAATTTGTGACATGTCGATACCTGCGTGGTTCTACTACAGTACCGAGACCAGATGACCTCTTCCGCACTTGTGAAACCTGCCATTGTTTGCCCAACCTTGAATCAATATGAGCTCTGACTTGCCCTTCCTGCAGATCGCCCTCGTTTACACCATACCCATCTCAACTACTTCTCACCCTGTCACCCCGACGCCTCAGGACGTGTTGGCGCCCCTGCAAGGTCGCATGCCTGATCAAACCGCTAGTTGAGCTCGTTGATCTCCTGCTGAATCTCCATATCAAGGCCCTCGATCTCCGAGTATAGGTCATCAAGTTTCGACGCGAAGTTTGGGTGCAAGTTGTTGGAATTGACAGCAACTGCAATACCTTTGGCAACTGCAACTCGAACCCAGTGACCGGCTGGCAGCTCTGTGAACACATCCCGGACATCACCAGGATGGACAATGAATTGCTTGCCGACACTAGGATTGACGGCAGACAAGACTCGTCGTCGAAGTCCAACAGCGAGGTAACCGATCTTGAGTTTGGTAGCAATCTTGACGATCTCAGCATATGTGGTGATCGGCTTGTTCTTCAAATTGCGTAAAGGCACCATCGAACCCTTTAATACCACATCCCCGACCCACAACAAGAATTCTTTGTATGCTCGCATATTTCCAGGAGGAAGGACAACGTTATTGATCACAGTATTGTATTTCCTGTTATGCATTCGCAGAGACAAGTTGATGACAGGCGATACGACAGCCATGGCCATCAAGGAGGACTGGGTGCTCGACACCATATCTGGAGCTGCAAGGTGGTTGTCGTTCGCGACAAATACATAAACGCGATGTCCGTTGGCCATACTATGACTGTCAGCAATAGTTCGATCATAAGGCATCAAGCTTACCCTTGGACTGCAGTTTCACTCAGCTCATTGATACGTGGTTCCTTGAATACCTGTTGGGGTCGAGCGGAGAAAATTCGAAGAAAACCGCTCTGGTCGTTTGCGGCAGCCATCTTTCTAGGTTTATCGTAATCGTGGGTTAAAATCGGTCAGAGAGGATCTAGATGCCACAAGTCTTAACGATCGAGACCGCCGAAGGTAAGTTTTCGTTGTAAAGAGGATGGAAGTTGGTAAAGGAAAGAGCGAAGACCGAGAAGTATTTATGGTTTATACAATGAGGCTGTGTTAAGTGACACTGCTGAGGATGTAAACACAAAAGGTATGATGTGATCTGTTTACTGCATCATATATGTAAGTGACAGTGGCTGGGTTTCTGGTACAAACACACATCCATTGACCATGTCACTGACCCACGGACCCCTAGTACAGACATCTGTGTTCCTGCCACTGCACAAAGACGAACCACGAAATCAAACTAAGCGGAGACTCCTAGAAGCCACCAGGTGTGCAATTCAAACGTCCAGTGTTGCTTGTGTTCTAACCAGAATCTGCTTGTAGGGCCCAAAGGAAACCAAGAAAGATGTCCTTTGCGAGAAGTACGGTCTGAAAACTCTAGTCACTGGCAACGTCTCTCCTCAGATACCCGCTAGCTCCTTCCGTATTTCTTGCAACTTCTTCTTTTGCCTGCCTTGCTCGTCAAAATTATCTGGCTCCAACCACATTTCGAAAGCCTTCCTTATCATTGGCCACTCCTTGTCAATGATTGAAAACCAAGCAGTATCTCTGTTCTTGCCTCTCGATATCATATGCTGTCTGAAGACACCTTCAAACGTGAAACCATACCGTTCTGCGGAGGCTCTGCTAGGTTCATTGTCATTGTGACACTTCCACTCATAGCGACGGTACCCCAAATCATCAAAGACATGCTTGGCCATAAGGTAATGAAGTTCAGTTGATAGCGGTGATCGGGCCATAGCCGAACCATGCGCGACTGAACCCACCTCGACGACACCATTAGATGGATCAGGTCGCATGTAGCTTGCCATACCAACGACTGTGCTGTCAGAGTTTCTGACAACTACTAATGTGGTGAAATTTGAAGCAGCATTGCTGCGTTCGATCCAACTGCCTAAATCATGAGAGACAAGATATGTGTCGTTTGGAAAATATTTGATCAGCTCGTTTATGCCATTGGCACCGCCCAAGGCCTGCCATAATCGTTCTAGATGTTGCTCTCTGTCATATGGTACGAGAGTCACGTAGCGACCAGGAAGGGTGACGGGCGCCGGCGGATTGACCTTGTAGTTACTCAAATCTTCCATTGTCGACCGTGAGTCCTCGAGAGGCTGTGGTGAGTCAGCTGTTGCGAAGTCAAAAGGCAGCGAGTCACGTGCAAACAGGTAAAAAGTTACCCCTTTCCACAGGACACAAACACCTTGAAGTTCCTGATTACGATAGCCTAGCACGCAGCTCTGTTCCTCCTTATATCACGTCCCGCTTCAGAGAATGGCTATCTAAGTGGATGCATATCACTGAGTCCATTCGCACCCTGACTCTACACATCGTTTCCTGCCTATCTTGTGAAATAGCAGTGACAGACTAGTTCTTTCCATCATTAAAGCGAAGAACATACGAAACAACGAAGGCTTGTCCTGGATGGTGTGAAATCATATGTTCCGAACCCAAATGGAGGAGTAGGCGCTATGAGCATTGTCGGGACAAACAATAGATAGAAGAGAAGAGGTTTAGCTTGAGTGGGCGTGCACAGTTATGCTTTTTGATTTTGGCATCTTGTTGTGTCCCGTCGAGTCCGTCGTTGTAGACCAGCTGTTTGAAGATGAAGAAATCACGATTTCCAATCAAGCATATCTCCATCACAAACCTTTCCTGTCGCGCCGACCAACCACCGTAAATTTCACCCTCACCTTCACTTTCAGCAACCAACACATCCCCACCAGCCACAAAACAAATCACATGCCCCAGCCCCAGCTCCACCCCACAACACACCTATATAGTCCAAACGAAACAAATTCATCCCCAACAATAAAAGGACTTGAGTTGCTCTGACGCAATCATACCAAAACAACAACAACAACAGGAAGTGTGGCTCAAATATTCAAAACCGGTGTTGGACTGAACACTTGAGTCGTAGTATAAGCTCAGGTCAGTTTTCGAAAGATCCCTCCAACTTCGCAGTCCATAAAGTCCCGGAGGGCAGCTCGAGGAACTCACCAGCCTCTTAGAGAGTTTGGACGAACAAGCGCGGCACGAATCTCGAAAATGGTCCTTTTCCCTATGACATTCAAAAAAGCCACTGGTAACAGTAGGCGTTGTAGGTTTTTTGCGATTTTTCCGGGGTTCGATAAACGGTCAGGGGTTCGATTCGTGAGGTGGGTAAGGATGTATTTTTGTTTTTGGTATTGCTCGGTTGTGGTACTTGGACTCACGTATGGTTGGAGAGGGAGCAGGATGTCATCCAATCACCATGGAGATCTCGACAACCTTGTTGTTGCGATTGCTACTGGTAAATCTAGGTATTGAAAGTGGACACAATCGCCTGCTTCGCCGTCGCAATGTCCTAATCGTGCAAACATCCTTACTTCCCTGACTTCATCAGTCAAAGCTCTTCCTACCTGCGGCTCGACTCGCCATAGATAGTGAGGCAGCCTGGGGGGGACAGGTATGTCATTTCTTGAAGTGTGCTCAACCATGTTAGAGTTCGCGAGTCTAGCAGACTAAGCCAAGGTCAGAACTCGATACTGAATAAAACCTGTAGCTTAAACGCTAAGTATCCAATTGTGCTTGCTGGAATGCTGTTGGAAAAGGTACAAGGCCATTGTTACACATTTGAGGAGAGATTTGTGATCTTTGAGAAGCCATAAAGACAGACGTGAACTCAATAACGCTAGCAATCGTCGTGCTTCCAGCACAGGCAGACCTTTAAATTCATTCGACTTGTTTCCTAGTCGTCAGGACTGGGAGGAAAGCGCCTCAATTGCATATATTCCGTGTCAAGATGAATCCGAAAGATGTGTCCACTACGCCAATCCCAAACTCCTTCAGAGGTAATGCTCCTGTAGCACTCATAATTCCCATGCCTACTCCAGAAGTGAATTTCCGCAAATTGATGTCAGGGCAGGCGGAATATGTTGCATTTCAAGTCCTGATGCTCCTCGAGTTGGACAAAATGTCAGGCTGATGAGAGCACTTCAACCAAAGATCCTTGTGTCATGGCAGCATGGCAGCAGCCTCCTCATCCGTCACGAAAATATCAGCAACCGGACACCGATCAACCTCCTCATCAAAAGGTAGATCTCCCTCGTCAATATCCATGTCATCTTCGTCGTCCTGTCCCCATCTCCACCTAGCTTTTGAACCTCTGTATCTGCGGCCCACAAGGTAACTGGGCAAGAATAGCTCGTCATTCCAGGTGAAACCTTGACTGTGCTTTGTGTAGGTAATGATTCTTGCTGGCTCGTCTGGACCTGACATGTGGTTCGTGAGGTTGATGGACTTGTAAGAGGACGAGGATAGCATGCTCGGACTTAGTGGAGATGTGTAGTCGTGGGTAGATTGCAGTGTAGTCACAGGTACGGACTCTGGAGGTCGTACGTCGTAGGTTGCTCTATGCTTGTCTTTGCGTTGAGAAGTGTGGGCTTCGGCTTGTGCTGTAAAGGTGTAAGTTGATGGTTGTATATTCGCAGGCGAAGCTATCGTCTGGCTTGTACGCAGAAGTGTTGCCTCTCTTCGCTCTGAAGCCGACATTGAGGCGGGGGTTGTGTCAAAACTAGAGCTTGAGCCTTCTGTACCGCTATCGTCTCGTTGCATTCGGTCACTCCGTTTCGGTCGACGGTGAGAAGGAGTATTGAAGCTCTCATTCTTGAGTCTCGACGTAGGTATCTTGATAGCTCGGCTACCTGGAGTGTGATTAGAGTCTGCCATGCTGGGTGGTAATAGTGGTCAGTGTATTATAGAACACAGACAGCAAGGAGGAGGGAAGGAAGAGGCAGCGTTTGTTCAGGTAGAGCTAGGCAGTGTGTCAACAAACTTCAAGTGTCGTTGGTTCAAACGATCTGGTCATATAGGAGCAGGTTGTAGAGTCATCATGCAAGGTCCCAGAAGCACAGCCTATGAGTGGGATGAAGTCAAGGTGCCGCTATTAGCAGGCAGCTCTAACCCTGGTACCCTGCCACTGAGCCTGAGGTCAACTGACCCGCGACTTGGAGAAACAAAGCCAGGCCTTCAGGCAATCACGTCTACTCCGTGTGCTCAGAAGCATTTTAGTCTACGTGTATCCTAGGAATGAAGTCTGAAAGTGATTTACATAATCGTTTCGTTCCTGCAAAATGTCGAGAACTACAACGATTACCTCATGCAAAATATCTAGGTTCGTCAAAGACGTGGTACCGGTGACCACGAACGCCCTCAGCCCTGAACATGGCAGGGAACCTCAGTCCGGGTGATACTTGATCTTCCGATATCCTTGTGTCGCTGTAGTCAGCAGGCTGTCCAACAACGAATTTACCGACCTGGAAATAATTAGCAGTGTTTTTTGGCGGTCAAGGTTATGCTTACCTGAATCTCAGTGTCTGTGATTGTGCCCCTGCTGACACGGGCATATCCCGTGCGCTTGATGTCCTTGTATAGTATGTACTCACACCACCTATCCCAATCACTACGGTCGATGTCGTGCATGCCGCTTTTTGGCCCTGAGTAAGTGTGATAATTACCTTCTCCAGGCTTGACGATCAAGTAACTCAGCAGGATCGCTGGACGAGGTGTGGCAGCCATGATTCGTGCTAGGTATTCGGATTGTTGTCTCCGATCTTCTGGATCTTCCTCTTGTCCAGAATGGAAGACGAAGACATCGAGCTGAGTGCCGTATACGTCCAGTGTTGCCTCGATAGCGGGTGCTAGCTCACCCACTGGTGAAGGTAACAAGTGATGTGTCGAATTGAGGATTGGGAATTTAGACAAGAGTGCCGCTCCCCAAGTGTGAAGATTCGGACCAGGGCCGTAGTCGACGTACATGCCGAGATCTTCCGCGAGGTACTGCATGGTGTCCCTGTTGCCCATGATGATTCTCTGCGTATCTGACTCAAGCAAGCCGATAACATCGATCTCGAGCTCTCGAATTGCTTGGGCCATTCGTCGTTCTGATGACCACATATCATTGTCCAAGGAAAAGTGAATTGTCCAGATGCCTGCAGTCAAGGATTTTTCTTCTGGATGGAATGGTTGGTAGTTGTTGGTTGGAAACCTCAGATAAGCAAGTGACATGGCGAGGAGCTGTAACACGAACAGTATGTGAAGATAGTAAGCTATTTGCTTTCGTCCTCGTGGTACCTTAGCAGCTCTTTCTCCGGAGTGTGAGTTAGTGGTCAAAGCAGAGAAAACACCGTTGCCGATCTGTAGCATTGTGCTAATCATGACCCAATCCGTATGTTCACGGACCAGAGGTCCTCCTGGCACAAAGGCATAGGCCACCACCCAGACGTGGAAGAGAACCATCAAGTTGTAAATGAAGAACCCGAACCCAAAGGCCACTGCTGGATTGTGTTGGACAGCTGACTTGATCAGTTCAGGAGCTACGCCGCAAACATAGACGGTAAAGACAAGACCTCCGTAGTAGCCTGTCCAATCCTGATAGTAAGTCAAGAACATAGCACCAACAGACCCAATGCCGTATGCCGTCCACGACCCCAGAATCTTCGGAGAAGAAACACCAATCAGCAGGCCGGCTGCCATGGCAAGAATGGTCACGGCTCCATGTGGGACTTGTTGTGGACCATTGACAGGATAACCAGTCCATGTCCAAGAGATCATGGTGCTCGAATCCGATAGCAAGGAATGTAATGCGAACATCAGTCCGCCAAAACCCACGCCTGCCATCAAGCCCGAACCGCGCTTTACCTGACGAGCGACGAGATCCCCTCCACTGGTGGTTACTGGCCTTGTCGCATGCCAAACGGCAGGAATCGCTAACAAGAAGCCAGTCCAGTTCCACCCACCGTTCTCGGCCTTCATGACAGGCCAGACAGGGTTGTTACTGTAGCATGCGAATTTGGCAATACTCGAAAGTACTAGGCCCACCATCCAGGCCAATACTCGTGCTTGTAACCTTCCAGAGTCGTTTCTTTCGGCGAACCACATAGCTGTCCAAGCCATACTACCCTGCCAAACTGCCAGAGATACCATACCAAGACGATTCACTTGGTCACTGACTTGCCAGGCAAGCAGACCAGGAATTACCGAAGAGTAATGAAGCCATCGGTTGTACTTGATTGCTAGTACTCGAATTTGTGGGATGCCCAAAAGCAATGGTGAAAGAGTTGACATGACAGCGACTTCGTAACCGGAAATACCCATGTGCCAGAGTGGAAAATACCATACTAACAAACCAAGCGAAGTGAGCACAGACCAAAATACAAAGCCATTGTAGATATCTGCCAGAGCAATGGAGAGGTTATACCAGTTGTATGGCCCATCGAATGTCGAGGCTTGTATTACTGGCTGATTGCGCCTGCACCGGTAAGTATCTGTGGCAGTCGTCATGGTTTTTTTTGCTCACTCTTTCTCTTTGATATCATCTTTCAGTAGTTTCTGGTCTCTGTACCTTGTCAGCCCAAACTCCATATATTGCATAACTCCTCCGTACATTTTCTCATCTCGGAAGCCGATGCACATACCCTCTGCTCAGGCCTTTCACGTCCCGAACCACGATCTCAAAGCTGGAAAAGTCGTAAACTGTGACGGCATCGAAGCCAACGTCGAAAAGGATAAGTGCCCACTCGAAGAAGGCATAGATTGTGTAGGCTGAAAATGTCAGTACCAAGGAAGACACAGAGCTTCTGTCACTGCTTACCGCCAGCAACCTTATGCACCTTGTGCTGAATAAAGAAGTAGATGAGTGGCACCAGAGTGCCAAAGAAAAGGCCAGCCAGAATCTTCCTGTACTTAACAGATATGGGATTTGGAGGGCTTAGGGCCAGACATCCCAAAGTCCAAGGTAAAGTCGCGACAAGATAGCTGATCATGAAGATGTCGTGCCAGTTGTGGTCATCCGTGGAGGTAACATAGGTCCATCCACCACATGTCAATGTTCGGAATACACCAACCCAGAAGACAATCTTCGGCAAGGAGGAGTTGGGCCGAGCAGTAAGAAAATAGTATAAAGAAACCAGCGCAAATCTCGGGCCAGATGTCAGAGCAATGCCAACCATGAAAACCGAGCGCTCGGGGTAGCGATCACCAATGGTTGCCGAAACTGAAGGGAACCATTCGTCAGGGTAGCCATAATGCTCATTCTCCACGATCTTGTGATAGTGAAGCCACATTCCCACGAACAATGCCCCCAAAAATGCGACGTAAGCTAAGGCTGTATGGACATAGGATATCCATCGTCCGTTGAACTGGCTAAGTATTAATTAAGCTGCTCGACTGACAGAACTGGACACACGTACAGAGAAGACCACGTCTCCCTCCTTGAATTTGGGAGCCATGGTACAAAGCAAGCTGTTCGAAACCACAGCTTACAACTGAGAAAAGGAAAGGGAGCCCGTAGGCAAGCTGTGTTGTGTGAACAAGCAAAGAGAAACACGACTACCAGAAATATGCTTTCGTGAACAATCGCGTCGGCATGCTCGTCTGCCCCCTGACCGCAGGCGGAGCCCAAGAGCTTATCGATAACCGAACCACGGCTTAGCTAAGCAGTCGACATATTTTCTGCAAGTCGGTCCAATACCCTACAACCCTCGACTCGCAACTCGTCCTTCACAAAACTGAGTCGCGAACATGTCAGCGACCGCAGACAAAGCCCGCTACTTCCTCGAACAGTCAGTCCCCGAACTCAAAGAGCTAGAGCGCAAGAAAATCTTCACACCCACCGAAATAACAGCCATTGCCAGAAAGCGCTCAGATTTCGAGCACAAAGTAAATGCACGAGGATCTTCACCTACCGATTTCGCCCAGTATGCCGAGTTCGAGATCAACGTCGACCAATTAAGGAAGAAACGTGTAAAGAGATTGGGAATTCGAGCGACCATCCACAATGGACAGAGACGCATATTTTTCGTCTTTGATCGTGGAATGAGGAAGTTTCCCGGAGATCTAAGATTGTGGATGCAGGCAATCGAGTATGCCAGGAGCCAACAAGCGCGCAAGAAGGTCACACAGATGCTCACGAATTTGCTGCGATTGCATCCTAGCAAGGCCGAAATCTGGATTTACGCTGCACAGTTTGCGCTTGATGAGAATGGCGATATGACCGAGGCAAGAGGATATATGCAGAGAGGATTACGGTTTTGCAAGAACTCCAAGGATTTGTGGTTGCAGAACTTCAGACTAGAGATCACTTGGATTGCTAAGATACACGCCAGAAGGCGTATCCTGGGTGTTGAGAAGAATGCTATGAAGGAGGAGGAGATTAAAGTCACTGGAGATGACAACATGATGATGCTGCCCAAGTTGACTGCTCAGGATATTGCGCCAGAGAGTGAGCAGATGGATAAGGTCGACGTGACTGCACTGGACAATCTAGAAGCGACGCCTGTCCTAAGTGGTGCCATTCCTATCGCCATTCTCGACGCGGCCTGCAAGCAATTACCTGGAGATGTCGACTTTGCATTCAAATTCTTCGAGGAGGCTTCGTCGTCCTATAACCTACCAGCTATTGTCACAATCCGAACCCACATCGACCAAGTACTCCAAGAAATGGACGCTCAAGCTTGGCAGTCTTGCGCTAGTCGAGTGTGTATGCCGACTCAGAATATCTCATTCGACGACCATAGGTTTCCTTCAGCACTTCGCGAAGCTCTTGCAAACATGAATCAAGGTTTAGCTAGGACTAAACAGCGAGAAGCGCTGAAAGACTGGTGTCGGGGTTATCTGGAGGCTTGGGAGCAGGCTGATATGGACCCAGCATTGCTGATGGTGCTGCAGTCGAAGCTGCAATCTTTAGCATAATCTGTCGTTGCCTTTCAATCAGTCCAATTCAGATGATACCCCATATAGCGAGTCAGATATGAATCATATTGCACGAACGAGACCTCAGCCTGGTAATGTGACCTCTTCAACTTCTCTTTTCACAATCGGCAGTATTTCAGCCATTTGGTTAGCATCTCGGAGTGCCGCGGAAACATCGTCCCTTCGACCTGCCAATTGCGCCTTTACAGCATTGTAGTCCTTCTCCTTCTCCACATACTCTCTGATGACTTGCCTGGTGTCGAACTCGATGTAGACTCTCACATCTTTGATCCTTAATAGCACATCATCGAGGCGCATGAAGAAGCGACTAAGCAGTAATAGTCTGGCAGGCATGACTCTGATCTTCACTGAGAACATGGCGATACCGTTGTCTGCAAGCTCGTCTTCGTAAAGGATCACGTCATCGAAGAACAGAATAGGATCTGGTCGCCTCAGCAATTCCAGAGGTATCTGCGTGGTACTCGACGAAAATGTGGGTGAATTCGGCGCAACCTCTCCACGATAGTCCTGTGGTGTGTAACTCCAATCAAAGGGCTTCACCTCCTCTAGCTCTTTGAAATCGTGCGCACCTTCGCGACTCTGATGCCATTCCTTGGAGTATGCTACCTTTAACCTCTTCTCACCTGTCTTGTCCACGCTGTCCAATGCGCCATATGCGTCGAACTTGATGCCCCAGCCTGAAGCTTCATGCTGGACTGCAACAAAGTTGTCGCCAAAGATCATCTCTGGTATCTGTATTCCAATCTTGCTTGTCATGTCCTCGATCGGTCCAGCCTTGAGGATTGGCAACTTCTGGGTCGCGACCTGGAAGCCACTGACCATGTACATATGTGGCGCGGCCGACGAAGGCATTGAGGTATTGAACGCTCCAGCGGAGCGATGACCATTGACAGCCATACTGGGCTATGTCGAAGCACAGCGAGTTCGAGGAGTAGTCAATCCTGGTCACTTTTCTACAGTCACATCAATTCCGCATGATAGAAGACGCGGTCGCAAACATAGCAAACAATCCTCCTGCTGGCTCGTACCTTCCTCTCAGATCCCTCCTTCCTTCAAGTCACTTTCATAGCATGAAATTTTTCTCATGAGAGCACTCACTCATACTCGAGAAGTAATCCAGTACAATCTCTGCCGGCGCAAGCCTTATGTTCTCTTGTTTAATGTTTGCAGGAGTTTAAAAGCAAATGCTGTGATACTGAGATGATCTTGGCTTGGAGTCGTTGTATTGCTCCTTCTGGTACCAATCAGTCAGTTGTGCGACGACGAGGACCATGCTGTCTCGCGCTCTGTCTCGCAGGGGTGGTCTATACGTCTCCTACAGCAATATTCCTCGAGGCTGAAATGCTATTGTCAATTGACCTAGGTAAAATAGAAATGCGGGGAATAAAAATGGAGGTACCCCGATGCATCACCATCACACCAAACGTCGTTCGCAGCTCGTAGTTGCGGACCAAATCAATGTGCTGACTAGAGTCAAGAGAAATAGTCATATACTGGTGTTTGTTGCTTTCTCACACTGACAATCAACCTGCTGCAAGATAGCCATCGGTGGAACTACTACTGTCCGAAATAGGATGCAGAGGCCAGCACTCAAGAATCTGCTCGCAACACGCAAAGCACTACCATCACAGTGCAACCTGCTTCGTCAAAGGAAGTCTTTGCAACGCTGCAATTATGCCACAGCCGCAGGCCTTGATATCAATCCTATCTCTGGCGCACTAGGAGCCGAGATCCTGAACGTCGACCTCTCCTCACCTCTTTCCAAAGAGACCACACACACTATTCGCAAAGCCTTATTAGACCATCTTGTAATCTTCTTCCGGAGCCAAAACCTATCACCATCCAGCTACTTGAAATTCACGTCTCAATTTGGCAAACCCGTCGAGTATCCATTCGTTAAAGGTATCGAAGGTCATCCAGAGGTCATTAATGTGCTCAAGCGAGAACACGAGGTAACAAACTTTGGAGGTGTTTGGCATAGCGACACAAGCTATCAGTCTGTTCCCCCTCTTGGCTCTGTGCTGCTGGCTCTTGAAGTACCGCCCTATGGCGGCGACACTCTTTTCGCAAATCAATATCTTGCATACGAAGCTCTCTCGCCGAGTCTCAAACAGACATTATCCACTTTGAAAGGCGTCAGTACCTCTTCAAAAGCAGATGCAAGCAAGACGAGAGAGGATCGGGTCAAAGACTCTGGCCACAAGACAGAAGTCTTAGAGGCGGTTCATCCTGTTGTGAGGACCCATCCGGAGACTGGACGTCAGTCACTATACATCAATGTCGCACACACTAGCCGTTTCGAGGGTTGGACCGAGGACGAGTCAGCCCCATTGCTTCAATATCTGTTCCAGCACCAGATAAAACCGGAGTTCACTTGTCGTTTCCGTTGGGAAGTCGGCAGCATTGCCTTCTGGGACAACAGGTGTGCTTTACACAATCCCATCAACGACTACCACGGGTATCGCAGAAGCATGTGGAGAATCACGCTAGCAGGAGATAGCCCACGATGAAACCCAACTGCACACCGCCTTGCACCTTGCACCAACTCTGCATCAGACAAAATCTCCATGTCTTGTCCGGTCTGTAGATTCGTCCTTATCAACTGTATCAAAGCAGAAACGCATCTGTGGCAGGGACGCATTTGAGTATAGGAGCATGGTCGCTACTGGAGACCTCCAATAGCGACCCTGCCCCTGCGATTCCAATTGATAGCACTAGCATACATTCCTCTATCTCTTGTGCTGCCATCACCCGCAAACCAGCCCATATTCAAGTCGCCATGAAAGACCAAGTGATTGGTCGTGGCCTCGACATCAGGTGAACCAGGAGCGTACACATTAGCAGCTGTATCACCGGTCCGAAGGAAGACACCACCTCTAGTGTATGGTCCTGTAACACTAGGAGCAGTAGCATATTGTATATTATATGTCGAGGAAGTGAAGCATCCAGAAGTGAAGAACATAACATACTGATTCGTACCAGCATTGTAGGCCAGCGTTGGTGCTTCAATGACTGGACCATCATCCGCGTTGTTAGTCAAAAGTGTTATGCCCTGGCCAATTGGCGTGGCACCATCATCAACGTTGACTTCCTGTAGAATTATTGGCGTCGACATGATCGGCGGAATGGTATTCTTGCACGCCCCACCATTACCCAGTGAGTTGCCATCGACCTTGTAGACGACGTATTGCTTGCCAGTAGCAGGATCCCTGAACCCATCCGCGTCGATGGCACCACCTATACTGAGGTCGCAGTATAGTGGTGTGTCACTCGCCACAAAAGGACCTTTAGGAGTATCTGAGGTCGCCACGCCCACACAATGCTTGCTGATATCCTCGGCTGTTGTCGCAGAATAGTAGAGCACAAATCTACCATTGGCAAGCTGTACAATATCTGGTGCCCATACATGCGGTACAGTCGCGACCCAAGCTCCTGGATAGGGTAATGCGTCGGTGTTGTCGACAGTCCAGGTGCTAAAATCCTTTGATGTCGCTGTTATCACATTGGATGTAGTGCCTGCCTTGTCACCATTGAGCCCAGCAAATCCGTGATACGTGTCCCCTACCTTGAGTACAGAAGGATCTTGGAAATCGGTCGGTATGACTGGACCGTGAACTGATCGGTCCATTAGAGGCACGGCTACAGCTGTTGCAGATAAAGCAGCGAGCGTGAACAACATGATTGTGTCTGGGCAGATGAAGAGATATAGGAACGAGAAAGTAGACCTCGATATGCAGGATGTTGATCACTCACCTCGACGTGTAGAGGAGAAGGGCCAGAAGCAGGACATACAGCTGATACATGGTTGTTATACAACGCATTGGATTTCCCTGGGTGCTTGTCACTTCACAGTGCCCATCTGCTGAAATTTTCTTTGCATTCGACAGCGGACAACTAAGCACTCTGGAAGAGGCCATCAAACCCTGTGGGCCACCTTCATCTCGTGGACCAAACTACTGGTAAGTGCACCATCAGTCTGCTAAGTGGGCAAGCACATTGAAAGGTGTCCATTGCAGAACTGGAGCAAGCAACGACTTCCATTCGTTATTCGTTTGGGAGAAACTTGGAAATATTTCGTATGATCAGCTCCTGCAGTAAGTATCCTCTGGACAGCTCCATCAATCATATCGACGATTGCGCGGAACTTCGTGCGTAGTATGGGTCCCTGCGGAAGAACGATGGCAATACTTGTATGCTTAGTCAACAGGTTCGAAGTTCGAAGGAAGAGCTCGAAAAGGCTCAGAGCGAAGCTTAACCAGCCTGTAGATGCAAGAACTGTATATCTCTCTGAAACTTGCACTTTCCATCTTGACCAGCAATTGTCAAGTGATACCGTCCCAGAATACCTTACCAAATGTGATGCTATTTGTTAGAGGACGAACTCGGAACATGCTTACGGAACGAGAGAAAATAGTTGACAGCCACGAGAGCATTCCCACCCAAGTGGGCATCGTGGTGATCGTGTATTCCACAACGTTTCATATAGAACTGTCCAATAGCAAGTACAATCAGTATCATACCACGTGTCAGTGGGTGTTCGGCAAGACCGGTGCCTTGCAGTACATCTAAAAACTTAAATAAAAGGTAGCGACGCAGCTTTCTGCAACTAGTTGTCTGTAACTTGAAAGTGGTGTAACGTTGAGGCTGTTCCTGGGACCGCTTCTGCCGATCACCATGTGCACGCATCGCTCGAGGCGTGGACAATGTACGTAAAAAAAGGGCGATCGGTAGCAGAGAGATTGAGACATGTGTCTGTCCGACCTCATCTGGGCTGCGGTAATCGGCAAACCTGCTGTCCTCATTTCTGCTCATTCCAGCTTCGCTCTTCTATACCAGCCGAGTACAAATCTCTCAAAGCATAATGTAATACAGACACGGCCCCCGCCCATGAAACGTCCCCATAGCATGCCGACCTGCTCGCCCTGTGAATCAAATCAAAACAAACCACCACGATGGCCACCATAACCTCACCCCGAACCCAATCACCAGCAAGCAGTACTCCAAGAATTAAATCACCATCAATAGCAGAAACACCCACCTCATCTACTCGCGGATCCTTCGACCTCCCTCTCCGCTCCTCCACTGCAGCCGGCGGTCCGCCTCCCCAACGTAAAGGCAACCGCACCGCCCTACGAGACTACTACAACCTCAAATCCAAGCCGCAATCACAACTTCCACCCGGCCACCTCTCCCGCACAGCAAGCATAACCTCAACAACCTCCGACCTCAGTACCGCCCCCTCAACCATAACACTCATCGAGAATGGCTCAACAACATCAACCCTCACCGCACAGCTCGATGACACCGACTTCGACGTACAGACATACATCAACGACCTCCTAGCGACATCTTCGCTGAAAGAGATACTAAAAGTCGAGGCGACTCTGGTGTCTGAGATTCGCAATCTCGACGGCGAGCGCAAGGCTCTGGTCTATGATAATTACAGTAAGCTGATCAAGGCTGTGGGCACGATTGGAGAGATGCAGAGGACCATGAATCAGAGTGCTAGTGGGTTGTCGGAGGTTGGGAAATTGGAAGGGAAGATGGAGGGGTTACGGGAGGTTGTGCGTGTGATTGGCCAGCAGGCTAGTGACGAGAAGAAGAATGCGGCTGAAGAGGGAAGGAGAGCAAGGAAAGCAGCCAAAGAACAACAAAAGAAGAGGGAGCTTGTCAGATGGATATTGGACGCGCCCAATCGGTTGCGTGATATGCTCGACAATGGACAGCTAGATGAGGCGAGGAAGGATTGCGAACTTGTACAGAAATATCTTGATAGATGGAAGGGAGTAGGAGGTGTGGAAGAGGTCAGACAAGCTTGTACGAACATCATGGCGACCGCCGAACAGGAGCACAAACAAAGTAATGGTGAGTCCTAGTGGATCGTGTCAACATTTGAACACTCAGTCGGTGCAGTAACGACACTCACACCGAGTCTTCGTTCTGCCACTTTATGCTCATGACCTGCAACTCGCATATACAGGAATCTGCACGGCACAGCGAACAAGTACTAGAGTTTTGAACGACTGAGATTCGGCGACGTCGAACAACGCTCGTGTCATGTCCGTTCTATTGATTGTCCAGCCGTCCTGATATGCTCTGCATGTCTAGAGTGCTCGGCGGACTGAGATCCCAGCCTAGAGATGTGCTTGGCAGTGTTAGCTGATGAGCACTTCATCGTGGGAAACAGCAGATACTCACCTATATTCGTCTCCATGGCCAGGTAACCCCATGAATGGATTGAATATACCAAAAAAGTCGTCGAGCGAAGCATGTGCCGCCATATTCTGTCCATTATCAAGAACAGCTAGTCCTTGTGCGTGCTGCACGTTCTGGTTGTCTCTATGCTGATCCTGTGGCTGCTGAACCAGCTCGTCGCGGCTACTGTCTGAAGTTGCGTTCTCGTGCGTCCCCACCTTAGCTGAATCAGACCCCTGGTCACCATTCAGGATCTTCAACACTTCAATGAACAGATTGTGTGTGAGGTCAGCTGTCCAATAGGTCTTCCTCAGATGCCCGAGCACCAATTGATGCAGGTCTAGCTGATGTGCTGCGTAACTCTTGGCAAGTCCAACACCGCTTGTTCTCATCTCGAATACCAGAATCTGCATTGCTGTCATGATAGCACTGGTAAGTGAGCTCGGAGTTTGTTCAATTCCATTGATCGACATCAGCTTATTGAGGATGTTCGTTGTGTCTGCTGCCGTTGCCTTGGCTTTGCTCACGCACTCATTTCGACATTCGACATATCCCAGCTCCATGACTTTCTCTGGTGTTGCTGCTATAAGCGGTCTATACAGCAAGATCAGTGCAGCATTAAAGTACATTTCTAAATGACAGATATGCAGGAGTACCACTTTTGGCGTCGTCACATTCGTGTGAGGTATGCGAGCTCGCAACCGCAGCAATCGTCCTTCTTGCGTGCGCATTGTATGAGGCGTAGGTAGTGGACTTCTTGGCCTATAATGCATAGTGAGGATATCTGCCACTTCCGCACTAAGATGCACAAGCACGAGCCATGCTTCAGCCAAGTCTTGCATACCGATGGGAATATACCGACTTGTAGGCATAGGATCGATCCTCTCCGTGTCTTCAGCCATGTCTCGCCCATCCGGAAAGCTCTCGTCACAGTCGTCGATGCATATCCGCATTGGGCGACCGAATCCTTGAGCAAGCCATGCTTCTCTGGAAAATATGCACCACCAGATCCGTCTCCACAACGATCTCGTCCGCGAGGAGAACGGGCGCGACGGCATGGATGTCCAATTCGCAGCTCGGTGAAGACCGATGGTATGAGAGAGGGAGATGCCAGTCCCTATCCAATACCAGGAGCCATCACGATCCTCGAGGTCAACATACCACGTTGACAGAAGGCAGCAGCAAGCAATTAAAACCGCTTTATCAGGCTCATGCTGGGAATCGTAGTGTTCCTAAAGCGGTAAGAGAGTAGGTAATCAGTGACCATAAGTTACAGGTAATATCGCACTGTTGATTCAAGTGCTCGGCCTCACCTTTGCATTCTGGTAGTACTGTTCCTTCAGGACCTTTCGTGGAGGTAAGTGGTTGGCTCGGAGGACGTCTTTCTCAATGAACTAGACAAGTCTTAGTGAGGCAATATTCTGGAACCCAGCATTCGCCCACTTCTCACTCGACTTTCTAGTGGGTTCGAAGAGGAGGGAGGTCTCAACGTACATTCAATGCGGCAAAGAACACACTCCAAAGCAATAACTGACTTACAGAGCGCGTGTCGCTTTCAAAAGTCTCGACGAAGTCTCGAAGATCTACCACGGGCATAGTAGGGTATACATAGTAGCAGAAGCACTTGACTAGCTCTTGCTGGACTGGACGTGGCGGCAGAGCAATATGGGACCCGAGCTCCTGAGACGATGGTCTATAAATCCTTGGCCGCTTGTGTCTGTATGTCCTTCTTGGTGTGAGGTAGTGAACACCAACCACAGGTCGATCAGGTGCAACTTGGTCGAAGAGGAACTCTAGGCCTTCAGATTCACCTGCAAAGTAAGGCTCTACTTCCTTAGAGTCTGTTGGAAAACCGTTCGGACGGTCTCGAAATCGATTTGCTGGCTCGACAGACGTTGATGTGGATAACGGGGTCGATGTCGAGGCTGATGTAAGCGGTGGTCTTCGTGAATGCACATGCACGTCCTCGTTGTCATGAGGCTGAGTGTCTTCAGGTGTGGTATTGGTCTGAGCAATCTGGTGATCAATGATGCCGCCGTCTTCAATGGTCGAGGTGGCAGGTGGCCTGGAAGGTAGTGCCGCTACTACACCTGCAGATGCTGGTGACGGGGTCAAAGGTAACGAGCGCTCGGAGCTCAGGTTCATCGAATCAGACGGGGACCGGTGATCGTTAGTAGTTCGAGCCTTGAGTGAGCCCTGGCTTGGTCTAAAATTTCGTGAGCAACTGGAGCATAACAGCAAGGTTGAGGAAGGGCAAGAACAATTGCTCACTAACATCCCTATTTTGCGTCTATAGATCTCGCATTGCGCTCCATCTTGGAGACAGTTGCTGCACGGCGCTGCAGGAATTAGTCAACGTGCACAGGTCTGGTGTGAATGCGTTTTGCTGCTGAGACCGAGCAATGTCTTGAAAGAAATACTAAGACTTACCACCTTGTGAAGCAAGGTTACACCTCACCTTTCGAGTGTGACAAAGTGAACATGCAATAACTGATCGTTTGCGTTTTGTCCCGGTGGAAGCCAAGGTTCCTGTAGCGGAAGGTTCTGCCATGTAGAAAACGTTGTGTTGTGCACCTGCCTCGTTGCTCGGTGCTCCTTCCGAGAGACACTTGTAAGTAGTATACAGCTAAGAAGACAGCTGCTCTTCGGGCACTGATGCTCCATTCACCCGTTGAAGATGCACTTCGACACAGCTGCAGAGTTCAAACTGCGAGGTGTTTGCAGAGCCGGCAAAGTGGACAAATTGTAGCGGAGTTTAAATTGACGCTTGGTGAAGATCCCCCAGAAAGATGCTCAGAATAGCTGGAGATCACAGGGAAGATTTTCCGCAAAGTGAGTCTGACTCTCTGCCGCTGCTTTGCCTCGGCAAGCACCAGTCAGTTTTTCAATTGTCGCAGCGCATGGTGGAGGGTAGTCTCAACAGCCCGGGCAACAAGTATTGAATCTACTAGGAAATTAACAATGTATTGAAGCGAAACACCTGTGAGCATACTGCCTGAGCATCAAGAACGTATTTGGTCTTGCGAACAAGTGCTAAATCGACACCAGCACCAGGCAGTGTTCTCAGCACAATCCTGTAACGACCATTTACTCCTCTTAACGGCATGGGGTATAAGACATGATCGCCGTATCCAGTATATAACTCAAATTACAAACAAAATTGACCTTGTACATCTGCGCTTCGATCCAGTCGGAGACTTCTCGGAGGTACAAGCAGAGCCTAGTAAGGACTGTTGACGATCTCGTTGCGAAGGTGGCTAGCACGTCCTCGTACACTCTTCCGTGGAGTTGAGTACGCTCCAGCACTTAGTCTGCTGTTCGCAACTTCGCCTGCTATGCTCTCCCGTGTCGGTTTCTTGAAAGCCTTCCTTGACACCATGTCGACCTCATTTGGTAAAGCCAAGATGACATTCTTATCACTACCAAATTCAAAGTTGTCGGCAATGACCTGGTCACTGTAGCGCTTGATGTGGTACGGATCGCGTTGACCTGCGATGATCTTTCTCATAGACCAGGTGACAAGGAAAGGACCAGTGGAGGTGATTATGCTTGTTTCCTTACCTTCTGGATCGGCGTTGAATTTTGCTGGGGTAAAGGCAAGATCTATGCCTGTTTCGTGCTTGAATTGAGCCACGTGCTCTGGTTTCATGGCAAGACGTCGAGGTTGAGGCTTGCTATCCTTTGCGAAAGATCTTTCAAAGCCCAGTTTTCCTTCATTCTTACCTTCTTTTTGAAGACAATCAATCAGAAGCAGGTATGTTTTGCAGGTTGCTAGAAGCCAGTGACCATCAGCGCTCACGTCTAACCCAATGATAGCTTCACCAAGCGCTGGAATCAGAGTCTTCGCGTTCACACCAATCCGATCAAACAGCCGAACATCACCTTTGTTCGATGCAACAGCAATATGGCCCTTCTCCGTTGTGGCTGCCGCGGAGAAATCGTTCTTCGACGCGTATTGCTTGAGTTGTTCCTCGACAAGTTTGTTGCCCGCGATACGCGGGTCAATTTTGAACAGGGCGTTCTTGGAATGACCGACAAATGGCTGGTTCATCGTTCTCTGGGCGAATTTGGTCTCTGGTGCAAAATTGATGACTGGGATATCGTCACGAACCTTCCATTCGTCGACAACCTTGCCGTATTCAAGGTCCATTCTGTACAAGGAGCCTGGATTGTCAGGGTTCTGCAGAATCATGCTCTCGTCCTCGTTGTGCAACATAACCTTTTTTGGGCTAAATGTTTTACCTTTTGGAGTCTCGACTTTGGAAATATTAGTCGAGAATTCGAGGTGTTTATTAGGAAGATGCTTGAAGACGCCAATTTTGGAACCGCGGATAACAAAGGATCTGTCGTACTTGGATCCAACAGCAAGCTGAGAATTCGCATACCCGTCTTTGTCATGCAGTTCGACGTCGTCTTCAGATTCGTCCTCGTCGTAATGCTCGCTCTGCTGAGGTGGAGAGTCTGGCTCTCCTTCGTCCTCTTCGTCCTCTTCCTCCTGTTCTACGTTTGGATCGTCCATAGTTAGGTCATTGAAAGCCTCAATTACATAGTCCCGATCCTGTTTTTGAACTTTCGACCACTTCATCTCGTTTAAGAGCTCCCATAGAGCCCTCATAACACCCTCTTGAAAAGCTTCCAAAGTTGGCTGATCTTTGAATCGTAATAGCCACGAGTAGGCTGAGCCATCGTCGGCGTAATGGTTAAAGATGAAAGAGAGATATTCGAAATTGAAGACTGGACCTATATCGGCGACCACTGGCTGGCCAAGCCACTCTTTGCCATGACCACCAGTAATTTGCAACCAATACCTCCAGGTGCCTATTTCAGACACAGTAGCGATGACAGCAGAATCCTGAAGTACGAAGCTGCCACTCTCAAAGTCGAAGAGATGCAGTTCTGCTTGTTTCTGTGTGAAAATTTCAAGTGCTTCAGGAGCCTTGCGTGCAGCTGGTGCTTGTGTAGGGCCATGGACCGCGTCGAAGCTCTCCGGCGCCGTAGACTTAGGTTCTTTCTTTCTGTCCTTGACCTCCTTTGCCATGTGCTCAGCTGCTTGTTTGGAAGTGGGTGGTAACTCTGTAGAGCCTGCCAGTGAGGTAGCGCTTGGTATAGGATCCTCCTCATCAAACTCAAACTCTTTCAGGTCATGGTCATCGGCCTTGGAGGGTTTTCGGTATTTTCGCTCGTATTGACATTCCATCGCAGCAAAGGTGAAGTTCTTGACATCCTCCTCAGCAATCGAGTCATCGCATATGAACTCGTATAGGTCGCCGGTGTCACCACTTAAATCGCGCCATGCCAGGACCCATCCACTCCCTTCACGTTGAGCAGATCGAAAATGGAGTGCTTTGTCGAGCAGAAATGTCTTCTCGTCGTTGTCAAGACCTCCACCCTCCTCATCTGAGTCCTCCAAATCTTCCTCGCCTTCTTCATAGGCTCTCTGAATGACTAGCTCGTAGTTGTAGTCCTGGGATGTTCTTCTGATAGAAGCAACAGCATCTCGGTAGATCAATTCGGAGAAACCCTTGGGTGAGATTGGGCGCACGACATAGAGCTGGCCTTTCGCGATCTCGGTTATAGACTCTTTAGATCGATCTCCGAACAAAGCCTTTTGCACTGTAATAGGTATTAGTTGTAGAATGTTAGTGAATTCCTTGTCCTTACAGCTTCTTATTGCCCACATTTTTGAGTAACGGCGGCCGCAGCCTCAGTCGTCTGGTTGTAGCAGGAGGTATGCGATCGTGCTCAACAAAGCCTGGACCAGACAGTTCTATTAGCATGAAATTTGTACGACGAGTGGTGGTCTGGATATGGTTACTAGGTCAGTGTACAGTCTGACACATGTATGCTCAGGCAGCAAACAGCCGCTGTTGGTTGAGTTTGTTTGGAGATCATGCCCACCTGTGACGTAGCAACCATAAGTTTAGGCTACCAGAAGCTCCGGCACGCCCTGAATGTCCAATCGCGAAGTCCAGCGCAGTTGTGCTAGAGGAAACACCCGCTTCTCACGAAGAACTTTGTTGTGAGTGCCTGAGGTCTCTCGGTCTGCCATATTCGAAGAACATCAGTTATTCCTGTTTAAACCCGGCACAACTACCCATTGACAATCGGCCTACCCAAGTCATTCTTTAAATTGTTTACAACGACTCATTTATGGCCTCTAAGCCGTCCAGCCATACTACAGCGAGCACTATCGAGTCAGAAGAGCCAAAGACAGGCCTTGCTGCGAATCCTCACAACCCAAGTTCGGCTGCCTATTTGGCCTATCCTATCACCCACGTCTTTAAGAGTCTGGCTCGGCGCATGGGTGAGCCTCCAGAATATGATGTAGGACGATTACTTGACGCTCCAACGATACCACAAAACAAGCCGGTTATGTACACTCCCTCGAGAAGAGCATCACCCTTTCAACCCCCACCTTTGACTGCTTTGCAGTTGTCGCATGCCCTATCCGACTCTCAGGCTGAGAGCTTGCTACTCACTCGTTCGCTGGCAGAGGAAATTCGACTGCTCATTCCTCCTCGTCTGCAGCTGGTGGATTCGTGGCGACTGGCCTACAACCTGCAGTTGCATGGCTCGTCACTGAGCACTCTGTACCAATATTGTGATAACATCCTAGGCCCTCTAGGGTCTACTCGAAGAGGAGGTTTTGTTTTGGTCGTCAAAGATGGCAGTGATGCAGCTGGTTCTGGATCGGTCTTTGGTGCTTACCTTACCGATCCACCCACAGTGCAGCAACACTACTTCGGCACTGGCGAATGCTTCTTGTGGCGGGCGAGTATCCTACCGTCTTTTGCAACAATACAAGCCAATTCCAACAAATCAGGGTCCAAGACACCACCTTCAGAAGATCTCCTAGAACTCGCTGGCCTTCCACCACCACCCAGCGCCGACACAACTAATGCCCAAAGGACGACCACTGTAAGAAGTGAGAGAAGGCGTTCTTCTGTTGCTCATAAGCAGCCCTCCTTCGGTCCGAGAAACCCTGCTAGTCATGAGAGCGGGCCCCATCCACCATCACCTGTGGCGTCTGGATTCTCGACTCCTGATCGCATCCGTTTCAAGGCGTTTCCTTACAGCGGTATCAATGATTTCATGATCTATTGTCAACGTGACTACCTTTCCGTTGGTGGCGGTGATGGGCACTATGGACTTTGGCTCGATAACGATCTACAGAGTGGTATCAGTGATTCTTGTCCGACTTTCGGAAACGAGCCACTGAGTGATGAGGGTAAAAAGTTCGACGTCCTCGGAGTCGAGATCTGGTATGTTGGTGGATCATGATCTGGCCCCTGATCAAGGGTTCTTCGCAACCAATCGATACTAACCACATCCATTACAAGGGCTCAACTCATAGGCGTCGATTAACGCAGTTGACACGGCAAATCGATACTGGCATTTTGCCTTGTTATCGGGGTTGTCTGCTACATTGGGCGTCCTGATTGGGACACCAACGTCTGCAAGCAAGGGCTTGGCCGTTGTCCTGTGCCTGAGCTAAGCAGACTACATCAAGACTGCAGTACCGCTATGGCACTAGTTCAAGGCCGCACCATTTCCCAGTCTAAATTTGACATCTCGTGTGACTGTATTGCAGATTTAGATCACGGAGACAGCTTGGTACAAACATGCAGGCCTCCTATTGCTGCTAAGCGGCTGGATTGAGCTGCAAGCATAGCCTCACCACGACACATTGTCGACGATCTACAGTCTCGCCACACTTACGCAGATGCTGCGTAATTAGAACATGTCGAACTTACGATGTTGCTCACTCGGATTGTAGCGACTGGAACAGCGTTGCCAATTTGGTGCCGTCCTTTCCACTATAATGTGCGAAAATCTCTCATAGTCTTGCACTGTGCCGAAGTGGTAACTTGTGAAATTTATGTCACCGCTAGGCTATCGTTGAGATCCACGCTGAGGTGGGGAACACTTCGGCCGAAAATTATGCAAAGTGTCCCAGCTAGAAATATAAGGGTGAATTACAACATTAATCCGAATCGCACACGTGCCCAGGTACTGAACGACTGTCGGTATCAGGCACGATACAGACTGCCTCATAAATTGGACTGTATTCCACTCAAGTTTCGCCACAGCTGATTCACGTTCAATGATCAGCAACGTGCTTTTGATCGAGCATGGATGACAACTTTGTCCTGGCTCTACTCGAGTACTATGCCACGACAAGGACAAATGGTCTACCATAGTAAAAGTTTCAGCATTTTATCGCAGCACAAAAAACTCTTTATAAACGTACCAGGTCAGTGCCGTCAATAATTAGGTTTTAAGGTACTACCCTACTCTCTGCCTGCACCGCGGACTCCAGCAGCCATTTTGTGAGCAAGGACGCGCGTCGCCAATGCTTAACGGGACGTATTCCAGCACAGAACAAGAGATCCCATGACTTGGCTTCTCCTTGCTGTTGCTCAAGTGATTCGAGGCCGGTCTATTTGCACTCGGCCTCGCTGGGCATACTGCGCCATGTTTTCACAACTTGGCTGGTATCTACTGTAAACGCCAGCGGAGGCACATCGTCTCATCACAACACTGCGCTCGGTGCTCATTCAAACTTGCACTATCAAAACACTCTCTAGGTGGTAGTCGAGTATACGACGTGTCACAATATTCAGGACGAAATGCGGAATGCTTTCGCTACTGGTTTACTATTGTAGTATTCATAATCTGGCTGGCTGCTGGTTTGTCAAGAACGTTCGTCCGTGGTGGAGATATAGAAAAGCCTTAGCTTCGGAGCGTGACATAATTAACCCTTCAAACCCGAACACGCTGCTTCCTGAACCCCATGTCATTCTTGACTTTCGTACTTGCACAACTGTTGGCCCTACTCAACGTCAAGAAAGCCTAAAAATTTTATCCACTCAATGCACCATTCGTTCTGCTCAAGGCCGCCTACTCGTACAGTCCTGCTTCCGCTGCAGGTATCGATCATGTCAGGTTTCCACTCACAGGGGGACTTGCTTGCGGTAGCGCGAGAGCCGCCAAACGTCACTGACTAAGAACATTGCACCAGCGTACGATATAAGCTCACGTCAGCCCACGCGATGCGTACCACATACAGCTCTGCTAATCGGTCGATACGAGCCGGGCCCTCCAGCTCCTCTTAATCTTTTGTCCCAGCTGTCTTGTAGTATTAATCTTGCTACCTAGCTTGTGCAATATATCAACCAACTCTGTGTATCATTACCATGGGTGGTCAATCCATGACACCACCTGCTGAGCTGCCGTCCTCAGACGACAACAGCATTCGAAAGAGAGTATGCAAAGCTTGTGATCGTTGCAGGTTAAAGAAGTCGAAATGTGACGGAGCTAGTCCTTGTGGTCGCTGCAGAGCAGACAATGCAATTTGCGTCTTCGGCGAGCGCAAGAAGTCTCACGATAAAGTGTATCCAAAGGGGTAAGTGTCCTGACCTCCAATATCTTGTGGCACAACTAATCCAGTATAGCTATGTGGAAATGCTCGAGAGTCAACAGGCACAATTAGTGGCAGGCATACAAGAACTCTATCGACGCTTACAAGTAGGAGAAGGTTGGGAAGGGCCTCGTCTGAAAGAGACAGCTGGAGGGACACCACTGACGCACGAAATATTGGACCATTTGGGTGCTCTAAAGCATGACAACCAGCACAGTTCCACAACCTTCGAGGACAGCCCGGAAACACTGCAGAGCAAGTTATCGGTAACGACTTCTGCGTCGGTACGGCGGGAGATGTCCTTTGACACCAGCTCTTCGTCGATTTCGTCACCTATGTTCGAACCCGTTCAGCACAATACGACACACTTCACAAACCCATGGACTCACAACCACTTCCCACCTACACCACCTTTGCAGAGTCCTCGACCATCAATAACGAAAACAAGCTCGCCATTGAGAGCTCAAATGACCAGCAGCTACTGGCCTGTCGATGCTTCTCAATTTGTCGATTCAATGGACTATAATACGGTTTACGACTCGCCAGCAGAGCTGGATTTACAGTCCATGCAGACTCTTGCACAGGCGTTTTTCGATCCTACACAGATGTCAATTCATCCTAGTCTGACAATGTACGATCCAGATGAACGATTACAGCGTTACTACTAAAGCAACCTGCTTCGGCTTTTCGCGATGTTATCCAAACAAAACCTCCACAGAGACCTGGAAAGTCGTGCAAATCAATCCACAATTCTTAGTTCAGCATTCTCTGGTGCAGACAGTTTGCGATGACTATCACGAGTAACAACATTGTGTCATGGTTGTGATTGATGGTTATATGCAGGATCCATATGAACTTGATGCATTAGCAAGCGCGGCGTTGGGGTATTTTGTGATTACTGAGATGTATTTGGCATTCCAAATCTCGTATCTCGGATTTACTAGTTTGAGGAGAAAGTACGTGGTATGTGAGAGATCTGAAAGTTGGAAAAGCATATTGCTTAAGGAGAACCCTACTTGAGGCCTGCTGTACGCCTTAGGCCAATGGAGGTTTCGTACCACCTACGGTCGGTGGTGCAACTATATCTTACTCTCCGTCGTTCCTGGTTTCACTTTCACAGACGTTCATTTCAAGTCCTTGTCAACATGCGTATCTCGTGCCTCCAGACGGAACACCACTCACCAAGAGTTTAGGATATGCATGGCATCCACCTGCACCGACATCGTCAACAAACCTTGATGTTGCGAACTGTCCCCGATAAGCTTCGTTATGTTCAGTGACATCACGAAATAGTACAGGAAACACGGAGTCGATTATTAGCCTATCTAACGCTTCTGTTGAGGCTCTGTTTAAAGTGTGTCTCGAAACCCAAATTGGTTCTAGCTGCATTATGAGAACTCTAATGATGACTTCACAATAACGATTGTCACGTAAGCTCGCAGCATGTAAGTTTTTTTTCAGCAGATGGAGATAAAACTGGTCCTCAGCGACAGCAAGTGATGTACGTAGTTGTCGATGTCTTTTTCGCCATCGAAGACGAAAGTCTTAAACTGCAGCTGCTCGAACATGCTGCTGTGCCTGATATCCAAGTTGTGCAAAACCTTCCAGAAGGAAACTTTGGAGAAGCCTTGGCATTCGCTAAACATGCATGGTGCACTCCTGTTCCTGCCTCGTCCTTTTCATGCTTGTTCTTCCCACTGCACTTTTGTTGGATATAAATTGCCTATCAGCTGACATGAATCAGCCCAAGGGTTACCAGTGAAAGCATGGTCTCAGCCATTGAGATGCTAATCTGATACAGCACACAGCAAAGGTTTTTAATAGTTCGCGATAAGCACAACTTCGCAGCACTAAAAGCAGCTGGCTCTGTATTATGATGCTCAGAGGCCATGTTCGGCACGACGCGAGAAGTCATGAATACTAAATCCGAAATTCTGGAAGACTTATCCTAGTTGAAGTGGCAGTTGCCTCAGCCGACGAAGTGATGCGATTGTGGAACAGAAATGAGCTAAATTCAGCCAATTTTTATTGTCAACCCCCAGCCTGTGAATACAACTGCCCCTCGTTCATGCATTCATCACAACTTTCAGACTTCTAGCGCATCTGTAGCAACGCCTTTTTCCTTCTAGAACGACCGAAACCCCTAGCTGCTCTTCCTCCATAGGTAAACTAACGTTCAGCCGCATCATTTCGTTAACAAATTTGGACCTATTCCATTCGTCCTGCACGGAATTGATCCGCACCTTCTCACCTATCGAACACGAGACATACCACAAGGCTGAGAGTCCATCATGACGTCCCTAGACAGGAAAGAATCGTCCGTCAAATTCATACCTCAAGGAGCCATCATCCAGGAGTTCATCGTTGCCGGCCACAACATCGTGCTAGGTTTTCCTACCGAAAAACCATACACATACTTGAACGCTCCATTTTTCGGCGAGACCATTGGCCGTGTTGCCAACAGAATCAAGGATGGTAAGATATCGGCTCTTAACGGCCGTGAGTACCAACTAGCACAAAACAATGGAAAGAACTCGTTGCATGGCGGTTCCGTCGGCTGGGGAAAGAAGATCTTCTCTGGTCCACAACTGAGCAATCGAAATGGCAAGGAGACTGTTCAGTTTACCTACGTCAGTCCAGACGGCGAAGAGGGCTATCCTGGCACAGTTAAACTTAGAGTGTGGTACTCAACCACAGAGCAAGAGGAAGACGGCGTCAGGAAGATAGTATTGGACATGGAATATGAGGCGGAATTAATTGGTCAGGAATGTGACGAAACTGCCATTAATATTACGAACCACAGGTAAGAGGCCTCAGTCATATTCATTTCAGGAGATCGTAGCATCTTTTAGGCTCCGAAGCAGTAGTCTGCAGGCAGTCTCGAGTGGGCCTACAAAGAGGTTGGACATGTACTGACGTGGTGAGCAGCTACTTCAACCTCAGTGATGGGCCTACGATAGAGGGCACAGAAGTGAATCTCGCCACAACCGAATATATGCTGGTCGACAATGAAGATTGTCCAACGGGCACTTTTGGAAAATGGCCTGGCATCCAGCCAGATCGTCCTTTTGTACTAGGACCACAAGAGCCTGATATTGATCATTGCTTCATTTCGGACTCGAATGCACAGCAGATTCCGGTGGATACCAGGGATCGACCGCTATCAAGGTTGGTATCTTTGTCACACCCAACCACTGGACTACACCTTGAAATCTTCAGTACGGAGCCAGCTTTCCAGTTCTACTTGGGCAAGTACATCAGTGTGCCGGCATCGGAGCACGGACCTGAACGGACAGCTAGATCTGGGTTGTGTGTCGAACCTAGTCGATACATTAACGCAGTGAACCACACTGACTGGCGGAATATGGCAATCCTCAAGCAAGGCCAGAAATACGGGTCAAAGACCAGGTACATCGCCTGGAAAGCTTGATTGGCACAGACTTGATGTTCTGTGAGGCTCCAACATAAGTCTTGTATTTCACATCGAGTCATGACGGGCTAGAGAACTCCAATATCGGTGGTTGACAATCTTCGCTGCGTCGTTTCGGAGTCAATGTCGGGTATCTCTGTTACGTGATGGAAGTGGTTGGAATACTCGATCTCTAGAGCGGTTGTGCAGAGGCAGCAAGCTCGATGTCATCGCCCCATACTGGAAACTAGATTCTCCAGACGGTTCGAGCCTAAAAACGTGGCATCACCCACCCAAACACATGTCCAATTGCGGACATAGTATGAGAGACCGAAACATTGCCGAGTCGATGTGCAGGTTGTTCAACCTTACTCTGCAACTACTGCAGAATGCTATAGCTTACCTTCCGTTGAACAATCTAGCGATTTTTAGGTTCGTGGCACACATGAGTAATGCCAAGAACTTCGCTCATATCCAGAAGCAACAACGCGTGGGTCCGCTCTCGTAATGATAGTGAAGGTTCATGCCCTGAAGGTTCAGAACCAGTTCGGCAGTTGTCTTTTTGCATTCTCTGATCGAACAACTTGCCAAGCTCGGCGATGCTGCAAGCAAAGTCTTGTCAGCATGACACATTTCCTTGTCTCTTCCCTCTCTGCGAGATTCGGGACAAGTTAATATCCGTGATGGAAAAGCTGTATTCTACAGCGTACGATTAGACCACTGGATTGTCCAGTGCTGCGCAGACTTCTACTGCCACAGCTCGCGGCCGGAAGTTATAAATCCGTTCGGACGTTGCAGAATAACCCGAGATGCCGCAGTTGACGATTGCATCACGTCGGTGGTGGATCACGACTCACTCGTCAGGTGCCGTGTTTGGCTTTGCACAAAAGTATCGTGGTACCTGATACATAATCCGGAAATTATGCAATTTTGAAATGCAGTCATTACAGACTAAAACGCATGGAGGTCTTTGTAAGTTACTGTACACAAATGGACGAACTCTTTTCGCCACCTTTCCTCTGTCGCGCACTTTCTACAAATCGAGCTTGGAACCTGTGCATCCTTTCTGCAAGGCATATGCGAACCTCTCCACGACATATCGCACCGAGCGTCAAACGGCCTGCCTGACCCTGAAAAAGCTCAGTCAGAACTCGTTTTCGCTGAACTGCATGCTGCAGCTTCATGCAGATTTGGGAAGCACTGCTTCTCAACAGGCCCATGGGATCGCACACTGTGACGCTAAAGCAACTTTACGTCCTCTCGTCATGCACGTGGCTCTTATCAAGTCCAGTTGTCGATACGATGCGTGCAACACTAAAATGCTTACTCATGCTTGTCTTTCTTACAATATCTCAGCTAAGCGTGTGGAGTCGACTATGTTCTCGTCAGCATGTTTGCTGATAGCCTATTCTGGCTCTACTTGACCAGACGTCTGCGTAGAATCTCAATAGCGTGCTCAGCAATCATGACTCTCTATGCTGAGTCAGCAACAGTAGATGCCACCAGGACACTGAGTCCTGACAGCAGGCAAAGGGCAGGCACCATGATACATGTTCGAGACGGAATACGTAGACTTGCTGGGCCGTCTGACAAGGCGCTTGTCCAGTGCTGCGGCTCCTCAAACTTTCGCTAATAAATTCCAGATCGCATGATCGCGTTGCATTGTAGCCAGAATGCTGTAGAGACTCTTTTGAGAGTGCCGTGATCTCGAAAACGACAGTACCATGTGTCCTGTAATGTTGTTGGACAGACTGACCACGTGATCATATCCAGGTAAAGAGACAGTGCTGAACAGGCTATGTGCCGACTGCATCTCAGGTACATGTTGATAGCATGTCGACCGCGTGTCAACATCATGTCAGCACGCTGTTGACTATGGGTTGACTTGATACCTGATTCAAGTCAAGACATCTTGGTGAGTCTTGCCCGTCCTCTGGCCTTGCGACCACATGTTAGCGGCACCTCGGTGTCGTACTGAACACCCGACCCACATTTGGCACAGTGCTAACTATGTTTTGACATTCCATCAGCAAGTGACCGGTTATAAGCGGAAAAAATTGGAAACAGAGGCTAAATGAGTGCAAGAAAGATATGATGATGCGTACGCACCGAGAACACGGAATTCTAAGTGCTGATCGAACGACTTGTGGCACGTTTGTCACTGCAGTTGTCCCGTAGCTAACATTTGATCTAACCCTTCGAACATGCTAACAACATTGAGCTAAGCTCCCAACAGCGTCCCTACCACGCCCATGTAAATCGTCTGTGTATGGCGAAGGATCTATGAACACATGGGTTGTGTCTAACTTTTTGTACTAATTTCCAGACACGTTGTTGCAGATCAGGGCTTTAGCTGGTTTGAGTCGTGCGTTGTCCTGGTGCTTCGAGTATATAATACGAGCTCATAATGTCATTACGTAACGTAGAACGTTGCACGGAGCAAGATCGGTATTCAGAATTTTGCAGTGCGTCGCTGGCACAAGGGTCGTGGTTGCCAAACATTGACTGACTGACTCCAGGTCTTAATCTGAAACTTCGATGAAATGGGAAGGGCTTCAGTATCCGGACGTGGGGCACTTATTCACCCCACTTCAGTTTCAGCTAGGATCATAACCTCTTCAACACCACCAACCAACCCGCGTCGTGTTTGCTGATGGTAACGCCCGTACCGGTGGACTTTACGATCGTGACCGACTCGTGCTTTACGAGTTCATCGACCTTCGTTTTGAAACCACCGTGCTGCCAAAGACCTCCGCCAATCGTAGCGGCCAAGTAGCCATTTCTTTTGACCACCCTGATCAGCTCGTCAAGAAGTTGCGGTCCGAGGTGTCCTTTTGTGAGAGTACCAACACAGATAGCCGCATCGTACTCTTCATTTTGTCTTGCAATAGATTTTGTCAAATCTGCTACCTCAAGATTTGTGTAGACGGACGTCTGACTCGCCCTTTGCAGCATTTCTGGCGAGATATCTAGGCCTTCTATGTTTTTGGCGCCCAATTGCGCCAGGCAAACGCCAACAAGGCCCGTACCACAGCCAGCGTCGAGGATTCTAACCTTCGCCAGGTCCTGGCTAGTGACCTCTGCCAATGCTTCCGCAGCCATTTGCGGGAATGTGTACTGCATGCCTGACACATCTTTGTCATAGTTCTCCGCCCACTCCTTGTAGAACTGTTGGACGTCATCAGGTGCTCCTGATAGAGCATATGCTCGAGCAAGTGTTTCGTTTGCGTCTGCAGATCGATCTGACATATCTACAGAGTTGCAGGTATGACCGACAGTGAAGTGATGCCGACGCTGTATGTTCCTTGACTACAGGATATCGTGAGAAGGAGCTATCGAAGAGAAGAATTTCTGCGTGTGCAAAGAACCAAGACAAGGATAATGTCGAACGTCGAATTATGTCGAATGAAATTGGGAGCTGTAAAGGCGTCACGTCACACGTTGACACTTGAAACGTCATTTGCGAAACCGTAGTGCCATCGGTACCGTATCGAAACGTTGCCCCTGAAGCAGAACCCCTGTATATCGAGCGGAGAGGAACAACGTTGTTCTTGTAGCAGGTGGCGTGCCCTATCCACAATAAGACGCAGCAAGGGCTTCTGATACTGGCAGTGATTGCGAAGCTGCTGACGGCAACAAGCTGAGCAAACTGAATTTTCAGGTTGGCTTGGACACAACGATTCGACAAGAGGAACACCCTGGGCATGGCGAGAGTGACGCAGGGAGTGAATTGCTGTGGCAGCGGAGGATTGTTTTAAGCCAGAGATTCTGCAGAAGCGTGAGAACACTCAACATCCGGTGGGGCTGGCGAGTAAAGGCAGTCCATGACATGAGAAAGCGAGAATTCGGGGAAGCAGCCGCAAACGATCGACCCGCATGCTGTGGCCGCATTTTGCCTTCAAGACTCGTATCAACAGCATACGGCAATATCGACGATACCAGTACGCCATGGTACGTCTCACGTGACGAGTCGGATTGCCGCAGTTCAACGGACAGAAGCAAACTGTCTTGCAAGCCACGCACTGCCGTATTCGTGGTATTGCTCTCTTGTCACCACCATCTTTTGCATGACTTCTTGGTGGCTGGATGCAAGTCGAGCTCCCCCTAGCCAAGTACTTGTGACGGGGTCGTCCATTCTTCTTACTTGAACAGGCCATTCAGTTCTGATCCTCGTCCGTAGCTCGTCCTGCAAACGTGACACAAAACCTGGAATCTTGGCAGTACCTCCCACCACCAGAACGTTCGCAATCATTGTGGCTTGAATCAGAGGAGGTAGTTTGGATAACGACTGGACGACAGCGTCAGCTAGGCCGGGTTGTTTGGATCCAATATCTGCTGGGTTGAACATGATCTCCGGAACAACAAATCGCTCATTTCCCAAGGTCATCACAATTTCATCTATATTTTGAGCAGCAGCAAGCTTGCGTCGATTAGCTATCTCTCTGGAAGGATCATAAGGTCGAGCATAACCTCTGGTAAGATTGACACCGTCAGGAAGTACGTAGTCGATTCGTGTATCCTTTGCAGACTCGTCTTCTCCTAGGTCCATTGCATCTGGTATAATCTGTACCGGCTTGTTTGAGCGTCTGCTGCCTTTCCAAGCCTGTTCAAGGTCGCGTTTGAAATCGATGCTGACAAAAGAAATATCTTCTTTCAGGTCATTGACTATTTTCATATCCTGGTGGAGGTCAAAATGACGAACTGACACAATTTCCTTCAAGTAGTTTGTCAGGTGCTTCCCTCCAAAATCGAGTCGGCGGATCGCTCTTTGGATCGGACGGCCTTGAAAGCATGGAGTAATGGTGGTACATGAGTATCCACTATCAACAACGAGCAGGCAATCAGCTGGTAGTTTTGTGGAGCTAGGTTGTGCATCGGGCGTGATTGCAGTGTCGAAAAGTGCACGCAGGTGGTTGTACGCATTGAGTGAAGAACCTGATCCGTCAGCAATATCTTGTATGAGAGGTGCTTGTCACCTGCCAGTGGTCCTCATATATCCTCTAAATCCCCACTCTTCCATGATGACCTCGTCTGTATTTCTCTGCAGCGCAGGCATGACGTTGGAAGACTCCGTCAACAACAAGGTAGTCTCCGAAGGTGTGGATATAAAGGTGTTTCGGTGTGCGGTAGACTGGTCGAAGAAAGCATGATCCCAGATTTCTTTTTCTGCTTCCCAATTGACAAGCTGGCCGTTCTCGATAGGCCTACGAAAGACGGCTTCGCTCCATTGTGACAGCTCATTTGACTGAGCTGCTACGTACGTCTTGCGTTCCTTAGACCGTACTAGACAGTTAGGAATGGTCTCGCATGACTTTAGGCTTTCATTATCGGAAAGGAGTTCGTTTGGCGCAAAGCCTGCCTTGACTGTATATGCTCCATTATCAAGGACGAACGTGTTTTGTGGTACGCTCAAAGCAGCAGAATTGTTCTGCCGTTGAGTACGTGCCATTGAAGCTCGATTGACTGGACATTATGTGAAGTACGATCAGCCGTTGCTCGTATATAGGGACAAGTTGATTCTGTCGAAATAAAAAGTCATCGTTGATCAGAAAGAATCGAGCTAGGCTACGCTCTTGCCTTGTCACTGTCTATAGAGTGGGGTCTATGCGGCAACAAATAGGCGTTGAATCAGCTGTCGGATCTGTCATAGAGTGCTAGTGGAAAGAACGCCTAGAATTGCACTTGCGACGATAGGCATGACGTGCCTATTAAGAAGAACGAGGTGGTACATTTACCTAGCAGAATTATCTTGCACAACTTGAATGTGACACCAGAAGGTCTTTTCCTCGTGACTGAGACTTCACCCAGACGGAACCGGTAAGGCAACCAAAGGTCTTTTCACAATAGAGAATACCTCAGCATGGCACCTCCTGAACCTCCTGCATACGATCCTACCGGAATTGAGTATCATACTATTCCGAGCTTCACGTTCGCCTCTGGGACAACTTTACATGACCTTAGGATCGCATACCGCTCTCACAATAGCTCGTCCAGTCATGGCACAGTGCTCATACCAACCTGCTTTTCAGGCCACATCAATACGACCTTGACCTTTAATCAAAACGAAAATGCGGCTCTTGCTGCCTATCATGTTGTGGTCGTGGCCATGCTCAGCAACGGAGAGTCATCGAGTCCGTCGAATAAAGCTTTCTTTCCAGCTCCGGGAGAACTGCATTACGAGGACCAAATTCATGCTCAATACGATCTGCTCACCAAAGGCTTAGGTGTCAAACAGCTCGAGGCAGTCATTGGCTTCTCCATGGGAGGACAACAAGCGTATCATTGGGCAGTGATGTATCCCGAATGTGTGAAACGTGTTGTCTGCATCTGCACGAGTGCGAGAACTAGTCCGCACAACTACGCCTTCCTAGAAGGACCCATTGCAGCCATGACAAGCAGTATTGACTACATAGCATGGAAGCAGATCAAGCAACGTATCGCTCAAGGTGATGACGTGGGTGCAAACCTGAAAGAGGTGAGGCCCAAGAAAGGTCTAGCTGCTTGGGCAAGAGCCTATGCGGCATGGCTGACAAGTGCCAAATGGTTTCGTGATAAGGAGTGGTCAAAGATAGGCTGCAACGGCGTGGAAGAGTACATGCAGGCTCGAGAATTGGGCTATGCTCGTTGGGATGCAGATGACCTTGTCACAAAGGCGCGAATGTGGCAGATGGCCAATATAGGTAAGACAAAGAAAAGGGAGGTCACTCAGCTAGGCTGTCTCGTTGATCACCTGGATGATGAAGCATATAAGCAGGCATTGCGGAGCATTAAAGCCAAGGTCCTCTTAATGCCATGCAGAACTGACCAGTATTTTCCACCAGAGGATAGTGAGGTCGAGATGAAAAGCCTCGAACATGGCACTCTCGCAGTGATTGAGTCGTCGTGGGGTCATACTGCAGGAGGAGGTGCAAACCCGGAAGATGCAAAATTCATGAACACCAAGATAGCAGAGCATATGAGACGTTGAGGCTTCTGACCATGCGGTGGCTCACTCCAGTGAGATTGGGTAACAATTACGAGTCGTGACAACGGAAGGGAAAGCTACGGTCGACTACGAGAAACTAGAGCGTAATTGCGAAGGATGCTGCGCCATGACCTGGAAACTCGTAGATGATCCGTGTGAAAGGGTTGGGCACTAGTTTCAATGCCACGAAGCAGTCCTGGAATGCTGAATGTCAAAGGTCGAGTGACATCCGCTCGTCGTTTGCAAGAAGGTGTGAAACTGAAAATGACCTACAAAACTTCCATTTGCTGAATTAAAGGCTAGCGTGAGTCTGCACCTTCGAAGTCCAGGAAAGATGGGACGCCTACAAAATTCCCTATTTCTGCTCACACTGGCAAGTTTTGTTTCGTCCCAATTTATTCTTGGGCCTCCGACAGAACTACACCGTAGGCACACGCAATTCATCGTCTCGAACGAAACAGTACACGCCGACAACTCATCACACCTTGATAGCACAATGAGTGGTGGCCATGGCTTTAGAACAGTTGCGTACTTCGTCAACTGGGCTATCTACGCTAGAAACCACACACCACAAGATTTACCATCCGACTCACTCACGCATATACTATACTCCTTCGCCAATGTAAAGCCTAACACAGGAGAAGTTTACCTGACCGATGCCTGGGCCGATACGGACAAACATTGGCCAGATGATAGCTGGAACGAACCTGGAAACAATGCCTATGGCTGCGTCAAACAACTCTTCAAACTCAAACAGCGTAACCGCAACCTCAAAGTCTTGTTGAGTATTGGAGGTTGGACATACTCGTCAAACTTCGCCGCACCAGCAAGCACTCCTGCTGGGCGACAAAGATTCGCTCAGTCGGCTGTCCAGATTATGGAAGACTTGGGGCTTGATGGCATTGACGTTGATTGGGAATATCCACAAGACGACGCTCAGGCCCAGGATCTTGTTCAGTTGCTGCACGAGGTGAGATCTGAGTTGTTCAAGGCCGAACAGAGACGACGTTCAAGAGTACATTTTCTGCTCACGGTGGCTTGTCCTGCTGGTCCACAGCATTTCACCAAGATGAGAATTCGCGAGATGGATGGATACCTTGACTTTTGGAACTTGATGGCGTATGACTATGCTGGCAGCTGGGACAGTATGGCTGGCCATCAAAGTAATTGGTATCCAAGCATAGAGGACCACGCGTCCACACCATTCAGCACAGATGCTGCGCTCAGGTACTATACTGGTCAGGGTGTACACAACAACAAGATCGTTATTGGGATGCCCTTGTACGGCCGTGCCTTTGCATCAACCAGAGGTCCTGGTACGTCCTTCAATGGTGTCGGACAAGGGAGCTGGGAGAATGGAGTATGGGACTACAAAGCTTTACCAAAGCCTGGTTCCCGTGTCTACAATGACCCTAGCATAGTCGCAAGTTGGTCATACGACCCGGACACTCAGATCATGATCAGCTACGACACACCAGAAATTGTTCATAAGAAAGCTGACCTTATCAGGCAGTATAATCTCGGTGGTGGTATGTGGTGGGAAAGCAGTGCAGACAAGCCGTTTGGCCAAGGGAGTTTGATTGAGGCTTTCGTGCATATATCTGGTGGACATCGTTTACTCGAGCAACAACAGAACTGTCTGGAATACCCAAACTCCAAATACGACAATATTCGTGATGGTAGGGTTTAGAGGTGCAGTGACTACCTGGTGATAGTTTATTGCCTCGACTGAGCCAGTGTTTATTTTCAGATATAGATCAATAGACTTGTAGGCGCTCACCCACTGCGCTGGATATCATATGAGGTTTATAGGCAGCCATCCTGACACAAGGCGCTGCCTTCTTGCCTGCTCACTTCCTCTTAAGTTTCAGACCTGTGCTGGCGGAAATAAAGTCCTCGGTTCTTGCCAAGCTTATGCAGTAGGGATGTGAGCGGCAGCCATTGACTCTGACGTGCAGCTGTTGCACAAATCTTGTGCTTGTGAAACACGTCAGGGTAATCTTTCGAGTCGAGCTGCATTGACTGTATCCTGTCAACGCGACACAAGCATGTTCATCAAGGTTGTGGCTGGTGTGAACAAGGATCTGATGTGAACATCAACAACCTCATGAGAGCTTTTTGATAACGCTATGGCGTCCTAGGTACTCCTGGACAGATGTCATCTACTACTTTCAGTAGATCAAATAGAAATTGGATAGACACATTGTCTGTCGATAATTTCCATCTCGCAGCCGTCAACCTTTATCGTGTGACCACCGTAACTAGAGATTGCTGAGTCCAGACGTAGCTCTGAGCTATAGGTTGAAGGTATGAGAGAGGGCGGTAGATGTATAGCTCGGATAGTTGTAATAGAAGCTACAACTTGGCGGTCTAACTCCGTTGACGATTCTTGACACGGGATAAACCGATGCCTCGCTCACAATATCTTGAAGTGAGATATCTCAATCGCAGGGATGTGCAAGTCGCGATCTTACCGAAAGTGAAACCGTGAGCCCAGCTAGTCTGCGCAAGTCAGCAACCGCTTGTCTTCTCGAGCCTCGATCGTGCCGTGTGAGGCCATGATCGTCACTACTCTGGCTGGCGCCGAAATGTTAAATTGATTGCAGGGATTAATGCGGGAGTATGTATAGTATGCGGGGCGCATGAAATAGGTTGGGATGGACATTGAGTTCATGCAAAAAAGTAAATCACAGTGAAAATGATCAGTCGTGTTGGAGATCCGACGAATATAAGATTGCGTCGAGGATGATTGACCTCGCGTGACGAAGCATTGCTTCTCACAGCGACTCGTGTCAAAATGTCGCAAGCATTGTCATGTACCCTTTCAGACGTTCGCGCAGCATCGAAACGAGCGGCTGATAAAACTCTTGGGCGTGGGTAGTGGAATACAATGTCTCGCGCTTGGACGTTTTGATACTGATTCTCAGACCTCCGCTGTCTAAAAAGCTTCGCAAGCCGCTAAACTTTGGACCCCCTGGTCACTGCATAACATGACCCGCCCAAGTCGTATCTGACAGCGTCAAAGAGAATGATGTCCTTTCAGCAGCAAGGATCGCCTGCATTGTCTCGTACGTTTCTTTCCAATTCCTGCCAGTTGAACTTGACCGCAGGCTGAATCAAGCGGGAGAAAGTGCCTGGACAAGTGCTCACAAAGATTGTGATCTACCAAACCTTGGACTGGCAGATGGGCCACCAGCACTCTTATAATCCCGTCAGCACCTCGAGATCTGGTGATTCTCTGTTCATTTGTTAATCTTCAATCTTCATATCTACTTCTTAACGATCTCCAAGAACTCCACGACGACGCAGGACTAGCGGCGTCTAACGGCAGAGGCTGTAAGGGGGAAGAGCGCCGGGCTATCTGCAGTTCCCGCTGTCGCGAACCCTCGAGTTTGCAGTTTATTCGTCCACAAGCGACAGCACCAAGTCGTCCGAGTCCTTCGCGAATCAAGGCACATCATCTGCCACTTCCTTACCACGTTCCTTTGTCGACGCTCATTTGACGACTTGCACAAATCATAGCTTTCATCCTTGCTGCAGGTACATTTGCAATCCCATAATTCTCCGACACCAACCGGCTCTGCATTCCCGTTCGACGAAGCATACATTGCAGATCCAGATACCAGCAACTCGTCATCCTTCACAGAGCTACTGTGCTCCGGTCCACTCCCTTGCAAAACAGACACCAAATCGACCTGCTATTGCTTGAGCTCCCGTCGAAGTAGTGTCGCCATATTGCGTTCTGCTCAAGCCAAGATTCAGCGCTGGCCGCGACACCAAAACATGCATCGTCTGCTGGTGTAGTCGACGCAATTACTACATGCGCGTCTGGAACACCTCTTCAAATCGAGCTGTAGCTAGAAGAGAAAGCCAACGGCAGCAAACCGACCGCCTCAAAACGCCCAAACCCCTCACGTTCGACCTTGGATAGCTTACAGATGACTTCTCAATTGCGCTCTGACGTGCCAGTACGATTATCCAGCGCAAAGGACAGGTCTAGAGGTGTTAGACAAAGACAACCCGAACGGGACAGAGACATGGCGGTTGCAACAATGCTGCCGCCGCCGCGGACGTCCACGTCCACCACGTCCTCCTTCGAGCCGATGACTCGACAAAATACCTTCTCCTCTCAAGATGGCGCTCGATCGTTACGACAGAGTAAAAGGGCTAGCATGACTGCTCTGCTTGTAAGTATGAATGCCCGAGAAAGAGATTTGGAAATATCGGACGACCTTGCAAGAGCACAAAGGCTTCTCCGAGAACTCAAGGTGAAGATCTCGAGTCAATCGAAGAAGAACTTTGTCTTGGAGAAGGATGTTCGCTACCTTGACTCACGCATAGCTCTCCTTATTCAGAATCGCATGGCGTTGGAGGAGCAAAACGAAGTTGCGAGCCACCTGGATGAAGCCGCAGAACTACAAGAGGGAGAATTCCCCAACGACGAGAAGACACAAAAGTATGGCAATTTGCTATTTCTGCTCCAGTCGGAACCAAAACACATTGCGCATTTATGTCGACTGGTAACCATGGCTGAGATCGATTCTCTGCTACAGACGGTCATGTTTACGATATACGGAAACCAATACGAAAGTCGAGAAGAGCATCTGCTTCTCACCATGTTTCAGTCCGTCCTTACCCATCAATTCGAGACCACTCCAGAGTACTCGAATCTGTTACGCCAGAACACACCAGTTTCACGAATGATGACAACGTATACACGAAGAGGACCCGGGCAGAGCTATCTCAAAGAAGTGCTCTCCGAGAAGATAAACTCGCTGATTGAGCTCGATGAGATGGACCTCGAGATTAATCCATTGAAGGTGTATGAAAACATGATCAAGCAGATCGAAGAGTCGACAGGCACTCTGCCAGAGGATTTACCTCGTTCGGTTACTGCCGAATTCGCAGCAGAACATCCTCAGGTACACGCTATCATCGATCCCAGACTACGTACCCTCAGCAATCTAGCCGAGGGCTTTTTGGACGAAATTATAGTTGCAGTCGAAGACGCACCTTACGGTATCAGGTGGATATGCAAGCAGATTCGAAACCTTTCACGCAGGAAATACCCGGATGCGCGCGATGAGGCGATATGTACTCTTATAGGTGGATTTTTCTTCTTGCGCTTTATTAACCCTGCTATCGTGACGCCAAAATCCTATATGCTTATCGAAAGGAATCCAGACGACAAGCCGAAGCGAACCTTGACGTACATTGCCAAAATGTTGCAAAATCTTGCCAACAAACCATTGTACGCCAAAGAGCCATATATGGCCAAATTGCAACCTTTTATTCAAAGGAACAAGGACAGGTGTAACAAGTTCATGCTTGACCTGTGCGAGGTACAAGACTTCTATGAAAGTCTGGAGATGGACAATTACGTCGCTTTGACCAAGAGAGACATTGAGCTTAACATCAGCATCAACGAAGTTTATGCCACACACTCCCTATTGGAGAAACACAGTACGGACCTTGCAAGAGACCATGATTCTCACCTTGCCATTCTTCTACGGGAGTTGGGTTCTGCACCTGCACAGCTGCCCAGGAAGGACAACCGAGCCATTATCCTGCCCCTATACAGTCGCTGGGAGTCCTCCTTTGATGATCTGACACAGCAGCTCGACATCACGCAAGAAGAAATTCTCTTCTTGGAAGCGAAGAGTACGTTTGTACAGATTATCAGGAGTTTGCCGGACAGAAGCCGTGCACTGTCACGACCACTGCGACTCGATCGCATCGCAGAAGCAGCAGGCACACTCAGAAACGATCCCGTTATGGTCAGGAAAGGCATACGGTGTGTAGAACTGCTAAGCACGCTGAGCGACATGGGTGCTGTGGAAAGGGCTGACGACTATGCGGTACTTCGCGACGAGATCGAACAAGAATTGACTCATCTTGGCTCACTGAAGGACAAGGTCCTGGAAGAGACGCTGAAGCTAGAGGATGTGTACAAAACGATCCGAGATCACAACACTTACCTTCTCTCGCAACTCGAGACATACAAGAATTACTTGCACAATGTTCGAAGCCAGGCTGAGGGCGTTCGAAGACCTTCAAACGTTAAGGAAAAATCACGGGAGCTTGGTCCGTACAAGTTCTCTCACGCGCAGCTCGAAAAGGACGGGGTCATAAAGAGGAGCAACGTGCCTGACAACCGGCGAAGTAATATATACTTCATGTTCAGAAGTCCCACTGCTGGGACGTTTGTGATTAGTCTTCACTACAAAGGTATGTCGCATTTGATGCTCACTGAGAACCCGTATTTATGGTCTACAGGACGTGCAAGAGGACTTTTGGAACTGGACCTCAAACTGGACGATCTGTTGGAAATGCAAAAAGACAACCAGTACGAACTCGAGCTCGAATATGTGCAGTTTGATGTACCGAAAGTACTTGCTTTGCTCAATAAACGGTTTGCACGAAAGAAATGAGTGGGTTTCTCCCTTGGTATAGTAAAGGTCTATCGGTCTGGTCTTTTCGAATTTTCGTGGTCGACTCAATTTCAAACAACAGCATTACAGACATGGTGGAAGGATGACATGTCCATATCTTTATCACATAGCGCCAGGAGGCATGTTTTGACGAGTTGGATGAATTTAGGAAGGATACCCATTGTGTTACTAGTGATGACGACCAGTGTCAGTATAGGTGTATTGTAATATATTATGTTCGACGTATTTGAATGTTCACGATATTCGTATTCAAATCCAGGTTGGTCCAGAAGGACATGTTTTGCCAAGCTTCAATTATGTCATCCCGCAGTACCCTGGAGACGTGTTGAAGAGGGCGGGCGTGGGTCAAATTATTCGACGAGGAGGCCTGTATACAACAAAGCCCCACTGTTCTTGTTCATGTTATTGTTACTGCTGCTGAGCCTCACGAGCAAGTAGACATATCCATACAATCAAGTTTGCTAGCAGGCTGTGTTTACTAATTACCGCTACTCAACCTTCTGTTCCTACAACTCCTCAACATCATGTCCGCACGGACTTCTAAAGAAACCTCAAGGGCCAATCCGCAGATGGCTCTTGATCCCAAGTACGATGACTATGACTATCCTACTACGGCTCCCGAAACCCAGTCTGGACATCCCGGCCATACAACGAAAGAGCAAGATGCGCAGGTACATCAGTTGCGAGCCATGCTCGAGCAAGCAGGCTACTCTGAGCGACTGGATACTTTGACTCTGCTCCGATTCCTGCGAGCACGGAAGTTCAATGTTCAGTTGGCTCATGACATGTATGTTCTGCCTCATATTACAGGGCTTGTCTGAGTACTAATCCCTGAACAGGTTTACCGCGAACGAGAAATGGCGAAAAGAATTTGGAACAGATGACTTGGTCCGGAACTTTGACTACAAGGAGAAGCCAGAAGTGTTCAAGTTTTATCCTCAATACTATCACAAGACTGACAAGGTATGTGAAGAAGCTCGACAGATGTGGAAACACCATGCTTCTGCTGCTGAGTACCTTCGCTCCCAGGAGAACTGAACCACGGCTAACAAAGACACTTACAGGATGGCCGACCTGTCTACATAGAACAATACGGCAACATCGACCTGAACGCCATGTACAAAATCACAACCGGCGACCGCATGCTTCAGAACCTCGTCGTCGAATATGAAAAAGTCGCCGACCCACGACTCCCCGCCTGCTCCCGCAAAGCCGGCAAGCTGCTCGAAACCTGCTGCACAATCATGGACATGAAAGGTGTAGGCGTAACGAAAATCCCTTCTGTCTACGGCTACGTCAAGCAGGCTTCAGCCATTTCACAAGACCACTACCCTGAAAGACTGGGCAAGCTATACATCACCAACGCGCCGTGGGGATTCAGCAGTGTCTTCAGTGTGGTCAAGGGGTTCTTGGATCCGGTCACGGTGAGCAAGATCCACGTCTTGGGCAGTGGCTATCAGAAAGAGCTCTTGTCACAGATACCGAAGGAGAACCTGCCGAAGTCCTTTGGTGGCACGTGTGATTGTCCTGGTGGATGTGAGTACAGCGATGCTGGCCCGTGGCAGGACAGCCAATGGGTACGCGAGCCGAAGTGGAAGAGGACGCCTGCTCCAACGAAGGGTGGCGCTCCTGCTCAGTCGATGGCACCACACGAAACACATGGTGCTCAGGGTGCGGGTCGGCTTGATGCTCCTGCTCATGCATAGGGTGCTGGAGAGGAGCAGCAGAATGGTAAGGAGAAAGAAGGAGACAAGACTGGCTTTTTCGGCAAGTTGTGGCGACGGAAGACCGATGAGGTGAAATAGTGACGAGTGACGAGCTTGTGTCTGAGACAGTTCAGCGTTGTGGCTGGTTAGGCTGTCTGAAGAAAATGATCAACCTATGTGCATGTTTACTGTACAAAGAAGGAGGCATACTTGGCTGACAATAGAATCGTCGGAGACTTCGACTACAGAAACGCATTGTGCAATCGCAGGAGGAAGATCACGGCAGAGTGGTGAGTGCTTTTGGCATTGTTAGATAGTGTTTACGTTCCAATGAACCGAAAAGTAATAAAAGACTGTGCAGCAATTGGTGCTTGTGTTTTCCACACCTGTCTTTGCTTCTTTGATTCATGTCTATTGCGATAATCCTTACTCAAATTCCATAGCCACGCCTCTAGCTCTCTGCACTTTGCCCAACGTCTCAGTAAGACTGACCATATCCCGGCCACTGCCCTCCTCGCCGTGTGAGAGACCACTGAGCACAGCCAGCCCATGCACACCACGTGTATAGACATCCTTCACGTCCTCATTCCAGCCATCTCGTAACGGATCCAGCTCCAGTCTTTGATGACTCTCTTTCTGTAAACGTGCTTGCTCAGCAATCCAATTTTCGTCGTCGGCCAATACCGCTGCCTCGAGTTGTGCAGCATAGGCATCGGCCGAAGCTTTAGGTGCTTCACGTCGCAGTTTCGAGACTTGCGTCGTGAGCGTTTCGAGTTCAGCGTATAGTGTCTGGACTCGCTTGGCGGCCTTCGAATCGAATGTGCCATATGTGTAGTGTATTCCTTCTATTTCCTCGCTGGAATCTAGTGGCTTCGAGATCGCTTCGTCCGGAGAGAAGCTTGGATTCGAGCACGTTGGGACCTGTGAATGTGGGAGTGAGGAGGCATCGATGCCGTTAATGGAGATGCTATGCGCTGCAGAGCTGAAGGTTTCTTGAAGGAAGGAATCGACTAGATGGCGGACGTGCTTGCGTAGAGGATCCTCGTTGGCTTCTTCGTGCTCGTTCTCCTTGTCTTCTCCTGGTTGCGCTTCTGGTTCTGCTGGGGCTCCTCCAAGCGTGATCACGTCTGCTGGTGCTGCTTGTCGCGCGCTATGTTGAGGAGGGAAATGCAGGTCCAGCTTCTCGCGTGCTGCTTTTGCTAGGTTCTGCTGTAGATATGTCAAGTCTGCGTAGGACTGTAATTCGACTTTGCGGTGGAGGTTGTCGGTCGTGGTTTGAGCCATTCTATGAGTGTGGTCGCGGCTGCTGTTACCACAGCTGCTGTGAGGAAGTTCTTGACAAGAGGAGATGGCATGGATGTGATTTGTTGACTTGTTTACATTGGGAGGTGAAATATCTCAGTTCGGACGGGTCCAAAACATCTTCATGTGCCACTCTTCATAGAGCACATCGTCGTGCTCGAGAACAAGATCTGGCGACGTCAATGCGATTGTGTAGTTCCTGGGCCACGGCCTTGTTTTACTGACTATTTTGTTTGGCCATCAACATTGACGCGCACTCCGACAAAATACGCGACTGCCGTGTTGAGCGGAGATCGTCTCCAGGTCGTACCTGACTACTTTTAGCAAGCGCATGAGCCTTCAAAAAGAAGCATCCCTGAATGCACGATTATGCAAAGATGAGGGCTTCATGTCCCTACACAAAAGCCTACTTCGGCTGCAGTATGTACTCGCCGTGATAGCGGTCATATCAACACTTTACCTCTACTACTATCCCCGAGTACATGGATGCGCATTCCCAAGCACGGCTGGCTCAACACGAGATGGATTTCAGAAAACGTTAGCCCTCCATCATGGCCAGCTACAGCCGGATCATGAATCGCTAGCACCGTTTCGCCTTCTAGTCCTCGCTGATCCGCAGCTCGAAGGTGACAGCTCTCTACCCGATCCAGATGATGCCCTGTCGGCTCGGCTACGGGCTCATTCGCTTCGACTACGAGGGACAGCACTACAAGATGTAAAACCTGTTATGCTTGAGGTGCTTCAACAATTCGTCCTTGAGGATATTCCACGAGCTTTTTGGGCAGTACGGAAGTCGTTGGATTTGTTCGGTAACGACTACTATCTCGCACACATCTACCGCACATTGCACTGGTGGACGAAACCTACCCATGTCACAGTACTTGGTGACCTTATCGGCAGCCAGTGGGTCAGTGACGACGAGTTCGCCTGGAGAGGGTGGAGGTATTGGAACAGAGTACTGGCAGGATCGCATAGGGTAGACGAAGCAGTTATGGAGCAGCACAAGCAAGAGCCAGGGAAACAACAGGTTATACCTCTGGAGTCCGAAAATGATAATTGGAGCGAGGCAATCATTAACATTGTCGGTAACCATGATATCGGCTATGCTGGTGACATTTCTCCCTCTCGCATCGAACGCTTCGAAAGAGTATTTGGGAAGGTTAACTGGGACATACACTTTTCTTATCCTGAACATCGCCTCCCTCAAAATTACTCGTCCACTGGGAAGAGCGGTCCGTCATTGCACATGGTCATCCTGAATTCCATGATTCTTGACACCCCTGCTTTGGCCGAATCAGTGCAAGCTGAAACGTACAGCTATATCAACAGTTTGATCACTTCTCGGTTGGATCCTGTCGAAGCTCGAAACACCACGTTTACACTTCTCCTTACTCATGTGCCTCTGCACAAACCAGAAGGAGTATGTGTCGATGCACCTCTCTTTGAATTCTGGGATCACGATGATTCAGTTGGTGCATTCAAGCACGGTGGGCTTAGAGAACAGAACCATCTTTCGGAGCACACAAGCCACGCTGGCGTCTTGCAAGGCTTGTTTGGCATGAGTGGGAATCCCGACGCTGCTGCTGGAGGTAAAGGCCGAAATGGGCTGGTGTTGACTGGCCACGATCACGAAGGCTGCGACGTCGTACATTACATTGAGCGTTATGAAGAGAACGCAGCATCTGTAACTCTAAGCAGTTCAGATGCGGACAGTCAACATACTGGGGACGCTCAGCAACATACAGACACTGATCATAACGATGATGCTCAACCAACCGAAACCTGGTCTTGGAAATCTGTTCGAACCTCGAATTACCTCCAGCAGAAACCAGATGTTCTAGGCAGCTATAAAGGCAAGGACACGGATATTGTCGCTTCTGTACGTGAGATCACACTCCGCAGCATGATGGGCGAATATTCTGGCAACGCAGGCCTACTGTCACTGTGGTATGACTTTGAGGGATACGGGTCTTGGAAGTACGAGATCCAGATGTGTCCGCTTGGTGTGCAGCACATCTGGTGGGCAGTTCACATTACCGATATCGTTGTTATGATTTCGTTGGTCGCACGGATCTTGCTATGGCTCATACCATCAGCCAAAAAGCCTGCAACAACGATATCTAATGCAACCGAAAAGAAGATAACACCAAACCAAGTTGCATTATTAACAATTCCAAAGCGCGAAGATGAACACTTTAGATCCTCAAGCCCAAGAAGACGAAAAGGATGAGGCTAGGGATTTGTCTCTTCCGGATATAGCCGTAATCTGGAGTTGCAAATTCCCGCAGATACAGAGACGCCAGATCTTGCTGCGCCTGCTTCTGCCGATGTTGCAGTCTGTGCAGGCGTGAACCGCCCCTGTGTCAGGTAGGGGACCAGTTGTGAGCATAGACTTCATGAAAGCGATCAATGCAATGAACGATTTCAAACTTCGACTAGATTTCTCAACATCCTACTAGTGATATTATATACAGCATCCCAAGTCGACTCATTCGATCCTACCTGTTAATTGCCCGATGTTGGTGACCAGTGCTAAGCATTCTTCGTCGGCTCCAGCGATCGTAACTCATCGCGTGTTTCGCAGCCATCCTACCCAGGGTCCACAACCCCAGGCACATAGTCTCGGTGAAGACATCGCAGCCCCTGCCTTCACTTCACTCGAGGCCGTAACTCCCCGATCTTCATCGTATATGTCAGCACCTATTTCTAAGTGTGTACAACCTCCTCAAACATACTTCTTTGTACCACCGTGGATCGACATGCTTCTTTCGTCCTCCGTTCGGGGTACTGAGCCAGGTATGGCACCAAAAATGCTCATCTGCATGACGGTTAGGGTTTGACGCACAATCTTGTATTTGTGGTCGGAATCAGTGGGTTTTGGTGAAAACCCTTCTGATATGATCCCGTCGTGATACGTGAGGCGAGCCCGCATGAGGCTTGTGGATAGGCTCATTCTAGCAGGCATTCTGCATGGATGTGTGGACGTCGACGATACTGGACTAAGTGTCGTGAATTTCTCGCATGGCTAATATGATGTTTGGAGCCTTGGCCTGGCCGTCACGTAGATTGACCTCTTCAAGGCTGTCATTTTGCGATCATACTTTTGAGATGGGCTTCAATGGCTCAGAGATAGGTGTAACGACAATGGCCGAATTATCGTTCTCGGGCCATGTCCATCTTGGCACGTCAAAGACAGGCGATCTGACGGGCATGCTGGTGGTGCTTGTAACGCTCAGGTCACTGTCAGATCTGTACCTCTGCTGCTGTACCCTAGGATCGATAGAAGCGTTCCAGGACTCGACTGGCATTCTTTCGTCTTTCTCCGGTTCGAGTTCGTGACACATGCCGGCATATATGCTTCCAAGCCTGTTCGACATACGTGTTGGTCTAGGTGAGAAGAGCTTGCCAAAGAAGGAAGTTGGCATTGAGGGTTGAGATGGAGTTGATGATGTTGCTGCCATGGTTGCTGTTTGCTCGAGGAGGATATTTGTTATTCTGAGTTGTCGAGGTGGGACTTTACGTAGTCTTTATCTGGTGTGATGGAGTGTATCGTATTCCGAATCTTGCCTTGTGGCAGTGCTGGCAATGTATGCAACTGCATGACTGTGGAGGACTATATACATTTTAGCATGCGACAATATCTTGCGAGGAAATGAATTTGCCGCAGGACATATACAGCAAGTGGTATGATCGAGAAAGCCGAAGAGTATGCCGACAAGGCATTGTGGAGCAATATGTCACAAGCCCAGACTTTACTACGAAGACAAGTCGGATTGTTTTCTTTGGTGTCAATGCTGCGGCCCAAGCCGGCGCAAGATGTCGAATGATATCAGGTGCAGCAGTATCTTCATAATCAGATCACCTCATGCGTGAGCTCCATCATCTACACGTAGTATGATCGCAAAGTGTGATCGCGAGGGTTGAGAGTTTTTCCTGTCCCGTCCATGGTGTAAGGTGATCTGAAGAATTTATCGATGAGGCTACCGAAGTGTGCTGGAAAGACTCGGATGTAGCCGGATATCAACTTTAATAGGGTCGTGCCATTTTCGTATACGCTCAGGTGACTAGTAGCTCCTCCAAGCTCTTTGTGGTTGAGTCGTTCAATTTGTGTAGGTGACGAACCTTGGCAAGCCTTGCTTGTCTGCATGTCGAGCTGAGAACGTATAACAAACACAACTGCGGTTGCTTCGGTATTCAAGCATACGTCAATAGTCGACCTTTGGTACTGGCAAACCATGAGAACTACGATGTAAGTGTTCTTGTTCCTCTACTCTTTTTTTTTTTTTTATCAATTGGCAAGACCACGTTAGATTGTGATGAAAAGCCATCTGGCGCAAAGTGCGAGAAATCGAGACAGGAACACTGTTAGGAAGTCAAGTCCAGCAGCAACCGCCTGTGGTATCACTCCACGAGGACAACTTTTCAACTACTAGTGGGTTTCCCGGCTGCCGGTTACTTGGGTCATTAGACAGCAAGTATATACATTTCATCGCTCCATATTCCGGGCCTCTTGCAGCACCACATCTCTGCCCTTTGCCTGCTGTTTGGATTGCCAGTATGCGTGTGGCTGGAAGTACGATCATCATGATGCTCCTTGGTCTTCTGGTAGACTGAGTGGCTCGTGTATTCCTACTCTATCTCCTATGGGTACAATGTCCCAGCAGTCCACCTGCTTTTGTGGACGAAGGAAATTGAACTTACATAAACGAATGTCAACCACAATCCCGCGCACAATAAGAAATACGCGTATGGGGAAACACAAATTGATGGAATCGTGTCCACATTGCTGTCGTCGTGGGTCCTGGCTTGCTCGAGAAATGGTGTCAGCAGTGTCACGCATCCATGGCACGCCCCTCCTTCTGACCTTGCAGATGGAGCAACGATCTATCCAGTACTCGTAGCGTCGAGGAAGTGAAGGTTACTGAGAACGATCTACTTCATCTAGCATGTTCGGCACAAATCTATGTAATTCACATCCCGAGGTAACTCGAGTGGACCCGCTCCGCCCTCTCCCATCGGAAGATTTTCAAGCCACTTTCGGTACATCGATGATCAGCACCTTCCAATCGAGAAGTGTGAAGGAGCTATGACACTGTGACTTCCCAGCACAAGCTATCTGCAGACCCCGCAACTACACCGCTTCCGTTGATAGTGATTGATTGAATGCAACATGACCTTGCACTTTGTTGCCGAAACATAGCACAAGCAACCCTGCACGACATTGGGTGAACTTCGGCTGATTCACAGACGCCAACCCACCTACGCTGTGGGGCCCCGCAAAGCTTTGCGGTGCTTGCGAACGAGATCCTATTCCCTTCTGACGACATTTCCTCCATCTTCTTCCAATCAACCCTTGCTCAGCGAAGAAACTCGGTATTGGGAAGTATGAACGACTGACAGCAGCTTACGCCAACAACACCACTTGGCTGAATTTATCTGTAATGCGTGCATATCATGGCAGGCCGTCCCTTGCAGTGGTGTCATTTCCCACCGGCAGACTTTTCGGAGTGGATAAGAACACATTGACTAGACACGATCAAAGGCAGAAACAGTGGTTCTGGGGTATACGTCGGCTAAGCTATAGTTGAGATGCATGCAACTTACACCTCGTTTGTTGGCAATCAGTCGTTCGCTGATCAGGTCCGTGTCGGCAACACTGTCCAGGAGTATCGCACATATGCCACAAGACGCAAATGCCGAAGTTCGAAGGGAAGTTCCTGGCGTTCTTCACATGCCCACAGAAGGTTCGCCTCCACATTAGCCTGAGCTCAGCACAGCTCGAGCTCGTTTGATCCGAAGCCGAGAACAGCTATCAGCTGGTGGTCAGCACGTAATAAATGTGTCTCTGCAGCCCTGAGAGCTCATCGTTCCTTCTCTCCGTCTCTTTCCTTCAACTCGGGCCAACCAATATCACCACCAACTATAGGACGTCAACATGGTGACCAACAAAGTCCTCAAGTTTGGTACAGCTGCGCTGTTGGCAACCACTACTACAGCTCAGGGCCAAATTACCAACGATACATATTTCTATGGACAAAGTGAGCCTGTATACCCGAGCCCAAATATTACCGGTCTAGGGAACTGGGCAGCTGCATTCAGCCAAGCACAAGCTTTTGTTGCACAGCTCACTATAGAGGAGAAGACTAATCTGACTGGTGGATACGCCGGGAACAATGGCTGCTCTGGCAATATCTATGCAATCCCTCGTCTCGGCTTCCCAGGTCTTTGCGTCACGGACGCTGGTCAGGGCGTAAGAGCCACTGACTTTGTAAATGGCTACGCCAGCGGAATCCATGTAGGAGCTTCCTGGAACAAGCAGTTGACATACCAGAGAGGTGTCGACATGGGTGGCGAGTTTAGAGCCAAGGGTGTCAATATCCAGCTTGGCCCAGTTGTTGGTCCCCTAGGTCGAGTAGCTGAGGGCGGCAGGAACTGGGAAGGCTTCTCCAACGACCCCTATCTTTCGGGAAAGCTGTAAGTCTTCAACTCCTTCCAGATCTGCGTTGGGTTGACCAATCCGATCCTCGACCTCAAAGCTGTATATCTTTACTAATTTTCACAGTGTGGCGCAGCATATTACTGGTAAGAAGGAGTCCTCTCCGAACCAAGTCGGGCCTTGTGATCCACCCTCATTACTAACACCGCTACAGGCTTCCAGACTAACGGGGTTGGTACGTGCACGAAACACTACATTGGCAATGAGCAGGAGACCGAAAGAAATCCAACTCTGTCTTCATCCAACCAGACGATTGAGTCAATCTCTACCAACATCGACGATACAACCCTCCATGAGTTGTATTTATGGCCCTTCGTCGATGCGGCCCATGCTGGTACAGTGTCGATGATGTGCTCGTACCAACGCGTCAACAACAGCTATGGCTGTCAGAATAGTAAGATCCTTAACGGAGTTCTGAAAACCGAGCTTGGCTTCCAGGGCTTCGTAATGTCGGATTGGTTTGCACAACATTCCGGAGTTGCATCTGCTCAAGCTGGTATGGATATGGTCATGCCTTCAGGCTTAGCGTTTTGGGGGCCTAACCTGACCCAAGCCGTCGAGAATGGCACTGTCTCCGAGTCTCGTCTGGACGATATGGCAACTCGAATCATGGCGTCGTGGTACTACACTAATCAGCAATCTGGCTTTCCTCAACCAGGCTATGGTATGCCAGCCAATCTACTTGCTCCACATGATCCTGTCAATGCTCGAAACCCTGCGGCAAGAGCTGGCCTGCTGCAAGCTGCAATTGAAGGCCACGTCCTCGTCAAGAATACAAACAATGCCCTACCACTTCGAAACCCACAGCTATTGACAGTTCATGGCTACGATGCAGTATGGCCACTCAACAATATGCCAGCTCCTGGCCTGAGCGGCTGGGCATTAGGCCTAACTTCTACTGATCCTCAATCCGTTCTTTGCGGCTTCAGTGCCGTCTTCGGTCCCTGCACCCCCTTCCTCGGATACGCCGCCAATGGTACCCTATACACAGGAGGCGGAAGTGGCGCAACTTCACCAGCTTACATTTCAGCTCCGCTGGATGCCATTCAATCAAGGGTCATTCAGACAGGGAATACTGTCGTTTACTGGGACACCATAAACAACAACGCAACCTCGGCAGTCGCTGGCGCAGCAGACGCTTGTCTGGTCTTCATCAACGCTGAAGCAAGTGAGGGTGTTGACCGACCAAACCTTCGGGATACCTTTTCTGACACCCTCGTTCGGAACATTGCGAACCAGTGCTCGAATACCATAGTCACCATCCACAATGCTGGAATTCGTCTAGTTGATTCGTGGATCGATCATCCAAACGTGACAGCTGTTATCTATGCCCATCTTCCGGGTCAAGACAGTGGCACAGCTCTTGTCGACATCCTCTTTGGAGACGTCTCGCCATCCGGCAAACTCCCCTACACCGTTGCTCGGAACGAGTCGGACTACGGCGCAATCCTGGCAGCTGTTCCTCCAGGCGCAAACGGCAGCCAATATCAACTATTTCCACAAGATACTTTCTCAGAAGGCGTCTATATCGACTATCGCTCCTTCGACGCCCAGAACATCACACCCCGCTACGAGTTCGGCTTCGGATTGACATATTCCAACTTCAGTTACTCGAACATCGTCGTCAACCCTGGCCCCACTGGCAACCTCTCACCATATCCTACCGGCCCAATCGTTCCAGGTGGCCACGCGGATTTATTCGACAATCTCGTCTCGGTCACTGCTACGATTACCAATACTGGATCCGTAGCAGCCGCAGAAGTCGGTCAGCTATATCTTAGCATTCCTGCCGCAGGACAGCCAGTAAGACAACTGCGTGGTTTCGAGAAGGTATTCTTGCAGCCGGGACAGAGCGCCACCGTGACTTTTGACCTTCAGAGACGAGATCTGAGTGTTTGGGATGTGGTTGCTCAGCAATGGAGGCTGGTACAAGGCAGCGCCTATACTGTCAGTGTGGGCGCGAGTAGCAGAAACTTGCCGTTGACGTCGACATTCACACTGTAAAGTGATGGAAAAACTTGAAAAGTGAATTTCGGATGCTGTGATATACTCAAATCCGCGTCTAAGTGATAGAAGAAAGACAGAAACGTTCTTTCTATCATGAATGATGATTATGATTACAGTACTCTTCCGCGTGCCCAGCTTGTGCCAAATTCTATCGCGATGTACGCCATGACTACGTACCTGAATAATTATGGTGATGCCAATTCTTCGAACACGTGCGTACGTAAACAACGAGCGCGATTCATTGCCGATGCAACATGTTGACCAAACAAAGTCCTGGCAATTGTCGACAATCGTGTACTACGATTCCAATTGTAACGCCAATACTGCATTCAACGCCTCGTATCAGCCCAATACCGTACGACATGCCTCTGCCACGATCTGTCACTCCACCCTCATCCCTAAACGACTCCTCAGACCCATTCAAACCCTCCACAACATCAAGATTACGTATCCTGATACATCCTCCTATCGATACTGTCAGGACTACCATCACCACCAATATCAGACTTTTTCGTCTTCATCGACGGCGCAGTATCCTCAGTAACCTCCGTGATACCACTGAGCACCCGCATATGACCTTCAACCGGCGTTTGTCTCTCCCTCTCACTACTCCGGCTGTGAGCAGCAGGATACTGAGTGAAAGACATATTAGGATCGATCAGGTCAGTCGAGGCGTTGTTTCTAGGCCGAACCCGTCCAAGTTGGTATGAGGGGTAGTCTGGGACGTCTTCGAAGCTCAGGGAGGCTTGGCTGGACGTCGTTGGTGTCGGTGTTGGACCTCTGGACGTAGATGTGAGTGCTGTTGAGATGAGGTTCGAGGGGAGGGTATGTTGCTGTTGCTGCTGACGGAAACGGCTGGAGACTGCAGTGTCGATTTCGTCGTTGGAATGGGATCGGGGATGTTGTTGTTGTTGTGGACCAGTGACTTCGCGCAGGCGTGGAGGAGGCTGTGGAGGTGATTCTGAGCGGCTGTGACTGTGGCTACGGCTTTTGTGGTAGGAGGGTGGAGGAGGGTCCCAGGGGTCGATTATGTCGGTTGCTATGGATGATGGCAGGGCTCGGTCGGGTTCCGTCTGTGAAGGAGGCAGTGGCATTGGTGATAGTGGTTTCTCTCTAGAGAACGGAGTGAAGATCGATTGACTTAGGTTTTGCATGCTGTTCATGGTAGGAATGTTCGAGCTGGACTTCTGCTGTCCGCCGAGAAGACGCTTGATTCGGCTTGGTGGTTTGTCCGTATGTGCTTGCTCTGTTTGAGATGCTTGCAGCAGCTGTCGAATCTGGTCTTGTAGTCCTTTCTCCCTAGTGTAGGCGCGCTCAAGTTTGCGTCTCAAATTCGTGATCTCGGCATCAAGTGTAAAAATCTCGTCACGACTGAGACCGCCGAGAGCTTCTGCGCTTGACTTCTCCGTCACAGCCATTTGGTGCTCTGACTCTGGTGGGTCGCGCTGATTTGACTTGACCGCATCTTCTTGAGCTTGATTCGCTTGTCTGAGCTCCTGGATCTCGTCCCTCAGCTTCTGGTTTTCTTGTTCTTTGTCTTGCACCAAATTGATCACCTTAGCCATCCGTACGATATACTCATCAAGATCTTGGGATTGCTGTCTGATGGTGGCCATCTGCTCGGTACATACTTCCTTCATACCATCACGCTCGTCATTGGACTTTCGCAAAGCGACTTGGAGGTCTCGATAAATGTCCGAGCGTACGTGCGTTGTCGAATAATTAGCTGGCTCGTCAGCCTCAACCAGAGCGTTAAAGACCTCTTGAACCTCTCCATGGGACGCCCTGTCTAACGTCTCGCCAAGATGAGTATGAATATAATTCCGTAGTACGTTCATGCTTTGATCCATCTTGTCTTTGAGCTCCTCCCTCTCTCGATCGTACTGCGCGCATTTCTCACTATGCATAGTGACATGTCTAGCCAAAGCGATCATTGCCTCGGACCGCTGAGCGTGAGCCTGGTCGATTTCTGCAGCCAACCGTTTGTTGTTCTCATTCTGAAGGCCCTTCGCAAGATCGAAGAGCTCGCAGAATGTAGTAGCAAGGTCGCCAGATTGACTTATTAGACTGCCGAGATCCTATTACCTGGTTAACCATGCAGTAATCAACGAATGAATGAGGCAGTATACCTTGTCGATCTTTCTTGATGCTTCGCCTGAACGGTGATCCACCAGATTGATCTGCAGCCAGTTTTTGAGTTCTTTCTGGCGTCTCTGCATAGACGGTAACCAATCATGCGCAATGATAGCGGCGTTCAAAGTGGGTAGTATCTGCATAAGCTCTTCTATCGTCATTTGAGACAGTGGGATCGGTGTCGGAGGAAACGTACTTCCATGCTGCGTTACTGTAGTATGAGAGGGTAGGGAGGACATTCGTGGAGGTAGAAGGCCTTGTGAATTTTGTCTAGGATTAGGTATGCCGCACGAATTGCTGTGCTGTTGGTCTCGTCTGGCCATGTTGGTAAGGCACCACTATAAGCAAGAGAAGGCCTGCTATGTTCCAGGCAGTTGGTTGTAGATGATATGACACGCACGTGTATCTGTTCGCAAAAGTACAATAAACCTACCAGGAGAAGCCTCAAAAAGACTGACAACAGGAATGGTTGAAACAATCAGGGTATGGGGCTGATACAGGAATAATGGTGACAGAAATTGAGGACCAGGCCTGCGTTTGCTCTTACAGTTTGACAGGTATACCCACGACAGAGATCGGAAATTTACCAAACTCAACATGTGAAGGAGGCGAAGATGAGGTGTCCGAGAGTGATAGAAATTGTTCCTCCGGGAAGGTGATTGTACTCACCACTTTTCCAGTAGTGGTGGGCCTTGACTCTATATCGCTCTCTACTGTTGTGTACCCCTTTTCTATACCTATCCGTACGCCTTCCAGCGAGCATGCCAACTCATCAATTGCTGTAAGCTACAAATGGAGATTCTTGTTGTTCGTGTTTCGTGATACTACGCTGAACCACCGATAGTATCGCTGGTTGCCCAAGCTCATCAAGTTTTCTCAGATGTCCTCCGACTTAGATCTCCTGATGGTCGTACTGGCCTTCCAAGATCCAGACTTCTTCGTACGGAACTGCTGGAAGATCTTCTTCGCCGTAACCTGATTTCATTAGGATCAGCAGTTTCAAGCCCTCCTACTTTGGCAAAGAGAATGAGAATGTCTGTCAAGCTCACGACTCCGACTAAACGACCGCTTATACTGGCTCCTGGCCATGCACTAGCAGAGATCGAGGGACCACTTGGTGTGATCATGGGGGTTTTGGGACTAGCATCGGCTACCTGGAATGGATCCGACGATGTTGCTTGGGGATGTTGTACATGATGCTGACCACCAGACCCGATGGAGGAGTTGTGCGTTGAGAATGGCACCATTGATGCTGTTTTCAATGATGGAGTTGGTGGACCTGAGGACATTGGAGGATCTGTTATCCACATTCTGTGGCTCTTAGTCGCCACGAGCTTGGCTACAGTATGTGCTAAGGTGCTGGTAGGAGTGACGTGAAAGACCGGAAAAGAATCTTTGCCTTCGTACATCCCTCTTGCTGACAGAATGACAGAGATAAAGTGGATGCAAGTGTTTCGTAATAGTGGCAGTGAGGAGGATTTCGTCAGTAGCTTTGTGTCTGTGGTAGAGATGTTGCCCACAACGTTGTTGCCGTTGTCGAGCACGGCCAAAGAAGACACGCCCTCGTCAAGAAGGAGAGCTAGCGCTTCAGCCAATGGACGGTCACCACTAGTTTTCCTGATCAGCAATGCCATAGTTCAAGCCAGGAAGAAAGCTCACTTGATGGAGATAGGGTTAGTAGACCCAATTTTCAGGTCACGCAGATATTGTGAATATAATTGGTCAATTACTGGGAAGTTGCGAGCATTGTCCCATAGGAATCGCATGAGACGAGTCTGTGATAGCAGGCCCGTAACCTCTATCGAGCCCTCAGGACCCTCTTTTGCGACTAATACCCGATGAATGCCGCGACCGAAGGTTTCTATGGCTCTGTGGTAATGATCAGTATATACAATAAAGTGTTCTCGTTAACCAGTACGAACCTGGAAAGATTTGCAGATTCTGGCAAGAAGGTGATCGGATCCTTGCGGCCAAGATCGCGCACATCACGTAAGGGAATAGGTTTGCCTTGTGCTGCTTTCTGAGCCAGCGACCCAGACTCTGTCCTATGCTCATCGTTTGGCTGAGCAATGCCCACAGCTATCAGCAGATATGCGTTGAGGGTATTGTAATCAAAGACGCCGACAACTGGTGCAGACGACGTCGAATCTCGTACCAAGAGTACAGGGGCGCCGGATTCGATGAGGAGCTGGGCCAATCAGTACTGCATTTTAAGCTCAGGCATATGTGCGCACATGCGTAGACTCTTCTACACTAGAATCGATATCAACGAATTTCAGATCTTCTGCACTGGTCATCTCCGCCAGTCGAATCGTCCTCCAGTCGCGGTGTGCAAATCTTGCATCTGCTGGTGTACGATGTGGTGGGTTGTCTATTAGATCTTGAACTGCGATTGACGATATCGAAGGCTGCCTCGTGCTTCTAGGACTTGGAGGATATCGCGCCTCACCGAGACTCTGTCTGTGCTGGGCTGCATTGCTTGGGTTCTGCAGATTTGTGTTTGTACTACCGAGTCGTGGTGACCTTGCGGCTTCGATACTTGATCTCGACGAGCTCATCTGAGGAACTTGCGAAGTGGGCGAGGTAGAATGGGATGAGTCACGATTGGGTGTAGCCATTATCGCAAGGGGAGACTTTCGAAAGCGACATTGGGCACTGGCATAAGACTGTCGTACTTGAGGCGCGATCCGACTTCTGTCGTCCTTACGATCATCAGTGAAATCAAACCGTGTACCACTGATCCTGTTAAATCCAAGCGATCGGAGCAACCGCGTTGTAGTGCCTGGAAGCTTAAAGATGACGTACAGAAGAAGTCAGTAATGCTGCCTCAGGCCACAGGCCATCACGTTCTCCTTTTGGCCTGGGCACTATGTTTGTTAATAGGAAATCGACCTGCTTCGTCGCGAATATGTCTGCTTTCATCTACACTTGCCTTGGGTAGAGTGATGCAAAATCATACATTAAACGCGATGCATACGACACCGTGACAATACAAGTTCCTACGTGCTTACGGCCAAGCACTTCACATCTCAAAGGTCTGCAACGTTCAAGCAGACATGCAACCCGGGATGTGGCTATACCGTCAGGTCTTTCGGCGCCTTCCTTTGCACCTCCAAAACTGCTTCGAAATCTGACTCTTTATGAAGTGGTCGAACCAGAATCGTTACAAGGTGGCACGGGCTTGGTTATTGATACATCATGCACGTCTCCGGACCACTTCTGCTATTCTGTCGATTGCTTGTTCGACCAGAAGTTGCGGCTGGCGTTGTCACATCGCCGCACCCTTTTCCACGTCTTTTCGCCATTCTTTGGTGATGCTGCCATATAAACAGTACTACCTCGGTAACTATTCCGTCCTCTTTCAGGCACACCATTCTTTCCCAATGTGAAACCACAGTTATGCGGGGCTGTTATTCTTGGGGTTATCCATCTCTTTGCATAAAAGAGTTAATCGATGCCTTGCCGCGGCTCTTCCGTGAGATATATAGTCGACAATGTATTCCAATACGATGTCGACTTTGGTAATTAGCTGATCTAACTAGACTCTCAAGACAAGAGGCACGTATTGTTCTGGTGCCATTGATATTAGAAGTGTTCGTCTTTCATACCTGAGGAATATCATGGCCACGGCAGAGGTTCTTCCGAATGTGAAGCACATCGGTCCAACTTCCAATAAGGCATATCCTGAGACAAAAGTCGAGGAATTTCGTGACCCTGCTAACTTAGCCTTCGATCCTGCTGAGCTTGCCGCAAAGTACAAGGAGGAGCGAGATAGGCGCCTGGCTGCTGGCGGTGGTCTCGCACAATACAGATTTGCAGATGGTGACCTAAGCCACTACTTAATAGACCCTTGGGTAAAACCCGGTTTCCAGAGAGACCCCATCGACGAGAATGTCGAGGTCGCAATCATGGGCGGTGGATATGGAGCTCAATTAGTCGCTGTTAGACTGATCCAGGCTGGTATCACGAACATCAGGATGATTGAGAAAGCTGGCGACTTCGGAGGCACATGGTCAGTCGCATCGGCTTCGCTCAATATGAAAGGCTAACCCTACCAGGTATTGGAACAGATACCCAGGCGCTCAATGCGATATAGAATCGTACATCTACATGCCTCTGCTCGAAGAACTCGACTATATGCCTACTGAGAAATACGCACATTCAAAAGAACTTCTGGAACACGCCGAGCTAATAGGACGTCACTGGGACCTCTACTCCAAAGCGCTCTTTCAGACCGAGGTTCACAGCATAACGTGGGACGAGGAAACCAAGACTTGGTTGACCAGGACGAGTCGTGGCGACACAATCCGCTCCAGATACGTGGTTCCGGCAGCAGGACCTTTACACCGTCCTAAGCTTCCAGGCTTGCCCGTTGAAAAATTCCGAGGTCACAGCTTTCACTCAGGCAGATGGGACTACAAATATACAGGTGAGTCTTGTTCACCTCATCCATTAGTCTTTTCGCGCTCTCTCTCTCCCCTTGCCTTGACCTTTTCTCTTCTTGTCTCCTCTCGAAATTGTTCTAAAGCTGACCGTGTTCACTCAGGCGGTGACAACCTCGGCAATCTTACGGGATTATCGGACAAGCGAGTTGCAATTATTGGAACCGGAGCTACAGCAGTTCAAATCGTGCCCCATCTCGCAAATCATGCTAAAGAAGTCTACGTCTATCAGCGGACGCCTAGCTCCATTGATGTCCGGGGGAACACTCCGACTGATCCAGAATGGGCCAAGTCTTTGAAGAAGCCAGGTTGGCAGATGGAGCGAATGGAAAACTTCGACACGATTGTTAATGGCGGTATCGTGGACAATGATATGGTAAAGGACGGGTGGACCGATATTCTGCACAAATTACTGGCAAGAGGCAAGCCTACCGATGACCCCATGAAAGCTGCTGCCGATCGGCAAGTAGCTGATTTTGAGAAAATGGAACAAGTACGAGCACGAGCAAGTACAATCGTGAAGGATCAAGCGACAGCAGAATCATTGAAGCCATGGTACAATCAATTATGCAAGCGTCCTTGCTTCCATGACCAATATCTACACGCCTTCAACAAGCCGAACGTTCGCCTAATAGACACAAGAGGTCAAGGTGTGCAGGACATCACTGAACGTGGCGTAGTCGCGAACGGGGTGGAGATCGAAGTAGATTGCATTATCTATGCTACTGGCTTCGAGCTCGCATCACAAGTCTCTCATCGATGGAACTGCCAGCTCTACGGCCGCAATGGGCAGACTTTAGACGACAAATGGGCTGAGGGTGCCAAAACTCTTCATGGCTGGACGACACGAAATTTTCCAAATTGCTTCCTGGTCAGCATCGTGCAAGCAGCACTAAGCCCCAATTTCCTGCATGTTACTGGCGAGCAGGCCAAGCATTGTGCATATATCATAAGTGCCGCGAATACAAGAGGTATCCAGACTTTTGAGCCAACTGAAGAAGCAGAAGAGAAGTGGACTGAGACGATTGTTGAGCTCAATCAATTGCGGGCTGCATTCCTCAAAGAATGTACCCCAGGTTATTACAACAATGAAGGTCTACCGACAGACATCAGAGCTGCCAGAAGTGCGACCTACGGTGCCGGCAGTCCTGCATTCCATAAGATACTGCGAGACTGGCGGACGAAGGATGATCTTGAGGGTTTAGATCTGCGATACGCAGCTTCCAGTTAGGTGTGGCTTCAGGTACGATTCTTGGCAACGCCGGGTACCTTATTTCGGATATCGTTTCCGTACTTTCTGCTTACACATCGTCTTGTCTTTGCTGATCTCATACTGCACTGCACGTGTTGCGTGGGCCGGCCATTGGTACATGAAGCCCTTATCTCGACCACGTGTAACGGCCATTACATTGTCCACTATCCAGTGGCACCGAAAATATGGTCCGCTGAAGAGACATGATGTCAACAAGGTCCATCTTCACATGTCTCAGACGTGTTTGTATCGCCTCTAAGCAACAACTAATTTCTAATATATTTGAACTGAGAAGCTGAGACTCCAAAATGCTAACCTTCTATCTGACTACTCTTCAAGATGGCACCGGCACACATCCAAGTCCAAAAAGTCCAGGTTAACCATGACCATCACTCTACCGAAGAGGAAGACCCTCCATTCGCAACCTATATCTCCGAATACCCAACAACACAACAACGTAAACCCTACTACCCACCAACAAACTCCCGCTACCACGACCTAGGCACTGCCCGAGTAAACATCGCACCAGACGCCGACCATCCTAACGGCACAACAGAAAACAACTACGCCGCCAAAAACTCACACCGCACCGTTCTCCAACAACACTGCGACTATTGGGACACCGACCACGACAACATCATCTGGCCACAAGACACCTACCTCGGATGCCGACGTTTCGGATGGTCGCCGCCCCTAGCCCTGATCGCAACCCTTCTGATAAATGGAAACCTGAGCTACCCGACCTGTCCTGGATTCCTGCCTGACCCGTTCTTCAGAATCTATCTAGACAAGATCCACAAGGACAAGCATGGGAGCGACAGTATGACGTATGACAATGAGGGGAGGTTCAAGCCGCAGAATTTTGAGGATATATTTAGCAAGTATGATCGGGGGAATAAAGGTGGGTTGACAGTTGGTGATTTGTTGCACTTCCATATGGGGCAGAGGATGGTTTTTGATTTCTTTGGTTGGAGCGCAACGTTTCTGGAATGTGAGTTTGGATGTTGCTGGATGTTGTTCAAGGAAATACTGACGTGTGTGTTAGGGCTAGCTACATATCTTGTGATATGGCCTGAGGATGGCATAATGCGCAAAGAGGACGTCAGGGCCGTCTTTGATGGCAGTATCTTTTATAGAAAGGCGGAAGAGACAAAGGCACGGAAACGTCAGACGGGCTGGCCGAAGGTGATCGGAGTGAAGTGGGACTAGCTCGTGATTTTGAGCTGTGCTATAGCTGCCTCATCTCGAATGCAAACATAGCATTGCTGGGCACACTGCTCTTTTCTCGCATCTTCATCGCTGTTTCTTTGCCAGCCACGGGGATTTGTATCTCTAATGGAGCCTCGCTAACTGTCTGTTTCCAAGGCAGATATTCAGGCAACACTCCTATTTGCCGAAGCACGGTCGCCTGGTCCCAACTAATATGCTCGTGATAAAGTCGGTCGCCTCGAATATTGACAATAGCCATCATCGGGATCTCCAAATAGACGTTGGTGGGAGGAACAGTGGGCAACAGCCAGTCAATCGTCCTGTTGTGTGTGCATTTGAAGATGAACTCATCCACGACTCGGTCGATACCGACCGTCCTTGAGATGAGTTCTAACTCAACGTCTTCTGGGTTCGAGAAGATGAAGTGGTTGGTGTAGAAGTCGGTTAGTTCTTCACGTCCAATACCGCCAGTCAAAGTAGGGACATGGTTAACGTACGGTTCCTGTGGACTGTCAGTATACACCTGGTGTCCACACGGGTTCGTCGAGCTTGCGAGTGAAATTGAATTGGGTCACTTACCTGAACCATAGTAGCCATCGTGTGAGCCACGCTACGATTCTCAAATTCGTAGTAGGTGTGCTCATCCCATATCTTCTCTAGGTCAAAGATGGGGCCTGCAAGGACGTCTGGACGTTTGAAAAAGGTCAAATTCCGAGTGTGCGAGACGGCTTCCAATGCGTAGTCGAAATCGGGCGAGACTGGAGTCGCAAATTGTTGCGATTTTGATGTCGGATACTCGTAAGCTGTTAAGTCAGGGGTACGAGGCAATTTGAACCTCGCTTTGCCATGCAGATGTTGTACGCAGGGGATGGGTGAGGGTTGCAAACCCTGATCGACATCACTGTAGATAACTGCTCCAACGATCTCAGGAAAAGACACCAAGCTTGATCGGATGGCATTCCACACTAACACATCATATGCAACGATGCCGATTTTTTTGGTCTCGCTCTTGTCGCATCGCTGCAAGGCTCCAACAGCATTTTGGAGTATAGAATCCGTGGACTTTGTGGCGCTTGCCTGAACCTGAACGATCACGAACCCTTCTTCCGCCCACTTCATCACGCTTGTTGGCACATAATTCTTAGTCATCGAGTTCGATTCATCGTCGGAGGTAAGAACGATCAAGGGTGGGCCATATCCCCTTCTGCTAAGAGGTTCGAGTAGATATATACCAGGGCCCACATTACTCAACTTTGGCACCGGCAAGGAAGGCAATGGCGGAAGACCAGCGTCACCCATGCTGTCGACCAGATTGTGTCTAAATTAGCTGGATCGAAGGTAAATTGTCTACAACATTAGTACCAAGGTATCTCAGAAGCTGGTCAAAATCACAGAACTTAATTTGGACTTTCTTGACATCTCAATATCGTAATGGATACAGTCCGTGCGGAGTGGCTAGCGTGGTGTGGAAATCCGCATGCATGTCTGTCGAATCGGAATGTGAAGATGAATCGAGGGTCGAAGATGCAGCAGCAGTCGGATGCGCCTTCGTCTGACAGACAGCGGCGCTTAGGACATACCATACCATATCACGCTTGATCTGAATTTCTGGTCTTAATTGTGCCTTTTCGTGCGTCGCATGCCGGTTTGCAGTCGTTCTGAGTCTATTTGCTGAAACCTCTATGTGTATTTCAAAGATCTTCTACTAAAAGCGAACAGCCAGCACCATCACTCATGCGAAACGTGGACGATGTTTCCGAGACAATGATCATAGCTTTGCGATAGTGTCTACAAACTGACTATTGCATGGACGAGGCGAAGGTTGCGCGAGAGATTCAGTCACGCCACCCGCAGAGGGGCGTAGTTGGATAGCAGAAGCCACATTCGCGACACGAAGCAGTTGCGACCCGTCGATAACCCAGATTGGGAGAAACAACGATGAAGAGCTGGTTGTGAGCGCTTTCCTTCGTCGCCAGTCCAAGCGCCAACCGAAAGACGCAACATGGACAACCAAAGGCAGCAGCACTATATCCCTGGGCCCCCACCCCTCAATGCTCAGAACAACATGTCTTATCTCCCACCTCCTCCTCCAAGACAAATGGGCGTTCCTCCTCCACCCCCAGGCCCTCATCCATCAGCATATCCTGCTGGAACCGTGTTTGGGATACCGGGAGGCTGGAACCAAAGTTATGGGCGTCCAAACATGGGTCACACACTCCCTCCTCCACCTCCCATGAACGCGAATCAGAGTCAGCAGTACAACATGGCATATGGCAACCCTGGAAGAGCGCCTAATACATTGCCTCCACCTCCGAGAAGAGATGATATGCCCGTACTTTCTGCGACCTTCATCCCAAGTGGGGACTCCTTCGGTCCAGGCGTCGGCATCCCGGCATTAGATGACTTCTCTACCTTCTCAGGTTATGACGGTTACGATCCTGCTGCCTATGCTGATGCCTCCTTGCAGGGCAACAGCTATACATCTAATTCTGCCTACAGTTCCAAACCCACTTCTGCTGGCCCTGATGCCTCAAGAGATACCCGCGCTGCCTCCGCCACTTCTAATCGTCCAAAGTTTCCTCAGCTTCGAGAAAATCCAGACCCTATTTCTCCAGGCCCTCCAACTGCTAATTTGATCAGCCAAGCCTCCGGAAGACCACGCGCTCTGAGTGCTATGACTCCTCAAAACACTTCCTCCGAGCTAGCTAATCAATGGCCTTTGGATAGGGTTCTGCTGTGGCTTGCCAAAAACAGTTTTTCCAGTGAATGGCAAGAGACAGTCCGTATCTTACGCCTTGAGAAAGCTGATTTTCTAGAACTTGGACGTTCCACTGACATCAGAAGCAACCTCAATCGTATGCATCAGTTCATCTATCCACAGCTCAATAAATTATGCAAACAAAATGGTATCGATCCCAAGAAAGAAAGAGATGATGGCAAGAGGTTGCAACGATTGATTTCGGGTATTCTTCAGGGCGAGCCATCTTCGAGTGCAGGAGCCGGCCACCGCAGACGTGAGTCCGGTCTTACAAGCGCTTCTGCAGACTCAAACCTGGAAGCTTCGCCTCACCTCGGAAGTGCCGCTACTCCCAGCACGACTGGCCCGGAAGGAAGTCCTGCAAGGTCAACTTTTGGTCCTTCATTTGGCCAGAGGATGCAGCAGGAGAGAAGTAGTACCATGCCTGTTTACCCCAAGCAGTCGAGTAATGGTTCAACGCCACAAGAAGGTCGTCATGCCGAAAGCTTTGGCCCGCCTCCAACAGGCCGCGCAGACTATACCAGAACCGTCCTCAACGGTATAGGCAACCGAGGTCGCCATAGCCCAAACCTTTCTGGGGATGCTTCATCGCTTTCCACGCGCCAGGATGGCAGTCCAGGTCAAAGTCCTGCACTTGGCCACTCCGTACCTACTCAAATTCAATCAACCCCACACCTACCTTTACGCGACCCAGCCAAAATCCAAAGTGCCGATACTTTTCAGAAAGCGACTGGCTTCTCTCGTGGTAATGCTCCGGCGAACATCGTCACCACTGAAGTTCCACTCGGAGCAGGCAGGTTCTACGAAGCTCACAAATCAGACGGCCGTCCAGAAACACATCGCGCATATAGCAATGAGCCTCACATGAAGGAGCCTAACAAGAGTTTCTTGAGCAAAGTCTTTCGAGGTGGTAGAAAACCAGATCCTAACGATTCTATGTTTGAGGAGCCATCTCCCACCAGTCCCCGGGATTTCCTACCAAAGTTGCCCTATGCACGTACCCAGCTCAACCAAAGCGATGCTGCTGCAGCACAACGGCCTCAGTCCGCCACGGTCGAAAATGAGCGAGCAGACTTGTTGCCTAGGAAAGTGCCAAGAAGATTCATCATGGTAACGCCAGACTACTGGAATTACCGCCTAATTGACGTAACAGACGTTGAGTCAGCAACTGCTCTCAAGCACAAGATCGCCCTTGAGCTGGGTCTTGCCGATATGGATTATGCGCAAATCTATGTGACAGAGCCTGGCAAAGTTGAACACGACGACCCTCTGACCGATGCCATGCTTGCAGCCGCACGTAGCGGCGCTGACACGTCCGGCAACCTCAAGCTCTACGTCCGCAGCCCAACGCTGTCGGCATTGGCACCTCATGGTGATGGGCTAGGTATGTTTGCCTCGCAGACTCAGTACCAGCGTGAATCTTTGGGCAAACCAATGAGTAGAGAGCAGCTCCAGAAAGCGGCAGAGGCTTATCGAGAGGAGACAGAGAAGAAACGGCAAGCCTACCTACTATCACGGGACAACAAAAGGAATCAAACGTCCGAAGCAGGTACGCCTGTCTTCGACTTTGATCACCCCTCGCCAAGAGATTCGTCTCTAGAAAAGAAGAGCGATGAGCTTGTGCCCTTACGCAAGCCACCTCCTGCGCCATCTGCTTCACAGATGCTTACCAAGGTGAACTCTCTGCGAATGACCTCGCAGCACAAGAGCAGATCATCTATCGACAATAGTAAAAGATCATCTGACAGCTTGCAAGATGAGCCTTCTTTATGGAGCCGCAGCCGTTTCGATCCATCAGGAGGTATTGGTGCAGCTATTGCATCTTCGAGCAAGATTGCTGTGCTACCGGCGGCCGCAAGTGGTCCGAAACCGCCACGTACTGTTACGATTGGGAATGTCGACAACAGTATGCCCAAACCTCGAACACCTTTCAGACAAGACACTGTAGACTCGTCGCCTCACATTCGGGCTGGGACCGATTCTATCTTGCAGGATGGTATGGGACGACGAAAATCGTATGGCCCAGATCTGGAATTCAAGGAGACTAACGTGGCATTCGACTCATCGCCCAATCCACAGCCTTCCAGTAAGGATGACTCCGATGATGATTCTGATGAGGGCCTGTTTGCGATAAAGATAAGACCCAAGGCCGACACACTTAAGAGGAACGACCATCGACCAGCGTTAACAGTTGACACTGATCATCTCGCTGGCAACAAGCGCAAATCGGTAGCTTTTGCGAAGACACCATCATCTAATGATAGTGGCTCCGCAGGCGCTGTCAACACTGGCGACGAAAGTGCCGGCACCGCCACCAGTGATGGTTACAACCAGCGGAGCTTTTCCGGAGGTAGTGCTGGTTGGGAAGACCGTTCACCTGAAGAAGGACGAGCTCGTCCAAACTCCTTCTACAGCGATATCTGGGCAAATCGTCCCGTGGTCGAGAATATCGTGGAGGCCCTCGACCAATACTTTCCTGGCGTCGATCTCGATAAGCCATTCATGGAGGTTGGTGGGGAAGGCTCTCCCATGTCGTCCGATCGTAACCCATTGGATGAGCTCAAGGCCCGACTTGGTCAGAATATCACGTTTGGAACTCATGGGCTGAACCTTGACTTTGAGAAAAAGAAGGACTCTGACACTCTAGGATCAGATGAGTCAACTTTGAAGGCAAACCAAAGAAACAAGGTTGCCAGTGTCGCCAGCCGACAATTGACCAAGTCAGGAGGTCTCAACCGCATGAAGTCCATCAGAGAAGTCGCTCAAAAGGCCAACGATCTTAATCGAGGTCCATCGGTCGCATACAAGGCACAACAAGCAGTTCAGCCACAGCAAAACAATGCCATGCTGCGTAGGAAGAGTACAAAAATGTTCGGCGCAAATATTGTTCAAATAAAACCACAACGTGGTAGTCGGTTGAGTCAGTTGGAGCCAATTCCTCAAGAAGACGTGCCTACCGAGAACACGCCCGCACGTCAGGCTACCTTCAAGATCATAAGAGGTCAGCTGATTGGCAAAGGTACTTACGGCCGCGTCTATCTAGGCATGAACGCTACCACTGGTGAATTCCTTGCAGTCAAACAGGTAGAGGTCAACCAGAAGGGCTCACAGAACGACAAGGAACGCATTGCAGAATTGGTAAAAGCACTTGATATTGAGATTCAAACCATGCAGCACCTCGACCATCCGAATGTTGTGCAGTATCTTGGTTGCGACAGACAGCCACTATCCATTTCTATCTACCTCGAGTATATTTCCGGTGGCAGTGTCGGTTCCTGTCTGCGTAAACACGGCAAGTTCGAAGAGTCTGTAGTGAAGTCGATGACTATACAGACTCTAAAGGGGTTGAAATACCTGCACGATGAAGGCATCTTGCATCGAGACTTGAAAGCAGACAATATTCTTCTTGATCTTGATGGAACATGTAAGATATCGGATTTTGGTATCTCCAAGAAGAGCGACGACATCTACAGAGACGATATTACAAACTCTATGCAAGGCTCGGTCTTCTGGATGGCTCCAGAGGTAGTCAGAACCGACGCAGGTGGCTACTCTGCCAAAGTTGACATCTGGTCTCTAGGCTGTGTGGTCTTGGAAATGTTTGCAGGCAAACGTCCTTGGTCGAGAGAGGAAGCCATTGGAGCCATCTTCAAACTTGGCTCTTTGCAGCAAGCTCCTCCTATCCCTGAGGACGTTACGGCGACAGCAAGTGTGCAGGGCCTAGCTTTTATGTACGATTGCTTTCAGGTTAATCCTGCTGATCGTCCAACTGCGCAGACGTTATTGGAGCATAGTCTGTTCTGTATCGAAGATCCATATTACAATTTCTTCGACTCTGACCTGGCTCAGAAGTTAAGGTTATCAAACATGATGCCAGTGCAAGCCTAGAGAGGGATGTTGCCTTCGACTGCAAAGGCTGCTTTTGACATACCTGGCGGACAACGCTTACGAGTATTCGAGGTCGTTTCAAATCGATGCTACATAATGAACAAGGCACAATATACAGGATTTGAAAGCTATCGGAAAAGGGTGCTCTCGTATGAAGATGTTTTGGAATATACATCCGGGTGGATTTTTGGTATTTGATCGTTCAGCAAGCGTTTGTTGTGGTGGGAAGCAGGCTTAGCATGAACGAGGTAGCAATTTAAATGTGATATTTGAGTGTCGGATATATCGCAATATATTCTTCAATCTACAATACTTGTAACCCAACCTGAATCATTATGCTGGATCTCAATTCTCACTCGTACTAAATACTCTATTCTCCGTTCTTTACGTCGTCCACGTCCTTCATATCTGCGAAAAGCGCCCAGGCTTTCCTGATCATGCTTGCTTGCTCGCTTGATCAATCCGAAACACATTGCTAGAACAAGGCAGATTTCCAAATATGCGACCAAAACTAGCAACATGCTCAAATGATCTAGAAATCCAGCCCTATGCCTAACATAACATAACAGCACTTCCGCCTCGTATCTATGTCGTATCGTTGTTTTGATTGATGACTTCCGTTGAAGCCGTTGTCACCGGTAATAATCTGACATTTCTGTGGGTCTCTCTTAGAATAACGCCGTGCCTGTCAGTGCGCTGCTCCATGGACAGGTAACATTGTCAGTATAAATACTGGTCATTCGGAGTAAGGAGGTGTCTGTGAATTTCAGATATGTGTCTGAACTGCCGCTCGGGAGTGGCTGAGCGCTCCTTAGTGTTCCTGTAGACGTTCCGATACTGCAGGCTTATAAGGTAATAGTCCTGCGTTCATCCGGCCATGCGGTGTTTGTTGTCCCTCTCCCAATTGCCGCTGGTTGTCCGCCTTTGATCTTTTTCGACCAGCACGCACACTTGTGCTATGTCGTGATCGTATTGTCGCGACTTTCAGGATGCGACTCCGGAGTATTCAATCAGGCCCTCTCTGGCCTTTGAGCCTTGACCAGCCGGGGTCGATTTGCGGCGGGGCGACGAACAATTCCGGATGCGAATTTATGACGACAGTTTGACAATTATGAAGACTTTCTTGGGAGAAATTTTGCGTTCTTTTTCCAGATCTTTTTTATTACTGTGGTCTTGCTGCAACTGGTTGTCCAGTATACGTGCCCGATACCCTTTGTCGCTTGACTGCTGGGTTCATGTCCTGCCCAGACATCTCGGATGGACCTCTCCTGTGTTGCATCATGCCTGGCTGTGGACCTGCGGGTAACATCGGACGATTGGGGTTGAGCGGTGTAGTCGGTTGGGCTTGGTACGCAGCATTATTGCTGTCCATGTAGTTGGCATACGGAATTGACATGCTCGCTGAGACAGGCGATACTCCGGAATATTGGCTCGGTGAGTTCCAAGTACCTGTCGATCCTGCTGGTGATGCGCCTTGTGACATATCGTCCTGTACAGACCGAGAATTTGGTGGGTGTGTTGTCAGGCTTGGATTGACACCTACAGGCGCAGGAGGAGCCATTCCTTCCGGAATCTTCTTCATGTGCATCAAGTGCTTCTCAAGCATATCCAATAGTGATTTTCTGGTGAAAGGCTTAGGTAAAACATCGTCCATTCCGTGCTGAAAGTACATTTGAATATCGTCGGACCTGATGTTTGAAGTCATCGCTACTATAGGTGTTCGATCGAATTGACGTATTATGTGACACGCTGATACACCGTCCAAGTTTGGCATTATGATGTCCATCAGGATCAAATCGTATTTTCCACCTTCTTGAACCTTGCTTACAGCCTCGAGTCCGTCTAGTGCTGTGTCGATCGTGCAGGAGAACGATAACAAGAACTTGGCGCCAATCTGACGACAAGTCGGATCATCTTCGACGAGTAGGACTCGTGGTGAGCGGGCCCATCCTGGATCGGCGTAGTTGCTCTTCTTGCGACTCTCCGCGTACTTGTTGCGTAGCTCACCTGCATCGACCTCTTTACTGGGCAATGGATAAGGAATGTGAGGTAAGTGCTCACTATACATTGGATCAATGCCGTTATTACCACCTGTAGGATAGACGATTTGCTCGAGTTGACCGTCACTGAGTTTCGAGTAACCCATACTGCCACTGGAGTGTGTGGAGGCTGGCCCTCGCATGCCGTTCTGTGCTGCTGATGGGTACGAATTCTCGAAACCAGGAAAATTGAGCTGGGGATCAACGTTGTACTCTTGCATCAACTGCTGAGCGTGCTGTAGTGGTGAAGCAGGAGCTTCCTCATCGACAGCACCAATGTTCTGACTCGTTGGCGTCAGAGTTGTCCCAGCGTTGTCCTGGGCATTCGGGAACAGAACCTTGCTATTGCGGCGTTGCTGCGCATCGACTGTGTTCAAGTATTTCATAACATCCTGCATAACACGATCGTGGTTGAGTACAGTCCGGTGCAGACGTACCATTTCTTGAACCATAGTCTGGTGGTTGACACGAAGCTCGTGGTTGCTGGCCTCCAACATCTGGATTTGTTGTGCTTGAGCGACAATCTGCTGGTTCATAAGGTCAATTTGCTGGATAGGCATATCTCCATCTACAATAGCGCCTTTGTTCCGAGGTGCAGGCGCTTTCCTTCTGATATTATCTAGCGTATCTTTGCTGTTTGCTTTGAACTCAGGGTGCTTGAACTCCCATGCATTTGGACCGTACTGCGATTGTTGCCCATCCTCGTTATTCTGCCGCACTTTATGGAAATCATATTTATTCAGTTGCCGTACAAAACTGGCAAAGTTGGAATGCTTGAAGTGTTTTGGTAGAATGTGTTTCGTAAATTTTTCATTTTCCAGGACCACGAAACTGTCACCATCGTCACCCCACCTAACCACGGAAGAATAAGAAGGATCCTCGAGCATCCTGGAATAGAATTAGACTACCGTGCGACATGGTGGTACGGGATGAAACATACTTGTAGAGCTTGCGAACAAAGTCGCTCGAGTTGTTCGCGTTCTGTCCACCCGGATCCATCTTGAGCGATTGTGGTGCGATAACGCGTGAAATGTTACAACCGGGAGCGGGACTAATGAGAATGAAGGTGCGCTTTGCGTGTCGGCTCTCGAGTGAACAGATCTAGCTGCGCGATGATATGCAACTATCCGCTCGGCTTATTGCAGCATTGCGCCAGTCTCGAGACCAAGGATGTGTTTCGAGAATGGATTGCCGAGCTCTTCTTTATTGCTATATAGGGAGCAAGAGGGCGTGCGATGAACAGCTAGCTGACCAGATTGCAGTCGGAAAGCATTGGCAGGATTAGTGGTAGAAGCTGTCCGTGAAGTGTCGCGAAAGGTGCTGCTGTACTCGTGCGCCGATATACCGGAGCAAGTGGAGCTTTTCGGACTGGTCCGTACGCGAACGACAATCTGATGTACAAGAGCAAATATTAATGGCTGAAGACTGACGTGGTCTGCAGGGCTGGATCAAGACCAGCAAGACTGTGTGACAATGATGTTGAAGATAGCAAGGTACGATGTTGGGAGGGGATCGCCAAGCTCGATGATGGATGCAAGTCAAGCACGACAAAGAAACTTTGGGCTCTAAAAGCGAAAAAAAGCTGGGGTCCAAGGTCCTGCTGAAAGAGCTGCTGCGTTCCACGCTCTAAAATCGAAACAAGCGCAAGGAAGTGAAGAAAAGGGAACAAGAATCCAGCGTAGAACGAACAACATGCAGTAGCGCATCAGTAGCTGTGAACGCTTTTCATCAAAGCAGAGCGTCAAAAGATGGGACGCTCCCAATGAATGCGACAGACGATGATGTTGATGGCGCTCTTTCGCCGGCTGTACTAGTGTGCTGTACCCTGGTCACATTGACATTGTTCGCAACACATCCCAAGCGATCAGCGATCAGCAATCAACGATCACTCGCTAAGCTCATTCAGGCAGTCTTCTATGGTGAGCAACCGGTCGACTTCAAGTACCAAAGTACACCACGAGCGACTGTTACCATAGCCAGGTAGGACAGTGGTTGTTGCCACTTCCGAGTTCGTGAGATAAAGTATTGTAGCTTGTATTCCCTCCAGAAACATAGATCCCATGTCCGGAACTCCTTGTGAGCGGCTGAGATACCCTGCAACCTATCCAAAATTTATTGATATGGTAGCGAATGACAGGATTGAGAGTTGAAGTTAGCGGCGAAATAATTACAGCGATTTCGCGGAGCTCGTTGGAGGCTGCAGGCACGTTTCTGTCGGTAACACCTGCCGTCTTCCGTACGCTTTTTGTTCGGGTGAAGCATAAAATATTAGGTAGAACGCTTGTTCAGACAAGGCGTAGGCTCACCTCTTTTTGTCTATCGAAATGCTCGAGTGGGATAGGCGAATCGTCCAATTCATCAGATTTTCGTCTTGTTCCATTGTTGCTGTTGAGCGAACTAAATCCTCTCCAAGCATGTTCGCCATGGCTGGATAAACAAGACCATTCCCGTAAGCACTAGCCTATACGAGTAGAACCTCAAAAACACAAGACCGCAAAGGAAAGCTGCCGTCCTACTGTCTCCGAGCTCGTTGTGAGTACTCGTAAACTCTTGAAGTTTCAATACTCGTGATGACGTTACTTATCGGGCCGCCCGATCTCCGGTTCTAAAACCTTGCTCGTTACAGTCGCTGAACACGAATGGCGATCGATCTCAAACTCAGCTGCATAGAGCTATTACTAGTAGCGGCGGGCCATCTTGCTCGAATGCAACGAGCCTGTTTTGGATTGTTTCCCACCATACATTTACGACTGTCAGCGACAGCGACAACGTTGAGTCTGGCTGGTACGGTCAGGTTCGACAGCGCGCTCAAGCTGTTCGAAAAGTCATGTCAAAATCTGACTCAGCACTTAACACACATAACTGATTTTGACGTATATCTGCAGTAGATGCTGGAGCACAATCATTGTGGTCGTGCTCCTAGCTATATCTCTCCCCGAAAGCATACATTATGTTGGACCAGGATATTTTCGAAGCTGACTTGTACGCATAGCTCAGCAGCTAACCGGACGACAGCTGTGGATGGCATCAGCAGGCGGCATAGCTGTCGATGTATCCCCTCTAGGATGGTTACAGCCTTGCGAAGTGCTACCACAACTGCAGCCAACGATATCCGAGAACGTACTTGTAGCATGGCAAGAGCCGCAGGGAACGTGCAAGGTTGTTGTTCGACAACGGCCCGCGTGGTCGACAAGAGTCTAGACCCCAGGAAGAAGCTAGAACATGGAATGCTTCCAAATCACGACCATGCCCAAACTTTATGGCGTCCTCCTGCATCACGTAGCAGCTTGACCGTGTATAAGCTGCTACAAGAGTGACAAGGGTACGTTCCAAACTTGTAGATAACTGTCGCAAAAGCTCCTGGTCATCCGGCAGCAGATTTCGAGGACAGCAACGAGTCTCTCGACTTGCTGTGATCTGGTCATTAGCAGTACATCTAATCGATAGAAAAAGAATTGTGACACTTCTGAACACTGGCACGAGAACCAAAGCACCAGTTGCCAGTGTTTATACACATGGCATCAAGCTATCAAGCTATCAAGCTATGTTCTTCGACAAGAGGTGGAGCTTACTGATCAAGCAGTTAGTATAGAGGTATAGCAAAAGCAGTCTATCAATACGAGCTTGTCGCTGGATAGCATGCTCAGACTACACTGCATTGTAACTATTCTATGCACTGGACAGCGATCTTCACCACGATTTGAATTTCCAAACCCTGAATTGAGTACCTGTTGTGAAATCCGACAGGGAACACACCCCACTCGTGCCTATCCTGACCAATTAGATTGAATACCTTTCTCTCTTCTTCTTCTTCTTCACTTGAGCTGCTATCGTTCCTGCTATGGAGCAGAAGTGAAGTTGTGGAATCAACAAGTGCGATAAACCGCAACTGCTCGGATTGTATAAACAACTCAAATTGACTTCCCCGCATCGATGTCACAACCTTTTACAAAAAGATTTGTTTCTTCCGTATTTTGTCCCTCCATTCGCCCACTACGTCCTCTTCACAGTACACGATCAATCAGGAACTCAATTCAATTTAAATTATTTAGTATATCAACCGCAAGTATGGTATGTAGTTCAAACTTCTACTGCGACGAGATCTCTTATCTAACAGGACTTTAGGTCAAAGTCGGCGACTCTATTCCTGACATTGAACTATTTGAGGACAGCCCTGGCAATAAGGTCAACCTCTCAAAAGAGCTTGCACAAGGAGAAGGTCTGATCATCGGCGTCCCAGCTGCCTTCTCCCCAGGATGTTCAGACTCGCACATTCCTGGCTACCTTGCCGATCCTAAGTTGAAGGAGGCCGGAAAGGCCTTCATCATCTCCGTCAACGATGCTTTTGTGTGAGTGCGCAAATAACACTGCAGCAAGAAGCATTGACCACACCACTAACCTCATCGCAGCATGAAGGCGTGGGGCAAGACACTCGATTCCGACAAGAACTCAGGTATTCGATTCCTTGGAGATGCTTCAGGCGCCTTCTCCCGTGCTTGGGACGTCGAGTTCGACGCGACCCCTCTGATGGGCAACAAGCGCAGCAAGCGATATGCAGTCAAGACCAAGGACGGAAAAGTCACAAAGATTGCTATTGAGCCGGACAATATCGGCATCAACGAATCCGCAGCTGACAAGTTCTTGTGAGCAAGATACTGTCACCCACGACTCCACCAGCAATAGACTTTCGAGTTGGAGATATGTGAGGTTTAGCAGCAGCGGCAGGGCATAGTCAGCGAGCATATGTAAGTGTCTACAATGTCTACATGTCTAGAAACATATTCAAGATACCCAAGTCGTTATACATATAGAGAGTGCGGTCAGCGACAGCACGAAGGAATAAGATATGCTTCGTCTTCTTAACGTGTTACCTTTTGTATTGCGAACCCATGAGAATGGTGCCAACTGTGCTGAACACAGTGAACGACTCTCGCATCCCCATTTAAAAGAGGATCGCTAGCCAACCCATATCCTAACGTCCCCGGGCGAAAGCTATTAGTAGCCAAGATATTTGACCCCCATAACTAGCCATGTTGTCTTAAATATGCACATACTATGTCTAGCAGCAAAAGACCCCTTCACAGAGAAACAGCCTCTGGCTCCATACGCTCAATGCAAAAGCTCTTTTCTGAAAATTTTGTCCAATACTGTTTCCTCAACCTCTCCTATCTACCACCACATCCACACCCTTTCCTATGCACATAAATCTCTGTAGAGCTAGGCACAGTCATATCAAACACTCTCACCCCACACATCTCAGTATCGGCTCTCTCGAATGGCTGAACCGCCTCCAGCACCGAGCCGAACAGCTCAACATCTCTGGCTCTATCTTCCTGGACCGTCGCTCGACCTGAATCACCTCTGCTCTCACTCTTACCGTCGCTGGGCTGGCGCCACGCCACCAAAGCCTGTGCACGCCCCTTTCTCCCTCTGTGTAAGTTCTCCGTCCGCTTCAGGATCTTAGCATGCTCCGAGCAGATACCAGCGGTACTCGAAGACCAGCTTCCATTACAGAACAGAGTCATACTTGGCTTCGCACAATCGGCACAGATCTGTAGGTAGCACTCCTCGCTGCTTGGAGTATATAGCGATACTGGTGGTAGGGATATGGATGAGAATGGAGGTCTCATGAAAGAAGAGAAGGGTTCGATTGATTCGGAGGTAATGGTCTGTTTGTGCTGTATAGCTATGGCTGAGACAATGTATATGGCGGTGAGTGTTGGGAGATGTGTCTTGAGTGTCGATATTGCAGAAGGGTCGTGGCCTGTGTTGTTGGAGGAGTCATTACGGCGGTGTCGACGAGTTGTATCTCCAGTATAGGAGCTTGCTGGCCTAGAAGCCAGGTCAACACCTTTTACTCCAATATTTGCTGCGGCAGAGACTCCAGCCGCCGCATCCAAGATAGACTTCCTCGAGCGACTATCAGGTCTCAGCACAAGATGTCGAGGCAACGTGCTGCTCGGCGGAGTACTCGATGTAGACGAGATCGAAACCCACTCATCTGCATCGGACTCGAAATCCGAGGCATCTGACACATCAGAATCGTATATGGAGAATTTGGCTGGATTGATATGGATCGCTGGCGTCCTCTTTGTTGCTAGTGCCATGACATATACCAGGCTTCGTCGTTAGTAGATCGACAATTACATTGATTGACCACGAGGAAGAACATGCACAGATACATGAGACGCAGACATCGTTGATAGGCCATCCTTTTATATCTGTAAGTTCTTGTACTAGATTGAGAGTTGCCTTGAGCCCAGTCAAGGCTGAAGCAAAACGCTGTGAGATTGAGAAGGACACATCCTGTTCCAGCGATGACACGGTGTTACATTACCTGTCTGGATTGACAGGACATGTATAGTCAAAAATTGGCATGCAACATCATCTGGACGACGATTGTCCTAGTTTAAAGGTAAAGTTGAGGCAGACGGAAAGTGACTGTCGTGGTCTTGGCGAGTGGGCGAAGACTCTGCAGGCGTTGATTGAGGATGACTTCACAAGCCACCAAAGCCATTTGTCTCTGAGCATAAACACCTGCTCAGCAATCGCTGTTCTCTATGTCTGTCTTACACTACTACCTATGCACGACCGACTGACCAAGCTATCGTGTATCATCGATAGAGCTAAAGCTCTGGGATATCGTAAATGTAACAAGGAAGAGTGGGTATAGCTGTATCGCGAACTTGTTACAAGAGTACCAGGTGCTCGAAGAGCGCAAGGAACCGAAAGCAATCTGGATTTTGCACAAGCCTCCTTGTATCAATCATTCCAACTCCATTTCCTTCTAGTCAGCCTTTTCAGTAGCTTCAGGTGCGGCAGCGGCCTCAGTCTCCTTTGGTGCTTCGGCCGATTGGCCTTGCTGTTCTTGTGGCTCGGCCTCGGACGAAGTCCAGAGAGTCTAATACGTGTTAGCAATACGTCGGTGGTAAAACCGGGCAGAGAGTTGCATACCAAGTTATCTCTCAGGAGCTGCATGATGAGAGTGGAGTCCTTGTAGCTCTCCTCGCTCAAGGTATCAAGCTCAGCGATAGCATCATCGAAAGCTTGTTTGGCAAGATGGCAAGCCTGATCTGGGGAGTTGAGGATTTCGTAGTAGAAAACAGAGAAGTTCAGCGCGAGACCCAATCGGATTGGGTGTGTAGGAGCAAGGTCGGTCGATGCGACCTCGGTAGCGTTCTTATAGGCCTCAAGAGACTTGTCCGCTGAGCCTTTCCTCTTGTCTGCAACGGCGAATTCAGCAAGATATCGGTGGTAGTCGCCCTTCCTGTACACAAGTGTTAGTCTTGGTGCACCAACGTCGTGGGAATCGAGAATTACATCTTGTGATAGAAGACCTTTGATTCGCCGGTCTTTGCGGACGCAATCAAGTGCTTGTCCAGGACATCAAGGATGTCTTCACAGATCTTTCCAAGCTCCTCCTCAATCTTCTGTCTGTATTCTTTGATGAGCTTGACCTGAGCCTCGTTGCCCTTGGACTCCTCCTTCTGCTCAATGGAAGTGACAATTCTCCACGACGCACGCCTGGCGCCGATGACATTCTTGTATGCGACGGATAGGAGATTTCGTTCTTCGACGGTGAGTTCTTGGTCTGCCGAAGCCACGACCTTCATGTTCTCGACCATTTCTGTTGCCTATCAGTGTGAAACTTGCGGGAGAATGGAAGCTGGAATATACCTTCATATCGCTCGGCCTGCTCAGCCAACTTGGCCAGGTAGACTGACTCTTCGACACCCATTTTGCGTTTTAGAGTAGGATTGTCCTGAGAAAAGAACAATCAGCAACAATCATTCAGACAGCATCGAAAAGTAAGTATCACAAGCAACAATGTCTTTCTGCCACTCAGCTGTGTGGGTATCTCGGAGTTTGTTGACACCTCTGCCTCCGAGCCATCGATGAAGGCTTGAGACGTAGCCATCTAGAAGTCGTGCAGAATGAGATTGAGGTGTATCTATTCAACCAGCCGTCGATGTAGAACTGCAGAACTGCAAAACTTTGTGCGGACGCAAATGGTGTTCACAATGCGATCAATAGCGTAGTCCCACGAAAATCTCAGAAGTATTATCCGGTCGACAATTTGGCAGGCTCGAGGTGCTTTCAAGACGGCAATTGCCAGGTAATAGCTGAAGATTGAACGTGGGGCAGGAAGTGCGTGCCCCTATGGGAAGGCACGGACGGGACAGTCGCATCTTACCTGAATCAAGGAAGGACCAATAAATGTGGAAGGTGTGCGATAGCTGAAGAGCTATGCTGTGGTTCAAAGTCGAATAGACAGTGGTTGATTATGCGAAGCGGAAGGTATACTGATAGGCAGTAATGTTGAATGCGAGTGTTTGATCGAGGAGAACCAAAGTTGTGGGCAGTTCTAAAGAGTACAGAAAGCCACAAGCGGGCACAGGCTCAAGGGCCAAACTGCGTCCAGCCGGCCAGATTACGCACTATGCTACTTTTGTTTGTCACTTTAATCTTGCCTTTACAGCCTGTGAAGCGTCGTAAACATGGCAAATTGGCTTACGACCATGTGATGTCTCATCTCTGAAGAGCGTGTCAAACACCAAAGCGCCCAACAGCGATCAGGCTGAAACAGTGGTTTCTTCGTGCTTGAACCACGTATTTCGATATCCGTCAATCACATTAGAAATGGCATTGTTTGTTACTGCGCCCAGACCAGAGCAAACACGATACGAAGAGAACAGATGAGTCGAGTAGACTCGTCATAGGAGAAATTGCAATTGTAGATTGTGCTCTATCGCTTTATTCAAGGATCGAATTTAATTCCAGCTTCGTGCTCTGTTGAGTGTTGAGGCTGAAGCATTGTACTTGTGACTAGCCACTCGAACAATTGTCATCGCTCACATAGACGGCCATTACCACCCGAAATTCCGTGTACATGCCTCGAAGCGACGGAACATCGTTGATCCTTGAATGCGAGGTTGACGTAAGGCAAGCCGCCAGTCTGACAACGAGCTCTAACTGAATCAAGCAGCTGGTGGCTTGATCGATCAACCACAACTTCAGTACCATTCTCCGAAACTCGTGTACAGTCATATCGAACAACCTGCTCCTCATCTATCGAAAATGAACATGCTACGCACTTCGGCTTTCAAGCTCAACCGAGCTTCGTCGCGGTCCTTCTCCGCTGCAGCTCTTCGACAGGCAGAGGGTGATGTTGGCGGCACCAGATTTGGTGGTTCAGCTGCATCGTATGTTCAGGGTTGTTGGGATAGAATAGCAACAGCTGATAGGTCTACCTAGGGACTCTTTCAACAAACGAGAACAAGCAAGCGAGAACAAGTTCATCCGAGAAAGAGAGAAGGAGGCGTACGTTAAAACAACAGCACACACGAAGACCTCCACTAATTCACGTCTAGACTCAAAGCCCTGAAGGAGAAGCTGAAGGCCCAGAGAGCACACCTCGATGATCTGGACAAACATATCGATGAGCTTGAAAGAGGTGCAGGTGGTGAGCAAAACTAGTGAATATCTGAAAAGGTTGAGAGAAGCGAGGTGTCAATGACGGGCAGATGGGCTGCTATGCTGCGGAGCGAGCGATCATCGTGACGAGACAGCCATCCACCATTCCAACTTGATATCGTATAGGACTACTGGCTAATTGTGATGGCGATACAGGTCAATGAGTGCTGAAGGAGAAGGTATGCAAAAATTAAACCTTTGCGAGGAAGGACAAGAACGGATCGAAAGAACTCAAGGTTGACGTGTTCGGATCGACTGATCAACAGTGATCGTTATATCTCGTGTGGCTGTTACATACTCCACTCTCATAGCAACTTTTGATATGACTGTGTCTCTACATGAAGCTGCGCTCAGCCCGACCCAGAGACGTCAAATCTGTTGCAATTGCTCCTGTTGTACAATGCCACCATTGACGCCAAATCTATGTTTCTCTACCGTGGATGCAAATAAGTCTGCCAGAAGTTATCTGCTGCAGCTTGTTTATCTCCACCCAAAGACCCGTTCATATAGCTCATGCCCTTAGCAGCGTTTTGTGCCGCGGCTACCTTAGTTTGCAAGGCCGATGTTCCCTGATCAATAGCTTGCAGTTGACTGAGGTGGGAGTTCAATATCTTGACAATTTGTGTAATCTAGAGGCAGGTTAGTGTACGATCAGGTTTAACAACAATAGTAGACTTACAGGTTCGTCAGCATTGTTACCCTTTCCAAGGTTGGCATTTGCAGCGTTGACTTCTTCAATCATGCTTTCTAAGTCTCGACCCATATCGTCGAGTTGTTCGCCAAGTCGTTCCGCAAGCTTGTATGTTCGTTCTCGTTCTTGATCTGGTCCACCCAGCTCGTTCTGAGCTGGTCCATCTTTCGCGAGCATTTCATCGACATCATTCTCATATTTATTTAGCCATGCCTCGAGCTCGTTTTGCTGGTTCTCCACAGCTGCCAATTGCATTTCCACACTCATGGTCTGTTTCTCACAAGTCCGGGTTTTGACATACAGCTTGTCAATCTTTTGCGAATTGTCGACAATGATCTGATCCCAATGAGCTACAGTCTCTGCATGCTGCTTGAATTCTTTTGTGTATCGAGTCAAGTCGGAGGCCCATCTAGTTAGTATCTCGTCCATTGTCTTGTTTTTGAGCCGTGATTGATGAGGTGGTACGGGTCCTGCTGTAGAAGCTGTCAGATTTGGCTGTCCCAAGGTAGAGGCACCAAGACCCGTTGTGGCGGCTGTCGTAGGGTTTGCATTATTTAAAGGAGCGGGAGTCCTTTCACCACCTAGATTGAAAACACCTCCAGTCGGTGCTGTTGTGGTTGCTGTGGCTGGCTCCGAAGTCTTGGGTGCTGATGTTGCACCCAAGCCAAAGAAGCCTGACGTGGATGCAGCTGTGGATGTGCCTGCAGCGGATGAAGCAGGCGTGCTAGTTGTACCTATACCTGAGAACAAGGGAGTCGCTGCAGGCGCAGCACTGCTACTTTGGGTAGACTCTGGCTGCTTACCGCCTAAACCAACTCCACCTAAGTTGGGAAATTGGAAGCTTCCTGTTTGTGTTGAGCCAGCAGCCTGACTGGCAGGAGCTCCGGGTTTGGCAAAGATGTTACTAGTCGAAGGAGTAGCAGTTGAGGCTTGTGAGGAACCCGAAACAGGCCCTCCTGACTGGGTGGTAGGAGTGAAGAAAGTTGATGAGGCTGGTTGTGAAGCAGCTGGTTGTGCATTTGATGTTGCAGGGGTGGATTGTGTGGTAGGGAACGAGAAAGGTTTAGGGGTCTCTGGTTTTGAAGCTGCATCAGCAGGCTTGTTATCCTTGTTCGACTGGCCCCAGCTGAAAGTGGCAGTACCTGACGCTGGTGCAGCACTAGTCTGAGCACCGAATGAAATTCCTGGGGTAGGTGTAGTTTCAGTCGGCCTGGATCCGCTGAACATTCCGCCAGGAGTTGTCTGACTCGATGATGGGTTTGCACCAAAAATTGGGGTGCTTTGAGCTTGTGTCGTTGCCGAATCGGCAGGCTTCTGCGCAAAAAGTCCGTCACTCGAAGGCTGTTGAGAAGTATCCGTCTTTTGACCAAATGAGAGGCCACCAGTAGATGGTGTAGCGTCTTTCTTCTGACCAAAGATTCCACCAGAGGAACTTGAACCACCACTAAAGATTCCCCCAAAGGTCGGAGCGGCAGTTGTCTGCTGTGAGGAACCGGTATTGGAAGGTGGGTTTCCAAACATAGGGGCAGGCGTGGAAGACTGCGGTTGAGAGGTAGATGTGCCAGTACTTGCGCCGAAAAGCGTTTGAGCTGGTGGCTGGCCTGCAGGAGTGGTAGATGTGGTTCCGAAATTGAATCCGCTTGCTGGCGCAGGTGTGGTTGAGCCGAACAAGGACTTTGGGGCAGCAGACTGGTTAGGAGTGCCAGGTGTCTCAGATGCAGAGGATCCTACGTTGCTGAGGAAGGAGGGCTTGTTATCTGCGGATTGTGCGGACGTCTGCTGGCCAAAGAAACCTCCTGTAGACGGCTTGCTGGCGAACAGTCCTCCCGAAGGTTTGTTATCGCTACTTTGCGCATTTGAGGACTGACCGAATATGCCTCCGGTCTTGTTGTCGCTGCTTCCTGAAGCTGGAGTCTGTCCAAAGGCAAAGCCTGTGCTTCCACCTACGCCACTACCGAATAACGAGCCTCCTGTCCCACCAGTCGTGTTGGAGCCAGCTGTGCCAAAGAGACCACCACTCGATTGACCAGAAGTGCCACCTGTACCAGAGCCGAAATTGAACGCCATATTAGTAAAAAGTGATAGGTAGCGAAAGGAATCGACGGTCGATGGTAGAACGAAGCTGCAGCGAATGTGCTGAGCCGAGATGCGATTCGAATATCTAGTCGGTTATGCAGCGCATAGGGTGAATAATGTGTAGCAGAGCTGAAGTAGTAGAGGTGTTACTGGTAATGGATCGTATAATAGTCAGGACACGCGCAGAGACGCGCCTCAAAGCCTACTCTATCAATGCTAGCTCCTTTGAGGACAAAGCATGGGTAGCCTACCGGCCATTTTGTCTGAGCGGGCACGTTACCGACCAGCTGAACAGGGAGTCTCCGTCATGCCTCGACGCAGTTTGTTCTACTAATGCTGTAAATCCTGGTCAGCACAGTCACTAGGACTCACTAGATACGAGGAGCCAATTGCAATGTCGAAGCCGAGAAGCACGTCTATCCATCTGGACATCCCTCGTAAGAGCACGGAAGTGGAGGACCCTGGAGCACACGATCTATGTACGATTCTCCCACCACAATGACTTTCTATTTCTGAAATACTGACTTATTACAGCCTCCGACGACGAATTCCAAGATGCCACAGAAGGTCGCAAGAGGGTGTCGAGGCCGGTAACACCTAGCTCACCAATACCTATTACTAGAGTCGAAAAGGTTGACGACGAACCGAGACATGGTGAAGTGCCAGGCACCGCGGCTTGGGACAAGCGTCGTCAGGATGCTGTGCCAGACGAGATAGAAGTTGTCCCTGAAGGCACTTTGAGCAAAAGATCATCCAGACAGCTCCTCGACCCTCCTCTGACGCCAGGCGGCACGCCCATTCCTCGAACTGTTGTAGAGAAGTTGAATCCGGACGACACAAGCTATGGTGAAGAACCAGGAACTCCAGCATACAAGAAGAGAATGACGGACGCTACACCCGATTTTGTACTAAAGAATCCCGATCCATCACAAGGCTCAAAATTCAAGGACAATTCCAGCCACTCACGGAACACCTCGACTGCTTCGATTCCTGCGACTGTGGTCACCAGGGCGGATGATGAGCTTGCTCATGGTGAAGTCCCTGGCACTGCTGCCGCCGAACTCAGGAAGAAGGATGCTACTCCGGACAAGATGGAGATTGAAAGTGATGTGTCAGGTAGGTAGGTTTAGTCCTCTAATCGCACTTTTACCATAGCAACGCGAACTGACTGCTGCAGTTGAGTCGGAAGGTGACAACAATGAAGAAAACGATTTTAACGACAACGATGGGAATGGCTTCGGAGAGGATTTCGACGACTTTGAAGAAGGTGATCAAGCTGGTGCCGACGACGATTTCGGGGATTTTGACGAATTTGAGCAAGAAGCTCCCAATGACTCGTCCTCGACGGATCCGAACCAGCATGCAGAGACACGAACAGAGGCACCCTCCTTTCCACTGATAAACTTTGACGCGCTATCCGACTTGCCTGACCTCCTGGAAACCACTAGGCTACACCTTGATGCGATGTTTCCGACCACCACATCCCCAAGTGAAACAACTATAGATTCCGATTCTATACCTTTACATTCCCCTATATTTCCTACTGACCGCTCGAGGTCTCTATGGAAGCAGCTCATTACTCCACCTCCACTACAGCCACCTAATTGGACGCAGTCACGCATACGTCGCCTTTTCCTCATAAGTCTAGGCGTGCCCGTCGACCTAGACGAGATCCTCCCACCAAGCAAACAGAAGAAGTTGATATTGCCCGACATTGAATTACCATCACGGACCAGCACGACCAACGACGACTCGCCCGTGGCAGGGAAGCCAGAGAACGATTCTATTACTAAACTACGCTCGACAAAAACCAACGACTCAAGTGCTAGCATAGATAGCCAGCAATCAGTATCCACTGCAAAGCGTGGCAGGGAAAGGCCCAAGTCGATGAAGCCAGGCCAATTGCCTGCACCACCACCATTGGACCTCAATGCAGTGAAACGATTATGTGCGACCACGAATGAAAAGCTCGAGGGGTTTACGGACGACGAGTTGCAGGCTCACGTCAAAGAGCTGGAATCGCTTACTGAAAAGACCAGCCTGGTTCTTGAGTATTGGTTGAAGAAGAAAGATGGCCTGCGCAAAGAGAAAGAGGCCTTCGAGGGTGTTATAGAGAATCTGGTACGCCATGCGAAGAGAGTGAGGACGTTCAAATAGATCGACTGTGAACTCGGAGCACAGAGTTGCACGTCTTCGTTCTGACACGAACTCGCACCTGCTGTCTGACTCAACCTTCGTTGTCTTGTCATGTAGTGCTGCCGTCTAACAACGGTAGTGGAAAAGGTAGCACGCGAGCAGTGTTCACACGAGCATGACAACCATAGATCTTAAATTGGACCACGTTGGCGCTCGAGGACCGCACGAAACTCGCAACTTATTGCGACTGCTTGAGAATAGGTGGGTCAACTTGGCTTCCTTCGGTTGCCTGGCCAACCAACCTCACAATCCGTGGTCCACGCCTTACTTAGTCACCTTGATCAAGACTTCTATGCATAGTCTCGTATGCGCACCTTCACTTGTATCTAACAATGAGTGTACGTGTGGTAGCTAGGATACGGCCTCTGCTCAAAGCGGAGGCTGAAAAGGACCAAATATTATCCATACATGAGGGTAGCGATGGAAAGCCACAAATCGTCAAGATACCCAATCCCAAGTCGCAGAACGAGGAATACAGCTTTGCGTTTTCAGCAGCATATGGCGCAGATATATCGCAGCAAGGTTTGTTTGATGCAGAAGGTAGGAACAGCAAACGAGTATTATTTTCCACGCGCTAATATATCCAGTTGCACCTACCATCAAGCACCTGTTCCAAGGATTCGATGTCACGCTGTTCGCGTATGGTGTGACAGGTAGTGGGAAGACTCATACGATGCGTGGTGGCAAATTGCTTGCGGACAGAGGAATGATTCCACGACTACTGAGCAGCATCTTCCGCAAGAGTAAGGCTCTAGAGAAATCAAGTAATGGCAAAACCACAGTCGATGTCCTCATGAGTTATTACGAGATCTATACAGACAAAGTGTTTGATCTCTTCGAGCCACCAGAGAAACGCACAAACACCGGTCTACCCATTCGAGAAGCTGAGGGAGGAAAAACGGTCGTGGCTGGTCTGTCAGAAGTCCCATGCTCAAGTTTGAAAGAGTTCGAATTTCTTTATGATAAGGCAAATGCCAATAGAAGTGTTGGGTCCACCAAGCTGAATGCTGAGAGCTCGAGGTCGCATGCGATTCTGCGAGTAAAAGTTACCATCTCTACCGCGACCGAGTCTCGAGCCTCAACCATATGTGCTATTGATCTGGCTGGGTCCGAAGACAACAGGCGTACGGGCAACGTGAAGGAGAGAATGGTGGAATCAGCTTCAATCAACAAGTCATTGTTTGTACTCGCTCAATGTGTCGAGGCCATAAGCAAGAAGCAGTCACGGATACCCTATCGCGAGTCAAAAATGACACGAATACTGAGTTTGGGGCAAAATAACGGACTTACTGTGATGATACTCAACCTTCCACCCACAAAAGCCTTTCATCTCGACACTCTGACCTCTCTCAACTTTGCAAACCGAACGAAGAAGATTGAGGTTAGAGAGGTTGAGAATGAGCCCATCTTCAAAGGTCCTCCTCGGCCTCCTTCCACGACCAATACGGGAGTGGTTAGAAAACCTCTTCGACCATTGAGCAATATATCCACAAACGCCAATATACTTGCCAACAAGGAAGCACAGATTGACAAGGAGAAGCCAATTAAATTGTTCTCAGTTTATGCTGACAAGTCTCATACTGGTACCGGTCGATCTGTGCCGCAGAAATCTTCACCATTGAAGCGTACTGCAACCGACATGCTTGCATCTTTTCGTCCGCTCAAGCAACCTCGACCAACAACGTCTACTACATCTCTTCTTCGTAAAGGCCCTCCCGAAACTCAGAAAATAACTGCCGCGACTCTCGATGCTCTGGTAGAAAGGAAGGTGTCAGAAATTCTTGCTGCACGAGAGCAAAATGCGCCGCCACCATCAGCAGCAATAGAAAAAGCGATTCCAGCAGATGTCCAAGCTCGCCTCGACTCAATAGAGCGCCGTCTGGAAGGTCAAGAAGGAGAAAGAGCCGAAGGTTTGAGCTATCTGTTCATGGCTAAACAACACCAGGCAAGAGGAGAGGACTTCAGTGCACTTAAGATGTATGAACTGGCGCAGCCTTTCTTCCCTGCTAACGAGAAGCTACAACGCAAGATTGAAAAGTTACGTACGAAAGTGATTGAGAGCAGGAAAAGCAAACAGGAATCTGCAGAGCCAGAGCGCTGTCAACATGGCCAAAATCTCGAAGCTGAAGAAGATGTTCGACCAGGCAAACAAGATCCAAAACAGGGTCGAAGAGATGAACCTGACGTGGACGAGAGCTATGGACAAGAAGCAGAAGCGGAAGCAGACACACATTCCGACGGCTCGCCTCCAATACGCAAGAAAAAGTCCTCTAAACCCTCAGACTCAACTTCAAAACACTGTCCAATCTCTGCCTCAAGAGATTCTCCCGACCCTCTAATCGACAATAGTACCTCCGACGCCCCACTAACACCCAGAACAATCCACCTCATATCTATCCTCAACGCACGGAGCATATCTCAGCTCAAAGGACTTAGCGGTCTAGGCACGAAGAAGGCGGAGTCAATCGTACAACATCTTGAGGACCGCGGAGGCGCATCTGGCTTGGAGTGTTGGGACGATGTGCTTGGGTTGGAGGTCCGTGGTATTGGGAGGAAGACTTGGGAGAGTGTAAGGGAAGGGTTGATTGTGTAAGATGGGCAGGTATTTAGACAAGTTATGTTGGGGATGGTGTATTGGTGCGTTGGTGCTTCTTTAGCGTATTCAAGCTTTATGCTTCTCGTTGTTTTGACATCAATTGAGGCGGATAGCAATTCTGATGTTTGGTTTCAATGGATAGACAAGCATTTGCGTGGCTCCAGCTAAAAATGTTGTGATGTTTTTAATGGGTATCAGCCATATATTGTCTATTGAATGAATTCGAGACGTTATTTGTTGGTAGAGGCAGCTATAAAGATACAGGCGTAGGGTAACACTTCAGGTTCTTGAACCTGTGTTCCTTTGCTACAGGAAATACCACGTCCCGATGAAAGCCACCAACGCCTCGCTGAAACAAAATAAGAATACAAAGACCTGAAAACTTCGAGCATTCTTTCATGCCCTGATAAATACTAATCAGCCAAATGGAAACCCTCCAAATGGATTGCCTCCACCGGAACCACCAAAGTGAAATTGCTGCCCACCCTGCCTGAAAACAAACTGCTGACTGCCGCCGCCAAAAGGCGAGCCCTGGAACGGATGTCCACCATGTTGTGAAGATGGGTCATTCGGATCATCACCACGATCGAATCGTGCTTTCAGCTCAGGATCACTGAGAACTTCGTACGCTTCATTGATAGCAGCCATTTTCTTCTCGGCGTCCTCTTTGGAGACCCCCTTTGCCATTGCTTTGTCTGGGTGAAACTCTTTCGTGGCCTTGCGATATGCTTTTTTGATGGTGGCTTCGTCTGCGTCGCGAGAGACTCCGAGAGCTTTGTAGTAGTCCTTGCTCTTGGATCTTTTGAGCAGGGTTTGTGCTTCTTGCATTTTCTCTTGGACTTGTCTACTTCCTTGGTGGTTTTCTTTGGCAGTGTTGAGTGTTCCGATCGCAGCGTCGTAGTTCTCGGCGTCGAGCTGTGTTTGGGCCTGATAGAGCAGACCGTAGAGAGAGGTTGGGTTGAGTGTTAATGCTTCCTTGCAGTAGGAGGCTGCCTTCTTGTAGCTGTTCATGCCGACGTAGCATTCACATGTTTTTTCCACGAGCTGTGTGTAAAGTTCTGAGCCAGCCTTGGGATGAATATAGCCCGATTGCCTTGCGGATGCGATGTTTGCTTTGACATCTGCCAGGAGACCAGGATCGTCTTCCGTAGCACTGCCAACGAGGATCTTTGAGGCCGATGCATACTGTTTCTTCTCAAGCAGGGTATTAAGCTTGTCGAGACTCTTGCTTACGCTTTTCTCTTCCCTGTGGAGGGCTGCGCAGGCTTTAGAGTCCGGATCGGAATGTAGACACTTCTTGATCTGGCTCAGACCTCGCTCGGTGTCGCCGAGACTATAGAACAGCATACTCGAGATCTGCAGATGAGGTTCTAGGTTTCCAGGGTGGATCTGAAGGACATGTTGTAGGTCGCTTACTGCCTCCTGTATTTCACCCCTCTCAAGCCGACACCGTGCTCTCAGCTGCCGTAGAGATAGTGCCGTACCTGCGACCATTATAGCAGTACCTGCATTGTTTATACATGACTCATAGTCGCCTCTTCTCTCTGCATCGATGGCATGCGTCGCAGCATCTTTGGCCTCTTTCAGGCTGGTTAGGTCCTGTTCTGTCTTCTTTCCAGCTTGTCGATAGTCCTCCTCGGCTGCTTGCCATTCTGCATTTCGACTGTGAATCTTGCCTCTCTGTATGAGAGCACCTTCGAAACCCGGCCGAAGTTTGAGCACTGCATCGAAGTCCGCCTTGGCTTGGGTGTTACGTCCAAGTGACAAGTAAGTGGCTCCACGTTGAAAGACATTCATGTAATCTGAAGGGTCACGCTTGACTGCTTGATCGAAGAACGACAACGCTTCGGCATTGTGACCCTGTGCCCTCGCTGCTTTCGCTGAGGCAACCAAGCTCGAGATAGAGGCATCGGCGGCACCAGTACATGGCAGGGGCAAGAATGCTGTGACTATGGCGGCAACAAGGCCTAGATCTGAAATGTCGACCCTCATTTTGTCGAGGTAGTAACTAGTAAGTCGCTACCATTAGGGAAGTACAGGATCATGCAACAGGTCGAGTGAACGCAGCTGCACAAGAATTGAGCAAATGTACTTTGTCATTAACATCAGCCTCATTTCATGTTCTCATTATCGGCCACGTGTAAAGATCTCGAGACTGCTCGCCGTACCTACCCTGTTGGGCACATACCAAATACTAGTGATACCAACCTCAAATTGTGTTCGTCGCGTTAACCACCATACGCGACTTAAACACCTTCTGGCTCAGGGAATATGCACAATGCCTGTGCTGTCTTGCCAAAGTCGTACATGTTGAGATACAAGACGCGGCTAGGGAATGCCTGAAGCACTGGACCATGATATATTCGCTATTAAGCCGCCAGGCTCCCCATCTCATACTCGTCGAGCATCACTCAAGATACTAAGCCGTAACATCGACAAAGTTGTGCTTGGAACTTTGCTCTTCGACACCTGGTACTTCTCGCCATATCCAGAAAGTGTTCTCTTTGGTCATGATCACCACTCATCCAAGGCATCCTTGAATGGTGACGCGAGAAACGGTCACCTCGAGAAGACGATCGTGCCACCCGTACCCAGGCTTCATATTTGCCCTTATTGCTTCAAATACACTACTCTTCCTACTGTCTATGTTTCACATCTTCAGTGCCATGTGCAGGATCTTGAGGCCAATCCCGAGACGTGGTGGCCTGTACCCAAGACGGCTCTCAAGGTCTACGATTGGGATGGTTACACTGTATGGGATGTGGACGGAGAGCAGGAGAAACTCTACTGTCAAAACCTTTCATTGTACGCGAAACTCTTTCTTGAGCAAAAGAGCGTTTTCTTCGATACTTCCGGTTTCCATTATTTTGTGCTTACCTACACACCACCAAGCAACACAGCATCATCGGGGTTGAACAAAAATCGTGTTCGAGGACGACGATCGTCTGGATCTGCGACTGATCTTGGTCTGAAAACACAAGTAATGGGCTTCTTCTCGAAAGAAAATTTGTCCTGGGATGCTAATAACCTTGCGTGCATCTTGGTCTTTCCACCTTTCCAACACCGTAACCTTGGCCAGTTGTTGATGGCTGTGTCATACAAACTCAGTGGTTGGGAGTGGGAAGATAGTATCATTGGTGGTCCCGAGAAGCCACTTAGTCTGCTGGGCCGCAAAAGCTACCTAAGATTCTGGTCCGAACGTATAGCCAGATATTTCATGGGTCAAAGTGCTGATGCAGATGGTCAGAAGATCTTCGGCGGACCTTCGAAAAGCAAGGCATCCTTTGCAAAGGAAGAGATGACAGTCAGAGATATCGGTGAGAGGACAGGCATGCTACCAGAAGATGTGATAGCGGCGCTCAACGAGATGAAGATTTGTGCAGCGTCATCACGAAAATGCAAGAAAACCACGGAACTTCAGGAGGCTGATCGGATTGACGAAGTCTCGCCTGCCACAATGCTGGTTAAGCGCTCACAGATCCTAGCATGGGCCACGCGAAACGATATCGACCTCGCTGGTCCCGTAAAAGAAGAAGGCTTTCTAGGAGAGTGGGCGCTCAGTGACTCTGGTTCCGGTACTTCTGAAAGTGCAGGCTCCGAAATTGCCTCTACGTGAGAGTGGCGTTCCACGTGTTTCCATCATTGTCAGTCCTCGTCTCGACTTGTGTGGAATACGCTCTAGCACTGCGGCTGCATCTTGTATCTGCCGCAGGCGCGAACTACCGAGTTCGGTAGACACTAGTTGCAGGATCAGTTTTCTTCACGAGCAACGTTATCTTTCTAAACAGTAATTAGCATGCTGCATGGAACTGGTGCCCTTGGCGCCTAGGCACCTGGTCGGCATTGGCTGGTAGTCAGGGGGTGTTCTCATGGATAGTAGACACGGGAAGACCTTCCTCCACAACGAAGTAGATGACCTTTGTTATCGTCGAATACAAAGATCTCGGATCGATCTACCGACCATGAAGGTCGTCACACTAGCGACCGTCTGCACGAACGCTTTGTTCCGAGTAGCCTATCACACTGTGCTCGCTCAAGCCCTGCCGCGGCGACATACTGCATAGTCGTGACATTTATTGGGAAGCACAGGTCGAGCACCGCATACACAATGAACAGTTCGTAATGAATCACTCGTTGATCAACACAGGTCTACCGAGCAAGCTGGTCGCACGATGCGGTAGTTGTGCCGCAGCCATTCTGCCTCGGAGGAATACACGATCGTCGACACAGATCTGTACCTGTACGACAATGAGGTTGCTGTTGGGACTGGTCCAGAACATTACCTCTGCTAGAAGGATGTGCTCACAAGAAGGCGCTCGTCACGTTTGCTATCAATGAGAGATCTGTGCAACTGAGATTAGTTCCCAGGATCGGAAATCTTCCAGTACGCTATGGGTAAGCTTGCATTGGTGGCAGTCGTGTTCGATTGAGTAAAAATGTCCCTTGTGCAAGCTTGACCGTAAGTAGAATCGCTGGGGCGGTCAGAGCCTCTCACTGTTGAGTGCAAGTCACTTCTTGTAATACAGGTCATCCCGCTTTCCAAGTACAAATGCCGTTTGGTACGGAAACATGCATCTCCGCAACACATGTACAAGAGATCGAGCAACACGCTAGCGATAGTTGTATTTCTGCTATTCGTCCTTTCCCCTGCATGATAATGGCTTTGCATAATAAAATGATGCGGCCAAAAACTTTGTGCTGAAGATGCATGGCGTTGAACCAGGATCGATTAAGCCGCCAAGCAGACAAGAAGAGCTCAGTTTAACGGCCTAATAGCAGCCGCATCTGAACGCCTGGGCTTCCTGGTCAATAACTCCTGGCGAGAATCATAACATGTCACTATTAGCAAAGAAGTTGTCGCCTGGATGATCCGATGGCAAGTTGATGAGGCAAAGCAGGTCACTCTTGCGTTCACTCAAAGACAGCATCGGAACATAGTCAGGGTTGCTGTAACCAGCACAGCATCATGTGCTTGCTTGGGATGCTCAAATACCAAGTTTCCGAAGGTTACACGTCTGGAGAATGAGATCAGTGGAGCTTCGGGCACAAAGGATCGTTATCAACCTGCATTCAACCTCACAGATCGACCGCGGGGTATTTATCTGTTCATACACAGTCGTACAGTGGTAGTTCAAAACGTCCCGGGCACCTGTACAGGGTGGACTGTGACGATGATGTGATAGTATGTTGACGTTCGAGTCCGTTGCCTTTGCCGGGTCCACTATCCATCTTGATTCCGATTCGACCAGAATGAACTTGGGACACTTCGCGCAGGGGTGCTGCACCATCTTGGTTCAGATGGAGTCTGGAAGGATCAAGCACCGCTGCGCTTACCCATTCCGAGGATTCAGCAGAACACCAACCTTCCAGCTTGGGTCGCGGTACTCGGTCTGAGTCGTTGTTTCTCGCCGAACTAGAAACAGGCTTTCCCAAGCATAGAGAGTTTGGAGCGTAACCGAAACTATTTGACATGATTGACAGCGCCCCTCCTTATGACCGTCCTCTGCCTTGGGTGCAATGTGAAGTCTTTCTTCTTGTTTCTCCGCAAGACGGAAGCATACGACGTTCTGCTGAACTTTGCTGGGGAATGCGTCGGGCACATTGCAAGATCTGGGAGCGTGTGTTGGGCTACAGGGTACACAAGGCCTGAAAACGGAGGCGTCTATACGAGTAGATTGGCTTCTGGATTCTAGTCACATTTGATCGTAAATAGAAAAGATCGCAGCTTTCGTGTGATAGTGAATATGCATCAGCACCCATGCACACGACTCTGTCAGGTGTTTGATAGTGTTCATCGACAAACCGTAAGAAGTAGCGAGTCGAGAGAATGGCAGTGCAGAAAATGGAACCGTGGCACGAGTACGAAGCAAAGTGAAAAGCCGCATTTCTTTTCTGGTGTTTATTGTTGATGTTGTGATTTTTGTGGCACGGGTGGGAAAGAAGAACAGGTCCACAATCAACACAACATCCCTGTCGCGTTCTCTATCCCCGATGCATCAAAAGTATAATCCAGAGTAGGCCAGGGTTGTATCAATTATCAGCCTTCGAATTTCCTGCCTGTTCACGCCACGAGAGTGGTGCATCGTCTCTCTAACAGCTTTGAATTGTGATAGCACCCTTACCCGAAACACATTGTTCTGGAGGACGCCGGGACGAATTCAAATATACAGATACACGTTATTCACTCGTTTACCATTTGCCAGCACTTTCCACTTCGCTCGCTAATCTCGGCTTTTTCGAGTATACAACAACTGGGAATTACATCACTGTCATAGAAACTGTTGTGGTTTGAGCTTCTACTTCGACGGTAGACTTCGTTTGCTCACGGTTGTATTCTGAACAAACAGCCACACCACTCACGAATCACATTCCTTACCCGACCGACTACTCATCCGCCTACAAACGTGTTGCCTCGGGTTGTGGCAGCATACGCGAGGATTGCTTCCAGCCTGCCCTCGAGGTCTGCCACCAAAGGATACAAGAACAACCACTTCTGCAATAGGTTCAACGTGGATAAGAAAAGAGCAGTGGAAGGGAGGAAGTGTAGGATAAGAAGAGATGGCCACGACGGATGCACAATCAATTTCATCTGCTGATGGTTCGGCGTTTACTTGGTTGCTAGAGCATGTCATGGCATACCCAGGCACTTACGAAATACCTCTAAGGACCATGTACACCTTGAACGCCACGACTCATGCACGAAAAGACCCTTTGCCCTCAGGCATGGTTGGGAATGCCTTTCCTAGTAGCAACGGTCCAGACAATGCCAGCATGACCACAGCGACAGCAGCAGCTCAATTGAAAGCTAATCTCATGACCCACATTGCCCATCAACCGGCACAACCACAATCGTTACCTCCCAGTTTCATCACTAGCTTCGTCCGACGCTGTTTCTCCCCCGACCTGACGCAAGTCGACTTCCCTCAAGCATTGACTGCTCTCGACTACCTCAAAGACCTAGAAACGCGAAGGAGGAATGAGATTCTGGCTGCCCTCTCGCACTTGGGTGTTCAGCCAGCCGACGTCCACGATCGGGAGAAGATCAGACAGGACTACCCGAACGCTCACCGCTGGATCGAGGACATGGAGGAGAAGGAGCGTAAGATCAGGTTCCTCTATACTCACGTTTACCTGGGCCTTAGACGGTGGACATTGGTCAATGAGATGTCTTTGAAACCCTTTAACAAGCACAACTGCCTGTCGATGCTCAATACACTCTACCCTCCTGTCTTAGCAGGGTCGCCATTCGTCCCGGTCACTCCACAATTAACGCAGCAAATTCTCGCAGCTCAACGCAATCAGTTCTTTCGCTATGTCACTGCGGTCGAGAAACATGGCACCAGTGTTCTCAAGACGGTCATGTCTCAAGCCGCACGACCAGGAGAGCAGACTGGCTGGCCAAAGGTTCGTGAAGACCTCGACAAGTACCTCCGAATGGCCAACCTAATCATCGACGAATGCCTCGACACTACAGGGCGATCAGTGTCACCAAGAAGTGCTGCCTTCCCTTCCAATGTCATGGACGACGAGCATAAACGCAAGGTTGACTCTGGCATCTCATTCGGCTCTGGTTATGCCTCAAATAGAAGCTCGGGTCAAAGCCATATGACACGACCAAGCACAAGTAGCAGTGCAAGCAACCATAGTAGGCAAACTTCCAGAGACAAACCATTGGAAAAAGCACTACCGGCAGCTCCTGAAGAAGCTGAAACTGCAACACCCAAACCAGCAGGGTCTGCTTTGGAAAGAATCGCAAGAGAACTCTACCGAATCGGAAGCCGCACTAATATGCGTGACGATGCACAGTCTCGACCTACGGTTCGGACGAATAGCGACGACGCTCCAGTAGCAGACTCTGAACCTACATCACCAACACCGGGTCGTACCTTGCGATGGAAGCGCAGCCTCAAGAACATACGACCTAGCAGCCGTATACGATCCGACAGCACATCAAGACCTGAGAGTCGTAACGGTTCGGTAGGCCAAACGAGCGAGGTACCAAACTTCGACCCAGAGGTCATGCGACGACAGAGGGAAGCTTGGGAGGCACAACATTCTCGTCCGAAATGATACAACCACAAATACGTTCAGCGATGCTATGATCAGTTGGAGTGTAAGGAGCTATACCAGAAGCTCAGGATCGATTCTTTTTGGTGATAATGTACTATACGACTTGACGATAATGCAGGCCAGGTGTTCAGGATCGTTTTTGTTTTTGGGCCAGGGATTTGTATTGCGAAATGTGTAATGCTAACAACAAACTACACAAGACGGGGACGCTCTCACGAGCAAAAGTTTGGAAGCACGAGGAATTGGGTCGCGAGTAGCAGTCATGGCCAGGAAGATACAACAGGCCACGGGGTTGCCGTTTCCGACCAGGCGTGCTTCAACATACAAACACAATACATTTTAGAAGCTGCATAAGCTGATGAACAACGATTTGAAAGTGCAACTCATGAATACGAGCTTCTTCATTTTCCAGCCGTTGGAGAAATCTTCTGATTGGAGTACAGCCGACGTCCATTACGGTTGACCCCCTTTTTCTGATTTGACCGAGCAAGCGTAGACTACGAACGTCCATAGTCTTTACGTTTTCAAGGTTGTGTTTCACCACATTCTGCCTTCACGTCTTCTCCCCTGTACGCACCGTGACCCGCGTCAGTCGTTCCTGCGCATACATTTGACCTACTGCAATCAAATATTGAGTTTGACATGTGCCACATGGAAAGTCCAGAGCATTCGAGCTCAAATGGCGCGTTACTGGCAAATGCAGCCTCTTTTCTTGTCTTCTCGCTAGAGGAATTATTTTCTCGAACCTTCACGGATGACGTGTTCTTTCAACCTTTTTGTCGGGACATCTGAAGAAGCCACAGACAAGCATTTTACGTGTCTATCTTAACTCTTCCGTAGAAGACTCTCACCCGTATATACTGTATGGCTTCGTGTCCCATTCGACAGTATACGACGAGCCGCCGATGGTCCAGACTCATGTGAAGGAGTACGTATGTTGTTGCTAGCGGTCAGCCACCAACGCCTCGCATTTCCACTACCATGTGGTCGACGTCGAATCCTACGATACGGCGTTCAGCTCGGTGAGACGCGTTCCCAGAAATGGGACGGTCACTTTACCACCCAGAAAAGAACGTCCAAAGTCGATGCACATGCCATGGATTGTGGATTTCCTCGTGAGCCGCTGGTGCTATCTATCTTTGGACAATACAAGACCCCAAACGTGCGCGTAAAAGAAGGTCTGCATGGAGTCAAGAAGCGGGAAATTTTTGTACCTGCATATCGTGTATGCAGGTCGTGGAGAGTTCCGATTGCCAAACCTACTTGTACAGTACTAGTCACTAGTAGATGCGACTCGGCGAAACGAGTCAGCTTGTAACCCACAACGATGCAGCGTTTGATAAAATCTCACGGAGGTTTAGATATGCAAGTGCGAGCTTGGAGCTCAAACGTGAGCAGACCTAAAAGAGGAAGCTACCTGCCACGTGCCTACTTCCGAGCATCCCACGATCTATATATGCCTGAGGTGTTAAGGCATCAACCCAGATGTCGATATCGAGCCTGATGTTGCGGCATAGTAGACGACTCGAATTTCAGAGCAGAGCAATCGCACAATTGTTAGGTCTAACGAAGGAAGTACAGAAAAAGCTGCCCAAACAGTGTTCATCGAAACCACACAAATTTCCGTTGATCCTAAAGTGCTACCCTTGATACTCCGAATTAAACCCCAGAACGACAATAAACAAAGCACCGTCACGAAAACCACTTCGAACAATCCAAGAGAAACGAAGTCACCCAGCACATTACCTGAACAAAATTCTCTCTCTTGCTCCTCAAAATGGCTACCAAACCCGAAGAACCAAAATCCAACCCTCGCGGAATCCCAACATTCCCCTTCCTACCAAACGTCACAGACTACGTCAAATCACAACAAGAAGTCGAAGGCACACTCCAGCGCTTCCAAGAAATGATCTCGAAATACCAGTTCATGAGTCAGAATGTCGAGAGAAGGGCAGCGGGGCTAAGGGAGAAACTGCCTGAGATGCGGAAGAGTTTGGAGACGGTCAAGTTTCTAAGGATGCAGAAGGGGATGAGTGCGAATGACACAGATGGAGACGAGTTGGAAGACGACCTAGATGACAAAAGCGGTATAATAGAAACGACATTCCCGCTACAAGATACGCTCTACGCACACGCGACAGTTGACACGAAGAACTTGGAGGAAGTATATCTTTGGCTAGGCGCGAATGTCATGGTTGCGTATCCTCTGGACGAAGCGGAAAAACTGTTACAGGAAAAGCTGGATAAGGCGAAAGAGTCGCTAAAGGCGGCTGAGGAGGACTTGGAGTTTGTCAGGGTGCAGACTACGACGCTTGAGGTCGCGACTGCGAGAGTGCATAATTGGGATGTGGGGGAGAAGAGGAAGTTGAGGGAGCAGGGGAAGCTGGAGGATAAGGAGAATGATTGATGAGCTTTAACCTGTGGCTCAAATTCCAGCACTGTACACGGCTCCGAATGAATGCCAAAAAGACAGCCTATTCAATTCCACAAACACCAGACCTCTCCAGCATTCAGATATACCACAACCCACCTGACGGCTGTCCAGGCGCAACCGTACCTGAATCAGAAACCTTGTCGAAGAGCTGCCGCCTCTTGTAGCGACCGGCGTTGTTCCCAAGATGATTTCATGACGTCCAGCATGTCTACATCTGCACTCTCGACTCACTTAAAATCGTTGAACTATCGGTGCCTCATCCCTACACAATGCCTATGGGGTGGCGTTCACATTGTGTAGATACACAGATGCACTCGTTCAATCGCAGACTGTCACAACCACTGATAGTCCTGACGTATGGAAGCCTGTGTCTCCTAGAGGAGAGAACCCCGTTCTATAGACATTCTTGATGTACAGGGCCTGACGAAACGTTGCTGCAGCATAGTCACGGTAGCAGCAAGACGGGTGCAAACATATTTGAAGGTCTCTGGCGAAACTGAATCGTACTACAACAGAGGCGATGTGGATTGTAAGATCAGACGGGAAACGATCTATGCACAATAGCTTGTCATTGTTGGTCGATCTACTACTATATAGGACCACAACGTGTTACACTCACCACACCTATACAATACCACTCTATTGGTCATGCTTTGTAAAGCTCATATGCTAGCTCATCTGTTCAATCTACACTCACTCAAGAGATGGAACAAATATTGTCGTTGTGCTGAGCTTCATGGTCTCGAGAAGGCCTTATTGCAGTACACGAAAGGAATGTGTGAGGTTTGGAATCGAAGAGACCATCTATTTGCGTGAACCCTGTCGCTCAAGACCAGCTTCGCAGGTGCGGTTGGCCCATACAATTTGGACTGAGTCAAGGAAGAAGCCAGTCTCTAGCTCTCCTTGCTTTGCCTCGAACCGAATGGATGACAAATTGAAGAACTTGCTGGCATCAAAGGAGATCTTGCTTAATGCACATGGTGGCTTCATACATATGCCTGGAGCAGGGAACACTGCTTCAACAGCAACGACTTCTTGGCCGTCAGCAAGGCTGGTGCTTGGGGAGACAGTCGCCTGCCATTGATAACCCGTTACTTTGAGAGTGCAAGGTATGTTCGATACTGTATTGTTGCAGCCAATGTAAACAGCCCAAGGATTGAACCAAAAGGTGCTATTGTACGCTCGTTGTCCGGCACCGAATGACCCAGGAAGATCTCGACCCTGCAAGCCAGCGGTATTGATGTTGCCAGCATCTGTTGGGTCATAGATGGCCAATTGATCCCCATCAACTGGTGAGAATGGAGCTGGTGGAGGTGGACCATACCCGTACCCACTCGACCAAGAGAAGTGAACGTAGGGACTGAAAATTGGCGGTGTAGCAGTGTCGTTAGGATTGTTCGTTGAATAGGCTGGCAAGTCATCAAATGTGACAGCAAAATCGGCAACTTCGCCACATGACGAGGATGGTGCTGGTGCTGGCGAAGCGGTAGAGACCGAGCCCGCACTGGACGACGTTGATCCTGCGTCTCCATAGGTCTGAGTAATTGTTGTTACTGGCAGCGTGACGATGACAGTACCTGTCACAACAACACTACTTTTGGATGGCGACGAGCTGAGGGATGTAGTATTACCGTACGAAGTTGGAACTGCAGGAATGCTAGCTGCTGAAGTCGAGCTCGGCTGCGCGGGTGGTGCAGGCAAAGAGGCGGCTGTCGACGTAGATGTAGGCTCAGATGGTGGTTTCGGGATAGAGCTGGGTATGGACGTTGAAGTAGCCTGCTCTAGTGTGGTATTACCAGCTGTGTTTGCTCCATGCGACAGCGTCCCAGAAGGATCGTATACACTTTGGGGAATAGGATCAATACCTGGAGGTGTTGTCATGAGTTTTGTTGTCTCGAATGTGGTTGGCAATATCACCAGTGTTCCTTGCCAGTTGTTGCACCAAGACGCCCATACACCGTTTATAGGTGCAAACACCATCGAGCATGTCTGTCTCTTCTCAAGTCCTCGGGCAGTGATTGAGAGATTCGATGAGGGAGTGTAGACTGTTGTCAAGGGCGTAATCGTCTCAGTCGATACGTACGTTGTGATAGTGATTGTGCCGTCATTGTTAGAATCCGACGCTGAGCTTGTTGACGAGGCCTCTGACGCAATGTTTGTCTTCGGAGTATCCCAGGCAGGAAAACTGAATACAGTTGTAGCGACAGCAGCTGAGGTTTGTCCTGTGCTGATGTATATCACTGAATCGTCGTTTGGAAGATCAGTACCAAGAGCTGCTGGGGCTGAGGCTGTAGCGGAGAATAAGAACGGTGTAGTTTCTGGTATTGTGGTGTAGTCGGTAGGACGGTTCTGACTTTGCTGGAGTACTCCTGCAGACTCAACCGCTGACACATGAGAGAAGAAGCTTGCTAGAGAACTCGGGTCTGCTGCAACCATTGTGGCCTCTGGGGGAGCTTGAATGACAGTAATGGTGATAGGAGTTGGACAAGGCCTGTAGCTTTGTCAGTCCCGGACAGTCACTGTAGAAGATTTACTTACTCTTGTCGAGGTAGGATCTCGGCGGGCATATAACGAGTGACTGTGTGGGTGCATGCACATGATGGACTAGAGCAACAGCATGGTTAGCGTTTATGCTATGGGACAACAGGTGGATTGACTTGCATCTGAGCTCGCTGCTCAACTCTACCAGGGACTAGAACAGCAGCCTGAGCCCAAGTGCTGATCGCTGCAAGCAGCAACGTAAGTTTGGGGGACATCAGGGATCTTTGGGTGCTGTATCAGTTTCGATGGTGGAAAAACGATCGTCTTTCAAAGAATGACAAGAAGTTGGGTTGAGAGGTTGGAAAAGAACGATAATCAGGCGTGGTGGTTGCGAAATAGTAAAAAGAGAAGTGGTGAGGAAATAGCGCAGATATCGAGGAAAGTACAAGGCTGTCAACTTGCACCTGCCTGCTGAAGTGAAGGTGAGGCGTATAAACACTCGTTGTGTTTTTCGTGCACGATTTTGCGAATGTTAGCCAGGACAACAGCTTAAATACTTACGCTGTATGAAATAGCAGAAACTAGCAAACGCCATTGCGTCCTTGAAACTCAGCCTGTTTAGATGAAACTACCTTGATCCTAAGTTTTGATATTCGAGCTCTATTCTGCCACCACCAAACAACGTTTCGTCTCGAGAAACGGCTACCTACCACGTGCCAAGCGTGTATCCGTTGTTATGGTCCACATGGATCGTTATTAGAAAGATGTCAGCATTGTGGTGACTGCACTGCTATTAGTCAAGCTATCGTGCAGTGTATGCACAGTGTCTACTCAAATGGACAGTGGTGACTCTTAGTTGTTGCCATTGTGGTTACAGTAACGAAGAATCGACGTTGGCCAAGGAAATGAGTCGTTCAGCTTCGATCAGTGGAATTGGTATAAAGGATGCCTGCATATGTAACACGAGATCCGGAAATTTGTAGAATCCGCGCTGCTTAGCCATCGAACATTCAATGTCCTCGACAGCAACGGCGACGCAAGCCTTGTCGCAGAGCAAACTGCACCACATAATCGCCCCATAACCCAACAATCCTTGCTTTGTCATAGTTAGTGCTTCAAAGTGGTCGACATCCCACATACCTGGCCTTCTCAAATGCCTGTGCTGCCTGACCAAGCTCATGACCATAGCAAATAATCGGTACCGAATCGAAGAAAGGGTTGACTCCTGTGCAAACTGGCAGTAGCAACATGATTTCAGAAACGACCATCGTCGTGCCTCTCGCCTGGGCCATTTATCGATCAGCCTCGGGGCGAGATGCATACTCCTCTTGCGGATCTCCTCGACTCTGAAAAGCTCCAGATCTCTCGAGCATTCCTCGGAAACGATGTCGGCAGCCTGGACATTGTGTCTCAGGGAACGCCACTTTAAGTCCCGTGCAAATCCAGAGGGAGATTGTGTCGCTGAGAAGCAAACACACTGCTGCGATCTACGGTTGATTGCACCACAACAAGAATGGGGTCTCGAAAGTTGCGATGGAACCTAGTCTGGTTCGCTTTGCTTGCAGAGAAGACCAAGATGGTTGGGAAGCTGCTAAGCTACCAAGACCTACACACGCATCCATGCCATGGATTTGTTTACGAGTGAAGAAAGAGAATTGGAGTCGAAGAGTCCCGGTCAGGGATAGGGAGCATCGAACTGGATGCCTGAGAGCCATATCAATCTCCTTCCGCTCATAACCAGCGTTGTCTTCACATTACCACATCGTTCTCGTCTCTGTGACAATGGGATCCTACGTATGAACTCGAAATTAGAAAACATCGTAGAGAGTCTGTGGTGCGGCGAAAGAGGCCAGAACAAGACAGATTCCGTGATTGAAAATCGCAGGGTAGTATCAACGTTGAACACTTCATAGACTATTTCTTTCTGCCGCAATTGTTTCAGGCTAAAGTAAATCACCACTAGAAGCTCGAAACTTAATGAACCCTGTTGTCTTTTAGAAACACATATCAACGAAGACGAGATATTACGTGGCTTGAGATACACCCATTCCGCTGCCAATGCGACAAATATACCCAAGCATGTCTTCAAATGCAACCAGAACTCCTGTAGTAAGAAAAAGCAAAGCAGAGGGTATCTCATGTCAGTGCGCGGACCTTCAAAAATCACTCAACGCTGAGCCACCGCAAGGCCTCCACCGATCCTATAAAAGACTTATAATGCAACGTCGTGAGGTCGTGAGGTCAATTCGTCAAGGGTATCATAAATCTTCGCTAATCATCGATTATCGTCGAGCTGTTTCACCAGTAGCAACAGCCACTAGTGCTTCAAGTCTGTCAAGATTGCTGTCTCGTCTTGTGCCTGTCCTTGTGTATGCATGCGATTGTTCATGGCTAGAATGAAACGACTGAGGTGGTGACATGGGCGACGCTAGACAGGGCTACAAGCAGAATTAGCGCTGTGCACAACCCAACGTTTTCCTATCGACTCACTGTATGCTGAGCTTCGCCCACCAGAAGTTGTGGCTCAATGTAGCCGTTGCTATGTAGGATAGTTGGGTGTATCTCCGCCACAGAAGTGCCTGGAGTTGGGATGCCGTCACTGCTACTGGACTCTGGTGAGGTTCGATATGCAACATGCGAACCATTGTAGCCACCCGATCTTTTGATACGCTTTGATGCAGAGGTCTGCAGGTCCAGTGCCTCTTTTGCCATCTGCTGGTGATGCTGTGCATTGACAGTGTGCATTGGAGGTCCCATTACTGCTGGCTCTGGCGCGACTGCAAATTGCCGTGCTTGGGTGTCTCTCAGCTCATCGAGCTGCTGTAAGGTGTCCTGGCCCCAACTCGTTGTTGGCCTACCGTTATCATCGATCTCAGGATACTGACTGCGTCGAGAACCATCCCACGACACATGTGAGATGTGCCCGCGCCGCGGATCTCTTATTTCAGGAGCGGCCATTAGGGATTGAGACGATGCCGGGTTGCGTCTCGGTGGAGTCGTGGGCCGGTGCTGAACATGATCGAAGCTTTCTATGCCTGGCAGACGAGGAGCTTGTCCAGCTGCAGACATAGCGTTTTGTGCATAAGCAGGCTGTGGCGCATCTGGCGTCTGCGAATAAGTCAGGCCACTCGTAGCAGGCCTGTTATAGTTATGGCTGATGTTTTGGTATGTAGAAGGATGCCACGTCCGTCGCCTCCAATCTTCCGCAGAAGAGACCGGCATGTTGGACCCATGAGTAAGGACTGGTGATGTAGGGCTTGTGACAATGCTGGAAGTAGGTGTATTCGGTACAGCTGGTCCTGGACCATAGGTCGCACTATACTGATATGGGTGTGGGACATGCTGAAAAGGATTGATGCTAGATGGTACGGAGAGTCTCCGACCAGGTGTCCTAGCATCACCTAAGAAGCTTCCACCCCTTGAATGTGTTGCGACGGGCGAAGTAAGTGTAGATGCAAAGCCCGGGCTTCCTGGGGTGCCAGGAAAAGTCGCCGAAGTAGGTGTAGTCAAATCAGCCGGGGAGTGCGCAGCATAGTTAGAATACGTGGGCGGCGTAGTAGGTCTGTTGTCACCAGCCATGAGCAGCGGTGGTGGTCGTCTTCGGGCGTCAGTCGCATTGCTATAGATTGAAGAAGTAGAGCCAATGCTGGACGTGGAAAGATTCCTGCTATGCCCTCGGCTATGGCTGCCACTGCTCGATGTAGTGCTCGTTCGTGGCTTCGGCGCAGGACGGACACGATCAGTGCGAATTTGACGCTGATAGCGTGTACCTGTCGCAGCAAGTGAGTCAGTCGGAATCTCCTCGTTTACATGCACAGTCTGTGCGTGTTGACGAAGGTTGTCGAGACGCGAGAACCTGCGATTGCAATGACATTGGAAAGGGCGCTCGCCAGTATGCTTCCGAATATGACGGGCAAGGTGCTCGCTCCGAGTGAAGCTTAGATTACAAGGCGGGTAGCCTGTGCAAAAGAACCTCTGCCCTTTCTTCTTGCGAGCACCCGTCTCATCTTCATGCTGTCCATCCTCGTTGTCTGAGCCTTCATCCTCTTCAGCGCTGTCATCCATTTCCATTGCATCAGAATTGGAGCGCTTGTGAAGTACTTTCTGCTTATCGATATCCTTGTCCGAAGGGGACTCTTGTACGTTATTGTCCTCAGGCCTCACGCTCAGATCACTGGATAGCATAGGTACGGACTCCGCCTCGGGAACGATAGTGGCAACATCGGTTGGTCTCGGGGATTGTATCCTGACGGTAGGTCTAGGAGTTGTCGGCGTGTTCTCATCGTCGTGCTTCTCCCTGTGAGAGGTTTCTCCCTCGATCATTAAAGCCGAGATAGCGGCCATGGCGTGCGGATGTGGACTTGTCAAGGATGTAGCCAGAGGGGACTCTCACTCGAAGAAGAGGCCGATTCCATCAATGTGCTGTTATCGAATCTTCTTGGCAGCGAGTCTAGCAGGGACCGAGTTTGAGTCTGCTTGTAACGCGTACCCAGCCGCGAATGTTAGGTCAGACGTGGGACGAAGGGAAGAGGAAGATGCGGTAAGTTCAGGCGTAGGCTCGACCCATGTTGTGAGAGGCGATGTGCAAAAAGTATTGCTGTCGCCAGTAGCCAGAACCTCGATACTTCGCAAGAAGCAGCAGATTATTCAGTAGCGTTGTATCGACAATGGCAACAGGATGAATAACGTGCTTGGTCGATGACTTGCCTCCGATTGCCTACCAGGCGAGCGGGCGTGGAGACCGGTTGATCGCTGCCCGGCTGATAATTCCAGCACGGTGGATATAGGGATTTTCGGTTTGGGCCTCCAGCTTCTACTTTTGAGTCGGTGAGCCACGAGTAACTGACACAGAGGAGAATGTCACGGTATCAACAGTGATGATGCTGTCAATTACGGCGGAAAGTTGAGGGCTGGCACATGCGAACAAGAATGGTGCGTGGGACTAGGCAAGCCTCCGACAACTTAGTCAAGTGGGGATGGATCGTAGTCCAGTCGAAAGAGGTGGCTTACCAGGTAGATCAAAAGCCAAACGCCCATTGATTGTCCTCGCAAGGACGAATATACGTAGCCAGTAGCGAGTAATGGTAATTCTGTAGTCAAGAGGAAATCAGATATAGTTCTCTCGTTCTGCAACGTAGCCTGAATGGGCATGTCCTTGGAACAACAAGCGGGGTGCGCTGACGCCAATGCTACGCCTCCAGAGTCAAAAGTCGTGGGTAGTTGCCACTAAAGCGGCCTGTGCGCCATTCTAGGGCTCCATCTGCCAGGGCGTAGCTGGCCAAGCTTAGATAGGCATGCTATTCGCTAGACCTCGCCGTCAACGTGCATCTTTGCAAACTGCAACCAAGAGTACACCCATCCTGACTTGTGGTATGTGGGAGCATTATCACAGGACTTTTGGCGCAGCAGAACGATTCCGCACCTTGCCATTCAGCCGTACACGCTACCTGTACCTCGGTGAGAGGTTGGATATATATATGTATATGGATTGGGAGACCACCGCATAAACGAAGGGCACACAACTATCGCATGTGTGAAAGCCGTACGGCATCAAGGATGCTTTCCGAGAGACTGATTTGCAAGCACGTTTGACATGCTATCGCGCCAGAAGGCGGCTAACAGCGCCGTAAGATCTCTCGTTGTCACAGGCCACGCAGGACTGGCGGTTGAGTAAGTATTCGAGTAGATCCAGTCTACTCTACTCGTGTAGTCTGTTCACAAGAAGAAATATTGTCAACGTCATATCGAGGATGAAGTCAGGTACAGGAGAAGTGCCTGATGCATGCATGCGAGCCGATCTCGAAAGCAGCATTAGCCTTCCAAATCTGGCTTCTGCATGCAGAGTCCGGCACCTGTTCTCGTCAGAAGGTTGAATTTGCGGTTATCGTCTGCGTTTCCAAGTGTTGTGATCTTGCAATGACCCCTCGGTATTGGTATCACGGCCTTCCTGCGCCCGAGGTCTTCTGACCTGGTGCATGCCATCCCTGTAATTAATGCAGGTGAGCCGGACTCTAGCGTTGCAAAGCTAGCTTTTAGTGGTGAGATGTTGTTGTTGTTCTCCTGATAAGAGACGTGTTCACCTATGTGTCGCGTCAAGGCTTTGATCCGTCTGGGTTTCGCAAACCGCCCTTACCTCCCGGCGACATGCATGAGTTGAAGCCGTCAGCATCTCACCGGAACACGAGTCACACCCGTGGAAGCAGACAACTACTCGAGTAAGGCACAACGTAGAAGAGAAAGTCATCCCACGGGTAGGAGCGGAATCATCACCCGTGTGTTTTGGCAAGTGCTTTATAGATGCGTCGAGCCATACCTGCAGTCCAAGAAGCTCTGGCTAGAAGTTGTATAGCCTTTCCGAGTTGTAGCTGCACTCTTGCCGAACCTGTCTGTGTCAGATGCGCGCGCTATCCTCTGAGACATTTCAAGTTGTAAGTGTCGGCTTACTAACGATTCAAACTGCAGTCCATCTTTCACGGTCGCAGGAAGCCCTTGTGTTCGATCTGCCATCTATTGTTTGCTACATTTCATCCGTGACAGAAACTATACATGCGGCTCGCCTTTCGACAGTCGTTGCAAGCTTTAAATTTGTCCGCTTTCCTGCGTATTTAAATCGTAACATATCATCATTCAGACACAAAATAACCCATGCTATATCATTCAATCATCCTCGTCGTTTTGTACTTGCCAACTCAATATTTGCATCCACAAAAATAAAACTGGTAGCTGTGTCAGTAAGGACTCAACCCGAGAAGAGTACTGAACCTACTCGTCGAAATCAGGGCCCAAGAAAAGACAGCCTTCCAACAGGAACAGATATTATCCTGCGTTAGCCAAGCCAGTGTCTCAACACTTATGCCGCGGTATTCTTGCCCTGTCACATATGTGTTGCAGTTGGAGTTTATGTTGCCCGAGGAGCTAAAGAGTTGTATCGATGTTTCGATGAGTGTGGTCAACCACAGAACAAAAAGGATAAAGGAGCAGATCAAGATGATCCCGGGTATCAACATGCGCCTTGCTGCCAGGATAAGAATAACGAGGAGAAAGATCAAGGTCAGCGAAGCCGTGACAATGCCAAATGGAAAGAGCCTGCGACCTGTTAGCTACCACGTTCTTCCCAAGTGCTCCTGACACTCACCATGGTACACCAATTTGCAGTTGGTTCTGCACGCTGATAAACCACGCGAAGATTCCTAGCACAGTAGATGCGCCAGCCAATATCACAAATATCCACAAGTTGAGTTGCACCTCTGGCCAACGGTATTTCCGGCGGGTCTCCCGGTAGATGACCTCTGTTGCCATCTTGACTTGGAAAAGCGCCGCGCTTATTCTACAATCCTGTCGTGTCTAGTGCTGCTCGGCTCCTTGTGCGATGTCTATGCTTTACAATGTAGGCATCGTCGTAGACAGAACGAGTGAATGTGTAGATCGATGTAGGATAGCGAGTGGTTCAAAGATCGAGAGGGTCGGTGGTGTATGTAGCTGAAGAAGGAACGTGTGAGGTGCAAATGTGTAGCTGCCCAAGCGACTGCGATGCTGTTATTAGTCGACGAACGACAGCAAAATGCGTCGGTCAACACGCTTCGATGTCCGACGAATCAGCTGTGACTACTTTTTGGCGACAAGCACACCTGCACAGTCTTGCTCTGGTCTTGGTCGTTGCTGATGCTTTCAACCACTCTTAATAAATGTGGATTGATGCTCGATGAGAATTTGTGCAGAAGCTACAACGTCGTAGAAAGCTGTTGTTGTAGCATAATCAACCAATGGTAATATCAAAGATTTTCCAGCAGTGCCTGTAACCCATTGAATGACGAAAACAATGGTCGTCAGGCACAACCGAGCAACTTGAAGCCAGGGTTGATGGTCATGGTGGATCTAGCCATGCAGCCACTGGACCTGTTTGGTTCCCAACCTGGAAAATCGAGAGTTCCATAGAAATTAAAGACCATCATTTTATGCAATGCGAACACTACTTGTCTCTTCAGGCCTTAAGCGCATGAGCCCTGATGCGGTCAATGTCGAACAGAGAATGCACTTCGACAATCTTGTCATCCCGAAAGTCATATATCACGTTTTCTGTGTAAGAGAACGGATGATTGTCAAGCTTGATGCCGATGAGCTCCAGTGTAGTCGTCTTGGTGGTAAAGACGAGGAGAGCTGCAACATGATCATCATTCGCGATCAAACGTTTGATCTCAACCTGAACATCTGTTTCGACGATGTTCTTGAGCAACAGGTCTTTGTATCCTTGTAGGCCGAGTACGGCTCCATTGTGGACGACACCATCTGCCACAAATGTTGCAATACTGTCCAGGTCATGATCGCAAATGGCTTGTATGTATTTGCGATATATCTCTGCAAGGTGCGAGTCTGTGTTTGATGGCATATTGTGTCTGCTTTGATTGAATTTTGCTTCGATATCATGGATTGATATGCCAGACATGCATCTCAGGCACACTTCAAGGGCGCGTCCCGCACCTTCCCTGGCGTGTCGCCATGGCAACGCGATTTGTTTGCTCCCGACTTCATTTTCGAAGTTCACGAAACTACAGGTACGAGTAAACCCTTCATTAGTAAATTACTTCACTACCGAGAACGATGGACGACGGGCTACCTGAACTAGACGCATTGGTACTACGACCATCCACAGGATCAAACAAAGCGTTGCGAGTTCCAGCGACTGCACTACGGAGATCCCCTCGAAAGCAGAAACCTGATGCAGTGAGAGAAGATATTAACAACCTCCATGACGTGCCGAACCTGTCAGCATCCAGTCGGCAACGCACAAGTAGTCGACAAAATCTACCGCCTAGCAATGTACTGAAGTCTATCCAGAGTCGAGCACGTAAGCTCGAAGAAAAAAAGACGTGCAACCCAATTGACGTGTTGCAAAAGCCCATACAGGCAACCATTGAGCCAGTGGAGCTTTTCCAGAACAACTCGAACGATGGATTTCACGATCTTTTGGAACCGATTCTTCAGATATCTGCACGACAGAGGCTCGGTTCTACTGAGCTCGGGTATGATAGACAGAGGAATACTAGGAAGCTCGCTTCAGGAACGTCGAACGTGATAGGAGGCACCAGAAAGGATATGGTCAAGACCATAAATAAAAAGAGTAATGAAAAGATGGTACCTGCACGATCCAACCCTTTTGTTCTGAGAGAGTCATACTGTGACGACCTTAATGAAAGCTCGGGAACAGATGGTGAAGATGAAGATACAGATCTGAGTGGCTTCATTGTCGATGATGATGTAGATCTCAGCTTCTATGGTTCAGCTGACGAGTTGTCGCCAGATAGTGAACTTGATCGGCGAAACAGGACAAGGCAGAGGACAGTTGTGAAACCGAATTCAAGGCGACGGTTGGTGCGTGGTAGTCGCAATGTTGAGTCTGGTCGAAGGAAAGACACAGACACAGCGTTATCGAAGGCCTTTGACAGCATGAGTCTAGGCGTAGGCGCACTTGAGGACGACAGGAATGCTAGCCGAACGAAAACGCTGGAAGTCGTTGATTTGATGTCTTCACCAGTCACGAGAGCGGTAGCTCAGGAACTGGACGAAGAGAGCGAGCAAGACGAAACGCCAGAGCAGTCATCTGAACATCCTTTTTCAAAAGTAGGAGCTCTCAGGCCAAATCCTACAACTCTGATACGTGGTGACCAACCACTCCCGTCGAAGAGCAGAACTCAGCCGTCAGACCACGAACATCAGACAAAACAAGAGGAAACAGCTGAAAGACCTGTCACGCCTCCTGCCACGCCATCCAAATCGCCCTCCAAGTCGCTACTCAGATCACCTACTAAGCTCCTCTCGCCTTCAAAGCGTACGGTCCAGGCGCCCAATTTTCTTCATCGTCAAAGCATCGATGCCTTTTGGGACCACAATACGGTGAACGAGTGGCACGACACGAACAGTCCCAAGAGGGCCCCATTGCTGTCACCAAGGAAGAATCCTCTTGCACGATTCGTACTAGAAGCACATGACGATATTGAAGAGCCATCGGACGCTGACCACTCACAGCCCACAACGACTTCACAAGACGCCTTCGACGACTCGACTGATTCTCTACCTTCGCCCAGTGAATCCCCTTCAAAATCACGCTCACCCTCCAAAGTTTCTGCGTTGAAATCTGAACAGGCACGCATAAGAGAAGAGAAGAAGGCTAGACTTGCAGCAAAGAAGGCTTTCGACTCTACAAAGGAAGGACTAGCACTTAGTCTACTCCAAGCCCTTGACCAGTACGTTACAGAGTCCAAGATCACCACTATGTCAGCCTCGACAGGAGGCATCAAAGTGATCTGGTCAAAGACCCTACGATCAACAGCCGGAAGAGCAAACTGGAAGCGTACCATAACGAAGCCCTCTGGAAGTCCTATCAAGGGCGATCCGAACAGTACCTCTGTAGAAAGACAACAAGGCGTGGTCGTCCAGCACTTCGCAAGCATCGAACTAGCCGAGAAGATTATTGATCGACCCGAACGTCTAGTCAACACACTTGCTCACGAGTTCTGCCATCTAGCCAACTTCATGGTCAGCGGAGTCCGAGACCAACCTCACGGAGAATCATTCAAACACTGGGGCAAGAAAGTGACATCCTGGCTGCGATCTCCTAACGCAAAACAGGCCCCTGGTTGGCAAGCCGAATGGTCACTAGCAGAAGTCACGACTAAACACTCATACGTGGTAGAAACGAAATACCTGTGGGTCTGTACGGGTCGACCAGCCAACAAACAGAAGCAGACCCTTACTATGAAGATGTTGGATATCGAGGCCGAAGACGAAGAAGGCTGTGGTGCGGAGTATGGACGCCATTCGAAGAGTATTGACGTTGAGAAACAGAGATGTGGACGTTGTAAGGGGTTCTTGGTGCAGGTACGTCCTACTCCGAGAGCTGCTGCTAGCCCGAAGAAAAGTCCTTTCAAGAAGCGGGTTGCGAGTAAAGAAAGTGGGGTGACTAGTCTGGAGAAGTTGGTCGAGGTCATTGAGCTGAGCGATTGAGGCTAAATGGTTTGGGGTAGTGTTTCTGTAGTTGATGGTCAAGGAACAGTCAACGAAAGCTCCTTCTTGATCTTCTGAGTTCGTGAGTGTTGCCGATCCCTCCCGCCAACGACTTCAGTCAATGTGGCTGTAGTTCTCGAGGCTGAATCTCTGGTTTGTGTTGATGCTCCGTATCGTCTGAAAAAGCTGCGATAACAACCGATCAGACGTATATTCCCTTACTGACTATCTAAATTGTCGCTGTGGCTCAATTGTTGCTCCCGGCCAGCCGAGGAAGTCTCCCGTATTGAGAATGCGAAGAGTCGTTGTTCTGTGAGTGTTGTCGTATCGGAAGAACCTGGTAAGGACCGTTCACCCTCTTCAATAGCCTTGTAGTATCTAGAGGTGACCGTACATGTCCTCCAACAAATCTTTGTGTCCATATACGCGTCTGTTGAGGACGTAACCTCATTCTCCACCTGCGAAGAGACTGAAATCCTCAACACTGAGAGTCTCCATAATCTTCTGCATGATATTGTCGGCGACTGCTAGCTCGGTCAAAGCAGCTTCGCTCTGATTGCCGCTGAATTCTTTCATCGGAATATTGATACGAACACACAAGTCAGTACCGTATTCTCCAAGTCTGACAAGTAGCTGCTGGGTTTTGGTCTCGTTTTCTTTCTGGACTGGTTGTGCCTGCCAGCTGAGGGGAAGTGCGGATTTCGCAGAGCGATCTATCTCAGGCTCTATAATTGTAGCGGTGCTGAGGTAGGCTGGGAAATTTGAGATGGAGGCTCGCGACAACTTGATGGCAGTAGTCTCGATTCCAGCGTCGGAGATTCGATCTTCTGGTGGAATCGTGTCCCTTAAGTGGTGGCTGGCTGCTGCTGCATCGGCCACTGGTATGCGAGGAGAAGGTGTATTGTCCGAGGCGCCATCTAGGTCCGAAACCTCGACACTGTTTGAGAGAACGTCCGCTGGTGTCTGAAATTGATTGATCTCGAAAATGATGGAAGTCAATGTGCTCTGGCGCAGAAAAACCTCTTGGTGATCGGGCACCTCTCGAAGGCCACTGGTGTCAATCACGTCTGAAGGAAAATCGACAGTAATCGCCCCGCCATACAGGTTTCGTCTTTCAAATTGTAGTGCCATTTCGAGTTGAGGATATTCAATGTATGTTTACCACCACGGGACTCTTTGATATTCATAGGCTTGTCTGCCTGCTGTGGCTTATAGGCAACAATGCAATGGTCAAACTCGAATATACGGCCACTGAGTCTTGACTCTTTGTAATGGTCCAGATAGTGTTGCCTACGTAGGCATCAGTACCCTCTCACTATGTTGCAATGCTATCACCAATGCGGTAGCGACTTGAGCGGGCGACACGACGGATTTTTTGCGAGATGTATCACCCATTTGGTGGCTTACAGGCATACGCTCGATACGAGACGATGTCGTCCTGCACTTGGATGTCGGACAATGCTTGGCGAAAACGTGAATAAATTGACATCGATTCCTCTTGCGCATATCCAACGACAACAATATTTACCAAACGCAGTCTCAAGCTTTGAACATGCAAGCATTTCACGACCATCAATAAGTCAGAGTGAATACGTAGTCTACAAGAATAGATATGAAAAATAGAAACGATCTTTCCTCGGCTCAGCTATCAAGAATCTCATTTATGCACACCAACTGTTCACGAAAAGGACGTCTCATATATACAAAGTTGTGGACAAACACCCGGAGGGACAAACACCCGGAGAGAAGGAGCTTGCTCGCCGAATGCCCTTTTCCGTACCTACTCATTCTTGAGCACGTCAATGTGAAGGCCTGCACCAAAGTCAGTAAAACATAGTCATACAAGTACGCTTTGACAGGAGAACGTTGTTTACAGATTGACACTCGTGGATGCAGTAGGCAAAGTCAAAACGAAGGGGTTGTCCTTTTATGCATCTTGATTGTCCTGATCTTCGGACTCAATACATGTCCGACCAGCTATGCAAGCTAAGCTATGCTGTCTGCACATAACGCCGTCCAAATCAATGCTGTCTGTTTACAAGAAAATCATACACACTCCGCTGACAAAGGCCAAACTCAAATAGGTAGCAATGGCGATTTCTGTGCCGAAAACAGCCTTGCTACCAACCCGTGGAGCAGCATTGCCGCTTCCACTTCCGCTGCCACTGGAGCGAGAGCCACTTGAACCACCAGTGGCAGTTGGTGCAGAAGTGACGGTGCCCGTGCCTTGAGGACCGGCTTCAGCGATCAAGGACTTGCATTGTCCCGTTGGAGAGACTGAAGCCTTGGTAGTTGCAGAACCGCCAAAGTCACAAGCAGAGGCTCGGTTATTACCAGGCTGGGCGAGGTAGTAGGCATTAAGAGCCCATCCGAGCTGCTCGGTGGCATTGCACATTCCGTAAGCACCATAATTACCAGTGGTTGCGTTGTTTGTAATACCAGCGCACACATCGGAGTTTGCACCGAGACCACAGACAGTACCGAAAAGATCACCAGCTTCTTCGAGAGAGATGTCATGAGGCACGCAGGTCAAAGCACTGTACATACATTGGCAGAGCTCGCGGTTCGGTGTAGGCGGCAAGTTGTTCGAAGCAGCCCACTGCGATCCGACGGATGGGCAGGCAGCCGCAGCCGTGTTGGTTGGATTGTAATCTGCCGAGTTGACCGAAGATGGAGTGACTGCCGCAATCTGTCGAGAGAGGTAACCAAAGTCAGCGAGGGTAGAGACCGAATTGCCCGAGACCGAGACGAGACCATAGTTGTTCGCTTCCTGGAAGTACATGTAGACAATGCCTCCGGACCACACAGGTGACATTTGATCGCCGTAAAGGGCCTCAACCTCAGTGAATGTCCTGGGTTCGACTTCGTTGCAGCCGTACTCAGCGAAGAAGACAGGGACGTTGTAGTTTAGAAACTCTGCGGTCCTCTGGTCGAAGCCAGATTCTTCATAAGTGGAGTTGCCGCACCACGAGTAGATATTATAACCCCAGAAATCAATGGCACTGGCTCTATCGTTGCCACAATCGAAATAATCAGCTACCTGCTCTCGGATATCGGCGTCGTCGCTAGTAGCGTAGCCAACGCCGATCGTCCTGTAATTCTTTTGCTTGATGTATGCCTTTGTATCCCGGACTGCTGCCTTAACAAAAGCAGAGGCGTCGGTGTTGGTGGCGTTGTTGGTTACTTCGTTGCCTGCAAAGAAACCGAGGGTATTGGTGTACCCGGCCAAGGCATCAACGACCGTGGTATATCTCGTGTACAGGTCGTCGTTCCACGATGGGCTGCTTCGGATGATTGACTGTCCCGGAGCAGAAAGATCGGCAATAACGTAAATTCCTGCATCGGCGAGAGCGTTCATGCACTTGTCGTGGCTCTGTGTCGGGTCGATTGCGTAGACTCGAATAACATTTGTACCCAATTGCTGTAAGTATGGAATATCTCTTTCGCAGCTTGAGCTATCGGAAATAGGGTCGGTATAATCGGTATTGGTGGAATTGGCAGACGTGCTGCCGCCGTTGGGTGCATATTCTTGCTGATAAGCAATACCCTTCATGAAGAATTGAGTGCCATTAGTTTGGTAGAAGAATTTGGATCCCTTTGTGAATTGTCAGTGGTTAACGTCTAGAGCATGCTGACACAGCGTACCTTGATCACGATAGGATCTACTGCTGCGAGCGCAGCCTTGCTAAAGATTGCAGCGGCAGCTACAGCTGCTCCAAAATTTCTCATCGTTGTTGATATGCCGGTAAGACTTGTAAAGAATCCAGTCGGTAAAACAGGTCACTTGGCGATAACGAGTGAGTTGTCGACTAACCACCTCAATAAGAAAACTGAATGTGAGATAATAGAGTAAAGGAAGGCGAGAAGTCGCAAGCAGGTACTCAACAACCACTGCTTGCTTCAAAGAATTGCGATTAAGAAAGAATCAGTGTGCAGGATGATATCAAAGGCGACGCGGACAAAGGATGAAATGCTGGGATTCCAGGGTCAGGAGTATCACAGCGAAAAGATCTTGAGTCGCCATTGCCACAAACACGCGTCGAGATCTGACAATGACGAATGACAAGATAGTCTGTGGAGCCAACAAGCTCACTGGGCTGTGTTAGTAAACGCTTCGCAACTTGGCTTGGATCAATCTGGTTCGTTAAGACTTCTTCTAGCCGTTCAAGCCAAAGCCTTCGCATAGCCAAATCGTGCTTGACAACATGCCTGTGCTACAGCTCTTCTACCGCCAACGTGGATGTACTCACAGCTGCAGGTACAGGATATCAACAATACTATCGCTGTGCAGACTCAAACAGCTTACACTTGAGCCAGGTTCACGAATGGAACAGACTTCTTGCTACTGACAGAGTATATGTGTAGCAGTCGTAACATCTTTCGCTGCACTGTGTATATTGTACAGCATGCTACCAAAACGTGGTGTTCGCTTTAAGAACGAGCGTCTGTCACTGGACATGGCGAAGGAACTATAACGAATTTCGAACAAGTGACGCAGAACAATGGTCACTTATAATGGCAGCTGGCTACCTAAGACAGTTACAGAAAAGCATTGGACAGCGACGACTGACACGAATCAAACCTCATGGATGCTTGTCGCAGTAGTCTTCACTCGGTGGTTCAGAGTCTCGAGACTACTTGCAGGACTTCCCTGAATCGTGTCTAATCATGCCTCGTAGTACAAATGGAGATACAGTATGGCATCACTGGACTATCACACAGTAGGATGATGGCATGACTGCGTTGCAGTCGCGAAATCATTGACCACACCTCATTGTTCTTGCCGGCAACCGACACATTGTGTCAGGGTTACCGAACCTGTCGCAGATTGCCATTTGTTTCTCTCGTTTCGAGCTTGCGCATCGTCTGTTTCTAATCACGCTGATGTGTATCGATAGGTTTCGCCGTTGAGAGTAAGCGAGGGAGTGTCTCACTCACTCGGGGATTAGCCGCGAGATCAGCAAAGCTCCATGCAATAAGCTTGAGCGTGTGGCGCTGCAATCTGTATATGGCGAGATTGATACGAGGCACCAGCCACATGTGTGCTCACCATGCAGACCAGGAGATCCGTCTCTGCGCCGAACACCCCAACAGAACCGGACCGAAAAGCTTTCCTGAAATACATTTGGCCACTGGGCCAGGGTCTGTTCTATTTCCTACTCGAACTACCAGGCATATAAGGATTCTAGATGAGCCAGGTGACGCGTAGAAGAAGAATGGATGCAGAATCATATATCCACAAGTCTGCCAGTACTGGTGTTGCTGCATCTCGAATGCAAACGAAGTTGCCACAACGGATGAAACGGAGACTGCAATCCAGTGTTGATGAGATGCATTCCGTAGCGTCATCTACCGCCTGCTTCGTTATTGATTGAGGCGCAGCGATAACTCTCCGATTTGCATCACGTTCGCAGTTGGAGCACACTAAGCACTACAGACTATTGCTGGCTTCGTCCTGTACAGTACAACATGTTGGAAATGAGCCAGCGAACAGGTGAGAGGAATTGTGGTCAAGTTACCATCGCATATAGAGTCGCGTTGATCATGTACTTTATTCGTAGCATAATCTGGGGTTGTACGTAGAGCCTGCGAGTCTATGACAGCATGACAAAACGCATATCATAGCTGTACTTGTGTGGCAGAAGTAAAAAGCGTTGAGGGTTGACATAGTTGGTGAAAAAAGTAGAATAGTGCAAGCAGAGCAAGAAACAACCAACTCCTGTGATAGGGCGATCACGATCTCGACGTCCTAGCGTTGGACGGCGCGGACGGATAACAAGAGTTGCGCAAGATGAACATTGGCTAGTGTAAAAATCACAGACAACATCAGGTTATCAACGGTGGACGGACACCATAATGTCCGTACCAATGCCGGGATGATCAATGGTCTACTGGAACGGAAAGCCTACGAGAATGCAACAAACCAGCCTTCGGTTATGTACTGTTGCTGATCGAAGCGTTGGCCAAGAGGCCATATAGTGTGAAGTGTTGGGAACGAAAAAGACATGCAGAAGCTGATAACAAGTACTTAATTGCTGGAGCACATCGTTGCTGTAATCAAGAACTTTAGAGGGGTATTTGGAAGTACAAATGCTGCCTTCATCATGACCATTGAGTGAAAAGAAAAAGACGTCTCCAGCAGGATTTTTGAATTACCATACCGGTGCCTCACCCAAATGCTGGCTCAGGAGATGCGTGAAAAGGAGATATGGTGGGATCTTTCTAAAACAGTGTTTGAGGCTAGCAAATAAGGTGTGGCAGACGCTTTGCTGGAGAAGAGCTAGTGGCTGGTGGTGAATGACGGGCAAAGAGCCACGAGTTGAAGAAAGCGCGTGTTGGTGATTGGTTTTGCGCATCGGAAGCTGGCTCGAGCGATGAAGCGCTGTCTCTCCATCAGCATTTCAGGCTTTGCAACCCGGTAGGAGGAGTCCTGCCATTTGCTATCCTGTAGCTAAATAATTTCAGGATTTGCCTTGGCTCGCCCGGGTTTAGTCGTGTCCCGAATGCTGGTCTAACCAGCCTGTCGTGCCCACATTACAGGCATGAGACGAATCCACAAGCTGATCACCACCAGTAAGAAGCCTCTTTCAATCAAGGGGCTTGCAACGGGGGAGCGATGTAGGCGTAAGAGCTGCCCTGTCCGGCCGTCCTTCCAATAATCTGCAGGCCTGAAAATCAAGTCAACCATTTTCTCTTGTTCGCCTCCGTGCTCTTCTTGCGAGACATGACCATCATCCATTCACTGCACTTTGAGTATCGTCCTGAAACCACACACATCGTTCGTTTTGTGCGGTGGTGACAAGGTCTTAATTGAACGTGAGAGCACACAGTCGCAAGACGGGCAAGCCTCAGCAGAGTCGGGTCGGAGCCAGTGGAAAACCAAGCCACGCCAACCGCGACTGCAAGCCTGCAGCTGCCGCATCGTCCTGAGCAACCAACTTTGTTAACCTTCGTTCACAACAACCACGATAGCATTTGCACACCACAATCTACACGGCCTCTCTATTGTGTTTTCAGGTCAGAGTGTGTACTTGTGCAAGCACTCTGGCAGAGGCACTCTCTGAAGGTCGAACACCTTCGTTTATTGTCAACGAAACAGTTTTTGCAGAACCTGCGCTTATCCCTTAATCAAGAACTTCTTTGTTCGCCACTACAATAATCGACTTCACACAACTCAACTAATAATTTCATCGTACACAAACGAGTAGATCTTATCACTACTGTTCCATGGGCATATTGTGAACAAAGGTACGTCTCTTGCCAGTCGAGCCGAAACTTAAGAAATCAGTTGTCGCTGAACTAACATTTGTTCTTCAGTCTGTTTTCATACAATGGCGAGCCATCCCCAGCAAGGTGCTGGCTATGATGGCTACGGCCACGGTCAGGGTCAAGGTGGCCACCCCAATGATGCCTACTACCAAGATGGTCATTACGACGACCAATATTATGATGATCGAAATGGGCACCCAGGTCAAGGAAATCAAGGATACTATGACGAGGCGTGAGTTTCTTGTTTCTCTACACTGTTGACACGACGCTAACGCTCACAGTGGCTACTACAACGCCGATGCCTCTAATCCATACCAGCAAGATGGTGGCTACTACGAGGGCCACCAGGGCTACCAGCAAGATGGTTACTACGATGACCAATACTATGAGCAAGGAGCTGCTGGCCAGCACCAAGGTCAAGGCCGAAGACGTGGTCACGACTCTGAAGAGGACTCTGAGACGTTCAGTGATTTCACAATGAGATCTGATATGGCTCGAGCTGCAGAGATGGACTACTATGGGAGAGGTGACGAGAGATACCACAGTGGCTATGGCAATGGCTACCGTCCACCTTCGTCTCAAATTTCCTACGGTGGCAACCGATCATCAGGCGCTTCGACGCCAATCTATGGCATGGACTACAACAATGCGTTGCCTGCCGGTCAAAGATCAAGAGAACCTTATCCAGCTTGGTCCTCCGACGCTCAAATTCCTCTATCAAAGGAGGAGCTAGAAGACATCTTTCTGGATCTGACAGCTAAATTCGGGTTCCAGCGAGATAGCATGCGAAACATGTACGACCACATGATGACCCTGCTCGATTCACGAGCTTCGCGCATGACGCCCAACCAGGCCCTGCTTTCTCTCCACGCTGATTACATCGGAGGCGACAATGCCAATTATCGAAAGTGGTACTTTGCTGCTCACCTCGATCTCGATGACGCGGTTGGGTTCGCCAACATGAAGTTGGGCAAGGCGAATCGTCGTACACGCAAGGCACGCAGAGCTGCGCAGAAGAAAGCCAAGGAGAACCCGACCAACGAAGAAGCTACCCTCGAAGCTCTCGAGGGTGATAACTCTCTGGAGGCTGCTGAATACCGATGGAAGACACGCATGAACAAGATGTCTCAACACGACCGCGCCAGACAAATTGCATTGTACCTACTTTGCTGGGGCGAAGCAAACCAGGTCAGGTTTATGCCTGAAGCCTTGTGCTTCATCTTCAAATGTGCAGATGACTACCTGCACTCTCCTGCTTGCCAGAACCGAGTTGAACCAGTCGAGGAATTCACTTACCTCAACGATGTGATTACTCCTCTGTACACCTACTGCCGTGACCAAGGCTACGAAATCGTCGACGGCAAGTATGTTCGACGAGAGAGAGACCACAACCAGATCGTTGGTTACGACGACATGAACCAGCTCTTCTGGTATCCTGAGGGCATTGAGCGAATCGTCATGGAGGATAAGAGCCGCATTGTCGATTTAACCCCTGCCGAGAGGTATTTGAAGCTGCGTGAGGTGAACTGGAAGAAGGTCTTCTTCAAGACTTACAAGGAGACCAGATCATGGTTCCACATGGTTTGCAACTTCAACCGTATTTGGGTCATCCACGTCACAACCTTCTGGTTCTACACCGCCTTCAACTCTCCCACCCTTTACACGTCGAACTACCAGCAACAACTCAACAACAGACCGAAGCCTGCCATTCAATGGTCCGTGGTCGCCCTCGGCGGAGCAGTCGCATGTCTTATTCAGATATTCGCTACTATCTGCGAGTGGCTCTACGTGCCGCGGAGATGGGCTGGAGCACAACATCTTACGAAGCGACTTCTTTTCCTCATTGCCATGCTCGTTGTCAACATTGGACCTAGTGCCTACATCTTTTTCGTCAACAGCGACGACAGAATTGCTTTGATACTGGGAGTAGTGCAGTTCTTGATTGCCTTGGGAACGTTCTTCTTCTTCTCGATCATGCCTCTTGGTGGTCTTTTCGGAAGCTACTTGACACGAAATTCTCGACAGTATGTTGCCAGTCAAACATTCACGGCCTCGTATCCTCGTCTCAAGGGTAACGATATGTGGATGTCTTACGGTCTTTGGGTTCTCGTGTTCGCTGCTAAGCTTTCGGAGTCGTACTTCTTCTTGACGCTATCTTTCAGAGATCCCATCAGAATCCTCTCCTACACTGAGATCCGACACTGCGCCGGAGATGCAATCATTGGAACCGTTCTGTGCAAGTACCAACCACAGATCTTGCTCGGAATTATGTTCTTTACTGATCTAACACTGTTCTTCCTGGATACCTATTTGTGGTATATCATCTGGAACTGTGTCTTCTCGGTTGCAAGGTCGTTCTATCTGGGTGTATCGATCTGGACTCCATGGCGAAACATCTTTTCTCGACTGCCCAAGCGTATTTACTCGAAGATATTGGCAACGACGGACATGGAAATTAAGTACAAGCCTAAGGTCCTTATTTCACAGGTCTGGAATGCTATCGTCATTTCCATGTACCGAGAACACTTGCTGGCCATCGACCATGTACAGAAGCTTCTTTACCACCAGGTTCCATCGGAGCAAGAAGGAAAGCGCACCCTTCGCGCACCAACCTTCTTTGTCTCGCAGGAAGATCACTCCTTCAAGACAGAGTTCTTCCCAGCTCAAAGCGAAGCTGAACGACGTATATCCTTCTTCGCTCAGTCCTTGTCAACACCGATTCCTGAGCCGTTGCCGGTCGACAATATGCCAACCTTTACTGTTCTCATTCCTCATTACAGCGAGAAGATTCTTCTTTCTCTACGCGAGATCATTCGTGAGGACGAGCCATATTCTCGGGTCACCTTGCTCGAATACCTCAAGCAGCTGCATCCTCACGAATGGGATTGTTTCGTAAAAGACACCAAGATCCTCGCCGATGAGACATCGCAATTCAATGGTGACTATGAGAAGGCTGAGAAGGACACTGCAAAGAGCAAGATTGACGATCTGCCGTTCTACTGCATCGGTTTCAAGTCTGCCGCTCCCGAATACACACTGCGAACACGAATCTGGGCATCTTTACGTGGTCAGACTCTTTACAGAACTATCTCTGGTTTCATGAACTACAGCCGTGCCATCAAGCTGTTGTACCGCGTGGAGAACCCTGAGGTCGTGCAGATGTTTGGTGGTAACTCTGATAAGCTTGAACGCGAACTCGAGCGTATGGCTCGACGCAAATTCAAGATTGTGGTGTCTATGCAGCGTTATGCCAAGTTCAAGAAGGATGAAAGAGAAAACACTGAGTTCCTCCTTCGAGCTTACCCCGATCTTCAGATTGCTTATCTCGATGAAGAGCCACCGGCCAACGAGGGCGAAGAGCCACGACTTTACTCTGCACTGATCGACGGACATTCTGAAATTCTCGAGAACGGCATGCGTCGACCTAAATTCCGAATTCAGCTCTCTGGTAATCCAATTCTTGGTGATGGCAAGTCCGACAATCAGAATCACGCTATCATCTTCTACCGTGGTGAATACATCCAACTCATCGATGCTAACCAAGACAACTACCTGGAAGAATGCCTCAAGATCCGTAGTGTACTGGCCGAGTTCGAGGAGATGACCACCGAGAATGTCTCCCCATATACTCCTGGTGTACCTCAGCCAAAGACAAACCCTGTGGCCATCCTAGGTGCTCGCGAGTATATCTTCTCTGAGAACATTGGTGTCCTTGGTGACGTCGCAGCTGGCAAGGAACAAACGTTTGGTACTCTGTTCGCTCGTACTTTGGCTCAAATCGGTGGAAAACTGCACTACGGCCATCCTGACTTCCTCAATGGTATTTTCATGACCACTCGTGGTGGTGTGTCGAAAGCACAGAAGGGCTTGCATCTCAACGAGGACATCTACGCTGGAATGAACGCTCTCATCCGTGGTGGTCGCATAAAGCACTGCGAATACTACCAGTGCGGTAAAGGACGTGATCTCGGCTTTGGTTCCATTCTCAACTTCACAACAAAGATCGGTACTGGCATGGGTGAGCAGATGCTTTCTCGAGAATACTATTACCTCGGTACTCAGCTTCCTCTGGATCGATTTTTATCCTTCTACTATGCTCATCCTGGTTTCCACATCAACAACATCTTCATCATGCTTTCGGTGCAAATGTTCATGATCTGTTTGATCAACTTGGGCGCCCTCAAACACGAGACAATTCTTTGTCGATACGACCGAGACGTGCCAATCACAGATCCATTGTACCCAACCGGATGCGCCAACCTCGTACCAATTCAAGAATGGATTGAGCGATGCATCGTCTCTATCTTCATCGTCTTCTTCATCTCCTTCGTGCCTCTGGTCGTCCAGGAGTTGACTGAGCGAGGTTTCTGGCGTGCAGCAACACGTCTAGCCAAGCATTTCGCCTCGGCATCTCCTGTCTTCGAAGTGTTCGTCTGCCAGATCTACTCCAGCTCGCTCCATCAGGATCTATCGTATGGTGGTGCACGATATATTGGTACTGGCCGTGGTTTTGCCACAGCGCGAATTCCATTCGGTGTTCTCTACTCTCGATTCGCTGGACCATCGATTTACCTTGGAGCTCGATCACTTCTCATGTTGCTCTTCGGTACCATGACTGTCTGGTCCGGCTGGCTAGTCTGGTTCTGGATTTCCTGCTTGGGACTGTGTATCTCTCCGTTCATCTTCAACCCACATCAGTTCGCCTGGACCGATTTCTTCATCGATTATCGCGACTATCTTCGATGGCTGTCTCGAGGCAACTCCCGATCGCATGCATCCTCGTGGATTGCCTTCTGCCGACTTTCTCGCACACGAATCACCGGTTTCAAGCGCAAAGCTCTGGGATCTCCATCCGAGAAGCTATCTGGTGATGCCCCAAGAGCACGCATCGGCAGCATTTTTTTCAGTGAGATTGTTGGTCCTATCGTTTTGGTTGCTGTAACTCTCATCCCATATCTCTTCATCAATGGTCAGGTTGGTGTGGAAGACCCAGAGCCTGCAACAAACTCACTGATCCGTGTTGCTGCTGTTGCTTTTGGACCCATTGCAGTTAACGCAGGTGTTCTGGCAGCATTCTTCGGTATGGCATGCTGCATGGGACCTTTGCTCAGCATGTGCTGCAAGAAGTTCGGATCTGTCCTGGCTGCTATCGCACACGGTATCGCAGTATTCATGCTACTTGCCTTCTGGGAGGTCATGTTCTTCCTTGAAGGTTGGCAATTCTCCAAAGCACTTCTGGGCATGGTTGCAGTAGTTGCTCTTCAACGATTTGTGTACAAGCTCATCATTGCACTGGCACTCACGCGAGAGTTCAAGGGCGACCAATCAAACATAGCATGGTGGACTGGTAAGTGGTACTCACTTGGATGGCACACAATATCACAACCAGGACGAGAGTTCCTCTGCAAGATCACCGAGTTAGGTTTCTTCGCTGCCGACTTCATCCTCGGCCACATCATCTTGTTTGTGATGTTGCCTGCTCTTTGTGTTCCATACATCGACAAATTCCACTCAGTCATGTTGTTCTGGTTACGACCAAGTCGACAGATTCGACCTCCTATCTACTCGATCAAGCAGTCACGGCTGAGGAAGCGACGTGTCATCCGATACGCCACTCTCTATTTCGCTCTTCTGGTGCTGTTCCTGATTCTCTTCGTGGGCCCTGTCATTGTCAGTCGCTTCATCGACTTACAAATCAGCATTCCTCTCGACCTCATGCAGCCAACAGGACAAAACAACAACGACACATTCTCGTCTGTGACTGGATCTGCACTTGTCAACTTTGGTCAAGGCGCAGCCCCAACTGGTGGCTCTGGTGGTAGTGGCAGCGGTGGTGGTGGCGGTGGTGGCGGTAGTGCTGCATCGTCGTCGGCTGACAGTAATGATGCACCATTCAGCTTTGGAGGAAGAATGGCAGTCCGATGGGCAACCATCGCATAGGATGTCGATTTCATCAGGGAGAAAGGAATAAAATAGGTGTTGTGGTGAATCATTTCTGAAACATAATATGATAGCAATTGAGAATTGCGCTGGTGATGGTCAGCAAACATCTCTATATAATGACAGCAATAGACAGGAGACAACGGTCAGTGTCAAGTATAGATGAGGCGTGACGGTCAAGTGCCCAGCATGAGACGGGCCAGGCGTTTGGTAGACAATCGTTCTAACATAGTATGAGGTACAAGCTGTATATGAAGTATTCTGCCGATTGAAAATACGACCCTGTCCCTTGACAATTTTCATTGCCGTCTACTTGTTCTCTGTAAATGAAATAAAACCAGAGGTCAAGTCCACCGTAGTCTGCTGATGAGTAAGCTTGAACCCCTTGCGGTCCCCTGTACGTCAATTCTAAATTACCAACCAAACGTGCAATGCCACCACAAAGAGCATCCTGCACTCTCACGCATAATATTGTCGTCAAGAAAGAACTGCGCTGTATGATCGGCACAAAGTTTACTTCTCGAGCTATCCTGAGAATGCTTGTGCTACAGTTTGCCTGTTGATCGTGGAGCGTATGCAACGACTGTTCACTCTTTTCGCGCGACTATTATGGCGACCACATCTAACCTAACCACAGCATCAGATGTCCTGTCAACTCATATCTTCAGCATCTTGAACTCGGTTTCCGAACAATTCCACAAACTCCCAGGTTCAGCCATCTTCCTTCGCTACGTTAAATCCTCGTACCAGAACGATCCAGTACGTAGCGCGGTCGAACTCTTCCTTGTACTTTTTGCGATTCGCTACCTCCTCGCTCGATCGTATAGCACGAAACCTGGTAAAGTACGACTTACCGAGGAAGAGATTGATGATTTGGTGGACGAGTGGCAGCCTGAGCCTTTGGTAGGCAAGAACACTATCTTCGAAGACGCCGACCTCGAGAAGCGAGCCGTGATCGTTGGACCTACGGGACCAAAATGTCGACTTCAAACAGGGCGTACGGTGACGAATCTCGCTTCATACAATTTCTACAATCTTGTCAGTAATGAGCAGTTGAAAGAACGAGCTATTCAGACACTACGCACATACGGTGTGGGACCTTGTGGTCCACCTGGCTTCTATGGAACTCAGGACGTACACATGAAGATCGAGGCCGATATTGCTGCGTTTCTAGGAACTACGGCATGCATAATATATGCACAAGCATTCAGCGCTGCAAGCAGCGTGATTCCAGCATTCAGCAAGAGAGGGGACATCATAGTTGCGGATAAGGCTGTAAACTATAGTATTCGCAAAGGTTTACAGATATCAAGAAGTCAGGTGCGATGGTATGAGCATGGAGATATGGCTGATCTGGAAAGGGTGCTGGCTCGAGTGCAGAAAGAGCAGGCTGCAAAGAAGCAGTTGACAAGGAGATTTATTGTCACCGAGGGCTTGTTCGAGAACACTGGCGATATGGTCGATCTTCCCAAGATTATTGAATTGAAATTGAAGTACAAGTTCCGACTAATACTGGATGAAAGCTGGAGTTTTGGCGTACTAGGTCGCACTGGAAGAGGTGTGACGGAGCACCAGCATGTCGATGCTGCGGAGGTTGACATGATCATTGGAAGCATGGCTGGACCATTAACTGCTGCCGGAGGCTTCTGTGCTGGGTCTGACGAAGTCGTCGAGCACCAAAGACTCTCTGCTGCTGCCTATACATTTTCAGCTGCGCTCCCTGCGATGAGCGCAGTAACAGCATCAGAGACACTCACGATGTTGCAAACGCAACCGGACATGATCACGTCATTGAGAGAGAATACCAGGATTATGTGGCAGCAACTAGACCCAAGAAGCGACTGGATGACCTGCACGAGCGTGCCTGAAAATCCTATCATGATGATGGTCTTCAAGGCTGACGTTATTAACTCGAAGCGACTCTCATTGGAAGACCAAACACTGTTGATTCAAGACATCGTAGACGAGGTAAGTGCCGTCGGTCGACCATAGACCCGCGAAATAGCTAACGAACCATAGTGTCTAGCCCAAGGTGTCCTTGTGACACGAGCAAAAGCGCTTTCGGCAGCGGCTTCGGGAGCCAAATCAGACATATACACTCATCGGCCTGCTCTGAAGATATGTTTGACTAATGGTCTGTCGAAGAAGGAAGTAGAAAAAGCAGGAACTACAGTCCGGCACGCTATTACGAAAATTGTGACCAAGAAGAAGTAAACGGTGCACCCTGTATGGATATGTAATAATATGCTTAGTTCATGGCGATGGTGTTCGAGTGCGTGGTTGGTGTTGTGCAGAATAAGATAGTCCGGTGAATAATATGTGGACATAATTTGATGTGAGAAGACGTTTGCAAAACGAACAAGTTTGTCCAGGCAGCTGCTTCTGGTAGGGGTTACTGTAGGTCCATACGATGAACTTCAAGTTGCAACAAAATGAAAACCCAGAATAGATCTTCCCCAAGACGTGATTCTGTCAACGGACGACTCAAACCTCGTTACCAACGAATACACTTGATCACAGGAAGATAGAGAGGCTGGTGAGATATGTGTTATTGATACGTATATCGATATCAGAAACACGAATGGACATCGGCTCTCATGCGATCTACGTTGCCATTCTCTCTGTTGTGTATGACAGCGTTTCAGCCAAGCGGCATCATACGAAGCTTTGACACATTCGGATCGCCAAGTCTAGAGCTTGGACTTCAACTTCAAACATAGACCTGCTCAGCCTTGCATGTTAATCACTTCCATGCTCCTTGACTGTTGACAAGTATTCTAGATATGATCCTTTCACATTCTGCGTTGCGCATGACCCAGAGATGGCGCATTGTGTCAGGTTTTGTCCTATCACAGCTGCACGAGGCACAGGAACACTCGTACAATCGAGGAAGGCAACGTAGCCTCAACTCGGTTCCGCGCGAGTAAGGAGGGTCACTGTGCAATCGAGGTTGTTGGAAAGTAGAAAACGAATCAGGATGGTATCTTATCTTCACCAATTGACAAACACTTCACTTCCTCTGTCCCATGCCTGGCGGACTTCTACAAACGCTGCAAAACTGCAACAAAGAGACCAACGTGCATTTCCACTCATTCAAGAGTGTTTACTGCTGATACTATGGATACTCGTACTCCCTCGCACCCTTCTTGCCGCAGCATCTGGTGAACAGACACCTTTCGCAGGTACAGCCGCATTGTATCCGTGCGGACGCTTACTGCGTCACATCTCGAGATAAACGGATTGTGACTGCACCTGCCAATATGAGTTTCAACTCACATGGAGTGGTTAACCCGACAATCCACTAAGGTACCAAATACTCTATACATTAGACCTCCGACCTCCCTGCCCGTCTTTTTGGATAATATTACCTAGAACCTAAGATCAGCACAAGGTACGTTGAGCTCTATTATGTCATCTATCAGCACGGACAGTGAAAGTGCACATTCCAAAAAGCACAAGCAAGTTGCCCCAGGTGCACGTGCATCAACAACAAGGACCAACAACAAAGCACAGGAGCAGGATGACTACACCCTCCTCTTTGTGGTTCTTGATTGTCGATCTCTCTCTCTCCTCCGCTGCCCTCGTTCAAGCTTTGTTCTGGGTGATGTTTTCAGCCGTCAGGCTTTTCTAGTCCTTCATTCACTAATTATTGTGCTATGCTATAGCTGTCCACTCATTTTCGACCCCGTCACTCATTACTACAGTACAGAAGGAAATCCCTAGATATCCAAGAAAGCTCGCAATGAAGATTGTAGCTTTCCTAGCCACAACTAGTCTGGTGCAAGCCGGGCTAGCCTCTGCTATCCCAGCTTGTGAGTCTTTTTGCGCACGAGACTTGGACTTTGCTGACGAGACCACAGTCGAGCACAATCGGTTCCATGACGCAAAACGAGACACAGCACCCGTCGTGGTAACCGAGACAACCACTTTCTACCAGACTGTGGTATGGGTCGATCGCAATGGCAAGCCAGTCAGCACGGAGATAAATGACCCTCCACCAGGCGCAGCGACCTCGTTAGCTGCATCTTCCTCTCCCTCCTCAGTACCAAGTCCACCTTTCGGTACAATAGCAGGGTCGGACTTTGGTGCGCGCAAGCGGCCATCGATGAGCCGAGATCCTCCACCCCAATCCGCATCTCCTACCATTCAGAAAACCTCCTCCCTCCCAAGTAGTGAACCACAAGCCGAGCCGTCGTCTACCAACATACAACCACCGCAAAGTAGCGCCACAGGAAGTCCGAGTTCTGGAGGAAGTGACACTGTCGCTCCTGGTGGAATGGGAATATGCTACGACATGATCGACAGCAGCACCAACTGCAAGAAGCCAGATACCATCAGCGCTGAGTTCGGATTCCTGCGGTCTCAAGGCTATGGCATGGTACGTGTCTACGATGTTGGCTGCCCGATCGGTGACTTTATTGCTGCTGCTTCAAGCCAAGGCTTAAAACTAATGATCGGCACCAACTCAATAAAACCGCAAGATCTCGACATCCTCATTGGTATGGTGAATGGCAATTGGGGTCCAGTAGACACCGTCTACCTTGGCAATGAGCTCGTGCAAAACGGCGCTGCGTCCTCGGGTGACGTGGCGGCCTATGTTAACACGGGTCGAGGCATTCTGAGGGCCAAAGGCTTCAATGGAAACGTTGTCACCGTCGATACTTTCTTCGTGATGCAGAACGACCCTACAATATGTTCTACATCCGATTACTGCGCTGCCAACGCTCATGCCTTTTTCGATCCCAACACATCAGCCGAGAATGCCGGTACATCCGTGCTGAACTCTTATGCCGCTGTTCAGGCAACAAACCCAGGCAAGAAGGTCGTTATTACCGAGTCTGGTTGGCCATGGAAGGGTAGCTGCAACCAGAAAGCATGCCCGTCAGTCGAGAATCAGAGAACTGCTATGAACAGTGTCATCCGTGCATTCGCTGACAAGCCGGGCAATCTATATCTCTTCCAGGCCTACAATGCAGGCTACAAAGGACCAGGCGCATATGGCGTGGAGCAATTCTTTGGCATCTACGACTCAGACCACTACGCCGGTGGAATCGGTTCCTCAGCATGATAAGTCTCGACTCGACTCGACTCGACTATTCACCCAACTAGAGAAACGCAAGGTCGTACGGCTCATCAACGACAGAATCATCACCGCTTCCTTCAGTTGTCAACACGGACACCAAGCTCACATGAATGATTCTCAATGAACGCTCAACGCAGCCACAATGTCCTCATTCCGCGCTCTCGGAGGCAGATGGCAAATTGGATGATATATACAACCAACTGCATAGGTGGTGCGCATGCAAAGAAGACAGGACACCCTTTTGTCCCACAGATTGAAACGTGTTACATAAAATTTTTTCCTTTAGATACCAATCTTCGGCATAACCCTTGAATATCAGAACTTGTTTCCTGTTAAATGTGAAAATTGGACAATTTTTCTCTCAAAACTTGTTATTCTCTTTGGACGAGAATTCTTCTTCTTCTTGGAGGCGTGGTGTTATTGAGTTCACGGTGGTTGAGCGACAATGATCGTTTGCTTCCTTCTTAGATGGAAGCGATCGCGACAGTGCAAGGAAGGACTATTACGATCTAGTAAATGGTAAGATATTCGTAAATTGTGAAGAAGAATTTAGCCAGCCATGGTTGAGTTCTTCGTTTAACGCCTGGGTCTAACCGCCTTCGCGTCCATTTCACAGACATGACAAAATTTCCACATTCCCACCATCTGTTTATTCATTCACTCCTCATTGTCAAAATCCTCCCAACTTTCCTTCGTTCGGAGATGAGGCACCGCCGTCCGTGCGCCGTCACTAATTCCGAGGCCAGTCCCAGCGCTAGCAATTTCATCAGGACTTTTTGCGTCGCTCTCCGCCTCTACCTCTGCTTCGTGTTCCTCGTCATCGCTCAGAAACGGGCTCTTTTCAAGGTCAATGCGAGGACCTGGGACAGCCCGAATGGGAGCCTGACCGGGTGGTGCGAGAACGGTTTGTTGGACGTGTATGGGGTGGAATTCTTGATCTGTTTCGGTCAAGGGCTGGAGACTGCTGCTTCTTGGAGGATGGCGATGAGGTTGTTCGACTGGGTTGATTGGTGATGGGTAGCTTTGATCGTGTTGGGAGTTGGTGGTGAGGTGCGTGTGCTCCAGACATTCTTCGACTTGCTGTACGGCCTGTTCCTGTGCTTGATTTAGGGCGTCGCTGACTGAACGTTTTGGGGTGTGGGAGGTGGTAGGAGAAGTAGGTGATCTTGCTGGATCTAGTGTCTTGTCTCTGACTGGCGAAAACGGGAAATGATCGGATGCGGCTTCAGTCGGTGGTGAGAAGGGATTGTGCTCTGCGACGGTATTGATCGAGGGCAGTGTCGCTGAAAATCTGCCAGGTTCATTATCGTGCTCCTGTTGAAGATCCTTGCTCTTGCGCATACGCCATCCTCTCCGTGCTTTGGGAGCCGGCGGCGGACTCTTCGTTTGTGGCTTGCTTCGATGGTTGGGAGACCGTCGTCCTGAACTGCTTGCTTGGGACTCTATACTCAATTTTCGCGGCAACTCTATTTGCACGTCAAGTTGCTGTATTTCCACTGCATCTTGATATTTGTCGTTCTCTTCTGTTTGAATTGGAGGCGACATCTGAGCATTATCCAGCCCTTCCGCGGTTATAGCTGTCTCAGTCTGACTTGAATGAATTCTTGGCCTCATAAAGCCCGAGCGACGAGACTTTGGTGGTGCAGGCTTTTCTTTCTTGCCTGTAAATATGGCTTGTCTTAGACCGTGCTTGAAGCTTGGATTCCGGCTAGGTGTTATTACGCCCGGCTTCTCTTTCTGCTGAGCCATCTCAGCCATACTCATACTCGACTGGCGTGCACCTTCCAGATGTGGAGTAAGGAAGCCGCCAATGGTCAATGTCGAACCTTTAGAGGAGTCACGTTTACGCAACTTTCGAGGAGCGGGCAATTGTGGTGGTTGAGGTTTGGTGGGCGACATAGGCGAACTTGGCTCACTTGTCGTTTCATCTATTGGAGAATCCATTCGGACCAGATCAGTCTCCGGATCGGACAACCAGCTGACGCCTTGACAGCGTTTGACGAGCCGTTTGGTTGTATCGTCGACATCTTCGAAATGGTTCCAGGCGCCGCCTGGCAGAGAAGACCCATCTTCATGCTCGACGCGATCACCACATAGTAAGGCCAGCAGCTTGCGTATCTCCTGCCTCTTGTAGTAGGGTGGGAACTGAAGCTGAGTGTGTTCGAGGAGGGGATAGAGGACTCGAAGATAGGTGTGTCGAAGGGCAGAAGCATACTCTGGCAAGTCTAGCAGATTGCGGACTAGTATGTCCACAAGAACGTGTAGGTCGTTGGTGTAGAAATATTCGTAGGTGGGAGGCGTAGTGAATAGAAGGTACATGAGCTTTAAGGTCAACAATTGAAGTGAAGTTTCGTCTAGTGGAATTAGTCATGCTCAGCGTGTATGTGTAGCAATTCGAGCAACGCACCTTCGCGATTAAGTAATAGAATAATGTTTGCGCCAAACGTCTTGTATCGGCTTCCATGGGAGGAAAGTACCTTTACCACCTTGTTGGTTAAAGGCGTTGACTTTTTCGCAAGTACAGCAGGATCATGAGCAGCAACCATGAACTGCTCGTTCAAAACAAGCTGGTATATGGTTAGCTCAATTCCCTTCTTCCCACAATCGCACCTACAAGAACTCGAATAACAGGGTAATGGTATGGGTCGTTTACATCGTGGGAAACTTGTTCAATAATGTCAAACAAGCCGGAAACAAATTCGTCGTGAACACATGCTGCGGTAGCTGTCAGCACGTTTTCTTCTAGCACAGCGCATGCTTCTCTTTCATACTCAAATCATCATTCGTAATCTTTTGTACTCTGGCCAACTCATAGAGCAGCTCCATAAGTGTTCTGTGTACAGACTCTTCATCCCGGTGAGGATGAGCAATCAGGTCAATCAGACGTGGAAAGCAACCCTCGTTGTTGAGCAGGTCAAAGGTCTGCTCATTCTCTCGTGCATCGGCAAGCAGAAAGGTGACAGCAATGCGCAGGTGCGTGGGTTCATCATCCTGAAGCAGAGAGTAAATCAATTGCCGACGAATGTAGGCCGTATGCTCCGTAAAGAGAGGTGATGCATATAGCAAATATGCGCAGTGACCCAGGTGTTCGTCTGTGGCAATGTAGTCTTTGTGGTGAGCGTCGAGAATCTCTAGGTAGGATCGCAGAGTGTCGTCGATGGCGTCGTGATCAGGACAGGGCGATGCAAGCACGTCCTCGATCTTGTCCCAGAACTCGTCTGCCGTCGGGTATTCATTGTCGACCAACCGTTCCATGCTATTGCTAGCTTCATATCGTCCTATTCATTGGATTTGAAGAACGAGAGATCGAAGCAGAGAGTGGAAGTGATGGGCTACGTGGTCGCGTGTGAGCTCAGGTAATGATATGGACAATGGTACTGTCAGTCCACGCGGTGTCGTGATGGAGGACGTTCGTAACAAAGGAATTTACTGACGCTGTTGGTGACGTCTGCGGTTGGTGTGGACCGTGACCAGGTTCGAGTTACAGGGAGCCCAAGCCTTCTTGGCGCGAAGGAAGTGTTCCCGCAGCGAGAACGACTGCTGGGTCCAATTCTATTTTCAGCCTCTGCCTCTGAAATCGAGCGCATGTGTATGGAAATGTGCTCCTATGCTATCTAACTGGGTCAACCCTCCGGGATTTTCATGAGATGAGCCTCTGTATTGAGAGTCCATTCATCCAAACTCCAAGCAGTAGGCTCTTCAAAAAGCAAATAGAAATACTTCAACGTCTCTGCTAGCCAGAAGCTCTCCATCGAATCATCTAACTCTCCAATCTGACTAGTAACATCCTCCATTGCTGCGTTCGCGACCACTGTCTGTGTTGCACCCTGTACAGCCTGAAACATTTTCCAGCCTTTCTGTCTCCAGGTTTCATCGCCTGTCAGTCGATACATGTAGAATACTGACTCAATCGCCTCTGGTCGAAGCCCGTAGTGACGCGCTTCAAATTTCGTGTATGATGGTGGGAGTCGCTCCTCCTGAATACGTGCTTTCACGTGTTTTTCATGGGAAAGCGCGACCTTCGGAACAAATTGAAGCGGCTCCTTCTCATCCGCCAACTCTCCCGTTTCGCGATCGATTTCCCCCTCAGAATCATCATTTACTTCCTTCCTCGCTCTGTCGTATATTGCCTCCTGGTTCTTATTCCACGCCTCGACCGCAGCGAACCTCTCTTCCTTGTCAGGGTCAAGTGCTTCGTGCCATCTTGTTTCGTTCCATGCACAAACATCCAAATCCGGGCACGGTACGATAGCAGCTAGTTCAGCCATCACACCTGTAGGTGTCGAAGCGTATGCCCAAACACAGCCGTCTGTAAGCTGCTTAGCGAGCTCCAGGTCGCTCTCTATACCAAACAACCTTGACCCGAGCCCAAACATGCCTCCAATAAAGCACGATAGGTGGGTGACCTCGTACGTAACAACGTGCCTTTTCGCTTTGGCTTTGGCTTTCGGTTTGAACTCATGTCGGGCGGCGAAGAGGATTTCACGATTAGTGTCCTTGATCATTGGTCTGAACAGAAGCTGGTCTCGCACAGTGTGAAGAGCATTCTTGTACATGGCCTCGAATTGACGAGAACGGCCTTGCAAAAGAGCATGCATTTTCGGTAAATATTCGTATGTTGAATCTGCTTGGCCACCGATACCGTATATCTGAGATTTGAAGTTGGCCTCAGCAGACAGGCCTTGGGGCGTGCACGCCACAGCTAAGACTTCCTGGTTTTGCTCTTTTGGCAACAAAGTATCTCTCTCCTTCTCCATGAGAACTGAAGGTGGAGGCACGCTTCTTTCTGCGATATGACCACTATGCCTTTCTTCTTGGTCCGATGTGAATTCCTTCGGCTTGATGGCAGGCTCTTCCCCATTAATGTCAAACTCTTCAGTCTTGGAGTTATCGACTTTCCCTTCTCCGTTCTCGCCGTTCTTCCCTCGACGTGCTGCCTTCCCACAACCCGAAGCGTCAACCTTCAACGGCCACAGTCCCGGCATCAAAGTCTTCGGCTGCCACTTCTCAAGCTCATTAGTGATTCGCGCCACAGCATCGTAGTAGACATCCCTCTTCGTTATCTGTGCCAGACGCGTCATCTCGATAGATAGGGACCCCAGCTCAGCCATGACAGCATGTGCACTTGCTCGACGCGGCCGCGACGTATCTGAAGGAGCCCAGTTGTAGAAAGTCAACGGCATACGATTCGGCGTGTCGAATGCGCCTAGTAGGATCTCTGCCAACTGTTCCGTCTTATTGAGAAGTATTGGATATTTGTGCTCACTGACATCGTAAGCGCCTAGCAGACCACCAACATACCGAATTACTGTCTCGAACAGTGGGATGTCCTTCCTCGCTGATGATTTGAAGTCGATTTTCTCAACCAAGAGTAGAGCTTCTTCAAACTCCTTTGTCATTCCCATTATCCATAACGTGTCAAGAGTATCAACCAGTGTAGCTCCCCAACCCATAAAGGGGTCAGCAAATCCCTCAGACAGTGGCTTCACCTCATCATGAGGCAGACCGTATCTCTTGTAGCCGTTCCACGCGTGCTTGAATGATCCTTTGATGACACTGAGCTTCCTGAGCCTGTCTTTTCGAGCAGCTGATGTCTCCTCCTGCAAGACAGCTTGTACCCTGGGCAGTTTCCGAGCAGATCCTGAGGGTAACCCTATGATTTCGTCCTCGGGGAATGGAAAGTGTATAATGGGTTTCTGCCAATGGATTTTCTCGTCATCGTCCGAATCCTCGTCGACCTCGTACCTGCCGGTGTTTTCGTCGTCGAGCCCACTAGTTGAGCTCTCATCCTTGAACAGCAGTTCCTCACTAGTGATCGTTGGCTCGGCAAGTTTCGTGGAATAAGTCGTCGAGGAGTCGAGGTCAGTGCTCGTACTAGGAGAAGATATTACACGAGTTTCGGATGTCGTTGCCGGTGAATCTGCTGCTTCTTGGTCTGGAGGAGGTCGCTGAGGTACCACAAGCGGATTATTGACGACGGGACGTTCTGCTGTGGGATCGTTCTTGAGGTGGACGCGCCCAACACGCTCGGCGTCGGTCGTTTCCCATGATGCACGAGTAGTCAGGTAGTAGACCGAGATCGCCAAGGATATCGCGACGAGTAAAAGTAACCGGTATCGTCGCACTGCGAACATTGTGGTAAGAGTATGCGCCAGCGCTCATCCACACGGGCCGCCTGCACCTAATTTAGTCCTCTTGGGGACAACGACATGTCTGACCGTTCGTCTGGTGAGACTGAACGATGGGCCGAGACGAGCGGAAATGAGAGCGCAAAATCGATTGTGCTGACCTCAGGCTGGCTGCTTCCATTAATCGTGCAGTACAGCTTCGATGGGCTCGTTAGCACCAGCTCAGCACGTGAGCGCGTCGATCATGTTGTACTCCAAATAAGTCGAGAAATGTTTCTCACCACGGCTGAATTAAGATAGGAGCCTGCGACGTGCCTCGACGCTCTCGGGATACCACTAACGCATGAGATGAAGTCGACAACGGCAGAAACATACGTTGTTAGTGCTCTAAAAAACTGAGCACCCACATACAACTGTTAGGAGCAGATCATGAGTTCTGGTATCACGCGTTCATTCCAGTCATTTCAACTTATTTTCGATGTGTAGAACGACTGCTTCTACGAAGATGCTATTACTGCTCGTAACCTCCTTTCCAGATCGACCAGTGCACTCTCTTGCCGACCTAGCACTTGGAATCCATTCAGTGGTTTCCTCTTCAACAGATTACCTATGCTAACACATATCGCCACGGTTTCGGACAATGTTGTTCTGGCCTCTGTTTGCAGCTCTCCTGTTTGTCTGCTTGGCTGCCCCTGCTCTGGCGATGGTTTGTCATCGTTTTCGCTCAAGAAAGACTCTTCCAAGAATTCCTGCTCCGGACCAGCTTCAACACGAGCTAGCAATTGCTCACAGCTCTTTGTCAGATGTGTCATAATGGCTGTCAGTAACAAGTGACAGGTATATTGCGTGCGAATATTGCTGCTTCTCATCAGCCACCTCAGTACCGCATTCGTCCTGTTGACATGTGACAACAATGCATGGTACGGCAGTTGCTCGCGACTGGACAATCGTTTCACATGTGCCAGTAACTGAATGCATCGTGCCTCATCATCTTCTTCGTCGTCCTCGTCCGTAGAAGCGCTCATCTGCTGTGTCACGTCTATCGCTTGCCCAAAATTTATCGGTATTGCGCTGGGTGCTGCTTCCGTTTCGGTCGGAGAAAAGAACCTCATCTCTGGAGGACTTGTTGACGGTGTAGGTAATCCGACGTTCATCACGTACGAGACCTCTGGCATGACGCTTGTCTCCGTTGTCTGACACATATCCAGGTTCAAAAATTGTTCGTCACATATCGAGAAGTCCAGCGAAGCTTGATCATCGAATTGTACAAGACTGCCCCAGTCATTCGGTACACAAGTTCGCTTATTGTGTGGTTCGGAGACATTCGTTGGTGCAGGTGAAGGCATAGTTGCAGGACCAACGTTGACAGCCCATGGATTAGCACTCATATCACTGAACTTGGACTGCGGTAGTGGTCGCTTTCTTCGCTTTCCAACTACCTTCCCAACCATCGACTCGCTATAAGTGCATTGCAGTTTCTTCTCGGCACATCGCTTACAGCCTTCCTTGTTACCATCACATCGAACCTGCCATATTGGTTAAAGTCGGTCCCAAAGGAAACACCGTATCATACATACTTTGGCAGCGAAGCAGGAGTTACAAGCCGAACGTAGTTTGACTGGCTTGGCACTCCCCGACTTTTTGATTTCTGTTGCTGCTTGCGAACTGTTTGAGGTTAGCTAGGATGATCGACCAGACTATTGTAGATACTTACGTGCTTAGCATGTCAGACATGATGGAGGAAATTTCTTCGTGTATTGAGAGAGTAGAGTGTGCTTGAGGCTATATTTTGTTCTAGGCGATTGAGGTTGATGAACCTGAACGACCCTATGTTGCTGATAGTTGACCAGGATCAGGTTCGGATATTCATTCCACGAGGAGGAGATAAACTTCCGGAAGAAGGAACGAGGCGTAGATAAAACGAGTAGGTTAGTAGCAACTCACGTACACGATTCTCCCGGGTGGAGGCAGGATAAGGAGATTAACAGAGATTGTATTAGTATACGTGGTCTTCAGGGGAAGCACAACAAGCCAACATCGAGGCAGATGTAGCAGACTGGAAGTGTAAAGGCTGCATTATGAGCAGGACTAATGTTGTCAGACCCTTTCCTATTTGATCGTCGTCCCTTCTTCAGCTGCGGACGAAAGTGGAAAGCTTGAGACTATCCGCCCGTTTTGGTCTGGTAGGGCTTCACAGGTGGAAAGCGACAAAAAAGGACTTGGCGTAATACGAGGTGGCTGCTGCTGTGACTTACTGCTTATCATTCGCTTGGACATCGTGTTTGCTTTCTGGCTCCTCAGAGCAGACTCGTTGTACGCCGTATCTCTCCTTGATTAGACTTCGATTTACAGATCGTGGCTGGCCTTAGTTCTAGGCAGGGGTGGAAGTCTGGTCGGGTCGACCCAGATAGCTTGTCATGGTGGCACAAGCACCTTTCCTAAAGCGTCAGGATGATCTTAAGGATTTTCCGCAGGAGCCTCAAACGAAAAGTCTACGAAAACGTGGTTTGTGTGTCTGACCCCGTCCGGGTCAGCAAAAATGTCGGCATATCTCACCAAAATTACAGGCGTGACCCCGACACTTCCGCCGACCGAGACGTGCTGACATGTTCAAAAGCCTTTGTGTTACGAAAAGGGGCCAGAGACATCAGACGAAGATCCACAAACGTGGAGGAACGAATCGTGGGAGCCAAAGCAGCCAATCAGTAAAGCAAGAAAAGGGGACGAAATGATGGCGTTTTCTATCGTGAGCATGTTCTAAATTGGTGGTGTCAAGCCGCACACGAACTCATCTGCAAACTAACTTCTTTGAGGATGCGCAATATCATTTTGCTACAACATCTTGACCAAGGCTGTATGGGGCGCCAAGTGCTCATATGATATCATGGTTGATATGAAGTCGTCTAGGCATAGATAGAGAGTCTACTTCACAAGGCACTACGGCAGACTGCGTCACATCTAGCTGTAGCATACATTACGAACACCTTCAGGTTCCTGCTTACATGGAAGCATGGGCCAGTGACAACATTTTTCTTATCCGTCGTGTAGAGACCAACAGCATGCAGCTCCCGGATCCCATTCTGCGCAATGCAAAATATCAGTACCTCACGAACGCAGGTATGCTCAGAGTGAAGGTATTGCTCGAGCTAATGACCCCTGTCATACTGCTTCCTTTTCTTCCTCTCAATAATTTGCCAAGGACTAGCTGAACGTGCACTCTGACACTCAGCTCAAAGCCTTCATAAATTCTGTCAGGGACATTGAATCGTGAGTAACCAAATATCAGTAATACAGAACGAGATGCATACACCAGCAGCCAGAATCTCAGGCAAGGACCATCCCAGGTAAGCTTACAGATTTGAACTCTGGTAGTTTTCACATCCTTTCGCGTCCTTCCGCGCTCACGTAGCGATTCGTCGCGCCGCGCCAAGCAGTGAGCAAGGGACGAAAGAGTGGGGAAATTCGGGCCCTGCTGACATGCATGATGTGCAGAAAAGCTTGAACATTGGAGCTCTGCCTGAATGTCGCTATTTTTGGTCTTCAAGCACATAGTATTGTTTCACTATCGTGCAACAACACCAGTCTGAAGTACTCTCGAACGCTGTCAGCAGTATTTGTCTCACTGTCGCAATTAACGAAACCGCAACAGCTCTTTCCCATGCTGCAGTCGCGTCTCCTTGTGTCTTCGCATTGACCTGATGGACTTCTACTGGTCGGCTTCTTAATATCCTTGGTCTGCAAATCTGGGCCTGGTATGAGCGCTACGAGTGTGCTCCAAAGGCTCACCTCCAGGACCAGCTCTGGAATTCACCTGGAAAGCATTCCGACTCGCCCTAATCAGAGTACATTTCTACCTTGAGAGCTGCAGGTCTGTTATCAGCGCTTCGGAAGTCTATATGTCCTTCCACCTGCGGTACCGAAATCCGGGTCCAAATCTTGCACGACTTCGCATCAAGCATATCACGATCATGTCATAGAGGGTCCAGACGCAATTCTGGTAGGCTAGGAATGTTAGGTTGAAATCTTGTAGGGACATCCCGAAGTGTCCGCAAAGCTTGTTGCCCGCAAGGATATCGACGTGTTCGGAGCCCTCCATATCATGAACTTTCGATGTGGCACGACTTGTAAATGTAACAGTAGCATTTGTGAGTCGGGCGGACATTCTTCACACTACAGCGTTCCCACGCTTGTCGTCGTCTTGAGCTCGTTGAAACTGTTTGATCAAACCAATGACACCTCCACCATCAATGAGTGCTTGGGGATCCATATCGCCCTCGTCCTCATCAACGAGCTCGTCTCCATCTTTCCAGCTCCCGAGATCGCTAGCTGACTGAACAGCATGACTTGTTGATACCTGCTTCCCTCCATCTCCGTCCGTGACTGTATCTTCGTCTTCCTCTTTCAGCGCCGTACTCATCATTGTTTCTCCCGAGGTCGGGAGGATACGAGAAGCAAGCTCTGTTCGTCTCGTCCGTAGTGAAGGTGGCGAAACAAACGCTGGCTTTCCGATTTGGGGTTGGTGGTGAGGATCCAACAGGACGCTTTGTTGAGGAGAGAAGAGGTCTCTTCTTTGATTAGGTTTTCGGGCATTTGTTAGAGATGCTGGAGGATAAATACTCACTGATGGATCTTGCTCTTGAGTATTGCGATCTTGATGTGGCAGTGGGGATAGTGGTCCCGGAAATGGTGGCGGAGCATGAAACTGTTTTGCCTTGTGTCTGCCAGTGTACGAGAATCTTATGTCTGTCTTGGGGTTCTTGCTATAATCATTGAGGAAATTGTAATAGCTTTGCTCCAGCTTGTCGTCCTTCGTGGCGTAATATTCTTGCTCACGAGCCTGTGAGGCACGTGTGGCAGGATTGACCGCCCTGGTTCCAGCATTGGCACCCGATCCAGTCTGAGCTGTTTTCTTGAAATTGAATTCTGCGAAGGAGCAGACATATCCAAGGCCATCGACATTAACGGTAAACTCGCGGAAAAAGTCAATGATCCGATCGCTGCATCTGGGCAGAGAAAACCAAAGCACAAAAGGAGTGAAAACCATGCTCAGCAGCTCTTCTAGAAGGACTAGGATGTGCATCTGGTAGAGCTGTTCAAACTCTGATTTCACGTCCACTGTATGTAAACGTTCGTTCCAGTGAGCTGGTTTGTAATGCGTGAACTCTATGACTTCCTCCATGCTATAGGAGGAATCGTAGATCATGTTGTCGTCCGGCAGCATGCCTCGTGCAACAGCCCAGACAGAGCCGAAAACACCAAGGTAAAAGATTGTGGTACGTCCGTTTGTGATTTCAAAGCTCAGGAAGCTCTCTTGGTCTAAAATTGTTGCCAGACCAAGTACCGAGATAATAGCTCCTGATATTAACGCAACAAAGCGGGCGAGCTGAACGGTTTTATCCTTGGGAAATTGATTGACGTATCTCGTGGCAAATGGATGTGACATCTTTAGTCGTCGCTCAAAGAGATGCCACAACTCGTTGAACTCTCGAAACTTCCAATGTGCATAGTTGTTGTATTGCCTAAAGCCAAGTTGAGCGGGCTCCTTTTGATATTCGTTGAAGCGTTGAAAGAAATTGCCAACAACGTTATATGAGATCAGAATTGGAGCGAAGAGGAGGCTCATGAACCCAGCGAAGATGAAGCGTCGTTGCAGACCTTCACTCAACGCTTTCCTATGAGTGTCTTTCAGGAACAATTGTCTGATCTGTCCCTGTGGATTGAAGACGTAGTCCATGACACAATAATTCAGGTGCCACTCCAATGTTTTGGTGAAGAACTGCCGTGAGCCAAGAAACGGCAGAGCTAGGGTCGTGTCAATGACTTCCTTATTGATCATCGCGATCATGTAGTTGTCTTTGCGCATCAGCCTGTTCGCAATGTCGTGTGCATCCATTCTTTGCTTGCTCTGAGTACCCATAAAATTCTTGGCTCTTGTGGTAGAGGATGTCTTGATGTTTGGGTTAGAATCTCTCAACGCCATCAACCTTCTGACCACTTCTTGCCACGAGATCGATTGTATCTCGGATTCAGGAACATTCAATAGATGGTGGTAGAAATCGTGCAGGTGATTCAGTCGCCTTAGATCCAAGAGATATTGGAAACTCCGGATGATGCAGACAAAAGCAGTAACCCACAAGACAAGGTTTGGAAGAAAGCCCATACGAGTAGTGCATCGTTTCACCAATATCTCCTCCAGTTTTGTGCTTCCTTTAATTTTGGTGTAATCGACACATTGTGTGAGGAACAGGCAAAAGCCGATGACAAAAATCAAATTCAGCAGGTTCAGGGTGCGTTTGAGGACTATGGACCAGTAACCTCGCGAGGTATAGTACTCGTACACATCGGCGAGGAAATTGTCAAGATTGCGGACATTGGCCCACCTCCACATAGCCTTTTCTTTCGAAGTCGCAATAGCCGTAGTACTTGTAGGGAAGGACGTTGTCGCTGGAGCATAGAGAGGCAGACTCTCCTCGTCGTGATGCAAACGAACTGGTGAAGGTGATTGCCAGTGCGTACATGTGCCCTGTACAGCAGGTGGTGATAGTGAGAGTCTCTTATTTCGTCCCCGATGTAGGTCCTCAATCAGCAGGGATGCAGGGACATCGTCTTCAACATCGTCGGATTCAAGACCATTCACACCTCTCTGGGCGGAACTTTTCTGACGTCCGCCCGATCGACCTGGGCCTGCCGTTTGAGCTTGACTAGATAATGGATAGGCATTGGAGGCACGGGTGCGTGAGCTCGGATATCGTGGCGGGTCGTGATGGTACGTGGTATCGGTGTCAGGCTCGTCGTCTAAATCACTCGGTTCACGGTCGTGTTCGCGGATGGTCTCGTAGATTGAGGCTGTCGCTGGATCAGTGGTAGGCCGAAAGCGAGAAACGATGCTATGCGCCATACTAGATGACCATCATCAACAAAGAGAGAAGAATCGTAGAGACACGAGAGAAAGGCAACAATTCGAGATCGTTCAGCAAGCTAGTACATCGTTGCTATCACCAGGTCTGCTTAAGCACGTGAACAGTTCATGGCTCGCGACAATCAAGGCCTCTAAGCCATATTTTGAAGCCTGCAGTCTCGTTTTCGTTGCAAGCCGACAATCATGCAGCCTCTTGTTGCTAAAGACTGGCTGCTCGGTGTCCAAACCAAATTACTGCTTGTTTGTTCAAACTCTGAATCACACGGTTTTAAAGTAGGTCGCATCCGATCAATTCGAGACACGTTCGGGCAAATTACGGCATCACGCGTCAATACGTGCAGCGAACAGTACTGGGTAATACTAGTACCACTAGTAGTAGCTGCAGAAGTAATTGAGCTAGTTACTGCCTAGTAGCCCGGAGGCAAGGGATCTTCCTTGCTTCTAGCGGCACGACTTCCAAAGTGAAAGTAGTACTAGGTGGTAAATTACCTGTACTGTGGTGGTGGTGCATATGTTTCCGTTTTGGCCACTGGTTTGGATTAATGCACAACTCAACACAGAGAGCGATTTGATTCGTCGAGATTCCCCTGCTAAAGACTTTTCTTACGGAACAAGTAGTTTACACCTATTGTTAAGTACTGGCTCGAGTCGAGCGACGGATTAGAACGGCTCAGAGACTCCCTAATTAGTGGCCAAAACGGCAACATATGCACCACCACCACAGGACAGGCACTTAGCCGCTTAGTAGGGATGCTATTGTCTGTTGGTCCACACTTCAAACAATGAAAGGCGACGCTCAATGCTTGCAATATTCTCGAGAGCCAAGGACATGACATTCACTTTATCTGTGATAGAAAAGAAGTGCTGGGCATTAAAGTACCATGACTCGCGTAGATACGTAGTGTATCGCGAAGAAGACAATGGGATGTGCTGGCTCAACCTCAGCTTGGAGCCCCAAAACTAGTAGCCGTAGCTGGAGCTCCCAAGTTTCGGTTCTGTGCTTCTCTTCCTGCAGGTACTCCACTTCTTAACTCCAGCAATGGTTGAAGAGCGCAATTATTCCTCCACACTGCACAGGCATTTGTCTGCTGCGCAAATGCGTTGAGAGAGCGGGCTCCCATTTGTGAAATTGACAGGAAGACACTATGGTCTGCATGGATGTCAGTCCACCTCTTTTTCTTCTCTAGAGCCGGCCATGAAGTCTGAGGCGGAGGTGAAGGCTTGTAACACTACAGAGAGTCAGTACTGCATCTTTTTATGAAACCACTATTACTAGCGAGCCCAGAAAAACGATATACATACTAAACACACAATTTGGACGACCATATACTTGTCTCTGATGTGTACTAGACCATTGGTGAAGAGAATGCTAAATCCACGAAAACAAACGACCAGCCTTCGCCTTGGATCAGAGTTCCAACAAAGACCTCGAAGCCGCGAAGATGAAGAAGCACGATTGGGATCGCAATGGAGGTCACCATGGCGCACGCGAAGTCCGTCGCTTGAGCAGGAGGCGCAGCGACCTTCGTCGTGACCAGACCTATGGCGTCTCTTCTGATCGCACAATTCGTGCAGTAACTCCAGATTCGACCCCTGAAATCACCGCCCTGCCTTCGCCCTCCTCCTTCACGGCACACAATCCTCGTTCTCAAACCCAGGGGAATACCACTTCGGTGTCAAATACTACAGATGAAGAGAGTGGTGCGGATCGGCGCAAAGTCAAGAAGAAACAGAAAGATGTGGCACCAGTCGACACTTCTCCAAACAGTTCTTTCTTCGAGAAGACTAAAGGAAGACTGCGTTTAGGCTCAATTACAACACCGTCGACTTCGGTACCTCGTCTGGACGATCCTACACTCTCTATTGGCTTTCCTTCTGTCGTCCAAGCATCTGTCTTCCCCGATCTGAAAGATTTACAGCGTCAACTGCCGAAAGCCACACGTCGTACTTTCTCCTCTGATAGTACTACGACTGCTACTGCTTCCTCTATCAGATCACCTGTGATCTTCGAATCCGACTCGGAGAGGATTCTCAAGCTAATGAAGACTGTGTGTGGTCGCATGCACGGCATCCTGTTCTATCGCCTAAGTGGCTCAACTTCATGGCATTCTGGGTATTGTGCTATCAATGTGGCCCCAGGAAGCCTGGTTTGTCAAATGCGCGGGGTTGTTACTCAACAAGAGACCTTGATCCCTGATCTGAGAGGTTGTACCGTTCGCACCCATTACGATCCTGTAACTCAGACAACCCATCTTAGCGTCGTACTGCCCGTGTCAGGTTTTGGTTATGACCTACGTCCGTCTGTGCCCGAAACTTTTGATTCCTGGTTGGCGGCCTTGCTGTGTTGGCAGCCGCTAAAACCAAAGGGTATGTACAACAAGTTGGTCAAAACACAGTCCATGTCCACAGACAAGGCGAATGCGGGAAGTCGACGCTTGTCTGATCTCTCCACTCCACGAAGTGCTGCTGTGGTCAAGTCTAGTCAAATGCTCATGTGGGACGGAGCACTGCCGAGTGGATCGTGCCGCCGTCAAGCAAAACGCGTCAAGATTGGGCCATACGAACAACGCTCGTGGCGTCGTGTGAATTGTACGTTGCACGAGAATGGCACACTACGCCTTCTAGCCGAAGAAAACGCAACACCCATCAGATCTTTGAGGTTGAATAATCTCACTCGTTGTGCTGTGCAACGACTCGACGACTCAGTGCTCGGCGCGCCGTATTGCATTGCAATACATCCTCAATACACAGTTGGAATGATACAGTCTTCAGTTTCGGTTCCCCTCGCACTATCGTTGACTAGCAGAGTCGCTTTCGAGGCTTGGTTCGTTCTGCTTCAAGCCATGACTGTTCCCGAGCTATATGGTCCTGAGGTCGAAGCAGTTCCACGGAATAGACCCACTTCCAGTGGTGGCACTACAAGTCCTTCACGCCACATGTTCAGAATAGAGCGTTCTTTGAAAGTCAGAATAGTCGAGGCGAAGTTCCAAGAGGATGTCAGATGGCATCATCAGCAGAACTCGCGATACTGGAAGCCACTTCCCAACCCTGTTGTAGAAGGAGGATTTGACGTCTACGCTGACGTGCTTCTAGGACGTGACCTCAGAGCCCGAACTGTCAACAAGCCACTGTCGAGCTCAGTCTTCTGGGCGGAAGAATTTCACTTGGCCGATATACCTTCAGTCTTGACCAGGATTTCCATCGTTTTGAAAAAGGGTAATCCTGACGAAAGAGAATGGACCATGTTCCCCAGAGGTGAATACGAGATATCAGCTGAGGACGACAGTCCCGATTTCGAAGCTATAGAAGTTGCCTCTCACGATCCTGTCTATGCCAGAGTCGATGTTCAACTACAAGACCTTGAGCAGGACAAGATGATCGAGAAGTGGTGGGCCTTGATAGACAGCAACGGCACAAACATTGGTTCGGCACTCATCAAGCTCGTGATGGAAGAACATATTGTGCTTCTTGAATCCGAATATGCCGAGGTCTCAACGTTACTTCATAATTTCGACAACAGTCTCACGTCTCAATTAGGTCAGGTACTGGGCACAGAGCTCAAACAATTATCAAACATCCTGCTTGATATATTCCAGGCATCCGACAAAGCCGAGGAGTGGATCAACAATCTCGTCGAGGAGGAGATCGATGGTATTTATCGAGAACAGCCACCCAGTGTAAGAATGCGATTTTCGGGACGTATTCGTTCCAATGATTCTTATGAGTCCGCTGAGCAGCGCGAGCTCCTGGTCAGAGACCTCAGCAGGTCCGCGACTCTAGAAGCTAACCTGCTTTTCCGTGGGAATTCGCTTGTGACAAAAGCCTTGGACGCTCACATGAGACGCATCGGTAAGGAGTACCTCGAACGCACACTGGGTGAGAAGCTTCGGGCTATCGTTGCAAACAACCCCAATTGTGAGGTGGATCCGAACAAAATCTCTTCGACTGATCAGCTCGATCGTAATTGGGCGAATCTTATTGCACACACGACCAGTATATGGCAATCAATCGCTGCCTCTGTATCAAAATGTCCCGGTGGTATTCGTCAAGTCCTCAAACACGTGGGTTCTTGTGCTGAAGATAGATACGGTTCGTTCATTCGTACTGTGAGATATACGAGCGTCTCCGGGTTTCTGTTCCTCCGGCTGTTTTGTCCATGCATACTCAACCCTAGATTATTCGGCCTACTGGAAGGTAAGTTTTCTGCTCTTTGAATTATATGCGACTAACACTTTCAGATCACCCTTCTGAGAAGCCTAGAAGAACGCTCACTTTGATTGCCAAGGGTTTGATGTCTCTTGCGAATCTTGCAAAATTTGGGCAGAAAGAGCCATGGATGGAGCCGATGAATAAGTTCATCACGGCTGCGACCCCCGAGTTCAAAATCTTCATCGATGAGTTTTGTGCCTGGAGTCCGTCGATAGGTTCTTTTCACGAGCCACAGTACCAAGCAGCAGCTCAGGTGAGACAACGATTACCACCAGTGTCGAGGGAGGGTCTGCTCAGTCTACCTTTCTTGCTGGATGGACCAAGGTCGTTAGCAACACTCGTCGACCTATGGATGGAGCATGTGCCATCTAATATTATGGAAACCCCAACTGAAGAAAGCGTAAAGGCTTTTCACAACGCCTGTCTCAATCTTGGCCGCAAGACGAAAGAATGTATGGCAAATGCTGAGGTGGCTCAAGAACCAAACAGCAATCTAGAGCGACAATGGCAGAAGATGTTGAGCGAACAGCCAAAAGGTCGACTAAATCACAATCACAATCCTTTCGATGAGATGTATCCCGACAGTGAGATTACTGCTCTCCCACAGCCTGCGGATGCTCGAGGCTACGGCTCTCAGCGCTCTTTGGTCCGGCCAGGAGATAGTTCTGGTGAACGCGACGAAGCAAGATCTCTTCGGGAAGCTCCATTTCGAACTATGACCAGCTCCACAAACTCCTCGAATGTCTCGATTGAGGCCTTTGAAGATTATCGAAATCGGCAAAAAGCACGGGGTGGGGCTGGAAGGGGAAGGCACCTGGAGATTTTGAACCACAGAATCCCACGCGTTGAGAGTCCGACCGTGGAACCAAACCGTTTTTGAAGACTGACGATGGTATACGATTTGAATGATAACGAACTCTATTTATCCGTGATGTCGCTCTCCATAGCAGGCATCCTGCACGGTACGTGTATTATACATAATTTTAGAATGCATTCTGCTTGCTCTCATGACAATTGCACGTGATTTCGTGATACCGCGTCGACCCAAGCCACAACGCGCTAACATTACGACGAGCTTGCACTATTTCCTCGCTGTACAGACGTGGTCAGGTCAGCAAGCTTCGTTTTCTGGTAGCGCTACGTTCAGCGCGCCAAGGGCCTGTTCTCAAGATTCGAGATTATGGCATCTGGCGACCTTATACACCTTCGCTAGTTGATCACGTACAGGGATAAAGGTAGGAATCGTTTGTAAATAGTGGTGTACATGACTGTGGCATGGACACAATGCTGTATATCTCGTTGTTCCAGCAAGGTTTGATATGGAGAAAGGCAAATGCTTTAAACACAGCAGGTCCGTTGTTGAGGTCGGTGGTTCTAGACTTCTGGAAACAGAGGCCGAGATGTGGAAAAAGCGAGGGTACGGGCTGTTAAAGAGGTGAGTGAAGATTTCGAGCACTTTCATGCTTTCCTTCACTCCTCATTGTTATTATTCCTTCAAGTCTATATACTGGTGTTCTTCAGAGATGCTCGAGCTTCATTCCTACTTTAATAGATGTTTACAGTGAGACGAAGCTAACTAATCATTAGATAGCTGATCTTCCAAATCTCAAGCTCAAACTGCCCTCAACGTCATGCCACCCTCGCTCGAGGATATATCTGACCTCTCTTCCGCCGATGAACACACAGAGCTGAATGATGGGTTCAACTCGCCCACGTCCACACGATCGTCTGTAACGGCCAAAACAGCATCAGATGAATCAGAGACTATTCACATCTCCTCTACTATCGCAGAGGAGTCTAGCACTGCAGGAAAACCTCCACGGAACCCAACGCGAAAGCAAGTGACGATCGATGTACCCAAATTGAACTTCACAGCTCGTAGAGAACCAGAACTTGATACTCGAGGTAGCTGCATCTTAGAGAAGCAATTCCTAGATCAGCACTTTGCGTCTGGGGGAAGCTGCAGCCACCAGCCAGACTGGGTGAAAGCCGATCTGAACTCATTCAGAATTTATCAGAAGGTCCAGGGTGAAGCTAGCCTGGAATCCCTCCACAACGTGTCCCTTTATTTGCACAAAACAGACAAGATCTTCTATTTTGATGGTACATTATTATATCGCAAAGGAGTCTTAGAAGTGAAAGGCCTAGAAATCTCAAGTCTCCAAATAGACAATCTGGGCGGAACGACCCACAACTTAGAGCCATTGCACTCGTCGTGTACGGACGTTATCTACATCCAAACTCCAAGCAGCAGGATCTACAACTGTTACTACCTACTAAAATCTCCAAGCGCTGAATATCAGGCTGTTTACAAACAATTTGTTTGGCTGGCTAATTTTATGAAATACGTTATAGATTACCTAGAGTTTGCGACGGCAGAAGCAAAGAACGTCACCCTCTCCGATTTCAAACACGACTTCATTCGGAAACTGCAGGATTGGCATAAGAATAACGTGGACTTTGAACAATGGCATCAAATGTGTGGTCACATCACCGATCTTCGACGACATATCACCTCTCCTGAGTTTGCTGCTTTTATTGCTGGTCGAGCCGATGGCCTTAGTGACCAGCATATTGCTGCCCACGACTTGTGGAAAGGTATTGGCCAAGCTCTTGTGCCTGACAGATATGTACCAAAGATTTGGTCACAGACCCTGGTCACCCCCTATGCCGCTCGGTGTTTCCTGCAATCCTTCCCGTCCTGGAAACGGGTCATGAATGAGTATAGCTTTTGGCCAGTCGTAGACGAACGTCTAGCGCAAAGACAGAAATTGCTTGGTATTGGCAGGAATAGAAGCTGCAGTCAGCAGGAACATTTCGAAGTGGTTGAAGGGAAATCGTACAGTAAAGCTACGCTTCTTCTACAAGAAGCTGGCGTCAATCGGCACCAGAAATTCACCTCAGGATACGAGCTGCCAGGAAGGGTAGTCATCGCTCGAAACCACGAGGACGACTGCTTGTCGCACACGTGTTCCTGTCCTATACAATACGCACTTGTCCTTCGCTATTGCAGGAGAACCGGTCTTTACATTCGTTGGTTGTCGCTACCATCGCGGACAATCTGTGCCGGGCTCGATTGTGGGCGTAATGCCCGACATAAGCTTCCCTATTATTCAATGGGCAATGAATTACTCTACAGCGACGAATGCACCTGTTCTCCAATCTCTATAAGCGACGTTATAGCTTCACATTCAATCTCCGTCGACAAAGATCACGCTGAGCCTGGTCACGAACTCTTTGTATATCGTGAATTTTCTCTAACTCGCAAAGCTATTTCTGTTGGCTTAAAACGCAAGTCCTACAAGTGTCCCCAACATTCACGACCCTTAATAACCTTCCGCCCTTCGTACAATACAACAGATGAGGGTGAAGGACAAATGCCGAGGCCAGCGCGAATTCTTAGCATTTTCTCAGGAGCTGGACTTTTGGATGCTGGAATCGAAGAAGGTTCTAAACACCTCTTCAAGACCATCTATGCTGCGGATCTGCTATATGAGGCTTGTTTATCTATAGCAGCTAACCTCAAGGTTGGAAGTTGCGAAGTTCATCACGAAAACGTCAATACGTTGTGGGAGATGCTTGCTAAAGGAGAGCGGCCGCTTCCAGACGTTGATCTTTTTCTAGCCGGCTGTCCGTGTCAGGGCTTTTCATCACTTAACTGTCACAAAGATAGTGATGATTCTCTACGAAATTGCTCACTTCTTGTTCATACTTTATCGTGGGTCGAGCTGCTGCTGCCTAGGATGGTACTCATAGAAAATGTGCCTGGCATGGACAGGAGCACACCTAGTGCTGCGGGACAGGCGGTTTGTCATTTGGTCGGCTTGGGATATCAGACCCAGCTGATTACCATCAACGCTGCTGATTTTGGAGCTGCCACCAGTCGAAAACGCATCTTTATCATAGCTACTGCGCCAGGAATTGAGCTACTGACGATTCCTACAGCTACGCACGGTAAGGAGAGACATCAATCTTCTACAGTGACAGCTAGTAGTGTCACCACAGATCTAGCCGCTATCGAGAACTATACGACTCTAAATAGTGTTCAGCCGGACCACATACCGGCCTTCAACCTAAAGCCAATCGAGGTTGGTATAGTGAAGAAGATACCCCGAACAGTTCCTAAGGCCGGTAAAGTAATGGGTAACCTGTTTAGTGCACTTCCAAAACTGAATAAAGGAGAGCTCGAGTACTGGTACAAGCGAACTGACTGGCAGCGTAAGCCGAACGCGGGTACTTTACGACGGATACATCCTAATCACCCGAAGACTACTATAACCAAGACGATATCGTACTTGGACTCGAAGTCGAATGGCTCTATTCATTGGTCGCAAGACAGGGTTTTCAGTCTAGAGGAATTGCGTCGATGGCAGGGCGTACCGACACAGTACATTCTTATTGGTACTAGAACTCAGCAGGCAGGGCTTATCGGTAACTCAGTAGCCTGGGCAAGCTCGACGCTGCTAGGTAGGCTTCTTGCGGAAGTCTGGAGAGAAAGTCGTCACGCTTATCCATCTTCAGACGCAGCAGGTACCGAAGATATCATTGGGGGACGTAAACGGCTCATGGACAATCTAATCCACGAACTGACCGACTCTGATAACAGTGACGACTTCCAGGTCGTTGATCTAGACAGTGAGTTTGAGAGCATTAAAGCAAATTTTCCAGTCATGGTCAATGTACCTCTAGTCAGAGAGACTGCACCTAAAGCAGTTGAGAGACGCCAGTATCTCGTTAGTGTCGATATACCAGCGTCTCTCAGCTTACGACAGATTTCTGCGCAATCTCTAAGCTGTAATAGTGGAGATACTAAGGCTCTCACCACTCCGGATATAGAAGGTGTGGCCGACAAAGGCTGTCACGCAGATGGTACTACCACAAATGTCGATATAGGTACCGACGACGAGCTTCCGGAGCTCGACGTTATACTTACTCCTTCCCGTTCTAGCTCGGAAATGATCGAGATGAGCATCGAAACGCCTACAGTAAGGGTTTCCGACGAAGCCGTGACACACCGATGGACTGGAAGTCGAAACGGCGGGTCCAGTAGACGGCGAACGTATGTGGCAGACAGCCAGGATGACGAGGAAGAAGACGGATCACCTCTAAAGAGAGCACGTTTTTGTCGGGCAAATAAAGAACTTCGAGCTTCAAATGTGTTCGAAACACTATCGAGACGAATTCGATACACTCCGAGGACGGGACCCCGAAGTCTTTCTGGCGCAATCGAGCTGACTACACCAACTCGAAGCGAGGAGCGAGTAGGGACGATAATTAGCAATGCTGGCTCAAATCCACAAACACCTATTGTGCTTGATGATGACTGAGATTCAGGTCAGAAATATAGTCAACACGATGTGTGCTGTTTTGAAAAGAGACGGCGATGGTTTTGACGAAAAATGTACACAACAGAGCTTCCGCAGACAGACGGACAGCATTCGAGCTGAATGTATGGTAAGCAGCACAGACAACAGCTGTTGACGCAAGTGCGCAAACTAGGACAGTCTTGTACGGCTACTAGGCCTACTAGGGATGTCGGCTGTTTGACGAAGAGCTAATCACGAACGCAATACGACGCAACGAGAAGAAGAGCTTGGTGGTATGCGGGTCACAGGTTAGAAGAAATGTGATCATTTCCAGTTATTACATAAAGTACAGGGCTAACCACAGATATTATACACGATATTGGCCCAAACAAACTGAGCCAGCTCAACTACATCAATCTAGCTCAACATCCTCCAGTCTCGCACTGTCCTTCTCTCGTGCCTTCTTCTCCATATCATGTTTTATCCTGTTCTGAGTGTGTAGCAGCTTAGCAAGCCCATCGCTCTGCGCCTTCATCTGCCACCACTCCCTTGCGCGGTCACCGACATCCGTCTTATCTTTCTTCATTACATTCCTCCGAGCCTGTGGAACACGCTCGAGCAGCTCGATCGTCCTCTCATCGTACTCGACGCCATCTCTGCGCATATCTCTGATCAGGGATTGAAGCGCGTCGATGTCCGAGTATACCTCCCAGTAGAGCTGTAGGAGGGTATTGAAGAAGTGGCTAGTGCCGGCTAAGAGGTATGAAGTTGCTCCTAAGGATTTAATCCGGGGAAGAAGTGCCAGAGCGAAGCCGGAGGTTGGGAGATAGGCGGCGTACATGCGTAGTGCGAGGAGAGTGGCAGCCGGGTAGAGGATAGTGATTAGTGGTAGGAGAGGAGTGTTTGTAGGGACATTGGCGAGACTCGAGACGAGGACTGGTTGTGGTGATGTGGAGGAAGTGGGAGAGGAAGAGATGTCGTCGAGTGTAAGCTGGTAGGGATTGTGGAAACCCGTTGGAGATTGTGAGGTGGTCTGTGGGAGTCTAAGAGCAGGATGATGCAGGAGATCGATCATGCGTAGAACGTCGTTTTCGATAACCTTCCACAGAGCTTGATCTGGCGGTGTCGTGCGCGAAGTGAGAGCGGTTCTGAAGGAGGAGGTAATGTTCTCGAGGGTTGCGAGAGCTGCTGCACGTATCTGGTGTGATGGCATGGTCTGAGGAACTGTAGGTTCTGCATCTGTAGTTTCTGAGATCAGATCGTTTGCTGTATTGTTGAAAGGCTGATATGTATTTGGAGCGAAAAGGGACAGTATATGGCTAACGTCTATATCATGAAGGTGATCTTCAGAAGAGTCGGATATTGCAGACTCGAGAACTGGCTTCGGTAGCGAAGAAGATCCATCACTCTGGGAGGCAGGCGACGTAGTACTTGTCGAACTGATGCTATCGTCAACGGTATCGCCAAATTGTTGACGAATCCTTTCAAAGATTCGACGTTCTTCAGGAGTGATGGTCGAGGCTGGAATCTGTTTTAGCTGAGCTTGGCGAGGTTTCCTTTGAATAAGACCGAAAGGCGGATCGTTGTTAGATTCACTTCCTGGACGGGTTACTGCTTGTGAATGAGCATGTCGTATTGAGTTCAGGTGAGTTCTTGCGGTCCCTGTTGTGCTTTTCTTACACGACGGAATAATCCTCGTGTGATGCGAAAAGAGCCATAGTAGATCAGACCAGCCGTTTTGTATCCTTTTCATATCGACAAGCGCTCGAGAACCTGGCCACGATGATCAAGCCTTCGTCTCCCACTTCCACGACTCTAATCGAGTCCTACACCATGCCTTCTGCTGTCGTTGGTGGCATGTAAGCCTCAGGCACGGCAAAATTAATGCCTGAGGCATAAGTCGCTTATAGCCGGTCCGCGTCACGGCTCGGACGTGGTGATAGTCTCCCACGCTTCTACCGCTACAGATAGCAGGTACACTACACATGCTTCAATGTTCTAAATCGACTCAAAGACAAAATCGTTGGAAAGTCTCAAACTTGCAAGACACCCACGCTCAGTCCCGACAATTTCGTCTTCATTCTACGTTACGACGTGGGGAACAATAGCAAACCATTCCCAGTGTGACTCGACACTTTCAGCACCGACGTAGTCGTCTGCCTGCCCGAACAATAAGAACACGCCATTGCCTGCAGAGGTACACCGATAATACATCTACTGGTCAAACGTCTTTTCTTCAGTCTGCGCACACCACCCTGCAATCTGGCCTTGCATGGTCAACCATGAACCGATTATCTGGTCACGCGCCTGCGCAAGGCAATCGACCACCGAATGGTTCGCACCAGCGCACACAGTCTTACAACACCATGCCGATACCTACGCAGAGCAACGGACATGTAAGAGAGAGGAATGATTCTTTCAGTATGGCTAGAAGCCCTCCAGCTCTGGCAGGCAAGAGTAAGTCCACTATAACTAGCAATAGCAAGATATACTAAAGCTTTCGCAGACACCAAACATGTCCCTTGTAAATTCTTCAGACAGGGTCAATGTCAAGCTGGTAATTCTTGTCCATTCAACCATAACCTGGATCCCATGGCACATCTGGCTCCATGCAAATATTTTATGAAGGTTAGTCGTACAGTCGCTCCTGACGTTCAGGCTGACCTAGGAAGGGAAATTGCAAGTTCGGCGCAAAGTGTGCTCTAGGTCATTATCTACCTAATGGACACCGTGTGAATAAGGGGGACCTACGGCCATATCATGCCACGAACACGAATGGGTACGATCTCAATGGCAAAAATCAGAATGATCCTCCTCCTCCATTTCCCTCAATAGACGAACCCTACCTTGGCTCCAATCCTCCACAAGACTACTACCCCGACATTCCTTTCCTTGAAGACGAGTACGATTCCCATCCTGACAGATACAACGACGCGTTCCGAAATGACAAACCATATGATATTCCCATTGGCTCACCTCCCACGTCACATTTTGGTTCTCCTCCAAGTGATATACGCTCACCTCGACACAAATGGCCTTCTGCCCTTGACGCTCCGTTACCTCCATCCTATACTGGTAGCGTACCCAACTATGCTACCATAGGTCATGTAAGTGGTTCTGTCCCTGATAAGTTCGGCCTAGCAAGCCCTGCGAATTCAACCATTTCACAAAACGTGGCTGGTCCTGGAGTAAAAGAGAGTCTTATTCAGCCACCCACACAAAACCCAAAGACAACGCCTCTTGGAGCTTCACCAGCCCATGCCGAGACCAGTATTGGTGGACGAATCTTGTACTCGGAGAAATATCGCCAGAAGTCAAGACCACCAATGTCTTCAAGCTTGCCTGTACGCGACTTCGACACCAGACTTGGCCTCGATTCAGACCTACCACTCTTGCCCAGTGATTTACATGATGAACTATTGACTACAGGCGACAAGATGCGAGGATTCTCACGACCCGAGCAAGAGACTAGTGGCAGCTTTAAGGAAGGCTCCGATAGCTTGGCTATTCCGAGGAGATCATCGAACGTGGTTGGTTCACCGCCTGCCGCTAGCAGTCCCTCACGATTCCATCACATATTTAAGGAACAGAAAGAGAAGAGCTCAAACATCGGCGTTGTTGGCTCCCCACTGCGAGAGTCCTGGTTACTTGGCGGAGATTCCACTGTTTCGTCCAGACCTGGCATGCAGATGTCGGGAATCTCCCAAGCTCTTGGTCAAATGAACCTAGACAGAACAGAGACTGGCGATTCCACTGGATTGAGACCCAACAATATACGGGGTGGGTATGCTCGACAGATCTCGAGTCCGGGCCTGACTTCGACACGAATTGACGAGGAAGGCGATCCAGCTACTTTCTTCCCTATGGACGATGAGAGCACGCGTAGAGGAGCTGTGGCCTGGAACGACAGTCAGAACTCGACCTCGAGGAAGACTACGGGAGAGGTCAGTATGCCACGTGGTATGCCAATCAAGAATGGTGTCAAGCCTATCTTTGGCTTTCACGGCTAGACGACACGAGAGTACGAAGATTTTACGAAGCAACGACTGGTGTTAACAACCACGGAAGGAACACTCATGCATTTTTGAAATTGAACAACTGGAAAGGGAAGCAAGTTAGGTGTTCGGAGGATGGTGCTACGCATAAGGACTAATGACACACAGCATGGATGGTGAAGATCATTGCAAGCAAGGAAAAAGCTTGGGAGCATATGAGATACCCTAGAAGTGCCTAGCTGGCTGGTATAGCTATTCTTTTTTTTAAGAGCTTTGTTGAGATCTTAAGTGTAGACCAATAAATCTCTGTACAGTCACGATCCCAGACTTCAATGTCGTATTCATTCGTTGCCTCTAGACAGAAGGACTGCCGATTCTGCCACTTTCAATATGCGTCACGTGTTTTCGCGATTCTTATACAGAAAGTATTTATCGGCTGCTGAATATCATTACAATGTGGATGAGTACCAAGTAGTTCTTCTTGCTCGCGTTTTGAGGCATGTTGAGCAGCCGCTGGCAATGCTCGAGATGCCTTGGACGCTATCTTCGCACGGTAGCTAGGCTACAACCTCGCCGTCGGTGGCTGTCAACAAGTACGCTCAACTCTTAAATTCCTAACATCGATTTCAATCGGTTTCAGCAAAACTAACCTGAGCGTAGCATCGACGAGTACAACTAGTGATACAGTGAGCCCAACTCTACTCGAAAAAGCACGCGCGTTTGCAACAGAACACGCAACCCTCTCCAAACAAAACGCAGAAGACTACAATCTTGAAGTTGCAAAACGGATTGGAGAGATCGGACCAGTTACTGCGGCTCTGAAAGAATATGAAGAGGCTCACGTTTCTGTGTCTGAGCTGGAGTCTATTCTCGTAGATCCTGCTGCCGATGCAGAACTACGTGAATTGGCAGTAACAGATCTGGACACTACTCGTACCTCTCTCCCGAGCCTGGCGCAGACGTTGAAGACTGCCCTCATACCGCCTCATCCATTTTCCTCGTTCCCATGCCTGTTAGAAATACACCCGGGAGCTGGAGGATCGGAAGCTTCCATATTTGCCCACGATTTACTCCAAATGTACATTAACATGGCAACACGGCTCGGCTTACAACATCAACTCACCTCATATTCCGGCGACGAATCCGCACCGTCTGGCACAGTCGCACTCACAGAAGCAATCCTCGAAATCTCCGCTCCCAACACCTACGATATATTCCGTCCTGAAGCAGGCGTCCATCGCGTCCAGCGCATCCCAGCAACCGAAAAGAAGGGCCGCACCCATACATCCGCAGTCAGTGTCCTGGTCCTGCCCTCTCTACCCGAACGAGCCGAAGACAGTGATCTGAACTACGAAGATCCCAGCAGCGACTACTACATCGACCCAACAGAAGTCCACAGCGAAGCCATGCGAGCCCGCGGCGCAGGCGGCCAACACGTCAATAAAACCGAATCCGCAGTTCGACTTACCCACATCCCCACCGGTCTCGTGGTGCGAATGCAAGAATCACGATCTCAGCACAAAAACAGAGAAAAAGCATGGAATATATTGCGCTCAAAGCTCGCAGCTCGCAGACGTGAAGAACGAGAAGTTGAAATTGCCAATTTGAGACGCAATGTGATGGGCGGTGTGGGTCGGACGGGTCGTGAGGACAAAGTACGTACGTATAACTGGACGCAGAATAGAGTGACTGACCACAGGAGTGGTTGGGAGGGCAATAATTTGGATGATGTGCTTGCTGGTGGCCGCACTTTGGAGGATTGTATGGATAGTGTGAGGGAGTGGATGAGAGAAGGAGAGGTGCTGGGTATGCTGGCTGAAGACGAGATGAAGAGGAAGCAGGAGGAAAAGGGCGATGATAACAAGAGTAGTGGTAGAAAATAATTCTTCACATTGCATCTTGCAGTAGATTGCAAGACAGAAGTTCAAATCTCTACCTCGCAAACCGGCTCTCTGTTGCATGCACGCATCCGTCAGAAGAGACAGTATGACCACGTTCTGCGTCCGACTCGTACGGATTCAAGAATGTGTTTTTCAAACAATTGTTTGTCGTGCTCTGGCTCGCCGCGAATCACTTCTGGCCACGTACAGCAATATAAAAAGACTGTCAGTAACGACCAGCTGTCTTGTATCTAACATCTTCACTCTACATACACCCAAAACATCGACCATGCACACACCATACGATGCCACAACCACGCCCACATTCACCATCGTCCTCTTGCTCACACTCGCATTCGCGCAGATCGTTCTCTTCTCGTATCGAAGGACCATATACCCAGCCTATCGAAGCACAAGACACCTTTTGCAACAAGGACAAGGATATATGACAGCAACGGTATACCACCAATCATTGTATACAGTAGCTTACTTCGTGCCGCATTCCAGTCTGCCACTTCACATGCAATGCCGAATCGCTGGGGCTGCAGGACTCGCTGGTCAAAAACTGTATCAGTTTCAAATCTCAGGCTCTTTCTTCTGTGGCTCGAGCTTGGTAGACTTGGTCGTCTGTCAGATCGCCCTTTGCCAGTAAGCAGTAGGGCATCGCTCACTGGTCGCCTTTTCGGATGTGCTCCGAGAGAGTATATCGACCAGCTGCGCAAGGGCGTGCAGGCTTCAAGTGTTTGACTGCCTACTGCAAGGCGCCTGCCTATACCAGCCAACTTGAACCTGGCTCACCCAATAATGCAGTGCAGTAAGAAGGCAGACGCGGCATGGGTCCCACGTTGGGTGCGCCTACCTTCTTTACTGATCAACGGCACCACCGTGCGGCTCTTCCCTTCGTCTGATCTGTCGACTTGTCCCATCATCACGTACCAAGCACCCTGCCTCGTCAGCCATATTGCCTACAATCCAATCGCTCGTTCTTACTGCACACATGGCCAGTGTTCCCAGCAAATCGTCACAACATAGCACCAGCAGCACTCGAAATCCAGACTGCCACACTCCGAACTTCGTAAAGACCGTGTCCCTGGCTAGATACTACTTCTTCCAGCTATACCGTTTGGTGTCAATCTTCTTTTCCATACTAAACATTTTTGCGGTCCTAGTGACCGGACCCTGCATTCACTCAATCTCTGAACAATTTTCGGTGTACAATCAAGCTGGTGTTCGAGTATCCGCAAAACGATCGTTTGTGTCAACCACAGTTAGCTTCTTTGACAAGGTGATGGTAGGGTCGTATCCATTCCTACGAGCTGTATTCATGCGGGACTTCCACCTCTGCTTAACTCTGCTCGATCGCAATGTGTAGGTCCTGCCTCTTGGTTGCTTACATCATCTGATCTTGAGTCATACCACCATCAGCCTCCATGGAGTCTCCTCCGTTCTGGTTTGAGTATTTGACATAGGATAAACCAAGAGGCCGACCACCATAGACATAACCAGTGAACTTGGTGATAGCAGTCTCGGCGTTGTCTGCAGAGTCAAACTCGACCACACCCGTACCACTTGATCGTCCATTGCCCTCATACTTGATCTCGGCTCGCTCCACTTTTCCGATAGTCGTGAATAGTTCGATCAGATCATCGTTGCTTGTTGACCAAGGTAGCTGCAAATGGTTAGTAGTGATCAGAGAAATCCAAGGGCTGTTCGACTTACGTTGCGAACATAGATAAGCGGTCCTCGCTCGCCTCCACTGGTAGCGAAGTCGGTGAAGGCGTTGGGCGCAGCAGCCTCCTGAGAACCACTGTAGCCTCCACTTGGAGGACCGCTGTAACCAGCTCCACCACTATATCCGCCACGACCGCCATAGCCTCCACCAAATCCTCCACGGCCGCCAAAGCCACCACGTCCCATAAATCCTCCTCCGCGCATGCCGTAGCCACCACCGCCATACCCACCTCTTGCACCGAAGCCGCCTCCATAGCCGCCTCCCATGCCGCCTTGAAAGCCGCCGCCAGCACCAGCGTTCGCATATCTATCTTCTCGAACCTCGAGAGCCCGGCCTTGCCAATCGTAACCGTTGAATTGTTGGATGGCGTTTCGTGCATCGTTGGGACTCTCGAAGGCAACAATACCTGTGCCTTTTGGTCTGCCAGTGGCGTCAACATGCACATCGGCTCGCACAACACTCCCTTCTTGTGCTACACATTGTCAGTGAATATAGCCCATATGTATTCATCACTCCTACCTGCACCACGAAAGAGGTCTTTCAGGTCCTGCCAACCAACGTTGAAAGGTAGCTAGTACTCAGTTAACAGTGCTGTGCAGATCAGTTTGGGGGAACAAACGTTGGAAATGTAGAGTTGTCGGCCACCACCTCCGGCTGCGCCTCCCATGGGGCCGCCCTGCTGGCCACCATAGCCAGCACCACCTTGGAAGCCGCCACGCATGCCGCCACCAAAGTCGCCTCGATTGGGTGGTCCAGTGAATCGGGGTTCTGTCTCTCGATCCTGCAGGATTTTCATCAATAAACAGCTAGAGAACGCGACTCGCCAGCACTTACTTCTCGGACATATACCAGTCGTCCCATTAAGCTTTGGTTGCTAAGACTTGCGATGGCTGTTTGAGCTTGATCTCTGGTTGCATATTCCACAATACTAATGATAGTCAGTAAATGCTCGAATTGATGAATAGATCAGTAGACTTACCCGCATCCCTACACGACCAAGGACAAGGTCCAACCGTCAATCCAACGTCCAACAAGAAAAACACGGATAAAACAAGGGGAAGACCAGTAAAACCAGCCAAATCACACAATGGCGCCCACCTTCGACATTCCGTTGGGAAGTAATAATACGTCAGCGAAGAGAACTTCTCCAGCTATGCGACCCGTTAGCTAAATCCTCGCTTGCGACCATACTAAATATACCTTGTCGCATGAAATCTTTAAGGTGATGCCACTTGACGTCGTAGGCGAGGTTACCGACATAGACTCGTCGATCTTGTTGAGAAGATTCGCGCACAGACGCCATCATTTGTTCTTTGGCAGCAGCTCTATCTTCAAAGGATCGAGGTGGACCTCCACCTCTTCCGCCGCTGTAGTTCGATCCGGAATAACCTCCAGATGGATTCTGTGTACCACTCATGGGGCTTCTTGATCGGCGATCTCTATCACGATCACCTCTATCGCGGTCGCTTCGTCTGTAATCGTCACCTCGGCTGCGGGAACGTTCTCGAGAGTAGGAGCGTCGACTTCGGCGTGGGCTTCGTGAGCGCGAGCGTCTTCGCGGTGATCTGGATCGTTCTCTCTGAGGCATCTGTTAGAATTTTGATGTTGTGCTGACTTTTGGGGATTCAACGTTGAGGCAACAATTTCAGGTCTACCAACTACCCAACGGCTTAACAGCGGCAAATGCGCCTAGCCCTGCCGAAAGTGGGGTGTGGTACGGGAATATGTGCCTTAATTGTGGTTGTCAAGTGCCAGTGAGATGTAATCAAGTGTTGCAACACATTTGAAACTGGTGAGGCTGTGAAAGCAAAAGTTCGCAAGAGGGCTGATGCAGAAATTGTGATAATGTCAGATGACTCGAACTTACTGTCTCGTTGGTTAGCTGATGTCCTCTAATGCCTCGATATTAGGTAGCAAGAAAGAGAAGGTGATTGATAGAGACTCAAAGCAGTAGATTGCAAGCGTAATACGTTCCAACAGATGTGGCTGCAGGTGTCCGAAAGGGCCGCAAAGTTAGAGGAGGATAGAGGAATAGAGAAGTACGAACCCATGATGACTAGTCCTGATTTGCCGAGCTGTTACGGCAGAATAGGAACACAGCGGTTCTTCTACAAGATCAGGATCGATATGCACGAGAGAGTACTGGGAAGAGACCAGCTAACAAGGTTGTCCGGAGTGGGACGAGTTCTGCAGTAGCAGGTGCGTGACGCGATGACTCGTAAGGAAGACAGTGTTCCAACAAGCGATCGGTGCCGCAAAACCTCAAGGTTGCAAATGCTACTGTGTTGCAATAGTACAATCTTTTTGCAATCTAGTAGAACGGTTAGCTTGGAAATGAAATTCGTCGATAGACTGTGAATGGCTGTAAGGATTTGACTTTGTCCAAAGGAGTTTACCAAGTGTCGAGGACTCTGAGGCAGAAAACCGAGCCAAGCAGCCACAGTAATGTAATCAGCCTCCATGAACCCTGCTCGGTCATGCTCTCCAAGTGGATCATCCAGCAGCAAGTGTGTTGGTGTTTAAAGGCATGAGGTACGACCCATGTGTGATTTAGGGAATTCTCCTTACATTGACTGGATTACTCCTTTATAGCAGAGTCCAGTTTCTCGCAGGTTTGCGGTTGTCGCACCGTCAGTTAATGCCCAAGTTGACTGGCTCGAAGTCAAGGATTCTTGTACGATAGAGATTGTGCGCTCGGTTTGGAGTCGTGACTGAGAACAACAACACTGGGATTGGGTGCGGAGTCCGAAGTGATCGATCAGCCAGGCAAAACGGCTTGTGAAGAGCAACGCGTATTGACCAGGATGTGGCTGAGTTCACAGACAGACAAGGCACTATAGGGACTGCTGCAGCTGCAACTTTCGCAGCCTAGGAAATGTGATGTGACTGGACTATGCAGCAAGACCGAATCGCATTCGAGAGAGCGTTGCGGATGGGAAGTGAGCGCAGGAACTCAGGCCAGTAGCAAGCACGACTGCGCACAAAGAAGCCAAAGCTGCGCAGCTAGCTAGTACACATCAAGTCTAGCGTATGCAACGAAGACCAACCCTGGCAGGCGCGACCATGCACGACGGAGTAGGTGTCTTCACACCAACAACTCACCAGGTAGTAGATCAGCCTTTCGATCGGCTTGAAGACAGGCAACCTCTGCTTCTTGAGCTGAAACCATCAAGTCGCTGGTGTATAGCATTTGGATTGGTAGCTGCTCAGTAGGGAGCTCCTCAGGTTCAGGTGCGCAACGCAACATGCAGTAAGAGCTTCCGCTTCCAAGAATACTAATCAGTTGTGAATCGTGAGATACACATCTCAAGGTTCACCCACATGCAGGAGCTTTTTGCACAGCTAGCAAATCCATGTCCTTCTTGTGGTCGAGCCTCGAAGATCAATGATGATCGCTGTGAGTCTTATGTTCAAAACATTTTGTTCCTGGCAACTGCTTTAAGTGCCACTCCAACGACGTTGATTGTCCACCACGGATTTGGTTGCACAATCTTGACCTAGGCGGAGCCTTCCGTGTCAAGGAATCTTTTTATGTTGCCTTCAAAAAGCCCACCACATGACTGTCTCTATAGCTAGACAAGCAGCAGCTCGAATAAGGAGACACAGACACTTTGCACACCACAGGCTCTGCACGAACACTATAGCACTATCAATACAGCGACCGAAGTTGCACAACCAGGAGCGTCAAAAGTGCACCATGCACAGTAAGTTGAATCGCTCGTGTACATTTCGCATTCTATACCCCAACTCAGGCCTCCTTGGAAACTTGTTCCGTACTTCGGCGGCCAGGTTGGTTTGCTGCTTGATGCTAGCCTGCTTCGCATGAAGCATTCAACATCCTAGGTTTACCGATTTGCATAGATCTCGGCCAGGTTGAACTTCCTCAACCCCTCATAGCCAATGTTGTAGCGGTCGTTCTCCGTGTTGTCAACAACGCTCATTCCTACCCATCCACGATATACCTCCACAATTATACCCTTCTCGTAATGCTTCAAATCCACCTTATGCCTATTGTTTCCCACCTCCTGAACTTTGTCGGCAACGAGCTTGATGATGTGATCTCTGTCCAACTGCTCGTTGTTCCGTATCGTAGGCCTGATAGAGAACCTGACACCGGCAATATTGCCTTCGCGATCAGCTCCAAATTTGCTGGTGAGCACATCTTCACAAGCACGTTCCAGTCCTTGTCCCAATGCCTTGCCCAGATTACTTAGTGGCGTAAGACGCTTGACGAACCTGCTCTTCTGTGGCGAAGTCTTGTCGGCCGCCTGTAAACAGAGTTGGTGGACAACATCAACCGGATCAAGTAATGATCCTGGCGGGAATCTCAAAAAAGATACACAGGGTATGTCCAGTGTGATCAGCTGCATGACTTTGCGCGTTCTTCCTTGCTCGTCTGACGGTGTGGTAGTCTTGCCTTTCAAGTCCTGGAGCTCTGCCTGGACGTCTGCTTCGATGCCCTGAGGAAATTGCCTTTCGGTGCTTTCAGCTGAATGAGCTTCCTCGTCCTTCGGAGCGATCTCCGCTGTAATAGAACTGCCGCTTGCATCGACCCCCAGGTTCTCGATATATTCCAGTACGAGATCGTGCAACTCGAGTAGACATTTCTTCTCACGTCCTTTGTCGCTGGTGACGAATATTCCCTTGTCTCCAGTGCATATCACAGAAGGCTGAGAGAACGTTCGTGGTGTATCTGATTTCTTTGAAGGGCCATAGTGTTGCTTCTTGCCTCGTCCTTTCGGATTGGTAGTACCAGATCTTGTACCATTGCCTTGAGTACTGTTCACGGATACAGTGTTGTCTGACAATTGTGACGTGCTAGGAGCAGTTTTGATCCTTTTCGAAGGTCTTTCTGACTCCTCCATCTTAGGTGTAGATCAAAATGTCAAGAGTGATAGACGAAGTATGGGTACAGAGAATTCACTATTAGAGTGGGCCGAACTAATACCCACGACCCAAAATACGTGTCGAACTGCCACTACTAACAGGAATACACTGTAGTACTCATTGTCCCGAGTCGATGACTAAATTTCTTACACCATTACCGAGTCGTCTGAAACGGGCAACTGAGAACCCCAAGTAGGTTCTTTTCTGATAAACTCAGCAACACACGTCAGAGTTGAGTGGTTTTCTTACGGGTGCAAGAAATGCGGACATTAAATTAACAATAAATTAACCAACGCTTTGATCGCTCCAGAGATATCAATTCAACATATTCAACCGTAGGCACCGTATCACTTCGTATCATCTTAGTCCCATTACGTCAAAAATATTAAGTAGTACATCTCGTAGCTCCATATGTTCGATATGCTACGCTGGTAGCTACAAAAGTGAATCGCTTCAAATGAGAGGAGACATCAGTCTGAAACCCGCATCATGCACCAATTGTGGCATCATCGGTCCAACCACCATCTTGCACAAAGTTGCTCCAAAAGCTCTCGCCAGGAGTGTTTTGGCCAGATGCTATACTGTAGGGACTAATGCCCTCCTTGCCTGGAACGCTGAGGTGATCCAGGCCCAAAGGATCTAGATGCGAGGACGGGAAATTTCCTTCGAATGTTGGGTGCTGCTTCCGACCAGACGCAGCTCCCTGGGGCTCTGTCGTCGTGGCCAATACAGAAGGTGCCAATGTTGCTGACATGCCCTGGCTGACAGCAGGGTGATATGGCATTGGCTTCATGCCATGGTTGAAGTCGTTGCCCCACGGGTAATATGGGCTGCCTACGTATTGCTCGGAACCATGCATCAACGATGCTGAAAACTGGTCGTTCATGTTCAGCGCAGGAACACCAGCCAGCATTTGCTGGGATTCTGGAGGCAGAGATGTGGTGAACGGTGTCATATCTTGCCAATAAGGGTTGAAATGTGTTTGTGGAATGATTGCAGACTGTGTCTGGCGTAAATAGTCAGGATCTGCTTTAACAGCGCCAGTATCGATTGCAGACGGGACTGTCGAAGGCGTCGACATACGACGATGATCAAGAGACATCGACACAGGAGTTGGCGGAGTTTGAGCTTTGCTCGTAGGCATTACAGCAGATGAGTATGCTCGACCATGGTTCTGTCGAAACCCGGGATGATGAGGGGAAGGATAGGGTGCTTGCCGATAGGCTCCCAATGGTGCAGGATGCTGAGGCGCAGGTTGTTGCTGATGCTGTATCGACGGCTGGAACATGTTTGGTCGGGATTGATTATAGGGCATCTGCTGTTGCCCGTACTGCTGATTGTAGGAATTGTTGGCCATCTGTTCTACCGCGTTCCTCATAGCTACTTGATTAGTCAAGTAAGCTGCGAGTCGCCGATTGAAGTCAGACGACCCTGTCTGGAGATGGGCTGTGAGTCTTCTGTATTGCATCGGCAGGTCGTCGTCTTCTTCTTCATACATCTCTTCGTTGATGACGTCTTGCTCAGTGACTCGCAACGACCTTCCTGTTCGTCGCTTGTGAATCTCAGAAGCTCTTCTGGCAGACTCAACCCTCGCTTCGAGGCTGCGATCGCTTCTCCGCGATGCTGCAATGTATGCTCTAAATAGGATTAGTTAAGCCTGCATTCCTAGCTGAGGTGACATACCTTTCTTGGTTCTCCTCGTGCGTCCTCTCAGTCTTCACAGCTTTCGCTGGCGGAATTGTCCTTGTTGGGGGCATAGTACAAGTCAAACGGGTGGCAAGGAGATGTAGGGCAATAAGAACTGCGAAGTCGCGATGAGGTTGTATCGTCGACACTGATCAGATCCCGTGACACTGGGAGGCCAATACTCGAGTACTCTGGTGGAAAGGATGTCAAGCTGGCTCTGCAACACGCGAGACTGAATCACAATTATCTAGTCAACAACGTTCTTCTGATGCTGAAGTCGTGACTGATTGTGCAAGTTTTCGAAGAAGGCGACGTTCTCCAGGTAAAGGCGATATGTGCTGCGTGTGGGAAATGGAAGGATACAAAAAGGGCGTGATAATTAGGGTTCTTTGGAAAAATGCTAGGGAAGACCAGTAGTGGAGGGTCAACGTCAGGCCGCAACTCAAGACCGGGCGGAGTGGTTGGAAGTATCAAGGTTATACGCTTTTTCCTTTTGGACATGCGAATCTCTAGCGATCGGCAGTAAAGATCTGGTCGGTTTAGAACAGCAGAAGCGGCATAACGCCTCCCTGGAGACCTGATCGTACAGCAGCAGGGTCGAAACGATGGGCTCCAAGTGAACCAGAACGAATGGTTGCGGTATCAATCCCGTTGCCGAGGAGGGCAAGCTCGATGCGCTAAAGCCGGTGGTTTGAGCGGACGTTGATAATTTGTGTCAGGTCGCGATAGGTGGACACCAAGTATGAGCTGTACTCGCGATACAAGCGGTATATCAGGCAGTGCAGAGCTGCATGGCACAGATCTTGACAGGGGACGACCGGAAATGCTTTTGGTTGACGGAAATCTCGTAAGAGGAGAGCAAATGCTGTGGCGTGAGCGATCAGCTCAAATTTGGCGCTTGCATTCGGCGACAAGATTGATAAGGACAAACGGCCGGCCCTCCCCAGCGCTCAAGCCTTTCAAGGGCTTGCAATTATCGCCAGCAAGGATGGCCATGCACCTGCTTCGGAAACGAGATCTTGCTTCACAGCTGGAGGCAAACTGGTTTCCTTAGATCGTGCCTAGGAACGCAAGAAGGTGGCGCTCTTCAAGCTCAATATTGGTGGAATTTGAAGCTAACCACGTTCAGCGCAGATTTAGACTTCAGCGAACGATACACAGAGTTCTACACAAACCTGATAAAAGGAAGCCACTGTATATTGACTGGTCGGAGGTGGTAACCGCTATGGAGAAAGCCGTCCTGGAGGTGAGGGGAACTAACTGTTAGAAGAAGGTGCGAACGATCGCGTGGAGTTTGCTGTTTGCTGCATTCTGCTTGGATGTCTTTTTTGTTAGCTTTGCTGGCAGACCCACTTGGCAAGTCTCCGTGCTGCTGAATGGCGAAATGGCGAGCAGAGCACTCAACCCCTCAGTTGTCTTTTAGTGCAAAAAGAAGAGCATGCCTTTTCCGAGTAAGACAATCGCTGGTTAGGTGTGCTGTAAATGGTGCTTAGTTTCCGTAAAACAATTGTGTGCTTCTTGGTAAGTATTGTCGTATAGTCGCATGAGGTATACGGAATCGTGTCAGCGGAGCTCAGACTTCATTCGCTCAAGCAAGCGCCAGTAACGTGCTGATCCATTGCTGTCAGATCTCGATCTTTCGCATTTTCGATTCCTATCCGGCCCCAACGGTTGTGCCCAGCCTTGGATAAATCGCCCGTGGTTGTTTAGTGCCAGATCTTAGCGCCGGTTCAGCATCGGAATGACAACGCCCTGGACTTGATCACCGCAAGTTTGCGTTTCAGACACATTTGGAAGAGCCGCTTGTTTAATTGCAATATATACGTAGATCATGCTTTTAGCAGCACTTACTATAGCTATATCTCTTTCAGACATAGGCAATAGAAATCCGAGATGTGCGTTGTGATGGTTCAATGAAGGTACTATAGACTTCCGGGTTGATAGATGCTTGACCGCCATCGACGTTTCATGAGGTGACCTGATAGTACGGAGTACTCGAGTAGCGACTCTTACCAGCTCGCGTTTAGGGACCAACAGAACAACGTTTTCCACACCAATCAAGGGGATAATGTTATGGATCACAGTACATTTCCAGTCTGCTCACACTCTAGAATGATGTGAGCTAAAGAGATTCCATTTAATTGTGCATGGAGCGCTTTTCCACGAACTGACCATTCGGACACGGTGACAAGCTTGGACGCCACTGTACGAGATGGGATCCAGCTGGCAGAGAGCTGTCCAGCATTGGTGAGAAACGTGCTGCGCTACACAGCTGGCAGGAGCCGCGAAGAACTCAATATCAACGATCGCCGATCGGAAATGTAAACCCATATTACAATCACAGTCGGCATGTTCTGGCGAGCTCGATATTCAGCTACATGACCAATACAGCAACTCGTAGCATCTCCTTTACTCGAGGAGTCTGCTTACTGGTATCGGTACTGGTGAGGCAAAACTCAAATCCCTGTCGGTGCTACAACTCCATGGCTCGCTTCGTCAACGTTGGCGTGTGTTGTAATTGGAGGATCTCGGTGGCAAGATCTCAGATCTTGCATGACCACGTTCGCTATGTAGAGATCTCTGGCTTCTGGATTCGGTTGTCTAGAACGGCGATCCAAAAGTGCGACTTTGACCTTTTACTCATAAAACCCTAAAGGGTTTCTGACGTCCATGGTTGCGATTCGACGTAACTTTGCAACCGTGCGTGAGGCATTGCAGGTCGGATAAGCTAGCATACGTCACCTGTACACACTACAGCTCTTATCAAGACAAAGACATAGCTCGCTGTAGCAGACGAATAGCTGTCAGAGCACTACGATGTAGTGGTGGACAGCTCCTATCGCACAATGTTGTCCCCACCAAATCTCGGTGTGCTGTCATCTGCTGTAGTGGACTTCTATGGCTAGGTACCCAAGCACCCATGCGGAACTACTGTGTCTGATTTCCGACCATTTCTGGATTGCCTCCCAGTACTTTCAATTCCAATTTTGAGTAGCTACCCACCGCTTTTGACCTCATCACACGTCATATCACTTCCGGCTCCGTAAATCCGTCCAAGCGCCACCCCAGACTTGAAGATAGGGAAGGTTTGCGTGTTGCCTCTGGAAAAACGTTGGTGTTGTCAAGCTATTTCCTGAGATTGCGGTAGAACGACTCAATCTTGCACGCCTTAGGATGGCACGCCTATACAGGCAGTTCTAGCAACTGGTCTACGGTTCAAATGCGCGAACAGTGTGCCACTCAACTGACCGCAGTCATATAGATGTTGATAGTGTTTCAGACGATTTCGCAGATGAGCAGCCTATGTGTAGAGGTTCATAGCCGCATAAGACACATCATCTTTCCATCTTTGTTGTAACGAGTAGCATGCTCGTTAAATTGACTCAATATGCAGCCGGTGTATGAGTATCAGCGGTACATGTAGCACTTACTGGCGTTGTCCAAAATTCCCACGATGCCCACCGCGACGCAAGACCACCTGGTCGTGTTTGTAGCCGCTCTTTTCCAGAGAGACAAGTGACCTCCTTGGACACGCCAATTTTGTCCTGATCTGAAGACCTCTCTCACTTCCTCACGTAGTGCTGTTAACGTTGTTGTTTGTCCACGCTCATCCTCTGTGCAAACAAATACAGCCTGCACAATATGGCCTGCTCATGTACAAGGTCGAAAACTTCTTGCCTTCTTTTTGCTCCAGCCAATCAGTCCTTCATGTCGACAGGGAGAGCGGGAGTATCACGGCACATACCATAGTCGCAGGCAACGTGTAAAGAACAACTAGCGTTCTGATATGCAGGCGCAACAAACATCGATAAGACGGTTAGAACGATAATATCTGCGCACATCGTGATAGCATAACCCGTCCTGCCTGGCGACTGCGAACACAATACTCACTCTCGAGCTCTGACGTCGCGTGTGGATGAAACACAGGCAGACACGTCTTGTTGAATCACCCACCACGTCTATCGATCACATTTAGTGCAGTCGGTGCAGAGCATGGCAAGTCTGTTCGACGAGAATGAGGGCCAGTGAGGAAGGGGAAGCTCAACGGTAAGTCAATTACATCACTCGAAACGTTCAACGATGCGCATCGACGCGATGTAAATCTATCATGCGTATGTGGAGGAGCACTATTTCAAACGATCGCTACCTGATTAAATGATTGCATTATGATTACGGATTCAAGAGTAAGATATTCAGAGGCCACTTCCAAATGTAGCTTCTTCGTCGCAGTCGTGCTTGCACGATCTGATCGTGACTGCCTTCATCGTTTGCTCAAAAACTCAGCGCTGCAGAATTTCTTCCTCACAGCTCTTGCCACTTCGATATGACATTGATATTTAATTCGGTCTTGAGAAGAAAGACACTCAGCTTCGTGCAATTTGTCCATCCAAGAATTTCATCCTCTGTACCAGTTTGCCTATCTCGAACCTACTCAAGTTCACCTATCAAGATGTCGACCCTGAACTCCGAGAACATCTCAAAGATCACCGATGCTGAGAAGAAGATTACCAACCAGGACAACCCTGTGAAAGGCGGTCCAACTGCACAAGCTCAAGGTCATGCCGGAGAACAGATTAACAGGTAACATATTCATGCCCACAGTGTTTCCATTCGTTGAAGAGCTGCAGCACTCACCTAGACAAGTACATCGACTGACGAATTACAGCCAAACTCTTCATGATATCACGGAGGGAGAGAAGAAGATCACTGGCAACGACAGACCAATGAAGGGTGGTCCCACTGCTACAGCTCAATCAATCCTCACGGGTGTACGAAACCTTTTCTTTATTGTGCTGTACACATCTCTGACACTTTCTTAGGGCAACCAGCCCCAGACCTCGGATTCTCATAGCGGGAAGCTTGACTCCGAGACAATCTCGAAGATCACTGCTGCCGAGAAGGACATCACTGGCGCTGATCGTCCAGCTGCGGGAGGACCAACAGCAAAGGCTCAGTCTCATGCTGGTGAGAATATCGGTAGTGAGAACCTGCGTGATATCACTGAGGGCGAGAAGAAGGTTGCGGGAGGTGACAGAGTGGCTGGCGGTCCTACTGCTACTGCCCAATCCGAACTTGCCAAGAGCCGATCCTGATTATTGACCAATCTGGTCGGAAACCTGAAGAGCATGGAACACGGAGGCACCACCCATTCACATTGTTGTTGTAACAAAAGAAGTCGACGATTCCGATAAATGTGTACATTATGGGTTGCATGATATGACCACCGTGGGGTTGAATGATTGGTCTTTCACTGTATGGAGTATGTTCGCCAAAGAGAAGGCGTGTACAATCAATGAACCCCATGACCACACTTTTCCCTACTCATGTCACTTCACGACGAAGCAGCTGAGGAACGACATACGTAGTATTCCGTGAGCCGCGATAACTTTAATGAGTTATCCAAGTTCATCCAGTCCTTCCCGGAAAGCTTTGCTATCCATGCAGACTCGTTGGCGAATAACAATGGACAAGATCTTCTGCTGGGCCAGCGGACACGATGCGTATGCTTGCGTTGAGTTCTGCGAGCTCGTTGATGGTGGTATGAGCTGACCTGGAGGACAAACATATGAGCTTGTTACGAACGAAGGATTCAATCGAAGCAAGATGAAGATTCAACGGGCAGATAGCAATGCCCTCAGCATGACCGTCCAGTATCATCAGCTTGGCTCGAGTCGCAGGCTCTCTTGATAAATCGTGCAAAGTACATACATACCATGTCAATCACAGCAACCTCTGCCTGGCAATTTCCCGTACTAGCATATCCTTCACGTCTTCAGCCCATGCTCGTTGCAGCCACAACCACACCCAATGAAGACCACAAACACGATCGCATGCTCACTCACGTCTTACTCACAACACACAACCCAATCCCACCACAAACCAGCGTCATACCAATCCATGTATCCCGCGTAATAACTTTCCCTTCTGCACACCACTCTCCCAAAACCGTAAACAAGAAAGCCAAGCTATTCGTAATCGGGACCGTAAGCGACAGTTCTACCGTAATCTCACTGTCAGCTCAAATCAACCCTTCACCAACCAAAACCCCCAAAGCAACCTCAACCTCGCAGAAAAACGAAGACGACAAAACGAACTCACCAGCCTGCCCAACCAACAAAAAAAACCAAATACTCCCCGTCAAATTCGCCACCAGCGGAATCGCATACGCCGGCTTCGTCAGCAAGCTAACGAGCGTCCAGAACGCGAGGGCGGTTTTGCGCTTCAGCCACGGTCTGCTGGGGGAGAGGGAAGGGTGGGTTGATGGGGAGGGAGCGGTGTAGTTGATTGCGGCGGCGCGGATGAACGGGGTTGTGAAGCCCCAGCAGATGGCGACGAGGAGGAAGGAGAGGATGTAGGCGAGGGGGCTTGGGGTGGAGGTTGGAGGTGAGTGAGGAGGGTCTTGCGTCATGGTTGGGAGGCGGTTGGGGAGTGGTAGTGGGTGGTGAATTGTAGATTGGCTTGTAGAATTGTGAGTTAGAAGGTGATATTGAGTGACGAGGCTGTAATGTTTGGGCGAGGTGCTAATACGAAGTAGCTGACGAACGACAGCTTGTCGTACTAATTCTTGTGCATCGTACGTCCCAAATCTATCTACAGCCAAATCGTTCGAGCAGTTGTAAAATTGCGAATAAAAAGGGGCCACTTCAAGATTATTGAATATATATATTCAGCCATAAGGAAGGTGAGGCGGCGTGTACAATGGTCACGAATGATCTACTTCTGACCAGCTGGCTTCGAGCCTCTATGACAGGGTAGTTTCGCCCTTGTTAAATTGACTGTACGAGCTTCAGGAAAGCTTGTGGTATAGCCTTGAAGTAGGAGGTGGAGAGGTAAATACGTGATATTGTCTACGAAGGCTCATGCTGCTATGCAATTCACTTTCAACGCAGTATTCTCCAAACCAAAGTATAGAACACGTCCTCGCACAAACGAACGTGGCTCTTATACAATATGTTCGGTACAATCGTCAAGGGTATCGAAGGACTACTTTCCCATGGTAGTTCGTAGCAACGTAAAACGCCTCACGCCTTGCAAGTTCTTTTGCTCATAAACAATCGTGCCATGCTTTGCTCGAATCAAAAACATTACTTTGCTTAGTTTATACACCACGGAACTGTGAAATGTTAGTTTCTCCTCAATTTACTCACAGAGGAAGGACTTACTATGCGCACGACCAAGAACCAAATAGCGCCAACAAATCGGAAAGCAGACAAGCCTGCCACAGACCACAATACTACACCCATGTAAATTTGACCGTTGTGATCGCCGGTGTTCCCAGGATCCAGGTTCTGAAAGCCGCCCACATTAAGAACGGCTGCAGCCAAGATAAAGTTGGTAATCATCCAAGCAGTAACAACGGTACTTCTGAAACTCTTGTAGTAGTCCTCCTGCTTCTCTGCCTTGCTAGGTATGCGCTTTTCCTTTGGTGGCTTGGAGACAAATTTGACCAACTCAGCTTCGTATTGTGCGTTCAAGTCGCCGTCATCTTGAGGGATGGTAACGTCGACTTTGCCGTCAGGCTTGACATTTGCAGAGGGTAGTTTCTCTGGCTTGTCGTCTCCCTTTGTGCCCCAAGTGATGTCGTGTGTATTGCAGAAAGCGTAAATGTTGAGAACGTTTATGTAAGTAGGCGTGAGGACAATGTATTGTATAAAGCAGGTAAACATATGCCATGGGTCCAGGAAAAGGATCGACGCAACGAACCATAGCACATATGTACTGGCAAGTGAGACGACAATGGTAAAGAATTGGTAGTCCGTAAAAACAGTGGTGAAATTGAAGCCCGGTTCTGCGACTTGTTGCTGGATAGATACCACAGTAAGGTAAACTGCCGCGAAAGTGAGCCACACCATTAGGAGAGACCAGAAAATGACCATGGCGAGGTAAGACTTCCTAGATCCTTGAGGCCGGTTGCCCATTGCCAGAATGAAGCAGTAGAGAAGAGTACCAATGTACACGATTTCAAAGACAGTGCCGAGGATCCTTCCTGCTGTACCAAGAGTCTCTTTAGTGCCGAGAGACGAAGTGAGCAACTTGAATACCAGGAAGAAGTTGCCGATTGCGAACCAAGCGAAAAGCATGTTGATAGTCTGATAGATATTCTCAATCAGGAGCATAAACTTCCGGATAGCGCTGTGATCTGAGCGCCATAGTTGGAAGAAGTGAACAATAGCATATACAGCAGCGAAGAAGGAACCGTTCAGCCATCTTCGTCTCTGAAGAATGAACTCAGCTATACCATCGGGTACATCCGTCTCGCCGGTTGCAGACTTGACGTATTGTAGAATCCATCGGCAATTGCGTTTGCTGACCAGTTCGAAACACAAAATTCTGTCCTCCGCCAAGTACATATTGGCAGTGAAGACACCGGCGTCGCCACCGTGGAGAGTCTCACCTTTGAAATACTTCTCTAAGGGACCCTCGCCATTCTTGTCGTTTTGGAGTGCCACATATCGATATGCTGAGAAAGCGCCAGGCAGGACAGAGATAAAGCCGAAAGCGGATTCCAGAGGCTTGTCGAGGATGTTGGACATTTTGTACTCGAAGTTTTGGGTAGCGACCAGCGGATTGAGAAGATTCTTGCCTTTGTCCAACATGACCTTGATCTCACCACAAGCACCACCACACATTGGTTCGAGGTCGAAAGCTTTCCAAAGCTGGTAGATAGAGTCCCTACCAGGTTTTGTCCCAGCGTCGATCAAGACGCATACATTAGGGTCTAGGACACGACCAAAGGCCTGGAAGAACCAACGATGAGAGTTGATTTTCTTTTGATTTTTCTCCTTCAAGCAGAACAACATCTGAACAGGCTGTGATCGTGGTTTTAGGTGGACTGTGGTGCCTTTGAGTTCCAGACCGACCTGGGTTGTGTATTCGTAGATATGAGCAGTAACATCTTTACCATTGACCTGCTGTTTTGCAATGCCGTCCTGATATACACCTAAACCTGCAAGAACGGCTTTCGTCCTCTCGTTGATTTTAGCACGGCCATCGCTCACAACACAGACCACAATCTTCTTCCAAGCGTCCTTGCCCCAGGTTTTACTAGTTGTGCGATTGCACATGTACTCGATGTTCTTGAAGACACCGATCAAAGTGCGAGCGAAGAGAAAGTCGTCTTCGTTGTACATAGTGATGACGATGAAGAGTTCTGTCTGTCTTGGTTTCGCAAACAAGCGCTGTCGCAAGGTGAAGCGTTCATTGTAGAAATCTTTCGGATCGCAGGTTGCAGCAGAATAACGCATGTGTGTGAACTCATCTCTCTCTGGAGGCTGTGCATGCGGCACTTGGCTTAATAGTTTCGGAGGTATAGGGCAGTCGAGCACCAAATTACCGTTGAACAATTGAACTTCCTTAACCGTCTTCCACCTCCTCACACCGGCCTGTGGAGGCGGAGTAGGTTCTGGTTCTGGGTCTTGCTCATCTTGATATGGGTCGGGGCCGTAGGGGTCTTCAGGATTTTGCAGTATGGGCCTATGATCGTCACCAGGAGTATATCTATCTGGATGCTGTCCATATGGACCTAGGGCATAGTCATCTTGAGGATGAGGGGAATATGGCTGGTTAAAGTAAGAATCGTGGTGTTCCTCAGGGTCAATCGCATAGTCGCCGCTGGAGTAGTTGTTTAACGGTCTCTGACGAGCATCATACTGCTCGTTATGTCCATAGGTGTTATGCATGTTCTCGACTGAATAGGTAGGTTGCGCAGCGAGTCGATCGGACGAGGCCATGGGCATCTGCAGATGCTGCTGGGAAGGAGGAGCTAGGCCATAGTTTCCTTGATCAGTATATGCGGGCAATATACGTCCTGGTGAAGGCGACCTGCTGTCGTATAGCGGAGGATTGGAACGATTAGGTGAATCTTGTCTCGCTGCAAGTGGTCAGTTTCGGTATTTTGATCAGAATCAGCTGTTGCTCACTAAGATTGTACGCCATCGCTGTGACTGGAGATGGTCCGTGACCAGCAGAGGAATGTGGTGTTTCTATACAGCCCTGAGGTGTGTCCTATGAATATTGCAACCGTCTATAATGTCGGGTCAGGCTGGAAGAGTATCGTAGCAGCTGGGTTTATTGTTCGCCGACTTTTGTTTACAGATCGACCGTCCGGAGCAACCAGAAGCGAGCGCAATCGACTGTTTAAAGGACTGATGTATGCTTTCGTAGCGAGTGTTCAGATTTCGAGAGAGCGATCCAGAGGAGCAATACACGTTCAACTCGTCAGCGATAGTAATAATATTCGCAAGCTGAACAGGTGTTGATGCACGCCTGCAAACTGCCTCGCTACGCAACCACTCGTGGCTGTGGAGGGTGGATGAGCACTCCGAACTAAACCCTGTAGACAGTCAATTGAGAACGCTAGACCTTTCCGAGCCGGCTTTACGTCCCTGCAACGCCTCAGACTTGCCTCTTTCTCTGTGTTTGAGGATCGCAATTGTCCAATCATGCCTAACATTCGCTTGTGCCAAGCCCCGGATCTGACCTGGGGTACGAATTCGAGCCACAAGAAGTTTACTATTTTTATCCGCAGATCATGGTATTTACTCGAGTGATGTGTACGTCCTCCTCTGTTCCGCTTAATGTCTGAAGCCTCCTTGAACTCGCCATAAGAGATGGTCGAAGGAAATGCGATAGCAGCCATAGTCAACAGACTGTACAGCACAAAGTTTACCGCTATGATCCAGAGCACAGATTGCCTAATTAGCGGGACGGAAGAAGAGGCTGAAACTTGTTTCCACGAGCCAAGCGTATCTCCTGGCACTTCAGATGCATCTTGCGATCGAGGGTTGCATTGACCCAGCGAGGTCCAAGCATATCCGAACCATTTCTTTCTCTCGATGCATCATTGACCTGGCTTCGCCGAGAGGATTCGTGTACTATATGAAAAAAGTATCTTCCATGTCACGCTTGCCATGTCCAGGTACGTCTAGCTAGTCGCACGACTGCTCTTCCCCAGCTTGGACAGGACACCCCCTACAGCTTCCTTGACAAGGACCTTGCCAGCCTCGGGAGTATCGTCGTGGAGTCTGTGCACTATCTGTAATACGTCTGACCAAACTCCGTCACTGATCTGTTCTTCATCGTCCATCAGACTCCAATTTGGACTAGGTTCAGCTCGCAACCACTTGAAGTCGTCCACTTGGTCGAACATATTCGTTCTATTCCTCAGATCAGTCGTATCAATGAATCTCGATGGCATGCTTGCGAATCTTATGTTGGAACAATTTTCAATGATGGGCCGACTTGAGCAGAACAGGTATACGTCAACTTCGTGTGAATCATGCATACGAAATTGGTGACTCGAAAGGACAAGTATGCTTCTGTGCAAGGCCGTGATGTGTGCTGGCCCTTTGATGGACGGCGCGAGTAGGAGGGAAGATTGGACACTAGTTATTGTCAGGAATGGTGGTGGGTTGATATTGGAATGTGGACTAAGATCGACTATCGAGTCAGCTGTATCCGACACTATACAACCTTGCGCTCCACCAGCAGCGTCGATTATGCCGGGCGCCGTGATCGTTGCAATTCCAACGTATGTGTTTGACCTGCCCACGACTGCGAAGTGGTCACGATCTTGAATCATGCTTGTGTCAGCTGATACTCGTTGCTCCAACACATTCCGGCCAGGATTGCGACCGTATTCAGAGTGACTAGCAGGTGACGGTAGCGCAGGCATAGGACTGTCCTGAATAGGACCATATACTGTGTCACGTAGGTGGGTCGGAGTAACTGATCTCGAAGTGCTTACTGAGTTGGTTTCCGAGACTGGGGCAGCCAGACGTTTGTTCTTGAACGAGAACTTGGGCTTGGGGGTTTGGCTAGCTCGAGTGATTGCAAGCTTGTCATATAGCTCTTTTAGTGCTTGGTTGTAACTTCTCTGGTCGTATGACGGAAGATTTCCAGAAGCGTCAGCAAGCTCAGCAGAGAGCTTTGCCAAACCCGCTAGTACTTGGTCGTTGCTTGCTTGACGTTCGGAAGCAGTGAGGTCAGGTATTGCCAAAGTATCGATACTTTCCCGTAAAGTACTAATTTCTTGTCGAAAACGTTGATGAAAGTTCAGTGCTGGCACATGGCCTCCGTCAATTTCGACGGGTCCCTCTGACATCTTGCGAGCCGTTCTTGCGCAGACTGGTGTTAAACCACCACAGGACAGATCTAGCTTCGTAATCTATACTGTTGACCAAGTGCTTCGTCGGATTGACGGCTCAAAAAATATCCGGTTCACTCATACAGACTCGGTCATGGCATTTGTGTCAGTAGGCATGAGTACGACTCGCGCGATATGCAAGAGGAATGGTGAAGTATTCTACTCGTGACGCTGGACGATAAACGATTGGGGTTGGACTGGAAGCATTTTGAGACGTCAGTGGTGGTGTGAGGACATCACCAGGTCGTGCTGTAAGAACCAAGTGCGCAGTTTTCTGGATTGACTGCACCTTCTCAAAAAACGAGTCTCTGCAGTCTCTCCTTTCGCGAGTGCATTCAGCGTTTGATCGGACTCTCCCAAGGCATGGAATGTTGCACACTATATCAAAAGGTCAGCTCGAGCGATTCAAAAACGATGGGTGCACAGCAGCAGGAGCGTTCCAAGGACAAGACAGTTCTCGGACTGTGTAGGACTGTGTAGGACTCGTCTGTTTGGTTTGAAAATTTTGACAATTGTACCTGTCTCGACTTCAAGAGTCCGTAGTCCATGTTATATACAATCTAGCGACTCAGGTCGAGTGGTTGTAACGCAACGACTCTGTCTCATGCTCCAAATCATATCTTCCATAGCTTATTTGATTCCAGCTTCTCTTGCTCTTTGATCTTCTAGTCTGGCGTAGAACTGATCTCTGGCTCTGACTCGTGGGATGTGGAAGCCGTACCACCCTGTATATCGGTCAGTATAACCCGCTCAAGATCAGTCACCTGCGACCACTGACATAAATATCCGAAAGTCGTTCCCAGACCACCGGCGATGCTCAAATCCAGCACCAATCCCCTCCTCAACATCTGTGCAAGTCCATGTCAGCTTTGCTCCTGTTTCTGGGTAGTGTACACAAGCTCAGTCCACCTACTCCTTCGATTGGTTTGATAGGCATCTTAAATATTTGCAGCCTCTGCCGACTGCCTTCCGACTGTTTGTGCAGGAAGGAAACGCCAGGAGAACAGCCACGTGAATTGTGACTTGGAAATAGGCGTGGTGTCAATACAATTGAGATATCAATGAGCCGCGATCGAAGTCACGAAGGAGCTTGAAGTGAGAAGCACCAAGCTTACCGAAAATGGCTTGGCGCCTACTGAGAACCAAAGCGACCAGACTGCGCTCATAGAAAGTGTCACACAACCCGCTCTCATCCTCTATTCCAGTATCTATTTTACCAACCATGAGCTTATGATATCTTACTTCGAGAGAGGTGTGCCGAAGCCACACTGCGACAGGCATGGACGATAGTTTCGAATCGCCGCCTGCGAAGCGGCAGAGACTGGCATACCACCATAAGCACCACATACAACATAGGCAGGCTGGGATCCCTGAGGAAGGAGCGCTTTTACCACAAGATTTGCTGGACAAGCTCGTGATCACGAGCATCAAGGCTATCTGCGAAGAAGAGGCACGGAAGCAAGATATTGATCAACCAGTCATCGAGTCTGTGGCACTAGAAGCACTACGGAATGCGACCGACGAGTTCGCTCACGCCCTACTGTCAAAAGTCCAACGCTTTATGCTTGCAGCTAGACGGACAGTTCCTGTAGCTGTAGACTTTGACGCCGCATTCTATGCGCTCAATGTGCCAGTTCCCGAAGACCAATTGGAGAAGTACCCGTCTACGGTCGAGATAAATCGTCCTTTGCTTCCTACTCCTCCTCCTGACGATGAGTTTCACCACTCCTTCGAATTGCCGGAGCATCTCTTAGGTCCTGAGCTTAGCAGGCAGCAGGACCTACGAAAATTTAGCTTCAATACCAAAGCGCTACCCCCAGTCCCTTCAGCTCACACATATCGAGACACCGCCGTTTTCGATAAAAGGGAGACAGATCCGAAGACCATCAGGGAGCGGGCGACAGAGGAAGGAAAACTTGGCGAGCAGGCATTGCGAAAGTTGGCGGGTGCGCTAAAAGCTGATGCTGTACTATCTATCAGTCCAGAGGCAAGGTATATACAGGACCGTCGACCACGGAGATTGAGACGAGAGCCAGTGATGACCGAAGAAGCCATGTTTGAGGAGACTATGCGCAACTTGTTGCTCGACGAGCCAGGATTCGAGCTTGGTCCTGTGGTGTCCTGTGAGAAGCAGTATCGTATGCCGGATGAAGGACGTGTCAGAAGGCGCCATGTCAATATGACTGTTCTTCCTGCCACTCAGAAACAGCCTGAGAGTGGCGGGGACCCATCCAAGTACAATCTGCTTCCGCCACCTCTGCGGAAACAGAAACCAGCAGCGGACGATATGGATATCGCTTTCGAGATCTGATCCTTTCCTGAACCTCAATTTTTAGCGCGGGCGTTGGTAAAGGTGTACGGAGGAGCTCAACTCATTTTCCTGACCAGAAGAAGCTACCATATTTGGCAAATATATTTTCGTTGTCGTTGTTCTTTTGCTCTTGCTCCTGTGCCTGCCTCTCCTGTGCTGCCTGCTCCAACAGTCTCTTGCTTGGCTTCCATCTGTGTCTGCCTTCCCAAGCTGTTGTTTCAACGTTGAACTCTTGATTTCCATTCTTGCACTTCCTAAACAGCCGGACGAAAGGGTAGCACTCGAGCTCACCTCGGACGGCAGAATGCGGCTTTGAGAGGCCCAACATTGCGCGTTCGCTCACTTCCTCCTGCGTCGTGCAGCTGTATTGTACCAGTTCGTAAAGTTCACAGTCTTTCTTCAGGTCGAAATCCTTGGGCAGTTTGCGTGATTTCTCCTTGTAGTCTACGTCGTATAGATGAACGCGGTTCTCAAGCTCACTGACAGGAAATACCTTTTCGGGTGGTGCCATGCCGATTGACCAGATGAGGTTGTATAGAAAACACAGCTCTTCTCGTACTTCTATATGAACCTGAATTGCGCATTACCGCAACGACTTGGTTGGGCGTGCGGTCATGTCTGCAGATGCATTCGGTGCCAAACTGCTGGAAGAGATTCAAGAACAGACTCTAGCTTCGGTAAGCAAATCGCTTCCTCGTCAAAATCCGCTCCACAAAAGACATTCACCCACCACCTGATCACTCGTACCACTCTTTCACTGTCAGCTTTGCTCGCGGTACATTCTTATGGAGTCACATAGCGAGCAAGTAGAGTGGTACAAGCTCTAACCTTCCACATGTCCTTGTCGTCACCACGTGAAGAGTGACCTCGTAGACATGATATGCTAACCACATCGTTTACAGCTACTTTCTGACCTTCGTACAGTGTGCATACCTCGACCAGTATCACTTATAGGTCTTCCAGAAATTGATAGAGCCATAGAGACTTTTCGCTTTTCTGAAGATCCAGATCGTGGAGTCCCAGGCATACCAACCTCGGAAGGTTCCAACTATTTCTCAGAGGACGACCTCGACCTCGCCGGAGAAGCAGATATCGAGGAAAGTGCATTTCTAGCCGGCCCAATATCACGAGCACCCAGAAAGCCAAAGCCAGTGACCATCAATATCTCCCTCACAGCTGCTAGGGCGTCTATTCCCTCTACAGCCTTACTTCATCTACTAGTAGGGTTATCCGTCTTGCCTCAGTCAGCGAAAGGAAAGCAAAATGCTGTTGTCTATATAGACTGCTCACACTCCTTCAGTGCTACTCAGCTGAACCGCGACCTGGTGTCGTACCTAAAAGAAAACAGCGAGAACGAACTCGACCATCCTGATAGCGTAGTGGAAAGTGGACTCCAACATGTCCATATCCTTCGCTGCACGTCTTCGAAATCACTCCTCACCACTTTGCAGCAGCTTTCAGAATACTTACTAAATCCTACGACACATCAATCGAGCCAGAAACGCCTGGGAATGCTTATCATCGATCATATTAATCAATTTTATTGGCAAGATCGTCTCGATGCTGAAACCGCAAAACTCGAAGCGAACAATAGCGATACATCAAGCTCGACCATCAGGTCCGAGTCGTTGGCCACTCAGATCATGACCGAAGTGCAGTCCATTCAAGATACGTTCAATTGTGCTGTGGTATATACCACCAATCCTGCTATTTCGAACACGGCTTCCTCTGAGATGTCGTATCTTACTTCAGCATCAGACATGTATATTCGCTCTGCCTTGCTCAATCTGGAGATTACACAGAAGGCTGTACTGCAATTCTCGTCTCTCATGTCACTCGAAGATTGTCTTCGAGACCGTCAGAACAGGGCAGAAGCAGTGAGCAATGCAGACTACTGGGTTTCTATTAGTCCAGGGGGTATGAGTGAGAGAAGATCCGGACCGGATACTGTCCAGGACGATCTTGGATTCAGACTTAGAGTGCCAAGTATAGGTGGTATCTGTATCGGTTAGCTCTATTCGACGGGCTACGAACCTCTGAACAGTTACATTTAAGGTATAAAGTGGGAGAACTTGAGGTCGATCCAGTGGAAAACCACATGTCCACTTCATTGACTCACCAGCCAAGGTCAGGTTGTATGACTGAGCTAGGCTACCTTCATGAAGCCATCTTCCTCCAAACACTCAGCATATCAGTACCCTCTCCCACTTTGAACGTTCTCTCCGGCTTGTAATAGAGTATTCGTTCCCATGTGGCGTCACTGGGTACAGATCTCACCTCGTCCGCTTCCCCATGAGACTGACTGTGCTTTTGTCCATCAATTCCATCACCGCCCTTGCTCAGCAGGTCCCAATATACGCCTTTCATACCATATGGTGGACCTTGAGCAGCTGGATCCTTATAAAGCGGAAACTCCAGACAAACTAGAATGCCGTCAGGTGCCAGCAGTTCAGACATTCGACGTGCCCAATCAGCTCGCATCTCGGGCAGTAACGCACACAAGAACTAGCGACATCCACAAGTCAGCATAGCACAGCACAGCAACAAACCTGCAACCAGACAGGAGCTGACGGTAACAACTCTCAAAACCGACACAACACTCACAGTATAATCATAAACAACGTCAAATCCTTTACCACTACCGCCACACCCCTCCTCCCAATCCGTCGCAAAGAAATCCCCCAACACAAACTTCGTCTGTCCTACCACTCCATCCGCCTGAGCCTTCTTCTTCCCTCTCTTACCAAAATGCCTCGAATCACCACCCTCAGCATCAGCACCCATCTGGGACCTCGCGTACTCCTCACCCGCATTCACCGCCGTCTGCGCAACCTCCAGTCCATACGCGTCGAATCCATGCAGTGCGAACGTCACGACGTCATAGCCGCGACCACATGCTGGTATGAGGGCACGAGGGCGGCGCTGAGAGTGTAAGGAAGGGATGTATGCGGAATGCTGCTCAAGGAAATCTACGAGGGCGGGCGAGGGTTGGCCCCTGTCCCAGAGGGATTCTTCGTTGGAGTTCCAGAGTTGGGTCCAGCTTGAGGATTGGTCGTTGCGTGTCCTGTTTAGGGGTTGTTAGTTAGTTAGCAGTGGTTGAGTGGGGTGGACATAGGAAAGCGGGCTGAGGTGGTTGTGTGTGTACGTACTTGTCTTGGAAGACGTCTGTTAGTCTGCCCATGTCTGTGCTTGTGAAAAGTTGTTGTAGCAGTGAATGGTCAATAGCCTTGGTCGAGTCAGTCTTTGTGTTGATAGACGTTTTGAGATACTGCCAGCCATTGATCGTCATTACTGAGTCTGTGAGCCGCGTTTCCGCTCTCCTTCCAGGCTCTCCGCCTCCCGAACGCCAAAGCCATATTTTGCAGCTCCATCGGAGTCCTTATAAAGGGTTTACACACAGAGCACAAGGGACTGATACAAATACGAAGGGTGTTTATAACGTTCTCGCTGTAGTCTTTCATAGTCTCTATTCATCTAATCTATCATGTCGTAGGCTTCATAGAACTTTTTAGGGTGTTAATCATGTCAATCTCTGTACCATGGCTGCTAACACCAGGGATTTTCATTAGTGACGGTGATCGTGTCCCTCCACAAGGTCTTTCGCAGCAACTTTCCGGCACGCTTCGTAAATCTCAACCTGTTTTGCGACCTCTGAGAGTCGTCCAATCACTTCTTGATTGCCTTTTGTGAAGCCATAGATTGTGTAGGGTACCTTGACCTCATCGCAAAACTTCACAACCATCGGTTGAGCTTTCCTCAGATTATGTCTGGGGATTCGTGGATACAAATGATGTACAGCTTGGAACTGCAAGCCGCCGTGGACAAAGTCCAGCCATTGGGGGCAGTCGACGTCCATAGTGGTCCGAAGCATTTTCTGCGGGAACGATTCGCGAGTGCCAAGATCAGCCGTGCTCATTGCAAAGTGGGAGAGTGTAATCTGAACATGCAGTGGTGCAGTGACCATATGTGAGATCATGATGAAGGCGAGCCTTGAAGACCACGTAGGTATCCTGAGGTACAATGTCTGGTAGCCGAACCAATACCAGAAGAAGAGGTTGCCAGCAATTTCCAGGTAACGATGCCACCAAGCGGGTCCTTTTCGTGGGGCTTGGGTCGGACTCAAGAGGTAGGCCCAGCTGAGACGATATAGGTTAAATCTGCCAAAGCACAGCAACGGATAGTAGAGGTAGTGTTGGTACTTGACAACACATTGAGCTACCGCATCAAAATCCATGATTCTGTCGTAGTAGGTGGAGCGGAGGGAGTCAAAGAAGCGATGAGATATAGCAAAGAATGGCATGTGCTCAATATCTGGGTCGTGTTCCGGCGAATTCGTGACAATGTGATGAACGTTGTGGTTGCGCTTCCACCAACCTATGCTGAGACCTCCTAGAAAATCAGCAATGAAGATGCCAATGCAGGTATCGGTGTGGAAGTCGTGGGTAATGCCCATGTGGCCGGCATCATGAGCAGTGAATACTAGCTGGTGCCAGAACAAGCCGAGGAAGAGCCCAGCCAGTGCATATTGGCCATAGTGAATGGAGAGAGCGAACGAGGTAAAAAGGGCGAGGTATCGCAGACCCTCGAAAGCGTAAGCAGTGTATGGGCACTTGTATAAGCCGGCATCCCGCAGCTGGTCGTCGAGAGCTCGATACTTTGTCACAATATCGTCTTGAACCATGCGATCCAAAGCAGGGTATTTCCGAAGATCAGCTTCAAGCTGCTGTGACGTGATTTCGTCCATAGACAACGGCTTGGAATGGACATCGTTTCCAGGAAGCTCGAAAGACGAAGCAGAAGATACAGAGCTTCTTCGTCGCCTGCGCATGCCATCGGTCGACTCAAAGAGTGGTGAAGGAGTTGATGTGCTGCTGGCTGAGCTACTGCTCTCGGCTATCTCGTCTCCCGGTTGTTCATTGCTAGCCTGCTCAGTCTCTTCGGGTTTGCGAAAGGTACCGCCCTGTATAGGTGGTAAGAAATTGTCCCATTGTCCTTCAATTTTTCCAATGACAAATTTTTGCATAAACGCCTGCGTCTCTGCGGAATGAAGGGCTCTTATCTCGTCTGTACCATCTCTTCCAACCATATGTAGTATGGCTGTTTCACCTCCAGGGTGATACGGACACCATGCATCTGCTTTGACCACATGTCCGTCCACAATCACAATCTTGCGGCCTTCCGCAATTAGCCCCTCGACCTGCCGTCGTGTCAGGATTTTCTCCTTCATAGTATTTGTCGAAATATCAGCACTGTGGTATCGCCATTGTGGTCACAAGAAAGAGACTCCAGAGGAGTACCAAGATTGCAAGCAAAGTCTAGGGTTGAATGTGCATGTGCGACCCCCAGGCTTCTGCAGGGTCCAGACACCGCAAAGTGGGCAAAGAGTGCCTTCTGTGGTTGGACAGGCGGCATTGATTGGGGTTCATCGTCACAGTGATTATCCTGTCTCGTAATCACCACGACGATTCAAATTTGGCAAGCTCAATGCAGTAAGGATAAACAAACTGCGTGTATAGAGGTTTTATATATTAACTATTATTTTCACACCTCGGGTTCACCTATAAATGACCCCGTCGCGGAGCCCGAATCTCAAATGTTGCGTAAAGCTCGGGTTCGCAATGCCATTCAATTGAATCCTTTCACGTGCTACTGTCCAGGCTATATTGTTGTAAACACATTCCATTGGCGCCTGCGACAATTTCATGCTGTCCTGCGACCCTACGTTCTGATCAACGTGACCATATTCTGATGATGATGCACACCTTGAATAGCTTCCGTGCCGACCACCGAGCTCTAGAAGAACAGGAATGTCCAACTTGAGTGACCTATGCAGCAACACAAGTCCCGTCTAGATAGTGTCGTGCAGGGAGGGCCCAGCACCATGTGTACTTGGGAGTCTGCATCAATTTCCCTTCACGGCCTGTGAATCTGTGATTCTAATCAGCCATCCGCTCATCCTAGTAAGCGAGTCTTCAGTACCGAACGACGTCGTGACGAACGAACACTGCTGAAAGTCCACTTCTTAAACGGCTGATAGCGGGTTTGATTGGATTCCAGTCTAGGTCCAGATGGTCGGTGTAACATTCCGGGAATTAGTCACCAGAGGAGGGTTCCTCAAGCCGTAGAAGCTTCACCCAAGCCATGGGGCAACTTTAACATCGTAAGGGCGGGTCAGCGAGGGATACGGTATGAAAGGGCCAGACGTCTTCAGGAAATTAAACGACTCTTGGGATACTTGGCCCTGATTTCCTAGCTCTTAGTCCACTGTGATTAATGTCCGGAGGCCCTTCCTGCATGGCTGTTCCCACGACATCCTCGAGACTGCATGATGGCCCGTGTAATTAGTGCTCATGGAGCATCTGCTGGCCTTTGTGCTATCCATACGTGCAAGACGTTGAAAGCATGAATTGTAGGATTACTGGCTTCCGTCATGGCATCTTCACAAAGCTTTCTCGCATGGTCGGCTGACCATCGTTGTACTCTGGTAAGTACAGCCATGCTCAGAGCTTCAAAGCCGTGTCCGTGACCTTCGCCGAAGGACATGGCGGTCTCCCACCATGTCCCTGATACATGCTCCTCTCTTGTCCGGTTAGACCAGCCATTCATAGGGATGCGAAAGGTCATATGACCTGCTCCATCAGGTGGAATGTAGAAGCCTGCGGCTGCCAAAAGTCCTCCAGTATTGTGATTGTACTCGATTGGCCGACCAACGACATTGTATGGTTCTTTGACATATAGATGCCACCAGTCCTGCAGTTTCCCAGGTGGAAGAGTGTTGTCTTCGCATCGAGGTGTCCAATCTATTTCAACGTGCTCAAACCAGCCACCAGGTTTGAGATGTTTGTATATTTTCTGGTACAGCAACGGCCAATTCGCAACACTTCCAAGGCCCATCTGCATGTGAATGAGATCGAAGGAGTCTTCTCCTAGAGCCATAGGACTTTCGAAGTCGACATGCTGGTACAGGTTGACACGAGGGAGCACATGTCGTGGTGCCATATTCGAGAGGTCGACTCCGTGGAATTCGGTGTGGGCTTCTGCATATCTCTCCGCCATATCTAAGAGCCAAATGCCGGTACCGTGGCCAAGGTCCAGAACCTTGGTGCCTTGTCTGGTTTCAGGATCGTACATCTCTCTTAGAGGGGCGTGGTGAAGTCGATGTCTTTTCGGCCGTGCTGCAAGAATCATGGTATGCATGATATCAAGCCTTTCCTGCTCCTTGTCATCCACAGGCATCAGGTATTGACCACTACAATAATCAGCCACGTCTAACGCGAGTGTATGGGTCGTACCGCCGGTAGTTGCTGTACCCTCTGCCATCTTGTAGCCATGGGTCGCCAGATCGATTGGGTCCTCCTGGTGCTGCCATCAATGCGATACGTGCAACAAGCAGAAACGGTATCGATACTCCAAGACATTGGCTTTACGGAGGCGCTGTCCTGGAGTGACGTGCTAGTTGAGTTTTGGTCTTTGGCAGGGTAGGATCTTATCACGAGGCAATCTGCAGCTTTGCGAAGTCTCGCTGCAGGTATTCCTGCTCAGGGCAGAGTCAACATTGTGTATGGCGACGAGATCAGACCTAAATTGGCAAGGGGATGGACTTCAATGTAGCGAGAGACGGAGTCCATTTATTAGAATGAAGACCAAGTTCCAGTAAAAACACAAAAGCTGGTGAAACGGATGCAATGCTCGCAGGTGGAGCAGAGTGGATGAAAGCCCACATTCGGAATATAGACCTGCCACGCTGGCAATGGTCGGCCTCATATCGTGGCTATTCTGTAGGTGGTCCTGCTCGGCTGGGTCAGAAGCGGTCAAGCCAGAAATTAGAGTTGCTGGCTGAGGAGCTTGAGTAACTCCAACTCCAGATCGGTGCCTATGGCCACTGACGATCTACAATCCATCAGGGCGTGCTAAAAAACGCCATCAATCCATATCGTTACCTGTCGTATCACCACTTCTTGCCGCAGACTGAAACGTTCCGTCAGCCCGACTCAGGCTGCTGTGGTGTCTGACTCGCATTACTGATTGGGCGCACGGTTAATATTGTCATGAAAAGTAGTCAGACTCAAAATCGTGGGAGTGGATCACCCCTTCGTATTCGACGGGACTTTGTCCTTCCTACGTGCCCGGTGATTTGGAACGGATCAAGTCAGGGAAACGTGCTCCACGGCCCGCCCCATCGCTGATCTGACCCAATAACAATTCATCGTCCTGCCCTGTCCCTGCCACCAACGTCAACCCACGAGTCACTGGAAACGTATATGGACAAATACCTATGCCTTGAAGTACGAATATGTCCAACGGATGCTAACTTCTGCTGCGAGGTTTTCAGTCTTCCTCAGTTCCAGTCACGCTCGGCAGAGAGAGTCCTACTACTTCTGAGGCCTTTGTGTACTGGATCTGTAAAGCCTAGACACTTTACCTGTATTACTGTTACCATCCATCATGCCGTGCCGCACATTCCGCAACAAGAGCACCAAGCGTATATAATGTGCCAGGACAAGCAGTGTTACATGCAAAGGTCAAGTTTTGGTTGGCTCTTGCAGCACTATCTTGCTACTGAATCGATCGTATGGAGCGCGGTACAGCAATGCAAGATTACCCGTAGTCTATAGAATAGTGAGTGGATTGTGCAGCAATTAGTGCGGCTTCAATGCGTCACAACATGGTCTTTAGGACATCATTCTCGATATTGTGGAACTCTCGCATCCTGCAATTTTCTTTCGACCCAGCAATTTGGTACCCTTGGAAGCAGCCGATCATGCACAATTCTTTTCTGGTCAAAACGAAGCTTCGCTTAAACCTACCTCGATCAGTCTGCCAATGACAACAGCAGTACCACTGGAGACAGCCAGGACGGGTGGACGAAGTTTAGTCCTGGCCTGACGCTGCCCAACACTTCACAAGTCTGCGGCTGGTACGGAGACCTGTGTGTCAATCTGTAGGCAGGATGTCGGCGAAGTATCAATCCTATGCTGCCATCGCACCGTCCCAGACGGACAACGCATACATCTTTGCGCTCGTGCCAACGATTGAAAATGGTCTAGCAGCCATAACATCTGCGAGTGAACTGCTTCTCGTCAATCGTGAAAATCTATCGTCTTCCCAGGTTGTCAGGATACAAGGTGCTCCAAGCGGCACTAACTGTTTAGCGTTGGGAGATGATCAAGGGAGCTCCGTATTATGCTCGGGAACTGATGGTACAGTGACAGCTTTTGATCTGAGATCGCAAAATAAGGCTTTTGAGTTCAAGAATGGTATCCGATATTGCAATCCTCTTTCTTGCTCCACTCGATACTGATAGACAGCAGACAGAGCGGTGACCGCATTAGCTGTCAACGGCGCAAGCATCGCCATCGGAACCGAATTCAAAGCGAACCAAGCCGTCGTGAGTCTCTGGTAAGTGTCTGTCCTTGCTGCATACGCTCTCGCTAAACCTTGAGAAGGGATGCACGCCAGAACCGTAGGACATGGCAAAATGCCGAGAACAACGACGAAATAACTGCAATCGAGTTTCACCCGAGCAGATCCAACGTGGTTCTGGCAGGTGGAGATGACGGGTTAGTCAGTCTTTTCGACACCCAAGTTGTTGAAGAGGAGGATTCGCTACTGCAGGTAATCAACCACGGCCCAATCCACAAAGCTGGCTTTCTAGGCGATGATCGAATATACGCTCTCAGTTCCGATCAGAACCTTGCTGTACATCCAGTCTCGACCCCAGGCGATGAGGAAGATCCCCAGCCAACTCTGTTTGGTGACCTGCGATCTGTAATTCCCTGCCAATATGTGGTTGATGTCTTCAAAAGTGGTCATGACTACGTGATCGCAGCTGGAACTAATATTGAGTACGTCCAGTCTGCGACTTTGTATCGAGATCCTAATGTATAATAGCAAATCTTGTGTCGACTTCGTCAAGTTATCGGATGCCACGACATCACTTACGGAACCAAGTCTCGATGTGGCCTCGAAATTTACAATTGAGCCTGCACACGGCGAAGAGGTAGTACGAGCCGTGGTTGTAGAATATGGCGTGCGTCAATTCTTCTTCTTCTTCTTCATTTCCAAGGCAGATACTAACCTGTCTTACTAGTCCGACGTCATTTATACAGCTGGTGAAGATGGTTATATACGAGCATCTCGTATGTCTGGCCGAACTGATCTTACAAAATCACTGAAGCCGTCTACGAAAGCAAAGAAAGGACTTGATGGTCGCTACAAGCCGTACTGAGAATTTTCGCGATCGACACTGCTCTGCTCTGCCAAACAGAAAGCACTGCAAGTGTGTTTCGCAGAGCCTGCTAAGGTAAAATCTATTGAGAGCCAGCGCCAAGATCAAGACGCCTTCCAGAAATATCTCTACCAAATCCTCTCAGAGTATTTAACAACGCGCAAACGTGGTCTCCTTACAACAGCCATCGTGATCGCGCTTTCCGGGTTGACATTCCATTTCGCGCGACTGCGGCTTCTCTATGGGCGTCCTTGGGCGTGCCTTCCTCCAACCAACCATAACACGGGTATATGTGCTGCCTTTCCTTAACGATCCTCTCTTTCTCCTCTTCACACCACTTACGTACCAACAACATACACTTTTGGTTTTACATACGCTGCATAAAATAGTCCTTGTCAGTATGATTTGCTCAACACTTCTCGTGGCAACATTTGTCAGATATGCCATGGGTGACAACTGTCCCTGTGGTTGGAAGGTCGAGGAGACCGGTGATGTGTACACACACAAAATCTTCGAGGACTTTTCCAATTCACCTAACATCGAGCACATGCTGTCAGACAACAACGCCAACTCGTTTCTCAAAGATTGGATGATATACGACTTCTAGAAGAATTCAGACAACCCCAATATCCGGCTCAACACCAAGTTCGATGCTCAGAATGTTTACATCGATCAAGGTGAACTCCACATGCTCCAGAAGGGGTACTCGGACATGGATCTGGAACGCTTCAACCCTGTCAGCATCTCTGGTATGCAGACACGAGACACAGACATCCTACATGGAACATTCAGAACAGAGATGAAGCTCGAAGGCTACAAAGGAGGCTCATGTGCTAGCTTCTTCTGGTACCACGTATGTCTTACTGCTTTGCACATGGATTGTGATGCTGACTCCGACAGAATGATGTACAAGAGATCGATATTGAAGTCGTTACTCCTGGAACCTCAATCGTCAATGACACCATCAATTACACCGCACAGCCTTCCACAGAGGCCGACTGGACTCCGATCCCAAATGCTACACTCTCAATGCCACTCCAGAAGACCTTGAACGACTTTAAGGTTCATCGCTTTGATTGCAATCCTGTCTCCGGCGTTGACTACTATCTTGATGACAAACTGATGCACAATGACCATCACAACGTACCTAAAGAAGGTGGTTCATTACAACTGAAGCTTTGGGCTGATGGCAACCAATGGTGGAGTGGTATCCCGAGCAAGACCGATGTCCACCTGAGAGTCAAGTCCATCATTGCTTATTACAATACAACCTCAAGCTTGACTAACCTCGAGTGGCACAACAAGTGTGCTAGCGAGAAGAAGCAATGCAAGGCTGTGACATCATTGCGTAAGGTGGCTGCTCTTGATCCATTTGGTATACCCATTTCTATATCTCCAACTTCATCTGCTCTTGCAACCTGGGAGCAAGCCAGTAAAATGGTAATGGTACTCGGTGGCGCAGTGTCTGCTCTTATTTTCTGGGGTTTGTGAGTATGTATGGACACTGCTGGTCAGAAGCCGTTGATGAGACAACGGGTTGCTTCTTGGTTGACATTCTTGGTTGATATGAAGTATTGGTTGGTAGTACATAGCATATGGTATCCGACTTGCTCAACTTACTGAGCTTGAAACAGTTGTTCCAACTTCCTTGCCACAGCGTCTCCGACCTCACTCGTCGAATTGCTTCCACCGATGTCTTTCGTACAGCAGCCTTCCTCAATCACAAATCGCACCGCTTGGTCAACCAGTGTTGATTCCTTAGACATGTTGAGACTGTATAGTAGCATCATGCCCACACTCAGAATGGCAGCAACAGGATTGACCAAGCCCTTACCTGCAATGTCGGGTGCAGAACCATGTATAGGCTCATATATCCCATTGCACAAGCCCTTGCCATCCGGTATTCCACTTAGCGACGCAGACGGCAGCAAACCCAATGAACCCGGAATCACACTCGCCTCATCACTGATGATATCCCCAAATAAATTGCTCGTCACAACAATCCCATTCAACTTCCTCGGGTTACTCACCATAATCATCGCCGCACTATCGATCAACTGATGCTCAAATTCCAACTGCGGAAACTCCCTCTCCAGCACCTCCGTAACCACCCGTCTCCACAACCGACTCGTCGCCAGCACATTCGCCTTATCCAAACTCCACACTTTACTCGGCGGGTTCTTCGCCAACGCCAGATGTGCAGCCAGTCGCGCGATTCGCTCAATCTCAGCGCGCGAGTATGGTTCACGGTCTTCGGCGAATTCGTTGGGGCCGTCGGCGGGGTTTGCTTCCGTGCGTTCGCCGAAGTAGATGCCGCCGGTGAGTTCGCGGACGATGGTGAAGTCTACGCCTTCGCAGACGGAGGCTTTGAGAGGGGAGCGGGCGGCGAGGGTTGGGGAGGCGAAGAAGCAGGGGCGGAGGTTGCCGAATGTGTTGAGGGATTTGCGGAGTTGCAGGAGGCCTGGTGAGGAGGTGTTAGCGCGGAGAGTTATGAAATCAGTGGATCTGTGGCAGGGCATGTGTCGAGGGAGGTAACAGAGCGTGCGGTGTGAAGTTGGAACGTATAGAAGAATTTTACCTTGTTCAGGTCTCACTGGTCCTGTGCCGTATTTTGGTCCACCTATGGCTCCCAGCAAGATAGCATGAGCGTTCTGAGCCGCGTTCAATGCCTCATCCGTCAATGGTGACCCTGTAGCATCTATTGAACAGCCACCCAAGAGGTGCTCCTGGAAATTAAACTCGACTTCTGGTACGCATTTCTCGATGACTTTCATCACCTATAAGTCTCGAGTCAGCTTGATGAACACGAGACCGGAGCAGGTGACGTTCATTTGTGGCCATGTACACGTTCCTATACTGTTAATGTAGCCCGCAGCATATCTTGGCACCCAAGCATTTGGAACATGTACAGGAAGACAAGCTGAGTGATCGTTACGTTTCTCTCGAGACTTGTTCGCTCCAGAGACCAGCTGCTTCGGAATATATGTGACCTACCTTGACTGCTTCTGCCGTGACTTCTGGACCAGCATAATCGCCAGCGAAGACGACAATATTGAACTTTGGCATGGCGTGGTTCCGCTTTCAGGAAAAGGTTTGGAAGGGACTATTTCTGGGTGATCAGAACACTGAACTGATATAAGAAGCGATTCCTTAGGCGGTGAGTGTCTTGACAGTTGAAACAACGTTGTAGTCGAAGTTATTGGTAGTACCACTGTGAACAGAACGAATTTATTGGACCGATGTCGGACTGACCCACTTCCGACCAATGGAAGCACGACTATCTCGATACTAGAGGATGAATTTATGCAGAGCGTTTGCGCTCAATGGAGACAGGATTGGGAAGACGAAGAGTACAGTATTTGAAGTATACCACTTTGTGGTAGTAAAATATTGACAGGAATGCTTTGACTGCCGTATTCTCGATGCACTAATAGCTACGACATATATTGCTGCCATCCAAAGAACGATAATTTCGAGGACTGTACGCATTCAATGTCCTGAGCAGAGCCGTCATATCCCATTTCCTGATCGAAAACAATAGCAATCCAACCATACTCGGTGGCTTTAGCGCACACCGATCGTGACTAGGTCATCAATTCATATATCACTGCTGATAGCCATTCCATGTATTGTACCCAGGCAAGTCCTAATCCTTCCACCTGACATACTGCCTCCTGAAGTGCCCCATCGTATCAACTCCTGCCACAGGGTATAAGCCCAAATCAAAGCATGTTACATAATATCACAAAATCAAGGGTTCAGATTGACAAACATCGTGCTTACCACGATCGTGTCGAGTTTGTAGTGTCCGTCAACGATATGGGTAAGGATTGTCTGGAGTGTTGGCATATCCAAATCGAGGTTGCTGGTGTAGCCTGCGGCGTCCTTGATTGTTCGCAATCACAGCTGGCTGTTGCTGCAAATTCCGTGTCTGCTCATCCAGAGTGCCGGGCAAGCCTGTTGGAAGAGGGTTCTCTCGACCAGTCAGCCAACCACCCAGTAGACCTCGAGCTGCGACCTCTGCATGCTGGTAGTTAGCGGTAAGTGCTTCTCGTGCCTGTTGAATAAAATTCACGTTCATGTGATCAGGCGCTGCATTGCCGAGTCCCACAATGTTGACGTTGTCCTCTGATCCAGCTCTGTGTCGACGACGATTCCGATCTCTCAATCCTAGGCCGGCCATTTGTCGAGCCATATCCTCGTCTCTTCTTTCTTGTTCTCTGCGTCGATCCATCTCCTGTTGGTAGCGCATCGGGTCGCCCTGCAAATCGTTGACGGCATCGTAGTTGAACCAAGGGCAATCACAGCTCTTCCACTTGAGGCCGCAAACCATACAGAACTCAGCCAGACACCTGCAGGTCATATGGTTACATCCTTCCTTCAATTCAACCATAGCAGAGCAATTGTAACATTTTCGCCAACCTTGTTGTTCGGCAATCTCATTCAATTGCTTCATGGCTGGATCTTTTGGGCACTCGCGTGATCTGTGTGCCTTCTGATTGCACGTGCCACAAACAGCATATTTACACTTCGGACAGTAGCCAACCTTACGGCCATGCTCATTGCATATGTGCTTTGGTTGTATCCATTCTCCACAGCCCTTGCGAGGGCAATATATTCTGTGTTTCGCATTGTACTCTTTGAACTTCTTGTTCCACGTCTTCCTGAAGTCGTCGTCAAACAGCGAATCGACATGTTTCAGGGAAATGTGCTGATCTGTACAGCATCGTGGAGGCATGTGCGCAGGGTCGTTGATAGACATCTTGAATATTCGCTTGAGGCAGGCATGGCACATACGATGTGCACAGGGAAGTTTCGCGGATCGACGTAGAGGGATATCGTCGGAGCCACAGGTCAGACAGGACACTTGCTTTTCACGTGGAGGAGGGGGCTTCGCGAACAGAGTACCGAACAGTGAAGAATTACGCTGCGGTTTATTGGCTTTCGAAGTGCTGACTACGGTCTCAGTCCCGATGAGGGTTTCGGTTGTGTTCGCACCCCGGATGTCTGACATCTTCGCCGTGGTTGTGCTTTTCCGCAATTGTGGTCGTGTAGTTGCATTGGTCGAAGACCTAATAAGGCCAGGCAAAGGTTCTGTCCTCCGTCTTTCTACCCTCGGTTTCTCAGTCGCATGAGTCGTGGTCCTTCGACGTTCTGGTGCAGCCTTGAGCTTCGCTTCATCTCTATCGTTGTTCACTTTCCGAGCATCGCGGCGACCGACACTGGACAACCTGCTAGACTTGTAGACGTATTCATCTTCAGTATCTTCAGTCCTCCTCTTTGCTGTAGATGAAGTAGATGCTGACTTTAAGCGGGCAGTAGCGACAGAAGACTTCCTTCCAAGAACGGTGGAGGAGTCGACCTTGGAGGACTTTGTCTTCGATGTGGATGTTGACTTCTGAGGTCGTGTATACTCGTACTCAATCTTCATTTTTTTCCGAGCGGTAGTAGGCTTCGACATCGACTTCAGCCGCGCTTCTCTCAGGGCCGCAACATCGGCTGGTCGACCAAAGTCTTTATCAGCAGGCACGGTAGGGTCTGAGGAGTGGTCGCCGCGATCCTCATATCGTCGCTGGTGAGTATCACTCATGCGACGTCTTCGGTGACGCCTGTGTTTCTCACCATCTGTTGTTGCGCCCCCTACAATAGCCATGTCACAAAGACCCAGGACTTCAGGTCACCTGGCCACGTCCAAGCCAGGTAATCGGGCTGCGAAACGTGGTTAAGTGGCCAATCACGTTGTGCAAGCCAACACATCCAGTGTGTTCGAATGCAGATGCATGCTTGAGCATGCTGTAAATTTGGCTCACAGTCTCTTCATGATGAAAGCTTGGAGTACATGTCTTGTGGCTTATCGCTTCACGAGAACAATCGCGGGATGTACAATCTGTCCATTTTCGTGCCTGAACCGATATATTAATAGTACCGTGCTGTCTTGAAATTCGGTGTGGTAACAGTGAGTACAATACTCAGTACTATGCCCAAGGCCACCCCTGCGGAGTATATAGACTGGATGAGTATGGGGGTGCTCAGTGCCTAGGCAGTCGCACTCCTAAGGTGGAGGGATATTGATTACGGAAAGATTACGTTACGGATTTTCACGCCTACTATTTATAGCCCAGGAAGCTCGTAGCTTCCTCAAATCCCAAGCTTTCGAGACCGACGAATCTCTATCGCAGATAGGTCAGTAGTAAGCAAGCTCGACCAGTAACATAGAAGGCCATTGGCAACTCGATCTCCTGCAACCTCACGGAGACACTACGAGAATAGGACGAATCATGGAGAACGATATATCGATTGAAGCAAGCAAGGTAAAGTTACAGGAAAGGTCGATCAAGGCTGAGTGTAGAACTTAGGCCTGCTTCAATTCACGTCGCGTCGATCTAGAAATGAACACTGCACACTGCAAGACTGCTCAACAACGACCGACACTGTCCGTAAGTAGGCGGGATCGAACTCTGACTCAACATATGGTTACTGCCATTATTTTTTCTGCGGCACTGGATATTCCCTCCTTCCTTCTGTGCTTAGCACAACAACGACACTATCCTCACCAAGACCTAACGCACTTCTAGCTTGCTCACTATCAAGCACTTTCCTCAAACCTGCCAAACATCCAGCTCCACATGGTCCAGCCTCTATCTCGTATTTTTCAAGCAGTTCGAGCACTGTCTGATGACATTCCCAATCTCCTACAGTCACACTCGCATCCACTCCATCTCTCAGCGCCTCCCAACTTGTTGGACTAACAGTACCACAGCACATACCACTCATGATGGTGTCGATTGTCTCAATTGTCGTGTTTTCTCCAGCTTTCAAACTCACATTCAGACACGCGGCCGTCTCAGGCTCACAAGCAATTACTCGCACTTTATGCTCACGAGCTGCAGTTTTCGCCCACTTCACCACCGCCTTGCCAAGACTGCCAACGCCAATTGGTGTTACGATGTGTGTGATGGGCTTCTTGAACTCTTGTTGCAAAGCCGCAAAGTGCTCGTCAACTTCGGACAAAAGTGTCGAATACCCGTCCACAACCCAGCCCGGAACAGTCTTGTACTCGCCGAACGCATTGTCCTGTACCATGACTCCGACGCCTTTACCACTCTTTGTAAAGCCCTCGCTGGCTTCCCAGCACCGTTCCACGGCTTTGTCGTAATCTCCATTTACAGTGACCACCTCTGCACCTTCGCCCTCAATGAGCTTCTTTGTCGTCTCATACATGCCCTCAGGCACATAGATCATCCCCCTTTCTTCTTGGTCTGGCAGCAAAATCTTAGCCATCCGCGCAACAGCTCGTCCATGGTTACCATCTGTAGCCGCAAAAAGCACATACGTCCATCCTTCACTAGCCTGCTGACCGAGTCTTTCCCTCAAAACTTCCAGAGCCGTAACGTCCGGATCAGGCACTACATCAAGCTCACGGCACAACGCTCTGTACACGCCCCAGCTAGCTCCCAGGATCTTGAAGGCCGGTAAACCCAGACGCGACGATTCGGACTTAATCAGCAGGCCCTGCAAGCCTAATGGGCTAGCCAGAGACGGCAGGTTGTGAAGAGATGTAGTATTGAAGTTCGGCAGCGACTCATGATAAGCCTTGATTTTCGTGGGGTCCGTAATCTCTGCTTCCCGAGCTGTGCTTGTTTCGTGGGTGTATAGTGCAGCAGAGGGGTTGATGTAGATGCCCTCGTGGGTTGTGATTGGCTTGGTCGTGGCCATATTGACCAAGAAGGAACTGAGTTGGAGGTCTGTCCCCTCCCGGGCAAAGGTGTTGTTGCCTTCTTGCAAGGTGATGCTCGAGAAGATGTGCTTTCCCGTTGTAAATCTTTTGCCTAACAGCAAGAGGGTTAGATGCTGGCAGTCGGTTTTTGCAACGACTTAGCTCGGGAAGATACAGAAGTGACGAACTGTTTTCATGGGATAGCAATCTATTTCAAGATGGAGAAAAGATTCGATTGTGCTCCGGTGGCAGGGCGTGCTCAGAGTAATTAAGCCATTCCGAACCCAGTAATCAACCTCCACCAGCCAATCAGGATCATGTAAAACGGGAGAACTACAGTGGTTTTCTATATTGCTCGTTGCTGTCTGTCGTCGCAGCTAATCAGCACATGTAAGCCTCAAGATATTAGCTAAATCCGCTGATGCGTTCAGGCCGCAGAAGTTTCCTCAAGCTCAGGCCTCATTCCCTACAGGTGCCTGTCTCTGCGGTGAAGGAGCATAGTCCTCAGAGTTAGCACCTATACTTAAGCCAGCGTTGCGATGATTACCGTCGACATCCATGATAGGAGGCTGGACAAATCTCCCGGCTGCTGGAGGTCTGCCAGGTGGAGGAAACTGGTTCCGCCGTGCCGCAAGTTGAGCTTCCTTTTCTTGCTGTGCTCGACGTTCGCGCTGTCGTCTATGAGACACAAGATCGCCTCTAATGACACGCAGATATCTGACAGCCTCGTCAATCAAGTCTCTTGACTCTGTACTTTCTTTCAAAGTCATGAGTAGTGTCTCGACCTGTTTCTCGTCGTTCAAATGAGGGCAAGTCCTTCCATGGCCCATATGTGCAAGACCGCACAGGCCACAGTGCTCCACACCTGCAATTTTGAGGCGGCACCAGCCCATTGGATGTTCCTCCTTGCACGCTTGACACTTGTGAGGTGCTGGTACCGGTATGTGAATGTAACCAGGTGGCATGTCTCCGTTAAACATGGGCGCTTGTCCTTGCGGCACCTTGACGCGCTTGAATGGACGAGCCTGAACCATTTGAATTTCTGGTTCAGTGTCTTCTGCTGCAGTGGTCACATCGACGTCGGTTTCAGGGCCGTTGTCTTGCTCTTCGAATTCGTCGTCGGTATGATCATCCCCATCAGCTCTCCCTTTAGTAGGCGAGCCGTCAACGTCACCATCCACAGTCGGTTTGCCACCGTAGTCCACATTAACACGTCTTCGTTTGCCTCTACCCAATTCTTCGGCCTTGCGGGCCTGTGCTGCTTCGAACGCCTTCTGTCTTTCCTTCAGGATCTTATCCCAAATGTCTGGATTAGGTGTCGAAGTACTGGAGTTTTCTCGAAGACCTTCCTCGAGCGCCGCTTTGTCGTTCGCCCAGATTCTTGCAAAGCTGAATTGCGACTCAGCTGACTGACTCTCACTTGTCTTTGTAGATTCTGCCTGTGAACGATCAAGGAGCTTGTCAACGGAGGCTTCAGTATAAACGATGTCAGCTTCAGCATCATCGTCGAAGAGAGCAGCAGCTCCATGTCGCAGTATACTCTCCAAGTCCATACCAGCGTCATCAGGCTGATCCATGGCCTCAATGAGTACATGATCTAACGCCATTTTCTTCTTGCCAATCTGCATGATCTTTTCCTCCGCTGATGATCGCGTCATGAGCTGGAAGACAAGCACTTTGTTTTGTTGTCCAATACGGTGAGCTCGAGAAAGCGCTTGTATGTCTTGATGAGGATTGAAATCGGGGTCCAGAATGATGACTGTATCAGCTGTGGCAAGATTGATACCAACACCACCAGCTCTAGTGGACAGAAGGAATGCAAAATATGGCGATTCTGGTGTATTGAACTCGTCTATCCTCTTCTGCTTCTCGAGAGTACTAATAGTCCCATCCAACCGCCGATGTAGCATGCCAAGACCATCCAAGAAGTCCTCAACAATATCGAGGTTGTCGAGAAATTGGCTGAACATAAGCACTCGATGTCCTCGTTCACGGAGTTCCGGCAGCATGATAGAAAGTAACTGCAGTTTCGACGATGCTTCAACGAGCCGCTTGAAGGTCGCGTCGCTGTCCAAAGATCGGTCTTCGATTTCCCGACTGTACACGAATGGATGGCAAAGTGTTTTGCGAAGTTGCATCAAAATGTTGTTGAGGTTAGCTCTTTCTTTAATAGGTGCGTTTCCATCCCGACTAAATATCGACTTCATCAAAGCTGGGTTCTGTGACATGATAGATTTTGCGACTTGCTTCTGTAGAGCACTCATCGTAACGGGCAAGATAATCTGAGCCATAGGAGGTAAGAAGGTCAACACCTGAACTTTGGTTCGGCGCAAGAAGTATGGTTTAAGCATGTCATGGAGCTCAGGGACGTTCTCTTGGGTCAGCTCAGCATACCTCTTGTCTAGCTCAGCAGCATTGTGCTTCTCGCGATCTAGGAATTGCAGCAGATTGAACAATTCCCTCGCGTTGTTCTGCAATGGTGTGCCGGTCATCAAGACCTTGAAGGGGACACGCAATTTCGATAGTGCTTCGTAGATTAGGTTCTGATCGCATTTCAATCGCTGACCTTCATCGACAATCAGCCCTTGCCATGGCACCCTTTGCAAATTGAGCAAGACTGTCTTGTCAATAATGGACTCATAGGATGCAATAACAACATGAGCTTTGATATCTTTGACCTCGCTTCTACTCTTCTTCTTGTCCGGATCAGCATCAGGGTCCTTAGGAAACAATTCGAAATCTTGAACCAATTTTCTGGCGGCACTGGAACCGTAGTAACAAACAGCTCGCAAACTTGGCGCCCATTTCTTGAATTCTCGGCGCCAATTTGGGCAAGTCGAATTGGGTACAACAATGAGGAAAGGCCAGCATTTGTGCTCCTGGACAAGAGTAGCCATGAGGGCGATCAGCTGGATCGTCTTTCCGAGACCCATCTCATCTGCGAGGATAGCATTGTGCTGGCGGTACCACTGATAATACAGCCAATTCAAGCCCTCGAGTTGATACTGCATTACTTGGCCTCCTGTTAAAATGCTAGGCTGTTGTTTCCTGATGAGCTTGGTCCCAAAATCCTGTTGTCGAACATTGGCCAGTGTCCTGCGCAAAGTGCTTTGGACAGGAATAGACATATACCGCTTTTTGACCAGATCTTCGTAGGCTTCTTTGAAGTCCTTGAAGCGTTCCTTATCAGAATAAGTAGGAGGCTTTTCCCAGATCGCATCCTCATAGCCAAGACCTTTGAACTTTACAAAGGCTGTATCGACTTCTTTAACGCGAGCCAGATCGATTTGCTCGGAGCTATTTCTGACCACACTAGTATACCTCACGTCGAAGACAATATCGATCCTGTGATACTCCTCAGGTATGGCATCTTTAGTAGTCATGCGTGGTAGCTGATTTTCCGAACGCTTGTAGAAAGCAGCTCGAGTTCCGCCACCAACGACGCCCCATACCCAGGTACCTGGCATCCATGTACACCTATGATAAGATTGATTCTTCCACTTCACCAAGTACTCTTTGTGGGCTTCCTGGATATTGTCAATAGTCGTGCCGGGAATATAAGAGTCCTGATTAGTTGGTCTCCAGGCTACGAGTGTATCGACTGAGGCTTGGTTTTCAACACAATCCTTGCATGTCCAAGAGCGGTGGTACATATCGAACCTCTTTTGCGCAAGCTCCCTCTCATCGAGATCTTCTTCGTCGGTATCTGCAGAGTTGGCAGTCTTTCTGTTTGGCATATGGTGCAAATGCCATCCACGACTGCAAGTCGCACAACGGAACATGACGTTTTCAACGTTGTTGATCGTGCCAGGCTGAGTGATAGTAATAGGATCAATTCCTCCATTTTCCTCGCGCTGTATCTGCTCCTGTCGAGTTGTGATACGCCTTCTCAGCGGCTTCGACAATGGGGCGAGTCTATCACACTCTGAGCATTTTCCATAATGAGGGGCTGCTGGATCTTTGACTCGTGCAACACCAATGCATCTTCGACATTGAAGAACGAAGAGATGATCCCCAACCTTTGTCACTAAATGTTCTCGACTGCCACGGTGGCCCAGGCACGTTTTGTGGTAGGAATTAGAACAACCTTGGCAAAAGACCAATGGTCCTTTGGACTCGTGATCACCGGTATGATAGCAAGTAGCACACTCCTGCTGATGACGCTTTCTGAAGGGATCGTTGACAGGCATTTTGACGAAAACTTCTTTGGTACCAACAACCTTTGGAGCCAAGTCCTTTTCTGACTGTGAAGATAATTCGTCCTCTTGCCGTTCGCGCATGCTGCGTCTGGGCTGGGTTCGTGTTCGTTCAGATCTTCGTGCATTATCGAATTTAAGATCTCTTTCTTCTGATTCGGCAGCTTTACGGGCACGAACACTACGTGTAGGCTTGGAAGAGCTGTGATGTCTCGTGGCTTGTCGCTTTGGGCGCCGACTTCGACCGGGCTGCGAAATATCTTCGTCAGAATCTAGAGAATCCTTGATTCCGCTTAGCTCGTTTGCAAAGTAATTTGTCCGATGCTTGGGAGCCAGACGAATCGATCGTCGACCCGCCGGTCGTAAGTCGTCTTCTTCATCAGCAAACTCATCACTAGACGACCGAGTAGGCTCAACATCGGAGAGGACCTCTTTAGTATAGCGCTTTCGACGCTTACGAGCTGGAGGTTCCACCTCAGAATCTGATGTTTCGATCTTGTTCCAATCGACGAGACCAGTAGGCAATCTGGGCGGTACATGGGTTGGGTGGGCTTTCCGTTGCATCACGGCACTTCGATAGGCGTTAAGAGCAAGTTTGCCATTACGAAACTCAGTGGTAAGCTGGACTCTGTCAACCTGGTAGAAAGGTCAATCTTTGCTCAGCTTAGGGTCGATGTAGTATCTTACCAGATCAAGCTCTCCTGTCAGCAATTTGACGACATATTTCCTGTCAGCAGATCCATTTCCAAGAGCATATAAAATGCGCTTGACTGTGAAGTGATTGGGCAGGTAATCGTAGTCCTCTTTCTCGTCCTCGGGGAGCTCAGGCACGTCTATGGTCAAGTCCTCCTGCTTGTTGACAACGAACTGACTGCCTGCCTCCGAATCAGAGTCCTGCTGTCGTGACTCTTCCTCGTTGTCGCCTTCACCGTCTATAACTATCGTGTCTGGTTCGGCTGTGGTTTGATCTTGAGGTGCAGTCACATGCACGAAAGTTGGCTGTTGTGAGACCTCAATAACATCGCCTGCCTCACTGGAGACTGAAGGAGAGGGAGAGCGATCCTCGCTTCGTACCTCTGCCTGAACATCGTGGTCGTTGCCCGATGATACTGAATCGAATTTATCTGGAGGCTTTCCTAGCCAAGCGTTGAGCTCGCCACTTTCTTCCATAGTAGGCGATCAAAGGCACAGTTGACTACATCGGAGATCTTTGCACAGTATTGACACGACCGCTCTTGATTTGCAATGCGAATATCGGCTTCTGATTGTGTGATATTACGTGACTCTTGGCGCTAGCTTACATGTAAAATGAAGTTTCCTTACTTGACTTTCATCTACCTTACAATACCATTACTTTGGCTTATTTCACAATTGCGCTTCCCAGACACGTCGGAGAAGCCACGAGCAGGCGCGTCTTAGTCACGTGTCTTCGCGTGCTTTCCTTGTTTCACTGTCACTTTTCTTCACAACCATCGACGTATGTATCGCACACCAACAATGCCAGAATCGAGGACGTACTGAATGTTTCCGTTGAGTCATGTCTCTGTACGCAGCTGCAGAAACGTTGTGCAGCATAGCTTGCCTGCAACCTCGTCCCGCAATGCCTCCATGACGTCCAGCATCGAGCGTGGTGTACGAAAAGCTGCCCACGCATTAAAACGAGCCGAACAACGTCGCATCAAGGAAGGTACTCTGGGTTTTTGGGAAGCAGACGACAAAGAGAAAGTCACTCAAGCAAGAGAACATGTCAAGAAGCGCCAGCAGGAGATGGGTGAACAGAAGTCTCGCCTAGAATGGTTGAGCGAAGACTCAACATCAGGGCAATTACAGGTCGATGAACATTTGCGTCGTCTCAAGGCCAAAAACGCTGCTAGATCCCGAGGCATGTTAGTAGATGCTCCTACTGCAATTCCTTACACCGAAGCGACGTCTGAATTCCTATACGGCACTTTCGCTGTTCTAGCTGCACTGCAGGCGAAGCGGAGAGCCCTACACAAGCTATATCTCTGGTGCGGAGAAGATGGCAAGCTCAATGAGGATGATAAGGATATAACTAGAGTTGTTCGTTTGGCCAAGCTAGCTCAAGTGCCTCTTCTTCGTGTGGCTGGCAATTGGGACAAAATGCTAGACAGGATGTCTGACAGAAGGCCTCATAACGGTGTTGTACTTGAGGCCGGTCCTATTCCCAAGGTCTTGGCCAAAGGACTAACTAAGCTCAAGTCAATAAACAGTCACGTCGAAGTTGAACTTTCTTCTACCAACAAAACTGAAGCAACCGGTAGCCACAAGTTGCCCGTACAAGTACGTCGCAAAAGGTACCCTTTCCTGCTCTGGCTCGATAAAGTTACCGATACTGGAAATATGGGCGCCATCCTCAGGTCGGCTTATTACTTTGGAGTTGATGCCATTATTGTTCCACGCCATGGCACTGCCCCCCTCTCTGCTGTGACTGTCAAGAGCTCTGCTGGCGCGGCTGAGCATGTCGAAATTCTGACCATTGATAACGAGATCCAATTCATGCAGCAATCGCAGCAGAACGGCTGGAAATTCTTCGCTACCGGTATTCAGCCGCAGCACAGTCCGACGTCGATCCCTGCCGAAAGCCCTGACTCATCAGCTGACCTCTCCATCGAGTTTGCTCTTGCTTCTCATCCTTGCGTCCTCCTCCTCGGAAATGAAGGCACAGGGCTGCGGCCCTTCCTGCAGAAACAAGCCGACCAAACTGTTTCTATTCAAGGCGCACGCGATAAAGGACTGATCGACAGTCTAAATGTTAGTGTTGCTGCCGCAATACTGACGAACCGCTTCCTGGTCAACCACATATCATCTGGCAGTACGGCATGAACAAAACCACTGCGACAATGATACTTGCTTCTCGCTTCCTGTCCGTATCTGATTTGCAGTCCTTGTCTCTTAAAGCCAATCCACGCCATACGTTGGCTTACCTGATCTGAAAGTTACCACAGTCTCGTTCATATTTTCACCTTCGCCAGCCTTTCCTACTTTCACATTCCGAACCTGTACATTTCTTGCCCTTATTTTGATCTTTCCTCGCGCTTCTTCGATGCCATAGAACTTCCTTCCTGAGCGCCCTGTGAAGCTTTCGATTACTTCCTCCGTTAACACTTCTCTCTTCAGCACGCCTGCCTTCACAGCTCTCTCAAAGCCCTCAAGTACAAAACCAACCACGTTCGGCTGTGTAAAGACTCCTGCTGCACATTTGCCAGCACCTAGCCCACCATCTGTCAAACCTTTTTTGGCACTGAGCAGATGTGGAGCACTATCACTGCCAAAGAAGAATTTCGAGTCACCACTTGCTGCAGCTTGGAGTAACGCAATCCTATCGCTAGGCAGCTTTGCGACAGGCTTACAGAAATTGATCGGATTGCCTGCCCAGTCGTCGATGATGAGGAAGAGGTGGTGTGCTGTGATCGTGCCTACCACTTGTGGGCCACATCCCTTAACAGCTTCGACGGCCGCGGCGGTTGTACAATGCTCAAGGACAATCCTTAACTTCGGAAAACGCTTGTGTAGTGCGTTGAGTGTAGGCAAGAACTCCTGTTCAGCGTTGAGAACAGTAATCTGTCTTGACGCTCCACTACCTTCCATTGCTTCTGGAGAAGGTGGCGCCTCCCCATGAAGGTTCAGGACGAGGTCTTCCTGCTCCATCGCTTCAAAGACTGGGTAAAATGCTTCGTAGTCTACTACACCTGAAGAAGAGTTTGTAGTGACACCGGCAGGGTATGACTTTACACCTGCGATACCTGCCTTCTTTGCTTCCCTGATCGTGTCTGGCGTTATCGAAGGATGAAGGTACAGAGACATCAGGTAGTTAACATTTGGCTCGATTGCCTGCAAGCGTTTCTTATAATCCAGCGCTGCCTGAACCGTGGTGATAGGAGGAACCAAATTTGGCTGTCAATGACGATTAGCTCTTCACTTACTATTCAAGTGGTCCAATCATTCGAGACAAACCATAACAAAGACCGTATCGACACCTCCCTGCCTTATGGTAGGAGTTACTGCTTCCATCATTGCTCCATCTCGAAGGTGAACATGGAAATCCGCTGCCACTGGTATTTCCAGTCCGTCAAATAGGTCGTCCATCTTCACACGCGTGGTCAGGGCATCCGAGATGTGGCTTGAGCGGAACCAGTCGCAATTGGATTCCTCGACTATAGTTTGCACAAGTTTCTGGCCTTGATCCGGCGATTCTGTTCTGCACGTACTGATCTCTATATTGGTGAGATGTCTTGGCGAACCGCCGAATACGAATAAGTTGCCGTGCAGACGACGATATCGCTCAGTACACACGGATATTAAGTCCGCAGTTCTGATCTACCTGCCTGCTTCGTCTATTTTATGCGATTGCTTGCTACGTATCCCAATCATCTAGTCACCAGAATCAATCTACTACAGTAGATACTTCCAAGCTAGAATTTTACTACTTTATGTCCAAGATGTCTCGACTTTCGACTTCTCCGACCCTGTTCAAAGTGGCATACCTCTTCGGAGCTACAGGTATTGCATTTGGCCTGAACGCAATATATAATCCTGTCTACGCTTTGAGCTTTTTCGGATTTGAGTACCCATCGCCAGGCGAAACCAAGCGCGTTGTCGATGCACTCATGATGATCTATGGCGTTCGCGACCTCTTCATGGGTTTCGCGACTCTAATGGCAGCATATCACAGGCAGTCTAAGGTGCTCGGAGCGCTTGTCGTCGCTACTGGTGGTGTAGCACTGGCGGATGGTGCCGTGTGCTATTCTGTTCATGGTACAGGTCATTGGAACCACATTCCCCTTGCACCTGTCATCCTCGGAGTTGGTGCCGGCTTTCTTGGTGTTTTCGACACCGTCTGAGCGAAGCGTGAAAGTGACGATGGGCACGCTCAGATTGCCTTTATTAGCAAAGCGCTTTCTAACAGCTGTTCATCTTCCGAAGTCGTTCCTGTGATTTCGCCATCCTCTCGTGGTCTTATCCAGGCAAAGCACGTATGAAGCGGTCTGTCACGAATTGACCACTTCCCGCTGGAACACGAATATTGATCATCCTACTCACGGATCATGAATCTGAGCATGTCTCACCCGGAGATCATGTCTTATTTCTGAAGATCTACGATACTTGTCAACCAGGTTGCCTTCTGGGTGGTGGACTCCAAGCTTCGCACTAGCTATGCAGAATGCTCGATACCCAGGGGCTGGACGGGAAGACGGTTATGGTCTCGTGTCACTATTGGTATTGCTTTCATGCAAACGCTTCCACTAAGCTCTCTTGCTGTGTTTCTGTCTCTCCACACTCGTGTCCATCACCATTGCAGTCACTAACAATAATGGCTTTTTCATTCTGCCTGACAGCAAGGTCTAAGCAACGTTGAAACCTACGAAAGGGAAACAAAGTGTTTGTGAGACAGCAAACAGAAAACTACCACTGAACAAAGGAGTATCACTCAGCCTGAGCTGCCTAGTGTATGGAGTACACGATGTGCAGACTTTTATATGGCTCTTCAAGTGCTCGATATTGTCAAAACCAGCTCCTAGTAACGAGAAAATATTAGTATGGCCTCAAGCATTTCGTCAACAACTACAACAAGAAATTAGAACATCGAGTATCAAAATTGTACTTTGAAAGCCTCGGCCATGAAGTACATAAACATCGGCGTGTTCGAGAGCAGTTGCTTCTCCGCAATCGAACGTCAAACACCTCACATTCCGAGCGAAATTATTCCTGGCTTGTATCTTGGGAACGCCCTGACTGCAGCGGCTTACCTGCTGGGCAAAATCGGTAGACCAGACGACAAATACCCTTCGATTGCCAGAATGATCACCGTACTGCCAGAAAGCTACGAGGGATTCCCCTTCCCGCGCTTTCCTCGGCCTCTAGGCCGGGGAAAGGACATTCAGAGGCTCGTGATAGAGAAGCAGGATCTTGAAGACACCAACCTTCTGGAGGGTTTTGACAAGGCTGCTCAATTCATTGAAGAGGGTGTGCTGGAGTATGAGCGAGCGATGGAGCGAGAAGAGCCCCGTCCAGCGTCACGCAAATCCACAGGAGAGAGTCTCGACGATGATAAGGGCAAAGCGAGAGCATCGTCGCCGTCAACATGCCCTCCAGTTTCAGCCTGTAAAGTCCGCACAGAGCAACTGCCAATACGACCACGAGATAACCCGCTATGGGCAAGCAAGTTGGCACCCAAATCTCCCATCGTCGTGCTGAAACAGCCTCATCACCCCGTTCACAGCAATCTATCAAAACCCATCAACACGACACAAACCAACCAACAAATGTCATCCTCACACACCCGAGCACAAGTATCCCAAACCTCACGCAACCAAACCGGCGCCGTCCCCGTCCACTGCCACGGCGGCATCTCCCGTTCCGCCACAATCATCGTCGCATACCTCCTCAATTACCACACAAGACTTCCCAAGTCTGACCCCTACGATGCAGACGACGACCCAAAATCCCGCCGCAAAGCAAAACGTTCCCAAGAAGACTCACTAGACGTCTCGGTCCGCGCCACGCAATTCGTGAGGTCGAAGCGATCAACTGTGCTTCCGAACAAGGGGTTTCGCTATCAACTATCGCATTATGCGAGCACGTTTGGTCGTTCGCTTACGGATCCTGAGACTGGGAAAGTCAAGGATGCGTATGTTAAGTGGCTGGTTGAATGGGGGAGGATGACATGGGACTGGTATATGGAGCGTGTTGCTAAGTCAAATAGGGAGTCGGAGCGGGCTGTTACTCGGGCTTTGAGGTAGCTCGAGATGTTTCATGTCTTGTCGTGATGATGGTGGACATTGTGTAGCATACTCAAAGGGGGTGATCGGTAACGTTCTCTGAGCCGGCCGTCTAGCCATCGGCGAGGCAATCTACTTACTAACGCCACAATTCTGAAGAATTCTTAAGAAATCCACTCGCCTGGTCATACGTCTGAAAGACTTGGACTTTGAGCACAAAATTTACTCACAACTTTCTTTTACACACCGATATCCATGCTTTCGATTTGCTTGTCCGTTTTGCATATAGCACAATACTCATGCTGCCCTAGAAAGCCACATAACGCAGTGTCGTAGCGTGTCCTACTGAGAGCTCACCCAGTTCATGTAAACCTCCAACGCCTTGCGAATTCCAGTAGCCCAACGGATCTATCTATGAGACAAGCTCGCGCCCGTCAAGTGGTCGTGGGGGGAAAAAAATACACTGTAAAATCATCACTTTTTCTTCCCCTTCGTTTTCCCATTTGTTACTGGCGCCACGCTCGATGCTCGAGACCCCGACGTTGAGGTTCCCTTGCTACCTTTGGCGCCTTTGACAGCCGAGACTTGTTTGTTCTAGAAACGGTCAGTTGCAGTACTTGAGAATTTGAGCACGTTGACTTACAGAAACACCATTCTTGGCCTTCTTCTTTGGTGGCACGGTCTCTATCTCCTCTTCATCATCTTCGTCTTCGTCACGATCACGACCTTTTTTGCCTACACCATTGGTCTTGCTATCCTTATCCTCACCAAACTCCTTCACAACAGTGGCGATAAGTGTGGCGCATCGTCTGCTCAATTCCAAAGGGGTTCTACTCAGGAAGAACCAGTCAAACCGGAACAACGGACTCTCGCGTATCTCATCCCTGAGAGTCTCGTAGAGGCCATCTCCATCAACGCCGTACTTGTCGAGCATGACAAGCAGGAAGCGATCTTCCTCCTCGGTGTAGACCTTCTTGTTCGTCGTAGATACAGTGTAATTGATCTTCATTTGCTGTAGAGGGACACGATACATCTCCATCTTTCGTCTTAGCAGTTTCTTGTTTCTTTCGTTGGTCTTGATCTTGTCTTCACCTGCCTCGATTGCTTTGATGTGCTTTTCGTACTCGGCAATCTCGCCATAGCGCTTCCAGAAGACCTTGGCGTATTCCTTGATCTCTTCAATGGTTTTGCTGTCAACTTCCGTGGCTATGCCCTCATAGTTAGTGCGTCCGAATCTGGCGGAGCCGTTGACAAATTGTTGAAAGTCACGTCGATTCCAATGGCCAAATCCTTGGTCTTGCATCTTCAGCTTTCGCTCCTTCTCGGACTCTGTTAATGGCTCGGCAGAATCAATGGCTTCTTGCTCCAATCGCTGATCAGCTTCCCGGTCACTAACATCGTCGTCGGTGCCTTCGGCTAGAGGAACTTTATAGCCAATTTCTTTGTGATAATAATTCGTTTCCTTCTCCTGAATTTCTTGAAGACCTTGAGGAAAGAACTGCCAATCGTGGACGTTCACCTGCTTTGGTGCTCGAGGTACTTTTGGCTTAGCCTCTGGCTTTGGACCACCAGTCTTGAGAGCGTCTTTGTAGTACTGATCCATAGAATAAGATTGCTCTTTTCTCTCACGCTTGGTTGGGTTGATCCAATTGATGCCAATTTCTTTCTTGGCAGCCGTGAAGTTTACGCCATTCCACTCGTAAGCACTATCGGATGAGAACTTTTGAAGATCGTCGATGCCTAGTTTCTCGTATCTAGCGTTGAGCTCTTTAGTACGTTCTTCACCTCGTTTGAGAATTTCGTCAAGATCATCAAGAGCACCTGTAGCTCCTTTTGATTCGAACACCTTTTCTGCACCATGTTGAATCATGTTCAGCAATTCGTCTTTCGAAGCTGCCTGTTTAGCTTGTTGTTGTGCTCGCCCTTGTTGAATGACAAGCTGATCAAGACGTAGCTTCTGTGCAGCACGTTCGAGGACTTTCTCCTCGATGGCGTTCTCGGTGATAAACCTAAAAACAACCACTTGTTTTGTTTGACCAATTCTGTGAGCTCGATCCATAGCTTGAAGATCGGCTTGAGGGTTCCAGTCACTATCGAACAAGACGACAATATCCGCGGTAGTCAAATTGATACCTAGACCTCCTGCGCGTGTGGTGAGTAAGAAGATGAATTTCTCTGAGCCTGGTTTGTTGTACTCGTCAATCGCGGCGATACGATCCTCATGTGCGGTACCGCCATCGATTCGGCAATACTTGTGACCACGGAAGACACAATAGTCTTCTAGGATGTCAAGCACTCTGCTCATCTGGGAAAAGATAAGGACACGACTGCCTTGCTCCTTCATCTTGGTCAAAATCTTGTCTAGAATGATCATCTTTCCTGAATTATCGACCAAATGCTCGTCTGTAGTGTAGGGCGGACCCGGTTCGGCACCGTCGAAGAGATATGGATGATTGCAGCACTTTCGCAGCTGCATAACGATGTTAAGGAGTCTTGTTTTGGATTCCCTCTTGCCACCAGCACCGTTAACGGCATCGATATCTTTCTCGAGAATCTTTTGGTACCATTTGACCTGCATCTCAGACATGCCGACATACAAATTGACCTCCTTCTTTGGCAGTAAGCTTTTCTCGACATCACTCTTGACACGTCTAAGTAAGAAGGGTCGGAGCACACGATGTAGCTGTTGCACGACGGTATCTTGGTCCTCTGTCTGACTGGAGAACCAGCTATCGAAAGCCTCGGCATCACCAAAGACGTCAGGCAAAAGGAAATTCAGTAGAGCCCACAATTCGTGAAGGTTGTTCTGCAAAGGTGTACCAGTGATGAGGAGTCTATTTCTGGAATTAAAGACACGGATAATTTGTGCAAGCGAGGATTCTTCGTTCTTGATTCGGTGAGCCTCGTCAATAATAATGTATTCCCAAGCAAACTTTTTCAGATGTGATTTCTCCCGCAGGATCATCTCGTAGGAAGTGACGCACACGTCGAACTTTTCGGGAATCAAGCGATCGTTGATCAGCTGGTGTCGCTCGTCTTTAGCGCCTTGAAGCACAAGGACGTTCACCTCTGGTGTCCACTTCTTGAACTCTCTAGCCCAATTGTCAAGAGTCGACTTTGGCACAGCAATAAGATGGGGACCAGAAATGTCGCAAATGTATCGCAAATAGCCGAGGAAGGATATGGTCTGTAATGTCTTTCCAAGACCCATCTCATCTGCCAGGATACCAGAAATGCCATTCTCGTGCAGGGAGACTAGCCAGTTGAGACCAGCAACCTGGTAGTCTCTCATTTCACCACCCTCAATGTAGGAAGGAGAATCTCTGAAGACGGTTTGAGTGGTAGTACCACGTTTCTCGTCCTTGAGTAACTCAGCATCTTCTTCTTGTTCCGTCTTCCTCTTGCCAGCAGCAGCTCCACCTTTCCTAGAGTGCACTTTCTTGGCTTTTGCAATGTCTGCCTCATTCTGTCGATCGATTTCAGCCATAACTTCGCGTATCTTGGGGTTCGGATTCGTTTCTATGAAATGTCGAAATAGATCTGTAAGGCCTAATAAGTATCGAAACCTTCGAATGGTATCATCCTCTTTAGTCTCGTTGAGCTGTCCGTGTTGCTTTCCCAGGACACTTTTTCGTAGTTGTAAGGCTTCGTTCCTGCGCTTCCGGCCATCAGCATGAGGGGCATCGCCAGCTTCACTATTCGCAGTCGTGTTTGGAGCAGTATCCGAGTCTGTATAATCAGGCGTTTCGTCGCCAAATTGGTTGTTGAGCATTCCAAAAGAAGGTCTGTGGACTCTTTGACGCGGCGCAGGTACGTCGGTCATGGGAGTATCTACGCCTGACGAGGCTTCTGTGTCGGTGGACTTTCTTGGAGCCATATTGGCAAATAGTTCTACACGAGCTACGGCTAGCCCTGGACGTGTTTGTGGTTTGTATTGCTTTGAGACCGCATGCACAAACACGTAGAAGGAACTTCCAGATGGTTGATGTGATGGTCGGAATTGTAGAGAAGAGAGGCGCGTGACTATGTGAAGAGGTTTATGTCGCAATGGAAGAAGGGTATTTCTTACGACTTTCCCCAAGACATGCAAGTGATTTCACTGTACGCGACTATGCAAAGCATCTCCGATTGGATGAGGTCGCGGTAGTGGATTCGGCAACAGGGCTCTACTTACACGTGACCCAGCCGCGAAAAGTGCCACATCCGGCGGGCAGGCACGTTCCAGAAGAATGGCCGCCTATGGCCATGAAGCATCTAATTTCGTCTGGCAAGTGCTCCGTTCGTTCGTTCACTGCCATTCGTTTGTGGTGATTTCATCTACAGCATTGCAAACCCTTGCAGGAAGCGCCCAAGCTGAATAACGACATTGTTTATCACACTCTCTGCAAGCATTCAAAGTACCTCGAAACTTGAAGCTCGAAGCATCATTCATCGACTACCTCTTGTTAAGCACTACGTCTGCAAATTTCCAGAAATATAGACGGACGGACGAACGAACGAACGAGCATATAACCCCTCCACTTAGTCTATCCCTCTACACAGAAGACTCTCGAGTAGTGTCATTATGGACTCGATGAGATCTCTGAACAGGTCGTTACCATCCACTCGCTTGAACAAGGTTTCACCTCCAGAAGAACTGTTACCGGCTTTTAAACAAGCAGCCCTCTCAGTCACCAACCTCTACAAATCTGCTGCTAGCTACCACGACTCAATAAGACAAGCGGGTTATCAAGATGCTTTGGATGACCTATTAACCTTCTTGGATCGCCAGAACTTAGGCCTGCAAGACGGAGAAGGGTGGAAAGTCAGGCAGTGGATCACCGCCCGCTACGATATCTCACACATACAACAAGGGGAAAGCGACGATGATGAGCCGTTAGAACAAGAACAGGATCAGAGGAACTCGTCGCCAGAAAGATCTACAAGAGAAAGGCCAAATGTGGTACCTGAGTCGCCAGAGGACGCTGCTGCTACAGACCACTCTCAAGCTGCGGTACAAGAACAAGACATCGTCTCAACTCCACCCGTATTTCAGTTTGCAGCTGGTCCGGACAACTCAATGCAAACGGACGACAATCAAACACCATCCGAGGACACCAAATCTGCACCAGTCAGAGTTGAGGCGGTCAATCGAGCCAATCGCAATGCTCACAGACACAACAACACTCGCTACGCTTCTCGACCCTCGACCCGAATAAGTACTCAACTTGCTGGTTCGAAACGAAAACTACCTCTGCCAGATTTTGCCGAGATCTTCAAAGTTAGTTTCGACAAGAAGGATGGCTTCGATGGAGGCAGTGCTAATGGTGGTGGCGTTGGTGGCGGTGGTAGCAGTAGCAACAAGAGGAATCGTTTTGTATAGGAAAGAAAGCGCTTCTGCATTTGATAACTCTAAAGATACCAATTTGTTAGCTTTTCTTAGCGAGGTCAGGTTACTGCATACATAGAGTCGGCATACTGTTGGAGGGAAGGCACATACTTTGTGTACGCCTGAGAACCCGAAATAATCAACCATATCAACACTTTTCTCGTCGATTAGCGTATCGTCTCTCAGGAGACTCTGCATCTTATCCGTCCATCGTCACTGTACCACATATTGGTTCGTTGGCTAAGTACCCATAGCCAGCGAAATTGCTCTGAAGGACGCCGATCGTTTCTTCCGTAACGTGTGGTATCCAGCTTGAATAATTTGTAGTTGATTGATGCCGTGCCAACGTTCCAAGGTGCCTCATACACTTAGCGACACGATACCACCACATTGGTATCAGCACTGATGCCCTCAATCAGGGCAAGAACGGCGCGCGACGGTGCTTTCTGTACCGAGTTGCAGAATACCATTGTCCCTGCTGCATCGCACTCACACTTTTAGTTCAACATTCGGTAAATACCTAAGCCCACGAAGGTCGCGGACAATGTGATTATGCCTAGCTGTCGCGATCCAGTCTTGTATTTGGATTTGCTTTTCTCAATTAATTGTTGTCGTTCTCGGAGCTGTTTCATTCCTGAGTAATAAGTCCAGCCACCTAAAGCAACGAACGTCGTGGAGCCTGCATCAACAATAAGCCTTTATACCGAAAACCTTGACTAAGAGGGCAGTACGTACCCATCACCCGGCATGATATACAATCCTCCTTTTCTTCATACGGGCTGGTGATTTCAAGACTGTTCCTATCAGAGGCGAAGATTCTATCCATGATTGCCATCCTGGTTCCTCGATTGATCGCCCTGTTGTCAGAGAATGAGCAAGTCAATAGCACAACAACATGATGTAAGTTAGAGGTGGAACACGACGACACGATGATACTGTCGTCGCATCGACAACCTGAGACGCAAGAGACAGGCAGCATGTCACGTGACTATATCCCTAAGCATCGGTGAGGGACTGCTTTCTATGCCCATGCCAGTGAGTACCCGTTTTAGTACAGGACAATAGTGCTACGCACTAGTATTCAGTCCAGCACTGACGACTCAGCTTCTGATATCGACAATGATTACCCAGAATGAATATGACAGTATTACTCGAGTACCTAATCGGCCGGCTTTAACGTTCCGGGTTTAACTTTCTGGTCCTAACATTTGGGGCTCGACAGAGTACTTCCCGAACCCCTCAAAAGGAGCCAATTGCCAATCGATGCTGCCGAGGGACGACGGCGATATAGTACTGAAGAGACTTCAAGCTGAATCGAGAACAGATCCCAAAGTCTGCTAACAATACCAAAGTCTGACCTTTTATCGTGGCTCTTGTCGCAAGTAAGACGCAGAACAGTTCTCTGCAACTCGAAGCATGTCATCAACATTTACCGACCAAGTGCCCTCGGGTGAAGCAGTCACAGTGAGAGTTATTGACTCGACCACCAGGATCACCAATTTTCCAGTAAAGCATCTAATGGGACCAGACTTGACTGGATTCGATGTATTTCCAGATCTGCCTACTTGGTCGTTTCTTGTCGAACACCGTTCTGGTCGCAAGCTCTTGTTCGATCTTGGTGTTCCTACTGACTGGCGTGACCTTGCTCCCAACGTGTCAAATAGACTGAAGAGTAATGGGTGGGATATTAATGTCGAGAAGCCAACTATTGACATCCTGCGCGAACAGAACATCCTTCCTGGCGATATCGAGGCCATAGTTTGGTCTCATTGGCATTGGGATCATATAGGCAATCCAAACACCTTTCCTACGGACACAAGGCTTATCGTCGGCCCAGGATTTAGGGACGAGAAATTACCTGCCTATCCTGCGAATGCACAGGCGGACGTTCGCCAGTCAGATTTCGAAGGCAGGGAACTCATGGAAATTGGCTTCGATGAAGAGCAGGCCTTGACTATTGGCCAATTTCGAGCTTACGACTACTTTGGGGATGGCTCTTTCTACTTGCTTGATACTCCTGGCCACGCTGTGGGACATCTCGCAGGCTTAGCACGAACCACGAATAGCCCGTCCACCTTTATTCTCATGGGTGGTGACCTCACGCATCATGCAGGCGAGATACGACCATCACCTGGTTTACCAATACCGTCGTCAATACCGGTCGACGATATTCCGACCTTAGCTGCCAGGCTTTCGTGTGGCAGTAGTTGTCCTGGTGCGATCTTCGAGTCCATGCAAGAAACCCGCGGCCGCAAACCTGCATCAACGACGCCTTTCTTCGAGCCTGCCATGGGCAAAGACATACCACTGGCCATTAAAACGATCGAGAAAACGCAGATAGCTGATGCGGATGAGAACATACTGTACATCTTTGCGCACGACAGCAAGATTCGAGGCGTGGTTGATCTGTTTCCTTCATCAGCTAACAATTGGAAGCAGAAGGGTTGGCGACAGAAACTGCTCTGGCGCTTTCTCGAGGACTTTGAGGTTGCTGCGCAACAGCAAAAGGAGACGATGGAAAAAGAAGGCACCAAGCTTTAGATGACTAGATTTAATGTAAGAATTCTGTCGGTACGTCCGGACCCCATACAGCCAAGCCTTCGTGACCAGCAGGTCCATATCCAACCAGTGTATCCTCATTCACCAGATCACCATCCGCATAGTGCTCAACCATGAATTTCGAAGTATCCCACCTAAAAAGATCGTCGTTAGCATCTCCGCTGCTCGAGTCATGGAGAGCATTGCCAACTTACCAATAATCAAAAATCTGACTCCCCAAAATATGCCTCCCAACCCCCCAAACATCCTTATACCTCTTCTCAGCCAACCACTGATGCCCCAACGCCTGCGTATCAAAGTCATGAACCTCAAAACTACAGTGATGCACGTGCGGTTCCGGAATCGAACTATCCGGTGTCAACGTGCTCAAAAATATCGTATGGTGATCCACTAAGTCCTGACCACGGTCCAAATGCGCGAACAACGCGACTTCTTTCCTCTCGCCGGACGGTAAGTTGACGTACAATAAGTCCGAGGGCACGATGTTGAAGTTCTGCGTATACCATTTTTGTAGGGCGAGGAAATCGGCTGATACGAGGCCGAAGTGGCCGAGTTTATGGACGGCGGCGGGACCGGGCTGGAAGCGTTGGAATTGTCGTTGTCGCGGTTTTGTGGATTCGTCGTTGAGGATGAGTTTTGCGGGCATTGGCTTGGGGTCTGTGGGTTTTTGGCCGTGGATTAGGTTCAGTGGGAAGCCTTCTGGATCTGTGATTGTTACGATGTGCCCGCCGCCGGGTGCTGAGTGCATTTCTTCGACGCCTTTGGTCTGTAAGCGGTCTTTGTGGATTTCTGCTGCCCTGGATCTGTGTCAGAGGGGTGTCTGGGGTCAGAAGTGTCAGGCTTACTTCTCCAGATCCTCATAGCTCTCGACTTCAAAAGCACCGCCAAGAAACTTTCGCGGCCCTTCACGGGCATAGTACACGTACTGATCTGGTCCGTAACCACTATACCACCTTTCTGTATCCGTCTTCTTCACCACATGCATACCGAAATCTACTCTCACGTCAGCCTACTCCCGTCAACCAACCCAATACCCTTCAATCACAACAGCCTCTACCCACACCTCGCCCCAACTCAAAACTCACCTCTCATAAACACCGTAATCTCATCAAGATCCTCATGCTGATACCTCATATGACTCAACTTCCTCAACATCACCCACTTCGACTGATCAATCCCCTGCTCCGACAACCATGATTTCTGAGTGACGGACTCGGAGCCAATGGCTTCATTGTCCTGGATGGAGGCGCCTCTGTTGGGGGAGGGGCCTCTGCTCACGGGGTTGCCGTTGGTGGTCGTGGAGTGGGCTTTGGTTTCGGTGAGGTTTGTTTGGAAGGATTTGAAGGAGGACGTTGGGGGGGCTGCCATGTTGAGACGAGATACACGCGTGAGGAGATCAGGTGGAAATTGTGAAGGGGGGTAGTGCTGTAGATTGGCGACTTCGTGTTACGGAGTGTTGAGTAGAAAGGCTGTAGTAAGTAGTAATGCTAAGCGTGTCGAAGACGATGTTTGTGTTAGTTCATCTCAGACGTGTCAGCACAGCATACGATGCAGCAGAAGAGCGAGATATATATCTAGAGAATCAGCGGAATCGAAAATCAGGCTGTGATGAGTAATTATAAAATCTATTCATTCTACATGTAAGGTCGATGTCACGAGAAGTGATCTGCCGAATATGTTCGGGGCTCGCTTCCCCACAAAAGTTTCTCCGACATCCTCAGCACAGGAACATCGGGCAGCCAACGAAGATCGTCCGATCGGACGATCTCGAGCACATATGTACCACATCAAGATAGTCCGGGTTAGGTCTACCAGATACACCACTGTAGAAGTTGCGAACTTCTAGAGAGTTACCATGGCGTCTTGTCGATGCGAACCTGTGATTCTCGATGGACTCGTCGCCCCAGTACGCCGACGTCATCTTCAATCACGTCCGTAACTTGTATTAGACATTGTCGTAAATGGTCCTCGATATCCTAAATCCGGTATCCGACCAAGCAGGAACTCAACATGTCTGTAGGCCGCACTTGGTGCATATTGCGGTACCATATGGCCTGACAAGTCGACTGTGGCGACTGTCAGGCCTCGCTCAGTGTGAAATTGACCCATTACTCCAGCCCCTGCCAATGTGCCCAACTGGTACTCCTCATGGTAAGGCACGTACGCATCTTCGAAGGAGTCTGGTCCAGATTGAAAGCCTTGCATGCCCCCAAATGTCATATTTTGAACAGCAAGTAGTGTCCCGTTGTACTGGAGAATGAAATCTAGCAGTCCATGACCAAGAATGACTCGGTCTGCTCGATCGATGACACTTGGCAGGACAGATAGGCCTGAAGGAGGAGAGTTGTCGGTTCCATTGACAAAAACATTGATAGGTGAGCACTCGTACCACTCTTGCACAGGTGCATTAATCACAGTCTGGACGTCGGTTAAATTGAAGTAGATAAAGGCGCCATCTGGAACGTAGTCAAACGATCCTGGAAAACCAAGAACGTCCCATAACAATGGACATGTGGTTGCAACTAAAAGCTCCGTTAGTGGAATGAACCATTATGGTCGACATCTGTTCTCACCTTGGTAGATATCGAAGCACGGATTGACTGCACTAGCGGCTTGGTACACCATGTTCCAGGTATTGCAAGTGTCATTGTTATCGTTAGGATATGGTGGTGTTGGAAGCGGTCCCTTCGGCGGAAAGACAAGGTTGTCATTCAAGTATTGGGTATAGCCGCAAGCTTCTGAAGTGTTATGCAGTTGCTCCAGAAAGGTAGCATTTAGGTCGAGGAGTGGACCCCAATAGTCAACGAAACTTGCTGTTGGGATGTTATCGCCGATCGAATCGTAGCTGTATACGCCATCATAGACCAGAATCGAGCTCAAATTGTAGTAGGTCGTGTCGTTGGCATTGAGAAAGGCATCTGCAAGGTAAGGAACGTAGTAGCCTGCATAAGACTCTCCAGAAATATACACGGTATAGCCTTGCATAGCAAATGTGTCCACAAAGTTCTTGAAGAAGCCCATGAACTGTGCAGCGACATCCTTCTCACTCGTAGCTGTGACATTGCCCTGAGTAAAGCCAGTGCCTGAAAATATATTAGAGGTGAGTGGCAGTATAAGCATCGTTACATACCTATTGGTTGCTCGACCCATACCACGTTTGTGAGGTTCACCCAAGTCCAAGGGTTCTGCACAGGCTTATACGTGCCATACTGCCATAAGACAGGTCCATTCTCCTGGAGGAACCCTTCCAAAGAGGAACAACCAGGACCACCATTAAGCCAAATCAGAACCTCCTTCTCCGCAGCTGGGTTGACAGAAGGGAAGAACCAAAAGTACAACGCTCCATCATCAGCATCGTCGGTAATGTTCATGAGTCCAGCATAAGACTCTCCGATATCGAAGTCGACATAAGGCAAGCTCGTGCCATTGACGACGTACTCTGCAAGAAAATGAAAATGAGCGTGAGATCGTATGTTGCATGGCGATGAACTTACTCTGAGTCGCAGATGTATCGTACTTGGAGTTCTGTCTTCGTGGGAAATCGCCTCTTCGATGGACTTTCGATTGAGGTTGTCGTGCTTCGAGGGTTGGTAGTTTCTTGCCTACATGTTGAGCACTTCGGGCCGTGACGGCCGTGGTCAGTAGACTCGCAAAGAGCAAGCTGAACAGCTTCATTTTCATTCGTTGTAATCTAGGTTAGGTGTTGTTGTACTGGCCACAAAGAGAATTTAGGAAAAAGTCCTTCACAACTTTCCTGCCGAGTGAATAAACACTCTGGAAACACAGCCGCGTCATCTTGCAGTAATATCTCGGTCGCACCTGATCTGGGTAGCAACAGTGATACCCACAAAAGCTTCACCACGGAAATCGTGTTTTGCTACTTTCTGAAAACTGGTCGCATGGCCAGCACGTTCTCTGTAGTGTCACATCGCGGTCAATCATCTAGCCTTGAGCTACTGCCCGGCGAATCGCAAGATGGTACCGCTCAGTGATGATAGCACCAAGTCTCAAGAAATCCATTTGAGCTTATCATGAAATCTTGTCATCTATGTAAAGAGTGTGATTTGAGATAAACACAAGACTAGATATTAAGCAACAGAACAAGCATCCACATTTTGCTGCGCTAAAGAATGCTAATTCTCGGGATAACCAATCATGGTAGCGGCGAACGACTTCCCGCTGGATGATTGTCCATGTCAGTGTCACCTTCCTAAAAGCGAAAGCTAGATGTCACAAATGAAGATTACACGACAAGACTCAAGCTTGCATTGTGATGGAAGCTTCGGTCTCCGGCGGGACAACGTCTTCTGCAATGCTACACGATGAGTATCGTGTCACGCCCAGGCTTGAGGACTAGATTGACTTATTTCAAGCAGGTATAGCACATCCATCACCACGAGGATCACTACCTGCACTCCATACTACCTGCCCAGTCATCTCATCGACATGACGCCTGATGATCTGTCCTCGACCAAACGTCGACCGACTGAAGCCTTGCAAGACTTGCACCTTGTGACCGAGCTGTTGGAGGCTTCGAACAGTGCTCTCCTCGATGCCCTCCTCCAGATACACAGTCATGTCAAGTAGCGCGCCTTTTTCGGGCATGCCTGCTCCAATGCATATTCGAGGTGCATCCAGCGCTTGCTGGGGATTCATGCCGAACACCTCCATGTTGAGTAATGTCTGGACATGACCTTGTGGCTGCATAAAACCACCCATCACGCCAAACACGCTGTGCAAATCCCTCTTATCACCTTGGCCGTGTGTCAAGAGTCCCGGAATGATGGTATGATACGGCCTCTTCCCACCAGCGTAAATATTTGGGTGGTCTGGAGGTCCAAGCACGAAGTTGGCACCACGATTTTGCAGATTGAATCCACACCCTTCTGGGATGATTGCGCTGCCAAAGCCAGTGTATACAGAATTGATGAAACTCATTCCGTTGCCCTCCTTATCAGTAACGCAGAAGTAGACGGTATCGCAATGGTTGTGAGCCGGACTGGGCTCACCATGATCAAACGCCTGAGCTTTCTGGGCGTCAAACAATTTGGCTCTTTCGGTGAGGTACGATCTCGAAATCAGCTCTGCAGGTTTAATTGGGCTGTGCTCGGAATCTGTCACCCACCAGCTAGCATCGATGAGGGCTATTCTCAACGATTCGATAACGGCATGTAGATAATCTGCACAATTGTGGTCTTCCTGCGCGAACATCCTGATTTTGCGCGACTTCTCAAGCTCTTCAAATATACCTAGAGCCATTAGAGCAACAATTCCCTGACCATTCGGCGGGTGTTCCCAAAGATCGACAGTGTGGCCAGCAGAACTGCCATCGCTTTCACGAATTTGTCTTGCACCTATGTTTTGACCAGTGAAAGTCAGGTGAATTGGCGTGGTCTCTTCGCTGCCCTTATTTAAATGGTCTTCAAGATCGTCAAGCTCGAGATGACCTCCAGTCATTTTAACAACATCAACGATTGATTTCGCGATGCGACCAGTGTAGAAGCCCTTCTTACCTTCAGTAGCTAAAGTCCGAAAAGTTCGTGCCAGTGTAGGAATTTGCATGATCTCGCCAGCTCGGGGAGCGCGAGCAAAGTGCTCTGCATTTGGGTCTCGTCGAAGCATTTCTCGAAAGTTGGGAGAGGCATCCCGAAGCCTACTTTCGCCATTCTTCCACTTCGCCTGGTCAGCATAGCCACTATGTCTAGTTCAGGTCACTCACAAAACTCGCACTTAGCTCAGAAACAGGAAAGCCATTTTCACCCAGCTCAATGGCAGGTGTCAATATCTGCTCCAATGTAACCTTGCCGCTACCAAATCGTTCAACGACATCGCACCAACCAGCAGCAGCTCCTGGCACAGTCACAGATAGACCACCGTCTAATGGAATGGAGCCACGTTCTCCAGATGTGAGATCCAGCTCTTTTCGTATCTGATCCACTGTCGTATTCTTGGGCGCACGGCCAGACCCATTCAGTGAACGCACCTTCTTAGTTTTTGCGTCCCAGTACAAGCAGAACATATCACCACCGATACCGGTCGAAGAAGGTTCGGTGATATTGAGGGCAGCAGCTGAGATGTAGTAAGTAAGAGGGCACTGGCAGCAATTCTTTAATAGCACTGACCAACTGCAACGGCCGCATCCTGCTCACTGTCAGCTAACATAGTCGTGTGCTTGAAACCGACCCACAGCAGCATTTCCTCCCATCTTCAAGATTCGTTGTCCAGCTTCTGACGCCAACGGTTGCGTGCTTGCAACCATACCGCCAGTGCTGTGTACCACACTCCTTCTGCTGCCATGACGGGAGAAGGCTGGTTCTGTAGCTGGGTAAATGTGCTGCGCTGTTAGAGGCATGGTAGCGATCTCTGACCAGCAATAATATGGCAAAGAATTTAGAACAAGGAATAGGTCACTTTTGTAACAATTGCAATTCTGTGCTTGTGAGTGAGCTACAATACCAGATCAGACAACAGTATACAACAATCTCCCGAAGCGTCACCGAAATCGAACATGTCCATCAAACAATGATAAGGTGAACTCCTCATCATTCTAGTTGCAAGGGCTAAACGAGCTGGCAAGCATCATATTACGCAATGTAACGAGGGTTGCGATTTCATGCAAAGGACGTGTGGAAGACCGCTGTTGCCAAAATGACTTTCCTCTTACGACTAGCCCTGCCGAGGCACCTCAAAGTGCTGCTTGTGCTTGAATGTTTAGGCGCAGGTGGGCACGACTGGACACCTTGGCACGCATTTGAGCGCTGAGGAAGCCCGCTCTTCTCAGCATTGCTCGGGGCGTTCTCGTGCAACATTCCATATCCCTCTACAGTAGAAGGCAGATCTATTCGAAGGGTGAGATGTGGGCACGCCACAAGCACTTTCATCCATCGGCCGTAGCCAAGGAGCAGCGCTTACTTGGGGTTGTGAACACGAGCCATGATTCGAACGACATCCAAAGCACAGAGAGGATGACAAGATAAGAGGGGAAGTCAGGAGAAGATTTGAGACACAAACAGCAAAGTCTTCTAGGCAAGCCCTAAGCTCGTCAACATGCCCTGCTCTTCTTGTTGAACACCTGCCAGTAAATAGGACGCCTTGAAACGTATCTTGACCGTCGTGCCCTTCCCCGGAGGCACATTGCTCACCAGCATGTTCTGCGTTACTGCATTTGGCTGATGTGGAGGAAGGTCTTTGCCAGATTGTGGTTGCAGCAGGAGAGTGTAGACCTTCTCGACAGCTACCTGAAAATTCAGAGCTGTGATTGGGCTTGCGTTTTGATTGGTAAACGAAGCCTTCACGAATATCGGAGCTGAAGCCACTGGGCCTTGATTTGTTTGCCGCATGCATTCAAAGATCACTTTTAATTTGCCACGATCCAAAATTGTCAAGGTGCTTTTCTCGGGTAAGGCAGGTTCTTGTGCAGGAGGTGCAGATACGAAGTTCCAGTCATCTTCAGCAGGTGCCGCACTAGCGATTGAGTTCATCTGTCCTACAGGGTGCGCCAGGCCAGATGCTGGCTTGATCCCGTTCTGTTGCATCGATGGCGTCGAAGGCCTCGAAGTCGACCTTGAAGTTGGGGATACTAGGATTGCGAATGGATCCGAGGCTGGCAATACTTGAGCTGGCCTTTGCTGGCCAGGGACTGGAGTCGCAGGTTTGGATCTAGGAAGTGCACTCGAAAGAGAGGCGAAGGCATCATAGTTTGGTTTTATGGATGGTGGCTGCGGTGTCGCAGAAGTCGGGGTTACTGAGAATTGAGTCGATAGGGGTAGCTGTGCCTGCTCAGAAGCCTGTGGCACAGAAGCTTGTGGCGCGCTGAAGAGATCTGACAAGGTTGAGCCACCGAGAGATATGCCACCAGTTGGAGTACTTCCCAGTGATAAGCCAAGAAGATCGTCCTCGACAGTAGCTTGCTTGGAAGGTGCAGCAGGTGTCGGATCCTCCAACAATGAGCCATTCTGGGCTGGTTGTGCTGAACTTGATGCGCCTGCGGACTGATTTGGTTCAGGGTCAAAGTCAATAAGTGATAATTCGTTGGCGGCATTTCTACTGACTCCTGTTGTGGTTCCGAGTGTTCCTTTAGGTATATTGTTTGCTGCAGTGACCTGGCCAGCCTTCATCAGCTTATATCTTTCCACGGTCCTGTGTATGCTATCGTTGATTTCAAGTAGCTTCTGTACAGCTTCGGCATCCTCCGATTCTTCCTCGCACATCCTCTGAATTTTAGGGTGTGCACTTTGTAGGGCATTGACAAGTTCCTATCAACATCAGTCAGGCTTCCAGAGTCGACCTCGCATAAAGGGCTAACCTCAAAGACATCACCTTCCTCAATCTTGTCACCCTCCTTGACACCTTGTAGCATCTCCTCCAGGATCCTAGCCTTTTGCTGTACCTTGGAGACCTCCTCAGCCGCCTTTGCACGATAATCTGTCTTGTTCCGAGTATCGTACCCAGCCATAACCTTCATGAGCCTGTTGGCCTCCTGTAAATCGTGGGGTGTGCCTCTACGGATAAGCTCTTGCAGCTTCGCAGACTGAGCAGCACGTTCCTCCTGTTCCATCTCCTCGGCGGATTTGAGGTTGTCGCTTGGGTTAAGGACTGCTGCATCATCGCGACGGACCTCCGGGAACATGTAGCCTTTGTAAAGTAGCAGTCTATGCATATCTCTTATGAACCCAAGGTCCTCCTTGTAACGTGAAGTTTGACATATTGTAGCTCTCCATTCTTCGATGGCTTCGAGGATCTTATTCTGGACACGACTTGCTCGGATAGGCGGACGTTCTGGGAATCTTCTCACGAGCTCGTTCAAGAACTCCTTGGTACTGATCTGCAGGTGGAAGGGGTAGCCGCAGTTTTTCACACAATTGTCAAGGAGAGCCAATGCCAACAAAGACACATTAGGATTGCGGTGGTTAATTAGTTGGACGATCTGTACAGCGGCTTCTCGAGGCGCATTGCCCTTTTTCTGGTTTATCAGGTCGACGATTTCGAGGTTCAATGCTAAATTCGGCTCTAGATTGGATAATGGATCGCAAGCGTTGTCTGAGAGCAGATTGTCAGTATAGGTCGAGCACCACGAAGCAGACTACGACGCACAGATGTAGCGCTGCAATTGAGTCCTTGGAGGAGGGAACCCTTCAAACTGATGCCGCGACGCAGCCATACGAGCTGATGTGGCCTCCATCGCGACTCAGCGTGCGCACATTCCAAAGTTCGAACTTTTGCGAAGGTGTACCTGCAATTCAATGCTTGAGGAGGCAGTATCCCACATGCAAGACCGCATCCTAAACGCCTCGTATCACTGGCCCTCTCAGCAAGTGGAGCTCGTGCGTCATCCTCGAGCCAACCGTCTTCTCTACTCACATTTCTGGGATCGGAACAAATTGAAGCTGATGAAGAAGCTATCCTATGTGCTGTTGAAGTAACACGATACCTTCCAAGAGTCAGAAGCAGCAAGTTGTGTTGATGCGTTGATCGCAGCATAGCACTGAGGAGTCATCAATCTAGGCCTTGGTATCCTATACACCTATGTCAATGTCCAACTGAACACTCCTCTGATGTACTACGCCTTTACGAGTACAAGTTCACGGTCTGGTCGCAGCTTCAAATTTACAATTGTCGATTGGTACCCGCAACTTTCATCCAGCAGACAGACGTGTGCCGACTGAAACCGGGTCCTGCCTCTGATGGAAATCCTGGGTAGAGAGATAGAGAGACATTATATTCATACACTGTGACCTCGCATCAAAACTCCATGGCATCTGCGCCATTGTGTCCGTCTTCGTCTCTTTCTCTCTTCAAGCTTGTCGTTTGACTCTTGACAAGTTTGTTAACATAACCGTTGAAAAGCTCATAATATGGTTTCAGCCTGGTCTTCTCCCAGTCGAGCACCTTCTTCTGGTTGCTATTTTCATGGCGGTTAGAATCTTCCTGGGACGTCCCTTGCTCCTCTTCATTCTTCTGACCAAAAGAATCAATCTCGCGCAACAGCTCGGTGACCGTCGGCACAGTGAGCGGATCGAACAGGTCGGCTCTCTTCATGTCACCTCCACAAGTGATAGGCACACAGACTCTTCCTGTGCCTGGGTGCACAACAAAGGGCGACTTGAGCAGATGTATCCGCTTCTTACCGACTTCCACATCGATTCTAGGATAGGTGTACTCGAGCAGGGCATCCTGCTTGGCTTCTAGCAGCGCCTTGGTGTCCAGATTCTTGCTGACACCAGTTTTAGCAAGCTCGTCGATGTCGTCCCACTTCTTCTTGCTTGGCCGATCTGGTGAACTTGACCATTTTTTCCTAAGAGCATCGTTCAGATCCTTATCTGGTAATAACTGCAGAAGCCTATCTTGTCCGGACTGACTAAGAAAAGGTTCTTGTTCAACGAGAATCTGTGTAAAATAAGGACGAAGAATATCCATGCTCCGGCGGACGTGTGGATGCAACGGCCGCCTGACATTGACTCGCTTTCCACCTTGTACACCACCCCTCAGCACTTCAAAATAGCCCACAAGAGCTTTTCTTTTGTCGTCGTCAAGCTCTCGTGCTTCTTTGTCACTGATCCAAGCGTGAACACCACGACGGCCCGAGTAGACCCAGAGTATGTGCTCAAAACCAAAGTCTTCACGCAATGCTGCATCTAACACTTTGATGGTCATGGTAGCAAACTTCCAGCATTTTTCGCATATGTTTGCCTTAACGCAACAGGTTCTGATATCGTCGTAGTCCGTCAAATCTATATCAAAAACCATCTCTTTACTTAGAGGACGGAATGTGCTCGCTTTCCGCAAGGTTTTACGATCTCGCGGATTGGTACTGTACTCGGGGCCGATCTCGAAACGTGAGGGATTCAGACGAAGGATGTCCCTACGAAGCAGGTCGTGGGAAGGATACGACTGATAGCGCAAGTAGGCATCGTTCGACAGGGTAAAGGCGAACTCTCGGTTCGCAAATCTTGGTGATGGCGATGGTGAAGCATTCAGCCAGAGGAACAGTGGCCGAAATGGAAATAGCCGTGTATAATATTGAAGCATCACAGATGGATCACTGTATGATTCAGCCTGGCCAGATCTGGCACTGGCTACGTCTTGTCCTCGGTGATTGTCTTTTGCTGTCGGTGGTGACGATGGTATGTCTGCCGTGCTTGTCAAGAGATCAGAATCAGACACCTCGTCGTTGAAAATGTCCTCGAGAGCTACTTTGTTCGTCGTTGCAGCAGTCGCTTCTGGTGCAGCAGGAAGTTCAACATCGTGATTCTGTGAGGTAGATTCTGGAGGTGAAGAGGGAACGTCAGCCTCCATATCAGAGATAGCGTGTGGCATTTTCGGGGATAGCTCTTCAAGTGCTAAGAAAGGTCTTCATAGAGGGTAGAAGAAAGCAGGCATTATGCACCAAGTGCAGCTTGAACGCGTACTTGACAAAGTGTACGCGTACGTGTCGCGTTTCTGTCGCGTAAAAGGAGTGGAGCTCAATTAACCATTTGACCTAACTTTCTATTCTCAGTTATGGCTTTATCGCCATCTTCCACAGCACTAGCAACGAGACATAATGATTACCAAAGCTGGATTGTCTGTAGTTAAGATGCTAACATTAAATTCAGTGATGTTCTACCCCAATCCCCAGTCACTAAGTCATTACTGAATAACAAAAGCCGAGCAAGTATGCGTATGCTTGAGTTCAGAGATGTGTTGTAACTTGCTGTCGAACATCATCCCAGCCTTCAGCGTTACCTTGCAGCAGTCTCTTCTGGCTAGTGAGCTCTATGCTGTCGAATGTCAGTGGAACATGCCAGACTGATTCTCTATCACATCTTCTCCAACGATACCAGGTAGTATTGAGGAGAGACTTCCCCATCGATCTCAGCTCGCTGAATGACGTCGCAACTTGGAATTTCCCACGCTTAAAGAGATCAATTGCCTCGAAAACCATCATTACGGTTATATTTGACCTTCCTCAGCAAGTACACTGGTAATTGGTTACATACGTGTCACATCACCTTGGACATCATTATGGCAAGCTCCGAGCAGGTAGTCCTCTACGACCTCCCAAGTAGGGAACCCTGCAAATGCTGGAGCTTGAATCCCTGGAAGACACGATTATTACTCAACTTTAAAGGCATTGACTATACGACAGAATGGACTGAGTATCCAGATCTACAGCCGAAGCTAGAGAAGCAGTATGTGCATAACAGATGAAAAGAGCTGTCAATTTCCCCCACGTGTGCCATCAGAGGGTACATCAAACAAGTACATCATTCAAGTCTAACATTGCATTCGTAGTATAGCACCGAACAAAGAGGGCATGGCTGACTACACGTCGCCCACAGTCAAATTCCCTGACGGTACTTTCGTTATGGACTCGCGAGTTATTGCAGCCGAGGTCGACAAAAGATATCCCCAGCCCTCGCTTCAGATCGATTCACCGGTACTCTCGAAGCTAGAGACAATACTTCTGAAACTGATGCCGACGCTGGCACCCTTCTATATTCCGAACGTGCCGAAACGTCTGCTCAACGAAGCTTCTCATCCACACTGGTACAAAACCCGTGAAGCTCGAGTAGGTATGCCACTTGATCAGTTCGAACGCGAGAAAGGAGGACAACAGATTTGGGATGCTGCGAAACCTTACCTGGATGAGATCACGGCAATGCTTAAGGAAAACAATGGTGGTCCATATTTTATGGGAGATAGTGTATCATATGTCGACTTTGTTTGGGGTGGCTTTTTACTCTTCGTACAGAGAATTGGAACCGATTTCTGGGAGAAGCTACTGCAGACCATTGGAGACGATGCAGACGTTCATTCGAAGTTGGTTCTAGCTCTGGACCCATGGAGCTTGAGGAACGACAGATGAGTATATATCCTCAACCATCTCTTATTAGTGGTGATAGATCGTCGTTGTGAATCATGCTCTACATGCTCGTCATCAAACAGCAACAAATTGGTGTGCTCGACTGGAAACGAGAGATCTAATATCAAACTTCCACTCGTGTTAAATCAGGTTTCCTGTTACCACGATAACCATGACCAGAATGATCTTTATCTATCAGAAAAAAGGAAAAAAGAAAATGCCTCATGCACCCACGGCACTCCTCTGGCTAACGCATTTTGCTGATCTGCAATGTCTGTCGTATCGTTACATCTGTGCGAGTGTCGTCATCGGCTCAGAACTGCAACCACTGTGACTCACTACCTGAATAGACTCGATATTCCAACTGGTCACGAGGTCATGTTCACGCCCAATGCATAGAGCACTTGCTGTACTATTTGTTGCAAGCCTCTCCGAGCGTCGCGAGTGGTCTTCTTCAGGTTCACAGGTGAAGGTGTATTGTTAGAGAGATACAGTACAACTTCGTGGCCAGCATTCAAGATGCCTCGACTGCAGGATCGTGAAACCTCAAATAGCGAGGGAATACATGCTCAAGACATTGAAGAACATGCCTCTGACCACCTCGGTAATAGGCACGGAGAGATACATAACAAAAGGTTATGGACTCTCGCAGGGTCCGCGCTGGTGCAACTACCTATCTGGGGTGAGTCAGGTCGCAATTAGCAGCACTTAACATAACAAAAAGCAGGATTTGCAATGAGCTTCGGCGTATTTCAAGAATACTTCAACACAAACTGGGGATCTGTTGGCATTAAAGGCGACCAGTCACGTACTGGCCTCGTAGGTATGTTTCAGAACGGAGTTATGTACCTTTCTATGCCATTGTTGTTCGCTCTTTTCACCAAACGTTATGCTCGTTGGCGTCGCGCAGCCGCGCTTTGTGGTGCGGGTCTTGCTTGCATCAGTTTCACGTTGTCTTCTTTCAGTACGGTTGTCTGGCAGTTGATCCTGACACAAGGAGTTATGGCCGCCTTCGGGTGTACGCTGATGTTCAGTCCGATGACATTATCACTTGGCGAGTGCTATAGCACTGGCAATCGCGCTTTGGCTTATGGTATTACCCTTTCCTGCAAGAACATTGTCGGATCTGTATGTCCCTTCCTCTTCCGACAACTGATCGACCATTACGGATTTCGGGTGGCATTGAGAGCCTGGGCGGCCATTGGGGCAGGCACCAGCACTCTGGCCATACTCCTGGTTCCCACTTATCCTCCATTCCTATCAACCAACGAGTCTCGACAACGAAGGATACCTTGGCAGTTCTTGAAACACAAGACCTTCCACATTTATAGCCTTGCAATCATCCTGCAGAGTGCAGGCTATGGCATACCTCAAACTTACCTAAGTGAGTTCGCACGAGAGGTCGCTCTGCTGTCACAGACCTCCGCAACCTTACTGCTTACCCTCTTCAATATACCCGGAATCGCATCCTCGTCTTTCTTCGGCTACTTGAGCGATAACAAGCATATCAAGCTTTCAGCTAATACCGTAACATCTGTATCAGCCTTCAGCTCCGCCCTCTCGGCCTTCCTGCTCTGGGGCCTCACTTCACGTGGTGATCTAGCTCTCCTGCTGGTCTTCTCGATGACATTTGGATTCTTCGCTGGTGGGTATTCAGCTACGTGGGGAGGTGTGCTTGCCGATATGGAACGTGAAGCTGCACAGCGCAACGAGGCTATCGATACCGGAATGGTCTACGGGCTATTCAATGGCGCACGAGGTGTTGGTTATGTCGTGGGTGGACTGGCTAGTGTGTCTCTGCTTGAGGCCGGATCGACCAACTCTGTTGCGAAATTTGCCTATGATTCGAGCTATGGCCCGTTGATAATCTTTAGTGGGCTGTGCTCGCTCTTTGGTGGATGGGGTGTCCTCTGGAGATGGGACAAGCTGGAGAGTTGGTTGAAAGGAATCAATAGACCATGAAAATATTTGGACTTGACAGAGCAGCTTGGCAGATGTTGTCAGCACGCACCAAATATAGCTAGTCGTTGCACTATTGAGAAGAACGATGCGTGCTTAAAAAAAAGGGGCTTGCAGTTAACGCATGGCATGGCTCTGCTTGCGTATCGTGGCAGAAGCGAACACTGACTGGAACTCACCCCCAATGACTTCTATGTATACAGGAAGTGATCTTCATTGTAGATTTAGGCTTTCCACTGATATGTCCCTGCCAGAAGTTCATAACTTCTGATATTCCTCTTATCGATAGAGACGCGTGTCACGAGAACGACGCGTCCATTTCGGAGATTCATTATAGAAACCGAGGCTGCGACATCTGTTCCAATGATTCGCAGCGATGGCTTCCAGACCAGAATTAAAGGTGAGTTGCATGTCTTTGTATATGCAGTACTGACAGCATCAGGTGGACGACGAAGGTGGCTTCATTCGAGCATTCAGATCACTGCCTGCGAAGACCGACAACGATACCATACGAGTCGTGGATAGGAATGACTTCTTCTCTGCACATGGTGAAGATGCAGAATTCATTGCAAGAACAATTTACAAGACTACAGCGGTCATCAAGAATCTCGGACGTGGCGATGTACTACCCTCCGTAACAATGACAATCACTGTCTATCGCAACTTTCTCCGAGAGGCACTCTTCAAGTTGGGCAAGAGGATAGAAATATGGCAAGCTCCGGGCAAATCAAACCTGAAGATGGTGAAGCAGGCCAGTCCAGGAAATCTACAAGCTGTCGAAGAGGAACTAGGAGCTGGCATGGACAGTGAAGGCAGTGGCGCTCCAGTCATGCTCGCTGTCAAAGTGACTGCGAGAGCCGGTGAAGCCAAATCCGTCGGAGTCTGCTTCGCTGATGCCAGCGTACGTGAACTTGGTGTCAGCGAGTTTCTCGACAACGACATATACTCGAACTTCGAAAGTCTGTTGATCCAGCTCGGTGTGAAGGAATGTTTACTGGTCAAGGATACTGCAAAAGATGGGAAGCAAAAAGATCCGGAGCTTGCGAAGTTACGCCAAATTGCAGACTCTTGTGGTATAGCTATTTCTGAACGTCCTGCGCCTGACTTTGGCACTAAAGACGTGGAAGACGATATAGCTCGTTTACTCAAGGGGGAAGGAGCGTCTGGAAGACTAGCTGTCACCGAACTCAAACTCGCCATGGGCAGCGCTAATGCTCTCATCAAGTACCTGGGATTGATGCACGACACAAGCAATTTTGGCCAGTATCAACTGTACCAGCACGACCTCAGTCAGTACATGAAGCTCGACGCCGCAGCTCTACGAGCACTTAACCTCATGCCAGGCCCACGAGATGGTTCGAAGACAATGAGCATATTTGGCTTACTCAATCAGTGCAAAACTCCAATCGGCAGCAGGCTACTCGCACAATGGTTGAAGCAGCCCTTGATGAGCTTGTCAGAGATTGAGAAGCGACAGGTTCTGGTCGAGGCCTTCGTCAATGACACAGAATTGCGACAGAATCTACAAGAAGAACATCTTAGATCAATCCCCGAGCTGTACCGACTTGCAAAGAAGTTCCAGCGAAAGCTAGCCAACCTAGAGGATGTGGTCCGTACCTACCAGGTTGTTATCCGACTTCCTGGTTTCATCGAGGCCTTTGAGTCTGTCATGGATGAAACCTATAAAGACGCTCTAGATGATGCTTATACCGCACGCTTCCGTGAGCTCTCGAACCAGTTGGGCAAGCTTGCAGAGATGGTGGAGACAACGGTCGACCTGGAAGCTCTCGATCGTCACGAATTTATCATAAAATCAGAATACGACGAGCGACTTCGTATCATTCGTGAGCGGCTTGACAAGATCAAACACGAGATGGAGGTGGAACATCGTCGCGCTGGCAAAGATCTAAACCAGGACATCGAGAAGAAGCTCTTCCTCGAGAATCACAGAGTACATGGGTATTGCTTCCGACTTACACGAACAGAAGCAAGCGCGATTCGCAACAAGTCAAACTATCAAGAGATAAGCACGCAGAAAAACGGTGTCTATTTCACCACCCGACAACTTTCAGACCTGCGACGCGAGCATGACCAACTGAGCCAGAAGTACAACACCACTCAATCTGGCCTGGTAAGCGAGGTTGTCACTGTAGCTGCCTCTTACGTGCCTGTGATCGAAAAGCTGGCCGCGGTCATAGCCCACCTCGACGTTATCGTCTCCTTTGCGAACACATCGGTACATGCACCAACTGCTTACGTTCGACCAAAAATGCACGAACGCGGCCAAGGAGACACCATACTAACTGAAGCTCGTCACCCCTGTATGGAATGCCAGGACGACATAACCTTCATCACCAATGACGTGGAACTACGACGAGACACATCTCGCTTTCTCATCATAACAGGGCCCAACATGGGCGGAAAGAGCACCTATATCCGAACCATCGGTTGTATCGCCCTCATGGCCCAGATAGGCTGCTTCGTACCATGTACATCTGCCGAACTGACTATATTCGACTGCATCCTAGCACGTGTCGGCGCCTCAGACTCCCAACTCAAAGGTGTCAGCACATTCATGGCCGAAATGCTCGAGACATCCAACATTCTCAAATCCGCAACCCGAGACAGCCTGATCATCATCGACGAACTCGGCCGAGGAACCAGCACATACGACGGCTTCGGTCTCGCATGGGCCATCAGCGAAGAAATCGTCAGCCGCATCGGCGCATTCGGGTGCTTTGCCACACATTTCCACGAACTCACCGCATTGTCTGATAGATATCCCGACGCCGTCAAGAACTTACACGTCGTGGCTTTCGTCGGAGACGAGCAGAAAGTCAAAGGTGAAGACGACGTCAAAGTCAATAAGAGGCGCGAAGTCACGCTACTATACCGCGTCGAACCCGGTGTCTCCGACCAGAGTTTCGGCATCCACGTCGCTGAACTAGTCCGCTTCCCTCAGAAAGTCGTCAACATGGCTCGAAGGAAAGCTGAAGAACTCGAGGACTTTTCTTCGCACTCAGACGATAAAATGGCTGTTGATAAGAAGAAACAAGAGTACACCAAAGAGGAGATCGATGAAGGCACCAGGCTGTTGAAGGCTGTGCTTAAGCAGTGGAAGGCCAAGGTTGAGGATATGGGGTTGGAGATGAGTAATGAGCAGAAGACACAGTTGATGAGGGAGATGGTGAGGAGTAATCGGGAGCTTATGCAGAATCGGTTCTTCGCGGAGAGCATGCAGGCACTGTAGAGGGATTTTCGGATCGAAACATCAAGTGGAGTTATTCAGGATGTACAGAACATGTCGAGCCTGGTGTTGAGGAGTTTGTTTGGCTACTTATGAGTCAACCAACCTATGCAGGCATGAAGCACACGCACTGCATAATAAGAAAGTTATTGAAATGGACCACCACGTTGTTCATGATTAATTCGACGAAAATATATCAGAGTTCAAGTACGCCACTGTCAAGCTTTGTATCGTGCCATAGTCGTTGGTCAAATTCTGAGCCTGAATCAGATAGTGTCCCCTCAAGCCTGATAGCATCTTCAGATGTCCTGCTTGCCATCAGAGGCACTGGTATTGCTCACGCGATGGCCCATCTTCTTCAACTCTTTCAGACTGACATCAACGAGCTTCTTCATACTCTCTGATTTTCGAAAACGACGACCTTGACCTGGTGATTCGACTTGGTGGGCATATCGCTCTTCTCCACCATCGGCAGCAGGGGCTAGCTGGTACATGCTTGGGTAGCTCGAAATAGATGGAGTCACGGTGTCGACCTGAGCATGAGATGCAAAGGTGTTAGCTGGCACTGCCGTAACTTTTCGATCTCTAGATGTAGGAGATATGCGCAGCTTCATGATACTTGGGCCCGTGTTACGTTGCGTAGCTGGACACTGTTGATCGGAGCTTGATTCTGCAAAGGTCTCGCGAGTGCTTCGGCCTTGTCTCCCTTGAATGTTGCCCTGTTCCAGTTCTTGTTGATCGTGTGTCTGAAAGCGTGCCTGTCCTCGCTTGCTGACCGAATCCAAGCTATCAACAGATCCTTTACTGCTGAAAGTGTCTAACGTAAAGCTTTTTGTAGGGTAGCGTGGCGGCTTTGATACTGGTGGCTTTCGAAATGTGGTTCGAGGAAGAGTACCAGTAAGATCCCTCCGCTCTGCCTTCGTAGGTGGTTGACCTGGTTCGGCTGCATGAGCTCTGCGCTCGGTCTGGCCTCGCAAAGTCTGGCTGCTTGTCTTGATACCTGGAGGCATGAAGTCGGGATCCTTGGCCCGTAAAGAGACTGTGAAAGTCTTGAAGCTATCATATGCAGCCTGAGTCTGACACAACGACCTCAAGACTCCTAGAGCTTCTGCCTTAATGTCCTTTTCGGCACGATCAAACTCCATGCTTGTCTTTGCTCTTCGTATTATGCGCCGGTCGTGATTTGTAGCCGGTGGTGCTGGGATTAGCTTCGTTGTTCGCAAGCGGTCAAGCATAGCCATATATCGTCCTAACCAGTACTGCGCGGGCTGGGCAGTATGAACCTAATATTGTAAGCACTTTCCGGAAAACATCATTTCACATATGACTTACATGCACATGCCTTTCTCCGACAAATTCTTCACTCTCAATGAGATATTTGCTCTGACCGTGTTGCAATTGACCTGCCGCATGGCACGAAACGTCCTCCTCGCTCCTCGTCTTCCTACCTGAAAGGAACACGTACGGAGATACAGGCAGCCAGTTTCGCACAGACAGCGCTCCTCGTTCCTTCTCCTTCTTTGGTGGAGTTTGAGCTGTATATTGACTCGGACCAAGTACTTGTCGCGGCGGGGCAATATCATCGTAAGTACACGATCGTGGTAGGGGTGCGGGTAAGGGACGTAGTAGACTGCGAGCAGGGATATCCACGTGTGGAGAGAGCAGTGCTGGTGTTGTTTGAGACTTCACCAAGCTTCTCACAGTGGCTTGTGCTGGAATGGCTGAAACATCCTCAAGAGGCTCGTAGGTATCGAGGTGTGGTAGAATGGTGTCCGATCCAGGTAGTACGCTTCGTGGTAGATCGTGGTTACGATCCATAAGGAATCTACGCACTGGTCGTCTTGCGCCCTCTGGTGATGGCAATGGTGTTCTGGTCAAACATGACTTGGACGTCTTGCGGATTGGATCTGCTTGACGGGACGATCCAGATGATGGTCTTGGAATGCTAGTAATGGAAGAATGACGAGTGTGAGTCTTGCTCTTGACCGTATCACGATCGAATGAGCTACCCATCGTGGCTCTCGTTGGGACAGATGTTTGAGGTCGAGGGCCATCATGTCAAGCAGATCGTTTGCTTAAGAAATAAGACATTGAAGCTGATGTTGGAAGTGGCGATGCGTGTACGTGTGGAAAGAGCGATGAACGAGTTTCTTCCTCGGGAGCCCCAAACCCATTGAGACAATACTGACATGATGTAGAATTTTAAAATGGCTTGGGCGGCTTGTGGTAACGTCAATACTGCATTAAAGAGCTGAGCCTCGATTGCGAGGTGATATCAATGCACAAAAACATAAATAACAGCATTTTCAGGCCGTCACTCGCCGACATGGAACTCGCAGTGAAAGGCACGATCTAAACTCGTAGTGATTGGAAAGAGAAGACAATTTGAAAAGATATCACTTACCGTAGAAATAGTTTGGGGGAGGGATAACTTTACCATTCTTACCTTGTTACTTACCTGACCACAATGGTCCAATTCCAATGCCACCATGCTGCATGACCTACACCTTGTTAGCCATTAGGGGAGGGGGACTTACCTTGGTAGTGCTGATTGGAAACGAGTATTAATGTTATCTGCTGGTTAGTATTGGGTGCTTCGTGTATGCCTGTCCACAGTCAGTAAAGGAGATGGGATATCACTTACCTGTTGCTGTTTGTCCTGTACTGTCTTGGTCAGGTTGTTTCGGAGTTGAGCACGAATACCACAGATATATGTTGTATTAGAAACAATGATCGTTGTTTTCTAGGCTGTCAAAGTATTTCTCAAAAAGAACAATGTTGAGTCAATCAGTTGCCATCACACTGATAATGCACGCTTTGTGCCAAACACTAAGGACAACCATTGTCTGTAGCCCTAAATCGATGGGTTTTTATCTGCATTTCTCAGAGCTCTTTGTTGCCTCGCGAGCGCAACTCGTTATTCGAGGCAGTCTGTAGATCGCAATGTCAGAACGGAATCAACTAGTCAGCTGAGCAACACCCATGTAGTCAACTCGATGTATCTAATCCAGCCTCGCTTCCTGTTCTGTTTGTTCATCTGATTGTACCACTGTGGCCTGGGCCAATTTTGACACGATGTTCTCGAGCCTGTGGCCAGCTCGTTAGCTACGGTATAGGGGATAATCACCGAAGCTGTGACGTCCCTCAAGTTCAGAGGACTAAACGCTTTGAGAGCGTACTAAGCCAGGCGCCTCATCCTCCTAGATATTCCTAGGAAACGACATGCTCCCCAACTGAAAAAGCGTGCTTCGATGGCTCGACTGTAGAGTGGTGGAGAGCTTTTGAACATGCCAAATCCGATGTCGCAAGGCCAAGTCCGAAATCCAATTACTCTGAGAGTGCTGATGATCAGAAGCTGTATGTTCACAAGCTCTGCCCGCCATTTGGAGCTCTGAAGAGTATTTTGACCGACCGATATATCCAGACATCGCGTTCCTGATATCGTTCAGTCATATTCGGCGATACAAGAGAAGATAGATGGTGTGACTCTTCGACGCAAGGTTCCACGTACCACCTGCATGAATGGAATGAGGATGTCGAGGTTCAGATCGAGTTTGTGATCCAGATGATCACAGGTGTTCAGTCATAGTAACATGCGTCAGGCTTGTGCACGCACAATTTCGCATCCTTTGCATTACCCTTCAGCACGATTCTCGGATCGCTTTCTGTAGCCTTGACGTTCTTACCGTCGATCTTCTTGGCCTTCGTTAGGATATCTTGCACCGTTCCCTCAACGGTTTTTGATCCTCCAGACTTCCAGAATGCTTTCTGACCTTTCTCTGGCAATCTGTCCACTGAGCCTCTGGGGGCTGGCTCACCGTCGGCCTTGTGCTTCTTGTCTGAACTGCCATCTTCGTGCTTCGAATCGTCATTGGTCTCTTCTGCATCATCGGCAGGCTGAGCTTCGCCCTCGTCATCTTTCTGCTTCTTTCTACTACTACTCGCCTGAGTCGTTTTCTTGCGCTTGTCACCCGTCTTGACTTCATCTTGTACTTCCGCCTGTTTTCTCTTTGCACCCGCGTCCCCAGTGCTTTTCGGAGCTTCCTCCTTTTTGTTACGGGCTGATCGTCTTTTCTCTTGTTCTCGATTCTTCTCAAACTTTTTATCTTCCTCATCGTTAGCAGCCTTTCTCTCCTTCTTAGCTTTGGTCGTATTCTGAACAAATTGTTGTTTCCCCCCTTTACCTTCCTCCAATTTCTTCTCCTCTGTCTCCTGTTTCTCTTCTTCTGTCATCTTTTCCCATGCCTTTTTGGGTAGATACCTTTTGCGACTACCATCGGCCTGTTTAGCTTCTCCAGAGCCTTCTTTGGTCTGCCATTCTTCCTCTGTCCACTTTGAAAGGTGCTTCTGTGACTCGTCCTGTTCGGTCTTGTCCGTAGTGTAGTCTCCTCCACGCTTCTTATACCTGTTGAACTTCTCAATACTAAGATTTCGGAGTCTTGCTTGTGAGTACTTACTCAGAAGCCATCATCTGGGCTTTCCTTGCGGACCATTGTCCCGGTGCGCCTCCTTTGTCGCCCGCTTTGAGCTCTTCCTTGACCTCCTCACGAAGTTTAGGGTCCGTGTATTTGTTCTTGGGTGGCATCTTGAGCTTGTAGCTGCTACACGATAAAGGTCGCAAAGGTCTGTGTAGCACGTTGCTAAGTTGAAGCAAGCGACAACGATGCTGTAACAAGGTGAACATCAGCTAGTCAATCAGAGTCGCAACGATGCGACAGTTCGCGAGTGACCATGCAGGCACTCTGGCAGAGCGCGTCATTGAGTCGAAGCACCAGCCACTTAGTCATGGCTCTCGAGGGCGAAGTACACTAGGTGATGTTGTTGAGGACTGACATCATGAATTTTCTGTGCATCCGGAGAGAGGTCAAAAACACGACTGATATTAAGGAATGATATGGCTCACGCCACCACCCATCGCATTCTTTAGGAGGTATTGGCGGCATACTCGTGTGAATGAACAACGGTTGGCGGAACTTCGGAGCTGGGGTATTCTGCAGGAAGCTATCCCAAGCAGACAAAGCTCTCAAACTCCAAAAAATGCAGTAGAGATATTTGAAAAGCACATCACTAACTACAACCGGCATCGAGCCTGCTGTAAATTTGTTAAGATTATATATTAACATTCCGAAATTATCTTTCGCAATCGACCATAGGGTTAGGAAAATAGGGGTTCCCGTTCGATCACCCGTACTCAAGCCTGGCGCCGACGAGTTAGTAGTTGGGTTGGAGACAACCAGCGAATCCTCGCTGTTGATTGTTTTTGGTTTTTTTGCTCTAAGCTCGATGCTTGGGTAACGTAGGAGAAGATTGAGTGGTGGCAGTAGGACGACCGAAAAGTCTGTAAATATATGAAAAGCAATGTACGATCGATTGTGAGAAACAAGCCATAAGCCATATTGAACTTTGACAAATTTATTCCGTTCTCTGCGACGAGACCATCACAGCCCACCACTTTTCAAGTTTTCTTGAGCTAATGCTGTGCGTGATTATGGACTCCTGAGACGCGAGGATTTAGATAACCTCAAGATGATATCCGTCTTTCAATTCGAGACGGCTGGTACTTTTATGACTGCACAAAACCCCGGAGATAAGACACATGACTGCAGTCCTGATTCATGTCCAACCAAATCGCTATTGATTTCTCTGTAGTGGCATCAGAAATTATGCGTTGGCTTCGAAGTGTTTTGGAGGGAAGGAGGTACGTTCGATCAATACCTGCAGAACACCTCTACGTCCTGCCTGAAAAATAGGTCACAATCGGTCACAATCTCGTCCTGCGAACGCTTCTGTGGCGACCAAGTCCTTGACAAGCAGCGCCCACACTTGGAGGCCGAGGACAATCGGGCAACCTATTTGACAAATCGCATCGCGGTGCATTCGACGCTGCTGCTCTGTCAACATCACGATTGGTTCTGAGCTGGGAGCGCTGTCCGTGGCACTGCCTACTAGTACAGTCATATGTCAATAACGTGCGACCCTAGTGCATTGGTCTGAGACGCACAGAAGTCACCAGAACCGAATGATCGACCAATATATGGACTGGATTTGTGGCACATCAGAGAACGAGAAGCCGATTTTTAGCTCTGTGTACTGAAGCGCAGGCAGGACTGTATCGGATCTGGATTGTCTCTTGGGTGCCGGGTCAATACTGCGGCAAAGTCGTGTAAATGATCATTCGTCCTTCCAACCTTTGAGACCTGGCTTGTAGTGTTTGTCATGCTGTGCCTGACCTCCTCGCAAGCTGAGAATCAATTTATAGGGTGTCTCTGCAGTGTCGTGTCGTATCTCTAGCCAGCCGTATTCTTCTTAACCACACCCCTCGCAAACTCACCAAACGTCAAACCAGTCTGCGGATCAACAACCTCGTCCAGGTTCGGCTGCGTAAACACAGCAAGCGTATTCCTCGCAATCCGCGCCTGCTTATCATCCACTTCTGCCATGTTAACGCCTTTAACAAAATGCGGCACAGCCTTAAGCTTGCCTTGAGTGATCAGCTCCAGTGCTTCACCGGTCTGAAAAGCCAGACAGTCGCGTGGGATACTGATCTTGTGAGTATCGCCGTTGCGATCGCGGATGTAGAGACCTGAGCTAGAGGAGGGAGAGGCTGGTAATTCTTGCAAGGGTGAGTGTGAGGCTTCGTCGGTGAACATTGCGCTTGTCAAGCCGGTCAAACAGCCGTGGTCGAGGTGAGTCGCGCACCAATCGTGTTCTGTCTTTTTGTCGCCACTGTTGCTTGCTTGGTCGTCGGTGTTTTTGGCTGCTTTCGAGTCATGATCACCATTGGTCGTGCCATTTGTCTCGTGGCCGCTCTCCTTGCTTGGAAAATAATGTAGCAAGCGTGCCTTCGTTGTCTCACTCGACTGTACCATTTTCTCCAGATAGCCCTTCTGGTAGCCATCTATCTTTTCCTCTGCATATCTGTCACACGATCTCGCCACCAACACAGCCGTGTCAATGATCAGCTTGATCAAACTCTCCGCATCAGCTTTGAACCCGCGTACGTCCTCGTCGCTAGGCCAGACATTCTCAGCAGTATATTCATCAAAACCCGGGAACTTCTCAGCTCCATTCCGCACGCCCTGAAGGCTCGAATCCTTGTAGAAAGCACAATTGATGTAATAGCTTCCCTTGTATATATCCACTACACCCGGTAAAAGTGATTCTCGCCCATGCGACCAGCCCACCAGATACTTCGCCGACTCCTTCGTCAACGTTTCAAGCTTCGAGGCTGGTAGCGCTGCGAGACGCGATGAGTTGGTGAGCACTTTCGAACGTAGCTCTGCAAATGATGCTGGCAGGTCTGATACTACTAGTATACCTAGAGATGAAGGACCGAACGCCTCGAGGAGTTTGTCAAAAGCGACATTGCCGGATCTGAGGTCTTCAAGAGAGACTGTCACTGGCTTGATAGTGGTAGATGGAGCCATTGCAACTCTGCTCACCAGTGTTCACAAAACCGCAGCATATAATTGGTCACGTCTTGAGACGGGAGGCTCGCGCGTGCAGGGAAGTTTTATCCTGTTTCTTGATGGCAACGATACCGAATATGCTGACCGCTTTGCAAAAACTACATATCAGTCAATCACTTGTGAATTTGCATCAGCACACCCATCCTAAGTGTGGTTGCAACCCTCGGCGATGACCGGCTTTGGCAGGTACGAGGGTTTACAGGAGGTTTGCCAGAGAACCCAGTCATGTACTAGTCAGGTCGAGCTCAACAAGCCTACAGATTTTTTAGATAGCGAGACAATCAATCTTGGACCGAGCAGATACTAGTCACCAGGAGATAAAGTTTTTCTTCAAAAGTCAGGTTGAAGAGAAATATTGACTGAGTAAAATGGGCGAAGGACCTTCCCTATCACCTCATACTCAGAATCTGATAAGGTGGAAGACGCCTCGACTTATACTATGTCTTTACCAACCCACTATTCCAGTACAGACATGCCACCACCTCCTTCGTAAGATTCGTCATCATTGCTTTTGAACCGTAACAACACCACGCTATGCAAACCTTCAGACGACCAACAAGAGCCCTCGTCACACTAGAAGAATTGTACTTTTCGGAGACGGTTTTCAGGCCTGAACTCTGCGCTCCTGCAACGACGCCAATATCTCTTCACTTGCCAGACCATAACTGTGCTGCGGCGTGGTAGGAATGCTGCGTAATGGCGGAAACATCATGTTGGAAGAAGCTGAAACAACAGCTTCATTGCTGGACATGGCAGCACTAGCTCGAATATTTTCCAGAACTGTCGGTGGAGGGTGACCAGCCCTGATAGCTTGCAGCACTGAATCCCGATTGACGTCTCTTTCATGCATGTATTTTAGCCACTCCTCGAGTGGCCCCTCGCTTGGAGAGTCACCTTCTTCAACTGCCATCAGCTGATCATTGAGCTGCACACCAACACTGACTTCTATATCGTCGTCATCTTCTGATTGGTCTTCCTCGATAGAGTGATCGTCCAGAGCGCCAACGTGTGCCATGGTTTCTGTTGAAGGTTGGCGTCGTGGAACACGATGGACAACGGCGGATGGAGAGGAACGCTCTGGCGGTGCCACATCATCAGCAGTAGTGTCATGGATACTGCGCCCGGTTTCTGCTTCGTATTTGTCCTTTGCACTCTTTGTGCCTTCCCATTGACAGATTGAGAGAACCTCATCGTCGGTCAGTCGAAGCTGATCGAAGGTTCGGAACAATCTTCTGTGCCATGGGAACCTGCCGAGTCTTCGTCTGTGAGGGTCGTGGGTGTAGTCTAGGCCGGGATATTGAGCCTCGAGGCTGTCCAACGCACCATAGAAGGTTTGTACTTCAACTCGCACTTCAGGGACGAGGTTGCGTTGGACGTGAGCGTAGAAATTTTGTGGTTCGTTTTGTTTTGGGCTCGGGAACTGATGTCTAAAGACAAGATCGTGTATAGAGGGTCTCTTCATCCTGAACAGCTGTAACAATGAGTTCCCGAAAGATTCTGGTACTGTCTGTTCAGGGCTCAAACATTACACACGCTGCAATCCAATACGTGTTCGTGCTTCAGAGCCCTTGGATAGTAGAGCAGATCGAAAGTAGTGTTCGAAACGAAGGAGGACTTGTCTGTTTGGTTTGGGTAGACGGTTGTAGTCAATTTCAGCGAAAGTGTTCAAAGGGTAGTGGGCCCAGCCGAGGCGCAGAGATTTATGTATTGATCAAAATGGCAAGTCTCGTACGAGTCTAGTGAAGGACATCAAATTGGTCCAGGTTGCGTTCGTAGGGTGTTATATGGCCAGGATCTATCTGCAGCGTGGAGGGAGGATGATTGAGGACATTCGCAGCCTGAGTGGATTGACTGCGAGAGAGGTCACCCGTCGTCGAGCTTGCGACAGTAGACACGACACTACAAGGACAAAGAGGAAAGAGCGAAAGAAGTGTTGGTAGGAAGAGGAGAAGGTATGCCTTGAGGTGGGCGAGGCACGTAGTGTAGAATGTACTGTGGTAGAAGCAGGAATGCAACAAAACGGGCCGCTGAGCTGTCTGAGTTTTTCCTCTACCCACTCCAATTGAGTAAACGGATGCACGATAGAGCCAACGAGCTAGCAGAATAGCTGCATTCGCTCGCCAGCAGTCCGATAGTTTATTGCCAATGCTCGTAGAAAAACAACGTGGACTGTTACGTGACCACCTATCCGCGTCCAACGATCAGGTTGGCCCGAACCTGTCCACAACTTGCAGATGTTCTCGTCCACGGCCGGCCTTTCCACTCTCCGCCATCGCCTGGGCCCTCTTTCTTCAGAGGGAAGTTTGGGTGGATAATTTAACTCAATCCCGTTCCAGAAGATCTCTGAATTCATCAACCTGCTGACGCTCAGTCTTTAACTTCTGACGGAAACATCTCATGTTTGATCTCTTTCTTGACCTTCGTGACCGTGCTCATGCACAGCAAAGTGTCACAGTCTTCGGAACACCTGCCACGACCCTCTAATGCGGCGTGACTGCGAGTCACTCGGGTCATCTGGGTGACAAAGTTTGCGCAATCGAGCTCATTGGTACCATGCTCCTGCGTCCTGTGCAGGTCTCACGGGTGATTCTTGCCTACGGCGGCCAAGGACGTCTTATTGGCCCAGCCATCCCATGACCATTGCGGTCTTGGTTGTGAGTCCTGCATGAAACGTTCTTCCTGGCGTGGCTCGGTTTTCCACGTCTGCCGATTGACGCGTACCAATCATCTCACCTGGAAATACTGCTTGAGCTGCAGCACTGCAATAGCCTTTCTCTTGTTCCCTTACAGCCTTGGCACAAGATACGAAAACGGCACCGGAATATCAAGTGCTGGTATTCGAGGAATTACTGTGCCACAGTGACGCGATTGCTGACCGTCACCTAGCCTGAAGCAGGACTCGCTGATGGGAAGCAGCCACAGATCCTCAATGTAACCACTGGTTCTTGCGTCGAATAAAGCCGACATCCTCTCCGTGTAATGACAGCAAGTGCTTTTGCTCAAGTAACGTGGTACCATGTCGACCTTCGACGGCATTGTAGACGAGTTCCCTAATATCCGCATTGACTATTTCCGTCAACATGGCAAGGTTCCACCTGCAGCGTGCTTCCTCAGTCACGTCCATAGCGACCATCTACTTGGCCTTGAAACGTTGCGCATGCCTTTTGTGTATTGTTCGGCAGCTACACACAGGATCTTACTCAAGATGGAAAAGTATCCGCATCGAATCAACTTTTCGAAAGGCATTCTAGAAGCCAGGAAGCAGACATACAAGCATCTCAAGCAGATTCTGAGACCTCTTCCATTAAATACTCCCATTGAACTGGAGCTGGGCCCAAAGTCCAGGATACGTGTTACGTTGTTCGACGCAAACCACTGTCCTGGTGCGGTCATGTTCCTGATCGAGGGCGAAGGAAGAGCAGTACTGTATACTGGTGATGTGCGTGCTGAACCATGGTGGGTTAACGCTACTATTGCACGAAATCCTGTTCTCATACCATATACTATAGGCCAAAAGACTCTAGATTGCATCTACCTTGATACTACGTTTGCCTCACACCAAGACACCCACCGAGAATTTCCCACAAAATCCGAGGGCCTAAGAGAGCTAGTCAAGAAAATGAAGGAGGCTCCATCTGACAGTACGTTCTACTTCCGCGCCTGGACACTTGGATACGAAGATGTTTGGATCACTCTGAGCAGCTTACTGCAGTCTCACGTTCACGTCGACGAGTATCAGTTCCGATTGTTCCGTGGTGTGGCAGAAGATGGTTTAGATGCACAACCAGGCCCTGCCCTTACTGGCTTTAAGGTAGGAAATGCTCGTCAAGCTGGTTGTCTTTCTACTGAACCAAATGCAAGGATTCACAGCTGCGAGCCAGGCATGCCGTGTCACACTCTCCTCAGAAAGAGTCAAAACACAATCTGGGTGACCCCGATAATCTCACGACTGGGAGATGGCACTGAGTTGGCCGAAATTGGTGCTGGCGGAGGTAGAGGGGACCTCTACCTCCAACGCGAGGTCGAACTCAGTAATATCAATGGCTTCATGTTGGAATCACTTCGAAAGCTATGCAGAAACGCAAGCAACACAGAAGCAGTCGACAGGCTTGAGTCTGCGATCGACAACGCACAAGACAACCACGTCCCCCGCTTTGTGATAGAAGGACACGCCATTGATCCTGCAAAGGAACTGACAATTCAAGACTTCCTCTCCCTCGCTAACAAACAACCAGCTTTGACCGAGCAAGAGAAGCTACCTACCACCACTTCGAACGTGATACACTTTCCCTACTCACGACATTCATCCTATTCAGAATTACGACATCTCGTCGGCACTCTCCGGCCCAAAGATATTTGTCCTTGCACTATAGACCTCAAAATCTGGAGTGAAGAAGTCAGCATGCAATCTCTGTTTGGAGACTTGTGCTCTGGACAAGAATTCAGGTATGACAAGTCGATCCGCGAGGAAGTGGAGAGAAGAGCAGAAAGCAGCGAGACGCAATCACAAAACCAGACACAACGAGACACACAGCAGTCTGAGAGTCAGGTGTTAGAAGGTGGAGAACAGTACAAGGACTGCTCTTCAGAGACAGCCAGCCCTCGCGTGGTAAGAACATCGAACAAACCTCCTATGCACATCGCAGGGGACGCGCACACAAAAGACAACCCTCGCGCAGATCCCCCCCAACAGCCACCTCAAACGCCGGACACAACACTCCCCGACAACAGAACACCCAGAGAAAGACTAGAACACGCATGGAGAACACTAAAGCACACAGCAGACCACCACAACGACAAAACAAGCGAAGAACCAAGTCAAGAAGTATTCACAAACGACACACCCGAACCCAACGCCTCACAAGCCAAATCTGATGCAGAAGTCGAGAAATCTTCACCAGAGCATACAACCGCTATGCCCGCCGACGATGTTCAGTCTCAAGTAGCTGAAGAGGGAAATCTCGAACAGCAGAGTGAAGCGTATGAAGCTGCGAGGATATGTTTGGAGACCGGGGATGATGCTGATTGGCAGGACTTGTGTATCGTGTCGTTGAGAGGGAGGAAACGTGTTTTGGAGGAGCAGGAGATTTGAAGGGGGGTTGTTTTGGATGAGACGAAAGGATTGTAACGGTGTTTGTGCGCAGGGGGTTGTGTCGCGTTGGTGTTGTAGGGACAATTTGCTGGACGTAAGCAAGACGTATCGAAATTGGATTTGTGTAGCGAGGACATATCAGGAAAAGGCAGGCAGACAGGCAGGCAGATATCTTAACCAAGGGGGAGGGCGAGGGCCCGACACAGCGCGTGGATCAACTCGAAGATGTTGGCAAAGCCGCGATAATACTGAATTTGTTTTGGAAGTAGCTGAGCAATGTTTTCATTATGCATTAAGCCCATTTTCTGCTGCTATAGGTTCTGCATTATCATGACTGCGACAGGTTCGTATGCCCATCTGTGCTGTTTGCAGGAACATTCGTCATCATTCACCCAAGTATTTACGACGTCGAAGGCATCATGGCAGACGCGCGCTGTGCCAGGTTCGATGCAAGACCCTAAGCATAAGATTAGCACAAATTCGCGTATATCACTAACCAAGTCTTACCTGTGTATTCTCGCTTGGATAAGGAGCCTGGCCCTCTGGTACATCCCTACCAGTCAAGAAGTGCATAGCGCTCTCCTTGGGCTTATACTTCTGTGTCTTACCCATCATAGCCGCGTCCTTGCTGAGCTTCTCCACCTCACCGAGGTCGACGTTCTTGTCAGTCAAATAGTTGACAACGCCCTTGACGTAGTCTGGGCTGATGTTCCAGACCTGTGCCAGGTACTTGGTTCGGACCAATTTCGAAACGCCGGCGTTCATGCAGGTTGCGGTGTTGGAGTGGAGATGGTCACGCTGAGTGTCGTCCATGACTCGGTTGTATAGTTCTCGGGCTTGGGTGTATTCGTCGTCGGTGCCTTCGTTCTTGTGGTGGGACTGTCGGCTGACGATGTTGTTTGCGACGGCGAATGGAGCTTCGACGCTTCGCTCGCTGTACGATGGCTTGTCGTAGCTATTTGGTTGGTAGTTCTTTGTGTCTTGGTTGGCGTTGTCCAGTCTCATGAGACCGTCGTAGCTTTGTGGGGCAATGTTTCCGGCCATGAATGGGCAGTTGACGGGGATTTGGTGCATGTTGCTGCCAAGTCGGTACATCTGAGCATCTCGGTAGAAGAACATACGCCATTGGAGGAGCATATCTGGGGAGGATTGGATACCTGGAACGAGGGAAGATGGCGAGAAAGCGGCTTGCTCGACATCGCGGAAGTAATGGTCAGGGTTCTTGTTGAGCACGATCTTGCCAAACTCCTGGAGAGGGAAGTCGCCTCTTGGCCAGACCTTGGTAACGTCAAATGGATCGAAGCTCTGCTGCTCTGCCTGCTGAGGAGTCATGACTTGGACGTATGCAGTCCCTAAGAAAAGGTCAGCAGTGCTCATAAACAGCGTCAAACATGAGCTCATGGCAATTCTAGGCCGAGTGACCACGAAAATTGGCACTTACATTCTGGGAAGTCTCCTTCTCCTTGAATACCCTTCTGGATCTGATTGAACATATCACGCTTGGAATAATCTGGGTCGATACCGGAAAGCTTCTGAGCTGTGGCAAAGTCAAGAAATCTCTGACCGCCCTTCTTCAGGAAGGTGTACTTGATGAGGTTTCGCTCGCCCTTGCTGTTAACCCATGTGAAAGTGTGGTTGCCGTAGCCGTGGAAGTTCCAGCCATCAGGGTGTCCACTATCGGAGAAGAACATGGTGCCGGCGTGGTTGCTTTCTGGTACGTTGGCAAGGAAGTCGAACGTAGCATCGTAGTCGATGAAGAAAGTATTGGGGTTTCTGCTCTGACTTCGGATGTTGTCTGGGCCCTGCATAGGATCACGTACGAAGAAGATAGGCCAGTTTAGACCGACGATGTCGTAGTTACCCTCGCCAGTGTAGAATTTGATAGCGAAACCTCTTGGGTTACGGGCCAGATCAGGGAATTCACGACCGAATGTGACAGTCGAGAATCGCAAGAACAACGGGGTTTTCTTGCCAACATCAGACAGGAAGTCGGCCTTGCACAGGTTGGAAACATCCTTGGTGACTTCAAAATAGCCAAAGTGACCAGAACCGCAAGGGTGAACTCGTCGCTCGACAATCTTCTCTCGTACAAAGGTTTGTTGCTTCTCGAAGAGGAATGGATCACTTGTGACTGGCATACCACCAACATTCAAAGCATGCTGACCATCGGCTGGCCATGGCTGACCAAAGTTGGAAGTGATGTACTGTGAACCCTGGGTGGGTGGCTCAGATGGCTTCGTGACACCTGCTGTGTCTGAAGCGATCTGAGAAGCACCTCTATAGTGAGTTTGGAAGCTGTGAAACTGTGTTAGCAGAGTGACTGACCTATGGAGAAGCCCTGCTTACAAAGACTGGTTGCCATTGTTGTATGTCGCCATTTTGAGTACTTCTTGGTAGCTGTTGAACAGGGGAATACCAAGAGAATCGAGAAGAGGAATTTTATAATGGGATTGTCGAGCTTGGAGCTCGGGTATTACTCTTTCCCATGATGTTTGCTCTACGAGGACACGCTGTTTCACTTCACGTCATCATATTGTAGCTCCAAAGCCGTGAGCACCGATGCTTCAACAATATGGCCTAAACAGTGCATGATTGTCTTGGAAACTCGTCATGATGTACTTGTTGTTACTGTAGCGTCAAACGAAAAGACTTGCATGTCATGAGTAGCGGAGAACATCAAATCCGAGATCAGCTCTACGCACGGGCTTGTGGATGCGTCAAGTACTGCAGTCAGCTGTACATGGAAGAAAGTGTGCATCTGGTAGGAAATCTGAAATAGTTGCCCCCAGATACGAGGTCTGTGGAGTTTGATTGGAGCAGGCGGATGATATGTCCGGAGTATTGATTCGTCGCCGTGTGTACTGCAAAACGGCTTCACCACGAAGACTCCAACACTAGCACGAATCACGTTCAAGCCGTAGTCATCTTATGGAGGGAAAGCGACGAATAGCGAAGTTAGTATTTCTCTTACGACAGGAAAAGCACTAAGCCAGCGGTATTTGCATGAATACTTCCATTCAAGATGTCTTGGCACCAAACACTTGATAACCTGTATTGTTAGTGAAGGTTTCTTGGATCTGGCTAGATATGCTCAGTCTGTGTAAAGTTGGTAGCCGACATGCAAAAATGAAGAATATATAGTGGCCACACTGTTGATGCGCATAGATCGACCGCTGCTAGGTTCTGCGAAAGAACCTGATATAACCCATTCTGCTGGTTGGAAACATTTGGTAGTATTTCAAAGTAATTCCAGAATGACTAGCTTTTCTGAGAAGTGATCACCAGTATCTAATGCGTCTATATTGCCCCGACTGTTTTCCTACCACTCAAGCATTTGTTTGTACAGCAAGACTATTGATATGACAAAGCTCAAGGCAATCCGAACAAATTTGCCTGACTTGGCTAGGTGAGCTCGAACGATTAGGTCGTGGTATAGACAACTTCTGGATTTGATCTAGATCTGACCAAATCAAACTAGAACTTGTAGACCTGCTCTTTCGAGTATCCCAGTTCCTTCAAGATACCACTAAGGTCGCCCTGATCGGTAGGGCTAACCTTGGGTCCAGAGACTGTCTTGTATAGAGGTGGAGGACCACAGACAAAGACTTTGATGTTTTCTGACTTTGGATCTGGCAAGACCTGTTCAAGCACGTCCTTTGTGACGAATCCCTTACCATGTGGCCAGTCCTTGGGTGGCGTATCCAGGGTGTAGAATGTCTTGAATCTTTGGGGGTACTCTTTCTCGAGCTTGTCAAACTCTTCTCGTAGCAGAATATCTGCTTCGGTTTTATTGCCGAAAATCAATGACACTTTGGTCTTGTCCTCTGGGTTGTTGAAAATTGCGCGCATGAGTTGGAACATGGGTGTGATGCCGGTACCACCTGCGATAAGAGCGACGTGGTTGTGCTTGTTGGGAGTCCAGGGATACTTTGGAATAGGTCCTTTGATATCGAGGGTTTGACCAGGGCTCATGTCGTGCAAGTGGGTGGACATGGGACCATTGGGATACATCTTGACAAGCAGATCCATGTGGCCTTGGACGCCCTCGTCACTGACGGGTGTGTATGGACGTATCGTAGGCTTCTCGGCATCAGGGCTCTTGTATTTTGTAATTACCGCAGCTAAACAAAGTCAGCATATCGAGTGGCAAGTTGCCGAATTATGTCCTCACATGTAACGGGTAGACCAGATGTCATGTCCTCCTCTGGAAGAGCGAATATGAATCGCTTTGTGTCATGGTTGTAAGGCTTGACTTCTTTCAACTTGAGGGAAATGAAGCCCTGGTCGCCTCCTGTGAAAGCTTTCTTGGTTGACGACGAGGTGTCGCCAGCCTGGGCCTCAGCATGAACAGGGTGCCGTTGGTTGCCCAGATAGGTGTAGCCAAAGAGACCCGAAGCTGCAGCTGCTCCTGCGACTATCCATGGCGTCGCAGTTGACTGAGGAGTCGAAGTCTTCGATGAATAGGTTCGGAAGGACTAGCACTGAAAATCAGCGAGTATCAAGATAAGCATCGCGAACTTCGCACCTGCTTTGCTGGCGCTGCAGCACGGAAGGTTGCTCGTGCGAACATTCTGTCTATACACAAAAGCTTTTATCAGTGAATGGCAATGATGAAGGGAAACAATTGATCTACAGAATATCCTGGCGAATTACGTGGATAGCTCGGAGTTAAGGAAGCTCTCTTCACTGCTCTCTATTTCTGAAGCTTGACGTCGATCAATTTGATGCCTCATTGCCTGAAATCTTCACGACACCGGATGTCTGGAGTCGAATAGTTGCACTACCTTTCGCAGATCGCACCGCAAGAGATGAGCTTTGTGGACAGTAAAACCGTGGAAGTGAGCAGACTAGCCATCAGAACTGTACGACTGCCTCAAACGAAGTATAGAGATGACACATTGGAGGAATTTGCTGCGAGATCGTGGAGCCCAGAAAAGCATCACGTTCCTGGGATTATCGATCCGCTCTCTTGCAACAGGCTTTGACTATATCGCAGTGATGTGTCAAGACGATCCGATATTGACTGTACTCAAGGCCTTGCACCGAATTGATTAATCTTCTGTGCCGTCAAAATGATTGTTCAGCCATGGTGCGATTATCTCGAGATCAATTGGCTCCTGAACCTCGAAAAACTTACTACTGGACAGCAACAGCTCGGTAATGATGAGCGACGACATTGCTGGTCACCTGCTAATAGTCCATTGCCTACCGCTGGCACAGATAGGAAAGCAGTATGATATCTGATCCTGGTTTAGCAATCAGAATACGGCAATTTGCTGGCAAACAGCTCGTCGCCGTACGTCTCAGGGGACAATGATTCGAGCTCAAAACTGCTACTCATAATCTTCAGGCCCTACCATCAAGCTTGGTAAATGCCTCTGGTCCGCCGGGGATCTGAAGCCAATTCCGCTCATCATATGTCTCGCAGCCCTCAATGCAGTGGAACGTATATATTATACGACCCTTCTGACTTAGGTTCTTCTCACTCTTGTGCAGAATGTTTCCATGAATCAGTACCAACGTGCCAGCAGTGACCTCGCCTAGCACGTAATCTTCGTCTTCACCTTCTGCATCGTCTTCGTGCTGAAACTCTCTTGGCCAACGTCCTTCCCCTTGAACTGGCTCGAAAGTTGTTCCACTATTGTCTTGCTTGCGTACGAATCTATGCTTCACTGGCGCTCGTCTATGACTTCCAGGTGCGAAGCTCAAGCAACCATTCTCTACCGTCGCGTCTTCAAGCGCGATCCAGAACCCTACAGCAGATGGCAAACTCGTGTATAGAAACGTGCTGTCTTGATGAGGAGGCACAGCACCACCAATCTCTGGCTGCTTGCAAATAACCATACTCTGCAACATCCGAGGATCTCTGTATCCCAAATCTCTTGCAATGGCAGCATTACGCCATCCAACCTTGCCCTGATGGCTCACCATACCAAAGTCTGGTACCAGCCCGTGCAAATTATGCCCAATCTTGTTTATAGCTCGTTCTTTTGGCTTCGTAAGCTCGCCTGTTTCTTTATCAAAAGCATCTTCTTCGAAGAAGAACCGGACCTTGTCCCCGGACTCGAGGAAGTAGCTATCGCCAACGTGTTCTTCGTTTTCGCCTGTTGTAAACTTCGTCATGGGATGGTCAGCCAGAGAAAAGTCAGCAAGCATGCCATGGGTCTTTGATAGCAGGTTCTCGCATGTCTGTTTGGATAGGTAGTCAGGTACTAGAAGATAGCCATTCTCGTGAAAGAAGGCGACCTGTGCTGGTGTGAGTCCTTCTACCGTGTTTGATACGGCAGCATCTGGCAAGTCGCGGGAGGGTGCCATGTTGCTAGATGGAGCAAATTGAATTGGAAAAGTTAGTGCTACACGTTACGCTCTTCTCCAAGTAATTCGATCTGAACGGTAAAATGAGCAAGCTAAATCATCCCGAGGCTCGGGTCGGGATTCAAAGATTCGTATATCTTGCTAGGGACCTTTCGCGTGAGCTGCGAGAAAGTTGCAATTACGAAGAGGCGAGAAGAAACCGAAGTGTACCACTACTTGTGAAGAAGAACTCCGCATATTGCTCCATGTTGGCCATACCAGGACAAGTTGCGCCAGTTGTACACGACAATTTACACGTATATCTCTAAGCCTCGCTACATATTCATGCAAACATGCAATCAGTGCCTCCTGCGTCTGTTCGGATCTCCGAGACCGGGCCTTAGGGTGCGCAACATGTGAGCTATATCCCTTCGAAGAGGCCAAGCTTCGTAAGCTACCGCCAGCTCGACAAGAAGATCTGCATGAATCGCACGCACTCTCACATCGCTCAGATCGTGGTAACCTCCATACAAAGGGTCAGTCAGTTTGGGCACAGTGGCTAAGAGGTCGTGATATACAGCACTGTTCTTGCTTCCCACTAGCCGCTCAAGGACATCTTGTAGCGTGGTATAGATGCCAGTATTCATCATGTGATTGATATAGTCAAAGCAAATCTGCCGTTCTGCTGTATTGATACTTGCAACAAACGACGCTTTCGGGATAAGCTCAAGCAGCATCAGAGGTTGGTGAGGATAGAAGTCCAAGTCCTTGTGGCACAAAAGGGGCTCATGATCTTGTCGGTTGAAATTGAGGACTCCGTAGATGTTGGCACGGTGGTCGTCAATGGCTTTGACGTAGGATGATCGGTTGTCTTTGAACATCTCTCTATGGCGAGTTTTTATTTTCTCGAACGCAGGCTTGAGTTCTTGCAGTCGAGCTTCATAGGGACCCTTGTCTTCTGGGTAAGCCTTCCTTATGTTAAGCAGCTCTTTTTCCAAGGCTATTTGCTCACGTGCTAGGTTCTCCACCCTGTTATAGCGATTGTACAGCGTGTTCATGCGATTCCGCATCAACATCCACTTCCACCTGATATCGTCATGTGGTACCAGTCGAGGAGAATACGATGCCACTCCAAAACCAGTTCGCTTGAGTCGGCGTTTCAACCAGGGCTGTATCTGGAGCTCTTCCAACAGATCTAGTTCAGCACGCTGTCTAAGGTAATTGCCCATCCATTCCGGATGGGCCTTTTCGACCTCATCCCAGAGATCAAGATATTCCTGAATAACATCCGGCTTGTGACGCAATCGTGAGAGTAGGCCAAAGTTTTCCGGAACAGGGTCGACGGCGATTGAATAGGGTTCTGGTTCAGGCTGTTGCCGGTGCACAGGAACATCAAAACCAGCTTGTCGCTGCCTTTCCTGAACCTCACGGGTCCTCTCGATCTCGGCAGCATACCAAGGACGATTCCACTGGCGGTCATATCCATCGCCTGGAAAACTACTGACGATCTCTCGCACATCAAAAGCTGCGTCTAGGTGCCTCTGGACCCTCGTCCGGAATGCTGTGCTTCTCGGAACAATATTGACACGATCCCTTATGGGTACCCACACAAGCAACTTGTAGAGGCCGTACTTGAAGTAATCAACAAATTTGGACTCGGTTAGAGTAAGACTGCGACAGAACTGGCCAATCATGGTCTTTGCAAAGGTACCTGGACCTAGTTGTTTCCTGGCCAGATTTGCAGTCACGATCAGTTGTGGATTCCAAGATTGTCGTACATCAACGGCCTGGCTTTTTGCCTGAACATGTTGACTAAAGGGCAATTCCCCAGCTTGGATGAAAGGCGCGTGGAAGTCCTCTGCGTAAACATAATTTGAGTCTGGTTGGTTCAAGAGTGGCTCGATCTGAGTGGCATACACATCTCTTTCAGGCTCGGCAAGAACATGGCGACGTGGCTTCAGGGCTGCATTCAGAGTTTGGGACCAGACAGCGGCTCCTGGATGGATATCGATAATGTCAAAGGTGCCAGGGGCAGGGAGTGTAGGTCGTAATATGTCAATAGCTTGGTCACATAACTCTTGGTTGATGATATCTCTGCGCTTGGAATCGTGCTTATTCTGGCGAAACTGAGCTGCTAGTTGATGAGCGCGGTCTACAGTGGCTGGCGATGCTAAGGATCCTGGCTTCGAAGCCGTGAGTCTTGCCCCTAAAGACCGACTCACGCGCATTCGCAGATTCCGACGATAGATCGAAAAGCATATAGTATCTTGTACGCGTGTAGAAAATGCTTGCCTGGAGATGTGATTCAGGATTGCCGCAGAGATTGAGGTGGTTTACTATTTTGTTGGTGCTAGGAACAAACGCGTGTGATTCGTAAATCTGACGTGAATGAACATTTTGCACTAGCTTGGAAGTTGGAGACATCTTTCTTTATGTCTCGAGGTCGATGTCGCAAAGACGATTCACTGCACCCAATAACCGTCATACTTTTCATCTTCCCATCAGCCTCATCTTCTCTCCTATACCTTCGAATCTACATTGACGTCTGTACATCGCTAGCTTCCTGCATCTGTTGTAATTTATTAGTTTGCTTTGAAATTGAGCACAAATGTCGGCGTCGGGATTGCACATCGAGCAAGCATCGAACTCGTCATTATGGGATCGCGTGTCAACATGGGTATCTGAGAACAGAGCGGTTGCATATACTATCGCCGGAACCGTCGTGGTAGTCACAGCAGGCGGAGTGGTGTACTATCTGTCCCATTCGCCTGAAAAGAACCTTGAGGCGCAAAACCATGCAAAGAAGAGCAAGAAGGAGCGACGGAAAGAGAAGAAAGAGCAACAAGAAGCTGCTTCTCGTGAACAGCCTGAGAGCGGCGTCAAGCTGATAGATGAGGAAGCTGGTATGCTGCACAAGCTCTAGTAACAATATCGTATTGCGAACTAATCCGTCCATCTAGCAATTGGTGTTCAAGCTCCAAAACCTGCAACAGTCGAGGCCGAGGATGAGGTACCAGAGATCACCGAGTCGACTGTTGAGGCTTTCTCGCCAGAGGTACTGTTGTTTGCACCTTCTTGTTGGTTGATGCTGATATTTCCTTTTCCAGGACCGCAATAACTACGCTGCGAAATTAAAGGTTGCTGGTAACAAAGCCTACGGATCTAAAGATTATAACAGCGCCATTGACCTATACGGCAAAGCCATACTCTGCAAGCCCGATCCTGTCTACTACTCTAATCGAGCCGCCTGTTACAATGTACTTAGTGAGTGGGACAAGGTTGTGGAAGATACCAGCGCGGCCATTGCGATGGACTCGGAATATGTTAAAGCTCTCAACCGACGAGCACATGCTTACGAACATCTCGGGAAGTTCTCAGAAGCCTTACTTGATTATACTGCTAGCTGCATCATTGACGGATTCAAGAATGAGCAAAGTGCTCAGAGCGTCGAAAGACTGCTGAAGAAGGTCGCCGAAAAGAAAGGAAAAGCAATTCTCGAGAAGAAGGGCAAGAAACTACCAAGCGCAACATTCGTTTCCAACTACCTCCAAAGCTTTCGTCCTCGGCCTGCGCCAGCTGGTCTCGAAGAGTCTGCTGAACTAGACGAAAATACTGGCAAGGGCCAACTACAGCGCGGTCTGGCAGGCATGGGCAAGAGAACAAGTGAGGGTTATGAACGGGCAGCCACTGCCTTCAAGAAGGCTCTCGAGCTTGGAGACTTGGGCGAGTATGAAGCGTTCGCTCTCAACATGCGTGGCACCTTTGCTTACCTGGAAGGCGATGTCGAGAGCGCACTCAAAGATCTGACTGACGCCATTGAGAAGGACCCATCGTTATCGCAAGCATACATTAAGCGTGCCAGTATGCAACTAGAACTGGGCAGCAAAGAACAAGCATCAGCCGATTTTGAACTGGCTGCACAACAGAATAAGGACGACCCGGACATTTATTACCACCGAGCACAGCTCCACTTCATCCTAGGAGAATGGGTCAACGCTGCCAAAGACTACCAGAAGTCTATTGACCTTGATCCAGATTTCATCTACTCACACATCCAGCTCGGTGTAACTCAGTACAAGATGGGATCCATTACCTCGTCCATGGCAACGTTCCGAAGAACCATCAAGAAGTTTGACAAGGTTCCTGATGTCTACAATTATTATGGTGAGCTTCTGTTAGATCAACAAAAGTACACCGAGGCAATCGAGCGTTTCGAGACCGCCATCGATATGGAGAAGCAGCAAAACCCAACGAACATGAATGTGCTGCCTTTGATCAACAAAGCCCTCGCCCTGTTCCAGTGGAAGCAAGATTTTAAGCAAGCCGAAGAACTGTGCGAAAAGGCTCTCGTCCGTGAGTGCAACAATTCAACGTTATATTGACACATGCTAACTTTGTTCTAGTGGATCCTGAATGCGATATCGCTGTTGCTACCATGGCACAGCTGCTTCTCCAGCAAGGCAAGGTCACTCAGGCACTCGAGTATTTTGAAAGGGCCGCAGAACTTTCAAGGACGGAGGGTGAGATTGTCAATGCTCTGTCGTATGCTGAAGCCACACGAACACAACTCGAGGTTTCGGAGAAGTATCCACAATTGCAAGCACGACTACAACAGATGGGCGCCAGTGGGCTAGGGAGAGGTCCGGGCATGTGACAAAATCAATAGGTCGTTCTTCACTTTTGGCGTAGATTTATTTCTGCGAAGCTGGAGTCGGCTGGATTACATTAATTCTCCACTTCGCGCCCATCTTGTACATGTACAATGTATCATCCTTTTTCAACGGAGCAGATTTGTTCACAGCTGGTCACGACCATGGTCGAGATGGCTGATGCGGAGTAATGAGTTTTACGAGGTGAGGTTCGATATTTCGTGAACCAGCATGTCTTGTCTTGCCATTCTTGATAAACAACCACAACGATTCTGGCACTGGCAGTGCATGCAGTGTTAGCGCCAGCACAGGTCATGTGCAAGAACACGTCGGAATGCTCTGAACTCTTACTCGTAGGCACACGTAATTAGCTAGCCAGTCACGGCAATTATAGTCCTTATCGATTTCACGCCGCAAAGAGGGGTTCTCCAATTCGCGTCCTCCCGAGCATCTTTATCACTTACACTCCAGGTTGAATACTGTTTTGGGCTGTTCTGCCTGCAGTGTTCTCGTTCCCACTTCGTAAGGCAAGAGCGAGAACGCGGTTTGTCCTGCTCACTCTTGTGTGACTCTTAAGTCCGTCACAAGCCACCAGTCGAAAGGCGATTGATGCAACTTGTCCGTGAAACGTGAAACCCGATCATTGGCGCAGCCCGACATGCCTACCTGAGCTCAACCATTGCTGCTACTCTCTCTCTCTCTCTCTCTCTGCCTTCTTCCGATTGTCTGACCATTCCAACTAACCTCTGCTCCCAAAATTTCACTCCTTCGTACGGACCTCGTCGGCGACTAGTATACACTAGCTGGTCTTCGATTTACACTCAACCAGCGAATTCACGAACCAGATAGGGCGTACATTCACCTGGCACTACCCCTCCCAACCCTCCGCAGTCCGGTTGCCTGCAGTCAGCAGGCTGATATCACTCAAAGCAGGTCTCAAATATCGTCGATTGTCTTACTCAACTCTAAGCCTCGACCACACCTGATCTGACTTCGATCTACTTAAGCTAACGATGCCTCCTTCTATTGAGGTCACGGACTACCAAGTCAGAAACAGGAAAGGTACTTTCATGAGCCAAGCCACGCTCACTGATCAGGCTAACTTTCTAATAGTGACGATCCACATCTCCGACGTCAATCAACAGGAACTCTACCCTGACCGCATTATCACTCTTGAATACCCAAGCTGGACCTACGATATTGGCCGAGGCAGTTCCAGTGACGAAGCGATTGTGCCGGGTCCAGACAATGCCTGGTTTACCTCAAAAGTTATGTCAAGACAACATGCTACGTTAATGGCTCATCCGGAAACAAAGATAGTCACTATACGAGACACTGGTTCGATGCACGGCACCTTCATGAATGGTGAACGAATCATAGGAAAGCCGACAGAGCTTCTACAGGACGACGTAATCACCTTCGGCACTGACATTGTGCGGCAAGCCGAGTCGTTTTCACCTCTTAAAACCAAGATTGCTTACGAATGGCATGACGAGAACGACCAGTCTTCAGGCACAATAAAGACCTTTCAGAACAGCTTTTCTGCTGACTATAGCGAGGAAGAAATGTATAGCGATCTAGACGACGAGGTTGAGATCGTGCATGAATCAGTACGAGCTCGACAACCCAGTGTTGAAATCGTGAAAATGGCGCTTCCTCCTCAACCAACCACACCGTCGACCTCTACCTCACCAAAAACAAACTCTGACACGAATGCACGGTCATCTAGCTCAGCTACCACCAACAGCCCAGTGAGCGAGAAGTGTAAAGAAAAGGACAACGACGGCCCTATTGAGCAACATTTCGATGATGACATTTCTCAGCTTGGTACTGAGATGGACCATCGATTCGAGCAAGCTAACCTTTCTGAGTCTGAACAAGAGACAGATATTCCTGACTCGGATATTGAGAACGAGGTGTCCATTTGCGAAGTGGAACCACCTCTGAAAGGTCAGTCTTCATCGAAGTATTTCTTTAATAGGGCCATCTTCGACAAGCCTAACTTCCTGCCAGTGCCACAGAACCTAGTGATGCGACAGCCAAGTCCATCGGATGCTGCTATGGCTAAACCTAGCGGCGTATTGCAGCCAGGAATTCAACCCACATTCCTAACCGCGCCTCGTTCCTTGTTCGAATCTAGTTCTACTGACACCACTCCAGCCCAAAATGCCGTACACAACCATGGTGACAACCTTCCTCCATTCAAAGTTCCCATGACGCATGACTATCATGGGTATCCATCACCCTTGTGGCCTCCACGAAACCCGTCGAGCTTCTGTGGTACCACAGGAGCTGCTAATAGCTTCGAGGCTTACAACTCGTATGCATTGCCTGCATTTCAGAGAGACCTGTTCCCGAGTCATTCGTTCTTCAAGCCAGTTGCAACCAGCAGCTCTGCACTCCAGTCTCAGCAGCTATCAGGCTGCCTAGCACCACCTTTCCCAAGCACCCAACTTTCTCACACGGCGTTATCACCTATGGCGTCACCAAAGCTTACAACGCCTCCAGATAACTATCATAGCGAATCATTGAAGCGTAAGGCGGAGGAAATATCACAAGCAGAGGAAGGTAGCGAAGACGAAGACGACGAGTCAATACCATCCACCCCTCGAAAGAGTGGTTCGCTAACCCAGGCTCGATCTCCAAGCTATGCTCGTGAGCCATCGGCAGTGGCCATAGAAACAGTCAGTCCTGCCTCGCACGAACCAGTGGCCTCATCAGGAGCTCTTAAGGAACTTGCAACAGCAGATAAAGCGACCGAACACAGAACAGCAGCTCAACCTGCATGTAAGATGCAAGAGAGTGTAACTCAGGCCGTCAACTTGCTTAAGCCTCTCGGGGAGAATCAGAACATGCCTGAGGAACCCCCACGCAAGATGATCAAGGTCAGCACTGACAGCAACTCTGACGCTAGACGACCGATAAATGCCAAGACCATCGTCAAGTATGCCGTTACTGCCCTGGCTGGAGCCACAGCTGGAGCAATTGGTACCGTGATTGGGCTTGCCTCCCTACCCCAGGATTATTTCGTTTGATCTGTGGCTCGAAGAATACAGTCAGCTTAGGGGTAAAGGTACGATTCGAGAGAGGTATATAATACACGCTGCACAGGACGGTAGAGGAGATTGGCTTGAAACATAATTAAGTGGCACTTGAGGTCATCGATGTGGTACTGGAGTTAAGAGCAAAACTCTGCCACATCGGAGTCAGGCAACGGACCACTTTTGTGGTGGATACATGAACAAGGACAGGTGGAAGACAAGCTAATAGGACGGTATTAAGCACGATGAATTGTGTTGAGAGCTCGTGCTCATAGGAGTTTTGTGAGTGGGCTTGCATACATACGGATTATATGCGCAAGCATAGAAGTCTTCGACGTGACCAATGTTTACACATGGCCACAACGAACTAGTTCTTATCCTCGTTTGGAGTTGTGGACGTCGTCTCTCAGATTTATATGTCCAGATGTGCTCTTACAAGGATCAATGCGAACAACAACACAACGTAATGAAGTATAGATGGTATGTAGCAGAGCTACGTGGCTTTTGGCTGTGCAATGTGATAGAGCATTTCACGAGACAGTTTGTTCTTTGTAGATCGATAAACACTTAACAGAGGCAAATGTATATTGGAGCGAATGGAGTACTGTACTTGGTAATCTAGTTGAGGAAGGAGCTCGAGGCTGGCATACCGCCTTACCCAAAACAGAGAGCTTCTCTGTCGGGGGTGGAGCCTCTCCTTGGCCTTAGCGGTGATCCTTGCTGTTGCGTATAAGAAACGCTCGTTTCCTCGTCCTGCCAGGTGCGTCCACCTCGGCCTAAGAAAGGCCCATTTCGGATTAAGCTGCCCGGAGTGGACGTCAAGCTCAGCGTAAGTGCTGCAGGCGGGCAAGCTATATTCCACGCTGCCAGTATACTGCTGCACTTTTTGGATAAATTGTGTACAGCAAAGTACAACGGAACACGCGACACTGATCCTGCTGCTGGCATCCTTTATTCCTTTCTGAAGCACTTCTCGTCGCTCAGCTTCCTTTGTTTCTCCAATCTCCACTGACACTCTCGTCATTGCGTTCCTGCGCGTCCAGCCACATTGTCTTTTATTGATTCCATAAAGGCTGGCCAATTACCTTCACTGCCTATAGTAACTGCGCCCATGCCCCCACCAACTCAATCACGATGCGTATACCACTTCCATCCAACCTACAATATCCAATCAAGGTTCACCAAGTCAATGCGACGCCAGGAACACGAGTGAAAATACACGATCCGCTGTTCACGTATAGCTATACGGTCATCGTGAAACAACAAGTGGGTCGTTACGATGATACGGAAGAGGAAGTCAAGAAGGAGTTCGATGCCTCTTTTGAGAGTCCAGTAGAAGGCGTTGTCGGAACCTGGCTGGTATGGAACGACGACCTCCTTCGTGGTCCTCGCGACGTCTGCGAAATCATCGAGGACTGCAAACACTCTGTTGTCTTCAATGGTATGTGTGCTGAGTGTGGGAAAGACTTGACATAGTATGTTTTCGACTGGCTTCGCGATAGAAGACAAAAAGACTGACCAGCAATCTAGCTCTGACTCGGTCGAGCGTTCCAACGCCACTGTGAAAGCTGCGCACGGCACCGACAAGCTGTTGATCAGCGGACAAGAGGCCTCGGAAGCTGACGAGGTGTCGAAGAAGCGTCTCTTATCGGCTCGCAAACTCTCCCTCGTTGTCGATCTTGATCAGACTATTATTCACGCTGCGGTCGACCCTACCATCGGAGAATGGCAGAAGGATCCTGAGAACCCCAACTTCGAAGCGCTGAAAGATGTACGTGCTTTTCAACTACAGGACGATGCTCAAGGTACAAGGAGTTGCTGGTACTACATCAAGTTACGACCCGGCCTCGAGCAATTTCTAGAGAGTGTCTCGGACAGGTATGAACTGCACATCTACACAATGGGCACAAGACAGTATGCTCAGCAGATAGCAAAGATTGTCGATCCTGACCGAAAATATTTCGAGGATCGTATCCTCAGTCGAGACGAAAGCGGCAGTATAGTAGCAAAGAACCTTACACGAATATTTCCCGTCGATACGAAGATGGTCGTTATCATTGACGACCGAGGTGATGTGTGGAAGTGGAGTCCTAATCTGGTCAGAGTAAATCCCTTCGACTTCTTCCTCGGTATAGGTGATATAAACTCTGACTTCTTGCCAAAGAAGCAAGAGATACCAAGCACGCCCCAGAACGGCGTTGAAGAGGCGGTCAAGAACGATACACAGACTCATTCCGCGCCGACTGACGAGGAATTGAAAACAAATGGTCACATCGCAACGCAGGAGACGCCAGGCACAGATACTTCGGCTCTACAGCAGGTTCTGTCAATGAGTGGCGACGAGGGCGCTACAGGAGAGATGACGAAATCCCAGGAAGAGACTATCGCGACTCAGCTCGAGGAGAAACCTTTGCTCAAGCTGCAACAGCAGTTGGATGAGAAAGACGGCACTGAAGATAGTGTCGGCTCTGTTCCTGCTATAGAGAGCCCAGAATCTGACTCCTCTGACTCCGATACGTCGACATCTGGAAAAGGTAAGCGCCACGCTATTCTGAGAAACGACGATGAGGAATTGGTCCACCTTGAGCGCAGTCTCAATGCTGTCCACGAGAAGTTCTTCGCCGAGTATGATCGCAAGCGTGGGCACGGTAGTGGTGGAAGAGTAGCTGCCTTGGCCGGAAAACGCAAAGAACCTTTACCCGAACAGGATGACTCCGCTACCCTGCGGAGCGTGCCAGATGTTAAGCAGATTATACCTGCAATGAAACGAAGGGTCATGGACGGCATCGTCATCGTCTTCAGCGGCGTCGTCCCTTTGAGTACCGATATTCACTCCGCTGACATTGCAATCTGGGCGCGAAGTTTTGGTGCCCGAGTTGCGGACAAAGTGTCCAAAGAGGTTACTCATGTCGTTGCCGCTCGTATTGGCACTTCTAAGGTCAAGACTGCGGTGAGGCGCGACATCCCAGTAGTCGGCACGCAATGGCTCATACACAGCTTTCAGAGATGGAAGAGACAGGACGAAGGCGCATACTTGATTAAGGACATCGGACAAAAAGAGCATGAAAGGGGACCATCGAGCGAGGTGGGCGACCCAGATCCAGACTTTCTTGGTGAGAAGCGACTCGGTGAACCGAATGACCATCTCTTGAGCTCGGAAGACGACGCTTCTGGTGCAAATGAAACAGATGATGACAAAGAAGATCGTTCTGCGAAACAGGAGCAAAACCTTGAGGTCGATCTACCAGAAGGTGATTTTGACTATGACCTAAATCACGATTCCAGTAGTCCTGTCGATTTGACACGCGATGAGTGGCAAGAGATGCAGGACGAATTGGCTGAATTCATGGGCAGCGATTTAGACTCGGAATCAGACGCAGAATCTGTACAATCCGATCGCTTGACGTCGAGGCCTGCGAAGAAGCGGTCAAGAGACGACATCGATAACGGTGATAGCGAGCATGATACTGAGAGCGATAGCGAAACCACAAATGGAGATCACAAGCGACACAAAGGCTCAAGGCACAGTGGCAGTTCCTTGAAAGCTGTGAGCAATGTCGAAGCACTTGAAAACAGCACTTCTACTGGGCATACTCAACAAGACGAGGATGACAATGATGACGACTTGGCGAGAGAACTGGAGCTGGAACTGGAAGCTGCTCAAGCTGAGGAGGATGCAGCAGCGCAGACTTAAATGTCACCGCACAGTGTGGTCAAGTGCTGTCTTTTTCACATTTAGCATGGTTGGTGAATCAATTTGCGTGCAAGCGTGGTGTTTGGGACAGGTTCAGTGTTTCATTTATCTACAAGCAACAATGTCGTCTGGACGAGGACTTTTGACATATGAGGCATTGGATATGAGCTTATAAGAGCTAGATAAAATCGTCTTTCCTTCATGAGAAGCTGCTCTGAAGAGGTGGTCAACCTCTCACTGCACGAGAACCAAGTGCTGCAGCTCTATCTGACAGTTTCGCTGTTCGCAGCTACGTCCGTGCACAATGAACAAGTGACTGGAGTGCACAATTCCACCATACACTTTGTTTTCATTGTTGAACTTTGGAATCATTTGGGATCATCGACTCATTGTCCGCTATCAACACTCGTTGCTCAGCATATCATGACTGAATGCAAACTAGCAGATCACAACACGTCGATCAGTCAATGGTCGAAACATAAGATCTCTATTGACTAACTAGTACGACGTCGTTCCTAACTTGAAGACACCAGTACAGATCACTTTTCCGACCACATACAGATCGAAAACTAGACGCACGCTCGAAATGTCTCTTCGTCGACCCCATCGCGACTCCTGGGAGCAGCAGGAGAGAAAGCGGATAGATCGTTCTTCCTCGCCTGCTACTAAGCAGGCAGCGTCATGGGTGCCAATTCGTCGCCTAACGCCATCGCCATTGCCATCGCCATTGCCATCGCCATTGCCATCGCCTTCGCCTTCACAGCAGCCACAGACACAGGCACAGACACAGACACAATCAATCGTGCTTCTATCAGCCGACAACGACGTCCGCCCAAAGACCATACACGGATATGTAGCACCTTATGTTGCCGATAGCCCAGATGAGGGCGATAGCGATACCGACGACTACCCTGAGCAGCTAGCGTTGACACCCACTGAGTCTCGTCAAGATTCCGTATCCCGGGGTACGAGCCCTGATCTAGCCGAACCACTGCCTACTGTACTTTCCTCTGATGAGCATGATCAACGTGATTGCAGCCCCAGCACGGAAGATCAAGACTACACCCTCCCACGTCTGGTCTACCAACCACCATCACTAAACCCTGACTCATCATCGCAGGTTGAAAACAACAACATTATACCCTCGATAGAGACAGATCCTCCGGCAACACTACACTCAAGCTGGTCCTCCACCACAGCCACACCATCTCTAGCTCGCCACGCCAGCCCAGCAGCAACAATGACACCAATCGAGCAACACGAGTTCGACATGCTGCATTCCACCGACTTCCCAGTCCAGTACCTCCGACCAGTCCCCGACTTTATCGTCCTAATGACGCAAGTCGCACCCGTGATAGGAGATCCCGGTTCCGCTTATACCCCCTTTGGACCTAAAGGTCCCGCGAAGCCGATCTTCGTGGATACGCAGACGATGTGGTTGAGACAGGCATATCCCGAGGACGGGCGGGACAGTGTTCTCAAGGAGGAGAGGGTGGGGACACGGAACGACCGGCTTAGGTGGGCGAGGAAGCCGAGGTCGCGGAACGAGTTGAGCAGTGGTGGACGTAATAGTAGGAGCACTGCGAGGGACTCTAGCTATGGGTCTGGTGGGATACCGTATGCTGATCCCGCTTCGTCTGTGAGAGCTAGCTGGAAGGGGAGGCATTGGAGTGTAAACCCGGACGCGAAGACACGACATTTGAGTTTTGAGGTGTTGGAGCGCAAGATCAGTCATGGTGAACTGCTTAAGCTGAATCTGAATGGCGATGCCTACAGAGACGCTATATTGATTGGTGGTGGCCCTCAGGATATCGGCCATAGTCTGGTCATTGACAGAAGCGGAGCGACCGAGAAAAGTCCCAGTCCAGACAACAACAAGCACCTGTCCGTACAAAGCCAGCAACCATCACTACTACCAAGCGACATATCCAGACCTCGCAGCACAGACACCAGCAGAAGCAGAAGCAGAGACCGCGCCCGCCATAGCAGCATGACAACCACAACCCTTCACGCATCGCGGATGTCCTCATCAGCCAGATATTCATCACACGCGACGACTCACAACTCACTCGCCACCACATCCGAAAACAACAACAAATACGACGATAAAGGTAGACGCTGGCGCGCACAGAATCTAGATAACTCATTTGGCACGGGACGTTACGGTATTGGCGGTATGATGCTTTGGAGGCTGGTTAAGGTTATTGCGAAGGTTGAGGATGGTGGGCTGGGGGTTCATGGGTTTGAGAGGCAGAGTCAGGAGCAAGCTGCTTGGTATTGTATGCCTGATCGGGCGATGGGAGGGTGGTTTTAGGCATATCTATGGATACTTGTCATGGAGGGAAGTGAGGTTACGATGTTTTACTACTGTCGAGTCAAGATATGGCGGGTGTCTGTGTTGCTACTCAACAGGAACATCGTGCGATAAGTTCATTCGCTTTCTCGATAGTACAGCAGATATCTTCATATACTTGATACTATCAGATTAGTACTACTGTAGAGCAGGATCCTCAACGTCGTTAATTGAGTCGCTGCACCTGTCTAATCTCATCACCATCTGGACCATTTCCCACCACAAAGCACGCTGATATCCTCGTTCCAAATATAAAACCCTCTTTGTTTGCATGGGAACAATACCTTGCTATCAAGGTAGAGACCTTGAACGTGATCTCTGTCCCTCTTTGTCACCCCCATTGCTTCGCCATAGTAGTCGAACGTTTCCTTTTCCTGGCTATACAAGGACTGACCAGGAATAGCTTATCTCGATCGCGTATTTAGAGTTAATGAAGTATAAGCTCCCCGTTATGGTATTCTCTCGCTACTGCTGCTATCGTGATCCAAAAACCTGAATTACATTCATTGCTTAGTATCCTACATATATCTTGGCTCCACCATCACCATATTCGTTTTCGTCGCTCACAGTTTCGACTTACCAAGATGGGATCATCTCAATCCAAACCAACCCGTCCTCAAAAGGGAGGACTAGCACGCTCAAACGCCAGACATGGCCGTCCAGCTCCAAACAAGAAACAACAACAGCAGCAGCAAAGATACGCTCCTCCTCCTCCTCCACCCAACAAGAACAAATCCCTACCACTACTTCCCAAACAACAACAACAACAACCAAGACTAAAACCCTCCAAAAGCCAATCTAACATGTCCGCCCTAGGATTCGGTGACATCGTAGCCGACCGCCAATACTATATGACCAAGCCGCTGCCACCCCTGCCTAATCAAAGACCCAAAGCCCTTACTAAAGCTCCCAGGAAAGCTCCTACCCCGACCCCTGTCCGAACATCAACCCCAACCCCAGAACAAAGCTTCTTCACCGGCAGCAAATCTCACAAATCCCGCAACCCCGACCCCTCCACCAACAACATCTTCCTCTGCGCCCCCAACTCCGGCATCCCCTCTCAAATCCCCGATTTCGCACTCAAGAAACAAGGCGTTTCAACCTGTCGCGCGTGCCGGAAGGCTGTCAATGCAGATACTGATTATTTGTTGTGGCATAATGTCGATAGTTGCAAGGCTGTGTATCATAATAGATGTGCGAAGCAGTGGTTGGTGAGGGAGTTTGAGAATCAGAGGAGTGGGTTGATGGCTAGGCCGAGGTGTTTGGGATGTGGTGGGTGGATGAATGTTAGGGTTGTAGGGGCTTCGAGGGGGTGTCCGATGGGGTTTGTGGCGTTTGGTGGGGGGAGGTGAGGGTTGGTGGTGGTTGTGGGAGAAGGGAAGGGGGAGGAGGAGAGAGAGGGAGAGAGTCCTGCCTGGTTGCACAGTAAGTTTTCGTGTGTGGTGAGTCTGACCTTTTTCTTTCTGTCGTCTGTTTGAGCTTTGACTTTGGCGTAATATGAGCAGGCCTTGTGCTGTTTTATCCACGTCCCAGCACATCGTTGAGTAGCATTTCTTTCTTGGGATTCAATGCATACTGTTCAGCCCAAGCATCTGTCCAGATTCAAGATGGCAGCTCGTCCAGATCCTCTATGAGTCTAAAGCTGCTGCTCTGAACAGAGACTCATGAGTAGAGCATCAAAGTGTGGAGGGAGATCGCAAAGACTTGATGCCTTTCGTCCATCGTTGTTACTGTCTCCTTACTCATCGCAGCATCTCCCTTAGTAGCCCATCACAGAGAGCTCGAACGAAATCCAAGTGACAAGTCGTTATTACCACTGCCAGTATCTGGTATAGGGCAGGCAGAATCAGGCAAGACGGTATCGTAGATGCACAAGTCCTCTGTTTTAGTCAAGGCTGAGTAGGATACGCAAACTTGGACGATGAACATGATATGCCTGTAAAGACCTGGTGAAGCTATCGTCAAACTCTATATTTAACAGGATCACAGGTGTGCTGCATATAATCAAGCTAGAGGGTACCTCTGTGTACGGGCCGAATTGTTCAAGTTATGTATGACACTTTAAGTACCGGTGCCAAGCCTGAACGTTTTCATTAGCCTCATCGTCTATAAAATGTACACAGCTAACAAGCATATAAAAGCTGCTGTACAACTCCTCCGATTTAGGTCTTCAACTAGGAGCAACGAGTAAGGAAATTATGTCAATTGACTAGAATTGTTTTCGATTGCACTACCTATTTCCAATCATCATCTTTACTGCTGGCATCAGCAAGGCTGTTCATAGCTATCCAAGCAGGTCTTTATCCGACCTTAGCCATCCTTCATGTTGTGAAAATGTTTTTTCCTTTGATCCAAATCCTTACTTGCGCCGACCATGCTCTTTTCGTTTTATTGTGTACAGCGATCACAAATCAATACACGGCTATTTGAAATTTAGCCAAACCACTTCTATTCGCTCGCTGAAACGATTCAATGTATGGTAAATATACAGCAGCAGGGGTATCGTCATTCTATGTGCAAGCTTCACTGTATATTCAGCTTTTCTTCATTCTTCATGATTTCATTCTGAGAAGATTGAATCAATCCTGCATTTAGTTAGCATGTCTTGATGGATTTAACGAAGAACGAATCATACCTCATCTGTTAACCTGTCCAAAAGCTGTATACTCAGGATCATGACAAGCAATCCTAGAGTCACCACAACCAGTAACCCAAATCCAAACCAACCTAAGACCATGGCACTTGTTCCTACGCCAGATCTCACACTTCCATTGCCCAGATCCTGTGCAACTTGACTCGCCGCCACTGCTGCCGTGTGCTGCCACATCACGCTCACTAAGACGAACACACTTGCAATGAAGATTGTTGCTAGTGCCACCTGTGATACTGCTCGTGATGGGAAAGGTTTGACTTCGTGCTCACTGCCATCCTCTGTCCTCGTCGTATGCCACCCTGGAAATGTTGCCAGTAGCAGAAAGGTCAGGAAAGCCAGGATGATGGCTATTATGATCAAGTATGGGAACACAATTGCGTCTTTGAATGTGTTGGCGACCCATATTAGGTTGAGCGGATCTTGATCGACGGTGACAAGATCCGCCAACGCTGTGGCATTCTGATTGCACATCCATGCTCCACCTCCTTCTTGTACGCAGATACCGAAGTAACCCACTCGAACGTTGAGGTTGGCATTTCCGACAATGTTGGCTATCGCCGTCGTGACTGAGGGATCAACTTGAACTGTAGAGAAGATTGCAGGATATTGTTGGTAATAGAGGGATATGAGGTAGATGTCGGGTATCAGGGGAGATGTGGAAGAGCATCCTGCTAGTAGTAAGGCTAGACGAGATAATTAGTATGAGCTTACTCTTGGGTTGACTAATGGTAAACTTACACAGCAGGACGATGGCTATGGCGATGAATATCATGAGCACATGATGGTACCCTATCACTGGCACATATCTCCTCCATCCCGTAGCGAATGCAGGCATATCTTTGGTTTTCGTGGCACAGACCACGGGTCTTGTCGAGGCTCCTCAAGCTTTGACGATTGTCGTCCACAAGGGACGGAGGATATGGTGAACGACCAGCTCAGAAGGTGGTCCCAGCTGTACGGCGTGGAGGAGATAATTCGTGGCAAAGGGCTTCAGTCAATCTTGCACAGATGACAAGTTGTGCTTTGAAGTCGTTGTTGCAGCAAATCTCGAGATCTGTTTTCAAGTAAAGGCTTTCGATCAAATTGTCAGTATGTACACAGTAGTGCAGGAAAGATGAAAGGACAGGAAGGCGTAACTTGAGCTAAGTTTCCAATACAAGTCCTCCTTGACACTGGATTCGAGATCTTTCATTCGGTCAGCATTGTGGTGCTTTGGAAATGCGATGGCTGGCGATGCGCTTTTTCTCAAGAATTGAGATGGCAGGAGTTTTAGTCGGTCGCAGTTGCCAGTTGCCGGGACAAAGTCAACACGCTACCATTTACGTCTTAGCGTCAATCTACGTCATGCCTTTCCAGAGTCCACTCAAACTCCATAATCACGATCTTGGCCAGTCCAGAGGGCCTGGTACCTGAAGATCTGCACGGGCCGCGACGACTAACAGCCAATATTCTGGGGCAAAGTGCCAGCCATCCTCAGCGCATTGAGCCCAGATTGGTGCTGCCAACACAATGTATCATGACCCGAGATACATCCAATAACATGCAGATATCAGAGGAAGTGATTCGCGGTCATAGAATACGGAATATGTGCTACCAATACTCATTCATCATCATTTCTCATTATGGAGGCCACTTGCCAAACGCCAATACGTTATTAACAATGCTTGACACTGTCATCCAACAGTTGTGCTGTGCTTGCATGTCCAAAACTCCGTCATCAATACCCAGCATTGATGCGCTGCTCTCAAGTAAAAGAATGTTGTTCTATACTATGAAGCCAGAAATTGAAATTTCTTCAAGTTCAGACTGCTTACGGGCCTCTCCTCGACCTCAGAGATTTCGTCCTGACTGCTAAAAGGTATTGCATCTTCACTGCCTTCAACAGCAGTCGTTGAAAGTGAGTAGGCCATGTTCGATATTGGTGGTAAAGCACATAACGTTTGGAGCGCTTTATGCTGCCTCTCTGGCGATTGACATACAAAAGTCCTGGCTAGGGACTTGAAAGTGGTCACTGACCCATGTTGAAGGTCTTCCGTCTCGAGTTCACCTTCGAGCTCGAGATGTGTACGAGTTGGTGGAGGTACAAGCGAAGGACTCAGCGTCGCCAGTACGGAAGACTGCATCAATGGAGACTGTCCGGAAAATGTACGACTCATTCTTCGTGAGCTCGAGGCTGTACGTAACTGCTTTAGATTTTGCTCGAGAAGCTTCTCAAAAGCTTTGGGCTGTTCGTCTTTGCTGATCATAATCTCCTCACTTGTCTGGCTGTCACTCTGTGATTGAAGTTCCATTGCCTGAAGCTCTACCGTTCCATGACTTGACTGGGAGTCGAATTGTGAGTCCTGAGGCTTCGCAGGTGAAGATTGCGGAATTATTTCCTCCTCTTCTTCCTCCTCTCGACCAATGAGGGCCACACCTTCATCGACAGGCAGCTTCGGCAATTCTGGGTAGTCCACTGTTACCTTAGGTGGTTGCAAGACTTGCTGTTCCATCGCAGCAAAGATGTTTTCGACTGAATCGTCGGAAAACACATCGAACATTGGCTTTTGAGCCCTTTTGTCTCTCGTCTTCTTGCTAATTAATGGACTGTGCTCGTTTGTGCTGGAAGCGAAATATCGACTTTGCTTAATTTCCTTACAGGGGGAGACATCGTCCGATTCTGAGCACAATCTTTGCCGCTTGGCAGGTTTGTAAGTAGAGGGAGCTCCAGCTTTGGCAAGAAAAGACGATTTGTTGACACGAGCTGGGACTGGTGTTGAGCTTGAGGGAGGCAAGTCGGTGATAGTCCTTCGAAGAGGAGGAGCCGAACTCGCATATCGTGGTTCCCATGTGGCGTTGCGATTTCTCTCCAGTACCCTTTGCTGTGATGGAGACGGGGTCAGGCTGTTAGGATCCAGCTCAGCCAGAGGTCTCCTGGATGGCGGAAAGAAACTATCGATCGATCTCTTTGGCTTTAATCCTGGCGACCCCTCGTAGGTTCGCCTTCTGCTCTCTTGTAGTACTGCGCGTGATGTGAAGTTCTTGAGGTCTTTCACGCCCGAGACAAATGGTTCCTTTGTCTTCGGGTTGAGGTCGCCACATGCAACCCCAACAGCAATTTCGGGCTCTACAGAAGTCCCGATGTATGGCATTTCCTCTTCCTTAAGGTCAGGTGGTAAGTGGTTGAGAGTTACCACCCTGCCGAACTTAGGACAGAATACTCTGTGGTACAGAAAGGCACGTTCAGCATCCTGGAAGCTTGACAGATAGTCCTGTGGAACCACGTATTTTCCATTCAATGCCATTGCTCTGACAATTCTAGCAAGGTCTTTGTGTTTCTTGACAAGTTCGTGGCCCTTTCTGAGACCAATCCCACTCACGCTCGGTAGGTAATCGCAACCACTTAAGATTGCCATTCGTCTAAACATGGTGTCGGACCAGCCCGCGAAACTGATATCGCGGTTGAGGATAAAATCCGACCGATTTATCTCAATGCATGCACCATACTGATCCAATTTTGTAATCAACTTCCTTGCCCCAAAGACAAGGAGGTCCGAGTCTTCTGAGAGTATCCCGTCAATGATACCTTCCCTTTCCAGGTAGGTCAGTTGCGCGTCTGCCTCATAAGGCGCGACCAGAATCTGGACGTTCATGCGACGAAGCTCCTCGATCAGGGCGAAGGTCATCTGCGGTGTGACTGTGACGGCTTTTTGTAGCTCCTGGCAGGCTTGATCGTGTTTGCCCGAATGATACAAAGACATACCCAACTCTTTCGCCGCTTGACGTTCTTTCCTCCTCTTCGCGTTGGTGCCGCCCTTACTCGGTAGAGAGTCACCATCGAAAACCAGGTATGGAGTAATGCCGAAATCGAGGAGCATACGAACTCTGTTGACAACGAAGCTCACATATTGTGTAGTGGGCTTGTCCAGTGCAAGCTGCAGGGCGCAAGCGACAGCACCTCGATGCAGCCATCCGAAAGCATCGACTCCTAAAGTCTGTCCAGCATATGCTTTGAGCGAGGTGTGTTTGTGTATAGACTTCAGTAGGGGTAACAATCCACTAACACCCATGTTGGCGCCTTGCTTTTCAACAAGATGTTCTACCAACTGTTCCCCATCTGGGAAGCGCAGTCAGGGTATGGCGTTATAAAGAGAGACACATGTACGACGCAGTCTATGTGAGTGACGAGGGGAGAAATGTGCTCGAGTTGTCGTTCATGTCACGGGTATGGGGCGAGATGTGCTGGCGAGCAGCGGGTTGTCCTTGCATGGCCGGACGCGCTGGCCCAGAATGGGACGCGGCGCGTACCTTTTGTTGGGCCCACTCTAGACTCGGAAGGAATGCCAAGTCATGTGAATTTCGCTCTGATTTTCTGGCAGACTCTACGAGTACTATAGATATTTTCCATAACATTGCTGAATTTAAGCGCAATGGCACGGTCTTTGCACAAGGTGCAGAAGCAGATATCCAAGAAACATGGTGGCAAACCAACTGCGCTGCATGAAAACAGTCGTCATGCTCAAAGATTACGACAAGCAGGCGCAAGAGAGGACAAGCTCGCTAGAATTGCAACTGCTGCTGCGAGATCGAACCAGATCTACATCGATAGGGTAGCTTACTTTCAGGATGCTTTGGCAGAATCCACAGCACCACTATCAGAATCACAACTGCAGAACCTGGTCAAGGAATTCATAGGCCGTGACGATACAGAGTTGGCAGAACTCAGAGCCGCTCAGAGACCAGGTCGGCCTCGCAGCAAGGCGGAAGAGAACATTCAAAATCGTATCGACAATGAATCAAAGGAATTCAAAGCTGGTTTTTGGGCTCCAGATGTTACGACTGAAGACGGTCTCGAGCATCTGAAGCGCTGGGGTGGTTCGTGGGGCGGATTAAACACGCTCAAATTCTGCCGCGTCGTCAAAGACGGCGATATCCAGAAATCCTCATTCCCTCCAAAGTCATTGTCATGATTGAAGAGTGTTCGGCTTTTCACTGTTCGGCTCCAAAATTCGGTGCGGAGTAATTCCGGCCATGTTTGCAACCAATATCGAAACATATATTCAAGGCATGAGTGCCACCACCTCCATTTCACATCACTTTACATCCTTCGACAAACCTGTGTCTCGTGGAAAAGATTTTTGGGATCATCGTTTCGCGCCTTCCCCATTCTCCGATTGCTTAGCCCGCGCAATTTCACCATGAGTCCCGCCAAATACATAAAGAGGATTACACTATTCAAGGTGCCAAAGGAGGAAGACGTCGACGCTGCCATACAGAAGTACAAGACTTTGCGCGAAACAGCAGTAAAGGTATGATACTTAGCTCGGCAAAATTCGGCACAAGCTGACCAACTGCCCAGGACGGTGAGCCTTATATTCTGCACAATGAAGCTGGCAAGACAATCAATACATCAGAAGAGCGATCGAAAGGATTCACGCTATGTGGGCAGACCACCTTTGCAAGTCAGGCTGACGTTGATTACTACGACTCTCAATGCGGAGCGCACGCCGAGTTTAAAAAGTTCATTACACCACGTCGTACAGATGTGATGGTGGTGCATGTGCCGACCGAAGTACTCCCATAATCTGCTGAATAAGTCCGTATCATTACCACCACCGTTGGCTATCAGATACAGAATTGCGAGCCACTCAGATTCTCTGCAGGATCGTTACCAGCGTTCTGAGGGACAGCACGTTCAATGCCTGCATAATGAGGACCATGGGCCAACAGCTTCTGGTTGCACTGGGTTTTGCCTCTTTCTTCCTCTAGTGTTTTGAAAAAAAGTTGTGTCTCGCAGCGATAGGAGAATGTGTGAAGTAGCTACTGGCAATCGAGATATGCAAAGCCTTGTACGTGGAAACCGTGGTCTTTTACTGACGGTCGGATATGTTTTCCATGGTCGTGCGGCTGAAGTGCGGCAAATCATTTGATGCGACGCTAAAATTTCCAGAAAGGCTCGAGAGGATCGCGAGCCTGTTGCGTTGCATAATCTTCGTAGATATCGCATCACGATATATTGACTTCATCAACCACTTGACCAATCTTCTGTCGCTGATTCAATCTACAATCATAACCTCACATCAAAATGCTTGCATTACGATCAATTGCGCGAGCTATTCCAAGGACAGCGCTCAGGGCTGCTCCTGTCCGATCCGCCTCAAGATATACAGCCATCACCAGACCAAGCATATCACGATTCACACAGTGTAAAGCCTTTTCGACGACGAGGATATGGAGAGAACCAGCTGGTGACTGTAAGGATGAAAAGTCTTGCTAATGAACACGAGCGCTAATCATGCGCGACAGCTGATGCTGAACTTTCTGCCAAATTCGAACACGAGCGATCCATCGAGGAGCAGGAATCACCAAACTCCAATGCCATGCCTCAAGAGCTGCAAGATTACCTAGATGACTCCGAGTTCAAGGTATGCATTCAGTCCAAAGGCGACGAAAGAGCCATTTGCTAACATCGACCGCAGCTGACTGATCAACCCGGTACCGAGAACATTGTTCTCACCAAGCAGTTCGGCAATGAAACGTATGATACAGGCAAGCAACGATGTAAACAAGCTCAGTCACTGACCTACTTAGCATCTGCATTGAGTGCAGCATCGCCGACATGAACGCCCAGCAAGAAGCCGATCTAGACGACGACGTTTCCCTCGACGATGAATCAGATTTCGGTTCTGATGTTACCTCCGGTGGAAAGAGAACCATCAACCAGTCAAAAGGTGGCAAGATTGATGTTATGCCAGAAGATAGCCTTGCACCATCCGATCGCGACGCTGGCGCTGAACAGGAACAAAGCAGCTCTTTCCCACTGAACCTGAGCATTACTATTGACAAGGGTGCCATTGGTGCCACCAACGTTATTGCTCAGGCGCAAGACGGTCAGATCGATATCGAATATGTCCACTACTACCCACGCGCAGATCTGATTGATCCCAAGACCCACGAGGCAAGCAGAGAGGCTCAAGACGTGTATGGAGGACCGACTTTCCAATACCTCGACGGCGAGCTACAGCAAATGTACGACAATTACATTGGTGAGCGAGGTATCAACACACAGTTGGTCTGGTTCTTGACAAGATATGTCGACTACAAGGAGCAGCGCGAATATGTCCAATGGCTTGACAGTAAGTCCCTTACCCGATATCAATGAGCATTTACTAACAGTACGTTAGACATGAAGAAGTTCATTGACGCTTAAAATTTGTATCACTATAATTATCTCCGCTTCTAATCACTGGATTTGACGTTGAGCGAAACAAGTTTGTACAATAGACGACCAGCACGCGAGCTCACGGTCCCTTTGGGAAGACGAATGACTGAGTCAGGGCTCCATCGCCTTGCTGATCCACGGAATGGAAGGTCTTGTTAAGATAGTCCAGAAAAGTACGACTATAACGACAAGATAAGTGGCTCTGTTGCTGGCCTGGCACGTTTGTAGTGTCGAACTGCTCGTTGGTACAGTACAGGACCGCTCAAAATACGAAAGATTTCTCGCTATCTTTGGAAGACCTATATTTCCTGAAAATCTTATCTGCAAGCCTGGCCATATGCAATGCACGTCAAGCACTTACCATCGTGTTCTTGCGTATCTGCATCCGCATGTCGAAGATAATGGAGAAAGACCAAATAGCATCATGGTCGTAGCTGCTGTATGAAATCTACATCGCCTCGTATATATCTTCTGTTTTAATGCTAGTCTCTACAACATTTGCGGCTAGGACCCCTGCTCATATTAAGCGAAACCTGCCATCGTGTTCACGATACAGCCTACAGCAGTCAACACGTGACCGTTTCGGATTCCGCGCCTGCCATGGTGCACTTCCTGTCCCGACTAGTATACGTTTTGAGCACTGGTGAAAGTTTGAAACCGATCGTATACGCATGTCGTTGCCACGAGTCTTCTAGAAACCTAGGTAAATAACGACTCTGACCCAAAAACCCCACCACGTACGGGCACAAGTTACTCCGCCACTCCTACCAGTGCTCGAAAACCCTCTGCCTGCTCGACCTCGGTTTCATACACACCATATCTTGTCAGTGTCACACTGGAGATTCGTGTACGAAATACGCTCAGAAATACGAGGCCTTCCATGAGCTTGGGTATCTTCTTGCGACTGTCTTCGTCCGAAAGACTGGCAGCAATTAGCCAAGATGAGAGGCCTAATGTCTGACCACTTTGTAGCTTCTCCCAACTGTGACGCAGTCAAGAGGGGTATGTAATTAAGAAAACAGCTGAGCACATCGCATCACACATATCGATGTAACGACAACGTATTTTTGGGCAAGCCAAATGACCTACACGCCCAAGGTTGCAGTATATAGTTCATGTCTTCGTGCACTGTTCTCAACTTCGCCAGCACGATCAGCTCGCTAACAATTCTATATACCTGCCCAGTAAGTCGGTGAAGCGGCGGAATTAAGCTGAAACTCGACGTTGTTACTGATTTTCACATTCTGCTTCGACTACCTTTCGCAACTTCGAGAGACTAAAGAGGAGACGTCGTGCATAGCAACAAACTCCTTCAGAACAGCTAGTTGAGAAGCTCAGTAACATTCAAATCTCGCAACAGGCCGATCTCCTATCCAGCATGGTGCATTTAGTGCTTTTGCTGTTAGCAGCGCCTCCGGTCTACCTACTATACGCTTTCGTCGCATCATATTATCAAGCCTGGCGATATGAGCAGAGAGCGGCAGCTAAGGGTTGCAAGCGGGCTCCTATGCGACCCTACAAGTACCCTGGTGGTCTCGACATGATCGCACGCATTTTCCAGGCCGATGCACGCCATCAAATACCCAACGAGTTTGAACGTATATGCTTCCAGGAGATGCAAGGGAAGACAACGTTCGAACAATACTTGTTTGGTGGGCTTGTATTCTTTACGATCGACCCAGAGAACATTCAAGCCATCTTGGCCAAACAGTTCAACGACTTCGAACTCGGACCAAGTCGACGTGGAAACTTCTGGCCCTTCCTTGGAAATGGCATCTTCACTGCTGATGGTGCTGACTGGTCTCACGCACGGGCGATGCTACGACCACAATTTGCGAGAAATCTGGTGGCGGACCTTGAACTTGAGGAGAAGCACGTCGGGGATCTGCTCAAACATATACCAGTCAAGACATCGGATGGCTGGACAGATAACATTGACTTGCAACCTCTGTTCTTTCGGCTCACCCTAGACTCTGCCACCGAATTCCTCTTTTCTGAATCAGTACATTCCCAGATCACTGCTCTTCCTGCCTCGGCCAGAAACAACGAGAAACTATCTAACCCTACTGGACTGGATCTCATTGAAGTTGGCAAAGCCTTTGACAGAGCGACACACATGCTTGGAAAGAGAGCTCGCTTCGCAGAAAACTATTGGTTGTACAACCCAAAGCAATTCAAGACAGACTGCAAGCTCGTCCACAAGTTCGCTGACTTTTTTGTCCAACGAGCCTTGACCTCGGATCTCGAGAAGGCGGACACAGGCCGCTACGTCTTCTTGCACGAATTGGTAAAGGTTACTCGCGATCCGATTGAGCTTCGATCTCAACTACTGAACATCTTTCTGGCTGGGCGGGACACAACTGCTGGACTATTAGGCTGGGTATTTTGGGTTCTTGCTCGCCATCCAGACATCTTCCAGAAATTGCGAGAAACGGTCCTGAACGAGTTTGGCACATACGAGAAGCCCAGGAACATCACCTTCGAAAGTCTCAAAGCCTGTACTTACCTGCAGCACGTCATGAACGAGACTCTCCGTCTCTATCCCTCCGTGCCTCTAAACTCTCGTCGTGCGGTGCGAGATACAACCATTCCAGTCGGTGGTGGACCAGATGGAAAATCACCTATATTCGTGCCCAAGGGCACTCAAGTCGACTACGCCGTCCACGTCATGCATCGTCGCAAGGATATCTATGGTGAGGATGTGAATGAATTCAAGCCGAGCCGCTGGGTCGGTAAAAGGGTTGGGTGGGAGTATTTGCCCTTCAATGGCGGCCCTCGAATTTGTTTAGGTCAACAGTTTGCGTTGACGGAGGCTGGCTATGTGATTGTGCGATTGATGCAGAAGTACGATCGAATCGAGAACTTGAGCAGCGTGACGGAGGAAGATCCTTTGTATCAGTACAGCGTCACGACGGCACCTTGGGAGGTCAATGTGAGATTGCGTGAGGCGAGGAATTGAGCTTTGAAAGGTTGCGGAGTGCGAACAGCGGTTCGATATTGCTGCTACTGCTTTTAAGAAACAGTGTCTGCAGCGATCGAGGTGTGCAGAGGATCTATTCAAAGTATAGTCTTTCATCGTGCCGTCTTTCTGTGTGACTGTTAGGAAACATTGAGTCTGTGGGTGTAGCAACGTCAATGTATGTATCTGTGTTTGCAATCGCCCTTATGTATGATCATTTTCCAGCGTGAGGTACCATTATCCCGGCTCGTGTCATTTCCGCAACAGTCGCAGTATGTGCTTCCTCAACAGAAGATGCCTAGATAAAGATGCGCGAAATTGTACTTGGGGGTCGCAACAAACGAGCAAAGGCTGCGTATCAGTACCATGATCAACGTAATGTAAGGTATCCTATAGGCTTGTCGTATTGCTGGAGGATCCATGGAGGAATTGTGACAACAACTCCACTCAGCCCACAATGATTTGCTCAGGCTTGCTCTTCCGAGCAGCCATGATCCAGATAGAGTTGCCGGCTCAGACGTTTCTACTGTCGTACACAAACGGCCCAAATGTCCAGCAATAGGTGACGAAAGTTTGCCGAATTTCGGGGTCCAGACTGCACTACATCATCCGCATCAAACAGAACCGTCGCCATCACCGTTTTACCTTCTCTCTTTCTACACACTATCTACCGTCCTATCGTCACGACAAACCTACATCAATTCTTGCCAAAACCATTCAGTAGACCTTTTCTCGTCAAGTTGACGAACACCAGACAAAACTTCAACCAAGGAATAGCCGAAAAAGAAAAGCGCAGCTAAAACAATGTCTCGCCGTATCCTCACAAGCACCACTCCTCGCGCTCTATCAGCCTCCGTCAGACCGTCGACAAACTCTGTCATCACAAGAGCGCCACGTATCCTCGTCTCATCACAGCAACAACCCGCACAGAGAAGAAATTACCATGAAAAGGTCCTTGACCACTACTCGAACCCCCGCAATGTCGGTTCAATGAGCAAGAACGACGCAGATGTCGGTACCGGTCTAGTCGGCGCACCCGCTTGTGGCGATGTTATGAAACTGCAAATTCGAGTCGATCCAGACAGCAATACAATCAGTGACGTTAAGTTCAAGACTTTCGGCTGCGGTTCTGCTATCGCCTCGTCTTCATATCTTACAGAGCTGGTACGCGGCATGACGCTGGAGCAAGCTAGCAGAGTAAAGAACACCGAGATTGCTAAGGAGCTCTGCCTACCACCCGTCAAGTTGCATTGCAGTATGTTGGCGGAGGATGCGATCAAGAGTGCAATTAACAACTACTACACTAAGAACCCGAAGGCGAAGCAGACAGATTTGGGCATGAGCCAGGCTCAAGGTATGCCGAGGATTGAGATCGAGAAGGTTACGGCTACCACAGACACTGGGGCGAGTGCAGCTGCCTAGATGGTGCTTCATGAGGAGACGGATGAGCACGGATGGGATTTGTGTGAGTGGGATGAGGTCGAAAGTGATCTGGGCAGAATAGCGTTTTGCAGAGGCCGAGATCAAGTGTTATTGATCGAGCCTGAACAGCCCGGAATGAAGCAAGCTTTTTTTAAAAGACCTTAACAAAACCTACCTGTGCAAGGCAGAGCTTGTATACAGGTCATCATTCTACCTTCCGCTCTCTATCCCTGCGAAAAGGGTATGGAGTAACGGTATCAACGAAATTGATATCCCTGTTTTGGTTTTGATTAGTAGTGTACATTTTCTACATAGCCACCTATTTTCGAATAAAACACATGCCTAAATGCCAAAACCACAATGTAGCTTCAGATAAATTTTCTCCATTACTACTCATGATTACAACAAGTCCAGGCACCACCGGCTCAATCATTACCATGACATGGCATCGAGTGATCGCTTCATCCTGAAGCGCCCACTGTATCCTCCATATGTAGGAAGAAGTCGAGTGAAGACTTGGAACCACAATGATGGTCTTGCTCTCATAAACTTTGAGGAGCGAGGTAGGAGGCACGACGACATCGTGGCTGTTAGCCGTTATCTTGATCGTGGAATAGAACCGCTATTTGAAGACATCTTAATGAGCGCTTTTTGTGGAAGGATACAGCAATTGCTACGAGTCCCGTGATGAAGGCTCGAAGTGGTCAGAGCTTGAAGTGATCAAAGCGCAGATACGTTCAGGATGCGAATCGTGGTGAAGAGAAGATAATAGGTGTCCTGAAGGATGATGGTTGTGCAAGTCAAGCTGCTCTATAGCGACTCTAGTACAGCCGTCATCTATCTTGAATATCCGTCATGGACACCGCGACCTGAAAAGCTGTTGAACATTGCTAACAGGATATGCAGTGTCCTTCATGCTAGGTATCTGGAAGTATGCTCGCTCGCTTGAAGACATATATACGTGCTCTCGTAACTCGTCATGCAGCGATGTCGCTCAATAATCTACCATCATGTCTTCATCGACATCACCTGTGCTGAGACCAGGAACTTTCACCGGCACATTTCCCTTCTTTTCTTGGTCTCTGGCTTTCTTTGCTTTTTGCAGCCAGTCCAGATAGTCCTTGCTGACCTCAAGTTGGTGATCGTAGTTGGCAACGTGTCTAAGTAGGTCTTGAAGTTCTCTTGCTTTGACGGCAAGCTCCTGTTCGATCTGGGGCTCAGGTTTCTGAGCTGCTGAGGGTGGCAGAAATCGGACAGTGCCAAGACTGTCTCCTTCTGCAGAGGTAATTTCGGCCTTGAGGTCGCCTGTCGATATGAGTTCTTGGATATAGGCAAGGAAGCCTGGCATGTTTTCGGGTGTGGGCGAGACACGTCGTGCAAGCTCTTCGATTGGTAGAGCCGCAAAGATCTTGCCGAGACGAACCACGGAGAACTTGCTGAAGGCACGCAGGACTTCGCTCATGAGACCATAGTTGGCATCGTTGGTCCACTGGTCAAGGCCTTCTTGCACTTCAGCAGTCAGAGTATCGTAGTTGTTAGTCTTGAAAGCATCTGCGATGCATTCGTACGGCTTGGCTATCGTTCGCACATGCCTCAGTACGTTTGCGCTGATTGCCCTTGGTGGCTGCTGGCTCTCGCCGTCAATGATAAGACAGAGCAGAACCCATCTCCTGTAAGCCTCGACCATGAGCATGCTTGCCGCATTCTGCTGTGTTGGTGTGGCAAGAACGACCTCTAGAAAAGCTTTTGCCTTTCTCCATTGCGATGAACCAATATAGCACAAAGCCCCCAATAGATAGTATTCGAGGTATGTTCTATATGTGATCCTGCCAGACAGACCACTTTGTGGGTTGATGTAGGCTAGGCTAGACTCATGAGCCGAGCAGAAGTTCTTGGCCAATCTCTTTTCCAAGGGTTTCATAGATTCTGACGTGGGAACGTGATATATTGGTCGATCGAGAATTGAGGCTGCGTCTACGTATGCTCGTGTATACGAACATGCTTGGACGAAGTAGTAGTGGGTGACAGTCAGGGTTGACGAGGTAGGGTCAAGTCCAAGTATGACGCTGTGCAATACTTGTATAGCTGGCACAAAATTTGACGATTGTTCTGCGCCATAGTATACCACCTCGACGATCCTGCTTAGCTGGTGTCCAACATATCTAATCTGTATGGGGTCAAAGTTGAGAAGGCCTTCTGTGATCACGGCCCACGCTTTTCCTCCAGGCAACAAAGCTGGATGTACTGATCTGGACGTTGGCTTGTTGGAGGGAGACAAGATCTCGAGTAGGCCATGCAGGAGGTAGAAGTATGGTATCGTCAATGTGGATGCGTCAAGTTGTTCGAGCACCTGTACACGAAATGTTAGTATGAGCGCTTTGATCACAGTTCATATGTCGTACTTCTAAGATCTTGTTCGCATCATTCATCTGGATCTTTTTCAAAGCTTGTAAAACATCTCTGGCGACCCCATCGTATTCATCCTCGTCGGTTGCGAGTAGTACTGGGTTCAGCTGTGAAGCATTGGCTAATATGGTATCCATGATTAACTGCTGCTGCCCCTGCTATTCCACTTCTAGTGCTTGGTGATCATTCGGCAAATCTCATCATGTGAAGTTTTCTGAGATCGAGTTTGGATGTCGACTGGTTGATCTGATTGAGAACGTACCGCATGTGTATTGCAACAGACTGCTCGACCAAAGTGAATGATTATCTGCACATGGGGCTACAGGCGCGTCGGTTGTTTGCTGCCTGAAGGTGACGCGATTTTCAGGGCCATGAACCGCAGACATGCGTTACTGACCATGGAGAATTGTTGGTGCCTGGTGCCTGAATGTTTGTGGCATGTCGCTGCCAGCGGGCTCGAAAACTGAATTATCCTGTCGCAGGCCAAAGACATTGACATCCATACACCAATTGAAGTTTGCTACGATACGGCGAAGATGGCAGCATTCGGTGGACAGACACCTACTATAGTGGTCCTTAAGGAAGGCACAGACGACTCACAAGGCAAGGGCCAGGTCATAAGCAATATCAACGCCTGCCTGGCTGTACAGAGCACCATTAAATCAACCCTCGGTCCATATGGTGGTGATTTACTGCTTGTCGATGGCAATGGTAGACAGACTATCACCAATGATGGTGCGACCGTTATGAAACTCCTCGATATCGTCCATCCAGCTGCCAAAATTCTTACGGACATTGCACGATCGCAGGATGCAGAAGTGGGCGATGGTACAACATCTGTGGTAGTACTAGCAGGTGAAATCTTAAAAGAGATCAAGGACCATGTGGAGAGTGGGGCGAGCACACAGACTATCATTAAAGGTCTCAGGAGGGCTGGTCAGATGGCAGTCAATAAGGTCAAGGAAATCTCAGTGAGCATGTCTGAGGGTAGCGAATACGAGACATTACGCAAGTTGGCTGCAACAGCTATGAGCAGCAAGTTGATACATCGAAACGCGGATTTCTTCACAAAGAGTGAGTAGTGAATCTTCAGTGACGGAGCATGACTAACACAGAGAACAGTGGTTGTTGACGCTGTCATGTCGCTTGACCAAGAAGACCTCAACGAGAAGCTGATAGGTATGAAGAAGATCCCTGGTGGCGCTTTACAAGATTCCATGTTCGTCGGGGGAGTCGCGTTCAAAAAGACATTCTCCTATGCTGGTTTCGAACAGCAACCGAAGAGCTTCAAAGATCCCAAAATCGTCTGCCTAAACGTCGAGCTTGAGTTGAAGGCAGAGAAGGACAACGCAGAAGTAAGAGTAGATCAAGTCTCAGAGTATCAGGCTATTGTCGATGCCGAATGGCAGATCATCTTCAACAAGCTGGAAGCATTATACAAAACAGGTGCAAAGGTTGTTCTTAGCAGATTACCCATTGGTGATTTAGCTACCCAATACTTCGCCGACAGAGACGTCTTCTGCGCAGGAAGAGTATCCTCTGATGACCTTGAGCGAGTATGTCAAGCGACAGGAGCAGCTACACAATCGACATGTACAGACATCAAGCCTGAGCATTTAGGCACTTGCGGCGACTTTGAGGAGCGACAGATTGGAGGCGAACGATTCAACATCTTCAGCGATTGCCCACAAGCCAGAACCTGCACCTTGATCTTGAGAGGTGGCGCTGAACAATTCATTGCAGAGGCTGAGAGGAGTTTACACGATGCCATCATGATCGTCAAGCGCGCCATCAAGAACAAGACAATAGTGGCAGGTGGTGGTGCTACTGAAATGGAAATCTCGAGCTATCTTCACAGACATGCCGACAAGAACGTGCCTTCCAAACAGCAAGCAATTGTCAAAGCATTTGCGAAAGCACTCGAGATAATACCTAGACAGCTATGCGACAACGCAGGTTTTGACTCGACCGACATCCTGAACCGTCTGCGGGTTGAGCACAGAAAAGGCAACATTTGGGCAGGAGTTGATTTCGACCACGAAGGTGTGCGCAACAATATGGATGCATTCGTGTGGGAACCCGCACTGGTCAAGGTCAATGCTATCCAAGCAGCTGTAGAGGCTGCCTGTTTGATCCTGAGTGTTGATGAAACGATCAAGAACGAGCAAAGTGAGGCGCCTCAAGGGCCACAACGAGGTCTACCTCCTGGCGCGGCTCAAAGGGCGCTAAGAGGACGTGGTAGGGGTATGCCTCGACGATGATATCGCAAAAGAGCAGGAGTAGGCGGAGGTCAAAAGTGCATTGATTTAGCGTGCATCTTCTCGGAGTCTTTTGCCGCAGGTTTGATCGGCACGGTCCACGATACAGTGTCTAGAATATAGGTGCGATAACAATAAAGTGATGAGGGATTCGGCGAATCCGTAGGTCTCGTCCTGCACAGGCTCCTGTGGCCTTCATTACATGGGTTGAAAATGCACAACAACCTGACATGAACACCTGTGACCATCAACATCAACGATTGTTATGGCTTGCGTCAATCACCTCTCGCTGTGACGAAAGACGAAAACAGACCAATGCAGGGGCAAGCTGTAGTCTCGACTCGCCTGTGGTAGCGTGCAATCTCGAATGCCTGGTCGCCAGCAAAGAGGATACCCAATGGGAGGGCAAGGACTTGTAAGAAGTAGCCATTCCGGAAGGCTGGACTTGTCACCTTGTCGTTGAACACGGTTGGAGAGGGACAGCAGGATGACAATTACTAGCAGGCATCGCAGGGATGTCTTTGTTTGTGGTGGTTTGTTGTTGATTCATACAGCAAGCATATCTCGCACCAGGTCCTGGTACAAGGTGACGTGAGTGAAGAGGAAGAGACCATTGACGATAGCTCTTCTCGGCATTTATCTCAAAGAGGAATGCTCATGCATGTACTGGGTATGTGCGCTTGCCATGAGGTAGCAGGGCGCTGCGGGAAGGAAGTGGACTGCAAGTGCGGAAGCTGAAGTAGTCAAGGGCACTAACTAGTACTGTGGTCTAGCAAGGCCCACACGGGTGATGTCTGTAAGAGTAAAGGACTTTTTGTATGACTGTAGTAGTAGTAGTAACAACCACTTGCATCGTTTCAACAAAATCGATCTGGAGAGAGAGGCTTTCCATGGCTGCCTGAAGCACTAACAATGTTGTTTCATGTCTACTTGTATGGATTCATCTGGCTCTATCGCCGAGCCGTGGTCTACGATGAAGCATGAAGCCGCGTCGTCAGCTTTCAAGCACTCACTTGTGCATTCAGCTTGCCAATGTTTTCCGAACCCTGTTTGAACTCAATGTGTGTGTGTGTGTCCCCACAAACGAGCGTTAGGCTGTGTTCATGAACGGCTATGTTCTTCGAATTTAGATTCACCTTTGACAATTTCCCGAATTTAGAGCAGTGAACTAATGTGCAAGAACTTGAATATTGATCCCCTTCGTCTTGTAAAACATATACAGCCCCCAGTCAACCAGAACCTTCAGGCTACAGCGCAACCATTTAGTTAGCGAGGATTAGCTTCATCGAATTCCTTGTCACATCCAAGCCGAGGGGTCTCGCGGGCTGGACGGGCGCTTGGGCCAATAGGGGTCCACACCTGATCGCTTCTCATTTTCCGCTCGGGTCACATATTGTTGTCAGCCTGACTCACTGTTAGAGCACCATCCTATCGAAGTGCAACATCCAACACCAACAGAGTCTTTGACAGCCATCATCATCTGAAGACATCGAAACACGAGATATGTCGTACTACCCGGGTCAAGGAGGCTATGGCGCGCAACAACATTCCTACGGCCCTCCTCAGTCGTACTCTCCACAACCACAATATCAGCAGTATAATCAAGGATACCCACCACAACAATCATATGGCTACCCGCCACAGCAACAGAACTACGGTCCCCAGAGCTACAACGCTCCGCCGCCGCAGATAACGCCTTATGGATACAACAACCCTCCACCTCAATCGCAAGGAGGCTATGGTTATGGCGGCCCACCTCCTCCACAGCCAAATGGATATCCTGGTCCACGACCTGGCATGCCGAGTGTATACAACGCGAACGGCAACCCTCCGCCCCCTCCTACAGCTCCTCAGGCCTTCGGACACGGCGCTCCAAGTCAATACCAATTCCAGTACTCGAACTGGTAAGCCTCGTTCCATTTTCAGATTGCCGAACTCAGCTAACGATATCACAGCACGGGAAAGAGGAAAGCATTGTTGATCGGTATCAACTATTTCGGACAAAGAGGGCAGCTTCGCGGATGTATCAACGATGTGAAGAACATGTCCACCTACCTCAACCAAAACTTCGGCTACGCAAGAGAAGACATGGTGATCCTTACCGATGACCAACAGAACGAAATGTCCCAGCCGAAGAAGCGAAACATCCTCAGAGCCATGCACTGGCTCGTAAAAGATGCACAACCTAATGACTCTCTGTTTTTCCATTACAGTGGTCATGGTGGACAGACGCCTGACTTGGATGGCGATGAGGAGGACGGCTACGATGAAGTCATATACCCAGTCGATTTCCGTACCGAAGGTCACATAGTAGACGATGAGATGCACAGGATCATGGTCAAGCCACTGAAGCCGGGCGTTCGCCTTACTGCGATATTCGATTCATGCCACTCTGGCTCCGCTCTCGATCTTCCATACCTCTACTCAACACAAGGTGTGCTCAAAGAGCCAAACCTGGCCAAGGAGGCGGGTCAAGGACTGTTGTCCATCGTCTCATCCTACGCTCGTGGCGACCTTGGTGGTATGGCTTCTACTGCTATGGGGCTGTTCAAGAAGGCGACAACCGGTAGTGCACAATACGAGCGAGCCAAGCAAACAAAGACAAGTCCTGCCGATGTGATCATGTGGTCGGGTAGCAAAGATGAGCAAACTTCGCAGGATGCAGTCATTTCAGGAGAAGCAACAGGCGCAATGAGCTGGGCTTTCGTCAATGCTCTGAAGAAGAATCCACATCAGGTGAGTAGCTTGCATTTTGTTCAGAGTGGTCTCACTCAGCTATTCCCCCGTTTCTTGATAGTGCTGATACTGACCTTGTCTCAGAGCTATGTACAGCTCCTCAACAGCATTCGTGATGAGCTATCAACCAAGTATAGTCAAAAGCCTCAGTTGAGCTGCAGTCATCCTTTAAGTGAGTGATTGTCTCTATTGGCGAGATTGATGCTAAGTGTTCCTCTACAGATACGGATATATTGTACGTCATGTAATGGAGAAATAGTGTTGATACAACTGCTTGTCTCACATAAAATCTGCTTGTATATTGAACGTTGGATAATGAACAACAGCGACTTGCATGTTTAGGAATTAGTATTGATAGCCTTTGGCGACCTAGAAGCGCATGAAGCAGGACGCGAAAACGAAGCTGTATCGTTAATACGTTGAACGACATGCTCTTCTCCTCGTCTCAAGATTATCTAATACCTGCCTCGTATATGTCTTGGAAGTCTTGAATGATGCCGTACTCCCTTATTCCGAAATCGGCCTATAATTCGGAACACTTCAATGCCGACGCCCGACTCATACTCGTCGCCAATCCTTCGCAGACACGAAAGCTATACGTTGGTCAGGTCCTGAAGGGGATACGATACGAGTACACTCGGGCCCGCATGTGAAGAATGCAGGGTGTCTAACGGTCCTGTCGTTAGTGAGGTTGGTAATGCCAGGGTTGCCATGCTCTTTATGCATGATCGGCCTTGCACCGTTGAGATGCGAATTGATCCTATATATTTTGCTCCAATTAAGCCGTGCTGAGCCTGAACGAAGAGTGTGAGCTCAAGCAGTCATATATTGTGTTACTGGATAGTCAGGTCCAACAGCATGCATGCTTTTGAATAGGCAGGTCGATCGGAATTAACATCGAGGTCGGGTCGTCCCGGTTTGCTCCTGGGTCAGTCCCAGCTTGATGATTGACAGGAGACTGACTCGTCAGAGACGAGGAAAGCACACGACCAGCGAGCAATGCCACTGGAAATGCCACTTTGCTGACCATCAATCCCATGTGCCTACCGAACAGAGTTTAAGCTTTCAGCGCGGCTCTCTTATTAGCTTACCCGTCGACTGTCATCGGCCGTGTCGCGATTGGCTGCAATCACGAAGCGGTGAAGTGATCATTCGTCAATCGAGTCCCTTTGGAATTTGGGATCCAATCGTCATGCTCATCAAAATATGCTGCCCTGTAAATGACGACGAGAAAGTACAACGACTATTTACAAGGCAAGCACAGCGACGCGCTTGACCGGCACTTGGGTCGCAATGTTTCGGAATTTCATATATTCAGCTTGGTGAGTGTGGGAAGGGTCTGGAATTTGTTTGTGCTCTGTGAATTGTTGTGCTGCGGTTTTTTAGTCAGAGCGTCGGGAAGCTTTTTGCACTACTTTGTTCGACTTTCGGCCTTCCCGCGGTAATCAAACGAGATTGTTGTTTGCAGAAAACTTGTCTTGTAACTTCGCCAGAGACATCCTGAGTTACTGCTACACCAATCGACACTTCTCAGCCTGTCACCGAATTGACAGCCTTCGTTAAGACGCCCTCACGATCGCGAATGGTTTTCGTCCATCTATATAGGCTTTGGCAAGCATGGATGTTTGCTGTGGTGCCAGGTTGATGAAATTTGCAGCGCGGTACCAGCATTGAATTGCTTTCTAAAGGTTCAGCCAGGGTGGTTTCGAGATGGACTTCACGGTACGGCCTCGCGACAGCAGAGTCGACGAAACATGCAGCTGATGTTGAAGATACGCAGATCGCGCTCACCCATTTTTGTGAGGTCCATGGGCCAAAGTCGGTTCTGTGCAGTCAAGTGCTACCTCTAGAATGCGCAAAATGCGATCCAGCAGTACCTCAGCGCCACCAGTCGACAGTCGAGTCCTTTGAAAGCCCCACGCCCCGGAATCAGGCTGCGCCCTACATACCCGAGGACGAGCACGCTAAGCTCCCTCGCGATTCACCGAGCGACGTCGGTCCGTCGTCGCCAACTCAGAACATCGAACAACATCCGTGGTTTCGACACGATGATTATACGAAGGAGCTAAGAAGATTTCCCTACGGTAGGGCTCATGGTGAGACGTGCGCCAGCTGTACCTTTACGGTGCCACAGAAGGTCGCTGCCAGATTACCAGAAGGAGCACCTGGAAGTTTGCCGAAAGAAGGAGGCAAATCGGTTCACGGTGCCCCAGTACTGCGCTCGCGAGAATTCATCTGCTTGGGCAAACATAGAAGAAGGCACGGCCAAGTACAACCGGGCTCAAGTCAAGAATCGCAATCTTCCTCGCTCAGCTCTTCAGGTTCCACCGTCTCTCATACCAACTGTCATGATCATACACTAACATATCTGACATCAAAAAGTCCAGATGATCCGGAGAACTACGCGCAGTTACGCACTGCTATTATCAGGGCGCTTTCTTGCGAAGTTCTGCCGAGAGGCATGCCAGAAGGGCCATTCTGCTTCGGTGATTCTAGCACAGGCTACACAATTGCATATGTCTTTCGCCTTCCTGATCCCAAAGCTCGTGGGCGCAGGAGAACATACGCATTCGTCGCTCTGGCTGGCAAGGACGCATATAATGCTTTCAAGGCCTGTCCCATGCTCTGGAGTGCTTTCGCAACCATGTCCAGGACGATCGAAGACTTGGCTCAAAAAGCTCAAGACGAACAGGAATTGCGACAACAGAAACAGAGAGATGAGCAAAGCTCTACAGATACCAACAAGGGTTATACAGAAATCTCTTCTTTTTTGACACAAAGACCTAGAGATCCAGACGGTCAACCACGGCGAGCTGGCCAGACTCAACCGAGAAGTCTTGCCGAGATACTGGGCAAAGAGGACATCTTTCTCCTCCTTCATCACCATTTCGTCCAATTGCTGAGGTGTCTGGGAGATAAGTTTGGGGGGCTACCTCTTGCACAGCGGAAAGATAGCCTCCAAACCGGGACATCGCCCCAACTACAAATGACGAGCCCCAACAAGCGTGGAAGAGTAAGCTCAGACATGCTGGCTAACCTCAGCCTGGACGATCAGCCACCAATACAACCAGATCGACCTGCGCATGCCAGCCATTCTAGCGTAACACCTAGCACAGAACCCGCAAGGTCTGTCGCAAGCACTGAGAGTACCGTGCACCCGGCTGAAACTACACAGACATCCGATCTCTCCAAGGCAGCTCCAGCCACCACGACACAATCACCAGTGACGAGAAACAACCAATGTGGTGCATCCGTCAGTGTCGACCATGCACAGCAGCGACGAGTTGCTGTTTAACCTCTTTTTCACCAACGACGTTATGAGACGACACGTATCACTAATACCCATGGGCGGTTCTTTTGAGATTAATAGCTGCTTTGATAGATCAGCGGCTGCGGACTGGGGGATAGACTCTTTTACGAAGATTAGCGAGTGTTAGGAGTGGGTGGTTGAATGAATATTATAGATGGATGCAAGTTATTGAGCGAGCGAGTCAGCGATCGAGCAAGCATTATTGGATGTCGAAGGATGTTGTCGTGATCATAAGTGTACTGCCATCGATGTGATGAATGATCATTGTCGTATCGTCTAATGAGTGTGGTGAAGTACACGCGCAGAATTTATTCAAAATGCATTTCGGATCTTGTGCCCACATTACGTGTTATTGCCTTAAATGGTCACTATACGCTTACCATGTCCAGCAACTTTGTACGTTTCATTTTTCAGACAATCGAAATCCATCTCTGATGCTTCTGTATGGTCTCGTCTTGCATTGCTCATTTGTTCATATTGCTGGCTAGTGATAGCCACTGAAGACCGACTATTCAGGCGACGGACATCAACAACGACTGCACGAGGAAGCAAATCCAGAGACGAAGCGAGGCGAACTGCGATTAATTTTACGACGCGTGCTTACGTACTCGCTCTAAACCCCTACTTTGCTAACCTGTAGTACCTAATTTCACCAACTCAGCCAAGAAATCCTCTCCATTCACCAGTTCCGTAGAACCATAAATCACCCTTCTTGCCTTGGCAGAACCAGCGGCGGCAGTGCTAGATTGCCCACTCGTCCGCTTCACCCACTCCTGCAAATTACCGTATTCATCCATACTGCCACCCCCAACAGTGAAGACGATGGCTTCGGAGTAGCCCTGCCTCTTCTGCCCGAATGATGGAGTGGTATGCGCTGTCGTTTGGGATCCGGTCGTGGCTGGTCCGCCAGTTGTGCCTCTTGCATGTGCGGAACGGGGGTCGAAGTATAGGTAGTTTTCTGTTTTGGCGATGGCTGAGGATGAGGCGGCTGGTGGATCCATTATTGATTCGACGATTTTAGTTACTGTGAGGTCTCGGTTTGCTGGCAGGAAGTTTTTGACGCCACTGACGAGGGATTCGAGTTGAGCCGGGACTGCGCTGCCTAGGCCTGTGGCTGCCAGGTTCTTGGTGAGGTTCTTGCCTAGAGAGGCAAGTCCACCAAAGGGAGATGAAGATTGTTGGGTGACGGTCGGCTGGGAAGTCAGCATCATGGTACCACGAGTCTCGAAGCGGACATTGGATATATGCCGTATTGCTGCGACTGCGTCTCCTACACCTGCGCTTACCAGCGCATGCTCAAATTCAACTAGTTCTGATTTCGTCGGCTCCTTGTCAACGGACAGATACCATATGATAAATACTCTCAGCTTGTCAAGTGGATTGTTCCCTTTTTCTGATGAATTTATCAATTCTAGCATTTGCGCAGGTGTCTGTTTGGTGATAGCTTCTTCGAGCTCATAAAGTTCATCTAGTTTCCGATTCTTGATGCCTTGCAGGAGTGCTGTTGCAATGGTCATGTGCATGTCGAGTATTCCCTTTCTCTCCCTGAGCTCCGGAAGGAGTGTAATTGCTGCCTTCAGGTGTTGAGCAGATGCTGCACCTGTATCGTCGATATCGTCAATGTTGGAAACACCCGTCTGTTTCGTGACATTTTCCGCATCAGTCTTGTACTTTGAGAGCTCTTTATCAATGTCCTCTGCAACATTAGGAAATGGTTGGCCAGCATTTCGAGCCCAGAAAAAGTCACCCGCGCTCAGATCGTAGGCTTTAGGTTTTGCATTCGGATTCTGCTCGTCCGCTGTATTGACAGTGATCCGATTGAGCTGCATTTTGAGCACGTCATGTACCAGGGACTGATATGTCCAAGAATGTGAGAGCATAGGCACTAGATCAATGTTGCGATCCAGAATCAGCAACACTGGTCGTGATGGACTGGCGTAAGCACTTTGCTGTCCTCTTTGACCAGGTGAAAAGAGATTGTCTTTCGAATTCAACACATGATCCCGCAGCTTGCGGTCCAGCTTCGTGGCTATAGCTTTTGCGAGCTCTGATTGAGGACACCGTATGATGGGCACCGAGCCCATGGTCACTGCCACGCTAAACAGACCGCTCACAATCCGTTCGACTGCCGACTCTATGGTAGCCTCTTCCACTTTTGCGCTACTGAAAGTGTAGTATGCCTCTTTACCCATACCCAAGCTGAAAAGATCTGGCTCTGCCACAATGAAGTTCAGGTACTGATCATAAACCTGCGCGATGTGCTCCGCGGTATTTGTTGAAGCGATCTGGGCTGCTAAGTCTTCCAGCAACGGTCTAGAGACGGAGGAGATGAAGTTGACGTAGGCAGGAGAGTATAAACCCCTTGCAAGGTCAGAACATATCAGCTGAATGTTGACTGCTGTTGGTTCGACCAGATATAAGACTGGCACGTCGGGTATAGGATATCGAGGATTGTTGATGTTTCTGCGTTTCGTTAGCCAGCTCTGCTCTATGCCAGACACGGTACTGACAGATGTATTGTAACTCCATGCGCTCTAAGGTCATTGACTTTGAGTACACTGCTAATGACATTCATTCCCAAGTTGTCGAACACCAAGACCTTCCATATAGGGTCCCCATTCTCGTCCAACAAAGGAACCGTGGTCTTGCTGTCCCCAAATGTCCCGTCATTTTCACTTGATTCATGGTTGAGATTCAGTATTCGCTCGATAGAGGCTGAGATCGGTCAGCGAGGCCGATCGGTTGTCGTGAGGAGCAGACTGACCGATTTGGCGATCTCTTAGTGTTTGCTTGGTCGCCATCTTGTGGCAGGAAGTGAAGGCTCTACCCTCCACTCATGAGCGCATAAACGACCAGCTCTCTTTCTGTATACGCTCTAGCGGTAGTGTTACACGTTTGGTGATGCAGATTGAGAGTGTAGAATTTGTCTGCAGAGTGTCTTCGAGTCGCAATCTGTCCTTTCCATGTTCACTCGGCCCTGCCAAATGTTTTAGGTGCACCTTGCACAATGCACACGATTATGACGCCTATTGCGCCCATTGCGATGGTAACCGCAAGGGCAATTCCGCGTTTGGGGCGAGGCTGCAGACCCTGAGAGTCAGGCTTGGCAAGCATCCTCAGGCTCGTCGCTGCTCGCTTCGCAACTTCTTCCCTCAAAAGAATTGGCACGTCGTCCTTCATTCATCTACACAACCATTCATCCTGTTTCGATATCGTCTCAACCTCAGTAATTGTCTTCACCCTCAAGCGTGACGTGTAATTTGTGTCATTATAGGACGCGCATATCACGATCTGAAGAGGTCTGAACCCATTGCAGTTGACGTGATACTGGCACGTTTTCTCAGCGCGTCTCTCATCTTTGCACTGAACTGTTCAAAGGACTTGCCTTAGCACAGGTTTATTGAGAACCAGTATCATTCAGTTTCGTGTTGTATATTACTGTCAGTGGACGGTGGCTTGTTAAGCGACTCTGTTACATTAATATCAAACGGTCAAGGCAATCGTCTGGCAGGATTTGGTGTGGCTTATTTCTACGTCTAATCACTCTGTTGCAAGCAGCATTCACTGTTGCTATCGACCGCTCAGCGAGAGAGGCCTTCAAAGTCCCTATTGACCTTACATTTGTCCCTCAAGAGTCTTCATTGAAGCCGGATGTGGTCGTTGTCACGTCAGCCTGCGTCTCCTTCTTAGAAGTGCTGAGCGCGAAGAGATTGTGGTGGCAAATCCTGGCCTGCGCTTCCGTCGGCTCCAACTTTTGGCTTTCATAATTCAGCCACATCCCTGATCTTACACGTGATCAACGAGTCCTCTTCCCTATTCAACATGGACCCTGCTACTGGGTCATACATGCAATACAATAATGATAACGATGCTGATTTGAGCTCGTTTTTCCATGGTCTTGAACAATATGCTACTCCCGATATTTCTTCCTCGACCCAATTCGATCCTGCTCTATTTGCCGAGGATAGCTTGGCGCCTTTCTCGAACCAGCAAAACCAGCAGAACCAGACCTCGCAAGCAACAACAAATCCGAATTTCAACCAGGCTCAGAGACAAACGCAATCACACAGTCCGGCTCTTCCACAGTTCAAACCGAGTCGGAGCAACACATTATCACCAGCTCAATATGGTCAGAATGTCTATAATGCCCAAGCCATGGGACAATCTTTCGACCCTCAACTGCTCGCGAGACCGACGCCGTCCCCCGGACCATTCGACCAATACTCTTACGCACCGCAACAGATGAACTATGGTCAATCCCAGTTCGACTACCGCTTCAACAGCTTTCAACCACAGCGGCAGGCATCGGCACCCCAACAGGCGTTTCACCCCCAAGTTGGGCAACATGCACAACACTTTATGAATGGATCACGATCTTCGTCGCAGGCACCGCCACATATGTCACAGGTCCAGGTGAGAACGATGCCTGAGCCTGCCGTTGTCACGGCTAATCAAATGAAGGGCACAAATGGATTATCCTACCCCTTTCAGCAGGCCAACCATAACCAACCACAACATCGCTTCATCGAGCCATCATTACTAAACGCTGATGGTCAGCTGCGTCAGAGTCAGTCCTCGTTTCACGAAGCCATATACTCAGCTAATATAACCACAGATCAAGCTCAAGCTCCTCAATCCAAGCAGATGGAATCGTCACCCTATTTTGCCATAGCGAACACGAAAATCACCAACAACACCCTGGATCCACGAGCACTTCAGATGCAACAACACTATGCCCAAATGCAACAAACTCAGACCTCAAAGCCTGGTGGACCATATATGTCGGCTATGCAAAGTGGACAGGTGCAAAATTTATTTCCAGCACAGCTTCAAGTCGCGCAGAATGCTGTTTCGAGACCTGTTCAGCAGCCGAGAATGTTGAAGGATAGCAAATCGTCCGGAAGCATAACAGGCTCTGACGATGACTTGGAAATCGAAGATGAAGAGCCACAGCCGAAACCTGCGGTCATCACAATTGCTAGGCCGACTGACGAGCGAGGTCAACTGTTGTGGGACGTCGTTAATGCTGTATGGGCGCCTCACAACAAACCTGCACCTTCAGAGCAGATTCGTACTGCTATAACTTTTGTTGGATCTGCTGTCCAGGGACTTCGTAACAAATGGAAGCAGACAAACGAGCAGCTAAAACAAGCTGAGCTTCCAAATTCGGCCACTCGGAACCAAGTCGATAGACTAAAAGCGATGGCTGAAAATTACCGAGCCATTATGGAGACGTTGGCCTTTAGAATTACACAGTTTGCGCACCCATCAATCTTGAAAAGGTATGTATGCACTCTCCACCCACCTCTTTTGATTGTCATAGAGGCACCAAATCATGTAAAAAGCTGGGGTCATTCGCCGATCCTTGGTGGCTACCGTATCGTACTTGGTTCTGTCTTGGCAGGGGTCTGTGCCTATACAGCATTAGATAGTCAGATAGTATATACCATGCTATCCGTGCCTCACATGAATTGCATAACACGAGCTAATTTTTCTTAGATTAGGAGAGAACTCGTTTCTCTTGTCGGCACTGTACAGCTTTCTGCTTGATCGAGCCACTGCGGAAGATCACAACAGCACTTTAGTAACCACTGTCTTGCGCTTAGGCACCAAGCTAACTACAGTGCACGAAGAGCAGCTTGAAAAAGTCAAGTGGACGAAAATACTTGCAAGATTCTCTAAGAAATCAACAAACGAGTCGAAAGATCTTGCTCTGATTATTCTCAACAACGCCAAAAAGGCTACTGCTAGGAAGAAGACTGAGGCATCAGGTCAGGGTCCTGCGTCGCCGTCAGGCAGTTCCAGCGGCCAAGTCGCAGGCATAAAGAGACCTAGAGAAGGCAGTGACGGTGCACAACAAGCAAAGAAAGCTGCAGTAAAGCCGGCATCGAAACCACTTAGCGTTCAGCTAGCTGAACAGAAGAAGTTGAAAGAGAAAGTGGCAGTGGCCAAGGACGTCAGAGCAGCGAAGGCTCCAGTCAATGGATCGAGTAATGCTTCTGCGCCTATTCGCCCTAAGGTCGCAAGCACAGTACCGCAGAAGTCCAGTCCTTTTGCTTCCCTGATGTCGGCCTCCAAGAGGCCCGGCACCACAATCGCTGAACGTGCTGCTAAGGAAAAGGTCGACGTGCCTGCAGTAAAAGCTGCTGCTCCTACCGTCGGAAAGGAGCCTCTGGCCAGGCCCGAGCCTCCTATTGCAAGGACGACTTCCGCACCGGTCGCAACTACTTCAGCATCGTCCTTTCTTGGCCTGCTCGCCGACATGGAAAAGCCCAAGGACTCACCCAAAGCGAAGGTGGAAGATGTGTTTGACGAAACTCCAGAAGCACGCGTGAAGCGTTTGCGCAAGGAGTCAAGACGGAAACTACGTGTTTCGTGGAAACCGGAAGGTCAGCTTGTAGAAACCAAGATTTTCGAACACGATATCGACGAAGAGACTGGGCACGAGGATAGCATGATGCGAGACGTAGGTGATACAGGAAAGGAGGGTGAAATGCTCAAGCATCGTCACAAGCTGGAGGAGATGGACGAAGACTCAGATGACGAGATTGATTATTTCATGCCTACGGAAGTTGACCTTTCTGATATGCATACGGTAATCAAGGAGAACTCAGCCGATGGAGAGGAGCACAACTTTGTAAAATGTGGCGGAAACGCCGAGCCGGAAAGTCCCGCCAGTGAAGCTCAAAGTAAGCATGAGTCGGGCAATATGATGACTGTGTACGCGGCAGGAGAGCAGCCCAATACACCGAAGGAGCCACAAGAGGGTGAGGACGATGACTTCAACCCAGTTCTTGACTTTGGAGAGCCTTCCGATGGTCAAGTAGCGGTGCGTCAGCGTGAACAACAAGTGATTGCCAGACGCAATGCATATCAACCGCAAGTACAACCACAATTCAGTGGTATTGATGTTGCCTCTGTTCTGTCAAATCTATATCCGCAGTCCAATCAACAGCAGACATGGTCTCAGCAGCCACAAGGCCAAGCTCAGCAGCAATATCAGAATTCAGGTCTACAAAGTCTGCTTGCACAGGTTGCGCAGTCACAGCAGCAACAGAACATGTTTCAGGCTCCTGCTCCTGCTGTTCAACCGACTGTTACCACTGCTGCATTTCCACCCAACATCGCAGCTCTTCTGGGTCAATTGCAACAGAACCCACAAAACAATGCTTCTTTACCCGTTGGCAATGGAGACAACCCCAATCCTTTCCCGGGCACACAACAGAAAGATAAGAAGAAGGACAAGGACAAGAAGAAAGGCAAGGCACCAATCGGACCTGATGGATTGCCGCTGAACTACAAAACCAAGATCTGCCAGTTCTGGTTAGAAGGCAAGTGCACCAAGGGCGATGCTTGCACATATCGGCATGACCAAACTGGAGGCGAGTAGATGTTGTCTTTGTCCAGAAGCCTGGGAATGCACTGGAGAAGGACTCGTCGTCCAGCTACTCAAGAGAGACTCATCAGACACGAGGCTTATACTCGAAGGACAGAGAACTTTAGCTGGGCTATGTTCTTCAGGCAATACGTTAGCGCTAGGCGTTGGGGGCATGCATCGAGATTATTATGCGTGTGGATCCTGCATTTCGAGAAAGACAAGATTGTGAGCACGATTATATGCTCGTTGCCGACTGAGGCACTTATGTACAAACTTCGAAACGAGTATAGTCAAAGAAATTGAAACCTTCAGCGTGATAAATTGGTTACTAGATTTCTTCTATAACCTTGCCGGCTTGTCTTTTTGTGCTCTATCAAGACTATATGCTCTCACGTTCTTCTCAGTTTTCGAGAGCGCTAGTATACCACTATCCTAGCTTGCAGATCTTCATGCAGCCAAGGTCGATTTATTGTTTCTGCTGCGCCTTTGATTGGCTGTTGAACAACAACAATTCATAATGCTATTCATATCATTCATGCCTGTCAATTAGTCTACAGCTCTCGACATTATAACTCTGAGTGCAGATACACACCGCTCGTTTATTGCTGGCAGGAAGTCGTTCTGTACTTCACTACCTAGGTCGTCAGCGTCATTTCGATCCGAAAATGGAAAGGCTGCCGCCAGAGCAGCACCACCTCCTTTGATAAGAACATGAACACGATTACATGGTGCCTGCTTTCTCAGTAGCTCTCAGATCGAGCCTTCCATCGACATTCACAATGGACAAGCTTTATTCGATGTCAACGCGAGACTTCTGTATGCTTAAAGTCTGTACTCATTACAACATACGACAATAACACACACTCTTTTGTCTCAATCGAAAGGCATCATTATTCACAACATATCTGTCATATATCAACTCATTAGATCCCTTCAACTTCAACTGAGGTAGCTGCCCGCTGATACCGAGGTCGGCCCTCAAATACAAGAGTATGGGTGAAACGCGTACCAAGAAGACAGGCAAGAAGCCCAAACCATGTGGGTCATCGAGTGCATTAAAGAATTCCATTGGCGTGCTTGATGAAGTCGTGGCCAAGTCGAGCAATAACCGTCCTCCCTCGACTATATCCTTCGAGCAAGCCCCGCCTCGTCCATACGACACGTCTCTCATTCAAATTGAAAAAACAGCAAACAAAGGTTATGGTGTGTTTGCAGCACGAAAAATACCTGCTGGTACCTTGTGCCTCGTGGAAGCCCCTCTGATAAGGTTGACCCCTTCTGAAGATGTCGGTACCGATGAGCAGAGACAATTGTACATACAGCATTATTACGAAGCACTTCCCACCCACTCTCAAAAGGACTATCGCCATCTGTGCGACACTAAAAAGGCCGACTTCACCCGCAGGATGTCCATCTTCTATAGTAATTGCTATGACATGAAACACTATGGCGGTGGAGCATGTATTGGAGAGATTGCCAGCAGAATCAATCATTCTTGCACTCCTAACGTTGTCTTCTCCTTTGCTAAGACATTACCTGACAGCTTGTTCACTGGGGACAAAAAAGATGTGCCACGGCCTTCACAGGCCTCAGTCGGCTTCATGGTCTTCCATGCCATCAAAGACATATCTAAGGGCAAAGAGCTTGTATCGAACTATCAGTCCATCTGGCGCCTTACTCCCGAACGACAAGCAGAGATGAGCATACACTATCGCTTCAGATGCGATTGTATGGCTTGTGAGCAGGACAGTCCTGGGCAGGACGGTGATCGCCGTCGCCGCAATATGATCAAGTACAGAAATATTGTTCTTACAGCAGATAAGGAACTGACAATGTCGCGTAAGGAATGGCTGATGAGACAAGGCCAGATGTCTGAGTCAGAACGTCACGAAGACCTGTACTCATGGCTGCGAAGCCAGGTCGTACAAGATAAGGTTTCCACTGCCCTCGAGAAACTTACAGCGTTGGCTCAATTGCTGCCTAAAGAGGGTATACATGGCGGTCATGACCTTGCTAATATCTATAAAGATTTGGCGAAGTGGTCGATGCGAGCAGACGATGAGGTTGCTGCTAACAAATGGCTTCAGTCTGAGCTGGAAATATGTACCAAATCATTCGGATCTTGGAGCGAAAGGGTCAAAGAAATACACGAGAGGCAGCCCGGTTGGTGGCTAATAGGGCTCGACAAGGAGTAGCGCTCTCTCTCGCAGCAGCACTTCCGACTCAGGACCAAGCGATAGACTTATTGTAAAGGAGGATATACAGCCACTTGTTCTAGCCCATACTTCGATAGCTGATACTCAGTCATATGTAGAATAGTTGCATGCCTTCATGCTCATTGCCAAGTACTTTGCTCTGCATATCGAACAAGGCATCCTCGCTTCTTCCTGAATGCCCTGCTATGAACGTACACGATCAGACTGCCACATACTTCACTATATGAATAGTGGAAATTTATGTGCCGTGTTTGCCTGAGGCAGAACAGTCCGCAACCTTCACAGCGAGGTCGACTTTCGAACAATGATTTCTTGTCAGCAAATTCACCATGGTTCTCATTATTCTTCCGCCGCTTGCTGAGAGCGATACAATTCCCCAAAATATATACAATGGCTCATCCTCCGACGACTCTGACTCAGGTGGCATGGACATCGACTCTGACAACCTAGAAAATCGACCACGAAAGCGCGTCCGACTAGGCAAGCACTCCATGACCAAGGGCTCAATCGTAGTCCCAGGCGAACCAGTGACCGACGAAACACAATGGATGAGAGGTCACGGCACAACTACGCTCCTCAGCCCTTCGTCAACCCTCATAACCGCGACCCTCGCCGGCCCAATAACACCAACCAACAAACTCCTCTCTGTCCTCCCGATTCGCGCTCGCTATAACCCCGAGGTCGGCGACTTGGTCATCAGCCGCATTGTGTCTGTTGAGAAATCACAGTGGCGCGTCGATGTTTCTGCACCTCTACTGGCGAAGTTGAGCATGAGTAGCATAAACTTACCAGGTGGAACGTTGAGGCGGCGGACGGCGAACGATGAATTACAGATGAGACGGTATTTTCAGGAGGGGGATCTTCTCGTCGCAGAGGTTCAGAGCATCAGTAGTGGAGATGGGAGCGCGACGTTACATGCGAGAAGTTTGAGGTATGGAAAGCTACGGAATGGGACGTTTCTTGCTGTTTCGGGGACTGGTGGGGGTGGGGGAATTGTGAGGAGTAGGAGGCAGCAATTTACTCTTGACACGAGTTCGGGAGCACAGGGTGGTGGAGAGGTGGATGTTATTCTTGGGGTGAATGGGTATGTTTGGCTGAGCAAGCATATTGAGGAGAGGAGTGGTAGTAAAGCTGGTGGTGTGGATTTGGGGATCAGTAACCTTGATGAAGCGGTTAGTGCTGAGGCGTATAGTTCTCAGAACGATATGATTGAGGAAGGCACGAGGAGGGAGATTTCGAGATTATGTGAGGTTATTAAGTGTCTGGCAGAGGGCGCCATAAGAGTCGACGAAGAGAGTGTTAGAAGAGGCTATGAGGTAGCTGTGGATTTGGCGCTGAGCCGAGAAGGTGGGGGGAGCCTAGAAGCAGCTGGACGGGAGTTGCTAGAAGCAGAGTCTAGAAGGCGAATTGTGGATGGGGTGGTAGCAGGGTGAAGGCACCACAAATAGACGGAGGCAGCCTCGAGAGACGCTATATCATTCAAAGCATTGAGCTTCAGAGCGACTCAAGCCTGCAAAGATTCCTGCTTTCGAGGAATTTCTACAGATCTTGGCAAGACATACAGGGCTACGAGTTACGCCCTTCTCCGGGTTCGCGCAGTTGACGTTCCGCGCTGATGTCGCGTGCGGCTCAAAGATGAGTGAATACTCCGAACCATCGAGCACTACTATTCGGAAAATGCCGCTTCATTCTAGTCACGGGACCCTGCTCGGAGACTATAGGAGGTATCACACCACTTCTTTAAGAATTAGCGAAGACACATTTTACTGTTGTAGATCTCGGTACTGACCGAAGACTTCACAAGCGACCTCGAGAAGATTCGTGTTCGAAAACATCGCAGATCAGACAACTTTCACGTTCGACATGCTCCAAAGAACACCCTGGAATATTGATCTGGGAGCAATACAACCCATTTCCCTAAGACTTTGAACAGATATAAAGATGCCTCCAGACATGATACATACCTCCCCCATTTCATTCCAACACAATCACCAAACCAGAACACCTCACACTTAACGCCCAACTACCACCAACCAACCAAACACCACCACAAAAAAATGTCCTCCTTCTACACCCACTACTACAACGAGCCCTGGCCCTCCTACTACGTCCCCGAACCCTGGAAAATCACGTCCATCCCCCACCACTTCCCCGAACACCACTACCCCCTCGAACACACCCGCCACGCCATCGGCCGCACCATATCGACTCTCGGCCATGCCATGACTCATCCCTGGGAAGCTGTTGTTCCAACATTCACGCCACGGATTGATGTGAGGGAGAGCGAGAAGTGCTATTATGTTGACGTTGAGTTGGCGGGGGTTAAGGGCAGGGATAAGGTCAAGTTGCAGTGGTTGAGTAGTCGGACGTTGTTGCTGGAGGCGAAGACTGAACGGCCGTTGACGGGGGAGGAGGGGGATGAGGATGGGAAGGAGGGAAAGGCGAAGGCTGCTGGCACCGGTGATGGAGGAGAAGGAGAAGGAGAGGCAGAAGGCGCCATGCTCGGCTCACCACTGACTCGCACCGAGACACGGGAGAGCATTGATCCAAATGCTCCTGCTGCGAAGAAGAAGGCCGCACCGCCAAAGATCTCATTGTTCACAACCGTCAAAGAGCGACAGGTCGGGACTGTGGCGCGGGCTTTTACTTTCCCCAGCGCGGTTGATCATGCAACTATGAATGCGCACCTGGAATGTGGCTTGCTGAGCTTGAAGGTCCCGAAGATCTCTGATGAGGGGGTTAAGGATGAGCATAAGATGCCGGAGGTCAAGGAGGGGGCGAAGGGGGAGGAGAGGGCGAAGATTTGAGGAATGTGAAACTTTTGGATATATGCTGAAGTTGCTAGTGGTGGTTCGAGGAGGAAGAAGTGTTAGGAGGTATAATAGCTGACCAGAAATTGTAATGAACGGAAACAACGCTTCGATTGCTCTACCTGCAGACTCAATTATCACCGTCCCATTTCCTCTTAAACTTCATGCCTCCACTCCTACCCTGCTGCGGCTGGCTACCATAAGTTCTTCTTGCCTGCTTCTTGTCTCTCGCCATACTAGCACCGAGCTGTATATCAACTCTTGGCGGAGCAGGGAAGCCGAAGGATTTGGAGACCTTTACAAGATCGAGCTTGTTGACATCAAATACAGAACGTAGACTGTGGGAAGCGTATGCTTGCAGATAGGAGCGGTATGCATCTTTGGCGGACTATGAAATCGTTAGCTTGATGTAGGTTAGTGGATTACAAGTAACATACCTTGTTCAGATAATAGTTCTGTCCTATCAGCTTCTCCAGCTGGGTCTGAACATTCACAATCTTCTTCATGGGAAACTCGTATTCGACAATGGGCACTTTTGCGTCCTTGAGGTAACTGAGAAACCCTACCTCATTTGGCTGTAGGAACATCAACGATCGTCCTTTCCCGTTAGCTCCCCTAGCTGTTCGACCGACTCTGTGAATGTAGTCCCGTGGGTCATCTGGAGGATCAAATTGCACGATCCAATCAACGGCTGGAATATCGAGTCCTCTCGCTGCCACGTCTGTGCATATTAATGTGCCTTGCTTAGCATTGCAAAACTCGAAAAAGGTATTTGTGCGCTTTTGCTGTTTCTGCTTGCCGTGCAGATCAAGGACAGGCAGATCGATGTAGTTGAGAAGTTCGGCGTGATATTTGACGCATGCACAACTGCTGAAGAAGACGATGATTTTCTTTTTCAAGTTGCGCTTGAGGAAAGAGAAGAGTAGTAGAAAGCGCTTGTCAGAGTCACAGATCACGTAGCCTTGGTCAAGGCCCTTGACAGTGCTATGTTCAGCTTTCTGTTCAACGTTGATGTATAATGGACCTGGCTTTAGCGATATCCGTGCTAGATCCTCAACTTTGGTGGTTTGTGTGGCTGAGAAGAGCATCGTTTGCCTATGCTCTTTGGGCAGGATGCGAATGATCTGACGCATTTCGTCCTCGAAACCGACCTCAAGAATTCGGTCAGCCTCATCAATGACAAGAGCCCTGCAGTTCTTAAAAACGAAACCTGGTGTGTTCTGCAAATGATCCAGCAGCCGACCCGGAGTCGCAATCAGTAGATTGACACCTTTTTGCAACTTGTCTGCCTCAGCTCTTCTGTTTGCGCCACCTATCACTATGCCAAAAGTCTGTGAGTGGAATTGCATGAGCTCGCGAGCTACGCCAAAGATTTGCAGGGCCAATTCTCGAGTAGGAGAAACGACGACGACACCTGTACCATTACGAGGCTTGTAGCGAAGTGCTGAGAGCATCTCAATGGCTGGTATTAGGAAGGCCAAAGTCTTGCCCGAACCAGTTTTCGCAGCACCTAGAATATCTCGACCTGCCATGGCAGGCGGTATAGCTCTTTGCTGAATCTCAGTCATTGTTTCGAATTTCATCTCCTCTATGGCTCTTGCAGTTTTCTCGGCTAGTTTGAGCTCTGTGAATTTCTGCGGGACAAACTCAGTACCTGGTAGTGAAGGAGCACCATCGGTGGGTAGGTCGCTGGCAGAAGTGAGCTGAATGCCACCACTTTCGAGGTCGGCTGTTTGTTCGAGCTCTGAACCAGCGTCGTCGTTTTCTTGTTCTTTCTCTTTTGGAATCTCAATGTGCTGCTGGTCTTCGTCTTCTTCCACTATGCTGTCTTCACTTTCCTCAACTTCACTGTTGGGTTTCTGCACTGCCACCAGTCCATCTTGAAGGTCAACCTCGTCTTCATTTTCGTCGCTCGAGTGAGATGTCTTCCTTCGCTTCTTTGCTGGTTCTGGCGCAGAAACAGCTGGCGGCGCTTTCTTCGAAGTAATTGGTCGCTCTTCCTTGCCAGCAGAGGCACTCTTGCTGTGCTTTCTTCTTCGCTTCTTGTCTTGCTCTACTCCGGTGCCTGTGTGTTTCGACATCTTGTTCGAAATGAGCAGGTAAGCAATATACAATCAACTACGACTTTCACAGGCTTGTGATGCGCTACAACTTTTTTTCGACCATTGCGGCAAACCTTCTATTCGAACCTTATCGCTTGATAACACTAGGCTATTTTGAGCTTCACAGAATTGTCTGAATGTGCCTCTTCTCCTCACGAGCCTTGGTCGCATCTCGAAATAACATACGTCTATTATCATTTCTTGCAAACATCTACATAAAAGTCGCTGGTGACCTTGTGCTCAGCAGTCGTGGTCTGTACGACCAGTATGTGCTCAAAATGTGTCTGTACAGTGGTCTGGCCTGCCCTGCCCTTGACCCGAAGCTATTGGCTGAGCGCCACTCCGCATATCAGGACCGTCCGTCTATGATTTGAAATCACTTTGACTCGCCATGCTACTCTACCGTATATGTTCTGCTTCTCGTAGGTCGACCGCTCTCACTCGGACAACGAACAGTTTACTCTCTCGGATCCCTGTTCAAAAGCACTCTACACATCACAGCCTCACACCCACCATGTCCCGTCTCCTAGAACTAGGCTCCAAACTCCTCCATCCCCGCCAAGAATTCCGCCCAAAAATCGTCGACACCGAAAAACGAGTCCGTGGCGTCCTAGACGGACACTACATCTTCGACACCACACGCTCAAAACTAGTCTGGGAGATTCCTTATTTCCCACAATTTTGGATCCCAAAAGACGACTTCTTACCCGCAGCGAACTTTAAGGAAGACGCGCCAATATCAGGCATTCAGAGCTCGACGAGTAAACTTACTGCTGGAGGCAAAACTATCAGTAGCCTTCTGATACCGCTGGGTTATAATACGGAGTTGGCGGGGTATGTCAAGGTAGAATTCAAGGATTTGGATGCGTGGTATGAGGAGATGGTGCAGGTGTTTTATCATCCTAAGGATCCGTTTCATAGGGTTGATGTATTGCCTAGTGGACGGCAGGTTAAGGTTGAGCTGGCAGGGAAAACGCTGGCCGATACTAGAGGCGAGGGTGGTGTACTTAGTTTATGGGAGACGAACTTTCCTGGACGATGGTATTTACCGCCTACGGCTGTGAATTGGGAGTACTTGAAGCCGAGCCAGACGAAAACGGGGTGTCCTTATAAGGGTGAAGCAAATTACTATAATGCTGTCATTGATGGGAAGGAGCACAAGGATGTGGTCTGGTACTATCAGAATCCAACGTCGGAAAGTGCTGCGATAAGAGGCTTGGTAGGTTCACCTTTCATATCTGAACTGAAATTTGAGCTAACTCAGAACTAGCTGTGCTTCTACCCTGACAAGGTCGACACCTATGTAGACGGCAAGCCTATAGCCAAGATTGGTATGCCGCCTATGAGCAAAGCGGATAAAGAGAGCGTACAGCAGCCTCACAGTGGCTGCAATTGCTAGTCTGAATACCCCTTCATTGAGTTCATGTCAATAGCCTCATGCTGTTTGCACTGCCCGACCAGCATCAATGAGTCTCCAGACATGGAAGATATTCTTGCATGAGTAAATGCCAAGCCTGTTGTAGAAGGCTGGTAGAGGTAACAGTGCGGTACTCAAGATCGTTTCCCCTTTCTATGCTCTGCCCACCGAGTTTTCAGTCCTTCCTCAACTGATCCAGTTACCTTGATCGTTTCCTCCATACCTGAGATCTGTTCGGGTAGAAACACGTCATCCATTAGTCCCCGACAACTCACTATCTTCTCGATCTCTTGTAGAAGGTCAGGTCGTAACGATGAGAGGTGTCTCGAGTCCTGTTTTGAATCGCGAGCAAGTTGAACACCAACAGAGCCATTCTCAATCAGCCATGTCTTGAAGACACTTGCAGCTTTCTTGAGCCTCGGCTGACAGAGATCCTGAGCCATTGGATGACCGTATCCCATCAATGTTAATATCTCGAGTAATATGCGGCTAGCCTTGTCGTACGTGCATAGGAATTCGTCGCTACCAAAGGGACTGTCCTCCAGCCCTCCGCAACCAACCATCAATGCATCGACAAGCCCAGAACAGCCCATCTCAAATCGTAAATAGTCAAAGTCCGCAGTTCGTCCCTCATTGTGCATACCCTTCTTGATCACTGAAAGAAACTCGAGTGCTTGCATATTCAGCCGTTTGTCACAAAATTTCCACAATTCAGCCTTGTTCTCGAGAGCACAATTTTCTGTGAACCTGACCTTCATGGACTGCTTGCCAAGTAGTTTGGGCAGCACTGACGCTGCAGCAACAAGTTTCACGTCGATCGCGCCAATCTCGTGCTGATATGGCAAATACGCCTGTTTCAGGCAATGTATCATTGACAAGGGGAAAAGATGACGGCTAAATTGTGGCTTGAAACGCATCAAAAGCTTTTGGATCTGTGTCTCATGCGGTCTCAAGAAAAATTGCGCAATCTGCTTTTCGGTAAGGCCTAAGCTGTGAAAGATTTGAGATGTGAACGAGCTCGTGATCATTAAGGTCGGTCGTTGATTGTGGTACACGTAGGCTTCGCCGAAGAGTGAGAGGAGGAAACTCAAATCTGGCCAATCGACGTCAAGAATATTGCACTCCGACAGCAAATTGAAGAGATGAGCCAGAATTCTGAAGATGCCGCTAGCATCGATGGAGCACACGGAGCCGGCAGCGTAGTCCCCACGTAGTCGAGATCTACTCAGACAACACGTGAGTAAGTTCGACCGCAGTAACTTAGAGAAGGGATCCTGAGTTTTGTCTTTGTAGGACGGCTAGGTGTACGCCCAGTCACTTAAGGACCACTTTATACGACTTTGCCATAATTGAGACACTCGAGAGGACTTGTAATCTTGCGAATTGAAGAATGCAACGCGCTTAGCTTGCAGCTCTGAAATTCCTTCCACACTTTGCTTCAGCGACCTCAACCCAATTGACACCATATCCTTAGCAACGATAATGGTCAATATGCGCAGACGGACTGCAAACACGATAGCACCAGGCATGACAGAGTCGAGCGTCTGTACTTGTGGATTGTCGAATATTGCATCGAACATCTTGGTAGAGGAATCACAGGACAGAACACCGAAACTAGGTCCTGCTACCTGACTCGCCTCATGCAGGATACTAGCTAGACAGTGCTGCTCGACGGCTCCCTGCTCCATCGGATGGAGATTGAAGTAGTCGACGTCTGGATCAAAACTGGTTTCGTAGCATTCATCTGGTGCATGCTTACCTGCGAGTTTGCGACGGGCGTGGATTATGACCCATTGCGTTCGCAGGAGAGGTGTCTCGTAGAGTATGCTATGGTCCTGCGACGAGGTCCAGAATTTCAGGTGGTATGTGTGGTCATTGTCGAATGATGCATCCAGTGATTCCTCCATACGTCCAATCAGATCGCAACATCCGTCAAAAATGGTAGGACATTAGAATTCGCAGCATCTAGAGCGTATCGTACAATCTCAAGGAACAGAAAGTCCTCTATTTGCTGAACGTCTTTGTAGAAGCAGAATCTAGCAAAGTTGTACTCCTCTTGCAGCTTCAGATCTTCATCTAGTCTAGGTGTGCTTGGTTGCTGGATTCGAGGGTCTGTTTTCTTGCTTGCAAGTGGCTCGTCGTTTCCGTCAAGATCGATGTTCTTGCGATTGTCCTTAAGATAGTCGGTCGCATCGGAGCTATCTCCCATTTGTTCGAGTGCTGCATACCTCGAACCATTGAACATCAGATTGACCTTTGTAGTTTTGGAGTCGATACTAAGTTGTTTCATGGAATCTGGTGCCGTTTTACTAGTGCGATTTGCGGCGCTCAGGACCGTGAACGCTTGCTCCAGGATCCTGACTAGGTACTCATGGTTGTCATTGTGGCACCGAGTTCTATGGTCGTTTTGAGGCGTGTTGTTACGGAACCAGTCAACGCAACTTCGGCGTAAATCAAGAATTTTCTGGACCTGGTTGAGCACCAAATCTGGAATCTGAGTCTGGCTGTGTTCAACAATGCAGGAAATCGCAGGAAGGATATCAAAGATAGCAATATTTACCTCCTCTTCATCGGTGGTTGTGCTAAGGTTGGGTTTAGGAGGTGCCTGAGCTGTTTTCGTGCTAGCGTCCTTGCTCGACCCTTGAGCTTTGAGTATGCCTGGTCGTGACAAACAACCTTTTCAGTGTTTGGAACTTGTTCGACTGGACGACGGGGTTCAAACTTGTGGCCATAGAGGGATGCAGTTTCATAGATCCACCTTAGGAAATTCTGTTCTTCGATCTTGTAGGTGCGATAGGTCCTGAAGAGGTGATCAGGTAATTGCATGTTGGGCGGCCTGATGTGGAAGTTTCGATCTGCCGGCAGAAGTTGTAAGACTTGACGTGACAGCGGCTCTATGGAGCTGTCTCATAATATCGAACTTGCAACTCCATGACCTTCATTGTCACTAAGAACTGCCACATGACCTTGCGAACAGCACGTGAAGAAATCACGGCACGCGGCGAAGTATCTGATAAGTGTCCCGAAGCTGTGGCGATATGGGTAGGAGCGGAGCCTGGTCAAAGGTGATGGTTAACCACGAGTCTGCTCGGTTCGTGCTTACATCGTCGTCGGCGATACGTCATGGTGCTGAGTGAAGCACCGGTGTCACAATTATCGAAGGGCACCACATGGGCTGTATAGGTGCTGTGTAGCCTTTCACCTAAGGCTTAAGCTTTTGCAGTCTTTGCTCTTTCGCGAATCGCGACAGAGATGGTAAGCCCTCTAGATCCACATGCGCTGCCCGCTGTCGGTCTATTTGTTTTTGACAGCGGCTTCTTCGATCCTAAGCCTCTCGACGAGCCTCTGCCTCAGGTAGTCCGGAAGCCCTAGCACACCGTCTCTGGTCACTATGCGATACGTTCCACTCTCTTGGTATTTTCCCGTACCATTCGTGAAGGACCCATCACCTTCGACCTCTAAGCTACCGAAAATATCCTCAGGATCTGCTATGCGTCCATAGTCTGGGGGGCGTCTGTTGTCCGAAACATGGATGAATCCACCTCGACCTGCAGACCCATATCCACCTTGATCTGACGCTCCAGAGGAGCCGGTGTTTGTTCTTCGGTTGACTTGCATAAAGCTCGCTCCTGACGAGGATATCATTGCTGCGGCTTGAGCTTTAACTTGAGGGTCTTGACATGCTTGTTCGGCCAGAACGCTATGCAGGATATGGAGAAACCGAGGATTTTCGCGGAAAGCTGAGGGGTCCTGCTCCGGAGGGACAACTTCCGTCTCACCAAGCGCAAGCTCGACAGTAGGAGGTGTTGTCGAGAGGAGACTGAAGATCTTGGATTGAGGATTTATAGGATGGTCGAGGACATAAACGTGAGGACTCGATCGAAGAGTACTAGCGAACCGCGAACTACATATCTGAGCAAGCCGGGCAGGAGCAAGAGTCCGACGAGAAACTGTACAAAACATGACTGCTGTGTCGAAAGACAGCCAGTATGTGTTTCGAGCTCGGAAGACTGAGTGAATGAGAGCTCATCACGATTCAATTACCACCCGTAGTTTAGCCGGACATTCACCACGTCATTATTGCTGGCTGCTTCCTTCTCCTTTATGTTATGTGAGAAGGAGCGACCATAATGCTGCTGCCAGGTATGGCCCTGCCTATAAGCCTCATACGTGTAATCAAACTGTCAGAGACACATCATAATTCTTCAATACTGACACAGTCACTAAGCTCGAGCTCCGGCAAGAGACTGGTATCCTATACAAATCTGAACATCCTACGAACATCCTGATTGATCTCATACTGGCCCGTACGTACGAATCAAATTCACCGCCGTGCTACAACATTAGACGATACCTTGTCCTCCGCATTCTCCTGGTGCCTATTTGCCACCAATTTGGCCAGCTGGTAAAGGTCGGATCCATGCACCTGCAAGATTCAGGCCTATGATCATCACGCCCTATCATGCGTTAGCTTCCAACGCTGGTCCAAGCAGTGTGGCTACTCACCATGATCCAGAAGCTCGAAGCATAGTCTGTACCATGAAATCGAAACACTACCTTCAGTCAGCTCCTGTCGGAATCTTTCGAGCCATTGAGACTTACAGATAGCAAAGATTACGCCACCAAGATTCCTGTATCAAGGTCAGTCTCGTCCACAATCTCGGTCAAATGAGTAACTCGGCCTCGACTAATATCGACGCGAGATAAGATGAAGTACTCACCCTGCCGCTCCAACCGTCCCACTCATGATTCCGTTCTGGAAAGATGTTAGAAAAGGACGACTCGAACGTAGCCTCAAGTTTGCTTACCCCGAAAGGATGGACATGCGGAACAAGTGCGAAATTGGCACCTGATATCATGTCAGTACCTGTCTTATCTCTGTCACCCCCAGTCGACACAATCGTTCTTACCGTTGCCAGCCTCCAAAAATACAGCCATTCCAGCAATCAGTCCAAACATAAGGCCTTCGGTGTGTGGATCAATCAGTCCGATGGCAATAAGGAAAGCCCCGCTCACAACCCCAACAAAGACAATCCAAGCCTCTGCAGATGCATGGTTAGCAAGAGTTTAACAATTCTAACACATAACTGAACATGTGCAGCACTCGTGGTCTCACAGTCGGAGCACAGTTTGCTGGCAAGGTGACCTACTTTTGACCCAGAGAGATTTTGTGTATTTGTATAAGATATCCGCGACGAAACCGCCAGCCTAAGAAAATTAGTTGATCATCAACACAAATAGGTAGTTGTCGTACCGGTCTTGTGATCACATTGAGCAAGCCAAACATGGAACCCCAGCGTCCGGCTCCTGTCTGACCGAGCGATGGAAAGTTCTGACCATTTGTAAGTTTTAATACCAAACCTACTTGTGTGTATATGACTGACCTTGAGGTAGTAACTCGCAATGTATGAGTTGATCGCTAGTTCTCCACCGAAAGAACAAACATAGGTCATGGAATGGAAAAGAGTTTGCAGGGAAAGGACGATGTGTAGGGCTTCCTTAAACGTAGGAGCGACCACAATCTCTCCTTTAGCGACCTCTAGCATGTCTTGCTGCGAGAGCGGAACCTCCTTGCTTGCCGTTGGGATAATGCTACCAGATTCCACATCACCAGGAGTCGAGGTCTTCTCCTTGATGTCCTTGGGTGTTGCCGTGCCGCTTGACTCATCAGAGTCGTTTCTGGCATTGATGGATCCTGGTTGGTCGACGACGGTTTCGTGAACACCATGAGCATTGAGCAATCGCTGAGTTGCTAAGTGGCGCTCGCTCCACTTTCCGGTAGGTGTGTCTGGACACAAGAACAGCATCCCAAGGGCTGTCGTGACGATCAGGATGAAAGGTACTATGAAGGCAACTCTCCAAGCAACATGCGAAGACAAACCCCGGTCTTGCACCAGGCTGTCATATATGGCAGGCCTTGAAAATTATTAGCCTGGCTGCAGCGGAATGATGATTCCACAACTCAACGATGCGACTGTTCCACGAATTCTGAAGTTGAACTTACATTGCAAAATAGGTGATACCTCCTCCAGAATTGCCCCAGCCTCCAATCAAGGCATTGGATGAGCCAACCACGTTCTTGTCGAAGAAGCCGGTGGACCAGACCTGACAAGGCACGAAAGTGCCTCCCAGGATACCAACAAAGAATCGAAGCGCGATCAATCCTTGGACATTGTACACAGCGCCAGCCAACGCTGTTGGAATTGAGCCACAGAGCAGAACGCCGATGAATGTGTATCGAGGTCCGAACCGGTCGCATAGCGGTCCTGCGACGAAGCGTACAATCAAAGTTCCGGTAAGAGCAGCAATGTTCGAGTTTGCAACGTCTACCGTGCTCAAACCAAGATCTCTCCTGATCGTAATGGTCATCAACGGAGGAAAAGCATACCATGACCAGAATGCAATAAAGAAGCCCCTAAAACCGTCAGTTGATATTGTATCGCACGGGTTGCCGCCTTACAGCCAAGAGAAGGTGAAGACCCGTCCATATTGGTTCACTTTCAATCATCAGTTCAAACATTCGACCCATTTGAGGCTATGCTCGGTCGCCTCAACAGAGACCGGTGTGAATTTGTGTTACCACCTACCTGGATTGAATATTGGGATTGACCTGGCTTTTCGGTTGATAGGGTTTACCTCTGGAGCCTTCCAGAGAACACTGATTGGAAACATCTTCGGAGGTGGTAGCGATGCGGGACGCCTACGTTCTGTACGTGGCTCGACAGAAAATCACGTCGATGTAACGTGTGAGCAGCAAAGATGAGAAGCTCAAGCTGTTCAGCGTCGCGCCGACTCATATACGGCCCCAGAAATTGAGGTCATCGAGTATATATGCCGTGCGATATGGGACACCTTGGCAATGGGCATCACGATTGAAATGAAATACAGTCGTCCAATAACACTCCTTGATTACGCTACATTAGTCTTGGCGATCTCTCTCTGTCTACGAAACACAAGCCGTCGACGAACGCATTCCCGAACGACGAACTGCGTCCGCGAAGAAGATCTCTAGATTGAACGGGTTGGGGTAGCGAGTCCTCATTACTGGGACAGGAAGTAGGCTATCTTATCTCAAATGCCAAGAGAGCCAAGCATTCTCGTTATCTTTCGCCAAGACACGACTATCACATGTATGGGGCTTGCAGGAAAGAGACAATCATGTGGCGCAGGCCTTATCTTGACACCGCGGAGGTTGTTAGGTAAGGACGGGACTATTGTCGTTTCAGGCGAGGCGATAGCTGATCTTCGTCCAAGACTCTCAGAGCCTCCTTGTGTTCTATTCAGAAGTTCTATTTGGTAGTCACTATCTACTATGAGACACACAAGCAGCAAGGGAATGGTCCACCTTATTCCACCTAGTAGCCTCTCCTTGAGCATGTTGTCGAGTGCAGTCATCTGGCTTCCTGTGCCGTGGAGACTTGCTTGATGTAAATGCTGGAAACAGATATTGCGCTTGGTGACGGACGATACAATGGTTTTGATCTGAGACACTGCACCACATACGCCTTCAGTCTCTGAGCCAAGGCGCAAGCATAGACGCCTGAGCATGATTTTGTCTTTGTCCTGTAATGGAGTACGTCTTAGCCAACTCTTCTGCACCAAGTTGTCCACCTGGAGGAACCTGCTTCAACGCAGTCTTCACAGCCATTTCCGCCGCAAAGGGATATCCATCCACATCGCCAACAAGCTGAGCTAATTCCAGCCAACCCTGCGGCTGATCCGGAAAGAGCATAATGCCACCTAGCACATCAGACCTGGTCTTCTCTGCACTTGCACCAGTGGCTGCTTTGTGTCGTAGGATCGCGGTCAACACTTTGGCTATTTTCAGCTTGTCAGGGACTGCCACTTGGCTATTTGCTCGGAGACTCTTTAGATCGTCTTCGGCGACTTCGAGCCCTTCTGTGTCGTCGTCCAAGAGGGAGATAGTAGCTAGTAGCACGACTGCATCTGCGTGGCTGGGATGTGCTTCGATGCACTTGTAAAGTTGTGTGCGTGCCACTTCGCACTCCTTCGTGCCAGCGGTCGCCCAGAGGATTTGAGCTAGTAGAAGTGTCACGTTGGGATCTACCTCGCCATCGTTCCCCAGGGACTTTGAAGTTTCTGCTGCTGCGCCCAAGTGTTCTATAGCTTGCGACATCTGTTTCAAGAAGCTGCTAGCAAGACCAAGCGTGAGCTGAGCACTTAGTCTCCACCTCTTTCTTTGCTCGTCATAGCCCGGGACATCATCCTCGCTAATATCCAGCACGAACTGTGCAGACTCGATGGCTTCCTCGTGTTTGCTCTGAGCCAGTAGTTGACGTGACAGATCGGCCTTGGCTTGTGCGAATTTCGCTAGTGAGTCATTCGATTCAGACTCTTCGTAGCGTGCTTCAGCAGTCTTACAAACAGCATCGAGATTCTTCTCAGCCGTCATGTGCTCTCCAGCACGTTCTGCAAACAGTGACAGAAGATGCATCGTGACCTGATCAGTCGGTGACTGAGCCTGTAATTGTCGTAGCGCAAAGAGTGGTTGAAGCAGTGAAGTTAATTGACCACTAGCATTAGGATCACGAAGCAAATGGTCAAAGGCCGACAATGCATAGTACCGCTTCGCCGGCAGCGAACTCGAGTCCGCAATCTCAAACGCGTGCACGAACAGGCTCGTTGCCTCTTTGACTCTGCCGTACAGCATTGCTATTAATCCCTGACCGACCCAAGCAGCCGCATACTCAGGATCAATAGATTGTGCTCGTGTAAAAGCCTGGTTCGCCAGTTCGTGCTCCGAGTTCAACAGATACAACGAGCCGAGATTCGTCCATGCTCTCGCGCTACGATCGTTGAGATGTAAGCTCCGGATGAAAGAGTGCTGCGAGACTTTGGGGCTGAGATTCATTGCTGCCACGCCCAGGGCGTCCCAGAACTCGGAATTGCTGGCTTCGAGTTCAATTGCGGTTTTAAAACAGCGGATTGCTGCTTTGAGGAGATGGCGGTGGTGTTTGGGTTTGGTTGAGGTCGTGGAGACTTCGGCGAGGTAGGCGTTGTATTCGGCCCAGCCTAGGTTGTAGTAGGATACGGCTTGTGCGTGGACGTCGCTGGATGATAACGCAACGGCACGTTTGTAGGCTAGGATTGCGGCTCGGACAAATTGTCTTTTAAGTGGAATGTGGTTTTCTTCTGTTGAGGAAAGGTCTTCCTTCGTGATCCCATCGACATCTTGCAGTAATCCGAAGGCTTCTTCAGATGCACTTACTTGAAGGAGAGTGCTCACGACATCGATCGTGGCTCTCTGTGCATGGACTTTCACAGCATCAAGAACAGAGCAAGCATCGCCTACAGCTTTCCAGAGGTTGAAGATGTCAGTCTTTGTCTCGGCGATGGCCTTGGCAGTATCGATAGCTTTTGCAGCTAGTTCCGCTGCATGACCAAAGTGACCTTGGTGAACTCGAGCCCACCCGAACTCTACTAGAGTCTGTAAAAGGGACATCAGTAAGCCAGGTTCACCCGGCCTGATCGACAAAACCCCTTCATATGCTTCGACAGCATCTTCGTACGCACCAAGCTCACGTTGAACGTTAGCCAACATATATCGGGCGAACCAGGTCTCATCTTGTAGCAGCTGATGGTCAATACTCTCTGCCTTGTAGAAAGCTCTTGACGCTGCGATATACCTTCCTGAATTGTGGTAGCTTTCACCAAGTCCGACCCAACAATGGTAATTGTCAGGCGAGATACGGAGCGCATGCTGGAACGACACAATACTGGAAGAGTATTGTGCTCTATCCATCTGTACCATGCCTAGGGCCGCAAATGGCCAACTGTAGGCTTTCTTTTTGGATCCTGGAGCTGGTCTCGCTTTACCCGATTCCACCACTCGCTGCGCCACGAGTTCGACTAGATCCCATTCCTGATCGACAGCGAAATTTTGTGCAAGCTGTTCGGCGGCAGCCAATTCAGACGTCGACAACTCGAAAGCTTTTTGGAAGGCCACCCGAGCTCGTGCCTTGTTCTTTGTGTAGTGTTGGAAATAGAAACCAAGCAGGGTGTATGCGGGTGGATAGCTAGGATTGACTTTCAGGGCGTCGATCAAGTATCGGTACGATCCTGACTTATCCTTTCGCGCTTTTGGAGACGGGTCGATATGCCACTTACAGTAGGCAATACGATATAGCGCTTCAGATTTCATGCTGGAATCTGCCTCTTTGTCTTCGTTGAGTTGATGCAGAATATCGTCCAACTCATTGAGTCCACCTTGGAGGTCTCCATCTAATGCTCTACACCAGGCGTATTCCAGACGGATTCTTAGGTTGTCAGCGTCGCGTTCTAGAGCTCGAGCTAGGAACTTGACTGCCTCAGGATAGTCTTCGTCCTCCTCGTAGATCAAGCCGATGCCAATAAGTGCGTCAGTTGCTTGAGGTTTCCTGGATAAGATGTTCTCGAATATTGCCCGAGCTTCTGGATGGTGTCTAGGCGACTGAGACACGACAAGCGAGCGACCTAAGGTCAGATTGACGGCGTCCAAGCTATCTTGTAGTGGCATAGCATAGTTGATTTCAGCTTTGCGATATAGGCTGACCGATTTCCTGGCCATCTCAGCGGCTCTTTCATGTTCGTCGAGGGCGAGATATGTATGTGCCATGATCCGATGAGCAAGCATAGAGTCCTTACATTCTTCCAACCCTTCGCTCATGATGATTAGTTGATCTGTTTCAGATAGCTTCTCGATGGGCTCATCGGGATTTGCTGACTTCGGCAACGGATGTGGTGATGTATTACCATACAGAAAACCTTTTAGTACTCTAGCCAAACCTGCTTCAGGGAAGAATTCGATATACTGATGCAGTATATTAGGCTCCCAATCAATGAGATTCTCCGAATCAACCCATTCAAGCGCTATGTCCCAAGCCAGAGCAAATGGCTGTTTGATAACTACCATTCCGTTGGCCTTCTCAAGTACTCGATCTCTTTGTGGTGGCTTGCGATTTTCGGGCATTATGAGCAGGTTGTCAAGCATACGTTGCAGAAGTTCTTGATCGAGAGCATGCCGTACGTCGTCATCCTGAGTCCAATCTATCAAGTTCTGGTAACAACTCTCGACTTGAAACTTCTCAATAGCCTCATTTCTGACCTCTGCTGTGACCCGATCAAGTCTTGCGCCTAGACGTGTTCTTCTTTCGGCAATTTGTGTATCCATCCAACGGTTCTCCTCAGCTTGAATGGATTCGAGTATGCGTTGGTAGAGATGAGACGGATGTGGAACGCGCCCTTCTAGTACTCCGTATAGCGAAGACGATGGAAGCATTAGTTCGAGGGCGTTCCGATATTGGGACGGGGAACCGTTCTTCTTGGCAAATGTCTCGTATTGGTTTATCACATTCTGACACTGTTCTCGATCGTCTTGCTGTGCATAGATTGAAGCCAAGCCAGCCGCGGCGGCATGATAGGAGTCAACCTTGTCGGAACCTTGCTGTTCATAGAGCCTGATAAGGCCCTTGTATGGCTGAACATCCTGTGGTTTCAGCTCAACGGCTTTCTGGAGAGCCTTCTCTGCGTTGTCCAAGTGCTTCAATTTTTCCTCAGCGAAGCCCAGAAACATGAAAGCATTATAATTTTGACCATCTTGCTTCACGAGATCATTAGCTTGCACACTTGCTTTTGCAAAGTCGCCACTGTCAATAGAAGCTTTGATGGTCTTCAACGCAGCCTTGGTTGCTGCCATGTTGATTGAGTTGATCACACAGAAGGTTGACAAGTGAAGCACGTCAAGTGTGACACATGGATTCACTGCACCTGTGCAAAAGTGGAAAGTGAATTGCAGAAGAAGGGCAATTTATCAGTAGCAAACACCTAGCCTTAACACTTAGTGTCATCTTTCAGCAGCATTCATAAATTCCAAGTCACACAGGTAGTAAAGTGCAGTGTACATTGTGCCTTCCCATACTCCTGTCTACACCACAAGGGGCATACGGGGCTGTACCTGATGTGTAAAATATATTCAAAGACGAACACGATGACGTACATTTGACTACACATGCGCTGAAACGGGAAGGCACCAAGCCGTGCCGGTCTGGTCACACTCACCACCAACTATGGATTTATAGACACCCTTTCACTCCTAGACTGGACGACAACGAAGAACCTACGATCTATTATTGACAGATCCAGTACTAGCATATCGTTCAGCAATCTGCAACAACAGCTGAATGCTATAGTACGACAATTTGCTCGCCTCCATGGCGCCATCTGCAATTCGTATAGATGGCAAGAGGCTTAGAGACGACCGTGGTCGCGAGGTGACCTTTCGGGGCATCAACGTATCGGGCGATGCCAAATTCCCGCGCAAGCCGAACCTGCCGACACATATACAGGGCGACTTCTTCGACGGCGATAATGTGTCCTTCGTGGGTAGACCGTTCAATGAGGACGAGGCGCATATGCACTTTGCAAGGCTAAAGAGATGGGGGTATAACAGCATCCGCTACGTCTTCACGTGGGAAGCTATAGAGCATGCGGGACCTGGCATATACGACGACGAGTTCGTACAAAGCACTATCAACACTCTGAGAATAGCAAAGGACTATGGCTTCCACATCTTCATGGACCCTCACCAGGATGTCTGGTCGAGGCACTCCGGTGGAGATGGTGCACCTATGTGGACTCTGTATGCTGCCGGTTTTGATCCAACACACTTCAGCAAGACCCAGGCGGCCATGGTGCACTCTGCGTGGCCAGATCCAGCAACATTTCCGAAAATGTTATGGCCAACAAATTATCAAAGACTGGTTGCTTTCACAATGTTCACTTTATTTTGGGCTGGGAAGGACTTCGCGCCTAAAGCGGTCATTGACGGACAGAACATCCAGGACTACCTGCAAAAACATTTTATTGATGCTTGCTGTTATCTAGCACAGAAAATACACGAAGCGGGAGACCTGGAGGACGTCTGTGTAATAGGCTGGGAGACCATGAACGAGCCAGCTCGTGGACTTGTAGGATGGGAGCATCTGGACGCCATACCAAAAGAATTGAATATGAAGAAGGGTACTTGTCCAACTCCTTGGCAATCACTTCTAACTGGTTCTGGTCGTGCCGTTGAAGTTGATACTTATGAATTTGGGAACTTCGGCCCTTACAAGAGTGGAACACTTTTGATCGATCCCGAGGGCACCTCAGCCTGGTTATCGCCAGAGAGTTCGCGCGACGAAAAGTATGGCTGGAAGCGCGACAGTGATTGGGAACTAGGAACATGCCTGTGGGCTCAACATGGAGTTTGGGATCCTAAGACGGACAGTCTCCTGCAACCTGAATATTTTGACAAACTTCCCAAGACCGGAGATAAGTTGACCTACGAAAAGTTCACCAATACATACTTTTTACAACATGTCAGAGACTACAAGCTAAATATCCGAAATCGCCATAAAGATTGCATTATCTTGTTGCAGGCCCCCGTCCTGGAAATCCCGCCTTCAATTAAGGGTACATCAGATGAAGACAATCGCCTGATCTTTGCTACTCATTACTACGACGGCTTAACGCTCCTAACGAAACATTGGAACAGGTTATACAATGTCGATGTCTTTGGTGTTCTTCGAGGTAAATACTGGTCACCTGCATTTGCGGTCAAGGTAGGAGAGACCGCAATCAGAAACTGTCTACGGAGTCAGCTGGAAGCAATTCGAACGGAGGGAGAGGAGCACATAGGCAATCACCCAACATTGTTTACAGAAATTGGTATTCCGTATGATATGGATGATAAGCACGCATACAAGACTGGTGATTACAGCAGTCAGATATCAGCCCTGGACGCGAACCACTTTGCCCTCGAGGGCAGTGGTGCCGCAGGATACACTCTCTGGCTATACTGCGGTTCAAACAACCATCAATGGGGTGACAATTGGAATGGCGAAGACCTTTCGATCATGAGTGTCGACGATCATATTCCCGCGAGCCAGCTACGCGACGAGCCTCCCTCGACCAATGCTTCAAGCACAACTTTGACACGACAAGACTCTAGATTGTCCTCGGAAGTGAGACCAGAAAATCTAAAGAGCAAACTCGTTCAACCTAGCATAGAACGTGTCGCGTCGGAGACACCACCCGACCTAGGTGTTCCAGGCCTAAGAGCAGCTGAAGCATTTCTTCGGCCTTCACCGATCGCGACCCACGGAGATGTTGTCAAGTACGGCTTCGACCTGAAAAGTGCAACTTTTATGCTCTCACTCAGCGCACCTTCCAAGACGCCGGACGATGCGCCGACTGAGATCTTTCTACCCGATTTCCACTTTCCTTCCGGCAAGACTTCTGTAGAAGTGAGCGGAGGCAAGTGGATCATTGAGACGCTGGACGTCGACGGAGAGGGTATGCAATGGATGAAATGGTGGCATGCGGAAGGCGAGCAGACCATGAAGGTGACTGGCGTTGTCAGAAAGAGTGGGCAAACGACAGGTGTCGCGGACGAGGATTATGGATATTTTGAGGTCATGAAGCGCATCAGTGAGAGCTGTACAGTCATGTAAGACTAGAACCTGTACTCGGTCCAATATATGGAATAATCAGAATGGTAAAGAAGCAACCGAACATTTGCAATCCTGGTGGTGTTCTCGTTGCTTTTGCTATTCCGTGAATAATTGTTACTGTACTCAGGCAATTCATGCCTTAACGCCTGAACTTGCTCGGGTTATTCTCGAAGTCGCATCGATATTCCTCATGTTCTACTAAAAGAGATAACACACAAAATGGAAGCGGAAGAAAGGCCTACCAAGCTGCGAAAGACTCAGCATACTACCCATGATATCGACGACGGTGAATATGAAGGATACACAACCTCTGAAGCGCATCAAGAGCCTGCGCAAACTGCAGAAGGCGCAGCCACCACTGGCATAACTGCTGACTCGCCGGTAGCAGAAGACAAGGATATAGAAATCGAAACGAACGATCGTGACACAGATCCCACCGAGACACCAGATGATATAAAAGAAGCATCCACACCCGGAGAACCAACACTGTCCAAGAACCAGCAAAAGAAGGCAAAGCGCCGAGCTGAATGGGAAGCCGGCAGGGAAGACAGAAAAGTAAAGCGCAGAGAGAAGGCAAAGGAATTGAAAGCCCGGCGAAAAGCTGCGAAGGAGGAGCAGAAGCAGCAGCCACAGAATGGTAATGGTGACGAGCATGCGCAGACATCACTTCCTGCGCAGGTGCAAGGTCAACTCAAACCTCTGAAGCGATACAGAGTTGGCCGTCCTGTGCCTCTTGCGATTGTCTTTGACTGCGGCTACGACAATCTCATGACCGAGAGGGAGATCATCTCGCTTGGCTCGCAGCTCACGAGGGCATACAGTGATAATTCGAGGGCGCTGTACCAGACTCATTTATATGTTAGTGGATGGTCGCCTCAGACTGATCTGAGACAGAGGTTCGATGGGTTGTTGAGAGGAGTGTATAAGAATTGGAAGGGAATTAAGTTCGTCGATAGTGATTTTGTGACTGCTGCGGCGATGGCGAGGCAGACTATGGAAGGGAAACGGGGAGGAAAGATGATGGGCGCCTTTGAAAAATACGCACCACCGAAGAAACAGGAGACAGACTCAGCGGAAAACGGTACAGTGGAGGCAGAAAACACACAAGACAACACAGAAGCCGTATCCACGGCCAACAACAACGAACACAACACTCCTCCCATCCAAGATCCTAGCGAACAACGTGACGACGACCACCTCAAATCCCGCAGCGAAATAATCTACCTAACCTCCGACAGCCCCTACAATCTCACCGAACTCAAACCCTACCACACCTACATAATCGGCGGCCTCGTCGACAAAAACCGCCACAAAGGAATCTGCTACAAAACCGCTCTGGACGCAAACTCCAACCCCAAGACAAAACAGCTACTAAACGGTAGGGAGATCAAGACGGCGAAATTGCCGATTGATCAGTACATGGCCATGGTTAGCAGGCCGATATTGGCGAGTAGTCATGTGGTGGAGATTATGGTGCGGTGGTTGGAGTGTGGGGATTGGGGGAGGGCGTTTATGGAGGTCATGCCGAAGAGGAAGGGGGCGGTGTTGAAAGAGAAAAAAAGGGATAAGAATGGAGAGGGAGGCGCTGGTAGAAGTGGGCAGGTTGAGCAGGATAAGGAGGAGGAAGAGGCGGAGCAGGACGATGATGAAGTCGTGGAGGAATCGGATTCTGAAGCTGATAATGTGCCTGCTCAAGCTGGAGCTGATACCACGAGTGATGACACAGAGCACCGTGAGGTAAGTTCGTAGTCGGTATACATCAGTTCTGTCTATAAACACAGCATGAACATTCCACCAACTCTGAGAGCTGGCTGTAGAGAAGTAGTAGACATCTTCTTGATTTCTATCAACCAAGAACCTTACAATTCTCGAGTGTTAAGTTACTTTACTTAGTGACCGTTCACGTCGAAAGCCTCGAACAATGCTATTGTGCCATTGAACAATCCTCCCAAATATGCCATTATTCGAGGGCATTATTTGAGATGTACGATCCAGTCTAGTTCGTGGCGCGAGAAGTTGAGTAACATTGAAGATGTATCAAGATCTTCACCCATGTGATCTTGACTTATCGAATAATTCCTCCCCTCTAGTGGTGAATACAGATCGCGTACGAGCGACAGTATCATACACACTAAACTTTCTTCTGCTCGAGTTCATGCTCTTCGCTTTTCTATCTCTTCGCTTGAATGCCTGTTCTCTTGAAATTAACGTCTTCTAGCATCCACCTAACGTTCTCATGCGGCCGCCTTCTTCTCTTGTGTCGCGACAATCCTTTTCATATAGGACTCTTCCTTGTTGGGCACCTTGCCAACACCTTGGAAGATCTCCTGTCAATAATCCTCAAGCCGCAATGAATTCAGAGTGATTTCCAGGTTGTGATTATGGTGTAGTCATGGCTTTGATATACAATGGTGTCTAAACAGCTCAAAAGCCGCGAACTTGAGCCCATTTCTTTACTTCTTCTCCCCGCCATCCTTTGATGGTTATATGCTGATTCAAACGATTTATTGAGACTGTCTCCTTTTTCCGTCCCTTTCCATCTGTCACCACTTCCGGTAGTCGCAATATAGCCAGGAGCTCACGTTGTACGGCTGAAAGATCGCCCGATAGCTTCTGGACTATCGTGACCTGCTTCGAACCGCCAGACTTGGTATGTTCGTATACTGGAAGGTTGTTCGTCTTTGTTCTTCCGATGTGGTAAGGGAGAGATTGCGAGGAAGATGGCTCGGACATTGTGCGTAGGGTTTCCTCCAATTTCACAGCCCGCGTTTTGGCATCGTCTATCTGTTGTCGTAGAGCAGCCTTTTGCTGACGATGCAGTTTGTCAAGCCTGTTCACTTTCGCGTATTTGTGTCGCGGCATGAAATTAGAGGTAGATCGGACCTGGCATGCTGCGCAAGGACCGCTCGATGGTCGAAGGAAGGCTCTCAATATAGAGGTAGATGGAACGAATGATTGAGACATGGCTGTGTGAGATTGGACGAATACTTCTGTATGCCAGGAAGTGCTTAAAGGTTGTCGTTTCTCTGTTGCTAAATGCTGCGGTGCCAGTTGTGTGCAGTAGTACAAGACGAGAATTGCGCGGCGTACACCAGGTCAGTTACTCAGAGACAATGGTTGGTGTTTATACGAGCTGCTTCATGCGATGGTAGTACACATCTACAACTTCACGCGAAACTCCCCAAACGAGCTGCAGAACCATCGGGACAACTTCGGCACGATCATCGGTCTTGGCGGCGGGAGTCCGGTCGTGGCTGCCAGTGTGGGCAATTCACCACGCAGCAATTTGAGGGCAAGTGATATTGAGACTTTGTACTAACAATCACATCCCTAATCGCCAACGAAATCGCCTTCTCGAAGCAGACGAACGAAAATACAACTATCGAGTCAATCAGTGCATAAAATTGACCCTCACGAAACTCCATTGATTAGTGAACCTGCGAGTTTTACAAAATCAAGCGCATTCACAATTTGTCCTAGAGGCACTATCCACACCAAGCAAATTCAGATATAGTCTCTGCCATCATGGCGACCACAAATGGCACATCTGCCACGACAGTAGAAGATCCCACAGGCGAGTATACCTTTCTTGACCAGATAATACGACGTCTCGATAGACACCTCATATTTCCTCTACTTGACCACGAATCTCACAATGAGGATCTTTCACCAGAACGCCAGGCCGACCTACGACTTGCGACTTTCAATCTTCTGAAGAATACCAATATGGTTGACTACGTTAGCCAGTTATACAAGGACATCAACGACACAGACTCTGCGCCAGCTGAATTCGAGAAAAAGAAGCAGGAGGTCATCACACGCTTGACCACTTACGAGGATGAGACGGCTCATCTATCCAACCTTCTGAGCGACGAAAGCATAACTTCCCAATTAAGAAGCGATAAAGTGGCCAATTTAAAATTTCTCGAAGAGTCGCACGGTGTTACACAGCCTATGGTCGATGCCTTGTACGACTTTGGCAGATACAAGTATGAGTGTGGTTTATATCCCGATGCCGCAGATATACTTTACAGATTCCGTGTCCTGTCTACCGATAACGACAAAGTCGCAAAAGCCAACTGGGGAAAGTTGGTCTGCGAGATCCTCAGCGAGGAATGGGAAACTGCCATGGAGGAAGTCGACAGAGTCAAGGAACACATCGAGACACGTCTCTTTAACAATCCACGAGCACAGCTGACCGCAAGAGAAGCGCTGGTTCACTATGCTCTCTTCCCTTTCTTCAACCACGAGCCAGCTCGTGACAAGTTGACCGAAATGTACTTCTCTCAAAACTTCATCTCCACCATACAGACATCTTGCCCTTGGATACTGAGATATCTAGCCGCCGCCGTCATCACGAACCGATCTCGACTCAACAACTCCCACAATTACCAGAGACAGCTGAAAGATCTTGCAAGAGTTGTCAAGCAAGAAGTTTACGAATACGAGGATCCTGTCACGGAGTTTGTCAAGGCCCTCTATGTTGATTTTGACTTCGAAGTCGCTCAGAAGAAATTGTCCGAAGCCCAAGCAGTAATGCAAAATGACTTCTTTCTGGGAAGTTCAACCGATGCCTTCGTCGAGTCTGCAAGACATCTTATCTCCGAACTTTACTGTCGCATCCACCAGAGAATTGATATCAAGTAAGTTGCCCTGTTTTCATGCAGCGATGAAATGCTAATACATGGTGCAGTGATCTTTCGACACGACTCGGTCTTAGTGAGTCCGAAGGCGAGAAGTGGATCGTCAATCTCATCCGTGACACAAGAGTGGACGCCAAAATTGACTACAAGGCTGGAACCGTTGTCATGAATCATCCTTCTCAAAGTGTTTACCAGACTGTGATAGAGAAGACCAAAGGTGCTTTCTTCCGAACGCAAGTTCTAAGTGCTGCTGTAGCCAAGTGAGGAAACAACGAGCCGAGTTTACTCAATCGTCACATGCTTGGAAGAAGAGACAATTTGTCTGATGTTCCAACGTTATGATGAACAGACGTGAGCACTGGCACCAGAGCAAGGCCACTGTACAGACACGTGCATGAAATATCGCAGTGAGCTGGTATAAGAAAGGAAACACAAAGAGTTGACCAAATTCACTGAAAAGTGTCAAATTTGAGTCGATCTGGGTCAACTTGGCATGCCAGTCCGGACCACGACCTCTAAAGACAGCAGCGCCGTGTTAAGATACAAGAAATTAGGCTGTCGCTAATGAGTCGGCCATTGCACAAAGCCTCAAGACAAGAGACAAGGACTCGGAGATCAAGGTCGATTACAGCACTACCGCTGGCGTATCGGGTTCTGTCACGCCGTTGGAGGTGTGATACCCTGAGTGACACACGCCCTTACATCAAGGGTTGTAGAGTGGTGGTTCTGAGCCATTTTCGAGTCTTTCTGAGAACAGATGATCAAATTTCAACGAAGAAGATATCTGCGTTTCTCAACCTTTAAGATCTACATCAGTAGCGAGTCCTACTTCTCAATATCTCGTTCCTGCTTCAAGCTTCAGCCAGCTAGATAAAAAACGCGCCGACGTTTGTGTGTCCTGCTGCCTGTGCTTCCTCACCTCTGCGACCATCTTTCGCAGTGCATAGGTCACCTCCTACACAGTTCTCTTCCCCCGTTTTGTTGGTTGCTCCATCTACACCCAGTTACGGACCTCTGCTCTATTCCTCCTCTCCCAATCTCCCACACGCCTCCTCCGTCCCCAAAATCTCCCCAAAAGCAAACCCAAACCCCCTCAACCCCGCCTCATGCTGCTTCCTATTCGCACTCCCACACGCATCACCCACCAACCACGTCTCAAACCCCCTGTTAAACGCACTCCGCGCCGTCGTATCACAGCAACAATCCGTCATGACTCCGCATACCACCACTCTCTGTACATTCGCTTCGTCGAGGATTTGCTGTAAGTTTGTGTTGATGAAGGCGTCATAAGTGTTTTTCAGGACGATTCGGGGCCGTTTACTGCTAGGTTTAGTGGTAGGGGAGGGGGTGTCTTTCAGGTAGTGTTGCAGTGAGTCTTGGATATGCCAGGCGTGGGAGTTGATTGCGATGCTGCCGTTAGGGCCCCATTTGCGGACGAGTTGGTTGGAAGTTTTGCCGCTGAGTTCGTCGGGAGTGTGACCGTGTTGGGTGAAGATTATGGGGGAGGAGGTGTGCTGGAAGTGGGTGATTAGTCTTTTGATGTTGGGGAGGGCGGTGGTTGTCATGCTTTCGAAGTAGCGTTGCATGTCGATTATGAGGAGAGCTGTTTTGGGTGCCATGTTGGATTTGGTGGGCTAGCGAAGAAGTGTATGGACTGCTGTGTTGTGCTTGTGAACTTTCCACGTGCTGATCTCAAAATTTCACAATGTGTCGATGTGGAAGTGAAGATGGCACATCACTTTGTGTAAGCATGACGTCAGTCGTGCATTTCCTGTTCTCCCACGAGCTTGAAACACAGTACTGAGCATGACTGCCAGGCTTGTGTTACAGATGTTTCGTGGTAGATTTTAGAGTGCTCCTTACAGTCGCAGGGGGGCGGCTCAGTCTTTCCAGGAGTTCGTTCGCTCAAGTATTAAACATTAAGGGTATAGATAGCCACCCTCAAAGTAATTACCATAGATGTCAACATTTCCTTGTCGTTCCATTTTTCCTTTCGACGCAGTCTTAGCAGGATTCCTGATCACCTTAATTTCTCCTGGCCAATGTCCCTCGACGTAGATGTTTGTCTCAACAAGTTTACCAGAGGCAACCGATTGTGGAGATGACAAGCGACGTTGTCTATGCTTCTGCGTTTCAGCATCGTAAACTGCCTTTCGCTCCCGTCGCCACTTGGCTAGTTCTCCCACTACATCGAGCATGATCGCTTGGGATGGTCGTGCCACGACATTGCTGCCGGAATTCGAGGTGGGTGGCAGGGGTCGCTGAGGCGGAATTGTCCCTGGCATCTCGAAATGGGGTGTTCTCAATGTGCTGCGTAGTGGAAATCTTGTCTCTGAAGCGGTTGCTGAGTGTGCTCCCTGATGCATGTCGTTACTGATGCGTCGATTGCGGCCGAGTGGCAAGTTTCGAGGGCTCCTGAACACAGTGTCGTTTCGTCCTAGAGGATTCGACTGACCCTGCCTGCCTCCAGGCGAGCCAAAGTGAGTGATTTGTGGGCTTACAATCCTCGGACTATGTGGAACATAGTGATTTTTAGATGCACTTGGTTCGTCACTGTGAGTAACGACTATCTTGTCGTCAAACGGTATTGTGGTTGGATAGTACTTATCAGGTTCTTGGTCATATACGCCACACTCTGCAGACTCCTCGCCTTCCTCTCCGAAAAAAGAGAAGTCGTTATCGGCTGCTGACCAGAGTGCCTCACTGTCAGCATCACCCGTAGAGCTTTTAGAGATGTTTAGTCGTTGCCTAGTATGCTTCCAACCTCGCTGATTTCCCGCATCTACCACCGGATTGATCTCAAGTACTATTGTTTGCAGAGCAAATAGTGTCTGTTTATGTTGACGCTCGGCATTTTGCCTAGCCCTGCCTGGAGGAAGCGAATAGTTCGTATGGGCTCTGAGTGCTGCGAGGCGTTCTTCTACTGCACAAGCTGCAATGTATGCCTTCAAGCTTTCGATCACAGTAGGTTCTGACGCTGGAACTTGTGAAGGTAGGTTGGTAAGTACAAGTGTTCGCAGATGAGGCAGGAACGACGGATGCAATTTTGTGGCAGGCCTTTTAGGTCGAAGCTTAGTGAGTTTGTCCATTTCGGTGTACAATACACTGATGGACTGCGAGCGTCGTCGAATGGTTTCTGCGTCTGTGAGCTGCGTATCTGGCTTCTTCCTGATCGTCAGTGGCGCAGGTCGCTCGACTACTGTCTCTTCTGACTGTAGTCGTTGTGATGAGTCACTTTGCATAGTGGACATCGTGGAATTGGTGGCAGAGGTCGTGCGTCTTTGAAGGCCAGATCCTGTAGCGTTGAGCACTACCTCTTCTGAGTCATCTTCAACTTTTCGAGCTGTATCAGGCTCGTCAACCACCTCGGGTGCCATCGCACCCTCTCCCCGGACAGGTGATATTACCTCACCTATACCGGTTTCTGGTGCGTCTCCAACTGGTGGACTGAGAGCAAAATGTATAACATCACCTGGCAATTCTACCCGAGGAGTGGATGGAGTCGCATCCATCTCAAATATGGCTGTCTCAGAAGACATTTCAGTGGCATGGCTTCTAGATCCTGCTACCTCGAACACTTCTCGATTAACGGCATCCAGTTCCGCAGCTCGAGACAGCTCACCAGGAAGCTCTGCTCGATGTTCAACCGCCTTGTCTTTTCCCTTGAGCTCGTGAACGGGATCGATAGCTGCTGTTACTACAGCATGGTCAATTCGTAGGTGCGTCAAGTTTTTGCTCGCTTTATCCTGCAGCACTGGAATAAGCTTTTCGGCACCAGGCATTTTCAATAGGTCATCGTCCATGTTGTCTGAATCTTGAAGAGATGCACCTGCCTCAGAGCCATGCATACTTGATGGCCGACTCCTGTGGCGATTCAGCACACCCTTCATGTTTTTGCTGTGCGTAGATTTTGCTCGAAGCGTCTCACGGGGGCCACCAGACTGCTGCCGTGCTGCAAGAACATGAAGGTCGACTGGCGTCAAGGCGGCAATGTCGCCAGCGTCAAGCACGTGTAGCCTGCCGAGATCCAGGATACCACGAATGCTCTCAATTGTTACGCCTGGATTACCACTGATGAAGAGATGAGTAATACCTCCATGAGGAATGTCCTCGAAAGCTAATCGACCCGTGAGAGGGTTAGTAAGCTGGTTCAAAAGTGCTTCATCCAACTCAACAGTGCGAATCGTGTCCAAGCTCAGAGAATCTGGTGGAGGTGGCAGTCCTACAGGCCATGACTCGAGGTGTCTTCTGGAGTACTGATCATTTGGCATACTACCGTTTGTGCTGATCGTGGAGGGTAGCCGAACACAAGCTTGGAGCAGACTTCGCACAGCCATATCAGACAGCTGATTATCTGCGATATCTAGCAAACGTACCCGCAAGCCAAGTACGTTTGCAAGAACCTCGAGCTCGTTGTCTCGCAAGCCTACTCCCCTGAGTTTGAGCACTTGCAGATGAGTCAGAGCATCCAGACTTCGAAGTACGTTTATGTTTCGTGCAGGAGAGGTATAGGAAAGATCCAGGTATACAAGGCCTGGAAGATGTGGCAATAGTAAGGACAGCCCGACCCATGTGACATTTGGTTCCTTTGCAGCGAGTAGCAGTTTGACAGGATATTGTCTAAAGTCCTCATCATTCAACCCGGGGGGTACCACCGAGTTGCGAGATTGATCGACTGCAACCAAGCTGTCGTGGTCGAAGAAGGGCAAACCGGAGACACACAAGCTCTGTAAACCAGGTAGCCAGTCGAGGACTTCTCTTAGCCAAGTCGAGTTGGGACCACCATAGATCTCTGACAACGCTGGTGGTAGATGTAGAGTATGGCAAAGCATACGTGTTGACACTCGGGCTCTTCTTAAGATGCGCTTGAAACGCGTCAGAGCAACATAAACTAGATCGTTATGCGAGCCAGTGACCTGCAGGTTTGCAAAATTGAGGCCATTGGTCGTTCTTGCAGTTTCATTGGCGACCTGGACAAAGTGCGAGGCAGGACTACCCCAAAGGTGAGGTATGAAAGTAGCGTAGTATGTTTTTGAGACCAGACATAGGTTGACCAGTGTAGCTGTACTTAAGTATGGCGGAAGCAAGTCAAGAACATTGACATTGATATCGTCGTAGGATGGTGGTATGTCCTCCATGGCAAGGTACCTCAGAAAAAATTCTGCCAGAGGGGCACGTTCGAGGACAGTGTGACGACCTCTGGATTTCTTTGTGCCAATGCTCTCAATACCTGAATACTTGGACCATCGCTCAGTCTGGTGACCATTTCATGAAAAGTTGTTATGCCACCGAGACTTTATCCTTTAAGGTGGTGAAAACATCTGTAGAAATCGTCGTGGTTGCAGCCGCACGACTTCTATACCTTCCGTGTGCGTGATTGCTTTGAGAGCGTGATCCAAGGAAGGCATGATGAAGGCTCGCAACCATGTCTGCCTCGTTGGAAAGTGCCCAGAATCGACGCTGTCTCTCCAAATCCGACTACACGCGACAAGTCGTTATTGGCAGAATGAGTAAGTAGCTTGTGACGATCCTTGCTATGAACTTGTTCTAGAAGGTCTCCGGGGCTGCAACGTCCGTCGTAGGCAACATCACATGTTCCGAGATTACTATCCTTAGGTGACCTCCACTGGGGCTCTCCGCGAAGATCTGCCGTGAGCCGAGTGATCTTCCTGTACAGAGCCACATCTGCATAGAATACACTACTGTTTGATATACTGGAGTTATTGTGAATTGATTTGAGTGATACAAGAGTTCTTGATGACTTGCTAACCATGCTACTACCCTGGTTTCAGTTGTGCAGACCAATCGTTGTTTTCCGGTAAGTTTCGTCTGAATGATGGTAGGCCACCGAGTGAAGGCAGTCATTACTTTCACTTCACTGTGTCGCTTGCGTATTATGGATTCTGCTTGGTGATGCCTTGCGGGCGTTCCTTCCTTCATCCCTGTCTTTCATGTTGTTGACTTTCGATGACGGGCACAAAATTTATCATCAGTGAATAAATATGCTTAAATGACCTCGCCAATGGCTCAACAGGATGATGGTTCGACAATCAACGTTACACTCACAGAAAGCGTGAGCAGTAAGGTCGCTATGCTGAAAGTCCCTCGTTCAGACCTCGCACGTTTCCAAGAGGACTCCTCATCGGACAACGTCACGCATACCCGACGACAAGAACGATTTATTATCTCCGATAGTGAGTCTCATGACGAGGTCACTGCTGGCAATGAGCTATTTCGAGAGTTGCGAGGCATCGAACAGATTGAACGGCCGGACAATTTGGAGGGAGACGAGAACAGCGACGAAGAACAAGCTCAAATCAATCGGCAATTACAGGCAGAGCTCAATACGTACCTTGAGGAGACAGTCGAAGACCAAGATGCAGGCCACTACTTGAGGAAGAAACGTTTGCAATCAGCACAACGGTCGACACGCTTAGCGTCGGTCGAAAGTCAGATAAACTCAATGGCAGGAAGCAGCTATTCTAACACAGGAGACAGTGAGCATGATGAGGAGCAAGAGCACAGTAAAACGAAAGAAGCACGCCTCGATGAATGGGAAACCCTCACGCAAACCGAGAGACAGCAGGGCGCAACGCAGGCTTCGCAAGGACAAGCAGACATTTATTCAGTCTAGCTAGCACAGACAGCATTGCATCTTTCGGGTTTCTCAAGGAATTGAATACTGGCAAATTGAAAGTTTGAGAGAGGGACATCGGCTCAATTCGAGGAGGCAGAAAAGGAATGTGAAAGCATGTGCTCAACCGTAGTGGAAAAGTGGGATGGGAAGAGTGACGTCGCTGGTCGCTTGGGGATCTGTTTGCAGGCTACATTCTGCTCACGAGCAAGACCTGTTCTCAAGGCATGTGTGGTGGTAGCGAATGTTCTGACGGTTTCTATACCTCTTTCGCATAAATTCCAGAGACTGCACATTCTATTTTATATTAAATTCTCTTGAACACGTTAAGGGAGTTGTCTTGTACAGGATCCTCGCGTGTTTGTAACTTATCAATACAATCGAATAATTCCCACAGACACTAACAAGAAACACTTCAATCGTGCCCCAAGACTCGTCCACTCAGCACCAAGGTGAATCAACATGTCAACCGCCGTCATATCCACGGACGACGATCAACTCGATCCTACACTCCAAAACCTCATTGACCAGAAAACATTACGATGGATTTTCGTGGGCGGCAAGGGTGGTGTTGGCAAGACTACAACCTCTTGCTCGTTAGCAATACAAATGGCCAAGCACAGAAAATCAGTGCTGTTAATATCGACTGACCCGGCGCACAACCTGAGCGACGCATTCTCCCAGAAGTTTGGCAAAGATGCGAGATTAATCGAGGGCTTCACCAATCTGTCCGCCATGGAGATCGACCCCAATGGATCGATCAGCGAGTTAATTAATGCAGGCGGTGACGAAGCACAAGAAGCAATGGCAGGTATGGGAGGCATGGGTGGCATGATGCAAGATTTAGCATTCAGTATACCTGGTGTGGACGAAGGTTAGTGCTTGTAGCATGCAGCGGACGAGGTCTTGAACTAACATACCTCTAGCCATGAGCTTTGCTGAAGTCCTGAAGCAAGTCAAATCACTCTCCTACGAAGTCATCATATTCGACACAGCTCCGACCGGTCACACTTTGCGATTCCTACAGTTCCCAACGGTGCTCGAGAAGGCACTGGAGAAGATCTCTCAGCTATCTACACAATTTGGACCTATGCTAAACACAATACTCGGCGCAAGAGGTGGTCTTCCTGGCGGACAGAATCTCGACGACCTAATACAGAAGATGGAAAGCCTGCGAGCCACAATTGCTGAGGTCAACCAACAGTTCAAGAATCCAGACATGACCACATTTGTTTGCGTCTGCATTGCAGAGTTCTTGTCGTTATACGAGACCGAGCGAATGATTCAGGAGTTGTCGAGTTACAACATCGACACACATTGCATCGTTGTCAACCAGCTTGTCTTTCCAGAGAAGGATTGTCCTTGCGCAAGGTGTAATGCTAGGTGGGCCATGCAGAAAAAATACTTGGACCAAATAGAAGAGCTTTACGACGAGTTTAACGTTGTCAAAATGCCGCAGTTGACTGAGGAGGTCAGGGGAAGTGAGAAGCTAAAGAACTTTTCAGAGATGCTGATGAACCCATACACCCCGTCAACTCAGTGAGCATGATGAGTCCAGGACGAGGAGTTGCAATAAAGACGGCGAAGGGTACATCATGGGTCAGTAGGTAGCGCTGTAGTTATTTTTCACCCACAACAATCTACATCTTGGCCAGGTTGCCAGTTTCTGCAGACATCATCTGCTCAGCAGCAGCACACAACTTCAGCCCGAATACCTTTTGCCATGCTCATGACGTGATGCAGCATCGAGATCCAGTATCAACTTGTACTCTCGGGCTTTTTCGTAGCAATCTCAGGACCTCTCTAGCATGGCTGCGGAGGTCCGTTCTATGGTCGCCTCAGGCAGAAACTAGTGGGTCGGCCGGTGGGTCCGAGGAAACATGTCACATCACACTGCATCACTCTTGGTCTGCCAACTAGGCAGTGTAACCACAACCTTAACTTACATTAATAGTAAAGCCTTATGTCGCCGATCACAGTTATTCTGACGTTCTTAACATTCATTGTCACACTGCCAATCAGGATGGTTGACAGCTTAAGACGACTATTCAGTCGCAAACGTACAGCGTCATACGAGGACGATGCGATCAAGGATATGCCAGCTCGGAAATTGACTGTGCAGGATTCTGGTCTCCTTCGCCTTCCAGACGAGCTACTTCTGTATACCCTTGGCTTTCTCGACTTCGACAGTCTGCTCCGACTACGACTTACACAGTCGCATCTAAACGACCTGGCGCAAGAATTTGTTTTTCAAAGCTTCGAAGTTCACCATGGAAGACGCGCCGCTCAGTTAGCAGCAATGCTGCGACGAGACGAACGCAGGGCTCTCTGGCTCAGATCGCTTCTAATATCAACCAGACACGACGAAGACGAGGGTCTACATGCTCTTCCACCTTATATGGAGAGTTTCACTAACCTCAGGGACCTGGTACTTGAGACCCCGGATTGTAATGCGCGGCCTCCCGCCGAAAGAATCAAGTGGATTGAACTTCAGAACATTTACGAGGATATTTTCCGGCGAGCAAGCGTTGCTGTCCCAGCCACCGATCGACTTCTACCAAATCTGGAAACATGCACGTTACACTTTGTCGACAATGAGGTCTCCCTGTATCCTCTTTCAAAATACAGCAGTATTTTTCTACATCCAAATTTGAAGAGTCTTACATTGTCTTGCGCATGTACAGATATGCCACAAAGGATCCTTCAACGTCTACGGCAGTACAAGCGCACCACATCGTTGAGGCACATGCATCTTGAGGAATGCGATTTCGATTCAGAGAGCCTTCAGGCACTTCTTAAGTTGCCCAAAGCCCTAGAATCGCTTAAAATCAGCGAAGGTGTCCGCTACAATAACAACGGGGCGAGTCGCCCTAGTAGGGTCCATGGCAACCTCAACCCAGGACTCTTCTCCCGAGCTCTTGTCAATGCAGCGTCTCATTCTCTTGAGTACCTCAGTCTGAACTTAGGGTACCAGCATAGTCGAGGACATTCAATCACATCTCCCGGACGCAGCCTGGATCTGAGACTTCTTACCAAGCTAAAGAAAATCGACGTATCAATGACAACTCTAGGCCTTATTGTCCCTCGTCCAGGTTGCGATCACGCAATATACCGTCGTCTCCCTGACAGCATCGAACACATCCGAGTCTTTGAAGTACCATTGCTCAAGTTGCGCGCGAGACCACCCACACCTCTACGACCTTGTCTATTCACTCAAAAGGCCGTGCATGGTCTGCCCAACCTCAAAGAAGTAACTTACTGCTACGAATACCAGGCCCTGCGAGGAAACTCCTCCTTCGGCCTGTTCCAACGTGGCGGCGAAGACACACTGAGCCGCATCATCGACGCCTCCAAAAAACGTGTTATTAACATCAACAACAAGAACTACCCAACATACCACGAATCCAACATGCACGTCGTCATCGAAGTCGAAATCACTCCTCCAGGCTATATCCCTCCCTACCTCCACAACGAAGAACATCCAACCATCGAAACGATCTGGGACAGCAACGAGCCGACTTTTGAGGCATTAGTTCACCTAGACAATGCTCAGAAAGCACGAGATAAAGCGGATGACCAAGGACAGGGATCGGAGTCTTCACTGGCACGCTCGATAGCAGAGACTCAGTCACAGGTCACTATTGATCCAGCACAGTTACATCCGACGCCGGCTCAAACTCCTCAGCAAGCGTTGAATTGGTTGCTTGGAGGTGCTATGCTGAACACTCCGAACACCATTGAGGATGAGAGTGATGATGAGGAGGGTGGTTCGCCTTTGCTGGATTTGCCGCCTCAGGCGGCGGAGTTGTTGGAGTTGTTGATTCAGATACCGGGGCAGCCGTTTCAGGTATAAGGTGATGAGCACAGGCGTGCATTATGATTCACGTATGGAGTACAGGACATGTCACAGCAAGGAACAATGGACGAACCCAGAAGAAAAGGCGTACGACAGACACTATGAAAGTCCATCGTTCGAAAGGGTTCGCCATGTAGATAGTTGGTCTCCCAGAAGTTTATACAACCTAGAAATCCACTCATTCACTGTATGGTTCTGCAACATATTCCTTCTCTTCATTGGTGGTTCATCAATGTGCACAAACAGTCACTTTCCTTGATACAGGGGCTTCGGTTGAACAGTCTGGTCGCCACCTATTCCCATCGAGCTGGTCTGTATTCCCTTTCGTAGTGATTGCTAGATGGCCACTTCCGTCTCCTTCTTCCCTGTGTGTCGACCTGAATGACGTTTATAGACACTGCGTCTTCTTTCGAGTATGAACAGCTAATCGTGCAATGCATGATGGAAACTGCAGTCAGCAAGGAAATCATGTGCAGCTCTTCTTGATAGGTTCGAAGAGCTACCTTCAGTGATTACTCTTCTCCTTGTCCCACTGCTCTACCGTCAAGCACTTCGGCGTCCAGGCATGCACAGCCTTGATCTCCTCTTTCAATATTCCATTGACCAGTCTATGTCTCTGCAGGGCTGACTTTCCCTTGAATTCATCCGACACAATGATGGCAGCGAAACTTGCACCGCAACCACCAGAAATATCCTGAATCTCAACGTGGGTAGGGTTCAGCGGCGAAGAGGATTTCAGGGTCTGGGTGAGGGAGTCTGGTGTTATGCCAGTTGTGTTCATTACCTCCTCTGCAGCCGTGTCGGTCGGAGCGGCCATTGGTGTATCGGCTCTTAGGATGGACTTTGCAGAAAATGCTCGGATCGGTCTGAGAATGGAGGGTGCGACCCTTTCAGGTCTGACAATGCGGCTGGTGGTGATGCGCCAGGCCTGTCTTGGGAGGATACGGTATAGCATGAGCAGATTGAGTCTGTGACTGGTGTGTAGCTTGTGTTGGGCTGTAGACAAAGGCGAGTGTATGTGGTAATGAATAATTACCGAAGTATTGTCAGCAAGCTCTATTAATCGCCGAATTTTGAGTGCATGACGTCGTAGCGTAAACAGAAAAGCGCAGTCGCGATTGACCTGGGCAGCTTCTTGTTGGCAGCGGCAGCCAACTCTGAGCTGTCTTTGCCAATGCCCTTCCTCCGACAGTGGTCGCTACATCTATGCGACCGTTCTCGAAAAATTTTCAGCTTCCCAAAGGTCCTCTACGAAGTGCCACCTACCAAGGAGGTTTAGGTCGCGATCTAACACTACGAGCTCAAATTCGAAGCGCCAGCAACATGGCACGAGTCTCACCTTTTTCGCATGCAGTGGTTGCATCTATGAGACACCTTTACCCAGAAGTGCTGGCAGACAAGTCATTTGACAATACAGGCTTACTTCTTGAAGCCCCTATACCAACTCATCTTCCGAGAAAGTCGAACTCGGTCCTCCTCACTATCGACCTTACCAAAGCTGTTGCAGACGAGGCAATCGAAGAGAACCATTCGCTTGTGGTCGCCTATCACCCTATAATTTTTCGAGGCCTCAAGTCTATCACCTTGGACGATTCGCAGCAGCAAAGTCTGCTGAGGTTAGCAAGCCATGGCGTCAGCGTCTATTGTCCACATACTGCTGTCGATATCGTGCCGAACGGTATGGCGGATTGGCTGTGTGATATAGTCACTGGAAAGATCGAACCTGCTCCTGAGCCCATGGCTGTCTCGAGCGCGGAAGCAAAGCAGCAATTAGAAGACACTATACCAGAACAGTCAGAGCCAGTATCTGAAACAGACGTGACTACTTCGGAGGACGAAGAGCCAATAACACCTAGTGACGTTAAGCCAAATGGTCACATGTCCGATCCTTTCGTCGAGAAGGATCCCACTACCCCTAAGCCCAAACCAAAACGACCAACTGGAGTGCACAGGACATACTCAAAGCCATCCTATCCATTACATATTCGTGATCAAGAGGAAAATTCACCTCCACACAGAATACCTTCACCCATACAGTCTTCTCCCAATACGACCTTTCACCATTCCGTCATCCCGCATGTTCGAACAGTCATCACTTCTTCACCCAGTTCTGCATTAGAGACTGCTAACGCTGCACGTTCCACCTCACAAGGAGAACCATACTATACCTCCTCCAATTCTGGCTCTGGCCGACTAATCACCTTCGAACATCCACAGCCTCTTTCGGCGCTGATAACACGTATAGCCTATGCGACCGGTACACCCAAGGGCTTCCCAGTCGCCATTCCTCAAGACCGTTCACTGGAGTCTATTCGAATCAAAACAGTTGGTACATGTCCAGGTTCAGGCAGTAGTGTTATCCGAAATGCAAAAACTCCACCAGATCTTGTCTTTACTGGTGAGATGTCGCATCACGAGGCATTAGCTGCAATCGAGCAGGGTAGATGTGTAATCTCCTTGTTTCACAGCAACAGCGAAAGGGGCTACCTGGATGGAGTAATGAGAGAACTGCTTGAGGAAGAAGTACAGAAGAGATGGAAGGATGAGAGGGAGAGGACGAAGGCGGAGGACAATCAAGGGGAAATGACAAAGGAGATAACAGGGGACGATAGTGTCAGTGTTGTCGTCAGCAGAAGAGATCGAGATCCTTTTGGTATTGTGGTTTTGCAAGAGAGTGGGGTGCGAGGTGAAGCCGTGAGCTGAAGTATTGGCGACCCCAGTCGGTTCACAAGTCAGCCTTCCGGCGAAGGAAGACAAAAGACAACAGCCATCCAGCACAAATGAATCAGGCTCGAAGCAAAACATGCTTAGTTCCCGATGTCAAGGCGCAGTGTCAGCATGGTCAGCAATTCCCACGCCACGATCTGAAGAATTACTTCACGAGTATCTGGCATTTCGGAAGTCGATAAGCATGGAACAAAATCCATTATGAAGAGCCGTCTAGACCTTCAGAAGCTGGCCATCAGGTCTGACAGCCATACCTGAAGATCTTGAAGAGATGAAACAGTTATGGAATTGGAAGGTTCACCAGCTCGGGAGATGCAAGAATCCATGCGACGTTCAAGTGGTACTCCGCACGCAGGCGGGGCACGCAGAGGAGGAAGGCAGTGAGATGGTAGTCTCGAGTGTTTGTTAATAGGCTTGAGGAGAATTGTGTTCAATGTGAGACCGCTAAGAGCACCCTCAACTTCTGGTAGAGCGTTCGACCATCGCTCGGAATTGTGTAGAGAATGTTGGTTATACACTCACTCCACGCTGTATCTTGGGACGAGGTTAGCATGCCGAATGGTAGCGGAGAACTTTGTTCTACGAGGTTCAAGACTCTAAGTCCGTGGCACACGTGAATACAAATATACCTGGTTGAAGACTCAGCATAGACGATCCAGTATACGTAAAATCCATGCCGTCAAGACTGCTCATTGTTTCCGTCCCCGTTTCGTGCTGTAGTCAGAACCAGGAGTAGGGATCGCCTAAGTCAGTAGCTAGCAATACGAATTTGTACATGGGCTGGGAAGTAGGGGATCGAGGTATGTTCGTGCGAGTTGTTAAGAGCGGAGTAGGCTTCCTGGGCTAGTACGGTATACCATGGCAGCAGCTTCTGCAAAACGGACACGTTCCGCTTCCACGGCTAGACGCCAGTAAAATGCTACATATATTTTATATCCAGTTTTCCGGCTCAAAATCAATCACCGAGAATTTCGGCACAACCGAAATAATCATCTTCCTTGGTGTAAGTTGCAAATCACATGCAATATCTGCAGGTCAGATCCTAATAAATTCTAAAGCTAGTGGTCATGATTTCCGCTTGTCACTGTTGTTATCGACATCTACAAGCGCGGGAGACCGGGGTTCGGTATGTCTAAGCTTCGTAAATTATCGTGAGCAGAATGCTAACAGGTTCAAGATTCCCCGAGGGAGAGTTGTTTTTTACCCTTTTGAGGCCCAAGAAATCTTTTTGACGACCTTAGAAACGAGGAAGAGGTCTAGAAGTGCTCGAAATTCAGTGGGAGAAGAGGAGAGTTTAGATTTCGCTGATGTGCGATAGTCTTTCGTCAGCCGAGCGAACGGAACAGGAAGTTACTGCCTTAGGCAGATATTGATATTGCGCTCCTTCCTGTCCACGTTCCTACCTGGATGAAAGACGAAGCGCTCTGGTGGACGCCCACACGCCCGCGTGCCTGGTTGCCTAGTTGCTTTCTTTCGCACCTCCTGTCCGTCATGCTCCAAACGTCCCTAGCGGATATGCCAGCTGGTTGATATTGCTAAGACCCCTCGGCGTGATTGTTGGCACACTTGCGTATCTCGTGGTGACCTCTGCCGTCTCGTTCACTCCATTAGTCACAGGTGCTCTCCTTGCATGCAGTCGATCATCCAAAGCCCTTGCGATACTCAACAATTTCAATTCAGTCCAGGGCATACCTAGTATTTCCATTCCTACCGGGATACCGATGGGTGCAGACTCTGTCGCATTCGAGAAACCAATCGGTATCGTCATGACAGGAGAGCCAGTTAACGCAGCCAGGATGCCATTCCTCCCAGATTGTGAAGGGAAGCCAAGTGGAACTACAAGGTTCTTTTGCTCTGGGTAGATAATGGCGTCAAGGTCGAGCGATGAGAAAGCGCTGTGCAGGGTCGTGGTCAGATTGGCTATGCCGCGAAGTCGGGCAGTGTAGGTAGCGTTTGAAGTGGAAGAACGAAGAGCATTTTGTACATAGTTGTACTGTGATGGAATTACCACAAAGTTTGAAATATTTCGATTTGACAGATAGAGATCTGGTAACGATCTTGGATGGTTTCCAGTCAGGTTTGAGGATGATAGATATGCAGATACCAGTTCACGATATTCTAATTGCTGGACGTCTAGTTCGGCTGCGATAGCGGTCGCGTTGTAAGTCTTTGTATCATTAAGATACACAACTTCAGCACCGGCTCGTATGATTTTCTGGATGGTTGAGGCCATTAATACATTGACGGGATCGTTCTCAACTGATGGTGTGTAGTTGAAGAAACCTCGCAGGACACCAATCCTAGTGTGACGAAGTGTACTGGGGCCTGTCAGAGCAGTAGTGTAATCAATGTCCCTAGTCGAATCTGGTACACGAGCTGTTGTGTTGTCCCTGGAGTCATATCCAATACTAGACATAACCGTCAGAGCCACTGCTATGTCATAGAGTGATCTGCCAATAACTCCCAACGTATCTTGCACCCATGACACCGGTACAACGCCCGTCCGAGAAATCAAGCCATAAGTAGGCCTGAAGCTGTATAGGCTATTTGCGCTTGCAGGACTTCGAAGTGAATTGACTGTATCAGTGCCTGTGAACTTGTGAGCACAGGAGCAAGACTCTTCTGAGATTGCTTACCTGTTCCGAAAACTGCAAATGATGCTGCAACTGCCGCACCTGTCCCACCTGAACTTCCTCCAGGTGTCCTAGTGAAATCGTAAGGATTGACAGTCTGCCCTCCAAGCGATGACAGCGAGAGACCTTCCAGTGCAAATTCGTGCAGATTGGCCTTGCCAAGGATGATGGCACCTGCACCACGAAGCGCTGCCACAGAAGGAGCATCTGCCATAGGAACCGAGTCATTCAGAGCTTTGCAACCAGCTGTAGTGGGAATGCCAGCAGTATCGTAATTGTCTTTGAGTAGAATTGGAACACAGAATAGTGACCCTGTAGCATTGCCAGCCGTAAGAGCTTGATCGAGTTCATCGGCATCGTTTAGACATTCGGGATTGAGCCTGATCACTGCATTAATATCTGGGTTGTGAGCCTCTACTCGTGCGATGAAGGCCGATACAACGTCCCTGCAGGTGTTTTGCCGTGTGAAGAGCGCTGCATGAACGGAGGCTATTGTCGCTTCTCTCGCTTCAAATTGAGCTGTTTGAGCTGCAGCGAGCGAGAGACAGGCAAGAAGTGAAAATCCTGTTGTCTTCATTTCGTTGATTAGTATACAGCGAGGAATCAAAGGACCACAGTCTTTCCAGCAAGATTACCTGTATTCAAATATGGCTATTGTGCTCAGCTGCCTCGTATATCTCGAGAACCGTGACAAGATTGAGGCGTCCCTCTCTTTTTCATGGTTTTATGGCTCCGCCACGATAAGCATGGAAGCTGACCTGCCTGAATGAGATATCTAGGCGCACCAAATGCTGGCACGGAGTATGTCGTCGGACAAGAAGCTCAAGTCAGTGCTAAATACAGTGAGATTTAGATCACGCTCCTACCCGTTATTGGCCTAAAGTAAGGCCACTTAAGCCCACCTTTAGCTTATAGCTACATAGGTAATACTTAGTTAGGAGTTACCTTTGCAGATTTACATTAAACTACTATCCTAAGCGTCTTATAAGTATCATAGTAAGCCCCAAGAGTGAAGTTCGTTGTGGATTTGTGAGAGTAGCTAGATTCTAGCGACAGTATAGATTAGGATGGCTGGTCATGTCGTGGGTCCGAGATACACAATCAGCAATGCCAAGGCATGAGAACCAGTGTAAGTATCATTTTTGGGTATCAACGATGAGTGTTACTGGACTATGTCATTCCAGCCCATACAGATTTGTAAGAATGACTGTTCCATCCAGGTTGATCTTTCACAAGTGCTCGTGAAAGAACTGCAACGCGAGCCTGTACCCCCTTTCATACTCCTTCTTGACTTTCTCATCCTTTAGATCCGCTCTCGCACTCATGAACCCGTGCAACTGGTCATCAAAAGTCTCAATATGGTTCTTTACAGTCAGTTTCTCACCGTACTTCTTCACCTCTTCCACCGGCTCATCCTTACTAGCCAGTACCATCATCGGAATTACAACCTTCTCCGCATCACTGCTATCCACCATCGCGGGACTTGTCTGCACCGCCGCCTTGAAATTGTTCTTGCTTGCGATGATGCTGGTCATCTTCCCGCCCCAGCAGTATCCGATGACACCCCAGCTCTTAATGCTCTTGTTCTGTTCCTCTGCTGCCTTGATAAGTTGGGGCACCTTAGGTAGATGTTTCGGAGGAGCGGCACTCTTAAACCAGTCGTTGAACTTCTGTTTCTTGTCTTCGTTGTTGGGTGGGTACCATGCCATGTCGGCCGGATTGCCTTCGAAGAAATCTGGCATGAAGACTTGGTAGGGGTGCTCGCTGTCGCTGTAGGCGAGGATATCAGCGCCTTGAATAGTCTGAGGAAAGAAGCCGAAGATGTCGTAAATGGAGAGGATGGCAGAAGTGGCAGTGTCTGGGCCGGTCACATCTGACGGAAAGGTTAGATTGTGCTTGAGTAGAAGCTTGCCGGACCTGGAAAGTTCGTACAGGTCTTTGTGCCATTGAGCTCAATGTATTTGCCCTTTGGACTGTACCCCTCGTCGACGATAGGAGGAATTCTGATACAAACGTGAGTCCTTGTATTCAGCTACATGTTGTAGGGTGAGTGCATACTTGCAGCACGCTTCATTGTGCTTGGTAATGCCGGACATGGTAACGGCGGATGGAGTGGTTGACGAAGATATGATACTGTATGTGCCAGAACAGGAGGGGATTATATTTTGCAAATATTTACAGAAAGCATTTGCAGCTCGTGTGTTATGGATCTGGTTTATCCCACCGATACCGACAGTGTTATCGTTATAGAGATTGGTAGATTGAGGCTACAACACTAGCGGAGTCACGAAGTGTTACATAGTTACCCTAACTGTCATGCTGCTTGACCGCGCAGCGACCATGACAAAAGATATGGAAGGTTGAGCGGTGTCGCCTTGAATGGTCAGGGGTCACGTGATGACGAGTGACTTCTTAGGACCTCGGAGTTATAGATATGGCATAGAGGTGGTAACGGCAAGAAACGAACCCGGATCCGAGTCCGACGCCGACTTCGTACTGCGGAACTGCCGAGTCGAACAGAAACTTTCCCCGCCTGACTACCATCGGAACGACTTTCTCCAGGAAAATGCTGCATCACGAGATGATCCTCTCTGCAGATGTGTCGACAAGTCATGAACGATGCATTTGATCAAATTGTCAAACAGCTTTGTGGAGCTTAGCGTGTGGAGGCTCTCCGTTTGCCTCTTGTATGGAACTGCATTAAACGCCACAACGTCGACATAAGGCTCGATTTCCCTCGTAATTCTTGAAAGTGCCAAAGTCATCCTCATTCCGGACTACAATCATGTCGACAACGCTGACGAGTACCACTATCGAGACCGAGACAGTCCGTCTCCCTTCGCCCACGAAGCGAGCCAAATTAGAGCCTGCTCCTATCTACGATGTTCACAAGTTGTCTGACGGACGTACTCAGAAGCTACGACAACTGCTTGAGAAAGGCCATGTCACTGTAGCGCCTCTACGCAATCCAGAATTGATTCTTCATAGTCATCTCCCACATGTGCGTGTTTACTCGTGATGCGCTACCGGCTTGATAACTGAATAACGATTGGCAGCTTCTAGGCTCTGCCTATGGATTGGGCGCCGACAGCGAGCAGCTTACCAAAACCTACGACCACGACGTAACGACCTTGGTCAATATCGATGAGACGTTCATTCGAGGCGACAAGATTACGAGAGACAACTGGAGGGATTTCTTAGGCCAGAAGTCGTACGTGAACTTTTCTTCCTACCATGCACTCTTACTCTAACATCGTATAGTTACACTGTTGCTTACGTCGATTTCTTCGATGAAGAGGTCCGAAAGAACGACGGTGATTGGGAGAAGGTCGTTCAAGAATACCTATATTCAGGACCGGAGCCTCTAATCAATGGCCTCTGCGGTGGTCGTAAGCTCCCATGAACTTATTCCAATAGCAACGTGTACACTAACCGTATGAAGTCTCACATCCGTTCATCCATCTTGCATATGGATATGAACTTCGAATGCCTGAAATTATAACGGAAGCCCTGAGTTTGGGATGCACAGAATATGTGCTCTGCCATGGATTGATAGATAATCCTCCACCGATTCCTGCACCATATACGACTTCCAACCTATCAGAGGTTATCAAGCGTGTGCAGCACGATCAGCAATTCGATGGTGTCGTCGATAAGCCTGGAACCGTGAACTTTGGCATTGTGCTAGAGCACCGCTTCGAAGCTTTCATTCAGCACTGGAACGCCTTCGAAGTCAAAGACCCCGTACAGCAGTTTGAACATTGTTGCGACTTATCAGTTCTACTAGCAACTAGCTGGGGATACGAGGAGGGGAAGTACGACTTCTTTCACGCCCACATTATGACTGTCGCACACGCCCTCCGAGTGCTATGGCACTACTTCCCTGCTGAAAGGCGAGTCTCGATCTTGCGCCAGTATGCTTTCTTCACCATTCAAGTGTACCTTCTTCAAAAGCGACTGCCATTCGGAATTGAGCCGCTGGAAGCAATTGAGACGAAGGGTCGAGACTGGAACTGGGTCACAAAGACGGCACTTGAGCACAAGTGGGCGTTGGATGATCATTTTTTCAAGGTCGTTCGGGCTTTCAAAGCGTTCTCCGAGACATATGGTGAAAAGGACGGTTTCTACTTGAAGGGAGCCATTAAATATGTGACCACCTTTCGTGGTTGGGAGGGTTTCGGAGATGGCCTGCCGGGTTTCCATCCTGCCAAGGATGGGTTCAACCCAGAGTGATATTGTATTTGCAACTGATGACACATTATAATCTATATTAAAATCGATGAATTGTTCATATTTACGCCATCTGCTTAACGAACGCTGGCCTGCTAGATCTGCATTGTTGTCATCTGCACAGTACCGGCCGCCATACTGTAATAGAGCTCTTGGCTATGAAACTTGTATATCTTCGCGGTTCTACTGTCGTCGTCATATACTCCGTTATAGACGGGAACAACGCATCTGTAGCCACATATACCATAAACCATGAAAAGCTCAGGTAGAATCCAAAGGTAAGGATGATCTACATCGTGTGCATTCAATATCTACAATTGAAAGTCCGGGTGGACAAATTGGCATGCGAGTCGCACTTCGTTGCTGGCGCTGGGATTGAGATGAAACAGTCAGCTGAACAACACCTACTTGTACTCGTTTGCGATGGTAAGATGGATGATTCACCTGTTTTGTACTCCAATTTGTTTCACATATAACGTTCTGTTTGAGACAGTGCAGTCAATGCATCCACGGACTGATCTGCATGCTCACATATTCTGCTTAATCCAATGCACTAGGAGTATGACGAGAAGACAGTGAGTAGAGATAGGGAGTATCATTTCGCTCTTCATCTACCCGTCAATTTTGCGAAAGCTGCGTTCACAAATCTATTTATAGGCCAAAAGCCAGGAAGATATTGCGCGCATAACCCTCTAATAATTCTGTACGCAAGGATGTAACCATACTTGAGACCATTGTCGCCTTTGTTGCTGGATGCGCCAATTGCCGGATATTTGTCGTACTCTTCGCCTAACAACTCCACGAACGCGGCAGCTAAGTCGCCGTAAGTGATGCTGAGACTGGACCGTTCGACACTCAGCGAATGACCGCTTGGCTCGTCTTCGATGAGAGCATTAGGCTGAACAAGAAGAACCGTTACTAGGGAAGAAGCTTCCTGGAGAAGTGTCGAGCCCAGGCGCAAGTCTGTATAAGGGTGGTGGAACGCATTCTTGATCGCCCAGTGCGCAAAGGCTGGACGATCAGACGACAATTGAGGGTTCCATGTCGCCGACGATAACAAAAGGACACGAGGCTTCTGCCAGGTGTCGCTGCGGTCGCGCAGCGTTGTGAGAGCAGCGAGGATTGTCTTGACAGCATCCTGAACTACGCAAACGCCAGGTAAATTGTCATTTTCTCCGAGAGTGAAAATAATCTTCTGTGCTCCGTCGAGACACTTGGTCATATTGTCGACATCGTTGACGGCACCTTGGAATAGTGAGACGCGAGGGTTTGAGCCCAAATTTGGGAAAATCCCAATGAGCTTCGAGCGTGATCGAACATAGATTTTTATGTTTACGTCTTTCTTCTCTAGTAGTCGAACCAACACCTCACGTCCTGTCTTTCCTGTTGCACCGAGGATGGCTACAGTCGTGGTCATGATTGCGTATGATGGATGGTGAAGTCGAAGACTCTGTTGCACCGGGTGTGGCGTGATATTGGACGATTCTTCATACCGGGACACCAAGAGCCTTTATTCTTCTAGTCCTTCTTCATCATTGTGCACCAACCCAGCTTCCGAGAGAGCTAACTCAGCAGGTCTCGGGAATAAACATCCCGAAATTTTAGACTTACTATACGACCATCGACTTTATGTGGTTTTCATGTTTGAGACTTTCAGGCATGAGCATAACCTGAGAGATACACAAGGTCTTCAGCAAAGCCATCCACATAAACGGGATGGCCTACGAAAGGATGCCGATCAACTTTAGCCTGAGAATGATAGCCTCAGGCCTCATAACAGATTTGGTAGAGATCCCCCAAGGTAGCTGTATGTTCACCCATGCCCTCAAAGGGTGATCGGTGTCATCACGATCCGGAGGTGGATTCGTCGGTCCAGCCCCTTCCTCAATTCGTCCCGCTTTCATCGGTCGTTTCCAACCTTTTTGTTTCAAATTTTGACAAGCACTAGACATCTCCGCATTCCGCCAAGAGGTTGGAGATGCCACAGTGCACTACTGTACCCCATCTTGGGTTGAGTTAGGTCCCTCCGGCTTCTCCGACAACATCGTTCCGGCAGCCCACTGGCGTCACTTGCAAACTGCATCAAACGCTAAAATATAACGCTATCTACAGGACGGTGGGCTAATTACTCTGTGTTACAACACTCATCGCGTGTAAACGTCATAGAGGAATGCTGCACCAGTTGGTTTTGTGTTTGATAGTTCGGTCTCGCTTTGTCGTATTTACTCCCTCGATACTATTCTTACGTTATTCAGCATCATAGACAGGGCTACGGACTCGCGAGTAGTTCTTCAGCTGAGGCCTAGTCTTCTAGCAACCAGCGCAGTGTTCCCGTGACAAGGCGAACGGAGAACGCCCCGTCTTCAGCAGACATCGTGGTGATGCCGCTCTCCAAGGTATTCGTAGAGGTGTGTCTGTTGCTGGTAGCAAACAGCCTTCCTTTTTTTGGTGTTAGCAGGATAGTACATGACATGGAGTATACAAGTGGCAAGGTGAGCGTGTATCTACAAGCAGGCGATTGACGAAGATCAAGGACGAGAGATGGCGCTGATGAGCTTTGAATAGCTTTATCATAAGGCTCGATGCACCAGGATACCAGTGGAGATAGCCTTGCGGTGGACTTAGTACTGTTTTTTTGTTGTTCTATTGGCTCAACGATGGGTTGTGATGCTCTTGGCATTGAGCACCGAAACATCAAGCTTTGAGACGATGGTACCTCATTAGATAGACATGAGATTCGGATTCTGGGAGATGCTATGAGCTTGACATATCGGATGAATGTGGCTGTCCAAGAACAACGAAAATGATTGTGCAGTATTGAGTGAGTATGAAGACGATTTCGTAAGCTAGAATTACGGGTGTAAAGTAGAAAAATGTCCTCACCGTCAAACTTGAAGAACTTCTGGTATTGTGTAATCGAGACTTATTCCTGGAGCGGGTATTGCAAGATCACTCGTTCTTCTACCTTCGTACATCGCAGCCTACTTCGCATGATTCTTGGGAATGGATAGTAAATCACTGTCAGAAGATGTTCTCCTCCTCAAGGGACGAGTAAACAAGCCTCGTAGTGGAGGGTAAAAGCAATCTCTCCATCATGAACTCGAACAGCTCTAGCCAGCCGTATCTCCTCCTCCGTACGTGTCTAATCTCGTCATCTGCTTTCCAGATGTTCGTTCATATACGGATGGTGTCGCGCGTCGAATATTCTAGCTAGCCTTGCCCATGATATCGTTGTACCGTGGAAAGTATTTGTATTAATGCTCGTTGATCATAGCTGAGCGAACTGAAATGGATCCGTCTACAGCCTGTCATGCAAAGCTAGCGCTTCCTCCTGATGCAGGGATTTGCGTAGAACCACCATTTTGAGTACTTGCTCGGCTGTATGGTAGGTCGTTAGTATAGATCATAATACTCAAAGCATCATCATCCGAGCACGACAACCATGTATCACATGCTTTTGCTTCCCCTACACTAATCGGATCTCGATGTGGGAATGTACCTTTTACACCCCATTAAACCTTTGAGCACAAGATCCTTGTATATAACTGGTCAGCCTGGAAAAAGTTATGTTCAAAGCACATAAGAAACGATTGTGATGAAACATCTGTATAGAATCAAATCATTGGTCAGTTTGTGTCCACCCGAGTTAGTGGCCAGAATGTGTCGGGACTCTAGTACATACAGATTTCACAAGTGAGCCACACAAATTCTCGGAAAGCTGCAAAAGACTATCGGAAGCACGATCTAACCGCCACTGGAACGGGCGAAAATGAACAGAACTCGGAATACTGCTGAGATGCGGACGGAAACGAACACCCTCTCACACTCAAGTGAAGCTTCTCCATATGCCGGAACCAACAGTGTGTGCGGCGCTCTTCCTTGACGAACCTGTGGGCTGCTCGGAGGCACGATTAGCTATGTGTAAGAAACATTGCAGCAAAGTTCTCGCCTCTATAGCTACCCCGTATTCGAGGCTGTTCAAGCTTCCCCGCAATGTTGCACTCCCTTACGGGATCCGGTCTCAAGACACCGAATCTAAGATATACTAACGAGTAGCGACGCTGATCAAGTCCTTCTACTTATTCCCTCCTGTCCCGACCTTTGTTGCAAACAAGTTATTGTTCCACGTTTACTCGCACATTTGCTAAGTGGTTATCGAGTCCTGGCTACCATGTCACCACCAACTCTTGACACTGACGGTGGCAACACTGGAATCAATGGCCATACCAATGGTCACACTAATGGTCACACTAATGGTCACACCGAGAAGAGTCAGGAGAGTAACGGTACTGTCTTCAATGCCCCAGGCCGCATATTTGATTCCAATATATCACCAAGGGTAGAAGACCTCAAAAGTATCTGCGATCGGGTCACTTCATCAAAGTCGTACCCGCTAGCCGCGTCAATTCAGAAGAACATTCCTATCTATGATATGAATACGTTTACAGAGAAGTCTGAGGACTACAAATTCGTGGAGCAATTGAAAGAGGAATGGTATCAGGTCTTGTTCGCTGGTCCTGGTGTTATCGTTCTCAAGGGGCTCTACAGTCCAGACCGTTACCAGAAGGAACTCGATTCTGCCAATGCTGTCTTTCAACAACTCTTGAGGAGTGAAACAAAGAAGGCTGATCAGGAAGGCACAGAACAAGTTGGAGGACGTGTCTGGAACTCGTTCCGCAAGCTCGCGGTCGCTGACCCTGACACTTTTGTGGAGTATTTCTCCAACCCATGGCTTTCCCATGTCAGCGATATGTGGCTTGGCCCGGCCTACCGTCTGACATCCCAGGTAAATATTGTGCCGCCCTCCGGCAAAGCTCAACCGGGTCACCGCGACTACCACATGGGCTACTTTGAAGCCGATCGTTGCGTGCGGTATCCACGTGTCATACAAACTGCAAGCCAGTTTTTCAGTCTCCAGGGCGCCGTGGCGCACGGCGACATGCCAGCAGATAGTGGACCCACACGGTTCTTGCCTTACAGTCAGATGTTTGAAGCAGGGTATATGGCTCACCGACGACAGGAGTTCCAGGACTATTTCGTCGCGAATTATGTCTCACTCCCTTTGCAGAAAGGCGACGGCGTGTTCTTCAACCCGGCGATATTCCATGGAGCAGGCGAGAATGTGACTAAGGACTTCTACCGTCATGGACACTTATTGCAAGTCAATAGCTGCTTTGTCAAACCAATGGAGGCACTTGGCTCGGTAGCTATAGTGAGGGCGTGCTGGGACATTCTGAAGCAGCGATACAAGGAAGATAATGGCTTCAGCCACAGGGTAGAATACCTTATCCAGGCAGTCGCAGAAGGACATCCTTTCCCAGGTAATATGGACAAGATCATTGGTGGTGGCCATGAATTTGGTATGCAGACAGAACAAGACATCTTGCGACGGTCGTTGAAGGAAGATTGGACAAAGGAACAGACACTGGATGCCTTGACAGAAAACCGGGCAAACCGGAATGATGATTGAGCATCAGTGGTTTAAAGTTGGCAAAGGTCGACAGTGCCTTCGTGGTTGCTTTCGCCTATTCTAGTCCTTCGGCGGTATGACTTGCACGAAACGGTTGAATTGTTAGCAAATTGCGACCAGTCATTCCTACGACAGAAGATTCTCTTTTCAGTTTCAACGTTGGCCATATTTTTATCATGATGAGTAATAGACGATATTTGTTTATAATTTTTTGTCAGCTTTCCCATGCTGCGTGTCCTGCGCCAGTCATTATAGACATCTGCGTCTCGTACCAAACATGCACGTTTTTGCACATGAAAGCGATCGCTTTACTTACAGACACGCTTGATTTTCGAGGTGAATGGAGATGCAATGAACACATGATCAGCACATCGCATGACTTGCCGCCCAGTCTGCAATAGAAACTGTAAATTTCGTTTCTTGGTGTTCGAATTCGGAGTCGGCTTCGGAATCGGAGCATTCCGGTGGCTGAGGGCTAGAACGCTGGAAAAAACACTGCCGTGTCAACATTAGCGTCGTGCGGAGTTCAGAGAACAAAGCACTGTGCAAAACTACCACCTATTTCGAGTAGTCTAGAGCTGGCCACATCGTGGCATTATATTTAATCCTCCTGTCTTACGCTGACCGTCTGCGTGTCTTGAATTCTTGAAAATCTATCAGTAATCTCTGTTCCCGTCGGCCACTTTTACAAAATCATGTCCAGTTACGGCAATACAGTTCGAATAGCGCAAGTCATAGGAGCTGCCGGCTCTATGTGGCTTTCAGGTCAGTGGACAACCCTAGCTATCTTCTATCTGCCATAGTTACGAGCTCGTGACCGATCAGTTACGTCCTATTCCTTCTGGACAGTACCTTCACTTCACGTGCTATGCTTTTCGGCTCATGGCTGCCTAGTATCTCCGCCTGTGCTAACAATTAAATCTTTGTAGGCAACATAGCTTCAGCTTCATTTCAGGCCATACCATCGATCTTAGTGTCAAGAAGAGAGGAATCTGTTCACGCAACGACCGTCGCCAAGCAATGGAGGGGCATCTACGAACGTGGCATGGCTCAAAATCCCCCAGTAGCCATAGCGACAGCCACAGCGTTATTATATCTCGCTTATTCTGTTCGAAATAACTCGCGAGTATATTGGTACTGTGGTGCTGCCGCTTCAACATTGGCAATTGTACCCTTCACCTTGATCTTCATGGCTTCCACTAATAGGAAGCTTCTGGCCCTAGCATCCAGTCGCGACAAAATATCGAGGGACGCGGATATAGATTCACTTCTGTCAGATTGGACGTCACTAAACCGTGTGAGAAGTGTTTTGCCACTCATCGGTGGTGTTCTGACCCTTCTCGCCGCATTGTGATGAAGCTGATCATCCTATCGGCTTTGAGGGCATGACATCCTCTATGTTGTTATCGAAAATCATGTATAGAGTAAAGAACCAACATCTTTTGTGCTACAATTATGGCTTGAAGCGATGCAAGCAGCAATCTATGCCACTCTGAGGCAGATGACTGCTGATGTATCCACTACACCTCCAATCTCGCGCGGACTGGAGGTATCTTCACTAGACTCGTTGGGTCACATCATGGAATAATTCAAGCTGGAGTTACAGGCACTTCTACCAAATCACAAAGGCGGGGAAGACTGAGCCGTGGATCGGAAATAAGACATTGTCAATTGCTCTCAGATGAAACAACGTCTAGCTCAAACTTCATAAGTACTCTACGTAGGCATCCTTGAAGGACACACTTGTGCCTTATCAGATCTCCGTGCATGATCCGGCAAACAAGCAGCCTCTAACAGCCATCTCGTCGTCCTTGCTTTAATTAAAGTTAACGACTCGGCTGTGATTTAAGGCGTGACATAAGCCGTACACTGTCTACTGCTGGAGCTGCATACGAGGACGTCTGAAACAGCATATAGGCAGAAATTCCCGGCTTAAGAAATCTAGCTCCGTGAACACATGAGATACATTCCTGGTCTAGGTAGTGAGGATTTACTCTAATCAGAACATCAGCTCCTGCTGCTGTAAGCCCCTGAGCTCTATTTAGACCTTTGAAACCGAATCGTGTAGTACGCCAGCGTCCTGAATTTCTACCTAGAACGCGGCTCATGGATACGCAGGTGAATCTCATCTAAGCTTCACTCTTACAATCCACTCTACGTAGACAGCCGCTCTTAGGTGTGACACTAGGCGTCAGATTAATATTTCGTGTATAGTGACCGCCTATGTAGAGCCAGGTGGTCGCAGGCTAAGCTCCTTTCCTTTGCTCGCCATTCAATTGTGCCAACAGCGATTTTGGTCGGAAGAAATCTCCTCTAGGTTTCTACAGCGTCCGCCAGCAGAATTCACTAAAGTCTTCAAGACGTTAAAAACGGAGCTTGACACCCTGATTTGAAGCACAAGTTGAGGCTTTCAGCTACAAAGAGCAAGGCTGCGATTGTAGTGAAGCTTCACTGCCAGTAAGTATATGGTTTGGAAATTGTAAAAAGTAAAAGCAATTTGAGATGCAATGTATAGTACTTCAACTCTAAAACCTTGCCATGCCGCTTTTGGATGATCCGCATGGATTACAAGCCTGTGCCAAACCTGATCAAACAAAGCTCACACCATTAACCAGTGTTCCTATCTGTGATATCTTGACCTCCATCTTCGTCCCAGGTACAAGATATCTGGGTGGATTCAATCCTGCACCAACACCCCCTGGAGTCCCTGTCATAATAACACTGCCCCGCTGCAACGTCGTCCCTTGACTAAGGTATGAAATGAGGTAGGCACAATCGAATAGCAAATCCTCCACCAGCTCGTCTTGTCTTATCTCGCCGTCTACGATGGTGGTCAATCTCAATTTCTTCGGGTCAGCAATCAAGTCTCCGCGAACAAGGCAGGGACCGAGCGGTGCAAAGGTATCGAAACCCTTGGAGAAGCCCCATTGCGGGATACGCCCGGCCAGAGCAGCATCACGCTGGAGTTTGCGGGACGAGATGTCGTTACCTGCTGTGTAGGCGCCGACATAGGACAATGCTTCATCGACTGGTACATCCTTCGCATCGCGTCCGATAACGATACACTGCCACAGAGATTAGATTGAGAACATGTACACGCATCAAGCCGATGGAAACCCTACCAGCTCGCCTTCATAATCAGCCTGATCATCTTGTGCAATTTTTGGAATCTGAACATCGGCGCCGTGGTCCCACACGCACGTGTTTGGCTTAAAGAAGATGAATGGAAATGGCGGAGGAGTACGGTTTGCTTCTTTGACTATCGAGTACAACGTTAGCAAAATGTTCGTCTCAATCCAAGTTAAAGCAAAGTTGCTATTTTTGTATTTCACAAGAGACATGTAAGACTCTTACTCGCTACTTACTGTGCTTTGCATAGTTAAGTCCGACGCATCTTAGAATCGGGACCTCTGCTTGCTCGAGAGGGCCTAACAAGCGGGCTACTGACACAACCTCATCGGTGACTTTTGTTTTGCCAGTGGTATCGAAGATGTCTTCGCCAGTGATGACACGAGCCTGTAGTTGATCGGCTTCACTGGTTTTTCCCAGGTCGAAATCATCGGGTCGCTCATTGGACACAATGGGCTCACCTCGGAGAATGCGACCGTCAGAGGCTTTGAATCGAATGAGACGAGTCCATGCAATTCTGGACATTTTAGAGTTGGTCACAGACAATCGCAGTTGTGGCCTGTCTTGAAGGCTGGTTTTGGCATCGGTGCAATGCTCATGGTTATATTGCAACGATTATAGTGGTTGCATTACAGAGGGGCGGCTTCAGGGATGCATGCATTTTGATCGGGGATAGACCGGAGAAGAAACGGGAAAAAGTCGACGAGGTGATGTCACCGCAGTGGAGCTACCTAAAGTTCTTTCCAGAAGCACTAGGCAGCCGTGAAGCCATTCAAACTCGTATCGAAGCCGCCCAGGCCCGAGAGGATGTCAAACTGATCCTGCTGCCAGAAATTGGAGGAATCTATGCCGAAGTCGTACGATTCGTTCGCAGGAATTTGCATATCCTCTCCCTCGACGTTGTTCGCATCCGACACTTGCGTGAGATGTATTCGTCCAGAAGCTACGAGACTGTCTAATAGCGTCTGAATGGATGTCACATCCTGATGGCTGGTGTATGCTTTTTATGCAATCAGAAGGGATCAATCACAAAGGCGTTAAGAGAACACTCACCAAGTTTTGAAATAATCTCCACAAGCTTGGACACTGTCTTGGAGATTCTCTTGCTTGATCTTGTATCTTGTCCTAGCTTCTCTATGGCTCTCTGACCTTTCAGTAGGCTGCCAGCTGCGTGTTCGATATCGTTGTAGCTCCACACTGGAGGAACAACTTGCTCATTGGATGATGAGAATTCGAAATGGTATATGAGACACGCCGCCAACAACAGAGTCGCGTGAAACGCTGCAAACAAAGTCAGCCGGTACACGCATGGAACAAAAATATTGAACTCACTGTAATATATGGAAACCCACCAACCACCAAGCCCAAAAGGGACTCTACTCATGCTATGTACGATCTCAATGATCTCAACTGCATACCGCAGACAGGCAGACAAGGATTGTTGAGATATCATTGTAGCGAATGAAGTTTCACCATCACTCGAAGCAGCTCCAGCCTTTAGACGACTTTCACAGAGCGATTGAAGAACCGCTCTATGCAGTAGCGATTTTGTGTGCAAAAATCTGAGCCGCATGATAACACTAAGCCTCTGGAAGACTGCATCACTCGGCGACATTTCCAGAATGGCACTTGAAATCCAAGGCTTCAGCTTCAGCTTAGGTTCAACACTTGAATACCATTCATCCAGGTTTGCTTCAAATCCAGCTATGTCCATAGTAAGCGTATTAACATTGCCAGCTATGTTGAGAGACAAATTGTTGAGATACAACCGGGAGATAATCTTATTTTGCAAACAGTATAATTGTCTACATGTATGTTAGACAGATACCATTTATCTTACACCTGGATTACACTTACATTGTCGCAATGAACAGACTGCTGGTGCTGACCGGAACATTTTGGTGAACCATTGTGCTAGTGTCTTGTAACGGAGAAATCGAATCCAGGTCTACAGGTTTGGGCAGCTCAAGTGTAACGTATTCGCTCGGTATCGAAGGTGGTCGTCCCAGGGTCATGCTCAGTGTACTATGTTCGTAAGCAGATTTGTTCATGAGAAGAACAGTTACACGTACCTATCAAGCAGCATACAAGCAAACCAAGTCCGTCTCCTGACTTCGCGCTCATGGGGATTTAAACCTACGGCAGTCTGTGTACAATGAAGACCGAGTTGAGTGGCTGCATGCACAGCTAACCCATGCAACGCCCAGGTCTCATCTGACCTCTGCGTTCCCTGTCGGTATTGGCTCATCAAAAGCAAACATTGGACTTGTGGTATTAGCATCTGAGCATGCATGTTCGGACAAAGGTAGCTTACCTAGTTCGAGGTCTGCCAGTCTAAACCTTGACTCCGCTAGCAGGTCTTGTGCTCTGTGAAAGAAAACCAGTGATTCGACAATGTTCTTCTCCAGTGAGCGAGTGTTCATAGTATCAGTGAAGGTAGCAAAAGCAAAGATCATATTCAAGAGACACAGCCAGGACCTCCTCACACCCTGAAAGCCTGTAGTACGAGCTTCCCGATACCGCGAGATCGTTGAATGCTTTGAAATGAATGGGAAGAATATGCCTGTGTCGGAGAAGAAGTGTTCGATCATCGCAATGGCATGCGTCGCAGGAGGAAGCGCACAGGCATTTTGACGCGATGAAGCAGCAGGCGTCGCGACAGAGATTGATGCCTGAGGTGAAGGCATTTGTGAAACAAGGCGTTGTTCCTGAGCATTGTATGGCTGCCGTTGAGACTGGGCTCTCGTAGTGAAGGCGGCAGATATGATTTTCGAAATTGTGCTGAGAAGGGAGACGTTCGAGGAAGGTCCTTTGTTAAATTAGCAAAGAGCAAGAAGTAGTGTGAGACTTGCCGAAAAATCTAGCGTCTTTCATACTGTACTCTCCAATGGTAGCCATCCCATCCATTGTGTCTTCGCTGGCCTCGAGCAGACACACCTCGTCATCTTCAATGACTGCGACTTCCGAAACAGGTCGGACGGACAGAGCTTCTGGTGCAGGGTATTGCATCATAGCTATCACGTCCGAAGAACTGCTTTGGGGCAAATTTTGTTGATTGACAAGCATGCTCAAAATAGCTTCGACCGATCTCAGTCGATCTTCGTGAGTGTCGGTAGACCTTTTCGGCGCTATCAGCGCTTTGACATTGTAGTCCAAAGAAGACCATACCTGGTTGATGACTGCGGTTGCGAATTAGTCGGCTGCTCGTAGATGCATTCGAAGCCGAGCTGTACACACATGCCACAGATGGGCTTCGCGCCATTACACTGGTTGATTAGCTTGTCATTCAAATGGAGGGAGTGTCGCAGATTGTGTTACATACGCGTGATTTGCGATTTCGACAGGAGGTGCATGCCAAAGCTATCCTTCTGCGCTTATAGGAATTGCACTCTTCCGTCACTGGTGGATCATCTCTGCCGGGCTCATCGTTCCTCGAACGCTTCTTTGGAGCGTTCTTGGCCATTCTAGCGTGAATGTTTCAGCTACCAAATTCTACAGCAAACATCAAAGGTCAGTCAAAAGCTGAGAGAACGTCGGGTACGAAGAACACGGAAAGGAAGATATTTGCGGATACATCGGAACGGAATTAACGGTTTTAGTGCTCCACGTACGCGGGCAGCAGATCTTCTCTCCACACAGCAGCTAACGGCCAGTACGAAAGCAGGACTGGACCTATCTGCTGATGTGTTCGAACGCATTCCGCTAGAATTTTCAATCTAAAGTAGCATCATGGCCTCCACTTGCCGCTCGTGAATGTTCTTCTCCCCAGGCGAAATACTCTGAGCATTCACATGAATGGGACAAACATGCGCCGATTTGTGATGCTCACATGTTGCGTTCCAGAAGAATCGGACTCCCGTCTGAGGTCTATAACCTCTCTTGATACTCCTCTCAAGATGGACCAAGTGTATATACTTACATAAGTAAGCTCACCTGCTCTTAATAGCTTTTACGTTTTGTTATATAACGTCATCATTGATATCACACAGTCTTTCCACCACAATAGTAGAACCAACGATGAGTTCAGAAGCTAAGATTGTTCCATTGTGGCTGGATGGCCAGGAGGTCACCACAAAGCACACATTAGCAGTATTCTCACCCATCACCACACAGATATGTCATGAAGCTGCAGCAGCTTCCATCGAAGATGTAGAGGCAGCAATTCAATCCTGCCAGAAAGCATTCCCTACCTGGTCACGCACTAAACCTTCCATCAGGCGAGACATCATCCTTCAAGCAGCTATCCTCTTCGACGGTAGGAAAGAGGAGTTATGGAGCATTCTGCGAGAAGAGACTGGCGTTGATCGCCGATTTTTTGAAGTTACATTCGCTGGTGCTATAGATATGTGTAAGGATGTTGCTGGTCGCATCTCGTCTTTGCAGGGCAGAGCTCCCGCCGTTGAAGCGGAGGGATCAAGCGCTATTGTTCTTCGAGAACCTTACGGTGTGGTGGTTGGAATTGCTCCTTGGTAAGACGAATACTGCAAGATTGCGTTGTCGGAACTGACTCTTGAACAGGAACGCGCCATTGGTGCTGGGCCTGAGAGCTTGTCTTCAGCCTTTGGCCTGTGGAAACACAGTCGTGCTGAAGGGTTCAGAGCTTTCGCCAAAAACATTCTGGGCGATTGCCTCCATCCTGCACGATGCAGGCCTACCTCCGGGTTGCTTGAACACTATCTACCACAAGCCAGGGCCTGACGCTATCCTGGTCACGAACTACCTCATCTCATCACCTTGCGTGAGGAAGTTGAGCTTTACCGGAAGTACAGCTGTAGGATCAGCTATTGCATCACTAGCCGGGAAATGCCTCAAACCGATTGTTCTCGAATTGGGAGGCAAGGCACGAGCAATCATCTGTGAAGACGCAGACATCGAGAAAGCGGCGCAAGACTGTGCTCTGGGCGCCTTTCTCAACAGCGGCCAGATATGCATGAGCACAGAGCTGGTTCTGGTCCACAAATCTATTTCATCCAAATTCTCATCCGCGTTCCGTGAGGCTACGGATAGACTATTCGCTCAGAATGATGAGACCACATATCTTGCCACAGAGTTAGCGGTGGAAAGGAACAAGAATCTGGTCAAGGATGCTGTTGCAAAAGGTGCACAGATTTTGCATGGTTCATCGGACGCTTCAGCAGCCACAAAGACTTCCATGAGACCGGTCACGCTTGGGGCAGTGTCGAAGGATATGCAGATATATGCGACGGAGTCCTTTGGCCCGTTAGTGTCGTTCGTCGAGTTCGAAACGGAGCAGGAAGCGATAGATTATGCCAACGACACTGAGTACGGTTTGACGGCAGCGGTCTTCACATCAGACCTTCAGCGCGGGATGCGCTTGGCCAAGACAATACAAAGTGGTGCGGTTCACATCAATGGGATGACTCCACATGACGAGAGTGCTCTGCCTCACGGTGGTGTCAAACATAGTGGATGGGGTAGATTCAACGCTGAAGAGGGTCTGAGTGAATGGGTACAGTCGAAAACAATCACTTGGAAGGATTAACAAATCAAAGGAGGAAGGTGTTCTCGGTGATAGTAATAAAATGTATATACTCTTTGACATCCTTTGATGGTGCCTTTATATTGTTTGTTCTACATTCCTGTGTCGTCAGCGTTGGCCACAAGCATGAAGGGAAAGTTTTTACTTTCAACATCTTGACCTTGCACTCAAGTTGTATGCATTGGGAATGAAGATATCCGTGTTATGATGCCACAAAGAGTGGCGATTGCGTGGTCAAGACTATCTTGCTTGATCGAACCATTTTCTACGCTCGCCTAAGACACCTTTGTGCAGCACATCATTGACCTGTGAAATTCGTGGAAGAGCATGAAATTTTCAACGCCATGTCGTCGTTCTCCTCTTATGAGCTAGAATGAAGCACCTCGAATTCATGTCGAACAAAGACATGCATTACGTGTACGCACTAGTGTAATCTGTCAACTACGTAGAATTTTGCGACTGTTCAATCTGAGACGAAAGTCTCCACGTCCACACCAGCCACACGGTAGAAGCCTAGAGCCGAGAGCATAGGCTTGTCGTGCGATCGATACAAATACACACTTTCCTCGGAATCAGCATGGTGACTGTATGCATACCACGAGGGAACGCAGAAAGTGTCTCCCTTCTTCCATTGGATCTTCTCATCTCCAATGGAGGAGTATCCTGAGCCCGACACGACGTGGTAGATCGAAGATGCCGTCTCTTGTACGACAGGCGAAGAACAGCCGGCATTGAGCCGTTCTGCCAGTCCTCCCAAGATTTTAGACACTAGCATTGGGTTAGTACATATCTAGTGAAGACACACTGCAAGCCGCGAAGGTTCTTCTTACCTGGACGACCATCTGGCTTTACATAGTCTTCTGAGGTCCAGTCTCCAGGCTTCTCATCAAGAGTCTTCTGCATCTTCGACCAGGGGAATACAATTGGCGATTCGTCAGAGTCCACATCCTCAGCAGGGTATCGTGCTTGCGAGAAATGCTCTACGAAGTGGACGGGGAAATGTCTGAAATTCGGAAGGTCGAGGTTGTCGAGCCATATCATCGGTCCGTTGCCGTCTTTGCCGTGGTCGTGCCAGTTCCATGTCGGAGTGAGGATTACGTCGCCTCTTTGCATTTTGATACGACGTCCGTGGACAGCGGTGAAACCACCTTGGCCTTCGATGATGAATCGCATCGCGAACGCCGTGTGCCGATGTGCCTTTGCTACTTCGTTAGGCATCACGAGCTGCAAACCGGCGTAGATGGTGTCTGTTGTATATGGAGCATCTGAGGGCATTTTAGCAGAGTATACAGGTCGTCGTGTGATGCGGCTTACCTCTGGCCGGGTTTACTAGCATGAGCACTCTTCGCTCAGCTCGATCCTCACTCACGAGTTCTCCTGCCCGAATCAAACTAGGCCTGATTTGGTCGTATCTCCAGATGTGCGGTATTGCGGTTGGATTGGGTAGAGCAGGGTTCAATCTGCTCATCTGCTTCCAGAGAGGTTTCGTGTGCAGCTTCTCAGCTGTTTCAAAGAGAGACTGCTCATCTTGAATCTCGCCTGCAAGTTGAAGCGCAGTGGTAGTTTCAGTCGTCGACATTGTGTGCTCACGGTCTTAGCAGAGAATAGTTGGATGTGGTGTTCAAGATTGTTTGACGGTGTTTGCACAATTTGAGGTGAGTGGAATACTTGCGATATAAGTAGATGCGTCAAGTATTAAAGTCCTGCAAGACCACAGACAGGCTGGTAAGGTTTTGGTACTCGGGAGGATAATGATTCTGGGCGGAACACCTTTTTTAGTTGGTGCTGATTATCCTGAATCCGATCGGGTGTGCATCGGAAACGTAGCCCCGAAGAAGCCTGTACATAGCTAAATGGCATCGCTACGATGGAAACTCGTACTTAGAGCGCAGCTTGGTTAAAATTGGCGCCTTTGTCGTACAGCGTCCTCGACTGAATGATCTTGGACATTATTCAACGGCCGCGAATAATCTAGAAGTCTACACAATTTTACTCGACCCTCTCTGACATTGGTGTGGTTGAGGTCCGGCTATTGAACAAAGCCACTCTGTCAAAGCAACAGTTGCACATAAAGGCGCGAGTTTGCGCTCACAGATTGCTGCTCAACACCATCTGATCATCGGCCTCACTCGACCCGCTTCTGAACTCGACGACTGAGATCGCGATAATGATGGAGGCACAGACAAACGGCGTAATGCCCAAACCCATAAAGCGCGTCGTTCAACCACCTTCATATCCGACTACTAGTCTCGAGTTCTTACAAAGTATAAAAACGCACACGAATGAAGCACTTCTTTCTGCAACTAAGATCAAGATCATCGTTGTTGGCGCAGGTCTTGGCGGCCTCGCAACTTCATGTGCTCTGGCTCGAAGGGGCCATGATGTGACATGTTTCGAACAAGCCGAACGACTGGGTGAGGTATGAAGATTTCGTCCATAGTCACAACCGAAATTGAATACTAACGTTCTTGGACAGGTCGGTGCAGGCATTCAAATGCCACCGAATTCTGCTCGTCTACTACTAAAATGGGGTCTCGGTGAATATCTGGACGAGAGAGTCGTCGAGCCGACATGTATCACATTCCGACGTTGGCAGAATGGAGCCGAGCTGTCTCGTACTGCACTGGTACCAGACCATAGACAGAAATTTGGCGCCCCTTACTATGTGGTACATCGAGCTCATTTCCACGACTCGCTGCATCAGTTGGCACTGAAGTTGGGAGCGAAAGTGAAGATTGCTTCACGAGTCATCGAGTACGATCCGGAAACACCTTCGATCACACTGGCCAACGGGGAGGTCCATTATGCGGATCTCATCGTGGCGGCGGATGGTTCGTAAGATATCAGAAAATGCTGTACTTCTGCTGACTTGCTTGCAGGGATCAACTCCATTGCACGAGAAACGGTGACTGGAGCAAGAACTGATTCCAGAAACACGGGCTTTGCGGCATATCGAGCCACAATTGACGTGGACAAGATCAAGGCTGATCCGGAAATAGCTTGGATCGTGGAAGAAGCAAAGATCAATCTCTGGTAAGAGTGATGTATACAAGTTTCTGGAACGACTGCTGACAGACTCCCAGGGTTGGAGATGGACGGCATGTTATGACCTACCCAATCGCATCAGGAGAATCTTTCAACCTGGTCTTGTCTCATCCTCTTTCTGGTACCGCCAAGAAACAATCACCTTCCGAAGTCCTAGAAGAGATGAGACTAAATTTCGAGGGCTGGGATTCGAGGCTCATAAAACTGATGTCACTCATACACACGACAATGAAGTGGCCATTGTGCAACCTACCCAGTATCTCTACCTACGTTCATTCAGCGTCGAAGATGATTATACTGGGCGATGGCGCACATGCTATGCTACCATACATGTCACAGGGAGCAGCAATGGCGGTCGAAGATGGTGCAGCCCTTGCCGAGGCTTTGCATCTGGCTTCTTCTCCGGAAGATATACCAGAGGCCTTGAGGATATGGAACGCTGTGAGATGGCAGCGTGGTTGTCAGATGCAAGAGGCCAGCAGTCTCAACGGCATCTTGTGGCATTTCAAAGATGGTCCAGAGCAAGAGGCGCGAGATGCAGCAATGAGATTGGGATCCTTTGGTAAGGATATGCCAAATGGCGACGGCATCCCCGGTGATACCGTCAAGCTAAATGGTGACCCCAATCAATGGAACGATCGGGAAACATCACAGTGGTGCTTTGGATATGATACTGAGGAAGCGGTTCGAAGATATCACAGTTTGCAAACCTTGGCGAAATTATGATCATTGCAACGATCCGTTACGGCTGTCGATTTAATCAAAAGTGTGCAATCTTTCTTCTGGCGCTATCTTGTGCGCTCGTACTCTTCAAACCTTCAAGTGCTTACGTCGGTATTCTACACAACTACCCATCTCGTACAACTGTGAAAACTTTCTACGACACAAAGTCGGTTCATCAATCATGCTATCGTTTTGCGGATGTAATACTCCCTGATGAAGGTTGACAGTGGTCTGTCAAGCATCCAGATGCAGTAACCGGGGATAGAACGGGAACTTGCCCAACCGCTACGTCGGCGCAAGGCTCTATGTCACAATCCATGGCTACAAATCGAGTTCCTCATTGAGTCTCGAACATCCATATACTCTCCCATCTTCAACGTTTCCGCTCCCAGACACACTGAAAGTCATACTAAATACGATCGAACGGCATACTGCTGCAATGGGCTCTATCGAAGGTGGGGTACAAGTCGCCGCATGGCTGGACAAGCCTGGACATGGGGCAGTTCTGCGGATCAGAGAGGATATCGACATACCAATACCCAAGGAGGGAGAAGTGTTAGTCAAGCTCGAGTGCAGTGGCATCTGCCATTCCGACGTCCACAGTATCTACAATGAAACTCCGATGGACACCGATATCGCTGGGCATGAAGGTGTCGGCTACGTGGTAAAATGCGGACCCTCAGTCGCAGATGAGGTGCTGAATGCTCGTGTTGGCGTTAAATGGCAATATCGCACTTGTGGCAAGTGTGAGATCTGTGCTGTTGATTCGACAGCTTGTCCATACCAAGACAATGCAGGCCGCAACGTTCGCGGGACATTCGCACAATACATTTGTGCTCCCGTCAGAGACCTCACCATGCTACCGGAGGGTCTGGAGTCAAAAATACTAGCACCTTTGTTGTGTGCCGGATTGACTATGTATTCCGCCATTGCCAAAGCGCAGCTGAAGCCTGGCCATTGGCTCGTCTTACCAGGGGCAGGTGGAGGTCTCGGTCACATCGGTGTGCAAATTGCTGCCAGTCGAGGCTACAAAGTCATCGCCATCGATAGTGGTAAGGAGAAGAGGAAGCTCTGTCTTGATCTAGGAGCTGCACTATTCATCGACTTTAGAGAAGAGGACATTGAGGCTGAGGTAAGCAGAGCGACGGGAGGATATGGTGCTCATGCTGTCATTGTTGGTGTTGGGTCTGAGAGTGCTTACCGACAAGGTTTCGCCGTTTTGCGCAACCTTGGAACGCTAGTGTGCGTAGGCATACCAGGAATTAGTTGTCAACTACCTGTAACCCCCTTTCAAATGATCGTGAAAGGGCTGAAGGTGGTTGGATCGTCCTGTGGAACCCCTACCGAAATGCATGAGCTTTTGGATATGGCCATGGCTGGTAAGGTCATTCCACAGGTCACTGTCTATGAGCTGGAAGACATCAATACCATTGTGGAAAAGCTAGCACGTTTCCAAATTGGTGGAAGAGTCGTCCTTCGGATACCACAGTGAGACTTCCGTGTAAAGTAGATCGAAGATATTGTCTAGGTAAAAACTTGTCATTTGAGTATGCATAGCGAGGCAAAGAATGATAGAAATTGATGAACAACGAAACGTTCACTGAGCAGTGAGATATGTCGAGAGGGGAGATTTCTGGAAATCATTCCGCTGATGCAATATGGAGAGTGAACAAAACCTGCAAGCATGTAATCGGCCGTGACATTCGACTTGACAAAGATTTACACTTGCCTGATCTTGCTGGAGGCTTTCCGCTGAATCGAAGTATAGCTAAAGGCGGTCTTTAGTAAGCCTCCTGAGTACGAAATGGGCTAGCTACGAACAAGAAACGTAAAGCTATGGCCGGCACGAGGCCAGTCCAGAACCTTAGGCAAGTCAACCAATAAAGTCTAGCACGTGAAGACATAAGATAGAAAATCACAGCTTGCTGAAGCGCCATACCTATTCAAGCTGACCCAGCACGCCTTGGTATGGCACGTGGTTACAGCACAAGCGTCAGATTCGCTCCTCTATGTATCCAGCTTGGGCATAGTATTTCTGAGCGGCCCGATGGAGAGGCACCGGACTCTGCGCCATTTTCCTTGGATCTAATGGATAACTGAGAGGACTTCTTCCAGGCGGAATGTGCTTGAATTGCGCTTCTATCATATGTCTTGTCTCCACCAAGCACCAGGTAAGAAGGTAAGCTACATCCTCCGCCATATCGTCACGGACGAACACGATGAAGTCCGAAAAGTCTAGGGCTGGAAGATCGTGATCGAGAGTATCCCAAAAGCCTGCTGGAAGGATGTTTGTACCCAGTCCAGTCGACTGACGAAGACTTTCTAATGCCTCTGGTTCGGCTGGTAGCGGCACTACCGTGGTTGAGTCAATGAGACCTCTCCACCATGGTGTCATGATAGCTTCTTGGACGATAGCGTCGGCATCTCCACTCTCGACGAATGCAATGCATTGCTCTGGTCTCTGAGCCACGAGGAACTTTCCACCCCACGACTCTATCGTAGCCCTGGAAACTCCATGAGCCTCCAAGAACTTGCTTGTGACGTGTCCGATGTAATTGGTCCCATCGTCCACAGAAGTCGCTATGCGCAAAGCGGGCTTTTCCGCTCGTAACTCTTCGAAAGTCTTGATCCCGTACTTCGGGTGCAACGCCATTACCAACCGGTCATTTTGCGGTAGCACGCCCAATGCGCGAAGGTGAGGCATTGAGCGCTTGAAAAGACCATCTCCTGTCAGAGCCTGGGGCATTAAGCCAGCTGGTGTAGCAATGGCCAAATCCGCCTCGCCGTCTTCAACCTGTGTCAATGACTCTAGCCCGCCACCTCGTATACTTGTGATGGAGGTCCGGCTTTGAGGACCTGTGCGATCACAAAACTCTTGTGTAAGCCAGGCACAAATTCGGTGGAAGTTTGCGCCACCCCAGTCTCCAATAAATTTGAGGTTATACGACTGAGGCAGTCTGACTCCTCGATCACCGTTAATGCTGAGTTTGTCCATATTGAAGAAGCAGCTTTAGGGACAGAAGATAATCTTCAAAACGGTGACAGAAATTAGTATGGTGACATAGAAGTAGGAAAGGCGGTAGGACTGACAATAGAGATTGAAAGGAATGCTGTGTAGTGGTTGTGATGGCTCCGTGAGCAGCGATACCGGTCGGCTACTGTCAGATATATGTGGGGTACTGTTCCGATCTACAATTCGGAACACTGCTGCAAGTACTTTTTGCTAATTACTCTCCGAAGTTTGGCGAACCGCTTAAGGAATTGCCGAGGAACAAGCTCAACACGACAGGCCATGCTTTTGAGGGCTATGTTATGCTTGTGCATATTGCACATTTGACTGATTATCAGTGAGTTGTCTTCATACTTCGACGCTCGCGAGCCTTACAACCTACTGTAAACTCGGACCCGGCAGGTAGTCGTCAATATCGAAAACTAAATGTCGAATGATGGAAATGTCCAACCAGCAGGTGCTGAGGAGCTGAAAGAGATCTATCGTACATGCATTGCTGGTAGTCATGTTCTCCATTACCATGGGCAAGAATCCTACGGTCTTTATTGTTGATTGTGAACGCTCATTGTCATGCAGTATACTGGACGCCTATGGCCATCTTTCAGTACGCCATCCATCGAGATCAGATATCTTCATCATGCCCCGGAACATGGCTCCAGCCCTGATCAGATCACACGAAGATCTTGTACAGTACCACGTCTCGGATGGCTCTCCTGTGGAAGCTAATCCTCCACGTGGCTATGTTGAGCGTTATATACATAGCGAAATATACAAAAAGTATCCTAGCATCAACAGCGTGGTACACAGTCATTCTAAGGCTATTATACCCTACGGTATCACTGGTACGTTGTGGAATGAAACTCAGGACTGGGAAAATCGCTAACGTCGTTACTGGTGTTCCGATCAGGCCTTGCTTTCACATGGCGGGGTTTTTAGGTAAGTGGCAATGCAACGATTGACAAAAATGCCTTGTCGTGGAGTACTCTCTAGCATGCTGCTGATACTTTGCGCAGGGACATCCACTCCCGTCTTCGATATTGCAAAGCACTATCAAGCTGACGATATTCCCGACTTGCTCATCCGGAACACACGACTTGGTGAAGCACTAGCATCTCAATTCGCTCATTCAGATGCCAATGAGGATGGTACCCAAGGCGAGTCAGCTCGACCTGCTGTGCTCATGCGTGGCCATGGAGTCACGATTACAGGCACTCGCATTGAAGAAGCTGTCTTTCGTGCTATTTACATGCAGGATAATGCCGAGATTGAGACCACGAGCCTGCTGCTTAGAGCTGCACATCCTTCTGGACCGAACGAAGGCTCGGCCGTCCAGTACCTTAGTCGAGAGGAAGCCGCTGGAGCTGCTGGTATGACCCAGTGGGCTTGGGAACGAGCATGGGCACTATGGATTAAAGAGGTGGAAGCAGTCAGTATATACAGCAGAGAGTAGCAGACCCAGTATACACAAAGACTTCTGGTCCGAAAATGTAGGTTGTTCTCTAAAAAGTAGTCGTTTTATAAAGGGAAAGAGATATTACAGCAGATTCCTACCAAGCAAGAATCGAACATGCATATATGTTTGGTCGCACTCAAAGCTCCTTGACCTCTTCCCGGACCTACTTGTATCCTCTCGTATCTTGGCATCCAAGGGAGTGCTTCAGAATGTCGAGGATATGACCAGCTACCTGAATGGTACACAAACAATCTTGCTTCGCTACGGAGTAGAATGAGAACATTCAGGTATCAGCGTTATTGACGATAATGTCGGATTCGTACTTGATAATCTTACAAAGTTGCGCGCATCAAGTTAAGAGTGGCACCCACCTCAAATTATATTCTTGTCTGTTCAACATGGAATTCGCGGCTCACCGTGGTATGTCCCGTCCTGATCCATTGACTTATCAAACACGCTTTCTTCCATCCTTATGCCTACTTAGTCCGTGGACAACCCCGTTATCTCGGACGTCCATCTAGAATCAAGCCTCCTAGATCAGGCTAGGCGCCTGCAAAGAGTACAGCATGAGCCGAACCATGGGGAGATTATACTATTGAGCTAAGTAACGATACCAGCCAATCGGCATCCATACAAACACGGCCCATTGATAAAGTCGTGCTTCGACGCTCAGACCAGCACACAAGGCAATGGGACCATCAAGCTCCCACCAACGGAGATGTTGATCTTCAGAGTACAAGTCTTAAAGCGTGATTAAAGTGCTTCAGTAGCCTATGTGAACACTATGTAGGTAATCCATATCTCGCAGTCTAATCATTGCTATTTACATCTTTGAACAGCGGTTCTAGTGGCAGCCATAAGTCGGATTTTGCTAACGTATGGTGGCATCAATTCTTGAGCTCCGCTGCAACCATTTTGCCCCTCACCTCTGCGTCTGTCTTGAAGCTCGAGAACTGCCGAGCTGGAACATGCTTGATGAACATCTCGTCTATCTCCTCAAAGCTGCGACCGGCAGTCTCTGGATGGCAGAAGAACATATATATAGTAGACAAGATGCTGAAGCCGCCGAAGATGAAGGCAGTCTTTCCACCCAGATTTGCCTTATCGGGGTTGAAGATGTAGGGAATGACGAATGCTAGCACGCACTATTACATGTTAGCCAGGGATAATTTGTAATGCAAAAGGACTTGGTACTCACCACGATGGCATTTTGCAAAATAATGCCAATGGCAGCCGTCAAGATGCGTAGACGAGGAGTGGCAACCTCGCCTAATGCTGTATATGCCGTGGAACCGATGGTGGCGGTATATACGAACAGGTATATAATAAACATTGATATAGCACCTCTCAGAAATGTAGTGCTGGTAGTTACCGTGGCTAAGCCACCACAAATCCAAAGGATGACAGTCAAAAGAGCAGTTCCGTAGAGATTCAGTGGACGTCGACCGAAACGTTCCACCATAGGCCAAGATGCGACGCAGCCCAGAAAAGAGACACATTGAGCGGCAATGTTGATCTTGAAACTCATGGATGGACTGTAGCCGGAAAGCTGTGCGTAGTAAGTGAGGTAAGCCAGAATGAAATAAGCTCCTCCGACATTCTGAATACAAATGGGCATGACCGCCACCATTGTACGACGGAGATTCGACTTCTTGAAGCATTCGAGATATGAGGCCTTTTCGGTTTCACCTCGAGCTTCTTCCAGAGTAACCTTGATGTTGGCGATCCGCTTCTCAATTTCGTCGGTTTTGTATCCGAGGCGGCGCAGGGCACGTGTTGCTTTTTCTTCCTTTCCATGCCTAATCAGCCAGTACGGAGATCTAGAGAGATAGTCAGCTGTGTTTTTCTCCTCATAATGTTCAATGTAGCAGATATCACATACTCTGGCATGAATGGTAGGCCGACCATGGCGATAGCAGTAATAGCATATTGACCACAGAAAAGTCCACGATATGTCCATCGAGTCGTCCCATCGCTTATGTAGTTGAGTATTAGTGCCACGATCAGCTGCGCCAGCACAAATGTGATAGCACTCGCAGCTGTAAGGATGCCGCGGATTGGGGTGGGAGCAATCTCCCCGAGGTAACTGAAAATCGTCGTGAGACCGATACCGATGGAGAATCCACCGATAAACTTGGCGACAAAAAAGACAGCGTTTGTGGTAGCAATAATCTGAATTGTTGTGCCAATGAGGATGTTGATGAAGCCAAGAAGAAGCATACGCTTCATACCTATCTTCTCTCCGAGCCATCCAGTGATCAAGCTGCCAATGCAGCCCCTGCACAAATGTCAGAAGCTTGTGAGATGGACGACCACAACGAGACTTACGACGCGACAGGTGCGCCGCTGAACGCGGCTTGCCAATTTGCTGGAAGAACGTAGTTACCAGCAAAAGGTCTGCCAAAGTCCTTCCGGAACTGAGGGATACCTATCACAGCAGAGGGAGCGGCAAAGTCGAAAGCGGTGGCTAGAATGACCCATATACCGTAGCAGCACCACAATACGGGGACAGGATGCTTCCTCAAGCATTGAGAGACGGTCTCTTCATGATCCTCCTGATTTGCTAGATGTCCTATCCTAGACGTGGATGTGTCCAAGCGGGACAGATCTTCTACCTGAGCCGGTACTGCCTTTTCGGTATCGTCGGTACGTGTTGTCATTGTGTCTATAGTAATCGAACTATACGAGCCTTGTTGGTTGACTTGGATATGGTAAAACGCAGGGTAGTAGATGGACCTTTTGTAGAGAGAGAGGTCGGAAGACACTTAAAGGGCCAGATTTGCGAAGAGAAGAACTGCTTCGGCCCACCCGTGATTATTCCCCATACTCTCAGCAAATTGAGGGGACTCCGTGAAAGTGGAATCTAGTGCACAATGAGTCCGAGCTCCCCACAACACTATCCTGCGATAGTCTTGTGGGGGGTTCCGAGATCGTTGTGCTCGGAGAGCTATATGTCCTAGTGGGCTCGGGTAGCCAGTCGACCATACGATATTTGCGGCAGGCCTAGATGCTCCGGGAGCCCATCGAAAAATTAGCTACGTGACTTTTCGTGGCCGGGTCGGGGGGGGGGCGGGGCCGGGGGCGGCGCGGGCGGCGGGGTCCGGCCGGGCCGGGGGCGGGGGC